CGAGCGCCAGAAAGACATGTGTTAACTGCCAAGGACCACACGCGGCGTGGGACCGGCGCTGCAGAGCAGCGCAGACGGAGCGCGAGCGAGTCCGTGAGGCGTTCGCTCACCGGGCCCGCCGCTTCGAGGTGGCCGACAGCGTATCGACCGTGTCGGCACTCCGGAGTGAAAACCACACTACGGTACCACCAACGAGCGCCCGCGGGGAGCCCGCCCCGACAACGACGCGCGACGAGTGGCAGGTCGTACAGGGGAGAGAACCCTCAAGGCCCCGCGGCCGCCCACGGAAGCAAACAGTATCGAGCGTCGGGGGGAGCCAGGACAGGGCCATAACGTCAATGTTCACTGCGCCCGCGAAGCGAAGGCGCGGCGATGGAGGATCGATCGCAGCACCACCGGAGACGAGCTCAACCCGATCAACATGAAGCTCTCAGTCCTATACTGGAATACCGCAGCAAGCAGAGAGAACGCAGCGCTCGCGCTAGAAAGCCGCGCCGAGTACGACGTCATCGCGATACAGGAGCCCTGGACCAACAGGGACACAGGGGGGGTCTACTGCCCCAGCCGCTGCCGCTACATAGCGGTCTACGAGGGAGGCAGGGCGGCGCTATATGTGCATAAACGACACGACCCAGCTACGTGGGCGCAGCGCGGGGGCACCGACTGGTGCGTCGTTACCTTCGGAGCCGAGAACGCGGCGATACATATATGGTCCATCTACTCCCCGAACCAGACGGACCCGGAGAGCTGGGACAGCCCACTACGCGACCTCCCCGAGATGGCGCCGCGTGGGCGGCACGTACTCGTAGGGGACTTCAACACCCACCACCCGCTCTGGGACTTGCACGGCCGGACCTCTATCCACAGCGCCGCGCTCCTCGAGTTCGCGCAGCGCTGGCGCCTCGAGCTAGCCACGCCCTACGGGGAAATCACACGACAACGCCACGGTCATAGGGATTCAACGATTGACCATACGTGGGCCTCCAGGGACATCAGGGTCGCCTTCGAGGGGGATGCAGGGCTTGAAGGGTCCGACCACCGTTCGCAGCTTATACGCATCGCGGAAGCCGCGGTCCCGCAGGGCCCGGAGCCGGAAGGATGGAACTGGAAGATGCTCGACAAGAAGATGGCCCAACTCGAGGCGAAGCGACGATTCGAGGGCATGCCGCCCCCGCTGCTCACGCCCGCCCAACTCGATAGCAGGGTGGACTGGCTAATCCTACAACTTGAACAAGTCGCGAACGCGGCGGTACCGAAGCGCACACGATCTAAAGGCGGGGGGGCGGACTGGTGGTCACCCGAGGTGGAGGATGCATGCGACAAGGCCAAGGCGGCCAGGAGAGAGTATACAGCACGACCCGGCCCCTATACTTGGCAGAGGTGGCAAGACGCGACACGGAACCAGAAGACCACGATCGGCGACGCGCAGGCGAGGCGGTGGCGCCACTGGCTCGCTGTCGCATCGGAAAGGGACCGCGATATATGGGCTCTCGAGAAGTGGGCGCGGCTCCGAAGCTCCGCCCCGGCAGACTCTGGGAGAATCCCCGACCTACAGCGCAGCGCAGACGATACGCAACTAGCGCGCACGCACGAGGAGAAGGCTGGGGTTCTTGCGGCCCGATTCTTTCCAGCACCTATTATCACACACGGAGCTAATGAGCCGGGACCTACCCCGGAGAAATCCATCGAGATCGAGAGGCGGGTGAGCACCGAGGACGTAGCGCAGAAGCTCCAAAAGACGTCGCAGTGGAAGGCCCCTGGGGTTGACCTTATCCCGTCAGGCCTACTCCTACACTGCGGACCACCGCTGCACCAAGAACTCGCATACATCGCGGACGCCTCCTTCGCACTAAGCTATTTCCCGCAGCGCTTCCGATGCGCCCGCGTAGTAGTTATACCTAAGCCTGGAAAGACGAAGGCGCAAAAGGGAACGGTAGCAGCCTGGCGGCCCATCTCGCTTACTAGCACAATTGGAAAGCTCCTTGAAGCGATACTAACTGAGCGAGTCGCACTCGCTGCGGAAACGCACCTTCTGCTCCCACAAGGCCAGATGGGCAACCGCGAGGGCCGCTCCACTGAGCTCGCGGTCAAGCTCGTCCACGACGTAGCGCATACGACGTGGGCACGAGGCGGCCTCGTCTCGCTACTTCAGCTCGACATTAAGGGGGCCTTCGATACGGTGGACCATATAAGGCTTCTCCAGGTGCTCCGACGAAAGGGATTCCCCCAGTGGGTAGTCGGATGGGTGCGCAGCTTCCTCGACTCGCGAACGGCGCAACTCTGCTTCGACGGTGCTACATCAGATCCCCTCCCTGTTCGGGCCGGGGTGCCCCAGGGCTCACCGTTATCCCCGGTCCTCTTCCTGCTCTATATCTCCTCGCTATATGATGCACTAGCCGCGCACTCGCAGCTAGTAATCGTCGGCTACGCCGACGACACAAACCTAATGGCCGTCGGCACGGACCCGGCCGATACCGTTCGCGCCCTCGAACGGGCCTGGACTACCTGCAAGGTCTGGGCGGAGGAAATGGGGATGGCGTTTGAGCCAGCGAAGAGCGAACTCATGCACATGACACGCGCACACGCGGCGCCTTCGACGAGCGTTCGCCTTGACGGCGTGGAGGTACAACCGGTCGACGAGGCCAGGTTCCTTGGCGTCTGGCTGGACAGGAAACTCCGGTGGACGGGCCATATAAAAAGGACGAAGGCGAAGATGAAGTCCCAGACCCTCGCGCTCACGAGGCTAGCAGCGACTACGTGGGGATGTAGCCTCGCACGCGCGCGGCAGATATACCTTATGGTAATACGTAGCGCCCTGTCATACGGCGCCAGCGTCTGGCACACCCCCACACCAAGGACCGGCAAGAAAGCGACGGGCCCGAGCAGCGAACTCGCATCGATACAGTCGGAGTGCCTCCGCGTTGTCTGTGGGGCGCCGCGATCAACCCCTATAAAGTACCTTGAGGCTGAAGCCTGCGTCCCCCCCTGGACCTACACCTAAACTATATCGCCGCAAGCTTCCAGGAACGGATCGAGCGGAAGGATAAAGAGAAGCTTATACGCATCGCGTGCGCGCGAGCGGCGGGTATCGTAAACCGCGCGCTCTGGGCACGCCGGAAACGGAACTCAACGGCGATCAACCTACTGCCGAAACCTGACGAGGTCCTGACGCACCGAGCGGATGCACTCCGCGCGTGGACCCGAGGGTCCTCACCCAAAATCGCACTCGCTGAGGGGTGGGAGGACCGCTGGAGCGCTGCGCGAGCGCAGGGCGCCGGACCATGCGCAGAAGACCGCGCGGCGACTATCAAAAGGCACAAGGGCCTCCTGAAATTCGAGTCCTCCATTCTCATCCAACTACGCACCGGACGACTAAGCACCCGCGCGCTCCTCTACAAGATAGGCGCCCCCGGCGTGACGTCGCCGCTCTGTCGGTGCGAGGAAGCCCTTGAGACTGGGGAACACATCCTCCTCCACTGCGACGCACTTAGAGCGAGCCGGGAAAAGATGTGGCACGACGCCGGTAAGTGCCCGCCGCGCGGGAGCCGCGAGTTAGCAGCGCTACTAGACCAGCCGCAGCTTAGCAAGAAGGTGGCCCGGTGGCTCATCGCGGAGAACCTACTCCCCCACTTCGCTAGAGCGGGCGAGGAGGCCGCGGCACAGGAACAGGGGACGCGGGAAGCACGGGAGGACGAAGCACAAGCGAGAATGCAGCGAACACGAAGCGCAGGCGATGCGGGCACAGGGGCCCCGGGCTGGTTGCCCCGGATACTGAAGCCGACTTACACGACGACCTCCGCGAGAGGGAGCGTCGCTGACGATGCGCCCGCGCAGCGCTGACGGGGCGCACGCGCCCCTAGAAATCACACATACCCAGGAGCTGCACCGGCTTAGAGGCGTGGAGGGAGGCGACCAATCTCGCCCAAAGAACGTCTGGCTGGTGAGAGCCATTCGTGATACGCGACGGAACCACGCAGCGAAGACGCCGCTTAGGCGTACCGAATACGTAGCGTATATTTTTTATCCGGCTTCGGTACGGTTTATTATACGATAGATTTGTAGGCTCGCGAAACCTAACTAGGTAGCGCGTACTAATAATAATATAAGAAACTTGTGTAAAGAGCCGACTCGCCATCAACTTCACGGGTAAAACTCCTCGGATTATATTCGGACGTCTTGGTGGGAGCAGCATCATTTCTCAAGTTCAACTATCGTCATTGCCAATACAAATCTTAGCAGTATTGCGTTTATAACAGCTGGTCTCGATGATTATAGACCAGCGGTACGGTAAACTTTCGGATATGGAGCTATCTGTGTTTCCGTAACTCTGAACTGTCCTGAAGCCCAGTATTTGCATTCAGCAAAGCAAAGACGTAGCGTGTTCGTGTCACTGGGGGGTGTACTTGACCGAGCACGATGATAGCTCTTGCAATCGAGCTTCACTGGTTGCCTCATATTTTGCATGCAAAAAGTGAACCATTGTAGTTTTTTAGGCTCTGTGAAGGTAACACGGCGTCTGATGCACGACAAGAAATTAAATAGCTACGTTTCTGAACCTGTTTTTCCCAAAAGTCTTAGCACATCTGAAGCTCGGATATTCCGATGAGATCTGGAAGGAGCTTCGATACATCCGCATCAAATTCTCCAGACAGCCCAAGCGTCTCAATACCTAGCTACACACCGGTGGACCATTCGCATGCCAGCTCGAGCACGATCTTGGACATCCTAATATGAAGAAGACGGCATTACTTTATAGCCCTGGTGCCCCACCCGAGGACTGCTGGTTTCTTGTTATATCATGCGGAAATATCAGTCTCATGTCTGTTGTGGCAGGACCAGACTTCCGAGAATGTCTGAGCGCTTGTACCTCTCTCTGTACCACCCTTTGGATCAGCATTTGAGGCTCTGTCGCTGGGCGATGCCAGAGGGTTTTGATTGCAGACCCTCTGAACCTGTCAACCGCTAAACCTCGGGACCTTTGAAGATGTCTGGTGCCCTTTTCATTCCCACATGTCGAAGCGAGGTCGACGATATAGCATTATATTGATACTAGCTCTTAGTGCGGTCTTTCTGAGCATGACCTCACGAGGATAGGAGGACGGCGAGAAGTTCTGGAACTGGTGCGTCGCGCGAAACACTGACGACATTCGGGATGCATCATAGTATTCAGCCCGAACTCTTAATTTGTATCATTATGCAGTTCTTTCGTATCTGCACGTATTTCGTTACTGCTGATGATATCGGTGTCATAGGCTGTGGGTTCCTGGACCACACAGGTTCCGCAAAGTTACCAAGAGTTCCTTCGACTTAGTCTTGGAATGTGCAATTCTGTTTAGCGACCGACAGTGCCATTTCATAGGCGCATCACGAACGTGAAAAAGAATTCGACGACGGACAAACGCGCGGAGATCTCTCGTACAAGCTTACGAATCCGCCCGCTTGCGCCTAGTGATGCAGCTTTCGGTATCACCTCAGCTTGAGCTTTCCGTTGCAACTTTTCGGATACTCATTTCAACAGCACACTTTTCCAAAAGTAAAAAGAAAAAGAAAAAGAAAAGAAATACCGCTCTTACGTGTTCGTCAGCACGGAGATAACTGCTCCTATCAACTGAGCCGAAACCAACTTACTGGACAACATGCCAGTTTCTGCGAACGACTTTCTGACACTTGCCGACGACTGGCTTCCAAAATCCCTGCCGACACCACTGATCCAGTTTACGAGCGGTGTCTCTCTGGCCAGAATCTCGAAAGGCTCTTTGCCCAGCACATGCATTAAGCCCATACCTGTCTCTGATGTTCCCAGCATTCTGCACATTGGCTCAGAGGACATTTCCGCGCAAGCCAAGGCTACAAGAAGCAGCTCTGCGTCGACTTCAGCAGTGTTGTCATCACGACCATGACTAAGCGGATCGCCAAATCCAGTCTAAGAAAAGCCATCAGCTGGCAGAAAATGGGCGTGCGAACCATCATATCCCTCGCAGACGGCTCGATCGATCTTGCCTTTGACAAAGGCACGCTAGATGAGCTGACGAAAAGGGGATCGCGAGATTGAGACGTTGATCTTGGAGTTCCTTGCTCGGCAGGTCGTTCAAGTCACACTCTATTGATAGTCGCACTCAAGTTTGATTGAGGACGCCGGCCCAGATGAATGACAAATATCTACGAGGCTGAGGTGGGACATACATATGTTGTCTCAAGGACTTCGCCGCACACTTGCCAGTTTCTACTTTCCCAATAGAGTTGTAATCTCGGTAGCGACGCATCATGCGACTGCCACCCGTGCTCACTGCCGTCGTCGCCGGCGTCTTCTCCTTCGGCGGCTTCGCCCACGCCCAGGGTTGCGCCGAAACTTGCGACTACCACGCCTTCTAAAGGCTTCGCGTCCCTCACGATGCGGTGCCGAGGCGGCAAGGACATGCTGTGCACGACCATCAAACTCAATGTGTGCATCCAGAACAATGGCGCGCGTCTCGTGGGCCGGCTCAATGGCGGCTACAGCGGCAGCTGCCGGAAATGCGCCCTCCCACGCCCAAGCGTGCTGTCGTGTAAGTGTCGGGCCCGGGTCGGCAGATACTGGAGTCATGTTATCCAACTGAGCATATGGAGATAAGTGGTCTGCATCTCATTGCTTCGGCTGGCGATTGAGGGTTGATGTCAACTGTGTTCTTGTAGCGTGTGGTTTTTGAAATGATCCGGAGTTTTGAAAATTATGTATAGGTACAGCATCATCACCGATAGGGATGGGAACTCCCTGTATTGCCACGGCTGGCTCTTCTACCAGCATTAGTGCCAACCGCATGAGACTTTCTTTACGCCATGGCGGACAGCACCGTAGGCAACCGCCGTTCCCGAGTCTGTCGCACAGGTGTTCTCCAGATGCCTCCGTCCGCCAAAGAGTACATCTGGGAGTTTTCAGGTATACATAAGCCGTGGTCGCTGCTTTTTGCAGGAAGGGGAAGCAAGCGACCGATATGGCGAGGTGCCGTGGGTTGCGAGGCTCGACATCATCAGCCATTCATGGTTCATGCAAGACCACAACGGTTGTCAGGGTCCTGTCAGAGAGAAGGGCTGCAAATGGATCCTCGACGTAGTGCGACAACGACGAAACCGACTATAATTCGTAGGAATATATCTTGCGATGACAAGCTGTCTCATGAAGGACGGCAGGGCCGCGCCACTTGACGGTCACATGCAACATGAGACAAGCAACGATATTACATAACTCGAAGGTTGCAGAAAATGGCCATCTCGAAGATCTTAGCCGACTTCATCAAATATTGAGCCGACTCGCTCGAGATTGACCCCAAAACACTCATTGGTGCGCAACTCGGCGGAAATGGCCTTTGCAAAGGACGGTACCCAAGTACTTCGTGCTCTGCAGCTGCTGGGCCGCTCTGCCCAAGCCACCCCACGTAGCGGCAGACGCCAACCCAAGATAGCGGGATAGCATTCCATCATGTTGTTCTGGAATTGTGTTAGCAACTGCGGAGTTAGCCACTTCAATAACTCCGTATGTGTGTCCGTAATTTCCGTCTTCGTAACAGCGGCACCTCCTGGCGCCCATATAAGCGGATTCGAAGGACGTGCTGTCACACGGATGCCTTCGAGACGCGCTATCAAAGCTTGTTTGAAAGTTACATAGTCCGCACAATCTCCCAAGCCCCTGGATCCACATCTGATCCAGGCGTGCGTCACTTGGCCGATCAAGCTCGACGAGTCAAACCCCGTTAGCGTAGTCCCTGCAATTATGCCAGCTGTCATTAGTGAAACCTTAAAAAGCCCCCGGCACCGCGTCCATGCTTCGGCTTCCACGGTCCCTGCGGCCTGTCAATGCCGCGAATAGGTCATCCACCTATGATAGCAGTTCACTCTAGAGCGGCATGCTCTCAACGTCTGCACCGCCCTTCTGCGGCTGGCCCTGGTGGTTGTCGAGTCATGGCCGGGACACGTTCGAGCCTAGCACTAGCGATCTCCTGGGGACAAGTACCTTTTTGGTTTTTTGGGATGGATGGACACACTGCTGCCTGTTTCGAACAACAGACGTTGTGCCGCAGAGCTCGGCCGAACGGGGTGCCGGGGCAATGCTCAGATCCAAGTCGTGGTCACAGCCCGTACTGCGCAGGCTAACTGTCAGATAAGACGCCACAAGGGCCTCGAAAATTGACCAAGTCAGATCAGCACCAAGTCAAGGCGACATCCAGCGATATTGAGAGCATTCTCACGGCACGCAACAGGGTTGCAGCCAACACAGCAATTTTCATATCGGGGCCATCCTAGCAAGAGCAGCCATGCCGAGACAGCCAGGCGAAGATGGGCAACAGATCCACAACGACGTGGTAACGCCACGGCCGCCGCAGGAAGACTTCATACGACAATCTCTGACGGCTTCTCTGCCTCCTGCTCTGAAGAGCAAGAGCACCAGTACGTTACTCAAGAGCAGGAGTCCCGCCGGCAGCAGCCCTACCACCGAACAAGCCTCTCGTCGGGCTTCCATCGAGCAAGAGACTCCTGACGCACTGCTGGACCCCGGCGACCATCATCTCCCGGCGTCCCGTCCTCCGCCGCTCAACTACACCCTGACGGACAAGAAGTTGCGAATATTTATCTTCTGGTGCTTCATCCTGTTCGACTGCGCCATAGTGCCGACGGCGCTCTACTTTGTGCTGTGGTACGAGGCCGGCCCGGGAAGCCAGCCCCGCGGCCCGCTGGCAGCCGACACGGTGCTCAGCATCGTGACGGCGACAATCGGCGGCACCGCTATCATTGAGTGGCTAGTCAGGTGCTGGAAGCTGTGGAAGAAAGACAGTGATTGTCGGGTGAGTTCTGCGAAGAAAGACATATCGATCGCGGTGTCAGATCGCATAGCTGTTGGACGACCGTAGCTGACCTCCCTCTTTGTGCAAAACAAGGTCATTGGCGCGCGAAACCGGTGGTACTTTGACTGGTACCAATGGTGGTTCGGGCTTTGCATGCTCATCGTCGTAGCCGAGCTCATCTTGTAAGTACTCCGTTCCTCGCACCACTAGGCCCCTTTCTCGCCCAACACGTACAGTCTGCTCATCGCAAGTTTGTAGGGGAACCGCGTGGAGGCAACCCAAGCGCCGGCTCCTCGCCCTGCCCCTGTCCTCCGTGCAGATCATCTTCGGCTCGGCTCTGCTCTTCGTCGACATCCTGCACTGGTGCTCCGCCCCGGCCCCGCTGCGCATCTCGTCGGTCGCCCGCGACGCGCCTGCGCCGCCAGGGATATACCCACTCATCGAGGACATCTGCGCCGTCAGCGGCGGCGGCAAGACGGTGTACCGCGAGGCGCTCGCGCGCCGATACGCGGCCAGCCCGCTCTTCCGAGCCATGCTCCGCCGCCTTGGGCTTTTCTGGGCCCTCGGGGCACTGGCCTGCGCGGGCGGGACGGCGTACCTGGTCCTCGAATTCCCGGATATCGACATTGCGTATGCTTTCGGCTGGACGGTGCCGTTTGTCTGGGTGGGCGTCTGGAGTGTGGTCACAATTCCGTATGTCAAGATCATGCTGGCTCGGGAGCAGCGGCTATGGGTGGGCGAAGGGGCGCCTTTGAGTGCGGTTGCTCCGTCGTTGGAGCAGGTCTAGGCCGACTCGTATGGGTCGTTCAAGTGCGAGGCAAGCTGCTCAAGCTCGTGTTGGCCTTGGTTCTTCATTGGCTGTGTCGCGTGATGGCGGGCTCAGAGATACCTTTGTTATTTCGATAGAGCAGTCACCGACAGAAATGACAATTGCATTGCGCCCACACTTGTGCTTTTCAATGTGGCTGGAGTGTTCTGCTTAGCATGATCTTTCATTTGTCCGAAGGTTGCAATTTTGAGAGGCTTCAAGATGTACCAGCCTGGTCCTAACTGCTCTGAGATTCCGGAGTATCATTGTTGCATTGTCCTAGTCAGGGGAGGGTAGGTCTCTTTGCTCTGGAGAAAACTCGGCCCCTGAGTAATTCGTGATGAATCAGTCGTGTCACTGGCGAGGCACTCGAATCATTGTCACTGGCTTTATTGATGTGCTCTTATTTCATTTCCCTTTTTGGTCGCTTTCTTTAAGGATTGTATTGTCATACATGGTGAAAAATGGATGATATTAAGTACCAATGCTGACTCTTGGCATACCGAGAACGCTTGTGCATAGTGACGATACGCCTGACATACTTCTTTTTGCAGATCTCGGCTGACGAATAAGGGGTAAAACCGGCGCGATTGCCCATCCCATAACTAACAGGCGCCGTCATGACCTGACGTACCGCAAACGGGGTTTACCAGAAAGGGAATGAGCATCTGAGTCTACGGCTCAGCTAGATCCACCTTGGATCTCCGGGTTCCAGTGTGCAGAGCACTCCCCATGGAGTCGCAGTGGCCGCGGCTCTGAGTGCCTACAGGGCGGAGTTCCCAGGCGACGTGACATGGACGGGTTATAGCGCACGCCATCATAGGATTTGTAATCACATCAGGATAAGGTTGTCCCCCAATGCAGAACAGGCAGCTGCATCCACCGACAGGGTGAACGATGCATGATGGATGCTTTTGCTAGATTCTGCCTGACACACGTCGATCTTGGGCGAAGGGGAGCTACTCCGTCTAGCCACGCGTTCGACGTGCTATAGTTCCCCATTAATTTAAGTTTCTGTCTCGACCAGGGCCAGGCTAGGGCCGGGGTCTGGGTCCAAGCCACCAGACCAGACCGCTGGAGCCCCGGGTCCGTTGTTGACACCCCGGCCGCCGCGGGCTACCCAGCCTTCCGGATTGCGCAGTCCAGGGACGGACGACAGCACCGCCACGCTGGGCCTTCATCAGGAATAGAGTTTCGCCGTCACACCGAGGCTGCATCATCACAACGCCGCGGACAGGGCCCAACCCTGCAGACGTTGGGGCTGACACCTGCGAACACAGGACGACGTGAAAAGGAACAAGATGCGCGCCTTCCTTGCTGAAGCCGGCTTCTGGCCCACGAGACACCAGGTCAAATCTTCAGACTCACACACAACTTTGCAGCAGCAGGAGCAGCACATCATGGCGCCTGAGCAGCAGAAACACAACAGCAAAGACAAGGCGGCGGCCGCTGCCGCCACGAAGGACGGGGACAAGGAGTCCGAGGGCAAGGCTGTCGTCGTTGGCCTGCAGCGCATCCCGCAGCCCTCGACGACCCCGGTCGTGGGCAACCTCCCCAACGTGGACCTGGACGACCCCTCGCGCTCGTTTGTCCAGATGGCCGCCCGCTACGGGCCAATCTACAAGCTCTCAATACTGGGGTTGGACATGATTGTGCTGTCCAACTGGAAGCTCGTCGACGAGGCGTGCGACGACTCGAGGTTTCGCAAGTCGATCAAGGGCGAGCTCGAGGTGAGTTGTCATCACTGGCTCTACAGGCTTGCCCTGCGGAGACTGACAATCTTTTGCAGGAACTACGGAACGTGGTACACGATGGTCTATTCACAGTAAGTTTACACTCCATTCTGCAACCTAGAAGAGGCGAGGCTGACAAATTGCTCCTGACAGTCCACAGGTGAGGAGGAGGAGAACTGGGGCATCGCGCACCGGGTCCTGGTGTCGGCGTTTGGCCCGCTGGCGATCCGGGGCATGTTCGACGAGATGCACGAGGTGGCCAGCCAGCTTGTCCTCAAGTGGGCGCGGCAAGGCCCCACGACGCGCATCGACGTCGGCGAGGACTTTACGCGGCTCACGCTCGACACGGTAGCGCTAACGTCGATGGGGTTCCGATTCAACTCGTACTACCAGAGCGAGATGCACCCCTTCATCACAGCCATGTACGACGTCCTAACCGAGGTCGGCAAAAAGGGGATGCGCTTCCTACCGTCCGTATTCTACGCCTCCGAGACCAAAAAGTACCATAAGAACATTGCGCTCCTACGGCGGACGGCGCGCAAGGTTATCGACGAGCGCAAGGCGAGCCCGGACGGCTTCAAGGGACGGAGGGACCTGCTGACGGCTATGCTCGAGAGCGTCGACGTTAAGACGGGCCGTAAGATGACCGAAGATAGCGTTATCGATAACCTTATCACGTTCCTCGTCGCAGGCCACGAGACCACCTCGGCGACGCTCCAGTTTACCATGTACAACCTGCTCAAGCACCCGGACAAGTACCACAAGCTGCAGGAGGAGATTGACTCGGTCGTGGGCACGGCGCCCATCACGCTGGACCACGTTACGAAGCTGAAATATCTAGACGCGGTAAGCATTCTCGTCTTCTCAGCGATAGGCTCCCGTGACCTCTTCTCATGCACAATACTAACACTTGTGCGGCCCAGTGCATTCGTGAGACCCTTCGCCTCAGCGCGCCAATTTTCGCCTTTGGCCGTGAGCCCAAGCAGGACGAGATCCTCGGCGGCAAGTACCGGATCAGGAAGGACGAGCAGATCCTATGCCTGCTCTCGGGCTCGCACCGGGACCCGGAGGTTTGGGGCCCCGACGCCGACGAGTTCGAGCCCGAGCGGATGCTCGACGGCGGCTTCGACCGGATCCAGGCGCAGTTCCCGCACAGCTGGAGCCCCTTTGGCACGGGCATGCGCTCGTGCATCGGCCGCGCGTTCGCCTGGCAGGAGATGCTGCTCGCCTACGCCGCGATGCTGCAGACCTTCAGCTTCGTCATGGACAACCCGGCGTACACGCTCCAGACCCAGACGTCGCTCACCATCCGGCCCAAGGGGTTCTACATCCGGGCCATCCCCCGCGGCGGGCTCACGCCGCTGCAGATCGAGGCACGCCTCGTCGGTGGCGCTGTGGGTGGAGGAGCCAATGGAAACGCCTCCTCGCCTCCTTCGGCAACTGAGCAGTCCGCGAAGTCTGCTGCCGCCGCCGCCGCTGCTGGCGTGAACGGCCACAAGATGGCGATCTACTACGGCTCCAACTCGGGCACGTGCGAGTTCATGGCGCGCAGGCTCGGCCAGGACGCGACGGACCGCGGCTTCACTGCTTCGGTAGAGCCCCTGGACGTAGCCAAGGGGGCGCTGCCCAAGGGCGGCAGCGTCCCTGTTGTCATCGTGGCTTCGTCGTACGAGGGCCAGGCGCCGCACAATGCAGGGCACTTTGTGCAGTGGATCGAGTCTATGAGCGAGAGCGGGCCGGCTGAGCTCGAGGATGTCACTTATGCTGTCTTCGGGTGTGGTAAGTCCATTAGACCCTAATTATCCTGCCAGATCAAGCTCTAAATACTGACCTCTGTATCTCCACAGGCCACAGCGACTGGGCAAAGACGTACCAGCGCATCCCGCGTCTCCTGGACACGCAGCTATCCAAGCTCGGCGGACAGCGCCTCGTGCCCATGGGCGAGACGGACGCCAAGGTGCGCGACATGTTCTCCGACTTTGAGACGTGGCAGGACGAGACGCTCTGGCCCGCGATCCAGGTCAAGCTCAACATCACGGCAAGCCAGGACGACGAGGCCAGCAGCCAGCGCCTAAAGGTGTCCTTCTCGACGCCCCGGACCTCGATCCTGCGCCCCGACGTTAAGGAGGGTCTCGTTGCCGCCGCCCGCAGCCTGACTGGTGCTCCCGCCTTGTCGGGAGGGCAGGAGGGGGAGGAGAAGCGGCACCTCGAGATTCAGCTGCCGACGGGCTGGACGTATACAGCGGGTGACTACCTGGCTGTGCTGCCGCATAACCCCAAAGCCACGGTCGCACGGGTCATGCGTCGGTTGCACATGGCCTGGGACGCCCACGTGTCCATCGAGGCTGCGGGTACGACCACGCTGCCGACAAACACCAGCTTGCCTGTCTCGGAACTGCTAAGCTCGTATGTAGAGCTGGGCCAGGTCGCCACGAGGAAGGTCAGTCAGAGGCAATGCTCCTAACGACATCAAGACCCATCTGCTAACCGTCGTTTCGTCACAGGATGTGGCCACCCTCAGCAGGCTGGTCGAGGACGCAGAGATCAAGGCCAAGCTCGAGAACATGGCCGCCGACGGCTTCGACGAGCAGGTCCGCGCCAAGCAGCTCTCCGTGCTCGGCCTCCTGGAGGCGTTCCCCGCGCTCATGCTTCCCTTCAACATCTTCCTCTCCCTGCTGCCACCCATGCGCGTCCGTCAGTAGTAAGTTCACTCAATATCCTCCTCCACCTATACAACGCTATATTGTTTCGAGAGCATCTGCTGACACGCACCATCACAACAACAGCTCCATCTCCTCCTCCCCCCTCGCCTCCCCTGGCCTGGCTTCCCTGACATACAACGTCATCGACCGCCCCGCCACGAGCGGCACGGGGCGGCACATCGGCGTGGCCTCGTCCTACCTCGCGTCCGTGCAGGAGGGCGACAAGGTACAGGTCGCTGTCCGCAGCGCCGCCAAGGGGTTCCACCTGCCCCTCGAGCCGCGCAAGACGCCCATCATCTGCGTCGGCGCGGGGACCGGGCTGGCGCCCTTCCGCGCGTTCGTGCAGGAGCGCGCCCTCCTGCGGGAGAGCAGCAGCGGCAGCGGTAGTAATTCAGAGGAGGATCTGGACTTGGCCCCCGCGCTGCTCTTCTACGGCTGCCGCGACCCGGCCGTGGACGACCTGTATCGCGATGAGTTTGACGCGTGGGAGGCAGCGGGCGTGGTCAAGGTTTTCCGCGCGTGCAGCCGAGTCCCCGACAGTACGGACGGGTGCAAGTACGTGCAGGACCGGCTGTGGCGGGAGCGCGAGCTCGTCGGGGACCTGTGGAGCAGCAGCGAGGCCCGGATCTACGTGTGCGGCGCAAGCAGGATCGTCGAGGGCGTCAAGGACGCCATGGTGCGCATCCTGCAGAGCGAGGGCGAGAGGCGCGGGGAGCCGTCCGTGTCGTATGAGCAGAGCCTCGAGCGGTTTGAGAAGCACCAGGCGGAGCGGTTCGTGCGGGATGTTTTTGACTAAGGAGGCGTGTTACACTTCGTTGAAATTGCTTGGTTCTAGCTCAATGTTACATGTCATCCTGGATTCTATCTAAATTGGTACGATGAGGAGGCTGCCATCATCAGAAGTTGTAGCGTTAAGCTATTCTCCCTTCAAAAGATGTATCTAATATGAGACGTCGATTATTCTCTAGTATTGTTCGTCACATTCCGCCTTTGCACCGAGTGTTATCCCCGACCGGTCAGAGCGGTCACGGAGTTAGCACGAGGCCACCCATGGTGTAGCACACTAGGAGTACTCTGTCCTGGAGAGAGTTCAGCGCCAGAGCCATCCCCTTACATGTCACACCACGCAAGACTGCATCACTCAAAATCGCCGTGGCGCCAGGGACATGGGTAGTGCACGTCGCCACTGTTGACCTGTTTCGGATGACCCCTGCGAAGATCGAGTCAGGAGCCCATGTATCAGCTCTCCATTGAAAGTGTCAAGCTCCTAAGCGTAACTCCAGCCTGTGCCCCTGCTCAAGTGAAAGTCTAAAGACATCAAGGGACGAAGTTAGACCTAAGGACCCCAACTGAGAATACGTCTCAACCTGACACGACGCTAGTCGAGGATGACAACTGGTCGCAAAGTTTAAAAAACGCGAAAGTTACCGCCCAGCCTCGGACCGGCAGGAAGGTTCAGGGATGCTGTCGAGGGCCACCGGTCTGCCGGGACCCGGGGGAGTGGGGTCCGCGGGGTGCGGTCTCCATGTGCAGGGGTCTCTGAGCTTGTTCACGAACGACTACGCCTGGGGCCGGGGTATCCCAGATGCCCATCGGTGCCATCCCAGCCCGACAGGGCGAGGAAAAGTACTTAGTATACCGCCACGAAACTCTAGGACATTACGAATGCCGATCCGGATACGAATCGCACGGAGATGCTGCGCCTCGCGTCGTGGCAGCGCCGGCCCTCCACGGTGGCCGGCCGGGCGCTGTCCGCGGCATCGTGCAGCGCAAGTATTATATCAGATCTAGCCACATCCCCGTAGAGTCAGCAACGGCAACACAAGTGACACACACAACTCACTATGCCTCTGTCACAAGAACTAGAACCACCTACCAACATGGTGTCCGCATCAGACGGCCAAGCCGTCCTGGCCAAGTCGTGGTCCGACGACGAGAGCCGGCAGTCTGGCAACCTGGACATTGAGCTCAGAGACCTTGCCCTGCGAACCACGGCAACATGTCCAGCGACGCCAGAGGGCCAGTGGCGCCGGGTCCTCTTTCCGGAGTCTGGCAGCTCCCTCGACCCGCAGTCGCCCGCCTTTGACGGCCGCCTGTGGGTCAAGACCTTTTTCGACCACTACAACGAGACCCTCCCCTCGCGGCCGCGCAGTCTCGGCGTGGCCTATCGTGACCTGACGGTGTGTGGCGATTCGTCTGGGGCTCAGCACCAGGCCAGCACCGGCAACATCTTCCTCAGCGCCGTTGAGTCCGTCACGAGGAGGCTCGGCGGTGTCCAGCAGAGCAAGCAGGTAACGATCCTGCGAGACTTTGAGGGCGTTCTTGACGCCGGCGAGCTTCTGCTCGTCCTTGGCCCGCCGGGCTCGGGTTGCTCAACCCTGCTCAAGACTATTGCCGGCGAGACGGCGGGCTTGAAAGTGAGCCCAGAGACGAAGTGGAACTACAGAGGTGAGTGACCATATCTACAATACCTTCAAACACAATAAGTATATGAGCCGAGACTGACGACCTGCGACCAGGCATCGACGAGGACCACGTGCGATCTCGCTTCCGCGGCGACGTTCTCTATAACGGCGAGATCGACACGCACCTCGCGCACCTGACGGTCGGCGAGACGCTGCGCTTCGCAGCCTCGACGCGGCCGGTGCGAAACGTGCCCGCGGGCTTCGCCCCTTCGCGCGTGACGAGCATGCTCTGCGACGTCGTCATGTCCGTCTTCGGCATCGCGCACACGGTCGACACGCGCGTCGGCGACGACTTTGTGCGTGGCGTCAGCGGCGGCGAGCGCAAGCGCGTCAGCATCGCCGAGTCGGCGCTCACGGGCGCGCTGCTGCAGTGCTGGGACAACTCGACACGCGGGCTCGATAGCGCCAACGCCGTCCGCTTCTGCCAGAGCCTGCGCGATCAGGCCAAGATCCTCAACATCTCGGCCGCGGTGGCCATCTACCAGGCCCCGCAGAGCGCTTACGATGTTGGTCATCCTGATGGTCCGAAGGGTCGAGAGATGATAGCATGCTAATCTTAAGTATCTGCAGTTGTTTGATCGCGTCACCGTGCTGTACAAGGGGAGGCAGATCTTTTTCGGCAAAATCTCCGAGGCCGCGGGCTATTTCGAGAATCTGGGCTTTGAGCGTATGTCATTCCCCGATCATCCCTTTTCTGGTACACTTATTGCAGGTTGGACTGACTCCCTAGACAGGCCCCGAGAGACAAACCACGCCAGACTTCCTCACCTCCATGACCAGTCCCGCCGAGCGTGTCGTCCGTGCAGGTTTTGAGGGCAAAGTCCCAAAGACTCCCGATGAATTTGCCGAGTGCTGGAAGAACAGCAAGGAGCGACAGGCTCTGCTCGGTGAGATCCAGGAGTACCAGGACAAGCACCCGCGCGATCAGCGGGCCCTCGAGTACAAGCAGTCCCGCGCCGCGGATCAGCAGAAGCACATGCGGTCCAGCTCTCCCTACCTCATCTCGTTCTTCGCGCAGGTCAAGCTCAACATCTGGCGCGCGTTCCGGCGCCTCGTCGCCGACCCCTTCTTCACCATCGCGTCCATGCTGTATAACCTGATCATGGCGGTCATGCTTGGGAGCATGTTCTTCGAGATGAAGGCGGACGCGTCGACGTTCTACTACCGTGGCGGCATCATCTTCTTTGCTCTTCTATTTAATGCCTTTGCCAGCCAGTTGGAGGTTCTCACGGTCTACGCAGAGCGCCCAGTCATTGAGAAACACAACAGATACGCGCTGTACCGGCAGTCGTCGCAGGCAGTCGCCAGCTACCTGATGGACCTGCCCTACAAGACGGCCAACATGTTCGTCTTCAACATTGTCATCTACTGGATGACCAACCTGCGGCGGGACGCCGGCGCCTTCTTCTTCTTCTGCCTGACCAGCTACCTCACGACGCTCGTCATGTCGGCCCTGTTCCGCACGCTGGCGTACCTGACGCGCACGCCAGCCCAGGCCATGGTGCCCGGCTCCCTCCTAAGCCTGGGCCTTATGATCTACACGGGCTTCTGTATCCCGCCGTCCTACATCCCGGACTGGTCCCGTTGGATGATGTATATCAACCCGCTCTCGTACGCGTTCGAGGCGCTCATGGCCAGCGAGTTCCACGACCGCGAGTTCCCCTGCTCCAACATGGTGCCGCGGGGCCCGGGGTACGAGAACCTCCCCGCCGAGTCGCAGATCTGCTCGTCGGTCGGTGCCGAGGCTGGGCGCGCGTTTGTCAACGGCGATCGCTACATTGGGGACTCGTTCGGTTATTCCAACGAGAATAAGTGGAGGTGAGTTATCATGAATCATTATCTAGGAAAATATCCAAGTCAGGTTGGAACGTGGACTAACACTGCTGCAGAAACATTGGCATCCTGTGCGCCTTCCTTGTCGGCCTCTTCGTCGTATATGCCCTCGCCGCGGAGTTTGCCAAACCGCCCAGAGGCAAGGGCGAAGTACTCGTCTTCCGCCGCGGCAAGGGGCCGTCAAAGGCGGTGGGAGTGGCCACAGCCGGCGATATCGAGTCGCAGCACGACTCGGTCCGCGAGGGAGAAAGCCTAAAGGGATCTACACTACAGAAGTCTGCGACGCCTCAACCGCAAGAGCGTCCCGTTTTCCACTGGAATGATGTGTGCTACGACGTGGACATCAAGGGGACCACCCGCCGCATCCTGTCTCAGGTCGACGGCTGGGTCCAGCCTGGCAAATCGACCGCACTGATGGTACGTTACCCTGCGTCGGTACCCATCACGAGATATTTGGAGCTAATATGAGGATCGAACAGGGCTTCTCAGGCGCCGGCAAGACGACGCTGCTCGACGTCCTCGCAGGCCGTGTGACCACGGGCGTCCTAACTGGCGAGACGCTCATTAACGGCCGGCCGACGGACGCCTCGTTCCAGCACTGTGTCGGCTATGTCAAGCAGCAGGACGTGCACCTCGAGACTATGACGGTGCGCGAGGCTCTCGACTTCAGCGCGCTGCTCCGCCAGCCGGCGTCAGTCCCGCGCGCCGACAAGCTCCGGCACGTGGACCGCGTGGTGGCCATGCTCGAGATGGACGAGTTCGCGGGCGCCGTCATTGGCGTGCCCGGCCAGGGCCTCAATGTCGAGCAGCGCAAGCGCCTCACCATCGGGGTCGAGCTCGCCGCCCGCCCAGAGCTGCTCATCTTCCTCGACGAGCCCACGTCGGGGCTCGACAGCCAGACCTCGTGGGCGATCTGCGACCTCATCGAGCGGCTGAGGAACGACGGGCAGGCCGTCCTGTGCACAATCCACCAGCCCTCGGCCTTGCTGTTCCAGCGTTTCGATCGGCTGCTCCTGCTGGCGCCGGGTGGCAAGACTGTGTACTTTGGCGACCTGGGCGAGCACTGCCTTACCCTGATCCGGTACCTCGAGCGCAACGGGGCCGCGCCGTGTCCTTCGGAGGCTAACCCGGCCGAGTGGATGCTTGACGTGATCAAGCCCCCCTTGGACGGATCCGAGGGCATCGACTGGCACGAGGTCTGGCGAGCGTCCCCCGAGTACGAAATGGTCAAGGACGAGATGACACGCCTCCACGGCCTGTCCACCCAAGCGCCAGCCAGCAGCAGCCCCAGCCACGCTGATGACACCGCCTCATCCAGCGACAAGGAGTTTGCAGCCTCTTTCGCGACCCAGTTCTTCCTGGTGCTCGACCGCACAGGCAAGCACTTCTGGCGCTCGCCGACGTACATCTGGTCCAAGTTCAGCCTGATCGGGCTCTCGTGCCTGTACCTGGGCTTCAGCTTCGACGCGCACCTGTCGCTGCAGGGCATGCAGAACCAGCTCTACGCCATCTACCTCTTCTTCATCCTCTTCAGCTCCCTCAACGAGCAGATCATGCCCATGTTCGTGCCGCAGCGCGCCCTGTACGAGGTCCGCGAGCGCCCCTCCAAGATGTACCGCTGGACTATGCTGCTCCTCGCCAACATCCTCGTCGAGATGGCCTGGAACGTCGCCGCCGCCGCCATCGCCTACATCTGCTGGTACTACCCCGTCGGTTTCTCCAGTCTTCCTGGTGGCAACAGCGGCGCCGGCACGGACGATCTCTCGCTCCGCGGCTTCCTCGTCTTCCTCTTCATTGCGCTCTTCCTGCTCTTCACCTGCACATTCTCGCACATGGCTATCGCGTGGAACGAGACGGCCGAGACGGCCGGAGTCCTCGCCAGCTTGCTGTACATCTTCTGCATCGCCTTCTCTGGGGTGGGAGTCGCCCCGGCCGACCTGCCCCAGTTCTGGACCTTCATGTACCGCGTTTCCCCCGTCACCTACATGATCAGCGGCGTCATGTCGTCCGCCATGTCCGGCTACGAGGTGACATGCGCGCCCGGCGAAGTTCTGCGCATGGTGCTGCCTAGCTCCACCAACGCGACTACGACGTGCGCCGACTTCCTCGCGGGCTTTGTCGCGGCCGAGGGCGGGCGCGTGCTCGAGCAGGGCGGCGGCGACGGTACCTGCGCGTTCTGCCCGCTCGCCACGACCGACGCGTTCCTCGCGCGCTTCGGCATCGAGTATGCGGATCGCTGGAGGAACTTTGGCCTGCTCTGGGTGTATATCTTCGTCAACATCGGCCTGGCCCTGGGGCTGTACTGGGTCTTTAGGGTTCCCAAGGGCAAGGGCATGAAGCGTGGAGTGTAATGGGTTTGGTATTGAGGAAAGACTTTTTTGTGTGTTAGCGGCTGGATTATTTTAGATTTATTGCTGGCTGAGTTATTCACTTGGCTGTGAAGTTCGTGTGTACAGACTTTCGTATGTTGGCGATGCGAAGATTCCTACTAAGTTTAGCAGATTTGTCTTTCTTTTCCTTAATTCACTGTCGCAATATGAATCCTCATTTATAATATCCATATCGAGCAGAGCTATACAAAATCTGGGAGCAGCCTGGAAGGGCCCAATTGGCATATCTGCCATTCGTGTCAAGTTATGTTAGAAGAGATGTCTCGAATTAGCAGTACGCTTCTAGAGCCTTCGAAGCCTCTGTCGACCTACTCGAGCTTAATGAGGGGCTGAAAATGGGAAACTCGAATTGCGTGGACCTAGATGCATCAACCAATTCGAGCCAGTGACTACATACTACGCACCACACTGGTGGAAGCGGCGGCGCGGCATGTACGTTGAAAACAAGCGCCGTTCGCTATATGTGTCGCCAAGTCGGTCAACTCTGAACCTTGGCTTTTTGGCCCGTAATTCAAGGACGGACTGGCTGATGGAGACTTTGCCCTGTGCCAGGTATGCAGGTCTTGCACGTGCTCGGCGCCGGTACCGTGTTGCGCATGGGCCGTGCCACATACTGGAGATTATTCCCGATTCTTGCTCTTTTGCGATACATGGCCTGCGTTAGCAAGAAATATCTGCAGAGCCGATGTCCCTGCCCCTGACCAGTGTGTCGTTGGATCCATAGACAAGTCCAACGTACAGGTCCATGCTCTCCGCCCTGCTGATGGTTCTCAATGATGGACGATGGCGTATCACCCTGTTGTCAGGGCCAGCACATCAGACTAGTCCTCACCCCTCGGCCCCCTTCCAACATGTGTTGTGGTCGCGCACAACCTGGCAAGACACGGCACATAACCTCCGGCGCGGAGAGAGTGCAGATGACACGTCCACCCTTTGTGCGCACTATACAACTCGGCCGACCGGGACACTCTGGCAGTGGAGTGCCGTGGCTCCAGCTAGGGATCTGGAACGGATCATACTTGCATAGGGGCATGTGTGTAAAATCTCGATCCGTCCAGAACATGCCCCACGGCGGGGGACCAGCGTGGAGTACCTACATAGCCGGGCCTGACAGATCCGTGGCTATCGAGCTGGAGGCCTTAGATGGCAGGTAGGCCAGGTCTATCGAATTTTTCTTTAGTTGTCTGTGTTGTGGCAGGCCTAACCTGACTCGAGGTGCTTGACCTCTCTCGCTCGTGCGTCCGGCGGGGTTTCCTTGGAAGAGTAACGTACATAGGCAAAGCCAACACGGAGGCCTGATGAACTTATCGTAGATGAAAGGAGTTCTGAGGAGTGGCAACTGTGATGGCTGCATCCAGGGACGACAATGCTGATTGCACGCATGCACAATTAGTTATGCTCAATGATGTGGTATTGTTCCTGCGCTAGCTCGACTTCGACTCCCGCCCAGGTCCGCTAGACTGGACTCAACAGCGGCGAGATCGAGTCTAGCTGAGATTCCGGGACCCGTATACACGCAACAAGTGTCGCGCAAAGTCCGGAAGTAAGACTGGGGGTAAACCCGTTTGTTGTTTTCGTCACAGGCAAGTCTAAGCGAGACTGCGGTAGCCCGCCCTGGACAACCCTTCTTGTTGGTTCCCCCACTCGAACGCTCCCCCCTGAAGAACCCTTCCTAACTCAAAGTGCCGAGACAGCGATCCAGACTCTCGACTCCAGCATGGGTCGATTGGGACCCGCTTAATGTCTGCCAGCGGCGGGGGCAGCTTTGTTTGTTTTGCTCTCCTTGTTCGGCGGCACGAAGCTGAGCCCCTCCCTGTCTCGCAGTCTAGCTCTCAAGGGAGGCTCAACTACTCCCAGCAAGGCCAAGTAGAGCGTAGCGTGTCAAAATGTGGTCTTAGACTCAGCTCTCAGATCGTCAGCCTCTCAGGCCCTCCCCACACGCCACGTTTCACGTCCGGGCTGCCGCTTGGCGATCGCTGGACCAGCCTGCCAAGAAAGCACCCACTTCTCCTGCTTACTAAGTATGGTACGATCCTCACCAGTCCATGACACCTGCTTCCCAATGTCGCAGCCCAGTCACTTCCTACGGCGCCTAGGACAGTCGCAGGAGACCGCGGGAATGGGGCATAAGCCGGGCAAGAGGGAGCTTAAGCGCAGAAGGGTATAGTGTGAGATTTGCGCTATGTAGTACCTGTGTGCACTGTATAGCTTATCTTGTCTTAGCACAGCTTTATGACGGCTGGGTCGTCATTCCATAATCCCTTTCTTGGTACGCATATCTGCCCTGGCCCGATCCTACGACGTTATTTGCTGCACTTACCACAAATAGTGGACGCTGTATTAATACGTTATCATACGTCCCCGCTCAACTTCACGTCACGCCATTTTATAGGAACCTGACTAGCTGCCTACTATGTTATGTAGTGTCCTGGGGCGGATGAGGGTTCTCCTGATCGGGGACAAAACAACCACCACGACCGAAGGGAGTTCACCGCTTGCCAGTTTCGGCGGTGTTTCCGGCGAGGTTCACTCTGGCCCTGGGCCAGAGTGAGGGCATTCCCAGATAGGGGGCCAAACCAGATTTTCGAGGGGGGAGCCAGCCGCATCAACAGCGCCCTGTTGACGCGACACTTGTGAGGGAATCTCTGATCATGGCATTGTCAGTCAATTGCGTACAAGAACGGGTGCAGAAGCGCAGGAATTCAATAGGGTGGAAAATCAAGTCGGATTGGTGAAGCTGAGTGATGGATGTGAGGCTCCATGCTATGAAAAACGTCACGATAGCTTCAAGCCTTAAGTAGTACTGTACAAATATGCCCCTGATCAGTCTATCCCGCACTGCCCTGACACAGTAGGCATGGCCTCCATGAGTTCGAATTCTCATTGCATCATTGCATCCATTGATGGAGGGCGACGTCTTCTCTTCCATATGCGGGTGAGCGCTGTAGATGCCCCATATGGTTTGAGACCTTTAACTGAACCCTATTATAGCCGTAGTTGGAACCAGAACTAGAGGTAGAGCCTGGACTAATAAGAGACCTATATATATGCGAAGTTCGTACTAACAAGCATAAGACTGTTAGCTGGGGCCTGATCGTTGTAAGTGTAAGGCCCGTATGCGCTGCCGATACGGCACGGGGCTGATCCGGCACCGATTTGGTGTCGATAAGGTGGAGATGCACAATGTGCACAACTGTGCTGCAAGTACCGAGGTACGGGGCTGCAGACAGTGGGACACTGGGGGCTGCACTGGGGTTATCGACACGACACCATATCGTGGCCGAAACGCGTGCACTTCGCAATGGAGAACTTAGACCTCTAAGAATTAGTTTTGCAGTAATGCGACCCCCTACCAGACATCCGACTGCTACCTGACTTACCTTATGGTGCACTGTCCTTACACGTATACGCGGAGGAGTTAATCCGCTATTTCTCGAATACTACTGTGTCAGGGCAGTGCGGGATAGACTGATCAGGGGCATATTTGTACAGTACTACTTAAGGCTTGAAGCCATCGTGACGTTTTTCATAGCACGGAGCCAGATTATCCATCACTCAGCTTCACCAATCCGACTTGATTTTCCACCCTATTGAATTCCTGCGCTTCTGCACCCGTTCTTGTACGCAATTGACTGACAATGCCATGATCAGAGATTCCCTCACAAGTGTCGCGTCAACAGGGCGCTGTTGATGCGGCTGGCTCCCCCCTCGAAAATCTGGTTTGGCCCCCTATCTGGGAATGCCCTCACTCTGGCCCAGGGCCAGAGTGAACCTCGCCGGAAACACCGCCGAAACTGGCAAGCGGTGAACTCCCTTCGGTCGTGGTGGTTGTTTTGTCCCCGATCAGGAGAACCCTCATCCGCCCCAGGACACTACTAAGGCGCGGTAGAAACGAACGCGAATCTAGGTCGAGTATATATCGTATGATACTATCTTCTTCGTATAAAGTTAATTTCTAGTAGGGTAGTGTCACGATCCTGCCTCCGGGGTCAGCCGTCTGGCAGGGCGCTGGGGTTGCTGTTCTGCAGATAGGTAAAGCCTGCGCAAGATCAACTAACACTCTGCTGTCGTTCTCTCTTTGGGTTGTCGTTCGTGTCTCTTGGAAGAGATACCAGTCTCGGCAATTGAGTGACTAGTTCAAGTGTGGGTGAAACTGATACTTAGATTGATCGCTGAAGTACAAAGGTAGTGACTGTGTATCTAAGAGATCCTCCGCATCTATATAACCTTTGTCCTTCATCGTGGTCATGCCGTGCTCGACTGACGGTCATGGTGGTTTGTTCGTGACCATCAGTCTTGGCATTCGTGACGGTCATGCAGGTGATGCATGACCGGTATCCTCCGTGCCTTATCCTTATCGTGATCCTTGCACATGCTTACATAAGAGATCTGTGACGGCACTGCCACCTGATCCGCCCTTGTCCTTGGCCTGATCCTGTGGCCTAGTTGTTTGTGCTCTTCTTGCCCAAACAACCGTCCCCTGTTGGTCGGGTCGTCACAATAGCCTGTACGAATATAGTAGGAAAGTGGCCCGCTTACTTATATGGCCCGCTTACTTGTGGATTACGTTAGGCTTTAGTTTAATTAGCGATAAGTAAAGGTACAGTTCAGCCTATAAAATATACATCTTAGGCTTAACCCTAGATATTATAATTAGTCCAAGTTAACTAGTACAGTTCAACCATTGAAATATAGAGCAAGTGTGACGACCCGACCAACAGGGGAACTGCTTGGGGCTGAGGTAACAAACAAGCCCAGCACAAACAAGGCCGCAGGATCAGGCCAGGGACAAGGGCGGACCAGCGAAGGCTGGCGGGGAACACATTATGTAAGCACCCACCTTATGTCAGCAGCCGACGATGAACGGTCGCACGGCGACCATCATCCGTCGGTCTTGCGACAACAAACTGTCGGCATGCGACCCAACGGTGTCGCAGGACGACGGGCACGATGAAGGACAAAGGGATATATAGAGCCAGAAGGATCTTCTAGATAGACAGTCATTACCTTTGTACTTCAGCGATCAATCTAAGTATCAGTTTCACCCACACTTGAACTAGTCACTCAATTGCCGAGACTGGTATCTCTTCCAAGAGACACGAACGACAACCCAGAGAGAGAACGACAGCAGAGTGTTAGTTGTTATTGCACAGGCTTTACCTATCTTGCGGAACAGCAACCCCAGCGCCCTGCCAGACGGTTGACCCCGGAGGCAGGATCGTGACAGCAAGTAACAAATTTTAATCTGTTCTAACGAGAGCATAGCGTGCCGCCTTGGGGTTATTGAAGTGATATATCCCGTACTCGTAAGTAATGCCTGCACGGTAGTCAAATGTGATCTCCTGAGCTCCAATAAGCGCTATTCTTGATGAAACAAGGCAGTATTGGAAAGCCCATGCGCGCGATAGTAGTGGCGGCTCATTGCTACTCTGGCTAGAGGTCTACTGACTTATTCCAGGGCGGTATATAAGGGCTTGGCAGGGTAGTTCTCCTTATTCACGGCAGATCAGCTGGACCAGGTAGTGGCTTTTATCGGTTTTTATTGTTCTCTGATTCGCGTGCTTCCGCGCGTTATAATACTGGCCCTCGGTAAAGACGCTGCCAGTATCATAACCCTCTGCCCCTGCGTCTACTACCGCTCTAACAGATCCCCCCTGGCGCTAATCAGCCACATTGCGCTAACTGACAAAGCCGTCCACCGCTTCAAGCCGTGATGGAGGTGATGAGCTCGGTGATCTCGGACTGGGTTCCGTCGTTGTTGGCAAGGGAGGCCCTATGAATGGTCAGTCTATCTGCACAGATTATAACAGTCACTCAGGTTCAGAGATTTGCTCACTACCGCAAGAGTTAGCATTAGCACGTTCAAACGGAGGGCCAGATTTACATACCACTGTCTGGTACTGCTCATCGTCCAGGTCACCAATCGAGATCTCGGAGCCGTCCTCGAAGCGGATAGCGTCGGGCCGCTGGCTCGAGGTGCAGGGGACGTCGTCTACGAGCTCGCGCTTGGTACCGAAATAGTTCCATCCCGCGCCGGTGACGGGGACACTGGAGAATGGACGACAGAACCTCGAGGCGCCACGCGGGGCAGTAATGACCTCTTTGAGACCCGTGCAGCCGCCCGATGCATAGGTGCGAATCTCAGTGTTCCTGTCGTTCGGAACGTTCTCGATGGCGGCGGAACGATGGCTGCGCTGGTTTGGGTCATCGCAGCACGTGCTGGGTCCGATGTTCCTGCAGACAAACAGGCTCCCGTTGCAGTTATTCGCGCTGCTTCCAAGATACAAGAGGAGGTTGACAGCCTCAGCGCCAGAAAGCAGGGCGGCGAGGGCAACGGTGGACTTGATGAGCTGCATGGTGGATGAATAGAGGAGGGCTAGTGGTGGGAAGACGAGTAGATAAAGCGGTGCGTGTAGAGCGAGAGTAGAGAGGGATGAATGCGGAGGAAGTCTGCTCCTTTTATATTCGACGGTAGATGGCGACGAGGCCGGTGGCCGAGGCCGTCTGACAGCGAGGATGGATCTATTCTCTATGTTCGTACGAGGTCCTAGAAAATGGCCTTGCCCACTAGAGCCTCAGAGGTGAGGATCATCTTTGGCGTTGTTAGTGAACGTCGGGTGTATCAACCCTCTGCCAAGGACATCGCGATATGCGGTCACCAATAGACGAACTAGGCAGACACGGTAAAGAGGGATTCGATTGGGAAGGCGACAAGACTTGGCTTCTGGGCAAAGTGGAACTGCTTACCGCGGCCTTACTCGCTCATAGCCCGAATCCTTCGCAATGAACACGAGCTTGTGCTGTTCTACGAGGGAATACTCGGCGTATACCTAGATCGGTAACTCGCGCGTGTTAGTAATGGACCTTCTCGTGCTGGGCCTAGATCACGCCCCGGCGCCTGCTTTCTTGTCCACGAGTCGAGCAGCGTTACTTGTCAAAGCCATGTATTTTTTTATGTATTTTAACAACGCATTTGTGAAGGATTAAATAACCATCAGTAAGAAATGTGACGGTAAGCTGACCAGTCACCTGCCGGCGAGGGGCAATCTGCATCCCAGACCCCTGTTCCCTTAAAGAAACAACAACATTCTCCGCATCAAGCCAAAAACAGACAGAGGGGACGCTGGTCACAGCCTCGCGCCCTCACACAAGAGCCTCGACCTCAATCTCGATCGCCATTTCGTCCAGGGCGAGTCTCTTGACCTCCACACACGTCCACATCGGCCGGTGGTCAGCGCCGAGCTCCTTGAAGTCGGCGGGCATCATCATAAAGGTCCTTCCGAGGTCGGTGTGGTAGTTGCGCACCGACACCACATTCTTGTAGGTGGCGGGCGGCTCGGCGGCGCGCAGGGCGGCGAGGACAATCTGCAGGGCCAGATCGATCTGCGCCTTGCGGCTGGGGGCGATGCTGCTGTTGGCGTCCCAGCCGCCCTGCCCCGAGGTGCGCAGCGTGTTGCCGATGCGGACGACCTGCGAGAAGTGGTAGTCACGGGGGATGCACTCCGTGCCGGGGTAGTTGGAGAATTGGGCATTGGACATATTGGGCGTCGAGTGTGTGGCGGAACTGGTTGGGAGAGCGTGTGCTGCCGTGAAGAAGTGAGATGCTGATTGATTCACAGTGAGCAAGAAAATGCCTACTACCTTTTGGCTGCTCGCTCCACGGAGACTTCAGCTCGCCAGACCGAGAGTTTCCCTGCCTACCACTGGTGAACAAGCCGCGGTCCAGCCTCTTGACGGACGAGAAAGTTTATTCAGCGCCATAGCGTGGTATGCAGGGCGCGGGCCGCGCCGGGGGTCCCGTCTCCCCGATTATCCATGTATACTTTGTAAGCGGGGCAATGGTAAGCGCCCAGTATCCCTGGAGGGTGTTCCGCGCTGCCCGCATCTGGCTTTAGCGACAAGGCCTTGGTTTATACTATACACAAGGCCCAGGGCCTGCGTTTCCAACATCCCGCGGGAACTGTCTGCTGGAAGTGCAGTTACTGGTCTGGTGTCATGTGACTGCCTTTCCAGAGCACCCCCTTAGTGCCTGTAGTGACCCAAACCTCGACCTGCACAGCAGCACGTACCCTCGAATCTCATCCTTTCTAACAAATGAAATGTTCTCTCCCTCATTGCGGTCCGGCGCTGCCTTCCTCCTTATGACCATTGAGCCGCAGGACTGCACAGCCGCGCCCTGACAGGCTGCGACCGACTCCAGGCGCGGACACCGAGGCAGTGACGTGCGTCGATTCTTGTCGTCGTTCTTATCGGCGCATCGCGAGAGCGCTGCGCTGATCATGCCAGCACTCCCGTTTGACGCGTCATACATGAAGCGTCCCTGCCTGTACATGGCTGTCACCGTCTTTTGCGCCTGCCAGTCTCCACGACTTCGGCTCAAGGAAAGCCCCCGCTCGCTGCAACAATTAGACATGCGCGCCACGATTATGGACATCCATGCCTTGGTGCCTCATCTCGGCGCAGCTCGTCGTGCCTTTGATGCTCCACTTTGCTGTTACATGTATCGTTACACTCATGACCAGGGGGTTCGACCTGGGAAACTTCTCATGGCCCACAATTTCTCTTCCTGGGCATCGCGGTTGTAAGTCACAGTCCTCGTCTGCCCTATCACTCCTCAGTACTGCTTTACAAAAGTCCGACAGATATCTAAACACCATATAGGGCGTGGTCGGCATGTTATTCAGCGCTAAGATCAACAATCTCTCTGAGTCGGCAGACTCTGCTGTCGAAAAGTCGCCAGAGAAAAAGGCCCTCACCGAGCCCCGCATAGTCAATTGGTTTGTGATCGCGATCAGATGCGTCGGCGTGGGCGTCTTGCTTGCACTCGCTGCGAAAGATACGCTGCTGCCTACCAGCGCCGCCATCCCAGTTCTAGCAGGACGATCTGCATGTGGGTTGCTGATTGTAGCCTCCAGCCGCCTTTGGTTGTGTAGCTCTCGACTCTGGACCGAGGAACGATGCGCAAATTGATTTATAGCGCCGGCCGATCTCCAACATCTGAGAGCAGAGTCATCAAACATTCCCAAACCCTGATCTAGTCTTCCTCACTGGGCTCCACTGGCTGGTTGCCTCTTGCGTGATGCAACTCCCATCCCATCTTGCGCGGCTGATGCCGTGGGTGAACATCTTGGTGTCTAGTTGACCAGCACGCGTCCTTGCGAAGGACTTGTTCGACGGGCCAGCCGACGAGCCCGGCACATACTGCTCGGACCTATTCCCGTGCCCGCAGGCGTGCGACGCGTCGGCCTCAGCGGCCTGTGATGTTTTCTCCTCGTTCGACCGCCTGCGGGTGTGCGATCAGCCCGTCTTGTTCGACGTGAGGATCTACACCTCTGACACAGAAGGAGACGCGGTGACGAAGCTGCGTGCCTGCACGACAGGCGATGCCGACTCGCAGATCAATGCCCTCTCGGGCCACCAAAAGGTGCGGTCTGTGGTCAAGCGTGCGCGGTCAGTACACATAGCGGCTCACCTGAAGCGCCAGGCGGCTGCGAACCTGTAGTGCAGCTCCGGAAGCGCGGAGGAGGCCACGGCCACCCTGCGGATCCAGTCGGGCGGCGCTGGCGCGGTGGCCGCGGTGGCCAAGAGCCTCCTCGCCTCCGGCGGCCCGGCCGAGATCTGCGGCGGGGGCCGCAACGCCAACCACGTCCTCGGCGTCGCTGTCGACACCACAGGCACCCTTCCGGACCTGAGGCCAAAGCCCAATGCTAACTGGTGCGTGGCCGTTTCTCCATGCTCGAGTGAGAAACTTGACTGCTGACCCCCCCGGCCCTCCAGATCATGCTTTGTTCACTATGTGGTTGCCGACGACAACTGCTCCGAACTGGGCGCCAAGTACGGCCTGACCAACGCCCAGACTGATGGATTCAATGCTGGCCCAAACGGCACCTGGGGCTTTGTGGGCTGCGCCAACCTGCTGGCCGGGGCCAACATTGTACGTACAACCTCGTCCTTTCTTTTCTTTTTTTATCCCCCTGTTTCTCGCTGACAGACCTGCCCGAGTCCAGTGTCTTTCAACCGGCACACCTCCACCACCCGCCAAGGTCCCAAACGCCGTTTGCGGTCCTCTCAAACCGGGCACCAAGCCGGTCGCCGCCAAGCACTGGGCCGATCTCAACCCGTGTCCGCTCAACAGCTGCTGCACCATCTGGGGCCAATGCGGAACGACGGCCGAGTTTTGCAGGGCGAGTCCAGGCCCGACAGGTAACCCGGGCTCGTCCCCCCCAAGGCATGATAGGGTGAGCAACGGACGCTGATGCGTTCAGACCTGCGGACGGTGGCGCCGCCCGCCCGCCATTGTGGCTGTTCCATGCTGACCTTCTCGCTGCTTACAGATCTGTTTCCAACTGGGGCTTCGATATAGTCAACAACTCGGTCCAGCCTGCTTCATATGGGCGAGTGGGCTACTATGAGTCATGGGCGTTCTCGAGAGTGTCTCTGGCAACGCGTTGCGAATTCGAACACTGACGGCACTTACACCATCATCCACTGGTCGTTCATGAACATCGACACGTCCAACTGGCAGCCCATGGTGGACGACCTCCACCATCAGTGGAATGACTTCAAAGCCATGACAGGCGTCAAGCGTGTCATCTCGTTTGGCGGCTGGGTCTTTTCAAACGAGGAGACGTACGATGTCCTCAGGAAAGCCATGGGCCCAGCCAATCGAAAGTTGTTCGCAAACAACGTCGTTGCATTTCTGAACCGGGAAGGCTTGGATGGTGTAGATTGGGACTGGGAGTATCCAGGCGTAAGTCATCGATCCAGCCACAAGCACCTCGACCTTTGCTCCTCTGCTAATCCAGAGCATATTCGATCCTCCACACAGGCAACGGATATCCCTGGGACGCCTCCAGGGAGCACCAGCGATGGGCCAAACTACCTCAAGTTTGTGACCCTGATGAAGACCAAGTTGGGTGGCAAGACGCAATCAATTGCTGCACCGTCCTCGTACTGGTATCTCAAGAACTTCCCAATTGCCCAGATGGGGCTGGCTCTCGACGACATTGTCTTTATGACCTACGACCTGCACAGTATGTGTGACTAGACGCCATGCAGAACTGCTTCTGGTGCTGCTGCACATTGGATATTAATCGAATTCCAATGAGACGATGGGATGCTGGTGGTCCCTTTGCTGTGGAGGGCTGTCCCACGGGCAATTATCTGCGCAGCCACGTTAACGTTACCGAGACAGGGACCTCCCTGTCCATGAGCAAGTAATGAAATGCCTCTCTCTTCCGTATAGGTGCTCTCCTCATTCCTGACGTTTCTTGTTCCGTGTCTGCTACAGTCAGCAAGGCGGGAGTTCCCTCGTATAAGATCTATGTTGGGGAGTCGAGCTACGGCCGCAGTTTTTACATGTCAGCCAAAGGTTGCGACGGGCCAAACTGCAAGTTTGACGAAGCAAGCGATGAATCCCCAGCTCAGTTGGGGCGATGCATGCAAGAGCCCGGCTATATTGCCAACGCCGTGATCCTCGAGATCGTCAAGGAAGGGCGTGCGAACAGGCAATATATCGACTCTGGGGCACGTGCAAATGTCCTCGTCTACGACGGTTTGTTGACGCGCATCATGATAATACAAGCACCAGCCCAGGCGCTTTCCTTGTGCAAGCCTGTTGTTGGCTGACAAAGAGTGGTGGTCCACCTGCTTTTAGAACGGGAATAGGTGTCTTACATGACCGATGAGGTCAAGGCAGTTCGCCGAGGCAACTGGAAAGCGCTAAACTTTGGCGCCACGATAGACTGGGCCACCGATCTGCAGCACTTCACCGAGGACGAGTAGCTGATCCGGAGAACCTTGAAGACGAAGATGGCCAGTACGGCGAAGAGCTGTAGCCCGCTGCGCTTCCACCCTGCACCGGCAGCTACGACAGTTTTGATGCCATCGAGAGGTCTCTTGGCAGCATACCCATCCATTGTCGCCCGCAGTACATCCTGGGCGCCCTGGAAAATATTGGCAACCTCCCTTGCCGAATACGACTCGCTCCTGCGGGACAGGTATGACCACAACTTCGACTTGTACGCCAAAGCCGTGGTGGCGAACGGATCCAGCGTGGTCCAGAATTTCATGGATGAAAATGGCAACGACTACTTCACGTGCGTTGTGCACGAGATCTTCGACAGCTGCGAGCACTGCAGACGAGAGAGCATGGGAGGGAGCCTGCAGTGTCGCTACTGCGAGATCTATAACTGCGGCTGGGACTCGTGCGCTCCCGACTTTGGCTGCGCCTTCCACACCTTCCGCTTCAGGGAGATAAACCAGTCATGCCGTCCAGACTATTCGCTCCGGGGCGGCAATCCGCCAGAGCCGCCCTTTTGATGGTCGCAGGCCGTCCGCTGGACTCTGCCGGGAGACCGCATGGAGGCCTTCTGGGCCGATCTCTTCACCGAGAGCGGCATCTCCAAGGACAACATTCAGTGCACAGATATGCACTGAATCACCCCTGGTGCCAACGACGAGACGTGCCCGCATCACTACTGGGACTACAACTACCCCGTCCCGCAGGGCTATGACCAGTCGGACATCAGCAATCCAAAGGACCTTATCAGCACTGCGCGGGACAAGCTCAAGGATCTAGGCCCGTCGATCCAAACCGTGATCCAGAACATGAAGGTCAACAAACACATGACGAGCGCCTTTGACACCGTCGAGGCCCTCTGGCTCCCCATCTTAATGGTCGAGGAAGCCGTGGCATAAATGCGCAAAGTAGAGGACATTGGCGAGAAGATTGATGACGATACGCGCAAGATGATCATCCTGGCGTTCCTCAGCGCCATCATGTTCTTCCTGCCCATCGCCGCGACTGCCAATCTCGGGCGCATCCTCGCTGTCGCTGGCACCCTCGGCAGCATCGGTCTGGACATCTACGACATTGTCGACGACCCGGGCAATGCATCCCTGGCCATCTTTGGCTTGGTGCTAGGACCGCTCGATATCATGGACGCCGCGCGCATCAGCAGGGCTGCGACACTGCGCCGGAGCATGTCTGCGACTGACATTCGCAAGCTCGGCGAGGTCCCCGCGGCGAGAATGGGCAAGGTAACCAAGTGCCTGGGCAACTGCGGTGGCTCTCCTCGGATTGCTCGACAAGACGTACCTCATGCAATGTTTCCAATAACCGGGCTAGATGCAGAGGAGGTTTAAAGCGGCTTTGCAGTGGACATGAGTGTCGACCCTGGGACTCGACCTTGCTAAAAAATAGAAAAAAGGAGACCAGGGAAATATTCACAGGGCATTCGGTCAAAACGCACACCAGCCATCTGTGCAACGCACAACGCGCGTGCTCAATGGGAAATTGTTTATCAATGGCCGCCTAGACAAGGAGAGACACACGTAGCCTCACGAAGCAGAGGACTGGTACTCATTAGACGATGCTGCGCGAGAAAAAGAAGAAGCATTGCTTGCACGATCGCCTCAACGTGGCTGCTCAACCCAGATCGGGCGGCAATATCCTATCAATTACTAGAAAAATCATTAACTACCCTTGCAACTAGAAGTATCCGAGAAGTCTCCGGTTCCTGGGCCCCATTTCTTTTCAATATGGATGATTGGTTTGAGCTTACTAGCAGGGTTTATTATGGACCGTCATTACGATCTGATTGAGCTTCTCTGAGTCTTGGAAATATGCTACTTTTTTTAGCCAGACCCTGTCGAACTACCAGCTTATGTGAGATTTGGATAGGCAAGTCGGCAATCTTCAACGCAGGTCGACCTTTGATAACTATCGCTTGTGATAAGGTGATAAGGTCAATGGTAAACCGACTATATCTCGTCACGATTGTGCCCGTGATTAACAGCTGTCTGCTATCAAACTTGCAGCGTCGTCCTTACTTCAATCTTCTGGTAACCGCACACCGAACTTCCTTTACTGCACAAGCTACCAACATGCTTGGAAACCGAGTATGTGTCCTCGGCGGGGGCCCCCTAGGCCTTGTAGCAACCAAGAACCTCGCGGAGCAAGGCATGCACGTCACGACTTTTGAGAAGGGTAGCAAGGTCGGGGGAATCTGGACGATACGAGACGGCCAGCTAAGCGTGCTCCCTACGACAACCAAGAACACCTCGAAGCAAGTCGTATGTATTTTCATGGCAAGCCTTCAACTGTTGCAGGCGTGACTGACCAATTTTATCTCAGTCATCATTCACAGATCTGCGATACCCCAAAGACGCAAAGACGCACCCCAGTGCCAAGCAGGTCGAGACTTATCTGGACAACTATGCCGACACATTTGATATCCTGAAGCACTTCCGTTTTGATACAGAAGTAGTCGCCATTCGTCGAGACGAGCATAACACGGCGTGGGTGGTCACGACTAAGAGTACCAAGGGCAGCAACGGCGCGACGGAGGTGCATCACTTCGACCGAGTCGTTGTAGCTTCGGGCTTGCTGAGCGTCGCCAAAATGCCCAGGTTCCAAGGTTCCGAGAGGTTCCAGGGTGACCTGATGCACTCAAGGGAGTTCAAGGACCCCTCCAAGTATGAGGGTAAGCGGGTCATTGTTGTCGGAGTCGGCGCCACGGGAGTGGACATCGCGTCCTTCATCGTCAAGGCCAAAGCGAAGCAGGTCTACTTGAGCCATCGGGCACAAATGCTACTACTTCCGCGCATGGTCGCTGGCAAGGCGTTCGACCACAACATGTCGCGGCGCCTGGGTCTCATCATGCGCCGTCTGATGGCGTGGATTCCGGGCCATATTTTGAAGTTCATGGCCAATCCTATGGTGGCCGCACGCCAGGCTGCTTACCCCTGGTTATCCGACCACCCATCCTTCAATGCTCCAAGGAAGATGGATGGCCTGCCATATCGGGTGCCCATGTTCTCCGACGATCTCGCGTACAACATCCGACAAGGCGCCGTGCAGACAACACAAGGCATTGAGGAGATCACGGGACCCCGATCGGTCCGCATGACTGACGGCACTGAGCTCGACGACATTGACGCCATAGTCGTGTGTTCAGGATACACGTACGACCTATCGTTTCTGCAAGGCCCTGGTAACCCTTGCGACCCGGCCTTGGCACCAGACGGGTTCAAGGCTCACAGAGCCGCCAAATATTACGACCCAGACTACCCGTTCGCCCGTCTGTACCAGGGCATTCTGTCGGAGCAGTATCCAGACAGCTTGGCCATCCTTGGTCATATGCTCATCATGAAGCCACCCTTTGTCGTAGCCGACCTGGCGACCATGGCCATCGCCAGCCTGTGGAGCGGCTCATATCCGGGTGGCATGCCATCGAAAGCGGCGATGCGGGCCGACATCGACAAGCAGTACGATTTCGTCGTCAAGATGTGCGCCAACGGACCCATACACTATCCCGGGTTCCGCATGTCACTGGGAGAAGCGACGTATAAATGGCTCAATACTGTGGCCGGCACGGGCGTTCTGGAGCGCATTGGCAACTGGGGCCCCGCTGCCTTCAGGCTGTGGTGGCAGGACCGCAAGTTTTACAACTTGCTGATGGACGGCATCGACTGTCCTGCGACGTACCGACTATTTGACACGCCGTATGGGCGCAAGTCATGGAAGGGGGCCAAACAGGCCATTCTAGACGCCAACGAGGAAGTGAGAGCCATGGGCGAGCAGTGGAAGAAGGAGGAAGCGGACAAGAAGTCGAAGTAATCAGGGGTACGTCCTGTACTCCAAGTCAGCGTGGAACGGGATCCGGTACTGTAGGAACTCTAGGGATGAGCTAAGGAACGCACGGCTGGTCTAGAGCGGTGGGAAAGAGGAATCTCGGCCGGATCCAGATTCGCGTCACCGTCAGCATCAGGAGAGCTGGTTCATGTCTTTCCTGTGTGGCTGAGGGTATCAAGAGCCTTGGGATTGTTATATATTAGCGGTATGTATGACAGTAAGAGGGAAGGTGGGAATTTCCATGTCCCCACATATATTGGGCATAAATAGCCTGCACAGTTGCGCGGTTGAATTGGTTTTCCACTGAACTTAGTTCGGGTCTCTCAGATGTAGTGCAAGTGTCGAGAATCCCTGTAGAAAGGAGCTTCGTCGTTCTTCGGATGCCACTGAGCAAATTCTGGCTCACGAGTCGCTCGGCTACCCAGAATTCGTGTCAGTCTTTACCGATCAGTCCAGCCGGGGACGTTACCGTGAAAGTACACAAAGGTAATGAATTGCAACAAAGGGCGAGAGAAATAGCAACAAGTCATGACGCATCCCGTAAATGGGTAAATATAATTTTCTCATATATACGAGCTATTTTGCCCGGCTAATCTAAGACGCAACCAGTTGGAGTCTCGTAAGGCGATGGGTCTCGCATCAGTGGGTCTCTTGAAGCGCCTTCTATTACTACCCTGCTCAACCCCACCCTGCTCTATCGCAAGCTTGACCGCCTTCGTCTCCTGGAGACACTCCTCCTTGCGATAGTGTTGCGAATCAGGCCAGCCGTGGCTCCGGTAAACTTCCTGAAGTGCCGGGACAGGATCCTTGTGCCTCCTACTCTCCGACTCCAAGACCTCGTATTCGTTCCATGGCACCCAGCGTAACGAGCGGTACTGGGCCTTGAGCACCTTGAAGAAGTCGGCGACGGACCAGGCGGCGCCGTCGGTACGCTAATCGGCCTCGTCCTGGTTATAGTAGTAGTCGTACGGGTTATCCTGGATATACCGGGGCTTATCGCGGAGCTGGTGGGGATAGAGAGGCCAGTAGACGACGCCGAGCTCAGTATCAAGCAGGAAGATATCGTGCTCGCTATTTATCAGCCCGACGACGCTATTAGGGACGTACTCCATAATAGCCGGGCCCTCGGTGCTTATACGAAGCCTATCGAGGTCGCCATAGCCCTCGCGTATCCAGATACCGGATATACGCTAGTCTGCCTAACGGCCCCCCGGGATAGCTTCCGGTATATTGTAATCGGTAATATCCTCGCGGATATAAGGTAGGTACGTTAGTAGGCTTAACACCTTATCCGACTTACCTAGGTCCCGTAGATTAGAGGCTAACGTCGGCTATCCTCCTGGTAGCGGGTAGACAATAGCCGACTCGGGAAGGTACATCTTGGTTAGGAAGGCGAAGAAATCGGTTATAGCGGCGACCGTGGCCTCCTCCGAGTACCGGACTTGGTTTAGCGTCGGCATCTCGTCTTCGTATTGTGGTCCAGGATCCTCGCAGCGTGTGCGATATCGCCTCGGCTTTGTTAGGTCATAGCGAACGAGTTGTATGAAGTTATACTTGCTGTTCGGGAGTTGAGCCAACCGTAGTTGAAAAGTGAAAAACGAGGGCGTCTCAGGTAAGCTATCTTTTTGTGACCTATTGAGGGCGAGCTTGATGGTAACTTGGCCCCTCCCCCTTTTTTACCCTGGTTAGGTCCACACAATCCTTCTGCGCCAAGTCGTCTGAACCTCGGAGAGTGCCTAATAACGGAGTGAATGTCATTAGTATTGCTCACTACTATAACAAGTCGGCGTTCATTCTAAATTCCAGAGGTTCTTACTCCTACCCTCCACTGACAAACGTTCTTCGCAGCAGAACAAGGATCTATTTCTGAAGCCATGGTCTAGTCGCCCCAGTATTAGTACATCGTAAGAAAATTAGATAGGCCAAAGTCCTGTTTCGTAAGAGTACGTTATTATCTAGTTTACAAGAAACTTTTCGGAGCCATCTACAGGCTTCAAACTTTACCTACTAGCAGGCGTAAACATTATTACTCGTTGCGTCCCAGGTACTCCGGGAGCTCGATCGCCTCCCATGGGTCCGTCGGCCTTGTTGTTCCAGCCACTTCTTCCAAAACTAAATGGCCTCCCCTATTTGTCCTGGCCGCCTTGCCGTTATACTCAATGCCCTCTTCGACGTCAACCAGTGCTAGTGGAGTCCCAAAGGCAGTGTCAGACGTTGGATGTGTCCTTTCTGCCGTTGTGACCGATCTTGAAGCACCACTAGAGCTGCCCAGCGAGAACTTTTTCGACAAGACAGCTATGCCTTTAGGCATCAGCCTGAAATTCCGAAGCAAAGGCCGTAGTGCGGGCAATGTCGCGACGAGGATCTGGGTAGCCCATTCTACATAGCAGACAACGACTAGACGATATTAGACTCTGTCTGTTCGGTAGTGGGTGCAATCCAACTATAGGTGACTTACATGTGGCGTATGAGTAAATCGAGTGAACCGCCATGATTAAGCGTGCAGTGCCGGTAAAAATGGTCACTAAACCCAGCATGAAGATGCAGTACAGCCCGGCCTTCTCCCTCCTTCCGAGGCTTCTGAGCCTATTCATCATACCAAACGGCAGGGCAAAGACTATTTTTTATATTTATTAGAGGGGACGGATTATCTGGTCGGAGGAGGCAGAAAGACGTACCGAGAAGTTCCGATGAGAAGCCGACTGCCCAGTTAGTGTAGAATGGAATCGCTCGAGTCTGCACATTGCAGCTGTTGTCGTCGGCGGACCTAGGTCATGCGGTACTAAACAATCAGCAGGCCACGGTATACATCGTCAGGCAACGACGGGGCAACGCACCAGTTTACGGAGATGTCCGGACCACACCAAAACAGGTCGATGAACACCGCCGAGAGGAAGGCGCATACGGTATATACCGAGATGATATAGAGGCAGATGCGCAGCTTGTGTTCGGAGACGGGGAATAGTTCGTTGTAGAATGCAAGGAGGCTGAGTCGCGGCCAGTAGTACCCAGTATCGAAGACGACGATGTCCATAAACAATACCTGTAGCACTTGGGACGTTAGCGAACTCTTAACTCCGTCTGTTGCTACTTGGATCGCAAGGAAAGATACTTGCCTTCGCGAGTCTCTCTTCGTACACGTGATCAAAGTAGTCCAGTCCCGTCATCAAGGCGTATGTGTTGGACGCGGAGAGTACTACGAAGGAGAGCACGCCGATCCCGAGCAGCACATCGGACAGCCAGAAGGACCACTGTCGCAGCCGGGCCCGGACCATGAGCCGCACCACTAGAATCGCGATGCAGACGCCCACTATGCACCACTCTATAATCTGTTGTTTTGGTTCGTCGCACAGGCAGTCAGTATATGGTCGATCCATGTTGATTGAGCAATGGCCCATCGGCTGTTTCTGGGAGGTGCGGGCGACGTACCATGAACTGAGTCGGACTGACGTGTCCCTCGGCTCCGTAGACCGCCATCGGGCTGCTGTGATCTTCGGATCAAGCTTGAGCTTCTTTTTTGGGGAACGGGGTTCCACAGCTCGCAGGAATGTACAACCGAAAGATTTCATGGGAAGGGTCTGACCTAAGCAAGGAGAGGAGATGATTTCTGGAGCAAGAGTATGTCTGGAAGCTCGAAAACGGAGAATGCGGGGAATCCTTATGCAGGAGTGCCTGCAAGGTCTTGGTTCAAGCCGGGCGGCACTGAGACACACAAGCGTGGATGTCAAACCTTAAATTCAGCCGCATGTCGGCAACGGCCAAGTTAGGCTAATTATTTGCCTGCTAAAGTTCTTGGGGAAAGTTTAATTATTGCGCTGAAGTTTGTCCAGTAGCCTTCTAGCGAAGGGTCGAGTGCTGATGCCGCTGGCCTAGACCCATGGATGTTGATGGACAGAAATTTGTCAATACTTGGGGCCCGCGAACACGATACTAACGAAGCGCTGGCAATGCTTAATGCAGCCGCTTCCCACGTCAAACGATTGCATGCACGCCCAACGCAGATGTTCTCGCAGGAATATAAATTGCAACAGATACAGGAGGGTATTCTTCAGTACCATTGCTATCGAACTTCATTGCAAACGTGACTGTCTCAAGAGAGTCCACTTCACATGCCAGCGCATGGGCTCTGCACTCTCCATCCGAATACTTCCTAATCAACGGCGACGTTGAGCCTCAATTCGTGCAGGGCTCACCTAAGACTTGGAGACATTCGTCTCCGCAACTACGGTGACGTTTTCGTCACTTCCAGCCTTGGCGGCCAGCAACTGGACGTCGCCACTCTCGCCGTCACCGTCGAAAAGCAGAGACAGCTCCTCGAGCGAGTAGCCCCTGGTCTCCGGAAAGAACATCCAGATAAGGTAAAGCCAGACGCAGTTGAGGGCGAGGTAGAAGATGTAGTAGTAGTACCCGATACTGGCCAGCGCGATCGGGTTGACGTACATGTTGGTGATGAGGGCGACTTGACCGACCACGTTCTTGAGAGCCAACCCCTTGGAGCGCATGAAGAAGGGCATGATCTCGGTAGGGTACGAGTACAGCAGGGGGTTGCAGGCGACGTTGTACATGACGTCAAACAGGAACAGGCACACGATGACGCCGTAGCCCTCGCCTTGTCGGCCTGTCTGCACGTAGACGGCATTGAGCGCAATGAAGGGCACAAAAATGATAATCATGCCGATGAACGAGGACATCCATAGTGTCCGGCGGCCTGTGCGGTCCACGAGGATGGCGCCCGCGATGGATGAGCAGAAGTTGACGATGTTGAGGCCGCCATTGATGCCAGTCCTGCATTGCGCGGTTACTTGTCAGCATGGAACGGCGTGAGCCGACGTCATAAGGGGACACTCACTGCTGGGTGGTGCCTGTGATTCCCACACTGTTCAAGATGCTCGAGAAGTAGTAAGTGATGATGTTTTGGCCGCACCACAGCGTCATGAGCGTCATGGTGACGACGATGAAGACGCGCCGTAGATTGTTCTTGCGCGTCAGCAAGGCTTTCCAGGTGATGCCTTCACGCGCCAGCTCAATGGCCAGCTGGACCTCTGCAATCTGGGTGGTGACCAAAGGATCATCCTCATCGCCGTTGCCGTGGTACTTTGCGAAGATGGCCTTGGCTTCTTCGGTGCGGCCGGCATGGACCAGCCATCGTGGGCTCTCGGGAAGCCAGTACAGGAGCGCGAGCACGATGCAAGGGATCAGGCCCTGAAGCAGCGAGGGGATTCGCCAGTTCCACGTGTCAGTGGCCGACATGTGTGAAGTCCCGAAGCAGGTCCAGGCTACGATGATGGAGCCCAAATACCAGAAGGGGTTGAAGAAGGAGACGAGGGTGCCGCGGATGCGAGGCACGGCCAGCTCACTGAGCAGCGCGGGGCCTGCGCAGGTAATGAAAGCAATGCCGAAACCGAGGATGAAGCGAGATCCCATGTATTGCTCGCGTCCTTTGGAGCCGGCCTGGAACCCGGCGCCGATGATGGTGAAGAACTGGCCGACGGCGATGCCCCATTTACGTCCACTATGATTATGAGAAGATACACGTGAGCTTCAATATCATCGATTGGAAGGGGGAGGGGACTGCCGACTCACAACTTGTCCGTGATCATGGCGGCGGGGATACTACCCGCGAAGCAGCCCATGAAGTAGATGGCACTGATGAGACCGAGCTGCGAGCTGTTGGGCGTGCCCATCTCTGTTGCCATGTCAATGTCTCTTTGTTCGACCTCGGGTATGTGCTCGTCTCTTACCAGTCTTCCATTCCTTGAAACTTTGCAGGTTGGCGGTCAACGTAGCATCGAATCCCGTACAGGTCTGGGTGAGGTAGATGACGATGATAGGGAACAACAGCTTGCGAAAGCCGGGATCCTTCCATAGCGGCGGGTGGTCCTCGCCAGCCGTGATGACGGCTGAGGGGGACCACTGGGCCTGTCGGCGTACCGTGCTGCTGGGACCGATCATATTGTGCAAGACTTTGTGCAGTTTCGCGATAGAGGTCTGCTCTCTGCCTGTCCTTGAGCAATGGTGTGCTGTTGTCGCCAACCCTGTCGATACTTATAGATGCCCCTTCAGAGCTCCAGATGCAAGGCGAGATGGCCCTTGGCCGAGCTCATTTGCCATGATCTTTTCGGACTAGGTGTGTTCCCAGACTAGAGATGAACCATTGGGCCCAGACGCCAGGTGCTCGGCAGGTGTTCGGCTTGCACCCGGTGGACCGCGGGCGGTTTGATTTATCCGTTCTATCAAGATAGGCATTATCTTGGAAGTCCATGTAGGGCGTGAACGTAGCGGATAAGATACAGTCTGGGACAGTGGCGAAGGGTCCGGGGTCCCCTATCATGGCTCATCCAAGAACCGCGCTGTCGGGTTGGATGCGGGGCCCCAGGTCCACGACGTCGCGCGCCCAGGCCCGGCAAGGCCAGCCCGACGCCACGGTGATACGACGGGGAAAGGGGAGCAGAACCCGACGGCTTAAACTTGCTGTGATTGGCTTCCCACCTTCGATCGGCTCTGGCCGTGGGTTTAGGGGCACTAGCTCAACAAGCAGTTGACAAGCCAATAAACCCGATTCGCGCAAGGGTCGTGGCCTCCAATCGGCCGCCCCCACAAGCAGAGGGCCCGCATCGTCATTGCCGATTGTTGGGGGCAAATGCAATACGACGGGATATTCTTTACGCAAAGACATACAAAAAAAGTTACAGGTACAACATCTAGCATCGCTCTAGCTCCATCATCAACATCTGGACCGGACTCGACACCAGAACCTGCTCACATCGCGACTACGTGCCACACCAGCCGCGCCGTTTTACAAGAGGGTACCCATCTTCGAACCAGTCAAACACAATGGCGCCCAGTGCCATCTCCCTAGTGGCGTCCCATACGACTGGGCACGCGACAGTGGAAACTTCGCTGAAAGGGTAGGTAGGAAAACACCCTTTATCATGTGTCGCTGTTGCGCTTTCTAACAAATGTCTTCTCCAGGCCAAAGGTAGCAGATGACTGGCGGGCTCACCTCGAAACGCACGGATACGCCATTGTCAAGGGTGCCATTCCGAGAGGACGAGCGATCGAGTACCAGGAGAAGGCATACGCGTGGCTCAAGTCATTCGGCACGGAGCTTGATATGGCGGATCCGGCTACGTGGACCAAGGCCAATCTGCCGGTGCAGAGCAAGATCAACACATTTCACTCATACGGCGTGGCGCACGAGAAGTTCATGTGGGACGCCCGCATGGAGCCTGGGGTGCTCGACGCCTTTGCGACCATCTGGGGCACCGACGAGCTCCTGGCCAGCTTTGACAGCCTCAACGTGACACTACCCAATCGCACCGACGTGCCGCGCAAGGGCGCCTGGGAACACGTCGATCAGAGCCCGCTGCGCCGTGGGCTGCACTGTGTCCAGGGCATCCTGAACCTCTCACCAAGCGGCCCCGAGGATGGCGGCTTGGTCGTCTATCCTGGGTCACACGCGCTCAACGAAGTCTTCTTTGACACGCAGACCGACAGCGCGACGTGGAACCCACTGGATCGCTTCCTGTTCGACAAGGAGCAGCTGGCATGGTTCGCAGCCCACGGCAGCACGCCGCTCAAGGTCTGCGCCGACGTCGGCGACCTGATTCTATGGGACAGCCGCACTATCCACTACGGCGCCGAGCCGACGGAACGCAGCTCCCAGATCCGCACCGTCATCTACGCCGCATACACGCCCGCCCGCCTCGCCTCGCCCGAGCAGCTCGCGCTCAAGAAGGAGGTGTTCGAGAAGTATGGCGGCACTACGCACTGGCCGCACCAGAACATCATCGCCCGCGAGACAGCCACCTATCTCGAGGACGGGACACGGGATCCACGCGACAGGGATGCGCCGCTCGAGTTGCCCGAGATGAGTGACAAGCTTCTCAAGCTGGCTGGGGCCAAGGCATACTAAGGGGCGCGAGGGAGCTACGCAGTCGTGATAAATGCGATTGGGCATGTATGATGATGATTATTGCTTTGTTCGTTTTAGCATTGAACCATGAATGAATAATACAAGACATTTCCAGCCACGTCCCGGAAGAGGGCTACAGTAGAACCGTGCCCGGAGCTGTGCTACGCATTGACTCTCTCCATTGACATGGCTCACCCTGATTCGCCCGTGCCCAGACCACGTTTAGCGTCTGGTGGGCGCCAGCAATGCTGCCAAAGCCGAGACTGGCGTTCAAGAGGTTGACGCGGAATTCGAGTGTGAGCCTGTGAGCCTTGGATGTGCTGAACAGGCCAGCAGTGAACAGAGGAAAAAGCATGCGCGCGTTCATAGGTGAGCCGGGTCGGATGAAAGCTAGCGCGGAGAGAATATTGTCGACAAGGCCCTGGGTCTTCTGGCTACTTGATGTCTCCTCGCCTTCGGCGTCATTTCTAGACAGGTCATGCAAAAGTAGCTTGGCCGCGCACTGAACGGCGGAAGCGACAGCCCGGGCCTCAGCCATGTCTTGGCTCAAGCTTTTGACGTCTCCCTGTTGGTCCCTAGTAGGCTTCCAATCCTCCAAGGCCTGCTCGATAGACGCGGCTTCGGCCTTGAGCTCACGTGCACTCGACTGCCGTTCCAAGCTTGTCAGCTGGTGATGGCGGATTCCAAACTGGTTAATTTGCGCCAGGATGGCGTACAGGCCGGCCGCGATGCCAAGCAGGGGATGTATGCCCGACTTGCCCGGCTTCAGCAAGCCAAGGGATGGGAAGAAGGGACGAGGCACATTTTCCGAGGTCACGGCAGCGACCACACAGAGATAGTCATGGAGATCGATCAACAGCTCCATGGCACGCTCGTCTGCTGTAGGAATGTCGCCACACAAGAGGGCACGCGCACCACGCAGGTAGAGCAGCCACCGTCTCGAGTCACCAGCACAAATCTAGACATGCCATCAGTCCTAATCTCCCAGCAGGCATGCCATGGAAGCATCGGACAGGGGCATGTGACCTACCTCGAGAAGACACAGCAGCAGGGTGGCTGCGAGTGGCAACACTGTACGTCTCTGGCCGTCCAGCTCCAGCTCAGCCTCAAGAGCCTGCAGCGCCAGGCTGCGGTGGCGGAGCATGTCGCTCTCGAAGTTGGGGTATGTGCGGGCCAAGTGGCAAGCCGACAGTGCGACAAGGGCATGTCTCATGGCTGCATTGGCGAGGGCGAGGGGGACCACCACACAGATCAAGGGGTTTTCCTCATCGCTGACGAGCGTCAGAGACCGCGCCACTGACTGGAGGAAGTGGTTCAGCAGATGCACCTCGCCCACTTCCCAGCCCTCAAGCAGCGCCGGCGTGATGCCCGCCAGCTTTGCCGATGCAGTCGCGAGGATGGCAGACCGGGCAGCCGCAAGTCCTGTCGGTGCTGCTTGCTGCGGCACTTGAACCTGCAAGGCGCTGCTGTGTGCGAGGCTCGTCGCCGCCGCTGTCGAATCTGCCCGGCACTCCTCTTCGATCACCGACAGCCAGTCGAAATCGGGCATATCAAGTGCCGGGTCCGCTGCTGCTGCCATGTCGATTTCATAATCTCGAAGAGAGAAGCCGGTCTTGTGTCTGGGCGGCTGTGGTGGTGATGACTCGGCCGGGTGCTGTTCGCTGCGCATGGAGCAGGACAGCCCCAGCCGAGAGCAGTCGCTGCACGAGGGCCGCCGTTCGTCGCACTTCTTGTGCCGCCGACGGCAGTTGGAGCAGACGGACTTGGACTTGGAGTGTCGCGCTCGAAGGCCGGCTGCCCGGGAGCCCGGCGCCGGTGCCGGAGCCGCTTCATCATCATCACGGCCCCGCGGCGGCAGCGGCGACGACAACGATGGGTCACCGAGGCTGCACGGCAACGACAGTCGCTTGCACCTCGTGCACGGCACCTGCTGGGAGCAGCATGTCTTGACCGCGGCGCATGCCCGGCACGCCGTCTGCCTCCGGCCCATGGGTTCCGAGATAACGGGGCCACTGGGTCCCGTAGACTTGTTGACTGGAGAAGAGCATGCCTGACGAGGACCTAGAAGCTCAATGATTGTGCTCACTCGGAGGATTGCTCATACTGTTTGGGCGTCCAGGCGGTAGAGCCTCCTTCCCGATATCAGTCACTGCGAAAGGGCTGCACATGGCGATGGTGGCGCTGGTGGTGGTGAACTACTGTAGTGGCTCTGGGCTGAACCCTCAGCGGTGGTGGGAGTGAGTATAGCGGCTACCTCTACACTCCCCTACCCGGGTACTGTCATCCGATTCGTCCCTGCACTTTATCTTCGGCTGCGGTCCGGGGCCCGGCCGAATGGCTTCACGATCTGACATGGATACCGCATGAGAATTATCGGAGTAAGCATTGGAGGGATTTCTTCCGTTGTCTTACGCATTCATCCATAGCTCCACCACGGATAAGGCACCGGGGCTGGGAAGATTAGCTAAGCCGCAAGTGTGCGCAAAGCGCCTTGAGCTCATCGAGTGTTGGACACCAAAACTTTGTTTCCGACATGACACCTGTCTTTATAGACTCTAAACCTGCACAACTTGCTGCCATCAGAAAATCGGCAGATGCTGGGCCAATTGCGCTTGTCTTCGCAATACAGTATACACCACTGATTCAGTCATCGTCATGGGTTCCAATGTCAATCCCGGCTCTGGGCGGCCTATGCACGTCCTCATCATCGGCGGCGGCATCGTCGGCCTCACCATTGCGCAAGGATGTCGCGAGAACGATATCCCTTACACCATTTTTGAGCGAGACACGCCCGAAAGCCGGCGGCACGGGTGGGCTTTGACTCTACATTGGTGTACGTTTACCCTGCCCAGCACTGTCGCATCTCTACTTCTGAGAGTCCCGCAGACAGATTGCTGACAGAAGCTCTCGCAGGCCTGGATCAGCTCGAACGAACCATCGGAAAGGAGAGAGCGGCGATGTTACCCAAGGTACGAACTCCCTTCGGACGATTGCTCACTGTCGAGGTAGATTTTGGCTTACGAGAGGCGGTCAGGCTGTGGTGGACACTTCTCTGAAGAAGGACGAAGGAAACTTCCTTTTCCTGAACGCTGAAACCTGGTTCGTGCAACTCTGTCTATACCTGATCGTTGGCGCCATGCTAACACGGTAATGCATGTAGCGAGGCGCGGTACAAGATTCCTCCCGCAAAAAGGAGATACCGCCTGCACCGTCGGAAGCTCCGCGACGTGCTGGCCAGTGGCTTGAACGTCCAGGAGGGGAAGGCTCTTGTGAGGGTCGAGGAGCTGCCCGACGGCGTCCGGGCGCATTTCGCCGATGGCACGAGCGCCGAGGGAACGATTCTTGTCGGAGCCGATGGAAACAATTCCAAGGTCCGCCAGTTCCTCATGCCCGACGACCACGAGCTCACCAAGCTGCCCGTTCACCTGGTGGGCGTCATCCGACGCTTTACTCCCGAGCAAGCAGCCCCAGTCAGGGCCCTTGATCCGCTGCTGTTCCAGGCGCTGGATCCCAAGACGTCCAACTACCTGTGGTATAGCATACAGGAGTGCATACCCGAGGCGGACGGCAGATCATCGTTCGACTGCCTCGTCATCATCTCCTGGATCATGAAGGACGCCGAAGCGGACAAGATCCCCACGACCCCGGCCGAGCGCATCGCCAAGATGAAGGAGCGGGCACAGGGCTTCGCGGAGCCGCTGCGTAGCATCGTCATGGACATTCCAGATGACCTTGCGGCGACCACGCCGCTGCGGCTCGGCGACTTCCCGTGCCGGGACTGGGACAACCGCGGGGGCCGCGTGACGCTTGCTGGGGATGCGGCCCATGCCATGACCATGTACCGTGGCGAGGGCGCCAACCACGGCATCCTCGACGCGGCTCTGCTGGTCGACGAGCTGCGCGCGGTTCACAAGGACAAGATCGGCCTGCAAGACGCCATCGACGCATATGAGGCCGAGATGCGGCCTCGCACCCATGCTGCGGTCCTCAAGAGCCGGGAGGCTGCCCTTGTCGCCCACGAATGGGACAAGATCACGGACGATTCGCCCATCGTAGGCGCGCGTAATGCACCAGTCTCGGCGTTGTGGAAGACATGGCGCGGGGCTTAATGCTAGATACCTTATGTCTTTTTTTCGCGTTAAATACGTAAATGTCCTACAAATCTTTGCCCTTTTTTGTTCCATGGCTCATCGCGATGCTTCAATGTTGTGACCCTGTATTTATTATCACCTGGAGTAGAATTTTTCTTGTCAAATCTAGCAAATTAACTCTTGGGGATTGAAAAAGAATCACATCAGGATTACAATGTACTGTTTAGTGAGATCTATTAGTCAAAAACAATGGAAGTGTCATTGTGAGATTCACTAACCGGGTTAACTCAGCTACACGGTGTATCCAGAATTTCCCGACTCCCAATCTCGGAGCTACCCGACGTGAATCAGTCTGCGCATTTCTCTGGGTTCAGTTGCCATGCGACAGAGATGATCAGGGCGGAGGCCAGCCCAGCAAGATACCGGCACCAGACCGAGGAGCTAGTACTTCCGGCTGGCTTATCGGCCGGATACCGGGCCGAGCGGCTTTGGGCCGAATGCTCCATGCCATCGAGCGGCGAGCCATCCTTCTGTGGAGAGCAAATCATTGGCCCGCATGGGAGTTCATGTCGTTCATGCTGGTCCCTGCTTGTCGGGGGAAAGACGATCCGCCAGGCTACTTCAGCTGATGTCCAAGGGATACAAGTTCATATCCTCTGACAGACGCCTGAAAACTGCCAACTTCACGTCAACATATCCTTCTCTGACGCTTCATCCTACTTCTCGTTCGCCTTTCTTGCGTAAGCGCACAACCGCTGGAGCAAGTAGCAGCAAGGAGCATCGCCCTGTTCTACTACATCTTGGCCGAACAATAAGCAAGTGTACGCAATGGCGCCGTCGATTGCTCAGATGCCCGACGAGGCACCTACACCTGCGAGCGGGATCCAAACCAAGCTGAAGACGATAGTCAACTCCAAGGCGAGCCTGGAAACCGTCATTCGAGAGAACGAGCTGGTCCCCCTCTGGAACACGGGGGCGCCACCCGCGCCACCTTTTCCCCACAGCAAGCACATACCTGCCGTATGGAAGTACGACGTCACGAAGAGCCTGCTTTTGCGAGCCGCTGAGCTCGTCGATGCAAAGGAGGCTGAGCGGCGCGCGGTGCTGATGATCAACCCAGGCCCAAGGCAGCCTCCCTTGACCCTTGACACCATCCTGGCCGCACACCAACTGCTGATTCCCGGCGAACAGGCTGTGTGCCATCGCCACACCCCATTCGCCGTGCGGTTCCTGATTGAGGGCGACTCTGGTAAGCTTATCCGTCGCGTCCAGATAGCAAGTTGAATGCATGCGCCAATCCTCGTTCTGACCAGCTAATGCGTGAGGCCGCCACAGGATATACGGCCATCTCCGGCAAGAAGATGTACATGGGGCCTGGCGACCTCATCATCACGCCGGTGTGGAACTGGCACGACCACGGCAACGAGGGCACGAACAACGTCATCTGGCTCGACGGCCTCAACATTCCGCTGTTCAAGCACATTCCCGTGGACTTTACGGAACACTACGGTAAGCAGGACTGATGACAGGCTACGGCTTACGTATCCTTCCACATATGCCGCTACTGTTACTGACATCGGGCCTCTAGACGAGATGTACGGAGTCGCCACACACGAATCCCGGGTAGTGACGGACGAGGAGGCGACCGACATGAAGTTCCCCTGGGCCAAGACGCAGGCGCGTCTCGATGCCGCTGGTGGTAGCTATGCCGAGAGTGAGTACCTGCTGCCAGGAGGTAAGTCGGTCTCGACAACGATTGGAGCCTACGCGACGCGTGTAGCTTCAGGACAGGTAGGGCCAACGGTGCAGGAGACGGCGAGCCGGATCTATCAAATTCACGCGGGTGCCGGTCGCACCGAGCTCACGTCACCCGATGGCAAGGAGAGGTATACTCTCAAGTGGTCCAAGGGTGACAGCTTCTGCGTGCCGTCGTGGTACCGCTACAACATTTACGCCGATTCCGGCGCCGACGCTTATCTGTTTAGCTTCTCGGACAAGCCCATGCAGGTGACATTGGGCTTCTGGGGATCAAAGGAGTAGGGTGCTGAACTTTGAGGAGAGATGCTTAAGTGTGATCCAGCAACCTTAGATAGGACCATGGGGATCGAATGGCAGTTTGTTCACATGCATGACCGTGCCCCTTGGGAATCCCAGTAATCGTTGCAAGGACCTTGACTGATACGAACGTGCGTGGGCGAAGCGGAGTTGAGAACGGGGACCACCCGCTTGACAGTGTGCACTGGACCCGGGGCGTTTCCCCATCATCCTTGGTAGGGGTCCAACACTTGATAAGACCCACAGCTGGCGCTTTCTGGGGAGTCCGCAGTACACTAATCTTGATCTAATGCATGCCAAACCATGGTTGGTCCACCCTAGTGTTATCTTGACTCTGCGGGAATGTTGCCCGCTCCCGAAGGAGGGTCATCCTTGGCATGGGGTGAATGCCGACGGATGTGCTTGTCCCGACGAATCATGTAACCGATATTTCAGTACTGCGTAGATTGGCACGGACGAGTCAGGTGGGCGGCGCGGGGGCGCCTCGGTGCTCCCCACGTGCAGTTTGTTTGATCTCCTGAAAGTTAATGATCCATATCGCGGCTCATCTCGTGTACATGGGTCACCATCCTCAATAACGATGCTGCCGTTGCCCGCCATGCCTCCTGGGAGCTGGGTCCACGCAGACAATGCTGCTCCCATGCCCAACGCCGCCAGGCGACGAGTCCGCCTTGCCTGCTTGGAGTGCCGGGCGAAGAAGGTGCGATGTGATGGTGCCGACCCTTGCGGGCGATGCACCAGTTACAGATCGGTGTGCACGTATGCGCAGCCACATGTGCATGCGGCATACTCGCAGTCCCTCGATCGGTCAAGCAGTGCTGACCCGTGCGTACCATATCCATGTGCTTGCCGTGTGGTGTGCAGTGTGCTCCTTACAGACCATGACTGACGAGCACGCAGGCAAGTCGAGATGCTGGCGTCCAAAGTGGCTTCAGTCGAGGCTCTCCTGAGACAGTTTCTTGACGGCTTCTCGTCGGCCCCGGGCGCTGCAAGGGAGGCGAATCCACAAGAGCTCATCCAACGGTCTGGACCGACTCGGTCATTGAATAACGAGGTACTTGCCACGGATGGTCATCGCAGCAGCAGTAGATTTCACGGCTCCATAAGTGCGGTCAACAATGACACCACTGAAATGCGCCGTGCCCAGCCACTGAAGATGCAAGAACTCCTTGCCGCTGTTGAAGCAGACATGCGCCAACCCTCTACCGACAGTGTTGCCAGTGATGGTGATGTCGGAGACGAAAATGAAGCTGGAGATGAAGAGGACGGAGACGAAGAGGACCAGCAGGAGGCGAATGGACCGGGACCTACTTCGGAATCTTCTACGGACAGAGACACACACCAGGACGAGCAGACAATAGCAGCCGAGGCTGGCCAGAGAAACGATGGTACAAGCAAGTCTGAGGACAGCTTCTACGCCGACGGGCTCGGAGAGCTGGATGTGGACAGCCATGGACAGCTTCGATACATCGGTTTGGGGTCTACGGCGCCAGTGGCAGTGGAGAACTGCATCGGGCTGCGTCTTTTCATCACGCAGACTCTCAAGGAAAAGGGGTTCGAGTCCGAGGACATTTTCCTGGGTTCGCCCGAAGCGCATCGAATCAAGGCCCAGCAAAGTGATGAGATACCACCAGAGTTAGCTCTACCTTCGGTGCTTCTGCCTCCTGCAGAGCTCGTACACGTCTTACTGGCAACTTACAAGCATCACCTGGGCGACCTTCTCCCAATAGTTGGCGAATCCGACATCCGCCGCAGGTATGACAACCTAGCGGCGAGCCCAGAGACGTGCGATGCAGCCAATGTGGCAGTTGTCTTCGCGGCACTGGCAGTGGCGACGCCGCTGGTGGATTTTGAAGACGAGGCGTTTGGAGAGTTGGACACGCGATGGCGGACTGACGACAATGGGGCTGCCTTCTACCAGCAGGCCATGGAATTCGTGGACAGCCCGATGAGCAGCACTGGTGGCGCCACAAAGGCCAGGAGCCTGGACATGGTAATCACGTTGAGCCTGCTGAGCGTCTACCATGCTGAGACATCGTCGCAGGCCGAGGCGTGGATTATGGTGGGCCGTGCCATCCGTATTGCGCAGGATATTGGACTCCATCGGTCTCCAAAGCGCCTACGATTGCCCCGGGAGGACTGGGACCAGCGGAGGAACATATGGTGGTGCTTGTACATTATTGAACGGCAACTCTGCACGGGTATATCTGTCCCTGTTAGAGATCATCCCTTGACTCATCATTCCCGTGTGCTCCAGGACATGTGCTAACCTTTCTCGAATAAGCTCTCGGCAGACCTTTGTCTATCAACGATGACGATTGCGACACGGAGATTCCGTTGTGGGACGATGATGGGGACAAGATTGAGGCGAACGGGCGCAACTTGTCAGCCTTCGTCAGCATGATTCACTTGCGTGGGTAGACACCTATTCTCCTGGCTTGCTTGTCCCATGGACTCGAGGACTCAGCGAACGTACACACACGCACTGACTAACCAGCACAACAGACCAGATCACTGGCAAGATTTTACGAATTGTCAACTCACCTGGCTGTGCAAGCTTGTGGGACGGGACGGCCGATGACTCGAAGAAGGAGGAGCTGCGCTCTCAGGTTACCCTCGCCAACGAAGCATTGCGGACATGGGCGCGGGACAAGGTGCCGGAACACATCAAGACGGCGTCTGCCGAGCAGCAAGGACCGGCGTTTGCCGAGAAGCAGGTCATCCTGTCATCCTTCTTCTCGGCCGTGATGTTGCTGTACCGGGCTTTCATGCGCAACCCGCACCGGCCGAGTCTTCTGGCTGGCTCGCAGGCGCAGTTGCGCAGCGCAAAGGCGGCGACGGACTGTATCCGCGGCGCGCCCGAGTTCTTCCGGTGCGTCCCACGTGGCCACATGGCCATATTCCATGGGCAGTATGTGCTCGTCAGCGCGCTGGTTCTGCTCTCGTGCGTCCGTTGGTCCGACGACCCCAAGTTCGTCTACTCAACCCTCAAAGACGTCGAGCAGGCCATGGATATTTTGCAGGGGCTCGGCGGCTTCTGGAGCGGCGCCCACAAATGCCGCGCCAGTGTTGCCGAGTACCTCGAGTTCACCTTTCGTGTTCTCAAAGGCGACCGGACTTGCCACTTTCAGTGCAGTCATCACCACCCTCGTGGTAAGCCGTCGTCGTTGTCGTCGCCTGCCAAACGCTCGGTGGGCCAGACAGGCGTTGGGACCGGGCGCTCGATTCGGAGCGCGAAGCGACGGCGCCACGGGCAGATAACGAGTCCACAGAGGCCATCGCCGTCATCGCCATCATTGGCGCCACAGCCAGTCGATCGCGAGGTCAATGTACCCACCCAATCTCTTCATGAGCAGCAGTCTCACCAGTGTGAGAACCAGCAACAGCAACCAAGAGAGGCGAACCGTCGCCTCGAGTCGGTGAGCGCCAGCCCAGGTTCGGCGGGCCGCATGTTGATATCGACAGGCGGCGCCGTCGAGCCCTCCCTGGCTCAGCTGCAGGACATTACAGGGCAGCAGGCATACTTCGACGGAGGGATCGAGCACCTTCTTGGTGCCTTGCATCCCAACTTCGTCATGCTCGAGCAACAGCTGGGTGAAAGTCCGGATGGCACCTGCATCGATCCTGCAATGGGCGCCTTCCTGCAGCCAGATTCCACAGACGAGTTCCTCCAAGGTCCATTCTTCTATTAGGGCGATATATATTTTGGCGCGCTTCCTAAACTCACCTTAACAAGTTCGCGACTGGGCTTGTCTCAACGTGAATGATCCGTGCGGCAGATTTTGCAGCTACCTTGTTAGGCTATCAAGCCAGTGTCAAGCTGCAAAGGGAGATTTTGCAGTGTGAAAGTTGACACGCAGGAATTTCGTTGGTGTGTTTTATGATTAGAATGGTAGACTTCGTGCTGACTTGGGTGCTTCGGCCGTCCTAGATATAATTATTTCTCGACTCTTCTCGTCTGGTCGTCTTCGGGACCCTCGGGCCGCCCGGGCCGGAGTACGGGTCGTCGGGGTGTGTGGGCTGCCGTCGCCCATGCTGGGTCTCCACAAGTCTTTGTTCCGGCATGCAGTGCCAGTCGCTTTTTTATTCATAGGCCGCGGTCCCCATACACCCAGGTTGTGCCACTCCTCCCATGAAGTGTCAGCATCAGTACGTCAGTAGTCATTCGGACCTCCCGCTTGTTGACCAACCCAGAACGCCAAAGTCATGGATGAGATCCGCAAGGCCATCGCCAGGCACGGCAACATCTGGTCGCCACAAACGAATACGGAGATGATGGAGCTTTACGAGCCACTACACGCGCAACGAGCTCCTGAATTCGAAGCGACAATAGAGGTCGAGAAAGGGATCAAGTACGGCAGCGATGCTCGACACCGAGTCGATGTGTACCGACCAGCGAGAGCGCCAGAGCCAGGAGTTGTCCGATCGGCATTACCCGTGGTGGTCTTCTTCCATGGAGGCAAGTAGCACACCATATGGGATGGCAGAGCGTATTGTCAGGAATTCAAGCACTGACCTACAACATCTGGAGCAGGAGGGTTCACGTCGGGCGATACTGACATCACGCCGTCGATGCATGGAAACATTGGTACGGCATGATGCACCAAGAACAAGATTCGTTTGGTCCAGTCCAGTGCAGTGCAGGCATCACTAACACAGTGCACCGCTGCATTACACAGGCCACTTCCTAGCGAGCAACGGTTGCATTGGCATCCTCGCCACCTACCGGCTCCTGCCGGAGGCGCGATATCCATCGGGCGGGGAAGACGTGTCGCTCGCGCTGCGATGGGTGTGGGATCACGTCAGCCAGTACGGCGGCGACCTGGCGCGCATCACGGCAGTTGGGCAGTCGGCAGGGGGCGCCCACCTGGCCTCGGCGCTCTGGGACGGCCATCTGCACCGCGCCGGCCAAGGTGTAGATCTTCACCTCGCCGGCGTGGTCTTGCTGAGCCCGCCCATGTCGTATGACCTGCGCTTGGCACGCCGGCGCGCCAACATGCTGCAGTATCACAACACCGACAGTGACGAGTATATCCTCGACCGTACGGGAGTGTCCGTCTTCAGCCGCTACGCCAATGCCACAGTTGACAGCAAGGACAATCCCGCGCTCGAGCCCAAGCTACTGCTCATGGTGGCGGAGCTCGACTCGGACGAAATCGTAGAGGCCAACCTTGCCTTTGTGGACGCGTACCGCGCCAGGTATCGGCGGATGCCCCTTTTCGAGGTCGTGGCCGGCCACAATCACATCTCTTATACGTTGGCCATCGGGCTCCCCGAACAAGATCCTGTGGGCAGGCGGGTTCTGGCTTTTGCAACCGCATGATGCAGGCATCCAACTTGTCCAATTTTGCTTCCGTCAGAGTTGGCTTTCGGTGGAGACATGCTCAAATTTTGACAAGTTGTATAAATGGTGGATGGGTGACGGTGATGCGCACTCGGCCAATTGGGGGGAGACGTATGAAGGTTTTACAAGGCAGATAGAAGTGGAGCTCATAGCGAGCAACCTACTATATGCGGATACGTAGACCTGGGAACTTTGGGTGAGGGGGGCCATTGCTCAGACGAAAAGTCGAGGCTACTACGCTCCACAAGAAGTCTGCAGCCATTTGGATTTCGTATCTTCTCTTTCCAGCATACATGTGCACCCACCTCGTGCCAGGATAACAGACGCGATTCTCGAGGCCATGAGTGCATTTGTAGAGATACTTACAGCACCTCATTTACAGCACCGCAGCACAGTATCGACGCACTCCGCGTAATCTGCAGTGAATGCAGATTCGGGGTGATCGATGGTGAGTCCCACCTAGGCAGCAGTCACACGGTGACACCAACTTGACTTTGACTGCATTGCAACTCGCGCGTCAGCTCAGCAGCGAGCCCGCCGGGAGGGGCAGTCATGTAGAACACTTTTTGGGCATATCCCAACTAGCTCACGAATACGAGCAAGTATATTTACCACTCTTAAAATTGTGTTACTACTCTGCCTTACCTACTATTATTACGATAACACATTAAGCGACGAGATGATTTGACGATATGATGGACCAAAGGTTATACATACGAGGACTTTAGCCTCGTGCAAGCTGGTCGGATCAAATGAGCCCAACGCATGCCCAGGTATCGGCCCACATGCCGGCGCAATTAGTCCCGACGGCAGGGTTCCATTTGATGAAGTTAGCAACCGTGATGCCCCGCGCGGCAGCAACATTGCTACAAGTATCCCCCTTCTCCACCAAATAGAAGCTCTTGCAGTTTGATACCATCCCAGGCTGGATAGGAGTCGGTGTGGCGACGCCGTTGCCTGCTGTCTTGGTTGGGGTTGGAGTCGGCGGACGGATGGTGACCGATGGACCTTCCTTGTTTCCAATGCAGGCATAGGTATTAGCCCAAAGACCAGAACAGTCCTCTTTGACGGCTGGATTCCAAATATAGAAGTTGGGGCCGTAAATCCCCGCTGCGTTGATGATTGCTTGACAGGTATCGCCCTTTTGAACATAGTAGAACCTCCTGCAATTTGACGTCATGCCAACTTGAAAAGGCGTTGGAGTAACCACACCATTGCCTGTAGGCGTCGTTGTCGTGCTTGTTGTGGGTTTCAAGGTGATGGAGGGGCCCGCCACATTTTGGAGACACACATATGTGTCAGCCCAGAGCCCGGAACAGTCCTGCATGACGTCGGGGTTCCAGATGTAGAAGTTGGGACCATATATCCCGGCAGCCGTAATGATGGCTTCACAGGTATCGCCCTTGTTGACCTTGTAGAATCGGCGACAATTGGTCGTCATGTGCTCACGGATAGGGAGAGGCGTTGCGACACCATTAGCCCCCGTTGTGGTGGAGCCGGGAGACTTAGTGGTGGTGGCTGCTGACGTGCTTGGAGATGGAGGCTTGGTGGTACTAGCTCCCGGTGAAGTAGTTGTAGGCACCGGTTGAGGTTCTCCCATCGCTGGATAACATGCATGAGCATATGAAAATCATGCAGTGGCAAGCAGTGAGCTCTCCCGGGGGTCTTGACTTTACCTTCAATGCAATACGAGTGCTGGGGAAGGAAGTTTCCACAATTGGCTCCGATGGAAGGGTTCTATGTGCTGTAGGATCAGCAAGAGATTTAAGCTGGGACAAATGTTATCCTGAGAGCTTGAAAGACTAACCCAGCGCCTGAACTGCTCCATGGTGACTCCCCAAGAAGACAACACGGATTGACAGTCATCACCTTCCGCGGTATCGTAGTACCAAGTACAGTAGGGGGTGGTCTTTGGATCGAGTTCAAATGCCTGGCGGGCAACAAGTGGATTGGCCCATGTAAAAGGCAGGGTCGTTGCCAAAAGGCATGCCACAGAAGACTTCATGTTTCCAAAACAGCAAAAAAAGAAGTGAATGATAGTGCTGAGGTTAAGGAAAGTCGGTGTTCCGGATCACGAGGCCTTCGTTGTCTTCCCAAAGTCACCGTTATATATGACGGAGCATGAGCGATGAAGTACGTAGCACATGGTCACGGGGATCTTTTCTAATTGCAAAAGTACTGTGCATGGCCCATTTTAGCGGCTTGCACATACGGAGTAATCTCAAGAAGCTGCCAAAAGGGCCAAACAGTTAACATTGCTGCTTGTGAACTAACAACAATAGATATTGGGACAAGTGCCAAGGGAGCCAGCAAATTCGAAGCGCCCTTGCATTGAAATTCCTTATGCAGCCTTCCTATTTCGGTAAGCCCGCTCCGCGTGCCGTCATCTATGGTCTAAAACGACCAACAAATCATTAACACAATCTTCTGAGTCTTGCGCGATTTCATGGTCTCTTCTAATGGGCCGTGGTCAAGGGGGTTCGCTTTTTCGCCATGTAGCACTGTATTCACCCGCCACCGTTCACCGAGCATGGGTTGTGCGGTCCAGGGGCATTGCTACGTGCGCGCATATACGCCGAGGGCTTGCAGCTTGTGTAACACAGGCCCTCTCAGACCGTGGCTTTTTTTCACGAGTCGGCCCCTGCTTGCCCAACAAAAGGCAGAGTGGGTAGGTAAGTCAAGGACCGGACGAGTGACTAGGGGAGAGGGCACGTCAGTCTCTTTAAGGGCTGCTTTCAGGCAGACAAGGGTTATCTGCATGGGTTTTCATGTTGTCTGGCGTCGCTTAGCCAGATCCCGGTACTGTGTTCTGGCCTTCACCATTGTAAAGTGGTCGTATAACCCTGAACGCGGGCCTGTGCAGCGACAGGGTAGGAGGGTGGCATATTTATTGGGCAATTACTACACGGGCATGAAGAATTGCTACCCGGGCATGACTCTTACACGGGCATGACCTTTTGCAGCCTCTGATTGGTCCATCCCTTTTTGTTAGTGCATCTAGATTCTGCCAACGCTTCCCTTGTACCTCGGGATTAGCTCTCCACCACGACGATCGACGAGACATATGGAAGCTATTCACTAGCTAGCTACTACACCAATTACCTCTTGTCGCATGTCAAGCCTACTGATAATGATTGTTCGTGAAAGATACCATATTTGTCAAGGTCCCAGGGCTCCAGGCGTGGTGTGTTAGGCCCCCTGCTGAGACCAACACTCAAACACACGCTGTATCAGGAATATCCAATAGCCTCATCTTCCAAGGCATCTGCATCACAAAGCAGGTCATTCCTTTGTGCTGAAATTGGTCCCCTCTTTCCTTCTTTCATAGTCAAATCAACTGCCCCTTTAACCATGCGCTCATCCGTGCGTGCGACACTCTTCCTGTCGCGATCAAGGCCGTCATTATGTCCCAGCCCGGCTCTCGATCTAGCTCAGCAAGCAACCAACGACTTCGAAGCTATCAATTACGTCCTCGAAAACGACAGCGGCAGAACCAATCTGAGAGTTCAAGACCACCTTCGTCTAATAGCACAGGGACGAGCATTGGCCCACACTATGGCGTGGGAGACGACGAGGCACTCTGTAATGCTTTCGCCTCGTACCCAGAGACCTTCACGACCGCTCCACGCCCCCATGGATCGCGTGGGCTGAACGAGCCACCATGGGAGCTGCGATTCGATCATGAGATTCACCTATCGAATGATTTCCCAACCCGAGGAAGACGGTCGCAACGAGTAAGAATGCCTATACCAGGCCCGGAAATCGACCAGCCACCTGCCTGCTCTCCACAACAATCAGCACAAGAACAATTCTCTCCAACAAGACCCCAGTTTCAGTCCGCCCTTAGGCTAGTGCGCGAGGTGATTGGGACAGATCGAAGACTTACCATCGAGCTCGTCCGGTCATACGAACGAGTCCGCCAATGGCGCGAGATATGGGGCTACTCGCCGCTCAGTTCAACTCCATTCGAATCATCTCCGCCATACTCGCCTCCCCGAGAAAGGCACTCTCCGCCTATCGCCTCGCCGCCCTCGCCCGACCACCCCTTGTCGCCTGTCCCTGACCCGATCCCGAACCCACCTATCCCAGACGACCCAGCGCCGTCAGCCGAAGTCCTGTTCGAGTGGGTGAATACTTTCGCGAAGGCTAATGGCTTCGGTATTGTTCGACGAAATGCCTACTCATATAAGGGTCGGAAGATCCGGTACTCTTTCCAATGCGATCGATTCGGAGAACCACGCCCCTCAGAGAGTACCGGTATTCGGCAACGGAAGTCTCGAAAGTGTGGTTGTAAATGGATGGTCATTGCCGAAGCACTGGAGGAGGGTAGATGGCTTCTACGACACCACGATAATTCCGAGCATAGCCAGCATAACCACCGGGCCAGTATCAAACCATCCGCCCATCCCTCCCACAGACGACTCACTACACCTATCAGGGCAACAGTCGAATCGACAAGCCGTCGGGTCGGAATTCGGGCCCGTGACGTACGCGCGATCGTCCTGGAGCAGCATCCCGAGTCATCTTTTACACGAAAGGATATCTATAACGCCAGGTCTCGTATCAGTCGAGACAAGTTGAGCGGCCACACTCCTACTGCAGCACTGATCAAGCTGTTCGACGAGATGGAGATTCCCTATCTTGTTAAGTGGGCGGATGATGAGCCAAACCGCCTCGTCGGTCTTGTCTGGACCTTTCCGTACTGCCTCCAGATGTGGAAGCGGTTTCCTGAGGTCATCAGCTTCGACAACACATACAACACCAACCGCTTCAAGCTTCCATTATTCCAAGCAACAGGACAGACCTGCCTTGGTTCTGTCTACAATGCGGCGTTCGGTCTGATCGACAACGAGAGACGGGAGGGGTTCCAGTTCCTCTCTGAGAGCATTCGACAGATCTCAGAGCAGCACTCTATTCGCCAACCGGACGTTATCATTACTGACTTCGACGGTCAGATGAAGGCCGCCCTGAATGATCAGTTCCCTGATGCACAGCAGCAGCTGTGCATCCACCACATCAATTCTAACGTCTTGCTCAAGTCAAAGCAGAAGTGGGTCAAGGGCCAATGTAGCAGTAGTAGTCCCGACAGCAGCAACGGGGAGGACTACGCTCCACAGGCACAGGCTGAGCTCGGCCCGAAAGACGGACAGTTGGTCAACGCGCAGACAGCTGAAGTCGTCCCTCATAGCCATCGAGGGGTTCTCATGATGTGGAAGGTCGTCTTGTTTGCGGAGACAGAGGAGGCTCACGAGAAGGCGTGGGGAAGCCTCTGTAGGGAATTTGACGATCAGCGGGCCATCCTGCGGTATCTCCATGGAACCTACATGCCTGTCAGGGCGCAGTGGGCACGATGTTTCATTCGCAACTATCGCAACTTCGGCATACGCGTCACATCTGGGACAGAAGCAAGCAACAACAACATCAAGAGCTATCTCCTGAATGGTATGAGCAATCTCTATCGGCTTATCGAGGCTATGCAGGACATGATGAAGGACCAGGAGCGAGATTTCAACGACGCCTGCGCAGCGGACGAGGTACTTACCGCGCGAGAGTACATAGGGTCCAGCTCGGAGTATCTAGGCGAACCCCGGACAGCACTCTCTTCGAAGGGTCTCGGGCTTATCAACAAACAATATCGGCTAGCAAGGAAAGCAATGCCGACGGGGAAGAATCCGTTCCCTGACCCCATTGGCGATTGCAGTGAGGACTGCTCGGTTTCGACCGAGCTTGGAATCCCCTGCTGCCACACAATCTACTCAAAGCTGGTGAGTGGCACGCCTCTCACCAAATGGGAGGTCCATCCTCGGTGGCGCCTACGAGAGCCATCCTCTCGAGATCCATACCGACGAATCCTCGACCCTAAGATCGCCACTGCTCTCCGTGGCAGACCTAAGAACACCACACAGGCTGTTCCAGCGCGGCTAGCCATTGAGGCAAGCAGCCAGCCGAGTGGCCAACGAGCCAGCAATCCAGCAAGCCAAGCGACAGGGCGCAGACGAGGTCGACCACCAGGAAGTCACAACAAGTCAACGCTAGCTAGGCTTGCTCTGGAAGCGAGCCAACAGGCCAGCAGCCAGGCTAGTAGCCAGGCCAGTGCCTCATCCCAGCGCCAGACGCGCAGCCGGTCAGCTGTTCTTGGAGCTGGAAGAACTACAGGAGTACGTGCCAACGGACGGAAGACGCAATCTAGCATTCGCAGGCGAAGGAGTCAGTGGGAGCTGCTTTACAGCGACGAGGAGGTTCTTCCATCTATAGTAGTTAGAGGATAGAGATATAGATAGCTGCCCTCTAGGGCGTGCTGGAATTGGCCGTGTTCTGTATTGAAAACCAGACCTTGTTTTGATATACGCCTAAGACCTGTTCTAGAGGCCTGGTTGACCTGGTTGGTTCTGACTATACCGAAAGCACGGCCTTGTTAAGAGAGCTTGCTTCACCGCCTTTGCACTGATGTACCTGTGGGTCGAAGGAAAAAAATGAGCGAATCAGAGGCGATAGAAGTCATGCCCGTGTAAGAGTCATGCCCGGGTAGCAATTCTTCATGCCCGTGTAGTAATTGCCATTTATTGCGCAGGTGGGTAATCCCAGAACCAACAGATATTCAGTGCGTCAATTGGCAATGCAAGAGTATTATCAGAGCCGGGTAAACAGGCGGGATCACACCCTGGGAAGCGCGGTTCGGGAGCTAGGGTCTCCGAATTGCGTGAAGCTGCAGTAGCCTTGAGAAACGGACAACCGAAGACAAGTACAATGCAGACATGTGACAAAAGGCAACCACTGGAGAGAGAGGGTTACATCTTTTGACCTCAGCCCATCGCAAGACTACCCGTTGGTCCTTGGACAATCTGGTTGGTATTACCATAGTCAGCTGTGCCATTTTGAAACGGTTTCAAAGGCTTTAAAGAACACGATGGGAGCAACCGTCTCCTCGTCAGAAGTCATCGCCTTGGCTGGTTTCCGAGAGGGCACGTGTATTATGATACCCAAAAGGCACAAAGGTGCGCCATCATGTCCTCGGCTAGCTGCGAGAATCATTGTACCATGGCTCGGCTTTGTGAAGTGTTGATTGATTGATGGGTCTTTGAAAAATGCATGGCAATGCTCTCTCCTTGATCTAATTTGCGGGCTGCGAAAGCGGGGCACATTTGTCACAAGTGCCAAGTACACTTGAAGCTTATCCGGTACCCCAGAGCTTGGGCAGGGGGCGGGGGGTAGAACTCTAAATTACCACATCCAAGTCCCCGCCACGAGATCTGCCCCTCGCTGATCGTTGAGGCCACCATGTGGAAAATTGAGAGAAACAGGCAGTTCATCAGCAGATCTTGGTTTGGGCATGCCATGAAATTCCTATCTTGCTCTTTGAAGTGTAAAGCAAACTTCTGTGAATTGACGAACTGGCAAAGTTAAAAGAAAAGTGGAAATGCACCATGAAGCATAGAGCTGCATTAAAGGATGTAAAAACAAAGAAGCAACCGAACGAAGGCGAAAAGGACGGTGTTATAATGCGCATGGCATGAGCAATATGACACGCTAGTTCGTTCTTCACTACACAGTACGACATCCGCGCTGCTCTCAGCACTTCCCGGACAGCCTGTCCATGACGGACGAGAAATGTGCTCTGTGCTGATCCAAAACTTGGCGATGTCTCTTGGCTGGCCCGGAATCAGTGCGTCGTGTTCCATAAGCTCTCCCAAAAGCCTTCACCTCGTCAAGCGTGAAGACGCCTGCGGATTGCTGCACAGTGGTAGGGAAGTCGATGGAGTACAACGGGACCGTCGCCTCGTAATGCCACTTCTCCAGCACAGTTTTGACCACGGCATTGTTCCATCCATCTTCTTTGAGGATGTCCTTTGCGAGGTTGATGGTCATGTCGCTTTGTCGCAGTTTGATTGTCTCGTCGATACAATCCCGGAGAATCTTTTCTTCGGAAGTGATCTTCCACAAATCGCCGGAGGCCTTCAAGTCGGTATGGGCTTATAAAATCGATATTCAAAAGGCTCGTTAGCGATTCCGAAAGCTCTCGGCGCGAATGATACATAGCTCTGTGAATTGAGAAGAAAGAACAACCGGACTCACCTAATTCGAACACCTGCCGGATTTGAGCCACAGTTTCATGCCAAGTACCAGCATTGTTTACAAAAAATCTGTTCAGCTGGAAGTTGGTCGGTGCATACGCGAAGAGGAACTTCCACGCCTCGTAGATGTCCGGATGGTCGAGGCTATCCAGATGGTAGACCCCGTTGAGTGTCGTCGGTTTGCCATCGTACGGGAGGATGTCCTCAGTATCGTCAATGTGCGACATGACTTCCAAGAAGTTGTGTCCTCCTTCGGCGTGGGTACCTTCACCATCGGCAAGTCCTGGGAGGAACTTGTTCTGATGCTCGCCCCAGGCACTTACGGCGATGCGATAAGTATAGTACACCGACCCAATCCGCTCCCAGCAACCGGCCGGCCCGCCAGCCAAAGCAAAATGACAGAGCAGGCAGAGTACCGTAAGCAGTTGAGTTTTCCAGGCGACTTCGACCTGGCAGGAAAGCATGATAGCGGTGGGCGAGCGGGAACTGCACTTCGTTTGCCTGAGGCACAATAAGGAACCCACAAACCAAGGTGCCACAAGAGCCAGGTGTGGAAGCTGCTTTATCAACGAGAGAACCAATGCCAGTCTGCGCGTCTGTTACCATGGGTGAGTCCAAGCCGAGAGCTCATGCACGACACAGTCGGAGTGGGTGGGGCAGAGCGGATGGGGTGTCTCTAATTATAGGGGCGTTGCTTAGGGTCTTGGACCCCTCCCCCTGGTCGCCCACCACCATCCATGAATGTTGGCCAGCGCTCAGAAAACTCGCCTGGGCCGAGATGATTGACAACATGGGGCGACCAACAGAAAGCAAATTCCTCCTCTGACACTTTCCTTCGCGCCCTTGCGCCCTTGACAACAGAGGCTACAGACGAAATGGATACTCACGAAGATCCCCAGGACCAGCAAGACCTGCTCGCTCTCCTAGCACAGAAATTATTCAGCAAGGCTGCATGCGAGGCCGTACTGGAAGGGCGTCTTCCATTACCGGGACACCTTGGCAACCCAGATGTCCGACTCTGCCTCGTAGCCGGCATCCGCCGCCATGATGCCCTTGCCCGCTCTGAGCAGCTCACAAGGCTCTGCAATCTCTCCTTTGATGGTCCAGATGACGTCGATGTCGACGTGTTTGTCCGCGCCCGCAACGCCCGTCTCATCATGAGCGGCGAAGTGCCGCCGATGGGCCAAATCTCCCGGCCGAACCACCAGCCGTACTGCATCTGGTACCCCGATGTCGCTGCCGAAGACACGTACCGTCAACTGGCTACTCTTGTTCCAGCAATGAGATACCAGGTCGGCCGCGCCTGTGCCGTGGCCGGCTACGCTGACCTGTACCACGAGCTCGGTCTGCTACCCGACCCTAGCATTGCCGAGGAAGCCCGCGAGAGCCCGCACGAAGCTTCCCGCGCAATCTACACATCCATCATGACCGCTCCTGTTCGCTATGCTGTCATGAACGACTATACCCTCACCATCACGCTCGACTCGCCCCAGCCTGGAGCCGTGCTGAATGCCGATACTGCCGTCTTGTCTACGCTGGCAGCCAGGTACAAATTCGAAAAGACGATACACAGGGCCGCGCCGCAATACTACTTCAACATCACAGAGGATCTTGGCGTCGGCATGGAGCAGGTAGACCCCCAGCCGGCAATCCTCGCGCCTCACGAGGCCGCTTTGCTCACGCAGCCCCTACCACGAGATCTGCCTACGATACACAAAGACTTGCTCATTCTCGTCGCCGCGTACGAAGGCAATGTCGACCGCTACGCCCGCTTGCGACGTCCTGGCCGCAGCGTTGCATATGAGCTTCATTGCCTGGTGCCTGGGGTCCATCGCAATACAGCGATGGCCATGTGGTTGAGCCGGCACCCCGAGATAATCAAGGTAGTCGAAGATGACTGGAATTGGGTTCCACGCGCCCTGCACAGGGCCATCAATGCCCGGCACGTCATGAACGGCTACACAGATCATCTGATGCCCACAGCGGACCCCTTCGTCCCTGACGACGAGCTGCCCTACTGGATCTGGTACCCGACGATACCTGCTCCCAGTATCCTTTACAAGCTTGCCCAAGCCAGACCCGCCATGCGCCCCCAATGTGTGCGGGCCTGCATTGCTGGGGATTTCAAAAATACGTATACCGACATCATGAACGATTACGGGCCGGACGAGTTTGAGCGAGACAAGCGACACGACAGGGTGCCACTTCCCGCTGTGCTCGCCATAAACGTGGAGGCAGAGCGCTCCGTGAGCCACGAGTGGTATCTTGAAGACTTGAGCAGACGCCGCGAAGAGCTCGGCATCACACCCAACAGGCCGTCTCGCAGGGGGCGCAACACCACAAGGTGGCAACTCGAACATCCCTGGATGGTCGGGGATCAGTACTCGGGGGAAGACCTTCTTGCGGGCGGTCTGACTGATGATGCGCAGTGCATCGTCCTCGAGGGCCAGGACTGGGGCATGTGGGAACTCCTTGGGGCCGAGCTGGGCCGTGTCAGGCGGTATCTCAGCTCCCATCAACATTTGTTTGAATGAGATTCTATAGTACACCCCTTTCGTATTTATTTCAAGAGAACGTATCACAAAAATGGACAAAATGCGTGATCACATTCTTCACATATCGCCTTCGGTAGAGTCAGACGAAAGGCGTATAAAACTCATTGGCTCCTGCCCGAAGCTTATTGGGCATTGGTACATACACATAGATTCTCCATGGTCATTGTGCGTCAGACATCAAGTGAAAAGAACCAGCAAGGTGATGGGGGTAAACCTGCGGCCTGCTCGACTTGATCCGGGCTGGTCCATGCCGTCCTGAATCTGGGTCACCCGTCTTTCACCCGTCTCCTGAGTCGGCATGTGCAACGAGCCATACCTGAGAAACAACCTCGCCAATACAACAAGGAATATCAATTAGAGGGACTGAAGTGCCGTGATACGGCGTGAGGACCAAGGAGTGTGGGTGTGTGACTAGAAGGTGGGGGAAGAGGCTACGTAGAAAGGAACTTTAGGCAAATGAAGTGCGAAACCACCCTCAATTTCGCTGCACCGCATGCATCATGCAGTTGGTCACAGGAGTCGGTCCACCACGAAAGCGGAGGAGAATCTCACTTGCAGGATACGATGAAGGTTGAGCGGGACAGGGGACAAGCTTTTCTTACTTGCGACGACCAGGGGGAACCAACATCAGGACATTGCAACCCTGTCTGGCTTGGCATCAGCAAGGGTAAGAAGACGGCGTTCGCACCACCGGGCCAGGGGATCTTGAAGAACTTGCAACGGCAAGTCAAATTCATGTCGGTCCGGAAACAACACATCCGGGAAAGGCATGGATTTCTCCATACGCATTGGACTGGTAATGTAAGGTGATGGACCGATTTCGGAAATGAGTTATTGTTGGTTGATGAAATATTTGCGTGGGAGAACTTGGGTAACATACCGTTGTCCGGACGGCACAAATGCTCCCTTTCTATTAGGCTCAAGCATGTGAAAACATTCACTGAGAAATGGGGTATAGCAGCGGTAGCCGTTGAATCTCATGACATGTTTTCTGGTACCATAACTATTCTCTCGCGATAATGAGAAAACCCCACCCGACCACATCACAGCATCAACCGCAAGACTCTATGGTGGAAGTCATTCGACCCCATCACATTCTCTCACTATTTTCTTCACGTCCTCCAACAGGTCCCTCTGGACCAATGGCGCATATACGGGGACTTCGATCCAGCTGTCGCGTGGGCATGACTGCTGTTGCGCTGTTATTGTCGTTATCCACAGTTTTGGCCGCCGATGTGGACGTCGTCACCCCGTTGCTACACAATGTCCAGCTCCAATACTGCCCACAGGCTTGCGAGTTTGCAGGCCCAGATCCGGCAGGGTGGACAACCTATCACAGTATGACCGAACTCGAGCTCTGCCAAGAGTCGCCAGTCCTGTTTGTCTTGGCCATTGATGCCGACCCGGAGCATACACGGATAAAGGCATGCAGCACGCTATCGGCCGGCCCTCAAATGCAGGTCGGGGCGTTCTACGGCCTGCTCAACAACAACGTGACGGCGCAGCCCTCTCCAGAGATCATCATGTCCGAGTTAGCGCTCGGATCCGGCGATGAAGAGGGCGGTCGCGAGGGAGCAAACGCTAGGATGGCTCGCATCATGGCCGCGCGAGCGGACATCAGCGGAGCCGTGTGTGGCCTGGCGAAAACCCACCGCGCCACGCTCGAAATAAAGACACAGTGGTGGTCGACCTCGTCACAGCACGGAACAGTCGGCACAAGCGCAAGCAGCGGCGGCGGCATCGCAGATGCACTGGCAAAGCTCCAGAGGCACTGGGCTAGCGGCGACGCTGGATGTGGCTACTCGGTCATGTTTGCACGCTCCGGTGCAAGTGTTGCAACCGTCATTGCTGGAGGCGACCTGGTCAACTCTGGCGTGGCCGACCTGATAGACAACATCGCTGGGCTGCATGACGACGGCGGAAATGGCCGTCTCGCCGCACAGGCATGTGGGCCTCCGCCCGCAGATGAGGCTGAGGATTCCACGGCCAGCCTGGCTCGCATCTTCTTCGACACTCGATTTGGCCTTTTTGCAGATGAGGGTGGCGATGTGGCATTTCTGCAAGACTCTGTCAAGCGGTACATGCGCAGCCAGCAGGACTGCATTGATTTTGCGGGTGTCGTTAGCGGCTCGGACACAAGCTTGCGGTCCGTCACCGTTCTCGGAGACGCGCTGGATCTCGAACTGGAGCCGGTGCTGGCGCCAGCGCTGGCCTCTGGAGCTCCTAGTGCCCACCACCGGCATGGTCGGCATGGGCCGGGCATGGCGCATACACACCAGCATCAGGCACTGCACCGCCGAGCGACATGCCGAGACACCCAGGTTGTCTCGGGAGACACGTGCCCGAAGCTCGCAGCCAGGTGTGGGATTACGAGCAAGGAGTTCATGGTGTACAACGGCTTGCGCAACAGCACCGACTTCTGCAACAACCTGGCGGTCAAGCAGTATGTCTGCTGCAGCGCGGGAGACCTGCCCGATCACACTCCGCAGCCCAACGCGGACGGAACATGCCAGACGTACACGCTCGCCATGGGAGACGGCTGCTGGGCCATCGGAGATAAGTTCGGCGTCACCGAGGCCTGGATCGAAGAGGTCAACGCCCGGACGTTCGGCTTTGCCGGCTGCGGAAAGCTCGCGCGCGCGCAGGTCATCTGCATCAGCAAGGGAGACCCGCCGATGCCCGCGTACGATCCATCGGCCGTCTGCGGACCTTGGGTCGTCGGCACAAAGCGCCCGGCCAATTATGACGACGTGCCTCGGCTCAATCCGTGTCCCCTTAATGCGTGCTGCGACGTTTGGGGTCAATGTGGTACCACGGCTGAGTTTTGCACCAAGAGCGAGGTCAACGGGCATGTCGGGACCGCGATGCCAAGCACCAATGGCTGCATTTCCAACTGCGGCACTGACATCATCAATAACGGAGCCGGCCCGGCCTCGTTCGCCAAGGTGGGCTATTTTGAAGCCTGGAACAAGAACCGCCCCTGCTTGAGGATGGATGTGACGCAAATTGACCTCAGCGCAATCACCCACATCCACTTTGCGTTCGCCGGCATATCCTCGCCAGACTTCAAGGTCACCTTGGACAAAGACGTGCAGGAGCAATTTGACAAGTTCAAGAACATGGACTCCAAGGGCGTCAAGAAAATCCTCAGTTTCGGCGGCTGGTCTTTCAGTACGGACTATGATACGGCGCCCATCTTTGGAACTAGCGTCTCGGCGGCGAATCGGCAGACTTTTGCAACAAATGTAGTACAGTTCCTGAAGGACAACAACCTGGATGGTCTCGACTTTGACTGGGAGTACCCAGGAGCGACTGACATCCCAGGATCTGTACCCGGAAGCCCGACCGACGGTGCCAACTACCTGGCCTTTCTACAAGCAGTCAAGAGCAAGCTCCCGGTCGGGAAAACAGTCTCAATTGCTCTCCCAGCTTCGTACTGGTATCTGCGGGGATTTCCAGTCAACAAGATGGCCACAATTGTGAACTATTTTGTTTACATGACGTACGACCTGCATGGGCAGTGGGACGCTGGGAGCAAGTGGTCGAACCCGGGCTGTCCGACTGGCAGTTGCCTCCGAAGCCATGTCAATCGTACAGAAACGATCAACGCGCTCAGTATGGTTACAAAGGCCGGTGCCAGAACGAACCAGATCATGCTGGGTGTCTCAAGTTACGGGCGCAGCTTTCGCATGAAAGACCCCAACTGCACAGGCGTCGACTGCCTTTTCACGGGGTCCAACACTGCGAGCGAGGCCCACCCAGGCTCGTGCACGCGGACTAGGGGCTATATCTCTGATGCGGAAATTGCCAATATCATTGCGGCAGACGAGACTGGGAGAGTCACAACATGGTTGGATCAGCGGTCGGCTTCGAACATCATGACCTGGGACGGCAACTGGGTCGCGTACATGGACAAGGACCAAAAGCTGGCGCAGACGCGATGGGCAGAGGCGTTGAAATTGGGCGGGACGACAGACTGGGCCATCGACTTACAGACGTGGCACGAAGCTGTCGCGGGCGATACATCAGGTGGCGAGAATATATACGGCAAGGTTGTGGAGTGCACAGCAACTTTCAACAGCCTCGACGCTCTGGAACTCTCTGCCTCCGCCGGCTCGGTCCCTCCATCTTGTCTGCCAATATACCTGCTCGAGACACTTACGACTGAGCTTGACCACATCATCGCTACATACGAGGACACAAATAACAATTATGAAGGCAAGTTCGCCCATTACGCCGACTACGTCGCGAGCCTGGTGGATCCGAAGCTTAATGTGTGGATGGACAACTTCAACTACGACGAGACAGAAAAGAAAGGGCTTGGCAACAAATACTTCAACTGCAAATACAAATCGGCGCTGGCAAGCGGTTGGGAGTACGAGGGCCCTTGCCCGGTCCCTAGTCGCGCGATGCAACAGGGCGGTCAGGGCGACCCGGAGCACGATCCCGAATCGTGGACCATTACTTACACTCTGCGCGACGAGCAGGGGTACAAAAAGGCACTTTCAGACGACCTTGGAATATCTCCAGATTGGATAGTCTGGGGTTCTCGGGATCGCGGCGTGCCTCACGTGTGCGAACGTCCGACCCTATGTACCGACCAGTATCATCAATACCTCAACGGGAACTTCCCGCGCAAGGCCCAACAGATCACTGTGACTGATCCCAAAACCATCTGGGACTCGGCCATGGCCAATATCGGCGGTTTACGCGACCAGTTTGCTGCCGCAATCCTCAGTGTCAGCCTTGGCCTGTACGACCCCAAGCACGATCCCATGGAAGCTGCCATTGCCTTGGCCGTTCCGGTGCAAATGCTTGCGCAGGCGCGCCAGAGTATGGAACAGGTCAAGGAGATCGGCGGCGAGATTGAAGAACGGGAGAAAAAGGAGCATATTCTGCTCATCGTCACAATTGTGCTGATGGTGTTCCCCTTTGTAGCCGAAATTGGTTTGGAGATTGCGGGTCTGGCCACCATGGCAAGGTTGGCCATGATCGCTGGAGAGATCGCCAACGGTGCCCTGTCTGTGATTGACATTATGGAAGATCCTTCCTCGGCGCCTATGGCCATCATGGGGATGCTCTTGGGCGCTGCGGGAGCTGGCAAAGGCAAGACACTAGAGACAAACATGGAAGAGGCGGTCAAGACTAAGAACCTCATGGACGCTGGCGCTGTGGCGAAGATGGGTAATACATTCAAGATCATGGATGATAAAGTCAGAGAAATCAGCAAGTCTTGTTCAAGGTAGCCTCGGCCAAACCTACTGAACCAAATCTTGGAGACAATTCCAAAATAAAATCTGGCAAAGATATGCCCACTCCACTACTGCTCGTTCTTAATGCATGCTCCAGTGATCGTGTCCGAAAAGAAGAGAGAATAGAGAGAGAAAGGAAAATTCATGAGGAGGACTCACGATCTTGGTGATGAATTCAGGCTCCAGACTATCAAGTCATGGCTATTGCCATCTCATATCAGACTGGAGCCCCCTCAAAGTACGGAACAATTGTAGGCTTTTCATAGCAAGATATCACAAGCTCCCGACAGGAACTTTGTCAGATTTCCGTATTAAATGTTAAGGAAGATTGATGTTATTGGCGACTTGTACTCAAAGAACCCCAAACGAGGACTCAGCCTCTGCCGACAAGCTGCGTTGTGCCGTGGCGCCCAACCCTACGCTGGCTTGGCATAAGTGGACAAACCTGTGCAAGTACTGCGCTAGACTGCGTTTACAGCTTGACACCAGCAATGCTGCCACGGCGAGAACGTCCAACGGCCAGTTCCATGGCTAGACTAAGTACGAAGCGCTTCAATTGAGTAAGGACTGCTTCGACTCAGTCCGATTGATTCTTTGATTTTTACAATTGGTTGTAAGCACGAGCAGCGAGCAGTCACAGTCTGAACCTCATACCAGTTTCACGTCTGGCTGATTGTGCTCTACTGGCAAAAACCAGTCTCGACCTCGGGACCCATGCTCACGCCAGCTTGCATAAGATCAGGTCATCACACTCGTCAGATCACGGGGTCTCGAAACTTACCCCAGGCGCTGCGGCTGCAGTACCCGCCTCAGGGACGCGTCAGGGGGGCAGCGAATGCAGGTGTCAGGGGTCAGGCCTTCAGCTGACGCGATCCCCAGCCTTGCAACCATGGCCTGCCTTGCACCCGAGTCAAGTCTTCGACTCTCCCAACTTCTAGCAGACAGCTTGTGCGTCTTAACTGGCTTAAGGTTAACAAAATTCTTGCGCCTCCAGCCGACCAATGGCGGTGGCAACTGGATTCCCGCCCAAAACGCTCTTGGACAAGGACGAAGAGCCGCGTCTCACAGTGGAGCTGCTCAGACAGATTCAAAGCGACCAGCAGCGTATCACCCGGTTGCTCTCCGACAGGTTCGAGCCGAACCGCCACGTCCCAGAACTCGCCAAAGAGATATGGCAGTCGAAGCACAATGCCTGGGACGGCTCCAACCAGGAGTACTGGGCGCGCGAGAGTCCAGATGCCAACCTGGGCCTCGAGTTCCTCAAGACCCTGTGTCCGGGAGGGCAAGTTGCCAGCACAGTCGGCGCCAGTGACATCGACATCTCAGAGCATATTCAAGGTATTGAAAGGCGTGAGGAGCAGGGTCGCTGGCTTCAGAAGTTCAGTGGCGGCACGAGGCGCCGCTGGGGCGCAGTCCCGACTCTACAAGTGGCCCTGGCGAAGTTCAACAGGTGGCTCTCCTCCCATCGCGGTGCCATTGCTATGGTAGCTGGCGCACGAGGAGGTGGCGCCGATGATGTCTGGCCCGATGCCTGGTTCGCCGATCCGCTCGCCGACGAAGCCGGCAACGTGGCCACTACTGCTACTGTGGTTCCGCACACGCTGGAGGACCCCTTCACCTACTACCATGCTGTAGGGGGCATGGCCAGACCTGGTGAGGTACGTTGGGTTGCCCTACCGTGAAGGCTGAAATGAAGGCTGAAATGATTCTGCTTACTGGGTGATGGATAAGACACAACCTGACCATACGAGCATAGATCTTACCTGGCGTGCCTACGGACGAAGAGTCCAAGATCCCCATATGCGGTGTCGTATAGTATGTATACTTCCTTACATCCAGCACTCTGCTCTTTTGCTCCTGCCTTGCTGATGGCTGGTACGCAGCTTATGTTCCATCGGTCGCCGTCCGGGCATTATCGACTTCAACACGACTGCCACACTCCTGTCGCTTGCCCCGAGTGCCGTGTTTCTCGACGGCCACACTGTCTCGTGGCGACGTCGCGACAAAGGGCCTTGTTACGAAATAATCAAATTCCAGAGTGCCAAAAGCGCCATGTCGCTTAGCGAGCTCGAGTCGCCCGGCCACCTCTCGTATGGCATGGTGATGTTCCACATCCGGTCCTTTGTCGTCGTGGGTCCGGACGATGGCGTTCTTCCTCCCCCAGAGAAGTGGTTCCGCGGTGTGCGATGCGTGCGTGAGCGGACTGCGTTCCAGGGTTTCTATGACGACCAGACTCTGCACCTGGCAGAGAGACGGTACTCGACGGCTCTCAGCATGTTACCTCTGCAGCAGCCTTCCGGCCACTTCTCGTTGGTGTCTATTATCGACGTTAGCGTCGCTGAGGATCCTGATCTCGTCTGGGGCATGGCCCCCGGGTACGAGAGAGTCTACGACAGGCGCAGTGCACCGTGGGAGAGGTATGGTCTGCATCCTGCAGGCCTCTACAGCGGCGTCTCGGCGCTACAGCTCCAGGTTTGCTCGTTTCTCGAGAGCTGGGGCCGGGACTGGAACCGCACTATCGACGCCATTGACAGCAAGGTCTCGGTGCAGGTGAGCGAGCACGTTCTGTTGTGGATGCAGCTTGTTTAGCCATGACCTCCGGACTCACTGACTAATACTTCAACTCTCCTAGCTCGACGTACTCGAAGACGCCACCCAGTTAAGACGACTGGTCCTTAAGACGAAATCCGACGCCTCGGTCCTCTACTTCAAGGTCTTGCAGCTACTCGGCATCTTTTCCGACGCGGTGTCCGAGGTCGAGGGTGCTCTAGAGGCTCTGGAGAGAGCCTGCCGCAACCCCGAGGTCTTTTTGGGGAATGCCTTTCACAAGACGTATCCCCATACCACCGCTACTATGCGTGTTCTCGACCAGAATTGGAGCGTAGCCAAGGCCTTGCATAAGGATCTTGCGGGGAGGGTCCAGGAGCGCCTGGATCGGTCGAAGCACGAGGTTCTCGGTCTTCGTGATGGCGTAAGTCATTCATTTCATGTGTACTGGCAGGTGGCCTCATGTTGCGTCTGAACTGCCACTCGAGCCTGGCATAACCATCCTGACAATTCTGGCATCTAGCTCTTCAACGTCCAATCTGTCGTCGAGGCGCAAAAGAGCTTTGAACTCAACAAGTACCTATTCGTATTCACCGTCGTTACTATCGTCTATCTTCCGCCAACCTTTGTAGCAGTAAGCATTGTCTCTTCTTTTGAACCTTGGCCCTCTAGACCCTCTGGCTGAAGCAAGGCAAACACTATGCTGACATCACGCTTCCGCTCCTGTCACAGAGCTTCTTCGGGATGGAGATCTTCAATGCCGACACCGTTCCCGAGACCCAGACCTTCTTCTGGACGCTCATCAAGTGGTTCTGCGCGGTCACGTACGTTCTCGCCATCGCCGCGTTGATCGGAACGCGTCTGCTCCCGTCAAGTGACAGACTCAAAGCTTGGAACCCGATCCGGTGGGGCGTCCCAAGTCCTGCAAATCCCACTCGGGCTGGGGTGACAATGGGGAGCAAAGCTGCATGGACAAACCGTGGGGATGCGAACATCCTCTTTGCGCTTGTGCGGCACGCAGCCATGGTTGTAAGTTCTTGGGCACTCGCGGTCCTCAGGGCTTTAGATCGAGCAGTGCATCGCATGGCTTTCTTGTTCTCAGCGCAAGGGACGCAGAAAACGGGGGAGAAGAACGCAGCTGCGATGCCTGCAGCTAGTGCTGCGTGATTGGCGTGCTGCGTATTTCTGCGGACTTTAGGCATGTTTGCCCGTGGGATCTCAACACCAGTCAAACACGAGACCTGGCCCGTCGTCCTGATTACAGCGCAAGGCTGAAGTGAGGCTTGGCTGTCGGTGGAGAAGGATTTGCGAAACTAGCCTGATTTCAATAAGCCATTCTTGGCAGTGTACAGTAACAGCCAGTTAAAGCACCCGCTGGCGAGTCCGCACGTCATGTGAAACCCTTGCAATTGCACTCGACGTCATTGCTAGCGAATACATATCAAAAGTGGCTGGCCTCGAGAAAGGTACAAATGAAATGTCACTGCACACACGCTAAGCACTAGCATTGGCACACGACCTGTCAAGATCATAGTGCTTTTTTACTGTGTGCAAATTCCACGGCACATGCAAGGAAATAACTGAATCCCTACTTCAAGATGCTTCTGCTTGATCTGCGAGGATCTTAAGGACTCTCAGCGATATCTTCCTTGAATGCATAACACCTGTCGAGACTAGACGCAGACCTGTTTCGCACTACACAAATCATGTTCCCAACACGATCCTCCATGCCGTACGGTTGGGCATTCCTCTCAGGTGTCTTACTGGGGCTAAGCAGCCTGACCACGGCCACGCCTCACTAGAGCGTCTAACGACACCGCTCTATATGTCGCGCCTAATTCCAACCCCGACGCCACAGGGAGGGTGCCTGTCCCTGGCTTCAACCTGAATTTAGCCTTCCCGGGAAAGCCGGCTCAGTGGAGTCTCGAGCTCAATGTCACCCAGAACGGAACCGGTCCAATGTATTATGAGGTCTTTCCCAACAACTCGACCACCATCACGGCACGCCTGGTGCCTCCGGCTCCGGGCACGCCCGGTGCGCTCACAGATGCCGACGGGGACTGGGCTGTCGAAGACGCAGCGACCTTGAAGTCGTGGCACGTGACAATGGTCAGCTGGTGGACCGGGAACTCGTTACACACGGTGGCGGATGCCAACGATCTTGAGGACTGGTCCTGTCCCGCGAGCGCGATGAGCCAGGAATGCATGGAAAAGATGCGCCATGCCGTCATGGCCGATCCACGCATCGTCAGCAGCGACATGACGCTGTCTTCGTCGCTCCCAAGCTGTGGTGGGGAGTACACCGTGCCATTCTCTACTAGTAGGTTGTCCCCCCTGGCGAAACCCCTCACCCTGGAATGCCGGTTCATGTCGGTGCCACTTAGGAGGATGCGGAACTTCTTATTTTGAACCTCCAGGACGACTACAACTCCTCCATCTTCTAATTAGGAATGCACCATGGCAGGCCTCTAACTAACACTTCCTTGGTCAATCAGGAATGGCAATGAACAGTACCTTCATGAATGACACTACACTGCTGTGGGAGCGTGCTAACGAATTCGACTACTACAACACCTACGGCTCCAAGACGTTCCCTGTCATTGTCATCTGGGGCAGCAACGACACTTCAAAACCCCTTACGGAAGGCCACATGCAGTTTGCCTGCGTCAAGGCCGATACTCCCGCGCGGGAGGGTGTTGCACTACCAACGGGTGCGGCGAGCGCGATTGTGGACTCGAGGATGAAATTCGCGTGGGTGGCAGTGGCAAGCGTGGTTGGTTTTGTGCTCCTCGCCTAAGCAGACAGCACCACACGGGGAGTCCATCGAGCAATGTCAGATTTGAGACGATTTATAATCTTGTCCACAAATAGCATCCCCTTGCTATGCTGAGTAGCATGTTCGAGGTCGACCCGATGTATGCTCAATTGTTGCGAGAGTCCCGTTTGCTGGTTGTCCGCTTTTGTGCACGTAATCTAACAGCTCACCTGAATCCCAGCAAGTACACGGCTCAGAAGGGCATGTCAAGATCTTTGGCTATATTTAGTGGTGGGAAAAGCTGACGCTAACGGTACACGTCGCGTTAGATCCCTTTGTGCCAGTCTAAGGAGGGCTGAGTGGCGATATTTGAACAATCAGGCTTGCCCTCCAACATTATTGCTCTCCTCGTTACCCTTGAACATGATCTAGGCTCGCCTCGACTACAAGACGTTAGGCACATCGAATGTCTCTTGTTAACAAAACGATGTTTCCCAAGTTCTAATCTCTATGCTAGCTGATAACCTTAGTCCCATGCCCGCTCAATGTCCATAAGTAGATCCTGCGAATCGAAAGCGTAGGCGGGCGATTGCAAGGCGGACAGAATGGGATGCCCATGGCTCGTCAGGGTCAGTATTGCCAGGGCGAGTCGACGCTGTGACAGAGATGGACTAGCCGCGATAGATCCCTAGATTTGGATCGGCCTAATTCGAGTGAGACTAGCCCAAAATCTCCTGCTGAGGGTCAATCGGAGCCCGAGATATGCCCGCAGGTGACAGGGCGTTCAAGTACTTCGCTGGGGCGACTGTGATGAAGACGGCAGAGGAGGACAATTCATTAGCACGCGAGAGGACGTTGGAAGTATAAATTGGGGATGCGGTAGCGATTGGAGTACAAAGTTCATCCAGATGCATCTAAGATACAGGTAGTTCTTGGAGTTGGGGTGGCGGCCCAGTTAAGCCCGCCCTTGTCCCACACTACGCAAGGCGCGGCCCCGTGGGGATTGCTTCCCTGTGTCGAGCCGCACGTGGGGCCGCAAGCTCTGACGTAGTCTGTGACGACAAGCCAATGTGATCTCCGATTTGACGCGATCACCATGCTGCGGATTCCCCCTTTGGGATTCCCGAGAAGGCCAATTGATTTCACAAAGAACAGTTGTCTCCTTGACATGAGCATGCATGAGGAGGTGGTTCCCGCGTCTCACCTCCCTTATTTGAACTACTACGTAAAAGTCGACCTGTTCGTCTGCTCATCTTCCTACCTTGACAGGGTCCGAGTAAGCATCCCACGGCAAGATGAGAACCTGGTTTGGGAGTGGCAAGAAGCTGCAGAGGGCCGTCACGTCCTGCTGCCTTTGCGCTTTCATCCTTTACGGCTACGAACAAGGTGTCTTTGGGGGCATCCTCGAGAACGAAAATTGGCTGAACCAGTTCAACCACCCAGACGACACACTGACAGGTCTCATCACGGGCAGCTATAATATCGGTGCAATTCTTGGGTGCTTTCTCAACTTTTTCATTGGCGAGTTCCTTGGCCGGAGGCGGACCATCTGGTTTGCCATGTCCTGGATCATCGTGGGTGCTGCACTCCAGGCCTCTGCATACCAGCTTGCGCATCTCATCGTTGGACGGATCATCACAGGCGTCGGCACAGGCCTGAAGACATCCACTGTTCCCATGTAGGGCATTCACCTGGTCCACAGCTTGCATTTTTCGTGGAAGCCACTTGCTCACGCAATAACAGGTATCAATCAGAGCTCTGTGAGGGAAAACGGCGAGGTCGACTTGTTTCCCAAGAGGTCATGTTTGTCGGCCTCGGCATCGCATTTGCCTATTGGTGGGACTTTGCGCTCAGTTTTGTTGGCGGAGCCTTTGCCTGGCGATTCCCTCTCGCTTTTCAAGCCGTATTTGCCTTCTGGGTCGTGTTTGTTGTCTTTGGCGTGCCCGAGTCGCCGCGGTGGCTGCTTAACCACGGCAACAATCGTGAGGAGGCACTCCGAGTTCTGGCAGCTATTTACGACAAGCCAACGGATCATCCCGACATTCTGGAAGAGGTCAACTCGATCCAGAAGGCGCTTGCGGTGGAGGACAAGGCACAGGCATCGTGGTCAGCAACATTTCGCAACGACAAGGTCAAGACAAGAAAGCGAGTCTTTCTTGCTTGGTTTGGTCAGTTTATGAACCAGGTTGGTGGCATAAACCTCGTTGTTTATTACGTTTTGAGTGAGTGACCTTTGTACCCCTCCTCATGACAGCTGCTCGCCCGGCAGGAAATCAATGGCTAACCCTGGCTTATATCCGGCAGCTGTGCTCCAGGAAAATGTCGGTCTGGAGCACCGCCTGGCCCAAATCATTGCTGGTTGCATCCAGCTCATGTTTCCCCTGGGATCCCTCATCCCTTCGCTCGCTCTTGATCGCATGGGCCGTAGGCCGACCATGATGTGGGGATCCCTGTTCATGGGCGCCTCGATGATGTTTGTTGCGGCGCTGCTGTCTCAGTCCGACGGGACGACTCGGGGCAAGTCCTTCTCGTCTGCCGCAATCGCCTTCTTCTTTACGTACATGTTTACTTTTGGCGCCACGATGAACTGCGTGCCGTGGGTCTATGTCCCCGAGATCCTGCCACTACATGCGCGAACCAAAGGGACGGCCATCGGAGTGAGCTCCAACTGGCTGTGGAATTTCACTGTGGTGTGTATTACGAACAGGAACCCTCTATTGACTTGGGAGCTTGTTGCTGACATGTTGGGTGCACTAAACAGGTCATGATCACACCCATTCTGATCAACCGGCTGCAGTGGAAGACGTATCTGATCTTCACGGCGACCAACATTGTCTTCATCCCCATCATTTTCTTTTTGTTCCCGGAAACGTCCAACCTGGCGCTGGAAGAGATAGACTGCATTTTCGCAACCGACGAGAACTCTGTTTCGGCGGCAGGGAAGATGCAGAAGCAGTTGAAGTTGCACGGAAGACTGGACATGGGCAGCTCGACCACGGCGGACGAGCCCAAGGAGGGTCATGTGGTGCATGCGGAGTGAGAGGTGGCTTTTTCGGGGCTTCTGGATTATGTGGGATGTCATGTCTCTTCACTTCATAGCCGACCACCAAAAGGACTTTTGCAAATGGGGTCGAACAAGGGAGTGAGACTAGTTTACGCGTGTTGCCTCGTTTATCTGACGAGGCGCAGTATTCAGTACACGATACTCTGCCAGTTGCTAAGAGAGAAGAGGTGAAGAATTAAAAGTCGTACACCGAAACTCGTTTCGGTAACAACGCGCCTGCCCAAATATGTGATGACAGCTGTGAGGCCACCGCATGCGCAGATGCTCTCGCCCACTGGGAATCGAGGGTCCTAATAGAGCTAGGGACCCTAGCAGCCAAGCTCCTGATTCCGAGCTTCCGGCTGGAGCCAGTCTGATTGGTTCGATGATGAACGGGAACGGGGCCATCAAGTACCCCTAGCTAGCTCTAGCCGCTAAACTGCTCTCTTCCCGTGCGGCACCACGCGCCACAAAGGAAGGTGACGAAATACAGCCAACGGTGTCTCTGAATTTTTCCCTCGTCTTGCCTTGCGCAGCACACCCACCGACTGCCCACCGAACAGCACGCAGTCACCGAGAGACGGGCCACACTGCAGTCGGTCAGCCGGGCCATCCTTCCTCTCCCTCGGCCACCACTTACCACTGCTGGCACAAGGGCGGCAGCCTGGCAACCGAACCATGGCACCCCGCTGACCATTCATCATCTCCCTGCGCCCGCCCCTCCATTCCACCACTCAGCACCCAGCACCCCATCGCAATGGCCTCGTCGGCCGGAGCTGCTGTCTCCGCCGGCCCAGCTGCTGCCAGCAGCAGCAAAAGCAGGACACAGGGCGGTGCCGACACCTCTCACCCCGTTGCCACACCGCCGGCCGGCCCCCGGCTAGCCCCGAGGGGGGACATCCCGGCCACGGCACCAGCCACCTCGACGCCGGCCCCGGCCCCGGCCCCGGCCGTCGCCGATCAGAACCACCACCACCATCACCAGTCCGCTGCTGCTGCCGCCGCCCGTCGCCGCCGCCGCATTGGCAAGGCCTGCGACGACTGCCGCCGCCGCAAGATCAAGTGCGACGGCAACAACCCCTGCTCCGGCTGTGCCGAGTTCTCGTCCCCGTGTACCTATACCGCGCTGCCCAGGCGGGACGACCTGGTCCAGCACGGCCAGCTCCAGGTTCTCCAGCAGAAGCTGCAGGCAGCCGAGTCCCTCCTGGCCAAGCTGCTGCGCCGTCCTGGTCCTCCGCTTGCAACTCCAGCCGAGCAGCTAGCGCTCAGTGCGGACACGAGGACGGCCGGCTCGTCAGCGGCCCAGACGCCCGCCAGCACCGCCTCCTCCCCTCAGACTGCCGACAAGGCCGCAGAGGACGCCCGCAACATCTCGCTGTTCCAGGACTTTGCTCAGCTCAACCTGGTCGACGATGGCGGCGAGTCCGACTTCTATGGGCTTTCGTCCAGCGCCGCCTTCCTCAGCCGCATCACCCAGGAGCTCCCCGAGCTCACCCGCTACGACTCTCGCATCCCCTTCCTGCCTCACGCGTCCCTGCCTTCGATAGCCTGGACGCCGGCCTTGGCTGGAGTGCCGTGGCAGTCCTCGTATGACCACTCCAGACTCCCGGACCGTGAGACCGCCCGTGTCCTGTGCCAATATGCATTCGACTGTGGCTCCTGCCTCCTGCGCACTGTCCACGTCCCCTCGTTCTTTGCCATGTTTGACAAGCTCTATCAGACACGGCCGTCCATCTACACAACTGCAGAGCGGCGCTTTGTGGGCCTACTCTTTGCGGTCATGGCCCTTGGGGCCATGTACGACATTGACGAGAACGACCCGACCAATCCAGACCACTACGAGGAGGGCATGGAACAAGGGTAGGTCAAAGGCGACTCTGAGCTGAGTTTCCATCGCGCGCTTCACCGCTGGAATGAGTTTGCGCCTTCGCTAATCACTGACCTCCAGGTACAAATATTACATCTCTGCTCGCATGTTCCTGCAAGATTTCCACGAGTGCCGGAACATCATGACGTTGCAGGCCATTGTCTTCATCATTCAGTTCCTGCAAGCAACTGGCAACCTGGGCGGTTGCTATACCTTGGTAGGCGTCGCCCTACGCTCTGCCCTGCGGATGGGCCTGCACAGAAATCTTCCCCCAGGGTCCTTGACTCCAATCGAAACGGAGACAAGGCGCCGGCTGTTCTACACAATCCGGCAAATGGACATATACCTGTCTACCACCCTTGGCCTCCCGATTCTCCTTCAAGACAAGGATATTGATCAGCAGCTACCAACGGAAGTCGATGACGAGTATATCACTGACACACACGTTGCACGGCCTCCACCAGGGTCATCGTCCGTATTCCAAGCTTTCAACGCTCACACCAGACTAATGAAGATCCTCGCCCAAATCCTCGAGCACGTCTACCCGCCCCAGAATGCTGCGGGCGAGGTAGAAAATGCAACCTACAGCATCAACTACGCACGCATCCGGGAGATTGAACACGCGTTGCACGAGTGGCAAAGGCAGCTGCCGTCCAGTTGGCATCCAGGGCAGGATGATGACGATCAGCGAGCAAGGTATGTGCTGGTGAGGATGTCCACGCGTCAAAGGTGCACATGGCTGACCTGACAATCATTACGGCTGCAGGATCAAAATCCTTCTCCGCTTCGCCTTTGCCCATGTACAGATGATGCTATACCGCCCCTTCCTGCACCACCTACCGCGCACTTCCCCTGGCATGCCTGCTGTTGATAGCCGTGTATATGCACTAGCCGCAGCTGGCATCCATGTCTGTCGAAATATTGTGCATATCGGTCTCGAGATCAAGAAGCGCGCTGCTCTGCTGGGTCCATACTGGTTCAACACGTACACGCAATTCACTGCGGTGCTTTGTCTCGTCATCTACATCCTCAACAACCCTCAAGCGCCGACTCTACCCGCCATTCTGGCGGATGCGCAGATGGGTAAAGATGGCATCTCGAGCTTCACGCAGAAGAGTCTCGCTGCAGACCGCATTACGGCTGCCCTCGATGTATGTGTTTTTTCGCCATATCCATGCTCATCTTCCATTGTAGGCCCCCACTGACTTTATCTAGGCTCTTTTCAAACAGCTTCCCAGTCGCATGTCTCTCCACGGGTCCCCCGCTAACTCTGCCGACGCCGAGCAGTGGTCTCTTGACCGACCACCATCTCAAGGTCATGCCCGAGGAGACTTTGCCAGCAACTCGGCACCAATGACGCCGTTCCAAGCGGATCAGTCATGGCCTCTCAGTCTCACGGAAGTGTCCATGCCCACACAAGACCAAGGAATGCCACGCCCTGCGGCGACAGCACGACCCCATCGGGCGTCGGGCTCACACTACAATATGCCTCATGGCCGACATCACGGCCTGCTATTCCCTCAAGAAGATCCGTTCGCATACCCTGTGCCGTTGAGCTCCGGCACAATGAGCAGCCAGTTCGCGCCCCTGGTCGACGATCCCATGCAGGACATCATGCACTTCCCCGTCTTTGACGCATATGGCGACATGGGAAGCCACGTGTTTGAGCCAGAGGTGCACTTCCCGTTTGTGCCAACTTCTGTGCCTCCAGATACCTCGGGAATGGGCTTTACGGGGGGTGGTCAGCCATGAAGGCCGCAAAGGAGTCGCCTTTCCAACGGTGAGCGCTTTCAAAGCTCTCACCGCCCAGTCGATGGCTCAGTCCGCCAATCTTGACGTCAGCGCCGACACTACAAAGGAACTACAAGGACAGGCCGATTACCTTGAGCAGCAATGCTGGCATGCCTCAGCCCGGAGGGCTTCGCTTCCAGTCGGGTCTGAACATTGCTGCTTGCAACACTCTCGATCACAAGCCATGTCGAGTCATGCATGACGATCACAAGCCGTGCGCGTGTGTGGAGCTTATCCCAATCCCTTCACCATTGGCGCGGTAATAAAGATGGCGATCATACGCTCTTCTCTGCATTGGCTCAACGCGCGACCTTCCGTGGCAAGCATGACCATTCCGTTCTCAATCCGGCAGCCAAGACTTGCGGTATCGTGCCAAGGTTGCACCAATCCAGGGTCAAATTTGGAGTAGATTTTGACGTTGCAATCACCCGCCCGTGCCTGGTTGCAGGCGTTTCGACACGACGAGGTTTGATTGGTCGCGCATAGAGGTCTGCATGTTTGGCGCAGGGTTGGTCGGTCATGCAACCGAGCAATGCCGGTTGATGCCTGTCTATACAGACAGATTGAAGGGGAAGTGCCCACACTTGGGTTACACCACGGCCAGGAACCGGCCGTGCATACCTGTGTTTGACGATCTCTATAGAGAAAAGACCCACGATAAGCAGAACTATAAAAGGGACCTCTCTTGCCCATGCCCATGCCGACTTCTTCGCGCACCCAGCGTCGAATTGCTTCGAGTGTCAGCTAGACGATCGGCCGACCCCATCTCGCTCCCAGTTTGATACCATCACTTGCTTCAATCATGCGTCTGTCAGCAATCTTCGTCGCCGCAGTGGCATGTGTGTCTGGAGCGTCGGCCAGGCTCACCTGGTCGCTCGAGAAGGCCGCCAACCCTACCTCGGACCAGGCCGACGCCTACACGCGCATCGAGGCCGCCATGCGCCTCGCCGTGGCCCGCTACGACCGCCTCGGCACGGCGACCAAGACGATCCGCGTCTACTACACGCCCGGCGTGCCCACGGCCGAGGCCAACTACAACGGCGACCTGCGCTTCGGCTCGAACCGGTCGTACATGACGGAGCGCACCGCCATGCACGAGATCTCGCACACCCTGGGCATCGGGCAGACGGCCGCCTTCAACACCAAGTGTGCGTCGGGCGACTGGCCCCGGGCGCTGCCGCTGCTGCGCTCCTGGGACGGCGCCTCAGCCGTGATCAACTGTGGCGGCAGCCACATCTGGCCGTACGGGCTCAACTACGACAACGAGTGGAGCGAGACCAATGCCAACCGCCACGTGCAGCTCATCAACGCCATGATTGCCGACGGCATGTAAGGGATGTTTAATGGATCTCCTGGTGGGCTGGTTCAATTCTGTGCACAGTTTTTGAAATCAACATGCTTGGCATAGTACATTGCCAGCATCAGTATATATCTCGAGGGAAATTCTAGTTGTCATTGCTCGCGCCCTTCTATGGCCCGTCTCGGCCCTCCCGTGTGACAAAAGTGATGATAATGCAACCTCCCCCTGCCCTTCAAGGAACATTGCAAGGGAAGCCAAAGCGCTCGGCTCAAGACCGCGGCCACTGGTCTTTACATTCCCATAAAGTGTGCCTGGGCCACCATCGAGACACTCTCTGGGCAGTCTTTGAATGGTGTGCACTCGGCGTCGCAGGAACTCCCCTCGGGCGGCAGTTCCCCCGCATCCCAGTACCGTTTGATGTGGTCGGCGGTGCACTTGCTGGGCCAGCTCGTGGCGCAGTGACCCACGCTGTGCTGGAGCAGGACCCGAGATCCGGCATAAGACTTGGCCGCGACATAGGCATTCTCTCGTGGCGTGACGGTGTCCGCCTTGTTGGTGATGAAGAAGACGGGCGCGGCGGGCTTACCCTCGACAAGGCCCGGGTCGGCCGGCCCCATGCCCCAGGGACCTTCGAAGCGGTACTTGGGCCTCGCGGTCCAGCCACGGCACTCGTACAGATGCCGCGCCCACTCTGGGCCGAAGTCCGGCGAGTCCTTCTTGAGCTGCTTGATCGTCTCCTCGATTTCAGGGATGGACACGTTGGCTCGAGACACGGCATCGCCGCAGGTGACGGCCACCATGGCGTCGCGCATCCATGTATAAGAACTGGGAAGTCCTGACGTGGTGTGGTCAGGAAGCTGCAGTCTCGAGTAAAGCCCAGTGAAGTTGCCGTTCATGCTGTCTTTGAGTATTTCGGCAAGAGACTGGAACTGCGTCAACGGGTCATACAAGCCCTGGAAAATGACGCCTCGAACGTCATAACTTGAGATGGAGACGACGGTCCTGTTGTGCAGATAGGGTGCAGGCTCTTGTTCGAGCTGTTCAAGGAACCCGCGCAGCCGCTTCTCAATATTCCCGGGGCCTCTGTCGCCGTGCCGGTACAGGGCGCAGTCGTCCTGTGCCTCATAGCAGGAGTTCCACAGATATTCAAACGTCTCTTGGGTGTCCCAGAGATTCGTGAGGCCGTTCTAACCCCCAAATGTAAGTCAGAACACGCCGTGTCATCGAATGTATGTAGGTGTGGGAGGGGTCACCCTTACCGCATGGTGATAGTCATGGATGTCGACAATTCCCTCCAAGATCATCCGGCCGACACGTCCAGGATAGATGGAAGCAAAATACTGGCCAAGCGCGCTGCCATAGCTGAAGCCCCAGTACAGCAGCCTAGAGGGCTCCTGAGAGTCTCGGAGCTCGAGACGGTCTCCCTTGCTGGACGCTGCTCTGCGAATGTCGTCCAGGTCGTCAACCATTTTGATCATGTCCCTCGCCACACTGGTGGTCGACATGAACCTGTGGATGCCGTGTTCACCACCAGCGTCGTCGCAGAGTTGCCCAAAGACGACTGCCCTTGCTGCCTTTTGTGCCACGGCAGCATGACCGCCGTCGACAGGACCGATGGCGCGGTTCTCGAGCTTCCAGACCCCACGAGCGAACTCGTCGCGATGGCAGTCGGCAGCAGGGGTTGTGAGGCCAACGCCACGCGGGTCAAAGGACAAGATGGCGTACTTCTTGGCCTCACTGTCGGCTTTCTCCTGCAAACCCTTGCCCCAGCCCAGCGCGAAGGCGACGCCTGGGCCGCCTGGTCCACCGGGGTTGGTGATGATGGTGCCGCCGAAAGTCGGGTCATTCTCGTCGACAACGGCGGGCCGTTTGATGACGGCAATGGTCACGGCGTCGAGTGCGTCATTGTCCGGATCCAGCCAGTCGAGGGGCACCTGGAGCTTCGCGCACTGGTGCGTGGCGTTGTAGCATGGCGTGAATTTGAGGGTGCTTGACGGGGTGACCGAGTTCCAGTCAAAGTCTGTGACGGACCAATTGGCGCTGGCGACTTGGGCTGCAGCGAAGCTGACAGCCCAGAAGACCTTGGCGACCGAGCTAGTGCACATGATGTGTGTGCGCCCTGACGATTCTAATTCTCGCTGTGGCTGGCGTGGACCCCGTGTGGTGGTGTTCTCCACGCTTTTGAATTGAACGGAGCACTCTGTCCGATCCTCTTGCTCACGTCAGCACGCACAAGGCTCCAGCTCGTCAGGCCAGGGGCTGTTCATTGAGGAGGACGTATCCCACAACGGAAACCCGCCAAAGCCAGGTCTTTTATACCCGAGTCACCACTTTACAATGACAAGAAAACAAACACAGGACGCGTCAGACACAAGTATACGTACACCAATATGCAATTTGTACAAGCTCATCGTCAGCATTGCTTGGCGCATGTTAGATAACGGGCGTGCGTTCATCCGTGGCGGCCGCCTGATGCGGGGCTGCATTTTTCAGGCAGCCACATTGTGACGCCGAGTCTGTCCATCAGGCATGGGTGTCCGACAGTATTATCGTCGACATATGCGACATGGAGAAGTTCCCTGAAGGGGACTGGTTGATTTCAGCTCTGATGGGGATTGGCAAACCCATTGGCTGGCTGACTTTGTGGTGTCTACACCAGAAAGTATAAGCCCCCCTTGTTCCAGCGAACAGTCGGGAGCAAGTGCCGTCAAAGGTCCACGACAAATCAAATAATGAGGAATACAGAGATGGAGTGCGGATTGTACAAGGCCAACGTGACCTGTTTGGCATATTTATGCAAGTTGCAAGCATCTATCAGACGCCCATGTTTCCTCTTCGAGTCCGTACTGCTCTCAGCAGGTTTACCAAAGCCTCAGCCTCGTCTGCCTGCTCCGTGCACTGCAGCATTGCCGGATCTAGCTGCCGTGCCAGCTGAAGATCCGCCCCTGCCTTGAGAAGTGCTTGAACACTGTCAAGAGAGCCATTACGCACAGCAGTGTTAAGTGGTGTCCGGCTTCGGGGGATTGGCACGGGCTCTGATGTCCCTGCCTCTTCCGAACTGACTGTCTCGCCATCTGGCGAGTCCACATGCGAGTAGACAACATCGACCGCCGCGCCATGGTCAAGCAGGAGACGCATGTCCTCAAGGTTCTCTGATTCCACAGCCCATACGAGCGGGGTCCTGCCTAGCTTGTCTTTCGTTTCCAGAACCGCCCCGAGCTCGAGGAGCCGGGCTGAGATGCCGTGCATACCACTCCCAGCGGCGAGAGCCAAGGCACTTGTGCCATAAGAGTCCATCGTCTCCACTGCCACGCCGCTGTCGAGGAGCAGGTGCGTCACCCACCGGCGATCGAGGGAGATGGCCTTCAGGAGGGGGTCTCTGCCGTCCTTGTCCCTGGCGGTCAGGCTCGCGCCTCTGGCCACAAGAACCTGCACCACTTCGTCCTGCCTCTTCTCAATGGCGTAAAGTAGAGGCGTCTCGGGCTGGCCAGGCAGTGTGGCCTCTAGAGACGCACCAAAATCCAGCAGCTTCCACACGGCCGGGGCATTATCCCGCTCGCCAGGCTTGTTCCTTGCCCGACGCAGCAAGGGAGTCGAGCCATCGGTGGATCTCGTGTCCGGATCTGCGCCGAGTGCGAGTATCGCATCGATGACGGGAACAGTGCCGGTGGAGAGCAGGTCGTGCAGCAACTCGGTGGGCAGAGTGAGCTGCGCCTCCGCGCCGTCACTGGCTTCATCATCCGGCGATCCGCTCATCGTAGCTGAAAGGAGCAGCTTGAAAAAAGCAAGTGGTCCTTGCGCCTTGGCGCCCATGTTAAGGGCCAGTCGTGAGGCAATCGACAGCGGGCACCGCTTGCCCTGGTAGTCAATGGCCAGCGGATCAGCACCGGCTTCCAGCAAGAGCCTCGCTGTGGCGAGATGGTTGTTCTTGATCGCTACGCATAACGGCGTCAAGCCCTGGATGTCTCTAGAATCCACGCGGGCTCCGTAGCTCAGCAGCAGGCGGGCCATGTCCTCATCGCCCGCCTCTGCCGCCTGGTGTAGGGCAGACGATCCAATACTGTTGCGCAGGTGGACCAGCTTTGATGCGAATTGCGGCTGTGAGTCGTCACACGGATGTCGTCGCACCATAGAGGGATTCCAGTCTCTGCGCTCCTGTTCGAGCAGCAGCCGCGCAATATCCAGGCTCCCCTCGGCCGCGGCGTGTGTGAGCGTCGTCTGGCTGTACACCAGGCAGCCAGGATGTGCCCCGTGCTCGAGAAGCAGCTTCACCATGGCGACGTCTTTGCTGAACACCGCTGCCGCAAGCGGCGTCGTATTGCGCTGGCCGCGCATCACGACAGCGTCCTCCGTGTGCTCGTTTGGGTCCGCACCGAACGCGAGGGCCCGTCGTGCTGGCTCGAGAAGACCCTTTCGAGCTGCCCACCACAGCGGTGCCGCTCCGGCCGGGCCGTACCGCACGTGTCTCGCATAGGCGAAATCTGTGACGGCTGAGTGTGTGAACCGACTCGCACATGCTAGGCTGCAGAGGACGTCCCGCGTCGATAGGTAGCTGGCGATCTGTACCAAGAGCTCGAGTGGCAATCGCAAGAGTGTTGCCGGAGATGACATGTCGTGAAAGCTGGCTGCCTCACCTGGGATGGGACCGGGCCTTCGTGACATGCTTACAAGTTAGACTTGTCGGTATGCGTGGTAGAGCAGGGGTGGTTCGTTCAGTCTGTAAAGCCGTTGGTGGATGGCGGCTTTGATGGGATCTTTGGAGTGATCAGGCAGGATCCGGGTGGGCAAGCCTTGAGAGACCTCTCCGTGGATCTTTTATCCTGGTGAGGGACAGCGGCGGTTGCTTACATTGCTGTAGTTGTTGGTGCGTGGCATGTTGGGACCGTGCTGGCGGCACCCTCGGAGACCAGCAAACATGTGTCAGCAACACAGGCAGGCATCCTGTCCCTGGCTCCACCGAGGCTGAGGTGAGGAGGCGTGCCCCATCCTGTAGTTACCACCCCCGGATTGTTCCGCCTGTGAGACCAGGGCGAGATGCGGGATCTGCTAAGCTGCGAATGAGACTTGGCACGCACCCTATGGAACCTGTCGCATTGGCATGGGTAAACGCATTCCGCATGGTTCTGATCCGTTGAATGAAAGCTGAGGCAGTGTTAACAAAGTAGAGGGTCGTGATGGTCGCGAGCTCGTTAGGAATCGAGCAACCACATACTGTGTCTGCGTTCAAAGGCAGAACATTTCTTGTTCATCTGAGAATCATCTGTCCTTGTATGAGCAGAGAAATCATTGCGACTCACTTCACTACCAATCAAATAGTCTCGCCTTGTCCGAGCCGCATGCTAACCCTTGGCAGACCTCCTCGTCCTCTCGAACCGCGGCGGCATCGGCTGGCAAGGGCTGTCTTGCCGCCCACACCTCCCTGCCCTCTTTCTTCTCACGCCTGAAGTGCTCCGTGACTACCTGGCGCGCTGTGCTCTGGAAGAACAACGGTGCCTTCTCAAACTTCGGGTGGAGCTGTCCACTCACGTAGACACCCGTGTTGATGTTCTTTTGGGCATTGGCGCAAAGAACCTTGTCCTCCGCCATGACACGAGCGTACATCTCGCTGATGACCTTGAAGTCTTCGTCTGTTGAGTGCTTGTTGCGATAGATCTCATAGTGCATGGCGGATCTCTTCGGACCCGCTGGCAGGAACTTTTGAATCATCATGAAGTGAGGCCTACCACAGATCAGTGATACTCAGCAATGCGAGCTTCAGCAGCGCGTGCGGAAGGACTACTGAGTACTTACGAGACGGACATTGATGCATTCGGGAAGTAATATGTGCTCGATACATTCAGGCCTCGGTCCAGTTGCTCCTTGGTATACACACATTCGTGCTGAATATGGCCGTCCTTCAGCTGACTGTCGAACGAGTCCAAGTTCAAGAAAGTCGGGATGTCCGCATGCGTCGTTGGACAGTGGTAGCACTCGTTGAAGTTGTCGGCGAGGATCTTCCAGTTATAGTCGCCGTCGAGTTCGTAGGTGTGGTCGAGCTCATAGTCGTCAAAGTTCAGGGGGTCATATCGTGCTTGCACGTCGACATCCTGGAAATGCTCGTCCCATGGAACCTCTGGTAGCTCCTGAGCATCCATATTGATCCATATGAGCCCATTCCTGTCAGTCTTGGTGTGAATGCGCAAAAGACCATTGTTTTCCTTGTCAAAATTGTCGATATCCTTGAACCCAGTGGCCTTCGCCAGCTTGCCGTTCAAGCCGTAGGACCAGCCGTGGTACCTGAATCAGAGCTTAGCTAAATGCCAATTCGTTTTGCACCCTTTTTGGAGATTGTTTGACCAACCTGCAAGCCAGGATCATGGCTGTTCCTTGACCTTCTTTCTCCACCACGGGATATGCGCGATGCCTACAGACATTGTGAAAGGCGTTGATGTTCCCTTCGCGGTCACGAATAATGACCAGATCATAGCCAGCAACGTTATAGCGGAGCCAGTCACCGGGTCCCTTGAGTCGAGAAGCGTGTGTCATCATAAGCCACCGCCGCGAAAAGATTGCTCGTCGCTCGAGCTCGTACATTTCTTGCGATGTGTACCATGATGCGGGCAAGGAGCGCACGGACGATTGCGTGGTTGTTGGTTGACTTTCCGTGGGATTGGCGGTGCTTCCAAAGCCAAGATAATGGAGCATGGTTGCCGCCATGACTGAGTATTACTGGTCCGTCCTGTTGCTGCTGGCTGGTGATGCGGGTTTGGACAGAGGTAATCAAAAGTAACGACTTCAGAGGTGCACTTTGGGCTGTTTCCCCTTCTTGCGCAGAGCAGCATCACTCTGGTCATTAGATAAACTTATGGCTTGCCTCGAAAGCTCACTCTAATGCGCAGGCAGGCCAGGGAGGCGGGGTAAGCGTGACTCGAAATGCAGGTCGACCTGACGATAACACGATGCTGCCGGATGCTCATCCGCCGTCGCACATGACAGTCGCCGCCAACAGAATGTGGCTACTTCCGACGCCTTACACATGATTACCCATGGGCAACGGGAACCCAAAAATGCCGATTGTTGATCTGTGACATTTTGACACTAGTCGGGCTGATGAGGACGACGATCTGCCATTCGCCGAGGCGGGCGGACATGAGTCGACGCGTCGTGTCTCCACGGGCCCTACCAGCTAGCTCTCCCGCCAGCCTTTGCGTCAGCTGTGCCTCGATTCGAAAATATCCGTCACGATTACGTTGTTCCGGCTGGATATCTTCATGAGGAAACGAAAGCCAGAGTGTCATGGTAGGACACGTGTCTGGGAAATGTGGCACGAAGCTGAACCTGGGAAAAGCAGTGGGAGGTGCCGGATGTGCTTCCGTGCGGGGCATTGTACCTTCAGAAGGCCGTGGCTGGGGTCCCGATGTGCATGTGTTCGTAGCTGTGGGGGGTTACGAAGCTGTCAGGAACCCATCTTCCGCCCGGCGTTGGAGATTGCTGATCATTGAGCAGTGCTAAGCAGCCACATCTGTTGGGGCCCTCTGATGTTTCGGAGGCTACCGCTGCATACAGTTTGGCTTTGGCGTGGGACCCCAGATTGCTAGCTTGAAAGCCAGGGGGGTGCCACAGCGAGAAGAGAAAGGTTGCATCAACCTCTTATCTACCGTCAGCAGGGTCCACGGCAGGCCATCCGTATCCCATCGTGGATGACATCGGCTACACGTCCGTCCTCGTACTCATTACTCCACGCCAGAAAGTGTCTGTCATGTCGTCGTCGAGTCATCCACGCGCTTCGAAGCGTGCAGCAAACTCCGCTGTCAGCCGGTCCCCAAATGCGTGAGTTTTCCGAGTTCCGGCAGCCGTCGCCTATCCGCACCAGACCAGATCTTTCCTGTTCGCGGCCTGCTGGCTGACGATGGTGCTACTAGTTGCGAGCGCTGCCGTAAGCAGAAAATCAGATGTAGCGGGAGCCAGCCTTGCGATGCGTGCACGAAGCGCAGTCGGCCATGCCACTTCGATGAAACTCATCAGCGAGTCGTTGTAACTAGAGGGTGCGCACTTTATATTTTCCGTGCGATCTAACCACTGCCAGGCCTTGCTACACTTTTGTTGCAACGACTGAATTGTTCCCAGTTATATACGCGAATTGCAGAGAAGAGCTATTCGAAGGGATGACGTGTCAGCACAGGCCATCTGCGATGAAGCAGCCCGAAATGTATCGGGCGAAACAGCGATGGCCTCAGGCCTCACGCGCCCTGAGGACATGGATCCGCCAGCCTTGCCGAGGCCCGGGGGCTCAGAGCACGGTGATGATACACCGTCGATAGCTGACGGCAGCCATGTTACTGAAGAGCCAGGTTTGACAAATTTCTTGACACAAGACAAGTCACCGTTCATGACGGCAGGGAATGGCATGACCTATTACCTCGGCGCATCGTCGAATTGGACATTTACACAGAAGGTTTTGAGCATGGTATATGAAAGAGCCTTTCGGAATCAAATACCCGACGTTGAGCGCCTCATAGAGGGCCTGGGCAACGCCTACGACTTGCCCTGGGACGGCATCCCGCTGGGCGAGCCACCATCTCTGGCCACCGTTCCAACCATCGACCATGCCATATATCTCATCAATGCAGTCAAGTTCCACTGCACTCAGCTGTTCCACCTCTTTGACGAAGAGACATTCATCCCGGCGCTCTATGCCTTCTATCAGCGGTCACCAGGAACTCGACACGAGACTGACAGGCTGTGGCTTGTGCATTTCATGTTGATCTTATCATTCGGCAAGGCATTTACTGTCCGGAACAAGGGCAAGAACCCTGCCGGGATCGAGTACTTCATCAAGGCGCTTCAGTTCCTCCCCAGCACGATCATGTTGTGGAGACATCCAGTCCACTCTACGGAGGTCTTGTCGTGTATCGCCCTCTACCTTCAATGTTTAGACTACCGCATCGTGGCGCACAACTACGTAAGGTGCTCCTGCGTTATCAAAGGGAGACGCTCAGCTGATTCGTTTTGCAGATGGGCCAAGCCTTGCGTCTTGCACTGAATTACGGACTCCACACAGATATCCAACGGGACGGCTTCGGCAAAGAGTCCGTGGAAAGGATCAGGCGAGTCTGGTGGACCCTATTCATCCTGGACCGCGAGATGACGTCGATAGCTGGCGTCCCACAGTCTATTCAGATTGATGACGTACAGTGCCAACTTCCCGAGTTCTCCGGCTCTTCCCAGCGTATTATGGTCTTGAAAATGCAGCTCACACTATCACAGCTGATGGCTAAGATCAACCAGAGTGAGTCCTTGAGCATCGGAATGTTATGGACCTCTATTAACGAGCAGAATCAGCCATGTATGGAGTTGGCGGCAAGTTGCACAAAGACTTCCTAAGAGGGATTGAAAACGCGCTTGGAGAGCTTGCACAAGTACACGAAGAGCTCTATCGGTGCTTCCCGGTACCCCCTGATCAGGCCCAGGGGAGCATATCTCGGACGTCGGCACACCTTTACCTCTCGTACTATCGAGTAAGTGGTCAAGGTCCTCCCTCCCTTTAGGATGAGAGTGTTGATAAGCGAAGTGCATCATACTCGCAACACGTCCAATTCTGTTCTGTTTCATCAAGATCAGGCTCGACTCATGGGAAGAATGTCAAGCGAGGCTCCATTCTTCGAACACAGCACGCAACATGCTACAGATGTGTCTCGACGCCTCGATCCAAATTCTTGTCACTCTCGATTTATTACTGCAGCAAAACCTCATAGGTGAGTAGACCTCGTGGACAATGTTCTCCTTCATGTCACCTCTAAACTGTATTGCCACTTAATAAGCCTTCGTTTAACACATTATATGTGCCCCAAGACCCGTTTCTGCCATTCGACCTGGACTCAGTCTCGGCAGCCACGATCAACATCTTGGTTGCTATGGCTCTTGATCACGAATTTCTGCAGAGCGGTTCTTCGTGGATCACGACTGCAAATGCAATATTCGCTGAGCTTGTCGCAAGTGGGAATCAGGTCGCTGCTGTACGGGTCAAGGAGCTAGACCAGCTTAAAAGCCTCTTGGCCAAGCTGGGCAATGGTGGAGGGCAGCCGGCTCCAGCTAGAAGCCCAACAACGCCATCCGCGCCGTCCTCGTGGGTCCCAAGTGGTCAAGTCATGCCACAGACCAGGGACAGTATGTTTGCTGCTCAATCTCAAGTCCATGTTGCGGGCGAAGCAGTAACGTGCACCGTGGAAGCGACAACATCCTCGGCAAGCACAGCACTATCGCGTGCTGCGCCGCAGACACTAGACTTCAGCGCCACCACAGGCTTCAGCTTTGACACAGGGACTTTCGATTCTTCACAGGCTGCTGAGATTATAGAACTTGCGAACTCAGTGGCGGACATTGATTCTATTTGGGTGTCAGATATCATCGGGCATGATAGCATCTGGTAGCACGCGTAGTTGGCCATGATAAAGAGGCCCTCTCTTGGTCTCTCGGACAACCCGGTGCCACCCCGTCCTTGCGCAGTAAATGAGCCAGGCTTGCCTCGTTAAAGCTTTGATATCCTTGACATAGCAGGCTTCGTTATCTCTGTGAACTCTTTGGTATCACCCAGCCTCCAGCTAACAGTACTGCCCCAGTCCTCCTGCGATTGCTGCTCCGTGGCGACCTTTTCCTTTCCATTGCCAGCGATGGATGGGCTGACCCTTGCTCCCATTCTCGAGAAGATCCGCCGACCACCCCCCGACTATAGGAAACATCTTGAACCCGTGACCCGAATCACCGGACAGCACAATCACCGAGCGGTCCGTGCCGGGAACATAGTCCACGATGAAATCCGAGTCCTCCGTGTCAGCGAACCAGCATAGCGCCTTGTTGACTAGTGGTCGGTCAGCTAGCGCCGGGATAGTCTCCCGCAGTAGCTGCCGGATCCGCTTCTCGTCCTCGACGGGCAAGATGTCCACAGTTTGACTCCAGTCGTCTGGAGGTAGCGACACGCCAGTTTGCTGGTCGGTGTTGATGTATCCACCTCCCATCGGACATATCTTGAGCAGATTTGTCGCCGGGTCTGGCTCAAACAGGAACCCTAGATCCCGTGCATACGCAACGGGGATGCCTCTCAGAGACGCCGTCTCGTCGTCGCTCAGGCGCACGTGCGCAACGGACCAGGACTTGGCGACCACTTGCTGTCCAATGCCCGGAAGGAGCTTGGCGGCCATGGCGCCCGCTGCGATTATGACCAGAGATGATTCGTGAACACTCCCGTCGCGGGTCTTGACACCCGTGGTCTTGTTGGTGTTGCTATCGTAAAGGATCTCTCTGACACTGCCGGCCACCGGGTCTACCTTGAACTTGACGCCCCTTGTACTGACATGTCTATGAATACCCCTGAGGGCATTGGCTGAATGAGTGTAGCCGTCGAGTTTGTTCAGATAGCCCTTCCAGCCGGGAAAGTCTCCAGAAAACTGCCAACAGCGATAGTCATCCCGGATGTCAGACAGCTGGGAGATGTCGCTGACGTGTTTGGCTACGCGCGCATCCCGGAGTGCGGCGTCACGGAAGCGGTTGAGGGTGTCGATGGCACGCTGTGGGGCGGTGGCCGAGACGCAGTGCAAGAAGCCGACTTGATGGAAGTACGGGGCAAAGAGGGGGGTTTTCCATCCCTCGAGGGCTTTCTATGAACGTGGTGTCAGCATCAAATGAGATGATCCGTGTCGTGGGCCAGAGCGTGGCGCCGGACATTACAACTCACATAGGTCAGATCAGTGTACCAAGGATCCTCGTACTCCACCCGCATGATTTTGTTGAGATCGTTGGCCGCCGAGTACTTGGAGGGAATCTGCGCATCCTGCTCGAAGACGGTGATGTCCGTGTATTGCCGCCTCAGCAGATGGAGGGCAGTCGACAGTCCAAAGGCCCCGCCTCCGACGATGATGATAGGATCTGACTTTTTGACCATTCCGTCCGGCATCGACGATGGCTTTGAAAAAGGATTTTGAGATGAAAAGAGCCGCTTAAGCGTAAATCCAGGGTTTACCTGGAGTCTCATTGCAGATTTCGGGCGTATATGACTCGTCCGAGCTGTTCTGCTGCTGGCCGATGGCAGATCTGTGACAACATCTCGTGGTCCTGGAGTTGCAGCCGAGTACGTACCTTTACAGGACTGGCAAGCGGATCAGTCCAGAGTGGGGAATGGATCGTGCGGAGTCGTATGCAGGCTCGGAAGCTCTTCCGGAAGACTGGTGCGGGGATCTATGGCATCTCTCCGGTCTCCACATTTGTTCTTCGGATGCGACCTTGATACGACTGACGGGACATGTGACGACCTTCTGCATGGCCGAAGCCGGACTGTACTAATCTCAGAGCGGTAGCATCAAGGTCTTTGGCCTGCAGAAGGAAGTCGGAGGTCTCAAGCGGAGCAAAACGTTCAGGAATAGCGGCTAATCGAAAACAGGATCACACGTCACTTTGGCAGCATCGGAAGTATTGACATCGCGACCAACCAACTCGCCGTCGGTCTATATATGAAGAGACTCTGGCCATCTTTCCGGTGATTGCAACAATGATCGCTGATGCATGATCAGGTCGTCCATTTCCGACTTGACCATTTTCAAACATCAGGGTGACTACAACGAGGATAAAGCGGGATGAATGCACAGTTTAATCATTGCTCGGATATTTCCACTGAGTAGCAGGGAAGAACTCCTCCTTGATGAGCCGCGGGCTAACAAAGCGGAACATGGAGTGGGAAGAGCCTGCCTTGTCGTTAGTGCCACTGGATCGTGAGCCACCAAAGGACTGTTGCCCTATGAGCGCTGCAGTGGTCTTGCAATCTGAGTGGAAGCATCATGATCAGTCTTCATCATTTCCCGAGATGCTCATCCACATATCTGCGAGCCACCTTGTAGTGCAAGTAAAACGACAACACTTACTGATGTAGAAATTTCCAGCGGCGTAGCGCAGCTCATCCTCAGCCTCACGGATCGCTTTGCGATCGTTGGCGAATACTGCACCAGTCAGCGCGAAGCCACCGCCAGACTCGTCTATCTTTTTCAGTATCGGTTTCCACTGGTTATCTGGGTATACGTAGATCGCAAGGACCGGCCCAAAGATCTCCTCGTTGAACAGTCTATGGTCTGGTGAATCGGCCAGGTAAACTGTCGGGCTCACGTAGTAGCCCTTTGTACCATCGTAACTGCCCCCAACAAGCAACTTGAGCGACTCATCGGCATTGCTATCGTCTATGATCCTCTTGATCTTGCTGAATGAGCGCTCATGTATCACGGGCCCCATGAAGGCCCCCACGTCCCCATCGGGAGTGCCGATAGTGATTTTCTCAATCTCAGTCTTGAAGCCATCGAGGAATTCCGTAGCGCGGGACTCTGGAAGGTACAGACGAGAGGTGGCTGAACATTTCTGCCCCTGGTACTCGAATGATCCTCGGATGGTGTGGTTGATGGCGCTCGGAATGTTGGCTGTCGGGTGTATGAGGGTGAAGTTCTTGCCGCTAGTCTCGCCCACGACCCGGGGGAAGTCGCGATACGTTCCCTTTCCAATACCCTCTCCGATTCTGGCGTACAGACTGCGGAAGACGTCAGAAGACCCGACAAAATTGAGACCGGCGAACTCTCGATGGGACAAGGCGACATGTGTGACTTCTTCCGCGTCACCAGGCACGAACTGGATGACGTTTGGTGGCAGACCGGCCTCCAGGAGGATCTTGTATACGAGAGTACTGGCATAGACGTTGCTCATAGACGGTTTCCATAGGACGACGTTACCCATAAGCGCAGGGCCCGAGACAAGATTGCCACCGATGGCGGTAAAATTGAAAGGCGAGACGGCGTAGACGAAGCCTTCGAGAGGTCGGTAATCGAGGCGGCTGTGCAAAGGTCACGGTCAGTGTCGTGCTTGTGTTTTGATCATGTATCAACAAGAAACCCTCTCACCTCCACATGCCATCGGTGCCACGATCGGGCTGCTTCTCCAGGATCTCGGCAGCGTAGTTACAGTTGAGGCGGAAGAAGTCGGCTAGCTCGGCGGCAGCGTCAATCTCGGCCTGCCATACGTTCTTGCCCTGGCCTAGCATGGTCGCTGCAATGAGGTCATGACGATAGGTCGTAGTCACGAGTTCCGCTGCCCGGAGGAATATTGCCGCTCGGTCCACGAAAGGTGTGTTCTCCCAGTCCCGTTTGGCTTGCAGCGCCAAATCGATGGCCGTGGCAACCTGTTCCTGTGTGGCGAGAGGGTAGTCCGTGAAAGTCGTGCTATGCTCGGACGGCATAACTTGTCTAACTGACTTTGAGACGCTATGAGTCTGGCCGCTAAAAGCGACATCGCTCTTAGCCGGGAGCTGGGACCGAAGCCTGCTAAGTGCCCCCTCTACTCCAGCACGCTCGGCGGAACCTTTAGCATAAGTCGGCTGCAAAGTGGTGTTCAGCGGTCAGTGTGCTTGGCCTTGGCAGTCACTCGATCAGAGATGCAAACGTACGTTTGGCTCATTTCGAGGATCAGGGAGCCGGAATGGAACGGTTGCTTTGGACCGGGATTGTGACAACAAGGCTGGCAGAGGTCTAGCGAATGATTTGAGATTGGCCCTTGCGGCGCAGGCCGCAGTCATACTGCGATGGGTGAACATCCTCGTTGGAATGGATAAGTCTTGAATGGCTATGAAAATGCCAATAAGAAACACGAAGAAATATTGTCGAGAGGCACAATAGCAGAGCAGGAATTAATGCACCCAAGCTTCAAAACGATGCCCCCCGCGTGCGGAGAATCCCTGCTCTGGCTTAGAATCGATATTTCGGGCGCGCACCGCTTGCCCGTTGTCGGGATAGAGTGCCCCACGCCCGGTCCCGCTTCCGAGAGGAAGATAAAGGAGAGAGCCTTCACCGTTGTCACGCACATTGATGTTTCATGGGCTGCCGCCGCGTACGGTTGCATATTAGCGGAGAGTCTTCGCTTGCTTGCGCCTGACCGAGTTCCTGCAAGATAGCAGCCCAACGGCGCAGTCCTAAGGTCGTTCCATGGGTTTTGAGATTTCTAGTATTGCTGTAGGGCCAGCCCAAATAAAGCCCAATGGCAAGATCGTGGAGCTATAGGACATTTTTTAGATTCGGGTGTGCAATGAACACTAGTAATGAGATTGGGTTAGCCACCCACCAGACACCAGTGTGCAAGCCTGAATGAGGAAAGCAATTAGGCAGACCATGAAGACATATCTGAGCCTCCACGATACGGACGCTTTGCCGATCGTGCCTCGAGCCCTGGTTGCTGCTCTGTGGTGGCTTTGCTCGAATTAGTGAAAGCATAATGGTGTGGGGGTCGAGCGACCTCCGGTCCGGCGCACAATGCGGGGAAGGAGATTGTCATGCATGCAACCAGGGCCGGGGCTTGCATCGGAAGGGCATCCGTGATTATTCGGGCCTGTGATTATCATCTGATGGAGGTATCTTTATGATTTGGCTTCCACGCGGTGATCCAACATCTCAGTCGCCGGAACTGCCTTTACCAGCCACTCATCCTACGGACAAGTATCTGGCAGGGGACACGGATCCGAGCCGTGTCTTCTGGGGCCCCGCTTGGACAACCGCGTGAAGCCTGGACGGATTCGGATGCAGCCGTCTTGCACAAGGGCCTGAGGGTCACTCTTTGGCAGCCAACTCAGGCACCAGGGATTCCAGAAACAACCGACATCATACAGTCAATCTCCCGCTTGGCTGAGTACACTTACAATCTGAACAGTATTCTTTGTCGCTCATAGATAGATCCGGCCATGATCGACAAGATGCTGTCATTTAGACGCTGCGTGGCACGACCCGATGGCAATACTCGACTTCGCTGCCTATCAGCCTTGGAGGCTAGTCCCAAAGCTATCACGAGGCAACACTCGACCGGCAAGCGCAAGGTCCACCTGTCTTCGGCCTCAGACCCTCCACAGCATGTTGAATCAGGTTTTCAGATCAGATCTAGATCGTCCGCCTACCGGCCGCTCAAGAAGCTACCTAATTTGATGCTTCTCAGATCTCTTCTGGTTGCTACGATATCATCACACCGGTTCCTCCTGTTGCCGGCGTTGTCGGTCCTTCAGTTTCTCATAAAGCCACACACTTCCAGGCTTCTCAGCGTCGACAGAAACCCCATATTGCATGGGGTACTCAAACGGACATTCTACAATCAGTTCTGCGCAGGAGAGAACGAGGCGGAAACGAGGCAGTGCGTCCGCTCACTAAAAGACCTTGGATTCCGGGGCGTCATCTTGACATTCGCGCGCGAGACTGTCTTTGACCACAACAATGCGCAAGGCACGAGCGGCTCGAACAGCTCACCCGAGCAGGCCTTAGAGGCCGCGGACTCACATGATGTTAGCGTCGAAGAGTGGAAGAATGGCACTATGGAAACGGCAGCCTTGGTAGACGCCGGGGACTTCTTGGCTCTGAAGTATGTCTCCAGCTCCTACCGTCACACTTCTTGTATCCTCAGCTCGTCGGCAGACTAACACCTGTCACCTGGCCAGACTGACAGGAGCCGGCCCTCGTGTCACGGGCGCCTTTACCGCGGGCCACGAAGCGCCGCCGCAGATGATGGACGCCCTCCGCACGATCTGCAGCGAGTGCAAGCGTCGCGGGGTGCGCGTCATCGTCGATGCAGAGTCGCAGCACTTCCAGAAGGGCATCAGCCTCACGACGCTGCGGCTGATGCGCGAGTTCAACGCAGATGACGGTGTCGCCGTGGTGTACAACACGTACCAGGCATACTTGAAGCGCACACCAGCAGTCCTGGCGGAGCACATGCGCGCGGCCATGGACGAAGGGTTCACGCTGGGCTTGAAGCTCGTGCGAGGCGCGTACATGCTGTCTGACGACCGTAGCCTGATCCACGACACAAAGCAAGACACTGACCATGCTTACAACGTCATTGCCCGAGGCGCACTGACGAAGGAAATTGGTGAGTTTGGCGGGGCCAGAGGAAAGTTCCCGTTCCCGTCGACGAACCTGTTTGTTGCGAGCCACAATCGCGAAAGCGTGCTCGGGGCATACAGGCTGCATCGACAGCGCGAGGCCGCTGGCCTGCCCACAGTCCCAGTCTCGTTTGGGCAACTGCACGGCATGTCTGACGAGGTGAGCTTCGGTCTGTTGGCCGAAGGCGAGAAGGACAATGCGGCCATGATGGAAGGACAGCAGCAGCCGTCATTGTACCCTGCACGCGGACCCAGACCCGATGTCTTCAAGTGTACGACATGGGGCAGCATGAGCGAGTGCATTGCCTACCTAATGCGCCGAGCTGTCGAGAACCGCGATGCGGTCTTGCGCACGAAGGATGAATACAACGCGTTGAAGTCGGAAGCTTGGAAGCGCATATTTCCGAGGGCATCTAGGTAGTTGGATGGTGGCTTTCATTCATACAGTACATCACAACACTGCAGTTTACCAGGTGACAGAGATATCGTCCCAGCTTGTCTTTCAGCCATTCGACTGCCTTTGCATGACCATTTTGTTGCGTGCGGCCTATGCTGCGAGCTGAGTGCTGGTGGCGTCGTACGTCTATTCAAGCACTTGACTCCAGACCAGATCAACGCCACCACGGGTTCGTTGCCGTCTCTACCTGAACTTAATCTAGAGCGGGCTACAACGGGAGAAGGACCCGCCTGACTCGGCTCAGGCGACGGATGGACATCCTTGATATCAGGGTAAAGTCGGGCCCGCCGGTTCCCCTCACGCACATCCAACCCCGCATGTCTTCCTGTGGCCGACAAAATGCTGATCCAGTCAGCTGCGTCCGATCTCGGCTTGAGGTGCATCTCGGTCGCATTAAGGATGTCAGTTTTGCTGGCATTGAAATTCTACAACGACAGACTTGATGAGTAAGATCGATTGAGCTAGCCCACAGTCACCAATCCAAGGTCACAAGCAGTAACACCTGCGCGGGTCATCGCCATGACAGCCTCTAAGACCACGACCCTCTGCGTGCTCGGCACTGGTAAGCCAATGGACGAGGCTCCACATCGAGGCTCTCGATCTAACAAGACGATATCTCAGGCAATCTCGGCCTTGCCATCCTCAAGAGCCTCATCGCCTCGCAAGACTTTGACACTAGCAACGATGACAAAAATATTGAGGCTTCCGGGAGGCTGCCTTTCAAGACATATATTGCCTGCGTCCGGAGCGAGGCTGGCGAGCAGCGCGTCCGCACCGAGCTCCTGACCACCGACCCAGGTGACAAGACATTGTGCGTCCACCGGGGCGACAACGCTGCGGCAGTGCGGCTCTCCCAGGTCGTCATCCTGGCTGTCGATCCAGCAGACGTCGAGTCTGTCTTGTCACGACCAGGCATGGCGGACGCCCTCACAGGGAAACTGTTGATCAGTGTTGCGGCGGGATGGACACGGGAGCAGCTCGAACACACTTTATCCTCGAAGTCGAACTCGGCATCGAACAAAGACGGCGTTAACAAGGTCTGGATCGTCCGCACCCTCCCCAACATTGCTGCCCTGGTCAGCGAGTCGATCACCGCCATTGAGGAGCCAGCCCCGGACTTGCCGCCAGAGCACCTTGAGCTCACAGAAGCCATCTTTTCCCGCATCGGCGAGACCTCACTTGTGCCTGCGCGGCTGATGGATGCTGTCACCGCCGTCGGTGGTTCCACACCAGCATTCTTCAGTGTGATCTGTGACGCAATGATCGATGCCGCCGTAGCGGTCGGGCTGCCGCGGGAGATGGCGCGCGTAATGGTCGTGCAGAGCATGAAGGGCAGTGCGGAGATTATGCAGAGCGGGGGATTGACACCGGCGCAGCTGCGGGATCAGGGGACGAGCCCGGAGGGCTGCACTATCGGTGGCCTGATGGTGCTTGAAGAAGCTGGTGTGCGAGGCCATGTCGGCAGGGCGCTGAGGGAAGCGGTCACGGTGGCGAGGCTGATGGGCAAAGTTGCGCACGTCAATGACACCCGGAAATCATGACCGGGGGGGTCTGATGTTGATTGTAGAAGGAGGCCTCTTGTGGCAGGTCGTGAATATTGTTTCAACTTTGCTGCCGCGCCGTGACATATGACCTTGGCGTTGTCTGAGACCGTAAGTACAACTCAGCGTGGGCGAATACAGCCCTCTCATGCTCAAAACTTGCTCCCTATATGGTTGGATCGCTTCTGTCAAAAGACGAGGTCACAGACTTCTATTTGGATAAGCTGCTCACAAGGAATCGAATCTAAAGCTCATCGGATCGCAAATGTCGAAATACGATACCAAGGCACGATAGTCCCTGAGCCAGAGGGGCTTTAGCCTTGAGTTGCTCATTCGTGCAACTCCAGACCGGCACTAGCCGTATATACAAGCCGCGGAGAAGAGCAGACCTCTCGGCAGCAGCCGGTATCTTCGATTCTCTTCGAGCCTGAATGGCATACTTTTGCAGGGGCTCAATCCGTCACCGAGGACGTGCTGCGCCTGTCGTCCTCTCGATGGCATCTGATCTGCACACGGGCACGAGGAAGCCTCTGCGATTCGCTCAAGCTCGATCAGCGTGGTGGGCCTCGCCTCGATCGCGCGCCCTGCAAGCTTGCAGGTCACACGTCGCACACGAGAGTTATTGGCCTCGGAGCACCTTCTGCATGTAGCAGGTGCCGAGATCGACAGGGCCTGCAAATTGGGCCCCATAGGACGGCAGCTTAAAATGCGGTGCATGGCTGGACCAGGAACATCTGTGGGGGGCCAGGGGCACTCCTTGCACGCGCCGCTGGTGGCTTGGGAGGGAACCTGTGGGTTGTATTGCTCACATAATAGTACGACGACACGGTCTGGGCATGGGCCGGCTGGCACATGTCAATAACGTCTGAGAGTATTATTTGTCCTGCCCGCGCATTGACGATGACGACGCCACGGTGCCCTATAAAGATGAATGCCCGACCCGCCCGCCAGCAACACTCTTGAGCTACTCCAGCCCTCACTGCCGGCCAAGCTCACAATCGTTGCGGCTTTATCCCTGCTTGTCGTCGAGGATCCCGCCATCCCATCAGATCCCCAGTCACCATGAAGTGGTCACTAGCCCTTGCTGCGCTCGCAGCCTCGAGCACCGAGGCTATCCGCATCCTGCAGACCAACGACGATGGCTGGGCCGAGCTGTACCTGCGCTCATTCCACGACGCGTTGGGAGCTGCCGGCCATGATGCTGTAGTCTCTGCCCCTGCTGAGAACCAGTCTGGCACAGGTGAGAAGACATTTGGACAGGCAGGACAGCAACCAGGCAGGACAGATGACTGACCCCAAGCCAGGATCCAATGACAAGGAGCCCGAGCCTCGCAAGACGGCCTGCCAGTACAACAGCTGCCCAGCCAACAGCGGGCCCGTCGGCACCAACACAACCGACACGCGACTCAACTGGGTCAACTCGTACCCCGTGACGTCGCTCAAGTACGGCCTCAGCACATTTGGCCCGCAGATCTGGAACGGCCAGGCCCCCGAGCTCATCGTGTCGGGCCCGAACGTCGGCATCAACGCCTGGCTCGGCGACTTCTTCTCGGGCACTGTCGGTGCTGCCGTCTACGGCGCCAAGAATGCTGGGATCCCGTCCATCGCCTTCTCGGGCAAGTCGGAGGGCACCCTGGCCTGGAACACGAGCCCTGTGCCCGTCCGCAGCACCTTCTACGCCCAGATCGGCACCAAGATCACCAACGCCGTCATCGCCTCGGGCGTCCCTTACCTGCCCGCCAACATCTTCCTCAACGTCAACTTTCCCGAGGTCACCGACTCGTGCAACAGCCTCGACGATGTCACATATGTGCTTACCCGCATCAACATCGGCCTCTTCTCGGCCCCGGACGCCCTTCACTGCGGCACCACCCGCCTGCCCTCCGAGTTTGACGTCATCAACCGCAAGGGCTGTTATGTGACTGTCAGTGTTGGTGATGCCAATGACAAGACCACGGCCTCTGCCGACAAGCAGAAGGCTGTCATTGACAAGATCGGCAGCCTCTTCACCTGCATCTAAGGGATGAGCAAGTGCGTAAGGGAAAAACATTGTATCTGTCACAGATAGCTCTCGGCGTAATGTAATAATACTGCTCAACACAATGTACCGACCGCTGGCAAGAATTCATGCTTGGTGAACTCTGTTCGGAGCCCTGCCATCATCGCAGATCAGGGTAAGCGCTCAGTGACATAATACCGCCGGTGTGGACGAAGAGGACGTTTCCCTGCACCTCTCCCTGCCTGACCATTTCACAAAGTCCTGTGAGTGCTTTCCCCGAGTAGACCGGATCAGTGACAAGGCCCTCTTTTGTGGCTGCAAGTTTGATGCCGTCCTTCGTCTTCTTGTCCAGCTGGCCGTAACCCCCGCCGTGCCATCGATCGTCAATAACGAAATCATCCGCGACGATGTGACCTTTTGACACGCCAATCTTGTCGGCTGTCGAGTTCGCAATGCCAAGCACCAAAGTCTCCATATCTTTTATGGACTTAGGCCCAGCAAGGACACCGATCAGACGCCTCGGCTGTGATGTCTCTCCCCGGTTAGCCCTCTCTTGGTCTGCCAGCTTGAAACCAGCCACCATGCCGCCCAGGGTGCTGCCAGACATCAATGCCACAACAACAACATCAAAGTGCACGCCCATCTCCGCTTCCTGCTGTTCGATCTCAAACGCCCATCGCGCATAGCCCAGGCCGCCTAGCGGGTGCGTCGACGCCCCAGATGGGATCCAGTAGCTTTCCGGGTCCTTCTGCAGGATCTCCTGTTTGTCCTTGCCCGCCGCGTGCGTAGCCGACATGAGATGCGTCAGCTGCACATTGCCAAGCTCGTTGTACGACTCGCTGACGTGCCGGTCCGCAGCGCCGCTCCGATCCCGCACGAGATCGTTGATGAGCAGAGTCGCCTCGAAGCCCAGCTTGGCGGCTGCCGCGGCGACTTGGCGCACGTGGTTGCTCTGCACGCCGCCCTCGGTGACGATCCGGCTTGGCCGAGGCTGTTGGGCCAGAGCATCCGCGAGGACTGTGTACCTAAATTAGCGAAGTCTTGAGCGTCTTCGGGTGGATTCTGGGACGACTGTACCATATTCGAGCTTTCTCAGCTTGTTGCCTCCGCCGCCGCCCAGGCCGCTGTTGGCGTCTTCCCTCTTGACAAAGATCTTGGTCGAAGTGTTGTTGCCGCCATCTGTGAGATGCGCGGACAACCGTCCAAGGGACTCGATTGGTGGCGGCGTGGGGAAGAGAAGAGGGACCCTCGGGATTGCCGCGAGTTGTGCAGGGATTGACGCCATGACGGGATGCGCCGGTTTTGGCATTGTAGTTTTCAGTATGGACAGGCAAGATTGTGTTTTGACGGTAGCAGTGTTGGAACTTGGAAGAGCGACGTGCTCGAGATATTCTACGGAGGGTCGTGGCGCTGACTGATGTGCTGACAAGTTAATCGCATGGGAGGAAGCTGGCCAGGGATGACATCATCGCAGCATCGCACCTCTCCCCAGCCTGGCAATATTGGGCGACATAATTATTTATTCTTCTTTGAATTTGCATTGCATCTCTTTCCCCCGTTCCAAGCTTTGGCGAATTATCAATTCTGGAAATTCACTTGAATTGATTCCACTTGACATGTCTAGCGATTTCATTTTCAATTACGCGAGTTAAGTTCTCATCAAATGTCGTGCATTCCACGATCTGTGGCGAGCTGGATTGAATAAGCCTTCTAGATCAGGCTGTTGATCAAGGCGATCCCCTCTTTTCGCCAGTTGTCCCTCTCAGGCTTGCTCGTGATGTTCGCATCATACTTGAACACCAGCGGATCGCCCAGACACCTCGACGCCCTCGCATAACGCGGCCACTTCTCCACGGCCTGCCGGTTCGTGGGCGCCGCATCCCGCCGGCCCTCCCACCTGTTCGGGTCGCCCGAGTTGACAAACGCAATGTAGTCGCTCGCCATGAGCCGCGCGAGGTCGCGGAACTCGTTGCCGAGCCCCTGGAACGGCGGCGTGCGGTTGGGCGCGTAGCCGACGCCGAGGAGGTTGTACTGCGCAAAGGCGACCTCTGCGAAGTGGGCGGAGCCGTCGAGCGGTCCTGCCCACGCCGGGATCGCGTTGAAGTGGTAGCAGTAGGCCGGGAGGCCGAGCTCGGCCCAGCGCTGGCATGTCGCGCGGCGGCTGGCGATCAGGCGGTCGCTGAAATAAGTGGCCGCGTTTAGGTACTGCAGGCCGTAAGGGTAAGCCGATGGGATGTAGTCCGCGGGCAAGTTGGGAAACGAGTTGTCGGCCATGCCGGCCGGGTACAGCTCGACAATCTTGTCCTTGAAGGCGTCCGTGTAGGAGCTGGGAAGGGCAGCGCGGAACTGCTCGGTCGTGTTGATGGCCGAGGGAGGAGTGATGCCGGTTGCCTCGGCAGTATTGGCACCCGTGATGATCGGGACGCGCACGAACTGGCCATTGCGGAACTGCTGCTTCGAGTTCACGGCAATAAAGTCGTTGTCGATGGCTGGCCGCCAGTTGATGAGAGCGGTCGTGTTGATGGCAGTGTTGAGTTGGTCAGTGGGCACCTCCCGCAGGCACTTCAAAGTATCAGGCTGGCCCTCGCAACCTGCGCGGGCGACGAGCTGGTTGTACTGTGCCTGGGAAGCGTTTTGAGGTAGGTCATCTGAGATGGGATATCCAGAGTCCATGACAGCTGTGCGGAAGAGATCGTCATCACGACCACCATAGGCGAGGAGCTGTCTGCCCACAGACTGGCCGCCAGCGCTCTGGCCCCAGATTGTGACTTGGGACGGATCACCGCCGAAAGCGCGAATGTTCTCATGTACCCACTGCAGCGCAAGACGCTGGTCCCGGAGGCCAAAGTTGGAGTCTCCGCCGTCGGCGACCTCCTGGCTTGCCAGAAAGCCCCAGGCGCTGAGTCGGTAATTGAGGTTGACAGCGATAATGGGCTGGCCCATCTCCACGGAGCGGTCGACAAGAAACGTCAAGTTGTATCGAGCATCAGAACCGGATCCTTGGACGAAGCCGCCGCCAAATATCCAGACCAGCACTGGTAGGGGCTTGCCGAACAACCCTGCTGGCCGGTAGACGTTGAGGAGCAGACAGTCCTCGCTGGCTGCATAGCCCCAGGCCGAGGACTACATATTGTGTCAAGAGTCAGCCATGAAAACCGCTGCCTGCCAATGAAGGCATCTTTGCGGAAAATAATTGAACTTACGCCATAACCAATGCAGGCAGGGCCAAGGGCCTTCGCATCTCTGCCGTCAGCCCATGACTCATTGTACGAGGCCGGGTTGCGGAATCTCCGGTTGCCCACTGGAGGCTGCGCGTACGGAATGCCTAGGAAGTAGTCCTGGTTGTACTGCGAGTTGTAGACACCAGTCAAGGTGCCATTCTTGACAGTGACACGAGGATCCTCATGAGCACTAGCAACCTGCGTTGCTGCAAGAGCTGTCCCGAGAAATAGTGAGAACTTCATGGTCGGAGTCGTGATCCGCGAGGGCAAAGTTGAGGGGATCGGCAATATTGCATCCGGTCCCCGGCTTTATGTATGTGACCCGGACAGTAGCTGGTGCTTTTATGAGGATAAACATTAGGCAAAACAAGCACCAGGCACATCGTGATGACCTCGTGGACCCCCTGCCAAATACTAAATGTTTATCCAGGACGTTTTGTTCCCCGCATGCAACGCTGCAAAGTACGGGGTGCTGTATGCAGATCCGGCACCACTCAGGCTTAGACCCTGGCCTCGTTCTCGCGATCCCCCGTCTCTACCCCAGCCTGGGGTCCCCGCGCTGTCGGGGTCAACCCGCCGCTGTCGGTGGCAACGAACCCGCTCTTTGCACCCCCCTGCCCGTTTAGCTCCTCCTTTGGCTGTAGTCAGTCGGCCAGTAGCCGTGGGCAGCGATGACACGAAGTCGGCTTCGCTTCGGTCATTAATTGCCGAAGCGTTCATACTACACCAAATCAAGGCGGGGTCATCGCTTGGCGGAGCAAGAAGTCCTCCGGGGCCCGAGGCTTCTTGTGACCTCATCTCGAGCACGTATTTATGGCTCTGTGCAGGAAACCGGAGCTCACGGGGGTCATGGTATGGCATCGAGTTTCTTAATCATAATCATTCAACTGTGAGAATTAACAAAGGCGCACAAAACAAATCACGCTAGATGCACCGCCTCCAACAATCCCACAAATGCCGCCTCGATCGCCGCGAGCCAGGTCGCTCCCACTGAATCCGCGTCGTCGCTGCTGGGTGCCGGGCGATAAACCTGGCCGCCAGGAGCAGGCTGCTGTATCATACCCTCGCGCGGGTTCTCGTCACTAGATAATCCCCAAGTTAGCATTGTTCCTCGGTATCAGTCAACGCCACGCCACGCCACGCAGCGAAACTACCACTACTACGACTACGACGACTTACTGCAATGAAAACCTGCCAAAGAACTCCATGATCATGGTCGTGGCGTTGAAGGTCGCCGTCACGGGGCGTTCGTTCCACTCATACGTCTTGGGCCAGTAGTGCAGCCCGCCGTGCCAGACGAGGGTAACAAGACCGCGGGGGTCCGTGTGCTCGCCGTAGACGAACCGCTTCGAGTCGGCGCCGAGCTTCTTATTGCCCGGGTCGCCGACGGCATCCCACGTGCGCGTCGACCGGCGGATGTCCTCCGGGTCGAGGCCGTTGCGGCGCGCCCACTCGGCGGCCCAGTAGTCGAGCGCCGGCGTGCAGGCGTAGTGCTTCTCGGCGAGCCCGCCGCCATACCGGATCGTCTCGTCGCCGGCGCCGTGGAACGCCATGATGGGGATGCCCTTGCGGCCCGGCTTGCACGGCAGGATGTCGTCGCGCGGGTGGCAGTGCGGGTCGCCGCTGTGGTCGCGCCAGTAGCCGCTGTCCTCGAGCAGCCGCCAGCTTGCGCGGGGCGGCATGTCGGGCCACTTGTAAAAGTAGGAGCCCGAGACGGCGGCAAAGGCGGCGATCTGGGTCGAGAGGACCGGGTGGCAGGCGAGCATGTTGGCCATGCCGCCGCCCTGGCTCATGCCCGTGGCGTAGATGCGCGTCTCGTCGACGCACAGCTCCTGCTTGATGTGCTCGAGCAGCGCCGCGACGTAGCCCATGTCGTCGACGCCCCGGAGCGCAATGGCCGGCGACACCTCCCACATCCGGCCGGCGTACTCCTCCGTCGACTCCGGGTACACGGCAATGTAGCCCCGGCGGTTGAACTCGGGCCGGTGCAGCTCGCTGACCGGCTCCTGCATCGTCGAGTTGCCGCCTCCGCCATGGAAGGCAAGGATGACCGGGTTGGGTACGGTCGGGTCATAGCTGGGGGGCAGCCAGATCCCATACTTGCGGTCTCGGCCGATGGTGACATTGAGCATGGTGAGGTTGACGTGCGAGAGGACTCCCAGGGGAACAGGCACGGTTTTGCCGCACCCAGACGAGGCGACGGGCGGCCGCTGTGGCTGAGGCTGGTATGGCCATGCTCTTGAGTGGCGCTGGTGATGTTGCTGGTCCTGTCGTCGTGAGCCGGCGGCAGGCGAGGCCGCGACAAAGGCGGCCATCGCGGCCACGACCAGGGTTGAGAATTGCATCACGGATTTGGAGTGGCGTCGGTTTGCAGGCGGCGTTGTCTGCCGGCCGGCCAGGTTGTCCTCGCAGCTCACGCCACGCAGTTCACACTGGAAGAGCGGATCGGATGACTGACAGCAGAGGTAGACGACATTAGCTGCTATGTGTAGAGGGGAGGAGAGCGTGGCAATTCGAAATCCTCCTGACTGAGACCCAGAAAACTTGGCGTGCTGGCGGCCAACATGGCGTGCTGAAACCAGCAGATCGTGGCTTGCTTGCGGGCAGCGTCCCGTCCGGGCAGACAAGGCGGCACAAGGGGTGGAGGGGTCCAGACCACCAAGTCACAGCATGAAAAAAGGTACAACGGATTGTCCAGCCCCATTATTCACTCGTCTGGGGCCGAAAAACCCCTGAAGCGATGCCCATTACGGGTTAGTCTAGGCATTATTATTTGCAGGCCCTGACGGAGCAAGCCTTCAGGGTCATTCTGCAAGTGGGCGCTCAGCTCTTAGGGCTGCCGCTCCTGTCTATGTGTCCTACTGGGGCTTTCAATTCGCAAAGCGCTCCTTCTTTGCTGCGTCCTCCCGCGACACATGCACAGGTCAGCCCAGGGGTGCTCTGGCTCAGGCTAGGGCTGTCTCCGCGCTATCGGCCGAATGAGCCCAGTGGGCTTTGGGATTCTGTCCCATCGAGTCTGGCCGGTGCGGAATGAAAAGGACCCCGATGACTGCTGATGCTCGGCCATGAACATCGTTCGTCTGCGGTATTTGCCTGGCTGCTTGCCAACACGGCCCCAAAGTTTTACGCGTTTCCCACATTTCCAGCACGCGGTTTCGGTGGGGGGATTGGCTATGGCCGCGGTCATTCCCCAGAATCACGGCCCAACCCCGCTGTCAATCACAGTCGATCGTTTTGCTCTGCGATGGACCCTGAAGCTCCGTCTGCTCTGGATATGCAAGCTGTGGAAGCAAACCGCATCGGAGCACGCAGGCCTGGAAGACATGCTTTTCAGGCGGCTAGGAGTACGCACACGGCAGGCCAAACAAAACCTGCTTCGAGCTTGGTTTGAGAGCCAAATGCAGCATCGAGGTCAGGTCATGGTTAAGATCATCGGCTGCTCTTGAGATCCGCACGAGGTTTCATAACCACAGCGTTTGCGGCCCTCGCGCGCTCGCAAGTCAAAGAATTGATTCTTCAAGGCAAGCCTGGAGATGACATGCACTGACTGAGTTAACAAAGAGGCTTGGTGGGCCGCGCGGAGGTGGCTTGAAACCTTCTGGAGCTCAAACACGACGGCACAAACATTGTCGCAGGCTGCTCAGTGTCGTCAACACCGAATGCCAATCTATGAATACGGCGAGAGAGCCTGCCACACATCAAGTACAGTGCCTGCCGTGGTGTAGAGAGAGCCTCAATGCTGGAACGGTCCACGCTTGCCTGTAGCGTGGCCGCCGCGTCTGCCAAGCGTCGGACACGCGGCCCCAGCCTCTGCCGCACGCGCAGCTGGCCTCCCCTCCACCTCGAAAAGTCTCTGCAAGGCACATCTCCTGCAGGTACGGGAGCCTACACGAATGGCACGCACTCTTGGTGGTGGCGGCGGCCTGCGACTCGCGAGCATGAGCTCCAGCCAAGGAAGGGAGAGAGGACCGAGGAGGGCTTGGACGGCGCTTGGAAGTTCTTGAGGGTTCAGCCAGACGAATAAATATTCCAGCCGTGATTAATTAGTCCCCAGTCCACCCACCACACCACCTGACAGAGGTGCGACAGGATCAGCACCAAGGGACTTGGAACGGAGGCTGTGCAACGGCGCCAAGCGGCTTGGGGGCCCGGGCGCTTGTGAGGCGGCGAGTCGCAGACCACGGCCCCTGAATCCAGGCGAGATTGCCCCTTTTTCTTGGGATCCACACCCACTCACTTGCTTCGTCTTCCTCTTGTTCTCCGCACCCCTGTCGGCCAGTCATTTGCCGTTGCTCGCCCACCTTTTTTTTGTAATGTCCCGAGCGGGAACACGAGCAAGCACCCTGAAGCCGCTGGTCCCGTGGGACAAGCAAAGGGTTTTTTGGCAGGACATGAATGCGAATGACACTGGAGCAGAAGGAAGACGTGCGTTATGCTCGAGGTCATCTGGTGTGATATGGCAGTATTAATCGAGAGAAGTGGCAAGTTCTGGTCGAGACTGACATCGGCTGCCCTGATCTGCCAAGCAGGCGTGTTGACGTCGCCCAAGAGGTCCCAAGAGATGCCCAAGGCGCCCCTGTCCCTGTCTCGTTCTCATGGTTGGTGTACTACGTAGTCCAGCCAGGCCCGCATCTCCACCCGGCTGCGATCCCCCATGGTGAACGAGTCCCTCCTCCTCCCAATTCTTCCTGCTGTTGCCCGCTGTGCCTGCTTGTCCATCTGCTTTCCCGCCATACGTACACTTGCGACTGTCGTGCGTGGACCCCAAACGACACTCGACAACCACGCTACAAGCTGCTGCCGCTGCACTGCCCTTGTCCGTGCTCGGTACTCGGACATCCAGTCGCTGACGTTGCTTGACCCATTCCACTTCTCTTCAGTGACGGGTGACACTCTCTACCTACCTACGCAGACTCATCTACTGTGACTGCTCGTCGCCTTTGCTCTGTCACTCACTATCCCACTCGCTCAATACGCCCATCTTGTGCGGAGGCTTTGTCGTCGCCTCACTTCGGACAGCCATTCTCTCGCCTGGGGAGCGCCGGTCGTGTCCCTCGACGTCCTTCGCGACAACTCCTCGGCTTGACTCGACAAGTCACAAAGGTCTTCGTCGACTTGCATCGGGGGAGGAATCCGACTCTCTCGCCAAGCGACACCTCTCTGCTTTCTCTGTCTTCTGATCTATCCGCAGCCAGCACCATTCTCTCACCATGGTCCGGTTAAGTCTGCAAGGCCTGGCCGTCGCTGGCCTGGCTGCTCAGCGTGCATCCGCCGCGCTGCCGGCCATTGACTGGCAGGACAACAGTGAGTCTGCCCGTTTTCATGTCGTCTCTTCTCCCCTTTCTCTATCCATGTGCTCTGCTGCCCACCCTCCCGGCACTTGGATGCCCGGCATGAAAGAAGCACTTGCCTGTATTTCGACCCATCCCTGCATCCCACGTTGGCTAGAAGTGCACTTCACGTCACTCGTCGTATAGGAGAGTCCAACGGCATCGCTACTGGCGTCCATCCCCTCGGCCTCCCCCGGCTTCGGCTCCGGCGTCTTTGCTCCGGCTTTCACGGACGACGCTCATTCTCGCACATTACTTCCTCCTCGCCCTCCCCGCCTTCCAGCATGACATGTTGCGTATCATGAACGCCCAAAAACACATGAGACTAACCACCCACGCCCAGAGTCCATCGCGGCCGCGGCCAAGCTCGTTGCACAGGACATGTTGTCATTCTACCCTCCATACAACGGCGTGCTGGGCTGGACGATCGGTATCCTGCCTGGCCCGCCACCGGACGGCGACTACTACTGGTGGCAGGGCGGAGCCATGTGGGGGACGCTGCTCGACTACCGGCACTACACTGGCGACACGTCGTTTGACAAGTTCATTACGGAGGCGATGACGGCGCAGGTGGGCAACAACAAGGACTACAACCCGCGCAACTGGTCGGCATCGATGGGCAACGACGACCAGGCGTTCTGGGGCATGTCGGCCATGATCGCGGCCGAGACGGGGTACACGGACCCGCCAAAGGACCAGGCGCAGTGGCTGGCGCTGGTGCAGGCCATCAACTACGAGCAGACCAACCTGGAGCGGCGGGCGCCCGACGACGGGACGCCGTGCTCGTGGGGCCTGCGATGGCAGGTGTACCAGACCAACAACGGCTGGGACTACATCAACACCATCTCCAACGCGTGCTATATGAACATGGCGGCCCGACTGGGGCGGTACTACGGCAACACGACGTACCTGGCGCAGGCGGAGCGGACGTACGATTTTATGAAGAAGCTGGGCTACATCAACGGCCAGTACGACGTCTTTGACGGCGCCCACCTGCCGCGCTGCGACGACATCAACAAGTTCCAGTTCTCGTACAACTCGGCGCTGCTCATCCAGAGCACCGCCTTCATGTACAACGCCACCAACGGCGACGCAAAGTGGAAGGCCGAGCTCGACAGCCTCATCAAGCGCACCATCGAGGTCTTCTTTGGCGACAAGGGCATCGCGTTCGAGCTCAACTGCGAGGCCGCAAAGTGCACCACCGACATGGAGTCCTTCAAGGGCTACCTCCACCGCTGGATGGCCTACGCCATGCAGCTCGCCCCCTACACGCGCCAGACCATCATGCCGGTCCTGCAGAGCAGCGTCAAGGCCGCCGTCAAGACGTGCACGGGCGGCGCCAACGGGCGCATGTGCGGTTTCCGGTGGAGCAGCGGGCAGTTTGACGTATGTATTTTTTCTTTTTCTACCTCTGGTCCTCTGCTTGTGTACACATACAGATAGATCCAACATGGGCTAACCTTTTCCTTTCTTCTCACAACACAGAAAGAGTCAGCAGGCCACCAGATGAACGTCCTCGGCGCCCTCATCTCCGTCATGGACCCGGCCACCATCCAGCCCATGCTCAACAACAAGACGGGCACCTCGGTAGGCGACTTCAACGCGGGCAGCGACGCCGTCGACCCCATGAGCTTCGCGCCCATCACCACGGGCGACAAGGCCGGCGCGGGCATCGTCACCGCCATCATCATGGCCGTCGCGCTGGGTGCCTTCGCCTGGATGAGCATTGATTAAACTTTCCGAGGGAAGGCGCGCACGAGAGAGATTAGATTGGATCGGATCGGCCCGGGTGTGCTCATATGAGATGATTGAAGGAGGGAAGGGGTGGCTCGGGCGGTAGTGGCAGGCAGACCTGAGAACTCTTTTCTGGGAAGAGAAAAGTTCAGCGTCTGGTCCCCAGCTGCTGGTACTCTCCCCCACGACCTCTGCTCTGGCCTCGCCTGGCCTGGACTCTTGCCCAGCCGTCGACACATCTAACAAATACTTGCTTGAACCAATTTTACATACAATGGCGCATCAAACTGATAAACTTGGGATTTTTTTTTCACCTTTCTCTTTTTTGACACAGCAGGATGTATGTACATAATTAAAGACAAGACCATTTTCACTTCAAACACCCCCAATGCGTTGAGGCTGTGCTAAAAAAAGATGACATGTCGGCACCACGGTTCAGGACTCGGTGGAAGAACAGACCCAGAAAAAGAAACAACGGGTTTTGACCCCACGGTCCCCCGTGGTGCTGATGGTATTGGTCCCATATTCACTTTATGTCTGTCTCTACTACTTGGATCTACCAGGAGCGTCGGTGTGGTCAGGTATCGAGACTGATTCCCACGGAAGGATGTAAGCATGAGTGTCCGTGTAATCTGTGGTATCACGGAGGTGCGCAAGCACAGCATCCGAGAATACGGCGCTTGGCTTCACGCGAACCTCTTGAACCTTGCGTTCACCACCACCACCAATACTGCTGTCACCACTTCCTCCAAGTCCAGCTCCAACGAGCTCAATCTTGGTCCGCAATGCAACAGACAAGCATTCCCCTAGAGCCCGCAGGTCGCCCCGACGGCTGGTCAGCAGCGAGGGGACGACGACGGCGTCGTCGTCGTCGGGCGGGTACATCAAGGCATAAAGCTTGCCGAGACCAGTCACAGAATCGGCAGTACCCGCGCTGCTCGAGAGGCTGGCCCGGCCGTGCTCGAGCAGGATGACCACCATCTCGGCATACAGCCACGCGACAAGGACGCTCCCGTGCGTAGTGAACTCCCCTGGCGATGTGGCGACGTTGGAATTACGGAACCTCGCGGCATCCGACACCTCGAGGCGGAGCATGTCGAGAAGCTCGTGCAGGATGGGATCCAGGCAGAGACTGTGCATCGGGACGACGACGCCGCCGCATTCGACGAGCACTCTCCTGAGCATCCGTACTCTCCGCTTCGTGACAAGGGTCCGCACCGCGTGTTCGAGCTGATCCGCCGGCCACGTCGCGGGCGGATGATTGTCCAGAACGAGCGACAGCAAAAAAGAAGAATGGCTGTCGAGGGCCGCCTCTAGCACTGTCGGTCTTCGAGGAGGAGCCTTCTTGATAGACATGGAGTCCGGCGCTAGTAACCTGGACGGCAGTGTGCTGGCGCGCAGCTGCAGACTTGACAGGCCGTCGTGGTCCAGAAAGACCCGGATCACGGCTTCGGCTATGCCCTTTTCCGTACGGTCGCTTCCGATGGCAAGGTCGAGAGGAGTACTGCCAAAACTGTTGGCTTTCGACGGGCTGGCCCCTCTGTCCAGGAGCAGCGACACGAGATCGGCGCGCTCACTCTGCACGGCGTTGTGGAGGGGCTCCATTCCTTGCTCCTCTGCCCTCTCGATCGCGTCGTCGTTGGAGCGGTCGAGGAAGTGCTCGACGATGCTTCGGTCTATGCCACCGTTGATGACGAGGAGCCCGAGTATGCTGCCGCTCACATCGACGACTTGATGCTGCTCGGCAAGGTCCATCAATGTGAACATGCAGCGTTCAAAGACGGCGGGATTGGCCGTTCTTGTCTCATGGTGATCATACGCAAGTGCGAACAGCGAAGACAAGCATGTGTGCACGTCTTCGCTGGTCATTGTCGTGGCCTGCCCGTGCTTCAACAGAAATTCGAGGCCAATGATGTTGCACTCGCGCAGAGCACAGTTGATTGCCTGGAGCTGCTGCTCCCTCGACCCAGCAACGCCGGACTCGACAAGGAGGCGGGCAATCGCGGTCTTGTCGGGCACCTCGACGGGGTCGTACTGCGCAATCTCCCCGAAAGGTCCCGTCGGGACGTCCACCCTGGTGCGGAGGGGGGAGGTGTTGTGCGTCGTCAAACTCTGGAGCGCTTTCACATGGTCGGCAGCACCGTGCTCCAACAAGAGCGTTATCATTTCCAGTGACGGGGGCGAGACTGCGTAGGTGCAGGCAACGAGAAGTATCGGCTGGCGGCACTTGTGGATCGCGTCGTCCAGATCGGGATACAACTCAAGCAGCAACCTGACCAGATCTATCCTGCCGTTCCTCACAGCGATGCCCAGCGGCGAAAAGCCCCCAAATGACGGGCCGAACAGGCGCGAGAGCTCGAAAGCCGTGGGGTTGGCCTTTGGGGCAAAGTCGCGGATGAAGTCCATGCGCAGCTCTGCGGTGTCCTGATCTCTGTATCTCGAGGCAAAGAGCGGGGTTTCAATGTCGGCTGGTGAGGCGACCTTGCAACAGGACATGAGCATACGGTAGAACATCATGGTTGGGCCGGATATCTCTGTCGGGAGGTAGAGAGACAGGAGTCGCCGTGCATCACGGAACCTCAACGTCCAGAGAGCATCTGGAAGAAGCAGTGGTATCCGGCGCGCGTCGGCGGTGCTGCCGTACTCTGCGGTGTCTAGCGATGCTCCGTGGCGACAAAGCCACTCCACTGTCTCCCAGTGACTGTAGGCGTAGGCATAGACGATTGGGGCTTGGTCGATGCTGTCCAGGGAGTTGACCGACAGTCCTGGCGTGCCTTGGCTAAGCAATTCGTCGATCAGGGCGACGTCGCCGAAAGCAGCTGCCGCGTGGAGTGCAGTGAGCATCGGCGTGCCAGATTCTTTGCTGATGTCCGACGCGCAGAGCCGTGGCGATGCACCGCTGGCAAGAAGCTTGCGAGCCAACCCAAGCCTCCCGTAGTTGAATGCGACAAACAAGGGCGTCCATGCGTAAGTTGCGGTGGGATTCATCCGGTAAGACATGAGAAGATGTTCGACACGGCACTCAGAGAAGCCTTGCGAGCTGGCGTTGACATCCGCGCCGGCGTCGAGCAGTGCTTCCACAGATCCGACCTGGTCATGTCGCACAGCCAGGTGGAGAGCGGTACAGTGCTGCGAGAACTGGCTCTTGGGCACGTAATGGATTTCTTGGTCGAAGCACCTGCCACCAGCATCCTTCTTGTGCTGCGCAGGCTCTTGCCTCGGTCGAGGCTCAGCCGGTTGAGGTCTGGGATATCGAGGTGGGTCTTGGTGTTGCAGATAGTAGTTGGACTCGAGCACACGTGGTCCACCAAAGACCTGCTCAGGCATCGTCATGTCCTCATCCACTGGCCCGAGTTCGAACAGGGGCGCTTCCGTCCTGTGCGACTGCGACCTCCAGACATGGTTAGGATCCACACCCGCGGCAAGCACCTTGCGGAGCGTACCAACCCTTCCGTGAGCTGCTGCCCAGAAGAGCGCGCGTTTCTGGTACGAAGTGGCGGCGCGGAAGTACAGCACAGGATCGACAATGTTGAAGAGCCGTGAGCTCGTGGCGGCGAGACTGGCGAGGTCCGCATAGCGACTGAGCTCGAGGGCGATGTCGTGGATGATCTCGACTGGGAGACCCGAGAAGGTAGCTGGTGGTGGTGAGTGCGTTGGCGGGGGGGACCATGTCTCCGTGGTGTGAGGGTTGTGGGTGAGGTCTGTCATTGCAGTACGTGTGCCGTAAGACGGGCGAAGCCTGTCCCACGCCACTCAAGATGGTTGTGGGATTCAAGCAGTGCACATGGACGGGTTGTGTAGATGGGTGGCAGCAGGTGTCCGGTCTGGACAGCACCAAGTGAGGGTACTTTAGGCAGTAGTCAGTTATGTGCCTGATACAGTGGGCTTGCCAAGCCATTGCATGGGGCTGTGAAGTGACACGAACCTGCACAATGAATGGACGAGTCACGCCTGCTTACCTCGGACACTTGAAATTAGCTGTTTCTCCAGTCTCACAATGAATACAGATCCAATCTATACAATGAGCACGGGCGGGCTGGCAAGAAGCAAACGAGAAAGGATTATGCGTCAATTGAAGGTGTGCCGAGACGGCTGCACACACCGGAGATGTCCATCCTGACACTCTCTCATGGCAGAGAGCAGTGTGGCAGCTGACGCTAGGCCGACCAGCGGCTTGGCCGGTAGAGCAATGCCAGAGAGTAGCGCCCATTGCGCCTAGTAAATGCATCAATTCCGCCACAGTCAGAACGCCCTATTGCCCGCCCTGTGCTTCCGCGTGCCAACTATCCAACGTGGGAGGGTTGTAAAAATAGAGCGGATCGCGTATTCAGAAAAACAAGATGATCCCGTTGTGCGCCTGTGAATGATTTTTGGTTGTGAGAAATGTTGAGCCGTGCTGGGTCGTGGATGGCGGGAGGTGCGGGTGTGCCTGTTCCTGGCTGCTTGGTTCCGGGACGAGTTCTTCGTAGCTGTCCTCTGCTGGCCTGTTTCATGCCTATCAAGGAGCAATGTTGCCGACTGCGTACGCTGGGAAAGGTGACCCCGTGGCCCGGTCGTATGTCGTACTCGCGCGGTGTGGCGCCGCCAGAGCAGATGCACGAGTCGCCTAGACCATGTCTGCTGGCTTGGCCTGCTGCCGAAGCGACATCTCGAGGGAGCGCAGCGAGTCTTGGGACGTCCTCCGGGCCGCCGAGGGTTCTGATGAGGACGGCGCCTGGTCTGTGGTGCTCTTGGAGTGCGCGGCCGAGGCCTGGTATGTGCTCTTGGGCTTGGCGGGCGCGCCGGCAGCGCCGAGGCCGTAGTCGTCGAGCTCCTGGGAGTTCTTGCCGGTCCACTCCTTCTTGTCCATGCGCTGGCGGCGGAAGTGGAAGTGGACGAGGACAACGACGACGATGATGGCTAGGACGCCGCTGAAGGTGGTGGTGGGGGTTAGCAGAAGCACTCGCGAGAAACGAGACTGATGAGCAGCCGACGGAGGAGGTGGCCACATACACAATGGAGCCGATGACGATTTCGGTTGTATGGGTGCCGGCAACGGGCAGCGCGCACGAGTCGCCGCCTGCCTCATTGATGCAGTTCTTGTCCTCCCGGGCCACCATCCGGGACAAAGTCGATGGCACCCGGCTTGCGAGCTGAGTGAGGGGCGACATGGTGGGCGTTGACGATCAGGGGGGGCGCGATCAGAGCGGTGTTGTCGGTGGCTGAAGAAGGCGACGGCGTTGCAGCACGGCAGATTGTGGGTTCGCAGGGACGGCCGGCGAGGTGCGGTCGAGTCGGGTTGTTGCCAAAGGCAGGATGTTGAGAAAGGGAGTGCGTGGTCGAGCAGAGTTGACAGCGGAGCCCTGGTGCGGGCCAAAGACGAAAACAGGCTGAAGGAGAGGCTGGACGGAACGATTGCGGCCAAGAACGGAGGAGTCGGGGTGGACGGCGTGTTGGGAGTGAAAGAGAGAGTGAGGTCGCAGGCGACAAGGAAGACAACGACGACGATGACAACAACGAACGGGGAGAGGGAAGGGGAGGAGTCTGGTCGTGGCGTGCTAATAGCGGCACAGGGCAGCCTCGGAAGGGTTCTGGGGCGCGGAAAAGGCTTGAAGGGAGGCGGCGGCAGCCTAAGGAAGCTTGGGGGGCCAGGGGCAGCAGCACGCTGATTGGGCGAGAGCACGGAGGGCTCCACTTGCACCCACCAACGCACCAACAGGTACGTACCTCGCAGCAATGCAATGCAGGGCTACCTGCCTGCAGCGGATTGCCTCGCCCGCGGCTGCAAGGGACGGCAACGCCTCCAATCGAGGCTGCCCTGGTTGGTGGGCCACGCGGCCTCCCGAGGGCTGCTTCTTTCTTCTCTCCCTCGGCTTTTGTCCACCCTTCAGCGACGACGGCGACGACGATGTTCCACGGCATGCATGCCCGCACGGGAGAGAGACGTCTCGGAGGCATCATGCGCAACGGGCCAGGTACACTCTCTCACAAGAACAAGCCTCCTTGGCATCTGCTCGACAGCGCTGATCTCGACGGGGCGGCCGGACCAAGGCAGGCAGGGCTGTGCATGACGGGTTAATTTGTCTGTAACTTCACCTTCCACGCCGCCGGAAATGGGACGAGGCAGCCTCCCGCTCGCACAGGCCAGCGCCGTCCAAGCGTTGCCGTTCGCCTGAGCCATTCTGAGACGGCGCCAATGCTCGACGCTTTTCGTCACCTTCTTCATCTTCGTATGGGTGTCCTGCGCTGGCTGGATTAGTCATATTTGGTCCTGCTTCAGCTCGTCCCGCAGTTCGCCCTGGTCGGCCCGGCGCCGGCTGTCGAGGGATCATTGCCAGTGCCTGTCTTGCACTCTGAGACGATGACGGTGATGACTGTGCTCGTCAAGCTCTATGTGCGCTGACATCCATTATGCTCGCCGCCGTATCTCTCTTCACACGTCGGGGCCACGGCTGCTGCTGGCTGCTGGCTGTGTTCTTACTGTCACGCCGCTGCTCCACGAAACACAAGCACGGGACTCGACGGAGTCAGAGAAGCCAGCCTGGCCTGCTAGTCTTGCCTGCCTCTGAGGACGTAACGGCAATATTGTCCCCAAGGCTTTGATTGTCCAAGATCTGAGCCACAAGCGCGGAATTCTTCCTCTTCTGCAGGTGGCCCCGGATCTGTCACAGTCAGCGATTCTGCTCCGCTGGCGGCCGCTGGCTTCAGGCCCCGGACCGTGGGGCCCGCCTCAAGCTCGTCTGGTGCCCGCCGCGGGCCGAGTCGCGGCTGTGGACTGGGGAAGACGTCTATTGCTGTGCCCCAAGACTCGTATCTATCATGCACTCATCCTGCCACGCGGTGACATGTTGCAAGGTTGCTGACGGTCTCGTGCGTAATGATTGGTAGGATGAGTAAGCACAGGGCGGGAGTGCTCCGGGCGGGCGAGGAATTGGCGCGCACTCGCACACATCCGGCAGGCGCGGCGCGGGCATCGCCCTTCCCCCGTGGGTATCCGCCCCCCACCACCCGTGCCGGCCAATCACGACCCCGCATCGTCAGCGAGGGGAACCGCGGCCAGCCGCTGCCCGCAAAGCTGGGGATCGCACCCACACACAAAGTTGGCCAGCTGCGGCTCATGGCGGGGGAGGATGACCACTGACACGCTCCGGATATGCCTGTTTTGTCAAACCCAAACCCGCAGGTCGAAAACCATGATGGAGGGCACGCTCGAGCTCGTGTTCTTAGGGCTGACGCCAGCCCGCCTTGTCACGATGACGGCCTTGTGTCAAATAGCACGCGCCGTCTCTCGCTCCTTCCCAAGTTTCCTCACGTACTCGGACCACAGCTGCCTGCCTTTGAACTTCATCAAGCAGCCTCTTGACTGAAGCGCATCCACTCCTCACCGACCGCCATCATGGCCATCGTCCAGATATTGGGCGGCGCGGCTGCGGCTGCTGTCATCTACGTGGGTTTGGCCCGATTCATTCCTTCCATCTGAGTCTCGAGGTTTCATCTCGGCTGACACTTGTCTCCTCAACCGCAGGTCTTTGGAGTCGCCGTCTACCGCGTCTTCTTCCACCCATTGGCCAAGTACCCAGGCCCGTTCCTGGCCAAGCTCACGGACGGCTACCAGCTCTACCACGCCTGGAAGGGCGACCGCCACCTCGACTTCTGGCGCATGCACGAAAAGTACGGCAAGGCCGTCCGCTTCGGCCCCAACAGCGTCTCGTTCAACTCGAATGTCGCCCTCAAGGACATCTACGGCTTCAAGTCCAACGTCCGCAAGTCCGAGTTCTACGACGCCTTTGTCCACCCGGCCGCCAACACCCACAACACCCGCGACAAGGCCCTCCACGCCCGCAAGCGGCGCGTCCTCTCTCAGGCCTTTTCCGACTCGGCCGTCAAGCAGATGGAGCGCTACATCCTCAACAACATCCGCACCTTCTGCGAGCAGATTGGCCAGGGCGCCTCCGACGATGCCAAGGGCTGGACCGTCGCCAAGAACATGGCCGACTGGTGCAACTACCTCGCCATGGACATTCTTGGCGACTTGTGCTTCGGCAAGGCCTTCCACATGCTCGAGTCCGAGACGAACCGCTACGCCCTCGAGCTCGTGTCTCTGGCGACCATGCGGCACCTGATTGTAGGTGGTTCCTTTTCCGAGTTTGGACATCCGTGAATCCTCTGCTAACTGACTGTTCGTCAAACAGTGCGGCACCATGCGCGCCGTGGGCCAGCTCAAGCTTGACAACATCCTTTTCCCCAAGATCGCCGCCGGCCGTGCCAAGTACATGGCTTACAGCAAGCAGCAGCTTACCGAACGGACCAAGCTGGGCGACGACACGGACCGCCGTGACTTCTTCTATCACCTGCTCCGGGCGCGCGACCCCGAGACCGGCCAGGGCTTCACCACCCCTGAGCTCTGGGGTGAGTCCAACCTGCTCATCATTGCCGGCTCCGACACCACCTCGACCGCCATGGCTGCCACCCTCTTCTACCTCGTCCGCAACCCGGCCGCCCTCGCCAAGGCTACTGCCGAGATCCGCAGCACCTTTTCAGACGTCGAGGAGATCCAGATTGGCCAGCAGCTCACCTCGTGCACCTACCTGCGCGCCTGCATCGACGAGGCCATGCGCAGGACCCCCAGCGTGGGCGGCATCGCTCCTCGTGAGGTCCTCCCCGGTGGTGCCGTGATTGACGGTCACCAGCTGCCCCAGGGCGTGGTTGTCGGAGTCCCCCACTACACGATCCACCACAACGCCGAATACTACCCGGAGCCTTTTACCTACGTTCCCGAGCGCTGGATTGCCGGCTCCGAGTCTTCGGCCAAGCTGCTCCCCGACAATGCCACTGCCACCACGACAGAAGACGACGTCAGTGTCGCGCAGTCAGCGTTCTGCCCCTTCAGCGTCGGCCCGCGTGGCTGCATCGGCAAGGGCTTGGCGTACATTGAGATGTCGATCACCCTCGCGCGGGCGCTGTACATGTACGACCTGCGCAAGGCTGCGGGGATTGTCGACCCGGCCGAGGGCAACCCGGCCTTTGAGTATGGCCGACACCGGGTCGGCGAGTACCAGACCATTGACCAGTTTACGAGTCTGAAGAACGGGCCGATGGTGGAGTTCAGGAGGAGGGTGTAAATCGGAGTGTCGTACCGGTGATGGGGGAGCGATAAGTGAATGCACATTTTGATACCACGGCCGTGGGGGAGCCCACGCACTTTGTCTAGATTGGAACCACAGACTTTTTGGCCAATTGCAGCAGGCAGATTGGCAGATTGGCAGATTGGAGATAACGAGATAATGAAGTTGCATGAATTGCAGCGGATGCCCTTGTCAAGCCGGAGAGGCACTGCTGTGCAGAAAGGTACCCCTGCCACCACGCATCTTCGTGCTGCTCGGATTGGTATTGATGTTTGCTTCTTGCCCACGTTTGCTGAGCCCTGTCTGGCTCGTGTCATGCCCATGCATGGGGTTTGTTACCTGTCAGCGAGAGACACTCTTCCAAGGCAGGGAGAAACAGCCGTCATTATGTCATTGCCCAGCGGCGGGAGGGGGCACCGGTGAAATCCGGGGTAATTAGGCCACGGCCCCACTCCGGCGCGCCGGCAGTTTCCCGCAACAGCCGATTCCGACAAGCGAGCCAATCACAACCTCGCACCGGCGACGACGATAAAGGCGGTACACCGCAACCAGGGCGTGCCTCTCGGCACCTGACAGCCCGCTCAATGGGTTTTTTATGGCAGGTCATAAGCCAGGCACTACGGCACTGCGCTCTCACATGCCACACCGTACGTCACCCCGCTGGCCAAGCACCACTACCCCTGGCCTTTGATCTCGTGCGACCGCCGTGGGGATATTTTCGGCAGATTATCTCTAGGGTCTGACTCGGCTCCCTCTCGCCCCGCAGCAACACGGCCGACCAGGAAACGGCGCCGTTCGTGGATTCAGGTAGTATTGATGACGATCAGCACTACCTTGCGTGGGCAGCCCCCCATTGGAGACCATTGATAACCGCTCCATACAGAGCCGTTGAGACGGCAGGTGGCCCGGCAAAGACCGTAGTAGTGGTGGTAGTCGTAGTAGCAGCCTTGTGGGGATGTACATGGGCATCATGCCAGGGCAAGGCACCGGGCAACGCGGCGGGATGAAAACAGGCGCTGCGCATGACGAGGAGGCGGGGTGCGGTGATCGACACGGATGTCCACCCAGGTATATAAATATGTCCCCCCAGCCAGCGTCGTTTCTACAGAGGTTGCACTCGAGATCTCCAAGGGCAACTGCTGACTTTCAAGCGACTCGTCCAGCAGCACCTCCTGGCGTCTGCCTTCCAGAGCCAAGATGTTCACCACCATGCGCCAACTCTTCTTCCTCAGCCTGCTTGGCCTCTCGAGCACATGGCTCTGGTCCCTCGCCGGAGCCGCGCCGCTCGATGGCCTCACCTCCTCCCCTGATGCCAGCGGCGCCGCCGCCGCCGCTGCGTGGCCCTATGGTCCATTCACCACCTCTGGCCGGGACATCAAGAACGCCAACAACGAGACGATTGTCTTTGCCGGCACCAACTGGCCGGGTCACGGCGAGGTCATGATCCCCGAGGGCCTGCAGTACCAGTCGATCGAGACGATTGTCACCAAGATCCGGAGCATCGGGATGAACGCGGTGCGCCTGACGTACGCGATCCAGCTGGTCGACGAGATCTACGCCAACAACGGCGCCGACATCACCGTCAAGGCCGCCTTCGCTCAGGGCCTGGGCAGCGTCAACGGCTCCGCCGTGTACGCGCAGTTCCTCGCCAAGAACCCGCAGTTCAACGACCAGACCACCCGCCTGCAGGTGTACGACGCCGTCGCCGCCGAGCTCGCCCGGCAGAAGGTCTACATCGACCTGGACAACCACATGTCCCGGGGGGCGTGGTGCTGCAGCGACACGGACGGCAACGCCTGGCCGGGCGACGTCGACTTCAACGAGCAGAACTGGTACCGGGGGATCAACTACATGGCCAACCACGCCAGGAACTGGCCCGCCGTCGTCACCATGTCCATGAGGAACGAGTTCCGCACGCCCAACGCCAGCCCGGAGCTCGCGGCGACTAAATACAACTGGGCTGAGTGGTATAGGTTCGAGAAGATTGCCGCTGCCCAGATCCACGCGGGCAACCCGGACGTGCTCATTGTCCTTTCGGGCCTCAACTACGACACCTACCTGACCCCGCTCGTCCAGGGCACCGCCTTCACCCCGGGCACCGAGACGTTCAACCCGACGGGCGACTTTGCCGGCTTCAGCGAGAAGCTGGTCCTCGAGCTGCACAACTACGAGACCGGCGCCACATCCTGCAGCGGCCTCCAGTCGAGCATGAGCTCCAAAGGCTATCAAGCAATGCACGCTGAGATTAGTACCACCAAGCATGTCATGCCCGTGCTCATGACCGAGTTTGGGTTCTCCCAGGACGCGACCGAGTGGAAGAAGGTGTACGCCACGTGCATCGCGGACCTGCTGACCAAGGAGAAGAGCGGGTGGTTCATCTGGGTCCTGGTGGGCAGCTACTACATCCGCAGCGGCACGCAGGACTACGACGAGAGCTGGGGCCTGCTGACGCACGACTGGAGCGCCTGGCGCTCGCCGTCGTATCTCGAGGGCGGGCTGGGGCCGCTTATCAAGGCCACTTCTTCGGGTTGAGTCAAAGGAGGGAGGGGCTTGGAGAAATGGCATTCGTGTGTGTGTGAGGGTGGAGTTGATTCAAGTATTCGTAGGGATTTGAGTACATATATGGCAAGCCTTTTCGTGTGTATGATTTTGAGTTTCTGTAATCTCCTGGTGATATATGCGCACAGTGTCTCAAAACTCCGATTTAGGAAAGCCCCAAGGCTGGTCGGTCAAATCGTGTCGGAGTGAGGGTCTTATGTGCGCTTTCCCATTCTGTGTTTGACGCTCCCATCGGAGCCGCCTTTCTCAAACGCCCAGAGATTCGTGGCCAGCCTCTACGCAAATTCTGATCAGGCTCAACGAGCAGAGTTTGGACGCGAGCCGTGGGAGCTACCTCAGCATCAAAGTATGCTGAATACCATTGATATAGTCCAAAGCCCGAGTTCTTTGGTCGCTTTCCCTTTCGACTCTGCACTCGCTGCTGTCAAAGATCATGCTTTCCTTTCTTCCCAGCGAGTACAGCGGCCAGGACAAGTTGAATTCTGAGAGTCCACGATTAGGGTCCAGCTCGGCAATGAATCCTGCCCAAGCGATCCCCATCATCCGTGACATCTTGAGATAGCCCGGCTCTTGATTGCTGAAAGGGTTCTGGTCGAATCCCAGTCCTGCGGTGTTCTGGAAAAGTGGCCCGATCTCGGCGCCATGCAGGACACCCAAGCGAGGATCATTGGCACTCGGGGTGGGAGCGTCAAACCGGTAAGTGTAACAGCCAGCCGAGAGAGAGAATCTCTCACACAAAAGCCTGTCCGCAGCATTGATCTCGAGATCTCCACTTAGTCTTTCGATACGTTCAAAATCAATGCGGCTTGAGATGGACTTGATCGGGGGCTGGAGCAAGTCGTCTGGCTGTGTTTCCCTGGCTGTGTAGTGGCTCATGAGGCGATCCACAACATGAGCTGGGTATTTCTTGTCCACTGAGGCATTAGGCACAGGGCCAAATCAGTCATTCGTAGCCATTTACGTGGCGACTGACTGGTCACAGGGTGCGATACTTACCAACCAAATAGTTACGAAATGAGCTCCAATCTGTGACACGATCTGATATCCAGGTGCTTCCCTCGTTGCGTACCAGTAAGCACAGGCACTTGTGCATGCTGAGACGCTTTCAGTCTGAGGCTAGCAAATCCCGGAATCAAGTGTCCGTCCAAAGTGGGGAATGATGACCTGAATAGACGAACACCGTCAGGATCAGAATCCTTCTGGAACGCTTGGTTGAGCTCTTCGAATGGCAAGGTTCTCAGACAGTCCAGGGAGTCGTCGTCACTGTCGACACAGCCGGTGGTGCTCGCAATCTCTTGGTAGATGTCTTCAAGGAATCCTTCACCATGCGTGTTCGTTGTCGAGACGGGACTGCCGCTTTGCAATATGGCTGCGCGGAACAATCGCAGCGAGCCATCTGTCGTGTCCCGGGCGGTCAGGTGAAATCCAACGTCATCCGCCCCCGAACTGCCACCCCAGATGGTCACTTTCTGCGGGTCTCCTCCGAATCCCGATATGTTGTCCTGCACCCACCGGAGCACCATGCGCTGGTCGTACAGCCCCACGTTGTCGTTCGCTGAACCCGAGACCTGCCGGCCGCCAAGGAAACCCCAGATTGAACTGCGATAGTTGAAGGTCACAGCTATGAAAGGGAGGCCGGCATCGGCGGCAGCCGCGACCAAGAACGTCATGTTGTATCTGGGATCGCCGGAGCCTCCGACGTGGCTGCCACCACCATGGATGAACACTCCCACTGGGAGCAGTTGCCCGCCATTGTTTGACAGATCGGGGCGGACTATGTTGACAATCCTCAGACTGTTTGAAGTTTTGCGAGTGTAACTGCAGCATCATTTCACCCATCATGTCCGTACGGGCTGTGGGGAAAGCAAGAATAATTCACATAGCACTAAGAGAACAGCTTACTCCATAACCGGGACAGTGAGAGCTGTAGTGCATTGCTTGACGAATTCCAGGCCACGCATGCGAAAGGGACTTTGGATGGTGGAAGCGCAAGTGCCCCGCTGGCGGCTCTGCGTAGGGTATCCCCAAGAATATATCTTGTCGGAATTCCGCGTTGTGAACTCCTCTATAAGACCCATTCAGAGTGAAACCCAAGGGCATACCATCCTCCGTGTGTTGAGGTCGGGTTTCCAAGGGGACGGGCAGCAGAAAAGATGTCGCCAGAATGGGCAGCATTATAACAGACAACCCTGTAACGAGCCTGACCATGGTTGCCAGCCTTTCCAGCGGGTGTGACGACTGCACAAGCCCAGATGGAGAGGCATCGGAAACCTCTGAAACTGTTTCATCGTCAAATGTCTCCAGTAAAGGAATTTCGTACTCAGAGACTTGTGCTTGCCGAGTGCGTCTGAACATAATGCTTGTTTGCTTGAAAGAAGGAAGAACTGGTTTGCATGAACTGCTTAGTGTAGAAACTCTGGAGAGGTGTCCCGATCTGCAGCGCAGTGGAATGTCTATCAAGCAAATGTGCCACTATGCCTCCGGGCTCAGGGCGACGCTGACGCGGCTTGTTCCTTTCCTGAAGCATGGCAGATTCCGAAGACTACCCCCTCTGCCAGTGCGCAAGTTCGCAAACCCACCTATCAAACTTGAGCACTGTGGCAATGGGTCCGGGAAGGATCTAGGTTGCATGTTGGTTCCACCTTCAACACAAGGTTGCGACCGATAGTCAAGGGGCATGTGAGTCGCAAGCGCCCGAGTTTATTCGCGATTATTCGCGCAGCGGCAAAATATTTGTCTGGCCGTGCCTCACATAGCCGCAAGCGACGTTGTCGGTTTGGGGGGCCCATGCTGGAAGGCGGGTCGTTATGCAGCCTAAGCAAAAGTACCCAGCGGCCCGTGCCGTGAAAGCCAACTTCGACCTTTGACTGTGCGGCTATCTCCTTGTTGGCAAAGCAGTATCAGACCGTTAAATCCGACTATGACAAACTTATAAACAAGTTCGGCCATCCACAAGTCCACAAGCGTTGCCAAGAAGGCAGGTTTTGTAATCGTCGTATCCCTGGCTACCTTGCTACTGGCGTTAATTTCATACGACTGCGAGATGATCAACTTGAAACAACTGACTGGAGAGCGTCGACTGCTGGCCTATCATATCTCAGTCTATCCGTTAAAGAACACCAACCATGGAAAAGCGCCGTCAACAAAACAGAGAGTCTCAAAGACGTTTCCGTATGGTTGTCCCACTTTCGTTTGTATTCTCTCGTAATAAATGGCTTCTCACCTCCCACATATGAAGAATCTAAAGTGAATTTGCGGACAGGAGAACGTCACAGGGCCAGGAAGAATAGTTCGCCCATCGATATTTACGAGCAACCAGGAGGAAGCAATATGCCATGCACACAAACCGAAACACCCCCACAAGACATACAAGTTTCTGACAGTCTTGGGGACGACATTTCTCAGATATTCCCAGCTCGTCTTCGGTAAGACTCTGCCGATGACAACTTCCTCCAAAGTGAAGACCACACACTGTGGCCTGGCACGACGACCGACGCGTTCTTCGCGTGCAGCTTTACCAAAGCTATCGAACCTCTATCCATCTGCGACTCTACATTGCCGGTAATCCTTCTATCCAAAGCTATGCACATAGCCTGCAACTTGAGTACTGACGAGGGGCCCTTCAGCATCGATCTTGCGACCACGCAGTCTGCTGGCACTCCGAGTTTGGTAATGACCGGAACCAAATGCCCGCGAATGAGCCATACTCGTCAGAATATCAAACGAGGCATCTCAACTCGAAGGCGCAACACGATGAATCGGTGTGCCACATCCTCGATCCGAATCTTGACCTGTGCCTCGATCCCGCAATTCTTGACGACGCCATTCCATGCACCAGCGTGTCAATGAATCGTGAAGACGACGAGTTGCCTTCCTTCACCTCACAGTGCAAATGTCACGACCGGCAATGGCATCAATCACGGCCCACGGTAAGAGGGCATTTCCCTTCTCTTTCCGATGACACATATAGGTACAAGACTGATTATGCTCTTACGCTAGTCTGACTTTACTGAGCGATCACTTGCCTCAAAGACGAAAGGTGTGAGATCGAGGACAAATTCAACGGCTGAAAATCTGATAGCTCAAGTAGAGCAGCTCTACCATTTTGGCGTGACAGTTGGCATCCTCGAACGTGACCGAACCGTGTCGTTAGCTTTCGAGACGATTAGGATGAAGTTTCGATCTCTGGCGGATGCAGGCGGAAACAATTAATCATTCAGGTGCTTTTCAATTACCGCACATTGTCTAGCGAATGGTACTGGGCGAACAACCCTTTGTAAAGGCTTCTCGACCTTCTGACAGGAAGTGCTTGTCTTAAAATATTCCGCCTTCACGGAAACGCCTACTCCTTGAACAACCGGTTCACCGCTTTGATTGACCAATGTGTCCGAAGCGAGGTGTATAGCCTTACATAGCCAGCGGGAGGTACTGCGAGCTATACAAGCAATCTGAAGGTAGATTGGCTGCTCATGAAGCAACTTACTTTGAGCTCGATTCTACTACATACAGCCACGTCCCGCCATTGCCCTTCCCAGTACTACAAAGGCCCCAATTGCCCTAGCAGTTGCTCCGTCCGAAGCGACGGCCACATTATCGTTTCCTCCTTTTGTCCATCACGGATACTTCCGATGCGAACCTGGTAGCACGTCATGTGGTCCCAGTATTGACCCTCCAGACGTGCTGATGCATGCTATTGACCGCCCCAGGGTGGCGCCATCTCAAAAGCGCGTGTCTACATACGAAGCAGTCGCTCCGGCCTCGAAAAGGAAGCTGTGACCATCGACGCACAGTAATCATGCATGAAGCCACTGATAAGGGTTGGCTGCATCACGATGCAATGCCTAATGAGCTTGTGACCCACGTGAGTAGGTGAGGCTTCTATTGGATAAGCTTTCTGCAATGCATGCTAAGCTCCAGAACCCCTGCCAGATCCCCTGGCGCTCTGCTGAACTTTTATTGCCCCATTGAGGAACTAATCTATTAGCGAGCGACCTGAGAAGGTCTCACACTTTCGAATGACGGCTGAAATCGGTATGAAAACAACTCGGCAAGCTCAGTAACAACTCCACCGCGCGATCTCCGGCTAAATGCCGCCTTAAAGTGTCTATTTCTTGCCCCTATTGACCGAGCTGGAAGCTAGACATCTTGCCGTGGACGAAGTACCTGACTCATTTTGCGTCGATTGACGGCGAAGAGCATCACCATGGAATTTATTTGGCACAATCACCTTGCAACAACCCTTGCAATAGCAGCGTTAATGTTATGCTTGCCCTCTCATCTTCTGACGTACCAATCATGCATTCCAGTGCCCGGGCCCAGCCGAATATGGGTTGCAAAATCGGTAAGTTGATCACGACTAACACAACTGTGTGCCTGTTGATTTTCCGAGTCTCTACTAACGTCATATCCGAAGGTCATCGCGCTCTTGACCGGATTTTTCCTGCATACGAAGTTTCCGTTTCCTTTGGCACGCGTCCGACCTCACCGACACTGTCTGCGTCGCTCGTAACAAGCTCGCTGGCTTTCTTCGCGCTATCCGTCCTTCCGCTCCTTATCCATGACCGCCAACGTCGGCCTTCCAGCCTTTTGACCATCTACTTCCTGGCTCTGCTTTTCCTCGACCTGACATTGCTCTTGGCTCCCTCCGCAGCAGCGCGACCTAGCGTTTCCAGGTCCCCATCGTCCATCCGCGCCATAGCCAGCGCAGTTCTCCTCCTCTTAGAATCCTACGCCAAGGATCCAATGCTGGAGAAGGGCACAGCGGCGCCGCCGCCAGAAGATTCATATGGGATCTTGGAAAGAACGCTGTTTATCTGGGTAAATCGGATCCTGCTTAAGGGATATCGTGGCGTTCTCGCCGATAAAGACATGCCAAGATTGGGTTATCTTCAGTCTCCAAAGAACGCAAGAAACACTATGATATACCAGTGGCAGAAGGACAGTAAGTAAAGGATTCCGACCCAGACCACGCAGATCCAAAACTAATTTGACAGAGTCGCCCAAGAATCCGTACACACTCCTAAGAATTCTTTATTCTTCCCACAAGAGGCCATTCCTTGCAGCTATTATGCCACGGCTCGCTGTTACTGCTTTCCGATATGCACAGCCTGGGTTGATCTCATTGTCGATTCGATAGGTAACTACAGCCCCGGGATTGGTCGACTACGCCCTGGGCTACTGGCTTATCATATGTGCATTATGCATTTATGTGGGATTAGCTGCAAGTCGTCCTCCCCATATCCGAAGCAAGACTAATATGCTAAGACTTTGTCAGGTATCAACTGCGATCTACCAGCACCAGCTGAACAAATTAAAGTTGCTTGTTAGTAGCTCTTTGATTGGACTCATCCACCATACCAGTATGAGAGCACCCATCGAATCGCATATCAATGGCGCGCGCAATAGAGTTGTCTCAATCATGAGCACCGACGTAGCAAGTGTGGAAACGATCGCAGAATTATTTCACGAAACCTGGGCTCAGGTTATAGAAGTGGTGATCGGGCTTTGCTTACTTGGACGGCTAATGGGTTGGCTTTGGCCATTACCCCTGGTCTTGATTTTTCGTATGTCGGGCTCACTTTCCAGTTCTTCGCCATGTCCTTGGCTAACCTCCATTCACAGTCTGCTCGAACATGAGCCGATTTGTTGCAAAACACCTTCAGCCTCCACAAAAAGCTTGGAACCAAGCGACAGAGAGTCGACTCAGTGTCACAGCGACGATGCTCAGCTCCATCAAAGTGATCAGATGCTTGGACTGTCGGCACATATTGCCGTCCAAATTCGAAGGCTACGGCAGTCGGAGATGGTTTCGGCATCCAAGGTTAGGTGGATGATGGTATATTACAATGCCTCAGGTAACCACAGCGGGCTGAAACTTTCTATTTCCTGCTAACTTTGGCGACAGCCAACGCACTCGGGATCTTCTCACCTTCTATCACTCTTGCAATTTTCGCGACGCTATCGAGCATGAACGGGCTTGCTTTCAACACTGAGACCGCATTCACCGCTATAGCTGTCCTGGGCTTGGTGACCCATCCAGCGAACATGGTAAGATGCAACCTGGTGTGATTGCCGTACGCATTTGCTTACATCTGTGGCCAATTTTAGGTCATGACGATAGTCCCGCGAGCAATTGCAACACTCGCGGGTTTCGAGCGGATCCAGGCTTATCTGATAAGTGAGCCATGTGAAGATCGCAGAATATCACTGGGAGAACGGACGGCTCTCCGATCAGGCGGAGATAGGGCTGGACAGTTTGGTCCATCCAGCGATGCAGTTGTTTTCGACAACGTCGCACTTGGAGGAGTGCAACCACTCCTAGCCCGCGTCAACTTCCAGCTCGCTCCAGCAACCTTGACGATGATATCTGGTCCAGTGGGTTGCGGTAAATCCACGCTTTTGTACGCCATCATTGGGGAGGTAGTACCAACCACTGGGTCAATCTCGGTTTCGTCCAAAAGGATTGCTTACTGTAGCCAACGTGCTTGGCTGCCTGCAGGAAGTATCTGCGAAGCGATTTGCGGAACTCCAGATCCCGCTGACCCCGCATGGTACGAACAAGTCATCAAAGCGTGCTGTCTCACGCAAGACCTTGCAATCCTTCCCGAATCTGACAGGACACAAGTCGGAAACGGCGGTATGAACCTCTCGGGTGGTCAGAGGCAGCGTGTAGTATGTTTTCAACCATGCCTGAGACGCGACCGCGCGCAGTTGCACTAACACCTCCAAGGCAGTAGCTCGAGCTTTGTTTGCAAGGTGTGAAATTGCAGTATTTGATGACATCTGCAGCGGTCTTGATGGCAACACTGAGAACTTGCTTATGCAAGAGGTTTTTGGACCGCTGGGCCTGCTGCGAAAGCTTAAAACCACTGTTATTATGGTCATCAATTCAGGTATACTCCGTCCCTTCACGGCTGGCTTTGTGAGGATGCCGCAATTGCCCAGTCATTCCATAATACTGAAGTTTTCTTCTAGCCCAGCATTATCATCTCGCAAATCATGTTTTCGAAGTAGATGCTGGCAGTCTTGTTCGACGAGATAACTCGGCGCGTAAACACAGCAGCATCTCAAAGTTCCACCTCGCGGACAAAGGCACAGAAGCCGCTGTAGCATCACCTTCGCCGAACGCGGGTATAAACTCACGATTTCGCAGCCGGGATGAAGCCGAATCGGACTTGGCGAGGAAGACAGGCGACTTCTCGCTTTATCGTAGGCCGAATACCCCATACCAACAAGCTGACAAATGAATACTAATTTCCACCTAGAGCACTACATCAGGTTCGCAGGAAAGCGATCGATACTCTTTCTGTGCGTTTGTACAGCATCATATGCATTCTTCATCACCGTGCCTCAATATTGGTTGGATCTTTGGACTGCGGACGGCGGGAAGCATCTGTTGTTCTATGTCTCAGGCTATGGTCTGCTGTCTCTAGCATCCTGGCTGTCGACGAATGGAACCATGTGGTAAGAGAACGCCTCTTGTAGTGAATCGCCACATACTAAACCAGTAAAGGTCCACACATATCAGGCTCGCAGCACAATCCGGCATCAGCATACACGACTACTTGCTTCAGACGATTTTGAGGTAAGCCTCACAAACAGTTTGACACATGGCGCATGCCAGCTGACCTTGCTTCAGCGCTCCTCTATCATTCTTTTCCAAAACGGACGACGGCTCTATTCTGAACAGGTAAAGCTCACACGACAGAGATGACCACACTGGAAAGCGTGGTCTAATATCTCGCAGATTCAGCCAAGACATTCAATTGGTTGACAGGCAGCTACCGTCCGCTCTGGCGAACCTCCTCAATCGTGAGTTTGCCCCATGATTTGATCTGTTGTTAGAAGCGAGAACATGATGACTGATTCGCGAGCAGAGATCTTCAAGTTGCTCGTCCAAACTGTGGTCCTGTTCAGTGTTCAACGTCTCATGTGGATATCTCTACCGATGTGCGCCGCGACAGTTTATGTCATCCAGAAGGGTTACCTGAGGACTTCCCGCCAGCTTCGTTTTCTTGAGCTCGAAACCAAGGCATTTGTCTTCAGCGATTTCCTCGATCTAGTAAGTGATGTTAAGGGCTACGTTTCCTTCATGTAGCTAATCCCGGCGACACCAGGTGGAAGGCCTTGAAACGATCAGGGCTTTTAAATGGCAGCGCAAGATCGTGCAGAAGAACATCGCCTGCCTCGAATCCTCACAGCGTCCGGAGCTCTGCTTGCTCTCCCTTCAGAGATGGCTGAATCTTGTTCTCGACTTTTGGCTGCAGCAATCGCCGTACTTGTGATCACGCTCGGAATATGCTGGCACGGCAGTGTCTCCGGTGGTCAGATTGGTGTTGCGCTTAACATCGTACTTGTGGCAAACACCACTCTTCTTCGTCTCGTCGAATCCTGGACGAATCTGGAGACTTCCTTGGGGGCAATTGCGCGGCTCAAGACGTTAGCTCTGACCACGCCTCCAGAGAAGAGTTTGGGTGCCGGCTTACAACCTCCGGTTGAATGGCCAAGCAGAGGATTGATTGAACTGCAGAATGTGTCTGCATGCTACAAGTTAGTACAGTTTCCTATAGTTCGAGTCCCCACAGTCAGTTAATATCCTTCAAGTGCGGATTCGCCCACCCTCCGGGGCATTTACTTGACTGTAGTCACGGCTTCGCTTGATCTCCAGACAGAGGCCATGGTGTTTCGTTGCATTAAAAAGAGTACATCGGCTACGGGCATAGTGTGATAGCCGTGAGCCACCGCACGATAGACACTCTCAACGACATGGAGGGCCACTTTGGGACAATTCTACAAGTACAAGATGGCAAGATACTCGCGTCGCCTTCAGGCTCGCCCAACTCGTCAAGGGTCAAATGACGAGTGAGCTTGAGTCTCTCAGATACTACGGCCAGTTAACGCGAGTAATACTCGAATACATACTCACATTTCCGTGCAAACTTTGCGTTTCCCAATCGGCTATTCTTTGTCTCAGTGGTCGGCAAATCCTTCATGCTGGTGGCAGCTCCAAAGTCTTGTACGACTACTTGGCGATAGTTCATGAAGAAATGAAGTGCCGGCGATGGAAGATTTCACCCGTAATCTGTTGGGTCATTGTGCATGACTCTATCAGGGACTAACAATCTCGCGGAAAATGACCTCAATCTAGCGAGACGCTGTGCTGAAAGTCGTTGTTACCATCGTGAGTTCCGCCAAGGTAAGATTCAGTCGAACTGACAGAAATGGCATCTCTTCATTCATGTATATACTAAAGCAAATAAACGAGTGACATAGGATTTCGAGAGTGGCCTTATTTGGCCTGAAATTGAGGTCAGCGGCCACCAGTGAGTTTCCATCATGCTACACTCGAGTGTATGATACCCAATACAGCCAGGCTATAGCCCATCATCTGCTTGTAATCCAAAGCATCGTTTAACATAATGACTGAGAATGAGATGATGATGTCTTTAAAAATACCGCATATGCTTAACGCGAGAGAAGACGTCTTTTTAATCTAGGCGCGGTTTAGCAAGAGTTAGCGGCAGAAGGTTTAGGTCAGATTACTAACCACTGAGAATCCTGTCAGGTTGAGGCATATAGAGAGAAAGCAGCTTGCTAGCAGGTACTGCCAGATTGCTTTTATCTCATCCAGAGCTGGTAGGGGAAGGGCCGGACTTGCGAGAAGGCCGAACAGAGTACAGAGAGGGGCAAGATAGTACAGGAGGTCGATTGGCTCTAACTCTAGGCCGTATGCCGTGAACGCCTTTTGTGTTAAGACCAAGCGGGTTGCATCTGCGATAACGGCGATAATCTGGATGCACACTCCGAAGACAAAAGGTTGATCCCAGTTTCCCGCGGCGATGATTACTCCTCCCGTGATTAGTGTAACATCGATACACTTTCTCGCGGAAAAGAAAGATATGCCTGCAACAAATCCCACAGCATAGACGGCCGCTGGAGAAAAGGCCTTGATGATTTGAATGAGAGACAGATCAAGCCTGAGGTACGCAATGTTCCCGAATATAATACTTGTAGTCAATAGTAACGCGGCGGGAAGGAGTACGGAAAGATAGATCGAGATTGTAATCGAGCCTTTCTCTTATTACGCTATGCCCTTCAGCTCAGATAATCCCCTCTCTTTTATCTCACTCCGCTACCTCCTATTCTCTACGAGCCCCCACGGCGCAAAAAAGATCACTATCTAGAGCTTATTATATCGCGGCTTCTACAGATTTATTATCGAAAGTTGTTAGCTCGTTGTTAATAGCCTGGATAATTATATGGAAATCAATCGTGGACTTAGGAATAAGTTATAGAGAGCGTATCTAGTCCCGTGCAGTTGCCGAATAGCAAGATACAATGCTGCCGTCATGCAGGGATCCCAGTAACGTAGATATCTCGGGTCATGGTCTCGCATGATGGATAAGATCTGCCTGGCATGCGACGTGGACGGCTTTGGGTCCAAGGCTGCTAGTGCGGCATAATCGGGTGATTCTAGCGTGGATTCAGACTGGCAATGCTGGTGAGCGAGTAGCACCATCGCGGTGTGGTACAGGATGGCGCAAGTAGCTCCAGCACTGGTCGTGAAGATGGCGGTCTCGCGGTTAATGCCCGTGCCGTATTGCCGTTAACTGTTTAGACGATCTTGATCGAGGTCTTGTCGTCGAGCGATGACCATGTAGCCATACTATTCCCGACGACTCCAATTCTTTCATAAGTTGAGTCTTCCTCCCCAATCCGTCTCAAAACAAGCCAATACTTGGTCTCCCCCGAATCCATGATCCTCGCACACCAAATTTCGTCCTCATCCTTCCAAATCCACTCGCCGCGCTCATCACACAGGCGAACGTCCGGGACAAACATCACCGGCTCGTGCTTGCGCACGTGGATAATGAATGACCCCCGCCCGAGCTGGCCCAAGGCAGCCTGAGGGCCCTTGATGCCCTTAGCCACTGCATACCCGATATGCATCCACGGCTTATTACGGCGGAGGTTCGAATCATCCTCGACGCACAGCGACGCTCTCACTAGCTCCGCCGAGAGCATCAAGAACGACTCGCTCCGCTTCACCTGTCCCCGCTGATCCGTCCCAGATGGAGTACTCCGTACCTCCAAGACCTTGGCGTGGACAACAGGCTTATCCCATTCCGGCGGCCCAGCCAAGGGAACCAGAAACCTCACCGGAGTATCGGGCGACGCCCAAGACCACGACGGTGCCGGACGGACGTCGTTAATAGCCAGCCTCGCCATGTCAGTGGCGTTGGTTCGCTCGAACAGTAGCGCTTGAGGTAGGGTCTCTTCCCACTGACCAGAGAGGTACCTCATCCCGAGCGCATCCACCATCTCGGCGGCGACCCCGGAAAAAGCTGGCAGGCGATCCGTCGAGAACGTCAAGGACCGGTTCGTGTACTCCTCCACCATCTCCTGCCAGCGCGCGAGCAACTTCTCCCTACGCTTCGCCTGATTGATCGTACTCTTCGTGCTTCTGCCCACATGCAGCGCGGCGTAGTGCGACACCTTGGGAGGCAGCTGGCCGGTGGTGTCGCGGCTCGCGTACACGCCCATGTGCTGGGTCAGCGACGCGTCCTTGATGCCGCCGCAGTCGCAGTCCAAGATCTGCATGCACTCCCAGAACACCTCCTGCGGGCCGAAATGCAGCACACGCGGCGCGAGGAGGCGCTCCTGGTAGCCCCACGCGCGAGCTAGTAACGGGAAGGAGTCCTTTTGTTCGGCGGGTTTTGCGTACCGGCTGAAGTCGGGGTGGACGATAGCAAAGCGGAGGGAAAGGCGGAGGTTCTGGCGCAGCTTGGCGGCGTCCGGGAACAGGATGTCGAGCGTCTCGTCCTCGGGGTCGTCAGCGGCAATCCAGACGGCTTGGTTGCTGCGGACAATGCCGCTGCTTGGGGAGGACGACGCGGTCGCGTACACGGTCAGCCACGAGTTGCGGTAGATGCTCGCCATGCGGCTGGCTTCCAGCTCCCAGTCCGCCGTGCTGTCCTGGATGATACACAGTGAGTCGATCCACAGATAGCGGATGCCCAGCCGGCGCGCGATGTGACAGGCATCCCGGAAGGTGGCGGGCAGACTGCCAAGCGGTATGCCCGCCTTGTGCTGGTCGATGGTGGCTGTCGTGGTGGTCAGGGGTTGCTCGCCTCCCCAGCTGTGGGACAGCGAGATGTACCGCCCGGTCTGGCCGGAGGACTCTATCAGTCGGATTTCCAGCTCGTCGTCCCCCTCTCCGCCAGCGCCCTCACCAAGGTCGAGAATCCGCGTGGGGAGTGCAGTGGGCTCATCATTCCCGCACAGCTTGTGGTTGGACAGACACTTTTGAATCCAGGTATTCGCCACGTCGAAACTGCTTTCCGCCGCTGTGTCCCCACGTGGCTCATACGGCTGTTGCTCGTCTGTCATGTACCAGCGGTACTGCAGCTTGATCTTCTCATTTGGACGCGCATGCCTGAGTGAGCCGTTTGGGTCCGCATACACAGTCATCTCGCGGTGGTTTTGGAACCGGAATGATGCATCCTCACCGAAGCGAGTCGCCACGTCGGGAATAAGGGAGAGGAGTCCCTCTAGCATGTTAGCGCAGTAAGGGCAGCCATCCTCTGCGTGCGTTCGGGTTACGTGCAGAGAGGACCACCGCTCCCGAATGTGTGCAGTACACAAGTTGCAGTTGGGGTCGCCCCAGGACCCGGAATAGCGGTATCGATCCATGTTGATATGTCGGTCAGAGAGTTGAGTAAAGGATTCGAGGTTCGGGATTGGGCTCCCCATCCATTTTAAACCGTCCCTGGGGGGGTGTTGCAGGGTTCGGCGGATAGACACGCCGACTGACACGGACGATGTCGCTGTGGTCAGTCAACTACATTGACGGCTTTGTGCCCAACTGGCAGGACACGTACTAGGTGGGGCAACTCCCCGCGTCAGCAGGCCGTCAAGTCGCGCCGGGGTCCGCACAACTTCTTCAGCTCCTGGCAGTCCAGCGGCGTCAAAAGCGCCGAGAGGATGCGGCGGAGGTGGGAGTAGGATGTATCTCTGTGCACACTGAACCAGCTGGAAGCGCCCGAGTCAGAAGAGGCCGTGTTCAAGAGAGATACAGATCTGCGCTTGAAGATCATGAAGCTCCGTTGCACTTCTCTGGGCGTGGGAGTCAAGATTGAAATTTTCATTGGGCCACAATCTTGGACTTGCGCGGGATTAATGGAGGCTGGTAAGTCTGACTGTCCCGTATTGATGGTTTGAGGACCATCTGAAGACGATACTACAACTGTGCGCTAAAAGTCATCACATCCCAGGGGGTCCCTTGTCGTCGAGGCATGATGACCCTAGATGACGTCAGTCTGTGTCACGCCGGTAGAGTCAGTTAAGTTATTTCCGACAGAATAATGTGGCTGCCGATATTCCTGGTCTTGATTGGCTCGCTCACTTGCAGTCGTATTTGCCGATGGTCGTACTCCCTGCATACAAATTAGGAACGTCGTGGGCCCTCGGACCCGACACCCTAATGTACTAAGGGACCGTTGTGGCTGACCTGAAAATCAGGGGACCCTTCGTCAGCGATCGTGGCGCAGCCAGGACCTGGCGGTTAGGAAACAAGGCAGGGTTAGCCGGGAACATATCGTGGATGTTTGCTGTCTGTCATTCCTCGAGATGAAGCTGATTCTATCAGTCCAGAAAGCGTCGAGCAAGCGGATTGGCGTTGTGATGCGTCATGAGCCCTATGGATTCCCTCACTGATGGCGAAACACGCCTGTAACAAGGCTGTTGCGGCCTCGGCTACGATATTCTTGCGGAGAAGGTGCCTGTACCCCGACCTTGGATATGCGGTCGTTGTCGGACACTACCAGCATCCAGATGAGGGGTACACCGCAACTTAACGATCCCTAGACCAGTCCCATACAAGCTCCACCAGGCACCTCGATGCGGGGAGGACCAGGGGAAACAAGACGACCCCCAAACGCCCCGTCGAAATGCCTATAAGGTGGATGACCCGTCCTGCTTTGCAGCTTCCCTGGCGATTGACTCCTCACTACATGTTCTTCCGGCCATAGTATTTATCAGGCACGCAAGGATGTACGACACAAGAGCCGAAGTCGAGGCGCTGGCCGCCAAGACAGAGTGAGTCTCCCTCCCAGACTTCCGGATTCCATCACTATGAACACTTTGAACCTCTACAAGCTCACAAGACTGACAAGATCCTCTCAAACACAGTCCCGACTTTGAGCAGGTGAGCGACGGATCAGCCAATAGCCTCAGATACTTGCCCCTGTCCCGCAAGCTGACACCAAGCCCTCAGCTCATGGCCAGCGTCGCCAACGGCGGCGGACCCGGCAACCACCCGCGCGCCATGATGCTCGTCACGCCCTTCGAGCAGATCGCCACCTTTTGGCAGACGATGCCGCAAGGCCCCAGCCTGCCCGACACGCCGGCCCAGTACACTGTCCGACCGACCATGCGCGACGGCTACGAAAGCGAGGCCCGCGTGTATAAGTCTCAGTCGGCGGCTGCTTCCAGCAAGACGCCTCTCATCGTCCTGATCCACGGCGGCGGCTTCTGCGTCGGTCACTGGTCCCATGTCGGCGTCCACGCCCGTGCGCTCGCCCATCTGTACGGCGCGACTGTGTGCAGCGTCGCCTACCGCCTCGCGCCGACGCACAAGTTCCCCACGGCGCCTCGGGACGTGTGGGACGCGCTGACGTGGCTGACCAGCGAGGCCGGGCTCGCAGCTCTAGGGAGTGACGTGGACCCGGCCAGCCAGGGCTTCGTGGTAGGCGGCGTCTCGGCCGGGGCGAACCTCGCAGCCGTGACGGCGCAGAAGGCCGGCTTGCTCTATGCAGATGGTTCCGCGGAGAAGCTCCCATTCCCAATCACGGGCTGCTGGCTGTCACTCCCCTCGGTCTACGACCAAGAGGTCGTCCCGGACAAGTACCGCGAGCTCTTCGTCTCGCGCGAGCAGAACGCCCGTGCCCCCGTCATCAACACTGCGGCAATCGACTATGTTCGCGCGACGTACGGCTTCGATGCCAAGTCGCCCGAGTTCACCCCAGGGTATGGCCAGGGCGAGGATGCGCCGGCCAAGATGCCCCCGACGTATCTACAGGTGTGCGGGCAGGATCCTCTGCGCGATGACGGGCTCATCTATGACAAAGTGCTTCGTGACAATGGCGTCAAGACTAAGCTGGACGTGTATCCGGGTGTGCCGCACGGGTTTGCCGAGTTGACTGACATCCCGCTCGCGGTGAAGAATCGGAATGACACACTCAAGGGCTTCTCATGGCTGCTTGGTAAGGAGAAGGAGCCTACGGACGAGGAGTGTTTTGGGGCGTGGAAGGTGGCTGACGAGACGGCCACTGCCCCTGTCGAAGCAAGTGGCTGAACAGAGACATACACAAAGAGCAATGTATACAACGGGCCTCTCGCCATGACGCGGCGATTCTCAAATATCTCAAATGCTCGCCAATCAATTTCATGTGTAGTATGCTAAGAGCGTGAAAATGCATAATTGTCTACTCAGTATTCCAACATCCTACTTCGAGTGCCGGGGACAAGCAAGGGCATGACGCGCGTCCGGAAGGTCACTATGAGATGTTGTTTCTTGTTAGCCTAATTAACAAGCTCGGTCACAGTCGCACCAAGCTTCGATGATGCAGCATTGAATGCAGCTGCGATCCGAGCAGGCCCCTGTGGTCTGACGTCTTATCTTGCAAACAGAGTCTTCCAGAGCCAGATTGGTGTATCCCAGATCTGCGATTCAGCTAGGGCCGGCGATCTCCTGTCTGAAACCTCAGGTCTGATCGTTTGTCCAAGAAGGTTGTAGAGGCACGTTAAGATCCAAGCCTGTGAAGCTGGCGGCCTTCTGTAAACCGGATAGCCGCCAAGATGAGCCGGTGAATACTACTATGATCTTGGAGAACTTTCAAAAATTAGCTTCAGTACTTTGAAGAAGTATCAAGAACTTCCCATACCCCTAAAGTTCTATTGCAAGGAGTAGGCTCTTTGGAGGCCGAGAACTCAAAGTTTTCCGAGATAGCGTATGTCGAGTAATGCTTGCGAAAATGAAATATGGTTACCATGAGCAGGAATGCGAACAGTCCGAGGACTTTCCTAGGCGCTATCGAATTCGACATAGCGGTTAGTTCTTCTCCACAGTAGTGCGTTCTAGCAATAGATTGGTAACGAGAATTATGGTGGGTTGAATATACAGTATGGTGAGAACCTCATGTCAATGTGAACTTTCGTAAGCCTGCTTACTAACCCTCGATGCACTTCTTGCCATGGATATGGCTGTTCTAGAGCGGGGAGTCCCTTAGACGAGTCACCTGTCAGCATGCATAAGTGTCCGAGAGAATGTGACCACTTGAATTTGGACGGATAATCACAGGTTATCTAGATTACTCGTAATCACGCATGCAATTCATTCCTGTAAGTCAGACCATATTCAGACTCAACGTAATCTAGCCGAAAACTGGACCTATGTCAATAAAGCGTGCTTACATCGAACCACCGCAAAACTACTTGATGGCTGCTCATTCACCGTCGAGAGTGTACTTCTCCATCAGCTCATAATTCGGCATTCGGATCTCGTATAATAAAGACATCTATGCGAGTATCCTTGGACTAGCTCCGTTGAGCCACATCTCAGCTACACCAACAACGCATCAGAAACCTTGCCACAAAGGTAAGTATCAAAATGGGGAGTGTAGAAGTCGTTCACCAAATCATGCAGCCTGCTTTGCAGGCCAACGGCCTCAGCAGCAAGACAGAGGAGCGTCCAGGGCTTCTGAATGTCTCCGCAAATGAAGCGATGGCTTTGTTCAAGGATCGCGTGCAAGGCACTGGCGCCGTTCCTGGACTACATCTCAATACCGTTCGTTATCGCTACAGCCTCCCTGACGAGCAAAAGATCAGATTCCGTGTTCGAACGTTGCAAAAGCTGCGCCGCACTTGGAAGAACGATGAGACAGAGGCCAAGTTCCTCAATCTGGTGCGGCATATCGAATCGGATGGTTGTGCCTTGTTCGGAGGCCTCGTCGATACCTCTGTATTCGAAAGACTAGTTTTGAAGTACGATGAGGTCCTCGAAGAGGCCGGCAACAAAACTTTCATGCACTCTTACGTCAATTTCGCGCACCACCCAGCCTTTCTGAAGGACGAAGAATACACAGATGCGTTCGGCCACCCTCTCCTAATCTGTCTCATCGCGTATCTCATGGGTGGCCCAGTCCGGGTGATCGATCTGCGAGGGAAAGACACCAATCCTATCAACATCAACGCACAAGATGATATGCTCCACGTTGACAACACGCCTTTCAAGGAAGAGTACAAAATACTGCTCACTTGGCGGCGCGGCAAAGCTCAAGGCGCTTCTGGTCAAAATTTCACGTTCCTCCCTGGCACACATAAGGGGAACCGGGATATCCTCGTCGACAACTGTGGAGATCCTTGGTCCACGGAGAGGGATAGTTTGTTTGTCAGCCATGAAGCTCTTGATGGTCTTTTTCAATTTCAAGAGACAATCGGGGTGCCCCGTCGCGTTATCGAGGTCAATTACCCGGAGAAACCACTGGCTGCGGTGTTCCCCGCTGGTTCTTTGGTTCATCATCGCTACAGGAACATGAGCGGAAGCCCTCGAAGTTGCATTATCGCAGCCTTTCACCTTGCTGTTCGCAATCCAGGCGAGCTCATCCACGCTAAGTTTCCGTCAGGCTCGAAACGATCCCTCCTAGAATTCCTTGTTGGCTTCCAAGACGGCGATTCGGATGACGAGTTTACGGATATTATCTGCGATAATGCCAAGCGCATCGAAGAGATGATCTGGGAACTTTCGTCACCCTCTGCTGAGAGCATTCTGGTGGATCTCCAGGGTCTTGCCATGTCACCGGAAGACCTGATCAAATGGCAACAGGCGGTCGTGGCAGCTCCCAACGCCTTGGAGACCTAATTGGAACGCAAACCACGATTCTCCAGCCTGGATTTCGATGACACTGTGGCACTTACCGAATTCCTTTCCACCTCCATGTTCTACGACAAGCATGGACTTTTACATCTCATTCTTTACGAAGATGGGCATGAGGAGATTCGAAAACCGGCCCGAAAGAGAATTGGGGAAATGCAGAAGGACACCATGGCTCTGCGACTTGCGCATGGATGCCCCACATCACTCGTGGCCATTTCTCCTCGCAGGACTTGCTTCAGCCCGAGACAATGAGAGTCGTCGCTGATGCGATAGTCGAGATGGCCAAACGCCCGGAGCTTTACCCTAAAGTGCCACATCATAATGTCACGTTCGAGTTGGCGTCCTTGAGATACCTCTTGAAAGACCTTGGGGAGGCAATCTTTCGGTGTGAAGGGACCGAGACTTTTCTTTGCACGTCGCTGTTCTTGTTCTGGGCTGGTGAAGAAATTGTACCATACCTGAAGGAGTCGGACCAAGCTGTCGTGAGACCCCTTCTTGGGATGTTCCTGAGAAACTATGCGGCTTTTCTTCTCCTTATCGAGGGTTTGAATTGATGGGTTATGGTAATATGCTTTCATTTCTGTTCCTCTAGTCCCTGGTCTTTCTTTCTAGGTCTGTCTCTTCATTAAAAAATGCCTCTTATTACACAATCATCTGAAGATGACCTCGAGAACTTGTACCTTAGTTTCTGGCCGTCGCAGCAAAAGAGTAAAAAAAGCATCCAATCACATTTTGTCTCGACGCAATCTACATGTAAGCGAACACATCCGCGTCCTCTTGATTTAAAATTCAGCCCTTGTTGGCGATCATGCACGTTGGCAGGCACCCCTGTTTTGCGGCATTGCCAGCCTTGGAGGCCTATGAGGCAGGGTTTAACGCAAAATGACCCGCACGATAACTTTACAATAGATGCTGGCCACCCTGGCATACTCACCTGCAGTTTCGGCAAGTGCGCATTCATCCGCAGCACTCAGTGATTCGATGTCGGCTTTCGCGAACAGACCTAGTGTCACATTATTGCTATGAGAGCGACTCACCCCGCAAGCCACAATGCCGGATCTCGCCTTTCACGCCCAGCTCCTATACGTGCGAATTTTCATGAAGTATGGCCGGGTCTGGCAGTTGTCTGAGGCGTGTTCAAACATCTTTCAGTATTTATGTTTCCTTGAGTTCTTCCTCCATGACCCAGAAGCATCATTGACGTTAGCAGGTCTGAAGCAGCTGTTTCTCGCGCCCATGAGAGACGGAGAATCGGAGCGTATCAAAACACACATTGCCATCCAAGCGGGCCAACTTCTGCTTCTCTACTGCATGTGGTTGTCCTACAGGTGGCATGCTCGCCGGTCAATGCGAGACCCCGTTGACTTCGGCACGATCTGCGCGCTTTTACCTTGCTGGGGCCTCCTGCGCGGGGCATACTCTCTACGTCGGTTGGCTCTCTCCAGCAACAGGGTGCGACACCCTCTGACGCCCATCAGCCTAGCCTCCGTGCTCGCTGTGCTCGTCAGTAACCTGGGCTATTGGCTAGGTGCTCGGAGTCTTCGAGTTCTGTGTTTCGTGCTCCCTCTGCTGTACGCGGACACGCGGGGCGCGGTCAAGACACTATACATAACTTCACATGGCTTGCTGGGCACACCAGACATTCCTGATGGCTTTGCCAAGAGGCCGCGCCTCGGGCTGATCGCGGCCATGATGTATTGGGTCATGCTTTTCAAAAATTACAGTTACACGCCTCTACCGTTCCGTGCCCCTTCCCCAATATGCTGTGCTGCAAGAGTCCTGTACTTTCTCATGTCGCGCCACATCCCGGCTCGCATAGTTGATCCCATCACTGGACATCTGCCCGCAAGTGCCCCAAAGGATCGATTCTGCCAGGTCTGTCGCAGTACCATTTTCGCAGCGCTTACACAGCGAAAGGACAGCCCGGAAGAAGGTCGGTCTGAAGTTGCAGCAATCCATCACAAGAGGACCCGGTCGCTTAGGTAGTCAGCTATGCAACGTTGCCGAATTTGCGTGGCGGTCTGACATGCACTTACCAGATCGAGGCCGCATCTTCTTACGATAATGCCGTGGTATTACACAACAACCTTCGAAGTCACGGGAAACACGATTGATATCAATCACAGAGTTATATACAATCTCTACCGGTTTCAAATCCTCAGTATAAAAGAGGATGTGGCCGGCCTCACTCTGCATGATCTTGCCAACCACACAGGATCCGATGCAAGCCTCGATCAGGCAAGAAGATGGCTCGGAAAGTGCATAGACAGCCATCAGGACTGCGGATCTGACAGAGACATCACCTTTCGGCCTTCGCGGCTTCTATACCTGGGCAGTTCAGACATCCGCCTCCACACTAGCCAGGACTACCCCGATGACCTCAGGTACATGACTCTAAGTCACTGCTGGGGGCGCCTGCAGTCTACCAGGCTCCAACAGGGCAACCTCGACTTCTTTCGTCGCAACGCTATACCGCAAGAGGCACTGCCAAAGACGTTTCGAGATGCCATCCGCCTCGCGCGTCATCTCGGTGCAGACTACCTATGGATCGACCGCCTTTGCATTATCCAAGACTCGCTCGAAGACTGGCAAGCCGAGTCGGTCATGATGGGCGAGGTCTACCGAAACTCGCTTTGCAACATCGCTGCTACGACGGCACTCGACAGTTCCGAAGGATGTCTGTATCCTCGGGACCCACGGATGCTGCAGCCTACGCCTCTTGTGGACGGCTTCTACCTCTGCAATCGCACCAGCCTGGATCATCCTTACCACCTGTACACAAGGGCATGGGTGCTCCAGGAGATCCTGCTCGCCCCGCGAACGCTCCACTGCGCCGACAGCCAGCTGTACTGGTCGTGTGACGGGATGCGAGTGTCCGAGGAGTTCTCTGGCGGCTTCACCGGCTGGACTCCGTCGATGTGCAACCACCCGTTCCACGGATCAAGCAAGGGGTTCGTGGAGGAGACTCTACGGGCGATGATTGTGCAGATGCGCACGGCGGACGAGGACCTCATACCGTCGCGGCGCGGACCACGCCCCTTCACGCTCGTGGCCTACCTGCACACTCAGCCCTTTTGGAGCTCTGCGGTCAGGATCTGGGGCCAGCTCGTGGACATCTACACGCGCACGGATCTCACCTTCGACACGGACCGGCCTATGGCCATTGCAGGCGCGGCGGACGCGTTCCGCCCATACCTGGGAGACTACAGGTGAACCCCGGTTATGCGGAATAAAGGAGACATTCCGTTCAATCCGCTAAAATGAGGTATCCGCAGTATTGAGGGGAGGTCATTCTTGAGGTATTTCACGCCTATCCAGGCTCTGTATTCTACTGAAAGTACATGCGGATATCTCTCTGCTGTAAGGCTTCAATTGATGAGTTCGTAAGTACCCTTTCCTGCTTATTGAGGTAAGAAATGAGGCCAGTATCACCACCTGATTGCTCCTGGTAAAGGCGCAGTCGGCGGAGGGCCTCTAGGGCCTCAACTATGGTGATTCGTGGCTCAATTTCAAGCTCAGCATTATCGTCGTCGTCGTCGTCGTCGTCGCTATTGCCTGCCGGGGTAAACTGGTCGAGAATCTGCTGGTCAAGGTCGTCGGATTCTTCAGTCAGATTCTCGTCAGCCGGGTTCAGGAAGTTATGGATGTTCATCACCTCCTTGACGTGATGATTAGCCTGAAGCCTCTGCAAGCCGTACGTAATCTCGCGAACGGCTTCTTCATGAGTAGCAGCAATTGCTGCCTCAAGTGTGGCCTGCTGGGGGTCTCTAGGGGCCTCCATGAGGCCTTTCTTGAAGCACTTCGTGATAGTTTCAGGAGTCACATCTAGCTCCCAGGCTTGGATGCCCCATCGCAGAGCCTTTAGTACGTTCATTGTACTAAGAGGGTCTCTACCGGCGTCATATTCCGACAGCATATAGCGTACCCAGTACCGTCGCCAGTGAGATTTCCAGGCTGCAATGATTCCCTGATCAAGAGGCTGTGTTTTGCTTGTAGTATTGGGTGGCAGCCATATGATAGCGGTGTTTTGTAGGGGGGTCGCACTTGTCAGAATAGCTTCATATCCGGCTTCATGAGCAGAGAAGTTATCCATCAGCAAAATGACGCTTTTACCAGCCATTTGGCGGTCGAACCAACGTAGCCATTGCTCAAATATAGTCCCTGTCATCCAGGCCTTCCTATTGTGAGTCCATTCTAGGTTCATATGGCGGATATCGACCCCCGCAGCGGTGAAGGCGCGAGGCCTTTTTGCCTTGCCAATGAACCATATTGGTAAACGGTCAGTACCTGACCAATTACAGCAGAGATGGGCTGAGATCCGGGCCTTCTCCTTTTTGCGGCCTGGAAGGCTGCGCGTCGAAAGAGAGCGATCCGGAATCATCTTCCAGTAAAGACCTGTTTCGTCGCAATTGTAAATGTCATCATGGGAATACTTCGAGAGGATCTGTCGGATTGAGGCCATCTCCTTCTCAGTATTGACGATATTGACACTGCCTAGCTCTCCATGCTGTACGCGTAGTTTTATATCGTGTCGGCTTTGGAAACGATAGAGCCAGCCGTTCGAGAACTGCGGCGGCTTTTGGTCCTTGTATTGAGGCATTTGCGCCCAGAATTGCCGTGCTTTTGCCTTAATGACTTCGCCCGTGATAGTAATTGAGCTTTCAGCTTGCTGGCACCACATATATAAGGCGCCTTCGAGGTCGCGGTGAGGGTTATTATTGACCCGCGTCAAGTCGAGGGCGCGTGGCTGCTGTAGTGGCTCGCTTAGGTACGCGAAACGGCTGCCGAGGATGTCGGTAATGGAGGATGTCGAGATAGGCTGGTCGTACTGCTTCAGGAACCATTGCTGTAGCTCGATATGGGAGTCTGTCGGACGGAGACGTCGTCGTTCGCGAAGGGCTAGCTTCTGCGCAGTCGAAATGCGTCGCCGCGACGGCTTCAAGTTGGAGGGTGCGGTGGCGCGGGGTGCCATTTCGGGGGGTCAAAACGCGGTCCAAACGCGCCCCTATTTCACTCGGATTAGCGGATTTAGGTGGTGGCGATGGCCTCGCTTTGTGCGTAATCGATGAACGCGAGGGATTAGCGGAATCGCATGTGTTTTGAAAGGAAACAGCCAGTTCATCCGCAGAAGCGAGGGAATCCGCTTATGTGAGGTCCGCATAACCGGGGTTCACCTGTACTGGGCGGGCATGTGGGAGAAGTTGATCCCGGGCCATCTGCTTTGGTCGACGGTCAGGAACCCTCTCTCCATGGAGACTGTTCCGCACTGTACGAGGCCAAGTGTCAAAAGAGCGCCGAGCTGGTCGTGGCTGGCACTGGAGGGGGTGATCGATTACAAGGATTCCTTGTAAGTTTATGGTCTTTTACCGTTCTAATTACTTGCTTGGTGTCCTCGTCTACCTTTTCCCAACGACGTGATGGGATGGCAAAAGGAAGGGCGAGAAGTATCGTGACATTTGTTTAACATCAGAGCCCCGCATAACAAAGCATATTCCTGCCCGAGGATACATTCGTCGCACACCTCCTCAAAGCAGACGTCATCTCGGCGGTCGACATCCGCCTGCACCTCCGCGGGCCCCTCATTCGTGCCGCCTGGACCGGCGGCGGCATTCTTGGTTCCGTCGCACGCCCGATTCGGGCGTGTCCAGGCCTCTGGCTCCGCTCAAGCAAGAACAAAGGCATTGTATCGGTCCACAATGCAGCCTTGGACAACAGGTGGACCTTCACTCTCGGTGGAGGGAGGCTTGCGGAAGGCGCACCAGTCAAGGTCTTCTTTGATGTCCACGAGGAGGAGGGATGTTTGGTTTCTGGCAGTGTGGGCTGACAGGCACAATGATGAAATGAGAATGTCTGGGCTTGTCGTGCAGGAGCGGGGCCAGGGCACTGCAGGGGGCTCATTCTCGAGGTTGGGTAAATTTGAAGCCTCCGGGGTTGCTGCCAGGGAGTTCTTGGAGATTGAAAAGAGTGAGATTGTGCTGGTGTGATAATTGGCGGCCCATTTAGAACTCCAAATCAGCGCAAACCCTCAGCACGGCTAAACTCAGTCGAGTCAATGCTGGACGGTGCTGACTCATGCAAGATGTGCGTGTACTTCGGGTCCGTCCACAGGGCTGGTCAGATTCAACTGTGAATCCCCAGTAGACATGCTTAATTGTTGAATGCTCTTTAAAAAAGGACACCTCTCTCTCCTCTCTTCCCAATCCCAAATAGCAACTTCATCATGACACTTCCTCTCAGACCTAATCTTCCCATACAGAGCATCAACTTGGCTTCAGGGCCCGACGACGTGTACGCAGGTGTATGCGTAAGCCCACAAGTTAGTGCAGTCCGACCCTACAGAAGGGTTCCACTTGATGAGTTGAGCTGCGGTGATCCCGTGCTGGCCCGCGATGACGTTGCACGTGTCGCCAGGGCGGACGAAGTAGAACTTGTCGCAGTTCTTGACCATGTCGGGCTGCTGAGGGCTCGGGGTCACGACTCCCGAGGGAGAAGATGTAGGCGTTGGGTTGGTCGTTACGGTCGGAGCTGCCTCTACCCAAGACTCGATGCAGTACGACTGGCCGGTGATGAAGTTGCCGCAGTCAGGGGTGATCGATGGGTTCTTTGGGGGGTTTGTCAGGTTCAGACTTTCGAATGGGCTTCTCACATCAGGTCATTGCGGAGTGATCCTGCTTACCATGAGCCTGAAGTCGTCGATCGAAAGTCCCCAGATATCGGCGGTCTCCTTGCACGACAAGCTCCCATCGTTGTCCTCCCACCATGTGCAAGGCGAGATAGTGGCGGGGTCATAAGGGAAGTTTGGCTTCAAGTCTCGCGTGCCAAGGCCCGCAGCGCCGTCAGTCATCCTTGAACCCAGGCTAGCCGCGACGGATTGAAGCGTCAAGACGCCCAGGCCAAATTTGATCTTGCTGGCGGTGAACATGATAGGTGGGGGCGATGCGTACAAATCTGTATCTTCCTTTTTCGTGTCTGTAGGGATGCGATGAAGCTGATAGCTGAAGCTGCCTTGAGCAAAGCGCGTGATCTAAACAATGGCAATTTATATATTCGTGTTATCACGCCTGAGAAATACCATGACTACCATCAAACCTCTGCCATCCTTCTCGCGGCGAGCAACGTGGCATCGGGTAAACGTCCATTTACACAGGGTCAGTGATCCTTTGAGTGGAGCACGAAAGGCAACATGTGCCTGGTCTGCTCGCTTGTCTTCAAAGAGTAATATTGCCTTACTGTCCGAGCTAGCAAGTACTGGGCGGATGGTCTCCTTCCAAAGAGCACCCTGGGACGGGCCAAGATGGGCGAGGACCTCGAGCGTGGGGACAACATGTTCCAACACCAGGACAACGCCACCTACAAAGGTGTTTTTACAGATCCGGTGTATGCCAGGGCCCCGTCTCCACAAGTGTGCGCGGGACAATCCTTGCGGCTTATCGCCAAGACCTCCAGGATCATCCAAAGGCTTGCAGTATTTCGCGGCAGCCCATTGGAACTTGGTACAGCGCGTCAAGCCCAGATTTTCGGGCGTAGATATTGACTGAATCGAAACAGAAACATCGTCTGACAAGAACTACTTCTGATTATCACTGCCATCAAATATCGGCCAATGGAAGAATTTCGAGTTTAGTAGTAGAGACAAGATACCAGGTCGAGTACTTCGTGTAACACGTGAATGGAGGCATGATTTATGTTTGGAAGCTACCGAGACCTCGCAACTGTGCTAGCATTCTCCCGGACTCTAACAAAGTGGGCGATGTGATAGCTGGGCGGTGGCTTGGGGGGTCATAGCGCCCATGTTTGTGGACCACGACCCGTGCCCTCGGTAACGAGGCAGTGGTTCCTGGTGGTCGTGAATCCGCCATGCTACGATGTGATGCGCGGTCCTAGACTAGAATAGACTGGGAACCGGACGTTGCATGCCCCAACATGTCAGTCGAGCACTGGAGGAACGGCGTGGGGAAATCACCGTCACTCACCTCTACACACTGGCAGGTCGTGGGAGGAATCGTACCATTGTAGTGATGACAGCTGGCCGATTGGGCTTTGCAGCCTGACGGAAGATGCCGAGACCAGTCGTCAGCTGTTCGTGTGCCCGGACGAGCGGATTGATGCGGGCCGTGCAGTATCTCAAGCCCGTCGAACTCTCGGTTAGTAACGAACCTTCTAACCTCATTTGCCCCTTCAACCTGAACCCCTGGATGGACCTGGGGAAGCCGTTCCCATTTTGCGAGACAGGCATCGTCGTCGCATGGGGAACACTGCCTCGGCTACCCGCGAAAGACTTGCATGGCAGTATAGCACGGCTCACCACGTCACCAGCCTTACTGACGGGTCCATTTCCACCATTGGAGACCTGTCATAATCTTGCTTGCACTGAGAGCAACGGCTTCTGTGCATCATGTCCAAGCAGAGTCGATGGCGGCGCCACGAGTTCCATATGGCCTCATCTCCATTCAGTCAGGTGAAATGAGCTGCTCATCTCCGCTTGCCCGCACTTGCCCGCACGTCTCGCCCTTCGGCCCTGGGGAAGGACAAGACTAGGACCCCAACGCCCGATCCCCACCCGTCAAAGCTCCCTCCACGAAAGTTCCCCAGACTTTTGCGGGGAAACGGGTGCGGAGCTAGCAGGGAACAAGTCGGAGCAAAGGAAGCATCATAGGCTGCAGACAGGTCTATTGGTTGCATAGCACGCCCCAGTGAGAAACCTTGCGTCTGCATCCAACGTATGGCGTGGTGGCGGCTGGCATCTAAGATCCTCAGTAGCTGCCGTTCGTCGTGACAAGGGGAGCTTAAATGTCCCGAGGTGCCCGAGGAGCTTTCTGACAAGAGAGCCCTTTCATCCCATCGCAACAGTCAAGATTTTCCATTGACTGACAGTGGAAATCATCAATCGAGCATTTATCGAGTAGGACAAGACCGATAAGATGGCGGAATACAACGCAGGCCACATTCAACACGACAGCAACAGTGGCTTGAACGGCCACAACGGCCACAACGGCAGCGATCACATGCATCTCGGCAAGGACATGCATCCCGAGGACGCCCTGAAAAGGATGCGCACGGCTGGCAGCATTTCCATCTCGCCCGAGCTGTTCGAGAAGCTCTACCTGTCGCCCCAGAACAATGTCAAGGGCGACCTGCGCAGGACCTTTGGCAACCCGACGCCTATGTATGTTAAACGTACCAGTTGCTCCATGACCCTTTTCCCTTCATCGCGTCTGCTGACGTTGGTCATGAACAACAAAGCGCCCTCGTAGGCTTCATCATCGCCCTCGGGCCCCTCGCCTGCGACCTGATGGGCTGGCGCGGCGCTGGCGGCAGTGGCTCGGCCTCCATCCCCGCGTTCCTGTATTTTGGCGGCGTTCTGATGCTTCTCGGTGGCATCCTTGAGTTCTTCCTGGGAAACACATTCCCCTCGGTCGTCTTCTGCTCTTTTGGAGCCTTTTACTTCACCTTTGGCAGCACCCTGATCCCCCAGTTCTCCGCGTACGCCAACTATGCCCCTCCCGGCGGGGCCGCGGCTGAAGGGTTGGCCACGCAGGGTTTCAACGCAAGTTTCGGTGAGCAACTGTTGTCACATGATCTTGAGGATGTATTCGGGGGAGTGGCTTAACTGACTTCGTGGTTTGTATTACTGCCTAGGCTTCATCACCTTGTCCATGGGCCTGCTGTCCTTGGTCTTCCTCGTGTGCGCCCTGCGCACCAACATCGTCTTTGTCATCATCTTCATCAGCCTCGTCACGGCTTTTGGCTTTGTCACGGGTGCCTACTGGGCTCTAGCCTCCAACTACACTGGCAACGCCGGGTTCGCGGGCAAGCTCCTGGTGGTGAGTATCCGTCCCAGTTGATCACGCGCAAGGGATGGTACACTGACGTCTTGGGTTGTTACGCAGGGCGCCGGCGCTTGTACATTTGTCGCTACGGCCTGCGGATGGTGGATCTTTGTGGCCATCATGCTCGCCGCACTCGACTTCCCCTTCGTTCTTCCAGTTGGAGACCTGAGCACCGTCATCCGGGGAATGAGCGACCGGAATAAGGAGAAGGTTTAATAAGTTTGTCGCAGACAAGCTGGAGAGAACACGAGCCCGCGGCAGACAGACACATTTCCGTGTGGCTTCTCGTGCCTTCATTGGGTTGCACAGGACTCGGCCTGGGTTTCGACGACCTTGAACTTTGTCCAGATTCGTTGGGAAAACGGACGTCTGATTCACGTAATTATTGAAGCAAAATTGTAGGAGTATAGGTCTGGACATACATAATAAGATTGACATCTGGTACATCGTCCCAGCTTCTAAGTCTCGACCTAACAAAAGATCCAGCATCACTTGAATTTTGAACGCTCCCTTCACCGCCTGCTTGCACCTCGAAAACTACCCTCTCTTCAGTCTCAACAACACGGGCGGCAACGTGATGAATGGCGCATCCCGGATGGGCCTCACCCTTCAAGGCTACGACCAAGTTATTGCTCTTCCGCAGGCCAATGTCAACCAAACCCTCGAGCATCACTTCGAGATCGATGAAACCGCCATGGCCAAGTTCAATCCCATCCTTGACGATGAGGCCGATCCCGGCTGCTCACTCATTGGAGTCATTGAGCCATCCGCCATTGATGCGGAAACGGCCGATCATGCGTACTACACCGGCAAGTTCAAGAGCCGCTCAACATACGCTTGCAGATCGAAGAGAGCCAGGGCCGGAATGCAATGTGCTCGATCCGAGGTGACCTAGCCATTGTGGGAATGAGGATTAATTTCTTTTGGAATTGCTTTACGGTAACTAAAATTATGCAGAATACGATACCCGTCGTACTCTGTTACTGAGACCCCGCCTTACACATGGCCTAGTGCCTGAACAAGGTTCCGGGTGGTCGGCTGGGCCGCTCGCTAGGGGAACGTCCCGACAGGCGCACCCCGCCGTTATTCCCGGAATGGCAGCTTATATCCTCAATCGATAAGATTGGGAGAGAGGCAGGCCCGGGCGGTCGCCTAGTCCTTTGATAGCTCTTGGGATGCCTGCCTCGAGAGTTTTCGTAAGCTCTCGTGGATCCCAGGGCGGATGGCCGGCCACCTTGACAAAGGTCCAACTTCCGAGAAGTCCGACTTGCCACACCCATTAGAACCAGGTCTGTCAAGCGCGCATGACGGCTTCTCGGGCAGGGTACCCCAAAACATGCACATGAATAACTCCGCCATTCGTGCAAGGAGACCAGCGCCAGGCTGCGACGGCTCGAATAGAACCAAGGCCAAAACGTGAGGTGCTCGGCCCGCGACGATCTGGCCCTCGTGCGAGTCCTTTCCGATTTTCTTGAACTGTTGACGATGGCCGAAGTGGTGTAAAATGTGGTACCTGCGCACCCTTGTGCTGATTCCACCGTTCCCGTTCGTACTCGTGCCGATGTAGAGTTCGGGATCTTGCGCTACATCCAGCGCTGCAAGAACGTCCATGTAGGCCCCCCAGCGATGTTCCCGGAATGGAAGTTTGCAGCTCGACCTCAAGAGGTCGGAGAGGGACACGTCTGACTTCCCGCCCAGCTCTTGAATTTCCCGCGGGATACCTGCAATAATCATTCGCGCAAGCCTTTTCGGGTCCCACGCCCTGATCACTCCCCAAATCGTTGGTGCAATTTCTTGCTGCCCATTGGGGTTGCCGCGGAGGGATGTGGCGAGTATCCCCAGGACAAGCTCGTGGTAATTGCAAACAAGATCCGTGAACATCCGGACAAATCGCTCCCCGTCTTCCGTCAATGGCCGAGTGTCTTGCAGGTGGTCTGTCAAGGGGTACTTCTGCTCGAGCCTGGCTTTCATGTTGTTGGTAAGCTGAGCTGGGGGGTCGCGCTTCTCTGTTGATATCCCCAACGTCCCAGGGTTGGTATCTTCCGGCTCAATGTTATCGTGATCATTGCCTTCATACTTGTCGTCGTTCTGTTCAAGTTCGTGAAGAACTTCAGCAATGAGCGGCATCGCATCCGCTTCTTCACCATCGTCCTCTTCGCTGTCGTACTCGTCGTCAGAGCCATTGTTGGAGCCGTCATCAGATTCTTCGGTTTCATCGTCGTCATTGGCATCATGGTCACATCGGGGGGTGCCCTCATGATCACCTAAACAACAGCCCCCTTCGCCGTCTATATGCTCAAGGAAAGGGGCGTTGGAAGTATTGTCATTGTTGCATGTGGCCGGATCTTCGTGTTCGGGCCCCTTCCCGGCACGGTCGGGAACGTCCTTGGATGTAGAACACTTGTGGCGCTTGGTGTTCTGATTTTCGCCGCCTGGAGCAGGCGCAGGAACGGACAGGCTGGTGTGGGTGCGCTTGAGCGAGGCGGTGGACTGTGGGCTGGTGAAATGGTGCAACGTAACTTGTCGTCGATTGGTGGACATTGGTGCTAATGGCTGCCGGGAATTGCCCTGTGCTTCCCAGCCGGAGCCGTCCAAGAGAGCCATGACGATGGTAAGAGCGTCATATTGGATGGCGAGCTCCACGGCATCCTCTGGTGCCACGAAAACGGCTCCAAAGATCGGACAATGGCTGGCGCCAAAGGCGCGCTCGATGTACCCCTCTTTTTGTTTAGGCGGTTGGGAACGCCACGGCGAAGAGACTCGTTGCGCACACATATCCGTCCTGTCGGCGGCACTGGACATATTTTCTTGTGCCAGTGGGCACTTTCGGCCAAATTGACGTGGTACTGACGGGAATGGGCACAGTGACCCTACTCAGAGGGATCTCCTCCTTGGTGATGTGGTCCACCGAATGGAGAAGTTGGTCGTCTTTGGATTGTTGGTCAGTTTCCCACAAGAGATGACCCATATGCAGTTAATGGGCACTTACAAGAGGCCTCGAGGTGCGGATTCCTGCTTCCCCAAGGAAGCAGTCACCCGTTGGACATGTTGGCAAAGCACAGGGAGCTGGCCGGCTCGCCCGCCTTGACCCTTTGGCAAGCATGCGCGACCAGGACTTGGTTAGCGGCAGGGTTGGGCTGAGAGCGCCTGGGAACATTCAGACGGTTGGAACTTGAGGGAGAAGAATTCCTCGAAACTGTCAGAGGCTCTAACTGAGCGGTGGACGTGGTGAGCTGATTATGGAGAGTTGCCTCTGGCCACGGGCAAAAGTAACACGCTAGTGAGGCACGCGTGATCCTGTCCTTGTATCATATTATCGGAGAAAAGTGATACCGCCTCGCAAACACAGTCCAGCCAACAGGAGTAATACCATTCTCACCCACTTGAAAGATTGATCAACCAGTGCTCAATCAACCCATCTCAACTTCAAACAGTCACACCTCGCTACACCTATGAAGTCGTCATTTGCTGACAGTCTCGTCTCGACCCAATCACTTCCAAGCCTCTACACACAAACACAAGTCACTACGACGTTCCCACTGCCGGTCATCATGAGCAGCAATCACTACTGCCCTGGCGACTACTACAGCGAGAGCGACTGTGAATCCAGCGAGATCGATCGCGAGTCCTGTGAGAGCTATCGAGTGTCCAACGAGAGCGACAATGATTCCGGCGAGAGCGACAGTGGCCGCGACGACCAGCGGCGTCGCGGAACCCGATCAACCGTCTCAGTTCAAGATGCTGCCGGCCCCACGCGATCTTTCCACCTCCACTTCTCACCACAAGCTCATCGTGGCCAGCACGGTGGTGCAATCCACATCTCAATGGGCGGCACTGGAGGCATGGTGTTGAGAAGTGATCGCAGTGTCTTTGGCGGTGAAATCATAAGCATCGACGAAACCCGTGAGGACAACCGCCACAGTCAACCCCACGCCGTCTCGAGCGACGCTCACTATACTGCGAGGTCTGTGGCACATTTGCGTCCTCGCTCGACCGATGTTCCCCCCAGCCAGACTGTACAAGGCCCGACACTCGACGTTCAGAACACAATCCACGCGCTACTCCGATTCCTCTATGACGTGGTGGTGTCTTTCGCCATCTGCTGTCTGATCGCTATCGCGATGGGCTTTCTCTATGCGTACTGTGTCAATAGAGCCAACTAGGACCCTGCATTCGCGGATCGTGCTGTTATCAAGGTGCATATTCGCTGTCAAACAGGCTCCACAATGAGGCAGGGGGACATGGTGGCTAGTATCGAGATGAGATTGGGCAGACAGTGAGAGAGAGCTCAGATGGCAAAGAGGCATGTGGTGACGAATCCGCTCCCAACCATCGAGACATTTCCAAACCGACGCAGTGTGCTCGTGGTCGGTCTTCAGAGGTGATTCAAACCAGGATACAAGCTCGCTAGCAGATAGAAGGAGAGAGAAATCAGAGCAGAAGATTCCGATGAGGACTCAGTGGATCCGGGATAGTCGAGATACCTGGTCCCAATCCTGGCCATATGATTCGAATATTACCCCTTTCTACTTGTCCATGGTGTTATTCCCCGTGACTCGAGGACTACGCAGCTTAGCATGACAAGTTGACCGTGGCAGAGCTTGGGTACCGTTGCCCTCAGTTCTCGTTTGGTGAATCTTCGTGTCGCCAAAGGTATGATCATCCCTGCGAGGCTGTATGCATGAGCCTCGCGACATGCCCCGCGGCCGGACAGACCAGCAAACACCCTGTACTCGAGTACGGTGCGCCCTGGCAGCAGAAACACTCCTTACAACTTGGTGACCCAACTTCAGGGTGTCGTATGCCGGACGTGCCAGACGAATCATTCGTAAGCGCGATGTTTGACAGCACGCTACTTGGTTGGCAATGCGCAGCGGTCGGCAAGCAGCATGGAGTGAGAAAAGGCCACCCGGACGCCTCTGTTGACTGTGGTCGAAGTTGGACTGAAGTGTAGGATATTTGCTGGCGGCACGGAGTCTTGCATGGATATCCACTTCCAAGGGGGATTTTTATTCTTTACACGACTGGCTCGAAGAAGCATAGCGTGTGACCTCATCCACACGAGATTGGCAAGGTAAGCGATGAGGATACCACACGGCCATATGCCTAGATGCAGAACGAATTTAGAAGGTTCGAGAGGCAAGTCCTACTGCAACAAACACCAGGGTTGTTAATGTCACAGGGTCCACCAACCGGTACGCAGGCCGGTGGGGTCGAGCTGCTCGTGCTGGTGGAGCTGCTACTGCTAGTGAAGCTGGTAGTACTGGAGGAGCTCGTTGTGGTGGTCGAGCTGGTTACAGAAGCTGGGGATGAAGACGTGGTGTCGGAAAGGACCAAGGTCGGAGAAACAGAATCGGTAGCCGAGGAGAAAACAGCGGCTGTGGCAGTCGCGATGATTCTAGTGGTGGTGCTCGTTGTGGTCGTGGTGAACGTGGAAGTGGCAGTGCCAACGACGGTGGCATCGACAATCACCAACGTAGCAGCCGTGACGATGATCGTGGTCGTCGCCGGCATCGCGCGCCTCTCCATCGCAGGGCCCCGCAGACAACTACACAGCTCGCCCAGCACCTCTGGCGCGCCCGAGATCAACGCACACAGGTGGCCTGACCCGAATGGGCACGCCTCACCCTTGGCGGTGGCATCTCGACGGTCTTGGTTCTTGTTTCTCCTCTTCCTAAAACCTGGCGGCGCTGTGGTGGTGACGGTACTAGACGCGGCCCAAAGGGTCAGCTCATCTATGCGCAAAGGCTGAGGCCTGCTTGCGTGGAGTCTACTTACGCGGTTCCTGGTACAATGTCTGTCGCGACCAACGTACTTGTCGCCGTTGCAGTGATCAGCGCAGAACCCGTGAGGGTACTAAACACTCGTACGAATGATGTTGAGGTAACCGTGATTGTGTCCGCCGGAATGGGGAAGAACTCTGAACAATAGCTAACCACATTGGGATCTGAAGAAAGAGGAGCCAAACAGTGTAGCGCGCCGTCCCAGCAATCGCCACGGCCTTCTATCGCTGAAGCCTGGACTATTTGCCCAGTGGAGATAGCAGACAGGAGGGTAACGAACAGCAACTTGGACGACATCTTTGGCCTAGTGTGGTGAGCATGAAATCTTGACCAGCTGCACTGAAGGACGGATTTCTCCGGGCAGGGGCAACCAAGACTCTTAAGGAGTCGCGATCAACGCGAATGTCACTGGGGCTCATTTCAGTTGTGATGCCGGCTGCTGAGCCGCAAGCCAGTGTCTTGATGATCGACGCACGATATGCCAACGTCTAACACTGTCGCCGCGCCCCTTTCACGGACGGAGAATAAATCATCAAATGCGCTTAGCCAAAGATAGGTCCCGGCAGTTTTCTCCGCACGGTAATGCAATGCATTCCAGGACCGCCGTGTGTACGGAACAAAATTTAAGCACATTCCAGTCGCGGGTCCACACAGACACACGATTCCGCCACCGCGACCTTGTCTTCAATTGCGGCATGGGTAGTGGGAAACCGCGCTCGTGTTAGAATCCCCCTTTTGGTGGTTAATTTTGATTGTTGCCCGTAGCATCAGCAGCTCGCGCCCCAGTGGCTGCAACACTTCATTCTTACTATCTCGCTCAGCCAGAGATGGTCGAGCAACAAGATGCACAGCGAACCTTTCAGGCAGAGACCTCGATTTTGCAGGCTCCAGACACCTCTCTGGATTCACTGAGGTTAAGTATTTGTAGTAGTTCACTTGAGAAATAGCCAAAGCACGACTTACATCGCCCGAACAAGTCTTGGATGGAAGAAAAAGCACCAGCCGACAGTCGACACACGATGGATGTCACCAAGCAGTGTACCAACAAGAAGTGCGAGGCCTGGCAGGACAGAATCCAGGCCAACTGACGCCGCGCCTTTCGCGATACCGAGCATCGGAAGCTTTGCCAGCGATGTTTCAGGCATTCGAGATTCACGCAAAGGAGCGCTGGGGCCCGTCCGATCGCGAGCCCCACTTCCAGGATCTGGTCGAGGGTTCTTGACCAGATACTTGCAGGAACGAGTGGTGCATCAAGTGGCAGGACGCCACGGGCCATCCGCAGAAGCCGCGGAAAACTCTCTACTTTAAAGATGCCCGTTGTAATGGGTGTCACTCTTACGAGCATCGAGAGAAGAAACCGTGGAAGCCCAATCCGATAATCCACCGGAAGTGGCTCAAGTCGGATCCACACAATTACGATGGCTGCCAGAACTGTCTGGCGCCGCGCTCCAAGGACTGCGACGGGTTTGGACCTTTCATACCTTGCCAGAGGTGCTACTCATACAGAGAATTGCACGAAACGGAACGCAATGAGCGGGCAGCATTAAACGTGGAACTTGCAAGCAAGCACCTGGTTCCTCTGAGGTCAGAGGCCCAGAGGTTCAGAGGTCCAGAGGTCCAGAGGTTATTGTCAACTTAGGGCAAGCGATAGCGCCAATTGCCCAGCAGAAGTGCTCTCGCGGACAGCTCCGTAGACAGTATGGAAATGAGTTTCAGTACGTCAGAGACTTCGACACCAACTGGTGCGGGAGTCCTGTAACGAGAAAGAACCGGCTCTGAAGAAGCGCCGCAGACAGGACCATACAAAATTGCGCTGTACCGGATTTGGTGGCTCCTGACATATTGCGTTTGTATGCCCACGGGCAGTCCGCAGATCTACTAGTGACTATGGGCGGCTTCCCGGGTCACATTGGACACGTTCTGGGCTCGTGGGCCTTGGTGCTTCGTGTTGGGCGCCCAGAACATCTTCGACATGCCTCGGGGGAAGTGAGCCACGAGCCTCAACCAAAACAGAATACTCGACATTTTGATTGGTGTCACCACAATCCGGAGAGATCGGCGAGATCGCGGTGGTGGCAGCGGCCATTGTTGGCCGACGGGTGGCAGAGATGTACGCATGGTTCGGAACACGTCCACGTATCCCACCATCGCCTTGTGCAACCCCCCTGCGCCAGCTGACTTCAAATCGACCATATCAAACGCGGCAACTATGGAGCTCTAGATGGCAAAAACCTCCTTGTTCCCGTGAATGGAAGGACCAGCTTGTTCCATGGTGGTGTCCTCAAGCAAAAATAACAATCAGACGATGACCACAGCAGCAGCGCCACCAGGAGCGGTCGTACCCTCTCGGCGATTACTGTCAGTCTTAAAATAGCCAAAGGGGCAGACGAGAAGACTGAAAGCTGTAGAGGTCGCTAAGAAGCACCAGGGTGGCCAATGCCGCTATTTGGAATTGGCGTGGCCCAGTCGTCGCACGCCATTCGTGGCACAGGGAGCGGCCGGGCCCAAGGAAACACACCATCTTCATTTACCGAAATCCGGGGAACTGTCATGCACAAAAGCCACGCAACACGAGCCGGCCGAGCTGAGCACCCAAACCGCCTGATGGGGGGATGCGGGTGAGGCATCATCCCCAGGTTGTGCCCGGCCGGTGACATGCTTTTCCCCTCTCTTCCCTAGCTGGCTTCTCCAACAACAAGTGGGCTCTCCGCCCCCCCCAGACGGGCATCTCCGCAGAAAGGACGTGGCCGCCTCACCACCGCACTTTGGACGGGGCGGGCTTTTGCCCCAGAACTCTATGTACGGTGGAGTGTGTTGGTGCTGGCATGACGCGCTCATGCCTCCTCCTCATTTCAGCTCCGGGGTAGAACACACATCCGGGGCAACCGAGCGAGCCGAACCGGCCTAGTCGCCCAGAAGCAGTGGAGGCGTGTGGGTGAGACGTGGAGAAGAGCGTGGAGAGGGATAAACGCTCATCCGGGGCATTCACACCCATCCTGCCATTGGGCCAAGACTACGCTCGACACGCACGCCTCGTGGTTGGGACTAGCTTAGCGGCGCCACTGCGCATGGGTGGAGGACAAGGGGGGTCCTGGACTGTGCAATGCAACGAAATGATGCGTGTCCGTCCGTTCTCAGGCCAGGCAGGACAGGGGTTCGTTTCCCTGTGACGGCATAGCCGTGTCCCCTGTATCGGTCGTGACTGGTTGGTTGCAAGAAGGAAACTCCAGCTTTCATTCTCGAGATGACAGTAACAAGCAGACCGAAGGAAGACATCACTCGGCCAGCCTATGTCAAGGTCCTGTGAGGCGGTCAGCAACCACTTGTGACCCTCCGTGCCGCTGGGCGCCGAGCCTTCCGGGATACTCAGCCGCGTCGCTCGGCACAAGTGCTTATTGCAGAGCCTCCGTCTCTCCCTTTTCGGCACTTCATCGGTGCTTGGCTGGGGCTGCCCCCTGGCGAGCGCCAAGATGCAGATGCCCAGCACAGATGCTGAGTCGCGGGAAATCATCATCTCGATTATTCGTGACTCGGCCATCATAATCTTTATCGTACATGATCCCCTTCCATCTCTCACGCATTCGAGCATTTCCAGCTCGACGCCTGATTCGGGTCCCCCGTGCCGTCATAGAGTGCCCTGCCCGGCCACCTGCACAGCGGGCGCTGCCTGACCACGCCGCCCGCGACGGTGTCGTTGGCCCACTTGGTAGCAACCAGGTATTCCACCGGCGTGTCCTGCTCGACCCACGCCATCAGCGCGAGGAGCGCGTCGTGGTGAGTGTCGTCGACCCCCGCGACCGGCAGCTTGCCCAGCTCGGCCGCCGTGCCCTCGATGCTGGCCGGCTGCCCGCTGCCGCCAAAGTACCAGGGCGCGTCGTACACGCTGCCTCCGCAGTGCTGCATCCCGGGCACCATGAACAGGCAGTACCACGAGTCCATGTCCACGACTTCGCCGCCGCCGCCAGTGCTGCTGTTAGTGACCGACGACGCCGACGATGAGGCCATGGCGCTCTGCACCTTGTCGTACAGCAGCGGGCTCGCGCCCGAGGGGATCAGGCCGTCCGCCCAGCCGTGGTAGGTGAGCAGCTTACCCCCGCGGGCCTGGAAGGGCGTCATGTCAAAGTTGACGGCGTTGACGTTGCCCGGGTTGAGCCTGTCCGCGAGCACCCAGGCCGAGTAGTTGAACGAGACCTCCCAGTCCCAGGCCGGGTCGTCGTAGATGTAGTACTTTGCGTAGCCGGTGCCGTAGCGCGAGGGCGTGTTGTTGGCGCCGAACGAGGCCGGCATCTGCATCTCGGATCCGATGCCAAAGTTGGGGTACAGCGCCGTGATGTTGTTAGCGGCCGCGTCGGCCTCGACCAGGGGGGAGTACAGCTGGCGCAGGGTCTCTGCCTGGTCCAGACTCAGGCACTCGGAGGCATTGCGGTTGGAGTGCGGGTTGCAGATGAGCTTGCCAATTTGCAGCCGGCACATGTCTGGGTCCTGGATGATGTTGTCGACGAGGCCGTCGGCGCCGTCGCACTGAGCTAGCACGGCGTCGCTCAGCCACGAAAACTGGCTCGGCGGGATGTACGCAGGGCTCGTCTCGGGTAGGTTGACCGCGCCGACCTTGAGCTGCCACAGCTGCTGGTGTGTCGACCACCACGCAGGCGACCCGGCGAGCACGCCGTCAAAGTCATCAGGGAAATCCTGCGCCGACTTGATACCCTGCCGGCCGCCCGTCGAGCACCCCGAGTAGTAGTTGTAGCGGTTGTCACTGCGATAGTACGCGGCCACGAGCTTCTTGGTGAGCACGACGGAGCCGTGGAGGGCACGGTACGCCCAGTCTGCCTTGGCCTCGGGCTGGTTCAGCGCCCAGGCCATGTCGATGCCCGTCGAGTTGTGGCCCGTGTCGGTCGACATTGCCGCGAAGCCGTACTTGAGCCCGTCGCCCATGGCGAGCCAGTTGATGCCGCCCATGAAGCCGCCATTGCCGACTGTCAGTGTCCGCTGGTTCCAGTCCTGCGGCAGGAAGACGCCAAACGTGTAAGACGAGGTCGGCGACGAAGTGACATTGACGAGCACCGCGCAGGAGGCGGGCAAGTAGGTGGCGTTCTGCGGGTAGGCCACGTCGCTCGCCTGGCCAAAGGTGCTGTTGGCACCGAGGGAGATGGCGAACACGGCTGTGGCGCCGTCATCGGGGGAGAAGGCGGCGTCGATGGCCCGGAGGGTGCAGCCACACGCGGACGTGGCGGCCCCATGGGGCCAGACCACGAGGCTGCTAAGGAGGAGCTGTGTCCAGTCCGGCCGCCAGCGCATTGTGGACGTGGGGAAGAATGTCTCGGGTGTCTGTGGTTCGCACCTTGAGACCTGTTACTGTACTGAACGCGTGCCTGAGCTACGGTTGTAGTTCAGAACATAGCCTGGAGGTCACACAGTGAGAGACAGAAGGGTCCCAAGCTTTCATCTGCAACAGAGAGTCGGGACGTCATCCCGACGGCTCTGGTCGAACAGGCATTGTCACCTAATACCGCATAAACGTGCCTGCCTCTTGACTGACTCGATCTAACGGCAAGAGGGTCCCGTAGGGTCGGAGAACGCACAGCAGAGGACGGACAGAGAATTCGGGTAACAGCCATGTCGATCAGCAGTGCCACGAAGTCGGGGTAAGCAAGCAGGGCACGCCCGACCAGCTGGAGAAACAGCTGTCACGCTGATTGGAGTCTGGGGGAGCCACGCGGGGACAAGCCAAGCACCTGGCTGTGCCGCCGTTGACGGAGTGAGACAGGCAAAACTCAACAGAGTCCCCAGACCGGAGAGGCCCAATCTCCCCCAGTGGAGAGCAGCGGGTGAATGCCTATCCGCCGTCTGGACTCCGGGGCCGCTGGCCGGCTCGTCCACAGCCGTCCCCCACCTCTTTCCCCATTTCCCCCAGCCAGCCCCCTGGCCGCCTCCAGAGTTGCCCCAAGGGATGCCCCAAGGATCTGGCTGGGGCGAGGCCGGCAGCGCGTGAGGGGGATCCTGGGGTATTTGCTGTTCCGGCGGCGCATGGCCAGGTTTGGCTTGGGCCTTGGTGCTAGCGGCGTGGCGAGCAGGTTCCGGACCCTCGGGCCTCGACTGAAGCGGGCCACGCTTGCCATTTCGGCGTCCTCGATTGGCCTGCTTGCCCGGTGCTAGTGCCTGTTGCAATGGCCAGCATTCGTGGCCGGGCTGTGGGGAGGCTCCAGTTGCGACTCATATTTAATGCGGGTATCTGCTCGCTCATCGTCAGGGGCCCCATCCCACGAAAAATCCTCAAGGCGATACCGGCACTGGCATTTCCCACCTTGCTCATCCCAGACTGCCGACTTGATAAGAGCACCGTCCTCTGCCCTCCCTGTGCTCCCTTGCACCTGCTTCACTCCGCGTGTCGCGCTTTCTTCCCTCACACACCTCAATTGGGGCTTTCACTAGCTACCACCACCCGCCACCACCACCCCAAACCGCCACGATGGGCTTCAAATTCAACAATCCCCTCGCCGTCAACGAGGACCGGCCAACGCCAAAGGCTGTGTACAATTATCGAGTCTATCTATGTGCTGCGATCGCCTCTTTCGCATCATGCATGATCGGATACGACTCTGCCTTTATCGGCACCACCATCGCGCTGCCATCCTTCCGGTCCGAGTTCAAGTTTGACTCGTACCTCCCCGCCGACCTCGCCCTCCTCCAGGCCAACATTGTTTCCGTCTACCAGGCCGGTGCCTTCTTTGGCAGTCTCTTCGCATATGTCACCTCCTGGTACCTCGGCCGCCGCTGGTCTCTCATCATCTACAGCTTGGTTTTCTCGCTGGGCGCCGGCATGATGCTGGGCGCCAACGGCGATCGCGGTCTTAGCCTCATCATTGCCGGCCGTGTCCTTGCCGGTGTCGGTGTCGGTGCCTGCTCCAACATGGTCCCCATCTACTGCGCCGAACTGTCCCCACCACCCATCCGCGGTCGTCTCGTGGGCATTTACGAGCTTGGGTGGCAGATTGGTGGCCTCGTCGGCTTCTGGATCAACTACGGCCTTACCCAGACGATGGCCCCGAGCCACACCCAGTGGATCATCCCTTTCGCCGTTCAGCTCATCCCTTCCGGCCTGCTCTTTATCGGTGCATTCTGGCTCCCCGAATCTCCTCGCTGGCTGTTCTCCAAGGGCCGCCGTGACGAGGCCATGAAGAACCTTTGCTGGCTGCGTCAGCTCGAGCCCACCGACATCTACATGATCGAGGAAGTCAAGTACGTCGATGACGAGTTGGAGCGCTACAACCAGAACATCGGCCCCGGCTTCTGGGCTCCCTTCGTCTGCCTCAAGCAGGGCAAGGTCCAGTACAGACTGTTCCTCGGCGGCATGATGTTCCTGTGGCAGAACGGCTCCGGCATCAACGCCATCAACTACTATTCGCCCACCGTCTTCAAGAGCATCGGCATTACCGGCACCAGCACTGGCTTCCTGACCACCGGCATCTTCGGTGTCGTCAAGACCGCCATCACCATCATCTTCATCCTCTTCCTCATTGAGACTGTTGGCCGTCGCAGGCTTCTCATCATCGGCTCCGTCGGTGGCTCGCTTTGCATGTGGTTCATTGGTGCCTACATCAAGGTCGCCAACCCGGCTGCTGTCGCCAACACTGGCGGTCCCATGACGTCTGGTGGTATCGCGGCCGTCTTCTTCTTCTACCTCTGGACTGCCTTCTATTCACCCACCTGGGTAAGTACACCACTTTGCAAACACTGAACTCCGTTTCTGAAACTTCCATTCTAACCTTGCTCTTCTCAACAGAACCCTCTCCCCTGGGTCTACAACTCGGAAATGTTCGACGAGAACTCGCGCTCCATCGGCCAGGCCTCTGCCGCCGCCAACAACTGGTTCTGGAACTTCATCATCTCGCGCTTCACCCCGCAGATGTTCCTCACCATGGGCTACGGCGTCTACTTCTTCTTCGCCTCGCTCATGATCATGTCGGCCACCTTTGTCTTCTTCCTCATGCCCGAGACCAAGGGCCTCCCGCTCGAGGCCATGAACCGCCTCTTCGAGGTCAAGCCCACGCGCAAGGCCCACGCCATTGTCCTCGAGGAGCTCCGCGCCCAGGAGGAGGAGTTCCGCCACAACGCGGGCATCGACTCGGGCTCGGTCGAGGAGGAGAAGCACGGGGTTGCCAAGCAGCAGGAGCAGGTCTAAGGATTGGCCTTTTTGCGCTTTGAGGAAACGAGAATCATGAAAAGTAGCTAAAACTGAAGTTACGTTGCATTATCGAATTTATGATATCGTTTGATGATGTTCTGAGATGATTTGAATGAAAACCAAAAAATGTGCATGATGAAAGGTTTGCCCTGAAGCAGACTGTGTGTACTAACTATATCTCGGAGCTGTATCCCGGCTAGATCGAAGCCAGCAGCACAAGAGCGAAAAGCACAGGCGAGCATGCCTCTCTTAAGCTGCGACGTAAAGTTGCCTAAGCAATGGCTGGCTGACAGGGAAGACTGTGACTTGGTTCTGGGTCGTATATAGACGTGCGGATGATAGCTGCTCGTATGCGGATGTCCTGTACAAACTCAATCATATGGGCTTGATTAATCTAGAGATATGCTCAATCAGCTCGCCATCGCAACCATGCAACACAGGGCGCTGTGCATGGATTGTCGGGCAGCCTTGCAACGCGGCCACGCCCTTCCCCTGGCCTGGCTCCGAGTTTGCATATCGCTAGAAGCAAGCCTCAGATACGTGGGTCATTTGCAATACAGAATAAGCAAGCCACGGTCCCGGTACGGTATATGCTCACTTAATGAATAATGAACCTGGGTCAGGGGCTAAGTTACTGATCCCACGACAAGCCCAGCCCACGAAGAATTCATCCCACACGGAACTGTCAGTCATTGCGACAGTCACTCCAAGACGAGCCATTTGGTCTTCGCAACAATATATGTATATACTCATATCTACACCTCCGCCATCTGCCAACTTCAAGTTCGTATCTACAAGAAGAGAATATTTGTATCCAAAACTGGATCAGTTTCACCTGCCACCCTTCTTTCCACCCCCCGATCACTGACCATGGTCAATATTGCCCGTGTTCAACCTCAGGCCGTGCTCAGCCATCCATCTAGTTACCGACGTAGGAGCAGGTGACGGTGCTGCTGCCCGCGCTGCAGCTGGTGAGGACAGTCCTGCCATTGTCCGGGGAGATGTCAAGAATCTGGCTCTTGGCCGGGGTTGTGGTCCCGCTGCGGCCCGAGGCAGACGCTCCAGTGAAGGTGACCTTGCCAAAGTCGGCGAGTTCGACCTGGCTGCCGCCCTCCTGGAAGGCCTCGACGATCCACTCGGCATTGGTCTCGCAGAGGGTGGAAGGAGTCCCCGTGAAGGTGTGGGTGACCTTCTTGCCGGTGCTCAGGTTCGACAGGGTGGCGACACCCTTGGTGGTCGACGATGCATCGACAGACATCTGGATCTGGTCTCCTGCGCTGACTGCAAAGTTGCTAAAGCTGTGGGCGTAGTCGGGGATCCACTCGTACCAGGCGTCGTAGGTTCCGTCCGCGTAGAAGGAAATACCAGTCTGGAGGATGGCGGTCTGGCAGGTGTCGCCGTCGATGCCGACCCAGGCCGAGGCGGCAGCACCGTCTTCGCCGCTGACCTCGGGAACGGTGATGGTGCCGATGACATGGTTGTAGCCGGTGCCGATGGACACGGCACCAGCCCAGTTGCTCGAGTACTGGACGTTGCTGGTCTCGTTGCGGCCGAGCCGGATGTTGGGAACAGTCTGCTTGCTTCCCCGGGAGCGAGGGACAAGAGCAGAAGTGGCACGCTGGGCCCACTGACGGGCAGGAACAGCGGCAGCAAGGCCGGCAGCGGCGAGGATGATGGCAGCCTTCATTGTGATTGATGAGAACGAATAGGTTGATTGTTAGGTCAATGTGGTTGACTGATCTGTTACTGTTTCTGCTGCTTACTGTCAAAGACAAGCGATCAAATTGTTGAGCGACTGAGCAATATTTATATTCAATCGTGTCCATCTGTCCTAGTTATTCAAAATATACCGGTCCCAGATACCGGTCTCAATCTAGAAGGTCGACAGATAGCTGGCGTGATTACCTGCCGCCCTCTGCGCGATATCACAAGTCCTATACAACATGAGGTGACGAGGCCAGCCAGAAGGAACATGGAGGACATAGAGCTCTCGCCGCTTTGGTGGTGTTTAAGCGCCGAGCGTGACTGGGCACATGGTAGCATTGCCGAGAGTGGAGTCGGCAGATACCTGTCACCTTCCGCGTTGGTCATAGTGAACGGACGGCACAAGCACAACAAGCAGGAGCCACGTCAGCACCTCGGCTTGCCATGTGTGCTTGGGGAATGCTTGATAGCGCTTGGCAAATGCTTGACCGGAACAAGCTTTTTGACATGCCCCTTCCAACACAATCGCACTCGTTGATTGGTCGTTCAAAATTCGCTGCTACCCGTCCTTCCATAAACGTGCCGTGTCTAGACCTGCTTCACCTTCCATATGTGGCACGAGGGCCGGCTCTGTGCGTTATTGTTCGCTAGACGCAGCATTGGAGGACGCGCTAAGGGCAGATACCGAGGGTCCTAGGGATGGCGCGATATCGCGACAGCCGTGGATCACAGTAATTATACCTAGGCAAAAGGCTCCAGAATCTGTGTTGGTCGATGGGTCTTTTGTTCGTAACCACTAGCCAACTAGGGCCTTGTCACTCGACGCTACCGAGCAGGGGTGGTGCTGTTCCAGGAGCAATGGAGCAACAATGGACAGATTTAGATGTGTTTGAGGAGGCAAAGCCGGCGAGCGGCCGCGCGACTCGCACGGGGGGCGTTTTCAAATGAGCCTTATCGTCATGTCTTGCACGCCGTCAAAATGGGGCCCGGTCCTGACAGCCAGCAGGTTGGCTATTCCGATCCTCCGATAGCATGGTAGGGGCGGCCCCGGAAAGGGGCGCGAAGCACCAGTGGCCATCCTCTCGCGCAGCTCGCCTGGAGGCACGGGCTCCAGAATCAGGAACATCTCGGTGTCGTTGAACGTCTCCCGGCCCGGTGTCTTCTTGGCGGTACTGCGGTGACTGCGCAACAGGAGGCAGTCGTAGTTGCCGTCCAGATACTGATGCCCGCCGTCGGCAGTCCGCCGGTCCAGGCCTCCCATGCAGCGCCACGAAGGGGGGAGATCGGCCGGCCTGTCCTGCATCTCGTCGTAGACGCACAGGCCGGGAGGGTCGTGGATCTTGCCTGGCGGCATCGTGGTCAGACGGCTCCTCTTGACGGGCCCTCGCAGCAGAAGTTCTGCACAAAGGAGCTCGGACACAAGCGGGATGCCGCTCCAGAGGATGTGCTTGTCGACGAGCGATGTATGAGCAAAAGATTCGTGAGGGGATTGGTCGTCGGGTCTGGAGTACCAAGGGTTCAGGGCAATGTCGTCGAAGCGGGACAGCCACGACCAAGAAGGGATCTCTGGCAACATGTCCTCCTTGCTGTCGATGCGCGTATGCGGCGAATCATTACCCGGCCAACTACTCGTGCGGATCGTCCAGGAGAGGTCGTTGCAGAGCGTCTCCTCCCAGCAGCCGAGGAGGTGGGTGTACCCAGTCGTGGCCGCGGTCTGCTGCACCATGCCAGACAGCGCGGCGAGACGGTCCGCGGCGAAGGTAAACTTGCGGCGCGAGTATGTCTCCATCCACAGGCACCATGCGCGATGCATGGTCTCGCCCGCGGCGGCCGAGAAGTTCTGACTGGTGGTGGTGGTGGTGCCGAGCTCGACCTCGTGTCTGGTCTTGAGGTAGCCTGTTCGCGGCGAGCCATCGCCATGCAGCTCCACACGAGCCTCAGTGACGTAGCAGCTGGTGCACTGCCAATGAAGCTCGGGAAAGGTGCAGTGGAGGACGCGGCGTGAAAGGACCTGCTCCTGCAGCGTCCAGCCCCGCTGGTTGAGCGCGGCATCTCTTGTCTGGCGGATGATGCTGTCCTCGTAGACACGCACCAGCAGAGAGTCTCCCGAGCGGGTATCGGACTCGCTGTCCTGGGTCTGAATCTGTTCAGCCGCGTTGCTTGCGATTCCTCCTCGCAAGGGAACCTGGACGTGGAATCTCGCAACCTGAGGGACATGACTTTTAGCGACGACACCTTGCTCAAGTCCCACGAAGCAGCCTTGCGAGCTGTCCGAGGCGCTTGATGCAGCTATCGTAAGCCATGCATTCGAGTACACGTCTTTCATGCGGGCGGCTTCCTGACGCTACTCTTCCGAGTCATCCTGTACGATGCAAAGACTGTCGATCCAGATATACTTGATGCTCAGGGAGCGGCAGATGTCGATGGCCTCCCGAAACGTCCAGGGGATCCGGCCCGGGCCTCCGGTCCATGGTCCGTCGCAACCAGGTATAGCTCGCTGGAGCTGCTTAAGATTCTCCCGCAGTGTTCTGAGAGGCATGCCCGAGCCCCAACAGTGGCTCAGTGCCACGTACTTGAGACCACGTAGCATTTCTCCAGCCGCGATATCCCGGCTGTATACAAGACGAGACGGCGTCTTGCTGCTGGCAGGGGCAAGTGCAAGGAGCCTTTTAGGCAGTGCACCATGCTGGTCGGGACTGGTCATCCTGCAGAGCGCGTGCGCCTCTTCGCACAGTCTAAGCCAGGACCCGATGACGACCAACTTGTCTGGGACGCTGGTGGTGGCTTGTGGAATGGTCCATACTTTGGGCAGGTCCGCATGAATCCGTGCAGCTTCAATGTCCTGTCAGACTCGTGCAATGAGCCGTGCAAAGCACGTGCGGCTATGCTTACATGCTGTGATGTTGCAGGCTGCAACGACCGTCCACCATTCCTGGTACGAGCTGTACTTTGATGTGCGCAGCTGCAATCTCATCGAAAGCGTGGCGTCCTCAATTTGATGATGCAAAGTGTTCGTCGGGTCTGGTTCTTCGCCGCTGCTTTGCCTCCCCGCAGCGGAGAGGCTCGTAACGCTGATCTTAAACTCCGCGGCATCGAGTTCAGCGGGCGTTATTTGGGGATAGCGTTGCTGCAGATCTTGCAGAGGCAGATCTAGCCGCATGGCAGCGCACAGGGCGCATGCGGTATGCTCCGCGGCGGCGATGAAGTCGCCCGCAGTCGCATGGTGCTCGATACGTGTGTTGCGTGGTGCTAGCCGGAGAGGGAACAATGCTGAGCAATACCCGCAAAGCTGCTGCAAGATGTGAGGGCCGATCTCCATAGTGTGTTACCGGAGACCTGGGTGGATGGGAAAGTTGATAGCAGTCGAGATCTTTTGCGTAGCTGGTTACTCAACCGATATACCTATGAGTTGCTGAGCCCTCTGAAAACGAAGCCACCACCAGTCTTGCATAGAGAGGGGTCATGCTCGCTTACGGTGGGGGTCAATATTTGCTTGCGATGATGTGCTTGAAGTATGCACGTATGGTATACCCTTGTCACTTCGGTCTGGGCTTGGCTCTTTCTCGGGCGATTGCGCGACAGTGTACCGTGCCGGCGATCACTCATCGGCAGCGTGCCCTCAGACAGGGGTTCGTCGATCTGCGTACGAGTTACTCAACAGACCTTGGCTTACCGGTCCCGTCTGTTTGGAGGCTCTTCTTGCATCATTGAGCAATGCACACGACGTCAAGCATTATCGTTGCTGAGAAAGTTGCTCTTATCGCTCGCTATACACCTTTGTTACGATATTGGCTGACCCCAAACACTCGTCCAAAACTCGTGTGCAAGTTGGGAGTGCAGATCGCAAAGATAATCATCGAACACACTCGTATACGATATCAAGCGTGCACAGAAACTGCCGTCTATTGGTTTCAGTCGTTTCTTGTTGCGATGCGTGTTGGCTGTCAAGACCACAATAACATGTATCACACTGTCGGCCCTTTGGAGAGATGTAGTGCAGCATGCATCACATTCGCTTGAAGTCGGTTCCGTCAGTTCAATCATCGATGATTTGCTATTCAGTAAAGACTGTTAGTGGCTAAAGAGCCCCCAGAACCCATACAACCTCCAATACCCAAAGTAGTGCACCTACTTTGAACCATTACGAAACTCATCCAAACCCCAAGAAAACAAAAAACTGAACTCGATGACGTCCTGCGCGTGAGTGCGGTGAGGAACCCAACACCGGGTTCGGATCATCATCCAGAGCTGGGTTTCCTCGCATCAAGCGACCAGTAGGCTCTCTACGAGCCTTCCAGATTCTCTGAAAGCCATGCCACTAGCCGTTGGGTGCGTTTTGCATATCTTGGAGCGGTTGTTTCGCTTCCACAACTCGTAGTTAGTGACGTCGTTGCCGCGGGTACAGTGACCACTCATCTCCTCGAAATTGACCAATTCGGTGCGTTCGATGATAGCCATGGTGTTATCCTATCTTCCGGTTGACTGAAATGTAGTTTCTCGTTCCTGTGTGCGCTAACAGGCTCAGTTCGTCTGAATCGGGTAATGACAAATGTGTACGTGACTGTCTGCTGTCTGCGTGTGAGTAAATCCTTCGCTCCTCGCATGTCTATAGCAGATTCGGGGCCTTCTTGTAGGCTAATTTCGTGGTCATTTTCTCATCGATATCGAGGCCGGGACAAAGAGCACACCATCAAAAGCACGTGATCAGAACCGTAAGGTCAGCTTGCTAACAACTTCCATAACAGCGTCCCAAGTTGCACAAAGAATTTCTATCAGATCATGTGCAAGGCGACAGATCACAAAGAAAATCACTTTGGTTAGGCCGAGAGCGGTTCAGATACCGAACCATTCCGTCCGTCCCTGACAAAGGGGATTTTGGGCAACGATAAAGTACCTCAGTAATGAACTTCGAATGTCGGTTGACAGCCCACTTGTTGGGCGAGCAGAGCAGTGCCCGATCCCGGAGATCTGGAATGGATGGCAAGGTGGTTTCAAGGAGGACCAACCGCCGAAACAGCCATTCTTTGATTCTTGTGGGTCGGCCGATGCGCGGTGCCAGCAGATCTCATTGTGGCTGCCGCTCACACCCGAGTACTGCCTTGAGCTCATCCACATTCCTGCACATGCTTGCCTCTGGTGACTGGTGGATCATGGTGGCATGCATATGCGCATCGCCTGCAGCTAAGCGCCTTGTGTTAGACACAGGGGTGGGCTTGCGCCGACCAACAAGCCATTAGCTCAAAAGTCGCATTGCCATGGAGCTCTGTGGCAGGTCTTCCTTGTCTCGTCAATCTCGCCTGGGGTTCAAGGCAGAAGTGCGACCTTCCAAACCAAAGAGTCGTCTATTATCATTTGAGCCTCTCACGCACAGGCTTTCAAAATCGCGCGCCGCCGACGATGCTCGGCTCACCAGTGGCAATGTCAGGCGTGTTGGTCCCGATCCATGATGACATTCTTTCGGAACTGAAGGACAAATTCTTATCGGTACTTGGAGCACCCGTTAATTCGCGCATGCCAAAGCGTCACTTGCAACGCGGTCACCACGATCCAACGGCACCCAAGCTTAGGATGGTCATGCCGAAGAATGACTTTGAACGTGGGGGACTCCGGATCCCAGATCAAAGGGCTTGGTCCGCGTGCCTATGTTTCCAGGGAGCAAAAGATGACGTCTGGACGGGCGAACCAGCGGCAGGACCAACGACGGTTATGTTTGCCCACAAGCAACTCAACCACGCTAGCGATCACATCCTGTGTCAAGTAGCTGATCAGATCAAAAGGCTCTGGCCCGTCTCGGCGGTAGGCCCACCCAGACGTCATGTCAAGCTGTTCCGTCATACAAAGGATGGGCATGGGTTACAGGTCCTCGACGATATCGCGTCCAAGGACCCCATGGTCGGCTGGCTTGCATCACAGCATCTGCTTCCAGGAGAAGGCATCCTTGTCTCTTTCACGACACGCAACAAGTCTGGAAATCTTGACATCCTGCGGGGAGACCAGGCAAGTGTCCCCTTTTAGGAATGGCTCTTCACATCTTGGCCGAGGACTGACATCGCTTATTGCTGAAGCAACTCATCTACCCAAATCTTGGCCCCCAGGCTCCAGAGACGCCATCGCCTCGAGACATTGAAGAAGGCCGCAGGACAACAGACAATATCGGACCTCGTTGTGGCCAGATATGGTGTGACTCACTTCATCTTACCTCAACACCCGCCTGCTAATTCGCTGCCGGGTCATTCACTCCTTCAACTGCCAACATCATCTCCTTTCCTGTCATGGTGGCTGTCATGCTCCTGACTCTCCATCCCGATAAGAATGCCATCGATACCGAGACAAAAGCCGACTTTCCAGACAGCGACCTTTCGTGGTGCTTTGACTTTCTCCATGCCTACGCCCGGCTTCAAGGACCGGACGAAGACGAGCTATACGGAAAATGGAATAGTCACTCGTGGTCCTTGGAGACGTATGGCGATGCATGGCTATATATGCACTTCACCATGCATGACTTCGGTCGGCCACGCGAGGACACGCCGCCCTTGGATGAAGCGGCACAAGCTTTTGCCGCGGGCTTGCAACGTAGCCGTCGCCAGATACGCACCCACTTCGCCGGCACCTTTGTAGAAGACCGCGTGACCATCGTCGTCCGAACCGCCACGGCCAAGGACAACGAGGGCAACGTCGTGAAGCCGGATGCGGCTGGTGGTGCGTACGCAGTGATTGGGTTCCTTCTCGATGACGACGGCCACGAAGATCATGTCGTCAATGAGGACGACTGGGACTCCAGGGGTCTTGTCTGTCCCGACGAGGCCCCGGGCGTTGCTCTGTTTCAGCAGATTCTGTGGAAGCGCTTCGAAGTGTGGCAGGGAGGTTGGGCTCATACTCTGCGCTGCTTGAAAGTAGCCATGGATATCGATGTGAGTACATTCACAACTCACCGCACCATAGTGCCCCCCCCCTGATATGCATTACCTTGGGATGGTGCGAAAAGCTGATTTCGAGGCCTGCCTTGGCAAATAAAAGGGCGATCTGCTCGCCCACGACGGCAAGTCTTTCGACGGTCTCGTTCGCGATGACGATTCAGCCTCCAAATCGAAACAATACTTCACCACGATCCAACTACTTAAGATGTTCAGGAAGCACATTGCTGTAGCCCCGCGTGATTTGGCGGAGATGCGTCAGCATTGGGCCAAGACGTATCGTGGGCAGCAGTCAGCTCGTCCAGGCCGCTTCAGTCTGGCGACACAACAAAGCCTGAACGAGAACTGGAATAGGCTTGAGGCACATGCGGGTGAAATACATTCTGGCCTGGTACGATTGAGTCGCGACATCGAGACCGAAGCTAGGGAAGCCTGGCGCGATGTAAGTACGAGGTAAAGCACTCTGACGTATCATAATGCACCGGTCTGAATACTACATGGCTAGTAAAAGATATATCCAGTGCTGACGCTTGCCATATCAGCACCAGATGATCATCATGAGCAAGCCGCTGCCAGCACAGACGATATCCTGGTCATCTTGGCAAGTCTTGCATCCAGGGGGCTTGTTCGCTGGCGCCGGTGCCAGTCTGGCAATCTATTGGATTTTCTCAGCCATGAGAAGAACGTAGTCCGCCATCAAGTCATACAGGGTGTCGGGTTGCTTACATAGCGAAAGGCTGCAACTTGAGTCGTTGTTCATTTATGTCGGAGTCCGCTCATGGTAGGACCCAGTTGGGCACGGCTCGTGCCGTTGAGCCTGGCGCGCAGCATCTGCCGTACGAGTCAGCATCTGGACTCTATTGGATGATGTTCTGCGCGCATGTGACGCACCTGCATGCAATGTGAACCAACTGCATGAAAGGCAGTGCGCAGGCGGCACGTTGGGTCGGTCCGTGGGCCACCCACCACCCAACATGTTCAGTTCTCGCCCGCCAACAGCAATTTTCCAGGTCGCCAGTGCAAGTGACATCTGGTCAATTCGGAGACAATGCAAGACCCTAAAGAAAAAAGCCAACCGGTCTCAGTCTACGATTATGCTACGGACTATGAGTTATGTAGGTCAGTCTGGCCATTCATCGCCGCCACAGGGCTACCGGACCAGTCGCAATTCGTGGACCTTGCCAGCCTCGTTAGGTCTCGAATGGCACAGCTCGACGACGCGCTCCACAGCTGGTCCGGCATCACCGCCACCAGGTCATGCCATGATATCCTCGTCGAGACGCTGTCTTGGTTCCAGGACGAGAAGGCGGATGGCTTCGGGGAGAAACTCGGCCGCGGTATGCGGTGTCCGCAGCCGGCACACGAGATCCCGTCCGTCCTTATGATCACGGCATCTCTTCTTCTGACGATCGACGTGGTGCGCGAATTCGACGCGAGCAGACCGTTCTCTGTTGTCGTACGGTGGCCGATGGGCAAGTCTCTGCGAGAAGCCGTCGCTGTGTCCTTTGACGAGTACAAGGCGCCAGCCACTGGCCCATTCACAAGCCCATCCTCGACGCTGAAGAGGCTCAACATGGCCACACTAGTCAAGAGCTTTGGCTACTCGATCCGCTGGACAGACAACCTCAAAGAACACCTCACGATCAAGTCCAAGCAAGTCTGGATATACAAGCACAAACTGCTCCTCGCCGCCCTCCTACAGACCCCGCGCAACAACCGGACAGACATCATTCCTCGGCCCGTCGTCGAGGAAGCCCTCGACACACTCAATCTCCTCTTCCCCCCCGGCCACCGGAAAACCGGCAAACTCCTCAAGCAGCACTCCCAGGCCTTCCACAGCCTCGGCTACTGCGGCCGCCGCCCAGCAGCCACGCACCGCCCCTCGCTGCAGGACTACCCATACTGGGGCGCGAAGCTGCAGGCACTGCTCGCGGCGCTGGACGAGCCGCCCGCGCTCGGCGTGCGGTCCATGTTCCTCCGCAAGGACAAGCGGAACCTGGTCGAGTCGGTCAACTTCTGGCTCGCACTGCTGGTCGCCGTGCTGACGGTCGCGAGCATCGTGCTGGGCGTGCTGGGGGTCGTGTACGCCAAGCTGTCGTTCGACGTGGGCAGGGAGTCGCTGGAGCTTACGCGGCAGCAGTGGCTTCTGTCGCTGGCGCAGGCGTGTGCCGGCGGTGAGGAGCCGCAAGGTGCGACGCAGCTGGCGGGTTTCTGTAGCCAGGCGACGTGATGCATGTGTGGTGTTTGGCTGAGATGAGACGGCAGTCTGGACAAATGAGAGGAATATGTCTTGAAATCAGATTGAACTAGTTGCTTGTACTGCCGTGCGCGCAATCCTTCGGGACCATGGAGCGGACGACGGTGGAAGCACTGTCCTGTAAGTGGCCGTCTGCAAGGGCTGGAATTCTAATGTTGAGAAGGCGTGCTGTCATGCTGATGGTCAAAAGACTGGGAACACTTCTGGTCTGCATCACATACAAACGATGTTCCTTGGTGGAGAAGGAGAGGATAGTGCGACTACCGAGTTGTTTGCGCGCAGGCAGGAAAGCACACACTCATACAAGCAAAATGACGATGTCCACATAAGTAGTGACCGGTTAAGTATTCGCTCGTTATTTGTACTCGAGAACGTTAAATATATACGTAAATCGCCTCCCGCCCTAGCCACAAAAAGAGATGCATCTGTGGAAGCAACGAAAAAGGAGATTGTGAAAAAAGTGGCGATCCAGTGAAGAACAGATCCTTCGCTCTGCTCTCATCATCATCGGCACACACGCGGGACCACCACCACGCCGCGTGTGTGTGAGGCTCCCCCCGGCCTCAGAAATACTAATTGCCCTTAAAACACTACTTTAGGCGAGGAGGTTGGCGATGCTGTTGTAGGCAGCCTTGGGGTTGAAGCTGCTGTCAAAGAGCAGGGGGTTCTCGCCCTTGCGCCACGAGTCCTTGTCGCTGACACCCCAGACGGTGATACCGACGCACTTGGGGACGTTGAGGCAAGCCTGGACGACGGCGTTGTAGTCGGCCGTGGGCGCGTTCTTGATGTCGAGCTCGGTGATGGCGACCTCGGTGACGGCCGCAGCGGCGAGCTGCGCCAGGGCGCCCTGGACGGCGGAGCCGCCGCCGCCAGAGATGTGAGTCTGGGAGCCTGCTCAGAAAGTTAGTAGAAAAAAGAGAGATTTCTCATTTTTGGTGAGGATGGTTCAACATACCAATGCCGTCAATGGGAACACCGGCGGCGATCCACTTGTCGACGTAGTAGCGCATGAGGTTGACCTTGGAGACGCCGGCCCTATCAAGGTTGTAGTCGTTGATGTAGAGCTTGGCGGCCGGGTCGGCAGCCCGGGCGGCCTTGAAGGCGATGGAGACAAACTCCTCGCCCAGGAGGCGGGAGAAGACGGAGTCTCGGAGGGTGCCGTCCTCGTTGAAGATCTCGTTGACGACATCCCACTGGAGGATCTTGCCCTTGTAGCGGGTGACGACGGTGGTGACGTGGTTGCGGATAACGTCGCGCAGCGTCTGGGCGTTGTTGATGTTCTGGACCCAGGTGGGCAGCTGCGAGTGCCAGACGAGGGTGTGGCCGCGCACCTTCTTGCCGTTCTGCTGGGCAAAGTTGACGAGCGCGTCGGCGTTGCCAAAGTTGAAGCTGCCGCGGCTGGGCTCGAGGGCGTCCCACTTCATGCTGTTCTCGGGCGAGACCTGGCCAAAGTTGGCCCGGATGATGGCCGCGTTCTTGCCGCTGTTGAGCAGGCCCTGGTCCGTGGCGACACCAATGTACTTCTTGCCCTTGTTCTTGAAGCGCTGGTCAATGCTGACCGAGGCCTGGCGGGCCTCGAGCAGCTCCTCGGGCTGGAGCTGGCGCTCGACAATGTTGGCACGGCGCGCAGCCAGCTCGGGCTCGTTCTGAACGAACTCGGCGGGCAGAGCCGCCGCGAGGACGGGCAGGAGGAGGGCAGCGGAGAGCTTCATGGTGAATGCTTTGTGGTCTGGAGCAAGGAGAGACGAGCAGGGGCGGCTGAGAAGAGAGAGTCTTGAGTCAAGGCGACCTGTGGAGGAGAAGAAGAGGTGCTGGACGGGAGACAGAGGACGGATCTCGACCTGATTTATATCATGTTTTCTGCCTCGATGCTGCGTGGGGACGCCAATGCCTTGTCCTGACCTTTACCCATGGGTGAAACTTGGCATGGGGCAAGGGTTCGTTCCTAGCTGTTTGCTTTTCTGTGGTTCGTTTCTTCTGTCACGTTGTCGCCGCAAAACTTGGAGGGCGCCGATCATGCCAAGAGCTGCCTCGATCGGAACACCTGCCGCAATCTATCTGAAGGTGAGAGTAGCATGTGTACGCAGTAAGGGCCCCCTGTACACGCAGTGGGTACGGTTTGCTCCTTTGACATCAACAGGCCGGCTGCCGTATTAGTCCGTCCGGAATTAAGGGTCGGGGTGGACCTGGCTGCGGAAGCTCATGGGCGCCAGCAGGGGTTTCCGCCAGTGACGGCGTGCCGGGTTGGCTAAGGTCTCGATATGGTCATGCTATACCCGCGGAGGGAAGCGCTCCGGCTCGAATCCATGATTCAATGGGCGCTGATCGTGGGCCGAGCCTGACCATGACAACCCCTGAACTGGAGCTCAGGGGTGCTGAAACTCATCGTCGAGTTTCTCCCTCAATGAGGTGGGAGGTGGCACCACAGCGGACGAGACAACGGCGCCGTCGCTGCTGGGTAAGCTTCTGGAAAGTAGCCGCACCAAGGGTATCTATTATCGACACTAGTACCCATGGCGCCCGTGCCACGTTTTAGCCGGGGTCGCAAGACATGCCCGTCTTTGATAAATTGCAGACCGCTCCGCAAGATTGACCTGAGGCTGACTACGCCTTTGGTCGAATGATCATGCCATCTCACGATTTAAAAGTCATGCAGCTTTCCTTTAGCCGCCCTCGTTTCGCGTTGCAATGCGATGAACCGGACCGGCAAATCCCAACCATGACAAGTCGAAGGACGGACGCCTTGAGGGCTAGTGGCAGCGGTGGATCCTTTAGCCGTCAGGGGCAAGCCAAGATGAGGATTCTCCTCATCTTGGCAAGGCCCGCACGTGGGTGCCTACTGATAAGAGGCCCTGTCGCGAGGATCCAAAGCAGTCCGTTGACCTTCTGTTTCGAGGCGAAGCCAAATCTCTGGGAGCTTTTACTTTTAATTTTATGTTTATTTTGACATCTGCAGCCTCGCGCGGGAATTGTCACCCTCTTCGAACCAGGGACACTCTGGACCTGTCAACTAATTAGCCGCCTTGCAGAGCTGCAGGCCGCCACGGCACATGAGAGTAGCCGAGAGTGTGGGGTGCAGTTGCGCAGCAATTTAGCCAGAATAGCGAATCTGGGGGTGGCACAACAGGGCACGGCATGTGTGCTGCGTGGTGTCGCATTGCAGACAAATACCAGATGGCTGCTCATGACTCCTGTTCCCATCTAATTCACCTACACGTCAGCGGGCTCTGTGACCCTTTATGCAGCCGTACCATACTCTCCCATTGCTTGGCGCGGCGCGACTGCTGGGAATAACACCACGAATAAGAGGCCAGGGTCGGGTCGATCATTCTCGACGCGGATCCCCCTCCGTGGCCCAATCTGGAGTGCCAGTCTTTGCGCGCCTATCACGGTCAAAGACAGCCCGCAAACTTGCATCATCCAGCATCACGGACTTTCTTTTCTCGGTCCTAGCCGTCGACACCATCACTTGTCGATCAGGCACGGCGATCCCGTCCAATCACAGGGCGACGCCGGCATAGTGAGTAGATTGCCTCGATAGTGTTTTCGGAGACGAATTGACTCGGTCCCTGGCCAGGGCAAAAGCTTAGTCTGCGGGGGACAGGTCTTGGTCGAACTGGTGCGGAGTTGCGCAGTGTCGGATGTGAGTATAACAATGATGGCGACTGCCCAGTGGACAAACTGCCGTGATTTGTGCAATCCACTCCAGGATTGCAGCCTGGACCTTTTACCTCCCTTGCACCGTCTGACTGCATCTTACCGCCTATTGCGCGATCCCCTGCTTGCCAAGATGAAGCTGACGATTCTTGCGCTGCTCAGCGTTGCCATCATGGCGCTGGCTGAGCAGTTCACGAACCCGGTCCTGTGGGAGGATCTGGCCGATAACGAGGTGCATCGGGTGGGCGACACGTTCTACATGACTGCATCGACGATGCACTACTCGCCCGGGGCCCCTGTCCTGCGATCCTACGATCTCGTCAACTGGGAGTACATTGGCCACTCGGTGCCCGTCCTCGACTGGTCCTCCAAGTATAACCTGCAGAATGGTCAGCAGGCGTACATCAAGGGCATCTGGGCGAGCAGCCTGCGCTACCGGCCCAGCAGCGGCCAGTGGTTCTTCCTGGCCTGCATCGAGTTCTCAACCACCTACGTCTATGTGGCCAACAACCCGGCGGGCCCCTGGACCAAGCACACCACCATCAACAAGTGCTACTACGACGCCGGCCTGGTGTTTGACGACAATGACACACCCTACGTTGCCTACGGCAACACGCAGATCTCGGTCTCCCAGCTGTCTGCCGACATGAAGAGCGAGGTCCGCTCCCAGCAGGTCTACTCGACACCATCCAACATCGGCACCCTCGAAGGATCTCGCATGTACAAGGTATGATTTGACGCCTGCCCGTTTCGTCGCCGTCCTCTCCTCTCCGCCTTTCTTATCCGCCCTCTCGGCTCCGCCCCCCCTTTCCCATGCCAACGTTGTTTCTACGCCTGATTAAAAATAAACCCACCACTCGAAAATCCTACTGACCCTCCTCCACCCAGCGCAACGGGCAATACTACATCATCCTCACCCGGCCCCCGGATGGCCAGTTTGTGCTCAAGGCGTCGAGCCCCTGGGGCCCCTACACGATCAAGACCCTGGCGGACCGGGTCAAGCTGGCGGCCGTGCCGAGCGCGGGCTCGCCGCATCAGGGCAGCTTCGTCGACACGCCCAGCGGGCAGTGGTACTACATGGGCTTTGCCGACATGTACCCCGGCGGGCGGTGCCCGGTGCTCGCGCCAATCACCTGGGGCTCCGACGGCTTCCCCACGCTGACGACGGTCAACGGGCAATGGGGCAACTACGACTACCCCGTGGCCCGGCGCAACGTCCAGAGCTCCCTCGGCACCGACACGTTCCAGGGTTCCTCCCTCAACCACAAGTGGGAGTGGAACCACAACCCCGACACCAGCGGCTTCTCCTTTGCCAACCCCGGGCTGACTCTTCGCACCGTCTCCCGGACCGACGACCTGTACGCCTCGCGCAACACCCTGACCACCCGCATCCGCGGGCCCGTCGGCACGGGAACGCTCAGGTTCGACTTTAGCGGCATGGCCAACGGGGACCGCGCCGGCCTGGCCGTGCTGCGCGACAAGTCGGCCTACATTGCCGTCGAGAAGGTCAACAACGCGTACAACCTCGTCGTCTACACGGGCCTGACCATGAACACCAACTGGTCGACCCTGTCCAAGGGCACCGTGGCCGCCCGCGTCAACAACCTGAGCGTCAGGCAGGTCTCGCTCCGGATGGTGGCCAACATCCGCCCTGGCGGTGCCGGGTCCGCGCAGTTTAGCTACAGCCTGGACGGCAACTCGTTCACTAACCTCGGGCCGACGGCGAGCCTGCACAACTCGTGGGAGTTCTTCATGGGCTACCGCTACGGCATCTTCAACTTTGCCACCTCGGCCACAGGTGGTTCCATCAAGGTCATCTCGTTCACTAGTGCATAAAAGGGGGAGGGGGGGTTGCTTGTGACACAGGACTGTCTGAGACAGCCCTCGAGGGGATGGGGGTCTCTTCTGGCCTAACTTGCAGCAGTTGTTTGTAGAGTAGCAGCCCAGTTAGTGAGCTTGAAGCAGCCAAGAGAGTCGTAACGCAGTTTTATCCACCAAGCAGAGTTTACCCTGCCATCCCGCCACCACGAGCCATCTTGCGTGCTCGCTGGTCTCGCCGGTTGTGGTTTGCTCGTGACCCTTTGTTCGACTCCTTCCTCCTTCGTGCATTCTCCGTGTCTTTGTCTCCAGTCGGCCCCGCGACGTTGCCTCCACGACCGCCGCCGCCGCCCCCACGACCGCGACCACCACCTCCTCCTCCTCGCCCACGGCCCCGTCCTCTGCCCCGCCCCGCACCGTCGCCTTCCGAGTCCTCGTTGCCTGCTCTCCATGCTGTCGACTCCAGTATCGTCTGACTGCCACTAAAGGCGCTGAACTTGAGCTCCAGGCGCTTCAGTCGCCCCGGGTCGCGGCCCAACATCAGACCCCATCCCTCGATGGCTTCGTCCGTCATGCCTGTCTCCCCTCTGAGGGTCGACCTGGCGGTGCTTCTCCGCGTGTCGGCATCCCGCTCAAATACCTGCTGGTTGGCCTGGTACGCCTTGAAAAGGACCTCCTCAATCGCCGACTGGCGCTTCTGGTCGTCGGCATCGTCGGCAAGGGCATCGTTGACCGTCATGCCGGCGTCGACCGCGTCGTATGTATCGTCACGCTCGTCGTCGTCGGCGTCAAACAGCGAGAGCGCGGATAAGATGGCCGCCTTGTTGGGTGCCGTGGACCGGTCCGCGAGGATGTCGTCGGCGGTCTTGTCGGCGCCCCGCTTGCCAAAATGCAGATTCCCCATGTCCACGTTCAGTTCGTCAAGATCGTCGTTGTCGTAGATGTTGTGGCGCGTGGGGAGTTGTGTTGGCGTCGACCTCGGTGCCAATGAGCTCCTCCGCCGAGGGCGCTCGGGAGATCTGCGCGCCTCGTGTTAGTTGGGTTTATGACGTACACAAGTGATGTGGTGAGCTGTGGCATGACTTACAATTCCTTGCTTCGATCGGCCGACCCGAGATGTGGCGGTAAGTCCTCTTCCAGCAAATGCGCAATGACCTGCTCGGTGTCGTTGCCATACTCGTCTAGCAGCAGTGAGACAAAGCCAGATCCGAGTCCCGGAAAGAGGTCTTGGATCTGGGAGATCTGGCTCATACGATGGATACGCATCTCTTGAAACTCTGAATCCTTGCTGACGTCCATGGGACCTTTTCCCTTGTCGATCTTGCGCTTGATAAACTTTTTGGGCCTGACCATGCCCCCTGGCTTGCGGTAGGACTCGAGGCTGGCAATGACGGATTTGATCCTCGTGGCCGAGTTGCCCGCCTTCTCCAGCTGTGCCAGCACGTGCTTCAGGATGGGAGTCGTCGTGATGAGCTCCGGCACCATCGAGTCATTGGCGTTGATCGGCCCCGCCTTGTGAGCATCGGCAGCTGCCTTGAGCGAGTACAGCTGGTCACTCAGCAGCGAGAAGTTTGGATGGTCGCCCTCGGTCAGACCGGCCAGGCACAAATAGGCGGTGGTAATGATGGCCTTGCGCAGTGGCGGGTTCATGATCTTGTAGCAGCTAATCAGACCGTCGAGAAAGTCTGTTCCGGCCATGAAGAAAGCAGCAGCGGCTGGTGACGCATGGAGAAGATGGTTGAGGCGCTTGAGCCGGGCCTCCACCGCGCCGAGATCGCCCTTGATGCCGGCATCGAGTCCGGCAATCAGGGCCTTCTTGAGACCTTGCAGGGAGACTTCCGGTGTGTTCTTGTTCCTTGAAAAGATGTGATCAAGGACAGGCGTGGTCCTCTTCCTGGGGAACACACGGGAGAAGTCGGCGAGGAATTCCCATCGGAGCAGAGCGGGAGGCGTCTGCGGACACCTGAGCAGTCTCGCGGAGAACCGAAAAACCTGTCTCAAGAGGGTCGACGCTGCTGGCGACGTGCCGAGCGTTGACGGGCCAGAGACAGCCACCTCACTGATCAGGGGCGCGAGAAAGGGAGATATCGACTCGTCCTGGGCGGCGGTCTGAGCAAAGACATTATCCGGCTGAGAGAGGTGTGCCTCGATGAGGGCCACCCAGATTGAGAGACAGCTGTCCCACTCGCTGGTGCTGATGCGACTCTTCCATGACGAGTCTGGGAATGGTGCGAATGGCGGTAGAGTCGGTGACATGGTGTCGAGGATAGTGTCAGATATTGGAGCTGTCAGTGAGGGGCAGCACGTGTCGAATGGAGGGGCAGTCTGCCCAGGCTGAAGATGACAAGCTGATTTGAGGCTCCTATACTGCTGAACTGAAAGGACATGGAGAGGGCATAATCCAGAGTGCTGTGTCTCTACATGTCGAAGAGTCGTGAATGGCCTCTCATGCTCGCTGCCGCTGGCACACCATCATCATCATGAGTGGGATCTGAGCCATCGTGGCCCGCTGCTGGCTTCACAGCTGCAGGCCGGATGACTGTTTTCGCTGATGATGGTCTGTTCCTGGCTCTAAGTGGGCCCTCCCATTGCGAGGTACAAAGGCACCTCTGAGAGTGAGTCCTGGAAAGAGCACGGACCAGGTGAGGTGAGTCTACTTCGCGCTAGCCCGCTTCGAGCCACAGCCTGCCCATTCCAGGTTAGACGAGCCCACCAAAAAGTTTTGGCTGTGCGTGGGAAATGTGCTGCACCTTAACATCACGGTCCCGCAATCCTGGGCAGGCAATCCCATTGAAGCCTTTCCCCCCTCCAACCTTCATCACTTTGCCGAAACGCAGCACAACGTTCGAGTCGTGAGGGTATCACTTCCGCCAATCTCAAATCACCACTACCAAAACCAGTCCCAAACAAACCCAACAAGATGTCTTACAACAAGGACAAGGACTTCGGCGGCGAGGCCCCCAAGATTCACAAGATCCGCATCACCCTGACCTCGCGCAAGGTCCAGGCCCTCGAGAAGGTCTGCACCGAGCTCATCGAGCGCGCCAAGTCCAAGGACCTCCGCGTCAAGGGCCCCGTCCGCCTGCCCACCAAGACCCTCAAGGTCACCACCCGCAAGACCCCTTGCGGTGAGGGTTCCAAGACCTGGGACTGCTTCGAGATGCGCATCCACAAGCGCCTCATCGAGTGAGTTTTCTTTTGCCTACCCAACAACCTCGGGCACGAGGCCATGATTTTTCGAGTGAATGATTCACATGCTGACTCGTCGTGTTTCTTCTCTTCAGCCTCAACGCCCCCACCGAGATCGTCAAGCAGATCATCGTCAACATCGAGGCCGGTGTCGAGGTCGAGGTCACCATCGCTGCTTAAGCGGTTGATGTTGACTCAACACTGACCCGCGCGGAAGATCGCCAAGAAAGCCGACAGCTCGACTTCCACTACGCTATGACAGGGAAGACGGGCGCGGCGTAGAAAAAAACAAAGGCAGTCGTCTTGGGTCGAGGACACGGCACTCAGAATGGGAATCGTGGCGTCGCAGGTCAGCGTGCTGTGGTCCATCCTGGCTGGTTGGGTTTTGCGCTGGTGGAAACACTGGTAGCTTTTCCTGCAAAGGCCTGTGGATGGATTGCTGGACATCCTGCGACGGGAAGCTGCTGGTTCTCCATAGCCGCTCTCGCCAGGCGCTGCTGGTGGCGGAAAATATTCTGAAAAGGAATGCAAAACAGTCAAATTTACGAAGGCGTGTGCCCGTCGTGATGACAAACTTGATGTGACATGTTTTTGAATCTCTCGAAATGCAATGTCGCGACATGTTCTATGCTCTCGCTTCCGTGGTTCATGCTGAGCCTGTAACGTCATTGGAAAATCAGAAACTTTCGGGGGGCGTGCGAATGGGTATATAGTGTTTGGGCTTATATGCCAAGCGCTGCTCGCTCGAGTCGCGCGGACTGATTCGTATCTAAAAATTCCACACGCAGTCCTCTCGCATGGGGGGACATTCCGGCATGTCGCCCTCAAACATGCCCCGAGCCGCCGAGATCTCGTACGCGGCCTTGACCTGCGGGGTGTACTTGGCCGGGTCGTCCGGCTCCGTGTCCTTGTTGTACCCGGGCGCGCCGAAGGGGAACAGTACCCGCCGCCAGCTGCCGTCCTGGTTGCGTATCCCCGGCGCTGGCGGGTTCTGCTGCAGTGTTCCGCCCTCGGGCAGCGCGTCCATGTATTTGTCGCCCACCCTGAACTTGTATCCAACCGGCTGGCCTCTGAATGTGGCGAGCTGGCCGGTGCTCTGTTTCGTCACATAACTTTCCAACGGCGGATGCTGTTTCTGGCTGTTCGGTCCGTATGGGTTGCCTCCTGTCGCTCCTGGTGTCGACGCCACAGAAGCGGCTGGTTGAGATGGTTGCGCTGCGGGTTGGGGCTGGCCAAAAGGATTGGCTGCCGGTGTGGTCGCAGTGCCGAAGCCCCCCGGCTTTTGTCCGAAGGGACTGGTGGTAGCAGCTGCCGCCGAGGCAAAGCCACCGCCAGCAGGCTGGCCAAAGGGATTCGACGCCGCCGGCTGCTGCTGTGCGCCTTGCACGCCGTTCATGCCCTGAGCCGCGGGAGCAGGCTGTCCGAAGGGGCTGCTTGCAGCTGGCTGCCCAAACGCACTTGGTGCCGCAGCAGGGGCTTGCGCACCAAAGGGGTTCGGTTTTTGCCCCAGTGCTGAGGGCTGCCCGAATGCTGATGTCGTTGCCGGCTGTGCAGGCTGACCAAAGGCGCCAGTTGTGCTGGTTTGCGCCGGTTGGCCAAAGGGGCTCTGTGTGCTACTGCCGCCGCCGCCAAAAGGATTCGGCTTGGCTCCCAATGTTGAGGGCTGCCCAAAGGCACTTGTCGTTCCAATCTGTGATGGTTGGCCAAAGGCAGAGCCGCCTGCAGTGCTCTGCGCTGGCTGGCCGAAACTCGACTGCCCAAAAGCCGGGGTCGCCACCGCCGCTCCCGCGCTTGCCGAGCCCCAAGGACTAGCCTTCGCACCAAATGCTGCTGGCTGACCAAAGGCAGGTGCCGCCGCCGCCGCAGTAGGCTGTCCAAAGGCAGGTGCCGCTGCTGCCGGCGCCGAGCTGCCGAACGCGCCTGTGCCTCCAATTGCTCCGCCACCGCCGCCGCCGCCAAATGCAGATGGTTGCGCACCTATAGAAGGCTGCCCGAATGCAGACGTCGTGGCTCCTGCCGGCTTGCCAAAGGGATTTGAGCTTGGAGCCGGGGGTTGGGAAGCATCTGGTGAGTAGCCGCCCTGTCGGCCCACTGACTGCTTGCAGATATCATGCCGGTTCGGATGTTTGGCTTCGCCTGCGAGCAGGAACTGCATCGCGCCGTCGAGATTGGCGACTGCACTCTGCATCTGCTGCTCGGCCTGCTGGTACAGAGCCTGGATCTTGCCGTACGCGGCTTGTGGATCCGGCTGGCTCATGACGAACAGCCTCGCCTCTTCCAAGCTCTGTTCGCGGTCTGGGCCGCCAAATAGCTGCTCGGGAGCGTCGCGGCCGGGGCCGTAGCATGACAGGATCCATGTTGGCCGTTCCCTGGCGAGATCTATCTCGATGGACTCTTTGGTGATCTTCCACGGGTTGTCGTCCGGTCTGTTGGCATTGTTGCCCGCGCCGGAGCCAAAGGCGCCAAAGCGATTGTTGTTATTGTTCGAAGCCGCACCAAAGGGATTCGCATTGCTTGAGCTTGACGCGCTGCCGAAGGGGTTGGCGTTGTTGTTGGGCCTGCTTCCGAAAGGGTTGGAATTGTTCGCGCCGGGGTGCTCGAAGCGACAATTGGCTGCGACAGAGCGCGTGGGTCAGCATCAGATATTCCAGCAGCCACAGCGAGATAGCTTGGTTCAAGGAACTGGGTATGCTCACCTCCGTTGCGACAGGTGCCCTGCTGGTAGAACTTGCAGAGAGGTGCCATGGCTGGCAGCCTCGAGCTCGAGTGGAGGTCCGCTACCGCCCGGCTATAGTGACCATCTCCCGGGAGGAAATAATTGAGTAGGAGTTCACTGAGGTGGGCGAACGGGACGAGAACAGCCTCGGGCTGCGCTAGAGTGTAGCGGCGTGGTGAGGGTTGTGATGTCAGTCGTCAGTCCAGGTGGAAGAGGATGAGCTCGAGCAGAGGATGCCGCAGCTACCCTCGCCGTGCATCCTTATCGATTGCCCATCCCAGCCACTCTTTATGCACAGGCTCAGGGTTGCATGCTGGGCTCCACTAATTACAACTTGCCTTAGGCCTGCATAACTCCACAATGCGGTACACGAATGCCATGTCAATAAGTACCTGGGTACTTCCGTGCAACAAAGCCATTTCTCGAAACTATTGCCGATGCAAGTTTAGCCTTTTCCCTTTCTAGTCCACTCATGTTGTCATCATGAATCGCGGGGCTGCGAGAGCACTCGAAACCACTCGGGTTATGGAGCTGGCGATGATTCTTATGTGCTGCAGCTGTACTCCTTTAGCCCTATATCAGGCTGCCACAAGCTTGATGTATTTGTTATCATGGCATATTGGGATGCTCGCTTTTTGTCTCGAAAACCGATGCTTCCTAATCCAGTTCCTACATGGGCATGTTAAATCATCGAGTTCTACCAGCGACTACATGATATCTGCTCGCATGTGGCGAGCTCCTAAAAACTCAAACGTCTACCACGACTCTAGATTCCACTGACATGATTGACCAATTCTGCAGCCAATGAACCTTAACTTCAGCAGGAGTTAAAAGCTCACATATCGCTTCAAACACCAGTGCAGACATAGTATCCCAACCAGAGGTTCCCACAGCCCGAGTCAATCTCAGTGTTGTACTCCAGGAACTGGTCAAACGTAATGCCCGCACCGCTGAAGATGGACCAGCAGCTGTCGCCAGACTTGACTTGGTGGAACTTCTTGCAGCCAGAAATAATGCCTGGCATTTGGGGCTCTGGGCCTGTGCCTGTAGGCTGTGGCGGAAGACTGGTCGGCGTAGGTACGCCCGTCGAGGCGCCGGCGACATGGACGCAGACGTAGTAGCCAAGCCAAAGGTTTGTGCAGTCTACATAATCATGAAGTCAGCACAATTTGAACCAAGCGCCAGATGGAAGTAAAGTTTTCTGTGAAAGTGTAGGCTGTGCCACGATGTCCCGCCCAGGAAGCGGCATTATTTGGCTGTTGCAAACATACCCTTGTCGATCTCCGAGTTCCAGCTCGAGAACTGAGCACCAGATATGCCATACTTGGTAGCAATGGCGGCACAGTTGTCACCCGAGGCAACCTTGTGGAAGGCGTCACAGTTGGATGCAAGACCTGGCATGGTCGGCGATGGTGTCGGCTCTGACGGCTTGGCAGTGGTGGAAGTGCTGCTTGTTGTAGGTTTTGGTGGCTCGTCGGCCGTGCCGATCACGCAGTAGTTCTGCTGGTCGTCCAGCTGGGGGCAGGTGATACCTGGGTTCAGCTTCTGGAGCGTCTCGACTGATATGCCCCAGGCGGAAGCGAAACTCTGGCATGTCGCGCCTCTGCTAGGGGCAATAGAGAAGACACAGTCAACAGCACGCTCAGCCAAGTTTTCTTGGGCGGCAACAAGAGCAGGACTGAGCGCACCAGCGACTGCGAGAAGACGTGCTGCAAACATTTTGACGAGCGTGGGCAGGTCTGATTAAAGGGCAAGGGGGATGAATTACTGGCCTGTCCAGACCAGCACAAGCAGCATGACGTTTAGTGAAAGTGAGCGAGCTTTTATAGGCGTTCACTATTGTCTAAACTGGTTTCGATGCCAGCTATCTCGAAGAAGCTGATAGATGACAGGATTTCAGTCTGCCACTGTGTCTAGCATCTCAGGTAAGACCAGTTTCTTGATTCTACCCTTGTTACGCATCCTCAGAGTTTGCGACGTTCCCTTGAGCGACTGGCGTTCACCGTAACCCAGTTCTTACATTCAGCCAAGCCTCCAACTATTCATGCCCCAAGGCCAGTGAACGGGTTGGCTCGTATTGCAGACCAGGGGTGTCTCTAACAAAAGCCTGGTCCTTGCAGTGTGTGGCGGCAAGTCCCGTATCCACCTGAACGGGGCCAAGAGCCAGGGGCGCCACTCTGTGCCACGGAACAAACCTCCGCCCAGCTTCCTTCTATTATAAAATTGGACTGGGTACCCAGTCGCACCGGATCTTGAGGTTGTTCCTTACTGGCACATAGGACTGAGCTGACTGTTGACTCTATTGTCTATCATTTTCCAAACCCATCCGTACCCTTTCCCGAAGTGTCATCAATATGCATGTACCTGCATCTGTCAAGGGGCCGCTGCTTCTAGCCGGCACTTGTCTCATGGCTTCATCCCACCGCGGGCTCGCCAGTGCCGCTGAGCACTTTGGCAAAGTCGACATGAGCCTTGTCTTTCCGCAAAACGAGACATACCAGCCAACTGCCCTTTTCCCCATAGTATTTGCATTCCAGTTCGAGGACCCAAAGCTCCCCGAGTCAATAATCCCGTCCATCACACTCAATGGCTGGAAGACGAAGGACAACAAGACCGAGATGGAGATCTCCACAGTTGTCGACGGCATGCGATGGGTCGACTGGGGCAACAGCTCGGGCCTGCACTGGCAATACCGCCCGTTTACCCGCTTCAACGATGAGGCCAGCTGGTTCTTCAGATATGTCGTCGCGTGGTCCAACTGCTCGACGAATGAGACATCGACGGGCGGGATTCAGGATTCCGACAATTTTCTCAGGGGAGTCATCACCTTCAACATCAGCAAGGCGGACGGCAAACCCGTCGACCTCGTCGGTGCTACCTCTGAGGAGTCCTGTGAAGCTCTTCATGGCAGCAGCAGCAGCAGCGGCGAGATACAGCACGCCGTGTCCGTCAACGTTGCCAGCGTCATTGATGCTCCGCAGCTCTGGGCGCCAGAAGTCGGCCCAGACTTTTGCGGCCAGCTGGACGAATCAGCGCCCCTGGGTAACCCAAGTCCCTGCCAAGCGAGAATGGATAGGGCTGCAGAGGAGAGCATACAAGCGTCCATGACGAGCTGGGCTTGCTCGTTCAGGGATGTGCCGGACGGGATAGAGTGTCCCGCCAAGGACGAAGAAGGCAGTGCTTTGTCGAGCATGAACGCAGTTGCTGGGGCAGTGCTATGGTCCTCCATAGCCACAGTTCTGGGGGGAATCGTCTTCCATGTCTTGTAGAACGTTGGAAGTCAATTTGTGGCGTGGAATAGCAGGTGGAACGTTGGGAGAAACCATTGGACCACCTAATTGGTGCTTCCTAGAGACATATTAATGGCGTTCTAGAGCGCACCTTGCATTATTTCTAATTGTGACTTTGTACCTAGACAACGACATAGATTAACTCGCCGTATCCTCATTATGAAGCCCTGCGAGACTTGTTTCTTCAATGATTACACAATTGCTATGAAGCATGATGATTCTGGGCAGACGGATAGACCGGCTGGGTAAGTACTAGACGGAGGATTCGCACGTGACGTTGTGGATAGTCTGCGACCCTGTGCTAATATCATTGCAGCAGTATTCAGCCAGTCAGAGTATGGGGTAGGTTACGCAAGGCTACGTGAAAGACATGGATTGTCATCCTTGAAGCTCAGCTATCCTGGAGACCTTACTGATCTCAATTTGTCAGGCCGATACGGCAGTGGGGCAAAACCTAGCAAACCAGGCAGATGACAAGATTGCTTAGATACTGGCAGCGTCTTTCTCAGGGGTGGAAATCCTGGCACTTGGCGCAAGCGAGGTCTGTGGCGCCTCCGGGCTCATGATCCAGCATGACTTCAGCACCGACTGTGTATCAAATGCACGGTATCAGAGCCTTGTTTGTCCGTGACTGACAAGGAATTGTCGGATCCGGAAAACCAAGGACAATACAGTGTGCTGAAAAATAAAAGCTCTGACTCAACCAATCATGGTCTCTTGACATTCTACAGTCCCACGCGTCCAATGAGCCAGGAATAGGAGATTAGCGAGCTCTAGATGTTAGGCATATAGTGCGACCGCGCGACCCGGAAGACCATTCGACTCTTACCCGTCGACGCAGCTCGATCGTAATGGCTCTCTCTGTCAACAATATCTACCATCCTTGGCGGGAATTTTCTCACCGGAAATGTCGGCATAGCATTTCACTTGATGCGTATAGGATGACTTGGCCTCACACGTTACATCATATGGAGGCGTACAACAGTGGTCCAAAAAACCACAATTTCTACAGTCATTCTCCGCTATTTGCATTGCCATGTTTGCCAAATCCAAAAATCGAGAAAAGGAGTGGCCAAGGAATACGGGGACTGGGCAGTGCCTGACAATGGACGGACATTCCCGTGATGAGCGCGCTGGTCTTGAGCACCCCGGCTCTTACGACCCCTGCAGACACGACATCCCCGGTCTCAGTAGGGCGATCTGACCAATCACACCTCATGATTCTCGTGGTTCGGCAATCACGGCACATTCAAGGTATTCCCAAGACATGAGCCAAGCAAACATATACGCCAGAAGCCTTACCCAGCCAAGACTGCGGCACGGACGGCGAAACCGATCAGGCTTAAAGATTATGCTTGCCCGAATATACTTTTCGCAGCAGACTCTGGCATTGTGAGCGACGTTACATTCGGGATCACGATCCGTTTTTGCAGGTGATGGACTGAGAGATGAGTTCGTTAAGACGTCCTTGGTGGAGCTTGTCGGGATCAGAGGAAGATGTACATCCTAGAGCGCAAGAAGGCTACAGTACCTAATTGGTTGACGAGAATAACTTGTGTTAGATAGTTACATCTGACGTACTGCATACATGGAGGAGCATTCCTCTGTCCCGTTGATATCCGTTACGTACTCTCATATCTTCAAGTTATTTGACTGTGCAAAATTGGTGGTCACGCGAGTACCTCCTGAGCGCGGCCACTAGTTGGTGCTAATCCTTGTCATGTTGGTCACTGTAGTGTTCTTGCGATGCAGGACATGGTGAAGAGTTTGCCGACCTAGGCAAGGGGGTGCTGCTAGTGGTCGAGGGCATCAGACGATTGCAACGTCAATGCCCTTGACAATCCCACGAGAGCCACCATATTGACTTGCAACTGTCCACAAACATCACGAGAGAGGATGGAACCTACTTGGCAGCCGGCAATGCTGACAGTACTAGGACTATACCCTTGCAGTTGAAGTAGACACCCGGTTGCTGGGAGAATGATAGATATAAAGCAAGGACAGCATGCAACTGGTGCAGATGGCTAAAGAATGAGGTCCCCAGAGCATAGTTAGGAATACAGGTGCTCCCGTTCTACACTGAGTTCGAAATATTGTGCCGATTCGGCCATCACATTCCTTCACGACTAGATTCCAATGCTTGTTCCCGCACAGCCGTGGCTGTCGGCCGCCCTGGGCGCCTCGGCACTCTTCGCTCGACCAGGCAGCGCAATTCGCCTGTCCTCCGCTCCATCCTACAGCGGCCGCGAGGTCTGCCCTGATCGATGCAGCGATGCTGGACCCAACGTCAACGACTGGTCTCTGTACCCAGACATGAAGAAGATGAGCAGATGCTCCCAGAGTCTCTTCTTCCGGTTCTCCCTGGACGATCCTGTGGATGACAATATTGCTGGTACCCACCACATCAAAGCATGTTCGTCATACGGGCCAGACTTTACGACAATGCCGAAGGAGGACTTGGACCTGATGGCCGTTGAAGAGTCACAAGATGTGAACTTTGAGGTTGGTTGGTGGGAGTCGGCCTACAACGGTGCTGCCGGCGGCCAGAGGTCTCTACTCAAGCAAGCACGCACATACCTTGACGCTGGCCACGGCTCGTATGCTGATCGCCCCTTCACCTTGTTCGGCCAGTCTGGCCAGGCAACCATGGGCCTCTACATCGGTCACGGTCTCCTCAACAAGGGCATCAGTACGTCTGCGCTCAAATCACTTGAGGACAAACTCATCACCTGGAACGTGACGACCCCAGCCATGGCGATGCAGCTCTGCGAGCCCGACTATGGGAGTGCCCACACCTTCGGCATCATGATGGCTAGTAACGGCACGTTCAGCCAAATCCAGGATGCCATGAAGACGTGGTACAACGGCTCATGCTTGTCCTTTGCCTCCGGCTTCACCGACACGGTCGCAGGCGAGGCCCAACTCACTATGCCTCTGCTTGCTTCCAGTATCCTGCCCAGCAACAACGGCACCAACAGCACCGGCATCTTCAACTCGACTCTACCAGCACGCATGCTATCTGGTCGCGACATCCATGCCCGGGCGGACTGCCGCACAGTCCAGGTCGAGTCTGGTGACAGCTGTGGTGTTCTTGCCACGAAATGCGCAATCACGCCAGCTGAATTCACCAAGATAAACCCGGCATCCGACTTTTGTGCCAAGCTCATGCCGAAGCAGCACGTGTGCTGCACGACGGGGACCATGCCGAACTTTGCTCCCAAGCCAAAGCCTGACGGGTCCTGTTTCGACTATGAAGTGATAGAAAACGACAATTGTGACAACCTCGCGGCCGAGTACAGTCTGACACGCCAGGATCTTGAGGACTTCAACAAGAAGACGTGGGGGTGGAACGGATGCAAGCTCTTGTTCACAGGCACAAAGATGTGTCTAAGCAAGGGCTCACCACCTTTCCCAGCGGTGATCCCCAATGCTGCCTGTGGCCCGCAAAAGCCGGACACGGAGCCACCGACCGACGGAACGAACATTGCCGACTTGAACCCTTGTCCACTGAATGCCTGCTGCAATATTGTAAGTATCCTCAACCTTTGATAGATAGCCATGATCACTGACACCGCGCCTCATCGTCCAGTGGGGCCAATGTGGCATCACCAGGGACTTCTGCGTCGATACCAACACTGGTGCCCCTGGGACCGCCGAGCCGGGCACGTACGGCTGTATTTCCAACTGTGGCACGGACGTCGTCAAGGGTGACGGAGCTGGCGACATCCGTATCGGTTACTTTGAAGGCTATGCCCTTGGCCGTCAGTGTCTGTACCAGGACGCGTCGCAGATTGATGCGGCCGCCTACACGCACTTGCACTTTGGGTTCGGCCTGCTATCGCCCACCTTCGAGGTCGAGGTAGGGGACATCCTCTCGACTTACCAGTTCGCCCAATTCAAACGTGTCAAGGGCCCTAAGAAGATCCTCTCGTTCGGCGGCTGGGACTTCTCCACTTTCCCGGACACATACTGGATTTTCCGCGAGGCGGTTACACCGGCAAACCGGAACAAAGTCGCTCAGAACATTGCCAACTTTATCATCAAGCACGAGCTCGATGGTGTAGACATCGACTGGGAGTACCCTGGTGCGCCAGACATGCCAAACATCCCACCGGGAGGTAAGGACGAAGGTGTCAACTATCTCAAGTTCCTTACGATCCTTAAGGGAATGTTGCCCGGCAAGACGGTCTCGATTGCAGCACCCTCGTCCTTCTGGTATCTCAAGCAGTACCCTATAAAGGAGATTGGCAAGGTTGTCGATTATATTGTTTATATGACCTATGACCTGCATGGACAATGGGACACCGACAATGAGCACTCGCAGGAAGGGTGTGAGCTAGGCAACTGTCTGCGCAGCCAGGTCAACCTGACTGAAACGAAGCAGTCGCTCGCCATGATCACCAAGGCAGGCGTCCCCGGCCGTAAAGTCATTGTCGGTGTCACGAGCTATGGCCGTTCCTTCAAAATGGCCCAGCCGGGTTGCTGGGGTCCAGACTGCTTCTACCTCGGCAGCCCCGTCGAATCTTTCGCAAAGAAGGGCGTGTGTACTGGCACAGCTGGCTACATTGCTGACGCCGAGATTGACGAGATCCGAACTGATAAGCGGCGCGCGGGCCGAGTCACGGCGAGCTTTGTTGACGCCAGCAGCAACAGCGACGTCCTGGTGTACGACGATACCGAATGGGTTGCTTACATGAGCCCGGCGACCAAGAGGACGCGCGCCTCGCTGTATGCGGCTTGGGGCATGGGAGGCACGACCGACTGGGCGACCGACCTGCAGCAATATCACGATGTGCCCAAGCCGGCTACCAGCTGGGCACAGTTTAAGCAAATGGCTCTGAGCGGGCAAGACCCCAAGGCTGATCTGTCCCGTGATGACGAGTGGGTCAAGCTCGACTGCTCGCATGAGCTCGTCCGCGACGAGTCGTTCAAAGACGTTGGCACGCTGTGGAAGGGCCTCAATGCGGACGCTGCGTGGAAGGACATCAAGCGAATCTGGAAGGACAATGACGAGCCAGCCGGCCTGAACTTTATCGAGTCTGTCAAAGGCAATCTCAAGATTGAGGCTGGTGGCTCCTCCTGCAACAGAATCGTAGGCGACAACTGCAACACCGACGGGTGCAGCAAGGGGATGGATGGGCAGTACTCGGGTCCGGCCGCGATGCTCATCTGGAACTCGCTCGTCACCATCCGCGACATGCACAAGGCGTTCTACGATGCGCTGTATCAGAACGCGGCGACGTTTGCCACGTCCCTCCGTGACCTCGAGAACATCTTCGCACCCATCCCTCCTGAGCAGGACAACACCTGGCTCTTGCTGCTCCTCGATCTTGTTACCCTGGGCACTCTCGCCGCGGCTGGTCCATTCTTCAACAACTTCCTCAAGCAGCTGCCCAAATTTGCTGGCACCCTTGGTGACAACCTCAAGGACACCACAATGACCCTTGTGGGCCAGTCAACCACCATCGCCAAGGACGTCCTGCCAAGTCCCAAGGAACACGACTGGAAGGTCGAGGACCAGGACAAGTTCTCCAACTACATGGGCCAAGTCATTGATGGCTGGACAAACGCGACCTCTCTGGCTCTCGGCGAGCTCATGAGTGGCAAGCCCAAAGCCCTCGAGAGACTCGACAAGGCTCTCGCCGGCGGCAACCTGTACCCGAAGGCGGTCGAGGCCACCGGCGACGACAATGAGCTGATGCGGAACATACGCAAGTCCTTCTTTGGTTACGCGATTCCGGCACTCTGGCACGCCTCTGCTGCTTACCCGTTCATTATCGACTCCGGTTACGGCTGCGATGCCCGCAACCCAATCTCAGACTATGTCGATGAGGAGACTCAGGAGAAGACAGGCTGGTGCGACAAAGGGACCAACAGGCTGTACTACCTCGTCAGCCCCGAGGGTGAGGCATACGACTGCGGCGATGGCGGTTGTCTCAAGCGCAAGTTCTCCGCGCCGAAGGGCGTCGACAGCCTGGGCGACCGGTTTGGCGGCTTGACCAAGGACGACATCATCAAGGGTTCCGTGCGCACGTACCGCCACAGCGGTGACAAGAACAACGGTGGCCTCAACTTTGCCAACACGGACGACCCGACCACCATCAGCGACCTCCTGGCCGTCGACGTCACCACCCCGGGCTTCATCCGGCTGCCCGTGTGCTCTCCCGAGCGCGCGTTCCAGTCCTGGGACACCTCCCCCAAGAAGGGCGCCTCGCCCAACTACCCCTGTGACAACCCGCCCGGCCGTGACTACTGCCGCGACTCGACGTTTGAGGACCAGACGAGCGGCGCGTCCCCCCTCGCGAGCGACTGCAGGCAGATTATCCGCAACATCGAGGGTGACGGCAAGACGTCGTGGACGATCCAGGTCGCCGGCCTCCGACAGCGCGAGATTGTCAAGTATGGCGGCTGCGCACTCGGCGTCGAGGCCACTGTCGCCAACGGCAATGTCGACTTCGAGGTCGGTGGGCAGGACGTCATTGATCTTCTCAACGACGCGATCAAGAAGTTTGAGAACAGGGATGGCAAGATCGGCGCCAAGGGCACTATGAAGTGCAACGGCAACATCAAGGACCAGAATGTCAAGTGGGGTATATACTAGGCGGTGGACTTGGGCGGCCTAGCCTTGCGATGAAGTTGAATGGAAGTGGAGGAAAGGGAGGAAGTGGAGGGGAATATGGTTGATTTGATCTGATTCTTTCCACTGTGTATATTTCTGATGCAAGTGTAGGCAATTTCGGAGCTTTCCCCTGGGCCGAAACTCTCGCCGCTTCGAAGCTTGGGATCATGTAGTTTCTGAAACCGCCTGTCTGAAAAACAAGACGTCGGTCCGTCTGTTCCGGCTCTATTTGGTTCGGTAAATACCGCGACGACATACGTGCCAAAGCTCATTACAGAATGTTTCTTCAGTAGTACCATGCGATGAAAACAGAGCCATAGGAAGCTTCAGTGAGACCAAGAGAGTGCAAGTAGAAATGCACAGCCAAAGGTGCTATTCCGGTACATGAGATATAGAAACGTGTAGGGATCTCACATCGACCAGATAAGTTAGGTAGATAAGATTCGCAGGCTGGGTCGTGTTACTGCAAGACTAGTTCATGAGGGGGAAAAGCTGTCTGGCTTCCTCCTCATGATCCGGCGTTTAGGGGACAAGTGGTTGATAGAATTATTGGCGTCGACTAGTTCTTTCATCGTTCGAACACATTGATTCCACTTATCATGACAGCTCATATGTTGCTTACAGATCAGAAGCTCTTTCGCTTAAGACAGGGCTACAAAAGCGAACACTATATGGAAGATCTGCGATTCAACGATCTACCATAACTGCCGCCTTGACCATCTCAAAAGGGAGGGAAGTTGAACTGTTCGCCGTCCTGGCCTTGTCTCCCACAGTTGCCGCCACTCGCAGCGACGCAAAGCCAATGCGCCAGATCTTCGGCGCACTTGAACTTTGTCGTGCTCTCATTGGCCTTGAACGCGGTCTGCCGCGGATCCTCCGGGACCATCGCATTGGGGCCAGTTTGCTGCTCCCCGGCGCCGGGGTACATGCGGTAATGAAAGACAAAGCGACATTTCCAGCATCGTGACATCTCCTGGAACATGACACGACTGCCATCGGAGGCGGCGTAGAAAGACCGCCCCAACTCCTGCCTGTGGTTGTAGCCAGTCTTCAGCGGCAGTGGTGTGCCCCCAGGTTTCCCCTCGTCGCTAGGCGCGCCGACCGCGTCATACATGTTTCTGCAAAGCTCAGTGTATTCATCATTGCTGAGCTGCGACTCTTTCGCCCGGCCCATGTAGGTTTTACCCGACTGGACGTTGTACCAATTGGTAACGAAATCAAAGCGGTCCGCGACGTCCTGACACAGGGAGCCGTGGGCGCCATGCCGCTGCCAAACCTGCATGTCATTGACGTCGCCGAAGCGGGCAGTCCTCCGAACGTCGAAGGCGTCCTGCATGTTGCCTAGCTTTCCGAAGACGTCTGCAGAGCAGGCTGAGTGGCGATGCTCCGCGCAGATGAAGATGACTCTGGGTAAGCCGACAAGCGGCATCTTTGCGCCTGTCCGGTGGAGTCCGACTATGCTGGACTGTAGCATCCTCGCCTTGATGTCATCCAGGTTGGCACCTGGTCCTAGCTTCAGGATGGTGGCATTGACAAGAAGCTCCAACGGCTGGTTGTTCGGAATCAACCATTTGTCGCCTCCTGGCCCTTGTAGCGGGATGGGTTGGAGGTAGTTCTCCCCGAGGCGATATAGATCGACCATAAGCCCAAGGGACTCCCTGAGAAGGGGCGTCAAGGCCGCCATCCCCTCCGGGTTTTGGAACTTCGGGTGGGCTCTGAATCTTCTCCGAAAGGTGTAGGATGCTCCCAGGCAGTATCGGAGAAGCAGGCGAAGCCTATCTCTGATATCGTTCTGGACAGGATCGAGTGGGTCGAGGTCGAGGGCGACCAGGTCACGGGCGATCATCCGCCAGTTTCTAGTGGCAGCAATAACCCAAGGAAGGCGTGCCTTGTATGCGTGAGAGTTTTCTCCATTCATAAACATGAAATCATAGTTACTGTCGACAAGGGAGTCGGCCGGCATGGTGTAGTTGGTGCCCATGGTGATGGTGTCACTCGAGACGAAGGCACTGAAGTGCAAGAATGTCCTGTCGACGCAATCTTCCGGTCGGTCGTTGTCAACAGCAACTTGTCGCAATATATACGTACGAGGCTTCGAACAGGGAGTAGAGTGATTCACATGTAGATTGCCCACAGTGGAACATGTGCTTAGGCTCTAACAACATGGCCCCGAGTGGCTGGCTGAACAGGGTGAAAGCGTGCCGCTCTTTCTATCTGGTTACGAGGCCGCAGGACACGAGTAGCAGCCGAGCTAGACGGTGGCTGGCTAAGTGCGCAGATGTAGCAACCTCTAGTTACGCCGATCCAGACGCTGTCTGATCCCGAACCAGCCCTATAGGGGTTTAAACTGCGCGCTTGGGGTACTGATTAGGATTCATAGCCAGTATTGTAGTGCATATGCAGAGGCGGTGTTGTGAACCACTTCATCAGGGTGTAGGTTACGAAATCCTGCAATACCTGTAAAAGCTCGTACGAGAGGGGGTGTGTGTAGTCACATAGGCTTGACATTATGTGCACATGACGTGTCAGACGCCTGAACCTTCGGTCTGCCACCTCAGGGGGCCGTGCCGCTGCATGGTCCAAGACTAACGCTCTATCGGACTCATCAAACGTCCCGCACGACATATCTCGACCCATACTTAGGCGGCAGCCGGCGCACCGCGTCCCGCATTGGCGATGGCGGTATTTACAGATCCTTCCTCAGCAAGCCACGGGGTGAGCCAGGCGGGGAATGTGGAGCTCAAGGCGAAAGGACTGAACAGAGCGTGGTCCTCGCTTACGCGCCAGATCTCGTCAATACTCCGAAAGATAGGCATGGCCTTGAACAGCACGCGGCCGTTCTGCGGCGACGGGAGGTGATCCCAAGGATTGCACCTCTCATCTAGAGGAATCTGCACACCCAGCTCGTCTTCCGTCGAGGTTGTCATGACAAGCCAGACGCCTTTCTTGACGACATCTAGGTAGACGAAGAATGGCGCCTTCTCGAGCGACTCCAAGTCGACGGATTCCATGGAGCGACTGTGGAAGACGTATGACAAGACCCCAAGGCGGAATCCATACTGGAAAGGGGGCTTGGAGCCACTGATACTGCGCATCTCAACCACACTGTCGTGCTCAACTGCGCCACCACGCAGGTCGTTGCGCACATCCTGCAGCGGCAGGTCAAGCTCGAGATAATAGCGGTAAGAGTTATCCTGACCGAGGTACTTGGGGCTGGAGATGCCGGTGCGATCCCCTGGGCCGTAGACTTTACGTTCAAAGTCGGCGATCGAAGAGGGACTAGCCCAATCCACAGCGACTAATACTGTTTGGACCTGGTCGTTGCTCAGGGGCTCGACCCTCTGGACTGCCCTGTGCGTGTTCCACAGAGTCCAATCGCTGAGCCACTTGAGGAACGCCTCCTGCTCTTCGGGCTTCAACGTCTCAAGGGCGACCTGCAGGGTGGCCTCTGTGTTTTGAGAGAGAGTACTGTCAGCGCTGCAGGGTAGTGAACATGGATGTGCTCTCTTGCTTCGGCTGGTGAGCGGAGTCAACCTACCAGAATCCGTGGGATCCTTTTCGATCGCCTGCTGGATGACGAGGAACTTTGGATCAGGCGGCACAGGGCCCAAAGTGGAAGATCGCGGATCGGCCATGAGGGACGATGGAGCAGTGAAGTTCGATAGCGGGAGGGAAGAGGAATTCAGTGGGGCGGCCGGCGCGCTGTGGTGCGGCTTCTTGGGTTGGAGATGGCCGTGTTCGTTGTTTCGCACATCTTTTTATAGACAGTGGGTAGACGGTCATGGACCGAAACCAGAGCTAGAGGACCCAAACCACTCCGTACCACATGGCAGACGTACTCGCTGCGATTCCCGCTTGCTTACCCACCGAGCACTCAATTCGAGCCGTGCTGTAAGACTCCCAGACCGAGACTCGTTGACCGCCGAGCCAAAGCGGCCATGGCCATGCCCGTGGCTGGCTGAAGATGCCCAGGCCAGTCGATTGCAGGATACCTCCGAAGAGTTGCTGTTCAGCAGCGTCGGGGGAGCGCCCCATGCAGGTCCCCCGCGTTGTCCCGCGGGTATCTGCTGCATGATTTGACTTGCCTAGTGCTCCACAGCGGCACGGGACGCCTCTCAGGCATCACGGGCTCAGCCGATGTGGAGTCACTAATCATGGATTTCGGCGTTGCCTAGTTGAAATCTGGAGTAGGGCCACTCAGGAATGCATCATGGTCGGAGTGGCTCACCAGTCAGTAGCACGGGCTCGGTCAATGGTCTGCAGGACCCAGCAGAGAACAGCCAGAAACCGCTAGAGTTATGATCTAGTGGCGGGCTGATGCTGCGATTGTCAATATCTCCATCACAAGATAAGTGCGTCGGAGGCGCTGTGGTGGTCGGGTTTGCCGGTTCACCGGCCATGCTTGGTTGTTTTGCTGCTGCTCAACAATCTTCAGTAGTGTCCTTGTCGCTGATCGGTGGCTGTTCATTGTAAGCTGAATTGGCAGGAATGGCAAGTGATTAGCGCAAGACCCCGCACGACCGACAACGAACCGTAGATTTGTTACTGTTCTGGGATGACAAGCCTTCACAAGCGAACATGTCTCACGGTCTGGACCTCGTGACTTTTGGGCATGGAAAAATGGTGCTTTCGAGTCTTTTGACTTCAAGGCATGTCTTCTTAGCAGATTGATCACGAGCCTGTAAGTCCTCGAGCATATAAACCTACTCAAGTCCCTGGGTTTTCCATGTCATTCCCAACTCATCACCACAACAATCCACACTCTTATACTACCAGTTGCCTTTCCGTTAAACATTAATCTTTGATTCCTTGGTTCTCCACAGCTCAATTCACTATCCAAAATGTCTCAAGTCACTATCCTCGTCAAAAACAACTCTGGCGCCAGCCACAGTTACTTCCTCTTCGTCAAGGCCCCAGAGGTCAGCGGGGGGTCCAGGTCTTCTCCAACGTCTATATCGCCGCTCCCCCTACCCCCTCCGGCAATGGCACGGCCAAGTTCATTGCCAAGAAGGACTACTTCGCTGTCTGCGGTACCAACCCAGGTCAGCAGCTACGCAAGAATGTCCAGGTCACCACCGGCGACTGGGGCATCGCCAAGCTCAACCAGGGGGGCAAACTCGGCAGCAGCTTCACCATGACCGGTGCGGACGGCGGTGCAGCCTTTGACGGAGCGCTCCTCAAGCAGGCTTGTTCGCAGCCTGGTTCTTTCTCCATTGAGTCGACCAACTTTCTGTTCGGCAACGGTTGTAAGTGTTCACTGACCCTTTCCTATCCAAATCTCAGAGAAACTTTGCTGACGTCTCTCGCAACAGCCAATCAGTTCGTTGGTCTCGGTGCTCAGGACCCCATGGACGCGACCAACATCGTCCCCGTCGCGACTTTCCTGGCCCAGCCCAACACCACCTCGTACATCCGGCCACGCAACCAGTACTACATCTCCTGGGGCACCTACGTCGCCGGCGAGATCATCGATGTCACTACCATCGCGGAGCCCTGCGAGATCGACTTCACAGGCAAGGCTGCCACGCTGGCCAAGGTTGAGCACCGCCTCGATGGCACCTGGGCCATCACGTTCAACTAGATTGTCTCTCGACCCACCCGCGATAGCAGTGAGAAGTTATCGTACTGGTTGAAAGGAAACCATGAGGTGGTGCATGTGGAGATAAGGGAAGCTGGGGGCTGAGCATCACTCGCAACTATATTCATGTGGTACAAAGTAGCCCATGCCCATAGTCATCATCAAGACTATTCCGGTCCTCAAGACGAGCGGATGTGCAGATAGTGCTGCAGTAGTCGCGGTGACCCGAACAGCCCGTGTAACGTGATTAAAGGTTTCATCACCGGATTGTCATTGCCAGATTATGAAGCGCCCATTCGGCGAGTTCCCCTGGCATCCCTAGACATGCTGGTAAATTGAGTGAGGCGGGCAGGACTGTGATGTCCCAGCCTAGTACTAGCTCATGCAGCTTTCAGCTGAGCCCGGACCTTTGTGGCTTGAAGAAGTTCGTGCGCGGCCCCTGTAGAGGTCAGGCGGCTCGAATCCCTCAGCGTACGAGGTGAAAGTCGACGTTGACATAAGAAGGCGAGCACCCGCCAGCACCGCTATCAATCCCTTCGGTACCTTGCAAAGCCGGCTTCCCTGGATGTATCCGGCGTCACATGCGATGATGCTTGAGTAGCCATCCTCGCCACCAACCTTGACAATGTTGCTGCACCGGCGCATCTCGATACGTAACAAGTCTGGCACGCCACACGCATACTACCTCGTCCCTGCGGACCCTAGTCCCAAGACATCAACCAACGGCCTCACAAGCACGACTTGTGTCTTCCAGGCATCACTAAAAGTCGCCTCGCCAAATGGAAGCGCCGTGTTCTCGGTCCCACGAAATGTCCTTGCCGTGTGCGGCACGGCTCGCACCGACATGAAACCTGGAGCGCAGCTTTTCGCGTCCGACTGGGCTGTGCCGAAGCTTGCCACGCCCAGGGACAAGGGATCCAATCTCGCTGTTGCGCTGGCGTCAGGAGAGGAGCCCTCATTCAAACCCGAGTCGGAAGAGACGACCGTGGACGGTGACGGCCTCTGGGCCACGGAAATCATGACTGGGGGTACGGGAGGAAACCCGGGTACGTTCCTTTTGAGTATGGCGGCTTCTGGGTGATCCTCGCTAGGCACGCCAGCTAACACGGTGCGCACTGGCCAGGGACGCCCTTTGTGGGGTACGGCTTTCCCAACCCGCATAACGCCAATGAGGTCCTGCCCGCAGCCGTCTGGCAGGCGAGGCCAGGCGCGGCGTACACGTTTCACTGTGAGCAGAAGTGGCATGTTGTGTCCGGGGTTGCAGAAGCACACGACGTTGCTTTCGGTGAAGAGGTAGGCAAGGGCCATCTTGTCACGTTCGAGGACACGCAGGCAAGCGAAGCCGAGGTCATCCACGACACCCAGAACGGCTTTACGGTTCGATATTTATGAGAGGTAGTATAGCCTCGTTGTATCTTTTTTGTCAGTCTATGATAATATATGTAGGAAGAAGAAGAAGAATCGGGCGCCATTTATGCACATTGACCTGATTTGGTGTGTTCCTAGCACCCTTCTTACAGTGAGCAATGCAATTTCGCGTGGGATGTACAGAGGAGGTGAAAAGAGCTGGCGCGTTAGAGTCCGCCACACTACCCTTCCCCAATCTGAGGATAACCCAAGCCGGAGGCCCCATAGGAGTGTTCCAGGTATTGCGGCAAAAACACAGCTAGAGCAGCACTTTGGAACCCCCGTCTCGTCAGACCCACACAGCCTGGCGACTCTTGTCGTCTCTAGTACGCCAACATAGCAGCAGCAACGGCTGCAACAACAGCGATCATCTTGGCGGCACCGACCTTCTCCGCACCGCCAACGGGGATGCTCGTCGTCGGGGCCGGCGTGCCACTCGGGGTAATGGAGGGAGTGGTTGTGTTTGCGGGCGCCGCGCCCAGGGACTCGCCCGTCTTGGCGTTCTTGTCGGCCTTGACGCAGTTGAACTGGATGTGGTCGTCGTCGATCTCGGCGTTGTTGTCCGAAGGGCCCCAGACAAAGATGAAGGGCCAGGTCTTGTCTCTGAAGTCGTGCCACGCCTGGTTGTTGACGTTGTAGCTCCATGCGAAGCGGGATTCCTCGGTGAAGCTGGCGTTTGTGTTGATTGCTGTAATCGAGGATCATCAGTAAGTAAAATGCCTTCGAACCAAAGCGAACGACATAAGATTGAGCAACAATGAGAGGTAACTCACGCCTGTAAAGAGCGCTGGTAAACCCAGTGCAGCTCTCGGGAACGTCGATCGCATAGCTGACGCGGTTGCCTTTGATTTCCTCCCTGAAATCCTCGCGGCACTGTTTTGAGAAGACGCTGTCTGGGCAGCTTCCGTCCCCCAAGTCGTTGCCCTCGGTGGTTTTGGGAAACTCCATGATGTTGAAGCCGACCACCTTCAGGAACCACGTCCCAGCAACGTCGTCCTTGACCAGCCAGTCGCCCGTCTCGGCGTCCCATAGTGAACCCTCGGCCGGTGGCGACGGCGGACTCAGCCTTGTCACAAAGTAGTTGCCCGCGGGCTGGCCGGCGTCCTCGGTCATGTTGATCTGAAGAGACCAGCTGGCGTCGTTGCCGGCGTCGTCCCATTCTCCCGGGAAAGCCTTGTCGAGGCGGAAGCCTTTGACTGGGACTTTGCCGGTGAGGTCGGGTGCAATCTCGTTGAGTGAAGAAGGCTCATTGGCGCGAGCCTGATGAGCCATAGCGGGTGACATGAGCCTGGCGACGGCGGCCGCAATCGCCAGGTTGCGAATTCGGGAAGCCTGAGCGGAGTACCTCTTTACCGAGAGATAATAGATCGTTTTTCGTCTGACTCGAATCTTTAGCACTGATACACAACGAGTGTTGAAGTAGGGTTGTCAAAGTCACTGATCCAAAAGCAGTATGATCATGTCGATCAACGTCAAGAACCAGCACAGTTAAATACCCCGCGATCCAGCGATGCCATCAGGACGAAGTGCATGTCTTTAACTTTAGGTAGCAGAGTTTTTCCCTGCGAGTGAGATCATGCCAAGAGCGTCATGGCACAGCTTGACGGCTATGCGGCTACGCAGACAGGGTGGGTTCCACATAGTCAGGGGTTGTGCAGTCCCAGAGGCCTTATCGTACCCCCTGTAATGTCGACCATATCGGCCCTAGACCGCTATGATTCATTTGCTATATAGAAATGGGAAAGGGCAAGCCGTCTTGTATTCGTTACAGAAGAGCGATGACATCGCAGATCATATGAAAGCGACGCTTTTGGTGTCATCTAACCCCAGGCCGAAGTGGCGCCTGAGGCCTCCGAACTGATAGTGCGAGCCGCAAAACCTGGCATCCTACAGGATTCACTTCCTTTACGCAACAGGCTTGATTATCGTAGGCAGTTAAAAGGTTGTAATTATTACAGTGAGGATAATTGGCCACTCGGTCTGAATTGTCATCAAAAGTTTAACCGTCAGACGTTTCGCCAACTTCCGCGGGAGACGAACCATCGCAGGGCAGAAGGGCAGGGATGATTTACATGCGTTCCTGGCCTGACCAGTGTGAATTCAGAGCAGTGAATATTCAAGCCAGGGGACTAAACTCAAGATTGCAAAGTCAAACAGAAAGTTAGATGAGCCCAACGCACGCCCATGTGTCGGCCCGCATGCCCACGTAGTTGGATCCGACAGCAGGATTCCACTTGATGAAATTAGCGACAGTCATCCCCCGAGCGGCGGCAATAGTGCTGTTCGCATTCCCCCTCCTCACCAGGTAGAAGCTTTGACAATTTCTTACCATCCCGGACTGGACAGGCGTTGGGTGGCGACGCCATTGCCTGCCAGCTGGGTCGCCGTCTGGGTTCGGTGGGTTGATGGTGACGGATCTGCCCTCCTTGTTGCCGCTGAAAGCATAAGCGCCTGCCCATAAGTCAACGCAGTCTTCTCAACGGCCAGTTTCCGGATGTATTCGAGAACGTGCTGATGTCCCCGCAGGGTTTGACGGCATTTGTAAGGGGGCATGGCGCGATTTTCGCTTCTGCGCTATACCTCATTCGGCGCTACGAGATATCGGTCGCTAAACTGTTCGTCTTTACCGATTGCCCTTTCGATTCCAATCTATATGAGTCAAATGATGGTGAATAGCCCCAGCTCATGGAAGCCAGGCAGCCGGCGAAGGTGTGCATCAGAGGCCGGGTAAAGTGGACATGGCACAATATTGGGTTGTATCCCGACGTCACATGACTCCACACGGAAACGACTGAAGTCATTTTGGTTTGCACGTTTTTATACTCGATCTCAAGAATTACATTAGCATGTATGCTAAGAGTCAGCATTGGTAGTGCTCTAGGCGATATGACGCAGCCTCAATGCACCCTGTCGCTAAATTTGCTCATCTCATTGCTTCGAACGCGTTTCTCTAACAATGCCTCCGAGAGAGGTTCAAGCCCGACACATCTTACCGTCTTGGGCCACAGTCCAGGCCTCACTTCCAACGCCTTTGAGAACGTAGAACAGGTTCTGAGGATCCCACTTCTTCTTGACTGACAACAATCTCTGGTAGTTTGAGCCATAAAATTGCTGTTGCCAATTTGGCTGTCTGAAATCTGCCTCGTTCATATAAGAGCCGCTACCCGATGTGATAGCCTCGATTTGAGGCATGAAAACTTCGGTGATCCTTCTTTGATCTGCCTGGGAATTCTCCTGAGATCCGGAAGCATTCCAGTTGGAGATGATCTGAAGCTGGATAAGGGTATCACGCCAAGCTGGCAGGACGGAATTGGCGGGTGTGTTGGGCAGCTGTTTGTAGGAGCCAGCACTTCCGGCGAGGAGTAGTCCTTGAGATGTGATGTTGGCCAGAACATCCTGGAGGGCATCGTTATTCTGCTCGACGACGCTGCGAGGAATCAGACGACCTCCAAATTGATATCTTTGCACCTCGAATGAACCTTGGGGTAAGGGACCAAGGTATCGTGCAAAGTGGTCGCGGTATGGGAGTGTGCTGTAAGCAACAGGAAGCTGTATGCCCTTTGAGGTGACATAGTCGGTAAAAGGCTTCAGTATGACGTCTTGGACATAAGCTGCTGTCTTGTTCCATGCGGTGAGAGGCTTGAGGACCAAGTAATTCTTGGTAGCAATATACACCACCATTGCCCCATTGTCGACCATCGCCGGTAGCTCGGCGTGGAACTTGGCGACGATGTCCTGGAAGATTTGTGGAGTTGTGGAAGAAGCAAGAAGCTGGAATGCGGCACCGCCAACATCGCTGGCCGGATAAGCCTTGACGACCATGCTCGTGACCACACCAAAAGTGCCGCCGCCACCACCACTGAGAGCCCAATAGAGGTCTTTGTTAAGGTCGGGCGTAGCAATGACCTTTCTGCCATCCGCAACAACAACTTCATATGCCAATGTCTGGTCAGCACCAAGTCCGAACTGCGTGCTCAAAGTGGAGTGCCCGCCACCCTGGGTGAAGCCGCCCGCCAGTCCGACAGTAGCACATTCACCAGAGACCACAGTAAGTCCTTGCGCGTGTGCAGCTTCGAGAATCTCGTATCCGATAACGCCTGCTCCCACACGTACAGCGCGGCCGGTATATGCGGGTTCCTTCCAATCAACAAATTCGATGTTCTTCAAGCCCTGGGTCCAGATGGCAAGCCCACCTGCACCTGTTGAGCGACCGAGGAAACTATGAAAAAAGAAAAAAAAAGAAAAGAATCAGTACTCTGTGGCTTTCAATGGGTTTTCAAAAACGTGACAGCACATAGCAATACTTACTCATGACCAGTGTTGCGAATCACTGGGCGGATATTGTGTTTTTTAGCGAACAAGAGGGCGGCGGCAACATCCGATGGCTTCGTGACCTTGACTGCGTAGCTGACGTGGTTGCCAAGTGTGCATGGCGTGCTCTTGTCGGAGAAGGGATTGCAGGTTTGATTGGTGAAATAGGCCTGCATGATTGACGACGAAGACGAGACGCTGTGCGCGCGTTGACGACCTGAGATTAGCTTCATGGAGTTGGAAATGACGCTTTCCAATTACACACGCCATTGATTTGGGGCACTGGCAAACTTACTGAGTCAATGGATTATACCACTTCTGCTGTAGAGCGGTGCAAGCCGCCTCATCGTAGTTGGGATCGTGGCATGGGTGACCAATGGGAATCGTCTCCACCAGCGCTCCGCCGACAGTGGCGTTCAAGGCTGACCAGGTCTCCGGCACTGGCCAGCACGGCTCCCCAGGGAGACATAGGCACTGGGAGGAAGGAATCCCATGCGGCAGAACGCCTTCGGGACCAAGGGCGGCCAGGCAGGCCAAAGGATATGATGGTCGCATCGTGATTTTCCCTTGTGAGTGGCAAAGGAACGAACAGAGAGAAAGGAAGACAGAGAGAATGGTTTGTCAGCGAAAGACTTTGAAGAAGCGCTGGGAACAGATACCGTGCGCTAGAAGATGCAGACGAACATGTAATGCAAAGGTGCGCGAGGCGCATCTTAAAAACAAAGGAGCTGTAGCGACAGTCATCAGGAGGGATGGCCCGGAGCAGCACAGGGATGAAGATGGATGGACGACAAGGATGAATGCACATACGACTCCACCTACCGGCCGTGATTCCCGAAATCGTTAGGACCCTGAGATCACAAAGCCGTAGAAAATACTCCGACTCCACAGATGCCTGTGAACGATGCATGATGCATGATCCCTGCATGCTCGACGCCAGGTCTTTTAACAATCGCTGTTGCTACCTGTGCGATGTAGAGGGTCTGGTTGGGACCCATGCGACGCTAATCTCTAGTTCCGCCGCGTGGTCAAGTAAATTTCGGATTGATGGCTTATTTCGGCCGAAGTCCCGAGCCTAAGGGAATCGAGCCGACTTGGCTACGGCAGGACAAGGGGCGCTACTGCCGGAAGCTACCCACATCCTGATCTGCCCCCTGGGCCTACGGGGTAAGCATTTGGGAGGCAGAACAATGCTTGCTCGGGGGGCTTTTCGAAGTACAAATCTCGGTAGCCGAGACAGTGCAGAAACTGATCAAGACACCGACTTTGTGCTTCGCACGCTACTGGGTAGTAGACTTGCTTTACCAATAACCTCCCTTTTTGGCTAATATTATACAAAGGAAGATACGCCGTGCCCGCATTGGCAATGCTGCTTGTCGCATAAATGGATTTCCCCCCTGATAGCCCTTCATGTTTTGGAAGCTTTCACTCTGCCTGACGAGAAACAGACAGATTCCCCGAAGAGGCGAGCCATAGCCGCAGTTTGTGGGACATTTCACACCGTTCTGACAGCCCTAATGGGTCTCGTTCGTTTGATGCTTAGCTAGGGCGGAAGCACTAATTTGACAACCCCTCTCGCCGTATCGCCCCTGTCTGCAGTCAAAAGCACCAAGCCGGCTTTACTTTGGAAGACATGTCGACGGAGTGCTTAGGCTTCAACCTCATCAGCAAAGATGTATTGGCAGGCCTTACAAGCCAATCCTTGTGCAACCCCAGATCGGCTGCGCATATAGGTGCTGCCTCGGTGCAGGCTAGTGCAGTATAAAGCGGAGAGGGTACTAAGATGTGGGCCCGGTCTTTCTCACTCGTAAAACAGTGCCGCTGTGAGAAATGGCTGTCGCCGAACCGAAGGCTACACGGTTCTTTTATGCTGATTGCTGACGAATCTCTATTCGTGCTCTTGCTTTCCTAGACGATGTACACGTTGTTTATGCCTCATGACGTTGCGTAGTGCTTGACTGTAATTTGAGTTTGGAGCTGTTTTGAATTTAGAGTTGTTATAGAACAGACGACATCGTTAGTGCAGATAGTCTGCAACATTACAGGGTATAATATCAAGAGGAGACATGTGGGAAACTAAGCTGCCAAAGGATTACCGAGATACGGAGCGCGTGCCCAAGTTCCTCCAAGGAAAACGGAAATGTATCTGGCCGTGTCCTTGCCCGGTTTCACGGTGAAGCAGGCAGTTGGTACACTGAGTTTGAGTCGACAGTGTACGGGCTGATGGTCTCGAGCTCCGGATACCCTCGTACAAGCATCTCGGGCGACGCAGAAGGCACCGGCGTGCCCTCGTGGTGATACATGGCCGGCTGATTGCTTGCTGGATGCAGAAAGCTCGGCCTCTGATGGTCTGGCGTAGGGATAGTCGGCCTTTGCGCTACAATGGTCACCACCTGCTTGTCCTGACCTTGCGAAATGACTCTCCCGTGATCGTCATAAGTCGCGTGGCGGTGGAGAGAGCTCATCTCGTCCAAATCTTGAGCCTTGCTGCGCCACTGTCGGACGTGAAAATACCAGAATAGCAGCGCGAAGAGGGAGAACAGCGCTGGTAGTCCAACCCCCGGCCCTGCTCCTAGCCCTGCTCCTAGCTTCTGGATCATGGCGTCGTGGTCTGCTCTCGAGATGTAGTCCGCTGTTGGTAGCACGATTGTGGGCGTGGCAGTGCTTGTGACTGTTGTAGTCGCAGTGACGAGCGCAGCAACTAGGGCCTTGCCCGGGCTATAGACTTGGTGAGCAAGCGAGTTGTTGAAAATCGCCCCACCGTCGCCACAACAGTCGTGTCCACAGCACCATTGCCCTCCGGTAGCGCTAGATGGATCTGTGTTCCAGCAGTAGTCAATGTAGTATTGGCCATGCGTGTCCGAAGGGTCTGAGGTGTCTGTGGTGTCGAGTCGAGACCTGTTAGCTAACGTCCACTCGGAACGTGGAGGTCCTGAACATTGACTAGTCCGCACGTACCGCAGGGGAAGTTGCACGGCGCCTCCCAGGTCTTGCTTGTGCAGCCTTGAACTGTGTATGCCTGGTTTCCTCCGGCGTTCAGACAGAAGCCGTTGTCCATGCAGAGATCCGTGCCACCGCAACAGTGAGACACGTTGCTACCAGTGGTGATGCATGGCTTCCAGCCCTGGACGACGTTGCCAGCGATATCGTAGCAAGTAGCCATGTCGATCAGTGTTTCGAAGCTTGGTCCGTCGAGTTGTGTGCACTCAACACAGTAGTTATGACTGAGCTCTGGGATTCCCATCCCACAAGATGGGCGAACAGCACACTTATATAAGGGGTCAAGTTGATCGCCTGTGCGTTACGCTACTGCGTGACTTTGACTGAGGCCCTCGCGCACGGGCTTGTGCGACCACACCTCGCATAGCTTATGAGCTGATGGGCCGTCCCTGGGAAACACTGGATGAAGGAGACCACTGCAGTCAGGTTCCTCGTCGTTCAACATGGGGCCTTGCCAAAGAACAGTCTGTTGGCGCCTCACCTGTCCCTGATCCTCATCACAAAAGTCTTTTGCTGGTCTTGACCCTCCGACAGACATGAGATAAGGCTCCCCCAATTCGGGGGCCGTAGTCTGGGACCCCAGCCGCGGGGGCTGCACTCTGATGCTCTGCAGCACGGGACGCCTGAGTCTTCTACATAGCCCCTACACAGCCCTGCTGGTTCAGATTGGTCCTTAGCGCCGGGCATGGCCTCCGGCTTTTCAGGTTGGTGGACGTCTGAACACCACCACCTCTTGCCAGGCATGCCTTCGCAAGGCTGCGGCTGAACGCCACCGGCGCACGCGCCCACATAGGGGGCGATCGCGCGTGCGCGTGCGTGGCCATACAGGTTTATTTGGTCGAAGTATCATGGCCTCTGGTATCGCATGGTAAGTTGATGAGACCTCGAATGTTGATGCACGGATGCTTGGTGTGTCCGTCTATTCAGGAATTCATAGAGATCCCTTGCGTAAGAGAGACTTGACTGCTCGGGCAGCGTTGGAGAACCTTGGCTGACCAACTTCCACATGAGGGAGCATGCAACAACCGCTCCGCAGCCGCAGCTAGCAACCAACAGCACAGACTCCGTAGCGGCAGGTGGGAGCTCTGGGAGCAAAGTTGTGCCCCAGGCTTCCCTTCGACGACAATTGTGGCGTGTGTTCTATGCTGTGTTCTAAAGTTGAGTGCCTAGCTTCCTCCGCTCGCAGCATCCCAGAATCATTGGCTCATGGTGGTCGCCGTTGACTTAAGGAAATGAGATGCCGCCGGCGAGGCAGGAGGACTAATGAAAACTTTCGCTAAAGGAGGCAAGATCGACGTCCCACGATGAACAACTCGACATCATCAATCGGATACAGCGCAGATATTTGAACCCATTCCAGTATATTTTGCCATTTCTCTCTTTTCCTGTCTGCCGCTGTTTACTTGTTGTCTTCTTCCCGACTCGCGTGGCAGCCAAACTTGCTTCTTTATCCTTGAGCACCACTTTTACCGACCGAGCTGGCTCCCTAGGCTGCGGCCCATGGAACTAATGGGGATCTAAAACTCTGAAACACGACAAAGTTGGCATGCGCAATACAAAGTGCAGGCCCTTGCAACTGCTCTGTAGGGACTTGAAGTCGGAAAAGCCAAACGCTCTGCCACTCGCTGGAACGAGATATCCAACAGCACATCCGGGCCTAGGGGACATTACGCGTCATCGCCAAAGTATGTAGACAAGTCGGTCGTACATGGTCCCGTCGGCTTCAGAGGAATTCTCGACGGCGGGGCTCTCACGAGAACTCGCAATAGCCCCATCCTCCAACAGGTGTGCCTTTGCTTCTTCTTTGTCTCCAGGGTCGCTGCCCAGAACAACAGAGAGCTTGTACAGAACACGAGCATAGTCGCCGGCGAGGACGTCCTGGTGGAGCTTCGCAATGGTGAGGGCTTCACGCAGATATTTGCTATAGACGTTTCTCTCAAGTTAGTTCTCGGTCAAACTCTTTTGTTTCACTTCCCATAGATCCAAGAAGTGGCATGGGGCAGAGAGAGACAGAGAGAGAGACAGACGAGATATACAAGCCTGCGAAGACTTGCATGGCAGTCACTCGATCTCCGACATCAAACGCAACGGAGCCAAGCTTATATAAACAAGCTCCACTGAAGTGATGCGTCAGCACCTGGCCTTTCTCGAGCCATATTCCTTCTCGGCATCGGCGCATGCGCGCTCTGGCCGGTATATGTTTCCGAAGACGAAGTAGGTGCTCTCCGCAGCACCGGTGGTACTATCTCAGCAGGCAGGAGGAGACGGACCTCATTGTCTTCGGCAACACCGACTCGGAAGGGATGCGTGCCCGTAGGTGTTCCCCTTTGGGCAGTGAAAGCACGCCATGATGACCTCTACTGATAATGATCATGGCGGGCAGGAGCATTTCATGTGGCGTTCCGGAACCCGCTAGCCGTCGTCGGTTGCGAGCCGCGAGAGAGTATCGAGGTGCGGCTGGTGGCATTCCGCTGATCTGATCGGAGGGGGGCGGCCTATGACCAGAGTGGACGGGTACAGGAACCGCGGCGCATCTCTGTACCTCATATTGTAGAGGTGGTGTCGAAGGGTGTTGGATCGCTGCCTCGTGCAGGAGGAGACCGGTGAGGCATTGGGATCGGATGTGGGCGACGGAAGAGGGCTACCTGCTACGGTACCCGTACTGCTACATTGCTACATTGCTGCATTCGCTGTTTGCTACCTGCACCCCTCGTGCATCGGCAAGGCGCCCGACCCTTTGCTTGCTTGCTTGCCTGCTGCTTCAGGGCTGCTGTCCGTTGCACCTCCCTCCTGCCATCACCATATCGCCGTCACATCCTCCAGAGACGCCTGGCGCAGCGTCCCCAATGCCGTTGATCCGAGCGACATCACGGCTCGTAAGTAAATGGTCAAGCTACGCCACCACCTCCCGGCATAACAGATAAGTCGTGCTGAGAACATACCGCGTACGTTCCCATCCCGTCTAGATCTCGAGGGCCTTCCGACGACTGCCGCTGATGGTCCTCTTGGTCCGTCTCGCCAGCAGCAACCACGTCTCGCGCACAGCTCTCTGCCATGGCGCGCACTGGCGACCCCGTCGTCGTCGGCCACGGCCCAAACTTCTGGCTCTTTACCAACAAGGGCGTCTTCGACATGACACACCCTCCCACCCCATCCTCACCTCCGGTCCACCCCCGCCTCACCCTCCAGACCACCAGGAGCCCCGTCACCATCGCCCCCACAAAGACCGCCCTCGTCATCATCGACATGCAGAACTTCTTCCTCTCGGCTGCCATGGGTCGGTCTCGCGGCGAGGGCCACGACGCCGAGGACACGCTGCTTTCCAAGGGCATCCCCGCCGCCCGCAAGACCGGCATCCAGGTCGTCTGGCTCACCTGGGGCATCACCGATGCCCAGCTCCAAGACCTGCCCCCGACCATCTGGCGCATTTTTGGCTGGGAGAGCCAGGACGAGCCCGAGTACAAGGTCGAAGACGACGACGCGCCGCCGGGGACCACAATCACCGTCCCCGAGAAGAAGGACGATGGCGGCATCGGGGCCCCGCTCGGCGAGGTGCGGCTCGACAACGGCACCGTCGTGGACGCGGGTAGGATGCTCATGCTGGACCAGTGGAACACGGCCCTGCACCCGCCCATGGAGCAGTCGTTCCAGCAAGGGCTGCGCGAGGCCGACCCGCCCGACGTCCGCTTCCACAAGCAGCGGCTGTCGGGCCTCTGGGGCGACTCCCAGGCACCCCTCGAGTCGTTCCTCCGCGACCGCGGCATCCGGACGCTCCTGTTCGCGGGCGTCAACACGGACCAGTGCGTCCTCGCGACCGTCCAGGACGCCTCCAACAAGGGCTTCGATACGGTCCTGCTCAGGGACGGGTGTGGCACCACGAGCCCAGAGTTCGCGAGGCAGATGGTCGATTACAACTGCCAGAAGTCCTGGGGCTTCATCTCCACCTGTGACGCCTTGGCGGACGGAGTCCAGAAGATGATGATGCACAAGCACGAGGCGGGCAAGGAAGTACAAGGACAAAGCTTTGCCCCGGCAGAGCTGTGAAGGCCTTGTCTAGAAACGTTCGCTGTGTGTGTGTGTGTGTGTGTGTGTGGAAGAGGGTCCATATCTGGCCATCAGTAGCATGTAATCAGAACAGGACATTGTTACAACGAACAATGAAGAATTTACGCAGGCCGAGGACAAGGAGAGTAGGAATGTGCCGGGCACCAAGCAATGAGCCCCCCCCCCCCCCCAACGCTAGAGAGTACGTAGTTAATCAATGTGCGTTCCGCCTCTGTAGCGGTGGCCGAGCTGCCGTGCCAAGTCGTTCCGATGTGAAGCTTTGAGCACCAAATCCAAAGTCATGGCTAGAGCGAGGACTACCGCTGTGTGCAATGTAGATTTGGGGTGTGGGATGCTTCCTGTCATATCACAAGAAATGAAACATCGACCATGTGCTCCGGGAATTGCGCTGTTTGAATCTCATAGGGGAATTAGAATCAGTATGATCGAGCCGCTTTGGAAAGTGGCTTGCCCAGTATGCGGGTCGAAATCTCAGCAGACAGCAAGGACCACTTCGCAGCATGGTGTATATGCGCACAACGCGTAGTCAAAACCACCCAGCAGAGAGAAGAGGCCCGCGCCTTCATCATCAACAACATCGACAGGAAGCCCACGGGGCGGAAGGTACAAGACATCAAGCACCTGCAGCAGCAACCCAGGCAGCTTCCTATGTCCAGTTGCCGTAGGCGAGTGGCACGTCCTCTGTGCTCGGATCCTGTTCAAGTTCGACACCATCAAAGACATCTTGCCATGGAACAATACCGGCCATGAGAAAAACCCCTGTTCTCTAAGGTCCGCGGACATCTGAACCGGGGTGGGAGATACTCAGGTGGCTTGGCACAGCAGATAGCGATGCACGTGTGCTCGGTGTCTCTCCGTTGTGCTGGTCGAGCTGTGGCCATGGTGAAATACGAAGTCGCAAACTCATCTGAACTACACAAGACCCCGGAAGTAGTGAGGCCCCGTTCAGGCCCTGCTTAGTCTCACTCAGCTTGCTCAGTCTTGATCAGTCACTTGCTTAGGTACGTATGTATATGCGACGACTTGACGGTTATGCACGCGGGACGGACACCCCAGGGTTCTTACATAATAGTCGTCTACTTATCTTAGCAGCAAGAGGCGATGTGAACCCATGCGTGACCAGCCGATCAGTCTTGTCGGTTGGATGCAGCTCGCCAGACCACATGTAGCTGTCGCGCTCATTTTGCGCGTTGCACGGGCCGCTGCACTGGCGGGTCGAGGATGCGCAACCTCTACGCATCGTCAAGTGTTGGCAAAGTCCCAAGACAAATTGGCTCGGGCATGTCACGGCAGAAATGTTGCGTCAAGGTGCCTCTGGCGAATCAAGCAGTATCATCACGATGCGAGTGTCTTGTACACTGTAGCAAACAGGTGCGTTCGAATGTACGAAGTACCTATGGACTTCTCCTCGTGTCCATGCATTGCACACAGTCTTACATATTATATGACCTTATGCGAGTGTGTTTGGATAAATATGCGCTGCGCATTATCGGCATTATTAGAATTATGTTTCCTTACACTATCGCTATATGGTCTGAGACAGAGCAGACCCTGCATTAGAGGCACCGTATTCGTCCACGTCGACCGGGTCTCCACGCGCTCGTGACCCCAAGCTACACGCGGCGGTCTGGAGCACCCGGAAACCAATAGCAAGACAGCTCAGGCTTCAAGAAGTGGAGAGAAGCCAACAATGCCTCTACTGCACGACACGTCGGCCGCACGGGCGGGTGGCAGTGACAACAAGCAGCACAGCACAGCAGTGTTAGGTATAGCTGCATATAGAGGGGCATGTCATGACAGAAGCACACACAGTGCGGATGTGGACCAGCTCTCTCCCATCCAGCACACCTCACGCAAAGAGTCATCGTCGCTGGCAGCATCCCCTGCATGAGGAGTGATGGATCAACTTGTTGCCTCCAGCCATCGCGAGCCACATGTGCCAGGCGGGGAACAAGACCTGCATGCCGCGGATCTTCAGGCACAACTCCACCATGGCGAACAGCAAACATGTTCGTCGCTGCAGCTGACCAAGGGACATTCCAGTACTGGACCCTGAAGCGAAGAATGCCAAGTCGCATCCCGGAGATCTTGTATAAGAGATGACGAGACCTTCGTCCTTCTCGGTCTGCTTTTCTCTCACTCCCAAGCTCACCAGCCTCACCAAGAACCAAAGTCATCAGCTCAACAACGCAAATACACTCCTTTTGTTTTACATCCCGCCTCCGACACTACCGGAATCATGCCGAACGAGTACATGTGGGCTCTGACCTCGGGCGAGATCCCCAGCCAACATTACGCTCCCAGTGAGCCCAAATATGGAGGCCACGAGAGCAGACAGCAGTCTGCTCAAATGCCTCGTAACTATCAGTCAGAGTCCCACGCCTATGGCCAATACTCCAGTTCCCCCTCATCATCATCATACGGCGGCCAGGCTTCCCGCAGCGCTTCATACACTCACCAGCCCGGCCCTGACGCCTCCTTCTACACACAACAACAACAGCAGCAGCAACCGCAACAGCAACCACAATACGGCAGCCGCACCTCCTCCTCTTACTCCAGCTCCGGCCACGGCGCCCGCAGCAATGGTGGGGACAGCGACCTCATCGAGCAGTCCGTCAGCATGCAGGACCTGATCCGCGAGAACTTCGGCGGCCAGGGCGGCGGCTCTTCATCGTCCGTCCAGCTCTCTCCTGCCTTGCTCGAGCACCTCCAGCAAGTCTCCCCCAAGAGCAGGGACAGCAAGCTCTACTTCCTCGAGCCCCGGACCGGCGGCGGCAGCTCCATCTCCGGCATGATATACCCGTCCAGCGATCTGGCTCTGGTCAACCAGCTCGCAGTCAAGCACCACCGTCACGCCTGCATGCGGAAGCTCGGCGGCGGCGGTCCCGAGCAGAGCGACAAGGTCCTTCGTGGTACCGAGTGGAGTCTGTTGGACGAGGAGCGTCTCGAGTTGGTGACCCACTTGACTACTGGCGGTGGTCAGAAGATGACCATCAGCACGACCGTTCAGGAGCTTTCTTTGTTCCGTCGCAAGTAGGCCACAGGGTGGAACCGATTCTTTTCTACTTGGCCGGAGGGGAATGTTTTTGCATTTACGCCCAAATTGCATAAGACCGCACACAGGAAGTCTAGTAACGACTTAGAAATTGTTCAATCTTCTCTTCTATCTTCACATTTTTATCAACTTTCCTTCTCCTTTTCTGTTTCCAAGTAGCAAGATTGGCTATATCTACAAATTGTCTGTTGCAGGCTTGACACAACTTATCAAGCTGCAGTGGAGCTAGTTTAAGCTTATTGTGAGAGATTCAAGAGTATAAATAATTTGTGATTTCTTGGTTAGTCTCGACCAGCGATCTCGGCTGAGTTGCGATGCTGTGTGATATCTCACGAAGCGGCAGGCGGGGGCGGGGACTGGCATGGCTTCGAGTCCTGGGCGTTAGTATTGCACAGACGCGTTCGTGCAAAAGCCCTACACTGGCTACACGTCCTCGTCGCGAATCGGATAGGCAGATTATTGAGTGACACATGCGCATGCGCGGGTGTCATCGTTAGCTCGTCGATTAGCGCCGGGATATGGATACAGGGATTTTCGCGGTTTTGCGTAGCAAATGAGACACAGCCCCGGAGTCTGCACCACCGGGGAATCCACAGTACAGATCAAATGGGTGCTTACACGAACTCCGCGGTTTTGCGAATCCCGAATACGCGTATAACGTCTTACTGTCTACTTTCGAAACGCCACCTCTATTCGCTATTTGTCATGCTTTTACAATATCGCAACATATCGAGTCCCTCGCGACGATCTCAATCCGCAAAATCGAGTAATTGTCATTCCGGAAAGCCCTAGAGGCCCCCTTCCCCCTTCCCACCAAAAGAGCCCCTAAGAGAGCCTGTTAGATCCAAGCCCCTCTCCCGATCTCACCCCCCGAGTCGTTAGCTTCCATTCAATATTGCGCGTCCCTCCGATCTTACGGGCTCTTGCGGCTGTCTCATTTTCTCTGCAAGCTAGCACAATCCCTATATTCCTATTTATCGCACATCGCTGGGACGGCTAGCAGATACTCGTGTTTTGAATCGGAGCGTTCAAGAAGACGTCGGCAGCAGCATGTGTTTTTGGTTTTACGCGGGAGCGGCCACGTAAGCATCAACTCTAATTTCCGCACAGAAGATGGAACGTATTATACACGAAATGGGGCATCTGGGGATCCTTTTAGCGCTCAGTCATCATCAGCCACAAAGGTGATATCGCCAGGCACTACTGCTTACTGCAGGCTTTAGCGGCCGCGATGACGAACTGTCCCGCAGAAGGGCGGCCTTGCTCTCTAATGAAGCCGAGAAGCAGCCTACCAGAAACAGCCCGAAACCCGACGCTTATCCCCGACCGTGCTTTCCGAGTCTCCACAACCACACGCGGGAGTGATTAAGGTTCAAAGGTGCGGCGTCAATATGGGCACTACAACTCGACTCTGGTCAAGTATAAAGAGGGCTACTGTATTCAGCTTTGCTTGCCTTCCAGCACGTTACGGACACGCAAACACGCCGCACCCTCACTACGACACCCGTGACAGGACGCCGGCCGCAGAGCATCAAAATCATGTATGACAGAAGAGAAGAGGTCGAGGCCCTTGGGGCCCACGAAGAGTGAGTCTCGCCCACACTCGCTGCCGCGTTTTAGACTTACACCACCAGCCCCGTGTGAATCTTGGAGACTGACTCTCTGATTATGGTATACAGCCCTGACTTTGCCAAGGTGAGCATGGGTCTCATATCACAAGCTCGGCTCGAAAACAAAACAAAACAAAACGAAAGGGCATTCTATGACCCTCGCTGCTAACCACAGGACACCCAAACTTTCTAGCTCATGGCCAGCATCGCCGCCGGCACCGCCAACTCCAACGACCTGCGCACTATGCTGCTCACGATGCCCTTTATCGACCTCATCAAGCTGTGGCAAGCGCAGCCCCAAATTCCCAACCTGCCCGACACGCCCACCGAGTTCACTCTCAAGACCACCATGCGCGACGGCCACGTTGGCGAGGTTCGCGTGTACAAGCCTCGCACTACCACCACCGCCGAGCAACAAACGACCAAGAAGACCGCCCTCGTGGTCCTCATCCACGGAGGCGGCTACCACATCGGCCACTGGTCCCACTTCGCCACGCCGGCCCGCGCGCTCGCGCACCTCTACGGCGTGACCGTCTGCAGCGTCTCGTACCGCCTCGCGCCGCAGCATCCGTTCCCCACGGCACCTCACGACGTGTGGGACTCGCTGAGCTGGCTGGTCAGCGACGCAGGGCTCGCCGCGCTCGGCGGCGACGTGGACCCGGCCGGAGAGGGATTCGTGGTCGGCGGGGCGTCCGCGGGCTCCAACCTCGCCGCCGTCGTGACGCAGAAGAGTGCCCTGCTGTCGGCCGGGGTGGCGGCGGCCGGCGCCACCGCCGACGAAGGCAAGCTCGCGAGCCCCATTACGGGCCTGTGGCTCTCGCTGCACGCCATGTACGACGAGACCACCGTGCCCGACAAGTACCGCCACCTGTGGTTCTCGCGGGAGCAGAACGCCACGGCGGCCGTGATCGACACCAAGGGGCACGACTACATCCTCGCCTCGTACCAGTCCGACCCAAAGTCGCCCGACTACTGCCCCGGGTACGGACAGGGCGAGGCCGCGCCGGGCAAGATGCCCCCGACGTATTTCCAGGTCTGCGGCGGGGACCCGCTGCGCGACGACGGGCTCGTCTACGAGAAGGTGCTCGGCGACGCGGGCGTCAGGACCCGGCTGGACGTGTACCCGGGCGTGCCTCACGGGTTCGGCGAGCTGACGGACATTCCGCTCGCTCTCAAGAGCCAGCGGGACACGCTCAGGGGCTTCGCTTGGCTCCTGGGCAAGGAAGAGCCTTCGGACGAGGAGTGTGTTGCTGCGCGGAAGACAGCCTTGGAGATGGACAGTCCCTAGTCCGCAGACGCACGTGCTTGGACACGGGGACATTGCTCGCACGGGATCGCTGATGTGGCATTCTAGCCATCATTCGTGAGCGCGCACGCCATAAGTTCACCACGTGTATCATATTACCCTCAAAGTCTTACATAGTTATGTCTTGTGTTCAGTGTAGCCTACAGCCAGCCTTTGCTCAAAGAAAGACCAATTTTTGTAACCGAAAACATGGCGAGATCACTTCATGACACATATGCCGTGATGACTAGACAGCCCAAAAATGATAGTAGTCCCATTCTTGTCGTTGGCGAGCTAGTGGTCCGAGTAGCCACTGGCACCTCGACGCATCAAGGGGCGGCGGATGACGCTTCGTCGCGATTGGGCAGACAGCGAAGGCAGATGGGCTCCCGAATTGGCCCTAAGGACAGCTCGGGTCCTGAGAGCATCAGGGCAGAATTCCGATCCATAAACAGGCCAGCTGGTTGTCGAGCGCAGAGCCGTGGAGCAAGCTTCCTCCTTCGACTGTCATAGTTCTTCCTCGATTTTGTCCGACTGTGCGATATTATCTCCGTGGTACTCTCTTAGTAATACTCGGTAAAACGGCATAGACTAAGAAATGCCGCCCTCGACTTGATATAGAGCGAGATAGCTCTGGGTGAATGGATGCAGGGCTGCCCAAGACTTCCCTCAGCGCTCTACAGGAAATTCACAAGACAAGTCCCATGAATGATACCTTACGGACATGGGCACAGCCGGTCTCACAGCCAGCCCTCCCTCTAAGGGACATGATGAGCAAGACCCAGATCAACGACAACAAGCGAAGCCAATCTTTTTCCTCGCTGTCCTCGTCAGGCCAGCTCGCCCAAACCGCCAGGGATATCCAAGTCGCAACTTCCTCCTCCTTCTCAAGCAGACGGATGTCCAGCACTTCCAGCTCGTCTACCCAGCCTAGCTACACGCACATCGAACCCCCGCCACGGCGGTCGCTCACCACCGTCGACCATACCTTGCCTGTACCGGGCGTACCAGCAGAAATGTTATCAGTCTTCGGTTTGGACCCAGTACATCCACAGCCCGCCGCCACGGCTGCTCTTACAAGGCGGAACGCACCGCTAGACACCAAAACCACCACAGAGACCCCAACTCCCGTTGCGATGCAGCAGCCGAGCCAGTTCTTGCCTGGCAAGTTGCACAACCAGGTTACGGAGACAGAGCAGAATTCTGCAGAGCACAACCTGCCCCAGGGGCCGAGTAAGTCTCTGGCATTCCCTCATGACTTCCACGACAACCACTAGCATAATTCAACTGTACACCGACTGCTCATAACCTCCGCCACTAACAAGACGTCGTCACTGCTTTGGAAAAGAGTGACCTGGCCGAACCAGCAGATCTACGAATCCACTCTCGACGGCGGCAACGTGCTCCACCCGGGCGGGTTCCAGGGCCACCGGTCAAACACGGTCGGTTTCACGGGCACCACGTCTGGCCTGCCGGGGGCATTTACCGATATTGCGATGGACGACTGGCAAGTCCTCCGCTCCCTTCAACCCCCCCCTCTTGTCCCCACCACTCGTATGCCTCTCTATTATATATGAGACTGAACATCACCGATGATCCCATGTGCTCATACGGAAAGCGGGCGCTGGCACTAACGTTCCGAGTGCATGGTCACAGGTTCCGATACTTTGGCGTTCATGCGGAGCAGTCTTGATATCAATACGGCTCTGCAGAGCTTTGGCACAAATGTGCCTTACTTATTCATAGAATGCTGCGTTTTAGGAGATGTTGATATGTTCAAGCCTAATCTTGAGATGGAGATTTCGTTCAAGTGCGCGTCCACGGTGCAGCAAGCTTGTTCTTTAATGTGTTAATTGTGGAATATGAAAGATTTCCTGCCTGATTTGTGTATTACATCTCTATTATTGCTATTTGGACAGGAAATAGTGACGTTCATCATCACCTGCTACATGCGTAAGGCAAAAGTCCGATCTGTCCGCATTGCTCAGGGCGTGGCCAAGATCTTCGAGGAAACCCAACCACGACACTTTGAAACACAAGAACTTCAATGTAGTCCCAACATGCATGCTATCAGCTGTGTCTTATCTCTTCCATCACATAGCCGGAATCATTGAAATGCGAAGTCGCAGGTGTCCCATTGGCATGGGGCCGCAAGTATGAAGCCGCGATCGGCGTGTGGCGGTGGTGGTTGTTTGGCGCGGCAGCACCATCTGCGTGCTCATCTGTTGACCGTTTTGGCTCGTCAGCCAATTCCTCTGCATGGTGTATTTTTAGCGCTTCCACGGGAGCCTGCGGCTGGCCTTCACCTTCGTCGTCTTCCAAAATCGGAGGCCAGGGCGAGATTTCTTCCAGGCTGAGATTGTTCAGGCGCCGGAACCAGTTCTGCCCTGGATCTACACGCTGGATCTCGGGCCAGCCAACGCCGTACGGCTCGATCCAGGCCAACACTGCCATGAGAGCCATGATGACGGCAAACACGCCCAGAAGAACGGGCAGCCTAAACCCGTCCTTTGGACCCATGGTCTGTACGATGGGGCGGATAATGATGGCGCCGACCTTGCCGCCTGCAGCAGCAATACCGTAGCTGGTTCCTCGGAACTCTGTGGGGAAGATCTCGACCGCGATGATGAAAGTTAGTGTGTTCGGGCCTATGTTGAAGAGGAACTGGGTGATGGCATAGAATACGATGCTTGCAACATGCGAGGGTGCCTGTGCGTACGTAAAATGTATGGAGATGGCGGTGGCAGCGAACGTGACGGCTAGCAGCGCGCTTGTCACTATGAAAAGCGTTTTGCGAGACACGAAGCCGACAAGAGGGATCACGCAGATGCTCCCCGCTATCGCAGACGTGCTTGTCGTCAAGAGCGTTCGTTTCGAGTTCCAGTAAAGTACGTCATATATCCCCGCGCCGGGGTTCCCTGGATCGACATTCCATTCCGCCCGCTGCTCTCCCGGTGCTTTATCGAGCCAGAGCGCTGCCAGAGTGCTTGGTGAATCCAGGCCGGTGCCATAGAAACATACATCAAGAAGCAGCCACTGTAGAGTGATGGCGAACAAGGGTTTCCATCCTTGTGACTTGCCGAAGAAGTATGCATTGGCTGCAGCACCCCATGAGGTTTGTGGCTCTTGAGTGTTGTCCAATTCGTCCAGGTCATCGGAACCACAGGATTCGGCATCCTCTGGGCGAGGAGATGCTGATCCGAGTCTGATGGCAGCTTCGTAAGCTTTGCGCATGTCTCGCTTCACAGCAGAGTAGAAGCGTGGTGTTTCTGGGATGAAGATTCTCAAAGCGACGGCGAAGACGGCTGGGACCCCGGCGAGTCCAATGACAAGCCGCCACACTTTGTCCACAGTGAGTTTCGGCATGGCAAGACTCGGATCGGAACTCAACATTTCCTCATGAGTTGCCCACATATCTTGCTGATAGCTGTTTGCGAATCCGGACAAGATGCCAATGTTGAGACTGTAAGCCAGCAGTCGACCCACAGGCTGGGCAATAAAGATGGCGGCAAGCATTGTGCCTCGCCACGCTGTGGAAGTAAACTCAGCAGCGATGACTGCTGACATGGGATACTGAAAGATTACAAAGTCAGCACAGAAGTACTTGCTGAGATTCTGTGAAAGGGGCCGTGCCCAAGATTACGCGACGAGGCAACGGACAGTCATACCTCGGCGCCGATACCTAGGCCCAGAGCGACGCGCCACCAGATCAAAGCCGCCTCCATATCCATGGAGTGAAGACCGTCTGGACCAGTGGCTGCGTAGCCCTGGCTGGTGAAGGCCGCTCCGCCGACCGCAGAGAGCACAATCAACAGCTCGAAGCCGTAGAGGGCAGATCTTCCGACACGATCGGCGAGATGGCCAAAGAGGATCATGCCTAGTACTGTGCCTGAAAGAGTTGCGCAATCGAGAATCAAGTCTTGCTTGTCGTGAAAGTTATAGACGAAGGTCAGCGCTGGCATTGTGATGTTGATGGCAATCAGACTCCAACTAGAGGCCAAGAAACCAAAGAATGCCACAAAGTAAATGCGCCAGCTGAATCCGATGCCCTCGAGGATCTGCAGGACTCGTGCCTCTCGCCGCTGTCTGTTCTGATTAGGGCGTCAGTGTTTGATGTCCTTGGGTTCTTCCAGCAGAGCTGGCATTTGATGGGCAGTCTTACCCGCACATGGCTGATGTCGGTTGCGACATCAAGGGGCTCCCAGTACTTGAGCAGCTTATTGATCGCAAGGATGATGCTGCTCGCCATTGCGACAGATAGTAGTATGTTTCCAGAGAATTGTTGCTTGGAGGCGGTGAGGCGATGGGACTCAAGATGAGATGGTCACCGCGTCCAGCAGCAGCCTTATGCTTGAGCAGGAGGTCGATGAGGCTCTAACATCAGCACGGGTTCCCCATGCGCCAATGGCAGCACACGCTTCTGAACCAAGATGCCTAGAGGCAAGCCAAGTCTGCCGACACTCCTCCCAGCTGTGATTGTTGAGTCATCTGCACATCTGCCCTACCGAAAGCTGCTGAACAACGGGTGGCAGATGGACAGCGTGGGCAGCCATTCCGGGCACGGGGCGATGCACCCAAGGCTGACTCTGACTGCATCGCCCCCTCCGCCCATACATGATCGCTGGGGTATACCAAGATTGCCGGAACCGAGGGCCCCTGTTGTTGTGCCAATTTCGGCGCCTAGTGGTCGCCACGATTGGAGGGAAACAAGTGTAGAATGGGCACAGCCCTGCGGCTGAACTGCTGCAGGTTGACCGAGTTGAGGTTGGACGGCCAGCCAATCACAGCCGCCACTGCGTGCACGAGGAAGGCACGACAGGCTCTCCACGCTCTTTCCCGCAACAAATGCCAACGCCTCTCCTGTACCGGTCTGGTCCAAGGCACCCCCGGGTAGGTAGCCTTACACTGTCGAAGGAGAGCCAGGGAGGCGGTATTGAGCCAAGCAGACAATCAGCACTCTTGCCACCACAACATAACCGCTGCTGCTGCCCCTCCCCGTCGCCACGGTCGATGGAGGGCCGACGAAGCTGCCTCCCCGTCCGTCAGCAGGCGGCGCCCGGCCCCGAGGGACGTCACGAGGGCTCCCCCAGAGTACCCTTTATCATTGCATGCGCTGCTGCTAAGCAGCTGTGGCCCAGCCTGCCCTTTCCCTGCGACGTGCTTGCCGTCTCATCTTCCTGAGAGGCGACGTCTTCGTATTACAATGCACTGATATTCGGCCTCTGAGGGCCCCCACGCCCACCAATTAGACCGTCCAGGAAAATTCTCTCCCGACCACAGCCTCCTGCTCCGCAAGCTAGGGCGACATGTCTGGCCTCGAGGCCATTGCTACGGCCCTGACGGTCGTCGAGATCATTGGCCGTGTGGTCAAGGTCTTTGGCACCCCGCGCAATGCCCCTCGCCAGGTCCAACGCCTTCGGCGCATCCTCGAGCAGCTCAAGGACAATGCAGACCTCCTCGAGTCGGCCACCGAAAGGGACCGCCTGGCCCTCGCAGACATGATCAACCGCAGCCAAGATCTGCTTGAGAAGCACGCGCCCAAACCCTCGACTGGGGATCGTGTTCGGGACTTCCTGTGGCCTGCCCGTGCAGAGGACGAGCTCAGGAACTTCAATGATGAAATCAGCGCAGAGCTTGCTCTGTTGTACAGCAAAAGTCGCGCCAAAGGCACCCGAGGGGGACAAGAGCCTGTGCCTGTAGACCCGGCTCCACTAGGCGATGGTAGCGACAGAAGCCCAAGTAAGACAAAGGGTCTTTTCAGACAACACCTCGTAACTTTTGGAGATTGGCAGCACTAACTGGATCTCGTCAGTCGTTGAACGTCGCCGACAATCTTCCGTGGCTTGTATAGATCTGCCCACAAGACTGTAAGCTTGCCATCCACCCATCTTATCGGGCTGATGTGTGCCGAGGAATGAGGAAACAATCTAATACCAAGTTTCAGCATATTACAAAATAGCCAAGGGAAGCTGGCTATGCCGCCGATGAGATTCCAGCGCCTCAATATCATGGAGCGAGACGACGCTATGCGGACGATTGAGTACGAGTCTCTCGACCCACGAGGCAATGCGCCGACCAGAATCACGCACAGAAGTAAGAAGCCCCTGACATGTCACTCTTCAGCATTGGGTCTATCCACATTTAGCAACAGTGACTAACTCCGAGGCAGTACCAAGAGGCATCCTTCGCTTCGAGGACAACAGTATGGATGATTGCACGGTGGTCTTCCTGGATGCTCATGACATCACCATCCGAGACGACAGGGGCTACCGTATCAACCGGGTTCACGCAGAGTATCAGTTTGAGTCTGTGGAGGCACGGGAGACTTTTTTGCTCAAAGTCAGAGAACGAGAACTTCTAGGACGATATTTTGCTCGGGCCGTGCTTCATACAAATGGGAAGATCATCACTCAGCAAAAAGTCATACGGATATGGAAAAAAGGATCCGACGCAGCCGGGTCGAATCTGGCACCACCCCAGTCTCTGGCATCTCGAGACAGGGTCACGATATCCTTTCTCGGGCGCGGCGGTCAGCAATTCGAGCGCCCGCTAGGAGAGTTCAGACGACATCCGAAGCAAGACGGCCCTGGGAACAACCGAATTACGGTCGAAAATCTCACAGACAGCACCGGTTTTGTCTTCGAATTCGACCCACCAGCTCAGCGCCGATCGTCCAGCTTTAACAGGCTCATGGGGTTTTCTTCCCCACCTCGAGTCCCACGAGTCGGTGACGCTGATTCATTCTTGGCCACGTTCATGGAGCACCATCCTGCGACATCGACATTTATGCCATTACCATCTCCCGCAGTCTCGATTAGATCCGCACTTTTCGCAGCGCAGGCCGTTGAGTGCACGACAGCGTCGGAGCAGGGCCGCAGCTCAAGCACCGCAGATTCTGATGAGAGATTCTCAGGGTATAGCTGGACAGCAAGCAGCCCTGGCACGAGCGATTCCCGACCTATTGTGTCTGGCAGGGATTCCGCGCGTGATACTAGTACAGACCTTTCGACATCCCCAGGAACCATGTCAGAAAACATGTCACCCGACTTCGCAAACGAGCTAGCGATTCGCTTTGGGCTAGATGAACGGCCAAGTGGCAGTCAAGTCGGATCGGATGATTCTCGACCGTAGCATGCTAGCAGAAGGCCTAGTAATGTAATTACCATTGCCGTTGACATTGCCAGAGCCGGGTCCAGGGGAGGAATGTGAAATACCCTTGCACGGACGAGCCATGTAGTGCCGATCTGCAAGCGAAAAACCCCCGAAGAACCTGCACAACATTAGCTTCATATGCTACCAGATGACTTAATGTCTCCCATTACAACGCCCAACAACTTATCAACGGTGCCTTAACGTGGGAGCCCTCTGCTCATATATGACGAGAAACGTTTTATGAATGTTGCACCCAATCTCACTAGTTCTTCGTCGAGGCTCCCGACGCACAAAACGCTTACATCGAGAATAGCAAGAAGCAAAAGGATATCACTCCAGCTGTGTCAAACGCAGGTCGTCGCCGATTTTCACATCCTCCTCTTCCGTTTGAAACCATATGCTCGGTCTAGGACGCATCTGGAAGAAAGACAAATACGCGGCATCATAAGTCAAAGAAAGTGGTATGGCAAAGGGAGAGTGGGGACCCGAGACCTCGGCAGTTGCCCGTCTTGTCCCATTTGCGAACAACTTGAGAAGATGCACGGGGAAAGAGAGCGCCGATCTCTGCGGGGAAAAAGACACATCCGTGTGGTTGAGGGTTGGGAGGCCAGAGAGAGGGGAATTCGCATGTGATGTCTCTTGTGTGGCAGAGCAGAGACAGGACTCCAAGATGCCTGCTGAAGAACGGGAGCTGCCTTGAGGTTCTGTGCTCTTCGTCCGCGTCCCGCGCTGCGAAGAGAACAGACGCAGCCGAGCTTGCGACCAGGACAACGACAAGAACAACAATAATAAAGATTGTTTCCGCCCCAGAAAGAATAGTCGCCAGACATCATTGCTACCTTCACTTACTGTGCTTCAAAAGATATTTCCTGGCGATCAAGTCGTCCCTTTGTGGAAGGAGCAATCAATCACAGGCTGGCCGGACGACTTCTGCGACGACCAGGGCAACCACGTCTCGCGGTTGGCCATCATGACGATGCTGGTGGTTCGGCCAGCTGAGACACTCCCGGGCCCGGGGAGGGAGGATACTCGTGGAAGCATAGCCTCGATTGGGCGGATCGTGGGTTCTGCCATTGTGATATATATTGAAGAAGAAGACCAGGTTGGGTCGCGCGCGGATGCTGGAAATGGCACAAGGCCAGCAGGAGCAAGGACGCAAAAGCGTTGCTCTATCCTTCTTGTGTGAGAGATGGAATTCTCGAGGCCGAGACGTCCTGAGCTGTTACGCCCCTCTGCCCTTTCCTTCCATATCAAATCTGATCGTGCGATACCCATCCTCTGCATCGAGTTCGCTCCCAGCGTGTTGTTGACAGCCATCATCTCGAACGTCCACGCGATTGTCTGCTACATTCAGGACTCGTTTTCCCCGAGTATGAGGACGGCATGCGCAATCCTGCTGCCCTACAGTCAGGCCTGCTCAGCCATAAGCGGGTGGTGGGTCAGACGCTGATAGATGGACGGCCGGCTTGCGAACCCACATAAGCCCCGAGACAGAAACCTGGCTCCGGCTGTGGATGGGGCGGGCTTCGGCTCCGCTCCACGGCCGCCCTCAGCCCCGAGGCCACGGAGGAATAATCAGACCGGGGCCGGGGTGTTCATATATACGCGTAGCCAACACGGCAACCTGGAGCATCATGAGCTGCTCAACTTTGAAACCTGGAAAGCTTGTCTGCATGTTTGCTGGGCGGTCCTACATGATACCGCCACTTGTAGATTGGAAGCTGTTCTGGATTATCTTTATTTTTCTACCTTGACCAGCCCACGTGAACCCATTTTGCCGACAGACCCCTCAACTGACAAGGGTCGCTTCTCCTCCAACCAGAAGGCGACATAATTACAACGAGCATACTTAATCTGCAATTCCCGCTCCTCATTGATGAACAGCCATTCACCTCTATTCTTTTGCTCGTGGCCGCGGTCAAGCACCACACTCGATCTATCTTCACCACCACCACCACCACCACCACCACCACCATGAAGCTCATCGTCTCCGGCGCCACCGGCTTCCTCGGCCGCGAAGTGGTCCGGCAGTCCCTCGCCACGCCGGGCGTGACCAGCGTCGTCGCGCTGGCGCGCAAGCCCGTGACCTTCTCCGACAGTGAGCTGCTGCCTGGCTCCGACGCGGGCAAGCTCGTCCACGCCACGATCAAGGACTACGGCGAGTATCCGCCAGAGGTGACTGCCCACTTTGCCGGCGCCGACGCCTGTATCTGGTATGCATCTCTTTCTCCCCCTCTCTTCTAGCCTGCGCCATACTTATATTCTCCCCAAACCATGTGGCGTCCGCAATATGGCGTGGAGATAAGAAGATAAATCATCCTAAAACAGAACGTACGACTCCTCGTGATACAAACGCTGACAAACCGAACCCGTGCATCAAAAGGACCGTCGGCATAAGTCCCTTCAAATCCAAGACTTACCCGTGGCCAGAGGTCGTGAGGGTGTGCCAGACGTGCACGATCCAGGGCTTCTCCGCCATGCTCGACGCGACTGCCACTGTCGCCGTCCCTCCCAGCACTAGCGATGGCAGCGGCGGCGGCTCCGAGGGCCGGCCATTCCGGTTTGTTTATGTCAGCGGCATGGGCGCGGAGCCGGACCAGTCCAAGAAGCCGTTCTTCTCGCCGCAGTATCTGCTGATGAGGGTATGTTAAACCCCCCGACTGTAGCTAAGCCCGTCCCGTCCCGTCCTCTTCCGTCTCCTCGACCATTCTTGAGCACGACTCAATCGTTGATCAAACACCCGCTTACTCGCTTGCAATGTGTCTCATGGTGTTCAGGGCGAGACAGAAAACAAAGTCCACTCCCTTCCGGCAAGCCACCCGGGCGCCGCGAACCGCCCCGTCAGCACCGCGGCCTGCCGCTTCGGCATGATCAGCAGCCCGGGCATGGCGGGGTCGCTCATGGGCAGCCTGGCCAAGGGCGCGACGGGGTGGCCGACGCTGTCGTCGGTCGAGGGCGCCCGGGTCCTGATCGACCAGGCCGTCAACGGCTTTTACGAGGGAAAAGGGACGCTGACGGCGGGAGACATGGCTGCCATCTGGAAGCGGATCTCGGCAGAGGAGGAGGGGAAGGTATAGATAGTATCGCGTTGTCGAGAAGAAGCCAGTGGTGTGTTGAGATAAACGAGGAGGTGGCTTGTCATGTTTTATATGAAGCGTGACATGTCTCGACGTGCAGGAAGATTTAGGTGCCTATAGCAGCAGGCCAAAACGAGTGAATGGTACAAGGTTCCATCCAGTAGCATCTGAGCTACCATAACGAGATTGCGGCGTAATAACCCAGTTATTATCCTACTAGCCCGAGTCCCTCGTATGACGACCGTCTTGACGCACCAAACTTCTTCCGTCGCCTTCTTCTTCTTCTTCTTCTTTTCTTCAGCAAGCCTGTTCGGAGCATGCTCTAGCGTCCATCGTCTGCTGCCAGGCACTATACTACCACAAGGATCACTTCCATCACTTCATTCAGGGATGACGCCCAGCCCAGCACAGCCCCACAACTCTCCTTACTCACTGCCTCTTCTTGCCCTCGACGCGACCAGCTACCGTCGTCGATGAAGCTGCGGCACCCGCAAGCTTCTTCTCCCTCCAGACCCCAAACGCCGCGAGCGCCGCGCCAGGTCCAAGCACAACCACACCCGCCAGAAGTGCTAAAATCGGCACCACCACCGCCCCTCCTTCCTTCTCCCCACCAGCAGCACCAAGCCGGGTCTGCACGTCGTAGATGCCCAGCACGGCCCAGAGCAGCGTCGAGGCAAAGATGCCAATGTGGTCGAACTGGAACATGCGCAGGGTGCCCCAGACGATACCGGCCGCGGGCGACCCGGGCAGAGCGTTGTGCAGGTCCAGCGTGGGGACGAACAGGGCGGAGAAGGACATGCTCGGGTCCTGCTCGGGGGACGACGTCATGACCAGCCAGACGACGCTGATGTGGGTGAGCACGCCGACGACAAAAGCGAGCGCATACGCGCGGTTGACGTGCCTCGCGCTGCTGCTGCTCCTGGCCGTCGAAATTGTGCTGCTGCTGCTACTATCGCCGCCACGGAAGACGGTCAGGGCGAGCACCCACAGCGCAACGTTGACGTACGCGGGCGTGGCCTGCCAGAAGGCGGCGGCGTCCTGGTTGATCTCGGGGTTCGCGTAGGGGATGTACATGGCGATGGTCGGGACGACGTACAGCACCAAGATGGCCGGGAGCAGCGCCTTGGCAAAGGGCCGAGAGATGGCCAGGCCCGAGGACGAGGTCGAGGCCGGCGCCGAGAAGTACGACGCGCGGTGCGAGAGCAGCGTGTGCACGGCATACCAGACGGGGAAGATGAACATGCCCGACATGGTCTGGTAGAAGAACGCCCAGATCGAGGGGCTAAAAGAGAAAAGGTCCCGATCAGTTGTGGATATCCCAGAGTGGCAGGCCCCCGGGGGACAGGATCACAACACAACACAATACACAATACACCACAAAGCACTTACAAGCTTAGGAGCGTCCACCGGTTCCTTCCTCTATACCCCTCGACCATCTGCAGCGTGAGCACGCTGACGAGCTGCAGCAGAAGCTGCGCCTGCTGCACCATGACCGCCCGCCCGCTGAACCCGCCGCTGCCGTGCCCGTACGAGCCGGGCGAGAAGAAGAGGGCCAGCAGGGTCAGCAGCTCGTCGGTGCCCTGGTGGCCGGTCCACGCGCCGCGCTTGAGTGGCGTCTTGTCGTCGGCGAGGAGCCCGGTCTTCAGGTGCGCCTCGAAGTCCTGGATAAAGGGCGTGCCGACCTGGTACACCCGGTTGTACCAGTAGCCGCAGCTGGCACACGCGGCAAAGAGGACGGTGAAGAGCAGCGTCACGGCCAGAGGTCGCCCGCGGGCGGGTGACGACGCCGCCGCCGCCGGGCCCGGTGGGGAGCCGACTGTCCGGGCCATGGTGGGACGATAGTTCGATAGCAGCTCCTGGGTAGGGGGAAATATCCTTTCTTTGGCGGCAGCTTCTGCGGGTTCCGTCGCTGAGGGACAGCCTCGGTGCTTGACTCCCACGGCTGGCTTGCTAAGGGACAACAATCCCCGCGTATGCTCTGGCTGGTATTGTATCAAATGCGATCTCGGCCTGAGGAAAAGCACGTCGTGTTGTCGAGGTGCAGAGTGAAGAGAGTGAGCAAGAGGGCTGGAGGAGGGTCCCTTGAACATTTTCTATTGCTGGCAGCCCTCTTCTCGTATGGTACAGGGGCGGCGGGCCCGCTAACGTCCCCTCTCTCAAGCTTGGACGTTGGGGGTGACCCTGTCCCTGACGACCCTCCAGTGCCCATCCGCAAGCACAGACTCGAGTACTTTCGCTTCCACAGGACTGGCATGGAGGGGGCCTACAAAACTCGACATTGACTCCCCGATTCGTTCCTTTCCTGAGGACGAGTAGTCGGGGAAAGTGACGTGAGACTGCAAGGGAAGCCCGGCTCTTGGGTGCCACCCTCGCCTGACTATTCGCGCCCGCAGATACGCACGCAGTTAGCCTCAGCAGATAGCCGATCACCACGTCGGCCCCCGAATATTTGGGGTATCTGAGAAAGCCAATTGCCCCCAGAAATGCAACGAGTGCATCATGCCATTGGTCGCGCCGGTGCGCCGGGTGCGCGCCAAATGTCTCCACTTGAAGAAGCTGACACCACGGATCCCGGTGCTTACGTTCCTCCGCTGGGGGCGTTGACGCGCTCCGCTTTCGAGAGGGTCTTCCTCAATCGTCTCGTTTGTACTCACATCCTATTCGACAACGAGTTATACGCGGCTTGGCATGCGGCTCCGAGAGCTTCGGACCTTGGTCCATATTCGTTCCCTCTCATTCTTCCTCTTTCTTGGCTGTCTAATCGGATAAGGGTATATGTACATCAGTGAGACTCATGCCCACAGCTTCGCTCTCGCTAAAGGAATAAACGTCATCGTGATAAACACCAGACAAACGCCACCATGACAACCAGGGACCACCATCTACCGCTGGGCTCATCAAAGACAACAAAAGATAAAGCATCCATCCGCCTAGAACCAGACTCCCAACCACGCGGTCGCTTAGTCAGACGACGTTCCCGCCTTGCGTCGCGCCCGGCTCAGCTCAGCAGCCAGCTCTCCATTCTGCCTCTCGCTGTCCTGGATGCGCTGCCGCGCCGCCGCCCGGTCCATGTTGCGCGCCTCGCGCTCCTGCTTAAGTTTGGCCTCGAGCTCCCGCAACCGGAACATCCACCTCACATCGTTCTCATTCGTACCTCCAGCCGCCGAGAGCCCCCCTCCTGCAAGTGCCGCTGACGACGTGCCAAGCCGCTCCATCTCTGCCGCGCCCATGGTCACACTGCGTGTGATGGTGCCTGGCCGGCTACTGCTTCGCCGGCTTGCTGAGGACGACCCGCTCGGGTCGAGCTGGGGTATCCTACTGCGTGGTGTCATCGACTCCGACCTGCGCATGGGGCCAGTGGGAACGGCTGGAGAGGGACTGCCCATGTCGCCGCGGTCGTCTTGACCGTCGTTACTGCCGGGCTTGCTCATGTAGCTGGCTCCCCGCGTCCGAGCGTCATGGGCGCGTTGCAGTGTCGCATTCTCAATCTTGAGAGCGCGGTATGCCGACTCGAGCTGGGTGAGCTTGTTCTGCGCGTCAAAGTTGCCAGCAGCCACGCCCGACCGCACAGTCACCTCGAGCCGCTCGAGCTTCTTGTTCTTTGCGTCAAGTGTGGCCTCCAGCGACTGGTATTCCTTCCACAGCTCCCGCTCGATGGACTTGGCACGCGTGTTGAAGTTGCTGATGATGGTCTCGATCATCTTGATTGCGCCGAGAATGTTCTTGGAGAAGGCTGGCAGCATGGTGCCGATGGACTCCGTTGAAGGCAGTGCCCGTCCGCTGATAAGGCTGTTGTTGTGCGCCCAGTCGCTACCGCAGATGGCCGACAGGCGTGTCCACAGCATCAGTAAAAGATTGTTGCGCTCGGCCAACTGGTCCTTAAACTGTGACTCGAGCTGTGCAATCCGCTTCTTGTCAGCGTTCCGGCTACCCTCGAGCTCAGAGATGCGCGAGTCCTGAGTCGAGACTGTTCTAGAGACATGCGAGTGCGTGCGCTGAAACGTTTCGTAGTGGTTCTTGGTGTTGCGGTGCGCCTGGCGTTCTTTGTCGAGCATCTCGCCGAGCTTGCGCACCTCAAGCCCGTGGCTTTCCAGCTGGCCGTCGCGCTGCTTGATGATCCTATCCTTCTCGAGAGCGGCCGCCTTTGTTGTGTCCAGCTCGCGGACCGTGTTTTCGAGCTCGCGCTGAAGCTTTGCGATTGACTGTTGGTGCCGTCAGTAGCGGCCCCCTAGAAACCACACGATCTGTGTAGACTTACCTTGAGGAGACTCGATCGGGTGCCGTTTAGGTCACCCAGAGCTTCCCGCAAGTTATTCTCGAGCTCCATGAGCCTCTCCTTCCACTCGGTCGCCTCCACTTCTCGGCTGGACAAGCTCTTGCGCAGCTTCCTGACTTCATCCTTGGCTGAAGATGCCTCGCGGTTGAGTTCGTTGACAAATTGCTGCACCTCCTCCTTCTCGCGGTCGGCAACAATCTCGCGCTGCTTGCGCTCCTTGGCGAGACGCTGGTCCAGTTCCTTAGCTCGGTCACGCTCGTCCCTGAGTTCCTGCTCCACACCAGCCAACGATGCTTCCAAGTCGCCGATCCGGATCTTGTCACCTTCTTGCTCCTCCCGCAAAAAGGCGATCTCATCCTGGCTTGATTCTTGCTGCACGCCGAGACGCTGTGCCTTGTCATTTGACTCGACGAGCTTGGCCTCGAGCTCTTCCAACTCCCTGTTCGCATCGGCTAGCTCAGCCTCAAGACGCTGAATGTTCTTGAGCTTGTTCTCCTGCTCGTCTTCAAGGCCGGCCAATGCCTCGCTGAGGTTGCGCATCTCTTCCTGCAGAGCAGTGAAGTTATCGGACCGCTCTTGGACCTCTACTTGCAAGCGCTCAATCTCTACCTGGAACTGCTCGTTCTCATTCTCAAGATCGTACAAGGTCTCCTGCGCCTCATTCTGCAAGGCCTTGAAGTCATAGTCGAGCGTCGAGTATTCCTGCAGAGCTTCGTCTCGCTCGGTCTGCATGGCGAGCAGATCTTGCTCCATAGACTCCCGTTCGTCCTGCAGAGCATCATATTCCTGCTTGAGCTGCATCGCATCGGCGCGAAGCGCCTCCATTTCCTCAAGAGACGTCTGGGTGTCGCGCTGCAGCTGCTGGTTTTGAAGCTTGAGCTCATTGATCTTGTCGCGCGATTCGGCCAGCTTGTTCTCCAGCTCCTCGCGATCGGGATCCTCTTCCGTCACAGTCAACCGGGTACCGCCGCTATTTCTCGACGCTGACCGTTCGTGTCCACCAGCGCGGGACGCTGAGCGGTCCAACAAGCTGTCGATAGTCGAAGGCGCTGGTCCGCCACGTCGCTGTGACAATTTTAGGTCCTCAATCTCCTGGTACAGGCGTTCCTTCTCGCGATTACGAGACGTGAGCATCGAGGTCTGAGCACCGACCTCCCGTCTCAGCTCGCCGATCTCGTGCCTCAATTGCTCGTTTTCTCGTCGGTAGTCCTCAATCATGGTATCGGCCTGGCTAAATGTGTTTGTTGTACGCTCATAGTCGCCGGACTGACCGGTGCCGGGCCGCGACCGTGTCGGTGATGTCGGGCGGCCCTTGCGGGTGATGTTGTAAATATTTGTCGTGTGATGCATGGCACCAGGCGGCCCGCCGGAGCCTTGACCTCCCTCCTTGAGCCGGAAAAGCTCCTCACGCAACTTGCGATTGTCCTCGTCCACTTGCTCGCGACGCACAGACTCCTGCTCGAAGAGGTCTTTCCAGACCGCGACTTCCTCGTCTTTGCCAAGGTGCTCATGGGTGCGCTCTCCTGTATACTCCCGATATGACTTGAGGGACTCCGCCATTTTCCGCTTTTCTGCTTGATCGGCCATGCTCTCATTTCGGAGGTGCTCGATCTCTGTGACGTACTCCTCGACGCGCTCGCGCAGATAGATGAGCTCCTCCTCGAGTTCTCTTGCCTGCTCATCGTTCAGTCCTGCCGTACCCCCGTCTGAGGAGTTCCCACTTCTGGCTGTGCTAGGTCGATCTTCTTCGTCCTTAAGTCGTCTCTCGAGCTCCTTCACGCGCCTCCGGAGAACTTTGTTGTCGCGCTGGATGATCCCTAGAGACGTCTTAAGCTCCGTGTTCTCCTGCAACGCTTCCTTAACGCCTTCGGGAGACATCTTGTCCAGGCGATCGGACAAAAACATGACCTTGAGCTTTAGATCAAAATTCTCTTTGGACAAGCGCTCGATTGTGCTGGATTGCTCCTTGAGGGTGAGGTTCTTCCCGCCTCTCGAGGCCGTCCCAGTAATCGACGGTGTTGCGTCCGAAACATTCCTAGTGGCTCGAAATGGTGTCGTGAATCCGCCTTTCGACTTGTACTCGCGAGCAATACTATCCGGTACTTGGACACTGCGTACCTTCCTCGCCAGGACCGTATCGGTGGGCGCTACGAGCTTGTTGGGCCGCGGAGTGGCGAGAAGGTCGCGGCCGGTGTACTCCTCCTCCTCCTCCAAGGGCGGTTCCAGATACTCCGCCCTTCCGTTGTCAGGGTAGTCGTCGATGCCAGAAGCCATGCTGCCAAGACTGATAGTGCGCGACAGGGTGTTGCTGATCGACCGCGGGATCGGTCCTCGGGGGAGCGTGTTTCCCGAGGGTGGGCCGAGGTCGGCTTCGATGGCTTCTGTAGAATCGTTCTCCGCATCATCGCCAGTCAGGAACGAGGACGTTGAGGATCGCTGGCTGGCATTTCTGCTTCGCAAGAACCGCGGCCGTCTGCCCAGCTTAAGGGCGTTGCCTGGGGTGGTGCCTGCATCAGTCGACAAATGATTGCCGTCGACATCTGAGCTGTAGTACTGTGATGGATGCGGTCGGCTTGCTTCTTCGGTGCGGGTGACGACTATCGAATCATCAAGCCCGGAGTCCTCCTCGGTGGACTCCTGGGCACTGGCGTCTGTCCTTGACGGGACGATAGTGGCCATGGATATGGATTTCGAGATGGTCCGGGCCGCGGCTGCCACAGTCGGCGAGGAAGACATTGTCTCCAGGGCCGCGGTGTTGTCCAGATGGCTTGTATCACCTTCGCTCGGCGTCTGGTGTCGCTGGTCTGCATGCTGAGAGGGTAGTTCCGCCTGCGAGTGGCCGTCTGGCCGGTCCACATCGTTCTCGTAGGCCGGGAGAGGAGCCAGCAGACTGTCCTGGCCGACGTCGTCACTACCAGCCGGCCGTTGGCCTTGCTTGCTATCTTCTGGTTGCAGGTTTTGCTTGGACGCTGCAGAATTTGTTGGCTGCAACGAGGAGTCATCGGTGGAGAAGTCCATTGTCGAGTCTGGCTCCTGCACGGGCTGCAGAGACTTTGGGGCCTGGGGCCGTTTCGCAGGAGAGGCATCGAAGAGGAAGGTGTCGTCCACCGCCTCTTCTGGCCGTGTCGCGATGTGGATCGGGGAGATGGGTGGTAGGAAGCTAGATTCGACATCCTTGAGGTGGTCATGTATCCTCTGCTCCTCTGTGAAGGAGTCTAGATCTTGCTCGCCATGGGGTTCGAGTCTCGTCGTCTCGATGATGCTGCTGTCTGGCGGCTCGCGCGATGGCAGCGGCGACGACGGCCGGGGGCTCGTGGCTGGGGGCGGCGCGTTCTCGTCGTTACGCGCGGGTGATTGTGTGTCAATCTGCGAGTGGTCTGGGGTATGCGACTCTTGTCTGTCGGGCGTCGTCGATCTGGGCGCATGGCCCTTTGGGCCGTCGTCATCCGCCATTGGGATAGGCACGTGGCATGTGTTTGGAGGCGAGGCGGTGGTGTGCTCCGCGAGACAAGACCGCGTGCCGTTCGGGAGAGGACTTGTAATAGTGTTGTTCTCGGGAGAGTATCATGCCAAGAAGGAGCGGAAGTCGCGATGCGACAGGAAGATGGACGCGGCCGGCAAGGAGGTCGAGAGAGACGGCGAAGCAAGGCTGGTTAGTGTTTGGCCAGCAACGGGCACCAGCGACGGGAGGTGGCGTGGGTGGGCAGGCGCCAAGTGGGCTGCTTGGTGTTGACAAGGGGCTACCCAAACAACAGCTGCAGCAAGTATCCACTGGCTGGCTGGATGCGCACTCCCAACAACACGGGATGGTAAGCACAGGCGCGGGGATGTTCCTTGAAGTTGATGTTGTCGGCCAGTGTCGTGGCCCCGGCCCAAGAAATTGTATGGTGTTTTCTGCCTGGGGAACAACGCCTGGGCATGCTCTCTCGTCGCCTGCTAGTCAGTCATGATGCGTGCCTGCCCGATATGCCAGAGGCCCCATCTTTGGGTTGAGTCCCTCTTGCTCAGGCCCCATGCGGCAACACACACTGCATGCAACGGAGGGGAGCCTGCATGGGCTGTGTCGGTTTCTGTTTCTGCGGCGCATTGCGTGTACGGAGGAGATGCTGGCTTAACAGAAGTCGTCTTATGACGAGGCGTGCACCCCCCCTCGTTACAGGTGATGACTTGCAGCTGAAGCTTGTGTGGATCTTTGACAAGAGACCCTGGCACCGGCGCGTTGCTGGGACACCACGCCAGGAACCAGCAAGGGGTCCCTGGTCGGCCACGCTTTCTCCCCCATGACATGGCGGCGCGACCCAAGTCCTTCTAGACTTAGCCCGCTTTGCCCCGGCACTTAACCAAGCTGTCAACAGCAAGCCAAGAAGTGACCTACTGGCATAGCTTTCACGAAGCCTCGTCATGATGTGTATTTCAAAACGAACTGCCCTCCCCGTCTTCATAGATGCACTCCACGTTTGGTCGAGGGCGTGGCAGACGTGGCTTTGCCCCGTCAGCACTTCGTTCTGTGAGGAGGCTTGATGCTGTGATTGCGCGTAATTTGCACTTTGGAGACGTGCCACGGCCCAGTGACAGACACAGTACCTCTCCCCAAGCACGTTTTCTGTTTGGAAAACCAAGTCGACGCACTTGACAAGTGCCTGACAATGTTGTGGCGGTCATTGAAGCACGCCTGGGCAACTTCGATGTGGGGTAGCGAGGCTTAGTCATCGTTGGAGTCACATTCGGGGTCCTGATCAACTTCGCTTCATCGGACGGACATTTCGCCACCAGCATTGACACCACAACCACTCTGCACCCTTTCGACCGCCACGAGCGTCCACGACCGTCAAAAGGATGGCACCCTGGAACCTGATCCTGCGCATGGTCGTCGCCGCCGAGGACTACATTGTCGCCCAGATCCTCCGCTCGCCTGCCTTCCACCGTGGCGTCCGGAGCATCCACGACAGAGTCCAGGAGCATCGCCATGGCCGCAACCCACACGAGCCCTTGCGCCCGGGAGAAGCAACAAGTAAGACTTATCAGCCGGATATGCAGTGGACTGCCTGTCATCTCCAACACCAAGGTCAAGGACTAACAATGTACGGCCTTGCTACAGGAGACCCCGACCAGCAAAGCTCCAGCGGCTTCTTAAGTCATTTCATTGACGAGCTACGCAACCAAGCACGAGGACAGCCGACCGACCCGAACCGGCCGATGCCACCATCCACAACTACAAAGGACAAAACGGACAAAAGGTGATGGTCTATTGAAGGACTTGGAAAGTGACAGACACCTCTCTACTTCACCATACCTTATAAGACGCATTCACACTGCCATCGAATGCATCAACTGCTCCTTGGCTGGCGCAGATGACTAAGGGCGTCTCAACTTTCCCACGAAATTTGCGCTTCGTATCGATATCTCCAAGGCCCAAACAGACCAATATGGAGGCTACCTCCGACGCTGGGTGCAAAACTTGACGCAAGTCTTCAGTCGACCATCCCAAACGTATGCGACGCTGGCTTGGACTAGCGGGCTGGACTTCGCTGCATTGCCGTGGAGGATTTGCCGGCAACTCAAGAGTCTGCCACAACGTGTGCGAACAGGAGGCCATCCAAGCCATTAAGCTAGCCGCACTGCATACGGCTGAACGATTGGAGGAGTCTTGGCTAGCACATAATGCTCTCGATTGGACGCCCAACCGTCACTCTCTACCTGAGCCTCAATCGTTGTCATCGATGAGCCAGGTGTGTCCAAGATGCCGAGTTTGACAGGCGCCACGCCATGTAGCGGCGTCAATATCGACTTGCCTGCCATCTACTGTTGCCACACAGAGGTCGGTGTCAGTGGCAGGCTTCATGATGGCGGACACACCCGCCCACAGGCGTCGAACGAGACCTACTGGACGCTTTCAGCTCATTCAAACCAGTAGAGTTGCAAGGCCAGACTGAGCTATCTCACTCCAGCCTCAGTGTTGACATGCCGGATTCACTTCTCACCGGTCTTCAGTAGCCTGCCACAAGATTCCCGATGTCTCACCTTTGGCCAGGACGCAAAATCCGCGCTGGATGTACTCGGAAACTAGTGTCCTGTGGATGTGCGAGTCCGTGCGGCCAACCAGGGTGTACTCGAAGCAGTGGCCCACACGCTCGCGATCGGGCTAGTGTCAAGCTCACGAGAGACAAGAGAGTTTCTGGGCAATGCTTATGTTGTTGGAAGCCGAGAAGAAAGGAGGCGAGGTGGCCATATGAAGATGGGACCGCCTGTATTGTATTGTATTTGTATATTTATGACTCAATCATGTCAACCTGAATCTCAAACTGACAGTGTATTTTTCCCTTGGACAAGATGTATACTGGGCAATGCTGTAAGCTCGATTGTGGGCGAGTTCTGTAAGGATGTACGGTTGACATGTAAAGGAACAATATTGTATCAAAAAGTGCACTGCTCGAACGCTCTGCCGGCTGTCTTTCCCACCCACATTTCATCCGTGTTGCCCATTATTTGGCCACGTCAAATGTTGAACCGACATACCGCTATGATGGTGGCCGTACGTGAAGATCAGGTGAACGGCCGCACACTCCATGCACTATCGATTCCAACCGGAAACTTCAACAGAAATGAAACGGGACAAGTATGCTATACTACCAGCTCGCAAATGCTCTGCAAAACGCAAACGCAAAAATACACCATGACGAAACGCGGCTGCCCCAGATCCAACTCAGTAGGGTGCCAAACTCCTTTCCCCCCAAAAAGCCCAACGCCTCGTCTACCCAGTCCTCATCACGCATTCCATTGTTCTCCCCTTAAAACCCAAAGATCCGATTGGCCTCCTCGATAGCCCTCCTCGCGCCCTCGCTATCATCCGCCCCGCCGTGGGCCTGCGGTACCAGCTTCTGGAACCCAAACGCCCGCAGGCCTTCCCCGTCTGCGACCTTGTGCAGGACCTCCTCCGTAGGGCGGCCAATGTGCTCGCTCTCGCCCTTGCCCCCCGGGAAATCCGGCCCCGGTGTGCCCCGGAGGAAGGCCTCGCGCTGGCGGAGGATGTACTTCGCGTTGCGCTCCGTCACCGGGCACACGGGGATGTAGAGGACGCTGGAGTCGGAGGTGCCCATGTGGACCTTGTCGACGGCGTGGATGGCTATAGGGACACACGAACAAGGGAGAGTTAGCCAAGTTTTATAGCAGGGCCCGGGCGCCGCAAAGACCAAAGTCGTGAGTGGAAAGATAGGGGGAGAGAGATGGAGGAAGGGAGGGAGGGAGGGAGGAAGGAAAGAAAACTTACTATCACAATGCCACACCACAAAGTCGCCAGGCCGGATCTCGGGAACGTGCACCATGGTCTTGTCGAGCCGCAGATGCGGGTGCAGCTCCTCGGTGAGCTCCTGGCCGTGGCTCGGCACCGCGCCCTGGAGGTCGCTATTCATCATACCGCCACCCTTCCCATCACCACCTTGGTCACTACCAGCAGAAGCCGGCATGAAGCGCCAGTTGTCCGCCGCGAGGAACTCGTCCACCGACCCGCCGCACTCGGCGACGCTGCCGCGCACGGGCTCGAAGAAGGGCCGCAGCAGCACGTACGCCGTGGCGTGCCGCAGCATCGGGTTCACCATGAGCGTGCCCTCGCGCGGGAGCGTGCGGCTCATGCTCAGCCACCCCTGGAACATGCGAAAGGCCGAGCAGGCACCCAGACCGGAGTAGTTGTCCATCACGGCGTCGACCCGGCCGCTGATGTCCCACGGGTCGTACTCCCGGGCTTTATCGTTCGCGTTTGTGGCTTTCTCTTGTTGTTGTTGCTGTTGCTGTTGCTGTTGCTGTTGCTGTTGCTGTTGCTGGGAAGAGGAAGAGGAAGAAATATCATCGCCATCGCTGTCACAACCCCAGCGGCCCTCAAACACCGCATCGTACACCCCTCCCGCGCCGTACCCGTGGCGCTCCCACCGCTCGACGCTCCCGCCGTCAATGTGCGGGCCCAGCGCGAAGCTCGCGTCCCCCGGCTGCCGGATGCGCAGGCGGTCCGCGTAGCTCAGGGGCTGGGTCAGAGACACGGCGCTGCTCGGGTCGGACGAGTACCACAGCGCCATGAGCGCCCGCGAGGCGCGCAGCAGGTTCGGGTGGCTGCGTGCCCGGAGCTGGGGGGAGGACCAGTAGAGCTCGTAGACCTGGGGGTCGTTCTGGGGGAATGCTATTGGTGGGGTGGGAAGGAAATTGTCAGTGATGTTCAATTTACGTATATGTATAATCAATGAAACGGGAATGAGAATGAGAATGATGATGATGGGTGTGGGCGTGGGCGTGGTATAAACGAGGACATATGTGTGAGGAAAGGAAAAAGGACATACCCTTTGTCGAAGGGTTCTGCTTGATATAGTCCTCGAGCTGGAACTTGTACGCCCGCGCCTCGTCCTCGGGCACGACACCCCGAATGACGGCCACGCCTCGCTTCTGGATCTCGCGCCGGAGCCTGCTCATGTCGCGGTCCAGGTTGGCAAACTCGATGCTGGGCACGATGGCCGGACCGAGCTTGTCCACGAGCGCAACCTCGCGCTTGAGCTCGTCGAGGAGGCGCTCCCAGCCGCGGATGACGTCTTGCTCGTGCCCGGCCACGAGGGACTGCTTGAGCTCGCGGAAGCGGTCTGGCAGGGGTGGCCGAGGGCCGGTGTGCGACAGGGAGAAGAAGGCGTCGGAGATGTCGCCCTCGCGTTTTGTGGTGTCCGTCATCTTGGGAGGTATAGGCTGCGTGGCTGTAGACGAGGGTGGTGGTGCTGACGGGGCAACTGCTGCGGCTGCCATGTTGATTTTGCGAACGGCGTTGATTTGGAAGAGGGTTGAACGCGGTGATATACTTCCGATATAGCCGGTCCGTGAGTACAGTTGACTTCGTGCTGACACCCGGCCGAGTGCTGCCAGTGGCCTGGCCGAGCTGAGTATGCGTGATGCCATGTTTGCAGAAACTGAGTGTTATTGAATCAAATACAAGGAATGTCGATTCTCTGCTACGTTGATAACGACTGAGACACGCCGGGCATTGCGACACCCCTCACTGGCGAGGACCCCCAATCTTATAAATGGCTGTCGTTGCTCTAGAGTTTGCCATGGAGCTCATCAGTGACGAGCGGAATTGCCTTTTTGAGACTAGAAGGGGCCTCTGGAGCTCTACGGAAACCGCCCATGGTGTGGAGCTTGGAATCGACCGGTGTGGGGTACGCATTTGGTGTGTAACGAGGTAAGTTCAGCTAAGATTGGATTGCTGAGCAGACATTGCTTGGGGGGACTGTGTTGATCTCCCCTCGGCCAATCTGGCCTTGACACTGATGTAGCTAGCTGAAGAATGGGCAACGTTGCAGTGACTCGTGATTGGGCCTGTGTTTACGGATCAATGAACCTCGCTTGTGCTCTTTGGTCCAATAGCCTTGCACAGTTGGGACAGCCACTGCTGAGCAGAGCGGACCTCGTGGGTCAGCAAGGGGTGACGGCGATTCTTTAGGTGCTGACTTGGGTAGAGTCCTCGTGTTGCTCGCCTGTTCATCAACGAATCAGAAGAAGCCATCGCAGAGGGACACTCGTGGAGCTCGGATCATCTGCAGCGCAGGACTTACTTGACTGAATTCCAACACATGGATTGGGGGACCAGAGATACACACGAGTGAGAGATGCAGGGGGTCTTGGTAGTCGAGGTCGGGTTGGGCCTTGCATGTATATAGCCCCGGTATGCAGATATCGGGCCTAAGGCAGGATGACGATGCTTCCCCCCTGCAGCCACGCCAACAAACCCACCCTCACACAAACCAAGACCACCTCCCCCACTGCCTCGCGCTACGCTCGTGCTCTCTCGTCGCTCTCGGTTGCCCAAAAGGCTTCTGTGGAGCCACACTAGCTTGCTTCGGGCATCTCCGCCTGTCCTGTCTGGGGTCTCCAGCTTCTTTCTTTCCATCCCGGCACGCGAATCACAGAGCCAACCGCCAGCCAGCACAGGATCGCCTCTGTCGCAGAGCCAACGTGTCTCGCGCTCGGCGGCCCTGACGCCGCAACTCTCGCGGAATGCTCAAGTTCATCGAGTCGGACTCGTCGGGCCTGCCACGCAAGCGCAAGCAGGTCAGCCAGGCCTGCGAGCCTTGTCGCCGCCGCAAGAAGCGCTGCCACCACGTCGAGGGAGGAGGCCAGCACACAGACGAAGACAGTGGTGACCACGCGACAACAGCAACAACCACCACCACCACAACAAAACCCGCTGCCACTGCCACAGCATACAGTACAGCAGCAGCGCGCCCGCCCTCTGCGCCCTCTGCGCCCTCCAGCAACCCAGCACCGGCGCCATGGTCCTCGCCAGCGAGTGTTTGGCGCGCGCCGCCCTCGCCTCCTCCGTACCAGGGCCTGCCGGCTGCGGCCCCGGCCCCACACCAGTCCCCGACAACTTCAGCCCCGACCTTCCGCTCCGTCATCGCCAACTTCAATCCTTCGCCCCATGATGACCGTCTTTCCTGGAGCGATGCCAGCCGGGCAGCACGCCCAAGGCCAACGCTGCCACCGCCACAGACCACCACCACCACCACCCCCTCCAGCACTCGACTCAATCGATTCGTGGGCGACACCAACCCCGAGGGCCTCTTCATCGAGGCGTCCAGCCCTCGTTCCACGCGCGATGGGTCGCGTGGCGGCGTGGGAGTATGGAACCGTGACCCAGCCGGCCATGCCAACAGTACATTGGCTGCAAATCCCACCCTCGCAAAGTCTCGCTTCGAAGGACCCCGCCGCGCCTTCCAGGACACGGTCGACAAGTACGTCCGAGAGCACTGCCTGACATGCCGCCCGCCCCCAACAGACTATGCGGTCTTGAGGCAGATCTACTTGACCAAGCTGGACCCAATCTTCCCAGCCCTCTCGGAGCCTCTATTCAGACCACAGCCTGCTCAGCCAGATAACAACCAGCAGCAACAAAATCCCGCAGACATCATCGTCCAGCAAGTCGTCAGCCTGGCCGCGGCCTCGGACCCAGCTGCGGCCAAACACCTGCGGCTCATGGGCCACTCCAGCGGCGGCGGCGACGGCAGCGGAAGCAGTGGAAGCAGCAGCAGCCATCATGTTACACCTGAGCTTCTCGACTGTGGAACCTTCTGCGCGTCTCTCTCCTCGGCGGTCCAGGCAGCGCTCGACGCGGGCATCCTGACCGACCGGGTCCTGCACATGCGCGTGCTGCTCGTCTTCTCTTTGTACATGCACCCTCCCGGCCCCGAGGATGCAGACCTGCCGGCCCTGCTGCACAGCCAGGCGGTGCACCAGATGATCACGCTGGGCTTCCACCTGGAGCTGGGCGACAAGGACCCGACACGGCGCCGCGAGACGTGCACCGTCTTCTGCTGCCTGTGGGCGCTGGACCGCATGACGGCCGCGTTCTACGGGCGGGCGACGCTGATGCACGAGCGCGATTTTGGGTGGGACATGGGCGAGGCGATTGCGCGCCAGGGCCCGGCATTCCGCCTGCTGCTCATGATCATCCGGCTCATGGACGAGGTGTTTGCGCTGTACCGCCCGATCGTCAAGGTCCGGGAGCCGCTGATTGTCGAGATGCCCATCTTTGAGCAGCTCATTATCGATGCGGACGCGAACAAGGTCACGGATGCCACGCTGGGTAAGCCAAACCTACTTCTTCCTAGACGCATTTTGACAATTCTTTTGGAAGGGCACTATTGCTAACGTGCTAACAAACTGCCTGCAGCCACCCTCGAGGTCTTTTATCACGCCGTGGCAATCCTGTCCTGCCGGTACCCCGACGGGTCCAAGGAGTCGGCCATGCCCGCGCCAGCGACCAACAGCCGGCGCTCGCTGTCCGCCGACCGCATCACCTCGATCGTGGGTGACGAGTTCGAGGGCTGCCTGTCGTACCTGCCCTTCATACCCTACGCGGTATCGCTGTCGCTGAGCGTGGCGTACCGCAAGATGCGGTTCAGCAGTGTGCCCATGTTCCGCGCCCGGGGCCGGCGCGCGTTCCGCGAGAACACGGTCATGCTACGGACCCTGGGGGATGCCTTCTGGACGGCAAAGGCGCTCGCGGGGATGGCGGAGAAGACGCTCAGGGAGCTGGACAAGGCGACGGCGTCGCTGATTGAGGGCGAGATGGGACAGAACGGTGGTGGTGGTGGCGGTGGTGGCCACTTGCCAGCTGCTGCCGTGGCCGTGGCCGGCAGGGAGAATGGTGTCGCCCCTTCTCCCGGTGGTCCTGGCCTTGGGGGAGGAGGAGGCGGAGGTGCTATGGCCGGCGGGATACCTGGGATGAGTAGCAGCGCAACCCCGGCAGCATCAGCAGCAACACCGCTCGACCGCCCGGCGAGCGTCCTCGGCGGCGGCGGTGGTGGCGTTGGAGGGTTTGGCGTCATGGATGCAGCAGGCGGTCGACTGGGCCCGGTGGCGCAGGACTACGCGTCGGAGAACATGATGGACGCGAGGGACATTGACGTCTTTGGGCACCTGGACCCGACGTTTGACATTGGCGCCGTGGACGCGGTGCTGGACGGCAACCTCGACTTTGGCACGTCGTCCAACTGGTTCGACATGCAGCAGATGTGGGGTTACTGGCTTGCATCCGCTGTTGCAATCAGTAATTAACTGGTGATATGTGCGGGTGGCGTTGTGGGCGGCGGGCCGGGCGGGCGCGGGTAAATAAATTGGCGTCATCATAGTTTCCCCGCGCCGCTGCTCAGCTGGTGGGTGGCGGCTGCTGGAAGCGCCTTCTTCAGCTCGTTCGCTGCCGCGCCGGCAACATCTCCGTGCGGGCTGCAACCACCACCACACGCAAGAACCAGACGGCAAACGACGCGAAGCTTGTCGACAACAAAGAACAGTCATCTCGACATCACCAGACAGCTGCAGAAGAGTGCAGAGAACGCCAGGTATGTCCCCCCTATCCTACGCCGTTGGCCCAGTTACTGACTTGTCAAGAAATCGGGCAATCCGCGCCAGACCACACACATCGCAGCGACGCACCGCTGCAACCAGCAGCAATGGCCGCCCCACCACAAGGCCCCAGCTCCGTCCAGGTCTCCCTGCCCCAGATCGCGAAGCTCATCGACCACTCGCTCCTCCATCCGACCATGACGGACGCCCAGATCCACGCGGGGCTGGACGTCGCCCGCAAGCACGGCGTCGCCGCCGCCTGCGTTAAGCCCTACAGCGTACCCATCGCTGCCGAGGCCCTCGCCGACTCCGGCGTGCTCGTCTGCGCCGTCATCGGCTTCCCCCACGGCAACAGCACGACCGCCATCAAGGTTGCAGAGGCACAGGAGGCCGTCTCCGCGGGCGCCCACGAGATCGACATGGTCGTCAACGTGGGCAAGGTGCTCGGCGGGGACTGGGAGTACGTGACCAACGAGATCCGCGCCATCAACGACGCCGTCACCCACAGAGACCAGGCCGTGCTCAAGGTCATCTTTGAGAACGACTACCTCGACGACAGCCACATTGTGCACCTCTGCCGCATATGCTCGGCGCTATCGGTCGCGTTCATCAAGACGTCGACGGGCTACGGCTTTGTCAAGCAGGACAATGGGCTCTACACGTACAAGGGCGCCACTCCCGCGCACCTGAAGCTCATGAGGAGCAACGTCGGGCCCAATGTGCAGATCAAGGCGGCGGGCGGGCTACGGACGCTAGACGACGTGCTGTACGCCATGTCGCTGGGCGTGACGCGGATCGGGGCAACGGCAACCGAGGAGATCCTGGCAGAGGCGGCGCGGCGGGGGATTGGCATCGCGCCGAAGCTGGTGGAGGTCACGGTGCCTGCGGACAAGACTTGAAGGCTGTCATTGTGGCGTTGTGGTCTTTTTTGAAGACGGCAGCACGCTGCATGATTGACATGAAATGATGGCCGTGCCCGCAATGGAGCCCCTGGAAGCTTACACGCGTAATAGCTATGTACCGCTTGCAAGAATGTGGAGCTGATGGTCTCTCCGCCGGGCTTAATGTTCCCGTAGGGCGCCCAAAACTGCCATGTATTGGTCAGCCAGAAGACCAGGTGTCTCGTGCTCGGCGACTTTTTGGAGAGACACTCTCGTGCAGCCACACGCTCCACCCTGCAGGTGCATGTCGCTGGAGGGTGCTATTTCTCGAAATTGCAAGCCCAACCTCGAGTCTCTGCGCAGCCACAAGCGCAGTTGACGGGCAGCTCGGCCGAATTGTTGACAGCGGCCCCGCCGCGTGCGGAGGAGGGGCTGGCTGGCTCCGCCGGACTGTTTCCAAGTTTGTGACAATTGCAACCCCGTGGTTGGTTCCGGCTTGTTCAATGCTGGGGCTGTGTGTCGGCAGCATCCGTTTTGTGCCGGGCGGGAGGGCTGGGTAGTTGTCTCTTCAATCGCTATTTGTAATCGCCTCCCAGCCGCCTGCCTCGTGTGGGCAAGCGTGCCTACCAGTTCGAATACACGATCCAGCTCTGGAGACGTGGTACTACACACTCCCGCTGTTCCCCGTTGACACTTTTAGACCTTTAAATCGTCGTTGCCATCCTTTCCGACAATCACGCAATTCCTAGCACACCACCACTCGTATTGCTCTCTGTCCTGGCTGGCCTTTGTCATTCACCACCCTGCACTCCACTAACCAAGCAACCACCTAACATACACACACCATGGCCACTACCACCACCTCCACATCCCCGACTGGCGGACCAGCAGTCTCCTTCCGCGACCTGGCCTACCTCCCCCTCGTCCGGTCTCTCACGACCGCCATCAACATCACCACAAAGGCCCAACAACATGTCGCCTCCTCCTCTTCCAGCGACCCCTCTTCCCCCACAGAGGAGGACGTGGTCACCGCCCGCCTCGCGCCAGACATGTACCCCTTCTGGCAGCAATGCTACCAGCTCCGCAAGACCACCAGCAACGTCGTGCAGCGCCTGTCCGCGACCACGCCGGGCCCCGTGACCGACCCCGCCCGCCCAGAGGAAGGCACCATCACCACCTTTGCGCAGTGCCTCGCCATACTACAGGCCGCCCGGGATGAGCTGGACCAGGCCGTGACCGACCACCCGGACCTGTTTGCCGACGAGCAGGCCCCCGCGGGCACGAGCGTGCAGTACGGGCCCCTGAGCCTGCCCGTCAGCAAGAAGGCGTACCTGGAGGGGATGATGGTGCCCAACCTCAACTTCCACCTGGCCATGGTGTATGCCATCCTGCGCATGAAGGGCGTCCCGCTCGGCAAGGTGGACTACATGGGGCCGTTCTTTGCCGACTATGTCGACATGGACGAGGTCAAGAAGGAGATGGCCGCGGCGGCGGCGGCGAAGCAGAAGGAGTAGACTGTGTAATTATGGCCAATCTGAGTCCAGAACGATGCACACACAAGAACAAAGTAAAACAAAACAACACCAAGAATAGCAGTGGGGGCCCTCAAGCTCTGGCCTGGGGATCCGGACATACCGGTCTGGTAGAATACCTTCTGTACGGAATAGGAAAACGGCATAGGAAAAAAAGACAAAACGTCGCGAAATGAGCAACGATTGGCAGCACGATTTTGAAAACCTGTTTGATTGTCGAATAACCAAGGAAAGGCGTAGCAGGCACAAATAACACTAGAATCAGGCATCGGGTAGTCGTCTGCTCGAAAGAAGCTGTCGAAAATACAGAGCTCGCTTAAAACGCCTCGAACTGCGACCACAACGGCATGGCATGTCAAGAGAGGTTGTGGTGACTAGACCAGTAAGTAGTATGTTCAACAGCTGTAGAAACGACCTGAAGCAGGCCCGTTTATCAGCCAATTCATCGTTCGTACTGAACACACCGAAGCGAGCCCCGTGAACATGACACATGGGATTGATGAACACCGAGAACCCGCTCTCGGCTCGACGGCATCCAAAAACCCGGACAGCACCACATATTTTGGCTTGGTCAAACCGCAAATCCATCTCCCCCCGTGTTCATTTAGCTCCAAAATGCGTTGTCGAACCGGGAACACTTGGAACGACGGGACCTAGCTTCAGCGAGGACGACACGGGAGGCAGCAGCAGCTTTCTTGAGCGTCACACCACCCCTCCTTCTCGCCCTCCAGCTTTACCCAGAAAAGCTTTCGTGCTCACGCAACGAGAGGGGCAAGAAAAACTCTTGAACAGTCTATTCCCGGGGCCCCTGCGCAAGCTAGAAACGTCTTTGTCGAGCATCGTTTCGCATAGAACAAACCCAACCACCCACCCACCCACACACACACATATATATACACAAGCGTCCCTCCTCGACGCTGTCCCTCTCTCAAACTATACCAAAGCCCACCACCACGACGGATGCATTTCTGCAACAAGGGACTAGGGCGAACCCCGGGTGGCGACGTCGTTCCCATCCCAGGACAAATAATCGGGGGGAGGGGGAGGGGGGAGGGGGTGGTTGGAACCCAATGATTGGAAACAGTCTCGACAGGCCGCTCTCGAGTGTCTCCTCAGTTCACGCTTCAGGCCCAGCAGGTGCTGTGGGCGCGGATGGCCATGGGAGAAGTAGAATTCATGAATGCCTTTCTTTTTTTGGAATTTTATTTCGCATTTACACCTACTACCACTGAGATCGAAGAGAAACCACCACTGAGAAGACGTCACCAGACATGTCAATCAAAAATAAATTCGCTTGCTGGACTAAAAGGAAACACAAAGCGCATGCCAAAAGCAAAACTACGAGGATATAGATGGCCACATTCCCTTGCTTCAACTTCCGTCTATCGCTATGCGCAATAATCCCGGCACAGGTGATAATTAGAAACGCCAAAAGGACTGCAAACAACCCTTGGCTACAGTAAACATCAACCTGCCATTCCTTCTCCACCACCATCATGATCAACATCGTCACCACCACCACCACTCCACCGCAGCTTCAATCCCGCGTAATCCACAACCACACAACCGGCTTCTCCCCAGCCCTCCCCGTCCGGGTATGATCCCAGCCAAACTCCTTGAGCGCCTTCTTCAGGTCGTCCTTGTCGTCCCCCGAGATCGTCAGGCCCTTGTACCACTTCCCGTTCCCGCCCTGCACGACCTCGGTCACGCGGTTCTTCTTGGCCGAGGCATTGGTCGCGCCGAACCCCTTGAGCAGCTCGGCGACCGTCGTGTTGGTGGGGACATGGTACGCGCCAAAGTGCATCGACATGCCCGCGGGGAGGCGCCAGGGCGGCGACTCGGACTTGATGACGTGGATCTTGGTGTGCAGCGCGGGGAAGTAGTAGTTGTAGCCCGGCTCGCAGCCCACGCCGCCCGTCGAGTTGGTCATGTTGAGCGCGGGGGTCTCGTAGCTTACCACCGGGTGCGGGTTCGGGAGGCGGCTGCCGCCGGGCTGGTTGGGGAAGACGGGTAGTGGCGGTTGTTGGCCCGTCTGCGGGATCACGTAGGTCGGGCCTTGGGCCCCGGCGCCTGGGTGGTGCTGGGCGCCGGTAGGCATGCCGTAGTATGCAGCTCCTGGGTATGATGTTGCGTATGGCATGCCGCCGTGGCCGCCGACGCCAAAGGGAGAGGCGCTGTTGGACGGTGCGTCCCAGCCCCAGCGCGGGTTCCAGCCTTGACCGTTGCCGGCCATTGTGGTGCTGGTCGTTGAAGGTAAGGGGATAGAGAAAAAGAAATTGTGGCTTAGTCGGAGTCGGACGAACTGTCTGACAATCTATCTGACTCCTCGTCGTCCGAGGTCAGAGGGGAGTGTCGTTCGACTTCGACGTGCGGCGCTGCCAGTTGACGAACCAGGTTGCGCTGGAGTCGACGGTATATCTGCCGGTACCGGTGCTGGGGATCAGTGTAGAACCTCGTCGGATGAAGATGTAGCCGTGTCTGGCGTCGGTGTCTTGGCCGGACTACAAAAATCAGCAACTGGCTGACACGGCTGATGAGCACGGAGGAATCGTAGCTAGAAGCACTGAGAACTGACCTCGTCCTGGATTCGCGTACTCTCTCAGAAGCTCCCCGAACCACGAGTCTGGGTGAATGGCCGACGCTCCAATCCGAATCTCAATCTGCCAGATCTCTTTGTCGTCAGCGTCGTAGAACGCACCCACGACCAGCCACGCAAAGGACTGGCAATCGGGATGGATCCAGAAGTGTTGACCAATGACGAGCCTGACGGCCGGATATGGGAGACGGTTGGACTGATTATACGTGATTAGATTCGACGGGGAAGCCAGTTTGTTTTGCCGAGCGGCAGACTTCAGTCGACCACTGTGCTTTCAGAGAGGTACGGTCTCACGGCTGGTGAGGCAGCGTGCCGTGTATTGTTCTGCGGTATGTCTGAGGATTGCTTTGTCTTGATGGGTTCGCAGCATGCATAAAGCTTTTAGGGTCGCGACTTCGCCAGGATCCATGTGTACCATCGCCGGCGCAGGCTCAGCATATATACCTGCATCCTGGGGATTTGTTGATAGGAATGGCTGTGAATGTATGCTACGTACTCAGGACCCTGTATCTGATTTAGTCACACCTGAATCCCTGACTAGTGCATGACTGTCATTGCACGAAAGAATCACCACTTGACTAGGCAAACCCCTTGACTCACGAGAGGTCCTGGTGTTCAGAGGGAGCCCAAATATATCAGCCCTGACTGAACATCGGCACGCTGGTCCCGTGATCTGATCCAGCCTGAATGCCGCTCTCGCAATATCATCCCATAACACGGGCAGGATCATTCTGAGCCTGCGCGCCAAGTCGTCTCTGCCGATCCCGCGATGGTCACGCGCCTGACATCTGCGCGCGACGGCTGATAGCGCTCGGCGGCTGTCCTTCCACTGCTGTTCTCAGTCTCCTATCGCTTGATGCGGCAACGCCGATTCGCTGTGACTTCCCATGCTGATTTGTCCTAATATCCAGACGGACTGTGGCCAGACGGATTATGACGTATATCGACGCGCGTGTGCTGTCATAATGAGTGTCGTTGATCTATGAAGACCATGCTGCAGTCCAGAGGAGGGCAGCCTGGACTTGGTATCCTCCCCGAAAGGAAACCAAGATGCCCACTGCTGCGTTATTCAACGCGACTTCCAAGCTTTTCGGTTCTGTTCATCAATTGTACCTCGTCCAGTCACACAGGACTTCACTCTGTCCACTCGAATTGGCGCTTCAATCAGCCCCTCCCACCTCCTCCACCAGACGTACGGCGCCGCCCTTCTTGGTATCGCTGACGTCGCTGGCGGCCCGGCGCCTCCGCTCCGTCTCGGCCACCAGACCGCGCAGGTATACTTCGGCCTGGACCGTGGCACTGTACGCGATAGCCGTCCAGCTCCAGGCGTTTCTCCGCTCGGCATCAGCACCTGCCGCAAGAAGCGTACGTAGGACCAAGAGATTGCCGTTGCTGCTGGCAAAGTGTAGTGCAGTGTTGCCGTCGATGTCGGCATTGCGAACAGCTGCTTCGTGGCCGTCGGGGACGTAGGTGAGGAGGAGCTGGAGGACAGTGTCGTGGCCGCCGCGGCTGGCCTCCATGATGGAGTCTCTGCCCTTGGAATCGCGGCGCAGAATGCACTCTGGAAACCTTTCTGCGAGGAAATGGACGACGTTGGTATGGCCATTAGCGGCGGCGAGGGCGAGCGCAGTCTGGTGGTTCTCGTTCAGGGCGGGCGTGGGCTCTTCGTGGCCAAGAGAAACGAGGACCCTGGCTACGTCTACGTGGCCCATCGAAGCTGCGAGATGAAGGTTTGAGTTAGAGAGTCCAGCCGGAGAGGTGTCTGGATTGTGAATGAGCTTCGGGTGGGCCTTGACGATGCGCTGGACGAGGAGGGTGTCGTTGGCGTGGACGGCACGCCACAGTCGCTGAGAAGGGTCGATCCTGGAGTTTGGAGGCTCCATGTTAGCAAGCAGAGCCATCAGGAGCATCTGGGAGTCTGGAAGGGTGAAGCGCAATGCATACATGGCCTGTGGCGATGTGTAGACTGGGAGTACGAGGGTGGGGTCGTTGGCTGGCGATGACGTGTGTTGCGGAGCCTGTCCAGCAAGGCGTGGTGAAGAGCAGCGACGAGCGTGGCGCGATCAGAAGGCCAAGGTGCGATGAAGCAGAAGGGAAGCCTGAGCCAGCAGGTGGATTTGTGAGGAATTGCGCCGCGAACTTTGCCGTCGATGGTGATGCTGGGCGGGTGTGGTTGAGTCTGGAAGTCAATACAGAAGAGAGCATGAACGACGCGTGGCTGTGTCGTGGGGAAGGAGCTCGGGCTGGGCGGCGGCGCCTGCCGATCAGTGGGCTCTCCCCACGCCCGCCGCGTGCCGGCCCCTGCACTAGCGCATCCTGGGGCAGACCTCCCTACTGATGTCAGTGTCTTGTCTTCAACCCACTCCCTGTCCCATGGCTTCCCGGTGAAGATCAGTCTCACTGGGACAACCAATCCTGCCTGACGACATCGGTTGCAGGTACAAATCTAGCAGCCCAACTCATCATGAGCATGACAGCTTGGAGCCAACGCCGATTCCAAAGCAGTGAGCCGGTCTTTCGAGGTCCTTCTTGGGCTGTCATCAATCGAAAGTCGGTAAAGGTGAGCGCCGGCAGAGCCTGTCTATTGAACGGGGTCTTCTACAGACACATTCGCTTGGATCTACTGGCCTGGAGATTTCTTGTTTCTTGGTCACGGGCTAGTTGGCCACAAAACCCTCCAGTCGCATATCACCGACCCCTGCTTGCCTCCAGAATGTCCCACTTGCAAGACTCACTCGCTGAGGATATCGTTGTACGACCCTAAGCAATCAATATGCAGACAGATATGTGTTGTGGAGTTTTCTTGCTCTTGTATCTCCGCATTGTAAGCCACACCCCGCGCGTAAAGTGTTTAGGATAATGGTATTGGTTCTTCGGTCGAGCTGTACTGTGGTTGTGCCCAGCCCGATCTCGTGTTATCTTGTCACGGCTAAATTGCCCACAATGGCAAGTTCTGGACAAAAGCGCAATATCAAACGCAGATGGAAAGCATCACTCCGATCATGTTGTCCGTACTATCGACAATATGACCTGCCCAAAGATGCATTTCGCGGCATAACCCTTGTTCTCCTCCGCTACAAGTAGGCTTGCTGTGGTCTCAGCCACCAAAATGACACTGCGGACGATGGCCAGGGACTTCGTCGCGTCCGATTGTCGAGTATGAGCCCCCTCGGCCCGAAGCCTTGCAGCGCAGAAACGGGATGAGCTAAAGCTGGTCCAGACATTGGAGGACGACATGAGATGCTCGCATGCTTTTCGAAGTCTCGCAGAAGCTTGCTCGCTGAGACCGCCATCACCCAAAGATTTCAGTCTCGGCCGTATTTCTGAAGTCCGCCGAAACAACACTGCACATTCCACGATCTTTCGGACTCAGGCGCAGATCCCCGCATGAGACAACCCTTAGCATCCAGCAGATGAGCTTTAGACCCAGACACAATTTGTTGGGCTGGGGAAACCTGGGGAGATCTGGGGAAAAGGTGGATCAGTCTTCGGGCATTCTTCTTACGCCGACCGCGGGGGTGCCATTCCCATCACAGGGGCAGCACACACCAGCACTCACTCACCGCGTCGTCCAGTGCCATCATCCGTGCGCTGCTGGGGGCAAGCCGGGGGTGAGTGCGGGGGAGCCGGGATGATATGGCCGCCTGCCGAGCGCTGGAGGCACTACTTAAGCCTCTACGCCCCATGCCTTCGCCCTCTGCCAAGACGACGCCTCCATGCTGCCAAGCACCGATCACGCTCATCCTCCACAATGGCGACACCTTTCGGCACAAAATGTGTCCCCTTCGATAGGCGAGAGTCGCAGTCTGTGCGACAGATGGGGCCCTTTCCCCAGACTGCTGGGTGGGCGGGGGAGACATGCCGCTCGATGCGACTCTGCCAGGTCATGATGGATGGGGTATAATACAGGTCACGACACCCTGCGACAGAGCGCCATTCGGTCCCTCCTTTGGTCCAGCGAGGTCTTGCAACTCTTCAGCTACTCATACACTCCGTTTGCGGTTTCATCCTTGTCGCCCACCCCTCAATCAAAATGATCAAGCAGAGCCCAGACCACATCGACCATGGCGATGGCGAGAGCCATGCTATCGACGAGAAGGCCGCGGCAGTCCAGGTGGACCACACAGGCAGCCATATGAAGACAGACCCAGCCGAGATAGCGCTTGTGCGCAAGCTCGACTGGCGGATCATGGTCAGTACGAACGGGCTGTTCCCGGGAAAAGCGGTGTCGGCATGCTGACGAGCAGTAATAAAACAGCCAACACTGTGCTTCATGTACTTCCTCAACTACATCGATCGGAATGCCTTGGCGTCGGCCCGTTTGAATGGAATAGAGAAGGATCTCGGGATGAGCGGATTCGAATTCAATACCACCATCAGCATGTGAGTTTGTGGCAGTCGGTCGGCTAGCAATCGATGCTAACTCTCTGCCAGCCTGTTTGTGGGATACGTTTTGATGCAGATCCCAAGCAACATGCTCATCACGAAGATCAAGCCCGGCATCTACATGAGCTCATGGATGGTTGTCTGGTATGTGGCATTATCTCAGATTTTCCGCACGATATGAGCACAGACACTGACCGCATCCCACAGGGCTGTGGTATCTGCATGCACCGCTCTTGTTAAGAACTTTGGAGGCCTCGTGGCTTGCCGTTTCTTCCTCGGAATCACAGAAGCGCCTGTGAGTCAATCTATCTGTGCTCGCTAAAAGGCTGCCTTAAGGCACTGACTCGCGTGGCAGTTCTATCCTGGAGCCACATATATGCTATCCATTTTCTACACTCGTCGAGGTAAGTTTGAGTGACGTGTCATAATACATGTGGATCTGAGACTGACGTTAGACAACAGAGGTTGCTACTCGCATCGCCGTCCTGTACTGCGCCCAAATCCTCGCAACGGGCTTCGCAGGTCTGATCGCCGCCGGAGTCTTTGCAGGCATGTCAGGTCTCGGCGGGCTCAAGGGATGGCAGTGGCTGTTCATCATTGAGGGTGCTGTGACGGCCCTTGTCGCGGTGGCTGGCTTCTGGCTCCTCCCCAATACGCCCCTGACTACGCGGTGGCTCACCACGGAAGAGCGCGAGCTCGCACATGCCCGCATGGAGAGAGACCGTGTTGGCGACTCGATTGACGGCCAAGTCAGTGCTTGGGCTGGGCTTAAACAGGCTGCTTCTGACAAGCGGACGTACGTACTCATTCTGGCCCAGCTTGTATTGTCAGTCACTAATAACTCGTCTGCACAGTTGGCTGTTCTGTCTCATGCAAAACTTCCACCTCAGCGCCTGCTCATTCAATAGCTTCTTCCCGACGTAAGTGGATTCGTCATCATGAAAACTTGACCATCTTGCCTAACGCACATTCCACTAGTGTCGTCAAGACTCTCGGCTTCAACACGACCATCACGCTCGTCCTCACATGTCCGCCATTTATCGTCGCTGGCGCCGCCGGTATCTTTACAGGTGCGTCATATCTTGGCCTGGGCTGTCCCCGAACCAATGCCTACCATCCCCATACTGACACATCTCTCTTCCCGAAATATAGGCTGGAGCTCCGGTCGTCACCACGAGCGGACTTGGCACATCACTGGCGGCCTGTGCGTCGCGATTGTCGGCTTTGTCATCGCTGCTAGCTCGCTCAACACCGTGGCCCGCTACATTGCATGCTTCATCTTCCCGATCGGCGCGTACTCTGTCAACTCGGTGATTATCGGCTGGGCGTCATCGACACTTTCGCAGACCAAGGAGAAGAAGGCTGTGAGTTGACACTTCTTGTTCTTACCCCAAGATACAACAAGGACCACTAGCTGACATCAACACTACAGGTTGTCCTCGCAATGACGAATGTCGGTGGCCAGATTGGCTACATATACGGTGCCTACCTGTGGCCCAGCTACGACGAGCCCCGCTACGGCATCGGCTTTGGCGCGTCTGCGGGCTTTGCGCTGCTGTCCATCGGCTGCGCGTGGGTCATCCGGATCTGGCTGAAGCGCGAAAACAAGAAGCTGCTGGCTGCCGCCGAGGAGTCGGGCACGCACGTCAACCTGTACGGCTACTAGGCTTGATGGCTTGAGGCTGAACAGTCGCTTTGGAAGCAGGACCCGCGCACAAGCTGGGTTTCAAGCTGGCCTGCAGGCTGTTGTATCAGAGCCCATGCAGGCACATGTACGGGGTCCAGGTAGCTGCGGTCCTATGGTGCCTTTGCACAAATAATATTCTTTTCCTCGCATACTCGTGTCTGCTGCATGCGTCGTCCCCATGCCCATGAGAGAAAATATGGTCACATACAGAGGTAATGTCCCCATCGTACAACAATACATTCCGCCATCAAAATCAAAACCTCGCTTGCTTGCCCATTTGAAATTGAAACACCAAACAATAGTAGTCATACAAACCCCTCTTCGGCCAAAAGGACTAAAGGAGCACCCTTCTAATTCATCAAGCTGGCCATAACGACAGCACCCAGCCCGACAGCCAGAGCAAACCCAGCGGCCGGCCGCGCCATAGTGCCGTCACTAGACCCGTGGCCTCCGCCTCCGCTGGTGCCGTAGTGGTGAACAGTGCTGCCGCTGCTGCCGCTACCGCCCTTTCCCTTGGTCGCGTCGTCGTCATCGTCGTCGCCGTCTCCACTGCTGCTGGTGCTGGTGCTGCTATCGTCGTCGTCGCTCCGGCCCTGGAGAACGTCGGGCGGGGCGTGCTTGATGAGGATGTTGTTGTCCTTGGCAGCATTGTCAAGACTTGCGATGATCACATGTTAGCCTTGCTGATTGTCAACTTTACAAAATGAGGATAAGAGGGGGGCTACACACGATTCTAGTGAACGGGCTTGCTCGAATGCAACGCTACCACCGCCGCCGACAACGACGACCGCGGGCTCTCTCTTGCTGGCGGCCGCCGTCACTTCGTCGGTGGTGGTAACTTGTACACTGCGCAGCGCGGCGAGTCCGGCAGCAGTGACGTCCTGTGGCCTGGCGACTGCGCTCAGGGGCAGCAGGGCAGCAGATGCACAGATGGAGAGGATGGCTGTCCGGGGGATCATTTTTGGCTTTGCTTTTGGTGTGTATGTGTGGGCTTTGTGTGTGAGGGTGTGTGTTTCTCTCAGGAGACGTTGTGCGATGGGTTAATGATGATATGCACAGTAATGATTTGGAGATGTGGGCTCAATAGAAGATGAATATCTTTGGAATTGTGTAGATGAAGTATCTCGCTAAAATACAGAAAATGGGCAGACGGTGGCACACTTAAATGCTAAGCATCACGCCAAGCACGCAAGACAGGACGACGGAGGTATTCCAAGACGGGAGCCAAAACAAAGACCCTGCAGACGTCAGAGACCCTTAGGTGAACCCCTAGAGCTAGGGGGACTACTACTACAGTACTACCATGGTTGGCCTCCGGTGCTGGGGCAGCTGCAATGATGGATGCCCAGCCCTGAGTCGGCCGCATTGGCAGTGCGGGTGCAGCATCCGGAGCAGATCGTTGCCCCTCGCGAATGGCCTTGCTGATGCTGTGCTGGCCCAGTGGAACGTGTCAGCCGTGCGATGATGTAGTGCCGATCCCTGGAGGGGCGACATTGGGCGAATCAGTGTGCCGCTTAGGGCCGTGACTTCATCGCGGGTGCTGAGCCCTGCCGTGCACTTGCCACTTGGCCCTGCTGAGCCCTGCTGCTGTGGGTTCCACTGTGGGTTCCACTAATTAAGGTAAGGCTTTTAGGACAAGTTGAGTCCCATACGCCCGCCAGAGATCCACAATGCCTGATTGGGCAGGTTCATGGCAGTTCCAGATGTGTACTGTTACTAAAGTAGGCGCAGAAGCCAGGAGAGGCGGTTCTGCCTCATGTGCGAATGTTCCCTGCAAATGTCACTGATAGCATGGCTCGGCAATCAAAACAGGCTCGGCACAGCACACCACCGTTCTGGGTTGCCTCACTCTCAGCCATATTCAATGCCATGCTTCGTGATTCACCACGCACAGCTACGTTTCCGGGTTGTTTGATGCTGACTTGGCCCCCTTGAGAAGGATCGTGACGCCAGGAGATCAAGCAAGTTCACGAGGGTGCTGCACATATGCAGACACGCACACGGTCAGGATCGGAGCCGAATGAGCAGTACTGCATGTAATGCTTTGAAGACACGGAGTCATGCCGATCATTGTGCCGGTTCAGAGTCCGCGCAGTCCCAAGTCCAAGTGATGGTAGTATTATGGATGAATATATACAAACGTCATGCCTCTTGTCGAGCAAGAAGGCATACCACTAGCCATCAACTGCAACCCCAGCTTGCTTTGCCGGACACGCGCCAAAGTCTCAAAACCATGTGTGTGCAGCCACTTTGTTCACCAGGCTCACACGACAACCGCAACTACACTACAACGAGAGCGCACCCGTCGTCACTTGTCGCCATGGTAGCCGTACCCCTGGTCATCAAAGGCATCGATGCTGCCGACGGCGCGGCCCTGGATGACGTCGGGAGGGGCGTCCTTAAGACTGCTTAGCTTCCCGGATTATTCCAGAGACCGCGGGCATTTATTTATGTGTCATGTGTGTGCTTCCATACTTCTTGTGTGTTTGTGTAGAGAGAGAGGATGATGCGGACGTACGATCTCCAGGAGTGACCTTGCTCGGGGGCAACCTCGTCTGCCTGCACTTGGCGAATGGCCGCGGCAGTGTCACCTTGCGGTCTAGCAGCTACCCCTAAGGGGAAGGCAGTCGCGCAAATGAACAAGAGGACTGCCTGAGGGATCATCTTTTCTTGTTTGTGTTGCTGTTTTTGCAGACTTGCTTCGTAGTGGGCGAATTGTCGCTTCTTTCAGGGCGACGTCGAAGCGATGTTTGGCAACGGTGCACAATAAAGAGCAGGACAAGTGCGCTAAAGACTGTGGACAATATATTGCATACATATACAGAGTGAGAGAGGAGGGGCTAGATGCTGGTGCGTTGTCGGCGCTTTAATAGCTATCCACCACGCCTAGCACACAGGCGTACTTAGACCAGAGGGGAGGCACGCCGAGGTGGAAGTTTAACATAGCCCTGGTGGTTTCAGGACCTTTAGGCGCGGGGCAACGGGCATTTTCCTTCAATCAGGCCTATCGCAATGCGAACATGGCGGGTGCCTAGTCCACGGCCCGTCCCTAGTGACAGGGGCGGGTGTGCCCGAGACCAATCGTTGATCCCGTCAGCGCACTCGTCGTGCATTCTTTGCTGCCTGCTGATCGTATGGCTTATCGCCAGCTCGATTATTGTCGGCGCTGATTCTCCGCGTCTTTCAGAAGAAAGCGGAGGGAGGCAGGCCATCTCGCGAATCAGCACGCCGCCCAAAGGCCGTGATCTCATCGGTTGCTGAGCCTTGGGCGCCAATATTACTCTTCGGCCCCCAAGCCCCTGCAGCTCCGCAGTGCCTGTTTAGGCAGGTTGATGGCAGTTTCGAATACGGGGTGGAGGAAACAGGAGAGTCGATTCTGCACCAGAGGCTAATAATTCCCGGCCGTCGATGGCTGGACAGATGATAGAGTGAGTTGCTTAGCAGTTTATCCTAGCATATACCAGGCAGAACAGAGCAAAAGGGCTGCCTACGCCGAATTTTCCTCGGTTGAGCATCCGTCTGCCCCAGCCTGGCAGCCATGATTGTCCTACAAGTCGTCAGTTCATACATTTGCACCATGCGCTCGTGACCTTCTACCATCCTTGGTTGCATCTGCATGGCCTGATCTTGCCGATTTGAACTTACATATTGGCTTGTAATGTGCTTGACCCAAGTCTTTGCTTCTCGTATGTGCCACACGCCGCGAGGACATATGTAAGTTACGGCCTAGAGTATACGTCCTCGTAGGTGAATGGCGATTCGGGGTCATAATCAAGTCTGGCGGGGCTGTAAGCCTTAGTTAGTCCCGTCCTCCAGGGCAAGCCGAGATGAAGCCGCAGGCATTTCCTTACTTGATTTCATCCTGTATGGTTTGTGTCAGTCACGGAAGGTACGCCATCGAATAGCTCTATTAGGACAAAGTGCGACTCACAGGAGACACTTTTCTTGGAGCCGAAAACCGCCACCACATGTCATCCATCTGTAACGTGGTACTAAGTTAGCTTGTGCTACGACGGCCGATATGCTTCTTGGATTGGCAATGATGGTGCTTACCGTGATGGAAAACTCGGAGTGGCCCGGAAATATACCCTCAAGAAGGCGCTGAAGCCCGGTTCGTTTCAAATATCGTATCGACGTTTTCTGGAAGACAGCATGTTGCCTTTTCTCAGTGTCGATGGTCTCCGGGCCGGCTGGGAGGGACTTGTGCAGTTGGCTAGTGGATGATGACACGGCCAAATGCAGTGGCTCTTCGCCCCTAGCCTCGTTGGATCTCGGAAGTTCACCCGGATCGCTTGAATATTTGTTGATGCCGCGTAGATGGTCGACGTGGGTCAGATCCACAAAGTCGTCCTTGTCGCTAGCGTTCGAGCTCCCTGGTACACGTCCCGTACTTTCGGTTTCCAGGCTCGTGTCCTCCGTGGTGGTAGCAGAGACGCGCGCGTCCGCCGTGTCCACATTGGGCTTCGATGTGTTTGGTGCAGACGTGGAGCTCTGCACGGTATCCTCGATGCTTTGTTCGTCAGGGGATCTGGCGTCTCCCATGGTTTGTGTACCCGCGGAGTCACGGATGTTGTTGCCGATGTGGCCAGCCGTAAACTGCGTAGCCTCGCCAGGATCTCTCCTTTGATCCTCGTATTCTATCGCAGTAGCCGAGAAATCAGGCCGTTTTCCCCGTCGCTTGTTCTCCAGAGCTATTTGCTCGCGGGCCGCCTCCTGGATTTCGAGCACTTTCTCGAGCTCTTTCCGAGCAGCAATTTCATCTTTCAGAACGGTCTCTTCCATCACCCGCTTCCAAGACTCTTCATCATCTGTCCCGAACCTCTTATGGCAGTCTTCTTGGCTGGGCATTTCGCCAACATATGTGCCGCAGTACGGGCAACAGCGGCCAGGCAATACCCACACCAAATCCGTGCACTTCGGGCAGCGCTTTCCGGGAACCTGTGAAAAGGAAAAGTCAGCCCTCTGTATCATTTGCGGCATGGCCTTGGACTTTGTGTGACGCACAGTTGCTTCGTTCACGAGATCGCAGCGAGTGCTCTCCGACTTTTGGCGGTTGGTCGCCTGAGGCTTCTTGGCAGTCTCGATCGCCTCGAGAACTTCAACTTCAGCCCGATGATGGGCTGCGGTCAAGGCGTCAGCCTCAGCAGCAGCCTCAGCCTCTTTCCGGATTTCGTCGTCAGCTCTCTCTCGGGCGGCACGCACTAGATCCATGTCTTCTGCGGATTCGTTGGCTGCCTCGTAGGGCTTCTCGTCTGCCTCACTCTCCGGCTCTCCTTTGTCACGCTGCTGGCCCTCCTTGATTTGTCGATGTATCTGCCGCAGTTCGGGCAATGCGCTTGCCTCCCGCTCCGCCGCATGACGCGACCGAATCTCAGCCAAGGCGACCGAGTCGCCAGCAGCACGCGCTCTGGCTTCCTCTTCTTTTCGTGCGACGCTCTCTTCGCGTTCACGTCTGTGGGTCAAGCGGATCTGGTACAATACTTCCATCTCCTCATCGCGCAACTCCTGTTCCGCCTCGGCCAGGCGGTCCGCCTCAATCACGTCAGCGGCTATACGTGCGACATCCACACTCGCATCATCAGTTGCCCCTTGCGCCGTTTCTGTACCTGGGTTGCCCTCTTTGTCTGCCGTATCCTCTTCCCGGGAGAGACTTGCGGCCACTCCTTCGACTGTATCACCTCTCTGCTCCAGCTCTCCCGGCAAGCTTGGGTGGTCATCAGCCATTCCTGTATTAAACGAGTCGTCCGCCATTTCAGGCAGCGGTTGGCGGCCTTCTGGAAACTCCCGAAGGGCGTCCAGGATGTCTTCGAGCTTCTGATTGCTGTCCATGTACATCCTGGCAAGTTCTCTTTGTCTGTTGGAAAGATTGGACTGAGGGGGTGATTGACCTTCGGCAATACTAGACATCATGCCGTGACGACCAGATAGTAGTTGTGGCTCCCCGGGGTTTTCCCAGTCCTCATCCACATCTATATCCTCACTGGGACCACCTGAATGCAGTGACCACGTTATTGAGCTCGCAACGGAAGCTGGCCCTGCGGCGTTAGAACCTGGACCATCCTCGAGCTCATCCTCCTCATTCTCCCTCGGTACTGCGAAAATGGCCACCTGCTCCAGATGGGCGGCCACATGCCTCCTGAATCGGCTAGTTGTGACTGATATGCCCTTGTTCTCGGGCCCATATCGTGTCCCGGCCGGATCGAGCTTAGCAACGAGTGCAGTGCCCCAATCGTCACAGAATGGACAGTCGCTGCTGCGGAACCTCGTGATTGAGATTCTGCCAGATGAGAGAAGCCCACTGATCATATGTTCCGGGACTGTGCTATGAGCCTGACTGACGTGTCGTCGAAGTGAGGACTCGGAGAAACTCTCGGACGAAGAGACACAAAGGCTACATGTATATCGTGTCAGGTGCTCTGCCAACTCATGCTCGAACCAGCGACTACGGTCGCCAAACATCTTGTCACAACCCGCGGTACACGAGTACGCCTTGAGGTCTCGGAACGCGTGTCTCTGCCAGCCACGCTCCGTGAGAAAGTCCTGAAATGTTCGACAGATCGGACACTCGAACGGATCACCGTCCGGTGACAAGGTCGCCAGGCGTGGGAGGGACAAGGTCATCTTGCCACCGCTGACTGTAGAGGCCGTCATCTGAGAGACTGCGTCGTCTTCATCAATCTCACAAGTGTAGTTCCCGGTGTCCAAGAGTACAGGCTGGACGAACGTCGTGGCTTTGCTCGATACCAGCTCAGTCCGGGCAGCGCGGGATCCTGTTGGCCGGTTCTCTTCTTCATGTTCGTGTGATAGTCGTGTCTTGTGGTCTCGGCAGTATTTGAAGAACTGTCGTCTCTTGGCATTCGCAGCTCCCAAGGACTTGAGTATTGCCGGGGAGAGTTTGGGATACTTTTCTCGTAAATGGCTCACGTCGAGGATATCTGTGAAGGTCGTGTCCGAATGCTGGAGGGCGTGCTTGAATCGGTCGCGAGGGCCCGCTTTGCGAATCAATACAGCGATGCGGAACAGCGATCTCAGATATTCAGAAATGATCCCAAGGAGCGAGGTGGCCTCTGCTGAGGCATCCAGCTCCGCTTCATCAGGGATCTCAGCCCCGTCGTTTGGTTTCACGGCGAACTCGTCTCCTTGAGCCTGGTCGACCGTTTCCGCCGGCAAAGTGTCGTTTGCCCATCCGCTATCAGGCATGGTATGGGGATGCCCATTTTCCCCTTCGCCAACTCCGAAACATTCTGCCACTTTGTTTGGTCAACACAGGTAGACTGGGGACGCTGGAGCATGACAAAGCATGGGACTTACATCCCGAGACGGCTTCCGTTAGGTTATCGAGGACCTCGCAGATCCTCTCGCTTGTCTCTGGGGCATCGAGAAGCCGATAGTCCAACGAGAGCTTTGCCGTGGCCGGGAGCAACGCCCCTAGCTGTCCAGCCCACAGCGTGAATCGCTCCAGCGCATCGTTCACGTCGATAGCCGGTGAATGAGCTCCTTCTTCTGTGGCAGACTGACGCTCATGATCGGCGATTGCGCTGCGGAGGAGCTCTCGAATGCGTATTGCACGATCCGAAATCGTGCTTGTTGTGGGGAGTTAGGACCCGTCAGGAGCGGACGGTGTCGTCTCCATGCTGAGGGTTCCTCGTGCGAGATCGCGCACATTGAGACGATGTCAACACGGCCAGGATACCTTGGTCAGCCTCGATCGCATGAAATGCTTCTGTGCAAGGTGCAAGCAACTTGGCCAACCTGCCCCTCACGACCTGCAGGTATCCAGATGGATAGATGTACAGTATCAGTGGGAAGGTACCCTGGTCATCGACAACCCCCCGCACCTGCCGGTCCAACACGTCCGGCCACAGCCACAGCCTTGTCTGTTCTGACCACCGACCTGTTCCCATCTTGACCTCTCTCACACATTCCTCACCGATCCGCCGACTTCTCGTTCAATGTCTGGCTTTGAAGTCGCCGGGGTGGTCCTTGGGGCCTTTCCACTGGCGATTGCGGCCATCGATGCATACAAGCGCATATCGCTCAAGGTGGCGGCATGGAGGGAGCTACGCACCATCTGGCTGCGGTGCTCCGAGGATCTGAAGAACGAACAGCTCGCTTTCAAGCGCCACCTGAAGCTGCTCGTCTTGCCCCTGGTTGTGGATCCAAAGTCTGCAACGGAGTTGTTGAACGACCCGACAGGGAGACGATGGAGCGACGCGGATGTAGCCGATCTGCTGGAGAGCAAGCTTGGAGAGGCCCATGATCTCTATCTCAGCTACGTGCGTCGCATGCACGAGACGCTCGAGGAGCTCCGTAACGATATGCAGATCGACTCGGATCTCATCCAAGACAAAATGACTACGCAGGTGAGATACAGCGACGTCTAGATTGAACCTCAAAGAGCAAAGCTGACCTTACGAGAAGCCTGCAGCCCGGAGTCGCGTCAAGCTGCCTATGAACAAAGACGAGAAAAGACTCCAGATGTTCAAGATGAAGTTTCTCCAGGGCGAGAGCAACCGCAAGCGGCTTTTGAAGCAGCTCAGAGACTGCAATGAGAAGTTATGGAGTGAGCCATCGACCTCCTGAATCTTATTGCTTTCGTTGTGGTCTTTTGTCATTTCTTCTTAACAATTCTAGAGACTGACAATACCCCGCAGAACTGCTAGACTCGAGTGAGAAGGACGCACGCCTGACAACAACTATGGAAGCGGCGCGAGTCGTCGCAGCCGCAGACGCATCCCTCTGCAAGTTCTGGAAGACCGCCACGGCCTTCTTCCGAGCCCTTGCCGCGGCCTATAGCTGCCAATGCAAGAGATCACACGCCGCGAGGCTCCTCTTGCAGCACCGTGCATCCTGCAAGACGGATGCAAAGTTCCAGATGGTCTTCCCGCTCGAGTCGACGCAGGAGACACCGGATCCCTGGGCGGCTTGTACGACGACGATCGAGGAGACCACTAACAAGCCTCTAGTCGCGGAGAGCCGCGTGCTGGTCGAGACCAGGAAAGTCTGGCAGGCGGGCGGCAACGTCCAGACCCTGTCGGCTCTTAAGGCCAGCATTTCCAAACCGCACCACCACCACCACCATCACCAGCATCCACGGACGACCGGGGCGACGACGATGACAACGATAACGACCGTTCATAGATCCAAAGTCCAGTTCACGCCGACCATCTCCCTCACGGTGCCACAGGACGGCCTCACAGCAGGGAGGCAGGGAGTCCGCCCAATAACCCACCTCTGCGAGTCCCTTGCCTCCGCAGCAGCTGCCGACCCGGACTGCCGCGAGTACCTGCACCACCCAGAAGAAGACCGGAGGTACTGCATCTCTTCCATCGCCAGGCACACCGAGATGCCACACACGATTACACTGGGACAAGTCCTGTCTGGCGACGCGGGGACACCCCTTCCGAGCCGGAGGGAGACCTTTGCCATCGCGTTCGTCCTGGCCTCGTCGCTTCTCCAGCTGCAAGACTCGCCCTGGCTAGCTGCCAACGGGCCTCGCTGCTTCGACAAGTCGTCCATCGTGTTTGCAGAAGACCCTGCAAAGCCATACCGTCCACTCTTCGACCAGCCTTACATCCCCCGAGACTTTGGCCCCTTACCTCCGTCTGAAGCCCAATCTGGAGGAGACAGCTCCACCGCCTCAGCAGCCCTTGCCCGTCTCGGCATCACCCTGCTAGAGCTGTGCTTCCGGTCCCCCCTCGAGCGCCAGCACGACCGCGAGATTCTCGGCCCCGGCGCCAACGCCCAGCAGCGCGACGCCCTCGACTTCATGGCCGCCGCCGAGTGGCTCAAGGGCGTCGCGGACGAGGCCGGGCCCGAGTACGCCGCCGTCGTGAAATGGTGCCTGCTAGACAACCGCATCGCGCCGGCGGACCGGTGGCGCGAGGAGATGCTCAGGCAGGTCGTCCGGCCGTTGCAGCGGTGTCTCGAGTGCTTCAGCGCGGGTGGTGTAACGGCTTGAGGGTTTGGAGTGGCGAAATAAGCGCAAAATGTACTCAAGACACTTCGGGTGAGGCCGCTGGGCGATAGACTAATTAGACCAGACTCGATAGTTGTTCTGATACCCCATTTTGGCATTGCTCTAACCTGTATGGCATCTCGCTTCTAAATCGACAAACTGCATGTCCCTTTTATTGACGGACTACGGCCTCTAGTTCTTCAGGGCAGGAACGTACTTCTCCTCGAGCAGCCTCTTGAGCACTGCCGCCGCGTTCTGCGGATTGATCCGCTCTTCCAAGCCCAGCCTGACCATCTGCCCCACGAGGAACATGAGTTTGCCTTCGGGGTATTTCTTGTAGTCGGCGAACTGCTTGACAACGTGCTCTTGCCCCTCGACAGCCTGGTCTGCGAGAGCCTCGTACTCGGCCTCGGAAAGCTCTTTGAACCAGAGTCCCTCCTTCTCAATCAGGTCCTCCACACTGGCGTACTCGGCGGGGATCGTGCCGCGGAAAACGACCCAGAGTAGCTCCTTCGCAATTTTAGCCGTTACATCTCCGCTGTGCAGGAAGAATATGATATCAGCGAGGTGGTCAATAGGCACACGCTGGCATTGCCCATCTTCAGTAAACCCGAGCTGCTGGTCTTCTGGGTCTGCTTTGTCGGCCGTGAGCCTGCCAAGTTCGTGAAGTGTCCAATTGGCTGCGAGCTGGAAGCATGCCGTGTCCTTGCCAGCGTCGCGGTTGGGCCGTGACTCCAGGCGCTGCCTGAGAGCATCCACTACGTTCCAGAAGTATTCCACCCGCATGCCGCCATCAATAGCAACAAGTGACAATGCGTCCTTTGGGCTGAGCTCGAACGTGTCGATGAGCTCGTTCACCTCGACGTCCGGCAGCTGACCCAGTGTCTCTCGCAAATGTGCGACCAGATCGTCGCCAATGACAACCGGCGCGAGGTCGGGATCCGGCATGTATCGGTAGTCGACTTCTCCTTCTTTACCACGGAGACGGCGAGTCTCTGTGGCGCCAATGGACCAGCCTCGTGTCTCGCCCTCGATCTTGCCACCGCTCTCCAGAACGGCAATCTGCCGGTCACGCTCCGCAATGATTGCGTCCTCCACTGCTTTGAAACTGCTGAGGTTCTTGATCTCGGTCCGCTGCCCTAGTGGCGCAGAAGGGTCTCCAGTGCGACGGACGGACACATTGACGTCGGCACGCAGTCCTCCTGCTTCCATACCCGAGACGCAGGCATCCGTAGCATTTAGGATTGTCTGGACTTTCCGCACAAAGGCAGCAGCCGTTGCAGGGTGGTGGATATCCGGGTGGGTGATGATTTCGATCAGTGGTGCGCCTACACGGTTGAAGTCGATCCAGTGCACCTTGTCCGGCTGCGCAAGCGTCTTTGCTGTATCCTGCTCCATTTGTACTTGCTTTATGCCAACCTTGAGCCCATTCTCGTCCTCGGCAGCAATACCATCGCGAGGCTGCAAGTCAATGTAGCCATTCCGCGCGAATGGTTCGTAGTACTGGGTGATCTGATAGCCCGAAGGCTGATCCCAGTGGAAATAGTGCTTGCGATCGAAGCGGCTGGTGGGTTGTATTTCGCAGTTGAGCGCGAGGGCTGCTCTCAAAGCTGGGATCAGAGTCTCCTTCTGGAAGATTGGCTGGCTGCCAGGGGTAGCGAGGTCGAAGTACGCGACATGTGTATTGGGGTTGTCGTTGAAGGAGGTAGCGGCAGGCGAGAAGAGCTTGCGTGGGGTATTGAGCTGGGCATGTATCTCGATGCCCACGGTCAGCTCCCAGCCGGGAACGACCTGGTTGCTGGCATTCTTCTTCTTCTTCTTGCCTGAAGCCTTGAGCTGCTTGGCTTCTTCTTTGAGTTGTTTCCGGAGGGGAACGTGGGCAGGGCCCGTTGGTGTGTTCGTCGTGGCAGCTGCAGCACTCTGAAGAAGTCGCCGAGGGGTCGCGTGGAAACCAAGATTGGTGGAGATGCACGGAGCGGTCCTGCTGCAAGAGGCCTGTGGTGCTCGAGGTCGCAACAGACAGCCTGCGGTGGGAAGGCTGCCATGTAGCAGGTAGCGCCTGAGTGTCGCAGGAGGCAAACGCGCCATGGCGGGCGACCACTGGTGCCGAGATATTTGCATGTGTGATTGCGGCCCGATCTTCTCAAGCTCCAGTAGCTTTGGTCTGGTGTTGAAGTGGTTCGCGGCCAGAAAAATCTGCTTATGTCAGCGAGTGCCCCATGGACAATGGACATGGAGCCTCGGCGCCAGAGCCGTTTCGTTGAAGCTTGCTGGGGCTCATTCGTCTAACTTCCTGACTGTAACGCCCAGCTTGAAACCAAGGCTCCAGAATTGCCGCTGCTACAGCATTAGCTGCCTGCAGTCGAGGCGCCGATATATAAATGAGAAGCCGACGTGGCTTTGCAGGATTGGCAGCCTGACTGATGACCAGGCAGGAGATGCCATAGCCGAAACTCAAGGTGGAGGGCAGCTGCTGCATCGCTGCGAGGCCGAGTGGTGGTGACGGGTGTGCCACACCAGCCGCCCGCGTGCATAATCGGTCGCCCTGCCGTGCCGGGCAGGCTCTGTGCTGCAGCTTGTCTTGCTTGGCTGGGGGTTTGGACAATGTCTCGTCATGGTGTCTCTGTGCTGATGCAGAGTCGCATGATGCGCAAGCTGCCCATCCTCTGCGGCACTGGAGGGAGCGAGGGATGCACACGCACCCGCCCTCGGGCTGTTGCTTCCTTTTCTCAACCGCCAAACCTGCTGCTGCTGCTCCTGCCATCCTGTGACGTGCCTTTTCCACCTCATCGCCCAAGCCAAGATCCCAACCACCAGTCCTCGTCCTTGGTGCATTGCATCGACTTTGCCCGCCGCGGCTGTCAGCTCCGTACGGCCCGAGCCTCTCCAGTGTACCGCATCTCGGTTTCCTCCTCGCTTGTGACTTGTGACACGCGTCCCAGCAGTGGTTCTCTAGACTGCTTCTCCAAACTGTCCTTCGGATCAGCCAGCAACGTTTTCGCATCCGTCCCAAATAGTTCGTCCCGGGTCACACTTTTCATGCTTGTGTGCACGGCTGCAGTACTCTGAGCCCAACGGTTCGGGCAAGATGGGCTCAGTGTTGCCAGTGTCACACGGCACAGCGGCCCTTGGCCAGGGCGCCCTCGGATCTGGTCCGCAGGCCGTACATTCTCCTGTCAGCGCCAGTGAAAGCGAAGAGAGCTCCTCAGATGACGCCGAGCAGCCAGTCCAGGACACGAGGACAACTGAAGAAGAGGTCGTCCAGGGCCCGGCGCAGGGGCCAGAAAACACAGCCGAACCCATCTCCATAAAGTCTCATGCTGTGCCAGAAGATGAGCCACTCCCGTCAAAACCTATGCAAAATGGACAGGCTGAAGGACAGTTTTCTGGGTCTTGGGGTTCGAGCGACGGCACAATGACCTACGAACAGCCTGGGAGTCCAGTCAGCTCGAGGATCGTGGATCACGCACATGGCAGGGGACGAGGGAGGGGACAAACAAGAACAAAGAGAGTGCCTCCCAGGCAGCTACAGCCACTGAATGTCTTGGACCAAGAACCGCAACATGCGCCGCCGAGAGTATTCCAGCAGTACCCAGGCCGGCCACCTTACGGCTCGCCGACGATGTTGAAAGCCACCTGCTCGCCACTGAGTCAGAAGAGCTCGATTGCCTCGAGTCCCCACCACGATGAGTTGTTCGACACGATGAGTCCTCACAGCACAGCCGGGAGCATGAGCCCGGGATACGTCCACGGCCACATATATGGCCGGCCGCCGTCATCGTCTGGTAGCATGAATAGAGGGCCAATGCTCAGGACGCCTTCTAGGTCTCAAGGTCCACATCCCAACATGCCATTCCAGCAACACAGCCCTGCCCAGTCCATAGTCGGGTACCCGAGCAGCTTCATCCATCTGAACGACCACAGACATGCGATCGAGCCCATCAGCCCACCGCCAACTGGTTACAGTTTGCTTGCATCGAAGCTTGCAGCCAGGTTCCCCGACGGGCAAGGCTTGCCAATCCAGCCTTTGTACAGGAGATTCGGGAAGCTCACTCACCGCATGCTCCTCCATCTACAGGATGAGATATGTCAGCTAGAGGATCAGCTTCACGGCGTAGATGACGCTGGGGCTCACAACCGGCAGATGTATCCGGGGCATATCTCGCCCGAGTCCAGGCGGGCCGAGGAGAGTGCCAACGGGGAGCTGTACCAGCACAAGACTCATCTGCTAGGCCAAATTGGATTCAAGCTTGAGCTTTACAGTAAGTGAGGCCGCAAAGACACGGTTCACTTCAGACCCAGATACGCGGGGCACTGACCAGTCCGCAGACAATCTACTCAAGTCGTTTCATACAACTCAGGATATGCCAAGCGCCAGCGTTGATGATGTACACGACTACCGCACATTCCTCAACGACGAAACGCCCATCGACGAGCTGGAGACGCGATTTCTCGACCATGTTGACGATTTGCTGTGTTTTCCAGTTGGCGACTATGGTGTACGAAACGACGAAGATGTCTCTGCAACCCCTGTGCAAGGTAAAAGCCCTCCGCAATTTTACACCATCAACCGCGCACCGCCGGGCAAGATGAGCTCTGGGCAAGGGTCAAGTAGCTCGGGCGGGCGCGTCGACGAACCTGGTTCATCGGCCAACGAGCTCGTCGCAGCACTCGGCGCCGTATCAGTCTCGATACTCGTGCCAGTGCTGGCCTTTTTGATTGTGCCTGGTTTCATTGGCCGGCTGGTTGTGTCGCTTCTCGTTGGGGTGGGCGTCGTGATGGCCCTCGTCAACTCACAGTATACGGCCCTTCCGCAAGCTCGGCAAGCCATGATGCTTGTCGCCTGCTATGGGACTGTCATGGCGATCCTGGCAGGCGTCGTTGCTTAGCGATGAGGAAAGGAGGGATGAGGCAGCAGCAGCAAGCCCCGGCGGGCTCAGCCTGGCTGCGCCGGGTCAAGGAAGATTTCAGCGTGGAGTTTGGAGCCAAATTTCGTTCACAGATGAAAATTGATTTTGTTTTATTCGTCTGATCGACGAGTCGTTGGCTGGCCTGTCAGGCTTGATGCACACGTGTGAGGTCGCCTAGCGTGCTTGGAACCCATGTCCGATCTCTTGCGGATCCTCGAGGCTTGTACACTTCTGGACAATGCAGGACAGGAAGCCCGCACGTACATGATGGGTTAGGAATTACGGTCTGGACCTCGACTGAGGGCTCCTGCCAGGGGCAGTGCTGTACACCAAAAACGTGGCTGAAGCTGGGCTGGTCCTGAGGCTTGCCAGGGTTGGATTGTGGGCATCACAAGATGGTCTAGCTCCGGCGATAGCGATGAGGAGAAGAGGGGTCCTGCTCAGACACGGCATTGCATTGCAGCTCGGCCAGCCCGAGGAGGACAAGGACGTGCCGAAAGGCTTATGCGCTGCCAGCACCCGTCTGTTGTCACCGACTTAGACTGCATCTACTGGCCACGGTCAGGCTGTTCCACAACCACTTGGTAGTACTGGCGTGGAGTGCAAAGAGAGTCCCTGGTGTGACGTGTGTGTATTACCCCCCACCCGGAGGGAGGGGTCTGCACGCCGTCTGTTGCGGTACTTTCGAGACAGAGCTAAGGCAGGGCGGGCACGAGAGCCAAGAAGCTTGTTTGCTGCACAAAGACGCGCGTCGAGACCATAGACCTGTGTCGTCGGGAGCACGGCGATGATAGTTCAGGGCGCTATACACTGTCAGACGAACGGCAGACGTGCAATGACGACAGTCGGCGCAGGGATCGTGACCGGGACGCTGCACAATCCAGGGACTTTGCCATGATGTGCTGAGCTTATCGGCGGGAGAACGCTGGAGGAATGCTGGCCGGGGAACCCAATTCAGTGGGGGCTGCGAGCATCTGAAGCCCCATTGCCTGCCCACCCTGGCGTCACACCTGGCCCGGCCACCTCGTGCTTCCAAGGTAGAGGCGCACGCCCAGCCAAGAAGTGGTTGCTTGCAGCTAGAGCTCCAGCTTCAGCCTAGCTCGGTCGATAGTGGCAGGACCCCTCATCACGACAACGGGGGCAGGCACCGCAGGCCTCCGCCCCTTCCAAGCTCCCATGGCGTATATAGATTGTCCTCGTCCTCCGTCTTGCCCCTAGACCTTTCTCCCTTCTGCCCCTTCCATAACCATCCTTCTCCATACTCAGCCTTCTTTGCCACACAAGAACTCTTCGTTCACCCCCTCACCACTACAGCAATGGATTTCCTCAAGAAGGCCGCGGACAGCATGAGCGGCAGCCACAACAACGCCAACACCGCTGGCGGTGCCGCCCAGCCTGCCGACGGCACGGCTGCCCCGGCCCAGCAGAAGGACTACGGTGACAAGAGTGAGTTTTGTCTTTCTCCCCCAAGAATAAACTCCTCTTCTTGCTCTCTAGGGTGGACGTGTCATAATGGACAAGAGCCCACCCATGCATGACATCATGCCTATCCCCTGAGGTCCACTCGCTGACACTCTCCCTCGCAGTTGCCGACCAGCTCTTCAACCGCTCCGGCTACGGCAACAAGGTCTCGGAGTCCAACCGCGAGAAGATTACCGACTTTGCCCGCGAGCAGTACGAGAAGCAGACTGGGTAGGTCTTATCTCTTCCCTTTCCGTCACCACCAAGTTGGATCAACCAGACCACGTCCGAATTGACCCCACATACATCTCCACCTTCCAAATATTGCCTGCCAGGATACCCATATTACGACGAACGATGAGCACATCACTAACAAGATGACTTCTGGCACAACAGCAAGAAGGTCGACCCCAAGTACTCCAACTAGAGCATGCCTGGAGGTGATTTCTCTTTGACGAATCAGATATGATATCCCACGCTTAACGAATGATAGCGTCGCTGCAGGCAATGACCCTCCTTTCAGAGGCTAGTCTGGCAGACAATAAGAATAAATAATGAAATAATTCCCACATATCGCTTCGCCCTCAATTCCCATTCCCCATGATTGAATACGTGCAGGCAGTCCTTTTCAGCATCTCTCACGCACGTCCATTTCCTAAACGAAGATGCTGCCACGGTTCCATATACTTCTTGCGCAGACCACTTTCACGGAAGCACCGAACAAGCCACTACACATTTACGGGTTAGAGTAAGCACAATCATCAGAGTCACGAAATTTGCCAGTGCAATCTCAAGAATAGTCATTTCTCATTACTTCAAAAGATCAAAAACTCGGTCTGGCTCCGAAACATGCGTTGCTTCTCCAAAGTTTAGTGCCGCCGGGACGTTCCCTGTCCAACACTCAGCCACGCCGGCGCAATCCAGGGAAGCAGTCGAGACAGGCCTATTATACTTGGCGTACACTAGGCAGGCTTGTAAGTAAACATCCAGCTGGCCCTGCGAATGGCAGATCCCCTAGGGGTCTGACTGATGGGACAGAAGACGGCCTGATTAGAATCGCTGACAAGAGGCCTTCCCTCTTCCCCCTATACTGCCCGGCTTGTGTGCCTCCAAACTCTCTCTCAACTCTCTCTCTGCCTCTCAATCGCTCTTGTAAAATCAACAAAAAACCAGTATTATCCCTTCCATACGGATACTGCCCCTAACCTGGGGGAAGGTAAGCTCCCCTTACGCATCATCATCATAAAACACCTGAATAGCAATAACCAAGATCCACACCAAGAAGACACACCCAATCAGCGCAAACGCAAACACGGCCTGCCAGCTCTGGCAGATGGACTTTTGCGCCAGCCACGCAAGCGTCTCCTGGCTGACCCCGACTGGGGCGGCGTTGAAGACGAGCACGTCGCAGTTGCCCGCGACGGACCCGGAGCCGTTGACGCCGCCCCACAGCTCCGTGCTGACGACGACGAGCCCTGTGAGCCAGAGGACGAAGAGCGCAAAGGCGCCGATTATCACGATCGAGGGCAGCAGGCGCCGCTGGGCGATGAGGTAGAGCAGCAGGGCGATGAAGACGACCGTGAGGGCGCCGGTGGTAATGAAGTATGGGAAGACCCTAATGTTTGTCGAGCGAAGGAAATGTTAGCATTGATTTGGGGGGTCCGGATTGACGAAAATCACAAGTTGATGCGCTGCGTTCCACCTAGGAGAACAGAGGAAAGGGGGACAAGAAGGGTGTTGTATGCTCTAGCTCCCACTGACAAGAGCATACAAGTACAAGCAGTGGCAAGGCAACAAACGCACCATGGTATCGGCAGCAGCAGCTGCTTCTGCTGTGTGATAAAGGTCCCGAAAATGCCAATGATGCACAGCGACGCCGCGAGCATGATGAGCATCCACACGTTGAGCTGGATCGCCGGCCAGTGGTACCGGTGCACGCGGGCGAGCCGCCGCTCCGTGGTCGTAATGTACGACGTGTCGGTCGTGCTGGTCGTGCCCGTCGTGCGGGTCACGGCGGAGAGAGCGACCATGTTGCTGTTCTTGGTGTTGTTCTTGTCGCCGTCGTCGTCGGGTACGTGGAGGGATTTTGGGATCGAGAGGCCGGATTGGTGATGCTCTGTGCCCGAACTTGTGGCGATTGGTCCTCTGGATATAAATTTGCCGCCTGGCGCTTGAGGGCCCCGACAAGAGACGCTGTCCTATCGACCGCCAGAGAATTCGGCTGCCGTCTTCGGGACCGGTTGTCGTGGTCGTGGTCTTCGCTGGGCTAGCTTGGAGGCCGGAGCTACGAGCCGCGCAAGCTTCGTCCTGTTGTTGTCCCCCCTTTGGTCTAAGATCTCTGTACCAGCTCCCTGGACAATGACCACCTTAAGAGAACGGACTCGAATTCGCCGTCACTGTGTTGCCCCGGTTTTGTTGTGGTCGAACTGTAGTGATATGTCGCCCAAGAGCTTACTGGTCGTCTGCCCGTGCGTGGCGGTTTTGTAACTTTGGTTCGTGAGATGGTAAACCTCGAGCTCGGCAGCTGCGCCCTGTGGGTTTCAGGTTGCGGCGCGGGAAAGTCGGTCACGGGCATACATATATATATGTATGTATGTATGTATGTCTTGCGTGTCTTGTGTGCCTGGCGGTCGAGTCGGCAAAGGCGCGCATGCAGCATGCAGCCAAGGACCCGGCGGCTCTGCGGTTTGGCTGTGTTCGAACACCGGGGGGGACGTGGGAGGATTTGTATGGTCGAGAGAGCAGGCAGCGCTGGAGGTCCGGTCGCTCCACCAAGGTTGAGTGAGGATGACGAGGGATGTACGGGAGGTTGGCGTCGGGCTGACGAGCTGTGCAGGTCTCGATTGCTATCGTCGAGGTTTCTGGGTTGTCGAGTCTAACAGCCCAGGCCTGGACACACATTTGAGGCGGAGGGCAGCAACATCCGTGATGGCCAGCCGGGCAGCAACAACATGGACCAAGGGACCCTCGCCTGGTGGTCCATGGGTAAACGGGCAAATGGGCAGGCTGGGCCATGTGGGCTTCAATGATTGACGCGCACTCGCGGGACGGGGTGCCGGTGGGGGCCCTATGGACCAGGAACTGCTCTGTGAGTGGCTGGGCAGGGGTCGCGGGTGGAGATGGCAGCGGCCGGGACAAGGGCCCGTTGCCGGGTCAGGCAGACAGACAGCGCAGACAGCGCCCCACGTATTACCTGGTGTGCTCAGACAAGCTCTCTCCGTGAAGCTTGTCGGTGTGAGTAAATGCATCAAGAGACGCCTGTGGGCCTCGGCAGAGTTTGTTCGGGTCTGCCAAATTGATTTCGAGGTATCACTGAGAGATGCGGACTTGCAGCCACATGGCAGTTGCAAAGGTGCTGCCTCTACGCATAAAAAGTGGTGGGGGTTTGGGGTTTGTTGACTTTCACATGCTGCGCCGGCGGGGCAAGCGAAATCCCATGCCCCAGGCCACCGCCAAATCGACTATCACCAGGTCGCGCAAGACAGGATTGCATCAATTGAGATGCTTGTGCGATTACTCCACGTTGCATTCTATGATATCAAGTATAGCCAACGCCCCCAGCCGGGTATCATCAACCTGCATCTCCGCCTCCCACCCACTCTACAACAGCGTCTCGCCCAGAGCACACCTCACCAGCGAGCAGCCCGCCCGCACCGTCTCGTGCGCTCCGTGGTCCAGCTCCGGTGCCAGGCTCGGGTTCACCTCGACCAGGTCCACCGCCACCAGGCTGCCCGTCTGGTGCACGCTCTCGCAGATGAAGTCGCCCTCGCGCAGAGTCAGGCCGCCACGCACCGGAGTGCCCGTGCTCGGCGCCCACATCGGGTCCAGCGCATCGACGTCGAACGACAGGTGGATCGGGGTGTCGTTGCCAATGTGGGCGAGTGCCATCTCGACGACCCTGCCAATTCCGTGTCTGTGATGAAGGAAAACCGAATTAGTAGCTGTTTCTTGGGTCAAGACGCAGACCCAACGTACCGGTCAATGTCAAACATGCTGAATGCCTTGATGCCGTGCTCCCGCAGGATCTTCTTCTCGCCAGGATCCACGTCGCGCAAGCCAATGTAGACCAGCTTCTTGAGGCTCAGGCGGTGCTCCTCCTTGATCCAGCCAAAGTACTCGGGCTTGTCCTCCTTGGCGAGTCCCGTGAGGAACGCCACCGGCATGCCGTGCACGTTGCCCGAACCGCTCGTCTCGGGCGTGTTGATGTCGGCGTGGGCATCGACCCAGATGACGGCAATCTCGCGGCCCAGGCGCTCCCGCGTGGCCTTGGCCGAGCCTGCAATGGTGCCAATGGCAATCGAGTGGTCGCCGCCGAGCGTCAGCACGAGCCGGCCCTCCTTGCTGTGCGAGTAGACCTGGTCGGCGATGCGCTCCGTGACGCTGCTCACGGCCTTTGGGTTCTTCATGTTGCGGTAGGGCGGGTCCTCCTTGGGCACGAGATCGGTATATAGGTGCACCTGGTCATCGCCGTGCAGCTTGTAGTTGAGCTCATCGCGCAGGCTCGTGAGGAGGCCGGACTCGATAAGGGCGGCCGGGGCGGCGTCGACACCGGGCTTGCACTACGGGGCGTGAGCGTGGTCAGTTTAGGGGCCTATGAGCCAACTATGACATATTGGGCCTGATCTTGGGGTTCGTTTACCTGGCCGCCAGAGAAGCCCACGGCAACGACACCAATGTCCTCGGGATGGGACAAGAACTTGGAGGGGATCATGGAGGTGTTCATGTTGATTGCTCGCGCGTGTACCGTATAAGTTGTAGTGGGTGATGTGTGTCGTGAGACCAGAAGCCGGTGGTGCCGCTCTAGTTTGTCGTGGTGTAAAGGTTTGCTGGTGTGTGTAACTCTAAATAAGCCGGATCAGGGAGGGGCTGGATGCGCCGGGAGTTGTGCAGCAGGACAGGACGGGCAGATTGAGATGAGACAAATTAGAAAGAGACAATAGAAGAATGAGGAGACAAGACGGACGGACGGACAGAGAGAGAAAGGGGAATGACATTCTTGAGGGGGAGAAAAGGGCGCAATGTGAATTTGGCGGCCTGGTGCGGAAAGCGAGGGGTCAGAGGGCGGCTCTACGACACGCGCACCTGCATGCGCGTGTGAGAGGGCATGACACACGCCCAGCGTACAGTTGCCATTAGGGGTCGAGATGGCGGGGCCCGGCGGTGGCTGCCATTCCTCCCTGCGACACTCTGGCCCGGCACCTGCCTTTAAGGTGCTGGTGCTCCGGGGGGCTCCTCAGAAGACAGAAGCACTGGGCAGGCAGGCCAGAAGAAGACCTCCAGCAGTAAACCGCCCAGGATTGCCACGGCCAGCGAGAGATAGACCGCAGGGACACCACCTCCAAGTTCTAGAAACTCTGTCGAACATGTCGGCACTTGCCTGTCACGGCCGCGGCCCGGGAGGTCCGGCGCAGACAGCCCTCCCCTCCTCGAGAAAAGCACGGCGCAGCCAGGAACAAACCCCGACTGCTCCAGCCAACGCCGCACCACGGCGCCTGGTGGGGCCTCATGGGGCCGATGGTATCCGCCGAAATGGCATGGCAATTAACTTGCGCACGGCCTGTCGAACAGTCGGCCAGATTGGTTCCATTCCCGCGCCATCTATTTCTCAGGCGTGGCCATCCACATCGGTTGATCCTGCACTTAGGGTCGACTTCGGCGATTCATATCATAGGGCCCCGTGATTCATGCCTGGCTATCAGATAGGTAAGTCTTAGGTAATTGCCGTGTCTAGCTCGATAATTCGGCAGGTCAGCCACCATCCTAATCAAGTACCGACGTCGATTGGTTACCACAAGTTACGTGATGCGCGTGGACGTGCTCGGCAGTCAGACACACGCTTGATATCGCATATACCTCAATAACACCACAACCCGTCACGTACGACCATAGGATCGAGAAAGCTGAGGGTCCCGTCCGCTCCCCTTTCCATAAGCTCGATACCGCCGGATCAGTAGTTGGGTCGGTGACGACCAGCGAATCCCCGGTGTTGTACGTTTTGCTATTCTTTTTGGATCGTCGGGGGTATCCAAGGTCGTCGTCCTAGTATTCTGCTTTGGAGGTGATAGTGGCGGTGGCGTTCTGCAGTCGAGCTGTGGGGATAGGCTGCTGTCGCGAAGAGCAGCTTGCAGTCTGTCGCATCCGATATAGTTGTGGTTGTAAGACAACCGTATAATTCTGGCAGTAGATATTACGGAGCAATTCTTAATTATTTTGCTATTTGCAATTGTGGTTGCAAATGGCCAGAGCTTGAGCACCGGCTCTTCTGTCAAGCCCACGCAATACCCCAAAACGTTGTCCCCCACGTGAGCTGCGAATCATAGCCTGTGAAAGAACGATTGAGTTGGGTGCGAGGACCGATCCTACGAGAGCTATTGCTCAAGATTGTGATTTACGAGAACCACAATTCATGGAGCAGAGAACACTCCTGATCAAAAGTGATGAACACGAACAGAGCAGCAGAAGCTCGCGCAAACATGCAGCCAATCAAGATGCAAAAGGAAAAAAAGATGCGCCTGTGGTGATAGCTCTAAAGCATAACTAAGGTTCATCGCAACCCAGAAGCAAAAGAATCGCAGACCATCGCTCCCGAACAATCGAGCCCTCTCTGAGATATATGTCGTGATACATGTTGCGTAGTTCCAGAACCTGTTCGTGCGATGATCCAAGACCGGCAAGGAATCTGATGAACTCAAAAAAGTCGTCTTTCCGGAGACGTCGGATACCTCGCTGAAGAAGCACAAAACAGACGAGTGACAGTATTGGAAGTCTACGACGACCCATGCGAGGTTGGATGTCGTCGTCAAAGATTGGTATGCCGTTCTGCGCGACAGTGACGCCGTGATCCAACCAAAGCTTGACTCCGCCGATGGGACCGAGTTTGGGTGCTGCCGGGTGTGGCTCCCAGTCCGTGATCGCCGCAAGGTAGGCGTATATGGGCAGCGGCACCAGGGCACCGCGATGGCTGCCAGTGCCAAGGCTCGGCTTGCTTCTGTCGATGATCCGAGCAGTGTGGTTGATCCTGGCGCCCTCGTCGAGGCATTTGAGTACAAGGAGTGGACCATGGGAAGCCATGTGCGTGGCCGCGGCGAATATAGGTATCTGGAGAATCCGGTCTCTGCCCAAGCCGAAGCGCTTCCCATGGATACTCGCGCCGCTGGACAGCAGCAGCTGGAATGTGTCCAAACGACCATGCCTGATGGCTAGAGAAACAGGCTCATCTTTTGTATATCCTGTCTCCTGGTAACGGTTTGGTGAAGCACCGTGATCTAGGACATGCTGTACCAAGCTTAGGGAAGAATCCTGTCTTCGCACGACATTGCAAAGACAAATGTCGGCAATGGCTTGGCCCTCCTGGTGCTGAGTTCTGCAGGGGTGCTCAAGCATGTGCTTCATGAAGTCGTGGAACTCCGGTGCACAGGCGTGCCGGAAGACGTACAAATATGAATGCTTTCGTTGATATTCATCACATGTCGCAATCGCAGCGGCTCGTCTCGGCATACGGGCTGAAGGATCCCAATAGTTGCTGTCCCAGAGGAGTTTGAAGCTTTCCAGGCGGCGCTGACGCATCAGACAGAACAATCCGTACAAGCCCTGGTCGTAGCCTCCCACGGCATTCTATCGAACTGCCTTGGCGAGTGTTGCGTCATTACCCAGTTTCAAACCCCAATCCACCGAAGAGAATTTATATCGATCATCCTCTCGCTTCAAAACGCACTTGTAAAGAAATGGTTCCACCCGCTGCTGGAGAGCCCTGCAGCAGACGCACAAAAGAAAGAGGTTGTGAAGTGCCAAGTCGTCAAGAATCTGGTCGAGGAGCTCGGTTGGAAGAGCTGCGAGGAGAGGAGGTGCCATTTTTGGGTGGAAAAAGGAGGTCTCGCGACCACGACAGAGCAGAAGCAAGAGTGCCAGGTTGCGTACCCGAGTTAATTATATGCTTCAAGAGTGGTCTGGCCAGGCTGGCAGTCAGTCGAGGTGGAGGTACACGACGCCTTAGGAGCCAACATGGACCAGGCTATCCCAGTTCACTCGCAGATTATGGACCGCGTTGGACACGCCAAGATCCATATCCTGTTGGTTCGCCTTCTCCGCCAGAACGGTTCACTTGCCATAATACACGATGGCAATCCCTTGCACAAGGACCTCCAGTGATCCAACATCCTTGTTGACAGGGATATTTGGAGATGCAGCGGCAGCCCAGGCTCGCCAGGGTCCACGGAACTTTCCTGCACAGCACCAACAGTCAGTCTGACTCCACGGGCAAGCCCGACTGCTTGCCGTCATCGGAGGTTGCTCAGGCACAAGCCTCGGTGGATGACTCTGGTCCAATCCCACGACCTTCTCCAGGCTGCGGGTGTGCACCTGAGGTGACTCTCAGTCCGAAGTCTATGCACTTTTTGAGCCAGATGCAGCCCTCAAAGAAGTGCCATCAGACACCAGCGGCTCGCCCCTCGAAACCCGTCAGTGCACTCAGGTCGACGCCACCCAATGTGCTGCCAAAGTCCTGTCCAAGATCAAGGTTTCGAAGGAGCCACTGCTTGCAATCCTCGAACCTAGAGAGCCTGCCAATTCGTCTATGGTGTCCAACTCCACGGTTTCTGGAGTCACGAGCAACTCGATGAGTCGGCTCAGAAAGGGTATGCTGGCACCTCGTGCCTGTATGTTGCATGGATGGTGCCTTGCCAGAGCGCAAGTGGTGAAGCAAGGCAGAAAACAGTTCACCGAGACGCCGCTGGTGCAAGTGGGTCCACCGCACCGTCACTAACATGTACCCGACACGCATCTGAAGCCCGTCGTCGAGTCGTCATCGGACGAACATTTGCACAAGGTTCTGGGTCAGTTGAGGTCCCGGAGGAGAGGGCTTTGGGGGAAGTGCGCACTGCAATCTGCGGGCACCCTCTTTTGATATATACGCTCGGCGGAGTCGCTGTTGCTCAGTCATAAAGGCAGCCAGGGTCGCTCCGGCAGTCACCCGTCTGCAGCAAAACATTTCACATGTCTGCTCTCCGCCTTCCGTCACGCGTCTTGCGCTTTCCTGCCCGGGTGACACCTCCGTCGTCTCGCCGCTTCCCGCCACTGCAGAGAGGAGCGACCATCATCGCCTCAACCACCAGCAAATCGTTGGAACGCGAACACGTCATAGCAGAAAACCCCATGGCCAAGCAGCTCCTCGCGACGGGTATCTACAAGCCAAGGAAACGTCCCGGGTCGGTCCCTGCCAAGGAGGATGAGGCCCCAAAGAAGCCCAGATCCAGGAAAGCCCCGTCGGCCGATAAGACGCGGGTCAACATCACAGCCGAAGACCTCTGCGATGATATAATACGCTATGTCGGCAGTGACCTCGAGCGTCATCGCGGCTGCGACATCATCGACCTCTACCCAGGCACTGGCGTCTGGAGCAGCAAACTCAACGAGTTCCTCAAACCCAGGACACACATACTGATGGAGCCCGACGACAAGTTCTACGAGCCGTTCTTGAAACCTCTCCTCGACAAGGAGGGGACCATCCTGGTGCCCAAGTCTGGCATCCTGTGGAAAGATCTCAACCAAGTGCTCACACCAGAATACCTGCCTCACCAAGAGGTGCGCGAGGGCGAGGACCTGCTCAAGAGGAACGACACGCTGCTCGTCACCGCGAACCTGGCGTTCCACCCAAAGAAAAAGTACAACCGCTTTGACTCGGTCGCCAAGCTCGTCTTCCATCAGTTCATCGACAGCATCCGTACGAGCTCGCTGTTCCAAAAGTACGGCCAGGTCCGGATGCTCATCTGGGCCCGGGTCGACGACACCCAGGGCCTGCTGCCCCGGCACGTGCAGAAGCGCAAGAAGCTCGCCATCACGACGGAGCTATATTGCGAGTGGGTGCGCGAGGTGTGCAGCCTGTACGCGCCGGATCCGTCCTGGTATGGTCGCGACTACAACCTGGACACGTACATGACTGTCAATGTCATCAAGAAGATGGAGGAGGCGGGCATGACGCTGCCGGCGAAGCGCGAGCCCAAGATGTTCTCCGAGATCAAGAAAGAGCTTGCGGACGGGGTCGAGGTGGACGCCCCCGGCACGGCCGTTCCCATCTATCGACGTACCTTTACCCACGCGCTGGAGAGCCTCGAGTCTCTCGAAGCCTCGGACAAGATCAAGAAGGACAGCCCCGAGTACAACACGCTGGCCAATCACCGGTACAGGCAAAGCTCGGAGGAGAAGAAACAAGACCAGGCACTGCAGCTGTCACAGGCGCTCGACAACCTGCAGAAGAGGGCCCATGGCATGGAAGCTAGCGGGACGTACACTACCGAAGCCGCGCAGAAACTCGCCGACGAGTGGGACGCCAAGCTCCGCGACTGCTTCCGCTCTCTCCTCGTCGAGTTCCCGCCGTACCGATCCAATATGCATCTCGTGCGTCAAGATCCCCCTGTTCTCCACTGGGACCGGAAGGTGTACGAGCCCATAGCGGTGCGCGAGTCCGACTTCTTCCCGCGCGTCGAGTGCAACCTGCTCGACATCCAGCCAAAGCCCGTGCACCCGTTGATCCGCCAGGCCGGCCCCAACTCCAACCGCGGCGGCGACGTCATGGAGCACATCATGTCGTACATGCTGCTGTCTGGGTCGCAGCCGATCGACCGCGTGCTCAACTCGATGTGGCCGGGCGCCGCCGAGTACATCCTGCCGCGTTGGACGAGCGTCCGCGACCCGGCGCAAGGGGGCGTGCCACACATCCCGCACAAGCTGGCCGCGCTTACTCCGAGGCTGCTGAACGCGAGGCAGTGGGAGCAGCTGCTGGAGCTGTGGATGGAGTGGCCCTTCCGGCCAGACTTTCCTGAGCTCATCTCTCGGTTCTACGAGACGGAGGGAGAGACGGAGGACATGATTGTCAGCGATGCGTAGTTGGTCCGGTCCTGCATATTGTGTAGTGTACATATCATGTAAAATAACCATATACCCGTGGAGTTGGATTAGACTACAAAAGACATTTCACACCACCATGATCTTGGTTGTCAGTGAAAGAAGTGTCGAGAGTGGATACCTAAGTAGACCAGCGAATTGGGTTATCTTGAAAGCATACTTACCTAGGTATGGATGCATGTTCATCGTATAAAGTGACCAGAGGCATCCCATGGCATATCTCGATGCCCTAAAGATAGGGGGTGGCGTGCACCGCACTGTGCATCTGCAGACTCCCAAGCGCAGCAGAGCACGTCGTTGGCTGGGACGATCAGGGGTCCAGGCCAGGTGGCAGCTGAACCACCTGAGCTGACAAGACAGGGCCCCATTGTTCGGCTCCAGCTCCACTGTATGCCCTACTGTGCCCTCCAGGGCTGTGCTGACTGAATCCCTCCCCTCCGGCAGCGATACCCGTCCAGTGTAGATCCAACTTAATTCTTGAACGGTCGAGACCCCCCCAAAACTGTAAAGCTGACACGGCACGCGTGGTTTGGTCTTCACGCGAGCACACTGTTGTTCTTTGCTGTCTCACCACCGTCCTTCTTGGACAGTCCAGGGCTATTTCTCTACAATCTCTGTCCGCACCAGCGAGCGGCTTTCGACATTGGTTGTGCCGTAATCGACATGCGGCCGTGCCCGCCATTCCACGCTCCTTAACTACATCTTTCGACGACGACGACGACAACGACAACGACGAGGATCTTGAGCGCGTCTTTGCGGCTTCACGTTTCCCTCTCCCCGATTCGATAGAGGACATCTCTCACCTCGACTCGACGTCATTCGCACGAGTCGACACGTGAGCTCACGACCTCTTGGCTCATTTCGATTCCCGTGAGGCCAGGCCGCTGCGATCTACTGAGCCCCCAGCGACAGCAACAAACCCAAATAAGGCTGCTTCTGCCGCCGCAGGCCCACGCGACGCCGACACCATGATGCGATCATCGGCCTTCCCGCCGAGGCGGCCGTCGCACCTCGTGCGCTACATCATCCCCTCGGTCATTGTCATCTATTTCCTGTACTACATGGGCTCGTCCTCGCCCAGTGCCCCCGTATCGTACGTCACGGGCACGAGCAGCAGCAGCTCTGGCTCTACCTATCCCGACACGAACCACGGCCCGGCGCACAACGTCCCGCCAAAGGGCGCCTCCGTCGAGCACAACCCGGCCTACGAGCACAAGAACGAGGAGCAGGACCACCGACCCGATTATGGCGCGAGCACGGAGCCCCTGCCCAAGCCGCCCGTCCACGCGAGCCCGGACTCGACCGGGCACACGCACCCGATCGACGCCCTGATCAAGAGCGCGCAGCAGGACTTTGACGCCATGATGGCCAAGGAGGCCTCGTCCCTCAAGGAGGCCGCCTCTGCGTACCGCGCGCGCCGCGGCCGGCACCCGCCGCCGGGCTTCAAGGCGTGGTACGAGTTCGCCAAGGAGAAGAAGAGCGTCATGGTCGAGGACTTTTTCGACCAGATCTACCACGACCTGGGCCCCTTCTGGGGCGTCGACCCCAAGGTGATCCGCAAGGAGTCGTGGGACTTCGAGATGACCATCAACATCCGCAACGGCAAGGCGACCGCCGGCAGTGACTGGTTCTGGACGCAGATCTGGCTCAAGCTGATCCAGACTGTCGAGCACGAGCTTCCCGACATGGACCTGGCCCTCAATGCCATGGACGAGCCGCGCCTGGTTGTGCCGTGGGAGGACATCGAAAAGTACATGGAGCGCGAGAAGAAGGGCCGCAAGCTGATCCCGACCAAGGACGTTCTGGACGTGATGGTCGAGCTGCCCCCTGTCAAGGAGATGGAGACCAAGACCGGCACGCGGGACAAGAAGTGGGAGAACACGAGTGAGTTTCAGCAAGTCACTGGACAGTGTGCGAGATGTGGCCGCCTGCTAACGATGACGGTATAGGCCCTTACTGGGATATCGCCCGCCGCGGCTGCCCTCCTGACAGCCCTGCTCGCAAGAAGCCCCTCCTCGAGACCTTTGACAAGACGCCTGTCGTTGAGCCGACCTGGGCCACGCCTCACCAGTACCAGGGCTACGTCTCCAACTTTTCGCTCTCGACGGAATTCTGCCACCAGCCCGACCTGCAGGGTCTGGAGGGCATCTTCATCCACCCCCTGTCCACGTCGGCCACCAAGACGCTCTTCCCCATGTTTGGCGGCAGCAAGCTTGCGACCAACAACGAGATCCTGCTGCCCGCGCCCATGTACTGGAACGAGGAGGAGCGGTTCACCGGCGGCAACGACCACGGCCCGGCGTGGGCCGACAAGAAGTGCGACGTGGTGTGGCGCGGCGTGGGCACGGGAGGCAAGAACACCGAGACGACGTGGAAGGGCTTCCAGCGGCACCGATTCGTGTCGATGAACAACGGCACGAGCCTGACACGGGCGGCCGAGGGGCTAGAGAAGCCCGTCAACTTTGCGCTGCCGGCCGCCAACTACGACCTGATGGCCGTCAAGGAGAAGCGGCTGGGCGAGTGGGTGTCGCAGTTCTCGGACGTCGGCCTGACGGACCTCATGTGCGACGACGCGGTGCCGCACGAGGGCGTGACGTGCCCGTACACGGACCCTTACTTCTCCATCAACCCGGGCAAGACGATGCGCGAGCAGTTCGACTGCAAGTTCCTGCCCGACATTGACGGCAACTCGTTCTCGGGCCGGTACCTGGGGTTCCTGCGCAGCACGAGCCTGCCGATCAAGTCAACGCTGTGGCGCGAGTGGCACGACAGCCGGCTCGTCGCGTGGAAGCACTTTGTGCCGATGGACAACCGGTTCGGCGACTTTTACGGTATCATGGAGTACTTCCTGGGCTACGGGCAGACGGTGCCGGGCCACGACGCCGCCGCCCAGAAGATTGCCATGGAGGGCAAGGAGTGGGCGGAGAAGGTGCTGCGCAAGGAGGATATGCAGGTGTACGTGCTGCGCCTGCTGCTCGAGTTTGCGCGCGTGTCGGATCCCAGGAGGGAGAGGATGGGCTGGGTGGACGATTTGTAAGGGAAAGGGCAGATGACAATAATGTCTTGTCGGGTGAGATTTTTGTGGTTGCCTTCGTTGCCCTGGTATACGGCTAGGATGTGTCTTTCCTGTTGCAAAAGCGAATAATTCGAATCGTCGTGGGGAATTGGTGTACTTATATATCGTTGACGAAACAGATCACTTGCCAGAACCGACTGACGAGGGCAACCAGCCCCTTCGTGATGACAAAGTCTGGGTATTCATCCTTCTCCCCAGTCACCATCCCGCCTTGTCACAGGAGACTCGTAAACTTGATGCCTATCACGCCTATGTGACCATTTTTGCCTATCTCCAAATAATGGAATCTGCAACACCAGAAAAGAGGCGGCGATCGCCCCCGCCGCCTGCCTTTCTTGGAAAGTGTCATTTGTCGCCGACGAGCTGCAGGACTGAATCCGGCCACATGGGGAGCACTGAGCTATCTTGGCTCGTCCGATTTGAGCGTTGCCTGCGTGTCTGCGTGTCTGCGTGTCCAACTTATCCAGCCAGTGAGTGACTGTAACGAGACAGGGTGACATCACGTAGGCGCCTGTCCCGATTAGGATAAAAGATGGCCAAGCTTTTGCGAGTCTCCATAGCTGTCTTGCTAGAGCTTAATTAGTCTGCGCAGTTGCCCGTAGTTGTAATTGGCGGTCTGCGCGGCTTAAAGAATAGACCGAAAGACAGGCCCTGCCGGCGAGTTTTAGGGCTGCAGGCGTCAGCTTTGCGCCGGGTCCAATGACTGCCCTTCCGTGCTCCGTGAACCCATGGTTGCTCGCGTCCCAAGCGAAACCATTGGCGGGCTCCCCGCGAGGACAAACAGCGAGACCTTGTCAGTTATACCTGTACCTCCACTCCAACCGAGGGGCGGATCCCATTGCATGTGTGCATGCTTACAGCATCCATGGGGGCCAACTGCGGCATGTCGTGCCTGGCGCCCGGCTCCGGCCCCCAAACTTCTACCTAGTGTCGAGCATAGGTGTGTAGTTCGTCATCGCCCCAGGGATTACAAGATGCTGCCCATGGCCGGCCTCTGAGAACAACCTCTGCGCGCGGAAACACCGACCTCCTCGTCCTGGGACCACGCTCCACAAAGCTGTAGCCGAAAACCCAGCATGCCACGATGGCTTTCGAAATGACCTTGGACCTCAGCCGCCCGGTTCAGCTGTCGTCCTTCCAGCAGCCGCCGCCGCTCGGCCATACACAGCAAGGCGGCCCTGGCGGCGGGCCGTCCGCTCCACTGCCGCCGGCGAAACGGCACTGCTGGGAATGTCTCCGCCGCCGCCTCGTCTGCGATGCCGGCCAGCCCTACTGCCGCAAGTGCCACGACGCCGGCGTCGTCTGCCCGGGCTACGACGACAAGAAGCCGCTCAAGTGGATTGCCACCGGCACCATCTCGTCCCGGCCGCGGCACAAGAAACTCACGGCACTGGCCGACGGCGGCAAGGCGGGGGGTAAGCCGGCCAGCAGGGCACCCGCGAGAAAGAAGAAGCAGGAGCAGAGGCAGTCCGTCACGGCGACGGCCCCGACAGCGGACGGGCTCAAGAGCTCGCCGCAACAGCAGGATGGATGCTTGCCAGTCCTTCCGCACGTCGACCTGCGCTCGACCACCTGTGATGTCGTCCAGGCTGCGTATTACTGTAGGTGTCTGTGGCGGGGCGACTTGGATGCGATACCTCCCTCACGAGTTTGAGTTGTGAATGCTGATTGATCATCACAACAGACAACACTTGGGTCCTCCCCAGCTACGACTCGGCCCTCGAACTGGCCCCAAACCCCTTCATCGCCAAGTTCCCCATGGAGATCCTGCCGTACCTGACCGACGGGCTGCGGCACACGGTCGTCGCCCTCGCCATCGGCCACCGCATCCACCAGCTCCCGCTGGACGCCAGCAGGGGCGACTCGGTCGACCTGTGGTCGCGGCTGTTCCACCACCGCTGCCTCGCCATCCGCGAGCTGAGCCACGACATTGCGTCCGAGGACAAGCGGTCGAGCGACAGCACCATTGTCACCATCATATTGTTTCTCTTTGTCGAGGTCAGTATCCAGGGGAAATGCACTTTGAGGACAGGGCGACGACCAAGTTGCTGACCAAGTTCTCTCTTTCCGTAACTACAGCTCCAGCAGATGCCGGCGACAAACTGGCGGCAGCACCTCGACGGCTTAACGCAACTGATTGAGCTCCGAGGAGGGCCCAGGCAGTTCCTCAAGAACCTGCCGTCACTATCCATCGGCCTGAGCAGTTTCTTCATGTAAGCCGGTTTTACTTTTGGCTGATGGGCAGCTGCGGTCCCGTGACTTGTTTTTCTTTTCTGACTAACTAATCTCTTTATAAAAGGGTCGGAGTCATGGCAAACACGACGTGTCCTCCGCTGTGCGACAACTCTGCCGTCTCGCACTACGAGCTCATCGACCTGCTCGCCACCATGTACGGCGAGGGCAGCTACCCGACGTGCCTGTGCCCGCCGGCGCTGTTCGTCACCATTGTCGAGATCAACTACCTCCGCGCGCAGCAGGCCCTGGCCAACTTCATGGCGCCGCCGCCGCCGGCCAGCCGCTCGATCACGCCGCAGTCGCAACCGCCGCTGCTGTGGTCCGAGGAGAACGGCAGCATGATGGAGCTGCCGCTGTGGTCTACGCCGGAACACCAGGGCAACAGCAGCAGCGACGGGTACGACTTCGCTCAGAAGCGGCAGCAGCGGCAGGACATGGTGAGCGACGTGATGATGGACGCGACGCTGGCCATGGATCTACCTCTGCTTCCTGAGACCACCACCACCAATACCAATACCACCACCACATTCTCCAGAAGCAACAGCAACAGTGACAGCAGCACCAACAGCGACAGCACGAACACGCAGGAATACTGGCTAGACCCAGCCCTCGCCCGCCACGACGTAGACGCCCACGCCCGGGCCCTGCTCAAGGACATCCTCGCCTACTCCCCCGAGGACTCGGCAGCACCACCGCCACCGCCACAACAGCCCCGGTCCTTCCCCGAGGACCGCCTCGTCCTGGGCCGCCTCTGGCAGTCCGCCCTGGTCATCTACCTCATCGCCTCGCTCCAGAGCCTGGGCGCCCTCCGCTCGCCTTTTCTGCGGGGCCAGCTCGCGGGGCTCCGCGCCATCCATGGCGCCCGGCTGTACGAGCAGCTCCGGCTCGCCGTCGAGTCGCCCCGGCTCAAGAAGAGCGTGCTGTGGCCGCTCGTCGTGTGCGGCTTCGACGCCGCCAGCACCGTTGACAGCAGCAGGGGCGGCAGCGGCAATGCCCCCTCCGCGGAGGTGGCTGCGACGGCCGAGGAGCGGCGCAGGTTCGTCGAGGCCCGGCTGCCGATCCTGGGCCAGGACGTGGGCACCTCGCTGCCAGAGTATGCGAGGATGGTGCTGCGCAAGTTCTGGGACTCTGGGAGGACGGACTGGGACAGCTGTTTTGACAAGGCGTATGCTTTTGTCACGTAGAGACGATGCTGGCGGTGGTGGTGGTGTTGTCGCATGGTGCTTTGATGTTCACATCCCGGGGGGACCGAGCACGGCCTGCGGGGAATAATGCTCGAGTTGTCATGCCCGCCCATTTCATGCATAGGCTGAGGCTTGGTATATTAAACGAAACATCAACACTGCTAGTATTTTACACGCGTAATGAGACATGATGGCATAAAAGCCAAAGCCTGAAAATGCGGCGACGGGCCGTGAACCCTCAATTCATTGGCCTTTGCCGTGAGACGCCGGAGACTTAGAAGATCCAGAGGTGTGCAGGCTCCGATGTGGCGGCAAATCCTGGCGATACTTTTCAGCCTCGATGCCGCCAGTTCGGTCTGAGTGTCATTTAAAGCCACTGCCTCTACGTACACGAATGCTCAAACATTGTGTATGCAGCAACAGTAAGATCGACCAATATACAATCCATACATTTGCGGGCTTGCTGTGCAGCCATCGTGGCCGCGAAAGGCTGTGATAGCCCTTTACCGCTTGGTCTGGCCGTAGAATTGGCTCGTGCTCTGCCATGATCAGATGGACCATGCACCTTCTTTTCGCGCCACGGGTTCTGTACCATCCCAATCTCCTTCGATTTTTGTAAATGGCGAGCGGCTAAGACCGCTCATGGCTTAGGGAATATTCCTCGGTCTTCGTACAACCGCGTCACTTGTTGCTAGACTCATCCGAATGATTGTGCTCCCGAGAGTCAGCCTCGGCAAGCCGCCAGCCGTCACGCTGGCGAAGGAAGTGCTCTACTCTCTCGTGCCTGTTCAATGTAGCCTGGTCCACCTGCCGCTTGCGCATCGTGTCGCTGATTGCCATGTGGTTCTGCTCGCGCATCTCGACAAGATTCAGAGTGCTCGCGCTGGCGCGGCGCGCCTGGCCGACACTGCCGACCATGACGAGGAGGCACAGCACAAAGACGAACATGCCGTTGGGCATGTACACGGGCTGCTGCTTGGCATAGACCCGACCGTCCCGCTGGGCGTACCAGCGCTCCCAGTCTTCCCATGTGGCGTTCATGCTCGGGTTTCCGGGCTCCTCACGCCAGGAACGGTACGCAGCGTTTCGTGCGGCCGTCTCGGCGCCGGCGGGGCCATCCCAACCGAGGCCGAAGCGGTCGTAGGACTGCCGCTTAACAGGGTCGGAGAGGATGTTGTTGGCCGCAACGATGAGTCGATAGCGCTCGAGACGGACCGCGTCAGACACGGGAGACCGAGAGGAGCCGTTTCGGTGCGTATCCGGGTGGTAGATCTTGACCAGCTCATAGAACTTGGCCTTGCTGTAAGGTGCATGTCGATGCTGTCCAAATATCTCATACGGTGATGGCTTGTGAGACTTTGGCCACTCGTGGCAATGGTGGCTACCAGCACTGGACGCCCCGACGTTGCTTGCGTGCCGGCGTGAGGCAGCCGCGACACTGGCCGAGACCGGACATGCTGATGGAGTAGTCCTGTGCGGAGCTGCCCACGGGGCTAAGACTGCAGGTGGGAGAGCCGGATGTGACTGTGACGCTAGGCTGGCGACTGAGAGTGTGCCTTTTGGGATCATGATATCGAGGCTGGACAGAGTGAACTCGGGGAGTCCACCTGGAGGCCCTTCATGGCGCGTGGTGCGATGAGGGATGAAGGAGGCAAAGTCGTGTGCTCGCGGTCCGGCAGGAGGGGCTGCGATGATGGTACCTTTGGCGTGGTGTGTAGGCTCGACCCCAAACCAAGGTCAAGGTGCGAGGGAGCAAGCCGGTTGGTTGGAGCGGCGAATGTGGTGGTCACTGTGGAGTTGGCCTCGGGCTTCGTGGATTAGTCATGATGGCGAGCGCGAGAGCACTCCCATTGCATGCCAGGACTGCAGCTTGCTACATCAGCTCCCATCAATTCAGCAATTGACTTTGGTACAGTAGTACACTTGATGCATGTGCAGCACTTTCCGTCTGGAGTCGCTCGGTGCGCTACTATTATGGCTCGATTCTTGTGGTGAAGGGTCGCTGATTCCGCAATAGAGGGCCCACCAGGGTGGCCTCTGTGCGAGGCACGAGGTTGTACCAGCTCATGGTGCTTGCGAGTGAGAAACAGGCGGATGAACCTACTCGCGAGGGCGTCCCATATGACCACAGGGACGATGCCAGCTCTGGTGATGCCCGCCAAAGGTGGAGAATGCGACGAAGGGACGGGGAGGAGAGGAGGGGCACCGGCCACGGCACGGCAGCAGCCACTCGCAGGCAGGGTTCAGCTGGGTGCCAGGCGGCTCCTGCTGCTCGCACAAATCGCACCCCCGGCGGAATACTCGTGCTTGGGAATGCTCCCTTCAACACCACCACACCACCACCTCCTCCCTCCCACTCCTCTCGGCCCACGATCCACGACGACTGCACTCTCCGCTACACCACGCTTGCAGACCACAGAGTCCCCGGCTGGCCACACATTGACACGCCCGCGACGCCTTCTCTGCCTCGGAGCTCCCCGCTCACTTTTGGTCGCTGCCTGCCCATTCTTGAGCCCTCACCCACCACCCGAAGCCCCAGCAATCAAGAACGAAGCAATCTCCTGACCACGCCCGCAAACCTTCCAAAGCGCGAGGCAAAGCACGACGCACACGCTCATCTCAATCCCCCAATCTCATCTGCATCATAGGGGCCCATACAAACGACACCGCTGCCACACCACAACCCTGCTTTGTCCATCTCTCCGCTGCTCGGCCCTCGAATCGCCGTTCTTGACGCAAACCCTCCTGTCCTCGTCGAGTAAAGAAGCCCAGAACACTCTCCACGCGCCAGCCGTATTCTCAAATCGCGAAGCGGCACGCTCAATCTACCAGCTCACAACAAGCAGTCGTCGTGCCCCCACCAAAGTCACCACCTCCAATCTCACATAACCTCATATCACAATGACCGATGCGTTAACAGAGAAGCTGCGGGCGTCGACCATCAGCGACGGCCCCTCTGACGACTGGAAGAAGAACCTCAACATCCCCACACGGGACGGCCGGCATCAGACTGAAGTACGACACTCTATGCCCAGGGCTCTGGCGTGCCTCCTGCGAATTTGACTGCTGACCTTGTTCCAACGTTGCAGGATGTCACAAACACGAAAGGTCTGGAGTGGGAGGACTTCTCTCTGAAGCGCGATCTGCTCATGGGCATCTTCGAAGCCGGCTACGAAAGACCCTCCCCCATCCAAGAAGAATCGATCCCCGTCGCGCTTACCGGCCGAGATATACTAGCCCGAGCCAAGAACGGAACAGGAAAGACGGCGGCGTTTGTCGTCCCCGTCCTGGAGCGCATCAACCCCAAGCTCAACAAGATTCAGGCTCTGATCTTGGTGCCCACCCGAGAGCTTGCCATGCAGACATCACAAGTCTGCAAGACTCTCGGAAAGCACCTCGGCGTCAACGTCATGGTCACCACTGGCGGTACGGCCCTCCGCGACGACATTGTCCGTCTCCAGGATCCTGTCCACATAGTAGTGGGCACGCCTGGTCGTATCCTCGATCTCGCCAGCAAGAACGTCGCCGATCTGAGCGAGTGCCCGTCCTTTATCATGGACGAGGCAGACAAGCTCTTGTCGATCGAGTTCACACCCGTCATCGAGCAGCTCCTCAAGTTCCACCCCAAGGATCGCCAGGTCATGCTATTCTCGGCCACCTTCCCCCTCTCGGTCAAAGACTTTTCGGACCGCAACATGAACGACCCGTACGAGATCAATCTGATGGACGAGCTCACCCTCCGTGGTATCACCCAGTACTATGCTTTCGTCGAGGAGAAGCAAAAGGTCCACTGCCTCAACACGCTCTTTTCCAAGCTCCAGATCAATCAGTCCATCATCTTTTGCAACTCCACCAACCGAGTCGAGCTCTTGGCCAAGAAGATCACCGAGCTCGGCTACTCCTGCTTCTACAGCCACGCCAAGATGGTGCAGCAGGCCAGAAACCGCGTCTTCCACGACTTCCGCAATGGTGTCTGCCGAAACCTTGTCTGCTCTGACCTGCTCACCCGTGGTATCGATATCCAGGCCGTCAACGTCGTCATCAACTTTGACTTCCCCAAGAACGCCGAGACGTACTTGCACCGCATCGGTCGCTCTGGACGTTACGGCCACTTGGGTCTCGCGATCAACCTGATCAACTGGGAGGACCGCTTCAATCTCTACAACATTGAGAAGGATCTGGGTACCGAGATCCAGCCCATCCCCGCCAACATTGACAAGAGCCTCTACGTTTACGAGAACCCGGAGAACATTCCCCGCCCTGTCAACAACTACAACACCAAGACCATTCAGGCCGCTCAGCAGGCTCAGCAGGCTCAGCAGCAGCAGCAGCAGCCTCAGCATCAGAGGCAGCCCAGCCTTCCGCCCCAGCACCAGCCCGGTGGTGGTGCTCCTCAGGGCAACTTCCGCGGTGGCCAGGGTCGCAGCGATTACAATGACGGCCAGCAGCGTCAGTACCAGAACAACGGTCGTGGAGGCCGTGGTGGACGTGGCGGCCAGGGTCAGGGTCAGGGTGGCCGCGGCCGCGGTTTCAATGGCCGTGGCGGTGGCGGCCGCCCACAGGGCCAGCAGCCTCAGCAGGCTTAAAATGCACATCATCACATGTGGCGGCAGCAGGCGGGGCTGGGGCGATCCCAGTCGCAAGGCAAACGACTACTGCAATGACGACGTCCCAAGTGACGCAAAATCGCCTTGCACTGTACATATTTGGTGGTTGGATCTGGGTCGCCGTTTTGTGACATACCCACGACGACGATCAACAACGACTACGTTTCTTTTGGCTTTCACATCTACGGCCTTACCATCTGCGATTGTCTCGGCACTTTCAGCATCAAAGACACTAGGCGCGAACTCATTATTGTTATGCTTGGGAATGACGGCGGGATCGAAGGCGAAAAGACTGGCGTTCATTGTTTATGGCGTTTTTGGCATTGCGTGGAGGATGACTCTTGGGCGACCTGGTGGGGGGGACGGACGCAAATGTTTTGCATCTTCACGAATACCCCTTTTCTGTCGATTCTGACGAGGCAGAGGCGACAAGCTGGTGACTGACCAGCCAGCAACTGTTGACCACTTGGCCACACAACTCTCAACTCTCAACTCAACACGACCCTCCTCACCAATGGTTTCGATGGAGTCTGCATTCCACATGATGGCACTTTTGCACTGCATCGCTGCGACTGCAGGAGCATAATTTGCCGGAGAGTTGCTCTCTCATGAAGCCTATCACCACGAACAACATCATCACGATCACACCCGACTTTTGGCCGAGATGGCCGCTCTGTTGCGACGCCAGTGCCTCAGACTCCTTGTTGAGTTGCTCAAGGCTGGCCAGCTACGACAAAACCGAGCACAGATGACAACGAACAAAACTCAAAGAAAACACTTAAAAAATGGTTTTTTTTTCTTTTTTTTTTGGATGGGACGCAAGAGGAACTGGAGGATTTTCTCGTCGGATATCTGCTGATCCGACAAGTCCAATGGAGACTTGGAGCTACTGAATAAATGGGCCTACGCGGCCGGATCTTTTCATCCACAACCTGCCAACTCTATCACTGTGATGTTCTATATCGTTGCACGATGTATGCGATTGTGACGCGGACTGCTGCGATAGGAAACGCGATGCAGCCCATGACGTCGTCACAGCCGCCGGCCGTGGCTCATGACCACGGCCGGTGTGGATTGATCTTCGGATGGAATGAGAGCCAGATGACACGGTTGAAACAAACAGTCGAAAAAGCCCAATTTAAAATCCGATTGTCAGGTCACGATTGCATCTTTTGATGGCAACTTACCGTCTAGAAAGCAGGTGACAATAGATGTTGCCAACTCTGCTTCCCGCGCCCAAAGGGATATGACAAGCCGTCCTTGAGAGGCGAGGCATCGGTACGTCATGGCTTGGCGCGGCAACTGCTCGAGTCGTCCGCGCTGGCGGTGGGTGCAGCCACGCGCTGCTTGTCCTGGGGAGAACAAAAGTGGTGAAGGTGGTGGAGCGGAGCGAGGCAGGCGGGCTCACGCGAGAAAAACAACCTTGGAAGGCTTGGGATAAAGAAAGTGGTGAGTTCGGGCAGGGAAATTTTAGTGGGGATTGCTGATTAGACATGTTATCAGGGTGCGTTGTACACTGTGTTGTGTAGGGCGATGAAAAGGAGCAAACGAGAATCTTCCTCGGCCGAGGGGCTGCAGCTTGCAACTTTTTAGGGATACGCTCAGAGATCGAATCAAGATCGTATATGAAGACTGTAGGATACACTTCAGTACTCCTTGCTTCAAAGCACTCGATCTCCCGTGTTCCGGTAACGCATCACGCCCGACCAAGGTCTGCAGCCACTGCACAGTCACAACGTCACGAGATATACTGTATCCCTCCAGAGAACCAGGACCCTGAAACCGGCATTACCGCATTCTGCAGGCGACTCGCATCAACATTCAGGCTCGTCGGTCCTGACATGTACATTGCGAGATACTCGGACAACATCTTTGTCTCGTTCAGACGTGTAATTTCGTCAGTCTCAGCACCTCCCCGTGCTGCTCTCAGCACAGCGCTCAACCGGCGGTCATATTCCACAGCTCCCCATCCGCCTCCCACAGACACAACAGACATGCCTGAGCAACAGCGGCGGCATCCGTACCGCGGCGGCGCGGGCAAGAACTTCCGCAAAGGCAGACCCGGCAGACCTCAGGGCCAGGGTCAGCAGCAGGATGGCCAAGACGGCGGTCCTCCGTTCGGGCAGAGAGGACCTCGCGGGGGCGGCGGCAGAGGCGGCCGTCCGGTTCAGCAGCAGCACCAGCAGCTCCAGGAAGACTCGGACCAGCAAATGGACTCGGGGACATCGACGCCGATGGACCTGTCAGCCGTCCACAACCCGGCGCTGACGATTGACATCCCGATGGACACGCCGCTGTTTGCAGACCTGGCGCGGGACGGCCTCGTGCACCCGACCATCATTCAGACCATCACCGAGGACCTCAAGTTTGGCCACATGACGCCCGTCCAGGCGGCCACGATCCACGAGCTGCTGACAAGCACGGACGTCCTCGCCCAGGCCAAGACGGGCACCGGCAAGACCATTGCCTTCCTGCTGCCCGCCATCCAGTCCATGCTCAAGCGCAAGCTCACGCCGGGCCGCCAGATCTCGCTGCTCGTCATCTCGCCCACGCGCGAGCTGGCCATGCAGATCGCCAAGGAGGCCGAGGCCCTCCTCCAGCGCATGCCCCAGTACAAGATCTGCCTCGCCATCGGCGGCACCAACAAGGACTCGGAGGAGCGCCGCATCCTCCGCGGGTGCGACATCCTCGTCGGCACCCCCGGCCGGCTGTACGACCACCTCGGCACCGACGGCGGCAGCGTCGCCGAGATGCTGCAGGCCGTCGACACGCTCGTCCTCGACGAGGCCGACCGCCTGCTCGACATGGGCTTCCTCGACTCCCTCAAGAAGATCATCCGGTGCCTGCCGGACAAGGAAAAGTCGAACCGGCAGGGCATGCTCTTCTCGGCCACGATTGCCGACCACGTCGAGAAGGTGGCCCACCTGGCCCTGTCGCGCGACTACAAGTTCATCTCGACCATCCCCAAGGGCGAGATCAACACGCACGAGCGCGTGCCGCAGCACCTCATCGTGGTTCCCAACTTTGCCGACATGGCCGCCGGCCTCGTCGGCACCATCCGGCAGGAGCTCGCGGCCATCGGCCCGGCCACTTTTAAAGCCATCATCTTCGCGCCCACCGCGGGCATCGTCGACTTCTACCACGACGTGCTCTCCGCACTGGCTCCCCAGTACGGCCTCCCGCCCGTGTGCGCCCTGCACGCGCGCCTCACCCAGTCCCGGCGCACCAAGACGACGGACCAGTTTCGCACCGCGCCCAACGGCATCCTCGTCGCGACCGACGTCATCGCCCGCGGCATGGATTTCCCGGGCATAACCAACGTGTTCCAGGCGGGCATCCCCTCGGACAAGGAGTCGTACATCCACCGGCTGGGCCGGACCGCGCGCGCGGGCGCCGAGGGCAGGGGCCACTTCATCATCACCCAACAGGAAGGGTACTTCCCAAAATACACCCTCAAGGAGATCACCTTCCAGGAGCAGCAGCCCGCGGACCTGTCGGCGCAGGCCGACGTGCTCGCCGTCGCGGAGCGGCTCGACACCCAGGCCAAGACGTACCAGGGCTGGCTGGGCTTCTACAAGAGCTACATGAAGCCCCTGGGCTGGGACGCTGCCACCCTGGTGCGCGAGGCCAACCGGTACGCGCTGGACGGGCTCGGCGCGCCAGAGGTGCCGACCCTGCAGAAGAGCACGGTCGGCAAGATGGGGCTCAAGGGGGTCAAGGGTCTTATTGTCGGGCCGGATGCGCCCAAGGCGGCGAGAGGAGGGGGTGGTGGCGGTGGACGTGGAGGAGGCGGCGGCGGCGGTGGTGGTGGTGGCCGCGGTGGAAGGAGATGATTTGGTTCATTCAATGGAGGGAACTGGGCCGACAAAACATGAGATAAGCATCGGGACATGAACGGGTACGACATAGACCATGGGCCATGGGCATGACTGAAAAAAGTTTCCCTTTGTGATTAGAGCCCGCCCCGGACGGACATAGACAATGACGTTTATGAGAAAATGCCATGAATAAACAAAGTCATGAATGGCGCTCGCAATTACCTTGCTCAGACGAGTGTTCCTGACTGTTGGTGACTGCTCGAATAATATTCCCCAGCTTGACTCGCAGGGGTCATGGCCAAGCTGTAAATCAAGAGTTGTGCTGTCGTGGATAACAACCTTCTTCGTCTGTAGTCGTATGGAAGGAGCCCAAAGCAGGAGGGCCACGACAACGTCTCATCAAAGCTCGGTGATTTAAAGAGATACGCCGCTTCTCTGGTCCTGGCCCGCGAGCTCTCTCGGGATTGGACTCATCCAGCTCAGCTTGGCATCTGTGTCTCTGAGCCTCTAAAGCCCGTCTGCCAGCTACCGGTATTATTCAACGAAGTGCTCTGGCACTGCTCTGGCAACCAGCCGGCACTCTGCCTCAGAAGCCGTCGGGCCATTGGCTTACAACTCGGCCGCCAGAGACCCTGATCCTCGTATGGAAGGGTAGCCCTATGGGGAGATAAGGCGGACTCCGAGATTCCAAAATCCAACGGGCGACCCTGAAACCGGCAACAAGTACATCACATGCCATATCGGACCTGTAGTCGGACCTAGCTCGCTCCATCGGGCTACTTGTTGGACCCTGAGCTTGCCCATAAACGCCACAATAGTGCTTCCGTTCTCAGGGCTGGCCGCTTAAAGTGCCAATCCTGCATTCTAGAGATAAGCCTGCACGTGTCAACCAAGACCCTTCTCCGGTCCAGTCCGGCGTGGTTCGGGTACCTGGATGATCTTGTGGCCGAGTCCAATAGCATCCCGAGACGAGCCACAGGGTGGCGTCTGGAGTAGTGGCAGTGGCGGCTCGAGCGGTCCAGCCGAAAATTAGAGATAAGCCAGAGAGACGACTGAAAGCGAGGCCATGCAGATTTCCCATGCCACCCGAGGAGACAATCCTGGGAATTCGGTGATTGCCATGCAGGACCATCCCAATCCTACCTGTCCCGGTGCTGCTGTCTGTGCGTGCCTGACAGGATTCATACTGTGCATTGTTCGGGTCCGTTCGGGGACTTGCAAGGCACAAACGTGGGATCGTGGGGTCCGACTTTTCCGAGTTTGGGAGGTCCGACAGCAGCACAGATGGTGGTCTGTCTCTTGTCTCGTTGAGATTGGCCGTGCTTGGAACAACGTGGGGCGTCAGATGCGAGCTGGACCTGTGATTATGCAGGAGGCGCTATCGACACTGCAAGCACTGATAGCGCAACCACGGCCCTTGATACTGGTCGGCCCGTGCTGCTGCCTCTCTGAATCCGGCACCGTCTTCAGGCGCCATTACTTGGTCGTGCCACTCCCGCGAATTGCACCGAGTGTGCTTGGCGGCTCTGCACGATAACCCCAGCGTCGCATCAGGCGAGCCCGGTGTCAGCCTCTCGGCGTAATGGCCGCAAGGCGGTCTGTCCAGACATCGTGGGGGATGAGGAGAAGGCGTGAGCGAGATCATCGACGCAACCCCAAAGTTCCAGTGTTCTGCTCCACAAGAAGTGGTCTCATAATCTGAGGTGTGGTGGAGACGTGGAGAGGGTGCTCAGGTCGACGAGGAGAAGCGGAGGTCAGGGTCGGAGGCTGTCTTGCCTGCCTATCAAGCACTCGGCTGTTGGCCCGGATGAAGTTTTGTTTCGTCTCGTCTCGTTCTCAATGTACTGCCAGTGGCCGCTTCGCCATCCAGGAGAGCAGGATTGCTGGTGTGGTGGCTGGCAGGACAATAACGACAGCCGCTTCCCCAACAGTGATGTCGCACCGAGAACGCCATGATGAAAAACTCCCATCCGACGAGACGCCTGGCAGCCCTACCACCAGCCACCTACGTCGTTGCAGCAGGGTCCTCGAGGGAGAGCCATGTGGTTGGGACTGTACTTACTGTAATTACACATGGTGGCAGGATGGAGATGGTCAGGGGCAAGGTGAGGAGACAGAGACCCTCCTTTGCACCCACCGATCTGCAAAACACCCTGCGCACAGCACAGATGGCAGCTGGCATGTGGCAGGCGAGCAAGTGGTTGCAGAGGCACCGGCAGCTGCAGCAAGGGAAGGTGCAGCGCAACGCAGGCGCGCTAGAGCGGAGAGCCGCCGAGTCAGCCCCGTGGCACGCACCTGATTGGCTCCGTTAGGCGGAGATGCGGCAGGCGGGTCGGTGTGGGACTCCACTCCCGGCCCCACCACGGGCAGCCAATGCCGGCCGTCGCGAGCAGCACAGCGATGGATGTGATCGCCGGCCCGGGTGGCCTCGCGTGCAGAGATTTCGCCAGGTGGCATCAGCCAAGCTGATAGAAGGCGGCGGGCCAAGCTTGGAGATGCCAATCTCTTAAATAATCATGTGTCTTTTGACTCGGGCGCCTCCGGCAGGACCCCACCGGGCCGTGCGGGTCGGGACCGACGTCATAACGGAGCCGCCGTCTGGGAGCAGTTCGCAGAACACACACCTGGGCAGCACAAACCCCTGGTAAAGAGCCTGCGCCGTGGCGTGGCAGCGGCAGCGGCAGCCCGGGAGAGGTGCATACAAGCTTCTCGGCAGGCAGAGGGCAGAGCCCTTGGCGCGGCACAGCAGGTTGCTTGGTGTCTCTTATCTGCGCGTGCGTGGGCAGGGGGCATGTCGGAGCGAGTGTAGGCGGCATCTCGAAGCGTTGTACAGCTGTGCCTGCCTGTCATTGGCGCTGTAAGTACATGCTGGTGACGATGGTGTGAAGGAAGAGAGTTGTGGTGCTGGTGCTGGTGCTCATTGCAAGGGTGTGGACCGGGACCCCTTGCGGGCCCCACTGCTAGACGCCGGCAGTTGGTGGGGCCTATGACCGCATCGCACCTGCAGGCCTCGAGGTTGGTTGATCTCGGTCTGCAGAGCCGCGGCGGCGAAAAGGGAAAAATCTTATCTTGACTCTGCGTACCGCGCGGGACGGCCGCCGCCCTCTACGTAATCCCGCTAGAGGCTCTTTCCAGGGGACCTGCCTGCTGCCTGGCTGACCTGGCTGACCCGGCCCGGCGGAACAGAGGCTGAACATACCAGACTCCAATGCTGTTCAGGCGCGTGGCAGCAACTGCATTGTTCGCTCCTGCTGTTCTGGAACGAACCCGCGTGATATGCCGCGGGAGGTCTCGGGTCCGGGCACGCAGGGGCAGTCCTGCCTGGCGGTCCACCCGCACCTGGGCGGATGAATGACCATCGACATGAACGGCACGACGTTGGCTCTCTGCTTCTCCATCGCCCGGCATGCGCATCCACCCCCCGCCCACTCTTTTCTCCTCCTTTTCGCTCCACGCGAAACCACCGTCGGGATGACGATATGCCAACCCGCGCCTTACTCGCGCCCTGGACAGTCCCCACGCACGTTGCGGATGCCATGATCGCCCACCTCTCTCTCCAGCCCTCCGCAGACGACACTGCTAGCGACGCAATCAATGGACAGACGGATGGGCATGGAGATGGACCTTTGGAGGCAAGGCCGACCTCCTCATTACCCACCTCGACGAAAACTCTGGAGGCAACGGACGTCAGCGAGCATCAATATAAGAACCCCGCGCCGCACCAGCCATCAAGTCTAGTCTCGTTTCTAGTTCCCTCATCCTCATCACCATCATCCTCTGTCCATTTCCCCTGTTGTTTGGTTTCCTGTAGACCGCGTTGATCGCCGGACCAGGACACTCGTGCTCTGAGAGCAGCAACAGCTTACACCACACGTACACAACTCCGTCAAGAACAACAAGTGTCGCCCAACATGACGCAGGCACACGAGAAGAGCAGCGATGCGGCTGCGCCCAAATACTGGGGCGTGACTGGCAAGAAGGTCCAGAAGCTCGTCACCGCCGTGGCCACGACCGACTTCCTCCTCTTCGGGTGAGAATCCCTTTCATGGATACTGTCCCTAGCTATAAGCCGGCCCCACAGACAGCTAACCATGCATCCAGATACGACCAAGGTGTCATGTCGGGTATCATCTCGGCTCCGGCCTTCCAGCACAGCTTCCCCGAGGTCGAGGGCGACAGCACCTACGAGGGCTTTGTCGTCTCCATCTACGCCGTCGGCTGCTTCCTCGGCGCTCTCTTCATCCTCATGTTCGGTGACCACCTCGGCCGCCGCAAGTCCATCTTCCTCGGCGGCATGGTCATGATCGTCGGTGTCATCATCCAGGTCACTGCTTTCGGTCCCTCGAGCGGCGCCACTGCCCAGTTCATCATCGGCCGGTGCATCACAGGAATCGGCAATGGCATCAATACCTCCACCGTCCCCACCTACCAGGCTGAATGCTCCGAGTCCCACAACCGCGGCAAGCTCATCTGCATCGAGGGCGGCAACGTTGCCATCGGCACGTTGATTGCCTACTGGATCGACTACGGCTGTACTTATGGCCCCGAGGCCTTTGTCTGGCGCTTCCCCATTGCCTTCCAGTGCGTGTTTGCCATGGTCGTCCTCGTCCTCATGACCCGCCTGCCCGAGTCGCCTCGCTGGCTGCTCACAAAGGGACGTACAGAGGAGGCGGCCGTCGTCCTTGCCGGCCTGGCTGGCATGGCTCCCAACTCTGCTGTCATCACCGAGGAGGTCCAGGTCATCGAGGAGGCCATCCGCGCTTCCGGACACAAGGGCGGCATCACCCCCTTCTCGGCTCTCTTCGAGGGTGGCCCCATGCAGAGCTTCCGTCGCATGGTCCTCGGTGCCTCTTCTCAGATGATGCAGCAGCTCTCTGGCTGCAACGCCGTCATCTACTACTTCCCCATTCTCTTCCAGACCTCCATCGGCACCTCGCACAACCTGGCTCTCCTGCTCGGTGGTGTTAACATGGTCGTCTACTCCATCTTTGCCACCACCTCTTGGTTCGCCGTCGAGCGCATCGGTCGCCGCAAGCTGTTCCTCATCGGTACCGTCGGCCAGTGCTTGTCCATGGTCCTCACCTTCGGTGCGCTTCTTCCCGGTACTCCTGAGGCTGCCAAGGGTGCCGCTGTGGGTCTCTTCACCTATATTGCCTTCTTCGGCGCCACCTGGCTCCCGCTCCCCTGGCTGTACCCTGCCGAGATCAACCCTCTTCGCACCCGCGCCAAGGCCAACGCCACCTCGACTGTGCAGAACTGGCTGTGGAACTTCTTCGTCGTCATGGTCACTCCTGTCATGCTTTCCGGCACTGGCACTTCCGGCTGGGGCACCTACCTCTTCTTTGCCGTCATGAACGCCATGTTCTTCCCCATCATCTACTTCCTGTACCCCGAGACTGCTGGCCGTTCCCTCGAGGAGATCGACCTCATCTTCGCCAAGGGTTTCACCGAGAAGATCAGCTACGTCAAGGCCGCCCAGGACCTGCCCAAGCTCGGTGCCCAGGAGGTTCAGCGCCGCGCCAAGGACTACGGTCTCGGTGTTGAGGAGGAGATCAAGACTGACCACGCTGAGCGTGAGATTGGCATGCTCACTGACTCTTCTTCTTAAGTTGGTTGCAGTATTGTCTAGAAGATGTGGTGGATGCGTGGCCACGCCACGCGCGACGTCGATGGAATGCATGCCCAAAGGGTATGACTTTACGAAAACAATTTGATTTCACACTTGTTTCTCGTCTTACCTAGCTCGTTCGAATTACGAGCTACTGATACCCGGTGCAGATACACGCAGTATCTGTTACCACAGAGAGGAAAGTTATAGAAAATAGACAATTTCTTATAGAGAGAAATGGAATGTTAGGCGCACAAATGATGCGACCTCATAAAGATTCCCCAACATTTCGTGAATCGTGCGCATAGTGACAGTGACCTGCGGTGCAAGCGTTATTTTGACCAGAGGAGCAGGGCGGCTTCCTCCGCCCATTGGGGTCTTTGAGCCTGTAACTTCGACATTTATGGGACGGTGCATTCATCCAATATATTTGTAGGTCATTCATTTGCTTGTTTCCTATAATGCTATATAACAAACGCCTGCCAAAGTGCCGAATCGAGCTCCATCGTATATAGACAATCCCATGCTACTCCAGTGCACGCATCGCACAGATCAATCTATCAATCAGGCAAACCCGCTGCGCAGGTTATCGTACTTGCTCTGCGGGTACTCGACGCAGTTGGTCGACTTGTCCAGCGCCTCGGGGCCACCGAGCCTCTGCACCACCGTGGCGATGAGGCTGTCCGACGAGTCGGCCTTGAAGTCGGCGCTGCTCTCCCACCACATCCCACCTCCCAGCCCCTTCTGCTTGATGTACTCGACCTTTCTCGCGGCGACGGCGGGGGTGTCGTAGGTGACCATGGTGCGCGTGGCCGGGTCGTACGAGTAGCTCGCGACGACCTCGTCGTCGGTGTGGACCTGGGCGCCCGGTTTCGGCAGGGTCTTGTAGTCGTGCACCCCATTCTCCCACGTGCCCTGGCCGACTCCCGCAAAGGGTTTTCCAGGCCCGTCGGTGTTCTCAAACGCCCGGCCGTACAGGGGCATGCCGAGGACTAGCTTGGACGGGTGCACGCCGCCGCGCGAGACGTAGTGCTGGACCGCGGCGTCGGTGCTGAACGGCGTCGAGGCCGGGTTGCCGCTGCTCGGGAACAGGTTCGCCTGGTGGCCCGCGTTGGCGTCCCAGCTGCCCGCGTAGTCGTAGGCCATGAGGTTCCAAAAGTCCAGCAGGCGGTCCATGCCGGGGATGTCGAGCTTCTCGTAGTTTTGCGCGCCCGCGGGGCAGGCGACGGTGAGCTCAAAGTGTGGTCTCGAGGGGAGGGTCGCGGCGTAGGCGTCCAGGGCGTCGCGGACCGCCTGGAGCAGAGAGACGTAGTCGGCGGCCTCCTGGGCGTTCTGCGGGTACTCCCAGTCAATGTCGATGCCGTCGAAGCCCAGGTTCTTGACGAGGTCGACGCAGGACGAGGCGAACGCCCCGCGGCCCTCGGGCGTGGACGCGGGCTGCTTGAAGTTGCTGCTGTAGGTCCAGCCACCGACGGAGAGGAGGACCTTGAGGTGGCGGTTCTTCTTCTTGAGGAGGTTGAGCTGCTTCAGGCAGCCGTAGAGGTTTGTGCCCGAGTCGTTCCATGAGTCGCCGTCCCAGTGGATGTCGGTGTCGGCCCAGGTGTCGGTGAGGTAGACCTCGCCCGACTCTGGGCGGACGTTGGCAAACGAGTAGAGGACATGGGTGAGGCTGTCGGCGGGGAGGTCCTGGGGTTTGTGGGAGCGGGCGTAGATGGCCCAGTTGACGTAGTAGGCAACCGTACGGTAGCCCTGCTCAGGTCCGCCGCCCATGGTTGTTGTTGGGGTGGTGGTGGTGTTGTTTTTTACTGTCGAGGCCGACGAGGAGTGTGGCGAGGGCGAGAGGATATGTTGCAGCGGCGAGGGAGTAAAGTCGAGTGGCAGGAGATAGACAGCGGTGAGGAGCACGACCAGAGGCAGGACGAGGAGAGCCGCAGCTCGAGGCAGAGGCATGGAGATGGGAGACCAAGACTTTATAGGTGAGGAGCTATATCATGCAGGAGCGTGACCTCTTGCATGTCGTTTTGCTGGCCACGCTGTTTGTGGAAGAGCTCTAGAGCTGGACCCTGGAAACACGGCAAACGCGGCGCAGCTGCAGCTGCCGTAGTTGGGCAGGGCTGAATCCCGGAAGCGAGCGGCAGCGGCACCTGCGTTCTCCACATGCACAGCTCCGCGTGAAGCTACACGACGCTGGACCTTGCGTGTGGTCTCCATTGTGTGACACATCAGCCTTCAATAGAACGCCATTGTGGCGCGTGGGAAATGCTGCGTTGTCCAGGCCAGACCAGACACATACAAAGCGCTGCTGGTGCGGGGCGGGCGCCAGTGACGTAGGGCGCCCCTGGGAATTGTGGGGCTCCACGTCAGGTCCACCTGGCAGCTGAGGGAGCCTGCAGGGCCAGCACCTTCAGGTCGGCACTGCCTCTTCAGCCACAGCACGACGTCGACGACGACAATGACAACGGCACAATGGGGTCGCTGCCCGTCATTCTCTTCGCCGAGCTGCCTCCCAGCAGGCCTCGACGGCTGCTGCGTCTAACTTGTCCCCTGGCACATGAGATGCGTGCCACTGGTTCTCGACGGCTCCTGCGCTTAACCTGGTCCCTGGCACCCGGCAGTCAGTCATCGAGTGCCACTTCGCGTTCATCGTGGAGCGGCAATCACCCAGATTGTGGTACGTCCTGATGACCACAACTCTGTGTCCCAGTTCCATGTCCTCGTGGCACTGCCCATGCTCGGGGCGGCTCCGATCACACTCGATGGACCAGTCAGTGTGGCACTTCACACAGGATCCATGGACGGGGGGAGTTCCGTCCAGTACGAATGCATCACGATGGAGTGGTCCAAAGTCGCCGGCCTCAATGAAGCCGCCCACATGGCAGCACACCTCAACCCTGTAGGCAGCCAAGAACCTCCGCAATTTCTCGTCGCTCGCAAACTCGCCACCACTGTAGACTCTGGTGCACGAGATCAGGAGCTCCCCGCGCCTCTTGTGAACTCTCCCTCGCCATGGCTCTGCGAGGTGGATCCCATGGCTGATCTGCCAGCAGCCTTTCACGTCCAGTACCGAGGGGCGTAGACCGTACCGTGGCCCGAGGAAGTATGAGTTTGTGACGAGGCGTGCGGCGCGCCAGTCCATGATGTAATGATGCCTGCTGCTGCCGAACAGGATGCTCTCAGGCACGGCCGTCTGGTAGAGCGGTTCGTTCGGGACTTCTTGGAAGCGGACAAGAGCCTGGCTCAGCATACGGTACAATATTTCAGGCGTGTCCTTCATGGTGACCCGACGTGACTTCGGCCGGAAGTCGGACTTGGCGTAGAGGCACTTGCAGGTCAGCGCAAGGCAGGCGGCGTCAATGGGTTGGGGCAACATTGCATAAATGATAAGGATGACCTCGGTTGGCAGGGATTCGATGCGTGACTGAGGGGGTACAAAAGATGCTGCTTCGACCTTGAGAGGTTCTGCCTGGGGTGCCCATAGGCTCAGGTCGCGCAAGAGGTTTTGAAGCATCCTAGTTTGATGTTGAAAGAGATGTAGTAGGAGAGGGTGCTATTCCCATCGGTGTTCGTAGTGGCAGAAACGAGTTGGTATGATGGCGCAGAGGATGCTCATTTGGCTGGAACTTTTTATTTCGCACCTGCCAGGCACGCGAGGGCAGCATGCAGTGGTCTGGACGAGACCGTTTGTGCTGCAAAGAAGCCCAGCCAGGCGTCCACGGCAGGTGCTCAAGTGGACTATCCGGATTACACATTACCGCGGCTCACGCCAACCACAGCCTGACACCGGTTGGTCCTGCCTCCTAGAATCTTCACATTCAATCAGTGCACGACCGTCTATCGACTACATTCTTCTGGGCCGTCCATGGTCAGAGACTGTTAACTCTGCCACTCAGAGGTTCAGAGGTTCGGAGGTTCAGAGGTGACGTACAGAGGCCCGGAGGTCAAGAAAAGTCTGAAGCACAAGCACGGGTCATGCAAGTGACTTTGGACTTTCAAATCTCATGGAAGAGAAATGATTCACTAGGCGGACGGGTTAGTTTGGCACAGAGGCGTACAAATCGATAATGGAAGGGAGCCAACATATATAAATAATTTCTTTTCCCGCCTCCTGAACATGACTTGCTCCCGAAATCAGGCAGGTTCATTCCATGCTGCCTTGATGGCTCCTCGTGGAGTGACTCGCCGCAGGGACCGGTCCTGGGTCATGGCCTGCCAATGCGCATCGTCTGGCCTCTGGCAACCACCAAGCCCATGGTATGTCGTCACTGAGACAATGCGACCTTCTGAGCCACTCGAATAGCCATCACCCCATGGGCCAGTATGTGTATCCCAATCAGTATCGCACTGCCCGCAACCTCCTGCGGCGTCGTTCTCCAAGTGTCCTATGACCATCCTCGGAACCCCACACTCGTCGCGCGTGATGTCCTGCTTGAGGTGCCGGCAGATGTCGACCATGCAATTTTCACCCTCAAAATGGCGCCTGAGAGTGCTTGAAGACCCAGCCCACCACGTCCGCCGGCATTGTAGCACGAGATGGCCTTCATTTGTCAGTCTCGCAGACCAATACACATCTATGTGAAACCAGCGTTCTGAGCCTGAGAGCCGATGCTCATGTGAAAGGACAGAGACCGGTAATCCGCAGGATGGACCAAAGCGGTGGTAGTTTGTAATCAGCCTTGCTGTACACCACGGCAACCGATACCAGCCGCTGAAAGAAAAGGCAATAGGTGGTGGCATGGCTGTGGATGGGGGACCGCAATCGTGGAAATGCAGGAGCTGGCCGTAGATATGCTCAGTGGAGAAGCCAGCCAGTCTTGTACGAATCGCACAGTAGCTGTATCCGGGACGATCTCCGTCGATCCGCAGGAGCAGGCGAGCCTTCGACTCGAGGTTGAACTCACGCGGCGAGCGAAGATGGGACCCGATCTTGTACAGATGTACGCAGGTCAGACTGAGGCAGACAGCGTCGACGGAGTCGCAGGCAGTAAAGACCTGGCTGATGATCTCATTGGGCAGCATCGTGATTCCCTGTGGACGTTCGGCGGGTTCTTCGGCGGTACAGCACGGCTCTTGAACGCTGACTGCTGGCAATGCGTCGTCTCGCTCAACTTCTGACTCTGCTTGTTCCATTCGTTCTTTGACTTGCTCGTTGTATTCGACTTGTTCGTCATCTTCGTGATGCCGACGAACAGCATCGCTTTGTGCGTTTCGGCCTCCGAAGACGCGTCTCAGAAACGCTAGCCAGCACGCCATATCGCTCATGAGTCCCTAGATGTCGGTGCGGATGTCTTTTCGCGTGGACCTGAGTAGGCCATCATGAAGGTCGGCATTAAATATTGGTCGTGGTGAACTGCAAGGGCTCGCCGGCAATGCATGTCGAATTTTGGTACGGGACACGGAAGGTCACTCCTTGGTACGGACCAGCGTGCCACCTCAGAAGGCTCAAGCCACAGAGCCTTCAAACCTCTGAACCTCTGAACCTCTGGTTGATGCGCACATGAATTTGTTCACTTTTGTTTGGTGAAAGGAAACTCCAAAATGCATAGCTGTTCGCTCAAAAAGTCTGATCATTCCCATATGTACGACGCCCTGACTCCATGAAATGCCACTGAGCCACCACTCGCCCGCAGATCGCACCATAATCAGTTACCCTCGCTACCAAACTCCTTGGTCCACTCGGCGTTCCGGTCCAGATCCTCCTTGGAGACTGTCGGCCGCGAGCCCTTGATGGCCTTGGCGAAATCCCGGAAGTCGACCACGGGTTCCAGCAGCGCCTCCGACTCAACGTCCTCCCATGACATCTCCTTGGCGTCCTTGTCGCCGGGCGAGCAAGGCGTCACGCGCACCTTGCCATCAACAGTGACCTGTCACAGAGTAGTCAGTAAAATGAGACCCTTGGGGTAAAAATATCAGAACTGGCTCACCTCTTTAAAGTGTGTCGCCTGCTGGATCTTGCGGACTGGCTGCATGAGTGCGTCCTGCACGGCGATTGTGATATCACTGCCCGAGTAGCCTTCGGCCAGCTTTGCCAGCTCGCGAAAGTCCTCCGTCTTCAGTGTATGCGGCGTCTCGCCCACGGCAATCTTGAACATGGTCGTCCTGGCAGCAATGTCGGGAAGACTGATGTGGACTCTCCGCTGGAATCGCCGCCTGATGGCCGCATCGAGCTGCCAGGGAATGTTTGTCGCACCGAGCACCAGCACACCCTGGGAGTCCTTGCCGACACCGTCCATCTGCACCAGCATTTCCGTCTTGATTCTCCGGGAGGCTTCCGACTCGCCCTCGCCTCTGGGACCGCACAGAGCGTCGACTTCGTCAATAAAGATGATCGACGGCTTGTTCTCCCGGGCCATGGCGAAGAGCTGTTTGACGAGGCTGGGAAGGTTCGACAGTTAGCAGGGCATCAACCACTCACGACGAGTGGCAGCGCACTCACCGTTCACTTTCACCCATCCACTTGCTGACCAGATCCGAACTGCTGACGCTAAAGAATGTGCTCTTGGCTTCCGTGGCCACCGCCTTGGCCAAGTAACTCTTGCCTGTACCTGGCGGGCCGTACATGAGGATGCCCTTCCACGGCTGACGCTTGCCTACAAAGAGATGTGGGAACTTTATGGGGAGGAGGACCGCCTCTTTCAGGGCCTCCTTTGCGCCGTCGAGGCCAGCCACATCGTCCCACTTGACGTTTGGCCGCTCTGTCAGGATGGCGCCAGCGAGCGCGCCCCGCAGCTTCTTGCTGTCCTCGTCGATCTCGCCATCCTCGCCGTTCTGCTTGCCCTTGGCGGTGCCGCCGGTCGACGAGCCGTTGGCGCCCACCATGCCGGGCTTCTTGCGCTTCGCCTCGGCGTCGTTGAGGTGGAGCTTGAGCTTCTCGGCGCGGTCCATGTACTCGCTGGTCTTGGCCCGGATCATCTTCTTGGCCGGCTCGCTCTTCTCCCACTTGAGGGCGAGCATGAAGAGCTCGAGCGCCTGGTAGTAGAGGGTGTAGGCGCGCTCATACTGGCTGGCGTTGTCGGCGTCGATGGCCTCGCGGACTTTGTTTATGGCGCGGGTGAGGAAGCTGTCCTTGTCGTCCATGGTCGTGGTGGTGGTGGTGACGTGCCCGAGCGGCTCCCGACTGGCGATGTATCGATAGTGTTTCGGTGGGGAGTGGGCAGGCCGTGCGGAGCCGGGTGTTCGCAGAATCGATCAAGTTTGGACAGGCGAGTCGTCGCTGTGGATGTCCGAGGGGGCGCGCACGAGAAGCAGGCGCGAGAGCAGAATGGCTGAGGCGGGCGTGGGGGATGTGTTGGAAGTGGGCGACCAGCCTGGAGGGAGATGTTGTGACGTTGGCGAGCCTGGATCGTGGGCAATCGCAGGCACAGGCAGGCATGCTCCGACTGGGCAACCAGCAGCCGACCCCCGGTCGATTCGTGGAGGGGTAGAGGCCACTAACCGCCCGGCGCACTATGCCAGAACGGGGTTGCAGGCGGGCAGTATGATAGGCGGGGAGCGGCCCTGGGCATCGCGTTTACTCGAAAATGCTGCATTTCTCACCACACAGGAAGGCTGGACGACGACATTGCGACACTGAGTATCACCCAGGAAGTCCCGAGCATCAAGCACCATACAAGAGGATCACAGCAGACGAGTGCACCCAGAGCCACAAAGTCCAGGGTCGCCATGGCTGAAGTGCAGGCCAAGCTCCAGAGCCTCTCGGAGGAGTACCAGAAGCTGCAGCAAGAGCTGCAAGACGCCGTGCAGTCAAGGCAGAAGCTCGAAGCGCAAAAGTCAGAGAATGAGGGCGTAAAGAAGGTCAGTGGGCTTGCGACTGCCAGTCCCGATTGGCATTGCTGACTTTGTCCACAGGAATTTGAGGGCCTGAAGGAAGGCGAAAGCATCTACAAGCTTGTCGGCCCGGCGTTGCTGAAGCAGGAGAAGGTCGAGGCGGAGAGCACAGTCAACGGCCGATTGGAGTTTATCGGCAAGGAGCTGTAAGTTATGCGAGTGGCTGTTGTGAACCTGGGATAAAGCTCTAACCTCTCGACGCAGGACAAGGACAGAAGACCAGATAAAAGAGGTCCAGACCAAGCTGGACAAGAAGAAGGGCGAGATTATCCAGACCCAGGCCAGCGCACAACAAGCGGTAGGCAGCGCGCCGGCGCAAGCAGCAGCGTAGGCATGCATTGTTTAGAAAGACGATAAAATGGCACAATAATTCCATTTCGCGTCTTGGGCATCTTGCACGGCAACCTCTGCAGTCGAGAAATGTGCTAAACACATGACGGACAAATACCCCTGACATGTCAGCTAACCTTGGAAGGTTTGCAGGACCCGCTGCAGGTACTGTGTTGTGGTCCTGGTGGGCTTGGGAGCTGTCCGGCCTCGCAGTAAGTTGGTGAGCAGCATTGGTGAAATCGAGTGATGATCACCAAGCTCATGTTGCTATCGTCGGCCTTTTATTCTCGTCTATGCTCTTCAACGCTTAAAAAGGTCTTGTCTCTCCTGTTTGAAAAACCCGGCGTGCTCCAAAGGAATGACGTAAGAAGTTGGTGCTCCGGTCCGGCACCCCGCGGATCAAAGCGCGGGGCGCGCCCAGCAGGGTGCACAAGACCACTTGACCTGCCAACGAGACATCCACGGCACGCGAGTTGAAGCACTCTCTCCAAGACTCCAACATCATTACAGCACCAAAGCCCAGAGAATCCTCCAGGCCTGAGCGCAGATACACAAATACAATCAAGCTCGACGTCGACCAGTCACGCGACCCTGCAATCACAACAGCTCCCGTCGCGGCAGCCTAGTACGAGCCATCCGTCTCCGATTTCCACACCACAACACGCAAGCCTCCCAGGCAGCAGACATAAGGGGGCGACATGTTAAGCTCACGGTGACCGCGGCCCCTCACCGTCCCTATTAGTGCTATTACCTGCATTACACACACCTGTGTAGCCCGTGTGCCAACAGCATGGCATCGATGGCACGGTCCTCAAGACCGAGGGGTGTCCAGGAGATCACCGCCGAGGCAGAGGACTTTACACTCAACGTCAGCATACCCTTGAAAGTATGGCTGCGCACAGCTCAGATGTTGACCCAGCGTGTGAGTATGGCCTCGCTGACCACACCCGCCTTCCCAACCAGCAATACTGACTGTCACAAACACAGGGGGACATGCATTTGCGAAAGGGAGAATGGGCCCAGGCCTACATGCTGTATTGGAGATATGCCGTCCTCATCACCGAACGCCTGAAGAAACATCCCGAATACAAGACACCCGCCGGTCGCGAGGCCGCCCGACCAGTCCTCGCACAGCTCAATGCGGTGCTCGACATCCTTGGCCGCATCAAGCCTTTGATCAAGCGGGAGTACGAGGAGTGGGAAGCGGAGGAGGCCAGGAGAGAGACCCTGAGAAGGCAAAGGGTGGAGATCGCACAACAAGAAAACGAATCTTACGATGTGCCGCTTCGGCATCGCCACCGCCATGAGGAGCAGCTGGACCTTGAACAACACAGAGACCTGGCTGTCGAGCTGGCCCAGGAGGAGATGAGGCGCCGCGAAAGGGAACGCCTCCAACACGCTGGCTCTTTTGTGTCCGCCGACCAACAACGGAGCCGACGGGTAGCCGGAATATGGGACCAGTGGACCGTCGAGCTCAAGGATGAACAGGCACGGAGCGACGAGCTCTTCCGGCGCCAAATGGAATCCACCAGAAGAAGACTGGATGGCAGAGATGATGACGCCGCAGACGAGGCCTCGCGACCAGTACAGCACAGCACAAACTATAACTACCCCTCGATCTCGCGTTCACAGCCTGTCCAGTATGAACCGACTTCGTTCCACCAGCGGATAGAGTCAGCAGTGGCTCCAGCAAGGCCGCCAAAACATGACCTCCAATATCCTCCAACATACCATTCTGATCGAGGCGCATCCCCTCTGATTCCTCCCCCGCTTCCCAGCAAAGAGACTCTGGATAGTCCTCAGGACCTATCGGTCGGCTCGCAACCACCAGTTCCACCTCCCAAAGACCGGGAGGTTTCCGTGGCTCCCGCACAGAAAACATTCCGACCAGCTGCGTACCTGGAGAACGGAGAGCCGCTGCGTTCCATTATCCTACCTCGCCAGCTTCGACACCGATTCCTCGACGTCGCCGAGAAAAACACCAGACAGGGCCTGGAAATGTGCGGCATGTTGTGTGGCACCGACGTGAATAACGTCCTAGTCGTGTCGTGTCTCATCATCCCGGAGCAAAAGTGCACATCCGACACGTGCGAGACGGAAAACGAGAACGCCTTGCTCGAGTATTGCATGACGGAGGACTTGTTGATGATTGGCTGGATTCACACACATCCCACGCAGACTTGCTTCATGAGCTCTCGTGATTTGCACACGCACGCGGGATACCAGATCATGCTGCCAGAAAGCATTGCCATAGTCTGTGCGCCGACGAAGCAGCCAGAGTAAGTTTACAAAGCTCACTCTTATGTCTTTGATCCTGGACACTGACAGTGCTCGACTAGCCACGGCATCTTCCGGCTCACAAACCCTCCTGGGCTCCCACATATCCTGAACTGTGAGCAGCAGGCAACCTTTCACCAACATTCAATCGACAACTTGTACACAAGCGTCGAGAGACCCCATGGACACGTGGTGCAGGACGATAGGCTCCAGTTCACTCTGGTCGATCTGCGGCCCGGCTTCCGTGATGGACCCGGAGCGCGCAAGACCTTTTAGGACCTGGTATCAACGCGCGCAGGACGGCTGGCTTCACATGGTCGTGTCGCATGCAGCTTCCCTAGTAGGCGCAGCACTCTGAACTGCTTTTGCCGCATTTGCGATCCGGCCTTCATTGTAGAAGAAGATGCATACCCATTAGACAGCAGCAGGATGCGAACCAAGATAGAATAATGAGACATGACAGGCACGAAAGCACTTCCAGCACTCGCCGTCGCAGGACGACCAGGTCATCTGGCTTACATAAGTGAACGACGCTCTCCAGCGCACTAGACCCGAACCCGACGCTGCACGATAAGGCACGCTGATAAGAAAGCTGGGCCCGGAGAGGCTGTTTTGCCTGAGCAGGATTGGCTGCGCTGGAGCAGGCGCAACCAGACCCAGGCGTGGAAGTGGGCCCGGCCAATTGGGAAGTGCAGAGCTCGTCGAAAAATTTTGGGAGGCACACTTTTCGGGGCGTGCAACTGAGCTCCAGCCATTCTACGCAGCAGCATCACTTGTCACAGTGGCCCGCGACAAACATCACATCTGCCGCGCGACACCTTGCCATTGAGCGTCCAGCACCCCTCTCCCCAATCGACCTCGTACGCGCCGCACGCAGCGGTCACCAGCAGACACAATGACCAAGGTCGATTTCCTGCTGCACGAGTCGGCCGTCGGCTATGCCATCTTCAAGGTTGTGCACCAGCAGGACACGGTCGGCCTGCACCTCAAGGAGGTCCAGAAGGCCGGCCAGGACCTCGCCAAGTTTGGCAAGATGGTCCAGCTTGCCAGCTTCGCGCCGTGGAGGTGAGACTGCCTCAGACTGCAGCAACCCGGAAGCGATGGAGATCAACAGAACTGACAATGTGTGCCACCCGCGCAGAAACGCCGCCGATGCGCTTGAGAACATCAACCTCATCTCGGAGGGCATCCTGCCCGACTACCTGAAGTCCAACCTCGAGCTCAACCTGCCCCAGAGCAAGAAGAGCAAGATCATTCTTGGCCTGGCCGACAAGAACCTGGCGGGCTCCATCAAGGCCGAGTTCCCTGGTGTCGACTGCGAGACTGGCGACACCTCCGAGGTCGTCGCCGACCTCCTCCGTGGCATCCGCCTGCACGCTGCCAAGCTCCTCAAGGGGCTCGAGGAGGGCGATGTCGAGAGAGCCCAGCTCGGTCTCGGTCACGCCTACTCGCGTGGCAAGGTCAAGTTCAACGTCCACAAGAACGACAACCACATCATCCGCGCCATTGCTACGCTTGACAACCTTGACAAGGGCATCAACCTGTTCTCGCAAAAGGTTCGCGAGTGGTACGGCTGGCACTTCCCCGAGCTGTACGCCATCGCCTCGGACAACTTGACCTATGCCCGCCTTGCTCTCTACATTGGCGACAAGGCCACTCTCAGCGAGGAGAAGGTGCACGAGCTCGCCGCCCTCGTCAACGAGGATGAGGAGAAGGCCCAGGAGATCATCAACAAGGCCAAGATCTCCATGGGTCGCGAGATCTCGGACGTCGACATGGCCAACATCTCGTCGTTTGCCGGACGCGTCGTTAAGCTCGCCGAGTACCGCCGCACTCTGTACACCTACCTCGTCGACAAGATGAGCACCGTCGCGCCCAACTTGGCCGCCCTCATCGGCGAGGTCGTTGCTGCCCGCCTCATCCAGAAGGCCGGCTCCCTGACCAACTTGTCCAAGTACCCTGCCTCGACTCTGCAGATTCTTGGTGCCGAGAAGGCCCTGTTCCGTGCCCTCAAGACCAAGGGCAACACCCCCAAGTTCGGTCTCATCTACCACAGCTCCTTTATTGGACGGGCCAACCAGAAGGACAAGGGCCGCATCTCGCGTTATCTCGCCAACAAGTGCAGTATCGCTAGCAGAATCGACAACTTTGCCGAGGCGCCCTCGCGCAAGTTTGGCGAGGTCCTCAAGCAGCAGGTCGAGGACCGCCTGGAGTTTTATGCCACTGGCAAGAAGCCCACCAAGAACGCCGATGCCATGGTACGTTGCCCGCGCTCGCTTTCCCAGCTTATCGCAGACACTGACCCCCACAACAGAACAGCGCCATTGCCGACATCATGGCCGATACTGGTGATGACACCCTTGCCGTCGACGCCGACATGGTCGATGCTCCTCTGCCCGGCAACTCCGAGGACAAGAAGGAGAAGAAGTCCAAGAAGGAGAAGAAGGAGAAGTCCAAGGACAAGGAGGAGAAGAAGAAGCGGAAGCACAGCGACGTCCACGAGATGGAGGTCGAGGTGGACGGCGACAAGAAGAAGAAGAAGAAGAAGAGGCACTCGGAGGCGTAAGCGGGCCCACACCGGTCTCGTTCTGACTTCTGTCTCGTCTGCTTTAGTACTTGGTCGTCTCGTTGCTTGTACCAATTGGTCCGGGTCTTCTCTGGGAAACATCATCACGCTCATCGGCCATTGGGACGACTTCCACTACTACAACTCTTTCAGCATTGGCTTGGCGTTTAGGGAAAACGGTGTTTTGTCTGTATACAATAGGGTCATACCCGAATCTATTCCTACCTACTGTTCAAGATTGGAGTGTGCATCTGTATGGGTTGTGTTGCTTGGCAGGCAGCTGTGCGTGTTCCGGGAAAGCGGTGCATACAACAAGTCCGCTGCTCTTCATTGGTGACCAACTGAGGTAAGCCGACCTGCCAAGTCGCACCGACTTGCTGGACTTCATCATCCGTGTCGTAAGCCCCTAGAATACTTATGCACGCCACCACGGCGGTACGTGACTGAAGAGCCTGGAAGTGGAGCTTGTATCCCGGCTACTGTGCCAAACTTTTCCGAGTACGCTGCGCTGAGTAGCAGTGTGGATGGACCACGGCCGCTCTATCGGTGCATGCAGGAGACCATGAGACAGCCATCCATTACACATCACGAATCATAGAAATGCATCACGAACGCAATAGTGCGGGTAATCCGATCACGGATCGGTCTTTTTCATTGCAAAGCTGTCTCCCGCGAAGGGGGAGATGCTCTCGTTCTACTACACGGCAAAACTATCTTTTGGACAACACGTCCTCGATCGCCAGTCATTGTCCTTTTCCCATGCAGTATCCGTGCCCGTGTTCTCACTACCCGTTATCGTCCGGACCAATCTCACAGATGTCTCGAGACAAGAGCGCATTTACTGCTTGTCGAAGACGTAGGTGAGGTGGCAGCGGCCGCAGTACTGGCGGTCCTGCATGGCAGCCATGAAGACACCGGCACCGCACTGGAAAGGCAGATGTTGTTAGCAAATGATTTTTCGAAGAGGCAAGAGACAGAAAGACGTACAGTGTCGTTGGGGCACTCGCGGCGGAGGCGCTCGATCTTGCCATCGCCGTCGACCTTGTAGTACTTGAGGACGGCCAACTTGGTCTTCTTGCGCTTGTGCTTGATCTTCTTGGGGGTGGTGTAGACCTTCTTCTTGCGCTTCTTGCCGCCACCACGCAGCCTCAGCACGAGGTGGAGGGTGCTCTCCTTCTGGATGTTGTAGTCGGAGAGGGTGCGGCCATCCTCGAGCTGCTTGCCGGCGAAGATGAGGCGCTGCTGGTCCGGAGGGATGCCCTCCTTGTCCTGAATCTTGGACTTGACGTTGTCGATGGTGTCGGACGACTCCACCTCAAGGGTGATAGTCTTGCCCGTGAGGGTCTTCACGAAGATCTGCATGATTGCCTGTGTGTGGGAGGGGAAGGTTAGCAGGCAAGGAACATGTTACACGCGCGAGCTGCTGGCCGTCGTCGTCCACATACCTAGACAATATGCCTATTGCCGTCCTAAGCAACCGAAGTGTTTGGTGATGGAGGGGGAAGGAGAGGAACTGGGAAAAAAAGCTACGCCTCAGCCTAGAAGAAGGTCGAAATGCAAAGTCCCACACTGCGGCGTCCCAGCACCAGGTCCGTCCTGCGCGGCCACACACGCTCGCCTGCACGGACCATGCCCTTGTCCCGCCTAAGGTGCCCGCCACTTTTGCGCTGGTTGCTGGCGGGCTGATAAGGGTTTTGCTTATCGAGCGGGCGCACAGAAAAATGGCATCCCCTCCCCGTCCTGCCCGCCTGGCGAAAATGTGCGTGCAGCACAGGCGTGACGATTGGCTGGGCCCGCGCAGAGTGGGCACCATTTTCCCAATTCTGAGCGCAGCACAGCATTGCCAATATTTGGACCATCTTCAGACCTGCACGTCTGCTTCCTCCCTTTGCCAACTTTCGACAGTCAACCACCCAGGAAGTTCATCGAACCGTACGTATTGTCCACTCTGCTCGCTGGCGAGCTTTGTCCTTCATCCCGCTTCCAACCTCGACAACATCCTCTCGACGTCCTCTCGACCCCTCCCACTGACATATCCTCGTCCTTCCTCCCACAGAACCGTCAAAATGGTCAAGAAGAGAAAGAACAACGGCCGCAACAAGAAGGGCCGCGGCCACACCAAGCCCATCCGCTGCAGCAACTGCTCGCGATGCACGCCCAAGGACAAGGCGATCAAGAGATTCACCATCCGCAACATGGTCGAGTCCGCCGCCATCCGTGATATCTCGGACGCCTCCGTCTTTGCCGAGTACACCGTCCCCAAGATGTACCTCAAGCTGCAGTACTGTGTCTCTTGCGCCATCCACGGCAAGATTGTCCGGTACGTTCGTCCCCGCTCTGCTTCGGGTAGTACGACCACGCGCTCTCCTCTCAAGGTGCTGGCACGTGGGCACTTGAGAAGAACCTTGGTCGGACTGCCGGTCTCTCTGGTCCAGTCTCGCGGCGGCGGCAGTTGCCTTTCGAGACACTGCCGTGCGGCTTCCCGGCATGCCGTTCCACCATGCCTGCCGTCCACGACGTGCTCGACGGGCGAGCCGCCTCCTCGGGCTGTCTCAGGAGACCACGACGTAAGTTTCGTGAAGCATACTGACATGTCCTCTTCACAGTGTCCGCTCTCGTGTCGGCCGCCGCAACCGTGCCCCTCCCCCCCGTGTCCGGTACAACAAGGACGGCAAGAAGATCACTCCCACCCAGACTGCCAAGACTGCCTAAACAGCACGACATGGTTGCCTTTCGGTGTTGGGGTGAACAGGGTTGATTATGGGAACCGGCGAAAATACTGTGCATCAACACAACTGGGTCGTTGTATCGTGGATCATCATGGTTTTGTTGGCTTCATGAAAATGGGTTTCGGCATGAACTTTCTCCCAGATTACGACCTCTATGAGCAATTGAGATGCACTAGCCGTGATGAGCCGCAAAAGGCCCATGGCAGAATTGACACACAAAACAGTCAAACCAAGAAAACGCTGCGTCCTGCTGCTGTGACAATGTGATGTGATGTCTGTGATTCGTTCGTGTATTCTCGAACACATGTCGATGCCGGCCAACTACTATCCGCTGGTCTTGGTCAAAAATGACCTTCCACCTCCTCGGGGTCACCCGTGTAAATCCGGAAGGTCTGGCTCGCACAAGTGCTCCGGCCTTCAGAAAGCCAAGTCGACTCTGTCCACGAACGCCGACGGCCGGCCAAATGTCACGAGCGCCTTCTTGGCCGTCAAGTCCATGACAATCGTGAACAGTGTCTCAGAAGTGCTCTGGCCAATCTCGCGGCGGTTGATAGACATGGGATAACCCTCCTCGTCCTTGAAAAGCTCAAACAGCTTTTCCGAGTACTGCTTCGCTTGAGTCTTCTGACCTTGCTTGTGCATTTGGTCCACGAGTCTCTGGATCCTCTGTACTCGTGGGTCAGAGTCCGCCAGCCACGACGGCTCGTCGACACCCGCGTGCTCGAGTAAGAGGTGGTTCGTGTGCGCAAGCATGTTGACTGCGCTGTCTGGAGAGGGGGGAGACAGTCCTATCTCCTTGACGCTGGTGCTTGTGCACTCTATGCCACTTACTCTTCTGCTCTCGTCGTGACCATCGCCAACGAGGAGATACACGCTCCCTGCCACACCCGTTGCTGTCAGCGCCTGCACAGCTTCGGAGCATGACCAGCTCTCGAGCACCCTGCGCATGGCCAGATGCACGGGCAACCGTCCGCTCGCAACATCGACTCCACGAGCCCGGATTGCATTTTGGCAGATGCCCACGCCGGCAGAGTTGAAGCCGATTTTGCCGATAATGCCGGCCTCCGTGACCATGATGATGTCTGGCAAGCTTTTCTCGCTGTTACTTGACGAGATGTGCAAGACGATGAGGTTCTCCCGTTGTCCGACGAACCAGTCCCAGTTCTGCGCCAGATATGTGTGACCCGGTGCTGCATCGTCTCCAGCGACGAGGCCGACGCTCGTGCACCCGTCCATGGGCGGATCCTGAACCCGTCCCTTGCCGTTGACGCCGTTGCTGTGGTCTGTGAAAAGGCCGAATACGATCTCGCTCCGAACGTTGAGCGCCACGATGTCCAGCAGATCGAGGGCGTTGTCGTGGGCTCCGTTCTGATCGCCCGCAGAGGCAGCATTTACACCATCCGCTACGCCGCGCATCTCTTCCACATACCGCGGACACGAGCGCTCCAGGTGCTCCAGGTAGCTCTGCGCCTCGCCTCGCACTCCGAGCCATGACAGCGAGCACGCCTTGGCAAAGAGGCCTGTGTAGAAGGAGAGAGAGCTGCGGACCTGGGCGTGCGCTTTCCGGCCGTGGTGCTGGCCGATCTGCATGGGAGTTTCGGTGTTAGTGCATGCTTATGGAGGTGAAGACTGTCCAGTCTAGAAGGGGTGTCAAAGCTGCGAGAAGGACCAAGCATTTGCAGCACGAGATTATTCTCTTCCATGAGCTGGGACTCGAAAGAACTAAAACAAGGTATGATTGTTTGGGTCCCAGCAGATGTCACTGAATGGATCAAAACATAGACAGAGTTGGGAATCTTTTTTTTTTTAAGGAAAAAAAAGTAAATGAAGAAATCATAAAATCGAGAACCAACACGTTCTCTGAAATGACGAGGAAAAAAGATCATTTACCTCGTAAGGAGTCCCGGAGCAAAAAACCTGCAATGCCATTATTATCGTGTCGTTCCCGCAAAACTCAGTTGACCGAGGTCGAGGTTGCAAGGGGAGGAGTCGCCGCCACGATACACTACGAGAAAGAACAGAATAAATCAGATCGGCACAGCCCGATTATGCTCGTAGAATTCGACAAGAAACTCATGCGTAAATCGTGGATTGCTTCGAGGAAACCAGAATGCTTAAAGGCAAGCCGAGGAAGGAGTCGCCCTCACGAACGGGAGGCGCCGCCCATTGGTCATCTGTTGCATCATTGGGGTAGATGGTGTGAGGGGAAAGTCGTGCCTGCATGGAAATGCAATTCATGGGGAGCAGGAACGACCCCCCCTAAAGAGAGCCAAACGGGCGCGACCGCCTGAGCAAGTCCCGGGCACTCAATGTTGCCAACATCAACGCGTGTACAAGTAGTGATCATTCGATTGTCATGATAAATACGCTGGGACAGCACAAAATCCCTCCTGCCCCGGGATACCAGAGGTCCAGAGCCCCAAGTTCAACGCCGCAACGCCTCGTACCTAGCAGGCCATGCTTATCCTGCACCGCCGACTCTACATTCATTATATCCAGTCACATGTTCCATCGTCATCGTCATCAACAAAATCTATCTGAACTGCTCAGTCAACCCGCCACTGCCAAACTCGTTGGGTGCCGCCCGCTGTGTCGGCCTGACAATGTAGTCGTGATTCTCGATCGTGACGCTCTTGGTCATGTGATTGACCTTGTAGACGCCGACGAGGCGCGCCGCGAGCTCAAACATGTTGTTGCGCAGCGAGATGACGATGAACTGGGCGTTCTTGGTGCGCTCCTTGATGTAGTTGGCCACAATCGACACCTGTTTTTTGGAGCTCGTGTTAGTCTTGCCATCCCGAGACAGCATGAGAAGTGACGGCCAACTTACATTGCGGAAATCCAAAGCTGCATCAATCTCGTCCATGACATAGAGCGGCGTCGGCTTGTAATGATGCAGCGCAAACACGAGCGCCAGACTGCTCAACGTCTTCTCTCCACCAGACAAATTGCTAATGTTCTTCCAGCTCTTCTTCGGCGGCATGACGGAGAACAGGATGCCTTCGCTGAAGGGGTCGAGACTGTCGACAAGCTCGAGCTCTGCGTTGCCACCCATGGTGATCATCTGGTACATCTCCTTGAGGCGGAGCGAGATGGTGCTGAAGCCTTCCATGAAACCCTCGAGGCGCAGGCGGCGGAGCTCGTCGCATCGCTTCTTGGCCGAGTCGCGCTGCTGGACGGCCTCGGCGAGATCCGAAGACCGGGCTGCGTGCTCCTCGACACGGCGACGGTACTCAGAAAGGACGCCAACGTCAACGTTGACATTCTGCGTCTTCTCCTCCAGAGCAGCGATCTCGGCCTTGAGCCGCTCCTTGCTCATGTCGCGGAGCTCGTCTTCCGTGTAGCGCGGGAGCTCATTGGGCTGCTGTTGTGGCGCCCGTGGCCCAGCCTCGTCCGCTGCGTCGTCGTCGTCGTCCTCTTCCTCCTCCTCGGCTTTGTCCACGTCCATCTGTTCCCCATCGTCGTCTTCCTCGGCCTTTTCGCCCTCTTCAGGTGACTTCTCTGGCTTGGCGGCTGGCTGGGCTGGCGCGGCCGATTCTCCCGTCAGGTCATTAACGTTCTGGAGCACAAGCTTGCCCAGCTTCTCGTCCCAATACCTGAGACGCTTCTGATTCTCAGCTAGCACCTTCTGATTCTCTTCAAGCTGGTTCTTCATCTCAATCTCCGCAGCTCTGGTCTCGTTGAGCTCCGCAGACTTCTCGTCGAGCTCGCTCTTCAAGGCCGCAAGCTCCTTCTTCTTCTCTTTGAGATTCGCCTGGGCCTCGTTGACGGATTCCTCGAGAGACTCGGACTTGGTGCCCTGGTTAGCAACCTCCTCCTCGAGACGTTCAAGGTCAGCGTCGGCGGTCGTGAGCTCCTTGGTGGCCTTGGCACGGTCCTTGTCGAGCTTCGTCTTTGACTTTTCTGCCTTGGCCTTCTTGACCTCGGCAGTGGAAATCTCCTCATTGCTGGAGGTGATCTCCTCCTTGATGCCGTCAACCTTGGCCTTCTGAGCGCGCAGCTTCTCACCACCGACCTGCATGATCTTGTCCTGCAGCTCCTTGATCTCGGCCTCGACGCCTTCGGTCTCGGTGTGGAGCTTAGCCACCTCCTTGTTGAGCTTGGCAACCTCCTTCTGGAGCGTCGCCACCCTGTTGTCGTCAGACTCGGACGGCTGGTGCTCCCTGGCGAGCTCCTTGACGCGGCGCTTGGCATCGGCGAGGTTCTTTTCTGCGCTCTGGATCTCGAGGCCAATCTTTTGCATCTTGGTCTGAAGTTCGGGAATCTCAACCTGGAGCTGCTTCATGCGGCTCTCGAACTTCCTTTGCTCCTCCTGGAACTCTTGGAACTTTGCCTCCAGCGCATCGCGGTCGGCTTCGTACTTGACGACCTTCTCCTTGGACGTGTCGGCAGTGAGCTTGCTCGACATGAGGCCCCTCTTGACGGTCGTGCCACCACCAGACATGGTGCCGCTCTTGTCGATGAGCTCTCCGGCAAGCGTCACCACTCGCCACCGCTTGGCACCGTAGGCGATCCTGTTGGCCTGCGCGAGATCCTTGGCGACAAGAGTGTCCTGCAGAGCATGATAGAAAGCCGGGCGGAACCTGTCCTCTTTGGCCCGGATGAGGTCAAACAAGCGAGGGGCATTCTCGGGAGTCTGGATCTGGTCCATGCCACGCGCACGGAGCTTGTCCAGACACATGAAGTTGCCTCGTCCGAGGTTCGTCTTGCGCAGGTACTCGATGCACTGCTGCCCGGCCTCGACCGTGTCGGTGACGAAGTTGTCGAGCGACGGGCACGCAGTCGAGATGGCCACATCGTACTGCTCGTCTATGGCACCAAGGTTGCCGAGTCGCCCGTGAAATCCGTCGATACGGCCCGACTCCTTCATGCGCATGAGCGCGGTGAGCACGTTGCCGCGGTTCTGTGTCTGGGAGAGACTCGAGCGGGCCTCGTCCGCCTTTTGTCTGGCATTGGAGATCTTTTGCAGGAACTTTGGCTCGATCGAGGCGAGGTGCTCCAGCTCCGACTGGACCTCCTTCATCTCGTTCTCCAGCTCGGCCTTGTCGGTCTCACACTCCTTGAGCTCAGCAGTCTTGGCATCGCGGTTCTTCTCGATGCTGGCAATCTTCTTCTTGAGCTCCTCGGTCGCGACGGCACCCGCGTTGGCCTTCTCCTGGAGGATGGTCAACTCGGACTCGGCGACGGCAATGGCAGACTGCTTCTCGTTGATCTTTTCCGTCCATGGCTCCAGAGACTTCTGCTTGGCGGCGATCTGGTCCGAGTAGACCTGTGTCTTGCCCTTGAGGTTCTCGCGGATCGATGTGAGCTTGTCCTCCTCTTCCTGGACTTGCTGCTCGAGCTGCGCAATCTCCTCCGTCCGGGTCGCGATTTCCTCCGTGCACTGCTCGATCGTCTCGTCGGCGTCGGCAGTGGACTTTTCGGCGTTGGTAATGGTCTTCTCTAGCTTCTTCTTCTTGTCGGTCAGGAACTTGCGCTTCTCGTCAAACTTGACCCTCTCCTGCTCAAACTTGGACAGCTCGGCCACCAGAGTCTGCACCTCCTTCTCCTGTCCCTCAAACTCCTTGCTGCCTTTGTTGTACGCCTTGGACAGCTGCTTGATGATCTGCTCGCTGCCCTGGTGCTTCTCGAGCTCGGCATCGAGCTGCGCCTGCATCTGGCTGATCGCCTCCGCGGTGACGGCAAGGTTGTCGTTGCACTCGCTAATGTACAGCTGGTACAAGGCCGACTGCTTGAGCACGAGCTCGTTCTCGTCGCGGATAAATGCCAGCGCCTTGTTCTTCTTGTCCTCGAGGCTGTTCTTCTCCTTCTCGACATGCTGGACACGGCCGCTCTTCTCGACGCAGACCTCGTTCAGCGTCTCGACCTCAGCGGCCGACTCCTCGATTGGAGCCTTGTACTTTGACGTGCCAATGATATCCTCGAGATATTCGAGCAGACCGTCGTCGTGCTCGCCCGCGGCTTTGGGCTTCATCTGGGCGATGGACTCGACCTCACCCTGCAGGATGAGGAATCGCTTGTGGTCGAGATCGACGCCGCGGTCGCGCAGCAGTGTGGTGACAATGGTGAAGCTGGACTCCTTGTTGTCGATGTAGTATTTGCTCGAGTTGTTCTTGAAAGCCCGTCTCGAGATGACTAGTTGCGAATTGGGAATGACCTCGGAACCACCACCGGGCTGAGTAAGGTGTCAGTACGTATAGCGGCTTGGCCGGTTTAGGGAACGACTCACAAGATCCATGACCTCCTGAAAATGTACTGCGACCTCACAGTGGTCAAGATTGGGGTGCTGCGCCGAGTTGTGGATGAGGGCCGAGATCTTGCCCTGTCTCATCTTGCTGGCACGGAAGCCAAAGACGAAGAGCAGGGCGTCGATGACGTTGGACTTGCCCGAACCGTTGGGGCCGACCACGGAGGAGAAGGAAGAATGGAACGGCCCGACCTCCTGGCGGCCCGCATAACTCTTGAAGTTTGTCAGGATCAGGTATGTGATGACGATGCGAGCCTTTGGGCCAGTATCCTCGACCACGGGCATCGCCATGGCGCGGGACTTGAGCATGATGTCCATGGGCTTCTCAAAGACCGTGTCCATGGCCTTGATAGGCTTTATCGTGGCCACCGTGTCGTCGGCGCCCGCGCTAGACGCCGTGGACGGCCGTCGCTCGTTGACGCTGGGGGTCATCGTGATGTCGCCGAGTGCTCTAGCGCCCAGACCCGAGGGCCCCTCTGAAGGATCTGGTGTGGGCAAGACTGTCTCGTCCTCGGCGGCGGCAACAGGCTCGGGTTCCACGACCGACTTTCTAGGCGCCACACTTTTCCGCTTCCTTGGGCTTTCCTTTTTGATCTGTGCTGTCGGCGCGATAATGGTGTTCTCTGTCTCGTCCTCGTCGTAGATCTCGGTGCTGTCGGGAGCTTCGGAGGGCGCGACACTCCTGCGTGTGCCTCTACCGCGGAGGGGCAGGGTGGAAGTGCGTCTGCTCTGTGTCGTCCTCCTGCGAGTCGTCTTGGAGGTCACGTCGGGGTCAAAGTCATCTTCGGATTCTTCCTTGATCTTCTGGGTCGAGTTGGAGACGGCGCTGATCTCGTCTTCATCAGATGAGTCGATGACCGCTATGCGCCTCGTGGCGGCTGCGCGACGAGTCCGCGTCGACATTGTATTGAGGCGGAGTCACAGATGTGTGACACCTGTAAGGAGGGGACAAACAATAGCCCAGATAAGGTTGGGCAGAGCCGACAATGGGGTTGCCGGTGATGTTTCTGGAGAAACAAATTCGACTTGACAGGCTGCGAACACGCTGGCCTCTGCTGTGTAAGTTAGTATTCACTCGCAAAAGGAGCCGGTCAAGGCAGAAGGATGGTTTGGTGAAGCCGGGATTTGGAGTACTGTTCCACTATTGCTGGGCAGTCTGTTGCTTGCTTGCCGCCACCTTCAAAGTAAACAAAAACAACACCTTCCCCCGCCATTGCGGTCGGGGTCCCAGGCCCACCCCACCCACTCACTGCCCGCTGGGGTCACACTTGGGCTGGGAGCGCGTTCCACAGTGCTCCTTGTCGCGTCACTCTCCAGCTTGGACTTCCCAGGTAGCCACCACACCGCAAAGCAGGCCTGCAACTTTGGCATGCGGCTGGAGCTTCCAAGCTCAAGTTATTAATGAACAAAAGCTCCAACAACGACAAATCCCACCCGCCCGCCATGCTCGACTTTGGCAACTTTGATCTCGTCTTTGGCGACCTCTCGCCGTTTCCATTCACGCGCCAATGGGCGCAGCAGGTCGAGAAGAAGCGGAAGGAGTATGACGGCGTGCTCTTCCTCGACCGGGTCCTTGCCGCCTTGAACATTGCAAAGGGTGCGTGAGAGAGCTTGAGGCGCAATCCTTTTCCCCCTTGAGAGACATGAAGTACTGTATCATACTGACTGCAATCTTTCACAGCCTCGAAAGTCTACCCTCCCAAGACCGAGAAGGACCTCCGCCAGCTGCACCACCTCGTCTGCGACGCCTCCAATGTCGCCATCCACCACAAGCTCTCGATTCTGTACTACATCCTGCTCGATGTCGACAGCCGGCTCGAGGAGCAGTCTCCGGGCAGCACTCCCAGCACCCGCGCCGACAGCTTCGCCGCCGACGCCGCGGTGCCGCAGAAGTACAGCATCTTCATAAAGGGCCTCTGGTACATGGATGCGACCAACTTCGACCAGGCCCTCGAGCACCTCACGCACCCGTCTCTGGTGCCCGAGTTTGCAGATGAGATTGTCACCGCGCTCGCCCGCATCGATAACACGGCTTCATCATCATCATCATTGCAAGCAGATGAATCCTACTCCCCAGTCCTGGCGTACTACTACGCCGTCCAGCCGGTCCTCCGGACCTCGGCCGCGACAAACATCCTCTTCGACGCCATCAGCCGGTCCAGCGTCTCCGAGGCCCTGCGGTACTCGCGCGCCCGCCCGCAGTTTATGCGGGAGCAGCTCTTCAAGCGCCTCGTGCTGTCTGTAATAGACGACAGCAGCAGCAGCAAGAACGGCGGCAACGATAGCAGCGACGACGTCGTTGCCGAGCGCGCATTCGAGCTCACCAGCGCGAGCCTGGACGCGCAGGAGGAGGAATGGTTCCGTGACGCGCTGCTCGGGTCGGAGGGGAGGAAGGTCAGGGTGGCCAAGGACACGCTGCTCATGCGCCGCATCGCGAGAGGTGACGCTGGTCCCGTAAGCGAAAAGGGCGCGTGGTCATCTGTGCTGGAGGGCTTCAAACAGGGTAGTGGCGGCCGGGGGATGCAGGCGTGAGCATCCGGCACGATTTGCAGGATAATGCTTGTGAACTACATAGCGGCGGCGTTTCATGTTTTCGTTCAGTGCAAAGCAGGGCAGCGAGCCGGGTTGTGTACACCCAAGAAATTGATACGGAAGAAGATTCGCAGTTTCAATACATTTGGGGCAGGTGGCAACACCGCCTTGGGTTTCAGGAGCAAGACCGTACAGCGCAAATCGGGTGTTGAGATAGCATGCAGGAATGCCGTGCTGAGAGTGTTGCGGCTTTTCTGATCGTGCCCTGTCGTCAGTATATAGATACTGTCATAAGACTGACTTTACCATCAAGCACATCCGAATTGGTGTAGTGGCTAACATTTGACGCTCTCATCTTGTACCGTCAAGCCCGGGGTTCGATTCCCCGATTCGGAGTTCTTCTTTTGCCTTTTTTTTTTTTATATCGTCTAGTCGCCGATGGATATTGGACGGATCATGCCGATTTTTCCTTTGCTCCGGCAAGCGAGCACCAGTTGCGCGAAGGAGCCATTTTTGGCAGTCTCTCCGACTGCTTGTCGTATTCGCTTTCTCCACACTGCCGCTTTAATGACGGACCCGAGAAGGACAATGCTATCGTGCTTGGGTGTCACCGCAGTTGTCCTGCAAGGAGGTTTGCGCCTTTTTAGTACTTTGACATACAAGGGTTGCGTCGGCCGAGTGTGTACTCAACCTGGTAACCAGACAAGACAGACCAGATCAACAGCTCGTTACACGGCATATATGGCACTCCTGCATATGTTATGGGGCTCTCCCGGGGCCATGCATAACAAGGTCAAACATGGCAATCCGTAGCACTTGTGATAAGCTCGAAGGCAAACTAAATCGGAAGACGGGGCCCCTGCTCGACTCAGTCCCCGTCTAAGCGATGCTTGGCGTAATGAAGAATGCTCGTGTCGTCGTTGCACCTGATTCCGTAGTTTCTAGAAGCAGAACAAGTCCTTGTCAGTCGGCCGGCTGAGCACTGACAGTCTGTCATCCACAAAATGCAAAACTCATTCTGGCAACATGGTCCGAAAAGTGTATGGGGTGTAGGGCGCCAAGAGAGCAAGTGGAAGATGTGGACCAAAGTCCGATGGGCAAGCGACGAGAGCGGTGGTCGAAACACGGGTTGTGCTCCACTTGGGCGGCGGAGAAAACCAATTCGGGAGCAGCAGACGCGGACATGAGGTTGCATTGCGACGAGATAATCCCGATGCGTTGGGTACGTGGCAGGGGTTGGTAGAAGCTGTTTCCACGAGTGGACCAGCAAGGCTTCTTCTCCGAAGGGAGTCTGCTTGGATGCCTGTGCGACACAGAAGTGATTGTCTCGACCTGCCTGTCGTGTTTCAGCAATCGATGTCGTTTTGTGGATGGCAGTCGGGCCCGAGCTGGTTCACATGCAAATTAGGCCTGGTCAGGGTTGTGTGGGCGAGCTGGGCCAGGGGTGCCTTTGAGTGAGGAGGTCAGCAGGAATTGGGATGGTGCAGACTGGGAATGCATTTCCCGGCAGGGAGGCCACTGTACGCAGTTTGAGTGGTGGCAGCCGTGCCGGCGGCAGCAGTGTGCCTGCCGCGGACGGACAGCCCATGGCAATGTCGTGCAGCAGCGGGGCTGGCTCCTGCCTCGGCTGGGATCTTTGTGCCTCCTGTACAAACCAGTGTGCAGATACGGTAATTACTGGACTGGACCGACCGTCGACTCTATGTAGGAGCAGCAACCTCGCGGCTCAATGTGACCTGCAGCCCTCGTGGTGGCCGTCATCTCAACCTTGGATCCTGCTGGTGTCACCTTCGGATCCGGACCCTGGGGTGCATCCTGGCATGGGTGCTACGTATGTAGCATTTCGGCCGCCAGTTTGACATGGGGACAGGTACGCCCCATGCCTGCCACGCCGCCGCTTGGCCCAGCACGCGGAACTCTTGACTTCTCCAAGCTTGAACGGCAAACAGCCCACTCACAAAAGGCCCTTGGCGCAAGCTAGGCCCGTCCGCCACGGACCACTGGCCATCATGACTAAGTCTACCCTAACCCATCGTCTTGGTCTTCGACTATCCCGGCCTCCGTGACCCCAAGTCTCATTCCTCTCCCCAGTCTTCGGCATTGTCCATCATTGAGTGCTCCATCTGCGGCAGCCGGCTTGCTCCAACTCATCAGCAGCAGTCTTGTTGCAGTCACGCGTCTGGCTTTGCTTCCCCGCGGAGCCATGCTCCAGCCATGGACATCAAACCCCAGGACTTTCTCTCGGCGCCATTGACGACTATCCAGAGTGTCCCCGTCCTTGCTGGCTGCCTCGCCATCGTCGCTGGCTCGGCCTTGTACTGTGGCTACTCCTGGGCTCTGCCCAAACCTATCCCTGGCATTCCCTACGACAAGGCCGCGAGCCAGAGTCTGCTCGGCAGCCTCCCCGAGATCAGTGCCTATATCAAGAAGCATGGCCGGTTGCGGCCATGGCTTGTCGGTCATTCGAAACGTCACGGCTCCGTCCTCACCCAGTTCTGGATGGGGCCCCTTGCGAAGCCTACCTTGATCCTGGCAGACTTCCAAGAGTCCAGGGACATATTGCTGCGTCGGGGCAAGGAGTTTGACCGCAGCTCTCGGAGTATCAGCATCTTCTCGGGTCCCATCGGCCACCACCACATCGCCATGCGTTCAGACGACCCGCGCTTCAAGGGCAACAAAGACCTCGTCCGGGATCTAATGACACCGGCCTTTTTGCATCAGGTCACGGCTCCGCAGATCTACGACAAGGCCCAGCAGCTCATCGACTTGTGGACGCTGAAAGCGGATCTGGCGCAGAGCAGGCCTTTTGATGTCAAGCAGGACATTGTCGATTTGGCACTCGACATAATCAATGCAGCCGCGTTTGGGCTGGGCGATGACATGTGTATCACCAAGCGGCAGCTCGACTTTCTTAATTCGCTTTCCCAATTTGAACCTGGCATCGGGCCGGCCGGCTCGGCAACGATCCCGCGCGAGGCACATATCCCAGACATTGCTGCCATCTACGAATTCGGGCATCATGTCGGAACCCAATTCAAAGCGATATCGCCCAAACTTGCGCACCCATACAAGGTTCTCACCAGCCCTACCCTGAGCAAGGCCATTGCCCGGAAGAACGAGCTCATCCGCAGGGAAGTGGAGAAGACCTTGGATCGCATTAGGACCGGTGATGCCGGGACACGGTCGGCGATGGACAACATCATCATGCGCGAGATGGCATCGGCCGAGAAGGCGGGCAGGGAACCCGACTACCACTCGCCACAGATATATGACGAGGTAAGCGCTGTCGAGAGCATAGAGAATAGCAAGAACTGACAGCACAACAGCTTTTCGGCTTCATCGTCGCTGGCCATGACACTAGTGCTTCTTCGATTGCTTGTAAGTCGCTCCGATGTCCTAGGAGTTGACCGCGGGCTGACATTTACCCCAGGGATGATCAAATGGCTCGGCGTCAACCAGCCTGCGCAGAAGAAGCTGCGGCAGGTCTTGTCCGAGGCGTTCCCGGATCACCACCGGGATCATCGGCAGCCTTCCGCTGCGGAGCTGATCAAGACGCCACTACCCTACCTTGAGGCGTACATCCAGGAGTGTCTGCGACTAGATGCGCCAGTGCCGTTGACTCAGCGAGAGGCCACTGTTGACACGGAGATTCTCGGCTACAAGATCCCCAAGGGGACTGAGATCTTTATGCTCGCCAGTGGTCCCGGGTTCCAACTGCCTGAGATCCCCGTAGGCGATGATCTGCGGAGAGAGGCGTCTCGCGGCCCCAATCATCACCCGTATGGCCAGTGGGATCACGACAACATGGACGACTTCCACCCGGAGCGGTGGCTCAAGGCAGATGACGAGTCTGGCAAGGAGTACTTTGACCCGTACGCCGGCCCCATGATGTCCTTTGGCTTTGGGCCTCGGGGCTGCTTTGGGCGGCGGCTCGCGCTCCTGGAGACGCGGATCGTGGTGGCGCTGCTGGTATGGAATTTCGAGTTTCATCCCGTGGACGGCGTGCTGGCGTCACGAGAGATTGCGGATGCCATCACCACAAGCCCGGTATACTGCTATGCTCGGGTGTCAAAGATTTTCGAATAGGGCTGGCGCATGGGTTCGGTGGTTTGGCAGGACAGATACCCTGGAGTATAGCAAAGGCGCTGGCAGTCGGATGTCTTCGCATGATTTTGATGCTGGTGTGTTCAGGCCCTTTCAGAGGCTGAGACTCTTTGAGTCGCATTTCAAGTATTGACCGAGATATGGTGATACTTCAATTTCATTTGCAAGCCTACGTCTGTAAAAACTCAATCTTACTATTCATTCATCCAAGAGCCACCATACAAGAGTCGTCAGAATCCAACTTGTGCTAAGACCAAAAATTGCCTATCATCATCAAAGATACCCAGGCTTCCCAGCAGAAACGGACCAATCCAGATTTCCACCTCTTTCCGTCCTTGCCCAGGTGGGCCATTTTCTTTCTTCCCTGCACACAAAATCAAGCAACCTTGAGGAACCACCCCACGATCCCCTTGTGCGCGTCCATGACCATCCCGACCCTCTCGACGGGGGCGCGGCGCTGCAGCTCGCCGTTGCGGTCGTCCTCGCCGAGCCTCGGGTAGCGCAGGGGCTGCAGCTCGTAGGCGAACTGCAGGTCGTCGTAGGCGTCGACAGCGGCTTGGGCGGCAGATCTGCGTGGATGGGGAGGAGGGCCGAGGCTAGGCGGTGGTGATGGTAGTGTTGTTGTTGCTAGTGTTGTCGTTGTAGGTGTGTGTGGTCGTTGGAGGGGCTGCATCGTCTCCTCGGAGCTGGTGGTAATGGATGTTGCTCGAGGACCCGCTGTCGCTTCCTCTTCTGTCGCAGCTGGAGATCGCAATGGGGAAGAGGGAGAAGCGCCAGCAACGGTAACGACGCCGGAGCGGTCGGGCTTGGGAGCAGCGTCTTGGATCACCACCCAGCCGCCGTCGTCTTTGTCCGTCTCGACCATCGGCTGCTCTTCGTCGTCGTCGTCGTCATTGCCGTCCGTGACACAGAAGAACTCTCTGTCGATGTCGTCTGCAAGTGAAGAGAAGTCCGGTGAAGGAGCGTCGGGACGGGGCGTTGGCGGAGAGGGAGCGCGTGGGCCTGACGATGAAGACGAGGACATGTTGTCGTCGTCGTCGTCGTGGTGCCCGGCCACGTAGTCGTCGTAGTCGAAGAGGACTTCTGGCTCGTCGTTGTATTCCCAGAGGACCTCGGATTCGGATTCACCCGTGCAAGAGGTGGCGCTGCCGGGTACAGGGGCAGTCCCGTTTCCATGGCCGCCGTGGGTGTCGCTTTTGTTGCCCAGGTGGTCGTCAGTCGTGTCGTCGTCGTGGCGGCCCAGCATGATGACTTCTCGCTTCTTGCCGTCCTTGTCGGCCAGCTGCACCACCCGCGTCTGGTTGTGGGTGCCGCGGAACAGGCTGCCCATCCATGAGCGTTTGCTGGCCGGACTTTCCTGGCCATCATCATCACCATCATCACCACCACCACCATTGTCGTGTCCCGCACGAAAACCGAATACCTTCCCAGCCTTCCATGCCCGGGCTTCAGTCAGATCGCATCCCGGGAACAACTCGAGACCTCCCTCGTATTTGGCTGTCACCATGCTCATCACTCCAGCCCCGAGACTGATTGGTGAGTAGGAAGGACCGGCCGGGCCGGGCATGTAGATGGAATTGACCACGTCCTCGGCCATGGAGCCTGTGGCGCGCTTGAGCAGCTTGCCTGCCGCGCTGGGGGCGACCAGAGCAGAGGCTGCCCAGGCTGCCGCCTTTGTAGTGTGTTGTTGAAGATAGTGCATTTTCTCTTTTGTTGGCGGCGCTTTTGTGAAGAGAGGTGTGTGAGTCTAGGAGGAGTGCTTTATCAGGGATGGATTGCTGGTGTATACATTGACAGACTGCTCTGAGAGTGAGCTTCTCTTTGCCGAGCATTTCACAATGATGCGGATGAGATGCTGAGGACGGACCTGGGCCTCGTTTAAATGGTGTTTCCTCTCCTCGAGGCATCTCCGAAATCAGAGTCCTCTCTCTGAGGCGATGGTTGACTACCACAGCGATGCTTCTCATGGCGACCGCCCATTCGGAGAAAGGTCTCATAGCTTCCTCTACGTGTCGCTCGGCTGGTGACTACGCTCCGTAGGAGAGGGCTGCCGTATCATGTACAAGTTGACATACGACTCCCCTCTCCCATTCCCATCCTCTGCGCCCCCAGTCGCGCTCGCTCTCCTCCGAATATCCGTCTCGTGCCTCCCGACCTCTTCAAAGCCGTGTCGATGATACATCCGCGCACCGCCAGGCGACGCCTCGAGATACGCCTCCACCCCGTCCCTGTCCGCCTGCTCGCAGCCGTATCGGAGAAGCCGTGAGCCGGCGCCGCGTCCCTGGTGTGCTGGGTCTGTGGCGAGCATCTCGAGGTCTGGCGGGAGCCACGTTGTCAAAAGAAATCGTCAGCGTCAGTCAACAAGTTGCTGTGGGTTCACCGCCCCAACTCCTAACGGGAAAAGAAGCATTCCCATATTTAGTAGCAAAAGACAGACAGAGAGCTACTCACACCAGTGCGGCCGGTCGCCCATGATCCGGTGGTGCGCCCGCGCCCACTCCCCAAACGTGCTCTGGCACAGCTGCGAGTCCGCTCCTGCCGGCCACACGGGTAGCTGTACCTCGTGCTCCTCCTCGCCTTCCTCATCCTGCTGCTCATGCTGCTCCTGCCGTGTTTTGGGACGGTTCCACTTTGCAAACGCCACCAGCTCCATCTCGGACCTCGTCGCGGCGGCCTCCTCCTCATCCTCCCCCTCCCCGTCTTCCGCATCCACAGCTTTGAGAAAAACGGCGTCCGGATCAGCCATCTCCTCCCGCAGCATGGCCTCCCAGAACGTCCGCACCGCGGGGGCCCCGCGCGGGAAGCACGCCAGCGAGTGGGCGTTGTCCGAGAAGGCCGAGAGGTATATGTCCACGCAGCGCGGTATGTCCTCCGGCCGGAGTGGGACGACGGAGAGTTTCTTGGTGGTGGTGGCTGTCGAGGTCATGCTGGTTGAGCCAACCATTGTTACCATACCGTCTTATCTGTACCTTTCTTTTTCAGATGTGTAACAAAAACCAAATTATCAAAATTCAAATGAACAAGAATAAAATTTGGGAAGTTCAAAAAAGCAGGGAACAGCTGAGGAATTAATTTGTAAAAAGAAATCGTCTCCGTCGAGGCCTCGTATTTATATAAAATGTGCAGAAAAATAAAAATTATTTGCTGCTGAACCTCTGAGCCTCTGGAGAGAAATCCTGCTGCTGACGCCAACCGTTCATCAATCACTGCCTCCTGCCCTCAGGCCGCCGCAGCCCCCTTTTGATAACCGCCAAGACTGTAACCCTGCAACACCGAGGCTGCGCACGATAGAGGGCGCTCTTTTCATCACCCCCCCATGGCTGCTGCACAGGTCTTTGAGTCACACGGCAACTCGGCGTCGCCGTACGTCAGCATCACGAACACAAATCACCACAGGCATCTGGACCAGGCCGCACTTGAGCAAATCTTTTCTTGATTGTCAATAGCTAACTTATACTCCTTGATACATGGTCACATTTCCCCCTCTTTCCAACTTCTCCAGAGCCTGCTGGCAAGAGCCACTCCCCAACCCTCCACATACACTATAATACAGCCCCGTTTTGTCCCTCCCCCTTGGAGACCTGCTTCTGCCCCTAGACATTACCGCATCTACGGCTTGTAGTACCACGGCTCATTGAACACGTGGTACCGGTGGCCGCGCACACCCTCGCCGCGGAACATGGCCGGGAACCGCCACCCGGGCGGAACCTCGTGCTCGGGGACGCGGTGGTTGCGAGCGTCCGCGTCGCCGTCGAGGCGCGCGACGACGGCCTTCTCCTCGGGGGTCGTGGGCACGACAAACTTGGCGACCTGGAGCTCCGTGTCGGTAATGGTGTGGCGCGACACGCGCGCGTAGCCGACGCGGTTGAGCTTCTTGTACAGGATGTACTCGCACCAGCGGTCCCAGTCGCTCGGGTCGACGTCGTGCATGCCCGACTTGTCCGAGACGTAGGTGTTGTAGTTGCCCTGGAGGGGTCTGGTGACGAGGTATGAGAGCAGGAACGAGGGCCGCGGGGACTCCCCCATGAGCTTGGCGAGATACTCGGACTGCAGGCGGCGGTCCTCGGGGTCCTCCTCCTGCCCGGAGTGGAAGACAAAGACGTCGACGAGCTCGCCATAGACATCGAGCGTGGCATGGATAGCCGGCGCCAGCTCGCCGACGGGGGATGGTAGGAGGTGATGGGTCGAGTTGAGGATGGGGAACTTGGAGAGCAGCGCAGAGCCCCAGGTGTGCTTGTTGGGGCCCGGGCCGTAGTCGACGTACATGCCGAGATCCTCGGCGATGAACTGCGTCGTGTCTCTGTTGCCCATGATGATGCGCTGCAGGTCAGACTCGAGGAAGCCCACGACGTCGAGCTCGAGCTCCTTGATCAGGTCGCGCATGCGGTATTCGGACGAGTACATTTCGTTGTCCAGCGAGAAGTGGATGGTCCAGATGCCGGCCGTGATGAGCTTCGACTCTGGGTGGTACGGCTTGTAGTCGTAGGTGGGGAAGCGCATGTACGCCGCGATGATGAACAGGACGTTGACGAAGCCCAGGGCCCAGGTGTGGTACTTGCGATGCTGCAGCAGGCTGGCCGGCTTCTTGCCCTTGCTCTTGGCCTTGCGAGGCGTTGCGATGAACAGGTTGAGCACACCGGCGCCGATCAGGAACATCATGGTCGTGTTGACCCAGTCAGTGTGCTCGCGGACGTACGGGCCGCCGGGGACAAATGCATAGGCGACGACCCACACGTGGAACAGAACCACAAAGTTGTAGAGGAGGAAGCCGAAGCCGAAGACGACCGCGGGACTCTTCTTGGCGCCGGCAGTCAGGAGAGGGGTGGCGACGGCCATGAGGTAAAAGGCAGTGACCAGGGCGCCAGAGTATCCAAGCCACTCAGGGTAAAGGGTCAGGACAGCAACTCCGCCGCAGCCGACAAGGTACGCCAGGAACGACCCGGCAAGCTGAGGGCGCTGGATGCCCGTCAGGAGACCGGCAGACATGGCGGCCACGGTGAACCAACCATGGGGACCGGAGACTGGTCCCTTGATCGGGTAGCCTTCCCATACCCACAAGATCATGGTGCTGGTGTCCGACAGGAGAGAGTGCAGGCCAAAGAAGAGACCGGCGACACCCAGCGAGGCAAGGAAGGCCGAGCCCTTGAGGTTCGGGTCTGGAGATCCCGTGTTGAGAGGGGCTCTGCGGGTAAAGATGAAGGCGGCAACGACAGCGATGGCCAAGCCACTGCGGTTGTAGCCGTTGTTGGCATCGTGCATGACTGGCCAGACTGGGTTGTTGGTGTACCACGCAAACTTGGCCGTAGAGGACAGGATGAGACCAGCAGTCCATGCCAGGATCTTGGACTCGAGACGCCCCTCGTGGACGGACTCGGAGTACAGGGTTGCTGCCCAGCCGAGGCAGGACATGAAGACACCAAAGCCTACGGTAAACAGGCGCAGCACCGGGGTCTCGATGGGCCAGGCGGCAAGTCCTGCGAGCGAGAGGAAGTGAACAATGCGGAGGTTGTGAATCACAAAAGACCGGATTGACTTGATGCCCAGGAAAAAGGGCGAGATGGTCGACATGACGAGGGCCTCGTAGCCCGAAATGCCCATGTGCCAGAGAGGGAAGTACCAGATGACGAGGCCGAGACTGGTCAGCATGGACCAAAAGACAAAGCCGTGGTAGACCTCGGCAACAGTGTCGAGCACTTCCATGAGAGAGAAGCGCCCATCAAATGCGCCAGCGGTGGCCTTGCTCTTCTCCTTGTCCAGGGCGGCATTTGGTCTGTGAAGCTCGTTAGAACCTGACGACATCGTCTGGACTGGAACCTTCAGGCATTTTCACGCTTGCTCGAACAAAACAACGTAGAGCGCAGGCGGCATCTTCTGCAGCACAGCCACGGGGTGACACTATCTGGCGTATCTCAATTGATACTGTACAAGAATGGACCTTGAACAACGCATGCATGCGTGCCAGATCGTGCCATCCACAGCCCTCCAAAATTTGATCTGTCCGAGCAGGTGCCTCATGCCGAGTATGGCGGGAGCCTGTTCACGTACCCTTGGTTTACGCCCTTGTTGTCACTGATGGTGATCTGGAGGTTGCTGAAATCCAAAGCCGTCACGGCGTCGAAGCCGACGTCGAACAGGATCAAGGACCACTCGAAGAACGCGTACGTTGTGTAGGCTTTGGGAGATGTCAGCATGGCAACGTGTAGACGGGCAGAGTGGCAGGAGACTGACCTCCAGCGACGTGATGCACCTTGTGCTGAATGAAGAAGTAGACGAGCGGCACGATCGTTCCAAAGAAGGCCGACGCAATGTACTTGCGCAGCTTGATGGCGGTTGGGTTTGGCGGGCTGAGCGCGATGCAGCAGGCGGTCCATGGAATCGTGCCGACGAGGTAGATGATCATGACCACATCGTGGAAGTCGTGGTCGTCGGTCGAGGTGACGTAGGTAAAGCCTCCGCAGGCCAGCGTGCGGAGGATGCCCACGGCGACCTGGAACTTGGGCAGGGCGCCATTGTTGGGCTTCTTGCCGATAACGTACCACAGCGCGACGAGGGCGAACCTGGGACCTGTATTGAACCTGTGTCAGCTGAATGCTGCTTGTGGCATTGCTCGGTCGTCGTCGTCGTCGAGGTCATCGTACCAGAAGTGAGGGCAATGATGAGCTGGAAAACGGCTCGTTCGGGGTACTTGTCGCCAATCGTAGCCGAGACCGAGGGGAACCACTCTTGAGGGTAGCCCCAGAACTCGTTCTGGACGATCTTGTGGTAGTGGAGAGAGAGCCCGACGAAGAGGGCACTGAGAAAGGCGGCTGGAACGAAGAGGCAGAGTCAGCAAGATGTTTCGAGGTTGGCACAATTCCAGGCCCAGGACTGACCGTAGGCGAGAATCGTGTGTGTCCACGACACCCAGCTGCCACTAAAGGACAGAGAGACGGCGCTCTCCTTGTCCTTGTACTTGGACATGGCGAAAAGGAAACGGCACGAGCCTAAACGAAGTAGAAACAGGTGGTAAAGAGTGACAGAAGAAAGACGGAGAGTTGGAAACGGGGGCGCACTTGGGAATCAAAAGGTGGGAAAAGGGCTAGTGACGATGGCCTCGCTCCGAGGTTGTGTGTTGTGCCCGCAGCGCAGCGGGTGCGCCGGCAGGGGCGCGAGCTGTTTGGAGATCAGATCAGATCAGGGGGGCTTGGCCAGGAGAGCTCACTTCAGGTTCGCGCTGGACAATGGCTGCCGCGGAAGCTGCATGTGAATGAGGACCGACCTCGAACATTGAATTGGCGCCATGTCCCAGTCCGGCCTAGCGCAGCCTGCGTCGGAGAAGGGCTCCACTAAAACTTTTCCATCAACCATCGCTCTCCAGACTTTTTGTTACCAGTCAGTCCAGCAACCAGGGCGGCCTTCGTACACTGCCGATTCTTCAATTCCTGCAAAGACGCCCTCCGTAGCCTCTCTGCACAGACTTCGACACAAAACATGTCAGGCGTCCCCGAAAAGGCCCGCTTCTTCCTGGAGCGGGCAGTCCCCCAGCTCCGCGAGTTCGAAGCAAAGGGCATCTTCTCCCCTGAAGAGATCCGCAACCTCGTCCGCAAGCGCACCGACTTTGAGCACCTCGTCCTCTCGCCGGGCAACAAGCCCCAGGACTGGCTCAACTACGCCGCATGGGAGAAGTCGCTCGAGTCCCTCCGCGCGAAGCGCTGCCGCCGCCTGCAGATCCGCAACTCGACCACACACGCCGGCACCGGCCGCATCTTCAGCATCCTCGAGCGCGCCGTGAACCGGCACCCCGCCGATGTCAACCTCTGGAAGGAGTACCTGACGTACGCAAATGCCCTCAAGGCCACCAAGCGGTACCGCAAGATCATGACGCGCGCGCTGCGGATGCACCCTGCGAAGCCAGACCTCTGGACCATGGCTGGCCGCCGGTCGGCGGCGAACTCGGACATGCAGGGCGCTAGAAACTTCTTTATGCGTGGCACGAGGTTCTGCGCCCGCGACGCGACCGTGTGGCTCGAATACGCGCGGTGCGAGATGGAGTGGCTCCAGAAGATGGAGGCGCGCAAGAGCAAGAAGGGCGGGGCGGAGAAGGCCATCAAGGAGCAGGCCGAGCAGACGGACGACATGATTGAGTTTGAGGAGGACGACAGCGACAACGACGACGGCCAGCTCGTCATCCCGGATCCCGACCGGACGGCCGGCAACAAGAAGGTCATCAGCGCCGCCGAGGAGGAGAAGCTCAAGAACAACCCGGCCCTCGACGGCGCCATCCCGCTGGCCATCTTCGACATCAGCAGGAAACAGCCTTTCTTCAAGCCCGCCACGGCCGAGCAGTTCTTCTTTGTGTTTGCCGACTTCAGCAATGTCTCTAGCCAGCAGCGCCTACTACAGCACGTGCTCGACACAATGACCACAGAGTTCCCCAACGATCCGTCCACAGCGTTCTGCTACATACGACAACCCTTGATCGGATTACAGCCGAGCTCGTCCGCCTATGCTAAGGCGCTGCAGCAGGCCCTGCCGCGACTCAGAGCTGCACTGGCGGACTCGACGAACCAATTGCAGCTGGCCGACAAGATCACATTGTGGATCCAGCCTGTTCTGGCCCTCGAAGATCTCGACGACAGTGTTAGGATTGTTTTGCAACACACGCTAGACACGCTACCCAAATCTTGAGCAAGTCAAACAGATTCTGTCATATACATAATATACAACAGGCATCAAACGCGCGCCTGGCCTTACTCCGTCTCGCCGCCTCGCTCCTTGACGACCCCCATTAGATACTCCCATTCCGAGGGACTCACGCGACTGACGCTCAACCGGCTCTGCTTGAGCATCTGCATGTTCTCGAGAGGCGAACCAGGCTTGCCCATAGCCTTCAGCTCTTGGAGCCCAATCTGCTGGACGAATTTGCTGCGGTACCGGACATGGACCACGCTCCACTTCGGATCGTCTGGTTTCGACTTGGGGTCGTAGTATGGTGCTTTGGAGTTATGCGCGGACACTGCGGAGCAAGCAGTGGTCAGAAAATGCGGGGGAGGCAGGTCAGAATGGATGGAGGGAGAGGCTCACGATCGGGAGAGTGCTCTTGCACGATCTCCATTGTGCCGACAATGCCGGGTTCCTTGCAGTTGGAGTGGTAGAAAAAGGCGAGCTCGCCCTTCTTCATGGAGCGCAGGTTGTTCCGTGCGACATAGTTCCGGATGCCTACGAGAATACCTTAGTTCTGAACACAAATAAAAGATACCCTCTAGCCCATGTAAAGCTGCAGCGCAGCCCCAACATTTGTGTCTGTGACTTACCATCCCATGGCTCCGGCTCAGTCCGCGACTTGAGATCATCTATCGAGAACTTTACGTCCGTTCCATTCTCAAAGCGCGTCTCAGGCTCGGCCTTCATGAGCCAATACCACCTGTCCTCATCTGATGCTGCAATCGTCGCTGAAGACGCTGGTGATGGCTTGGTCTTTGGAGGTTGGTGGTCAGTTGTCTTGCCCTCCTCTGTCTTTGCTGTGACTTCTTTCGTTGCCTTGGACCTTGTGGCATCCTTTGCCTTTGTCTTGGCCGTGCTCCGTTTACTGCCCTTCTCCGAGGTCACTGGCTTTGCTGTCTTGCTCTCAACCGCAGGCGTGGGGGCTGAGGGCCTGACGCGTGTCGACCTCCTCGGCGCGTCTGTAAGCGCCGGCCCGCCATCTTCAGTCCGTTTCCTCTTTGGCATCCTGCTGGACTGCCCGCTAGTTCTGCGGATATGGATTGCAGACCTCAGTTGATGCAAAGGGCCTGCCAGGAAGAAGGTTGGGCGTCGCGATATTGCGTTCCTGGGCAAGGACATCAAGCGCAGGGGTGCGAGACACGCGCGGTGCCGCTAGGCGGAATAGGGCGATGGCCTCGGCTCCATCATTTGAAGCATTTTGAGTCCGCGACTGCAAACTGAGATTCGTCTATTAGATGCACTATCTCCAAGCCTTCATCAGGTTTGGCGACAGGCGACGGATTGGAAGTGTTTATGGAAAGCACGCGTGGGCTCAGATGAGGTAGTAGGCACGACCGGCACAGCAGACTACGTCGGACCAGACCTGCGTGCTGGGCGTCTTTGCAGTCAATCTGGCACGGTCCAGACTGAGCTGCCCTCCTCACATCGACATCTGGGTGTCTGTGACTTGTTCATGGATTGCGATCGCCATGCTACGTGCTAGGGACTACAGGTACAAACCGTCTTTACCCGTTTCCGAGCGCCGCACCAAGATTGGGAAGCTCGAGCACCCCACAGTCTACACATGGATAGCCGCTCACTCGGCAAGCCTCACAACGGCTCCATGTCCTCTATGAAGTCACAGCAGGCGCCTCTTGAATCCTCTCGGATGGTTTGTGTGGAGGCCTGAACGAACACAGCTCGCTCCACCAAGCCTCACAAATCACCTTGGAATTCACACGGATGCACTCGTCTACGGAGCGGCAATGTCAAGTCAAGTTCGATCTGCTCGCGATAGCTTAAACCGCCGAACCAGACAGGAGTCGAGCAGCCCTGGCCCGATGGCCTGCAGCGGAAGTGGCAGCAGCGACTTGGGCAACAAGCTCACTCAACCCCCGAGTCACCCGCTGGCGGATCCTGCCCAGGTGCAAGCTAGACTAGAGCCAGCCCCACACGACGGAGACAAGGAAACAGCGCCTCACATAAAACCTTGATCACGGCCAGGCCCAAACCTTTGGGGTGCTGTGTGCCACAAAAACCTCCTTTACAAGGCAGATTAAGTTCTGAAGTGTGAATGTGTCTCGACGTACATGACGATGCCGACTAATAAACACGACACTTGGCCGGACTGCATTTTCCCCCCTCAGGGTCCCCGTCGTTCGTGGAGGAGTGGGGACGGGGTCCAACACCAACCAGCCAGTTCTGGGCGGGATCTCTGTGACAAACCACAAGGGATCGAGCTGGCCCCAAGCAACAAAAGCGCGAGCAGTGAAAGTGGTTCGAAGCCTATATGGAGGGCTAACAGTCGAGATCGCCTGCGGTTCCTCCCTCTTGAGTTGGCGAAAATCGATTTGGCACAAGCTACACATAGCCCAGTGACGAGTCCTAGGCATTTGTTGGTGCCCCCCACTCGCCACATTCAGCAACTGCGCGTTGGTCCTTGATACATGTGAAGTCACACTTCTCGGCTCGGAGATCGCAGGCGGCCGGGCGGGCATCCTGTCTGATCAGATGCCTGGGCAATGTGTGGGCGTGGCAGGACGATCAGTGACACACGGACAGCGAGGGAAATGTCTGGGTGTGGACAAGACACGGACTAGGGTGGACGCCGCTCGGGAGTGTCACCGTCCCACTCAGCCCAACTCGACCAGGCGAAGCTTGATGAACAAGAAAGGCGTGACAGGACACACAGGACAGCGTGATTTGAGGACATGCAGCAATCTGGACCGTTGATAGCCAAGACTGGGCCCCAGGAACAATCAGCGGTATGGTCCTGGTCCACGACCGTGGCCGCTGTAGTGGGGGCCTTAAAGCCCATCGTGGTGCCGTACCGTCGTGCTGGGCGGAAGAGGTGCACACCCAGCTCCCCCATTCCATTCTCGCCGCCCAGTGCATTTCCTGCCTGGCTTTCCTTCTTTCCTTCCTCATTCTCCTTCGGTTGGTTGTCCCCTTCACATGACCAGCGTCTCTCGGTTCTCGTCGCCTTGCCAGGTGCCGGAGTGGCTGTTCTTGTGGCCGTCTACCTCGCCCGTGGGTCACACCCTCTCATAAATCTTGGGAACGCCCAGAGGGGGGACAACGATCCGCCCGCCAGCTACAGAACCAGCAGCATTGGGAAGGCGACCTTGGAATATTGCCAACCGGCCGGTCAATTTCAAGAGTCTTGTGCTTGAGCTTTCGGTTCATGCCCAAGCACAAGCTCGTAAAAATGAAGGACCCGCGACGAACACTCTCATCCCAGCAATCTGGTCAGCCCCACGGCTGTCACCCTGCTTAGCGTTTCTGAAAGGGCGGATCACAACGAGACAGAGGCACGACCAGCGCACGCCAAACCCTCGAGATGTGCTCATCAGAAGCGATGCAGGCCAGGCACAACAACCCATGGCCCAGGAAAGCATGGGCGACGAAGAAGGCCCTGTCGCATTCGCCAGAATCATGAGCACGAGCAAGCGACACAAGCGCTGAACATCAATCTTGACTGGACTGGCGGCCCTTGAGCGGACGCAGGCATCCCCAACCACACACCAATGAGCTCCTACAGCTCTCCTGCACCTACGGATCCCCCAGGCCTGCAACCCACAGCCTTGTCACAATGTCTTTCTCCCGGGACGGGAACGGAGCGAGGAATGACACCCCTTTCCAATCATCCTGAGCAGACATTTTGGAGCACAAAACACTTGGTTTTCCTCGTGCAGTGCCACCAGGACCGGGAGTCGAGCGCTCTTCAGGTTCTCTCTGTGTGGATCAGTCCCGGGTAGGCCCCCAGATTCGCGGCGTGAGATTGCGCCCACGCAAAACACAGTGCGGACGAAAACAGTCTAGCTCAGCGCGTCGGGTCACATTACTCGTGGGTGATGCGACGGCTTGCGGAGTGGCTGGCGACGCAGGCAGGCAAGGGCAAGCAAAACCACATCTGCCTCCCCGTCATGCGCGCGTCTGATCTGAGTTGTTGGAATTGCCCCAGCCAGCCAGCCAGCCAGACCACCGCGGACGCACGCACGCACGCACACGCGCACACACGCCCAGAGTCGCACGCACACGTTCACTTAGGTAAGACCAGTCTTTCCATCTGTCAAATCTCGTGGCTGTTTTGCTGCGCTGCTGCACACCCGGCCGGCCGCCGGTTTGCCACCTCCGCTGCCGCTGCCGCCCTCCCAAGCCCGCGCGGACGCGTTCCATCCTTCCTGGCACCCAGCCTGCTCCCGGCTACGCGAGACGGCCCCCCGAGAGGACCGGCGCTGTCCGTCCCCATTCGCTACGACGACCGGGAACAACTAGCCATAGAGGACGGCAAACAGTCTCTGGACCTGCCTGTGACGATCCGGCGACCTCTGTTGTGCGTGCGACCTGTCCTGCCCGGTCCAGCCTCTTGCCCCCCCACCGCATCCCCCAGGAGCAGTTGTGCCGTGTCACAATTTGCGCTCGCTGGCAGTTGTGCTGAGCAACCCACGCCTGCGCTCGCTGCACAAGCGCAAGAGAGAAGAGGGACCCACTTTGTCGCGCTGGGACGAGACGAGCCAGCCAGCGAGCCAGCAGGCACCCCCAAGCCTCGCTCGCACGTACCCGCCCCAATCTTCTGCTTGCTGCTTGCGTGCCTGCTTTTCCCACTCAACCCCCGATCGCTTAACCCCCATCTCGAGCCGCGACGCGACCTTCTCATCGCGACACCTCGCCGCCCCGACTCTGGCCATCCCAAGACCCCTTCGGCCCATCTCCCCGCGATCGTCGCTATCTCGTGCTGCCACTGACGTCGCGCCCAACAGCCCGATGGGTTCCCCTTCGCGCATCCACCAGTCATGAACTCCTGGATGAACGAGGCCACGGCCGCCCAAAACCACAATGCCTCCGGCTTCCCCCACAACATGAACGACCCGAATGCCGTCGCCGCCGCCGGCATGATGGACGCTTCCGCCTTCATGGCCAACCCGGCCCAGTTCAATCCCGCCGCCGCGTCCCCAGGCCAATTCGCCAACCCCCAACAGATGGCCGCCGCCATGCAGAACGGCCGTATGGGCAACGCCTCGCCCTCGTTCCAGAACCCCGTCTATCAAACAAACCCCGTCATCCCCTCGAAGCGACCCCGGCCGAGGGAAGAGAGCGTCGGCGCCTCGCCGCGACAGAACCCAAACATGCTCCCGACGTCGCGCGCCGACACGCCGTCGCAGGCGCAGTTCCCTCAGGGCTTCCCGGCTGGCAACATGCCGGGCCAGGCGCAACAGTACTCACACCTGCAGGCCAATGGCTCGGCCAACGCGTCGCCATCTCCCGTCATGGCTGGCAACCAGATCCGCCCAGGGAGCGTGCCGCAGCGCGTCAACACGGCCTCGCCGCACTCGTTCTCGCCTGCGCAACAGCAGTTTGCGCCGCAGACGTCCCCCGTCCCATCAGAGCACGGCGGAACACCACAGCCCAACTCGTTTATGCAGGCGCAGAACATGCAGCAGGGCTTCAACCCAAACTTTGCGCCATCGCCGTCCCCGGCAAGGCCGCCCTCAGCACAGAACATGATGGGCCAGCAGATGATGCCGCAGCAGATGCAGCAGATGGGCCAGCAAATGCAGCCACAGATGCATCCACAGCAAATGTTCAACCCCCAGCAAATGACGCCACAGCAGATGCAGCAAATGCAACAGATGCAGCAGATGCAGCAGATGCAGGCGCAGGCGCAGGGGCGAGGTGGCGTCATGGACCAGCAACAGCGCATGATGTACCAGATGCGCCTCCAGCAGCAGATGCAACAGCAAGGCAACATGCAAATGGCTGCACAGATGCAGGCGCAGAACATGAATCAGGGCAGAGGCATGATGCCCAAGCAGGGCATGCCCATGGCTAATGGGCAGATGCCTCCAGCTGCCATGAGGCCGCAGCAGCAGCCAGCTCAGATGCCTAGAGGCGCGAGCCCCGATGGTTTCTTGAAAAGCCTTACGCAATTCATGGCGCAAAAGCAGCTGCCCTTGGACACGAACCCATCGATCGAGGGCCGTCCGCTACACCTCCTACAACTATTCCAGAATGTCTCCAAATTCGGCGGATACCAGGCCATCACCGCCCGCAACATGTGGGCGCAGGTCGCGGCCTCGGTCGGCTTCAACCCTCAGCAGGTCCCGTCCGCGCCGTCGCATGTCAAGGTTATTTACGAGAAGAACCTGCTCAAGTTCGAGGAGGCTTGGTCGCAAACACAGAAGCAGAACCAGGCAAAACAGCAAGGTATGCAGGGCCCGCCAGGTCAGCCTGGGCAGGTAGGACAACCACAGCAGCAGCAACAACACCAACAACAGCAGCGGTTGGGCCAGATGTCACCGACCCAGCAGATGGCCCCGGGCCAGCCACCACAGCAGCAGCAACATCAGATGCACCAGCCACCAGTCCAGACGCCCGTGAAGCCGATGGCGCAGGGCATGCAGCAACCCAATGTGAATGGCTTTAACTCGCCGCAACATCCTCAAGGCGGGCCACAGCAACCTGTCGGCACACCCGTGCATAACAGAAACAGCATGTCGCGAAGTATAGACCATGGCACCATGGGTGGCGACTTCCCCATGGCCTCGCCCGCTGGTTCCACGAAAGCGGGCTCGATGTCAGCGACGCACCCGCCACAGGACATGGCGGTAACCAATGGTGCCGCCACCCTGCCGTTCCCGGGGCCCTTTGCCGCACACCCTGACGAGTACCAGCCCTGTTCTCGAGAGATCGACGTCAAGAACTATGGCGGGCTCGATCTCGACTCTGTGGCCAACCTGGGCGCTGATATCGAGCGCTGGAGGCCAGACATGCCAATGCCGCATGATCTCGGCATGATTGACCTTCACGCACTCACAAAGAGCCTGCAATGCGGCATCCACGGAGAAGTCCGCCTCGCGCTTGACACCCTCGTGTCGGTCACCCGGGCTTCCGAGGGCGCCCAGCACTTCATCATCGACCTCAAGTACTGCGACGACCTGGTCGAGACACTGGTCGAGTGCGCAGAGGACCAGGTGGACACCCTGGTGGAGCAGCTGGAGCCCGTGTCGGACGAGATTGACCTCAAGTCATACGAGGACGTCGTAAGGGACTGCCGGGCGGAGACCTTGTCGTTGCGCAAAGTGACGGTGTTTGGCGATGCGGATTACCACCTCGAGCGTGCAGCAGACAGACTCATTGCCGTGACGACCATCCTGCGCAATCTCTCGTTCTTTGAGATGAACCAGCCTGTGCTCGCCGATGAGAGCGTCATCAAGTTCCTCTGCAGCGTCATGAGGACCCTCGGCACACACGAAAACATGCTCCAGGGGCCGACCAACTGCCTCGACTTCATGAAGGACATCATCATCCTGCTGTCCAATATTGCTGGCTACATTGAGCTCGCCAACCGCGATCAGGCATCGTGCCTGTTGCAGGTACTGCTTGCGTTTGCTCCTTCTCCCGCGCCCATCCTGGCGGATGGTAAGCTGGTCTTTGCTTCATTTGAGCCGTCCGTCCACCAATACCTGCCCCATGCGGTGGATGCCCTTGCCAAGCTCCTGGCGCGGGACGAGCCCAATAGGACGCACTTCAAGAACATCTTCGCCGCCGACTCTACTTCTTCCACGCCGAACGAGCTGCTTACACGCACATTTGCGCTCGCCATCTCGCCGATTCCAGAGCAGAACAAGGAGAACCGCCCGGCGTCTCTGCCGAGCCTGATTGAGGCCAGGAAGCCCCTGCTGATGCAGGGACTGCTTGCAGCTGATATTCTTGCGCAGCTCGCGCCGGGCTACGAGTCGGGCGTCACGCGGTCATGGCTATCCTCGGGCGAGGGCTTCGCCCAGAACCTGTATCGCATGATCAGGACACTTTGCGCCCAGGCCGAGCCGGCGATCGTTCGGGGCAATGCGCGTTCACAACCGCGCGAAGACACGGACGTGCTGTACATTATCAGCTGTGGTATCTCTACACTGCGGAGACTAGGCGACAAGGCGAGAGACCCCAATGACCCGTTCTCGACACCGCCGGCTGTGCTGCCGACCAGAGAGAGCGTACTGGGTGCATTTCAGAGTCTGAAGAATCCCAAGTGGGCACATGTGTTGGCACAGATGAGCGCATATGCTGGTCTGGACTGATGAAGGACCGCTGAAGGGGTGGGAGGCGTAGATCTAGAGGAGGGAAAGAAAAGACCAGCATGTAGCGTGGCGTTCAGGATTGACCAATTTTTTTGTACAGACCAGGCGACGGGGGAGCAATGGCACATTTCATGTTGTAGAGTACTAGCTTCCAAATGGCAAATGGATCGAGACAGATTGCTTGATGACAGATTACCTGGGCAGCCTTGGCCTGTGACTCGAAGGGTGTCGTGGTGTGAGCGTTTGAGAAGAGGGGCAGGGAAGGCGCGTTTCTGAGCAAACGCACGAGGAAGGCAGCGCTCAACTGCGCAGACGTCTGTCTGCCAAAACGTGCTCTTGCACCCTACACTTTACTTGCACACAACAACATCCGGCTTCAGCTGGGTCTAGAGGCAGTGCCGTTCAGCATTCAGGGCATTATGTTGTGCAGCCATGTCTGGCAGAAGCAAGGCCAGTCGCTCCATGACGTCTGCGATGATGGACGACCACGACCACGACGACGCCGCCACGTGGAAAAGGACAATGGCAAGGAAAAGGGCGTCAGAAGCAGCAGCAGCAGCAGCAGCGGGAACAAGAACCACGACAGAACTGTGCCAGCCATTCCGACCATGACTGTAGTGGACCTCTTGGCCGAGGAGCCAGGAGAGCTGAGACGGCTGGAGAAGTACGCGGACTTGTTCTCGCTAGCACAAGCTGGCAGGAGCCAACGCGGGTGCGGCCGTGGTGTCGACGAGGACGTGCTCGGGTTCGGAGATGATGGCGATGGCGATGGCAGGGCTCACAGTGGGATCGCAGCGGCCACACCATTGTATACGGGAGATGATGCGTGCACACCAACATCCCACAACCTCCTCCGAGTCATGGGCAGAGGATACCGGAGGGAATCCGAGGTCGTCGCCAACCGACCCAGGAACAACAGTGCCGTCTACAGTCGGAGGTGAATCAAGGTGACTTTCCGCCAGTGACCGAGTCCTCAGCGTCGTTCGCCGAGGCCCGGACCGTCACCCACCAGGAACGACTCACCTATGAGTGTTCTGCTCATGGGCCTACGCAGTCACCGGACAAGTTTCTGAACACCAACAGATATCGAAGACCCGGCGCTCCTGGACATCGTGTGTGCCGTGGCAACGAGCCTTCACAACGGAATCACATGCCTCCAAAATACTGATATTGGCAGTCTTGATAGATACAACGCACTTCGCCAGGAGCCAACCATTCTCGGCGTTCACGACTTTATCGAAGCGAAGCGACGATCACGGGCGGTCAACGAATAATATGGATTGATTTGGAGCCTAGTGGGAATCAGACACCGTTGCCCGCTAGGCATACGCTCTGAGTTTGGAGGGATCCTATAGCGCGCTTGCTGTCCGGAAGTGCAACGCACGGCTCACCAACTACTTGCAAGAATGGTTCGTGCTCATGATTCGAGTAGCCTGAATGGCAGTCCACGGCACGAGAGCTGGGTGCAATTGATTATGAGGTTCAGTGGATGGCGCGGGCACTGATCTCCCAACCACGCGGTCCAGCATAAAAATCAGACTATCATTTCTCATTGTTGAACATCTCAAAACCCTACACAGGATAAAGACAGTCGCATCACGACTCCCTCCCTGCCAGCCAAATAGCGCCCTTGAGCCCCTCCACAATGCTCTGCCTGAGCCAGCCCTCGCCCTGCCAAGTGATCTCCTCTGGGGCAGCTCCGTGCTTGTCACCATTCCTACTCGCGTCCTGCTTTACCAGCAGGGCATTCCGTGAGCGCCAGTCCGCCCACTCAAACAGCCCCTTGAGCCCAAGCAGCCCGTCTCTGTCGACAGTCTGCAGGATATTTTCTAGTGCCAGCCGTGTGTCGACGACACTCAGTGCGCCATTGCCCACGTCAGGTCCACCGACTCCACGATCGAGAGCGATGCTGCGCTCCGCATGCGTGAGGTTACGCAGCGTCGGTGTCGACTCAAACAGCCACTCCAGCGGCTGCGCGGCGCTGTCCTCTGCTGCCGAGGCGCCCGCCCGGCTGTCCCGGCCCAAAGCAAGCATCGTCGCCGCAAAGGGGCTGTCGCTTACCGGCTTCCGCCGCAGGTGCAAAGATTGGTTGGCCTTGAAGGCATTTCTCAGCTCTGGGTTTGCGCCGAAGTCGAGGTTGACGTTCCAGAACTCGGGCGAGGTTGTGCGCAGACCAATTACTTCCGAGACTGGGGGCAGCAGGCAAGGCGTCACGTGAACTTCCTCTTCCTCGCTGCCGGAAAGACGCAGCGCAAGCGGAACACTGACGGGCAGGTTCGTGGCGACGTCCTTGATCACGAGACACCTCGCATCGGTTGCCAGAACCCAGAAGTGGCGGAATGCTTGCAGATGGCTCTTGTTATCCTGAACCGAATCGGGCAAGACGGGGTAGAACGCCACCAGCAGCGAGGCGATTGCCAAGTTGGACGTGTTGAAAGTCTGGGTGCCGCAGCCGAGCGAGAGGACCCCGATAGCCATGTGCGTGGCGAGATGGGACCCATACGTCGTGTCGGCATCGTTGCGGGCGTGCAGGGAACGCAGGACGCGCAGCGTCTTGAGGTCGCACGTGCCTGCCATGACTGTGGCACAGGACAGGGCGAGCAGGTCGAGACACATGCGAGCGCTGCATTGCACGCATTTCTCGTCGAAGCTCGCCTTTGGGTTCGACTTGCGGCAGAAGCTGTAAAACTTCTGCAGGTACAGGAGCAGCACATCGCGAGCCCGGGTGCTACCAGTGCCTGCATGCCGGAGTGCGATCGCGAAGCAGAGACCGGCCAAGATTGTCAAAAAGGGCAGGTGTGTCGAGTCGAGCCGTCCCTGTGCAGGATCGTCCAGGGGCTGAGATGTAGCACCGACTCTGGACTGGTCTCGCGGTGGTAGGCTTGCGCGGATCCACTCGTGGCTGGGCTCAATCTTGGACCACAAGATGAGGTGCTTGGCCACGGTCCGCAGCAGCAGGATGTCGGGTCGGATGTATTCAAACTGGAGCGCGGCGTCGGGTATGTCGACCTTGCGAGCGACTATATGGTCCTCCGTCTTCATGTACATGAGCGCAACGGCGACCACGGCCGCCGCGACTGAGCGGTCCAGTATGTGGACATGCTCAATCTTCTTGGAGCTCGAAGCCAGCCCGAGCAGCTTCTCGGTGACGCGCATGTCATGCAGGCCTTTGAGATCCGACCCGCGGCCGAGGTTGATGAAGCCGAGCGCAAAGCCGGCCGCAAGGCGGTAGCTCTCACCACGCAGAGGCTCCTCGTCGTCGTCCGTCTCGATATGCTCAATCTCAGACATCATGATCTCGCTCATGCGGCGATGCTGTGAGTCGCAGTAGAGCAAGCCAATACCCATGATGCCAGTCGTCTGGGTCAAGGGGGATAAATTCAGCTCCGCCGCGCCCCTGGGCAGCATCCGAGTGACGTGGACGGACAGCAACCGGGTGATCAGAGAGTCCATGGTACCCATATAAGATGCCGCGAGGCCGAGAAGGAGGCCGATCGATGTCATCGTGTGCTTGGGAGTGAGATACTTGAAGGCCACCCACTTGGCCATGCCTTTGAGGTGGCCGTTCAGGCCCAAGGCTAGGAGGAAACCGGCATGTCTGTTGTTCAGGTCGTTGCCAGGTTTGTTGTACAGGATCCACGACGTGTCGATCCCCTTGGCGTCGCGAGAGATGGCAAGCCCACCGGCGACACCCGAGTGGAAAAACGCCCACGCAATCTTGTCCTCGGTGAACAGGGATTTGTCGACACCTACTGTGGTGTTGGTAGGCTTGACGGTGCTGTTCAGCACGAACCCGTGTATGTGGAACTTTTGTGTGAGCAGAGGAAAGCGAAGGCCGTAGTTCATCAGTCCTCGTCCCGCGGGGATGGACAATGTATTTGTGGCGAGCCTCGTGACGACCTCCTTTTGCTTTTCGAGATAGACAGTCTCAGTCCATCCTGGCTGGGGGTCCAGGCGGATGACTCTTGGCTTTGAAGTGTTGAGCATGTCGCGGATCTCTTCTAGGCGTCTGTCATCCTTGAAGAGGAGTCGGATCACGGCTTGTTTCTCGGCCTCGGCGATATCGTCCAGTGGGGACTCGTTGAGCTCCATGACGTTTTGGCAAAGTGAATTGAAGTCCCAAGCGGCGTTGTGGTTGGGCAGCTGCGAAGCGTGTCAGTAAAGCTGTGTGCAGGGAGGGAACAGACTGGAAACCTTGCTTACCCGGATGTTTGTAGAGCGGTGGCCCGCGCTGACGGTCGTAGAAAACGCAGATCCAATGTCGCCCCTGTCAACAAGCTGTAGCAGCTTTCTTGACCATACCGCAGGTGGACTTGTCTGGCAGCGAGCGAGGGCATCCGCCAGCGGCACCAGGACCGGATCCGGTAATGACTCCAAAGCGGTAGCATTAAACCCTGCCTCGCTCAGAGCTTCTACCAGCTGCGTAGGTGATACGGCGGTGGCTTGGAGAATAGAAAAGAACCTCTCAAAGAGCCTCAGGTGGTGAACGACAGACTCAGGCAACCGACTTGCGATGGCTGGAAGCAGATACTTCGCATCGCTGTGCTGCACAAGGTTCATGGTGATCCACTCGAGAGCGCTCCAGTGGAGAGGCGCCGGGACTTCCAACAGCGTCGTCACAAGGGTGGCTCCTTGGCGGTGTTCAACCCACTCAAGCGGCAGTTCCAGTTCGTACGAGGCGACCCAATGCTCCCAGCCGAGCCAACGAGCCACTATCAGCAGGACCGCCTTGAGCCCGTCTGCTGGCCAGTCTGCACCGTGTGGCACCGCCGAGCTCAGTTTCTGTTCTTCGAGATGTAAATGCAATGCCATGAACGCGTCTTGGGCGACTCTCTTCTGGCTCGCTTCGTCGTGGCCACGCGAGGTGGGCAGGTAGCCTTCGAGACCACACGCGGCAATGCCTGCTTCGGACGCGACAAACCTTTGGGCGAGCTGGAGCTCTTGTAGAGGGGACGCGAGCGGCGTGGTCTCAGCCATAACCGGAGGCGGATGAAATGTCGTCTGAGACTCATTGTCCTCCTCCACTGTCCACTGCCAGGCTGCGTTGTTGGCCCACGCGGGCTGGGTGACCGTGCTTGGCGTCTCGAGCGTGTTCATCGTGTACCAGTCATTGAGGTCTACCTGAGCACCACTGCTCGACCGCAAAAAGCCTCTCGATCGCCTCCTCGGGGATGACCTTGAGTCGCCAGCTTGCGAGCCAGATTGGTAGCCAGGGGCGAGATACAGAACAAAGATCAGCACCACAAAGGCCGACCACTCAGCGTCGGCAACTTCGTCGTCTTGGGCTCTGACCCACACAAGGATGTCCCACCATGCGGCAAGTATATTGTCTCCCATGAACGAGCGTGTGGCGTGCGACAAGGTCACCAGGAGCCGGTCGATATGCATGGAAGCTGGCCGCAGCTGGATCTGGATCTGGTGGAATTGCTGTGTGCTGATGTCAAGCACATCTACTCTTCCTTTTAACCGCGGGTGGCTGACTCTTGCTATCTCACCGATGACGGGGGTGACTGCACGCCTTGTCCCTACATCGTGCGTGACAAGGCTGCCACCGTAGCTTAGACCACGCAGATCCGCGAGAGCGAGCTTGCGAGGCAGAGAGATTGATGTCAGCCTGCTCCACGGCGCCTGAAGGCTCAGCTCTCGGCGTCCTCCCTCGCCTTGGGACAGGACCAGGATGGTTGCGATGTCCCCATCGACAAGCTTGCACGAGTCAATGACGTTTTGTGCCTTTCTTAGTTGCCCAAACGAGATGACGGTGTTGCTGCTGTCAGACTTAGTTGCTGCATTTGTCGTCTGAAGGTGCAGCGTCAAAAGCTGGAGTCTCTTCTCCATGGGGTCCTGGATCCCGACGAGCAACTGCCGTCGGCCTTTGTCGTCGGCCACCGACTCCGGGCTAGCTAGGAAAAAGACTTTGCACTGAGTCCGCGCCGGCTGCTTGGACAGCGAGTACCGCACATTGGAGTTGTCAATGGGGAAGCTGTGGATCTTGGTAAAGAGGACTTCTTGCGATAGACCGTCAAAGTCGTGATCGTCGAGGCCCATGCTGTGGAAGCCCTCGAAATCGCCGCCAGCACGCAACTCATCGAGCAAGTTGTCGACTGGAGCGTCGAGGAACGTCGCATGGCTGGCCGGCGGATAGGTGGCGCCCACATTAAAGCTGACCGCACTGGTGCGGTTACGCTGGCTCCCACGGGAGGTATCTCGTCGTCCACCCGCGGGGTTCGCCAATTGTGGCTGCTCGGTGAAGCCAGCGCGGTCTTGCGACGCCGAGAGATCTGCTCTGGCCAGCATCGAACTGACCCTTCGTGACGTGCGCCGGGTCACACCCTCCTTCTCTAGCCCCAAGGAAGTCTCGAGTGTCTCCAGGGCTTTGTCTGCTCGCTCAACCTTCTCGCTCTTTCTGGACCGCTTGACGGGCAGAGGAGCTTGGGCGACGGCGTCCTTGTAGCTGGCCGGGACTGGCGTCGTCGCGCCGCTTGGCAGACCGGGCTGCATTGAGCTCCGACGACGATCTGACTTCCTCCTGGACGTCTTTGTAGCACCGGTGAAAGGGTCGGTGGTACGTATGGCGGCGAACCGCCAGACGGTGTAGGTGCTGGTCTCGCGGTTGGCGGTTACTGCGAGGGTCAAGGGCGAGGACGAATCGCGCAAGGGGTTTCCGGGTTGCCCAATCTGCCCAATATGTAAGATCTCCTCGGCAGGATCGAGGAAGTTGGGACTTCGGCCGCCAGAAGCTCGGCGAGTCTTCTTTGCGGCTGCCGATTTATCCTGCTGAGCGACCACGAGCCCGAGCTCCAGCAGCGGGTCAGACAAGACGACCAGTCGTGGCCAATGCGAGTCCGGCTTGTCCGTCGGTACTTCCCAGATATCCTGCAAATCCTGCTGGAGACGTAGCGGCAGGGCTTTCGGTCTGCCCAGGCCTTCTGTCGAGAAAGCGACCGGCTGTGATGAGCGCACCGAGTTGGGCGATATCGGGTTGGTGATGAACGAGTTTGGAGGGACCTTGGGGAACTTTAGACTGGCGGCGAGCCCGCTCTCTGCCCGAATCTTCCTCTGTACGATGACGCCACGAGGCGCGGCACAGGCAGACTCGACCTCGAACGGCATATGGACAACATGGCTGGTGCCGTCTAGAAAGTAGATGTGTGCCTGGGTGCTGAGGAACACGACCAGGGCCCGAGCGAGGAGCTGCTGGCCATCGGGAGACTCTCCATCGGGGAAATGGGCCAGTAGTGCCTGCGTGATGGCTTCCTTCTCGAGCTTGAAGCCAAAGCTCTTGCGGAACACGCAGCCCCGAGACCAGATGACGGTGTCCTTTGTAGTGAGGAGCTCATCTTCGATGCCAGCGGCATGGTCCACCTCAATCTCCCACGTGTAGTCCTTGGCGGATGGATTTTCCGGCAGGAGCTGCTCAGCAACAGCATAGGCCAGGGCCGTGGGTTGGTGCAGGCCCAGAGACGTCACCGAAGCCATCTCTGTCGACCAGACGCCATTTGCAGGCTAGATGGGCTGTATTCGGCTGTTTGTCGAAGTCGCAGTCCTTCTTGTCAAAGGTGGGCCCAGCTCAGTCTGTGGTGAAATGGCTTTACAGGCTCCCTGTGGTACGACCGCTGCAACGCATTCGATAATGTCAAGCGGGCAGTGAGCAGTCGACAAGTATGTGCATTGACTTCCCGGGTTGTGTTTGAATCTAGATACCTATGCTTTACAGCAGGCGACGATATGCCCTCACACGCGCCTTTGCTCAATCACAGCGGACGCGCCTGCCGCAAGTGAACGTGGTGGGGCCTGCCTCACGGCTGTGTACCGCAAGGTACGTACACTTCCCTGGTGGTGGTTCACGGAGGGTGGGTGGGGCGCGCAGCTGGTGCCTGACCTACCTGGGAGAGTGCCGCACAGAGCTCTCCAGCATTGTGACGTAGAGCTTCAGCGAGTAGCCCGGCCTCGGTAGCTTCTCCTCCACCTCCGGGATATCGTGACCAGGAGCTGTCTGAGCGGACCCAGACGCCCGCCTTGGCCTTCCGCGCACTTTACGCTCCTTTTCGACATCGCTTCATCGTCGCGATGCCATTTACTCTGTCGCACCAACCATGACAGACCGAGAGGCCCAACAGGGCGACCCTACTGCTCAGACAGGCGAGGATGGGGTGATTGCTGCCGATCCCAAGGCAGAGGCTCCAAAGGAACCTGAGCCAAAGGAGAACAGTGATACGAAGAAGGTATCAGAAGAAGGGGAGGAAGACGAGGAGGAAGAAGATGATGAGGAGGACGACGACGATGACGACGACGACGACGGAGAGGAAGATGATGAGGAGGAAGAGGAGGACGACGAGGACGATGACGACGACGAAGACGAAGACGACGAGCCGAAGCTCAAATACGCCAGGCTGACTCCGCACTTGAGCGCCGTGTATAGGAATGGCGACGCCACAAGCTCGTTCCTTGTCGCGGGCGACAAGATGATTGCAGGCACTCACGACGGCAATATTGTTAGTGCAGTCAAAGAACCCGCCTTGCGACAAACTTGCTAACGCCCTCGACCTTACAGCACGTCTTTCAACTGCCGACGTTTAATTCGCTACGAGTTTATCACGCGCATTCGGCGACTGTGACCAGCCTCTCGATCTCGCCATACCCGCCACCGGCCCTGCCATCAACATTAAAGCCAGATGCTCTTACCCAGGTTGTCTCGGAGAACCTGGACACTCCAGCCGCCAGGCAAGCGCACGCGTCGCCGTCTCGTCATGGCAGAGGCCGCGAGCCGCCTCAGGTGCCAAATGTGCCGTGGAACCAGATCTACATCGGAACATCGTCCATGGATGGCAACGTCTGCGTCCAGAACTTGGTGGACATGAAGGACGTCTCGTTACGCAATTTTGCCCGCCCTGTGCAATCAGTCGCGCTGTCGCCGGACTACAAGAACGACAAGACCTATCTCTCCGGAGGCACAGCCGGTAGCCTCATTTTGACCGTGGGCGCGCCGCCGGGAAGAAGCTCGTCGACCACCACTGGCGGCGCAGCTGCCGCAGCCTCCGGTTGGCTTGGGAGCATGGGTCTGGGCGGCGCGTCTGGCAAAGACACTGTGTTACACTCTGGCGAAGGCACGATCAGTACCATCAAGTGGTCGTTATCGGGCAAGTATGTTGCCTGGATCAACGAGCACGGCATCAAGATCATGCGCTCCAAGTTGCATCTCGATAGCGCCGATGTGGAAGACGCGTGGAAGCGCATTGGACATATCGATAGACCGCAGACGGAGGAATGGGACGAGATGGCAAGTTCCTGGAAAGGTCGCGCAGAGTGGATTGACGAGCAGTCGGTCGCTCCTGACGATGACGGAGACAGCAGTACAGACGGTCCGGCTGCTGCCGCTGCCTCGGCGGCCGCGACGAGCCTCAAGACCACCGTGCTCAAGAGCGACAAGAAGATCGAGAGACTGCTGGTGGGCTGGGGCGGAACCATTTGGATCATCCACGTGCATCCCGGGGGTCCCGGGGTGGGCAAGCATGCTGGAGAGCGCACGCCTGGTCGTGCCGAGATCGTCAAACTGTGAGTGTCGGCATCCGGTGCCTTTTAAGCATTTTACTAACGTGGCACCACCAGACTACGCATGGACTGCATCATCTCGGGCATCTCGCTTTATACGCAGAATCTGCTTCTGGTACTTGCGTACTGCAAAGCAGAGGAAGACGAATCGGAAGGCCAAGCCGTCGCGCCGAAAGGACACAAGTCAACCGGATCCACGGCCTCGGGTAGGAGCGAGCCCGCTGGGGGCATTCGGCACCGTCAGAACGCGCTGCCGCCCGAGTTGCGGTTGATCGACCTCACATCTCAGGCAGAAGTCGACAAGGACAGCCTGACCGTCAGCCGCCTGGAGCGCCTCTCGTCCAATGACTACCACTTGGGCGTTCTGCCTGCCAACAAAGCTGCATCGGTCGTGGCGTCTCGCGGCATGCTCGAGGCCATGACCGGGTTCGGTACGGAGATGCTCAGCGCTGCCATCAACCCGAGGGCGCTATTCAGCTCTGGCGCCAGCATAAAGAGCAAGGATTCTAATGACGCGTCGTCGGCGACGAAGATCCCCAGCGTAGCGGGCAGTCTGCGCGGTGCAGCGCGCCCTCCCACGCAGGCAGTACATCCGAGTCTTGCCAAGCCGGGTGCCAAGATCTTCATCCACAGTCCATACGACTGTATTCTTGCCACGAAGCGCGACCTCGGCGACCATCTTGGCTGGCTGCTAGAGCACCACCAGTGGCAGGACGCCTGGGAGCTGCTGGATGAACACCCCGAGATCATGGCATCGCCACCAGAGAATCTGGCCGACCTGATCCCGGCGGCGTCTCCTGGCCGGGGTCGCGTGTCGACAGAGGACTCCTTTGATGACGCATCCACAGTTGCAGACACCCAAGAACGAAAGTACGCCGTCGCGGCTGAGAAGGAGAAGCGCAGCATTGGTGACCTCTGGATCCAGGAGCTCATCAACCAAAAGGAGTGGGCAAAGGCGGCAGAGATCACGGCAAAGGTCGTCGACACCGCGGTGCAGTGGGAGAAGTGGATCTACACGTTTGCAGGAGCAAAGAAGTTTGACGAGATTGTCAACTACATGCCCACGGAGCCGATACACCCGCCGATCCCGGGGGCCGTGTACGAGGTTGTGCTGGGCCACTATGTCCAGCAGGACAAGCTCCGGCTGAAGGAGCTGCTGGACCGCTGGGATTTCCGTCTCTTCGATATCGCAGTGGTCACAACTGCCCTTGAGAACCAGCTGCAGTATCGCGATGTCAGAGAAGACAGCGTCGAGGGCGGTGAGAAGGGCCGCGACTGGCGGATAGTGATGGAGAGCCTGGCAAAGCTGCACGAGGCCAGTGCACGCTACAAGAAGGCGCTCCGCTGCTACATCAAGCTGCACGACGCCGATTCGTCGATGCGGCTCATTCGCGACTACCACCTGGCGGATTCTGTGACGGACGACGTTGCCAGCTTCATTGGCTTGCGAGTGCCCGATGGCAAACTGAGCCGCATGTCGGTGCCCGACCTGGACGAGGCAACGTCTGAGGCCATCACGCTGCTGGTGGATGAGGCGCAGCGCGGGCTGATTCCACCTCTTGTCGTGGTGCGCCAGTTGGAGCAGAAGCACCTCAATGCCTACCTGTACTTTTACTTCCGAGGCCTCTGGCAGCAGCACCGCGAGCAGCCCCTGGACGAGTCCATGTCCCTCGTCGACGACTTTGCCGATCTGGTGGTGCGCATCTTTGTGCTCTTCAAGGATCGGGATCTGCTCATGGACTTTCTGAGGGTCTCGACCTCGTATAAGTTTGAGGCGGCCGTGCAGGAGTGCGAGAACGCCAACTACATCCCCGAGCTCGTGTATCTCTATTCCAAGACGGGTCAAGTGAAGCGTGCGCTCTACCTGATCATCGACCGCCTCGGCGACGTGTCACAGGCGATCGCCTTCGCCAAGGAGCAAGACGACCCGGACCTCTGGGAGGATCTCCTAAACTACAGCATGGACAAGCCGCGCTTCATCCGGGGCCTCCTGGAAGAGGTGGGCACAGCCATTAACCCCATCAGGCTCGTGCGGCGCATCCCTGAGGGTCTTGAGATTCCAGGCCTCCGGGAGGGGCTCAAGCACATCATGAAGGAGCACGAGATCCAGTACAGCATCTCTTCCGGCGTGGCGCGTGTGCTGCGGTCCGAGGTCGCGGCTGCGCAGACGCAGCTCCGCAACGGCCAGCGCAAGGGCATCAAATTCGAATCGCGCGATGGCGGCGCGGAGGGAGGCGACGACGAGAAAGCGCCGCGTGACACTCGAGGCGAGTGTGCGAGTTGCAAGGCGGCATTTACCGAGTGGGAGACCGAGACCCTGGTCGGCTTTGCCTGTGGGCACGTCTATCACGTGACACATCTGCTGGAGGACCTGCATCCGGGCGAGCCGATCGACCCGGGCATGGTGGGCAGTAGCGGGAGCGACCGCTCGAGAGGCGGGAGATACATTGGGAGCAAGGTGACGCGGACGAGGCTGCTGCGGGACCGGATAGAGCGTGGGTGTCCTGTGTGCGAGAGCAAGCTGTCAGCGGTGCAGGGTGTGTAGATTGCACGGCGAATATGCATGGCATGGCGTTCTCGGAGTTTGCTTTTTTTTTTCTTCCCCTCCACGTCAAGCCTCTTCGTTTTGGACATAGTTTGCTACTCGAAAGATACCATTGTGCTTGCCCTCGTCGTGGTATGCCGGGATTGGTAATGTGCACGGCCCGGACGTGGTCCTCGTCCTCGGCCCGAGCCACGGATAGCTCCGCTCGATGACTCCACCACTCTAAATCGACAGCACCGCTCGGGTATGTGTAGGACTTGGCGTGCTGTCAAAGAGCGCACCTTTCCCTTGTCGAAACTCCTCCTTTTCCTGCTGCGGCGATTGTTAGACGTCCTTCAGGAGAATAATCTGGTCGTAGAAAGCTCGCTGCCAGATTGAGAGCGTCGACACCATGACAGTGCAGAGCTCGCCAGCAGAAGCAGCAGGCCGCCCGACGTACTCACGTCAGCAGCTCGAGCAGTACTTTGATCTGATCTGCCTGCCTGCCGAGAGGCGGCGCTTTTCGCTTTCTACCGAGACCAATGGCGGCAGCACGAATGGACTCTCTGACAAGGCGGACGACCTCGCGTACCTCAGCCTCCTGATGAAGCACCAGGTCGTGCGGGTGCCGTTCGAGAACCTGACGCAGCACTACTCGTGGCACAAGATCGTGGACCCGCGGCCGAGCCACCTGTACAAGAAGATTGTCGGGGCTGCGTCGCCCGCCGTGCCCAGACCGCCCACACAGAACGGTGACAGGGACAATAGTGCTGTCCCCATCGGCGGTGGGCGTGGAGGATATTGCATGGAGGTCAACTCGTTTTTCCACACAGTCCTGCTGAGCCTCGGCTTTGACGTGTACCTTGCCGGCGCGCGCGTTTGGTCTCCCACGGAAAAGCGATACTCTGGGTTCAGTCACTGTGTCAACATTGTGACCATCAGCGGGGTGCGGTATCTCGTGGACGTGGCGTTCGGGGGCAACGTGGCGATTGCGCCCCTGCCCCTGCCGGACTTTGAATTTGCAGAAGAAGGCGCTGGACCGACGCATGAGCATATCCCACCTGCTAGGATGAGAGTTGTCCGAGCGCCCATCTCTCAAGGCTTGAGTCGTGCCAGGGGGCACAATCTGGGTTGGGTGTACCAGATCAAGTATGACTACGAAGCCGAGAAGGACGACGAGGACAAGTGGATCACTCAGTACATGTTTGTCGACACCGAGTTCCTGCTCGAAGATATCGTCGTGTGCAACATGTTTCCCGCGTTCAACAAGAATACCTTTTTCACGCACAAGGTGTTGTGTGTGCGGTTCACGACGGACCTGGAGGTTGGCCCTGGGCGTGATGGAGACGAGGGGCGGTTCCCAGGGCGGGCGAGTACAAAGGCTGTGCAGGAGGGCAAGATTGACGGCAATCTCATGCTCTGGGGCGACCTGTTCAAGTGGCGCCGAAACGGTGAGACTGTGCTCGAGCGGAAGATTGAGAGCGACGTCGACAGACTGGATATTCTCAAGAAGTACTTTGGCATCGAGCTCGACGAGGAGGATGTGAGGGGCATCGTGGGCACTGCTGGAGCATTGGGCGGGCAGTAAGGATGGGAGCTGTGTGAGCCGTGCGCGTGCCGGTGACGACCAAAAGAGAGAGCAATATACCATGAGCTCCATTAGACTTGAGGGTATGGAATTACCCTCCGTGTGAAGTGCAGTCGTGTGATGGTCGCTTCTTGCTCTCAACCGCGGCGGAAGCTCACAATGCCGGTCGAGCTAACGCCCCTGGTTCAGCTCGGCCAACACGACTGTGGCCAGCCCGAAGCAACTGGCTCTTGTGGCAAGTGTGTGTTGTAGTCTGTTGGCAAATTTGTACTGTGCATCCGATTGACGTCAACACAGACAGGGCATCCACTCGTGAATATTGATTGTCCAGAGAATGTTCACATGAAAGGCACCGAAGATTTGTGCAAAAGTGACGTGGCCAAATCTGAACAATGTTCCCCCGACGCTGAAGCATTTGAGCTTCGCGCCGCGCCTTCCTCGTCACGACGACCGCCTCCATTGCAGCTCCGCTGCCCAGCATCCAGCAAGTACAACCGAACATCAATCACGAACTCGCGGCAACTGCAACCATGGCCAAGCTTCACCGACTCGCCCAGCTCTAGCTCTTCACGGCCACGCCGGCATGCCTCACGATGGCCGCCTTTGCGCTCTTTGGCACCTACTTCCTCATGACGAACCTTGCCGTGCCTCTATCCACAGCCATTCGCAGTGGTGGTGACAAGACCACACTGACCCTGAGCGGGCTTCTCGGCCTCCGCATCCTCGCTGTCATCAACTTCCTCCTCCTCTCCGCGGCGTCAACACTCGCTCTCCTTCCTCGATCATGCACAGCAAGCCTCGCGAGCGGCGCAAAAGCTAATCTGCAGAGTCAACACGCACAATTGTCGGCATCATCTCAGCCAGAAAGGAAAGTCTACAGAGGCGTGTTCAGCCCGCACAACACCCAAAGACACCTCGCCCGTCTTCTCCTCTCCTCTGCCCTCGCCTCCTCAATCACGTACATGGTCCTGTTGTCCTACTATATCCTGGCAGACCCAGCCAGGCACGACTTCCAAGACGCTCTGCTGGGTTACTGCGGGGAGCTCACGCCTCTCGAGACCGCGGCGGTCAAGAAGGACTTGAAGCTGGCAACTGGGTTCTGGTTCACAGGGGACGCGGCTGTGGGCGCAGTGGGGATCTTGAGCGCGGGCTTGAGCATCTGCAAGCTCAGTGGGTGGCCCGATGGCCAGCTTTCAGGCCGGGAACCGGAACGGAATAGTGTGCAAATCGCATCTTCTCCGGCGGATGAGGAAGTGTCATGAACAGCATGCCGAGCGCGCCCATTTGATGGTGGCTCGCTATGCGGTTCTGGAGACCCCGTGCCGCGACACCTTGGAGGCTCGCGCGTGGGAGACGTTGATTGATGGCTCGGGGAGTCGCTGAAGGGGGTTGGATACCTAGTAATGAGGTACGAAGTCTAGTATTCCGCGGGAAGCTTCAGATCACGCTGTAACACAACTTCAAAGATGTTCAGAAGCAATTGATTGTATGTAAAGATGACGACAGCGTCCTGCAGCGCATTTCCCCTAGACGATTCGACTATGTAACAATGATACATGACGCCGTCCCCGACCATGTTCATGGATTTCCGGGAGAGGTGGCACCGTACTTGCCTATTGCCCTAAAGAACCCCCAGGTACTCTGACCCGTATGCAGCGCAACCTTGACGAGCCATCCACACCAGCCCAGGACAACAAAGTCGACCACACTGACACAAAACGCGGCCAAGAACATGTGCCACCACTTGTCTCTCTCCTCCTCCGCCAGCACCACGTGTCGATCCGGCCATCGAAGCAAGTTCATCATCGCGTGGCTAAGCACGGCGATTGCAGCGCATGCACCGAGCCCCGCGGAATAGGCGACGTGCCGCAGCGCACGAAGCCATCTGACATGGCCCCTCTCTGAGCCTGCCCACTTGTGCTGCCGTCCCGCCTGTTGGTCTTTGCCGATCCGTGCCATGATGAAGGTGCCCATCGCGCCGAGGTAGAGATTCAACGTGCCGACAGCGAAGAGCAGAGCGACAATGCTGTACGTCATGGCCAAGAGGTCGCGTTCCGGGGAGTCCCAGATGCTTTCGTCGGCGCTCTGCGTGCGCCAGTACCTGAGGAGGCGAGGCACCAAGGGCTCGAAGTCTCTGAACACGAAAACCGCAAGGCCCATGGTAGAGGCTGTCATGCCGAGGTTCACCGCCACCAGGGCGGCCCAGCGAGCTCTGCGCGAGGACCAAGGTTGGACCATCTTGATGGGGGAACTGAGGTGGTGATAGATTGGGAGGTTTCGTGTTGCTTTCTTGGGACGGGTATGGGTTCCTTCGAGAGTCTCATCGTGATTGCAGCTGCCGGGGTCTTTATATCCACAGCAGCAGGCCGGGAGCGACGACGAAACAAGCAGCGCCCGTGTTGGCAAGGAACGGGATCAAAGAAGCTGTGCCACCGCCAAGGCTGTTGTTAGTGAGTTGGTGCTTCTCAACCAACAACAACGAGGCTTTAACGTGTGGAGCGTGGTTGACAGACGTTGCACTTTGGACCACCATACCGGCATTTGCCAAGAGCTGTATGGGTAGGGCAAGGTTCGCCTGACAACGGTGGTCTCTGCAGACAAAGTCTGATGCTTGTGCTGGTAGAATTGCGCGGCAGTTCACTTTGGTGACAGCGCCCACAAGTAGACTTTCTGGTGTGTCTCAAAGCCTTGGCCCCATCCTCTCGGGTGCAACCACCAGTTCTTTCTCCGAGATGCCCACCTCGACGTCGAGCACAAAAGATCGTTTCCAGGTGCTCTCTGGATGGCTGTTCAGCTCGCCGGTCTAGATCAATTTGAAGAGCGCAGAAGGGGATCGGTCCAACGGCTCGCCATATCTGAGCAGGAGTGTTAGCCTGGATAATTTTGCCGTCTCTCTTTCACGTTCGAATGCGGATCGGCACGCAGACTTGAAGCAGCCCGAGCAGGCACGAGAGAGGCGGCATATGCGCACGTGCTTGCCCTGGCGGATGCCAACTGGTACACGAGAGAGGCAAAGAAGTGGCTCCTGGGCCCGACGACAAAGGCGGCACCGGCGTACATGGCGTTCAGCGATGGGGCTTGAAGATGGAGAAGATGTTGGCTGTGGCAGAAGAGACGACAAAGAGAGGAGAAGAGAAGCAGACGAGAAAGGCAGACGGTGCGGACATGGTCAAAGCAAAAGGGACTGGCTTCCGACGGTCGGATCGAGGGTGCCGTGCGAGTTGGTCGTACAGCTGAGCTGGAAGAAGCGAACCTTGGGAGGCTGACAAGGGCGTGGCCCAACGGGGTGTCTCAGTTGGTTGTGCTGACGTCTGTCCTGCTTATAACGCCCTGGCGCCGAGCAGCCTTTGAGGCAGCTTCAGGCACCTCGACCCCGCCTCTCCCGCCTGCGACCCTCGATTGTTTGCTGCCGAGGTCAGCACCCTGCCTGCATGTGGCCGACCCTGCATTGCTGCACCACTGCATCTCATCCCATGTGCTGGCCCTGCGATCCGATTCACTGCTGGCAGGTGGGTGCGCTAATCGAGGCGGGCGATCGATCGCCGCTGTCAACCTGCCAGCCCAACACCAACAGCCGCCCTGCCCCACCATCCATCCCAAGCGCCAGGCCGTCACACGCTCGTCAGAACGCGTATGACAATGTCTTAACCCGCCACTCATCGTTGCGCTAACGCTTCCTTTTACGCCCGTCAGCCTCACATCTTGGCGCTGACGCCAGGCTTGAGCGCGACAAACACCGCCGTGGCGCTTCCCAGCACCGTGCTGTGCCCGTTGGCCGTGATCTCGCCGTCGACAAAGTACTTGCGGCCCTGCACTTCCCGCAGTGTCACCGTCACCAGCAGCACTCCCGGTGCCGGCACCTTGCCGTTGAGCGACACGTTGAGCGCGACCGTCACGCTCCCCGCGGGCAGCAGCGCCGGATCCCGGTCCACAAACCGCCGCAGCCGTAGCAGCGTCGCGCAGCACTCGTCAAGCAGCAGGCTCGTCAGCCCTCCGTGCGCCACGCCGGGCCACCCAGCAACCTTGTCCCCGAGCTGGAGCAGCGTCCGTGTCTGCACGATCATGCCTGGCTCGCTCTTGTCCGCTGGGAGCTGCCGCCGTGTGAACATGGTCACCCAGCGTGGTATCGTGTCCTTGGTCGCCATGGTCTCGGCCATGTAGATGTCCCCGACTCCGCCCTTGGCCGTGCGCGATGGTGTGAGGGCATGCGTGAATGCAGGGTCGTCCAGGATTGCCGCGCACCAGGGGATCTGCCGAAAGTATGCAATGTCGTCGGCCTGTCTCTCGGCGGCCACTGCGCCCGTGGCCGCTGCCATGGCGATATCCTCCCGATTGTCGTATCCCATGTTTGTGTACCTGGATGTTGTGGCGGTGGACTGTGACCGATCTGGCGTGAACCTCGGCTTCTCCTTTATCAGACGCGCTGTGGGTCTTTTGTTCCGGCAGCGGTCTGACTGCCCAAGGGGTGTCCAGGTGGCATTGAACAGGGGTTTGCGCGCATCGGCAGCAGTCACAGCTGGTCCCGAGGCCGGCCCGATCAGGTCCACAATGATTTCGGGAGGGTTCCACTCGGTTGTGGTTGCGACATGAAGTGTGGTGAATGGGCGTGTGCTAGTGAGCTAGAAATCCTGTCATTTCATTCCATTTGTTTTGCCAACCATTTCGCTTCGAACCCAAAGAAATACTGCCCCCCCTCGCCGACACAGGTCTGAGGCTAATTTTTGATATCGGATGCTCGTCAGGTCAGTTTCGCCGTTTCTTCGTATTGTCGAAGATTTGCCTGACATCGTGCCGCAAGGTATGAGTAGCAAAGCATTGTCTTGAATGATGCCTCGCGCTTCGGCAAGAATTGACCTCTCCAGGCTGGTTCAAACAACCGAGTTAAGATATTCGGCCGGGTGGGCGAACGGCTTGCTCCGCGAGTCGATCAGGTCTGACACATGCACATAACAACTGACCCTCCACAACCGCTCTGCTACGAAGGCATGGGGAACACGACGGACACCAGCCACTAGGGTTCCGAGATCCTCCGTTGAATCCATGACGTGTTCTGTCACCTTTCGGACCTTGAACAAGGCTTAGTCAGTCGCCAGCATTGTGTTTCAGTCCAGACATCAGTGTTCTCTCTGCCTGGAGTTACCCCCAGTCAAGAGTCGCTGCAATGCATTGCTGCTCGGACATGAGATGACGTCATTTCGGCGATCTCTCCGGTCAAAACCGTTGCTTGGACGAGGCCGATGAAGCGGGAGCTAAGGCTGAAGATTCACTTGGCGACAAGGTGCATGCTTGGCATGGATTCGTGTGCAGCTAACTGAAGGCTTCTCACCTAGATTAGCGTGGATGCTAAACTTGATTCAAGAAAATGGCTTGCACAGAAGGGCGCCTGTAACCTTTGGTCGTGGCGATGCCCGCTGGAAGGTGGCTCAACCGCTACGGAAGTTTTTCCGATTTTGTGAGTCAAGGTTTGGGGTATTTGACCTTTTTATGAATATGAGTGGCTCCGCGGAGATGCCGCTGAGCCAACAGTCGTTCTTTTTTGAGCCTGTCGATATGGATTGTCAAAGTGCTCAGCTCTTCTGTTGGTGTCCTGTGCATTCGAATGCAGGCATTGAGAGCCTCCTCTTGTCAAGTGAATGCACGAGCAGAATGATCGGGCGACAGGCCACAGTGAGCTGCAGACCGGTGTGGTAGTATTATGTTTTTGCCCAGAGAAGCATGTTCTCGGCATGTTCCGCAATTCCCACCGAGTCTGCGCGTCGTCACTCGCGAACGACACCCAGTCAGGGAAGGCGCCTGAGTCATCGGTTAGCTCTTGAGAGTACTCGACGGACATCCGAAGACAAGACTTGCACCACGAGATCGACCAGTCAAGCCGGACCAATAGTTTCAGAGGTCAATGACCACTGCATCCCTTCGATCTCTTCTTTCAGCGGAGGACAGCCTCAGAGGGCTGGCACAGCCACCAGTGCCGGCTCCGAACACTCTTAGATGTGGTTCAACTTGGATGAGCGACCTGCAGCGAGTAATGCCATAGACCAATGGCCTCGGCGGAATGAATGCCGGATGATGTCGGCACAAGAAAGAGCCTAGAGTTGAATCGTGGTTGGCGTGTGCCGCTGGCGAGCCGCACAGTGTCCTTGGCGGAAAGTCGTATGATCTCCAACATCGATGACGAGAGTTGGCGATGCCCATGCTCAAGTAGGTAGTGGCGATGTTTGGCATTTTAACGTTGCGCGGAAGACGGACCGGGACACGCCCATCCGCAGCAGATAAATCACAAGTACGACCACTGCGGACCAATCATGCCACCTGCGAGACACGGCACAGCCCATTCACCGCTGAGCTTCGAGAGGGGACGGGCAAGCCACAGCCGGAGATGGCGCCGCTTGCCAAGGTGACGGCTTCTTGGGGTCGTCATGGCGAGAACGCCCCCGGCGCGGACGAGCCGTGGCGCGAGACATTCCTGGGCCGGGCTGCTGCTCGTCGCGATGGGACGACGACAGTGCTAATGTACGTCAAAGGCGAGGTTCAGGCAGAGGGCAGATGCCAGGAGGAGGAGTTGTCCAGTCTCGGTCTTGCAGTCGGGGTAAGGACGGCCCGCGCGCTTAGAGCGGGGCGTTTGCTCCGCGGATGATCACTGTACTCTCCCGCACCGTTGATCCTGCCCTGGCAACTTTCTCGCGTGGGCGCGCGCCTAGACAATCACGATCTGGACCGGAACATGCCATTCTTGAGGATCGGCACTTCCCGTACCTGTATGTGCGGGCAGGATGCGGCCCCCACAGCCGCTCTGCACCTCCTCACGCCTGTCTGCTCAGGGGAAGCTCTGCTACATCTGGACCAGTACTTCAAGTACTTTCTCTTTTCCTCTCGTCCCACTCGTCTCACTTTCAATTACACTATTATTTTGTGGCCCTTAGGTCGGAAACTCCACGCCTGCCCGGACCACTGCCGTGGTTAAGGAGTCATATCTACGCCCGTTTCGCCACTCCGTCCTGCCTTGCACCCGTCCTTGCCGTGGCCGCAGCTCTTCTCCTGCTGCCTCTCCCCCCACGCCTCCCGGCCTGCGCCGCACCGCCGGAGCCTTCACCCGGCTGCATAAAGTCTTCGTCAATGGTGAAGTCCTGAAAGGCCACCAGCTCCTCGAATTTGCCCGAGATCTTGCTGGTCTGAGACTCCATCGGCCTCACAGCAGTATGGTTGAGATCCAACAGCACCTCGCCAAAGTCCTCCCACAGCGCCTCGGCCGCATGACTGGTCGCCCTGGCCTCGAGGTTGACCACTATCGTCTTCGCCTCCGCTGCCGACATGACGCCTTGCTGCATGGCGTTAGCGAGCAGCCCCCGCATTAGCGGCGCCGCCAGAGTGAAACAGATCAGCATGTCCTGGCAGTTGGCCAGGCAGAGCAGGAAATAGAACCGCCACTCCGGGTCGACAGCAGGAGCGCGGACCGGGGCACCGCCGCCAGATTCAGAGGACATCTGCCTCGCATGCATGATGTGACCACGGCCGGCGTCTCGCAACATGGCGTTGCTCACCCGGATAAAGGCCGCCGTACACAGGCTAGCCAGAGCGCGATGGCGATGGAGGCGGCAGTCGACCAGTATATGCTTGAGCTGATTCGTCGAGGCGCGACAGATTGCTTCCGCCGAGCTGTCTTCCGACTGCCACGAGTATAGCCGCTGGCGCGACTGCCCCCTGTCGCAGAGCGGCAGAAACAGGTCCAGCACCGCACAATGGAAGAACATGCTGACCACGCGTGTCCAGTTGTCAGTCCTGTAAGACGGACAGGGCTACGGGAAACGGAACCAGACAGCAAAAGCTTACTGGAGACTACCACCGGGTCAGGGCTGGTGGCCGTCAGCGTCATGTCCTTTCCCAATGAGTCTGTCCAATACAGTAGCTTCTGGAACTTCGCCTCGGCCGCGGCTAGGGGCACCCCGGCGTATGCACTGCCCTCTCAGCCCCGTCCAAGCGCGGCAACCTCCTGCATGATGGTCCAGAGCTGGCAGAGGGCAGTAAAAGTACTGCCGTAGTATGGTGGCAGACTATCCACGGGCCAATCCGATCGATCCGCTGCGCGGCCACCCGGGATCGGAAACGACGGCGGGGCGTGGATCGGCTTCATGGTCGGGGTAAAGTATAGGTTGATCCTCTTTCACAATCAACACCATGCGGGTGACGGAGGGCGTCTGGCCAACTTACGTCATCCAGGCATAGGCCCCCCAGGCGATATGCGCGGTTGCTCGCTTCCACTCGTCGTTGAGCGCATCGAAGCTGTTGTGCACCGCAGTGGTGTTGTTCGGAGCCCCAAAGAGGTGTAGATGCTCTGCCATGCGCCGGCCATCGACCATGAGCTCGGCAACACTGACGCCACAATTTGTGGTGTGACAACATAGGGAGAACATCAGGATCGCAGCAATGTTCATGACGGAATTCGTGGAGCGCTCGGCCCGCCACAGGGCTTCTGTGGCTTGCGCGAAAGGGATGCTCAGTGCCGGTAAGCTGGGGTCTGTCACACCATACGCTTGCTGTGTAAAGAGTATGCGGTCAGCAAGAGGTGCGTCTGTTGCACGAGTGGTAAGCGACCGGGGGGCGGGAACCTACACATGCGTAACAGAGCAGCGCATTGACGAGAAACGAAGAGCAGAACTCGAGTCTTTTTTCGACAAGGTCACGAACAAAGAGATCAGCATGAAACAGGCCCCATATTGGGTGATTTGTCTGCAGATAGGTCGAGATTATCCTGGCAGCGACATTGCTCGGCAGTGGCACGGTCGTCCAGTACGAGATGTCGAGGTTCTGCAGCCGGTCGTCGCACAAGTTCTCCTGGACACCGGGTCCGTGGAGATGCTGGCGGGGATCAAACGGGGCAGGGGAGACGTGGTCTGTCCCGTTCATGGGAGTGATCGGCTTCAGGTCAACTGACGCCGTGTCTACAGGCGACATGGGCGGATAGGGCAGGGTGTGGCGCATGGACAACTCAAACTCGAGAGCCGAGAAGGTCGTCGGCGCTGAGCTGGACTGGGCGGCCTCGATGGCAGAAGGCTGGTACCGCCGGCTCATGTTGCCTCGAGACGATTCGAGGACGGCCTGCGGGTCGGCCGTCGCCCGAAGACGAAATAGAATATCCAAGGCCTCGTCTTCTGGTGCGGTGCGCATCATGTGGAGGAGTTCGCCCTGCCTCTTGTGGACCTCGAGAGACTGCTTCTTGACATCGGCGCTGTAGAAGCAGTGGACTTGTCGCTTGACGCAGAGGCTGCATTTGGGCCGGCTGCGGTCACACTTTTGGCAAGGAGGGGTCCCATCACGGCAGCAGCGGTCAGCGAGGAATGAACTGCTACACTCGGAAAAAGAAGGGGGAGAAATAAAAAGGGACACCCTTACACGACTCTTTTGGCTGCGGCAGCGGTCACAGGCGCCCGAGTTCTGTCGCCGGGCGGGATGGGAGTCGGAGGTGGTGTCGTCGTCGGTGCTGGGCCCCCGGGGAGCCGGCAGCAACGGCCGAAGGTTGAGGCCGCTCATGGGGCAGACGACGCGAGACTAAGCTGTGCTTTGCTCTGGCAGACGGCCCTCGCGACTCAAGCAGACGTGGCCCTCGGGAGGTGCAGGAGAGGGAGAAGGAGGAGGACAATATTTCGAGACACGGCAGGCCAGACGGCTTAGTGCTTGAGAGTGCTGCCGCCGGACGTCAGCAGCCATGGAAGGTGAGGTGAAGAAAGGGAATGTCGCGGTTGGCAAAGCCAGCTGGACGGACTAGCGGCAAAGGCAGGCACCCCGTAATCAGAGACCACAGAGGTCGAAAAGCGGGCGCGGGGCTCGGCGACGATGGGGGAGGCAGGGTCGGGCAGCAGCTCTCGACTTGAAAGGGCCACGGGCCGATACGGCAGGGCTCTGTCGAGATTTCAGCAGCAGGGACAGCTGGCGACGGCGGCGCAGGCACAGGACGGACGGCTGATTGCGGCTCTGCTTTGCAATCATGGACCGCACTTGTGGGTTGCGCGTGCCATGACACGCGGAGAGCGATGGCGGTCGAGGCTTGAGACAGCGAGCAGCGCAGAGCGTGTGTGCCTGGATGGAGCCGGCCCCCAGCCAAGGCGTGGTGTCATCGAGATCATGGGCGGCATGTCTGAGGGACGGTTCCTGAAGTTGCAAGTCACGGGCCCATGGCCGTGCACCGTCGACCCAAGCACGTGATTGGACGTCCGAGTCGGTGATGCACCCGACCAGCAGCTGGCATCTGATTGGCCAGAAGGCGCTATTTGCCTGCGGTCGAATAGCCGTGTCTTTGCTGGCCGCTGATTGGTGCAGGCGCACACGGCGCATCACTTTGCTTCACAACCGCACCAGCAGGGCTCCGTCGACTCTGCAAGCAACGTCCTTGTAACATCAAACCTCGCCTTGCCGCTGGGAGAGCCCTCGATGGGGTTCTTCCCCCACCTGCTATGGTAACTTTGCCCGCCCGCAGGCAAGCATGACGGCTGGGGCCCCTCCTCTGCGGACGCGAATAGTAGGGCTGGCTATAAGGATTGCGTGACGCCCGAGTGTTCCTCTGCTCACGTCATTCAGTGGGATTCCCGCTAGCACCGGCTGACAAAAAGGCAAGCACCAGTCATTACCGATCCATGATGGGTCTGTTGCCGTTGTTACTTCCCACCTGCAGTCTGTCACCACGAAAACCCAACCATCGCAGCCACCTATGCCATCGGGGGGCATCCTAAGATAAAAGGGCCACGATGGAAACTAGTGGCCACGTGCCCGAGCAAGGGGCCGAGTCTTCTGGGCCAGGCTGCAGTGTCCTCCAAGACCACCACGGCTCGGATGCAGTAGATAAGAGCCAGGTGAATGCTCTCGGACATCAATATCCCCATGCGGACCAACAATCTCATCTCCCGCAAGCCGACAATACCACGCTCTCAGCCGCCCCCAGCGAGGCTCTGCTCCTCGACGAGAACCGTCGGCTCGAGGCACACGCAGCGCGGTTACAGGAGGATATACACGCATTGCTGGACGAGCTACTCCTGCATAGCTCGTGCGACGGAGGGCTCATCCCGAGAGCCCTCCTGGCAAAAACGGGTGCCAGAGACGGCGGCAGCCGTGGACCGTAGCACAAGGAATGGGGTTTGCTTTTGGCTTGTTTTGTCTTGTCCCCCTGTGCTGCGTCACGTCGTTACGGCTTTCTCATCTACTATACACTGGTGGAGGATGGACGATGACCACCTCGAGGACAATACAACGGTGAGGGGGGGGCTTTCGGGAGTACGTGCCGAGGCAAATGACAAGAGCAAAACCGGCCGCTGGCACAGATCCTTGGCTGTGCAGTGCCTGGTTCTCCTTGTCAGCCGCCTCGTTGTGCCACATGTTTGATCGGCAGGGTCTGCGATGTCGGAGGCTGACGAACATTCTTGTAAAAACACCCGAGATCTGCCCTGTCCGTAGTCGATCGTGAAACCTCCGCCTGACAAATATGGTATCTTCAAGCACTGCAGTTCTGGCCGCCCAGCTTTTGGCCGCCGTCATAACCAGGCCGAATATGCGCCACCGAGTTGCGGTTGAGCATAAGCACAGGACGTCCGTGCCCCAGCCGCAAGTAGCGGCTGCATTCCGGCGTGCGTCTGCCAGGAAGGCGCGGATGAAAGCGCCGGAGCCTAAGTGGCGCGTTCACGAGGCCAGCCCTGCGCCCGTTGGCCCACTGGCGCCAGGTTGCAAGGTAAGTCGAGACGTGACGGACGCCACCGGCTTCGGCAATATTAGAGCTCTGTTAAGACACTTTCCCCCCCTCCCCTCCCTCTGTCTCTGTCGCTCACTGTCTAAGGGGGGCCCCTAGACCCCTTTGGAATCACTACGCAGCAAAGGTTGACGCTGACGACCCCAACCACCACATCGTCGGAGGTTGCCCAACCCAGGGTTAGCCGAGTGCCTATGCTGACGTCGTGTCCGATGCTGCTGGTGGGTGCAGTCGGAAGCTAGCACGCATTCTCTCTCTCTCTCTCTCTCTCTCCTTGCTCCTCTTTTCCCCGCAGCGCGCCGGTGGGCAATTGGCTGCAGCCCGCATGCACGATTATGCAGTCGTCCGAGCTTGTTCTTCCTGGTCAACTGCCGCGGGGCGGAACGGCGATCCTGGGATAAACACCTATCCACCCCTCCCCCCCCCCCCCCCCCCCCCCATCCGTTGTGTGTATGCGTGGTCGTGCCGAGAACAGGCGGCGAAGCATATGGTATTCTGCAAGGTGAGAGATTCAAAAGACCCTTGGAAAGCCCCTCCCCCCCCTTTCCCCGGCCAGGTGCCAGGGCAAGACCAGGTAGACATGCAGGCAGGGAGCCCTTTGGGGAATCTCCGCCAGAAAAGGGACAAGCAACAAGCAATAACAGCCCGATCCCCCTGCCCAGCGGCTCGCAAGCATCACCTGTTGGGAGCCGGCCGCCGCCCCTCACTCCCCTCCCGAGGGAGAGACGGCCAAAGGAGCGGTGATGGGCCGCTGTGGTGCGAGCGAGCGAGCAACCACCCCTGGGATTGGGGAAGGAACGGACATCGAGACGAAACGAAGGGGGCGGGGGCGGAATGGTGCTCCCTGGCAAAACAAGCGCGCCAACCGGAGCCAGGCCCGACGCCAAAGGCGACTTGTATTGGCTGGACGAGCTCGGATCCGAGGGAACATGACAGAATGCTGAGGTTTTGACGACACAATGATGGATCCACTGCAGGGTAAGAAGGGCAGGGTTGGTGGTAATGAGGCGCGGCCCGGGCGGGCGTCCTGGGAGAGGAACCGGGAGATGGGACCTGTCGTGCTGAGTACGCAACACGACATGACATGTTTCGTGGCCCGGCTCCGGGGGGAATGCGACTTGGCGTCTTACGGCTGACAGGATGACATGGATGCCCGGTTCCACGGGAGACCTGGAGGGGTCCCACTCTCGGCCGAGCCCAGGTCTGAAACCAGCATGGGCGTTATCTCTAGGAATTCCCAGGGTGTCAGGCTTGATATTCCATTTTTGGTATCCGAGAATTTCATCATCGTCAAGGGGCTGTGTGAGAGAGAAAGAGAGTGTGTGTGTGACAATGCATCAAAATTCTAATCGCCGGTTTTTTATGGCTGAACCAGACCCCAAAACGCCGCGTCATGCAAAAAGCCATCAATCAAGTCTCGTGGGGGGGCAGCTCTTGGTGTCGCACACTCCGCAATGACACGTCCCCGGCTTTTTCCCATGATTACTCATCATCCTCTCCCGTCATTCACGCCTGTCTAATCGCTAAAGGCAAAACAAGATCTCGCTTCTACCTGGCCACGGCGGCCGACAGCACCTGCGTCCGGAAGAAGCCACCCTTTGTCCGCTCAATGACCTGCTGGTACACGGAGCTCGGCGGGTGGTTCATGACGACGGTGCCCTCCTTGTAGTCGATCTTGGCGTCCACGCGGGTGTCGCGGATGAGGTTGACGATCCACTTCTCGCCCTCGTCCTGGTTGAGGCCGAGGCGCTTGCTCAGGTCCTTGATGTCGATGCGGGCGTGGATCTTGCAGTAGCTCTCGGAGATGAGGTGGCGGGCCGAGTCGACAAAGAGGTCGGCGCTGGGGGTGAGGAAGAAGTCGGCCCGCAGGATCTCCTCGGCGAGGGAGAGCTGCTTCTGGGCCTCCTCAAAGTCAAAGTCGATGTACAGGGCCTTGACAAAGTCGGTGACGGGGTCGCTGTACTCGTACGCCTCCTGCTTGACGATGCGGATCATGTCCTTGAGCTGCTTCTGGTACTGGTTCGAGTTGCGGGCGCGGCTGCGGCCGGTAATGACCGAGGCGGTCAGGTACCGCAGGATCCACGGGCAGCTGGTCTGGATGGTGTTGATGTAGGCCGGGCTGAAGAAGAGCTCGAGCAGGCCGTCGCGGACGGCGTCGTCGTTGAAGAGCGGGAACAGCGCCCAGTGCAGGAGCCACGTGCGCTGCGTCAGCTGGGCGAGCGGGTTGTTGTAGAGCTTGGTGTCGATGTTCTCCTTGACCTTCTGCATCTCCTCGACGCTGCCCTCCCAGTTGGTGGTGAGGATCTCGCAGGCAAACTTGCCCCAGGTCGCAGAGTTGACCTTGTCGTTGTCCGTGGACAGGACGCGGAACTGGTAGAGCAGGTCGGCCGCCGCGCCGTAGTCGCCGCAGCTGTACTTGAAGTTGCCAAAGTCGTAGAGCGCGTCGACCATCTCTGGGGTGACGCCGTGGTCCTTGTTGAGGAAGTCCAAGTTGGCCACCTTGTCGCTGCGCAGGTTGCTGACGACGTCCTCCCGGCCCAGCAGGTCCGTGAGCTTGGCCGTGTTCTTCTCGTACTGCTCCATGCGGGCAATGACCTGCTGCCGCTTCTCGTTGAACTCGGGCGCGGGCTCGTCGAGGCCGTCCAGCTCGGCCTTGAGGCTGCCGATGAAGTCGGTCATGTTGGTCGTCTTGAGCAGCTCGTACTTGGCCTGCGTGACCGCGCGGACCTCGTCGTCGGACGCATCCTCGGGCAGCTGGCCGGCCTGGAAGTCGAGCAGCGGGAAGATGAGGTGCCGGTCAAGGTGCTTGACCAGCTTGGGCAGGAGATCGTACTGTTCCGCCATGATGGGTGGTTGTCTGTCGTCGTCGTCGTGTGTCGTCGGCGGCGTCGTCGTCGTCGTCCTTCAGGCACCACCTGCGCAGCTTGGGCTATGGAGGGGCAGAATAAAAGTCGGCACGCGAATAATAGGAGGAAAAGTGGGTTGTGGGTAGGCCAGAGAGGGGAGGGTTCAGCCGAGCTTTTGCCGGGGGAGTGTCCCAGCGCCGACAGTGCAGAGAAACACAGTTTTCTGTGACTGAAAGGGATGATAATGACTTGTCATGAGCTATTGCATCTTTGACGGCAATACGGTGTCTCGTTGTGTCGTGATGCTGCATCGACAAGCTGGCCTCGAGATGTACCTCTGGGCAAACGATAGCGATAACACTTTAGAGAGTGGGGTTCAACTCCAAACGAGGCTGATGACTAACCCATATACCTACCCTGGAATGGGGCGCGGGCCTGCCGTGTTGCATGGCGAGATCCCTGCCGAAAAGTGAAGATGTTGGCGATTGATTCCTGACACGACCTCGCAACGTCTCGTGGTTCAGCTCGAAGACCCAGCCTATCGCGAAGATGCTCACACGGACACTCCGGCCACTGGCCGCCCTCGTCCGGCCCGCGCAGGCCCGCCAATCCCAGTCGGTGGCCGTACCTCACCTCCGGTCACTCGTCACGAGCAGCACAGCAGAGCCAGCTCAACCGGCTGAGACGATAGCCACCACATTACCAGCCGAGCCTGTCGCGAGCTCCTCAACTGCGCCGAGAGCCAAGGTCCCTTACTATGTCGGCAAGAACAAGTTTGAGAACTTTGGTGTCTACCACAAGACGAAGCGCGGAGGAAACCTCAAGACGACCGAGATCAAGATGGTGGACGGCAACATTGCGTCTCTGAAGGAGGATCTCAAGGCTGCGCTCGAGCTCGGAAACGGGGATATTGCCTTTAACAACACCACGAGGCATATTGTCATCAAGGTGAGGGGATCTTAGTGCGTGCGCGTGTTGATTTATGCAGATGCTGACGTTGATTGTGCAGGGCCACAAGAAGCCGCAAGTCATCAACTTTCTGAACAACATGGGCTTCTGAGCGAGCCACGATCTACGAATCCGTTAAAAGTACCGAGCTGCAGAAGTGTAGCAGCCGAAAGGCATTCGCCAGTGGCCTTGGAGTTCCAGGGGCTCAGAGATTGCGAAGCACACCATATAAGACACCATCAGATTGAGGACGACAAGCAAATACCCGCGCCGCGGAACGGCGTTGTACCATGAAATGAGTCATGTCCCGCTATGGCTGTGGGCATTGTATTTATACCTGAACAAACGGGAAGCAGGAGCCACAGTCAGAGAGGCTTGGGGTCTCTCCTTAGACTGCTTGCAGTCATCAGCCAGAGAGGCCGTGACGAGTGACCAACACATATAAATAGGCAGATGAGCTCTTGCGACAGTATTAGAGTGGATATACAAGACCAGCGACCCGAATTCATACAATCCGACAGGCAGCGCCGGTGTCGTGAAGAGGCTGCGTGGCTTGTGGGGATACCAACGCCTCATGTTTGCACTTTGAAATATTGAGCTCCCAGGCATCCAGGCTCTTCAAACTTGGGATCTACAGCAGGAACTAGCGCCATCAGGCTTCTGCCTGAGTGTGCCTCGTGCGACGCGATTTTGACCGTGCAGAGCGTTTGCAGGCATCACTCACCCACAGGGCCGACAGTCGTTGCAGCCAGCCAGCGCACCACTACGTACACAGCCTCACCCTGCGGCTACCTGGCGGTCAGCCTCTGGCTTCACACATATTCACGACCACTCTCAAACATCGTCAAGAAGTCTTGCGTCCCTTGCGACGCCGATTTTGTTTCTTCTCATTTTGCTTGCCAGTTGCCTGCGTCATCATTTACGTCATCCCCGCTTTGCCTCACCTCAGCATCAGCTACGACTTCTGCATCCATTCAACTTTCCTAGATGAGTCCAACACCCTGAACACGCGCCTTTGCCCACCATGTCGAGCCGCGTGGGGAGCGACAGTAGCATGCTCGGCCTGGCGGGCAACTCCGTCTCCTTCCAGCGGCTCCTCGAGAGCAGCGCGCCAGGCTTCCGCTTCTTCCAGCGCTTCTTCCAGACCTGGCTGAACCTCGACCTTACCAGCCTCGCCCTCGCCCTCACCGTCTTTGGCGCCCTCTCGTCCGGCGCTCAGCACCTGCAGGGCATCGCGCTGCGCATCTCGGGCTGGATCACCCGGTTCTTCACCGCCTCCATCTCCATCTCCGGCACCGACCGGCTCAATCGCGAGGTGCTCAACTGGCTCGGCGCCAATGTCCTCGCCCGCCAGCAGACCAGGATCCTGACCGCGCAGTCGGAGGATGTGAACGGCGACCACTACGCCTATCGGCGGGCGTCGATGCAGCGCATCGACTTCTTCCACGAGAAGCGCGTGCCCATCCAGTATCTGCCTACGTTTGGCGTGACATGGTTCTTCCACGAGCGCAATCTCTTCTTTGTGCGGCGGGTGCCCGACTCGAGCGCGTCCCGCAGCAGCAGCTTCGGGAGCGAAATGCCAGATGAATATGCGGTGGCCCCATCGGGCTACGAGCCGCTGGTCGTGATGTGCCTCGGCCGGTCCGTGAACCCGGTCAAGCGGTTCCTCTCGACCTGCCGGGACTTTGCAGAGAAGCAGCGCGAGGCGTTCATCACCGTCAGGGCGTCGCGCAACCAGCACTACAGGGAAGCCTGGGACACAACCATCCTCCGGCCGATGCGCCCGCTCGCGACGGTGCACTTTGACAAGACAGTCAAGGACGAGCTGGTGGCCGACATTGAGAACTACCTGAAGGCATCGACGCGGAGATTCTACATGGAGAGGGGCATCCCCTACAGGCGTGGCTACCTCCTGCACGGCCCGCCCGGCACCGGCAAGACGTCGTTGTCGTTGGCACTCGCCGGCTATTTTGGCCTCGAGCTGTACCTGCTGCACCTGCCCACGATCAGAGAGGATGGCGATCTGGAGCGGCTCTTTGTCACGCTGCCGCCGCAGTGCATCGTGCTGATCGAGGACATTGACGCAGTCGGCCTCAAGCGGCAGCAGAAGCAGGATGACAACGACGACGGGGCCAGCAGGCCGTTGCTGTCGCCACGCGCGGGCCACTGCACGCTGTCCGGCCTGCTGAACGTCCTCGATGGCGTCGCGTCCCAGGAGGGCCGCATCGTCCTCATGACGTCCAACTTTGCCGACAAGCTCGACGAGGCCCTGGTCCGGCCCGGCCGCATCGACCGCATGATTTTCCTGGGCAACATCAGCAAGGACGCCGCCAGGCTCATGTTCCTGCGCATGTACATGCCCGACCACAGCGCGGACCTCGAGGCGGCGGCTGCATCTACCGTCCAGGTCGACGAGGAGCAGCTGGCGGAGCTGGCTGCCGAGTTTGGCGAGATCATTCCTGATCACACATTCACTCCAGCACAGCTACAGGGTTACCTGCTCAAATACCGCAACGCGCCCATCGACGCGACCAAGGACCTTGCTGAGTGGAGTGAGAAGGAGATGATCCGCATGGAGGAGGCGCGGGCGCGGGAAAAAGAGGCCGCTGAGCGGCGCGCCAAGAAGAAGGCCCAGGCTGGCTTGAGGAGGCTGAGGCTTGCGTTGGAGCACGGTGGTGGTGGCATGGACAGTGAGGGCGAGGATGGCGATGGTCTCGAGAGGGGGGAAGTCGGGGAGGACAAGCAGCTAGGAGACGATGCTCCAGACGTTACTGCGGAGGTTGTGGCAGAGGCAGCCGTAGAAGAACCGCCAAAGAGCACAGAGGCGGCTGTGTAGATGTCTGTAGACCTCTACCATTCACGAATCATAGACTAACGACTCTAGAGACTCTTCTTGGCATGAGCTCCCTGACGCGCAAGGCCGCTCGGGTGGTCTGAATGTCTAAACGAGAGCACGCGTATCATCGTAACAGCCAGTCAAATAACAAAATTATTTCCCATTACACACGCTACATACAACTAATACGTGCCGTCCGCCTTCAACTTCGTGAATCCTGGGAACTGACTAAACTGCGAGTCGTCAAACTGGGTGAGCTGCGGACAGCTCAACTCGCTCGTAACCGACCCGACGGCGCTCGACAGCTGGCTCACGGCCGCGCCAACATCGCTCACCAGCGGCTTGAGCAAGTCCGGCGCCATCTGCAGGGCGGCCTGGACGGCAAAGCACACGGCGTTGTTCCCCTCGAGCAGGTTCTGGGCGTTGAACACGCCGCCCGTCAGGTTAGACGGGTCGACGCCCGTGAACGAGTTGACCGTGCCCGTGTTGCCGCCGACGGGCAGGAACTCGAGGTGCTGGAGCTGCATGGCCGTCGCGTCGAGCGTGAGGTACGGGATCGTGTACGCATCGACGGGGTTGCGCTTGTACCAGTTGTCCGGGAACTTCTCGTGCCCTTGCTGGTGGCTGAAGTTGGGGTAGTCGCCCGTCACGCCGTAGAACGACTTGAGCGTCTCCCCGTCCAGCACGCCCTCAGGGTTCTCGGCCGTGTGGTTCGCCATGAACCGGTAGATGAAGGTGTACGCGGCCGAGCTGACAATCGTGCCGCTGAACGGCGCGTAGAAGAAGTACGGGTTCTCGGAGATGGACTGCTGGAAGCGCTGGGCGCGCCAGTTGGTCAGAACGCCCAGGTCGACCGAGTCTCCGTTGGTCTGACCCAGCTCGTACAGCGACTTGAACTGCGAGAGCTGGAGGACGTTGTTGCCGCTGGGAAGATTGTTAGCTGTGGTTGTCGCTGTGATTTAAAAAGTGGGACTCGGAAAAGTGGGACCCACTACTGGTACAAGTCGCCATACACGGGCGAGGTGTCACTCTCATATTTATTGTGAGAACCCGACAGACCCTGTGGCTGGCCGAGCAGGCCACCGACGAGTGGCAGGGAAGGAGAGGGCCCGCCAATGCTATATGATGTGAGGTCGCCGTCGAAAATGGCGCCATATATGGCGAGAAAAGTCGCCAGATCAACGCCCATGCCAAACGCCGCCTGGCAGCCCTCGATAAAATCGGCAATGGTGCCGATTCCGTTATGCGGAAAATAGTTATGATTGGCCATCGCATTTAATCCAGGGCAAGGTCCTCGGCGATCTCCAGAGCCTGGCGCGACAAAGGCGTGATCCCCTTGGTTGCTCAAAAGGGGGGCGTAACGCCAGGGGCTTGTCTCTTGGCCTTGGCAAATGGGCAATCCCCGATACTACGCTCCTGCTGAGCGTGTACCATGCCGGCCACGGCATCTGACAAGCCAGCTGGGAATGCCTGGGCGATTTGCCCGGCGGAAAGGCTGAGGGCCGCGATTGTTGTGATGGTAGACCGCATTTTGATGATGATCGTGATGTCTGCTTCTGCACGAACCTTCATAGAAACCCCGGATCTTCTTGTTCTTTAAATAACAAGCCCACTGACCATATCCCCGCGGAAGAAATTCCATCTGCCGAGGCTGACCCCTCAGCCAGCGCCACTGACGAACACCTCAGTCCTGTTGATCTGTCTCACCTTCCCTGTTGAGGACCCTGCTCCGAGACCACGGGAAGCTTGTCGTGACACGGCATTAGTAACCAACGCGGAGAAAGAAGCTTAGCCGTGCGTAACAATACCTCCGCTGTCGATCGTGAGGCGGATCTGTCAGTGGCGTGGGACATTTCAAGGGTCAGCAAAGCTGCCTGCCATTGGCTGGCTCCAGATCGTGGCGTCGGCTAGCGCGTGGAGGGCGTGCGGAGTGGCGGTTGGGCTAGCCGCGCACGCCTGGGGGGGGGGAAAGGCTTGTCGCTTCGTCATCGTTGGGGTCGGGTCCATCAGGTGCCGGCGTTAGCTGGGCAGGCTAGACTGGAACGGGGTCATGCATGTCATGAGAAGGGGGGAACTTATTCAGGCTGTTTTCTGGTGGCTTCTTGGTTTGGGGAGCTACTTCCCTTTTCATGCTGGTGAAGGAGCGACATTGTGGTCAGGAGGGCGGAAAAATGACTCGAAGGCGCTTTACAGAGTCATGGAACCTGTTTATTGTCAAGGGCTGGAAACTTGAAGATTGGTAGTCCCGCTACCGGGCGGGTGCCACAGCTCTTTTTTCAAAACTGTTGCCTCTGCTCAGGCCAGTGCCAGAAGCCACCAAGCGCAAAGTTTTCGATGGTCTGACAAAGGGGCTCAAGACCTTCTAGTGTAGCCTTGTATGGCTGTTCATTGCTAATCGTTGGCACTGGGTCGGTCGCGAGGCCGTAGAGGAGCGCCACAAATCTCCCTAGGCCTCACTGAAGACAATGTTTCGGAACAAGTCGCCGCAGGGCACAAGGCTAGCTTCAATGTTCCACCGCCGCACAATGTCCGCCGATCCACCAAGTGCAACGCAGCTTCAATTTGTCCATATTGCATAATCTGGATCAAGGAACGAACAATGGTCCGATTGTCGGCCTTAGTTAGAGCCCCTTTACGTAGTTCACACTGCAGTAAGCACACCTCATGCTTGCGTGCTTGAAGTTGTCATGACTTCAGACCTTTTAATCTTCTCATTCACCTGCAGTATCTCCTGGGGATGATTTAGGCGAAAAATGGCACAGACCTGCTCAGCAGCAAGAAAACTGAACTTGCCCTCATCCTCTTTGTCTGCAGTGAGGTTGTTTCCGCGGAGCTTCTCCACAAGAGCCTTGCCGTTGACTCGTCCGATTAAAAGGCGGCACATAAAAATGTCAACCTCGCCCAGCAGCTTCTCAGAATACGTTCACGTGACCCTCTTTCAGATCCGCCACCGCATACGGGGTGCTCACGATCAGCAACTTCTTGATGAGAGTTAGCATCATTAACCATGCAGAAGCACATCTGCCGGCGTCGATGTCCCAAGTCATCACCAACTCACAGAGACGTTTGATCGTCTCAAAGTGTGGTGGGATGTCGCCCTCGAGAGGGACGATAGTTAGAACGGTCTCATACATCTGGCCTCCGCGAGAGAGCACCCTCTGGCAGAGGGGCGTGGTCGACAGCGCGTCATTCCGGAGGAAAGACTTGCCGCGGGGGCTTGCCCAGACGTGTCCAGTGTCTCTGGGAACTGCACAACTCACCACTATGTGTCCGTGTGTCAGCAGGACGACCTCCACAGCAGCCTGCCTGAGGTATCATTATCGCGTGCAAGGCCCACCCCGTTTGCTGGTGCCTGAAGAGACCTGAGAGCATTCCAACGACAAACGAAATCGATTCTGCATGCCTCGCGCAGTCTGCGATCTGGCCCCAAGTCTTGACACAACAATGGGACGTCTGAGTACATCTGATTGTCCATTGCTGATGCCTCCAGGGTTGCGGAGTTTCATTGCGCGGGGGCCTGCCTCAACAATTCACATCATTCAATGGTCCTGATTGTTGGTCTGCCTGGCCAAGCAACTCTTTGCATAAATTCGACGTCTCCCGCCGCACCTTGGACAGTTCATCCAGTCAATCACGGACCTACCAAACCACCATCCCCTCCCCACCTTCTCTGGCATCCTCTCATTCAACACCCAGGGCCGTCTACACCAAGCTTCTCTTCAAAGCATCACCACCCGAGGTTATGAGCCCGGGGTGCAGTGAGCAGTCACAGGCAGGGCACCGGTCAGTCTCTCCCTGTCTTCGTATACATGTCTGCGGAGTTACTGACGAAAACAGCGACAGTGCAGCGGGCAGAGCCAATCGATGCCAAGCACGGCGATCGATGCTGGCCCGGACGACTAGCCAGACGACCTCAAGGCACGCGACGAGAGACTCACGCAGCTCAAGGCCCAGGTCTAGGACGCCAGATCGGAATGGAAGTCTGACTAGTTTCATCGAGAGGAGCTAGAGCACAAGATACAAGAGCACGAAGCGGCCAGCTCTAGAGTGTGACGAGCAGCAGAGTCTACGAAGAGAGCGCTAAGGCCAGGGAACTCGAGGCCAACGTCCAGAGACTCCAGGGTGAGAATGTACACCTCCGCGCAGAAATTACAGGACACCTGAAGGCTCATGAAGTGCGTAGCAGCAGGTCAAGAAGCCCCGCATGGCGGATACCACAACCGCAACGGCTAATGAGGATTATCGTGCGGGAGTAGATTAACTCTGCTCTGCGGTGCTGCACGGCCACCTGCGAAGACGAGTGCGGTCTGAGCCTCAAGGACGTCGCTATCGAGCTTGCTGCACATGCGTCGGGGATGCTGAAGGCGAAAACCCGGCACGCACAGCTCCTCCGCGATTACGACGTCGACACATTCGTCCAGCGTCCCCTCGCGACGGAAGAAACGTGCCCTGCGTGGGCGCAGGACATTCGTCTGTTGGCCCTTGAGCTCGTCCATAACTGGGAAGGTGTGAGCCTGAACAAGATTCCTCAGCTGGCACCAGTCATGCCTCGTAGGCTCGAGGAGGCTTTCCGGCACAACTTCATCTCTGGATGTACCACTGGAGATGATGGCTACTGGCTGACCGACAAGGGACGGTCGATGCGAAGCCTGATGCGCAACATGGGGGGTATGAGCTGGGCATCCGCATGGCTCGCCACGAGTGCAGCCAGGCACGACGACCCCGTCTGTCAGAACGTCCTCGTCTTCATGGCGGCCCTCATCGAGTCAGGCGCAGAGTCCAATCTCTGCTCTCCATTGCCGTCCCCGCCCATGACTGCGAGCCCGCCATCGTCTCAGGCCCGCGAATACACCTGCTGTGCCCGCATCTGTAGAGACCGCGCCCACCACGGCACGCTCTGGTTCACACTCGGGGTGCTCCTGGGTGTTCTTGAGACTGGGAACTTCGCTCCCAATCGTACTCACCAGGACTGGCTCGAGATCAAGTGTGGCTATGCCCAAGTCGTCAGCGACAAGGCCGATGCGATCTTCCAGGAATTGGGTATGGCACGACACGACATCGACAGGCTGGTGAACATGCCTCTGACACAGCCACAGCTCACCATGATCGACAAAGAGCTCGCGTGGTCACATCTCCACCAACTCGTGTTCGCAAAGGCTGATATTCGCTATGCCGAGATTGCGAGCATCGACATGACAGACTGTTGTTCGCTGGCGTCAGTTCTTTATGCTGGGGATCCCAGTCAACTCAGCATCAACGAATGGCTCGAGAACAACAATTTTCGCTCCTGCTACTTTGCGTACCGCGAACTACGCCAGGCCAAGCTCGACGGCAGCCCCGAACAGTATTTTGTGACTGGTCTGACAGTCATCCCTTCCAGCGCACTGTTGGATATCGCTCGCCAGACCAAGACTCAGTGGCCCCTCACAGTCATTGGTGCACAAACGAGCGAGACATTCTTCCAGCTCTCTCCAAGTCAATCGAATGCAGTCATGGCCATGACCGAGTCTTCACGCACATCGTCCGTTCGGGACCCTCAGAGCCACGCGAACCTCGTTACACCGGCCGACGAGCTCAGGGCGGCATTTGAAGCTGTCGGCGATATCCGAGCGAAATTTCCGGGCCAATCCAGTCTGCAAAGTGTGTTGCTGACAAGCACTTTCCCAACCAGTCCTCTGCCCCAGACGGACACACAACTCGATCACCAGACTTCAGCCGAGATCGATGCTGCCGCTGTCGTGTTGTGGCACCTGTACGCACACGTTCACATCTCGAAGAGGGGCGATCCCACCGTGAGCACTGCCGATGCCACTGCTTTGATGCATGCAGAAGACGAGCGCAACACACTGCTGCGCTTCATATGGGCCGATTTCGAGCAGGATAAGCAGAATCTTTTCCACAATGTTGCAGCACAACATGCCATCCGGACGCAAATCGCAGGCGAGTTCCTGACTTCGGGCGGCAGCCATGAAGCAATCACTTGTGCTAACCTCCTGTTCTCGCCGCTGATGCTCAACACACTGTGGAAGCGCGACGGATTCCGCTATGGGGCAGCAGACTGTCGTGCGCGGGAAACTCAGGAAACGGCATGTAGATTAGCAAACGATTGTTGTGTTGGAATCGAGTCATAGGCCTGCATCATACCCAAACCGAGATCAGTTCTGGAGTAGGCGATGAACGACACAAACAAATAACTAGCGTAGTCATCAATGAAGTTCTGACAAACCACTGGCATACTCACCCGTCTGCCACGGGGGCGCGCGGGTCTAGGCCGGAAGAAGGTTCGGAATGGCTTCCGACAGCAATCCGACGCTATACTCGGCCAGCATGTTTGAATACCTAAGTAAGTCATTGAACACATGCCCTGCCACAGCATGCCGAGAAAAACAAACACAACACAAGCAATCATGGGCAGCCTCAACACCAACTCCACGGCCGCGTACACGGTGCCTCTCGTAATCAACAACGAGGAAGTCCGCACCACGACCACCTTCCCGGTTATCAGCCCACTCGATGGCCGCGAGATCTGGACCTGCTCGTCCGCTTCTACACAAGATGCACTTTCCGCCGTGGCTGCCGCACAGGCCGCCTTCCCAGCATGGTCGCGAACCAAGCCATCGGAGCGGCGTGATTTGTTCCTGCGGGCGGCGGACATCATCGAGCGCCGCAAGGAAGAATTAGGTCACTACATGCACCTCGAGGTTGGCGCCGACAAGGCCTACCAGGAATTCATCCTGGGACTGTCGATCGAAGGTCTGCGGGACACGGCCGGGCGGATCGCGGGAGCGGTGCAGGGCTCGGTCCCTGAGTCGAACCACGCCGGGATGAAGGCCATCATATACAAGAAGCCATATGGCGTCGTGCTGGGGATCGCCCCTTGGAACGCTCCTTACCACCTTGGCCTCAGATCTGTCACGTTTGCGCTGGCGGCAGGGAACACGACGATCCTCAAGGGACCCGAATTCTCGCCGCGATGCTACTGGGCGATTGTCGACGTGTTCCGCGAGGCCGGGCTGCCGACAGGATGCCTGAATCTGATCCTGCACCGGCCTGCAGACGCAGCGGCAGTGACGGAGGCGCTGATAGCGGCGCCCGAGGTCAAGAAGACCAACTTTACGGGCAGCTCGGCCGTGGGCAGCATCATTGCGTCGCTGTCGGGCAAGTACCTCAAGCCTTCGCTGATGGAGCTGGGAGGGAAGGCGAGCGCGATCGTGATGGCGGACGCGGACCTGAGCAAGGCTTCGATGCATTGTGCGATGGGTGCTTTCATGAATGTGAGTGTTGAACCGGGTGGAAAGTGATTCTTCGACTGACGCCTCGCAGGCCGGCCAAATCTGCATGTCGACGGAGCGGATCATTGTGCACTCGTCCGTCGCCGACAGCTTCCGGCAGAATCTCAGTGACCAAGTCAGTCGCATCTTTGGCACGGCCGAGACGATCCCCGTGATCATCACGGCAGCCTCGGCCAGACGCAACCGCGAGCTCATTAAAGACGCCGTCTCACAAGGGGCCGAGATCATCGGTCACGTCTCTTCCCCGAACAAACAGCACTGGCCCGAAACCAAGATGCGGCCCACCATCGTCACCGGGCTCGATCCCAGGATGAAGTTGTACTTGACCGAATCCTTTGGCCCCAGTGTGTCACTATTCGCGTACGAGACGGAGGAGGATGCGGTGGCGCTGGCCAACAACACGGACTACGGCCTGTCGGCGGCCGTCTTCAGCGAGAATTTGGGCGCAGCCTTTCGCATCGCCGACAAGCTCGAATCGGGCGCGGTGCACATCAACTCGATGACGGTGCACGATGAGTTTGCGCTGCCGCACGGGGGTGTCAAGAGCAGCGGCTTCGGGCGGTTCAACGGATATCAAGGGCTGGAGGAGTTTCTGTACTGCAAAACCGTGACTTGGATGGAGTAGTGAGTGGGCTGGGCAATCATTGATGTGGGATTGTTTGCGCCCCAGGCAGTCACGACACCTGTGGTTTGATTCATGGCAGGTGCGACCACGAGGACCAACAATGCCAGACACGTAGTCAGGTCTTTTGTTATATACAGCAAGTCGTGTAGACTCACATTTTATGAAACTACAGCCTCGACCTCTCTCCACGATACACCATGTGCTCCACCTCGGCCGTGTTGACCAGCTCCGGCGCGGCATCCTTGCCAAGGTCGGTCATCCCGCACAGCTGCATGGCCGTCCGGATCTCGTCGTGCAGGATCCCCGCGAGGTGCTCCACGCCCTCCTCGCCATAGTTGACGGCATACATGAAAGGCCGCCCGAAGCCCACCGCCGAGGCGCCCAGGCACAGCGCCTTGACCACGTCGGAGCCTCTACGGAACCCGCCGTCCACCAGCACCTTCATCCGCGCAAACACCTGTGGGCAGTGCCGGCGCAGCTCGAGCAGCGCCACAATCGACGGTGGCGCCGTGTCCGCCGCCCGCCCACCGTGGTTGCTGACCACGATGCCGTCGACTCCCCGGTGCATCGCCTCGACCGCGTCTTCCCACCGCTGGATCCCCTTGATCACAATCGGCAGCCGCGTCGTCCGCCGCAGCCACGGCACGTCGTCCCACGACAGACTCGCGTCGATGAACGAGCTGCCCTGCCTCGTGAACCCGGCACCCTTCTTGTCACGCTTGCTGCCGCCACCCGGATTGACGACCCGCTCGTCGGCCTCGCGCTTCGAGATCACGGGGCAGTCCACCGTCACGAATAGCGCCTTGACTTTGCCCGACGCCTCGGCTCTCCTGATCGCCTGCTCCGACTTTTTCCTATCCTTGTCCACGTACAGCTGGAACCACGCGCGCTCCGGCGTGGCCTCGAGGATCTCATCGTGCGGGTACGAGCTCGGCGTCGCGAAGCACTGCACGATGCCCGTCTTGTGGGCGGCGCGTGCCTGGTCGAGCTCACCCTCCCCGCCAGCCATCTTGACCGCGCCCGTAGGCGACATGTAGACCGGCATGCTGAGCCTGCAGCCAAACAGGGTCGTGGAAGTGTCGGGCTGCTTGCTCACATTCCGCATGACCGCTGGCCGCAGCCAGATCCGCCAGAGATAGGCCTGGTTCGCATCGCGGGTGATGTTGTCGTTCGAGCCGCCGTGGATATAGGCCCAGGCTTTCGGTGTGAAGGACATCGAGGCGGCCTTTTCAAAGTCGTCGAGGTTGATGAGCTCGTCGAGCTGGGGTCTGCCATTGCTGCTGCTCGTGACCTCCATGTGAGATTCAGCTGGTCCGGGTGGCGGGATCGTGGACCGATCGATATTGCCGATGAATGCTGACGTCTTGCCAAGTTCCTTGCGAATCAGCGATGAGCTGTGCACCGAACCGTACGACGCAGTGGCGTCGCGGCCCGCGTGCTCGAAAATAATCTCTGGCCCGCCGGGATGCTCGCCCGCAAAGGCTGTCATGTCGTACACTTCATTGTTGACCACCAGCCAGAGATCGTCCTCCTTGCCATGCTGCTGCACTTCAGCCCACGTGACGACGCGTGCCATTGTCGACAGGGCTCTTTGTCCATATCTAGGAAGTGACAGGAAGCGACGCGTTGTCTTGTCGGACAACTTATAGGAAAGCGATCCCGGCTTCGCTGGAGTGCCGGTTCGCTTCCGTCGCCGATCACGTGCATTCGGGATGTTCCCGGACCAATCACGGCAAAGCTCCCCACGGGGGTCACCAAGGCGGAGGAACCGACGGAAAGGGGTTTGAGGAGCAATTACAGTTCAGCCAGTCCGCGCGCTTATAGCTAGCGGCAACGCAGACCCTGGTAAGCGGGGGTCGCACTTGCAACCTCCCCCCTGCCAGTCTATCTGGACTTTATCGCCAGCCCCCGGCCGAGTGTCCCGGGGCAGCGTCGGGTGGATAGTCTCTTATCTTCTGTCTGGGATGACGACGACAGGCCAGCCTCGCGATAAATACAAGGGCGTTCATTGTTGGAACTGCCCAGCATCAAATGCCAACACCATTCCAAGACTCGAAAATGTCTCTAGACGCAGCCGACGACAAAAAGATGCGCAAGTCGACGTCCGAGGTCGCCATGTCTGACGACTTGCAAGACTCCAAGAACGGCCTGTCCCGGCTGGAGACGGGCACAGGGGTCGGCCAAGTTGTGGAGGTGGGTTCACCGGATCCTTCAACAGATCGAGGTACTGACCAACACCAGCTCAGTAAAACATTCACCACACTGTCGACCTTTTCCCTGTCCCTGTCCCTCATGGCGACATGGGAGACGCTGCTGAGCACCATGGGCCTGGCGCTCGTGAGCGGTGGCACCGTGTCTCTCGTCTATGGGTTTCTGCGTAAGTTTTGCTCAACGGAGAGTGGGACTTATACCACCGTGCTGACAACTCTGTCCAGTCTCGTTTGTGGGCAACGTGTGCATCGCCATGTCGCTGTCTGAGCCGGCCTCCATGCACCCCAACGCCGGCGGGCAGTACTTTATGATCAGCGAGCTCAGCTCGTCCCGCACACGGGCCATCCTCAGCTTCTACACGGGCTGGATCAGCCTTCTCGGCTGGGTTGCCCTGACCGCATCGGCGCCCTTTGGTGCCGCCAACATCATCCAGGGCGTAGTCGTGCTCAACTACGAAGACTACGTCCCGCAGACATGGCACTGGTATCTCATCTACGTCGCGGTGACGCTCATCGCCTTTGGCCTCAACATCTTTGGCGGCCGCGTGCTGCCAGTCCTCGAGAACCTGATCATGGCGCTGCACGTCATCTTCTTCTTCATGATCCTGATCGCCACCCTCGTCCTCGCCCGCGGGAACTACCAGCCCGCCGAGTTTGTCTTCACCCAGTTCTCCAACGGCACTGGCTGGGACAGCGACTTTGTCGCCTGGGGCATCGGCATGGTCACCTCGGCATACATCATGATCGGATACGACTCGGCCGCCCACATGGCCGAGGAGATGCCCGACCCACGCCGGGGCGTGCCGCGGGCCATGATCGGGTCCATCATCGTCAACGGCATCATGGGTTTCGCAATCGTCATTGCCGTGCTCTTCAGCATCCAGGACTTTGACGCCGCGCTCTCGGCCCGCACGGGGTTCCCCATCATCGAGATCTTCCGGCAGCTGACGGGCGGCAGCAACCTCGCCGCGGCGTCCGCCATGTCCTGCACCATTGCCGTCTCAGCCGCCCTGGCGACCGTGGGCCTCGTGGCGTCCACGTCGCGCACCCTGTGGTCCTTTGCGCGCGACGGCGCCCCGGCCTTCTCCGGCAAGATCGCCCGCATCAGCCGCAGGACCCACGTGCCCTTCAACGCCGTCGCCGTCGTCATCGTCGCCGTGCTGCTCCTCGGCGCGCTCAACGTCGCGTCCACCGCGGGCTTCAGCGCCGTCCTGTCCATCACCGTCGTCGGCCTCTCCCTGTCCTACCTGGTCCCCATCGTCGCCATGCTGTACCGCCGGCTGCGCACGCCCGACATGCTCGCCTGGGGCCCCTGGCGCATGAACCCCGTCGTCGGGGTCGCCGTCAACGTCGCGTCGATCGTCTACGTGCTGTTCCTGACCGCGCTGCTGGTCCTGCCAACGACCGTGCCGGTGGTGGCCGCCAACATGAACTACGCCTCGCTGATCCTTGGTGGCGTGGTGATCCTCGTGAGCGTGGACTGGGTTTTGCGGGCGCGCAAGAGCTTCAAAGGGCCTGTCGCGCTTGTGGACGTGTGATGCAGTTTTCGAGAGGCGCAGGTGTGTGTGCGCGTGGGGAAATCGATGGAAATTTGCTAGCTCCGGGGGTCCCAATTCGTTTTTATTTTTCTTTCCTATGCCATACCAAATGTTGTACCCTGACCAATGAATACATTATTGCGCCCAGACCCCCTCCTCCCCAATGATACATGCACAAGACGCCTCAAAGCTGATACCCGAAATCCATCCACGAATCACTTCCGGCGTCAACCCCACTGCCACCACTGCCGCTGCTTTCTGTGAAGAACAAGCCTGGTCCTGGATCGTCCTCAAACATCATGGTGTGGTGGTAATCGGGGAACGTCATCCCGAGGATCGAGGTCTCGTCCATGGCCAGCTTCGGGCTCGAGAAGTCCACCAGGACGCCCGCACCAGTAGTCGTAGCGGACGTCGAAGCCGGCATGCCGCACATAATAAAGGATGAGCAGTCGGGCGGGAACGTCGTAGATGTCGCCGAGAGTGGTTTTGCGACATTCGAGGAATCTGCTTCCACTGAGAAAGTACGTCAGATTTGTTTCCAAGAACGACGTCACCTGTACAGAGCTTACCCTTCCTGCTGTCCAGCACATGCACGAGCTGCCGGAGGTGCTCGATGCACCGATCGACGAGAACATTGTTGGCCGCCATTGCGTCGAGCGCTTCGATGGCTTTGATGAGTGCCTCGCGACCTCGAGTCGCTTGTTGCCGGCTCTCCAGGTGACCACCACCTTGTTGTGAATGCGGCGAGGAGACATCTGACGGGACTTGCTCCGTACTGTCCTGTGGTGGGACGGCAGGTTGCAGGAGCAGGACACCAAAGACTGTGAGCGAGGCATTAAACGCTGTGAAAGCGCAGGACCCGGTCAGCTGACACAACCAGAAAAGAGAGCCAAAGCATTCTCACCATAACACAGAGTAAACCACCACGCCCCTAGCATGTGCTTTCCCAGATCAGGCCGCGTGACAACGGCGTGTATCAAAGATATCGACTCGACCGCCGCACCGAAGCATGCTGTGGTGAAGAACTTGTTTTGCTGCTGATGGTCGTATTCGTCGTGGTTATTCACACCTGGGGACATAAACCTTGTCTGGAGCATGTTTGTCAATATCGGCCGCATTACCAACAGCTTGGTGTTGAGGTAGCGCAGCGTGATGATATTGCGCAGCTTCTCGATCTGCTGCGACGGCGACCTCGAGGATGCGGGTGAGCCTGCCTCTTCAAAGGAAGGAGGCGCAATTTGTAGCGCCGGTGGCAGCGTGGTCTGCCACTGATCTAGTTCTTGTTCGAGTCCGAGGATGCGGGTCAGCAGCTCAGGCCCTGGAATATCCTCCTGCTCGATATTGTGGCCGTACAAGGACGCGATGACCTTCCAGAGGATGCGATACAGCGTGACCGTTGCGGAGAAGAAGAGCGCCGACATGCCGCGCTCTCTGTCCCCAGGTATCGGCACGGGCAGGTCGAGCCGTACATAATCTTCTGGAATGGCACTCGGTCGGCCGAAGGTCATGCTGAGACTGCGGTCGAGCACGATGCAGCCAAACCAGGTCCGTTTGCGCATCTCCCGCTCTATAGGTGGAAACTTGGCCGATGCGGCTTTGGAGTGCAGCCCGATGGACAGCGCGGTCTTGACCGCCAGCCCGTGCGTTGTCCACGTCTGCACTGCGTGCTGGGTGCCCTGGAGATACTGTGTCGACAACAGAAGGTACTGTACAGTCTCAAGCGTCGTGCCCCGTAGCATCTGCGTCCCGCAGAGCAGACAGGCGCGTTTATAGAAGGGCTCCGCCTCGTCGCCTCTCGCCGAGTGGGGCGTCTCGGCTCGGGAGGCGTCTGCGCGGACAGCCATGGCCAGGATGATGTTGAGCAGGGCTAGCCATGTCCTGCGAACGCTCGTGAAGCCAGAGGCACGGGCCTGCCGATACGTCTCGAGGAAGGAAGCTTCGTGGATGTAGGGGAAGAGCAAGCCCGTGTTGGCAAAGTATTGTTGAAGCAGGCGATGCATGACGTCCTCGGGAGGCAGGGTCACGCCCAAATTTTGCGCTGGCTCCTTTAGCGTGTTGCTGGCGGTCCGGGAAGACATGGACTTGACCTTGACCGTGCTTGGCCCGGGGCTTGCCGGGCTGGCGGCGAGCATGGACCTCAGAATGATGCGCATGAATGAGATGTTGGCGGACGGGCCAAAGAAGCCCTGATCCTTCTCGTCGACAAAAGAGATGGCCATGCCATCTGTGTGATCGTCTAGGTCGAGCTCTGGCTCCTGGCCGCTCAGCAGCCTCGTGATGCCAGGTGCTGGGCTGTCGAGGTCGGCAGAGGTCTCAGAGATGCCCCTGTCGGAGGCGGCGGAGCTGAAACTGCGGACAGACAGCTGTTCATGGTGGCCCTTGACGATCTGCTCGAGGAGGTGGAGGCGGGACTCGAGGTCGGCAAAGGCGCTGTGTCGTCACGAGAGGTCAGTCTTTCTTGGAGAGGCATTGTGATGCGATGGGGGCCGACCACGTACTCCTTTGGGATGATGACATTGGCCGCGGACCCGGGTGCATCGTAGGTGCAGTCAAAGGACATGCGCTCGCAAAGGCTGCATCTTGGGCGGGCGCCATTGCACTATGAAGAGGATGATTGTGAGGATGAGGTTGTTGTTGTGCAACCAGTTTGAAGCAAGCACTCACTCACCCTGGACTTGCGTGTGCGGCACGGGTTGCAGGCAAGAGCGACCCGCTGGCGCTTCGAGCCGGACGTGTTGTTGCTGTTGTTGTTGCTGCCTGACATGTCGTCGGCCGCCCCATTGTGCTTGGCCATGTGGTCCGGCAAACAAGCAGACGACGCAGCAAATGCTCGGCTGTGGGGAAACAATCAAGGGCAAGGAATCTGACAGGCCCGGCATCACGGTTTTTGGACCTCTCTGCCATGTGTAAAGCGCCCCTGAGGCCCCGTTCCGTCCTTCCGGCCACGGTTCCGTAGTCTGTCACGCTAAGAGCGACCTGCATCTCTGCGTGCCTGGAGGGTCGAACCTTGTTCACGGCCTGACAAATCACAACGTCTATTGCCTACAATGTCTATGGCAGCTCAGGCAAACTCGACCCCGTTTCTCAGCGTGCCGATCCCGCTGACGTGCACCTCCATCACCGTGCCTGGCGCCAGGAACCGCGGCGGCTTCTGCCCGGACCCTACCCCCCCGGGCGTCCCTGTCATGATGACCGTGCCCTTCTGCAGCGTCGTCCCCTGCGAAAAGTACGCAATCAGGTACGGCACGCTGAACAGCAGATCGTCCAGCCCGCTGCTCTGCCGCGCCTCCCCGTCCACCGTCGTCGTCAGATGGAGCCGGGCTGGATCCGGCACCAGCCTGCTGCTGACCAGCACCGGTCCCAGCGGTGCGTACGTGTCGAAGCCCTTGGAGAAACCCCATTGGGGCACGGGGCCTGCGAGCTCCGGGTCGCGTTGGAGTTTTCGGGTAGACACGTCGTTGCCCGCCGTGTACGCCACCACGTAGGACAGCGCGTCGCTCTCGGAGACGTCCTTGGCGTCGCGGCCGAGCACGACGCACAACTCCCCCTCGTAGTCTGGCTGGGTGTCCTGCGCAATCTTGGGGATCACCACGGGGCTGTCGTGGTCGTGCACCGCCGTGGACAGCTTGATGAACATGAAGGGGTAGGATGGCATCTTGCGGCCGGTTTCCTTGACTGCTTGCTGTTAGGGAAGGACGAGACTCGACAGGCGCGAAAAGAGGATGGATGGCCTACTGTGGCTGATGTAGTTGAGGCCGATGCAGCGCACCGACGGCACTTCAGACTGGGCCAGCGGACCGAGCAGCTTTTTTACCGTCACAACCTCGTCGGTCACCTTTGTGGCCCCTGTCGTGTCGTAGATATCATCACCCGTGATGACCTTGGCTTTCAGGCCGGTGGCTTCGGTCGTGTTGCCCAGGTCAAAGTCAGGGTCTGGCAGGATGGGTTCGCCACGGAGAGTGCGGCCATCGGTGGCCACGAACCGGATGAGCCGGTCCCAGCAGACTGACATTATGTGCACTTGGAGAAAAGGTCTCCGGATGGTGTGGGAGGGAAGTGATGTGTCAGTGACATGCCAGAGTTTACATGGACGTCCAATAAGAGTTGAGGGCCGGTGGCTCATTCTTATTGTGGTCTTGGCTGCTCCAAATTTCTCCAACTCCCTTCTCTTCCGCCTATCCTCCCGATCTGTCCCCGTCCACGATCTTGACCACTTGCTCGGCATCCGGGTGCTCGTTGGGGATGTGTCGGGACAGCGGCCTTCCTGCGACGATGACAATTATGCTCTTAGAACGACCACCAATATTTACGTATAATATCAATTCCAGAGAGACGATCTAGCACCTGCGGCAACACCGTCTACAATCGCCAGATACGCAACCAACCGCAGACACAAACATGGCACCAGCAGCAACCACACCGCCGGCGGCACCCGCGCCGCTGCCTTCCAAGCAGCCCGCCAGCGGCCCGGAGAGCATCCAGACCCAGTCAGACCTCCTCAAGTCCCTCGACACCGTCAACGTGTCCCCGCTCTGGGCGCAGATGGCGCGCCTCAACCCGGCCCTGCCCAACCCCAGCACCGTGCCCTTCCTGTGGTCCTACTCAGCCATCCGACCGTACCTAGTCCACGCGGGGAACCTCGTGCGCGAGGAGCAGGCCGAGCGCCGCGTCCTCATGCTCGTCAACCCGGGCAGGAACGCGGCGCCGTACACCACCGACACGCTCTACGCGGGGCTGCAGCTCGTCATGCCGCGCGAGACGGCCCCCGCGCACAGGCACTCGGCCTTTGCGGTGCGCTTCATCATCGAGGGCCAGGGCGGGTTCACCGCCGTGCACGGCCGCCGGGTCGCCATGAAGCCCCGCGACGTGCTCGTCACGCCGCCGTGGAACTGGCACGACCACGGCAAGAAAGGCGCCGGCGAGCAAGGCGGGGACGACGAGCCCGTCATCTGGCTCGACGGGCTGGACCTGCCCGAGTTTGTGCATTTCCCCGTGCACTTCAACGTGCACTACGACCAGGCGCGGTATCCGGCCGAGGATGTGGGCGTGGACGACTCGCCCATTGTGTTTCCGTGGGAGCAGGTGGAGGAGAGGCTTGCCGCGGAGCCCGGGCCGTGGGCGGCGGTGCCGTATCTGCGCAAGAATGGTGCCGAGAGTGAGTTTTGCACCACGTATTGCCCTCTACTATTGAGACTTTTGCACTGACAGTCCACAGTCGGTCGCACAATCGGCGCGCTTGCAGAGCGTCTCGACGCCAACGCTTCCTCGCCCGCCATCCAAGAGACGGCCTCGTCCGTGTACCACATCATCGAGGGCACTGGGCACTCCGTCATCGGCGAGACGACCCTGCACTGGAAGAAGGGCGACACGTTTGCCGTGCCTGCATGGCACAAGTACCAGCATTTTGCAGGTGGCGAGCAGGTATACCTGTACCGCTTTCACGACAAGCCGATGCTCAAGGCGTTGGGGTTCTACCGGGTGGAGGGAGCGGATGTTGAGAGTTTTGCGGATGTGTGGTAGGGATTGTGGCTGCAACAACGGTGCAGACAGATAGCGAGACGTATGCAATTGGAAGTCGATATGGCTGGCTATGGCTGGTGGTGACCTCAAGGCGCTTTTAATTGTCAATTCCGGCTTCGAACTTGGTCGCTCCTCCGTTGGTTATCATGTGAAACGGCGTCGCTCCAGGTCGCTACTTCCTAGAATACGCGTAGGCAGATCCTACGGCTATGTCCAAGGCAACACTGCTGGTGCAACATGGCTCAAGTCACACGTACAATAAACGGCAGCCATGTCTACGTTTCAGCAACGTCATCCATTCAGCTACATAGATTCAAATCCCTTCAATGAGCAGCAATCGCAGCCCCACCCGTCGGCAGCCCGTTGCTAAATGCCCGGGTCGTTTGCGGCGCCCCCCTCCGACGATCGTAAACCTCTGCAACGTGCTCGTGCATGTCGTATCTGCAGTCCGGTCTTGTTAGCCGCGTCCCCGCATCCACAAGATAAAAATGGGTCAAAGAACTCACAGATTCATCTCCTCAATCGTCAGCTTGTCCGTCTCCTTGGACACCTTGTACACCTTGCTGTCCGTGTTGCTCGAGAACCCGATGCGCTCGTTGAGGTTCTCGCGCGCCCGCTCCGACGCGGCCTGGACCTTGGTCGCGCGCGGCTTGCGGACCTCCTCGTACACCTGGAGTGCCTCGCGCACGTCGCCGTTGAAGTGCCTGCGGCTGAACGCGAGCCCGAGACCCGCCGCGTCCTCGAGCGACTGGCACGCGCCCTGGCTCTGGTCGGGCATCATGGGGTGCGCGGCATCGCCCATGAGCGTGGCCACCCCCTTGGTCCAGTACGGGTAGGGCTTGTGCATCCAGATGCGCCAGGGCCGCACCTCGTAGCCGAGCTCGAGGTGCTTGAAGACGTTGCGGTCCAGGTCCGGGTACGGCGCCAGGAGCTCCTCGACCGTCGCCTTCTGCAGCCAGTTGGTCGTCTGCAGGTCCGACGCCTCGCGCGGGAACCAGCAGTAGTACGAGAGCAGCTTGCCGCCGTTGCAGGGGGACAGGATGACCTTGAAGTGCGTGTCGTAGCCGCCCCAGTACTCGAGGGCCGAGTTCTCCGAGTAGTCGACCAGCCCCGCGGCGCGCACTTTCTCGCGGTCCACGTTGGCGTGCAGGCAGGTGCACGCGGCCGGGCGGCGGTCCGCGGTGATGCCCATGATGGTGCGCATGGCGGACCCGATGCCGTCGGCGCCGATGATGGCGTCGTGCCGGGCCGTCACGCCGTTCTCGAACCGGACCTCGCCCGTCTCGAGGTCGGCCGACTCGCACTTGTGGTTGAGCACGAGCCTCGCGGGCGGCCCTTCGCCGTGCTCCCCGACCGCGCTGGCCATGAGCATGCGGTGCATGTACTGCCGGTGGAACATGTTGTACACGTAGCCCCAGCGCTCCTTGTAGTCGTCGAGCGCGTAGACGTTGATGGCCTCGCCCGTCTTCCAGTCCCGGCTGATGAGGTTCTTGAGCACGACCGGGTCGCCCATCTCAATGTGGACGCCCCACTCCTCGAGCCACCGGGTGCCGTTGGCCGCGCAGGAGATGGACGCGCCGACCTCGCCCACGAAGTCGGCCCGCTCGTAGATGGTGACGCGGTGGCCCTGGCGGCGGAGCGAGACGGCCGCGGCCAGGCCGCCGATGCCGCCGCCAATGATGGCCATGTCGAGTGTCTTGAAGCCGGGGTGTGTCATTGTGGAATGTGAGATGTGTTTCGTGGATGCTGGTGACCATGGCAGCAACGCAGCTTGGTTCTGCGGAACAGCTGTCTTCATCTAGACAAAGATATCACCGCCGTCTGATGCGCTCGGCGTATAGCATCGCGACCCGACGTAGCCGCGACAGCAGCGTTGGAGTGCGCCGGACCGAGTCTACTGAATGCCCAGTCTCGAGAAGTCGCGGCCATCTCTCGCTTGCTGCCAGCCAGGATGCGGACAAGGCGGGTTCGGGGCTGGGTCCACCTCGGGTCCGGAATCCGTGTCGGGAGTGTTCCGGCGGCCCCGGATTGGCTTGCGCCCTCCATCGGTTGCCTCTTTCGGACCAACTTCCGGACTGGACTGTCGTGTCAGAACGCAGCGTGAACATCCTGACTTACACCTGCAAAGACGTTGTGCGGTTTACCTGACAGCATCAGCATCACGGCAACAACCGCCTGCACAATTCTCCCACTCCAAAACCCGCAAGAACACTCACCATGGCCCAATTCGCCAACGTCAAGCAGCTCTTCGACATCACCGGGCGCAACTACATCGTCACCGGCGGTGCGCAGGGCATCGGCCTGGCGATGGTGCATGCGCTGGCGCAGTGCGGCGCCAACGTGGTCGCGCTCGACATGCAGGCGGCCCCCAGCACCGACTACGCGAGCCTGGCCAAGCAGCTCAACGTCCGGCTCAGCTACGTGCAGGCCGACGTGACAGACGAGCAAGGCCTGACAGCCGCCTTCCACAGGGCGTTTGAGCTCCTCGGCGGCACCGTGCACGGGCTCGTCACCTGTGCGGGCATCGCGCTGGAAAAGGCGTTCCACGCGACCACCTGGGCCGAGTGCCGCAAGATCCAGGACGTCAACGTCACAGGGAGCTACTTCTCGGCGCAGCTCGTGGCCGAGCAGATGCGCAAGCAGGGCACGCGCGAGGGGGCCAGCATCGTCCTGGTCGCGTCCATCACGTCGCACACGGTGCTCCCGCAGCACCGCATGTCGGCGTACAGCGCGTCCAAGGGGGCGGTGCGCATGCTCTCGCAGGCGCTGGCCGTCGAGCTCGCCGCCGACGGGATCCGGGTCAACTCGATCTCGCCGGGGTTCATCGACACCGAGATGACGCAGGAGGTGCGCAATGCGAACCCGGCCATGGTGGCCATCATGAACGACACGCCGCCGCTGAAGAGGATCGGGACGAGGGATGACTTGTTGGGTGCCGCGGTGTACCTGCTGAGTGACGCGTCGGCGTACACGACTGCTGCGGATATTGCCATCACGGGAGGACTGCATGTGCAGATGGCGTTGGACAACAAGCTGGCCCAGCAGCCGTAGTCGAGTCCGTTTGTAGAACATGATGATTCTAGAAGTTTCTTGTTGGTGTGATCGCACTGTGTTATGTGGGTGAAAGAGGAAAGCACGACCGTGGAATTTCGGCGCACAACACAAAAGAAAAAGTCACAACTTCCTCACATGGCTAATCACAGTGTAAGATCCTTTTTGCATTCAAGTACGGACACCCTACGCCTCATCCCCCTTCCAAGGCGACGACCCTTGGACTCTCGCCTCGATGATCGCCGACACGCCGCCCTGCACAGCCGCCACCGCCTCTGGCAGCACCCGCAACAAGTCGCCCGCCGTCCTCACCACCGCCGCGTACGCCGTGTTGCCCGAGGCCGACCTGGCAATCCCCGCAAAGTCGGGCGTCGGACTGAACGAGATGTTGAGATCCTCGTTGCTCACCTGCGACCCGTGGCCCTGCGGGTGCACCAGCTCCATCGAGATGCGCGGCGCGTTCCAGCCCTTGTTGCTCAGCACGATGGTCAGCGTCGGCAGCTTGTACCGTCGGGCGACCCAGTACACCGTGCTGGGCACACCAAACAGATACGTCCCGTCGCCGACAATCTCGCACACAAAGTTGCCCTGGCCCAAGTAGTCAGCAGCCAGCTTGACGCCCAGTGTGCCGCCGCCCGACCAGCCGAGACCACCGCCACCGCCGTTGACCAGGTGACCGGGCTTGTCGACGCGCAACTGGTCATAGACAAACATGGCATTGGACACGGCCTCGATGCACCAGATCGTGTCTTCCGGGCAGGCCTTGCGCAGCTCCGAGCACAAGAAGGATGTACTGGCGGGGGTAGCCTGCAGATCTGCGGGTGGTGCAGCGAGGCGGTCGGCAGCCTTGATCTCTTCTCTCCGCGTCTGCTCGAGAGCTGTCCAGCGGGATACAAATGGCTCTTGGGAAGCCAGATCAACGTGTCTGGTCGCCACAAAGTCGTTGAGCTGCTGCAGGGCCACAGCCGCATCGGCGCGGTACCGGTGCGTCGCCGGAATGTAGTGTAGTGGCATGTTCTGCTTGAGCGGGTCGACGCCAACCTCGAGGATCTTGACGCCAGGACTGAGCGGACACTGCGTCGGGATCCAGGGCACGTCGCAGTCGAGCACGAGGATGGCGTCGGCTCCAGAAATGGCTGCGTGCTTGCCGATCCGCACGCCAATGTACGCCCTGTGGCTGAAGGGGAAGCACACGTCGCTGCCGAGGGCGTCAATCACTCTGACACCAGGGATCGCCTCGGCGAGTTTCACCAGCAGCGGTACTGTTGCGTGATTGCGCCCGGTATAGCCGACCACAATGACCGGCCGCTCTGCTGTCACGAGTGTCTCGACAATGTTCTCCACACCAGCAGGTGACAGGCCGGCAGGCTCGATCCCGTGCCACACCTCCTGGTCGAGGTCGTACTCGTCAATCTCCTCCTCCATGACCTCTCGTGCGCCCATGAGATACGCGGGTCCCTTGGGGTCACTCGTCGCGAGCTGCAGTGCGCGGTTGACCATCTGCTTGACGTTGCGGCCGGTCTTGAACTCACCTGCGTACCGGCAGTACTGCGCCACAATAGCCTTCTGGTCCGGCACGTCCTGCAGCCAGTGGATATACTCTGTTCTGGATCCGCGGAGCTCGCCCTCGAGCGTGTATGGCGACAGCCCCGCGAATACGAGAACGGGACTTCTGGCGATTGATGAGTTGTGCATCGCACAGCCGAGCCCTTGCGTGCCGACGTCCACATGAACCAGCACGCACTGCGGCTTGCCAGTGAGACGCGCGAAGCCGTCGGCCATGGACAGCGCGACGAACTCGTGCGGCACAGTGATAACTTTGGGGAACTTGGAGGGCCCCTTGGAAGTACCGCTGCGCCGGGTTTCGGCTGCGAGAGCCTCCATTATCGCTGGGTGGTCGGAGCCGAGGTTGACAAAGACATAGCTAACGCCGGCCTAGAAGTCAAGGATACAACCGTGAGCATTATGATTCGACTGAAAGCAATATCTCTAAAACACACATACCTGAGCGAGAGACTCGAAAAAGGCTGAAGACGTGGAGTATCGGCCACTATCGCCCCTATCATGATGTTAGATGAGTTTTGCATCACCACAACGACATGGTCAGCCCCTACATGATTGCTGTGTACTGTGTCCGACTGTTGAGATACGCTGACAGGTTACCCAGCATGCAAACCAGTCTCTACAGTAGGCGTCGTCGCCAGGTATATCTTCATGCCCGTCCAAAAAAACGGTCACCAATGTTGCGACCGAATCAAGGTCATTGGCTGACCTGAAGTCAGTGGAGTCCCGGAACGGCCATCGGAATCGACAAATGTGGGGGCCGGTACCGGAGGTGTGGGGCCGGGCAGCCTATTGGTCCAACCACGACGGATCAGGAAGGCGACTTGGAAGCAGCCCTGGCGGGAGTGGCAGGTCTGCCCGAGGCTGCCCCGTCCTCGAGCATGTCAGGACACAGCCAGATCACAAGGATTTGCACAGGGCGGTCTGTGTCAATAATCCGGTATAGCTAGAAAGACTCGACGCCGGGCTCGCGGACACAGGCGAGTGGCCACAGTATCTTCACCATCGTCTTTCTGTCGTTCCAGCACAACCACCATGGCGTCACCACAACAGCCACAGGTCTATCAGACCAAGCCCGAGTACTCGTCCTCGGTCCTGGTCAGAGGCACACCTGACTATGAGCGCTGCCGGCGCATGAACCCCAGCTCGGCCACGCCAGACCGCTACCCGCAGGAGATTCACGTTCCACGCACACCCCAGGATATCGCCGCGGCACTGCGCAAGGCGGCCTCGCTGGGCGTGCACGTGGGCATCCGCAGCTCGGGTCACGTCTTTGGCCTGGGCGCGCTCGTGCAGGACGGTATCATGATCGACACCGTCAACCTCAACCGCGGCGTCGAGTACGACCCGGCCACGCAGGAGATCACGTTCGGGCCGTCGGTCCGCGTCGAGGAGGTCGCCGGCAAGCTCAAGGAGATCAAACGCTTCTTCCCACACGGGCACGCACCCACGGTCGGCGCGGGCGGGTTCCTCCTCGCGGGAGGGCAGGGCTGGTTCGTGCGCGGCTGGGGCGCGACGGCGCAGTCGTGGATCACCAAGATGGAGATTGTGGTGCCGGACGGCCGCGTCCTGATGGCCAGCCGGACAGTGAACCAAGACCTGTTCTGGGCGGCGCGCGGGAGTGGGCTGGGTTTCTTCGGCGTGGTCACGCGCTTCTGGGGCCGCACGATCCCGGCATCGAGGCTCTGGGAGCGCAGCTTCACCTTTGTCGTGGGCGACAGGTACGAGCAGCTCATGACGTGGGCGCTGACCAAGGGCGACGAGACGCCCAAGTACGGCACCGACCTGAACATGACCATCTACTACCCGGACAAGTACGACCCGCTGTGCACTGGGGATGCGGTGCCCGAAGACAAGACGCTGCACATGTCGCTGTCGCTGCAGTGCTACGCGGACACGCAGGCGCAGGCGCGCGTCTTGCTGTCCGCTTACGACGGCGAGATGCCGCCCGCCGTGAGGGACGCGCTGATCGAGATGAAGCCCGTGACCGAGACGTCGTTCCAGCGCATCTTCCGCACCAAGCGCGGGTTCATCGGGCTCGGCGGCGACCAGCGCTGGAGCATCCTGTCCATTCTGTCGGACCCAGGCACGCCGCTTCCCCGGCTGCTCGAGAAGTGCAAGCCCGCGCTGACGGAGCTGCCGACGCGCACGAGCGTCGTCTTCATCTGCACGTGCGACATTGTGCCCGACGAGCAGGACTCGGCCGTCTCGATCCCCCAGCAGTACTACATCTCCACCATCACCCAGTGGACCGACCCGGGACTCGAGCCGGGCATATACCAGCCCATGCGGGACAGGTACAAGGCCACGCTGCCCGTGGCGGCGGGCACGTACGTGGCTGACTATGATGTCACCAACGACGACGCGAACGGGCGGGTCATGAGCGACTCGGCGCTCGCGAGGTTCCTGGAGATCCGCCAGAAGTGGGATCCCAAAGGGCTGTTTCCCAACTACAAGAGGTTCATCGAGACTCACGAGAAGATCCGGCGGATGGAGAGCAAGGCGAGGCTGTAGTAGGTGGTGGATATAGTTTAGCTTTATGCAGAACCAAAAGACATGTTTCTGGTGTGCGTGCCGACGGATAGCGGAGTCCCATAGTGCGTCGAATAGTGATACACAACGCTGCATGCCTAAGGGTGCTATACCTCCACTCCTCTACAGAGTGCCCAAGTCAATTTCACAGTGGGCAGATTCGACGTCAATTTCATCTCAACTCGCAAAGAAACTCTTCCATTCAGAATAGACAGCTACCTACTTCCTCCCCTGCAGAGCCAGCCACTCCCCAGTCAGCCCCTTGTAGTCCCTAGGCTTGTACGCCTCCAGCAGCTCCGCGACCTGCGACGTCTTGCGGTGGTTCTTCACACCGAGATCATTAAGCAGCAGGTCGACATACGGCAGCGCGTCGAACGCAAAGTCCGGAAGGCTGCCCCCGTAGCCGCACGGGTAGCGCCACTTACCAAACTGCGTGTGCAGGTACACCTCCCTGAGCAGCTCGTCCTGGGTGGTGGGCGGCGCGCGGGCCAGCCGGCCGTCAAAGTAGGCCGATATCCAGAGGGCCTGGGCGTTGGCGAAGCACGCGGTGCTCACGGTCGAGACCATGCCCGCGAAGGCGATGTTGCGCTTGGAGACCTGGCCCGCGGGGACGATGAAGCGGTAGTACCGCAGGGGCTCCTCCTCGGTGGCCGGCTCGCGTCCGTGCCGCAGGACCGGCTGGTTCGCGAGGATCGGGAACCGCTCGAGGATCTCCCTGTCCGCGGCGGTGCGGAGCCGGGCCTGCTCGGCGGCCGACACGGACGGGATGCCCAGCCCGCGCAGCTCGAGCCCGTCGTAGGTCAGCGTGGCGTCCTTTTTCCAGCCCGTCGCGCAGCACAGCACGTCAATGTCCTCGAGCACCGTGCCGTTGCTGAGGTGCACCTGGCCACCGCCACCGCCGCCCAGCTTGGTCACATCCGCAACGTGCACGTTGATCCGCCCCTGCCTGACGAGATCCCAGAGGCTCGAGTCAAAGTTGTGGATCCCGACGCCGCTGCCCGTCCAGAACGACGGCTGCCAGGGCTTGAGCTTGAACAGCTCCGGGTGGGCCGGGTCGTCGAAGCCGTGGGTCTCGACGACCTCGTTGTGCATCGTCGCGAACCAGTTGGCCGTCAGCAGCCGGCCCAGGGCGCTCTTCTGCAGCCACGCCCGCGGTGCCGGGTACCCGTCCTCGTCGCCCCACGGCGCCGGGGAGAACCACGTCAGCGCCCGCGTGTGCAGCAGTTCCTCCATCATCCGCTTGAACGGCGTCACGTAGGGCGGGACGAGCCACACGGGCCCTTGGCCGCTGGGGCGGACTAGCAGGTCGACGTGGGTACCGCTGCCACTGCCTGCCGGTGCCGAGGCTGAAGCATATGCGTAGGCGCAGTCGTAGGCGGACTTGCCGCATCCTACGATCACCACGCGCTTGGCCGTGGACACGGTGTCGCCGTGGAGGCAGAAGTCCTTGGCGTGGAACTTGTTGCCGGTAAAGGTCTCCTCCCCCAGGTAGGTGGGCAGGTTGGGCTCCGAGGTCAGGCCCGTGGCGACAATGAGCCGCCTAGTGTGGATGGTCTTTTCTGTGTCCTCTGAGTCCCCCGGCGTCGTCGTCCGGAGGGTCAGATTCCACTCGTCCCGGCCGTCCTGAGTGGCATGCTTCACCTTGGTGTTGAGCAGTGTCCGCTCGAGTATGCCAAAGTGCCGGGCAAAGTCGGTCAGGTAGCGGTGCAGCACAGCGGCGGGAATGTGCTGGCCCGGCTTGACGCCGTACACCTCCTCGAGCATGGGGAAGTCTGGGTGCTCGTACGAGCCGTAGAGGTTGTTGGACTTGAGGCCCGGGTAGAGGCGGTCTTTGGCCCACGAGCCGCCGAGGCTCAAGGCCGAGTCGACGACCAGAAGGCGCTCCTCGGGGTGTGTCTCGAGGTACGTCTTTGCGGCGGAGAGGCCGAACCAACCTGTTTTGTCGGTGTTAGTGGCAGACATTGTGGCCTCGGTTGGGCACGAACGGCCAGCGGCTTACCTGCGCCGATGACGACCACGTCGTACGAGTCCAGTGGAATTGCAACCATGGCTTGGATCTTTGCTGAACAACTGACAAGCTCCCTTGAGCTGCTCAAGTTTCCAAGATGCGTCAAAAGGATTCCTTTACTACAAGATGCTATCAGCCACGGCGCGCCACTATAGTTATTCCCAATTATCCTCTCGATCGTCACTTGCAATGCGCTTCTCATACGGCCCCCCCCCCCCATACACCCTGGCTTTACTGTCCCAGCTAATTGAAGACTGCTACGGAGTGTTGCGTTGCGTCCCCGGACGACAAGCGGAACGCAACGGAAAGAGGAGACCCGTTGCCCGGCCCGGGCCCGATGTGGCCCCGGACTCGGGTCGGAGCCGGAGTGGAGCACCGTAGGCGCCTCCACACTCTGGTTTCGGGCGGACATCGACAACGAGAATCACTGGACTTGTGACAAACCTCTGCCACGCAGTATCACGAACAGAGTATTGAGCAGCATCATGTTCATGTCTTGAGCATGCCAACAAAGATTGTGCAATTATGATGAGAAAACCATAGCATTTTTGTAAACACTCTAGTCAAACCCCATGGCCGTCCATGTATCTAGAACCTTCTGCTTCACCTCGGCCGGGTAGCTCGTCTCAAAGTCTGTCTTTAAGAAATTCGGCCCGCCCTCGTACTCCATATGAAACAAACAGTCCGACAGCGTCTTGCCACCCTTGGTCGGGTCCCCGCCGCCGTGCGACTGATACGGCGTCAACGGCAGGGCGGGCTTGTCGTCAAAGTAATACTCGTCCCGGCCGGGCCGGCACCGCGTGACAAACGCCCAGATGAGGTCCTGGAAGTCGTAGATGTCGACGTCCTCGCCCACCAGGATAAACCGGTTCACCAGCATCGAGCACTTTTGCGAGTACAGCAGCTCGCCCAGCTCGGTGCAGAACGCGGCGGGCGTGGCCACGCGGGCGCGCAGGCCCGGGCCGTCGACTTGCAGCGCGCACCAGGTCGCCATGGTCTCGAGAGGCGCGTTGGCGTCCTTAATCGGGTAGCCCCTGGCTTGTAGGAAGGTGAGGATCTCGGCAGCGGCCAGGGCGGCCGTGGTGTGCGACTCGTCGGTGATCCTGCCCGGCACGGAGACGGGGAAGATCGGGTTGTTGCGGTAGGTGATTGCCTCGACGCGGAACAGGGGCTGCATGCGCTTGTCGTCCTCGAAGCTGTAACCCAGATAGTCCCCAAAGGGGCCCTCGATGGCCCTGTCCTCGAGCGACATGTACCCTTCAAACACGATCTCGCTGTTGGCCGGCACGAGGATGTCGCTGAGCTCCGCCTTGACCACGTCCAGCGGGCGGCCGGCGAGCGCACCGACATACTCGCCCTCGGAGACGCCCTCGGGGATGGGCATGGCGGCGGCGAGGGTGGCGGCGGGCGGGATGCCAAAGGCGAGGACCCAGGGCACCTGCGTCTCGCCGAGGGCGCGCCACTTCTCCTTGACGACGTAGTTGTGCTGGCGGGGGTTGACCTGGGCGACGATGTGGTTGCGGTCGTGGATCATGCCGCGGAAGATGGACCAGTTGGTCCACGACTTGTCGGGGGTCTGCAGCATGTGCACGCCATAAGTCTGGATGTACTTGCCGCCGTCCTCGTGGTGCAGCTTGGGTGCGGGCAGGGCGTGCAGGTCGATATTGTCGGCGCCCAGGATCTTGTTCTCCTTGCACGGCCCCGTCTCGAGGATGTTGGGAGGCAGTGGGCTGGCCGACTTTGCGAGCTGGGTGCGGGCGCATATCTGTTTCCAGGTTGCATCTCTGGGTAGGCCGAAGGTGCGAGCCACACGGCCGAACCTGTCCGGGCCGTGGCCGCTGAGGCTGGCAGCGTTGCCAAAGGCGCGCCAGAGGCCGTCCTTGGTCGTGCCCTTGAGGTTATGGAACAGAGGTGCCTTATTGTTTGTTTCGCTCACCCTGCGGACGATGGCGCCGAGCTCGAGGTGTGGGTCGACCTCGCGCTCAATGTCGACGAGGTCGCCGTCGTCGCGCAGGAGGTCGATGAAGGTGCGGAAGTCGAGCTGGGCGTCGATGACGCGCGGGTCCGTTTGGGTGCCGCTGCCGTCCATGGTGGTCAGTGGCTGCTATTGATTTCTCTTTGTGACTGCTAGAGCCTGCCACTGCTACTGCCTGCTGCACAGCAAACGCGCGTGTATACAAGGGAAGGTGCTAGCGAGGTATAAGTGGCCACGCCCGGAACGGCGGAACCAGCCAAGGAAACACGATCCAAGCCCCACTGCCGAGTTTACTATACACAATAGGATCCTGGCACGACCCGACATCAGCAGGCAAACTGACGGTGAGGTTTTTGCAATCTCACAGCATCGCATCTCGGCTGCTCAACCAAAATGCCTCCGTCAAGGTCATGCAACCGCTTCCTCTCGCTGGCCACCCGGCGGGCAGCCACAACGAAAATACCAAATGCTGCCGCCAGCAACCACCACCGACCCATCACCACGACCTCACAGCCACCACCACAACCACCACACTTCCCCGTCTCCCAACGACCCTTCCGCATGGTCATCGGCATCACCGGCGCGACCGGCACCGTCTTCGCCATCCGCCTCCTCCAGCTCCTCCAGACCCTACACGTGGAAACCCACCTCGTCATGTCCCGCTGGGCCATGGCCACAGGCAAATACGAGACCCCACTCACCGAGGCCCAGATCCTCTCCCTCGCGACCAGGGCCTACTCGCCGCGGGACCTCTCCGCCCCGATCGCCTCGGGCTCCTTTGTCCACGACGGCATGATGATTGTCCCCTGCAGCATGAAGACCCTGGCCGCCGTCCGCGCGGGCTTGTGCGACGACCTCATCTCCCGCGCCGCCGACGTCAGCCTTAAGGAGGGCAGGAAGCTGCTGCTCGCGGTCCGTGAGACCCCGCTGAGCGATATTCATCTTGACAACATGCTCGCCCTGCGTAGGGCCGGGGCCGTCATCTTCCCGCCCGTCCCCGCGTTCTACACGCAGCCCGAGACGATTGAGGACATTGTCGACCAGAGCGTGGGCAGGATGCTGGACAGCTTTGGGATCCACACGGCCAGCTTTAAGCGCTGGGATGGGTTCGACTGGAAGGCCAAGAGGGAAGCGGCGGCGGCGGAGAGGAGTGCAGAGGCTGGTGCAGAGGCTGGTGCAGAGGCTGGTGGGTAGTAGTCGGTGCCACGATTCCCATCTTTCTATCTTGTTGGTGTATTTCACATTGCTTTCTGCTTCAATATGATGAAGGGTTATACAAGCAACCGCGGTGACCTGTGCATCGAGATGTCATGCTAAAGCACAAGAGGATGCTGCGCGTGATTATTTTCAGTGCTCATTCTGCAGGCCACGTGCAGCCATCATATATCAAACAACCTTCCCTCGGAGAAGAAATACACCCCATCGCACGTAGGCCATTCCAGTCCCGTAAAATACTCATTCGTAAGAGGCGGCCCGTTCCCACCAGCAAGTAGATCCGCGTCCCCGCTGCTACCCGGCCCATCCCTGCCGCTCCCTTCTGCTGCGAGCCCCGAGCCAAACCCTGTCGTGCCGGGGTCCATAAACCCTGCCGAGAGCCGGGCGTGTTGTTGGTACTGGCTGTAGCCACCATTGCTGCTGCTGATGTTGTTGCTGACTCGAGAAATGTCGAGGTAACTGAGCTCCTCGCTATTGTCACCTGGAACGTCATTTTGCAGAGTGGTAGTTCCAAAGCCAGTCACCGTAGAGTCTCCCGTCCCTGCCGCCGAGTCGGTCACCGTGTTCAGGTTGATCAGTGCCTGTGCGGCAGCAGTGGCGTTTGCAGTAGACAAGGTGCTCTCAGCAGCCTTGCGGGTCATCCTGCCTGGCCCGCTGGTAGTGATACCGGGGGGGCCTGCAGCGGGCGTATAATTCGCAGGAAGTGGCTGTCCTGCTCTGACAATATTCGAACTGCTGTGCAGCATAGCTCGATCCATGATGGAATCGTTGGTGCCGCTTGGCTGGAATTTGGCCGACATGTTCTGTCCCGAGGTTGCCGTGTACTGCTGCGCGGATCGGCCAGGATTGGTGATGTTATTGCTGGTGCTCTGTGTATTCCGCCCAGCACCATGGCCCTGATCGCCACTGGCAGCCTCAGCCCTCACACTAGGGAAACCATTCTCCTTGCCGCTACCTGCCGTCGCCCCCTCCCCAGCAGAGCCATCCTCCCGCGCCAATATGCCCTGCCGGATAAGCGGTCCCTTCATAGCGACCAGTCTCTTCCACAGCCGCCTCGATGCAGGCGACGACGTCCGGTACGCGGCCGAAAGCGCAAGAGCCTTGCGGAAGTTTTGCCGCACCTTGTCTGCGTACCACGCCGTCGACGCGCCAGGGAGTTCGGCAAAGGCGCTGCTCCCGTTCTGCTCCGTGTATGCTATAACCAGGAACAGCAGCGCACAGACCGACGCCAGAAAGTGCTGGAACTGCGGGTGTTGCTTGCGGTACGTGTCGGTCATGCGGTCCAGGACCAGCAGCGTGTCGATGGAGTCGGTGATGAGGTCGAGCGCCGGGCGGATCTTGCAGGCTGCCGAAAGCGACGGCGTGGACGAGGACGACAGAAAGTACGGCCGGAGCAGAATGGCACGCACGGCGTTAGCGCGGAGGTACAGCATTGTCATCCACGAGGGTGTCTGCCTGGCTGCTGCTGGAGACTCCCACGCCCGTGGGTGCACAAACTTTTGCTTCTCCAGCGTCCGCCTCCGCCACTGCTCGACCTGAAACACCACCACGTCCAGCGCGTCGTCATCGATGGTCGAGGTCTCGCCCGACGCCACCCGCGTGACGGGCTCGTTGAAGTTGTGGCTCATGAGCGTAAACGACATCATCGCCTTCAGGTACGGGTGCTGCACCGCGCCAGGCTGTGCCGAGTCAAAGTCGGACATCTGGAAGTTTGGCGGCAGCCCGGCGGCGGCGCTCCACTGTCGATCCAGGATCACCAGGCTGCACGTCACAGTCGCCAGCTCGGCGAACCGCCCCTGGCTCTCGTTACGCTGCGAGATCTCGCGGCTGTGCATGCCCAGCTGCATCGCCATACGTCCCGCGAGCCCACACATGCGCCAGGCATGCTGCAGCCGGCCGTTGAAGTACTCGTAGAACCCCATCATTAGAGCGATGACGACATCCTTGTCCGTGGTCACGGCCGCCGTAATGAGTTTCGACATGGCAGTGTCCTTGAAGCCGTCATACAGCTCGCGCGCGAGCTCGGAACGGGACACCGCCTCGGCGCTGAGGGCCGTGGCCAGTGCCAGCCCGAGCATCAGCAGCTGATCCGTCTCGTTGGCGACTTCAGCCCGCGTGGTTATAGTGCTGCTGGATCGCTGCCTCTGGGCGCTGCCTGGAGCCGGGGACAAGCCGTACCAGCGATCAAGCTGCCGCATCAGCCCGTCAACGTCGCATATGGGGTGAATCCCACCAATGATTTCCTGGTACACGCCGAGGAGTCGGCTGGTCTCCTTCTTGGACAGCTCATTGGCGAACCGCAGCAGACCTCGAGAGAGGTAGACTGGCTGTCGGGCTGCCTTGTCGAGGGACACGATACTGTAGCGATCGCCGTCCTCGACGAGGGTGCTACACTGATCGTCGTCGTCGTCATCGCCGTACCCGCCAGCACCTTCCCCGCTGCCACCACTGTCCTCGTCGGTCATCTCGTCAGCGAGGCTCGGCACCCGCAGGCGGACAGGAGATGCCTGCTGCGGGTCACGGAGTCCCTGCTGCCGCCGTTGTTGCTGCAAGAGCTGCTGGTGGCGGGTAGACATGGTGATTTTTGCCGCATTGAGGCTGTACTCTGGGCTCGTGGGCCCATAGAACGGAAGGGCCGTGCGCTTGATGGCCGAGTTGGCTGCAGGAGATGAGCCGTTCTCGGTGTCTGCAGCAGCGGAGAGCGATGCCGGGGTGGCGGCGACGTCACGACCCTGGGGCGACAACGATGGATTACTGCTGCTGGTATTTTCACATGGTTGCGTACTATTCCTGTCCACTGCTGGTGCTGGTGCTGACGCTGACGCCGGCTTGGATGTTGCTGCTGCGGCCGCTTGTTGCTGCTGATGATCTCTCATGAATGCCGTGAGGGTGTTGAGTTGATCCTGGAGCGACAAGACTAGTCCACTCAGGTTGTTCACCGGGTCTTCCGTGGCATCGTGACCCTGCGTTTCATGGCGGTGTTGCTGTTGGTGTGCCGAGCCCGAGGAAGCTTCCGATGGCTGGGGCGAGTATATGCACTCGATAGACCTTCCAGAGCAGTGCTCGCAGGGCTTGCGGCCGTCACAGCGGCCTTTCCGTCGGCGGCACGCATCACAGGCTCTGGCTGCGTAGGGAGCTCGCCGCTTGTCGCCGCGGCGCTGAGACGATGTGGCGACCTGGATTTCGTCCATATTCAGTAGCTGATGGGAAGCAATTATGTGTGCTCCTGCCAATATGTCGTGATTTGGAAACCGCAATCGTCCGCCATGGAGGGCCGTCCTTGCCGTTTCTTGTCCGACGTTCCTGCCGCAGCAGACGTTCCCAGCCTTATCGCTTCCCCTGGACAGGCGACTCCACTTTCCCCGCAGAAATCGGAGGGGTGTGATACCCTTAGCCTCGAACTCTAAATGCCAGGGTCTGAGACAGCGATAAGACACGCGTCGAGCTGCTTTATCTGGTGTGGGTGGCGCCTCAAATCCGGAACGGTTCCGGGGTTGTATCGGGCCCAACGAAGCATGAGAGCGGGAGGGAGCTGGTATAGTGCGCTCCGGACCAGCCAGGTAGCTATCAGTCGAGTAACGAAATGAAGGTCGAAACCAAACCATGGGAACGGCCCGGATCAACTACTGGCTACACTGGACTCTTGGCGCCGGCAAAATACTGCTCAACTTTGAACCGTAATCGAGGACATGCAGTTGTCCCCGCGGTTTGGCGGCGTTTGAAAGAGGCTGAGCGTGATTTCCACTCTTGCGCGATACCTGCTTTGGTTTTGCGAGCTGATACTCAACCAGGCCTGACCTTTGGTTCTATTGGAAAACGTACAGTCACGGGTGCCAGTTAGTGACAAACTGGCAACCCCTAGATACCACGATACGTCTTGTGCTACGCATCTCCCAGAACATAAATCCAATCCAGCCCCGCCAATCACCCAACTGGTGCTAGTAGGATCGTGAAACCTGGCTGACTGTGCTATAGCTGTATCTAGCTGAGATGTTTATTGTTAGGTGCGGAGTAGTGAGAATGCGTAGGGTGCTGTGAGGTATTCGGTCAGTAACGTATAGCTCACTCTCACTGTCCTTCCTCTTTAACCATATTAGTAATAGGACTCTCTGTATGTTTGCCGCCAACAACGATGTTAGCATTCCTATAGCGTGGGGGCGCCATACGCTGAGATAAGCCAGCGGATGCCCAAACAGATTGATCTCCTCTTCTCCTCAGGCAAGATTCGCGATGGGAAGGCCGAGAAGACATTTCACCTGGACTGTGATCTTCATAAAGATGGAGCATCGAACATGAGACATGATATCGAGCAAGGCACCCCCAACACAAGGATTTGACAAGGCCAAGCAAGCAGTGCTCACGTCGAGTGAAGAGCACAGGCTAGCACACGCAACACTCAAAGAAGCTTGGTTTCAGCTAGAATGAGGTGTTCTATACACAGTGCGACTACGTTGCCTGGCGTCAAGGTGGATCAGACTCGTCAACCGGCGAGTGGATCCGAATCTTGCGCTGTTGGTTGTGCCAACACTTGGGCAGACATCCTGGGAACCAACTGCATGCTGCAGGTTGAGCCAACACCTGGCAGAAATCTTGGGAACCAACTGCATGAGGCTGGGTCCCCCAAGCCCGGCCCTTCTGCAAGCCCTGACAGAGATTGCGTCCCCCTCATCTTGGTTCTTCTCACCTCATGGTTTTGCTGCCGAGAAACACGCGGGCGATAGCTCGAGTGCCGTGTCTTTCACCGTTCGTCAATAGCGACACTTGCGAGCACCTCCGGTTTACTCAACAAACCACCCCATACAAACCAGCATACTGGAGAACATCGCCATCAACCACGGCGGCCATGAGTGGTTGCCCTCCCCCGGGGTTCGTCTCGCCGAACGCCGCAACGATTCTGGAAGCCGAATCGGACCTGCTCAACCTGACGCACGTGTTACCGATTCTCGAAACGTTTGTCACGCACGTCCACTACGAAGCATTTGTCAATGTGCAGGGGGATAATGGGCAGTACGGCGTGCTATATCCCCCTATGATCAGTGCGTACCTGTCCTCTCCCAAACCCAAACCCAAACCCAGACTCCTAGAACCACACAGACATTTTCTGTTCCGACCCGCTTGCTGACACTCGACACGTCTGTCTGAACCACCAGACATGACGCTGAAGTGGGATCCAGACGCGCCATTCGGTCCGCCCCCGCCCTCCAACGGCTCTGCATCGCCAGCATGGCTGCCGACAGGCAGAGAATGCAACGGGACAACGGCCGTCTACCACACCTGGCCTGTACCAGCTATACTCTTGGACGGCAGAGCAGCTACAAGCGACTTTGTTACGGTAGACTGGTACTACATACGCAGCGATGACGGCGCAACGGGGGCGACGAACCACTTGGAGAGCAGTACGTTTGTCGTGCTCAAGGCACCAGCCCCGCCGCCGCCGCCGCCGCCGACGCCCTCCTCGAGCAATACGACCGGGAGTACAACGCCGAGCGGGGAAGTCGGGTCTGCAAGTGCAAGCACGAGCTCGGGGGTTACCACGCCGGAGGAGGGAGGACCAACATCACAGGACCACGGCGTCAGCGCCAACGCTGCCCTCGCCTTGAAGATTGTGATGCCCATACTTGTCGTCGGCATGGCGTTTGCCATATGGACCTGGTGGCGGCGTCGGAAAAGCCCGGGGAAAGATGAGGGAGTCTTTGGACGAGAAATGGCGCAGGAAGCCGACGGCGTAGCTGTCACTCCCGCTGCGATGCAATTCGAGAAGGCAGAGCTTTCGGGGGGTCCTGTAGTCGTTGCCACTACTGCTCAATCAGGAGAGCACCAGGAGCAGTTTGCTGTAGGGATGGCGGGCGGCCAGACTAATCAGCAAGTAGAAAGCTTCGGGACAGCAGGTCATCTGGACAGGGGCCGAGTCATGTCTTTTGAGCTGGAGGCTCCTTTGTACAGTGGTAGTCGAGGGGCTGAGAGGGGCTGAGGCATATCAATAGGGTAAGGTGGCGTTCTTTTGAGAGCTTTACTCCTGAATCATGTTACGAACCTATAAAATGATGAGGGGACTCTGAGTTATAAGATAGTCAACACCCATAAATACGTAGCGCCATGTAGCCATTCATCAAGATCTTTCACGCTGCCGCGCCACCAGGTTCACCTTACAGAACATAAACCCCAAGCTCAGCAGCTACACCCATTCGTCCCATTTGTCTCGTTCGTCCTCACTGCCACTGATTGCGAGCCCAGGTCCTTGTTGGACGGCACATCAATGGCCGGGTTCTGCGTGAAGAAGTCGGATGGCATCAGATGCAACTGAAGCACCTCGACAGGCCTTTATCACAAGTATGGTTAGCAATATATCCAAAACATGAGGCAAGGAGGAACACCCACATCACAGGCCAGTCCTCGACTCGAGGATTGTGCGTCAGGCCATAGACTGCCCAGAGCACTACGTCCTCGTCCTCCACGTCATCTCCCCGCTTCACGGCATCTGCCACGCCCCCGATCTCATCCATGCCTTGCATCGGGAACCGCCCGCCGACATACAGCTCGTCGTCCTCGTACTTGGTCACCCACAGGTGGTGCTGTGCAAACAACGCCCGCCGCGCCTGGATGCTCTGCTTATCCGCGAGGAGCAGCTGCGTGGCAGGCATGGCCAACTTGTAGCCCACGGGCTTGCCCGAGACAGGGTTGCGCTTGGACGGGTCGCGGTTCTGCACCTTGAATACGCGGTGCCGTTCTGGTGCCAGATCCACGCCGCAGCTCTTCTTGAGCACTGTCTGCGCGACCTCGTAGTAGTTGCCGTAGGGGTTGGTCTTTGGGTTCATCGGCACGGGGAGGCTCTCCTCCTGCACGACGGTGTTGTTCATGCCGTCGATGGCCGGGTCGATGCGGGCGGCAAAGATGTGCTGGTGATTCTGTGCGAGAGCTCCGGGGGAGACGACATTGCCCCATGGCGCCGTCTTGCCCGGGTCAATGTTGACCACCGAGACGATACCCGTGGCCCGTGTCTCGATCGTGATGCCGCCCGCCTGGTCGAACTTGAAGTTGAAGGCATACTCGTAGTTGGCCAGCGTGATGATGTACTGCACGACGAGCTGACGGCGGCGTGTCACCACCGCTCGATTTGTCCGCCAGTCTGTGTGCTTCCAGCCGATACCGTCATCTTGCTCGTGCAGACAAATGACGTTCTGCGTGGTCTCGATGGTTCCGTCGGGTTCAGTGAGCAGCCCGTCAAAGTACTTGATCAGGCCCAGACAGTCACAACCGAGAGCGAGATTGTTGACCGCGTGGCCGAGGCCGCCATCTCCAAAGTCAAACGCCTGCTTCCGCTGGAAGGGGTTGCGCGGGTCTGCGTAGGGCACAGACATGTCGCTCATGCTTAGCCGGTAGACTATGCTACGGCCCGCGAAGCGGATGTCGTGGAGCACGGCACCCTCGCGAGGGTTGAAGGTGACACGCATGCTCCACTTCTGCCAGTCTATGCGGTTGCCGTCGGTGACGGTGAAGCTGGCGCCCTCGGGCTGGATGACCGTGAGCGGCTTGAGGTCTGTGCGGACGCCCTGGGGCAGCTTCTCTGGGCAGTACTCGGCCGGCCGGCAGTGCTCGATGATTTTGTTGGTGGTGCGGGTGCCGACCTTGTCAATAGGGTCGTCCTTGCCGCCAGTGGCAATCTCGACGACGCGGATAATCTCTTTTGTGCGGGCATCCATAACGGGGATGAGGGGGATCGGGTACGCGTAAAAGTTGGAGTCGGGCCCGTTGTCCTTGCGGTTGACGGCGTAGACGAGACCCTGGAAGACGCGGGAGCCATCGTCGGTGTGGTCGGAGGCGCCATAGGGCCAGGGCTCCACGATGGCCTCGAAGCCGGGCGGCAGCTCAAACTGCTTCAGTTTGGCCTGGAAGAGCTCGGAACGCTCACAGGCGTCGGGAACCTCGCGCAGCTCATCCACGCTGAGCGAAGCGTGCTGGCCGACTCCATGGCTACGCGTGGCGGTGATCTTGTGGGTGGCGAGGTCGACGACGGCCTCGACATACTCTGCCTTCTTTTCTTGGCCGCCGACATCGCACCAGACCTGGGCGAAACGCGGAGGGCGGGGTGTCTCGTCGGTGAGCTTGCCGCTGTGCTCGAGCTCCAGGAAGGCGAAGACTTCGGCCTTGGGGGCCTCGCGGAGGAAGATGTTGCGGAAATAGATGACGCTGCCGGGGTAGGCGGCAATGACGGCGTCGCGGGCAGCCTGGGACTCCTCGACTGTGAGGGCCGACAGCGGGTGAGGGAGGGGAGCCATGGTGATGAGGTGTTCTGTGCAGTGAAGAGCGACTGGCAACCTTGCCGGCCAAGACAGGAGGCTGCCTGGAGCTCGGTCACTTATGTATTCGTCACATGTGCCGCGGACGACAGCCAGAGCGTGTCGGAACTCTGGAGGTCGAACGATTCCGCTTGTTCCTCAGCACGTTCACCTTTAGGTGTGCTCCGCAGAGGGGCATGCAAGTGTTGCTGCCGATTGCCCAGAGAAGGTTAGCGGGTGGCTTCGCCATTATCGGCGTGTTCACATGGAGGGGGGGTTGTTGCGCAGGGGGGAGGTACAGTGCACAGACACAATGAGGCACGGCTCAAACACCACTCAGGTGGCCACCCTTGAACGAACGATTGCTCTACTCTACCTGCAACATCTCCATCTCACAGCTTGTCCATCATGTTCCACTTGATCACCTTGACGCTGGTCCACTCCTCAATCGCGTCTTTGCCCATGTCCCGGCCGAAACCGCTCTCCTTGACGCCACCAAACGGCGTGTTGGCGTTGACCGTCCCCCACATGTTGACTGTCACCTGCCCAGCCTCGATCGCCTCGGTGACTCGGTAGGCCCGGCCCAGATCCTTGGTGAAGACGGCCGCTCCCAGACCGTAGACTGTGTCGTTGGCTTTGGCAATAACCTCCTCTTCTGTCTTGAACGGGGCAATACTGGCAAAGGGTCCAAAGATCTCCTGCTGCATGATGCTCGCGTCCTGCTTGACGTCGCTGAACGCCGTGTTGGCGACAAAGTGACCGGCACTGTCGAGGGCTCTGCCTCCGTGGAGCAGCTTGGCACCAGAATCGCGGCCCTTGTCCACAAACGACAGAATCCGATCGCGCTGCCCAGCGCTGATGACGGGGCCCTTGGTCGTCTCCGGCAGCAGCGGGTCGCCGTGAACAGACTCTGCAGTGCGCGCGCTGAACTCCTTGACAAACTTGTCGTAGATGGTGTCTTGCACATAGATGCGGCTTCCGGCGACGCAGATCTGGCCATTGTTGACACTGATGCCCAGCGACGTCCACATCAGCGCATTCTCCCAGTCCGCATCGTCAAAGACAATCGAGGGCCCCTTGCCGCCCAGCTCGAGCGTGACCTTTTTCAAGTTCGACTTGGCCGACGCAGCCAAGACCTGCCTGCCCACACCGGGCGAGCCCGTAAACGAAATCTTGCGCACGTCCATGTGCTCCGACAGCGCGGCACCCGCAACCTGACCCAGCCCGCACACAATGTTGACCACCCCGGGCGGAATGCCTGCCTCGACGATGATCTCGCCCAGCTTCTGCGCGTACAGGGGGCACAGCTCGGGCGTCTTGATCACCATGGTGTTGCCGGTCGCCAGGCATGGCGCGAGCTTCCACATGGTGATCATGAGGGGCGAGTTCCACGGCACGATGGCGGCACAGACACCAATCGGCTCGCGGCGCGTGTATGCGAACCCTTCTGGGATGGTGAGTGTTTCGCCGTCCACTTTGTCCGCCCAGCCCGCGAAATAGCGCAGGTTCTCGAGCGCCTGGCTGACGTTGAGGCCCATGCTCTCGCGGTAGAGGATGCCTGCGTCTAGAGCTTCCAGGCTGGCGAGCTCAGAGGCGTGCTTCTCCAGGGCCGTGGCGAGGGCGAGCAGGTAGTCGCGCCGCTGGCTGGGCGAGGTCTTGCGCCATGACGCAAACGCCTTCTTGGATGAAGCCACCGCGATGTCGACGTCGGCCTTTTGAGCTGCAGAGACCGTGGCGAGGTGTTTGCCGGTCGCGGGGTTTTCGACTTCGAGGGTTGCGTTGTCGGTTGCTGGCACGAACTTGTTGTCGATGAAGAGGCCAGTAGAGACTGGCTGCTGTTAGTTGTCGTCGAGTGGCTCACTGGGAAGGCGTCGTACGTACCCGAAAAGCTGCGCCCCTCGGCTCCCTCCAATTCTATCTGTGATGCCGTCATTGTTCCGTTTCGAGCGATGCGTGGTAATTCTGCTGTGTTTTAGGGATTTCTGTTCCTTTGGAGTGATTAATCGCTTGGTGTGGTGTTGTTGGTGTGTTAGTTAAGCCCATATAACTCTGGCGTATTGTTAGTGTATTATGAAGCGGGCCCCACGGTTCAGTTCCGGGACCTCGGAAACTGTAGTCGTCGGCCACACACGGCGTATTTCTAAGCTTGCTGACCACGCAGTCGTGCAGGCCGGTCGCAGTTTGTTTCTCAATCTGCAGGTCGCTGCACTCTTTGCGCACTTCTGCATTATCCCGAGCGGGGTCTCAGAAACGTTCACTATCACCATTTGCCGGACAATAAAATTAGACAATTTGCACGTTATTTCATTATCCATATGCAATCCAAAAGGTGTCTTCATTCCTCAACTACCCGCATTACAAAGGCAAACATCTCATTCGACTTGACCGACTCCTTGATTTCCAACTTCCGCGCCGTCTCCTCTCCCCCAACAGGGACCCTGTACTCCAGACTCTTTCCGCCAGCTCCTGCCGGGCTCGGGAACGGCAGGTACTCCGGCATAAGCCCCAGCTGCGCGAGGACTGTGCCCTGATCCCACCAGATGTGCTCGTGGTACAGCCGGTCGCCGCGGATGTTGACGACCGCCGTCATGGGGATGCACAGCTTCTTGCCCGTAGGAGGGATCCCGGGGGCACTGTATTGTGATCATGTTAGTGAATCTGCCTCACGGGTTCATAGCGTTGAGGATACGCACAGCCAGTCAATCTGCGAGTTGTGCGTGCACTTGAACAGCTGCTCGTCAATGACCCGATCGATGCCCATAGACCGGCTGAGCAGCACCGTCTCAATGTCGTCTGGGTTCTTGAAGATGAAGTGATCGCGATAGAATGCCGTCAGCTCCTCGCGGCCAATGCCGCCAGTGAGCTGTCCACCCCTTGCCGTCAGCATATCCCGTCACGACTGCATTCGAGGTTTACCGCAGACTCACCGTCGGCACGTGGTTGACATATGGCTCCTGCACCATCGTCCCCATCGTGCACTCGAGCGACCTGTTCTCAAACTCGTAGTACGTGTGCTCGTCCCATAGCGCCTCGAGGTCAAAGTACGGCCCTCCCAGGAGCTTCTTGAAGAACGTGAGGTTCCGCGAGTGCGAGACGCCCTCGGCCGCGTAGTTGAAGTCGGCCTGGAATGGGAGGGCGAAGGACGCGGAGCTGACGGTGTCATAATCGTAGGCTGTGAGGTTGGGTGTGCGCGGAGGGACAACTTCGGCCTTGCCTGCGAGATGTTGGACTAGTGGAATCGGGGATGGTGCCAGGCTCGACGCTACGCTAACGTCGGCATACACGGCAGCGCCGATGACTACAGGTGAGGCGGGGAGTTGAGAGACCACCTTGTTCCACAGCTCAGCTGTGTATGCTGGCCCGACACTCTTGTCAACAAAAGGGTTCTGGTATCTCTGGAGATGGATGCTATCACGAACCAACGAGACCCACTCCATCCCTCGACACGGCTGGATCCGCCGCCTGCGTAGACTCGCACGCCGCAATAGCCGCACAGGCCTTGACGACCGCGTCTGACGAAGCACTCAGCGCTGCCTCGGTGATCTCGACAGTCACAAACCCTTCTTCGGCCCACTTCATCAGGGGCGATGGCGTGCCGCCCTTGATGGCCAGCACGCCTGGTCCAGCGGTACCCGTGCTCGGCACAACCACGATGAAGCCCGGACCATGACCCCGACGCGAAAGCGGGTGGCTCAGAGTGATGCCCTCTGTGACCTGCTCGAGGCGCGTCTCTGGCAGGAAGGGCAGCTTGTCGTACTTGGTGTTGATCATTTTTGGTTCTTGGCGTGATTGGTCAATACGGACCTCCAGGAAGCAGCAAGCTGGTGCTGCTACACTCTGCGTACCATATAGCAAGATTCTCAAACACGCTGTGCCTACGACTCATCCATTCCCATCGTTTCCGGTCTCACTTCCCACACTCAACTTGTCTCAACCTTGTTACGAAGACTCCGGGGAACGCAGGCAGGCCCGCGCTGTGCTTCACGACGGACTTGCTCTGTGTCATGCCATTCCGCCCAAAACTGGACAGGGGTGCCGACCCCGTCCCGGAATCACGGAGCGGAACCGGAACACGCCTTCGGAACGGTCCTGCGCAAAAGTTGTGGGCCCACTAGCTTCCGGACAACCCGGCCGTCCAATCGTCGCGCTGCACAATTCCGAATCAGGAAACGCGGCTTCCTGGGGCATGGCGCACCTTTATCATCAAGGAACTTTGACTCTCATTGGCTACAAGTTATCACGCGGAACTGCAGCACTTTGGAACGTTGGCCCTTTCGTTGACTGGATATAACACCCACAAGTAGTAAAGAACCTTCCGATCTTCTCGGGGAGGACTACCAGGTCGGAAACAAACAGCCTACGCCTATAGTTAGTTCGTCGCCTGCCGGCCTAAGCGGTGTTGCCCATCGAAGTAGACGCGGACGCGAGAAAGACTATTCCAGACTCCCGGGCAACGGGCGTCGTCTTAGTTGGGGAGCTAGCAAAGACTATAGGAAAAACGTTATGGTTGCAGTTATGATGGGTTGTGTGATCAGGGCACTATATGTCGAATACACCAGAACTCAAGATGTCAAAATAGAGTGGTTCGGAATGTAGCAAGAACTGCTGGGTGTCGCGTGTGGTCATGCATCGAGATATCTCTGAATTCATGCGTAGGGCGCGGCTCTTGATAGAAGGAGGCAAAGGGTTGTGCAAGCAGCCTGACTTGCTTACATGATCATGCCGTGTTGCCTCAAGGGGTGATGTTGTTCCCGCGTGCACAACCTGCCCTTAATCCTTGGCCCGATTTTATGACCTGATTCTCAAGCCATCACACTGTACCTCAGTACCCGCAGAATAATTCTATATCTAATGGCTAGATACCAAATCGGCACCGAAATGGTGCTAAGTCGGTGCCGTAGGCTTCGCGACCTTACAAAACCGTGCAAGACCCTTTCAAATTCAATCAAGCACAAGAAAGACTTTGTTTAGCAGCAATAGTAGTCCAGGGACCCCATCAATCCTTCTCAGCTGCTCTTGTCCGACTTCTCCCGCTGCGACTCCGCCATCTCAACAGCCCCCACAGACTCGACCTTTGTCGCCGGGATCACCTCGGCGTCGTCGCCGTCGAAGATGAAGGCCATCTGCTCGAGGGTGCGGCCGCGGGTCTCCGGATAGCAGAAGTAGGCGAGCAGGAGGAAGGCGACGAGGAAGACAATGTAGACAAAGTAGTACTTCCACGCGATGGTCTCGAGGGCGATCGGGTTGACAAACATGTTGAATATGCCCGCGAGGATGCCCGAGATCCAGGTGACGCTGAAGCCCCTTGACCGCAGGCGGTAGGACCAAATCTCGACCGGGTACGCGACGATAAGCGGGGTCCTAGATTGTGGATTGTTAGTGGTGTGCCCACTAGTAGTATATATGCGAACAAGGAGAAAAGAAATACTCACAGAGCGAGATCGTAGCCTAGAAAGAAGATGAAGAGGAAAGGAACAACAGCAAGGCCCACGGCCGCGTTGCCACTACTAGCAAACGAACCCGACAAGCCAGTAACGACGATATAGGAGATCAGCATGATAACCGCAGAGCTGAGGAACAAGACCCGGCGTCCCAGTCTCTCGACCGATACCGCGGCGGCGATGGCCCAAAAGAGGTTCCAGACCTGCAGCAGTGCATTGATGAGCGTCTGATGGGTAACGCTGGTGATTCCGACAGTGTTGAGCACCAAAGGGAGATAGTACGAGACGACGCCGTTACCGCTCCACTGGCTAAAGAAACCTAGAGAGATGGAGATGAGCAGCCGCCACCGGTTGCCCTTAGTCTTGACCAGGTCGAGGTAGCTCGAGCTAGCATGGGCTTGCTGCTCGGCCTTGATTGTGTTGACAATCTCGTCCGTCTCAAAGTTGATAAGCGGCGAGCTCTCGTCACCACCGGCGTGGTGCTTAATGACGAACTGTCTCACATCCTCGACTCGGTCTACAGAGGCAGACCATCTGGGGGACTCCGGGGCGATAATGAGTCCAGGGAGCGCTAGGGCGGGGAGCAGGATCTGGAGAAGGGAGGGAAGCCTCCAGTCCCAGGAGTTGCCGTAGTCTTTGGTCGCAAAGGTGACCCAGGCAGCGATCAGGCTGCCGAGGTAGAAGCCGCACTGGAAGCACGAGGCCGCGATCGGTCGGTGGGTCGGGAACGCGATCTCGTTGATGAGCAGCGGTGCGCCAGCGGTGAACATTCCAGCAGCAATGCCAAGCAGGCCACGCGCGGCGACAAAGGCGGCGTCGTTGGGGGCTGCAGTCTGGAGGGCCGTGGCTGTAACGAGGAACACATAGCCAATGTAGATTCCAGTCTTATGTCCAAACTTGTTGGATATCCACGCGGCGCCGAAGAAGGAGATGCCGTTGAGAGCCCAGTATATGGCATTGATAAAGCCAAGCCAGCCGCCAGTCGGCATGCCCATGAACTCGTTCCAGCCAGGCAGCGCCAGCAGGCCGCCCATCATCGACCCATCGTAACCGTTCGCGGAGGCTGTTAGGACGCGCCTGATTAGCTCGTGTGTGTGCGAGTAGAGCAAGAAGCGAAGAAGAACTTACACAGCAGGCACAGAGACAGGATAACGTAGTTGAGGCGCAGAAGATGAGTCTTCTTGTACCATGGCTTTCCATCAGAAGGCAGCACCGATGCCAGCTGGCTGGCCAAGCTGTGTGTCGCCTCGGCCCCCATGATGTCTGTCACAGGTTATTTATTCGTGGATTTGGGTTAGATGACGAGGTTGGCTGTAGAAGAGTTGTTGTGCTCCTGCCGAGATCGGATATCAGGCAACCCCAATCTCACAGGGGATCAGGGTTGGCTTTATATAGACCGGCGTCGACATGGAGCAACTAGAGGCACGAGCCAGCCATCGGGGTTGGAGTTAGGCGCTCTATCTGTGGGCTGTTATCCGGGGTCTGCCGCGGCTGATCCGAAATGCTTGCTCGTCGACCTCGTCGTCGTGGGGCTCGAGTCGCTAGCTGCACGGGGCTGCGGGGAAATTACCGCAGAGTATGGGGTCTGCAATCCCCCCCTGTAGATCGTGGATCTTGGACCAGTTCAACATCTGCGAGCTGCAACAGTTACTCACGCGACCCGAGCTGAGCAAAGGCCATTCTAGACCCCCTGGGCGCCTAGTATGACTCGGCAGCTCTTGATAGACCAGGGCCTGGAGGGGCCACCTGGCCGATTTAGCCCGCTAACGCCTGCAGCAAACAGGGCTGAGCCCAGGGCGATAAGGTTTCTAGTCAGCCACGCGGCTCTTCATGCAGTTTAGCGGCGGAGTTGTCGATTGCCGATGATTACGCGGCGGGGAAATATGGCTGAATGGGGTAACTCCAGATAAGACCATCCGGGGAAGCGACCCTGATAAGTTCCCCTGTAGGCGTGGAACTAGCCAGAGTGAGTTGCCTCGGCTAGATTCCAGGTCTAGGCCTGCCCTCCCTCGCGCTCGGACAAACCCGATGGCAACGGATACGAGAAATATCAGGCCAAACATGTAATTATCAATAATCTGAAAGGCAACGATAGATAGCATTCAGCTTTCAATCTGGATTCCTTCCCCGTTTCATCTCGAAGCTGGGCTGAGCGAGGCGCTGCAAGACCGTGCTTATCGCATTCTCCACCAATCTCTTGATCCATATGCGCACATTACCATGTCGCCACTCATAACTGACGCGTTCACGAACCAACTTGACGTGGACGAGCTTCTTTGTCAGCTGTCGATAGAGGAGAAGGCCTCTCTCCTTGCAGGTAAGCTCGAGTTACCAACGTCGCTACAATGGTGACAGGCGACAACCACATCTACAACGTGAGCTGATCGGCCGCTTTGTGTACTTTGCACAGGCAAGGACTTTTGGCACACTACGCCACTGCCCCTACGCGGCATCCCCTCCATCCGCGTCTCTGACGGGCCCAATGGCATCCGCGGGACCAAGATCTTTGACGCTGTCCCTTCATCATGTCTTCCCTGCGGGACTGCCCTTGGAGCAACGTTCAACACGGAACTGGTCGCCCAGCTGGGCCAGCTCCAGGGCCAGGAGGCCAAAGCTAAAGGGGCCGTTGCCGTGCTTGGGCCGACGCTCAACATCCAGAGAGGGCCGCTAGGTGGCCGCGGCTTCGAGTCCTTTTCAGAAGATCCGCTGCTATCCGGCCTTCTGGCTGGCCATTATGTTCGTGGCGTCCAGCAGGAAAAGGTAGCCGCCACGCTTAAGCACTTTGTCTGTAACGATATGGAGGACGAGCGTATGAGGGTCAATGTCCTCGTCACGCCCCGGGCCCTGCGTGAGATCTACCTATTGCCGTTCATGCTGGCCATCTCTATCGGGGACCCCCGCGCGGTTATGACGGCCTATAATAAGGTTAATGGCATACATGTCTCCGAGAGTAAGGAGCTGCTACAACACGTTCTCCGAGACGAGTGGAAATTTGACGGGCTGGTCATAAGTGATTGGTGAGTCATACCCTCCCTACCTCCCCCTCTCCCTCTCTCTCCTCTGTGATGGACAGATGGCTTTGAATCTCTCTCTTTCTAACCTGTTTCCCCGCCCCTTCCTCCAGGTTCGGCACCTATAGTGTGACCGAGTCCGTCCAAGCCGGCGTCGACCTGGAGATGCCCGGCCCGACGCGCTGGCGGGGTGGCGCCCTGGCGCACGCCGTTGAATCCAACAAACTAACGGTTCGCGAGCTCGACGACCGCGTCCGGAACGTGCTCAACCTGATCAACTACTCGGTGGCCGCGGGTGTCCCCGAGAACGCGCCCGAGACGCAGCTCAACCGGCCTGAGGACCAAGCGCTGCTGCGGCGGGCCGCGGGCGAGTCGATCGTGCTGCTCAAGAACGAGGGCTCGGTGCTACCGTTTGCCAAGTCCGGCAAGACCACGGCCGTCATCGGGCCCAACGCCAAGACGGCCCGGTTCTGCGGCGGCGGGAGCGCTTCCCTGCTGCCGTACTACGCCGTGTCCCCGTACGAGGGCGTGGCCAGGAAACTCGAGGACCAGCGGCTGCCGCTACCGCGGTTCGCGCAGGGCACGAGCGACGACCAGCTGCTCCCGCTGCTGGGCGACCGGCTGCGAACCGCGAGCGGCCAGCGCGGGTTCACCTGGCGAGCGTACAATGAGCCCGCGACGGTGGCCGGGCGGGAATGCGTCGACGAGCGGGTGCTGGTCGACTCGAACTGCTTCTTCATGGACTACGAAAACGCGGCGCTGGCGCCGGTCTGGTACTGCCAGGCCGAGGGCATCTTCACGCCCGACGAGAGCGGTGTGTACGACTTTGGGCTGGGCGTCGAGGGCACTGGCCGGCTGTACGTCGACGACGCGCTAGTCGTCAGTAACGTCGAGAATCAGAAGCCCGGTATTACGCTATTTAGCGCGGGCACCGTCCAGGAGACGGGCAGCAAGACGCTCGTGGCGGGCCGCGGGTACACCGTCCGCGTGGAGTGGGCGTGTTGCCGGACGAGCAAGCTGCCGCCGCGGACGCCGGTTGGGGGCATCCACGGAGGGCTGCGGATCGGCGCGGCTCGGCGTGTCGAGGACCCGGAGTGGGCGATTGCCGAGGCGGCGGCGCTAGCCGGCGAGGTCGACCAGGTGGTGCTCGTCGTTGGGCTCAACGGTGAGCTCGAGTCGGAGGGCACCGACCGCCCACATATGGACATGACGGCGCACACGAACGCCCTCGTGAGCGCCGTCCTCGCCGCCAATCCAAACACCGCCGTCGTCGTCCAGTCAGGCACCCCCGTCGGCATGCCCTGGATCGATCAGGCCAACGCTGTCTGCCATGCGTGGTACGGTGGAAACGAGACGGGCAACGCCATTGCTGATGTGTTGTTTGGCGACGTAAATCCGGTAAGACTCGCCAATCTTCTTTTTTGCTCTATTATTAAGCTACATCGCCTATTTACTATACTAAGACAAATGCCCTTCTTCTCTCTCAGAGCGGCAAGCTGCCCCTAACGATCCCACGCCGGCTCGAGGATAACCCGACCTATCTTAACTTCCGCAGCGAGGCCGGGCGCGTACTATACGGGGAGGACGTCTACGTCGGGTATCGGTATTACGACAAGGTCCGCACGTCGCCCTTGTTCCCGTTTGGCCACGGCCTGTCGTACTCGACCTTTACGCTGGAAGACCTCGCCGTGGACTGCCACCAGCAGCACGGTCACCAGCAGACGAGCGTCACGCTGCAAGTCTCCAACGCAAGCTCGCGGGCCGGAGCCGAGGTCGTACAGGTCTACGTCGCCCCGCCGCCTACGAGTGCGGTTGGCCGGGCCGTCAAGGAGCTCAGAGGGTTCCAAAAGATATTCCTAGAGGCGGGGCAGACGCGCCGGGCCTCAATCGAGCTCGACACGGTGCTGGCCACAAGCTACTGGGACGAAGGGCGCGGCCAGTGGTGCAGCGAGGCGGGCGAGTACAAGGTGCTGGTGGGGACGAGCAGCGCGGTTACGCCCCTCGAGGCGTCCCTCACGATGGTTAGGACAAGATACTGGAGTGGGCTGCGGCCGTGAGGTAGTCGTCGACTGCGGGAACCATGTGCCATGCACAATCTGGTTTAGCTAGGAACCATAGAAGTGTATGACGTTGACATGCGAGCACATGAAGTAAATGTAAAAGTATGTGTAGTGGACACTAGTGACAACAACAACAACAACAACAACATGGACCGTTGAAAGTCACCAGTATTTGTTCAGCTGCAGCGTGCATTATGGTGGGCGTCGAGGTGCCTCCGCCTGAGGCCAACATCGCTGGGTGGAATCCCCCAAAGGTATTCATTCCACCGTACACGCACCAGGGGAGCCTTCTCCTCTTCTCAGATAGCAATAGACCCACCCGGCTTGAACTTGTCCGTTGCCGGCTCGGCTGCCGGGTCCGCGTAGGATTCAGTACGCTAAAGGAATACCTAATAGCAGCCGCAGCCCCTGGTGCTCCCCCCCGCTACGGACTGACATTCCCTATGGAAACATCTTGGTCCGGCACAAAACTACAAGCCCCTTCCTGCCAGCCAGCCAGCCAGCCAGCCTTCCCCCTCGGGCTTCACAGGGTTGATGCGGCGGTTCCCTCCAGGCACCGCTGCCGCTGGTCATGACCACCAGCCCGGCTGACGGCGATGGCCAGCTACAGCTGTCACTGCCCTCACCAGTTCCCTCACCTGCGCCTGTAAAGGGACACTCTCTGCCGGCCTGTGATGCATGCCGGCTCCGCAAGCGCCGGTGCTCCCTGACCGCCGGGGCCGAGGGCCGCACCCGGGCTACCGGGACTGCCCTCGCGACCACGACAACATCGCTGCCGCCGCCACCGCCGTCGTCGTCGTCGCCGTCGTCGGGCAAGTGCCTCAACTGCGAGCGAGCTGGCTCTCGCTGCACATTCCTATTGCCGCTCCGAGCACGGGGCCCGACGCCGGGCCGCAAGGCAGTCCCCGCTCACCACCAGATTGCCGCGTGGCAGGTCGACCCCCACGAGAGCAAGACCGACACCGCCATCCCGACGCGAGTCCATGCCACCGACATCCTCTTCTCGCGGGAGCTGGTGCTGCTGGTGTTGAACGACTACGTGACGTACGTGTACCCGCTGCTGCCGGTCGTCCACCGTCCGTCGTTTGCGGCGGACCTGGAAGGGGGCCGGGACGCGCGGGACGGCGACTTGCTGGCGCTGGTGGTGTCGCTATGCGCCGCAACCGTGGGCCTGTTGCCATCGCGGCTGCCGACGTACCGCGCCCACGGCCTCCCCTTTGAGACGCGCACCGCCATGGCCAACCACTGCTTCCGCCTCAACCAGGGTTTCCGCGGGCCGGCCTACTTCGACACCATCAGCCACTCCAAGTGGGCCAGCACGTACATGCTGGGCATCGCCATCCACCAGACGGGCAACGCCAACCTCTGGCGCATGCTCGAGGTTGAGGCCATGCAGCTCCTCCGCCTCCTCGAGGTCCATCACCTCGCCTCCTACGCGGGGCTCGACCCCATCGAGGTCCAGCTCCGCAAAAAGGCCTTCTGCCTCATGTTCAACGGATACGTCCACCAAGCCCACAACCTCCGCAACGAACGCGTCACCTTTCTCGACCCCGTCCTCCTCCGCACCATCAGCCTCGACGACCTCATGCCCGCCCCCCTCGACGACGACTACCTCTCCCTGGCCGGCATCCTCCCCTGCCCGCACGACGTCGCCTCCGCCTCCCTCACCGCCGGCTTCAACATCCACGTCCGCGTCTTCGCCGCCGCCCTCGAGTCCCCCGCCGCCACATTCAACCCCCCGCCTCGCCACTGCGCCAATGACCGCGCCAGAGACACGTCCAAGGCCCGCCTCGCCGCCCTCCGCGAGCAGCACCACCGCCTCATGTCCATGCTCGACTCGATCCCTCCTATCTACCAGCCCCAGAACCATCATCAGCAGCACGGCCTCCAGCGGGAAAGCACGGCCACCATCCAGCGCGACGCCATCCGCGCGAACATTCACGTCACCCACCTGTGGCTTCAGAGCATGCTGCTCGACCAGATCGACGCCATCGTCACTACCGACCAGCAGGAGGAGCCATCCGTCACCAGTCCGGACCAGCACCAACACCAGCAGCCCATCATGACGACACCAGCCGAGGGCTCGTGGGACGAGCGCGAAGACATCTGCCAGAAGCTTCTGCACGTAATCCACTCCATTTCGTTTTCAGGTCTCGAGGTCAACGGGTCCGCATTGGTCAGTCCTTTTTCTGTTTTGTTCCCCTCACCTCTGTTTCTACCCCTTTGAATCCTCCGAGCCCAAAACCCAACAATGATTCTGAGTAGACATCATCACGGTCAGGACTACTATGCTAGACAACGACAAGCGACTGCTGACAACTATAAAACCCAAACAGGTCTACAAGCTCCGCGACGTCGCCGCCCCGCTCCTGGCCTGCCCGTACCCCGCGCAGGAGGACCGCGGCCGCCGCGTGGCCGAGTACGTGCGCGAGTTCTCAGCCATCCTGACCACGCTCGACGGCAGCGAGATGCCCCACTCGCTCAGCCTGCAGAGCTGGGTGGACACCACCAGCCACCGCCGGGTTGGCCGCGAGAGCGATGGAGGCCGCGGTGGTGGTGTCAGGAACAGCAGCAGGAGCACCAGCAGCAGCAGCAGCAGCAACAATGGCAGTGGCTTCAGATCCGTCGTGTCGGCGTCTCCTCCTCCCGCTATGACGACAACGCCGGCAGCGGCAGCGGCAGCGGTGGGGACGTTGTTGTCAATAACGCCTGGATGAGAGAGAAAAGAAAAGGAAAAGAAAAAGAAAAAAAAAAAAAAAAAGGGGGTGGGGGGGGGGGGGGGGCGCAGGGAAACAAACATGATCTTCAACTGATACATCCCCACACACACGCACGCACACAAGGGTGTGAACACTCTGGGGTGTTCACGCTAATGTAGAACAAGGTTTCGGCCGGCCAGGCCAAGACACTGATGACACCAGCGTAGAGAGTAGCGAGTGAATTTGACGTAACCAGCAGCGGAAGCAACATCAGCCTCCAGTTCCCCGCCATCCGTCAACGCATTCTTTTGAGGCCTGGGAAAAGTTGCTGCTGGGAGAACGGTCAATCCTCGATAATCGCATAGGGGGTTCGTTCATGAATATGAGAAAGCTACAACAAACTTGTACTCTTGGAAATGATTTGATTTGGGTTGATATACATCAAGAACTTGGGGAACACAAACAGTACAAAAGACTTTTTTTCTAGTGATACACGACTTCAGTTGCTGAGTACTAATCGTCGAGCTCCACGGGGATTTTTGAAAGCCGAGAGGCTGAGGGCCGAGGTTCAATAGTCCCAGACTCGCACATATCTAGAGCTCCCCGCCCCCCTATTTACTCCGGTTTTTTTGCCGCACCCCAGCTGCAGGCGTGGGGAAAGTCCCATGCTGGCACTAGGCGTGCCTTGTAGTGGGCACATCTTTTACGTGCCGCAATGATCCCGACAACCTTGCCAAAACCCGGCAGCGTCTCTCTGTGGCAGCGATAGAAGCGTGGAGGCTAAACGACCCTTTCGTTGAAGGAGGTGCCCCCTTTTCTTGTGCGCGGTATGTGCACGACTGAAGCGCCCGTCCAATAATCATTCATCGACTGTTAAGATGTGGTGGGAAACAAGCCCGGAAGGGCCGAGTGGTTCGATGATAGAGCTCGGATCTTGTGGCAAATGATCCGATAATCCCAAGATGGAGTGCAAATACTTTGTTTGCCAGCTGTACGGTTTGATTTGAATTCTTCCTCGGCCTCTTCTTCGATGCGGCGTCTTGTTCGCCTAGAAGAACAGCTCGTAAGCAGCCTTGGCTGTGAGGCCGGCGACCACAAAGGAGCTGGTGAGCCAGACGGGGAAGCGGATGCCCGGGTTGTTTGTGGAGACGTGGATGATGCTGTGGATGATTCTCAGGCCGACGTAGCCCCAGGCGAAGCGGACAGTGGCCTTGTCCCGGACGTTGAGCACGCTGAGGGCGAGCAGGACGGCGTAGAACTGGGTGGGCTGCTCGAGGAGGTTGTTGAAGTTGTCGGCGGGCCACTGGACAAAGGCGGGCAGCTTCTCGGCCTTCTGCTTCTTGACGGTGGCCGGGTCGAAGGTGACGCCGTACTTGCTCAGGGCGGGGATGCGGCGCTTGTAGAGCAGGCCCTCGATGGCAAAAGTCCAGGCGTTCAGGCCGACGAGTGGCCCGAGCAAGGGGTGGTCGGCGAGGAGGGGCGACATGATGGCTCTGAAGGGGTGGTGGCTGACAGGCTGGGAAAAAAAAAAGATATGCGGTGTTGATGACGCGGGAGATCAGGCATGCGACAGAGGTGCTGCGCCGCTGCAAGACACGGGTTCGTTTATATAGAAAGAAACGTACTGCGGGCCACCGACATTTGGAGAACCGCAAAAATCATGCCCTGGATTTGACGCAATTCTGGGTTGGCCTGCTCCACAGAGAGAGATCTCATACGCCCCACATACAAGTTCCAACTGTCTCTTCTCGAACCAGAAGAGCCCGATATTGTCAGCTCCTATCCCCGAGATCTCTCCGTGATATACGTCCCGGAGCCTTCTCGGCCTCGCGCACACGATACTGCGTGTTTCTAACGGGGCCTTATACCCACAGGCATGCCAATCCTGATGACCAATCCAGGTCGTTGTCGACAGCGGCCCCGCCGTCTTCTGTTTGGCAAATTCGCTCGCCTGCGATCGGGCCACCCCGGCTGCTATGGTAGGGTGACCAAAACAAAGTTTTCTGGTATTACTAATTTAGATAAAGCATAACGATTGGCTCGGAAGTGTGAGAGTGACGAGAGTGGCGCTTTCGTAGAGGGGCGAATCTGCTGGGCAAGGGCCACACTGCTCGGGCTACCCGCGGGTTTTCCGGACTGAGCCGGACCACGAGCCCTCGTAGCTGACTCGGTTGCCAAGCCAGATCTCAACCGCTAGTTTCATTGCTGGGTCTTGTTCCTGACGCCACCGCGACGGCTCACAACTCGGAGCTTCCTTCCGGGGGGCTTCGTATACTTGGGAAGGAACATTCCAAGTCTTGGCTTTTGTTTTCACAACTCTTGCGCGGCCGCTTGCATTCTGTTTCACCAGCATCCAACAACACACACTTCCATTCCCATCCTCCCATGTCATTTTCCACAGCCGATTTGGACGTCCACAGAAAGCTGTCCAGACGGCATTCGACGACAGACAACAAGAGAAGCAAGTAGAGCTCGCGCATCCAGCAGACCCTGCGACGGCTCCTGCGCTCGGACATGGCCAACCAGCAGTCGCACGGAATGATGCAGCCACAGCTATCTCGCCGGACAGCACGTGCAGAAACAGTTCGCACGGTCATTCCATCCACGAAACTCAGGGCGAGACGGAACGGGGAGTGCCACGAACCAAACAGCCAATAGTGGTCGTTCCTAGAACAGAGAGGCGAGGACTCTTTGCTGCACTCTCGATAGTTCCGGAGGTCCAGCAGCCCCGGGACTACAGTGATCCAGTCAAGTGGTTCCTCACCATGATTATCGCTGTCGCGTCATTCGCGGCTCCCACGGGGAGCTCTGTCTTTTGGCGTGAGTTTCACTCCCTCATATCGAGTCCCATGGCATTGCTAATCTGTGGAACACACAGCTGCACTGCCGCAACTTTCGAAAGAATTCGAGGTCACGCCTGCATTAGTGAACCTATCTGTGCATTTTACATGCTCTCTATGTCGATCTTTCCCCTCTGGTGGTCCTCCTTCTCAGAAAAGTACGGGCGCAGAAGTATCTATGTGACATCATTTACAATGAACGTAGTCTTTTGCGTACTCAGTGGCTTTAGTGTCAACATTGCCATGCTTATTGTCTGCCGGACTCTGGCAGGCGGCGCGTCTGCCTCGGCCCAAGCTGTCGGCGCGGGCTCCTTAGCTGATGTCTGGGATAACGAAGAGCGAGGGAGAGCTATGGGTATTTACTACCTAGGGCCGCTGTTGGGCGTCATGTTGGGTATGTCAATCCGCTCCTTGAAGCCGAGATCCCCCCCCCCCTTGCTATATTATTCCAGGCGTAGCTTCACTTACCAATCCGACTCTAGCACCCATCTTTTCCGGCGCCCTTACAAACGCGTTCGGATGGCGAAGTACCATGTGGTTCCTCGCGGCTTACGGGTTTGTAACGCTGGTTCTGATCCTCTTCGGCCTTCCCGAGACCCTCCCACGACGAAAGGAGCACGCTCCTCCAGCTGATCCTGCCCTCGTGGTTGACGGTCAGCCACTATCACAGGCCGTGACCTGGCTTCGGCGCATCTTTCTCGACCCGCTTCGAATCATCAAGTTCTTCCGTTACCCTGCGATCCAGTGCACAATCTGGTGCAGTGCGATTACGTCTGGCAGCTTATACATTCTCAATAACGGCATCCAGCCTGCCTTTGCTAAAGCCCATTATAACTATAGCCCGTGGGTTATCGGCCTACTCTATATCCCAGGGTCATTCAGTTACGTTCTATCCAGCATATTTGGTGGCATCTGGCTAGACAAGGTCATGATCCGGAAGGCGGTTAAGCAGGGTCGCTACGACTCCAACGGCAAGCTTATCGTATTACCTGAGGATCGAATGCAGGAGAATATCTGGATCGCCGCGGTCTTGGTGCCTTGCTCCTTTTTATTATTTGGCTGGGTTACGCAATTTGGCATCCACGTCGCTGTGGCTCTATTGGCCACCCTCAGCTTCGGCGTCAGTAGCATGCTGGTCTTTGTGGCGGCCAATACTATGCTGACCGAGTTTATGCCTGACGACTCGAGTTCAGGAATCGCGCTCAATAACTTTGTGCGCAATATCTTCACCTGCGTTGGCTTGCTGGTCGCACAGCCTCTGCTGGATGCCATGGGCTACGGCGGACTGTTCTCGTTACTGGCTGGACTATGTTGGGTCGTTATCGCGACGTGTATATGGCTTCTGAAGAAGAGCAGCCGCAGGTGGAGAGAGGCGATGGACAACTCGATGGCGAGGAAATCTGAGACGAGGTGAATGAGACACATGACTTATAGGCAGTAACAAGTCCAGATAGCCAAGTAGGAATCAACCAACCTGTGCATCCTCAAATCTTCTCAGAACCGCGTTCGTGAGGTTTGACGGTGTCTTCTGCTCAGGAAAGGAACGTGTCAAAAGATATGCGTCTGGACCTTGCACCGTTTACAGTCAATGGAGTACCAGCAGTGCTGAAAACCCTGCTTGGTACTGAAGAGGTGCTCGGGACCACAGTGAAGGTCGACCTCGGCGGCCAGGATGACCGACTATTGGCCATGGCAGATAGATACGTATGCTTAGCAAGCCTGATCTGCTGTGTTGGTGTGGAGCCCGCGACTCGGCGACACTTTTGGGTCCCGTACAGCGCTGGAGACTGGGGGTTGGGGGGGGGAGGGGCTGGATAAGCCCACTGTATGCGGACGCGTGCGGCAGATGCCCACCGTTACGTGACGCTATCATGGGGGCCCATTGGACCCCGAGACCGGCACTAGCCTGCTACCCAGGCGCATCGACCCCAACGAGCTGCTACCTTATTCCACAAACCATCACAGGCGACATACGTCGACGTCGATGCCCTCGCTCCTCTTGCGCACGGCAGACACCGCCCTATCGCCTCCAGCACCGCAGACCGGCCGCAGCCATGCGCAGAGGGCAGCAGCAGCAACAGCAGCAGCAGGAGCAGCAGCGGGAGCACTACCCGCAGCAGCCGCAGTCCGCCAAGCGAGGATCGCCACCGGACCTCCAGGACGACGAGCGCCCCGACACAGATGGCGGAAGCGTTGGCCGGGCGCACGGCGGCGCAGACAGCACCAGCGGCAGCCAGGGCGGCCCCAAGCGACGACGGGTCGGGCTCGCCTGCAACACCTGCCGGACGCGCAAGTCGCGCTGCGACGGCCAGCGGCCGCTGTGCACGCCCTGCCTCTCCCTCGGCGCCGACTGCCAATACGAGCAGGGCGACTCGGTCGTCCATGCCGTCGCCCGCAAGGACTCGGTCCTGGCCCTTGAGCAGCGCGTGGCCGTCATCGAGGACCGTCTCCAGCGTGTCAACGACGTCCTCAAGGGCCACCTAACGCCCTGCACCGCCCCGGCCCAGCCGCCGCTGCCCGACCACCACAACCACCACCACCATGGCCCGACAACCACCACCACAAGGCTCCCGGCCGGCTCGCGCTTGAGCTCCCTCGGCCTCGAAGAGCCTCAGGACGAGGACGCATCCACCAATGGCATGGCCATGACCTTTATCGAGGAGCCCAGCGCCGCCTTCTTCGGCCAGTCGTCCAACATCCACTTCACCCAGCTGCTACTCCGCGGCCTCGCCGTCGTCCACCAGTCCTCGCCCCAGCTCGCCGCTGCCCTCGACCGCCACGCGTCCTTCGGCCCCGGCTTCACGGTCGGCGTCTCCCAGAGCCTCCCATACCCGTCTGCCGCCACTGGCTCCCAGGCTACTCGCCCTCATCACCGCCAGAGCGGCCCCTGGCACCGCCATCACCACCAAGAGCCGGCAGCAATCACGGCCCTCCCGTCAGCCGCCGAGATGGAGAGACTGCTCGATTGCTACTTCGCTACCGGCGGTGCCGTCTTCCCCATCATCCACGAGCCCTCGTTCCGCGCCACGTATCTCGAGTGCCGCCGCAATGGCTTCACTCGTGCCCGGCGAACCTGGCTCGGCCTGCTCAACATCATGCTTGCCATGGCCACCAGCTTCGACGCCGACAGCGTGCCGTCGGCCACCCGGCGGCAAGAAAAAGCCAGCATCTTCTATGCCCGTGCACAAGAGCTGTGTGGCGAGCTGTCGCGGCGCGTCATCAGCCTCGAGATTGTCCATTATCTGATTCTGGTCGTCATCCTCTGCCAAGGCACCCAGCGCTCTGTGCAGGCGTGGAACACGCTTGGCCTTGTCATCCGGTCCGCCATCGCTCTCGGCCTCCATAGCGATGCGCCTGGTCGGTCCGAAGACCCCATACAAGCAGAATTCCGTCGCCGGACATGGATCGTCATCTATTGCCTTGATCAGGTTCTGGGCGCGGCTTTTGGTCGACCCACGAGCATCCCAGACCAGCATCTCCAGCGCCACAGCCTCCTTTCGACTGGATCGCCCTCGGACACCTCATCCGTCGGGCACACCCATCAGCCTTCCGGCAACATAGACTTGAATGGCGAATTCCTTGCCCTATCCTTCAAGCTGTACCAGATCATGGGCAGGTCACTCGCCGACCAGTATGGCTCAAATTTCGACAACACCGAGCCTCACCTCGATGGTATCGACTCCCTCAAAGCTTCGGGCGAGCTGCGCAAGGCCCTGCAGATATGGGCTGCCGGTCTCCCCCCTCACCTCCAGTTGATTGAACCCGACTCCCCACTGCTGAGCCAGTCAAAACCAGAGCATCGCGCCCGCACGATCCTGACGATGCGCTATCACAACCTCACTATTCTTATCCATAAGCCTCTACTGAGTGCAACGCTACGATATCTGTTCCCTCCCAAGGGTGTCGGTCATGTCGGCATGCCCATGCCCTATCTCATCCAGCTCGCTATTGCAGAGGCGCATGAGTGCATCCGTGCTGCTCAGAACACCATTGACATGATCCACGCAATAATCACAAACGACCAGTCGGGCAAAAATAATCTAGGCGTATGGTACTATACCCTCTACTATGGTAAGAAGCAAAATCTGGAATGATGTCTCGCCTGTGCATCAAGTGCTGACCACAGGGACGGCATTTTCCCCTTTCATTAGTATTCACGGCCTCTCTGGTTATTTGCGGCCGCCTCCTTTGGGCGAGGCACGGGCATGAGGAACCGGACGAAGCAGCCATCCTCCAGGCGCAGCGCTCGCTCGACAAGGCCGAAGTCATCTGCGAAAAGATTGATCATGAAAACAGCCTAGTTCTGAGCTGCCTCGAATACATCCGCAGCCTTGCCAGGATGTGCAATGTCAAAGGTCCGCAGATATACCACACCACCTTTGACAAACCTGGTAATCGTAACCCCGAAACTGACCAATCTTCCCGTGGGGATATAACAGGCACCGGTTCCACTGGCATCCCGCGTCCCCATAACAATCTATCCGGCAACGGCACCGATTCTGTCGCCGCCGTACCCCTCACGGCGCTTGACGGCCTCGGGGACAATGAGCGGGCCCAGTCTCTCACGGACCCGGCCTTGCTGAGTTCAGAAGACATGGAGACGCTTCAGCTGTTCTCTTCGGAGATGTTCGACCCGTCCATCTTTGAAGGCTTCCACCAATCACCTGTCGACCCAAGGACGATATCAGCAGGCCTGTGGGACGGGCCTGCCTGAGTGACATGCTGCACGCCACAGATAGGCGCAGCTCGCCAGTCCCCACCTGCGCTGCCGGCTCGGGTTCGCAGCCGGCCTAAGTCCCCGGGCTCGTTTTAGTCATTGATTGTGGACATTGCGCTTCACAAGCGCCACAGAGATGATTACCTTCAGAGCCTAGGTGGGGCCCCTGGAAAACGGTGGCGCAACCGCCCGGCTGCACCCTGCACGCTGCACGACCGCCCGACGATTGTGCTCAAAAGCCATCATCCCGTTGCGGCAACGCAACTCGCGGCGGCTGTCGATGCCACTGAATTGTCACCTACTCTTCCTACACAAACTTTGGGCAGATCTAAGTCATGGGTTCTACCGATCCGCCAACCTCCCTCACGCAGGTCGCGCTGGACAAGGCAGACTGGCCGCTGTTTACCAAGGCTCAGCTGCTCGAGTACTTTGAACGGATTGATCTGCCCCAGTCCCACCTTGAGTCGATTGTGCTTCAAGATGGGCTCCAAGCCGGGACTGTTGAGTATGGGCTTCCCCTGCTGCAGGCTATTGTGAGACACCACAGCAGCCGCGTCACGTTCGACAACCTCGTGCTGCACTATTCCGCCCACAAGACGGTTACGCTCGATCCGGTCGCCCTCTTTGAGCGCATTGTCCGCCAGAAGCGCGGCGGTCGCTGCATGGAGCAGAACAGTTTCCTGGCCGCGGTGCTGCGGTCGATCGGCTACGAGGTGCGCAGCGGCGGCGGCCGCGTCTCCCGCGCCATGAGCCCGTACCCAGAAGTGCGCCAGCACCAAAGCACGACGTACGACGGCTGGAACCACATGCTCAACCTCGTCCGCATCGGCAGCGAGTGGCACGTGGTCGACGTGGGCATGGGCTCCATGGGGCCAAACATGGTCATCCCCCTGCGCGACGGGTTCGAGACAACCAGCATTGCCCCTCGCCTCATCCGGCTGCAGCTGCGACCGATTGCCGAGTCCTACGCCTCTGCTCCCGCCGCTGGAGGAGAAGGGCGACCTGGGCCTCCACTGCTGTGGTGCTACGACTGCTGCTACCGCCCCTCCGAGTCTAGCCCCGCGGACAATGTGTGGACGCCGGTATACTGCTTCACCGAGGCCGAGTTCCTCCCGCAGGATTACGAGATGATGTCGTGGTTCACGTCGACGAACCCGCGCTCCTTCTTCACCCGCTACGTCACCTGCACCAAGATGCTCCTGGACGAGTCTGAGGAGCACGTCGTGGGCAACCTGACTCTCTTTGTGGACACCATCAGGAAGCAAGTTGGGGCTACCCGGAGCGTGGAGGCGGAGTGCAAGACGGAGGAGGCTCGCGTCAAGGCGCTGGCTGACGTGTTTGGGATCGTCCTCACGGAAGACGAGGTCCAGGGCCTGCCCGACGACCGGAAACTTCAGACATGATTCTCGAGACACAATAATGATGGGTCATAGCCTCGACTGTTCTTCAGGATCGCATGCGTATATATGACAATTACGGGCAAAGGGTGTGTGGTCCATGCTGTCTTGTGTATATCTCGTCCTGTAATATTGGAATAACTCGGTCGTGAAGTATCTTTGCGTGACGCGCAAGACGAAACTGTATTCGGCCAACCATTGCGCTTCACGACTCTGTGGTGGTCTCTCCCGAGAGCGGGCCGCGACAGAGTAGAGGTCCCGGGCTCACGTGCTGAGATCCGGTGGTCCAAATCAATAGATTAAGCCTTACACTGGCCATTATCCAATCTCTTCTGATCAGTTGCAGTGATTAGCCGATTGGGGCAAGTCGGATAGGGATTTAATAAAGGTGTCTTTTTGCGGGACAGGCACGGACGGACGCTCTGGCGGAAGACGGCCCCGCCGGGCGGGGTGTCTCTTATCTAAAGTGGGGGCCAGCGCGACAAGATCCCGCGACTTTGCAATTCATTTCGGGTTTTCCATCCGGAGCCCCGTCTTATCTCTGAGGTGGCCATATCAACCCGGCTCCCCCGCACTTACCCCCGGCTTGCCCCCAGCGACGCACAGACGACGGCACTGAACGCGGTGAGTGAGTGCTGACCCTTGCCCTTGCTCCGGACCGTTGGCTGGATCTCAGGCGCCCAATCTCCTGAGCTTGTATGGCTCCTTGGGAAAGTTGGGGTCTCGGGTGTATAAGTCGGTGAATGGACTCTCGCGAGTCCTGGAGGCAGCCCGGGAGAAGGGCATTCACTGCGACCCAGCAAGGCCTACTGCCATCGAGAACTTGCCAAATCATCTTTATTTTCATCTTGACATCTTCGAGCCGCAAGCCTCTTCAACAATGGAGCCTGTACAGAACACTGCGGCGCGGCCACCGCCCGATCTGCACATTCCAGCCTCGCAAAGCACCGTTGAAGTCTACATCATTGACACGACGAGCTTCATGACCGGCTTCCCGGCCGCAGCTTTCGTGGACCCGATTGTGCCCGGCTTCGAGATCATGAATGGCCTCTCGTACTCGTACATGGTCCGGCACCGAAGCACCACTGACGACACAAAGTACGACACGCTGTTGTTCGATCTTGGCGTGCGGAAGGATTGGGAAAACAGCCCGGAGCCGTTTGTGCGCGGCATCAAGGAGGCCGGGTTCGGCATCAAGGTGGACAAGGACGTCGCGACCATCCTCACCGAGAACGGGGAGCGGCTCGAAGATGTCGGCGCCATCATCTGGTCACACTGGCATTTCGACCATACTGGCGACCCGACCCGGTTCCCCTTGACCACAGACCTGATTGTCGGCCCCGGCTTCCGGGAGAGCGTCATGCCGGGCCACCCGACTGACTGGGAGTCACATGTCGACTCGCGGGCTTGGCAAGGTCGGGGCCTGCACGAGGTGGACTTTGACGGGCACAGCGCTGCTCCCCCCGTCATAAACAATAACAACAACAACTTGCCAAAGACGACGTCACCGTTGAAACTCAATGGCGAGGCCACCACTGTCCAAGACGAGGGCACTGGCCTGCTGCTCGCCTCGCGGCCCAGGATCCAGATCGGGCAGTTCCGCGCTATCGACTTCTACGGCGACGGCAGCTTCTACCTGCTCGACTCGCCCGGCCACGCCATCGGCCACATGTCGGCCCTGGCCCGCACGACAGCCGACCCGCCGTCCTTTATCCTGCTCGGCGGAGACATTGCGCACCACGCCGGCGAGTACCGCCCGTCGCCGTATATGCCGATGCCCGACATGATCCACGGCATCCGCGACCCCCGGCCGAACGGTCTCGCCGGCTGTTGTCCGGGCAAGGTCTTCATGGCCATCCACCCACGCAACGATCCCCAGGCGCCCTTCTTCGACCCAGTGCCCGGCGACTTCTGGCACCACGACGCGGCCGAGGCCAAGGAGAGCATTGTCAAGATGATGGACGCCGACGCGCACGACAACATATTCCCCGTCATGGCGCACGACATGACCCTCGGGGGCACGATTGAGCTGTACCCGAAACCCGCGAATGACTGGATGGCGAAAGGGTGGAAGAACAAGACGAGGTGGCGCTTTCTCGAGAGCTTCAATCCGTTGGTTGGCGCTTGACCGCGCGCAGGAGGGGGAATGGAGCTTCTTTTTTTTTCGTGTCTTGTTCTCATTTGTGTGGAGTTGGAGAATGTCTTTACAACCTTGAGTGGCCTACGGGTTTTCGTTTTCTTGACTCCACGAGTCCTGATTGTTTTCCAGATATCAGATATAGCACGCCAAACGTAAAAAGGCTTTGAATCCTCGAGACAACTTCATGAGCAGAGTGACGCGTGAAGGAGAGAACTGGAGTGTGAAGATGTACAAAGTAGAGCAGATATATAAGAGTTCTGATCTGTGCATAGCGAGAAACAAAAAACAAAAAAATAATGAACCAATATGCATTCCTGGCGCCTGGTGCATGCATGAAGATTGCCCTCTTGCCAGTCACTGCTGGTTGACAGACTTCCAGAAGGCCACGCCTTGGTCCCAGAGCTCTCCATCCTCCCACACATCTGTCCCGCCGTCTCTGCGCCACCGCCGGACGTCCAGCGGGCCAGATGTGCCTTCCCAGCCGCTCACGACCGCGTCGCCCCTGACAAACTCGGCCAGGGATTGGTTCCAGATGGCCAGCATCTCCTTCTCCTCGCCCGTCAGCCCGCCGGCATAGTCGGCGCCCCATAGCCAGACGGGTATGTCGCTGAGGTGTGTCACGCCCCATTCGGGGAGCAGCCGCTCGTCGACGCACGCGACCCGGCGCTCCATGCGGTAGCGCAGCACGTCCCGGCCGGCCACGAGCCCGCCCCTGAACAAGCCGTCGAGGAACCCCCGCGAGAGGTGGTGCACCTGCACGTTGGCGTACAGCCTGCCAAAGAGGTCCTGCCAGTCCTTGTACCCCGCCGGTAGCGCGCCGCCGTCCCCATCCCCGCAGCAGTAGTGCTCGAGGATCCGGCGCCCGGCCTCGTCGCCATAGTCCGCGCACAGGCGCTGGTTCACGGCGGCGTACGAGTCCGCGGGCGTCCGCCAGCGCACGTAGACGGTGTGCTCCTGCTCGCACTCGCCCGTGAGCAGGGTGATGCCGCGGGCCCTCATGCGGGCGGCAAAGTCGCCGCTGGCGATGGCGCCGAGCGTCTCGAGCGGGTAGAAGTCGCCGTCGGCCCAGGCGCGGAACTCGGACTCGCGCATCGTCTTTTCGGCGCCGTCGCCGCCGTTCTGCACGGCGACGAGGTCCTCCCAGGGCCGGCGGCGCAGCTCCGCGAGCTTGGCGGCCGCGGGCAGGTCCGCGGGGATGCCGAGCAGGTTGGCCAGCTCGTCAAACTGGCGCTGCTGGTCGTCGAGGGACTTGGGCCTCACACCGGGCCCGTTGGACAACATGGCCACGCGCCGGATGATGGCGGTCTCGCCACCAGGCCGCACGTCGTCGTCGTGGCGGTACAGCTCGTGCGCGAGTTGCTGGAAGACCGAGTACGCGCCAGCCGAGTAGCCGAGGACGCTGATGTTGGCCGGGTCGCCGCCAAAGGCCGCGATGCAGTCGCGCGTCCACTCGAGCGCCGCGCGCTGGTCCCAGAGCCCGGCGTTGCCGCAGGGCTCCCCGGCCGCTGCCGCCTCGGCCGCGAGCGCCGACCCGCCGAGAAACCCCAGCGCGTTGAGCCGGTAGGCCGGCATCACAAAGATTGCGCGGACGGCCGACCTCGGGTCCGCGAGCAGCGGCACCAGCGCGTCCCGGCCGAGGTTGGGACTGCCCACCTGCAGAAACCCCCCGTGGATCCAGACGCAGACAGGCCATCCGCCCGCTGGCGCCGGCCCCGCGGGCACCCACATGTTGAGCTGCAGGCAGTCCTCGCTCATCGCGCTGGCCGCCGGCGTGTTGCTGCTTGCAGGCTGTGGGCACGGCCGGGTGCCTGTCACGAAGCGGCCCGGCGCCTCCCTCGTGCCGTATTTGTGGTCCTTGGGCAGCCGCTGGGGCACTCGGAAGCGCCGCTCGCCAGTCGGCGCCTGTGCGTAGGGGATGCCCCCAAAGTAGTACACCAGGGGCTGGCCGGCAGTATCTAACGCCTCAAGGCCTGTCAGATGGCCGAGCTCGCCTGCGTCGTGGTGGTGCTCGGCCCATTCGTGGCTGCCCCCGCCTGTGGAATCAAGCTTCAGGTTTGACATTGTCTTTGTCAGACGAGCGAGGGGTATGGACTCCTTATAAAAAGGCACGGGAAAAAGACGAGCGGCGGGAGAAAAGAAAATTCACCGCCTCGGAAACCGAGAGACAAGCACTTGGTAGCCCATGGATGCAGAATGCTTGCAAGTATGGTGGGTTCCCTATATATTGCAGATGCCGAGTATTAGTGGACGCTGCGTCGCGGCGGCGGCGCGGGGGGGAGGTGGTTTATCGACTCGTGCCGGCGCGACCCGCCTGGGTTCCGGAGCCTGCCGCGTGTGAATGGGCGAAAGGGGCTAAAGCTGGCTCCTCGGCTTCCCTTTGGGAACCCTAGCCCCGGGGCACACCCTGAAGAACACCCGGACTATCATCGAGCCCACTTCTTGAGGCTGTTATCGGATAACGTGACATATTCTTGGATGTGTTCCCAGTTCCATTTCCGCCTTTGTATAGTATCGCGCTGCTGCTCCTGGGGCAGATTGATTAACGCGAAAATGGTCCATCTGCTCGTGGATGACTTTTTACCCAAGTTCCAGAGATGCAAAGTTTGTCCAAGAAAGGCCAATTGATGTTTATATATACGCTTGTCTATAACATTACAGGTGCTTCTGGATCTGCTGTGCTGCGCCTAGGACCTTCTCCTCTTCATATTTACGGCCAACGATCTGTAGGCCTACCGGGAGGCCATCCATGAGCTCCGCATCGTAGAGCTTCCAGTTCCACTCGTCGAGGGTGTTGCGTGGTACGTACCCAGAATCGAGATATGCCGCATCCTTGCTCTTGTCCGCCACGCCCGCCGGGAAAGTCAGCGCCGTGTAGTCGAGGAAGTTGAACAGCTTCGTGTACCCCGTCCAGCGACCAAAGGTGCCGTGCGGCGTACTCGTGTGCGGCATCGTCGGCATGAGCAGGATGTCGACGGGCCGGCCCGACGTGGGCGAGCGCGCCTGCTGCCACATGTCGTTGTATGCCCGCTGGCTGGCCACCTTCTTCTTGTTGAGCTGCCAGTACTCATACACGGAAATGGGCTTGCCGCGGTCGACGAACGCCTGGGTCTTCGGGGCGAACGGCTCACCGCCCTGCTCGACCGCGCGTCGGATGTCCTCGCCGCCGTCGGCCGAGTAGAATGCGTCCTGGAGGTTTCCGCCACCGTCCGAGTCAGCTCTGCTTGCCCGTCCGGATAATCCGTTCTTCTTCTTGAATAAAGCGGGAGCAAATGGGGGGGGGGGGGGGTGGGGGGGTTCATCGTAGACTCACGTTGACCTCGATGCACGAGGCGTTCAAGCTGATGTCCCAAGGGATGACCTCGTGACCCGCAGCCTGCAGCGCGGCAACAAGCTCGGTGAGGATGCGCTGGATGGGTGGGTGCACCCTGGACACGCCGTCGTCCAGCACTAGGCCAATGACCAAGGTCCTCGAAGCCGCGTCCTGCAGGATACTCTCGCGCCAAGGGATCGGGGGAATCAGCGGATCAATAGTCCACGGCGCCGCCTCGATCACCAGTCTGGTTGTGGTCACCAGGGAGTCGAGAGAGGTGGCCATTGGCCCAATGGTCGAGGGGACATGCTGCTGGCCGTCCTGCGTCACTTCGACGCCCCGGTATGACAAACGATTACTCTGACGTATTGTGCCGATTGCACTCGTCAGCAGATCCGGTGCGGCACCCAAGAGATGGCAGGAACGCTTACAGTCGGCTTGAGGCCCCAGAGCCCGTTGACGTGGCTTGGGATGCGGATTGAGCCCCCAATGTCGGTCCCCCACCCGACCAGCGAGCCACCGAGGGCTAGCAAGGCCCCCTCTCCACCCGAGGAGCCTCCTGATGTGAGAGCTGGATTTGCGGGATGTGTCGTCTGTCCCCAGAGCGGATTGTCGGTCTCACACCACTGCAAGGCACAAGAGAAAGTCAGCATTCTTTCCCGTACACCAGTCGGATGTGTCCTCGACGCCCTTACTGACCATGATGCTCTGGGGTAGATTGGTCTTGGCTATGATGACAGCGCCGAGGCCCTCCAAGGTTTCGATCAAAGGACAGTCCAAGCCGGCCGGGGCAAAAGCCAGGCCAGCATAGCCCATGGTTGTGTCCAGGCCCTTGATGTTGAATTGGTCCTTGAACGACATGGGAACTCCGTGGAGAGGCCCCTTTAGCTTGCCATGAGTTTGCCTGAACTCATCCAGGCGTCTGGCTTGCTCTAGGGCATTGTCGAAGTTTATCTCGGTGAGGCAGTTTGTCTACGTCCAAGGTCAAAATCAATGGTCGTCTCTTGCCCCCATTATGGCTCCACGACGAGGAGCATCTACCTTCTTGTGGGCCTCGCAGGCTCTAGAGATGTGCCCCAGTCAACAGATTAGCTCTGCACCCGCACAAACTTCTGCCCGGTGGCAAGAGAAGGCCTTACCTTGCAATGTAGACGCGCGTGAGTTGTTCCGCAGTGATGTCGCCTGCAGCCAAGAGGCTTGTCACTTGTTCCACGTTCACGATGGGGTCCCCGCCGCTCGACAAGAGGTCGGTTCCCGCATTGCCTGCGTGATGTTTTGCGACGAGGGCATCTCGCTCTGCTCGCTTGGCCTGGACGACGTCTGTCCATGGCCTTGCGGGCGCTTTGTTGCTCTCCTTGATGACCATGGTCGGCTGTGTGGTGTTTCGGCGCTTTGGGATCACCTCTACCAATGTCTGGGCCGTCCGCCGGGATCAGCGGCACGGCGCTGCCAGTCCTTTAGACCAGCATAGCTGCAACCACCGGACACTGCGCATGGACCGAAGACGGAGCCACGGTAGGTGGGGAAGAATTGGAGATGCTTGTTGGGGGAGATTTGGAGAAGCCTGCCCTGTGTGGCAAAAGTGAATGATAAGGCGGCCGCCGGTTCTGCCGTCGGCCCTGCCGCGGGATCGCCCCTGACCACATCCCGCCGGCGATAAACTCACACCATCGTGATACGACTGTGGGGCCAGCGCGGCAGCGTCGCCGCCTGTGTGTAGGTAGGATCGCCGGACTCGGGGTCAAGCGCGGCAGGACAAGGCTGTGCCAGGATAAGCCCTCGCGAGCAGAGTGCGGCCGCGCAGATGCGAGCAGGCGTTCTCGTCCACTGCCGCCTGGCCCCGAAAATGTCCTTGACACCGTGAGACCCGTCTCCCTTTAGGTAGAACAACTGGCCTAGAAAAGAAAAGCCGTCGTTCCCTGGAGACTTGCCCTGGCATCGCAGCGGGATACAATCATCTCCCAGACGCGAGCCTGCGTAACCCTGCAACCATGTCTCCATCAGCCAACAAACAATTCCATGTTGCGATTGCCGGTGAGTAGCATGTCTCGACTTTTTACAGTTGCCCGGGCGCCTCCAGTCTCTGACTTTACAATCTCCCAACAGGCGCTGGGGTCGCCGGCCTTGCGTTGGCCATGGCCTTGTACAAGAAGGGCGTTTCCTTCACCTTGTACGAAGAAGCTCCTGAGTATTCAGCCGTCGGGTATGTCCTAGTCCAATGTTCATTTGCCCCTGTCACGCGAGAAGAGGCGCTGACCGTCGACTTTCCTTGCCTCCCAGCGCCGGCATCGGATTCGCTCCCAATGGCACGCGGACCATGGATCTGATCGACCCTGCCTTCCGGCCACTCTATGAAGATATTTGCGTTGGCAACAAGCCTGCGGATGCGCAAAACGTGTTTTTCGAAGGACACCTGGTCCAAGAAGGGATGGGTACGTTTCTCTCCGCTGCCTCGTGTTGTTCAGAGTCAGGAGGAGGGTCATCAAGTTCTAATTCTTGTTACAGGCCGCGAACAGCCTTGGGCTAGCAACTGCGGCTGGGGCCACCCCAACTATGTCCGCAAATCGGTACGTCTAGCCCATCCCTTCTTGTGTGTGTGTGTGTGTGTGTATCACGGTAGAGTGAGCTGACACGAGGGTTTCTACACGCAGGCACACCGCAAGGCGCTCCTCGACGTCATGACCAGCTTCTTCCCGATCGAGAATGTGAAGTTCTCCAAGCGGCTGGACAAGATTGAACAGGCGGCCGAGGGCGTCGTGCTGACGTTCTCGGACGGCACGACAGCCGAGGCCGACATCCTTGCCGGCGCCGACGGCATCCAGAGCACCGTCCGCGCGCACCTCCTCGGAGAGACCCACCCGGAGCAGGTCAGGCCCGTCTATGCAGGCTCCTACGTCTACCGTGCGGTGATCCCGATCGAGGAGGCTGAGGCGATCCTCGGAGACCGGACGGAAGTGGCCAAGATCTACTTTGGAGACCGGCGCGCCTGCGTGACGTACCGCATCAGCAAGGGCGACGAGTTCAACTACCTGCTGGTCGTGGCCGACGACAAGGACGGGTGGAAGCTGCCCGACGCGGTGACGGAGCGCGTCACTCACGAGTCCATGATGGCCGACTTTGCAGACCCAAAGCTCGACGACCGGTTCCGCCAGCTCCTGCGCAAGGCCAAGCCCATCAAGTGGGGGTTGTTCCACCACTGGCAGACGGCGACGTATGCGCGTGACCGCGTCTGCATCCTCGGCGACAGCGCCCACGCCTCGCTGCCCTTCCAGGCCGCGGGCGCCGCGCAGGGGCTCGAGGACGCGCTCGTGCTGGCCAACGTGCTCGCGCGCATGGCCGAGCTGCAGCCCAACGGGCCCGAGGGGGAGGCCGACATGCCCGTCATCCGTGCCGGGATGGAGGCGTACGATGCGGTGCGCCGGCCGCGCGCACAGAGGCAGCTCGAACAGGCGTATGACATGCAGAAGCTGATCTTTTTCCAGCACGAAGACGCCGGCAGCGACATGGCCAAGATCCTGCCTCATGTCCAGAATGGCCGGTACGACTGGCTGTGGTTCCACGACATCAAGGACAGTGCGGACGCGGCGCTCGCCAGGATGAACCAGACTCTGGGGGCGTCCAAATCAAAGCAGGAGGTTAATGTCTAGGGCGTGCAGAGGAGGATTGAGACATGTTGCACCAAAGGGCCTGGTGCTGGAGAAATGGTTACATTAGATCATACTTTATGCATGTGTGCTGCTTTTTCCACTTAATGAAATATATGACCTGGCTTGCCGTTACGCTGAGGTACCACGTTGAGCCGCTGGACGAGTACTTTTCCTCGACCCTCTGTTCATGAGCACGGCTCTGTTTGGTCGAGACCAAACCGTCTACATGATTGCAGGATCGGCCAGTTTTGCAGATCTTTCGACTTCAGACAGAGCGTATCGGCCAGCCCGGTCCATTCATCCATTCCCGAGAGGCTGAGAATGCAGACCCTCGGCTCCGACTGTAGCCTGGAAAGCTTGGCTGTCCTAGAGGCCAGTGTTGACCAAACGTCCAAGAACACGGATGGCGGTCATCGAGAGGAACATGACGCTTGTGGAAGTCCTTGTGGCAGAGGGCAAGATGAAGTTTATTGAACAAGACGGCGCCTCCTCCTGCTCATACCATCAAGAGTCAGAAGTGGTTGCTGGCCTGGGAGAGAAAATTCCCCATCCTTGTGTCAGGACGGTTGCTGTTCTCGTAAACTCGGCGACTCAAGGCCGGTTGAGCGTGGCGTGTGTTTGCACTGGTTTCTCTTGCAATCACAAGGCCAGGCGGGGAACCTGACGGCAATGGGAACGTCATTTTGCGCAAGATGGGTTGACAGCATTGAGGACTTGGGCGTACCATTGAGAGCATAGGAACTTGGGAAACTAAGATACTGCCCCATGGCTTAACGTTAATACCCATTCAAGCCATCTCTCTTTGACCGAACCGCCCTTTTTTATGATTTCGCCAGCCAAAAGTCGAACCAGTCAACAAAGCTCTTGAAGCTCTGCTCCTTGGCCCATTTCTCATACGGATCGGTTAGACGAGTGCGGGACTATGAGAAGAAGAAGTTGCAAGTCAGCACAATGCGTTTCGTTGACCAGTGGCCTAAGAGGCGGAGGGCGGGCCGGCCGGAGATTGGGCCACCTACTGCGAATCCGTGGCCGACATGAGAGAAAATCTGCATGTTGAAATGCTTGTCGGCATCGGACAGCATCTCAACCATTCGGTTCCGTTCGGCTGGCTCGAAAAGCTTGTCTTTGCTCGGGATGGAGAGGAATAGAGGGCCTGGAGGTGGACGCAGGCGGTTTTTGTTCTTGTCAGTCCAATATCGTCGTGCACGAGGAGCAGCACGTATGGTGGTATTTGTGCTTACCGTTGACCTTGTCGACATCGCTCTCCATAACAAACGAAGGGTGGGCGACGGCGCCGACCTTGCATATGCCCTGGTCGGATAGCTGATGGCAGACAAAGCGCGCGCCCCAGCTGTCAAAGGAAGCCAAGTGCTCCTGGTCAATCTTGCTGCTAGCTACGGAGAGTGGTTCCGGGATACGGGTTTGATATTTTTGGGGCGCATGCCATCAGGTACTTACCAGTATCCAACGCAGGCAAACTTGACGCTGTCGGATTTGCCGTACAGCTCCTTGACGTCGGCGACCCATTTGGCCGCGATCTCTTCCGAGGCTTTGAGATGTTTCGTCTTCCATCCTACGAAGTCGAAATTGGGATCGGTCAGGGGGTTTGCCGAGTATTTGCTGATCCCGTCCTGTGGGACATCATCGCTCGTCTTGGTCAGTCTTTCATGCCCCCGGCGCTTCAAGTGAGAGGATGCTGGCCGGAATCTCTGCTTACACCCAAGAAATAGTCGACGCCGAGAGTGGTGTAGCCACAGTCGGCAAACGCGTCCATCATGAGGAAGCTGTTGACGTGCAGGCCGAACGCATCGGGGAAGAAGAGCAAGACATGGCCATTGGCGCGGCTGGGGTCAGGTCGAGCGACGTAGGTGTCGACGCCGCCGATCTGCTCGATCTTGCCGACCGGCTCGCCGGTGTGGATGGCGCCCTTGAGACAACAGAGGTCTGCAGGCTTTGCGAGAACCCGGTCTTCCATGTCTTTGGTCAGGTCTGGTGTTTGCTGCTGGATTGCGGCCTATGCAACGGTCCGTGGGGCAGGTGGTGGTGGTGGTGGTGGTCGCTGCGTGTTAGTAGGAGCAGCAGTGGTCGGGGCTTTATCCGGGAGCGCCGGGTAGAGTTGCCGCCCGCCGGCAGCGTGCGGCCCAGTGCATCCCGCCGACTTCGGCTCGCGGGGTCCGCACCCGTACATCCCGCTGCTGCACACAGTGCTGACATCTCTGAACTCGCCGTCCAAAGATTGACCCTCCTCCACCAACAACAGCAAAGATCAACAGGGCCAGAAACAGCAGCTACGACTTTGTGGAGGAGAGCTGGTAGCGATGGCCGTGTGCTGCAGAGCACCAGGGTGGCCCCATGCACCACCAGCTTGGCTGTGACAGGTCATTCATGTCTTGATTGTCAGATCTCTGGTACCTGCAGCGAAAAACAGACCCCTGCACAATTTCCTATTGTAGCCGTGTCCATATCCTGGCCAAAGTGCGCAACTGGACGAAGCAATGCTGCAGACAAGTCCACGGCCGCCAGAGGCCGGGTGCGTTTCCTTCTTACACGTCCGCGTCCACGCCTACCATTTGCAGTCGCAATTTGTAGTGAACCCGGAATGGTGCCTACGCCATACGACGAGAGTCCTCAGCTGCAAATTCTGACACCTTGCTCGGTTTTGGGGCGCACTTTCCAGGCAAGATGTGGAGTGCCCCTGCAGTCTCTGATCGTTCCTCTGCCCCAATATCGGAGGGCTCATCACTTGGAAAACACACTCTTCTCGAGCATATAGTCACTTGTCAGCCTGGCGCTTCAACACCAGGCGACCTGCCGTGTATCAGTTCCGGATGAGCAGGATAAATATTGACAATGGCAAAACGTTATTTATTCGCCCATGGCCTGCATTCGTCCGCCGAATCACAAGAGAAACCTCTCCTCTCAATACTCTACAGACAATTCCAGCCTACGTTTTGACACCACCAAAGCATGCGTTTCTATGGAAACGGGTCCGTCTTGTGTGCTGAAACGCAGTTGCTCGCACAGGGAACCTTAACCGTCGAGTGCGTTGCAAACGACTTTGTGGGATTAAGCCCCGGTGGTGTCCCACAAAATCATGCCTCCATCAGACCGAGCCAGAGTTGTCCCTGCAATCAAAGACGGTTCCAATCTCGCCACTGTCAAAGGCAGCCTTGATCGCCATGGCCATCGCGTAACTATGCCAATAAAGTCCAGTCAGTATCGTCAACCGTCTATGCCTATTTGATCTTAGCAAGAATGCGAACGGGTCTGCTTCACTTACATTCCACCAACAACCATAAAGGAGCCCAGGGTCATGACGAAGATGTTGAAGCCATTCTGGAGTTTCTCCTTGATCGCGCCAGTGCGGGCTGACTTGTAATCGTACCTCCAGAGGAGCATCGGGAATATGAGACTGAAAGGCGCGGCGCACAGAGCAGCAGTCAGGCCGAGCAGGTAGTTGAGGATCGGCAACGCCTCGGCGACGATGAAAGCCAAGGACCCCAGGACAAGGTTGATGCCAAGCCACGTCGACCAGTGTGTGAAGCTGTTCTTCTGGAGGTGCGCAGAGTCGCGCAGCACACGGACAAAGAGGTACTTGGACGCCACGTGCTGGTAAATGCCGACGCCAATGAGGAGCCCAGGCATAGATATGCCGTACGAGATCTTCTTGAACAGGGGGCCGGCACTGCCAAAGGCTGGAGTCGAGAGCCACATGCCGCAGTAGCGGTAGATAACGAGGCTGAAGGAGAGGTACATGGCGCCCACGATGAAGCCGCCCGTGATACAGGCTTTGCGGAAGTCCTGCGGGCGCCTCATCTCCGAGATGACGGGGAGGAACATGTAAGAGCCACTAGTGCTAATAAAAATGTTTTCCGCATTCAGCATGCCGACAACGAATGACGGATAAGCGAGAGGCTTCCAGCCCAGGTCAAAGTCGCCTGTCTGTGGGGCGGCTGCAGGACGATCCTGCTGCGAGACCGCCACCGTAAAGACGAAGACGCCAATGACAAAGGTGGCGAAGCCGAACCACGTGAGCCACCCGAGACGTGAAAAGGTGCGGATCGATGAGCAGACCGTAATGATGACGGCAGACACGAAGGCAAACCAGACCGTACATGCCCCGTGGTTGCTCAACGCGTTGAAACCAGCAGACGCCGTGACAATGCCGCCAGCGGAAATCAAGATCTGGGTAATGATCATCTGAATTCCTACGAGCTCTCGACCAATGCGGCCCCAGATAAACGCCATCATATCGGCCAAAGCTATAATCATTCAGTGTCGGATTGTGATTGAACGAGCTCGCGGGAAGTATGGCTTACTATGGCATTCGGGATGTCTGTTGCGGAAATCACCGAGAATGACGCCAGCATCTAAACGCATGAAGGAAAAGAAGTCAGCGAAAGCGCATCTCCATCAAACTCGAACGACTCATATGGGATGCATCATGGTTCCTTCGTGAGTATGGCTTACATGTGTTCAAAGTTGTAAAGCCAACCACGGCCAAGGAGCCTCCAACAGAGCCGAGAGCAGCCATGGCTGCAGGAATAGCGAGAATGCTCATGGCAAAGTTGATCTTAAGAAACACAACCGTGGCTCGCTGCCAGCTGACGGTCCGGAACTCGACGCCATCGACGTTGACTTGAAACACTTCACCATTTGACGCTTCACCCTTTGAAGTGTCTTCCAACGCGCCGACCGCAGCCATATCGTCCGGTCGTTTCTCGCTCTTGGACAACTGCATGTCGGAGTCGTGTTGCACAGTCATGTTTGATGCTATTGTCGATGGGACTCAGGAGGAACTCTCGTTGGGGCGGTGGTCTCGACCTCCCCTTGGCGACAAGAACAGCGCGAGATTGCCAGATATTTATATGCTTGCATAAAAGTACACATAAGCATCGCTCGGCAAGAGGTCTCGAGGGAAACCGTCAGATAGGACCCATGCCTAGACCGGCCACCCCTGCGTTCGATCAGAGTTCAACTTAGCGTGCCGCATCGATAAGACCTTCTACGCTTCCCCAACTGACCCCGACTCAGCAAAAGAATCTAGATCAGATCTGTGGGGGAGGCAGGGCATCAAGCGTATCAAGGGTCGGAAACCGGAATCATGACGGTTGTGTTAGACTTCCAAGCTTGCATAATAAAGTCGCACCATCAGTTGATTGCGGTTAACTACCTTTGTTGGCATTGATCGAGCCCAGGCTGCTATCCAATCTTCATCCGCAGCGCTGCAAACGCAAGTGCGACGCTAAGAAGCCTCGTCTCCAGACGAATTTGAGGCAGTTTGACGCCAAGCCAATTAGACTGCTGATGTAGATATGGAAAGCACTAGGTAGGCTGTTAGCTTTGAATCTGGGGTGGCCTGCCGGAAATTCCGCGGAACGTGCGCTGGTGACCCTGATAACAGTCCGTGGAAATGCATCACCAGACCGCCGTGTCCCTCTCCGATAGCAATGTAAACCACAACCTGGGTCACATTAGGCAAAGCGCAAGGACCGATTGAATTTGCCCCATGGCTATGGTTCGATAGCCACCCCCTCCCCGCAAATTTCCCCGCACGACCGGAACTCTGGGGAGCAACCGGCAACAGGGCGAAAGACCTGTCTCCATAGATAAAGACGCTGTGGAGAATTGGAGAATGACACCCATAGATAAGCGGCATGCTCGGGGCACGGGGGTGCCGATACCAGAAGCGCAGCATTTAGTGTCCTGCGGCTACGGGCCTTATAATATCGTGTGCAGTCTGGCCTAGACTGCACGACCAAGAGATCGACGGCAGGAAAACTAGTACATGGCAACGCCGAATCTATCATGGCATTCCTTGACGTGCAGAACACAGCATTTGCAGGCCTCATCGCCGGCGAGCCGGGCCCAGAGACTGCAGGTTACGTCGCGGCCCGGGCAGGACTCGAACAGCTTCAGAAGGGCGAGCCAGCGGCAGATATCGCAACCAACGTCATACAAGTCCCCGGCAAGTGCGGCCCGACGGCCGTGACCATTGTAAGGCAAAAGTCGCTGGCTGGGAAGAAGGTGCCGATAGTCTACTACCTCCACGGCGGCGGGTGGGTCCTTGGCAGGTATGACCTCGTCGAACCCCATCCCGGTCCTCACAACTCAGATACAGCTGCTAAAGCACCTGTCTGCACAGTCCCACCGTCTATGCGGCGCAGCTGGAAGACCTCGCAAGAGAAACAGGAGCGGCGATCGCGTTTCCTTACTACACACCCGCGCCGGATCAGCAGTTCCCGTTCCAGTTCGAGCAGACTTATGAGGCCTTGCACCACCTGGTCACCCACGGAGACGACTATGACCTCTTGACCAGCTCGATTGCTCTGGCGGGCGACAGTGTAGGAGGTATGTCCACTTTAAGCCTGAGCCGCCCTGCCTCTGCTGTTCATTGGTTGACCTGTCGGGCTGCAGGACACTTTACCATCGCGCTTATGCAGATGGCCCTGGAGCGCAGCCTCCCGGCTACTGTTGCGCATATCGTCATGTTCTACCCGGTCACGGATACCCACAAGAAGCTTCCTTCGTATGAGAAGTACAAGGACGGCCCCTTCCTTACGGAGGCGAGCATGGACTGGATGATTGACGCATTCCTACCAAACAAGGAGGACAGGGAACTGCCATTGACCTCGCCACTCACGTTCCTGGCGGACAGCGTGCTGGCCCAGTTCCCGCCAACAACCGTCATCCTTTCTGGATCCGACGTCCTGCTGGACGAAGGTCTGGCATTCGGGGAGAGGCTATGCAAAGCAGGTGTGGATACATCTGTGGTCAGAGCAGAGGGCACAATGCACGCATTCCTGACTCTGAAGCCAATCCGTGAGTCCCCGATAGCACGCGCGATGACGCAATTCACTGCTGCCAGGCTATGCAGAGCTCTGGGTTGTTCGCCTGCGAAGGTATAAAGTCAATGGCGGTGTTAGGGTACAGTTAGCTTCACTGTTGTGTGTATAAATATAGAGGCAGCAAGGCGAATTTCCTTCCAGGTTGAGTTTAAACAGCTCTGTACGAGCCTGGCGAATTGGGACTGGTTATCTACTAGTTTGGTCTTCTTCTTGCCCGCTTTTTCTTGATAGACAAATCGGCTTCCCACCAGTGCTCGAGGCTCGGAGAAGGGCAGGGCCCGCAACTGAATCCGTCTGGCCAATAGTCAATTTGTCATTAGATTCTAGCGTGTAAGTAACCCAAAACGATGTGACTTGCATTGAAATCTTCACCTCTATCGGCTGAGGAACAATTTCTCAGCGCCCCTGCACATCTATGTTGCAGCTGGAAGTCACTTTAGTAGTCAGGGAGTCTGTCTTGCGTGTAGGAATTCTGATTTTGTCATGGGTCGGGACCTGACAATGGGTGTGATAACCTGCCATGATACCCTCGGCAGGTTGATATCATTATTTGTAGTACGCGTGGCCCAGTTGTTTCTGGGATTGAGCGGTGCTGCGAATGTATCGTGTAGATGCGGGCGACGAGCCCATAAATAGGGTTGGTATATGCAAGCACAAGATGAGTTGTTTATTATCTTCTTTCGAGGCTACCGCGTTTCCCAACTATATTGTGTTTCGAGCAGTTGATTGATCGGATTAGCGGGGGAGTTCAGGACGGGAAGGGGAAGGGCTTCTGATGAAGAGGGCAATGGGCTAGTACGCTGGGGCCCTTGAAACAATTGTTTCGCTCTTAGCAGAGATCCGAGCTCACCGAGGAGTCTGCCTTGGACACGCTACCGCGGACGATAACCGATCCCGTCGAATGGTCGACACCAGTGCCTGTAGACGGGAAATTCTTATCGCGTGATAGTCGGAACTACTCCCGAGCCGATCCGCTGCCCCGAGCCTCGATAAAGCGCCCCGTAATTAATTTTGGGGAAAGCGTCGTTCCTCCAATGTGGCCCCACAAATGTGGAGAGCTGACACATCGAGACCTTCCATAGGCGATATATCACATCTCTCTACGATAGCCAGCCTTCTACGCTCTGACAAACTGCTCCCCAAATCAATCGCCAGGGAACTCAAGAATCCGGCAAAATGACCAAATCCCTCCGGTTCGCCGATGGCGTCGAAGTGCCCGTGCCTGGGTTTGGTGCCATGGGCATCAACTGCGCCATGGGCAAAAATCTAAGCTACGAGGAAGCCGAGCCTGTGCTTCTGAAGGCCCTCGAGCTGGGTGCCACGTTTTGGGACACTGCGGTAAGTCCAGTCGCATGGATGGCATGACGCTAGATGATCTGGGTCCGTGGTTAACTTTGGGGCGTTTCTATTAGGTCTCCTATGCGGCTGGAGTGAACGAGAAGATACTGGGCGACTTTATCAAGAAACACAACTGCCGGGACAAAATCTTCAGTGAGCATCGAAAAACCCGCTCCGGAACGATATATACTAGCGAAACGCTGACCGGGCTCAAGTTGCATCGAAATGCGGCATCGCTGCCTTTGAAGATGGGAGCTGCACCAATTCCGCCTCTCACATTGAAACATACATCGAGGGGACAATCGAGAGACTTGGCTTCGCCCCTGATCTGTACTACTTGCACCGCATAGATCCAAGTACGTGCCACCCTACCCCGAGTAAGGATGGTCGAGACCTGACGTGGAAGTAGACACCCCCCTTGAGGAATCGATTCCGGCGCTCGATTCGCTTCGCAAGCAAGGCAAGACAAAGTACATTGGCCTTTCTGAGTGTTCCGCCGCTACCCTGCGAAAGGCAAATTCCAGTAAGCACCCGCGCACCCCTCTGATGACTTCGGCGTATGAACGAATACTGACGACCGTGCGCGTTCATCGTTCATTTGCAGTCGCAAAAATCGATGCTGTACAGGCTGAATACTCTGCCTTTGAGACTCTCCACGAGACAGATGGCTTGATCGACACTGCGCGCGAGCTCGATGTTGCTTTCGTGGCGTATGGTCCCCTTGGCCATGGGTGGCTTGTAGATGATTTCCCCTATGAAACACCGGACGACTTCGCCCCTGATGATTACAGGCGACAGAGTACGTTGTTCTCATTCTGCTGACAGTACGACGTGGAAATTGAATCTAGCGCTAACACGCGGGTGTTCTCTCAGTCCCAAAATTCCAAGGCGAGAATTTCTACGCCAACAAGAGAATTTCCGAGGGTTTCAGAGTGTTGGCTGAGCGTAAGAAATGCAAGCTGCCGCAGGTCGCTCTCGCATGGGTCGCCAGTCAGGGCATAATAGCGCTCCCTGGCACGACAAACCCGGAACGCTTGGTCGACAATTGGGCCTCGCGGGAAATAGAACTCACAGAGGATGACCTAGAGTTCATGCGCAAGATTGTGGATATACTCAAACCTCAGGGTGATCGGTATAATGAGGAGGCAATGGTGAATATTGGTAACTAGACACTAGATGTCGTAAACCATGAGCAACCCGCTCGCGCAAGTGATGGTTGGAGCGCTGACGACATTCTCAACCTTGCTCATGGTGGTGTCACAATGCTATTCCGGGATAAGCATCACATCTAGCGAGCAGCACAGGACGATGGGCGGCCCGCGACGAACGACTATTGTGGACACCGACGGGGCAGCAGCCGTGGCGGCACGCGTTGCACCTGTTCATGGGCCGCTTACTTGTGGATCGTGTTATAAGTCGCTGAGCGATGGAAGATTAATAATGGCAGGTCTATGCTCCGTGCAGCGTCCTTAGTAATCAACATCAAGAAGAGAGCTCGCGGATGCATCCGGCGGCAGTCCCGGCGGCCCCCACAAGAATTGCCGGTCCGTGAAAGCACTCAAACGGGGAATAAATGTTTGGCTCATAACGTAAGCGGCTGTCCCGTAGGGTCCGGCGCATTTTATACAGTGCATCCATTTTCCGATGATTTCTTCAGTAAAGCTGCTATCATTCTTTGTCTATGCACATTCTCTAGAACCCTCAGGCTCAATCCACTCACAATACCGACAATCATCCCAAGCAAGATGTCGAAGCTCTTCCAGCCTCTAGAGGTGGCTGGCTGCCACCTCCAGCACCGCATGATCATGGCGCCTCTCACCCGCTTTCGTGCCGATGAAAATTATGTTCCCACAGCCATCATGAAAGGTATGTTTGGCTTGGAATTCTCCATGCAATTGTTCTGACCATCGCCTAGAGTACTATGCTCAGCGAGCCTCTGTGCCCGGAACCCTTCTCATTAGCGAAGGCGTCCAGATTTCTCAGCGAAGCATCGGAATACAGAACGTCCCAGGAATCTGGTCGCGCGCCCAGATTGACGCCTGGCGCGAGATCACTGACGCTGTCCATGCCAAGGGATCTTACATCTGGTGCCAGCTATGGGTCCTCGGCCGTGCGAGCAGGTTGGACCCTGCTGTCCAGGAAAAGTTGGGTGTGAAGCTTCTGGGCGCCAGCCCCATAGCAATCTCGCCCGACCATCGCATTCCCGAGGAGATGTCTGAAGAAGATATCCGACAGTCTATTGAGGATCACCGCGTCGCTGCGAGAAACGCTATCGAGGCTGGATTTGACGGCGTCCAACTTCAAGGCTCCGGCGGATACTTGCTTGATCAGTTCTTTCAGGATGTCACCAACAAGAGGACAGATCGATGGGGCGGCAGCCTTGAAAACCGCGCGAGGTTCCCTATCGAGGTCATCAAGGCAATCTCCCAGGAAATCGGATCGATAAAAGTCGCCATACGCTTGAGCCCGTGGAGCGACTTTCTAGGCATGGGCATGGATGATCCTATCCCGGACTTCACTTACCTCGTCCAGCAGCTCCGCACCCTGGATCTTGGATTCCTTGATCTGGTCGAGGCACGAATCCGAGGAAACGAGGATGCCGACTGCGGTGGCGACAATGATGTGTCCTTTGCTGTGCACGCTTGGGGTAGGGAAGCGCCTGTTATGATCGGTGGCGGATTCAATGGCGAGTCAGCGCAAAAGGCAGTCGATGAGACTTATAAGGACTACAAGGTGGCCATCATCTTTGGTCGCCACTGGACGAGCAACCCTGACCTGCCCTTCCGTGTGAAGGCGAACGTTCCGTTCGTTAAATACGACCGCCCAACCTTTTATGTGCCGGGGAAAAGCAAGGGCTACAGCGATTGGGCGTTCAGTGAGGAGTTTCTGGCGTCGGGCGCCGCTGCAGGGGCCGCGTAAATGATGAGAGGGATCATGTGCATTTCACCAATTCCTAATTTCGAGCTACTCTTAGCCATTGCCAAATGGTATGTGTACCAGAGGCTTGGCTGCTATGATGCAGGTCAGATGGTATTCGCCAGCGAGAACAAGCCGCCATGTTTGCAACCGAGGCATCGTGCTATGAATTCGAGATCTTTCCGAGCTCCGTGCTAAAGTTGAAACACAGGGCTAATACGAAAAAATAAGGCTCGTTGTCACATCTCGTGGTTCTTGGCCTAATACTGACAAGAAGGGTATCAGTGAGTGCCCTGGTTACGCTGCTGGAGTGCACTTCTCGGTCTAGTGTTGGAAGAGAACACCCGCACCCAGCCGCGTGATGCAAGAGCAGGCCGAGACCATTGTGCTGGGCGGAAGTTGCCGAAATGGTAGTCCTCTGGGTAAACATTGGCGAGCCGACAGAGTGGGAGCTGCTTACTGCCGCCAAAAAGAGACTCCAGTGATTCTCGAAAGAGTAATGTGAATTGTGGTTGCAGTAGCTAGTGCGTATAGTACAAATGTCGTGACGAGAGGAGGCTTTCACTTTCTCCGCTGTTACCACCACTCCAGTAACCTTCCTGCGATTGCGATGTTGGGCAGTGCAAACGCCCAGAATGCCCATTCGTTCCCGGGGCCGATCCTCTGCCGGATAATTACCCCGTCCGCAAAGATCATCGGGACGGCCGCCAGTAGGGACCACGCGACGGTCCACCTGTTTCCGTATCTCAGCGACGCAAACATGGTGAAGGACAGGGCGATGCCCTTGGTGCCGTAAAGTTGCATCATCATCTCCGCCGCGTCGGTTGGGTCGGATGCGAGAGTGTTCAGCCTGGAAGCAGTGTCTCGTGTTGGTATTTCAGACTGTCGGCGAGCGAGGATCCTTGGGGTAAGCCCCAGATCCTGGAGGCACAGGCTTGGTTGGCGGATTGCTCTGATGCCCAGTATCGCTGGAGCAAGGGCGACGGCACTGGCAAGGACATTGGGCCAGGCCATGGTGAGGGCTGCTGTCGATGAGATCTTGTTCAGTCGTTCGATCAACCGAGAGGAGAGTGTTGATGCGATCTCAATGGCAAGAAACACCATACACTAAGCGGCGAGATATATCCGCAGCAGGCAAACAATCTCCAATGGCGAAGCAACCCACATCCCGATTGCTCTTAACTCATAACAAACCGATTTATCTTGGGCAAGCCACAATCCAAGCATCTTCCGCATCATTTGATGATGATTGCAGGACACGAACCGCCGGAGGGCACGAGCATGGTTTGCCATTATGACGCAGAGTCCACATTTGCTTCTAGGAACAAACTGCAATCACCACGGCCGAACCGCACTCTCGATTGGTTTCAGCCAATGTTTTCAAACCTTTGATCCCTCCAGCGCGGGTTCCGGCTCGACACCGCTCTCCATTGTGCACTGCCACAGTATCCGCTCCACCCCGTCAAGGTTGCCCGTGATGCTGTGCCAGACGCCCTTGTTGTGGAACACGACCAGGTCGCCTTCCTCCCACGCGTGCGCATAGATGTACTCTGGCCTGCGGAGGACCTTCTTCTGCATCCCGTGCACAATCTCACGCACCCGAGCCAGGTCGCTGATCTCGGTGACCTGACCCGTCTGCGGGTCCTTCGTGCGGAGGGCATACACGCAGCACCCTAGGATCTCGAGGAGCGGCTTGTCCGGGCTACCGGGGTTCTTCCAGACCATCTGCCACGGAACAGTCGGGGTCAGCACGCGGCGACTGCTGGCGCCAGCACGAGAGCTTTGATCGGGCGACATACCGGATGACTCTGCACCTTGTCCCAGCTCCACTCCGGCAGATCGTCGAGTGCCCGCTCGTCACCGACGCGGGCGATGGTCAGACCATCGGACGTGGCCTTGCAGTCTCTGATCCACTCGTATGCGCGTGGCGCGTATTGTATCGTAGTGTTGAGCGCGAACTCCTGCTCCGCAGAACTCAGGAGTGAAAAGGCTTTGGCTCCGGAAACGACTGTCCATCACGCGGCAAGTGTCAGCGCGGTACCCTGCAGCTAGAGCTCAAAGACGACGTACATGCGCTGGCTCCAGGCGCCACGTGAAGATTCTCGCCGCTCTCGAGCTCTATCCGCTGTGTTTGGCCGGTGGGAACCTTGACGCCGTGGATCAGGGTCACACGTCCCGGGAGTCGCTCGTAGAGGGGTGCGTCGAGGTGCCACCGGTAGAATCTTGTTTGTCCGGACTGGACTTGGTCTTCGGTCAGAGGGTCGGCATGGAACTCGCGTTGGTTCTGTGATGCAGTTAGCGGGCGTAATCGAGCATGAAGTGTTGAGGAGTGCCCTACCAAATGCCGCAGCCGGACCTCGGGAAGCCCTTCATAGTCCTTGAAATGCCCGCTGCCCAACACGGAGACCTGAGGGGCGCGGGGGATGCGATCGCCGCCGTTCTTCGAAAGGATGTTGTCCTTGTCCTTGACCATCTGGGCACCGCCCGAATGTGTCGACTTTGCATGGTCGTCCCAGACGCGTGCCAGTCTCGGGAGGACGCTTGGCTCGATCCCCTTCTGCTTGCGCACAACGAGGACGGAGTGCTCGTACAGCGCGGTCCGGAGAAGCTCCCTGTCGTCATCCGTGATCAGGTCCGGGTCTATAAACAGCTGGTCGCCTCTGAGCAGCATCTCGGCGCCAATGTTCGTCTCCTTGCGGAGCGCGGCCGGCAGCGGGCGAATCTCAAAGTGTGTCGAGCTGGGCGGTAGGGCGGTAGGCATGGCGGTGGTTGATAGGCTGTAGTGGAAGTCATGATCAACCAGACTTCCATCACGTAGCACGCCTGCTTTATCTCTGATACGCCACCTCGGCCAAGTTGCATCTCGACCGAATTACCGCCTAACGCAGTGGGGCTGATTGTCGGGCAAGATTCAACTGGACCGAGCCAATGGCGCGCCTTCAGATTACCCCATCCAGCCTATTTCGGGGTCCCGTCTTATCGGGCGGGCACCGTTGAGTTCGGCAGTGTGCAACCGACAGCATGGCATGGGACTGCGAGATAATCCCATCTATATAACGGCTTGGCAGGCTCTCGCCTTGGGCTTTGGCGCCTTCGTCAGCCTCTGCGAACGAGGACCGCCATACCACTGTGGTTCACCCCCAAACCATCTGGCTGCTCCTTCTGATCATTCATCCACCACCCGCCATGGACTCCATCCGGGAGGTCCCCGCCCGCTTGGCACGGCGGTGCACCAGCCTCTCCTCGTGGAAGCTGCCGAAGCCGACTTCGACGCTGGCGCCGGCACATGTTTGGTCTAACGCGGACATGGACCCAGTGCCCCCGGAGAAGCAAACATGGGATGCGTGGACATGGATGGGCTACTGGGCCTCGGACGCCATCAATATCGGTACGTGGCAAGCAGCCTCGTCCATTCTCGCCGTCGGCCTGTCGTGGCGCGACGCCATCGCCGTCGTCTTTGTCGGCACCACGTGTATTGCCGTGCCCATGGTCCTGAACGGCGCCGTGGGTGCCCGCCTCCACGTGCCCTTCTCGGTTGCCGTCCGTGCCGGGTTTGGCTACTACCTCGCCTACTACTGCATCGTCTCTCGTGCTGTCCTGGCCGCCTCCTGGCTGGGCATCCAGAGCGTCAGCGGCAGCCAGTGTGTGACCATCATGCTCGCGGCCATCTGGCCGTCCTACCGCGACATTGCCAACACGCTGCCCACCAGTGCCGGCATCGACACCAAGGGCATGCTCTCGTATTGCCTCTTCTGGCTGATCCAGATCCCCCTGCTTCTCGTGCCGCCACGCAAGCTCAAGTGGCTCTTTGTGGCCAAGATGATTGTCGCGCCCATCACCGCTTTTGCCATGCTCGGCTGGTGCGTCAGCCAGGCTGGAGGCAGCGGCGTCGTCTTCGCGGAACAGGGAACGGCTTCTTCCGCGGATCGCCCCTGGCTCTGGCGGTCGTGCTGCGGCCTTCTTCGCGGCGGCCGCCTGGTTCATTGTGCAGGTCGGCTCCAATGTCACAGCCAACTGCATCTCGGCGGCCAACGACCTGACGGTGCTGATGCCGCGGTACGTCAATATCCGGCGCGGCTGCATCATCACGGCCGTCGCTGGCGGCTGGGTGTTTGTGCCGTGGAAGATCCTCGCGTCCGCCGGCAGCTTCCTGTCGTTCATGGGCGGCTACGCAGTGTTCCTGGGCCCGATCGCCGGCGTGCTCGTGTCTGACTACTGGCTCGTGCGGCGGCAAAAGGTCGACGTGCCCGGCATGTATGATCCGGACGGGCGCTACCGGTACTGGTACGGCATCAACTGGCGCGCCCTCGTGACTTTGTTGGCCTGCTCGGTGCCAAATCTGCCTGGCCTCGCGGCAAGCATCAGCCCGGCTTCGGTCAGCATCAGCGAGGGCGCCCAGAATCTGTACAGCTTCAACTGGATGTTTGGGTTCACGGCGGCAGTCTTCGCGTATTGGGGCATGTCTCTGGTCTTTCCTCCTTGGGAGACGTTTGTTGGAGCGCCCATTCTCGGTGTGGCTGAGGCGGCGGAAGCGGGCGAGAGGGATTCTGAGGCAGGGGTGACGGAGGCCAAAGGGGATGTTGCGATGGGCAAACTCGCGGAAGGGCCAGCGGAAAAGACGAGGGCGGCGGATGAGGTCTAGATGAGAATTGTGGTTCTATGCGAAAATAAAATGCACTGATACTGCCTGCTTTGAGCAATGATAATGAATCCAATGAGACTGCACTTCTTTGGGGATAACATTATTCCGTCTGGGCGTGGTGGTGAACTGGAGTGCTCCTGCCCAAGTGCGATAAGAGGTGGGGCGGGTGGCTCTGGTCCCTTTGTCACCAGGCACCTTGGACGGGACGTTCAAAGGCTTGCCCACCACACGCGCTTGTGCACGACTGCCAGCCATGGCAGACCGACGCAGAACCTCCCAACGCCCGTCGCGATCGTGCTCAGGTACCGCAATGCTCTTGTGCGCTCCCTCCCGATAGAGGCTAACCTCTGGCGCGCAGCCTGCAAACGCCGCAAGGTCAAGTGCGACCAGCGTCAGCCGTGTGGGCCCTGCATCAACCATGGCGTAGCCGACCGCTGCAAGCTCGAGACGGTCGAGCTCAGCACACAATGGACCAAGAGCAGAGGCGAGCTCGACTTTCTGCTGCGCCTGCAGTCTGCTCTCCTGGGCTCGTCTGCCGAGCGTGCTAGGAGCGACAGCTTGAGCCTTGTCGAGGAGCGGCTGAGCTTGCTCAGAACAGGACATCCTTCTCGCCCAGCAGCTTCCACGTCAGCCATCAATGTCCCAACTGAAGCTGCGGGGGTGGGTTCCTTTGCCTATGGAGAACGGTCCAGTACACCTGACGACCAGCACGACGACACTCTCGACACCGCCATTGTCTTGATGAGGATGGGCCGAGGCTACTCGAGCGCAGACATGGCAACTGCCCTTACGCGCAATGTGCCAGAAGCGACGGTGGCGGGCTGGCCCGATATGCTACCCTCACCCATTCAGGCCCAGCAGCTTGTCCTATTCTACCTGGACCATCTGAGCTGGCACCACCACGTCCTGTACTCGGTCGAGTTCGCCGCGCAATCTGGAGCCTTCTCTTCGACGCAGGGGACGGTGTCAACGCAGTGGCTGAGCCTTTTCTTTGCCGTGCTTGGGGTAAGTGGTGGTCAGCTATCCGAGGAGTACACGACTGACAACAAGAACACCAAGGCGTCTGCATGGAATCTCCCGGTCGAGATAAGTCAGCAATTATTCAACAAAGGTGAGTCTGTCTACACTCACGTTCCATATAAAGCAGGTGAGCTGAATAGTGTCAGAGCACCTTCGAGACGAGGCGGCGTCCTGGTATGGTCAGGCAATGGCGCTGCTTGTACGTGCCGACTACATGGCGAATCACTCAAGTATGTATCGCGCTTTAAGTTTCCCAGTTCTGGTGTCGTATCGTCGAGGCTGACCTGCCCCTGACGCGCCAGTTGTTGCAGTCCAATCGGTCATAATATCAGCAATGGTTGCCCATCCCCTCGGGCACGGAGCTCGCCACACTATCCACCTCGCGGCTTGTCTCCGCATCGCACAATGTTTAGGTCTCGCGGAGAATAAACCATCATCGACTCGGGAAGAGGCTGAAGTCTGCGGACGGGTCTGGTGGCAGCTGCTCGTGCAAGACTACTTTCTGGTCCCGATGGCTGGCTCGTACAGTGAGTCCAACCCGTCTTTACACATTTGGATCGGGTGAGTGGCTAATTGTGAAGGTGTGAGCACTAATCACTTCACAACCCCGATGCCGACAAATTGCCATGACCATGACATGCAGGGTCAGCCACCAGAAATGCCCACAATGGCATCGTACAATATTGCACTAGCAAAGAGTTGAGTATTAGCCAGTGGTGTTTCCCCAGTTTCTAGTGCGACCAGGCTCTGACGAATGGTTTTTCTATCATAGTGGCCCTTTTGATGCCACAACTTGTTGACGGCCTGCGACCCACGACCGCAGTTACGCAAACAGCGGCGGCACAGCTCCGGCACATTCAGCACATTGACGCACTGATGCGCGATCTTGTGACCGATCTGCCTCAGTTCCTCCGGCCGTTGCGGGCACACGAGGAGGAGGATCCCAGCTGGCCCTCGTGGCTGCGTGCGGCTCGCTCAGCTCTGACTGTCAGTGCCGCGGACAAGGTAAGTTAACACACGGCCCAAGCAACTGGGTCACGGCATCATCATAAGCCCTGCGGCTCACATAAAACTTCTGCCACAACAGGTCATCATGATCCATCGATCTCACCTTGTCAAGTCATTCCAGGAGGATCCGTCCTCTTCAGCACCCACCTACAGCCTCACACGCCAGACTTGCGTCCGCGCCGCCACGACGATTCTGCGCGAATTCCTCCGCGTGCGAAACACGAATTTTGTGAAGCTGTGGGTGATCCCGACCTTCACTGTCAGCGCCGCCGTAGTCATCTATCTTGAGCTGCTGTGCCGCAAGAAACGGGGTGAGCTCAACACCATGCAAGGACAGACCGAATCAGAACAGTACCACCACCTCAGGCTTTTGCAGGATGCAATCTCTGGCCTTCGAGAGCTGGATTATGATGAGAACGCGAGAAGAGGCGTGGGGATGCTTGAACATCTCGTCGACCTACTTGTGCTTCCCTCTTTTGAGGAACATAACGATGGCAAAGCGAAGGATGAGGACACGGATCAGCTGGCTGGCGGCACGAGAGGCGCCTCTGATGAGGATCTTGTGGCATTCCTTCTCGATGGCGTGGCGTGGGTCAGCTGAGGCAGAGAACTTCCACTCTGTATTGCGAGACTCGCTGTCCCCTGTGCGCTCCACCCACCACTTCGGATGTTACCGACGTTCGACTGATGATGACTACACAAGGGTACAGTCTCTCCGCACAAGTCGTGCGGGGAACAGCGAAAGCGGAGCTCTCCCCCAGCGCCATGATCGCTCGTCGGGTATACTCGACCTCCACGGCGCCCGAAATTAGGCTGAATTAAGCTCTTGCCGGGCATGCTCGTTTGAGCTATAGATAGCTCTCGCTTATCTCTGAAGCACCCTCACCCCACGACATGACAACAACAACAACACCCGCAAATTACAATGGCCTCTCCCAAGATCAAGGTCGGCGTCGTCGGCTACGGCAACTCTGCCAAGACATTCCATCTGCCCTTCATCACCGCGATCCCCGACTACGAGGTCGTTGCCATCCTGCAGCGCGCGGAAGCTCCGGCGCCAGGGTCACCCGCGGCCTCTACGCCCGGCGCGCATTGTACCGTCGACTTTCCGAATATCCGGCACTATCGCGAGCCCGAGGCGTTCTTCGCGGACGAGGAGATTGAATTCGTCGTGGTCGTCACGCACACCAATACGCACCCAGTCTTTGCGGAGCAGGCGCTGCGGGCGGGCAAGCATGGTGGGTAGTGTTCTGCCACCGGCGTTGAATTATGGCTGACACGAACCCTAGTCCTCGTCGACAAGCCGTTTGCGGCCACGTCTGAGCAGATTGACAAGGTCATTGCGCTCGCCAAGGACAAGGGGCTCATTGCCACGTGCTATCAGAACCGCAGATGGGTACGCTGTCTCTCTCTACCTCGTAGCACCACATGCTAAATCTCGGCAGGACGGTGGCTTCCAAACACTGCGCAGCCTCATGAGCAAGGACGCTCTTGGAGAGGTCAAAGAGGCTGAGATCTACTACGACTTTGAGAATCCGGGGTGGCTAGGCGCGCTCGACAAGGCTGGAGACAGCACCTCGGCAGGCATGGCCTTTGGACTAGGTTGGTATCTTGTTTCTCCGTCCTTGTGCCGAAGCTGACAGTGACACAGGCACCCACAGCGTCGACCAGGCTCTCACGCTCTTCGGCACACCCGAGACCATCACTGGGTTCTTCCGCAACCAGCGCGGAAGCAACAGCAAGGTCGAGGATGCGTTCACCATTATCCTGCAGTATCGTCCCAAGAGCGAGCTGCTGGTTACGGTCAAGACGTCTATCGTGTCGCCGCTGTCAAAGCAGATCAAGTTCATTGTCAAGGGAACCCAGGGTTCATACGTCAAGGTTGGTGGCTGTATATCTATTCTGTCAAACGTTACTGACACTCTTCACAGTACCAACAGCGGAGCACGTGCCCACAAGAGGAAGATGCCTCCAAGCGTATCAGCCCGCTCGACCTCAGCTTTGCCAAGGAGCCCGCCTCGCTCGACGGCACGCTCACCACTGCAAAAGTGTTTGACAGCTCGTGCCAGAAGTACGACGAGCAGATCGCAAAGTATGTGGGCCAATATCCAACCATCACGGGTAGGTGGATGGGCCTGTATGAGAATGTTGCGGCTGCCATCCGCGGCCAGGGCGAGCTCGAGGTGAAGTTGCAGCAGTCGCGGGACGCGATCCGGGTTCTAGAGCTGGCGCGAGAGTCGAGCGACAAGGGCGTGTCTGTGGCCTGGCATTAAATGGATCAGTGCTGCATCTCTATGCGGGACCACCAGAACAAAACAATCGTTGAGACACAAGTCCGCTCTTGCATACTTACAGGCTGGGCTTGGTTGCGCAACTGCATGCAACTCTGCAATTGCATGACTCGTTATATGGGGCCGATTTGAATGATCTCCCGCATCAATCACGCAGCGTATTTTATCCCAGTTAAGAATCTCAAGGTTGCCCTCGCTCGAAGTGACAAACGGAATATATTTGCTGCAAACGAACAACTTTCCATATATCAAAGATCCTTGCCGTAGTAGAGAAACTCAAGATCCGCCCTCAGCACACCCTCCCAGTCCGGGTGCAGCTCGTACGCAAACGGCTTGGCCCTGCCCGTCGGCACAAACCCCCTCTTCTCGTACCACCTCCTCAGCGTGGACCGCGTGTTGACCACGTCAAACTCGAGCCTCTGAGCCTTCCACTCGTCGCGCGCGACCTGCTCCGCGTGGGCGACGAGCTGGCTGCCCCAGCCTTGCCCTTGGCCCTTGACAGAGACGGCCAGGAGGGCCAGCCAGGCCAAGGTGTCGGATTTTTTCTGCAGCCAGAAGTGCCCGACAATCTCCTCTTCTTCTTCCTCTTTGTGCTCCAGCTCCTCCCCTTCATAGTCCACGGCAGCAGCCTTGGACACGACCCCAACAAACACCGCAATATCCGTAGCAGTCATGCTTCCCAGCACGCTCTCCTCGGTTGCCAGGCTGATCCGCTCGTGCTCCGCACCCAGGTACACGTCGGTCGTGTCGTCGGCCCGGAAGGCCGCGTTGATGAGCGCCGTCGTGGCTGCCACGTCGGCTGGGGCTACCGCTCGGCGGATCTTGAGCTTGAGCTTGGTCTTGGGCTTGGGCTGTTGGGAGGAGGAGGAGGGGGAGGGGGAGGTTATGGTTGTTGGGGTTGTCGCTGGTGGTGCGGTGGTGGCTGTAGAAGAGGACATGATTTCTCCTTTCATGTCTTGTCTTGTCTGTGTGTGTTTGTGTTGTGCTGTTATTGGGGCTTGGGGGGCTTGTGGCTCCTGTGCTGCTGTTGAGAGTTGATTCAGGTTGGGTGGATTGTGGGTTTGGACTGAGCGATCTTCTGCCGTTGAAAGAACTGCTTGCAAACAACACCCTATAGCTACGGCAGAATTTGTCTGAAGTCTCCCCTTTTTATATCCTCCTCATCCTCCAGCTCGGTTCAGACAAGGGCGCGCCCGATAGTGTCGTCCAAATCTCACCGGACCCTACCTGGTCAGTCAAGGGCGCCATAGGTGGGTCAGCTCGGCGACCAGAAAGAGTCCCACTTATTTATTCCAGGGGCACATACCTAGAGTCAACGGGCGCACGTGATCTACTCCCTACTCGCATCGCATCACAACATCTAGAACATGAAGAGCAGCTCGCAAGGCAACAACATCATATTGGGTATCTCAAATTAAGCCTGCTCAGGTATCACTATAACTGCAACATATTATCCAAAACTACTCCTCGGCGGGCACGCGTCCCTCAATGTGGGTGACAGCACTCTCCACCGCAGCCTGCAGGTCAATGTGGAAGTACGGCCGGTTCATGCCGCCGACAACGGCAACCTTTCCTGGCAACGCCGTCGTGCTCGACTCCTTGCGGATGCTGTTGTTGCTGGAGCCGATGGGGGAGATCTTGTCCCCAGCCTCGGGCTGCACGCCAACCTCCACATCCTGACCCAGCTCTCCACCCTTTGTGGGGTATATGTTTCGCACAACCTGGTCGCTCGTGGCGGCCGCGCTGTAGATTGGCTTCCAGTTGCCGAGCCGGTTGACAACCTTGGCACTGGGGAAACCGAAGCCGGCGGCACCAAGGGCTCGCTTGGTCCAGCGGTTGGTGACGGAGACAAAGTGCCAGTCGACGGGGTCGGGCGAGGCGTGGCGGTCGAGCTGGTTGCGCGTGTCGATCAGAGCCTGAATCGAGGTGACATCAACAGCATTGACAGCGGAAAAGTCGAGGACGATGGCGCGCAGGGTGGGCCGGTTATCGTCCACGTTGAAGTGTTGTCCGCGGCGCGGGCCCGGGTCGTTCCAGGGGCGGTCTCCCAGAGCGAGATTCTTGTCAACAATGGTGGGCCGAGTCTCTTGCTTCGCCCATGCCGTCAAGATGTCCATGTGGCGGCCAGCATTGAGGTAGTTGAAGCCCTCCTTGAAGCGGTAGACGATGACTCCCGGGTAAGGGGTGTGCACGTCAATCTCGGGGTTCGAGCCGTCTCGATGATCAAGTGGCACATAAGCCAAGCGGGACACAGTCTCGGAATTGGTCCTATCGACAGGCTCGTCGCCGTTGACACGATAGATTCTCGTCTGGCCCAAGAAGGCGCCACGTGCCTTGGCGATGCGGACCAGCAAGACGGCGGCAGACACGCCCATGGTGACGTAGATGCCTGTCTCAATGTCGGCGAAGATCATGACGATCACACCCGCGAAGAAGATGAGGACTTCGAGGGGAGACACCTGCCAGAACTGGTAGACCACGTTCGGCGCGGTGATGAGATCGCCGACGGCGTGGATGATTAGACCGGACAAACTGGCAGAGGGGATGAAGAAGAACACGCCGGTGAGCGCATAGAGAGCAAGAAGGACGATAAGCGCGGTCCAGATACCAGCCAGCGGGGTGCGCACGCCAGCCTTGGACTTGATGGCCGTTCTGGAGAAGGAGCCTGTCGCGGGATAAGCACCGAGGAACGGCCCGAGGACGTTGGTGAAGCCGACCGCAACGAGCTCCTGGGAAGGATCGATGACGTAGTTGTTGACGCGTCCGAAAGACTTGGAGATGGAGATGTGCTCGATGATGAGGACGATGAGGGCACCGGGGATCTCGCTGCCGATGGCCGAGAGGAGGCTAGGTGTGATGGTGGGCGCATTGTGTACTTGGAAGCCTGGTCTGTGTTAGAAAGGAACAGTGAGGGCCGGACTGCGTAGGGAAAACTCACCACTGGGAACAACTCCGAGGATATCAAACTTGGCCTTCTTCTTGTCGGTCACGCCTCTGTTTGCAAGCCAACTGATGAGGATGTAGAGGATAATGACGACTGCCATGCGTAATGTGCCCAGGAAGAACCACAGCTTCTGACGGTGCAGCTGCTTGTTGCCCAGATAGGCGGTGGTCCACTTCCAGATATAAAGAAAGACCATAGCCGACACACCCATGGCGGCATCGAGCCCCTTGGCGGTGGGGAGGGCCTGGAGGGTCTGGATGATGACCAAATAGGTGGCCTGGCGAGTGTTGACGGTGGAGATGCCGAGCATCTTGGGCACCTGGCCAGCGGCAATGTTGATGGCCGCTCCCGTCATGAAGGAGGTGATGCCGACCAGGGGGATGAGCTCGACGATCCAGCCAAGCCTGAACAGACCCAGGAAGAGCAGCACGGAGCCGCAGATGACCGACAAGGCACGAGCAATCATCTCGGGGGGGAACTCGTTTCCATGCGCGGCGGTCACTCGGGCGATGATGTTGCCGACGAGGGTAGACATGACCGCGACGGTGCCGATGGTGATGTCCTTGGAGGTAGCAAAGGCCCAGTAGAGGATGAAGCCGACAAAGGAAGTGTACAGTCCGTACTCGACGGGCAGGCCCGCGAGCACGGCATAGGCCATGCCCTGCGGGATGACGACGAAGCCGACCGTGACGCCGGCAATGAAGTCACCGAGACCCCATTTGTAGTTGTAGTGCAGGATCCAGTTGAGGAAGGGAAAGAGGCTGCGGAAATAGTGGCGGACGCCCGAGGCCGTGGGGACAATGTCGCGCAGGACCTCGCCGAGAGTCGGCTCGGGCTCCTCAAAGGTGTCGACATTGTGGATGCTGCCGGCGGCAGTGCGGACGAGTTCTGCGGGCTCGTTCTTCTGGCGGTAGTCGACGTCGATGCCGACTGCCTTGGCCAGGCCGCGGCCGATCTTGCTGGACGAGCTCATGATGGGCCAGAGTGCGACTGTGCTGGTGCAGAGGACGGTCGTGCGGAGTCGATGATGGAGGAGGAGAGCCGCACGGGAGCAAGTCTTTATATCTGGAGTGATGGCTGGAACCCTGGGCGAGGCTAGCGTAGTACTCGTTACCTGTCGGACGGGCGGGCACCCCTGTTGCGAGTAAGCACGCAAGCAGGACGCCTGCTTTGGGATGGAGCCGTGGGGGGGCCGCGATCTCTGCAAGACAACGGGGAGTTCTGGCCACTGCGGCGGGCAGGCCCACCGAGCCCGGGAACTAATGAATTAGGCCATGCTAAAGAGCCGAGAGTGGGTGCGGAGCTTGCCATTAGTTGGCTGGGCTGGCCTGGCTGGCGTCGATCGAATGCAGCAAAGGGAGAGAGGGAAGGCAGACTGGAACGGCGCCATCATAGGCATCGTGATTGAAGCGGAGCGAGCCGGTCGACGAGGATCCATCGTCGTCACCCAGCGCAGGCAGTGGGCGATGGGTAGCGGCCACAAGCGTCTGGCTCGGATGCGGAGTGCGTGCGCGTGTGTGTGCTGCCGTATGCTTGTGCCATGATCATGCTTTTTTTTGCTAGTCGTGGTGTATGCTTTGGTGTGCAAAGCTTGACGTGCTGGGCCCTTGGAAGCTCGCTGCATTGCCTACAAGACGCCCAGGCCCGTGGCGCCGCGCTAGTTCCCCGCCAAGCGTTGACGACATCGCCGCTGCAAATGGCGAAGTGCCCGCTCATTGGCTGCAGCCTACGGGCCCCTTGTACCGCTCGCACAGATCGAGGTAACTCCCTCTTTCTTCGTGATGCTGCATTGACCGTCCCATCCCGCCCAGCACCGGCATTGCCAGCTCTGCGGCGCCAATAGTGCCTTTCTATCGCCCTCCAGCTCGCCACCAGCTTTTACATGCCGCAAAGGTGCGCTGCTGCGAGTGTGGCTGGCGTTCTGTCATGTCTATCGATAAGCGCGCTACCTCGTCATCTGCCGCAGTAACCTGGAGACCTTGACATCAGCGATGCCCTGAATAACACCATTTCCCGCCAATCAGGTCTCATAGATGCCCCTGCCTAGCGCAGGACACGCCTTCCGCCCATGCGTCTTGCTCATGCATGATACTCCAACCATCACACACGGATTGACCTCACCACCACGCTTTCAAGGCAGACACCACGCCGCCCAGACTCTTCGCCAACGCCGTCGCGTCGTGTCCAAGATTGCTTGTCCCGCGCCGCAAATGCTTGTCGCTGCCCTCTTCGCCCGCGCCCAGGTGCTCGGCAGCGCCTGAGACTCTTGGGTTGTGGAGGAGGCGCCGACAAGCTCTCGGGGCGCGTCTCGTCACCGGTCTCGGCGACCCAGCCGTTTGACATCATTCCGTCGCTTGGCCCATCACGCAATAGGCTTGGAAAATGCTTGGGTGCAACGACATGTCGTGGAGACGCGTGGTGGTCGAGAACCAGCCGAGTGTCGTCAGCTCTTTGGGAACAAATGATTGAGGCGTTCTAGCCCCCACGGTTGACATTTGCCTTGAGGTAATCCTGACAGCCACTATTGCCCGCTCGATCAGAGAGTTCCAAGCGGCCGGGTGCGCCTCCATTGTCTGATTGTGAGCCCGACAAAAGAAAACTGCGCCAGATCTAGCCTCGCCCCTCATTGAGCCAGCTGATGCCATGTTCTTGAGCCCTACCGCCTCCTGTATTCGCCAGTGACATCTCACATGCCCGGAAACAATCATCTCATCTCCCCGGGGGTCACAAGCGAATACTGTAACCCCTAGCCGTGCGGCTGAGCTGCATGGTTCGGGAGGCAGCGGCAACCCCGGACTCCCGGCCTGCACCGTCTCATCCCGTGTCCCCAAACGAGAAACCCGGGGAGAAGCCTGTCCCAGCCGTATGGGTGTGCCATGCGCGGGCGAATGGTCGTCTGCGGGCTTCCGCTAGTCCATTCGTCTCGCTGTCCTTGCCTGCATCCAGGCCTCGGTCTGGTGAGCACGCGATCTGTGCATGTGCCCTTTTCGCCACTGCCTCTCCAGCCCACAATCTCTGAGCACACCAAGCACATCGATCGCTGGAAATGGTGATGCCCACTGTCGGATCCCGCCATCACGATGGCAAAAGAAATATCAGTACTCGCGAGCGAACTAATTTTCTGATCAGCGATGTCCGCGGAGATGTCCGCCCACGGATGTCCGCCCACGGATTGTCACGAGTCCTTCAATGGAGCTCGCTGGTGAACAAACGCCACACTCTTGCGTGCTCGCCTAGGTCGCCCTCTCAGCTGGCCAGACCGTCAGAACGGAAACAGAGCAATTATAGCTACTTTATGCAGTGACAAGGACCAGCCCTTTGGAAAAGCCCCTCCCAGGGACGTTTCGGACTCCACAAATCGATAGCTTGGTCCTTTCCAGATGTCCCAGAGGTCCAGACGCACAAAGGCACAGGGGTTCAAAGACATTCTTTCGTTATAACTACGTTTCTGTGTTACCCAATGTCCCCACCTTGATGCTGCAGCTTTCAAGCCTCGTTGGTCCCCCCCACGTTCCTTCTCGTCACCTGGGTACCTGCAAGCCTGCGAGTGTGCCTGATCAGGAATTCAACACTTGGGCGGCTGATGCGCCTGAGACATCTGTCACCAGGCCCTCAGATGATAACGATTATGGTGTCATTTCGCTACTGTATTGCCCTTCCTCCTGAGCATGTCGCTTCGTGCGGACTTTGCCGTGGCCGCCCGTCTTCCTGCTGGAGCCCTAGGGGCAAAGTTGACATCGCGGCTGTCGGTTGCTCATGTGCTGTAGTCACTCGTGCTCTCTCCCAAGACCTCCTAGTCTCGTCGCGCACGATGATCATGACCAGGTCTCCGCGGGCGGGGGGCAATTGTGATCTCTCACGAACCAGAGACGCCCCCCTTGGTCTGTCCGTGTGACCTATCATGGCCACGCTGATGTCTCTCGCGGCTGTGGCGGTGCAAGAGATGTATTCTCTCGTGCCCAGCAGGACGCCTGCTTGGGATTTGTGTCTACCGCGTGCGCGCAGAGTCGATCGCCGAGTGCTTTTCATAGTTGCAGCCGGTACTGTATAAGATGGATGCGGTCTTGATGAGGGTACGGTGAAGCGGGCTTCATGACTGGAGTCTATGGTCCGTCAAGGCACGTCTGCATGTACCCGGGAACGTGACTGCGTCGAGGGACAAGTCAGGTTGTTTGAGGCAGCTGGGGAACGAGCGTTTGGGCCTTGTCGTGCGGTGTGTAGCGTGCTTGGGCATGAAATAGTGCTGTAGATCAAACAGACGAGCAGAGTTGATGTTCTGTGCTCCTGGCAAGACGCTTGGCGGATGGAAACAGTGGCACGAGCACTACTGGCAGGTGGCTCTAACCTGATGCTTCCTTCCATAAAGCAAACACTATGGCGCAGCCCTCCTCCAGGGTAGTCATGCCATCTTGACACAGCATATGAGCAAACGTCGCTTTCAGATGCGGAACTGAGCTTTAAACACGGTATCGTCACAGATCCGCGGGCTCTCCGTCGAACCCGTGTCATTGACTGACCTCAAGTCGCCCGCATTCACAACATTGTTATATGCAGCAGTCCGCCCGATACTCAGCTTGGTCGTGACCGACCTCGTCGTCGTCAATTTAAAGTACCGCGACCTTCAGCACAGAGAACAGCTGCGCGTGCCTTGTTTCTGTCTCCGCCTTGACACGAGTACCAGTATATTGATGCTCCTCTGTGCATCTCCTTTTAATGACAGACACCAATATTCCTGAGCCGCCTTTTGAGAATAACGTGGTCTTTGTGTGGTTCACTTTGCCCTGCATGCCGGGCTTGCACTGTTGAGTTCGCACTGATCGGGACATCGGAGATAGCCACCATGCTCGACCAAGAGGGTGTGGTTCGTTCCGCAACAAAAAGTCTGAGGAGACGAGTCGCCGAGGGTGGAAGCGTTCAAGGAGGCGCGTGCGTATGGTCAGGTGTACCGCACAAAGCTGCCGCCTGGAAGCACATTTCTGGTCCATCTCCGAAGGTGGCAGACTTGGGTCGATCCACAAACACGGTTGGCATCTCCGCAAGCAACTGTGCATCATCTTGCCGCTCCCACTCCATCCCCTATACAACACTCCCATGAACATTTGAAGATACGTGCATTGTTCATCAAACACAACCACTCAGCACCAGCAAAGCACCAGCCAAACGTTACTTCAACAAACACCCCCACAACAAACTGCACTCCCACAACAACCGCGATTCCAACCGCGATTCAGGATGGACAATCTCGAAAGCCTCAACAAGACTCTCAAGCTGATCTTCGGATTTGCCTGGTCCATGTTCTGCGAATACCAGCTCAGGCTCGCACTCGAAAGATACTACTCGAAACGGGGCCTCTCTATCAAAGATGTACCCTTTCTGCAGATCCTGCCCGTTCTGATATGGCTGACCCTTGTCCTAGTGGCAAAGATCTTAATCGGCATCGTCATCCTCCTTTTGGCAGTCAGGTTGTTTCCTTGGGTGCGGCAATACATGAGAAACACGGCTTGAAGGCACCGGCACATACAACAACATACACGACACACTGCCAAGCGGGCGTCAGGGCAGGCGTGGCCCTTGCTGCTCGACAGCGCAAGCGCTTCACATCCATGTCATTCCATCCTACGCGCTGAGTGCATGCTAACACGGGGGGATCAACGCATTCTTGACTGCATCAATTTTCTTTCTCTATCGCACGATTCAGCCCTTCGGAAGAGATCTGTAGCCCAAGAATCATCAGAGCCAGAATGGGTCCGACATCCATCATCGAGTCAACCGACCTTCAAGGGGAGGAGTGGAGCAGAAGATGGGAGATGAGGCGATCAAGACACAATGCAGTGGAAAACATGTATGGCAATGGGCCGCAAAGGTGAAGCATAGCGCAAGCTCAGATCAATTATGAGGGTGGAGGAAGATATCAGATAGCTGCAGCAATGTCATTTTAGTGCACCACAAAAAAGCGTTGGAAACCTTTAGTCGTGTCATCGATGAGGCAGTCAAAAATGTTGTCGGAATGCTTGCGGACCTCCGCAAAATTTGAGTTCAACAGATCGGCTGTGTAGTCGTTTAGCACCCGCACAAAAAGAAATCGCGAATGCCCACTACTGGAGTCGAACCAATTGCCTCCTCATTACTAGTGAGGCGCTCTACCGATGAGCCAAGCGGGCGTTACTTGATGGGGAAGGTCGTTTCTTATTAAGCTATCAGTATGATGGTTGCTAGATCGAAATAGGCCAGATTCCATCTGCGTTTTCCCTGGCGGCCCGAAACAACTCTTTCAATTTCCCTTGTGCAAATCAACGAGCATCCTATCGCACCTTATTGTCTGTACGCGCTCACATTGTTAACTGCCTCACGTGACTGACTATTCACTCATACGGGACGGCGCGATGGCCATCAGAGACCATGCTTTGGAAAGACTGGTGGAATGACCAGCGTGCTGGATATGGAGCAGAGTCGGAGTTGGCGATGAGTTAGGCGAATCAGAAACTAGCACACAAACTGAAAGGGGAAAGCAGACTATAGGATATGGGCACTCGGGATGCTGTATGTCAACAAACATGGCATGATCTGCATGCACCCGGGCATCCGGGACGTGATAGCTACCTAGGTACCTTCTTGGCAAGGATATACACCTCGCTTGTTCGGATGATTCGGCTTCTGCCCTTCTGCCATGTGAGAACACCACTGTGACAGCAAGGATTCAGATGCCTTGTTACGAGCCCCGCCATCACAAATAAGACTATAACCAGTCTCGATTGGTCTAGTGGTCAGGATACCTGCTTGTCACGCAGGTGGCCGGGGTTCGATTCCCCGATCGAGAGCACGCTTCACACACCCAATCATCTGAGGTCCACCTCGGGAGTTTGTCTTTTTGCCGTCATCAATCTTTTCTTTGCCATCAGGCAAAGAATATGGTCGATGACAAGCTGAGCAGTCTGGTTTCTGCACCTTGGCCGGGTCAGGAATTTGAGGTCGAAGATTACCAGGTAGATGCACGGTGTGCACGAATGTCCATTGGACATGTTTGCAGCCTGCGGGTATCCAAGCAGCCTCACATTGAGCATGGCACTATGCTGAGCGCTCTATGCGAACTCTCCTTTTTCAACACGAACATGGAAGCTGCTACTTGGGGAGTAAGCCCTACCACGAGGACCCCGTATACAAGCCCTATTGGGGGTTTAGCTCAGCCCGAACTCAGCCCTGATCGGCACTTTGCTGGGCCACCGGGTGGGACCTATGAGATCTGCATTATACGTAGGCGTACACGTTATTGGCCAAGATAACAAAAAGTGCCTGCGTTCCAATTAAAGGAACAGCCCTGCCCTGGAGAACCGTGGGGCTGTCCACCATAAGGCCCGATTGTATTGGCGGTGCTGGCCGCTCTGTGCGTCATTGGTCGGTGTTAAATGCGGTTCCGGGGCTCGTCTTTGCTCTTCCTGATAAGACCTGGACGATCACGAGTACTTAACCTCTCGAAGCGCGCCGCCAAGAAACAGGCGGAAACAACAACATCACAACGCACATATCTCCTCGCCAACCACCCAAAGACAATGGCCTCCAACGCACCCACCTGCCTCGGCCCCAATGGCCTCCCCGACTTCGCCGCGCTGCCCGACATCCCGCGCAACATCACGACCTACCTCAGGCCCAACACCAACATGACGCTCTTGGCCATGACCCAGTGCTGCGCGCCCAACCCGGTCCACAAGACCCAGCACGACTGCTACCTGTGGTGCGAGGTGCCCGACTCTGGAGGGCTCACCGGCGACAAGGCCCAGGCGGCGGCCCAGTCGCTGAGCAGCTGCGTCAATCGGCCCGGCCTGGACACGTCGATCAGCGGGTGGCAGATCGCGAGCTCGGGCGGCGGCGCTGGGGTGAGGAACATGCGGCTTGGTAGTGTCGTTGCGCTGAGTCTCGTGGCCTCGGCGCTGGTGTCTGGGCTGCTGTAGTAGGGTGGAGTCGATCAAAAACGTATTGGCCGCACAAATCGCTACAGTCGGCTCTGGCGCTGCGGCGAACATGTCCAAGACTTTCTATCTACTACGCTCGCCAATCAACCAAGCCCAACAGATTGGAGGCTCGTAACCGCAAATCTCCGCATTCCAATGCTGGGCCTGTGACAGGTTGACATAGCACCACGTGTGTCCACTGCCAGGTCACGACGCCGCAAAGCAGACACTTTTGCGGCAGTTTTGCAGAGGAGATCATAGACGACAGAGGACATGATACAAAGCTGCAAGGATACCCAGCCTGGTGATTATCCAAAAGTCATCACATGTGTACAAAAACGAGCAAAAATGGACAAATGAACCCGGCCGAGTCAGATGCTTCGCGTCGCGGAGCCTTAGGTCGACACCAGCGTAAGGCACAGGCATCGGGGTCAGAAACTGCGGCACGTTGCCTGCCCAGATGGGCCGGACGTGATAACCGAGGCTGGGGCAATATTGTCCCTGGACAATTTTGTATCTTCACTTCCCCGCATAATCCAAAGCTAAGGCGAATCGCAGCAGATGCTTTTCTGGCTGAAGAGCCAGTGCATCGCCGGAGCCGTCCCCACCTCTTGACTAGGTCTATGTATGTACCTAGCGTAGACAGGGCTGAGCTTAGAGTAGATGGGGCCGATCTTGCGTCATGGTGTTCACACCTATAAAGCCAAGGCAGCTATTCGAGTACGCCACGCTAGGAGACATCCGTCTTTGCTTATCGAGTTCGGGGTCATTGTGCTTACTATGTTCCTGATGATCTTCATCTTCAACCTCACCACTGTGGAGGGCGAGCAGTAAAACGACTAGGATGTCAACCACGCATCCGCCATGTTCAGAGAAGCCGCCACCACATGCTCCATGCTCGAGACGTTGAGCGAACTCGCCGATCACTCCCGCAGTGGAAAACCTATATCCGTGCTAGCCGGGGAAGTGGGGCAAACACGTCGCGATTTAGCACCGCGCTGGGGCTTTTGTACGAACCCCAGATGATTTTCCTCGTAGGTAGGTGACTACCGAGGTGGAGAAGCCGGGGGTTGAGCACTGTGGATAGAAGAAACCGGACAGGTACTGTACAGGATGGATCTACATTGTCCAGTTTATTCTGTCCACAGGATCGCTGTTGTGCAGGGGGGACCCGGGTTTTGGACTAGGGGTAGTCCGTATGCCCTGTCCAGGCGGCATTTCTATCCGACGTGCGCATCTCAATTGAACAAAGGGACAGGGGTGACAGGTGTGAATCAAAAGGACTGACGTAGATTTCGGCTTGCATATATGCATGCACGCATTGGGGTACACCGGTACTCCTTGCTATCGTCAGGTCAGGCACAAGTCAGCTGGCTGCTGCCGCAACTCAGGAAGGCGGGTTGCTTAGCACGATAGTTGGGGCGCAGTTGGCGCCAGACTTCTACGTATGAAGCAAGCACAGATCATAGGAGGTTTGAAGTCGGAGCGGGCCGAGTGCACCAGCTATACCCCGTCGCGGCCCCTCGGCTTGGCAGGTCATTTGGCGTCTTGGCTTTAAATGAAATTCGGAGTTCTAACGTCGTAACATGAGCGATAAACGCCTAACGAATAAACGCCTACCGAAGGTGATGCCCAGCTCCGACGTTGCAAGGATCCAGCATGCCGAGCAAGTTGGACCACTTGACAGCAATGACAGGGCACTAGTCAGCCAGGTTCAAACGCGAGCATGGTCTAGAATCCTTCGGAGGGAATCACTTTATCAATCTAGGTCGTCTCGATGAGGATGGCCGATATGAATGTAGGAGTAGGGTACTAAGTTTTCTACGTATAGGGTACTAAGTTTTCTACATATAAGTTAGATACTTCGATATTATACTATGCCCCCACATCCTTCCTCTATTATAGTTTGAACGTCCTGTACTATTGATTGATATATAGTAATAAGCCTCTAGCGACCCTTGAAGACGGGCTTCCTCTTCTCGGCAAATGCTTTGAGCGCCTCGTTCCTATCCTCCGTAACTACGACGCGCTCGGACATCTGGTTCTCCTTATCTTCCCTGGCCCACATTACCGCCTCCAAACTAGCCCTGATCGCCACCGGCGCTCCCTCACAAATCTCCTGCGCCAATCTCACAGCCTCACTCAACGTCGCCTTCCTCGCCAAAGACAGCACATCCTCCTTTTCGCCACCCTCGGGCACCTCTTCTAGCTGCTGCACCTCGACGAGCCTATCCGCGATGCCGAGGAAGTACGCCTCCGGGGCGGCGACGCGTCGGCCGGTCAGGATGACGTCGCGGGCGCGGGAGGGGCCAATCAGGGGGGGAAGACGGTGGCAGCCGCCGCCGCCGGGGATGATGCCCAGGCGGGTCTCGGGGAGACCGACTACGGCGTTGGAGGAGAGAACGCGGAGGTCGGTTGTGAGAGCGAGTTCGAGGCCGCCGCCGAGGGCGATTGAGGAGATGGCGCAGATGGAGGGGATGGGAAGGGCGGAGAGGGAGTTGAAGGTGTCGCGGAGGTTGGAGAGAAATTCGGCGGTTCTGTTTTAGGCCAATTAGTCAATTGAGTAGCTTCTGTGACGGACTGAGGTAGAAATCTACTCCTTCTGGGTGAAGGTCTTGCGCTCCTTCAGATCTGCGCCGGCGCAGAAGCACGCGTCTACGGCACTAGCAAGAACCACGGCTCTCGTCGGTCCATTACTTGTCGCCACAGCGTGCGGCGTCTCATTGCCCTCAGGCGTATATTGCTGATGGAGGTCATCAAGCTCGGCGCGAAGAGCAGCTATAAGGGAGCGAGAAATAGCATTGCGAGCAGAAGGTCGGTTGAGCTCGAGGACGCGAATGTGGCCGGAGCCGGGGGCGGGGAGGTTCGTGACACGGATGAGGGGCCCTGAATCTGCGGCTGTGGAATACAGGCGGCGAAGAATAGGGAAGCGCAGGGAAGAGGTGAGACGGGGAGGCATGGTTGCGGTTTGGTTGTAGGTGATAGCGAGGAATTACGATGAGGACGGAGACTCGCAACGCGGCGATGAGGAGGAAGCATCGCAACGCGGATAGTTAATGGACAATGAATGTTTGGACATTGGGGAGCTTGAGCCGAAATGTGGGGGAACTCGGGGAACCCGGCTTCCATCGGCCGGCGGGTACTCCGGCTCGGGTCGGCAACCTACCCTACAAGGTTATAAAGCCGAGGTGATTATAGGTGAGATAAACCCCGGGCAAATCAAGTGAACCAATTCAATCACCTCGGCTCTATATAACCTTATAGGGTATGAGCCCGGTTTATTGCCGGCTAGCAACGATCAAACACGAGCATTACACCTAGCAACAGCTCGTTATTGATACACGTTTCCCGGCAAAGTTCTCGGACTTTATTCTCCTGGATCGCCGTACTATTGGAACTTCCCCACACCCATCCCCGCACCTATCCCCGCACCCACCCCCGCGCCCATCCCAGAGTTCCCGGACTTTTTTTCTCTCGGTCTCTTTTAGTGACAGACTACTAAGGTACACCCCGGACGGTCTGATAGGGGGCTAGTTGGGACCCGGCGAGCATGGTTGTTGGAGAAAACTATAAGAGGAACTGGTGAGGCTACCTGAGTGCTAACATGTACTTCGGAGACAGTCTCTTCAATTTCTAAGGTCGAAAAGTGTGGGGCTAAAAGGAACAGCTACTCTCCCTTTATCATTCCAAGCAGAGGATCACTGGACCATTATGGCAGACATTAAATCTACCAATGCTCCCGCCGACGAGATCGAGCTTGCCAAGGAACAACAACAGGAAGCGACGCCCAACGGCTATCACGATGTCAGCGACGAGTATCCGGCGAAGAAAAGGAAGAATGTCCTCTTCAAGATGGATGTTCGTATTCTACCATCGCTCATGCTTCTCTATTGTGAGCGATTTGACACACTTTACAAATAAGGGGAAGTTATACTCATAAAGCGGTAGTGCTCTCCTATATCGACAGAGCCAACATCGGAAACGCTAAGATTGAAGGCATTGAGGCAGACTTGGGTCTGACGCCAACGCAATACTAGATCACCTTATCGATCTTCTTCATTAGTTATATACTTTGTGGTAAGTCCTCATTCTTATCTCGAATCCTTTTTCTGATACTGATGTGAAATATGAAGAGGTACCTTCGAACTGGATCCTCGAGAAATACTTTCCGCAGAGACCTTCGATCTACATCGGCATCATCACAGTCCTTTGGGGTATAATGATGACACTTCACGGCGTCGTCCAGGATTTCGGCGGCATTGGGACCGTGCGCTTCATCATGGGTATCTTTGAGGCCGGTCTCTTCCCGGGCGCAGTAACTGTGAGTAAAATCACCATATATCTCAAGTCTCCCGGCTCTGACCACTATCACAGGTGCTCAACAAGTGGTACACCAAGTACGAGCTAGCCACGAGGCTAGCTCTGTTCTACACGGCTTCTGCCCTCTCGGGCGCTTTCTCAGGCTTGCTGGCTTATGCAATTGCCAAGATGGACGGTGTTGCTGGCCGGGAGGGTTGGAGATGGATCTTCCTCCTCGAGGGTATCGCCACCGTCCTCATGGGCATCATTACCCCTTTTGTGCTTACTGATACCCCCGAAAGAAGGCCTAAGTGGCTGACGGATGAGGAGTGCGACTACCTCATCCGCCGTATGGTAGCACAGAATGGCGGCGAGAGCGCGAATAAGGAGGGCCAGAAGCTCAGCCTCGCCCTTCTCAAAGACGTCGTCACCGATTGGCAGTACTATCCTTTGGTGCTATGCTACTGGAGCAGCACTGTCCCAAACTACGGCATGAAGTTCACTCTGCCTCAAATTATCACGAACATGGGTTACTCGTCGAGCAACGCTCAGCTACTTAGCATTCCGCCCTATGTTGCAGGTGCTATTAGCTCGGTCGGGTTCAATATGCTCAGCGATAAGATGCGTCGCCGCAGCTATTTCCTCATGATCCCTCAGGCTCTTGTGGTCATCTCCTACTGCATTATCACGCCTCTGTCGCCACACATCAAGGATTACATTGGTGCTTGCTTCTTCGCTGTTATACTTTTGAATATCGGTGTGTACCCGGTCAATCCCGGTACCTCATCGTGGGCGAGCAACAACTCTGCTGGAGCGGCTAAGCGCAGTGTCGCGTTGGCGTACATCCTATCACTCGGAAATGTTGGCGGTATCTTCGCGAGCTACATCTTCATTGACAGTGAGGCACCGGGGTATCGTACGGGCTTCGGAGTCTCGATGGCGGCAGCACTCGCGGGCATCTTTGCCGTTGCTTTCTTGGACTTCTTCTATAAGAGAGTCAACAAGAAGCGAGACCAGATGTCAATCGAAGAGATTTCAGAGAAGTACAGTGAGGAGGATTTGGCGAGGCTTGGAAATCGCAGCCCACTATTCCGCTACACTCGCTAGGTGCTAGGTCTCAGCTTCTCCTTGGCTAAAGCACGTGAGTGATCCCGTCGGAATGCATTGATGGGAAGCAAGCTTCTGGGAGTGATGGATCAGAAAGAGGTTGACTTTGTGAAAGACCGGCAATGTTTTGGACATACGATCTGGAGAGAGATCAACCGCTGTGGAAGCTTTGAAGGATAGCTATGAGACATGCTTTTCCCAGCCAAAGCTTTAGTTGCCGAGATATAAAATGCCTTATGCCCCCCAGGGGTCATTGCGGCCCGCAGTATCGAGTGTGTTAGTCGCCAGAGATCCAATGTTAGTGCAAAAGTCTTATCAAGTGGATAAATGTGTAAGTAAGAGAGTGAACAAAATAGTAAGTAAAATAGTAAATAAGATAGTAAGTAAAAGAGGACATGCAAAAAGTAAAATGAATTCACTAGTAACTCTTTCCTATTTCCGTGGGTTATTAATGATCTCTGAGGGGTGGACTTTGTTACAGTATAATACGGTGCAATATTATACTTGTGGTATAGAGGCGTAAGCCGTAGCGTGTACATTGTGTATATGAAGCTCCGGTAGGCGAGACTATATTTACTCAGATAGTAAGAGCTTCAAAATCGACTCAATTCTGCCAACTATTTCGCTACATGCCTTTGAAGCTAAAGTGGGAATGCGGGATGTTATAGATATAAAGCATCTCGCATCGGCAAAACAGTGTGTTAACAGTCCACGAGAGGAGATCAACATATGGTCGTCGGGTCATTACAGAAGCACTCCTATGAGCTAGGCTCAGAAGACGGGTTGCCGGCTAAGATTTAGCTTCAAACCTACTGCTCCGAGTCAGAGAAACCGGTAACTCAGACGGCTAAGCTCCCGGAAACTTTCCGGGAGAAAGTCCGGGATAAATCGAGTCTAAACAGTATTTCAGTACCTCTCCCGATTCTCTCACGGAGATTATCCTAGGTGTGGCACCTCGCGCAAATCCGAGGTGCAACATGATGCGGTGGAATCCCGAAAGTATGGCCGAACATCCGACCTTCGAGCTCCTTCTTGGTAATACTAAGGACCTTGCCTATGCACAATAAGAGGGAGAGTCTTGGCCGGGGTTGAAGTTCACGATTTATCTAGATAAACACAGCTTTATGCTACTGTCGAATACCATATTACTGTTCGCACATCATTTCCTGTCGCCATGGCACGCCATGGCACTTCAAGATAGCCGCATCGCTTCTGCCAGCCTCTTCAATGAGGGTGATAGCGGCCAACATGCGGACGTTCGCCCAGCCATTTTTGTTCTGGACCCAAATTACAGTGACGCCATTTCGACTCTAAGCGCTGCCAACGACATCGATTTCGTCCTTCCCGGAGATTCTCGCCGTCACATAGACTACGAACAAGCAACAGTTCTTCTCTTGAGAAGTAAGACACAAATCACAGCCGAAGACATCAAGAGCTATAAGAAGCTGGAGGCGATCGTCAAACAAGGCGTTAGTACAGACAACATCGATCTAAGGGCAGCTGCGGATGCTAGTGTTAAGGTATTTAATACACCAGGGTTGAATTCTGAAACGGTCGCTGAACTGAGCATCAGTATGGCTCTGGCGCTCGCGAGAAGAATCCCGAAGATTGACAGGCGCATTCGCTCTGGAGAGCCTATCATTCCGAGCCAAGCGCTTGGGGTCAGCTTGTACGGCAAGACACTCGGCCTAGTTGGCATGGGCGCCATTGCGAGTTCTTTAGCCAAGAAGTGGATTGGTGGTATGGACGGCCGAACTGCCGGATATGATCCTTACTACAACGAGAAGATGTGGTCCAGCTTTCCAGCGGACAAAGTCCGTCGTGTCTCCTTTTTGGATGAGATGCCGAAGGTAGCGGATGTCGTATCCATACACGTCCCATTGACCGATACGACGAGAGACATGATCTCTACCCCTCAGCTGAACTTGATGAAACCGAACGTGATTCTCATCAACGCTGCAAGAGGTGGCATAGCGAATGAGAAAGCTCTTGTCGAGACTCTCAAGGGCCGTAAACTGTTTGGAGTTGGTCTTGATACATTGGAGGTCGAACCACCAACCTTGCAGACCTGCAAGGATCTTCTGAGCTTCCCTAATGTTCTCGTTACACCGCACATCGGAGCTTCGATTATTGAGAACCAAAGTCAAAGTGGCTTGGCGACTGTTGAGATGGCACTCAGTCTGGCTCGTGGTCAAGAGTCGGGGAGTCGCGTTGTTTAGCGGACACGACTGGCCTGCAGCGGATTGTAGATACTAATAGGAGCGGAAATGCATAGTTTTCGGGCCATTTCTGCTCGTATAATCCAAGTGATGAGCACCATGTCTGGAGGCCCTTTGGATCCATTAGTCTGGAATCGTGTTATACGATCACTGCTGGAGGCCAGTATTTGAGGAAGTTAACCTAATGAGCAACATAATTGATGCCTGGATGCCCCCAGCCTTTGTATGCTCGAACGACCGTCTGCATTCATTCCCTACCGAAGTACGTTGAGTATATACTTAAACTTAAATGCGTTGACTCATTATAGCAAGAGCCCGTGTCTTGCCGCCGGGTTAGAACGGTCGCATTCCGAAAGCCACCCTAGCCACCCAAGCTCTTTCACAACCTCACTCATTCATCACCACTCCTCATTGTAATACCCATCTCTGGCGCAGACCACGCCCCGCCCTTCATCAATTGGCTAATTTTCAGCCGGAGGTAGGACACCTGTGTGCCATCTCAGCATAATTTGTGTTTCCCATGCCGCCGACGCGTAAACCTCGGGGTAGAGGGACGCGCACAGTGCAGCCCCGAGAGAAGAAAGCAAACAGCGTCACATGTCGCAACTGTCGAAATCGAAAGATTAGATGCGATGGCACGCTACCAAGCTGTGGAATATGTCAGGCGTATCAAAAAGAGTGTCTTTACGATAAAGCACCTCCCATGTCACAAGTCCTGGCTATGACTGAGAGGATTGCCGAGCTGGAGGGAGTTGCCCATGGCACCGTTGCCCATGGCACCGTTGCCCATGCAACAAGCTCGGTGCATGAAAGCTCTTTGTCGAGTATCAGCGATTCCGTCGATGGAACTGTTGTAACGCGTTTAGCACCGGGCGCTGTTCCTTCAACGTCCGGGGCCGGCCTGACTGTCGATGCATCGCAAACCCACGAAGATCCTGGGTCAAGCGTGCACTTGACCAGCGCCAATGCCTACTATGATACTACGTCCAGCGTTCATGCCCCCGAGACAGCGTTACAGCAAGAGAAGACTCCGATCACCACACCATCCGTTGTTCAGACTCAAGCTATGCATAAGGCAAGCAAACACAGCCTCTTTCCCAGCAGTCACAGTCAACTTCGATTCTGGGAGGAAAGAGTGATCGAATCAGCAAGTACTGAGCTGCATCTCCCAACAGAAACTGTGCGACATCTACTCTCGACCCACTGGACATGGGTTCACCCTGCCTTCATGTTCGTGGATAGAGACACATTCTTAAGAGACGCGGCTAATAGGGGTGATTTCTACTCACCATTGCTGCTCAGCGTCCTTTGCCTACACTCGACGCGGTTTACGGACCATCATCTGGACGAAGAGTTATTGGCTAGAACGAAGCTCTTCATGTGACCATGAGCTTCCGCTAGAGTTGTGCCCTGTAGGCCTCTATGAGCACTCTTTCAAGTGGACATGTTCTCGAACAGAACAAGTTGCCTCCTTATTGCATTTGGGCCATCTTATAATCCAAAGCCTGTCAGGTAGAGCTTTTCTTCCAGTTCTTCTTTACAAGCTTGGTACACCATCCCGCCAGCCGTCGCCAAGTATTGTTTAGATGCTAAAAAGACCATCAATTCTTTTTCCCCAGAAAGATTTATTTCGTCTGAAATGGAGACCAGCCCTCTGAAGTATAACTTTAAAGTTTATCCGGTCGTGGTCTTCTCTTATGTGCAGGGTAGCGAACTGTAGCATGCGACGACTTGAGCACCGAAAGATGTGAGCGACTCTTTCTCGGCAAAGGAAAATAGATGCCGATTGCGCCGCTAGTCTTACGAAGGATGCGTCTCTGTGTCTGTCCTGGTCTCATGCTACTTGTCCGTGACCTGTCTTCAGGACACACCGATATTTCCAAGAGGGGCCCGAGGGCTACTCGCAATGCCTGCCTGCTAGAAGAAGACTACTCTTGATTTGAGACGATATTCGTAAACTCAACGTATACTCTGGTACTCGAGACGGGCCCTTTCGCTGGTGTTCACAGCAATGGTGCACTTGTAGTGAGAGTCGCTCATATAGCATCTTAGATAAAGACTTGGTTGTATTGAGACCAATTTCTAACCCTATTTCTAAGACTTGGCGAATTCTGATTTACCATCAAAGCAATAATTGCTCGAGCGAGAAGCCATTCGTGTAGAACCCAGTATCTGGTGCCAATAGTAAGGCAACCTGATCTACCCTTAGAGTGTATCCCTTTAGGTAGACAAGCTTCTGGTCTCAATCCTGCGGATGATTGTATCCGTGAGAAACAACGCGATGATTCTGCTCTCCTTGCATCAGTATCATAGCAACCACTATCATTGGAAGTCTTCAAGGGTAGAGATCACTTACGAATGGGGACCGATTCTCATGAAGTAGGGCAGGATGTCCCGATACAGCCTGGAAAAGCCCTCCTTGCGCACGACCTTGAGAAGGCAGTCGAAGGTGCCCTTGTACAGGAGCTCCCCGGAGCCAGGTCCGACGGCGGCAAAGGGTTTGGCCTGGTTCTGCAGACGAGTCTTGACGAAGTCGAAAGGCTGGCTAATGAGGGCGCCCAAGCAGCCAGCGATGCCAGCGGCCAGCGCCGTGCGCACCGGGGGCGACAGGCTGGTGTGCTCCTGCAGCTGATTCTTAGCCTCCGAGAAGGAAGTGAGCTGGCCGAAGTTGATGGACATGGCGCGGATGAGGGTCGGGCCTGCGCCTTTCCAGAGCGCGAGGACGCCCTCGCCGCTCGCAATGCGTCGCAGGGCGTCAAAGGCGGATGAGTACCTCGCCTGCTGGCTCAAGGGCTTGAGTCCGTCGGCCTGCATTCGGATCAGGATGACCTCAGTCGGGTTGCCAACCAGCGCTGCCAGTGCGCCAGCTCCGACGCCAGCGAGCGACCGTTCGCCAAAGGACAAGGTCGTGCCTCTCTCGCGGGCTCTCCTCGCCAATTCCTTCTCGAAGGTCGAAAACAGACCCAGCCTCATTGTTCCGTACACGAGCGAGCGCAGGATTGCGGCGGAGAGGCCCTGATACAGCTTCAAGACGCCGCCTTCAGCCATCATGTCGCGGGCGATGCTCCAGGTCGTGACCCGGAGCAGGCTCCTGTCGACGAGCTGCATCCGGACCTTGATCGTGTCAATGGGCTGCACGCATGCTGTGGCCACCATGCCCGAGCCGCAGCCTACAACGAATGGAAGCGCGGTCTGAAGGGCAGCGAGTCCCTTTTTCAAAGGAAGCGCCTCTGCATCCGCCATGGTCACGCAGAGAAAGCAAGGGAGGTAGAAGATGGTCGGCCGCAATCAAGAGTACACGAGTCGACACAATCTTGCACGTCGACTACTGCATCCTTACAGGTAGTCACATTGGGCCAAGACTGGGATTGCCAGGCAACGGTATCCGTACTATACAAAAGAAGCGAGAATCGGCATCGTAGAGCAGGGCTTTTGCGTGTCCGAGCATTGAGACTGACGCCCTAGAGAGGGGCCATGGGTGTTTGGGTTGCCGAGGGAGAGAGTCCGAGAGAACCCGAGGTGGTTAGGTTGCCGAGGGAGAGAGCCCAAGAGAACCCGAGGTGGCCCCGATGCGCGCGTAAGTGAAATCCCGCTATTGTCTAGGGGAAGACATGGGAGCACCGACCCGACAGTGGAAGGAGACACGGATCCATTATGACTAGACCCTGGAATGCGATTATTTCCTCCTCCTCCTCCTACTACTACTACTACTACTAATACTGTTATTTATACAATTATCCATTGTTGAGTAAATCCAGGCTGCATGGTGCATACGGGGGCTGTCACGAACTAGGATCCGGCCGCTTTTCTCGCTGCACATATATCGTTCCTGGTCTACCTCCGCTTATTGTTATTGTCTAGCTGTCTGTGCCTACATAGCTGCACGCACAAAGGCTCACCACTTTCCTCCTCGTATTCTTTCGCTGTTGGAAACGATGAGGCCACTCTTGTCAGGCCCGCGTCTGTGTCCCTCGTTTCTCTGCAGCCATGTCTACGCGAAACCATCATCATCAGCATCCGCTACGAGAGCAGCGACGTGCTACAGATGCAACTCCAGCACCGCGGCACCACCGTCGGCTCGCTCACAACAGGGCGCCCTGACGGGCATCAAGGTCGTGGACCTCTCACGGGTTCTGGCGGTAGGCACACACTCTCTCTTCCTTCCACTGATCTGAAAAAAGACACAAGACATTGTTTCTGACGACAAGACATCGCATGTAACAGGGCCCCTTCTGCACTCAGATCCTCGCCGATTACGGCGCCGAGGTCACAAAGGTCGAGGCTGTTGGCAAAGGGGTACGTACATCAGGAATTCTACCAGTATATGCGAGACAGGGACCCTCTTCTCTCCGTGACTGCAACGTGAACTGACGCTCTTCTCTTGCCTCCCTCAGGATGACACACGGCACTGGATGATGCCCGGTGAGAAGACCGCTTGGGATGAGTCCAGCGGTCCTATTTCCAACTACTTCGCAGCCGTGAACCGAAACAAGCGTTCCATCACCGTCAACTTCAAAAAGGCTGAGGGCCGGCAGCTTATCCTCGATCTGATCAAGGATGCCGACGTCGTGTAAGTCTGCTCTTCTCGTCTCTTCGCTCCCTCCTTTAGGCTAGGAGCTCACATGAGAACCTCGTGCCTCTCAGGGTCGAGAACTTCAAGCCAGGCACCATGGAGCGTCTGGGATTGGGCTACGACGTGCTCAAGGAGCACAACCCGCGCATCATCTATGCAGGCTTATCAGGTACGTAGAGCAGAAACATACTGACTCTCTCTGCCCATAAAAGCCCGCGCTGACCATCTTGTCGTGCCCAGGCTACGGCCGGACCGGCCCCTACTGCACCCGAGGGGGCTACGATCCCATCGCCGCCGCCGAGGCTGGTCTACTCCATGTAACAGGCGAGAAGAACGGACCCCCTGTGCGCGCCGGCATCGGCCTGGTCGACATGTCGACGGGACTCTTCCTGCACGGCGCCATCCTCTCAGCCCTCCTCGCCCGCGCGCGAGACGGCACAGGCCAGCGCGTCGACACCAGCCTGTTCGAGGTGCAGCTCAGCCTTTTGACCAACGTCGGCCTCGCCTGGCTCAACCTGGGCATCGAGGCCGAGCGCTGGGGCTGCCAGCACCCGAGTATCGCGCCCTACGACGCCTTCAAGACCAAGGACCGCTACCTCGTATGCGGTGCCACCAACGACGCCCAGTACGCCGCGCTGTGCCGCCTCCTGGGCGTGGAGCACCTGGCCACCGATCCTCGCTTCGTCACCAACCCCCAGCGCGTGCAGCATCGCGACGAGCTTGCCGCTCTCCTGGGCCCCGTCTTCGCCTCCAAGACCATCGACGAGTGGATCGCGCTGTTCGAGCCCTCGGGCCTCCCCTTTGGCCCAATCAATAACATGGAGGCCACCTTCGCCCACCCGCAGACGGCCGCGAGGGACATGATCGTTGACGTGCCTTTGGATGCCGCTCGCGCCGGCTCTATCAAGGTCATCGGGCCCGCTGTCAAGTTTGGCGATAGCAAGATAGGCCTGCGGACGGGTCCGCCTCGCCTGGGCCAGCACACGGTCGAGATCTTAGAGGAGATGGGCATGGACGCCGAGGCCATTGCAAAGTACAAGGAGGATGGCGTCGTCTAGCGAAGCATGAATAAAACGGATGCATACTCAAAGTTAGATCTGGGATACATTCAGCGTAGTGATTCCCTCTGTACATTCATGTCTACTTCCATACATACATACATACATACATACATCATCGCCTCTTTAGCTAGTACAGCCCTCTGCTTGGCCCAACTTAGTGCCTTTTAATGTGCTGGCAGTCAGCCATCGCCATGCTCAGTACCGATTAGACACAGTGCTCGGTATACTTGTAGTACTCGCGATCATCACTAAGAACCTCACACCTAGGTACTGTGTTGAGCACCACATGGAATACGGACGGGTCGTCACTGAACTTCTTGTACAGTGCCGTCACCCCTTCCAGTATGGCGTTTGTTAGCACTTTGCCATTCCGTGGTCGTGTTAGCGTGATCTTCACCGTCGTGCCGCTGCGCGACACCTTATACTCGCCTGCATCGTGTTCAAGTGTCCAGGTGTCACCCAGGCCCACTTCATAGCAGCCCATTTCCAGCAATCTCTTCACCACAGGGCCGCTGGCCTCGGGCGGTGTCGGGCCTGTGAAGGGGTTGGAGAAGATGCAAGAGACGACACCGTGAAACGGATCAAGCACGTATTGTCAGCCAAGAGTCACAGCCTCGGAGCAAAAGACGTTGAGCGTTACCTTCGGACCCGGATGCCCAGCTTCAGCGCCTGCTTCGTCACGGCTTCTGCGTGATCCACGGCCTCCGCGATAGTGCAGTTCTGGTTCGCCTTGCTAAAAGCTTCCGTCACCGAGGCGAAGACGACAATCTCCTTAGCCCCAGCGGCATGCGCCCTTTGCAGGCCCTTGTCGTTGGGCGCCAGGACAGGGAAGCTGAGGTGAGCTCGGTCTCTCTGCAGCTTGAGCACCTCCTTCATCACCTCCGCGCCATCGGCAAGCTGCGGCACCCATTTCGGCGACACAAACGAGGTGGCCTCGATATCTTTGAGGCCTGTGTCCGCCAGCTTCTGGATCGGTTGGATCTTGGTCTGTGTCCGGATGGTCTGCTGAATGTTCTGCAACCCATCGCGCGGACCTGCCTCGACGACGCGGACACGGCGAGCCGGTTCAACGACCGTGGAGAAGTTCAAGTTGCGATTCGGAGGCGTGCTGCTGCTGCTGCCACCACCACGCCTAAGCGCAAGTCTATAGAATCATGGGGCCAGCATACTGTGCCCATTCAAAGCCTGAAGAAAAGCAAGAGAAGAAAGAAGCTGAGGGTTAAGAAAGATAGTGAAAATCCTCCAAGAGACTGGATTATGTTATTGCACCTACGAGTGCCGATGATGTTACTCGAGAGAGCCACCCAATTGGTTTTATAGACTCGGCTCGGCAAGTGACGGCATACACATAATGTTACCCGTATAATATAGTCAGAGCTCAAGCTCTGTAGTACATACACTAGTATGCATCTTTCTGGTCCGTTTGTTCATGGTGAGCGCAGTAGGGGCATTGCCGAGGGAAGCCCCCTGTTCACCGGGGCGCCCTTGCGGTACTCACGGCCACTCAACGTCCCTTGCTTTCACAGAATCTGCTGGCTAACACATCAGGAGGCAGTATTGACTTGGCAGCACGAAATGCGGGGTGGCTAGATTCCGAGACACTATGTATATTGACCAGCACCCTCTCTGGGCGTGCCTGGGATGAGAACTGTTGTCTTATGAAACTTTACACCCAAAACCAACGCCGTCCCACCAAACAAACAATGGTCTGTATTGATGAGTCCCGACTGACTGCTAGACAGGCACTGTCTATTATACTATCGACCCTATCATCGGTGCCGTGATCTACATCGGCAAAGCCTGGGAGTCCAAGAAGTCCGGCCCCATCTCGAAGTTCATCAAGGCTGGATCTACAATATCCCCCACATCGTACCAGGCATCCAGATCGAGTTGGACGCCAGCCATCAGGTCCGCGGGAAGTGGTATATCCCTCTCGGAGTGCATGTGGCCTGCAGCGCTCCAGATACTCATTAAGTTTGGTGTAGCAGACGGGTTCATATTTTGGCCTGCCGACGGTCGTCTTGAGGGTTGCCCACGGAGAGCATCGCCCGTTGGCCCTGCTCCGGGAATCGGTGCGGCAATCATTTCTTCTTGCGAGGCGTCCAGGTTTTCTGCCGCAGGGGCGGGGCTTGGATACGCTGTTGCAACACGACTGGGCCACATCTCTGAGAACGGCCTCGAGTTTCTTGCTGCGACTCCGTTTGCGCCACCACCGGCGAACAACCTGTCGCCCATCGTTGAGCGCCCGGCCTTCGACATCGGGTTCCCTATACCAAGCAGAGGCAGCATGAAGCCGGCATTCTCTAGCACGTTGTTGATGATCTGTACCGCCTGGTCGGCAGCGGCATACATGTTCTGGAGTTGGTGCAATGCATCGAGGCACTGGCAGAAGCGACCGATGCTGATGTTCCGCGTTTCCTCATCCGAGGAACGCGTGTTCAGCAAGTGTATCAGAGCCGCGGATAGGAACGCCGGGACACTGCTCGTCGGCGCGTAGCACATCTGGCCGTTGGACTGCAGATCAAAGGCAAGCTTGGTAATGGCCACGGCGGCCTCAGTCAACTTGCGCCTTGAATCCGCCTTGCGCGCCGGATCAATGCCATCCAAGCCGCTGCAGAAGACCTGGGGCCGATGTAAGGCCCCAAGCGCCGTGAGATATGTCATGTAGAGCATAATCTTGTGCAGCCTGATCGTGGAGTTTTCTACCTGCGCAGCGGCGGCCCCGCCATCTCGGGCTCCAGGCACATACCTAGACTCTGGCGCAAGGCTCCGAAACCACTCTTGGAGATCAGCATCGCACTGTGCAAAGCTGTGGGCCTGCTCCTTTGAGCTTCTAGGTCGAACAATCGCCCTTCGCAGGTAGTTGGAGCCCCGTCCCGGCGTGCTGGCAATGGTGTACTGGGAGTGGAGAATCCGTCCAATCGTGATACACAGCTGGCTGAGGTCTATGCAGAGAGTGGCCATTCTCTGACGGTTTGCTGGGTCTATACCCGTGTAGCTCGGAGCCGCAAGCAAGCGAGCGACTGCAGGTGGCGGTGGCAGCGAAATGTCAAAATCATCAAGTCGTAACCGTTCGACGCTGAACTCATCCTCCCGGATTCTGGAAGGGCGACGGATGCCGAGCCCAAGCAGTCGATCTCGTATCACGCAGGACCACCATATCCGGCGCCGCAGCCGTCCTTTCTTGGTCATATGCTGCGGCTCCTCCAGGTCGCGGTGGAGTCCTTCTACGTGCGCCGTAGTAAGAGCGAGGCCCATCCAGTACCACGTATGCTTGTCGTCACTGTCGGAGTCGTACCAGTGTGTCATGAGGAGCAGGGACTGTACCAGAGTTAAACGGTCCGCCTCGTAATCTAGACCATAGAGAAGCTTCACTCGGTTGAAGAAGACTCTTCGGGCTGCTCTCTTGCTCTCAAAGCCGCAACTTTGCAATAGTTGCGTATCAATAAACGTGACGCTGGCAAACATAATAGCCTGGAACAATAATAGACTCACAGTACCAGCCTCGCTTGATCCTGTAATGGGTTCAAGAAAGTCTACAAGATCAACGGCAGGCATAAAGGGATAGACGACGAAGACGTAGATCCGGATGAGCTCATCTCGGAGCTGATTATCAGGTATAGTAAGGCAGTCCTTGCGAGCCAAGAACTCAAGGTCGTGCTCGTCCAGATGAGAAGGACAGGGGCTGATATATGACGGTAGATGGTATCGCGAATCGCCTCGGTTTTGGTCCGTACGAGGCGTGTTCGCCGCGGCGCTGACGTCGTCCATTCTTGATGAAGAAGCTTGGGCCTCTGCAGTGTCTTGTTCAGTCCATCCTAGAGCGTAAAATCCTAAATTAGACCCGACATGACTTTACCGTCTTCTCCTTGCATGAAGCTGGATACTGCCTCATGACTAGCCTGGGGCATCGGTCTTACCTTGAAAAGCGAGAGCCACCAGATGGTCGGACGTTGTTGGGTTGGCAGGCTGAGCGGAGGGCGTTGAGCGCGTCATAGCCCCTTGGTTGGGTCGGGGCTGTGGCTGTTGTTCGCGACGCGCCTCATGTACGGTGCCGTTGGGTTGGAACTGGGCGTCGTGTGTTGTTCGTGTTTGTTCTGCTTCTTGCTGGTCGTGCCGGCTGTTGTTCTCATCTTCGTCATCGTCGCATATCGCCTCCTCATCGTCATGAGCCAGTGGCCGGCTACCGCGGCGCCCTTGAGGCTGACCAGTAGCCACAGAGCCGTGGCCAGGGCCAGAGCGAAAGGCGGTGGCAGGAGCTGAGCCAGGTGCAGTCCCAGACGCGGCTGTGTCGGCGTCCGTGTTCATGGTAGCGAAAGGTGAGGATGCTCTTGGAGCCGTGGCATTCGACGGCAACCTCGAGCGAGCCTGATGTCTAGCGGGATTGTGTTTGCCTCGATTCGACGCCTTTAGGACGCAGTCGACGTCGTCGAGCCGGCAGTTGGTGCATGGCACTCCGCCGCTGACAACGTCGCACCGCACCTTACGACCTCGACACGAGACGCAGGCCCTGGGTGCTCGCTTCTTTGCTGCTTGGTTGCCGGCTGTCGATGGGTTGTTGTCCCAAGAACCAGGTCGTTTTCGCGGAACCTGGCTGTTGAGAGCATAGGCAGGGGCAGAGGGGCCCCGGGCACCAAGCCGGTCATCAGGCGATGCCATCAGAAGTTTCCGCCCCCTAGGCTTCGCAGATGGGTGACCGTCGTTTTCGGCTGTTCTTCTTGCGTTTGATACCTCAGATATGACCCGAGTGTTACAAATTAACTAACCTGGGCCACCAGGATGGGCCGATCAGGTTACGATATGACTGGACAGAAGAAAGTCGGAGAAACACCGGAGGAGCTGCTACTCCGCAGAGGACCAATGGACCGGCTACAAGTCACGTGACCAGCCAGCATCACGAGTCATATGCTAAACTGAGGGTCCCCCAGCCCATATAACCTGCGGGTGGATCATTCTACACCGCCTTCCCTAAAGAAATGCTTATATGGCCGACCCCGCAATCGAATGGGACGAAGCGAGCTCTAAGCTGCGCGTCTTCAAGCCCGGTGGCGAGCGTGTCGCACATTGCGATGGCATCAGTGCGGAGTTGTCACAATGCGACACTGGCGGCACGAACACCTGCACGGTGAGCCGTGGCTGGAACTGCTACAGCTCTTACTGCTGAGCGCGCAAATTTTCGCCAGGTGTGGCCTTTCAGCACCTCGGTCCGTGCCTGTCTCCTCTGATATCCATTGTGCCCATATCGCTTGGAAGTCAAAATTTTACATGGGAGTGCGAAATAAAGAGCACATACCCTTTCGTTGTATTCCAGGAGGAAGATAATGCTCGGGCGAGGAGGGTGAATATGGTTAAGGGTATTCAGCAAAAGTCAGGTATCAACCATACGTTGCGCATCCTCGTTGCAATCATTTTCATAAAGACCACAATGGCTGCGCGGGCAGATTTCGAAGGTTGCAACATACTTGCTGCTGCTTTTCATGATAACACTTTTGGATCAATTCCCTGCTTGATTAATGGCTCTTCCTTTACCATGTGGACTTGACTCTACCCTGGCGGCGTATTCTTTAGTTACTCTGTTTAATGCCGAACCTCACTGAGCAACCAACAGCACGATTAACCACACAGCTGTTGGTCGGCGAGGCTTTTAAATATCTGTCTGATTACAAGAAGCACAATTCGGCGACGTTTGAGATCAACAAGCTCGTGGGCAAAGGCAAGATCTCATGTATCCTCGACATTGCGCGGGCTGGCCAGCAGGAGGAACCCATGATGGGTCCGCGCCCTTGCAGACTTGAGTCAGACTGCAGGTCATCCCGCAGACGCACGCGGGCACGTTGTCCCTCTTTGGCCTCAGACCCTCAAGGAGGAGTACATTGCCCCACACTCGAGCAATATAGGAGAGCTTATCCTGTTGCGCCAAAAAGAATCTCGCCATCGTGTTGATCGACATCGTGTTAATAGACACTAAAGGCGAGCTAATTCACGCTGGCTGGCGGCACGGCCAAGCCGATCGCCATGCTCTACAACTAACAACAAAGGGATGCCCCACGCGGTCAAGCCAAGGTTGAACCCCGGTGATTGATCCCCGGGGAGCCCAGCATCGGGTCGGGGAAACCATGCCGACAACACGTTGGCCGAAGACCGTCGGATGATGGCAGCGTCGAGTTGCGATTCCAGCCACCGCTGACTAGCAGTGGCTGGCTCTGCGCGGAGATCAGTTAGTACACAGTGCTGCTGCGGAACAATCAAGCTCACTACCCATGACAAGGGCTCCGCTAGCTCAGCCATGACTCGACATTTCCCCGCGTGCTGCTCCACTTTGGCAGATGGGGTTGCGACCAAGTTTCTGGGGATAGTCCTGCCCTGATGATACCAAGGTTGTGCGTCCCAGAAAAGGTCGGGATCGGGGGACGCAACTCAGCGTCTCTGCCCGAATCGGGTTGTGGAGGCCGTGGCTCTTGTCCGGATGCTCTACTTGCGGTACAGTGTTTCCTCACTCCGGTTACGAGCCTCGGCACATGCTGGCTGATGGATGCTCCGTCCACATTGGCTTGTCCAACAGCACAACTCTCAGCGGGCTCAAGTGGCAGGATCGTGACTGTCCACGCCGAGGGCTACAAACCGCTTCCCCAGGTGATGCAGACCCTGACCCAGACTATACTTCGGACACCAACTCCGACGCAGTCTCTGGTGAGAACCAAGGCTGCCCGTTGTCGTGCGCTCGCCGCCAACTCGTAGTATCAAACTCTAAAAACTGACCGCTCGTGATTAGCCTCGCGGGGGTCAAAGCTTTTCGCGAGTAAGCGTTTGACAGGTTTCCTCCGCGCTCACAAAATCCCAGGGGCACCACCATCTGCCGGTCATAGTCCCGTGCCACAGTGCCAGCTTGCCTGGGGCAATGAGCTCTATGATGCATCGGGGTCGCTCCGGGCCTCGTCCACCATGGCTCGGACCGGGTCCGGTCCTACCGCGACCGACAAGTGGTGGAGGAATAGCCGTTTGTTCCGCGCCCACAAACACAATTAGGTAGGTAGCACAGGGCGGGGGAATCGCCCATTCTCCGCAGATGCGGGGGAACAAGCATAGCCAAGGGCCCGGATCGTGGGGTAATAGTGCCTTGGCGGGTGTGCGGCTACCAAGAGAAGCCATCACAAGCTCGCCTTGACAGGGTTGCTACTACCTCCCTGGCCTTTCCAAGGGAACGGGCCTGTCTTCCGATGTTCATCCCGGCGGCCAATTTGCTCCCGAGCGCAAGATGCTTGCCGTCTATATAATGCGCCATCCCACCACCTTGGAGTCCACGATGGACAGAAGAGACCCAGCCCCCTCGATATCAGCATAGAGCCGGCCCGCCTTTGAACTTTCTCGCAGATGCCCATTCTTTGCCCAGACATCATGAAGACTGTACTTGCCACCACCGCCGCCGCCGCCCTGGCCCTCGCTGGAGCCGTTGGTGCCTGTCCTGAACATGATTCGGACGGACACCTCGAGGCTCGGCAGGCCAAGGCCACTGGCGCCCTCGCTGGGTACTTTGACTATGACGTCTATCCCAAGGCGCAGGCGGAGAATGTGACCAAGTACATTGCTGCGGCCAAGGCTTACGCCCGCGACGACGTTTGTAAGACTCCCGTGATAATTCCCAGAGTGGGCTCGCTCGCCGGCCGAGTCAAAGAGCCAACCGAGGCCAATTGACTTTGATGGCTGACCCTGGACCTCTGCTGCAGATCCATACTATGCTCGGGACTGCAATTTCTATTCGGCGAACACGAAGCTCGATAGCGCGGGCAACCATGACGGCCTGGCCCCGGCCACCGAGGTGTTCAAAGACTTCTACTTCGTCGGTCTGTCCAGCTGGACCGCGTGGGCGTACGACACTGGCGACGGCCTCATCATCTACGACACGCTCGCCTCTGCCGCCGAGGCCGAGAACATCATCCTTCCCGGCCTGGCCAAGTTTGGCTTCACGGGCAAGGACATCAAGTATGTGTTCATCAGCCACGAGCACTTTGACCACTACGGCGGGGCAAAGTATCTGCAGGACAACTTCGACCCGATCATCGTGGCGTCCAAGGACACCTGGGCCGCCATGGAGAAGCTCCCGGCGACTGCCGACCCGGCCCCTCCGGTACGCAACGCCAAGGCCATAACCGTTACCAAGGACGGCTCCGAGATCACGCTGGGCAACGTCACGACGACCATGTACCTGACGCCCGGGCACACCAACGGCACCATGTCGTACATCCTGCCCGTGACCGATAGCCAGACGGGCGAGAAGATGCTCGCGGGCATGTACGGCGGCAGCGGCGCGTCCAGCACCGCCTGGAGCCTGGGCGTCCAGGCCACCCAGCTCGTCCGCTGGGCCGACCTGTCCCGCAAGAAGGGCGTCAAGGCCTTTGTCAGCAACCACCACTCGCGCGACCACAGCCTGTACCACATCGAGGAGTACGCCCACCGCGTCTGCGACCCCAAGGGCCGCCACTGCAACTTTGCCCACCCCTGGGTCCACACCCCCGACTGGTACTACCGCTGGGCGATGATGGGGTCCTACTGCATCCGGGCCCAGGCGGCGAGGGGCGGCTTCATTCTGAGCCAGTGAGAGAGAAGAAAGGAGAAAAATTGGAATCACGTCAATCTGTAGAGGTTACGATAGGGCTTAGTCTTTAATCTGAAGTAGGCAATCATGACTCCCAAGTTGGACCCTACTAGCGAAGATGTAACTGAGTAAACATGCCGTGTAGACAAAGCGGGTGCTCTTTCTCGCCGCCGAGCAATGCCTGCGCACAACTAGGCAAAGCCTTGGGGTGACTGATCATGGCCGGACAAGCTCCCCGATACCAGACTCACATCGATATTTCCGTTGTGGTTCAAGGTTTCACTACTGGCTTCCCGCGGCTGCCACACCCGAAAGATCCATTTTCTGAGAGACTGTACCAAGACGGGGGGAGTATAGGGTCTTGCATTAAATCAAAACGAAGGTTGAGTTGTACTTTGGGTATGAATAATCCTATCACCGCCTTTATGGTGAGCTGTCGCCTGTACGCACCATCGCCCTCGTCGGCGTCGAGGGGTTTTCCGCCTGATCAACAACAGACTCCCCATGATCGCTGCCGTCACACACCCAGCACCCCCGCGTCGTTTCCGACTCAACCGTGATCCCCGCGTCCTGCCTCCCGGTAAGTACCTCCCCAAACTCCCCACTGGCGATACTGCCATGCTGTACTGATCGCGTGTTGTATTTAGCATACATATGCTGCGGGAATGATGGACTATTCCTAAAAGTAGACAAGGGCTGTGGTGCCTGGCGCCAGACTCCGTGTACACCGGTAGACTGGGCGGACACCAGGATGACAATGTCCAGCGAGATTTCGTCCAAATGTGCTCGGAAGGGCCGTATCATTAGGCGAAACGGAGAAGACGTCCCCGTGATGTCGAATTCGAAGCTAGGGACTCAGCAGCGTGATAGTGTGGCGCAGTTTTGTCTCGATATCGGTCGGGTGTCGAATTCGCGCCCTATGTACGTCGTCACCAGAAGGATCGAAGCAATAGCAGGCTCATTTGGCCGGATGAAGCCCACAATTCCCGGCCACGAAACGCTCGTTTCTGTCTTGCAAGCACTCTGGTCCACTGAAAACCCTTTTATCCGCGACCACCGAACAGAGTCGCAGTTCCCGAGCGCAGCTATAGCCAGAAACCGTGCACACAAAGGGTTGACCATAAGATCGCTGTGAAGGAACGAGTAGTGTTGAAACCACACAAGTTGACAGGGATGGCGCTGATTGAAGAAGAAGCAGCCGGGACGGCGTAATTGATGGTCAAGTTGCCGGAGTTGTTGATGGATGGACGTGGTGCTCCAGGTTGTAATGGGCAGCTGTTATGAGCCTGGTGACCGGGCTGGCCTTGGCACTACAGGGGCTTGCTGAGCACTCGAGAAACGAACCTCGAGGGTCCCGATTTGGTGCTCCTCGGTTCTCGATGTCGGCGTGCGACCTATGCATTGGTCGGTGTGGTTGGTGTGCCGCCAGTGGGGTCCCGGTTGAAAGGGAACGCGTGTTCAGAGCCAACGTGTGATCTTTTTCCAGTCATAAAGTTATCGATACAGGACGCTTGATATGGCTTTGGGCATGTGGCTGGCGCTAAAGTGTAAAAGTCGCTGGATATGCTGCAAGACGCCATGGTATCACAGGCTTCACGCATCATCCGAGTTCGGGTACTGGTCGTGGAACACGGTGCCACCATCCAGCAGCGTCTCAGCATTCAGGCGGACGCTCCACCGGACCATGTCCGTGAGCGCCTGATCTCTGAATCCATCACCATGGTCGCCAATGTCACTCTGCGCTGCCAGCGGGCCAGCAGCGCGGTGGTGATGGAAAAGCCCAGGCGAGAGAGACAGGCACATGTGGGGCTTGCGGCCACCGCCGCCGTTGCAGAAGAACCGCAGCAGGATATCGAAGCCGTCCCTGAGGTCTTTGGTGCCGAGCTCGTACAGCAGCTTGCGAGCACCACGCTGGCTGATGGCATAGCCAAGCGAACACACACCCTCTTCCGAGTGGTGCACGGCGCGGGTGTGCTGCGGGTAGTCGTCGACGAGCTTGAATGGCCCAGTAATGCTCCACAGATAGCGCTTTTCCGGGCAGGTCTCGTCGTTGAGGTGGATCACGCGTGCCTTGGGGGCAACCGGGTTCTCTGGTGAGACGAAGCGCATGCCGCAGTGCCCAAGCCAGAGGAGATCCCAGTCGTCGCCGTATGGGGACATCTTCGGAGGGATTGTCTGCGGTAGAGATCCAAACATGAGGTCGGGAACCGCGCCTGGTGCGCCCTCGGCAGGGTGAGGGTACGTGGGGTCGGCGTAGGTGTGGCTGCTGCCGGTGAGCGGCTGCGTAAGGGCCTGGGCCGAGAGGGCAAAGTCATGGAGCTGCTGGCGGATTCGGATGTCCCAGTCGACATCGTCCTCGAGGATCAAGGCAGAGGAGAGATTCCTCGCGACGACTCTGGACAAGACAAGTGGTCAGCGCATGATCTTGCAGAGAGCTGCCTGTGCGCGGGGGAACGTACTCGTGAATGGCATTCATATGGGCGCGCCAAGAGCCGATTGACGCATCGCCCATGCGGTCGTGCTGAGTGGTCTTGGGGATGGCATTGTCCGGGATGGTCTTGCCGATGATGGCGTCCACAAACTTGATCCTGACCTCGCTCAGGGCGGCCTGGAGCTGCATGCCATCACGGCGGTCGGTGCGTGTGGGGAGGCTGACGACGAGGATATCCTCGAACTGGGCGAGAGGAGAGAAGGTCAGTGAACGATCGCAATTGCGCATGGAGAGAAGGGGCCAGGACGCACGCCCCAGGTGGCATTGCCAATGTCGCCGAGCAGGCCAGACTTGCGGCCGTAGTCGGCGAAGGAGGACACGCGGTGTGGGGAGGAGAGGCTGCCGCTCGAGTACCAGACAAGTATGGTGATGAGGGCCACGAGGGCGAGGGCGACGCGGATGGAGCTCTGCTTGGCCAGCATGGTCGAGGGCTATGCGCAGTGGCCTGAGAGTGGGCAGGAGATCGACACGGTCGAGGCGTGAGGAGCGACGTGACGACGAGACGGGAGAGAGGGAGGGGGTTTGCTGGGCGAGGAGTGGATTGCGTTGCGCAGGCCACGAAGCAACCGCGAGCGAGACAAACAAAGAACGCAGGCAGGAAGGAGGGACAGGACAAGGGGGCATAACGTAAGCATCCACCAACTTAGAACTGCCGTCTGTAGCGGGATTGCCGGCCGTACTTGTATTTGCCGTGCGACAGCCCCCAATGGCGCGTTACCGCATGTGTCCCCAAACCCTGTCTGTGATAAGCTGGGATTGCGCCCGATTGGCGCCGGGCAGCCAACACTCGTGGGTTTCCGCTGGACCCTTTTCTTCACACACCTGGCAGGCCCCAAAAACTGGCCGCATGCCAGGCGCGGCAGGGCCCGCTGCATACCGGCTCCCGCCTGCAACCCTGCCCAGGGTTATGCTGCGCTGTTCGGCAAAGCACGCGCAGTCCACAGCCAATCACCGCCTGTGGTTAGCCACCACGGGCCACTCAACTCTGCGACAGCCCCGTCCGTCTGAAGTACGGGCGAATCAGCGCCCATCACGGCATAGACTGTGACCGTCGTGACTCGCGCCTAGTAGCTTGTTCGATGGGGCATGTTGGTCACTGCCGACGATCACTTGGAGGGGCGCTTAGCTCGCTGCTACACGGCGGTATAGTGGATAAACACCCAGCTCGGCGCGCCAGTTGAAACCGGACCCTGGACACAGAGGACAAAGGAGCAACATGGGTGACCAGTCACTTGGGGGGTCCCTTGTCCTTTCCTGCTCGTGGCCGATGTGTGCAACTACAGGAGTCGCACTGGCAAATGGAAGCACGAGTAGCGATGGGATATTCAATCTGCTGTTCACGCAAGCATCACAGTTAGTCTCAGCATCAGATCACACCACGATTATAAGGTTTTAACGTCAACGACATTCAGAATTTGAAGATTCAGAACCCGGTCAATACGGTACAGACTTGTGTATCTCCTGGATACAGACTCGGCTCATTTAGCCCCCAAAAGTCCAATGTACCCGTCGCTCTTCCACCCGTCGATAAACACCACAGTACATCATCACTTCTTCCTTCCTTCTCAAACACCAAGACACAAATAGTGCCCATGCGCCAGGAATCTCTATGGACTTAGAAATTCTTGACCACGAATGATTCGAAGAAGTCAGCGCCCTCCTCCCGCTTCACCTTGCCCAGTCCAAGAATGATATCGTCCTTCACCACGACCAAGCTCTTGACGCGTTCCACGACTAAGCGTGGGAAACAGCCGTTGAACTCAACACTCTCTGCTGACGGGCAGACCTTTTTGCACGACGCGAGGAGCTCTACAACGAAGACCGTCAGGCGCTGATGAATGACAATGACGTCCACTGTTTCCGGAGGGGGTCGGCGAGCTGTGCTGAGAGTGAAGTGTACAGTTTTGATATTCTGAAAGGCCGCTCCTGGTAAGCGGCTCGCCAGTTTGTTAAGTATGCCGATGGCGTACTGGCCATGCATCAGCAAATCGGTACAGTTCCCGAGAAAAGAGTGCCAGTTGATGTGAAAGTGTCGAAGGTCCGAAGGCGTGACGATCCGGCCAGGCAGGGACAAGCTTCATAGGGTGGACTCGAAGAGCGGCATGCTTGATGTAGTCGATTGTGTAACACTCGTAGATCTGGTTGCGGATCTCAGGAGGGAGGAGCGTGAAGAAGAGCGAGTAGTGTTGAACAGGGACCATCTTGACGGATGCCGATGTGTGGTGGACTGTTGGTGATGAGGGGATGTGTAGAAAGTCGTGAAGGGAGACTTCGGGACGGTGTTTGACAGGCGGTTCGTCTTATATCCTGGCTTTGGCGTGGGAGCTTAGACTGGCTGCCTGACCCGGAGAAATGCTTTGACGGAATTATGAGAGGCCAGTGAGAGGCTGAGCCACTAGACCACGGTAGTTTGTGGCGTGCTGGTCTGTTGTTAGAGGCATCTGAACACCAAACGGAGTGTTTTGCCAACCGTTCACCTGGCATTTGGCCGGCGATAATAAAGTATCTTGGGGATTTACGGTACTTTCTGAACATTTCTGATTATGGCGCTGTCCAATCCACTGCAGAAGATGCAGGATATATTCTACATGGCACGCGGATACGAACATCTCTTCGAGCGACTAAGCGTAACGCTGACCCACATCCCTCAACTTTCTAGGACTCATTTTCCTCCGCCATATACGATCACCCTGCCCAAAGCGATTGTCCAGATGATCAGAAAGAGCACGCGGCGGATGCGGGGCTGCAAAGCGTTGCCCTCGCCTGCCTAATAGCTGTCTCTCAGACGAGGGATGCCCTCACCGTGGCTGGCATGTTTCGGCGAACCAAGCCTGCACTGTGCGGAAACCATGGTATACCTCACGAGTGGCGACGGGAAGAGGGATACTCCTGGTGGATCAAGACAGGCAAACACGCAGGTATCTCACAGTGTGAAATGGAAAACTCCATATGTCTATTACAAGTGCACTCCCTTCAGGACTTCACATCTGAGATCTTAAACCCTCCCGGACACAGCTTCTGGAACACGCCCTCTGGATCATACTTGGCCGCGGCGTCCCTAATCTTCTGCACATTCCCCGCTCCATAGCTGGCGAGGACAGCCTGAGTGGGGTCCGCATAGTTGAGATATGTCCAGGGGAGCACGCCCTCCTCGACGTTCGACGCCGCAAAATCCTTGACATCCTGCACCCACTTCTCCACCAGAGGGCGAGCCTGCGCCTCATGCTCCGCCGTCTTCATCATGGCGGTTGCGAGCCACAGCAGGCCGTCTGATGACTGGTTCTCGATGCCCATGACGTTCCCCCCCGCCTCGGCGCCTCTCTGCCCAAACAGCTTGGGCAGGGGCTGGAAGAGACATTGTGTTGTGAAGCCGCCCTCGGGGTCGACAGTCTTGAGTTGCTCGACGAGTATTTCGTGGAGATCGACGGCCTTTGTGACAATCGTGGCGTCATTCTTGAAGCAGAGGGTGAACCACAGGACACTAGTTGGATGCCATAGTCAGCGACTGGATAATCATGGGAGTATAGAGAAAAGCTCTGGACTCACTGGTGACCAGCAGGGATATTGTACTCAAAGGCCATCTCCTTGATGCTGGTCATCTTGATCATGTCCATGATGCGCGGGATCTCGAGCCACTTTTTGTAAATGGGCGGGCTCTCGACGGCATCAACATTGGCGTAGAATGTAGCCACGACAACATCCTTGAAGTCGGGCATATGCGTGAATATGCAAACGAGATTGCTCCCATCGTCACTAGCCACGTTGGGGACAAAGTCGACCAGCGCATCAATGGCCGCAGGGATCGTGGCCTTGGGCAGGAAGCTCATGCCGCCCCAGACTTTGGAGCAGGGTATCGCGGCCATCTTGAAGTTGGTCACGATGCCAAAGTTGTTGCTGCCGCCCTTGAGCGCGCAAAACAGGTCCTCATTGCTGTGCTTGCTGGCCGTGACGATCTCGCCGCTCGCAAGGACGACCTGGTACTCGACCACATTGTCACACGCGAAGCCTCGCCGGGCCGTGAAGAAGGTGTTTCCACCGCCCAGGATCAGGCCGGCAACGCCGACGTTGCCCTCCCGCCCGCCCGCCACGGCGAGGCCGTGTTTGTCGAGCTCGGCATAGACTTCGCGCCACTTGCCGCCGGGCCCAATGTCGGCGGTCTGCTTGTCCTCGCTGACGCGGACGTGGCGGATCTGGCTCAAGTCGATGGTGACGCCGCCATCAATGTTGTTGGAGCCAGCCCAGTTGGTATGGCCGCCACTGCGAGCCGCAAACGGCTGGCCGGCTGCGACGAGGGACTTGACGATCGAAGCGACCTCGTTCGCGTTATCGGGAAGGACAATGGCGGCGGGCGAAAGCTGTTGGGCACTGACTGACCAGAAAGAGCTCTGGCGGCCGGCGTAGTCGGGATCGTTCGGGACTAAGACCTTGGACGTCACTCCCGAGCTCCGCAGGGACTCGACTTGTGGTGGCAAAGACTTTGGAATTACAGCGGCCATTTCTTTTCTTCGAAGCGAAATTATATGCGCGTGTGTGGGGTGGTGTGTCTTGGGATCCGTGGTATTATGCAGGAACAGTGTAACACACTGATGGGAACCGAGCTCCTTGAAGAGGAAGACACGAATGTGATGAAGGAGCAGGGTGCGAGAACCCCAGGCTGCCAGTACGCAGTTTGTTGGCTGACCAAGACCACGGATTGCAAGGATCTTGCGTACGACTGCCCTGTGAGAGAGAGCATAGATAGGGATCACGGGGGAACGATGCGGTCCGAGAGCATGTGCTGCATGCCTTACAAACGGGGTCCCTGCAGGCGCAACCAGGGATTCGCGGCAAGCACCGCGGCCGGCAGCATTCCCCGAGCCATTGACATGACGAGCTCCTGCCACGTCCGTTGGATATGTGGGGGTTCTTTCAACGTCCGGGAGGATCCTGTTGGGCGGGCAGTGGGCAGGCGGGCAGGGTGCTTGGTCTTTCTCCCTGGAGGGAAACGATCGGCATGTTCTCGAGACTCTTGTGGTAGATTTCAACAAGTTGACTTGCTCGCCCCGCGTGCCTGCACAGAACGAGAGCAGACTTGCGGGAGTTGGTGAGCTAGTCTATCTGTTTGTATTGTCTTTTACTAAGAATGTGACAGGCACAATTGACCAATCTTACTGGCTGCCAAAGCTAGGCGAGAATGACAATCACGGCACCACGTACTTGGTACGTTGAGCCAACAGCTCATAATTTGGAGCGGGCGTAATGCCCGTACGAAACCGCCGGGGTAACTCATGTCCCCGCCCCCGACTCGTGCATGCGGACACCTACCGCCAATAAAAGCAAAACTGGAGCCGTTTGTCAGGGAGTCTACCTGTTGGCCGAGCCTGTCCCCCGCCTGTCTCTGTAGAGATTTGCTAAGACAATGCCACACCGGGATAGAAAATCCTGGCGAGTGCAAGGGGCGATGCCGAAGGTAACAAGCAAATTTACACGTTGCCATGCCCCAGACTGAAATCAACACTGGGCAATGGCTTCACTGTTGTGTCCATTATTGGCTGATAAGGACGGCTGACCAAGTCCGGCCTGACGGATGTTGTACTCTCCAGGACGTCTTGTCAATGACTTCTTCGCATGTACACTGACCCAACTTTCTCGAATCCTCAATCCACGTCCGACCACCAGTTGTTGGCGCCGATGGCCTTCTTCGTCAATGGCGTCCCGGTGGCCATGCCGCCGCCCGAGGGCTACATCGTGGACTTTGACAACCCGCAACGCAACAGCGTCACAGCGGCCTATTGCCTCTACGGCATCGGCAACGCTCTTGCGCTCCTAATGATGGGCCAGAGAGTCTATTTCCGGGCTGCAATTCAGAAAACGGTCTACCTCGAGGATGGTCAGTACTTGTTGAGAGTTCCAGAATCTCTGGTAGAGCATTGTCGCTGACAAGCCTCTCGCTGGACTAGCCTTTCTCGGTGTTGCTTATGTATGATTAGGCCGAAGTCTCAAATGAAGGAACGGTTGGTGAGGCCCCGAATCTGACAATTACTGCAGGTCTTTTCTGTTGTCCTCCAGACACTGATTATAAGTACGTAGACTTCCTTTGCTTCTGCCGAAATGGGCCGTTTTGACCAACCAACCTCCAAACAGGAGACTTCGCAAGAGGCATCATGGGCACACACGTCTACGAGATGCCGCTGCCAAAGTTCTCGCTGTTCCTGACGGCTCTCTACCAGCTGCCCATCCTGTACAACCCGGTGCAGTGCGGGACCAAGATGGCGCTGCTGCTCGTCTACAACCGCCTCACGCCCGAGCTCTGGTTCCGCATCCCCGTCTGGACCACCATGTTCATCGTGTGCGCGGCGACCGCCGTCCTGCAGTTCGTCACCATCTTCCCCTGCAGCCCCGTCCGGGGCGCCTGGGACCTGGCCATCACCGAGTCCACATGCATGGACCGGCCGGCAATCTACAAGGCGATAGCCATCATGGGCGCCGCGACCGACGCGATCGTGCTGGCCGTGCCCATGCCGCCGGTCTACCGGCTCCGGGTGCCGCTGCGGCAGAAGATTGGGCTCGCTGCGTTGTTCAGCGTTGGTGCTCTGTAAGTTTAATGCATTGTCGTCTGTGCTTTGTCCCCCTTGATTGAGGAGGATGTCTCGTCACGGAGCCCATGTTCCCAGATATCGAGGTTAGGTCCCGCCATGAAGTGATGATGACGTCCGGCTTGGACTGTGAACAAATAACAAATTCCCAACTACTGATCGCTGTTTGCTTATCACACCAGACCACAAGATGTTACCGCCTGCAAGCACATTATATTCATACACAACAATTCCACATCGATCACAGTTATCCATCCATCCATCACTTTGGTACAGCCATCGCGGCATCAATGATGCCCCAAGTATGCGCCGCGACCTTATTCCTCTGCTCCTCGGTCCACACCTTCTTGCCCTTGACCGAGCGGCCGCTGGCGTCAATGTCGCTCCAGAACCTGCCCTCCTTGGCGTCCGCCGCGGACACCTCGTACAAGCCCTTGACCAGGTTGTCGCCGCACGCCTCGATGCTCCTGCCACCGACCTTTGTGAGGCCCGCCAGGGGCACGCGCATGTACCAGGGCAGCTGGTGGCCGAGGTTTGTCTGGACGAGGCCCGGGTACGCGTGGACAAAGTGCCTCGCCTTGTCCTTGCCGTTTTGTTGCGCCGCCCAGTGCTGCATCATGCCGTCCGTCATGGCCATGCAGTGCTCGGCGGCGTTGCGGACGGAAAAGGTCGTCTTGAGGTCGAGGTCGTCCCAGTTGAGCTTGGCCGGGTCGCCGCGCAGGCTGTCGAGCACGACGAGGACCTTTGCGTCGTCCTTGAGCACGGGCTCGAGCTCGCGGATGAGGGCCTGGCGGCCGTAGAAGTGCAGGGCCATCTTGTTGTCGATGCCCTCGCCGGGGGTCTCGGTGCGCCCCGCGGTGGTCAGGATGCCCTGGGTGAGGACGAGCAAGTCGAACTTGGGCTCTGGGGCGGTGGCTTTCAGGGAGTCTGCGTAGTCCTTGATGCTGCGCATGGAGGAGGCGTCGAGGGCCCGGAACTCGATGTTGGCGTGGGGGAGGGGCGCGGCGGGCTTGTTGCGGCCGCTGATGATGACGGTGCCCGAGGACGAGTCTGCGGCGACGCGGCAGGCAATGCCGTAGCCGACGCCGCTGGTGCCGCCGACGACGAGGGCGCGGGTGACTGCGGAGGCCATTGTGTTTGTTTTTGCGGATTCAAGGTGGTGGTGGTTGTTGGAGGGACGGACGTCACGTGCTGAGAGGGTCTGCGTAAGGAGCTATGATGCGGGATGATGCTCAATGGGACCAATGTGCCAGGGACGTGCGTGAGGCCCGTCTTATACCAGCGGCAGATGGAGATGCATGGGTGTGGTGTCGTCGTGGAAGGTTTGTGAGGCTGAGACGGGAGGTCTACGTAAGTACGTACCTAGGTCAGGTAAGGTACGCAGCATCGCACCCACGCGGCCGGCGATAAGCAAAGCTGCAGTCCCCGCGGCCGCTATCGCCGTCGGCTGCATTAGCCCCGTGGCCCGAGCGCCTGGTTCCCGTGCCCAGACTTGCACCCAATAATTACCATGGGGGGCACTTATTTTTGTCTTTCACAGAGCGGAGAGGACTGGACCAAGGACCGGCAGCTGCCGAGCACCAATGGCATGGCTGCCTTTCTCATCATCCAAGACCCTTTCCTTGCTGACAACGACATGGCTCGGCCCCGGCAAAGCCGCCTTACGCTGCATATTGGGTAAGCACCGTATCCCTGATTGGGCATCCCAGGCACCAGCAAACGCGCGCTCCCCTTTTGTTTCCTTCCACGAAATAGTTGACATGACATACCCTACGACGAGTCGTCCATCATGCGCCTCTCGCTCGCCGTGTCCTCCTTGTCCCCCTTGGTCCTGCTGATCTCCACCCTCACCTCGTCCGTCACCCGGATCGGGCCCCTGCTCCCGTCCGCCGCCGCCGCCGCCCCGTTGTCCCCGCCGCCCGCTTCCTCGAGCGAGCTGCGCATGTTTGACTTGTCGATGCTGTGCAGCACGTAGCTGTGCGTGCCCCGGTCCCCTCTCAGCCACGGCCGGCGCGCGCTCAGCTTGCCGATGGTCACGAGGTTCTCGTCGCCCATCATGCCCCTTTCCTTGTTGTTGTGGTGGTGGTGCCTACCGCCGCCGCCGCCGTCCCCGTGAGGGCTGTCGACGCTGCCGCCCGTGCCCATGATCTTGTCAGCCAGCCGCGGCATGTGCGCTCGCAGGAACGGCTGCAGCATGGCCAGGCAGTTGCAGATGATGCCAAAGTTGAGCTCCAGGCACGGCCACACGGCCACGTACGCCTGCGTGTAGGTGACGTCCGGGTTGGTCGTGAACGTGTGGATGAACGCGGTTCGGATGATGGAGAAGATGACGACGCTGGCACAAAAAATAGAAGAAAAAAGAGCGCGTTAGCCATGACTTCAGGAGAGACAGGGGGGATGATGTAGAGTGTGCGCGCGCAAGACATCAGGTCTGCGGGCTTTTTTTTTTTACGTACAAGGACCCAAATGTCATCAGGCAGCCCAGAGTGATCTTTTGTCGTCTGGGCATGTTCAGCTGGATGGTCATCTGCAGCGGCATGGCGATGAGGACGACATCAGAGACGATGTTGGTAGTGGCCTGGGCCACCACGATGCCATTCAGGCACTGCAAGTCGCCCGTGGTCGGGTTGCACGGGCCAGCGAACAGGACCGTGTAGACAATCGTCGGTGCCAGCACAACCAGCGCGGCGAGGTATGCGCAGTAGCGGAACCCCATGGCCGGGTCGATCCGGTAGTACATGATGAGCAGCGAGAGCTTGGCCAGCGTCGGCGGCCAGATGTAGGTAAAAGTCAGACCTTGGAGCAGATTCAGGTACTCTTGGAACTGGCCCATTGTGACGTTGTAGTTGTTCCTACCCCAGCCAACTGGGAACGCTACAGGCGCGAACGGCAATAAGTCAGCAAGCACTCGTGTCTTGGTTGCCGTTCAATAGATCAGTGAGCTCACCGACTACCATGATGACGAAAAATGCCAGCGAGGCCATCCATGATAAGACAATCAACACTGGTGGAACAAAATTAGTGATTCTAATTGCAACTGACACCCGGCTTCCAACTACTTACGAGCATCCCACCCCAGCTGTTTGGTGAGATGAAAACCAGTGTACAGCCTGAGGAGGAGCAAGATGGTCGCGATGCCGAAGGTGACGCAGAAGACGACTGCGAGCTCGATTTGCAGCGGTGTGATGCTGTGAAAGTCTGGCACAACTCCTTCAGGGGCTGGTGCCAAAGGCGTCGAGGGGTCCATGACGGACTGTTGATACGCCGGTAATCAAGAACGAAGCGAGTCGGCTGGATGAGGACGACTTCGAGTCCCGAGTGAAAGCCTGACAATGGGTGCTGAAATGGTCACCACCCATTGCGAGAGACGCTAGGAATTGCAAAAAGTCATGCTGTGATCACTAGGTTAAGAAGGACCTGAAATTCTTTTTGCAAAGCACACATTCGCCCGGACTTGTTGGTCCTTGTTGACTTGCATAAGCACCTTGGCTGTTAAGCGACCAACATCCCCACAGTTGAAATTAAGCAGAGGCAACACAGCCGATTCGATTACCACCAAAGCCCCAGAAAACGTCACGCTGGGACATGGGCAAGGGCCGAAGCAGACGTATGCCAAGCTCCAACGGCAGAGAATCGCCTCCGTGTTTGGCAGGTTTCCTGGATCGGCTGCTACAGCCCAACGTGACAGTGTAGCAGACCCTGGCACCCCGGCCGCAACTATACCCTGTCCAAGTACCTCCAACGGCCCCCACAACCCCTGCGCCGGACCGTTCCGACCCAATCACAGTTCTGCATCAAGGGCACGATGGCAACCAACATGCATAACATGATCGAGGGTCTCCCAGAAGTCGACCAGGGTTTTCCTGCAGACTCGGGCTACTTTCTTATCATATGACAATCGCCCTCGCTGTTGAGCTACGCCTGTCGACTCTGGGTTAACAGGTTGCCGACCGACCACCTCGAGCAGGGGCGTTTTGCTCGGCCTGTAAGGGCAAGTGGCCTGACGGTCATGGTATAAGAGTGGCCAGGGATGCAACGTTGAGATCGTTCGGGGCTACCGTTGTGCGATTCCTTTCCTTTTGCCCCTGCATCTGAAACCAAACAGTAATTTCTTCTTCCTCGTAGCGACCACCGGCACGAGAATGGCGACCAACGGCCATACCAGTGAGGCAGTTCGCTCGCCCATCATCAACCTGGGTTCAGAGGAGGCTCTCCCTGTCACTGTGGCCGAGCTCACGGCAGAGTGGTTCACCAAGACTCTTGGCCACAAGGTCAAAAGTGCCCAGATCGTCAAAGAGATCCACGGCACCGCTTCAAAGATCCTGGTCGAGCTCCAGTACGATGGCGACGACGCTGCTGCCACGCCACCCACCAAGCTGTGCGTCAAGGGCGGCTTCAACCCGACCGTGATGAAGCTGTACCCTCCACTGGTGGCCTGCTTCCGGCTCGAGGTCTTCTTCTACGCCCACATCGCGCCCAAGGTCCCCATGAGACTGCCACAGGTGTACTACACCGGCACCGACACGGTCAACGGGCAGGGCCTCTTCATCATGCAGGACATGACGGCGATGGGCGCGACGTACGGCTCGACCCTGGAGCCCTGGCGGCCCGAGCGCGTCCGCGCCGGCGTCAAGCAGCTCGCCCTGCTGCACGCGCACGGCTGGGGCACCACCGATGCCAACGTGGCGAGCCGGTTCCCGTGGTACGAGGCCTCCAGCTTCCGCGCGGTGCTCGAGTCCATGTGGGCCCCGGAGCACTGGCAGGGCCGGTACTTTTCCGACGCGTGCCCGCCGGTCCACGAGGAGCTCAAGGACCGCGCGAGGGTCGTCGCCGCGTTCCACACCCTCTGGAGGACCAGCGACGCCAGGCTCCAGACCATGTGCCACGGCGACCCCCACCTGAACAACACGTACATGACTGCGGACGGGCGCCCGGGGTTCATAGACTGGCAGGGCATGCACCCGAACTCCGCGCTCCATGATGTCGTCTACTTCATCACTGGGGCCATGGAGGTGGAGGACCGGCGGAAGCACGAGCGGGAACTCCTGGGTGCGTACCTGGGCGACCTTGCCGAGGCTGGCGGCCCGCGGTTTGCCGTTGATGATGTATGGGATGAGTTTAGGAGGCAGCAGCTCCACGGGTTCGTGTGGTCGTTGACGCCACCCACGATGCAGCCGAGAGAAGTGGTAGACACCTTTTCTGCAAGACACGCTGCTGCCATCAAAGACCACGGCAGTCTGGAGTTGATTGAGGCTCATCCGGATCACAAACCGTTGGAGGAGTAGTAGACCCGGTTGTCGTTGGAGCCAGCTAGTCAAATATAGTACTTGAAAACAATGCTACAACACCCTGAGTCTACTTTGAGGTGTCCATGCGAGGCTTTCTTTTCTTTGCCCGTTCAATATCTGCCCGCGGTCCTGTGCCCCTTGGTGCCTCTTCATGGGAGGAAATGTATTCCCGAACAGAACCCCCAATTCCGCACACTCAGAAGTGGCTCCCAAGTTTCTTAGCGATTGGCGCGGTCTGCGCCAATACGACGTGTCACAAAAGTTCCCAGTGAAATCTAGCTGCTCGGAGTAGCTCAGCACTTTTTGAAAAAGTTTGATTGCAAGGTTTGGGCGTCAAAATAGCGATGGCAGCCGTGCTCGCGACCAACAAGCTACTCTTAACCATGGGGACCGCCCCGAAGAAGCGTAAACTACAGCCTGCTTCTCTCCCAGAGGCGCGGTTTCAAGAACTTTATCGGCACCGGAGCATGGACCGCCCGCAGCCACTCGGCAAACCCTTTGCCCAGACTGTCGAGCCTCGCGGAGCTGCTGACGCCTCTGCCGAGGGCGTCATACACTACATAGTGCACGGCACGGATGTCTGCAAACTCGACCCTCTCGACATGGTACTCGTCCTTCCAGTCGTCGCCCATCATCTCCTTCATCCTTGCAGTCGTGAGGTAACTCTGCATCCACTCCCACACTTCTGGGTCCTTGCTGAGACGGGCTCGGGGCGTGAAGCCAACATTGACATTCGCGCCCTTGTCGCCAGACCTTGCCAGCAATATGTCGCCCAAGGGAACCGTCTCTGTTGGCCCAAAGATGCCCAACTCGCACGGCTTCATGGTATCGTAGCTGAGCCTCGGTACCAACCTCTCCGTCACCTTCGGCGGCCCAACCACGACCCTCTTGACCACTTCGCCTCCTTTTCCACCCAGCAAATTCACAGCCTCTGCGATCCTGCTTTGCTCCACCACGGCAGGAAAATACCCCAGGAACGGCACCGCCACCGCCATCAGCCTCAGATCCAGCGAGCAGTGCATCCCCGGGAAGTGCTGCATAAAGACGTGGCTCCACGCCGCGACCACCGCGCGCACCGAGTCCGGCCCGCCGCCGCCGCCATCACCATCATCATCAGACGCCTGGGCAAAGATGCGCAGCGCCGTCGTGCCGGCGAGCTGGGTCCGGGGATTCCGCGCGGGCACCCCGACGCGCTGGAACTCGAGGACGTCGAGGCAGTCCAGCTTCCCCCACGCCGCGAGCTGCCTGCGCACCTGGAGCTCCTGGAGCGCGTACTTCTCGTCGACGGCGTAGCCATTGCCGTTGACCGTCATCTCCCCTTGCCAGCCGGCCTTGTAGAAGACGGCGAGCTTGGTCGTCGGCGGGGGCGGGTGACCCTGCGCGCCGCGGACGTGGACTCGGTTGGGGCCGACCTGCTGGACTGTGATGGCGTGCAGGTCCGCCTTGACGTCGCTGTTGAGGTAGATGTTGCCCTGCAGCTCGTACAGCAGCTGGCACTTGACCACCTCCTCGGTGACGAACCCGTTCAGGGACTCGTGCTTGGTGATGACGCACTCGCCCGTGCTGTCAATCTCTGCAATCGGGCAGCCGAGGTCCCAGAGTCGTTCTGGGCCTGCTGCTCGTGGTTGTCCGTCCGGCCCAGAAGCAGCAGCAGCAGCAGGCATCGCCATCAGGTCGTCAAAGCCCGCAAAGTTGGCCCCCGTGCCGTAGGTCGAGCATTCGATCAAGTGGCCCGCGACCAGGGCGCCGGCGAGCTCGTCGTATGCGCTGTCCTCCCAGCCGTGCCACCACTGGGCCGCGGCCATGACGGGCGAGGCGTCGGCAACGCGCCCACAGATGATGATGTCGGCCCCGAGCTCGAGCCCGGTGCGGATGGCCCGGCAGCCGAGGTAGGCGTTTGCCGCGACGATCTCTTTCTTCTTGGTCTTCTTCTTAGTCTCGGTCTGGTCGGTTACTTTCCCATGGCCTGCTGCTCGTGTGTCACTCTTTACGCCATCTGTATCGTCTTCCTCGTTGGAGCCGAACAAGTCCTCTGCATCCTTGGTGAGGCAAACCTGCTCGTTCCCGTCATCAAGATGGAGCATTCTCGCCCGCTCCTCCTCCTCCCCAGGCCTACCTCGCAAGATCCCATCCACATCCGCCAGCAAATCATCCCCATCCACGTAAGCCACCTTGACCACATAGTCACCTCCTACTCCTCCTCCTTCTCCCCTTTCTCCTCTTTCTCCCCTTGCCGCGACCTCCTGGTCCACCAGCTCCTGCACCCGCAGCGCCAGGCCCCTCGGGTTCAAGCCCCCGCCGTTCACAATGATCTTGAGCCGCCCCTGCCTCGCAAACACCGCGCCCAGGGTCAGCTCTATCCCCGTGAGCGCGGACGCAACCCACCCGGGGTGCCTGCCTGCGCGGAAGGCCTCTGCGTTCTCGGCGAGGTTGGCCTCGGCGAGGTAGTCGCCCGTAATCACGTCCACTGGCAGTCCTTGTCCAGATTGGGGTGTGCCAATGGAAGCAGGAGTAAGTGGGGGAGGGGGATAAGAATGAGGAGAGGCAGTGTCACTGCCGCTGCCATGATGCTGGGTGCCGAAAGGGGGCAGCCGGTGCGCAGTTGCCTGGGTCAGCATGATCTGGCCCGGGTCGGGTGTCGCGCCGGAGCAGTTGGCGATGCGGACTGGGCGTCGCCGTCGTGGTCGTTTTGGGGTATTGGACTCTCGCTGTGGCCGTGACTGGTGGTGGTGGCCTTGCTGGGTGCTAAAAGCAGTCCCTGGCTGGCGGCGCACATGTTGCTCAGCCATGGTCATAGCTATTGCGGTTCTCCCCTATCGTCGTCGTCGTCGTTGGTGGTGGTTCCTGAAAGAGCGAAAGAGGGGTGTTGGTTTCTTGGACTGATCCTCGGTGGTATGTCTCGTGTCGCGTAAGCATATAATTAGAGGGCGGCTTGCTGGTTTTAAGTCGTACCGTGCACTGGTGCTCCCTCTGTTCCCCTCTCTATCTCTGCACATATGCGGCCGAGTAACAGATTGTCCTTTGTGGAGGCACCACCAGAGCTAAACGGGCAAATCTTCAAGTGCAATCCATTTCACACTCTCTGATAGTGATAATAAAAGCCCACAACCCTCCATATACCCACCCGTTATGTTGGAGCCTCGGCACCTGGGGATGGGTGGGGAACCCTGCCCTGTGTATTCTACGCTAAATTACCCCGTCTGGCTGAACACCCCTGCCCCGCTGCCACTGCCGCCCATCGCGGGGAATCCTGGACGGCATGGCGGCAGTTAATGTGGACCCTACGTACTTCTCTCGACCCCTAATAAAAACTTCGGATACATAGTATTCTGGTCCTCTTCACCTTTTTATGCGGAGGCCAGAGGCCCCCCAACTGCTTGCCATTCGGCCCAGGGCCGAGGTTTGTGTATTGGGGAGACTCCGTACAGGGTAGACACCCATAAAATTCAGAACGGATCTCTCAAGCCCTCCTTGTGCTCGTTGGCACGCAGGGACCGCAGCCCTGCAGGGAACGGATGTGCGCAGTAGGCTGAAGCGAATTACACACTTGGGTCACAAAAGGCATGCCAATGCCCATCACAGATCCATGCACAGCGCACAACATTCAAAAGGTTGGCGTTGAAAAATAAAAATTCCGTCTTCAATTTCAATTTTGAAAGTGTCGCGAAACCGATCTTTGGGTGATCGCTCAATCACGCTTTTTCCACCCAAAGAATCAAACGAAAAATCAGAGGTATATCCGCTGGACGCCAGGCTCATAATATCCACACATCCATCCAGCTCAAACAAGAGCCTGCGGCCAAATCGCTGAACAAGCCCCGAGAGGGGGAACAAATTATGTCGCTGCCGTGGGGCTCAAACCCTCGGCCGCAAAATGCTGCAAAGGCACAAACACCCTGCATGATGCACGGGCATAATGCCAGATTTCCTTCAAAGCTCTTCCAAGGAGCTGGCGCCGCTAACGGCACCACCGGCCGTAGCGACCGAGCTCCCAGATAATGCCGGGCCTGTGCGGATTCGGCTGGGATCCGGCATACCGAGCTCCGTCACTGTAGGCATCATTTCGACGTCGTCGGGCGAGATGCTGCCGCTGGCGTCGTAGTCGGCCTCGGCCACCGAGTCCTCGTCCTCCTCGTCGTTGCCGCTGAGCTCGCCATCCTCCGGGTAGGCGGCCTCGGTCACGCGGCGGCTGATGAGCTCGCTCGTTGTCTCGGTGTCCATGTCGTCGTCTGAATCATCGGCGGCCGGGAAGTAGAAGCTGGGTGGGGGGAGCGGTACCGGGCTCAACTTGTGGTACTTGGTCCCGATGTATTCAATCTCGATCCGGCCCATCCCAAAGGTGGCAGTGAGGACGGGAATCGGCGAGCTGGTCGTCATACTGGCCAGCCGTTGCGTGACGGAGTCTGGCGTGTCCCGCTTGCGTAGCCTTGCGCGCTTGCGGTCGTGCTCCCCTTCGCTGTCGTCTTCAGACTGGAGATCGTCTGTCTCGGCCACATCCTTCATCCGCCGCGTCGAGACAGCCAGCAGGAAGTGATCCTCGGGATAGACACCAGAGAGACCGCTGGCCTCGAGGGCAATCTTGTGCAGGCGCTGGGGCTGATCATCCTGTGACCACTCGAGGTTTGCCTCGCATGACGTGTCACTGTCCGTCTCGCCGCCGGTCAGGTCAGGGACGTCACTGGCGCTGTCCATGGCCATGCTAGCATAGCCCGGGGTACCCTCGCTGAGGGGCCTGAATGGCAGTGACGAGCCAGAAGGGGACCGGCTGATGAGCGGCCGATCACTCATGGTTGTGGAACCGCGCGCCCGCCGGAGACCAGACGAGGTGGTCGCCCCGTAGGTGTCAGGGGACACTGCGCCATAGTCGCCCGACAAGTCTGTGCAGAAAGGAGCTCCCTGGTAGTAAATGATGGCACCATCGCGACGTCGCTTGCGCTGGGACTGTGCACCAGAGACGCCGCCAGACTGACCCCAGCGCGAGTACCCGCCAGCATTGCTGTCCTCTTGGGGATCAGCAGATGAGCCCGACTCATCACCGTTGGACTGGGGCTCTTCCGAGGATGACGTGTTGTGATGCACAAAAAGGGGCTTGTAGTGAAAGCTGTCCGATGGATCGGAATCGGTGGTCTGTGGTCGAAAGTTGGAGGTCTTGAGCTGGGTGACGTCACCCTTGGTGGAGGGGCCCGCCTTGGAGGCCTTGTGCTGAGCCGCCTCATTGTTGGAGCCGTCCGTGTCATCGCTCGATTGGGTCCGCTGCGATGCGGACCCGCTTCCCTCGCTGGTGAAGCGCGTGCCTTCGTCGCCACCGCGCCAGCGGATCTTGCGGCCGTCTGGAGACAGCTGGAACTTGGTGCTCTTCTCGGACACGGCGCTGCGCACAAAGTCGGGTGCGACGTTGAAAATATGCAGCTGGGCAAGATTGCACAGCAGGTTGAGATAGACCCAGCCGTCGGCGTCGGGCGACACATCATGTGAAGAATACCTCGTTTGGGACTCGGGGGCCTTGATGCCGAGATGGCGGATGTACTCCATGTTCTCTGATGGAACCTGTCGCCGGTCGGGGTCCAGGTCCCTAGGCCGGGTCGGCCGCTGCTCGCTGGCTGTTTCATCCTGCGGAGAGTTGCTGTTGCCGCCACTATGTCTTCCGCTGCCACTACCACTGCCACTGCCGTTGCCGGTGTCTCGAGACTCGGTCAGATCTTCGCGTGAGCGAGAGTGGGTCGCAGAACTCTCGTCTCTCGAGTTGCCGTCCTTGGTGTGAGCCTTGTGCGGCCGAATCTGCGCTTCTCGAGACGGCTCGTTCGGCTCCTGTGGTTGCCGCTGCTGTTGTTGTTGTTGTTGCTGTTGTCGCTGCTGCTGCTGCAGACCCGGATCCAGCTCTTCAAGAGACGGTACAGAGTTTGTCATTTCGACATCCTCGTTTATGGGGGGGATCATGACGCGATTGCCCTGTTCCTCAGGTCGCGCCATCTGTCCAGTGAAGAGTTGCTCCAGCCTCCGCACAACAAGCTTCTTCTTATCCTTCTCTGTCAAAACATTGGCCCGTGGCCAAAGGCCCTCTGGGATATCACGCAGGTAGTTCTCAATCTTCTGGTTGGAGCGTCGTAGTGCGCCAGGCCCAGAGTCCATTTTCGCCCCGGACAGGCCAGTCGAGCTGGGACCAGACATGGACGCGTAGGCCGAGTCAACCGGTCGAGTGTTGGACCCGGACGACGAAGAAGGGTGCTTGGAAACTCCGGATGATACATGCTTTGATTTGCCGGAGCTCTTCTTGCTCCGTTTCGGGGTGCCGATGCTGGAGCCGTCGAGGCTTTGCGTAAAGTCGCGCAGCGTGGCTTCGAGCTCTCGCCTCTTTTGGCTTGGCAGTCCGTGGACCTTGACCTCGAAAAGCTTTTCTCGCCGGAGAGCGTCCGGGCCTATCTGCTTGTACCGCTTGAGCTCCTCCCTCAACCGCTTGTTCTCAATCGTCAAGTCGTCAATGACACTGCGGTAGTCGTCGGCGCTGCTGCTCTGCGTGAAGCCCGCACGGAGCGTGTTCGGGCGGTTCTGCACAAAACGGTAAGCGGGGCTCTGCGACGGGACGAGGCGGCCATTGCTTAGGTCCTCGTTTGACGAGTCGGTCTCGCGCTGGAAGAATGGCGGGTCTACGTCCATGGCAGATGTGTCGACTACTCCCGACCGGTTCGTGTTGGCCCCGTCGAACCACTTGCGAGGATCACTGAGGCCGGTGGCATTGCTCTCGCCAGAGGACCCCCTGCGAGGGGACTTGGGCTGGGAGACCTTGACGGCGGGGATGACGGGTGGGATTGGTGGCCGCCGGCTGCCTTGCTGGTGCAGTCTCGACGCCTCCTGGGCGAGTCTGTGATGGCGGAGGGTGACGGAGTTCTCGGGGCTCGTGCGTCGGGGGTTGCGATGGTAAGTCACGCTGGATTGAGGAGGGACATTCGGGCCGGGCGATGCCGCAGCGTGTGGTAGATGGGACATTGTGGTGGTGGAACCATGGGTGCTGCTGCCGACGGGTTTTGAAGCTGGAGGGGTCTCTGAGGCCGACGGATCGCTCCGTTGCATAGCGGGAGTTGCTTGCCCGATAGAAATGGCTGTACTCTCACCACCGGGCTGCAAGCTACGGCTTCGGAGCACTGAGTCGAGCGTTGTTGTTGTCGCCGACCGGGATGTCTCGGCGTCGGAAGATGCTGGCTATGGTGGCGGTGATGGTGGTGGTGAGGAATCTGTCTCGCTGGGCTGAATTGGACGAGTTGTCGTCGTCGCCGTGTCGTCGTGGTGTTGTCGTGCGAATGTTGGTGGGTGGGTGCGGCCCAGGATTGTGGAGGCTGAGGTTGCAGATGTATGTGACGGGTTGGTTGGGGTGAGATGGATGATCGGCTGATGGGAAATTCGTGAAGATGGAGGAATCCGAAACGAGACGGCAGATGCCTTTGTTTGAGCGAGCCCATGGTGGCAGACCGGGCGAGCGCAGCGGCCGAGACGGGGTTTTGCACGGCAAGCAGGCGTGCTGTGTGGGCGGGCAGGGTGGCTCGATCTTGCGGCCGGTGGGGGGTTTCTCGAGATCGAGAGATGAGTTGCGAATCAGCAAAATCCAGGGTCCATGGGCTGGGCCCCTAAACCTGACTGGGCAGCACGAGACCCTCTTTGGCAAGCCCTAGGCCGCCTTCGGCAGGCCTCTGCTATCTGCACACCAAGGCAAGCCGTCGGACGCCGCGCCGGCAGCTCTGTCCAATGACGGGGGGTTTTAGCAGGCCGGGCGCACCTGCCTCCATCACCAGCACCCTCCATCCACCCCCTGCGGAACATGCCACTCCAATCTCGATGCCACCAGCAACACACGTACACCAGGCACAAGTCTCACGTCACAGGACTCCCCAACAGCATGCATCACGATCACCGCCGGGTGCGCGATGGGGACCACGCTGCCCAGCAGGTCATCGCGATGCTCGAGGCCCTGCCTGCCCGGCGAGATGTGTCGATGTGTCGGCCACGGCTCGAGCCCAGCACACAGTGGAACGGACCCAAGGCCTAGAAGCCGGGCGGCCGGGATGCTGTCCGCTGTTCAAGGGGAGCAAACCACGACGAGCCTCGGTAGACAGGTGGGCCAGGACCCTGAAGAGCCGCGCGCAGAATTGTCGCCTCTCGAGCTGCGAGCGTGCCGATCTCGAAATAAGACGCAGCCGAGGGCGGCAGGATTGCCATTTTGCGATAGCATGGGTACGGTATGGGGAAATCGGTGCTTCCGAGCAGATTTGCGATGCTGCGTGACGGGCGCATCTGAGGGCATCGCCGGTTTGGAAGCCAAGGGTCTCGCCACAGTTGCGGGGCCCACGCCTCTCGCCCACAGTACAAAAAGCAGGCTGAGGTCCCGATCGCCGTGACTCGTCTCTGTCCTCACCATCGAGCGCCTCTCACTCGACCGCGTTCAGCCACAGCTACCCGCACACAAGGCTGGCCTCAGCCTCATCCTCCTTGTCAGCCAGCACCAGCGAAACCAGCAGCAAACAGTAATTATTAGCCAGCCGTCTGCAAGACTCTTCTTGCTCGTCCATTTGCCACCCGTCAGACTTGTTCAGCCTTGTCCAGCTCTTGGCTTCGCCACCCGCCCAGATTCCCATCCTCAAAGTCTGTAACCCCTGCAGCCCTCGGGACACCGGGATTCGCCGTTGTCACGAACCTCTCCATCGGCAAAAGTCCTTGTGCCATCGGCTTCTTCCGTCTCACACTTGCACAACTCGGTGGTTGGCTGGACAATTCCATGCGGCTGCCCTCCGTCTGGTCCCTATTCGCTCCCTGGTACTTGACATTCTGCACCACTGAAACTCGGTTCCCCCTTCCCCCTCTTGTGCCTCATGCGCCTGCCGGCCCCAGCCGCTCCCGCCTTCAATGTTGCCACTCCGGCGTATCGCCACGGAGCGGTCTGGACCTGGCCCTGCAGGGTGGCAGGTCGGTCGCTGTAATCATAATCATCTTGAGTTCGCTCCGTTGCTGCCTGCCCAACACCTCGATATTACTCTGCTGCGATGCGCAGCCCTCATATTGTTTGCCGCGATCGTTGCCACATGTTTATTGAAGGTTGCTTTGGGTCTTTGCTCGTGCTTCAATCGCTTAACCATATTCGAGAACGTGTTCCAGTCGCAATGCATTGTGGGCGAAGATGGTAGTGGCCTAGCTCGCTTAGAGCCTGCTCCGAGCAGACATACGTGCCACGAGTCGGCGACACTGTGTCGTTACCAGGCACCAATCACTACCGCGAAGTACTCCAAGTGCGAACCTGCTGCTGCACGCTGCATTGTTGCGGCTGTCGTGACGGAGCAGGGCACCCCACGTGCCCGCATATTCGTACTCGGTGGCCTTGATCATGCTTCCTCGATCGGGGGTTTGGTAGAAGCATCGTGATGATTGCCGTCAGTCCCAGACGATGGAGGGTTGCTCACGTCGCTGGGTGGCACCCGGCGCTGGCGTTCTGTCGAACCAGGACCGACATAGCCGGGCCTTTACATTGTGTGAAGCTATTGTTCTCTGGTGGCATGGATGATGGATGGCTGCTCCCGCTAGTAGAGCGGAACAAACCAAGTCGGACCACCGGTGGAGCCGCTAGGAGCTCTCCAGAACCGTCCGGGGCCGCTCATTGGTGCGGCGGACCGTCCCCCGACCGAAACAAGGCAGCGGCCAATCGGACCCGGCCGTTCTCGCGCGGGAGAGCAGCGGATTTTCTGCCTCTCCAAGCGTATTATTTGCTCCGGGCCGGACACCATATTTACAGCACACGAACCTGCTCTAGCTCTGTGTCACGATCATCACGCGGAGATGGGGGCTCAAAGAGGGCACCTTTCACCGCACAGGGACCTCCTGCCTATAGGCGGCCCCTTCCTCATTTCATTCATCGCTTACAGGCCCGTGGATAAAACCACACCTTGCCTTGACAGCGCATTTTACGACTTCTCCCCTCTAGGGGCAGCTGACTCGAGCCAGCCTCGTCAGCATTCCTCAGCTGCTGCCGCTTATCCGCGCACGAGGACATACCCCCTGAGGGATCTTTGCGTGCTTGCACGTTTCGCAGCTGAGCACATGGCGCTCACGCTTTCCCACAAGCAGCGAGCCCGCTCTCTTCGAAGAGGGGTCTCCAAAGGCAATACGGGATTTGTGGGAGGAGACTCGGTGCGACAGGTCTAGCTTCATGGGGAACTTGGAAAACCGAGAGCATGCACGTGGACTTTCTAGCTCCCCTCGACGACGTGACGCCAAGGGGGGGAAAGAAAACATTGATGCCAATTGTGGTGACAAACCTCAGTGCGACAAGGTGGCTTGCCACGGCGCCGTAGGGGACAAGGCCACTGGGAGATTGGAGGCTTATGTGTTCAAGCATGCCATGCTCGCTTCCGGGCCCGGGTCTCAGACTAGGGCTCGGTGAGCATGACTTTTATGATCTATCCATCAACTATATGTCGTATGTGACGAAAGGACATGAACGATATGGGAAAGGGACAAGAGGGACAAGAAAAGACTGACGCCCGAGTTGGTCGAATCATAGAGTGAGATATTTGTTCTTTCGTCGAGTCCTGTGGAGTCTGAACTCTTCTCATCAGTCGAGTTTCAGCAAGTTCTTGATTTTGTGAAAAAAAAATAGCAAGACAGGCCGGGTTGTTCCGGATAAACTCTCTCTCACGTGCCCGCACAGATATGAAGGTTGGAGGGCCCCGTACCCTCGCCATGCGGTGGGCTGCTGGAACAGCCAATCGCCAGCTCGTTACGGGCTGCGAGGACATTGGAGATGGCAAGCCAGTAGAAGAGACGACAGCGGCCTGAACAGCCCGCCTTGGCCGCCAAAGTTTGGAGTTGTGGACGGGTGGTGCGCGCTGGGTGAATGTCTTGACCCTTTTGCCTTGCTGGTGTCTAGTCAATGGTTGGGAAGACAAACTGGTGGCCACACAGCAAATGAATGCTGTGCTCGTTTCTGATTGAGATTCCGGATGCCTTGCATTGCCGTGCTTCTCGTCGCGGTCTGTCGTGCCCTTGGGGGGGAGTGTCGTGTTTGTGACGTCAAGCGGATTGCTGGGATCCACCTGTTGCCAGGCGGTGTCAACCTCGTCGGCGATCACGATACGACATGATACGTGACAGAGCGGGCTGCTAGACACTCAAAAACACAGAAATATCACGAATCCCGGGGAGCTCAGGCACCTCTTTTGCTGCCAGAAACCCTTGTCGTGATGTCTCTTGCCATGGGCACTTGTTAGGCTGTCGACGGCTCGGTAGTTGGAAGTTTCTACCTTGTTCTGCAGCCGGGGATACCCTTGTCCCCAGCCCCATCACTCCCAAACAGTCACAATTTGCTGGCCAGCCTCCTCGGGCTATGCCGAGTTTTCCTCTTCTTGAATAGCGAATGCTTCCATTCACAATCATGGTAATGGTGCTTTTCAGGCCGATGACTTGGCTTCATCGTACCTATCCAGCATAGCGGCAACTCTTGTGACGGATCTCAGATCACCGTCGGAATTCTCCATTCGGCCCACCCGCCGCCATGTCGTTGGCTCAGCACGTCACCGCGACCGAGGGTGTCGACCGTGAGGATGGCGACGCCGACTCCCACAGCAAGCCTCTGTGGCGTACTCTCAGCTATGATCCCGTCCCGGCGCCTGACGCACCTTTGGCTCTCCAGTCAGCCGAACCGGCCCAGCACACGGCTGCCTACAAGGTCTCAGCTGTCACAAGAGCAGGTGAGTTGTGTTGGTCACCTCCTCCAGCCATGGGGACGTGCTGACCATGATGTACCATTAGCCCAAGTTGCCATTGCAACTGTCGCCTGTGTCCTGGCCGCGGGCATCGTGTTTGGTTTTGCGTCCTTCAAGCCCATCATGATAGCAGAAGGGGTGTATAGCGACCTATGTGACGTGTCTGAGCAGTCGGGCGAGCATGTGCCGCCGGAGGATCACGTCCCCTGTGCGAGGCAGGACCTCCGCCTCAACCTCTTCTTCACCTCGGCCTCCATTACTGCCAACGTGTCGTCTCTGCTCGCTGGATCAATTCTGGACCGGTACGGGCGGCGTGTGTGTTACTACATGTCCGCCGTGCTGCTTGCTGCCGGCTCGACCTTGCTCGCAACCGCTTTCAGGATCCCCGAGTTCGATGGCTACATCGCTGGCAACATCTTCCTCGCGCTCGGCGGCACGTTTGTGTTCGTCCCGAGCTTCCAGCTCGCCGATGCGTTCCCGCGATTCTCCGGGCTCATCGTGGCCGTCATCACTGGCGCCTTTGACGCCTCTGCTGCCGTCTTCCTCTTCTACCGACTCGCGTGGGAGGCTTCCGACGGGGCCTTCACCCCGGCAAGATTCTTTTCCTACTACCTCGTCGTGCCGCTGTTCATCCTCATCAGCGAGTGGCTCTTCATGCCCCGCCACGCATACCACACCACGTCCGAGCTCGAGTTCAAGATAGAAAAGAACCAAGACGCGACCCGCGACCTCCACGAGTCCGACCAGGACCTGTCGGACAACGAGCTCACCCGCGTCCGCAGCGCCCGCCGCGAGCGCAGGCAGTCGCGGCTCGACCAGCTCGAGGACCTCGTGGGCGACGCGCAGGAGCGCGAGGACCGCGCCGTCAAGGAGGAGGACCGGCAGGTCGCCAGCGGCGTCTGGGGCGTGCTCCACGGGCTGCCCGCGCACCGGCAGATGCTCACCCCGTGGTTCCTCTTCATCCTGCTCCTGACGGTCCTGCAGATGCTGCGGATGAACTACTTCATCGCCACCGTCAGGGCGCAGTACCTGTTCCTGCTGCGGTCGGACGAGCAGGCCGACGCCGTCAATGACTTTTTCGACATTGCCCTGCCGCTCGGCGGGATCGCCACGACGCCGTTCATCGGGCTGCTGCTCAACCATTTCAGCATGGCGTCGGTCACGGCCACTCTGACCGCGTTCATCTGCGCCATCGGCATCCTGAACTGCCTGCCCTACCTCTGGGCCGGATACGCCACGGTAGTCTTGTTTGTCATCTTCCGGCCGCTATACTACTCTGCAGTTTCGTAAGTTCACCCTGTTGATTTTCCCTTGTTCTCTCTCTACTCTGCAACGAGTAATTCAGACACTAACTCCTGTATCCAAACAAAGGGACTACGCCACCAAGGTGTTTGGCTTCGCCACCTTCGGCCGCATCTACGGCGCCATCACCTGCCTCTCGGGCCTCTTCAACTTTTCCCAGTCCGCGCTCGACGCGCTCACCCACGGCCCGCTCAACGGGGACCCGACGCCCATCAACATCGCCATGGCGGTCGCCGGGACGCTGTGCGGGATGCTGCTGACCGGCTGGGTTGTATTTAAGGGCAGGGAGTTTGAGCGCGAGGTGCAGCAGCAGCAGGGATCGGCACCGACGCATGTCGGCGAGCGGCTGGGGCTGATACGTGAGGACACGGCGGAGTATGGCACTATCGGCATGGCGGGGCGTGGGTGAATGACGTTTGGATGGTAGGGAAAGGCCACTATATATGACTGGAAGCTTGGGGCTGGGGTCGTTATTTGCATGGAATGGTTGAGCACGGTTGCGCTTGGAATTTCGATGGAGCATGGCAAGGCGTTTTGGTGGCATTGTCGACATACTTCTCGGTCTATTAGATATGATGCTGATGAATTGGCCTGAGCCTTGTAGTTTTCCTGATGAATGGAATCTTCGAATGTCGTTTACACATGTCAGAGCTTGTGTATCCCCGGTTCCATCCTCGCACATGCTGCCGGTTTAACGTGTGCCAAATTAGTCGTCGGTATGCTCGAAAGTCGCAGCCCATTATGCTAAGCACACACGAATCAATCACGCACACTGAAATAAGCATATAGCCAGAAGACACTTATAAGCTTCCCTTTGTAGCAATAACCAAGACCATTACAGAACCCAGGCAGTTTCTCCCTGTCACAAATCATAAAAAGATGCGGATGAATGAAATGTCAACCCAAAATTCAGATGTCGCTAGTCTACCCAGGTATATATGAAACCCCGAAGCAAGAGAAAAAAGAACCCCGTTTTGTATGCAAGAACAGAAAAAGACACATCTCGTTGCCAAGATCTCCTTTCACATGCCAGTCCCGGTAAGGATGCCGGCAATCTTCTCATACACGGTGAAGATGATGCCGCCGCTGAACACGAGCCGGCCTAGCCTCATCGTGCTACCGGCCCAGAAGCCCCTTATGCCGTCGTTCTGCAGCACCGTGCGGAACGCGGCCGTCGTGGACGCGCCCGCCGCGCTCTGCGTCCGCGTCTTGATCGTGTCGAACGGCTGCGTGACGTACACGGTGATGACGCCGGCCACGGCGCCCGTGGCGAAGGTTACGGCGCTGTTCTGCGGCAGCTGCCACGACTCGGCGAGGTTCTTGAGGATGTTGTACGAGCCCATGCGGGTCGCCGAGGTGGTGGACTGCTTGAGCGTGGACGAGATCAAGCCGCGGTACAGGCCTGGCAGGCCCGACTCGCGCACGATGGTGCGCATGGCGTCGAAGCCGCCCCGGAAGCGCTTGCCGTTGGGCGAGCGGGCGTCGTCGATGCTGGGATGGTTTGTCAGTGGGTTGGTCTTTGTTTTGTACTACAGGCAGGCTGGCTTGTGCTGGGGGCAACACTCACAGTGCGGTCTTGACACGTTCTGTCGGCGTGACAGCCACGACACTCTCCACGGCACCCGCGACCATACCAGCCAAGATACCTCTCGCAGGGGTCAGCTTGCCCTTGTCGTCAGACAGGACGTTCTTGATGGCGTCATAGGACATGAATCTGACACTGGCTTTGAAGGTGGCGCCCTACGTTGAAATGTTAGATATGCTGATACTGCTAGACGTTGAGAAATGCCCCGTCCGTCGCAACGACGATAGAGTCCACAGTGCAGTTACTCACCACTGCCAGGGTGGAGCATCCCGTGTAGATGGCGCCCACGCCCTGCTGCTTCGCCACCGAAGAGATGATGGAGAACGGGTTGGTGACCTTCTTGCCGGTATTGATGAGCTGGCCACGAGTCTTGGCGAACTCGAACGGGTACTGTATGTATCGTCAGCTCGCGTGTTCACTCCACATTTCGTGATCTGTCTCGCCAAGAAACACATACTGTGACAAAGGCCTCCACGGCTCCCGCTGTGCCGCCTGCTAGTAATGAGACTGCTGTCGACACGTGCGGTTTGGTGCTCTGCTTCTTGGCGACTTTGGCCTCGGCCTGGGCCGCGGGCACGGACAGTCTGCCGGGCTCAACAGTAGCGTTCATCTTTGCAATGTGTTGGTTGATGATGGATTGCTGGTGGTGAAGCTATGCAGGCATACAATATGGTGGACAATACGCGATGCTTGATACTGGAAAATGAGGCTCCATTTGCATGAACGCCTCAAAAATTGGCATAGGGGCTCCGCGTGGTTTTGAAGATGGCAGGTTGATGCCGCGTAGAGTGCGATGTGAGATGACTAAGCCCGTAAACTCCCGGTGAAGATCGAGACCTGAGAAGGCGTCGGATTGAGCCGCGGGAGCAGGCGTACTCTGATTGGCTGCAGTGACCTGAAGGGTGGGGCTCGCCATCTGGCTAGCATTCTTTCCCGCGGAAGGCGCGCCATGTGCTAAGTTGCGTATGTGGAGAGACGCTAGCCGCACCCACACGCACTGCTCCTGCCTGCTTCCGGCCCTCGCAGGACTGAACGCGTGCGCCGTCCGCACACTCCGGCCTTGCACTCATCAACCTTGCAACTTCTTTATGCGCCTGCTTTCTTCACATTGCCTCCCGCGGCTTCCCGCCGGCGCCCTCCCGTCCTGCTCCTCCCCGGCCATCTGCCGTCAGAGCTCCAGATATCCAGAGCTTCGGCTCCGTGCGTAACTGCATTACGACATGGCGACGCCGCCCGGCGGCTCCGCGGCGCCCGCCCGGCCCAGCAAGGCCAAACGGAGAGCCGTGAGAGCGTGCCGGTTCTGCAGAACCCGCAAGGTGCGTTCCACCCTTTGCCTCCCCGCGTTATCTCCCTGGAGGGTGCCGATGACGGCGTCACGACTTGCGGGGAAGCCTCCAGACGGAAACAGTCTCGGTCTGACACGTCACGTCTCCCATACCCCAGATCAAATGTAATGCGGAGGAGCCGGTCTGCGCCAATTGCAAGGTATATGGAAAGGATTGCGTCTATGAGCCCATCCACGCCGGCGGCGAGACCGAGCCCCGGGCCCGGCGAGCCTCCAAGCACCACCGTGATGTCGTCGAGAGCGCCGAGCCGGCCTCTCCCCACGCGGAGAACACCAAACATGACGATGATCCTGCCACTCCGACGCCGCCAGTCGCGACCACAGCAACCACCGACTCGCCTCCCCCCTCATCCAACGTAGCCGGCTCTGCAGGCCCGGAACATCAGTCCCCACAACCGGCGGCCATGCCAGGCAACCCCCGGGTCTCCCGCATGGTCGACTCTGTCAACGGCTTACCCAGTTATCATGGCCGCACGAGTGCACTTTTCGAGGAGACGGGAGGTGATCGTGCTGCGGCTGGGGCGCCCAGAGCTGTGATGCCTGATGACTGGATCGAGAAGGGGCTTGTGGCAGACGCCACAAAGCAGCGTAAGTGTAGTGAAATTGGAGCTTGAGACGGCTTGTGCTCCTGCTGACGTTGCTGAAGGACAACTCGAGGAGGTCAACTACAGGCTGGGACGTCTCGACTTTGATGGGTTGGACCCTGAGCTTGGAATGCACTTGCTGTCTTTGCATTGGTAAGTTCCTATCGCTCTGCCTCCGGACCTCTGTTCGTCGGGAAGGCAACAAGTTGCTGACAGGCTTGTGTAGGAACCGTCAACACCACTCCTTCTTGGTCACCTATCGTCCTGCCTTCATGCGCGACATGGCATGTGCTGGGCCATACTTTTCGAAACTGCTACTCAACGCCATCTACTTTGGAGCGTCAAAGTTCAGTCCCCGAACTGAGGTCCGTCGGGATCCCAAAGATGTTCGCACTGCAGGCTGGAAGTTTCGCGAACGTGTCCGCGAGCTCCTCGGCCAGTGTCTCGACCGCAGTGAGATCACCACAATCCAGGCACTGCTCATCATGACCAATTCATTGTTCGCGCTCGGCGATGAGCGGAGTGCGGCGTGGCTGTATGCGGGAATCGCTTTTCGGATGATTATCGATCTAGGCATGCACGTGGACGCTTCAGAACTGACAAGCAGCCGACGAGGCAGCGATGAAGATCTTGAGATTCGTCGGCGAGTATTTTGGGGGGCCTTTGGTAAGCTCACCCCGTCCGTTCACATGACTCCTTGAAGCGCCGATCATGAAGAAGATTTGGACGTTGGCAAGCTAGCCTTACTAATGCATGGGCAATAGTTGTCGACAAGATCCAGAGCCTGTATCAAGGACGACCTGTCACTTTGAAGGAATCAGACACCTTGGTTCCCATCAAATTTCTGGACTCATACGAGGAACTCGAGTACTGGAAGCCTTTTGCTTACACGGCTCAGTCAGACGCGTACCCAGGCTCTCCTGCGTACAGCGTGTCGACATTCACTGCGTTGTGTCGGCTGTCAATCATCATGAGCGATATTTTGAGCTCGATATACGCAGAGCGCAGCTTCGATCAGCCGGCGCAGGATCTGCGAAACTTGCAGGAGAAGATGCATGATAAGCTGAGCAAGTGGCGAGAGTCCCTACCAGACCATCTGAGCCTTACCAACAGCATCGATACCGAAAAGGCGCCTCCACCTCATGTGTTCAGTCTTCAGTAAGGTCCCTACAATTTTCATGCCAAGGGTCTTTGAGTCTGTGAATAAGGCTAACAGTCTATACAGTGCCATGTACCACGTCCTACTCATCCTCCTTCATCGACCTTTCGTAGCCGACGGACATCTTTTCAGCACGATGCGTACTGCCTCGGTGAACGCGTTCATGTCGTGTGCGACAGCGGCTTCCGAGATTGTCCGCCTCGTGCGCATCTACCACCAAGCGTTCTCTGTCAGGCGCGCCCCTTACCTCATTTCCTACGCAACCTACGTGGCTGCCACGGTGCATGTGCGCATTGCGGCCACCCGCGACGCCAACTCTGGTTCATATGCCAGCCTGGAGACATGCCTGGCGGTCTTTATGGAAAATTCCGAGACCAATTCCGCGGTCCAGCGCGCGAGTGCGATTGTCAAAAACTTGATGACCCGGTTCGGCGTGACGCTCCCGGAAGGACATCGCCCCGAGATTGGTGACGCCAGCATCAAAGAACCTGCAGAGGGAATGACGGCGCCGCGAGCGAGTCGCAGACCTGCAGCGGTCACATCACAATCGCCAATCACCCCGCAGACCGATGCGAGCCCAGGCGCCGCGCCGGGCAGCAATTTGGACATTGACCAAATCATCCAGAGCTTCAACACCAGGACAACGGACAACTACCAATTTGCACAGCCTATGCAATGGCGCAACCAGATGCCGGGGGACACACCATCTTCTGATCACCAAGGAGGCGGCGACATGAGCATGAACAACATGTCATCTGGGCCCTACGGCACGCCCAGTGGACACCAGCAGTTTGTCGCACACAACATGGACAACCAGCAAGCATATTATGGCAACTACGGCGGCTGGCCGGCGACGCCGAATAACGCCGTTTTTGGACAGGACGATCCTTTGTTCGGCTTCAACGGAGCTGCCCTCGACCAGTTCTCACATCCGGGTGTGTTCTACATGGGCGAGATGTAGCGGCTCAGAGGCTCATTTAGCAACTGAGCTCGGTGGGTGGGGAGTGGATCCCGGTCCGACTCACAATCCCGCGGGGCATGCTTCCCTCCCGGGGCTCCACAAATTTGCGCATCCGTCGGCGTACCCTAGCTCCCACGGGAAGCCCACTTACGGGGGCCGCGAAAACACCACGGGACTTGTTCTCAGTTCCCCAAGTTCGCAAGCCTTTCGCCGCACGTCATACGTCCGAGCCGAGAATTCCCAGGGCGGTCGCCAGGCCATTTATGCACCATGCCCCCTCCTGTCGCGTGAGGATTCTTTTTGGTAGGTGGGAAAGCATAGGCAGTGTAACCTGAACGACATCCACATCCAAGTCGGCCCGTTACCACTTACACACATAACGACAACCCGTACCAAAACCCAACAACCCAACGACACAAATTCCAGATTTCAATATGGCTGTAGGAGTATCCCACAACGCGAGGAGGGTCCGGAAGGCCTTCCCGGCAGTTCTCATGCGAGCCGGTACCTCCAGAGGCCTCTTCATTCAGCGGCAATACCTCCCCGAGTTCACAGCAGACTGGGCGCCTCAACTGCTCGCCGCGATGGGTTCTGCCGACTGTGACAAGCGGCAGATTGACGGCGTTGGTGGCGCCACCTCGACAACATCCAAGGTTGCAGTGGTAGGGGTTAGCCAGCTGCCCGGCATCGATGTCGAGTACACCTTTGTCCAGGTTGCTGTAGGCTCCGCAGCGATCGATCTGAGTGGCAGCTGTGGAAACATGGCTTCTGGCGTCGGTCCGTTTGCTGTCCAGGAGGGCATGGTCAAGGCGGAGCCGGGCGCAACGACGGTTAGCTTTGGCAACTCCCACCTTCACAAAATAGCTTCTTGCTAATGACATTCTAGGTGGACGTTCGTATTCTTAACACAAACACCGAGCGCGTCATCGTCGAGACGGTCCAGCTCAACGAGTTTGGCGACGTGGAGGAAGACGGCGACTTCAAGATTGCAGGCGCGCAGGGTTCCGGAAGCGAGATCAAGGTCAGCTTCGTCGAGCCGGCGGGCAGCATGACGGACAAGCTCTTCCCCACAGGCCAGCGCCGTGAGATCATTACCGCCGACGACCCCGATAGCACTGACGGCGCAACATTCTCGGTCGAGGCGACGCTTATCGACGTGGCCAACCCATTTATCCTGGTCGACATCCGGACCATGCCTGATGGCGTGCGGGAGCTCAACGCCGGCTCCGAGAAATTCATGAGATATGCCGAGGCCATCCGCAAAGTTGGCGCTGTACGCATGGGCCTCGCCAAGTCCGTCGAGGCTGCGGCCCTGGTGCGGGGCACGCCCAAGGTCGCCATGGCTCTTGCTCCTGTGGTGGATGAGCAGAACGGTCAGGCCTCTGACGCCAACATCCAGGCGTTCAGCATGGGCAAGCCGCATCCGACGCTCCAGATTACTGGTGCCGTGTGTATTGCGGCGTCAGTCAGCATTCCCGGTACGGTGACTGCCCGTCTCCGTTCTGGGACCAAGTCCTCGGCGGCCCAGCTCCCCGAGACACCACTGAGCATGAGCAGTGCTTCGTCAGACGGCGAGGCGGAGGATGCCGGCCCCAGAAGTGATGCGGCCCCACGCAAGGTGACCGTTGCGCGGCAGGTTATTGTGCAGCACCCGACGGGCACGATTGAGATTGAGGCACAATTGACGTTTGGTGGCGGCAAGGGCGTGGACGAGGAGGTCGTTGTGGACAAGTGCACTGTCTCGCGGACGGCGCGGAGGATTTTTGAGGGCAAGGTGCTGTATTATGCCGAGGCGTAAAAGTTGCGAGGGGCATATTTGGGATTTATTACGGCATTTGGCATATTCATGAGCGTTATGATATCAATTGATTTTGTCGGTTTTCAACCAATGTCTCTGCCAGTACTAGTTCTCATGATTTGTGAAATGTGGACAGCCTATAATCAGTTGCAACCCAGCAAAGCTATTCAGTGAGCTATGATGCCGTTTGGGAATGGGTTGTCCCCAGATCGAGGTCGAGCTAACCCAGAAAGGGAGTCATAAGGCGACGTCCTGCACTGGCTGATTAAGTCAAGTCCTCTACGATGTGCGCCTGGCCCATGTGTCTCTGCTTGCTAGGCTAGCGGCTCTACTGCGAGACTGGCAGGGCAAGGACACGGGAGGCACGGCGACGAGTGTCATCACGCGCACTCGGCCCCTCGCGCTCAGAGGAGGAGGAGCTTTGCAGTGGGCCGTGGGCTGCGTCTAGTCGGGCCGTGCTTGAACTGCATGGAGTCCTGACGGGGCCCCCCCTCTGGAGACGCCGGGCAACCTCATTCGAAGGGGAGAAAAAAAGGGAAGATCCCGCGGAAGTGTAGTGACGACCGTTGAGCGAGCACACTCAGTGGTCAGCTGCGAGATCCCGCGGGACGGGAGCAGGCCAGAGTGGGCTGGACCCGGGGGTCTGGGCCGCATGTGGCCAATGAACGGGCGGCAGGGGGGTCCAGCCTGTGGCACCGGCATCATCAGCGCAACCCACACACGGGCACGCGAGTCGTGTGGGGCCATGGGCTGGCCTCCCTGGGCCGATTGATTGCCCTGTGGGGTCCCCGCAGAGCGCACGCCGGCGCCTGCTTGGGGTCGCCGTGGGGGATTTGGGGAAAGGGACCGCCGCCTAGAATGGCACACGCGGGAAAAAAAGACATAAAGACCAGGGCGGCGGCGCCGTCAGTCTTGGATTCAGCTTGGCCAGCACTTGGCAGCCTCTCAGACTCTCTCAACTGGGCAGGACAAGCTTTTACCAAGACACCTCCAAGAGCACCCAAGAGCACCCAAGAACGCCCAACATCCGTCGGTTGCTGCCTCTGTTGCACATCTCAGCTGCCTCTTCGCCCTTGGCACTGCAGCCTCGTTCTTGGCCGATCCTTGGCCCACTCTCTCCCCAAATCAGACAGATACAGACACACCTCAAAGTCGCAGTCCCAAGCCGCCGCAATGAAGGCCGCCAAGCTCAACATCGACATGGGCATCCCCGCCCCCAAGGAGGTCTACAACTGGCGGGTGTACATGCTGGCGCTCGTGGCGAGCATGGGCGCCGTCATGTTTGGCTACGACCTGGGCTTTATCGGCACCGCCCTCGAGCTCGAGTCGTTCCAGAAGGACTTTGGCACTCTGCACGCCTCAACCTCTGAGAAGTCGGCCTTTGCCGCCAACGTCGTCTCCCTGCTCCAGGCCGGCTGCATTGTCGGCTCCCTCGCCATCAGCCCCGTCTCGGACAAATGGGGCCGCCGCTTCGCCCTTCTCATGACTGCACTCTTCTACAATGTCGGCTCCGCCATCCAGACCGGCGCCCACGGCTCCACGGCCCTCATGCTCGCCGGCCGCGCCATTGGCGGCGTCGGCGTCGGTGCGGCGTCCATGATTGTGCCCCTCTACATTGCCGAGGCGGCTCCCCCACACATCCGCGGCACGTTGGTCGGCGTCTACGAGGTCGGCGTTTCTGCGGGCACCATGATTGGCTTCTGGATCAACTACGGTCTCAGCATCAACCTGCCTGCAACCTCGACCCAGTGGATCATCTCGTTTGCCGTACAGCTGATCCCCGGTGGCCTGCTCATGGTCGGCCTCATCTTCCTCCCCGAGTCTCCTCGCTGGCTCGCCCGCGCCAAGGGCCGCGAGGCCTGCGTCAGCGTCCTCGAGAACATCCGCAACATCCCCCGCGACCACCCCTTCCTCCTCGAGGAGGTCCACGGCATCTTCTCCCAGCTCGACCACGAGCTCGAGACCGACTCGGGCCACGGCTTCATTGACACGCTCCGCGAGATGGGCAAGCCCGGCAACCGCAAGCGGCTCCTGTCCGGCTCCCTCATGTTCATATTTATGCAGATGGCCGGCTCCAACGCCATCAACTACTACTCGCCCGCCATCTTCAAGTCGCTCGGCCTGACGGGCACCAACGTCTCCTTCTTCGCCACGGGCATCTACGGCCTCATCCGCTTCGTCGCCATCCTCATCGCCATGCTCTGGGTCGTCGACCGCTTCGGCCGCACCCGCACCCTCATGTGCGGCTCCGCCGTCATGGCCTTTGCCATGTGGTTCATCGGCGCCTACGTCAAGGTCGCCACCCCGGGCGCCCAGATCAACTCGGGGGGCTACGCCGCCGTCGCCATGATCTACATCTACGCCATCGGCTGGTGCTTCTCCTGGGCGGGCATCCCCTGGATCTACGCCTCCGAGATCTTCCCCCTGCGCATCCGCTCCAGCTGCGTCGCCGTCTGCGTCGCCATCCACTGGATCATGAACTTTGTCATTGCCCGCAGCGTCCCGTACATGATCACAAACATCAGCTACGGCACGTACTTCCTCTTCGCCGCCTTCATGACCATCGCCATCCCCTGGGTCTGGTTTTTTGTTCCAGAGACTAAAGGGCTCAGCCTCGAGGACGTCGACCAGCTCTTTGGCGTCCCCACTGAGCCGCACCTGTTCACAGAGAGCAAGGCCGCCGAGGCGGGTGCCGGTGGCAGCGCCACACAGGTCGAGGATGCTGGCCAGAAGGTTTAAGGAGTTCAAGATTTAAAAATAAAGTACCACAGCATGGTTCAGGGATTGGGAATCAACTTTTGCACAGGGGCTGCCAGGATTTGGAAAGGCGTCCCAGAGGTCACCCATTTTGGCTTGGAGAAACTAGAATAGTCCAGCCGGCGTTTTTCTGCTTGATTTACGAGGAATGAAATTCAATCCATTTATTGAACAAAACACGAATCTGGCATCATTGCATCTCGATGAAAGTGAATCCCAAATTGGCACGAGTGCGCGTCACCGTGGGGGCTGGAGCAATCCAGATTCATGGTGAGGTAAAGGACTTCGTTTAGTCTCGCGACGCCGGAACGCTTTCGCCACGCATGTTCCCAGCCAAACGCTAAGCTGGGGTGGAAGAAACCTTCAGCACCTGAACAGACCAGGTTTGAGTCAGAACTGCCTTACCGGGTAAGCTGCCGTATGTGTGCTTTTCTTTGCTGTCAGGCCGTAAGATAGCGTGCCCGCTAACAGTCCTTTTTGGGATAACCAAGGGACAGCGGATTCGGGGTAAAGCCCCCCTGACTCGACCGGCATGAAGCATCAGATAATGCGGGGTGCTTGACCTCCACGTGATTGATCCCTGTGCCAATCCAAAACCTTCGGACCAATGCCTCTTGCACATCACCGTCCCGCGCAACCATGTCCACACCGGATGGGACAGGCGACACCGACAGAGCACAGAAGCCGCTCATCTGCGGGCGTTGCGGTTGCAGATTCTCACGCCCCAGCCATCTGCGGCGCCATCAGCAGACCCATCTTCCTTTGCAGCGCAAGAGCCTGTCCCCGTGCCCCCAGTGTGGGCGAACCTTTTCCCGCAAGGATGTGCTGTTAAGGCACCTGCGCGGCGCACATCAGGTCCACATCGCGACCAAGCAGTCCGCCCAGAGGTCATGCTTCCACTGCGTGGACAAGAAGCTCAGGTGCGATCGAGGGCGGCCATGCCAGTCCTGCTGCCATGCCGGGGCTGAATGCTCCTACGTGGGCTCCAGACCACTTGCCGAGGATGATGGTATTCAGCTAGGGCAAGAGCTCACCAGCTGCCCATCATTCCCAGAAATGCCACCTTCGCCATTGGAGTTGGGATCCAGGTCGCCAGCACTAGACACGCCAGACTCAACGACTGGCACGGGCACTCTATCCCAGCCCAGTTCAATCAAGCCGCGGTTCGCGGGTAACCCATGTGCATTATCCGACCAACGAGACCTGGGACTACATACGCCGTTCGCCGGAGCAACGGCCAAGAATATCGACTACCTGGGTCTAGGTAGTGCTTCCGCCATGCCTTCCTTGGGCTCGCTCGTGCAGCCAGACCTCCTCACCAGCGCCTTCAACTGGCTGGATTTTGATGTGCCGGATATGGATATCGATGATTCGGTCATCATCCCCGACCCAAGTCTTTCGCCAGTGGCGGTTTGGTCTGAATATCCCGCGTATCTCAACTCACATCGGCAAGAAAGTCCAACGCAACAGCCTCCGGCATACCTTTGCAACGCCAACCAGTCGGCCGCTCCCAGAGAATCCGTCGGCATGGCATACAGCACCAGGACAGCACGTAACGGTCCGCTGTCAAGGGCAAGAGAACCACAGCAGCCCACGCAGTCTTGGCCTTTTGACCAGGCGCAAGATCTGTTGTCGCAAAGATATCTGCTGCCACCGTTGAGAGAAGTCCTTGAGAATACCTACCGATCGGATCTCCACGGCAGGGATGCTGCGCTGCGAGGTCTAGTTCACCTCTTTTCGGAACCGTACTTACCGGATCCCAAGCAGCACCAAGACGCTGTGGCGGCTCAGGCTACTGCTCTACTGCGACGTCTGCTCGATTTATACTTCGCGAAATTTCACAACATCCAACCTATAATTCACCTATCTACATGGGAAATGACGACCTGCCCCACGGTCTTGCTGGCTGCCATGGCGTGTGTTGGTGCCCTGTTGTCCAACGACCCACCGGATCACGATCTGGCAACTTCGCTCGGCGAGATATGCCTTCCACTGATCACATGGCATGGTAGTCAACGAAAAGATCGATCAGACAGTGGAAACGCCGCAGCAGAAGCCAGCCAGAATCGATTGCGCCATTCTAAACCTACACAGCACATGTCCACGACCTCGGCAAACTATGGGGACATCTCATATCTAAACGCCATGTGTCTCCACCAGATCTACTCGCTGGGCTCTGGAAACCGCCAGCTCTACCAAAACGCGGACCGGTCGCGCGGGAACCTCATAGGCAGTCTCAGGGGCATGGGCCTCCTAAGTTCGAACCTGGCCGTTGGCAATCACAGTGGCCCGGGCACAAACACCTTGAGCCAAGCTGATCCTTCCACCTTGTACTCGGAGTGGTCGGCTTGGATCAGCCGCGAACAGGAGCGCAGAACAGCCTGGGCATCTTTCGAGTACGATTGCAGCCTCTGCACCCTCACGAGCCGTCGAGGTGCAGTAGACCTAGGCGAGCTGCCGCTCTTGCTACCCTGCTCAGAAGCGTTGTGGGATGCACCCTCGCCTCAGGTCTGGGTGGCGCTCAGATCCCGAGCCACACGGCAATCATTTGGTCCGGCACTCTTCCCGATCATAAAGGCCACGCTGGCAGGCAACAAGGTTCCAGAGTACCTCGGAACCTGGGCTAAGCGACTGTGCTGCCAAGTCATCGGGCGCTTGCTGTGGGACCTCAAGCAGCTTGAAATCATTGCCATGCCGGAGCGTTTCGGGCTGAAGCCACTGCTAAACGCACACGAGCAGTCCAAGTCGTCCTTACTGAGCGCTCTCGACAATCTGCTTGGGTCCATGGACGCTCCTCGAACGACCGCGGAACTGATCAGCTACAAGTGAGTTTTTTGATTCGTCGAGCAGAGGATGGATGTCAATTCTTCCACGCGGCGCTAACGCTATCACCCAGCATCTCCGGACTGCTTTGCCACTACTCACATCTGTACGCAGCTGAGGACATCATGGACATTGTCGTCTACATTGTGCGCAAGGTCATATCCCAGGATCCCAGGGATGGTCCAGATCTCGAGTCCGCTCGGCGACGTCTGCGATCTGCCTTTAGTAGAGACGCCCCAAAGGCACGCAAGCTGGTGTGGCACGCGGCCCAGATCGTCGCCACCGCCAACGAGTACCTGGTCTCCGCGCCGTGCGAGATCATGCGCGTGTTCATGGGGTACATCTACATTATTGCGTTTGCTGAGCATGGCCCGCCGACTGGTGAGGCAGCAGCAGCTGCTGCCGATCAGGCCCCTGGCGTTCGGCTGGATATCCCGAATCACCACGACGCAGGCACGGAGGAGGAGGAGCGTGTCACTATCGACATAGCTCGCTGGATCGAGCACGGCGGCCCTGCAGGCTTGGGCAGGGTCAGCAACCTCTGCCGCGGCAGCGGCAGTGGTTGTGTATCGCTTCTGAGCCAGGATGCGCAGGCTATGCTCTCGCAACTCAGCTGCTGGGGTCTGGCTGGCAAGTTTATCAAGATCCTGCAGACACTGGCAAGCACCGGCATCTAGGTCTGAGGGAGCTCGTCCGCCGAATAGCGGTAATTAATATACATCAATAAAAGGAACACTTCACGCGCGTCCAGGATCCAATGCTGAAAATCCATATTTCCTTCTGCTAGCTATGATACAGCAAGTATTGCCACGCAAGATTCCATTGGCTTCGAAACATTACGCACGGGTCTCGTACTAGTACAACTCCCTTAAAAGATCGCGATGCAGTTGGGCGGACTGCTAACGCCACCTGGCATATTCAACGGGGCAGACGTGACGAAGAACTCCCAGCGCTTCTCCTCCTCACATATCCTGCTCAGCTCTTCCAAGTCAAAAAGCTCACCCACAGGCATACCCCAGCCAGCGAGCAGGTATTCGTGCATGAACAAGCCGGGCACATCGGGAGCGTGCCTTCGGGGATAAGACTTTTGTGGCGGATACACCTCAAAGGAGATGGCGTCACCGGCCACGGCCGCGAAGCCTTCGTTCCAGATCCACCGAAGCATCTCCTCCGTCCCCTCGATGCCAGCGTGCTGTGGATTGGAGCTCTCAGCATAGGCCAGCTTTTCCGCCGGGGACATCTGCACATCCCATGCCCTGGTGACGCCTATTCTGACAAATAGGATGTCTCCTCGCCGGAACCTGACGCCCTCTTCCCGTGCGATGTCCAGGAGTACATGCAGCGGCACGGCGTGCTCGGAGAACGTGCTGTACGCGATGCCGTGCCGCTCGGCGTACGCGACATAGTCGAGCAGGACGCCGCGCCCGCATATGCCCTCGCGCGCCCAGTGCTGCAGGCCGATCCGGGCGTCCCTGCGGTCCTGGATCTCGCCGGCCGTGGTCCCGCCGTAGAAGAGACGACGCCGAGAAGTGCCGCAGGCCGTCCCACTGTGACGACTGCTGCGGGTTGAAGATGTAGACGTCGTCGTACGCCAGGCCCCCGAGCAGCGAGATGATGTGGTGCTGCGTCGGGGCCCGGTTGAAGTTGGCCACGTCGAGCTTGGTCAGGTCCCAGTTCAGCGCGACCCGGCGGCCTGAGCGGATGCACGAGGACGCGGCCGCAGCGACGACTTCGGGGGTGAGGATCGCGAGCCGTCCCAGACCTTCTTCTCTGGACCCCGGCTTGCCCTTCCAGACGCGCCGGGGGTCCAACAGAGAGTCGAAATCAGGTTCGAGGCGTTGAGCCTTGCCAGGGGCGGCGACGGCGGTGGCATCTGGTGTTGAACCCATGCCTTCTCAGTGTTAACATGGGCAGGAAAACATGGGTTGGTTCGATTATCGAGTCAAACGGGCCGCCAGTGCGTCGGGGAAGTTTCTAGTAAGAGTGAGATAGAGCATGCGAGGGGGAGAGGGCTCAGGCCCAAAGTCAAAGGGAAGGGACCTCCCCACTCCCATGCCAATGACGACTCTCTTTTGGATAATGCTAGTCGTGGTTTCCTGGGGACCCCGCGCTCAAGGGAGGTAGTTGCTGGGGAGGCAAGAGATGTGGCTGCTGCTCCAACGTCCTAGTGTTGCCAAGGATAGACCAACAGCGCCGCACGCGCCGGACGTACCGCCGGAGGTCCCCGCTGATCTGCGTTTGCGGAGGTAGGTAGCTGGACACATGTCGAGCAGCAGGGCCGCACCTGTTGAAAGTCTTTTGCCAAGTAGATTGCTCATGGTCAGCCCGTAATACCATTCGTACCTCGGCACGTTCACGCTCTTCTAGCTTGTGGCGGTCCACATGGGAGATGGTTAATCTCTAACGTCATAGGCGCATTATGCGAATTTAGAACGTTCGCTCACTTGCGGTGATCAGGACCTTGCGATTTGGGGGAATACAGCAATCATACATGGAGTACATCTCTGCCTGTGCCTGAAATACCGATGGTCCATAGCCCTCGCCTCACCTCGATATCTGCCAATGAAGCATACCCGCTTGAGCAATAATCTCCTAGACCCTGCTGCTGTTACCAAACCCGGACGAGTCTGCCTCTTTCTGCTCCACGCTTCCAGTCTTCGCCGCGGCAGCATCGTCGATGTGGACCACGTCCGCGCTCTTCAAGAAGTCATCCAGGTCCCTCCGCTGTGCCTCGGAGATATCGGTCACATGAACCGCAACGTCATCTCCGAAGCGAGCAGAGATTTCTTCGAGGGACAACTTCGCCGTCTCGGGGAAGAAGAAGTAGACGATGGGGATGAAGAATATGCACCATACGATGATGACGAGGTAGTACTTCCAGCCTACGTTGACGATCCCGACCGGTGCCGTCTGTAAGAGGATAATGGTAGAGGCGAACTGGCCAAAGAGCGAGAAGCCCATGCCGATTGGTCGGATCTCGGTGGGGAAGATTTCGGAGACGTAGATGTACATGGTCGTGTCGCATCCGGTGCTATACATCATGTTAGTTGTCTTGAGAAGACTAACGAGCAGGAGCAAGTCTGATTTACCCTTGAAAGGCCAGGTAGAGGAAGACAAAGAAGACGCCAGCAGCGTTGCCGGCCTTGTTGTCCGTGCCGGCATACTGGGCCACGCAACCCGCCAGCCCGCTCGTGGTGATCAGACATCCGAAAAGACCAACGAGGAACATGCCGCGCCGTGAGTTGACCTTGTCATGGAGCCAGGCACCTAACGGATTGTATATAACTCCTGAGAGAGCGTGTGTCAGTCATGGAGGTTTGCAATCATGACGTAGGGAACATCGTCGTACCTGCCGTCGTGAGCCACAAAGCGGATAGCAGCAGCGGCATCGAGCCGGTCTGGCCCAAATTGGTGTACAGGATCACCGAGTAATTGTTCTGGAGCATGTCATATTAGCTCTCTGGTCATATATGTTCGACGATGGAGAAGGAAAAGACCTACAATGACGAGCGGTCCAGCAAACTCGGCTCCCCACTGTGTCAGAAAGCCGATGATCATCCTCTTGCGGTAGCTCTTCTTCTTGATGACGGCAGTCCACGGCCCACAACCAATTGCCTTGAGCTTGGCCGCATCCAGTGCGATCTGCTGACGCACCTGATAGATCTCCTCGAGCGCTACGAGATCGCGCGGGTCGTCTGGAGACCGTCGCAGGTTCTGAATCACCTCCCAAGCTTCCTCAATCCGGCCCTTTTGCAGCAACCACCTCGGCGACCGAGGGATCCAGATGGAAGTGACGAGAAGCACGAGCGGAGCGAGGCACTGCATGCACAGCGGGAAGCGCCAGGCAAAGGCTGGGGAACTTGCGGTGGCGAAGTAACAGGCATACCCGAGCCAGCCTGACAGCATGTACCCGAAGACCAAAAAGATGGCATGATGGCCGACAAGCCAGCCACGTTTATTCGGCGGGGCTAACTCGCTCATGTACATGGGGCAGACTGTGACGAGGATGCCGATACCAAGGCCAGAGATGACCCGACCGACCTGGAACATGCTGTTCGAGCTGGTGAGACTTGGAGGGGCCAACGCGGGGATAGACCCCTAAAAGGCGAGGGAAGCGGTGGGACGAATCCCAATGCTTGACTTACGGCAGGTTGGCTGCACCGCCCTGTAGTGCGCCGCCGATGAGGGCCAGAGCTGCCCCTATCTGGATCGAAACTTTTCTGCCCAGAGCTGTGGCAGCCCACATGATGAACAAGCTGCCAACCGCTCCACCAGCGCTGTACAGCCCGTTGGCAGTGGCAATGGCTTCGGTGGTGATGGTTGCATAGCCGGGCTCACCCTGCATTGGCAGGTTGAAGAACTCATACCAGCCGGGCTGGCCAATGGTGCTGCCAATCACGGAAGAACAATAGCCATACGTCTCAACGTCAAGTCAGCATCTAAAATGCCTGGTAGTGGGGGCAGGGTGAAAGTGGCGGCGACTTACTAGCGAGCCAAAAGCGACGGTCACGGTGACGAGCTTGTTGTATGGGCTTGTGCGCTTGGAGCGCGGAGGTGTCGACGAATCCATCTTGAAGACTGTTGCCTGATGGGATAGATCGTCTAGGGACGGTGAAGCCAAAGACAACAAACGGCTCGAGCTGCTTATGATTTCTGAAGCATGGGATTTAAGTTCGTGGAGACACTCTGCGGGGAATCCGGGACCCCAGCTTTGTGGCGTGTGCGCGCTCCCGCTCCCTGGTCCTCCAGGGATGACAAGCTTCTTTTTTTTCCCCTATGGTTTCCCCCCAAGCTCTGCTTCAGTAGTGGCGGGACAAGCGACGCTGTGGGCTCTGACGAACCACAGACAGTTTCATGTGCGCCGCCGCTAACTCCGGCATGGCACTTCAGAAGTTCAGCCCGGAGCGTGCCACTCTGGTGGCGGGGCTAATCCTGTTCTGACCATCCTTTCCAAGTCCCGTTAGTAGCTTTCAGAAGGCCTTTAGTGATCGGGCTGTGTCCTATGTCGACGAGGCCTTGTCTGTATGGGTTATACGCTAATCCCAGATACATTTCCACATTTCCACGCCTAATTCTCCATAGGCGGATTTAGCTTCACTTTCATTTTCCCAGCCAGCATCGCACTTAGATAACGCCAGTTGCTTGTGGGTAAAATGGTGGGTACATAGTCATGACATTTAGCATTTGTGTACGTTGGGCCAAGCTCACTTACCATTTGGTACATATATTTATTCTCCATTTAGGCTCGTTTGTAAGAGTGAAAGCATGTTCACCTTTTTGGTCACTGGAGATTGACGAAGAAGTCATTCCATCGAGCGTCGGATGCTTCAAAACCTATTTTCTTCCTACATGCACGCTGACTTGGGCCTGCCTTTATCATATGACCAATCCAAGTAGCAAACAGGACGCCGGCCTGCTAGTTTGATCGTCCTCCAGGCTCCCGTCTGATATAGTCCACATACCAAGGGCTCGCTAGGACGTGCCCAGTATGACCCTCCTGGCGAATAACCAGGTCCGGATCAATGCACTCCTCTAGCAGGGGCCGCAAGGCCTTGTTGCAGATTCCCTCAATCTTGAACCGGTTCAGCGATCGGAAACGTCCCAGGACCCTGACGAATGCCGCATCTCCATCGAGGACGACGCAACCAGCAAAAGTTCCTGGGTGTTTGATAATGAGCTGCTCTTTCTCACTCCGCCACCTACTCCACACGTCCATTGTGCGCGCCTCCTCAATCAGCACGGGCCGGCGCCGTTTCCAATCGCGACGGTTGTTCTGGTACGTGCGCGCCGGGAGGCACTGCTGAATCTCGGCATAGTAATGGAAAACAATCCGGAGGCACCTCAGCGCGGCCGCGTTGTGTGCTAGGAAGTCGAGCGCAGCGACCCAGCGGTCCCGCGCGGCCGGCGAGACCAGGGCATCGATCTTGAGCACCAGCGAGCTGCATAGCAGCAACGCCGGCGGGCACGAGTCGATTGTCGTCCGCCGCCGCCCCGCGAGCGTCGTCCTCTCGAGGAACTCCAGCGGGAACATGGCCACCCAGTTGCCGTCTCCAGCGGTCAGCGCCGGGGAGCGCGCGTCACGGTGCCAGAGCTGGGCAAAGGGGCTGACCATGATGACATGCGAGGCGTAGAGCATGGACGTGAACTCACGGTTCACCTGCCTGCACGTGCTCGCGAGGTGGGCGGGCGGCGTCGTCTGGATCGTGTGCCGCCACCGCGGGGCTCCGTTGCGCAGTACGTCTTCACGCTTGCGCCGGAGCCGGTCGCGGCGGGTGTTGGACTCGGGTGCTGCCGGCCAGAGCACGGGGACCAAGCGCTTCTCAACGTCGTACTTGCGGTGGACTACCAGGGCGTAGACTTGGTTGCGGACCTCTGCTGGCAGGTCCAGGAACGACCGACGGGTTTGGCTGTTGTGGTCCCTCATCTTGACGTTGACAGCATAAGCTTACGCTCGGTAGCAGATGGCGGTTTGGGAAGCCATGACGAGCCTTAATCTGCTGGATTAAATGCCCTGGATATGGTGTTGGCGAGAGCAGCTTGTGATGCACCGGCATAATCGCGGAGAAGGAAATTAGTGAGTCATTTGACCCTGGGCCCTTGAGCAGCCGCGTGCCCACCCGCCACGGCCGTCTTACACATAATTTCCAATACTACAAAGTTCCACAACTGGCCGCGTTACTCGGGTGCCCGAACCGTGGAGGAAATGATTCAAGGACTCGCTGCAGAAGAACACCAAGGCCAGCATGGTCCAGCTATTGCTCCATGGACGCAGGCGATCCTTTTTGCAACGATAATCATTACTGTCACGAGTTCCTGCACCCTGGTGACTGGATAACGGACTAGGCAGCCCGGTGTGCTCATGTCAAAAATCGCCCTGTTGAGTGGCGTGGTTTGCCAACTCACTGCGCAAAGACATGTGGAGGGAAAGTGTCTTCCGTTTGTGTGGACCTTATCTCGTCCAGGGATAGATGTCACTAACCCCTACTTACAAGACTTTACACTGCCGGATCAGTAGTTAGGTCCGTGACGACTAGCGAATCCCCGGTGTTGTACGTTTTGCATGCTGTTTTCTTTTTGGTTGCAAAGGGTGTGTATGATTCTTTCTTCATTGTAAACGTGGCCGAGAGATGGGGCTCGACTATTCTTAAAATTTCCGCTTGCAGGCTTCCAGTCGTTGACCCGCTATAGCTCCTATACTGACTATCAACCAGGGTATGCACCTTTAATCACCACTCCATCCGGTCATCGCACACAAGCCGCACGTCACCGCGCTGGTCTCCCTTCCAGACGTCCCTGCCAGAGTTGCAGGCGGCAACTATTGACTGCAAATCACTGAGCATGCCGCCAGGCCCGCTAGCAAACACAGTAGTCGAGCCGCGGATCGTGTTCGCCCGGAAGTCGCCGACGATCTTCTGCAGGTCGGGATGACGACCGTCCTTCTTGTTCTTCTTCTGCTGCTGCTGCTGCTGCTGCTGGCCGCCAAGCTTGTGCACGACGACCACCGGCGAAGAGTCTGCCCCTAGGCTGCTACTCGATCCGGAACATCCTCCCGTCTCCTTGTCGGCGACATCACTCGACGACGCTTCGCCCTCACCAGGAACTGTCTCCTTTTCCTCATCTGGCTCGCCCTCACCCTCGCGCGTGACAAAGATGTGGACGGCGATCCCGTGCGTCGTCTCTCCAGCAGCCTCGCGAAGCCGCGCGAGCTCTGGCGCGACCCACATCAGATCTTTCCTCCGCCGGACCGCCCAGACGAGCTCGATCCTCCTGCTTCTTTCTCCCACGTGAGACGGGGTGTTGTTGGGGGCTGCGGCGGCGGCCAGCTCGAGCAGCACGGGCAGGACATAGGTGATGCCCGTCCCGCCCGCGATGCACAGGACGTTGATGTCGGGCGTCAGCGTGGCGGTGATGGACTCTCCATAGCTGCCGGACAGGACGACCGGGGTGGTGTTGTTGGTGGGCTTTGCCGGGCTGGGTACGGGGGAGGCAGGGGCAGAGGTAGAGGCAGAGGCGGGAGTCTGCACGGTTTCTTCGTGCTGCGCCGCCTTCTTGTCATTCTCCTGCTGAGCGGCGGCCAACTGAGCGAGTTTTCTCGTCTCACCGGCCTTTGCGCGGATGATGTATGAGTGGGTGACGGTGCCGGCTTGGTCGAGACGAGGCAGGCTGAGCGGCGTGAACGGGTGCGACTGCCAGATACTGCACGCAGGGAAGCACAAGTAGAAATGCTGCCCGACGGCCCACGGGTCCTGGGAGAATTGGAAGTCGAGGCGGACCACGTCCCCGTGCTCGGCGTCCGGGAACAGCGTCATCTCGGCCTGTGCTGGGCGGAACCCCAAGCTCAGTGAGGAGGACGCCGAGACGAACTGGTGATGGACGAGGGCGGTGCGGGCCAGCCGGACGAGGCGGTCGAGGCCCCAGAGCAGCAGGGCGGGGATGAGGAAGCACGAGAGCTTGTCCCAGTGGCCGTACAGGGAGCCGATGTAGACCATGGCGAGGACGTAGTGCGCCTTGCGGAAGAACTCGTAGCCGGTCTGGCGGACGGCCCAGGGCGTGCTCAGCGCGAAGAGCACCAGGAGCAGAAACGTGGCGATGCACCCCCACCACATGTAGACCTCCTTGAAGAGCTGGAGCGGCACGTAGGGCTGGGGCTGGTACAGCTTGAGCTCGACAACGAGCCAGCCGGCCGTGTGCAACACCCCTTGCGCGACAATGATGTAGCCCAGCCACCGGTGCAGGAAGTTGAAGCTCTGGTACGGCAGGCCCGTCAGCACGCTCAGCAGCGACTCGCGCGACGACAGCATGATGGAGAAGGGTGTCAGGGCGTAAGCCAGGACGCCGACACGGTTCGACCACGGGCCGAGCGTCGTGCGCGTCGTGACGGTGCCCGGCTCGCTGTTCTTGGCCGCCGTGAACCACTGGCGGTACCACATGCCTGCGAAGGAGAAGACAATGAGGTAGGCGGCGATGACGGCGAGGATGAGCACCTGGAGGCGTGTTGTCCTGCCAAAGACGGCCCGCGTGGCCTCAGGAAGCAACCGTCTCCGGCAGGTGGCAGTAATGGCACTCCGCACTCGCCAGGAGGTCGCTGCTGTAGGGAGGGTCACCTCGGTGGTCTTCTCGACGTCGGCGGTGGTGATGATGGAACTGTTGCGGTGCCTGGGCCAGAGTCTCCGGCCAGAGGCCCAGAGGAGAAGGACGCCAAAGACGACGGAGTACATGATGCCGCAGTACAGCATACTGTAGTCGTGGGCTGCATACACGAGGTCGAGATACTCGCACGAGTCGCCGGTGCAAGGCAGGGCTCGGTCTGCATATCCCCAGTGTGGTTCGAGCTGCATGGCTGCGCTCATGTTTTGGATATGGCGCCCTTCGAGGGACTCCATGATGGCGGCCATTGTGATGACGCCACGAAATGACAACCTCGATTGCTGTGGGAGTCATGAGAGGAGGCCATGATTGTGAATGACCGGTCCGCGAGAGAAACATGGACGCGGATATATGTGCAGCAGGCCATTGTGCTCGTCGCTGGAGAAATCGATCTTCTTGATACACCTCAAGATCTTGGCAAGGTCCCCATAAGCGCTTTTGAGCAAGTTTCTGGCCAATGGGTGCGTCGCGAAACCAAAAGGTCCACTGAGATGCGCCAGCAATAAGCTGGGCACAAACTAAACCCCCCGGCCATTCTGCCTTCAATCTCTAAGAATGAACAGGGTGGACCTGTGGGATGGAAGGGTGCGCGACATGGTTTCATTTCCCTGGGTCTGTTATCTCCGTAGGATGTGGCGGCAATCGAGAAGGGCTTGGCATGGTTGCTGCTTTCACACTATCCCCAATCTAGCTCGCTTGTAACCACGAATTTCTTTGTTCGCACTCCAGTTCTTGTTGTCAAGAACACAAGCTAGAATGCAAGCTAATACCTGTCCTACTGATGCGTCATTAGTGCTGTCCAAGGCAGATGTATGGCACAGCCACCCCCACCCCGTGCGGCTGAGTGGTGGCCGTCTTTCTCTCCGTCTCTCGCGCTCGTGTCAGTGTTTTCCGTCCTCCCAAGGTAGCTAGCTATCATCGGGCGAAGCGACGCGAGACAGAAACATCTATCAGTCGCAGTCAAGACCGATGGCGTCCATCTGCGACTATGTGCCTCCCGAGTGGTTCGATATGACAGGCCGCGAACGACAGGGCGTCGGCACAACGTTTCCCTACTTCCCCGACCTCTACAACGGAGCATCCGACTACTACGGTCCAGGCACCTTGTTAGCCTGGTTTCTCCTTCTCGCCTCCTTCACTCTGACCTCTTTGTTCTGGCCAATCACAGTTCAAGGACGTTCGAAGGTACGGCAGCCAAGAATCACAGCAGACTTGATGGCTCTACTGTTTTACGTCATCTTTGCGGCGACGGACTTGCTGATTCAGACCGTCGGCATTCTGGGATTGCAAGGCCGCGCAAAAGCCCTCCTTTGCCTGCGGTACCCACACTTCAAGATCTGGCAGTCTGGACTTCCACAACTGGACAGAGATGACAGCGACGGCGATACCAGTCCGCTCCCATCACTCGGCGACATGTCGCCTGAGCTTGTGGAGTACGGCCAACGTATCGTCGCACTCACCGGCCCCTTGGCCGTCTGCTGCCTCTTCGTCGCGGTCGCTTTTGTGTGGTACCACATCTGGGACCAGCAGTGCAGAACGACAACCTCGACAAGACAGTCTCCAGGAGGGACCACGGTCGTGAAGTGGGAGCCGAACATGTGGCTCATGCGGCTTGTCGTTGGCGTCATCGGATACGTCTTGATCGTTTTGTCCGTCCATTACATCAATCTGGGCGCCGACGGCTTCGGCGAGAGCTGCATTCTCGCTATCCTCGAATTCGTCTGGCCTTTCTACTTTACCCTTAACTGCTTGTTCCCCTTACTCCTCCTCGTGTCATGCAGCACTCTCGCATGGGGAGCCTATTCCTGCGCCATCGCGGCCATGGCGTTGCTCTCCCCCAACACGAGCTCGAACACGATAGTGCAGCCAGCACGGGCGTGGGGCTTCGCGCTGTTCGTCGGCCCTGGCATGACCATTGTCGCAGTGTCCGGGATCTATACGGGCGTGACCATGACCAATGCCACGCTGCTCACAGATCTGGGAAAGCCTCTGGCGGAAAGGGGCCAACTCGGATCGCTTCTTGCCGGTATAGCTACCACGACGTTTTCCGTGTATGAAGCTTTCATAAGGAGATGCCTCGGATGAGAAGGCAGCGGGCCCTAGCACGGACAGCTGAGGACTTGGCAAGTCTCCTTCCGACGTAGGAGGACATCCATAGACCTTGAGATCATGGTGTTCTGCATTTTGCATCATCACGAAGCCTTGTCTTAGGCATAGCTGTGCATATACGGCTGGCTTCACTTTTGGGATTCCCGTGTCATTGTTGAACCATTGGAGCGTTAGCGTTAGCGAATCTTCCTCATTCTCGATGATTCTTAGATTATAGTCGTAGCCAAGGTTTTCGTCCGTGAAAGGGAATATTATTGAAGACAGTGTGGCAGAACGAGGTCAAGCTCGCTCCAAGCCGGCCGTCTTGCTCAGTCAGTTTTGCAAGATTTTGCTTATAAGCTATCTTCCGGGGTGTACATGTTCTTGAGGGTTACGTGCAGCAACACGGCGCAGATCCCCCGCATCTTGTTTGTGGAGTTGACTGGAAAGCGCTCCAATCGGAGCGGTCGTGTAGGGTTGCATCCGGCATTTGCGAGCATCTAGATGTGCCTTCACCATGGTGCAAGATTTCAACGCGGGGAACGCAGATCATTCAAGACTGGCTAAATAGAGCCATATTTAGCCGCTGGAAGTCCCGTCATTGGGGGTCACTGCGGCCGTCCGTGCCTTGTATAAAGAAGCATTGCATCTGACCATCGTTTCCACAAAGCGAAAAACCACTGTGACCCTCCTCGTGCCACATCGTGTCTTTGCAAAGTGTCAACCATGAGACTCTCTCAAAATCCTGTCAGGCACTACCTGTCTATTCTCTTGGTACCGCTCCTCACCGCCGCTGTGGTTCATGCCTTTACGAACCCTATCCGCCAGATCAACGGCAGTGACCCGCACATGACCTACCATAACGGGCAGTACTACCTGACCGCGACATCATGGAACGACGTCCAGCTCACAGCAGCTTCGACCATTGAGGGTCTAAAGACTGCAACACCCGTGGCCATCTACTCAGATAGGTCTAACCCGCGACGCGCGAGGAACTGGTGGGCGCCGGAGCTGCATTTCGTGCAGGACCGGTGGTACATCTACTTCACCACGAGCATTGACGATCCAGACTGGGCGGTCATGCTGCCGACACTGACGCAGTGGGTCCTCGGGGGCCCAAGCGGTGCCAATGCGAACCCGCTGGTCGGGGAGACCAATGCGCAGTGGGAGTTCTTGGGGATGATCCGGCCAGAGAATTACCAGGGCGGCATGCTGGACGGTGTGAGTGCATGTCCTTCTGGCACGGTGATACCCAATTCTTTTGATAAGCATGATGCTGACGCCTGAGAAAACCCCATGCAGACGATATACAACATCAACGGCCAAGACTATTTCATCGTATGAAATCCCTTTTCTTTTCACTCATAACCATCAAGCATATCGACAAAACACTGACAAGAACCCCCTGATAAGTTCTCCTCCGTCAATGGCACCGCCTCGCCCAACGGCGCCTCCCTGTGGATATCCAAGCTCCTGAGCCCTACAACAGTCAGCCCAGCCACGCTGATCGCCTACCCGCAATACCCATGGGAGAACAACTCGTCCGCCGTCCTCGAGGGCCCGCAGGGCATCCGCTCCCCCGTGACGGGCGACACCTATCTCGTCTACTCGGCCAACGACTGCAACACGCCCGACTACAAGCTCGGCACGCTGCGGCTCGTCGCGGAGGACGCGGACCCTTTGCTCCCGGAGTCCTGGGAGAAGCTTCCCGAGCCCTTGTTGGTGACCGACGTGGGCCGGGGGATCTTTGGCCCCGGGCATAATGGGTTCTTCAAGAGCCCTGATGGCACGCAGGACTGGATCGCGTACCATGCAAATCGGAACGCGAGCGGCCGGTGCAATGCGTACCGGCAGACGTTTGTGCAGCAGGTGCTGTGGGACACGGAGGATGGGAGTCCGAGACTTAGTCCCCCGGTGCCGCCTGGCGAGGAAATCGAGGAGCCCAGTGGGACCGGCGGAGGTAACGGTGGAGGAGGAGGATGCCGCGCAAGAAGGAGGGGTTTGTGGTAGTGTTTACTTTGACTCTTGAAAGCTGGCGTGTTTTAAGACGCTTTGACGGACAACAACAACAGTAGCCAAAAGTCCTGCGACTCCGGACAAGCTCTCGCTATTATAAAAGAGAAGACTGCTAACTAAGCATCGCCACCTATTGTACTCAAGCTGATCATCTCCCCCTGCAGGCCCAAACAAAGCCCCGCCTCGTTCATGTCTTGTCCATGGGTATATTGGTGCTCTTGGCTCAGCAACTCAATCTATGTATTCCTTTTTACACTTCTATATCGAAGCTCTGCCCAACAGTGAATGCCAGTGTCTCCAAAACGCTGACAGACGAGTTCCCCACAAACAGCACATACTCGCCCGCATCCACCGACCACTTGTGCTTCGCCACATTCCAGTACGACAGTGCCCGCGCACGAAACCAGACTCGCACCTCCATAGACTCACCAGGCGCCAGTCTGGCCTTGGAGAACCCAGCGAGCTCCTTCTTCGGCCTGCTTAGTGAAGGGTTGACAGCCCCGACATAGACCTGGACGACCTCTGCGCCGGACATTCTGCCAGTATTCGTGACTCTGGCTGTGACCCGAATGGTAGAGGACGCATCACCCCTAGTAGTGTTTGTGTCTACGAGGCGAATGTCGGCAATCTCGAAAGTCGTGTAGGAAAGACCGTAGCCAAAGGGGTAGAGCACATCGTCCGGATGGTCAATGTAGTGCCGGTATCCCATAAAGACGCCCTCCTCGTAGTTGACGATCCTCTTGTCCAGATCCCCGGGGAAATTGCCATATGTCGGAGCCACCTCGATGCTCCTGGGGAATGTGATGGGTAGTTTCCCGCCCGGCGAGACCCGGCCGAAGAGCACGTCTGCAATGGCATATCCAGCCTCTTGGCCCGGGAACCACGTCTGCAGCACTGCATCGACGTCGTCAATCCAGGGCATCGCGATGGGCGACCCCGTCGAGTTGACCACAATCACCTTCTTTTCTTCCCCGCGTGTCCTCCTGGCCGCAACAGCAACACTGCCAATCAACCGGTCCAATGACCCGTCCTTGGGCAAGTTCATCGACGGCCGGTCGCACCCCTCCGTCTCCCACGTGGGGGTGTGTCCGACAAAGACAATACTGACGTCCGCCTGCTCCGCCGCGGCCTCGGCGTCAGGCAACAGCACGACATCGCGCTCCTCCTGCTCCATGAAGCCCAGGGTGACGCCGATCACGCCCTGCGCGAAGACGGACACGCCCGCGCCCAGCGCAGGCAGCGCCTCGATCTCGATGGCGTACCGCCGGCCCGCGACAAAGTCGTGCCGCGCGACCTCGTCCTCGGCGGTGCTGAGCATGTACGCCATGACGTCCGGCGCCGCGCCGCGGGCCTGGAACACGACCCTGCCGTCGATCTTGACCGTGCTGTTGCCCACGGTCGTGAAGCTGATGTAGTGCCTGCCCGTGACCGCCGGCGTGAAAGTGCCCGTGAGCACCACGCGGGTGGCAGTACGGTGCTCGCGAGACACAAAGGTTGCCGAAGGGGATGTGTATATCAGCGGGTCGTCCTCTGCGCGCGTGGGCAGGCTGACGCGGACCGTGAGGCCCGGGTTGCCCGCCTCGTCGACGATCGAGTGAGATAGCACGGGCAGGTTGCGGATGATGCGCGCCCCCTCGACGTAGCTGATTTTGACGTCGGCGTCGGCGAGAAGCTCGGTGATGGCGTCAAAGGGAGTGATCCTGCGGTGGCTGTTGACCTTGGCGGAGCCGCCGCCGTGACCGAGATATTCTTTGGCCATGCCGATCAGGGCGACCGACTTGATGCCTGGATTTTTCGTGCTGAGCGGTAGTATGTTGTGCTCGTTCCGGAGGAGAACCATCCCGTCGGCGCTGACCTGCCGTATCAACTCCCTGGTCTCTGGCAAATCGTGGGCTCGCTCATCTGGTATCGTAGGGTCGGCAAACTTGCCCGCGCGGTGAACCATCTCCAGTACCCTCTTAGCACTCGTGTTGATCATTTCTTCTGTCAGCCCAGCCTCGGCCGTCTCCAGCGCCTTGATCACATCGGCAACCTTCCTCTGCAGACTCGGCCCTGGCATCTCCAAATCCATGCCCGCGGCAAGTGAAGCGGCCGTGCTGTTCGTGCCGCCCCAATCACTCAGCACGACGCCTTTAAATCCCCACTCCTTTCTCAACACGTCCTCCAGCAGCCCTTTATGCTCGTCCGCATGCATCCCTCCGACGAGGTTATAGCTCGTCATCACGCACCATGGCCGGGCCTCTTTCACGGCAATCTCAAACGGCCGGAGATACAGCTCCCTCAGCGTGCGCTCGTCGACTCGCACGTCCATGGTATATCGAAATGTGTCCTCCTCGTTGAGCGCAAAGTGCTTCAAGCTCGCGCCGACCCGCCCGCTCCACTGGAGACCCAAGATGTACCAGTATGCCAGCGTCCCCGCGAGGAACGGGTCCTCGCTGAAAGCCTCAAAGTTACGCCCGCCGCGCGGATCGCGGTGCATGCACACTGTCGGCGCGAGCAGCACGCTCGCACCTTTGGTCTTGGCTTCCCTGGACAGGGCGACGCCCACGCGGAACGCGGTGTTCCCGCAGAACGTTGCGGCGAGGGAGACTGCGGCTGGGAAACATGCTGCCTTTGTGCCCGCGTGGAATTGCGCGCCCCGCGCGCCGTTGGGGCCATCGGAGAATTTGAGCGAGGGGATGGAGAGGCGCGGAATTGGCGTTGTGGTCCACCAGTCTGCGCCGGCGAGGAGAGAGATCTTCTCAGGGAGGGTGAGCTGGGCGAGGAGGGCGTCGATGTCGACTGGCGGTGGTCGTCCTGCCGGTGGGTCAATTATCCCATTCATTGTGGGATTGTGGATGGGAGGTACGGAGCTTGGCAACGTGTTGAGGGCGACGGCGATTTGTAAGCTGTTTCGTGAGCTGATTTCTAGATCACCTCGGTGCTGCATGTTCCCAGGTGTTTGTTTGCCCGCAATGTCGTCCATCGGCTGTGCGACATTGTGCGTGTGTAAAATAGTGGTTTCTAGCCGTGGAATAAGCCCATCAAGCTTGTCCGGAGTCGTGACCATGTAAACCCCACATCCGACGGGAGACAAGCCAGCTGTTCACGGTCATGCAGACTCCATGACATTGGCGCAAGCGTTACTCCACCGTGTTCGGCTCCGGACGTGCATCTCACGACCCGAGGGGCCGCAGCTCTCACGATCGTGATCGTCAGCTAACTAGGAGCACGGGGCGACATGCCCTGCTCCGGCCTGCCTCCTCCGTCGGCTCGTTTCCGAAGGTGCAACCGTCAAGCAGGAATCAGCCTTTGGATCTACAAGTCCAGCGACGAGGGGGCCCATGGGGTAATTTTGCCCGGGGGCCTTGGCGAGCGCTCGAGCCCAGTCTAATTTTCAACCCTTGACCACCCCGGTCTATATTCCCCGCATCAAGCTTCCGAGGTGACCGAAGATGGGGCGCGGGCATCCGAGCTGATTCGGAGCCATCCGACTAGTACTTGTGCAAATTGCATGAATAATTTTGGTGGCTTATGCAACATGTCTGGTCCTAATACCAGCTTCCAGCGGACCGCCGTACCACAACAAACCGGTGGTTTTCGACAGAAGCTTGCTGCAATTAGTGCCAAGGCGTTAAAACAGTAGACACTGAACTTTCCGAGATTGCCCTGTGCCCGGGCTTCACACAATCTTTGTACTTGGCGGCAGCTTGTATCCTCCAGTCTCTGCGAGAAACTGTCCAAATTTGGCCATTGCCTCCGCCAGGTCCTGTCCTAGCCACTCGTTCACGACCGACTTTTGCGTATACTCGAGCTCCCGCAGGAACCTGCCAGCAACCTAGCATAGCATAAACAATCAGCATAGAGTCGGTCGGCCCTGGTACTGATGAACAATGGCTTACCAGACAGCATGTCCCTCTCCTTGCCGGGTCAACCGCTGCATACATGATGGCGGAGCCCACCATCTCGGGGGTGTTCGCCTCGAGACCGGCCTCCTTGATGCTGTCGCCAAACCCCGCGGTGATGTACGTTGGCGTGTAGCTCGGGGCAATCGAGTTGACACGGATGCCTAGGGATGCGGCTTTCGCCTGGGACGCCCGCACGAGGCCGACAGTGCCGTGTTTTGAGGCTATGTATGCCACGTTGCCGGTGGTACCAAAGTAGCCTGACGTCGAGGAGACGAGGACTATTGAGCCCTTGTCGCCGCCAGGCGACGAAGGCTGGTTTTGGGCGAGGTAGTGAAGGCCAAGCCGAAGTGCTATGATTCCCACTTGTGATTAACATTACCGCTTGTCTCGCCAGCCAATCTCGCAGGACTCACTGTTCAAGGTGCCCTTGAGGTTCACGTCCAAGACTTTGACCGCCTCTGACGACTCGAGCGGGTCGCCGTGCTCGTCGACCTCGACGTCTAGTACAGTGTTGCTCTCCATGATGCCCGCGTTGGCGACGACGATGTCTATCCCGCCGAACTTGGCGACGCCCTGCTTGAAGACATTGCGCAGCTGGGCCCAGTCGGTGATGCTGCCGGGGACGAAGATGGCCTTGTCCGGGTGGGCGAGGGTTGTGATAAGCTCCTCGGCGGACTCGCGCAGAAACGGAAGGTCGGTGATGACGACGTTGGCGCCGTGCTTGTTGAGGAGGGCGGCCGTGGCGGCACCGATGCCCCTGGCCGACCCTGTGATGAGAGCCGTTTTGCCCTGGACGTTGGCCAGGAGGTCTGGTGATTGTTGCATCTGGTGGTGCATGTCTGTATTGGTTCGCTCACTTGCGGAGCAGCGGAATGGCCGATGGCTTGGTGTTGCGTTCACTTTTTCTATGCACCAAGCAGTGATTTGAGCAGCCAGAGACGAGCCATAGAGTTGCTCAGCGAGTGGTGGGAGATCATAATCGATCAGCCAGATCAGTGACGCCAGTGCCGGGCGGAGTGGTGCAAGTCGCCCCGGGTGGCGCCTTCCCCAACTGGAGACAGAAATGAGTTGGTGTCAACTATGGAAGACGCCTTAAGGTACGTAGTGACAAGGCACCACCTGGGCCCGCCCGCTTTCTCCTCCGCATACGGATGTAAGCTGCGAGGCGGGGAAGCCACCCCGCGGCCCGCCTTCCACGTCAGGGTTGTTAGTCAGACCCAAACCTTGGGCGGCAAGTATCTTACGAGCACTACAACCTGGAACTCCCTCCTCAAGCGTACTCGAATAGAAAGACAATCTCCTGGCATCAACTCCTGGCCTTGTCGTTATCATCTCTCCATCCTGCAACACGCCATCTCACATCACATCACATCACATCACATCACATCACAGCAGCAATTACAATGGCTCCGTCTACACTTCTTCCCGCAGAGGCTGACAGGCCGCCCATTTTTGACCTGTTTGACACTCTCAAGGACTCTTTCATAGGCACCCAACTCGGCCACGACCGCTGGTACATGCTCGCCGTAGCCGCCATTGTCGGCGGCAATGACCCGGAGCGCTGCGACCAGTTGTACCTCTACCTCGCCACCCAACCGCAGTTCCAGACCCCGGACCAGCGACGGGGCATGGTGCGCCGCCTGCGGGAGGCGCTCTTCAAGGTCATCTGCCTCGTCGGGGTCTGCAAGCCCCTCGAGGCCATCATCGCGATCAACCAGGTCGAGCGGGACGAAGACAAAGACACGGGTAGCCCCCCGACGCGGGAAGGGTGGCAGTGCGACGAGGCCAACCTGGAGCGGGGGATGGGGTGGATGAAGAAGATCTACACGGGCAACCTGGACAGCACGCTCGACCTGTTCAAGGACCACCCGGACTTCTCGTGGGTCAGCAGGCACATCACGTACGGCCTGTACCTGAGCGATCGGCAGGTGCTGGACGACCTGGACACGGAGATTGTGGTGTTTTGCGGCATCATGATCCAGAACCTGCGGACCGAGACGCACTGGCACATCCGCGGCATCCAGCGACTCGGGGTCAGCAAGGAGGATGTGCAGGTGCTGTGGGACGACGTGCACAAGGTGGCAGAGTTCTTTGGGATGAGACTCAACAGGGTGCCCACTGTCGAGTCGGTGCAGTATGATGTGTGAGGGACGAGAGAGAGAGAGTGCCAACGACGCAGCAGATCATGCGTGCCTCTACCTATCGTCGACTTTGACCGTCCAAGATTTCCCGAGCGCGCTGGCCTGTGGATTCGTGAGACGATGTGCCAGAGCCATCACCACCTGGGCAGTAATATCTGGTCAGCTGTTTTATACTCTGGTAAGAATGATGTAAGCCCAGATGCATTCTTTCGGATCACTTGAGGACGAGGCGGTGGACGGGTACGTACCTTAGTTGAAAAGTGGACCCGAAACATTGTGGTGTCACCGGCGGAGCTGCAGACTTTTCCCCGGCACGCACCACTTCTGCTGGACGCCCGCGAACCATCACCTGCCATTACGCTGCCTTGCAGACAGGGCAACTTCTACACACACACAAGGGCCCTTGCTGGAGCCATCCAGAGCTTGGATCGGGGGCCCCAGTTCCTTCCGAAGCCACACGCTTCTGCTTCCATGTCGGAGCCTCCCGCTCGCCGGCCCCGTGAGGACGACGACAGCGATCCGGCCGGGGCCCAGCAGGACGGCTCCAGCAAGAAGCCACGCATCTTTGTGGCTCGCCAGGTCTGTGCATATTTTGGGTTCCCATGCACAATTCCTGTGCCAGGATGTGCTGACTTTTTGTGCCATGATACCAGGCATGTGAGCGCTGCCGGCTGAAAAAGACCCGGTGTGACGAGGACTACCCGTGCAGTCTATGCAAGGCTCTTGGCCTGGAGTGCAAGTATGCCGACCGAAAGGCCACTCGGTATGTGTTCTTCTCTTCTCAGCAACACCCCACTTTGAGAGACGACTCCGGATCATCTGCTCACCACTGTATGCCCGTAGCAATGAGGCTTCCTTCAGCACCGTGCTGAGCTACCTGGCTCGCATCGAGTCAAAGGTCGAGCAAATATCAGCAAAGCCGGCCCATCCACAACCTCATATCGAGCCCTGGCAGAGCCCGAGTGCCGCGCCCAGTCCCGGACATGTCGGACCCATCACGCCTCGTGGACTCGTCACCGCATACGGGCCTGACGATGGCAGTCGACACCATCAGGCGGGTTCCCACCAGAGACATTATCGTAACAGCCTCCCCTTGAACCCTCGACCATCAGAGAGTCCAGCCGCCGTGGGCGCAACCCCGGACACGGTCTCGGACACAATTTCGCATCCTCCACAGACAACACCCATATCTTTCAGTGCACACAAGGTCTTACAATGGCCAGCAGTATCGGCGCTAATGCCACCCGAAGTCGCATCAATATGTCGTGATCATGGCACTGGGTATGTATCGATTCTTGAGGGGAAACGTCCACCTGTGCCGCTGCCCAGCTCGCTCAGCCGCCAGAGCGTGGACTTTGGCAGCATGTCGGCTCGGATCGGGAACGGCGAGGAGCAACCCCTATCTAGGCTCAGCGTGTCCATCATCACCACACTCTGCGACGCCTACTTCGCGACCTTCCATCTCGCCCACCCCATCCTAGATCGCAGTGTGTTCTCGCACCACACCTTATCCGTGGCCATACAGCGCGGCTTCGACTACGATCTAGAGAGCTGCGTGGTGCTTACAGTCATGGCCCTGGGCTGCTGGGGCATCCGCGCTTCACGAGAAGCCGGATTTGCGGCGTCAACGCCGAGAACGACACACTACCTCGATGATCCCAGTCTCGAGCAGTACCTCGGCCATGGAGGCAGAGACGGCATCCCGGGACTGACATTCTTCAATGAGTCGAGAAAGCGGATTGGGTTCCTCAGGAACGACAGCAGCATGCAGGACTGTCAGTTCCACTTGCTGAATGGGTGGGTCTCGCCTGTTGCATCGTACTCCTGTACAGGGTGCTGATATCGTGCGACGTAGGTTGTTCTACGCGCAGCTGGTCCGACCAATGGACTGGTACTACTGTATTGGGAGAGCTGCAGTATGCTGTATCACTTTCTGGGAGTGGTGAGTGTCCATAATTGACCCATCGCCGTGCCACAACTGACGATATTCCGCCGCGAAGTCACTCCGCCGACTGCGACGACTGGGCACGGGACATGCAGTCCCGCTTGTTCTGGATCACCGTCATGGCCGAGTCTGTCCTGGCAGACGAGCTTTCCTTGTCCACCAGTCGACTAGCGCAGCTGCAAGAGAAGGTGCCGCTGCCAAAATTCGTCAAGCTCGAGCGCAATCCTTTCTTGCCCGTGGTCGAACACTACCACGATTATAGCATGACTTCACAAGGTGGTAGTGCTTCGGCTCATGGCATTAGTCGTGGCAGTGACGACGCCGAAGCAGACGATCTGTTCTACAACTATCACTTCCTGTCGCAGATTGCGCATCGAATCCTGCTCACCAGAATGAAGGACAGTCTCTACTACTCATGTAAGATGGCTGTATGCTCCGCTGGTACTGAGTCTCGCTGACAAGGAACTGCTTGTGTGCAGCACCTACGGGGAATTACCCTCCAGCCACGCTCGAGGACGAGTTGAATCACCAGCATCAGCAATGGCGAAGTCAACTCCCGCCTGCCTTGCGCTTCACAGAGGAGGACGCCATCCCTCCACAGTCGGCGCCGCGGGATATTCTGGTTGTGGCATGGCTTAGGTCACGATTCGTAGTGGCAAAGATCCATCTCGCCCGGCCGTTCTTGTGAGTCGTCGATACCTTCTATCTGGCGGAGCAGGAAAGTAACGTAGCTTACCCAAACCTCGAAACAGACACAAAGTCTTGAGCCGACCAGATCTCCGCACTGCCGCTGATATCATACGCTGCCACGAGATCTTCAAGGACTTCCTGCAGTGGGGTTCCGTGCTGGAAGTCATCCTGCTCATGAAGAACTGCCTGCCCCTTAGATTTAGCCTGGCCGCACAGTACGTATAACTTATTTTCCCCGATAACTCACATACAACACTTGGACGGGAGAGAAATCAAACTAACGTGGACTCCTCTCACCGCACGGCGCAGACTATTCGGTCAGCTCCTCATCCTCTACGCGTTCAAGAACAACGAGGACCCGTCCCTCGCGGACGCCCTGCCGCAGGGATACCAGTCGTGGTGCACGTTCGTGGTCAACATGCTCGACGAGTGCGCGCCGCTGAGCCCCGCGCTCGCGAGGGACGCGCAGATCGCGGCCGTGCTGTACCCAAGGCTCGTGGAGGGCGGTATGGGTGCTGTTGGCGTTGGTTCGTGACACTCTTCTCGGTGGGGATAATAATGGTGGTGGTGGATATGGATTATATGGATTAGAAGGGGATGACGTACTGCTACCTGGACTAGTACCGTCAACTAATGTGCTGGTGGGAGAAAAAGTGCTTGCTGAGCGTCTAATTAAGGAAACAGCGAGCTATTTTTGTAATTGCCTACGCACAAAAGGAAAGGAAATAACGAAAGATACAAGGTGAGCACCCACGCGCCGTTGATTCTGGCTCCCAAGGAGCACGAAGTTAGTTGCTCAGAATACTCCCAATACATCCCAGATGGACCATCTACTACTGCTGGCTTTTTGCTCCACGCCAACAGAAAAAAACAGAAATCAACCCTGGAACTGCAACGGGATCACGCAGAAACCACCACCAGGAGGACACTTGGACGGCTTGACGCAGGCCTGCGAGAGATGCCACGTGCTGTCGGGCTCGCAGATGAGCTGGAAGATCGCGAATCACATAGAAACACGACGTCAGCTTCGCTTCTCTTCTCCTCTCTTCTCTCTTCGCTCTTGTCTTTCATTCTTGCATAAAATCTCTGGCGTATCAGAGAAGATGAAAAAAAAAAAAAACTCACCGAATGCTGCCCGTCAGCGCTGCAGTCCTGCTGGACCGCGTTGTTTGCGTCAAATGCGCACGGGCCGCCGAGGGTCGCGACTGCCGCAGCCCCGGTGGCGGTGCTGAGCGCCGTGGCGAGGAGCAGCGTGAGCGCGTTGATGGCGTGCATTGTTCTCTGGGCGCGGCGGTGGCGGCGGCGGCAAGATAGACTTGATGCTACTCTCTGTGTTGCTGTTTGGGGCACGTGGAGTGATTGTGTTGTTTTCTTTTCTTTTGTTGGTTGGCTGGTGGTCTTTGATGGGGAAGGGGGAGAGAGAGGCTTGGGTGGGTGGAAAGGGGGTTGGCGTGGTGTGGCGTTGCGCAGTCTTATGTACCGTACGAACAAGGTTAAATGAGTTGGAGTCGAGGTTTCTCGCACGGTCTCAATTTGCGAAGTGGGAGCCACGATATTACGCACCTATGCAACGCCATGGCCACAACGCTCGCAGAGCGCCCTGCATTAAGTTTGCCAGCGAACCACCTGCACAGTTGTCTACGCACGCGTGGGTGCGCCAGATAGATCTTCATCCAGTGTCGACGTGGCCGGAATCAAGCAGCTGGTACAATATGACCATCGCACGGTTTGTTGTCTGGGCAATTGGGAAGGTTCTTCTCAGCATAGTAATTTCATTGAAATCGCCTTCATCTGGGGAGCACAGGGCATTAATTTGTTAAGGTCGGAGTACTGGGAATATCTCGTGGCCAGCCGGCAGATCCGGCTCCATCAGATTGTCAAATCTCAGCGGGCCAACGCTTTCCTGACGCATCCCTGTACAAAAGAGAGGATGTGAAAGGTGTGAGTTGCGCTTTAGCCCAAAATTACCTCCTTCCCTAGGCACCCCAGCTGCCGAAAGGGACATCTGCTGCACCACGTCACAAACCACTCGCGGTGGAGAGAAGGCAGTGTCGGCGGATAGAAGGGTGTCCATTCTTGATTGTTGCTGTATTTCCGCACATGGGGGGCACTGACTGGCAGCAGGGTGTGAGTACGAGAATCTCAAGCAGAAAGTAACTACTTGCCAGGCCTCTCGAAAAGTTATTTCTTCTCTAGGCGATGCAGAACAATTTTCTTTTTCCTTTATTACGCTCTTGAGGCGCAATCTGTTTAAGGGGATTGTAGCCCTGAAACCATGTACGAATTCGATCTCAAGGAGGTAACTGTCTGAAATGTCATCCAAATTTAGGTCTGTTCCTGCGTGCCACACTAGCCCAAATCAGCAATCTGAATCAGCCCCCCGCGCCCGGAAAATTATCTCCGTACAATCGAGAACGACCAAAGTGACGTTATGGCTTGCGCTAGCCTTCTCCATAGCAATACAAGACGCGTGGCTTGCAAGGCTCGAGATGGCTACGTGCAGACTTCGGGATCATTGGGAAATGCTCTACTACGCAGAATTCGTCGTTTATGATCAAGCTGGCCTTGTTGCTCGCCACCCATAGGCTCAGAATCGGCTGATCTGCATGAGACGTCTCGTGCGGCCGCAAGAGATGCACCGCAGTTCATGCCTCTCGTTGACTTGACCGACCTCATTTTCATCGGCCGGTGTGCGTTTGCCTGATCTCCGTAACGCGACTTGCAGGACCATACAAGATCTGGAGTTTTTGGGTACTCGGGCTCTGCGAGAATCCGGGTTCCCCGCAGTCGGCATGGTCGGGTAAGGACAGCCGACTCCGCATTCATTGCGTGGATCTGCGGAATGGGACCTTGGTAAATCCGGGGTAACTGGTCTGCACGGAGGCAAATAATCATTGAGCGTATATTCGTTTCTAGTACTAAAGAGACAGGTGCTTTGTACACGTTTGGACATAACATGCTCTTCCGAGTCCACCGCGCCACTATCATCGCTATATTGATCCGATATACAAGACGATGGCGGTCTCTGAAGCTCATCGGCTCTCTGCCGACCACGATATCGAGAAGCACTCTGCACCGGTCCACGCCGAAGACGTCCACGGTCCCACGGGTGACGTTGAGAATGATGTTGTCACACCGCCGGGATACTTTCGAAGCAAGTTCTTCTTAGGGACGATGGCTGGAATTGGCCTAGGATTGATGGCTGGTGTGGCCGGCTTTGGTTATGCTGCTCCGATTCTTGGCATCATCAATGCGGACATTGGCCCGGTGAGTGTACCTCCGTCAAAAATAGAACGCCCCTCGACCTCATTCTGACGTCTACCATTATGTGGATAGAGTCCAAATGTGGTCTGGGTTGCACTCAGCTATACCCTGACGAGCGCCGTAACCCTGACGATCATCGGACGTGTGAGCGACATTTTCGGCCGGCGATGGGTCTTTGTTGGCGGTGCTGCTCTCGGCATCATTGGGAGCATTGTTTGTGCCACGGCACAGGACGTCAACACACTCATCGGCGGTACAACAATCATTGGCATCGCGGCTGCCACACAGCTTTCGTACTTCTACGTGATGGGAGAGCTTGTGCCCATGAAGTACCGCCTGGCTGGCAACGCCTTCTGCTACCTCTTTTGCATTCCCGGGTCGGGAGTGGCTCCCGTCATCTCCAACGCCTTCATCTTGTACCATCCAAATGTCGGCTGGCGTGCCTGCTACTACGTCCTCATCGCCATCAACACCGCATCGTTTCTGTGCTGGTTCTTCTTCTACCACCCGCCAACGTTCCACATGAAACACGGCGACGACTCAGTGTTCAAGTATATCAAGCGCTTCGACTACCTCGGCACGACCCTGTATACGGGCGGTCTGCTGATCCTGGTCATGGGCTTGAACTGGGGAGGATCTGTCTACCCCTGGGCCTCGAGCTACGTCATCGCCACCATTGTCGTCGGTCTGGTCACGCTCGTCCTCTTTGTCCTGTGGGAGACCTTTGCCAAGCTCAAAGAGCCGCTCGTGCCGATGAACTTGTTCTCCAACTACAGCTGGAACGCCTCCGTGATCCTCACCGGCCTCGGCGCGAGCTCCTACTACGCGTTCGCCATCGTGTGGCCCTCGATGGTGGGCGTGCTGTACGCCGGCGACGACGTCATGGGCGGCGCCTGGCTCTCGTCGTTTGTCGGTCTGTTCGTCACCCTCGGCCAGATCGCTGGCGGTTTCCTCGGCAAGAAGATCGGACACCTCAAGTGGCAGGCGGTCGTCACCATGACGCTCGGCGCCGTCTTCTTCGGCAGCGTGGCGACCTGCGGGCCCGACACGAGGGCGCGGGCCGCGTCGCTGGTCGCCGTGGGCATCTTCTTCGTCGGCTGGACCGAGGGCCTGGCCATCACCATAGTCACCCTCACGGCGCCGAACCAGCACGAGCTCGGCACCAGCGCGGGCGTCGCGGGCTCCATCCGGTTCCTGATCTCGAGCATCGCGTCGACCGTCTACAACGTGGTGCTGTCGAACCGCCTCGCCCAGACCATCCCCGCGTATGTGCCCGCCGCCGTGACAGCTGCGGGCCTGCCCGCGGGCAGTGTGACGGGGTTCATCACGGTACTGACCGGTGGTGGTGGGACTGGGGACTTTGGCAGTGTCCCCGGGGCGAGCGCGGGCGTCATCGCCGCAGGCGTAAGGGCGTACAAGGAGGCAAACGCGGATGCCTACCGGGCTGTGTTCTTCACCAATATCGGCTTCTCCTGCATTGCTATCGTGTGCTGCTTGCTGTTGCCAGAGGTTGACCATCTCATGACGGGCCTTGTCGCGACAAAGCTGCATGAACGTGCCGAGGAGAATGGGAAGCTTGCTCGGTGATCCGGCTTTCAGTCATGTGTAGACTTGTCGACACTAGAACATTTCTGAATCGTTGTTGTAGAGATACAGATGTGTCTGGCTTTTGCGTGACTAGAATTCGCTGGGGCACTGGTATGATCCCGGAGCAATTATTTCATATGAGCAACGAAACTGGCGAGATGAGAAGAACAGAGGTTCAGCAATTCGGCGACAACAACTAGTGGATGGTGACAACTCTGATCTGCCAAGAATGCAGCACAGCCTGATAGATTTGCAGCTACTGCCGCGGAACCTGTCGTTGTTTTGGTTGGGACTGATGTAACAAAGAATTAAAGCCTGGCTCGCGCTATGGTTCGAGCACTGGCAAATGTCCATACCTATATTCTCCCCATTTCGCATCTAACAGATACAAGACATACCTAGAGTTAGTGGTTGGGTTGTCTGGGCCAGGCTTAGCGGGGAGGCAGACTGTTGGGAGTAGTGCCTGCCTCGAACCTTGCACAAATGTTGGGCACTAAAAATGGTTGTATGCTAGACTGGCCGCGACGGGGTTCGTCTACAGTAAGGAGCCTCATTTCGGCTTGTGGGCCGCATTCTTTGCCGATTCACCCGGATGAGGGTTCTGGCAAGTGGGCCAGAAAACGCGGATCCGAAAAGTTCCAGGAGACCGCCTCAGCATCTCGTCCTGTCATCAACTTCCAAAATCCAGATGTATATCTTGGCAGAGCACGAGACTATTCCAAATAGCCGCTGTGGATAACATGCAAATGGCTGGCGACCACTAACATCAATGTTGCACACAGAGTGGGTGTCGTAGATGCCGTGAGTCTGGCACGGTTTTCAAAGCAAGGATTTCCAGAATTCAACGCGCTGAGACGACCGCAGGTTAATCAAGCGTCTTCGGTAACTGCAAGCAGAGACATTCAACGTTGGCATGTCTAGAACTTTGTATCTAGGACTCGCTGATCTAGGCACTGGCAGGCTTTATCTGGTAGGGTGTATCATTGCTGGTCAAAATTCACTCGAGAAGAGCCCAACTCCAACCACAAGCCCTTCTAGACACCATTTTGACCGCGCAGTAGCAGCTGCGCCGTCCGTGCATCAGTGATCTGCTCTCAAGCAGCAGTAACCTCCATGTGCTTCGCACCGCCCTTGCTCGCCGCCGCAGCACCACCCTTCTCATGGACGACCCCCTCGTCGCTCGCATCATCACTGGGCAACGGCGCGGCCTCGACGTCCTTGCCCAGCCCCGCGGCGTCCAGCTTGCCCTCGAAGATCTCGCGGATCTCCTCGAGCGTGTGGCCGCGGGTCTCGGGGAAGAGGAAGTAGATGATGACGACGAGGCAGGCGAGGATGCAGCAGAAGACAATGTAGTACTTCCACGCGATGGCCTTCATGGCGATGGGGTTGACCTGGTTGCCCACGATGAGGCCCGTCGTCGAGGCCATCAGGGTGACGGACAGGCCGCGGCCGCGGAGGGTATACTGGAAGATCTCGACGGGATAACTACACGTGAAACATGTCAGTGGTGTTATTTTTCACGATAGAGAAGCCAGAAAACTCACGCGTGGAGCATTGGTGTCCATGCCACATCGTAGAAGAAGTAAAAGATGAAAATAAAGGCCACGACAGCCTTGCCGGCGGCCGCGTCGTTGCTCTGGACGAAGTGGGCGGACAGCCCGGTCCAGATCATGTAGCTCACCAGCATGCCGCTAGTGGCGACGAGGAACAGCGTGCGGCGACCAATGCGGTCAACCATCATGGCGCCGCCGAGAGTGGCAACGATCCAGTTGAAGATCTGGAGAAGGCCATTGATGAGGGTCTGGTCGAAGGCGTTGGTGATGCCGATGGTGTTGAGGACGAGGACGAGGTAGTACGACAGCACGGCGGCGCCATTCCTGTTTCGGACATGGTTAGTCAGCACTACAAAAGGAAGCCGGAAGAAGTCAGGTCACAAGGAGCCTGAGGCAAACAAAACATACCACTGGGCAAACCAGCCAACAATGACGGCAATCAGCGTGCGCTTGCGGTTCGCAGGGTTGCGCACGAGCTCCATCCACGAGGTCTTGGACATTTCGGCCTCGAGCTCGAGGGCGGCCTCGATCTCGCGCAGCTCAAAGTTGACCAGCGGCGCGTTCAGGTCACCACCGGCATGGAAGTCAGCGAGCACCTTGCGAGCCTTCTCGGTGTGGCCCCGGGCGACCAGCCAGCGGGGGGACTCGGGCACGAAGGCCAGGCCGGCGAGCTGGATCACGGGGATCGCGCCCTGGAGGATCGACGGGATTCTCCACGCCCAGGTGTCGGGCAGCTTGAAGGTGCCAAACGTGCACCACGCGGCAAAGACGGCGCCAAAGTAGAAGAAGGTGTTGTACATGGCCGTGATCTTGCCGCGGTGGGTCGGGTACGCGAGCTCAGTGATGAGCACAGGGCTCGGCTGGCCGATACACGAGGTCGCAAAGCCGAGCAGGGCGCGCGCGGTGATGAAGGTGGGGATGCTCTGCGCGAGGCCCTGCATGATGGCGAAGCCGATGCAGAGGACCAGGCCAACCGCGAGAGGGATCCTGCGGCCGAATCTGTCGGTGAAGTAGGCGACGAACGCAAGAGCGACGAGCTTGCCGAGAGGATAGACAGCGTTCATAACACCCAGGAGAGCACCTTCGGGGTTGCCAAAGTAGCCCTTCCACTGAGGGAGGATCTGCAGGCCGTTCATCATGGAGCCTTGTAACACGAGAAAGGTCAGGAGCCGGTCGATGGGGAGCATGATATGGGAGGGAAGAGTTAGCAGGCACTCACCATCATAACCGACGGTTGCCGACGACAGCAATGGGATGAGTAGGCACAGGTTGAGGCGGATCAGATGCGGTGTCGTGTACCACGACCTGCCGTCTTGAGGAAGTACCTGTGCTCAGCAACAAACCGTCAGCATGCACCACTTCCAACATGGTTTTAGAACCAGCGACGAGGGAAGAAGAACATACCGCGGCGAGGTCATCGCCAACAGCCTTGGCGGCGCCTTTTTTGGAGGAGAGGACGCCCATGTTGACCAGTTTGGGGAGCAGCAACTCTGGTGTTGTCGGCTGTGGTGCTTGTCCGGTGCCAGGCTCTGCGTTGTGGAAATCCGGGGAAGTGATGGACACAGAAGCGAACGGACGTCGATCATGCAGGTCGGGGATGGGGTAGGCGAGGCCACTCATATATGTCTCGAGCGTCACACTGGTCGGCAAGATTATCTGCCGGCACACAGACACCACGCCATCACGAGCCTACCGTGTGATCGGTGCTTCCTTTGCATGGTTCTTCCCCATGGGCGGGCGGTTGGTTGGTGACAGCCCCTGTTTGCCCGCACTTTTGCCGCTCCACATCTTCTCCGCACGAAGTGGGTGGGAAGATGCATGGCTAGCTGGGGGGAGGCCTTGTCTCGGCTCGGAAGCTAGCATGTGGGACAGGGCTGACCGTGGTCCGAAGGGGGCGTGTCTGATCCCCAGCTTCCGAGCGTAAACCCAACGAACGAGCTCTTCCAGCCGCGTATGACTGTATTTGACAAGGCGATGGACGGGTCGAGACTCGCCCGTGCGCCAACAGCAGTCACGGTTCCCGCCTGTCTTGGCGGCCAGGGGTGGCCTGAAAACTGAACCCTTGGGGGATGTGAGCCCTAGCAGGCCTCTCTGGAGAGCATCCAACCCCAGCTTCTGACCAAGGTGTCTTGCCCCCACAAGTCATGCCATGCATGCCGTGTCTGGGGCCACCAGCAACAGCACTTGCGGCGAGATTGTGAGACTGATTTGCTCCCCAGAGGAAGCACAATGGTGTTGTAACAGATGTCCATCCCTCGATCTCACATGACTTGGAATATTGCGATACCCGACAAGACCAACCGAAAGAAAGAGAAAAAATTCTGTGCGGGACAGTGGCTTGATCAGTGGCACCCACGCGTGACCAATGTTCCGAGCATTGGCTCGTAAGAGTTGGTGTGCCGTGACTCGCATTCCGAGCCGCCAGGCGCCAAGCACCGAGCTGGGCCAAGCCATGTGCACTTGCGCCCTGCTCGAGCCCCCGCTTCAGGAGATTGGGCAATGTCCTGCTCAATAGGAGAACTGCCGCGACCCTGGAAGTAGGCGGCTGGTGGTCTGGGCTGAGGACAGCCAAGAAAATCGTGGAGTCGCGTGCCCTGCTTTGTAAAAGCAGTCATGGCATCGGGCCCCGCACAGAACAGACTTGCAGTGTTGCTTTGTGCATGCATTGTACTCCCGAGGTCAGCTTCCCTTCCGGAAAGCCTCCCAGAGTCTAGTCATGCACGGGAAGGAGCCGCGCCGATCTGTTCCGCTGGGTAAAAGGCGGGGCCCTCGGGCTCTCGAACTGCTCTGGAGACCGGTTCGTTGCCGCTCAGCTGCCGGCCCGGCACCTTGGGCGGAGCAGTTCCGTACGGGTCGTTCCCGAGATGAGAGCAGCAGCGCCGCGCCGGGGGAGAGCTTTCACGAATCCACCCCTGCCGGTTGCCAGAATTGTGCGACAACGTCTCAACGAGGAAATCATAGACATTACTCGGCACAAGCACGAGGGTGATGTTCTGGACAACTGATTAACGGCAGATAGGTAGCACCACTTACCTTTTAGAGAGGCTTGCCTTAGCTCTCACTTTGGATGATGCGCGTGAATGGAGTCTAGAGCTCTGAGCACAGTCTGTGTCATGCTGGGCCATGGTCGTCTGTAGCTAGGTGCTAGTTATGCTACGAATGGATTCGGAAGCCACCGCACACCTCGTCCATGCACACGGTCTATGGTCAATCAAGTCCCATCAGAGTCAGCCATGAGCTGCGCCAGATTTCGTCGACTTTCCAGAGGTTACAGAGGTGCAGACGGTCCACCACTTACTTTGTCCCCACTCCATGACGGAGGCCACCACATCCTGTCGTTTCTTCACCTCCACCACCCTCAACATCAACCTCAACCATCAACATCAACAAATGTTGGAGGCAAGGGCAAAGGACCAATAGCTATGCAGGATCACATTCGATCTTGACAGCTTCATTTGAAACACCGTTCTAGCCTCAAATTCAAACTTCTCGTGCACGCTTGTGCCACCCCCATCCATCTCTCACACGCCCTTCACTTGCCAAACATATCAAAGCACAATCCCACACGTCAAAATGTCAGTCACACCATCCACGACTATCGACATGGACAAGGGAAACCGCAAAAAGAAAAGCGGCACACCGCCAATACGACGACGCCGTCTGCCAGGACTTTTACGAGTCGCTGAGGCGCGGCAGGAAGCAACCCTGGAAGCCGAATCACAAGAACCATTTCTCTTGGGTGAACGAAGACAACGAGAACTTTGACGGCTGCCAGAATTGCGGCAAGGCACGAGATCGCAAAAAGGCTGGGGCAATCTCAAGGAGTTCCCTGGCTTCGGCCATTCATGCGCGGGCACTTTGTCGAGATCGGGAACCCAGAGGCTGAATGGCAGAGCCTCGCGTACAGCGCAGCGTTCGAGTCCCACATTGCCAAGCAAGTTGAGTGGGTGCTCGTCGACTGCGGGAAGCCTCGTCTTGACGACTTCCGGTTCCATGGCTATACCGCAGCGGACCGCTGCCACCGCTGCCACCGCTACTTCACCAACACCCGGAAGAGCTTGTCGGTAAGTTACAAAGGCATCGATCGAATTCTTCGGCCCGCGGGCACTTGAACGGGCAAAAGGCCCAGTAGGACTGGGTACATGTTCAAGGCATGCCGGACGAATGCACGCATGAATTGCCACCGCCCACGGACTGCCATCAAAGACTTTTTCGGCACTGGTGCGGAAAGGCGCTGCCGCACATGCTACCGCGTCGAAATCTGGGAGCGCGAAGGGGAGCTACCTCCTGACCACCGCCACACGACCGTGGCACACAAAATGTACAACGACCCGCACTGCGCTGCTTGGCAGGATGAGCTCGTCGGTGCACAGCGCCGCCTCTCTGAGAAATTCGCCGGGAAACTGGGTAAACCTTGCCAACGATGCTTTAGGCATCAGTTGAACCACAACGTGGAGCTCTGGAAGCCCTCAGAGACCGAGAAGTACCTGGAGTCATTGAGGAAAAGCTGGGAAAGAAGATACCCGCCGAAATCCCGCATGTGTCGAGTGGTTCGCGGCCACAGGGAAGCTGCAAAAGAGGCGCCACCACGGTTTCGACGGCGATCAGACGCAGAGGTGGCAGAGGTGGCAGAGGTGGCTACCTCTCGGGGACAGTCTTTTCCGCAGATCGGTCGTAGTACCGACTGGACGCTCGTGTCCGTGCAGCTCCCTGGAGTCATGGGACGGGACGCAGCGCTCGACACAACAATGTGTACGGACCACTACTCGATTGCTGCTGTCATCTTGGTCATGTACCAAGAGCGAGCACAGGCTACGAAGCTCCTGGGCGGACGGTTCATATTCGAGACCCTCAAACTACCTATCTGGCCAAGCTCGGCAGACCACCTCATCAAGGGCGACAGCCAACCCACTTTCGACTTTGTCGTCCGTCAGACTATTATCCAGATCCTTGTGAAAGACTACGCCGCGGATCCTCTCTACCGTTCGCAAATGTCCGGGGATGACGTGAACAGGCAGCACTCTACATACCGACAACTCATAAACGCGCTCTGCGACATGCTCGGGATCAAAGATAGCGCCCGTGATCACCTTCTCCGCCAGGTACAATATCACGACCCGACCCGTGTGATCTCCAAGTCACGCCTTGGCCACCGTCTTGGTGATCGCCAGAGCCCAGTACCAGAGTTCTACGACCTGGTTTTACTCTGGGCAGCTGGCCTTGGCAAGCTGGACCGCCCACTCGTGAATGCTCTCGCGCAGGAGACCGTCAGACTACCGACCTGGCCAAGCTCGGCAGATTGCGTCATAGAGGGCGACGTCCATACCCATGGGCCGGAGGATTCGATGTCTGAAGTTCGCCAACATGCTCTTCCGAGCGTTAGTGAAGCACCGGTGGCAGCGACCTTCTGCGGCACAAACGTGGAACTTGTAGTCGTCGAGACGAGGCTTCCCGCTGTCAACTTTACCAAGGGCGAACACCCACTCAACTTGCTTATGAGTGCAGGGCTCGAACACCGAGGAGTATGAAAGACCGTGTCGTTCCCCGATTATCTGGTCGCATTTCGTACGGGGTAGCATTTGTTACAATGGGCTCCAGCTTCTGGGTTCCCGATCTCAGCAAAGTGTCTGCGCTCCGCAAATCTTTCTTGCAGGTTGAGCATGTCGTGCAGTGGCTCAGCGTGCTCGCCAGCATCTCCGATCGCCGGCCCTGAGCAGTTCCCTGCGCCTGTCTATGCTCCAATAAACAATGGCAATCACGGTTGTCATGCTGGTGACCACACCGTCCACGACAATGCAGCTACATTTCCTTTCGGAGCACCATCGGCCTCGAGCGCTACCACCTCGAACATTACCCAGCTCCGACTGGTACTGCAAGCACTCCAGTGCAAGTACGACTGCTGCTACAGGACAAGGTGCTATTGGGGATCACCAACACGGGGGAAGGCCCACAAATTCAAGAGCCTCGTGGCTTCAGCAAGCCGATCTTTGTCAACTGTGGCGTGCAGGGCAGACCTATTATCAGCAGGGCTCTACGACATACGGCAGCTCGTGGATTGGGCGTGTCTTCCTCTTGCCGCACGCGGCCTATACCCCCCTCTCATCTGATCTACTGCATCCAACCGCATGACCTGGCAACCTGGGAAGAGGCTACGACTACTGTTTCCCGGCCGAAATTGTTCCCCATTTTTTAGCGCCGTCGCTTCCTGGAACGGCACGGAGGTTCCCGCCAAGCGACAGAAGCTCGCGACACCAGCGCCCCATCATCATCACCACAATAATAATTGCGACCATGACACTGAATCTGGTGATGATAGCGACGACGACGACGATGATGAGGATTTCACGGCATATCTCGCACTGATTGATGAGATCCTGGCAGAAGCGTGCAGTGTGACCGACGAGCCGGGCGAGGCGGATGATAGTGATGCCAATAGTGATCATGAGTTTGACGACGGTGATTCTACACTGGATACAAAGCCCACTGACAGAAAGACGAGACAAAAGGCATTCCGCCTGACTCCAACCATGATCTGGCAGCTGGAGCGGGAGTACCCGGATAGGGATCCCATGAGCTCCGTACGGCCAGTGACTGATGCCTCAAGGATATGCCGGGAGAACTTTACAAAGCTCCGGAGCATCTCTCCGCGGACATGGGCAGCACTCCAGACCTGGGATCCCAGGAAGCTGGCAAAGGTTCTACTGGCAGCCATGCCTCCTGAGATGATCGAGCTGGGAGGTACAGCTGACATCACTGCTCGTGATTTGCTCGGTGCTGCATGTAAGGTGTCATTCCATGAAAAGCGAATCGGCGTATACATGGACGTGCTTGACGCCGTTGAGCCAAACAAAAATCCGGATACTTACGTCGGCTCTGCTGGGGGGCAGAGCGGGCTAAGTGGTCGGACCAAGACGTACCATAGGGTCTACAAAACCCCACGGGGCAAAACATACTCCGGCATCAGCCCGGAATCGCACCATGGGCAAGTAGCGTCAGGGCGCAAGCCACATCTCCTAACACTCTCGTTGTTCGACCGATTGCAACCCGACGCCAACATTCCATATCAACTAGCTGAAGGCTTCCAGTGCCTGTTCTGGGGAACCCTGCAGAGACACGCGAGCAGTTAACTCGACAACGAGAACTCCCGGCCCGAGCAGCCGTTCTCGGTCTGCCGCATTTCCCGGGCCTCGAATTGGCGGACATCCGTTTTGTCGCGAAGTGCGGGGACTCGGTGATGGACTCACACTCGACACGGACATCACTTTCTCTTGTATAATCGTAAAATTCATGACCACGCCGCACTCAATGAGGAGCTCCCTCGTTGTGGTGTGTGCCGCCAGCAAGCACCTGATCGCAAATAACCATATAGGTACTCGCTCATGTTAATTCCATCTCCTGGCATCGCTTGCTGTCCCACATCTCTCCGCGCATCATCCCGTGGACAATGCCATGCCCAATGAACTGCCAATGCTGGCCCTTCTTCCGTATAACATACGGCCTTCTTCCCGCCACTAGTAGCGCAATGTCATCGCCTACTGCTGTAGCCACAGGAAATAGTCCAATCAGTCCAGTCTCGGTCCGTCCAAGACGATAGCCTTCAGGTTCCACCCGTATGGGCCATCGTACCGCTAATGCGTAGTATAGGAATGCAAGAAAGCAATAATAGATGGGGCCACCAATCCACCTGAGGCGATATATTCTGGTCGTGTCCATGACTGTGGAGAAGAGGAAGAACACCCACCATTGCGCTTTGAACTCGCTGTACGCCTCAGCGTCAGCGGTCTCAGAGCAACCCCCGCCATACATGATCCAGGCGAATACCCAGTCGAAATCCCGATTTCGGTTTGCCTGGCGGATCAACCGTCGCCACTGACACAACACGTCCATCAGGATGCCCACGCCATAGAAAAGTTGTAAATGCGATGACAGAAAGGCCATGCAGAAAGGGAAAAAGCCTACGTCCTCAGCTCCCATGTTTTCCCACGGCGGCCCCAAGATTGGTAATGCGTCGGCTAGCTCTTTGACTTGATCGACGAAGACACCACGGAGGACCAGTCTATTTTGACGCAATTTTACTGGTGATTGAAGCCTGTGGATCGGACAAGCTGAGAAGGGCAGTCGCTTCCGCGCACCCATGGTTATTGGGGTGAAGTCACCAAGGGCTTTCAACTGCGCTTCTGGGTCGCTATGTGTCCAGCTCGGCACCCATGAAGGGAGAGTTTCCATTGTGTTGAAGAAGCTCGCGGCACCATCAAAAATGGCCAAGCTTCTATCTCGATCTAAAATGGCCAAGGCCGTATCGGTATAGCACTCTTCTACCGTCTTGTCATAGTCAGCTTTGATGTCAATGCCCAGATCCAGGATTGCGGCTAGGCCTAGCAGAGCGAAAATCTTGTCACGCGCGTCCGTGGCCTCGAACCCGCGGAAAGCTGTCAATAGTTCCAGCAGGGAGACGACGCTGTTGTCGTCACATCCTGACGTCTCTGCCGTGCCGCCTTCCCGAATACGGGTGGATTCTTCTAGCCATACCGTGAGGGCCCGCATAGATTTGAAGTTAAGCATGTGCTTGTGTGCCATGAGAAGAAAACCAAAGGTGGAGAGCGAAGAGGGAACAAGTGAAGTATCAGAGAGTGAACCGAGGACCTGTGCCACCAGGAACCAGTCGGCATACCCATTCCCCAGCCACACCACGGCTTTCTTCGCCACAGCAAGTTCTTGGACGACCCAGACGCGGTTCCACCAGGGCTGAGCCACCAGTACTGCCAGCGCATTCAACTCCGAGAACTCAAACTTTGCGCTGGCGTCTGGATCCGCGGAGCCGCCATCACTCTCCTCCTCGAAATATCGCGCGATGACCTTGTTCAAGGCTGATGAGAGCAAGCCTGCGTACTCGACGAGCGGCCCCGGGAAGATGATGACTTGCTCTGCGCGCGCATATATCTCGCGCATGATGGAAACCTGTGCGGATCTCTCGGATGTGCTCTCCTGGTTGATGCACAGTGCGTCCACCCACAGAACTCGAGGCGACTTGGAGTGTTGGAGACATGTCAGTGCAAGGGCCAGGTTATGTGTGATCCGCACATCAGAGCCATTGCAAGTGATGACATGCGGCTTGCGAGGACCCCCCCAGACATAGGATAATGCCTCGTAGGTCGGCGTCGCGTGCAATGGATAAGTCATGAGCTCGCATCGGAATGGAAAGTCCGGGAAGAGGGTCAGGAGTCGAATGTAAGGCCCATCAGAGGTGGGCGGAAGCGTGAGATCATCGTATATCATTTTTCGGGTCTGTAGATGTTCTGTTGTCACTGGTGGAGCATCCGACGAAGTCGATCTGGTACAAGGGAGGAGGCAGGCGGAAATTGCAGCAGTCTGCGCCGGGCACGGACTTCCTTAAAAGTCCAAAACCGTGAGTCAATCTGCTCTCAGTCGCCAATTCAGCTCCACGCCACACGGAATACATGTCTGGGCCGGCGACCAATCACTACCACGCACGCAATATGGGCTGTGTCAGACTACAAAGGCAGACTCTGCGTCGCCCCTAAAGTGGCCAAATCACACCTGTCCTTTGGCTGAGACATGCGTTCAGCTGAGAAGGCAGATTCACGTATTCCTGAGGCTGGACATGCGCATTGCAGCTACCCATATATCATGCTCTGAGGTGTGCGAAATGCAGCGATTGTCTTGTTGGGAAGACTGGGACGGAACGATGTCTGCTACTTGTGGTAATATATCTTCTTTGTCGCTTCATGATTCCTCACGTCAACCGTCCTGATACTGGCATGCTAATATCGGCGTTGAACAGCGAGTGATCTCTTGGCGTTCGGCAGGCTGGGATGGCGGACATGCCCTACACTAGCCGCTCCGAACACGGCAGGGTGCGACATAGTGAACGCAGGATCATGCTCACCTTTGGGCACATTGCGCACGCTTGGCTTTCTCTTTTCTCAATCCCTTTACTCCATCAGATGATCATGAACAGACTTTGTACAATGTAGGTGTTCATTATACGCTGGGGACTGTATGCGTGGTCGGTAGCCGTAGGATGAGCCAACGCGACAGGCTGCACAGGGTCCTCATCGTCTTAGCTGGGCTTCCTTAGCGCACAACCTGGCGTGGCAACCGTTGGAATGGTGAAGCCACCTTCACATGCGGTGTTGTCCTGGTTCTGTGCCATGTTGTCGCTACGCGCGCGACACTCGCGGACTTTACCAATATACGACTTCTCACAGTCCCACCCAGCCCGAGAGCATTAAAATGTCAAAAGTCAAAGGGTTGCTCCTGCACCAGGGCGAAACGAGAATACCTGTTGAAATTCAATGATGCTAAAATGCAACAAGGGCTCCCAGGGTTTGGGGGAAACGTGTCTAATGTCGCTGCCCGCTGCTCCGCACGAGAAGCGGTCGAAGGTCTGACCTGTATATTTGTGCAAACACGCGAAGTCTAATAGCTAGACAGTACATCTTCTTCGCGGGAGCCTACTCGCGTTCTCACGCCTGCGCCGTTTTCGCTTCGTCCTCGGTTCTCCACTTCTCCAAGTTCTCATGTGTAAAGTACGCGCCATCGTCCCTCTGTCGCCACAACTCCGTGGGATACTTCCCTAAACACACCTGACACCTGCCGCACGCATTGCAGCCGCCCAGCTCTAGACCTCGCTCTGGGTGTACTGTCAAACCCTTGACGAGCGCATGGCCACGCCAGGGACTTGACTCGAGATCCAGCTCGCTCGCGCCCCTCGGCAGCAGCGAGCGCACCTCCTCCGACATTGGCGTCGCGGCTGTAATGACCTCGACGCCAACTTCCCTGCCGGCTACGATGGCCTTGCGGAAACCAAACGCTTCACGGCTCGGGACCTCGGCCTCGGTCAGAAAAATCGCCTCGGGTTTGAAATCATCTCTGTCATCCGCCACCTCGTTCTCAAAGACGTGGGTCAGCGCCTCGTCCAGCAGCACCTGCAGACGACGCTGGCTGAGGTGGGTCCCAGAGTATTCGAGGTTGGTGATGTTTATATGTCGGCTCTGGCACGCCCTCAGCAGCTCGACGAGACATGAGGTGAACTCGGCAAAGTCCGAGGCGGGCAGAGGCGGGGTCTTGCCCAGGGTGACCTGGTCGGCGCAGCCGAGCATGTCAAGATCCGCCGCCGCGATAGTCGCGAAGCAGGGGTCTCCCAGGGGTCGCAGATCTCTGAGCGGTAGCCCCGGATATGGCACGCATACGTCACCAGCCCGTCGAACAAGCCCTCCATGCAGTGTCGACTCAGCACAGTGTGCATATCAGAGAGGATAAAGGCCTCCGTGTCGCATCTCTGGAGGGTCAATGTCTTTACTGTCTCGCATGCCTTCACCAGCCGTTTGAGCGTTGGCTCTTGCATGGTGCATTCTGAGAAGAAGAGAGACTTGATGCTCGACTTTCCGGGCTCAAGGACGGGGTCAATGGTGAGTGTATCGGCGTACCCGGGGTCAGCTAGGCCGGCTGCGTAAAGTGTTGCGACTCCCGGCAGCGCGAAGAGCGGCGCAATCGCGGGAGTGTTGATCCATGATCGCATCTGGTGGGCGCCAGCTGTCTGCGCGTACGGTGTGGCGAGGGAATGGATGCCCACGGCCACGTTGCGTAGGGATGCGAAGCCTGGCGGCCAGAGCAGTTTTTTGTCTGCAGATTTTGTGATCATGCGAATGGACTTGCCGATGAAGCGCAGATCTAGTTCTTGACAACTCGGGAACTCGAGGGTATTCTCGGCAGCGTGCTTGTCTGGATCCTTGAGACGGTCAAAGTAGTCGCGAGACGTATCTTGCGGCATTTCGCATGGGGCCATGATAACTCGGAGATGCTCCAAGCGAGGACTTAGCGCGATTACCAGGCCCTTGAGGGCAATGTCGCAGCCGTCTTCGATTGATGAGCGCCAATGTCGAGCTGTGGCGTGGTCGAAATGCAGCTCGTCCTCCATGAGTGAAGTAAGAACGTCGAGCTCATCCTGCGAAAGGAAGCCTGGACCATAGGGGCGTGGCGGAGTGAAGCTGTCCTGTATGGTGGAGTGAGCGGGAGTCGTCACAGCCGTGTTGGGCAGAAGTAATGAGTGAGGCTTCCAGTCAGCCCAGGTCCGACGACCACCCCAGATATCAACTGAACGAACGTGCCACAAGGCGATCCTGTCAAGCTTACCGCCTGCCAGCAATCGAGGAAGCGTCGATGGCAAGATATCCGATGCGACTCGGAAAGATTGGTGGCATTGTGTGTGATGCTCGAGTGTTATGAAGAGGGCACTATGCAGGCGCGAGAGCGAGGCTCAGGTGCGTACCTGGGTCTGCGAAGTTGGCTATCCGAGCTATGAGCTCGACTGGCAAAGCGTCCAGAGATGCCTGTGGCATTTTGCCGACTGCGGTGTCGTACGGTATGTAGCCGGATGTCGGATAGAATGGACGTGAGGCAAGAACACAAATTGAGGTTCTCGTCGTTGTGCACGAGAGGTCATTCGGACGTCAAAGCGGTGGCTGCGCTGCCTGATCATGGTGGAGCAACGCCATGGCCTTTTCAGGGGCTCACCATACGAGCTGTGGGCCCCGAAATGAACCTGCACAACCAATCATCGTGGTGATGGGGCCCCATAGTCCCTCCTAGTTCCCGGGTTCTCCATCGCCTGCATTGAGTGAACAGCAGGAGCCCAAAAGTGAAGCCCAAAATACCCCCACACGCCGCTGTATCCGTCTTGATTCTATCTTTACGCCAGGAACCATTATGTGCGGCTAATCTAAGCCACTCTTCATTTCTGCAGGGTTTTGAAGTTGAAAGTAAATTCCTCTAAGGCCCCCTTTGTTAGCGCAGCCTCTTTGATCTGCCGATTCATCAAGCCTCTTAAGGCGCCAATGCCGTCTTCATGAGCCATGAAGACTTCTACTAACCTGACATACGTCTCCATCATCATCGCTAGTCACCTTCACCGCCTCTATCGGAAACTTTTGAGCCAGGTTCAAGTTGGCTTTTCTTGGACGTGGTTACTACACCAACACTTAGAGCATATAGCAACAAGCAGCGAATAAACGTCATGGGCCTTCTTCTCAAAATCTGTCGTAACGATCTCCCTATCGGCTCGCACTACAGTCTCGGTCGGACAAGGATGATTCGAACCATGGAGTGGCATGTGGATGAGGCAGCGGCTTCGCGCCAGACGGCACAGAAGGACGAAGAGCAGAACGGTGGGTCGGATCGGATTGGGTCAGGTCGGGTCGAATCAAAAATAGACTTGGCTAGCTATAGTGGCTCGCTAGTCTAATGGGCTCGTTCTGCACCCCGCAAACAAAACGAGACCCTCAGCGAAGACTTCCCCAGCAGAACCAGACGGAATCCATGAGGTATAAAACGACTCTCGATCTCCGCAGATGGTCATGTTCTCCTAGTCTTCCGTCCCCTCGATGGTCTCCCGCATTGAGCAGGCTAATTGACGATAATCCCAAAGTGCGATTGTTTATCTCTTGGAATGGCTGTAAGTGACCTCGCCCAATTGCCTGTTCACTCAGACGGTCCAGCCAACGTTCTATTTCCCCCAATAGACAGCCTACGACCAATTTGTTCTCTTCGGAGATTCTCTCCTCTAGAGAGCAATCATCACAGAAGATGGCTACTCACTTCGCTCTGCTCTACAAATACGTGAGTTAGTTCGAGGTGCTCACCTAATAGACCAAGGCAGCTCACTGATCTCAGGACAAAGACTGTGCTCGCCGACTCGATGTCATCAATAGAGGCATATCAGGTTGGAATTCCAAGTATGCATTGAAATACCTGCCTGAGATATTCCCACCTCGTACCACTGCATCACCGCGGATCCAATATCTTGTGAGTTTGGTCGCCGCTATCATCGGCTCACCCATAGCTTCCTATGCTAACAAATAGTCCCATAGGCTATATTGCTTGGAACGAATGACTCTTCTCGACTCGATCATCCTTGGGGCGGACAGGGCACCCTTCTAGCAGACTTCAAGGCAAACTTGACCAGCATTATCACCCACGAGAACAATCGGGCCCACAATCCGAGGATACTGTTAGTCACGCCTCCGCCTGTGTGAACGAGATAGGCGTGGCCGAGCTAGTCCGCTCTCGAGGGATGCAAGGCGGGCCACCACATATCCCCAAGCTGACGGCAAAATTCTCCCAAGCAGTACGCGACATAGCTTCCGAGCTGAAGGTCGACGGCCGCGATGTCCGGCTTCTCGACCTCCAGAAGGCTATCTTGGAGCAAGCTCAGACATCTGCAACTCCGGGTGCACTTCAAACGCTGGTGCCAGATGGCCTGCACTTGGGCCGTGAGTCGTATGAAATATTGTACCGTCTCATACTGGAAAACATGGATCCATTCCTTCCAGGCACGGGAGGATACATATATCCGGACTAGTGGAACCTTACCTATGGCAAGAGCCAAGAAGAGGTTATAGCAGGATGGGCCCGCCTGAATGGAACAGACTGTAGTCCTTAGTAAAGAGCTATTCTCTCTGACTTTCAAGATGTAGGTAATGCACTGTTGCGTGCGTCCGATGAAGTGACTATGGGCGGCGAAGACGTCTGCCGATTCTGGAAGACAGCAAAAGATCTCATTACCGCGATATGCATCCACTTGAATATCGGCGACAATGCAAAGCTCTATTTCCATAGCGAGATAGTTATGCACGACCCAACTTTACCACCTTCGAAGACACGCCTGGGTCGTAGGATCGCAGAGAAGTCGGACTGCCCGACTCTCTTCGATCCCATGCTAGACTGTGCCATCGGAATGTGCGACATTCACAATCCCGTGAAAAGAAAGCTCACGCAGCACAACCAGTGTTGGCTCTGTTACGACGGGCGCATGGCCGTGAAGCTCCGGAACCACCCCGACCTGCAAGACCACTTGGCAGAGTCGCCGATCGGCCCGGACGGCCAGGTCATAAAGAACATCAGAGCAAAATCCCCCGCGGCGCGCCATGTTCCTAGCATTGTCAGTGCCGTGGCTCATTTCAACGTAGAAGGCATATTCCTTACCAAGCAGAGAAGACGCGCACTTAGCGACGCAGAAGACGACGACGATCACCCCATCGCTGTCAATGGCGACGAACCAAGCGCTGCGCCATTGCCGCCCGCTCCGGGAACAGCTAATAACGTTGTCCGGCGCCGGCACCAGGACACCACTTCAAACCAGACTGATTGCGCACTTGGCAACCAGTACGACGGTCATGCAAGTGCACACGGCGGAGACATGCGTGGAGGCAACGTACACATCAACACTGGCAGACGGCGGACTCGCATTCGCTGGCGACACGAGTGACGAGTCGAGCGGCGACTCGAGCGACGATGACCGACGACTCCGCGATCGAGGCGAGAAGCGTGCTATAGAGGATCTCTCTGCTTTCCTCGGACAGCCACCGCCGGACCAGGAAGAGGGCTTGTAAAGTGCCATCCAAGGCGCGCGAGTCCGCCAAAGTTCGCAAAGCCACCCGGCAACGCAGTGCCCGGCGCTAGGCCAGTCCGCGTCCGACCGGGAACGTCACGGACAACGGCGACCAGTATCTCGATCAAGCGGCACAGGCCTCGACCTTACACAGAGTACCCTTTTACCAGCGGCTGCCAGTCGTAGCCCCTGTGACAGGTGCACTGGCGGTCACAGCCTACCATTGGTGGCACGGCGAGTCCTTTAACTTGCCAACATTGGCTACAGGGTCTCAGTGGAGTGCCTGGGCAGGCTCAATTGGCTGCTCCTGCGACAGTTGGTCACGTAGTAAAGGATTGGGTTATCCAAACCCCACCCTCTCTGGGTGGAGGCCACTTCGGTCGATTTTGAGGCTGAGAGTCGAAGTTGGTGATACTATCGTATCCCCAGTTGAAAGTTGAAATGATGGGCTGGGGAAGACGAGCCAATCTGGGAAGATTCCCATACAATCCAATATGCTTACAGGACCGGTTGGGCTTTCAATTAGTTGACATGGCTTTGCTGCCCGAGAGGCGTGCTCATGCGTAGAGCGGACGTCTTGCCTATGGCTAAGACACATCTTGCACTCATATCTAAACATTAAATTAAATGTGTCTCAATTCACAGTTTCACACCTCATCCCACCGTGTTGATGCTATGGTCATGTGTGAGAGAGCTTCAGACTCAGCAAATAATCAAACGCCATTGCTCTACTGTATTAGTTGAAACTACGGCCCTCCTGCGCTCAAAGGTCTGGTCATGGGAAAGAATAAAGAACCTGACAGCTATTGCCCGTCTTGCTAAAGCAAAGATGTTCAGACTTTTGCCAGCGGGGTATCAGCAGCCAGGGCAAATCTCTACCGCCATACTGACGGGCCGGATGTGCCTGCAGAGCCGAGGCATGTTGATGGAGAGCAGCAGTCAGACAGCTATCCAGATGTATGTCAGCGCAATCGCCAAGGGGATGCACGGCGAGCACTCGACTGCAGTGGCATTCCACGCCCTGGGCTGTAGATGAAGAGCTGCCGAGACTTGGACAGGCGAGGGGGCAAGGACTACTTGAAGGCAGCATCATCATGTCTGAAGTCATAGTTTGAGGTAGTGCCCCGCAGCAGACTCAGCAATGCCTCACACAGCATTTGAGGGACGGGCGATGTGTTACAATCTTAAGAATCCACAGGTTCAAAGTAGAAATCAGTCAAGAATTCAGTCAATTGATCAATGAAAGCGATTATTTATTAGTAGCGAGGTCTGTCCACTATTTACTGGGGTGAATAGATGAAACCCAGCTGGTCCATCTCATCGCCGTCGCGGCCGAGGAAGCCGACGATCTGCCAGCCCGCAGGAGCCGTGAACGTGCCGCAGTCGCCCGTGGTGGTGCCGGACTTGAGCGTGCGGCCCGTGCTCGTCGTGGCCGAGATGTAGAAGTTGCGGGTGTGGCCGTTGCGCTGGGCCTGGCACAGGGTCGCGGCGGTCCAGTACTCGGCAGCGCCGAGGGTGAGGGAGCTGGCGGTGCCGCCGCTGCCGCCGTGCGAGAGGACGGTGCCGTCGGCGAGCTGGATGCTGACCGAGTCGAGCCTGCTGTCGCCGCGGAAGGTCAGGACGGAGGCCTTGGGCTTGGTCGTCTTGGCGGCGAGCGCGGGAGCGTCGTTGAACCAGTCGCCGTGGGGACCACCGCGGAGGCCCGACTGGCGCAGGGAGGCTCCGGCGGCCCATGTAAAGTTGACGTTGACGGGGTTGTGGTCGCTGAGGATGTTGCCGTCGGGCTGGAGGAAGCGGCTGCTGGCGTACTTGAAGCCCTCGCCGGTGAGGGTGACAAGGGGGCTGGAGCGGTAGAAGACCTTGTCAACCGTCTCGCAGGCGTCGGTGGTGCTGGGGTTGCTGCACAGGGTCTCGGCGGTCGGGACGACGCCGCCGCGCTCAAACTCGACCCAGGCGTCCTTGAAGCCGCTGGCGATGAGCTCGCGGACGGCGACGTCTAGGGGCCGGCTGTAGCGGCTGTTGGTGTCGCCAAAGATGATGACGGCGTTGCCAACGCTCCAGGTCGCGGCGTAGTCGGCCACCTGGCGGATGTTGGCGCTGCGGGCGACGAGGTCGGCGTCCGAGGTGCCGGCGTCCGCGTGCAGGTTGTAGACGTCGACGTAGACGGACGTCGTGGGGGACGTGTCGAGGGCGACACGCATGAAAGTGAAGCCCTTAGGCGTCAGGCAGTCGTTGCTCTCGCTATTGGAGCACGTGGCCCACTTGACACGGTTGAACTCGACCCAGTCATAGTTGGAGACGGTGTTGAGCCCGGAGCCGAATGGCACGCCGCCCGAGGTCGCGGTGCGGAACGGGTGGTCGTCCGTCTCATAGATGGAGGCGTGGTAGTTGAAGTCCTGGGCAGGAGCAGCAAGGTCAGCATCTGCCGCTCAACACCAACAACGACTGGCCTCTCATGGCATAAGTAGTTACCTCCTGCATGTTGATAATGTCAAAGTCATACTGGGCGAAGAGGCTACCAATCAGGCGCGAGTTTGTCGTCTTGTCGCCGGGAACATCGTTGCCTTGGAGGATCGCGGGCAGGCCGGCGACGTTCATGGTGAGCACGCTGAGATCGCCGGCCGTCTTCTGGGCCGAGACGACGGCGGCGGCCACGGAGGCCGTGCCTGCTGCGAGGCGGTGGAGCTGCATCGTCGGGATATCGAGACTCGGGATTCTTGCAAGTGGCGACGGGCAACTGTGGGCAGACCACTGGAGGCAGACTGATGGCGGCGATCCGTGTCATTTTGTATCCCGACATCGTGTACCTGTATCCGTGCATGTGACTATCTCCAACAGTCTGAACGCCCAAAGGTCCAACGGGGTGGTATTGGCAATTTACCAGGCCCACCGCTGCCGGCCAGGACAGGGTCTTCGCATAATGATACCCCGGGACTTTCGGCGAGCTGCCGCCAGGGACCCCAGGTACCCACGCGGCATTATGGTTAGCCGGGCAGGGGTTCTGGAGGCAAGACCCCCATGATCGTCCAACGAGATTCCACAGCTCAGCCATGACGCATTGACGAGATCACCAACACCCCTGCCTTGTCGCCCGATGTCAGCGGCATATACAATTTGCTAAATTATGCGCACGACTCATAAACCTTCTCCAAAAGCCACCAATACCATATCGTACAGAAGATGCGTTCATCTGACCTTGGTCTCAACTCTTGATGTCCACGTGGGACGGATCAGTGGACCATGGAGTACTTTCGTGGACGGCTTTTCTGCTACGTCGCTTTCTACCCAGGGTGGCCCATCAATGCTCCCCCTTGCTCGCCTGTGATTGCTAGGCCCCTTACCTGACTCCGTCTCTCAGTCTCCCAAGGCGGCAGCACCGTTAGTAGCAACGCAAATTTGAAAAAGATAATGCGTGCTGATGTTTAAAGAAGTATAGATGCAACATCATAAGCCATAGGTCACGAATCAGTAAGCGGAGGCGCTCTCATGGACTAGCTGGCCAGGCATGGTATACTGCGTTGAGGTAGTGGGCACTAGCAAGCCCTCATACATGTCTCAATTTATACAACAGGTTCCATGGCTGTGCTGCTGAAGGTCGATTGCTATGCGTATCAGGGTGGCCATCGGGGCGGCCAGTCGTATTCGGCGCACGGCCACGTGGGAAGGAAGAGGGGTCTGCGCGGTGCTAGCCATCACCTACGGTACCTCTACGCTTCGGCCCGCGTATAGGTAGTATTAACTCTAGTCGAGCCCGGTACTAGCCCCCACGATAACTATCGGTTCTACCATCCCGCGCGTTTAATACGTGGACGATACGGGAGCGGCCCAATACGGAATTGCCTCTGTGGCCCACAAAGTGTTGGCCGCGGATATGCTCGTCTATGAGAATGAGTTTATTTAGACCGCATCGCCAAAGTTGACTGCCTTCAATACGATAACCCAGAACATCAGGGGATTCACGATGCACGTGAGTATCTGCGGGTAGCAAGCGGGCGCAGACTTCCAGCTCACGCCCGTTTGCGTGAAGGTTTTAAGCAACCTGAGCCAAACCCTTGTTTTAGACACACGACGGCTCACAAGATCAGCTGTCGCGCCCAGTATTGGAGCCTGGAAGTCTTCGTATATGCGGATCTTCCCATCGCCGCTCTGGAAAAGAATATGGCCGTCGGTTGGAAAGGTGGCCGCAAGAAGTACGCCTCGGCGACAAAGAAGAAGGAAAGCAACAACGAGAAAACATATGGAATCACCCATACTCAATGAACCAGCGGCAGCTCGTCGAGGATGGGATGAATAGCGCGGGCCGGAGGTCGACGACGACGAGCGGGAGTGTGGTGGTGATACTGGATCAGATGGCAGTAGCTTGGGGGCATTCGTGGATGAATGTAACGCCGATGGTTGCCAACAGTTTCTGCCAAGTAGGTCAGCATCTTGGTTCTTGTCGTCCACTAGAGGGCCGGAGTGTGTGCTAACAGTGCTCATAGTTGCGGCTGCGCAGAATCCCTGAAGGGTTACAGCGCCGAGCAGCGAGTAGAAGCTCGGTACCACGGCAGCTCACGCAACCCCCACGATGAACAGGGCGTTTGCTTCCAAGGAGACCGGTCTGCGAACAATGACAATGTGATAGGGGTACCCAGAAGATGGATCAGCCACGTGAATGGAAAGGACATCATACTCCCAGAGCGGAATGGGTCAACTGTCTACCACAACGACTAAGACGTAAGAGTGCCCACCATAGATACCCAATTTCCAGTCTGAGAATTAAGCTAAACCCTTGGAGTCAAGTAGACGTTCAAAGCTGGCTTTTCCCATAAGATATACACTTTACTCCTCTCGGACCAGCCCTTGGCGCTCGGGCATAGCTTCATGTCGAAATTCCAGAGTATACGGGCCATGATGAGACGCATCTCGGCATATGCCAAACTATGGCATTCATCAATGGTCAGTATATATGATCGCACATGACGGGCACAATTGCTGCATGTACTAACTTTCTACCGATACAATTTCGCGGCCCGAGCGAAAACGGTTGGACGCAGTCAAGTCGATCGTTGGAAAATCTCTCATCCCCAAGCCATCGTTCGGGGATGAACTCGTCGGGCTGCGTGAAATACTTTGGATCGTTGTACAAGGCCCACTGCCAAATCTCAACAAGTGTCTGTGGCGATGATTAGTTTCTCCTCTGCAACAGGGTTGGATATAACAAGCGGGGTTTATGCTTGTGGCAATTGACGTACATCCTCTGGCAGGTAAGTACCAATGATAGTGCCTCCATCTTGACCAATCTTCCGCGGATGCCCATTTGGTGCTGGTGGGTACATCCGGAGGGCCTCATCGAGTACGGCGAGCATGTAGGGCAGCTTTTGGACGCTAACGAGATCGATCTCATCCTCGGCTGCAAACGAAGAGCGAACCTCTTCTGTCAGCCGGGAGAGCGCTGGCTGATTCGTCCCAAGGAAATAAGTGGCGGCAGAAAGCAAGGTGGCAGTCGTCTCGGAGCCGCCAACAATGAGTATGGAAGAGTTGGAGGCGATTTCCTCTACCGACATTTCCTGTGTCCTCGTTAGATATTCTCTCAACGCCCAGATACCAATTAAGAAAGATTGACTTACTATGCCTTTGGAACCACGCTGCATCTTTTCTATGAAGTCTGGTCGGACAGGGCCTAGTGCCAGTCGCTTGCTTACCAGTTCCTTGGAAAGTTGGGTGTGTTGCAACCATTGCTTTGCGACCGCGTTCGGGACCAGATACTTCAGTAGAGGGGCGATCGAGGAGTAGCGCTTTACGCTTACCATGAAGGCCATATTCTTGAGACTGGAGACGAGCAGAGATATCCAAGGATGGTAAGCCCCATTCTTGAGGCAGCCGAAGGACTCCCCAAACGCCAGGTCGCCAATAATGTCAAAGGTGGTATAGTTGTACCAGGTAACCATCTCTATTGATCGTTTGCCGTTCTCGCAATTAGTTTGAAGCTGCCTGATCAGCTGATCCACATAGGTTTTGATGATTGGCTGTTGATCGAGCATAGCTTGAGCGGAAAATGCGTGGGCCATAGTCCGGCGGTAGCGAGCATGATCCTCCCTGTTCGAGCCCATTATGTTCTTCGTGTTGAAGCCGAACTGTATCGGGTCCTTTTCATGCTCGCCCATGCCATTCTTTCTATGGCCCCGGAGCTCCTTCATAGCATCAGGATGGCATATCGAGAGAATCTCGGGAGCCACGCGCACAATAGGGCCGTAGGTCTTGTGTAGCTCGCGAATGCGGCGCGTCACGTCACCAGAAAGATATCGCCGGGTGTAGGGAATACGTGAGATGGCTGACAGCCTGGGTCCAGGAAATCGTCGGAGCGGGTGAAAAAACACATTGTATAGGGCGGACCATGATATGTAGCAGAGTCCCTGTGAATGATGTGTTGAGTGGCATTATCACTTTCACAGAGTACAGGAATATACTCACAAGTCCACAGACAAGGATTGCTCCACTGAGTGCTGGTTTTATGATTGAGGCAAATTCCATCGTGGGTGCTGTGGGGGTTGAATTGAATTCCAAAAGTTGGAAGAAAAGGCAAGCGACAATCTCATGGGAATGTCGGAGATTTAGGAGAAAGTCTGGTTGATGTGCAACGCTTTTATACTGTTGTCTCTCGGCCTCGGTCAGCTCTCATTCCGACCGAGCTGCAGATCCTTAATCGTCGTTGGCAGCCTGACTAGACTACTCCAATTGATGCGGCGCAATCGGGGTTGTAAAGACGAGGCCTCGGTATTATACACATTGTTCAGCCAGTATTATCTCGGTCCAACGACCAGTAAGATGCATCTCGGTCCAACAACCAATTAGATGCGTCTCGGCCCCACTGACTAATTTCGGTCGACTTTGTAGCGAATCCAAGCATATTGCCCTTTAGCGCCCTCGGCCTATTGCCCAATCAGATGAGCCCTAGATCTGGTGCCACCTTGCACGTCCAATAAGCCGGGGGCCACAATAGCTACGAGACTTAGCACTCACTACATACATCTTCGACGAACTTTTCTGCTTCGAGACTGCATATTTAAGGGCCTCTTCGTCCGTTCTCTCCGTGCGACTCTCAACTGAGTCATATACCGTACATATGCCCCATGCCCCTTCGAACAGTACCTACCCTCTATCCTCAGCCAATCCACTATCTTCTCATCCCGTTTCATGTCGAGAGCCTGACGCCGCCCGGCCAAGAGCTGTTCAAGGCCCTGACTGAGGCTGATCTAGGGCCACTACAGACAGTCAGACTCTATGGGCCGAGTGCCTCTAACCAACAAGCATACAAGGACCTGAGCGACTTATGGTCAGACGTTCAATGAGGAACAGGGACTCTGGTGGCACAGTGTTGGGCCAATGTTCGCAGAGATGCTAGACATGGCCGGCTACAGCCAGCGGGACCAGTATACCCATCTTCATGTCTTCCCAAAGTCCATCGTCTCGTTTCTTGGTGTCTATCCCAGGACCGATGGATGAGCATTCTCACCCGCTACAGGACGACCTTCAAGCTGAGCCTCAACTGCAACGACTCGGTCGTCAGATACACCTATGAGCCAATCAACGATGCCACAGGCACTGCCGCTGACCCCTTCAACACGAATGCCATCTGGGAGGCTCTGAAGCAGCTGATCGCCTTGGATCCGACAGTCGATACAGAGTACTTCTGCCACTTCAAGCGAGACTTGACTCTGAACCCCTCGGAAGCTGACCTCCTGCGGGACAGCCAGTTGGCACGCTCAGACATCATGACGCAGACTAAGCTCGCTTTGAACCTCAAAGCCGATGGCCGCTTTGTCATCAAGACATACATTTATCCAGCACTGAAGGGGCGCGCCCCCGGCCAATGAATCCAACAGCTGATATTCGACTCAGTGCGGTCACTGGCGCCCGGCCAGCCAAACGTGACGGCTGCACTGGGCGTGTTGGAAGATTATGTCGATTCTCGAGCTCATGAGGGGACTGTGCAAGCGCGCCTGCTCTCGTGCGATCTTGTCGAGCCCGCCAAGTCACGTATCCAGATCTACGTCTCGGAGCAGGTGGTATCACTGGCCGCCATGAGCGACATGTGGACTCTCCGTGGTCGCCGCAATGATCCTACGACCCAAGCAGGCTTGATGCTCATCCACGAGCTCTGGGACCTGCTCCGAGTTCCCGAAGGGCTGCGCTCGTACACCAAAGGCTACATGCCGTTGGGAAGCATGCCCGACAAGGATGAGCTGCTGCCAGGCATGGCCAACTACACCCTCCATCCGGACTGCCTCTCGCCAGAACCTCAAGTGTACTTTAGCGTTTTCGGCATGAAAGACAAGGAGATCGCCGATGCGCTCACCATCTTCTTCGAACGACATGGCTGGCATGACATGGCCAAGAAATACCAGGACAGCGTATAGGCATACTAGTGAGTTGAGTCCTATTAATTTCCACACGGCACGTGGTCGTTCGCTAACAACAGAATCTTCCCCTTTCACTCAGCCCGGATGAGCAGCATGACTCGATGAACTACATCCACGCATACATTTCCTTCTCGTACCGCAAGAACAAACCGTACCTGGGCGTCTACCTTCAAAGCTTCGAGACTGGGGACTGGCCCTCTGGTAAGCATGATCCTATCCATCACTCACTCTTGCATTAGATAACTCTTTTGCTAACGTCGGGGCTCACGGCAGTCAAGAAAATGGGTGAAGGTTTTCCGGAAAAGAGCCTCCACGGTCTCAAAGTAATCGAGTTGTAGATAGTCACCGTCAATTCGTGATTGGCCAGTTTGAGATTTGGAAACTCAATTCTCGCTCGGATTGGACAGTGATATACTGAAGTTGAAATAACTTGCGCGAGTGTCTCAGAACCTCAGTTTTTCTCTAATAGAAAGCATGACAATACCCCTGCCATGAATCGCAATGATGTCTGCAGAAAACGAATTCAGAGCTCCTAAAGAGGTAATCAACCACTTGCTGCCTGAAGCCAAACTGTACCATGACGAGTGTCTGCCAAACCTTCCAGTCCCGTAGGCCTCAATTGGCCCATCCATTCTCAACTCCGCATAGATATGTCAGGGCGACCATCGGGGCGGCCAGTCGTATCCGGCGCACGGCCACGTGGGAAGGAAGAGGGGCCTGCGCGGTGCTAGCCATGATCGGGGCGATGGAGCCGGAGTTTGTCACAGCCTGGGCTTGATGGTCCCGCTCTTGTGCTTCCTCCTCCTGCATCGACATTCCCGCGGGGTTTCGTGGGTGTCCATGGACGATCTGTGTTTCCCCCGTCGGATTGATAGCAAATATCGGCTGAAAGACCGGGGCGAAGTGCTGGGTTGATTTGGACCGGCCGCCATTGTAGGACCTGTATGTACAGGGCTGTGTAGAAGGCACATGGGCGGCCGCTTGATCTCGCGTGACGAGATGGTCAGCGCCGCTTGATGCCGAATCAGCTGGGATACCCTGGCCCAGACCAGTGGTCGATCCGGCGATAGGTTGGTTCACAGCTCTCTCCTCGAGTGTCTCGTCCCAGATGATCCGGGCTTGTTCTGCCAGGCGCTCCGGACACCACTGGCGTGCGCGCCGTCGTAGTCCATAGCTGCGACAAATGACGGGACCTCGGGTGGCGCTGCTCGAACGTTTTTAACGACCTGGTCGGCCGGCGCAATGGGAGTCTGTTAAGCCATCGTCCAAGTCCGGCTGCTTCCTGAGAACCATGCCTATGGAGCCAGTGTAGAGCATCCACCACCGGTTACGGGTGGTAAGCCGGCGCTGACTGACATATGCAAACGGCCCATGCCGGAGTCCAGGACCGCGTCGAATAAAGACGGACCATCACGGCTGGACGCGTCAATTAGTCGTCCCACGGGGGATTTCGAGGGCTGGGAGAGCGGGTCATGTACTTCGACGTCCTGATACAGGCATTGCTTGATGTCATCGCTCAGGCCGAAGTATACAGAGATAGCGTCGGTGAGCCTCTTCTGGTAAGCCCAGTTTCTCTCTACGTCTGCTCCGGCTAACTCACGCCAATAAGTTTTGCGGGCAGCGTGGTTCCGGCGATCAATGTCCATGGTGGCATTGCCGGTCACCCGCCTGAACGTGCCTAGTTGTGAATGCGGACACTCTAGGCTCATTGGCCAAAACGGTAGTTCTCAGGTGCTGTGCAGGAACATGCGCAAGAAGCAATCGCGCTGAAGATAGGGTGTGTTCAGGAAGGACGGCTAACCTTCTGGCCTTCTGGCCCTCTGGAGTTTATGATCAAATACAAATATCGACAAGGCTATTTCTAGTCAGAGGGTCACAGGGTTATAACATTAGAATTCAAGCACGATCGGTGTCGAGAAACTGGAAAAGCAAGACTTCGTGGATGTGGTTGACATGGGACTAACCAATTAGCTTTTGTAAGAGCTGCTGTCTTTCAGCAACGCGGCTCAGCAGGAGAAGAATGGTGCTTTGGCCTGAGTTATGGAGGTTCTCTTGAGCGTTCACAGTCCAGCACAAGCTCGTATCACTAGAATCGAGGCGTTTTGCCTCAATGAGAGGAACCACGATGTACCTTTCCACATGTAGTAGATAGAGGGTTATCACAACAAGACAAAGCCCAGGTGAGCCATCATGAGCAAGTGAATGTCAGAACTGCTGTTAATCTTCAGAGCAATCAGATTTCCTCAGCTCCTGTTGCCAATGATGTGGCGTGTCTCCAGGATGGCCACCTTCAATGGCAAGAGGTCATTCCAAAATGAAAACGACATCCTTTATGTCCGTGCCAAGATCCCCCTTGGCTCTCATCATGTCTCTCAAGTAGCACCACCCTACCACTACCCAAGTCCCAGGATAAGAACCTCCCGCGTTTCCCATATTCAGAACAGTACTCTCGCCCGTCTCTGGAGTTTTCCTCAGTACAAGAGGCAGCCGGCAACCCGGTATGATCGCCACCACGTCGCCTTTCTCGATTACACTCGTGCCAATACCAAGGTGGCCACCTTTAGTAAAGAAAACCAGCCAGCCACCTGTCTGCGTTAAAAAGTGTTGGTGGTACTGATTTGTGGCGTCGTCATGAGACGTTCCCACGCCGCTGCCGTCATCCACCTTCGAATCGATAGAATTCGTCTGTCGCTCTAGCCATGTCAGATACTCTTTAAACTGAGTCACAACCTCTGGTCCTGCGATCCCGTCCTGAATATCCAGCCCAAGGACAAGGTCCAGGGCGAGCTGATTTTGGTGGTCATCTCTGGACGAGCATCTTGTTCTCTGCCATGAATTGAGAACTGTATGGAGGCGCTGCTTATGCTTGCTGAGATCCTCAAAGACATCAAATGGTTCGGAAAGATGATGAACTTCATCAAGAACTCGCCCGGTTACCTGTAGTCTTTTAGATGGCCCCAGCGTAGGCTTGCATTGGAGGTGCCCACCAGCATCCCAGCCGGCCGGCTCGCAGCAAGCAAATGGTGCGTTCACGTCGTCTCTGTAACGAACATAGATAGCCCATGATGGAAATCCAGCTGGCCTTGGCCGGCAGATGCCAGCTAGCGCCAGGATATCTAGAGACCTGCCGGAACAGAGCAGTGATGTGGACAAGTCCATGAAAACCGCGTCGACCGAGTCTTGGTATTCGGGATCGTGACCATCGACAACAATTCTGTAATCCGGCTTTGGCATCAAAGCTCGAGTTTCTCCGTCGCAGATGCCCATGAATGCGAAAACAGAATCCCGTCGATCCGTAACGCCAACGAAGAACGCTGCCTCCAGCAGCACTTCAAGAGCCACCGCGCCGTCCTGGTGGTAGCGTCGACGAATCTGCAGTGTGCGCGTGACGCTGTACAAGCCAAGCACCGGCGGATCTTTTTCGTCGTCGTATATGTCCCAAAAAGGAACGACGGTCCATATCGCCCACACGAACTTCTCAAATATATCGAGATCAATTTCGTGGTTTCCATAGCTGAAGCTCACCCGGCGACCGAGCGCTGCCTCTTGGATCACCCACGTGCGGTGGAACCACGGGCTTGCCAGGATCGCGAGCACGTCGCGGAGGCCCTGCTTGATGGTCCTCTCGTCTGGCGGAGCCTGGGCGTTCCTGCGTGCTTCCGCCAAGGCAGTCATATATGTGAAGGCACTATCTGCCACTGGATGGGATTGTCCAAGCCAGACAATGACTCGGCTGGCCGAGGCATAGATCTGGCCCATCATACTAACCTGTGACGCTCGCTCCGTGACGTCTTGCTGGTTGATGCACACTAAATCGATCCAAAGATCGATGTAGTGTAGGCCATGTCCAGTCTGTTGTGTGGTGGCTTTCTCGTGTTTGGATTTCAGGGCGGCAATGAGCCCTGCCAGATTCTTGCTTAGAGGCAGAAAGGAGCCATCTGGAAAGGAGAGTTGTGCTTCTGCGACGCCCGTGTCCCAAGTGTGTGAGATTGCCACGAAATCATTCTTGTCCTGGAGGTTGACCGTGCAAAGCTCTGCCGGTAGGACTGAGTCGTCCAACCATGTGCTGCTAGCTTCGCCCGCCGTCAGAATGCGAAGAATCCGAGTATATGCGCCGTTGGACGGCAGTTCACCGTACGGTGTCGACATGATGTCTCGTGGCAATGGCTCAGGTGGCAAGAAGCGAAGATGACCTTGGTGCAGCCGAGTCAAGTGTGGAACTGGCAGGCCTTTGTGAAGCAGATCCAAGGCTGAGACGACTGATCCTTGCCAAGCGGCGGATGCATAACCACGTCATCCCGCGGGGCACAACTGATTGGCGAGGGGGAATTTACATGTGCCACAGAAACGCAGCAGTGAGTAGATCAGCCAACACCTCGAATGCCACATCGCGATAGACAATACTAGCGAAAATATTTACCAATCGGTGTGGGAATCACATTCTTCATGGCCCGGACGTCTCATAATCAGAATCAAAAATATTCATCCAGCGCATTTGTTAATTATAGGTTTTTGAATATGAATCGTTCTCCTTGACCTCTTCCTCCATTAACCATACCCGCGAAGAAGCTTCAAACAGTTTGAACCTTCTTCTCGTCCAAACTCTGAACAACATGCCCGTCCTCATTCGCCAGCGTAGCCGCAACCTTGCCCGTCATCAGCTCATCCGTGTTCGGCGCAAACCACGTCAGCACGACAGCCAGCGCGGAGAAAGCGATCGTCGTCAAGTACACGGCCTTGAACGCATCCGAATACGCCCACTTGTACGCCCGCACGCCGACCGCAGTGATACTAGCGGTCAGTCCAGGTACCTTTGCAAACGCCTCGGGCGTGCCCACCGTGATGGCTGCCATGAAATCCGCCACCGAGGTGGCCGGCAGGCCCGCGCCGACCAGGGCGGCCGGGACGTCGTTGGACAGATTCTTTGTGAGCGAGTTGGTCAGGACAGTGGTGTACACGGCGATGAGCACGGCGCAGATCGCGGCGCGGACCGACCCGGCCACGCCTCCTGCGGCGCCGATCTCGCGCTGGTCCTTGACGAGGATTGTGGCGTTGGCGAGGCAGATGGTCTCGTTCCACCCGATAAAGACGCAGCCAATGTACACGAGGGCGACCACGGTGGTCTTGTTGTCCGGAGTGATGCATCCGCAGGCACCGAGGAACGCGCCACCTATGGTGAAGACGGTCATGCACTGGTACCGGGTCTTTCCGATGGGTTCGGCAAGGACGCCAGAGATGACCTGCCCCGTGATGATGCCGAGGCCGACAATTGAGGACAGCCAGCCAACTTCGGTAGCGTCGCCGCTGTTATAGAGCACGGCAACCTGGATGGGTATGATGATGGCGAAAGCGTAGTACACACCCGCGCCGAGGCCGAGGAGCACGACGGCGGAGACCCAGCGGCCGTTACGGAACAGGTGCATGGGGACCAGGGGCTCCTTGATTGGTGCGTAGATCTCCCACAACACAAAGATGGCCATGACGGCGAAGCCGCCGACGATGGCGGTGATGACGGCCGCGGACTGCCATGGGTACAGGGACCCGCCCCAGGACAGGCCGAGCAGGAAGACGACGAAGCCGGCAATGAAGAGGAGCGTGCCAATGTAGTCAAAGTTCTTGATCCAGTACATCTTGCTGTTGATGTCGCCGGCGTGCTTCTTGCCAAATGATGGAGGGAAATAGAACAGGACCCAGAGGATCAGAGCCACGCCGTTGAAGCCGAGCAGGATCCAGTAGACGCCGTGCCAGCCGATCGAGCTCGCAACCAGCTTATATGCGATGACGGGGGCTACTCCGCTGCCCGGAATGCAGAAAAGGTAGAGGAAGGCATTCCCAAGGAAGCGGTATTTCATCGGAACAAGCTCGCCCATGACGAAGTGGAAGCTGAGCTGTGGGCCGGTGGCGATTCCGAGAAGAACATTGCCGCCTGCCATGAGAAGATCTTGTTAGCCTTCCAGGAGTACGATGGAGGGTTTGCAGAAACATACCGATGAGCATGGGGACACTTTTTGACTTGGCACAGACCACGCTGCCAATGACACCAAGAACCTGACCACCAATAAAGAAGTATCGTCGGCCAAAGATATCAGACAGACGCCCGACGAGAACCAACGCAATAGCCAATGTGACGTTGTACACGAGACTAACCCAGATGAACATTGGGTCCGGGCCGAGATCATTGTTTCCGGGCCGAGATCATTGTTGATGATGGTCAGCAAGGGGGCGGCGAAGCCAAAGGCAGCCACACCGCAGGTCAGGGACACGCCGACAGCGAACATCGAGCCGATGAAGAACTTGCTGGTGTAGTAGCCTGGCGGAAGGTGACTGAGGTCTGTCTCGAAGCCGATGATCTCGCCAGTTGTGCCAGCCTCGGAGTGCACGTTGCTTTCGACCTGGCTGAGGTCGGTGCTGCCCATGGCGTCCTCATTGTGGGCCACTTGGGCCTTCTGGTCGGTGTCCTGCATGTCGAGTTTGCTGGATTCCAGAGTGATGATGCTTTAGGCTTGATGTCAGGTGGTCGAGGTTGACTCGGACTAGGAAGCTCCCTTTTCGTTGATGACCTCCTGACCCAAGTGTAGTATCAGCAAGGCAGTCAGAGTTAAAGGACAGTGGCTGCAAATTGAAAGGTGCACTCTATCCCGCCCTTCTCGTTGCAGGTTCCAAGGGAGATATGCAGTGCAGAAGCAAGTGCAGGGAACCCTATTGATATACCCAGTTTCAGAGAGTAGGTTCCAGGCTCGCCAGTTCTGCATCTGCCGGCGCCGTTCTCCGCACCTCTGCTCCATTTCCCCAGCTTTTGCCCCGTGGCAGCCGTGTGGCAAAGATCGAGATGGTCTAGACCCATGCGTCCAGGCCGGGCCAGTGATCGTGTTGGAGAAGTTCTGGTCTAGTCCCGCTGGATGCTAGACCTGTCCCTGGTGCTCTTGCCGGTTCACAGCTATTCTGAAAAGAGCCTGGCTCAGTATGAACCTCCTGGGAAGTCAGCCGAGCCGTCTCACGAGGAGGGCCGGGTATTTGCACCTGTACCAGGCATGAATGTAGATATATCAATGGGTGTGGGGCCTTCGCATGTGTAACGGGCGCCGCAGGCACGTGGAGGGGTGGTGCAAGCTGGTGCCAGGTAGATCCGTTGCAGGGCATGGTCTTGTGCTCTGCTGAATGGATGGGCTAGGTTCTCCTAGTATTACTGATGAAGGGCAGTGGCAGGTCGAAGGGTCGGGTTGGCTTGCTCATCGCTTGGTGGCTTGGTGGCTTGGGGGCCAACGAGTCGTCAAACAAGGTTCCGGCTATGAAGTTCCGGCGTCTTGCGACTCGTGTCCTCTCCGCTTCATGGTTTCCCGCCCCCTGGCATGACACAAAACAAGTCCAAATTCATCGTTGCGGAAACTGAAGTCGACTTAAGAATATTGGACCAATCTCTCATTTGCGCCACGGACACGGTTTCTTTGGGCACTCTGAAGCTGAAGTGTGCAATTTGCAGGAATAGGTATTGGGTAAAGTGGATAGAGGCGCAGACGTGCGACTCCCCTGGGTGAACCTGAAAGTTTTCAAACCAGTGATGCCCTGAAGATCTGTGCGAGTGTCACTTTTGCGCGTATCTTCTGGGCATTGATTCCGTCTGAATCTCATGCACCGTTAGCGCTGCAGGCATGCAGCAAGTTTTAAGGCAAAATATCCCTAGGCAGATCGTGGGCAGTCGGAGTATCGGGGTCTCGGAGCGAAGCAGAACAACGCGTTTCGTTTCTATTCACATGCTCAATCAACTCTCTCTTTTATAGGGATGAGGTGATATTGGGTCGTCGCTTGCGCACCTACCTGCGTAGACTTCACCTCTTTCAAGGGCCACGGGCTTGTCTTATACCCTTTCGGCACTTGCAATCTCGGGGCTTCCGCAAAAACAAGAGAGTCGGGGTCTATCACAAAGGTATGCTCGCATCAAGATCCAGTGATGGTACAAAGCAAGGAACTTGATCTGCAGCTTGCAGCTCTGCTCCAGAAGTAGTCTCATCGAAAGCAGGCTCGAAGTTCATGCTATTTCGAGTTCAACTGTGTTGTTTTGCCCAGGTGTTCCTTGCGAAGGTTGGAGCTACCCGACGAACACCCACGTGGCCGATCTTTGGACTGGTGAACTTCTGTTCTCACAGATCCTGATTCTCCCATCTTTTTCTTGTTTCCCGTTAGTAACATTACATGTAGCTAAATCTTCCGATTATTACAGTGCGGGAATCGGGGCTGAAGTTCTTTCCGCTTATCCGCGCCCAGGCAAGGCCGGATACCTCGATCCGAGATGGACTTCAGTACCACCAGTTCTGTGTCTCGGTGGACAGTGGCTTGCGTTTGCAAAATGGTGCGATCAGGAGGCTCCTTACTTGAGAGTCTGCAAAATCAGCTGGAGAGCGAATCAATTCTGGTAGATGCCCGATACGACTGGTAGAGTTCTTTCTCCTGAAATCATACATATATGCATGAACGGGTGACCAGGACGAACATGCCAGGAGCTTTCAGTAAGGTGTGGCGAACTGGCATGGCTACGCCTGGAACGTGCCTGCAAGGCTCGGAGCCGATGGCTGACGATCTTCTTTTGAGCCCGCACCATCCATCACGCCCAGCCAGGTCTAGACCTGACCTGTGCCATGGGCGGCTATCACTAGCTGTGACAAGCGTGTCTTTGTAGAGCCTGGAACTTTGAACGGCCCCTGGATCTGAGCATCCGGCGCGACTGGCTCGGCTCCACGCAGGTCCAGACATTGACCAAGGACCAAATCCTGCGGACACAGTCTACGAGCATGGTGCTAGTGCCTCTGTTCCTTCGTTCTATTAGTCGCTAATATGGCCTACAGATCTGGATTGATGCTCCATCGACCTCTTCTTGTAGTCTGGCTGAGCAAATGACTTGTAAGACGCTAAAGTGACTACGCATCTGCGCAAGCCTCAGACTTGATGCCATATCGAAACTCCTTGATGAATGTGTCACTATGAAACACTTGCATTCAAACATATTTATAAGCCTGTTGCTCGTAGTACAGTGGCAGGACTTACTGAATTTTCCATACATGTGGGAGTTCAGCTTGTCAGATAGGCCACTTCTCGTTTGCCGTCAAAATCTGAGCCTTACGAAATATCATCGACGAACGATAGACCCAAGTTCAGTTGCCAGTGCCTCACCTCTTGCACGTTTCCGGGCCCTTCTAGCCGTTCTAACACTGCCTTGTCGTTTCTGTTGCTTGTTGCGATACGGATGTTACACAGTTGCATTACATGTGTGCCATTGCGTTACAGTCACTGAGGAAACCCGACCGTCGGAGCTTCTTCAGATGCGCAAGCCGAAGGTTCTTGGGCTTTTTGTAGTAGTCGCCATGCTCTTGGCAAGCTTGCCATCGCCAGCAAAGGGGCGGGGGTCTCTGTCTCTCTCGCTCAGCATCAAAGAATGCATTTAAGAAGCACAGGCACCTCTAGGCTGCGGATTGAGGCTCTGGTCATCAACCATTATATTGACGAACGCGGACATTTCCACGTCTCATCATAGCCAAGCAATCAATCAATACCGGTTTTTGAAGAGCTTGCAGAATGCACAGGCGGCGCAGAACAGTCAAGTTAATTGATGGGCATTGTGGCTACGGGAAATGCTCAGGAGAAAGAGGATGTGGTAGCTTAGTGCGGATAAGATTAGGCATTGGCATGCCTCGATGGCCCGCCAATACCCCAAAGCTTCCCCGCATGCATGGGTTCTATTCGGGAGGCCGGCTTGGCGTAAACTAAGAAGCGGGGAGAGGCGCGGCAGTGATGCCAAGCCACTCAGGCAAACCACCATCGGCGGCGTGCTCTCCGCCTCCGGCTGGGGAGGCAGATAGATCAAGAGAAATTAATGGCTCGGTGTGTCACAAGGGTTGATCCTCAAAGTGCAATATTGAGTCCTCAGGTTGCTAGCTGGTCTGGCAGTCTGTGAAAGCAGAGACGAGCTATCATCCCAAAAGGAGGCACAATGCGGCTGGCAATTGGCATTAATCAACGGTTCATAGGCTATCAACAATTCCAAGCTCCGTCAATTGCAATATTGGCGCCGCTGATGTATGACGCATCGTCGCTGAGCAGGAACGCAATTAGCTTGGCCACCTCTTCAGGCTTGCCTTCGCGCCCGAGACCAATGAAGGACATATCCCGTTGCACGTCGGCAGTCCCATGCGCAATCTCCTTGGACTTTGCGACCATTGGCGTCGCAATGTAGCCACTATCAAGCAACTGGTTGTCAGCACATGTCCGGCATGGGACACACGAGAATTGACGCATGAGAGCACGTACGGGCAGATCGCATTGACTCTGATGTTTTGCCCGCCCACCTCCTTCGCGGCAGACCTCGTCAGACCAATCACGCCATGCTTGGACGCAGTGTAGTCGCTGTTGCAGGCGCGCCCGGTGTTGCCGGCAATGGACGAGGCATTGACGATGGCGCCCCCGTCCGCCATGATGCGCAGCTGCGAGCGCATGCAGTGCATCACGCCTGTCAGGTTGACGCCAATGACAAAGTCCCACATCTCAAAGTCCTGCTCTGACAGCGGCTTGATGGAGATGTATTTGGAGATGACGCCCGCCAGGTTGGCCGCCCCGTCCAGCCGGCCGAATTTCTCTACTGTCGCCTTGATCCAGCTGTCGACCTGATCGTAGTGGCGCACGTCGACGACCTGCGTCATGACCTGCGCGCCACTGATTCGCGCCTCGATGTCCGCTTTTGTCTTGTCCAGTGCGTCCTTTTGGATGTCGGCGAGGGAGATCTTGGCGCCGCGGCTGGCGAGCAAGTGTGCTGTCGCGAGTCCGATGCCAGATGCGCCGCCAGTAATGGCAATGACCTTGCCGTCGAACTGTGCGTTGAATGTCATGTCGAAGGATGCGTCTGAAGCCTGCTGACTGTAGCGATTAGAAGGGCAGATGCCTTGCCAGAGCACACATGAAAGAAATGACAAGCGATGGTAGTCGCCCTCGGAAATAGAGTATAAGGCAGGTCAATCCGCGGCTATGCATAGCCGGGATCCGTCGTCGTGCGGAGAAGTCACTCTAGCCCGCTTGCAGCAAGCCGTTCACTGCGGGCCGCTGCTCGCCAACAGACCAGTCATCGGTCAATGTAGAATGAATGTTGTGCGCTTGAATTCAACTGCATGTTTTCTTACAGAGTCCTCCAATCCGGGCACGGTTCTGCAAAGTTGTACCAATTTTTGTCTGCAACTCACAGAATCATACTAACAAGCCCACAACCGCTGCAGGTGCCGTCCGTGGCTCGCATCCGAATGCTATTGCGAAAATCGAGGTCCGTTCCCGAGCTGACGTGATGGATGGCCGCGTCAAATTCTGCAGAGGCTGGGTCTCTTTCTTGCAATGGTCTCCACCATGAACGACATCAAGAACAGGACTCTTTCTGTCCAGGCCTTCCGTGTGGGCCAAGTAGGATTCAGAACCTGCAGTGTCATCCCAGTGGTCGAGGGTACTCCCTCCAGACAAGATAACAAATTGCTGTTGCCTGGGACCTCAACTACCACCGTCCTGAAATCCAACCACTAACGACGCAGAAGAATGATGTCCCCTGTACAGCGCCGTTCGTATGAAAACAATGGTACTACCATCAGCCCCCAAACCCCCCGCCGTCATCACCAATACTCTACCACAATATAAATCGATGGGCTTGGAACAACATGACGAGCATGTCTCCTCGCCTCTCGATGGCCGCTCCAAGTCCTGGCCTCGCTATCCTGCCCACAGAGCTCATCCTCAAGATTGTCAGTCATCTCTCCACACGCGACGCCGTGTGTGGCCTGGCATACACAAGCCGTCACTACTGCACCACCATCATCGACTTTGCCTATGCCCGTCACATCCGGTCCGGCGCAGCAGGCGGTGCGCCCTTGTGGTATGCGTCCCGAAAGGGACTTGTCCAGGTCGCTGAGAGGGCGCTGAGGTGCGGTGCGAACGTCAACGAATTCGTCGAGGAATATTGGCGGCGCGGGATAAACGGCAGCACACCGCTCGCCTGGGCGGTCACTCGCCAAGATGCCCCCATGGTCAAGCTGCTACTTGAGTACGGCGCCAGTCCGGTGTCCCACGTCCCTTGGTACGACAATTGCGTGACGCGCGCGGCTGCGGATGGCAACCAGGAGATTGCACGGCTGCTGCTGGAACAAGCGCACGACGACTTTCTGCGGACTCCGGGTCGCGTCAGTGGTACGGGGCAGTCGCGGGACCAAAGTGGAAAGACACCGCGGAACCCCTCAAAGCTGATCCATGTACGCGAAGGTTGTGGGAAAACTGCTCTGCACAGAGCTGCCGCAGAAGACCAGAGCGACATGATTCACTTCCTGCTGGATTATGGGGCCGACTTGGAGGCAAGGGACGGAGAGGGCTTGACCCCCCTGTGCGCCGCGGTCGAGGCTGGCCGCTCCGGCGCCGTTCGGACCCTCCTCGCCCTCGGGGCCGACGTCCTGGCCATGGCCCGCGACAACAAGCAAAACAGTCTCACCACATCGGCCAATAACGTTCGGGCGGACGTTTTTAGTACCACGGAATTTCTTGAGCGTGACCTCGCGATCTTCAGACAGCTTCTTGAAGCCATTACGCTCAAGGGCCAGGTTCGACACACAGCAGCAGAGGTTGTGCAACATCCCGGGACCCGGAGCACGCCCCGCTTGCTGGATATCGCGGACTATCAGCTCAATGAAGTGCTGTATCTCTGCAGCTCTGCCGCGATCAAGATTCTCATTGATGAGTACAACGTCGACCCGGACGTACTGAGTCCCGACGGTCTGACACCGCTGATGCGCCGCATAATGGAACCCTGGAGCCCACCGCCCAGCAACTCCGGTGGCAGGGGATGGGTACCTGAGAACGACGCAATCGCGATAGGCATACTCCTCGAAGCCGGCGCTCAGGTCGACTCCTTGCACCCAAGAACGGGCGAGACCCCGCTGCTCACCGCCATCGAGGCCGGCCTGGACCCGGAGGTTTGTCTGACCCTGCTCAGATACGGCGCGAGCGTCACGGCACGGGGCCGGGATGGCATGGACGCGCTGTTGAAGGCCATGCACGAGCAGGATGTGGAACTCGCAATTCATTTGCTCCGGGAGCGGAAGGCTGCTGCCCAGACGGTTGACGTGTTCGGTATAAGTGCTCTGGCACACGCGGTGAGCGGCTTCTCCTTGGAGGTCGCGCGAGACTTGATTCAGCGCGGCGCCGAGCTGGAGACGAGGGACAACCTGGGGCGGACGCCCCTGATGCAGGCGGTTGTTGTAGGGTTCACAGAGGGGGTATCGTTCCTGCTAGGCCAGGGTGCCGAGGTTGATGCTCTCGCTGCTGCAGAGGAGGAAGCCCGTGGAACGGATGCGAATGAAGTCGGGCCCCCTCTCGAGCTGAAGGAGACGCCTCTCATGGTCGTGATGCGCCATGGCGTCGTTGAGATCGTCAAGATACTGATAGAGCACGGGGCGGATGTCAAGCTAGCAGCGAGGCTTGACCCGTTACTGCTCCAGCACGCTTGGGGGATGGGCGATCATGCAGAGGAGATTGTCCGTCTGCTTGGAGAGCATGGTGTCGAGGGGATGAGGCCCCTGGAATTGCCACCGCGGCGCTCTGTCACGAGGAGCAAGCTGCTTCGGCGAAGAGGCAGAAGGATTGTGGTCACAGAGACCTGACAAAGACCAGGGGATGATGGATATCATGTTCCATGAAGGTTTTGCCTCGAAATACGGCGCCAAGTCAGGCTATCAAGCAGAATAGACGTTACTCCACAATAAAACGCATGTTGAACCGCGTTGCGAAAAGCCCATCGTATTGAATTATATAACAAGAAAGGTCTGAAAATACACCATGTCGCACTTCAAGATCCCAAAACCAAATCGACTATTTTCAAATGTGCAAGGAATCACTCTGAAACCCATGAGTTCATCAAAACGGTCCGCCAAATTGGAACCCTGGCGGTGGCTTCCCTCCCTCAAAGTGCAGTTCCGATGCGTTGCCTTGCGAATCTATGAAGATGTGCCGCGTGGGCAGGACCTTGAGATCTAGTACCGGTTGGATCCTATAATGCTCGTCGTAGTGGTGGATGTCGCGATGGACCCGCTCCTGCACAATTTCGTGGACGGGTCGTTGGACATGCTCATGTACAGCGGCTGAATGGACACGTTAGTAAAACTAGAGCAGTGAAGGACAAGGATCTGAGCTCCAATGGAGCGCCAGAGGGCTTCTCTTCTACTCCAACAGCAGGCCACTCAAAGTCAAAACTTACGCGTAGCAGTCACGACGGCCTTGTCTACCGTGTCAGATGGTGTCGCCTCCGGGAACGTATATTTGTTTACTCCCTCATCCGTGGCGGCAGGAGTCACAGGCAGGCTACCGTGATTGCCAGTCCTATCCATGTCTTGTCCGGCCCCAACGGCTTCATCAGAATCCCAAGTCTCTTGGCCTGTACTTTGCTGCTGTGGCTGTTGTTTCCCGATATTCAGCTCCTGCATCTGTTTCTCCAGCTGCTGCTGCTGCTGCTCAAGCTCTTTGTCGAGGTCGAATACGCTGGCGATGCAATTACTCTGCTGTCGGTACATCTGCCGCTCATTGTTCCTGGGTTCCGAGCTCGCGACGCCGACGGGCTCGGCCTTCAGCACCATGAGCTCCTCCCGGGGCATCAGTGGCTGGTCGTCCTGGCTGGGCAACTTGAGGAAGGGCGGCTCGGTGCCTATCGTCGGCTTTGTTTCCTTCGGCGGGGTCGGAAACTCCTTGGCCGCGGCCGCGACATCGTAGGTGGTGAGCGACTGCTGGCGGTAATGCCTGCCATCGCGCTCCGGCTGGCTGTGCTTGAAGGAGTAATACGAAGGGAACTTTTTCGGCAGCGGGGTCTTGTCATCCTTTGGTGGCACGGGCGGAGGTCCATCATGGCGGAACTTGCTCAACGAGCGACGCAGCGCGAACTGAAGCCGCTTCTTTAGAGGAGCTGGCTGGGCCATGCTCATCCGTGCCGCAGATCCCAGGCCTATTGCTCAGTCTGTGTCTACCAGTATGCGACGGACGTATTGGCGATCTCGAGCGGGAGTCCGATAGGCGCAAGCCAGAGTGCAAAGTAAATGGCTGCAGTGGTCCGCAGCCTCAGTCACGGCATTGGAAGAAAGAGTTTGGAAAGAAGTAAAGAGTTTGAGATCGCAAGTCTCGCAGAGTCACTGGCCGGGATCGAGAATAACTTGGCCTGCCTTGTTCATGCACATAAAGGCAGCGTCGCCCGTGTGCGGCGGCAGGGGCTGTCCCCGTACGGACGAGAATAAGTGCCCGCAACCACACTTAGAGTTTGTGAGGGTCTTGCCTGCCAAACTGTAAAGCCGGCCTGGAGTGCCTGCGACGAGGCTGGGATTTGTCTGGACGGTAAGCGGATGGTGGTTGCTATTGAGCCAAGGGGACACCACAATGGTGTGTGAACAATCACGATATCTCTTCTTGAAAGCTTTTCCGGGAAAAGCAAGACAATGTCCATGATGTGCCTGCGGAGCGTGCCCTATTCGTGCTACAGACAACTGACACATTGCTGACGTCGTCGAGAATGTGACGTGGGCTTGGCACGTCGTCTTGTGGTGTGGTTAGCCAAAGCAAGGAGCAAGACTACAGTTGGGGCCCAGAATAATCCGGCCCAACCACCCCACCGACGCGAACGCGTCGCGCCACCTGCAAACCCTCCCTTCTTCAAAACCACCATTTCGAGCGCATTTTGAGGTTATCATGGATGATTTTGTTGCTGGAGTGTGCGCCGATAGGCTGCCGAAGCAGGATTTCACTCCTAAGAAGAAAGCAGCTATCTGCGCCGCCCATTTCGCAGGTGTAACGCACCGCCGCATTGCCGAGCTTACGCGGGCCTCCAAGTCAACAATCACCCGCATTATCTCGGACTGGAAAAACAACGGCAACCTAGCCAAATCGCCTCGGAATGGTCGCAATGGATTCACAAATGCCCAGAGAAGGCGCGTACTAACTATCGTCAAACGCAAGCGAAAAGCGACGTGGCCAGAGATCATACAAGCCATGCCCTTCCAGATCTCCAAGACATCTATAAAGCGCATCATTCACGAAGCTAAGCTACGTAAGTGGAAAGCTCAGAAGAGGATTCCGCTATCTAAAGAAGCACGAAGAGCTAGGCTTGCATTTGCAAGAGAGTGGCTACCAAAAGTCGACGAATTGCAGGAGGTACGTGTAAGTGAAGTTGGTGGGATTATCCTGACTTGATCTAGGTGATTTTCACGGATGAGTCGTCCTGCCAGAACTCCACGAACGCACCCGCGCAATGGGTATTCCGCTTCCCAAGCGAGAAATGGGACGACCAGTTCGTTAACCTTAAATCGCACGTTAAGGCGAACCTATCCATTATGGTTTGGGGTGCCATATACCTGAAGAACGGCGTGGGGTGCCGGTCAGAGTTGGTGATAATGCAGCGCGAACCGCAGCCAGATCCTAACAAGCGAAAGAAGGGCTATACGGCCTGGAGTTATCAGAAGGCATTACGCGATGGCTTCATCCCAATATACGACGATTGGCAGGTATTTCAGCAGGATAATGCAGCAATTCATTGCGCAGAGAGTACTATGGATTGGCTCGCCGTCAGGGGCATTGCGGTACTACCAGACTGGCCAGCACACTCGCCAGATCTCAACCCAATTGAGCACATTTGGGCCTCAATGAAGCGCCAGCTAGTAAAACTGTTTCCAAACATTATGGCCCTCAAAAGAAACGACGGTGATACCTCCCAATTTGAGGAGTGTTTGAAGTCGGCGTGGGCAGCAGTGCCGGAACGGCTGATCACAAAGGTCCTCACTACAATGGACCGTCGCCTTCGCGCAGTGGCCCGTGCGCGCGGAGGATACACCAAATATTGAAGCCGCCATCGCCAGCTTCAAAATGCAATAATTACTACTCGATTCTGACCTCGTTTGACGGTTCTGTGGCCTTTTGTCGTGTGCAAGTACTGTGCAGCCAATTTTGGTGGGGGGGCTTGGGCCGGATTAATTTGGACCTGATCAGTAGTAATAAAGACGACGCCCACATCCAAGACACCCTGCCGGATTCGTCCCTAGCCTGGGCGTGGATCCGACCAAGAGCGCCCGCCGCTTCCGCGCGCTGGCTAATTTAGCCCCCGCCAGCACCGCCGCAGACGGGGGGTCTGGGGTGGGTTGTGCTGTTCCAGCCTTTACCAGCCAAATGCTTTTTCTCTTGGCCGTCGCTGTGCCATCGGGCTTGTCACTGAACTGGTAAGCTTGGAGACCCGTCCGGACAAGATCCTCCTTTCACCGGGGTGCCGTAATGGGCCAGCCAACTCGCCGGGGGGATCCTTGGAATCGCCAGCCAGCTAGACTACCAGTACCAGGGTCCATCCCCACGCACCACTCCATCGGACATAGCTGATTGGGCATTGGGCGAGATCGATGGTCCATCCGTACTTTAAGCTTAGTGCTGGGGCGATCGGAGTGCAGCTCGTCGTCATCCTTGCTTCAAGATTCGGCCAATATTGTTCCAGCGCCAGCTCGAGGCTGACAACTCCTTTGCGTAAGCATCACGCCATCTGCATGCGGAGGTGACCTACTATGGTACAAGCAAGGCTTGGGCAATACATTCATGTTCTGCAGCCGAGAGGGTGTCGGCTGATCGACAGGCCTTTCGGGCTGTTCCGATGAACTAAACCAGCCACAGAAGTTGAAGGCCCGCCTGGGCGCAAGCTGGTCTAATTGACTTTCGGCACTGTACTGTTCTTCTTACTGTTTCCTCAGTCGGCACAGACTGGACCACGTAAACAATGACATCGCCCACACTAGCCTGCATCCAGCACGCAGGTGTCATAGACTCTTTGGCTGCGCTGCACTTCGCAACACACGAAATCGGCATGTTCCAGATGCTGCCCACCCCACATGCGTGATGACGATCTCCGTCGCCGCGTGGCACTTCTCCCATTACAGCCAGCCCAGCAGCAAAGCACCTCGTACACCTTGCGCACACAGCAGCCGCCGAACTGCAACTGGAATGCAAGTCCGCATGTCAGACGCAGCCAAGATCTGCCAAACGATACATTGACGCAACTGCCCGAGACCCCTGACAGAGCTGACTACGGCACATAGACCGACACAGCGGATCAGCCTCTCCGGGAGACATGTACGATGAGGTCAGCAATGTCTGGCTAGGGCTCCGGCAGTTCCTACCACTGATGGCATGCATGGATGTCATCGTCACGATCCCTTGGATCGAATAATCTGCCTTGAGCTGTTCGTTCATGGTACACTAGACTACGACTTCCGCAAGTGCCACAAGCGCCGCAGCCTAAAAACCAAGGCAGGTAACAAGCTTCATCAGTCATGGTCACCATGACGACAATGCTGCTAGTCTGCACGACATTGCTGCAATGAGCCTATCATGTCAATTCTGGAGTCGATTTGGAAGCTTCCGTGGGTGTTTCTCTCGCATACAAGGTTTCCTTGACGCATATATAACCCGGGGCCATTGAGGCCTGTCGTAAGTCGTCGTCATACTTTGCTCCTACCATCTGCACCATCATCTAACATTTACAACTCTACAGTTTCCCAATAATTAGTCGACAACATGAACAAGACCAAGGAAGCCGTCAAGGGATTTGTGGCGCGCTCGGGCCACCACGAGACCGAGGTTCACGAGTCGATCAAGCCTGCTGTGGTCCATGAGAATGTCAAGAAGACACATCAGGAGGAGGTCAACACGGCCGTAGACCGTGAGATTCACCACGACCACTACCACAACACCGTCCAGCCCGTGCAGGATCGCCAGGTCCTGCCCGAGGAGCACCATCACCAGGTTGCCGGTGTCGAGCACCGCGAGTTTGACAAGCGCAACCACGACGCCACCAAGCAGGCTCTTGCTTCTCAACAGGCCAAGTTCAAGGATGAGAGGGTCGTCGAGCCTACTGTGCACACAAAGACCACTGCTCCTGTCGTCGAGGGCGAGCACCACCACCAGTACGTACCAGGCAGACCCCCTGCTAGATCCTGCCAACATGACTAACAACACTCCCCCCTTTACGCAGCCACATCCACGAGACGGTGCAGCCCGTGATCCAGCGCGAGACTGTGCAGCCCACAGTCGTGCACACCACAGTTCCTATCCACGAGACACATCACGAGCAGGCCCAGCACCACGCGGCAACTACCCTCCCTGCCATCTCCATGAATGAGTTCAAGTCCAAGGGTGGCACTTTTGGCCATGACATCAAGCCCCACGAGCACCACTACCATTACGACGGCGAGCCCACTACCGATGGCAAGATCGAGACCGGCACCCGCGGCGGAGTCGTCGGCGCGGGTCATGGCGCCGACCAGCGCCACCACAACTCCTCGTCCACCGGCGGTAGCACGGCAGCCAAGGCCGGCGGTCTCGGTGCTATTGCCAGCGCGGTTGGCGCTGGTGGTCGTCGCCGCCGCCACCACAAGCGCACGGCCAGCAACTCGTCCTACAGCTCGTCCGACGCTGACGACACCAACGACCGCGCCAACAAGAACTACTACACGGCCGGCGCCCCGACCGGCAACATGCGCCCTACCAGCTCGACGGCGCCCAACACCAGCGTCCGGGACGGATCAGCCGCGCACAACACCATCGCCGGCGTGCGCACCGGCAATCCGGGCACCGGCGCCGCGAGCAACCTCCCCGGCACCGGCGGCTCGGGCGTCGGCGGCATGAGCGGCTCCGCGTCGGGCATGAGCGCCGTCCCGCGCTCCGAGCAGCACAAGGTGAGCTCTGGCGGTGATGGCACGTACCGCGATGCCGGGGGCAACCCGGTCAAGGGTGATGCGCACAAGAAGCCTAGCTTGCTGGACAAGCTCAACCCGCTTAAGGATTCGGATGGCGATGGAAAGGCCGGATTCATGAAATGAATGATGTTTCCAATGAGGGATCAGAAAGTTGAGGTTCTGTAATTGTAATTGCGAAAGTGTTAAATGCAATAAGTTATTATACAAGCGGGAGAACGTTATAGTCCGTAAAGCCGAACAGTTGTTGGTTGTGTATCAGAATCAGCTTTCATGGTTAGTGTGAACATTCGCTTTTGCAACTTTCCATTCGTGTACTCTACCTTCCACTTGGTGGTCTTGGTATCACCACAATAGGGTAACTTCGAGAGATGTATAACTACATGGTCCCAACAGACCGCTAAGATTCGCGCCGTTGCATCCCTCCCCAAAGTCGACAGACTGCAAATCCACTAAGCGAAGAGTATTCCGCCTATCTAAAGCCCAGCATCGGCAGTGGTTGCCTCTTTCCCTTTGGGCCCTGCATCACCATGTTCTCAAGCGACCACACAGCCCTTGATGCTATTCATTTCTGCCCCTCGCATGTTGTAGAAATAATTTCAAATAAGCCCCAGCACAACCAATCAAATCGTCCAATCTCGATTGGTCTAGTGGTCAGGATACCTGCTTGTCACGCAGGTGGCCGGGGTTCGATTCCCCGATCGAGAGCACTAGCAACATCATCCGGTGAACACACCGGGATATTCTTTTGCATTTTTTGTACAGTTCCTTTTGCGAAAACATCCTGCATCTTCGTACAAGTCCATGCTTTTGCGCAGTGTGAGCTGCTGGGGAGTTTTGCGTGAGAACCAAGAGAGGTTCACTCAGGGAATGCTGTCGCTGCTTTATGCACCTCGGAAATCTCTGGTTTTGGAATACGGCTCAGACAATTAGTCCTGTATGGTTTGATTTGCCTCCAAGGTGCCTTCCAAATGTCATAGCTACTTACTTATTCGTCGTTGTCGACGGACACAGCATCACCCTTCCCGCTTCCGCCTCCCCTCCGCGCCCACCATCCCGAAAGCACCAAGAGCGCGGCCCCAAAAACAAGCACCGAGCCCCCAAACACCTGCGCATACAGATACTCCCCTCCCTGCCTGGCCTGCACCAACGCCCCGCCAATCGGCGGCCCGACCAGCGTGGCCACCGAGACCACCGCAAAGGCCATGCCCGTCCTGGCGCCCATCTTCTTGGGGTCGGCCGTCAGGTTGGCGCACGTGGCGGGGAACAGGCCCTGGCAGGCCGCCGCGAAGAAGCCGTACAGGCAGCAGAAGGCGACGAGCGCCGGCAGGTCGCGGACCGCGGTCCAGGCGTAGAAGACGGCGCCCGTGCACGAGACGGCCAGGATGAGCGCGCGGAGCGGGCCGAGCAGCCTGTCGGATATCACGCCGAAGAGGACGCGGCTCGGGGCGCCGATGGCGTTCATGATGAGCAGCAGCGTCAGGGACAGGGAGGTGTCGATGCCAATAAAGGTTTTGCCAAAGGGCGTGACCTGGTTTGTTTGGTGAAGATGAATCCTCTTGTAAGCACCTCTGATGCTTGGGAAAGAAAGCAAAAAACCAGGAGGGACCATGACTCACATAGTAGAACGCAAAGTACAGCGCCAGCCACGCGCAAAACATGCCCGCACAGAAGAGCGCGTAGGCTGGCTCGTCGCGAAAGGCGGACCAGTCAAACAACCCATTAAACATGGCCATCACGCTCTTCCTCTCCCCCTTCACCGGATCTACACCCACCTCAGCCTCCGCCTCCTCCGCCTGTGACTTCTCAAACCTGGGCCGCACGAGCGCCAGCATGACCGCGGCGTTGAACAGCACAATGAACCCCATCACCCGGACGGTCCACCCGTACCCCAGGCTGGGCATGAGCCTCTGCGCGATCAGGGGGAACACGATCCCGCCCGTGGCCGTGCCGCTCGCCGCGACGCCCATCGCGACCGCCCGCTTCCCGCCTTTCCTCGCGGCGGGGAAGTACGTCGGGACGTTGGCCACCGTGGGGCAGAAGACCAAGCCGTCCCCGAGCCCCTTGCACAGGCCCTGGGTCAGCAGGAGCTGGTAGTACTCTGTCGACACGGACGCCGTCATGATGGCGAGGATCTGGAGGCAGCAGCCGGCCAGGACCACGGCGCGCAGGTGGCCTGCGTCGAGGGCGCGACCGGACACGGAGCCCACACCAAAGGCGAGGAAGATCTGGATCGAGCCGATCCAGCTTATGGAGGAGGGGGCCGTGGTGGGCGGGAGGAGGGAGGTCGCGTAATAGGACTGGAAGAGCCCGAACGAGTTCATGTATCCCCAGCTGTTGAAGGAGCCGAGGTGGGCGACGACGACTTGGGCCCAGGCGCGATAGGGGCTTGCTGGTGGTGGTGCTGGTGGTGGTAACGATGAATATGGAGATGGGGGGATTGCATTGTTGTTGTCGTGGTGGCCTGGCTCCTTCGTGTCTGAGTGACTATGGTATTGTGCAGTTTCGAGCTTCTCCATGGTCATGCTGGTGCTATCTATTGGTGTCGGATTGTAGCTAGGTAGTCCGTCCCGCGACAACCTGACTCCTGGGGGAGGAGAAGCAAGTTGACGTTCTTGCTCTGGTGCCGTCATTCTCGGCCAGCTACACTACTTTACGCCAGTCTGATCGTCCCGACTTGGCCTCTGTAGCGGAGCACAGGGTCGTGTCGCGATTATATATTGGCAGGATAAAAGTTCGGCCGGTATACGCACAAAAACAAACACGAAGTGGTCAGCGACAGGGGCGATTATTCAGAATCATGCACTTCCACGAGACAACAATGCCCCGGGGAGTGAATGACGTTGAAGCGATCTCGCTCGCATTAGTAATCCGCAGCGCAGCAAAGAGCCCAAGGGCCAGTCTGCTTGCAGGTGGCCCAGAGAGGGAACAATCAGCGCCGTCCCGATGCGACTCTAAACCCTACCAGTGGAGACGTGGGGTAGCCGACGATCGGAGCGTAATGCCCAGGGGTCCAACAACAATCCAGTTCGAAAAGTTGACACTGCTCAACAGAGCGATCACTACATTCTGGGCCTAAGTCTGGTACAAATCTCAGAGTCCTGCTTCGCCTCGTGTCGGTGGCATTGCCTTTTATGCTGTGGTTCTGGTGCTCGCCCCGTGCAGCATAGATCTCAGCGCGGGCTCCAGCCAAGGTGTCCCAACCGTTTTGAAACAAGTATTTGTGAGCCGCTATGAGATTCTTGTCAGGTCTCGATTGGTAGTAACGCAAGCTCTTCGCTTCTCGATTTCGTGATATGCTAGTCCCTGACGTCATTGCTGGAAGGGGTAGGTCCTCCTCCGTCTTTGCAAAGTCCGAGAATCACGTCATCTCACCCTCGTGCCGCAGCTGTCAGCAAGTCAGGGGTTCCACCATAAGCACTTCTCACCTCCCGTACAAAGGTGGCAGGTGGTGACAAATGTGCTTGAACTCTCACTTCAAAACGCCTCCTGCTGTCCCAATTGGGATGAAAAATGTATGTTTATGGTCTCTGCTGCCTCCATACGTCTAGATCAGCCAAGTGTATTCTTCCTGGTACCCCGTGTGTATATGTGTATAGCTTCTTACACGCGATTTCAAAATAATGGAACGCCGTCACGTTCACTCGTCCAAGTAGTCGTTTCCTAGAAACCATTAGATCCGTTCGTGTCCAATCTCATTGCAAGTCTAATCAGACATCTCTTCTGGCTCGTCGACCAGCTGTTCACCCTCGTCGTCCTCCTCTATATGCCCAATGATCTCTAGCTCGACACCACCTTGCTTGCATGCATCTATAATGACCTGCGGGACCTTACCGTCCTCGTCTGCAACCACGATAAACTTCTCCCACTTGGTCGCCAGGATCGTGCCGATCTGCAACATGGACACCATCAGATCCGTGACGCCCTCGTCCGTGCCGAGCTCGTTGAACAGCTCCAGGGTCACCAGGTTCGGCGGCATGCCAATCGAGTGCAGCCGCGCGCGCTTCGACGTCTTGCCGAACAAGTGGTAGTCCCACCCGAGCCGCAGCGTCTTGAGCGCCGTGAACTCGCGCATGCGCAGCGTCTTGCGCCCGCCGAGCGTCGGCACGTCAATGGTGATGGACTCGAGGGTAGGCGCCTGGGCGCTCAGCGCGATGATGTAGTCGCCCGCGTCGTCGGACGACTCCTCGAGCTCGGGCACCGGCTCTGGGAGCTGGGTCATGACGAACTCGCGCAGGGCCTCGGGGAACTCGAGAATGTCGGACAGCGCGTCGTCGTTGATGTCGCACTCGATGAAGTGCAGTTTCTGCAGGGCAGTCTCGTGAGGCCGCTCCATGGACTCGAAGCCGCGGTAGTCGAGCTTGGCGCGGCGGATGATGAGCGACTCGAGTGACGGGTGGGAGAAGATGTGGATGTTCTCCTGGAGGTCCCAGTACTGGTCGTCCTTGCACTGGTAGAAGAGGGTGCAAGACTTGAGGCACGCCAGGTCAAAGGGACCATTGAACAACGTGCCTATGCCGTGGAGAAGGGTCTCGGGGACGGCGACGTTGAGGCTCTCGAGGTTGGACATGGCAGAGATGGTGCGGGAGAGCCCGTCGACACGCAGGGGTGGGGGCGTGTAGTGGTCGCCATTCTCGGCGGGCTGGGTGAGGCGCTCGAGCTCGGACGAGGGGTAGGAGAGACTGATGTCGTAGATGGCAGAGCCGCGCCGGGGGCGGCGCTGGAGGGACTCGCTGAAGACGAGATGAAGCTCCGGGGTGTCGAAATGGACCCTCTTGTACAGGATCGAGTCTGCCAGGCCGTGGTAGTGCCTGTTGAGGCGGGAGACGCTGGAGAGGGAGCTCTTGGAGTGCAGGCCGACGAGCTCGAAGATCTGGAGAAGGAGGGGGTCCGGGAGGGCAGCGAGTTCAGCCTTCCTCGGCTGCGAGGATTGGGCAGCGTGGACGCCGTTACTTGTGCTCGTGTTGTTGCTGTGCTCTGTGGCTGCCGTTGTGGAGGAGGCTGTGGATGATGAGAGCGAGGTGGAGGGCTGCGTCGGGGCTGACCCGTTGCCTGAGGCAGCCGAGGCGTTTGGCGTCATGGCAGCAGTGGTCTGGCCATGGCGGGGAGGGGCAGCGGCCGTGTCGTCGCGGTCGAGATCGCGCGACATGATGCCATGACGGTGGTCCTGTTGTTGTTGCCAGCAGCGGGGACTGGGGAAGACTGAGGCCGCGGTGGAGCGGAGCGGCTCGAGCCAGGTTTTAGAGGCTGGCTGGCTGGCGGCAAAGAGTGGGGGATGCTGGCACTAGGTGTTGAGCATCACACGTTTGGCCAGTGGTGCAACGCAGCGTCTCCTGATTCTTATCGGCCGGCCACTCACACCTCGACGCCCAGTACGCGGGGCCCCGCGTGCACGGCCTCTGCTGGTCCCTGTCCGTGCCAGGATACCTGGCCCCAGTGTGCCGCCCGTCGAGACCCTGCCGCTGCAGCACTGAGCAGGTACTCGCAAACATGTTCCTCAACCCTCTGCTTATTGACACTGTGCCTCCCCGCCGTGTGCACATGTTTCAAAGGTTATCGTTTCGCTGCCAGGAACAGCCGTGTCTCGACTCAATGGTTCAGCCCCCAAGTCGTAAGTTTCCCATCCGTCAGGTCCGCTTGCGACATGCTCTAGCCTCAAGAGATTTGCAGTGGTTTTGCTGTGACGATGGCCAGGCTAGATCTCCACATCGTGCCTGCGCAGGGGTCTGTCGACCCATTCTGGCTGCCTGAGGCCTCTCATGGCACAGGCTGACTCCCAGACAGAGCGATGCTGGGGCTCTCGATGACATCTTCCTTTCTCCATCCAGGCCCTCGAACGCTCTAGGTCTGGTTCGACACACAAGCAAACCAGCTACCAGGCACGCCTCTTTCAATCCCTCCCTTTTTGACGTCGTCGCTGGCTCCAAACACCGCATGCCCGGAAGAGTGCACGATGCACGGCATGACAAAATCTGCCATCAAGCCCTGGAACCTGCCGCTCAGCGCCTCTGACTTTGCCAAGCTCGAGGCGGGTTTCTGGCCCTCCGAGATGGACGACCAGTGGATCTTCACCCCCGCGGGTCCCGACGACGAGACACGCCGCCGCCACGTCCTGCCCAGTGGCGAGGCTGACCCCGTCGAGCGGCTCGTCGTGCACGTCCTCCGCTTCTGGACGCGGATCGAGTATTTCCAGCTGCACCTCGTCAGATCCGGCGCTGACGGAGACAGTGCCAGGATAGAGGCCATTACCTGGGACCGCACGTTTGGGCGGGACCTGGACGTCAGCGAAAGAATGGCCAAGATGCACGTTGTGCTGGCCACGAGGGAGGTGCTGGGCTGTGAGCTGGAAGCCGTGCCACCCTTTGACTGGGAAGAGGCGTATCGATAATCGCGGCAGCGCTTGATCTGACAGAGGCGCGTCGTTTTCAGTCACAAACCAGCACAGACTGCTCGAGAGGAGTCCTGTATATCGACGCGCTGTGTCTTCCTTCGGGCCGCCCCCCTGCGTTTGAACAGCGGGGTTTCAAGGCAACCAAAATGGGAGGCAATGAACAATTGAAGCATGGCGAGGCTTACATGAACTGTGACTCCCTCCTTCGATCTCGAAGTTTTAAGATTGGGAGGAGTGCCATCCACTGCAGACTGTTTGCGGGAGCTCACTATGACTTTGTTCACATTCACAAGCTGATCCCAAAATCATTGCCGCCATCACCGACAGTAGCAACACCACCGCCTGTCAGCGGCCGGCCGGGTAGTGTAGGGTATAGAGTGGAAGTATATTTCTATGTAGTAGGACATGTGCTCCATGCGCAAGCACGACCAGCCACTAGTGCCATTAGCATAAATTGGAAACAGCAGACTATAGGCTTTGCTGAGCAATCTATTCTCACATTTTCGCGTCCTTCCATATCCTTCTGTATAGTCTTGTATAGTCATGATTTTACAGCTCTGTCTGTGCCTCATCCTGCAGTCCCATTTGAGCGAATTATACTTGTAGCACCAAAATTTGTACCAAGGCAATGATGGAAGACGAAAGATACCGATGTGGAAAGTCTATGGAGTTATAGCGCCCAGCGAAGTCAGGACTCAATTTGGAGGTGGACGTGGCACGCTGCTGACCGTGGAACGCACAATGTCGTCCTCAAGGATGACCAGCGACCAATCCTCGAGCAAAACTACTTGGACATGATGGGATTCCATCGGACACGAGACTTGAGCTTCACAGGAGGCTCGTTCGCTACTATTTTCTGATTCCACTTTCACCCACCCTTGTGACCTTTCTCACATGCGAACCTAATGGCGTCCCTTCTTCCCAGCTCTATTCCTGAGTTTCTGGGTCCTACCCGACACCCCCATCGCCCGGATGCCTTCACTCCTCCTCCGGAGCATAAGCGGCCACCTCAATCTCGAACCTCATCCCGGGCTGGCCCAGCTTACTGACCCCGACGCCCGTCAGGATCGGCCTCTTCCCCTTGTCCGCCGCGTCGCCGCCGCCGCCGCCAACACACCACTTGTCCATGTTCTGCACCATCCGGTGCAGGCCCTCCTCGGTGAAACCCTCGGGCTCGAGCGCGTACAGCCTGATCCGGTAGACCTGGGACCAGCCCTTCCCGCCGGCGCTGCGGAGCGCGAGGTCGACGTTGCTGAACGCCTGGTCAATCTCCTCGTCGAGCGAGGCGGGGATCTCGCCTGTCTCTGGATTCCAACCACCTGTTTTTGTTTTACAAGTAACTTTTTGTCAGCTGTTTTACCCCTTCCCGTCCTTGTCTTGGGTATCATCGAGCTTAATGATTCCGAGGGTGCGTCCGTTTTCAAGGCCGAGCAGCAGTTTGAACGCAAGGCAAAGGGACAGGGGGGTTGTCAATGGTGAGGGGCTTATGTGCTGGAAGGGCTATGCTGACCTTGCCCGGCCGTCTCTATGCGATCTCCGATCCGCACGGCTTGGTTGTAGCCCATCTGCTGAAGGAGTTGCTGCCCATATCCCCCATAGGTCGAGAAGGTGGGAGTTTTCGTGGATGACATTTTGGCAAGCACCTCGAGAAATCGAATCCGAAAACGGAAAAAAAAAATAAGAAAAGGAAAAAGTGTGAAATCCTTCGCCAAGGAAAAATTGAAGCAGGAAGAATGGAGATGAGGATGGCTTCCAAACGATTCTTGAAGGTTGTTAGTCGTGTCTCGATGACAGCATAGAGAACCAGGACAAATCCGAAAAGAACCGTGAAGGCAGGACAATATTTATCTTCGCATCTGCGAGATAGTTGCCAAGTCGCCAAGCCCGTGAGTCTGACAGAATCGCCCCATATCAATTCACATCAGGCTGTGTGCTACACGAAACCCCCCTTCAAACAGACAAAGAGGCCCAGCGCGCGCGCATATACCAAGAAGGGACAAAGAGAAGACCACGGAATCCTCCGATCGTTTGTCAACCAATCCGCGCGCAGTGGCATCCCAACTCCCCCGGTAGGCCAGCCTTACGCTCCTCCACATGTACCCTTGTCCACCGTTGCCGCCGCCGCCGCCGCCGCGCCAAGAAAAACCAGCCTCCGCTCGTAAGGTTGGGTCCCCCCGTGCTGACAAACCTCCACCTCCAGAGCCGGGACAACTCACCCCGTCGGGGCCCGCGCGGTGGGGTCCGGGGGTCCTTGGCGGAGGCGGCCCGGGCAGTCTACATCTTCCGTTTGCCGCGCTTCCACGCTTAAACAATGGATTGGGGGTAGGCCCTTCTCGTCTTTCAACGCGTGGAAAGTGCGAGTGCGAGAAACCCCATTGGACCCTTTGCACCATGGGGAGGGGCGTGCGTCAACTTGAAACTCCAGGAACCTGTTGCGCAGTCCCATACGAAGTTCGAAGGACGGTGAACACTTCAAGGAGGAGCTAGCGTGCATGTTGCCACCATCCTCGATAGACTCTTAGACAAAGCCATATATCAGGGGCTGTTTGGTGTGTGTGTGCACGTATCCTCCGTTGAAACTTGATCATATCACCTTTCGAACTCGTCAGTGTAGTAGTAGTCCCTTCGGATGTTGTGTAGAGTGGACTTTTCCTGCTTTCGAATCAGACTCTTCCCACGCAACACATCCGCGACAAGAATACTTCCACGCTGATTCACATGCATCTTCATACCAGACACCCACGATGACTTCTATTGGCCCACGTCGAATATCAGACTTGGACCAGATAGCAGCATGGTGCCCAGCATCAAAGGCTTCACCCACGACTTCACTTCTAGTAGTCAACAAACCATAAGAATGTGCTTCTGGTATGAATGCATGTTTTGGTGAGTAGCTCAAGAGAGATCGCTAGAATATTAAGCCGTTGCGCCCTCCCGCTCCCTTTCCCAGTTCCGATTTCGCTTTTCCTTTATACACACACAAAGTTTGCAGTTAAAAATACAGAATTTGAACACCGAAAACCCCCCAACAGCATACTGCTCCCTTACGTATGCTCACAGCTCACGAAACAAACAGCTCCTACTGGTGGATCTTCTCGTCCTCAGACTCGGCAAACTGGTCGACGTGGGTGCTGGCAAACTTGCGCGCAGAGACGCGCTTCTCAAAGAGGATGTCGAGCTCGCCGTAGGTGCGGCCCATGGGCTCGGGGAGGCGGAAGTAGGCCCAGACGAGGATGAGCAGGCAGAGCCCGGCCCAGAAGAGGCCCGTCTTGGCGCCCCAGTTCCAGGCGTTGACGCCGAGCATATTGGGCATGAGGACGTTGTTGACAAAGCCCATGCAGTTGCTGAGGCCGCGGGCCATGACGACCGTCTTGATCTTGTGCCGCGTCGAGGGGATCTCGGCGACGATCGAGTAGCACAGCGGGCCGATGGTCAGGTCGTAGATGAGCGTGTAGACGAGCAAGAGGGTGCCCGTGGCGAAGGCCGGGCCCTTCTGGCTCTGGTCCGCAAAGCCCAGGCCGCCGACGATGACGAGGCAGATGAGCAGGCCAGCCACACCGGCGAGGTAGATCGGGCGGCGGCCCCAGCGGCCCATGAGGAACCACGAGGCGACGGTGCCGACGAAGCCCATACAGAACTGGCCGATGGTGAAGCTGAAGGCATCCTCGGTGGAGAGACCCGCGCGCTGGTAGAACTGCACAGAGTAGCCCATGAGTGCGGTGCCGCACAGGGCCTGGGCGACGTAGGAGACACAGGCAATCTCGGTGCGGCGCAAGTTGGTGCCCTGGAAGCAGTGCCAGTAGTTGGTGCCCTCGGACTGAGCCCTCTCGAGGCGGTCGGTAGCCTGGATCAGAGCGAGCTGCTCGTCAGGGTTGAAGTCGACGCCCGAGTCGCGGCTAGTCATCTTGATCAGGGCCTTGCGCGCGTCCTCGAGCCGGTCCTTGCGGACGAGCCACCAAGGAGACTCGGGGGCCAGGAAGGTGCCGACGATGAGCAACGGGGGCCACACCCACTGCAGGGCAAAGGGGATCTTGTACGACCACTCGTTGGGGATGTTGAGAAGACCCTTGAGGATACCGCTCGCAAGGATCTGACCGATGACCCAGCAAAGATTGATGTAGGTAGTCAAGTAAGGACGGAGGACGACGGGGGCCATGTCGGAGGCGTAGGTGACACTGAGGGTCTGGAAGATACCCCAGGGCATACCGAGGACAATGTTACCGGCAAGGAGCGTCTCGAGGTTGTTGGCGAAGAAGGGGATGAAGAGACCACCGACCATCCAGAACTGGGCAGCCAGCATAGTCTTGCGGTAGCCGAAGATATCGGAAACCCAGCCATTGATGATGAGACCAAGGATCTGACCTGCCAGGCCGGCGTTCTGGATCTTGGTTTGCCAGTCAGCCGAAATGACACGGCCAACACCGTTAGGACCGGGCTGGTCGCCAAACTTCTCCTGGAAGCTAGATTTTCGGGGCCATTGTTAGCAAGTTGCCTTGGTATGTTGCAAAGGCTGGGGAACCTACGCAGTGTAACCAAAGAAGGAAGGCAGAAGGGTTATGTCGTAACCCTCCATGATGATGGCGGTCGAGAACACCAGCGAGTAGACGATGGCCTTGGGATAGAGGCGGAGCGCGTTCCGTACAGTCAGGCCGTGCTCACGGTCCGTGGCGTTTCTGGCCTCGATATGCTGAGTGCTGACATCCTTGCCGCTGACATGGTAGCTTTCGGCCTTGAGGTCACTGGCAAGAGATGGAATCTCCTTGCTGTCGGGAGTGTTCGACATCTTGAAAGATTGTCTAGAAGGAAACCCAGCAGAGTATATGAAGGATGTGGGGAAGGCACTGGGGAAAGCTGAGCCCGTGATGAGAGGGTGTTTCTGGGATCAACCTTGAGGGCGGAGGAGGATGCCTTTATAGATCAGAGCCTCGTATCTTGAGTCGAGGTAGCTGACAGTTGTGTCAAGACATCACGCGGTGGTGGACAAGTGGTGGCAGTAACCGCAGGCCTGGGGTAAGGAGAACCCAGCCGTGTGGAATGGCAAACCTGTCTGGGGAGCCGGGGTGCAGGTCGCGTGTGCGTGCTATCGGACCGACAAGCAGAGTCTGGGGAAAATCGTGCGGGGAGGACAGACCGGAGAGGACTGAGCTAAAGACGCCTCGGAAACGCGCAGCAAGTGATTAGGTCATTACCCCAGAGGATAAGGGCTGCATCTTGGGGAGGTGAAAGCCAGAGGGGGAAACGGATGGGGAAGATCAGATCGAGACTGTGGGTGAATCGAGGAGGAAGCAGGGAGCAAGGGGTGCCAGAGTCTTGGCTGCATTTACGCGAGGGAATTGCCGCGTAGCACTGTCGGACCGACAACATTTCATAGTCTAGCCTCGTGGGAGATGGGTGCAACCATCAGGGGCCCGGTCCAGGGCTGTGACTTTTGCGCGGCTCTGTGCGGCGCCAGCCCGGGAAATGATGAAGACGCGATCGAAGATTGCAATGCCCGCGAGTATTGCCGGAGGCACTGACATGGCAATAGAAGCTGCAAGTCGCGATCGCAGAGTCGCCAACGACGTGTTTCGGGCACGCACAAGGAAGCAATCGTATACTGTAGTGGTCTATAGTCAGGTCTGGATTTGAGCACAGTAGCTGTCAGTCGCAACGACTGCTGATCCCGCGACTGAAGAAGGCCAGGATCCAAGTCAGAGCGCGTCTGGCTCATCTCAAATTGCGTCCATGAAGTGGAACGACAATGGCGCGCAAGTCACGAGGTGGGATCAGATAATGGCCTAGTGTATTGAAATGGCTCTACCAGTAGCAAGAGAACCCACTGCTGCTGCCGAACAAGTTTCCAAGCATTTGCATGGCGGCCACGAGGCATTGTGAAGAGCTCACGTCTCGGACCGACAACCCAAGGGGCTGGACTGGTGGAGCTTGTTTATGCACAATTCCAAGTCTTGAGCCGCATTGTGGAGACGTGCGGGGGATGAAGCGAGGTGAAGGTCTCTCAAGTCTGGGTGGTCTGGGGAAGGACAGGATGGGAAAGGGTTGGCCAGGAAGATAGCTCGCGATGTCAGACATCTAGAACGAGCTGTGTGGGGAGCTGGGAAGGAAAGAAGGACGCCCATGGGGAAGCGGTTGGGATGGGATGAGATGGGCCAGCTGCATTAGCGGCGCGAGGGAGGCGGCATGCTGTGATGGATCCAGGCGGGGAGAAGCGTGTCGGACCGACAATTGTGATCGAACTGACCGATTCTGCCGTCGGAGCGACAACGACAAGCAAGTCTCGGGCGGCCAGGCGGGCGTCTCGAGTTAATTAGTTGGAGGGTGGTGCATTGGCGCAACCTGCCAAGCTCAAAAGTGCTCAACTCAAGCAGTGTGGCGTGATAGCGTAGCGTAGCAGAGCAGTGCCGACGGGAAAGGCAGGCGCGCATCGAGGCCGTCTCCCGTGGTTGCACCTTCCAACCCGGCGTGCCTCTTGATCGGCGCTGCATCCTCCGCGTGGTTGCACTGGCACAGGCCTCACATGCACGGCGGCACCTTCCACCTGCCACCCTCTGCCTTCCGACGGCTCTCTTATCTTTTCCCCGCTGGGCACTTCTTTCTTAAGCATCTCGCGCCCGCTCTGGGACATCCCCCAGAGAGCTCTTTGAGGCACTCATCAACCTCCGCCAACAATGTCCACCATCGTCACCCTCGCAACGCCCGTCCCGGCAACCTCGCTCCATACAACCCCCCAGCACAAGACAAGGCCACAGCAACACTCAAGAGAGCTCGTCGCTTCATCACCACCACATCCTCTCCCCAGATATCACCTCAAGCCTCCCCGTGGCTGGATCAACGACCCCTGCGCCCCCGCCTTCGACGCCGCCACCGGCACCTATCACCTCTACTACCAATGTCAGTCTTCCCGCCTGCCAACTCCCCGCGGCATATCTCTCCAACTCTGCTGACAATGCGTAAAACCACCAGGGAACCCAAATTCCTGCGACTGGGGCGACATCACCTGGGGCCAGTTTACCAGCCGTGATGGTGTTTATTGGTCACAGGGCGCAGGCAGCCCTTCTCAACCACAGTCCAAGCCCATCGCCCCCATAATAGACCGGGACCAGCCCTACGACAAGGACGGCATTTTCACAGGCTGCCTCCATCCCACAGGTCCCCGTGGCGAGCAAGGCCAGCTCACAGTCTTCTACACATCAGTCTGCCACTTGCCCCTCCACTGGACCTTGGAGCACACTCGCAACAGCGAGGGCCTGTCCATGGCCACATCGACTGATGGCGGTCGGACATGGACCAAATACCCCGGCAACCCCATCATCAAGGGCGAGCCAGAGAGCTTGGCCGTCACTGGGTTCCGAGACCCCTTCTTGGCAGAGTGGCCGGCCATGGACAAGGCTCGTGGCGTAGAGTCGTCAAAGACGAAGACGCTCTACGGGGCCATCTCTGGTGGGATACGCGGCAAGAATCCCACAGCTTTCTTGTACGCTGTCCCAGCTGACAACCTCACCGAGTGGACGTACCTGGGACCGCTGGTGGCTGATATGCCTCTGCGCTTCTCGGCAGCACCAGCAGACTTCGAGAGGCTCTTGACCACATGGAGCGGCAACTTCGGTGTCAATTGGGAGTGTGTCAACTTCATGACCCTCGAGTCGCCAACGCACCCCAATATCACAAAGGAATTCATGATCACTGGTGCCGAGGGCGGCCTGAAGCCCGGCGCAAAGGAGACTGACGATAGCCCCTACGGCCAGTGGTCCCTCTGGATGGCCGGCTGTTTGCGTGCCAACAAAGGGGGTGCATTGTCCACGACACCTACCGCAAGCATGAAGCACGATTACAGCGGGTATCTTGACCACGGCTGCTTCTACGCAGCCAGCTCGTACAAGCATCCCGTCACCAACCAACGCGTTGTATGGGGCTGGTTGAAAGAGGAGGACTTGACGCTTGCCCGACGCGATGCCAAAGGGTGGACGGGGTACTTGTCGTTGCCTCGCGAGCTGTTCCTCCAGACATTGGACAACGTGGTTGGCGTAGTTGGCGCGAGCCGGCTGGAGGATGTAACTTCCATTGCCGCCACACCTATCACCGGAATGAGATCAAGCCGAACTGTCGAGACACTCGGCATCCGGCCGCTTCCAAGTCTGCGAGCATTCCGCTCATCCCAATCACCAAATAACAAGTGGCCATCATCTCCCACTTCCACAAGAGCCCAGCCAAATACCCAACTCCTCACGCCAAGTTCAACAAGCTGGGAACTCGAAGCCACAATCCGTGTTCCGCGCTCATCCAACCAGCAACCGAGACGAGTCGGCTTCCATATCCGCCACTGCAAAGACCTCGCAAAGCGCTGCACAGTGTACTTTTCACCTGCAGAAGGCAGGATATACGTTGACCGCAGCCTGTCCAACACACACAAAGATATTTGCAAGACCGATGCGAGCGGCCCATTCGCACTCTTCATCACGTCTGATCCGACCAGCAGCACCAACGCTAGCACCAGTAGGGCTAAGCCCCACGACGGACAAGAGGCAGTCGAAGCTCTCCGCCTGCGCCTCTTCAGTGATGGCGACGTGCTTGAGGTCTTCGCCAACGACCGCTTCGCGCTGAGCACCATGGTTTACTCGGACAAAGGGTGCGACGGGATCAGCACGTTTGTCGAGCCAAACAGCTCGACATCGTCATCGTCATCCGAGGAGCACAACAATTTATTCGAATCAGTGCAAGTGTGGGACGGGCTAGGCGAGGCACGGGGCATCCATGATACAGCTTTGGAAGCGACATCGCTGCCCGGGGGCCGGTCAGCGTTATAGATATTGCTCGGGGACTGGCATCGGCAGGCAGGTAACAGAGAGCATAGATGGCCACACCGCGCCAGCGATGAATTCAGCATACAATTAGTATAGACTAGAATTACTACACAATGGCACCTGCCTGTCAAGCGCCGGGCCGACGAATCAACTAAAACCCCCGCCCTTCGTAGTGTCGTAGCTGCTGCTGCTGTTGTTGCCGTGAATAAGACGCCTCGGCCTCGCTGCGGTACAGCTCGTCGAGGCTGCGCAGCTTCTCTTCAAGATACTCCCTCTGCTCGGCGCGCACGCGGTCGAAGCGCAGCAGGAACCTGACGAGCGTGACAAAGTCCCGCATGCGTGTGGCTCGCTCGTCTTCTTCGGCGCCTGCTGCTGCCCTTTCGCCCTCCTGTCCCTGTCCCTGTCCCTGCCTGGTACTGAGATTGCGGTAGTTCTCTGGTCCACCTTCGCCACCATTATTATCAGGCGTGTGCCCGCCGCCGGGTATCGGCGATCCTGCCCCCGCCGCTGCCGCTGGCCGCGTCGTCGTCGTCATCATCATCAAGTCTACATCCATCCTTCCATTTCCAGTTCCGCTGTGATTCGGCCCCACCGACGCTCCCAACGTCCCCGACGACGGATCGCCGGTGGCGGGACTAGGCAGCGCCATGACGTCCGCAATGGTGCTCGTGACCTCGAACAGCTTCTGCAGCACGCCCGTGCCCTGGGTGTTGATGGCCGCGAACGAGTCGAGCCGGTTGACCAGGCTGCGGAGCTGCAGCGACAGCCTGCGCGCGGGGAAGTGCAGCGACAGCCCTTCGTGGCTGTGCGGCGAAGGGTCCGAGGACAGCAGGCCCCGGGAGAGGGCGAGCTGCCAGAGCAAAGTGCGCAGCCAGAGGCGGGTCACGTACTGGTCGATGTGCTGCAGGGCGCGGATGGCTTCGTCGCGGGAGTGCGCTGATGATGACGACGAGGTGTTTGGGTGGTGGATGTTGTTGATATTGCTGTTGTTACTGTTGCTGTGCTGGTGGTGGTGGTGGTGGTGGTATTGATGGTGTTGGTGTTGGTGAGGATGGGCCATGGCTGCTGCTGCTGCTGCTGCTGCTGCTGGTGATGATGAGGATGGGGACAAGGACGATGCGGTTATCATTGGAGAGGATGAAGAGAGCATCCGCTGTGAGAGCTCTGCCTCGGCCTGCGCGGCCTGGTGCTCGTCTTCGTCGAGCTGGAGTTGTTTGGCCTCGATCCACTGAGGCGTGAGCATGGGCGGGCTCTTGCTTCCCCCCAGTGCCGAACCGTCATGATGATGACTGGTCCCGTTCTGCTGCTGCTGCATCTCCTGCCAGTGAGCAAGGAAGTCCTCGTCCAGGATCAGAAACAGATGGATCAGCCGCCTGAAGCTGACGTCAATGTACACGGGGATGGCCGGGTCCGGCGCGGGGAGGCCGATGACGAGCGGCGGGAGGATGCTCGGGTAGCCGACGTTGATGCTGAGGAAGCGCTCGTGGATAAAGACCTCCCAGTATATCCGCTGGTACCGGGCCGAGCTGTACACGGCGGGGAACACGTCCCGCGGCTGCAGGCGGCGGTTCGTCTCGATCATCTGGATCATGCAGACCTGTTCCCGCAGCAGCGAGAAGCTGCGGTCGTAGCTCTTGAAGGCCATCATGGAGATCTCTATGAAGATGCACGTGATGATGCGCTTCAGCGTGGAGGACAGGGTGCTGCTGTAGATGGTGTCCTTGAGGGCGCGCGGGTCGCCGAGGTCGATCTGCCGGTAGGCCCGGAGGCCGAGCTGGAGCAGCGTGTTGAGATGGTCCTTCTTCTCGTGGGGGTAGTGGTGGGACTCGGCGTGCGTGTTGCTGAGGTACGTGGTGACGGCGGCATAGGCGTAGATGAGGGCCTCGTCCTCGAGGCCGTGGCTCATGTTTGTGCGGATGATGTCTGTGATCTCGCCCGAGGTGATGATGGGGCTGAAGGGGAAGACGACCTGCTCAAAGTCGTCGAGCAGGTTGAGGAAGAAGTCTGGCTGGAAGTCGTGGCCGGCGCCGCTGTGGTTCGTCCGGGGGCTCCAGTGCGCCGCGTCGCCGGCGTCGTGGTCGTCAGCGATGCCTCCTCCATAGTGATGCTGGTAGTGACTGCTGCTGCCGTTACTCCCTCCGCTGGCCGCCGGGCTCTGGTGACTGCCGGCTCCGGAGATGGCTCCGAAGCCTGTGCCGATCCCGTTACCAGGCCCCTGGCCATTCCCGGCCCCGGTGGCGGCGGCGGCGGCGGCCAGCTCCTGCTGCTTCTGCTGCTGCTGCTGATGCTGGAAGGCACCACCACTACTGTGCCCCCGAGCCTGCGCAATGAGCCGGCCGCGGACGGGGTTCGCGCGCTTCCGGGGCGCCTGGGTGTAGAGGCAGCGCAGGTCGAGGTGGGCACACTGGCCGCACGGCTGCTCGCGGCTGCAGCGCACCTTGCGCAGGCGGCAGTTGTCGCATGACAGGCCGGGGCCCTTGGTATGGTGCCCGCTGCCGGTGCCGGTGCCGTTGCTGGTGGCCGGATTGATGCTCGTCATGATGTAGTAATAATGATAACAGAGTGTGCGCGGATGTGTGCCGTGGTACTGTAGTGGTTCACGCTCGCTTCTTTCTCAATGATGGTTGTTCGACATGGTGCACTGCTGGCCATGGGACACCATGTTGGTCGCTGCTGCTGCTGCCGCTGTTGCTGCTGTTGCTGCTGTTGCTGTTGCTGTGTTGTGTGGCTCAGACAGACTGCGACGCTCCATATCTTTTTGCTGGCGTGGCGGACGCGAGGCACGTGAGACTGCACAGAGCAGCTACTGGAAGGTGCAGTGCAGTGCCCCAGGAGAGGTGGTGTCCAAAAGTTCCCGGGCAGGTAGGGAGAGGAGGTGCTGGTTCAGCCTTGACAGCGATGCGGAGAAATTGAGATTGAGTTTCACCAGGGAGGGAGGGGGGGGGGGGGGGGGGGGGGGCGGCGCCGCCTTGCTGGCCTGCGCCGCATTCCCCCAGTCCAGTCCGTCCACTCTGGGGGCAGGGCAGGGGCTACTAATGGTCCGCTTTTCATTTTTTGAGACATCACGTCGGCGACCTTACTCAATATCCTTGCGAGGGTATCAATCATCCACTTGCAGTGCATCCTTTAAATGCGTTGTAGTTGTTTTGGTGTGTATCGCGTATTGTCATTTCTACTCATTAAGCTGCACCCCCGCCTGAGCCGTTCCTAACTGGGGCAAGCTGCAAGAACAAGGTGCAAAAGATATCATCTAGTAACACAGACAGAGGAGAAAGAGACAGGCAGGGCTGATATGTCCTGGAAATCCAGAGAGATGATGAGAAGAACCGGGCAATAAAATCAAAACGCCGAGAGTGAAGTCGTGTCTTTGTAGTCGTGGGTCATGTCGTGTCATAGCCAAATTCCGTCTTGTCTCCCACCTCCCCCAGTTTCTTTTTTTCTCATTCGCTGAAAAGACCAATGCGAGGACCATCGCCGCCTCCCAAACAAAAGGTGTGTACAAGAAAGAACATTGTGCTAAATGACGGACCCCGGCCGGCCTTTGCGTGCCAGCTTGGCAGCTGCATTCCGAAACTCCGGACGAGGCCCTTCGTTCGTGGAGGAATACTTGGAAGGGTCATGGTCCGGCTTCTGCCCGCTCGGCACCTAGCCGAACAGGCTGAAGCGGAACTTCCCTTTACCCTTCTTGCCATTGCCGTCGCGCAACGAGCCGCCCGCCGAGCTTGAGCTCAATGGCCGCTCGTACTGAGCAGACTGCTTCCGGCGATTCATCATGTTGATGTTGTCCTGCGGCGAGCGCTCGTGCTCGTAGTGGTACTGTTCGTGCAGACTGCCCAAGGAACCACGCTGCTGCATCCTGTGCTGCTGCTGCAGCTGCTGGGTGGTCATGCTACCAACCCGGGCGCCACCGCCAGGAGCCGCCTGGCCCTGTGGCAGCGGGGACAGCATCGGCTCGAGGGGAGGCAGGTCTCCACGCAGAGCGCGCTCAACATCGGCGTGCTGCGAGCGATACTCGTCGTGGCGTGCCTTTGCCTCCATGTAGCGCGACTCGGCGGCCGCGCGGCGTTCCTGGAGGGCGCGGATCTCGTCGTCGAGGCGGTCGACCTGGTCCTCAGCCTCGCGCATGAGGTTGGAGTACTCGGTGACCTTTTGCTCGAGGGGGTGAAGGACGCTGGCGGCAACGCTGGGCGTAGGCAGCCGCTGGATGTGGCTGTTGTTGGTGTTGAGCATGGTGGGCGGCGGGCCTCCGTTCTGGTTGGACGAGTGTGGTTGCGAGGTGCCGCTGCGGCGCTCGGGGGGGCTTCTGCTGTTGTGTTGCCGCCTCTGGCCGCCGGCACTGGGAGCAGGACCGGTCCGCTGCTGTGGTCTAGCGGAGTTGTGGTTGTTGGATGGGGGAAGGAGACCACCGCCACTGTTAGGGCCAGAGACTGCGAGCTCGTCAGGGCGGCCTCCGGAGTACGAAGGGGGCCGGCCGCGGTTTGGGCCGGGACCGGGTCCCGGAGCCTGCTGGGAAGGACCTCGTACACCGCCAGATGTGGGCGGGTGTGGGCCGCCGCCGTTGGGCAGAGAATGGGAGGCTGGCGCGGGGACCCAGTGCTCGGGCTGCTGCTGGGGGTTGGTGGCACCGCTGATCATGCGCTGCTGGGCCTGGCGCTGGAGACTGACGCCGTCCTGGGCGTTGTTGGACGGGTGCGAGGCGGTGGTGACGGGAGAGCGGACGTGAGAGTCGTCGTCGTCCGAGATGTCGTTGTAGTCGGTATAGCGGCCGCTCGCGCCGGGGCGGTCCGAGTGGGGAGACATTGTCTTGACGGGGCCTCCACTAGTGCCGTTGGCCACGTTGCTGGCGCTGCGGCTGGCTCTGGCCTCGGCGTCGCGACGATAGGGAGCAGAGGGCGGGTAGGTCATGTCGTTGTTGTTGATGTTGTTTTGAAGCGCGACGGTGCCGCTGAGAGCACTGCTGGCGCTGTGACTGCTCGAGTCGGGCAGCAGTGCAGCCTTGCGATACAGGCGGTTGCAGGGGTCTTTGCGTGACGAGGAGCGCAGCAGCGACGAGAGGGACGCGGCCTGCTCCGGCGGTTGTGACTGCGGCGTGTTGGGGTGCTTGTGCGCGGCAACGTCAGGCGTGCTCTGACTGGAATGCGGCGGAGCGGAAAAGGGTTGCTTCCATTGTATGCCCATGGTCGAGGAGGGAGGAGGGGAGGGAATGTCTCTGGCCGCCTGGGTTTTCTTAACAATGGGAAGAGAGCATTGTCCAGGTGGTTGGGAGGCGTCTTGGGGTGTCTCCTTTGTTCTCCCCCGGCCAGCCACCGTCTTTTCGGCGCCAGCGCTGTTGGGGTTTCGAAATGCGGGTGGCAGGCACGAATTAGCGGCCTTATGCTTCCACGCTGCAGCACCACCAGACCCCCCAGCCACCAGGCACGCACAGGCACGCACCCAAACCTCTGCTCGGTCGCCGAATGCACATCATTGCGTCGCCATTGCGGCACGTCGCACCATTGACTGCTGCATGATGTAGCTCTGCGATATGTGTCTGTGAGAGTTCCCGTGTGAGCCGGACTGGCAACGAGCTCTTACATGTGCGTCCCTCGTGTTCTGGGACCCGAAGGTTGCTGCAAGTACTTTACCGTCCTGCGGGCCACGCTTTTTTCCTCCAGCAGTGGGGCCACTTTCTTCTCCAGCCGGCCCACTCCCGCGTGGCTCCGCGCAGTAGTCTTGAGCCACGCCGTTTCTGCCGCGTCCTGCCTGCAGTCAACATGATGGCTCCGGCCACAGATACCTGTCTCAACAGTTTTGGCTTGGCACATGGTGAGATCCCTTTTGCTCAGGCGGACAACCCGTGATCTTTGTCTGGCAGCAGAACGAATTTCGCTCGAGATGGACTCCGGTGTTTTTTTCAAAGTGCAAAAGCAGCCCGGGAGAGCCTGAAGTGGTATCTTCCAATTCCAAAGCAGGAGGTGCATGCATCCACCTGTCAAAGTCGCAGTTCCTGCTGTCACTTTCAGTCATCTACCCTTGGTCCGTTATTCATGGCCTGTCAAACTATGCTGTGTGCATTGGTCTACCTCGTCTATGCTATAACGTGATCTTTCACACGCAACAATACTCCGGCAGTCAGGGGCAGAACGACGGGGATGGCTTGTAAACCACCCTGGTAACAAGTCTCGCAACTCCAAATGGATATGGGGATTCTAAAAACCCTGCAACTTCGGCAACCTCGACCGCTATGCTCTTTGGTGCGGTATTGGGTAAGAACAAAGAAAAACGCCACCCTATGCTGTAGTCGGCCATTGGCCAGCACCGTTCTAAAAGACTAAACGCCGACTGGGGCCCTGAAGTATGGGCATGTCGCCAGTAAATGCCGATGGAAGAAGGAAAGTGCGAGTGTGCATCTACGCATATATGAGTGCGCAGGTGTGTATATGTATTCCCGGAGGGAGATGGTCGTGTGGCCCAGGGGTCCAAACAGGCTTCTCTTAGAAGGCTACAGCAGCCATGACCGCAGCGCCGAGGAGACCCAGCCCGATGACGGGACGAGCAGCAGCACTGTTGGGATCCGAAGACTGTGTGGGTGCGGGCGTGCCGAGCACGGCTGTGACGGCGCTGGACGCGGCAGCGAGCTCGGTGTCGTTGGGGCTAGCATAGATCTTGTGGCAGAAGTCTGTGGCGACGTTGGTGGCGGCTGAAGGTAGCAGCAGAAAGTCAGCCAGGCAAGTCACACGGATTGGCCACAGATGGCGAAGGGCTTACCACTTGTCTCAGAGGGCTGGCAGGTGGAGAGGAAGACGCAGGGAGCGATGGCGGCGATGAAGGCCGGGCGGTTGTCGATGCAGATGCACTCAAAGTCTGTAGTGGCGCAGCCGGCTCGCTCTGCCGCCGAGGTGAAGCAACCCCTCGCGCACTGAGGCAGCTGGGAGATGAGCTCGGCTAGGCTCTCGTTGGAGGTGCTCGTGTTGTTGTCGGCTGTCGTCTGCGCCGCTGCGAGGGCGGCGAGGAGGGGCAGGGCGGCAAGCTTGAACTGCATGTTGGCGTCTGGTGGTGATTGTCGCGGGCAGGGTGTGGAAACGACAGGACTGAGAGAGACCGGCTCTGATGGAGATGTCTGCGCGAGGGCGTCGTGAGCTAATATTGTAAATGCTGAGATTCTGTATGACGGCAGGAACGAGGCGCTGTGCGGGTGTTGATGTAAATTATGGCAAGAAGGAAACACAAAAGGCGAGCCTGGTATCGGCGTCGAACACTGAGAGAGACGACTGTAGGATTTGGAAGGGCCGGATGACGTTGTGACTGGTTTGGGAATGCGGAAGGGCGGGTGTGGGTGGGGCCAGGGTTCAAACAAGAAGAGTGAGAATGGCAGGCGCCACCGGCTTTGGTGGTTGCAGAGCCGCGCGTAAGGGGGCTGTGCCTGGTCCTTGGCGCTCTCGCTTTTTGTGGGTGCGCCGCCTCGTATTGATTCTATTTCAGCGCTTCCAGCACCTCTACCCGCTGCACTGATGACGGCGGCTGATGGCTAATGGTCATCATACGGCTATTCCTCGCCGCGGCCAGGGCCCTGCCTGCTGGTGTGTTTCCTGCTTGCTTCCCACGAAATCCTCTTCTTCTGGTCCATTGGGGGGGCGCTGCTCTTAAACTGCTGCCTGTCTCACCCCGTATTCCAGGCTGCGAAAGACTGAAGACGCCAGGGGTGCGGCCCCCCTGGCTCCAGATGTAGGATCGGCAGCCGACAGCTTTTAAGCTTCTTCACTGAACCGTTTCATCGCGTCCCGGCCCCGGTCCTTCCGGCTCCTGCTCGAGTGTCAGCCAATGCTGGGCGCCACCTGGGCAGGCTGGCACGTAGCGCGGCTGTGTTTGAAGAAAAAAAAGAGGTGCGGTAAGCTGACGAACAAACCATTTGTCAATCTCCCGATATGCATGCTGTGGCAGGAACATGAGAGCCAACCGATGCTATCACTCCTCCGTGGCTTCAGGCACAGGGCAGGGTAGGTATGGGAGTGTGCGTACACGATGTGAGGACAATGATTCGTGCACTGCCTTGTTCCGATGCTGGATTCCCGAGGTCCTTGTACTGAAGCGCCTTGTACTGAAGCGCCTTGTACTGAAGCGCAACAAAGGCATGGGCGATACACCGTGGGGATTGCGCGTCATGTCGTCAGCGAAGAGGGCAAGTTGCAGACTCCACGTGGAGTCAACCATTGACCAATGGAAGAGACTGGTTCACAGTGTTTCATCTGCCAGCGGGGACAAACGGTCCCAGGGTACGAGATACGTACTTGTCTGCGAGACACACAGGACTCTCTGTTCCCGTACGTGCCCATGATTGGCGAATGGAGGGGCTGTGCGTTCTTCCCTTGATAACATGGGCTCCATCGCGTCATCTCTGCCGGCAAACCTGCGAATCACGTCCTGGCAAGTAGTGTAAGCTTGCATATTGCGCGACGGGAGTTCTTCACTGTTCCAACAAACGGTCACAAGCTACTCGTTGAGCAAGTCAGTGAAATCCCTGATATTAAGTAACCTGGCCAGCAGATTTTGGTCGGTTCACTCTCACATTTGTAGCTAGTTCAACCTTGTCCTACTATAGTAAATCGATCCTCAGACTTTAGCCATGTCAAATTACTTTTGATCATTTTGCCCGGGAAAACGATAACTATACCGTGTAACTCTCAGAGCGCAACAGCAACGACTACTCACCTTGTGCCTTTTGCCCCAATGGCCATTCTAAAAAGACTGGCGATCCAAACCAACATTGACATGATTGACTTCACAAGTAGTACCAAATACGGCAGCCACACCCAGAACCTCGCAGCAGAGGCTTGCTTGTATACTCCTGATAATGATATTCCTGATTCATCACACTAATGTGGAAGCTCAACGGAGCTTTGTACAAACACCACAACCCAGGAGACCGGTCCGGCTGATACCCTAGAACTCCGTCGTGATTCCCAGAATACCAGTCGCGAGCTTCTCCTCGGCATTCTGCTTCAAAACGGCCTGGTACACGGGGTCCTCGTTCTGGTAATAGTCGAGATCCCTGTAGGCCCACGAGCGTCAGTATTCGAGTCAGAATTCGAGATGGATCTGGATTGACTAGAGCCTTGCAGCTTTGAATCGACGTGAACAGGTGGGAATATGGATTTCGGCCAGAGAGCAGGGAGGGGAGAAAGAAGATAAAGAAAACGTACGCCTGGCTCGCAAAAGTGATCTCGGTCACGACGGTCCACGCCGCAGACGGCGGCTGGGATACGAGCACGTTGGCCTTGCCGGCCTTCGAGGAAATGATGTATGTGCTGCCATCGGGCTGTACCAAACACACACAACCGGTCAGCGTCCTGCACTTGTATTCCTGACGTGTATGTTTCTACTGGGGGGGTGTCAAGCATCGCCGTCTAATTCCCACGCCTATACAGTATACTGACCTTCTTGCACAGGCTTGCCAGGTCCGCAAACCCCTTGATCGCGAGCTCCTGCTTGCTTTCGTCGGGCACGGCGACGAGGCCAATTCTGGTAATGGGCATCGTGGAGAGAATGGGTGGTGTTGGTTCTTTCGTTCAAGATCTGGATTGCGACGTGTTGTGTCTTTTGCGATGTTGCGCGCAATATGTGAGAGAGAGTGTGTGCGTGTGTTTGCGTGATAGTTTCGCCAACGTCCTCCTCAAAGGATTGGCTTCAACGAGCAGCTTTCTTGTCTAGTCACAAGAGACACACCCTCCCAAAAAGCATGACCTGGGGAGCTGACGCCGGTCTTATACCTCGCTGGCCTCCCCCTCTCTCCTCCTCCCCACCCCCCCCCCCCCCCCCCCCCGGTGAACCCCTCACTGACTGCACTTGGGCAGATCGATCTTCAGGGGTCCCAAGACTCGCCAAGCGGCCGTGCGTCCCAGCATATTCCCGAATAGAATACCGACACCCTTTTCTGGCGCGGCCCTAATGGCGACGATCAGATTGTCAGCTGACTACCTTAGAAAGGGAGCTATCTCCCCCACCTCTGGACCTGACTAAACCTGTGGTGGACTTAAGGGGATCGGCATTATTGGGGGGGACCAAGCGGCGCTTCCAAACCCCAGAATGGGGACCGGACGAACCGACAATAAGACTCTCTGGTCACCTTCAAGTCGCAAAAGGACGCACCGCCCCTCCCCGATTGCCAAGATATCCGCCAGGATGGCGGGGTCTTGGCTGTTCCAAGGCCCATGCTCTCTCTCTCTCTGGGCGGGGGGACAAATGCTGCCAGGCCTTTGTACCAAAAGTTGGACCGAGGTTCCGCATGGGTTTCTCGTTTTTGGGAAAATGAACGCATGTCGCGCTAGCCTTTGTGGCGCTTGTCTAAAGTGACCGAACCAAAGCCCTGGCTCACTCCGGTGCGGGGGACAACGTGCCAGGGCTCACTCACCTGCTTGCGGTCCCCTCATTTTCCAGGGTGCTTTTTCTAGTCCGATGCCCCTCCAATATTCAAGTCACTCTTGTGTAGGGAGAAAACCAAAGACCAGGAACCGCAACGCTCCCACGACATTCAGGTTAAGCATCGTCAACGCAGGGCAGGCCAACGGGGGACCCGGATGGGGCGCTACTGCCGAGAACTAGTACTGCTGCTGTCAAATGTTAGCCTTTCCCCTCACTTTTCTTTTTGGCCCCCAGACTTACATGTACGTAAAGCCCCCCCTGCACACACAAGTCCCAGGATACCGGGTTCTTTACTTCAGCACTACACGCGCCGAGCCGAGGCAGACATGCCTGCCAGGACCGTTGGCATCCATCCAGCAATCCAGCAGGCGCGGATTGGACCCTGGCGGGACAGGCACCATGCGACCAAATTGTTACTTTCTCGTTGTCTCTCTCTCTCTCTCTCAAAAAAAAAAAAAAAAAAAAAAAAAGAAAGAGTTGCGGGCAGCGCAACTTGTAGCGTTTGGTCACAGGGAGAGTACAAAGATGCCGTGTTGTGAGAAGGACTCGTCGCTCCGTGATTCTCTGTGCAGAAACCAAGCCATTCCCATTTTATTTTTTTGATCGTTCAATCATTCGTCCAGACCAGAGGCGAAAACGCTAACACGTGTGTATATATATGAAACATACTTCCTTCCGCTCGTTTCGCAAAAACGCCGCCGCTGTGCCAATCATAACAAAAGACAGGAAACGACGTATCAAGGCCAGGCTACGAGAGCATCGCTCTTCTGCGCATATTCCAGTCATACAACATACTCGGATCATGTTGCGAATACCCTCCTGATGTAGCTCCACCGTTTCTCCTGCTGTTCACCCCATCATCTGTTCCATACACCCCCCGCCTGCGCGCGTGTTCTTGCAAGGTCGCTCAGCGACGAGCATTGCCCGAGAAACCTGTCTCACCCTTTACTGCCTTGGCAGCCCGGGATGTCCTCCATGCTACAGCTCCCTTCTGCACATTGTTTTAGTACAGGAGAACAGTCCCGCCACGTCAGCGATTACGTGTTGAAAGTCCCGCGAATCTTGGCGTAAAGGTCCGTGTCAAAGAAGTTGTAGTCGGTGTCGAGCTCGCAGAATTCGTGCTGCGTCAGGAGACGTTCTGCCGTAGGCCGGTCGCGAGGGTCGCTATTTGAAGAACAAAAAGGTCAGCACCAATTCGAGAGGACGAATGGGAATTCGTCATAGTCGAGTCAAGAATACTCACACAGTGAAGCAGTCCAGCATGAACCCGAGCGCATACGGACTGATCGCCTCGCGGACCTCGTCCGCAATGGGTGGCGTCTCGCCATTGGCAATCTTGTAGATCGCGCCGATTGCCTCCTCTCTACTCCACGGCCGGCGACCCGCAAACATCTCGAGCACGACGCACCCCATACTCCAGATGTCAACCTTCGCAGAGTATCCCTCTCCCTGGGAGCGGATGACCTCCGGCGCCATCCAGAACACGGAACCCTGCATGGAGTTGGTCTTGTCGTTGCCGTAGATATTGTCTGTCTTCTTGGAGATGCCGAAATCGGAAATCTTGCACGTGCCGTCCACATCGAGGAGGATGTTGTCGGCCTTCAAGTCGCGGTGCAGGATGCCCTCGCGGTGGAGGTAGGCGAGGCCAGATAGCGCCTGGCGTGTCAGCGAGCTGACGACGGGCTCCTCAAACTTGCCATGTTTCCGCAAACACGATCCGATGCTGCCACCAGAGATGTACTCCAGGAAGATACTGATGCTCGTCTCCTTGCGCTCGCAACCCAGGTACTGCACAATGTTGACGTGATCGAGGTACTGCATTGTGTCGATTTCTTGGTCGAGGGCCGCGACCAATTCTTTGATCTTGTTCTTGTCACCCTGCGCGGCCTTTGGATTCACTTCGACTTCCTTGACAGCCAAAAACTCTCCTGTCGTGGCGTTCATGCCGAGGTACACTCGGCCATAAGTGCCCTTGCCGATAAGCTCACCCTTGAACCAGCGGAACGTGGTCTGCCGCTTGGGCAGAGTATCCTGCGGGATCTGCGGCATGATCATCGAATCCCGTGTTGGCTGAATCTGCATGATGTTGGCGCCAAACATCTTGGTGCTCTTGCGCCGCTGTATCATGGACGTTGTGTTGCCAGCATTGCTGACGGCTGACTGGGTCGTGAATCGCTTGTTCGCCTCGTGTGCGCCCCTTGCTACTTCACGGATAGACTTCATACGTCCGAGGCCGCCAGACTTGCGGATACTCCGATGGGCGACAGAGGCAATGGAAGTCGGTCTCTCCAGCGCCTTGAGCGTGGACTCGTCTGAGCCAAGAGTATCGTTCTCATTGTACGTCGATGAAGCTGTCGTGGTCTCGGGCGCCGCTGAAGATGGGCCGGCGCTGGGCCTCGGCGACGGGATCTGGATTATCAAGCTAGGCTCGTCGTCCTTGCCCTCGTCATCTTCCGTAATGGCGGAGATCGGCGTCGATGGGTCTTGCACGACAAGAGACTCATCAAGCACGGGCTGGTCCAAATCGAGCTCCGGGAAGAAAGCGTCGAGGTTGCTCAGCAGTGCCTCAGGGGGAGGACGGTTAGCCCACACGTCCCGCTCAATGAAAGACTTGCGGCGGTTGAGCTTGCCCTCGTCAGACTGCCAATGCTCCGAACTTGGGGTGGGCGGAGGTCTGCGCTGTGAGTTCCAGCCGTCCTGCTCGTCTACGCCATCAGAGCCACCAAACGAAACAGAGAGGTTCTTCCTCGCTCTGTCAGTCTTGCTCACTGCAAGCGTCCCCTGCTTCTCACCATCACCACCACCAGCCCCGTTGCCGCCAGCTCCAGCCCCACCCATGGGCTTGCGTGAGCTCCTCGACGGCTGACGCCCTCTCACCGGTACAGCAAACAGCCCATCGTCCGAATCGTCGTCCCCAGAGTCATCATCCTTGGCAGCTGCGGGCGGGGGTGCGTAGTTGAACTGGACATCGGTGTCTTCAAAGTCCACGTCGGGACCATGAGACTTCCTTCGCGTCGGAGGGGTCCGTGCCGCATCGCCACCCTGCTTCGCCGCCGCCGCCGCCTTGGCAGCCGGACTGACCTCTCGATCGGTTGATTGTTGGGCTAGTTGACGGTTTTTAGCAATTGCTTCATAATGTGGCTGGTCACGGCTCTCAATCTCGATCAAAGTGCCGCCGGGCGAGTAGTCTGGCACGATAAAAGGAACGTCACCGCGACCCCAGGTCAAGGAGCCGGGTGAACCCGACCTCGAGCGCGAGTTGCTGCGCCCGGGGACACTCTGACCAAAGTCGACGGTTGACATTGCACCCTTACCTCGTTGTTGCTCCCCAGGCCCAAACGCGTTTGCTGATTCCGGTGATTTGCTGTTCGGTGACGCTGCCTGTCTAGGCTGAGATGTAGCCCCAGGACGACCCAACTGGCCCCATGTGCTAGACAAGTTGACCAGCGCACCAAGTGCTGAGCCAGTCTGGGGCGCCTTGATCTCGCCATTGCCAGATGGTGGCCGCCGGGGAGTTGGGAACCCATCGAGGCTGCCCTGCGAACCGCGTGTTGAGGTGCCCGGGCGCCTGCTGAGCGAGTTGGCTTTGATGAGCGTTGCACTTTCCACCCCCGGACGGGCAGGAGCTTTGCGCTGCGGGAGGAATGCTTCCTCGGGCCGCTTCTCCTCATAAGGCGATAGACGTGGCTGATCAAAGTCAACGTTCCGACCCACGATACCAACCGCCGGTTTGGCGCTATCCTGAGGCGGGTGGTCGTTGAGTGCTTCTCGTCTCCTGTTGAGATATGCCTTCTGTTGCCGCTCCATCGCAGCACGGTACTCGGCCGCCTTGGCCACAAGATCGGCATCCTGCTGCGCCGACTGGCTGGTCATGGTATTTGACCTTGACGACGGCGGTGACGAGTTAGACCTGCCGCGGTATTTCTGGCCATCTAGCGTCGCATACGCTTCCTCATCCATGCCACGTGCCGCTGAGCGAATCGTCGTCTCGTTGACGCGCACAAACACCTTGAGTCCTCCGGGCATGTCTGGTCGCGTCTTCTTGTGTATGACAAGGCTCTGGTCCTCCAGCGGCTCGTCATGGTCAGCACGGCCAAGATCAGTCAGGTAGATTTCGGCGATCATTGGGTCCTGCAGGCCGAGATTCATGCAGATATTAGCTCGCAGATCTATAGCCGTGTCGCAGTCCGTCACATCGCACATCCGGTAGTTCCAGCCGTCCATCGTGGCGAGTATGTACGATCTCGGCACGCCTGCCTTGGCCGGGCGAAACGTGGCCGTGCTCTCCGAGGCATCAAACCGACTTCCTTGTGAGTGCGGTTTGAAGAAGTTTGGGCTTGTCGGTGACTCGAGATCGTCTGGCGATGTGCCATCTTCTCTCTGTTTGTTCTTCCGCTTGAGGAAACTCAAGAAGCTTTTGTTGTCCTTGGCGGAATTCGGCTCGGCTCCAGCTGACCGATCCCCCGGATCCAATAGTGGAGAGGTGTGGTTGTTCTCCTGGCCATAACGACGGTGGTCTTTCCTCGTCGCATCAATCATCTGAGCAATCCCGCTCATCCCGTTCCGTAAGACCTGGCCAGCCTCGGGCGGAACACCAGATCCATAGATCGCGGCATTGGACGAGGCGGAGCCAGTGCTGTCCCTAGACCTGTGGTAGAAGCGACCCGAAGGGGACGAAGCGGACATATTGCCAGGTCTGCCGGCAGGACTATCGCCACGATTCCTGGATCCGGCATCCTCACTGCCTGGCGCAGGACTGGTCCTCCGGCTGCTATCAACATCAATCTGTTTAAGAATCTTGCGGTGGTCGGACTCGCCCGCGCTAGTCGACATGTTCGGCATCGTCGTCGACCTCGTCTGGGAGAACCGCCTCTGCGTGAAGCCCTGGCCTGGTGCCTTGATGGGTGTGTTGGGTGAACCGGTGTCGCTGCCCTGCCCGAAGCCGTGGCTCCCGCTTTGTGACTCCTTCCTGCTGTGTGCAGACGACGGCTTTGTCGGCTCAGCCGGCTTGCCCATGACAATGTTGCGGATGAGGCGGCGCATGCGTTTTCCCTCTTCGCGCTCCTTGGGTTGATTCCACCCTGTCCCACTGCTCGTGCACTCCTGCGCGAGCCGCGGGTACACCATCTGATGCATTGTGCTCAGATTACCTCGTCCGCCAGTCGTGCTGCCGAGCTCGAGAAACTGCGCGCCACATAGATTCAGCTTCTTAAACGTCTCCTGCCAGTCCTTTGAGAAGTGGTTGGCCGCGAGCCACAACAGCACGTGGTCAATCGGCCACTTGGCGACGAGCTCGGCAGGGATCCCAGAGTTGCTCGCAGACGTCACGTTCGAGGCCGTCGACATCATGCGATGTGCGGGCATTGATGTTGGAAAACCCCAATGGGAAGGAGTCTGGTCGTCGGCCGGTGTGGTGTTGGCGGTCGACTTGCTCATGGTGGTTGAGCTTAGCCAGGAGCTTTGCGACGGGGTCATGCGCGAAGCCGTGTCGTCGTAGTCGAAGCCTGGGATGCCTACGCCCTCGCCATATGTGTCCCCGCCGGGGATATAAGTCGCACTGACGAGGTTTGACGGGTCGTTGGAGGCGTTGAAAGGGGGAGGAGGTGGTATTGACGACAGCGTGGCTGCTGACGTCTTTGCGTGCAGTTGTGGGTTGTAGGCCATATGTTGGCCTCCTGGCGGAGGGGGAGGCACGGCGAAGCCATTTCGAGTATCGTAGGGTCGCGCTGTCCAGCCGCCTTGCCAATGTGAAGCGTTCGGAGGAGGCCCCGGCGGCGGTGGGAGGAGGATGCCGTTTGCGGAAGCTGATGGCGCGCTTGGGAGGCGAGGCGGCGGCGGCGGGAAGTTCATAATGTTGCCCATCTGCTGCGAAGGGTTTGGAGGGGACATTGGCGGCGGCGGCGGGACAGGAAAGGGCCGCGAGGGGTCCCTTTGTGTGTTTTGGTACATGGCGAGCGGCTGGGGGCGAGCCCAGGCGGGTCGCGGAACGTGGAGGAGTCGTGCGCTGTGCTGTCTGAAGGGGAGGTGTGTCGGCTGTTCCTGCGAGGCGCTCCTATGCTGTCGTGGCCGGCGACTGACTCTTGCTGTTCGTCGGGGCAGCACGAGGCACGGGGGGGTGAAGCCGGAGCGTTTGCGTCAAAGGTGCTGGTGGAGGTTGAAGGGTGGTGTTGAGGAGCAAGCGGAGTCGTCTGGCTGGGGGGTGCCGGCGGGCCAAGGGTGGAGGGTCGTCAGAGCCGGGGTCGCGCGCAGCCAGCCGTGCGTGCGTGGAGCAAGTCGTGCTTCAGGTTTTTGATGGCGGGCCGGGCTTCAAGAATGTTGTGACGGGCAGTTGAATGAGGGATGCATGGCCCGGATCTGCAAGCTCTGTTTGCTAACTATGAACTAAGGAGCGCACCTTGAGGCAGGCTCCTGCATTGACCTGTGTTAGGCGAGCCCAAAGGGCAGCCCCGCGGCTGAGAGGACACCCGTGAGACAGGTCGGGCAGCTTCTCTGTGAGAACGAGGGGAAGCTAAGGCCAGGGCAAGCCAGGGGACACACTTGAGCACACAGCTGACCGAGCAGCGAGGAGCCGCAGCGTGATGGAGGGAGGGGACGTTCCGCGGTAGGACCGGACTGCAGACGGAAGCAGAGCCTATCACAGGCACCGCGGATACGAGCGCAGCTACTGCACCAAGGCATCTGCATGTGGTTTTGCTGCATCCAGCTTCGCCATGAGCTGTTCAACTCTTCTGTTGAGCTCTTTCTTACGAATGCTCAATGTCTGAAGTCACCACTGCCATCAATGATTCGACTCGAATCTCCTCTCGCCGTCATCCTCGTCGCCCGGGCTGCCCGTCTGCCCCGCAGGCGGGACAAGACGAGGTCGAACATGCAGAAGCGACGTCCTTTGTGTGAAAAGCGAAGTGGCCGGCAGACAGGCGTGGGCGCTTAAGTGTGCAAGGGTTCATGCATGACGTGCAGCCAATCAGCAACGCTCCTGGGCCCTCCACTACAGTCGAGCCAGCCATCTCCCTGCAGGTTCAAAGGTGCATTGTGGTTGGATCGCGTGTGACAGCAAGTACTTGGGTGGGTGCAACTGGTAAGAATTCAATGGCTTCGTGTGATGCTATCCAAAAACAAAACGCCATAAATCCCCATCAACTTCGTTTCGTGCAAAACAAAAACAAAAAAACACGAGTCAATGGTTTAGGCCACACAACGAGAATCTCCTGGCGAACTTGCCGGTCCCACGGAGTATCGTCCTGACCAGGACGCTTCACATTACACTGCAGTTTTTGAGGTCGATACCGTAACCGGCCTGACACTGCTCCAGATAGCCAGCCTCCTCGGACGTGCCGGCGAGCGTGCTGCGTGGCCGAACCAGGCCCTTGACCCGCAGCGTCTGCTTGCCGTCGCTGTGCCACCACCGTAGCTTCTGCACCAGCGCCCGTTCCTCGTCGTCCGTGCTGATCTCCCACTTGCCACCGCTGACCTCCACCGTGCACTGCTCCTTGGGGAAATGCCACTCGGGTAGGAAGATGGTTGTTGGGGTCTCGTCGGACAGCAGCTTGGTGCCGTCGACATTGAGAGTGAACTCACAATTACGCAGGTCAAAGACGTAGTCGATGATGGCGCCGTTGGTATAGATCGGCGCAGGCCGGACATACGCCTCAGCAGCGCGGTATCCCGGCGCGTTGGTGAGCTCGGGATTCGGGCTGGAGCGCTCGGACGAGATGGATGGGTTTGTGAGCGTGCGCTTGAGGTTCGCCGGCGTGACGGTGGTCTCAGAGTTGCCATCCTTTCGGCCCTGTGTGGTGTTCACCTTGAGCAGACCATCCGACGTCTGAGTGAACTCGGAGTCTCGCGGTAGCGGCGTGATGGGCAGGGTCTGGTCGTCGACAGAGAAGATGGACAAGTCCTCTCCGTTCCATTGGTCCCCATAGTGGTGATCATTCTGACACGTTATGTATTAGCGAGAGTAAGGCAAGAGGTCAGGAAAGTGGGCACTTACAGTCGCGCAGTACAGCCACAAGGTATAGCCCTCCATATGCGCGCCTTCGACAGCAAAGTGATTGGCGTCCATTGCTGCAGACTGACTCGAGTAGTCGCCAGTCTTGTATGCTGCTTTGTCGTCCATGTCATACGGGATACCGAATTCGCTCAACAAGCAAGGGTGGTTGCCCATGTAGTCCAGGCCCTCCTTTCTCATCGCGGCTAGCTGGTCCTTGAAAGAGTTGCGGATGGCAGTCTCGCCAATCTTGATGGCAAATGCAGGGTGCAAATACTTTCCGCGCAGAACGCCAAACACATCGACATTCCACGTGCGGTTCCACTTCTTGGTCATGAGGGTGATGCCGTCGTAGTAGTGAGGTGCGTAAACCATATTGGGGTCGTCGTCTGCTGTCCCCTTGATGCTAGGTGGGATTTCGAGCACCGGTGGCTGGCAAAGCAAGATGGCGTCCTTGTGTATGGCTCGGATGGTATCGCGGTAAGTCCGATAAAACTCCATGAAGTACGTGTTGGTGAATTCGGGGTAGTCAATGACCTTTCCAGACTTCGGGTGCTTCGTGAAGTAGTCCTTGCGCAACAGGACATCGTTGGAAGGATCCCACACCCCGTGCTGGGCCCATATGCACTCTCCCAGCTTCCAGCCCGGATCTCTTGTCCAGCCATAGCGAGAGTCATCATAGTCGGCTGGGAGCCATGCCTTTTCTCCCTGGGGGTCAATCAACACGCGACCGACCTTGTAGGGACCAAGACCACCCATATCCCACGAGTCGACTTCACAAGCGCGTCCGGATCCCGTCAGGATGGCCTGCCAGATTGTAGGGGAAGTGCCCTTCTTGAGGTTCTGCTCCGAAGGTATCACGCTGATGTCATGGTAGCCAATCAAGCATCGATTCGGCTCGTTCAGGCTTTCCCAGCCAAACACGACATCGTTCTCCAGATCGCCCGCCTCGTGTATTTTCTTGGCGAGGTGCTCGCATGCGCGCATGAAATGGCCTTGAAGGTAATCCTGGATGTTCATCCCGTCAATAATGCACTTTGGTGCGAAGTCGCGGCCCCCAAAGAACATTGTGAATATTGTCGCAGCTGCGAGCCTGTTGTAATTTGTCGACCAAATCATCTTGGGGAACTTTTCGGGGTCACTGTATGTGTTGTGCACAATGGCCGCCTCGGTGGCGGCGAAGGTCTGAGGATTGAGGCCGCAGGCATAGATTGTCCACATGGGTGCGCCGGAGCCACCACAATACCGCGACCACTACGATTGCGTGATACAGTCAGACATCTGTGCCAGGTCAAGCGCTGCTCGGGGCATGTATACTTACCACGTCCTGATGCGGGTCCATGAAGATGTAGAACCCAAAGTCCTTGGCCTCCCTCAAGACGTCAATGGTGTGCTGGATCCATTGCTCGTCGTATTTGCCGGGGCCAGCCGCCTCGATGGCCTCCCATGTGAAGACGTAGCGGATGGTGTTGTAGCCGAAGCGCTTGAGGCGGGAGAAGTGGATGTGCGCATCCTCTTTGGAAAAGGGGCGACCGTGAAACTTTACGTTGTCGCCGTCGAAGAAGTTGTCTGCGACATGTGACGGGACGTTGGGCTCACTGGGGAACTTGTGATCGCCTGCAACATTGATACCCCTGAGGAGGACATGCCTGCCGTGCTGGTCGCGGAACTGGCCGTCCTCGATGGTGAGGCGCAGTGACGACATGGCGGTGTGCGAGTCGATCGCAGCAAGCAGACAAGGTGAAAGGCCGAGGCTGTGATATCCCCCAGAGCTGGCGGGTTTCGATCAAGGAAATGTGTTCGAGTTGCTGGCGAGGTTGACCTTGGGGATGTTCCCGGTTGCGTGGTACGAGGATATCGATAAGCTGGATGAGATGACGTGCCTCTGGCTGCGTGCGAGGCGGATGACGACGGGGAAGCGCAGTGGGGCAGTCGTGGCCAGGGACTGCGCGGGGCAGGATCGGGTGCGGCTGCAGCGGAGAAGAGGCGCGTGCGCAGTCTGGCTGACGATGGGTCGATGTAGGAGAAAGGGAGGAAGCCGGCACGATACGTTCAAAGTTGGAAGAAAGGACAAAGGAAAAGGGCGTACGAGGACGGTTGTAATGACGTCCAAGACGGTTGTAACCATGGGACTGGGATGGCCAGGAGTTGCCGTCCGTACTGCCTGACCTGACTTGCCTGCGGTGGCGTGCCGAGAGCCGCCACGCGCAGGACCGCACCGGACCACCCCCTCCCCCACTGCCTGCCTGCCACCTGCACGGATGCTGGGTGCTGGGAGCTGCCGAAGTTTTGCCCGTGGCTGCCACACTGTTACCCGGTGCAGCGGTCATGCACTTCTAAGTTCCAGGCTAGACCCCTGGCGCCCCAGCACATACTGCAGCACTGTCGCCCAACGCCTCGCTGACAGCTCCAGAGCTTGCCGCTGCGTGCTTGGTGGGGTCGGCAGCCACGAAGGTCGACATCATCACCAACACCACCAACGCCAACCCACAGCTGCACTTCTGTGCCTTGTGCCGAACCCTGGGCCGCCACACTCTTTTTGGTGCATCATTCTTGAGACAATACCTCTGTCTCTTCCACTGGCAGCAGCAGCAACGGCGTTTCTAGGCCGTGGTTGTGGCAAGGCTTGTCAGAGTCCTTGCCCAGGCCTTGGACACCCCGGCGCCTTGGCCCCGAGCTCACACAACTGGCAAGCTCGGCCCTAGACGGCAGCTTCAACTTCGTTATCTTTTTGAACAGACCACAGCTCGCCGACTCCGCATGTGCAAAGGCGTCTCAGGCCGAAGCAATCCATCATGTCGAGCTCCAAAGCCGCCCTCAAGGCGATCAAGGATGCCATAGGCAAGCAGAAATGGGACGATGCCATATCTCTGGCCCGCGATGTCTTTGACAAGGACCCAAAGAACTACCAAGCGTGAGTTGTCTGGCATGACAAGTCTCTGCTGGCTTCCCAAGTTTCCCATCCACTCCGCGCTCACTTCCTGACCCAACTGTGCAGATACGTCTTTTATGCATTCGCGCTGGACAAGAAGAACCAGGTAGATGATGCCGAGAAGGCATACGAGACGGCGTCGAATCTCCGCCCAGAAGAATCGCAGGCCTGGCAGGGTCTCATCAAGATCTATGAAAAGAGAGGCTCCTCCAGCATACCAAAGTATCACAAGGCCGCGCTCAAGCTTGGAGAAATCTTCCGAGACGCCAACGAGGTAGACAAGTGCCACGATGTGGCGCAGAAGTTCGTCGACTTCGCCCTCAACCAGGGGGACAGGGCACAATACGTCCAGGCCTTACACATCATGCTTCCAGACAGCCCGATATATGACGCGCTGGAAGGCCGGGTTCCGCATCCCTCAAAGACCTATGAGACCATGGCTCAGATTCTGGAAGTGGATGAGAAGAAGCGCATCAACACTTTAATCGGTGAGCGCAGGACCAGGCTTGGAGCCAAGCTTGGCGACGTCACTGTAGAAGTCACACGAGAAGTCTTGTGCAACAGCCCACTGGCCGAAATCTACCAGCAGCTTATCCTCTGGACAAGAGACGACGACATACGGCGGCAGTATGAAGAAAAGCTGCTGCAGTTTTGCTACGACAGATTGTTGGCAATGCACCCGGCAGACAAGCCCAAGGAACTCCCGAACGTGCAGAAGTTGGCCAATGACATGGTCATCATTAAACATCCGTTCAAGTTGGCGTGGGACATTGCTATTGAGTGGCAAGACTGCAAGGAGTTTAAAGATTGGGACGTCAACGTTCTGCGCCAGTACTGTGCGCACTTTCCAGACAGCGATCTGTACCGGGTGTTGACAGCGTTCATGACGAGCAGTATTTCGCCATTCCCAAAGCTCGAACCGGACGACACTAAGCGGTAAATTTCTCTTCCCCAAGCCAATGTTTATTATGACGCATAGCAAGGCAAACAAGATTACCTAATACCTAGCAATAGGTCAGCATCGACGGAAAAGACCGAAAGCACGGATGACAGTTCAGATGACGAGGATGGAGGCGCCCCGACCTCCGTCATTCCATTCACTGACGAGGATCGTCTCCTCATGATGACGGAAGGCATAGCTTCGACCAAGTCTCTTTTGGCCCACCGAATCGTCGGCGAGTACTATCAGCACTTGGAAGAGCACGAGACTAACGTTGAGCTCATGCGGAAAGCCATGAAGATAATGGTTACGGAAACAGAAAGGACAGGCAAGGTCTTCGTCAATACGAACCAGGCTTACATGGTCTACCTTGGTACTGCACTTGTCTACTACCAATCCCCAAGGAATCATGGCGAGGCCAAGTTCTTATTTGACAAGGTTCTCGAAGTCGACCCTACGTCGACACCAGCCATGATAGGCGTGGGACTGATCTATGAGGAGGAGGAGGAGTTTGACCAGGCTATCAATTTCTTGGAACGGGCACTGGTGGGTGACCCAGGCAACCTCAGAGTCCGCGCTGAAGTGGCGTGGTTGTATGCGCTCAAGGGCGACTACGCGCGCGGCAAAGCTGAGCTTGAAGCACTACTCGAGCCGATGAGCCAAGATGCTGTGTCAAAAGAGACCCTGGCACAGACCCGATACCGTCTGGGAATGTGCATCTGGAATCTCGACGATTCCAAGTCGGCTCGCAAGAGTCGCAAGGGAGCGTATGCCTGCTTCCTCGACGCGCTCAAGGCTGATTTCAGCTTCGCGCCGGCATACACAAGTCTCGGTGTATACTATGCGGATTATGCGAAGGACAAGAAGCGTGCCCGCAAATGCTTCTTACAGGCTGTGGAGCTGTCGTCATCAGAAGTCGAGTCTGCAGAGCGACTGGCAAGATCTTTTGCCGATGATGGCGACTGGGACCAGGTTGAGCTCGTTGCCCGGCGCGTCGTCGAGTCTGGCAAAGTGAAGCCTCCGCCAGGCTCAAAAAGGAAGGGTATCAGCTGGCCATATTCTGCATTGGGTGTCGCCGAGCTCAACAAGCAGGACCATGGTAAAGCGATTGTCTCTTTCCAAAACGCCCTCCGAATGACACCCAATGATTATCACTCGTGGGTTGGGCTTGGCGAAAGCTACTACAACTCTGGGCGATATATCGCGGCAACCAAGGCGCTACAAAACGCTCAGAAGTTGGAGGAGACAGCCACTTCGATCCCAGAAGACGATACGTGGTTCACAAAGTACATGCTTGCGAACGTTAAGCGCGAAATCGCCGAGTACGACGACGCCATTGAGCTATATCAGCAGGTATTGAATACGCGGCCAGACGAGGAAGACGTCGCCATTGCACTGATACAGACACTGGTTGAGGACTCGCTGGATTGTGTCGACAAAGGCTTGTTCGGCAAAGCGATTGAGCTAGCTCGGAGGGTTTTATCGTATGCGCTTACCGTGCCGGAGGCTGTGACCAGGACGTTCAACTACTGGAAAGCAGTAGGAGACGCCTGCTCGATCTTCTCCGCGGTGCAAAGTCGCCTGCATGACTTCCCGACCGAGGACATACGCAAAATCCTCGAGCAAGGCGAAGACGCCGAAGTTCCTTACACGGTCCTCCACGACGTCGACGGTGTGGGGAAGAGTGTCATTTTTGCGAAGGGCTTGTTCTCGGAAGACGAACAGCTCGGTGTTGATCTGACGCGCAGCTTGCACGCCTCTATTCTGGCACACAAGAGAGCTGTGCACCTTTCAGCTCAGGATATCCACGCTCAAGCGGTCGCTTACTACAACCTTGGATGGGCAGAAAACCGCGCGCACCAGTGCCTGCCTGCGGACATCCGCGCACAGTCGAGCAGATATCAAAAGGCTGCCGTCCGGTGCTTCAAACGCGCGATTGAGCTTGAGGCAAGCAATTCCGACTTCTGGAATGCTTTGGGCGTCGTGACCAGCGAGATCAATCCATCTGTAGCACAGCACGCTTTCGTGAGAAGCTTGTATCTCAACGAGCGTAGTGCACACGCGTGGACAAACTTGGGCGCCCTGGCGCTCATCCAGAATGACCCTCAGTTTGCGAACGAGGCGTTCACTCGAGCGCAGTCCAACGATCCCGACTATGCACATGCTTGGCTAGGTCAGGGCTTTGTTGCGCTCCTCTACGGCGACAGCAAGGAAGCGCGGGGCTTGTTCACACACGCCATGGACATCTCCGAAGCGTCATCGCTGGCCACGAGACGGCACTATTCCGTCTCACTCTTCGACCATATCCTCACCAACCCGCCAGCTCTTAGCAGTATTTCCCTGGTACATCCGCTATTTGCGCTGCGACAGCTTCACGGGCTGAACCCACAGGAACTCAGTTACGAGCACCTTGCAGTACTATTCGAAGAGCGTACTGACGACATTGGGCGGGCTATAGAGTCTCTCGACAAGACTGCCAACGCTCTCGAAGCTAGTTACGAGTCAACTGAATCACCACAAGCTCTAGGCCGCTTTGCACTGGCCAAGACAGATCTTGCGCGAGCGTATCTTGCCGCTGGTGACTACGAGCAGGCCGCGCAGTGCGGCGAGCTGGCCCTTCAGCTGAGCAGCGACAACTCCGAGAACGAGCTGAGCTCCGAGCAGCGCCGCAAGGCACGGCTCTCGGCACATCTCACCGTTGGGCTTGCGCAGTACTTTAGCAAGGAGCTCGACTCGGCGTTGGGCTACTTTGAAACCGCGCTCGAGGAGTCAGAAGGCAACCCGGACGCTGTTTGCGTGCTCGCACAAGTACTCTGGGCAACGGGAAGCGAGGATGCGCGCGACCGGGCTCGCTCCGCGCTGTTCGAGGTCATCGAGAAGGACTCTACGCATGTCACGTCGGTTCTGCTTCTGGGTGTCATCGCGCTCCTCGACGACGACGCCGAGTCCCTCGACGCCGTCCTGGCCGAGATCAACACCCTGCGGACCAGCAACACCGTCACGGATGCAGAGCAGGCGCAGATCGGCGACGTCCTGCGCGCCGTGGCCGCGCTATCCCAGCATGACGCGGCGGCAGGAGGAGACGAAGATCCCGTCCTCACGCAGATCCAGAGCGACATCATGCTGAACCCACACCTTCCACATGCCTGGAGTAAGTTGTCTCAGCACAGTCCCAGCAGCGACGACAGCTACGCGGCAGACATGGCTCTGCAGGTCGCGCAGAAGGCCATCCCGCCCCGCGGCGCCCTGGGTGCGGCAGACCTCGCCGAGGCGTTTGCGGGCACGGGTACGATTGCAGACGCGCAGAAGGCGGTGCTCGTGGCGCCGTGGAGTGCCTGCGGATGGGAGAGCCTTGCGGCGGGTGTTGCCTGAAGATGTGGACCCGTACATTGCAAGTCGTCTGGACAAAACACGCAGAAGGTTATTTGTTGGTAGCGTGGTGGCAGTCTTATGCCCATCTCGGAATCCCAATACACCGAAGAATTTATCTGATCCTGACATCATCTCGATTTTGAGGGCCTGCCCGCCACCATGTCGCGTGTCTCTACTTGCGAGATGTCGAGGACATTGCTACACAGATAAGCACCGTAGTTCATCATGAATGATATGTACGTGAAACTTGGCTCCACGGCCATGGACAGACACTCACGGGTAGACTGGCGCATAGTCACTCTAGCATGAATATGGATAGACTTGTGAATATAGGACTTGTAAGCATGGCAAAGAGAAGGAAACGATCGTGGCTCAAAAAACATTAGATAAAGCAAGAGAACACAGAAATAAAGAACAAAAACTGAACCATCAGACAAAGAAAAGAAAATTCAGCCCAGTGAACGCAAGAGAAATGAAATCAAGGAAAATTGAAGAAACTCGAAAACCCCGTACCCCAAACCTGCCCTTGACTGGGCGGAACCAGGATTATCTACCTTTCACATTATCACAGCAACCACAAGGATTTTGTCTATTGAGATGTTCTTTTCCCTCATACCTCTCTATATATCGGTCTAGAAACAAACAAACAAAGCTGCCCGTCATTATTACACTCCAGAAGATAGAATCATGACCGCGGCCGCCTAAACGGATGCGCCTCGGTATTCAGCACCCACTCGTCCAGGTCCACGACTCTCTCGTCGCTAAACACCAGGTAGAAGTACTTGAGCGTCTCGGCGAGCCAGAAGCTCTCCATCGAATCGGCCATGTTGCTGCCCCCTGTCACGAACGCCGCCCTGCTCCCGCCCGCCAGCCCGCCGTCGAGCACGCGCACGTCCCGGATCGCCGAGAACGCGAGCGGGGTCTCGGTCGCGGCCACGACCGACTCGAACATCCGCCACGCGACGTCCTGGTAGTAAGCCTTGCCCGTGATGCGGTACATGAGGAACACGCTCTCGATGGCCTCCGGGCGGAGCAGGTAGCGCGTGTCGCGGGCGCTGAGGAAGCCTTGCGGGAGAGGCGCGGGCTTGGGCAGCTTCTTCTTCTTCTTGTCAGAGAACAGGCTGTCGTCGCGACTGTCTTCCTTGGCGTCTTCGTCTTCGTCGTCCTGCCGGAAGCCCTTGAATCTGGCTTCGTCCCATGCGCATGCCTCCAGGCCGGGACACGCCACCATGTTGAAGATCTCTGGCATGACGCCGGTCGGGAACTCGTTGTACGCCCACGCGCAACCTCGCGCGAGCCGCTCGCCCAGGGTGACGTGCTCCTTGATGCCAAAGAGCTTGCCGCCGAGTCCAAACATGCCCCCCACAAAACACGTCAGGTGCTGGCCCTCGGCATCCAGGCGCGGGCCTTCCGACTCAATCCAGACAGTGCCCGAGAACAGGATATCCTCGCGGCCGGGCAGCATCGGCCGGAACAGCAGGTTCTTGGTCACGGCGTCCATCGCGCCACGGTACAGCTGCTCATATACGGGATCCTGCCCGCCCAGCAGCGCATGCATCTTGGGGAGATACTCGTACAGGGAGTCGGCCAGCGCCCCCAGCGTGAACATGCGCTCGAAAGTAAAACCCGTGCGCTTCTCGAGCACCTCCTCGAGCCCGACGCTCAAGTCGAAAAAGGTCGGCCACATGCCGGGCAGCTGCGTGATGTTCTGCGTGCGCTCAAGCAGCCGCGTGACCCGGTCGATGGCGTCGTAGTACTTGTCGTCGCCCGTGAGCTGCGCGAGGCGGGTAAACTCGAGCGAGGACGAGGCCACGGACGCCGACGGGTCATGCGTGCCGGCCACCAGCAACCCGGCCTTGGCCTTCTCAAAGTCCAGCCAGAACGGCGGCATGCGTGTGGGCGTGTCGAACGCAGCGTACAGCATGTCGCCCAGCTCAATGGCCTTGCGCAGGAGGGTCTTCTCTCCGCTCAAGTCGTAGGCGCTCAGCAGGCCGCCCAGGTGCCGGATCGTGGTCTCGAAGAAGTTGCATGCAGACTCCTTGGTGACTTCCCAGTCAATGGTGCCGACGGCCGCAACCGCCTCGTAGAAGTCTTTCTTGAGACCCAAAATCCACAGCGTGTCGAGGCTGTCGACGAGTGTGGCTGCCCAGCCGCCAAAGGGGTCTTTCGACCACCCTGAGACGGGCCGAAGCTCGTCGTGCATCCATGCCTTGTCCTTGTAAGCATTCCAGCTCTTGACGAAAGCCTTGAGGACGGCGCGGCGTCGGCCGGCCAGGATCTCCTGGCGCTCCTTTGTGGGTTTGGGATCGCTTGCGAAGTCGTGCTGGACCGCGGGGATCTTGAGAGGTGTGCCGCGGGGCAGGGTCGTCGGGTTGGCAACGGGGTGCCTCTGCGGCAGGGAGGACCAGTCAAAGCTCGTGGTCACATATTGGAGGCGATGCCTGTGGGATGTCGTCGAGGCAGGAATGTGGACGTAGACGAGGTAACACACGACGAGGCCAACTAATATGGGCGTGAACCGAGACCTGCGGAACAGGTTTGGGCGGAGCATGACAGGCGGGCGTGTCTTGCTGAGCCGCAGCAGAAGGTCGGAGGTGACGCAAGGAGGTCGAGACGCACAGGGAAGCTGTGTTACCCCTGAAGGGCCTGTGCCGCGGAACAAAGCCAGGAAGGGTTCAGGAGTCGATTAGGTCGCGGAAGAATGTCAGCATTGTGGACGACCTGACGAGAGGAGCGGACAGGCGAGGCAGTGTCACGTCACACAGGATGCTGATACCGCAAAGGTGAGGAGCCAGTGGCGGGGGACATTGGAGGAGAGGATATTTGTGCCAGCCAGAAACAGACTGGCAGGTGGCCCAAGTCAAGCTGGCCTGAGGCCAAAGTGGCCGAGCATGCAGGGTCAGTGATCACGGCGGGCCAGGGACAGGACCCTTCCAGGGGTAAATGCGGGCTAGGGGAAGCCTAAAGCCAATTAAGAGCGCTGGCAGGCGCGCTAAAGGGTCCTTGGCAGCCGCGGATGCAGCCTCTATGCACTGCAACTGACATGGTGCGCGGCAGGCCCCGCAAGTTGCTGGAGAACTGGCGCCAGGCCCGCCCGCCTCCATGCACAAGACCAGTGGACGAGAATGACGGTGGTGAATCTATAATTGGGTATTCTTAACAGCGCGCTCTCTAGGAAATGGCCGCCTCCATTGGCATGTCCTTGGATGATAGAGACCAAGAACCAATTGCAAAACCTCTGCCTATTTAGCAGCCGCCGCCACCGCCGCCTCCATCACCACCACCTCCACCCCCCGAGGAACCTCCTCCATCATCGCCTCCACTGAAACCCCCGCCTCCGCCTCCGCTGTAACCCCCGCCCGAGTACCCGCCCGCACCATCGCCTCCATGGCAGTGACCACCGCCGTGATGCCCTCCGCCAGCGTGATGGCCGCCTCCACCGCAGTCACCCACACCTCCGCCATAGTAGGAAACGCCTGCGCCAGAGGCCGGAACCGAAGTGTACATCATGGAGTCCACTACTCCACCTCGATTTGTTCTTGCTGTTCCAGAGGAGCCATAGTATTGCCGGCTCGTCTGCTTCATAGGCCGAGGGGCATAATCTGGATGGAGCTTGTACTTGGGCTGTCATGGGGGACACGGAGTCAGCCGGGGTGTCTGTGACAAGATGTGTTGGGCTTGTGAAAGAGAGCGCCGACATACCTTTGAGCCGAAACACATGGTGACGGTTGTGCTTTAGAGACTTGAGGTCTTTGCTTTTTCCGCGGGTGAAGTGGGCTGTCCCTAGGGGTAATGATGACTTGTGCCTGCTGGTTTTGGGCTTCTGTGTGCGTCGTCGAAGGCAAAGAGCACTGCCGTGGTCGAGCGATGTGGACTGATTTGTGACACTTATGAGTGAAGTGTAAGGATGATGGATGCTGTGTTGAGGGGATGTCTTCTTTCGATTGTTTCTGTAGAGGTGAGGTGGTCGAGGGTTTATATCTCTATGTCCACGCGCCTGCCTGCCTGTCTGGTGTGTCTGCTTGCACAGCCAGCTCCATCGCTGGCCCGCGTGACAGTCACAAGAGGCAATGACGTGAATCGCAGCTTCCGGATCCGATGCTGCGCCAGAGATCGTGGGGCTCTGGCTGAGACTGGATGCACGCTCTGCCTGTACTCAGCCAAGTGGCCCTGCCCAGATCTCAGCGCACTCATCTGCCAGGCGGATGAGCCCGTGAGGGGTGCCTATCAGCCGCAGTGTCGAGAGATGCCTACTCGAAAACTGCCTGACGGCAGGACTCACGGGGGAAGGCCTGCCCCGGCCAAGCCTCCTCTAGCTCCGATCAGACTGCGAACAAGCTTCTCTCCTAGGTCTATGTCTCCCATTTCTGGAGCTCGACAGAGAAGGGCTGAGCCGGGGCTCGGTCGCCGATCCGGACAGGCTCCAATTCAGCTGCGCCGTTGGACCTCCGGCTCCGCACGTCATCATCCGTGGCCCAATCGGGCGACCGAGGCTCTTTGTTCCGGTCTAGAGCAATTAGCGCTGGAACGGACGGGGGCAGTGACCACGGCTGCGGCGGCGCAGCACCGCCCTGCACGTGTCTGCCTAGCATGTCACCCACCGAGCAGTTGACTCTGGGCTGAAGAAAGCTTCTAGAAGCAGGGGGCAGTGCACCAGGCCGGATAGTACTCAGACCTTCCCAGCTAGAGCCTGCTGACCATCTACACGTCCAGCCGCCCACGAACGTCATGATCTGGTTATCCTGGGCATAGCAATGCCGTGCCTGGCCGCTCCGGCTTCGGTGCCGGCAATCGTCACCACAGGCACCTTCTGTCACATGTCTTGGGTCTTGGTGGGTGCGTCGGCGGGACCACAATCTGTCTGCCGAGCACGTGCGTTGTGCATGCGCATGCAATGTATCTCTCCAGCTCGTGAGCAAGTACGGCCAGCCTGCCTCGCAGTGCACGATCCGCTACTCCATGCACCAGTCTGCATGGCGTGCCTCGGTCAGATCTCTGATTCCCGCGAGCGCTTGCTGGCTTGCTTTCCAACTCCAACTCCAACTTGAGGAGTGAGCACCGCGTGGCTAGATGGCTTGACGTCAGCATCTGCATTGATTTCACAACAAGAAGAACCAATGAGTGGCTAGTGGTTTTTAACGCAGCCAAGCTCTCCTTTCCAGCACTAGGCTTCATGTTGGTAATGAAGCTCACACGTTGGACCACCACTACAATGGCTATGCCCTTTCGCGCGTTTCCCATATAGCTATTGGAGTCAAGGACAAATTGAACGCGGAAGATCCCATCACCCATTCTTTTGTGCCTAGCCCCAGTTCTAATTTGGGAGATGATACAGAGCCATTTGATTTCCTCCACAAAGATTCGTGGATGTGACTCGGGCGAGTTTCCCATGGAGTGCAACGACTATTCGGTGCTCACAAAATCGTCGTCCACATAGTCGCTGGAATGCGTCTGTAACGTGATCCCACAAAGGCGGGCATGTCCAGCGATTCAGTTAGGGACCATCGCATCATCGCGCATATACTTCTCTCAACGTGTCTCGAGGTGATTGGTGTTATATGTCCGAGATAGTTCGATTCTCGGCGCAAGGATTGTGCAGTCTTGGTAGGTTGGCTCCGAGTGGTGACCAAGTAGATAGACGGCCTATTTTGAGCATCCTCGTGTGATATGCTAATTTTTGCCATGGCCCCTTTCCCTGCTGCAGATTTCAAGCTACACAGCAAGTTCCTCGTGTCTTCACAAATTTGCACATCATAGCCAGTTGAAAGTGTCACTTTCTCCATGAAAGGCTCAGCGCCTATAAGTTCGCACTAAACACGTGCATAATGTTTGGATCCCAGCTCCCAAGTCCAAGCTGGTTGTCGTCCAGGAAGAATACACGTATATCGCCGCACTAACTCTCCCGATCAACAATCAAACAGAGTTTCTGCGAAAATCAAGGAAACAGATGACAGGTGACCTGATTAGAGATCAGTAGGTTATGAACGCAGGCGCTTCGATCCGCCTTTAACGCCGCCATCGTACAAGCCGCGACACAGTGCATACGGACGATCATGCAGGGTCTTTTTAAGATCGCCAATTTTTACCCTACTGCAACCACGCGAAGGAGAGAGACACTTGACAGGTCAAAGAGGCGAGTTGCTGTGGATGCATGCATGCCCTCGGACGTGCAGAAAACCGGTTTTCCCAGCCACACTTGCATTCCAACCACATGCTCCTTTTCTGCCCGCGGGGCGCCACAACTCCTGGCAAACGAAGTGCTCCTATTTGCTGCTCACTATGGGCTTGGCTACCAGTGGGTGTGGTGTGGGTGAGCAGGGATCCCGTGGCTGACGCAGACGGAGAGAGAGAGAGGGGAAAGGATGAGATCATGCTCAGGGCATTACGTCACAAGGGTCTGTGGCTTGCGTCTGCCTTCTCATCGATCGATGCGGCGAAGCGAATGGCAATGAAAAGGGATATAAGAGATGGATGCCTACCAGTGTTCAAGCGATTGAGGTCTTTTTCAAAAAGACAATCAGAAGTCCAGGTTGCATCGACTAAGAGAAAGGTCGTGGTAAGTTAATGCTGCCCCTAGTTGCCGACTATAGCGAGACAAGGCACGACTAGACTAACACAGGACCAACCTTGCAACTAGCACAACTACCAAGCTACAAAAGTACACACACAAAAGCATCAACAGATACTCAACCCTTTCCCCCAGGCCCTCAACCAACCAAAAAAAAAATGTCGAACCAGAACAACGGTGGTCTCCTCGGCGGTGTAGTCGGCGGCCTCGACAACGTGCTCACCGGCGGCGAGAAGGCCAACGGCCAGGGCGGCCTGCTCGGCGGTGTCGGCAGCGCCCTCAACAACACGACGCAGGGCGTCGGCAGCGCCCTGAACGACACGACCCGCGGCGTGGGCAACGCGGTCGGGCAGACCACCCAGGGCGTCGGCAGTGCGGTCGGCCAGACCACCCAGGGTGTTGGCAACGCCGTGGGCGGCGCGACCAGCGGGCTTGGAAACGCTGTTGGTGGTGCCACGGGCGGCCAGCAGCAGGGCCAGAAGAAGTCTGGCTTTGGCAGCTACGGCATTTGAAAAAAACAAATTGGGATGCAAGAATATGTATGATTAATGAAAACATATAACTACGACGTTACGAAATATTGGATTTTGATTGAAGTTGTTTCTTGAAATCGAACAGAATCATTTTCTCAGCGTGCAGCTTGTGTTCAATTTGCGAAATTCAGATGCGGAAATATATACTCAAGCGGGCCAGCGCACTGCTGATGCAAGGCAGCACGACCATTGCCATTCATCGTTCACGATCGTCCTCTTTTATTACTATCTAGACCAGTCGTACTCTTGGGTTGCGACGGAACCTCGGGAACTGGGCCAAGCAAGCTACCAGAGTTACCCGGCACCCCCATGGGCCATAGACCCACATCGACTCCACCCATGACGGCGGATCCTCCCTTCCCCACACCTGCGCAACGCGCGCCTCGAGGTCCCAGGACGCGATTTAGACAGCCTCGACGCGGGACAGAGCTTGTTGAGCACACGCCTACAGCTCAAATCAAGACATACGACTATGCCCTTCGAGTGAAATTTGCCGGCGACAAAGGCTATTCATCTTTGACTCACTGCGCATTCAGACTGGAGGCACGCGACTGCGCTAGAAAAACCAGGCCACCATGGCCCCTCCCTCCACCAAGATCCTCGAGCGGGACCTCAAGACGGTTGTTCGCGAGCTCTGGAAAGCCGGCGGCGATAACTTGACGGTCAATGGCGTGCGCAAGCGCGTGGAAGAGATGCACGATCTGGACGAGGGCTTCTTCAACGGCCCGGACTGGAAGGACAGGAGTAAGACAATCATAAAGGGTCTTGTTGTAAGAAGTTCCTCTCCGCCCTCGGCATGACCAACTTCGAACCATGGAAGCTGTCGCTAATGTTTCGGTAAGGACAAACTCGATAACGGCGAAGATTCCGGCGCCGAGGAAGAAGGAAGGCCCGCCGCCAGCCTCCCAGCACGAGCGAAGCCGAAAGCCTCAAACGGTATCAAACGCAGCTCACCTATAGAGGATCGACCGGCAGCCAAGCGACAGAAGAAGGCGCCCACCGCGAAGCCTGCGAAGAAGAGGAAGCCCGCAAAAAAGGCTGCATCCGAATCAGAACTAAGCGAAGAAGAAGAGTCGGAGCCCGAGTCAGATCTGTCGGAAATGTCTGAAGACGAGGAGCCGAAACCTCGGAAGAGAGGTGGCAAGAGGACAGCGGCTAGCGATTCCGAGTCGGAGTTAAGTGACCTCGGCTCGTCGGAAGAGGACGAGAAACCCAAGCGCAAGACGGCCAAGCCGAAAACAAGCGCAAAACCCAAACCGAAGCGCAAAGCTATCGAGAGCGAATCCGAAGTCGACGATAACGAGAAGAGCGTAGACGAAGGCGATACGAAGAAGGAAAAGGACGACGTGTCTAGCCCGAAAACAAAAGAAGCGGCGCAGCCAGAACCTGAATCCAAGACAGGCGATATCATCGACTCAGACTCAGAGTTATCCTCGGTAATAGACGATCCGCCGCTGAAGAAACGTGGGAAGGCTGCAGCACCCAAAGATAAGACTAAGGCATCAGCCGCCAAGCCGACTAAAGAACTGTCCGCAGACGAAGAGGAGGTAAAGAAGCTACAGGGGCAACTTGTCAAATGCGGCATCCGGAAGATATGGGGGATCGAGCTGAAGAAGTACGGCGACGATGCCAAGGCCAAGATTCGTCACCTTCGTGGCATGCTGGCAGATGCGGGGATGACTGGCCGGTTTTCAGAGGCCCGGGCCAAGGAGATCAAGGAGCAAAGGGAGCTCATGGCAGATCTCGAGGCGGTCACGGATATGAATGCGCTATGGGGTGATTCGGCGACAGGTGGTCGTGCATCGCGTAGCCGAGCAAACAGGAAGTCGCTGAAAGAGGCTTCCGATGATGATGATGACGATAACGACGACGACAACGAAGCGGGTGACGATGGCGACGATGCTGAAGCAACCAAGGCCAACTCGCGAGTCTCCAAAAGGATGGCGGACCTCGCATTTCTCGGCGATGAGAGCGAGTCCGACTAAGCAATGCCCGCTCCACTCTAATGTCTATTTCATGGCCAGCTGATCATTGCCTGGCGTTCAGTCTCTGCGCAATCAAGCTGAAGATGGCCACCGAGCTCATGAAGAGGACGGCATTGTAGAACTTGTCACACATGATTAGCCATGTTGTGCGATGATTGTGAAGTAATAATGACGAGCGTACTGCTTTTCTTGAGACTTCTCGTTCCTCTTCTTCTGACCTGGCCTCGATGAACAGCCGTCTGAGGTTGGGAAAGTTGGCCTGTGTCATGTGTCAGTACGCTTGCACAGATGTCGTTTTGTGTTGGAGGTGACGGACCATGGCTGTGATCGCGGAATTCCTGCTGATGGAGGCACGTGGACTCCTCTGCTTCAAGGATATGCGATACAATGACTTGGTCGAGTTGAGGGTGTCCGGAGCAGGCTGGCTTCTGTTTGTGGTGCTGCTGCTTGAAGATCGATGTCTGCCAATCGCTGGCAAGCTGGCTTTGACTCGCCCAGTGGAGCTGGGGGCCTGGCATTGTGCGGGTGCGGCCTTGGCACAACAAGCTCTAGGAGGGAGTGAGACCACGCAGCTGGACCCAGGCATCACGGCCCCTGGAACACCTTCTGGCCAGACCCGACCCTCAACCTTGACAAAGGCCAGCCCAGCTTCGTCCAGACCGACATCTTCGCACCGCATCGCACCAGATGATCTGCCGGCTGCCCTGAGAGGGCCTTCGTAACGCTCTTCACTACTCACGCCCCCCTTCGCCGCTGTTGCCGTCAGCCATTGCGACCCGGGCTCAAGCACCCCTCTAGACCGCCCGCACAAGCTGCCACTTCCCGATACTCCTGCAGACCTGTGGTCTCCCTACACGCCTGTAGCACTCCGTCGCGACGACAAACGCAGCCGAGAAGATGGCAGTCAACCGGATACGCAGCGCCTTTGCGGTGCCTCGCAAGGGCGAGACCTTTGAACTCCGCGCTGGGCTCGTGTCGCAGTACGCCTGGGAGCGCAAGGAGTCAATCCAGAAGACAATCATGGCCATGACGCTCGGCAAGGACGTTTCGCAGCTCTTTCCCGATGTGCTCAAGAACATTGCTACTGGTGATCTGGACCAGAAGAAGCTGGTCTACCTCTACCTCATGTGCGTCTATACTCCTTTTCCAAGCTGCAGGCAGCTTCCGAGCCGCACGTGGGATTCACGAACCCAACGCACCTAGTACATACTGGCTAATGAGAAGCACAGGAATTATGCCAAGTCGCATCCCGACCTCTGCATTCTGGCTGTCAACACGTTCGTACAAGACTCGGAAGATCCAAACCCACTCATCCGAGCTCTCGCGATCCGAACAATGGGTTGTATCCGTGTCGATAAAATGGTCGACTACATGGAGGAACCACTCAGGAAAACACTACGAGACGAGTCCCCATACGTGCGCAAGACGGCGGCAATCTGCGTAGCCAAATTGTTCGACCTCAACCCTACAATGTGTATCGAGAACGGCTTCTTGGAGACACTTCAAGAGCTCATCGGAGACCCCAATCCAATGGTGGTTGCGAACTCGGTGACCGCTCTTTCGGAAATCGCAGAAGCTGCGCCAGAGACGAGAGCGCTGGTAATCACGTCGCAGACGCTCAAGAAGCTCCTTATGGCCCTCAACGAGTGCACTGAATGGGGCAGAGTCACGATCCTGTCTACCCTCGCGGACTACCCGCCCACCGACGTGAAGGAGTCCGAGCACATTTGCGAGCGGGTGACGCCTCAGTTCCAGCATGTCAACCCCAGTGTCGTCTTGGCCGCTGTCAAGGTCGTCTTTATACACATGCGACTCATTAATGGCGAGCTTGTGGCCCAATACCTTAAGAAGATGGCGCCACCGCTAGGTTGGTGACACTTGTTTGCATCGGAGGTATCACGAGCAGGATTGCTGACATATGTGCATTCGTGTAGTCACCCTGGTTGCTTCTGCGCCTGAAGTGCAATACGTCGCTCTGCGAAACATCGACCTGCTCCTCCAGGCGAAGCCAGATATCCTCAGCAAAGAACTGCGCGTCTTCTTCTGCAAGTATAACGACCCGCCGTACGTCAAGATGCAGAAGCTGGAGATCATGGTCAGGATAGCGAACGACAAGAATTATGAGCAACTGTTGGCAGAACTCAAGGAATACGCCCTTGAGGTCGACATGGACTTTGTGCGGAGAGCCGTCAAGGCCATCGGACAGGTCGCCATCAAGATTGAGAGCGCTAGCGAGAAGTGCGTCAATGCACTGCTGGATCTGATCGCTACCAAGGTCAATTACGTCGTGCAGGAGGTTATTGTTGTCATCAAGGACATCCTGAGAAAATACCCAGGCTACGAGGGTGTTATTCCCACACTCTGCCAACATATTGATGAGCTCGACGAGCCGGAAGCACGGGGCTCTTTGATCTGGATTGTGGGCGAGTACGCAGAGAAGATCAACAACGCCGACGACATCCTGGCTAGCTTTGCCGACACTTTCATGGAGGAGTTTACGCAAACTCAGCTCCAAATCCTCACAGCAGTAGTCAAGCTCTTCCTCAAGAAGCCCGGCAGCAACCAAGGCCTTGTCCAAAAGGTGCTACAGGCTGCCACGGCCGAGAACGACAACCCTGATATCCGCGATCGCGCATACGTCTACTGGCGTCTGCTGTCGGGCGATCTCGACGTTGCCAAGGTGAGCTCAACCATCACACGATGAAACCAAGCCTCCTGCTAACACACGTAACAGAGCATTGTGCTTTCACAAAAGCCTCCCATTTCAACCACCATGACCAGCCTGCCGCCTGCTCTGTTGGAGAAGCTATTGACTGAGCTGTCGACCCTGGCCTCTGTGTACCACAAGCCTCCGGAGTCCTTCGTCGGAAAGGGACGTTACGGCTCAGACGCCATTCAGCGAGCCGCCATCCAGGAGCAACGCCAGGACGCAGCCGAGAACCCCATTGCGGCCTCCGTCGCGGCAGCCGCTGCTCAGAACGGTGGATCTGCTCAGAACAACATCGAGAACCTTTTGGACATCGATTTCGACGGCGGCGCTCCTGCTTCGCTGGAGCAGAACTCTGCTTCGGCCACGCCAGACCGTGTAGCCAGCCCTTCGGGTGGCGCAAGCAACATGCAGGACATGATGGGTCTTTTCGACGCGCCAGCACCGCAACAGTCAGCCGCAAGCGGCGGGTTTGGCGGCGGCGACGACCTGATGAACGGATTCGCTGGGCTGGACCTCGGTGGTTCGACCCAACCGCCGCCTGCGGCACAACAGCTGCACAACAATGCTGGAGGCGCACAGCAGCCCAAGAAGGACAGTGATGACCTGCTTGGCCTATTCTAAAACGACTCCTTCCCGCTTGTTGCTTGTCTCTCTTCAAGTCACGTTGGTCGCATAGAACTTTTGTTTCGAGAACCTGTACTGGCGTGTGGCTGGCATGGTTACGAGGGCGCAGGGATTGGTGCTTGGAGCTTAGACGGCTACCCAAAAGCAGAGTATAGTAATGAAGCCACGCTTTTTTGCAAATCCTGGTATGACAAGCGTACACTTGGTGGCTCGTGCTTGGCGATGACTTGTTCTTCAAGTTTGCCGACCAAATCTGATCCTCTGCAGTCGTTTAAATGGTATCTTGTGAAATTGGCGCATATGTGCCTCGAGGCAAAACCCCGTCTACGTTGTGGGACAAAATTTCGCCCTCGTCCATCGGACCACAATATCGGCACAGCCCTGTTCTCTGGTATCTCTCTGGCCGTTCATGCATACAAACCACTTCTATTTTCCAAACCCATAAACTAGCTCGAGGTCCCAACCCGTCCCCATGTTGATCGTGAATCATTGTGTCGTCCCTTCAACCTTTCCATCCACAGTCCCATCCTTTGGCGGCTCGCTCTTCTTCTCGGCCCCGCCGCCCTGCTTCTCCCACTCCTCAGGAGTCAGGCACTTTGCGCTCCACGCGTGTATCGCGGCGATCTCGGCCTTGAGGGCGGCGTTGACGGCGCGGTGCCGCTTCAGCGAGTTGAGGCCCCGGAACTGCGGGGAGACGATGAGCGACGTGAAGCTCTGGCCGCACCCGCCCGACATGTCCGTCACCTGGACGTGCGTGGCCTCGAGGCGCTCCGTGAGGGCGGCGGAGAGGGTGGACTCGGTTATCGTCGAGGGGTCTGTGGGGGGCGGCGCTGCCATTGTTGTTGGTTGTGCTGTGGTTGGGGTGGTTTTTTTCTTTCTCGGTGGTGTGTGGTTGTTGGTCAGTGGTGAGGATGCGTGCTTCAGGGACCGTGCTGTGTGTAGGTGTGTATAGTGTTCGCAGGTAGTGTTCGCAGGTCGTGGGGGTGGTTGAGGCGATTTAGAGAGAGGTTCAACGCTGTACGCGTGGAGGCGTCCCCGATGTGCTGTCGCGGGTACGGTCGTTCCAGCTGGCAGTTGGGCAATGTGGAAGCTCGAGGATGCTGTTACGCCGAAGTCGGGCGGGCTTGTCCGTATGATCCGATCGCACGGTCTGGTTCGATAGCTCGAGTCGGCGGCTTGAGCGAGAAACGACGGAAAACCAGCTGGCGGGAATCTGATCTGTTGATGGAGCGTATTGAGGTCTGAGCCTTGTCCTTGGATTGACCTTGTGGTTGTGGTTTTGGTTGTGAATGGTTGTCTGTTGTGGCTGGATCTCTTAGTAATGGCTGCGGGAAGGGATCAGAAATTCGCAGCGGCTCGGCAGGCCCCCGCGATGATGGCATCCAGGAGGGGTCCGCTCCGCCCCGGGATCGCTCCTCCCACGCATCTCACAGGACAAAGCTCTTATCGATAGTGCAGCTGTCGGACGTCAAGCTCCAAGCTTCGTGGCCCATGATCAAACACGAAGCTGGAACGTCCGTCAAGTGCTCGACTTCATATCAGGAGAAAAGCTTCCAAATACTCTGTGGTAACAATAGCCACTGGGTTCAATCAAGCACATCACCCGTCAATGTCAACGCGGCACCTTGTCCGCGCGACCATCCGATTCCCTTCTTCACATCTTGCCTCAGTGAGGACACCACCAGGAATTCGCTTCATATCCTGCCTACATACGTCTTGCCCTAGCTCTGCCGCTACCGTCAGGACGTCTAAGAGGAATCGCAACTCCTTTGCAATCGCGCCAATCTACACCGTTCTACAAAATCGGAGCACCAGCACAATGACCAACCCGCCGTCTTTGACAGATACGGTGCTCGAGGCTGTCAAGTCGCTGTAAGTGAGCCCCTCCAAGCTTGTACTGGTCAGGATCAAACCCATCGGAACGTTTGAGACGAAGTTGTAGCTAATCAAGATTGTCTTTCGCATGTGCAGATATCCCGAGGCACTTGCAGATAAAGCATGGGACAACACAGGACGTAAGTGCACACCTTGGCGTTGTCCTTGTGCCAACTACTCGTGTGCGCTGGTTTGCTGACAAAGGAGGCCAAACACAGTACTCATCGGTGAGGCGCCGTCGTTCACTTCCGCAACGAGCAGCGTAGCACAGGGCACTGTGCTGCTCACAAACGATCTCACCGCGGCTGTCGTGGACGAGGCTCTCAATGAGGGTGCCAAGGTCATTATTTGCTACCGTACGTCGAGCCCGCTGCCGCTCATGAGCCTCAATATGCCACATGTAGGGCCTCTGCTAACACTAAACCATAGACCCGGTCATTTTCCGGCCTCTAAAGTCCATTACTGCCAGTGATCCCATGCAAGCCCAGCTCTTGCGTCTCATCGCCGCCGGCGTCTCCGTGTATTGCCCGCACACAGCGGTTGATGCTGCCTCGGGAGGGCTGAACGACTGGCTGTGTGATCTCCTGCTGGACGGCGAGGCGGCGGCCTCCAAGACAGTCGTGGAGCCCATCAAAGGCTCGCTGCCTGAAGGTCACGAGGGCTGCGGTTACGGCCGGGCGGTAGAGTTCAGCAACGCCCTTAGTTTCCCCGATCTGCTCAAGAGATTTTCAAAGGGCATCGGCGGCCATCGCTACATGATGGTGGCGTTGCCGACCTCCTACAAGAAGGACATTTCGGCCATCCCGCCCATTTCCAAGGCAGCAGTCTGTGCTGGCTCGGGCTCCAGCGTGCTCCGCAGCACAGATGCGCAGATCCTGGTGACAGGAGAGATGAGCCACCACGATGCCCTGCGTCACGCGTCCCTTGGCCAGATCGTCGTGACCGTCTTCCACAGCAACTCAGAGCGCCAGTACCTGACGCAAAGGATGAAGCCGATGCTCGAAGAGGCTCTCAAAGACTCGCCGCACGCTAACACACGTGTCGTAGTCAGCACTGCAGACAGCGACCCTTTCGACGTGATTGACGTCGAGAGCTTGTGAGCAATCTTCTCTTGCCGTAGATAGCCAAATTCAAGTGTGAAAGTCCAGGTCATCGAGACATCCACATCAGCAACGCCTGGTCCGTTGACAGCTGTTGCTCGTAGTGTCGATGGGTATCATTCAGTCCCGCAGTAGAGGCGTGGCACTACTCATCATCCGACTCGCTGTCTTCCTGGTCGTCACTCCCCTTGCGCCAGTCGAATTGGCTGGGTTCGCCACGCAAAGCTGCCTCGCCGTCCTGCAGGCAAGCGTCCACATCGACTCCGCCTACCTCTTGTTCTTTCCACGACAGTAGCAATCGCTTTGGCAGTTTCCATGCCTGCCTGGCTTCTTCCGCTCGGCCCTCGCTGACCAGTTCACGAAGCTTCGCGGGCGTCTCGAGCACAGCTAGCGCGAGCTTCTTCGTTCGCGTTCTGCGCGCTGCCGCTTCTTCTGGCGCCTTTGTCGCTTCATCGGGGGCGGGTATCGTTTTACGTAGATTGTCCCGGATCTGGGACGCTTGTGTATAGATTTGTGCAATGGCAGGATCGAGCGTAGACGCCATCGGGTTCAGAGGGTCCATGTTTGTGCGCATCTGTACTCCCACATCCACATCAGCCACCCAGAAACCCATGGGGAGCTCACAGAATCTCACGTACCTTTCTTATTGTCTCCGTCGCTGCAATCAGCTTCGAGTAGTTGTCGTAAACAAGCGCCTTCTTCTCAGCGTCCAGCGCGCGAGTCTCGCCCAGGACCCTGGTGTATAGGCGAAGCAGCTCGTCGAGGCCCTTCTCTGCCAATGCTTGCGCGATGAAGGCCTCTGGGTCGAAGCCGTCCTTGTCCATCTCGCTGGCTGGAACTTCGCTGTATGCCGAGACGCCGTCATCCTCGGGCTCTGTCACCTCTACGGACGGGGTGGGAGGTATAGCTGCGCCATGCTTGCTCCGGAGGTTGTAGTACTCGCGCAGGGCTGCGCGGTTGCGGCGTCCCGGGCCGGCGGCATTGGGTGCGCTGGTGGCGCCTCCGGGCAGGCCAGGGCTCGGGAAAGCAGCAGAGACGGGAGTGGGGCTTGGTGAGCCGGCCGCGGATCGTGGGAGGTCGAGAGATGGCCGGTTGGAGGATGTCGGTGTTGCATTGGACTGAGACGGGACTCTTCGAGGGAAGGGGGAGCTCGGCTCACGAGGCGAAGCTATCGTGGACATTGTTGAAATGGAGGATGTGGCGGCGGTACAGCCAGGGCAATGTTATCTGCGCCAAGGATCGAGGTTGGCAAGCTATGCCGGAGCCGCGCGAGTCTGAGTCGAATGACCGCCGTAATTGCTGTGCCTCTCAATGGCGAGGTTGCTTATGGTGGTTTGGGACTTCTGTCAGCTCATGGTCCAGGCAGCTTCTAAGAGTGACGTGGAGACAGGGCCGCTGGTCGCTCGCCGGTTTCCCCTGGAGCCCCACAAGGCGCGACGCTAGACCCCTGTGGAGACCCGCGATGCCAGGAACACGAATCTGTCTGTGGTGTGCCATGCCAGCGGGCAAACACACTTGTTTGTGCCTCTGGACGAATCGTCAAAAGCTGTCGTCCGGAAACGTCTTCCTCACAATTCACCCCACAAACCAGCCTAGAGTATCTCGGCTTTGGCCCTCGTGTCTTCCCATCAAATTCTTTGCCGTTATTGCAGATCTGCGCAATCGCGGCGTCCCCGACGGTCACAACATGGAGGCGGTTCCAGCACAAATCCGTGCTGGCTTACAGGCTCAGGGACTTCCGCCTCCAACCTTGCAATGGATCCAGGGCGTCCTGCCACAGCGCAGGCCACTCCCTCCTTTGCCAGCCTTGATCGCAACCGCCAAAGCCCGCCTTCTCGCTGCTGACCTGACGAACCCCTCAATCTTTGAGCAAGCAGTGCCTGCGCTGCCACAGAATCTTAGCAATCCGGAAACCAAAGAAGGCAAGCTCCTCCATGATGTGCTCGTCCAGGTCCTAGACATAGAGAACCTGTCCAAGAGCAAGTGGGAACAGGTAGAAGAGCTCGAGGCAATCGCGCGCGGCGAGCAGACCCGTGGCCGAGAAGTCATTCGTCTTCCCACTGCTAGTGCTGAAGATGACGACCAGTATGGCACGCAGCCATCCACAGCTCCTGTCGTACCTGCAGCTCGGGGCGGAACCGGGACCGCATCGACCACATCCAAAGCTGCAACACATCGTCTCATCCTCCAAGACTGCAAAGGCCAGAAGATATACGCCCTCGAGCAGAAAAGGATCGAGAGGATCAGCATCGGCACTTTGAATATCGGAGAGAAAATATTGCTGAGGAAAGGCACCGTTGTAGCCCGCGGCCTGATCCTCCTGGACCCATCCTCCTGTGCCATACAAGGAGGACGAGTCGAAGCTTGGTCAAAGGGCTGGCAAGAGGGCCGGCTGGCCCGCCTACGTGAAGCCATTGGCGATTCACGGTGACCGAATCTATCGCACAGAAGACAGCGCAAGTCCTAAAGCTTCGATTCCCACGTCACAGACCCTGAAGCCTATCAGCCACTGATTTCCGCAGCCTGGATTTCGAGCAGCTCGCTTTCAACCCATGGTACAGCACGACCGCCTGCACGGAGCATCTGGACGCGGACACGGATGCACAGCTTGAGTGGGGCACACTGGTCTGCACATTCAGGGCAACCGCGCCCATGTCGGTTTCTGGACCTCCTTTTGACTTGCACCATTTACCAAGTTGAACAAGTCATCAACAACAAGCTTGTGCACCACGTCGATTTTGGTCCGCAGCTCTGGCAGGTCACAAATGACTATGTGCTAAGATCTCTCTTCACCTTCATCCTCATTCGCTTGTCAGTACTGCATCTCCTTCACAGGGCGCCAGGCGCCATGGGACCAAGAGAAGCATGGTACAAGAACATCATTCCATTCTCGCAGTCTCACGGACCACAACGCTTCTTCCGGGCCGGACGGCAAAGTGAAGAGGATGTCGCCTCAGAACTTCTGGCAGACGATCCACTGAATCCCTCCTTTCGGGAAGAATACGATCTTACTGAGGCTGTCAACGGACCAGCGTCTACGTCCTCCACGTGGAAACGGCCTTCCCAAACACTCTCCCTACGATCCACATACTGTTGGCTCGCGGTTGCAGCCATATTGTTGCTATCCGCAGTAGCCTTTGCGTGGCATCGATGGTTATCAAGCCCCGTAGAGGGCCTGGATCGTGGGCTCCTGCCATGCGGCCCACACGCCTCTTATGCGGTCAACAACCACACCTGCACCAGTGGGGATTTTCTATGCCCCGTCGTTGATTCTCGTAGGACCCTTCGCTGCGGGGAGTCTTGCTACTTGCCCACAGCTTACAGGTAAGGCGCACATCATGTCTCGCTCTGCTACGGAAAGTCTCTGACGTAGAATGCTGCAGGTGCGTCAACAATGAGTTGTCGCCGATCACCACTAGTGCCTCTGACAGCAATGGCCAAGGTGCAGCAAACAGCACAGTGGCCTGCGACTCAAAATACCTTCACCTGAGCGATGGTTTATCCGAGAATTATTTCCTCTCCGATTGCGGCAGCTCGAGCCAAGTGGTTGTGACCAGCCCGCTGCCCAAACAACAACGTGACCTTGGCAGCTCTCGACTTCTAGTCGCCTGGGCCGCTGGCAACAGTGGCTTCGTCATGTATTTCAAGCCACAGAGTCGTCCCAGAGACTCGGCGTCTATGCGGCTGCGAGCGAATCCCGGTCTTAACCGTACTCTTGAGCCACTGGTCAGTGGTGTGTCTGCCACGCTCGAGCTGGACGTGCCAACCAAGCTCGGTACAGTGATTCTCGGCAGTATCCGTTCCCTGCGCGATTTCATCGAGGGTGGTCGTTCGTTGGATGACGATGTCCAGAGTGGTCTCCACTACCAGCCTTTGGCTGCCGGCGGCGTATTGATCACTCGGCAGTGGCTGGATCGGACAACGGAGACATTCGTCACGATTCGTCCCAGCGAGGGTAATGAGGATCATATATCAGTAAGAAAAGGAGATGTCACTCTACCGAGCGGCAGATATGATCTACAGGCATGGCACAACTACCCATTCGTGGAAAACTTGGCATCCGATCTAGTGTTCAAAGCTCTGGACCAGAGTCCGTCGCAAGCTCCAGCTAGCGATGCGGCTTCACTCTCCATCTTGTCATATGGTGACAAGGTGGTCGCTGGCGCATGGAAATTCCTTACGTACTTTGGTCGCGACAGCCTCTTATCGCTGCTTTTACTCCGGCCTGTATTACAGGAGGGTCGAGGCAGCATAGTTGAGGTGATTCTCAGTGCTGCGATCGAGCGAATCAACACCGGAGATGGCAGCGTCTGCCATGAGGAAGTGGTCGGAGATTATGCTAGCCTGCTGCATAAGCGACAAGGGGCAGTGTCCAACGAGCCTCTCTGCGACTACAAGATGATAGATACAGACTATCTACTAATGATAGCATTGGAGGCTTACCTGGTGAGGTCGAAGATTGGTAGAGGCCGAGCCAAGGACTTCCTCGCGACCACAGCCGATTTCCTCGCGTCGAACGAGGGTGCGACATACGGCGCTCTTGTCCAGAAGACAATGGGCAAGATCTTGCAGGCTACCGCCGCTTTCGAGCAGGAGCCAATTCAAAGCAACCTCATTCACCTACATGAGAAAGAAGCTGTCGGGCAATGGCGGGACAGCAGCGATGGCCTGGGCGGGGGACGAACTCCATATGATGTCAATACTGCCCTTGTGCCGGCTGCTTTGAGAGCCATCAGCTCGTTCTACGAGCACAACATTCTTTCAGCCACGGCCCAAGAAGCCGGGTCTGTTTCGCGAAGAGCACAGTTTTGGGAAGACAACTCGCTTCATTTCTTTGAAGTCGACATCCTGCCGGAGAAAGCCAATGCTCTGCTCGACGAATACGTCAGTCGCAATGACTACACGGGGCCAAAGACAATATCAAGACCGACAAGTAATGTGAGATTCCACGGAGTGGCATTGCAGGCAGGCGGGCAGGGCTCGGTCGTGCCAGTCATGAACATAGACGACTGTTTTCGCCTCTTTCTCCTTGATACCACCGACGACGAGCAGCTGTCAAAGTTCTTGCAGCAAACGGCAGACAACATTCTAGCCCCTTTTCCTTTAGGCTTGTCAACGCCACTGGGTCTTGTAGTGTCCAATCCAGCATACTCGAGTGGCCCAGGACCAGCACGAGCCCTCACGACCGGAGCATACCACGGGACCGTCATCTGGAGCTGGCAGCTTGCCATGCTGGCCGCTGGACTCGAACGCCAGTTGAACAGATGTGATAACGAGACACTGGGGTTTTGTAAGAACCGCGAGCTTCGCCAGCACGTGGAAAACGCATACCACCACCTATGGGATCTCGTCGATGCGAATCGCGAGCATGCTAACGAGGAAGTGTGGAGTTGGACTTATGGTCCGGGAGAGGAGTTTCATTATGCACCTCTAGGCACACTCCCCAGTCCAGGTGGTGAGGCAGCTGTGGGTGCGTACACTTGGTTCTCATTCACCGTCTTGTGCCAGGCTGCAAAATACTGACAATCGTCCATAGAGAGCAATATCCAGCAACTTTGGAGCTTGGCATTTCTCGCAATTCAACGGAACCGCAACTTTCCGCGAGCCATGAGCCCACGCACAGCGGCCTTCGATGTACATTACGGAAGCGAGGACCTGCGCCACTCGCCGCACCGTTCTTGTGTCCAGTAGCTGATTCACATGTGGAGACGGTCGAGCTCCTGCTTTGAGTTACGGAAGCTTGGCTGTGAAGGTGCCGTTTCGTCGGCACCCGCTGGATGAGCATTGCAACTTCTGGGGCGGGCGCACCTTGTGATTGGTATTTAGCCGGTAATGTATCAATATGTCTCGCTTTTAGGCCCTTTACGCGCCCTTTACCTTATGGCGTCGCACTCGCCGGCATGGAATTGTGTAAGCTGCACTTCTGAACGCGGGCTTGCGCTCTACGAATCACAGTAGCTTCTTCGCTGCTTTGCATAAGATCCTTGCACCTCAACACTGCAGGAACACTTCCTTTGATGATGGAAGTAAGTGAGACGATCAAACCCATGCTTCCGTGCTCCCTGGAGCACTCAGGCATCGCGTCATCGCGATCCCGCCGCCCGTGTGATATTCCATGAGCACCTCACAATGGTGCATCCGTTCTGCAGCACTCGATGGAGCTCAAGCCAAGGGGTGGCCCTCGAGCCCTTGCACGCCTCCAAAGGTCTGCAGGGGCCTACACGTGGCGACAGGGATGCCAACTCTTGCCGCTGACATGCATGACAAGTCTGCCAATGGCGTTACAGGTTCAGGCACGAAGAAAGCTGTTGGCACCAGCTTGAGAGCCGTGCCCGAAATCCCTGGCTAAACGGCCTTGCCGCGATGAGAGGAGAGGGTTTGTGCTTCTCATCAGAAGGAAGCATTCTAGTCCGCGCACCAACGTATCCTGTTCAGCCAACACCATTTCTATGTCAGCCTTCATCGCCAAGTAGAACAACCCCCTGTGACTCTGCACGGTCCACGGCTTTGGTTTCGAGATATTGAGCCAGTTCCTGCCCGCTCTGATGGCGTGGAGGCAGTAGCTGAAGCGGTCAGAGTATGCCAAAGACTTGAATATAAACAGGTCACCCCCTCAAGCTCGGAGAATCAGACCGTCGTACAGTGTATAGCATCTCGCTCGGTGTTCCATTCCAAAAGTCATCCCACCTTCTTTTCCGCTCCGCGCCTCATCCCACAACACGGCAATGCCTACCACAGCCACACAAGACTACTCCTCTCCAAAAAGATCAAGACGGTAAGTGCCCTGGCGACCTTGAAAATGCAGCAAAAAACAACGGATGCCCACTACTGGAGTCGAACCAGTTATCTCCTCATTGCATGTCTCAGACTCCAAGTGGAGCGTCGAGGTTACTAGTGAGGCGCATCACCGTTCTGCTTAGCGGGCCGATTGGGTTAACCAAGCTTGGCTGTGGTGTCGAGCTGACCCTGACCTCTGCCGGAGCTAATTGCTCGTTACTTTGCCTCTGGCATCTACTCTGTTTTTGGAGATCTGACCGCTAACGTGACAGACACCCAGGCAATCGTCAAGATCCTGCTGTGTCGAAGCGGCGAAACAAGAACAACGACGATTAAGGCAAGAGCGACTGGATATACTGCTGCTCGATAGAGGTCATGATGGTATGGGCGAGGACTTGCTGCACAGGCTGCACTCTGGGTCGTACAAGATTGATCTTGAGCAGCGGGTCAGAGATATATTGGAGGACATTGTACGGCTTGGAGATGGCGCTGTATGAGGCAGACACGGCTCAGGGCCTGGCAGACAATGCATTTTTAAAGATGTGGTGGCTGCAGTAGATGTATTTTTGCTGCTCTTCGCCGGCGACGATTTCGCAAAGCTTTGCATTCATCCAGGGGTCTAACTATATATACTGGAAGTCAAAGCTCGTACTGTCCACCGCTGCAACACTGACCCTCGAAACCAATCAATGCCTACTTGAATGTGCATTCTTCCCATCCTCCAGCCGCTATTAGCACACGCACCTGAGGCACTTAAAACTCACTATTTGCGGACCACCTCCTCGGGATTGATACGGGGCCGCCAGGCTTCATCTTCCAGTCGGAGGATATGATTGCCCAGGATACTTACCCTTGCGCATTGTGACACACAAGCCAATACGCCCCAGGCAGCCTTTGTAAGGGAAAATGGAAAAAGTTCCCATCATGGTGTGGCCACTGCGCGCGGGGGGAAGGACTCACCACCCTTTCCCCATCCTCTCGGAGTCGCCGTTGCAGGTTGTGGCGGCTGCAGGTAGGTGCAGGGGCTATCCTTGCTCGCCACGTGGACGCAACGAGGCGATCAGGGACCAGGCTCCCGTCCCAAGGCCTGGCTGAGGGCTGTGACGCGGGACGAACGCAGCGACAGGGGTGTGTCGTGTGTGTGTGTGCGTGTGTGTGTCACAGCCAAGGAGAGGCTGGAGTTGCTTGAGGGCTTGGGGGCTTGGGGGATTTGCCCGGTCGTATGCTGATCATCGGGTGCTAGTCAAGATTGGAGGCCTATCCATGTGCAGCTCGACCCTGGCTTCCATGACGGGCAATCATGATGGGTTTTGTCTGCCATGGTCATTTGTTCTACAAGGCCAAAATCTGTTAAATAGTCGGGCAAGGAGAATTGAGAGTTTCATGATGAGACCCGGCATGGTCCGAGCCAATCTTTGAACCTCATGGAACGGAAGCGATGGACAAAGACACATAGCCAAGGACAAATCACAGGTTATGAAGGTGTGCTGCCGCGGGACAAAGTTGAAAGAATCGACCCTGTGCCAAAGGCACGACAGAGCACCCCAACACATCTTTTACGATACCCTGGTTCTAGGAAATCCAAATCCAAGGAAAATCTTTCAAATTGATTCGCGTATACTACTAGTTACAGTCGATGGGTTGGTCTTGGGCTGCCCCCTCTCCTGGATCTAAGAAGAAAACCCAGCCCGTCTTATGTTTGACTATTGCTGCTTGATCACTGTAGGTATAGTCTTGGCCAAACAAAGACTGACCGTACCAAGTCCTTTCGCATCATCTAGATCTCTCGGTGGATCAACTATTCCGCTCGGCTGTCTTGTAGCGAAGCTCGTTGAGGAAAGTTGGCCGCACAAGAATTATCGTAATGACGCCTACTCAGAACGACTGGAGCTCCCTCGCGCCGAAGACCTGTTGCCTCTTCTCCGCACATATCTGGCCGAGCATCGGCGGCAGTAGCGCGTGATCGAGATTTCCACCTCTCCGCCCTAGGAAGAGCAGGTCCCTCAACCGTCGTCATGGCAGCGCTCGAGATTCGGAATGCGCCCCTGATAAGCGCCGCAGCCGCCCTCGTTGATGGGGTAGCAGTAAACGAAGAAGATTGCCATTCTGCACATCTTGGCCAGAAGATATTCAGGTGCACGGTAAATCTCAGGAGAGCGTCTTCTGGGGGGAGGTGATGGGTAGTATCGATAGTAGGCGGGTGGGTGTATGTCAGAGCCAGTGCAAGATCTCTGGTATACAAGACGGCTATAGTTATTTTTCGTAGGCTTGAAGGTCTTATATGCAAAAGAAGTATTCCATGTATAGCCCTATATATATTGTCTCTTATCGCGAGTAATCTCAGACCGGCGATAGGCATCACTGACCATATTCGAATCATTAAGGCATCAGAAGGACAACGTGTATATAGGACATGACCAAGGTGCGCAGCAGCGATTAGCTTTTCGTCCATATTAGCGACGCCCACATTACATCGCACATGCTCAAGCTGAACCTATCGTGCAAAAGAAGGTCCGCAGCCCGGATTCCACCCGGAACCAAGCACCAATCATATATGATGAAGCACATCTATTCACCGGAGAGTCAGCCATCATGAGCAGGCTTCTAAGGGATTATAATTAGCCATGTGCACAGTCAGAAGTGGCCAGTGTCACTGGAAACTTGTCGAGAAGTGACAAAATGTCGGGGTTTCCGCGAACGATTGTCTGAAGCAAAAGAAAAACGCAACCAATGCACATGACAGCGCACAAACCAGCCATAATTCGACCAACACAATACCCGACTCTTCAACAATCATTTACAAACTCTTGTCGGATTCGCCGAGTTTGCTCATCTTCATCTATCAGAATTGCAACAAGCCTCGAGATGTGCTGGCAAAAGATCATGCACGACAAGTGCCCTTCGTGCAAGGTCGACATCATCGAGCGCCGAGAGTCCGGGACTTGTTTTGAAGCGAAGCTCATGTTTGGCACGTGTGGTCATTCATCGATCCGAGAAGTCGTCATTACCTTGCCGTGGCCTTGTCCAACGTGCAGGATCGAGCGCGAAGCCAAGAGAGCACGTGGCGAGCTTCCTATGCCAACTCAGCCTTCGTGGTAAATCTGACTTCGATGGAGGCTGGACTTCAGAGACTATGCTGTTATGCCACAGACATAAATCTCGCTCGTCTTAGTTTTGATGCAGTGGTATTTGAAGGCCTTTTCTGCCTATTGGAGAGCTTTGGAAAGTCGACGAAGTGGAGGCCGGAACATCGAATCTCGTAATATACCAGTTACGTGGTCAGCAATCATGGATGGATTGACACAAACACTTGGGATGGCAGTAGGACAAAGCCGCGGTTCATGTTTGATTGGTCTATAGTGCAATTGCATGCCGTGGCGAGGACATTGTCACAGACAATGCGCATTGACAGACATGGTACAAGCAACCAGAGATAATGGCGTCAAATGACTATATTCTGCTTCACAATAAAACCATGCATCTGGGCTCGGAATTTCGAATCACATCACACTCTAATCCGTCGTCCAGCTTCATGCATTCGCGGCCACAATATACCAAATTTGAGACGACCAGCACTCCCCATAGTTGTGACACGTGCGTACCACCAGAGATGTGTTTCGAGACCATCACGACCAAACGCTGCAAAGATTGCAACCGCATCGTGAGCGAGCTCTTTCGCCCCGCGATGTGCCACGCGGCTGGCAGCGACTTTGGCAGCTGCGGCGACGTCACCGCACCTCGACGCAGCGAGGTTTCCACGCGTATGCCTTGCCACAAATGCACGAACCCCGGTCAGGAGAGGCAGGACCATCTCGATGAATCAGCCGAGGCGAAGCAGATCACGAAGAACCGACGCATTCGGGGTGGCTGATGGCTGTTCCCTTCAGCTCATCATTTGATCAATAATTACGAAACACCATCGACGTCTGCTCTTGCGAGTCGGGCAGAAGCATTCTTGTGTCCCAGAGAGAGATGTAGCCTTGTAAAAGTCTGAACACTATGGGGAGGAAAGAGCACCTGGAAGCGACCGGTCGCCCATCAAAAGTTTGATTGACGATTCATATTCATCAGCACATGGTCAGGCTCAGCTCACCCTTGACAATGCCGAGACTCCACTAGAGACAGGTCAGAGCCAGAATCCCGTGGCGCGAATGCCCGGGTTTGTGACACAATCCAATTTGATTTCATGACCAATGATGGGCATACAGAGGAATGAGTTCGCGAGCCAGGCAGAACATGGAGAATATGGTTGGAGGGCATAAAAATCACCCTAGAAGCTCGCATGTAAACCTCCTGCCTGGCATGAACGCCAAGGGATATTAGGCACAAACAATCATCATGAAAACACTAGACTCATTATTTGCAAATAGAATATGCAAATGCGGCTGCTACAAAGGCTGAAAGAAGAACGTCAAGCCAATATCCGCTACATTCGAGGAACACAGTGAAGGAGGTAGGCACGTGGCGGCCAGAGTTGACCTGTTGTGGTTGCAGAGCGCCTATACAGGGCGGACAGGGTGGGCCACCCGTCTGGTCTCTTGTGGTGTACCGAGGTAGTCCACAACAAGAAAGTCGATCTGAAGGTGTCATCTTCAAGGTGCCGCTAGGAACCGCTATGTCTGGGAGTGTGAACACTTTTGATATATTCCTGGCGCAGGGGAATAGCAAACCATTCTACCCCGCCCCGCAGCTCGCGAAAGCACTTTAGCAGCCTCTCAGCTCGAGCTGTCTCTTGTCTTGTTGCTGAGCGTGATGTTGAGCCAGGGGCATGATTCCCGAATCGGATCCCAAGAGCCAGCCCTCCTCGAAAATTGGGGCTGGGAGCTGACATGAAAACCACAGCCCCTTACAAAGGCTGCAAAGGTTTAATTGTTTTTGAGCGAGGGCTTCAAAGGACTAGAACAATGAAAGCCTGGGACGTGGCAGGGGACGAGGGCAGGAATGGAGTGGGTCGGGGGTTTGTTGTTGTGCTTGCCAGGGCGACGGGTGCAGCCAGCCAGCTGTCAAAAACGTCAAACCCCAAAACGGACAGGGCAACCGTGCCACACACAACATGGATGCCTCGTGGGGCGTCGTCCATCCTTGACGGACAGGCACGCACGCTGCACCCTGAAGCTCTCCCAGCTTTGGCTCCGTATCATCAACGGAGGGACCCTGCTCCTGTGCCAATTTAGATACAGTCCCATATTGACTGGCCCACCGCCGCCGCCATCGCTGGAAACGGTGTCGCAGTAGCTCAACCCCTCGAATGCGCCCCCCCTGACGCTCTCGTGCAGCTCGCGAGCGACATCAACACCCGCACGCCAGCCCGGCGCCCACGCACACTTTCCGGCACGCACCCTCGAGGCCACAGTTGACTCGCGCGCCTGCGCGCAGTCCATGCCATCACCGCCGCCATGAGTCGTCTCCTGACGGCCAGGCAAGCCGAGGAGCTGTACGCCGCCCACCACCACCCGACCTGCATCCCCGGCCTCCACCGACCACTAACCTCACCGTGTTGACCAGGCACCGCTCCATCATCTCCTACCTCGAAGCCAGCAATCTCCCCGAGAGCGCCCTTGCCATGCGCAAAGAGCTCGCCCTCGACGAGTCGGCCTTCGATGCTGCCACCACAAAGAAATATGAAACGCTCCTGGAGAAGAAGTGGACGAGCGTGGTCCGGTTGCAGAAGAAGGCAAGCTTGGACCCGACCCAAAGACAGCTCCACGCTGGTCCATGGCGATTGCTAACGGAACCACCGCGGACCCATAGATCATGGACCTTGAATCGGACAATGTGTCGTTACGAAACGAATTGGACAGTGTCGTGGCCACGCCGCTCTTCAAGCGCAAGCAGGACTCGAAATCATGGCTGCCTTCAGCACCAGCACGGCATACGCTGAAATCGCATCGCTCCGCAGTAAACTGTGTGGCTTTCCACCCAGTCTTCTCGTCAATCGCGTCAGGTGACCAGGAATCGACCATCAAGATCTGGGACTGGGAGCTTGGCGAGCTGGAAAAGACGCTGAAAGGTCACACAAAGTCAGTGACCGGGGTGGACTACGGAGGCCCGGCCGGCAACACGGTCCTCGCGTCGTGCAGCTCCGATCTGACGATCAAGCTTTGGGACCCCGCAGACGACTACAAAAACATCAGAACGCTTTCGGGTCATGATCACACAGTTAGTGCCGTCAAGTTCATTTCTTCCGGGGCCTTCGGTGCAGCATCTGGCAATTTGCTTGTCAGTGCCAGCAGAGACCAAACCTTGAGGATATGGGACGTCACTACCGGCTACTGCTTGAAAACGCTACGGGCACATGCCGACTGGGTGAGAGACGTATCGCCATCTTTTGACGGAAGATTTCTCATCTCCACTGGCAACGATCGCACGCTCCGGCTGTGGGACATGTCCGGGTCGAATCCCGACAACAAGGTCACAATGATGGGCCACGAGAACGTTGTGGAGTGCTGCGCGTTCGCGCCGCCATCGTCCTACGAACACCTGGCCACCCTGGCTGGATACAAGAAGCCCCCTGCCGCTAGCAGCTCGGCAGAATTCATGGCTACTGGCTCACGAGACAAGACGATCAAGCTTTGGGATGCTCGGGGGACATGCATCAAGACCCTGGTTGGTCATGACAACTGGGTGAGAGCTCTAGTCTTCCACCCAGGAGGCAAGTACCTGGTCTCTGTGGCGGACGACAAGTCGATACGATGCTGGGATCTCAGCCAAGAAGGAAAATGTGTCAAGACCATCAAGGACGCCCACGAGCATTTCGTCACGTGCATAAGGTGGGCGCCACTAAAGGAAGCAGCAAGTGCAGCAGCCGCAGCGGCGACAGCAGCCAACGGAGAGAACGGCGGCACACCGAGCAAGCCTCCACCCGCAGCCGGGGCCGCACCTGAGGTGCAGACGCCGTGTGTCCTTGTGACAGGAAGTGTGGACATGATGCTGCGGGTATTTGCCAACTAGAGTCCGACTGTGGAACGCAAGGACGGAGATGAGAGCAGATGAGGTCTTGTTTTATAGATGGGGTATAGCGCCAAGGAAGGGTGCCAAAACACTATTTCCGTTGTGATCATCATTTTGAGGTCCAGGCAGGACGCATTCAGAGCAGGTTTGGGAGATGCATTTGGGCCAGGAGATCTGGCTGGAAGATACACCAGAAATAAAAGAGATATCCCGAGACTTACTGGGGTCTATGCCACGTCACACGAAGCTCAACACTACTCTGAAACCATTCCGCTCGTCGTGGTACAAGGGAGACAGGCCCGAAACATGGGATACAACCTTCGGGCTACACCTCCACCGTGAATGAGCAGCACCCTCCTTAGCCTCATACGATTTGCCCCTCGCGCGAAGAATGCATGGAATCTGCAGCGATACGCTGTGTCTTCAGACCAACGCGGCCGGCTGTCAGGAAAAGTATGCGGACTAAACCAAGACTAGATGCACAACCTGGTTCGTCATGGCGGTCTAAGTCGTGGCAATGCCTTCGGAGACATGGTACCGTACGAAAGACAGTGTGTGTACGGTACCCTTCCCCAACGCAACCCCACGTATGTCGACCGAACATTGGCAGAATGTCGTCTTTTGACACTTTTCCCATCATCAGGACCTTCATTATTGGCTCACGCTGGAGCCACACTTTTGCAAGCGCCTACGACTACTGCCCAATCTGGCTTTTTAAGACCAGACCATATCGTAAGCACCATGGCCGAAGCGTCACCGGACTTCCTGGTCGAGATCCACCAGGATCTAGCTCGCAAGTGGAAGCTGCACGGCGCCAAGATTGAAAAGATATGGCGGTCGATGGACCAGAAGACCCGGCTGGAGGCAATCAAGGCCGGTGCCGCTGACGGGGTGGTTCTCAAGAATCCCTCCGACTCGTCGCTCGGCAATGTCCACAAGTTCATCCCAGAGTGGAACACACAAGAGGTCGCGGCTGCGGAGTCCGACTTCCTGCTCGACATGCTGCGCTACAGAGCCACCAAGACCCTCGAGGACCAGTACCATGCCGGCTTCAACGGCCGGCCGGGCGACTATGAGCTCATCGTGCACAGTATGCAGAAAAAGAACCTCCGCCACAAGGAGCCCTTTGAGGACTGCTACACGTTCTTTATGGACGGCGAGAGGTACGGCCACTCCTACAAGGTCAAGCTGGACAAAGAGGGCACCCTGAAGGCGTTCGGACCAGCGATCAAAGCTGGGGTCTGCGTCCCGCAGGCCGTGGGCGAGCTGGTCCTCACCAGGCAGACGTACCTGCTTCAGTGCCTGAACATCATCATTGGCGACATCCTGGATCTGGGCTCCAAGACGCGGAACACCAAGAATGTCGCCAAGAGGACATTAGACTCGGCAACCGAGTCTCTTGCAAAGATGGGCATTCAGAATAGCACAAAGGCGGACCTGCCTGATGTGATATCGACTGCCGCAGATCAAAGCTCCGCTCTCGAAGCGCGCCTAGACTTGCTGCGGACAGAGCCGGTCGCTCTTGAGCATGCGGTCAATTGCGCATTCTACACGCGGCCAGAGATCGTGCCAGATGAGAGAGGACGTAGCATGCCATCCCTACACGATAAGTTCATTAGCGGTGCTGTTCTTGATGCCGTCCTTGGCGCAGTCAAGAATGCCGCCACATGGCGTTACGTGTCGCGGATTCTGGACTTGTACTCGACAGAGACGGACAAGGCTCTCAAGGCCACTGTGGCACAAGAGCTTGCGAACATCTGCAATCAAGAGTACCTGAGGTGTCAGAATGCTCTGAAGCGAGCCCTCGCGACGAGCTTGGGTACAAAGTGGTTCAAGCGCCTGAGCAATGGCTCAGATAATGGCGTCGCCCGCCTAGCCATCAAGGGGGATCCAACCCTGCTGCTGCGCGAAGATCCGCTTCTTCATCACCTGCTTCGCCTTTGCCAGCCAGATACTACTGCCACAAAGGCAATTGACTGGATCCAGCAGCTCGATGGACTGCGCCAGTCACATCCCATGGACTGGGAGCGCCTCGTCAGCGTCGCCTACTATGCTCTTGGGGATCTGATCACGATCGTGTTGTTCACACAGTCCCTCGGCCAGGCCATCTCTGTGCCAGCTTTCAGCCGTAAGAAAGGTCAGCAGTTTGTGGCAGAGTCGTCCAAGCTAGAGACGGAGATGAACAAGATCAAGCCAGAGCTTGACCTCACGGAGTTTGCCGCACCCTTGGAGATGCTGCTCGAACCAGGGATGGCCGAGCAGGCCCTCAAGAAGTTGGACGACTTCATCGTGGACAAGTCAGGTGCGCAAATAGGGTTCTTGTACGAGGACCTGATATCTGGCTGCGTTCAGAACTTGGAGGCGATCAAAGAGAACTCGTCAAAGGGTTCCGGTGATCAGAGAGACGCGTTCGTGCCGTTGCCAGCTGCCGACACGGCGACAACAGCACAGGCGCAGATTCAGCAGAGGCGCGAGAAAGCCAAGACGCGGCCGACACAATCGTCTACATTGGCTATCACGACGCCGGCCGAAGGAACGAAAGCAGCAGACAAGGATAACATCGAGACGACCGAACAATCGGCAGAGCCGCGAGTCTCAGTAAAGGGCACGACGGCAAAGACGTTCGCCACTATTTTTTCCAAGTCAGAGAAGCGCAGCCCCATTACATGGACCGCGTTTGAGGCGGCGATGGGTGATTGTGGGTTCGCGGTGGTGCCGAAGCAAGGCTCGATCTACACATTCGAGCTTCCGTCCACGAATGTGGCAGAAAACGATGCTGGCCTTGGCAAGAACGCCACTGCGGCAGGTGACAACAAGGGGACCGTCTCTCACAGCACGGGATACAGCTCAATCACCACCCACCGGCCACACCAGTCCATCATCGAAGGCTACGATCTGCTGTATCTGGCGAGCCGGCTCCGTAGGAGGTTTGGGTGGAGTGCCAGTACGTTTGAGGTGTCGTCGTAAGCAGGACGATTGGTGCGGATGAAGGCAGTAGCGTGCCAGGTCAGGCCATTTGCCTGAAGAGTGAGCAAGCTCTGGGGATTCCAGGAGAAGCCGGGTCCCCGCATCCGCAACCACACGCCACTCCCAATCGGGCTGCCGTGGAGCCTCCAATTGCCTTATTGGGACGTTTCCCCATTCCCCGCTGGTGGACGACGCCCGTCCCCCACGATGTCACATCCTCGAGGCGACAAGGCGACACAGCTTGTCTTGGCTAGAAATAGGAAATCCCCCGTACAGATCGCGGGAAGACCGAGCTCGTCCAGTACCCTGTCATAGTGTCAGCTTTGGATTCTGCGACGACCGCCAACTAGCATATTCGCTCCAGCATGCTCCGCTCAGCCTAGCATCAACCAAGTTCACGAACGACGACAGCTTCCCCTCCTCACCCTCCCAAAATGACCGACCAGTCCCGCCTCCGATATGTCAAGCACAGGCCCCGTGTCTTCATCGTGTCCGACATATCCAACGAACCCGACGATGCACAGTCGATGGTGCGGTTGTTGACATATGCCAACGAGCTCGACATCCAGGGTCTTGTCGCCTGCACCTCGTGCTGGATGCGCACACGCGTGCACCCAGAGGACATGCACTCCATCGTCAGCGCCTATGCCAGGGTCGTCGACAACCTCAACGCCCACGTCCACCCGGCCAATCCGTACCCGGCCGCAGAATACCTCGCGTCCAACATCAAGTCCGGCCCGCCCGTCTACGGCCGCCAGGCCCTCGCCGAGGACTACCCACTCAGCGAGGGCGCCCAGCTCCTCATCGACCGCGCCGACGCCTCTGACCAGCCTCTCTGGGTTCTCTCCTGGGGTGGCGTCAACGTGCTCGCCCAGGCTCTCAAGCACGTCCAGGAGACCCGCCCCGTGGCCGCGGCGCAGGCGTTCCGCGCCAAGCTCCGCGTCTACACAATCAGCGACCAGGACGACTGCGGCGCCTGGATCCGCGTCACCTTCCCGGATGTCCTGTACATCTGCTCCCTCCACGCCTGGGGCGAGTACGGCAACGCCACCTGGACCGGCATCTCCGGCGACCTGCTCATGAAGTCGCTCGATGCGGGCGGGCCGGACACGTCGCTCGTGTCCAAGGAATGGCTGGCCACCAACATCCAGCAGAGCGGCAGCCCGCTGGGCGCCGTGTACCCAGACGTCTCGTTCATCATGGAGGGAGATACTCCAACCTTCCTGTACCTCATCCCGAACGGGCTCGGCGTGCCCGAGCAGCCGTCCTGGGGCTCCTGGGGCGGCCGGTACGGCCTGGTCGACCTGGGCGGGTCCTCGAGGCACTATGCGGACACCCGGGACGCCGTGGTCGGCAAGGACGGCGCGACACACCTGTCTGGCAAGGCGTCCATCTGGCGCTGGCGCGAGGCGTACCAGAACGATTTTGCGGCGCGCATGCGCTGGACGCTGTCCCCGGAGCGGAGCGGCGTGAACCACGCCCCCGTCGTCAGCGTCAACGACAGCGGACCCGGCGCCGAGGCTTACTACATCGACGCCGAGGCCGGGAGCGAGGTGATTCTCGACGCCTCTGCGTCATACGACCCCGACGAAGAGGACCGGCTCGAGTTTGCGTGGTACCATTACAAGGAGCCCACGACCACCGGATCCTTGGTGCACTGGCCGGCGGTGCCGGACGTCGAGTTCGTGCCGGTGGCTTCCTCCTCCTCCTCCACCGCCAACACCACCACCACAACCACAACAGGCACAACAGGCACAACAGACACAACGGACACACAGAGCCAGAACAAGACACTGGCCGCAGCCGCGGGCGCCGGTGCTATCGTCAAAGTCACCATCCCGCCCCCCGAGAAGTGCGCAGTAGACATCCTCACCGGCCAGCCGCTACCAAAGGGCCAGGTCCTGCACTTTATCCTGAGCGTCCGGGACGACGGCACGCCCAGGCTAACGACGTACAAGCGCGTCGTGGTGCAGGTGACCAACCACCAGGGCCGCGGCGGCCGGGACCTGGGCGGCAAGGTATTTGACACGGTGACCGAGGCCATGGGCCACTCAACGGGCCAGGAGACGCTTGCAGCGACGGGCCAGTGAGGAGGAGGAGGAGGAGGAGGAGGAGTGTCCTTTTGGACATCATGATAAAAATGAATGTATTTGCACCAGGGACCGTTCAGCGCGCGATGATAGTCACGACCAACTTGTATGTTAGTTCCAGCGTTGTGTTCATACGTTTATTGGTCTATACCGAATCAACTCGCCGGCAATCACAGTGAAGAAGCAACCATCCTCGACCGCTCTAGTCTTTCTCCCCCATCTAATAGCTAGTTTGATAATCATGATGAAACACCAGATCCAATTAACCCCCCGAAAGCTAGAGCCAAGAAAGCACATTCACTCATAGACTCATCCCGTCGTCATGCCCAAGCCAGCGCGAATGGCAACGCCGCGGCTCCTTTGGCAAAGTCTTTTCTCACTCGGGAAGCTTTCCGTCCACGGCCGCAGTGGCGGCAAGGTTGACGGCGGCCAGTTGCTCCTCGGGCATACCACTCTGACCAACACCAGTAAGCAAGGCGACACTGTTGATGACGTCCTTGGGCTCCAGCAGATGGTACTTTGCTAGGGTGACCTTGCTACTGGGACCGACCGTCGAAGTGAAGATGTACTCGGGATCCATAAGTTGGCCGCTGACCGTGTTCAACGCACGGAACATGTCCTCGTCTGTGAAGTCGTCACCCAGGCAGTAGACAAACTCGAGTTTGCCATTCTTATCGCTGTCCGCGTGGTGCTCGTGGACCAGCCGCTTGGCAATCTCGCCCTTGTTGATGAACGTAGGGCGCACCTCCAGGTTGGCTTTGCCTTCCATGACCTCGACGTCCCACCTCTTGGAAACGCCGGCCAGGAGCTCCTTGTGTGCTTGCTGGGCAGCATGCAAAGCTTGCTCCTGATCGGCTTGGCGGTAGTGCCAGGTCAGAGCGCAGCGCTTCCGTTCGATAAACGAGCCTGTCACAATGAGTTAGCATTTTTCCCGGAGTCGACGCACATATTTATGCACAATACTTACCATTAACTCTGTCTGTCCACTTCTGGAACACCTCCATGACCTCAGCCTGCCAGCCCATGTCGAATTGCTCAGCAAGATTAGCCCAAGTATTCTCGCCTGGCTGCCGAATAAAGCTGCCGTGCTCGGCACTGAATCCGATTTCTGATATGTGGCCGAGATGCTGCTCCAAGAACTCCTGGTCTCTGCCAGAAATGACCCAGACGGCGTTTTGCGGATCCGCGGCGAGCGACTTGAGAGTCTGAATCAGCCTCTCGGTCGGGATAGCCGCACTAGGCTCTCGTACGATCGGAGTCAGAGTGCCATCATAGTCGAACATGAACAGTCGCCTGCCCGCCTTGCGGTATTGCTGAAGCAACTTGGTCGTGTCAAGCAGCGGGGTCATCATGTTCTTGCTGGTGGAGGCGAGCGTGCCAACCAGCTTCCGAATGAACTTGCTGATCCAATTCTGGACGTTGTGCGTGGTAACGTGCCGGTAGAGGCTGTGCTGCATCGCCAGGCGCATCTCGTTGGACATTGACAGGGCATTGTCGATTTGCTTGGCAACGTCCGTCAGGTCCCAGGGGTTGATGTGGATGGCGTCCCGAAGGCTACCGGCTGTCCCACTGAACTCGGACAAGATCAGCGGGCCATGTGTGTCGCGCTGACACACCACATATTCCAAGCTGGTGGTGTTCATGCCGTCGCGCACAGAGGTGATAAGACCTATGTCAGCCGCACGGAGTAGGGCAAAGTACTCGTCGCGCTGCAGGTACTGTGGGAAGTGCTGCACAGGTGAGAACTCGAGATTTCCATGTGTGCCATTGATCCTCATGACGAGCTGGTTGACTTGGGATGCGATCTTGCTCTCTGCGTCATCCTTCTCCTCGCTGATTGTGGTAGGCGACGTCACCTGCACGAGAACGACATTGCCTCTCCACTCGGGGTACAGCTCCAGGAAGCGCTCATAAGCCATCAGCTTCTGAACCACGCCGCGGACACTTCCCAGACGGTCGCGACCGACAATAAGCTTTTTGCCCTCGTACATCTTGCGTAGCGCCAGGTACTTCTCAGTAACCTCCTTCGAGAAGGCAGTTTCTTCTGCCTTGGCTGCATCAATGCCAATGGGGAAGACCCCGACCTCGACACGTACTCCGTAAGCATCGATGCCGAGGGAGTCGGAGGGATATTGCAAAATGCGCGTGCAGCAAGAAGAAAAGTGTCGCGAGTAGCTGTAGGACTGGAAGCCGACAAGGTTGGAGCCCAGAACGCCCTCCAGCACCTCCTTCCTCCGCGGCAGGCAGCGCAGAAACTCGCTGCTGGGGAAAGGGCAGTGCAGGAAGAAAGCGATATACATGCTCGGGACCCGCTGCCGGAGCATGCTGGGGAGGAGCATGAGGTAGTAGTCGTGAATGATGACGACATCGCCTGGCTTGTAAGTCTCGATGATCTTGTTGGCGAATTTGAGATTGGCACGGTAGTAGTCAGCCCACTCTATGCGCTCCGAGTTCCCGTTGCTGGGCTCGTGCTGCTTGTAGTGCAGGAGCGTGTACAGCTCATGCTCGGCGTACCTTCTCCACCGCTCCTGGTCTTTGAGAAGGATTCCATCATCGTGGTTGTCGTCATCGTCGCACAGCCACACCGGGATGGTCTTGACCTGGCTGTCGTGGGCTAGCTGGGATTCCAGCTTGGCTTTGTGCTCAGCAGGGATCCAGAGACCATCGACCGCTGGTGGTGTGGGGGGCGCATCGCCAGGCACGGGAATCGGAGCAGAGAGGTGCGTCGCACCACGAATGTCTGCAGTCGATTTCGGTCCTGTGTCGGCGGTAAGGTGGTCAAGGGGACGATCGATCTCGCCCGTCCAAGCCACAACCGTGTGCTGCCATGGTGTTTCGTCGGACGAGAGGTATACGAAAGAGTCGAGCAGAGCAGACTGTCCGCGCCGTACTCCGGTTTCCTGCAGTAGTGCACCAGCAGAGTCAGCATCATGTCGCAGATCGCGTTCGTCGCAGTGGCTCCATTGTTCTGCCTACGTACCCATGTGCCGTCCTTGTGGTATCTGAGAGAGTGCGGTGTGAGGAAAGTGGCGGAGATGATGTTGCCAGTGAGGGCCAAGTCTGGCGCGGCGGATTGGAAGTCTGTAATGGATTCCTTGCGCGCGGGCTGCTTTGACAAGCTCATACGGCGGAGAACCTCATGATTCGACGTGGCACCGCGCACCAGGTCGGAGGGAGAGACTGGCCTTTGCGGCTCTGTGCCCTCAATCTGGGAGGGGGATTCGACGGTCGCAGAGGACGAGGGCAGCTGCCGAGTCTGGTTGCTGCTGACAGGATTCTTGGTAAAGTAGCCAGGCGTATAGCTGCGCTCGTCCGACTCGCTCTCTGACGTCCTCTTATGGTATGTCATGTGGTGGATGCCGGGGGTGACGGGGACCTGGTTGATCTCGGGGCGCTCGTGGGCGAGCTCTGGAGACTCACCGTCCTGAGCCCCGGTGATGGACGAGTCTTGAGAGGCGTCGGCGGTGGCGCGGACAATGACGGGGTCGGGCCGGGAGCCGGTTGCGGCGGCTTTGTTGTCGTCCGCCATGCTGCCCACCGTGGAATCTTATGCGGGACGTGAACTGGGAGTCCGTGACTGTCTGTAACGGGGGTTGTTTCTGTCGAGCTGACTGGCACGATCAGCCCTGCGGCCAAGTGTTGGTCAAGCCCAGCTCAGGTGGAGGGGCAGCTGAGCTCGTTGGGCAAGCTAAGGTTTGGCGGCTGCTGGAGGTGTAGGTATCATGTACGGCGGTAGCAACGTCGTTGTGCGAGGGTCGTGACAGCCGTCGTGCAAACTGCTGTGTAGGAATGGCAACGACTGGCCGGGGTGTGAGCCGAAGGGGAGAAGAAGAAGAAGAAGAAGAAGACGGCAAGGGAAGAAGAATGACCAACACGGACGAGAGAGGGCGATAGAGAGAGCGAGAGAGGACAGGACCTGTGCTAATTAGGCGACATGTGAAGCGGAGGGCCATCGGCGAAACTGACGGCGGTGGTGGGAAGACGGAAGCTGCAAGCTTGGGTGGGGAGCGGGGCCGCAACACTGGGGGGACGAGGGCCAGGCCAGGCCCAGCCAGCGGTCCCAGTCCCGGTCCTACTGTACTATGTCCGCCAGTTTGCGGTGTGCAGGCAGGCAGGAACTAATCATGCCTGGCCGGGCAGGTAATCAGACTTCTGCAACGGGGCGGTCACAATGCGATTGTGGGCGGGTATGGTCATCTCTCGTCATCTTGCCCTCGAGCATTTCTACCCGTGCCTGACTGACTCTCCTGACTCAGATGGCAGCGCCAGCCGTGAGCCGCCCAGAGTCAGTTCAGTTCAGCACATGTCAGGTCAGATCAGATCAGACCAGACCAGACCAGGCCCGGTTAAATCAGACTGACTGCTCGATGCCGTCAGAGCATTCTCTTGTCTCTGCCCGTGCCCCTCCATCCACCCCGTTCAGCCCCAGAACGCGCAGGCTGTGGCCGTGGGCAGCCAGGAGGCTTTGCTCCCGCACCCCTGCACGCTGGCCAAGGCGCATCGTCGCCCGCTGGTCTTTGTTCACCCGTGTCTCTCTCCTTCTACTGGTTCTCCTCATCGCTGCTGGTCGACGACGCGCCTGCAGCCGCAGGCAGCCCCACGTGGGACACCCTCTTGGGCCTTGGCTGCCCGCTTCTCGCAAGAGCGGGCCGGCAATGTGCCTTGGAAATCCGAGGAAATCAAAGGCCCAGCAATCCCAAATGGCCCATCCCGCCATGTGCCTGGTTTGCGGTGGCAGCATGGCAGGGCGGCCCTGCCGATCCCATCGGTTGATGGCACCAGCAGTCTCACATCCCACCACCCATCACCTTTGCTGCCCCTCCACCATCTTCATGGCACATGGCAGACCGCGGGATGGGCTCTTGTGTAGGCCGAGCTCAAACTTCTCAAAACCAGTCTCTGAGCCCATCTGCGCCTAAACACGAGACAAAACATCGCCCAGACGGCGGATCCAAGAATAGACCGCGAGCCGGAAAGTGCCAGAGGGGGAGAATGACGTATCCGGCCCACCCTGCACCTGGTGGGGGTTTCTCGTCGGGTCGACAGGGATGGCCTGTTCCTGGCGTGCATTGCTGGTGCTTCACGGCCGCACTAACCGGAGCATTGTTGGCGGTTTCTGGTCCCTTCTAGACATCGAGAGTACGCGTAGTTAGGAGCCTGCCTCCTGCAACACGATCAGGATTCCATGAATGGGTTCGGCACCGTCACATCTCGTCTGGCTGCGGTCAATTCTGTGTCAGTCTCTTATGTGGGCCAAACATTACTGGCGCAGCGGCTCTGCAGCGTTGTCGATCGCCTCGCGTAGTCGAGATTGCAACAATATACCGCCTGTGGCACATGTTCAACCTGTTATAGCGCATCAATGGGGTGGTTTGGCTTCGTGGCTCGTCATTTCGTGACAGAACGGCAGCAAGAGAGAGGCGGGCAACAACCTTCGCATCTGCCTTCCCGCTCGTCCCGGGTATCAATTCTAGACGGCCAGAATGGCCTTTGTACAATCCTCACCTGCCCAAGCTGCCCGTCACACTCCCCACCATGACCGCGACCTCACGTTCCCAGCCGCCCTTGGCCGGCCCAGATGTCCCAGGACCACCACCTGCACCACCACCACTGCCGCCGCTGGTGCCTTTACCTGCAGCAACCATTGTGCTTGGCGGCTGGCTGCCCTTGATGACACAGTCCCGTATCGCATCAGCCACGTTGCTGCGATTGGACCTCAGCGTGCGAGCAGATACTCCGCCGCGGTTTACAATCTCCTGCACTCTAGGTGACAGGTTGCTCGCCATGGTGCGCCAGAAGTACGACGCCAGCGAGCCCGTCTCCAGATGTGCCAGCAGCGGCTGGAGCAGGTTCCCGGCGGACTTGTCTGTCTGCCCCGCCAGCAGTGGGTGAGCCGGCGCCTTCGTCGTCTCGAGGATAATCTCGAGCGCAATGATGTTCTGACACCGCGCCGCGACCTCGGCCAGCGTGCGGTCCAGCGAGGGCAGCGTCGCGAGCGACCTCGCCATGCTGGCCACGGAGCTCTGGAGCGAGTTGCGCAGGTACACCTCCAGGGCCTGCAGGAGCAGCGTGGGCGTCCACTTGTCCGGCCTGATCCCTTGTGTCGGTGATAGGAGGTACAGCGCCGTCATGGCGGACACGGTGCGCGCCTTGGTCTCCTCGCTCTGCGCGTACGTCGCCGCGCCCGATGCGGAGCCCACCGAGAACTCGCGTATCATCTGCTCCGACGCGTTCTTGACCGACCTGTCCACGGGGCCAATGACGCCGTCCCGCAGTGACCGGATCGCTGTGACCCTGTCGAGCCCGTGTCCCTCCTCGCCCGGCGCCGTCCGGTCGAGCACCTCGCGCAGCGAGACGAGCGTGTTCGCGCACCGCACGATGGCCCGGTGGTCCTCCTTCCTCAGCGCGGCCGCGACGACTCCCGCCCCGCCCGCCGTGGACCCCGCGAGGGTCTCCGAGTGCTGCACCTCGAGCTGCCTCCCTAGCTGAAGACACCGCGCCACGGACCGGCCCAGCCGCAGCGTCTCCCATAGCCGGCTGGCGACGAGCCGGACCTGGTCCGCCTCGGCGTGCTTCTGGATGACCTGCCGCTCGAGCTGCTTGTAGCTGTCGTTGAGCGACTTGACCTGGCTGTCGATCTCGGCGATGATGCGCCCGCTCGCGTCGGTCTGCTCTCTCGTGTGGGTGAGCAGCGGGAGGGCGGAGCGGGTGGTGAGGGAGTCGATGTGCGAGTCGACCTCTTGGGCGTCAAAGAGGACCTTGGACAGGGGCGTGGAGAGGTCGAGGGGTGTGTCGTTGGGGTTGTTGGTCGCGAGCACGAGCACGTTTGCAAACGCCGAAGGGCTGAAGTCGGGCGCGAGGAAGGTCTCGTAGTCAATGTACGACGCTGCGGCGTCTTGTTCTTGCTCATCGTCGGCCATTGTGTGAATGTGTTGTGTGTTGCGCTGTGTTGGGTGGTGCAGGTATGGCTGCCGACTCCGTATCTACGCTGACGTAGTCTGAGGAGACGAAGGCGGGCGTAGATTTGCGATTGGGCTTCGAGTCGAGCTTCGATGTTGTTGCGTTGTTGGACTTTTTGGTTTGTGGCTAATTAAGAGATGTGCTGGAGCTCGCCAGGTACAACGAGAGCTTCTGACAGCTTGCTGTTAGCCAGGGACCAGCGGCTGCCCCACCACACACACTCACACACACTCACACACACCAAACGCACATAAGCTCTCCCGCCCTAGCTGCCCAACTGGGGATTCCAGTGAGGCTGCTGTAGATATTGACTTACACAATGTGTGTTTTACAAATCTAATAACATAACAACACTTCTGAAGGCTTTCCAAGTGGCGGAAAAGACATAGAGCTTCGCATATTTATTCAATGAATCTGATTTTCAGTTGAGATGCCTTTAATTCATCCGGCAGTCCGTCGAGATACCAGAAACGCTCCTTCACATTAAGGCCAACACCATCGCAAGGAGTACAACATTCCTTAAACAAAGCTTCAAGCGGTGGGCGTGCATAACTTTTGATTGAATTTTCTCTATACGTACGTTCGTGGTCTTGCAGGAACGATCACCAGGATGATTGGTCCGGATTGAGAAAGGGAGAATAATACAGGAAATCCATGTATCCGTGCGAAATTGGAAAGTATAACCAGTGATGCTCAGGCAATTTTTCAATGTATGATAGAAAATGTATTACAAAGTGAAGATACACGCGTGGCTAGGGCTATGATGCTTTTCGAAATACCAATAAAGAAAGAAAGAGGCGCCAACAAAAAGGTACAGAAGAAAGACAAATTATTATGAAAAATGACTAGACGTTGGGAGAACATATTACCAAGGAAAGGACGAAAAACGCTCATTGCTAGCCGAACCATGAAGGAAAAAGAACAGAACGCTGTAAGAAATCAGGACAAATGAAAGATCATAGGCTGTCGTTGCTGCTGAAGCGTGTCGGTGTCATTCGGGAACGTCGTCATTGTGGCACATGCTTCACGTGTCCCCGCTTCGTCCCCTTCTTTGTATTTCTGCAACCACCGTTGCTCACGAAGAATCATCGCTCCCCCTTCCCCGGAGAGCCTCTTTCGTCATGACGGTCACAGTACCACTGCGGTCTTGAGGCTTGCGGACAAACACCATACTGGTGCTGCGCGATCTCACGTGGTTGGCCACGCCGTTCTTGGCGCGCCGTCTCGAGTCGCTCCTCGAAGGCGGTCTGCTGCCCTCCTTTGGCCCGATCCCAGGCGAGGCCGGGCCCATCAAAGAAGCCGCGGCCGCAGAGGCCTGAAGGGAAGTGATTTGCGCCTGGAGGTCTGCGATGGTCTGCCCGCACGGTGCGTGCGCGGCGTGTGCCGCATCGAGGTCGCTAGTCAGCGTCGCGATCTGGGCGCCCAGCTCGGCTGCACGGGTTGCCCGCTGGACAAGGTCGGGGACCTTGGCGGCCTCGACCTCAAGCTCGACGTTGCGGGCCTCGAGGGCGGCAAGCTTGGATGTCAGTTCCGGGTCTGGAACAGCAGCAGCGGGTGGCTGTGGTGCTGGCTCGGCGGCCTGAGGTGCTGGCTCGTCGGGCTGAGGCGCTGAGTCTTCGTTCTCCTCCTCGACGATAATCTGACCCAAGACCTCGGCGGGCTCGGCCGATTCCGGCTGATCAGCGGCAGGTTCTTCAGCTGCTGGCGCGGCGGCGGCTTGAGCCTGAGCTTGTGTAAGCTGTTCTTGAACTGCGCTCAGCTCGGCCTGAAGACTGTTGGAGCGTTCCTCAAGCTCCTTGTGCTCAGCCTGCAGCTTTTCAAGTTCTGCAGCTTTTTCCTCGAGCTGCTCGATCTTGCCGTCCAGCTCTGAGGCGCGCGTCATGAGCGAGTCGTAGTCTGTCGCCAGAGCAGCCTTGCTGTCATTGACATCTGCGAGCTCGCTCTTGGTCGTGTCGAGCTCTGCCTTTGTAGTGTCGAGCTCGACCCGTGTGTTGCACAGCTTGGCGTCGACCTCGAGCCGCTGGTGGGCGAGAGACACGTTTGCCGCCTTGGCACCACCAAGGTCGATGGTGAGGCGGTCGATTTCGGCCTGCTTGTCCGTGATCTCGGTCTTGAGGTCGTTGATTTGCGTCTCCAATTGAGACTTCTCGTCGGCGAGCTGCTTTTCGAGTTCGGCTCTCTCGGCCTCGAACTTCTCCTGGACGTCCTTCTTGTCGGCTTCGGACTTTTGCTCGAGCTCTTGCTTCACGGCTTCGAAAGTCTTCTTCATATCCTCTGAAGCCGTCTTCTCTGCTTCGAGTTGCTTCTCGGCCGAAGTCTTTGCCTCCTTCTCCAGCTCGAGTTCTTTGGATAGGGCATCGTTGGCTGCCTTCTCAGCCTCAATCTCGTTCTCAAGCTTGGCCTTCTCTGGCGCCCATTCTGCAATCTTTTCGTTCAGATCCTTGACCTCACTCTTGAACCCGTCGATCTGGGCCTCAAGAGCACCCTTGTCAGTCTCCAGACCGCTCTTCTCCTGGCCAAGCTGTTGAATGGTGACCTCAAGGTCAGCCTGGGCCTTTTCGAGCTCGACCTTGGCAACGAGCAGGCCATCACGCTCCTCCACGAGGCCCCGGATTTGCTCCATCTGCTTGTCAGACGCCGCCTTGAGGTCATCCCGCTCGCCAGTGATGTCCTTGACCTGCCCGGCGAGGGAGGCAACCCTGGCCTCCAGGGACAGCGCCGCCTTCTCGAACGCGGCAATCTGCATGGCCAGCATGTCCGAGTGGCCCTTCTGCTCCTCCTCCTTCCTCGCCGCCCCCTTCTCAATCTCCACGAGCTGCGCCTCCAGCTCGGCCTTGACGAGCCTCAGCCCGTCGCGCTCCTTCTCGGCCTCGCTGAGTACGCCCTTCTGGAAGTCGAGGTTGCTCCTCACCTCGTCCACGAGCCGGCGCGACTGCTCGAGCTCCTTGAGCGCGAGGTCCTTGCCGTGCCGCTCCTGCCGCAGCAGCCGCTCCGCGTCCTTGGCCTCCTGGCTCTGCAGGGACAGCTGGTCCGCGGCGTCGGCGAGCTCCCGGTTCAGCCGCGACTTGGCGACGTGCAGCGACTCGGTCTCGCTCTCGAGCGCGTCGATCTTCTCGAGCAGGTCCCGCTCCGCGCGGCGGGCCGCGAGGACGAGCTCCTTGTTGGCATTGTTGTTGCTTTGCTGCTGGACTGGAGGGGCAGTGATGGCCTTCTTGGGCGGCGGGGCGGGAGGTGCCACCGGAGGGGGCATGATCTGGATGTGCACGGTGCGTTTGGGCTGGGCATTGTTGTTGTTGTTGTTGCTGCTGCTGTTCTTGGTGTTGCCGTTCTTGCCATTGTTGTTGTTGTTGTTGGAGTTCCTGTTGTTGGTTCTCTGGAGAGCAGTCGTGGTGACGGGCCCTGTGGGCGTGATGTCGCTGCCGTCTGTCGACGATGATGGACCGCGGACTTGAGGCCTGGACTGCTGTCTTGGACGAGTGCTCGTGGTTGCAATCGTCGTCGTGGTCACTGTTGGTGCCAGGCGGACTTGGCGGACCTGGGGCTGGGGCTTCCTGTAGTAGACGTCCGAGTCCACAGTGCTGGGCTCCGAGATGATGCTCGTGGCGTCCGTGCTGGCTGACAGCTCAGAGTTGGCAGACTCGTCAAAGCTGTCGTAGGTGTCGTACGGGTTCTCCGTGAGATACTCGTAGCCCGGGTCATGGTGGTCGTGTTGCTGGTAGCCACCGTTGTTGTAAGGTGCCATGTAAGACCCTGGCATCGGTGGATGGTACATGTCGGTGCTCCCGACTGCCATATGCTGCTGAGACGACGGGTGCTCGAGCCTCCGGGGCGAGACCGTGGCCGGTGGAGGTTGTGTGGAAGGGGCATGCTGCTCAAGAGGTGCAGCACGAGAGAACCTCTGGGCGAGAAGAGCTTGGTCTCGCTTGGGGTCGGGGTTCTTCAGGATCCCTCGCACTGGATGCTTGGCTGTAGAGTGGTCAGTAGCGGCCTTGACAGACGTGGATGAGTAGTCTTTATGAGGAACACTACTTAAGATGTCCTTGGGCTTGGGCGGGACAAGGGGCCGCCTACGAGGTTCTGGCTGATGCTGTGGTGCAGCGGTCATGGTGTTTTGGTCCGAGGTTGTGGTGCTATCGGGTGTGGACGCCCAGCTCGGTGGTGTGTCTATTGAGTCGAAGCTCCTCCTGGCATCGTCTATGCTTTGATGCCTTTGCTGGGGAGGTCTCGAGCTTGGTCTCGAGTTGGGACGAGAACGCTGGTTCTGCCGTGGGCCTGTTGAAGGCACGGAGCTCTCTCGAGGTCCCATGGAGTTGCGGTGGTCCACACGAGGCCGGTTGTTTGCCGTGTTCATGGTTGTGGTTTGTTGTTGAAATACAGTCTCAGGATTCTTCTCGATCGTGGTGCAGCCAGGGATGATGTATTCAGATGAAATCGTGAACTTCAAAGTGTCCTCTATGTTCACGCAGTCTTTCTCTTGGATGGATGTAGATGGAGTTGTGGTTGTCAAAGTATGGCATTTCGTAGAACTAGAAGAGATGCAGGAGGATGGGGCTTTTGGGTATCAGAGTAGATCAATGATTACTCTGAGGGTAGCAGCCTTGTTTCTTTTCCGTTGTCGTGTCGTCGCCTGATCCAAGGTGACAAGTAGTGCGTGAATAGGGAGCCGCAGTGTTGTGGTTGGGTTATGCAGGATCGATGCAAGAAAAGGGAGAAGTCGTAAACCCAAACCGGAAGATGACAAACGGCATGGCGACCTGAAATACGTATTGTGCAGCAATAATGCCCCGGCTCACCCTTGAAATGACCCATGCCAGACTGTCAAAAAAACCTTGTACCTGTGACGGGCACTGCGTCCAAACCTCAGGTTGTCAAGACGGTAGCTTCGCTTGCACACAGCCTATGAGCTGCAGAGTCGTGGCTGGTGGATTGTTGTGCCTGACTCATTCCAGAATCGCCAATCATGCCCCCGGCAGGTCTTCCGCGGACCCAAAATTGGAACCCGGGGCAACCTGGCCGCGTCCTGGGACAGTTGGGCCGGGCGAGATGGCTGGCGAGCGCAGATCCCACGTTGGGCATCAGTGCAGTTTAGCTCAGGTTAGGCGCCCCCGAAACGCCAATCGAGTTGCCACCCACTACCCAACATTGGACTAAGCGAGGGAAACACTTCAATCACATATATGCAGCACGAACGATAATTCACAAGAGCTTTCATAGACTGGGACGCTACGAGCACCTCTATCACTCGCTGGTCATGCCGTGTTGGATTTCCAACTTGGTGCAGAAAAGACTTGACAACCTCGAGTTGTGGAACCTTGATGCGCTAAGCCTGACACGGCAACTCAGACCCACTTCACGAACACTGCAACACGGTCGTGGTGATGGTGTCAATATTCGCCCAACCGTTGCAGAAACGTTGGCTCGAGCAGGGAAGATGCTGGCAGCCGCTCAACGTGGGCTTTGGTGAGGAATGACAAGTGAACCCGCATCTCAGCAGTGGTATCAACATGCTCGGAGCCTGCTGGTCGAGGTATTTGGCCAGCTGAAAGCACAGCGGTGCCCAAGTGAGACCGGAGCGAGGCAGTGTCGTGTGATCTTGGCCCTCCACGTGTACAGCAGTCAGCAGCCATGACCTCTGAGGCTTTGCGCCGTGACGACACTCTCCCAGCCATGCCGGTGAGAACCGCCATTCTCCAGGATCCAGACGTCCACTTCCCGGCACCCCCGAGCCCATCTGGGCACGTACCGGGACGATGCATTAGCGCGTGGGACTAACGGGCCCCGTCCGGCAAGGACCAGCAGCCTTCAAGACCCTGGCCAACGTCCAATCGGTCTGGCATCGCCTCACTTTGGGCATTTTGACCCTGTTCAGGCTTTTTTTCGTGATCGGCATTTGTGCTCTGACAGCTCCTGACAGGAGGGTTTTCTCAACTGATCACCTGCAGGCCATGGCCGGGCCCGGTGTCTGCTAAGCCCTCGCAAGCCTTGCTTTCCTGATGAATCAAATGGGTACAGATCTTCACGCTTCTCCAGAACACGGCATTCCACCGTGGTACCAAACTCCGCATGCACTAGCAAACTCCCCGCAAAGGGACAACGGCATGTGCCCACAAGAATGCAGTAGCTTTTATCTTCATCTCCACCTCACTACACGGGTGTTGAGTGACCATGCCTTCGTGACGGGACGTTCTTATGCAAAAGAGCTTGTCATGGAAGTTCACCCGTCTAGACAGGATGGCGCATGTTTCATTCCGTATCGATGTCGTATGGCTACACAAATGTCACAACTTGATCACACCTGAGACCTAACACGCGGCAACGTGATCGAATGTTCCATTTATGACCGGGGCTCCATCTCGGCGTGCATAAATCCCGCGCTTAAGGTTTTGCAGATCACTGCATTTTGTACTCCCATAGTACACAGACGCCGGGCTGATAGGTCACTTTGGGCGCAAAGCACATGTCTTGGCCTGACCACGCCCAAGATCCTGAGGCAACATATGATCACGCGAGGATCGCAAAATGATCTGAAGTCGGGGGGTTTCCATCCAGAAGCGTCTAGTTCCACGGATGTTGTGGACCTGGACGTTATGGGCATGTTGTTATCAATGCACTACTTGCTCTGCTGATTTACCTGGATACGTAGTTCTATGAAGACAGGACTCATCGCATGAGCTGCGGCCCTCTGCTTACAAGGCGCTTGATTGCTGCGTCTGAAAATTGCAAAAGAAAATAGGCAAATGCCTTCCAGTCTTCGTGGCTCGATGATGTCACATAGCCGGCGGCTGTTGAGAGATGTGTTTTATCCGGTGAGCGTCAGAGACTGATGGCGTCACCCCATATCAGCTGTCGCCCAGGGACGCTGGTCCCCATTGCATGCTGGCATCTCCACTGGGACTGTCCGCATGCATTTGCTCCTGACTTCCTTCGGAGAAGTCCGCTACTGCGCATCTTCTGCTCCCTGAAGCCGGGAGTAAAATGGCCGTATCAACCAACGTCCCTTCTGGATGCTGAAGTTCCAAGCAGCCATGTGGTGTTGCTTCGGCTCAAGACATCTCCCGTGATTTGTCCCAGAAACTCCCCAGTCGGCTGCTCAACCCCAGTCTGAGCCTCATAAGCAGCTCCCCCTTCTAGCTTCCCTCTCATCAAAGTAAGCTCTTCCTTGAACGCTGTTAGCCGGTTCCGTAATCCAGCGACTTTACGCTTCTCAGCCCGCCAACCGTTCAGAGCTTTGCTGGTCAAGACTCTATTTGCTTCGAGAGCATTGTTGCTCCGCTGCAATTGCATGCGTAAGTCATAAAGCTCAATGTTCTGTGGCCTTTTGTCCTTGACGCGGGATATGGAACTTAGGGCTTCTGCAGTTGTCTTTGCTTCTTCTCGTAGTTCTTTGATGATGTCCTCGTACTCTGCCAGCTTCTTCTGTCTCTGATTGGCGAGTTTCAGATTGACTGCTGCCTCAGCCTTAAATTTTCCCAGGTCCTGACCGAGATTGTTCATCTGGACACGAAGTTCGGCATGATCCTGCTCGCGGTGCAGGGCTTCAAGCCGGTGAAGTTGGCTCTGATTCGCTGAATCACTCTCGAGAGCTGCCAGCTTCTGTCGCAATGCGGTGATGAGAGTTTCTTTGGCAGCTACCTCTGCTCCAAGAGCTGTGATGCTTTGCTGAGCCTGTGAAACCGTCGCTTTGAGCTCTTCTAGCTGTCGGGTTGCGATGTTACCTCCATGAAGAGCTTCGTCGCAGTTTGGTCTGGCTTCGTGAAATAAAGTCTTTTCGACCTGTGCTTCAGTCTTCAGGCAGCTGTGATGTCCTTGCCAGGTCGGTGATTCCATGATGACCGTTGCTTCGGTATGCACCCAAATTCGTGCTCTCCAATGATTGGTATCGTTCCGACGTCCGATCGCAATGATGTGATGAACTTGGTTGTCGGCATATAACCACGGCGCTATGCTCCCGTCCCTGCCTAGAAAAGTTGGCTCGAGTCGTAGGTTTTGGCGGCGTGATGCGCAGATTGGAACGCAAATGATTAGATTGCGATGATTTCACTCAGGGTCTGTCTGATTTGCTGTGAGAGGGAGACTCGCGGTTGCGAGGATCTGCTCTGCTACGACTTGCCAGAATGTATTGTCTCGGTTTGAGTTCAGTGTTGCATCTTTCTTGAGGGTCGTTCAAGACACGGTCGCAATCTTGTCCAGTGTCGACGAGACGCAGTAAGCTACTGGCAGATCGCGATTGTGGTACAAGAGGACTTCATGGAACGAGCTCATTCCCTACTATCAAGCTTGGGAGGGTAATTGCCGAAGTCAAAACTGTCTGTGCTAGGTAGATCTGCAAACGTCTTTGCTTCTGGCGCAGCATTGGTGGAGCTGTTTATATGGACATTGTTGTAATTCATATTTGCTGGAGAGGTACGAATGGTCTGCGGCCTCCAATGGCGAGTGGCAGAATGGGCTTTACGATTGAGATGTGGCGACGTTGCGAAAAGAAGGGCAAGCTACAGTCCGCTCCCTTTGGCGTTCGGGCTTGACGTCTGATCTGATGGCTACAATCCACAATGTACGACCAAAGGTAGTAATACATTTTGCATTCTCTGTAACTGACATAACGTAGCTGCTATTCTCTACATTATCCCCCTGATCGAGTTCTTGGGCTTGACCGACAATTATGTTACGCGATCTCAGGATTTCGTGAATAGCCTCATCATGCACTTGTCGACGCACACTCCTGGGCTATTATATCTGCTCCAACTTTGATCATGACTGGGCGATCCTTCAGCGGTGCTCTCCCATCGCCTTAGTGGTAGGCTTTACTCCCCGCTCGTCTTCGTCCAGAAGTATCCTTGTTGATATCGTTGCGGCTACCGTTGCTGCCTGTAAGGTTTTCATTTGGTTACTCGAGGATACTCCAGAAGCATATGCGATCAGAGATCTTTTGAGAACTGTAGATTTGATCACAACATTTTCGAGGTCCAAGAGTCCCTCGAACATGTAGATAAAAGATCCTTGGGAGATCCGTGATTGTGACTGTAGACTGTTCCATAAGTCTTTCAGATGGTGCGTCATCGTGTGTAATTTCTCCGCGTACGTCCATTTCCTTGCCATTTTTCTCTGGGGAGGAAGATTCATCGACCGAAGTAAGGCGGTAACATCTTCGGGGAGTGTATTTTCATGTCGAGGCTCCATATAACCATGGTCTTCTTGCTCCCTCGGACGCTTATTACCAGAATCATGGCTGTTTCGTGTCAGGCGAAGTGTACACCGATAGTTGTCCACAAGCATGTGCCATTCTGCCAGAGCGAAGAAGAGTAGGCTTCTGCTGCCGCACCCAGAAAGTTGCAGTGAGTCACTCATGAAGACTCCGTGAAATCCTGCTGAGTAGAACGAAACAACCAAACGAAGATGTTCGTGCTTAATATCTTCATGTCCATGACTGCTTTTGAGCTCTCGGCGCACGAGAACCCAGAACCAGGCTTGTTCGTGGGGTTTGCTTGCTGCGGTCGACTCCTTTCCGCTCTGGCTCTGGTCCGTTCTGGTGTTGTGGGCTCTATGCGACCTCAGCACGGTGTTGGCGGCATAGAAGACTTCAAAGACTGCCTTCATAAACTTGTCTTGACCTTGTGAAAGTCCAGCGTCTTTGTGCAGTAGGAATTTGGCCATGCCAAGCAGCTCAGCAGGACGAGGTCGACATGAGGCTGTCGCGTCGAACCCGTCGATGCTCGTGAGAGCTCGGTAGATTTCATCTTCCTTCGCGCGTTCCAGAGCTTTCTGATGAGCAGCTGAAATCCTGTCGGCCTCGGCCTCTGCTGCGTCGTCTTGCGGGTTCCCAGCGGAAGCCATGATGTCGTTGAATACGTCGTCGTGCTGGTTCTGCTGAAGTGATGGCCGCGCGAATTTGATGTTATGGTTGCGGAACAGGCTGAACGGTTTTATCAACAAGTGGCCGCCCCGGCCACGCTTGTTGGGTCTGTACTCTTGCTTCGTGTTCTGAATTATTGTGTGGCCGTGGTATTGAGCTTGGCCAGAGCTGCGTCAGGACTCATCTGTGCCGCACTGGCTGCAAGCTTGGGGGTCCTCGCTTCCATTGCTCGGGCCAAGATTTCACATTGCCCGCTTTCAAGTTCCTGCATCGGGCTCAGCTGATCTCCTCTTCTGCTGGCTATCACGAAATTTCTCTACGCAATATCAGCATAAATCGCCGACCCCTTGCGACCACAGAAAATGCCAACTTACCATCAATCTTATCCGCAGTAAGAAGCATACATCCCGTCAAGGGCGACCCTTCCCGGGTCATCTTCTCGGCCTTTTCCGCGAGCGTGCGCAAATCAGCAGCCACCTTGAGCGGCGCCCTGCCGAGGTTGCCCGCCAGCGTCATCGCGTGCAGCACCTCGACAAGAGCTTCGATGCGGCTCTCGGCGTATGATGTCAGGTGCCCCGTCTGTGGTTCTACGTCCTTGAACTTGCGGTCCATGGAGATCTGGATGTATTGGATGGTCTTTTCGATGCTCGCGACAGCATCGTCGTCGTCTTCGGTGTCATTTTGTGTTGCATATTTTTCGCCCCTGGAAGCTGGCTCGTCCTGGTGTTTCCTCTCAGGCGGCATAGATGTGAGCTTGCACTCTTCTTTTGAGCGGAAAGCATGGCTGTGGAGGCTGCCGTTCCCGAGCAGCGGGCTGTCCTGCTCGACTAACACGGGTGATGGCGTCCTGTATGCTACGGGCTCGACTTTCACCTCGGGCGAGGGACTCCTCTCTTCAACAGCCTTGCGCTTACGACTGGAAGCAAACGTCTTGCGGATCTCAAAACTCCGTGTTTCTGGCGTCGTCAGCGCGAGCCACTCAGCCATGGCGACCAGCACGCCCCTAACCGGCCCATGCTGGGACAGATCCAAGATCTTGGCCCCAAGGACAGCATCAAAGCCTCTGTGATAGAACTGTACGAGCAGGCGGACCACATGCGACGGCACCCACAGCAGCTGCCTCTCAAAGCACAGCTCGTTGCGCACGAGCTCCCAGAACCAGTCGTGCTCCTGCGGCCGCTCCACATCCCGACCCGCCGCCGCCGTCACCGCCATGGCCGCCCGGTCCTGCTGGACGTTCATGTACGTCAGGGACGCGGCCAGGAACAGCTTCCGGATGCCCGCGGGGGCGTGGTCCCTCGCGTTCGCCTTCGTCGGCACGTGCCACAGGATCACGTGGCCCATGACCATGAGCGTCTCGGGGTCGGCAGGGCGATGTACCTTGGACGCATCGAAGCCGGGCAGCCAGGTCAGGTCTTGGAAGATTGGGTCTGTGACTTGCTCTCGCTGCATCTCTCGCAATGTGTGTTCTGCTAGATATTCTTCCGTGTGCATTAGTTATTCCGTCTTCTTGCAGGCTTCGCGTGGCGGAAGGCACCTGCTGGGTTGGCCGTGGATGGGAGCCGGGATGGTTAGCAGATCTGCAGGACTCAGTTCAGTGCACTGATTGATATTTGCGGCAGAGAATCTTCGCCGCGTGGGTTTGAGAGATCGAACAAACAATAAGCAACGTAAGAATCTTTAAAGGGGAGCCTTGTACGCAAAATATCTGGCGAATGGGACTGGGTTGAAAGGCCTTCGGGAGAAGCGCCGCCAGGCATTTATTTGCCCAGGAATCAAGATGCAGCTGAGCCACCAACCAACCAACCCTGTGCAGGGGCGGCACACTGGCCCCGAGACCACACGCAGTCACACAAGCAGGTCGACATCACAATTGCGTTCCTGCCAGCCGTCGCACTCTCGGGAATAATGTATTGTCTTGAGGTTTGAGTTATGTCAATGACGGCCCGCGTCATAGCACAAAGACAAACTCTTCGTTTTTGAGATCCGTGAGATCGTCAAAGGCGTGGTCGCCGACCCTCTCACTGCTCCGTTCCCGGCTGGCCCGGTGGCCATCGCCCTCCTCAGCAGCCCGGGCCATCAAGCTCTCGCTCGCCTCGTCTTGCACCACACGCCCGCCATCCCGCTTCCGCGTTGCAGCCTCTTCTGGGCTGTCAAGACTAGTGTCAATAATCACCGCGCTCTTCCCCACCGCCACGCGCATCCGCGCATGCTTCTTGTTTAGCCGGTGCAGATGCACGCTCGTCACCATGGATAGCAAAATCACCGCGACGAACATGAGTAGGTTGCATGCCAGGCCGCGCGAGTACGCCGGGGCGTCGGCCTGGCTGTACAGCAAGGGGCCGATGATGTTGCCAAGACTCTGGCCGAGGAACAAGATTGCGTTGGTGCATTTGCTTTTCGTGTCGCCGGCGGTGTTCTGCGTTGACCACGAGTATAGGAGCGGTGCTACGTCGAGGTGACTCGTCAGCATGTGTACAAGACGGCGGGCAATCTAAAGGCTTGCAGTGGCATTTCCCATGACGTACTTATGCCAGGATATATAGACATGAGATAGTAGCCAAATAGCAGTGATGCCTGATGGCTGGCATCGTGTGGCAGCGCGAGCATGATTGTGTAGCCTACGATGACGGGGCAGCAAAGCCACATGATGATGATGCCCTTTCTCTTCCACTTTGTGGCTAGATATGAGCCCCCCAGGATTGCGATTCCCTGGATCACACCATAGGGCATGTTGAACAAGGTGGTCTGAAACTTGTCGAACCCGAACGTGCTGATGATGAGCGGGCCGAAGGTGTTGATCCCACCCGACGGGATGCTGATGGCGAGCATGAGGCCGAACCAGAGCCACGTCTTGAGATCAAAGATGGCTTCTCGAAGGTGGTCACCACGCCACTCGCGGGACACACTGCCCATCTGGTTTACCCTAAGTCTCTCGATTGCGACCAGTCTGTCATGGTCGTCGAGAAACTTGGCCTCCATGGGAGAGTCTGGCATATACAGGAGCATGATGAAGCTAAAGGCGATTGTTGTAAAACCAAAGAAGAGAAAGATGAGCTGGTTGTTCCCGTCAGCGTCTCCAGGTCTACAACAAGGCCTTCAATTAAGCATGGCATCTCGTACCTGGTATGGCCGCAGTGAAGACTGGATGTGCCCGATGCCGTAGGTTATCAAGCTTCCCAGCGTGCCAGCGACGCCGTTCATGGCATACCAGTAGCTCGTGCGGTTGGTCTGCTCGCCACGCTTCCACCACATGGCCGTGATGGCCACAAAGCTGGGCCCAATCGTGGCCTCGAACGCGCCCAGACAGAACCGGGCGACCATCATGCTGCCAAAGTCGTGCGTCGCAGCCATCAGGCACAGCGTGGTGCCCCACAGCAGCACCATGACACTGGTGAACTTGGCGATGGGCAGCCGGACAAGCAGCCAGGCCAAGGGGAACTGCATGATGAGCTGGGCGAGATAGACGATGGAGCCGAGCCAGCTGTACTGATCGCCCTCGAGGCCGATGTCCTCGATGAGGCCGAACACGGAGCTGTACGAGAGGGTCGTCTTGTCGGCGACCTGGAGGAAGTAGACGGTGAGCATGATGGGCAGGAGGACAGAGTCGACGCGCCTGAGCACGCGGCGGTCGTCCTCGGGTGTCACGGCGATGCGGCCATAATCGCCGCTCTTCTTGCGCAGCAGCTCGCCGGCAGCGCTGCGGGTTGTTGTTGAGGGTGAGGATGAGGTGTGTTGGGGTCCATTGTGGTGGCCGTCGTGCTCGCCTGGCCTGGAGCCTGGTCTACCAGAGAACAAGCCCGCCATACTGACTGCCTGAATGCCTGCGGAGGTGAGTGCACGGCGATGCTTCTGGGGCAGTGCAATGTGCCAGGCCGTTAGGATCGAGCAGACATGGCATGGTGTTGTTGAAGGGGTGTTTGCCCACAGACCAGGTCAGAGGACGTGCGTGCGTGCGTGTCTCGGGCTGGCCTGCCAAGCCGGACGCTGCAAGCTGCCCTGGCCGAGTCCGCCCTACGGGGCTTGGCGGCGATCGGCAGGACGGGCCTCTGACGTACATTGACAGCTTCAGAAGGCCTGAACTAGTTGGTCTCATTTCCCCTCTGCGCTTTCCGTCGAACAATCAAGTTAAACTCAGTTTCAGGTTCCGAGCCTCAAAAGAGACAAGACGTAAGTGTTGAACTGAGAGTGATTCAACGACGCTATGTAAGGTCGGGCCATGGGCAGCCCACCCTCAGAAGGCTCCGGCCAAGACACCCTCCCAACTGGTTGGGTCCGAGGCGAAGAGCAACCATGCTTGAAATAGTCAAAAATGGCCCCGGTACTCACTACGGAGTCATAAGAGCCATGTTATCGTTGCGCAAGGTCCCGACTCCGGTCAGTCCTACAATCTCATTGGCTGTTACTCTAGTGCGTCAGGTCGTTTGGCACTCCGACGGTAGATTGAGTGACAATTCGAGTAAGATGCCCCGCAGTGTGCTTATGAATCTCGTACCTCGCGGTCCCGGTCCCTCCAGGCACCGTTTTTTGGACAGCGCTTTTTAACTTCAGCCTTTTTAGCTTCGCTTTCGCGGCAAACGTCGTCAGAAACGGGCAAGATGGCGTCTCACGAAATTGTGCTGTACGACATTCCTTCGCGACCGCCGTGCCGGGCATGGTCTCTGAATACATGGAGAGGTAAGGGAGAACAGCAGTTCGGGGCGCTGGGCGTTGACTGACCCTCACATTGCAGTCCGCTTGATTCTCAACTACAAAAATATCCCTTATAGAACAGAATGGGTACGCAGCTACCAGATGATGGTTGCCCTTGCTGGGGATGCTAGCTAACACGGAAACACCTCCAGCTCGAGTATCCCGACATTAAACCAAAACTTTCACCACAGTAAGGTCATTCACGGATTCTTTGACAGCCTAGTCTCAAACCATTTCGCACATTCTTACGGCCTCATCCATTTAATCAATTAGCTTCCCGGGCCAACAGATCGAGACATACACAGTCCCAACAATCGCGCTTCCCGATGGTCGCGAGCACATCATGAACAGCAGGCAAATCGCCAAAGTCCTCGAAGCCAAGTACCCGAGCCCGCCACTCCTTCTGGACTCTCCAATCGCCAAGCGGGTGACCGGGCTCCTGATCAAAATCTGGGACGCCATCGAGGTCATTATCCTCACGCACGTGCACAAGCGTCTCCTCGACGAAGTCAACTTCCCGTTCTGGCGGGAGACCCGCGAGCCTTGGCTGAATCCGGATCATGCTACCAAGGATGCCGCAGGCGATCAGTGGAAGACTCTGGACACTGCAGAGGCTGAGCTCTATGCCAATGGGGGTGCTCTGCTGGACGAATGCTGGGCAAACGCTGGGCCGGCAGTAGACGAGATTGCTCAGATTCTGAGAGAGAGCCCTGAGGGGCCGTTCTTCTGTGGAGAAAAGGTGTCTTTCTCAGACTTCCAGTGGATCGGCTTCTTGCTTTTCATCCGGCGGATCGGGCAGGATCAGTGGGACAAGATGAAGGCTTCGGCAAAGGACTTTGAGCCTCATGAGGAGCTGCTCCGTGCTGCAAGCGACTGGATCAAGCGAGATGACCATTGAAAAATGCTCACCACGATATTCATTATGCTTTATTCCTTCTATACTACCCGTCAGTTGTTTATTTAATTTCAACTGCTACACTTACAGCTGGACTTACTGCGCAACTCGATCTATCCGATAAATAACCTCGGCAGCATTAAAGTATGCCTCGTACTCGACATCCTCGCCATTCGTCTCCTTCAGGTCAAAATGATAATGCCCACCAGCTCCTTTACCCGTCGGCGAGAAAGTGTGCGTATGCTCCAACCGCAAGCCGATCTTGCCCCCCGGGTCCGCCGAATGCAGCACGGACAAGCCTATTATCGGCCCCTCGTACTCGTGCCACGTCAACCACTGCATCAGCCGGTCAAGATTCTTGAACGGGAGGTCCTTGTCGGCCGGGAAGTCCGGCATGACGTGGTACTTGGCCTTGCCCTTCTTGATGAGGACCACGCCTCCGAGGCTCACGGTCGTGTCCCCACCAAAGGCCTCGTGCAGCGCGGCCTGGATGCACTCGGTGAAGCTCCCCCGCTCGCCCGTCCGCCCGCGCGCCGTAATCTTGAGCACATCGCCAGCCTCCCCGTGCGAGCCGAACAGGTTGCACATCAGTGCGCAGTTGGGAGCCGGGGCTTTGTGGACCTCTACTTCTCCAGAGGACTTGTTGACCAGCACGCACCGCGAGCCGTTCTTGTCGTTGGTGGTCCCTTGCTTCTGCTGCTCCTGATCGTCGTGATCATCGCCACCGCCTTCGCCGCCGTCGGACCAGCTGTAGTCCGCAGCCAACTCGCTGTTCTGCCCGACGTCCTTCCACGGTCCCGCGCCGGCACCGATCAAGTTCCCGCGGTGCGGAGACATCTCCATCTCCCGCGCGAGGTCAGGCAGGGACCAGATCTGCTGGAGCTGCGGCTGCGGGAACAGGTTGGACTGCCCGCCGACCTCCGCGACCCTGGGCGAGCCGCCCAGGCCGCGGGTCGTGAGGTTGAACGGCTCATTGCGGAGGTCTGGACAAGGGGTGACGGTCACAGAGGAGGATGCGTAGTTGGCCGCGAGGTGGGGGGGCAGGGCGGCGGCGATGGCGGAGAGCGGGGGTGGCGTGAGGGGGTATTTCTCTGTCTTCATGGCTGTCAGGTATAGGTATATCTTTGTTGACCTCTGAACTCGACTTAAGGGAGATGGTGCGCAATTAGGTATGTTGGGAATATCGCGGGAGGTCGACGAGTGTCTTAAGGTTTGGATGAGGGGATGTTGTGTCAGACATGGGATGGATGCGCTTTGCGACCCGGAGCGCCTACAGGCAACTAGCCGAGGGCATATGCGGAAATGATCATCATTGCTGCATGCGACAGTGAAGGTTCGAAGTCAGCAGATTGAAGGAAAAGGACAGACGACAATGATGAGATCAAAGGTCACAGAGTCCCAGGTAAGCCTTACAATCGGCGATTTCATTTTGTTATGATCTATGAACCAACCTACGTAGGCATTCCTTGAAATTCTAGCCAAAGAGAGGCAATGATATATTTTTCAACTCCAAAAGGAATTCAAGGAGTGTGCCATGAAAGTGAGTCCAAGCAGTAGAATTGTTGTGTACTCATTATAAAGTGCTCTAGGGAACATCTCGTCGCACATTCGAGGTCTGCTGTTTGTTCATTCTTTTCTCGGATTCTTTTGTGTTTTTCCCATCCTAGTTTTGTTGTTTGTCACAAATTGCACAATAGTCTGGAAGCTCCTCATCTCAAATGGCGAACTGGGCAGGGCGGTAGATACCCTGACTGACTGGAAGATGACCGGGATGAGTACTCAAGCCTTGTTTACAGGATTCTCGATGCAGGCATGGAAAATCACCAGGACTGGTATGCATCTTGTCCAAGGGAAGATCGTGGCCAGGGTTCCGTGGCCCGCAAGCATGTGCGGGTGATTGCATTAGCACGATGCATGTTTAAATTCTGGGCCAGATCGGAGAGACCTTGCAATGCAGCGACCCTGCCCCAGGTTGCGTAGGCACCTTGTACCTAGTAGCCGCCCAAAGCAATCTATCTTCCGAGTGTGCAGATCGGGCCTGAAATGTGGCTGTCTCCTGGGTCGTTGCTTATGGTGATCGTCAGTCATCGCAGCAATGGCGCGCTTCTACAGCAAATCTGAAGTCAATTGTGCGGGTGGGCATAGGCTTGCATTGGCGGCAACTGTTGCTGGATGGACCAGAAACCCTAAAAGGCGAGCAGATCAAAACAACTGTGTCATAGTGGATGTACCCCGAGAAACACAGCAATGGCCAACAAGTTGAGGGCGGGACCGAGCGCAGACAAGTCTTTGCTGATCTTTGTGGCTTGTCGCAGAATTGACTTGACGTGAACGCACAGTGCTTGGCATTCAGTCCATCGCTGGGAGGAGGTAGAAGCCGGTTACAGAAGCAAGTCCAATTGGGCGCATAATTGCCATGCGAATCACTCTCTCGTCCTCGAATTGGGATGCGTGAACAAAGCGGATCCGACTTCTGAAGCAGTATGCCAGGGGAGGGTTAATTCTGCACGGACCGAATCCGTCCAAGTCGAGAGGCCTGGGCAGTAGCCAATAGGTTGAGTGCGAAGTAGCAGGCATGTAAATGACATCGATGAAGACCCTGTTGCTCCGCCTACAAGCGCTCGTGTCAGCGCCAGCCGCTGGTCGCTGAAACGACCACCGTCAGTAAGCCCAACAGCCATGTGGACATATATGTCTGAGACTTTTGCGTTGCATGTGGTTCGCTACTACTGGCGCCTAGTCTTGCGTGAGACCACTACACAAGGCGCTCGTTGACGGGCCTACCCTGGCTTTGCTTTTCGCACGCGCGGAAGTGAGGCGGCTTCCGGGTCTCAGCGACGGTGTCGCAATAAGTGCAGATGCTCGCTAGCGTGTTGACTCCCAAGGAGGAAGGTTTGGGCCTCGGAGCAATGTTTCTGATGGTACGCATCATCGGTCCGGAACGGCTGGCGCTAGGAAGGAAGAAAGAGCGAGGGAAGTGAAGCCGGGTGTTGCATATGGTGGCTGACCAGGCCTTGGCGGCGCACGATGGGTCGAGTCCAGCGTGAGTTGTGCGTGGACATGTGAAGCCGGGAGAATCATTGATGCAAAGCTGATCATTAAACTTGCGCCCGGCCGGTGGGCCGATCTGGAGTGCAGCCAACCAGGGAAGGTGGGCCGGTCGCAGGTGCACCAAAGAGGGAAGTGACGCAGGGCCCTGTCGGCGGTCGCCGTGGCAACAGGTCGCACCTTCCGGCGCACCAGATCTCCAATGTCAACAACCGCACCCTCCCGCGGCCGCCATGGATGCCGTGTAAGCCAGCCTGCAGCAGAGCACCGTCGCACTTGACTTGACCCAGTCATCCCCATCTCCAGCTCAGAACCCACTCTTGCCCAAATCCACTTCCTTTCCTCTCGCAGACCTCGTCGTCGCACAGCAAGCTTGTCCCCTCGCCTCGAGTTCAAGCAACTCTCCCCATCCCCCAGGGCACGAAAAGAAACCCAGGTCGCAAGCAAACACACAAGCGCCCTCTAGCTCAACTGACAATTGTTGCCTGCACAAGGCCGCAAACAAACCCTTAGTTCTCATCCTCTCAAGTCTCAACTGCTGCTGAAGACGTCCTAAGCCTCTCCCCCTGCCCGGCCAGCCTGGCTTGCTCGCCGCGTGAGTTTCGGACCAGACCCAGAGACAAGTCGCCCTCTCTGGTCTCCCAAGTTCCGCACCAGGAACCATTCGACAACCCGACAACGACACATCCGGACTCGACTCTCTCCACTATGCTGTCCCATCCGCCCCCGAGCGGTCTTCAGGCCAGGCAACGGTTACACCGACGCCAGAATTCGACACCCACGGCCTTTGAAGCGACAAAGATCGCCAGCAAACTGCCGCAACACGACAACAGCACATTCGGCGGCGCGCATCCGTCCCAGGCGCAGTCCGTCCGCCAAAGGATGGCCCACCGCCGTGGCATGAGCCTGGACACTCGGCGACAACAGATGCGCGCCTCCCTTGCGGCAGCACCATCGACATCATCAACAACACCCAGACAGGATCAATTTCCCATGGTAAGTAACAATACTAACAACACAGGATACAACCACCCACAGCATGTGCTGCGAGAAGCGCAGCAGCAACGTACAGCAGGCCCGGGCTACAGACATCCGCTTTCGACGCCAAATTCAGCAGCAGTTTCTCCGCAATTTGCGGACTTGAGCAGTGATGAGAACTACTTACTATCCCCTCACGGGACACCACAGCGTTTCGATGGCCATCGGTATGGCGCGTTCCAAGAGAGCCCCATGCAAAGCCCCATGGGCATGTATAATGCGCCAAACAGTATGATGAACGCGCCTCAAGACTTCGAGCTCTTCCCATCGAGCGCGCTGTCCTCGCCGACGTTTGTCAACATTCAAGAGAGCCCTTCAGCTGGTCCGGGGTGGCTCTCGGACAGCGAGAACACAGTTTCGCGCCGGGGGTCCCGAAGGATCAGCAACGGTATTCTGGACAGAGTGGCCAAATTTGAGACGATGGCGTCAGAAGACCCATTGAGGCCACTCACACCCTCACAACAAAAGCCTGAAGGTATGAATAATTGATTCAACCATGCCTCATCGAAAAAAACATTAACAGTTCTGTAGATTACTTCCCCCTTACTCCTATGGGCACGCCCTTGGAGGGGACCGTCCGCGCCAGCCAACAACCACAGCGGTTCGCGGCAGACTATGACGACTCCATGGAGGAAACCCTGAAGCCGACAAGAAGATCCAACCAAAGACCCAGGACCACCTTTGACGATATGCGACAAGCTGCCGAGACCCAAGAGCTTCCCACAATGCACCAGCAGACTTCTGACATGGCAATGCTCGGTTCATTCGGCCAGCCGTCAACAATGGTGTCGGAAATGGACAACCTGAGAGCTCAAGCCCAATTCGCCATGGCGAGCAACTCCTTGGCGTCTACGCCAGATCTCTCCCTGCAGACTTCCCCCATCACTCCTCACATGCCCGAGTACACGCATAACTTTGACTTCAAGCCAGAGTTGCACCATGGCGTTTTCGAGTCCGGACTTGTTCAGGACCCATCGAGCAGCGAGTCCCAGTCAAGACGCAACTCTCCACACCGGAGAACCGAATCCATTGCAAGCTTGGCCAGCGCAGCAAGCATTGCCAGCCTTGACATCGAGAAGACCAAGACCGAGACCGGTATCTCGCAGGATGAGATCAACAAGTACATCGAGGGCCCAGATCCGAACGACAACAAGTGGACGTGCACTTTCGAGGACTGCAACAAGAAGTTTGGCCGCAAGGAAAACATCAAGTCGCACGTACAAACCCATCTCAACGACCGCCAGTATGTTTGTCCGCACTGCAGCAAGTGCTTCGTCCGCCAGCACGACCTCAAACGCCATGCCAAGATCCACACTGGAATCAAGCCCTACCCTTGCGAGTGCGGCAACAGCTTCGCTCGCCACGATGCTTTGACTCGCCACAAGCAACGTGGCATGTGCATTGGAGCTTTCGATGGCGTGGTCCGCAAGTTTGTCAAGCGTGGCCGCCCGAGGAAGAATCGGACTGACACGGACGATCGCAAGGACAACAAGGCTCGCACCAGGAGAAAGAATCAGTCTATATCCTCTACCTCGTCGCAATCCGGTTACTCGGACAGCTCCGCCGTCAACTCACCAGAGAACAACCCGGGCAGTTTCGATATGCTGGAAAACATCATGGATGTTTCGCTCGGTGGCACCATGACAAGTCCTATTGGTCTACATGGTGCGACCTCTTCCTCTGCTCCGATGCCTTGTCTTTCGGTCGACTTGTCAGTGGAAGGACACTCGCCTTCAGCAGACAGTGTCCACACCTACGTCTCTCAGTTATCGCACATGTCGATCCACCCCCAAGACTTGCTCAGCGAGCATAGCGTGTCACATCCGGCGTCGCCTGCCAAGAGCATTGCGAGCCAATTCAACGAGCTGCCTGAGCTCTCTCAATCGTCCTCTCCACCGCCATCATGCACTCCATTCTTCGATCTCCAACCCAGCTCAAGCGCTGGAGACATCATGATAAGCTCTGGCATCGACATGTCGGGCATCCCGTCACTGGCCGGGCCCGACGACCACGATGATGACATTCTCCTGCAGTTCACACACAGCGACAGCGTCTTGATGCTCGGCGCTGAGAGCAAGTTCGACGATGCCTTCGATAACAGCTCTGAGTTGTTCTCATCAAACGCCGACTTGTTCTTTGGCACTAACTGAGGCGAGTTTGAGCAAGCGAAGTTCTGTGACAATGCACTCATGGGAGCCGTGCACCACTGTTTTTGCTCATGATTGCGTTTTTCCGCGACTTGTACGGATAAGAGTTATGAATCTTACGACCTTGGGCTTGGGTTCGCTTTTGTTTTTGGGAGCGATGCAAGTGTTTTCATCTTCGGGCGTTTACTATGGGCTCGGGGGTAGAACATTTATGGGTTATTGGGGGTATTTATTCTAATTTTGCGAACATTCGCCGGTTGTTGCTTTCAATACCTTTCACGCAAGAGGTTCACATCTAGGGATAATTGGCGCTAGCTTGCAGTTATTTGAATACAAAAGCTTCAGGATTCTTCAGTACCCAAGTTTGCTCACTCCTGTGTGGGCTATCGTGATATGTTTCTAGCGTGATTATTCCTTTATGATTGTTTTAGTGCTCTGGTGGCAATGAAGGACGTGAATGACTATTTCCTCCTGGGCAACCTCGAAGTGCGGCTCCACCTGCTTGCCAGTCGATCCAACACTTGGGTCGCCGGGATTATCGAGGCATACAGCCCAGCCTGGTAGTGTTTTCGCGAATGTGTGGTCTTCAATATGGAAAGGTTCAGTTCTTTGTTGACGCATGTGCAACCTTGCAAGGCCACCGACGACGCCCACTGAACAGCAACCCCACATCCAAAGACCCGCCCAACTTGCACTGCACAATACAAAACACCTGCTCGGACAACCTATCAACAACGAAACCTTTCGAAAGACAGCCGTAAGACTCTCCGCGCCTTCACCCGGGCGAACCCAAGCGCGCTCACCGCGTCGTTACAGTGATGCTACCAATGAGCGGCGGCGAATTCTAGCCGACGGGAAAGGGGCGCCAGACTTTTCGACTTTCCAGCTTACTTTGCTAAATCCTTCCGCACCGGCTTACGGCCCGAGCTGTGTGTGTGTGCTGTGCCGACTGCTTTGAACGACATCACCAGCCACCATGGCAGCATTGGAAGGGCAAGGAGAAGACAAGAACGAGCTAGCAGCAGCAGCAGCAGCAGCAGAGATGGTCAGCCTCTTTGCCAGCACACCGGCGACTAGCCTAACCCGGGCCCTGCCGCATGGGTCCGCAGCAGATGTGCTGGTGTTGCAGTCTTCAAGCGGTGGTGGGAGCACATTTGACGTGCGTGACGTGCTGTACACCGCGTACGCGGAGCGCGGGGTTGGCCTTGGCGGCGGCGATGGTGATGGTTCTGGTTCGAGGGTACGGAAAGGCGGCGGGATCAGGATCCTGCTTTGCCAAGAGGAGGCGGCAGTTGTGGCGAGAGATCTATTGTTCCTGACCTTGGTTTTGGACTCGGGTGCTCAGCGTGCTGGTGAAGCAGGTCAGCAGCCGGATGATGGAGGATCGGACGATGGCGACGAAGGTATCCTATGGGAAGCTTTCAATGACTTGTTCGTGCCCGAGGCAATATTCGAAAAGGTCATTGCTCAGGCTGACAAGCTTGTCGGCGTGGCTGGCGCTAAGGGAAGGTTGGAGGCATGGAATGCGAGCACATACGGACATGCGCTCGGCTTTCACGATGAGTCGACTTTGCAGCAAGTCAGGCAGGTGTGGGAACAGTACAGAGCACCAAACTCCGAGCTGAGGGCAGCGCAGTTTCGCGAAAGCCTGGGTTTATCGCAAAAGATCCGCGATGCCGAGCAAGTGGACGTCGACAAACAGATTTCACTGTCCGGCCTGCGATCAGCAGCACCGGTGCCACTGGCTTCCGGGGATATTGTGTCGCGTGGTTTCAAGCAGTTCTGGGAGCATGGCAGCTTGACCTCCGCTGCCGACGACAAGCTCGAAGTTGAGAAGAGTGAAGGTCGGGACAAAACAGAGCCACGGCGCCTTCCGAATCCGCTGATGGCGGCCTGTCTATTAACTTCCTCGACTAATGGCACTTCGGAGCAGAAGAAAGCCCTTCATTACAGCTCGAACCCCTTGCTGGGATATCATCTCGGGGCGGCTCTCGCCAGGCTTGCGCCAGGCTCGCCTTATTCAATACTTCAAACTGTCAGCGATGGCGACGAGTATGCAAATATTGTCACATCCGTTCGCATACAATTCCGGGAGTGGGCAAATGCTTTTCGGGAAATGGCGAGAGAACGGGGCATCAATTTGCAATACTGCGTCAACCCACTTACGGACTTTCTGCGAACTCTTTCAGACGACACCCAAGAGAGCACTGAGCAGAAAACCTCGAGATCAGAAGTTTCGAGGCGGTTTGATATAATCGACACGACTTCATGCGCGGACGAGCATGGCTTTCTCAATCTGCTTGTAGCCTCCAGACCGCTGCTGAGACCGAGCCCTGCGTCCGTCATCTACACGGAAACACTGAAACGTCAACCCGGCCTATCATACAAGCAAAATCTCGACTTGCTGATGTGCGGCGATGCTCTCCTGAACTCTCTGGTCATCGACTTGAGCCCCGTCGAGTACTGGACCAACACGAGCACCGAGTCGTGTATCGATGATGTCCTCATCCGCGGCTCGGTTGATGGCGCACAGACGAGCGGGATCTTGCAAGGCCACTTTCGGGCTTCATGGCGGCTCACGGATCATTTCTCTGGGACAGTTGCCTCGGGCGGCCGATTGGCTGACGAGCAACTGCTCTTCATGGAGGATGGCGACGCCTCGACGATACTGGCAAATGTGCTTTCGGGGTTGCTCAGGCAAGAGCAGACCCTCATGGCTACAAAAGAGGATGCCGAAATACTCAGCACCCGGCTCCTAGCACGATTCAAGACGTTCACACTCCTTCTCCTACGGCATGTACGGGTCAAGTGGGATTCAGTGGCTGCCAGCCTTATGAGTAAACTGCCGGACTGCTTCACGGCAAGTACGCTTTCGCCTCATGAATCGTGTGGCACGAAGTTCGCCGTGTTTTCAAAAGAGGTACACCAAATGCTTAGTGAGCGGGACGACGACGGGCTGCATTGGACAGCTCAGAAAGACGTCAACCTCCGGATATCACCCAGGCCAGCTGGCCAGACTGTTATGATTGCCCATCTAAACCTGAAGAACGGGAATAGTGAACCGCTGCTGGAGCAAGATGCGCCGGTCAGACTACAGCAACAATCCCCATTCTTGATCAGTGTCATCATCGATGGCGATGGTGCCGCGAAATACAGCGCAGACGTCATCTTCCCGATGCCGGTTCTCGCGAGCAAAGTATCTGTGTCTACGGGTCATCAGATTTCCCAAGGAGCGAGCTTGGTTGATTCCTCTGCACTAGAGAACGCCCACGCGCGCAGCTTTATAGAGCTCACAGCACAGGTCGTGGACCCAATCGAGCTCGAAGACTTCTCGGAGCTGATCCTGCCGATTCGGATCGCCAGTCTTCCAAACAGTACCAATAAGACACCCATTGCTCTCAACAACCACAGTGTCAATCTCGATTCATTACCGATAGTGAGCGTCGACAACAACGAGTCGGACGCAGTGGCCAAGAAGGCCAATGCCTGGCTCGCGACCCTGACATCGCAGCAGTTCTCCACGCGCGAGCGCAAGGAGCGCGAGCTCGCATACGAGGACGACACGCTCCCGCCTTCGGCCAAGCTGAACCTCAAGGAGTCCATCTTCACCATCTTCATGCTCGCGTCGGGCCTGCAGGGCGGGAACACGGGCCTGTTTACGCTCTCGCACCCGACCAAGGGCAACCAGATCCTCATCTTTGTCCGGGCGATCCGGCTTGACGGGAGCGCGGGGTCCGTGGTCGCGGACGCCGCGGTGCTGCCGGTCACGCGGGAGCTGCTGGACTCGGGCGAGCTCGAGACTTTCTTGCTCGTTCTCAGGGAGCTCGACGCCTGCGTGATCGAGGTGACCGACGAGGAGCTCGTGCTGTGGAAGCGGGTGCTGCCTGCGATGGTGGAGCGGTGTCGCACGTCGTGGGAGCACACGGAAAACTGCGAGTATTTCTCGTCCTCCTCGTGTTACTCCACTGTAGGCGGTCACCCAACAGCAGCGGCAGCAGCAGCAGCAAGTGTTGTTCCACTGAGCGTCGAGCCGGAGAAACCGTTTCTGTGCTCGTGTGGCAATGGGAGACTGCCCGAGCGGTATATGGGCGGCCTGCCCGAGTGGGAGGAGTCTGCCGCGCGGCACGCGGTGCGCGTGGCGATCAGCCCGCTCTTCGCGGTGCCCTGGGTCGAGGACATTATGGACGTCGAGCTGGTGAGGAGCGCGGGCGGCGTGGAAGGGATGGTGGCGGCGAGCCGAGACCGGTGCAGGCGTTGCGGCGCGACAGAGAGGGCAGGTGAGACAGTGGATTCCACTGCTGGCGATGGTGACAAGAAGCGACCGCTCATGCGGTGCACGCGGTGCAAGGACGCAATGTACTGCTCACACGAGTGTCAGAAGAAGGATTGGAAGAAGCACCGGATGGAATGTCGGGCGCCTGGTCAGGTAGAGTAGGACGTGAGCTAGAGAATGCATCGCTATGAATATCAACCAACACTGCAAAACAAGTGCGTCTATCTATCGGCCTATCTGTTGGCATGCTTCTCTATGCCTTGTCTCGTCTCAGAAATGTCCCGATCTACCTCAACACTCCCGTTCTCAGAAACAAGTTTGGTGGCAAAGATGCCCTCCCTTCGTTCTTGAACTCCTCATCGACCTCAAACACAATGTCCTTCGGCTCATCCCCCTCTGGCTTGAACCCGAGCTTCATGTAGGCCCCGCGGCCCATGTCGCTGGCCTCAGTGCTGCACTCGAGCCCGCCTCTCCTCCTGGCCTCGGCGAGGCCCCAGCCCACCAGCTTCTGCGCGATGCCGCGCCGCTGCCACACCGGATCGACAACACACAGGTCCAGGTGGAAGTTTGCGGGCTTCTCCCCTTCTAGGAGCGTCCGATTCTCAAAAGCAGCGGCCTTCTCGCGGATGACCTCCTTGCGCCGCTTCACCAGGGACGCAATGGCCTGCGCGATGTACCGCTGCTCCCGCTTGTCGTCTGGGTACAGCTCGGCGGCCAGGTTGTACCCTTTGCCATCGGCGTCCCGGATGTCCGGGTGCACCGGGTCGCCGTAGCCGGGGACTTCCGAGATCTGCGCCCAAATGGCGATGCCGACAATGGTCCTGGCCTCATTTTCACCGTCTGGTACATGGGCGCTGGCAGCAGCAGCAGCATCCGGCGTCGTGGGGATGGTGGCGATGAGGTATATCGTGTTTCGCTGGCCGTCCTTGTCCGTGGTGATGCTCTTCCACCGCTGGAGAGTGCGCTCCGCGCTGGCCCTTGCGCCGGCGGGTGTGTCCCAGCTAGGGTTCATGCCGCGCCACAGGGCATCACGGGTCTGGCGGCCAAAGGCATTGGCAATGACTTGCTGGACCGAGTTGAGGCCGTCATCGGCAGGGCCGTAAAAGGCGGTCGGCGAGGTGACGACATGGATTTGCAGGTCGTCGAGCGGTGACTGCGAGGCCGGAGGGCTTTGGCTTGGGATGCTGGTGGCCATGCTGTTTGCTTTGCTGCATGCAGCCGGGTACGCCTCCCTGCTGCTACAAATGACTGTATGCTGGGCTGCTTGTGGTGGCAGGGTGCGTTACACGGTCGGACGATAGCTCGACCAGATTATGCCTGTGCCTGTGCAACAAAGGCTTCCTGGCATCGGTCAAGATCGCTGTCCCTTGCGCAACGAGTCGTGCGCCTTGAACACCTTGAGCAATCAGATGCTCGGGGATGGGTCTGGTAAGGGTTCAGTTCGTCCCACACTGCAATGCGGGGTCGGTCTTTGTGGTGTCGATGCCATACATCCCCCTGCGCATGCTTCCATGTCGACGAGCGTTTGTCCAGTTGGGCCGCAAAGCAGCACCTCAGAACCCGTGGGGTCAGCCGTCTAATAGTACAGTACCAGCCCGTCCTGTCGTTGGATGGTGACCCCCCAACGCAAAGTGCTTGGTGCAGAGGCGTCTGCTCGGACCCCTCGAGCCATCCCGGACCCTGGCAGAAGCGGTACTCCATCGTCACCGGCGCCATCGGAAACTCAATAATGCAATAGTCCGCAGTGCCGTGTTTCCAATGGTGCTATCTATGCGGCCACGCACGTACACATCTGCTAAGTACCGGCCGTGTAGCAGTACCCCGAGTCGTACTAGAATCATGTCGGGTGCAGGGAGAATGGCCGTGTGTGCAGCGTAGTCGCGAACTCCGGGTCCTGATCTAGATCGATGAGACAGTCTGTGATCATGCTTGGTTCATCGTTTCGACTGGATTGTGGGTGGAACATTGCACCCGGCAAACAGTTGGGAGCCTTTCTCAGTACTCAAGCTCCTGGCAGCACACGCCGAGTGTTGCGTCATTAGAGGTCATTCAACTTTTCATCTGACCGACATTCTGACGTTGAAGTCGCCACGAGGTTGCTGGTGGCTGGCGAGCGGTCTGAACGCACCGGTGTAGATCTTTGAGAACGGCTGGGGGCAGAACCAGGACAGGGCTGAAGTCCCGTCTCAAACATTAGCCTCGCCCAACAAAAGAAAGGTTTGTTGTCTTGGAGGCTGCAGCTGTGTTTTGCTACCCCGAAGTCTGTTGCCGTTGACTCGTGTGTGTACAAGGTCTCCTCGTCGGTGCTTGGCTGTAGACTTGGAGAAGCTTGACGTGCATTGTCATTAGCAGCAACTTTGCGGGCCAGCCTCACCGCCTTCAATCGCCTCTGGCCATAGTTCGACAGGGTGACTCGTTGGAGGCGCGGCCGCTTGTTGCTGCTCCGGGGTATCGGTTCGATAGCTGGTGGTTGTGGTGAGACGAGACTTTGTGTGTAATGGAGAGTGCGGGCGCTGCCGAGCTTTATACGTATGCAACCACCCTCCTTCGTGAAATGGATGACCTGTCGTGTCACCGGTGCACGGGATTGTAACACGACGGCGGGCGCGAGATCTTGGTCAAGATCGGTCGTCTCATGCAGGGCAAATACCGTCGGAACAAGGGTTGGGATCCTTCCTGGCTTATCAGGCATTTGACCGGTCAATGATGCATGAACGCCTTGCATCAGGCCGCCCCTGGGCTGGCAAGACTACCGCGAATCAGACGAGACCAGCCAAAGAATTTGGGACCGCGGTGTCTCTGACGGCATTCTTCCTTTGGGCCGCGACGCACAAAAAATGCAAAATGCCCCCCTCCCGTGGGCAAAACTATTTCCAGCACAGCTCCTCCATACTTGTGAGATAGATACTGGCCACGGCCGCGCGAGACCAGGCCGAATGGTATGTTGTACGCCAAACAGCCCAGGGGGGCTTCACCGGGAACCCAATTGACCAATCGCGAGTCGAAACCAACAGCCCAAGCCGAAACCAAAGCCAAAAGTCAAGCTCGCGTGGTTTTGGACGTGTGTATGGACAGCCCTTGGGAAAGCGTTTTGACTGGTTCGAAGACGAAGGCTAACGATTTCTGGGGATATAACAGTGCTGTTGTGCGATGCCAGACATGTCGCTACGCACCGAGTACTGCGTCCACTGCGTCCACGTCCGTTGCAACAATTGCCGGGCAGAGAAGAAGGCTGTCAGATAGCCAGGTGCCTCAGAGACGCCGTGGTCCTCGCCAGGGAAGACATGAAGAGAAGACATGATCGACAGGGTTGTGCTCGGAGAAGCTTGTTGACGAAAGCCTCGAGAACGGCCTGTGCAGCAGTCCCGAGCACTGCTTACGACCAGAGTTGGCGAGGTGTCTTTCGGGCCTTAGCTACCAGCACAGAATATTGGGCACGTTTGGGAGTGGGGGTTGAGGGGTTCAGGCACTTGAGCTTTGGGGGGTTCGGAAGGTACGGGAAACAAAATAAAAAGGCGGCCAGGGGTAAGAGGCATTCTGCCGAAGAAGCAGCTTTCGAGAAAAAGAATCCGATAAAGGAAATGACGAGTCTGACGCAAAAGGATCCCGTCCATTGGCAAGATGCCTTACTGGCTAAAGGGCCCCAAGTCCTAGCTGCCGGTGGTAAAGCTGCACTGTGTCGATTGATCAACAGACTGGGGAGAGGTGCTGGACCGGTGTGGCCTGGATATTCAGGATGCCAAGCTGTGATTCACAAGCCCCTGATCAACGCCTGGTTTCTTTGGCCAGGGCGCGTTCGGCGATCATGCTGTGCCACCAGTCTTTGGCAGTGTCGGCGTATCGCCAAAAGAGCCAGATCACAATCTCGGCCACGCACACAGCCCCAACAAGAATGCTGGGGCTTGGATCGATGGGAATGTACCCTACTTGGGTGCTCAGAAGGCTGGATATGAGAGCGATAGGTGAGATAGCCTGATGCCCAAGATGACAAGGTCAGCTCAAGAATTCATGGATGGCCGCCACATCCCAGGATCAAGACTCACAAGTGCAATAATGGTTGCATGCTCCATCTTTCTCGCCGTGTTGTACTGGTACGTGGTGAGGTCATGCTCGAGCTAGTGTCATGGGACACCACAAGTCAGCAATGTAATCATGGCATAGGGTTCATCTAGAGGTTCGTCTTACAGCCTTTTGTGCATCCTTCACGCGATTGTCCAGTCGAGCTCGCATCTTGATCAATCTCTCCACCAGACGATCAAGTCTCCGCTTCAGGTCAGCCATTTCAGCTGCTCGGGCGTTCCGAATGTTATGCCTTTCGCGAGAGTTGCCACGTCCAGACTTGCCATCGCAAAACATCTCGCGAATGATGGGATCAGACAAGCTCAACTGTGTGACATTATCTCTGAGCGAATGCATGACCTCGTCAACCACTAGAGAAGCTTCATTGAGCCAGGTCAGGGCGTTCCTGCGCGCCGCAATGTTCTTCTTTGCGGTATCTTGATGGGCTGAGGCATCATCCTTGCTTTCTTTGAAGCTGTTGCTCCTCGGTAGTGCCAATGCTCGGTTATCAAGAAGCTGCATCGGCGAAAAAGAGTTGTTAGCCCTAAGCCAATGTGTACATGAGTGACGAGCTTGGATGGCATTCTTACATGTTTGTCAATCTTTTCGCAGATGTGAGACACCGCGAGACTAGACTCTTGGAGGACTCTTCGGAGTCTCGTTGCTGCCGAGTTGACCCAAAAGTCCCTAGCGTTAAGAAGAGGGGTGTCGGCTTGCGTTTCGCCAAATGTGAAAGGGTCTGGCCTGCCCGACTCTTTGCGCTCCTCACTCCAGAGGTGCATACTCTCCTCGTTCATGGCGGTGTCGTCGTGAACAGAAAAGTAGGTGTCTGTGAACATGTATGCTGTCCATCGCAGGCTATGGTGCCCAATGACCAAGCATGATGTCGTTGCTTGGTAGAGATAATCCATTTCAAGCCCTTCTGTATCTTCAGCCACATCTCTGAGAAAGGTGATATCCGTCAATGAACGGAGTGGTTTGTTGCCAGGAGTAGTCCTGTTGTCTTCCAGCAGGCCGCGGCCTCTCCGAAGCACCAAATGCGGATAGTGATACTCAAACGCAAAGGCCTGGTCGCCATCGGACTAATTGAAAATTAGTACTTGGCATCCATATCTGGCACACGACGGGGCTATTCTTACCAGTTTCCGAGGGTCAATCACCGGTTCTGCTGTCAGATGACGCTGGAAAAACTCGGCGAGTACGCGTTTGTCTAACGGTGAAGCATTGTCTGCTATGCAGAGACTTGTTATAAAGGTGATGTCGGGGGCGTATCTGGCAGAACGTGTCAGCGCATGCTGTGGAAGCATCTTTGACTTCGGCTTACACACATTCTTCGTATATCGGCATTCGGGACAGGGGAGTCCTTTCGAAATCTCTGTAATAAATGTCAGTGAAATTGTAACAACTTTGCAATGCATTCTGCTCGCAACAGTCTGAATGATGGGTGCCCCAGCACTTACTTGTTCTTGTAGGACATCACACATCTCGGCCATTGAGATTGCCGGGCGGCATTCTCGGGACAGGCCGTCCATGGTACAATCATCAATGATTGCAATCTTTTTCTCCTCATCTTGTATCTCCTTCACATAATCATCCCAGGAAGTTTCTCCGCGAAGTCTCCTGATCATGCTTGAATCATCGGGACAAGGATGTATCCTTTCCAGCGGCGCGGTGACATTGTAAAGGAGCCTCTCCATTTTCTGCTCGCCATCATCAACAACGCTCTCCTCACAGTCTTCTCCCTCTTCAACTCCAGAACAATAAGCGCTCCGCCCTCCTCGATGTTCAGAAATGCCACGACTGAGACTGGAAGGGGGACAGCTCTTCCGACGATGTCGTGATGACTCGAGCTGTGGATACAGCGAGTCTAACACGTCCTTGTCGTCGAAGCGGGGATCCCAGGCGTATGGCCCCCATGGCGCCGTGTCGGCACTCATCATTGATGTTCGGGAACAAGAGGATCTTGGTGATGGTAAGACCTGTCGCCACTCTCGCCACACTTCGAAAGGTGTGGCCGAGGGCTCTGATCAAGGGGGGTCCGCGATCATACATGGCGTATATGATGGACGCACGATACCTCCGATCTCGCTTTGAAACAAAATAAGGCGATGATTGCCTTGTCATTCTCAGCTTTGCTAATGGGCATGGTAGTCAGTTGGGCCTCAACGGCCACGATGTCGGAACAGCGCTCTGCCCAATGAGAAAAGTGTGGCACACGGGGATGAGCCAGACACGGCTGCCCAGGTTCCGTGAGCACTGCAGTGGTCAGGGCGATCGCCGCGACACCAGCGCTGAGCAGCCGGCATGACTTTTTCTTTGCTAACCTATCCGACTGCTACACATGGCATCGTAGGATTGAAAGCAGACATTTTCCCGGAGCGGTGAGTTGGGCTGGCTCTAAGAATAGCTGAGACCGTTGCCTCGTCCTCGTGCTCGCACTGCAAGCACCTCGGCAAATAGACACCCAGTGGCCATGTCAAAAGAAAGTGCATATTTGCCTCGAAACCTACAAGTCTGCGGCAGCTCACGTGACCATCTCAGCAACCGCTCAAGACGGCCACCGAGACGGGAAACCTACCCCAGGGGTAGGATTTCCGTCATGTGACAGGGCTGTTGATGCGTCTGGTCGGTCGAGGCAGCCTTGTAGTAAAAGAAGAGGCAGTCGCTCGTGGTTAATTGCATGCAGGTCGCCTTCCTCCTGCAAGATGCGCGGAGAATGCAATGATTCGCCTGCTCCATGCTGCAAGACACTACCAATCCAAGCACGAGCGAGGCTAACGCGAAGGTTGTTGGCCATCTACCGCTACCCAGACCCGAGGCACGGGTGCCCGGGTCTTTGCTGGCCAAAGAGGAGAGACGGCATACCATAAACGCGATGGCTGCAAGAGCCCTCCCTGCGTCTTTGATGCGACGTTGTCCGATGCGGAGATTTCCGCAGGACCCCTTCCGGGACGGACGTCGTCCTCATCGCCCGAAAATGACGTGCATTTCGGCTATTCTCCCACTCTGCGATTTGCCAAGCAAGAGGATTTTTCGGGAACAACGAACATGGTCGGACAGCCCACCACCCCAGAGATTGCCTCCATGCCGAGACCTGAGCCGCGAAATGCTCGCCGGGCCGATATAAGCATGGTTCTCGTGAGTACTTGCTTTTGCCTCTTTAATACGGCTAGAGCTACCGCTTTGGCTGGGCCATCTCGCGCATACTTATTGGTGCATCTAGGCGATGCTGCTTGGATGCTTTCCCGTGCTCGACGTCATGCTCGAGTTGTATACTACGAAGTTGAGCTACCGCAGAGCCGAGCTTTTCTGGGAATGACAATGCTTTAAAGGTCCCCAACTTTGTCCAGTACCTGACAGCAAGCCACACGACACCGAAAACGGACTGTGCCGTCACGACAGCAATCACAAATGTCTGCGGGCTGTGGTCAAGGGGAAGGTAGCCGTCGGATGTGCTTAGCAGCCCCGCCACCAGCGAGATGGGGAGCATGAACTGCCGCCGGATGAGTGCATGATCGCACAGCAAGGGCTTGGCAGTGCGTCTTTGTCTGCGGGGAGGGGGAAAATCGCCCAACTTACAAATGTCATCATTGTCACCCGCCCGACCATGATGGTCGTGGTCCTCGTGGCGTTGCGCTGGATCTCGGCGAGCCGGTTGCTTTCTTTGGCCAGATGGAGGTCCATCTACCAATCTGCTGTCAGCTTTCTAGTTGCGTTTAGGCACCAACCCACCGGTCGATCTTGACGCACCGTTGTCTTCACATGCTTCTGGAGCTCCTGCAGATGCCTGTGTAACCGCTCCATTCTCGTCAACTGTGAGGTGATTTGGGCTAGTTCTGTCTCTGTCTGCCAGCTCTTCGTGGCGGAGCAACGTCGACCGGTCGGGCCCGACGCTTTGTCCTGGCTGGGTGTCGAATATGCGGCCAATAGACTCTGCGAAGGAAAGTGAGGCATCACGATATGCGTGCAGTGTCTCTATCAATGTTGCTGCCAAGTCTGTGGCCTTTGTAGACCACGCATAGTCTCGCTCCAAAGCCTCGCCATAAGCACGAACATTCTCGAAGGTGTGCAGGTCTGTGACACGCTCATGTGCAGGGCTCTGCATGGATGGAGGTCCAAAACTTTCCGATCAGTATCTGGGCGGCGGGATGGCGGTGATGTCACACAACATTACGGGTTGAAGCACTTACAAACCTGGTTGCCGCCAGCTCCAGGTGCTTGACAACTCGACCCCACTCCAGCTGGACCCTCCGCAGCCTTACCGGCATGGTCTCCAGGAAGCAGAGCCTTGCGTCTGGCCGTCCCATGTGATCTGACAGCGTGGCTCCCATCGTGAAGGGATCGGGCTTCGCGGTGCCACACCTCTTCTCTGCATACTTTGGTGGCGTGTCCGAGTTGGCCAATCCGGGCTCCTCGAAGTACGTGTCGGTGCATAGATATCCTCTCCATTCATGGCTGTGGTGGCCAATGACAAGGCAGGAGAAATTCACAGAGTAGAGAATGGCCATCTTATCGCCAGGCAGGGGATCAGTGCCGTCCTGGAGGAACGTTGCATCCCAATGCTGTCGCAACGGCCCGTCCAGCCACTGCCGAGCATCTGGATAAGCCAATCGTTAACTCTGGAGAACAACGTGGGGAAAGTGGAACTGCAAAGAGAAAGTCCTGGGACCTCTGGGCTGCAGGTGAATTCTTTAGCGCGCCATTTCTGCAGACCAGACTCTGTGTAGTAATAGACATACTAATATTCGGGGACTTATGAGCTTGACGGGGTGTGCTTCTAGATGCTCGATGATAAACTCGGCTAGCACCTCGCATTCCGCCGGGCTGGCTGTTGCTGCAAGCGCCAGAACTGTCCAGGGATCCACTGTGGCCAGGAACCTGGGCTCGACTTCGTGAGCGGAACGTCAGATGCCTAAAGACTGGCGACAACTCACAATTTCTTGACGCGATAGACATCAGCGAGATTCTTGGTAGCCGTATCATCCTGCAAAGGCCGTTAGCAAAATGCACGGAGATAATATGAGTCCAATTGAGGCCATTGACTCACATGAGGCTGGGACCCCAGCGCTTCGTACAACTCCTGCGCTGATATGCTACCACTGAAGCGTGGAGCCCTGTGCAAGGGGCCATATTCGTCGAGGATCGCAGCGAAACGCCTTTGCAGAACTTGTGGATGTGACTGGGCTCCTCCGGGCAAGGGTTCAGGTGCTCCAGGTGCGAAAAGAAGATGAATATCGTGTCATCGCTATGACTAGCCAGGGAGGTAGCAGAATCGCTCAGCTCCGTCTCGTATGCGCTCTCGCTGTCTTGGGCGGCCGAGCGCCAAATGTCAACCGTTGAGCTTGGATGGTCTCTGTAGACCTTGCTCGGAAGGTTTGCTGTGTCAAATACAGGGTCCCAGGTACGGAAGGGCCGAGCACTATCTCGTTGAGCCATCCTCATGCAAATACGAGTGTTCGGAGGTGACTCGATAGAGGCTCAAGGCTCCTGAGCAACAAACTGCACGGCCGTCTATATATGGCTGGAAGAGCCAGCTCTCCACTGTTGGCGAACGTCGATCCATGAGCCTATCACGAATTGCGCTTAGGCGCGGCACTTCCCGATACAGCAACCAGTGGAGCACCCAGTCTGGTCTGAGGCGCTTAGAAGAATCTCTGGTCAGGCCAAAGACGAAACGACCACACCTGATGCAATAAGGTGTGCTCGAAATGACCTGTCATAATCTGCTAGATTTTGAAAATGCCAAAACGTCAGACCAGGTTCCGGTGGAGGCCTGGAAGCAAGGCTGGCAACCAGTTGCCCGGCTAATGTACCCGTCCCCTGAATTCTGCACATGTTTACTTTGCTTCCAAGAATAGAGGGCCGAGCAATATTTAAATCCAATAATCCCACCCGAGAAAAGACAACGTACGGCTCGACTTCCGCATCTCTCCCACGAGCTTGCAAGTTTCCTCGGCTGCACTGAACTTAAGCTGTAGAGCACCTGTGGCCTCCTCGCATCAGAGCCCCTGGTGCGCGCGCCTCGTTCTGTTCAAATGACCCCGCTCAGACATGCAGGCGCACGTGCCTTGGGAGGATGGGACAGGTTCGCAGCAGCTTGGCCATGCATGCACCTGGCTGTCCCGTGCCAGCCCTCTCTGCGTCATTGGCACAAGCCTGCATCGGCAACAACATCACAGGACCAATCGATTGCTGCCCGGTCTCTGGCGCGAGGGGTTGTCCATCTTGTATGGCTGTCCGCCAACAATCATCATGCCACTCATGCACGCGCGAGCCCGACGACTAGACCGACGTGGCTACCCAAGACTGGTTGCCATGGCCTCGACCTCAAGTACAATTTACGCCCGACTTTGCTGAGGCTTTATTTTAGAAGCTCACATGCCTGGCGGCGAGGCAAAACTCTGTTTTCAATCGACGCTTCGCAGTCGGTCATTTTTCATGCTCAGCCGCCCACTTGAGACATGATGGCCGTGGATTCCCTGACTAGTCTTGAGGGCTTGCTGATGGCGCTTGGGGTTAGCAGCACAATACCGGCTTTCCCAGATTCAGACGTCCTCTACAAACCGTCTGACATACATCGGGCATATCTGGCGGAGACGGCCTCGAAACTGCTCGATGTTCCGGCGGCGCTGGCTTACGAGTCTGTGCAAGTGAGGCCAGCGGCCAATGCCAAGGATAATTCAGATCTAGATCTCGTCCTCCCGAAGCTCAAACTCAAGAGCAGCAAGCCAAAACAGATTGCGCACGAAGTCTCGAACAAGGTAATTCTCACGCTCGACGGGGCGCCCCTTCACCCCCTTTCGTGACAATCCCTCATGTATCGGTGATCCTCCTGTTGTTGATAACGATGATGCCTGACTGAAAATGTGTCGTGGCAGTTCGTCTCAACGCCGCTGTTCCAGAGACCAGTTGCGGATGGCGTGCACCTCCGGTTCTTTTTCTCTCACCAGACCCTGCCGCAACTTGTGCTTCATCACATCAGCAGCCAATGGGCCGAGTACGGGTCCAACGTTGCCTGTGCGAAACGCGATCTTGGCTCCTCAGCTGGGGCGGCGGCCCCAAAGGTAGTCGTCGACTTCTCGCGTCCCAAGCTTGCCAGCAAGTTCACACTGGCAAACCTACGAAGCACCGTGGTGGGCTCGCAAATTGCCAACTTGCACCAGTCCATGGGCTGGGATGTTGTCAAGCTAAACTACCTAGGTGATTGGGGCAAGGACCTTGGGCTCCTCGCAGTAGGCTGGGGCCGCTTCGGCTCCGAGGAGGTCTTCCAGACAGATCCCATGGGCCACGTGCTCGAGGTCTACGAAAAGATCAACGAGCTTTTCAAGCCCGAGAAGGAAGCAAGCAGATTGGCGCGCGAGGAGACCAAGGATGCCCCCGTCATCCCCGAGATCGAGACCCAAGGTCTTTTTGCCGAGCGGGATGCGTCCTTCAAGCGCATGGAGGATGGGGACCCCGACGAAGTTGCCCTCTGGAAACGCATCCGCGACGTCAGCATCGAAAACTACGCCCAGGCCTATGCGAGGCTGAACACCACCTTCGACGAGTTCTCGGGCGAATCTCAAGTATCGCCCGAGTCTATTAAGGAGGTCGAGTCTATACTCAAGGAGAAAGGGTATTATGAAGAAGCCGATGGGTCATGGACGATTGACTTTGCCAAGCACGGCCAGAAGGGCCTCGGTGTCGCATTTGCCCGCGACCGTTCCGGCAGCACCTCCTACCTCCTCCGCGACATCGCAGCGGTGCTGGACCGAGCCAAGAAGCACAGCTTCGACAGAATGGTGTATGTGGTCGACCAATCGCAAGACGCGCACTTCCAAAAGGTCTTCCAGGCCCTCCGCTTCATGGGCCGGGACGATCTCGCTGACAAGCTTGAGCACATCAACCTCGGCAAGGTTGTCGACAAATCGCCGCAGCCTGACAAGGTCCAGCTGCTGGGCGACATTGTCGATCAGGCCGCCAGTGCTGTCAGGGAGGAGTTGGGCACCGAGCAGGGTCACCTCGACGGCGTCATTGACAACACGGATGCCACCGTCGCGGTCCTCGGTGTCACCGGTCTCATCACGCAGGACGCGCTCAACAAGAGGTCGAACAGCTACGCCTTCAGCTACAAGGACCTGGCCTCCTTCGACCAGGGTGCCGGATTCGGTTTGCAAGTCGCATATGCGAAACTACACGCCAAGGTTGGGGCGGCTGGTGCGCAAGATGCCACGTTGGACAAGGTTGACTACACGTTCTTGCAGGAGGAGTCATGTATGGAAGTCCTGCGTCTGCTCATGCAATATCCGGAAATCACCGCTGCTGCCTACAAAGCCCACGAGCCTTCACTGGTCATGACGTACCTGCTACGCCTGACCGAAGAACTGGAGGAGTTCTTGTACGACGAAACCGGGGACGACGAAGACGAAGGCGGCGGTGAGGCTGTGGAGGACGGCGGCCCCGAAGCAGCCGAGCCCAACGAGCCCGACCCGCCAGAGAAGACCTTTGCCGAGGCCGTCTTGTTCAAACACGTGTTGAGAGTGCTGGCCAACGGACTGCGCCTACTTGGGATCTCACCGGTTGTAGGTTGAGAGTGGGTCGCAAACAGGAGGGAGTTATAGACAAGCGCTCTGTTAGCTGTTTGTACATCTGGGTACCTAGGCACCTAGATCAGGACGAGGCATTCAATCAAACACGCCATTGTCCTTTTTGCAAGCTGCTTGTACTTTGTCATTCATCGTTCTCGTGTTCCACAAGAACTTTAACCTGGACCAGGAAGAACGGGGCGAGTCCCACAAAATCCACAACTCGCAACCTTGTTTCAGACATGTTAGGACCGACAAGCCATCGGATGCATGAGCTCTCACCACGACCTTCGTCGATGATGCCTAGATTCGGTACGAAGGTCCAGCCCTTAGCCACAGAAATTCACGGGCGCGCATTCCGTCCGGAAACCATATTGCCTGGAATGCCAGCCACGGGCCTGCGCCCGGCGGGACAAATGCGTTGCTGCCCAACTCCGACGTCACCACAAGTTCCCGCTGCGCATTCCAGAGAGGAGGAATCGGGTCAAATGCAAACCACTGCGAACCATGCGTGCGCCTTGAGCCTTTCCAGAACAATTAACGTGGTGGCTAGAAACCCAGATGACGTGCATGATTATGCATGGATCGGAAGCACGACTCGATGCTGACCCTTCGAGGAGAATGGACGAGGATCAGGGTAAGGTTATTTGGCGAAGCGGCCTTGACAAATGCGTGGTCAAGGCTTGAACATGCGCGAAAGTCTGGGGGATATTTACGAACATATGTACAATTGAGGCGGATCTGTAGAAGGATTAATTTGAGCTGTTGCCATTACGCGCACCAAAGAATGACATGAGGCTACACTTGGCAATGCCACAGAGTTGATTGATATTGCATGTCAGATCTTGTTGGTTCACCGACGCATTGTCGAGGACATCCAATCTGGAACACAGTGATGCCAGGGCCACTAACTAGGCTTGCCACGAGGTATTGCTTGCGGAGCGCATCTAATAGTTCAGAGTTGATGTGGCCGCCAAAGCAATTCATTAGCTCAGTTACACCAAGCATCTACCTTAGGTAGGTCAAGAAGTGCGTTTTAACTTGTGTACCTTAGTTGGCATCGATGTCCTCTTTGTAAGAGGGATCTCTTGGATGGCGCAATCAGGACCGCTGGTGGATCCAACTAGACCCCTGGAGCCAGACCGAATGTAGTGCTTCTAGCGCGCTATGGCGACAGATAAGGGGCCACACCAGACATGCAATCGAGGATCCTCACTGGCTCGGCAGCTGGCGCTGCGGGGGGGTCCTGCATTGTGCCGCGCCGAAAGTATGCGCCCGCGATATCGGCCCCAGACATTTTCGGCCACCACAGGCACTGTTTACCATCACACAACGACCGCCTTGTGTCCTGCCATTGACCACCACGTCCGTCGCCAATTGGAACCACGGCTTTGCAAAGCGCCCGTCAGACGTGAAGCTCTGCAGGAGACTTGGACCCCGGTTGCCGCATTCCACGACCCGCGACCAGGAACTCACCCCGCGGATTCGAACAATCACGAGCGGTGTCAAGTCGTGGAGCAGCCATGGCGGACGCTGCGGACGCAGAGCTTCGCGACACCGCCGGCAACCCAGCCAAGGACCTCTTTGCGGGAGCCGCCGGTGGTATCGCACAGGTCTTGATCGGTATGTATGCTCCCTCTCATGGGTTCCCCTCAGCATCATCTCAGCTCCCAGCTAACGCATGCCGCCTCTAGGCCAGCCCTTTGACATTGTCAAGGTCCGACTTCAGACGTCCTCGGCATACAGCGGCGCTCTGAATGCCGCGACGAGCATCTACGCCAAGGAAGGTGCTCTCGCCTTTTACAAGGGCACCTTGACACCACTCGTTGGCATTGGTGCCTGTGTCAGCATCCAGTTTGGCGCCTTCGGTTTCGCCAAGCGGTATCTGGAGAACGCCAACGCGGCGGCTGCTTCGCCATTGAACCCTCTCAAGTCCAAGGACCTGTCATATGGCCAGTACTACGCCGCCGGCGCCTTCGCTGGTGTCGCCAACTCGGTCATCAGCGGCCCCATCGAGCACGTCCGCATCCGCCTGCAGACCCAGCCTCACGGTGCCGCCCGGCTATACAATGGTCCGCTCGACTGCGTCCGCAAACTGTCATCACACGGCGGTGTCCTGCAAGGGCTCTACCGTGGCGAGGCGGTCACGATCCTTCGCGAAGCCCAGGCCTACGGTTGCTGGTTCCTTGCTTTCGAGTACATGATGAACCAGGATGCCGCGCGCAACAACATCAGCCGCAAGGAAATTCCACCATGGAAGGTCGCCTTGTACGGCGGCTTGGCCGGCGAGGCCTTGTGGCTGGGTAGTTACCCTCTTGACGTGATCAAGAGTAAGATGCAGACGGACGGGTTTGGCCCGGAGCAGAAGTACAAGTCGATGCGCGACTGCTTTGCGCAGACATGGAGAGCAGAGGGCATGAGGGGTTTCTGGAAAGGTCTCGGGCCGACTCTGCTGCGTGCCATGCCCGTGAGCGCAGGCACTTTTGCGGTGGTTGAGATGACCATGCGTGCGATTAGCTAGAGGACCGGGGGACGGCGAACGAATGATTCTTGCACTTTCAACAGTGAGAATCGCGCAGAGTGGTAAATCTTCGAGGCATGGTGCCTACAATATTATGCTCGGCAGCGGCTTGGGAAACATAAATGGCCAAGGTAGAAAAAAAGTAGAATACTAGGTATAATTGAGCTTGCTGGTCGGGGATGTCGCAAGATGAGTCCTGCTTCAGAATGATGCCAACCGTCTCGAGGAATCCCCACTATCGTAACCCACCTGTCGATGCACGAAGCAACACGTCACAGGCCTGCGCTCAAGCGCCCCCACCAGCAGCTTCCCTCTTCAACAATCCAGCATCGCAAGCACAAACGCCGGCAGCATGGCGACAGCCACCCTCTACCGCTCGCACTCGGCCGAACCGGACATTCGGCTCGAAGACTATCTGGACGACAAGCTCCAGTCCACCGCAGACCTCGACACATTAGACAGCCTGCTCGCAAACGTCGAAGTCCAGCGAAGCCAGCTCCAAGCACAGCTCGACGATGCCACGAAAGAGCTCGAGTCCGCGCGGCGAGCCGGGCAGGACCGGCAAGGCGGCCTGCAGAGATCCATTCAAGAATTTGAGGAGCTCCAGCAGAGCATAGACTCGCGCATCGAGGCCGTCACAAACTCGCACGCCCCCGACGAGGCGATTCGACGACTCGAGGGCCCCATGGCCCAGCTGCACAAGGTCGAATTGGCCCATCGCTATGTGTCGCTGCTCCAGGATGTCGAGAACATGCGTAGCGAGGCGCGATCGCACCTGCCACAAGATCCTAAGGCAGCTCTCCTGCCGTACACGAGGCTCAAGAAGCTTGGGAGCCGCCTTGAGGAACTTCGCGAAGGGGCAGACGAAGCCGCAACCCACCTCGTTGGCTATGTCAAGGGGATATACGAGAGCCTCTGGAACGAGATGAAGAGCATCATGGCGAAAGAGATGGAGGGCCTGCTCACAAAGCGCGGGTGGTACCACGGTGGTGTCGACCCGCGCAGCGAAATGGACGAGGAGTGGCTGGAGTGCTTCGAAAAGCTCATTGACCTGCAAGTCCCTGAGATTCTCTACTCGGACACTACCTTGCCGCTCCTTCCATTCGAAGTCATGGTCAAGCCGTTTGTGCAGTGGTTTCGCTTTCAATTCATGAGCGAAAACCCAACCAGCTCACCTCAGAATTTTGGCACCTTCTGCGTTCCGCAGTTTCTGTCCTTGCTGGAGAAATGGGAGGACTTCTTTCGCGAGAACGTGAGCTACATCCTAGCCTCAAGATATGGCGACACCAGGGTCAAGGATATGTCAGTCTACAGAGATCCCGCGTGTGCACTGATTACTGCTATGCTTCCTGTTGTCCGCGAGAAGATCAACAGTGTCGTTCAGCACGGTCTGCGCAACCCTCAATTCTTCAGTAGCTTGATCACCCAGCTCTTGGATCTGGACGATGAGCTCCGCAGCAGATTCGATTACGACGGGGGTGACCCCTTACGCGGCTGGGGGGGCTTAACTTCCGAAGTGCTCGACAAGTACTTTGACTTCTGGCTTACTGCGGAGAAGGAATTCGCCCTGGAACGCTTCCAGGTCATCTTAAGCTCCGCTGATGCTAGAAACATCGATTACGATTATAGCTGCTTGGGAAAGATGAAGCCGACATTTGCGGCCGTGCGCATCACGGACCTGCTCAAGTCTGTCACGACTCAATACGATCGCATCCGCAGGTTCTCGCACAAGCTCCGCTTCCTGATTGATATCCAACTAGAGATCCTCGACCGGTACCACGATCGCTTGCGAGACTCGCTCGAGGCATATTCGGCAATTACTTCGACTCTCGGACGAACACTCCATGGTGTCACCAAGGAGCAATTGTCCGCTTTGGAGGGCACAGGAGCTCTTGAGACTTTATGCAAGGTCCTTGGCAGTACAGACCATATTATCGCCACACTCGAGATCTGGAGTAACGAAGAGGTATGGCACATTTTATTGACTTCTTTCACGTGGCAGCATGACTCACATTTTGTAGTTCTTCGTCACGCTCTGGGACAAGCTGCAGTCGCGGGCTACCAATACCACCAACGAGGACAACCTGGCTGGCGGCCTTAGCTACGAGCAGGTGAAGGACCGGACATCCTCGTCTGTCGGTCTCGAAGGTGACACGGGTATTCTATTCGACGAGACCATTACCTCCTACAGCAATCGACGAAAAGCTGCGGAGGCATACCTCGTATCAGCCCTCGTTTCGTCCCATCAGAAGGCATTCCGACCTTACTTGTCAAAGACTGAGTGGAGCATCATTGGCGACGATTCCGATGGTACGCTCAACCCCCCTTTGGAACCATTTCCGCTTGCAAGGCTCACGTAATTGACCCCAACCTGTAACTTGTAGTCGATGTCGCCCAACTCAGCATCACTGCTGAACTTGACGAGCCGCTCCGCACCATGAAGCAGAACTTCGAGTTCCTTCAATCCGCCCTAAGCACAACCGTCTTCCGCCGCGTCTGGCGCGAGGCCCTCGACAAGCTGTCCGACATGCTCTGGGAGAGCGTGCTGATGGGGTACACCTTTACCACGCTTGGTGCGGCGCAGTTCATGCGCGACCTCAACGCCCTCACGGCCCTCGTGGACCGGTACATCCCTGGCACAGGAGCCTCCGCTTTGAGCACTATCCTCGAAGGTGCTACGATTTTGAATCTGCCCTTGCAGACTGGTCAGGGAGGTGGCACGACATTGGGACTGCAGGAGGCTAGTGATCGGTTCTTCAAGGACAACACAGAAGCCAAGGCGGCGCTAGAGGAATTGGGTATCGAGACGCTCACACCTGCCCATGCGAGACAGATTGTGCAGAAGAGAGCAGAGAATCAGACTTAAGCTGTATTCTACCTTGTCAATTTGAGACAATCCATTTCAGAGACCTGGACTTCCTCGGCGGGTTGTTTTCGTCAGTCCTAGCAGACTGGATGTTGTGGACCAGGCTCAATAGAGGTGAAATGACTAGTACGTGATTCAAGCTTGTAATTATGCTTTGCTTCGGGATATGCAGGTTTTTTTGGGCGTCGTTCGTCAAGGAAGCCAGTTCACTACCTGAACAATCACATCAAGCATCGAAAAAGATGGTACGCGAGATTGGCGGGGCATTCTAAGACTGACAATACGCATACCACGAAATTATTTTGCGCCTCTTCTGCACTACCCTTTCTGTTTACATTTCCATGGGGCCGCAATGAACCAGGCCAGCGTTAACTGCCCATCCATTTCCTTTTCCTTCTCAGAACGGCAAGGACATAGCGCATCGTCGCGACGTTGGGGCAAGTGGACGGCCGCTTATTATGTTCGTAGCCCCAAGTGTATGAGATACCTTATTATGTCTATGCGAGCGTAAGCGCAGCCTGGCGTAAAAGGAGATCTCAGATTGGAGCAACTCGGACTGACGACAGGATCAGACTTACGCAATCGACCACTTATTTTTTGACGACGACGACTTTATTCTTCTTTCGCGCATCACAAAACTCGCATCTGGGTTCGCCGCAATTTTCGCAGGCCTCTTTCTGGATAGGCATATCACCCTGACCGCAGCGACACTGCCTTGATCGAATGACATCAGCACAAGGCACACACGCGGAGGGCTTATAGACGATTACGCGCCAACGCCCAGCCCCCAGTTGGTCTGCTGAATATCATGTAAACTCACACAGGTCCACAGCCAGACCTCCTTCAGTCGCTTAGGTTAATCTCGGGGTAAAGATTGTGTGAGCTTGTTAGTCGCGATATCGTCAGCCAAGACAGAAAGGACTTGTGGTGCTTACCATCTCTTGATCAACACTGCGTCCAAGTAAAGCGGTAGTGGCTTCTGACAGCCATGGCTGCTGCGAGAATGGTCGGGCGATAGTTGGAGATTCCCTTACACTTGGGAGGCAGGGCCAGCTTTTATGTTCTGGTATGTTGCCCCTAAGCAGTTATTTCAAACATATGTGACCAGGCCGTCTGAGATACGCCCTGATCAGAAGAAACACTGTGTGTCCGGTGCGGCCTTTCATTGTACCTACTGCCGCAAGACGATCGATGAGCACGCCATCTGATCATGTTTTGCATGCATTAGCCAAGCGATGGGTGGGTTGAGACGGTTGACCGCCGCGATGCCGTTCTGGAAAACAGCATTGCAGCAGGGGTACAGGGATTCTTCCCGTTCCTGAGCCACGTGTGAAGATCGTTCTCAATAATCAAGAAAAATGAACTTTCCATATCTTGAGACATTCGAGATCATTTGAGCGTTGGTGTGGAAGGAGAAGGGGGGGGGGGCGTGTTTGTTCCTTCATATTGCTTATCGTATGACCTTTCGTGAACGGGCATGGAGCAACTCAAGACTGGATAGGTGGTGAGAGATTCTGATGTTGCCTACGAGCTGTGAGAGAAATTATCAGTGACATTTGTTGTTCTCACACTGCGAGATTGTTCAAGATGCCAAGTCACACGGGGACGGATTCCAGGGTAGTTTTAGTCCATGTCTTCATATGTCGGTCAAGAAATGGCGAGGATAGAAAGTGCGCTGCTCAAGGAATCCAGCCGGGGGGTGAATGTATCCTTCCAGATGCCAGAAGGCTTCTGTACATACATTTTCTTTTTTTCAAACAGGGATGTTAGACTCTGCTGGAAGTACACTAAGCCTCACAAGGAACACAGATCGACACAGACACAAGCAGGGCTTGTTTGCAACGGCAGTCGCATAGTGTGGCATAATTAACCCAAAGACCCGGTGCAACCACCATCCTCGACTTCAAATCCAAAGTTTTGCAATTCTCCTCAGAGCCGTGAAGCATCTGGTGCCTGATTGTCCCACATTAACGCCGGCGCTCATCGAGTACAATATCAGCGGTCGGGAAGACGGGGATCGGGCCGTCGATCCGCAGTGAGGCGATGAAGCTCTCGAGATTAGCTTGTGAGATCTCAGACATGATGATGAGGTGCCTAAGTTGGTTCACTTGCTCACACCGAAGAAGGCACAACTTCTAAACATGACGCCCGGAGTACGTGCGGTTTTAGAAAAGGCGCAATGCTTCTCGACCGCAAAATAATGGCAGCGCGGGAGGCAGGGAGATTCGACGAAGCTCTTTTATTATGAGCCAGTCGTCGCAGTCCACGTTGCCGTGCGGGGTTGGAGTGTTATGAGACGCCAGCTGATTCTGCAGCGTGAGCGGATACTGCATTCTACATCATAGGTTCAAGGACGGATCGATTCACGTCACCTTGTAGATTCCGTGCGACTCTGATTCGACCAAATCAGGGGAGTTTTAACAGGCAACCAAAACACCGGATGTGGCTGAGAGTATGATCACTTGATCAAGGCACTCCCAGGGGCAGGAAAGGAAGCGGCCCATCCATGCAGGTGTTTGAGGTCGGGCTCAAGCTGCACGTGGCTGTCTACCTCATCTCTTTGGCTTTGGGTGCTTGACAGTAAATTCGATCGAGACAATGACATGCACTCGGAGAAGGCTGGTAGAACAATCCCGCACCTGAAGCAGTTGCCAAATGGCTAGGAGAGCCCGTGGCTTTACAACAGCGAGCATTTCCATGCTACCACCATTCTTACCTTACCTTGGAAGTGAGGCGTGTAGCTGCATAAACTCTGAGCAGGCACAAACGTGCATGCTGTTGCACAGAGGATTTGAGTTGGGTTGAGCCAAAGCCAAGGCGAACGATGCCCAAGGACGACCCTAACCCAGCTAATTACAGTGGCATGCCTGTCCACCCCCCCCCCTTGTAGCCTTCCAAAGCACACCACAACGGCCATCATGCAATAGAGGCGCCGTATCTGACGTAAAGGACGTCGGTGGCCAGTCTGGGTGTATCGTCCCTTCCGATGCACGAGCCTGACCGGTTTGGCATTCCAATCACGAGACCAGTCATCGCAGAACAACACCTCAAGGCAAACTATCGTGCATGGAAAGGCAACCACCCTCGTGGTCCAACTGCGTCGTCTCTTTCTCCCCTAGATCTAAATAATAACCATTGTAGCCTGCTCACCAATATGACTGTAGAAGTACACAGTCTCTTGTAGTCACAATGGACAGATCCTCAGTAACAATACCCATCAGTTTTGTCAGTGTCCGCGGCAATCATACAAATGCTTGACACTACCAGGACCCTGGCTAAACGCCAGTGGGACCCTGATTTTGAGAAGGTTCCCACTGAATGCATAGACCGAATCACATCAAATACTGCCGACTGCGCTTTGTTCGCTAAGGAGGCGGAGGATTCTGAAAATGACGACTGGAGCGACGACGAAGAACTGACGGAAGACCCAGCAGAGTCCAGTGACGACGACTTTCTTGTCACTTTCTGCTCCCCTCTGAACGACCCAAGTCCTTTTCCGAACCAGAGCAGTATCATTCAGGACTTTTGTAGGAATCATACTGTGGGCGTCGACACTAGCAAGGAAAATGAAGAAGTCAAGCTTGCGATGGTGGAGGAGTTTCGAGTTGAGCGACACGGAGAACGCTCTGGTCACAAATGGTTTGGGCCGGATTGGAGTGCAAGCGAATTCGCCAAATACATGCATGCGCAGGTTGGTACTTCACCAGAAACTGCACTGGGTGCCGTTCGCTGACAGCACTAGAGGTCTCCTCAGGATGAACTGCAGCGCCACGTCGAGCCAAGCCATTATACAACGATTCGTCGGACGTAGGTCTGATCCCCGTCAAATAATTGATGACTGCCCAATTTGACCTCAAAGACAACAGATACATCAGTCACTTGACACCGAGTGTCGTAAAATGCTTAGCATCGACAGCGTCAAGGCAAGAGAGCGGCGTACTGCCAGCATTTCTGGATCGATGCCTGCAGGAGTCCCCGGAAACCTTTGTGAGTGCGGACCTTTTTGTGAGTCGCCCAAATTCCACGTCGATATGATCCATCTGCGATTGTTTAGATGCTGACATGTCGATAGTCGGAAGGCCCCAAAGGTTTCTCTCTCGAGATTCAACTCCCTTATGTTGCATTCCGAAACCACAAGTTGGCTCACAAAGATAAGAGGACAATACTTGGCCGACCACTGAGGAAACATCATGACATGGCGTTCCTCGAGCCAGATGCCAAGAAAGTGACCAATGGCACGTTCAAGATTCTATATGAAGCTACCGTGTCTGTCCTACTCGTGGGCTATGGGAGTGGAGAGTTCTCGTCCTACATGATGGTAGACACATACTTCGAAGAAGATGGATCTGAGAAGTCTGAACAGGTCTCCGAGTACTCCAGACGAAGAACCGTTTCTTCTGACCCAGATCCTTTCACGATGGGCAACCAGCAACGAAGCAAAACGAATTCGGACGCGCGGAATTCTTTTCTCAGTCCGATCAGATGGTGGCTTCCCAGAATCAAAGAAGAATGGAAGGGATACATTGACCACTTGAACAACAGTAAGGAAGAAATGGTACGTCAGGCTCGACTATTAAACTAGTGATCGATCAGAACTAACACCAGCCCCAAGACAGCTGGATTTCTTGGGATCAACGACTCTCCTAAATCACAGGCTCAAAAGTCGCAGGCTCTTCAGGAACTTCAGGTCTCGATATCTAAATCCCTCAAGTTGCTGCCTGACCACATCAAGCGACTCTCGGAAAACGCATCGATTTATGAGCAACTGATTGGCACCATGGACGGTATTCTTGACACCTCGACTCCACTGCCGAGAGCAGTGAGCAAGCGTGATAACGCCCGACGAGCCACAATGAACAAGATATACGAAGCAACACGATCTCTCGGTAAATGTTTGAAAGATCTGGAACTAGTGAGAGATCACCTCAAAAGACTTGAGGACGAAGTTTCTCGGGAGGTAAGTGTCCCTCAGAGTTCGTTCTTTCGCAAGCTCCGAAGCTGATAGTGTCCAAGAAAAGTCATTGTCATTTGCAGGAAAGCCATCAATTGCAAAGCTCCCAGCACGTCATGGGAGCTGTCATGGTCAGCATTGCAGTCACGACCTTGGTCAGTATTCTTTGGCTCTTATATACCATGTGTTCTCTAACGATATGTAGATGTTGTTGCCTCTCAACGTGGTTAGTGCTCTCCTGAGCATACCTAATTTCTACGGGACCGAGCCCAGCCCGAGAATTTTTGCAGGTATGATGTTTGGGGTTGTGATGCTACTACTTGCCGTTTATATCTCGGTCCACAACTGGACCAGCCTCAAAAGCACTTCCCTCAACCTGGCCTCTGCCATCCAAGTGCAGCTGTTGAGGCGTGGAGTAAGTCGTAATGGAACGTGGAACCAGGACTGTGATTTGGAGCAGGTGCCAGTGACTTGAACGTCTTTGGGCCTCAGAGAGAATAAACAATTTCTCACAGGATAGATATAGCCCAGTAGAATAACGCCATAGCATCAGTACTGTACAACAGAGCAAGTCGCTATCCGTCATTACCGCCAAATTGGCTTCTATGGCTCCTGTCATTCGCGGGCCGGTGGCCGCAGGGTTCCAGGCTCATGGAGCATGCGCTTGGAGGCCCGAGATGTCATCTTGCCCTGCAAGTGCTGTAAGAATTGCTTGTTTAAATTATTACTTAGGCATTTTTGTAACCAAAGAAGAGTAATGCTGCCGCTCAATCCATGTTGAGAATTAATGGTTTAGCAGTGAGCCTGTTGTTAACAGTCTAAGAATCAAAAACGCCCCCCCTCCCCGGGCCCCTCCTGGCCCCTTCTTTATGACCGCAATGCATGAAGATTACAAGTCTATAGAAAGGCATGTCTACGTAAGGAAATAGTGGCCAATGGGAACTGCCCTCCCTGGATAAAAGCAATACAGACAATGTAGTGCTAGCGAGCAAAGAACACTTGATGAGGATTGACGCTTCGAAGCTGCCCCTCTAAAGTTTCTTCGAATCTGGCCAGTAAACCGACACTGAGTTCAGTCTTTGTCGATTTCCGAATTTGCGAGCTGTTGTTGAACATATTAGCACGGCGCAAGACTCGAAATGCTTCATGGGACTTCATAATTGTGATATTTGCACTTACATAACGTAATCCACGGGTGAGCGGGTCACACGGGTGAACGGGTCACTTTACTGCAATTTAATTGAGGTTCACTTCCTTCTCCTTTTTCTCCACCTCCAATCATGGGACGACAATCAATTGAAAGTGATTTGGTTCTAGCGTTAAATGCGCTCCAATCCGACCCAAAATTAAGCGTACGAAAGGCTGCGCAGATCTATAATGTATCTCGTACGACACTCCAGCAACGATACCACGGCCGAGCTGCGAAACACGACACCCGACCACCCTGCCAGAAATTAACCTCATACGAAGAGGAGAGTATCGTACGATACGTACTCGACCTAGATTCGCGTTCGTTTCCACCGCGGTTAAGTGGTGTTCGAGAAATGGCGGATCGACTCCTCCGCGTACGCGACGCGCCACGCGTTGGAACGAACTGGGCCTCAACCTTCGTACGACGACGACCTGAGCTCCGTACGCGTTTTAATCGAATAATCGATTACCAGAGGGTCCTTTGCGAGGATCCGGACGCGTATCGCGCGTGGTTTGAGCTCGTACGAAACATAATCGCGAAATACGGGATCCACGATGACGATATCTATAACTTCGACGAAACGGGCTTCGCGATGGGCAAGATCTCCGCCGAAACTGTCGTTACGACCTCCGATCGACGCGGGAGGCCAAGAGCCGTACAACAAGGCAATCAGGAATGGGTTACAGTAATCCAGGGTATCGCGTCGTACGGCTATTCAATCCCGCCATACATTATCTTCGCCGGGAAGGTCCACCTCGACTCCTGGACCGCGAATAGCCCTCTACCGGCCGACTGGGTAATCGCGCTTTCAGAAAACGGTTGGACGACGAACGAGAGAGGCCTAGGATGGGTAAAACACTTTGATTTCCATACAAAGAGTCGTACGAAGGGTACCCACCGCCTCCTTATCCTCGACGGCCACGAGAGCCACCATTCCGTCGATTTCGAGCTCTACTGCAAGGAACAGAATATTGTCACGCTCTGTATGCCTGCTCATTCGTCGCATAAGCTCCAGCCTCTCGATGTTGGGTGTTTTGGACCTCTGAAACGGGCGTACGGTAAAGAAATCGAAGGTCTAATGCGGGCGCACGTAACCCACGTTTCAAAGGAGGACTTCCTCCCAGCCTTTTATAAGGCGTACGACGCTGCAATGACCAAATCAAACATCCAGGCAGGCTTCAGAGCGACAGGCCTAGTACCGTACGACCCGAATTATGTGATTTCGCAGCTAGATATGAAGTTTCATACGCCGACACCACCAGGTTCCTCTGCTGGACTACCACCCCCATGGGTTTCAAAGACGCCGAACAACCTAATTGAGACCGAATCGCAGACGAAGTATATTGAAAATCGCATCGTACGACACCAGAATAGCTCACCGTCGTCCATTGTTGAGAGCCTACGGCAGCTGAGAAAAGGAGTTATAATGATGGTACACGAGCAGGACCTTATGCGCCAAGAGCTCGCCGAACTTCGAGATGCAAATGACCGCCTCAGCCGCCGTCGTCGTACGAAAAGAAAGCAGCTACAGAAAGGAGGGTCCCTCACGATTGATCAGGCAAAGGATTTGAAGGCTCAAATCGATGCGACGCAGCAGTTAATAGCGGAAACGAGTCAGAATAGTGGTTGTACGAGGAGGCCCGAAACGCGCGCGCGACGATGTGGCGTCTGCGGCGAGCCCGGTCATAATGCTCGTACGTGTCAGAAAGTTGTATCTGCCTCTGAAGAAGAGGATTCTGAATAGTTATGAATTGATTTAAGGCGTTGTGGTTAAATTGTCTTATATATTGTCGTACGAGTTACTGGAAGGTGACCCGTTCACCCGTGTGACCCGCTTACCCGTGGATTACGTTAGGCTATTAGTCATTTTTTGACAACCACCTTTTTTTTTACTGCAGCACAGAACTCGCATCTGATCTCTCCGCAATATTCGCAAGCCTCTTTGCGAATAGGCATGTCAGAACGCCTACAGCAGCACTAGCTCGACGACTAAGATCAGTCCCAGATAACGAGCACAGAGCGTCCGAAGATGACCGGAAGAACCCAGCCCACCTCTGCAATTTGTATCACTCACGCACGTCCACAACCAGACCTCCTTGACTTTCTTGGGCTGTTGTCAATTAAGAAGATTAGCTTTCAAGCGTAGCTTAACGAGGACGTCGGGAGATAGACTGCACCATTGCATTGCCACACACTCGCGGTGCACTATCGGATTAGACGATTGTTCAAAGGAACCAACATTGAACGCAGCGGAACGCGTCAGCGCTTGATCTTTACTGCTGTGGGGGTCAAACACCTCTTATATGTATGATCACCTGGGAAATGAGACTTTGTGGAAATTGGCTGTATATCGGATGGTTGCACATGCCAGCGTACGGCCGGTTGCCGCTGTGCCCCATACCAATGCTGCATCTGGAGGCGCGGGGGGGTAAAAGGGGTTTGATTGAATTCCAGGGGATGCTGCCGGGCTGGATTGCGCGACGCATCGGCACTCCCAGTGCATAACCAAGCGCGGGATGTTTCATCTGCCCCGAGGCTTTTTCAAAGACGACATCTTACCTATAAAAGTACGGCCGTTGATCAGTTCCGACGAAAGAGCAGATTCGTACAAAAGGGATGGGTGGACCACAATGCACGCCCATCGAGGTCAACTTGACGCGCGAGTCATGTTAGGTATTCTGCTTGGAGATAGCTGCCCGTCAGTGATTCAAGTTTCTCTCCGGAGTAGGCATACTGGGCCTGATGGGGTCCAAAGGGAAGCTCTGGCCACATGATGGCCAAGCCTCTCTGTTCCAAGCCGATCTCTCGGATGGGTTCCGAACTTCCGCTGCGACTGTAAGGGGGTATGAGACCTGAAAGCAGAAGCCGAATAGGGTGTTATTAAGTTTCAAATTTAGGTTGTTGTTTTTTTTTTTTAGGTGCACGGATGCGACTGAGACCTTGTTATTACCGGACGGCAAGCACGGTGAACAAAGCAATGGTCGCTGCTGGGTCCGCAAGCTCATCTCCCCATCTCGACCGGAACAAGCATGGTCGCTAAGCTGATTGGGACCTGTTGAGCAGTTGAAATTGAACCAATCTTCTGGTGGGTGACCGGTATGATGGCTCTGTCTGAACTCGCTCAGGGGAACCGGTGAAGGTCAGAGGAAGGACAGCATTACATTGTTTAGGTGGTCATGCACAAAGCACAGTATGAACATCCTTGTGTGCTCATCGAGCGTGGGAGACTACGGCAGTATTTGTTTCGTAATTGGACCCTACTTCTTCTGATCCTTGGCTTCCTTCTGCGCTTGGGCGTTGATATGGATAGCTTCCTTCAGCTTCCCAAGAACCTCTGGCTGACCACCAAACGCCGCCTTCAACTTTTCATCAAGGTCCTTCTCAATGGCAGCCAGATTTGACCCTCCGGTCTTGCTGCTTGCAGCCGACGTTAGCAGGGTGCCCCATCGCTGGGTGAAAGAGTATATGCTCTGCCTGAGGAGCTCGTCGAGTCTCTCGCTAGCATCCTGCTCAACGGCCGACACGCTCTTTGCTTGTGACACTTTGCCTGTGGTTCCACCGTTCGCCTGTGCGCCGGATGACCACAGCCCTAGAGAGAGGGAGCCCCCGAGGATGCCCCGGACCATTCCCATCCAATTTTGCGGGCTGAGAGTCTCCCAAATCTCGCCGAAATGCTGCATAGCTGCTGGCTGAGAGCGAACGTCGCCTATCTCGAGCGCGAGCAGCCCGTTCTTGAGGATAAGAAGATTCTTGATCATGAACAAGTCTGGATCGGGCTCAGGGATGGCAGCTTTGTTGGTCTTGAGCTTGGCTTCGGCACGCTGCAACGCCGATATTGTCTCTGTGACAATCTTGTACACCACAGGACTCGATTTTTGCTATTGTTCATGTTAATCCTCCGCAGGGCACGACACTGGCGTACAGGGGTGGAACTCACACTGCGCTCTTTTGGCATTGCCTGGTCATACATAGCCAGTAGCTCCAGGGAGCGTTTGGCGATAGGATGAGCATTCGACGAAGACGCGTCATTGTTCGACGGAACAATCTTGAGCGATTCCGGCGCAATGACAGCCTTTGTGATCGACTTTGTGACTTCAGCCTCAAAAGAGACGTCTGTCAATGGCCACAAGTGCTCAAACAGAAGCCTGGCAGTGAGCTTGTGGCAGTTTATGGCAAAGCGAGTCTCTTCATCATCTGACTCGAAAATAAGGTACTCGTTTGTGACCCAGCCGAGAAGATTGCATACAGTCTGGAGCTCAGACCCCTGCAGGACAGGCTGCAATGTAGCTGCAATTGGAGCAATGTTGACTGAGGTGACCAGCTGTTTCTGTTGAGCTTTGACCGCGACGTACGCGGATTTGCTGTCGGTGCTGTACTGTGGGTCGATGGCGAAGAGCTTCTCAAATAAAGCAGACTCGTTGAAGCACCGCTCGTAGCACTGCTTGATGAAATTGCGGCTTGCCGTCTCCGCGTTCATATCGGCAGATTCCTTCTTGAAGACATCAACATCCTTCTGGGTGATGGGTCGCACATCTCGATCCCTGATGTCGAGATACACGGCAAACAGATTGGTGGCGGTATCGGAGCAGGAGTCGAAGTTTCGAGTATTCTTGGCGTGACCAGCAGAATCATAGCAGTAGCCAATGACTCTTTGCACGTTTGCAATCAACCCGTCGGCTTCCAGTATCATGTCCTGGTAACGGCCATACGCCAGAGCATGCCGTGCGGCATCGGATGTTGTCGACGTGATTTGCTTGCCGATCTCTGCGGACACCCGGTTGAGGTGATTAGTCAAACCAATTTCCACCAGGTGCAATGCCTTGGTCAACAAGGCTTGATATCTTGCAAGGTACGATTCCGCGTCACGATATGTAGGCTGTGAAACAAGGTCAGTCGTGATGGCCAGAGGAAGACAGGCTGGGGAAAGGCTCTTACGTGTACAGCCATGAAGTTTATGCAGGCGTCCAGGTTTGTGAGAATCTCCCCAAAGTTCTCATGGTCAACGAGACGGCTAGCACCGGGGGCATTAAGCCTCCTAGTGACACCATCAAGATACGCATAGTAGTGCAGATCAGTGCCCACCTCATCTGCCAATACCTGGAGACGCTTCTCTTCGGCGACCAGGTCGTCACATTGAGCCTGGAAAGTGGTTGTCTGCAGCTCCACTGCCCTGAAGGAATCGCCCAGGGAGGTCAACAGATCCAAAGCGCCATTGGCAGCCCCAATCAGCGAGCCCAAGTGCCGTTCCGTGACCTCCAGCTGCTGTCCATACAGGAGGTATTCGTGCTGACTAGCTTCGAGCAGTTCGTCGCCAGTGGTGCGGAAGCGATAGGGCTCTCTCCTGTCGACAGAGTCTTCGGGCTTGGCAAGCACGAGCGCCTCCGCGATCCTGTCCTTGTGGCGCCTGCGCTTCTTCCTAGCAGCCGTGGCGTCGCGCGAGAGCTGGGCGCGAACGACGTGATAGAAGTCGCTGTACGATTTCGCCCGGCGTGTCAATGTGGGCTCCGGGGGGTCATTGTTGGTTTCGACATCTTCGAATAGCTCGGGGAGCGGTTCGGCTTCGAATTGCTTGGTGCCCTGCGATGTGGATTAGCCGTGCTCAAAGGGCATTGAGCATCGTGTGTCGGATTGCAGGCGCGTACGTTTGGCTGTTGCAGAAGAGACTCCCTCCTGCGGTGGCCGCTGGGTTGAGGGGCCGCAATGCTGCGCTTGTTGACGTGGTCTGGCACGAAGGCGTACCAAGAGTCTTCGTACATGGTCGAGAGCGGTTACTGCATGGGTCCCTTGTGGTCAATGGGCGGCCGGGACGGAGGGTTTGCGTTGTGCCTGGAGCTAGAGCATCTTTGAATGGACAGATTGGAGGCTCCCACGCTGTCGCCTGGGACCCGCGAGCGACCTGCATGTGGGAGCGTGACAAGTGCCCCCAGTCTGCTGGGGTGGCCCAGCGGGTTACAGTGGGGACAGATCCAGGAATGCCACCTTCGATTCGTCTGGGTGAGTTCTTGTTTGACGTTGAGATCTTGACACGATGAGGGGGGAAATTGCACAACAAAATGGTGTGTGTTCACTCAAATGGTTTCGCAGGGTCGTTAAGAAACGGTCAATATTACTGCAACATGCTGTCCCTATGTAGATCCAGTCTGGAAGGCTTGTTTGTAGAGCCAAAATCGTTCAGCAACCACCCCACTACTGTTATTTGAGCCGACACAATGCAATGGCATTCATCAGCCAAACCCGTACAGAGCCCTGGCGAGCGGCCCTGGCGCAGTTTTGTTTCCACATGCGCAATAGGAGCTTTTGGTGCCCAAGATTCAGCACTTTCGCCAGTCCTCCGGAAATCATTGCCATGCCGCTGGTTGCCCATTGCAGGGGTCCGAGTGGCAGAAGCTTAAGGTATTGTGGGGAGCTTGATAGCGCAGCTTTTGGAAGTTGGCTCTGCTCAGGGTCGCACGAGAATCGAGCTCGACAATCGTCGCCGTTAGCGCCTTCTGTGATTCATGACCTCACCACACCTGCGGGCACTGGACCGTGGTGCCGCCTCGCCTCCAAACTCTGTTGCGCACCCCGCGGCGTGACAAGAACGATCCAGCTCAAGCCTGGCACCATCCACATCGAATGCGCACGAGCTATGCACTGCGAAGCTCTCGACACCGTCTGCATTATCCATCTCGAGAGAATAGCTCAACGACATGTCGTTCACGTCAGGCTACCGGGCCGTCCTCCGGCAGGCGTCGCAGCAACCTCGAGTACTGCTTCCCACGCCCCGGGCAATGAACCCTTGCTCTCGACGCCTCATTTCGAGCAGGAGACAAGCCCCTCCCGAGCCACAGCCAGCGCCCCGAAAACGTTTGCCCGTCGCCAAAGTCCTCGCTGGATTTATTCTCACGGTGGTCGCTGGTAGTGCGGTGGCGTTGTACCCCGAGCTCACGAAGGAGCCCGTGAAGCCTCAAGAGGCTGTCGTCACATATGAGAAAAAGAGACCTGTAGCCCGATCCAAGGAGGACAACCGCGACATCATCAGCAGCCAGCACCTACAGGTCAAGCAGAGCTGGGAGCATCCCGGCGTCTACCTGTGGGGATCTAATACAGGCAGAGTGGCGGCGCCAGACTCAAAGGAGACAGTTATCAAGACCCCTCGCCGCCTCACCTATTTCGACGATCAGCTTCTGCGTGATATCAAGCTCGATCGCGACTTTGGTGCTGCCGTCACTGAGAAAGGCGATCTCGTCCAATGGGGCTTGGGATTCTCCAATACAGACCCGCAGCCGGTGACCACGCTGAAAGGCAAAGACCTTGTGAAGATTGGCATTTCTCGCGATCGGCTCATTGCTCTGGGCAAGAACGGCAGTGTCTATAGCATTCCCGTGACCAACAGCGACCAGGCCACTGGTAGCAAGCCTCAGCAGTCATCGTGGTCGTTGTGGACAAGCTCGAGTCCGATCAGCTACCGCACGATACAACCAAAGAATCTCGGCCGTGGTGAAACAGTGACAGACATCAAGAGCGGCCTTGACCACGGCTTGCTGTTGACCTCGGCTGGTCGCGTGTTCTCGTTTGCATCAAGCACGACCGACTTTCCCGCCAAGGGCCAGCTCGGTATCCCAGGCCTGAACTGGGCATCCAGGCCTGCCGGCGCCTTCGATCAGCCTCATGAGATTGATATGCTTAAGGGCTTCAAAGTATCACAGATTGCAGCTGGAGACAATCACTCACTTGCCCTGTCGAAGGACGGGAAGGTCTTTGTCTGGGGCGATAACACCTCCGGACAGCTGGGATTTGAGACTGAGAACGAGATCCCTTACGTCGATGGACCGATTCCCCTGCCATTCAGCAAGCTGTATGCTGGAACAAAGCAGAAGCCCGTCGTGACATCAATTGCCGCTGGTGGCAACAATTCATATTTCACGATTGATGCAACCCGGATGCTCGGGCAGAACGAGGAGCCTGGTGATGTTGCCAACATTGGTGAGGTCACAGCCGACACTTGGGCCTGCGGATCTGGCATCTTTGGAGGACTCGGCAACGGCCGATGGACGCATGTCTCTCTTGGTCCGACCAAGATCAAGACGCTGTCTGGACTGCGGGAATGGGACGAGAACACAAATTCTGTCATCCCGATCCGCCTGGCTCGCCTGAGTGCTGGTAGCACACACGCTGCTGCGGTCATGAACAACGTCACGTACCTCGACTCCTCGGATAAAAAGTCTATGAACGACACGAACTGGGGTGCCGATATTGTGTGGTGGGGCGGGAACGAGCACTATCAGCTCGGAACCGGCAGGCGCAACAATGTGGCGACGCCCGTCTACATCCAGCCCCTTGACGGCGGTGCGGGCGATGCCGAGAAAGGACGCAAGGGCGAGGAGCACAGATTCCAGATCACACCTCGGAGGACTGTTAGGCTAGGGGAGGACGGGAAGGGGCGCAAGGTCAGCGTCGAGCAGCGGGTCGAGTGCGGCCGTCACGTCACAGCTGTATACTCTGGCGCGTGATTTTCGAACTCACCTGCATCTGCCGTTGGGCGGCCTCGGCCGAATTCCTACTTGACAAATGCTGTTGTACACTATCACTTGACATTGCGCCCAGACGCAGCACGCGCGTGCAGGGCTGGCACGTTTTCAGGCGTTCAAGTCATGATTTACGATGGACACTGTGTATTTTCAAACTTGTCATTATTACACTGATCATTATGGATCTGTACTTTATATACACAATTCGCCAGACTTGAGGAGACATCTGGGATGGCCACGAGTGAGCACCTGCGCATTGAAGGACGCTGCGCTAGATCAAGGACCTCTAGGCGACAAACTTACAGCGCACCCATGCATTCCTGCCGAAATGTTTGGTACTCGAGTTTGTGGCTGAAGTCTATCGGTCCTCAGGGTCCCTTTCTCGACAGGGCCCGAGCTACGGGGCCGGGCTCCACCTTGAGGGCCGGTTCTGCGATCACATCATTGCCCCTCCGATGACCGCAATCGAGGCCCGTGGCTCGCCGAAATCCCTCCTCCCGACGACAGTCAGCTTCCACGCATTCCTCCACCTCTTGCTTACAAGCATAGCGACACTTTAGCGAGCGTCCTCAAGCTGCAGGACAGCTAGCTTGCCCAAAAGCGAGCTACAAGCTTCGGCGCATCGTCACTTGCGACCACTCCATTTTCAGTCCAGAGCTTCGCATAGCTTCCCTTCCCGCAGACAAGCTGCCACGGTCGCGTCCTGTGAGCCACACAACCCGGCGAACCTCTTCTCTGCCCAAAATGAGCGTGACCAGCACCGATAGATTATCGTCATGATATCAAGATCGATTGCGCGCGCCCACGCCGGCGGCAACGGCAGCGCGTGGTCGCCGGCCCGCGTCAGGGGGACCTTCCACACATACACGCGATCCCATCATCACCCACGGATATTCGCGTCTACCCCTTACCTATCTGGAGGACTGCGACCATCGTTACGAGCCGAGCTATACCGGAATGACCAGACGAAAGCCCTGTTCAGCTCTCAAGCCCCGAAAAAGCCGAACACAACGACGACCGACAAATCCAAAGATCCCCTCGCCGTCGACAATAAATCAACGCAGGAGCAGCGCAAGGCAGACTGGGCCATCATGAAGGAGATGTCGAAGTACCTTTGGCCAAAGGGTAAAGGCAGCCTCGACACCAAGATGCGCGTCTCGCTCGCCGTGGGGTTGCTGATCGGCGCCAAGCTCCTCAACGTGCAGGTCCCTTTCTACTTCAAGAGCATCGTGGACGCGATGAACATTGACATTGGCGCTACGGGGGGCAACGCCACAGTCATCGCAGGCAGCATGATCCTCGCCTACGGCGCGGCTCGTGTGGGCGCTACTGTGTTCCAGGAGCTGCGCAACGCCGTGTTCGCGTCGGTTGCGCAAAAGGCGATTCGCAGGGTCGCGGGGAATGTGTTTGAGCACCTGCTACGGCTTGATCTGAACTTCCATCTGAGCAAGCAGACTGGCGGTCTGACGAGGGCGATCGACCGTGGTACCAAGGGCATCAGCTTCTTGCTGACGAGCATGGTCTTCCACGTCCTGCCGACGGCCTTGGAGATCAGCATGGTTTGTGGTATTCTGACATGGCAGTACGGCGTCAAGTTCGCGGCCATCACGGTCTTGACAATGGGGGCCTACACGGCGTTCACAATCTGGACGACGGCATGGCGGACAAAGTTCCGCCGACAGGCGAATGCGGCTGACAACAAGGCCTCTACGTTGGCTGTCGATTCGCTGATCAACTACGAGACTGTCAAGTACTTCAACAACGAGAAGTTCGAGGTCGCACGCTACGACAAGGCTCTTAAAGACTACGAGAAGAGCTCTATCAAGATTCAGACATCCCTCGCGTTCCTCAACAGTGGCCAGAACGTCATCTTCTCCAGCGCTCTCACAGCCATGATGTACCTCGCCGCCAACGGAGTTGCCGAGGGCACCATGACCGTCGGCGATCTCGTCATGGTCAACCAGCTGGTCTTCCAGCTGTCTGTGCCGCTCAATTTCCTGGGCTCGGTCTACCGCGAGCTGCGCCAGTCCCTGCTCGACATGGAGACGCTATTCAACCTGCAAAAGGTCAATGTCTCCATCGCCGAGCCGCCCAATGCCAAGGCTCTTCAGCTTCCTCAAGGTGGCAGCATCAGATTTGAGAACGTCACTTTCGGCTACAACGCTGATCGGCCCATCCTCAGAGACCTGACACTCACCATCCCGGCCGGAAAGAAGGTCGCCATCGTGGGCCCTAGCGGCTGTGGTAAATCCACACTCCTGAGACTGCTCTTCCGGTACTACGACGTGCAAGAGGGCCGCATCGTCATTGACGACCAGGACATCCGGCAAGTATCACTTGACTCGCTGCGGCGCTCGATCGGCGTAGTCCCGCAGGACACTCCCCTCTTCAACGACACAGTCGAGCACAACATCCGCTACGGCAACATGGACGCGCCCCAATCCGCCATCATCGCTGCCGCCCAGCGCGCCAGGATCCACGACATCATCTCGAGCTGGCCGGCCGGCTACGGCACCAAGGTCGGCGAGCGCGGGCTGATGATCAGCGGAGGGGAGAAGCAGCGCCTAGCCGTGTCGCGCCTGCTCCTCAAGGACCCGCCGCTGCTCTTCTTTGACGAGGCGACCAGCGCGCTCGACACGCACACCGAGCAGGCGCTCATGCAGAACATCAACAGCATCCTCCGCGAGAAGAGCCGGACGAGCGTCTTTGTCGCCCACCGCCTGCGCACCATCTACGACGCCGACCTGATCATTGTGCTGCGGGACGGCAGCGTCGCGGAGCAGGGCACGCACAAGGAGCTTATTGACCGAGATGGGCTGTACTCGCAGCTCTGGAGTGGTGAGTCTTTTTCCCTTTAGCTTCTTGTCGCCTTTCATGTTGGGGGAAAACCTGTGGCCCGCGCTGCTGGTTTCTAAAGCAGGTCATATCCTGTGTAAATCATGAGCCTTCATGCTAACCATGACATCTGTGATTGCAGCACAAGAAACCTTGTTCAACGCAGACGGCACCGAGGTCGAGACCACCAAGGAGCGCGTGCCGGCAACAGAGGATGTCAAGCCATGAGGACAGCGTCCTCGGCACGCCCTTGATGGTAAAGGCGTGAAGCTCCCACAGCACGCGCGGGAAGCACTGACATTGTAGATACCAGCACGTCACCACTCCATATTCCGGGCAAGATCTGGATATAGCCAAGTAATCTATCTTCTAGACAGCTCGCCATAGCAAAGACAAAAGTGAAGCAATGAATCAAAATGGCTATCATATTGGTGTGGATAAGGTCGTAGCCCAGTCTTCGTAGAGTGCGTGCTCCTGTGATATTTGAAACGTGCCTGTGTACTTCCGTATCGTCCCGTCGGTGTTATGCCCTCAGCCTATTTGCAGCTGTCGCATGCATGTGAAGGGCTTACCTGTACATATTTCATGTTTCGAGTGACCCAGCTCCATGACTGTACAGCGTGGTCTCCGGGCGTGCCCACAAAGAGCCCGAGCAGCTTGGGCAACTTGGGAAGGCGCGTCTATGAACCACGAGGAAAGGGTCCTTTTTTGTACTTCGGTGCTCGACTTCGCCGCTGCGAGTCGCGCCACTCGTGAACTGTGTCTTGCTTCTAATGTTATCACTGCAGGCGCATCGACAGAATTATGCATCCATTTTAGTAGGTCTGTAGAACAACTGGGCTTCCTCTGGTCTACCATACTGACCTTTCTTGCAATGGCAACAGTCCATGCATCGCTAGTAACTAGACACGTCCGATCTGCAGATCGGCCGACATCAAATCTTCAGAAGCCTTCAAACATTGTCACAATCCACACGAACCCCGGCAAATCCACACGCCCACAGACACATAAAGGCAAAAAGTCTCCTACACCTCAGTTCGCGGCGAGCAGTCATGTTGTGCGGCCTACTCACGTTCGCTGGCCTGTGGACTGGTCCGTGTGGCATGGGCCAGGAGTACAACTGGCGAAGGCAGGCGAGGAGAGCCAACAGGAGGAAGTTCAAGGCGCGGCGAAAGGCGTTCAGGAAGGGCAGGGTCGCCACACTTGCCGGACCGATGCCGGGGAGCTGGCCTTATGACTGGTGGGGTCGGTGATTTTGTGTGAGTGCGGACTCGTCGGTTGCCGGGCATTGTGTTGTTGGTCCCTTGGAAACCACCATGGCTTGATGTCGTACCAGGCCTTCTGTTCTAGTGTCTGGCTCGTGATTGTTCCCAAGTAGACGCCAATAAGAGAGGCTTCTATGGCTGGTGTAGAACAAGCTTTCATCTTTGACTAATTAGGTCGTGTCGGTCGGTGTGGTTGAGGCTGGTGACGGTGGAGATTGCGGAGGCGTCGGGCTGCTTGCGAGCAGGTTCCCAGGCTTGGGCTGGCCATGCGTCTCGACGAACGATGTGACCGCATTGCAAGGACAATGACCCCAAGACCACGTGCGCCTTCCCGACATGGCACAGCGCCCCAGGTCCAGCACGCCACCTCCAGCGACTGCTCTAACACGTCCGGATAACGAGGCACTTGAGCATCAATAACGTTTGTCAAAGGCCTCAAGATCTCGAAATGTAATAGCACTGCTGCAGAAGCCCCGCACGAAGAAGAAAAATGTCCAACGCGCAATGGCCAGCCATCAACCAGGGAACCCCCTGCACGCCTCCACACTCTCCACATTCTTCTGTGCGCCGCCTTCACCGGACCGGGCCCTGCAGAAACTCTCGACATGCAGCCACAAAATGCTGCGCAACATATCACGGCCCTGGTGGACGTCCTCGTCCGCTAGACTCCACAACGCTCGCCCGTGGCAATTCCCGAGCTATCCGCGTTCCGTGGGGGGATCGAGACAGGTTCCACACGGCGGCGGCCAGGAGGAGCATGGCCGACAAGCAAGCCAGATGGCCAGCGAGCGAGTCCAACGGGGGGCACTTCCACGTGGTGGGGAAAGATCATCGAAGTCTCGAACTGGCCACGGCTACCTAATTAGGGTTGCAAGTCGGTCAACTGCCAAGGTTCATGGTATCCTGGTCTGAGTACTGGCCAGGAGCACCACTCGTCGAAGTCGGTTTGAGAGAGCCGCTCCTCACGGCGCAACAAAGTCTTCAAGCAGACAGCCGCCACAGCCCAGGGTCGCTTCGCTGTACAAGCCCGCCTATCCGAGTCATCCACATTCTTACGATGCCATCCTGAGGCCCTGTTAAGAGTGTATGCTCTGCAAGTCGATAGCTGACGCGCCCAGAGCCTTAACACACACACCGGCCAAAAGTCCGGATCTATGGTAGCATCGCAAGGGTAGGGTGCCTGTCGTCCCGCATACTTGCCGCCTGCATTGTTGGGGAAGTCGATACCCGGATGACCCAGCATACACAACAAAGTTATGATATTCTGATCAAGGATCGTGTAATCACAGACAACGACTGGCGATATCGCCATGCGCCGACCAGTGCGACATGGCCATAACCCACTATCGTCTCGTACTACAATCCAGAGCCGACGGTTGTTCGCGGAAAAAACAAAACCGTTTTGCAGGGCTTTGTGGCTTCTGTGGACTCTAACCGTACTTAGCTCACAAGCTCCCACTCGAGTCATTCCAGTGCTGCTCAGGGGTCCCACGCACCCTGGCCAGCCGAGGCTGGCTGGCCTAACCCCCACCAAGGATCTCGTCGACAGGGACAGGGACGGGAGCCAGGCACCACACCACGCACAGGTTACCTACATCACGCATGGCGACCGTCACAAACGACAACCTGGCAGGCCTGGATCCCGAATCAGTCATATGTCCGTCTTTGTCAAGGCTTTCAGGGCACGACTTCAGCTCTTGCTTTTTCGTCGGAGTGCGGTAATGGAAGAGCCTTCAACGGCGACCTGATTCCTTATGGCCCACCATGGACGACCTGCAATTTGCGTCCGACACCTGCTCAAATGGTGACACACATCATGTCTCCACCAGTCTTTCTTCACCGTACCCGCCGATGCCGCCAATGCAGCACCATTCGGACGACGTCAGGGTACCAGGGTAGAGCAACCTGGTGGATCGCCACTAAACAGCGTTCGAGAACGGGGATATGTGCCTGTTTCGGCAGCTGCGTGGGTCTGGCCGTGGACTAACAACTCCCCTGAAGGTCGTGCGCGTCTCGATCTTGACATGTTGCTCCATATCCTCGCACAAAGGCAATCTGCGCGATGGAACTATCCGCCGCTTCATGGGCACGGGGAAGTCAGGTTTGCATGGGTACTCGCCACCCCTTGACGATGTCAGATTCAGTGACGGCGACTACGATCCCTGCCACCACGATGGCGAGAGCTCTTCGGCCCCGTTGCGGAGGGGTGCAAAGACGCGATTGGGTGCGATGGACCCATTCATGTTTATACTCCGTCGTGATTCTCAATGATAAACCACTCCTGGTGGTAGTTGCATAGATACATAGGTCCCCTATGCCTGCCTCCAGGAGATCTCTCCTTTCCGAGTCTTGCTGAGCAGATCGTGCAGCTACTCTCGATTCTCCCCCAAGCTGCTTGCGTGTCGACCAGACCAGCTCACCTCGCCAATAATGAAGGCCTCACTTTCTATCGTCGGTCTTGCGGCGGCGGCGGCACGCCTTGCCGTGGCCGCACCTCATCGCTCCATCAACGGCCGGGATAATACGGTCGCCACTGTCAACCTGGATTACGAAGTGCACCAGGGCAACCTAAACGTACGCAGCTCACAGAGCCCGGGCCTGGCATGGACAATTTTACTAACACGCGCTCTTAAACAAAGGTTACTGGTGGATACTACATCTTCGACAACATCCCTTACGCACAGCAGCCGGTCAACGAGCTTCGGTTTGCCAAGCCGCAGCCCATCACTGCGACCAGCTCGACTCTCAACGTGGGCGGCGGAGGCGATCTCCAATGCATCCAGAGCTATCCCCAGTGGATCATTGACCTTCAGGCTCGTAGCAATGGGATCTCCTCGGAGCTGATGGCACAGGTGCTGTACAACCAGGCCGGCCAGACTGAGGAGTGCTTGCTGCTCAATGTCTATGTCCCCCAGAAGATCTTTGCCAAGGGCGACCGTGCCAAAGGTAGGTACTTTGCTTGTAAAGGGGTTGGGAGTTCCGGCAGCTGACGTTCTTCTCAGCTTCCGTCCTCGTGTGGATCCACGGAGGTGGCTTCACTTTCGGCTCCAAGACGTCTGTTGGCAACCCGGCAGGCATTATTGCACGCGCTGGCCTCGACGATGACAAAGGCGGCATCATCTTCGTCAGCATCAACTACCGTCTGGGTCTTTTCGGCTGGCTAGCAGGCAGCGACGTCACTCCGAACTTGGGCCTGTACGACCAGAGAGCCGCCCTGGACTGGGTGCAGAAGTACATTAGCCGGTTTGGTGGCGACCCTGCCCGCGTCACAATCATGGGCGAGAGTGCCGGCGGCTCCAGCATCACTCACCACATCACTGCATATGGCGGTGGCGACAAGCTGCCGTTCAGGGCCGCCATCCCGCAGTCGCCGGCCTTCCAGTTCAACATTGACACCGACGCCACGTACAAGAAGACTCTTGCCCAGGCCACTACCGAGAGCCAGCAGTCTGTGTCGAGCGTCGCTGGCCTGAAGAGCCTGACTACCGACCAGCTCAAGTCGGTCAACCAGAAGGTTACCCAGGCCGCCATTTATGGTGGTTTCAACTTTGGTGTGTCTGTGGATGGCACCTATGTGCCCGAGCTGCCGCAGGTATTGTTCGCCAAGGGCAAGTTCAACAAGGGTCTTGATGTGAGTCTTCCGCGCAAGCCAGGAATCGATCATAGGGGCAGGCCGCTAACCTTTCCTCGCAGCTCCTCATTGCCCACATGCCCATTACTAGCGAGGCTGCGCCTTTCGTTCCTCCGACCATTGCCACGGCTGCCGACCTCCGCACTTATGCCGAGCAGAGCCTAGCCACGTCGTCGTCCGCAGTGATTGACGAGCTGTTGACCGACGTGTATCCCGACGTGATGGATGGCACATACCCCTGGACTACCCAGTTTGGCCGGGCTGTCGTCATTGCGACTGAGCTCAACTTTGCCTGCGTGGCACGCTACATCAGCACGGCTTATAACGGCCACACGCACAGCTACATCTTTGCCTATCCTCCAGCCTACCATGCCGGCGATGTCAAATACGAGTTCTACAATGGCGACGCGAGCACGGTCGTCGACGGCGTGCCCATCAACCCTCAGATTGCGTACAACCTGCAGGACACGCTCGTCAGGTTTGCCAGGAAGGGCGACCCGACTGTGTCTGGCCTTCCCAAATTTGAGCGATATGGCAAGGAGGGCAACGTCCTCCACTTCTCAGACAAGGGTGTCGTCGCGGCTATTGACGACCTCAAGAACCCGCGATGCGACTGGATCCAGAAGGCCCTTGTTGACGGCCGCTTGTGAGCCGCTGGTTCCCGGGACGGCTCCCCGTCGTCCGTTACATGGATTCAAACCCTGGATGCATGGCGAGAGCCTGTAGAAGAATAGATAGCCCATTAAAGGACTTAATCAAAGATACCTAATGCAACTGCATTGGCATGGGGGAGCCTGCAGCCACAACGAGCGAAGCTGTGATCTCTCATTATATCGAACGCGGGGTCGCAAACCGGACATGTGATTATCATCTACAGCCTGCTTCGCCGAATATGCCACGGCGTTGCATTGCCGCCGGCACATGCAGGGCCATGTGAGCCCGGTAAAGTGCCGTGTCACCGCAAACCACTAACTAGGCCCCATGTGCATGCAGAATGGTTGGCGCAGGTGCAGCGCTGCCGGATGCAGGAGACGATTCGCGAGCAGCTCCCGATTGGGAAGCTGCAGGGCAGGGGTGCTTGACGCTCGGTTCCTTCCCGGAGGTCCAAGTGCATCAAAGTCCACACGAGGCTCTGGGGCACTCGATGCCAATAAAACCTCGATGCCAATGGTTTTGCCGAAGCGTCTCTTGGGAAGGCTGCATTTTTGTAGGTCAAAAGAAGTTTTTTGGCGTATGTTGCATCATATGAAACGATCCTATTCCCACGCAAAGATCGCGTCTTCGGGTTCTCCGAACTAAAGGACGGGACGCGACTTCCTCAATGAATGAATGTGTCAGAGTCTGCCGATGTTGCTGCTCTTGCCTTGCTTCAGTGTGATTTCGATGCTCAGTATCCATGACTTCCTTTGGCGTGTGGTTTTCTCTGGCTCTCTGATAGTTTTTCAATTCGTCCCATCGCAGGCTCGATATATGCTGTTTCAACTTCCGTGATCTTTGTGAGACTTTGACGACTCAGTGTCGCTCAGCACGCCAGCTTTGCATTTGCGCGCTTTCGACGACTTCAAAGGATTCGTGATCTCGTTTCCGAAGTCCCCAGAGACCTCCTCGGCATTCTCAAGGCAAACGGTGAGTTAGTGCTTGGCCCGCAGCTGAGAAGTCTCAATGCAACTATCTAGAACAACGACCGGTGAGGAACGACAATGATTTTTAACGCTCCGTCTCATAACAAACTGTGCTTCTTCTCAGTAACTTGGCAGTCACGGTAGCACCTTTTTCGTGTCTCCCAGGCTAGCACCCTCTGGCGAAACCTCACTCCCACCACAATCATGAAGAACCTCAACACCGCGTTCCTGGCCCTTGCCATGGCTGTCGCCGTAGTCTCAGCATTCCCAACATTCCGCCTGACCTCGCGAGCTCCCGACGTCGAAATCGACGCAGTCAGAGCCCTGATGCCCCATCACGGCCGGCCAAACGAGACTGTGGCCTTTCCGGCGGTGGCGGGCAATCGGACTCTGGTGAGCTTGGCTGGACGTAACGTCACGATGCTCGGTAAGCTGCTGAGGCCCTGGTGGATGTTGGCCACGCGGGATGCTGAGCTTTCGTTCAGACAAGCGATACTTCCGGACTGCATGAGCGGCGAGTGAGCAACAATAGACGATGGAATGAGCAACGACGACACGGGATAACGATTTTACGATTTTACGCAACGTCCCGGCACTCAGAATTAGTGTGGCAGATACTAGGAACTTGGCGAACGGGTGGTAGACCTTAGGGATATCCGCACAAAGGTTGCCAATGCAAGGAAGGGAATTGGAGCAAGAAAAGTAACAATGGGATGTATGCAGCTGAGACCAATGAAACATATTTTCTGCCGCATACAGACACTCTCCCACAAGAAAGCTTGTCACTCGGATTGGTAAAACATAGAGGCGAAAGCACCTTGGTCATCAGCAGTGGTCTTGCTACAGTTCATAATGCTCAATAAAGGAGACCATTTCAACAACAAGCGGGGATAGCTCAGTTGGGAGAGCGTCAGACTGAAGTTACAACTTCGGTTCTCACATACATCTGAAGGTCGTGCGTTCGATCCGCACTCACCGCATTTCTTTTGCTTTTTGGCGTCTTATACCGATACCTGTTACATTTCTTGATTTCTGTTACTGGCCGGTGTCGTCGCCAGGTGCATTCCAAGGTGATTTTTGCTTTTGCCATTCAATTTGGTGGGTTACGCGGGGCTGTACGTACATCCCTCACGGGCAAACCATTTAAAATTGGCCACACTAAATCAACTATGCAAAGGGTTGAGACAATACTACATGCCCACCAGTTGCGGATTCTGGCTTGGCTTTAATTTAATTAGAAAAGTAATGGTTTGTAAACGTCTGTACACATCAGAGCCAATTCAAGCAGTCCCCCGAGACTGGCGGATACTTCTGACGGAAGATATCATGTGTCAGTTTTTGAGCGGAGATGTCGCACTGATTTGTGCAATCGACCAAAGTGAACAAGAAAGTCAAGTAGTCTGCGCATGGTCATTACATCATTATTATTCTTGTATAATTACGTTTTGCTTTGCTTCCTACTTATTCATAATATACCAAACCCTCCCGACATGGTCACCTCATGCGCCAAAGGCCTTGTCGTAGTCGGTCAGCGTGAAGCGGTAGCGGACCTTGTTGTTCTTGAGGCGCTCGACGGCCTCTGCGCAGCCCTTTTCGCTGATGGGGATGGTCTCGACGATGGGGAAGAGCTGTTTCTCGGCGGCGAGCTTGAGCATGCTCAGGCACTCGGGCCGGTTTCCGATGTGGCTGGCGCCGAAGCTGGAGCCGTTGGCCATGAACTGCTGGGGCTTGATGCCGTCGATGGGCTTGTCGGGCAGGCCGACCTGGTGGAAGTGGCACCCCACCTTGAGGGTGGAGAGGTAGCTGGCAATGTCAAACTCGTGCGTCATGTCGGCCGAGTTGAGCAGGAAGTCAAAGGTGAAGGCGAGGGGCTTGGCCCAGTCCTTGTCGTTGCTGTTGACAAAGTTCTTGGCGCCGAGCTTGCGCGCGTCCTCCTCCTTGTTGGGCGAGTGCGAGATGACCGTGACCTCGGCGCCGAGTGCGTTGGCCCACATGACGGCGAAGTGGCCGAGACCGCCCATGCCGACTATGCCGACCTTGCTGCCCTTGCCAACCTTTGCGCGGACCAGCGGAGACCAGACAGTCAGGCCGGCGCAGAGCATGGGCGCCGCGAGGTGCGAGGGGATGGCATCAGGGATGGGGAAGACAAAGTACTCGTGGGCGCGGATGTGCGAGGCGAAGCCACCCTGGGAAATGGTCTCGTCCGGGTCGACGTCTTTGGGGTACGGCGCGCCGTACGTGTCGACCATGTGCGGGCAGTAGTTCTCGTTGTCCGACTTGCACTGCTGGCACTTGAGGCAGGCCCAGACCTGGGCGCCGACACCGACGCGGTCGCCGACCTTTACGTCCTTGACGGCCTTGCCGACCTTGATGGCCTTGCCGACGACCTCGTGGCCGACAGCCAGGGGTGTGGGCACGTCCTCTGACCAGCCGCCAGTGATTGTGTGAACATCGCTGCCGCAGACGCCGCAGCACTCGATCTTGATGTCGATATCATGATCGCCAAAGACCTTGGGCTTGATCTGGAAGAGGGGGAAGAGATCCACGTTAGTGATTTGGCCCAATTCTATACATCAATGGGTGGATGCGGGGAAGAAGGGTTGGCTCACGCTCTGCTTCTTGAATTCTGTCCACTTCTTGATGTCATTGATCACAAAACCCTCAAATTTCTCAGAGGATGAGGACGACATGTTGGGCAGGTGATTCTGGGATTGCTCCTTCAGGCGTCGTTCGTGGCTGGTTTGTTCTGATGTCCGTGGGCTAACTCGAGCTTGTCAGGCGATCGTGGATAGGAGCTTGCTTGGCGAGTGGTAGATCTCAATATTCGGGAGGATGCGACGGTGGTCTCAGATCCGGCGCCATGAGGATTATATATCCCATGACGCACATGGGAGTGACAGCCGACCGACTTCCTTTCATGTTCCTGCCCAGACAACGTGGAGTCTAATGCCGGGTCCGACTACAGCTCTGGAATTTACTGCTCCACTAGGTGAGCAGGGACAATATCAAGCAGTCATCATCACGACAGCTGCCCGTGCGAGATACTAGATCGCGATCGGTGATGGCCAGCTCTGCGGATAAAAGAGCGAAGGCGGGGCAGGCGGACGAAGCGCCCGAGCAGAAATGCAGGCTGCTGGGCAGGGCAGGCAGGGATGGTCATGCCGCCAGGAGGAGCTGCCGCAGCGAGCGAGAGCTGGAGAGCTCTCGGCGGTAGAGTTCAAAACTCAAAGATCGTGCGGATGCGATGCCATGTGGCTGCCGTGCCGTGGTGCACCACGTCGGCTGTGGGTACCAGGACGACGAATGGAAGGGCCCAATGCCGGCAGTCAATGGAGCGAGGAGGAGCTGGTGCGCACAAGCGGTGCGGGACGGACGAGGAGACATGACGCCATCGCAGCCGCGGGCGGACTGCACGGAGCATCCGAGATCGCGTCGAGGTGACGTCGATGATGTCGAGACGCGATGGCAGCGCGCAGCAGAAGCCGAGGCGGGGCAGGCGGTGGGGTGGTTGCGGAGGTTCAGGTCCGCCCGCGGAGCCGCAGCTGCCCGCCCAGAAAGCTTGTGACTGATGGTTATTGCTCGAGGACCCAGTCCTAGTTGTCGTTTGTCGACCGTCCGACATGTCAGGCCCGCCAGGGTGCATTCGCAGCCGGGCTCCCGGGTTATATACACCTCGGAGCTGCCCATCAAGGTATCCTCATCGTCGCCTGGCCTCAGTGTCCTCGGCAACCTCTGGTCGACCTGATGAGGAGCGATCCACAGCACGGTCACGATTGACACAACTGTTAGCATCGACACCTCAGTGAACTTCAGATACGCAGTCTCCGCCTCCGCCCAATAAGCCAGCCATCAGACGATCCACAATTTCAAACTGTGCCCATCTCACCTCGATGCATCAGGAAAGCTCCCAGTCGAGCCACCAGTAGCACCCGGCCTTGAGCGCCGCGGGCCGCACGTGCTTACGGAGGATCCCGTGAAACACCGAGCCTGCCAAGGCTATGAATCAAGCTCCTCAGATAGGTCCGCGCAAGGGGCAAAATGGACTGCCAATGTGGATTTAGGGAACGTGTAGGTATGTATTTGAAGGGGTATCAAGATAATTATGTGCTCATGTTGATCGTTGCCTGCTTGCTTATATACATTTTTTGAGTATGCTTTGTACATTGCGCCCGGCTCCTGGGAGTGTTGCGCGTGGTGTTTCGACTTGCTTGGAGTAGGAAGCCACGCCGCATATATACGGTCTTCAAACGCCGGACTTGTTGGACGGCTGACTGCGGTGAGGCTTAATACCCACCGCTTTCGGCAAACTGGAGTTGAATGTCCCTTAGATTGGCCCAGTGCTGCAGCTCCTGCTCCTCGTCCTGCGGTGTCATCGACCCCGACGAGCTCGGCGCGCCCGTCTTTTCCAGCTTCATCAGGATCTCGAGAAACCTCCCCAGGTAGTCCTCTACCTTGACCGCCATGGCGCCCTTGCGCTCCGGCGCGTCGTTGAGCAGGGTGCTCGCCACCTGCCGGATCTTGTTGACGAGCGAGCCGCCGTTTGGCTCGATGTTGCGCTGGTTGATGGATGCTAGCACCGTGAGCAGGTTCTGCACAATGAGCTCGCGCTCCTGCGCGACCTGCGAGTCCCGGTCGTCTTTCTCGTCGTCACTCTGCTCAGTCTCGGCAAAATTGAGCTGTGACCGGTGAGCATCTCGCAAATTGAGGTAACGCTCAACAAAGTACGACCTCGTGGCCAGCTGTGAAGCATAGATATTGGCCTTTTGGATCTCGAATTGCAGCTGGCGCCTGCGCATGGGATGCTGTGAAAAGGCATGCCGCACATCATTGGCAGGCTGGGCCAGAGGAAAGGATGGGGGGTAGTACTGGAGGTCAGATCTGTCGAAGCCCAATGGGTCCTGAATCTGCCCTTCCTCAATCCTCACCTGGAGCTCCAGTGGGAGGTCTTCGGTCGATCCCTTAGCTGCAGCGAGACCGTTGAACAAGATGTTCTTCTGGGCACTCCAGTCAAAGAAGTTGATGCCGTAACACATGTCTACGCCAACAAGCTCGTTCATTGTGGTGTAGACGCGAATGTTCCTGTTGAACCCCGCGACCAAGGGCAATACACCCTCTGGCTGCGGCAAAATATGACTAGCATATATATATTCGTCGTCAACCTCCAGCGGCTGGTCTGGGTATGGCTCCTGCGCAGTCGGCGGAGGAAGTGGAAGCTCGTTAATGGACTGGCCAAGCTGTGTCATGGACCGAACGCCAGCCACTATCACCCAGAATAGGCGCTTGCTCATCTGGTCCTGAATATGGTCTATCGGCTTGCTCGCTGACGGGCTATCGAGATCCAGGCCGTCATTTGAGCGGTGCATCATGGTTTCTCGACAGAAAGTCATCGTCTCAGCCATGAACCGCTTGCACAGTCGTATTTGCAGGGCATAAGCAGCAGCGACTCCGAGGAAGTAGCTCGTGGCTGCGTCGTCCACCGACATTTCCGTTTTGGCCATGAAGGAAGAACCTCGCGCGACGAGCGCGACATGACGGCAGCGCTCGATCATAGTCAAGGAAGTCGGGAACAAGTTCGTGCTGTGCGTTGACTTGAGATGCGCCCGGGCACTGCGAGGAAAGGACGCGACAAGTAGACCAATCATGCTCGACAGCAACGCCAGAAATTCCCGGTTCACTCGGTCCATGCGATCGGCAAAGGCTCGCCTAAATGTCGGCTCGTGTGGGAATGGAACCAGCGGGTGTATATATGTAAAGAAGTCGTCGATGAGAAGCTCTATGACTGGCCAGGGAGCGATTAGCTCCCCATCGAGAATCTCATTCGTGCCGTCCTGCAGCAAGACTGGGGATAGCACTGGCGGCGCATGCTGGGTGACCGGTGATGGCGTTATTGTCTGACTCTGCCCTTCGCCCTCGCGGGCTCGCTTGGCGGCTTTCGCAGCCTCGGCATGTTTGTTCGGAGGTCCTCGTCGTTTCATCGCGCGGTGGAAGGTGCATTCGACTTCGAGATCGGCGCAGGGCTTGCATGGCGGACCGCTCTCGTCACACTGTCGAGTCGTGTTAGAATCATCTTGGCTGCATAAACGAACGTACAATCTGAACGCCAGGGCCAATTGCTGCTGAGCTCACCTTGACTTTGCGCTGGCTACACATGTCACATGCTCTCCGCAATCGTGTGACCTTGTGGTGGTTGGCAGAGGACCCGACAGGCGAGGTCGACAAGGCCTGCATTGGCGTCGGCGGCAGGTCAGGCAGGCCATGCTCGATGCTGTCGTACATGTGGCCATTGAAGGCCTGGCTCTGCTGCATGTGCTGTATGTTGCCCGAGTGCGCGTAGTGCTGGTCGAGACTGCTGTCTGTCGTCGTAGTGTGCAGCGCAGGAGGTGGTGGTGGCGGAGGAGGTGTCACCGCGGGAGCGGGCTGGTGCGCGTGCGCTCCGTGGTGGGGGACTTCGATGCCATCGAAAGAGTTGGGCGTGTTGTCCTGGTATGTCTCTTCTGGATGCGGCCTCAGGTGATCTTGAGAGCCATTGCTCTGGGAAGGCGGCTGCGCAGCTGCAGACGCAGACGCGGCGGCGGCGGCGGCAGCGACTGCAGCGACATCGTGATCGGAGGGCACCTCGCGGGGCTGGTGTTGTGGCTCTTGGTGAGGTTGTTGTTGGTGGTGGTATGGCTGCTGCTGTGGAGGAGGAGGGGGGGGAGGGGAGGTCGCAGCAGCGGCTCTGGCTACGGCAGCGAGGTCATGATAGTCGGAGGGCAGCGTCGACATGTTGCTCCGGGTGGCGTGCTGGACTCGCGGCTAATCATTGGGAAAGGACCGGCTCATCTTCGTCAAAATTGTGACGGAGGAGAGGCGCAACTGGAGCTCTGCTGGCTGCTGGGGAAGGCGTGTGGGGCAGCCGAGGAGGTCGGCCGATCGGCAACACAGTGCGCAGTGATAGATACTGTGTTGCAACGGGCAAGACCCATATCTCGCACATACTCCAACACTGTTCAGACGAACACACTCCGAGGTCCCGTTCGGGAGGTCCACAGGTCGAAGTTGAGAGGTCAGCAATAAGCAAGTCGTTCTTCAATATCATTGGATTCCTACGGGTTCGGCCTACCGATTCGGCAATGGACCAGTTTGCTGCCTTGGTCGCAATCAATTGAATTTCGGCGACCATATTTTCCAGCAGCAATTCAAGACTTAAAATATTATATCATGGAATGAAATCGGATGAAGACTGGTGACGAATAGCAAGAATGCCGGTCGACCATCTATCCCCGTCAGGGTTTCTGCCTGTATAGGACCCATCTAACACAGTCCTCCCTGCTTTACCTTTCCATATTTCGTTTTCCTCACGAGTCTATGCGAACATAACCTTCGTGCCTTGCAACAAACTCCGAGACAGCATCGACAAACTTGTCATCCACGTCCAGGGGAGTATCCAGGATAAGCGCAATGTTTCCCCTTCGCTGAACCCAAAAGCCTCTCTCCAGCATCTCCAGCCAGAACAGCGTCTTGAGATCTTCGTCATCCGGCCCGCCATGCTCTTTACTCCTAACCTGCTCTCCCAACCTACCCCACCCGCTGCCGAAATGCATACAAACCAACGACCCGAAGCCAGTCGCAGACAACATGGTTCCCTTGGTAACCTCGACAAGTCGGGCTCTCAATCTGTCGCCTCGCTGAGTATGTGATATCGCCTTCTCGGGCGTGTACACCTGCGATAGCGCCGCATGGCCCATGGCTAGCATGAGCGTGTTGTTCTGGAACGTCCCGCTGTGGACGAGCGAGTTGATACTGCGCGGGTCATACACGCCCATGATCTCCGCGTCGCCGCCAAACGCACCGAACGGCATACCACCACCGAGGTATTTCCCAAACGTTGTGAGACCAGGCTTGATGAGGGACTGGTCGCTGCCTTGCTCTGCACGGAAAGTGGATTGCAGACCACCGGGAGCGAGGCGGGACGTCATGACCTCGTCGAGGATGAAGACGGCGCCGGCCTAGGTTTGTCATTTGTATTAGTCTTACAAATCCTCCCATAAAGGCTTCTACCAGACAGGATACTTACCTGGGCACACTGCTCCTGAATCGACAACAGGAATTCCTTCGTAGCCGGGATGAACCCAGAAGAGCCCTGCATCGGCTCGACCAGTACAGCCGCGATATTCTCACTCCCTTCCCGCCGGAATGCCTCCACGACCCCATCACAGTCATTGTATTCTACAAGGACAAAGCTGTCCTTGTCGACATTGTTCTCCGTCTGGCCATACTGCAACGCCTTTGCCTCACCTGTACCATTTGAAACCTGTTGCGTCACGGGTGCCCCGAAACTCAAAACGCTACCGTGATAGCCGCCGGTGAACACGACAACCTTTTTCCGCCCCGTGTACTTCCTCGCGGCAGCAAGGGCATGCAGGTTCGCCTCGGTGCCAGAGTTTGTGAACCTGACCCTGCCCAAAGCGAACCGCTCGCACAGCAGCCTCGCGTACCTGGCCTCGAGCACGTTTGTCGCCCCGAGGCTCAGCCCGACGTTCTTCGCCGTGTCTGCCAGCGCCTGCAAGAGCACAGGATGCGAGTGGCCGAACAGCCCCGCGGTAAGCTCGCCGACTAGATCATTGTATGTGTGCCCGTCGACGTCGTGCAGGAGGTGAGACTCCCCGCGGGCCATGAGGACGGGGAAAGGGTTCTCATGGAGCAGGGAGCGTGTGTTGCCCCCCGGGAGGCTGAGGAGAGCTTCCTGGTGGTGTTTGAGGGATTGTGGATGGCGCTGGGCATAGCGGATCAGGGCATCTTGGAGGGCTGTGGATATGGTGGTTGGGTCTGGGCTAGGAGACGATTGAGAGCCCATGATGGAACATGTAAGTTGAAAAGACCTAATTCGGGGATTGAAAGGTCAGATGGATTGAACGCTTTCGTCGCACTGAGTGACGGAACCGGCTACCGATCCTGAAGAATGTGTCTTGAGGAGAGAATCCGACATGCACAAACTGAGATGAAGAAAGCAAAGCAAATAGAGAAGATTAAAGGAAGCGGGAGTGCGACTTCGGGCACGTATCACGAGCGCGGGGTGTGTGTAAGCCGGGCCGAGTGGGCCAGGACACCGGGCCGTTGCGGGGCCCCTTCCGTATCCAGCTTCGTTATCAGTTCTAGCCAGGACGTCGCCCATATGATGGATAATGCAATTTGTCCCTATGCATGCGTATGACTGATATGTGGTCGGTATCTCTATTGCTTGGACGCCACGCGGCTTTCCGGGGCGCCATCTAATGGACGAGGCGGTGAAAACACGAAGTTCATGCGCCACGTTCTACAACGAGAGCTCTCGGCAGACTTTAGTCAACATCCTTGTCTGCCAGGGCAGCCTCCATCTTCTCGAGTTCGCGATCAATGCATTTGAACGCCAAACTCTGGTAAAAGGGCGGATACAAGAAGGGTCGAAGCTGGTTAGCAGCAGTGTGGTTAGCAATGCAAGATACCGAATCTGTTGGGCTACCTTTCGTCTATGTTGCAGAACGCCCATGCCAATACACTCACATCTAGCGCGACAGAGTCAGCACGATCAATTCAGTGAGCTTGAGGAGAGCGAACACATACCAAAACGATTGTCATCCGGAGAGTAGTCGTTGCAGTGCAACGCCGGCGTCAACGTGGTCAACTTGTGCCTGTTGATGGCATAGTAGTGGTAGAAGCGCTAGGAAAGAAACAGATCACATTAGTATCATGCAAAAAAAGAGGAACAGGATGCAGAGAGATCAGACGCAAACAACTCGTCATACCTTGACCTTTTCAGCAACCTGGCGAGGCGTGTAGACGGGCTGCCCGTCATCCTTGGCACCAGGGCGATTCGCACCCCACTCGTGGGCCAGCCGCTGGAACATTCCGTAAGGACCGAGCTTGTCGACCTTGCGTAGACTGGAAGCATTGCAGAGGTTAGAACCGTGGCAAAAGAAACTAAGTCATTGGATCATGGCATACCGGCCAAATGTGGTCAGCTCGTCATAAGTCATGCCCATATCGGCCTCATCGGATTGGACACTATTGTGCAAGTCAGTATAGTCACAGGCCTGGTGGGGAGAGGTCCAGGATGGAGAAGACGGACTAAGTCTCAGTAATCGGCTCAAGCTATGACAATGTTAGTGGTTTTATCTCCATGATCTGTTGCCCAAGAGTCCTACCTCAGCAGTGGGCACTGCGGTCAGAAATTCGTTTAGACAAGGCAGGTCAAAATTGGTCTCTGCCCAGGCTATGAAGCGCTTCAGATCGCTTTTGTCGATTGAGCCAATAGGGTTGATATCGGCCGAAGAGCAGTCGTACTGTAGTCTCTGTTAGTGTCAGAGAATAGGCAAATGGAGGTGGTGATGACCTGCCTTGGTCAAATAGCCGCGTAATGATTCACTAGTATGTAGTTCAGTCGCTCTAATTTCAAGTATCTGTAAGTGGAAAAGGAAGATGACTTACCCAACGTTCGCACTTCCAAGAACCAGGAGCGATCCAGCGCCAGGACGCCCACGTGACGTGGGCAAGATCTGAGCGAATTCATATGCAGTGACCATACGAGAGCGCTGCAACAGTCAGTGGGATAAGATGTCAGTTACAACCGCCCAAGAGCATGACATCGTCAACAAGGGGCCGGATCACTAACCGCCTGAATGTTTTGCAACATCAGATTTTCAGCCAGCGTGCCGCCCTCGACCTTGAACTTGGGCTCAAAATTGAGGCACTTAACAACAAGGTTTCTCTGAGCATTATAAATCTCATCGATATCCAGATTGACGTGGTAGGCTCCGATTGCCGCGGCCAGATCCTTGGCCCTTTGCCTTGTTTCCTTTGAGCTTTGTTTGGACATTCCCTACAGCGTGTCAACTTTAGCGAGAGAGGCTACTGCTCGAACATGCTGCTTACCATGTAGACAGTGTGGAACAGTTGATTGCAAAGCCCTTCTGGGGTCTCCGGGACCGTGCCCTCGGTGTACTTGGCGATCCTGAGAACGTCGGCAATGACCTGCTTGTTCCCAGCCTTGCAAGCCTCCGAGACCATACGGCACATGGAAAAGACAATCACAGCGGTTGCGCAGGAGTCAATACCACCGCTGAGTGGGACCAGGTAGCCAGCCACGCCACATCGACGGAGGTAGTCCCACAGGTATGCACCTGTGCACAGGGCAATCTCCTCCTCGGGGGAGTGGTAGCGTGGCTGTATCTCCATTGAGGGAAAACGCTTGAGCTTATAGTCTTCTTCCTCTGAGCTGAGCTCAAATTCCGTTTCGATACGCCTGTATGTAGGTGCCAAGACGCTTTGCATGCCCCTAGATGGAGCGAACCGGTAGGCTCGAATTTCTTCGAGGTCGATGGTGGCGGTCACGACCTCGACATCTTCCAAGCTGAATTGGGAGCCCTGTGCGAGCAGCTTGCCATTGCAGATGATCATCGCGCAGCCGTCATAGTACAGGCGGTCTCCATCACAACCTTGCTGGTTGGCATAGATGTAAACGCCGCCGTTCTTTCTCGTGGCCTCCATGATTAGCTGCATGCGAAGATTGAGCTTGCGGAGAGTCCAGTGCGAGCCGCTTGAATTGGTGATGATCTCGACTCCATTCAAAGACATGGCATTGTGCGGTGGATCCGGAGTGAACAGCTCTTCACATGTCTCACAGCCAATGGTTGTGTCTGGCGTGCTGATGACCGCGTCTCCGATGGTGACCTTGGTGGCGCCCTGGAGGACTCGGATCATGCGAGGTAGGTAGTACTCTTCGCAGTGCTGTGGGCGAAGCCATGGGACGAAGAAGCGCTGCTCGCGGTAGTTGCCATCTCCGGCGAGGAAGAGCTTCGGGCGGATGAGCAAGATCTTGCCATTGTAACAGATCTAGGACGTTGTTAAAAGACATGAACGCTCGACTGGGGGCAGCCATAGTAGGGACTTACGACACGGCAGTTGAAACGATTATTGCGATGCAAGATGGGCATGCCAATATCGAGAATAATGTCATAGCAGGACTTGTCCCGGAGGATGACCTCGAGAGACTGCCAGCAGTCTGAGGGAGTGCTTTGTTAGCTGAGCAGCAGCAGGTTCAGCCGCAAGACCACTTACGCAAGTACAGGTCCTGCTCGAGCAGATGGTCGAGACAGCCATAGCCGCATATTTCAAGCTCGGGACCAACACGGAGGGTGGCCCCAGCCTCCTTGGCTTTCTGGATGCTCTCGATGATGCGCTGGGTATTGCCCTCAAAGTCGAGCGCCCACTGGTTGAGGTTGCATGTTGCAACCGTGACGAGGTGACCCATGCCTGCGGTGCTGTGCCGGATCACGGCAGTAGAGTGTTGTGCACTGAACTCAAGCTATACTTTGCGCGTTCGTGATCGCTGGCAGACCGGAAGAAGGCACGTCCGGGCGTATGGAGGGGTGACGCCGGTGGGAGCCGACGAACGGAGCCGCCTCGGCCGCTTTAGTGGGTCCGCTGCGGCCACGAAGGTGGCATGTCGCTGGGCAGACTGCGCAACGTACTTTACACGACAGCCTCGACACTCACGTCACGTTGGTGTCAAAGCCTTGCGCGGTGAAAGGCGCGACCATATCTACTTCTGAAGGAGCCCAGAACATGCTTAGCATGGTGTCAATCTGCAGGCGTCCAAGCAACAAGTTCCGCCGCACCCCATCTAGAGTCTCTCAATGGTGTGCTTGTGTTTCGCCGGCACGTTGGCGCCGCGTATGTCACGGCGCTTCAATATGTCATCACGCTTGGAGTCAGAGAAACTAAAGTAAATTGGCTCACGAGTCGCATGTGTAATTGCCGATCCAGGGGAGCAGAGAACAGAAGTTAAAGACGAACAAGTCCCTCGAGAATTTTGTGAGGCAGAAAGGCTGCATCCCTGCACCCGGCTAGCCTTCCTTTGTTGCCTGGTCATTCCTGAGCTGCACCCTAGAAACATCACCAACGAGGGTATTGGCTCCTCGTCGCGAGCTGGTCACAGCTGAAAGGTCTGACGAGATGAAGTACGACATTCCATTGCTGCGGCCACGAAGACGGAACCTGCGCAAGGGGGCTCTGACGTCCTCTGGGCGGGATTGGGCGAGGGAGATGTCTCTCCCTTCTACACGGGCAGGTTCTCCTTTCCAGGGGACAATGGACCCTCGAGCAGCACGCAGTGGTGGGGCCAAGCCGTAGCTGCCTGGCCTGCCACCTCCCGCCCTATCGCCCAATCGCCGCATTGCCCAGCTGTCAATTGCGCACTTCTGCGTGCCATCCCATCCCAGGCCTCACGCACGGCACGCCAGCACCGGCTCCACTGTCTCGCCTCCTGCATCCCCAACGCCGCATCGACACTCGCACGCCTGTCGAATCATCTCGCGCCGCCTGCACTGCCAGCTTCTGCGATCCTGGCCGTGCCGACCTGCTCACTTTGCCCTGCACAGCAGCACCCGGTCCGCATCGTCATCCTCTCACCGACCCAAGCAAGCACGAGCACGACATCTTCAGGGTCGCTCGTCTCTTGCCTCTTAGCATCGTCCTCCTTTTAGGACCACCGCAATCCGCCCAACCGACCCTTCAGCCTCTACCATGTCGACCGGTCTCACCCGACGCCGCGGAGCTGGAGGCGGCGGCCCCTCGTCGGAGGGCGAGCCCTCTCGCACCAATTCGTCGCAAAACGTGCGCGAGCACAGCACCCCGGAGACGAGCTACGAGAAGAGCGAGAATGGCCACAAGATCGCATTCGACCCCAGGGACATGAACGAGAGTGCGGAGCGCAGCAAGCAGCCAAAGCTCACTCTCATGGAGGAGGTTATATTATTGGGCCTGAAAGACAAGCAGGTGCGTCTACTTCGGGAGCCTTGTGGCAGGCCTTGCTGCTACACCGCCCACTGGTCGCGGACCTGTTGTTCTGTCGGCTACCCGGCCATGGTCGGGAGTTACCGCAACCACTAACCTCGCGTTCTACAGGGATACCTTTCCTTCTGGAACGACAACATCAGTTATGCGCTCAGAGGCTGTATCGTATTGGAGCTGGCCTTCCGTGGTCGCATCGCCATGACTAAGGATGCCTCTAGGCGGAGATTTCCCCTGGCCGATCGGATCATCGAGGTCATTGACGACACTCTTACTGGCGAAGTGCTTCTCGACGAGGCCCTCAAGATGATGAAGCAAAGCGAGAAGATGAGTGTCGCTTCCTGGATTGACCTCATGAGTGGTAAGCAGCTGCCACCAGCACCGTCGCGGCACTCCATCGTGCCCTACTTTCCTCATGTGTAGCCGGCTAACAATCCCACGCCATGCGCACAGGCGAGACCTGGAACCTCATGAAGATCGGTTACCAGCTCAAGCAGGTTCGCGAACGCCTCTGCAAAGGCCTTGTCGACAAGGGCATCCTTCGCACCGAGAAGCGCAACTTCCTACTGTTCGACATGCCGACACACCCTGTGGCCGACGGTGGTGCCAAGGATGAGATCCGGAGGCGCGTCAGAAACGTGCTGACACAGCGAACCGTTGTGATACAGGGGTCGCAGTGGCTCCCTGAGAACCTCGAGTTCCGCTACATTAGGACCATTGCCATGGTCTGCGCCGCTTACGCCGCGAACGTTCTCGAGAACGCTCTCAGCAGTCTCGGCCACGAGGCCCGCGAGCGCGCCTTCACCCAGACTGACGAGCTTCTCGCCGAGTACTCGCAATGGCCCTTCGGACGCAAGGCTAGCTCTCAGGGCATCGGTGCCAACATTCCTCAGGCCATCTCAGATGTGAGTCCGATTTGACGAACGACCTATCCTATGGTTGTATCCCTGATTTGTCTTGTGCTGATCATGCCATTTGCAGGAAATCAATGCTGCCAAGGACAAGGAGTTGCAACTCGAGGTCGTTGCCGCGTGCCTTAGTGTCTTCACTCGCCTGGACTCGCTCCTATAAGCACACAACGTCTTGAATCACACAATTTGATGGCTGATACGGTCGACAATGCGAAGGGACAGCGTTGAGCGCTGTCCACGAGCCATGACTGGGATGCAGCAAGAACACGCACAGATAATTTCGACCATACCGGCGGAAGCCATCTTTCGACCAGATACCACGCTTTGTGCTAAGGACACTATCTTTGGTATGGGGCCGAGGAACAAATGCCGGATTGGGTGGGATAGATGTTAGATGGAAGCGAGGAAGCACCAGATCTCCTCGCGACGAGTAGCCACGACCACTGTGCCGCCCGGTGCACACTATGAGCTGAGAAAGGAGAGGACAGGGATGTGGGCCTTGAACCTGGGGGGCTTGAGCTGAGGAAGCTCAGAAATGACCACGGGCGTGCTGTTCATTTTCGCGTCATTTCCTTGAAGCAAAAATGCCAGGTGTTCCTTGTTTACTGGGGTTTCCAAAATCTTCAATTCTAATACTTCTTGTTTGACTTGATGGCAATTGCGGGCGGTGTCTTCGTGTTCGAGCCACATTTGTTGTTGTCTGCATGCTTCCAGAGATGACTGAAGAGTGTTTAGTATTCAGCATTGCGTCTCCCTGTCCTTTGACAGGCGAAAGGCCTCACAAATTACGGTCATGCAATGCAGGCGCTGCTCACGTTGCCCCGTTTTGTTGTTGTTCGTTATGGACGGCCGAGTCATTAATCGTCACGGTTGCTATCACCCTTTCTCCCCGCCCTTCTCACTTGCCCTTCTTGAGCTTTTCCTTCCACCCGCCCTTGTCGAACAGCCATACAGCCTCGATCGCGAACGCCCTCGCGCTGCGATGACCCCTGCCTTCCTCGGTCCCGGCCTCCTCGTAGATGCTCCGCATCACCGCGCCCTCCTCCATCTGGCGCCAGATCCCCATGGGCACGTCCTCGCTCGGCCCGCCGCCAAACTCGCCCCTGCCGAGGCGGAACAGTATGCGCCCGAGGGTCTGGTAGGCGATGCAGCGCTGGCCGGGCACCGCGCTGCGGGTGAGGCGGGCGAGCTCGGCGACCGTGTAGCCTGCCGCCTCGGGGGCCTCGCCGTGGTGGTGCAGGCCCTTGGACACCGGGACCGCGCGGGAGATGCGGGGCGGGAGCAGGGTGCCGCGGAAGTCGAAGCGGAGCGAGGCGATCGGGTAGCTGGACTGGTCTGGGTGGTAAGGGGAGTCGTAGTCGGCGGGCGAGTTCGGGGTCGGGATGGGCGCCATCCAGGCTAGCTTTGACGGGTCGGCGGGCAGCGAGGGGAAGTATTTCTTGTGCAGGGACTCGAGGAAGTCTGGGTCGTTGGGATCGAGGTCGGCTGGCTGCGGAGGTTGGGGCCAGTGTGGCTTTGGTTCGGGTTGTTCTTGGTCTTGCGGGTCGTTTGAGGGTGTGATGATCTGATCGGCAGGAGGCGCGCTGGGTACGGGCACATCATCGGTATCGTCATTGTCGTGGTCAACGTTATCATGCGATTCTGAGACTGGGTCTCGTTTTGGTTGTTCGGGGGCGTGCTTGTGTGGTTGCGCTTGTCGTTCTGCGTCGTCCTCTTCCACTGTGGACTGGAATCTGACCTTTTTCGGGTCTGACGGCTTCGATGTGTCTTCGACTTTTATTTGTGGTGGCGCCTCTACTGCTGAGGCGCTCTCTTTTGCTCCCGGTGCATCAAATGGCGATGGGCCATTTGGATCGTCAATATTGGCCCTCCGCAAGAGCATCTCGAGGGTTTTGGGGTCGAGTCCACCAAACAGCTCCTGCCGCGCAGCCTCGATCTCCGCCGGCGACATGGAGGCGAGCTTCTCGTTGTTCTCACGATCTATCCGCCTCTGCTCGCGGGTCTCGAAACTGTCGGTCTCGGTTGTGGTTGTCGCATCGTCGTTGCTCACTTGCAGAGGCTCGTGTGTGGATGTCGTGAAGACTTTGGTCGCTGATTCGGGCGGTGCAGGCCCCTGTCGCTTCTGCTTGAATGCTGATATCCGGGTTCGCTTCTTGTGCTCGGGGAAGCCGGACTGGGATGTCTTCATCTGTGGGAAGCTGGGCACCTTGGGCGCAGCCACCTCCTTCTCCTGAACATCCAGGATCAGAGTGGACGGGTCCATGGCGAATAGATGCCTGTCAGGATCGGGGTCGAGCTGTGACAGAAATCGAAGTTACAAGCCAGATTGACCAGAGCTTCGACAGTAGTTACTACAGTGGCAAAGACCAAAGGAATAGACTGTGGACATGAGGTGGTCTATTATCGAGACCGGAGGAGCTGGGGAAGCAATGCTTGCTGAATTCCTGAAAGCTCGTTCTGCGGCCCTCGTGGTGGGGTCCGGGTTCTCCAGTTCCAGAGATTATGACACAGCTCGGCTAGATGCAAGATTCTGGCTAGATGCATTGAGCCGCCCGGTCACTGGTGTGGCTGTCGTTTGCCTTGCTGTGCAACATGGTAATTAGAGTTGTCAGCCGCTAGTCCCAAAGAGGGGCAGTGCAGTAGCGTCCGATCTCAGAGACAGTATTTTGGGATCTCGGTACTGTACGCACATGGCCCTTGTGGCGGGCCCGCGCCCGAAAGGATGCACCCAATCACGACCTGCGGCGGCCCACACCAGCACGGGGTCGGTTCCTGGTGCAAGTTGGGTTTGTCTTGCATCCGAGTATCAAACATTCTTTGTTCGCTTCCCGCTTCGTGCGCATATGGAAAGGCATGATACATGCAGTGGTCATATCCACGGAGTAGGTAATTGTCTGTGCTCCGGGGACAACAATATCCGCCTTGTACGAACCATAGTGCGCATCCATGCATGTTCCTGGCCTGTTTACTCCGGATGCAGTGGTTTCAGCCCCGATCCGCGACGAGCCGCAGTGCTCACCCATCATCCGCGCAACGAAACTTGCAGTCAATCCTTTCAATGAACCCCTTCGGTTCCTGTGGAGAAAACTGCAGGCTAAAGTCGCCCACCTACTCATTGTCATGGCATCGAGTTCTTTGTATCCCCTCAAGGCAGTGCGCTCACGAGATGTGACAGGACCCACTTCCCCAAACTCGCCCCCCATCGGAGCCGCATGCTCGGAGTGGCCATACATACTTGGCTGCCAAGCCTGCAGCAAGAACTGCGTCATCGCCATGAGAACCAGCCTTTGCTCGATGAACACAGTCTCGGTTGATGGTTACTGGCAGGAGTTGTTTCCTCCGCGCACTCGCAGCCTGCATGATTGGCTCGTGAGCTTCAGCAGGCACATTTCTCCGCAACCTCTGAACCGGAATTGCTGCCAAGACGTGGAACCCCACAGCTGTGGAGAATGCCAGATTTGGGGCATGAACCCTGAGGTATCTTTCTTTGTGGCGTTTTCGAATCTCGCGGTGCCTGTGGTGCGCGGCCCACCCCTGCCAGGCCTCGAGTTACCGCAGGGTACGCGACCCATGCAGGCTTCTGGTGTGCTTCCAGCCCACGGGTCTTTTTGCCGTTTTACTGCTCGAGGCTACAGTACGGACTAGAGCGCTGTCCCCCATCCAGGATGATTTATGCGTGCGGCAGCCATGGGTGCAAGCCCCCTTGCGGAGCTAGCCGGGCCAAACCAGGGTCCGCCGCCCTCGGGCAAATGCGCGGCCAGCCAGCCAGCCAGCATACTCGACTCGGCAGAGACGACATGCCGCGACGATTGTTGACTTTGCAACGACATGCGCTTGCACATCACTCGTTGTCTTGCTTGTCTGTCTGCTTGCAACCAACCGGCCAGGCCCCCTTTCCCCTACGCCCACGCCGCCGGCCTCGTCGCTGTCCTGTCTCCACCTTGCCTCGGCCGGCTCTCTGTCCCTTCCACCATCCACCATCGCTTGCTACCGTCGGCTCAGCGCTGGTCACGTTCGTTGCTGAGGCCCGACTCGCGTGGCCCGTCGCTCGCTCGCTGCGTTCGTGAGGCGGTTGGCAAGCAAGTACCTGCTAGTTCCAGATTGCGCTTCCCCCTTTGGTCCACCTGCCTCTGTCGCCATTGCCATCATCGTCGCCATCCCCCGGCTGGCCTGCGCGCAAGTCTGCCCACCCCCATTCTTTCCGCGTCCTGCCTTGTCTCTTTGCGTGTGTGCTTGCTCACTCATGCTGCTGCTCTTGACGCTATCCTGACCTGGCCCTTGCCCTCTCGTAATACAATCTCTTGTCGCATGCGACGATTCCTCACGCTCTCTGACCTTCTACTGCCCGCCCCGGTTTTCCGTGCTGCCCATCCGCTCCGTTTGGGCGTAGGGACGCTTCTGCCCTTCCAGTCCATTTCCCGTAGCCATCTCCATCGCCCACTTCTGCCCTTTCCTTGACATCTCCTCGATGCCAACCTTTCTTTCTTCTCACAACTTCACAACACAGCCCTCGCAATCCCTTCGACAACTTGCAGCCGTCGCCGTTCGTCGTCTTGGGACCCTTTCCATCATTTTCGACACGCCCTCATCATCGGCTTTGCCTGATGCACGTTCTCGAGTCGTTTTGAGCAGCCAGCGACCGGCCGAGCGCCCACAAATCGCGATCAGAGGCCGCCACCAACGACGACTAGTCACTGGTGGTCCTGTGCAGTTCCCAGCTGAGGCTATTCAGAGCCCACTGCACACATAACCTGCCACTCACCCTAAGCCGCCACACCGATGCTCACCACAACCACCATCTAAGCACCCCCGCTCTGGACCTGCACCACGCACGCTTGACTCAACCAGCATCACCAGATTGCCGCGTGATTCATCAACCACATTTCGCGGTCATCTTCAATCATCGTCCTGCACACGGCGACATTTCCGTACAGTGCACCAGGCACCTCCAGGGTCCACAGCCAGCCACTAGACACCTCAGTACTCGGAGCGGCTACTGCGCAGACGTCGGCCAAGTTGCGCCATTGCGGTGCATCGACGAGTTGAGGCTATCCGCGCACACGGAAGGCGTGCATCGTGCCTCGCTGTAGACGTTGGGACTGCAGCGGCTGCGACGCACCTGGCTGGGCGCCTAGAGCGAGCCCCTGTATCTCCAACGCGGATCCGCTGCACCAGGGGTGCGAGTCTGTTCTTGTGCCGCCGCACGTCACGTCGAGCTAGCTAGCGCAGCTGGCCCTGCCTGCCACCAATTACCAGGCGCGTCCACAGCGTTCACACACACCCACACACCACCACAATGGCCGCATCCGGCAGCCTCGCCCATGGCCGCCGCTACAGCACCTCTCCAGACTTGTCAGACCCCCCTTCAGTGCTTTCCGCACCAAACTCTCCTCAGCCCGGCACGAAGCTAAAAAATGGCAGACAAGTCGATGAGATTGTCGTCGTGCACAACCCCGAAAACATCCGCTACGGCCCGGACGGCCTGCCCATGCTCACCAAGAATGGCGTCCCCCGCAGGAAGCCTGGCCCCAAGCCCGGTACCACCCTGAAGCGTCAGAGCAACCAGCACGAAGACGGCACCGAAAAAATCAAGAAGCCTCGCAAGCCAAAGGACCCCAATGCCCTCCCCGTCCAGCGTAAGCGCAAGAACGCCTCTTCGGATCCAGATGGCAGTGAGTCAAGATCACGGGCCGCTAGTCTCGGTCCCGGGTTTGGCGGCGCTGCCGCGCAGCAAGTACACAAGTTCGCCGATGACGACCGTGGAACTACCCTGGGCCGGCTCGAGCACAATGCGCAGCAACTTCCCAAGCGCGAATCTCTACCTGGCTCAATGTCAAAAATTCTCAACGCGGACCCCGAGCCCGTCTCTCGTTCACCTCAACAGAGCGCGCCCCCGCCTCGAATCAGCGGCACCGCGTACGACCCGATACGATCCAACAACTACGACCCTATCCGAGGCACCTACTCTAGCTCGATGGGCTCTCCGCGCGCGCCCGGGACCGCGACAGCCAATCGCGCCAGTGCCTCGCCGTCAATTTCCAGCCTCGTCGACCCGGTGCCCGTGTTCAACTATGGGGCCCACGTACCTAGCACATACCAAGCGCCGTTATCGAATTTCTTCCCTAATGCCAAGGTCAACAAGGCACCGGAACCTTCGTCAGTACCCGCATCACCCGATCCTGTACGAAAAGACTTCACGGCCGTCACGACACAACCGAAACCCATATCCGAGCTCGGAAAACCAGCCACAGTCGCGTCAGCAAAGATTGAGATTCGGCCTCAGTCCATAACGACAATTGGTGCTGCCTCGGCGAAACGGGCCTCTTCTAAAGAAATCAGCACGGCATCTTCACCCAAAGAGGGTCCTGGAGGGGCAGAGCGCTCCATTCTTGACTTTGGCAAGGCCGAGCCTGGCTCTGAACTGATTGCGCCTTCCATCGTGCTCAACATTCCTTTGGCAATCGGCGAGAACAACAAGTACGTCAACTTTATGCGGATGGCAGAGGAGCAATACGGTTGGGACGCACTGCACCCACGGCAGGCCGAGGCCAAGGCCAGGAAGGCGCGTATCGCCGCGGCTTCTGCTGCCTTGGCACAAAACGACTCAAGCCGGGAGGGCGACGAGATGTCCGTGGACGAATCCGACAATGACGATTCCAACATTGAGATGGGTGGCACGAGTGGTCCGGACAAGCCTGATGGCAAACCCATCAAGAAGAAGAAGAGGCATTTCAAGGAGGACGAATATGATAGGGACGACGACTTTGTGGACGACTCGGAAATGCTCTGGGAGGAACAGGCTGCCGCCAGCCGTGATGGCTTCTTCGTATACTCTGGGCCGTTGGTGCCAGAGCCCGTCAAAGAGCCATCCGGAAAGTAAGTATTCATCCCTCCCTTGCGCAGTCAACATAGCTAACCAGCCAGCAGGCGCGATGGGTTGCCCAAGAGGGGACGTGGTTCACGTGGTGGACGCGGCGGTGCTCGTGGCGCAGGAACGGGCACAGGTCGTGGTCGTGGAGGCGGCCCTGGCTCCCGAGGTGGTGTTGTGAGAAAGCCGCGGATGACCAAGGCTGACAAGGCTCAGCTGGAGAAGGAGAAGGCTGACCGAGAAGCCACTCTCTCCAAGACACCAAACAGCGCCGGAGCTCAGAACATCCTGAACCCCGGCAGCCCCCAATTTGCTGGACTGTAGAAAGACGGTGTGGGTACGCGGCAAGACGTGTAATTATTCATTTTGGGTGCTATACTGCTAGCTCAGGCGTTTCTGGCGCACGGAGACATTGATGTGGCATCAGGTGTTTGGTCCTTATACATAGAGGTTACAGATTCACCCACCACTAGACGGCGCAGCACAAAACATGTAGCTGTTCTGTAGGCTATACAAAGCAATAGATTTTGGTCTCGAGGAATTAAATGGTGTGACTGGACTGTCGTGTATATAGTGAACGGTGGTGTGCAGAGTTGTTTCACTGATAGTTAACCTGATACTCGACTTGGTGCCCACAAAAAATTGCTCCTGGGTGCTGAATGTGAAGGCACGATATGTATGGTATGTAGGGAAAGCCTTCGTACCAACAAAAGAGAGTTCGACATCTTCAAAGCAAGACGCAACCGACTGACTGACAGACAAAAAAGCAAAAGAAATGCGGTGAGTGCGGATCGAACGCACGACCTTCAGATGACAAGAACCGAAGTTGTAACTTCAGTCTGACGCTCTCCCAACTGAGCTATCCCCGCTTGTTGTTGAAAATTACATCGTGTATCTAGCATCATGTACCTGCATGGTGAATGGGCAAAGTGTAAAGGAAAAGCGGGGACCCGAGACCTTAGACCCTGATGTCGGGTGGGGTTGGTTTGAGGGGCGGCCGCCGCTGCTTGTCCACTCGTCCTAGGGATTTCCTATGCCATTTTCGACTCCACACCGGGGAAGGATCCACGCGGGATATAGGCTGAGAAGCAGTGGCAGCAACCAATCCTGGAGAATTGTGAAGGGCGTGTACACTTGTTTCTGCCTGGCTAGGGAATGCTCTCCTCGGCTAGATGACAAGTCGCCGGGATTGTGTGGTGGTCACAACACGTTATTGGTGCATGGGCTTGCCCAATAGTGGGGACGGCTGGGCCAGGTGCGCAGCCCTCACAGTCACTTATAAGTCCGGATGTGTAGGGGCAGGCGGAATCCTTCTTCTTCTTCATTCACTGTTCATGCTGCCATAGTGAGAACTGCCTTGCGAACTATCATAGCTACTGGTATGGAAGCATCTGAAGAAAAACTTCTACTTAGAAACACCTCAGCCACTCACTACTCGATCCATGAGCAAGCTGACCTCTCTCCCTTCCCGACCAGAACGCCTTCACCAACCACACACGTCACTAAGCAAACATGTCTTCAATCGTGCATCCATTGTCCGCCGCGGCCCTGTTCAACCTCTCTGGTTGGGTTGCTGTCAGTAAGTCATTTGTCTTACTGCTACCTTTCTCTCTCTCCAAGACCTTGCGGCTCGACACTGACAATGGATGCGAATGGTGTAGTCACCGGAGGCGGCACCGGCGTCGGCCTAAGTACGTTTACTCTCTCACATCTGCTTCGACAATCTGCCGCGCGCTCATTCTGTCTTCGGGGACCCATGTTTGCTCTTTCTTCCACGACAATATTCTAATTCTCGCCTTTCCGTTAAAACAAATAGTGATGGCCAAGACCCTCGCGGCCAACGGGGCAAAGGTGTACATCACCGGCCGGCGCGAGGACGTGCTCAAGACCAGCGCCGACGCGCACGGCAGCCGAGAAGCTCTGGGTCCTCAGGGTGGCAGCATCGTCCCGCTCGTCATGGACGTCACGTCCAAGGACAGCATCAAGGCGGCCGTGCAACAGGTTGGGGACCAAGAGGGTCATGTCGACGTGTAAGTCCTTTTTTCGTTTTTCGGTCTCAACCTTGCGGGGCTTGATCGTCAGGTAGCCCGCGCTGTGCTGGATTGAAACACAGTGAGAGAAAGACACAAGCCGCTGGGACGATGATGCTGATGATTATTTCATGCTGTGACGCGCGGACACAGACTGATCAACAATGCGGGTGTCTGGTCTGGTCGCGCGAGCGCACGACCCGATGCCGGCGTCGAGGCTTACGCAAAGTCCCTCTTTGACGATTTGACCGAGGAGAACTTCCACAAGGGTACGTAGTTGCTGTTCCAAGTATTAGACCCCATCGCCGCCCATTCATCTTGTCAAAAAGATTCGAGAACAGTGGCGATGTGTTTGTTGGATGACTGACTTGACCACCGTGACAGCTTTCGAGACAAACTGCGCCGCCATGTACTTTGTCACTGCGGCCTTCCTGCCTCTACTTGTCAAAGCCGCCGAGGGCCCGAACAAGAAGCCCGGCAACGTGATCAACAACACGTCCGTGAGCGGTTCGCTGAGGATGTGAGTTTCTGAAATGGGCCGGCTCTGGTTTCCTGGTGTATATACACGTGTAGTGATTGCGCGCTATGACTGACAGAGGATGACGGCGCACAGCACGCAGAACGGGCAGTTCCCGTACAACGCAAGTTATCCTCCCGCGAGAGCACGAGAAAGGGAGTGAACAAGGCACGGACAGCTGACGTGATGAGACGGACAGGCTAGCAAAGCGGCGGCGAACCACCTGACGAGACAGCTCGCCAACGACTTCCATCACGACAACATCCGCGTCCGCGTCAACGGCTTTGCACTGGGTCAGTAGTACATGATCTGCCCGAGTCGAGACTGGCCAGCCCTTCCCTTCTCCCTAGAACCACAATAAATCATGGTTGATCCATGCTTTCCCCCGCCTCCGTTCGCCGCACTAACCTTTCAATTGTCTTGTGTGCGCAGGCATGTTCCCCTCCGAGATGACGCTGGGAACCTCCAACGAGCAGAACGAGAGCACGTACGACGTCGAGCAGTTCCGGACCGGCATGAAGGCCTATGGTGTCAACCTAGAGAGGATGGGCACCGCACAAGAGCTCGGTAGCGTGAGTTTTTTCTTCATCATGCCCTTGTGTGTTTTCAGCTCCCTCCAGGCGTCCGTGACTTTGTCGTGCACTCCTCTTGTTTACCTTTATCGCAGTTTTGCGTATGCAAGGAGCTTTTTGTCCCTTTTCTCCCTTCCTTTTTGGTTCGATCTCTCTCAGCTAATGCGTGTACTGACAAATTCGTGTGGCGTCTTCTTGCACAACAGACCATTCTCAATATTGCTACCAACGACTACATATGGGGGAACATCATCACCGTCGATGGCGGCTGGGTTTTGTCGGCGCCAGGAAACTTCTAGAGTGCCGTCCAGTGTCATGTACGCTCGAGAGCTCATGTAGGGAGAGAGGGAAAGAAATAAGGAGACAAAGTAGAGTTACTGCGCTAGTATGAGCAAGGCCACCTTGAAGCCCAGCAGATTCGCAAAAAAAAGCCGTCTTGAAAACCTGCTCATTCTCAAGCTCTGCAGACGTGGGGAAAAGAGAAAAACCCCGGCTCACGACACGTTGAGCGCATTGACATTCCTCGCGTGCTGGTACACCAGCTGCTGCGCCTCCTGGTCATCCAAGTAGATGGTGAACCCGTCGTCGTGGTTCCTCCCGTACGAGTAGTTCGAGTACCCAAACTGCCAGTACAGGTCGCCCGCCATCTTCTCCTCGAGCATGATCGACTGCCACTCGCCATAGACCTGCGGGCGCGTCTTGAACGAGAACCAGAACCGCTGGCTCCAGCGCGCGGCGGGCGTCAGCCAGCCGTACTCCTCGTGCACGACGGGCTTGCCCGCGGCCCGGCCCGAGGCGGCGTGATCGCGGATCCACCGGGCCGTCCAGGAGATGGTCTTGAACCACCAGTCCGGGTACGTGTGGAAGACGCCAAAGTCGATGTTGGGCAGGGTCATCTCGTGGTCAAAGTCGCCGCCGTCGAAGCCGTTGTACCGCGTGTCGAGGTTGCCGCGCTGGTTGTAGGCCCCCTCGCCGCCCCAGGTGACCATGTGGTCCGGGTCGATGGACTTGACGAAGGTGCTCATCTCGTCGATCCAGCTCCCCAACAGTGCAGAGTTGCACGACCAGCTCCGCCACAGGTTGCGGATCAGGTCGGCGCCGCAGCGGGGCTCGTTGGCCAGCTCCCAAGCGAAGATTGCCGGTGAGTGTTTGTACCGGTTGACAAAGGTCTTGACGTAGTTCTTGTAGAGGGCTTTGATGCTTGGTTCGCGGTAGAACTATTTTTTTATAACCGATGATATATGTCAGTCAAGCAGCTTCTCCAGGATGCATAAATCAAAGAAACCAAGAAACACGAGATGCCAAAGTCAGGCCAAAGACGTACATCGTCGTGACTTCTAAACCCGAGGTTGGTCGTGTACACGTCCATGCCGCCATAGTCGGCCCAGTTATTGGTCAGGGCAATGAGAAGCTTGATGCCGTGCTTCTCGGCGGCGTTGACGACCTTGTCGAAGCCAGAGAGATCGATCGTCGTGGTCCCGTCTGACTCGAACCACTGAAAGACGATGTCGGTAGGCCCACCGCCTTCAGCACCGTATTGCGGCTTGCCAGAGGGATTGTAGGTCCTGTTCTTGTCGTTGAAACCCCATGTCCGGATGACTGAAAGACCCGCGGCTTTGGCGGCGGCTAGACCTGCATCGACATCGGTAGCGTTCTGCAAGACGGAATTGTTTAGCAGAGCGCCGCTTTACACTTTGTACTCTCGGCTTGTAGGATATGCCATACCTGGAGGAATGGAAGGTAGTAGGCATTGCTGCCAGCAAAGTAAAAATCCTCGCCATCGAGCTGGAATTTAGTGCCACTTGCAGTCACGAAGCCAGGAGGAGGACCTCTCTGGCTAAGAGCACTGGTGGACGCTCTCTTGCTGGGGCCACTGCTGGACAGGCCCACCGCCGAGGAGGCCAGCAGACCGAAGCAGAGGAGAGAGGAGAACATGGCGTGGTATCAGGAAGTTGCTGTGGCACGACTCGAAGCTCTGCCGCGCTGGCCACGAGCGCCCGCCACGAGGCAATCGCAACATTCTCCGCGTCCTTATATACATAGGCTGGACAGAGTATAGATGATCGGGTCCCATCGCCTGCTGCAGGGGCAGGTGACATCACACTGCCACTACCGACGGTATTGCGGCACGAGGTCTCCCAGGCTTGTGACTGCGCGACCTCGGCCGGCGCTGCTCAAATTTAATTAACTACTGGGACTGCCACATGCTGGGGGCCGGGCCCAGCTTGCTCAGGTAGAATGCGACGATGGCATCAGGCCGGGCAAGGTACCCCTCACCGACAGCTTGGCACGACTGCAGCACCAACGCAGATGCCCAGGTTAGGGAGGCGCGTAAAGGTGTTGGAGACAGCGATGGGCGTCGTTCTTTGTTATGCGCCGCGGCCCGCCAATCATGCTGCCAGCAGTATATCTGGTATCTACTTGCGAGCCAATGGCACGGCTGTGGGGGACGACGAAGTAACCCTACGGGTCATGGGGACCTATCTTGCCAGGGAGGCAATAGAACCTCTCCTATATGTCCCTGCTGGGGACTCTTGTCGAGTTTTTGTTCACATGGCATAACCATGTCAAGTCAAGACCCGGCTGGGGAACGAAGGTGAGTGTCGGGCCTTGGCCTAAATTGACATCGACACTCATGCATTGAAATAGACACGTCGGCAAATGTCAGGGCCGATGAGTAGTGGACAACGACAAGGTATGGACCTGGGAGTATTGTTGCAGAGCATTCTGCGTAGACGACAGGGCACGGATGGAGAGAGCAGGGAGAAGGAGATGATTACGTCAGGCTTGCCTGGAACCTGGTGAGATGGCGATAAGGCGATAGATAGCTCTGTTCGCCAAGATGTGCAGCGCACTGCCAGGGCGACTGCCTTGGAGGAACGAGCAGCAAAAAAAGAAGACCCTGTCTGGGAAGGCAGAAGCAACGTCTGGAATCGATAAGCCTGGCGGGCCGCCCAATGGCTGCAGCTAGCGCCTCCCACTCCAGCAAGGCGAATCACAGCGCCTCAGGCTAAAAGGCCGCGGGCCAGGCGGTGGGGATCGGCCGCTGTGGGCGGGTTGTTGCATGGGGCATCTCTCCGCCGACTTTTTTTTGTTGCAGCCAGTCCAGTGCACGCTCCATCGTCGTCCGCTGCCTTGTCCCGACGTTGCTACACGACCGCAAAGCCACCGCCCGTCGACATCAGAGATTGCGCCAGTGAAAGCAGACCGGGAACTAGAACCTCTGAAGGACCACCCTGCACATACTTTGCTCAAACATCGGCCGCCGAGCCCGAGTCCAGCCAGCCACGTCCATCTGCCTGCCTGGGCTGTTGTCCTCAACACAGCCTTGCGCCTACCTACCCTCTCACATCGTCACAAACCTCTCGGCCAGATATCCATACAACTTGCACATTATTTGAAGCCATGGAGGAATCGTCGCTGCAGGTACGAAGCCCCAGCACGGGCCGCTCATCTGCCGTGCTCACGCTCCCTTGCCAACAACACTCGCTCTCGACCCTCAATGCTGACTTGTGGCAACCCCGCCCGTCTAGGAGCGCCTGCAGCAACACGCAAAGGCCTTTGATGGCCTGCTGTCTTTGATCCCGGCCAAGATGTACTACGGGGAGGATGCCACTGTAGGTTCCGTCCCAAAAAGCGCTTGCGAAGCTGCGAGATCCCGCGCAGATCTGGCAAATGCCTTCAGATCTATACCAACTGCCGAATCATGTTTGAAAACATGGACTAATATCTCGACGCCCCTCTCAGGACCAATGGCAACGCAAGAAGCAAACGAAAGAGGAGGCCAAGGAGGCCCGTCGCAACAAGCTGGATCCCAACAGCGAGCTCAACCGCAGCGTCAAGGAAGTTATGGACGAGGAGGCCCGGAAGAAGCGCAAGCGCGAGCAGATGCCAGACGGTGCCGAAGAAGACGACTGGTCCGATGTCGAGGGCGTTGAGGCCGAGAAGCCCCGCCAAGGCATGAAGCAGAAGATGACCAAGAAGCAAAAGAAGGCGGCTCAGGAAGAGGAAGAGCTTGCCGAGCAAGAAAGGCGGAAGGAGGAGAAGAAGCAGGGCAAGAAGGACCGCAAGGCCGAGCGCGCGGCCCTCAGAGAAGAAGAGGCCGAGTTCAACCGGAGAACAATCAAGGGCGTCAACAAGATCAAGCTGGGCACGCGTGAGCCTCGCACCGCTGCAGCGGACAACGCGGAGTCGACTGCCGCTCCTAGCCGGTCTATCGAGCAGGATGAGCCCGCAGAGGAGGATGCGGACGACATGGAGGAGATTGACGTCGCGGGCATTGAAGCGGACGAGCAGGACGAAGTCACATCCCAGTCGACCCCTAGATCGCCTGTATTTGATGGCACTGAGGGCCCCACGGATTCTACAGGGCAGGCCGCGAGCACATCGACATCCATCTCGAGCACAGTAGGCCCGTCGGAGAAGCCTAAGCACATCAAGATTCCCGAGGACACCACCGAGCTGCGCGCCCGCCTGGCGGCCAAGATCCAGGCGCTCCGCGAGGCCCGCAATGCCGACCGCAACGGCAAGCCCATCCGGACCCGCCAAGAACTGATCGAGGCCCGGCGGTCGAAGCAGGAAGAGCGCAAGGCCCACAAGAAGGAGCTGCGACGGAAAGCCAAGGATGAAGCCGACCGCGTCCGCGAAGAGGCTTTGGCCTCAGCACGCAACTCTCCTGGTGGAATCCTCAGCCCTTCTGTTGACCTGGAGGAAAACAACTTTTCCTTTGGACGTATTGCCTTCGGCGATGGTGCCCAGCTTTCTCACGACCTCTCGCATGTCCTTAGCAGTGGCAAGAAAAAGGGTCCGCAGGACGCCAAGACAGCCCTGCTCAAGCTTGAAAACCAGAAGAAGCGTGTCCAGGCCATGAACGAGGAAAAGCGCAAGGACGTCGAGGACAAGGAGCTATGGCTGACTGCCAAGCGCCGCGCCGAGGGCGAGAAGGTCCGTGACGACGAGAAGATGCTCAAGAAGGCCATCAAGCGGAAGGACCACGCCAAGAAGAAGAGCGAGAAGGAGTGGAAGGATCGCAAGGACGGCGTTGCCAAGAGCATCCACGACCGCCAGAAGAAGCGCGAGGACAACCTCCGCAAGCGCCGCGAGGAGAAGATGGCGCACAAGGCCGGCGGCAAGAAGAAGAGCCGGACAGGACCCAAAAAGCCGAGCAAAGGTCGCGCCGGCTTTGAGGGGTCTTTCAAGGTTGGCGGCAAGAAGAAGTAGGCAACGGCCACTTCCTTAGTCGTCGAAAAAGTTCCTGTCTTTGGTTTGAAAAAAGTCGGCGGTGTCACATGGGCTCGTGTGTATATACCATCTGCATTCCTAGGCGTTTGGCGGAATAGCGAACATCATTTCTTCTGGTGAAGTCACCCGTTGTGTGGGTTTTGTGATACACTCGCGATGATCTACGCATTATATTTGGGATGATTATCAGATATGTGCGCATGAAGCAAGATCTCCCTTGCCGCTGGCTACCTTTGTATATCTTGCTCGGAGTCTCTCCGGTCCATCGCTCCGGACTATCAAGTCTTGCCAGAAAATACCGTCATGCAATAGCATCTAAGAGACTGGTGAATGCATTTCGCTCAGGACGACGACCTCAGAAGCGGTTGCCTTTCCCCATCTGCCGTGCCGCCCTTACTTTTTCCGTTGCCAGCACTCCCGCGTCCTTCCTCCTGCTCAACAGCCCCATCACCATCCTCTTTCTTCCTGGGGAAGTACAAGAACCTGCCGCCATCCACTTTATGCACAGCCCAGCTGCCCTTGTTCTCCCCCTCACCCTCGCCGTACTCCCTAGCGGCCGCGAAGAACTCCTGGTTCTCCTCAAAGCTCCTGCCGCCCGTCTCGGGGGAGAACTTCCAGGTCCACCAGCCCGCAAAGGTGTTGGTCCCCGCGAATACCAGGAAGAGCCAGTACTTTGCGTTGTTGAACAGGAGCGGGGTGAGCAAGGTGACGGCGAAGTTGGCGAGGCCCCAGACGGTGACGCTGACGGCGCTGCCGCGGGCGCGGGCCGCGGAGGGGAAGATCTCGGTCGGGATGAGCCAGACGGTGGCGAGCCAGCAGATGCCGAAGATGGCGGTGGCCGCGAAGAGCGTGATGGACCCGGCGATCTCGATGGCCAGGTCGTTGACGTGGAGGCCCTGTGAAGTGGAGGATGATGATGATGAGGAGGAGGAGGAGGAAGACGAAGAGGAGGAGGAGGAGTTCATGGCCAGGCCGCCGAACAGGGCGAGGAGCAGGAAACACCCGGCGAGGCCCGCGGAGCCCCAGACCATGAGCTTGCGGCGGCCCAGCACGTCAATGGTCATCCAGGCAACCGTCATCATGGCAAAGTAGCTCACAAAATTGCCCAGGGTCATGAACTCGGCGATGACGACGGAGAAGCCGAGCAGCTCGAAGATCTGCGGGCCGTACACGGACACGGCGCCGTAGCCCGTGAGGGCCTGGTTGACCTAGCCCATGACGGCGAGCATGGTCGGGTGGTACTGCGACCGGCCGGGGAGCAGCATGTCTGCGTAGCCGATGCTGTCGTCGGACTCGTCGTCGGCCGCGGCCTGGAGCTCCTGGAGCAGGTCGTCCGCCTGGAGCTGCGAGCCGCCGTGCAGCGTGAGCAGGGCCCTGCGCGCATCCTCGGCGCGATCGCGGCTGACGAGCCACCGCGGGGACTCGGGCAGGCGGGAGATGGCCGAGATGAGCAGCACGGGGAAGAACTGCATGCAGACAATGGGCGTGCGCCACGCCCACTGCGACTGCTTGCCCAGGGCCAGCGTGGCGCCGAGGTTGATGGCGAAGGCGACGAGCAGGCCAAAGATGTTCATCTGGAACTCCTGCGCGAGGGCCTTGCCCCGGCCGCCGTCCTTGGAGAGCTCGGCAGAGTACACGGGGATCACGGCGTCGATGCCACCCACCCCGAGGCCGAGGACGACTCGGCCGGTCAGCATGCATGCCAGTGCTGCTTCGGTCGGCCAGCCTTGCTTCCCTCCTTCTCGGAAGTTCAGTCCGGAGATGAACATGAGCAGGTTGCCCAGGACACAAGTGGCCAGGCAGGCAAAGATCGCGGGCTTCCGACCTTTGACATCGGCGAGCCGGGACGCGAGCACCGCGCCGAGCGTGCAGCCGAGGTAGTAGACGGACACGATGATGCCGACCAGCGGAGAGGTGCCCGAGATGCCCATGGTGGCCAGGTACGAGTAGTTGGTGTTGACCATGGACATCATGCCCTGGTCGTAGCCGTACAGCGCAATGGCGGTGCTGCTGAACATGACAATCTCGGACTTTTTCGAGATCAGAGACTTGATGCCGCCGCCACTGCCGCCATTATTGTGCGACTCGTTCTCGTCGTCGTCTTGGTGGTCATTACCTCGGCGTGACTGGGACGAGTCCCCTGCGTCATCATAGTGGTCGTCTGGCCGTGATGGTGGGAACGGCATCTTGACTGCTGGTGAAAGTGGACGATAGCTCTTGCTGGCCCTGTATGAGTCGCCGCCGCAAACCCAGGATCTTGGCAGATACACTGCGACAGGCTGGATTGACTGCGGATTAGGGATGGGGTGACAGAGGTCCTCAATAGCAACTACATGAAGGGGGAAACTGTAAGCCAAAATGTGAGGACGAACGAGGCGCAATTGATTGGATTGAGCGGAAGTATCGATCTTTCACGTCGATGGGCATACAGATCCGGTTGTCGATGAACCAAGATATTCCCACAGGACCAACAATAGTTAATTACAAGGCCCCATTCCGGCAACTGTGCCGAGAACAGAGAATAAAAGAATTGCCCAAACTCGAACAGGTTGAACAAGTTGTGTGTAAGAGCAGCACGCAGCGTTGATTATTGGTTAAGCCTCGGCCCCCCCCGCCGTGGTTCGTTCAATGACATCAGCTAGCGCGCCACCATTTCCGATCCCCATCGCACCCACGTGCTGCGATCGTCGCCTGTGGCACACCTTTTTCGATGCGCAGCCGATGTGCAGTTTTGGGACAAGCTTTTCTGTCCTGCAAGATCCCCCATCTTATTCAAGCCATCTATGTTAACCCCCCGTGCCGCATGCCGCCTGTGGCTTGTATGAATACAGCTGCCAAGGCAGTGGAGGCACCATTTACGGACGAGGTTCCGTCTCAAGTTGATGCACTTCACTTCCTGACCAGGGTCTTCTTCCACCACTCCTCCTCCTCGGTCTGTCCCGTAATCAGGTTCTCGCCCTTGCGGAACCCGTGGCCCTCGCCTTCAAACTTGACCAGCTTGACCTCGCCGCCCCTCTTCTTGATGTCGTCGTACATCGTGTAGGCCTGCGAGATGGGCACGACGTTATCCTCGTCGCCGTGCAGGATCAGCAGCGGCGCCGTGATGTTGCCCGCGTGGTACACGGGCGACCTATCGTGCATGACTTTTGCCCGCTGCTCCGCGTCCATCTCGGCCGTGAACATGAGGTTGTCCACGTAGCGGCACTCCATCTTGTGCGTCTCGTCCAGCAGCAGCTTGACCTCGCTGATGCCGTACAGGCAGACCCCGCCGGCAAAGATGTCCGGGTAGCAGCACAGGGCCTGCAGGACAGAGTAACCGCCCGCGCTGCCGCCGCGGATGCCCGTCGTCAGGGCCCCGTCCGTGCGCCCGCTCTCGGCCAGGTGGGCCACCGCCTCGGCGACGTCGTCGACGTCCAGCACGCCCCAGTTGGCGTTGAGCGAGTCGCGGTACGCCTTGCCGTGGCCGGTCGAGCCGCTGTAGTTGATGGCAAACGTGGCGTACCCCCGGGTGTTCCAGTACTGCAGGTCCAGCTTCAGCCCCGGTGGTGTGTGGCTCGTCGGCCCGCCGTGCGACTGGACGATCAAGGGCGGTTTCTGCCCCTCGGGGCCGGTGAAGCCGGGATTGTGCGGGGGCCAGTAGAAGCCGTGGATCTTGCGGCTCGGCTGCTTCTTCGACTGGAACTCGATGTGCTCGGGCACCGAGAAGACGGCAGAGTCGAACGTCTGGGTTGTAGATTTGCGGACGGTCGTCATGTTGGCCTTGCCATTGCTTTCTAGGGAGATGCTGTACAGCGCCTGCGGCGTCGTGTGTCCTGTCCCGATCGCCAGGAACGAGTTGTCGTTGAATCTCGTGATGCCATCTCTCTCCACGTCGGCCAGGGGCACCGAGACATCCTTGTACTCGAAAGTGTCGAGGTTGACCTGAACGATGGAGCTGGTGCCGTTCTTGATGTACACTGCCACGAGGCACTTGTCCGATAGGAGATCGTACGAGTTGCTGGTTAGGTAGTGGTTAGTACATACGTCTTCACTCAAGCTCTGCCTTCAGGGGAACTCACTTCGCAAGAGCCATGGTGGGCCTGCCAAACTCGACATCCTCCAAACCTTTGATGTCAATCAGCGTTGCTTCCGCCTGACCAGGGCGGCGGCGATAGATCTGTCTCCAGTCCGTCGTCTCGTGGCAGTAGTACAGGTACCCATCTGGACCCCATCTAGGCTCCGTGGCGCTGGCCTCCGCATCGCCAGCAACATGCTCGACGTTGGACAGACTGCCCGTCTCGCCCGACCAGTCCGCCCAGAACAGCCGCACCCCAGACCACGGCATGTCCGGGAAGTCCCACTCCACCCAGCACACCTTGCTCCCGTCGAGGCTGAAGCGCGGGTACATGTACAAGTCCGCGCCGCTGGCAAGCCGCTTCACCTCGCCCGTCTGCGTGTTGATCGCGACGACATAGTTCTGCACCTTCTCGGGGACGTCGCTGACGGCGTGGTCCTCCTCGACGGCGAGGACCCACGGCTGGCCATCATCTCCCCCGCGCGGGTGCGCGTCAAAGTCGCCGTACCGCAACTTTGGGGTGTGCACGAGCTTGGTGACGGAGCCCGAGTCGGCGTCGAGGACGTTGACGCTGTCGTCGGCCTTGTTGGAGAAGACCAGACGGCCGCCACTGCCACCACCGAGGATGGCGTAGGGCCCGCCGCCGTACTCGTAGACGCGAGAACGGGCGTTGTAGCCCGCGGGGAGGACGTCCTTGAGCTCGGGGCTGGCATCGCTGCTGCTAGGCCCGGCGGTCTTGATCTCGACAATGTAGTTCACGCCGTCCGGGCGGGACTCGGTGAAGTAGGCCCTGCCAGTGCGGCGCTGCCCGTCATGGTATCAAAATAGTCAGCACGAGGATCAGACGGCCCTTGAGGATTGTTGCGCATAGGCATGGGTTAATGGCTTACACAGACTCGAGGCGAGCTAAGGGCCGATGTGCCTTGAAAGACGGCCTCCTTGGTGACTTCGCTCTCCCATAACCCAAAAGGAGCGACGGTCTTGGCTGTATGACCAGCCGACTCCGAAATGGTGGCCATGGCTAGCGATTCTCAGTTCAAAAAGTGATACGAAGAAGCTCTCAAAAGCGCTGGTGCTTTTGTATCCGCCTGCTGATGTTGTGTGATTTGTGAAAACGCGGGCTAGAGCCTGGAGCCTGGAGCCCCGCAAGCCCGCTGACGGTCAGCATCTATTCAAAGTAACGCTGCCCGCGCAACCGGCGTTGGGAATGACTCAACGCACATGCTTTCTATGCCGCCTGTAATCTGCCGAGGTACAATTGAATTACTGCTGCGAGGACGTGGTGGTGTATACAGAAACGACTAGGCATATTGAAGATAAGCATACAAATTGGTTCATTGTCGAGGGCTTGAAGGCGACTGGTCACAGGTGCAAGCTGCTTCTTGAGCTGAGTGCCATGCATTACGCATTTTGCCCGGCCAGATGAGGATAGCATTCATGTCTATGGCATAATCTCGTTCCGTCTAATACAGTGGTATCATTCCATGCCTAAACTTTTTCTATTGCTCATCCATGCCCGGTCCAGGGCCGCCTGACCGTCCCATTTGCCTAGCCTTGAGAATCTCGTCGCACAGGAGGAGGTTCGAGGCAATGCTAGACGAAGAGGCAACGCAGTTGCGTAGGACACGGAACGAGTCGTAAACACCCTCGAGGGATGGGTCCATGGGCTCTCCAGTGGCCAGGTCAAGACCGACAACGTTTCCATCCAAGTACTCGTCATTCAGAGCGGCAACTGGTGAATAAAATCGTTAGTTATGAGGCGTATAAGCGGTGCAGGCTCGCAACGAGAAACTTACGAGCATCCTGGACATCGTGACCAGCGTTGGCAGCCAAAGTCTTGGGAATGATCAAGAGGGCATCGGCAAAGGCATCTACACCCCACTTCGCCTTGCCCTTGACAGTCTTCTTGAAGGCGTCGCTCTTGAGGTGAGTGGCGCAGGCAACCTGGAAGGCACCACCACCAGGCACGACACTCTTGTCGACAATCATGTTGTACACACTGCGGAGACCGTCGCGCACAGCGTCCGTGATCTGGTTGATGGTGTGAGCGTTGGGGCCCTTGATCATCAGAGTCACAGACTTGGGGTCCTTGACGTCCTCGATGAATGTGTACTTCTCCTCGCCGAGTTGTTGCTCATAGACGAGCCCAGCCCAGCCGAGCACATCGGGCGTGAGATCCTCGACACTGTTCTGAGAAATGCCGCCGCAAGAGAGCTGCAGACGCTCCATGTTCCTCCGCTTCGCTCTCCGCAGGGCGAAGATGCCGTTCTTGGCGAGCACGTCAAGCGACAAGGGGTCGATACCCTTCTGGTTGACAATGGCGAAGCTCTTCTTGGGGTCATTTCCGCAAACCTCCTTCTTGAGATCGACAATCTTTTTGAGTCTGGCGTCAATGTGGCGCCGCTCGGACTCGACGAGCTTGTCGCGCTGCTCAGCGCTCGAGTAGAAGAATCCAGAGTTGATTTCCGACTTCTCGTACTCCAAGCTGACGTTGAGAACGAGGATGTGAACGTTCTCGAGCCGCTTGGGCATGTCTGGGTGCCGGGCGCCGTGGTCGAGTGCAAGACCACGAATCAGCTGGGTGTCCGAAGCAGTCCGGTGCTGCATCTTCATGATCTCAACCATATGCAAATCGGGCTTGGCAGGGGCCTGGTAGATGGCGAGAACGGCGTCGACGATGGCCGGAGTTAGGTTTGTGGCAAGAGTCGAGTTGAGCTTCGTCGAGAGAGATGTGCGGGCGACTGAGAGGAGAAGTTCACGCTCGACCTCCTTGGGCAGCTTGAACGAGTCGAGGAACTGTCATGGAGAGAGAAGGCATTAGGACCGGGTCATGAACGTGGGCATTTTGGAATAAGGCCTGTCCCCGTCGCCAGGTGAACAGTCGCATACCTTGAGGGAAGCATTCTTCGCAATCTCGAAACCTTCAGTCAAGATCCGAGGGTGGAGGCCCTCCGAGATGTAGCGGTCTGCCTGCTTCAGAAGCTCACCGACGAGCAGGACGACCGACGTCGTACCGTCACCGCAAATATCGTCCTGGGCGGTGGCCGCTCTGGCAATCATGACGGCTGTAGGATTCTGAATCTGCATCTCCCGGAGCAGGACGTTGCCATCTTTTGTAAGTTTGATCTGGAGTCGCGATGTGTCAGCTCGCTGTCGGGTTGTTCGGTCGCGCTTCGCGGAAAGGAGGGGCTCATGTGTACCTGGCCAGCGCCATCGACCAGCCTGTAAGGTTGTCAGTTTGTGGATTAGACATTTGGCGGATGCCCAAGCGGATGGCAAGAGACCACATACATCTTGATGGTGCCCAGAGGGCCTAGGTTGGACTTGAGGACATTCTGGAGTCCCTCACCAGCCGTGATGTTGACCTTGAGAGCTTCACCCCGCCGCTGTTGGCAGTTAGCAGTTGTCCGCGCGCAGGAGCAGGTTTGGTTCGGGGCCTCCGACATACCCGAGACTCGGCCTTTGGGTTGAGAAGCTGAGCAGCAGACATGATGGCTGTATCGAGAGTCTGCCGTTGGAGGTGTGAGGTTGAGGTCGGGTGTTGTTGGCGACCGGGACCCTCAAATGGAGCTCTGGCTGGATGTTCCGCTCCTAGGCCCGAGTGCCAGGGGCGGGCCAATATCAGGAGCCTTCAACTTTTTTTCTGGTGCAGCCAGGCCCAGGTGCAGCCGCCTGGGACGGTACCTGGGGCGGGCACGGTGAGAGCGCCGGCCCGACGGCCACGCTGGTCCAGCTGGCAGAACGCTCCAGAACCCCTGGATTCACAATTGAACTGCCCCTCTACGCCGCTGACTTATCGCGAGATTGGCATGGCGGGGTGCTCCGAGATAGCTGGTATCAGTTGCTGAGCTCAGCAGCTTTCAGGGGACATCACACGTACATGTGCACCTTGAGAAACCCAGATCATCAACTCTTCAAACAATTGAATTTGCACAGCTTGATATTTGCTCAGGGTAACGCCCGTCGGCGCAGGTCCCAGTAAGCACGTAGTATAGTATGCTTAATGAGCATGTTGGTACTGTCCCCCACTCTCTTATGTCGCATGTCATTCGTCCCGGGATACTGGTCCCTCCAGTCTTGCCATGATGGAACGACATAGGACTGAACTGCCGTAGATTCAGCGCGGTCCTCAGCTGGTGTATGCGTAAGCTTGTGGTTTTTGCCCTCCCAGAGCGGCTGTTCCCTGGTCAATCATGACGAGATTTCGGCACAGTAGCATCGGACACCCAAGAAAAAGACTGGGTTGTTATGTCATGTTCGGAATCGCTTGGTCTAGAGCGATTGACCACACCTGGTTCTTGTTGATGATCAGATAGAGCGACCTGAGCAAAGTCAACAACAGCAGCCTGACGAAACAAAGTGATGCGGCCCCTGGGAACAAACAAGGAGAGGGGCGATGACTAAGGCTTCTGGAGTGCAGCCCAAGGACACCCCTGGCGCGGCTAGTCCCCCGTAGGACCCCGGCCCGTTGTTTAGCTTCAGGGTCCCTGCCTTCAGGGAGCTGTCGCGGCCAGGCAACGGCCACCCTGTTGTCACTTGCCTGGACCAGATCAGAGAGCTTCGTGTTCGCCTGTCCAATTCTTGCCGTTCCCCTGTGTATCCATCTCCTTTTCTCAGTAAGATCCGTTCTGCTGTGACAGTCACTGCCCAAAATGCACTTTGAATGGGTTAAACAAGCCGCGGGCTTCCTCTCGCCCGTCTTTGCCAACCAGCTGGCTGATACGGAGGCCTTCGATGGCAGCATCAATGCTGTCAAGCAGGTTGCCATCATTGGTACGTTACCACTCGCCCTGCTCCTCCCATCCCCATCCTCCAAGTCTCGAAGAGCATGATCCCTGCAAAGCGATTGCTCTCTTGTACTTTTTCGAGAGCTTTTCCGAGCCACAACATGTTCTTGAAGTCGCTTGCGACGTGCTCATACCAGCCTTTGTCGCCACTACTACCAATGTGACGATCATCGTCCGCAGGATGTACTAACAAGGGCCCCACACAGGTGCTGGCGCTGCGGGTGCCTCGACGGCATATCACTTGCATAAGTTCGCAGCCGCGGAGGGCATCGAGCTCAATGTGACCATCTTTGAGAAGACGTCTCATATTGGCGGGCGGTCGCTTACGGTCAACGCCTACGATGACCCGCTGCAGCCTGTTGAGCTTGGTGCCTCCATCTTTGTCGAGGTCAACCACATCCTCTGGAACGCCACAAACGACTTCAACCTCACCAGGGTTGACCCGGGCGCTGACGAGAAGGGCACCCTCGCCATCTGGGATGGCTACTCCTTCGTGTACGAGCAGGACTCGGACTCGTGGGGGTGGTGGAACCTCGCGAAGCTCTTCTGGAAGTACGGCACTGCCCCGTACTACACAGACAAGCTCGTCAAGCAGGTCATCAACACCTTTCTGAAGCTCTACGAGAGGCCGTACTTCCCATTCCGCTCCCTCTCTACCCGGGCATTCGAGTTGGGCCTGACTGCCATCACCGGTGTCACGGGTGAGCAGTTCCTGGCCCAGAACAAGCTGGGCGGTGCTTTCGCCCACGACATCGTGCAGGCTGCAAGCCGAGTCAACTATGCCTCCAACCTAGCCTACATCCACGGCGTGGGAGCCATGGTCTCAATGGCTCCCGAGGGTGCTGTCTCTGTGCTAGGGGGTAACTGGCAGATGTTTGCCCGCATGGTCGAGAGTTCTCAGGCTCACGTCCAGCTCGACACTGCCGTGACCTCCATCGCTGAGGTCAAGAGCAAGGATCCCTTGGCACCGGCCTCGCGGTTCAGCATCACGAGCTCGTCCAAGAGAGGTGGCTCCGAGGTCGTCACGAAGCACCCGTTTGCGTTTGACAACGTGGTCATTGCCGCGCCCTACCAGTTCAGCGGCATCAAGACCGAGGACAACCTGATCCAGCACCCGATCGACGAAATCCCGTACGTCAAGCTGCACGTCACTCTTTTTGCCTCGCCCTTCCGCTTCAGCCCAGAGTTCTTCAACCTCCCCGCTGGCACGAAGACCCCGACAGCGGTGCTCACGACTCTCGCCGAGGGCGAGGATCCCAAGTCGGGTTCCGAGGGTGCCGGCCATTCGGGCTTCTACTCGGCCTCCCTCGTCAAGGTCGTGACGAATCCCAAGACCGAGAACAAGGAGTTCGTCTACAAGATCTTCTCGCCCGCGGCGGTGACGCCCGAGTTCCTGTCGAAGCTTCTTGGCGTCACGATCCCCGAGACTTTCACCGGCGCTGTTCCCTCGTCCTCCGAGAACGCCAGCAGTGGTGATGCCGATGGCGAGAGCACCGTCGTCGAGCCGATCTCTTGGTACCATCCCGCCGTTTTCCACCCGTACCCGCAGAAGCTCCCCCGCGTCACCTTCCAGGACCCCATCCTGCGCGACGGGCTGTACTACACTTCGGGCATTGAGAGCTTCATCTCGACCATGGAGACGTCCGCGCTGATGGGGATGAACGTGGCGCGGCTGATCGTGGACGACCTTGCGTCCTCGGCGCCGGTGGCATCCATCTCGGACGACGAGGACATCGTCGTCGTAGAGGTGCCTGCCGCTGCTGTCGCGGAGGACACGAAGGTAGAGGAGGTCACCGAGGCGGTGCCTGCTACGTCCGAAATAAGCCTCTCAGAGGAGACCGTTCCCAACGTAGAGCTGTAAAGAGTGTGCAAGAGGGTCTTTTTGGCAGCCATGGGTAGAGCAGCACGCGGATCTGCCTGGTTTTTGCGCTCCTTCATTTCTGTGCGTGGTAATACGGGACGAAGCCGGGGGGAAGTCATGAGGTCATATCAAAAAGCGCTCATTTGCATCCATTTTCTTTTTGTTTTTTTCTCTTCTGTTCTGTCGTCAGTTTCCTTGGTCTTCTTACGTATAGTCTAGTAATACCGCACAGCACGGGCACGCTCGCCACGAGATTTTATTAGCATATCCTCGTATAAACGAGCTTCAATTACATCATCCACCATGTCCTCTCGAAAAAAGTCAAACAAAGAAAAAGGTGCCACGTGCAATGCAATCTGGTGCCTGCAATCGTAAACGAGAATCAATTTTTTACTCTCCATAGACTCGACGAATGCGGCCCAAGTCGATGTTGGCCGTCCCGCGTGTATTAGACAGCAGCCACAGTTCAAACCGCTGCAGGGGGCACCCACGACAAAGTGGGCAGAACCAAGTCTCCCACTCAAATGTCCAACATTCTCTGTCACCCAGGATTCGTCGTGCCTGCCTGATTCACAACCCGTCTAAACTCAGACTTTTTCCGACCTCGCAGCAGGCGAAGAAGCATATCCTACACCAAAGCGGCTCAACCCTACATGACGTATCGAAAGTACGGGTTCTCCTTGTCCGTCAAGTCCAGGAACGCCAGCTTCGCGCGCTCCACATCGCTGTCGAGCGACCTGGTGGCACCACCACCACCACCGCCGCCGTCGTTCTCCTCCGTGGCCCCTGTGGCGGAAACGGCAGCAGCGTCTTTCTGGCGATTCTCGCGCCGCAGGACAAAGTACAGCGTCACCGAGGAGATGATTGTGATGCAGTAGCTACAAGATTTCCCACCGGACCCCCACCAAAAAGTCAGCCAAGAAATGTTCCCCATCCGTCGGCAGTGTATGGATTTGAAATGTAGTGTGGAGAGGGAGCTAGTAGAAAAGGAACTAACCATATAATGAGCCCGAGCCAGAGCTCCGGATAGTGGTAGACTTTTGTCTGGGACTTGATCAACTGTGGACCGACGATGTTGCCTGCGAGAACAGGAGAAAATAATAAAGCGAAACGTCAGTGATCTTATCGTCGTTCTTGATATTTCTTTTACGGGGGAATGGTGGTGTGGTGTCTCGCCCCCAATTCTTTTCTTAAAAGCACACATACCGACGCAGTAAGCCACAAAGATGGTCGCCGAGGTGAAGCTCTTCTTGGTGTGCCCGGCGACGTTGCTCATGCCAATCGTGATGATCAAGCTGACCACGGCGCCAAAGGTGCCCGTGATGGTGTACCCGACCACGGGCGCGGCGGCATGGTACGTCCACTCGCTCTTCCAGATGATGGCGCAGCCGGCGATGACGGGCAGGCAGCACGCGACGAGCATGGCGATCCTGATGTTCTCGTAGCGCGAGCCCAGCCAGCCGGTGAGCAGGATGGCGACCCAGCAGAGGCCGCCGAGGGGGAACTGGAAGAGGATGCTCTCGAGGGTGGACCAGCCGAAGGTCGACACGATGAGGGGGCCGAAGCCGGACACGGCGCCGTTGACGGTGTACGCGGAGCTCATCATGAGGAAGACGAGCCAGATCTTGACGTCGAGGAGGGCCTCGCGCAGCTGGGCCGTCTTGAACTTTGTGCAGCGCACGCCCGTCTGGCCGTGGCGCAGGCGCTCGACGGCGGCAAACTTCTCGGCGTCGCTGAGGAACCACGCCGTCACGGGGGAGGCGGGCATGGCGAAGCACAGCAGGCCAAACAGGAAGGTGAGGGCGGCGGCGAGGATGTAGATGTACTGCCAGCGCCGGAGGTTGCTGCTGGTGCTGATCTGGGCGAAGCCGTAGTTGAGGCCGCCGCCGAGGATGGTCCAGAGCCCCGTGGCTGAGAACCACCAGCTCTGCCGCAGCGACTGCTCGCGCTGCGTGTAGAAGCCCGAGATGATGGTCATGAACCCTGTCGGGATCACGCTCTCAATGAAGCCCAGGAAGAACCGCTGCACATACAGGCCCTGGTACGTCGTCACGCCCGCCGTCGCGCCGCACACCACCGCCCACACGCATACCACGACGCCCAGCACCCGGCCCAGGTCGAGCCGCTGCAGCGCATAGGACATCGGGTACAGCCCTGCCAGCATGCCAAAGTAGAAGAGCGAGGTGGCCCAGCTGAGGCGCGATGTGTCGACCACGCTAGGGTTGCCGGGAGTTGGCACGCTCAGGGCCAGGTCGCTCGTCATGCCAAAGAGCGCAGCAGAGCCCAGGATCGCCTGGAAGCAAAGGAAACGAAGCTGGTCAGCCTCGTCGCTCACGGAAGCCAGCTTGCTATGACGTCTGTGCTTACCTTGTCGTAATAGACCAGCCCATCTGATTCCAAGTACCTCGTGAGTCAGCTCGACTTTGCCCACACAAAAGGTCGCAGACGTCCTCAGCCTCCCAACATCGAGAAGAAAGACTTACACCCAAACGTCATCGCCGGGATCAAAAACCAATCCGTCTTGCGCACGGCGCGGGCAGCCACAACCGGGTCGATCTCGTGCTGCGTCTCGCCAACCATGAGCAGCGCAACATCTTTGTCCGCAATGTCGTCAACGCTGCTGCCATGGCGGGCCTCCCCCGGGCGCTGTTGTTGTTGTTCTGGGTCTGCTGGCATTGCCCCCGCAGCAGGTGCGGATGGCTTCAGGTGCGCAAGCATGGTTGAGAACAATGCTCTGTTGATCCTGTCGATAGCTTGTCCGGCCAAGCAGGATACAACCAAAAGCTACGTAGCCAGTCAGGCCTTCTCCCGACCTTCAATGGCAGGGTCTGGTTGTGTTTGAAGCTTTTGCGAACAAGAAAACCGCCACCATAACATGAATCACAAATAATTACTAGCAGGAACCGGCCAGCCGGGTACTGCCGGACTTAGCACGAAACTCTGTTTGCGCGGCTCGCAGCGGCAAGTCCCTAAGGGGCCGTCCGATGATCGGCGGTTCCTATAATAATTGCTCGCGGTCCCCCACGAGACCCCCAAGAAAACGGTCGAGGCTGGCCAATCAATTTGGTAAAGCCTTGAAATTGTCACCGTGCCGTCATGGCAGAGTCCACGGGTAACCAATGGGCGTGCGCACGGCTATTGTCAAAGTTGTTGCCCACGAGCTTTGTTGCGACCGAGACATCCCTTCTCGGCAACATCCGGACCCATCTGGGGGTCTAGGCCATTGTTCCCAGCAGCTTGGCAAGCCCCCTGCAGCACAGGGCTTTAGGGCTGCGACAAGCACGATTGATGTACAAGCGTCTCGAATGAGAAGACTGAATTGGTGGAATATGCTGCGCTGGCTAAGAGAGCCTATGCTACCAAGTGCATGCAATGCTTCTGTGACGATCCCAAACATAATAGCCACCGTTTCCCAATGGTAACAACCATCAAGCCCACTTTCCTGCTTTGCGCCAACGCCATGCTCGCTAACTTTGACACAATATGAATTCCAAACAATAATGCTTCCTTGCCATTGGCCTGCTGTACGGCCTATGCACACAAAAATCTCGACAGGTCAAGCCCCCTCGAGGCAGAACGTCTTTCTGTGGGCTTAATGTTCTCCGAGTTGATGTCGTGCTCCTCGTTCTCACTCTCTGGTCCAAGAAGGTCCTCACTCCCTGTGGGCTTGTGGAGTGCTTCAACCTCCTCAACGTCCACAGGTGGCAGTGGGATGAATGCCGCATTCACCGGGAGGGCCTCGAGACTGCGCCGTGGGGGTTTGGAGGCGCGCTTGTCCCTGCGTGGTGGCGATACCATGGGCGATGCTGCTAAGCGCTTGGGCCTATTCAGCGCTTGCGCGCCAAGTCGTTGCAGGGGCGTCAGATGTGGTGTTCCAGGTGTCGTGCATGCCGTCGCTGCTGAAGCCGGCACCGAGCTTGACTGATCAAATGAGGATCCTGGCGTTGAACTAGCGAAGGATCCCGGGGTTGAGATGATTGAAGCTCGGCGACTTGTGGTGGTACGACGAGCAGAGCCGTCATACTGGAAGCGATCAAACCGACTAGGCTGAGAGAAAACTGGTTGGGACGCCGGTGCTGAAGATGGTTGAGTACTATCGTCCTCGACGGACTCTTCTGAAGCTGCATTTTCGACTGTGTTTGATTTGGCAGGCGTTGGCTCCTCAAATACCTGTAAGCTTGGACGCGATTTTGACCGAGATTCCCAGCCATCAAGATCCGGGAGCTGGCTGAGCGCATCCTCGATTGAATCGTCTGACATGAGATACCCTTGATCCTTTGGTACGGTAGCTGTAACAGACTGCTTCTTGGCGAAGAATTTGCTCTTCTGTTGGACTGGCAACTCTGCGCCTGCATCGTCGCACAGCCTTGCCTTCTTTGGAGGCCGGCCTGGTAGAGATGTTGAATCTATCGACAACCTGTTTGGTCGGGCACGCAATTCGGGACCGGCTGTCTGGCGCCGTGAAGAACCGAGTGCCTGCCCACCAGCGACAAGAAGGTTGCTCACTGGCTCAGAGACGCGGCGCGGATTCGCTCTTGTGGGACGGCTGATGTAAGTCCTTGAAGGAGCTGATTGGGACTCTGCAGAATCTTCGATGTATGGACGAGGTAGTGGAAATACGATCGGGCGATTGCCGTTCTCCGTCATATCAGCCACCCTGTTAGGATCAATAGAGAAGCAGTTCGGCTCCATCTCGCCCAACGGAATCCGGCGATGGCCTTGGAAATATGTGTCGATAGGTTTCTTCGGTGCAGCAGCCGCTGGTTTGGTGGCGCCGGCAACCCGGGCGGTCCCTGACGCAGTTCTTTTGCGAATTTCAGGCAAGGCCGGAATGATGATGGCATCCTTGGTCATTGGGTTGAGATCCCCGTTGGCCACTCCGCACGCGACTTCTGCGTCAACGCTCTGCCCTATGAATGGCAGTTCCGTAACATCGAGACCGGCTGGGGGCTCGTTCAAGTTGACCAGCTGCTTTTTCGCGGGGCAGAATGCCCACTGGTAGAGAAATGTCTGCTCTGCCTGCCGAAATTGTGTTGAATAGTCCGCAGGCAAGCGCACCTTCCCATCGAACTGGAGCATCTTGATCACACGTTCGGCTGTCTTGTATTTGCGGATCATGCGGTGGGCGGTCTTCAGGCCCAGGTTGTTTACGCCTGCCAGGTAATCACAACCACTGAGGATCGTCATCAGCCGGAACTCCTTGTCTGTCCACCCGGTGAGAGAGACCTCTCGTACGGCGCAGAAATCCTTGCGGTTGATCTCGACACAGTGGCCATATTGGTCCAGTTTCGTTAACAGCTTCTTGGCACCGAACACCAGCAGGTCTGAATCTTCTGAAAGAATGCCGGAGACGTGACCGTGCTTTTCCAGGTAGACCATCTGAGCGTCTGCCTCGTAAGGCGCCACGACATATGGTGTGCCAGCTTTCTTGAGCTCCTCAATCAGGTGCCGTGCCATCTCGGGCGTGATGTCGATAGCCTTTTGCAGCTCGAGGTGTGCTTGAGACCGCTTCCCGGCCTTGAGCAATTCCAGGCCGGCTTTCTTGGTATCATCACGTCTCTTGGCCCGGGATTCTTCTGTGCTGCGCTTGCTGGGAAGGTAGTCACCGTCGAAGACCAGATAAGGAGTCACGCCAAAGTGAAGGCACATCCGAACACGATGCATGGCGAAATCCACATATCTGTAGAGCAGTCAGATGAGCTGCCCAGGGCTCTGGCTATCCCGTCAGTACTTACTTGCGCGTTGGCTTGCCTTCGGCCAATTCTATGGCACATGCAATGGCGCCCCTGTGAAGCCAGCCATAGGCATCCACAGCGAGGGTCTCGCCGGCGTATTTGCTGAGCTCGACAGGGCGGTGTATAGATTTGAGAAGTGGCAACAGGCCTTCACAAGGAGTCAGAAGAGTTCAAGAACCAGGGAGGCGGCGGAAACGTACCTTGGATGCCCATTTTGTTGATGATATCAAGTGATCACGATGCACGGTCAAGCACAGGGGTGCTGCAGAAATCCTCAACGACAGCTAGAGGAGCTGTCCGAGGTGCACCAAGGGCTGTTGCATGAATTGGAGAGCGGAGGAAGCTCGAGAGTGTGTGATTGTGGTCCAGTGCAGCTGAGGGAGGGCGTGAACGGTGGTGGTGGTGTTGGTGGTGCAAGAGCGTCGATGGGCGGAGAATTGTTTTGACGAAGTAAACACGGGCAGCACAAGCGGTGAGGTCTCCTGCAGGTCGATAGACGCGAAGAACGGGTGCTGGCAAAAAGAGGGAGCAGAGCAGGAAACCAAGCAGAGACGAAGGACAAAAGGCTGAAGCTGCTTCCGAGGGCCAAAGGACGGAGGTCGAGGAGGGCGCTGGGTGAAGGTTGTCTTAAGACGGCCATGACGCTGGACGAGGCCGACGCGACATCGTGGGGAGGCCCCTGCAATCGATAAATTGTTCAGGCGGCAACCGCGTCGTGGAGCGCGACTGCCCCTGGCGGGCGGTTTAATGGGGTGTCAACTGGTGGTGCACATGTCAGTGCCTGCCCCGATGCAGCTAGTGCAGGGCCTGCATAAATGGCCACCGCCATTGCCAGAGCAACGATTCTGCAGCGACATTTCCGTACACTCACGCCTGTAGACAGTTCGAGGCGCTGTTGGCACAAATGTGTACCGTGGTTGCGCGTCCTACATTTCTCCCCGAGGGCTCATGGCTTTTTGTCAGCATGTCGAAAAGAGCCGACATGAGGATAAAGCCATTGCAAAGTTCTTTAAGAAGCCAGCATTCACAAGATGTCTTCTCATGCCAGGGTCTGTCACCCATCACTCGGGTCAACGTCCGGACCGTCCATCTGCGACGTCCCTTTGGGGAAGAGCGTGCGTCCAGTGGGTCCAGTCCTCAACCTCAGATCTGGGCCGGGTGGGGCTGTCCACTCACTGGCCGCCGCCGTCGTGGGCCCCGCCTAAATTTTGACACCAGCGGCTTGATAAGATTCTCTTCTGCCGTATCGGCGGGCAACAACGCAGTACTGCCTCAAGACAAGACAAGACAAGACCTTTGGCATTTGTCCAGAAGATTCAGATTATCCTTCGATCTGGAACAGGCAGTGTAACCATGACCAGAACGTCTTTCGACAAGGCCCGCAAGGCCATCGCCAAGAAGAAGGGCCCTGTCGAGGCCCTCCACCAGTATTCCAGAGACTCGAAGCGCCTCCACCGTGCCCAGGTCCGCGATGTGCGGCTCGAGAAGCTCGCCGCCACCCGCCGCAAGACCGACAGGCCGCATGGTATGCCTTTGTCAAACCCGTGCTATCCCTCCCTAGCCATTCTTCTGACAATGTACAACGCAGTCGAGCGGGCCACTTACTTCCAGGAGGCCGTACGCCAGAACGAGGGCAAGCCTCTCGACAGTCAGACCATCCATGAGCTGATCAAAGGGTGATACACATTTCCTCTGTCCTCGCAGATTACAGACGCGACGGAATTTCATCCACTCTAGTACTGACACGCAACAAGTTTTGTCCATCAATACGATGAAGAGTTGGCCGAGCTCAAACAGGCTCGGCGGCCCGGTCGGCCACCCAGCACTCGCGAAGATCTACTCAAGGTCAAGATCACCAGCCTCGAGAAGGAGTACAAGAACGGGTTTCGTGAGTAACCCCTCAGTTGTGATTAACCGGTCCTCTCTGCTAACCAACACAGTGCTGCCCGTCATCGATGATGAGACCAATGTAACCATGTTTGAGCGATGGGACGGCAACTGGGCTTTCTTGACACAAATGAAGTGGGTGCGAATCTCAGAAGAGGGCAAGGTCCAGCCATCGAGTTTCCCGCCCAAAGGCGAGCATTAAGACAGGGAGCACGACGAACGTCATGACAGTACTCCGATTTGCCTGCGCCGAATGTATGGCCCGGTCGCTCTCCCCTTTGTCTTACCAGGACAAGCACTTCGATATCGGCTCGTCCGTCACGATTCAGGGAGAGTGGTCCGCCCATGTCGCCTGGCGTTTGAGCGTTGTGCATAGTGGCCAGTTGTTGCACTTGGCGGCTGCTTACATCAACTCAGAAGCCCATGCAACGCATGGCTCATGCAGTCTCGCTTATGAGCTCAACGCGCCCATGGCTGGCTGCAAAGCAAGAAGCGAATGAAGCAGCTTACCCGAAAACAAGAGACTTCGACACCCCTCAACGATATCTTTGTGAGAGGAGCATCTCGGCACGTACTGAGAGCAAATATGGTCCACACAAGCTCAGGAACAAAGCTCATAGTCCTCTTTAGAAACCAAGGGCGCGAGGACAGCCACTCCGGTAGCTCATGTCTCTAAAATGAGTTTTGCAAGCGCCTGGTAACAATGTATTTGAACGTACCTATCTAGGCTTTGGCTCATGATCGATAGTACACACCGAGATGATGGATGACTATCATGTGCCAGTTCCACGAAATGCCTCAGTCGTGCAACTAATTGACGTGGTTGTTGCATCTTACTGTCACCACTATATACCTGAGGCAAGCATCTCGCCGCGAGTACGTACACAAGCAATTTGCCACATGAATAACGGCTACCAGGTCGTGGGCACTCATTTCATGCCAGTGACGACTCGCGCCCCGGCTGTTCTGCGTCTCAGGTTCCCCCGCGTGTGTAACTCTGGGCAAGACGGCGGTGGTCTTTCGATATCTGTGCACGATCGCAGGGTGAGTCCCCCGCGCGGATACTCGCATCCGCGGACGTTAAGGCTCGACAACGGAGCCTCCCGCCCGAGATCTGGTGTACCGATGACATGGCGTGGCCCTCCCATAAGGAATTTCCGCCGCAGTCTAGAACCTGCCATAGGTCGCCGAGTCCTGGGGGGATCTTGACTCTGCCCGTGTCTCTTCTGAAGAATCCAACTTTTGACGCCGGGGCCTGATTGGCTCAATGTTTTGCCGCCTAGGTCGCTCAGAACTCGGTGTCATGTTGCACTTCTCAGTTGCCATTCCGTCGTCGATGCATTACGCGTTGCGGCCGAGATGCCTGTATCTCTTAAAGTGCGAGTACAGCTAGCTTAAAAGCTGGCTTCGGAGCAGCCATGCAGCAGTATTTCGATCTATGCTAGATCAGACCAAGATCAGCTTTCGCACAAGCCGAACGAGCCCAAGGCTACGACGATTTGACTCCTCAGCGCGCCCACTTATACCAAACCCTTTCAACAACTACACTGGTTTGTGATGCCCATGGCCGTTGATAGGAGGCCACCACGAATTATCTAATCACTTTTCATTTCTCCAGCTCCATCTGGGCCATGTGCAACTACGTAAACCACGTGCGATCCTGCTACCTCTGCGCGAGCGAGGAGACGGTGCTGATATCAGAAAAGTCTTGCAGCGAGGCGAGGAAGACGGGCAGGTTCGGCAGCTGCGGCAAGGGCGTGGGCAACAAGCCTTATCGGACACAGTATCGCTGTTGGAAGTGCAGTGCGAGAATGGATGGACATTCTTACGTGCAGGGAGGAGAAGTGGCTTGGGTCTGATGATGATGATGTTGCTGGTGTCATGGCGCCATATGCCGAGTTGTGCCAGGCATGGTTTGATGGCTGGGGTCTTCGGCAAAAGAAAACCGAGTGCGGCGTTCGGGGAATAGAGCATATCTGAATCTGAAAACCTTCAAGTGTCCAAATTATGGCATTCACTATTGGGAAGTGTTGGCGCCTCCTCACGATGTACAAGCAAATTGGTTCCCACCACAATGTTAGATTGATATTGAAAACTACAGCCTTTAGACTCAGAACGTCTGTTAGCTTCCAACTCAAGTTTCTCTCGGCCATGGCATCATTCGACCCCACGCACAGCAGAGCTTATGAATGTGGTGGTAGTTGGATCATTGATGGGCAAACCTGCGTGCTCCACCCGCCTTGTCAATCAGACGGTTGCAATCCCTGGAGCCACTTTACCAGTCCGTGCGAGCACTGTACTGTGACACTGGATAGGCCCTTGCTTGACCCGCAGAAAATTCACCTCTGGCAGCTTCGAGAGCTTCTGCACGACGACATCCCAGCTTTCCCCCACCGGACCTCGCAAACCACCACGCAGACACTCTTCACACCATCTGCATCTGCATCGCACTCCGACTTGATCTCAAAGCACACGATACACGACGCACATATATCAGTCAAGATGATGTCTCTCAGAACCCTGGCGCGCAGCGCGCCCCGCGCCACCGCCCGCCTCAGCCTGTCTGCCCTGCGCCTCCCAGCTGCCGCCTCGCGCACCGCCTCTCTCCTCAGATCCTCTGCTGCTGCCGCCGCTCCCCTGCGGACAGCACAGAACACAGCAGCGGCCTTCTCCACGACGCCGCTGCGGTGGGCGCCCGCCGGCGAGGTCGACGAGGAGCTGTCCGCCAAGCTCGAGAGCGAGCTGCAGTTTGAGGGCGAGCTCAAGGAGGCCGAGCAGACCCCGGCCAGCGTAAAGGACTTCCTCGACAACAGCCCCTTCAAGCTCCAGGACACTCCTGGCAAAGAGGACGTCATCCTAACCCGCCAGTTCGGCAACGAGACGTGAGTTTCCCGCCTTTTTCCTCTTTTGTCCTCCCGCCCCCCGAAAAGCTCTCTCAAGTTTTCCTAGCAAATCATGCTAACCTATCCCCCGCCACCTTCTTCGCCCTCACAGCATCACCGTCACCTTCTCTATCTCCGACCTCTCCAACTTCGAGCCCGACATGTACAACGAGGACAGCGCTCTCGGCGACGAGGACCTGCCCCCGCACGAGCGCGAGGCCATCGAGGCCGAAGAGGGCGCCGAGGGCGAGGGTGAGGAAGGCGAGACGCCCATCCCGTGCCGCCTCAATGTCGTGGTCGAAAAGGGCGCCGGCAAGGGCTGCCTCAACATCGAGGCGATCGCGCAGGACGGCCAGATCATGGTCGAGAACTTCTACTACTTCAAGGACCCCAAGATTGCCCACTCGGCCGACGCCGACGCCGCCCACGCGGCCCAGGACGTCTACCCGGGCCCGCCCTTTGGCAGCCTGGACCAGGACCTCCAGGACCTCATGGAGCGCTACCTCGAGGAGCGCGGCGTCAACCAGGCCCTCGCCCTCTTCGTGCCCGACTACATGGACGTCAAGGAGCAGCGCGAGTACCAGGCCTGGCTCAAGGACGTCAAGAGCTTTGTCGACGAGTAAAGAAAAAAAAGACAATCCCCCTACTCGGGCTTTTCTTTAACTTCTAGCAACCCCCTATGTCCGAACTTCATCCCGTTTTGCAGGGTTGCAGATTTGGGGGGGGGGGGGTGCCCATAGTCGAGAAATGTGTCCACGACAAACTATCAAAAAAGGCTGACTGGGGGATTTGGGGGAAAGAACCATATCATTCTCTTTAACCCCACAAGGATGCCCGTGTATTCTATGCGGAAGGGAGAGAGGAACTCAAAAAAAAGGTACATTTTTGGTGTCTCGCCTGTATGCGCTGTAGTAAAATTATCCCACTCTTTGGAAAAACAAACTCCTGGGAAAGAAAACCCCCATGTACAACACAAAACGAACCGAAATACCCAGATAACGCCCTCAGTAGAGGAGTTGAGAGAGACATATAAGGATTAGAAGAATTCGACGATGTTACGATGACTTTTGAGCGCCAGTATGGACCGCGCTGCCTCGTGTTTTCTCCCCTGCCGTGAGAATGTAGTCTATCATGTTCACAGTCCTAAAAGACCTGTTCATAGATGGATGATATTTAGTTGCAACGCTAACTAGAACAACAAGAAGAGTCGCACAACAAGATCACTCCACAGCCTGCCACTGCTCCAGCAACCTCCTCGCCATCGCCATATCCCCCGCGGTCCCAGCGACCATGCCCATGCCCTGAGCCCGGCTCTGGTCAAAGAAAGCCGCGCTCGTCGCCCCGTTGGCATTGTCATGCCACCCCAGCGTGCTGCTCCCATACGAGTACCCGTCGTTGTTGCCGGCGATGCTCTGGATCGCCGAGCTGCCCTGGTACATGAGCCCCATCATGCCGCTATGCAGTGACTGCATCATCTGCATCTCGCGCATCTGCTTGATCATCTGGACCTGCGGGATTGTCTGGGCGTAGACGGCGTGGCGGTGACGAGCATGAGCGAGGAGGGCTTGTTCTGCTGGGCCCTCTGGTGATACTAAAGTGGGATCGTTGATGGCAGGAGAGATGGTTGCGGCCGTGCCAGGATGAGCCGAGGCAGACTGCCCAACGGTACGGCTCTGACTACTGGCCGTACCAAGCTTTTCTTGCACCACGGCGAGGAACATTCCGCGCATGCGGGGTGAGTACATGCAGCACATCCGAGCATCAGCAACAACCTTGTCATGGAGCGGCAACCCGAGTTCCCTTCCACCTTTTTCTTCGCCCTGCAAACCCAGTGTGGTACCTTGTTGCTCGCGGGTGCCCTGTTCTCCAGCTTTGACAGCCTTGGAGATGGCAGGCTCGCAGAACAAAACCCAGCATTCCGGGCAAATCAGGCAGTCCTCCCAGCCGAACCAGCGCCTCCCGGCTGTTCCATCGTGCGAGTACCGCGGACAGGGCGGGATATCGATCCATACACGCACGTGGTTTTCAAACCTCGCCCAGACACCCGTGTCGATGGCCTCGTTGAGCTTGGTGAGAAACTCCTTGCCCCTGGGTGCGCCAGTGTGCAGACCACACACAAATCGTTGGCCCTCGGCCAGGGATGGCGGTTCAGATTGCCAGTAGGAGTCGAGGCAGAGGGATGTGGCCAGGCACGCGTGGCACGCCTCGCATATGCGGAACTTGTTCTCGCCGCCCGGTCCTCCGGCCGTGGATGCAAGGCGGTACCACTGTCCGCCTGTGATCTTGTTGAGCTTATTGTCTTCGAGTCCCTGATCCGTGCACACAGGACTCTGTAATATCGTCCTCGCGACGCGGATGAGCATTGCCAGGTCCTCTCTGCCGAGGGCGATGTTGAGGGTGATAATCATGGGCCGCGATGAGGCCTGGCAGGCTCGCAGCGAGACCTCCTCGGTTGTGTATCCTAGTGCTGCATCCATCCAGGACAACCCAGTATGGGAGACATCTTGCACTTGCTCAAAGTGTGGCTCAAAGGGTGTCAACTTGATCTTGTCAAGGTAGCATGGCTCGCAGAAGACGAGCTCGTGGAGCTGTGTGGCACGGAACCACTTGCGGCTAGTCGGCTCAACGGCCTTGCGGAACCCTTCGCACTTGGGGAGGCGCCAGCGAGGACCAACGAGATTTGTGAAGTCGAGCCAGTGCTTATCGCTCGGTACGAATGAGTCGCCCCTAGCCTGCTCATCGGCAATGTCCTGCTGTGAAAATCGGAGTAATGCCCGAGTCATGATGGGAAACCCGCCAAAATCACAGAGCCACGTCTGATCCTCTGGCTGTGGTTCTTTCCGTGACCCAAGCTTGCTCGCAAACCTTGTCCCCAAGATCTGTTCCTCATAGCAAGCCTCACATACCACGACATATTGGAATATGTCGGGCAATGGCAGCCCTTCGTCAGTCGTCATGCTCTTGATGCTGAACCACTTGATGCCCGCTGTGTTCTTCACTTGGTTTGTGCCAGGGCATTCTAGCATGGCCAAGCGCCGCGTCATGTACTCCTCTATAGGTCCTAAGTTTTGGCCTCCTTTGCGAATCACCTCTGGGATCAGGACCCGCGTCAGCCGCGGTACATTGAAGCGGCACCTGTTTCCCCCACCACGAACGCCGTTGACTTTTCCATCCACTTCTTGGCCCGAAAGTCTGGCAGACTGGAATCTCGACGCTATGATCGTCCCAGAGATGTATCTCTCGTGACAGCGCGTGCATACCAGAAAGTCTGGGACTGCGGGTAGGAAGTACCATGTTGCCTCGTATTCAAGCGTACGGGGAGCGGGACAGTCAAAGATAATGCTGTTCGGTGGCGAGTTCGTGCTCATGCGCGGCGCGGGGCGAATCCAAGATTCTGGATCGAGATTCTGCTGTTGGTGGCGGTGTTCCTGTTCCTGCTGCCGTGACCATTGTGGCGGCGAGTCGTGGTACTGACTAGGCGGAAGAGCGTGTTGTGGTTGTGAGATGGACGCCATAGGGTTCAATGGCTGAGAGGCACTACTCTGCAAGACCACCGCTGGGTCGTGGCGCGCAATCGAAGTGGTGGGCATCGTCACAGCCGTTCCCGGGCCCGAATATGCATTGGGGATAGTGTTGCCCGTCTGCTGCGGCGTTGCGATTAGCGGGGGAGGCGAAGAATATGGCTGTCCCACGGACGTTGTTATGGGAGGTTGTTGACTGGGCGCAAAGGGTTGTTGCACTGCCACGGAGGGCTGCTGCGCAGCGCTAGAAACTTGTCCGTCCGGAGTCGCCGTGGTTGCTGCTGCTCCGGGAGGCATCAGTTGTAATTGCAAGTTGGCAAGACCCGCGGATAGGTCATGCAACTTATTCATCCATTTCGCCGTGCTTGATGGCCTCTTCTCTTTAGAGACTGGTTGATTGATCACGCTTGTGTTTGTGAAGACCCCAGGAGTAGCGCCCTGATGCTGCATGTAAGTGTGAGGGGCTTGGTATTGCTGGCTTGGGACGACTTGTTGGTAGGCACCGTGTTGATGGGCTGGCGCAGTCGTGTAAGCTGCCCCCTGCCCCTGATTTGCTAGAGTATAGGTCTCAGTGGCTGGATCATAGATCAACTGCTGACCAGTGACGGGTGGTGAGGGAGCATAAGATACTGGCGCCACAGGCTGCATGTGCTGCTGAGCGTCTACCCTGCCCTGATCCTCGCGTCGTTGTAGTTCCAGATATGCCTCCAAGTCTGCTTGGCGCTGCTTCAAAATTGCCTGCACTTCTGGTCTTTGTGCCTCCTCCTCCTGTCTCCTCAATATTTCCTGGTTCCAAGGTTGCTGCTCGCGTGGCAGAGTGCCTATTGGATTTGGTAGACTCTGGGGCGTTTGCAGAGGAACATGTGTTGGTGGCGCAACGCTTTGTGGTTGAGTAGCGACATGGCTGTTTGTCTGCGCAGTAGTGTTGAGCACAGGTGACGGCACAGTGTGGAAGGTCTGCACTGGTGCGCTTTGATGCGCTGCGTGAAACTGTTGTGCCGTGCTCCCGGTGTGAACTGCATACGCGTAGGGTTGTGTGTAGGGTCTTGGTTGTTGAAGACCTGGAGCAGGAACCATCAGCTCGGTAGGGTAAGGCTCTACATGTTGCTGCTGCCTGGCGTTTCCCGGATCTGCTTCGGCAGTATATGAGAACCTGTTCTGGATCGGCGGCTGAATCGGCGGCTGAATCGGCGGCTGAATAGGTCCTCCATGGAACTGGTTGAGCGGAACAGAAGCTGATGGTGGGACTGATCCTGAAGCGCTCTGGTAAGCTTGCTGCCAACCCTGAGGCGGAACTTGCTGTGGGGTCACGACGTGATATGCGGGACGGCTGTCTCGTGGAGGCAATGGTGGAGGTTGCAATGCGTAGACGAATTGACCAGGAGATTGCTGGTAGTAGCTTGCCGCGTACTGCTGCGGCCTTCCCGGAGGCTGCTCCGGCCTTGGGATCGAATCATGCGAGACATGACCTGAGCCTGATCCATCAGCAGGTCTACGAGGCGGCAATGGTGGCGGCACGCCAGTTTGACCTGGAGGAGGCGGGAAGTAGAGACGGTTGTCGCTTGGGTAGCTCATCTCGTCGTGTACGCCACAGGCATGTGCTAATTGTTGCAAGACAGGTTTGTGACCGACCAGAGGACGCACGCGGAAACTCAGAGGTCTGCCCAGCCGTGGATCCAGCGCGAGCAAACTATGATGAAATGACGGCTCTTCGGGAGGGCAGCCATGTTGAAGCGGCGCATGGCGGGCTAATTATTGTCGGGCCACCAGTCTCGGTGGTTGACTGGAATGCCAAGATGTCGGGCCTAAAAGATCCCTTGACAACTTCAGCCGCACGTGTTCGTGTCGGACAGGACTGCTCACGCGTAAAGGGAAAGCGCAAGACAAGTGAGGGGTGCAGGATGCTCATTACTGCCAAGTTGCACACTCGCCATGGCTTCTCCTCAAGCAAAGTGGCTGTGTACTTGTTGCCTAGGCTCTTTTGAAAGCACAGGAGTTGATGTACAGCCACCGAGATACCCAATACAATCACAACAGCGGCCCGGGAAGCTGAATCGGGCGTCGAGGTGCTTCCCATGATTCATGCCGTGCTTGGTTGACGGCGGCATGTATAATCTGGCCATAGGTGAGAGGAGGAGAAGTCAGTGTACGCAAGCCTGGCTGCTGCCCAGGTGATGTTCAGTGAGGCTCATTCGCAATACTCGGGCGTCAAGCTTGACCGAGCAGCCAGAGCACGAGGGCGGCTTTGTTGCCAGGGATCGAAGAGACAGAGACAACAGCTGGGGCGGGTTGTGTCGACCAGCAGCAGGCCCCCTGCCCGTATGCTTTGCTCAGTCGGGATGATGACCGAGTGCTCCATGACTCACGCATGACAGCCCGAACCCATGTAAGCATTCGTCTGTTGGTCGTGACCTCAAAGCGAACAGAGCAATTGCTCAGTTGATAATAATAGACAAGCCCGAAAACAAGCAGCTTGTCAGACATGGGCCAAGCATTGTGATGCCCTGCGGTCGTTTGCCGCCAGGGCTGTCTACCCCTGGTGTCTATTGAGCTGGCTCTTTGAGCACGCCGAAGTCTGCGTAATGGTGCGTAATCCTCCGCGAGTCCCGGGGCGCTGATGCTGACACTGGTGGGTGGGCTGCCTGCACGTACATACGTCGGGCGGACGAGAGAGCGATGCCAGGATGCCCTCGCGAGAGGAAAATGAGAGTGGCACCACTTTGGAAGCTGGCTGGCTCGTTGCAGCCGTATCGAGGCAAGCGCGACCCCGGCGAGGATCACCAACGGTCTCGGCAGGGTCTAGACCGCCCAGGGTGCAGGTCCCCTGCCTGCACACGCCCTGCCACAAGGGGGCTCGAGAGTCAAGACCCTGCGGCTCGCTACAGAGAGCTCCTTCCCGCCTTCTAAGGTTGCGTTTGCTGGTGTGTACCTGCACGAACAACACTCGGTGGCCGTACGCAGTAGGCCCCTTCAGGATCCTCTGCGTCACTCGTCCTCATCATGGAAGATGGCGAACAATACAGCAGGACATCCTCGCTTTGCTCCACAGCCTCGCTCCTGCAACACCGCCTCTCGCGGCCCATCCTCATGGCTTACATGGATGGACATGGACGGCAATGAGACACGGAGCATTATCGACCTCTTCTAAGCCTCTCCCACTCACACCACCACCACCACGGCGTTCCATGTTCTTCCCCAAAGCTTAACAGACAAAGGCCCTTGTCAGTAGCGCCCTCGGCAATAGCTACCGTGCTGCATGCCCAAGCTCCTCCACACCCATTCCCTCGCGCCGTTACGCGGGTCTGGAACGCCCTCTGCAGGCCCCGTGGCCCGCCTTGGTGCAGATTGCTGATGCCCTGTCTGTTACACGACGGCGTGCCGGGGGGGTTGCCCAGCCCCGGCTTCTGTCACACCCCGGGTCCTCGTTTCCCAAGGGGACCGAGAGACGGGCCTGGTGCGATCGCCTATCAGATCAGGCCACTCTGGTATAAGTCAGGGCTGGGCCCCTTCCTGGAGAAACCTTGGCGGCTACCTATTATCCCTCTCGCCCACCAGCAACTCAACCATCTTCACGATCACACTCGAAGTTGCAATTCTTCGGCCGACTCTTTCGATAATCACAACCACGTCGACAATGGGTTTACGAGGCACTTCCCTTGTTTGTCGAACTCTTGGAAAGCAATGAAGGACGAAAGAGCGAGACTGTCCAACAACTGCCTATCTCAAGCGTCTCCAATTCGTCATCCGCCAGCCACGATCCCCACGCCATGTCTTCTTGAAGCCTCTAGAAGCCGCGGCTTGGCTAAATGGTCACATTTCTCAATCGGTGGCAATGTTCTCACCGCCTGTGATTGGTCGGCTGGTCGCTTTCATGTCATCACATCCTCACGACTAGTCCAAAGATCTCGTTCTATGAGAGCTGCTGGACACGACGGCACCCACATCTTGGACTCAACAAATACTGAACAGAGACACGATCCCGCTCAAAAGTTACCGCAGTATCACTTTCGCACCGGCACGGATATACGTCAGGCATTCTCGATCATTTCAATTCGTTCAATCTTCAAGGACTTTTGATGAGTGCACCGCTAGGATGGTCATGGTTCATCTGACAAACTGAAAGCATAACTTGACTTGTGCATCAGCTGTGCAGGTATGCCACCCTTACGCCAAAGGGAGTGGATGGGTTCCCGCCACTTCGGCGGCCGAACCAAATGGTAATGTGCTGACAACATACAGGAAAATGTCAAGGGTATCCAATACGGCCCCAACGGCTGCTGGCTCTTGAGCGCCGTATGTCTACACACGAAGGAGCTCTCGCCGCCACTTTGTATATATATATATATATATAAGCCTGAGTGGACGCAGCGGGCAGCTGAGCCTCTACTTCATGGCTGGTCATCATAAGTCTACCGCGATATCAAGTCAAACAAGGGACCTGACGAAATTATACCACACGAAATCAAAACCTCATACGACGGTGCAAGCCTCATTAGTATCCGCCGTTGGGGCCATACAGCCGCTGTCGCTTCTCCGGGGGCCCGTCAACGGGCATCCGGGCTTGAGGTGGTCCTCCCATTGTGGGCATCATCGCATTCTGGAACTGCGCGGGTGGTTTCTGACTGCCTCCCGGCGTCAGCCCCATTGGCGTACCGCTGCCAGCTGCCAGGTAGCCACCTTGCTCGTGCGCCATGGTAGGAGAAGGCTGAGGCAGCTGGCTAGGCGAGTTCCAGCTTGTGCTGGTTGCTGGCGACTGGATCGGTGTTGAGTCGAATTTGCCAACACCCGTGGCGGGGGCGCCAGCCAGCTGACCCATGGCCATGTTCTGGTTGGCGTAAGGACCGGGCGTAGGTGGCTGTGTGTTACCTCCGTTGGGGTACATCGGGTCCATCATGCTGTCTGGCGGTGGGTTACGCAGGAAGCTCGCAAGATGCCGCCGGAGCTTGCCGATCATGCCGTCCTTTGTGAAAGGCTTGGCCAGAACGTCGCGCATGCCTGCTCGTTGTTAGCACTCTACTAACACAACCGATCTCGTCTGTTTGGTGTTCTACACTTACCCCAGTGGAAGTACATCTCGAGATCTTGTTGGTTGATATTTGACGTCATGGCAATGATGGGGATGTTTGGTTGGACCTCTCTGATCATCGCGGTGGCAGAAACACCGTCGAGTTGTGGCATTACAATGTCCATGAAGATGAGGTCGTAGTAGTTGTTCTTCTGGTTAACTTTGTTCACAGCTTCCAGGCCATCTCGCGCGACTTCCACCCCACAGTCGTACTGTGAGAGGAACTTCGAACCGATTCGAGAGCACGTCTTGTCATCTTCGACGAGGAGAATGATGGGCTTCTTGATACCCCAAGGTCCAGTCCCGTGGTTGGCAGTCGTCCCGGGTGTGTGAATATTGTTGGTGTTGCTGAGGTCGCTTGCGACATTGTTGAGCGGGGTCTCCTGGACGGGCCTGTTGTACGGGACATTGTTCAAGTGCTCAGGAGCGAAAGGATCGATGCCAATGGTCTGGCCTGCGGGGTACACCATGTGGCGCATATCGTTGAGGGGATCCTGGAAGTATGGCTGGATGCCTGCTGATCCAGGAGGTCCCATCATCGATGACGAGCCCGCGGATTCTGGAGACGAGCCCTGTGGGTGTGCAAAGGCGATGGACATTCTCTTGAGATCCGGATCGGCAGAGTGCTCAACGGTGAGTCCATTCAGGATGTCCCGGGCGCGGCGCAGCTCCGCCGGAGAGTCAACGGACTCGGCAAGGTAATTCTGAGCAGTCGCGCTTGTGTACGCAGCTGGCGTCGAATTGTTGCTGGACGTGCCGGCGGCGCGGTTCTCGCGTTTATCACTGTCGACTTTGCTAAGGTGGGTGATGAGTTCGTTGTGGACCTGGTTCTGCGCGCGGACAAGCTTCTGCAGATGGAGGATCTCTTCCACGAAGATCTTGTTGGCGTTCAAGATCTCATAGTAGGACTCTTGCAGGGCTTGCACTTGCTGCTGGGTCGCGGTCAACGTGTCGGACAGAGTTGCAATCTGCTGGTTAGTGGTAAATTGCTCGTCAGCTACCTGGGCCTTGCGAGGCGCAGGCGCTTTGCGTCTGATATTATCGAGGTTGTCTTTCCTATCTGCACCAAATTCCGGGTGCTTAAACTCCCACGCCTGCTCAAACCCATTAGAAATTTTGATCAAGGCGGAAAGCGACTTGACGAGGCTAGCTACTTACAGAAGCACCGTATGGAGATTGACCATTCTCCTCATTGTGCCTGACTTTGTGGAAGTCGTACTTGTTCAGCTGACGCACGAAACTAGCAAAGTTACTGTGCTTGAAGTGTTTCGGCAGGATTGTCTTGGTAAATTTCTCGTTCTGTGACAAGCAGTTTAGTTTAGTTTCATTCAGTGTAGCCGATGCAGAAGACCATGCATGGGACCTTACCTCAAGAACGACAAAACTGTCCCCCTGATCACCCCACCGGACGACTTCGCTGTACGCCGGGTCCTCGAGCATCCTATATTAGGTTAAATATGGGTAAGTATGCAACCATGCTGTATTTCAGATCCGTGACCATGGGCATACTTGTAAAGTTTGCGAACCTGGCGAATGAGTGAGTCAACAACCGTTTTCGATGCAAATGGCGCGGCATGACTTACGAAGTCGCTGGAGTTGTTACCTCCCTGACCACCTGACAAGTCCATCTTGGGAATCTACAGCAACCAGTGGGTTGCAAATGCTCAATGGATAGGGATTGGTTATCTTAGAGGCGGGTGGTCGACCGTCGCAGTCGCGGATCGTGCTGTGTTGTGTTGTGTGTATGTGCGGCGCGTGCAGTGTGCTCGTGGATGGTCGGGGCGACGTCGTCAGCCGGCAAGAGGGTTGTGGGCTCCGTCTCGAAGACAAGTACTCGAGACGGAGGGGCCTGACAGCCGAGGAAGTTGTGTGAATGCGCGACCACCACCGCGAGGGAGAGCTGGCGACTGCACACAATCTGGCGAATGCGCACACAGACTAGGAGAGGCGATCTGGATTGAGGAATACGGTCGTATCGTTGGCGAGGCGCGGCACGCTCAGTCGGATGTCATTATCGCCTCTGGCGGGAAACGTCGTCAGCTTGAGGATTGGCTCTGGCAAGGATGACGGCGTCGTGGTCGCCGGCAGTCGAGGTGTATCGGGATGAAGACTGGCCTGGGCAGAGGAGGAGGGCGCAATCGATGATGAAGGAGCTTGAGCTGGCGGAGGGCCGCTGTGGTGGATGGAGACGGGTTGCCAAGACCCGTCTGCTAGGATGGTACCTACCTAGCGAGCGGGCTCGGGCGATGTCCAGGATAGGCTCAGGAGGCAGGAACCCAGCAGCGAGTCGAGGAGCGAAAGTCGCTCCCGGGCGAGGATTTTGCAGAGGCCAGCCACTTAGAGGGCGCGGCCAGGACCAGAGGCGCACAGCAGTGACCAGGGGGTGGGGTGGAGAGGAGAGGGAGCCTGTCCTGTGCAAGTGCTCGGCGTGACAGGACGGGCGGGTGTCGCTTGCTACGCTACTACTCTCCATCTCAAGGCTGGGGGTGGACACCCGGGCCCCTGCGGGCTGGGAACGCAACAGTGCCCTGCCCGCACTGTAGCCGCAGATCCGAACTTGCGGACTCGATCCACCGGGCGTCGCATGCTTGCCTGGGTCGCGTCCCGTCACGGATGGCCGGCCGGCCGGGCTTGTCGCTGGTGTGATGGTAGCGTTTAAGGTTGTGAGCGTGGGCACGCTTGGGCAGAAGCGTCAATATGGCACAGGCAGACACGGCGTGGCCCAGTCACGGCAGGCGCCAGCAGCACGCAGGAACGACTCGAGCCGAGAGACTGTGGATTCCAGGCTGGCCCGCCATCTCCCTTTCCCGTCTTTTGCAAGCAGGACTGTGGCATTCCTGCCGGGCCATGCTCGTGGGTTGGCCAGGTTCAGCGCCTCACCCGCATCTCGCGCACGCACGGCCTGTGCAGGGCTGCCGGGCGTTGCCACCATCGCGTCACGCCTCAGCTGTCGTCATCCTCTCCATCACCAGCAACGTCGAGCTCTGGCACGGCCGCTCGACAGTGCCCTCGAGTGCTCACACAGGACATCATGGCTCTCCTGGGCTGCACGACGATCCAGGCCAGGACACCTGCCATCCAGCCCGGTCATAATTGTGCAACCCGGCCGGGGCAGTAGTCGTCACCAACGGAGCCCCAGTCACCGTCTCGACTCGTCCAACACAAGCAACTCATTCTTCGTCAGCCTTGACAACGGACGCTCCGTGCGCCTCTCGCGCCCCTCAGCTCGACTTTGCGCCTGGCGGCACAAGACCGGAGCAGCCAGCAAAACGCCCCAAAACCTTATCTGTCGTCACGATCCGTCGGCAACTGTGAAGCATCCGACTTTTTCTTCTACCCCTTTCCTGGTCCGTCATCTGAGCACCTTGGTGTTTGGGACCGTTGTGCGGTGGACTTGGCTGGGCATCTGGCAGAGAAACAGCCCCCTTCCCTTGGAGCTCCTGGTGTCGTTGCCGCTACCTCGGCGCTGGCTCACTGTTACTCAAACAGCACGACGATTCTCCAGCCTCCTTCAGTGTGACTCTGCTCGGGTAAGCCAACTGATAAGAGTGGATGGCGCCTGTCTCCAAACTGGAAATGGCGAGTGCTGATCGTGCATGTGGTGCAAAAACGGGTGGACAAGCTGCTCCTTCCCCATTGCGAGCAAATCATCGTCGTCGGCCCCTGGCCAACCTCACTCAGCTCTTCAAGGCCACGCTCAGCTGCTCCATTTGTTTTCTTTCTCCCCTGTCTGCCGGCCCGGCCCACTTTGCCTGCTGGCCTTGGCGTGGCACTTTGCTGTTTCCAGTGCACCAGCAGACCGCATAGGCGCAAAGTGGTGAGCGTTTTTCCAGCGGACCGGACGATCCACGACAATCTCATTTCCACTATAGTGGTTGCTTCAAAGAGCCGCTCACTTCCTACTTGGAAGTTAAGGGTCCTCCCACGGTAGGACCGTGGCATATTCATCTGTATTAGCTATTGTCGACACCGTGTCCCAGGGAATACGCAATCCGTAATTACACCATTCCATGCTTTGCTTTTTGCACGAGGCTTGCCGCTCGTATCCTTCCCCATCTTTTGGAGTGACACATTTCGTCGAACCACGACTACGCCTCATCATGCTTGACAAGCAGACCTAGCATGGTTCTTTGATCCGCCGCCCCCCCTCCCTTTGCACGCTGGATGGAAATCATGATACGCAAAGTATGATTTCAAACTCAGTGAGTCGGCAGAGAGCCTCAATATCTCGCGCTAACAATGCAGCCTTAAGTTACGGCTATGCACTTGAGCTTCAAGAAACACTTGTCTCCTGCCGATGCGGCAAGAAATTTCACCAGAATGCTAGATCCCAATCTGTGGCTAGTGTTCGCTTTCAAGCGGGCATAGCGAGGAGTCTGAGAAACTGTAGAGTTGTCAGATTCATGCCAAAACTGCAGTTGTAAGTTCTTCTGCTTGGTGGTTGTTTCAGGCCGTTGGAACCTCGCGAGATGAAGAGCGCTATACACGGTAGGTAGCGGAGCAAGTCAACACGCAATCATGGCGATGGCCGCATTTCATCACCGGGCCCTCCCCCCCCCCCCCCAGCGAAGCCATGCTACTTGTCGGAGTATGAACAGGAAAGGGCCTGATCGCCAGCGGAGACGCGGATTTGACAATGCTAAATGTAGTCTCGATAGACATCAGCTTCTACCGCTGCATCTTTCGAAGCTAGCTCGTGGCGCCGTGGGCCCCCCACTGGCTGCAAGCTTCGGCGCTGCTCCCAGATTTACACCACCACACGTCATCGCTTTGGACAGTCCTTGCCGCGCTCACCTAGTGCTCTCCGTCGAGCCCGTGTTGCAGCCAGGCATTGCTATTGACGGCCGGAGACAAGCTTGCACGGCGCTGAGTATCTGCCTCTCTGATAGCACCTTCTTCACGACTCCCTTTCCTCCGGAGCTATCCCAGAATGCAAGCGAGTATTTGTAGTAAATTGCGAGACAAGGTCCACAATCACCTCAGAGCGATGAAGGAGCAGCAGCACGACCCCACATCACAATCAAGCCAAGATGGTGATGACCGCAGCAGACGCCAGAGCCAACGACGACGTTGGTGACGCTAAATGTTGTAGAGCCGGCCTGCTCAGAATCCGGTCCAAACCCGAAGCTCGATGGCTAGGTTGATGGGTCCAGACATCCTGGCGCAAAACCGTCCTCTTATCCATTGTCAGCCCCCCACTAGCCGCCGAACTTGACCAGATCCAGCCAGCTGGGAAGTAGCCAAGCTCCAGCCCAGGTCGTCGGCTCGAGCGGGGCTGCAGGACAATCGCTCGTTTGGGTTGATCGCCCAGCACGGCAGGGATCTTTCAGATCTCGAGAGATGTGGCAGGGCCCCAGAGGACCACGCTACCACGGGGCGTGGGAGGTCCTGTCTGGCCAGGTCTCCGCTTTGGGGTCATTCTCACAAAGCAAGGGAGAAACAAAGTTATGCTCTCGATTTCTTTAGCCGCATTAGCCGACTGACGGCTGCGCAGTATGGACAAAACGTTCCGTGGACTTTCGACGTGCCACCACCAACACGTGAGTACTTGCGTCAGCACAGAGCGCTCGAATCGGAGACGACGGGGGTCAGATCAAAGGGAGCTTGCTTGCATCACGCCGTTGATAACCAGGCCAGCGGAATCGGCCATCGTCTGCACAGCACAGAGCCCACATGCACTTCCTGGTTGTGAGACTTGCGGCAAATATCTAGAAGGTTAAGTTCTTCCAGCTGGTCAGATCTGCGCATGTGATCGAGTGAGTTGCGCCAAGGGGCCAAGCAACCCAAAACTTATCTCTTGACGAAGCAAAATACCGCGAATGAGGTCAACTCTCATCGCTGTTGCCAGACTGTTCAAGCAGAATTGTGATCTGCAACACCAAGCTGTCGGAACCTGCGCCGTCCGTGACGCCGAGTTGCGCTAGCCACCCAATCAGCAATGCCCTCCTGTCAGCGCGCCCGGCACTTTCTTGTCCCGTGCTAGGGGGCCTCTTGCCCTCGCATGGAGGTTCATGAACAACACTGCTCGTACTGTGCGAAGAGACATGTTGCGCTGGGCTCGGGCATCGCATCGCCCGTGTGTCGACGAAGCGCAAAGGTATGCAGCTCTTGCTGGTCTGTCTCATTCCCCACCTACTGCCTCTGTGCTCGCGCGCAGGGCAGTCAGGCAGCTGAGTGATGCTTGCTCGCATTTTGTGTGCTTCTTTCATACCTGTCCACCACTATCGGCACCGACAGACATGCTGGGAAATTTCGTCCGAGAATCGGAATTCTTTAGTCGCTCACGCGCTCCAACAGTGCCGGTTCCGTGGCTACGTTGCAACATTGGGGCGCGGTCGATTCCCTGCGTGTGGCTGAGACATCGTCTTTGGAGTTTGAGACACGTGTCTGAGGTACAACTTGTTCATTCTTCTTGATTGAAAACAGCACAACCGAACGTTCCGCGCAGGCCGTGGGAACCACTGGAAAATCTCGAAAATCCGGAACGTGTCAGGTCCGGAGATTTGTCCGGTACCGTTGACCTTACTTTGATTAGGTCCGTCACGGCACTGGAATCCCACAGCATAGTAACTCGATGGGGACTGAGCGTGGATCTGGCTGGAAAATGAAGACAAATCAAATACGACAGGGCTGTCAGAGACAACGCAATAACGTTTGCTTTGAGCCCTGCTTCCGTTTGATGTTGAAAAACATGCACCTGGGGGTTTCGTTTTTTGTCATAAGGCCGCCTCGAGGAATCAGCCAGGCGCGCAAGGTTCGAGGTCCAGACCGTGAAGTTCATCGTCACCAGGTACCGCCTCCGGAGACGTTTCCAGAGATATCTTGACCGTGGTTGAAAAGTCGTTGAGGATGGCTTGAGACAAGATCATCGGCGATGCCGATCCAGTGCTCTCTCCATCTGGAAAGACTGAATGAGGCCGCCGAAGGGTATTTCGGTCATCGCTGCCAGGAAACAGATGTGCGACCGTCTCTGGCCGTCTGCCCACGAGAACGAGAGAGTCCTGTCATTACAGCATACTTCCGTCCTGGCAAGAGCAAGTCCATTGATCGTGTCGGTCTTTTGAGGCACGTGATGAGCTGTGTCGTGCCTCGGAAATTCTGCCCTATTCTAGTGAGCAATGATATTGATGGTAGTGCGGCTTGATTCTCGGAGACGAGTGCTTGGTGATAGGGCATGAGATTGTGGGTTGTAACACAGTCCTAGGTTCATCGGCGGTGTCCTGGCGGAGGAGATGCGGCGCCGCGTGGAGGAGCACGACGAGGTTCACGCGGCGCGTGCTGGGCACGTTTCTCACGCCCGAGGTCACTGCGAAGGCTGCCGCTGCAGTTGCCGCTGCTACTGCTGCGAACTTGGAGAAGAGCAAGGATCAGTCTGAGGATAAGCACCGATGCAGATATTGCAATCACCGAGAGCGAAGAGCATGCAGATTTGATGGTGGTGAGAACGGTAGTTGGGTCCCAAGGCATCTGCAAAATCTCTCGACTGTCCATCAGGTCCCCGCAACGGGAAAGCGATGCGGCTTAAGTTGAATGGAGATCAGGCTTGATGTACACAACCTAGGGGATCTCTCACATGATTGAATTCCGAGGCCAATGGGAAAATCCTTCGCCGCAATAAATCTGCCACTCCAAACATTCTGTCATGGTCCCAGGAAAGCTCGCACGATGAAATGTATGAAAAGCAGACGCATGCTGTTCCTGGCGTCGTTTCATGTCATTAGCGCCTGGTCGTTCGACATAACTTCTCGCCATAACTGTGACCTTACGTGACAACAATCCCATACCTTCTGCAGGCTCTGGATCTATGCCGGGATTCATCAAACTTTTCGTGTCTTGGTCCATGCTGCAGACGAAATTGTGGCGACTTACTGAACCTGAATACCTGCGGGACAGCAGTTACAGCAGGATTTGTCTTGTTTACTCATGGGCCCGCCAAAAAGCACAGCCTCATGGAAACTAAGTAGCGCTCTCTCAATAATACGAAGCCTCTCGCTCGCCTATCGACGTGGGCTCAGTGTCACGCGTACCCTCCATTCCACCACTATCCCAAACACCAACCTTGCCCAATCGGACGCGAGCGAGAGCATCAATCGACTCGACATATCGGGTTTGACCCATGATAGAACTGTCTGAGATATATCAGCAAGCCAATTACCTGCTTCGGAATGCCCCAATTGATTTACATCGGTCAGAAGGGTGTTGGATCGGAAAGTCAGGACGAGAGCTCCCTCAGATAATCTGGAGTTTCAAAATGACACGAGAACAACCACCAATGTGCCCATGATCGGACTGACCACAAGCGCAAGCCATTGCTGGACGGGGAGCAGTATATAAAATGGTTCCTGGGACGATCGATGATCCTGCTCAATGATTAGCCGACGGTGCAATGCCACGCCACAAGTGTGAATACTGGTGGCGTCTTTGATGGTGTTCGTCAGGTGCGACTAGAAAGGTGCCTGACTTCGAGATCGCGGAGCCAATTAGTCACCCCGTTCTCGAGCAGTAGTGCCGAATCAAAGAGAAGGGCGACAGCGAACACTGGGAGGCAACGACAACGACAACGACAACGACAACGACAAACACGTTGCGTAGAACGCCAAGAACGACGGCTTTGACAAAGCGATCAACGAAGCCCTGGGGATTGGCCAGCGATTCATTGGACTTTCACGTACTCATAAGCCCGTCAAGGAAAATCAACAACCTGAGGTGAACACGACCAGCCGCATCGCAAGAGTCACGTCAATGAGATACAGGTCTTGGCGGGTTCGCTTCTGCGAATCAGCCACGTCACGAACTGCTAGAGGCCCTTTGGCTGGTTTGTCCAAGTCCAACACGGGAGAATTTCAAGGTCGATCGGCCAGCGTTGAAGCTATGTTCCTGAATTGAACGTTCGCGTTGACGCATCAGCACATGTTGTGCAATCTGTCTATCCGAATCTGGAACGACTGGAACGACAGCCTTGACTCTTCGAGGCCTGAGCTCCCAACCTTGGCGAAACCTCGCAATGCGCGCAACCGGACAGACCACCACAACTCATCACACGACACATCTAGTTCACACAAGACTTCGCCAATCAAGTCCCAGGGAGTGAAGACTGAGGTACCAAATGACTCTCGCAAAATGCCGGTGTTGATTTCGTCGTAGTCCGGTCGAAACCGTAACTGAAGCTGCGAGGAACAGGTGCAAACAATTCTGCACCACGGAGAAACGCACTTGCTTGGATCCGATTGACGGTGCGAAGTTCTAGCAGCATCCCTCGAACCTGTCGTGCGTGCTCGTGTGCGCCGGGCATGCGAATGAGTTGCCGGCGGAATCAGCGCTGCACTTCGCATTTGGTGAGCCCATGCGGCGACAACTCCGGACAACTTGGAATACGATTGCGGCAAGTCGAAACAACGTGCGGGGCCTTTGCCAGACACGGGGGAGTTGTCCTGTGGCAAAAACAACGGCGGGAACTCATCGCTTCGTGGACTAAACAGCCACAAACACCCCAGAAAAAAGAAAAAGAAGAAAACAACTCAAAAAGTTATTTTGTGAGCGTCTGAAACGCCCGCTGAAGCTATAATTGCTAGCGACGCGAGCAGGATTTGAACCTGCGCCTCCGAAGAGAATAGATTTCTAGTCTATCGCATTAGACCACTCTGCCATCGCGCCCAGTGGTGGTTATTGAGGAATGCTGGGTTTATCACTGCATATGAATTGACAAAATTGCGTGTGTGGGGCTCCATGGTTATGGGTGGAGTGGGGCATCCGTGGCTAGCGCCGTTCGAGCCCCACCGCGTCTGCCACACCAAAAAGTTGCGTGGCTGCCAGCTCCATCTTCCACGAAGCACACGAGTGGCACTGGGCCACGGGCAAGCACTTGCTGGAGCACACCTGACCGGCGAGAAAGCTGAGGAAGGCCAAGACCGTCCTTGTACACAAATTATTGACGACATTCAGTGATTCTTTTCAATTCAGAAAGATGAGTTTAACCTCAAAGCGGCTTCTCGTCTCACGTCTCCGCGTTCCATGGTGTGGCTGTGCCCCATGGAGTCTGATTCTAGGACATTATACACTCTACTCATAGATAACCTGCGCTCTAGTAATGAGACAAGTCCCATTTTCTAATCAGGGACGATGAGCTGGGAGCGTGACAAAAACCTTATCATATGTACATGGAATACACAATGCGCATCAAGGGGCGAGGATTAGGGAGACTGTAGCATACGTTGAAGCAACCTCGAAGCTACATTCCGCGCACGCCCTCCCTGCTCCGTATCCTGTCTCTCCTGTCTTTCCGAATTATCCGCAACTCGACGGGCAAGGTCATGTATTCTTGAGTCGCCGAAAGTGGAGGCAAGGGCCTGCCGCGGACGCAACTGGGAGCCGCCAGACCTACATTTCGCCCTGCGACAACAATGTCTCAGTGAGGACTTTGCGAGAGGCTTGAGCTGAAAGTTTATGTTCACATGCTTCATGAACAGACAGGATTACATGATTGCATCGTGACAGCCGGGACACGCAGTCCGCAGTTACTTTATTGTCCTGTTGATTGAAGATCTATCCTGATTCATACCAAAGTCCACGAAAGCATCTACGCACACGATGGCCCCCACGCTGATTGCCCACGCCCACCTGGCGTGGTGGGCGGAATTAGCGAATCTGAGAAAACGACCCCAACCCTTCGTTTAGACTTCGCCGGCCCGAACACGCGGCTTCGAATGACGCATGCGGTAGAACACCTTATCTCAGCATGCGAACTTATCAATTATCCCTGACGATGTCCGATGCTTTAAAGAAATACTTTTTGTAACGTACGCGACTCTGAGGTATCAGATATCGACAGCTACCAGAAAGCAACTGGGAAAACCCCGCAAAGACTAAAACCCCTGCACAGATGGCGACTTCAGGACTGGCCGAGACGTTCCTCGGGGCGATCCAGGCGTCGGTGTCGGTGCTGCTCGTGATATCCTATGGCGGCATCGCGGCACACTTGGGTCTGCTCGACGGCGACAACACAAAGGCAATCTCCAAAGCATGCGTGCGCATGTTCTTGCCGGCGTTGCTCATCACGCAGGTCGGCTCGCAGCTGGAGCTGGCCAATGCCCGAGACTACGGCATTGTCCTGCTCTGGGCAATGCTGTGTCACCTGCTCTCGTTCCTGATGGGGGTCTTTGCCCACCTGGTGCTGGGCATGCCGGACTGGACGACGGTGGCGCTCATGTTCAACAACACGACAAGTTACCCGCTCCTTCTCATTAGCGCGCTGCAGGAGACGGGAATCCTCGAGTCCCTACTCGCACGAGACGAGTCGGTGCAAGAGGCCATTGGGCGGGCCGAGGCATACTTCCTGATCTTCGCGACGGTCTCCAGCTGTCTGACCTTTGCGGTTGGCCCGCGACTCATTGACAGTGAGCATGCGCCGGAGCAGGCCAAGGAAGACGACCCGCCGACACCCGAGCAGAGCTTGAGTGCCGATGCCGAGGAGCCTGTCAGTGAGAGGAGCAGACTGCTGGGGCCGGATCAGTACAATGGCGATGAGACGTGGAACGACAACAGGTTTTGGCCGAGTCGACGTCGTGCCTCGGACGCCAGCCGGCACACGCATCGCAGAGCTTCGCTCGTTCCCAAGCTGCGCTGGTCACGGCTTGGTCCGCGGACACAGTGGTGGCTCCTCTTCCTGGGCGACTTTGTCAATGCGCCGCTGGTTGGTGCCCTCGCCGGCACGCTGGTCGGCCTTACGCCCGCCCTGCACCGGGCCTTTTTCAACGAGACGACCGACGGCGGCGTGCTGACCGCGTGGTTGACGGCCTCGCTAAAGACCATCGGCGGGCTGTTTGTGCCGCTGCCAGTGGTTGTCGCAGGGGTGTCGTTGTACACCTCCCTCAACGGCGCGGGACGCCACGCATCAAGGCTGCCATGGCTGCCCGTGGTCTTCATCACTCTGGTGCGCTTCGTGGTGTGGCCCCTGGTGTCCATTGGCACCATCTATGCGCTGGCGAGAGAGACAGGAGTGCTGGGCGAGGACCCGATGCTGTGGTTCACCATGATGCTCATGCCAACAGGGCCCCCGGCCATGAAGCTCATCACGCTGGTGCAGGTCAGCGATGCGAGCGCCGACGAGGAGATGAGCATTGCGAAACTGCTGGCTGTAAGTTGACCAGATCTCGCATCCCCGTGGCGGTTCATTCATGCGCGCGAGTTGCTAATGTCCGCCAACATAGCTATCATACGTCATCTCTCCTGTGCTCTCTGTCGCAGTCGTCGGCAGCCTGCGGGCAAGCCAGGCTTGCAACAACAGCTGAGGCCCCGATGTAAACAAACCACGGCGGGCGGGCTGTGTGCATGACAAATGACATCCATGGATGACCAAAACACCAGCGCAAATGAAGCAACGTGCAAGTCAATATGACACTGTTGATTGCCCGTGACCTGTGGAAGCCGTAGCAAGGGAGGTCCTAGAACTTTGACAGACGACGATAATGCGAGGTGGCATGTCAATAGAGGGGTTGTGCTGGGCGTGCAGCATCGTCGTCAAGTCAACAGGGGCCACCAAGTGCGTGGGGTGTGCCTGCCTCACCGCTGTGCAGTGCCTGCCTCGAGCAGAAACAATGGAAAACGGGGCCGCAGTTTCCCGACTCCAGCGCCTAGCAAGGGCCCTTTTGCCGCCCGCTGACTGGCTGCGTTGCCCGGCGTTGTGGGGCCCGGCCAGGGCACTGCGCTGCACTGCACTCTGTGCCAGAGCCCAACCCGACTGACTTGGGCCCAGCCCGGCCCAGTGAGGAGTAGCTGCGAAAAAGAACAGGCCTGTCGTGTAAATAATAATAATTACACCGCTCCCCCTCGCCGAACCACCTCGGGCCACCATCGCGAGACCCAAGAGCCTGGTCGACTGTCCGCCGTCTCATTCGTCCTCGTCCTTGCTGCCCTCTCGCCGCGGAACGCAGCTCCTGCAGCAGCAGCAGCACGTCCCCCCTCTCTGCCTGCACCCGGTCCCGCATCGCTCTCTGCCGATCGAGCACGCTGTCCCGCGGCCACGACCACGACAGCAACAAAACTCTCCACGGCGCCTTCCACCATGTCCGGAACCATGCGAGGCACTCCAAACCGGGGTCAGAGCAGTCGCGGTGCCATGCCTTTCAACACTCCCGTCAGTCCTGCTGGAGGCTCTGGCATCCCCAGGCCCGTCCACGAGACCCAGGCAAGCCACCAGCCAGCGCCCAGCGAGGCTGCCTCGGGGGTCAGCGCCAGCCGGCAGAAGCAGTCGAAGCGTGATGAGGTATGTGGACACTCGTTTCGCACGCTCGAGCCCAGTGCTCTTGCATCTCCTCGCCTATCTAGCAGCAGATCACCCCTAAACTAACATGATGTTGGCAGGCCATCCGCAGGAAACTGGAGAGCGACCTCTCCAAGAAGAAGGGCCTCACCAACCGTGCCCGTCACTCCCGCAAGGCCCCTCCCGGAACTGTCCTCGCTCTCAAGCCTAGCCCGGCCCTCCAGATCAAGCCCTCCACAACAGTCTCCGAGGCTGCGCAGCTCATGGCTGCCAAGCGCGAAGATTGCGTCCTGGTTACCGACGACGACGACCGCATTGCTGGTATATTCACAGCAAAGGATCTGGCTTTCCGCGTGGTCGGCGCGGGTCAGAAGGCCAGCAGTGTCACAATTGCCGAGATCATGACCAAGAACCCGCTCTGCGCAAGGACCGACACCAGCGCGACGGATGCGCTCGATCTCATGGTGCGCAAAGGCTTCCGCCACCTGCCCGTCATGGACGAGAACCAGGACATCTCTGGTATCCTCGACATCACCAAGTGCTTTTACGACGCCATGGAGAAACTCGAGCGGGCGTATGCCTCCTCCACCAAGCTGTACGCCGCTCTCGAGGGTGTCCAGTCCGAGCTCGGTACCAGCCAGCCGCAGCAGATCATCCAGTACGTGGAGGCTCTGCGCTCTAAGATGTCCGGCCCGACTCTCGAGTCTGTCCTGAACGGCATGCCTCCCACGACTGTCAGTGTTCGCACCTCCGTCAAGGAGGCGGCTATGCTCATGAAGGAGAACCACACCACAGCCGTGCTTGTCCAGGACCAGGGTCAGATTACAGGCATCTTCACCAGCAAGGACGTCGTCCTGCGCGTGATTGCCCCTGGCCTTGACCCGGCCAACTGCAGTGTCGTCAGAGTCATGACCCCTCACCCTGACTTTGCTCCCATGGACATGAGCATCCAGGCTGCGCTCAGAAAGATGCACGGTAAGCATTCTTGAATCGGTTTAACGCATGAAGCTATACTAACATGGTCTCTCCAGATGGCCACTACCTCAACCTGCCCGTGATGAACGACTCGGGCGAGATTGTCGGCATGGTCGACGTCTTGAAGCTCACCTACGCCACCCTTGAGCAGATTAACACTATGGGCTCTGGCGATAGCGAAGGCCCTGCCTGGAACAAGTTCTGGCTGTCACTCGACAACGAGACCGAGTCCATGGTCAGTGGAGACGGCAGCCACCACCACACGATGGCGTCGCGGTCGATGATGTCACCCGACCACGGCCGCGACAGGATTGGCGACTCCGTAGCACCAGGCGACAGTGCGTCCCACGTCGGGGAAGGCTCCCTTCTCGAGCCCATCACTCCTGATGTTCCCATTGCCGACATGCCGTTCGCTTTCAAATTCAAGGCCCCGAGTGGCCGGGTGCACCGATTCCAGGTGATTGCCAGCCAGGGCATTGAGCAGTTTGTCACGAGCGTTGCGGCGAAGCTTGGCAAGGAGGCCGACGTTCTGGGTGGAACCCCCACCGTCGATGACGGCAAGCTGAGCGTCGGCGGCTTCGCCATGAGCTACCTGGACGATGAGGGAGACACCGTCTCTATCACTACCGATCAGGACCTGCTTGAGGCCATTATGCTAGCCAGGCACAGCCACCGCGAGAAGGTTGATCTTTTCGTGCACGACCCGTCTCAACCTCCCGTTACCGTTGCGGCTCCCCAGCCTGACATTCCCATCCCGACACCGCCGGCCAGCACTGCCGCTTCCGGCGTGCGCCGCCGCCGTGGTGTTGTTGAGGACAGCGATGAAGATGACAGTGAGGATGATGATGAGGAGGACATGAGCGCGATTAGACGGCGGAGAAGACACGGGCATCACCGGTCGGAGCCGGATCAGGTTATTGCGGGCGTTCCCAACGAGCTGCTCCTGCCTGGTGCGGTCGTGACGCTGGCGGTGGTGATCATTGGTGTCTTTACCATCTCGAGGTTGTCGAGCAGTCGCTAAGCCTGTCAGACTCGTAACACCAATGATGTAGCACGCTTTTGTTTTTCGTTTTCCTGCACGCTATGACGAGACCACGTATGACGGCATGATGCTTGACTGTAGAAAGGCTAGGCGCAACGAACGAGTACATAGACTAAACAATGAACTATAGCTCGCAATGCCTTGATGAACCGAAGCAGCGCCGTGAAGGTTGGCGCTGTGCAGATGAATCGCCGTCAGTATAACTTGAGAATATGGGGCTACTCGTGCGACTTATGAAAGCCGCCAAGCGGGAGGTGCAAGCGGACCACAACCACCCCACACAGAAGGGCGGGCTGGTGCTCCCATTGGCTGCCAGTGGACAGTGGGCTGCAGCATTTCGAGAAAAGTCGCGACGACCTCATGCCAGGCCAGCCAGCATAGCGCTTGCCCCCGTGAGGTCTCAAACACAGCACAGGACAGCCAATCCTGCGCATACCAGCGATGATAATAAGAGAGATGAGTGCCCGCCAAGGTTTGTCCTGACCAAGCAATGCTCGCGATCCACTCAACAGCCCCCCCGTACTGACGCTCTCGTGTCAAATCCAGCGCGGAGAGCACTGGCTGCTCCTCTGCGACAGACGGCGACCCAAACAGCGGCGTCACGATGCATCCGTGCCTTTTCGACCGAGACGGCCGAGACGACGTCGGCACCTGTAGACCCTAGCACACAGGCTCCGAAGACGCCGTCCCTCTTCATCCGGACGGCCAAGCCCTGGAACCGGAACAAGAAGTCCAATGTGCCCGACAACACGGCGGCCGAATTCCGCAAGGCGCAGAACCTCAAGAGCTACATTGGCAAGGCCGGCGCCGTGACGGAGAGGAAGTACCACCCAGACGACATCTTCCGCAACCCGCCAGGCCCGGCCGACATCACCCTCGAGCTGCTCATGGCCGCCCAGGTGCACATGGGCCACAACACATCGCTGTGGAACCCGGCCAACGGCCGCTACATCTTTGGCGTCCGCGAGGGCATCCACATCATCAGCCTCGAGCAGACGGCCGCGCACCTGCGCCGGGCAGCCAGCATTGTGGACGGCGTCGCCTACGCCGGCGGCAACATCCTGTTCGTCGGCAACCGCCCCGGCCAGACGCGCATGGTCGTCCAGGCTGCGCGCATGGCCAAGGGCTACCACCTCTTCACCAAGTGGCCCGCGGGTGCCATCACCAACAGCGATGTCCTGCTGCGCGCCCTGCCCGTCGAGATGGTCGACGAGCACGACAACCCCATCGCCTCGCTCAGCTACCACGACATGGACGCGCAGCCCGTCAAGCCCGACCTCGTCGTCTGCCTCAACCCGCTCGAGAACTACGTCCTCCTGCACGAGTGTGCCCTCGCCAACATCCCCACCATCGGCGTCATCGACACCAACGCCGAGCCTACCTGGGTGACCTACCCCATCCCAGCCAACGACGATAGGTGAGTTATCAACCACCCTTCCTGCCGACACGAGCTACGTCCCGAAGGGGGCGGCAAAAACCCCTTCCCGAGCCGAAGAAGACACTTTCCTCCTTTCCATATACTTTCCAGAAACGAAACTAACCTTTGACATTCGTCCCACTTTTTCAATAGTCTTCGCTCAGTCGCCACCATCGCAAGCATCCTCGGCCGCGCCGGCGAGGAGGGCAACCAGCGGCGCCTGCAGGCCGCCGCGCAGGGCACCGTGACCTGGGAGACCCCCAGCGCCGTGGCCACGTACATGCTGCGGCAGGCCGACCGCGCGGCGGCCCTGGCCCGGCAAAAGGCCGTGCAGGCGCAGCTCCTGCACGAGGCCGTGACTCGCGGCGGAGCTTCTTCTTCTTCCTCCGCTGCTTCATCAACAGCGCCAGCGCCGTCGTCATCATCACCCGCCGCGGCGGAGGAGCAGTTCGTCGACCCGGCCAGCGAAGGCAGTGTGCGCCAGCAGGAGCTCATGGACAAGCAAGCCGCCGCCGCCGCCGCCGCCGCCAACATCGAGGTCGTCGACAAGGCCACGGGCGAGGTGCGTGAAAAGGACGAGATCAAGCCGAGCGAGGCGAAATAGTAGCTCTCTCAAGCTCTCCCTTCCTTTGGCGCAGAGAGCGGGGATCGTGGGGGAGTGGGAGCCAGAGGAATGTTGTATTATTATGAGGAGGACGAGGAGGGGAAGAGACGTTGGCCGGGGATTATGACCAATCAGAACAATCCTCAGTCACAACCGCTCGTGTGGTAGTGTGGCAGTAGACGCTTCTGGCTCTTCCTAGGTAAGAAGTTTCTTCACGGAAGAGGAAAAGAGGAAAAGCTGTCGAATGCGGTGAGAACGATGTGCACATGATCAGAAAAGAAGAAAAGACAAGCATATCTGCAGGGACGGGAGGGATGAGAAATGTACCAATAACACCTCTTTCACGGCACCTGGCAATGTAGAAATATATACACCTGCAACAAACATGTCGACTAGTATTTATGGTTCAGCCTGCCCTCAAGGAACATTTCACGTGATTCTTGTCATCAGATGACAAGTCGAAGTTACGAAAAATCTGATCTACTTCTTTCATGCAAGTTGAAGACTTTGTCCCAAACTCCAAACTATGAAGCTATGCCCAGCAATGAATGAAATGCACAACACTGAAATGGAATCTCCTCCACTACAACGACGCCGTGAACGCCAGTGACACGGAACCAACTACCGGCTCTATGGTACGGCCGCAGGATCTAAATCATTCACAAACACACCAGCACCTCATCCACCAAAGCCCCCAGCATCCTCAGCCCAAACCACTCTGCTACGCCCTTGTACACCTTGAACCTGCGCAGCACCTCGTCTCTCTTGACGCTCTCCACCCACTCGCCCGAGCAAGGGCAGTGCTCCATGAAGTCATTCAGCCGCGCGCCGCCGCAACGTGCGCATTTGAGGTCTTGTGTCGTCCACTCAATCACGAAGCCTTGCACGTCTGCGAGGAGTCGCTCCTCCATCTTGAGCCGATCGAATTCGGCATCGCAGTAGCTGCACTTCCACGGCTTCGCCTGTGCGGCGCGCTTCATCTCGTTCTGCAGCACCGTGCCGTCAAGGTTGTGGTTGTGCCCCCCAGCAATGGCACCCGCGGCGCTGACCACCTCGTCTATGTCCGGCAGCAGGCTCTCGTCCCGGCACAGGTCCCAGTCGCGGGCCATGGTGCATTCTGCACAGCTCCACTGTGGTACTTTGAGAGACTCGCTGGGGTTGACAAACGCGCCGTCTTTGCTAAACTCGCGCACCTCAAAGAGCTGAAGGAGCTCCTTGCGGAGAAGACGCGCCTCCATCGTGATGTTTTTGTCCAGGCTGAGGACTTGCATCAGCGACTTGACGAGTTCGAGAACAGCATTGCGGTTGCGCATGTTCTTGAGATGACTGCCGGGGAGCACAGGGAAGGTCCAATCGGATGCGAGCTCAGGATGCAGGAGCTCACGAGCCTGCGTCGAGACGAGGGACTGAATCTCCTTTTTTAGTGGGCGCTCAAACGTCTTGGTGAGGATTATCGAGTTCTTGTCACCAAGAGTGTTCTCCTCATCTTGCGTGCCATTACGCGCAGGGAGCTGTGTGAGTCGTGGTGTCGAGTCGGGGTCGCCCAGGGGGCGCTTGACCTTGTGCATCAGCTCAATGAACTGCACCGTCCAGTGCTGGAAGACGTCTTGCAGGCGGAGGGGCAAAAAGGTCTTGATCTGCCAGCACATGACTGTCTCGAGTTTCTGCTCGTCGGCCTCGATGACTTCCTGGCACGCCTTTCCTCCGTAGTTGAACTCGTCATACCACACGAGATAGTCCCAGTATTCTTTGATCTCGAGCTCGATGAAGTTGAACAAAGCCTTGCTCTTGATGCTCTTGATGATGTACTGACTGTAAGCGTAGGCATTGCCAACCTCCGATTTGGTAGTCTGCAGCAATAGTCTGGTCGAGTTGGCAAAGACAACCTGGGAGCCGACGCGACGAAAGTCGGCCATCAGCTGGAGAAGAGCCTTGCGGCTCATCATCTGAACATAGTAGTGGAGAGCACGATCGTACATGAACGAATCCGACGACTCTACCCAGCGGACGAGGTGCTGAACAAGGACATCGGCCATTGAGCTGCCCCTGCAAGCTTCAGTCCACCAGGACTTGACCATTTCGCGAAGAACGAGCACACCTGCATTGGCAAAAGCGGATTCGGAGTGCAGCATCGCATCGTCGCCGCCCGCCGCGTCAGCCGCTGGGTTGAACGAGATAGAATCGGATCCTTCCAGTTCGTTGATGAGGGATGAGGTCAGGATGGTGTTGATGGCCAAATTACGGACGTCAATGTCAATGCAGACAGAGGCGTATGTGCCAGGCTGATTGACTGATGGCATGCTGACCTTGTCCAGCGGGCCCGTGACGTCGTCCTGCTCATAGCCTGCATGGTCTGGCCTCGCGCCGGGCGACCACCAGAGAACCACATTGTTAGTCTGCAGCCTGCGAGCGTACGCGACATCAATGAGGAACCTCGGGTCGTCCCGCTCCAGGTTGCAGAGAGGGATGTCGCCATATCTGGCAAGCGCTGTGAGATGCAGCACCCAAGATCCCAGGCTGAGATAGTGTGTGACCAGTCGTCGAGCCACAACACTCTGCCAGCCTAGTGGTGGCAGCGAGCTGTCAGCTTGATCATATCTGAGCGGGAGCACGGGGAAGTCTCCGAGAACAGGCACGTCATGAACGAGCTGATTGCGTTGAGATGACTGGATGACGAGCATAAGCGGGCGAGTTTCATCCTTCTTGAGCCGCTTGACCAGATCGCCGATTTCGAGGTGAGCCTTGCGCCGCGTCGTCACTTGCGTAACTTTGAAGCTGAGCTTCGCCTGGTATTTGAAGCAGTCCTGCCAGTTGCTGCCCTCTGGCTCTTCCCGAGACCTGCGTCCAAGCATGTCCGCGTAGATCTTGTTGATGTTCGGAAGGTCTTGGCCATTATCTCTTGACTTCTGAAGAATCACGACGTGCGCCTGGTCGCTGGTCGTAGAAAATATGCCAAAGATCTGCCTCTCTCCAGCCGTTATGTGGGAGACGTACAGATAGCCAAGAGGGTTCGACTCGAGGTATGTCCTAGCCTTTGGCGGACGAATCAGGCCGCTCAGGTCAAATCCTTGCTCCAGGCCTTTGCCTAGAACGCCGGGCTGCGACTCGTCAATGGTGCATAGGTTGCCCAACTGCAAGACGGCGCGAATGTTGAGCGGGACCTGCTTCTCGTACACGCCTTCCACACTTGGGTGGTTGAACAATAGGGAGAACTTCTCTGCTTCCGCAAAATAGATATCCTCGGGAACGGTGATTTTGAACAAGTGCGTCGACGAGTGGCCGTTTGGCAGAGTGTAGTTAACCTGCTCAACCTCACAGCCATCAATGTGGATATCGGGGAGATCTTTTCCTTTCAGATTCAGGAACACCTGTCGCGGCACTTTGATCTTGAGTGTGTGAACCTTGGCATCGATTAAGACGTACGCCATTACGATGCCTGGATTGTCGGTGGCACGTAGCTGAAGAAGCTGCCAGTTGTTCCTGAAAGTGATTTCTGCTTGATTTCGGAACGTTTGTTGGATATTGCTGCCGACGTTGCCTCTTCGATTACCAAACAAGTGGCGGCGGCGGATTCGTGCCTGCTTCTGAATCTTCCACTTTTGCTTCTGGTATTGCAGGAAAGCCGGGTAATCCTCCGAAGGACTTGGCATGACCTTCGGCAGGGCGGCAAAGGGGTCAAGCTCCTTAGTTGGCTCGGGAGACTTTCGCTTCGTTGCTGCCGCTTGCTGAGACGAGTTGATCATTGCCGTTGTGCTCTTCGGCTTCAACAACTTCGAGCCAAAGTCTTCGAGATCGTTCAGTCTTTGTGAGCCAAGGTTTGTTATGTCCTCGAGCGGGCCTTTGCTGAATAGGTCGGTGAGCTTTTTCTGCTTCATCTTGTCGTCCTTGATGTTGATTCTTCTCTGCAGCCAGTCCGGATGCGGAACCCTGGGCACCGGGTTCCGGACTTTTTGGAGAGCAGCAGGAATCGTGATGAGCTTCTGAATGACGGAACCCAAACGCTCAAGGTAGTAGTCCCAGTCCAGGAGGGCACGAGGATCCATGTTTGAAGGCTCCTCCTTCAGCCACTTAGTCAAGAAAGTCCTCTTGATCTCGAGCTCTGCCGAGAAGATGGCGACCGGAATGGCACGCTCAGTGACGGGAGCGCCTCGCGGTTTCGCACAGATGATGTACTTGCAATTGAGGCCCTTGTCCTTGACCATCTGCTCGCCCAAGAACTCAGCGAGTCGCTTGGCCGTGGTAATTGATGTGGACTTCTGGGACCCGTACTCCTCAAGCGTTTTCGACATGCTGCGGTTTTCGCAAATCAGGTCGATCAGTTCCTCATCTGCCAGAGTCGAGCCCTTGCTGTGCAACACGTCGAGCCACCTATCAGCAACCTTGGCGACTGCGGAGTAGCACTCTGCTAATGTTGTTCCTTCGAGGAAGAATTTGAAGATCTGCTGCTGGAAGATCTTGATGAGCTTGAGCTCACCTCTCCGCTTTACCTCGAAACCCTTCAGCTCGGCAAGGCTGCCATCGTCGTTGAACACGGCATAACGCTTCTTCAAGTTCTTGTCCTCCTCCTTGGAAGTAGGCAGGATCATGGCACGATATGGACCATCGACCTCGAAGAAGATGGAGTTGTCGCTGTGGGTCTCGTACTTGAATGTCTTGGGATCCACCAGGGTTTGATACTGATGGTTAGTGAATTTGGCGTGGACTTTATGGTTCAGCATGACGCAAGGGTACGAGATGAAGACCTTCTTGCCGTTCTTCATCTTGAAGGCGAAGTTTTCTGGGAAGCTGCCTGGCAACATGCACCAGATACCATCAGTGTCCAGCTCGAGAGGTCGTCCCAGGCGCTCGACCAGCTCCTTGGCCAGCTGGATAATAGTGGCACCTGTCAAGCACGTCACTCCGGCCATTTCCATGGAGTACCATCGGGACCCCTTTCGCATGGCGTAGCCGTAGAACGAGTTGAGAATGACCTTGTGCGCAAGTTGTAGCGAGTCAAAGAGGACAATCATCTTCTTGGCAGCGTCGACCTCGGCACCTGGTGCGCCGGATGACTTGAGAGTCTCTGTCTTGCCCTTCCAGACCTTTGCCTTGCCCTTGTAGTCATATCGACGATCGCGGAAGCCAGACACTGTGTCAATAAAGAATGGATTCTCCCTCTGACAGATAATGGCCTCCCGAGTGATTGTCGTCTGCTCGCGGATCCTGTGATAGACTTTTTGGCTGTACGTAGTCAATCGTTTTCTCGTCAAGGCGATGCGCTCCTCTTCAGGGAGCTCCTGGAATGTGCGCATCGGCGAGTTTGGCCATTTGCCTGGGAACTTCTCGTTCTCGAGAGTTTGCCTGATCATGTTGTACTCGTCTCGCTTCGCCGGAAGATATTCTCCACGCCAGGCCCATGGCAACCTTCTGTCGCAAGTCTTGCCTGGCCGATTGAAGTCGCAAGCTGCACAATCGGACTCCTGAATCATGGAATCTGGCTGCAGTCGGTTCGTTGTCATGATATTTGGATACATGGACGCGACATCCAAGTGGTAGATTAGGGGTCGCTCATTACGATTTGGCGTTTCTCCAATCAACCGTAAGCGTGATGCAATCTGCTCTTTGATCTCATCATAATTCACGATGTCGTCAAGCGACTTCTTCTCCTCGACCGTGATGCTGAATTTCAAGGCTGCGTCGAGGTCGTTGAGGAGCTCGTCAATCGCCGTCGGGTCGACCGCGAAGTTGGTTGGGATATCCGCACGGAACACGCCGGCTTCGATACTCTCGACGTGACCACCAACATAGGTCTCTGCGTCAAGCAGATGCCCGTCCCAAAAGGCCTCCTTCGCTGCCACATGCTTGTTGGGGATGATGATGTTCTTTTCGTAGGCCTGGACCATGAGCAGCATTTCGCAAAGTGTACCTGTGCCCTTTCGTAATGTGTCGTCGCCTCCCAGAGGGAGAATCGTGCAAAGTGAGAAGATGAAGGGGTGAATGTACTTCATGTACAGGTAGTATGTCGCAACAGCATCGGAGACTGAGTATTCGGCAAGCGTCTGCGGTCTCTCGCTGGCGTAAGGCGTCATGAGTTCCGGATCAAGCTCGTCTGGATCGTAACCGAGCTTTGCGACTGTGACAGCTTTGAGGCCTCGACTTCCCTGGGGCAAGTATGAATCTCGGTTGACCCAGGCAAAACAGTCCATGTGCACGCCGTATGAACACTTGTAAATGTCTTCGCTGTCCTTCTTCCAGCCAATCTCCCGGTACATGTCGATGCCGTTGACGGTCGCCCTTGCCTCCACAAACGGCCAATCGAAGAAGTCGCCGTTGTATGTCGCAATCACTGTTGGCCTCGCCTCCTTGATGTGTAAGAAGAATCGCTCTATCACTGCGCGCTCGTTTGGCTCGTTGAATATCATGAAAGGCCCGGGGTATTCCGGTTTCGGAGTGTACTCGAAGTCTGCAATGTCCTCAGCAACGATCTCGCGATTCGTGATGAGGAAGCCTTGCCCATCAATCATGTATGAAATCATCATAATCTGATCAATGGCTGCGTCGGGGAATTTCAGGGGAAGCTTCGTGGTCTCGATATCGTAGGCCATGACTACCGGATCGGCCTGGACAAGACGGTCTTCGTTAAGCTTGACCGTCGTCACGCCATGCTTCGCCTCCACAAAGTACCATCTTCCCACTCGGATGTCTAGAGAAGGTGTCAGCAACATCGCGCCGTCCATCGGTTTTAGGAGCACCCTTACTCAAATCAATCATTACTCGTACATGGTATGGTACGTCATACTCTCGAATGTCAGTGATGTAGTCGCTCGCATCGGCAAATGATGTGGTTGTTCGTCTCATGTCGTCATCTCGTGAATCGTCAAAAAGGTCAAACCCGGCTTGTTGGCTGCAACTTGGGGTCAGTCTGGGGTTCTCTTGCAAGCATGGCCGAGTGTTGACTTACGCAGCGACCTCAGCATAGACATCGGCGGTGCCCATGGCCTTCTTATTCTTCTCTGCAATGGGCATGATGTCCCTCCTCGCAGACAACAAATCCTGCACATTTGCGAAGCGCAGCTCCAGAAATGTCCTCCGGTAGCCGAGCAGGTGATTGGGCATGCTCAGATCCTCCTTCTCAACCTTCTTGACGCCCCGGACGACGCCGTCGCCAGGGACGCGCTTGACCCATTCCTCCACCTCGCTCTCCCGCCCCTTCTTGACTGCAATCATCAGGTAGGGTTCGTACTCGACTGTAGCCTTGAAAGTCTGCCCATCCTCTTCTATGAAGTAGCAATCCAGGGCGGAGCGACCGCCCGGTATCCGGTCGTCGTCGAGGCCTATCGTGGTGGGCTGCACATTGACGAGCCAGCCTTCCTTCTTCCGCCCCGACTCGTAGCGGGAAAAACCCATGGACTCGTCGATCTGGTGGGCCAGTATCGTCCGCTCGGCCTTCTCGTCTGCCGACGTGCCTTCGTTACGGGTCGTCGAAGCCGCGAAAGTGCGTGTCCTTGTGCCGCCATGGTATGCCTTTTTGCCCCCGCGGCGCACAAATCCCTTTTGGGGTTTCCGTAATGATGTGTTTGGCATTGTAGCGATATGATGGGTCTCTCGAAGCCAGCCTCGGTAGGAGAGTTCGAAGCGTCGAAGAGATGTGTATGCCGACGGAAAGATTATGTGGTTGTTTCGGTAATAGGGGGCTGTTGTCTTTCCTAGAAGGGAACACAATGAGAAAGCGGCGGCGAGCCGTGGCCGATGCTGAAAAGATCACTACCGCAGAAGGAATATCGGTGCAGCTGGTGTCAGAGCTTTGTTTGTGACATGGCCTCGGCGCAATTGTGGCAGGCCCTCCCTGGCTCTTGTCGATTTGGCGTTCATGCATGCTCGCTGGCCAATGTTCCAAAATCCCACTTTAGCGGACGCGTTGGACGCGTCTCGTCCACAGTGGGACGTGACTTGACGCGTTGCCTGTTAAAGTGCTTCGCTACTTGCATACATCGGAAGTGGGGCATTCGGCTGGAGGAATTGTGGGACCCGCCTTTGTGTGTGATGCTGATGCATGCACCCACGACAACTCCCCATTCGCCCGTTGAATGATGACTTCGTCCAGCCATCAAGCAGGCCTGCCTCGGGACGACATTTTGCAAAGTTTCAACAAGCAAGCGAACAATGAGCGACCACTCATGTTGCTTTCAACCAGCACGAATTCGCTGCCAGGGTGTCTCCATCGCGGGCTTTGACGCCCTACAAGCTTTCGGAGGTGGGTGCCTGGGCGGGAACCTTCCAGGTTCAATCAGTGGAAGGCACGGCCTTCGATGACTTATAAGGCGCCGGTGCCAGCTGTGCTTTTGGCCCATTTCCAAACGAAAGTGAATTTCCTGCATCTTGAAAGCACCAAAATAGTGACACTCACAGCCAGCTACCGTTGTTCATCACTTGCCATCAGCCTCACGCCCAAACTCGGTGACATCATCTATTCTAGCCCCACAATTAGTCGCAGAACCCTTCGCTGCATCCAAACATGGTCGAATTCCAGATCGTCTCGGACTTGCATCTCGAGAGTCCCAAGGCCTACGACAGCTTCGAAATTAGCCCTCGCGCACCATACCTTGCACTCCTGGGAGATATTGGCTGCACAAAGCACAGGAATGGCTATCTAGGTTTTCTCAGGCGGCACCTGCATCTGTTCAAGATTGTCTTCCTCGTGCTTGGCAACCACGAACCCTGGTACTCGTCATGGGACGATTCGAGAGAACAAATGCGGGAATTCGAGGAGACAATCCGCCACGAGAGAAATACAGATGCAACCCTTGGGGAGTTTGTCTTCCTAGACAAATCTGCCTACACATTCTCGCCTGCCTCCGATGGCAAGGTCACTGTACTTGGCTGCACCTTGTTCTCCCGCGTTCCCGAGCACGCGCTCAAAGCCGTCAGTTTCGGCATAAAGAACTTCTACCATATTTCGGGCTGGACAGTGGAGGAGCACGATGAGAATTTCCAGCAGGAACTGTCCTGGCTGAACGACCAGGTGCGCAACCGTCAGGACAAAGACGACAGGCTCGTCATCTTCACGCACCACAGTCCAAGTTTGGACGACAGAGCCATGGATCCCAAGCACAAGAACAGCCTCATACTCTCAGGGTTCGCGAGCGATCTGTCGTCGGAAGTCTGCTGGACGAGTCCGAACGTCAAGCTCTGGGCGTTTGGTCACAATCATTTCAACTGCGACTTTATCGATGAGGTGCACCAGATCAGAGTTTTCACCAATCAACGAGGATATGCCATCAGCCAGTCGCACGGTTTCGATGCTGAAAAGATTGTTATCATCAAGCAGTGTGAATCGAAAATTGTGTTGAGTTTATTTGAAGACTCCGATGTGACTTTTCCCGTGGAGTCGTGGCTTCATCGCACCTTGTTCTCCCACGAAAGGCGGGAGCGACAACAAAGCACTTCCATAAGCAGATAAAAGTTCCCCACGAGTACAGAACAATCGGCTCTCAGTGTATGCTGGCGGCAGTCGAGTCAAATTTCATCTGCTGTCAGATTTGATGCTGAACCTTTTCTATCCTTATTTGTAGCACGGAAATGACATTCTGTCCCTTATCCGATCTATGGAGGCGCGCATGCCATGTGTATGTATGATGGGCATGTTTGTGATCCTTGTCGCCTGTGTCTTTGATGACTGTTATGCAGCGACTCTTCTCCAGGGACCCTTCTTCGAGATATCATGCAGGATGTCGTTAACCACTGCTTTGCTGCAGCTCTTCGGGTTCGTGCATGTTTTCTTTCACGATGGGTCCTGACCTGGATGGTGATCACCCCAATACTCGTCCCCATCACCACGAGCCGTCAATCCTGCCCTCCTCCACTGCAGTCATCGTGTCTGACTTCAACTTTCTCCACTTCTTTACTCGTCTTCGTCGCTCTCTTCACACTCCTCGCCTACCTCCTCTGCATTCTCCTCATCGTCACCCTCGCGTCCGTTGCCTTCTCCACTTACAGCTGCAGCTTCCTCGTCCTCTTTCTCCAGGTTGACCCAGAATACGAGGATGTCTAGTATCTTCTTCTTTCTATCCTGCAGTTCCTTCCAGTCGCGGGAGAAGTCCTCTCGCGCGTTAGGGACGTCGTTGGAGAGTTGCTGGACATATTCAGCAAAGCGTCTGTTGAGAGGACAGATAGGGCACTGACAACCCTCCCCATACGTATCGAATGTGGTGTCGGTGGCCGTGCGTGCATCTGTGTCCGAGGCGAGCGCTGCGAAGAACTCGGCGACCCGCTCCTCGGTGTGCTCATCGCTGCCTGGCTCGAACTGCTGCCACTGCTTTGACTGAGTGAGCCAGTAGACGCCATCGTCACACCAGCAGTGTGCAGTGATGTCAATCGCCGCGGGGTCTTCCTCGCCCTCGAGCTCGAGGGGGGCGTTGACATGACAATCGATCTCGACCTTGTCGTTGATGGCGGCAGGTACTGACTGAGTTCATTCATTAGCAAGACGAACGGACAAGAAGCTTGAATACTCAAGTAGACTTACATATTTTTCGATGAGGTAACGAAGCCTCTTTGAGTACCTTACGCGATAGATGACCCATCGAAGATCATCAGTGACTGTCTTCGCCACCACCTCCTCCTCTTCTTTGTTGATGGGACTGGGGTCGGTGACCGACAGGTCGACCATGCCCTTGAGGTCGTACAGATCCATGTCTGCCCATCGGAGTAGAGGATTGTCGACGATGCCCTCGGACGTGATCTGATCAGGAGCATAGTCTTCGTACTGCTCGTCTTCATTATCATGGGCGGTGCCACCACCCGTGGGGGGGTTCGGAGCAGTGCCGGTGGCCATGGTCTCTTGACAAATGTGATGTGATGATGAGTGGAAGCAAGAGCTTGTGAGCGGAGCTCTTGGTGCGGTTCAGAAGACCGTGATGGTGATGGCGAAGTGAATTCGTAGTAAGCGTGTGGCAGTGGCAATCGCTGACTTTCAGCCAGGCAACCCTCAGATGAAGGTGATGGGAGTCGTGACGGCTTGAAACTAGCATGTGCGGTGCCCAAGAGAGGTTGATATGTCAATGTGTGAGTCCTCTTGCTTCAAGAGTAGAGGAGACGGGAGGAAGAAGAATACGAAGAAGAAGAGTTGTGTCTAGAGGAGTGCAGCGTAGCGTTAGTGACATACCCTCGCAACAATGCCAAGTTCGCATGTATTTGTAGTGCAGACTAATGGTTCTCAGGACAATTGGACCTTGCTCTCTTAACTTTATGCTTGGACTTGCAGAGCCAGTTAGCGCGGCATTCTTATCCCGGGCTGTCGAGGCTGAGATGCATATCGTTGCATGGAGCAAAGAAAGTCTATGACCTCAAGCTTACCTTCGTGGCCGGGAGGCGAGGCTTGCACATTTACTGGGTGCTGTGTCATCACCGCCATGTCGCTATTGGCGAAATCAACCGCTTAAATACCATTCACTGTCTCATGAGGTGCATACACACTTCTGTCGACAGACCATGGCACGGAAGTCTAGGCAAGGATCGCCGCTCGGCGCTGCACGAGTTGGAGAGTGTCATGCCAGCATCGCGGTAAAAGCGAAAAGCCCTAGTGATCCATCACGATCCGATTTGATTGAGCTGCTCCAGTACGGAACGTTTCCAGCGTGTGACGTAGAAGTTGCAACCGTAGAGCTTTCGGCATTTCACGTGACAATGCTCTAGGACATGGAGGTTTCCTTGCATGCGTCTTGAAGTTTCAGTCTATATTATGCGGACTCTAAGGCTGCAATACAAGCCTATCCACGATATTCCCGAGGCCTGCATTGAGAAGATGAGAGAGAGAGAAATGTGGGATTGTATTCTTTGATCCATAACTACCTAGGTATGTTTGCAATACGTCAGAGGATCCAACGCGGCTGTCAAGCCATCCCGAGATGTAAAGAGCTCCAAGCGCTGCGGGTCTGCTTTGATGGTGCCAAGTGTTGATTATTTACAAACTAATCTAGAACCCTCATGGTGATTTCACAATTACTCTCATCGGGGTCACGGTCCAGAAGAACAGAGGTCTAGACGTCCAGAGGCTAAGAGATGCCTGTGATCCTCAGTACTCAATCGGAAGATAGAGCTGTTTCAGCACAGGCGCCACGCCGGACGGACGCAGAAGCTTCTGCATGATGCTCTCTTGGCTGTCCGCATCACGCCGCTGGGCCGCCAAGATCTTGTGGTCGATCATGCTGTTATCGGCGAACATGCGCACGATGCAACTGGGCTTGTCCTGACCTGTGTGCCATACTCGATCGTACGCCTGCTGCTCCTGATTGTGGTTCCACCAGAGCTCCGCCTGGATCTCCAGAACTATGGCTTGCCCTCATCTGCTGGGAATGTTCATAGCATTGACGGGATAATTGAGTGACATAGCCTGTGTTACAGACGGGCGTCACATAGATGTTCCAAACTTCTGAGCACAGCCCGAGGCTGATTGGTCAACCCGGGACTGTAATGAGGATGGCTCTGCTTTCATAGCGGTCTCAGCGCTCGGGTGACTCAGGTGGACTTCAGTCTCTTGGGAGATAAATACGTCAACCGGATCAGATACGGAGTTCCACGGGGCCTGGGAGTTCTGAGCTTACAAGGCAGACTACATTTCTGAGTGTGGAAGGCTGTTTGGTGATCTGTTGGCGCCCGTTATGTCTTGGGTCATCTCGTGGTCTCTGGCGGGTGCTCACAAGCTTGACATCATCTCCGTTACTCTCTCTGCTTGAGAGATCAGGACCATAGTACTTAACTAGGACACTCTGTATTGACGGCCTTGGAAGGCATCTATTACTTGTCCAGAAATACATGGGTTGATGTTCACCCCTTTGATCAAATACCCCTGTGCAGGTACGGCAACCCGTGTGCTCCTTCCGTCCACACCCGGTCTACTGTGTGCTCGCGTGTCTCGACTAGCCTGACTGCCTGCCATTGACTCCCAAGCACTTGAGAAAAAAAACCCCGTACTCGACGACAGTGCAACAGGCGTGTCGACAGATCGTCGTTACTGAGTCGCGATTTCAATTGCGCCTATGAGTAGGGGTGCCATGGGCTACTGGTTATCCCCATCTCCGTTGGCCTCCCTTAAGTTGATACGTTAGTCCACTCCACGCTTGATATCACGAAGGATAGGGGCACTTACTCGCTCTGATCGTGAATGCCGCTGCTCTTGAGCATGTCAACAATCGTTTCAATCCTGTCCGCCACAACGTTGCTCCCCTCAATGTACTCTTGGTGCATAATCTTGTATGCATCTGTGAGCATCGTCTTCACATTGTCTTTGTCAGCAGCGGAGAGTCCATGCTCGGCGATGTAAGGAGCAATTTGTGCATTGACTCGGTCTCCCGCGGCCTCCCGGCTTGCCTTGACGAACGAACGCCACGCTTCAGTCACCTTCGAAAGTACCTCCTCCAGGGCGCACATCATCCGAACTGCTCCCTGAGGGGTGGGGCCCTCCTTCGGCAGCAATGGCGACTTGATGTGCTTGGTGACGTGCAGGACAAATGATGCGAAGCCGTCGCCCTGGGCGATGCCCGCTTGAACGGGGTCAGGGCAGCATGCTATGGCCTGAGCGATGGTGAGGAACATCGGCACCTGCGATGGGATGACCTGAACGTCACCCTGAACGAGCTGTAGCTTCAGGGTGGCGATAGTGCTGGCTTCTGGGAGGTTGATTTCGGGCCACAAGGCTCGCGCTTCGCTGAGGACGTATTGAGAGTCATTGTCATCCCAATCGACGTCCTTGTTGTCGATGAAGCGTGAGAGCGTGTCTGCAGATGGGGGAGGGCAGTGCTTCATGTCATGTCGCGCCTCCTCAAGAAACTTCAAGGCTGCCTTTGCATGGGCCACGTCAGAAGTCATCTCGAAGCATCCGAGATGGAACTCGAGCTCGGCTACGAGACTTCTGTGAGCTTCTACGATGACTTTGGACGAGTTGCTGGCTTGGTTGAAGCTGTCTCCTCCTTCTCCAACGGGCTTCATGCTCAGGATGAGGTCTGCGGCACGTGCGACGACATTCCTAGACCAAGAAAAGCTGCGGTAGATGTCTGTCTCCTCTGGTCCGCGGAAAAGTGAGAGGAAGAAGACTCGACCGGCGGCCACGGTGTGTGGAATGTACAGGCCACCCCGGCGCTCCCCTGCCAGGGCATAGAAGGTCGGCTTCTTCCCAGTGTCAACTAGCTCTGCGGCTTGCTTGATGTTTACCACAACGGGAAGCGCAAACTGATTGTCGTCGTCGAGGTCGACACTTGCTGATTGAGAGTCAGGTATGGTCGTGCCAACCAGACGGACTGCTGGTGTTCGCTTGGTCATATCTTCAGGCTTTAGAATGCTCAGTGTGAACCCGACCAGCAGATGAGCTTCTCTGTCAGGTTTGAGGTCTGTGTTGACTTCCTCGAGCGTGAATATGGTCTCATCAGGACGCTTTCCTGTCTCGGGGTGCTTCTTGAGGGCCGTGACAATAGAACCACTCGTTTGGGCTTGCGTATTGATGAGCACGGGGCTATCATCTTCTTCCTGCAAACCTTGGATGGCCTCCAGACATGCTTGGGGTATCTTGAAGTGCGTGCCGGAGAACGTGAATACGTGCGTGTCCAGCTGCTCCTTGACGCGCTCCTTTGTCTCCTTGCCCTTCGCTTGCTTGGGTGCAGTGGGAGCCATGGTGTCTTTCGGCTGTTGTGGTTGCTGTTGCTTCAAAACGATATGAGCATGTAGTGAAAGCGTGAAAGGTGAGATGATCTGGCTGTGAGGAGGGTGATCCTAGAGGAAGAGTGGCAGATGGGATGACCGAGCTTGGGAGGAGTGGAGGGGGGAATGTTCTCCCGTGTCGATGCCGTCCCTGGGGTTGATACAGCAACATACAATGATATGCACGACCGGTCGAGTACCCTCCTGTAAATACCTGGGCAGCCTTAAGAGAGTGTAAATCCCAAGAACTGCATATCAGCACGCCGTTCACTTGCATACCGGAGCTGCTGAAGCCCCGTTTGTGACCTAAGCGGACCTCTTGAATGGGATCCGTAGGTGATTGTCTGTGCTTATGCTATTGTACTGAGCAGCGCCATTCATGACGATATTCAGATACTGTGCGAACCTGAAAACTCAGTTAGCATCGCGGCGAGGGAGGCTGAAAGCTGGTGGAATTCCTCTTGCGCAGTCCCATGTTCGTCTCATCTTCCCAAATCCTCATGCACAGCTCGTGAGCACCAATCAGCAACACAACAACCTGAACCAGGGCGGAAAGACAACTGCCCTGAAATACTGATTCCATCAGTTCTCAAACTCAACAATATCCACATTCCGCTGCACGCAGGTTCCTTTCACCCCCGCTTCCGTTCCACCCAACAAGTTCCGCCAGCCTGTCTCTTGGGACATCAGCTTACACCTACCCATAACCGTCCAAGCTCGTCATCTTGAAGGTTGCTCTACTTCGTTTCACGATCGACTCACTGAGCACTGCCTCAATCACAGTACTGTATTCATCAATAACAACTCTCGCACCTCGCCATATTGAGGCTTACTCCACATCCCTCACGACCACATCACCAACCGCTGTCTCGACCAGACGAGCGCAGGGGCAAAGCGACGCGGGCTGATTGGATCGAGAGTCTGCACCATCACGCCTCGAAGCTCGCAAGCGAGTCACCGCGCGTCAAGGAGATCTGTGAGATTGTCGCAGGCATACAAGAGGGAGATGGCCCCAAAGGTATCATTATCTTCTCGAACTACCTCAGATTGCGGACATCATCGAGGTTGCAATTGATCACGAGGCCGGTATCGAATGTCTTCGGTTCGATGGCATGACCTCAGACTCTGGGATAGGCGAGGTCCAGGACGAGTTCTTCAAGGCCGACAGCAACTAGAAGGTCCTGCTCATGACCGGAGGCACTGGCAGCGTCGGCCTGAACCTGACCTGCGCCAATGTTGTGACAATCAAGATTGCTTGCGGGCTCGGCATTAACCGCTAGACGGCGAGTGCCTGATCATGTAGCCAGTCTACCACCAGCTGTTGAGAAGAGTCGTCGCGAAGCGAAGAAGAGTGTTAGATCAAAGGACCTCTGAACCTCTGATTGTTCGAACCTCTGGACCTCTGGACCTCTGGGCCTCTGGGCCTCTGGACCTCTGGGCCTCTGGGCCTCTAGACCTCTGAATCTGTGGATCTCTAGACCTCTAGACCTGCTTAAGCATTTCTGCACCTCTATATTGAGCCGGCATCTTAATATTGTTAATAACACTGTACTCCTGGCCAATCACTCGAGCCTTGCTGTGTTCGCGCGACGAGCTACCAAAAGTACAAGTCTCCTCCAAAGAGCCTATGCCGGGCCGGCTGAATCGGTTTCTGGACCTGTTAAGCACCCGGAAAGACCTCGAGATGTAGAGGGCACATCCCGTCGTGCGTATGGATGAAAAACAAGGCTTTGACGGCCAGATTGCAAGAATATAACAAAAAGCAAAGCAAAAACAAGGTACAACAGAGGAATTTAACCTCCATACGCTGGACTCGCGGGGAATCGAACCCCGGACCACTCCCATGCTAAGGGAGTATTATACCACTAAACCACAAGCCCGTGGTGTTGTTGTTGAGTTGGCGTTGTTTATTTGACGTTATTTCGAGAATTTGCGTTGTGGAATCGATTGTGGACCCGGGCTTTGCCATCTCTGGCAGGTGGGGCCATTGGCCCCACACTCCTTTTCCTTGGGTGGCAGACAGGTACAGCCCTGGAGACAAGCACAGAAGAGACAGGCAAAAGCGGGCAGGACCCTGCGGATCAGTGCCTGGTGTCTGGTGAGATCGTTTGAAGTCGCTTGACGGGAGAATCAGAACCCATACTTTGTTCGAGAGCCAATTTCACAACTGTCCAGCAATGAAATCCGCCGTTTGATATGTTGAAAGTGTCCCCCGCAAATCCCAGACTTTTGCTGTTTGTTGCGCACAGTCAGGAGGCTGACTGACTCGACTGGCCGTTTGTCGTGTCAAAGTGGTGTGGAACACGAGTCGCTACGCAAGGGAGGGGGCTACGAAAATTGTCGAGGAGCCAAACCGACAACCAGCCAGGGGCCGGAGCAGTTCTGCAGTGATCTGGGGTTGCTTGTGAGTGCTGCGCCAGTTCCGAGTCGGGACACAACCATCTTTGCCTGGGGAAAATCAGAGCTTGGGCCGATCGGTTAGCTCCAAGTCTCTCTCTTCCGTAAACTCACGCATGCCCCGACAGCGCCCTTCTGTTCCGGCAGGCTGTGTGCATCGTCCGTCCCCACGATCTTTGTTTCTACCCCACGGCCAAGAACGACCGTCGGTGCCTGCATCTGTGGGTATACGAGTGGCGCCACGGATTCAATTGTCTGCGGGATATGAGGCATTTCTCAGCGTCTTTGTCTTCCCCACGATGTGGACGCGGTTGTGCCACCGGATAAAACCCGGTCGGGGTCCTGTCCGACCCGGCTGAAGATTGACGGGTCGGTGTGGAGGCTGGTGCAGCAACAGACAGGCACAGCCTTCCTGGTGTTGCTGTACCGCTTCGCGTGTAGACTGCGCTTGTGGCTGCCCGCGACGACTAGCGACGACGCCTCTCGGGCAAGTCTTTCCTGGAGGTGACAGCTCTCCTCCATGGGTAGAAGTGGCCACACCAAGGAGAGAGTTCTTGTCGTCTCTCCCATACGGCTCAAGACGGCGTCTGTTTTCTCCGGCTGCAGGGACAACAGGGATGAACTCCAGGCCGTGCTGCACAACTGAGCTGTGCTGGAGTCCTGATTGGTGAAGGCTGCAGGTGTTTATTGCTTGTCGCGCAAGAATGGGGGGACGCCCAACCAGCCGAGGGCCATCATGGTTGCAACCTGGTTGGGAAGGTGTAGAGAGGCCCTGAAGCATCGCACAGCAAACGACAAGCACCAGCGAGGAGCGGAGAGGTGGGACGGTGGGCCGGGGAAGCGAGTATGTTGGCAGTAGGCTCACTGCTTCCCCGGAAGGCATGGGCGCAGGACCCCTGACATGCCCAGCTGAGGCTGAGAGATAACCTTTGACGCCAGCGGGGTTCACAACTATCAGTGTCTCTGCCACTCGTTTACCATCGCCCATATGAGTAGGAACCGGGAGAGCCAGGACTGCGGCTTCCTACGTTACTTTTCAACTATCGAGCCAAGGAAGCCAACGTGAGGTCGAGTAAATCATCGTGACATACTGGCCCCCGGACTTTGCCCGTGAGATGTCGAGTCAAACAACCCAGCCCACCCAGCGATAGCCAAGACAGCCACAGAGCATCCTAAAGCCTCGACCAGCCCGATAAGACACGCGGCCATCCACAGCCAAACAGGCTAAGCTCCAAGCAGGACGACCGCTCCTGAGCCCTGGCCTGAACCGCCCCTGCCCCTGCATCTGCATGCCACGGCCAGGGCCCAGCGCCCCGGAACTCTCGACAGGGTCGACGCCAACATTCTAGACTCTCGCTTGTGTGAGACAACAGAAACAACTTATCATCTCACCCGCGAGCAGCTCGTTCTCCCCCCCTTCGCCTGCCCCACGCCATACTTAGTGCATCTGCCAGGCACGCCGTAATGCCCCGGCGCATCGGCTCCGTCGCCGGTTGCCAGTTGCGTATCCCCAATGGGCTAGACTCCATGGCTAGCGGCTGGCGAAGGGATAACAAAGCCTGTCGACATGTGGGAAAGACATGGCGTTTGTCCAGATGTCCACCGACAAGTCTCTGTCTCCCCCACACGGCTCGATGGGGTTGAAGCTGATAAACTGCCATGTTCCTGCATAACCTGACTCTTGCCACCTTCTTCTTGACTTGTGTGCCTGGTTGATCCTCACAAGGTCGTGCTGACTTGATTTGTCTCTGGACCACTGCAGAGGTTGAGCCTTTGATTGTGCGTTTCCTCCTGCCAGACTTTCTCTCTCTTGTTTGGCTGCTTCACACGAACCAAGACACCATCATGTCTCTGGGAACTCTCCGCGCCAAGGCTGTGCTGGACAAGCCTTCACATCTCTACTGTGGCTCTTCCGAGCCCATCACTGGCCGCGTGTGCCTGTGGTACGAGCCAGGCAAAGGTCTGCCGGCGGACCACGAGCTGTTTGGCCCTCTGCGCATCAGCGTCATCTTCCACGGCCGCCTCAAGACCAAAATCCTCGACACCAACCACGTCCACCGTGGCCGCGTGCCTCTGTTCAGCAAGACCAAGGAGATCTTCAATGGCTCGATCCGCATCACCAAGGGCGACTGCCAGGGCCAGCGCTTCGAGCTGACCCTCCCCGAACGGATCGAGACCAAGGCCCTGCACGCCTGGGACGAGGACGATGCCCGGTTCGACCTGGACCTGCGGCAGACGCTCCCGCCCTCGACCAAGACGTCGAGCACTCGCTTTAACAACCGCTTCAACGCCTTTGTCGAGTACAAGCTGAGCCTGCGCGTCACCATGCCCGACATGCGGGTCAAGATCGTGGTCCCGGAGCCTGCCTACGAGCCCAGCATCCGCTACGAGCAGCCCCGCGTGTCCCGCCGGGTCCGGGCCCGGAGACTCGAGTTCCGGGGCGAGTTCAGCATCCCGCAGACCTCTCTGGAGCCCGAGGCAGGAGCCCCAGCCGCGCCGGCGAAGAAGCGGCTCGGCATATTCCCGCCGGGCAAGACGATTGGGTGCATCTACGACTGGGCGTACTCGGTGCCCACACACATTCACCGCTCCGAGTACACGCGGATCAAGGTGGCGGTCAAGCCCCGCGAGGGCAGCTTCTCCCCGGACATCACACCCCCGGGAGTGACAGTCAAGGATTATACCGTCAAGCTGGTCTCGGTCGTCCACGCCCGCGCCCCGACACACATCATCAGCAGCCCGCATGCTGTGACGACAACCTGCGTGTCCAGCACTTCATCCTCATCGCCATCCTCGTCGCCATCGTCACCATCTTCTTCTTCATCATCAGCAAATCCCACGCATGGATCCGCCGCCCAGCCGCCACCACCGGCCCTCTCCGAGCCCTTTGGGCCCTCCAACGCGTGGACGCACTACCTCGACCTGCCGGGAACCGCCCACGTGTCGTCCTCGTTCCGCACAATCTCGATCCGCCAGGTGCACCGGCTCGAGATCAGCATGACGCTCGCCGTGGCGGGCCAGACGGCGCACATCCAGAAGACGCTGGGCGTCACGATCCACGCCCCGCTCGAGCTCCCCAGCGACATCATGGAGGATCTGCCCGTGTACCACGAGATCGCCGCCGAGGGCGAGGACGTCATCATGGCCGTCGGGCCCGCGACACAGCAGGAGGAGGAGGAGGAGGGTCTGAATGACGAGGACGCATACGGGGACAGAGACGGGGACGGAGACCAGCTGCCGCCCGCGTATGCGTCGCACGCCGAGTGGCGATTCACCCCCGTGGAAGGGCTCCTCCCACCTCCAGGAGAACCAGAGGCAATCGACCTCCCAGCGGCCATGGCAGCGGCGCCTCCCATTGCTGCGGCCGCCTAACGATTTATTTTCATGTTATTCCTTGAGCACTTTTCCTTTGTTCGACCCAAGAAGGGACGAGAAAAGACTCTTGTTGATTCACGATGTTTCACGCCTGTATATGCCCCCGTCATGATCTTTTCTCTCAGTCCTTCTTCTTCTTCTCGCCAGCGGTTTGTTGTCGTTGCCTCTTGGTTTTGTTCTCCGTCTTTGCCTTCTAGATAGCGTTCCACTTTATTGCTTTCCCTCGTTCACTCGGCTTGGTTCTACATAGATGTTGAGGATTTCCGTGGCAGTCCAGGTTTAGCAATAAACGATACAATCGTCTACAACAAGCAGCGCACGCATGTGATCCACGAACCGAGCGTATCTGATCTCTGCAGTGAGAGAGAAACTCCGGCCATATGCCATCTTTTCTGCGCTCCACTAATCTTATGACGAGGCCGCCCCCTCAGCTTCCACCAGGCGTCTATCTGACGAGAAGTTTGTCGAAGCTTACTCGCCGTTTGCATGGAGGCCAGTGATTGGTACTGTAGCGAGAAACGCCGTGCATGCGTTGGTCTTTCAACGCTGGGACAAACCTGCTTGGCGTCTCGCAAGAACAACTGTCATTCCATGCCTATTACCTCCAGGGACAAACGACCTCACATAGATCATCGCACTCCGCCACGGTAGTAAACAAGGCGTGCTTCTTAATGATGGCGACGATATTCGTGCTTGTTCTATCCCGAGTTCCCAAATCTCCGCTTCCTACTCATCGTCCTCATCACTGCTCTCCTCGTCCGCATTCTCGAGCCACTCTACCAGGACCTTGCACTTCTCTCGCACGGCACTCATCGCCTCGTCTCCTGCCTGGCTGCGCTCGTCGCCCCACCAGCCCACGATTCCTTCCTCCTCGAGGATGTCGAGGTCGTACATGTGCTGGAACAGCGCCGCGAGCAGGCTGCCCGCCTTCGTCGCCTCGACAATCTTGACGGTGCTCGCACAGGCCTTTTGCACCGCCAGCGCAAACTCGACCTGCTCCGAGACATCCTCGCCACCGACGCCGACCTCGGAGACAAACTCCGAGGCGCCCTTCTTGGCCGTCAGGACCTGCTTGGCCGCACGCGAAGCGTCGAGCGCGCCGGTCTCGGCATTCATCAGCTCCGTGCCGTGTCGCACAAACGCTGTGGCCACGGCGCGGCGCATGGCGGCGTCCGAGGCGTTGTTGGCCAGGCGCAGCGAGGTAAACTCGAGCTTCTCGGCACTGAAGTCGCTCGTGGGGTTGCGGAGGGCTTCCAGCAAGCCGTGCACAGCATCGGCGTGGAATGAGGAGAAGTTGGCATTGCCCGAGTCGTCCGATGCAAACGATGATAACCGGGAGCGCTCTGTAGGTTGTGAGAAGCCGGCTTGTGAGTCGTCGTCGGATAACAGGTCGTCATCAGCCAACGTTGAGACCGATGAAGTCTCGATGTCGAACATGGACAGATGCAAGCGGAGTGAAGTCTGCAGCCTCGCAGGATCCTCATCATCAACCTCATCCTCTTCCGGATTGCGGAATGAGGCCCCCTTTCCTGAAGATCCCACCAAGCTGGTATCCGGCTGCACAGGCTCAAGGTTGTGCGATAGTAAAGCAATCCTTGTCTGCGGCTGGATCGTGATGTTGTCGCTGATCTGGACGCCAAAGGACAATAGCGACTCCGATCCTACTTGCGACCGGCTGCCAATCTTGCCCATGTCCGCAATGACGGCATGCTCGATCACGGCATCATCTTCAATGGTCACGTCGTGCCAGATGTAGCTGTCCGTTATCCGCACGTTGCGCCCGATCCGGCAATTCCGACCTAGTACCGAGTTCGATATCGTGCTGCCCTGGTCGATTCGTGTGTCGCGACCAATGATGCAATCTTCAACTTGCGCGTCAGCAGCAATGGAGACGTCATCCTCAGCATGCACGTTTCCAGACTGAAGTTGATACGTTTGGCCCCTCATGAAGTTGGACTCTGGGCAGAACGGGTAGGTCCATCCCCGGATGACATCCCGACTGATGGCGTCGTACATCTGCAGGTTTGATGCTCGCGCCTCATATCCTTCTGTAACAATCTCTGTGTGTATCATCTTGCCGTTGAGTTCAAAGTCTTTCAGCACGCCGTGAAGGAAATTGGCTCGAGGCAGCTCGTAGTCAAAACTCTCGGACCAAAGTGCCAGCACGTCCGGTGTGCAGATGTCGATTTGGGCATCGATGAGGTCCGTCCTGATCTGTAGTTCGGGGTTTTTGAGAAAGTCGGGGTCGAGTATCGCGTAGTGGTCGCTCTGTAGGGGGTGCATCTCCTCGTAGTGTAGACAGCGCTTCGCCTTGGGATCGACCACAAAGACAGGCGTCAAGCCTGCGGATCTGCTGTTGTGTTCCTCCTCACCCGTCTCCCGAAGGATCATGGTCATGCATGAGTCACGATTGGCCTCTCTCCGTGCACGATGCGCTGCAAGCGCGCCGTCGAGAGGAATGTTGGACACGACATCACCGTGCACCAAAATGAAATCGCCGCCGATGATGTTCCGCTTATCGAGATCTCGAAGGAAGTCGCCAATCGACCGGGCATCCGCTACACGAATGAATTCGAGGGCCGCAAAGGGAGTGGTTCTTGACGCCGTGGACCATCTCGAGTCGTGGATATATCGCTCTATTTGCTCGTGGTGGGCGCCGCAGTAGATGAAGACATCTTGCACGCCGTTCATGGCAAGGTACTCGAGGGTGTATTCGATCAGAGGCACGTTGGCGAGAGGAAGCAGACACTACCAAAGGTACAATTAGCATCACTACTAGACATCACGGAAGAAATGGTCGGGCAAAGTGGACTCACTCTTGGCTTCTCGAGGGTGAAGGGCTGGAAACGGTCTTGAAAGCTGTCGGCGATGATCTGGAGACGCGTGTCATACAGTCGTTAGCAGTGAGCCTTGCGACTATGTCGTCACTCGCAAAAGAAGACGCGGGATACGGATAGCGGGGCACCGAGTACGCACAACGGCCTGGAGCACATCTTCGCGCTTCTCGTCACCGGCAGCGCCTCCCTTGCCAGCCTTCTTGCCGGCGGCTGCTTTAGGAGCCATGGTGGAGGCAGGTGTCGATTGCTGGAGTTCGCGGAGTTAGCCAGAGAAAGCTTGAACGGTCGTGATGCGCTGGACAGCTCACAGCTGCGAAACGCTTGGTGGTTGTGAGTCAACCACTCAAAAAATCCCATGGAGGGGCATGTGGGGGCCCGCTCGGCAACGGCAGTGTGCAAGCTCCGCGATTACATAAGCACAAACAGGTCAAGTCACATCGCGCTGTGCGAAGGATCTCGGGAGCCTCCTGACGCAGGTGACTTCTGGATATCCGTGAGACGCACCACAGACGCATGCCACGTCGCCAACTGAGGCTGCGTGCCTGCCGTCACGACGCGAAGGCCACTTTGTAAACGAAGTTGAACTTGGCTTTTTAAACCATGATCACTCTGATGCCACCGCCGACCTGATACTGGTACTGCTTGGCCAAGCCTAGGCAGCGGCGAGCCCACCATACAGATCCCTGTCGCGCAACGTATTTCGCCCCCAACTGTCAGCATTGCGAGGCTTGGCCCCCCCAGGCTTCCTTCCGGTGTTCGTATCGCCGAGCTGCCGTTTGAACAGACCGTTCACGACAGCTGCAGGAGCTGTAGGATTGCGTCATGGAGCCTACCTGCATGCCACGCTCAAGAGGCTGCCAGGCTGGTCACATACAACCTGCAGTATATGCGAATGACCTGCCGGTTGATGCCTATTTATGCTTATTTATGCTTATGTTATCGTGAGATTGGATCGACTAGGGCGGCATGGCTGTCATCCTGCTCCCCTGCCACCACAAGATCCGCCTGGGCCGAACTTCTACTACTCTTTCATGCTTATTGCCAGCCCCTCTTGGTGCTGGTCCCTAGGGGCTGTCTCAATCTCCAGTGCTTCGCCAACGCCATGTCTTCCGCCGACTTTGGGTTGCATGATCGAAGCCTCGTCCACCCTTCAACGCCCCTGCACATATCCAGAATGTACCACGTTCAGACAGCACAGCCCAACAACGGCATCGTGGTCAGCACGCATAAGAACTTCAAGGTTCTGCGAGAGCGCCACAATGGCACGCCTTGGGTGAATATGTCTTCGAAAGAGGCAAGCCAGCAAATATTCGCTCAAATTGTTGGCAAACGGAAGCCTGGCAGGAAGCCGGCAGCCCACCGCGCAGCTCGCGCGCCCGGGTCCAAGTCAGACATCAGAAACCCACACGATCATGTGCATGATTGTCTCTCGATAGACCGTGAAACGGGTTCCTACTCACGGAAGACTTTGGGCGTTTACACAATACCAAGAACTTTGCTCCCGCCCAGCGAGCTCATGGCTGTTCACATTCTGCCTGCCAGCATGTTCTCGAGCCCAATACGCTTCTACCCCCAAGGTTCTCTTCCAATGGTCCCACCTGTAGCCGCAGGACTTCAGAACCTGATCTCGGAGGCAGTGGTGCGACGATCAATCACGGCAATGACGTCTTTGTTCGACATATTGCATCGTGGTGGTCGAGCACTCGATGACTTAGACGAAAGGCGGTCACACTTAAGCCAACTCACCAGATTTCTGATCAGCGGCTTTCAGCGCGGGCTTGATTGGCAGGTCGTCATCGTTCAGTCCATAGGCACTCTTGCGTTGCTCGCTGTTGGTTTGCGCTTCCCCGTTGAACAACTTGGTCAGATGCTAATATTTGAAATAGACAGTGACGGGGAAGTACAACGAGTGGCAGCTACATATGGACGGACTCGTCAGACTTATGGCGTCGACAGGCGGCTTGCATATGTTTCCGCCATTAGTCCAACTACACATCCGGAAGTGAGTGCTCATATCGCGCATCGCAGGGTATCGGTGCTGATGATTAGTTCAAGAGCCGACATCAAGGGTGCTTTTGAGCGGATAGAGCAACCCAGATTTTCATTCTCGTGGGCTTATGAGCCGATCTGGTCATCTCTATCATCAGAGACACGGGACCACTGTGCCAACAGAGTCCGGGCAGTCTTTTCGCAAAGCAGCATCGATTCGACTGTGAGAGAGACTTTCGTGGAGATAGCGTATATGGCTCATGTCACAGAGACCGCTTCGAAGACGGGGACCATGCAACGGATTGAGCTTCCCAGGCTAACCGAGTCCCATTTTTACTTGATCAACCGTTTGCTCACATCCCCTCGGATGCTCACACCTTCCGAGGCGTTCATTCATTTGCGGAGCACAGACATGACGCAAGACCATTTTGTGGTTGACAGCAAACGGTTTTTTGTGCTCAGCATCAGCGACTCAGTGGAAGAAGCACTGAGGATCTCGGGACTACTATTCTTCAAGATGGTCAAAGGAGGCGCCCGTGAGAGATGGGACCAACATGTCAACCATTTATGGTTGTTGAATGGACACCTTCGTCGAATTTCAGTGTGGTTGCATGGCTACAACCGGGGCTCGCCCTCGTCCAGCAAGGACATCTCCTGCATGCACATCCACGACAGTACAGAGTATCATCCCGTCCTGAGCGCCCGCGGGTTGCTGATATGGGCAAGTCTGATTGGCGAGGCGGCTGCTGCAGCAAGCGAAAGAGAGGTTTGGATATGGCCGCGACCATACGCGGCCGATCCCGGCATATATCGTGAAATACTGGCAGAGCTGCTTGGCTCCGCGAGCGACGTTTCCGATGCTAGTCTCCCCGAGGAAGACCTAGAATTCTGCCGTATCTTCCACCTTGGCATCCTGCAGAACTTCTTCTGGGATGTGAGAGCAGAAATATCACGCGTACTTCATGGGAAGCCTTAGGTCTGCCCAAGCTGACCCTGTCGTGGACGCGAGATGTAAGGTCTTCATACAGTACAGCATTGAATTCCTAGCGGGCACTTCTTGACAAGAGTTTCACATAAGGCGCATTCCACTCATGTTTATTTACAATATACCCCATTTTGACTTTCGCAAGACAACTGGTGGCAAAGCTTGCCATGAAGCATTCCTGAATGGACCTCCGCTTCCTGGAACTTCAGGCTTTGTTCCATTTGTACGTCGCTCCCGCCGTCCCACCATGATCAAGCCCACCAAGGGCGCTCATTTCGGCACCATCAAGCTCGAAATCAAAGACGTCGGCATTTTCGCGTATCCTCTCCGGTCTAGAGCTCTTGGGCAGGGCAACAAACCCCTTCTGCAGACTCCACCGGATCAGCACCTGCGCCCGCGTCTTGCCATGCTTCCGTGCAATTCGAACCAGGGCACTCTTGTCTCCATGCTTATCGCGCTCATCGTCGACATCATCAGCCGCACTGTCCACAAAATACTTTCCTTGCGCAAGAGGAGCAAAAGCCTCAACGACAATCCCGTGCGAAGCGCAGTACTCGGTCAACTCAGCCTGTTGAAACCAAGGATGTACTTCGATCTGGTTGACGCATGGCGGCCAAGTGTTCCTGGCGTAGGTCTTCATCTCCTCAATGTGCTCAATGCGGTAATTGCTCACGCCGATACTGCGCGCGCGACCTTCGCGCTGGAGGCGTTCAAGGGCGTGCCAGAGAGCCTTGCGGGCCTGGAGGGTGGATGGAGGCTGGTGAATGAGGAGGAGATCGACGTATGGGCTTGCTGGGGACTTTGAATGTGGCGGCCTTCGTGATGTGTCATGGGATGCTGTGGATTGGGCATCTGTGGTCTTGCGTTTCTTTGGGCGTGGTCCCCGGCCCTCCTCTGTTTCCATTCCAGCACCATGCTTATCCTCGGGGTTGACCGTGCTTCCCAAAGTTGTTGTTGTAGACACGCATGATTCCGCTGTGCCAGCCAGCCTCTCGACGCACTTCAGCGCCGTCTTGTAGTCCCGCTCTTCATCACCCGTGCTTTCGCGAATCTTTGTCGTCAAGAAGATATCTTTCCTTGACAGCGTGCGGTCGGTCGTGCTTATACGACCTACTGTCGCTGAATCATATTCCAACTCGGTTCCAACCGTTCCAAGAATGAATGCGCCGACGGCTTCACAGACCTGTGGCTCGTTTCGATATAGCCTGGCCGTGTCAATGTGGCGGTATCCAGCCTCAAGGGCGGCGCGGCACGCAGCCTGGCATACCCCGTCTGGCGACGGCTTGATGCGGTATACACCTAGGCCGAGGATGGGAATTCTCCTGTATTCTCTGCCAGGCTCTTCGCTGTGCTTGTCTGGGTTTGTCGCGGTGATGAGGGGGAGACTGGAGGTGATGCCAAGTGCCGGATGTTTGGACATTGTGGGGCTGCTACAAAGGTGCTCGAGGCTGATTCTCAAGGAGGTTTCTTTCCCGATAAGGAGTTATGTGTTTTCCCTGTGTATGCAGTTCTCTACTGTCTCCAGCCGGGCTACTTCAAGGATCCAGATTCCGGTCATTGGAGAAGTGTTCGTGGTCCATCTGAAAGATACCGGTCATGAGTCATCAATCTCACTGTACTGCCAATCAAACCCCCACATACCAAAATATGCAATGGCGTGTGTTGAACGACTCTACACAACAATTCCCCGATCGTTGTCTAGAACTGTTGCGCCACGAAACATTGCCTGCAAGCAGCATTGGAGTCAGTGGCGGATGGAACTGGATAAGCCGTCTAGTGTGGGGGCACTTGAGTCACGATTTAGCCCAGTGTGGCTTGTATGTGAGTGAGCCTTCTGCGCTCCGCCGTCCAAAAGACGTCCAAAAGAAATTGACATCTGCGCCATTTGAAACGGCCTCCAACTGCTGTGATTCGGATTGCGTGAGTGCAGACTGGGAGCGACCCTGAGTTGTATGCAACAAAAAGCATCAAAAATGCATCAGCCGTGAATCGAACACGGGGCCCATCGATGGCAACGATGGATTTTACCACTAAACCACTAATGCTATGAAAAAGGCTTACGTTATCACCCTCAATATAGCAAAACCCATAAATGGATCATGAAGTGACTCTCAATGACCTCGGGACTTGCTCACAGTCAGATGTACATTGCGGTACATATCGACGACTCTCACGATGCAACAATGCTGCAAGCATCCTCCGCAGTGAGCTTTTAGGGGTCCCCCATGAGATATAGATGAACACGAATTTGGCCAGAGAATTTCGGGCGTTTTAGTTAGCCAGTCTTACAAAGATCTCGGAAGAGATGGGGCAACAGAGAGCCTGTATCGATCCATTCCTCATACGCCACAAGGTGCGGTGCTGTGGGCGAGTTGGGAAGTATTAAGGGTAAGCGACAAGGACCGGCATCGACTGCGCAGAGGTATTACACTACGTACTCAAGACATAGAGGATCTCATCAGAGCGAATTAAAGCGGAGAGTCAGGTGTCGTATAGGATACCGCACGTGCATATGTCTGTAGACAGCTGAGAGAGCATTCCCTTTGTACAACAGCCACCGAGTTTCTTCTTCTATGCATCTCCCCTTAGGACGATGGCAGACCACTTCTGATGAATAATCTCTAGTCATAAACAGACATTCGCGGATTTTAAACATAGATGTCCCCCCCTTCAAGCACACTAGTCCCAGTCTTAACCTGTGGGACAATCCCAGCATCAACAAGCTCGTTGATCAAATCCAACAGCATAAGGTCACAGCCCCTAGCAGCCATGAGCCTCACTGAAACGGGGAGTACCTCTTCATGCTGCGAAATACTGCTATAATATTTCACCTGGCCAATGGGAACCACAAAGTCTGGGTTCCCTGCCATGGGCGAGATAAACATTGTGTTCAACCCCAAGGGAATCCCCGAGCTGCCTTGAGGCAATGCGGTACGATATGTCGGCTGGGCCGCGTTGAAAACATACAAAAACACACTTTCGGAGCAAGAATCCGTGTTGTTGGGAAGAGCGACGGTGTTCCACCAGTCCATAAATATTGTCTTGTTGTTGGCGGCTTCGTCGATGAGGTCAGGAAACTGAGAGGCCCAGTGCCATGAGGCGTTTGTCCAATCGTTGACAAAGGGGGTTCGGCTGTCGTATTTGGCGGCATATGCCTTGAACAGAGGGTCGCGAATTCCACGGATTTGTTCTTGAGCTGCGAGGATTGGCCATGTTATGTTGAGTAAATCGTTGTTGTTCTCGGGCGTGCCTGATGGTCGCGTTTCGGCCCAGTGTTTGGAGAGATTGTAGGTTGATATTGTAGCTGAGAGATGGTTGCTGACTTTATCGACGAACTGGACCACAAGCTTCTGCGCGTCTGTGAGATCAGGGGTGTCGGTTGTGGGTAGTTCATAGGTGACAATCTTGCTTGGTAGCTTTGTGTATCCAGTGGCTAGACCAGAGTACATGACCTTTGAAGCAGCATGCCAAAGCTTAGGATCGCGGACAAGGAACCCCGCTGTATCGAACTGCGGACCAAGCGGGACGCCGTCGGTCAGAGGTACCGTATCGTAACTTGGTCGGTTGCCAAATAAGCCATTGAACTCGGCAGGGATGCGGATCGAACCGCCTGTATCTGATGCCAACGCCAGATCAAGCCAGTCATATGAAGCCATACCGCCGGCGGGACCCGACGATGACGAAGTTACTTCCTGATAGCCATCGCCGCGCGGGTTAAAGGGCATCAGATAGTCAATGGCGTCCCTAGCGTTTTCGGGAGCAGCAAATTGCGACAGCTTCATCTTGCCAATAACAATAGCACCGGCGTCAACCAGACGCTGAACAGGAACAGCAGTAGTATTGGCCTCGGGGTAAACGGCATAGTAGGCACGGCTGCCTAAGCCTGTCTTGATACCCTTGATATTGTACAGGTCTTTGACACCAAGGCGGACACCAGCCAGTGGTTTATCGGCTGTGGGCTTGTGATAGAGGCGCGAGGGGACACCCACAGTGACAGCAGACGACCCAGCGACGGCGGAGTGGAGCGGAATCCAGTGCTGGCCATCCGCAGCGGCAATGACACCCTGGTGAAATGCCCCCATGGTGTCTGAGTAGAGTCGGTAAGGCATGTAAACCTCGCCAGTAGACTGAGACAAGACGTAGGGACCAGCGGGAATATCCAGCATGGCAGTCGTTATCGCCTTGATACAAGTGATATTCGGATGAGCGGCTATGTCTGGTATCGTAACATTGACGTCGTTGTTGCGAAAGTAGACCCCCTGAAGAAATCCCTCGTTGAAGACATCGTCCTTCTCCAGATAGTCGGCCACGAACTGACTCAGTGTTTCAACACTACAATTTGCTTGGTGCACGTCGAATATAGTGATAGGAGTAAGATCGTATGAGCCAGGAATGCCCTGGAGGCCGGCGCAAGACGACAGCTTCCCGACTGGTTCGACGGGAACGTGGTATGGGACATCGTCAATGGCCATGGTCATGCCCATGGGTGTCATCTTAGCTGCCGCACATTGTGCGTGGAGCATCAATGTGACGACTGCCTTGACAGAAGGCCAGAGCGAATAAGGCATAGTAGAATTACAGTAAGCGATTGGTAGACGAATGCTTGGAACGTCCGGAGAAAGGTAATCAATATGCCTTCTTATATCCTGACGGGTGGCACAGGTTTCTACGACACAGGTGCCATGCGCAACCCCAGAAGCCAAGCTTGAAAGTATTTGAGGAATCGGGCCGATTGGCCACGCCGTAACGGGAAGGAACACCTCAGTTGTCTGCAGGGGACGATGGCCAAGATCATGAAGGATACGGGACAAGCATGGTCAGCTACCATCTGTGCAAGGGTGTATCCCCTTCCCCGCACAGATCGGCAAATTGCTGATCTCATAGACTGGGGAACGGTAGCTGGAGAAGTAGCCAAGCCCTTAGAGGAACACATTGGCGGCAGCCCGTTCGTTCCGGAAGTCCGTCTCACCCAGTCCACTTCCAGATTTGGGGATTCATTCATCAAGAGTGGCTATTGTCTATGCAGATTGAACTCGTCTTATTACACAAGGTTGTTATGACTGTGCGGATCGATGACCAGCTGTGCCCGAAAATGTGGGGAACCATAATATCAGGGCCTGGCCTTCCTCAAATCGTGAGCGAGTTCGCGAAGTTCCAACATTTTCTCTGCTCAAGCGAGAGTGTTACGTGCCAGGTTCAGTAGAAGATTTGATCAACGAGTGAAGAGGAAACTCGACAACGAAAACCCATAAGTATCCATCCCTCCAGCAGGGCATGGATATTATCCACATCAGCCTCCCTGTTGCAGCAGCAGCTGGCCATGGGCTGCAATGAAGTCCACCTCGTGATGCTGACAATACGGATCTTAATTAGTGTCACGTGTATTGTGATTCAATGTCGATGATTGTGCTTGTGCGACTGGTGTTTGTGTGTTGTAATGGTAATAAACGTCGAAGGGGTTATGAGGCCAACGCCGGAAGTGCCTCCCGAAAGGTCCTGGCGTCAGGCTCGACAACATCCTCCCGCGTTACTCTAGACTAAAAGCGATGTTTCAATAAGCGACGCAGAAATCCGGATCAACCGCAGTTTAGGCATACTTGCAATTAACGCCTTTGGCTTTTCCCGCAGCCTTAGTGGGGACAATGCACGCGCAGCACAATGCCCAAGGTACAGAATCCAGTCATGTCTTCACTTACTCGATGGTCCCCTTTCAAGCCAACGAACACAAGGCGTTCAGACCCAAGTTATCCCTGAGAATTCCAAACACATCCTCCTTGGCATTCTTGAGCCACGATACTTGTATACTCCTGATCAAGGAGTGATTAAGTGCAGTAGTAACGACTTGATAATGTTCACAGACTTCAGAGAGGCTCACGACAGAAGTCGGGGTCCGTGGATGCGGTGCTTACTCAATTTGGGTAGCGAGTTATTGTAGCATTTCTAAGACGGAAGCATCAGTCTAATAAGTTCTACCCTGTGTAGCCAAGCTACCTGAGTGCAGTTCAACAAGCTATTTTGCGACAACACGGGGCTCAAAATTCGTGACCACATTGCGGCCAGAGTACGAATACCAAGACGGTAACCTGAGTACGGGCTTCAGAATACATCTCTTTGAGTAGAGTCCTTACGCCTGTAAACCAGCTTGTACATCCCGTGGTTGTTCCACAAATGTATTGGTCCAATTCCAACGACAAGAGCCCTGCCTATGGTTCCCGGACGGAATGAGGTCTTCACTAAGAACAGAGAGGGGGAATTTCTGGGGTCTGCCACCATAGTACAGACTATCTTGGTGTCGGGTCGTCTTCTACCACTGAGTCATCTGCATCTGCCCTATCGTTTTCGCTGATTGGTGGAGAACAATTCACACAGGACATCCACAGACGGGTCCGGTCGTCCTCGCGGTCGTGATATCTGCCATTTCTGCCTTTGGGTCGCTGCTGCAGGACTTGCGACAAATCGCGGAGGAGTTTCAAGCCGTGAAGTAATGTTCCGTGGGCAGTAGCACCGATCTATGTATATAACCTTTGCAGCAACTATGGTCCGAGTCATTATTACTTCTAGCCTTTGTTGTATCAAAAACTCGCAAACTTTGATCAATTGGTAACAACTGTAAGCGGCCCTGGTTGGTGTTGGAACGGGTTATGTCCAAGGACAGAAGGTTCGAGGGGGTGTCCTGATTGCCGCCGCCGCTGGGTTGGCTGCTCCCCCAAATCCACCCACGTGGGGCGCTCGGGTGAAAGCCAAGAATAAGAAAACCTATGTAGTTATCTTGCTTGCTTGAACGGTTCCGGAAAAGATGTTGGTCGGGTCGTCACAGCATTTACGACAGTCAGGGAGCTGACGCGGCCAATTTGTCGTTTCACATTATCCCAATCAGGCTGTCCCGTGTAAACCAGCCCGGCAATTAGCCTTTCGGCGCCAAGCCTCCGATTGCCAAGACGGAAGACGATGCAACGTCGGCAGATTCTCCGGTCTGACGTTACACTGCACCCCGCCGTGGGATTCATCAGCCCCCGTGTTATTTCCAGCAATCCGCTGTCGCGGATTTGGCTGTACAGCCATTTCTTAAGGCAAACGATTACAGATCGGGATGAAATGACAAACAAAATACGAGGGCGAAAGAAGAAAGAAAGTCTTTAAAGCTAGCGGCAAATGTCCCAATGGAGCCAGACCATCCGGCTCTCCGCATTTCAGCCGGGCCATTGTGTAGTTTCAGAGTAGGTATCGCGCAATGCATATCCATCCATTTTCATCGAGCAATGTGTATAAGAACCTCGTGCCAAGCCCTTGAATATGCACCTTTCAATCGCCAAGCTTCCTCGCCTGCATGCCAAGCATTTCGCACTGAAGACTACTGCACCATGATTTTCACCCGCTCCATCCTCCTGGCCCTGTCGGCCTTTGGTCTCGCATCGGCAGCTCCAGTCGACGAGATCCTCCCACCCCACGTGGAAAAACGTGGCCCCTCTGACTTCTACTTGGCCCCTGAGCACCCCTTGATGCTAGCCCGCCTCAATGCCTCCCTCGAAGCCCGGGGCATGTCCCTCGAAGCTCGTACCAACTACGTCCAGAACTACAAAACTGGAGGTACCGTCAACTTTACGCCCTCGGGCAACGGCTTCAACCTCAATTTCAACACCAACAACGACTTCGTCGTCGGTGTAGGCTGGAACCCCGGTTCTCGCAGCCCCATCACCCACTCCGGCTCTTTCAGCGTCACCCGCGGCTTGGGCACTTTGTCCGTCTACGGATGGACCACCAACCCGCTTGTTGAGTACTACGTCATTGAGGACTCGGGCGGTTTCTCGCAGACGGGCACGAAGAAGGGCACTGTGACCAGTGATGGTGGCACTTATACCATCTGGGAGAATGTGCGAACCAATGCGCCTTCGATTCAGGGCACGCGCACTTTCAACCAGTACATCTCTGTTCGAAATGGTGGTCGTCCCAGTGGTACTGTCACCATCAACAACCACTTCAATGCTTGGGCTAGCCATGGTATGAACCTTGGCGCTCTCAACTTCCAGGTCATCGCTGTTGAGAGCTGGAATGGTGCTGGTTCTGCCCAGCAGACTGTCACCAACTAAAACCCTTGCGCATGGGCTCTTGGTGAAAGCCTTGCCCACGGTCTCTTGGCTCTTTATGAACCCCAACTTTCCTTGGAGGGTCGCTATTAGGGGATGTGTTCTATTCCATTCTGATACACAAAGTGGCGGCGTGTATGCGGCCTCAAACCTATGGTCCCCAGCACTCATGTACCCAGCTTTATGATGCAGCCGTTCGCATCTTGTCCTTTATTTATCTTTGACAGAGTCAAATCACTCAACCCGAGCAAACCTGTCTGAATTCAAAGCAGCCCCAACTATGTGGACGTGATTTTTCGCCTCGCCAGAGCCTCTAGCTCCTTTCACGGGCTCAATTGCATGCCTTGAGTATACAGCCTTTTGATTCCATCAAGTGAGAAGACCCTGGGTTCATGCAGCTTTCCCCGGCTCATATTGAAGTCTACACCAGTGCCGTTGGAGAATAAACGAATCCTATTTTAAGAAGATGCTGGTCATCATTGACGCTCCAATCCATGTCTTTGCTGCAGTGGTCACTTCAGCACATGTTGTTTGCTGCCTTGAGAGGTGCCCCGCTTGCTCTGGTAAAGGCCACCACCCAGTCCAGAGGTGGTCCCACAGCCAGCCAATCAGAGCGTTACTGCCCGCCCAATCGGGCGATTGAAGAACCGCCACAGTCTGTTTTCATGGTACCCTCTTCGGATTTGTCAGGCTCAACGCTCTCCTCCTCCTTGAAGCCTCGCGATTATCATCAATCTTGAAAAGTCGCAAGACTGCGCCCCAGAGTCATGAGTCTGTCAGATATCACCTCGGTCAGCCCCGGGTTGAGCCAATGCCTAAGTTTTCCTCATCAGAAACAGGATCAGTTGTGTACCGTGATGCAGACCGTAAGACTGTGCCAGGACGATTGAAGCAGCGTAGTTGCGCGCTGCAAGACTGAAAGGAACACGTGAGCCACCTCAGATTCTCGCCTTTCTTTTGAACTAGATTCGTCTTGAAGCCTTTTCGAATCATTGGGCCGAAACGAATGAGGCTTGTTCAGTTCACGTGACGTTTGGTCCAACGAATGCGTCTCAAATCTGTAGACACAATCGATGCATGCTATGATCCAAGTTGAAACCTAATCCACATGTTAGCGGTTCAGCCATCTCTACTAGGTGTAAAAGGAATACCCTGTGACCCCTCTTCTCGTACGATGGTCGGGATATAAGAAGAGCAATCCCCGAGTTCGCAAGCTTGACCATGGACTGTTCTATCAGACACCACCACCACAGTGAAGGGTCTTCGTGATCAATCTCCTTAGAGATTCGGAGCGCCGTGCAAGCTACAAAGGCGCACTGACGTGCTTGCTTACGATCGGGGGGTTAACAGATTGCTCCAAAGCAAACAACAACTACCAGCCAAATATCTAATCATTTACCCTTCCGAGCTTCTAAGGTTTTTGCAGGATTCCAAACAACAACCACGCCAAAAGCGCTCCTCCTTTTTTTCCAAGCAATCCAAGTCTTCCTCACTTCAAAATCCTGTCCTGACTTTCCCGGTCGTCGTCATCCCAGTCAATATCCCCCCGCGCTCCTTGTCGGTCATTCGACACCGCAAAGGTCTGGGTGACAGTAATATTCTGCTTGCCCGCCACGCGACGCATATTCTGCAGCTCCGTGTCGTCCAAATCCTCAAACCCGCGCGAGGCGAGCACCTTCGAGGTGACCGTGCCATTCTTGCTTGCATGGCCGCCGAACCGGCTCCGCCCCGTCCCGCTCTGGTGGGCACTGCCGCCCATATCGGCATACTTGGACCGAGACTTGTTGCTGCTGCCGACGCCCTGGGAGATGAGAACCTTGAAGCTCGGCAGGCATGCTACCATGACGGCGATGCTGGACTCGATGGTCGACCACAGCGCGAGCCAGGAGACTTCGGGCTGTGTGGTCACCGTGTAGGTGACGATGATTCGGATAACGGAGAAGACGGTGACGATGCAGCCGAGGCCAAGCACGGCGATGAGGCTGATCTTCTGTTTGAGGGACATCTTGAGGCCGATAGCGAGATAGATCGGAAGTATCATGACTGTAAATGAGAAGGGCGTACGAGTTAGATAAGACCTTCTGACATATCTCGGGAGCTCCGGATACTGGGACGTACTCATGACATCAGTTGCGATATCGACGCAGGTGCTGAAGCGCAAACTGATCAAAGAACCCTGGATATTCTTCGGCTCGTCGCATTGTCCTGGAAGAATATTTGAGATCAGTCACGCAGCCACCGGAACAGAAAGTTATGGATCGAACGGCTCGGTAGCACTTACCCAACTCGAATGATGTACAAGATAGGGGATAAGTGATTACTGAGGCGACGTAGGTGAGGCCCGTAAATACGCAAATTCCAATCCATACCCGCCTTGGCCAGGCTAGGTTGTTCACCAAGCGGTAGAAGAAGGCCAAAAAGCAGGCCTTGACCGTCCAAAGACAGGTCCAGAATAGCAGGGTCGAAGCAAATTGACATTTGAGGTAGACGGATGAGTTGGCCATGAAGTCGGCAGTGGGCGCCGCCAGCCCAGCGCCCACCAGGAGCATGTCGTACATGGGCCGGACCATGATTGACTGGACGATGGCGTTGCCCAGCAAAACCACCAGCGCAGCGATTACAAAGTAATCATCTGTGTGTAGTTGTCGGGAGAACCGGAGTCGGACCCGGAGACGAGCACCGACAAGCGCGGTGGCGAGTGCTTGAAGCGTCCACACTGCAGCCTGTTAAAATGGTTGAATTCTCCAATTAGCTGCGATTATTCCACAAGTCCTGTGTCTTGTGCCTGGCTGCCCCAGAGGCAAGTCGTGTTGGCATTGGATGGACGAGTCCAGCAATCAGCTGCTGGACGTGGCTTTGAATTGTGCACGACAGCCATGTCCATATGTAGGGTGTCTGCTAGACATCTTGGGCTGTAGCAGGGGACTCACCAGAAGCGCGACCTCCGAGACCTTTGGTGGAGGTAACGGATCTTGCCTTTCGATCAGCGTCGCAATGGCCATATCGGGTGGTGATGGGCACCAGGGTAAAGAGCACGATCGTGGAGCCCGGATCGTTCAGATTCTTTGTGGAGGACGAGATAGCCCCTCTGTCGCCAGATGTTGCTCCTCTCTTGCATACGTTTCACCCTGTCTAGGAAAAAAAAAAGGAAGCCTGTCCGGGCGAGGAGGCGGGTGAGGGATCGTCGGGCCATCTTATAAATCTGGCCATGCACGATCAAGGTCACCAGCTGCATGAACGCTTCTGTTCGTAGTGGCAGGCTGTGACATGACCAAACACGCCATACGACCCATGTGTCAATATGCAACATGCAACCTGAGTTTTGCCTTGCTTCTCAATCCCAAATCGAGCAGCTGCGTTTCCAACGGACATCGCCTCTCACGGGCGTAGGCACATGCCTGGTCGAGAAAGGATCCACGGGGCCTGCTGCAGGCCCGGTAGGCCGTTTGGGATTGATGTGATCTGGTTTATCCTGGGGCCTGATCGAACCAATTACCAACGACCTGGGCACCGGTTCTTTCCTGGTGGCCGGCCTCGATGACTGACCGGTCGAATCCAGCCCGGTCAACGGGAACTTTGTGAAAAGGTCTTCCGCGCTTCTCCTCCCACCCCCACCAGCGTGATCCTTGTCTGATCATCTCGCATGCCGGCTCGAAATCATCCTATCTAATTTGCTCATCCAGAATCGCTAACACTCCTCATGATGAGCACCAGATCGTCTTGGCAATAGCGAGTTGGTATGTTTCCTAGCGGCGGTGTTCGACATTCGTTTTGATGCTGGACAAAGACGTGGAAGACTCGCTCTTCAGAGTAGTCTACTGCGTTTCTGACGAATAAAGAAAGTATTGCATTATTGCCAGAGATTTCCTGTGGCACGAACGGTTTCAACCTCTATGATCATGTCCGCTCGCCACCAATGGTCCATCGACTTTCTGCAAGCTAGTAGCAGCTCAAGTCTCAGAGGAGACAAGCCAGGGGCAGCGCGGCGATGCGGATCTCATTTTCAATTCAGCCTGTACATGATGCCAGGGTTTGCTAACATGGCTAGGGCATCGGGGACCACGGCCCCGGGCACCAGCATTCAACTCGCCGGGTGGCCAATTCGGGAACGCTTGCGACACGGGTGATCCATGTTAGCGGCTTTACCAGCCTAAGAGGGAATATTGAACTGACTACGTAGTATGCTATGCTCTAACTAGTCAAGCGTCTGCCTTACGAGCTCGGCGCGCTCCGGGCTAGCGTCTCAGGGCTGTGGGACATGAACAACACATACGGCAAGTCGGACGGCAGGCAAACACGCATGATCTTTATCTCCAAACCAAAGTCGGGATACTCCCAGACATGTCTCTTCACGTGCAGCACGAGGGAGCATCCAAGAATGCTTCGCTGCCGCCTCACCTCAAGCCACTCTTGGAACATGGCGTTTTAGAGTTGGGACAGGGTCCAGGAATCGGTGGCTGATGCAGTACAATCTGAGGCCGTGAGGGCATTTGACTCAGGGGCCGCTTCCTTGGCGATCCAGGAACCATCGACGCAACCTGCTCTTCCATCAACGACTAGTGAATCTCTGTGGCGACCTGGCAGGCCTCGCAACCAAAGAAAGCATGCGAGCCTCCCGCGGAACAACAGGCTGAAATTTGCCAGCTGCGTGCCTGCTTGCAGCCTGAGAAAGCACCTACCGCATCAAGCCTAGGCGTGCGTTGGTTCTGTCCACATCCCTGCCAGACTGCGGAACCACCCGTGGCAGCCGGGCCCGGGAACCAATGGTCGGCATTAATACTTGAGGAGCCCCTGCTCCATTATGCCTAGACTCACGACGCTTCGAGGTGGCGGGCCTGAAGCTGTCCGGGAGACAGCTGAGATTGGCCCGGCTGGCACGCCTGCTATCCGAGTTCTGTTGCCTCAACGCCCTCGGATTCCCTAACATGGATCACCCCATGGTCGTCCGAAAGAGCAATCTCGCCGGCCACTTCCATGTTGGCGATGCCCTGCAGAAGTCTGCTCATCTCCATGCATAGCCCCGTAGCGATCTCTGTACCCCACGTGCAGGAGAAGGGTTCGTGATATTCTATAAAGGCTTGGCTGGGCAGTGGGCCTCCACGAACTCATAAAACCCGTGCAGAAGCCCGCGCGTTGATCCTGTCCACAAGAAGCCTCTGGGACGGCAGCACCTTCTTGCGTTGCCCCACGCCCAGCGTTACAGTCATTCCCTTCCTGGATTCCTGGCTCCTTCGGCCGCCACATTTGTCACCATGAAACTCTACAGCCTCTCAGCCGGTCTCTTGGCGATCCTGCCGCTCGGTGTGGCTGCAGATGATCTTGTCGTTGCCTCCGTGTCAAACGACCTGGCAAACATGGTCTTGGGTAATGCCGGGACTTGCGTAAGTGGCTTTGCCAATTTGTGTCTTATCCCGCCGCCCCGAGCTTTTGGCATCAGTGCAACGGCCTGTTATGGCAGCTCGTGCTTTGCTGGACCCTGTTGGCTAATTTGTAATGACCATCTGTCAATAGTGCGTGGGCCTGAAGCTCTTCCTCGGCGACAAGGTCTCAGTTGAGGGACAGTCTGTCTACACAAACTCGTTAGAGTCGTACTTCAGTCTGCAAAACGCCCAATTAACGCCCAACTGTATCATTACGCCTACATCTAAGGAGGACGTGGCTCTGTCTGTTTTCCTGCTCAACGTCGGAAGCAAATTACTTCCTGGGCGTTGCAACTTTGCCATCCGGTCGGGCGGTCACACTCCTTGGGTGGGTGCCAACAACATCGACGATGGCGTCACGATAGACCTGTCCAAGCTCAACCAGGTCAACGTTTCCAAGGATCGCAAGACCGTTGATGTCGGCCCGGGAAACCGATGGCTCGACGTCTATGGGCGCCTTGAGACCCAAGGCCTCACAGTTGTCGGTGGCCGCGCCTCGATCGTTGGTGTTGGTGGCCTGACCACCGGAGGTGGCATCTCATACTTCTCACCACGGTACGGCTACGCCGTCGACAACATTGACAACTTTGAGGTTGTCCTGGCATCCGGCCAGATTGTCAACGCCAACAGCAAGACCAACACTGATCTCTTCAAGGCGCTCAAGGGTGGTTCTGGCAACTTTGGCATCGTTACTTCGTTCACCATGCGCGCCTACGAGCAAGGCCCCATGTGGGGAGGCTTCGTTGGCTTCGACATCTCCACCATTGACAAGCAGTTTGCCTTCTTTGAGAGCCTGACCGGCTCTGCCAACTATGATCCCTATGCCTCGTTCATCCTCAACGTGGTCTATGACCAGGCTACCACGTCCTGGTCGGCATCTCACTCTGTTGTGTACTCCAAGCCCGTCGCCAACCCGCCGGCTTACCAGCCGCTTCTTGCTCTTCCCCAGACCTTCAACACTGCCGACGTCAAGAACCTGACTCAGCTCACCATTGAGCTGGGCTACTCCAACCCAAACGGCCGGAGACAACTGTTCACAACCGCCACTTTCAAGAACAGCGCCGCGATGCTGTCTGAGATCTACAAGATCGCCCAAACCAACGTCAACTCCATCTCCGGCATCTCGGGAATCAAGTACAGTTTGTCCTTCCAGCCGATCCCCACCGTCATCAACTCAAAGGCGGCCGCAAGCGGCGGCAACTCGCTCGGCCTCGACGCCAGCGACGGCAACCTGATGAATATGCTCCTCACCGTGACGTGGGACAACAAGTCGGACGACGCCACCGTCGAGAGCGCGGCCAAGAACCTCTTCGCCCAGGCCAACACCAAGGCCAAGTCGCTGGGCAAGTTCCACGAGTACCTCTACCTCAACTACGCGGCCAAGTGGCAGGACCCCATCTCCGGCTATGGCGCCGACTCCAAGGCCAAGCTGCAGGCTGCCAGCAAGAAGTACGATCCGGCGGGACTGTTCCAAAAAAACGTCCCAGGCGGCTTCAAGCTCTTCTGATGGGAAGGGTACGCGGAGCGAATGCAGAACCAGTAGAATTCATTGGAGCAGCCCACAGGTCGTTTCGCTCCGAGGTGATAGATTACATACACATATATAGAAGTAATTCAAGACTTACCTAGATCATGATAAATGATACACATTACAAAGATGAACTGGCAGGACGCCCTGTGATACTTCAACTGGCACGGAGCCTTCATAATCCTGCCTCCCGATTTTGAGTACTTGTATGGTCGCTAACAGACCCCCTCCTGATGGCCTTGAGTCTTCAATCCCGCCCCTGAGAAAAAACATAATCCGCTTGTTCAGCTTTGGCTCGTTATGCAGAAGTTTGTAGGTACTAATGGTCCCGTTAGCACACAAGAGCTCTGCCGCTCTAAGCATTGCCGATTTCCGCCTGCCCTAGATTGCTGCTGTCGTCCCGCTGCCGTGAGCAAGCCAAGTTAAAATGACACACTTTTCAGCTGCCACGAGTTGCTTGGCAAATTCCTTCGTCGTGTGATTGCGAGCCCTCATCCTCGGCCGAGCCAAGTTGCGCTATGTATGAGATAGATCACCACGATATGTGTCGAGCACATAGAGATGGGCTCAGTTGCCGTGCAGCACACCTCGGAGCTTTGCGTTGTACACCGCGGCTTGAGTGGTGTCTCGTATTATAAAAGTTCAAGCTGACGGCATACAAGCCGTGCATGTTTCATTCTACCAGACCAAATTCTTCGGCAGTTCGGGCTGGGGACAGCGCAAAAGCTAAGATACGGGGCACAAATCCTGCAACAGTGATGGGTTTTCCGTCGCTTTCGCCTCCACCAGCCGATTGCTGCCAGACAGGATGGCGATAGGATAAAATTGTGAGAACTCCGGAAATAAACAAGAGGACACGCGCTAATGGCCGAGAAGGCATGGATGAATAAGTGTCAAGAAAGGCTCGTTGTCGGTATGGGTTGCCATTGTCTATGTGGTGGAGAAGCATGTGTTGTCAAAGCGTGGATAGGATACAGGAGGTAGATGGAAACAAAAGTAGTGAAGGGTAGGTGAATCTCTATATGGCCAACTTTGCGCAGCGTAACACTGAATTCTCATGAGCAAGATTCCGCGTTTTTGGGTGTTTTTATCATCACATGGCACCTTAGCTGAGCCCTCTCTGTAGTCTGGTACCGAGCATCGGGCTCGGGGCCCGGAGTTGGTGCCGGATGGGCTAGCGCGGCAACGCGATCCATCATTTGTAATCAATAATCAGACAGAGAACGGCACAGGTAAGCGGTAGAAAAGTGACCTCGAGGTGCTCAAATTAGCTACGAAGCAATCTGGAGCAAGGAATTTCATACGAGACCAGGCCATACTGTCAAATTGGCTACCGCGCGATGAGATGTGTGTCTCAATCGGAAGCCGCTAAAAAAGACACCGTGACACCAATATGCCTGAGCACTTTGACGCACTGCTGCACACGTTGGGGGAATAACGGTTCATGTGGCAGTGGGTGACACATCCTAGACTAAGTCTTGCAAGCTTTGGGGGCAAGTCAGGCTTGGTTGAGATTGCTGTCGCGTTTCTTCGTCAGCTCTGATGAAGCCGACGGCCTGTTCAAATAGTCGATATGCGCAAACCCAAGCGAAGCATGTCTCCGCAAATGTGAGTATGCATAGGCAGAGGGAAGCTTGCAGTTAAGCTTGCTGAAAGAAAGGCGTCCAGCAGTCGATGTTCCCAGCATGTAGTGTTGGGTAGATGCGACAGGCATGTCTACGAACCGCACATCCGACAATAATGACCAGGTCCTGCATTTCACCATGCTGGCTCGACCAATATCGACTCAATTGCGAGTTGTCATTATTACAGCTGAAGTCATAAGATGAGCGGTGCCCTAGCAGTTGCGGTACATGCTGACAGGGGTTTCCAAACAAAGCCCAGCCAAAGGGTTCTCCATGCAAGCAGTTTAACCTTTTGACGTGACGAGGTTGTTACTTCTGATACTTCTCGCGGTCCAATACCCAAGGACTTGGCGAGTCATGACAGCGACGAAGAATCATGTCTCCCGTCTGACATCAAGTCACCAGACTTCCAGATACCCCTCTGAAATGCGCAAAGCAATGCCGCAAGCCAGACACCTCGTTACCCTCGCTTGGCAATCCTTCTTCCAGCCGAGAATCAAGACGTCTAGAAACTTTGACCCAATTCGTCCACTCATGCCCCCATGCCCCATGGAGATCCCAGCCAGGGGTTTGCGGCAGTGTGCATGCATCGGCACTTTTCTCGGCCCAGTGGCGAAACATACCATCAGCACTACCACCACCACCACCACCATGAACGGGCCGGTGACTATGGGCTAGATATGGTTATGCCCGTGCGGGGGACCGTTGCAAACTGCAGATCCGGCTCAGAGTGTGTTCTCCCCCCCACCCCAGCGCCACTAACCTTGTCGTCGAATTTCTTCCGCCTGGAAGTGATCGATGCGCCTACCCACACGCGACAGCAAGGGGCTACAGGGGTTCGAGGTTCTTTTGCCGTTTCCTGGGGGCACATCCCGTGGTGATCGGATCGACTGCCGTAGTGAGCGATCTCGTGCGTTTTCGGGGCTTACATACATACAGGGGAACCGCCCGAACTTGTTTCCCACCTCGGCAAAGAACAAAGACGTCCGGGGCGTGACAGGGGGCTAGTTCATGCAATGGAATGCAGCTGGTGGGCTGGCCGCCTTGTTGCTGATGCATTGAGGTTGCCCAGAGGCACTACTAACACTACCACCACCTTCTTCTCCTTCTCCTCCTCCTCTGACAGCTGCCCCGAAATGGCGAGCCTAAATACAGCTCTGGGGGTCCGCAGCCAGTTCTGACAGGGAAGCATGCAGCGCACGCGATGTAACGGAGACATCGCGGCAATGGCATGGTGCGACGGGGGCTTTTGACGTGCGCTGACAGGGCCCCCGCAATGGTAGGCTACAGCTACGGTAAAAAGGACCAATGATGTTCTCAAGTTTGTTCATAGAGTGTGGCAGCGAGGACGCAGCAGCAGCACGCATCGAGGCGGGAATTGAAACCAGAAAACGTGCACTGCACTTAAGTGTGCCGCCAATGCCCCCATTTGAACCACTGCAAAACCCCCTCACCCCTGGACATGGATGTGATGTCGTTAGATGTTCGCCAATGGTGAGGTAGAGCACGGGCGCTTGTTGTTTCGAGTCTGCTCTAATTGATCCGCGAAGCTACCCCGGTTGCTGAGTGTGTGTGTGTGCCCGCGCGTGCACCTGCCCGAGGAGCGTGCGTGGCGGACGTTGCACCAGGACGCCAAGCGCTGTGCTCTAAGCTCCTGCACCCTACGTCCTGTAGGTAGCCTGATGGTGTTCCTGTTGATAGCCCTTTCAGCTCAAGCCTGCGGCTCGGCTGGAGCAAACCCGGACACTCGACACACTGCGAGTCAGCCTGACACTGCGGAGTGGCTTGCCGTGGCAGCCTTACACGCGGTCAACTTGTTGAGACATTACAAGATGGTGCCGAAAGGGATGGGGCTGCGTTATGGTGAGAAGAGCAGATGCGCAAGGCACTCTTTCTGTGAGATCAGGGGGACACATGCGGGCAGTGTTGTCAGCATTTTGCACTTTCGGTACGAGCAGGCTGATGCGCTGAGCTGAGCCTCATGTCAGAGAAATCACTCATCACCATTTCTGACAGTGTCATTGTCTCGCAATAACCTGCCAGCATGCCTAGGACGTGTAGTGTCCAGAGACCGAAGCACAACCACATCTGATCAAAAGTTGATTCAAATTATTGCACGTCTATATTTACGTAGTTTTCAACGCAACACAGGAAGCCGGCGTGCACTGTTGTGTGCAGGACCTCTGTTGGTCCACCCGTAGAAACGCCGTACTCAATGCTTGCAGGGGAATATCCTCCAAATGCTTTCTTTCGTCGTCACATGACCATACGCCTGCGCAATGCCATAACCTTCATTCCGTTGCATGCGCACCCATTATCGTGCTGATATGCAGGCACAGACATGTCCTTGGCAAGTGGTGCCTTCGAGACATCCTGTCCAAAGCCATACTCAAATTCAGTCCGTTCCTCGGGGTTGGTACCTTCGAGTCTCTGCCTGGCCAACATCGACCTTCACGATCCAATGAAGAGCTCCTCTGAGCGGGTAGTCATGGATCTTTGAACCGGCTGGAAGTTCCCTACAGGACTCATAGAGTTTTCCGATATTGGTGAGACCATCATGCGCACGCTGGCGGCGGTTTTGTCGTAAGCGATCGACCAGTCAGGCCCTGTTAGGTCCTGTTCCAGCGCAGAGACTAGTCTGTTGTCGCCGGGATCGCTGTGTGGCGAGTACACGATTTCCGTGTCGTCCACGCCGCGCCCGATGCGGTCGGTAGATTCCCGCGATCCTTGGTACCACCACTGATTCTCGAAACCATTGTCAACAGTGACCATGGCCAAAGATAATTTCTCCAGCTCTTGTATCCGCGCGGGGTCATCGCTCGGTCGTCTTTCGATGCCCCCTTCTGTTGCGAGATTGACAGTCGTCGGGTTGTTGGCGAAGACCGCCAACTCCTCGGTAATCTCCTGTCCGTCCTCTGTGGTTGGGTAGCCTTCCGGATACGCCCATGATGACCAAGGTTGCCCATCGGCTCCGAGACGGAACTGGCTCGGGGTAGCTGGCAGAGTTTTCCAGACGTGAGGAGGTGTCGTCTGAAGGCGGCCACTCCTCTGTGTCGGTGGCACTGCTGGCGTCATGAAATCCCCAATGCCGACCCATGGATTATTGTGTGACGCCGGTGGTGCTGAATTTCCTCGGTCATTCGAAGGGCCTCTCGTATCACCACGGGGCTGTCTCTGAGACTCTGGCTTTCTTTGGTGGCGATGTGCGTCTGCGGGTCTGCTTTGGCGCTTCTCCTCTGGTCTGCGTGTCTGATGAACGTTGTGTTGCCTAGCAGTAGCAGCAGAGGCCTTGTTGTAATGGTGAGTGGTGGTCGTATCTCGTGGCCTTGTCTGTTTCGTGACTAGTCTTGGGACTGGTTGCCCGACTTGCCGTGGGAAATCTGAAGAGTTGCGCAGGGACTTTGACATGTATGTCATCCCATGAGTCTGGGGTGTGTGCCGTGGTGACCATGATACGCCAAACTGCAGGTGGACGTAGACTTGAGGTATCGACAGCCGCCGAATCTCGTCTTGGCTTGCTTTTCCTTGAAAAGACTCCATGTCGAACAAAATGGTGCAGTCCGAGATTGTCCAGGGGACTAGCTTCTTGTGTCCAGCCTTTTGAGGTGATTATTCGTGCCAATGCGGCCGCAATTTGCAGATGGTTAGAGCGTGCCTGTAGCAGGACAAAGAGATACGTATGAAGATAGCCTGCGGGGAGTGTTTGGGAAGAAGCCGATCCTCAGTTAATGAGCACAGCGAAGGTGTGGCTGTGGGCACGGAATGGCAGCACTGGAGAAGTACAGGGGTGCCGAGCAAGGGGATACCAGGGATAGTCCGGGCCTGAGAAACGCAGGGGTGTTGGTGTCGCTAAGGAGCCAGGCTGATGGTGCTGCAGTCTTAATTAGGTCGTTAAAGGGCCGTAAGGCGGGCGACTTTGTGGTGGGTGGGCCCTGGGTCGCGCTGGGAATCACGGGGCCGGAGGAGCGGCACGGAATGCTGGATTAGGTGTGCGGCACAGGCTTGGAAGTAGTAAAATTACAGCAGCCAAAAATACCGACGGTGCCTCCTTCAGCTGGGGAAATAGTGGGCACTGCTGCGCCGGGCAAGATTTGAGTCTGGCGATGACGGCAAGACACTGAACAGTCGAGCAGAGCCCGGAGGCGGGAATAAATCCAGAGAGCTTCGGGACCGACTGTGGAGTCTGGGTGCTGGAGACCGGGTGATCGCACAACTGGCCCCTCCCGTCACAGCGTGTTGGCGGTGGTGGGCAAAGGCGGAGGAGCAGCAGCGCAGTAAGGGGCAGGGGCGCTGCAATGTCTGGGCGTGCTGCGGTGCTGATGGCTGAGGCTTGCGGGTAATAAGCGACCAAAAATACCGGCGAAGCGGGGCGAAATGACGAGGCGCGGAGCTGAAGGAGCAGCTGAGGTGGCAGCGGGAGGCAGACGAGGCGGGCGAGGTTTGGATGAGGTCAATGGCTGACCACGATGGAACTCGGCAGTGAAGTTGGTGAGAAAGAGCGAAGGGGAGATGGCGAAGGGGCGAAGGAGGTGTTGAAAAGCCGATTGCTTCAACCTCACACATGCAGCTCAGCTGGTTGGACGGTGCCGGCAGGTGCAGACAGACACGATCTGTGCAGGCACGACCCTTGAAAGCGGGGTGCCCGGAGGCGAACCAGGCTGGTGCCAGCGCCCATCACTCATCGCCCACCATGGCACACGCGTGATCAGCCACGGCTTGACTCGCACCGCAGACGGCCAACCACACGGCGATGCGACCGAGCATCTCAGCCGCCAGATGCTGGCCAAACCAACAGCGACAAAAGCAACAAAGGCACAAAAGCAACAGATTGTTTCTGCCTCACCCCATGCTCCTTGCCAACGACCAGCAGGGCATGGCACTGGAGCAGTCGGCTCGTCTGGCCAAAGGCGTGGTCACCGAATGAAGCAAACCCCCCTGCCCCGTTAGGTCTCGCGCGCCCCATCCGACCCAAATCAAAACATGGCCGGGGACTCCTGTCCGACACGAGATCTCCCTACGATGGTTGCAAAAGGCGGTCTCGCGGCCGGAGCACAAACTCGATCGCCGTTGTGTCGGCAACTCGGGACTGGACTACCCGCTATCGGCTGCATTGTCATGCTACGTCCCATTCCAACTTTGGCAGGATGCTGCCTGCGATATGACAAGCGCAATCCTCGATTTGTACCTAGCGGTGGCAAGTGTGGTGTGGCTATGCACCGCAATGGACCGACGAATCCGCCTGATACTGCAAACAACACGGGTCGGACTTCCAGAAGCCTCAGCTTCGGCCATGCAGCCATCGGGCTAATGATCAACAACCATGGGATGTCCTCTCCTGCTGTTACATGTGCTTCCGCCAGATCATCGGAGCATTGGCAGGAGGGCATCAAGCTTAGCCGAGCTAGCCCAACTCCTCCACCCCTGTCAAATTGGCCGGGCCAGCATTGGCAGCCAGTTTGTACGCAACACGACAATAAAGTCCAGCTTCGTATGGAGCCTTGGGGACCTTGAGCTGGTGCCCACATGGTCAACAGGCGGACTGATTGCACATGTCAACGGCTCTCTTGTTGCGTCATCGCAGACGCTCGAGCGCATCTGTTCACTCAATACTCTCCCAAAGCTCAGCCCCAAAAATAGTAGCACGATTGCGCTAGATTCCCTGCCAAGCAGATGTTAGTGCATCGGCTGGCGCAAGCAGACTTGAATTCTCCCATTAGAGCCACGGCGTGGCCCACGCGGGTCATGAATCGCAATTCTCTTCAGCTCCAGCCGCGCTCGTTTCGCATGCTGAAGGATTAACAACACTACAACGACGAAGAGACCGTTTGCTATGCCGGCGTGTGTCCGGACTTCTACAGACAACGAAGACCAAAAGAGTGGGGCGAGCTAAGGCACAGGCTTTTTGCCAGTCCAGGCTACCCATTCGGGGAAGACGGCTTTATCGACGCATAGATCAAGGACCACGGGCGTTGTCCAGATTGTGGCTCCAGGGCAGAGCGACTACGGTAAGCTTCATGATTGAGTCGCTTTCGATGCATGTGCGTCGTTGCATGAGTCGACTCATGCCAGCCAGTCTGTCAAACAGCATGCAACCACACCCCAACATTGCAGTGCCTGCAAGTTGAGAGGTGGCCTCCATCTTGTCTCACCACACGCATAGGCGCGCAGTATTAATTTGACATTGGCTCTGCAACGCTGCCCAACCCTAGAGAGTTCGAGTGCTACATGTCGATCTTCTATCAGGTCTTCTCTTTTGGCAGTGGCGACGTACCGTACTGCCCCTTAACCATGCTGTGTTAGTTGCTGTCCAATTGTACTCGGCTCTGAGAAATTCGTTAGATCAAAGGTAGAAGCTAAGGCATTGAGCGAGCCCGGCGCCTACACTGCAATCTAATTCCGTGTCAGATTCAAAAAACGTCACAATGGCGAGTGTCGACAATAGGGCGCGAGTCTGTGGCGCTGCCAGGACTGTCATTGTTGCTGTACGAGCTAAACTGGCTTCGTCCAGTATAATCCTTACCGTGCGTCACGGTAAGCACCGGTTCTACTCCAGGCCAATGGATGACACCGCAGTGGGCCACGGGCTCTGGCGGCGATGTTTTAGAACGAAGCGACTAATCTCTAGAGTTGTGTCTTCCTGCATGCACCGGTGGAAGTTCTGCTTTCGTGGAGCAGGCAGGAGCAGACTCAATTCTCTGAAGCTTCTATCGACGTATCTCCATTCAGCCTCCGAGAATAATGCACGGGATACAAATTATCGCAAGCAATCCCTATCATTGTGTTTGGACATGATCTTCTCAACACTGGTTCTTCAAGCCCTGTCCGGCAGCGCTTCTGTGATTATTCGAGCTTATTCCGATGCGAGCTACCCAATATGGACACGCAACACGACGCGAGGACTATTACTGCATTCGGCTGCGAGGGAGCATGGCGGATGCGAAACAGTCAGGGGCGGAAATGACACATCACGCAAGTGACATCCAGACATGGAAGAGATGGCAAGCCCAAGTATTATGGGTTCGGCCGACAGTACCAGCTGGTGTGCATTGCGCTAGGGTACCGCGACTGGACTTTGGACGTGGGCTACTTTGCTGTGCCTTCAATTCCCCGAGAGAGTTGCTTAGGAACTTGTTGAGGACTCAGGTAAGTGTCCACGTACACAATGGAGCAAATACCAATCCGGCTATGAACAAGCGGAACATGCGGTGCGATAGCTGGGAGGCATCGACGAATTCGAGCGCAAGAAATGGGATGGGGCCACTTGCTCTCTCCTTAAACATGAGCCGATGCTCATCTCATGTTGGACAGCAGCCAGGATCTCCGCACTTTTCGTATTACTAACCGCCGGACAAGGTCTGTCCCGATATCAACGATTGCGGAGATCCCGGTCACAGGAGATGAGGACCAAATTTTGGGATGGCCAGGGTCGGCATGTATGTATTTATAGCAGCATTACCGGATTCGATGCCGCCCTTCTTGCACGATTTCCACCACATTTTGACCAAACCCTGGTGAGCAGCTCTCCCCCACTGGCGCTCTTTACGAATGAGGAATGGAGTCATGGCGCTGCGAAAAGGGGTGAAACAAAGCTTGAGCTGAGTCGACGAAAGCGGCGGGAAGGATGCTCAACCCTGCTTAGAGGTTTGAGTATTTGTGGGCGCGCCATGCCGCTGTAGCTGCCACGAACCTAGCCACTGTGGCTCCTGCGAAAGTGAAAGGGGTCACGACGATTGCAGGCTTGGAACTTTTGAGTGCTAGCAGCTGATACATATTTGTTGCGTTGGTCCTTTGTCTTGCTCAACTGCTGCATTACCCTCTTTCCGCTCCCGGAGGAATCCGCATGATCCCTCACTCCTGGCACGGGCTGACAAGGCAGACCGTGATCCGCGGCGTGACCTCGGGCGTCTTGCGGGAGCAAGCGGGCTGCAACTCGCTGATCATCGGCGCATGTCAGTGCATCCGAGCGAGTGGACTTTGCAGTGGCCTTCACTCAATCTATTCCTCCTTGATAGATCTCGCTTCGCATACCATGCCATTCCGTCGTCGTGACGGGTCATATGCGCGTCGCAGCCTGCCAATATTACGGGATGCCGCAGTCATATTGACGCAGTGTCACTTGTGCTTGGCCCTTCTTCCCTGACAACCTGACAGGTACCCAACGGAGAAACAACAAGAATGTCAAAAAATCAGTAGGTCGCTATACATCTCTTCAGTGACGCAATAGTCCTAGTTGCGAAGCACTAAGTGGCCTACAAAGTCCAGTTGGTGGAACAAATTCAGACAATCCCACTTGACACCCTCATCCTCGCATTGCAGCGCGCTGACGATCCGGTCCCCTTCCCGTGATTTGTATGCCCGCGTGAGGCAAGCGACGCAATTCAGAGTTGCTATTTATAGTCTCCATGCGTCTCCACCCGCCCCCTGCCTGCCTGCCTGCCTGCATGCATGCCTGCATGTCTGCTCGCTTACAAGTTGTTTGGCCGCCTGCATACGCCGGAACAATTATGCACTCCTTGCGTTCCTAACCCGGACAAGGATGGAGCGAGAGAACAAGGGGTCTGGCATACCCGCTGTCGTCTAAGTGGCTGATTGCGGCCACAGGTTTAAGGACTTGAGTATTTTTCGGCCCACTGTGAGTCTCGTTTGGGGTGATGATGATGTGTTGGCCAGCGCAACTCGTGCATATTGGAACGTAAGAGGGTTGATGTTCTGGATGCTCTTCTTTCCCTAAAGCTCGAGGTAGAGAAAAAGGGCGAAAAAGGGCGGAAAATGCCGTGCCACCGCTCCTAAAGAGGAATAAGAAGCGACATGTGCTCGTTGTTCATAGGGAAGGGCCCGCGAACTGCCTTTAACCGTTCAGCCGCGATCCTCTCATTCCCTTTGTGGGCGGGCAGGCATGCATGGTGAAGGTGGGAATGGCATGCATGCATGAGCCGCTGGTAGTGGTTGTCTCTCTGTCTGCGTGCTGTCTGTCGTTTGGCGGAATCAAATTTGGGGGAGTTGTTGAAGTATGTCATGTCCCTAGAGCGGTGGATGCTATAGGCCGACTTCTTGTGGCGGAGTGGCACCGGTGAGTGGAGATTCGGCACTTCTTCGATAGGGGGGAAAAGATATTATTGGCATACTCTGCCTGGTGGACGATTGCAAGTTCTAACCTGATTTGGACCCTAAGACGTTGATGGTGTTGTTGTGAGCAGTGAGAAAGACATGGTCAATGGGGGCCTTGGCTGGGTGGTTGGCTTTAAGCTGGCCTTTGAATTGCGCCAATACTTTTTCTGTACTCATTTTCGTTGGAGGACGGATGAGCCTCTGACTGGGTAGAGAGCTGTCTACGTTGATAAAATTTGTGTTTCAGTATTCTGCCCAGAACAGCCATTTTATGGAGGCTATAGGCCAGGTTTCTCCATATACGAGCGACCAGAAAGCTTTTTAAGGCTGATATTGGCCGTTATAAATATAGTTGCGCATAGTATAGTCCCGAATCGATCGAGCAAGTCGCTAAGACCTGCCACGGCAGTTCTCGCGGCAATATTAATTGAACTTTGTGGCACGTAGGAGTATGATTCAGTTTATACTGTTATTTGACAAATATTGCTCAGATCATTCTATAGCGGCGGCCGAGGTGTAAGATCCGTGTCCTGTCGCGCCTGCTATAGTCCTTTCATGGGCTACATCAAACGTCGTTCTGTTTCGGGTGTGTACTTGCATACTAAATGAGCGAACGAAATCCAATAGAGACGCGATTCTTCACCTTTAGATGCGCAGGAACTCATACCGAGCGCTGTACTCAAGGAAGGCATCACGTTGTACATCCTTGCCCTGGTTGAAGGCAAAACCCTTGACTCCGGATGTCGGCTCAATGACGTCCTCGTCCGCGGCACTTGCCAGCCGGCACTCCTCAAGGTAGTCGCCTCTGATACTTTCCTGATGCCTTCCGAAGCCGGCCATAGCGAGCAGTGGTAGTGCCCTGCTCGATGCTCTGCTACCTAGCCACGTCTTCCCGTTGCGGCAAGGGCGCGGGAGGTCTCGACGCCAATACCTGAGAAGCAGTTGGTGTTGCCCAACGCCCTATAGGTTGAATCGCTTGGAGTTTGCTACATGAGGCTCTTCCTCCCTCAGAGTGCGAGACCCATCAATGTTGACAATGCCTAAGTACATAAGAAATCAGGCACGTACAAACACACCTTATACTTTATTCTGCCGACGCGGTCTTCATCCTTGACATCGTGGGCGGCTGTTGGCCGTGCATCGTCCGGTCCTTGCAGTTTGGTTAAAGACGCCTCGTATTTCGACATGACAGTATGCGGAGGGAAAATGTAGCTGCTGCGTGATCTCCAGTGTTAAACCACATGGAGACTAGGAGAGAGTATGAAGAGAATGGCTGGCGTGATGATATGGTTCGCTTCACAGTTCTTAGTTACACGTTGGCTGAGTGAAGCCCAGGCAGATATGCTTCTCCTTCTGTTTCCATCCTAGAAGTTGGAGGCAGCGCAAAAAGTACGCCAATCTCCAAGGGCAGTTTGTCTCATTCATGGACACCGGCAGCCTGAACTTTGCACGGAACTGGTCGAATACCTCCGCGACCACTGTACATGCGCAGTGCCATCGGGTGATGGGCGTCAAACACACCCACTACGATGTCGCGCACTCCTCAGGCTCCCGCCTTGTGCTGGCTGGTGCCGCTGCCGGCTGTGTCTCCTCATATGGCATATCTTGAGCTACGCGATTTGATTATTCGCAAATTGATGGCGTGAACCTCCACGGCAGACGGTCGAGACCTAGGGAGCTTCCCGGTCTTTGTATCTTTGGGGATTGGGGTAAGTAGTACTTGAGTCCTGTGATCAAGCACCTCGTAAAATAATTGCAAGTACGCGTTTCTAGTGGAATTTTAAATGTCCCAACTTGGGAGATGTGTATCGACTAAACATTTCTTCCAAAAGGGGCGATCGGCCGAGTGCAGGTGGACCGATCTGCAGGGGCCGCCTCCGGGGCTGGGCCCCGGGCTTTTCAGGGGTTTGCTGGCAGAGTATGGGGCCCGAGTGCCGACAACCACCAACTCGTCGTCGTCACGATGCGACGTTTGCTCTCCCACCATCCCACTTCACATGACCGCACCGCCCAGCTCCTCTTGTTCCAGGCGCGCGAGCAGGTCTTGCCTCCCGGGTCGCGGTCGAGACAACAAGCCAGCCAGCCAGCAGTAGGCCATCACCACCACCACAATGCCCCTCCGCTGGGCAGTCGTCGCTGGCCTGCTCGTGAGCTTGAGCACCCTGCTTGCTCCTGCGGCCGCCACCAACAATGACTTTGTCAACGCCGCCAACAATGCGGCGAGTAATCCGGCCGTCAACGTCGTCAACAGCGCCCAGCCGCCGCGGCCTTTTGACTGTCCGGGCTACAGCAGCTACGCCAAGCAGCGCAACGAGCCGCTCTCTCCCTTTGCCTACCAGCTGCCCTACCAGCGGCCCAGCCCAGAGTGCCGCACCTTCAACGCCTCGGCCGTCGAGGCCACCATCCGCCGCATGAAGGGCCAGATCTTTGACCTCGACCTCCACCGCCTCTTTGAGAACACGTTCCCAAACACCCTTGACACCTGCATCAAGTGGCGCGGCCATGCTGCCAACAACACAGACGAGGAGCTCGCCTTCATCATCACCGGCGACATCAACGCCATGTGGATCCGCGACTCGGCAAACCAGATCGCTCCTTACAAAGTCGTCCTCAAATCGGCCGCCGACGATGTTGCCTCCGTCTTCCGCGGCGCCATCAACCTCCAGGCCCGCTACCTCGTCATCTCTCCTTATTGCAACTCGTTTCACCCGCCCCCCGAGTCGGGCATGGGCAACGGCGGCAGCGGCGGCTACTACCATGTCACCCCGCCCTACGACACCAAGATTGTCTTCACCTGCAACTTTGAGCTGGACGACTTTGGCGGCTTCCTCCAGCTCTCCCACGACTACTTCACCGCCACCGGCGACGCAGACTTCTTCAACAAGTTCCAGTGGATCTACGCCATCCAGTCCATCCTCGCCACCTCGCGCGAGATGCAGCAGCCCACCTACGGGCCCGACGGCGAGTGGCTCGTGCCCGTGTACACCTTTCAGTCCCAGACCATGAGCGCCTCGGGCACCCTCGCCAACAACGGCATCGGCAGCCCCGTCAACGACACGGGGCTCGTCCGCTCGCCCTTCCGCCCCTCGGACGACAGCGCCACCTTTGAGCACCAGATCCCCGCCAACATGATGCTGTCCCGCTACCTCGCCTCGTGCGCAGAGATCATGGACAAGCTGCCCCGCGCGCCCGCCGGGCTCGCGGCCGAGATGCGCGTCATGTCCGCGCAGATCGACGCGGCCATCAAGCAGTGGGGCATCGTCAAGACCCCGAGCGGCGACGAGATCTACGCCTACGAGGTCGACGGCTTCGGCGGCATCAACCTCATGGACGACGCCAACGTGCCCTCCCTGCTCTCGGCGCCGTACCTCGGCTACGTCGACCGCGCGGACCCGGTCTACCAGGCCACCCGCAAGTTCGTGCTCAGCAGGCGGAACCCCTGGTGGTGCTCGGGCACCGTCATCAACGCCGTCGGGTCCCCGCACGTGCGGCCGGGCGCCGCCTGGCCGATGGGCAGCATCATGCGCATCATGACCAGCGACGACGACGACGAGATCCGGACCACGCTCAAGGAGATCCTGGCCAGCACGGACGGGCTGGGCCTGATCCACGAGAGCGTGGACAGCAACGACGCGAAGCGCTGGACGCGCGAGTGGTTCACCTGGGCCAATGGGCTGTTTGGCCAGATGATTATGGACCTGCATGCGAGGAAACCGCATCTGCTCAGGGAGAGCTACCAACCGCCGCTCGTGCCGCCAGAGGGAAGGGGCGCTGGTGCGCCCAAGCCGGATGTCGAGACTGTGCAGGCTGTCGGCTGATAGCGATGGTTCTGTCCGGGTATGTTATATATAAGTGTAAAGAGTTTAATGCAGCAAAACCCAAGAAAGCACACATTTATTGCATTCGTCACAGTTTAGGTGGGCTGTGCTCATGCATCACAATTCTGAAAACGCGTGCTATTTCCTCGTAATAGCTAGGGGTATCTCTCAAAAGAAGCCATCCCTTCCACACACTGCTCTCTTCGTCTTTGCTCTCTCTCTCTCTCCCTTCCTCCCAGCACCCGTCAATCGTTACTGATCATCCTCATTCTCCTTCGCCTCCCGTGCCTTGAGGATGGCTGCATGCTGCCGCGCGTGAAAGCGTCGGTCCTTCTCGTGCAGCGGGTTATACAGCATGCTACACTCCCTGCACTCGGTAAACCCCTTTTCCGTCATGGATAGGCTCAGCGTTTGCTGAACCATGGCTGTGTCCGACTTATTTCTCTTCTTTGGGTTTGCGTTCGACTGTTTGGTGGATGTTGTTGCTGTTGTTGACATTGGTGATGATATGGACGCAGCAACTGCAGGGTCGCGATTCAGTGCCGACGGGGTCGTGCTGGACAAGACGCTACCTCTTTTCCGTTTCGAGGCGTCCTTCTGGATCCCATTCTGGACCACTACGTCCGCACGGCCATCTGTCTCCGCGTCATCGTCGTCATCGTCTCCCGCATGGCCCTGCGCCCGTGGCTTCGCCTTCGTCGTCAGTCGCCGCGGCTTCCTCCTTATGCGAGATTCGCTTTGTTGGAAGGACAGCGGCGGCGGCGGCGGCGACGAGGGAGGGCTGTTGGTGGACGAGTTCGCGCCAGTCTGCGTCTCAACGCCATCACTGCTCGGCAAGTGGTCCGCGCAGCTCGATGACTTGGAATTGAGGTGTGGGACCACGCGAAAGTAGCTCGTGATCGTGGACTTCTTCGCCGTTGGCGCGGCCGCGGCCGGCGAGGAGGTGGCTGGTGGGGTGGCCGGTAGTGCTGGGCGCTTCTCGAGACTGAGGGTTTGCTGAGTTGGTTGTCTGACTGAGGACGCTGTTGTTGTTGTTGATGGCGTTGGGACTGTCGCAGGCGACTTGGTGGCTAGTCGCTTTGTCGTCATCTTCTCATGTGGAACAAATCGTGAGTCGTCCCGTTCGTCGCTGACGCGACATCTCTTAGCGGGCGGTTGTTCGACTGTGTCTGCCGGCGCGCTGCTCGGTGTCTGCCGGCCGTATGTCCGTAGGGGCCGTCTGCACAAGTTGTTAGTGGAGATTGCCAGAGAAGGGAGTTTGTGCTAAGCTCGACTGACCTCCGCCCTTCCGCTGATTGCAACATTTTAGATTGCTGTTCTGTTGTGAGATCGCCAAGTTGCCGTAGATCAAGGCTGTTGTGTCGCAGTAGTGTGCTGCTGAGAGCGCAGCGCGCTGCGGACCAAGCAATGTATATGCACGCAAAGCTTTGAGGTTCGACTTCGATAAACGATTCGGTAATTATGTCGCGCGGGATGTGTAGTGGTCCTTGTCCTTGATTGCGTACCTGGAATGATCTGTAATGTGGATGTTGTGGTGACCGATTCCTCGCATCACCAGCAGGAAGACGCGTGAGGCCTTATGGGAGACGCGTCGAGCTAGAAGTTTAAGTGCAAAGTGGGGCCCCATGTCGTGTGTGTGTGCCCACCTGGGCAAGTGTGATGCGACTTCATCATCACAGCTCGTGGTGGGGCAGGGCGCCTCAAAACATCCCTCAGAGCGGTACCAGCACAACAACCGGGCACAAATTCATGTCCGTATTGTCATTTGCTACGAGACGTCCGCATCCTTGATGCGCTTCCTAACGAAACCAGCATGATCTACGCCTGTGGAATGCTCCCCAGGCCCATCCAGCAGCTTTTCTTCAGGCACAGCAGGACCATCGTCTGGTCCTCCCACAACCCACGTATTGAGGATTTCCTTGTGCTCCTTCTTCTTCTTCTCCCTCTTCCCGCCCTCCTTGATGCGCCAGTTGAATATGGAATACACGATGACCTCGGCGATGGCAACGACTATGCTGCCGCCCAGCGCCAGGAACAAGCGTGCCGGCGTGGACCACCATCTTGCCGCGAGCCACAGAGCAGCGCCGCAGCCAATGATGCTGACAAGAAAATTGAATATCAACGTGACCTGTCTTTGGACATCGCCAAACTCGAATTCGTCGCCGTCTATGTCGTCGGCTTTCGATGGACGATTGGTCTCTGCGAATGCATGCGCCATGCTCATGGGCGCCCCGGGAAATCGTTCGGAAAACGCCTCGCGGGTGGCGAAAGACTTTTGCGTAAGACGCTCGTACGCCCGTTCTTCTTCGTCGCGGCGGAGGCGAGCCATTAAGGCCTTGTACTCCTCGCTCTACGGAAAGTGTAGAGAATGTGTCAATATGCTGAGTGCGAATGGTGCCCAAAGGGAGAGCTTCAAGGACTCACAGGCTCAGCTTTAGGGGGCGGCGGCGGAACGTAGACCGAAGCACCTAGCAGTAGCTTCTCGAGACTGAAGCGATCCTTGTCTAATGGCTTCAGACGATTTCGTAGGTCGATGATCTGGCCGTGGCTGATCGGCTTGCCGATTGCCGGACTGCTCAAAGATGGTTCCTGGGATGTCTCTGCTGTGGCATCACCAATCATCGCATCTTGGGTATCGGGGACGGCTTGCAACGCCTCCACTATGGAGCGCGTCATCGTGAGAAGGACCATCGTTTCGGATGGTGATGTCGCATAGTCGATGCCGTGTTTGCTGTTGTGGCCTGAAGCCAGTGACGACTTGAGCTCCTCCGGGTGAAGTAGGCTGCACCCACTTGGGGCAACTCCGATCGTGGTGCTGCCTGGTAGCGTACCTAGCGTGCCGTGGTACTGGTACATGTGAGCTGGCACATCATCCAACCACCTCGGCGGCTCAATCGCCGTAAGGGTAAAGCAGCATGCTCGTCCTACCCCCGGGGTCTCGGGAAGTACGAATCAATCACAACAGCGATGGGTATTACTGCCATGGTATTGGCTGACGAGGCAATGCATCGCTGCTGGAGCCGCATAGAAGCATCGTGGGCTGGGAGGTGTAAAGTACCGCTACATCCGCGCTAGCAGCCCGCCCGATCGGCGCGTGGCAGCAGGTATTGGCTCTTCGACACCGACCGCCATCGATATTTTTCGGATCCCATCTGACAGCATTTCTCTCATCGTAAAAACGCCCGCACCACGACCACCCCTCCGCCTGCCGACGTCACCGAAGCCGAGAACCGGAATAACGATTGGTACGAGAGCTATCTAGCATATCAGCTTCGACTGGGATCCGTTCGACTGCCCGATTGCGCCTTGGCTACTCAATTGAGTGCATTTCTGCACCGAGCCGTGCACCACCTCGAATGCTCAAGCCGAGCTCATAACCTCCAGACTCCCACAACGTCCCACGGTTGGGCCCAGAATCCGATATGCTTCGTCGACATGGGGCCTTAGGGCTCGCTAGGGCTCGTGTCGCCCTCCAGCCTGCCGTGCTGCCATCCTGCTCGGCCTGCACAACAGCCACAGCCCTCGACCGGAGGATACCGCAGCCTTCCAGTACAGCAGCATACCACAGCTCGCCTAAGAGGTCCTCAGCATGGGGTGCAGCGGTTGCTGTGGCGGGCAACATGGTCCAGAATGCGGTCTCGCGCGCCACAAAGAATGAGCTGCATGTCGACCCTCTACGAGTAGTGGCCAAGGAGATGAAGTTTCTCACCAGCAACATTCGGCAGCTTCTCGGCTCCGGCCACCCTTCGCTTGACCGTGCTGCAAAGTACTATACACAGGCAGAGGGCAAGCACGTTCGACCCTTGATTGTCCTTCTCATGTCCCGGGCAACATCGCTATGTCCCAAAGCGCCAAACTCGCCAGCGTCCGAGACAAACGCCAGCATCAACACGTCATTATCACCAACCAATGTCCTGGCCGACGTGAACCCCTCCTCCTCACTTACAGCCTTCTCTTCAAGTCCAGAATCTACCGACAGCGACATCTTGCCCGCGCAGAGAAGACTGGCTGAAATCACAGAGCTCATCCACACTGCATCGCTCCTGCACGACGATGTACTGGACCATTCTGTTGCCCGGCGAGGATCGCCATCAGCAAACTTGGAGTTCGGCAACAAGATGGCAGTTCTGGCCGGAGATTTCCTCCTGGGACGGGCCTCTGTCGCGTTAGCACGTCTGCGACATGTCGAGGTTGTTGAGCTTCTAGCTACCGTCATCGCCAACCTGGTAGAAGGCGAGTTCATGCAGCTCAAGAACACAGCTCGGGACGAACGCAATCCCAAGTGGTCCGAGGATATTTTCACGTACTACTTACAAAAGACATATCTCAAGACTGCGAGTCTGATATCAAAGTCCTGCCGGGCGGCGGCTCTTCTGGGAAGGACAGATGCCGAGACAGTCGAGGCGGCTTATCAGTACGGCCGGAATCTTGGCCTCGCTTTCCAGCTTGTTGACGACATGCTGGACTACACCCGATCCGCCAAGGATCTCGGCAAGCCTGCTGGCGCTGATCTGGAGCTTGGCTTGGCCACAGCACCACTCCTCTTTGCCTGGAAGGCAAACCCCGAGCTTGGTGCTCTGGTTGGACGGAAATTTGAGCAGCCAGGAGATGTTGAGCTGGTAAGTCGTTATGTGCTTGAATTGTGTGAAATTGTTAGGTATTGATCCGTTACTTTATTTAACACAGGCGCGGGATCTCGTTCTCCGATCCGATGGCATCGAACAGACACGGGCCTTGGCTGAAGACTACGCACAGCGTGCCATCGCTGCGATTAGCACATTTCCGGATAGCGAGGCCAAGGATGGCTTGGTCGAGATGGCCATGAAGACGCTCAAGCGCAACAAGTAGGGCAGGTGACGATCTATTTCGACCCTCTCATATCAATTTCGGATTGTATATACGAACGCTTCACGAAAATGTACAACCACGCAGATGATTCGCCGACCGAGCGATAGACGGCCAGGCAGCGGCTCCTGAGGTGGTCCCGCTGGGTGATCCGAGGGGCTCGGTTAGACGGGAAACATTTGCGACTGCTGTAACACTACTGTATTTGGAGACGATAGAAAAAGAGCGAGAGCTCGTCCTATGAGGGCCGCTGAGGGAGTCCTGTGTCAACAATGCTACCAGGAATACGATTCAATGCCATCTGCACAGTCGCGTCTGGTGAAGTTCCCCAATGTCTCCGTGTGATTCGTCACTTTCCCCGGCGTGCTACAACCAGGAAACTGGAGTTATAGAGGAGGGTCCTGGCAGAACAGGGAAAGCAGAGGGTTCTGCATAGAGACATGACCACGTCAGTATGGGAGCATGCTTCAGATGAGCATCTATTGTTTACTGATAGAAGAATTGGAAGAATTCTTCACGCCAATTAACCCAGGGGGCAGGATCATGCACTTACCAAAGCTGTAACCTGACAGCAAAGCTTGACACCGGGACACGAAGACACGGGCAACACCCCACCTGATCAAACAGCGCGCGAGCACCAACGTTAGCCTTTGCAAGACGCCGTTTTGTCCCAAATAGACTAGACTGGAATAATCATCCCCAAGTATACTCTCGAAACAGACTTACAATAAATACCGTTGACATCGTTTGGGTTCAGCTCGTACCCGTATGTCTCGGCCAGGTACACGAGCAGCGGCAGATCGCCGGCCAGGGTGGCCTGGCAGCACGTCAGCTCGCCGCCGTTCACAGCCGCGCACTGCGGACTCGGGTTCGGGGTCCAGAGTATGTCGGGCGGGGGCTTGTTGAGTGGCAGCTTGCCGACGAGCTTGACCACGGTGCCGAGCAGGTCGCCAACGCGGCCGGGCTCGGGTTGCGGCTTGGGAGTGGGAGATGTGGATGTGAGGGGAGAGGCTGAGAGAAGGAGAAGCAGGAGATTGGAGGGGGCGGGCCTGGGAAGCATTATGGCGAGCCTGGCTGGCGAGCGATGAAATCTGCTCGGGAGTCTTCGAGTAGTCACTGGCAAGGATCTGGTGAGGGGAGTTATGATTTCGTTGTCGACGGCCATCAACTAGCGCTCCCCGGCACTCAAGCCTTGTCAGAGATGTGGCACAACATCGTGATAATTATAATGGCCGCTCACGTGCACTGATGGACCTTGATGGGCCTGGACTATCGCGCGGTGTCAGAAGCCGGGTCTCTCCACCACGGCACTCATCTGCACGTGTCGGACGAGGAGATTCATAGTCTCTTCTTGGCGGACATACTCCCAAGCTAGCTGTTGTTGGCAAATGGGGTCGACGACAAGGAGGGCGGGTTGTCTCAGCCTCGAAGTTTGGCTACCGTGAGCATTAACCGCAACCGCTCTGGCTGGTCACCCCGTGCCGGGGTAGACTAGTGAATGGCAAAAGTCAATGCCCCTGCTGGAAATTTTGCTTTTGCTTCTCATTGGCAACAATCTCGCTAAAGCACTACAACCTGGACCGAAAGTGAATGGTCAGCATGCTATTTCTTGGGAGCACAACGGCAAGACCATCTGGCAAGCGTCATCGTATGGAATGGATGGTTGGCTTGGGTCTCAGTTTTGTGACAGGTTGGCGATTCCAGGGCTGGCCGAGCGCTTCCCCAGCTGAATCTTGGCATAGTTAGGTCGCAGCAATCTTCAGGGGACATGAACACCCTGCAGATCACCCGCTGTGTGTAACGTTCTTCCTGTTCCCGGCGCCAGGGTAGCCATTGCCGGCCCAGGCGTCGAGAGGACGGGGGCCTCTGTGACTTTGCCGGCCGCACAAATGATGTGTGCCTGCCGAACTTCTGGCCCGCATAAAAAAGCAAAAAAGAAGTGAGACAGGCCGAGCATTGTCCCTGCCGCGAACCAAAAGACAGCCTCAGCTCCGCGAGGACCCCAAAGTTCGCTTGCCACTTTCGTGTTTAAGCGAAGGCGTTGCGGCTCGGGTCCTAGCAATGTGCGCCTCAGCTTGGAGTGCTATTGACAATGTGAAGCGGAATGGCATGTTCTCGTGCATGTTTTCCCCAATACCCCCCCCCCGGTTCTGGGTCGAGGCGGCTGTACCTGGCACATAGCCTAGCTCGCTTGCTCCGAATGAGAGATGCAGACCAGCCGAATCTGTCACAATTAGAAGCAAGAGTCAAGCGAGGCATTCAATCAGTGCTTCGCCATCCCCAGTAATGCTGAATGAAATGCATCGAGGATGGCAGAACTCAAAGTCGAACCAGACCATGCTTCACACTTCAACAACGAGACTCTCTTCTCAGCCTTCAAGCCTGTTGCCGGCAGTCAAGACTTTTTGCCGCGGGAGGCAAACGATGCGTCGCTTAAGGGAGCTTGAAAGAATGACCCAGGCTTTCTCCTCGACAATGGATCACAATTGGGCGGTGTCGTGCTACGGTGGTGGCTTCTATACCCTTGCCCAGTGTCTCACTCTCCACTGACGAAGAGTTAGGGTGAGGAGGCCAGCTCGGCGATGTTACCATCGGTTTTTGCGCGTGCAGAACTGTCGCCATTCCTGATCTAGATTCCTGATCCGGCAGACCAGCTTGATCCACGATCCATGCACCGTAGAGACACACATGGCAGCCAGTCGTCGTAGCCACGGTTCACATAAACTCATGGCTGTACTGGCTCGTCTTATGCCGAGGTGCGAGGCCGCTTTGTGGCGCAAACCCCTGTTCAGATGGTTGTAGTTGTTGGATAGTCCCAGACGTTAATGTCGCGACTAAAGTGGGTTGGTCGGAAGTACACGCTTCCGCCTTGGGAGATCCAGAACTCAATGATGACACGATCCTGACATAACTTTACTCCTTTCTTCTTCGACCAGAGACAACACGACAACCCTGTGCCTTTAACTGTGTGCTGAAGCGCTTTTTCAACCTGCACGCGAGAGGACGATATCTGCAGAGGACGCTGGAAATCACAACACGCTAGGCGCCCTTGTGATATATTTATCCACACTGGTCTTCTTAGCAGCCAAAGTATTTCTGTACGAGGATGGTTTGGGCAATGCGGGATCTTCTGCCCTCTTGCTTCCTATTGCTAGACTGCTGTTCTTACAACAGTCGAGTATATGATCTACTCCCATTTCAGCGCAAGCGCAGTTTAACAACCAACAATACGTCTGAACACGGACTTTGACACACCATACGACAGATCGCATCCTTCCTTGCAAAGCTCTTCCACTTTCCGATCCCCCGAAGGGCGCAAACCTCAAGTATTTACTTCGGCCCGGCTGGGTTTCCATTTACACAGCTTCTGTTACATCTCGATTCCAAAGCGTAGGGGCCAGTTCAGGCAAAAGTCTGACCAACGCGTAGTATTGAGTTAGCAGGCAAAGTAGCCAAACTCGTTCGGGCAATACAGGCACTCAGGAGTTATACCGATACAGTGGCATAAGTTCCACTGTTGCCACTCGTACAACTCACCACCTCTATCCAGATTGAGCCCGTCGCTCGAGAGAGTACTGGTCTCAGTGCTCTGCACGATTCAAGTCACCAAAACAAGCTCTTTCGCGGGAGAATTTCTCGCAGTGCCTCCCAGGACCACGCGATGGCTCTCATCATGGCTTGCACAACGGGCCAACTTACTAGCCTCGCCTGGATCATGTCTCTGGGAGTAGGCCTCGCATCATTATGCAGCGTCGTGGCTCTGCTGTATCGACTGTTTACGAGTTACAACTTGCCCAGCACTCTGCCCTGGGCCGGTGCACGCGGACAACATGGACGAATCGCACGTGCCAGGGCCAACATCGCAAGTTTCTTTCATCTGAGACAATTACTTGACGAAGGTTACCACGAGGTCAGTAGATTCTGTCTCCGTGGCAGCGTCGGATAATTGCTGATTTCTGGGACACTGCTAGTACTCTAAACGCGACCGTGCCTATGTCTTGCCTTACTTCCTCAATGGGCCGGAAGTAGTCCTTCCGCCATCGCAGATCGCTTGGCTCGTCAGCCAGCCTGACCACATCCTATGTCAGGACAAAGTGAACAGACAGTTCCTCCAGGCCGAATACGTCTTTGCTCACGCCAACTTGGTCAAAGACCCAGTACATCCCGAAGTCATACAGCAGCAGCTCACGAGAAAGCTTGCCACCTTCATCCCAGCCATTGTGCAGGAGATGGAACACAGCCTGGCAGACAAGTGGGGTGTCAACGAAGGGGAGTGGGTTGAAGTCGGCATGTATGACACGCTGCTGGACATTGTCACGCGGCTGTCCCTGCGGGTCTTCATGGGGCCAGAGCTGTGTCGTGATCCTGCGCTGATCAAGGCCTGTCAGTCGTTTGATCGGAAGGTTGCGCTTCCTGCTGCGGCCATCAGCATGTTTCCCGAGTTGCTGAAACCGTACGTCTGATGTACTTCAGTCACGCTTCGTGTGAGGTTGTCGCTGACAATGATGAACCAGAATCGTGGCTCCGTTCTTCACGGCGTATGACTACGTCCAGTATCTACGATGCAGGAGAATCATCCTTCCCATTATCCGCTCGCGACTTGAGAAGCTTCGGAACGAGGAGCTTCCAGTCACCGACACCAAACCGCCCGTCAGTATCATCCTCCGCCGGCTCTATAACGTGTATTGTGATGCGAATTGGCACTCATGGTTGTTGGTACTAGAATGATTATATCCAATGGGCCATTGATCACGCCTTTGCGAAGCCCGTGCTCGACCCTCTGGAACTCGACGAGCGCGTCATCACCTCGCGCTTTGCAGTGCTTTGCTTCGCGGCGATCCAGTCTTCCGTCATCACTCTGACCAACGCCATCTTTGACATTGTCTCGTCTCCAGAGCGCGATGATATTTTGTCCAGACTGCGCGAGGATGTGCTGCAGGCCACTACCACTACCAGTTCTAGCACCAGCACCAGCATCTCCTCAGTAGTGGGTGACAATGCGATGGTGTGGACCAAAGCGAGCATCGCAAAGATGAGGCTCGTGGACTCGAGCATCCGGGAGAGCATGCGGCTCAACGGCTTCATCCAGCGCGGGGTTGTCAAGATGGTCGTTGCCCCCGAGGGCGTCACTCTGCCCGACGGATCGCACCTGCCCTGCGGCACAAAGGTCGGCGTGTCGGGCTACAGCATCCACCGCGACGAGGACAACTACGAGGACCCCAACACCTTCAAGCCCTTCCGCTTCACCTCCCTGCCTCCCGCGGGAACGACAGCCTCACCGCCGCAGAACCTCGTCAACACGAGCCCGACGTTCATGGGCTTCAGCCACGGCGCGCACGCCTGCCCCGGGCGCTTCTTCGCCGCGAACCAGCTCAAGATTGCACTCGGGCACATTGCCCTGCGGTACGACATTACCCCTGCTGCTACTGCTGCTGCTGCTGTCTGTGAGCACGGCACCGTTGGCGATGGTGCTGTGACTTGCACAAAGAGGCCAGAGAACAAATGGTTCTTTGGCCACATGGCGCCGCCTCTGACGGAAAAGGTCCGGGTCCGGCGGCGGCGGAATGCTGCTTCAGATTTCCAAGCGGTTTGAGCAGGAGGATTTTCCGTGGACGGCCGTTTGGGAACTCCTGGGTTGCCACACATTCAAATAATTTGTTCCGAGCAGGAGTCCTACTGTCTCCACTGCTTCTTGAGTTCGTTCGGCCTCATGTGGGTATTGTCTTGATCCATCTTTCCATATGTTTCTTTGGGAAAGGGACGACGTGTCGGGAAGGGCAGGGCACAAAGTCCGGTGCTTTCGCATCCGTTCGGGACGACCTTCTCGCTACTAGTTGTACCACCATACTTGAGGTCAGGACATGATGAGTTGCCTTTATATCTTTCCCCCGTCGAAGCGCGAGACATAGAGGCGTTTTGTCAGGCCAGCTGCTGGAGGGTACAAGTGAACCAGACTTGCTGAAATCTCCTTGCCCGGGCTGCTTATGGCTCTTCTTCTACCGAGCCCCTGGCCTGACCTGTGCTTCCTACCCAGCTCAAAGGCCGCGAGCTGATATTTTCCAAGCTCGTTTCGAAGCTCGCACGACCCGGCTCGCATGGATCATCCCGCGGCAACAAAGCGAGCATGGTACCTGCCGCTTTCCACAGGACAAAAGACATCTCCCTCTCCCACTAACGAGGCAATAAAAAAAAAATAATAAAAATCAGGATGATAATAATGCCATCCTGTCGGCGAAACCAGGTCACAGTCAAAAAACACACATACACGCAAACCTACACGAGTGGCTGTCGGGCCCGAGGGGCTATGTATAAGCAAAAAAGTGTCAGACTTGTGATTCCACCGCCACAATCACACCATGGGAGAAAGAAAAAGGGTGTGTATGTGTGTGGTTGCATGAAACAGGCGTTCCGGGCTTGCCGGCCGGGTACATCCCTGCGGAAACGCGGGACCCCATGCGCACATACACGGGAGGGAGGGTTAATGCGCATGGCTCGGCTCGTCATCGCCCGTCAGCTTGTCACCCGTCACCCGTCACTGCCCAATGTAACTTTGTCACATTCTATATTGAATATCCATCATGCGGATGATGCATATCATTGAGGAGGGGTTAGGAGGAGGGGGTTGTGGAAGAAGCAATTTAGTGTGCGTCGCAGGCTGGTTTCAACTGGCAGTTGGCATTTTGTCGCCGAGAGACCCGAGTCAATGTCAATGCGCTGGCTGGCGATGGAGGGGATTGGGAATCAGCCTGGAGGAAGCAATGGCATCATGTTTGTGGTTGCACAGTAACGTCTGACGCCCTATTATTTGACCAATGTTGATTTACATCTACGAGACTTGAGAAGCAGGATTATTTGCGCGAAGCGATGCGTCGTGACATTCGTTAGTGATATATACAAGTGAAGCGTATCTACAGAAGCTGGAGCCTCGGTCCAAATCCACCATATCGGACAGGCCTGCTCGTGTGCTCCCGCAAGTTATGGGCAACACACCCAGTCTGATTGTGGATCGTTTCCGTTTTTTCGTGGTCTCCGCGCAGACGGAACTGCTCGTTATCGTGATATTCGGGCGTGTCGACGGATGACTGTTGTTGCAATCGAAAAGAAAAAAGGTAGAAAATGGCCAAGGTGAGGCCGCGGTCGACCGCAAGCGGAGGGCGGTATGATGCAGTAGGGTATTTTGGTTGGTCAAAGCATGCTGCGTAGCTCCAGATGGGGAAGAGCTTGCAAGAGCTTAGGACCTGCGGAACGCTAGACTAAACGCGTTGAGGTGCATTTGTTCCATCGTGCTTTTGCGAAAACTGAATGGCTGGGCCCCTAAACTTTGAGGCGAACGGCCAATTCTATAAATGCTTTTCTTTTTCTTTTTCTTCTTCTTTCTCTACCGGACTTCCCGTACATCAATGGTGTTTGACCGGAAGTCACCACGTGATGTCACTTTTGTCGAGGTGCCGAAGCCAGGCATGGAGGAGAAGCGGTTGAGACGCTTGCGTTGCGCGGGTGTCATCTCGGCCTGGTGGACGGGCGAGCGTTGCGCTTCGAGGCTGTTGCGCCGCCTCTCGGACTCGTACTCTTCGATTGGAGGTGTCGAAGAGGAGCTGTTGCTGGAGCCGGTCGAGTTTGGTGTCTGGTAGACGTACTCGCCGTCTACGTAGACAGCGTTACTCACAAAGGTTGAGCGGCGGTGGCGGTTGCGCGTGTAGCGCTGCTCGAGGCGGAACAGCTCGAGCTTGGCCTGCAGCTTCTGCATGAGACTAGGCATGTTGGCGGCAGGTGGTTTATATTCTTTCGAATCTTGTGTTGGGAGTTGGTCGTCGACGGGTTTTCTAGGACGTCCAATCTGTCGCAAAAGACCCTTGGCTCGTGAGGGCTGTCGAGGTAGGGGTAGCGGCAATATGTGCGCCCAATGTCTCAGACAATGCGCGAAGATATGCAAGGCGCAACGAGCAGGCGGCTCGTATGTGCCAATGACGTCGAGTGCTTTCCTTCGGATGAACCGCTGGAGTTTCAGGGCCGGTCCAAGAGGATGTGAGCTTGCTGTCGAAAGACAATGGAATGGGACGGAACAAGGTTCGTGACTAGTAACGGCGTGCGAGGACTGCCGGGAGGTGGCTGCGGAGGACACGGAAAGGAACGAAACGGCCAGGGAGAACCAGCTGGTCAGACAAAGCCGGGTGCGGAGATTTTCAAGAAGTCGCTCGCGATGCTGCAGTTGCCAAAGGAGTGGAAGAGAGGAGGGAGTGAGGAGGCGTTGGTGTAGCTAGTAGTAATAAGAGAGCACAAGCTGGGCAGCCAAGCACGAGGAATAGGGAGCGGCCCCCAGGGGCAGAGCAGCACTGAATGCGAGGCACGCAGCGTGGCGGGCAAACGACAAGGGGGCCAAGTGGCCCTCGCCCAAAGGGGGAAAGAGTGGGTGGGGCAGCGTGGAGAGGCGCGATAGGTAACATCTGCTCGGTACAACATGTACGCCTGGGCAGTATCTCGAGCATTTGTCCCTCTTGGCCCTCAGGGGTTGACAACCGTCGCGAACGGCCGATTGCAACGCCAACCCCTGGCAGCCACGCTCCAGCAGCTCTAGCCTGCTCGGGCCCTGGTCGTCTCCGCCTGCGCCGCCGGGGGCTCGCGATAGCGCCACGAGCTGGACGCTGGCGTGCCGGCCAGCACTCCTAGTGCTGCCGGTGGCTGGCCACTGCGGCTTTGACTCGAGACGGGTCTGCACGTGGGTGTGGGCCGCCCAACGCAGGTCCGGCGGCCAGCCATTCAAGACTTGGCAACATACGTTAATTATCCAGACTGGAAGCACTGGACATGCCTGCTGATCAGTCATCTGCCCGACTGTGGCCGTCGTGGGAGCTGGCCCTGGGTCTCCCTTCGAGAAGGAAAGAAGTGGTCGAGCTGTCAGCACCTGGAGGTTGCCCCCTCATCACTTGGCCATCGGCCGATGTCGTGATGGGGGTCCTCCGGTAAAGTGCTCGTCGAGGGGTCCCTTGCTCCTTCCCCTGCTGTGGCGCTGGTGGTCGGGCGTGCCTTCCCCGGCCCAGCACCGGGATGCACACCTCCAAGGCCTGGTGCAGCGCATGGCAGTGGGGCGCTGCAGCCAAGGGCCTGAAAATTCAATCCATGGGCTGGCTGGTGCGCGCAAGACTGCACACGTACCTTGGGCTACGACGGTCCAGATACAGAGTACATACACTGCGCAAGTGTTCCAGATCACTACCCGCGAGCCATCTGTAGAGATCAGCACCCGCCGGGTGGAAGCATGCTTCCACGACCCTCCAGCTCCACTTCGCGAGTCAACCCGATCTTCCACGCCCGCCAGGCTGATCATTTTGCCTGAGCCCCGACCAGCCCGGCCTTCGAGTTGCGCCAAAGTGGCCCGTATTCCAGCAGAGGCCACGATCCGAGCGCGCCCAGGGGGTCTAGCTTCCAGACCCGGGCTTCGACACAGCCAGCGACCAAGAATCAGCTCAGTGTTCCTGAGTGGTCTTCATTTACTCCATGCGCTAGTTTGCATGGCCTCAGGCACGCGCCCCATTTCGCCTGGCTTAGTGGCCGCCTAGCCTGGTGGCCATTGCGGATCATCAGACTCGAACCGTGAATCAAATCTGTGCACCGGCTGTCCCTCCGCTGGTGGCGGTCGATCTTCCGAGCTATGAGAGGAACTTTGCACGTCTTGCGGTCGCAGCAATCTGCCGTCATGTCCAATCACCATGACAGCAGCCCACAGAGGCGCAACTGCTGTGGACAATGTTGCCATGTCAAATCGTGTCAAGGTTTCAAATTAAGGGTTTTCCAGAAACTTGGAGAGTTCGACATGCCACTTGCACTCGGCCCTGCAGCTCAGAGCTGCTCCACCGAAGTGGCTGGTGGCAACCCTTGCTCGCGCGTCAACTTCGGCTGGGGGTGCCAAGGTTCCGACTTCCTCGTCCCTTGGCGGCCCTGTTCCACGGGCTGCAGCCACGCTCAATAGGGCAGCTGCGTTGCATTCCCACCTGACAATGAGGGGTCACGGCTTGCAGCGCGGCCTTGCCCGGCGATACCGGCTAATGTCAAGCTTAACCAACACTCGCGTCCGTACGGCCTCAGCCCGCAACAGCTAATGGGATGAGGTCTTGCTGGGCAGTCTTACCGTGGTGGCGCGGCAGTCTCGAGCACCCATTTAGGATACCAAGGGGATAGCAATGCCAGAAAGTTGTGACCAAATCCTACATTAACACTCGCGAGGCTCGCCTGTGAAGGCGTCGATGATGTTGACAGAGCTGGTAGAATGGGACCCCCAGCCACCGCAAGAGCAGTGCGATAGAACGCACAATGTCTCTAGGCATTCTGCCAATGGGTCAGATAACCAAATAGCGCTGCTCACCGAATGCGACATTAGTCTCTAGGCATGGGAATATGAGGGATATGTGGTTGAGTGAGGTTGTGCCGCATGTCTGTCATTATTTCCAGCATCCGATCCGGACTGTGAAGCCAACAGCGTCATTTTGAGGATTCCAAGAGTGGACAAGGCATCGTTCGATGCGATTTGGACGGCTTGTCGCACAGAAATGCAGCACTGACACTTCCATCATCGAAACAATAACTCTAACAGACCCGACGCTTGTGCTTAATAGTCCTCCGCCCATGGGGAAACAGGGGGCTTGGAGATCGCCGGCCGGTGTGCTGTTGATGATCTGCCGAGGTCCAGCTAGTACACGTCCGGCTCCAAATGGCAAGCAATCACTGCACTCATATAACATTCGAATCGTTCAATCAGCCATATTCACAACCCAACGCCTGCCAACAAACGGTTACAACAACTAGAGCGGAGGGGTTCTGTTAGGCAGAGTCAAGCACTCCAAGCTCTATCAACCGGTGCTGGCCAAGCCGAAACCAGGCCGCCGCTTGTGTCTCGAACAGTAATGCCGCTCCATCAAGCTCATCGTTTTACCTGAGGGATATTATACAAGCACGCACTGCTGCTAATATCGCGTGCACAACTCACGACGGGCAATGGGAAGCAAGCTCCCCGCAGCGCGCATCTGAGAAAGACCATGGGCCACATTGTCTTGACAAAGGCGCGGTTCCAGACATTCAGCGGCGTTGAGAATGTGCAGCCACATGGGATTCCCCTTCCGAACTCAACCTTTATAAAGTGCTATTATGCACGGGCCTGTGATGCCGTCCGGGCCTGGTGCCGGCCGGATACGAAGCTTATTCCAACGGCCAGCTGCCTCTGTTCTCGGGGAATCCCCTGGCTCGATGGATGGATGGGTTGTTCAAAATCCCGACCCCGGCACAGAAGGAAGGCCCTTCCAGCTTGGCGAGCGCCCACTTACTTGGTCTTGGTGGATAGAGGTTGGGCAACCGCCTCGACGATGCTGAGCCCCGTCTTCTGCAGCCTCTCGCCAAGCGTCAGGGACGACGTGTACGTGATCTTCTTCTTCTCGGCGTCACCTGCCGCCACCTCGCGGTTCCACTCCAGGATCTCGTACACGAGGCCGTCCAGAGTAGTCACCACGCCCGTGTAGCCCAGCCCGCCCTCGGAGACGGGCTTCCTCGTGTCCTCGTCGGCGGCGACCAGGTGCGTCGTGATGGAGAAGATCCCCGGCTTGAGGTGCTTGGCCTCGCCCGTGATCGGCGGCATGAGCTTCTTGAGCAGCGGGAAGCGGTGCGGCAGGTCCGACCACAGCTCGATGCCGTGCGCCATGAGCAGCGGCACGACGGGCGGGAGCTCCATGGTGCGCCAGGGCCGCGGCAGGAGGGTGCGGATGGCGGGGTACATGTCGCGGTTCATGATGGGCGGGTTCGGGTCCGTCACGACGTAGGGCCGGCCCGCGTACCGCCTGCTCTCCGGGGCCGTCTTTGCGAGAACGGCCTCCTGCGCGAGGTGTGCGACGGCCACGTTGGCCCCGTGGACGAAGCTCTGGACCATGTGCGGGACCCAGCTGGATGGGGAGAGAGACGAGCGCGCGCGTGTGTCAGTGTCTAATTGCATTCACTGCATGGCTACATTTGAAACAAAACAACAAAACAAAGGGAGGGGATTTTCGACGGGCAGCCGAGCAATGACTTACGTTTCGACGACGTCCTTGAAGAAGTACGCTCCAAGCATGTTATCCGTCGGGTTCCCGTACACGCCGTTGGCGGGGCGGATGCTGCCCGTACGGAACGAGTCCTCGTTCTCGTCGCAGACCATCCGCTCCGCAACGGCCTTTGAGGCCGGGTAGTTTGCAAAGTAGCCCGTCCGGTGCCGCAGGGGCTTCTCCGAGTCGGCGAGATCCAGCAGCTGGAAGAAGTTGCGCGGCTCGCCGGCCCAGGGGGCGACCCAGGGCTGCACGGGCCGGATGGAGATAGACGCCGACGAGGTGGCGCTGAAGATGCCCGCGCCGTGCTTGCGCGCGGCGGCCAGCAGGTTCCTTGTCCCCCGGACGTTGACGGCCTCGGGGAACCAGTACTCGCGTTCGCTGCGCTCCGACGCGAGGATCACGGCCGCCGTGTGGAAGACCGTCATGGGCAGGTGCGCGACGGCCTCGGCCCAGGGCCGCGAGAAGGCCGCCTCGACCGACACCGGGGACGTAATGTCCGTCTCGACGAACTCGACCTCGCGCGCGGGCGACCCCGGGGAGAGCATGTCGCTCCGCTCGGTGCGCCGGATGTCCAGGATCCGGATCGCCGAGGGCGGGGTGCCGCGCGCGAGAAGCTGCAGGACAATATAGCCGCCGACCAGGCCTTTTTTTCCCCCGCGAGGACGAGAGACGACGTAACGAGTCAGCAAATCTTGATTTTGAGGAATCTCGCAGTATTATTTCAACTTGTTCACGCCAGGGGTCGGGGATGGGGTTTTTTTTCTTCTTCCAGGCTTGCCAGAGTCGCGGATGAGGGCCAGGAATCGACGATGGTCATTGCAGTCATAACCCGTGGAACCCATCGACATACATTGCCTTTCGAACAGGCCAAATGATGAAGATGGGGTAAATTAAGACAGAACTACGACGAAACAATAAAACTCACCAGAACCACCAGTTACAACATACCGCCGGTCCAGCCGCGGCGGGAGCTTCTTGGCGTCATACAGGCCGGGCGGGTCCCTCTCGAGCCGGGCGTACGTCTCGTGCAGGAGCTCGGGCGTCCACCGCGGGCCGGCCAACTTCAGTGCCGCTGGGGGCGTCCGGGACAGGAGGGTGTTGATGCGCCAGAGGTACAGCGCAACAAGCACTGTCAGCGATGCCAGGGTGCCGAGGATGAGCTGGGCGGGCGAGGCATCCTTGAGCGCTGCCGGGAACTCCGGGGCAGCCATGGGCGGCGCCGAGTAACGGTACTGTCGGTGGTGTTGGTGTTGGTGTTTGGTGGTGTGCTGACTGTTTTCACTTTCCCACTCAAGGGGGGCTGTCGTTGGGGTGAACCGTACGAGGCCGGGTTTTGCTAGGTTTCGTTGTTGTGTCTCGATCGCAGTTCTCCAGTGCGCTTTGTGTCCGCTCGGGGGAGGGGGGTGTTCCGTTAACTTCAAGTGCCCACCCACCACTTACCGCGCAAGGGGATTTACTACTATCTTCGCGGCACGGCAGACAGCAGGCAGTGCTGGCTTGAGAAAAAAGAAAGAAGCTCAGAGAAAAACGGATGATGTCGCCGCGACGATACCGCCGAGTCACGCGATTGGTCGTCGTCCCCACCACAGAATGTCTTTGTATTGGAAAAAGGAAATAAAGAAGAATGCCCGGTCATCCGAGGTGGTGCGAAGTAAAGTCCCCGAAATGTAACCTGCTGTTGGGCCACCCTCCTCACACGAAATGCAAGAAGGCTACACCCCGTATGGCCAATCAGAGCCCCGTTGGCAAGGATGTGACCGCCAATCAGTGAGTGCTCTTTGTATCGGCCGGCTTGTTCGGCACAGGACTGTGGAAGCGCTCTAGCGCACGGGACGGGGAGATCAGCAACACTTCGAAAGTACGCATCATGCACATGGGTGGGGAAGTCGGGGAACGTGACCTTATATCGCCTAAGGACCACTGTTTCGCGACGGTAATGATGTTGACGACAAGTCACATATAATTTCTGCTTGTGTCCTTGAAATGAGATTCATAACGGACTTCATTTTTTGATGTGCGAGGCAACGCCTTGACACCGCTAAGAATGTATCCATCTGACGTTGGCATCTTCGTTTCCTTGTATGTTGCTATCCCTGTCTTGTGATGCTAATGGAGCGCATTACTTCATACACGTCGAATATGGACTGAAACGCAAGGCACCCAGCTGGAGGCACAAATCACACCCCGCCACAACTGTAATCCCTGTACTGCTGAGGAATCTTCGGCAGCTTGTTCACGCCGTCCTGGATGATCATGGACATGCCCCCGCGGAAATGCGACTGGATATGGCAGTGCATCAGCCAGACGCCCGGGTTCACGCTCTGCCGGCGGAGCGCCAGCCAGACCGATCCCGGCGGTGACCCCGGCGGCGAAGGTGTCAGCATCGGAGTCGGGTACGTGTCTCTGAACGGCGGGTTGTCGAGGTTGAAAGACCCAGGAATGTCCTTGATGGCCTCGTCCACCGTGGCCCACGTGAACTCTCCAGAACCACTGCCAATCACGTAGAAGTGCTGGCCGTGCATGTGCACCGGGTGAGGCGGCTGTTTGCCAGAGACTAACATGATGTAGTCGACCCACGCGTTGGCAGGATTGGTGATGGTGTGGTTGTCCTGTCGGCAAGGCTGAGGAGCGAATAGTAACGGGGTCACGTTATCCACCTCGTCGGGCAAACGCGAGGTCTCGTTGAACGCCCACATGAAGGGGTAATCATCAATCTTCATGGTAAGCTTGTATGTGGCATCGGCTCTCCGAGGAATCTGGCTTGTCTGATACGGCCGGGCTGTGCTCGGGTCGAAGAAAGTAACACTGCTGGACGTGCCAACTCCACGTGGGTTGATGAACGGCTTAGACGCGGCGGTTGACTGCAGCTTGCCCAAGACATTGTAGTTGATAATGGACGTCCCGTACAAGATCTGGGCGTCGCTTGTTGACGAGACGCGGACGGTATACTTCTTGGGCTTGTCGAACTTGGCAAGGACTGTGTATCTCTGACCATTGGTGATTGGGATGGAATCTGCCTGCACAGGTTCAATGAAGTCGCCGTCAGCGGCAATCACCCACATGGGTATTTCGTCGATGGAGAATTGCACGCCGTAGACCTCGATGGCCCCGACAATGTCGAACATGACCCATTTAGACTGTTGCAGAATTGTCTGCACGACGTCAATCACGTCGGTGTGCCCGGTCGTGTTTGTGCATCCATTATATATGTCGTGAGGGATGGCGGCAATGTCGACAGGATAACCAGGCTGTCCCAGGGCTACCGCGTAGACGTCTGGTGGGACGCATCTGCACAACGAGTTAGCTGGGGAGCTGGTCCATGCAGACTGGCTGTCGAGACTTACGACTTGTCTGTCAGCATGGCTCCTTGGACTGCCTGGAGAATGGCTGCTTGGCCTGAGGTCATCAGTCCTGGTTGTTCTGCCGCTGGTACGCAGTAGACGTTGCCCTTTCCGTTGATTAGGACTGAATCAATACACAAGTTCTCCATCTTGGACTTTGTCGATATTGACCAGTCGTCATACGAGGTAATGTGAGCCCAGTCTGATAACACGATCGGGATCCTAGCAGCCTCCGCCTGCTGGATCGTCTCGACTGAGACACCAGGAATTAGGCCGTACGGTGTCGGCGTGTCCGATGCTGGATGGATTACGATGGGACCGTACAGGCCATCATTGATCTGAGACGTCGAGTGTGAATGGTAGAAGAAAGAGCCATGCTGGTTCGCAGTCCAGCTGTAGGTGAAGCCACATCCGGGAAGGATCTGGTACTGGGATGCACCGGGAACACCGTCAGACCATGGTGTGCCATTCATATCGATTCCTGTAAACGCATTGCCATTAGTGCTTTGCAACCGCCTCTCGCAATCGCCTCGCCAGACTTACCATGGTGGTGTAGTGTTGTATTGAAAGGCGAGTTGTTCTGGACGTTGACAACTACATTGTCTCCTTGGTTCACTTCCAGCAAAGGCCCAGGGAATTGTCCGTTGATCAGGAACATATCTCTCTGGAACCCATCAGGGGCACCTTGCTGCCATGTGATGATGAAGGTAAAAGGCCTGGTAATCGCCTGCGCGCTGCCAACAAGCAGTACGGCGGTGGTGTACAGCGCCATGCGTCGCATTGACGCTCTGTGAACAGGGCGCGTCATGGCTTCAATAAGCAGGCTGGGGCTGTAAAGGGATGCAGATTTCCGTTCCTGCTTGTAAATGGTCGACAGTAAATGGCTCGACCAGCTATCATCAAATGCTTGGCACGATCAACGATCACCAAAGACTTGGCTCAGCTGATATATATCCGTGTAACTGTGGTGCGGCGCCAAGCTGGAGGCTTTTTGCCTATACAGCGCTAGGTGCCATGCCGCCCTCTTTCGGACTGTTGACTCGGGGATTCCCGTCCTACGGCGCAGCTAGCCAGCAAGCTCGGCTTGATCGAGCCAGTGATCACGAGCTGCTGCAATAAGAGATGCGATATAGACAAGACAATAGACTTGAGGCGTTGTACTAATCGGGAACGAGGGCATCATTCCGATTGGCCCCAGGCTCAGAATTTGTGGCAAGTTCGTGGGATGCGGAGGTCCAAGCAGGACAGGACAACGACGTGTAACGTTTGCGTATCTACTTTTCCGCGCCGGGTTGCCATACAGCTCATCGGCGCAACAATAGGCTTCGTGAGTGGAAGCACGCTAAAGACGGTGGTCGGTTGCCGAAGACAGCGCTACCCGATCCTCGCCAACCCTAAAAAGCTTGTGACCTGCAGTCATGGCCGACGTTGGTGTGGTAACCCCGAAGTCTGGATCGCCCAGTCACCTCAACCTGTTGTGATTGGTGTGCCTACGCTGCATTGCGAGCAACAAGCTTTTTGGACCCAATTAAGCTATGCATCCCTCGGCCCGCGCATCACAACCGATCCTGGACGCGTGGTCCTCGGGACGGTGAAAGCGCCCCTGCAAATAGGTGGCATCGCATCGACAAGCACCGTCAGCACTTGCGCGTCTCAGATTTCGCGGAATTGGTTGTGAGAAAGCGGCTGGACGTATGGCAGCCTCGCAGATCGTATTGTATCATGCAGCTAAGCCACACCTGGCAGCTTCCTGGGCAGGCACTGGTCCTCGACTAGGCACCATGGCAATGCGAGAACATCGATATTGCCGAAAGCCGCCTTCTGAAAGTCTTCGGCAATTCGCGTTTGCCGTGGAGTTGAAGCCGAGTTGCTGAAATTGCTGCGTGATGACTTTTGGTACGGCAATGGCGGCGTATAATGACAGAGCATGTCGCGTACGTGACGTGACTGGATCGCATCACGGGTTTCGCACCATTTCAAAGCAGTCCTCGCTGCCCATTCAGTGCCAAGAGCGCCGTAGCTTTGCCAAATACACTGTGAGCAGAAGGCAATGCTGTTTGAAATGTTGCTTGCCATCTGGTTGGCCTCGGATATAATCCAAGCTTCGAGGCTGCCACGCACAGTCCCGCAGCTGTGAGTGCAATGCCCATGGTTGTCCTCATATTTGTGTAGAAGGGATCGAAGCTGTGCATGCCCCAGCATTGTCATGTAAATAGTCAAATTGATCGACCAATAAAGCAGCATTGTACGTGCTTCTTGCAAGTCGTCGTACGTAGTGGACACCAAGGGGGGTTTTTGACCTGAAAAGTTGCGGGTTTCACTTGCAGAGACTTGTTTCGGTGTGCATCCGCCATTGTGATCCACGCCAGACACAGACGCGAGTGTTTTGAGGGCCTTCCTGTCCAGTTGCCAAGTTTGCAGATGGCGAAGTTGGCAGACGAAATCTCCCAAAAGGGACATCGCGGCTGATGAGTCTGCAGGATCGTCGCTATTTTCTTGAAAATTATTGAAAAGGTCAGCTGCCTCGACCAATTCTCCAGCAATGAGGCCCGAATCAAGCAGCCTTTGGTGGTTATTCTTTGGGAAATCAATGAATGGCAACGTCATCCAGGATATGGAAGCTGCACATGCTGCTCTTCGGTTTTTGAGGCTCTGGATCATCTGTCGGTTTGTCAGCTCAACATCTACGTAGGCTTGATGGTTCCAGACTCACAAACATTGTCCTGACAAAGAGGAATATCTCCAGACACAGAGGCTCTGTGACGCCTTCAGGCTTGAGAGTGCGAAGGGCAGTGGTGATGCCCGCGGCATGGCAGATCCAGCCTTTGTTGCTCTCGTCACCAAACTCGAAGAGCTCGTAGAGGGCCAGGAGCACCGTGGTGGCAAGGAATTGGGTTTGCCCGGGATAAGGATGCTCCGCACGCAGCTTGCTCGAGGCGAAGCTGTAAATCTGAAGTCCCTGGTTGACGAGATTATCGTTACCCCTGACATGGCCTGCCCAGCTGACTGCAAGGGCCGACATTGCCAGCGGTAGGGCATCGATGTCTTTATTGACGGACATAAGGGTGCGAAGCCATCTGAGTGGCACCTCCGTCGTTGCGTGGGATGGAAGGCAGTTGTCGAGGAAGTCGCCCAGAAGGCCGTCATAGAAGCGCAGCCATGTGAGACTGGGCTCTGGCACCAGATGATCTGCGCCGCATCCTGCGGATTGCTCCATCTGCCCCTGCAGCCCTGGGTTTCGATTTGTGCCATGCTCACTGCGAACTGGTGGTCGTGAGGCCCTGTGCGACGTGGCGACCACTCGACCCTTCACGGCCTTTCCACGGTGACTACAACTGGCATTGTTGATTTTCTCAGGCGTCGCATTGAGAAACGTGACGGCTTGGGGGTAGCCCCGACAAGTCCTTGCAGTAGTCACACATTGCCCGCAATGCGGTCTTGTGCCGTCGCACTGGGTTGGCTGGCATCAGCGCGACTGGCAACATTGTGGTGGCAGAGGTGACGATGACGTACCTTGATCTTCCTGAGGCGGCAGGTATGGCACCTGTCCCGGCGAGGGAGACCTACCATGCTGTTGGTGTCTAGACTGCTGGATGCACCCCGGCAGAGGGACGAAACACGACCGCTGCAGCGCTGGCACCGTACAGAGTCGGCCGTCCTTGAGTGGTAGCCTCAGACGGGCCCATCGTGGCGATAATCGCGAGGTTGCGCAATCACGGGGTAAGACGGACCTAAGTGCTGCGCGTCGAGGTAGCTCTAGGGGACTGGACCTACCAGATGTGGTAACCGAGCGATGGGTCCGCCTTCCCAAAGTTTCGTGGCTGCCCGCGATTGCGCTACAGCTCGATCGCTTACACAATGCATCAACATCCTCCACGCTCACTCACTGATCGTCAGCCAAGTATAAAAAGCCCGTGTTCTCGGCTTCTGGTCTTGCCAAGTTCCTTGAGCAGATCCCACAGAGGCATACTCGGAACATCATGGCACCCTTGTACAAGAAAGCCCTTGTGATCGGAGCCACCTCAGGCATCGGCGAGGCGCTGGCGGCCAAACTGGTTAGCGCGGGCACCTCGGTCATCGTCACGGGTCGCCGCCAGGACCGCCTCGATGCCTTCGTCTCCAAGCACGGCAGCGCCAACGCGAGTGCCGTAGCCTTTGACATCACAAAACTGGACCAGCTGCCGGCTGTCGCCCGCAGCATCGTTGAGCAGCACCCGGACCTCGACTGCATCGTGCTCAACTCTGGCGTCCAGCGGCCGTTCGACTTCGCCAGGCCTCAGGATGTCAGCCTGGAGAGCTTCGGCGACGAGCTGATCACCAACTACCTCTCGTTCGTCCACCTGGTCACGGCCTTCCTGCCGCATTTGCAGAGGCTCGTGAGCAGCAACACCGCCGGCAGCCAGCAAGCACACCTCGTCTTTGTCAGTGCTTCCCTTGGCCTGGTGCCAACCCTTGTCAGGACGCCCGGCTACAATGCCAGCAAGGCCGCCTTGCACAGCTGGATCACCAATCTGCGGCAGCAGCTCAAGGACGGGGGGTACGAGAAGATTCGGGTGATCGAGGTGTTTCCACCAGCGGTGCAGACGGAGCTTCACGACACCAAGCACCAGCCAGATCTGCAGAATGGTGGCGAGATTGGCATGCCCTTGGCCGTCTACACGGACAAGATGTACGAAGGCCTGGAGAAGGGAGATGACCAGTTCGCCATTGGCCCGGCGGAGCCTTGGTTGCAGGAGGGCGGCTTCGAGGCACAGAGACAGACCATTTTCGAGCAGCAGCATCCCGTCATCAAGGCGGCCCTGCAGAAATTCATGCGGTGAAGGTGGCACAATATCAGTACTATGAGAATGGGTCTAGCTTGTATGAGATCTATGTGAACGAATTGTTGATAACTTGTATGGAGTGCTCGTCGCGGAAGAAGCGTTTTTCCTTTTGCTGTGTCTACTTATTCCTGTCATGTCGTCCGCCTTTCCAGCTCATCAGCGGCTCTCCGAATATGAGCGGTGATGTCCTCAATCTGTGCATCCGCTACTTAGCTCACCATCCACAGCTCATTTCGTCGAGGCTGGATATCTCCTGTGCAGTTTTTGGGGGGCGCGACAACTCACCTTGTCAAACTCAAACACTGTGAAATGCTCGCCCTCCACGTCCACAACGGAGTCGATGAACCCGCCATGAGCAGCACTATACTTCTCCCATCCGAGCATCCTAAACTGCCGCGTGCGGTCCACGAAGCTCGGTGAATCCCCTTTCGTCGATCCCTTGGCACGTAGCAATATCGTCCGGGGCGGCTGGACCTTGACCACCGCTCTCTCCCCGTTCTTGTCCTCTGCCTTCTCCCACGCCGGAATGTCCCACACATACACCATCCGCCGAGCATGCATCATGTTCAGCTGGACGAGCTGCTGGTTCGTCATGTCGTCAATCATGTCCTGCGTGACCTCGGCGATGCGCTCGTTGGGCCCCACGTACGTGTCCTGCGTCTCGCCCTCGACGTGGTGGGGGAATACCGTGTCGACCCAGACCATGCCGACCACCCGGAACTTCTTGCGCAGGTGTTCCGGCCCGGAGACGGCGATCTGGTGGGCCATTTCTAGGGACAACGTGCCACCCAAGGACCAGCCTTTTTGGAGGGAAGGGGGTTGGTGTCAAATGTTAGCCTGTTCCCTTTTCCCATCGTTTTTTTTTCTTTGGGTCTGGGCCCAGGCGTGTCATGAAAGTAAGGCGGAAAAGTTTCAGGTGCTGTTCTTCCCTCCAAAGCAGACGGGATAGTCAGAGCTGGGGGACATATCAAGCCCGCGGTCATACAGAGGGAGAAGGGAGAGCACCACCAACACAAAATTCCAGCATACATGAAAACAAACGACCAAAACCACCTGAGCAGCACAATCTCCCCTCTTATACAAGAAATATCAAAAAAGGGACTCACCACCAAGCAGAATATCCCCCCCATCCGGCAAACACGCCTCGACCAGGCCGATGTAATGCCGCGCCATCTCCGAGATCCCGCCCTCCCAAAACCCGCCCTCGTCAAAGTGCGCGTTGTGAACCCCATAGGCCGTCCTCCCCAGAGGGTCCAGGCAGGCATAGCTAAACGTCGTCCCGCCGCCGTCGTGGATCAGGAACAGCGGGATCGTCCGCGGCGGGGACGCCGACGGCTCGAGCTGCAGCTGCGAGGGGTTCTCGTGGTTGCTCAGGCGTGCACGCATGGTGTGTGCCGTTTGTTTGTGCGTGTGTGTGTGTTTTGGTGATATATACACTGCTGCTGGAGAAAATGTGTACTCGGGGGATGAAGTGCCCAAGGTGAGATGTTTCCGGAGGACTCTGAATAAGAGCGTTGCTTTGCTATGTGCGTGGAAGCGAAGGATGCAGGTGTAAACCTTGTAGGGGATCTTGGAGTTTCCCCGTGTCGTGACCCTCTCTCTCTGTGCCTGCTTATTCCGTATGTCACCCCTTTTGCGACCGCGGAAATGGCACGAAATACACTCGTACCTCAAGTGGCGACGCCTAAAATTATATCGACGACCGATGGGCCAGGAGGTTTCTCATATAATGGACCACAAAAGTTACGAGTACATGACACCGGCATCTGTCCTTACAGAGAGTCAGAGAGACAATTCGCCGAGTTCTGACATGCCACCCCCCCTCAAAGTGGGTCATTCCGAGTTGAGGGTTCGGAGGGTCTACGTCTGGGGCGGAGTAATCCGATACTGCTGTGCGCCGGTTCTCTCATGGTGGGCATGGCAATGTCCAGAGCCTCAGCTTAAGCTTCATCTGGATTGAGTCCTATTGCGGACAAGCATGTTGCATGTCTCCTCCACTACAGCCAGGTAACAATACACTTGCTCTGCGCTATATGCTTGTGTGGCCAGAAAGAAGCTCCTCACAGGCAACACATATCTATACCAAACGCCGCCGATGCTGATAATATACGCCGTGCTCTAAGAGAGGCTTTGCGCTTGAGCCCCGTTTCCAGAAACGCCCGAGCAAAAGAGAAAAACGCTCACAACAAAGGGCCCAGAGATCGCTACCGGTTCTCCCCAGCCTTGATCCCAACCATTTCATATTCGCCCCCACCGTCTCTGCCCCGGCCACGGCCGCGTCCCCTCGAGAAACCCATCTCCTCATCGCCATGACTGTCACCGGCACCGCCTGGCGATCCTCCAAGCTCCCGGCTCGAGCCATCTCCAGCCGTGCCGTTCGCGTTCGTCGCGCCCGTGCTTCGCCCGCCGAAGTTGATCGGCTGCAGCTCTCGCCAGCGGCAGCCATACGTCCCGCCTACGGTGGTGACCGCACAGGATGCCACCATTGTACCCCACCAGAACGCCGTCCGCGGCACCAGGCCCGAGCTGAGGGTGACTATGACGAGATGGATGAAGTGTAGAGTGATTGCGAAGTCGAGGATAAGCTTTGACCGCGAAACGATGAGTACCATGGCAGCCACACTGTCAATCAAGAACTAAGTTAGCAGAGGAGCCAGCAACAGGACCTGATGGTTTGTGGTGACGCGCAGCAGCATAGGCTGACCACGCACATCATGGGAGGACAGAATTGTCTTGATGAAAGAGTCGAACGTACATTGCGCCAGAGCAGCACAGCCATATGAAGGCAAGCAGCCAGCCCTGAGTATTGTCGCCGCGCAGGCTGGACCAGCCGAACACGAGGTCGAGTGTGAAACGCTGACCGGAGACGAGCATCGTGAAAACCATGAGGACCAGCGCTACCACATAGTATATCGTCTGTAGGGCGGCGATCTGGCCGAGGATGCGCATTGGGGGCAGTTCCGCGATCGCGCCGGACCGCGGCGGTCTTCGTCTTCGCGCCATGACTTGGTCGATTTGCGAGTTCTGGTCGTGCGGTTATTGAGAGATGACTTGTTCTGAAGTCGTGGGAGGAAAGGACGGCAGTTCTGAGGACGCCGCCGGGTGGTGAAGCGCAAAATTCGGTCAAGGGGCGTGTACGCAAGTAGATGAAGGAGTGAAAGAAGTATCGGTATCGGTAGATGCTGTCTAGAGCACGTCCATCGTCGCCGGGTCTGTCCCTCGTGCGGAAGGGGTCGTCGTGTGACCTAGATTGGATGGTGTGGTGTGGGCCGCGAGAAGGGCGGTGGACAGCCCTTTCTGATGCGTCGTTCGAGAGTTGGTTCGTCTGTAGCTCTTCAGCGCCGAGAAAATCGCAAGACGATCCGTGTCGCGATGAGAGCAAAACGCTTGATCGCAGATTGCCGAGAGATGCCAAATTGGATGTTGTTGGGGGGCCTGGTCGCAGGAGTGACAGGCGTGGCCAGGTCGCGGATTGAGTGGACAGTTTTGGGTTCACTAGGTCCCCGGCCAGCGGATGGCATGCGGCAGCCTGGCCGGGACTAACGGTCCCCCAACCACATCAGAAGCACTACCCAGCTCCCTGGTTCACTGGGCTCAATAGCGGTCATGTATCGGGCTTTCTGGAGCCGCAGCGAAGCTGTCTAAGACAATCATGCGGATACCAAAATGCCTCGAGGACAAGGCTCAAACCCTAAAAGACGGCTTGCCGCCCCCTGGCGCGGAACGACCAGGATGATCCGTTGTGTTGCAGGCAGATGCACGTCGACCCTGAATCTCAGCTCAAGCTCGCCAATGATCCACTATCGATAGCACATTGGCGGGCGCAGCTTGCTCAATCGTGACGCCGACCATAGCCAGGTAGATCCGAGGCGACTCTTGGGAACCTCAAAAAAAAAGACATCACCACACGACACGCCTGCCACTTTGGCAAACATCTTCACCACGCAGCGCAGCAAGATGGGCGTCCTCAACTACTTTACGGCGTCGGCCGACGACAAGCGCAAGGAGGAGGTGCGATCCGGGGCCGTAGCACCCGACCGCTCCGAGCGCAAGCGGTGCTGGGAGGCCCGCGATAACTACTTTGCCTGCCTCGACAAGCACGACATCATCGACTCGGTCAACGGCGACGGCAAGAAGCTGGCGGATAAGAATTGCGCGGCGGAAAACAAGGTGTTCGAGCAGGACTGCGCAACGGCTTGGGTGAGTTGACCATGGGGATGGATGCGAGGAATGCCATTTTGGCAGACATGCCACTGCGATGGACGGTTGCGTTTCGCTATCTCGCCGTCATCGCAAGCGCGGCAGGTAGAGCAGGCATGTGCTCGAGGGCGCGCGCGCATGCGCTGTGAAGACAGTCGGAACGCCGCCCCATCGGTCCAGACATAGCCGGCTAACGATGGGACTTCTGCAGGTTGCATATTTCAAGAAATTCCGCGTCGCCGAATACCAGAAGAAGAAGACACTAGAGCGCCTGCAAAAAGAAGGAGCCAACAACATGGCCGCTGATAGCGCTGCTAAGCGGTGAAGCGCGGGTGTGATGCCAGCAATATCGTAGCCTTGGCTACGGCCGAACGCGGTGGCTACCTACATCATGTATTACAATTATGTATATCAGCAACGATCAAAAGGCATGGAAGGAGTTCTTGTTGTATTATTCGATGAGTTTTGTTGGCTTCAACTTGGCCTTCCAAATACTAGACTGCGCTTGCGCGTTTGTCTTGCTCGCATTACGAGAGAACATGCAGTAATCTCGAAGAACAGAACTTTCGGTCATTTCGTAACAGCTACAGTCATCCCCTTACCTGGGTACCTGAAGTATGTAAGTAAGGTAGGAATTAGCAATATTGTGCGCAGAGATACTGCCGCTCGACACGTTTGGCTAGTGCTCGTAAACTGCTCGTGCTCAGATACTTTATGCTTAGTTAAGCAATTCTTGTCTGCAATTCCAAATGCAACACCAAGCGCAACTGCGCGGCAACGTTGGCATGTGCCGGCTACGCCCTGATCGAGCTATATCCGGGCATCTACTGTGCTTGATGACGTGCGTTTGCCGTTGCCAGGGTCTGCGCCTCTGCATCACTACGAATGCCCAGTTTGCTTGACCACTACATAGTAGTTGTCCTGCAGCATACAAGCAAGGGCTCAAAACCATTTGGTGCATCGTTGTCGTTGAAGAATTAATCAGCAATAGCCAAGGCGGTGCGCGTGCTGGCCGGGGCTTTCCTCAAAGGGAGCCCATGTGAATTGTCAAAATGTCTACGGTGACCTCATCTGGTGTCGAAAGCTTGGAAATGCGCATCGCATGGTGGCGATTGCTGATTGGCAGGGGTGCTTGGTTGGATCTACCATGTGAACAATGACCTGAACGCGCCCGTTTGGGAATGATGGGCGCTATCAAGGGAAGATCACAAGCCGAGGTGCTGCAGATAGGTTCAGTGCCCGAGTATTGAGGTGCCGCCATCATTGTTGGCCTTGCGAACTTGTTTGGTAGAATTCGTATCCTAAAACTGTTGGCGACAGGGTGAGTCGATACGTCGTCGCTGCTTGCCAAGCAAAGGGGCCAAGCAGCCGAACCGCCTGAGTTAGACACAAATTGTCCAAGCCAGAGACCATCATGCAGGGGGTTTTACTGGAGCATTTATCTACGAAAAGCAACGTTAGGCGCAGGCACGGAAGACTCGGCACCGCCAGCAAGGCTACGACAACAGCCTAGGGACAAGGTCCAGGTCCACCGCTGTGTAGATCGTGACAATCGGTGATGGCGCCAGCACAAGCTGCTGGGCCGTTTCTCGCAGCTCTTCAAGGAAGAGATCTGTCGAGAGAGAACCAGCCTGATGTCGTCCCAGCAGCTTTACCAGAACCGTGGGCGAGGCAGTGTTTCATGGCACCGTTCAGCTGCTGCTAGAGGTGCAGGAAATCTGTTAATAGTCTGGAGAACCACAGCCACGCATGCATGGCTGTCGAAATGAGCAGCGACTGTGCCAGCCTGGCCGCCCACCGGGGTTCCGTTCCGCTGCCATGACCCTTGAAAAGCTGAAGGCCTCCCAGAGATCCACCTGTTTCTCAGGGCCCTGTCCGAAAGTCAACAACCGTTGCTTGGCCTTTGGGCTGCCCCTGAATCTGTGTGCCGAACCCGTAGGGAGTAGGCCTCAACGAGAGGGTATCCCTAAACCGTGCTATTGCTATGGCTCGGTGAGCTTGGAGACGTGACCCGACCCCCTTTGTCACTCCTTGGGAAAACAATAGTGCACAGCCGAGGAGCCGATGTGCTTCGGCGAACCTGACAGCCAGGTTAGCTTGCAGCTAAAGCAGGGCATGGCACTAGGGGATTGGTGCGGTGTGGTGGAGGGTTGACTCTGTTCAATTGACAGTCGTCTGCGAGTGACGCAACGCCTCCACCCGCGAGGCAACGGGATCGCACCCGAACAAAGCGAGCACATGTCTAGTCTGTCAAATGAGTTCGGCCTCCGCTAAACTAACGGCTGCATCGACTGGGCGGGGAGAGCAGCAAAAGCCCCGAAGATAGCACAGGACAGAGGCTGCCCAGGATTGGCATGCCCAGACTGGAATTTTCTCGCTCTGGGAGCTGTGCATTCGTGCATTGAGGCCGATATAAATGCATTGTCGATGATGCCCAAAGATGCTCGTCCCTGATAAACCTTGATGGCGTCAACTGTGACGACCTGGTCGCGGTCTACTGGCGCCTCGTTGAAGTCAGTGGACAGCCGACCTGATCTGCACAAACTGGCGGTGGCTGGGCAGTAGGAGCATCATTGCTTCCTCCGCAGTACTCACTCAAGGGCGATCTTGCAGGGTGCCATGTCGACAAACCGTGGCTGTCTTGTGTCGTCGTGGGATACCCCTGGAGGCATGGACTGCTTGCCTGCCTGCCTTGTCTCCTTGAAGGTCCGTCCGTCCCTCGCTCGCGGACGGAGAGGATGCCGGCGGGTGGGAGGTGCCCAGCCCGCTCGAGGCGCGAGGGCTGCTCGCATTGGCTGCGCTAGAGGCCCTTGGGGGTTGCTGGTGCAGGGCGGGCCCGTTGGCCCAGGCACGGGCGCGGTGATTGCTCAGAGTGTGGCTGACTCGCCCTGGGGCCCAGGCTTCCTGCTGCCAACTTTGTCGCCCGTTGCGCCAGCTCATTTCACCCGCCCCGTCCACGCTTCCACGGGCCACCCTCCAGACTCGCCTGGCTCGACTCGTCCCTCCCCGTCCCCAGTCCAGTCCTGCCTGCACCACCACGCCTGTCCGACGACAAAGGCCTCGGGCTTCCTCGACCGCTTCCTCTCGCCGCTCAATTGCACCGACGCCTGCCGCCTGCTGCCTCCTGTGACGGCCTGCTTTCTCTGCTCGCTCTCCATAGCCGATATCTGCATCTTTCCGCGCTTGCCCCTGGCTGTTCGCGCCTGTGCCCGAGACGCACGCCTCGCGACGGCACTCGATACATCCAACAACCGCCGGAGACTTCGGGCAACGCACCTGGGTCGACATCGCCTCAGAACGGCCGCTTGTCAATTCTAGCAGGAACTTCGACGCTTCCCGGCTACTTCGGTCTGGTCCACACCTGACCCTGCCGAGACCAGCGCTACGGGCTTCCAAATAGACGATGCCATCCTTTGTCAACGACGACAACTCTCCCGTTCACGCCTACAATGCCGGTCTTGTCCACCTAGACAACAGTCATCACGAGTACGACGACGAGCCCCGGGACGACGCTTACGTGGCCCACAAGCCATTCTCCTCATCTCTCGGCCACAGCTTTGATCGCGAACAGCCAACGCATGAGTCCTTCGACGACAACTCATCGACTGATTCTTCCACTCGCCAACCGCATATGACTGGCGACTATCCACAAGCGCTTCCGAACGGGGCTCAGTCCTCTCGCACGCGTGGCGCCATGCCAATGAATGGCGATGCTGGCCATTTGGTGAAGCCTGCCGTCGAGGGCGGCCACTCTAGTCCTGTCAGCGCCCCTCCACCCATACCCTCGCAGGGCCAGTCCTCCGGACGGACCTACCCAGAGTTCAGTCACCTCAGAAACGCAGGACCTCCGCCGGTACCACGCGACGATATTCAGCAGAATGGTCCGGTTTCCCAAAGTTGGTCCCCGGCAGCACCAACCCACGCACCTCCACCAGTACCGACTACGAGCATTCATGGGCCATCCGTCTCTCCTGCACCTCCTACGCCCGGGGGAAGTCTGAAGCACCGCCACACGTTGGAAGTTCCCCGCCCTCAGCCAGGTCGCTCGTCGCTCTCCAAGGACACCAACGTGGACTCGGTGGCTTATGCCAGTGGGCGCTTTTCGCCGACTGTTGGCAATGGGCCCGGAGTTGGTGCGCGGCGAACATCATTGAGCCTTGCACGCCGCAACACCCGCTCCGTCCATTCGGAAGTGCCTCGCGAGGACGTGATTCCGGACGACGAGGCAAGTAGGTGGGCAGAAGCATACCGCCAGAAGCGGGCCAAGCGCCGGAGGAAGGAGGAGGAGGAGGAGGATAAGGTCCTCGTCGGCACCAAGGTCGACGAGAGCCATGCGAACTTTACCACAGCATACAATATGTTAACAGGAATCCGTGTCTCTGTCTCTCGGACGAACGCCAAGCTTGACCGGCCCTTAACCGATGCCGACTTCGAAACTAAGCAGAAATCGACGTTTGACATAACCGGCAACGAGCTTGTGCCGTCGGCAAAGTACGACTTCAAGTTCAAGGACTACGCCCCCTGGGTTTTCCGCCATCTTCGGGCGCTCTTCCGTCTCGATCCCGCAGATTACCTGATATCCTTGACCGGCAAATACATCCTCTCCGAACTCGGATCTCCTGGCAAAAGTGGCAGCTTTTTCTACTTCTCGAGAGATTACAAGTACATCATCAAGACTATCCATCATGGCGAACACAAGTTTTTGCGGAAAATCCTCAAGGACTATTACAACCATGTTACCGACAACCCGAATACCTTGTTATCACAATTTTACGGACTGCACCGCGTCAAGACTCCATACGGCCGGAAGATTCATTTCGTCGTAATGAACAACCTCTTTCCGCCACACCGGGACATCCACACGACCTTCGACCTCAAAGGCTCCTCGGTTGGGCGCGACTACAAGGAGGAAGACCTGGAGAAGAACCCTCGGGCCACCTTGAAGGATCTCAACTGGCTGCGCCGGAAGCGCCATTTGGAGCTCGGCCTTCAGAAGAAGCACCTCTTTGTGCAACAATTAGAGCGCGATGTTCGACTCATGCAGAAGCTTGGGATCATGGACTACTCCCTCTTGATTGGGATCCATGATCTCCGCAAGGGCAACGAGGAGAATCTGCGAGAGAAGACGTTGCAAGTGTTCCAACCCGGTGGTGATAGTGCCGCGGATGACCCTTCTCAAGTACTCATGCGCACCCCCTCGAAGCTTGAGAACGCGCGCAAGGCAAAAGAGCTGCGGCAGATGATCAAGGCCGAGCGACCCGTGCCGGTGGGCGAAACAATGAACAAGATGCCTGATATTCTGGAGACGACGCATACACGCGGGCTCTTCTATTCAGATGATGGCGGAATCCGGGCGACCCACGAAGACGGCCAGCCAGGCGAGGAAATCTACTACCTCGGAATCATTGACTGCCTCACACACGTAAGTAATTCCTCAAGTCACTGAACCAGTCACGCAACTAACATAGCTCTGGTAGTACGGAATTATCAAGAAGTTTGAGCACTTCTGGAAAGGCTTGTCCCACGACAGGACTCAGATCTCGGCTCGCCCACCCCACGAGTATGGTGAGCGGTTCCTCAACTTCATGACTGGCATTACCATGTCACCCGAGGAGGCGGCTCGGGATGCGCATGATCGAGAGGCTGCCGCGGCCATGGCCAGCTCTGCAGCCGGGCCATATATTCCATCGGAACCAAACTATCTCCCACCTGCACCACCGGAAATGCGCAGTCCCGGCTCGCCGGAGCCCAATCCTGTTGTTGAGAAAGCCTTGCTGGTTGCGTCCAGAACAGACAAGGATGCAGACAAAGAAGGACATGTTCCCGACCGCAAAATCACGACCAGTATACCGCCACCGGGCCGTACGAACTCGAACACGATATTACCAGTAGTCGAGGAAAGTGCCGAGGCCAGCTCAATTGGAGGGCGACCATTCACGCCACGAGAGCGAGCAGATGGATACACGGATCTTGCCCCAGGCGGCTTTGGTGGCAGAGGCCCGCCAACACCGCCGAAATCAAGCTATATCGACACAGTGCCTGGCAGAGCTCGAAGTGGCAGTGGCAGTGGCAGCTTTCACGGCAAACTCGTAGACCGCACGAGTCTCGACAAGGCTTTGCCGCCATTACCCAGATGATGACAAGGAGGCCGCACCGACACCGCTCTATTGGACCGTCTCCCAGGACTTGATTTGGATGCACGCCTACCACATTTCGATCGACGACGCACAATATCGCAAAAAAGTGGCAACTCCAGGTCACTTTGTTATACCACAGTACCTTTTCTTTTGTATGACATGAACCATTTCCTTGTCTTCCCGGCGGAATGCGTAAAAGGCTCTGTTATCACTCATCGCATATTTTTTTGTTTTACGCTGCCCGTCTTTGCGCTCCTGCCTAATGATGCTGCCTGCGCCTCTGGTTTCTGCGCTTCTCCTTTTCCTGATGTGTCGTATGTTGTTGGAAGCATCGCATCCCTGCTTAGAAAGACACAGAGAATCATGATACCATGGACGATTCGAGCTTCCCTATCCTTGTTCTTGATAAACGCAGAGAGAATGGCATATAGAGAGAGACATGACTGCAGTCGAAGGAAATTCAAGATAATTCTTACACGTGCATCGAGACCACGTCCGCTGATTGTGCACGTCTGCTTTCACTGCTTGCTTTGATCTTGTTGACCACGGTTGTTAGATGGTTCTCTACCAAGACATCGTGTCCGTCTCATCGCATAGTCTGTCCAGCAGCCCCCAATCAGTCGTTGAAGCGAGATGAGGAAGGTAAAGCACTTCTTTGAAAACCAGAGAGAGATCTCTGGTTGCGCGACAATCCCATTTCGGGAAGCCAACGACGGCGTGATTGGCTGGCGCGCCACAGCAGCATTAGCGCGGGAATTAGTGAACTCTGCTCAGGGAAAGAGAAGGGGGTTCCCGCTTGGAGGCCGTCCCCCTTCTCTCTGAGTGGCGGAGGGAGGGCCTAGAAGCAAAAGGTCCCCCGGGCCCACGTGCAGGCAGACAGGAGCACATACGGGCGGGAGGAGGGACACGCGGCGCACGCGGAGGCACATGCAGGATGCGCTCTTTCTTGACGATGACGTCTTTCTAATTACGTTGTCGGGTCATCCCGTCCGCCCGCCCGCCCGCATGTCGTCGTCGCCTGTGTTTTCTGGAGCCGACGATGACCGAGACCGAAGGAGGGAGAAGCAGCACCTGGAGGAGGGGTTTGGGGCACACAGGAATGGCGCACGATAAGAGACGCGAGTGGTTTTGCGGGAGGGCATGAGTTGCATGTCCCGTGGGACTTCCGACTTGCCTTTTGGAGAGCCGCGTTGCTCGTTTGGCGTATATAACCCTTTTCCCTTCATTCCTGCCCGATACTTAGCATTTTGACAAAAGACATCCCAACCATTTCCAAGCCATTTCAAAACTGTGAAGTTTTGTTCCACTTTCCTCGAACGTTATCTACATACCCTGCCTGCCCAACTCACTTGTACGGAGAGGCCCGAGACTCCAACCCACTCTGGAGACAGTGATATCATAGCCGTCATCGACTCTCTCTCACCCCAGGCACTCAACAGAGCTCCAGCTAGACTGCGTATCCCGCACACCCCGGTGCTGGATCGATCGACACAGTGTAGGGATATAAACCCAGCCATCTTGCGCTTTTATATAGTGCACTCAGCAAGAAAATGGCTGATAGTAGCTGCCGCGTCCCCGTTTCTGTCTCGGACGTACACACGAAAGCCTCTCTGATCAAACATCTCCCCTTTGAGCGTGAGAGTGGTGAAGCAAAGCCACTAGGCAGTCAGAAGCACACGCAAGAATCTGCAATAGCAAGCACAACGCCAGTACTGCCTGATAGCGCCAACTCGGGACCAAAAACGGCGAAGACGACAACATCGACATCGACGGAAACCACAAGCAGCTAAGCCGCCATGGATTTCAAGTGTGCCCTCGTCACCGGTGGAGCCGGCGGCATCGGCCGCGCCTTGTCCGAGTACTTCATCAGCAAGAACATCAAGGTCATCATCGTGGGCCGCACGGAGTCCAAGCTGCAGGCCACGGCCAAGGAGATTGGCGCGGCGGCATACTACGTCCTCGACACGGGCTCGACCAAGGACATCCCCGGGTTCGTCGCGCAGGTGACCAAGGACCACCCGGAGATCGACTGCCTCGTCAACAACGCGGGCATCCAGCGGCCCCTGCAGGTCACAAAGGACGACGCCGCCGACTTCCTCGCGCGCGCAGACCAGGAGCTCGACGTCAACGTCCGGGGGCCGATGCACCTCAGCCTGCACTTCCTGCCGCACCTAAGGCAGAAGGGCCGAGACGGCGCGTGCATCATGAACGTGAGCAGCGGGCTGGGCTTCGTGCCGTTCAGCATCATCAACCCCGTGTATAACGGCACCAAGGCGTGGGTGCACTTCTGGTCGCTCAACCTGCGCACGCAGCTCGCGCGCGACACGCAGATCAGGGTGGTCGAGATTGTGCCGCCCATGGTGGAGTCGGACCTGCACCGTGAGCGCGAGGACCCGGACGACAACAAGAAGAAGAACAACCCCATGGCGATGACGATGGACGAGTTTATGAAGGATGTGACGCGGGGGCTCGAGGCCGGGGAGACGACGATCGGGGCGGGCATGGCGGCGGGCATGGTGGACAAGTGGAACGATACGTTTGGCGACCACTATGCCAAGGCGGCTAAGGATTGGTGAGGGCCTGTGACTGAAGGATGGGATAGATGGTTTGGGTGAGGCAGATGCGAAGTATACGCGCGCCGTGAGATTCCAGCATGTAGTTTCGGTCAGCGTCTTTGTAGTGATTTATTCATTTGGATATATTGTTGCGTGCGACCTATGTGACCTTCAAATGCACCGGTACCTGTATCATGTGAACATTGCGGATGGAGTCACACATACCTCATGTCTTCACAAAGTTGCAATATGAACGGGCCAAACATCCAAGCACGCCTCTTAGAGCAACCAGTCCCAGTCTCGTGTTGTTGGCATAGCCGAGGATGAAAGTGGGAGTCGCAAATTCTGGCTCATTACTTGCCCCCCTCATCTACTTGTGCGCTGCGGCCATCCTAGTTGTGACAGACCTATCGTCGCTTTGACCACCCAGTTGAGGTTGGGATTGGATAAGGCCACCATGTGGTGATGTTCATTGTTCGTTCATCACGGCTGCAGATTACCTAGGTAATTAGCATCGTCTAGTAGAGTCTCTGTGACTCCACTCACGACAGAGCCAGAGTGGGGCGCCAGGCTGCCCAGAGACATGTCTTGGCAGAGAGCGATGGCAGGTGACCCCGCCACTGATTGTTGCCCCTCATGACGGCCCCAGCGCTCGACTATGTTTTTGTTATGACGCACCGAGCAAAGTGAGCTGCACACCACCACCAGCCAAGCTTTTGCCCCTAATTCACCCGCCCGCCTTGCCTGCCTGCCTTGGTGCTGCCTTGCCGGGCTCGAGACTCTGTCCGCCAGAGGTGCACAGCTGTGTTGACTTTGTCCTCCGCACAACCTTTGAGCAGGCGCCCGCGTCCGCCATCGCGACTGCACCACCAACTCCGCAAACCATATCCCTCAGAGATTGAGCGTGCGCGTCCAGACGGAGGAATACAGTCCTCCCACACGCCAAGATGTTCATGCTCAAGAATGGTAAGCTACGCCCGTCCCGCCCATTTCTTCCCACGTACGTCTCGCTTCATGTCCTCATTACTGACTTCTATCACTCAGTCGGCAAGCTCCTCTTCGGCGGCAGTGGCAATCAGGAGTCCATGATCGAGCTGCCACAGGGCCAGCTCTACCTCGTCCGACCGCTCTCTCCCAAGGGCTACTCCGAGCTCATCTTCAAAGACGCCACTGCCCGCATCCGCCGAACTGCCCAGGAGTACCAATACCAATTAGTCGTCCAGCGAGTCTACGAGGAAGGCGAGGCCGAGCTTCTGGCTGAGGAGGAAGGCGAAGATGCCGCGCTCGATGCTCTTGCCGCCGCCGAGCGTGATGAGAAGACGTTCCTTCTAGACGAGGCCCTGCACTTCCGCGTGGAGAGCAGGCCCGGCTCAGAAAAGGTCCTGGCATGGAAGGACCTCAGCGGCGATATCGGCGACGTGTACGAGTTCGTCTGCGAGCCGTCCGTGCAGTCGATGCAAGTCGAGGCCTTTGAGCGTATCGCCAGGCAGTGCCAGTACGAACGCAAGTACCGCAAAGTGTACTCGACCGCAACCGAGGAGGACCTCAGGCAATTCGTCTTTGACCACGAAGATCCCATCCCGCAAGCGAGCCCGATCCACAGCCCGACCCTTGCGCGCTCGATAGAATCGTCCGACGCCATGTTCCAGCTCAGAAATGAAGCCAACACAAGTGCGAAGCGCGAGGCACCACTAGCGGCACCGGCTGTCGTAGTAGAGAAGCCTGAAGACGAAGCTGAGGAAGCCGAGGCGAAACAAGTTACAGCTCCCCGAGATCATGCGCCGCCCGCGACAGCAGCTGCGCAGCCCGAGCCACAAGAGATCTTGAGCATGGAGATTGCCGAGCTCCACTTCTACGACTTTCCTTCGGGATCATTCGTGCTGCAGGACTCATCTGTCACTGCCCAGGTTTCCGACCTTGGGAACTGGCAGTACTGGCTGCAGGTTGCGAGTAAGGACCGCGACTGGCTCGGCATCCCCGTCATTGCGGACATCAATCCCGTCTTCAACTTCGAGTTTCTCTCGTTCATCTTCAACCAGTTTACCGAGGACGGTTCCGCATACTCGTGGCTTCTGCGCTTCCGGGACCAGAAGACTCTGGAGAGATTCCAAGAGGGTCTTATGCGCGCGTTGTGGGAGCAGCTGAACGAGCAGAAGTGGCTCAAGGTGAAGGAGCAGGAGCGCGAGTACATTCTTGATGCTTTTGAGGATCTCAAGATGGACGACGCGCCTCCCATCGAGGAGGAAGAGGAAGAGGAAGAGTATGACGTTGAGGAGAACGATGACGACGCGCAAAGGAGCGAACGTTACGACACAGACGAGGAAGAGGACGATGTTGAGACACAACCCCGAGATCCGAGCAACACAAACTCGCAGCTGGCCGTCGGCTACAAGTACGACCGCTCGTTTGTTGTTAGAGGGTCCAAGATCGGTGTGTTCAAACACACTGCCAACAACAACCTCGAGTTTTCTACAAATATCTCCAAGGTTGAGACACCCGGTGGCAAGCTTTTCAGTCCCAAGAAGGTCATGCTCCATAACGAGGACAGGAATATGATTCTTCAGAACGAGGCGGACCCCAACAAACTCTACCGCATGGACCTGGAGCATGGCAAGGTCGTCGATGAGTGGAACGTCCATGATGACATTCCCGTCGTCACGTTTGCTCCCGATAAAAAATTCGCCCAGATGACCCACGAGCCGACCTTTTTGGGCATATCGCACAACTCGCTCTTCCGGGTCGACCCTAGACAATCAGGCAACAAGATGGTCGACTCGCAACTCAAGCAATATGCCTCCAAGAACGACTTCTCAGCCATCTCAACCACGGAAAAGGGTTATGTCGCGGTCGCGTCCAACAAGGGCGACATTAGACTTTTTGACAGACTCGGCATCAACGCCAAGACCAATATCCCCGCACTGGGTGAACCGATTATCGGCCTGGACGTCTCGGCTGACGGACGCTACGTGTTGGCCACATGCCGAACTTATCTCCTGCTCATCGACGCTCTGCAGAAGACTGGCAAGAACGAGGGAAAGCTCGGTTTCGAGCGGTCGTTCCCTGCTGACGCAAAGCCGCAACCCCGGCGTCTCGCACTGACGCCAGAGCACGTTGCCCAGTTCGCTTACGAGACAGGCAAACCCATCAGCTTCACGCCAGCTCGCTTCAACGCTGGCCAGTCCAATGAGGAGACATCCATCATTACTGCGACGGGCCCTTACATTGTCGACTGGAACATGAAGAAGGTGCTGCGCGGCGGAAAGGCACCGTATGTCATCAAGCGGTACACCGAGAACGTCAAGGCGGACGACTTCAAGTTCGGCACCGATCAGAACGTCATTGTCGCCCTGCCGAACGAAGTCAGCATGGTCGGCAAGCAGAACCTCAAGCGTCCGACACGGGAGAGCATTGCGGGCAACTTTCAGAGGCTGAGCACGCCCCGTCGGAGCTCGGGCAGGATCGGGACCACGGAAAGCGGGCGATACAAGCTTGGGAAGGACGAGGTGGTCAACTCCCCGTACTGAGGGGGGCACCCAGACAAGAGTGGAAGGCGATGATTCGGGTTGAGAACTTGGTTTCTGGGGGCGACTGTTGTTTCTTTTTCTTAGGCCAAATTCGTAGGGTTATTGGATCGGTGGTTGTGGCGGCCTAGATCCGAGCAGTTCCGCCGAGGGCGTTCTTTTGCTTTATGATACACACACTTTTTCACACTTTGCGCCACGGGCACAACGTTCCGTCGCACGCGTGATCCTTGTTTCTTCCGTATTTTGTCGCCTTGAAGCGCAATGGAATATTTCGTACTTCATGTCCTGACGATGTTGAATTGTGCCACTTGCGTCAGTTCATAGCCGTAGATAGCAATTCATGCACGAGCAGATGCGCTGGAAATAGAATGTCGTCAACCCTCGATCACGGGTACATTTAGTTTCCGAACCCTGGTAACGGATTTATCATAGAAGGGGCAATCAGCAGAAGAAGTCCTAGCAAATAAGTCGATTCTCAATTATACCACCAGAATGAATACCAATGTAATAAACGCCTTACTTTGTGAGTCAATGAGGTAAAAACAATGATGGAGAAAGGGCCTCGCAGTTGAGTCTCGGTACAAAAGAAAATGTGACCGATTCGGTCTTCCCCGTCTGCAGCGTGTCGGTTTCGAACCGGCTTAATCTCACTGGATCATTGCACTCCAGAGGAATGCTAGACGAGAGAGACTTCAACCCAAGACGTCCGAACAGAAGAATCCCCGCCCCGGACGGTTCGTTCCGCGTATCCACATTCATGCAACAACAAAAGCCGGCTATGATCCTAGCCGGGTGGCCTCCATCGCCTTGTTGACGGCGTCCTGGACAGCCTCGCCCGCTCCAGCCAAGGCGCCAGAGATGGAGCCTCTGGCCTGGTCGAAGTGAGTTTGGCCGGCGACATGGCCGTGTCCATCCTCCAGCGTGTTTCCGACCTTGAGCAGCTCCTTGACAAAAGTCTGTCCCCACCATGCCGAGGTGTACTTGAAGACGTACTTCTCCAGCTTCTTGTAGTTGAGCTGCCTCTGCTCGGCAGACATGGTGACGGCATCGTGGATGGCATTGGCCAGATCCTCAGTGTTCCAAGGGTTGACAATCAGGCTGCCGTTGAGAGACTGTGCCGCGCCAGTAAACTCTGACAGAATCATGACGCCGTGCCTCTCGCGCTGTGTGGCAATGTACTCGTACGAGACGAGGTTCATGCCGTCGCGCGTCGAGCTGACAAGGCAGACATCCGACACCGCGTAGAGCGCGCAGAGGTCGTCCGGGTTTACACTCTGGTGGAGGTAGTGGATGGGGTTGTACTCGACCGTGCCGAACTTGCCGTTGATGCGGCCGACAAGCTCATTAACGACGGCCCGCAGGTTCTGGTACTCTTCGACATCCTGCCGGGAGGGGACAGCCACCTGTACGAGGACAATCTTGCCACGCCACTCGGGATGTTCTGTCAGGAAGACCTCGAGAGCATGGAGCTTCTGAGGCACGCCCTTGATGTAGTCTAACCTGTCAACGCCAACAATGAGCTTCATGCCCTCAAACTTGCGCGACCAGAACGCGATCTTGTCCTGTACGTAGGGTTTCTGCAGCCCTTCGGTGAACTTCTCGGGGTCGATGCCAATAGGGAACGCCCCAACCGTGACGAAGCGGTTGTTGAAGACAATGCCCGTGGGCGTGGTCGTGGTTCCCAAGATGCGGGAGCAGGAGCTGAGGAAGTGGCGGGCGTAGTCGTAGGTGTGGAAACCGAGGAGGTCGCAGTGCAGGAGGCCCTCAAGCAGGGCCTCGCGGACGGGGAGGATACGGTAAATCTCGCTGCTGGGGAAAGGCGTGTGGAGGAAGTAGCCGATGCGGATGTTCTTCTTATCGCCGAGCTGGCTGCGCAGCATCTCGGGGAGGAGCATGAGGTGGTAGTCGTGAACCCAGACGAGGTCGCCATCTTGGAGGTCCTTGACAATGGCCTTTGCAAAGATCATGTTGACCTGCTTGTAAGCCTCCCAGGCGGACTCGTCAAACGTGATCTCGCCCGGGTGGTAGTGGAAGAGCGGCCAGAGTATCGAGTTGGAGAAGCCGTTGTAGTGGCGATCGGCGAGCTCGTTGTCAATGAAGATGGCCTGGGCATTGTATTTTTCCTTGAGCTGCTTCTGGACCGTCTCAATATCCGAGTCGGGCAGCTCCATGCCGGGCCAGCCGTACCACTGGAACTCTGTCGTCTTGCTGAGACCGCTGAGGCCGGTGACGAGGCCGCCCGAGGACATCTTGTAGGAGAAAGTGCCATCGTCCTCCTTTGAGATTGTGATGGGGAGGCGGTTGGAGATGAGGACGAGGCGCCGGTCGCCAGTTGACGACGCCTCAGTCTCGCCTGCAGGCGCCATCGTGGTGTGCGAGCAGGAGGTTGTCGGCTGAAGGGTTGAGCTAGGTATCACCGTCTCGGGCTGTGATGCCTTGGGCCTGGAGTAGCGAGTGCTGAGGCCTGAGGTCGCGAAGAGGGGTGCGGCTCTTGGGGGGTCCGCGGCTTGAAGAGGCTGAGGGAATGACCAGCTGGAAATGGGCTGAGCTTCCTGGAAGCTTCTGAGGAGGGCGAGAACGGGCGGCGGCAATGTTTAAGGTTGGCAGAGCTGTGGTGGAGCTTGTCGAGGCTATAGTGTCGCAGGTCGCGAGCAGTCGCAAAGTGGGAGGAAACGCGGGGCAGTCGCTACGAGCGACGACGGCATTACGTTTGCTCGGGGCCAGCTAGCGGGAGAGGGACGCTAGGCGGCCAACAATGCAGGCGGCCAAAAACAGGTTCTCGGCCAGACCTAGCTCGGGCTTCGCTGCCAGGCACGCTACACAGTATCAAGTAGCTTAGCCAGTCATTGGATTGTGTCGTGCCTGCGTAGACTTGAAGCGGTTGCGGGCACGGCCGGCACGGCCATCACGGGCGGATCGACGGCTAGGCCGCAACAAAAATAAAAACGCGCCAGGGCGGGCGGGCACTACGTAATAATTCCCAGTCGCCAGCGCACGATGGGCCAGGGATGCCGCGCGATAGGGCAAAGGTTGCTGCTGCCACCCGGCCGTGGGGCCGCCCCGCCGTGAACCAGACTGCAAGTGTGCGTTACCTTCCCTGCCGCCCCACCTGCCATCCTTGGGCACCTGCACCTGGCGCTCGTGCCTTCCAACGGCTTCGGCGACAATGCTGGAACCGCCCCGAACACTGGCTCCTCTCGAGCTCGGATCAAACGCCAAAAAGACATCATCGTGCTGTCATTTTCCATGCCTGGTGCTGCGCGCGATAGATTCTGGGTTTCGCGAGCTGCATCCTCAGAATCACTGGTGCCCAATTTGCTGCCAGCCCAACAGAAACTGCCACCCGTCCATGTCAGCTCCTTCGGTGTCATCCATCATCCATGGATGATGCCTCGCAACCGGCCCGGCACAGCCCCCACCCTTGCTCATGCCCGGATCAAATGGTCCTGACTGAGCCTTGCCCATCACGATACGCACCCATCCTGCCAGGCCACACGCTCGAGCATTGTCACCATAATTGCCCCACACGCGCAGTTCCTATTTCTCCAAGCCACAAACTTGCTATTCAAACAAAACATTACATGCATGCTCCAGTCAGTCAGTCACACACCCCTTGGTTGACAGCGCATGGCGGCATAGCCTCTGTCTCTCAAAGTACATTACCAACCACCCGGATCGTCCCGTTGCGCGTTGCCTTGCCATTCTGGCCCCGGTTTTCCATAAGGTATATTCGCTCACTCGCAAAGTCCTGACACGCATCTACCTTGCTCAAGACCACGAGCCTTTCCCCCCCATCGCCTTATTGAAGGTGTTCTTGACCCCGAAAAACGAAGATCGCGAAGGCCGTATCTCGGGTCTCTGTTGTGGAGAGCCCTGCTGTGGCTGCTGATATTGCTGTTGTGCTGGCGGGCTCGACGCGCCTTGCGTCACCTGCTGAGTCCACTGCTGCGATGCAGACACATACCCACTGCCGTCATACTGCTGTTGTTGTTGCTGTTGCTGATATGGCTGCTGATACTGCTGTTGCTGTTGCTGCTCACCATAATATCCATTGTGCGGCTGGTACCACTGCGTGTACTGGCCTTGCTGCTGGCCACCAGCCTGGGTGTTCTGGCCTGCATAGCCCGTGCCGTTGTATGCCGTGGTGTCTGGCTGATACGCCGAGAAGGGGCTGCCGCCATACTCTGTCCCGTCATACAGCGAAGATGTGGGTGGTGGACCTGCCGCTGCCGGCTGCTGATATGCATTGTACGTTTGTGCCGGCGCGGCCTCTTGGGGTTGGGCGCTGGGCTGAACTGGCGAGGCCACCTCATTCTCATATTCATAGTAGTATCCAGGCATGGGTGCAGCAGCTGGCTGGTTGGCGGGCGGCGGCGCCACCTCCGCATGCTGTGACGAAGGGGTCTCGGCCGGTACTTGAGAACTGCTGCTGTACCCATTGCTGGGAAGGGGCTGGCCAGTCGCACCAGAAGAAGTCTGCTCGTTCGCAACCTGCGGCTGCTTCCACGAGATGACTTCTGAGTCCTGCGCGCCCCAGTTTGGTGCTCGCTGTTGGCGGGCTTGCGGGTTTTCCTCTTGTGGTGGTGTCGCCTGTCTTGAAGACGTAAGCTGGTTATAGAGATGGATCTGGTGACCTAGAGCCTGGTCCAACTCCGCCGTCAGTGCCTCGGAATTGGGAATGGTCGAATTTGAGCCGTTGGTAGTCGAGTAGCCCTCGCGGTCTATAGGCTGCGATTGTGTAACCTGAGGTGGGAAGTAGGTCGGGACACTCTCCACGAAAGCAGCTCCATGCGCCATCTGCTCGTCCATTGGAGTCTTCCTTTCTGGTGCCCGTGCTGCCCCTTCTTGGCTGGACCCAGTCGATGGCGGAGACGAAATCACCACAGCACGAGCAGTCTCGACTTGTGGCGTTTCAACACCGGGGGTGTCAATTTCGGAGCCGGCAGCCTCGCCATCATAGTCGAGCTCCTGTTTGCTCGTCACGGCGCTTCGGACCACCCGTGTCACCTCGGTATTCCCAGAGTCCATGGCAGACTTGACGGCACCCAGCAAAACGGACAGCCGAGAAACAAGGATCTTGACGCACTCCCACTGCTCCCGATCCACCGCACCCTGGAGGGCATTCTCATGCCTCTTGCTCACATGGAGAATATCAGCCCCGTTGTCGAGTAGGAAATTAACTGTGTCGGTGTCTCCTCTCCAGGATGCGACGATCAGAGCAGTATCTCCATCGTTATCGGCGAGGTTGATATCGGCACCCGCATCGAGCAGAAGCTGCAGAGACGAGTTTGGCATGTACAAGGCTGCGTTGATCAGCGGTGTCGAGGTGTCGTAGCCACCAAACACGTTGACCGCAGCTTTGGCCTTGACGAGAAGTTCCAAAATCTCGCAATCACCCTGCTTGGCAGCAGCAACGATCGGCGGCGCGGCGTCACCAGAGCCGCTGTCCGGATTGGCGCCCTTCTCGAGCAGAAGCGCCACGATCTCGGTTCGGCTCGCCTCGCACGCCCCTTGAAGCGCCGTGCCAGCGGCAAAATTCTCATTCGTGGTACAGGCGTTCACATCTGCATTGTGCTTGAGCAGCTCTTCCACAATTTCGTAGTGACCCTCGGACGCAGCTATCTGGATTGCCCATCCATGAGGCGAGTTGGCGTCTGCGCCTGCTGCCAACAGCATCTGCAACAGTTCCATATTCGCGTCAAAGGCTGCGGCTGTGAGTGCATTTCCATATCTGCAATCGGTTAGTGTCAGGTAGGGGAAGTCTATGACGGTCGCAAGACTTACTCGGGGCCTGTGGCATTCGGGTCCACCTTGAATTCTTCTAGCAGTAACTTCACTGTGTCGGTCTTCTCGAGATCGGTAGCTTCATAAAGAGATCGCTCCAATGCTTCCTTCGAGACGTGGCAAGTCGCGTGCTTCCAGATTGCTTGCAGGACTTTTTCTTGAGGTTCGGAGCTTGTGGCAGCCAGGACGAAGCCCTCATCGCAGTTCAAGTTCTGACAATGTTCAAGAAGCACCATGACCACCTCCCAATTCCCTTCGACGGCAGCAGTGTCTATCGCCTGCTGGTAGAATTCTTGTGAGTGCTGGAAGTCCAGCAGCTTGTTGAAAACTTCAAGTCTTCCGGACCCGGCAGCAGTGACTAGAGCTTTGCTGAACTCTTCGGCTGGCAAACGGTCTGCATACTTTTCGATGAGGTACTGGAACATCGGGGGATCCGAGAGGCACGCTGCGTAGGGAAGCGGAGAGAGGTTATCGCTGTCATCGTTCTCCATATGTAAGGAGACGCCATGCTCGACCAGAAGCTCGACAGCTGCACGGTTTCCTGAGGATATTGCCGCGTTGACGACTGGGCCGATGTCAGCTCCCCATGCATTCGGGTTGGCGCCACGTATGATGAGCTTCTTCATGACCTCTATATGGCCACCAAAAGCAGCCATATGGAGTGGAGTCTGCTCTCGCTCTTCCGTAGCGTCATCGACGGGTGCGCCACGGTTGAGTAATTCCTCCACGATCCCTGGGCGACCTAGATGGGCAGCGAAATGCAGCTAAGAAGTTGCAAGTTAGAAGCATGCCAACAGGAATGCAGGGTCCGAACTCACCGGACTATTGAACAACTCATCGCGCTGCGTGATCTCTGCCTCATGTCCATTGCGAATCAAAGCTTCCACCAAGGCTCGGAAGCCAACAGCCGCCGCCACATGCAACCCCGTTAGTTTTGTGCGGTCAAAGTCGTCGAAGGTAGAGGTACTCTCGCAAAAGGCGATCATCCAGCGCCTTCGTATCCTGGAATCTGGTTTCCAGAAGTCGTGCTCGAGACTCAAGTCCTCCGCAATCTCGAGTGTCGCTTTACTGGCGTGGTGCAGCCAGTGCTTGACGGTGTACCACAAACTCCTGCTCCGCACCATGGTGACTTCAGGGTCTTCGTACTGATCCTCGCTCTGGTAAGTCTCGTATTCGTCCTCGCCAGACCAACTGGAGCCGCTTTCCACTGAAGCCGCATCATCTTCTGCATCGTCGTCGACCTGCTCAACCGCGCTCTGTTGATCGTGCTCGGCGTAAGCTTCCTCTTGCTGCACGCCGTCGTCAGCTTGCTCTTCGTGACCTACATCCTCTCCCTCGTTTGCTTCGCCATCTTCCTCCTCTTCATGACCGTCATTATCAACCGTGTCATCATCATTGTCCGAAGCCTCCTCCTCTGCAGCCGCTTCAGGTTCAGGATCCGGGAAATCAAAGCTCTCCTTCAAGTACTCAAAACAGCGCAGAGCCAGGACACCATGCTGCCACTTTGTTCCTTCTTCAGACAGTCCTAGGAGCTCGCTTGCGTTCTCGCGCAAGTGCGTCTTCACGACAATGTTCAGAAACGAGACTGTCGACTCGTCTCTGCTCGTCCGCTGCACTACCAGCAAAGGTTTGCACATTTCAATCAACCTGCGCAGCTCCGCCTTGTCGTGGTCGGTCGAGGCCAAGCCAGCGAGTACTTCTAGCTCAGACTCAGTTGGGTCTTCGTACGTGAGAACGAGCGCACGAAGCATTTCCTGGATCTTCTCCACGTCCAGATCATTCGGGGCAAACAACGTTTGCCAACTGCGGTTCAACAGTGTGTTGAGATCCTCCGGCATCTTCTCAAGCACTCTGCGGACCCGGAGATCACTCTCTTCCTTGGCGAGCACGCTAAGCTGGACGCAGGTTATGTCGATCCACTGTGTATTCTGTGCCCGCTTGCCAATCAAGCTGCTTGCGAAATAAGCCAGTGCCTGGTTGTAGTTTTTCTCGCTTCCCAGGGCAGAAATCTTCTTTCTGGCATGCTTGCGTAGCTCGAGCTGCACCTGGTTCTCGTATTTGCTGTCTTCCAGGTCTATCAGCCGCACTCCGCTGAAGTTCAGAGCTTGTTGAATCCCGTGAGCTTCCCTACTCGTGATCAGCCATCGCGTGCGAACATGTCTTGAGTCTCCACTCATAATGTTTTCGAGCTCGGCCGAGAGGAACCGCATGAGCTTGATAGTAGAATCGGCCTCAGGCGGTAGGACATGGAGGTTGTTGAGGACGAAATACACGCGACTGCCAATGAACTCGTCTGAGAGCATATCTTGAAGAGTCTGCCATAGATTTTCAATGGTGACCTGAGCCTGCTGTGATGTCGGCTGCTGTACCGGATTGTTGGCATCCGGCTTTGGTGCTTTCTTCTTGTTGAAGACCTTGGCGTACGCAGCAAGTGTTTCTTGCTGGCTGACGAGCTGTAAGACGATGGACTTGAGGACGTCTTCAGCAGTGCAGTAATCTGTCTGAGCGTCGCAAAAGAAGTACGCGAGCAGAATGGGGTCCTCGCCCGTGTTATCTTCCTCGTTCAATTGCATCGCCTTCTCAATTTCCTGGAGAGCGGCCATGGTTGCGTTGGTCTTGCCGCGACCTTCGCGGCCACGGATCCAGATGCAGTCTCCTGCGGCAAGCTTGGGTGCCTCATCTTCATCCTCCGCCGCCCGCGTAGTCTTGGGCCCTAGCCACTCCAGATACTCAGCTTCCTTGGGAATCCAGGACGAGGGGGCAAATGTTTGGGCAAGAGTTCTGCGTTTCTTCTGGACTTGTGCTCCGTCGAGCGCTTCTGTGATGCTCTTGATAAGGGCAGGGTCGACTTCGCGATTCGATTTGAAGCGGCCCTTGGCTGAAAGCTGCGCTCCTTGAATGACTTTTTTGAGGGGATCTCTGACAAACTGCAGCCACCTCTCATCCTTTGGGCTGTCAAATTTGACAAGGTCACGGTGGTTGCATGCCAAACCTCTGTTCTCGACTCCCTGGAGGATCGCAGATTCCCGTGTAACGAAGTCGGCAAATTGTTTCGGTATCGCAAACTTGACGACGGAGCTGAAGACGCTAGGGAGACCCGCCATCTTGGAGAAATCGGTCTGCTCTTGTTCGTAGAAACAAAGAAGCTCCACCTTGGGTGTGATCTTTGTGGTCAAGCGCATTAAATCATGGACGAGATCGCGAAGTTCTTCGTTGTCCTTTTCCATGAGGGTAAGCAGCTTCGATGCAGATGCCGCTCCTGCCTTCTCCGCCATGTATGCATACATGGCGGCAGCTTGTGCCACAGCAGTTCCACCAAACGGCGTGCCGAAGAAGATCCCGCCTGTTATGGCTTCAAAAATCTTGGGATACTTGTCTTTGCGAGTATCGGCCAGCACAATTGCTTTTGCAACTACTAGGCCACCCATCGAGTGCGCAATGAACACTATGGGTCTCCGAGGGTAGTTCTGTAAAGCGTCCAAGAATGTGAGCCAACAAGGTATTTGAACAAAGGACGATAGGAAAGCAGACACGAACCTTCCGGACGCTCCCGAGAGCGCCCAGCAGGCCATCGGCGATGTTGCCGATGGTCTGCTTGACCTTGAGTGCGCCAACCCAAGCGGACTCGTACCTGTATAGCAGGAAACGGGCCTTCGGGAAATCGCGCCGAAGGCCATTGCTGTCATTTATCCAGCTGAAAGACCCTTTGGTTGACTGCCAGCTCTGGTCTGGATGTGCGCCGAGACCTGGCACAAAGACGATACTGGGTGGTGGGCCATCGCGTCAGGATAAAATCTTCGGGGGTACTCATGAGCAGGAGAAAGGAAATGCTAACTCTACATCAGGAACAGTCGTCGTGTTCTCTGGCGGGTTGATCTCCTTGATACCTTGCTGGGCATCCTCGTATGTCTTCTTCTTGGGAGCCGGCACGCTATTGGCGGGCGCCTTGCGAGTGGCTGACCGCTGTAGCGTCCCAGAGCGTTGCACCGTGCCAGAGCGCTGAACCGTCGACATGTTGAAGCTGGTGGAGTTGAGCCTTAGCTCACAACTCCAACTTGAGGCTCGATAGATACAGAAGAAGATGAAGAAGCAATAAAGGTTGTCATCACAACGGAATGCTTATGGTCGCGCGTCCGGAGTAGACATGTCGACATGAGCTGGCCTGCCCTGCAACCCTGCACCTGAGACCCTCGAAACGGGCCGCCAGGGGTCTGTGGAAGCGCCATGCAAGCCACCCACCACCCGGAGCTTCACCACTCGACGGAAATGAGCTAGGGTTCGGCTCGTCTAAGCTGCGATGTGTCTAGGCCCGATCAGCCGCCGTCGTGTGGGGAGACGCGGGTGGGATTGGGCAAGTCTGACCCCTGCCTAGTGGGTTGACAGACGGGTGATGCTCTGTCATGGCTGCCTGCCTTTCTGGCCGCAAGTCAGCCAGAGCAGCTCGGTTTGCAGCTCGGACGGCGCAGGGCAACGGGACGCAAGAACGCAAGAACGCAAGTAGCGGGTACAGCAACCGCAGCAGCGGCAGCAGACTATTCCTGCGAGGCGGCAGCTTGGTCTGGTACGCGTAATCTGGTTGGGAAGCAGATGGGGAAGGGGGTCGTGATGGCGGCATCCAGCCGCGGCCCTCATTAAACGTGCTGACGGGACTAGGCAGGAAGGAGCAATGGTGCTTCATCTCTGGCAGGCGGGCCCTGCAAGTAAGCACGGCAGGCGGGGCATGGGGCATGCATTGTGCTCAGCTGGGTCGACAGGCGTCACAATCGCAGCAGTCGGGTGACAATGGTTAGAGTTTCCCGTTTGGCCCCCAGCCCTACCAGGCTAGTGCCCTTACTGATGCCTGTCTTTTGTCCTTAAAAAAGAAACAAAGGGGGCGAAGTCCACTGCAACCTTGGCACATGCGCCCTAACTCAGAGGCGTTCCCACACAACTGCGGGCCGCCTCGAGCCTGGTTGGTCGCTTCATACGACGATGCTGTGCGCTGGCTGGCTCCAACGGGGCCGGCCGCCACTAACAGACATGGCCGGGTCCTGGATTTGATCCCGTGAAGCCAATTTCAGAAGCCCTGCAGGCATGCAGGGCGGTATAGCAACTACTTATAGGTATTCCAGGCTGGATCGAGTACTAAATAAGCGTGTGTTCGGCTGACTGCGGAACCGGCCTGGCCCTTGTAAGTGGCAGCCATCTCCTGGGGTTTGTCTGTGGACTGCCCTGTCACCTCTATCGCGACATATCGTGACCCTTTCCCCTCTCTGACTTGATCGTTCCTTGCGGTCGACACTTATCCTCAGAGCAATCTCTGGCAGGCGCGCGCGTATCGCAATCACACCCTCTCAGCAATGTCGACGCCAGTAACCCATCCCAGCATGGATAAAACACATCTTCCCTTCAAGATCCGCGTGCTCGACGTGGCGCCGGGACCCGCTCCTGTTCGCGATTCTGTCCGCGCTCTCCTGCCAGCTGCGCGCCGTACACGTGGCGACGAGATTGTCGTGGCCCAGCCCGACTTTGACTTCCTCGAGCAGGAGCTGCTGGTCCGCAAGCTCAACGCAGTGCAGGACTGGCTCTGGGCATGTGGCCGCCCGATGCCGCCGCGGGCCTTGCACCACCAGCTCGTCATCCAGCGTGACATCGTCGTCACCGAGAACCCAGAGCTGCATCTACTCTGGGGCAATGGCCGGCTCTACGTCAAACCTCTCCCTCGCTACTTGCTCGACCCAACCTTCTGGGCTGAGCATCTGGTGTGCGACGAGAGCCCCCGCCGGAGGGAACTGGCCGAATGCGCCAGGGGCTTTCTCTTCTCCTACTGCGCCCTGATCGCCTACGAGACCGACTTCCACATCGCCCAGGCGAATCATCTCATCCCAGCTGCCCTCACTTGGGAGGCATGGCAAGATGTCTCGTCAGAAATCATCCGCAACCACTGCTTCTCTGCGATCAATCCGCGCTACTGGTACGGTGAGCTTCGCCTAGGCCGGCTCAACAAAATCTACCAGTTCCGCCTGGGCTACATATTCCGCGGATATACCAGCGTGGCTGGCTACAAGGTTTACGGCGACCTCCTGCGCGACAACTTTGCCGGCTTGGCGACGATACTGGGTTATGTGGTGATTGTGCTCACGTCGATGCAAGTGGGCCTGGGCACAGAGAAGCTCGCAGCCGACGAGACGTTCCAGGCCGTCAGCTGGGGGTTCACCATCTTCTCAATGATAGCGCCATTGATAGCTGTCGCTGCCATTCTGGTCTTCGCATTCTTCTGGATCATGAGCAACTGGCTGGCGACCACAAGCTACGAGGGTAGGAGGTTCCGTGAGATGGGCGTACGGCCGTTTTGGAGGATGCAACAACGCAAAGCCAAAACAACGGCAAGCTCGACGAGCGCAAAGCCATTCATAGACGACGGCGCCTCCGAAGAAGGGCAAGAGGCAATGTGACGAATTTGTCTGATTAGCGATGGAAGTTCAAAAGATCAAACATAAGATTCAACCACTCATTTGTGTCCCTAACTGACGTGCTGGTCATCATCTGTGGTCAATGGTTTGCGCGTGAGAAATATATGCCACCCTGCGCCGAAATGTACCTATTGTATCCCTGCAGTCATGGAGGAAGGCCATCATCAGCAAAGCCACTGCAACTTAAAACGTCTGGACATCAAGCGTGCCAGGAGTATGAATGCACAATGATTCGTTCCGGCGCCGGCCGATGTTGGACCCATAATTCCAGGTCATGCTGGTCGGGGAAGTTTTATTCTTGCCGAGGAACAATCGCAGCCCACTGATTACGTAACCTATATAGCATACTTTCTACGTGCCCTTGTACCTCCCTCTCTCCGTCTTCGGCGCCAGTTTACTTTCGCCGAGCACGCCTTCTCGCTGACTTCCACCTGTGGAACTTTGCACACCTGTCGCTTCCCGTAAACTCGAAAAACATGGCCCGGCAAATCCATTCTTCGGAATCTGATATGGTATCATAAGACAATGCCTCGCGAGAGGACTGATTCGTCGATCAGGAAGCGCAAGTCTTCCGCACGTAGCAGTCAAGACGACATTGGGTCAAGCAAGCGTCCAAAGAAATCAGTTGCGTAGGTTGAATCGCGGCCGACCACATGAAATCGCTGGGGCTACCTCTAATTGGCCTCGTTCCCTCTGTGTAGATGTAATCCATGCCATGCCCGCAAAGTGAAATGCTCCGGCGGCGAACCCTGCTCCAATTGCGAGCAGGCAAAGTGCCCGGCGGACTGCAAATATCCCGTGCGAGATGCAAAGGTGACCGTCTCTGAGAGGTACGAACCCAGTAACCTCGCTTGGTGTTGACAGATACTGACCTCATTGAGAAGCTACATTGAGAAGCTCCTGGAAGAGAATCGCCAGCTACGCCAGACCAGTACGCCCACGACCCCAAGAGACAACTCGAACACCATCACCACCACCGCCCAACATGATCAGCGATCACAGACAGCCCCTACAAGCGAGCAGCGCGATTCGGCTCGGAACCCGCTGCTTGACGACCGCGGCTGGTTCTACCGCCTGGGCAGCTCGGGCAGCATGCCCGTGCACATTGGTGAGGCCGCGGACACGGCCTTTGCCACACGCTTGCGCCAGGCTCTGGCAGAAAACAACAACCTCAAGCACATGCCGCGCATCCATTACGTCAGCGACGAGCGCCTCACGCATCTCGCGGCCAGCAACTGCCCCTGGCCCTCGATGCCCAGGGCCCGGCTGCTCATCAAGTTCGCCATGGACACTGTCGGATCTGTCTATCACACGGTCCGCAGGTCCGAGATCTACGGCGGCCTCAAGCAGCACTACCAGAACCTCCCAACGGCGGACACCGTCTTCGGATATAAGCTGTGGGCGTTGTTTGCCCTCGGCGAGGTCTACTCGTGTAGAACGCCGGCGGCGTCGCCAGACAACTTTCCCGGGCTGGGCTACTTTGCCCAGGCTTGTCGTATACTGGGGCAGTTTCGAGAACGACCGCAGTTTGATGATATCGAGGTCTTGCTTCTGTTGGTAAGGTTTGTTTTGTAGGACACGTGAAAACGAACAACGCTAACACGTCGTGTGTCGACAGTCATTGTATAATCTCCTGATCAATAGAAGATACACGGCCCATGCCTTGGCAAGCATGGCCGTCAGACAGGGAACAGTCATTGGTCTCAACCACAACATCGCATTGGACCTGCTCCCGGATCGTGCGGCGCAAGAACACCGTACGCGCGTCTGGTGGACAGCGTACTTGCTGGAGCGACTCTGGGCGTCCAAGATGGGCCACGCAGTCTCAATCCAAGACGACGACATCACTGTCAGCATGCCCTCGCAGGAAGGCCTCCCAGAGTCCGTGCAAGGCGACTTTATCGATGTCGAGCACGTCAAGGCCAGCATCCGCCTGGCGAGGCTGTCTCGGGACATGATCAACTCCATCTACAACCGCAATGCCACGCAGCCTTTCTCGCAGCGCGTGCAGAAGACACTGGGCGAGCTCCGCGCGTGGGTCAAGGAGCTGCCGACCCATCTCCAGATCGAGTCGCGGGAGCCGGGCCGTCCACTTATGAGGCATGTCAAGTGGCTGCACATGACTTTTAATCAGGTAAGTCCTCCTCCTCTTCCTCCTCCTTCTCTACTCACCCCGATCGGTCATGGCTCTCCCACCCAGCTAAGCCCCGAGATCTTGCTCCCAGCTTGTCATCGTCGCTACCAGGCCGGTGCTTCTGCACGTCTTCCGCACCAATAAACAACTCTGGTCCACGCCCACGCCGGCCCAGAATCTCAGGCAAGAAGTCGGCGAGACGATGCTGGCCCTCGCCGAGGCATGCATACGCTGCGCCCGGCATTCCCACCAGCTCCTGACCGACTGCTGGATCGATGGCTCCTTTGCCATATTCGACTACACCTACACGCAGTACCTGTTCTCCGCGACCACCATCCTGGCCATATCGAGCCTGTCCATTGGCCGGTCCGACCAGGAGGACAAGGACAGCTTCGAGTATGCGTATCAGTTTATCGACCAGCTCAAGAAGAACGGCAACTTTGCCGCTCTCGAGTTCTGGCGCCACGTCGACGAGGTCCGACTCGGCATGCTCGACTTCCTGTCCAAAATGGGCGGCGGCGGAGGCGTGAGCGACCCTGTCCATGGCCCGAACGGGCTGACCCTGGGCACTGGTGAGTCGGCGGCGGCGGCCATGGGCAGAAGTGGTGGGAACGCGCCATCGCTGGGACCCTTTATGCCGTCCTCGGCGAGCCACCAGCAGCAGCAGCAGCAGCACCATCTTGCGCATATCTACGGCGGTGGTGGCGGAACAGCTGCTGCCACAACCCCAAACCACACGGGCTACCAATCCACCATGACAACCGAGATGGCGCTGGCCGAGCCGTCGCTGCAGGATTTCCTGTCGCAGGCCGCCGAGCTGGACCTGGGCTTTCTCGACACGCAGATGCACGAGTCCGGCTATCAGAGCCTCTACGTACCTGGTGTGCCGCCGACATATGATTCTTGGGATCCAAGCTGATGCCCGCCCCTGGGATTAGGGGGGGCACTTGGTAGGATTATATAGATGATGTGTGTTATTACAATAGTTATTACAGGACTTAGTGTACATAGTCTAAAGCATGGTAGGCCTGCTGGGGTATATATCTATAAAAGGCAGAGCTCCCAAAAAGAAAATCCCAAATTTTTTTGTTTATACCCTCCGCCGTCGTGACGTGATGGTGCCCCCCTGTTGTTTATGAAGACCCATCTGACTCCGACCGACCTTTTGGACATCCGGGCCTCCCAAGAAAGGAAAAAAGACGAGATGGGAAAAGGAAAAGGGGGTATAAGAGAGAGAGAGAGAGAGAGAGAGAGAGAGAGAGAGAGAGAGAACAGATTTACAATGCAAGAAGTTGCGGCATCTTGCGCTCGGCCCAGCGCTGCATGTTGATGCCGTATTTGGCCGTGATCATCGACAGGCAGCCAGCGACCAGGACGAGAAGGGCACCTGGAGCACAGGAAATTCTGGTTAGTCTCGATTATTCCCACGCGCCAAATTACTACGCACGAGACGGCAAACAGCAGAAAGAAACTGTAAAGCGAGAGAAAAGAAAGAAAGAAAACGTACTGATGGTAGTCGCAGGCCCCATCCCCACGGCATCGATGAGCGGGACCACGACCGCGCTGCCCACGGCTGACGTGCCGTACTGGACGAGGTACTTGCTGGCAATGACCTCGCTGCGTCTGCGGGGCAGCGCCTCGGCGCAGTACGTGTTGAGGCTGGCGAACGCGAACAGCAGGCCAAACGCCTGGACGGCCGCGAAGACGAGCGCGACGGCCAAGCCGCCCGTGGTGCCCTGGGGAACGTTGAAGTGCAGGCACCACCCGTACACGAGCTGCGCGAGCGGGATGATGGCGAAGAAGGCGACCCTCCCCGAGAGGAGGCGGTCCTGGGGCAGGCGCAGCCCTCCCCGGAGGGCGATGTGCTTGCGCACCGTGGCGTCCGAGTACCGCCCGCCGATGAGGGTGCCGAGGATGAAGCCGACGCCTGGCGCGATGTAGAACAGTCCCGAGACTAGCGGGGTGGTGAGGTTGAAGCGGGGGTTGAGGACGTGCCGCGGAGCGGCGAGCAAAGTGTATTGCGACCAGGACATGCAGCCGCATGCTATGTCCTTGTGGGAGGGGAAAAAGAAAATGTCGATGTTAGTGGGACGGGCATGTAGCGAGGTTGTTTTGGGCCTTTTCTTTTTGGGAAGAGAAGGGAAAACTTACTGTGAGGAGGATGTTTGGGAACAAGAAAGCCTTGAATGTGTTTGTCGGGTCAAACAGCTTGAGCACGGCGAGGGGAGTGAGTTTGTCCTTGTCTTCATCGTCGTCCTGCTGCTTCTTCGTGATCTTCTCGGTTGGCAGTGTGCCCTTTTCGGCGTCGTCGATCTGCTTCTTGTTCGCGGCGGCAATCTTTCGGGCCTTGCGCGTGTTCTTGGCAGCAGGCTGGCCGTTGTGGCGGATGTCTGGCAAGAACAGCACCGACAGAATCAAGCCAATGCCCGACATGGCCACCTGGAGCCACAGTACCGAACGCCAGGTCGTGTATGTGACCATGATGCCAGCGAAGCAAGGTCCTGTGAAACGGAAAAGCGTTAGATTGCTTGTTCTTGTGCTTCACGACAGCCTCGTGAATAACACTAGAAAGTGTCCCCTTTGAGTAAATGAAAGTCAAGGGACATGGGTACTCACCGAACGCTGGACCGAAGACGGTGCCGACCAGGAAGAAGCCCGTAGCTGTGCCTCTTTCCGTCTGTGTATCGCATGATCCATGTTAGTCAAAAACTTATTCACACTTCTTCGCTGCCGTTGACATCGGGTGCCACCACCACCACCAAGCATATTCAAGACTTACAGGCTCAAAGATGTCCGCGATCCACGTCTGCCCGGCGATATGGAAGAACGTGCCCTCGAACCCGCTAATCACCCTCATTGCCGTGAACACGGCCAACCCGATTCCGCCACTTCCATCCAGTGCGCCACCGCCAGCAGCAGCGACATCGAACTCAGGCGACAATGCAGTTCCCGCCGTCGTAACTGCGAAAATAACCGTCGCGGCGAGCCAGGCGTTCTTACGGCCGAAGATCTTGCTCAGCGGGCCCCAGAAGAATATGCTGCAGCCCATGAGGACTAAGACGATCGCGTTGATGAGCTGGATGTGGGCCGGCGTGGAGTTGAGGGATGTGGATATTTCTTGGGTGAGGGGAAAGAGGGAGGTTGAGCCGAAGGTTATGGGCAGCGCAGTGAATGCAGTTACAAAGACGACGAGATTCTTGCGCCATTGTGGGAGGAGCCGGTAGGGGGACGGGGTTGTGTGTGTGCGTTGTAGGCGGAGGGCGTCCGGATCTTGGCTGGCGTCGTTGTTGTTTATTGTCGTTGTTCTGTCATGGTCGTCGTCGTCGTCGTCGCTGTGACCGTCGCGGTCCTCGGCCGAGACTTGAGTGGTGAGCGCGGAGCCGGAACCCGGAGTGGCGTCGGGGGAGTGACAGGGACTTGTCTGGGCGTCCGGCGGGACCGTCGAGATGCGGGCGAGATTGGGGCCCATTGTTGCTGGACGGATAGAAAGCGTCGGAGGCTTGAGAAAACAGACTCCAAAAGGTTGTAGAAAATCGAAGGCCGTGAGAAATAATCGAAATGTCGCATATGCTGTGGTGATGACATGTATCAAGTGTTTTCTGGCTCGATATAGTTAGGGTACTGGGTGTAAGTGAGGCTTGTACTTTCCACGATCGTCCAGATCAGTCACTTGGTCACATATGCTGACGAGAGAGGGAACTCATGAAATCAAGGGGATCCATCATTACTATATGCACAGATCCCATCATTCAATGCCAGCGGTTGACACGAGTAGTCTTGCGCGCTGCTGTTGCTGCTCGGTCTGTACGAGCTTTTCGCCGGTTGGGATGCAACAAGTGGCTCTCGGATCTATCAATGGGGCCCACACGGAAGAGCCGCCGCGGGCGATCACGGGCCATGCCGGCCTCCAAGCGCCTTGGTGGTTACCTGGTCTTGATGCCCGATCTTGTGTCGTTATCTGCCTTGCATGCGGCGACTCTGCCGGCAAGGGCCCATCCCACGTGGGTGGTGGTCGCGGCAGGTAGGGATGCTGCCCCCTCGGGTCGAAAGGGTAATTTCAAGGGCATGTCTTATCTGAGTCGCTGCCGGGAGGAGGGACCTCTGGATGCTTCGTGCACTCGACCATGACAGGGAGTGTGGTTGCCCAAGAGTGGGTCAGCACTTCCTGTTTCCTAGGCGCAATTTGACAGCACCAGGCAAAACCAGGGTTGCTATGTTGATGATGAGTTATCACAGTCTCACCTCGCCTGTCGATGTGACCTACCGGATTGATGTGTGATGTTGGCTACACTGAAGCACTACTCGCGGCGAAAATAATCCGGCTCCGAACCTAGAGATAGTGCATTGCCGTTGAGTCTGCGACCAGGGATTGCTGCTCGGCAAGAACAAATTCTTACCGGCGAGTGGATCCCCGTCCACTCAACGCGTAAGTTGCGAAACCAATATCGCCAGCCCACGGCACGGATGCTCCAAAACCCAACATGAATACTTGTCGCAAGATGCGCAGATAGAATAGGTCGAGGGAGGAATAGATCGTCGACTCTAGATACGTCCAAGCACCGGCAATTCAATGCTTGCGCCATGCAAGAATCACTCCCTTGTAAGTCGGCTAAGGACATGGGCCGTGTACTCCGTATCGTAGGCAGAAACCCTTGTCATGGGCCACGAGAGAACTAAACAGTGAATGCACCACGGGCCTATGATGTAACCATCCTAAAAACATGAGCACAGCAGCACGACCGCTGCCGCGTATCTTGAATTGATCCCACGAGTCGTGTGCGCGGCCCCAGCAGGTCCCGTCCCAATCAGGGAATCCCAGTTCTTCGGCACGGGTGGGTCCCGCCTGCCTGCACGCCTCAAGGAGCGATCCCGATTCGTTTTTGCTTGACACACGTTCGTCCATGCTCGTGCACACACACACACACAGCCTCAAGTTGAGAAACCCCTGTCGGGTATTTGCGCACGCCGCTGCACGGACCTGTGTCGCGGGTGTAACTTGAGATTGAGATAAATGCGGCGGTTGTCATGGCGGACATGCCGTCTTCCGCATCATCAATTGGGTTCCCGTGACCTTGGGCAGCCAGACTGTACATTCAACAAAACTCCAGATCAAGCCCCCGAATCGATAGAAACTTGTACGACAGTGATGTGCATCTGCGAGTATATAAGAGACGGACCCATCTTCTCAAAGATCATCATGATGAATGGGCGCCGATAAGCGCCGCATGCAAATCGCTGCTTGTGCTGTATGGATGTCTTTCTGCCTTGCAATTTCCAAGGTTGGCAAATATGTAGAATTCGTTAAGAGCCAAAGGATATACCAAAACGCCAGCCGGCAATGAAGTCATCCCACATTTGAAAAGACGAAAGACGAAACTTTCCAATCCCATCCCATTTCATAAGCTCATGCGCCTCTTAAGAGTCATAGTCATAACACAAGGACTCGCCACGAATGTCCAGCATGTCCCCCACGGTCACATCTGGCCTCAGCCCCATGGAAGACAGCGTCGTGCTCGCCGTCATGGGCGAGCAATTGTCTCCGGGGGCGGCGCACCCGCCAACCGCCGTGAAACGCGACGCATCGGAGCGCTGCCACTGGTTCCACATGTGGTCGACAAAAGAGTGGTGCATAAAGAATACTATTTTTAATAGAGAAGGTCAGCCAGGAGCCTCGTCTCACAATTCCAAAGCAGAGGGAGCATATTGGTGGTGGTTGTGGAGGTTTTGCGGGGGGGGGGTTCCCCCGCCGGGCCGCACAACACCATGAAGCCATCGTGAGAATACTAACCTGGATCAGACGGCGACGCCGAGACCTCCGCCATGACAGGCCCCAGGCCGTTATGCCCATAACCGTGCGGTCCGCGCTCGTTGCACATCTCCATATCCGAATACGCGCCCTGGCTGTTGCACTGGTTGACGAAATTCTGGTTGACGTTGGAGGTAACGCTGGTATCCTCGCCACGCGACAGGCAACGCTCGGTATTGGAGCTCCCGGGACCGATATGCAGCGGGCGGCCGCCGAACTCGCCATTGGTAATGCATGTGCCCTGGCCGTTGTTGATGGGCGGCAGGGCGCCAAAGTAGTCGTCCGTGAAGAGGCCCGAGGCCGCAAAGTTGCCCGAGTCGGCAACCTCATTCCACCACGGCAGCGGCGCCGCGTAGCCACACTCCTCGCGCAGCAGGCGGGAGAAAGTCCACAGGTAGTAGCGGTGCCAAGGGAGGAAGATGCCCGCGTTGTGGATGGTGTTCGTCATCTGCTGGTGTACCCAGACGAGTTCCTCGTAGCGGTTGGTCGCCGGCGGGGCGAGACCCTGGGCCGGTGCGTCCCAGAGACAGCCGATGGCTTTTATAAAGGAGAGCTTGTCTGCATCGGCCATGTTGCGCCACTCGACACGCACAAAGGGGCTGGCACACTCGGCCTGGGTTGAGACGGTGCCGCCGCCGCCGCCGTCTTCGGCCGCAGCCGTTGTCGTCTGTCCTTGTGTTGTGCTGGACGAAGAAGAGGAGTTGTGACTGCTGACCTGGGCATTGAACTCGTCGAGTGACATTGTTGGGAACTTGTACTCGAAGGGCACGAGCTGGTCCCGCTTGGACGTGTTGGGCAGGACAGCCGCCGACACCGCGGCGGCGCCTGAGGCGATCTGAACTGCCACGGAGAGCCGCATTGTGATACCCGGTGTCGATTAACTCTGTGACTGGGTCCAAGCAGTGATGGTGGACAATAATCAGTCACCAGGATAGAAATGGGGAGGATGGGGGGTGTTGTGCGACCCGAGGAGGAGCAGGTAGGCTGGATCCAACAGGATATATAGGTCAGGATGAGTGCTGAAAACGGGCCCTCGTCGATCTCTACCCACACGCATGGTGCTCTCAGATGGACGACCCGAGGCTCGAGTTACGCAAAGAGTGCTGGCGTTGTGGGTTGGAGACTGAAAGTCCATTGTTTCCCAAACGGGCAAGATTGGCCCCTGCCTCCCCTGCATCCCTGCGCCCGCCGCCGGGGTCCCAGGGGACAGGGGTTTCTTGTAGCAATGGGCACGTCATCTATCTGTCTCCTCCCCCCATCCCTAGGGGGTTTCTGGTTCGTCTTGCCGCCACCATCACCGCCTCTACCGCCGCCACTGCCGCCGCCGCCGCTGCTGGTGCTTGCTCCTCCGTGCCGAGTGGACGGGTCCGTGGCGTCATGGTTGTCTGGGGCTGGCAGCCACTGCGACCACCCCGTTGCGCGCGGCTGACCACAAGCGCCTTGGGTTGAGTTGGCGCCCTGTGGGCTGCGAAAAAGTCAAAAGAGTCACGAGATGGAGAACCAAAGACTGCGTTTCCTCACTAGGACTGACGTCGATCAGAATGCATTATTCATGTGCTGGCTGGTCCAGAAGTGGCAGTACAGCCCCCTCTTCACCTACAATAGGCGACCGCCCACAGGCAATACGAAAAGATGTGCAAGGCGGAGTAGTACACGACGACCCTGGTGGGTGGCCGGGCATCCTCTGTCGGGACTAGTGCTTTGCAGATCACCAACCACAACGGCTCGAACGGTTCAGGCGTTCTGCGGGTACCGTACAATACCACCATGGTGTATGGCCGCTACCCGCCAATTCTGTTTTTAGCCTTACGTGTCCCCCAAAGTACCCGACTCAAGTCATTCTCATCCCTCCATTACGATCGATCGGCTCATGACTTGTCTGGTGACGACGTGGGCCTGTCCATCCCCCGCAGCGCAGGGCTTAGGCCCATCACAGATGGCACATGCGCGATGACCTCGCCTTTGCCCATCTCTGTTGTCGTCCGGCGGAGTCAACACGGGCATGGAGCGGGGTACTGCAGGATCGACATGATCTACTGAGAAAGTTGCAGCGGGAGAGTAGCAAGCCGGCATGGTGTCAGTTCATGGCCAAGCTTTCTTGATCGGCCGGACGCAACGTGACAGCTGCCGGGTCACCTTATCACCGTAGCATCATGACGTCGAGGTAGATATCTGCTCGATGCGAAGGAGAGTCTCGGGCAGCTTTCAGCGACCAGCATCACCATCGGCCCTACTCCCATGTGAGCGCAGCACGTAGCGCTCAGAGCGACTGATATTGACTGTCTGGCTGTCTGTCAGAACGACCGTCGAAGTGTCCGAGCTTTTGAGAAATTCCGAGAGCACGTGAAGCACCTCGTCATCATATTGATCTACCAGAAGGGCCGCGGTGACACATTTAAGGCTTTATATATCACGAGCTTCCTAATCTTCCTCGTTAGAGAAATATGTGAGCATCTAATAAGCTCTTACAACACCAGCTGTACGATTAATAGAGCTGGACAGTTCTCGCCTCCTAGGCGTCCCTCTGCCCTGTGTGACCGAGTACGAAAGTGTTCCTGCCTTTTACTGCCCTAGTTAGTTGATGATATAAAGTACAGAATTCATTGTATAATCGTGGCCTATGCAGCCGAGTACGTCTTGGCTGGCGCTGCGAACAACTTTTGTATCCACATGCCGCTAAGAAGACCGGTCCGGAGCAGTAGCATCGCTCATGAGAATATCATCAACACATTCTTTCTACAATGCACACATGAGATGTGTGTTACGGTCGATGATGGGGATCATCTGGGACTAGATTGATGAATTATCAAGAACCTCGGTACTGTTTGTGCTGTTGGAAACCCAGGCTCTGTGAAGAGCACTACCGTGTGAAATAGTGACACTCACCAACCTCTTGTTCCGTTCAATATCCGCCCTTCAACCATTGTTCCTGGCCACAGTTGGCGCTACTGCGTCCTTGATGCCTCCAGCTCATAAGACATGACACGCACGCCAGGTGATCGAGCCAGATCGGCAACGTGCTCACCATGATGGCGTTGGAGATCATGGCCCCAAGGGGAGACAGGTTGACTGTCCAGCTCCTGCGGTTCTCTGGGTATTGCAGCCGTGGTTGGCGCTTCAAGTTCGGGCTTTTCGAACCGCGTGGCTTCACTCGTGGCCGCGATTTGCGCAGTGACGGGTTGCGATGTGTCGGTGCCAGGCGTGCTGCCCTGATTTCTCTTCTTCCGTAGCCAGCGACAAAACCAGACTATGAGGAGCGAGCACACCATTATAGGCAGTAAAATTACGAGCGCCATTTGGCTGGCGAAAGAGAGCTCATAATTAGGTCGAGAGTCCTGATTGGCTGCCACTGTTGGACTGCTGTTCCCATTTCCTGAGCTTGAAACTGCAGAAGAGGTAACGGCGCCTGTCGTTGTGGCTGATGTTGTTTGCCCGCGTTGCACCAGAAAGAAAGTCTCGCTGACTGTCGCGCCTGGGAACGTAGCATCTCCATACTCGGAGAATATTTGAAAGCCGCGCGGGCCATTGGACACGGGAATTGTTGGCGGCACGAGCCAGCTGTGATAGACCGCGGTCGAATTGGGACATTTGCCATCGGCCCCTGTGAGCCACACAGGCGGTCCGGTAGAAAACAGAGTAGGGGAAAGCCCGGCAGCAACTGGATCCCAATGTAGCGTGGCGTCTGGATACGATTATTCAGCAGACTGTCACTATATGCACAGAACTGTACTATTCCCAGCCTCGCCGGTGGCTTTGGGATAGGGATAAGGTAGGACAAACCAGTGATATTCGCCACGACAGAGAGCTTCCGGCTGTCCCTAAGCTGTGCTCTATAAAACAACGGAGATTTCCAAAGAGATCGATCCAAGATGAGCGTGATGTTCAACGTTTCGCCAGCAACGATCTCGGTGGCCTCGATCGGAGAAGCAAATTCGCCGTACGTTCCGGGGCAGCTCGTCATCGTCGCGTGTTTTGACTCGACTAATGTTGGAGGCGTTGCGCAAGTGTGACTTGTCGAGGTGCGCGGAACGCGGCGTCGAGGAGCACGCCAATGTTTTTCAATGTCTCGAGGCACGCCGCGATTGCTGATTATTCCGTTCCAAACATGGCGACACCCCCTTTGCGTCTCGTCTCGGCCCAATCCGGGATTGCAATCTGCAGGCTGTCGCTCAGACATGGATAAATATGCAAGACCATGACTTGTTGGACGTCTTGCAGGCATATCGCGGCCCAGCCGCACGGTTTCTACCCCGGCTCCATGCAGTTGGTTCCGGGGATAATTCACTACCCCTGACTCCTCCCCAACATCAGGGAGGACGGGGACTTCCGCGCCCAGTCAACGCGGAATGATGACGGGCTTGGAACTTCTGCAGCTCCTGAAACGCAGAACGGATTGAGATCTCGTTTAGGTGCGTTCGCCGTCAGTCTTATCAGGCCGCCAAGTTCCTGACAATATTTTGAAAGGGAGATCTGCGCTGTCCCCCGCCTTTAGGCACATGTTGCGGTTGAGCATGGGTGCTTACAATAGTCTCTAAAATTATGTTCGCGACCCCGAGGTGTGGTGGCCTATAAGTGTCCTGCTTGTTTCTTGCTCTTGCTGCGGTTGGTTCTAACTTCAGTTGGACTATGGAGCCAACATTGGCACAGGTTACCAGCTGCATACGTATACAGATGTTGTTGGTATTTATGGCTTAGTGCCCTTGTGGAACTTGGAATACTTTGCTGAATAGAATTCACTGATGTAATCAAGAAGATCTAGCATCAAGTCAAGTGACTGACTGAGGCTACCTGTTCATCGGCGGTGCTGTGAATGTCACTGTTGCAACCCCCACAGCTGGGCCTGTGGTTTCATTCAGCCTCCCTCATGCCAGCACTACGGCCCGAGTCTAGCTACAGTAAGACACGTTGATCCATAATTGAGTGGCACTGGGTCCACTTCCCAGCTCATGCCTCAGACACCGCATCTAACTCGTTCCCATTATTTCCAGGCTCCAGGTGGAAGTCGAAACTAATGTCGCCTTATCCTACTTCCTATGCGTCGAGATACTCATTGCCACCTGCTCACCGGATCTCTGCGCGATCATCCTCTCTGGCGGTTATGAAGGTTGTATCTCAATAGTCCACTGCGTAGAATACAGATACTCAGCGAGTAGCCGACCCATCAGCCAGCCCCATCACCTTTTGATGCTTATTAGTGTTTCGAAGATCAAAATGATGTGTTGCGACGCACGCAGACTTCTTCCTCTTGGATTCCGACCGAGATCTTCTCGCTGTAATGTCGTGCGTGGAAGATCTGGAGAGAACCGTCCGAGCTGCGGCGTGTTCGTCGTGCTCCTGAGATAACCTCAGTCCATGATCGACGGGTCATGGGCACACCGTCGCACATGCACAGCTTCCTTGTTAGTGCCACTCCAACCTTGCGCGTGTGTGAACATGTTCGCCTTGGCCTGTATCGATTGCCTTTGAAAGGACAGGATCATTTTTCTACGCATAATCCTGAGGGTAGTGATGAATCCGCGACAACCTCCAAGTTTCTAGGTGCGCATACGGCTGCCATCTTTGCTGCCCGTCTCGACGGGTAGCGGGACTAGCATCACCATGGCCCTAGTCCCAAGCGGATGCGACATGTCTTACTTAGAGTGACTTGGTATTGGCTGTCTGTCAGGAACGCCGCCGAAATGCCCGGGCTTTTGAGCAATTATAGCGGAATGCGAAGAGCCTCGCTACCAGATCTGCTAGTCGGTACGGTGCACGCTACATGATCCAGGGAGCAAGTGCTTCTACACATTTCTGCTCCAGTGGATTCCTGCGACAAGCTACGGTATTCGTGGTACAATTGCAGCCTATGCTCTAGCCGTAGACACGTCTTGGCTTTCACTCCACGACCCTGGTAACACCTCTTCCTTTACGTGTGCAGTCAGACTTGGGTGAACATTGAAACCCAGAATGGTCGTTGACCCCGTTCTACCGCAGAGAAGCTCCCTACGCAATATCGAAGCGCCAAGCCCGGAGACGGGCACTTTATGCAGGGTCTAGTTTGTGGCTTAAGCCACTGATGCGTGCAGGGTCCCACGCATTTTGACAACCCCATTGCACGAGAGCGCGCCTCTTTTCACGCACTCAAACCGAATCTCGGGCACCTTCTCTACATCCGACAGCTGTCCCGCAACGTCAATTGAGATTCCAGCCGCAGCTAATCCCCACGACCGACATTGTGACTGATCTCCTGCGATCACCAAGGGAGAAGCTTGCCGCCCCCACGACCTTGGATGACAGTCAGCACCACTGTCGAGCATCTACGTCATCGTGTCCGTCAGCATCTTGTGTGATCTTTGCCAGCAGGGCCATGTTGCGGCCAGCAGACAGCTGATCTCCTGCTAGCCCGCCAGTCTCTGTGCCCAGCCGCACTTGCCCATGTCGTTTGCTCCAACGTTGCAACGCTGGCGAGGCTGGGGATGGACGGTGAGTCGACTGTTCCCCCACTTCCCCACACAATGATCTCATCGCTCCCGTGCCGACTGTCCGCCGCTGTGACCTTCCCAAAGCTCCCAAGCCAGCCCTGACTGCTGTCATGTTACCTTAGTCGGAAGCGCGGCTGACCAGAGCGTTTCGGGGTCGGCAGCCCCGGAAGTGCTTGGCACCGTCGCTAGGCATAATTGCCGCCATCACGCTTTCAGATGTCCAAGAAGTGGCTCTGTCCCGCCTCGACCGACCAATCATGCAACCAACGGGTCAACCTGGTTGCCTCTGACGGCAGACGAGGTGAGTGTGTTGGGCTTGTGAGCTATACATGGTGATCCCTTCCGCTTCATCTCAGATGAGCGTTCCTTGAGTTCTGGAACGCTCCGCCGACCACACCTGTAGCATCCTAGGCTAAAATGCATGTGAAGAAGCCGTTGAGCTAGAATTGGCCACAACTTGAAGATGAACGAACAATACCAGCTTGCTCTTCTTGCAAGTGGACAGGCGTTAATGTATAGCTTGAAATCACCGTCGCGACAGTCAACTTTCTTGCCTTATACACTGACTTTGAGCCAGATTCGTGAATGCCCGTTTGGAAAGAAAGCTCTTATGGCCTGGCCTTGCAAAGAACAGGGTATCATGCTTTAGTTTCGGAATATACCGCTGCTGCCCCAAGACCACAGCCTGATGGAACAATCCGTGCCGTTCAGGGAGGCGCCAAAAGAATAGCCGTAAAAGCACTCGAAACGTCCCTGCTCGCCTGTAAGCTGGCATTTCCATTGCACTGACTTGATAGGCACAGTAGCGATCTTCTTGCAAACTATGCCCCTTCATCCAAATTAAACTGATGTGACCCTTTTCCAGGTCGTCCACGTTACGCGTAGGGTGGGTCGACGTGGAAGTGTCTGCCAAAATATATGTGATGCCGATTGAGCGGATAGTGTTACCAAGGTGCTTTGAACTTTGGATAGTACCACGCGCACGTCTACAACACGCTTATTTCCAGGCAAAAATGATGCATGCGCGATCGCACATTGGTGTAAGAGTGCTCCTGTGTCATTAATGGATAACGTAGTAAAGGGTCAGCGTAGTGATACGCGTCAAGCAGACAAATCTTGGACCAAATCGTGAGCTTAATGAATAGCTAATGGCAGACGTTGGTCATATTCAACTCTCCTGACACTCAATGTCACACTGAAGGCTAAACGTTCCAAATCTCACCATGCTCTTTGATGCGCGGAACCAGATAAGCGATGAAGAACCTGGCTGAGCCCAATCTCGCCAATCATTTGGAAGGCCTCTTTGTAGAAACCACACAGTCACGCAATGCGGCGCACGACAATGGCCTACATAGTAGAGCATGCCGTACCGATAACAAACTATGGATGGTGCTGAGTTGTTTGGACCAAAAATATTCGATGCGTGGAACCGAGAAGAGCAGGGCGCATATGTCCTTTAAACGGCGTAGGAGTACATCTTCCCATTTTCTGTTCCTTCACACATCATCATCCTTCTTCAATTCAACTCGACACACTAACTCGTCTGAAAAGCTTTCCATCACTTCATCTCAGCCTTCCTCCAGCACCAGCTCCCAAGCACAGCAATTCCACGACTCTCCGCAACATCTTCAGAATGTACGCCATCGTGTCGAAAGCGTTCAAGGCTGGTATGGCTGTCGGCCTGGCTCGCGGCGTCCTCGCCATGCCACCGCCAACCACTCTTTCGCAGCACACAGAGACAGAAGTGGTCTCTACCATGGCCTATCATTCAGTCTACCCGATGCCCAGCGTCGAAGTCTCTGATATTTTCAGCATACAGACTCAGACTGACGTGGACACCATCCTTGTCCCAAGCCCTCTCATCCCAGGTCCTATCATCACCACCGGCCTCCCGCCACTAAACTCGACACCAGCGTTCGAGATGGTCATCTCGGGCAATGATTCCGCCCGCGCCGCCGCCCTGTGGGAGGAGCACCCGGAGCTCGACAGCTCCAACTACTGCGACCTCGCGCACAAGGTCCTCTGGAAGTCCTGGAAGATCATCGCCAAGAGCGTGCCGGGAGAGCTCGTGCCCCACGTCTGCCACGACCTGTGGGACGGTCTCAAGGACGACATCTGGTGCGCCGCGCCCATCTATGTGTGGTGCGGCCCCGGGCGCGGCGACCAGGGACTCGAGTGGTCGTTTGCGACCAGCTCGTTCTGCAGGCGGGCGTCTGTCGACCACGCCTGGTTCTCTGCTACCCGTAACGAGTATGGTCGTATGCATTGCGTCCCGCCTAAGTAGATATCCGGCACACGTAGCACATGGCGAAAGGAAAGGAAGGGAGTGGCATCTGGGTCTCGGCTTGTTGACAGGACGGCAACTCAATGTTTCGACACAGTTGGCATACTCTGCAGGGTTGGGTTTGATTTCCGTTAAAATCGTAGCATTTTGGATACCACTTTGGCGCAGCAGGCAGTACATACAATAGCCTCATTATCGATTTTAGTACCCGCCGCAAGTCCGTCTCATCCTCAGCTAACTGTGCAGATGAATCTTTGTGCTGATATGTATGTGATGGGCAGCAAAGCACGTATACGAGTCTGTGTCTTGTCGTACGCAGCTCGTCGCCCTTGTTCCCGCTGCCAGACTCCGCCGTCGTGCGGCTATCAACCAGCCGGTGTTGCCTCATAGTCAAGCTCCACTACGAGTGTTCTTCAAATATAACAATAACTGACGGTTTACTGGAAGACATTTACATGCTCATTCTATTCTGTGAAGTCCACTAGGATACCTACGACTGGTGTGCAAGGCCAGGGGTCGAAGGGTGGTTGTCTGACCTGCCTAATCCGGAAATGATCGTGCAACCCTGGAACCGTTGCGCTGGATAACAAACAAGAACTCGACAGGGATCATTGTTTCTCAGGGCGGAGATCCAGATGTCATTAAAATTGCAGCGGCTCCCCAAACTTTTGGTGCTCTCAATCTCATCTCGTATCGCCCAAACTTAGTCCCTCCGCGGCCGGCTGTCCACACAATGTCGCTCACGTCAGTCCTTGTTGCGGCCATCTTGAGCGCTTCCGGTGCCTCGGCCAGTGCGATACCTAGCCGGCAGTTCGCACGGCAGGATGCTTCGATCCCTCTTCTCACATGGCAATTACTTCCGACTGGCAGCACGCAGCAGTTTCGTGGTCTGGCGCCCGTCTCCGACCAGATCGCCTGGGTATCCGGCACCAATGGCACGGTCCTGAAGACTGTCGACGGCGGCTCCAGCTGGACGTCCGTCGGCCCGTCGCTCTCTGAGGCCGATGCCACGCTGCAGTTCCGCGACGTGCAGGCGTGGTCCGCCGAGAGGGCTGTCATCTTGTCCATCGGCGAAGGCAGCGACTCGCGCATCTACATCACCTCGGACGGCGGCGCAACCTGGACACAGACATTCGTCAGCGAGGAGGAGAAGGCGTTCTACAACTGCGTCGACTTCGACACTGAGCAGCACGGTTTCGCGGTCAGCGACCCGGTCAATGGCAAGTTCCGACTGATTGAGACGTTCGACGGCGGGGCCAGCTGGGCCATTGTCGACTCCAGCGGCATGCCGCCGGCCCTGGAACTCGAGGCCGGCTTTTCCGCGAGCGGCACGTGCCTCGAGACCGCGGGAGGTCGGTGGTACGCCGCCGCGGGCGGCGTGGATCCCGGCCGGGTGTTTGCCAGTCCCGACGGGCACGTCTGGAGCGTGGCGGACAGCACCATCGACGGCGGCGAGGCGAGCGGCGTCTTCACCATCCAGTTCAGGGACGCCCGGCACGGCATCGCGCTGGGCGGCAACTTCTCCGCGCCCACGGGCAACGTCAACAACGCCGCGTGGTCCGACGACGGCGGCCTCTCCTGGACAGCGGCCGCCAAGTTCCCTGGGGGCTACCGCTCGGGCTCTACGTGGGTGCCGGGCCTCTGCAAGACTGCCATCGCCGTCGGGCCGACGGGCTCAGACGTCTCTGTCGATGGGGGACGGACCTGGCATGGGTTCTACAATGGCTCGTTTGACAGCGTCGAGTGTGTCAACGCTGGTGCTTGCTGGGCGTCGGGATCCGGTGGCAGGGTCGCGCGTTTGAGCTTCGAGTAGGCTCTCACCTGAACTGGGGGTTTTGGGGTCGACCTCGTATGGATACACCGTGGAAGCCCTTTGAAGGCCTGGATTTGGGGCAACCAACGAGTAAACACCGCCACAGCTGCTGGAGAAGCATCCGTAGAAAATCCATGACACCGCGAATTTTGCGCCGAAGTCAAGTAAATGAGACAAACATAATGGGCCAGTTAACGGCGCTTAATGAATTGGATGTTGCCTGGAACATGTCCTGGAGCACCTGTTAGACGGTAGTCTATTGACCAGAAATGAGGAGGCTTGGATTCACTTCTTGCGCACATCCGTTCGCGAGCAGTTCTGGACTAAGAAGTTGGTCCATCCAGTCGCGGAGATATAAAACCAGAGTACAAATCAACTGTCTGAAGGAGGTACAGGAACGAATGCAATTGCAGATTGGTAGCCGTGCCGTGCCGTGCCAGTATAACACCCTGCCGCACAAAATCTAAGTGGACCCTAGCTTTGGGACACCAGGCACCATTCCAATGTGTCCGAACAGATGCCTGTGCACACCCAACTTTGCGACAACCAGTGCGCCTGACCCTGCGCGCGCGAAACCATTATTTGCCAACGCGACTACTACGGCCATTTCCGGCCAACCCTTGGAGCCGAACACGGGTCGTAAACCGATCTCCTGTCTCTGGCATTTTTCAGGGGACGGCCTTGACTCCAAGGCATTTCACATTGCGCGTCATGGACTCGCCAGCGCGTAGCGACGGCCGCGACGAGAGCGATCGAGCTCTGAAACGTCACAAGTCGTCACGAAACCACAGCCGAGAACGCAACAGATCCAGTGATAGACGGAGACACAGGCGCTCGAGATCGCCAGGCTCGCGAAGAGACCGCAGCCGCGACCGAAGACGAGACGACCGACCGCGCGACAGCGACAGAGACAGGGACGACGAGGGTGCCAAGGAGCACCGGCGGCGGCGATCTCGTGAGAGGCATCAGGACCACGACAGAGACGGGAACCGAAGTGAGAGGAGAGATCGCCATGGGTCAGATCGCCATAGGTCGGATCGCCATTCCGACAGGGAAAGACCAAGAGACGGTGGCTCCGAGCGAGGCGGCACAGCCATTGTGAAGCGCAGTGGTCCATTGCCGTCCCAGGCAGACTCGTTTGCCTTAACCACGGGCGAGGAGGTGCCGAAACCAAAGGAGAAGGCCAACTTTGGCAACAGCGGCGCTCTCGCTGCTGCTTCAAACGCAATAGCCCAGGCCGATGGATCGCAGATCGTGCTCAAGTACCACGAGCCGCCAGAAGCACGGAAGCCGGCTCCCAAGGACGTCTGGAAGCTCTTCGTCTTCAAAGGAGACGACATCATAGACACAGTGCCGCTGAGCCAGAGAAGCTGTTGGCTGGTCGGGCGCGAGTCCGCCGTGGTCGACATGATTGCCGAGCACCCGAGTATCAGCAAGCAGCATGCTGTCATTCAGTTTCGGTACTTGGAGAAGCGCAACGAGTTTGGCGACAAGATCGGAAAGGTCAAGCCCTACCTCATTGATCTCGACAGCGCCAATGGCACGCTTCTGAACTCAAAGAAAGTGCCGGAGAGTCGGTACCTGGAACTCATGGACAAGGACCTCATCCAGTTTGGTCAGAGCACGCGCGAGTATGTCATCATGTTGGCACCCAAGGACTGAGGGAACGGCCCCAGAACAAACATGCCAGGCCGGGCCAGGACTTGTCCTGGTTAGCATTGACACAGCATACGGCGTACGTAATCTGGTCCAGACTGGCACAGATGAGTAATAAGGTGCATACTACCCTGACTTGACACAAGCCACGCCCTACTTGTTCGTTCCATGTGTGATACAAATAGGCATCCATTGGGATTTCGTGCGTTCTGTCTCGGTGACGAACAGGCGCGCAGGAGAAGAAATAAGAGACGTGGGATCTGTCATACTCGAGCATGATACAGCCCACAGACGCACCGGGTCGAATTCTGCTGCGATAGTCTGTGGTAAGGATGTGACGGCAGCTGCCGTCCTCCATCGTTGTCAACATTGAGAGCTTTAACCATGCGGCTCACCTCTTCTTTACGGGGAGCTTCTCTTCTTGCAGCATTTGGATGCTCAGTGGCCGGACAAGTTGAAAGAGCTCGGCTTGTTCTTCCAGGTGAGAAAGGCAATCCTAATATCACTTCCTGCGGCCGAGTTCGAATTTCGTATCCGCCTATGCAGCTTAGAAAGCCAGCTCGAATTACGGGCTTTCAGAAAACACGAGACAGTGCAAATCAGTAGAGCAAGTCATCACACTGTCGTAACGATTTGATAGTGCGCAACAAATCAACAAGACTTTTTCTCGTGCGCTACCAGTAGCAGGAAGTGATATCGAGTGTGATGTTTACAGTTCGTATCCGATCCTGCTCAACTCTGCGTTAGTCTCGGGACCGTGTCTCGCATGACACAGGCGTGCTTGTGCGTCCACGCCCTGGACGCGTGTTCGTCTTTTGTTACGATGTAGCGTTTCGTGCTGTGTGAGGGAGGCAATCTAGTCTCACATGTCAGAGCACCCTTGGTCTCGTCAGTCGGGATGGAAATCAGTGCTTTGCGGCCAGTGCCTCGTCAAGACACCGCGACTGTGCCCTTTGTTCTGTTGGCCACGGTTCCTACGAAACGTCGCCAACTAGCCCTGGCGTACGGCTTGAAAATGGGGAATTCGAAATCAGCCTTGCAGCCTGATGAGGTGCGGCAGTCTGCTTAAGTCGACGACAGTTCCGGCGAGATGACTCACTCTGGTGACGACTTTTCAGGGCTGCAAGTTGTCGCCGCGCCTTGGTAAACCATTAAGAGCATGGAGGAGCATAAAGGAATCATTGGTCAGTCGGTGTCTGTGATGAGATTTCTTACGGCCGGCCAGAGTCGCGATGAGACGTTGCAGAGGATGGTTTCGCCGCCGCCGCGTGGATCGGCCAGTGGGGGGGACATGGGGAGAGTTATATGACAAAGTTTGCCGACAGCTGTGTCAATGAACCCCTGGGGAGCATGACGGCAGGTGCCAAAGTCAAAAGCCCAAGGAACGTGAATGCTACAGGTCAGGCCGCGGAGTCTGCGTTGCAACAGGCTGCGGGTCTGTCCCACGTGAAGGGCTCGTGGTGGAGGCGGACACAATTGCAGGCACCTTGACGTCGTAGCGCCGTGCGAAGGCGGGAAACGCCCCAGCGCGGGGCCGCACCAAGTGACCATCCCGCCGCCGCAGGCTGCAGGACAGGCCCCAGGGCCCCTCGGGCAGTACCCCGTCCTGCCGCCCTCTCGACCAGTCATCTCCCATCGCGTGACACGGCCAGAGGTCCTGCCCCAGAGTTTCTGCTGCCTCGCCCTACCACAGCGCCCATCCCTGCCGCGATCTCTGGGTATTCCCTGTCAGCTGCCTCACCCGTCCAGCATGTCGCCGGCAGTTGCTTGTTATACGCCCGCTCATGCGGCGGCCGGAGTTGAGCCTCCCCTGCTCTCGCACGTATCACCAGACCTGCAGGCACACCATAGCACTAGGCGCAGTCTGCATCACAAGCCACAATCCACGATGGAGCCTGGCCAATGTATAAAGACAAGGCGTCGGGCTCAGCCAATGTGTAGCCGGCCTTCGGAACGAACCAAACAGTTTTCTCATGGCTTCCAACAATCGCATTACAAGAGTCGCGCCGACCTAACAGCATGGTATGTATCTGGAAACACCACTGGCGCGCCTGGCGAGGCTTCTATGGGGCCTCCTGGGTGGCTTCCGTCTCTTCCGGCACCTCCGCCAGTCGCCGAGATTAGTGGCTAACGCTCGAATCCAGGGTTCGATCAACAAGGACATATCGCGGTACGAAGCAACCGCCGTGTACACCCATCCAGACGCCAAGGTCGACATCATCCTCGTCCATGGCTTGAACGGGGATCCGCAAAGGACATGGACAGCCAAGACGAATGGTGTCTTCTGGCCGACGGACCTGCTGCCGACCACCCTCAAGGATGCTCGTGCGAATGTGCTCGTGTACGGGTATAACGCCGACGTCTACTCCAAGAAGCATGGCACAAGCCCGAGCGACAACTTCATCTATCTACACGCGCAGACCATGGTCACTTCCCTAACCCATTTCCGCAAGGATGAGCTATCATCCCGCAACCCTATAATATGGGTCTGTCACAGCCTTGGCGGCATCCTCACCAAAAGAGCACTGCTTTACTCAAACGACCTCAAGTCTGCACAGCACGAGGAATACCGGTCACTCTATGTCTCGACGTATGGCATGGTCTTTCTCGGTACGCCCCACTCGGGGTCTGATGTCGCTGCTTGGGGGACCATCATTCAAGCCATGTCAGATGCAGTGGTGCCAAAGTCCATCTTCCACTCCGAGCCTGTCCTGCTAAAGACACTCAAGCGCGACAATGAAACGCTGCAGAACATCAATAACCATTTCTTGGACATATACCAGCGCTTCAAGATCATCATGGCCCACGAGTCTCACATGACCGACCTGAAGGCGACCAAGATGCTCATCGTCGACCCCATCTCTGCTGGGCCTCAGCTTCCTGGAGTACTCTATTTCGGCATCGAAGCGACGCACTCAAACATGTGCAAGTTTGACAGCAGGAATGCCCCGGGATACCGCACGATGATGACAGCTATCAGAGACTGGGTGCTAGATGCACCAGCAGTCATTGCCGTTCGGTGGCGAGTCGAGGATGAGGAGAGATTCGCTCGCGCACAGCACGAAATCGCAGAGAGAATGCATACTTGGGGCCAGTCTCAACAGGCTTTGCCACCACCTACTGGTAGGTCTGCCAATCACGTTGCAAGGTAACGGGTGCTCAGAATATCAATTCCAACTCGTGGGCATAGAAGGCTGATCAGTCTTTGGCACAGCCTTCCACCGCCAGGATAATCAAACAACATCGGTTGCAGAGGCGTCTCCACAGGCAAATACGCCGTTACCGGCGCTTGACGACAGCCAGCATCAACCGAAAAGCAACCAGGCTGGACAGTTGGAGCACGAATCACAAAAGTCAGCTTCGGAGGACCAGACTTCATCAAAGGGTCCTATCTCCGTCAAGCCAGCCTTATTCCGACCGAATACGCACTTCAAAGGGCGCGAAGCTGAACTCAAAACATTGCACAAGATGCTTATGGATCGCGAACGCAGAGCCACGGGCACTGCGTCTGTCCTCATCCAAAGTATGCCTGGGGGAGGAAAGTCTCAGATGGCTCGCGAATACGTCTTTCGGCATAAGCGCCACTACCCTGGTGGTATCTTCTGGATCAGAGCAAAATCTCTCGAGGAGCTCGAAGAAGGATTCTGGGACATAGCCAGGACAGCCCATCTCGTGGAGACAGAGGGCCTTGATGTCCAAGTGCCGGATAATACCATTGCGGTGATCAACGCGGTGCGAAAGTGGTTCAACCGCAGAGAAAACTGGCTACTGGTCCTGGATGGCGTTCACTTCGACATGCCAAGTCTGCAGTCTTTCATACCGTTCGCCAAGAATACCAGCATACTATATACTTCGACTGAAAAAGCAATCGCTGATGACTACTTGTTCGACAACCCCAAGGTCATTGCCCTCGATCGACTGTCCGTGCAGGATGCCAGAGAGCTCCTGCTAGAAGAAATGGGCAAAGGCCAGCCGTTCAATACAGACGATCTGAGTCGAGCGACCGAGCTTGTCAATCTCATGGATCGACTGCCTCTCATGATACATGTGGCAGGCAGTCATCTCAAAGCCACAAAAGAACCACTCGCAAACTACCTGAGATCGTTTCAAAATAGGCCAAAAGCAGGTCATTTGCAAGCTTACCTGGAAGTCCGACGGCAACTACAGGACAGAGGATTCGTCGCTGCCCTCAATCTAATGTACATCTTAGCTTTTTTCGGCCAGCATGTGCCCGTGGAGATGATCGCGCTAGGTAGGTGCCCGAGTATCTTTGGATTGTCTGTTTATCGGCTAAACTTTTCATAGGCACCAAGGCTCTCGATAGAAGTACGCCTGTGAAGTCTCGCAGCCTGGACAACGGCAGGAGTTCTTTGACGCAAACTTTTCAGATCTTAATATCCTTTGCGCTGATCGATAGAAACATCTGCCAAGAGCCGTCTTCTGGCGGGTCACACAGTGATCGGAGTGTCGACATGGATCGGGAAAACCTAGACGTTCTTCATCTGCACGGTATTGTGCAGGCATTCTTTGTGGATACGCTTGCAGACGAGAAGGAAGCGCATTTCTGGCTAGAGCAATCAATACGCGTTCTATGTCGTGCTTTTGACGACTGTGAGACGCGCATCAACGACTCCAGCGTCATCGGACTTCCAGAAGACTTCCGCCGCTTTCGTCTGCACGGTAGCCGGCTTTTGGGTCACCTCGACCGATTCGAGAAGCGTTTTCCAGAACTCGGTTACTGGCGCCAAGTCCTGTCGGCTCGGCTCGACCTGGTAGAAGGAATCATCAACGAGCTCAAACAGAGAGTGGCGGAATCAGAGAGCAATGCTGTAGGAAACGTCATGCTCACATCTGTGTTCGACCGCTTGGAAAGCCTCTCAGAGAATGACACGGAAACACCTGCTAGTGGAATCGGCATGACGGACTACTTCGAGACCAACGAACCGCCAATAGTGATGCCTGACACCACTGAGGATTTCGCTGAATACAATCCCTATCACTGGCACATAGCATACTCCGACAGGCCACGCCCTGTTATCGCTGACAGCAGTACTCTTTCCACGTCAACTACACCAAGGCAGTCGTCAATAGATTTGCGTCAATCATCCCTCGTTGCGCCTGGGACTAGAGGTGAACTTCTCGACCATCGCGCCATTAAGAAACACTCTGCCCAGCGACCTAGAGACAACCTCGGTGCTTGGCGGGCGGCCCCAGAAGTTCCGTGCGATCCACGGATAACCTTGAGTCGGGAGACGGCCAAGGGCTATCTCGGGCCCAACCATCTTACGCCGGGGTCACCTGAGCACAGAGCCTCCTTGAAGGCTAGTATCAAGGTCATCAAGCAGGGCCTGGCAGACCTTGCGTCTGGCCTATCTGGGGACAACGTTGGAAGCGAAGCAGCAAAATGCTTAGACCAAATCTACAAAGCAGCGGCTACGCTTCCGGCAGCCGAACGCAACCCAACTGCTCAGCTGCTTAGCCCGGCAATGAGACGCCCGATGTTTGTAGGCGGAAGACCATCGTACTCCAACGCTCGAATCGACACGAATAACGATATTTCTTCCGTGACACCAACATTTTCATATCGACTTGGCGGATACTCTCCACCATCATCGAGCTATGCTGCAGCTACCATCAACAAACTTCGAGGGATTGATGGCGTGGCCACCGAGAACCAATCAGGACCTGCCTTTGTGTCAAGTCCTCTGTCTGAAGATCCGATGGTTTTGGCCGAACCAGCGGTGGTAGCTGGCTTTCGTGAAGTAACTCCACAACACATCTTGCAATCGCCAAATGATCAGCGCTCGGAGTCGTTGATACTTCCAGCGAATGTTGCTACCCGCACGACGGCATCAAGCCCATCAGTACCTAATCGGCCCTTTTCTTCTCCATTGCCTATTCCAGACGCTCCTCGAACGGCACCTGTATCTGGTAGTGGATGGTCACAGTCGTTGCCCATAGGCTCTCAGGCAGCCGGCGGCTTTGGGTCTTCATTCAACTCAAGCACATATGGCATGGACAGCCCCAGTTCAAGTCCTGCTTCAGCCGGCTTTATACCAACCCACCATTTGGAGCCATCAATACTTAGCAATGCGAGGGTCTCAGCTCGTCCGGCACCATGGACAACGAGGACAACACAAGGTCCAAGACCTGGATACACCAGCGAGCCACTGTCTAGAAATGCAAGCCCTCAGAGTGGCCGCACCCGAGTCTCCGACAGCGAGCTTCTCGTGCCAGAGTACGCTGAACAATTCGCGTATCCCGATGTGAGAGCAAGAACATACCAAAGCTCGACTCAGAGCTCGCCGGGCCTTCAGATCATGCAGCGACCCCAGTCTAGGCGGCCAAGCGTCATTGAGACAGAACCTAGCCCAAACCTGCCGGATTTGGAGCACGACAGTGCTATGCTGCGTCGCGGAAGGATTAAACCGCACAACGCCGTTACTGATACACCCGTGGGAAGCTCCAGCACTCCTCATTCTTGGACAACAGAGGGAGTCGCTTCCAGGCCGCTGCCCTACCCAACAGGGCGCAAAGGCGCGCACACAGCTTCGAGCAGACTCCTTCACCGGTTCCGAGGCTCGAGAGGCACGAGAGGGATCTCAGCCGATGGCCAGGATGAAGCGCCTGCCAGCCAACGCCGCGCTGCGAGTGCGAGCGGACGCCTCGACCAACGAACGAGGGGGCAGCGTGGCGTGCCTCGGAGTCCAGGCCGTGCAATGAGTCCTACGAGACTACAACCTGGCTCCCATGCGGCCACATATACCAGTGCACAGCAGCCGGCTCCCGCGCGAGCGCAGTCTGTTTCGCCGGGCGTGAGGCTGAGCGACGGCTCTTTCGTCGAGTTTGGTGGTGGTTTCGCCCAAGAGACGCCCGACTCTGTTCCTCGGTCTTTCAGGCGCAGTAGCTGGCGATTGCGCAGAGGGAAGCAGCGGGAAAGAAGAGACTACGAGGAGGAAGAGGAGCAGGACGCCACGTCGGGCACAGCCGAGGTTGGGCTGGGGATTAATCAGAATGGAAGGTTGATGCCTTGACCAACGAGTTATGAAGAAGTCTTTCTTTGGTGTATTTTGAGATGTAAGGCAAAATCTGACGGGTGTTTCTAGCGATTCTCGAATTTGTATAGTAGCGGGAGGAACCAAAATTCCCATGGTTGTCGTGGTTAGAAAATATTTTCTAGTTCGTCATAATTATAAACACGCATGCTTCGGAAGAGGTTCTTATTGATAATCAACGTCTTCTTGCTGTGAACAATCGCGGGTGCAGTGATTGATGGATTATGTTTTCCATGTTTGAACCAAGAAAGAACGTTTGGTACATATTTCCATGGCAATAGTTTTTCATCGGACATTACATTCTAGGATGTCTTGCCTTCGTTCCTGGGCATTAATCTGCGATTCTGACGGGGTTTGGGAGTTGCCTATGGATTCTCCACGTCGCTGCCGGCTATCAGCCACACGGCGTCAAGTGATAAGACTCTCTAGGCATAGCTTGTGTCAAAGGACGATTACTCTGAAGGACGCAGGGTGGTTCTGCGCACCGGCAAACGCTTTTCAGCCAGTCCATTCGCCTCGCCGGCGTAATCATTCACTTTTATCTTGATCAACGGTGCTTATCTACTGCATACCATACTTACCATACTTAAGTAACTTCCCGCGGAGAATGCATTATGCAGCAGCACCGTTGGGATTCCCTGGATTTTCGTGACTAACTCATGTCCCGCCTCCAGCCAAGATATTTCCGCAGCGTCTCATTGGTCTGGGGGGCTGCTTGGATCGACAGGATAGCAATGTGAGAGGGAGGTCGGTAGGGCAGGCGGTTGAATTCTGAGTGCCAACCTTGAAGTGTGCAGGACCTCTCAATGTCTGTCGCCCCCAACCTCCACAACAGGACGGACGGAAACAACGTGCCTCAGGGTCCTGCGCGGGAGCCCCCGCCCACGTAAGCAGCCTATGACGCCACCATGCAGGGTCTTGGGTCGGCCAGTTAAGCGATTCAAGCTTATTGTTTGGGCAGGAGGCTTGAAACCTTGGGGGAAGATGATCACTTGAAGTTTGGGGGAAAAGCACTTTTTGGGTTGTTTGGGTGGTCAGGCACGCTCGTGAAGGTGGGATGCTTTCCCCAGGGTCTGCCTTGAGGATGGGCTAGGCGGTGCGACGACATGGGCGTTGTCATCGTACTCGCTGCATTCCGGGTGGCCTGTGGTGCCGCTCCACGCCCCAGTCTCTGCTCCAGTAATGAATTATTGATTGCCGAATAAGGTCAGGATCCTCAGTGGCCTCACGTGGCGGACGGACCCTGCTTTGCTGCGTATTTGACGCTGAATTCATGGCATCGTCGCCAGGAGATGCCAAATCGCAGCATCGCCGGAGGAAAAGCTGGACAAGCACCCCAAGACATGTACGGTCGCAACCTAGTCTGCCACCTGTCCTGCCGGAGCGAAGTTAGCTGCGCCATCTTTGCCTTCCTCTCAGGCATTGGCACTAGTGACCGTCTCTGGGCAAGTCCCCTGTGCCAGATGCATTAAGATGATCTCATTGACGCACCGGACGGCGAACTGAGATGTACCAAGCAAATTGCCAACCACAAAGCTTGGCCAGCCTGGGAGGCGTCAGACACAGCGACAAGGCTCGTGTCGCACAACTGGGCAGGAATGTGGCTGACCTGTGATGCGGGTGAGACGTGCTTCGGGGCGGGATTTTGTCGACTTTGCCTATCAGTTCACCGCAATGCCGAGGACCACTCGTTTGTGCACAGAGCTGTCACGGTTGCAAGCAACACCTGCAGAGAGCGCGGTGGTGTAAGTGGTGTGGAGTCTTGGCTGACATGGCGTCAGCTTACTACTCCTCCAAATGTCTCCAGAAATTGGCCTGTGGGACACAACCACCAACCAGCCCACCCACCCACACTTCGCCGCGCCACAAAAGTGCCCCTACTTGATGGAACAAGAGGCAGACCGGTGCTGGAACGGGCCAAACTCAATGCCGGCACAATAGCGGAAGGAGCCGTCCCCCCATCGCGAGGCGGAGCAAGAGGTGGCATCCACCACTGGAGCCGGTGGCCTCTGGTCATACGGTGACCAAACCAGAAAGCCATGTGCCTGAGTGACGAAGAGCTGTGACGAAGCAGTGCAGTCCAGTGCTCGGGGGAGCTCCAGCGGACGCGGCTGGTGGAGAAGCAACCGCGATCGGGGACCAGTTCTGCAGGGGAACTACTACATACATGGTTGAGAGCGGCGACGACATGGCCAAGGAGCAGCTGGTTGTGGAGAGAGAGTGGTGGAGGAGCGGCCGCGATTGACTTTGAGCGTGCGGTCGAGAAAACGGGGCCAGCGTTGCAGCGGGCAAAGTAACCACCACCCGTCCCGAATTAGAAACAGCGCTAGACACTTTGGGGGCTGCGCTAGCACATAGCCTGGAGATCTGGATGGAACCCGATGCCAGGAAGGCACATCCAGACAGGCCTCTGTGCAACGTACCTGCCCTCTACATCTGAAATGGGATCTGGTGGACTCAACAACAATGAATGGACGAGTGCTGGTACTCGACGCAACTCGAGCAACAACCGCCAAGTATTCCTCGCGAAGGATTCACAGTCATGTCCTGAACGAGTGCCCCATTCGGCCGAGCAGGGAGCGCTCCGTCAATCACAGGTACCCCCACCACCACCACCAGGCCCGGCAGCGGCTACGTCACTGGATCGACACTGCCGGGGACGGGGCTCGATATGGCTGGACAGGGGACCACCAACCCACCAACCCACGCCGCACTGCCCGCCCGCAGCGGCTGGTGGTCGGGACACTCGTACAGCCTTGTACGTGGTCGAACTAGGTTGTTACGCGATGCATCCCGCAAAGGACCCTCTCGACAGTGGCTGTATCGGGCCATCCTGAGTGGGCAGGCGCCCGAGGACAATGCAACGGGCCCTGTCGAGTTGGAGACGGCACGTAACTCAGCCTGTCCCAGCCTGCCCCAACCCAATGAGGCACGATCGACTGGAGCCTTTACTCTCAGTGGGTGACAGCCTGATATCTCGTGCAACGTGGGTATTACTCTGCCGTGCCCGTCTCGACAAGCATCGCACCGCTGATCAATCAGAGACCAGCCATGCAGTCCCGACCCGTCATAGTCCTAACTCCAACTACATGCCCGCCTCCCATTGGCAGGCTAGCCACTTCAAAGTCCGATCCCCGTCGCCTCCTCTCCCATTAATACATGGCGCCACGCCCGTCTGCTTTCTCTGGCAAGACAATGACCTGCTGCTCTGGCGAATCTCCAACCTCGCAACTGCCAAGAACTCGAGGGATGGTCATCCACTAACTACAACTCACCCTCATCATGGCCTCGTTTCAACTGCTAGACGAGCGGCAGACCGCGCCCTACGATGTGCCAGAGACACTGCCCGCCGGCAGAGGTGTCCACATTCTGCGCACGGCCATTGTCATGCCCTTCATCACCTTCATGTTCATCTGCATGAGGTTCTACTCGAAGCTGGTCATGAAGAAGGTCAAGCTTCGTCTTGATGACTGTAAGTAAATTATGCAGTGCCAAGGCCTGCTTACACATACGTGCCCTTGTCATGAATTAACCAACAACTTGCTGACTCCCGGCTGTAGATATTGTGGGCGCGACTTTCCTCTTCAGCATCGCTCATGCGGTGCTGATGGCCAATGCCACTTACAATGGCATGGGCCTCCACATCTGGCAGTACACGCCAGATCTCAACGCTCGCTACTACCTATGGATCGGTATTTCGTCTGAATTCTACGCCATCTGCCTGATGGGCTTCAAGAGCTCCCTGATCCTGCTCTACCTCCAGCTCTTTGGAGACGTCAACCGCAAGTTCCGTTGGTGCTGCTACGCCCTACTGGTCTACACGTGTGGTTACATCACGTGCAACATGTTCACCGAGTTCCTCGGTTGCCAGCCCATTGAGAAGAAGTGGAACCAGTCCGTGCCGGGCCACTGCATCAACTCCGTTGCCGCCAACATTGCCTACGGCTTCGGACACATGTCTAGCGATCTAATGATTGGTATCTTGCCACTGCCCATGATTTGGAAGATGAGGTTCAAGACCACCAAGGAGAAGATTGGTCTCAGCTTGGTCTTGACTTGTGGTTTCATGTAAGTCCCCAATCTCACCATATCCCTAGCCGCCACTAACAAAACGTCTCCGCTCATGCAGTGCCTGGGCCGTCGCTTGTGTCCGCTGGGCTATTGGCACGTACAATATGCTCAGCTACGATCGCCCGTGGTGGGCTGGCATCAGCTTCCTCTTCTCCATCCTCGAGGTACACACCGGCATCATCTGCTGCTGCGTCGCCACCTCGGGCCCTTTCCTAAGGCTCTTCTTCAAGAACATCAAGACCGTGACAGCCCGCACGGCCGCACGCTACGGCTCCTCGTCCGACGGCTCCGCCAGCCGCACACGCCACTCCATCTCCGTCGCCAAGTCCGGAGTGCGCCGCCTCTCCCAAGCGGCCATGCATCCGGGCTCCATTGTCCGGGGCCACCTCCACAGCAACTCGAAGAGCAGCCGGCCGAGCATATCCGGACCGATTATCGAGTACCCCGCCTCGACGACCATGGGGACGCCGCCGATGGCCGACGTATCGCAGATGCGTGCGCACCGCCATGCGCCGCCCGCGCCGCCGACGTTCATGCTGCCTTTATACGGCACGGACACGCGGACAAGCGGGGACACGTCGATACGGTCGCACAGCGACTTCACAGACAGTTTCGGTGTACCCGGCGGGTTCTTCTCGCCAACCATGGACGGTGTTGGGCCGCACGATGCCACCAGCATGAGCGCATACGGAAGAAGTGGTAGTGGAGAAAGGGACAAGAAGAGAATGAGCGACGAGGAGAATTTGTTGAGGATAGCGTGATTTAGCGGTTCAAACTGAAATTTCCCTTTCTTCCTATGAATTATCACTTGCAACTCAAAGTGAATCCACATGCCAGGAAGTCCTGTCGAAGCCGGCGTTCCATGCGTGCGGACAATTCTCCCAAGGAAGACTTTTACTCTCGTCCATTTTCGTTCGGCTTTGATTCCTAGTTCTATAACCTTGTATAGCGCGTACATATACCCCCGAATCAATCAGTTGAAACTTTACAACAGCTTGGCTCTTCCTTCGGAGCTTCACTTCTCGACTGTTTATGTCACGCACGACTCTATGTGTGCTGTGTACAATGGCGCCATCGGGGAAGCAAATCCCCCCTCGTCAGAGATGACCAGACTTTGGTATGATGAGCCCTTTAATCTTCTTTTCGTTTCCATGTTATTCACAAATTTTCTTTTTCGTCTTCACATTTTTGTGCTAGCTCAGACCATTGAAAGTATACACTGAACGATGCTAGGTTCATACTGCTTATTTCGCCTACTTCGTGGGGTCCAGGAGCAACTTGCCCGTCGTCTTCCTGCCCTCCAGGTCGTTCTGCGCTCGCCCAACTTCGCTAAGAGGGTACACCTCGTGAATCGACGGCTCGAGGTTGTCCTTGATGATCATGTCAAACAGCTCCTTGGTGTACGACTCGAATTCGTGCCGCTCGGCAATAAAGTTGAACAAGGTCGGGCGCATGAGCCGGACGTTCTTGGCGCTCAGGCGAGAGATGGCGAAGGGCTCGACGGCACCCGAGGCGTTGCCAAAGGAGAGCATGCTGCCCTTGCGGGCGAGGCAGCTGAGCGACAGGTCGAAGGTGGACTTGCCGACGCCGTCAAAGACAGCGATCACGCCCTTGCCGCCCGTGAGCTCCAGGACCTTGGCCTTGACGTCCTCGTGGCTGTAGTTGATAACGTGACTAGCGCCAGCCTTGGTGGCGAGCTCGAGCTTCTCGGGTGTCGATGCCGTAGCAATGGTGTTGGCGCCAACCGACTTGAGCAGCTTGCAGAGCCACTGCCCTGTGCCGCCGGCCGCGGCGTGCACAAGCACCCAGTCGCCCTTCTGGACGTGGTGGGCCTCGCGAATGAGGGTGAGGGCTGTCAGGCCCTGAAGCAGAGAGGCGGCACCGACCTTGGGAGGGAGAGAATCGGGGACCTTGACGACCTTTTCGGCGGGCACGGCTGTGTACTCGCCATAAGCACCCGTGTTCATCCACACGACCTTGTCACCCTCCTTCAGGCCGTAGAGGTCGCCGGCGCCGCCCGTCTTGACGATGGTGCCCTCAGCCTCGCGACCGAGGACGTAGGGGAATGACGGGGCTGGGTAGAGGCCAGAGCGAAAGTAACTAGCAAGCTTTGTCAGCAGTCGATCTCCCGCCGGAATCGCGATAGCATATGCAGGAGATAGCAACGGGGCGAAGGGGGGTTGCCTACGTGTCAATGAAGTTGACACCGACAAAGTCATTCTTGACAAGGACCTCGCCGTCCTTGGGCTGGGGCACAGGAAGGTCCGTCTTGTGTTGGAGGACCTCTGTGCCTCCCGTCTTCTCGATGATGACGCCCTTCATGGTCTGTGGGACCGAGGCCATGGTTCGGATGGGGAGACTGCGGGGTAGCAACTGAGAGCCAAGAGCGGAGAGCCTGTAAGCAGCGGTTGGGAATGCGGTCAGTCGGGAGGTTTGGCGGAGAGGAAAGCGGCCTAGAGAAGACATGAGGAGACTGAGCTTGGCAGGAAAGGTGTGGGAGGATGCCCGTGGGGTGGTGGGGGATTGCTGGATCGCGGACCTTGACGGCGACAGGGCCAGGCCAGAGCTGTGCCTGACTAATTGGATTGATTGGCAGGGTGAGGGGAAACTTTTAGAAGCAAGCACGCAATGACGACTTGCGACAAGTGATGTGAGCGGCTGCAGGGTGAATGTGCCGTGCGGAGTCGAAGCTTCCCCGCGCATTGCCACGGCCGCCCCGCCTGCCGCTTCCGCATCACCGGGGCAGGGGGTTCTGGGTGCCTCCATGTGATAGCGACACTGCAAGCTTACAACACAAGAAAACACCTAACATACACGACTCACCTGAGGCACTGCTTCATGGGCGTCTGCTTGCCATAGCACAGGTCGGCTGGGGATCATCGTCGTTGTGCAACCAGCGTTGGTTTGCATCAAGACCCCGGTCTGCGCAGCATCCGACTTGGGGATGCAATCTCACAGCTCTCGTCCGTCCACGACAAAGAAGCGGCGAGCCCGTCATCAAGCCTTGGAACCCAGCGATCGCCTGATAGCACATCCATCCCGGAACCCATGGCGAGTCCAAACCAGCATTCATCCTGTCCGACACAGGATGTAGCCATGTCATCACCATGATCCTGCTGGCGATCAAGCGCATTGCCAAGCAGATTGCCGGCGATAACACTACATTCCCAACATCAGCATCCTTGAGCCCTGGCACCTGCCCAGTGGCGCGCGGAATGCTTCCTCCCCTCCCCAGGACCCGGCCTCGATAGCCTGCACGCAGCCACTCACCGGCACTCGCTTGTCAGCTGCACGTCGACTATTCCGCAGGCCAAGCCCTGCGCGTGACCGCCCTGCTGAGCACACTTGTTTGCTCCTGTGATTGGGCTCTTGTGCCTGGGCCAACTGCCTGTCAAGAAAGGCGGGGAATGTGCGATGCGCTTTTTCCAAAAGTGACGATTTCGCAGTGCGGCAAAGACATCAGATTAAAATGATCGCTCAGGGCACATCATGGCTATGGCACAAGCACATGCGTGAGCCCTTGGGTTCACCTAGAGCGGGCAAGCGTCCTCGCCGCGAAATCAAGACAGTTCATGCCCCGAATAATAAGGTTGAACAAAGCATCATCAGCTGGCGCCGTGCTTGCTTGCGGAGCAGCATCCGTGGGAGGGTTATGTCTAAATCTCTCTTCGTATATTACTCCTACCTAGGTAAGATATAATGCGCGATGCGAGAGCGGGTCTCCGTAGCCGGCGGTACAGGGCCTCCACACCACCGTTATCCCCGGGTCGACTCCGCTTTCTCGCGTCTTCGCGCCAAACTGATCGAAAAGAGGCAGCTCTGCTTTGTGGGAATCGGCCAGGGGCCGCCATGGGCCCCATATCCTCCCGCCGAAAATTTCGAGGCTAGGGGGAGCCAGGCTTTGGAATTGCCCGTCAGAGTGTGTCAGAGATTTGTCGTCTTTCATTGTCACAAATCGTGGTGGTCCCTTTCCTTGCAGCAACCTCTGCCAGACAATCACCAAGCACCAGTCGGGCCTTTGCTGCGGACCTTGGCAGACCACCCTGGCGCTTGACCGGTTGTTCATACAGCCAAGCTTCACTAGCTCAAGGACCTCTGCCGTCGGCTTGCATGCGACAAGATGGCCGAGGTTAAAGACCCAGAAAAACAGGACCGCGTTGCTGGGTCCTCAGTAGTGGACACGCTCATGCGCAGTCCCTCTCAGCATGACACAGATTCCACTCGAGACGAGAAGGCCTCGCTTAAAAGTGCGATCCAGAGGCAGGACATGGACAGAATCGACCCTGCCGGCTCGCCAGAGCGGCGCCACTCTACAACGGCTTCCGAGTCCGACGACTACCGAGATGACTTGACCGACCTCGATCATGTCCCTTCTCGGGGTGCCGAGGCCTTCCAGGAGATCACTCATATTCGGACAACCACCAGCATCGGCAGCAGCGCATCTCGACCGCCGGACTTTGAGGTCGTCTTTGAAGATGACGACAACTACAATCCCAAGCAGTGGTCTTTATGGTATCGCACGTGGGTCGTCATATCCATCAGCTTCACCACCTGGGTAGTGGTGTTCTATAGTACGGCTTACACAGCAGCCATCCCTGGCCTCATGGACGAGTTTGGCGCTGCGAGTCCTACCGTCGTGACCTTGGGAGTGACCACTTACCTTCTCGGATTAGCAGCCGGCAGCCTGCTTGTGGCACCTGCAAGTGAGCTGTATGGTCGCCGCCCAGTGTACATCATTTGCATGGCATGTTTCACGCTCCTCGTCATCCCATGCTGTCTCGCGACTTCATTGACCGAGATCATCGTAGTTCGCTTCTTCTGGTGTGTATGAGCTCTTCTCTTGCCAGGTGACTCATTCACTAACCGGGCTGCAGTGCTGTATTTGGCTCTGTGATGGTCTCCAATAGTGCGGGAACCGTGGTGGATATTTCTACAGAGGAGTACCGCGCTCTGGTCATGTCTTTGTGGTCTATTGCGCCCATGAATGGTGAGGATGCCTCCGACTCGCTTGTCAACACAACCGTCCACTTTCTGACACTGGCTTTCGGCTTGCAGGTCCGGCTACTGGTCCCCTTATTGGCGGCTTCGTGTACCAGAATCTCGGATGGAGATGGGAGAACTGGTTGACGCTCATTTTCGGAGCCGTTGGCACTCTCTGCATGGTTCTCACCAAGGAGACTTATGCGCCTACACTCCTGCAGAAAAAGGCCGCGCGCATGCGCAAGGAGCAGGACGATGATCGATGGTGGTGCCGTTACGATGAGAAGGTCGCACCAATTGAGCTCATCAAGATCAATCTCTTGCGTCCTTTCATCCTCGCCTTTACAGAGCCCATCCTGTGGTTCTTCAACATCTGGTACGTGACACATGAGCGGTTCACCAACAATGTGCTTTCCGAACTGACGCTCTCGTTAGGATTTCACTCACCTATGGCATTCTCTATCTTTGTTTCGTGGCGTACCCAATCGTCTTCACGCAAAACCGAGGCTGGGGCCCAGGCATCTCTGGTCTATCCTTCTTGGGCATTGGCATTGGCACCATGATCTGCATTTGCTCCGAGCCATTGTGGCGCAAAATCATCAACGCACACCCCAAGGACCCTGAGACAGGCAAGGTTCCGCCCGAGGCGACCGCACGCGTCATGATTATCGGCGCCGTCTCGACCGCTGTGGGCCAGCTCGTCTTCAGCTGGACGTGCCTGCCGGCCACCATCCATTGGGCGATCCCCATCGCCGCCGGCGTCCCGTTCGGCATGGGCAACGGCATCAGTTTCATCTACGGCGCCAACTACCTCGCCGGGTCCTATGGAATCTACGCCGCCTCCGCGCTTGCTGGCAACGCCGTCATGCGCAGCTTCTTTGGCGGTACCCTTCCCCTCGCAGGACCCTCCATGTACGCTGCCCTCACGCCTCAGTGGGCGGGCACCCTGCTCGGCCTGCTCGAGGTGTGCATGATCCCGATCCCGATTATCTTCTACAAGTACGGCGATCGCATCCGCGCCAGGTCTCCCGCGATCAAGTTGCTGCGCGAGGATGCGGAGAAGAATGAGCGCAGGGTGGCCCGCGCACAGCGAAGCGCAGCACGGAGGCAGATTGCAGCGCAGGTTGCAGCAGAGGGGTCGGACGAGAAGACCGGCATTGCGACGCTTCCGGCTAGTCCTGATGGAGGCGGTATTGAGAAGACGGTCGCGTCGGTCAAAGACGTTGAGAGGGGCATCTCCGGGGCGGATGGCGTGCCGCCGGATACGACAGTGAAGCAGTCGGACACGATTGCTGTCGAGCGTAAGGCTTAGACCTGGATCTCTGGCAGTCAGACGCCCGTCCGGGATACAGTTTTAATGATAAATCGGCTCCCATCGACGATTTGTTTTCATAAAAGCATGAGAAAAAGAAAACGCCTTTCTCTAGATTTCATGCTCCTCTTACAATGAAGAGTGAGTGAATTGTGTATGTCGTCGAGGCGAGACCTAGAGTGTACTGCTGAGTGGACCAGTAATCTCCTGCCCTGCCAATGTGACCCTTAACTTCTATCAGGTCGAGGCAGGCAGCTGGGAGGAGGCTTGCAACACAACTGCGTAAGCAGCTGAGTGTGGGCAAAACTAGAATGCGTGTTCGTCGTGCTGGTCGTGGAATGCTTGCAAGTACCCTTGGGGTGGCATAGGGATCTTAGGGGTTGGTTGCTCCTCGAGCGAGGACGTAGCTGAGCTCCTGGGCTCAGCCAGCGGATATCGAGAAGTTAAGTCTCGAATTCTCCACGACACATGGGTCACGTCTTCGAATCAAGGACCTTTGACTCATCCAACTGCGTGATTCACCGCCAATCGTGACAAATCCGTCAGAGTCACATCGAGCTTGAACAAGCCGCGGTCGATTTTTGTCGGGGTCCGCTCGTTTTCACGTGGACCGCTTTCTTGGCCATTTTCTCATGCGTGTCTTTGCCTATGTGTATGGGTATATCACGGGTCCAGAGTTGTATCGTCCATGAATGAGCTGCTCGAAACTGCTCGAGGTAATGCCTCAGCAAGCCGCTCCCTACGGTTGCCATTTACAGACCCCGGCTGGGGGGATATGGGATGCTAGGTAGGTATGCGGGTTCTCAAGTATTAAGTGGAGGGCGGGACTATCAGGCAAGTCCCGGCGTAGGACCAATGGATTCGAGTCGTGCCGTGATACATTCATCCAGGGAAGATCCCGTGAAAAATCCCGCGGTATATCCATTCCCAGACGCTTGCAAGAACATCCGGTTTCCAAGTCCGCCGGGATCCCAAAAGGATTTCCAAGTAAATTTATTTGAGCTGATACCAAGCACCAAGAACCCTTACAAGACTTCCCAACAATCTATCTTAGTGTATCGTGAAACCCACACAGAGGACCATTATAACTTGTCCGTTCCCTCCCAACGTGAGGTCCGAGGATATCGAGTTACCAAGCACCAGCAAGGGACAAAAAGTACAAGCCATCCACGATGACCTAACCGTATCTGACATCGGAGGGTCTCGAACCCTCAATCTCCTGATTCCCGAAATCCCAAAGCGAACCCGCCTGGACAAAGTCGTAGTCAGACGCCTTACCATTGGGCCACGACGCCGAACGTTGATTGGTTGAGAGCGACGGGTTCTTAATGGGCAATCTGACTTGATAGACTGAATTCGGACCGCAACGGAGGAGATATGAGAGGTTGAAGAACCTGGCCATCGAGAGTGAAGTCTCGTTCACTTGTTGTCTAACTTAGCCTGTGCAGGCATGTCTAGTGCTAAGGACACTAGATGGGGACATCAATAATGCAAGTGGCGCGAAAACAACGACAAAAGAAAGCCGGACCGAGACCCTCTACCGGCCTCTGTTACTTTATCATAGCTTCGGTCAAGACAAATGAGAGACATGCTGCTGTCATACTTCTCCTGGCCTTGCCTGCTCTCGTTCGGTAACAAGAACCCTTTTTGTTGCGGCTGTGACGAACCTAGACGTCACAGTACGTATGCAGACTCTGTTTCATCATCTCATCCTCGCATTGTGCTCCTCCATAACAAGCAGGTGAGACATACCTGGAAGTCTTCTATCCTCAATGGCAGGACAGCCTTATCACGATCCTGCCTACAGCCAACAAAGCCGAAGACTTGGCGAAGACCCTTTCTTAGTTGGCATCTTTTGTTTTGCCGGATTCGTGAGCACCGACGCCCTGGCCTTGACACAAAATCGGATCACATTCCACGTCCGTGATTCCATAGTGTGATACATAGGACGCAATCAGAGCTCGTCCATATATGTGTAAATGCGCACTGCGACAGAAACCGAATCCACTGTTCCAACGCCATATTCACCCACGCCGGGGTCCTACTGCGAGATTTGCGCTGCAAGTTACATCGCTGGAGGTCCCGGCCGACATTGAAGGCAGGTTTCGCGATGCCTGGCCTTACTCGTGTCCCAGCATTCGATATATAGAGCCAACGTGTTGACACCTTGATTTCGCTTTGCCAGTCCCCCTTGAGACAATCCTCAATCTCTTCAATGTTGTCTTGTGATGATGTTATCATTACATATAGCATGAAAAACCACGGTGTGTCTCCCGGAGGCGCTCTCTCACTGTAGTTTTCATTCTCGGGTTTCTCTACCTGCACTTGGGATAGTGATCGTCCAATTCAAGGGTGGAAAGAGCAGCAGGTATACCGAATGCTAGCACTTGATACAGAAACTCGTCTCACAAGAACCCGGGCATGTTGTGTTGACTTGTTCATGTCTCCTTTTGGGACTGGAACGTGTGGACAAGCACGAGAACGAATAGAGGGACATCAAATAACACGATAGCCAGTTCTCGATGGCCCGGGTTCTACGGTTCTCTGAACGGTGGTTCCCAGATGTCGCCATGCTTGATTCGTCTGCGGTCGCCTTGCTGATTGGAATTTGGGAACAGGTGACATGGCACGACAATGCAAGACCATCTCAACGCGTTGTTCACTTGGCTGTCCGGCTTCTTGATCTCCATCCCCCTGGATTACACATCACCAATAGTGAACGGGTCTCCCATATTCACCGCCATGAACGACGAGACGTTCCTGACAGAAGTTCAAAAGTCTCTTGGTCAAGCCGTCGTGGAAACTGTAAAACACATTTCAACAGCCACTGCAACTCCCCTTCCAAGACGACCCCTTCAAAGTGGTGTCTCACAATCCCGTACCTCCTGTTCGAAAGATAAGACATGGCTTGCGCCTACCAAGACTGCCCGTTTTACGACTCACTAATGCGCCAGACTTGTAGAACAGGTCGACGTCTCCCGAAATGAGATTGCCACGAAACCCTCCACATCAGCGTGGCGATAACTATTACGACAGCGACGACGTGGCCATTGACTAACAAACTACTCTTGCGGGCGGACGAGGACGACGGCGGCGGTGACGGTGCAGTCGTTGGTTAGGCGAAGCAACGCATCCCGCGTTAGCCTCACCCGCGCCTGGAGTCTCGTGGTATAGCAAGTGTATCACCAGTACACGATGGTCTGCACCATACACGCGCACACACGGCGTTGTTTCCCTCTAGGCAGCAGAATTAAAACCGCCGCTCATTGGTCTTGGAACTCCTCCCTCTTTCTAGAGAGCCGCTAAACCCCCCAAAACTCTGTGCTGGCGCAATTTTGACGTGGCCAGAAGCACATTATGATGGGAGGCTGCCAATCCTAACCCTGAGGGTAAAAGGGGGCTGTCACACGAAGGAAGGCGGCGGATAAGAGGCACACGCAGTCGAGTAGGGTTACCAGCCACACACACACACTCTGCATACTGGTCTCAGCCATGCACGGGTACATCTGCTAGCCAGACACCGCCAAGACGACGGCGCGCAGAAAGGGTGGTGGGAGGGGGACACCCAGGCGGGCAAGCCTTGCAGAGCACGTGCGTGCCAGTCCACGCGAGGCCACATGGACGACACAGAGATACATACACACTCTCTTTCTACTTTGTTTTGTTTTTTAAGCCGCCCCCTCTCAACACGGTCTCAGCGCTTGCGGCGGCACGCGCTGGGCGTTCCACCATAAATTTAGGGTTAATAGGGGACTGGTTTGTGTATGGGACGGCGGCTCCGCACGTGCATGAAGTTACTCGCCGCGCTGAGGACCGGCGTCCGGTGCAGCGGTGGAAGAGGGACCGACTTTGTGCGAGGAACCCCACTTTCAGCCGAGGGGACAGTAACTTCGAGGCTCGGGAAAATGACGTCATAAGTCCGGCCGGGCGAGGAGAATGTCTCGGCCGTGTATCTTTTTATGGTTGTGGGAAAATCTTTGTCCTTCTTTCGTCTAGGGGTCCGATTGATCTTCGCGCAGAACGTCGTATGGTATGCCAGGGGAGAGGTTCAGCATGACTCACTGACTGCTTGCCGGGGACAGCATTACGGTGTGGTGCATACAACTACCCATGTCACCAGTCTTGACGATCATGACGAACGTCCTCGCGTGAAAGGTTAGAAACATGCCGCTCCCCGAGAACGGCAAGACGAGAGACAACCTCATCGGCCAGTCCGTGATTTCAACCCGAACCGCAAGAGCCTAAAACCAACTGTGTAGCGGGCGAGCTGGGTGCATGTGGGCGACGCCAGGGTCAGGAAGGGCAACTCATCAAAGGATTAGACGAAACCATGGCCAATCCGTAGCCGTGTCCCCACGTAGCCGTCCTTAGCGCGCCGAGCTGGTGGCCGTTGATGGGTATCAAGCCTGAGGCCTGGTTGGATGCACATGGACCGCGCGCCGACCGGAGCAGCTCCACATGCTAAGTCATGGACATGACTTTGGCCAAAAAATGAGCCATTGGCGACGAGGTCCGCGATCGGGAATTGTTGTCGACGGCACGGGTGGGCTGGGCATGTATGCAGGGGAAAGGGTGCCGGTGACGTGAGTCTGCGCACAGGCGGCCCCCGCCACGAACAGTTAGCACGGGGAGACAGTGCAGACACCAGAAGTCGTCGTATGCACTTTCGCCACAATCTCCAACTCGCCTAAAGGCGACGCTGTGGCTAGGCCGGAGAATCCGCCCCAAACAGAGTAATACCGCGTGCCAATCCCTCGTGGCAGCGCAGCAGTTCAGCCTCTGGGTGCGTGAGCCACACACGCCAGTATTTCGTCAGCCCACCGCTTCGCGCAGCTCACTAGCCACCTCCGTCCTTTACCCGCGTCCCGCGTGCGGCCAGAGTGGCAACGATCAACATCCTGTGGCTGTCCGGCAGAGTCCGTCTTGGCGACGGGCTCTGCTGTCATCTGGAGGCCTCCTGGGCATTGTATCTCTGCCAGCTTGCCGTTTTGCGTGCTGTATGTAGGCCACAGGGACGGCTGGGGATATGATGATCCCCGGAAACATGCGCATGGCTCAAGGAGCAGAGAGACATGCGACGGTGCTTGAGCCCACTGCCATCAATGCCCCCGGGAGCCAGAGGAGACTCGCATTGGCGAAGCTGGGCGCAGCACGGGTCTGCTGTTCCTAAGTCCAGACTGCCATTTACGGAAGGCAGCGAGGTCAATGGTGGACGCTCATTGGTTGTGACCGGGTAGCGCTCCACGCTGGCGGCATGGCATTGGCGAAATGAAGGGCTGGGCCTAAGCGACGCCTCGTTTGCTGGCAGGCGTTTCTCAAGGGACAAAGTCTTATTGTCGATTAGGTTCGCTGCTCGGCCCAACTCCGTCTGCTGTGGATCTGGCGAGCCCTCTTTCCGCGTCAGGGTCCCAATTGGTTTTTGGGCGGCCACGAGAACGACCTTGAAGTTCGGGCTGGTGTTGCCGAGCAGCTTGTCGATCAGCACCCCATTCAGAAATGGCCTGCTCTACACGACACCCCAGGGTGTAACGCAGCCAGTCGTGGCTCAACAGCCACCAATAGTCCCCAGAATACTTGTCCACTTGAAGCAGTACCTGAGCCCAAGTATCTCTTTCCCACGCCAGGTCGCGCGTGTCGAATGCTTCCACCATGTCCGGTCTGACGGCATTCCTTCATTGCTGCTCCACAGGCAGGGCACCCGGCCCCGACTTGCTCACTTCTGCGAGCCTAGGCCTTTGAGGCAAGCCACACCCACCAGCGGTCCCTGGTGCCACCAGCACCCATTTGTTCCGTGCCGAAGTCCCTGCATGCCTGCAAGAACCCCAAGGCGCCTCCCGCTGTCTGCACGAAGGCCCTTCACCACTCTGATTGGCGATGGGTGCACCAGACACGCCAGCAACTCAATCGCAGCGAAACTCTCCCACGCTTCATGGAGGCCTCCTGTCAGGCTCCAGCGCTGCTTCCAGACCTGTGGTTTGTCCCATGCCGTCCCCTCGGGCGACACGAAGCCTCGGGGACCTCGCGGCACAGGCCGAGTCTCGTTGTGGTGCAGTTGCCCTTGCGCCACAAGGTTTGTTTTGTTTCATGCATGGCACACTTTCTGCACGTCTTCTCCCCTGTTGGGCACGTCCTTTTGATTGTGTTGCTGCTGCGCACTCACCTGCCCAGGCTGTCATTGCGCTACTTGCTCCGGATGCCGACGGAGTGCAGTCGAAATCCGGAGGTCAAGCCTCCCGTGTCCGAAGTGGATTGTGGCGATCAGTCAATGTGGCGCGTGAGGCCTCTGTGATCTTGCAGTGTCCTTCCGGGCCGCGACAGAAACAGCTGTCGCACGCAGCAGTATCCTGCCAACCCTTCCGAAATTGAGACCGAAAGAATTGCACCTCGCAGATGTGCTCCGGGATGAGAATGTCAAGCATTCGCAATAGTTTTCTTTCAATGGTGTGATGTGTTTGCCAACCTGCACTAATCTTGGTCTCAATCAAAGGCAGAGCAAGAGCACATGCCCGGATCCATCTCGACCTGTGTAAGTACACTCAAGGCGTAGCTTGCATGGAGCATTTATTATCTTTGCTTGCTTCGGTCCTTCAGTCAACCACATATATGAGGCTTAGCATCGAGTGGCCCCGAACAATCATCACAGATCTACTGGAAGCGGGTTAAGATGCAGCACCAAAGGTCATTTGTGTCTTGTGTAAGGTCGCTAAGAATGTGCACAAGGCTGTGTGAGAATGGACCAACCATGCAGATAGCACATGGATTGAAATCCAAGTCCGCTTCGTTGTGGAAAAGGGACAGGTGCGTGGTGCCAGAGCCTGGAGCAGGGCTTGCTGGCTAATGAATGAGTAATTAGTAGACTGGGCTGAGGGTGCGCCAGAATTGAGCACCGATGGCAATGATGATGTTGAGGCGAGACTGAAGTTGGTGGTTTGGAACATGCTGTCTTTGCCAGGCTCTTGCTGGAGCCTTACCTGCCAGTTCTTTGAGAAACCAGTAGCCTCTAGATGTATGCTTGTCCACGAAGATGATCGCATGATGATGTGGACTAAGGCCTACCTCTAGTTCTGAGCAGGACCCATGCATGATTTGCACTGCTCTTCAAACGATGCCAACGACGCTCTGCTTTGATCGGACTCCAATATTCGGGCTCATAAAAATGGCTTTGCTGTCCCTTGACCAAGGCTTGGTGAGTGCGGAATACAGTTGAACGTAGAATCGATAAGCAAATAATATGAGCTGTTTATGGTGACGAGAAAGGGCTGAGGTCTTGCAGCCGATCTACCCGTGGGGCACGACACAATCGAGATCTGATGTCTAGAGGCGGCTGGGGTGCGTTGAGCAGATCCAGTGGAGCCGGCGAGACGCAAGTGAGGCCTGACTCCTTGGGACAGCCGCTGCAACTTAGTGACGATAGCCTAACGGCTAAAGACAAGCTGATGATCCTGTCATTTCGCCAGATCGCTTGTAGAGAGGGGGAGGTTACGTGGACTGGCGGCGGATCCAGGAGCTGGCGCCTGGTCGCTCATGCTGACCACTCGCTTATCACCCTAGAGGCACTATCACCCTCGTTCCCGCCACTGAGTGTCTGACGACCAGGTATGCAAGCGGCTCGACTGGCTGCAATACCCTGCACTGGGGGGGGGGGGGGACCACTCCGAAGTATGATCCCCATCAGACCGATCTGGCCCGGCATGCTCTGGCGGTGGTGGCCGCATGCCGACCTAAAGTCCAGGGCCCAGCGTCTGTATTAGACCTTGCGCAAGTAATGGGTCTTGACTCTGCGATGGTGGAGATGAGCCGGCAAGGTGGTCTCGGGCGATGGACGTGGGAGATTAGACATTGATGGCCAGCTGCCGAATGACAAGCCGGTTGTAAGCCACAAGGAGCCTGCCTGAGGGAGGTGCTTGGCGAGGGTACCATGACTCTGTAAGTTAGTGGTTCGCCAGAATGACATGCCCTGTCTGGGAAAGGGGATATTCTCACAGTTTCACGGGATTAGCCAAGCATAAGACCTCCTTTGTACATCAAGAATGCTGCCCAGCGAAGACCATGACAAGCCGACGTACTTCTACGTCTTGGAGAAGTCGACCGAGTGCGCAAGCCGTTGCTCCTTCTTCGAGCTCCAGGCGTGCTAGGTGGTGATGCGACATACCAAGGTGGGCAAACCGGTGACTTACGCATGGCTATGCATCTTGAGCTGACCATGGGACTTGCTGGCGGGACGTCGAGATGCATCTTTGCTGAGAGAGCCGGTCATGGGTGCCATCAAAGCGACCTCGGGGAGCACGTCAATCAGGATACGGTGGCGTGTCTGAGCTTGTGGCATCGTGGTGTCGTTTCTTGCAATCAGGGGAAGGCGCGCCTGTGGTTGAAGGCTCGCGCATGATTGGAAGGCGTGGGCGACACCACCAGCCCCACAACCAGATTCACATCTCATCCTCACAGTAAGCACATGTCTGCATGTGTCCCCCTGCTGATTACACTCTGATGATCCGGCCAGGCGACACCAGAGATACCGCGAGGCCGACAACGACGCAAGTAATACGTGGCTTGTGGCTCACGGTACGCCACTGCTGGCGAGACGGGTACCAGCCACCATCCCATGGATCATGGATGCAACCTCTGGCCCGCCAGCGGCTGCGATCCCACCCGGCCAGCGTTTCACAATAGGACCCGGCTAGCACAGACGACGCCACACATGCGCCTAGGCTAGACCACAACAGCGTTAACGCGGAGAACCCATTCCTGGTGGAGTTTGACAGCTACCCACCCCGCCGAGCCAGTTCCCGGTTGCGACTGGCTGAGCTGGCTGGTGCAACAAGCCAACCGTCTGGGTCTGGAGGTCGTCCGCGGCTCTCACTCGCATGGCCATGGCCACGCCAGCGACGTCCCCATTGTTTCCCTCTGGTTCCCACATTCTGCCCGTTTCTCTAGCGCCGCGCGCCAACATAACTCAAAAAGGTCCAGTTACGCGGAACGGCAACTGAGGCCGAACATCGAGCGGCTGGGCGCCAGGTAAAACAGCCTCGCGGCAAGAGCACATGCAGAGACCGGAGACGAGTATTTGCGCCTACTCCAGCACCGCGACGCCTCTTCCCAGAAGCGGATGGGCCCGTGTCCGGGGTCGGTGAGGCCATTGCAAGAAACAATATATTCTTCGTGGTGCGGGAAATGAGCTCGCACCATCTGTCCGCGGAATAAACGGCCCGCGCATAAGTGGCTAGCACAGGCTGACAAGGTCTCCCCTCCCTCGCTCCCACATCTTCGGAGGAATCTTTGGGGCGCGGGAATGAAACATTTCGAAACAAGTCCAGAAAAAATAAAATCATTCAAAAGTTCCCGACTCTCTGCCGAGAGTGGTCGCTCTGCTTCAATGCGCTAATTTGATGCCTACCGCGATGACAGTGCTTCCAGATCGCTGACAAAGGATGGCAGGGCGGGTTTAAGATGAGCCAGTGTTTGAAGGATTGCGCAAGCATCCAGGTCGCCCACCCCCTCCTCCCTCACCCCGAACGACCTGCACTCCTCCATCCCGAGCGTGCGCTAGTTGACGTGGGCTCGAAATTGAACCCACAAGAGAGTGCGTCGATGGCTTGAAGTAGGGACATTGACCAGAGGGAAGAGACAGCGCAACTCGCCGCCCCCGCTTATCGGCACTGACCTATCCCCATCGCGGACAGACTCACGAGTCGCACCCCAGTCAGATGCGGAGATTTTGTCCGTGACACCTTTGTGATATGAGATTGTCGTGACTACGCAGTATGGCGCGGCGGGTCCCCCTTCACAAACAATCATCTGGGCGTGCGTCCTGTCACTGCACCAGACCCGGTCCTTGTCCTTGTCCCAGCTGCTGAGCAAGGTGACGCCAGAGCGACCTTCAGCTCTGGCCATAGCGCATATCACGTACGTGGTGCAGAGCGGCGGAATCTGGATGCTTAGCCTGCAAGCAGGCCTAGGATTGAAGGTTGGGTGCCGATATGCGTATATGTGTCATTTATAAGACATTATTATTCCATTACTAGTTACAATATAGTATATATGAAGGCATTGCCATATTATCGGACATTTCTGTTCCTCCAAAAAGTATTCGAGTTCGTCGGTGCCTGTGCCCAGGGGGATACACGCCCCACGTCCGGTCGTGATTAATCAAGTGGAAAAGCGACAGGGAAAATATCACGAATGGATTTGTGGAGAGAGAGAGGGAGAGAGAGACGGACAGAGACAGAGAGGGTCTGATTTGAAGCTCTCGAATTGTGGATTTCTTGCATGGCTGTATAGGACATGCCTGTGTGCCAGGAGACCCGGGCGCACGTCTCAGTGTGTAAATCGTGGCCTAGGCCTAATGCGAGCGCCGAGTCGCGCTGCTTCGTCGCCTCCCAAACGACGCCCACTCTTCCTATTGCTTCCCTTTCTCTCCTTTTCTCCGTCCCGAAACCAGAAGTCTCCGTCCATCGCCCTGCTTTGCTTTGCCCCCACATAAATAGACATTTTCAAGGAAAACATTAAGTGTGCTTTACAACTGGGGCAGGATGGGTCAGGCGCAGCCTTCCGACATCCCGCGACGAATGGAAGTGCAAATGCTGCCCCAGCCTGGGCGTGGTATCTCTGGTGTATTGCTCTCCCAAAAACCATAAGCAGAAAACTCCGACGTGATCCATAATGTAGAATGATCCGCTGTAATTGTCCTATAAATCGTGTGCGCTTGATGAAGAAGAATAAGGAATTGATTCGCCCAGAATTGAGGAATCAGTATGCGTTGCTGTGTGTAGCCGAAAGTGAACGTTTTAGAATGTGAATCGGAACTCGTACTCCTTGACGGTTCGGTAGGCGCCAGACGTTGAGGCTTTTTCACCTTCAGGTGCATCAACGGCCATCTCCCATTCACGCTTGGGCTGCGCGACTTGCATCTCGACCTCCCGTATCTCGAGGGTCATGGCTTGACCTTCGCCCAGTTCCCGAATGACATCGTCGTCCATCTCAATCTCGAGACCTCCCTCTAGGACATGGAGGGCGCGAGCGACAGAGGTCGCATCAATCGACCACTTCGTGGCAGTGCGGAGTATGAAATCGTGCAGGGTTCTTGACGCCAAGTAGACGGCTCGGTGGTAGCTCCGCTCGCCAATACTGGTGGGTTGTCGGGCAATATAGAAGCATGCGACAGGTTTCGGTGGCCGATCGACCGGGGGCTGGTATGTCGGGTCCACCCCAAGTGCCTCTATCCACCCACTAAGATTGCCGTCGTCGTCGGTCTTGGTCGCAACTCTTGTGGGCCGTTCTTGCCGCGATTCCCAGGGATGGCTGCCGATGGCTGACTGTTGGGACTGGAGCGACAAGGAGCTGGGGGAGGGCGAGACAAGGACCGACGAGTCAGTGCCTGGTTCCCTTGTGGTTCTCGCTTGCCAGACGGCAGCATCTTTGCTGTCGACCTTGGTGAGGTCGGTAGGCTCCCCTGCCAATGTGACAGGGTGCAAGTCGGGATCGTCAAGCTCTTCGCCACGCAGGTACAATATGCTGACAGGGCGTGTACTGGTGAACATGTCTTGCAGTGCTTGCAATTTGAGGTGCATGTCGTCCTCCACAGATGGCCTGGTGTTAGGGCCACTGCCGCCATCTGCCGAACTGGCTGACGACATGGACCACGTCCGCTTGTGCTTCTGTACCTTGCCAGGCCGCTGAGGCTCTTGACCCTTCGAGTGGGAGCTCGCCCCACCACGTTTGCGTTTGCCAAAGTCTTTCATGCCACTCTCGGCCTGCGCGATCTGCTGTTTCAGCTTGTCGATACTCTTCTTGACATGCGCGACATCGTTTGCAAGCTTGCGCTCGGCGCCGTGGTCCCGGAAAAGCTTGACCTTGGAGTAACACAGCTCGGCGCCGTTGTCGGTCGAGGTTGGTGAGACATCACCTGCCAGTATGGTCGTTTTGGCACATAAACGGACGGGAATCCCCTTGACACCCTTTGAGTGACTGAAATCAGTCGAGAGGAAGTTGAAGCGGACAGCAATGTTGCATTCCGCCATGCCGTTGATGCCGGGGGTCCAGACCACACAGAAACCGTCGAAGGAGGCTGACTCGAGCTCGATCCGCGTCCTCTTGTTGTCGCCCTCTACGGACTGGGTCTGCTCCACGTACTCAACGGCCTGTAGTTTGCCACCGCGCTGGTGTGCTTCATTGGTGCCTCTGCCCTCCTTCCACAGGCTCCAACAGACTCCAGGTTTTTGGCGCTGTTGGTCGTCTTCGAAAGATATTCTCACAAATGTCCTGTATTTCACCCCATGCGAGACTGGGATTGTAGGCGCAGTGTCGACAATAGAGAGAGAGTATGCCTGGCCTTTGTTCAAATACGTGATTGGGATCTCCTCGGCGTGCTTGATCATCGCAGTAGGCGCATTCAGCGTGCAGTGGAAGCGGAACTTCTCTGCCGACGGCGGTAGAGCATGTGTCATGGGTATGCCGTACTGACCGTGAGGGAAGGACAGTAATGGAGGAGATTGGGACTGGTGGAAGGCAGCGTCCATGGGTCGCATACGCTCTTCAGTGCCATCAGAGCCGAGTGGTGAGCCATCCTGATCCATCGTCTCATAGCCAGTATCTTGGTGAATAAAGGTCGACGGTGCGAACGAAGGCTGCTGCTGCGCCGGGTGGATAAAGGGATTGAACGGCTGCTGGAAGTGCTGCGGGTGTAAGCCAGGATGGTGGAATTGCTGGGCGCTCAGCTCCATCATGGGCGGGCCATGCACGCCAGAGACGTGAATGCCCCGATCACTGGTTGGAAGCGAAAGAGGTGTTCCCAGTCCCATGCCCAATCCTAGAGTCGGCGTGTGTAAATCACCCGCCTGAGGATGGTAGAGGGTGTTGGTTCCACCAGGAGTTGGCGTGTAGTAGCCCGGTGGCTGGTTGGCGAATGCGCTGAAGGAGAAGGAGTCTGGATCAAGCAGAGACGGGGTGAACCGCCATGGCTCCGCCGAGGCGCGCGGCGTCGGATCTTGGTCAAAGACATCTTGAGCGGCATTTAGACCTCTAGATAAACTCACAAAGTCAGTAATTTGCGAAAGTCGATGGTTGGCAGAAAGGCTGTCCCATGGCGGGTCGAGATCGTCGCAACAGGATCGCCAGAGCGAGCGCACCACGAAATGCCCCGCGCGCGCGTCAGTTAAAGCTGCAGCAGACCCAGCTGGCGCTCAACATCACGCAAGCTAGCACCGCCTCACCGCCTCAAAGCGACGCGGACAATATCGCCTGAAGCTGTGCGTGGCAGCATCCCCGAAGGCCGGGCTAATGGGAATACACAGTAAAAGACAAACTTACCGATCTTGTCCGGGGGCTGCAAGCCCAGGTACATTGCCAGCAACGGTTGTAAGTGCGGGTGCGCCGGTGGCTGTGGTTGCACCTCCCGAAGACACCTCGGGAAACTGCTGGCGGAAGTTGGCCAGCAGTTCGTCGCCGGGCTTCGCGGAGCTTTTTCTAGGTAGAACAAGCAACTGAGTTAGTCGTTGAATGTGTGTGGTGTGTGCATGCGTGTGCGTGCGTGTCGGATGATTGCGCCAGGACGGCGCGAGCGTGCCTTGCCCCGCCGTCAGATGACCATAACGAAATGAGGGGATCACCCACCTTTGTCGAAACATCTGGGTCGCAGCTGTCGCGCTGAGGTCGTGACAGCTGGGCACTGAGGAGCTGGCAAAATAGTAGCGAGCGGCGGGTTTGCCCAAGTACAGGCTGGACTTTGTGTCGAGCAGGAGGAAGCAATATTATGTTGGTGGGTGCTTGGTGCGGTGAGTAGCAAGGTGGAAGCGGATCTTGCTTGCTCAGAACATTGGATCCAGTGCGCCCGGTTGTAAAACGAGTGTAGCGGGCTGCGATGCTGCCGTGTGGTCGAGAGGAAGAAAGACGACGGTGATGGCGGAAGAGGAATCAGGCAGGATGACAAGCCTGACCGGGAGTCTTGAATCTAAACAACGACGAGAGCGTTGACCAATGTCGTAATGCAGGCCTGCTTATGGCAGCGGAAAGAGTTAGGACTTCCGGGATGTGTCGAATATGGAAAGGAAACCGCGTGTAATTATGAACGGACAAAAAGGCCAAAGCGGCGGATGACGGGAGAGGGTGGCCGGAGTAGTGATATAGCATAGATGGCTAAGGCATGACCCTTGGTGGGTACCTTGGACGAGATATACGGGCAGGCTCCGGGCAGCCACGCTGGTGGCAGAGGAGAGACGGATGGACAATGGGGGAATGAAGGAGGTGTGGTGGGTATCTCTAGTGACTTACAACACTTTGGGGGATCACTGCGGCTGCTCCATGTACACCCACAGGTCCCGAGTAACCTAGCAGCTCACGCAGCCGGGCCAAGTGGAGCCCTTGCAAGCGGGAGGGATCAGAAGAACCCAGAAGGGCGACTGGACAGAATGCCGTGGAGGCCTGGCAGAAAACGAGAGTGCCGATGGTGCCTGCTGGGAAGACGGACGTGAGGCGAGACTTGTCTACGGTGAGGGCGGGCGTCTAGATGCTGGAGAGGTGCAAGGTTGGGGACTGGTGGGCGGTCGACAAGCCACACATGGACTTTGGGAGGAGGGAGAGCAACTAGCAGGCCGAGAAGAGCACGCGCGGATCAAGTGGCTGCGGCGGGAGTAATATGGCTGAGAGAGCGGCCGGCGATGGGCGGGTGTTGTGCCTGCTGGCGCGGGCAGAGAGGTCTGGTACTTGGTGTACATGTGCCGACGTACTGGGGAGCACGCCCGAGGTATCCAGGGTCCCCCCTCTGCTCATCTCGCGGGCTGGGCCTGTGAGACGGGGGCGTGGCGGCAAGGGGGCCGGGCGTGCGCCTAAACGGCCTGTCACGCGGCCAGGGCCGGCCTGCAAGTGCCTGCGCCGATGGGCAGCGCCGTCTCGTCGGAAAGAAGGGTGCAGCGCGCATCGAGATAGCAGCGACTCATCACTCGGCGCATGGGCGGCGCATGGGGCGGAAGTGCATGAGCTGTCCCTGCGATCGTTGCAGGGGCTGCACTCATCCATCCTCGGTCGCAGATGGGGGTCCCGGGCCCTGGCCCTGGCCTGGCCACGGGCACGCCCCGGCGAGCCTCTCTCTCGAGGTGGTTTCTTCCCAAGCTTGACAGCAGCGAAACGAGCCCTGGGTGGTGCTCAGAGGCCAGCCAGCAGCCCACGGATGCATCTGTCAAGCTTGTCTTTGTCGTCGTGGCGAGCCGTGGTTGCTGCCGTGGTTGTGCTGAGGTCCTCAAGCACGCCCAAAGGCCCATTGCACCTGCACGTAATTCACTGGTTGCCAAAAATAATGCAAGTCCACACACGTGCACCTGCCTGGCCGGCTGATCAAGTGTGGCTGGAGGCGTGGACAACCGCATGCTGCGGACGGGAAGAACTCCTCCACGTCTGTCCTCGATTCCCTCCCATCTCCTCCCGCCCGGCGCTCCTCTGTCCCATACCGGCGGACGTGGCTGATGCTGCCAAGGCCCGCGCCCACGCCGCACTTCCGCCAAACAACTCCAAGGCCTAGCCTGGGCCCGCCGCCCTGCCTCGTCGATCTCGAGCACACGTCCCAACCAGCCCACGCAATCATGCCTCTGAACTTACTCCATCCTCATTGTTCAGAATCAGTCTCCAGGTGAAGCCGCAAGAGTTCTGCCAAGGCCCTGCCTAGGCCTTCTTGGTGCGACCTGCCAGCCGCCCCCGCGCGTCGCTGGCCCAGGTCCTCGTCAGGCCTCCAACCTTTTCGCCACAAAGATCGTGTCCAGCTTCTGGCTGCATACTTAGGCGGGGCACACCAGGACATCCATGGATGCGGCGCAAAGAGTCGCGCAAGGGAGCAGGTACCTAGACTTCAGTACGCCTGCAGCTCGCGGCTGAGTACCACCGCCCGGACAGTACGCTGGCGACTCCGTGACAACGACTTGTGGCGCAACTGGGGACTCATCTCGGAACTTACCAGTGTCGATCGGCAACTTTCCACCCTTCCACTCTCGCTCCTCATGAGGCCAATGCTTCGTCCATCTGGCACCAACGGCAAAGACCTCCCCATTGTTACGGGCCCGTTTCCGAACGCAAGACCTTTCCTCGCTCGGCCCCAATCCACCATCAGTGCGTCACACGCCCCACGGAGATAGCAGGCACCCCACAGCTTGCACAACTTCCACGATAGCAGCAGGGGTCTGTGATCAGGCCAGGGCTCCGTCGGCCGAAGATACCACGAAAGCCCAACTACAGTGCAGCAGGCCCGACAGATGCGAGGTCCACAGCTCCTCTCCTCCTCGCCTCAGATGTCCTGTCCGTTTCAAAACATTGGCACCGAGGAGTATGATGCTGTAGCAGGCCAGATTGCACAGCTTTGGGCTAAACAACCACCCAGTTTGGAGCTTCACCATTTTTGGGTTCCTGGAAAGTCTTAGCCTTCTGTGCGAGCACGTGGCTTGGCTTCTTGCTCCTGAAATGTACACGGCGCAACCTCGTGTGCTGTAGCGAATTTGGTCAGCTGCCGGGTGCATGGTACCATCTGGTCTGTAAAGGACAAGCCAAGGACGGCACCATCGTAGTGATCTGCCATCAAAGTTTCCGCTAGCCAGGCGCCACATTGCGGCTCAACGTCGTGGAACTGGGGTTGGGGGGGGGGGGGGATAAAACAATGGGCGTTGACTGCTTGACTGGACGCGAGAGCCGAAATCCGTCAGTCATCCCTACCATCACTATGATGCCTCAGCCGCCTCTGAAACAACGAGTTCTAGACGTTGGAACGGCAACTCGGTTTCGGCATAGCTATACACTTGCGCCATGTACGTACCGGTGTGCCAATTCACCATTTGTGACCCCGCCTAGCCAACCGCCGACCAATCTTCATGGGGTTTGTGTGACCTCCACCTCCGTTCTATACATTCTGAGTTCGAGCACTTTGTACCAACCTCGTTCGTAGCGTGCAGCACCAGCATGCAGGACTGGACCGCCTCACGCATATGCTTGGTTTCTAGGCGTAGCTTCCAAGCTGTTATGGTGCAAAAGAGCACCCCTCGCTCCATGTCGGCTGCTGCGTCTACGACCAGCCTCCTCTCCACGACTTGCGAAAGATACTCCCCGGTCCGTGACGTTCCACACCGGTACCGGGCCCCGGCCACTTTGCAATATCTCCAGATTGCGCAAAAGTTCTTCACGCAAAGATCTGTCCTGGGACAGGTTGTTCGCAGCGGCGTTGCCTTCATCAAAAGAGTCAGTCTTTCTTGAGCGTAACAGTGGCACATTGCATCAGAAGGGCCAGTCCTCCAGCCTGCATCCCTGCAGTCACCACTTTGCACCCGTTTGACGAGACACTGGCTTCTGGCAGCCCGCCTAGAGCAAAGATGCCAATAAAGAAGGCTTTGGGCCCAGAAAAGCCTACATACCACCTTGGTGGCCCTCAACAACTAGCAGCTCGGTCTCTATTTTGTTCCGCTCAGTTACCAAGGAGCCAGCCCGACACACTCAACTCTGACCATACGTCAGCCACTATTGAAGCACGATGTGTGTTACCGCGCATTTTGCATGTTACCCGCTGCAGCCTGGAATACCCGACCTCGCCCCTGCAGTCAGCTTTGGAGCGATCAATGGTCGGCACCAGCATGTGGGCCAGTGCCGCAAAACACGCTGGCATGGGTTGTCGCAGTCACGCATTAGACGGTCAGCGATACAATCATGTGTGGCAGCTGCGCAGTACGTCAGAGAATGTCAACGATGCGCTGCTGAAACCACGAGAGTGGGACGGACGAGGCCAATAAGCAGAAACGCCCATGCGGGATCGAGTGCCGGCCTCTAGATGCCGCCTGTGCCAAAAGAGATGACGGCATTCCGCCTGCTAGCGTGTTTCAGCATGTGGCCGCGCTCCGCCGACACTCAAGAGGAGTGGGCAGCCATTCGAACGAGAGGCCCGATGCAGCGCTGACGTGCTGCATCATCACTGGCGGAAGGCCAGGACCTCGAGTCGGGTGGTTTCATGGCCTCAAGCTCCCACGGCACCACCTGCACACCATACCACACCACACCAACAGCACGATCGACCGCATGGCAGTGAGTTGCGCCGACAGACCTTGACGCAGCTCACCAAGCCGAAGTGGCTGACATCAGACCTCGAGGACGCGCGACACAGTACACAGGCCTGTGGAGAATAGGCGACGTGGTCACCGGAGGGTGTTGTCGTGCTCCGACCGTCAAAAGTTCCAAAGCCTCGCCGCGCAATGAAAGCGGTTGCGAGGGTCGTAGTTCACATCCGGTCCCCCGCTCGGCTTTCTGACTGAGATTGGGTCGATGCTTTGTCATTGCATAAGGCTGGTCACACCACCCGCCCATCTCCAGCCTTGCTCGCCCATAATCCTTGTGCGAGGTCAAGGATCGCGTCGAACTCTCACACTTCGTCTGATGTCTGCAATAGGAAAATTATTACTCTTAACGCTGCGAGGCTGCGAAGTTTCTGATGTTGTCGTGCGTCGGTTCTACAGCAGACGCCAGCTGTACTCGGTTCGCTTGTCCACTCACTAGATGGGGCATCTCGTGCTACCTTTCCTTAATTCCCATTCACTTTGCTCTCTCGAGGCACGAGAATCGGCAAGACGCCTCCTGCTCTCCCCCCAGCTCATGTCCAAGAGGCCAAGCGACAGAAATGCCAGCTACTCTGCCGTGTTTGTGAAGCAAGGCACTCTTGCCCGCTGTGCATCGTCGCGTCCATGCTCTACGCACGATAGCCAATTTCCTTGGAGCCTCCCTACTAAGCAGCTAAGCAGAGCAACTTAGGCAAATGTAACGCTTTCGCTGGCGTTGTGTTCTGCACGCGCACTCAAACCTTCATCCGCTGGTGTTTAGTGGAGGATTGTGGCGTTGGCTACCCATAAATGGCAGGCGCTACGGCGTCTAGCGCGCAGATTTCGACAGATTTCAACCGAGACATGGGCTGATCGAAAGGGGAGGCTCTCCCGGTGCAACCTCGATCTGGATAATCCAGGCTAGCCTATCCTCCATAGGGCAGATTGCCAGGGGTCTGGCAAGCACAAGAAAGCCTGCTAATTTGCGACGCATAAATTCACGATGGGCACAACCCACCACTGTATGACGATGCGTGCGCTAGCAGCATAGGAGCATCAGCAAACCGCCTCGTTTGTTGTGCGCTACTTTGTCTGGATGCGCCGGACATTACATACCGGAAGCGGACGTCCCTTGCACAACAACTGGCATCTCCCTTCTCCTCTTGGACGCAGTTGACGCGCAAAGAGCATCTTGAATGTGATGCCCGGCAGAGTCATTCCCGGCATATATGTGCGTCCCTATCCTTACGAGGCCATTCTCTCGTCCTCGTTGTAGATTAGCATCGATTTCTTCCCAAAACGGCAGTCGTCGCGAATCCGGCGATATCTGCTCACCCGACATCAACATCTCGAAGCGCTTGCCCGGGGATTGACGCCGTGTCCACCGCGCACAGGATACCACAACGCTGCGAGTTCATCCTTGTATTGTCTATTTGCATCAGTCTTGCAACACCAGAATGGCATGCGATGGCATCGAATTCCATTCGAATGACGGGAGGAATTAGTGTTCAGTTGCACAAGCTTTGTGCACTGCTGCTCTGGAGGATTGGAGAGCGACAACAAGGGACCGTGGATGCTTTGGATTGGGTCTACCCCCACCACAAAGTCAATGGCCGCAACGGACGGTCTTTCGGCACTGGATGTGTGTGGCAAGTGCTGATCGTGGTGTGCTGCTTGGCCACAACCCTACCGCGGCAGCGCAATGCGCCACACTGTCCGCGTGTGCAGAGCCCGACACCACTAACCGGCTCTGCCCTTCACAAGAGAGGCTCGGCAGGAATACCGCTCCGCCCCCGGCCAGCGATCGCGACGAGGGGTGCCAGGTCCGTAGTCGTTCCGCTGCGGGCGGGCGGGTGTGCGTGCATTTCTCCATGAATAGATGCTGGGGGCGGAGATCGTGAACGTGCATCACCGTCACCGTTCGACCGTCACCGTTGATCTGCACCAGGCATCCCGGCCACCAGCCTTCCCAGGAGAAAGGGTCGCTCCAGCCTGCATCGCCCATCGGAACTTGCCAGAGTCGGCCGAGAGAGAGGTCAAGAGTGATGTGCAGTACGGCAAGCACTGCCACGCCGCTCTGCAACCTCGCAGATCTTTGCCGGCTTGATCTATACTCCCGTGCCTGGACGGGGTTCAACACGAGGAGATCGCCATGCTCGGATCCGGAGAACACCAGACAGAAGCCCTTAAGAAGCTCAGAGGAAGGACTTTTCAAGGGTCGTCGTACGACCCTTGATTCACTTTCTCTTCTCTACTGCCGTCCCCATCTGCCTGCCTTTCCTTTCGGGAAGATGATCGCCAATCTTCGCATGCTTGTCCCCTCGGGCACCATTCGGGTCATCCCATCGCCGCCACGTCGTCGTTGATTGACGCCACAGTTCTCACGATGCGGGCGCAATTAATGCCTGCCCTGCCAGATATACTCTCCGCAAGCAAAGTTCCTGCTTGGACATCCACCTGTCGCACCGATCTTGTAAGGACAGCTAGACCGCTCACGAGCCGAAATCCAGGTTGTGGGCGTGGAAAAACCACGCCACGTTGGACTAGCCGGGCCTTGTCGTTCTGGGGTTGCTGCACTGGCCGGGGTGGTCATCCACCACCCCTAACCTAACACCCATGGAAATCAGGGGACGCCCTTTCGCTTGCTGGTGCTCGAGGCACGCGGAACGCTGCCATTTTCCCGGCAGTGAGAAAGGTAGGCGAGACGAGGCGAGGCGAGGCGAGGGTGGGATGGAGGGTATGAGCGGACAGGGTTGGCTCATTCTCGACAACTGAGCGGAGAGGCGAGCCTAGCTGATCCTGGAGGCAGTCTACGTGGTTCAAGTCTGTCCCCGTGAGCATGAGGGCTCTGGCAGAAGGACGACCAAACGAGCGAAGATGGCTTGTGACAGTGAGCCTCTCCTCTGCCCCAGTTCGCGAGCTCCAACAACTTGCACAGCTCCCCGTTCCCTGTCCCTTGTGTTCGCCCCCCTCCCCTCCTCCCCATGCATGTAAAATGATGACAGTTTGTGTCCTGGTGGCTTCTTTTCCGCCAATTAGAGATTGGCGCCTCGTTCTCCCCGTGGTTGCACACGACTGTCCCCTCCTGTCAGAGTCTTACTTCATCCATTTTTTCTTGCCTCTCAATTTCCTTGCACGCCCTGCCCACCAGTCATAATAACATCGCCATGCTATTATGACAGTGGGGATGGCAAGTTTGTCCTTCCCCACCGAGCCAGGCACCAGGGTTCGGAGGGTGGGGAGCCAGGGCGGGTTCCGGGCTCGGACGAGACGGGAAAGCACTAGGAAGGAAAAGGTTAACATGGATAAAGACGGCGACGAGGAACCCAGGGTCGGAAGGGACAACGTCATGGATGCAACCGTGCGATGCTGATCTTGTCTGCTTTTGTTGGCGTTGTCATTCTTCTTTCACTTCACTCCCCAGCTTGTGTCTGGCGGAGCATGATGGGGGACGACGATGCAACGGGGCGTCGTATGCTTTGTACCTCTGCGCTCGCAGCCGCGCGGCGGGAGGACCCCTTTCGAGTCAGGTCGGGCCGCTCAGGTCAAAGCCAGGTCCGACAACGACGAAGGCCGATGATGAGGGCCGACCGGCTACCTGTGGCAGGTGGACAATGATGTGCGCACATACATGGACATATATGCGCCGCGCTCGGCGAGGTGCATACGGTAAGCAGGGACATACTTCATTCAAACCTGATCTTGCCTTACCTGACCTGACATACCTACCGTAGGGATGGCGAAGAATTGTCTGCATGAAGACGTACGCGTGTATTATGCACGCGCGCTTCCACATGTCGGAAAGGCACCCAAGGAAGGGCATAGATGGATTGTGAATGGTGAGCGAGCGAGCTCTCTGCCCTGCCCGATATCTGACAACACCCTGGCCTATAACGCGCCGTGCAGGGTCACATCCTCGGCGCGCGTCGTGGGCTTTGTGGGCCTCGATTCGAGGACGACGACGACGACGATTACGGCCAGGACGACGGGCGGGTTCTTTGGCTTGCGGGAATGGATGCGTTGCCGGCCTTGACAAACCACTGACAGCGGGGCCGGCAAGCTCCACGACAAAAACAAATTCTCCATGCGGATTGAGTGTCATTTTGAGACGACGATGACGTCGTATGGAGAAATAAAACAAAGGAGTAATGTTTCCCCCACCATTTTCCTCGGAACGAGACGTCTCTTGTCTCGTTGGTTGCAGGGCGAACGACTCAGCATGCTTGTTGGGCGGAGTCTTAGTCGACGACGGGACCCTTGTCAATCGTCCAGTCTTGGGAAAACCCCCCGGGGGTGATTTGCTCTTGGGTACGGCGGCGGCGGCGCACGTGGGTCCACATGCTGAGGTTGTTCCAGGGACCGGGATTAGTTAACCTGGACTTTGACGGGCGGTTACGGTAGTTTATGAGGAGGCTTTCTATTGTCCCTTGCAGCAGCAGCAGGTCACAGCAGTGCGTTCTCCAGGGTCAGGCTGGATGGGATGGAATGGATGGAGCTCTGTCGCCCGCTCGACGCGCGGGTGCGGCGCGCCCTCCCGTCTGGCTTGTGATGCTGAATGCCATGTGGGACATGGGAACGGCGGGGACGGCCAACCCCCAATAGCCGACGGGACATGTGCAGTGTGTGTGATCTGGCCGCACGCAACAACCGACATGAGATGAATAGTCCGAGCTGGGGAAGTTCATGTCGTGGTAGTACTGTGGGTGGACTAGACCGAGACAACGGTTGAGAAAAAAGAAAAGTCTAATTTGTCCCCCCCCCCCGGTCCAGTCTCACTTTGTCGTCATGCAATAGGCGGTTCGGAGAAAACTCCCAAAGTTGTGGAACTTGATTGCTAGTACAACTCGGCAATTCGTAATGGATGGGACATGCAAGAAACCCCGTCCCCCCCCCCAATGGTGATGGGGAATTCCCACTGTTGTTGACGATCATGATCCCTTTCGAGCCAGCGTCCATGCGAGAAAGACAACGAGCTTATGCGCAGAATTTGGGGAACATCTTCGGAACTAATCACGAGGAACTTTTCTTGTGCTCTCTCTCTCTCTCTCTCTCTCTCCATATATCCCTGTGTTGTGGGGGAAGCCCACGGCATATTACGCAAGCAAGTAAATGCTGCCGGATCTGGCAAACTACGCGCCCATCCTCTCGTGTTGCTCAAGTGTTTGACTGTCAATCTTTTTGTAAACTCCCTTCAGGTACAGGACCAACGACGGTCTGTCTTGTGTGTGTGTGTGTGTGTGTGTGTGTGTGTGTGTGTGTGTGTGTGTGGCGAAAGTGGCAGCAGTCGGAACGAGACTGCCGACAAGGCAAGGTAAACCGGTCGGCCGGCCGTCCAGTCAGTTTTGAGGAAAACCGGCTGGCGTCACCTGAAGCCCCCCTCTCCCCTGAGATGTCAGCCGTGTTGTTTCTCTAAAGAGACAGACCGGGCATGGGGGGGGAGGGCGCTTCAAGGAAAGCGGGTCAAGCGTCAGGTTGCGTTGGGACAAGGCGACGACGTGCCCTTTGTGTGTGGTGCCTGCCAAGAAGGGGCAGGGAAGGGGGGGCTTGTTAACAGGCGTAGGGTGACAGTTTGTGTGTGCTTGCTTGCTTTGCGTTACATCTAGCGCACTTGCTTGTCGGACACGTATTTGTGTTGTTGTTCAATGCACTCCACCCGATAAAAGTGTCACTATGAGATTTCGCGAGAGAGAGAGAGAGATAAAGTGGCAACTAAAAGGCCGATCGATCCCCCATGATGCCAACGCTTCTTTGCTGTTGGCTGGAAGCACACAGGGCCAGAGTTCGTATCGTCAGATACCGAGTAGATAGGGTGGTGTGGTTGTAACAAGCACTTCGAGGGATGTCGATTTAATAAGATAAAATAAAATAAAATAAAAAGGATTTTGTCGGTAGGGCCCTCGCGATCCTGCCAAGTGAATCTTGATGGCAAAGAGAAAGACTGCCTCGTTGCCATACTAACACGCGAGCGTCAGAATGTAAGTTTTTGTTCTTCAGCATAGGAGAAGTGGGAAGATCTTCATGATTTCCGACGCTCGAGACATCTCGTGTGTTCAACGACCATGGTTCTGGAATGGCTATTAATGTGCTGAGGCCGGGAGCAAAGTGAATAGATGCCTTGATGTATGAGACTTGTGCGGTCTCGAGAGTGAGATGTGTTCTCCATCGTGAACAGTCTAATTGCTTTCCTGGCCATATCCGTGTCGTACAGACAGCTGACTTTGCAAAACGATCCCAAGCACTAAGTGACTTACGACGCCTATGCAGCACGACGGCTCGCTCAAATCTAGCTAGACATTGCTCTTGCGGAAAATAAAGCTGGCCCGGTGGTGGTTTCGTTGGGCTTCTTTTTTTCAATATCTTTGGGTCTTGTTTTCTTTTCCAGAACAATCTTCACACCAGTCAAAGTAGTCGACATTTGCCGCCCACGTATATTTTTCTAACTCTTGAAAAATTGGTCGACTTGAGCAGGTCTCGTTCTTATGCGAACCTGAAGGCTTGTAGAAGACGGGATCGGTGATTGTGCATGGGTTTCCATTGTATTTGGTTATTATGATGGTCAGCAGGGTGAATCAATTTTCAGCCCATGTAAATATTGTACCCTCCACACCGCTGTATAGACTGCGCCGAGTGTGTGCTCGTTGGCAATCCATTCTGGGATGCAGGATTTCACGACTGAGAGGTTGTCATCTTTCCGAAAGCAATGGTCATGTTAAACATGCCTAGGGCACAGGAGAACCATCACCCGGGGATGTGAAGTATGACAACGAGCGAACATGCGCTGATCTACCACAAACACTCGTATTTCTCTGAAGCTGTTATGGACTCGTAATTGTAATTGCCAAAAAAAAAAGAAAAGGAACACTGTATAAACTTCATTCCATCTAGGCCGTCGCAGAGAATCATATTGATAGTGTCTTGCTGAGCGTGGTGCTCATTCATCATCGTGTCGGGAGTTCTGTACTGAAGGTGCCATGTCCAGGCAGGAAATGATCCGAATTGCAAACGCCGAATCGAGCGACAGACCGTATGCTTGACCAGATAATTCAAAGTGGCCGGGCAGCGGTCTGTATCTCGATGTCAAAGACAACATCATCGCGCTCAAGCGTTCTGCTCAAGCTGTAGGTGTGGAGCCTCTCCATGCCAAATATATCTATGTAGGAAAGGAATGCTGTGGCTCCCACCGTAGTGGGAGGACTCTCGTATGCCTAGATCCCAACCCATCGAAGCAGAGGCAACGAATCATTATGTTGCTGTGCAGCTCGTCAGTGGTTTGGTCTCACAAAACGTCCTGGAGGTTCCAGTCGCCCTTCTGGGCTCTTTCGAGAACGATGCGGCCCTTCTCAGTCAGGTTAGGTTGTCCTCCCCTTTCAGTGACCTGGGTAAAGAACACCGGCTCGAATGGTTTGTTCTCGCGCTCTCTTTCTCTAGCCTTTTCTCTTTGGTTCTCCTCGAGTTCTTGCTTGACAGTTGTAGCCTTTGAGAACTGCTTCGCGTGGATGGCATCTGTAACACCACCCCAGAGTGTGAGGGACTCGTTTGGTGCTTGCTGCTCCTTGGGGGGTAATGTCTTGCCGGCAACAGCGAGCGGATTCACATCAATGATGGTGGTTTGCTTGTCGGCAGGATGAGAGCTCTGAGTTCAAACATTGATTAGCGGGAGTACAGCACGGCTGACAGCATCTGCAGGGAAACATACAACAGGCTTAGGGCCAAGGGTGAAGACGATCTTGTCTTTCCACGACCCAGCAAGGCGGACCAGCACATCCTTGTCTGGGACGTCCTTGATTTGTGTCTTGGTGTCGTTGTCGGGGTCGTAGTGGAAGACCACGCCCTCCATACGGTTCTGCGCGCGGCCGAGCCAGCCGTCTTCGATATAGTTGAGGATCGCCTTTATCTTGGTCTTTGGGCATGTGATATAGGCAACGTCAGCGACGCTAACGCTGAGGGCGCCACGCAGGATGCCGCCCAGGTGTGCCGATGGATGGGTGAGCTGATAGGTCTCGTTGTCACGCTTTTCCGAAGTGATGAAGATCCCGAGGTTGTGCTCGCCAGGAGAAACCTTGATGGCGGTTCCGGTGAACTTGGCACTGATCTGGTCGTAACCCCGGGCGTGAAGCCCCTTCTCGGGGCAGCTAATATAGAACGCGCTCACAGGCGGGTGGTGAGATGTTTGCTCCGTCAGATATGATATCCTAGTGGTAGGAGCTGCCGGGGTTGCAGCAGTCTGGAGGACCGAGACATTGGACGCGGTCTTGGGATCGCCCTTGGCAGAGCGGATAGATGAGGCGCTGCTGACATTGCCACTGCCAGGAACGCTCGCGACATCTCGAGTGTTGATCAGAGGTGCATTGTTCTCGGCCTCCCAATTGCAGCGGAAGAACTCGCCCAGGCATGAGTTGTAGGGTTTGCAGGGTTTGCCTTTGATGTACTTCAGATCTTTGGTGAACCAGAAACGAAGAACCTCGAGCATACGGTCTACTGGCTCATCGGATGTGCCAATGGCGGCGAACGCGCTCGGGCTATCGAGATAAGTCCAATATTCGAGGTTGGGCGTCGGCTCGAGAAGCTGTGACGGCAGCGAGAAGCGGACCGCGGCAAGATCGGCCACACCTATGAATCTGGCGATCCGGTGAGACGGTAGGTTAGCATTGTTTTCTGATAACGCCGAAGCCTGTCGGACGACTGGGTCACGATTGTTGCTGGCGAGAGCAGAGCCCGTGCCGGCGGTCTTTGAGAATGCGAAGACACTCTTGGCCCCGCAGGCTCTATAAGGGTGTCGACAGCAGCGCCGATGCCACCTGGTCTATAGAGGTAGGCTGGACCGAATCGAAAGGGCGCTGGCACGTAGGAAACATGACGCCGCACGCTACAAGCAAGAACGGTAGGCCGGGAGCGAGACTCACTTGCGGAGGATAGAGATGAAGGTCTTGAGCTTGGAGCCATCGCTCTGGGGAGCATCCTCGTCACCAGCCGGATGGGCGACTGTTGGCGGAGGGTCTGTGGTCGTGGCGGCAGACATGGTGTGCTGTCGACGGTGAGGAGCAGTGGTGATGGGTTGGAGAAAGTGGTGGCGAGATCGGAGGGCAGGCGTCGAGATAATGGTCGAAAGGTTGGATGGATGCACGGGCACGGCGGGGCACGGAGGCGGGAGGAGCCCTGTTGGGTACGCGGGGGGCAGCTGGGGCCTTTGAGACGAGCAGGCTCGCGGACGGCGCCAGGCAGAGGACGCAGGAATGCCTTTGCAGCAACTGGAGAGGCGGCGAGGACTGGGCCGACGAGCAGGAGTCAGGAAGGAAGAGGAGGCGGCAAGAGGTGGCGGGCGATGCACGGCATGGCACGGCATGGCATACCACATGCAGCAGGTACAGTACAGAACAGACGTGGGTGGCACTATCTGGTCCCGTCTACTAGCTAGCTTGGTGGCCCGGGGGCGGCCTGGCCTGGATCAGCTTGCGTCTGAGTGGCGGTGGGCGGCGGCGCATTGTGGTGCTGGGGGGGGGGGGCAAGTTCAACATGAGACTGTATGTACGTTGATGTATGCTCACCCCTATGTCACCCACTGTTGCCTCTTGCTCTCTCTCTTTGCTGCAATCCACAAGGGCTGCGCAAGGGCAGGCAGACCGACTGTCTGCAACAACTTTCACTTTCCTTTGCTTGGTCTCTTGTCGACCTCTCCGCCCGGCCCCCGCCAGAGCCTCCAGGGCTGGTGGTGTGGTCCAGACTCGAGATAGTTACTCCCACCCGGGCGGCTCCACCACCGTGGCCCCTGACTTATGGCCGCCTCTGCTCGATTGGCACCTGGCTGGCATCAGTTCGTCTCTAGCTTGCGGCGCCCGGTCACAGCCGCCCGGGGGCCCTGTGCTGGCAGCATACGCTCATAGTTCGTAGCTATCGACTGGCGAGTGCTTCGACATTGCAGTTAGTTGTTGACGCGCAAGTGCCCTCAAGATAATACCTTCGCAGTGCGCGCTCTTATCGAGCCTATCAGCAGAGAGACCCTGCAGCAGAGGACCATGTCATCCCCCAAACCCCCAGAATGTCTTGTGCCTCCCGCCGCGCCATCCCGCGACCCAAGCCTCATGCCCGACAGCCAATCAATCCACCACGAGCCACAGCGCCTGGCCCCCATCACCAACGGCCACATGACTCTCCCCGCGCCTTCGGTCCATCCGCACGAGCATCTTACCTTGACATCGTGACCAGTCTGACCACCAGCACTGGAGTCGCACGCCGCTGCCCACCCTCAATGAGGATCCTCCTCAGGACATACCAAGCCAGCGTGAACGCCCTTTGCCAGGGCCACCGGCCAAGGCCCTTGTTCCAGAGCGGTACTAGCAGTTATAGGACGTGACGTCAGCTGCAGTGGTCTGTCTGGGTATCGCGGCGGCGTCGGTGGCACGCCGATCAGTGGTGCTGGGGGCCATCGAGCTGTGCTGCTGCTAGCTCAGGTACCGTCCGTCCGTACAGGGCACTCTGGTCAATCTCTCCGCCTGCAGCAATGGTCCTAGCAAGGGTCCATCAAGCACGAGAAGACAACCTCGTGGCGCTCGTGGCTCCTCCATTGGAGTTTGTGCGAGCGAAAAATCCAATTGTCGGCTGCCGCCTGTGCAGCAGCGCCAAACTCAGTCAGTCTTGTCGAGCGCGGAACCATCCATCACTCTCCCCATTGGTAATCCACAACTCTGAAACGCTTGGGGGTATGGCTCTCGGTGACCAAACGTCAAAGACCTCGTTGTTCGGATTCGGGCCCATGGCCACTGGAAGCCATGCAGTCCTCAATGGCGACGAGGTAAAGGGGCAGCGAGCGCCGAGCATCATCATGCCTCACCTGGCAACCCTCTACATAATGTCGCATCGCTAGGTGCATTGCGTTGCTGTCAAGTGCAATCCCGTCGTTGGAAATGGGTCGATGCGGTGCCAACCAAAACGAGTGTTCTGGAACGTGCATACTGTAAACTCCAGTGCTTCGCCTGGACGGTTTCCAGCTTTGGCATTGTGTTCCTTCTGCGATTATGCGGCGCAAGCGGGAAAGCCCCAAACTGGCAAAGCGCAAGATCTGTCCAGGCTCTAGTGAGCATCTAAAGCCTGCCCAGGTGATGTGTGCAGGGGCTTGCCTGCAGCGACACCGGACATGCAGCCCGGGGTTGCCATTAGAGCCTCAACGATCGGCCAAACCTTGTCTTCACGCCATCTTTAGATGGTGAACTCGCTGTCTACGGGCAGGCCTCGCGGAATGGCCACGGGATAGCAGGAAGAGGCAAGTACCGACAACCCCGATGTCAATCTCGTCCAGTCATGACGGATTTTGTGCATAAAAGGGTTTCCCCGGTACCTCGGGCCCTTGCCAGTAGTACGCAAAGCCGTGGTCAGAGATGTCTCGGGATCTGGTTGCAAATCCAGAAATGGAGAGAGGAGAGCGCACCGCCACAAGGCCGCGTCTCACTAAGCTGCAGATGAGGTCAACAATACGAGGTAAACTGTGGCCCCCCCTTCCTAAGCTTTTCTACTGGACCTGGCGATCTTCAACAACCTCTGGAACCGTGCTTAAACCTGACGACATGTAAAGTGCTCTCTACTCCTCCATTGCTCCTCCCTTGCGATTTCTGCGGCCCCATCGGCCACACTTCTGCCCGCAGCCTGCAACGCGCTGTCCAATGTCGCACACGCACACTCGCTCGTCCTCCTGCAGCAGCTGAGCCGCGATGGGCCACCAATCGAGACCATGGTCGCTGCGGGCAGCGGCGGGATTTGCCGGCGCCTGCTGCCTCGCCGCAGTCCCAGCCGTCGCGGCGGCGGCGGAATGGCCGGACGGGCCTCTGACGACGTCCGGGCGGTGGATCACCGATGCGTCCGGCTCGGTGGTGCAGCTCGCCGGCGTCAACTGGCCTGCGCACACGGCCGCCATGATCCCGGAGGGCCTGCAATACCAATCCGTCGCCTCGATTGTCGGGCGCATCAAGCAGGCCGGCTTCAATGTCGTCCGGCTGACCTATGCCACCGAAATGGTCGACCAGATCTACGCCGGAAGCCAGCAGCAGCCCGGCCCGGACGTGAGCCTCCGCTCGGCCGTGGACGCCGTGTTCGGCTCCGGCGACGGGGCGGCTCTGCTCAATGACATCCTGTCGCACAACCCGTCCTTCAGCGCCGACACGCCGCGGCTCAGCCTGTTCGACGCGATTGCTGCCGAGTGTGGCCGCCAGCAGATCTATGTCCACCTCGACAACCACGTCTCCAAGGCCGGATGGTGCTGCACGCCGCTGGACGGCAACTCATGGTGGGGAGACACCTACTTCGACGCGGGCAACTGGACCCGCGGGCTGTCGTACATGGCAGACCATGTGAGTCTGCAGCATTCCCCCCTCTCCCTGGTGATCACCCCCTCCGCCTGATATTGACAGCGCCTGGTCTTTCTTGCAGGGCAAATCCTGGCCAAACCTCGTCTCCATGTCCCTCCGCAACGAGCTCCGCCCGCCGCTCAACAATCTCAGCCTCACCGGCACCTCGTACAACTGGGCAACGTGGTACGCCCAGATGCAGCGCGGCGCCAGCGCCATCCACGCCGCCAACAGCAACCTGCTCGTCTACCTCTCGGGCCTGGACGGGGACACCACCCTCGGCCCCGTCATCCAGTCCACGCCCCTGTCCCCCTCGAGCACAATCTTCTCCCGCGCCGACTTTGCCCCCGGGTTCGAGGACAAGCTGGTCCTCGAGCTGCACGTGTACTGGAACATCGCGGGCTCCGTCGGCGGCGGCAGCGGGGGCAGCATCTCCTCTCTCGCCACGAGCTGCGACCCGCTCAACTCGTATCTCGACAAGGCCGGCTTCAGCAGCCTGACCAACACCACCGCCACGCAGTACCCAGTCATCCTGACAGAGTTCGGCTTCGACCAGTCCTCGGCCTCCAGCGTCGCCTCGCTGCTCCAGACAGGCGGCGGCGGCTACGCGCCCTGCCTGTTCTCGTACCTCCGCGAGAGGCAGGTCCCCGGGTGGATGCTCTGGCCCATGGCGGGCAGCTACTACGTCCGCGAGGGCGAACGCGACGCCGACGAGCCCTGGGGCCTGCTCACCCACGACTGGTCGGCCTGGCGCGCGGCCCAGTTCGTCTCCCAGGTCGTCGAGCCGGCGGCGAACTACACCCTCGGCCTGGGCGGCGGGCAGGCACCATCACCCCCTGCGTCTTCGCCACCGTCATCTGCTGGTGGTGGCAGTGGCGATGGTGGGGGCGGCGAGTCTTGGGCTTCTGGCATAAAGGAGAGGCTGGATATGGTCAAGGTACTTGGCGTTACGGCGGCGGCAGTGTTTTGGGCGGGCTCAAGATTCTACCTCGCGTAAAGGCAGACTGTGGCTTATCACAATGAAGGAAAAAGAAAAAAAAAGACACGCACAGAAATCGTGCAATAACATGCACGTAACTGCGCGTGCCTGATCTAAAGTGTTTGTGGGATCTGGTGCTTCGTATCCTGCAGTACCCAAATGGATAAAACAAAAAAGGCATTGTGCAGGAGAACTTCCATGTCGGGCTCTCGAAGTGCTTGTGATGAAATACATTTCGAATTGCAGCTAAACAAAGTCATCGTCATTCTGAAGAGCTGGGAACTCCCACTATACTATGCCACATGCGTCCCATCAACAACTGAGGTCTATCGAAATCGACGACCAACACACTTCTTCACCCACGTGGCAGCCGTGTGCCCCGTTACACGATTTCATAAGGGGGTGGTTCGTCGGCGGCGTGAATCTCATGAACCTGCGTCATGCTCGACTCTTTCTTGTCCTCAAACCCCCGATCCATGTGAACCTCGCTGACATCCTCTACGTGCGTAGGATCGACACCCTCAATGGTTTCGATGTGCATCACGGCGTCTTCTGGTAAAGCATCGTGTGGTCTCGCTACGCCATCTAGGCCATCGACGGTGCTGCTGCCAATAGCAGTAGTATCAATTGGCACAGTACGATGCAGCACGTCGACAAGCTCTTCTTTGTCCGCGTCGCGCACGTACGCAATATAATACGGCTCGCCGCCGCGGTTCAGCTCGTCCAGCAGCTCCTGCGAATCGCGCCGGTCGACAGTGACATTGGCGTCATTGTAGCTGAGCCACATGTTCTTCTTGTAGTCGCGGATCCAGACCCAGTAGTGCCCCGACGCCTGCCGGTCCCCGAGATGGCAGATGATCGCATGGATGGCATACTTATGTTGCTTCAGGTCTGCGTAGGCGGACTGGATCTCTTGTCGCACTTCTCTGAGCTTCGCGTTGGTCTCTTCGACAAGGTTCACAGAGTCTTCGTGTAGCTCTTCAACATATGCAACCACATCATGAGACGGTTCCGCACCATCTGAGCGCCGTCGCTTGAATGCAGCTGTCGAGGCAGGGGAGCTCTTCCTCTTGCTCATCACTGGTGCCAGATCTTTGAGAAGGTCCTGGTCCAACTCAGGAGGACCTGCTGGATCGAAGCTGTCTCCAAGATCGGCTTGGGTTGGGGGAGGATCAAAGTAGCTGCTGTTTTCCACAGGTTTGATGACAAACTCCGAGTCTTTGCGGGAACGTGCCTCCAACTCGCGCAGATATTCTTGAAGGACTCCCATTCTTCTTCGGGTTCGATCAAGGTCGGAGTCGTCGTTGGCGTCCATGTAGCGATCCAGATACAGAATCTCCGGAATCACGACTGGATTAACATTCTTCACACCAGAGTTGTCGGTACGCTGTATGCAAATGTGCAAGATGGGAGGCAGGGATCTGATTGTCGAATACCGCACTCTCGTTTCGTCAAGCACCTCAAAACCAAGGTTGCGATCGAGCGCTTCATACAACGAGGACGAAACTCCCTTCTCAGGATGAGGAAATGCCTGGATCCACCTGTCCAGCATCACCTCCTTCCTCTGTTCTTCTATGGCTTTCTCGGTCGTTGACCCTTTCTTGAGGTCGACTGTGTGGTGTACCATGGTTGTGAAGAACAGATCTGTAATGACGTCGGTCTGCACGTCGGGCAGATCTGGCATGGTGCCAGTGGGCCTGACAGAGCGGACAAGATGCTCCAGTATGTTGCCCATGATTTCGCCGACATCTTGCTGGGACGTGCCTCGGCGCTCGGACTGATCAAGTTTCCATGCGATACGTGCAGTGCGTTCCTCCAGTGTGAGTGCTTCAGGGAGCTCATCCTTGTTCGAGTCGACGTCCATAACGTCATGGCCCGAGCCTAATGGTGGAGGGCCGCCTGGTTCAGTAGTGGTCGGCTCAGCAGCTCCCTCAATCGAAGAGATTGCGGACATGGGCTCCGGCTCATTCACCAGAGTCTGTGAACTGCCCGCTGGTGAGTTTGCGCTAGTCTGTCCATCGGCGGGTTCAACCGTTACATTCACCATATCGACATCCTCACCAGCTGTCGCAGGCGGTGTAGGAGACGGCCGTGCCGGCAGAGGCGGCGGTTTTGTGTCTTGGCGCGGGGGGGCATCCTGTTTTGCGAGCAATTCTGCAGCTGACAGAAGAGCAGTATTCGCTAGCTTTTGGGATCCATGGACTGCTTTGTCTGTTGTTGTCTCAAGTCGTTCCAACAGGTCTTGAAGTGTTTCCACGACTATCACAAGTCAGCAATCGAAGTAGGACTCGTTTCCGCAACTAGAAGCTTACATTGGCGGGCAACTATAGCCTCGTCAAGGCTGAACTTAAGTGCGTTACCGCCAGTCGTTCTGCGGTTGACATGTTCCGCATCGAGCTCGAGCTTGAAATCATCAAAATTCTTCAGCAACCGCCGAATGGGCACTACATTGTAGAAGTACTGAAGCAAACTGTTCAAGTAACAGGTGTTGCCGATGTTGTAAATGCCGGGAGGGATGTCCATAGATTTAGCAGGCTCGCTTAAACTGTTGGATCCTGTGGACTCGTGCTTTGGAGTAGCTGCTTGTTTTGCTTGCAGGTGACCAGTCTCTGAACCTTGCAAGAAGGATGCCATCTGTTGCAATTCCTCAGCATCGTTCAACTCTCCAAGGCCGCGCTTGTGGTTGGCCAAAGAGTCTAGCGCTCTGGCCACCTCACTTCGCGATTTGGTTTCATCCTGAAGTAGTGGTGTCAGTCAGTAGATGTACCGCAGAGAAGCGGACAGAGAGTTTACGCACAAGATTGTGGACAAATCCCCGGATCAAGTCGGCTGGCCACGCCGCTTCTATCCCGAGAAGCTGCTCTGCAGCTTTGACAGAATAAACCCCGCTGGTGTTGTTCGGAAACGCTGAACCTTCGAACATCAACATATCGGGCTCCATCTGGCTGATTATTTGCAGCTTCGTCTCTCCTTCAATTATCTGGAGATGCTGTAGTGCTTTTGCCTTCTCGTCATCGGTCGGGTTCTGACCAATTATAGTTTTGTATTGATCGATGAAATACTGCGCATCGTTGCGCGCAGACGGTGTGGTCGCAAAATACTCGAAAGATGCGTTTGTGCTGCCGGCGTCATAACTGGAATCAAAGATGACTATGGCATCGCGGGCGATTTCGCTCCTATCTTTGATGCATCTGAGTGCTGCCTGGGTGAAGTTCTGCCGCCGCCTAGGGTCGATATTTGCAAGCAGGATTGCCGCCCACGAGAAGACTGTCGGGCCGTAGTCGCGGAGACAGCCAAGCAGATCCAGATCATCTTCCTCGATTTGATTGAGCAGAGATGGGGCGCTCCGGTACGGGTCGTAGTGTCCCTGCAAAACACGAAGCACTTGCTCCCAGGCTGGTGTAGGCCGAGTCGTGGTGAAGAGCAGAATCAGTTCGGCTCGTGCATCTTCGTAATGAGCCTGTAGCGTCCTGGTCAGAGTCGGCTCGTGCGGAGGGGTCGGCTGAGGCAGAAACCAGCACGCCTCGCCCTCTGGGTCTTCTCTCTCTTCCCAGCCTAGTGAGCGAAGTAAAGGATCGAAATCTGTGCTAAAAGAGACCATGAACCTCTTGTTGCGCTTCTTGATCTTCAGCGGCCCTGCATCTGGTTTGCGTGCGAGGTGGTCGCTTAGGTATACCAACATCGTGGAGGCAGCCTGCGTTCCATAGTCGGCCTCCACATCGGCATATCTGTCTGGATCATCTTCCCGCGCCCTCGCCAAATTTTCACGCACGCGCCCTACGTCCTGGAATAGGTCGACGTCCCTGTCGGTTATTCTGGGGGATGATGCGCGGATCTCGATGCTGAAGTGACAGTCTTGATCACAGCATATGAAGCGAGCAGCTGCGTAGGTGTAGTCGTGCTTGTTGCGTGACCGGTCTTCGGCAAAGTCGTTGGGACTTTGTTGCTCGTAAGCGAGTAGCATGTGTTGAGGATGGTCTTGGCCCAGTCTTCGGACGAGAGACGATGGGCCGTTGCTGCTGAAATGGAAATGGTGCCGGCAAAGCCCACACACAGTAGACACGAAATTGGCATGGCTGTCCTCGTAAGTTTGTGTGCCTATGAGCTGAAGTTCGTGGTCACATGGCTGTCTTGTGAAGAGCTCCGGCAGCTGTTGGTTGAGAAACGACTGAAGGGCCTTGGGTGATGTATAGGCCCTTGTCTGACCCGCGCGGAAGGACGCTTCTGCCTTGACCTTCATAGCATTGAGACGCTCGACGCCCGCAAAGGCTGGCTCATCCGCTTCCGAGCCCATGGTCGCGGTTCAGGACTGTAGGCAGTGCTGGGCTGTGCGATAGTGGTGTCAGTCAATACTGTCGCCTCAAGACTGAGGAGTATTATGAAAGCAGAAGAAAGCGTGATGACCGTGGGCGTGGCCGACATTTGTGGGAAAGGAGCCTGTAGGCAGCGAAATAAAATTCAAGACTTAAGCGGTAAACAGGCATGGGACATGCGGTAGTCGTAGAGTGGGAAGCTGGATTGCCCATGGCGTTTGCATGCTGGAGAGGTATGCGCAGTGGTATTTGTTCAAGCACGGGGAAATGATGCCGGGAGCACTCAAGTGTTCCTGTCTGGAACCATGCCACAGGGTGGCTAGCCGACGCGCATACACAAGCAACGAAGCCCCAGGACGTTGCGAAGCAAGAGCCCAGCATTCGGTTTGCACTGACGCACGGATGCTTCCATGCTGCAAGTCTCGCTTTGTAGTCGATTGGAGGCTTGCGACAAGGAAGTATAGCCCACAAACAGTGTGGCAGGTGCAGAATGCACGGGAAGCCAGTAGCTGCGCCAGGGGCAGTAGTTGACCACCCGTGATGGCTTGAAGCAAGCAGGGTCATTTTCCGGGAGCGGCGGAAAACAATATGATCAATGAAAGGCACAAAAACGACTTACATCAAGCTGCAAACGGGACGGTCGAGCCGGTGAGCTCTTTGAGGCAGCGCGCAGCCCAAAAGGGTTCAAAGGCGAGGCAGGAACACTCTATCGTGGTGTAAGGTTCATGATGGCCAGCGCGAAGCAGGGTGGTGAGCTGGCACAGCTAGTGGTGGAAACAGCAACAGGCCCAAAGCAGCTGGACGGCTGAGGATGTGCCAGTTGGAAGTTATTTCGTCTTCAGCCGGGCCTTTGGATGATTCTGGGACACGTAGATCGTAGAGGGGCGGTCGATATGTCCCCTCCACGGCGGAGTGCAGCGGCTACGGTTCTCCTCGGAAGCGGAGACTTGATTTCGAGATGCGAGACTGGACAAGTGATGCTGACAGGTAAGCTTCGAGCATTGATTGACGGCCTGATGGCGTGTCCTGGAGCCTCCAGAAATGCAGCGAATGGCAGCCTAAGTCAACTCAAGTGACCGTGCTGGCATCAGGCGATGGAGCTACGGCCGTTTGCGTGGGACTGGTGCCTCTGCGGACTGCTGCGTCATCCCAAGTTCATCACCAGACAGAGCTCTAGGTCTGTGGCTGACTAAGCCTCTCATCCCGCCATGCTCAAGTGCACTTGCAGCGCTTGTGCCAGGGATGAGGTAAGCGGGTAGCTTGGCTGACAAGGGGAAAACCTCGGGCAAACCATAGCTTGCGACTCGCCAGCCAACCAGACGCCGCTCAATTCGGCCCCATCGACTGAAGCTTCTCAATGTCGACCTCTTGCCAACAGCGCCTCCCAGTCCTGCTTCCGCCATCGCATCCAGCCCGAATCGGCCCACGATGGCCAACCCTCACCCCATCAAGCCCTTCGTGCCCGAGGCGCCGTATCACTCCAAGGATGCCCTGAGCAGCGCCACACACCACGGCCTCATTGGCGGCGCGGCCGGCTTTTTCTCTGCCGCTGTCCAGAACTCCCTCTCCAAGCAGAATGTAGGCTCCATGGGAGTCTTCACCCGCCACGGCGTGACAATTGGCACATACAGTATGTATCCAGCCTTCATGCACGTCCATGGATTGGCCCTTGGGCTGCTATTCCTGCCGACCCCATGCTAACTCGAGCTCAATTGCAGCTGCCGCCGCCGCCGTCTACGGTTTTTCCAAGGATGCCGCCGCCAACCTGCGCCAGAAGGACGACATCTACAACACAGCCATTGGAGGCTTCCTTGCGGGAGCTGCTACGGGTCTCAGGAGTACGTGGCCCTTGCGATACCCAGCTTAATTCAGGACTTTGCCTGCTAACAATCCTCGCCGACAGCCCAGCGTATACCCCGCGTCCTCGGCCACGGAGCCATCTTCGCCGTCGTCCTAACAGCGTTCAACTACACCGGCGGCACGCTGCAGGGCTACATGAGGGACGAGCGTGTGCACGATGAGTATGAGCGGAAAGAGGCGCTTCGCCTGAACCGCAGGAGGCCAATTACAGAGACCATCACCGAGATTGGTGAGGGCAGAGGTAAGGAGATTGAGAGCGGTGCTAGCTACCATGGCACCACTCTAGTCACGCAGGCACTCCAAGCTACTCCAAGTCGATCGCAAACTGACACGTGCTTCACCCTGCAGGCATTCACCCAGAGGGCTACGAGGAGCGGAGGCGAGAGCGCCTCAAGGCCGCCTACGGCCTCGACATTCAGCCTGTATCAGCGGACGTGAACTAGAATCCCCATTTCACGACTTCGCAAAAAATACATTAACCCCATGTACATAAAGCCGACCTCCTTTGTTTTCTCTCCTTATGTCGCCGCGGCGTGGAATGATACAATATTTGCATTTCCCCTTTCAACCGTTGCGGGAAAGGCCTTGACATGACTGAGTTCTTCGACAACCAACTCCTGGTAAGCTCAGCGTCGTGTCATCAACACCAATAGGTATGTCCGGCGACGTTTTCCTTTCTCAAATCATCTTCACACAGCACGCCTACAACAAAACAACCCAGACCCCCCCACGTTTGCACATGATGAGATTCTCTTTTAGAGGCTGTTTCTTACCCAGCGCCGAAAGGCGTCTGGGGATGATTATTCACATCACCATATTGTTCTATCATTCCTGAATATGCAAACCTCCTACCACCCTATACACATCATCACCAGGCAAGGAGTTACACATCAGCTAATCTGCCATGTGATCCAGGGCCTTGACGGTAGGCGAGTAGCCTTGCCTCTGGTATTGGCGGGCATTATTTCCCCCAATTGCCATGCAGAAAACGTGCATGTCGGCGTGTGATGCAGTCATGAGAGACTCTGCCATCGTGCTTAACATGAACAAACTATAACTTGTGTACTTGTGCCTGGCATAAATGGGAGATGCTCGATCCGGTCCCGAGCATTTCTCCTACATTCATACAATTTAAATCCTTAAAAACTGCCTTGTGTTCCTGTCTTTAACGACTATGACCTGCTGCTCGCTCTAACATATGCTTTCTCACCTTATATCGCCTTTCTCGTGTGTCTTGCATCTCGAGTACATATTTGGCTTTGCGTCACAAAAGTTGCGATTGCAGGCTAATCCGCATTTGCCAGAATTTCTCGTTTTGTCGATCCCGCCGTTGGGCGGCTAGGCATGATGCTTACAGCACCCGACGATATCAATACAAGCTGCCCATGCCTGTCGTACTATTGTTGGCACTGGCGTTGCCATTCCAGCCGCCCCCACCACCTTGCTGCTGCTGTTTTGACCTGCCCTTCTGTCCTCCTTGCACGCCCAGCACCGGAAAACTGTCGTCGTATGAGACTGCTCCGTACCCGCCCGGTCCGTTTTGGGCTTCTTTGGTGCCCACATCGTCGAGGGATTGATAGTGATTGTTGCGCTTGCCGCCACCACCATTTCCTCCAGCACCGCCTCCTCGTCCACCCCTGGTGTGCCCGCCACGCGCTCCGCCACGGTTGTGTTGGCCACGACTGTTATTGCCTCTAAAATTCCCAGCAGGTCCGCCTCGCCCACCACCGCGGCTACTAGTGAAGTGGCCTCCCCTGGCACCAGGATGACCAAAGCGACCTCGGCTGCTGTTTTCGGATTCTGCCTCGAACTTACGCTTAGCATTCCGCTCGAAGTCATCGACAGGCTCGATTCGTAGCATGACTTTCTCGCCCACAGTCGTCTCGAACGTGAAGGCGTCTTGAGGCACCACAGGCTGCCAGCTTTGTATCCTGGCGGCATCCGCTGGCCGCGCGCCTTTTCTCAAGGCAATGACTACTAGTGGCGTCGGATTTTCTGTGTGATACTGCGCGGTTTCTGGAACTGGTTTGACAGACACTGCCCAGAGACTGTTCTCATAACATGCTGTGCCTGTCACTTGCCAGGTCATCTTGGCGTCCATGCCGCCTACTTTTGCCAGGATATCACTGGGACATGGCCGAGGGCATATCAAGATCTGGTTCGCATGCAGCTTGAGATCGCCCGTCGGTAATGATATCAGACTGAACAGTCGTTTCGTGTCGGCCTGGTTGATCATGTAACTCGTAAAGAACACGGTCTTCTTAAGAGAGAGTTTTCTGCCGTTCTGGCCTTGCGCCACAAGGGCGTTGTGGCCGTTGACCAGATGTTGCACTTCGGCAACCTCAACAACCGGGTCAAGCGTTGTTGAAATGTCTGCTACTGGCACAACTTCGGCGCTGATCGGACCTCTTGTGGTAGTGCCTCCATTCTGGCCTCTCTGCTTCTGGTTGTAGTCGTTGAAGAAGCTGCGGAAACCCGTGACGTGTTTCTGCCGGTCCTCGTAAATGCGCAACTCTCGCGCATGTTTGTAGGTCTCCATTACATGTTGAAGGAAGACTTGCTTGAAGTGCATCGTGTTGCGAAAGCGCTCGTCGTTGGGACCTACAGCGGGTTTGAGGCCGACCATGTCGAACTCGAGACCTTTGGAGTTGACAATGCGCTTGATCAGGTCCGCGAAACCTTGCTCGCCACGACCCGTGAGCAGGACTGTCAACGCATCATCTTGCTTGATGCTCAGACGCACGAGCTCAACGATTTTTTCGTTCCACCATCCATCCCAACCACGAGGCTCTTCTTTGTCGGCGCCCTCGCCCGTGGCAGCAAGGATCCGCGAGTCGTGCCACCAACCGCCATTTATGAATATGTCGGGGTTGCCCAGCTGACCCAGCGTTTGTCCGTTCCACAGCTTCGGATTCGGCAATGGCGTCTTGAATACTGCGATAAAGAGCCTGTCAATTTGAATCCCTCAAGCATATGGCGTCATCTGGAAGCCCTACGTGTGTTGTCGAAATCGTAGATGTGTATGGCGCTTATGGAGTCAGCGGCTGCATCCACGGGAAAGTCAGCCACGTCCATTCGTATTGGCAAGTTTTGTTTGGAATCGTGTGATGAAACTCGTGACTGGAGGGCACATACAGGGAAGCTGCTTGTTGACCACCGACCACCGACTCAGCGCCGTGAGCGTGAAGGCGCCGTGAGCCGAGCCGTTCGGCTGTGCACTATTGTGTGCCATGGCCGCGGCGGCACGCCACAGGATAACTGGAAAACGACGGAGCGAAGGCGATCGAGCCAGCAGCATACGCGTTGAGGACTGCCGAACTAAGCTGAGAGCATTTTTGGACCCGAGGGCGTCGTGCAGGCGTGTTTTCAGCCTCGGATTTGTCGGTTGTGTTGACGGACTGAGGCCGGGCGGATGATATAGTATGTCAATTCGTCTCGAGCGTTTCAGAGGAGGTCGTCGTTGGAAATCGGCAGAGAGAGGCGTCGCTCTCCTTGTGTGGATTGCAGCGTCTGGAGGTTGTGTTGTTAATGATGTCGAGCTGGAGGTTTGCGCTTGCGGGCGCGTGGAATTAGCGTCGCATGCCGTCACTGTTTGCACCCCAAATCCCTCCGAGGCAGGCAGGACCCTTGCGTGGGACCCCTACTGATCACGCGCCGACAAACATCACTACGAGCAGCAACGCAAGCTTGCTGCATCTGAATTTTGAGGCCGTGGAGAAATTTCATATTCGGCGGCTCAAGATAAGCTGCATCCTTTTCCTCCTTAATTTCACTTCAGGGGGAATACCTTATAAAGCGCACCACTCAAGCCAACAGATATGACCGCTCGCCAAGCAGTATCGATCCTCAAAAAGTCAGCCTCGACATTACCTGCAAAATGTACCCTGGTCCTGCATTGCCTTGTCAAACCTGGAGCAAGTAAGATCCGCGAGGGCATTTCTGCAATAACAGACGAGGCCGTCGAGATGAACGTCGCCGCTCCAGCGCAAGACGGCAAGGCCAACAAGGCTGTACTTCAGATTCTAGCGCGCGCGCTGCTTGTGTCCAAGTCAGATCTTCAGATTGTGCAAGGGATGAAGGCTAGAGAAAAAACTATCATGCTCCCGGGCTCGGCGCTGTGCCTGGACGCTACCAGAGTTGTGGCTGGCGACGAAGAGGCAAGGCTCGTCGAAGTTGTTAGGAACCGGCTCCAATCATACAGGGCTGATTGATGTATTCATCAGATCCGTCACAACAAGGCACTGATCTTGGCAACGGTGGCAAATATTGGTCGCCTTGGAAGGTAACGGGCAGCGTCTTTCCTAAAGCGCCTTGATCTAACGGCTTCTAAAAGTCCATCCCTTCGTCTTCCCTTTCTCTCTTAACCTTGGGGTCCCGCTCGTCCTTCATGAGAGCCAGCACAAACGTGCGGAATTTCTCGATATACGGCCGCAGACTGGTTTTCTCCCAGTCTTGGGGCGCTGACTCACCCTCGACCGGCTTCCATGCATCGATCTCTCCGAGCAGGCCTTGTACTGTGGGGACACCAAGAGGATCAAACTCGTCCAGTCTCTCAAGGTCTATCGGCACACACACCCTTCCGGTTCCTGGGTGTACGACGAATGGACTCTTGAGCAAATGGTTAAGCTTCTTTGAAACCTCGATATCGAGTCGCGGATACGTGTACTCTAGTACGATATCTTGCTTGGCCTCGAGGAGCTGTCTCGAGTCCAGGTTTTTGACGGTTCCAGACTTGGCGACAGCATCAATGTCGGCCCATTTGCTGGTGCTGGATCGTCCTGGCGATGCCTCCCACTTGCTACGCAAGCTATCGTTGAGAGCCTTGTTGGGAAGTAGAGACAGAAGGTGCTCCGCGCGATCTGAGTCGGCCCAGGGATCTTGCGCTTCAAGGACATCAGCCTGGAAATGTGGTGCGAGGATGTCGAGACTCCGGCTATAAAGATTGTCAGCATTTAATGTGGCAGGCAATGGTTCTGCCAGACATCAGCATAACAGCAAAGCACTCCGACTCGACTCACCTAACATGCGGATGTAATGGCCGCCTCAAGTTGACTTTTTTTCCACTCTGTGCTCCACCCCTCAGAACCTCGAGATACCCAGCAATACCTCTGCGCTTTTGGTCGTCTAACAATCGTGCTTTCTTGTCACACACCCATGCGTGAGCACCACGACGGCCCGAGTATACCCACATGATGTGCTTGAAGCCAAAGTCGTCCCGCAGCGCTGTGTCGACCACGCCAATAGCCATCGTGATGAATTGCCAGCACTTGTTGCATATATTGGCCTTGTCGCAGCACGTGCGGATGTCGTCGTAATCTGTCAAATCAATATCGAAACACAGCTCCTTGTTGAGCGGCTTGAAGGCACTCGAATTGCGCATCGTCTTGCGCTCGCGCGGGTTGGTCGTGTAAACGGGGCCGATCTCGAAACGGGATGGAAGCAGCCGCAGCACGTCCTTGCGCAGGAGGTCGGATGTGGCAAAGGACTGGTAACGCAGATATGCGTCATTCTGCAGCGTGAACGCGAACTCGCGGTGCTTGAAGTCATCCTGGGGCGTAGGGCGGTGATTGAGCCACTGGAACAGATACCGCCAGGGGAAGAGGCGTTGGTAGAACATGCGCATCACCTCGGGGTCTGACGCCTTGCCGGAGCTTATGTCGTTTGTCCTACAGCAATTCGGACTCCATTTAGCCTGCTTGTACATTCCGACAGGGAAGATGATGTTTGCGAAGGCAGCTCACCCTAAAGCATCTGGAATCTCGGGTGAACTCGACAGATAATCCTCTTCCTTTGGTTTTGAGCTCGGAAACTCCTCGTCCGAGTCGACGTCGGCGAACAGGTCATCGAGCTTGACTTCTTTCTTCTCCTCTTCCTTGACTGCCACCTGTGAGCTGGCATCGCCCTCGGCCATTGTGATGTCGGTGGCCTGAGAGTCCACCGCTGGATTTGGTGATGCTTCCGCCATGTTCTGGTGATCTGAAGTGTCGACGCTCGTCCGTTCCGGTAATGTGCTGTGCGGCATAGTCTGTCGTGCTGGCGAAGCGGTGGTTTGCTGTTTGTGGTCGAGGGAGGGCCAAGTCTTGACCCAAGAGCCCCGCGATTGGGGAGATCGGTTAAACTGCACCAGCGACAGACGCGACAGACGCGTCGGAGGTGCACCTCACGCGTACCACTTTAGAAGGCTCCACTTTTAGCACCCTTCGCTCAGTGCACCAGGTTCAAGAGGGCCGTCTTCACCAACCTTGAACCTTTGGACCTATTACATCCTTCATTGTGCTCACGATACAGTATTCGAGCGAGCATGTATGGATAGTGAAATGGCTGCACTTCTGCTACTGCCAGAGCTTCTGTATTGATATTTTCCCCTTCATCTTTGGTTTCGATATCAGTCAATACTGTTCAACCTAAGCTCGCCCGACAACGGCCAATTTCACAACCCCAGCCCGGGGCAGCAGTGGTCTCGACACAAAGGCAACTGACGGCGGCCACTTTTGTGAGTGGGTTGTACAGGCTCGACAATAGAAGATATCCCTTTCTCGCTTGTCGAGGTAACCTGCTGCTGCCGCTTCTTACTTAGTAATGCCTGCTTCGACAAGAGCATCGGCTGCAAGTAACCGCCAAAAAAAGGAGCGGGCAGCTTCTCTGGCGTGAACCAGATGGTATCGCGATAAATAGCTACCGCTCATACAGAGTACTGGCCGTTGTCCTCGCCAAGCGTTAACTTGTGGTAGGCATGCATCAATGTAACCGTGTATCGGTCCCTACACGATATTGGCTTTTTGCCCTCTCCCTCCAGCATCTTTCTTAGGTCTCTATCGGATTCAATGTCCTTAAAGTGCGGTCATTTCTGTCCGTTCCTGTCACGATTCCACGGCTTTGAGCCCTCGGCATCTTCCAGCTTTTGTATACGTCACTTTATATTATCATACAAGCGTCTCGCTTCCTACTGCGGAGAGAGCAAGTTTGCCACATCATAATTCTAACAGCTGTTGCAAGTAATGTTCAATGGCAGAACGGCTCAAGTTTAGCAGGACGCAAGCGATCGGACAGCGCACCCCCATGGAAACAACCAGGTCGTGGCGTCAGTTTCATTTAGAGCCAGTCCAAGTTGGAACGGCCAACCACGAAATTCGCATTTGCGAATATTTCTTTATTCAAGAATACTGATGACACCTGTAGATTCAGAATCCTGGTCCTTCTTTGATTTTGTTGCCATCCACTTCAGTATGAGAGATCGTCCAGTGGTAGGATGCTGCATGTTAGGTACAGTTGGGGCCCAGAATAATCCGGCCCAACCACCCCACCGACGCGAACGCGTCGCGCCACCTGCAAACCCTCCCTTCTTCAAAACCACCATTTCGAGCGCATTTTGAGGTTATCATGGATGATTTTGTTGCTGGAGTGTGCGCCGATAGGCTGCCGAAGCAGGATTTCACTCCTAAGAAGAAAGCAGCTATCTGCGCCGCCCATTTCGCAGGTGTAACGCACCGCCGCATTGCCGAGCTTACGCGGGCCTCCAAGTCAACAATCACCCGCATTATCTCGGACTGGAAAAACAACGGCAACCTAGCCAAATCGCCTCGGAATGGTCGCAATGGATTCACAAATGCCCAGAGAAGGCGCGTACTAACTATCGTCAAACGCAAGCGAAAAGCGACGTGGCCAGAGATCATACAAGCCATGCCCTTCCAGATCTCCAAGACATCTATAAAGCGTATCATTCACGAAGCTAAGCTACGTAAGTGGAAAGCTCAGAAGAGGATTCCGCTATCTAAAGAAGCACGAAGAGCTAGGCTTGCATTTGCAAGAGAGTGGCTACCAAAAGTCGACGAATTGCAGGAGGTACGTGTAAGTGAAGTTGGTGGGATTATGCTGACTTGATCTAGGTGATTTTCACGGATGAGTCGTCCTGCCAGAACTCCACGAACGCACCTGCGCAATGGGTATTCCGCTTCCCAAGCGAGAAATGGGACGACCAGTTCGTCAACCTTAAATCGCACGTTAAGGCGAACCTATCCATTATGGTTTGGGGTGCCATTTACCTGAAGAACGGCGTGGGGTGCCGGTCAGAGTTGGTGATAATGCAGCGCGAACCGCAGCCAGATCCTAACAAGCGAAAGAAGGGCTATACGGCCTGGAGTTATCAGAAGGCATTGCGCGATGGCTTCATCCCAATATACGACGATTGGCAGGTATTTCAGCAGGATAATGCAGCAATTCATTGCGCAGAGAGTACTATGGATTGGCTCGCCGTCAGGGGCATTGCGGTACTACCAGACTGGCCAGCACACTCGCCAGATCTCAACCCAATTGAGCACATTTGGGCCTCAATGAAGCGCCAGCTAGTAAAACTGTTTCCAAACATTATGGCCCTCAAAAGAAACGACGGTGATACCTCCCAATTTGAGGAGTGTTTGAAGTCGGCGTGGGCAGCAGTGCCGGAACGGCTGATCACAAAGGTCCTCACTACAATGGACCGTCGCCTTCGCGCAGTGGCCCGTGCGCGCGGAGGATACACCAAATATTGAAGCCGCCATCGCCAGCTTCAAAATGCAATAATTACTACTCGATTCTGACCTCGTTTGACGGTTCTGTGGCCTTTTGTCGTGTGCAAGTACTGTGCAGCCAATTTTGGTGGGGGGGCTTGGGCCGGATTAATTTGGACCTGATCAGTAAACCCTGCAGCTCGCAAAGGTTCGGGGTGGGGAGCTGCCCCCCTCCCCGGCATTCTCCACCTAAAATCGACAGCCTTGCATGCCATCATCGAACAACTTTTGAACCTCGCTCATTCACATGCCTGTCTGTGCGTTTGCCTCCCAAGCACGATCGCCACAACTTTTTACTACCAACAGCCCCCCGAAAAGCCACCCGTCATATTGCATACCCCAGGCCAGGAGCAGCGGTAGAAGCTGCTGTAGATCACAGAATCTTCGGACGACAAGTTCAATTCCTCTTCTCCCGCGCGCCGGGCGGGGGCGAATCCCATTAGCACAGCGTCACAACATACAATGGCACCGAGCGACGACGACGTCCCGCCCAGACTTCGCGGCCCTCCACCGGGAGCAACCGCGCCGCCAGAGCACATCACAAACGGCAAGCCGCAGATCTACGAGATCTTCAACGCGGGACGGAGCGAGGAGCGGCGGTTCCCCTCGGGCGCGATCACGACGAACAGCAGCGATCATGTCGGCAGCAACAGCAGCAGCGGCAGACCACCAGACCAGACAACGGCAACAACAGGAAAGCCACAACAGCAGCAGAACCAGCGGCCGACGTTCACCGAGGGCGTCCAGTCGATAAAGTCGGAAGACTTCCTCAAGATACACAAGATGCCGTGCGCGCGGTCCGGGCTCATGACGGGCATCGCGGCTGGTGCAGTGGTTGGAATGGGGAGGTTTGTCTTTGGAGGTATGTGGGATATTTTCCTTTGACAAGGTCCAGAATTACCGGGTAGGGGACCAGGTTTGGAGCTCGACAATGGGCTGTTTTCTTTTTCAAGTCCCTGCGTCTTTGCGCAATAAAGACCTGTGTCGCTGCGCGACGAGTTGGCGGCGAATGGAGAGATTCTGGGACATGTACATATTGATTGCGACGGGAAGGACGAAGGGAAGGACGACGGGCTAACAATGTTCACTTGACCGACACACAGCGCGGATAGGAAAGGCGACGAACTGGGCATTCGGGTCGTTCTTGTTGGGCAGCATCGTGCAATGGGAGGTCTGTCAATATCACGTGCGCCAGGAAAAGGCCGGCATGGCGCGAGTCATTGAGGTGATGGACAGGAAACAGGCAGAAAAGAAGGCGCAGGCGCAAGAGGCCGCGGCACGGCGGCGGCGTGAAGCTGAGGAGAAGGCCAAGGAGGAAGAAGCCAAAAAGAGGTGGTATAAATTCTGGTGAACGCCCGCCCCCACTTCCAATACCACTGCCGTTCCATCAAGCATGGAGGACTCTGGGGTTATGTATTATATTTTCTCAGCCGAGTGGCTGCTGATCTGCTGTACAAAGTGTACCAGTGTGGATGTGTTGATAGTGTTCCATCATAGTACCAAGGTGCGCTCGCTGGCAAATTATCCGTGGTACCTGCCAACGGGCGAAATGAAAGAGGGTATCTGGTCAAAATGTGACAAAGAATTGGCCGAAGTGATGTGACGTGGTCGAGCTCTTTCGGATACTGTCAGTGAGTTAGAATTTCTCACTCCAAGCATAAACGCCAAACTTCCGGAAACTGCAAAAAGACAAGTGCCAGAAACAGTATTGATCTCCAATGGCAGAAGTGCAGAGCTCAATCGGTGACGACTAGCTGCTATTGACTTCTCAGGTCATGATAACGGTGCTTGGCTCGGCGTCAGAGAAGTGTACGCGCACCACCGAGTGCTTCCGCTCGACTGGCGGAGCCCCGAGGTGCTCCCTGCGACGCTGATTCCGCCGTGCACGAGCTTCGCTCTCTTCGCGCTTCTTGTACTCCGCGAGTTGCTGCCGACGCTTCTGTGCACGCTGATGCGCGACGGCGGCAGAGGGCTTGAATCCGATGCCATTGATACCGGTCCCGTCGTCGTCCTTGTCCTCGGGGTCATATATGGTGATCTCGTCCTCCTGCCATGTCAGGGCAGCACGAACCGGGTCAACGACAACTGGTTCGTCGTCTCTGAATGACTTGGTGGCGGATGATAAGCCAGGTTGCTTATATTTTGATAGCGGCGAAGTAGGCAGCTTTTTTCGACTGCGTGACTTTGAGTCGGATAAACGGTTGATGGACGGGTATGACTTTTTTAGTGAGCCATGCCCGATGCTGCTTGGCGACTTGATGACCTTGTCATCAATTGTGGCCTCGAGCACAATATTCTCCGAGACGACATCTTTGATGGGCTCTGCAGCAATTGCACTGGCTTCTCCTCGAGGGCCTGGGCTCAAATCCGTGCCGGATCCTGGGTCGGGAAGCTTCAAGCGCTTCCGTGCGATGGACAAGTCATCGTCGGCAAGCATGTCGTGGTTGCTATCTGTGGGTTCCGGCCCGTCAAACATGAAGACTGCTGAAGTTGTAGCATGTTCTGGTCTGTCGCCAGCGCCTGACGTTGGTTGTGGCGACGATGCAGATAGTGTCTCGTGACCTTGGTCCGTCGCCCTCACGATAGTGTAGTTGGCGTTGCTGGTGCCATCGGCTAACTGGAGCGCTGGGATTACCCCACTTCCGCTTGTTGGGGTGGTCCCCTGACGCCCGTCCTCGAGATCGAGGTGGCTGAGCGTAAGAGCGACTTTTGTCCTTGGGCTGGAACTGCCATCGTCACTGTTGATGTCGACAGGACTGCTGCTTGGGACCTCGAACGAGAAAATGGTCTTGTGCAATAGCTGAGGGTCATGAGGGAGGCTGCGTGGCTCATGCACGAGGTCTGCACGTTTCCGCTTTGGAGAGCGCGACGCCGAAATGTCGTCCATGATCGGTCGGAGCTGACACTGTATCCCACTGACTTGGGCTGATGGCTGGCGAGGAGCGTGCGTGAGATGTGACGGTGATGCTACAAGTGGCAGTCATACGCTGCCACTTGCGGTGCTGGCAGGGCTCTGAAGTTGTAGACTTCTGGAAGGTCGCGGCCGATGCTTCTATACAGTGGAGTGCCACTGACGGAACTGGGCGACGTGGGCAGTGGGAAGAGAGACACTGGCTGCACCAATGACGTGGATGAACGGGCAACGCCCTCAATCTTGGTGTGCTGGCCACACAGAGTACGACTGGCAGGCCGAGAGTAGGTTGGCATGGAGTTCAAGGGACAAAGGCCAGAGGTCAGAGGAATGCTGTGCAGCTGACCATGCTGTGTCTGGGCCGTGAGCAATTGTTGAATTGGGGGTGTGTCAATGGTGCATTCTAGTGGTGGTGTTGGTGCCGGACCTTCCTGTGACGGGCCTCTCCGACCGACGGACACTACCAAAGACTGGTCCGAGACCCCTCGCCGCTCAGGATCTCGCTGCCATTGAGCACGTTCAGGGTGGTGTCATCTGGGCATTGAGCAAGACCGGGAGGAATGCAGACTTGCATGGTCGCGTGACTCGCCAGCTTCGCGAGTTGAGCAAGCAATGCATTCCGGTGCCTGGAGCTCAATCTCATTCAAGCACCGAAGTGATTGATTCATGCAGTTGGCTCGGGTGCACGGCTTGCAGATCTTGGGGGCGCGCTTGGGCCAGCAGTTCGACATGAGGAGAGTGTGAGCATGAAGTGTGGAGATTCTAGAAGCACTTGAGCCAGTGGGCAGACAGAAGGCAAAAGAGAAGCAGCTCGAATGACTAGACACAGACCTCGGCGACGGCGAGGAATCATGTTGGCGATTGCCGCTTGAATGATAGCAATCGGGTGACCATGTAGCAGGACCTCGGGACGATTTACCGTCATCGTGATAGCCAGGGATCCAGCATCGGCCGAAGCTACCCCTCCCAGTCCCCAACTACCCCGCCACGCGAGGTGTATTGTGCCTCCACAAATGGAATCCCCAAGGCACACGCAGTACAGTACGGGCAAGCTCCGGCGTGTCTCAGTCCTTGCTGATTTAACCTTCAGGCACAATCGCGCAAGACGGAGGAGCCGGCAGCCTTGCGAGTTGGTCATCGCTGAGAACTGCCGCGCCTGAATAGCTCCACACCTCCGGCCTCCAAGGTTGCCATAGGTACATACAGGCTAAATGCGCAAGTTCTCCGCTTCCCCAAGCGGCGATATTCTCCAGAAAATGAAACGGGGCCGTCCCGCGTCACGGATGATGTGACAAGACGTGTTCCCCGGAGCTCATCTTCATGTAGCTCCTCTCTTGACTTGCCTCTGCCTGTTCTGAAGTCCAACCTTTTGAAGTGTTTCGCCTACCCCGCCAGCAGTAGTCAATATCAGCGCAACAATACGTACCCAGTCATGTCATCCGCCGACGAGGTCTCGCTCCTGCCGCTCGGCGCCATTATCCAGAGCTTCAAGGTCGCCGGCACCAACATTGTCCAGGGCTTCCCCACGCAGGAGGACTACGTCGCTCATAACGCGCCATATTTCGGGGAGACCATCGGCCGCGTCGCCAACCGCATTTCCGGCGCCAAGATCAACTCGCTCAACGGCGGCAAGTCGTACAACCTACTCGCCAACAACGGGCCCAACTCTCTACACGGCGGCAAGGTCGGCTGGGGCAAGCGTGTCTGGGACGGACCCAAGCCCGTGGGCCTCCGCTCGGTCCCCGGCCTGCCCGACTTCACGAGCGGTGGCGAAAGCGTCCAGTTCCAGCTGCGCAGCGAGGACGGCGACGAGGGCTATCCAGGAGAGGTGCTTGCCACGGTCACCTACACCACGGGTAAGGTTCAGCAGGATGGCAAGGAGGCGACGGTTCTTGCCATGGAGTACGAGGTTGAGCTCGTCTCGGGCGCCGAGGAGACTGTCGTCAACATGACGAACCACTCGTTCGTGGCCCCCAATTTCCTACATCGCCATCCACCCTTAATGCTCACATGTGCATGTCCATAGATACTTCAACTTGACTGGCGGCCCCTCTATCGAGGGAACAGTCGTCCAGCTCTGCACAGCGCAGCACCTGCCCGTCGATGACAATGCCATCCCGACCGGCGGGCCGGAGCCCTTCCCCGGCGTCGCCACCGACAAGCCCTTCACCTTGGGCCCCGAGGAACCCGACATTGACCACTGCTTTGTCGTCGACAGTGCCGAAGATCCGGCATCCGTGCCCATTGACACCCGTGGCCGCCCGCTGAAGAGCCTAGTCCACGCGTCACACCCAGCGTCGGCCATCCACCTCGAGGTCCTCTCCACGGAGCCCGCGTTTCAGTTCTACACGGGCAAGTTTGTCAACGTGCCCGAGGTTGCCGGCCTGCCAGCCCGCAAGGCCCGCAGCGCGTTCTGCGTAGAGCCCAGCCGTTTCGTTAATGCGGTTAACGTGGATGAGTGGAAGAACCAGGTGCTGCTCAAGAAGGGTGAAAAGTATGGTGCTCGGATCGTGTACAAGGGCTGGAAGGAGTAATTGCAGTGACTGGGATTAAGTGAGACATAAAGATAACCGGACAGGTCTTTGGACAACGCGGAGCATCTTTCAAGAGCCAGATACAAGCCACGGATTTCGTTTTTGCGTCACAGCGTAGCTTCTTCCATTGATGGCTGATAAGAGGCGTTTTTACTCATCCTCGATATCCTCATCCTTGACCTCCGACACCGCAGCAGCGGGCGCTTTCGCCTCTTGTTTCCTGTAGAGCGCGGCTAGGAGCTCATTTGTGCTCGCCTCATCGATACTCTTGTCCTCGCGCTTGCGAAGGAACCGTGGGAAACGCATGCTCAAGCCGCGATCCTGGCTAACCAAACCGATGGCCGCAGTGTATGTTGGCGACAGCGTGATGTCGGCAAAAGCCATCTCCCAGACCTCCTGCGGCTCGAACCAAACGTCTGGGTGGCCTGCGTAGTCTATGAAGCTGGGCTTGGTCTTACGCGTATTCTTGTACTTGCGACTTTTGGACGCTGTCTCACCTTCGCCATTACCGTCTTGGTCTGACGCTTCTTCTGCATCTTCGTCATCGGCACCGTCATCATCCTCGCGGTCCTTTGATGTGCCATTGACGTCATCTGGATCGCCAGACCCATCATCATAGAACTTTTTGTTGGCCTTGTAAAAAGCGTCGGTGAAGCCGGATATGCATTTGCACACTGCCTCAAGCTGACCAGTCTCTTCATTACGCACTGCCAATAGAATGGGCGACCACCATTTCGCCTTTCGGCCTTGGCCGTGCCATCCGGCAACAGGAATCAGGTCGAGGGTGTCAAATGAGGAGCTGTAATCTTTCTTGACCTTCAGCCATGAGTCAAGTCGCTTGTCCGGCTCGTAAGTCGCGAGTAGTGGTTTCCGTCTGCCTGTCGACTTCTTCTCCTCCCCGTTCGTTAGTCCGGGTGCCTGTGTATTGGTATCCGTAGCCGCGTCTGTTGCCGGGGCTGCTTTCGACTTCGATTTTGATCTAGAAGATCTTGTTTTAGGGAGCGTCAACGTCTCCGAAGCTGTTAGAGGCGTTTGTGCCTTTCGTATTGCTTCTTGGTTATCAACAGCAATATCCACAGGCGGGGCTGGAAGCTCCGGCAAGTTGTCCAAGATCTTGACCATGATGCCTTCACACTTTTGGTCCGTTGCCTGCTTGAAGAAGTCTAGCACCATCTCCGAGTCCTGAGAAGTGGCGTCAAGGCTTTTCACCCAGGTAAAATGATGCGGAACTTCCGTAAAGAGCGATCTGAGCAGCTCTCTGCGCTCGCGAAATGCACGGTCAAGCAGAGGCTGACCGTTGAGGTACATCAGATCAAAAGCGTAGAGACATACATCAATGGTGATGCTGCCAATAGCCACGTCCTTCCTAGCTCTGTTCGTCAGGGTCTGGAAGTTCTTGAGATCGCCAGTCTGCCGGTCGACAGCGACGACCTCGCCTTCCATGATGAAGCTTCCAACCCCTTCACCTCGGATCTTTGGCACCAGCTCGACAAGATCGGGGTACTTATCCGTCATGACCTCAAGATGCCGTGAGAATATCGAAACCTTGCCGTTCTCGTCACAGTGAACCTGAGCTCTCTGGCCGTCGTACTTGAACTCGCAGGCGAAATCTCGGCCTTGCAGCTTTGTGAGCATCTCGGATAGATCGCGCGTGATACTTCCCAGCATGGGACGGAGCGGGATGTGCATGGTCAATCCACAGCGCACAAGGAGCTCCTTACACACGCCGATCTCCAGCATGATGGGAATCAAGTCGTTATAGTTGGGCCGCTTCGCAAAGCACGCCTTGACAATTTCCTCGGCCTCTTTCCACACTTCTGCCAGCTCCTCCTTTTTCAACCCTCGCAGCTTCTGTCTGTCTTTGAGCGGGAAGTCTGCTCCAGGGGGCCGCGACAACAGGAAAGCCCTCGAGAGTGCGATCAGCATCGTCGTCTTGACTGCGCCAATCCGCAGGTGCTGGCACAAAGTGCGCACAACGTACCGACTCTCCTCCCCACCACGGGCATCTTGCAGCAGTCTGTCCACAATCCGTTGCTTCTGCTCCGCGCTTCCATGGCCTTGGCTGTTGGCGATTTTCACAAGAGACTGATACACACCTCTGATTGTAAGTGGCTTGGGCTTACGCAATGTGAAGCTCTGCTTCTTCTTCGCCTCGAATGCCACGTCCCCAGCGTCGCCATGCCTGTCGTACAGAGCTTTCAACGATCGGTTGTCCAAGCCGCAGACCTGCTTGAGGGCTTTGGAAATCGCGGAGCCACCAAGTCCTAGTTCCAAGGATATGTATGGTGGCGAAATCGAGTTCGTCGCCAGCCACACCTAAGAGACATATGCGTCAGTCGAGTCGCCCCTTAGCGAAAGGTACGAGCCCCTTCTTCAACTCACCGTCGGCAGTAAACTCTCCGGGTCACCCTCAATCAATATTCGCAAGCAATTGACTAATGAATCCACCGTCTTTATGCGGCTTTGCGTGCCTCCGACGATCACGAAGCAATGCGACAAGAGTGAGTACGAAGCCTGTCCACGATCTGACGCCCACCCTTTCTGCAACTCGGGAAGATACTTCGAAGGGTCGAACGTCAAGGGGCTTTCGTCAAATGGTATGGACTCCGTGATCGTGTCGACAGCCGATGCGACCGATTGTAATGATAATGTGCTTTTACCCATTGCGAAAGGGTTGACGACGCCCTTGGGAAGATCTGGCGTATGCGGTACCGTAGAGCGTTCGGTGCTTTGCACAACATTCGCCAGGTCAAGTTCTGCGCTGGCCAGGGCCGTCCCAGATGTTCCGTCGTCAGTCCCTGAAGGCAGGTCAATTGCCTGATTGAGCCCGCCGTCCTGCTGCTGCTGCTGCTGCTGCTGCTGCTGATGCTGCTGATGCTGCTCAGCATCCTCCTTATCCCACTGTGCCTGCAGTTTCCGCGCCAACTCCTCGTCCGTCAATCCGTTATGCTCAGCATCGAAAGCACCCGTCTCCCCACCACTAGGAGTTCCATTTCCGCTTCCCTGATCGTCAGAAGGCCCATTCGACAGCTCCACGTCCCGAGCAGCACCTGGCGCTGGCGGCGTCTCGACGCTCTGCCGCTGCTTGGAAAAGAAGTACTCCAGCCCCCTCGACGGCAGAGGCGCGCTGCCAGTGGTGGTCTTGTGATCCTTATTGAGCTTGCGCTTCTTGGCTGGGCTGGACATCGCGGCTTCTGCTGCCCCGTACTTTATGTCAAACTGGTGAGGCTGCTGTTGTTGCGGCGGCGAGGAAGGAGCAGGGGTGGTGAGCCTAGCCGCGGGAGTCCGGGCGTGGTATTATGGTTGCAGCTGGCCTGCCTTTCCGAACCAAGATCTCACTAATATCTGCCCTGTGCTTCACGAACACTGTACAGCTTGGGTGTAGGCACTAGTGGCCTCGGTATGGCAAAGTGCTATGGCGATTGTCGTTTGTCGCGGGTGACTAACGTGGAGTGCAAGGCGTGTCGATGATGTCAGCACCCACGCTGGCGCTGCTTTTTCACGTTGCCTGAGGCGCGTGCACGAGATGGTCTCAGTCGCCAATTTGCACCGACAACAACTTGATGTGATAGAACCCAGTTGTTCAACTAGCGACGGACCACATCTCTCAGGTATGCAAGATAGGGGCGTCTCAAGGCTTTGGGGTTTTTGCCTCTGCCGCATCCCATTGCTGTTTTTTTTTTTGGGTGAAATCCAGCTTTCTGTTTGCAGCCAACGACGCAGAGATCAAACGAGGACACAATTCACGACAGGAAATTTTCGGAGGTATCCGTTAATTTCTTCGTTCACACTCTCATTATCTATGTTTTACGCTTGGCTGTCCTGCACATGCAGTCATAGCAACTTCTACAGACCTGACCGGGCGCGCCCATTGCCATTTCGCCGTGGTGTTGGAAGGTTCGGCACAGTCTTGTATCCATAAGGGTAGAAGAGCACTGGCCGTTTCTTTGCTGGCAATGCATTGAGAGCCTCCCACATGTCCACAATACCAGCCCTGCGCGCCGGCAACATGCTGTACTGAAGTGAGTACAGGTTTTTGCGGTGTATTGGAGGCACAAAACGGCCCGTCACCAAACAGAACAGAACATGAGGTGACAAATAGTGCTTGCGTATGCGGCTTCCCATTTGGAAGTATTGGTGGAACATCGCTGTGAAGGAGAGCGGTATAGGCTGCGATGGATTAGCTACTAGTCATCGCGGTGGCCATGCACAGTTGAGACATACCCTCAGGTTGATTACCGACGTTGGAAGCTGGTATGTAGTCGCCTCCAAGGGTCCGGTGCTGACGCGAAGCTTGGGCCGGTTCTCGCAAAGCTCAAAGCGCACGCCGCCTGGCAAACGCTGGGGGTCCTTGACTCTGAGCATCAAAGCGAAGAGGGGAAAGTGGTTCAGGCATGACAGCATTGTGTCAAAAATTGCCTTGAGCGAAATAATGACCATGCGGGCCAGAGCAAAGTTGAGGTAGAACACCACGACCGTTGGGAGGAGAAAGAACAATAGCGTGAAGAGAATTGTTCCTACAAGAAGCTGATCGAGATCATACGCACATGAGTCAACACGATTGCGTAGGACGTTGTACTTCTTGCCACGAAAGAGCTGGAACAGAGACAGCAGGATCGTAAGCTGCCAATGGAAAATGCGCGCTGAAGCAAGGTAGAAGGAGTAAATGTGCACCGTGAGCACAGAAAGGAGGTCGGACAACAACGCTATGGGCATGCTGGCGCCGGCGAAGCTGGAAAAGCCGATAAACCAGACAATGTGAGGAAGCAAAGGCTGAAGTGTGACGATGCAACCCGCCCAGTAGTCAATGACCCAGAGGAACAAATCTCCGAGAAAGAGTGCGAGCTCGCTATTCAGCTTCAAGCCAGCAGGCCAGCCCATGAGCCACGAAATACTACTCTGAAGCGCAGTGATCGTGTATGCACTGAGCAGTAGGCTAATCTGGTGTGCTACCCAATGCGCGTTCTCGATTATGTAGGATCCCAGAGCAATGCCGATGATGACATCGTTGGCCACTAGCCAGAGGCTGTTATAGAACCGGATATAATCCGGATGGCTTGTTGTCACACTGTCCCAGTCGTTCTTGCGTAGGCGCAATTTGACATATTGCATGGGCCAGTAACAGAATTGCTGTAATCGGATCTCAACCTGCTGGGCCGTGGCCGAAATGTCTTTCAGGGCTGGGGAGCTGGGTCGAAGACGCCACTCGAGGATTAGCAGCAGGAACTCGGCTACAAGCCTGTGGCCGAGCAAAGCAACCATGAACATTCGGCGGACGAATGGGAACACATAGGCGATGATCTTATCCCAAAGCCATACAAGCGCGAATTCGCCTATCGTGGTTGCATGCTCGACCACCCTCTCTGAGACGCTGAGCGCCCGTTTAGGGCGGGTACCAATGAGTGAGACGTTCTTTTGTAGGAGACACTCGATCTCCCACGCCCAGTTGATCTGGTTGACGATCTTTGCCAGAGCCTTGTCCCTCTGTGTTGGTGCTCTCTGCACGACTGTATGCTGCTTCAACTTATTGACCAGGAGCCGGCTTTTGGCGTTTTGCTTTCGTTCACGGGCGTCCTCCTCTGCATCTGAGCCATCGGCAAGGTCACCACGTGAAGATGACCCTTTGTCTCCCAGAGCCAAGGCGATTGGCCCAAGCGAGATATATTGCATGTTTCGAGGCCTCGGTCTGCGGAATAGGATTGCCTGGACACTCGTCGCTTTGAGACATGTCATGCGTGGGGCCCTGCCGGCCGGATCGATAAGTGCGCACACCCAAGAGGGATCAAGTTCGGGGCTGTTCGGATCCGTGTTCGTCACGCCGAGTACGTGAAGCGAGGGCTGGCCGCACGATTCGAATATCCGCGAGACAGCATGCGGTGCACTTCGCAGCAGAATGCCGGTTTTTAGCGCATTATCGACGCTTCTGGTCTAGATTTGGCAGGGTGGTTAGGAGCTGCGGTGGGGGTGCTCTCCGTGGTTGGCGCGCCAGGAGACTCACATCGACATGATCCAGGACGGCGACCACGACAACATCGAGACCAGAGTTCCTCCATCCTACTATCACGCCTGGCTGTTCGGACGTCGTGATGTCGGCCGGCCAGAACACGCGCATCAAGCCATCACGCTCTAGCATGTCAAGCTCTAGGCGTGGGAGCTCTCCACTCAGAAGGAGCCCCTACGCCTCAACTGTTCTCGGGCAGAGATGCCACCGCCAGGAGGTCGTGGATGCTGTACGCGCTTCGGTTTAGTGTTTAGGATTCGTTGTGGAAAGGATGGTAGGCATACCAGATCGGCCGCTTTCTGTGCTATATGCCGGACGGGAAGGAAGATGCCAAGGAACAAGATCGACAAGGACGCAAAGCCCTGAGCCGCGCGGACCTGAAAGCAAGCAGATATGATCAGCACCAGCCAGTAGAAGGGGGGCTCTGCTGACAGCAGCTCTGAGAGCTTACAATGACGCCTTTATCCCAGGCGAATATGGCAAGCTCGTAGAGACGTGTGACGAGATCCCATCGAGCAGTAGTGTAGCCAGCTACGAAGATTGCAAGAGTGAGGACCGAGAAGGGGTGCATAGAGCGGCAGTTGTGGCGTTAGGAGCCGTCCTGTTGCATCGTTGAGCGCGAAGGAGGGGTTGTGCGGCCGTGTGCGTGGGAGAGCGTAGCATGTGCTTCGTCGAGGCGTGGCGATATGGTTGGGAAGTGGCACACCTTGGTCGCATGTGCTGCCTATCGTCCTCGAGCGCTGTCTCGATGTGTTATGGTATGTTGGGAGGAGGGACGGTCTGGTGCTGCCCTCCTGTCTGCCAGCGATGGGGGATGGGTCAAATTCCATCCATGCATGGCCAGGTGGTGGAACGCTGCAAGTGTGCTCCGCACCCCCTGTCCACTGCACATGTGGTCTTATCGTTGGCGGCTATCACCACTCTAATTGCGTTAAGCTGCACCGATCGCCCGACGGCAGCATCCACCACCGCGTTGCAAGGCCGCTCCCGCCTGGCATCCAGGCACATCTTGAGCAGAGCGTAATGTCGCATCGACATCTACCATACATCTTGTCATCATGTCCTGCTTGTGAAAATCGTCGAGCTTCTGTATTCTGCCAGGTCCCGACACAACATATGCCCTGCGTAGCATGGACCAGCCGAGGCCCTGTCTAGGTCACATCCGCTCAGCTCGCCCTTGCAGAACAATGACGTGGAGACACCTTGGCGGCCGCCATGGCGTTCTAGACTCACTTGCGGCTCTATCCCGCTCTGTCAGCTGCCCAACATTTCCGCGCACCAGGCGTACCGCCATAGCCACGGATTTCCGAAAGCTCTCGTGGCAGTACATCTTCCATGTCCTGTAGCCCTCTTTTGCACTGCTCCCTGGTCATGTGCTACCGTAGCGTAGTGGAACACGATGTGTACCGGCAGGGAACCGTTAGATAGGTAACGAACTGCTCCGTATCCCCAATAATAGTGTATGCATTCACGAATCGCCAGAACCGGCCGCAGTGAGTACGCTAAGTATGTGAATTGGGATTTCCTATAACGCCACCAAGTACTGCTTATCTTACGGGTTTCGTTCTCATTTCCGCTTCATATGTATGGCATCATTTTCTTTGTTGTCTTGCCGCGCCTCGTCAATCAGCTTGTCTATGCCCTTCTCCTTCAGTGCAACCTTGATTCAGGTCAGATGTGGCACGCCTAGAGAGCTATTTCTGAGAAACTCACAGTCAGACACTTCTGATAGTCTTTGAACAGACTGTCGCATTCATTGTCCTTTGTGTTGCCGTTTCCACGAAGATACTCTAAAACATCATCGTCAGTCGTGCTTGTCGTGTAGCCAAGAAGGGCATTTCCGCTCACTCTCGCTGTACCACTTGAGGAAGCATGTATCGTAGCGTCTATTGCGGATCTCATTTAGTTTTGCGAACATCAACGGCGAGGCGGAGGTCGAGCTCACTCCTTGACTTCGTTGCACTCGGGTGCAAGTGATGCCGACATTATTGCTGTTTCTGATGGACACTTTGACGGAGACAAGTTATGGTGCTGCAAGAGATCACATGTCCGACTGCGAGTGCGGCCACAAGGTTTTGTCCGTGCTGTGGGTTAAGTCGGGAGCAAGTATGGCAAGACGAACTGAAGGTGGTCGACGATCCACGGATGCGCTGGATGCATGGATGACCTCGGGAGCTTACAGTGACGCGCATCGCCGCCAGCTTGGACAGGCTTATCGATAGTCCGCGCATTCCGGGGCGATCCTGCAGGAACTTTGCTGCGACCTGCACTGAAGCACTGGGGATGACGCGCCAACAGGTACCTCTAATGTCGTCCAGAATCCACTTCTTTCTCCAAGGGTCGAGCTTCGGGGCGCTCTTGCCCAGAAATTTTGTTTGCATAGGCGCAACGGGAGCGCAACGGGAACAACCTGCAAGCACATCAGGTATCGGGCGTAAACCATAACTTGCGACCAAGCATCAACGTCCACGACGCGCGTGGGACAGCATCGCCACCACCATGGACGTCTCCCAGGACTTCAAGTCCTTTCAGGAGAAGGTTCAAGCTGCTCTTGTCGCCGCGACGAGGTCAGCAAACCAGATCGCCGCCGAAGACCTGAGCTTCCAGAAGACCAGCAACCCCGCTGTCGAGGAGCAACTCAACGAGACAAGCGAGCGCCTTTTGGCATTGGCGTCGTCTTTGCTCAAGTCTGCATCTCAAAAGACAGATTTGCGCGCTCCCAACCTCGAAGATGCCGACGACGTTGATGTACACTGGACGCGAGTGGTCGACATTATCGACAATCTCCTCGAAAAGGCCGATACCTGCCTGGACGATTACACAGGCTTGATCAAGAGGAACAATGCGCCTGCCGACGATTCTGTACGTGTTGCACTCTCAGCAGCGCTAATTTTTCCAAATGTCCCTCCCTCGCTAACATCTTCCCCAAGAACGCTGCTACGAAAAAGCCCAGCAAACCCGTCGCCCTCGACAAAGGCCTGCGCAACGCCAATGTCCTCAAGCCCCAAGACAAATTTGAGGTCCGGCCCGTCAATTCGAGTACCAATGCCTGGGCACCGAAGCTCACGAGAAAGCCGCATGCGAAGATCAGCCTCGACAAGAGCCTTCAGAGCACTGTGGATGGTTCATCGAGACATCCGTACGAGAGCGAGATTCGCGAGCTCTCGTTCCCCACGCGTATCTTCAAAGAAGCCGAGCCGATCAAGTACAAACCTATAGAGGACACTTCGGCCACCTTTGTTGACACTTACGAAGGCGTTCTGGAAATGCTGGGAGAGCTGCGGACCGCAAAGGAAATTGCCATCGATACAGAGCATCACGATTTCCGGACATACCAGGGATTGCTCTCACTGATGCAGATCAGTACGAGAGACAGGGATTGGATTGTCGATACTCTGCAGCCCTGGCGCCACAAGCTGGAGGTATTGAACGAAGTATTTGCAGATCCTAACATCATCAAGGTACGAGCTCTCGCGATATTTGGCTGCACTTTGAAGCGGGGACTAACTAAAGCAGGTTCTGCACGGCGCGTACATGGACATAATATGGCTACAGCGAGACTGTGGACTCTACATTGTCGGTCTCTTTGACACTTATGAAGCATCAGTGTCTTTGGGATACCCTCACCGGAGCTTGGCATATCTGCTGAAGAAGTTTGTCGATTTCGATGCCGACAAGAAGTACCAAATGGCAGACTGGAGGATACGGTAAGCACTCTAAGCAGCTTCACAGCCGAATTGGCATAATGTACTAACCATTAGACACAGGCCCCTTCCGGAGGAAATGCTGTACTACGCACGATCCGATACCCACTACTTGCTCTACATCTACGACATGCTGCGCAATGATCTAGTGCAGAAGTCTGACAGAACGATCCCGGAGAATGATCTGATTAGTGCTGTGCTAGATAGGTCAAAGACGACTTCTTTGCGTCGATTCGAACTCCCGGAGTACGACGCTGAACATGGCCAAGGTCCCAACGGCTGGTTCAATTTACTGCTCAAGCACTCTAGCGGCAGGCTCACAAGTGAGCAGTTCGCGGTCCTGCGCGCGATGCATCAATGGAGGGATGAGCTAGCCCGCCGGGAGGACGAGAGCACAATGTTTGTCATGAGCAACTCGACGCTTTTCAACATCGCCAGAGAACTCCCTGCAGATCCGAAGGCGCTGCACAGCTTACTGCCCAAGAACACTGCTCACATAGTCAAACGCGACGCCGAAAATCTATTCAAGATCATCGCTGAGGCGAAGATTGATGGCGCCAACGGCCCGACCGTAGCACAAGTCTTCCGTGCTGCAAATGGGTCGTCGGTGGGAGTTGGCGAAGTAGCCAAGACTGTCTTCCCTCACTTGACGGCTGGCAACATGACCAGCATCACAAAAAGCCAGGATCTAGTGTCTGAAGACTCACAGCTCTGGGGTAACGTGCCTATCAGCAGCCGGTGGGAGGTGTCCCGAGGCAACATTAGCAATGCAGCACGAATGGAGTTTGCCCTCCCCTGGGCGCATTTTGTCGAGAACGCGGAAGTCGGCAGTGAGCAGCTTGCGCTGCCGTCAGAGTCCACATCCATCCCGTCTCGGGTCAAGCCAGAGGACAAGCTGCCAGAAGAGGAGACAGAAAAAGCGGATGAGGACTTCACTCTGCGAGCAGGGTTGAAACGCAAGACACCGGCGCCTGATTCAGACTCTGACTCGTCGTCCTCGGACGACGGGGCATCGGTGCTCACGCCAGGCAAAGCTTCTGCCCAGGTCACAGACCTTGACGATGACGAGATTGCAGTACCGGGATCTAGCGATGAAGAAGGCGGCAAGCAGAACCGGAAAGCCCGGAAGGCCAAGAAGAAGGCTGAGAAGGAGGCGGTCCGTGCCGCGCGCAAAGCCGCCAAAGACGCGAAGAAGGCTCAGAAGAAGGTTGAGCAGGCAAACGCCACAGAGTCCAAGGTCGAGTCAGAAGAGGAGGAAGCTTTTGACTACAGTAAGGCCAAGTCAGTGCTGAAACGGAGTGCTGGCGCACAAGACGACGCTGGCAAGAGCAAGCGGTTTAACCCTTACTCTTCGCTGAGCGCTGAGGGCCCCAAGGCGGCACGCAAAATGCATGGCGAGAAGCCCGGCAAGAGTCACACATTCAAGCGGTAAAGAAGTGTGCATGCTCGGATACTGTCTAAAAGCTGCATTCGTTGTTGTTTTTTGCGCGCGCATTTTGTTCGAAACTTCAGCATCAAGACGGCGTTGTCATTTCTGGTGGTTTCAGTCAAGATATCAGGCGAAGAGCCAGACCTACGATAGAGGATTAGGAGAACAGGCACCTACATTATCGCAATAAACAAGCCCCCCCTGAAACATGAATCCATCGTCGCTGCCCCGATACAGATTCCATGAGCTGCTCTCGGACTCTCCCCCCCCCGGCCCCCCGGTTCTTCGCTCACCGGTTTCATTCCTTGTCCTTCCTGCTTCGACAGGAGCCAGGGGTCAGAGTGCCAAACCTTCGCTTTTGGCATGTGTAGCGTGCTTCCTTAGCCGAGGATAATGGTGACAGGTCCAGGGATCATAGACTGTCACCGCGACTTCCCAGGGGATCTTGAGCCCAGGGCAATGGTACGGAGCATGTAGTAATCAAGGCAAATCGAGCATGGCTCTACCCTGCTATCTGTGTAGTTGTCATTTGATGGGAGGGGGGCCCTGACGGGGATGAAGGTTGCTGCCCCCCCCCCCCCCGCGTTAGTGTTTGCATGGAATTCACTGCCATTCAGCACGTGGTCGTGAAGTGAGGAAACTCTTTTCTGTCGGATCCCGCCAATCGATAGATGCTGAATGCTGCTGCTGCTGCTACTGCCCGTCCTGAGCCTTTCGTCTGGTCTGGTCTGGAGTGGATGGTCAGATTATACTGTACAGGGCGAACCGGCTTCCAGCCAGGCCGACGGTCCGGTCCGGTTCCGGATGGGAATTTCGGAACCCTGGACCCGAAGCACTGGCCGTGTGTGCTATCTAACCACTACGTAAGGGGGGCGGAAAGGGCGCCGAGGAAACGAGCCTTGAAAGACACACACGAGCTGATCACAGTGACATAACTAAGCCTGTGTGCTTTTGAGAGAGAGAAAAAAAAATTGATTGTGTTGTGACAAACGCGGACTTCTTCCTCTGTCTGGTGTCAAAAGGAAGCCCGTCACAATATGCTTTGGGGCTTTTGAAGTTGTCCGTGTATTAGAGTGGTGTGTCAAAGCCTAGATGATCAGCAAGGGTGCGAAGGGTCTGAGCTTTGGACTCTGGGCGGATAATAATATCTGCAAGTCTTCTTCTGGAAGGCAAGGATCAGGCACCACAAAGTTGACACAGACGGCCCGTGAGACTTTCTATATGTGTGTAGAAGGGAGATAAGAGAGAGGCAGGGTTGAGGATCAAACATTGGCAGAAGGACTTGCAACCTGTAGCGAAGGGAAATAGCAGCCAAGGGAAAATAGACGTGCGCTGAGGCGTGTTCGAGCACATGTCGGAACAATTTGCTTCTGATCATGCGAGACAAAAGAATAAACAAAAAAAACAAAGGGATCGCCACATCATCATCTTCGTGCCGTGTGCTCGACCAAAAGTCTGATGGAGCGGCAGTGCTGGTGTCCTCGTTGAAGCTTGAGGGGCACGGCTCCCGCTCAACTACTTGGCGTAATTAGAGCTCTCTGCTGATCATGTCAAAACATCCTCACGCAAGGTTTTGCCAGAAGCAGAAGAAGAAGAAGGTTTTCCATGATCTGAGCGTTGTGCTTCCTTGCATGGGGAGGCGGCCAACCGGGTTTGAGCAGTGCTGTGCCCCGTGCCGTGCGCTAGTCGAGACCTGTGAGTGAGCCATGTTTGGGTCCCACGGGCGCGTGGGCTAGGGGTCCATGGCGCGATTCTTGCATGAGCACGGCAGGTGGGAGGAGGTTGATTCAAGCGTCTCGGCCCATGCACGCCGCTGACCTCACCCGGGAAGGAGGGGGGTCCTTTCATGGTTCACAGGAGGAACAAAATGATGCATGTGGTCTTGATGTGGTGGGGGGCAGTCAATGGATGGTGTCGCGAGGAGGATGTGTGTGTGTGTGTGTGTGTGTGTGTGTGTGCAGTGTGGGTGGGTTCAAAAGTTGACGGGTCGACGGTACGAGTTGCAGTAGCTTGGAACACGGGTGTGCACCAAGGGGCCGCCCGCTTGCGCGTTCAGCGTTCCAGCACCTGTAATTACTGTGTACAGCCCGCCCGGCAGTGCCCTGCAGGCAAGGCAAGGTCTCGAATTCTGGCAGCGGCCTGCTCACCTTGGCTCTCACCGTGGAAGGTGGTGGTTGGCAGGGCCTGCCGCGCACAAGAATAGATTAAAGGCACCCTCGATCAAACACAGAGTGGTCCGCCGGGCATGGGGCCTGGTCTGGTCTGAAGAGCATCAAGAGGCGGTTCCCGCGCCCGACGGCCCGGGCCTTTGAGGAGCCCCCGTTTAGCGGGTCGCGCCCTGCAGAGGGGCTAGTCTGGCAGATACATGCCGTAAGGTATTGTCTTTGTTGGCACGGGTGACAGTCGGTCAGTCACTAAGTCAGTTGATGGAGTGGAGGGGTCGAGGGGGTGTGGGCGGGGATGTTCCCTTGGAGAGATAAGGCCTCGTGGTATGGCCTGAGGTTGCATCGCAATTGTGCCCCGTGATGGAAATATAAGAACATCCGGCACAACGTCCTGTCCTCGTGCAGACCTGGCTCCCAGGCATCGCATCCTCACATTACCTACTTGTTCCCTGGCCTGGCCCAAGTCGATAATCAATTGCCCTCCAACCTGGCCTCTGCACCCAGCCACGCACGCGCATACTCTCCAGAGTTCCTTCTATCCCAGACATCATCTTCACAGCCGTGCGGTCGTTCAGCCAACATGGCTACCAGCACTAGCAGACCCCGCTTCGCCATGCAGCGCGTCCTCGCAATCATGATCCACATCAAGCTTGTCGTCCAGGCCGTAGCTACCATCGGCCGTTGAGTAGATGACGACAGAGTCACCATCCAAGGCGGGCTGCTGTCGCATCGCCTCGCTGCGCGCACATCTGTCTGGCCTGCTTCAGCAATTTGTGGCCCGGTCGCCTGCCTGCCCGACTCCGCATGCCGCGCCGTCCGTGGGTTCGTACGTAGTTTACCACCAAGGAGCTTCCTACGCAGCCGCCATGGCGGATCCAGCTCGCTGCCAACACTGCCGTCAGCAACGGCTACCTGAACATTACATGGGAGTTGCGGGACGCCGCCGCACAATCTATCAAGCACGATTCATGTCCTGCAAACAGATCTCATTTGTCGACAGACACGACTTAAAGCCAATACAACAGTAAAGGTATGGCGTCACTCACATTGCACGATATTGCTCGGGAGCAATGACGGTAGAGGAGGTAGATGTTCCACACCAGCGAGGTCGCCATGTTGCGGCATCACGGGCCTGCAAACACACAAAGTCTGACTGGCAAGGCCGATGTGGAATGCGGAGAAAGAGCCCGATTACGAGCGAAGGTATTTCAGAGTCGCTGCGCGAACACGCCCACCACCCCCATGGCTACAGCAGTCATACGAGGCATGGATTGATCGTGGTATCTTGGTCGCACATTGTAGAGAGGCGCGCGGGAAGGCTAACTGGAGGTTGTCTCCCAGCCGCGGGGCATGCCAGTACTGCACAGGAGTCCCGAGGACCTGGTCTCACACTTGGGAGCATGTCAGATTGGGCTACTCGGTGCAGGGAGCCAAGTTGAGCCACAACACAACTTAGACTTCTTTTTTATTCTATTTGTCATGACACGACGATACTGCTCATGGGTCAAGCTGAAGATTCGGCGGATAAAGATTAACATCTACTAGAGACAGTAATGAGGTTGTTGCGACCAATGTTTCTGCCGAATGCAATTGGTACAGGTAGCTACAGTTGAGAATACGATTTCCATGCAGAGGAACACTCCCTGGAGCTGTCTAGTTCTTCATGGTCTGAAATGAAGATGTCGCTCCTCTTTGAACCTTGTGCATCGGGCGGTCTCGAAGTGAATAGAACGACTGCCTCTCATAATCATGGTCAGTAATAGATCAGTTGCAAAATGGTATTTTAGCGCCACGATTTTATCAAGTGCGCCAGCCAGGTGTTCCGATTGTCGCCTTTCATAACACAAGAAGAGTTCGGCTGGGAACGGACCGAATTCGTTGGTTCCAGATATTACAAACTCCAAATGTACCACTCATGGTGAACCATGGCAGCCGAGTCCGATCAGGAGGAAAACACCCTGGATTGGAATTCAGTCTCAATTTCCGCTTGTCTTCCTCTGAAAAACATCAAGGTAGAACATTCGGATTGTGTTGCTCCTCGAGAAGAGGCGGCCAACGCAGATCAGCTATCATCACCAGTTGACAACTTTTATGGAAATGCGGAACTGACCATTACAAACTTTTTACCAAGATTCGTCGATTTCATCCTTCGCGGATAGGCTGACATTGCTATAGTTTACTGGTTGGCCAAACGGCAATCACTGCTTGTCGGAAATGTTGACGTCGAGACAATCCTGTTCTGCTAGTTGATGATAGCGACACGAGTGAACTGGCATATCTCACATCCAAATGTATTGAGATATGGGTGAGCAGGCGGCTTCCTTGCCCACACTACAACGCAGAAGGATTTTTATTTTGTGAAAGGCACACCCAATCCATATCGCATGTCTTTAACATCAAGATCTAGCATACACTAAATAATGCAAATGCCATATATCACATAAGACCAAATAACGGTCTGTATTCGAATTGGCTGTCCGGTGAGCTCTTTCTTGTAGATGATTAGAGTTTTCCTCATCTTGCCACATAGAGTACTGTCCTAGTCCAGCAGATCACACCGAAACGAGTTTGAAATATCTATTTCTACACTCTAATGTGGTGTTAATAATAATCCGTACTTATTTGGTGGCTATAAGGGGGGCGGCTACTAAATATTGTGATCGTCCTCCACAGCCACTTAGCCGAATGTGCTGTGGACAAATATACAACTCAATTACAAGAGAAAATGGTGAAACTTCATCTCGGGCTTCACTGTCTTGTTTCCGGACGCGAGAAACCAAGCTGCTGGCGTTCAGACAATCCCGAGAATACATCGAAGGCTTCAGACCATATGCGCCACAATGTCGAAAAGTCCCCGGGCCGCTGTGCATGTAGCTACACAATTAGTATCTCCATAGTGTGCGTCGTGAGTCACTCGCCTGGTCGAAAGGGTCATACCGAGAGGATATTTTCAACCAGATTTAAGAATACCATATTGGCACCTGTCGATCATGTACAACGTGAGGCATCACAGCAGGTAGAATAATCATCATGAAAAATGGACACACGTTGCGCCCAAGCCCCTGAGATCCTTACACCCTGCGTGTCCCTCTTTTGATCCCTCCTCTCCTTCTTGATTGTCCTTACAAGTCTCCCATTCTCCGCGGGCAGGGCTGGAGTGGAAGACTCTCTCTCTCCCATATCAGACTTGAGGTTGGGCTATCTGAGAATTTGTAACGGACAGTCGGCCGCTCTTCCCCATTTTGTTTGTCAAGAACCACACATTTTTAACGCGAATGCATCCATCATTCACGCTTCCCTCGTCTCGTGAACAGAACACAGCGTCGGGAATTGGGGCGAAACCTTTAGAAGTTGTCAAATTGCCCGAACCCCGACTCGGCTATCTCATCTCATCACACGAACATTCCTACTTTGCTTGGAATCTGGGGGCCTTCCATGATTTGAGCTACTAAAGCCAAGTACTGATTCCCTATCTGCTATCACTCTCTGGCCTGAAAGGAAGACTCGGTCATCTGCACAGATTGGTCCTGGAGTTTGTTTCCTCTCTGACTTGCAATTTCCCAGGCCCTCGGGTCGATCAATCACTTGTGCAGCGCTATCAGTGTTCGACGCTACATCTTCCGCGACGCTCGTGCAACGCCCCAACCGTGGACTGGTGACTAGATTTCATGGACGACAACGACCACCACCGGGGCATCGGCCACTGCCAAGTCACACACATAGCTGCAACGTATCGCATGGCCGCACTACACGACAACTAACAAGGTGCCAGTCCCGAAGGGGGGGGGGGCTCACATTCCGCCGCAGACAAACCCTCGCGGAACCAGCCGAGCAGCGGATGCTCCGGGTTTTCGCACCATTCGTGTAGACATGAAATCATGGCCGGCTGTTTGGCATGTCACGCCAGATTTCATGGCTTGGGGAAGAGGTATGTATGTGTTTCAGCCCTGATCCGGGCTATTTTTGGCACACGAGTAGCTTTCTCTCCAGACGATGACTTCCAGATTGTGCCATGTTGTATGCTCTGGTGCGCGCCACAGCACACTGCCATGGCATGCTGCTCTGTCCCTACAGGGCCACTCAGTGCCCAAGGGCGAGCAGGCTCATAACTGACACGAGAGGGCTGAAGCGATGCCGGATGCCGTGAGCTGCAGTCGTGACCTGAACTCAAGACGCGATACGAGAACAATCACTTATGCCGCGCACTTGGCGTACGTGACGCCCGCTCACCGGTGGTTCCAAGTGGCGTGTCTCAAAAAGTAGCCGATACGTGTCGACAGCCAAGCTTGGCCTGCATGCTCACACCAACAGCAAAATTCCCAACGAGTGCGGCTGTAGCCGTGATGAGTGCGTGCTGTTTCTGCTAGATGGTCAGCATCGATTGTTAGACCCAGCGCCCGCTGCCCGGAAACCCCTGCCGCTCTGACTCTGATCAGCGCAGTCCCGGACAATGAGCTGGCCAGGGGTGCAACGATGCGAATCCGGGCCGGCCGTTGAGCAATAACAATATGTATGCACACATGCAAGTGCACACACACATTGCGCCGTGGTGGGTGGGCTGCTGCGCCATGGCGCAATTTCCAGCCGTCGCTGCCGCCCGCTGGTGACAGGGCGTGGCGCCGCCGCAGCCCCTGGAGCCAACGCACGCCAAGCGCCATCAGGCAGCGGGAAGCGGTACCCAAACGGCGGGCCAGTGACGGCGCGCCGCCATGGCGCGTCCTCGTCTTCGCTGCCTGCCAGGACTCGAGGAGAGGGAGCATGATCGATGCTCATCCGAACATTGAGAAACATTCACTAACTGCATTGAAAAAAGCCTCGAGTAGTGAGTCACTGGGCTCCCCGCTGAACAGAGAAGTAGTCGAGCAGTGGTCGAGCTTGAAAGCCAAGCACGGCTTCGTGGCCCTTCTCATCGCTGAAATGGCCTTGGTCACATTGCTTGTTACCTTAAGGTACGCTTAGTTAGCATGATGCTGCGACCACGGGTCGCACGATCTGGAAACACACCTTTAAGAATCCTTGCCACTGCTCGCAGTCCAGACGAACACCGAACCTGCAGGGCCGGGATTGGACCCATACTCGCGTGGGGGAGCTTTCCTGCGATGCATCCAGGCCATCCATGCTGGACCCTCAGCATCTGAACGAAGCAGCGACTCGTGGTGGCGAAGCAGCTCGACCATGGCACGGTGGCTCTTGACACTGTAGACCGAACCTACAAGTGGTAAAATGTGGTCTGCCGAACTACACATCCTCACGGTCCCACATATGCAATGACTCTGACGCGCGTTCAAGCATGCGGAGGATCTCCCAATCAAGCCGGAACCGAGATTCTTGAGAGCTTCAAGCCCATGCGCGAAGCGTCAAGTTGATCCTTCCATCTGAACTTCTTTGGCTGCTGCTTCGCAAGAGGACCGCTTGTCGTGGCGGGACGAAGCCGTACAGGTGCGCGAGCTTGCTGCTTGGCAGCCTAATCTCAAATATCCCCTTGCTTCGACTGGCCTCTGGAACGAGTGGACTCGCTTGTTCGCCTGTACGTTGTACCTTTGACAGATGGAGTGGACCCAATGGGGCCAAGTCCAGGCCATCGCAAGACCAAATCAAGCTGTCCTTGCATCGACTGAACCGCCGTAAGCACACGAGCCTGACGTGGCTCATGGCTTGGCATAGCTCCATATCAGGTCGACGTACTTGGACAGGTTTGAAATGCCTTCAGGGACTGACCAGTGATGAAACGATTGCTGGCTTTGGGAGTCGCGATACTGAGAGTCCGTCGTCGTCCTCGATGATACCAATCTCTGATAGATACTCGGACGAGCACCAGCTTGTGGTTAAGTCCAAACCATGTTAAAAAGAAATATTGATACTAGGCGCGTTTCGGGGAATTAGATTGCGTCTCCCCTCCGCAGCCTCCCACCCGACGTTTGCTGCAGTCACCTCGTCGTGGCCTGTTGACTCAGTCGTTGATCCGCAGCTAAAGGGCTGTGATGATGCTTGAATGCATGGCATCGCACGTGTACGACCATCCTAGCTCGCCGGTCTGCTACGAGAAGAAAGCTGATAAGGCATGGACCAGGCAGACCAGATTTCCATGGTGGGGAGCTTCGAGACGGAGAATGAAGATTTTCTCTCGTATACAGATCATGACGAAGCAAAGTGATCAGTTGGGTAGTATCGCAAGAGCTTGCAGCTGTGGCTTTGTTGTCCGCGTCATGCTGGACACGACTTTTGGTTCAACAAAGTTGCACATCTTCGCCGCTTGCGTTGACAACGCCGGTCAACATCGCACCGGCAAACCTGGCTAGGCTGGAGATTATCGCATGCACATAAGGCGAGGTTGATACGACCGATGTGCATTGCGTCTTCTGGATCCCGGGGCCGAGCACATCGTTTGTGGAGGCTGCGGGTGGCCGCGCATCATTCCTTGCGGTTAGGCAATGGGGATCGACATCCACCGCATGTGGTTCAGAAGACTATCCGGGCATCGCGTTGGGAACAGACCACGTCGAGGTGGCAGATCAGGGTTACAGTATGCAGATAGGGGAAAGCCGCTGGTCCACGACGCGTCGCTGCTGTTCGTGTCCGCGAATGAGTAACGGCGGCCGCGATGACAAGCACGGGTGGCGGCGCAGAAACACACATGAGGATTGTCTGACGCAAATCGTGGATCAGACCGGAATCATGCTGGGCTGAGCACCCAGATAATAGGACAAGCTGACCTGCCGTGTGTGCGTTTCGAGCTGCAACAGGAAGAGTCCTTGTGCACAACTTTAAGCTTGAGAGGTTAATGCAGCGAGGTGGAGGAGTGCCCAGGTTGTGCAGCACTGCTTGCCCGAGTGGGTCATGTTCCTGATGATCATGATCTTGCGCACTGTGCTGCAGCACAAAGTAGGCACTGTCTGCACAAGGTCCCTTGCGCCCCGAACGGCAAATAGACGCACGCACGCCGACTTGATTGCCCAGGAACACTCTCTTCATCTATTCGAGGATATTGGCATGCCTCGGTGGGCTCTGCCCTGGGAGTGCCGTCGTTGCTGGACTGTAGTACAGAGGCGCAGAGAGCGGTCACGCCGAGTGTTTGTCCAGATGGATGTCGGGGGCAGGTTGCATGACCGCAGAGCCGCCAGTCTCGGTTTGTGGCACTCAACCCAACTGTGGAATCCCCATCCATGGACCCGTCCGTTGCACAGCTGCCCTGGAAGGCCCAGAGTCTGCGGGCCAATGCCCAGCACTGCAGGTTTTATGCACGTTGCATCAACAACAAAGAGCACAAAGGGAGCCGCTGGGTGCGTGCATCACAAGCTGCAGGCATGCAAATCCAACCACGACGCCGCCAGGCACTGTGAGGGCCCCACCCTTGGCATCTCTTTCTCCTGGCGCGAGTGATGAGGCCCCACCCACCCACCTGCCGGTCCCCTCGGCACAGGCACACGCCGCTTCTGACTGGCTGGGCACCCGCAAGAGCCACCGCAGATGCTGGCGGCGTGCTTCCGGGTAGGCCTCGTCGGGGGCCAACCACGCGGTGGCGGCGGTCCTGGTTCCTGCGTCTGGGCCAACAAGTTTTCGCCGGGCCAGGGGCTCCCCTGTTGACGCGTGCCCGGCCAAGCACAACTCGAAACCGATCAGCACACCCCCTCTCTCGCCAGGACTGGCGCACAGATTGAGCAGCAATGCACCATCGCCCGGCCACCAGCTCACGAGCAGGCGGCGCAGCCTGACCAGCCAGCTGTCGCGCGAGCAACGGCCGGCCGGCAAGGTCCCTGAAGGGTATCTCGGCCAGCGGTGCGCCGCAGACAGGGTACGGGCCGGGTACGCTTGGGCTGGGCACTCACTGCCTAGACTCAACTCGACACACCCCCCTTGGCCTCCTGCCGGGCCCCTTGATGGTCCTGCCTGCATGCCCTGCCTGGCTCCACTTGCTCGTCGAGGGCCCTGGCCGTCATGCCTCCTGGCTGTCCGTCCACCCAGTCCTCGCTCCTCTCCTCTCCCCTCTCCCCATCTCCTCTTGAAACCTCCCAGCCCGAGCAGTACCCATCTCTCCCTCAGCTGGCTGTCCACTCCTTCCACCGTCCCTCGTTATCCATCCAACTCGAAAGTCTTTCGTCATTTCATCGTCTTGTTGTCCAGCGCTCCCTGTATTCTCATACCCACGCCTTGCTCTTGCTAGCTCACTTCTCAACAACAACAACAACAACGACTTCGACGACAGCCGCTCGAACGGTGCCCCTTGGCCTCAACTGCTTGGCTCGAATCAACAACACTTCGCTCAATCAACTAGTCGCTCCAACTTGGCTCGCCCTACCGACCGCTTGATTGCCTCAGTCGGTAGACTTCTCGAGTCTGGACCAGACCTGTATTATCAAGACAGGTGTACCTATCGACCGCTGTGCCAGTCTGCGGCACTTCGCTCGACCACTGTCGCATCCGCCTCCTCAGGCTCACACTCAAACCGGGCCTGCAGAGCACTCATCTGCTCCCTGGACCGATCCTGCTCAGCAATCTTCTTTGAACCTATCCGATCCTGATCGGGCATCAGATCTACCAGCAAGATGCTCCGCCAACTAGCTATTGCTGCCATTCTGGCCTGCAACCCGTTGCTTGCCTCTGCTGCACTAGGCGTCCAGCAACCCATCAAGCCCCCAACCCTGGGCACAGACACCGTACACGGCTGCTACTCGAGCAAAGGCTCGCTGGATAATGGCAGACCTGTGGACTTCAACAGTCAGGGCGAGTGCAACAAGGTCTGTCGGGACCAGCTGAAGAAGGCCGTGGCCGCGACCTATTCAGGCACATGCTACTGTGGCGACGAGTATCCGCCTTCCTCATCAATAGTCGCCCCGGCCAAATGCAACGAGCCCTGCCCCGGATACGACCAGCATGCCTGTGGTGGACTGGGGACCTTCACGGTCTACAACACGGGATTCAGGGTCAGCGTTGGTGAATCTGAGCCTGACACAACTTCAAGCGCTCCCGTCAGCTCGGGGACAACCCCCCCTGCTGCCTCAAGCAGTAAGTAAACGCCCTGCGGCAGTCCTTGGCTCAACGATGATACTAACACCTAGCCAGGCACTGCTGCCCCATCTGCTCAGCCAGTTACAGACGACAACTCTAGTAGTGGCCCGCCCACGGTCGCTATTGCGGTAGGCGTCGTCGTCGGCATTCTTGCCATCACCGGTGTTGCTGGCGGTGTATTCTTCTTCATGCGCCGCAAGCGTAACAACGAGATCGAGGAGGAACACCGCCGCAATGCTGCCGTCAATGCCTTCATCAACGGTGGCAAGCCGCCCGGAAGCAGCGATGGCCTTTCCATGTCCGACTCACGGCTGGACCCGGTCATTGCCAACCGCCGCATGAGCGATGGCAGCATCGCAGACAACCAAGACTACTCGCGTCGTATCCTGAGGGTAGGCATATTATTCCACTTGTAACACCAGTCACGAGCCTTGACTGACAATTTCTCCAGGTCACCAACGCATAAGCAACGATTGCGTTGCACATTCTCATGACGAACGAGTTTCTCGCTTGTTTCCTTTGCTTCTCATCGGCATCGACGGCGTTCACTGGGTTTTGCTCTTATTAGGAGGTTCGACTCGACCGAACGACCTCGGGCGTTGCAATTATTGTCCCGGTGTTACGGACTAGCAACAAAACTTTTTGGAATTTCGGCTCGATTATCAGGCGAATATGCCCGACATCTCCGCGACGCTGCTGCTCAGTGCTATCCCGGCCTCTCCTTTTGATACATTAGACATTTGGTGGTCGGATCTGGAATGAAGTGGCGACACCCGTTCAGCCTGGTCTTGGTACATATCATCCATGACGTAGGCTTGGATATTATATCTTTCTATACAGGATAAATATACGACTCATTTCGACTTCGAGACCGCTTCTATATAATGCACCGCAACTTACAAGGGCCTTTTGGAGAAGATGATGAGAGGGCTGCTTTCTGTATTGAACTAATATCACCCTGAATTGTTTGGGCTGGGTCTTAAGCTGTTTGTTGGTGATATTCTTGTTCAGCTTATAGCGTGCGTTGCCATTGCGAATATTTACCCCAGTATTCTGAAATCCACTTTGTTCTACTCGTGATTAGTGGTTGGGTAATGCTACCCATGTTCGTCATGATCCAGCTCATGTGGTGTTGGGCATCTCACATGACACGCTGCGCACCCGCATCGAAATTGTGTGCTCGTTTGGGTCGACACAGCCTTATGAGGCGGACTGAAACGTGACGACTCGGCCTCTTGGGCTTCTCCTTACCATTGCGTGGTAGTTCTGGGTCTTTGGGCTCAAGATTTGTAGTACTGGTGGCGTGGCCGTTCGCGCAAGGAGGAGCTGTTTGCGCTGGTCCCCAGCTCATGACACACACAGGGCATCCACATAAAAGACAGCTCACGCTGCTCGCCAGCATGGGCACAGATAGGCACCTCATGAGATCAATTATGCACCGCGGATGATGGCCATGCAGTCCTCCCGCGTGTCTCCTTGTGCTTTCACCACGATCCCGCGATGAGCGAGCGATTTGCCCATGGGGACGCTGCGAGCGCTCCACATCGCACCGTGAAGCAGCAGCCCTGGAGCCAGAGGCGCGTGCTCCTCGGACCCACCTATTTTTCGACTGGCTACTGCAGCGCAGAAGCTCTGGAGCACGGGCACGTCAACAAGCTCCCAAACATTGACGTCTTCACGACACCAGCACACCTCACATATTGCTGCTTGTGCTCGACCACGACTTTGTCCCGAGTAACATGCGACTCGACTAAAATCTGCGACACGTATCGCGAACGCCGCCTGATCTCAGCACTGCGGTCACTTGCCGTGCGATCTGTTTGAGGGCCCAGAGTCATCAACATAGCCAGCAACAGCGTTCCAGCGTTGCCCAGCCCGCCGACATGGTCGCGACCTCGCAGCCGCGCGTCCGGCGGACGGCGCATAATACGCAATACACGTGGGTGGCGCGCCTCTAGCTTTCGGCGCCAACCTCACTGACCACTCTCCCGCGATGCAGATATAACCTCTTGCGCCGCGTCAACGCTGTCCAGACCTATCCAGTACTCTCCCCGCAAGGCGCCACGATATTCCTATACGCACACGAAGACGGCGTCACAATCGTATGGCGAGGCGGGCGGCGGTTCAAGGCCGAGGTGGAGGAGGCAGCCGCCCATGGCCGCGGCGCCAGCAAGCAGAACGGCAACCCGCCACAGGACGCGGTCATGATTCTCGATAGTGATGAAGAGGACGAAGCACCGAATGGCAAGAGCAGCGATACATTTGTCGACAGGCCGCAGTTTGAGGAGGTGCTCGACGAAGACGCGCCATACCAAGAGATCACGCAGACTCTCGACCTGTCGCTCGGCACGGCTGTGCACCATATTGCGACCCTGCCGATGAGGCCGTGCACCGCGGAGGGCGCGGCGTGGGGCGGCACCAGCATTCTTAAGGAGAAGATCGTGTTTGCAGTATCGTCCGCTAGTCGCGAGGTGTTTCTCATCACACTCCCCCTGGTACCACCCTCACCGCTGAGCAAGGCCCGGAAGGAGTTTCAGGAGGACCTTCTCGCCGGCAAGGCTGGCAATGGCAAATGGGGAGAGACGGTCACTCTGCTCAACGGGCAGGAGAGAGCCAGCCAGGGCCTGGCCTTGAATCTGGTGCAGATCTCGGCGTCGTCTGAACGTAGCAAGTCCACCGACAGATCGCAATCGACAGCCCAATCTGGTCCGCGGGTTGTAGTTGCTGCCCACACCAAGGAGGCAGTCGGGACACTACGGCTGTGGGACGTTCCTCTTGAAGGTGCCAACGGGTCCAGAGTCGACCCTTTCCAGGTTGAATACCTGCCGCGCCCACTGACGTCAGTCTCATTCAGCCCATCACAACACTCGCAGCTGTTGTGCAACTTTTCGCCAGACGCGGTCAGAATCTACGACTACGCACAAGCCTCGATGCCGCCAGATGATCTTTCTGAAGGTCCATTTCCCTCACAAGGCTCCTGGCTCATCTCTCTCTACCCGCCTTTCATACGGCCGACTTCGTCCAGGAAACCCATTTTGGCTGCCGAGTGGATCTGCCATGGTGGTGCCATTTTTGTCCTTCTCGCCGATGGCCAGTGGGGTATTTGGGACGTGAATGGCCACTCGCCACAGGGTGGTAACCTGGTTGGCAAGACTGGGTCTGGAATCAAGGGGGATGCCCTGACAGAGTTCAGCGTCACTGGCTACGTTGAAGGCACAAGTCCATTGCGAAACCCCGGCGCTCAAAGGACATCTGCTGGCACTTCCGAGTTTGTGCCCATGACACCACACACGCGCCGCGAGGCTCTGAATACAGCATATGGCCCGGAGCGCCTGGTCACGGTCAAGGGAGGTGTCTCTGTCATTCCCTTACCCAGCAGCACCACCACTTCATCAGACGAGAGCATTGTCTTGTGGATCGGCGGATCGGAGAATGTCTTCGCGATTCCGGGGGTCTTGAAGTTTTGGGAAGCCCAATACCGCAAAGGCTCTTCGGCGGGTGGGAATCTCTTTGGTGGCGCGCAGCCGACGCGGATGCTGCGCCTGACCGACCTCGGCGCCGGACTCATGGGCGAACGCTGCACGGGAGTGACGGGCCTGGTACGGTCCATCAAGACGGGCGGGCTGAGCGCGACAGGCAACGAGGGCTTGCCCGTCGAAGTCCTCGTCCAGGGTGAGAGCCGGTTGGTCATCGTGCAAGAGAGCGAGTCGCTGGTTGGCACCAAGATTGGCGGTGTTGTGGCACGCAGAGCCCGGGCGAGCCTGAAGGCCCGTGACAACAGCGCCATTGTCGTCTATCCGCGTCCAGCTCAGCCCAACAGTATCGAGTACAACCTGTCCTCGAAGCCTAGGAGCGCCTTCTCACGGGGCAGAATGGGAGGACTATTTGACAAGCCGATCGAGGCGTCGGCGACGGCACCAGCCACCAAGAACGGGATGTCAGGTGTCAGCAGCGGCCTTGCGACGTCTCAGACGCCAAGCAAGCGCGGTGCTGGCGGCTTCTCGTCGCTCCTGGGCGATCTCGACGCTGCCGCCGATAACCAGGGCGGCAATGATGACGACGAAGACGTGCTCGACGAGGGCGCAATGGAGCGCGATCTGGAGCTCGAGATGCTCGACATCATGGAGATTGACAAGGAGCTGGACGCTCTCGCGGTGGACAGTGTCCGCGGCCGGAAGCGGGTGTTGTTCGATGCGTAGGCCGCGCCCTTCTGGGGAGGGAGGCGTACCGAGATCATAAAAGTGGGAAACATGTCTACAGTATAATACCAGGCCGGATCTACCAGCGGATATTCCGGAGAGTCCAGGACCCCGGGGCCCTGAATCCGGGACTTACAGGAGGAAATGATTGAACGAGGTGTGCGATCGGGCACACTTGAGTCCGCGTGACTGAGGCTACCGTTCTGACTTGTCCCCTTTTTTTCATGTTTCGGAAGCACAATGGTCTATCGTTGTGACAATGCATGCCCTATCACAATTCGTCATTTATCGTGACTTCCGCGCGGCAAAGGTGGAGCGCAAGGCGAGACCCATCCTTGACGCCTCCGTAATCCGCGCGGTATATTGATCGATCGCGACACTCAGGCGGCGGCCCGCACAGCCAGCCTGCCCATCATCATCACCTGGAGATCTTCTTTTTGGTGACTGCTGGCTGGCTGACTGCTGCTGCTGCTGCTGCTGCTGATGTTGCGATTCGCCGGACCCATCCCAAACCACGATGAATTGACTATTTGCCTCCCCTGACCTCGGTTCCCTTTTTCGTTTCCCGCTTTTTGTTTTCTTTTCTGGACCTTTTGTTCTTTTCTTTCCTTGTTCGTTCCTGCCACTGTGTGGTGGCGGACTGGGAGGGCGAAAGGAGAAAAACAAGGGAGGATGGAGAAGATATAAACGGTGGGAGAGGAACTCGACAAGGGACATTCTCGGTGAGGTCTGGGTGGTCGTTGGGTTCGGTACATTTTGAGTTTTTCTTTGTTTCTCGTTCGTTTCGGCGGCTGTTTTTTCTTGTGTGGCGTATGCTTGGACGGAGCGAGGGATGTTCCATCTTTTATGGTCTTATGAAACGGCCGAGACCGGGTGAACGACAAACTTGAAAGAATGTCACATGGCTGCGCTCACATCTCGTCCGGGAACTGTGCACCCTACGTCTTCGAGAGTTGGTATGGCGAGGACTTGCTTCCGTGCCGTGTATGATCTCTACTATGACTTCGAGACCCTGCTTTTCTGACAGTATCGAGCTCCTCGGAATCACGACCTTGCCGGGCCCTCAACGCTTCCAGTGTCCTTTCACCCCGGAAAGGGCTCCCACGCCATTATAATTTCGCAGACTTTATCTTTCCCTTTAGGGCACTTTCAGCACCACTCCCTTGTCCTCCTCCTCCTCCTCCTCCTCCTCCTTCCTCTTTGTCCTGCTGCTCCATCTCCCATCTCCATCTCCCTTTCCACCAAGCCCCACGGAAATTAGCCAAAAACACCTTGAACGCGGGATCCGCGTACGCGGCGGCCTTCTCGCCCCGATGCCCTGCGCACTCACCGACGGCCAAACCTTCTGCGGTCTAGCCATCAAGCAGGTCTGTGTAATACTACCGATAATGAGGGCCACGGAAGAGACAAAAGAGAAAGGGGCATAAAGACCGTGGCGTCCGGAAACATTTGAACGAAACGCCTGTTAGCTTCTCAGCTATAAATTTCCTATATAGTAAAGAGAACTGTTTCATCGATTGATCATTTGCATGCACTCTCCCCATGCTTGGCTGTTTCTTCAGGCTTTGTGCATGTGTCGCCGTCAGGTGCGCAGACACCATTGCTGATTACCGACAGCGTGTAATGTCAGCCCAAAAAGCCGGCAGCCATCCGCGCGAAGTGTTCGTCCCGAAACCATCGCCCGTTCATACTGACTCTCCTCTTCTCTCCCTGCCCCACGCCCCTAGCCCATCTTGAAGGTCTGCGGCAATCTTTGCCCCCAGAGTAGCGCCGGTCCCGGTCCGGCCGGCGGCTGCATGCTCAAAGAAGCTGACTCGCTCCGTCCACCAGTCGAGCCAGTCCTCTGCCCTCGCAGCGGCAGAAGCAGAGCCAGAGTGATTCTCATCACCGACTGAAAGCCCTTTGGGAGGAGGCAGACAGAGGTCGGCAAGCCCGGCGCTGACGTCGATGACGTCCGGCCGCTCCTCGTTGTGCCAGAACACGGTGGCCCCGCAGGTCGGGCAGAACTCGCGGAAGACGCCTGCCTGGGAGTTATAGGTCTTCAGCACTGCTGTCGTCGGGTTCGCTGCTTGCTGGAGGACGCTCTCGTTGCGGTTCTCGTTGTTCTCCTGGCCGCCGCCTTGCCTGCCGCGCTGCATGTCTTCGCCGCCGCCGGGCAGGCTGGAGAAGTCTAGCGGGAATAGGATCCTGCGGTCGTGATCTCCGCGTCCTCTCTGTCGAGCGACTACGAAGATGTTGCTCCGCGGCACGAATGCCCACGTCTGGATCTCGAAGCCGCAGCCCAGCCGGCAGGAGCGGCATGTGCATGTTCCCGCGAGGTATCTCTTCTTGCTCCCGTCAGTCGTCGATAAGTCGGAACTGCCACCCCCCTTAGTTGTTTTGGCTGCCATCTCGTCCTCCTCCTCCTCGGCGAGAGAGGGACGGATCCACCACTTCTCGTCTGACCTGTTCTGCAGAAAATCTCGCGAGGTGGAGTGGTACGGATACACGCAGTCCGAGTGCGGCGACCAGGGCAGCGTGCTCGATGCGTCTGGCCGCGTCATGACGAGCGAGACGCGCCGGCACAGGCAGTGCAGGTTCAGCACGTCTCTGCTGTCGACTGTGTCTCCGCTGTCGGCAAGGGTGTACTGGAAGTCATGCTGATCTGGTACTATTGACTGAGAGCTCGTGTCGGCCGTGGCGGGAATTGTATCTTCGAGGACCTCCGGCTGCAACATCCCATGTTGGGCCTGTGGCGAGGAGGAGGAGGAGGAGGAGGATGATGAAACAGTCCAGTGCTGTCGCTGCGCCGCTGGTGCAGAAACAAGGTGAGTGCTTCGGCCGGGTTTGGCACCTCGCAGGAGGGCTGATGCTAACCCGCCGTCCTTTGCATCATGTGCGTTAAAGTGCTGGAAGACAAGGGCAGTCGTGCCTGTCTCGTCTCTCAAGGAGCCGTGGTCCTCATCCCGCCGCTCTTGCTCGTCATGTTCCTGCACCTCGCCACCATCATCTTCGTCTCCGACAAGGCAGCCCGTGGCGACCGCCCAGCTTACTCGTCCATTTGCCGAGCGTTGCTGTTGTCGAGCGAAGACGTGGCTTCCGCAACTTCCGCAGAACCACCGCTGGGTCCCAGCGTTGCTCGACGTCAAGCTGGCTGTGCTATCTTCCAGGCCGTGCGCCGGAGCCGATGAGCTGTTGTTTTTGTTGTCGTCGTCGTCGTATTCGACGAGCCCGTTTAGAGAGGCGGGCGGGCCAGCAATCTCGAGGTACGTGGTGCACAGCACGCCAGAGACGTGTCTGCACGCGTAGCAATGGCATATCGATATCTCCAGCGGCGCATCTGCAGCGGCCGAGGTCGGCAGGCTGATGGTCTGCGCTGCAGTGCCGCAGTGGCATGTTATACGCATGCGTGAGCTGTGAGGCCTGGGTTTTACTGGCGTTCCCGTCATCATCCTTGCCTCGATGGGTCCGAGGAAAGTACGCGATCGTAAATGTCTAGTTCTCGTGGGGACCGCGGTGGTACTGAAATGGGAAATGGAGGAGCACAAGTGCGGGGTTCGGAGATCATGCAGTCTTCTGGTCTCCCATTTGGGGGAAGTGTGTACGTATCTACCCTAGGGTACTCCGGAGTGAGCGAATTGCCTTGACAGGAGGCTGATACCACAAAGTCGCTGCAGGTGCCCCTGTTCCGAAACCATGGAAGCGGGCTGGGACTTGATGCACGCATACACCTATACCATCTTGGATGATCGCAGCGAGTCGTGGCGGACAGTGAGAACCGTAATCAACCCTCTGGACATCAAGGCAAGGTATGTTTCCGTAGGCATAGTTCTGTTATACGACCTCCAAGATGCTACGCTGATGCTCACTCCTGCTCGAGTTTCGTCCCTTCTCCATGTTCCGCCCCCTACCACTTGACAAAGTTCCACGACAAGTACTTACTCAATGTCGACTGGCACACGCTGTCAAAAAGCGCCGCCTTGTGGCCATTGTCAACGCAATCGCCGTTCGGATAGGCATACGCTAGCACCGAAGACCTCAAGATATCAGCAGGAGAATCGCAACCTACACGGTCACCTATCATATACGCACCGGTAGCGTTCAAATCGTCCGTCGCATAGTGCGCCACGGCCTTGAGCCCATCCCAGCCGCCGGCCTGGCTGAATTTGAGACACTCGCCGCTGATCGCCTGCGAGCGGTAGCCCAAGACAATGTTGCTGTAGTCGTCGGACCCTTGGCCGGGGCGACACTTGGGGGCGTCTGCGTAGGTCTTGAAGATGACCAGGATATTGTCCTGGCGCGTGTCGATCTCGTTGCTAGTGGGTAAAGCCATGCCCCCAGCAGCGAGCAGAGGGACCAAGGTGAAGATCGCGGCAGAGCGCATCGTGGGTGCCGCTTAGTCGGTTTGTGGTGGTGATAGATTGTTGTTTTGGCTGGTTGCACTTCGAGGTCAGGTGACAATGGCTGCCTTGTTTCTGATGGACCTTAAAAGTTGCTTGCAAAAAGATGAAGTGGTCTTGAGCGAGACTTTATAGGTCACTCGGTGTCTATGTGCTTTTTCGTATTTCGCCATGTCGTTCAATTTGGTGGTGACAGCATAGTCGCTCACGCACACTGAGTTGTGGACCGGGATATCACTAATCTAACCATTATGCAGGAACATATTGATCCGTCATTGCCCAACCTCGTAAAGACCGTATCTCCCAGTAGTGAACACGAGAGAACACTAGTCAGCTGAGAAGAGGAGACTGGCACCAGCACTTGCGGAAGGTCCTGGGTGTTGAACCAATTGAAAACTGGTCTCGAGGCAGGTGAAGCGTCACTCAACCACGCGGCCATCTGAAATATTACCTGAGGCTCGTCCTCTGTTGCACAACACCAAGGCACGTAAGATGATGAATTCTTGCTCTTCATCCTGTGCTCTGAAAACTGCGGCAAATGGTGGACACTGTCAACACGAGGTTTTTATGTCTGTAGGTAACATCGGCACACGCGAAACAATCGCTCTTATTGGCAGGTGGTCGATCCGACATCGACCACCCTCGTCCACCACGTGGACAGTCTGAAAAGATTGAACCCCTCGCGCCTGCCGAACCTGTCCAGCTCGGGCTTTTGTGCAAGTCGACGCGGTGGAAGCGCGCCAGCGTCTCGGCGGCGGCATTCCACGGCGTGGGGATCGAGGTGAGCTCCCAGATGGGAATTGCTTCACTGGAATCGAGGCTAACGGGCCACTATCAACTATGCCACCAGCAATACAGCTAGACTAGGAAGTGTCGTCGTCTGTTAGCTTGGCGTAGGCTGACCGTGTGAAATGTGGGAGCGGTTTCGGGGCTGCGTGCCGAGGTCCGTTGTGGAGACGAGCAAGAGCCAGGCGGCGCGCTGCCGGGGTCGCCCCCCCCCCCACATTGCCGTATCGGTGGTGGCCAGGCAGGCATCCTGCAGGCCTGATTCGCTGGACGTTAGCCCCCAAGTAGCGCTGGTTCAGTGCGTGCAGCCGCTAAAGTCTGGGGGGAGCGTGTGGGGTAAGCATAAGTGTAGCTTCGCCTTGGGACGACGACCCCGAATCGCAGCTTCCCACTGCTTCCTTAGCGTACGCTTATTTGTGCTCTGACTTGTTCGATCTTGGGATAGACGCCTATCCTGTGTTACATGGCAAGGACCGTACCTTGGACTCTGTTGCGTGCCTCTGTACAGAGCAGTAGCCAACAACGACATCCGGCCAGAGGGCACCAACAACCACCACCACCAGCAACACGCAACAATGAACTTTGAGCTGCCGCAGGAGCTGCAGGAGTACATCTCCAAGCTCGACGCTTTCATCCGCGGTGAGATCCTCCCGCTGCAGCACAAGGACGACAACAATCGCTTCTTCGACCACCGCCGCGAGCCTTCGCGCACGCAGTGGGACAATGGCGGCCTGCCCACGCCCGACTGGGAGGCTCTGCTGGCCGAGGCCCGCAAGCTCGCCGACGACGCGGGCTTCTACCGCTTCCCTCTCCCCCGGGCGTACGGCGGCCAGGAGCACCGGGACATGAACCTGTGGATGTGCGCGCTGCGCCTGCACATGGCCTCGCACCCGCTCTACGGCGGCGGCGTCAGCCTCGCCAACGACCTGCAGAACGAGCACAGCGTCGTCGGCAACTTCCCCGACTTCCTCATGCTCTACCACTGGGGCAACGCACAGCAGAAGGCCCAGTACATCCCCATGCGCCTCGCCGGCGACTTCCGCATGACGTTCGGCCTCACAGAGATCCACCACGGCAGCGACGCCACCCACATGGACACGGCCGCCCGCCCCATCACCATGCCCGACGGCCGCCCGGGCTTCAGCATCTCGGGCAACAAGAAGTGGCAGACGGGCGCCCACGCCTGCACCCACATGCTCGTCTTTGCCCGCGCCGCCAACAGCGCCGGCAGCCCCAGGGGAATCACGGCCTTCATCGTGCCCCGCGACACAAAGGGCGTCACCATCGCCTCGTACGAGTACACCCTCAACATGCCCACCGACCACGCCACCATCCTCTTCGACGACGTCCGCGTCCCGGCCACCGCCATCCTGGGACCCCCCGACAACGGGCTCGCCATCGCCCAGACCTTTACGCACGAGAACCGCATCCGCCAGGCCGCCTCGTCGTGCGGCGCCGCAAAGTTCTGCGTCGACCGCTCCGTCGCCTACGCCCGGGAGCGCGTCGTCTTTGGCAAGCCCCTCTCCGCCAACCAGGCCATCCAGTGGCCCCTCGTCGAGCTGTCCACGCAGGTCGAGATGCTGCGCCTGCTGATCCTCCGCGCCGCCAGCGAGATGGACGCCATCGTCGTGTCCAGCAGGCAGTCGCCCACGCCCACGCCCCCCTGGGTCGCCATCGAGAAGCAGCTCGGCCACAAGATCAGCATGTGCAACTACTGGGCAAACCGGCTCGCCTGCCAGGCCGCCGACAACGCCATCCAGGTCCACGGCGGCAACGGGTACAGCCGCCACCAGCCCTTTGAACACATCTGGCGCCACTTCCGCCGCTACCGCATCACCGAGGGAAGCGAGGAGGTCCAGATGCGCAAGGTGGCTGGGTATCTATTTGGTTACAAGTCCACGGGGCTGGACGGGGAAAAGAAGAAGCATAAGAAGGAAGATGAAGAAGCCACTGCTCGGGATAGCAAGCTTTGAGCATTTTATATCTTTTCATCTTGCGTGTGTGAGAGGCATGATGATTACCGCACACTTCCCTTTCTTACTTGGTACATGTCATGTCAACGCGCCTAAGTGATCGTGGTACCGTCGATATAGGCAACACCATGTTGCAGCATACTTGAGATGCCAAGTCACTCGATTCTTCCAGGAGAGATCTCGTTTTGTCTCAAAATTTTCATGTTTATTTCGGGGGGGGGGGGGGGGGGTGGTATCCAGACGTGGTGCTCATATATCTCATCTGCTCATAATGACAGCCTATTCAATCTCAATCACGAGCTTGCCAAAGTGCTTCTGCGCCTTCATGTACTCGTAGGCCTCCTTGACCTGGTCAAACTTGAAGATCTTCTTGTCCACGACGGGGTGGATGTCGCCGGCCTCGATCGCGGCGACCATGTCCTCAAAGAGCTCCTTGGAGCCGACGTACACGCCGCGGACGATGCAGCCGTGGAACAGGGTCTGCAGGAGGCCCGTGCCGGGGGTGGCCTCGATGCCGCCGAGGAAGCCGATGATGGTGATGATGCCCTCCATCTTGACGGCCTTGAGACTCTGCTCGAGCGTGCTCGAGCCGCCAACCTCGATCACCTGGTCCACGCCCTGGCCGCCGCGGCTCAGCTTGCGGGCCGTCTCACCCCAGGCCTTGTCCTCGCGGTAGTTGAGCACGTGATCGGCGCCGAGGTCCTTGACTATCTTGGCCTTGTCGGCGGACGATGTTGTTGCGATGACAATCGCGCCAGCAGCCTTGGCGAACTGTTTCAAAGTTGTTAGCATTCTTGGTCAGGCAGCCAAGCAAAATCATGAGGCTAGCCATTCATACCTGGAGAGCAAACAAGCTGACACCACCAGTACCCTGAACCAGTACCGTCTGCCCGGGCTTGAGCTGTCGGAGTCCGTACAGGGCATTCCAGCTCGTGACACCGGCGCAGGTGAGAGTCGCGGCCTCGTTGTAGCTCAGATTCTTGGGGACGCGGACAAGACCGTCTTGGCTAAAGACGGCGTACTGTCTGAGCGTGCCGTCGATGACTCCGCCTAGGGCAGTAGCGCTGGCCTCCTCCGTGGGCGGTCCGTACTGGTGGGCCTGACAGAACAGAGTGACGACACGGTCGCCTTGCTTCCATTTGGTCACGCGGGAGCCGACCTGGAGAACCTCACCAGCGCCATCGGAACCGGCGACGACGGGCGTCTTGACGGGCATTGGGTACTGGCCCTGGGGGATGGCGAGATCGCGAAAGTTCAGAGACGCGGCGTGGAGCTTGACGAGGACCTCGTTGTCGCCAATCTCGGGAACCTTGGCATCAGTGTATTGGAGCCCATCGAAGCCCTTCTCGGTACTGGTGATGGTCCACTGCTTCATGGTCGAGGGTGTTCCTACCGAGCCCATGATTGCGGCGGGTATCAAATTTTTTGGTGATTGGAGAGCGATGGCCTTGATGGAATTGGGAAATGACAAGCACTGATCTTATGCCTGCCGATGTAGGAAGACTGGTGATGTGAGCGAAGCTGTAGAACGATGATGTCGTGCCGAGTGCCAGAATTTACCATATATCTCGGGGCTCCACTAGGGTTTTATACTGCGTGGAACTATTGCAAGCTTCCTCAATCTTCCACGGTGCCCACTCGTCAAGCACTCATATCCTTGACGTCAACGTCGATGGGGCGGCAAGGTCCGTTACCAAGCAGTGCAATCAATAAGCTGGAACTCCATCACATGTGTGGATACATCCATCCACTGCCGTTGGAGAAAGCGACCGGGGCTTCCGTCGCGTGCTGGCTTCTCCAACGTGTCGTCAGTTGTGCCGACGGCCGTATGCATCGCTGCGAAAGAAGTTCTGAGTAATGCGAGTAGCCCTCGGGTGGCTTGCCGCGGGTCGCAGAGATTGGCCGACACTGCGCGGCGCAGAACGACCTGCCTGGATATCGCAGAAGTCTGTCAAACCCACTGACAAACAAGCAATTCGCAAGCGCATCCTGGGCGCTACCCGGGCACTTGGTAATCAGGCCCGGGTCAACTTTGGCCCCGCTGAATGTGTTGATGTGGGTGCCCTGTCCCCTGCGAAACGCGTTCGCCATCCTAACCACATGGTGGTCTCAAGCTGCGAGAGGCTCTCGATCGCCATGACGGGCGAGCTGACAATTGCATCTCAACATTGCCAGTTGCATCTTGCGTCGTCCACAGTCGTAGGTCTTGGTGTGGCATGTGTACATCTCGCCCTTGGCATTGTCGACAGCGAATTTGTCAGCGGATAATAGCCTACGACAGTGGGGTTAAGTTGTTCCGTGGGTGGCTTCGTTTCGAAGCTCAGACGGGGAATCACCACGTCCGAGCAGCTCTTGTGCAATGTCGTTGGGGACGTTTCGAGCAGGCACGGCTCAACATGGAGCCGATGTGGCTGACATTGTGTGACCGTGGTTGCAGGCGTGATGGCAAAGAGGCTCGATATATGCGCCGGCTGGCTCCTCCGGACCAAAGCTCCGCGTCTGAAGACACGCGTGGAGGCAGTCTCGTGGTCGGGAATGTCGCTATGCACAGGTTGAGTCGTGCGGGCCCGGTGTGGTCCAGTCTGAAGCGCAACGTTCATGGTTATTGTGTTGTCGGAACAGCCTCAAATGGGGCTGCTCAGCTTGCCCCTCACAAGCCACGGTTGTGGCACGATGCCAAGACGGCCAGTGGCTGTGCACAAATCTGCCAGTCAGCATAGGAGCATTGGTTGTCGCAGCTCAAATGCTCTGTTTTCTTCCAAGGTTGGGTTTGTGCCTGTCGACCATAGTAAGCTGAAAAGCCAGCCACGATCCGACCTTGCCCAATTCAAGGTTGGTTCCAGCTAGTTGTGGAGATTTTGATGACACGCGTGCAGGGGAACAAAGAGCCTCCTCCTCGTACAAGCGCTAAGCCTCGTGGTTGTCCACCCATGCGAGTGGGCAGACGGCAAGTAAGGAGCGAGACTTCTGCGCCCCTGGGATCGGCGGAGCAAGTCATTCCAAGCCCGCGCAGTTACGAGATGGTCGTGCCCAGAACCCACAAGTGATCGTCTTGGGGATTTTGTGTCTCCGATACGGGACAGGCGCTGTTTCAGCTGGAATTGTGTGGTTGCCAGTGCTTGTCTGTGCATCGAGTTGACCGTGAGCCCCAAGCTCAAGCTGCCACACTCTGTCGCCAACCGCCCTACCCAAGCAGGACAGAGCAAACAGAGGGCGTCTGGCATGTGCTGCCGTGTTTCGTGACGGGTGGTGTTGGTGGACCAGGCCAGGCAGGCCAGGGCCAAACGAAGTCTAAATTAGGCCTGGAATGTCAATCCTCCAAGGTTTGCGCCTGGCCCATAGCTGCGGCACGCCGATCCCCTGTCGCGGGCCTGGCTCCTGGCTGGCTCCTTCCCCGCCTGGCCCCATCCTCCTCCAGCCCGCATCCCAGGGGTTCAATCTGGCTGCGCAGGCACTTCGAACCTGTCTGTCCTCTTTACCAAGCTCGCCTGGCACACACCTCGTGCACTTCAACTTGTCCCCAGCAGGCTTCGAGGACAGGCTTGCTTTTCTGGCTCGTGTCTTTCCAGCCATTGCGCATCTCATCCTCTTTTTGTGTCATTGGCAGTGCTACGGCTCCTCAATTCTTCGCCGTGTCCAGGTGCCCTTGGCCGCCAGCGCCCTGTCACCACCAGCCAGTGCTCAGCTCGTCCAACTTGCTGTCTTTTCCCTACAGCTCTCATCCGGTGCGGTTTCCTCTTCCCCCCAGAACGACAGGTGCTCTGGCTCTTATTACCAGCCTGCGAGGGGAAACCCAGCTATATCCAGTTTGGCTCCGAGCTTGACCCTTTGTGCAAGCTCCCGCGTCGTCTGTGCCCAGCAGATCTGCGTTGGCCTTTGTCACACATGATTGCAACACCAACCGCCAGAGACGACCAGCCATGAGGGGCTTCCGAAGATACCGTGCTTTTGTGCTCTTTGCCGCGATAACCCTCTTCGTCTTGTACCGCTTCTCCTTCAGTAGCGAAGATGCGTGGGAGTCATTCAGCAATACCGGGTCACCTGCCCTGAACAAGATACCGCCGAAGGCTCCAGGCCCCAATTATGGCACTTCCGACCACAGCCACCCTACCGTCGACAAGACCGACGACAGGCCTGCCGCTAAAGAGCAAATACCACCAAAGCCGAAACTCGAAGATGACCCTCGAAAGCCTGCGATCCCCGATCTGCCTGGCGTCGCCCACGATGGTAGCGATGCGGATACGTACAATCCCCATTCCGCCGTTACACCGGGCAAGTCTAGCAGCGACTTGGCAAGCAGCGATGCGGGCGATGACGATGACCACACATCGCTCATCAAACAAAAGCCGGCTAGTGGGGGAAAGCCCGACAAAGCCAAAGGCAACACGGCCCACGACGACACCTTGAACATCCCTGATAGAATTATTGACCAGACCAGGCCCGGCTCTGGCTCTGACTCTGACTATGATTCTGCTGGTGATCTTCTGTCTGCCGGCGTTGGGCCTGCGAGCACGTCCTCGGGGACCCATTGGCAGAAGCCCACAGAGCATTTCCCAATTCCTACCGAGTCGATCATTCCGCTGCCAACAGGGAAGCCGGTCGACATCCCTACCATCCAGCATGCATTTGGCAAGGAGACCGCCGAGGCCCAGAAACTGCGGGAGACAAGGCTCGCCAAGGTCAAGGCGGAGGCTGTGCGGGCGTGGAAAGGCTATCGCAAGTACGCCTTTGGCCATGACGAGCTCTCACCTGTTACCAAGAGATTTCGGGATCCATTCTGCGGCTGGGCTGCGACCTTGGTCGATAGTCTCGACACCCTATGGATTATGGGCCTAAAGGAGGAATTCGAGGAGGCACTGGAGGCCGTTGCCAAGATCGATTTTACAGTCACCCCCAAGACCGAGACCCCTGTCTTTGAGACCACTATTCGATACCTTGGTGGCTTGCTTGCTGCTTACGATGTCAGCGGCGGGAAGACTGTGAGCAGCCACAAGATCCTGCTTGACAAAGCCGTCGAACTGGCAGAGATTCTAATGGGAGTATTCGACACTCCGAACCGCATGCCCATCTTATTTTATAACTGGAGACCTGCCGCAATGGAGAAGGCGAAGCGCGCGTCTTCGTCGTCGAACCTTGCCGAGTTAGGCTCGCTGTCCATGGAGTTCACTCGGCTGGCCCAGCTGACGAAAGAAGACAAGTACTATGACGCCATCGACCGTATCACTAACGCCTTCGAGGAGTGGCAGAATCGCGGGACTTCACTGCCTGGCATTTTCCCTGATCGCGTGGATGCTGCTGGCTGCAATCGGACGGCAGAGGCGGAGCGGGCAACTGAGCGCCAGAACGAGGCCGCTGCCCGTGCCCAGCAGTCGACTCCCAAGTCCAGCACCTATCTGGACAAGTCAGATGACAGAGCACATGCCAAGGGCTTCTCAGTTGATGAAGACGAGCTAGCAGTGAGCAACCACAATCATCAGGACCCTGTGCCTGGCAAGTCGCCCGTTGGCGGCTCGCGGAACAATGCGGAGGGCAGCAGTGGCTCGGGCCTCCAACGTAGATCGAACTATGCTGCCGAGCATTGGGACCCGACTGGTCTGAGTTCGACATCAGAGCCCGAATGTATTCCTCAAGGGTTGGCCCCTGGTGGTTATTCTGAGGCGTACGGCATGGGCGGTGGCCAAGATAGCACATACGAGTACTTCCCCAAGCAGTACCTGCTTCTTGGTGGATTGGAACCGAAGTACAAAGCCATGCACCAGAAGGTCGCCGCGGCAGTCAAAAAGTGGCTGCTCTATAGGCCTATGGTCCCAGACAACCGCGACCTTCTGTTTTCTGCCAAGCTCACGACTAGAGGCAACCCCCTGGAGGATGCTAATACCGAGTATGAGGTCACTCATTTGACGTGCTTCTTGGGCGGCATGTTTGGCATGGCGGGCAAGATCTTTGATGAGCCAGACGACGTGGAGATCGGCAAGCGGCTCGCGGATGGATGCGTCTGGGCTTACGAAAGCATGCCGAGCGGAATCATGCCAGAAGGCGCTTATGTCGTGCCTTGCGCCAACGTGAAGAAATGCGAATTCAATGAAACTCTCTGGTGGGAACATCTCGACCCGCTCGCAGCGATGCGCGATGCCCAACTCGCCGACTACTACAAACGTGTGGAGGAGTTGAAGGCATTAAGACTCAAGCAAGGGCACGCCGAGGAGGACGAGGAACCTACGGGCCACAAACTCCACGTCGGCCACTCTTCTTCAGCGTCCTCCCATTCGGATGATGATGATGATGATGAGAGTGAAGAAGGTCTATCGGGCTCAGCAAGTCTAGACATGACGCAACGAGTGCACGCAAACAAGCTGGAAGCCAATTCGGACTCGGCCGATTCCGATGACTCGAACCTTGTTAAGCGGTCGCCTATGCCACCCCCGGAGTCCCGGACAAACGCAGAATGGGCGTCCTCAGTGTCTGCCAACCACGCAGCAAAGGGCATGCTTGCAGATGACGATGAGGAGATCCCGTTGGATATGACCCTGCCAGCCCGTCCACAGTCACACAAGGAGTTTGTTCAGTCCCGTATCCAGAGAGAAAAGCTGCCACCAGGATTCACCGATGTCCGATTCGCAAGCTATATCCTTAGGTGAGTTTGGGGGAGACTGGATAGCTGTACCGCATCTGTTTGTCACTGGCCACCACAGACTAACCTGAATTCTCTTGATAGACCGGAAGCCATCGAGTCAGTATGGTATATGTACCGCATCACCGGCGATACGACGTGGCAGGACAAAGGTTGGAAGATGTTTGAAGCCATCATTCGTCACACTCAGACCGAAGCTGGACACAGCGCGATTCACGATGTCATGCGGTCGAATCCGGACAAAAAGGACGAGATGGAGTCCTTCTGGCTTGCGGAGACGCTCAAGTACTTCTTCCTCCTGTACTCTACGCCCGATGTGATCAGCCTGGACGAGTGGGTCCTCAATACGGAAGCTCATCCGTTCCGGAGGCCATCGTAGGGTGGCTGCTACGATGGTGCTCTTGATTTTGAGCAGCCAGCTCAGTAACTCATCTGGGTTGTTTTAAACACAGCATAGCTGCTCTTGGAGGAGATCCAGCAGTATCTCATTCTGGGCGTTCGGCGCATGATTTTTACTATTGGCGCAAAGCCAGAGACAAAATGAGTTATATATTAGTTTAGGTACTCTGTTGTTGTGTGATTCTGATGTGTTCCGCGCGATCATGTTGGTCTTGGGGACTCTTTTTGAAACGAGTCCAGCCCGAAAGCCTTAATCACCAAATTCCAAAGCGTTTCTCTCTAGCCGTGACTTCGCAGTGCTCAAAAGGAGCCTGGTGCGTGTCGAACCTCTGTTTTCAACATCATCACAGGAGCAATTCGTCTCCAAGCCCAGACCGTAACATTTCTGCTCGTAGTGCTGGAGCGATGTACGGGGGGCGCGTCACGTAGTCGCTGAACGACTTGACGGCTAGTGTTGCCTCACAAATGTTGGGCTGATCGGTGCAATGAGCACATCAGTACATGCACACGCCTCACGACGATAGGTGTACATGACGGAATGCGAAGCACTTACTACCTAAGAGTCACCCCGGCGTCGCTTGCTTGATGAGATTGATGCTTGGCTGATGGGGCCAAGCTTCCAATAAAAGCACAACCTGCTAGCACAACCTGCCTGAGAAATCGTTTGGCTGTTATTTCCGCGACGGACATTGTTGGGATTTCTATAGATCGAAGTCAATGTGCCAGAAGTGTGAAAATAGTCTCATGGAATAAAAGCCAAGATTCTGGGTGGTTTCGGGTTGTGCCAAGTTGAAGAAACTGTTTCTGTTGTTCCGCGAATAGCACCGCTTGTCTGGTGTCTAACACTGCTGATGCAGAGAGATAAGACAAAAGAGACACATGAAAATTTATGTATATTCCCTTCCTCGAATTCTGGGGATTAAACGCATCAATCACTCAGTTGTTGCGGTAGCAAATCGTCTCTGAACGGTTTGATATCTAGTGATAGCTGGTCCACATGCATCGAATTTAGCCATCACATTCGTCGCAAGATAGAAAAGCAGACCATACGTTGCTAGGCTGCCACAAATTGTCAGAAGGAGTGCCCATCCGTACTTCGATACTTTGTGGTCTGTTTGGGAGTTGGTGAAACGGCGAGATATCTTTATGTGGGACTGTACCTTGGTCTCTGCAACCGTGCCTTGAATAAAGTGTGCGGTGGGAGTGCGAAATGAAGTTGTCAGCCATTCGAGAGCCTCACAGCGCCACGCTTAGAGGCATACAAGAATCTGTGACCGGACAGGTGCCTGTTGACAAGCGTCAGACAAAGTCGTGGACGTTTCAGAAACCTGGGAAGCACAGCCGTGTTGATGGCCATGCTAAGCCATCGCCAGCGCCATTCGGCACGTACAGGAAGCAGGCCAGGCAGCAGATACTGGGCCTGGACCATTGCCGTCATTAGATCGCAATGAGCGGTTGTCTCTTGGATGTTTTTTCTTGAAAAGCCCAATGATCCCCATCACCTATCCCAAACGAATTGATCCTGGACAAGTCTTGGATTGATCAGCACGAATAGCCCCAACAGCACGGCATGGCTGCATCGACATGTGCGGGGTCCTTGAGGCCAATGTTGCAGCAAGGGCCACGCCACGTCCCGTACAGTTGTTGGCCAGGCAGACGGCTGCTCTTTTGAGCCTACGCTACCTTATGGTAAGGCATCAAGTGGTCGCATGTTTCAGTATAAAGAGAGACAGCGCACGTGGGCGTGGTGCGCTTTCGGCAGGTACAGCCGGGTCACTGCAGCAGGAACGTTGCATGTCTCAGCTCAGCTCTTTCCATTCCCTTGTCCATGGCCGACCATCATCACGGCACAACCTCATGCCAGCCGATCATGTTAATTTGAGATGTCGGTAATCTGCTCAATGTCCTTGCTGCCCACATGGTCCGAATCCATGGCATGGACAAGAAGGCGTGGCCCGCCGTCCGCTATTCGGTTACAAGCTTGGCAGATCTACGCTGTACAGATCCCCCGGGCGTCCCCATTCTGCCTCGCATGTTGCGACCGGTGGCACGAGCGTGCCAAATGCCGCCCACGGGAGTGCGATCATATCGAAATCCTGCGACCGACATGCCGATCGAGTAGACTAGGTCCCTGCCTTCACCTGCGCCTGCTGGACCTGCCAAGAGTTGGCCCCAAAATCAGGTCGATCGTCCGCCCCTTCAACCGTGGCCAGCCGCGCTCCACGACGGGAGAATGACTCGCCCGGACTCGATCCCCAGACACGCACAGTAGATGCTGTGGAGACGTGCATGGGAGGCACCGGGGTAATGGTGTGGCCAAGGATACCGGTCGTCAACCGCCGATTTTCGCTGGCTTTCTCGAGATGAGGTGCAGCGCATAGCTTCGGCCCTGCGACGCCAGTGCCCACCGAACACCGGAGCTGGAGCCCCTTGGGCTGCCGGCGAGGCAAGGCGCTACGCTTGCGGCTCTTTCAAAGTTTGCGGGCAAGGCGGGCTACCCGGCGCATCTCGGGACGCGCGCAGCCACCAGCTCCACCTACGAGCCGCCATTCTAGAAACTCGATGCGCTCACCGGGACGTCCTCAGCCAGCACTGCTGGGCAGCATCGCCTGCCTGACTGCGCGGCAGCTCTCGGCTTGGGACATCGACTTGGTCGAATTGCTGCGGACACGTTGCCGCCGTTCTCGGAGCGCCCATGTCTGTCCATGACTCCATTGCGCCCGCGACTTCCTCAGGATCGCAGCTTGCAGGCACTGTCACCGACCAGCATCTACAATGCGTGTGCAATGTGTGTGCAACAGGGCAGACCAATCAGTCCACAGGCTCTCAGATGGCGCGAGCGCATGTCAAGCCTGCATCCGATAATTATTTTTTTTCACTAGCCCGACGTCATCCGCCAAGCTTGCAGCCAAGCGGATGGCATGCGACGAAATGCTCTCTCCACGTGAGGCGCCTTGTGGCCATTTCCTTGATTGGGCGCTGACGGCTGCAGCATCTCGGCAGGGCCGTTATCCAGTGCGACTGTACCGCGTGTTGGCCATGCTGCTCTATGCTGTACCTCCAACAGGCCAAGCTGTGCGAGCCAGGCCAAGAATCCATCAGATAAGAAAACGCCGAACGGCCTATCTTGGTCCGCGCAAGCGACGAATCCTGTTGCAGGAAACATGCTGATCCTTCAAGGCCCCCCCTGCAACGCCCCAGGCCCCCCCCGCGCCATCTTGCCAAAACCACGGCGCAGGGGTCACGGCGGGTTTTTGTCCGTGACGCCAGCCACTGCTACCACCAGAGGCGTCCCACTGCCGGCCACGCTAGTACACCGAGCAAAGGCCCTAGCGGCCGTGATGTGGTGAACCGAGGATTACCGTTCGCCGGCGCCGTGGGGGACGGGGCCACTGGCGACTTAAAGTAATTCTTGGCCCATGGGGTATGAAAACCCTGCAATTATTATAAACCAGCGCGATGTTCTCCTGTCCAATCCTGCCTTCCCCAGCGATTTGTGGGATTCTGGACCATCTTCCTGGAGAGCACCTCGCCACTATCCTGCTTGCGCGAGTACGAGTTACAGCATTTCCTGCCCGCTGCCTCTCGTCCAATCTCTGCACCACGGGAGATTTGTCAAGCGGTCCTAGTTTCTCTTCAATACCCTGCCGCCATGGGTCACCACGACGATATGCCGATTGAGGCAGACGAGCATGGCCGCCAGGAGAAGTACGACACGACCGCGCCAAGCGCCGCTGGTGTGGTTGATCTTGAAGTTGGCCACCAGCTGCAGCGCGGTCTGAAGAGTCGGCACATCCAGTTCCTGGCCCTTGGTGGAGCGTAAGCCATACTCTGCCACTCACCCTTTCAGCCAGACCAAGCATGTCATTAACATGATCGCATAGCATTGGAACAGGTCTCTTCATCGGCTCTGGCCAGATTCTCGCCCTTGTTGGACCGGCACCCCTCTTCATGGCTTATTTGTCCATGATGATGGTGGTTTGGGTCGTTATGAACGACCTCGCAGAAATGACGACATACTTGCCCATGAAGGGCATCTCGATTCCCTACTTCGTCTCGCGATTCCTTGACGACAGCTTGGCATTTGCGGACGGGTGGAACTACTGGTATGCCTATGCCATCTTGGTGGCTGCAGAGGTTACGGCTGGAGGTATCATCATCGAGTACTGGATTACGTCGGTCAATGTCGCTGTTTGGATTGCGATCCAGCTCCTCGTCATTCTCTTCCTCAACATCATTGCCGTGTCCTTCTTTGGTGAGGCTGAATTTTGGTTTGCAAGCGTCAAGCTGATTACCATCATCGGTCTCATCATCTTGGGGTTCGTCATTTGTTTGGGAGGCCAACCCACACACGAGCGCCTTGGCTTCCGCTACTGGTATGAGCCGGGCGCGTTTGTGCCGTACCTTGTTGGTGGCTCTACTGGCCGCTTCCTGGGCTACTGGACCGCCTTGGTGAGGGCAGGTTTCGCCTTCATCACTTCGCCCGAGCTCATTGCACTTTCGGCTGGTGAGACGGTTGCGCCTCGCCGCAACATCCCCAAGGCCGCCCGCCGCTTCGTGTGGCGCCTGGCCATATTCTACGGACTCGGATCTCTCATCATTGGCATTATCGTGCCCAACAATGATGGCCGCCTACTCTCTGGCACGGGCAATGCCTCGGCCAGTCCCTGGGTCATCGGTATTCAGAACGCTGGCATCCCGGTGTTGAACCACATCATCAATGCGGCAGTTCTCACTTCTGCCTGGTCCGCTGGCAACGCCTTCTGCTACTCGGGCTCGCGTGTCCTTTACAGCATGGCTCTCAATGGTCAAGCGCCTCGTTTCTTTACTCGTACCACCAAGCGCGGTGTCCCTTGGGCGGCCGTCCTCTTCACGCTGGCCATTGGTCTCCTTGCATTCCTGAACGTCAACAACTCTGGTGCCGCCGTCTTCTCATGGTTTGTCAACATCAGCACCATCAGCGGCTTCATCGCCTGGATTGTGATCCTCATCACCTATCTCCGCTTCCGCAAGGCGATGGAGTACCACGGCATGACGGAGGCCCTGCCGTTCCGCAGCCCTCTCCAGCCATACAGCTCGTGGTTCGTGCTCGTCCTGATCAGCGTCCTGACCCTGACCAACGGGTTTCAGGTGTTCTTCCCCGGGCGCTGGGCCGTCAGCGACTTCCTCGCGGCGTACATCACCCTGCCGATCTTCCTGGCGCTGTACATTGGCCACAAGATTGTCAAGCGCGGTCCTTTTGCCCGGCGCATTCCGGATATCGACGTCATCACGGGCAAGAAGGAGATGGATGAGCTCGAGGCCATGGACGAGCCACCCGTGGCCAAGAACTGGGTGCAGAAGGCTTGGTTCTGGCTTGCATAGAGAATATAACGAGAGACTGCCAGAGGAGTCTGGTAGACAACAGTATCGCGTGGTTTGGCCGAAATGGCAAAGGTATCGGATAGGACTTGGATATCTGGGGTCCGAGGCGAATCATTATGTGTACATATAACATGACCATATACCAAGGAATGCGAAGCATTTAAATCATCGCACCGAAACGCGTTGTTCACTTGCAAGCCTTGATATTCGACCACGCAACGTTGGCGAGCATAGCCCTCAACACACGACAGGGACAGCAGAGCATGTAGGTTTTGTTTGTGGCTGAACACCCTTTCGAGGTTGAGAAAATGTACTTAGTGTGATATGAAATTAGCTAGACACAACATTGTAAGCACCATCATCGAGCCACGCAATTTCTGGCTCAGCGACAACGAAACAGCCGCACTCGTCGGAGTTGCTGGCGGCGGGACATTCCCACCCGTGCCCTGGCTACTCGTCAAACCACCACCACCACCGCCACCACCACCACCAGCCGTACTGACGCCAGCCGCAGCGGCGACGGTAACGGAGGCCATGGGCTGCCCATGCGCCGTGTCGAACCAGAGACACGTCGGCGTCGCCGTGGACGTGACCTGCACGGCGGCTACCAGCGTGCCCGTGCCGTCCCCGCCGGGGAGGGGATACGTGAGCTCATAGGCCGTGGCGGCGATGTTGTCGGTGTTGGTGCCCGCCAGGCTGGCCAGTGGTGTCTCGGAGCCGGGCAGGCAGGGCCGCGCCGACGAGGACGAGGACGCAGAGGCGGGAGACGGAAGAAGCGGGGTGACGCAGGAATAGCTCGTGCTTGCCCTTTCTAGTTGCTCTCCGTTCTCCTCCTCGCGCCGCTGCTGCGGCGGCGCTGGACTGGCTCCTCTGTCGTTGGCGGCAGCTGGGGGATGGCCGACGTCGAGGTCGTAGCAGGCAAAGTTGTCAATGGTCGCGTTGCTGTAGGCCCAGCCCCACAGGTCACCTTGGCTGTTGCTGTTGAGCGCGGGCACGACCGAGGGGCCAAAGAGCTGGGAGCGTGGGCCAGAGCTGTAGAGGATCACACCGCTGCAGCATATTGTCTGGAAGTCTGGCGGGCTTGTGCCCAGGGTCGCGTTTGCGCATCCGCTGCGGACCGGCTGGCCATTGCCGTCGGCGGTGAAGAGCGGCTGGATGCACCAGTTCTGGATTTGCCCGGATGGGACGACTGCCGTTGTCACTGAGGTCATCGTGGGAAATGGAACTTCAAGGGTGGGTCTGGCTGCCTAGGTTGTGCTTGAGACAACAGCGCCGTCGGATGGTCTAGTGTTGTGGATGCATGGGAGGACACGAGTTGTCGGGGGGTTTTCCACAAAGGGCTGCAACGGGACTGACTTTGTCAGGGGTAATTGCCATTGTCAGCATTCAGGCATGACACCGCTGCAGGCTCATTGGTGTTAACCTGGAATGATGTGAATGGCAGATCTGTGCTGCTGATTCCAGTCTCCAGACGTGCTGGATCTGAAGTCACTCGATGATCATGGGCTGAGCAAGCGCCGCATCAAGCACTCTGTGTTGCCTAGGCGCGAGCGCATGGATCCTCGACGGCTTTCGAAGTTGGTCGACCAAACGAATAAATAGATCCAGGCCTGGAAAGTCTAGAGAGAAAGGCATCGGGGTCAGTCCGGGCAGGGCAACTTCAGCAGCACCCAGCAAGGCAAACATGGATGGACCTTGCCTGCCTGGGACCTGAAGTCGAAGGAGCGTCTCGTCATGGATGATGAGCTCACACCACAACGACAGGACCAGCCCGTTGCCCGCCCAACGAGGTGCTGGCGATGCGCTGGGGCTGTGTAGGCGAATCGAGCCCAGCGAGGCGGGACCATGGAAGGGCCCTGAGTGCGTGCATGGTGCATGTGGTAGCGCGCGGAGAACAAGGGGAATCATGTCCTCCCATTGTGGCCGCCTGGCCCGTTCCAGCCTCTTCATGGGTCGGAACCTTGGAAGGCGCAACCCAACGACGACCCAGCCGGCCCAACGTCATCCGCAGCGTGGCGCGGTGGAGTGCCGGCTAGCGGCTTGGCAGCCCCTGGATCTCCCAGCGCGGGCGCAACAACAGGGCTCAGCTGGGCCTCTGCAGCGCGTGTATGCGGCGGTGTCTAGCCCGATCCGGCTAGCCCGCCCCGGGTGGGCTTGGCAGTTCTCCCGGACAACGCAGGCAGGCGCAATGTAAATAAAAAAGGAAAGGGCTGGGGACCTGCATCACCACCCTCCTCACCTCCGCCCGGCCAATCGTCGACTGCAGCGCTTGGCTCTTTTGATCTTCCACTCTGCACCCGCATCTCCCAACCTCCTCGATTTGCACACCACTGCAGCGTACTGACTCCAGCAGGCACCGCGAAACATCCAGACTGACTGACCGCTCTCTCTCTCTCTACTGACAGACCTAGGCACACACTCGTCGAGACCATTCTCTCCTTCGGACTCTCTCTTGCGTTCGCCGACCCGACGTGTCGTCCCTTCGCCTTCTCCCTCTGCTTGTTTCCTGACCTGTGCAACTGACCTCTCTCCCACCCAATCGCACACAAACAACATCACCACCACCACCACCACCATCTACCTCCCGATCTCTCACGCAACCGTCCTCTCAATCATCTCCCAGCACTTGCACCAGTCCTGACTTGACCAGCAAAGTTGTGCTTCTAACAGACAGAGAAACGTGACGGTTCTACCAACGCGAGAACGGCATCGTCTACTGCGAGTCGACAGTCGCAAGATTCACTCGAGGCGGCCACACCGTCATATATACTCGACACCTGGATCACCAGCATTCCAGCGACCGTTAGTGCGCGCGTGCACACATTCCTCGTGCCACGCCGCGGACCACCGGGTCCATACCATCTACATTCCTCGCCAGTGTCTCATCACTGCCAGGGTAGAAGTCGATCACCAAAGGCACGCCTCGCTCAAGCGGCGAGTGTGAGGCCAGATATCTGCATTCTTTCTCTATAACGTGGAAGGCGTGATCACACGCCCCTAACCCGCGGAGATGGCGAAGTTTCAGATTGGAATGTACAGTACGTCATAAAGATGCGGCGATTGGGGAATTGGAGTTGGGAGAATCGAGTGCTGACACAACGACACAGATTTCGTCCCGTTTCTGGGCTACCATCATGTATTGATGATTCTCATCGCGATTGCGGTCATATTGTTGTGTAAGTTGCCTCTTGGGTGACCTTCTTCAGAGCCTCAACTAACTCTGCCACAGCACTTCTTCTTGCCGGCTGCTCGTCCTCGTCGCCTCTGATGCCCGATATCTACCTTTTATCCCTGTACTACGAACAGTACACGGCGGTACCAGACACAGCGCAAGTCGACTACAACGTGAACCAGGCCATTCGCAACATTGTGGGGAATGCCCAACTGCAGGCCCGCGTCGGGTATTTTGGCATCTGCATCAACCCCTCTGGCGGCTCTTGGCTTTGTAGCAACAACGCCACTGCGCTCGCCAATGAGATCTCAGTTGACCAGGACCCGCTCAACTTGATCTGGCTCGCAAGTCAGTTCAAGGACATGATCGTGTTCCCTTACTTGATGTAAGTCATCGCTCTCCGCCGCACATGCCTGTGACAGGCGCTAACCAGATCTCACAGCATCATCGCCATCATCTTCGCCTTCATCTGCTTCCTGCTTCTGGCGACTTTCCCAGGCTGGCACGAGGAGGAGGACAGCGAAGGATCCGAGCGCGAAGTCAAGCCCTTCCCGAGTCGGCCCGTGTCCCAGATCGCCCTCGCCATCATCTTCATCGCCTCGATCTTCATCCTTGTATCCGTCCTGTGGCAACATACTGCCTCAGTCGCCGCGTCGATCATCGCCCAAGATTTCGGAAATGGCAGCGTCATGTCCGGCATCGGTTCGAGCGCCATGGTTCTCGGCTGGTTCAGTTTCACTTTATTCATCATTGTGACCATCGGCCTGTTGGTCATGATATTGAGTATAAGAGTTCTGACAGATTTGACGGACTGATTGAGCTCGTCAGCCGCACAAAGTGGGACTATATAAGAAGAGGAGTACTTCGACGACTCTTGAAGATCCGAGCAGGCTTTGTCCTGCGGCATTTGCGAAGGCGATTGATTTTCAGCATCTGGGACCGGCGTTTATAGAATGGATTTTGCGAACTTACGACAACGAACTACCACTGGAGAGTAGTCAATTCTGGTTTTTACATCTTATTCAGCCGGACACGCCGTCTCCCCGAGGATGTACCCTCGACAGGACCTGGCGATGAGAATTTTCAACCAGGGAGGGATCTACGAATAACGACACTCGTGTGCAAGTGCACCCTGAATCACGACGGATACATATACTGAAAATCGGAAAATGCGACACGCACGATCGCCCATGCACAAATTACCCGAACGCTTTGTACACAATCTTTGTAATAGGAGTGGAGGAAACGATTGCCGAGTTAGGAATACTGAATTGGGATTGCTTGCGAAATTGTTGTGACTTGGAGTGGATTTGAAGTGAATTTGACTTTCTTGCAAATAATTGCGCTCTAGGTAGAACCAAATTAACCATGTCGACTATGTCATGTGGCAGCTTGCTATATGCTGTGTGATTGACCCATCTCAACTGTGCTCCGACTGCCTGTGCCAGACCACTCTGGCACCCATTACGCCGAAACCAGCTCAAAACGTGATGTTTGGGAGACTTGCTAGTCACGCCCGAAGACTGAAAGGCTCACATAGACCTACGCTTTATGATGGTGTGGGCACGACTCCACCCACATCGTGCCCTCCTTCGGCGTCGACGTTGTCCTCGTACTCGTCTTCATTCACTTCGCTCTCTTTTCCATGTGTCGTCTTGTAGTTGGATAACCTATATCATGTTCAATGCTACCTGTTAGCGGACCTTCTAGCGCTCTCTCTCTATGTGTATGCATGAGTGTGGAGGGGGAGGGGGGATAAGGAGCACTCTTTTCTTCGTTCCAGCGTGTAGAGAACTGGGCAGAACGAGGGGATATATAGCATCTTGGGATGACAATGAGCAGAGTAGAGAGAGAAAATTGACGAAGGTGTCGCAGAACAGCAACGGAGACGGGAACGCAATGAAAAAAAGGACGTGATAGTATCCGGTGCACAGACACACACAGAGAGAGAGACAGAGAGAGAAGGAGAGAGGGAGAGAGAGAGAGAAGAGCCACTGACTCGATGAGATTCCCGTCCGGATCGCGAAGGTACACACTCCTCAACGTGCCGCGGGCACCAGTGCGTGTCACGACAGCTGTCCTGCCCTTGCCGTTCTTGGGACTCCCAGCGGAGACGGCGGTCGACGGAGACGACGAGTTCGCTTCCTCTCCCTGATCTCGCGCTGCTTCCCCTTTTCGTGGCTTGCCCTGGCTGTCGTTGTTGGCCCCAGCAGCGGCGTTGTTTTGGTTAACGTCATGCCAGAGTACTTCAACACCCGCGGCCTCGAAGCGCGCAGGGAGCCCTTCCACGTCCTCGGTGATGAGGAAGCACAGGTCCGCGGTGCCGGGACCGGGGAGGGCGGCCTTGGGCTCGAACTCGCGCCCGGACTCGTGGAGGTTGATCTTGCTCCTGCCAAAGGACAGGGCGTGGCGTCGGCGCTGCTGCTGCTGCTGGTTTTGCTTCTCAGGCTGGGATTGCCCTTGGCTTGTGGTGGCTCCGGACGGCGGCGGCGGCGGTGATGAAGATGTGGTGGTGGCGGTGGCCGTCGTGACATCAGAAGAGGAAGGGGAAGGGGAGGAGAACGCTGCGTCCGTGTCAAACATGACGTGCCGCATGCCCAGCACCGACGTGTACCACCGGATCGACGCCTCGAGGGACTTGACCGTTAGCACGAGGTGGTCGAGCGCCTCGACGTTGGCGATCGGGCTGCCCAGCGGGAGGCGCTTGGTCTTGCCGCTGCCGTTGCTGCTGCCCTCACTGCCCGTGCCTACCGAGTCGGCTGAGGAGGAGGATGAGGACGAGGAGACGTAGCCTCTACTTTGTTGGAAGCGTCTTGTTTGTCCGTACTGTTGCTGCTGCTGCTGGCGTAAAAGTCCCGAGGTCCTTCTGTGTTGTTGCCTATCCTCCCAGCCTGGCTGTCCCATCATCGCCACAGCAGCAGTAGAGGAGGAGGAAGAAGAAGACACGCATGAAAAAGCTCGCGGCAAGCCCGGAGTGCTACCATTCATCGTCATGAAGCTCCGCCTGACACTCCTTCCCATCGCCGAAGTCGCTATCACTGCTGACCGGACGGCCTTGGCTGTGTGCTGGTGGTGACGTGCAAGCATGGTGTTTGGGCTGTTCCCTTGGAGAGGCAGAATGCTCTATCAAAATAACCCGGAAGGAAGGCCTTTGAATCCCCGGACCAAGAGACTGTGACAGGAACTCCGAAATCGGTCGCGACAATTTGGGAGTACCTTATCGTCAACACGAGGTCTTTCTTGAACCGAGTAAGCTTGCTGCGACGCGACAAAGAGATATCGGACACGAGCAGTCGCAATGTAAAAGAGATTGGGACGTTGCAAGGAGCGCACCGCCGTCACGAAGTAAGGGATTCTATTGCTCGTTCAGAGCAATGAGAGGTGTATTACAAACAAACATAGGTATGATGCTGAAGTTGAGCATCCGATGATGCCATGTCCATGTTGACGTGCGGGGCAGCAGGAATTGGAGTCGTGTGCCCCGTGATTGCCAGGAGACTTAGGGGGGAAACTCAAAGACGTCACAAGTGCCACCGGTTCAGTAATGGGCTCTGTTAGCGCCCGTGGTTTGAAGCTGTAAGCTTCTGTGCTCTGGACCTAGAAGTTCGCGGGAAATCAAGAGTTATGATAAGACAATTTGGACAATACAGTATTTCTGATCTTCGTTTACACCTGATGCGCTATGCAGGACATGATATCTGCCACCCAAGTCATTGCCAAAGTTCAGGCATGCTTCCAGTTACGCCATGTGCCCGGCAAACGCGCCATACCCAAGAATAAAATCATCATCAATGCCTCCCTATACCCGAAACGCCAGAAAACCCCGCCCCTACTATTCAGTCATGCCCCATGAAGCCGTTCCTAAGGCCCAGCGTCGCCCTTTATAGCAACACATGTTGTAGCCTACATAGGAACAAGGACCACAGAGCTTACTGCAGGTCGAGCTCTAGCACCTCGGTGACGACATCCCCGTTCTCTCCTAATCGTTTCTCTAGAGATGATCTTACAGGCACGAGGCGTTCAATGTGTTCGATCAACTCGAATATTCTATATGGCTTCGTCGTAACGCCATCCTGTCGTCAATCGTCAGCCAGGTGTCCAGCCTAACATGAAGATATAGGACTTACCATGCCCGACTCAAGCGCGGCCACTACCTGGTTCTGGCGAACATTGGCCGTGACGCCAATGATGGGCACGCGCCCAGGAAGGCGCCCCTTTGTTTCCAGGCTGCGCACCGCCATAGTAAATTCGAGCCCGCCCATAATGGGCATTTCTATATCGCAGAGGATGATGTCGAACATATGTTCCGACTTGGAATCTGACGTCTCCATCAACGTCTCGAGTGCCTGCCGGCCATGATTTGCCGCTTTCACAAGAAAGTTGTGGTTCCGCAGTTGCTTGCAAAGGACTCTTTGGTTGATGACGTTGTCCTCCACTACCAGCACCCGTCGGCTCAGCCCATCCAGGCTTTGTGTCCCGAGAAGGGGACTGTGGAGTGGCTCCTTCATCTGTGGAGGTGTCATAACCCCGGTGTCCGGGGCGTGACTTATCGCAAAAGAGGCCCGTTTCGTCGGCTCCTGCTTTGCAGAGGGGACGACTTGTGGCGGAATGCTCTGTGCCTTGACATAGAAAGAAAAGGTCGAGCCGAGACCAGGACGGCTGTGCATGCCAATCTCCCCACCGAGCATCTCCGTGATCTGACGTGATATGAAAAGTCCAAGCCCAGATCCGCCATATTCAATGTGTGTCTTGGGAGAAGCCTGTGCGAAGCGTTGGAAAAGCATCGCCATCTCGCTCTCCGTCATGCCTTTGCCCGTGTCAGTGACAGACAGGGCCAGAAATATATCGTTCTGAGCACCCTCTGGCAGTATGATTTCTGGATTTGAAGCACGCCGGGCATCGATTGGCGCTTCAGCATACCTATGTGGGACGTATTCGACTCCAAGCTGCACTGGTTTTGGGCGTTCCCTCGTCGCGGCGAGTGTCAAAGTGATCTTTCGAGTGTCCGACTTTCTTGTAAACTTGATGGCGTTGGTGACGAGGTTGATAACAATCTGGAGATATCGGTTGGGGTCGAGAAGGATCCAATCCACAGCATTGTGCTGTAGGGATTCGTCTTCGATGAGCACGAGCGAAATGTCGGTCATTTTGAGTTCTCGTTCAAAGATCTTGAGCGACGCCTGTATAAACTCCCTAGGCTGTACCGGGATAGGGGCTACCTCCAAGAGGCTCGAGTCGAGTTTCGACAATGTGAGGACATCGTCAACGATTTGCTTTTGGTGCTGGACGCAGTACAGCACAGTGTTCGCGGCTTCCTGCGCACTGGCGATATGCAATTTGAGAGCTGTCCTTGTCATAGCCCATTGTGGCGTGGCAAGCTCACAAGGTATTGACGCTTCGAGGACTGCGGATGCGTTTTTCATGGCTTCGACAACCTCCTCTCCGCAATGCAGGACGGCTGAGAGCGGGTTGCGAATCTCGTGGCTGATCATGTCCATGAACCGCTCTTGTTGGTTCTTGAGCCTCAGCGCCTCCTCCATCTTCTCAGTCAGAACCTTGTTGGTCATCTTCTGCGCACTTATGTCCATGACCCAGAAGTCGATGTAGTCAACCGTGCCGTCCTCTTTGAAAGCTGTGAAGCCGGTCGCCAGAACCCACGCGTCATTGCTGATGGTTTCGCCACCTTCGGAAACCATGTACGGCTTATCTTTCAGTCGAAACTCCACAGCTTCAGGACCGCAGTGATGCTGCAGCTTACGGAAGAACTCCTGGCATGGCTCGACGTCTTCGTCGATGATGAACGGTAACCAAGGTTGTGGGTCAGACAATTCCTGCCCAGGTTCAAGGCTGTAGTAGCTATGCCACGCTTCGTTGCCGAACTGGACGTAACCTTCGCCGTCGGTGCGGACAATGCCCAGGGGACAGTGCTCCGCATAATTGCGGTATTTACCCTCTGACAATTCAAGCGCTTTCGTCTTTGTGCGGAGCTGTTCTTCTGTCCATTTGAGTTCGCTAATGTCCATCATGAAAATCATCATCCCATCAACCTCACCATCATCGTTGAGGTCTGGGTAGCAGGCGCAGATCGCGGTTCGGTGTTCGGAATGCATGGAACCTTGTCGAAAAGGCTGCTTGGAACGTATCTGGAATGTACCACCCTTCTTCTGCGCGAGCGTTAGTCGTATCCACTCCTCGAGGAGCTCGAGGTCCTCGGATGTGACGATATCTTGGACTTTGAACGCATTAGCCGGGTCCATGCCCGCGAACCTGCACAAGGCGTCATTGGCATAAACCACCTATGAACTCGGGTTAGCGCGAGGCCTTCAGGCTTCGAGACTTTGCTGAATATACCTTTCCCTCATTATCAATAGTCGCTAGGCCAACTATTGTGCGCTCAGCGAAGCGCGAGAACCTGTCTTCGCTCTTCTCAAATGCTAGCGTGGCTCTTCTAGCAAGCTCCGCCCGGCGACTGACTTCCTCTGACAACCGGATGCGGTGTATTTGTGGCGCAATAATGTCCGCAATCGTGTCCAGAAACTCTCTGTAAAACGGGTTGTACCTCCGACGTGGGTTCAGACCAATGACAATGACGGCAAAGACATTGTCATGTACAAAGACAGGAACGGCGGCGAATTGGCAGGATGGTAATCCAAATCCCTTCCAGCTGACTCCGTGGAGGAGACCCTGCAGTTGCCCGTCTCTGGGTTCGAAAATCTGCACTGTTCGAGTCTTGATCGCCTCGAGCATGGCTGCCGCAAAGGCGCCTTGCGCGACGTCTTGCACGTCGACATACTCTTGGGCCAGTGGATGCGGCGCGGCAACTCCGATGGCGCGCTCGAGTTGGCAGACATAACTTGGCCGACTTGGAGAAGTAGAGACCCCAACCTGGCTGTCCACCGAGTATAACAAGGCGAACGGGACATCCATGTCGTTGGAACCGAAAGCAGCCACCGTCGCATCCCACAACTCGGGCATGGTGGTGGACCTCGAGGCCTGCTGAGCAAGCTGGCTCTCACACTCGCGGCGTCGCTTCCCAATGACATCTCGTGTCATGTCGAGGGGCGCGCCGTAGCACCCGATATGATAACCCCCGTCGCCGATGAAGGGCACCAGTGTCCAGTTGAAGTAAGTTTCCTCGAGAAAGCCATGCCGTTGCATCAAGAGCATGGAAGCATCGCCGGACGCTGTCTGGCCGTGGCGCCGCTGTTCGACAATGACTTTTTCGAAGTCGCTCCAGAACTCCGGGAACACATCGAATGCTCGGCCGCCGAGCATCGCGGGGTGCTTGGTGCCCACGAGTGGCACGTAGGCCTCGTTGTACATGATGGAGTTGGTGTCACTCCAGTACAGGATGGTGGGCGAGGCCTCGGCCATCATGAAGCGGACCATCTGGCGGAGGTCGCGTGGCCAGCTGCTCATGGGTCCAAAGTCGGTAGCAGCCCAGTCGACGCCGCGGAAGAAGCGCTGAAACGGCGTCAGAGAGGGCGGCGGGGGGTCTCTGGTCCAGTCGAGGTTGACTCGAGTCTCGGCTGGAGACAGGATGGGCGGCATGGGAGCGGCTTTGGCAGCGGCGGGCGTGTCATGGCTGCCGAGGAGGTGCAACGCGGTAGGGCTGCTCTCTGGGGCGCCTGCTGCAGCAGCGCGAGCTGGCGTGCTCGAGTCCATGCTCGAGTCCCAGAGAGCGCGGCGCAGCAGACTTGTCGTGAAGCTCGCGTAGCGGGCAAGGGCGGCGGCCATGTGCGTGCAGATCTCGGAGGACAGACGATCTGCGGCCCGGAGACCTTGAGGAGCAGCGCGCCGGGAACAGCGGCGACGGCAGCGGCGGGTGCGAAGCGCTGCTGATAAAGGCAGCCGTGGAGGCCATGGCCATGGCCGGTTCTGCTGGCCCTGCCCAGGTGGTGTGGGGTTGTGCGCGGTCCATGAGGCTACTGCATCTCGATGGTCCCAGAAAGACCAGTGGACCACTCGACATCCCCGGCGCTAGAGAGCCTCCTCACCTGCCACAGTCAGTAGCACGGGGCGTCCCGATGGATCCCAGCGAACCGTACGCCAAAAGCTCCGGTGGCAGGCGGGCACCGCGTAGGTACATTGGCTAGGCCAGGGGTCGCAAAGGGGGGCTGCTGGCTGCTATGCGAATAGTTACATCACTTTCTGCGGGCATGTGACGCTACCTGCGCCTTGGAGGTGATCTTCGGTGTGAACCACGGTGACGGATCCGACAAGCCAGTCAAGGGCCGCAAAACTTTTCCCATTCTGTCGAGCCTGTGTCAGCCCATGGCAATTGCCCCAAAATGCCGTGCTCCCTGGTGATGCGCCACGCCGTGCATTGCGAGGATATGGGAGCCAGGCATGCCCTTGCTCTGTTGTGTCAGGCACCCGCTCCAGTGGCTGGCAATCCTTGCGTGCCGCCAGATCGGGCCGTGATCGAGGCCAGGGATTCCTCCCGATTGGCAACACTGCCAGGCATTGCGCGACTCGCTCGCTGTGTTGTCGCCCAGGCCCCGGCAAGGCATGCCATTTATTCTGTCGCACCTAGACCGTTTGATCCCTCCCTGCTCAGCGAACGCCGCCATGGTAATTTGTCCAGCCCGATCGCGTCCATTGTGTCAGCCAAGGGTCATCATCTTTGTGTGTTGGCCACGTCGTCTCTCGTCGTCGCGGCTTCGCTTAACCTGTCGCTTCTCTCTGCGGGCACCGAGCCATACACATGCGTCAATTAGCAGACACTCGTGACCATGCTGTTGAACGGCACTCACCATCAACGGTTTGCAAGGCAACACCGCCGATTTGCGGGCATGGGCGATTGGCCGGTCGCTAGGTCTCACACTACGTACGCCACATGGGGCGATGGTCTGCTCGAGTCTCAGGTGGGGGCGCAATGCTGGCAACCGACGGGTATGTTCGCGAAGTTGTTCCCAGCGCACGCACTTGGTACTTGAAGCACTGAATTGGTTGATCGTGGATCGCATCAATGCTCCGCAAACGGGAGCTCGCGCCGTTTGCTACCATGAGCCGAACACAAGCACGCTCGCGCTTGTTCTGACACGTGGGCGCGGGCCGGCATGACAAAGCAAGATGTCTTGTTCCTTGCCCAATGTGGCAGGCACGACCAGCCACGTCCACGAGAATCAATCTGGCAAGTGCCAGCTGGTCCCGCCAGCCTGAGGCGCCTTGACGAGTGCAGACCTCATCGCTACAATCATCACACGGAGTGGCGCAACTTTTCGTGCAGACCTCAACGGAAACATCTGAATGATGCGATGTCTCAAACCCCAGGAAGTGACCTTCTGTACTTGTGTGTTCTATTTGCGTCGCCCCAAAAACAAGCAGGCATTGGACTGGAAACGACTATGAAGAAATTGAAAAATGACAACGCTACGATGTCCAACTTGTACCAAAACAGCCATTACACTCCAGACGCCCAAATATGAACCCCCGATGCCCCAAGGGAGATGCCCGCTCAACTTGGCATCCCACGACATGGAGACAATCGGCATATCCAGTGCAACCCAAGCTCCCAAGCAACCAGTCTGAAAACGCCGGACGATGACAGGATTGAAAGCTTCAGCGGGAAAAAGAAATACAACCAATTCGCTCATGCATAACAAATGGAAAGACTATTCTGCAGGTCTTGGGATGCCTCAAGGCCAAGGAAAGAAGGCCTGGGTGCTCTACGTCCAAACCGATTCCAGGCCTGGGGCACAAGTCGGATCTGCCGAACAGGTTGATTGTTGCAAACACCATCTCTGACGCAACTGACACAGGACCGATAGCGGACTCTCAAACCGCTAGCAGCACATGGTGCAGTCTTCAGAGTGTTTTGGCCTGTCGCTCTTCTTCGTCTCTCGTGTTTTCTCTCTGGCTTCGAGCGCGGGAGCGCTAGACCCGGCGCTTATGGCAGACTAACTATGGCTTGGTTCATCAGGTCTGCGAGTTTTGCGACCTGTAATGCGAATGCGCTATTAGCAAGTTGACCTCTTTACACATCTAACGCTGTAGGGGACAGAAACTTACATAAGGCGGCTCAAGCATGTTCCAGTGGTCGCCATCCATGACATGGCACTCGACAGGTCCGCACAGAACATCCCATCCGTGCGCCCCGTATGTTGACCGGCGTGAGTAGAACCAATTCTTGTAGCTCCGGCTCTCCGCGTCCATGCAGTCGATCGATGGATCAGCCTCCATGCCGGGGATCTTGAAGCGCTCGCACATGCCCGATCTGGCCCAGATCATGGTGGTGCCGTGTTTGGGCTGCTTGCCGGGGGACATGGGTGTTGGCTTCCAGTTGTACATACACTGCAGCGAGGCGTAGCGCTGCTTCTTGGCCAGGTCTGCTGTCCGATTGCGGTTGCCGACCTGCTTGTCAACGGCTTTGATGGAGCTTCCAGCAGCCTCCTGATCCTCCATAGCCGGTGGCTCAGTCCAGGTCTCGCCGGGACAGTGGGCCTTCATGTCGGACAAGAGAAGGTGATCAACCTGCTCACCAGCCTCGAGGAGAAGGCGAGCGACCTCGTACGCGTGGACAGCACCGGCAGAATAGCCACCAATGAGGTAAGGGCCCTCTTTTTGGATCTTCTTGATGGCGGCGAGGTATACGGAAGCAATATCCTCTGGGCGGTAATGCATCTCGTCAGGGCACATGAGGAAGGGGAACTCGAGGGCATACACAGGAAGCCCAGAATCGAGCCTGGGGATCTTGGCGTAGATGGAGGCAGCACCGCTGGAGCCGGCAACGAAGAACAAAGGTCGTTGGGTTGACTTGCTATTGCCCTGGAGGAGAACGGCATTGCTGGTGTATTTCTCGGTCAGCTCTGAAGGGTCAATCGGCTTCTGCACCTCTGCATGGTCAGCGTCAGAGGAGACGCTAGTCGACTCGGACATGCTCTCGGCAGGAGTGAAGTTGGGAGACTCGTCGACCGAGGAAGCATCAGCACTGGTGTCAACCGAGTCTCCGCCAAGGTGTTCCTTGACGTCACCAATGGTCTGCAGCTCGAAGAAGATGGTGGCAGGCAAAGTCTCTCCAGTCACGTTCTGGACTTCCTGAAGGATAGCCATGCCCATGAGAGAATCGACTCCAAGCTCAGTGAGCATGGTAGCGTCATCAAGGTCAGAAGGATCGATACCAGTCTGTGAGATGAGGGCATTAATGAAGGCGTCACCAATGCTCAGCGGGCCTTCGGCGGCAGAAGTCTGGGGGTTGGGAGCTTGGGCCTCGGAGGCAGCCAGCTCAGCAGGGGCCGCTGCCTCGTCGATGTGCTCGATTTCTTCAATGTCAACGGCCTCAGTCTCTTCCTCAACCTCTTCCTCCTCTACTTCGGCGGCAGGACCCGAGGAGCAAGAGACCATCTGCTCACCGAGATGAGCTTTGACATCGCCGACAGTCTGCAGCTCAAAGAAGATGGTAGCAGCGAGGGCCTCGCCAGTCGTGTTCTGGACCTTCTGAAGCACGGCCATGCCCATCAAAGAGTCAACACCCAGCTCCGTCAGGAGCGTGGCTTCGTCCAAGTCGTCCGGAGTGAGACCAGTCTCGGACATGAGTGCATCCAGGAACGCATCAGCCATGGACATGGTCTTCGTCTCGGCGACCGGCTTGGTAGAAGCAACCTTCTTGACCTTCTTTGGCGCGGCAGCGGCAGCAGGCTTGGCCTTCTTCGAAGCTGCAGCAGCAGAAGCAGCAGGCCGGGGAGCTGGCGCAGCAGAAGCACCACCTTGCAGCTGCAGGGACATCTTGAGTACCTGCCGGCGCATCTGGTGGAACTTGACACCGGTCACCACGCCTACAAGGTCCTTCTTGTCGTTGAGGAGGAAGATGTCGCCATTTGCAACACCCTTCGAGTCCGTGATCATGCTCGTGTAGCAGTAGTATGTCTTGTCCTCGGTAAAGTCATCTGCCAACATCATGCCCTTGATACCCGAGGAGAAGAAGAGAACGTCCTCCGAGTCCTCGCGGCCAGTGTTGAGCATGAAGCCCGGCAGGTGGACAAGCGAGTCCGAGTGGTACGGGTTAAGCAGGAAAGCATTGGCATCGGCGGCAGGGGTCTTGGTGAGCTTGACGACAGACACGGCGTCCTGGCTGTCGTAGTCGATGAACGCCTCCTGGGCGGCCTGGAAGCGCTTGTCGTACCGCACTGTGCTGTTGAAGAGCTGGTACATGATGTTGTGCTTCATGTGGTGCACAAAGGAGCCGCCGTTCTTGGCCATGAGTGTCTCGACGCGCTTCTTGGCAGCAGCGCCCTTGGCCGCGAACTCGGCCTTCTTGCTCGCAGGGTCCGTGGACTCGACCTTGCATCGGCCGTTGTCGTCGAACTTGCCCTTGTCGCCCGTTTGCGACCGGAATGTTACATGCGCAGTCCAATTGTCCTTGGCCTCGGCAACGACACGGATCTCAATGTTCTGCGTGACCTTGGCGTCCTTGAGGACCAGTGGGTTGACGAGCTCCAAGTCCGCAATCGTGCCGAGCGACTTCTTGTCGGGCAGCGCGTGGCCGTGGACGTACTTGGCGGCCGTCGCGGCCATATCGACCCACGCCGAGGCCGGGCAGATGGCCGTGCCCTCGATATCGTGGCCCTTGAGAACGTTGCGGAAACGCTCGTCCGCAAGGGTAGACTTGAAAGTCACGTCGATCTTGTCTTTGCCAATGTCTTCCTTCTCGATGGTCTGAACCAGTGCGGTAGGGCGGAACTTGCCATTACCTCCGCCGCAGTTGGGGCAGCAGCCAGCGGTGGCGGTGATGGCCTTGACGGGTCCGCCGTCGGCCATAGGGACACCAGCAGCCAGGGCAGTCTCCATGGTATACGTCTTCCAGAACGGCTTGAGGTCGAAAGCGTACGTGGGGAGGTCGACGAAGGTAACGGACCCCTGGTGGTGGCGGTGATACTCGGCCCAGTTGACGTGTAGGCCGGCAGCGTACGCACGAGCAAGCGAGGTGCTCGTAGACTTCCAGTTCGGCTCTCCGGACTTCATGGAGAGGAGCAGCTCGGTGGCCGGGATGTCGAGAGTCTCGCGCAGCAGGGCCGAGCAGATTGGGCTGGGTCCGACCTCCATCCACATGAATGTCTGTGTCTTGGTCTTGGTGCGCTGGATGTTCTGCAGGGCGTCGACAAAGCGGACTGGCTGCCGCGCGTGCTTGGCAAGATACTCGGCGTTGAAGACGCCCTCCTTGTCGACGATCTGGCCAGTCAGCGTGGACGCGACGGGGATGCTGGGAGCATTGAAAGGCATGATGGCGGCGGTGGCCTTGTACTCCTCGAAGATGGCGTCCAGCTGGGCAGAGTGGAACGCGTAGGGGACAGGGAGAAGCTTGGCCCGAAGACCCTTGGCCTTGACGGCAGCCTCGAGCTCAGCCAGGCGTGGCATGGGGCCGCTCACGACATTGGACTTGGGGCCGTTGAAGCAAGCGTGCTCGAGGTCTGTGAAGCCGCCGTCCTTCAGCATGGCGTCGACATCCGAGGCAGAAGCCTGCAGGGCGAGCATGCCGTACTCGTCCTTGGCACAGGCAGCCTGCAGCATGGTGGCACGGGTGCCCACGAGCCAGAGCATATCCGAGGTGGCAAGGACACCGGAGATGGCCAGCGCGGCATACTCGCCGAGGCTGTGGCCGGTGACCATGCTGGGCTTGATCCCCCAGGAGATCCAGGTCTCGGCGAGGGCGACCTCGAGCGCAACAATGGCGAGCTGGACCTGCACGGTGGAGAACTGGGACAGGTCGGCGTCCGGGTTGGTGATGATCTCCATGAAGTTCGGGAAGCCCATGTGCTCGGTCTGCTCCTGCAGGTAGTCCATCTTGTACTTGAAGAAAGAGCTGCCGTTGTACATGGCGTGGCCCATGCCGGCGTAGTGAGAGCCCTGGCCCGTGAACATGAAGACCGTGCTGGGCTTCCCGGGGACCTTGATGTCCTTGGCGGGCTTCGCGAGCTCCTTCTTGAGCTGCGAGACCAGATCCTCGGTCGAGCCGGCCACATAGGCGGCCTTCAGGGCGTGGTGCATGCGGCGAGCCGTGGTGGAGTAGGCAACGTCTGCAATGGGAATGCCTGGGTTGGCCTCGAGGAATGCGAGCAGCCGCTCCTTGTTGCCCTTGAGCGAGTTGTTGGTTCTGGCAGAGATGGTGACAGTGTGGTGGCTGCGAGGGTCGGCGGTCTTCGGAGGCAAGGCAGGGGGCGCCTCGATGAGCAGACAGGTATTGCCACCCGCAGCGTCAAAGTTGTTGACCATGATGTTGCGCTTCTCAATGACGGCGGGCTCCATGTCGATCTTGATGCACGACATGTCGAGGTTCTTGAAGCCCGGGTGGAAGTTGGTCTCTGGGGTGATGCAGGCCTGAGGAGGGCACATGCCGCGCTTGGCCATCATGGCGGCCTTGATCGTGGACGAGACACCCGCAGCAGCCTCGGAGTGGCCGAAGTTGGCCTTGAGGGCACCGACGTGTAGGGGCTTCTTGGCGGTGTGGTGGCCGTTGAAAACACTGGTGACGAGCGTCATCTCGGACAGATCACCAGCGATGGTGCCCGTGCCGTGCAGCTCGACGTAGCCAATGTCGCTGGGCTTGCGGTTGGCCTGGCGCAGGACCTGGCCGTACAGCTTGGCCTGCGACTGCGGGTGAGGGTGCGTGATGGACGAGGCGTCGGCCGAGTAGTTGCGACCCCAGCCGGTGATGATGGACTCGATGTTGTCGTTGTCGGCGATGGCGTCCTCGAGGCGCTTCAGGACAACAACACCGACAGCCTCGCCACGGCAGTAGCCATCAGCCTCGGCGCGGAAGGTCTTGCAGCCGCCTCCCTTGGAGAGGAAACCAGACTTGCCCAGAGCAGCGAACTCGAATGGGTTGCTGGCAATCTGGGCACCACCAGCGACGGCCATATCGCAGTCACGGTTCTCGAGAGCGGCGCAAGCCAATTGGATGGTGGTTGAAGAAGACGAGCACGCAGCGTCCAAGCTGTAGGAACCGCCCTCGAAGCCGAAGTGATAGTTGATGCGGCCCGGTGAGAAGGCACGGAGAAGACCAGGGGCCGTGTAGACATCGACACCCTGCTGCGCGTCGATCTCACGCCAGACGTCGGCGTTCTGGCCGAACCAGACCGAAGTGCGGCGAGCAACCTCGCCCAGGCTGTTCTCGGGGTTGTGGCCGGCCTTCTCCAGGGCCTCGTGTGTGACCATGAGTAACAAGCGGTGGACAGGGTCCATGTGCATGACCTCACGGGGAGACATCTTGAAGAGCTTGGCATCGAACGAGCCAGGGTCATCAATGAAGCAGCCGTCGGTAGTGACCATGCAGTTCCGCTTCTTGCCCGTGGCGTCATAGAACTCCTCGAGCTTGAAGCGGTTCTCGGGAACCTTCTCCACGAACACAGAGCCGTCCATCATTGTCTTCCAGAACGTGTCCATCTCGTTGCTGCCAGGGAAGCGACCAGCCATGCCGATGATGGCGATGGCGCCAGTGCCGCCGCGCTGGGGGGCGGCATAGGCGTCGAAGTGAGGGCGCTCAACCATTTTGAGCGGCAGCTTGGAGGCCTTGAGCTGCTTGAGGAAGGCGCCGGTCTGCGCCGAAGGGCCGCAGACGGAGAACTCGACAGGCAGACCAATCTCCTTGAGGCGCTCGACGGTACCAGCAAAAGTCTTATCCACGCGCAGCTGCCCCTGAATGACATCGGGGGTCATCAGACGCATACACTCGCGCAGAGGCAGTTGCGGGTACGGCACCGCCGTGTTGGTCGACATGATCGTGGCCTTCTCGTGTACCGGCAGGTCCCAGATGAACGAAGGCTTGACGACATCGTCGTAAAGGATGTTGGGCAAGTGTCCAGCGTGTACGGCACCGCGGACAGGGAGTGTCATGCCAGGCAGCGCCTTGACCTCCTCGCAGCTCTCGACGAGCTTGGCGAGCACCGAAGGCGGTGCGCTGATTGTGGACCATGTCCGGCCAGTCACGCCGATCCACGCCTTCTTGTGCTGGGGGATTTTGAAGTCGGCATTGAACTTGTCGACCGCAGGCTGGATGTCGAGGTCAGCCGGCCGCATAAGCAGATGTGACCAGTAGCCGTCGGCCTTCTCCACCATCTTTGAGCGCTCGAAGCTCTTGATGACGAGCTCGGTGTAAGTCGGGAGCGCCTCGACGGCATTTCTGACGAGTTCTGTGGCTGTTGTGGAGTAGGCCGCCAGGGCAGCTGGCAGGAGGTTGATGCAGAGACCGACCACTGTCCTGTCGGATGTGAGAAGAGTGTGGTCCCGTTCCGCCCGGCTGTAATGGATATCGTCAGTGAATGTCTGCCAAGATGATTCTAGGCTTTGGTCAAGCAAACTCACATGATAAGCTCTCCTACACGAGCAATGTAGGACAGCAAACAGGACTGGAAGACGGGAGATCCATCCGTCTTGGCGTGTTCCTCGGCCATCTGCTGGATGGATTCGAAAGGGGGTACCTCGGACCGGAAGGCCGGGTCCATGTGTCCGAGCTCCACCTGGAGAACATCGGACGCTCTCCGAAGGAAGTCGGCGAGGAGCTTGGAGTACCTGCTATCGGCATAGAGCTGTGCGATAGTTCCGGTGATGTCGTCAGTCTGGTCTCCGAAGAGAAGCAGGTGGTGCTTGGTTGCTGGAGCCATATTGACGGAGAGAGTTTTCGAGATTGGGGTGAGAGAGTATAGAGCGTGGAAGAGCTAGGTCCGAGTACAGCAGACAGTCAAGGAGGCCAAAGGGATATATACGTTGTGACTGTAAAGAGCATACAGAACGCCATTGACTAAGCCATTACGACGGTCGAAGCCGCACGAGGAGGATATACGCCGTGTCCGACAGCCGAGACGGCAGCCGTGGCCAGGCTGAGTGGACGAGGTTAGGAACCAGCCGAGAGCGGGTCGAGCTATTGCTGCCTCTTAGTACACGGTTTTGTGTGCCACGCCCTATGTCTGTAGATCACGAGCCCCGAACGAAACAAGCATAAGGAAGGTGGAGCCATGGTTGCAGAGAGACGAGAGCTAATTCAAAGGGGCGCCACAAGCCAAGGTCAAGGCTGGGAGCACGGTACGACCGCGATAAGCAGATATCATTCGCAGTTCGCGGAGAGGGTCCTGCGTGATTGGCCGTCAGAGAGAAGACCCTGGAGGACGGCTGTGGGAGACCACATTTTGGGGAGATGACGGCCGGGGTGTCCCAACGTGGGAGTGGATGGGCATTGTGCTTGGAGTGGGCTCTCGTCTGTTGCCGCGCAGGAGATGCAGGCCAATGGCGCTGGAAAAGCATAGTAAACGTGCAGAAGCCACGGCTGGCAGTGCCTGCTCCAGCACGGCTGTCGGTGGAGGGCGAGGGCTGGGGGGCCGTTGTGAGGACGATGAGTGTTTGTGTTGTAGTAAGACGGAGGACGAGCGATGACTACAGCGCCAACCACGCGTGCCGGGGTGGGGCCAACGCCGGGCGTGCGAGGGCGGCCGGGGTGGGGCCGCTTACCCCGGCCTGCACGGGGAGATCGCCGTCACATAATCCCCGGTTCTATTTCGAGTGCCCGCTTGCACCTACATACAGTACCTCTCACGAAACAACATCCCAAATCACAAATCAACTGCATCGCTTGACCAGCCCACAGCCCCCCGTTCAGCATGGCTAAAAAGTCGAACACCTGGGGAGCTGGGGAGTCTGTTTGATGCACAGCACTGGTCATGCTGTCTATTCCTTCTCACGCTGCTAATTCTAAGATGAACTGAATCAAGATGTGTGCCCGCAAATATGATAAACAAGTGCCTGCAGCCAGCTGCAGAGCTTCAAATGCAGATTTTCGCCTTGACCGACATATGCGTGCAAGGCTTCTGTGAGAGACCAAATCCTAGGACGCGACGATGACCTGGCGTGTGTTTAGGTTGAATTCATCCATGTCCAATAGACAGAGTCGCAGCATGCCTGCGTCCAGCACTGAGACCCGAGAAAGAAGACTCTTGGACACATGGAGGCATTTCCGCGTCCGACCGCAGCCAATACGAAAGTCGGCCGTTGATCAGACGCAATCATGTAGCCTAATTCTCGCTTCCAACCTGCAGGAAAACCATAAGGACGGCAGCATATCTGGAAAACAACAGGGCTGAAAGTTAGTGGATTCCATCGGTCTAGAACATCAAGTCTCCCGCCTCAACACTACTTACGCTGCAGTAGCGCCCAAGGCCTCAAAGGGCTTAGTCGCCATGAAGAACGACAGCACGCCTAGAAAGACGAGGATGAAGACGGTAATGACGACAAGCATCATGTCCTGGTCTGACAGGCAGCGCAGGATCCAGATGGGGATGATGAGCATGGCGATGCCGACAAATACAATGGCCACCGACACGAACAGGTCGATTCGGTCGTCAGAGTAGTACGAGATGACACCCACATCGTGCTCCGCGACGTTGTCGGTACGGCCCTTGTCTAGCCAGCCCCACCAGGTGCGCAGGCGCAGGGAGCCATCGACCGCCGAGCGCAGGGGCGTGGTCTCCCTTTCGACGAGACTCACGAGGTCCTCGGCCTCGTCAAAGATGTATGCCTGCTCGGCTGCGTCGATGGCGCGGTAGTCGTGGTTGTAGTGCCAGTTGCGGATGTTCTTGATGTGACGCTTTGGCGCCTTCGCGTAGGCCCGCATCTCTCTCTGCTGAAGAAGGAAGTCGTCTAACAGACGTTTCTGTGTTAGTGCATGGAAGTTACTTTGTGAAGATGTCCTGCTGTACTCTGTCGTGCTCTATAGGTGGGATCAACGGGTATTGAACGACTCACTGTACTTCGGCAAGGCATCGCCGATCTGGGCTAGGAGTGCGGCCCTCTCTGGGATATCATCGCGAAGACTTCCGTTGTTCACAGCCGGCCCATAGACAGAGGCGTGCTGCTTGTCGAGGGCCCGAAGTTTGGTCTCCAGGCTGACCAGCTCGTCTTGCATGCCAAGCGCGACCCGCGCACCGAGCACGCCAAAACGGCGGAAGACCAAGAGATCATTGTCCGAAGCGAGGAAGTCCGCGTAGACTGGATAGCCGATGTACTTCCACGGCTTATCCTCAACCTCAAACTCGGATGGCTTGGGCTCAACCTGCATCTTGCTAGGCATGACTGTCGATGTGGAGTAGATTCTGAGTCTTTCCGAGACCTGCTCAGATGGTTCTAGGTTTTGGAAGTCCTTGGAATTGAAGTTGTTGACTGCAGGCTGTGCAAGGGATTATGGGGTTAATGGTTTCGTCGTCAAGGAGAAGAGGGCTGTGGTGATGTTCATCCTCCAAGAAAGCTCCAAAGACTTTGCGAGAGTCCTTCCAGATGATATAAGGTGAACAGGACTCATGAACAATGGCTGTACTGCAGCCTGAACTGGGCGTTCCTGGGGCATCCCATGTCTGAGTGCCGTTAGCCTTGCCTCGCGCAAGAGTGCTCGGCTCCGATACAGCACGCGAGGGTACCGAGCAGTCGTGGCATAGCGCAGAGACACCGGAAAGCCCTCGAGATGCCTGGAGCGCTTGGACTGGTCGGATATCATGCATCATCCCGTAACGCACGATAGGTCCAAGCCACCCTTGTGACCGGCTATGGGCTGCAAGAACCCGTTGAGGCACACTCTCCGAGCGCGTAGCAAGTGGTAAGGCTCTGGCCGAAGCCTGAGGGACGGCCTGAGAAGGAAGGTTACACCCGCAAGCACATACAGTGCTGAGCCGGCCTCACGCCCACTCACTGTTGGCATAGAAGCCAGTCTGAGGCAGTCATTCACCTCAAACGGAAGAAGCAATTATCCACATGAGCCCCTGCAGGCAGTCATGTCATGGCAAGGCTCTACCAGGTATAAATGTCGAAGAGCGCGTCTCCGCCGCCGTCATGGATTGAACATGGCTGAGCTCAAAGTCCACTATCAGGATCAAGCGGCCCTCATCCATAACAGACAGTCGAGCCGCCGTTTTACCACAAGTCCTCAGGCAGCCAATCCCTTTCAACCCTCACAATGGAAGTTTGCGTCGACCACCGCGGCTGCAAGGCAGCACGAAGGAACGTCGAAGATGGCACAACGAGCCAGGCAGCACATCGCACGGTGATGTCAACCGCGATCGAGGAAGACCCTGTCTTCCGCCACATTGGGGTGAACGTGACCAGGAAAGAGAAGCGAGAAAAATATGCTTCAGCAGCTCCGTCAAACGGCAGCCGTCAAACCAGTACAACTGCAAGCCAAACGACGAAGGACAGCACGGACTCTGGAGATAAGGATCGAGGCAACGATGAGGATGAGTCCGATGGAGAAGATGAAAAGAGAGGTGGTTCCAGCCAAAATAACAGCAAGAAAACTCGAGACGACGACTTGAAGGGATTCGAACGCAATATGCGCGCCAACCTAGCCGGCTTCAATGACAACCGCGAAGTAGGTGCTGGTGCAGGAGGAGGAAGGCAAGAGTGAAAGGTGAAAGCGGCCATTTGTGGCCATTTGTGCCAGCAAGCTCTATTTACTGAGACGCTAGGTCGCTCAGGGGGCCACTTGAGATGGTGTTCTATGATTTTACACCCCTGCACTGAAGACTTTCTCATGGAGCCTTTCTGCATTTTGCTTCGCTGGCTGGAATCTGTCTGCCCTGCTCACGTCGCTGGAAATAAGCGTGATGCGAACCGAAGCCCTGCGATTATTGGATAGAACTCAATAAAATAAATAAGAGAAATGAGCAAAGGAATACCCGAGACCTATGAAGTCTAGCATGCTGTGACCAGATGTGATCGTAAGCACGGGATGACTTCCGAATCAAGTCACTCACAGATGTTTTCGTAATTGGGTGATTCAGCTGAGATGGCTCCAAATCGCTCATGACAACACCCATGATATCGTCCATGAGATGGAGGGCAGCACGCCCACGCAATTGGTCCCCGAAGGAAGACACGCACTTAAATGACGCACAAAACTTCGAGTTTCTTCACAAGAATGATCTGTGTTAGGACCGTTGGCGCATAAATACAGCCAAGACTGTCATGTGCTGCACCATCGGGGTTTTGACTTCTTCTCCTCACAGCCTGATTGCTTCCACTAGTACGCATTCCCCTACAGCTCAACACCCTTGCAAACTGCATCAATAATGGTGCAATACAAGACAGCAGATTTCCCAATCAACGAGGCCGCGCCTTTTCAAGGCCGTGTGGCTTTGTATCTTGATGACGGCCCAGAGCGGGCGATGGCCTTCAGGCCGACGAGTGCCTCTACATGGGCGAACGCGCATGACGGTGCTGAGACCGAAATCCTGCAGATCGTCTCACACGCGACCCTCGACGCCTTGGCTACGCAGACTAGAGGCGAACCGGCCGCGCTGTTGTTCAAGGCAGAGGGCTTGCTGAAGCGCAACTTGAAGGGGTTCTACCGACCTTTTACGGCGGGCGGATCATCTTCCATCCAGATTGACCCTCAGACTACACCCCGAAGCAGGAATGACGTCGAGGAACAAGACTTACAGCCCGTAGTCGAGCTCTCGGGTCCCCTGATGGAACTCGGCCACTGGACTTTGAAGTTCCCCAGCAACGATTCCTCCCACTCCGGCCATAACATTGAATACCGGCCCGTGGGTATGTCGAGCCGCGACGACTACTTTGTCAAGGACAGCATATTGTACTTCTGGGCCGTCAACGATCTGACGCCCACGGAGGCGGTGTCGAGAGGCTCACAATCCGATCGCGGGCCACGTTGCAGCTGCTCGAGGTTGTACAAGGTTGTGGACGGCAAACGCCTCGAGGTGGCAAGATTCTGGACGAAGAAGCACAGAGATCGCGAGGGCTTATTTTTGGTCGACGATGAGCAGGTGGACATAGTTGTGGCGGGCGCTACGTGTGTTATTGTTGCCACGAGGGTTGATTCCTTCAGGAAATGAGACCGGCATTGGGAGGCTGATTTTATACTCCTATAATGATAAGATATCTGTGATACATTGGGTGTTCTGGCCAAATCGAACCACTCATTATTTGTATTGGAGTATCTTGCTCAAGGGTCATAGTGAATGAAGCGCCGTTTCATTCTGTGGCGCTTTTGAAGAAACTATATGCTCAGTCAAACTCTGTCGTCTGCCCAGTCAGCCAGCAAAGAGTATCACCGCCATGGGCAATCCACCTCTGCACTTGCCAACAAGACCTCAAGCAGCCGATGGAAAAGATGAAATCCTCAAAACCAATAGACAGGCCAGTAGTAGCCATCTTCCTCCTGATGTACTTGCCGCGCATGTCGGCTTTCGTGCTGGGACACAGCACCAGCAAGACCCACAGGTATATGCCCGGAATATCCCTCCAGGTCGTCAGTGGTACTCTCAGCGCTGCGTCGGATAGCGCCGCTAGCACGGAAAGATCCGGGTACTGAGAGAACGGCGTGATAGTCATGATCGAGTAGCTGTGGACGAGACCTGCAAGGCGGACAGTCTCTGCCAATGCATCAGGAGCACCATTCTTTTCGGTAGCAGATGCCTCTTTCAATCTGCGATGGAGCCAGGAAGCAGTGGTCTGTATCTTTAACTTTGACGCAGGAGTGGCGGACGTCAGTGCGGTAATCGAGTTTGTGAGAAACCGGACATCGTCCAGAATGGCAGCCGCGGATGAGGTGATTCCCAACTCGGCCTGCTTTTCGCGGAAAGTGTATGGGCTGTCGACGAGAGGACTGTCGAATCCTGCGGGCCAAGAGATCGGGACCACCCAGGCTTGTTTATACATCGGGTCGCCTTGCTGCCAGCAGAGGTCCTCCTCGAAGCCGCAAGCGATTTCGTAGTCAGTACTGCAAGTATAGATGTCAATCCTCTGTGGGCGAGAGTTAATTTGGGAGCTGCAATTGGGAACAACATACAGAACCGTAATGGACCTCCGCACTGCATCATTGAGCCGGCTGATGCCTCCGCAAAGTATGATCAACTCTTTGATGCCTCTGTGGTGAGCTCGCATGCCTTCCTCTGACCCCCAGAACCACTGCTTGCGGTATTAGCCACGGCGGAAAAACGACTTGCGCAGAATCCGCACTCACCTCCGTTACTACCATACTCATGATACACCCTACTGCCTCAGCAGCGACCGCCTGGAATGTGACTGGAGTCGAAGTGGCTAGATACGCATTGATGCAGTTAAGCACCTTTGCCTTGATCGCGAATGTGTCCTTCATCGTGCCCCGTTCGAGACCTCTGGTCGTGGCTGCCATGAGGAGCGCAATCTGGGGCATTAGCGGACTCTGGAGCTGCCATGGCAGCACGTTGTTTTTCCAGACCACTGGCTCGGTTTCACCGTCGATGGATACAAGGTTTGGGATAACGCGTCGCAAGTCTTGGAGGTTCTAATTGTAAGCATCTCTTACCACACAGCAAAACAGAGGCCTTGAGACTGGTCTTACAGTAATGCAGCAGCTCGGCATTCTCAAACGTCATGTCTAGTGCAAATGCGTTCAAAGTTGTGCCGACTTCAGTAAGGATACCGCCCAGGTGATCCCAGCTTGGTGGCGTGGAGGAGCCACCACACCGACCATCGAGAATGAAGGGCTTTTTCGGTCTGACCGTCAAGGTCATTGTCGTATGTTGAAGCTGCTTTGGGCCCCCCCAAATTTCGTGACTGTTCCGACCGTTGTCTTCTTGTCTGCAATCAGGGCGTGGACCGCCGCTCCCAAGCGTGACTGTCGTTGACTGTGGCACCCTGCCTGTGGACGGAAGTTCCTCCCATGAGCCGAGCTGGAAGACTGTGACATGGCGTTCTTGCGGGGCCCTGGAGCCTGTTCGAACACATTCTACCGGCGGGAATCTCCTGGCACAATTGAGACATTGTGTCTGCAGATCTTTGAAGATGCACTAGATTGAATCAGTACACAGACATGAGAAGCCCGTGAGCTATTTGATCGAGCACGACTGTGGTAATTCTGGGTGCAAATGGCAGGTTGTTTTCATGGACCTGCTAAAGGTATCCGAAGGTTCCGGACACCGCACGCGCAGAAGGGAGGAGGGGTCACACCTTTTGTTTGCGCCGCTGGCACTCGAGGCACGAGTACTGCTTCCGTGGTCTCCTGGTGGTCGTCGCGGTCGTAGCGACTGTTGGGAGACTATACTCGGACATGGGTACAAAGTACAAAGCAGACCAGGCGAGTCGTCATATCAATCAGTGTGGCTAGTAGAGAAATGGCGACCTCGGGAAGCCCCCAAGGAATCGGGACTGCATGTCGTCGGTTTTAAGTACCAGCCCTGGCTATCACCCGGAGCTACCTTGGTAGCCCATCGAAAGTCCTGCAACCAAAGCAAGGCACGGCCCAGTCCTATGCAAGGCCTGGCCTCTGAAGGTTGTCGTGTTGGCTTTTGCTTTTGAACGGTGGCCTGCGGTTGTACCGTCTCGACACTAACAGGTCCCATAGCGTTAAGCATGTTAGTGGCAGGCCGATCCCTGGAGCTGAGGGCCTGGACTCTGACGGGCTGCAGTGATGGCGCCACTACGGAATGCACGACGCTTGGCACAGCCAGGCTATCTCGCTTGATATCCCCGAAGCGAAACTTAATTGCATGAAGCCCTTCGCATTCGTCGGCAGGCTAGAGGGTCATGTGGAGGGCTGGCTGCGACTTGAACACAACGCTGTTCGATGCGTTGCAGGACTAGCCAGCCGTGATTCAAGATCGCAAATGCTGCCCATTCACCAACTTTCCAGAGTTCCCCCCAGGCAGTCCTCTGCCATGAAGCGTACCGCAACGTGGGACTATGACTGGCGGCATGCTCCAGTGAATTCAGGACGCATCCTTCTAAATTCATGCACAATGATGAAGATGAACCCTGAAAGCACATCCGGGTTCCAGGCACTTGGCATGTAGACAACCACGGCGGGGCCTTACGGCGCAGGGTCCACTAAACAGGCTTATCGATTAACCCCGCTACCCCTCCCTCGTCGCCTTCCCCAAACAAAAAAAGTTGTCCACGGCCAGACTAGCAGGCCTTGATGCGATGCACCAGATATACTTGGTCTCCTCGTACACGCAAGGTCGGAACCATCGCGTCTCCGAACATGGCACCGCCGCAACAGTACGATAGCGAGTCCTCCGGCGAGGGCGAAGACTACACCGAGACAAATGTTCTACTGGGTTATGCCTCGAAGGATGCTGGCGACGATAACATCAGCAGGCTAGGAGGCCGGCCGGTATGTCTTCTCCAGCTTTTCGGCCCAGAATAAGGGTTTGGTGGTGGTACTCTGGTACTGATTTTCCAAACTGCTAGGACTGGCTCGACACCGATAAGTCACCTTCGGCGGCACTTGCACGATGCAAGATCTGCAAGGACCTCATGGTCCTCCTCCTCCAGCTCAATGCCGAGCTCCCGACACAGTTTCCCGGCCACGAAAGACGACTCTACGTGTTCTCATGCAAGCGCAAGAGCTGCCGCCGCAGAGAAGGGAGCACGAGTGTCGTGCGGGGATTGCGGATCGAGCCTGGCGCAAAGGCCGTTTCGCTAGACAAGAAGGAGGAAAACAAGAGCAAAGCGGTCGAGGAAAAGACGAATGCGCAAAAGCCCCAGAGCAACCTGGGCGAGACCCTGTTCGGATCCAAGGGACTAGGCACATCTTCTGGCAATGCAAACCCCTTCGCCACGGGCCTTTCGTCCGGCGGTGGCAGCAGCAACCCTTTTGCAAGCAACCCTTTCAGCAGCACTCCCAAGCCCGCACCTGAGCCTGCAGCACCAAAGAAGACCGACGAGACCACACACGACGCCGCCAAGCCATCGGCAGACGAAGAAGCCAAGTCTCTTCCAAAGACCTTTGCACAGACCCTCTCTCTCAACAACCCCCAAGACCCATCCTCGAATCCTCCTCCAGCGCCAGAGCCGTGGCCCACAGAAGCAGAACAGCCCGCGCCATACCCCGTGTCATACCTGAGCGAGGCCGAGTACGAGACCCTGGACCCCACGCCACAGACGATACCGCAGGCCACGAGGATGGAAGTGGACGATCCGGCCTCAGCGGGAGGGTCCGGCAAGGAGGACAAGGAGGTGTTCGAGTCGACAATGGATTTCGACTTCCAGAAGTTCGCCGACAGGCTGGCGCAGAACCCGGAGCAGTCGATCCGGTACGAGTTTGCGGGCCAGCCGCTGCTGTACAGTAAGACCGACGCTGTGGGCAAGGCCCTCTCCGGTAGCGGCATGCCGAGGTGCGGCAACTGCGGCGCGCGCAGGGTGTTCGAGGTCCAGCTGTGCCCGCACGCCATCACGGAACTCGAGAGCGAGGAGATGTCCCTCGATGGCATGGACTGGGGCACCATTGTTGTGGGCGTCTGTGAGCGGGACTGCCAGGCCCGTGGTGTGCAGGAGGGCGAGGCGGGATACCTGCAGGAGTGGGCTGGCGTGCAGTGGGAAGAGCTGACGGCACAGAGACGCTAGAAGAAGAGGTTGAACGTGTATAGTGATACAATCTGTAGGCGCAATATTGGTTAGACGAGGACGAAGCCACTGTATGGGCACACTACTACTATCAATGCCATCCAGAACGATCTGGCCTTTGCACTTTTAACATGTTTTTGATTCGTCCTCGTGTAGTCGTGTCTGACTACGGAGACTACCTATGCATCATTTTGTGTCGCTGATCGTGCACCCTCCCGTTGTGGGAATCTGTGTTCACGCTGGGCACCCTTTATCCGAAACGCCCGCGAGACCTATTCTCTATCATATGGCAAAACTGGATGCGCAGTTTGTCGACCTGCCGGGCCGCCATGATGGTTCTTGGTTGTGTAAACCACCGTCGACCAAATCAGAGGCCGCCTGGCTGTTTAAGAGGTTGCTCTCCAGTAGGTCGGTGCCGTGGCAGACGTGTGTCGTTTGACGCATCTCCAGACTTAATTGTGATTTTTGTGTATGCCGTCCTGCGCTTTTGCTTCCTTTACGCCGTCTCCTCCCACGCCCTCCTGACAATTCTCGAGAACATGTCGACGTTGACGTCCTCGCGAACCTCGGACTTCTTGGCCTCGTTGTCCGCATTCCGGGGAATCTTGACGATGTCGCCCTCAATCTTCCAGCCGGCGGTCTCGGTGATGAACTTGGCAGCGGCATCACCATCAAGGCCGAGCCACGACTCGAGGACTGAAACCTCGATCTCGCGGTAGGCTTGGCTGACGAGCGTAGCAATGCGTACGCGGATGAGATCCTCGAAGCCGTCAATGTCGGTCGTCATGTCGGCGTAAAGGTCGTCGCTGTCGAGCGTGGCCCAGAAGCGAGCGTACTGGGCTCCATCGAGCTGGTTGTTCAGCTCGCGGAGCTTGGCGATGGCCTCGGGCAGCTCACCCCGCGCGTTAGGTGAGAGGAGCGTGGGAGGGATCAGGTGCAGGGCGAGGCTGAACTGCGGCGACGGGAAGCAGGTTATCGCCATGACGAGGATGTTGGTGATTTGCTCATCCTTGATGCGGTCGGGGTTGAGCTGATATCTGCGGTAAGGCGGAAAGACACACCGTTTTGTCAGCAGAGAAACGTGACGGAAGTGACGGCTGGCAAGTGAGCGCAAATGCGACAGGACAACAAGATTGGATGCTGCAGTTCAGAGATCACAAAGGTCGCTTCAAGTACGACAGGCGGATTAGGCGCTGCGCTCAGGTAATAGGAAACGTTGACATTGGGCTCATCATTTGAGGCATCCGTCGTGATCTTGTCGTCGTGAAGCTGTCGGCGAGTTTCGCGGCTCTGGTTGATGGAGCAAGGATGGATCAAAAGCCAGAGATATACTCACAGCTTGAGGAGTGTCCGGTTGGCATTCGAGTCGCAATATCTGTTTTCGCACTGGTGGCGCAGGTATTCCTCAAGAGGGCCGACAGCCTCCGGGTTGTAACGCTCGAGGCCGTTGATGATGGTGGAGATGTGCTCGGGCCGCTCGCGGGGGTCTTCGGTGTCCATGGTGGGCGACGATGTGTGAAGCTGTACCGCTCTGTGTATATGTTTGTCGTGACGATGTGGAGGGAGTGTCGTACTGGGGTCGCGGGCGCCTTGAGTCTGCTTGCCGTGGAGGGGTGGCCCAGAAAATCGCAGTGGTGGGGCACCCGCGATGTCGAGGATTTCGCTCGTCGAAAGTGTGGTGTTCTGCTGCTGCAGGTCCGAGCAGGCGGTGGGCAGTGTTCAAGTGGTCTGTGCACGATCATGAGTGGATCCCTCTCGTTGCAGCTTCAACGCCTACGCCGTCCATGGTTCCATTTACAAGGGCCAGTCATGACCATCTGGGCGGGACTCTTGCGTCCCTTGATGGACAAGCTGTGTTTTACTCCCTCGTGCAGTATGAATTGCACTCCTTCGTTTTCTGGACTGCAAGCACCCAGTTGCCCGCGGCATAGCCACATCAGATTGCATGGCAAAGGTTGCGTGGCTGGGGAGGCTTATGCTTAGGCTTAGGCTTGGGCTTGGGCTTTTCAGCATTCTATTGCTCTGTTCGTTATTCTTATACTCATGAAGTTGTAAGTCTATCGCCTCTTTCTGTTGCTTCTGCCCCCCTCAGGAAACCGTAATCTATTCCTCGATCTTGCGTCTCTTGGCGGAGTCCTTCACCAGCAGAGAGGCTCCGGTCATGTCCTCAGGAATGGGCAGACCCATGGCATCGAGGATTGTGGGAGCCACGTCACCAAGGACGCCTTCGTCGCCCTGCTTCAGAGACCAACCTTCCGGCTGGTTGTACATGATGAAGGGCACCTTGTTGGTAGTGTGCGAAGTCTTGGGCTTGCCGTCTTCAAACTTCATCTCCTCAGCATTGCCGTGGTCGGCGGTGATGAAGAGGATGTAGCCCTCCTTCTTGCAAGCGTCCTTGATCAGGCCAATGGCCTTGTCTGTGGCCTCGACACCGACAAGGGCAGCCTCGTACACACCCGTGTGGCCAACCATGTCCGGAGGAGCAAAGTTGTTCATGACAAAGGGGAACTGCTGCTCGCCGAGGCGCTTGACGACCTGCTTGGCAACACCGTCGGCGCTCATCTCAGGAGCCTTGTCATATGTGGCAACGCTCTTGTTGGAAGGGACGAGATCCTGGCTCTCATCGCGCTCCTCGAGAGCAAAGACCTTCTCAACACCACCGTTGAAGAAGAAAGTGACGTGGGCATACTTCTCGGTCTCTGCGATGTGAACTTGGCGGACCTCCTGCTTTCCCAGCCACTCGGCAAGCACGTTATCCATCTTCTGAGGCTTGAAAGCAATGTCGAAGGGGTAGTCGAGCTTGTATTGAGTCATGGTGGTGAGGCGGATATCCTTGGGGTAGGGGAAGTCGGGTCTCGGCGACCGGTCGACACCACCGAGCAGCTGCGTGATTTGGCGCGCGCGATCGGACCGGTAGTTGAAGAAGAAGACCTCGTCACCCTCCTGGATGCGGCCCTCCTGGCCACCGACAACGATGGGCTTCAGGAACTCGTCGTTTTCGCCCTTCTCGTAACGCTCCTTGATAGTGGCGACAGGATCGCTGCTCTCCTCGCCTTCACCGAGAATAATGCCCTTGAGGGCAAGCTCAACTCTCTCCCATCTCTTATCACGGTCCATGGCGTAGTACCGACCGACGACGGTGGCAATCTCACCGATGCCGATTTCCTTCGTCTTCTCGAGAAGCTCCTCCATGTAGGCGGCGCCGGACTTGGGGTCGGTGTCGCGGCCATCGCCGAAGAAGTGGATGAAAACCTTGGGGACACCAGCCTCCTTTGAGGCCCGAAGCAGGGCATAGAGGTGCTCCTGCTTGGAGTGCTGCAGGGGATCATGGTTAGCACTATGCGAAACTCCTGGTCTGAAGGAGGCACAGGACTCACAACACCGCCGTGGGAGACAAGACCGCACAGGTGCAGTCTTCCCTTGCCCTCCTTGGCGCGCTTGATGACCGCCGAGATGACCTCGTTCTTGGAGAACTCGCCCTTCTTGATGGTCTGATCAATGCGGACGACATCCTGCCAGACGACACGGCCAGCACCAATGTTCAAGTGGCCAACTTCCGAGTTGCCCATGAGGCCCTCAGGAAGGCCAACGGCAAGGGAGGAGGCTTCGAGCTTCGTGTAGCCGGTCTCGCTGGTGGCGAACTCGTCCATGACTGGGGTGTTGGCATTGGTGATGGCGTCGCCATCCTTGGGGGAGGTCTCGGAGGGCACGCCCCAACCGTCGATGACGACTGCGAGGGGAGTAAATCGTAAGCATGCTTTGCTTTGCTTCGCGCGACCAGTCCGTCATGAAGCTTTTGCCTCGACAATGTTCCCTGCTACTTTTGCGAGCCGCAATGGTGGGGCAGTGTGACAGAGGGGAGCACTTACTGAGGCACGCCTTCTGTTCGGGCACAGGCATTTTGAGTTGTTGCAAAGCTTTAGGAATGCTCGGCGTGTCTAATTGATGGTTGCGAGTTTTGTGAAATACACCACAGGTTTCAGTAAAGAACTCTGAGTGATTTTGGCAAGGAAGAGGCGGGATGGAGCTGGGGTGTCGCGGAAAGCGTTGAGCAGGCGGCGTCTCGCGTTAGTCTCAGAAACATGTTGGCAAGGTGGGGGTGCACTGCACCACCACGCATATCGATACTCCCGTCCCTTGGCGGCAGGGAAGCTTCTGGTGGGACCCTCTTGAAGATCCCATTACATCACTCCTCGACACATTTTTTTGGTGACCGGCGGACTGACGATTGTCCTTGCCTTGGCGAGCACCTGGGCACACTCGAGAGAGCTCACGACGGTAAATCGTGTTAACCAAATCTAGTCAAGAGCCCATCTCGACAGGTCGCGTCTGGCCGGAGTATCCGTGACATTGGTGCCGGACGTTTTTGCGACGACTCCCGGCTGATATGGATCTCAGCTTGGGAGGTCCCCTGTGTCTCTGCGAGATTGACCTCCGGATGTTGCTGGAGTCCCGTTTTGTCTTCTTTTCTAGTATTCTTTCTTGACGCTGGTACGCCAGCTTAGTTTAGCCCTCCACGGTTTCTGTAGAGCGTAACAGGCAGAGCGCTTGTCGCCACGGTAAAGTTGTTCCAAGACCTTCGAGAATGAGCTTGTCCCACTCACGAACGTCGTTAGGGGGAGTGTCAGAGGAAAATCTGCGCAGAACTAGAAGTCCACAGGTGGCCACGTCCTAAAGTACCCACGACGCTTTGCCTCGAAGCTGGACTGCTTTTCCGCGTTTTCAATTCGGCTTGGGTCACGGATGTTTTATGCGGAGGGATCAATTCCCTGAACCCTGGCCTGGCAGCAGCATCAATGGACTGGCTGCACTGCACCAAGCACTACGACTGTGGGTGTGGGGCATCTGAACGACCCTTGGATCCACCCATCATCTAGTCTCGCGAATAGCTTCGTGGAATGCAAATAAAACGTCCATCACAAGTCTTCCTATTGAACACAACCGTAACGCAGGCAGCTAATGCCGTCCCCATTGGTCTCAACCTACCACCACATAGCATCGCTTCAGAAACGCCATATACCCGCCCATCCGGTATCGCGACCGCGCTCTCTGCTTTCTGCCGACCAGCATCCCCGGGCCTCGACACCATGACATCCCAACCACCACCGCCGCTCGGCCTCCCGGCCGGCCTCAATCCCGACGCCCTTGACACACTCTCTGACCTCGCAAGCGTCCTCACGCGCCTACGCGGCACAGGCGGGGGCACATCGTCGACATCCACACAGAACCACACCGCCGGGCCTTCCTCCACCACCAGCACCATTACCGGTGCGACAACCTCTGGCAGTACCACCACCACCGCCGCCGGCGGGCCGCCCCTTGCCCTCAAAGACCTGCCGGGCCAGTCCGACCAGCTGCGCCACCGCTTCCAGAAGGCGCGCGCGCTGGTCCGCACGTTGCCGGACATGGAGCGCAGCACGGCGGAGCAGGAGGTTGAGATCGCCGCGCTCGAGGCCAAGATTGCCAGGCAGAAGGAGACGCTCGAGAAGCTCAAGGCCCTGGGGAACAAGTTTGCCGCGACATCACGTGACGACGGAGACGGAGACAGGATGGAGGAGTGAGTGTATGTGATTGAGTGAGGCGAGTGATCCGCCAGCGGATTACCAAAAGCGAGATCCTTCGTCGTTGAGGCTCACTGTGCCTGATTCATTCAGCACACAAGGAACTTGGGAAGGCTTCTGCGGGGTTGCGGTTGGTTGCTGTTCGACTGTCTTTTGTGCGGGTGCATTCACATAGCATGCGAGGCGTTTCTGGTGTTTTGGTTTCAAGGGAAGTTTTTCAACCGATATACCAAACAGTGCAATGCAAGACGCTTCATATGTGTACTTATTTTGGTATCAGCCAAATTCCATCCATGTGCAACGCTTCCCCTTTTGATCGATCGCGCATTACCAGGTCCCGATGAGAAGACCTTGTCCTCACACAGTTGCTAGTTTTGTCATATAGCTTCCACTGCTTCCGCCCGTCCTTGCTCGGACAGCCCATGGTGCTTTAGTGTTCCTTGGGCTTCAGCGCTCCTACCTTGCGCAGGATATCATCGGTGCTGAGGCTTGGGTTGCCGCAGACCGTATTCTTCCAGACGTCGTCAGGAAGCCGCTGGTCCTCGGGTAAGATGCTCCAGTTTGGCGACGCCTCGGCCTTGAGCCACTTGAAGTCATCGACCTGGTCCCATTGGTTCGTAGGCGCCTCTTGATCCGACTTGAGCATCTGGTTTTGGTCGAGCGAGGAATGTTAGTATAGAGACTTTGTCATTTCACTCCATTCCGCAGCTTGCAATATGAAGCAACGCCACCCCGGACACACTGAGTTGAAAGACTTACGTAGAACTCGGGAATCGGCGCGAACCGCATGTTGCTGCAGTCCTCGATGATGGGATGGCTGGCGCAGTGCAGATAGACGTCGACATTCTTGCACTCGTGGATCCGCACCTGTCTCGCCGCCACCACCACGACAGTGTCCTTGAGAGCAGTGATGTGCACCGGGCCGGCAACATGGCCGGCCACAATCAGGCTGTTCTTGATGCCCTTGAGCGCGAGTCCGGCAAACGGCGCGCCAGTGCTAGTGGGCGCGGTCATGTCGACGATGCACCGGTCGAGATCGGTCAAGCTGCCCGACGAAGTCGCGCGAGATGCCGTGGCGGGGAGGATAATGTGCAGACCGGTGTGTCCGTTGATCGCGATGTTCTTGGCCGCTGAGAAGCTGGGTTTGCGGACATTGTTTCCACCACGGCCGCCATCGGGAGCGGGCCGGGACAATTCCTCGTTGTAGTTCTTGAAAACGGGCATATGCCCGACAGAGTCTGCCTCTTCGCCATCGACTGCTGCCGAACCATTGTCGGCGATATTTGTGGCTTCCAAGGAGTCGGCTACTTTTGCGACAGCTTGTGCAGGGGTCCTCGAGTCGATTGCGGCCGGAGCGGTCTTTGCGGTCCTCGGCTTGAACTGGAACCGGGACTTGGGTGCGAATTTGCTGGTGACCTCGTTGAGTTTCTCCGTGAGGCCCTTGATTGCCTGGGCGTATGCTCGCTGGTCATAAGACGGCACGTACTCCGAGGCATCCGCAACTTCGTTGTTGAGGCGAGAGATCCCAGCAAGGATGGCATCTGTGCAGTCTTTTCGCTCACCACCGATGGGCGAGGTTGTTGCCAGGACGTCAAGTTGGTCCTGAATTGCTGTTGGGAGCAAATCGTATTAGTGACTCGGCAGCGTGTAAGTGAGATGTTGTGGTAAAAGAACGTACTGGTGATCTCTGCCTGGAAATGGCGAAAGAACTTTTCCTTGGGGTCCGACATTGGGAACGAGTTTGATTTCCCGGGTGGACTAGGTTGGAATGGTATGAAAGCCTGGACATCCATATTGGTTACTGCTGTGTCGATGCAGGGGAGGGTGCCTCGAATTTTATGCAAGAGTGGTGACAGTGGCGAGACCAGTGACAAGCAAGTGACACGAGACCGTTGACAGTTGAGAGGTGCCAGATGAATGTTCACGGGCGATGGTGTAGCAGTCGCGATGAAGCCAGGAAAACCAGCTTGGAAATGTGAAAGAAGGAGGGTACAGAATGAGGCAAGCAATGACCTACTCACGCAACAGGGTTGACAAGTGCCTATATAGCGATGGCTGAGCAGCCTTGAGGAGCCTCTCGAGGTCGCATTAGGAGCGGTGGGTGGCACAGCTGGGGGCCGGCAGCGAAGGGCCCGCGATCAGTAGCGTTGTGGTTGAGAGCCTAGCGATCGGGCCTGTGCTCTGGCTTTGGACTTGCGAGTCGCGATCATGCAGAATGTCGTCTTGCAGTGGCATGACTGGCTGGAGAAGGCAGCCGAGGCCAAGGGGGTCAACCGGTCTGCCAGTCCCATCACAACGGGCCTGCAGGCGGGCATCACACCACGCGGGCGGGGTGGAGCCACCCACCAAGCCACTGCGACCCCGACTGCTCAGGCGCATGTCTCCCCCGCACTCCCGCACGACGCCATCCCGAGCGGCCGTGGGGATCTCTTCTAATGCCGCCTGACGCGGGCTTGCCAATGACGTAGCAGGTCATGTGGCGACGATGGCGTTCTTCAGGGCCTTCCGGCTCGGGTAGAGATCCGTCATTCGGGGGATTAACTCTCTCGGAGATAACCCTCATCTGTGTCAGCTTTCGACCGAACCGGCCAGGCGGATGCAGGTAGGGTCAACTCAATCTGCACCAATGTACCGGGTGATCACTCACTAGCACGCATCATGACTCTGGCAGAGACGATCTCACAGTTTATGCTCGAGACTTATGTATCAATCTTAGGTGGTGGTCGCTGTTGACCCTGCTGATTACCTGTCTCACATGTTCTGCTTTCCCTAAAACCGTCTTCGTCCAACGATGGTGCAGTGCGTTGCTGAGGATGGCAACGAACGCATGACAGGGTCTTGATTATTGCCGTTGAGCTTGATCGCAAGGGAAGGGAGGGGCAGCGGACCCCTGGCTCAAAGTCACTCAAGGCTTCACCAGCCAAGACCGCCACAGCGACGGCCCAGGACACGTTCAAGGTGCGCAGCAGGTCACCGAGGAGTGTGAAAAAAAAGACCACTGCTTCTTTCTGCTGATCGAAGGGCAGCTTCGTGTCAGCCGTTTCCTCGCCGTGTTTGGCGGGTGTACCGCCGCGGGAACGAGATCATACTAATCATGGCAATTCGCGAGCGTGGCAGAGCTTGGTGAACCCAAGATCCAATCGCGTGAGGACCGAGGGATGACCGAGGAGCACGGATCGGAAGCAGACAGGTACATTGCAAGTGCACAGAAATTCTAGTGCTGGCTTGCACAGGGTCCATTGTGAACTTCAGCAGCCCAATTGGACGGCTGGTGCTGTGGTGATGGAAAAGCTCGTTGTGCCCGTCATTGCCTCAAGGTAAATACCCCCAAGGTCGTTAGAGAACCCATCATTCAGGGTCCTCCATGAGCTCATGCACCGATCTGACGTAGTACATTCCAAATCGGGGCTAGCGGTTCCTGATTCTCGATTTCAATCATCGTGACCCTTAGATTATCGGAATTTCTCCCCACGGGCTTCCTGTGCCCTCGCCTCTGCACGACGACAACTCTCCTCGTTCGCCGAGATCAGCCATCCTCATCATTGCTGGCCGTGGAAGGACCTGTCATCGCCTGATCACTCTTCCGCCCAATTGCTCGACGCCCACGGGGCACACCAACCTGGGGATGCATACAATGTGCACCCGCCCAGCCGTCCTGGCTTCACGACATGGCCAAGCTTGCCTAGCAAAAACCTGCTCTCCGCGACACTTACAGCTCACCTCGTCGCCGTCCGTACCAATACGACGCTTCGCCTCAAAGTTCGCCCCGTCAGCCAGCGAGGTCAACATCCCGCCCGCCAGAGAGCCCAGCGCCACGATCCCAACGGCAGAAGCCCTCCTCAATCCGCCACCGACCACTCGCCCGCCTCCTCTCGACGTGCCTGCCCGCGACCCGCAAAAGTCTCTCCCCGCGTACCTCTTCTCCGTCGGCAAGACCTACATCACATTCTACAAGACCGGGCTCCGCAACATCCTCACAAACCGGAAGCTCCTGGCTGCATCCTCCGCCGCGGCGCCCCCGAAGCTAGACAAGCACGGCCGCGCCTCGACCTTCCCGTCGCGGGCGGACTTTGTCCTCCAGGCCCGCACGCGGCACGACATCGCCCGCCTCCCCGTGTTCGGCCTGGTCATCCTGATCTGCGGCGAGTTCACGCCCTTGGTCGTTGTGGCCTTTCCCAAGCTCACCCCCTACACGTGCCGCATCCCCAAGCAGATCGACATCCTCCGCCGCACGGCCGAGACGAGGCGCGAGGCGAGCTTCAAGGCGCTCCGCAACGCGGCTCCCGAAACGCCGTCATCAGCAACACAGCAACAAGGGAACGGGGACAAGAGCAGCAGCAGCAGCAGCCACGAGCTCACTGGTGCTATCGCGAAGCTGGCCCCGGGCCACATCGCCCGCACCCTGGGCCTGACGAGCCGGATATGGGACCGGGTCGGCATCGACAGCCCGTTCAGCGCGGCGCTCAGCCAGCGCGCGGTGCGCAAGATCGCGGCCGACGACCGCCTGATCAGGCGTGACGGCGGTGTCGGCGGATTGATCGACGATGAGGTTGTCCTCGCGTGCGAGCAGCGCGGGATGAACGTCCGGGACCAGCAGGCTCGGAACCTGCGGAGGAGGCTCGATGAATGGGTTCGCACGACTACTCGTGGCGGTGATCGTGGTGCGGCAGAGGCAGGCGAGGCTGATTCCGCGACAGAGGCGGCCGTGCGGAAGATGTTACTCTCGGAAGAGGTCATACTTGGCAAGGGCGTCACAACATGAGCATGGTCATGTGTAAGAAGATGTATGAATACGTACTTTAGACGGACCCAGTCGCCAAGAAACATACACTGGCATCAAATATGAGTTATGAAGACAAGGCCTCAAAGTCTCGTGGCACAGAAATGATGAGACTATGTCACAAGTGGATGGGTATTTAGAAGTGACCTTGACATCAGTATGCCAGCGCCATAATATCTTGGGTATCTACTTAAGCTCGGAACAAGATCGAATAGCCTTTGATCAATTGTGACCTCATGAGACATTCGAGGGATCGAAACAACGCAACGACGCCCATCCTCCTTGGCTGCACAAGCCCAAGAAGACCTAGGGCTTTCTTGCGATTTGGCTTGAAATTACTGTCGATATCTTGCCAGCTGCGACATAATGTTCTGCACGTGCTGAGCAGAATCTCCTCCTTGAGCTGGAGGGCCATGTGCGCCAGGAGCTGGGGGGTGTCCATATTGGTGTGGGTGGTGCTGTGGATGGAGATGTCCCTGCGGCACAGGAACGTTATTCCCAAGAGCCGCCAGGACAGCGTTCACGTCCACTTGACTACCATTAGCACCCACCAGAGGCTGTCCCGCGCCACCTTGCTGGTTCTGAATGGTTCCTAGTATCTGGTGCAGCGTAGCGTTGTCTAGGGACCCTGGTTGCTGCGGCGCGCCACCTCCGTACGGTTGGGTGGCTGGCGCGGGATAGGGATATTGAGGATGACCGTACGCTTGCGCAGGTTGGACAGGCGGACCAGCAGGAGGATATTGGGGCGCCGGAGGGTAGGGACTAGCACCATAAGGTGCCGCCGCATACTGCGCCGTTTGTGCTCTTGTGCGAGCGACGAGTTGTGCAGCAATATGTGGCTCCAGATCTTGGTATTGATCAAAGCGGACCTTGTCACGACCAGCAGATCGATCAAACACCTGCAATGGTATTCTACCATATTGCTGGGCACGAAAGTCCAACTCCGTCACCGCATGAACGCCTTCAATGATTTGCCGCTGAATAACGGCATCGCGCGGAAATCGTGGGTTGAGGAACATAACATCAACCCGAAGTCCAACGTCAGAGAAGGCACGTTGAACCCAGCCTACAAAGTCCCGCTCTACTTCTTGGAGCAGCAGGAACTGGACATCAGGCACTTCACTTCCATAACGTCGTGGAATGTCGAGGGAAGACTCCGAGTCTTGACGCCTCCGCGGGCTGGGGCTCCGGCGACGATAGGCCTCGTAGTTCTGGTTGCCATATCCGGGCGACCGTGAGCGGCCCCGAGAACCGTACCGTCCACCATCAAATCGTGAGGGTTCACCGTAGGAGCCTTGCTGCCGCTGGCCGCCTCGGCCGTGTGGTGGCGAATCTCGTCCTGGGCGGTAGTCGTCTCTTTTCGGTTTGGCTGTCTCGGCACTTTCACGCCTGTCGCTTTTGCCTCTGCTGCCCCTGCGGTCCCCATCTTCATTCCGTTTCTGTGTCCGGGAGAATTCCAGGTCTTACTGTGTTAGTCCTTGTTCCGTGCTAAGAGTTGGGGAATAGTGCTTACTGATCTTACGGCCTTTGATTTCTCTACCCTGAAGATTGTTCATCGCAGCTTGGCCTTCTTGCTGCGTGTGGTACTGCACAAAGCCAAACGCTTGCTTCAAGGAAATCTGCGCCAAGCGACCAAATGGAGAAAAGATATCGAACACTTCCCGCTTTGATACACGTTCACTGGACAGGTTTCCGATAAAGAGACGAGAGCCATCCGGGAACCTATCCCATTTAGCATCCGCCACGTACTTTCGCTCTTCTTGTTGGAACGTGTCCCAGTTCTGCAGGCCTTGTCCATGCTGGTGGCTCGATATACCAGGATCAGATCCAGACCCCCGGCTTGCAGACGATCCAGCAAGCAGAGACTGGGGGACTTGTGGAAGTGCATCTACCGGCATAGGAGGCCGAGGCGGCAGGGTAGACGGCTTAGATGCGGCGGAAATGCCTGCACCGCTCTGCTGAGCACCCTGTAGTCCCGGCACGGGAGCGACGACAGGCTGCGTGGCGCTCGATCCGGTTCGTGCTTTTTCGTGATCCGTAACGTCTGTTGATGAGGCATTATCATCACTTGGGACTGTAAGACTGCCTTTCTCGACAGACTTTTGGTGCCGCTCCTCCGTAGCTCCCCCTGTGGGAACTGACAGTTTGGCATCCAGGGAAAGCACCGAGCCGTCGTCCCTGGCACTGAGTGCATTATCAACATCACTCGGCTTGTCGCTGGTATGAGGAGATGCCTCAGGGTCTCCGTCCGATTGTATGGCACCGTGAACAACTACGGTGATAGGACTTCTGCCAGCAGACGTTTCTTCGCCCAAACTTTCAGGCCGTTCTGGTGAATCGGCAGCGCTCTCTTCACCATTCCTCTGCTCAGGGACCTGATCGGCATCATCTGGCGTGGGTCCACCCTCGGAAGCTCCACCGTCCTCCTGTTGAAGAGCCTGTGTCGTATCCGATTCATTGGCTTCCTGTGCGGGGTTATTCTCGACGACAGCATTCGAAGGGGCCACCGTGCTTGCTTCTATCCCGTTGGCTGCCCCTTGTTCGTGGTTCTGAATGGGCAAAGAGGCCGCCTCTGAGGTCTGTAGAGCCGTCATGGCATCAAAATGGTCAACCTGCTCCTGCAGTGCAGGGACTACAACGGGGGACGAGGGATGTAGAGGGCTGGGAGATACGGGAGAAAGATCGGCTGTAGCCAGCAGGGGCGGCGTTTTGTCAGTCATCAATGCAGATGGCGAGGGCGATTCTTCGCGCGGATCTAGGTGGGAAGCTAGGCCTGCGCCGTACGCCTCAACAAGGGACACAAGTCTGCCTCAAAGTTGGGGGTGGATGGATGTTAGGGCAGATTAGCACCTCAAAAGTAGTCTGATGGCGAGGGCCGGCACCCTGGATTGGCGACGGAGGTGATTATATATCACGCGAAGAGGGCTTAGAGCAGATTGCAGCTGACTGTGGGTGTGGTTGAAGACGCTGGAAGCCAGGCACCAGATGGAGAAGGGCAGATGTGCTCTTGGGGTTGGATAGGCAATATTACAACGGTAACGGTCGAGGGGTCGCGGCTCGAGAGCCTGGGAGGGCTGGATCTGTTTGTTGACGTGTTCGGCGGTGGCCAGTAGTAGTCTTGGCGCAGCAACGGTGGCACTGAAGTGTCTGGATCACGAAGGAGATCCTGAAGGCTTCTGGCTGTAGGGCGAGCCTCAGGAGGCGGTTTGTGTCGCGAAGTCGGTGGCGGTCAGACAGGCGGGGGTCTCGTCAAGGCAGACAGAGCAACAAACGACGGGGCTGATTGGGGTGGATGAGGGCTTGATTGTCTAGAGACGAGTAACTCTGAAGGAACAGCCAATACCGGCGCCGAATAAAACGAATGGCGGGAGGACAGGTGCTTAGTCCGTCGTGGTTGACCAGGGCACGCAAAGGCGCGATGCTGGTGATGAGTGAGTGGTGATGGTGATTATGGGAGAAACCCAGGCCGAGGGGACCACGCTGGAGGGGCAGCTTTTCAGCTCTGCCAGGAGGAGCTCTGGGCTTTCGCATCCTCCAGGGCTTGGCTTGCGCAGCCTGGCATGCCAAGGCGGGACCCTGCAAGCACAAGCGGCGCTGGATCAGATCCGCAACGCAACTCATCCGTCAACATAAGGTGCATCCATCGCTTTGGCCAATGTCTGCGTTGACAAAACGTGTTGCGGTCTCGTGTGATGTGGGCAGCAGAAGCTCATGGCATAAGAATTGCTTATGAGTTCGGATTTCTACCACAGCACGCGTCGTTTATGCATGATCTGGGCCAGCTGTGTCACCGCAGATGATCCAATCCTTCGCTAGGCGGCACGTCGTGCCGCGTGGAGTGTTGCCATCGATTTGCAAACGTGCGCTCCAGACCCAGCCCTTTGAGGCTGGCTATGATCAGGAGGAACTTCGGGAAGCCCGCGAGTGGCATACCACCTTTACAGAGGCGAAGCTGCCTCGGGGCGAGACGACCTTTTCGCGATCAAGCGGTCCCGGGGGTCAGCATGTGAACAAGTTCGTTGCTTCCGTCCAAGCCACAAGATCCCGACAGCTGATGGAGAATAGAACCGAGAGCAAGGCCACCACGTCATGGTCTATCAGTGAGCTGTCTCGCTGCCTCCCGAAGATCCTGCATCAAACTTTGAGACAGTCAAAGTACTACGTCAAGCGTAGCGACTCGATATTGGTTCAGGCCCAAACACAGCGGAGTCGGGCTGCAAACAGTGACGAGAATCGGGGAAAGCTGATGGAGGAGATTCAGCGCATGTACAAGGAGCTTGTACCGGGAGTGACTAGCTCGGAGACGAAGAAGAAGCATGCGACCATGTAGGTTGTACCACGGATTGGTCGGCGGGACTTGTGCAAGCTCCTGAGCGTGTGGCTGACTTGGATACAGAGCGAAAGCTTTTCATGATACCAGGGTCAAGGCGAAAAAGCACCATAGTGCCAAGAAGGCCTCGAGGAAAGGTCCATCTGAGTAACGTGCCATGTGGGAAGAGGCTCTCGAGAAATGTCGGGAGTATAGAAACATCAAAGGTTGCTCCAGTCAATGCCCGTCCTTCAAGTCAGCTGGGATTGAAGGATGCACGCTGTAAGGACTGCTTTCCCATGGTTTGGGGAGACTGCATGCACAGCAACAAGTGTGCCCAAGTCGATCACGATAAGGCTCGACCAAAGAATTCCCATGTGGAAAACTACTCTGAGCAGGGAATACTACACAATCCAGGGCCCAGCCTCGACCTACGAAAGAAGACCCATGGATCGGCGTGATCCCGCGATAACCTCTCACAACGGCCGCCCTGGAGGACTCCCACCCTGGATGGTTACTGCTGACCCACCCACATGCTGGCGTTCGTGCTGGCGAGCCCCTCCCACGCGCCCGTTGCTCAAGTGCTTGTCTGGAGCCCCGCCGTTTTACCCTGCAGCCCTGAACGTCCGGTAAACTCTCTGCTCAAGTGCCATCCAAGCGTCGACTGAGTGGCCTCACCTCCACCTGCAGGCGGACCCTGCGCTTTCCTAGCCTCCTTGCGCAGTCCTTCGAGCTGACGCAGCTACTTCTTCCATCTTTCCTGCCGTGCGCATCCCTTCAGTGTCGCTCGTCCACCTTGTCCTCTCCATATCAATTCTGCCTGGCCCCTTTCACGGAGCGCACTGGTGAAGACCCAACTGCCGAGTTCGTACCATCGACTATCAAAGGTCTGCTCGACTCGGACGGGCTCGACCAGAACGGCCCCGCCTTCGCGACAAAACTGCATCGCGCCGGCGAACAAGATGAGCAAAGCAGCCGATGGCCAGAACGGCTCCCAGACGCAGACCCAGCCTTGTCAGTACAAGGTGGGGAAGACACTAGGAGCCGGATCATATTCTGTGGTCAAAGAATGTGTTCACATCGAGACTGGGCGCTACTATGCTGCCAAGGTCATCAACAAGCGCCTGATGCTGGGGCGTGAGCACATGGTTTGTCTCTCAGGACCTCCAGGTTTCTGCCGCGCAAGCCAAACTACTTGGGGCTCCATCGCTGACGTTCTGGTTGCCATTGTAGGTTCGAAACGAGATTGCCGTGCTCAAAAGAGTGTCTATCGGTCACCAGAATATCCTTACGCTCGTCGACTACTTTGCAACCATGAACAACCTGTACCTCATTACGGACCTGGCTCTTGGTGGTGAACTCTTCGACCGCATCTGCCGCAAAGGCTCGTACTATGAGTCGGATGCGGCAGATCTGATTCGGGCGACCCTGTCGGCGGTCGCTTACCTACACGACAATGGCATAGTTCACCGCGATCTCAAGCCAGAAAACCTCCTCTTCCGCACCCCAGAAGATAACGCTGATCTTCTTATTGCCGACTTTGGCCTATCACGCATCATGGACGAGGACCAGTTTCACGTTCTCACAACGACCTGCGGAACACCAGGGTACATGGCACCGGAGATCTTCAAAAAGACGGGGCACGGCAAGCCTGTTGACATTTGGGCCATGGGCGTCATCACATATTTTTTGCTGTGCGGGTACACACCGTTCGACAGAGATAGCGACTTTGAAGAGATGCAAGCCATCCTCAACGCCGACTACAGCTTCCAGCCGACCGAGTACTGGCGCGGTGTCAGCGATCATGCCAAGGACTTCATCAATCGCTGTCTCACAGTGGACCCGAATAAGAGAATGACAGCCCACGAGGCGCTCTCGCACAAATTCGTCGCCGGCTACAGCCTCAGTCCGGATGGTGACAAAGGGCAGAATCTGTTGCCTGTTGTTAAGAAGAACTTCAATGCCCGCAAGACATTACATGCTGCCATCGACACAGTCCGCGCAATTAATAAGCTCCGCGAAGGCCAGAACAGCCATCTCATGGATGGCAGCAAGTCTGCTGAGCCAGACAGAGGGGCGGCACCCGCTGGAAAGGACAGCGGCGTGTCTCTCAGTAAAGGGGACTCTGGGTATTCCACAAGTGGAGGCGTTGACGTTGAGATGGGGGGTATGGATGGTGTGCCATCAAGTCTTAGACCAGGCCAGGCGGTCAACAAGGTTGTGGAAACGTCGAAAGGCCTGTGGCAGTCTGGTCAAGACAGTTCAAAGGGTTTGTGGCAAGCGAGCCAGGCTAGGAGGTGATGGCACCTGGGCAGCAGGTCACACCGACTCGCGTTTGGTACATGACTTTGGCACAGGTGGGCAGTTGGGATATCGCTAGGACTTTGGGGTTGCAGCTCGCCCTCGATCACAGGAAGATGCTAGCAGGACGAAAGCACCTACCAGGCTGGTGGATCCGGTTTGCTGGCAACCCTACAATGGCTGCGACTGGATGACCGCGCCTTGGTGTCCAGGCTAAGCAGAACTCCTTGGATCGATGACGAATGGACAGCAGGACTGTTGGAAACAAGCTCATGACCACGTTAATCAGCGTCATTCTACATATTTACTTACAATGATACACCATATTCTGCCTAGAGCTGAGAAGAGATGGTTACTTGTGCTACCCGACCAATCCATTGCCATGTTCCGTAAGCGCTGGCGCCAGGTGGACTAGACGTGGACCTACCAACTCAGGTGATTGGTGAGTGCCCGGCTGTCCGGCTGGACGCGAGCGATCTCGGGGAACTCCACCTCCGCATGTCAGCCGATAGGACCCCGTTCCCCACTTGGGCCGAGTCACTCCTCGGCTGGGCTTTATGACAACCGGGGCCTACAAATCGTGAAAGTCATTATCTTCGAGAATTGCCAAAAGGTCGTAGTCCCATGACCTGGTTCCCAACCGAATTTTAAGTCGTTTACAAGTTCGACCACGGCTGTGCCCAACGTCACACTTTGAGATCCCGCACGTGCCCAGGAGGCCCAACGTTACAGACATCATTTGGGACATCCGTATATTGTCTACCGCAACAATAGAACCCACAAAAAGGCCGCAGCGATGGGTGTCTTTTACGAAACGGTCCCCGACTTCCTCATGACTTGGATCGCCAAGCAAAAAGTATTCTGGGTCGCCACGGCACCGCTCATGGGCCAGGGCCACGTCAACGTGAGCCCCAAGGGCGGCGCGACGGACCACGAGACCTTTGGCCTGCTCGACGACAAGACGTTCTGGTACCTCGACATGACGGGCTCCGGGTCCGAGACGATCAGCCACCTCTACGAGCCCGGGAACGGGCGGATCACAGTCATGCTCAACGCGTTCGAGGGGGCGCCCAAGATTGTGCGGCTCTGGGGCAAGGGCCGGGTCCTGGAGAGCGGGACGCCAGAGTTTGCCAGGTTTGTGGAGGACAACAAGGTGTTTACGCCGACGGGGACGAGGAGCATCATCCTCGTGGACGTGCATCAGGTCGGCAGCTCGTGCGGGTACTCGGTCCCGCTGTTCGACTTCAAGGAGCACCGCGATGTGCTGTTGAATCATTTCGCCAAGAAGAATGCGCGGTTCGAGGCGGGGAATGAGGAGGAGAGCATGGAACGGTGAGTCTTGAACCCCCCCCCCCCCTAAACAACCCTGCGAAGGAAACTCCTCTATACGCTCGCGTTGAGATGCGCAGTGTGAAGGGTGAATCGGTAGTGACGAGACCATGGCTTGCTGATTGGCATCTGTTTAGGTACTGGGCGTACAAGAATGCCTGGAGCATTGACAACTTGCCCAGCATGAAGCAAGGGCAGCAGACTGGCCAGGCAGAGCACGTCACCCCCCTCAAGAAGATGGTCGGGCCTCATGCACCCCCACTGCCAACATACGGTTCCAGCTGGTCTCTGTCGCCGGCTTCGGCGATCTTGTCTGCGCATTCGAGCCTCACGGTTGGTCAAGTCGGTCTGGTAACAGTTGGCACTTTCCTCTTGGGTATTGGTTTCGCTACATGTCTACCTCGGAATGCCGTGTCCGGTTCCTGGCTCTTCAAGTGAATGGTGAGAACCGACGAATGGCGACGATGAAATGATCGAGATATGTACACACAATTGCTCTCTCATGCGCCTGATTCTTCCCCAAACACTAGTTGCAATTATGACAATGGGCTGAGAGCGGGCCTATGTCTCATAAATAGCCGCATGCCGCAGCACTCGGCAAGCTCTAACGTGCTGAAAATCGTTTCTGAACGCACACGCAGTCAGTTCAAGCCGATCCTTGCGAAGTGACCCTGCCAAGTTGTCATTGGAGGCGAATAGAGTCCACCCCATGAAGAACAGCGGGATGTTCGCTGGCGTCATGGGAGAACAGATCCTTGACCCTTCTGGCATGATTCAATGGACCGATCACACACGGCGGGTGCCCGCTGAGGACGGCCTCGGTCCCATGCTCCTCTTTTTCCGAAACTCCTTGCGCGCTTCTTTCGCTGTGCCTCCCTCGGAATGTTTGGCGTTGCCCGTTCCTGACCTACGGAAGCCTTCCTATGACTTCTTGAACGGAACAGCCGGGGCAGGTACTGGTGTCTGAGTCTTGGCGGTGCTCGGTGCTTTTGACACAGCTGCCTTGGGCTTCTTCGCCTTCTTGGTTTTCGAGGGCGTGCTGGCGGCAACAGAAGCACCACCCACGCTGGGTGGCGGAATTGGTGTCTCGTTCTTGCCGGCACCTAGCGAGACCTGCGAGCTCGGAACTGGCGTCGAGGCCGAGGCACTAGACTTCTGCCTCTTCGCAGCAGTATCCGATGAGACCGTGGCTGCGGCCGTCTTGCGCTTCAGCGTAGCAGTAGGCTTGGCCGCGGCGGCTGCTGCGGGTGCATCTGCCATCTCCTCGTCCGAGTCGCTCCCTGACTCTTCGTCGGAGCTCGATGTGGCCGCATTCTGTGATACAGACGGAGCCGACGCCGCGGGCAATCTGGGAACTCCGATAGGCGTGAAACGTGGCCGCAGACCTTCGGGTTGCTGCCGAACGGTTCTGGGCTTGATAGCGTAGCTATCCGTGGCAGTGGAACTGTCACCACCATCGGGTCCGAACTTAACCTGACGCCGGATGTGGACAGCGGAGTCAATCGGGCGTTTGACTATGAGCTTTGTTAGCAAATTATGCCCATCCGCAATGATTAGTGTTACGTACTGCCGTGGTATTGATTGCCGGCCTTGGTCGGGATGAACAGCTGAACTTGAGAATTGACAGCTTGAGATTCGAGATCAATGCCATAGGCATCGCCACCGTGCTGCAGGATCGCGCGACCGGACTGGGCGTCCGCGAGATCTATCTCTAGCTCTTGCAGGACAGTGATTGGCAACGACGCGGGTGCTGTGAAGTACCAGACCTGCTTGCCCTCCAGCTGGGCAGAGCTGAGGAAGTCCGCGACCTCCTTGCCCGGGTCGTTGGAGTTAGCTTTCCGGATCGTGAAATTGCTGGATTCGAGCCAGTTGGGGCGAGAGCTGCAATTATGTTAGTGGTCGACTCTTTAAGGGGGGAAAATGTCTGCCGTATGAACTTACACTGTGGCTCCAGCGACACCGTTGGATTTAGTCACTGCTGCACCCGCTTCGGCGTCATTCTCCTCGTCGGATTCAGAGTCAGCCTCAGAGCCAGACTCTTCCTCACTAGACTCGTGCGCAGGTGCGCTGGCCTTAGTAGTAGCAGGAGCCACTTTCTTGGCCGCAACAGCAGCCTGAGCTGGTTTTGTCGTGATCTTTGCGCCCTCGGCTTGCTCATCCTCCTCCTCGCTATCACTCTCAGACTCTTCCTCACTTTCGCTGGAGCTCGAGCTGCTTTCAGCCTCATCATTCTTGGTAGCCTTAGCCGCAACGGCAGCAGGCACTCCCCGGGTCTTCGTCTCGGACTCGGACTCTTCGCTTGATTCTGAGTCCTCCTCCGAATCCGATTCAGAGTCGGAGTCTGGTGCCGCGGACTTGGCCGGTGGAGGCTTTGACGGTGTCGTCGCGGCAGCTTTGTTGCCATTGACTGCCGGGGCAGGGTTTGACTTGCTCGCGGATTTCGCTTGAAGCTTCTTGCGCTCGGCCGCGAGGTCGAGCTCGGCGTCGCTATCGCTGCCGCTGCCACTGTCATCGCTGTCGGAATCGCTGTCGCTGGAGTCTGAATCTGCTTGGGCTTGGGCAGCGAAGCCCTTCTTGGCCTGGCCGATGCTGGCTTGCAGGCCACTGGCCGAAGACTTCTTCTGGTCCTTCACTGCAGCAGCCATGCTGGTCAGGGAGGCGACCTTGGCACGAGGAGCCATTGCGCCGGATGCGCTTTGCGATTGATTGGTGTCAGAGAGTTTCTGGGGGATGTGGGCGTAGAGGGATGAGTTTGTCGTCGAGGTGAGGCGATCGTGAGTGGTGCGCGGGTTGTTGAGTGATGGTTGCGGCTTCGGATGCGCAATCGACGTTGCTGGGGCAGGGCAAAAGCAAGCGCAAGCCTCGAGTGCAGATGCGGGTTGGCTGCGCAGAGGGTGGAATTTATTTTTTTAGTGGAGACGCGTCCAGCCTCGCGCCGGCCAGGGCGCTGCAAGGTTCCACCAAGGTTGATGGTGAAGCACTTTAGCATGGGGATCGCTCAGTGCAAAGAGTGCGTAAGAAATCTTTCGATACTGTGCAAGCACGCATGTCTTATTCATCCTGGACGTCAACGGCCTTGCCTCATACCACGGCCGGCGTTGTAAGGTCTCAATCCCCGGCATCGGAACGCTGGAGGCTGTTGGACGGGGTATGATGTCGGTGCGTAACTTCATGTCCCTCGTTTGAATGTGTCCGATCGTACTGAGTCTGGCTACAGTTGAAATGAGTGCATTCGCTCTCCGCAAGAGGCTTCTAGAAAGCCAAGACGAGTCCTCTTCGCCAGGGACCAGCCCCAGTCCTGTAGTGTCTGCCATAAATGACACAAACCCACCTCAAGCAGCCAGAAGCCCCCGGAAAACAGGCTCGAGGCAGAAAAGAGCTCGCAAGGATGGCCAGCAAGGCCAAGTGCAGGAGGCAGCGCTACAGCTTGTCCCGCCACTGGGTAGCACCATTTCTGTCGTAAACCAGACGCAGCCACTTGGACAGGATGACCTGGACGGAGTCAATACTCCTCCGTTGGAAACTGTACCAACCGTGCAGGAACCGGCACAGCCAGCAACCATATTGTCAACTTACAGTCCCTCCAAGGCAAATTACCGAAGGCACAAAGACGGCACAACAGTAATCACATTTTGTGAGGGTGAGGTTCGTAGCATGAAAGAATCTACAGGGTTTCAGGAACTCTTCAGGCTAACGTACGTTTACAGCGCCTTGTCATCCTTGGCAATTACGGCATTCGCCTGAGGTCTGGCAGAATCACAATAAATGGTGCTGCTCTTGGCCCTGAGTCCAGTATTGCATGGGTTGACGCGCCTCAGTGCTATGCTCTACCAGTGATGAGGGCAGTGGATGACGCTGTTGTTGAACTTCATTCCCACCTCGCGAACAAGCCTGTTCGTCACCTGGCCTCAATCTCACCAATGTTTCGCGGTTTGTGGCTGGACGATGCTGGGTCAACCTTCAAGATCGTGAGTAGCCATCCTTGAATTCTACCGAGGTACACCCATTAAGACACTACCATTTGCAGGTCAAAACCTCCTCGGATGGCCCGAAACGAACTCTGTTACAAGATTTGGTTTCTCCGCCAGAATGGAACCGCGAGATCGCCAGGATCTCGAAAGCGGCGAGTCCTGATCGCAGTACGATCATGGTTACTGGACCCAAATCTTCGGGTAAATCGACATTCGGCAAGATGCTTGCCAATCGCATCATCTCGGAAATGAGTCTAGGGAGGTCAGGATTCAGATCCAGAACAGGCCTAGCGATCTTGGATCTTGACCCAGGACAGCCAGAATATGGAGGTCCTGGTCAAATTAGCCTCGTACACATCCAGGGACCAGTTCTGGGACCTTCCTTCACTAGGCCGATCCCGTTGCAAGCCATTCAGACCATCAGAGCCCACACTCTGGCCTCTATATCTCCGGCTTCGGATCCGGAACTATATCTGGAAGCCGCCAATGACCTCTACACGCACTACCGGAACACTCTCGGCTCTTCATCTTTGATCATCAATACGCCAGGCTGGATACAGGGCACTGGCCTGGACCTTCTGGTATCTCTCATCGGTGACCTCCGCCCCAGCGAGGTTGTGTACATGTCGCAGACAGGGCCATCTGACACAGTCGAAGGTCTGTCCATAGCATGCAAAAACGTAACCTTCACAATGTTGCCGTCAAGCACAACATCGCTGGCCGCAAGATCAGCCGCCCAGCTGCGCTCAATGCAGCTCATGTCCTACTTCCACGTTGAGCACAATGGAGACAATAAGGCATTGAACAAAGCGTCAAATAGCCCTGGCACTAAAGCGCCGTATTGCTGGATCTCTACGCCATTGACTCATGTGCCTCCTTGGGAAGTGGGCTACGGACCACAAGAAGGCAGTGGCATAGCCGGCATCATATGCTACGATTATCAAGCACCACCAGCGCTTCTTGCTGACGCGATCAACGGCAACATCCTCGCCATTGTCGAAGTCGAGGACGTTCGAGCTTTTCGCGAAATCACCGCCACGGAGGATGATTCCTTGACGTCCGGGAACGTTGAAACTAACAATGTCCCCGCAAGCGAAATGGACATTGACCCACCATCCACATCTTCACCCCTACAAACTCTGATCAAATCCCTCGTATACCCAACACCAGAAGGTCTCCCGCTTCTCGACACACGCGGAGCAACTTTGGATCCGCAGTACTCGCGCTTCATTGGCCTCGCACTAGTCCGAGGTATCGACAAGGCCAGCCAGACCCTGCAGCTCATCACGCCCGTTTCTAGCAGTGAGTTGGACCGTGCCTTCACTGCTGAGGAGGGACACAAGCTCGTGCTGGTGAGTGGCAAATTTGACACACCGTCCTGGGCATACACGGAGGACTTCTACCACCACGCTGCCGCGCAGAGGCGTGACACAGGCGGTAAAGCTACAGCAGGCGCTACTACTAGCAATGTTGCAAGTGGCGATGATTCAGATGAACATGGCGATCAGGGGTCTGATGAGGAGCTGGAGGAGTTCAGCGTCAGCATGGGGGATGTGGAGTTGATAAAGCCAGACTATATCACTGCATCCAGCACCGTCACCCCTACGAACACGCCGTGGATCGAGGAACTCAAGGGCAGTCAGAAGCGTGGTATCGCGTCTAAAGTCTGGCGGGTCAGACGTGATCTCGGCCGCTCGAATAATGCTGGCGACTGACTGGGTTTTGGTCTTGTTGCATGTAAGCGCTCGCGCGTTATGATGTCCTGCTCAGTTAGGGTCATGATTGGATATCTGGATAGTCTCTATTGGGGGATCAATGAAGAAGCATTGTTCGCATCACAGATGCTTTGTTGTATTGATTCCAGAAAAATCCTTCCCGGGAATTTGTGGTATGTGTAATTCGAGTAGCCATATTTTCTATCATTGGATTCACATCTGCATCGTCTCTTCTTGCAAACTTGCCATGTTTCGGCTCGGCTGTTCGTCATACAGCGTCCCGAACCACGCTTCTCGGAACACTAATCCCAGTGCCAGTGCGACATGTCGCGACACGCTATTCCCGACCACCTTCCACTGCTCGGGCGGTCCCCCAAGTAACACTTCGTGATCTAGAAATCCCTGGGCGCGCCGTGCCTCCAAGACGGTGATAGGCCTGTTCTGGTCCCAATGGCTCCATGTTCCAGCCCTTGCATCGGCGGGTTGACAAGCCGTGGTCACCGTGCTGAACAACCCATGTGGATGGACCCGCCCCCAGCCCTTCGAGGTTGCGCTGGCTCTCTCGCGCTTTGTGCCCGAGGGTGTCAACCTCTGAGGACCGAAGAGATGCAGCTGTGACTTGCGTAGGATAGGTTCTCCACCGTCTGTACTGTATGCGATCTTGCGGAAGTTGAGGCCATAAGGCCTCGTGGGAACTGCACTGAGCTGCTTCCTCAAGAGTGCTGTGTAGCCGACTGACAGTCGGTGGTCTGGAAATCCAATGCAGTAATCTGCCTTGCCGTCATACACGGACGGCAAGTCTGCCGTGGCGGCACTGGCGCTGAGGAACTCGAAAGGAGTCTTGACATCCTCGCGCTGTCCATACGGCAGCCCATTGGACATTTTGCCAAGGCTGACCATCTTTGTCCCGGGGGGATGGGAGTGCGATGGTTCCGGCATCCGTGGCAGCACACAGCCGGGGGCCGCGAAACAGAGAAACACACGCTCTCTGCTTTGGGGGGCACCAAAGGACCAGGCGTCCAGCCACATGAGCTGGGTTTGGTAGCCAAGTCCCACAAATGCGCAGATCAGCTGCGATAGCACACAGCTATCCCTCCGGTCCTTTGCTTCTACTATGCCCTTGACGTTCTCGAGGACCCCAAAGCTAGGCCGTAGACAGTCGACAAATGAGGCAAACGAGGCAGAGAGCGACCGGTTCTTCTGCTGCCGGGCTGTAGTCTTGTCTATAGTCAGCCTCGAGAAGCCTGGACACGGAGATCCTCCGGAGATAAAGTCGACATCCCCAGGTTTGGGTACCCCGTCTAACCCCTGAGCAATGCTATGTAGTAGGTCGTCTACTGATCCTAGAAAGGGTTGACAGGTCGAGTCGTTGTTAGCCATGTAAGTATGAATGGCCTTTGAGGAAATGTCGTTAGCGTAGCGCATGCGAATGGCGCCGCCCTCCTCAAGGCCTCTGCCAAAGTTGCCACCGCCGCAGAAGAGATCTAGCCCCCGTAGGGTTTCGCGGGGGTTCTGCGCTGGGTCGAAGGCCTGCCGGAGACTTCCCAGCTGGCTCGCATTTTCTTCCGTCTGCCGGATGAAGAAGAGATCGCCTGCTCCATTGCGATCGTATGGGGTAGGTAATTCCTCGTTCTCTTCCACAATCCGTACGAAGCATCGCCTTTGGAAGCGACCCGTCCTCATCTTCGTTGATTCTGATGTCCAGAACAGCTCATTGAGGGCCGAAGACTGTCTTGCTGGGAATGGACCGTGATCGCGCCTCTCAAGCCGGCGTGCCAAGATTCTGACAGTCGCCCACTGCTTGCCGTGGTCGTCGACCTCCAGATCCTCGATGACTAGTGGTTGCAGGCGATGCGCACCACGGTTTGGGCCTACGGATGGCCCAAGCACGGTTTCGCCGATCTGAAGGTCATCCAGCGTAGCTTCCCTAACACTGCAATCGAAATGCCTTGTCTGCAAACGCTCCCATCTGTTCTGCGCTGGGAGGTAGATCTGGCGAATGAAGAACTCGGCGGTGCTTGACTCATCACCAAACCATTCCACTTCGTGAACTGCGATGATGTCGGCTTCACTGAGCCTTGTGCTTCTAGAGTGACACGTGCAATTGTCGGAGAGAAACATTTCCTTCTTCCAGGGATACTTCATCCTTCCACAAGAAGTGTCACGTGGGTGGTACAACCACAGGACGTCAAAGAGGCGAGCTGCTGTGGCTGGGTGTATGTGGACCTTTTGCACTCGAGCCATCCAGACGTGATCATCTTCATGGTGTATGGATGGCTCCAATGTCCAGGCCGTGGCCGTATTCTCGGGGTTGTCCATATGGGTCGAGATAACATCTCCAGGCTCGATACTCCTGAGGAAGTCTGTCCTATCACACTCCGTAGAGCAGCGCGCGGATCTCGTGAGCGATATTGGTATTGTGTGTCGGGAATTCAATGAACTTTGATGTGACTGGGCCGTTTGGACAGTGGGTGAGAGAGGAATTGCCTCGAGAAAAGGGCTGAAGTCGAAGTGCTCAAACAGCCCGTAAATATACGGCGTCACGGACGTCTTTGCAATCGTAATACCGGCGCGAGTTAGTGAGTGTGGTGACACATTTAGATTAGGCCGATACTGATCGAAGGTCTTAATCTCTTTCCAGATTGTGTGCCGTGAAGGATGGGCAGAAACCCCGTTGGCCTCTTTCCAGATGTATTCTGCATTCGCTATGATGACCGAACGGAAGTCAGGACTTCTGTTAGCGGCGAGCCATGCGTCAACTAAAGTTGAACCTCCATGTTTGGCAATGATATAGGCTTGAAATTGGTGCTTCATGTCCGCAAGCATCACACGTTTGCCTATTGAATGGTAGCTGTCGCAGAAGCTGATGAAATGCTTTGCCAGGTCTGCGATCCAGAGGAAAGGTGTGTAAAACCTTTCGTACTCGATCGCTGGTGCTCTCAGACGGTAGAAGATCTGCTTGTTCCTTCTCTCGTTCAACATAGAGTGTATCCAGATCTGATGCCTGACCGTTTCCGTGTCGTTATCGTAGCCGCCAATAGGCAAGGCCCGGAATGGGACCCTCTTTAGGAAAAAGTGCTGCGCACCCACATGTACTTCGCCATCGAAGTACAGAATGGTGTTTCCCAGCATTGTTGCTAAAGCCTGCAGTGGCCGTAGCTCATGTGGATATCTGACTGAATCGACATAGACGGCGAAGTTGTCCAAGTCGACTTCGATGTAGTCGGATGTGCTTTCTTGGGTTCCATCTCGCTCAAGGACTTGCAGAAAACGGGTTTCAAAGATCTCTTGAGCTGGAGGCACAAAACCATCAAAGCTGGAGCGCGGGTTAACCAGTGTCGATATTGGTAGATGAACACTGACTGCACCGCTGTGGGATGAAGAGCTTGACAGGGCGGTATGATGATCTTGGGGCCGGACCGAGCCACCTGTGTCAGTCTCAGATAACGCTTTCGTGTCATCAAAAATTGTTTGTCCGAGGTCTCTCACGATGGGCTCATCCATAAGCATATCGTTTTGACCCTTGCCATCAGAGTCGTCGAGGCAAACGAGAGGGGGCTTTTTCGAAGTATCTTTTGGCACAGCTCTAAACGGCAGACGAAGTGAGCTGTCAGTCTCGAAGCCAGAGTCGGTTCGTGGGCTTGATCCCCACTCCATAGCCACATCATCGCTGGCATCATCGCTGGAATCCCCCAGTCTCACTTTGAATTCATCAGCATGGATTGTCCCGAAGACGGTTTCAAAGAGCAGGACGTACCTGTCGGAAGCTGAACATTGCTGGCCAATGCGGCCAAATATGCAGGCACATCCTCATCATCGGAGTCTGATGAGATGGAAATGACAGAACTTGCCATCAAGTCGAGATTTGACTCAGGTCGTTATGGCGTGTTGACATGTAAGTGCAGGAGTCAGGGGCTGCCTTGTTGTGCTTCCCATCTGGAAAGAAGTCGGCTGTTCTCGAAGGTGTTAAAGGGCAATCACGTGGCTCCCTCTGTTTGTAGGCGGTCCAGCAAGACAAAATCTTAAGCAACTGCCTCACGAATCCGCTGATGTCGATGGCGTGAGTATATGTCAAAGTGGGTTTTGCCCAAGGAGTGAGAATGTATGGCAGTGGTGCAGGCGGGCAAAGCACTCGCACGGAAATGAACAGCGGCTAGACCTATTGTCTCAAAGTGAAAGAACGCCGGGGGATCGCCCTTGTTCCGGGTCCGAACAATGAGTATGCAGTCAATAGGGTTTGAGCAAACTCGGTGCATTGTTAAAGGTCTTAGCGAATTGCTAAGCAAGCAATGGAACAAGAGCATCCCAGCCATTTCGCTCATTTCGCACAACGCGCCGATGCGCGAGCCAATCATTTCGGATAGCCAGGGTAGTGAACCAATCAGAAGAGGACCAGCCCAACTACCACGGGTGGCTGGGGATTGCCAGGGATCAGTGGGGATCACTAAGACACCACGGATTTAGTGGTCCGCACGGTGGACGGTGACAATAGAAACTACACGCCATGGCTCGTATGAGCTGGAAAGATGTTGCAAAGCGTGGCTCCCGAGGGAGCCGGGTATCTTGTCATCTCATCTATATAGACTGTTTTACAGGTTGTCGTTGTGTTTATACATGAATCAGAGGCGTCTACTCAGTGAAATCCTCAGTGCTCATCGAGGCATTCTCCGACTTTGGGCTCTTGCGACGCAGCAGGAGACTCTTGGGATTTCATCATAACCCAGTGCCGCAGTCGTGGCGAAGCACGACGGGTATCAGCCGCGATATAAGTCTCGACTTGTTCAGGTGTTGGCCACGCCCAAGCAGAAGAGGCTTGCATTTTCTCGTCGAGCATAGCACGTTTCTGTGCAGCGACGAAGGGATCCGCAAAGGCTTGAAACGCACAGAAAGTTCGTGCAATCAAAGCCCCCCCTCGGCGCCCTACTCTTTCGCACTCTTCGCTGACAGATTGTTCGTTCTCGAAAATCCACTCGAGCAGAGCCACCATCGCGTCCGGATCCTCCAAAAATGCGAGAGTGCGCATGTATGTATGGAGATGCGCCGGTCCCAACACGTGCAGGAACTTTGGGCTGTCGTATGCCGAGTTTTGCTCATCTGCGAACTCAATTGGCTTGCTGAGCTCGCGGAACATCGCCTTGGCCACGTCAATTGCACGAGTGTCTGGTGAAATAATGCGCTCTCTAGTAATGGCCTGGGCGGCTTCCGGATCCAGCTCGGCCGCTCTCTGGAGACGCCTGAGTGAAGTCAATGCCGCCTTCTGCACAGTCTGGCAGTAATGCATAAAGAGCTGTGGATCAATGCCAACCGTCTCCGTTACGTGCTGAAGCACTTCCATTTGCATCATGAGCGCCTCGTTATCGTAGCTAGTCGTTGGAGTCCTGCGGTGCAGTCGCAAGTTCTCTGCAGCCAGCGTCGAGCAAATGGCATACCACGGCGGCCGGAAAGTGACGCCCTCTGTTGTTGCTGCTGTGAGTCTGGTGCGAGCCAGCTTGATGGCATTGTTGATAAAGAAGAGCTCATCTCGCTCAAACGTTTTGCCTCTCTCTTGACGAGGCTGTAAGTTACAGAGCAGCTGGATATAGCTTGCGAACAACTGCAGTGGGATGCTGCGAAGTGCCTGATGGGAGATCTCTCCTTCGGACTTGAGCAAGCTGATACTGCTTTCCCGCAGACCGCTGTCTTTCAGATATCTTTCCGCCTCATTCAGAGATCGAGCCTCACTGACCAGTTTGTTGAGACAATGACCCTCAGGCCGAATACCTCGGGCAATCATCTGGTCGTATAGCTGCTGCACGGTCGGAGGCATCTGCCTAGCCAGCTCAAACTCGCTGTAGTTGGCATCGTGCATAGCCAATACCTCGCGCGAACTGCCCGGAAGATGCTCAAACTCCGATCTAGCGATGGGCGCCTTCAGCTTCAGGAACATCTCCGCGTATACTTGGATGTTGGCCTCGGGACAGGACCTGAATGCCGACCATGCTTCATGGGCATTGCGCGTCGCGCGGACTTTCATGGCCCAATATGAATACTGGTTCTCTCTCTCTCTTGCGCCTTGCCACTCTTTAGGAGCCAAGCTTCGAGTCTGGATCGTAGGTGAGTCCCCAGCGATGCCACCAAGTACGTCGAGTGCACGGTCATAGTCGTCTTTGTCGTATCCTGCTTCGTGCATAAGCAAGCCAGCTCTGAAACTCCGAGACCGGTCGTCTTGAGGAGTCCTCTTGGCGTCGCGACCATCAAAATCTTGCCGATATGGAGGCCAAGACTTGGTATATCTAGTAGCGACTGCTTTTTCTGCTGACGATCGCTTCAGGCCTACCATCACCTGGCGCATGGCTCGGTAGCTTTCTCTGTTGATTGCCAGAGGTCGTTTGAAGCTATCTGACATTGCCAGAAGAATCTTTTGGGCCCTCCAGTTGAACTCCATATTCCGCACAGGATGCGTTGAAGCTGGCTTTTTGAACACCCATAGTGCTGTGTTAAAGATCTTACATCGCTCCTCGTATGTTTTGCGTTCCCCAGGCGGTAGCGCTCTGATACAGTCCGCCACAAATCGTGCAACAGTCACAATGGACATTGGCCAAAGCCGCTGTATGTGGACGACAAGGCGCCTGATGAAGACGAGCAATTGCGGAACCGTGAGGATATGTTTCGGTCGAGATTGTTGCGTAGACGTATGTCGTGTGCGGTCCTGCAGCACCTTTTTGCGGACATACTCCATCAGCTTAAGCAGCGATCGAGGATCCCGAAATCTCTCGTCACTCCTTACGAGCAGTAAGAGCAAGAATGTCGGCTGCACTTCGTGCGAGCACAGAAATCGCTCCACACGGTTGTCGCCGTCTTTGCCAGATACAATCCATACCCAGAAGTTGATGTCACGCTCTGCGTAGCCGCGTGCCTTCAGACTCTGGATACGGTCCCTCCACTCTGGAGAATCTGCAGAGCCAACGGCTTCGGCCAACTGGGCGTTTTGCTCGCCTTCCCGAAGCTGTTTTCGCAGGAGTGCCTGTAGCGTTACCAGAGGTAGCCGTTCGTTTCGCTGGCGGGCCATGCCGTGTACGATACGCGCATAGCGACGTTTTTGTGCCTCTGTCTTGGATCGCAAGCGTAGAGAGAGGACTCTGCTGGGAGACACCGGTGTCCTTGGTGAACGTATGGTTCGCGATCCAGTGAGGCGAGACAAGGTCTGGCCGAGGACCTCATTGGACACCCAAAGGCCACGACCGCTTGAGGCCGAGACCCTGGCGGCCGTTGCGCTCATCCCCAACGTCACCGCAGGTAGATGCTGCTGGTATGTGCCATTCGTTCGGGTCGGTCGCAGGCTAGTGGCTGCTCGTCAAGGTTGGAAGTGCGTTCGTCATTCGGACAATCGGCTCGGTCCCTCGTGGTCTGATGTCTTCGCGCTGACGTTTCTCTCCGATGCGCGCAATCAGGCGGCGTGTCGTGCATCACCGGTTTCGGCTGTAGTGAACTATCAAAGTCGTTCTAGAAATGGCGATCAAGCATCACGTCCTGAACGCGGTCTCTTGGAGGGGAAGCAAGTGCTGTCTCTATCGATAAGAATTTGTCTGAAGCTCCCGCTCCCCAGCTGCCCAGCAGCTCCGCTGCGCTCTCGCCGAACTCTTTCACATTTCCCGTCACGTAACGCCTGTACTATCTGTCTGCTTTGAGTAGATTAACTTCACTTGCATCCAGTGATATGGCTGGCAGTCTCACACCATGCGATCCTCGCTCTCCAAGGTAGCGGCGCCCGCTGCTCGCTCCTTCCATTCCCGAGCTTTCACACCCAAGCGACCACAAAGATGCTTCCACGAGACGAGATTGGCGACCATGCCTCGGCGACGCGATTTCTTCACTTCCAACCACCTCTTGTCGAACGGCGACCGTGATGAAGGTCTTCTTTCCATATCTCAGAGGGACAACGCAGCTGGCCAGACTACCAACCGCCAGCCCCTTCCTACGCCAATACAATCTTCCTCTATTGGAGCAAAGCGGAAGCCAACACGGGCTTCTGTTGCGAAGATCGTGCGACTTGCAAAGCCGCCCGCCAACAGAAGCCGGTCGCTACCGAAGCCAGCGATGTCCGAAGCGACGGGCTTGGCAGAGAAGGATTACCGACATACAATCAGTGCCATCTGCGTGGCACAGTCCTTCGATATGGAAAAGGTGCAAGAGATTCTGAGATTTCACGGCTTCGATCTCGATCCAGATTTGACTGATTTCGACTCGGAAGCTGTGGTACATGCTCGAGGGGTCAATAATGGCGATCTATTTGTCTTCCCTTCCGGTACAGTGGTATCGTGGGCTGTTCCCGCGGAAACCTTGGAGACGCTTGCGACGAAACAATTAATCCGCGCTGCCGAATTTCCGCACATCAAAAAACTCGAGTGGGAAGACCTCGAATTCACCACCGACGACACACGCGAGACGTGTTACATGCGGGGAGAGACCGTCGTGCTTGGGACAAAAAGTCTTGAGCAGGACCCATCCTCGCAGCTCGACATTACGTTAGCCAAGATTGCTTTTTCCAGTGGATTGGCGCGTAGTCCCAAGCTTGCTGTCCTTGAAAACAACCTCTTCGAGTTCTTCCAAGGAGCTAAGACTATTTTCAATAGTCCCGAAGGCGGGGCACATGGCAGGCTGACGAGCCGTTTTGTGCTGAAAAAGACCGGAGAGCTTCTCAGTCTACGTGCTCAGCTCAATCACTACTCTGACATTACGGATCAGCTGCCTGACATGTTTTGGGATTCCGAATCACGATTGGAGGATTACTACAATCAGGTTGGCAACAGGCTGGATGTGCGAGCTCGCATCGCCGACCTTAATCGCAAGATAGACTACGCCCACGAGAATGTGAGCGTCCTGCGGGAGATGACCAGTGAGAAGCACGGCACGCGGCTCGAATGGATCATCATTATATTGATCAGTGTCGAAGTTCTGTTCGAGCTGAGGAGAGTGTACAAGGAAGAGTTCGTGGAGAAGGAGGGAAAGTCCCACGACGATGTATGACCACATTCACGACAAACACATCAACGACTTTTGCATTTACTGCGGGCGCGGCTTAAAATGATACCCTACTCTAAATACAATCAATTTCGGAACGCACTTTTGGTTCAATACGGCTCATTGTACTCGTCCCATCTGCCGACGTTGGCTACAGGTGCGTTTCGAAATACCGTCACAGAAATGCCAAAGCTGGCGGTGGCCCGGATCGTGAAATCGCGCCTTGGTGCTCAGTTTGCAGCAACCCGCAACAAGAGGAATCAGCGCTGCTCGAGGATCCACAGCCACCCCATCCACAACCCAAGTAGTGAGCGTTCTGTCTGCATGCAACGACTTCCCTCCACAGCTTCATCTACCATGTTTCAGTGGGGCAGCTTGCGCGTCGTTGCTGCAGGCATTGCCGCAATATGCTTGGGGGTGTGGGTGCAGAACTGTGTAGACAACGGAACCTTTCCAAACTTGCTCCCAGACCGCATCACACATCTTGGAACACAAGCTCAAGCGGCCTTCAGCATTTCACCAAATCCAGCAGGGCAGGAGATGGGCAACACAAACTTCGCGCAGAAGCTTCTGGGCAAGCTTCAATCTGGCGATGGGGGCAATCACCAACAAGACGGCGCCGGTCGTCATAATGCTGGTCGCCCGTCCTTGGCCTTAGGTCGCGCATCTGACGAGATTCAGCTCCATCCAAACGGTGGCACCTATCCTCGCCTTGCTCGGCTACGGGACGGCTCTGTACTTGGAATCAGCACCCGATTCGAAGGCCAGACTCGCATCCTTCAAATTAGCAAGAGCACGGACAATGCAAACACTTTTGCAGCCTTTGGAGAGGTCTCTCGATCCTCGGGTGATCAGGACAACGGCTTCCTCATCGAGCTAAGCGGGATGGGCACTGTCCTTGCCGCCTTTCGAAACCACGACCTTGACCCGGCCACGAAAAGGCCAACACATTTCCGCATCACTGTGTGTCAAAGTCACGATGGTGGTCGCACGTGGTCTTTCCTCAGCCAGGCGGCAGAGCAGAGTGCTGCGAGCAGCAATGGGCTCGGGCTCTGGGAGCCCTTCATGCGCATCGGTTGCGGTGGGGAGGTGCAGCTCACATATTCGGGCGAGCTCGCGCACAACGATCAAGAAACCTTCCGTGTGGTCAGCCATGATGGGGGCCGCTCTTGGTCCAGGCCAGAGTGCCTCCGCTGCCACCCAGAGCATGAAAATCTGCGCGACGGGATGCAGGGAATTGTCCCGGTGCTCGATCGCAGCAGCCCGCACAGCCGGGGGCCTGGAGAAGCGCTGGTCATTGTCTTTGAGACTACACGCCACGGCACTTTCAGCATCGAGTATGCCCTGAGTTATGACGATGGCACAACCTGGGCATATCGCGGTGAAGTGTATCGCCCGCCGCCCGGTCGCAATGCGGGGGCGCCCCAGATCGAAGTATGCGAGGGCAAAGTCGCCGTTGTGTTCATGACCGACGAAGAGGCTGATCACCCGGAATGGCCACGCAAGGCAAATATTAAGATGGCTGTGTCGCAAGGTGTCGAGGGCGGTCGAGTACAGTGGACGAAGCCCCTGCTGGTTCATGAAGCACCGAGTTTCTGGCCTGGCGTCTTCTGTACCGGGCCTGACGAAGTGATGGCATTGTTCGAGCATAATGGGCTACCTCTAGGCAAAAAGTTTCGCTTCAATACTGTTTCGTAAACAGCGAAGCAGTATTGAGTTACCCCATCTAGCCGGTATGACATGAACGATGCAGTCGATCCTCTCATACAACTCTTCCAGCAACGTCCCTGCCTACGTCCATTGCATTTCCGACTGTGTTCACGTGGGCTCGCGACAGATCTCACACAAAGGTCTGCGGCATCCATTGTTCGATAAAATTGTATCACACTATCTTTGTTTCAACACGAGGAAGTCTATAATCGAGCGCTAGCAGCTGGGGGCGCCATCATATCTGTCAACGCTCTGATATCGCCCAAGTTCTCAAGATCGTCCACCAAGGCGATCAACCTGTCCCTGTTCTTCTCGGGAAGTGGCTCCGCAGAGAACTCCCAGCATCTCCGGAACTTCGTCAGATGTTGTTCGCGGGGCAGTCGTCGCGTTGGGCTAGCCAGCATCTGCTCACACCTCCAGCTGCGAGCTTTGGCTTCTCCCTGGACCTTCATCTCGACGCTAATCGGCACCAGCGCAGCCGGGTCGTCTCCGCCATCCGACACCATGCGAATTCGCCTGGCCAGGTCATGCGTCACCGTGTCGGTCAGTTCCTGGCCCCGGTAGTGAGCCAGGTCCACTGGCTTGTTGTTGAGCACCACTTTGGCTCCGATGTACGACATGCACAGCCGGGCATAGTTTGGCGGCGGATTCTCTATATCTGGTCGCGAACACAGCCTCGCCGTCACGGGCGGTCCTGTGATGGTGATGTTCTCGATCTGATCTGGTGTCACCGTCGAGCCGCCCTGCTTCATGAGCTCGAGAATACCCTCGACGCCTCCATGAGTGGCCCGGCCAGCAGGGTATGGCTTGTGGCTGATCTCGGCAATGAGCCACCGTCTGCCATTGATACCCTCCATGGTTCCGGACAAATCCCACGGCACCGGGCCCTCAATCAGTGGCAAGTAGCCATACGTCCCCTCGAAGCAGTCCCGCGTGCCCGGCATCCCGGCCTGTGCCAAGTCACACGCCTGAAGCGCAGCCCGGCTGTTGAAGCCGACCTGCAGTGGCAACGCAGCACTGCCCTCAACATGCGGCTGCAGCGTACCGCTGGTTTGAGTGTACTGCAGGCCAAAGGCTCGGACGAGCGTCTCCTCATCCAACCCCATCAACCTCCCCACGGCCGCAGCCGCACCGAACCCGCCCGCTGTGGCAGGCCGGAAGAACCGCATCGGAGACTTGGCCGCGATGCCCAATCCAGCAGAGACATTGACGCCGACGGCACACGCGACAATCAGCTCCCGTCCAGAGATCGCCCGGTCGTGTTTGTCTGCAAACGCCATGACGGCTGGCAGCAGAGTTGCAAGCGGGTGCATCACGGCGCCTTCATGCACACAGTCGTATTCCTGGCAATGCACCTGGAAGCCATTCACCATGGCCGCGATGCCTGCGGACGGAGCCCTCGCGGAACGGCCCCATAGCGTGGCCTGTCCTGAAGCACTGGATGCTCCGCTGCTGGATCCGGAGGGGCCAGAGCCGTCCCAGCTCATGGCCGACTTGATGATTGTGTCTGCGCCGTAGGCCGAGGAGCCAGCGATGCCGACGCCCAGGGTGTCGAGGATAAACACTTTGGCCTGGGCGACGGCATCGGGGGTTAGGTCTGTAAACTTGGTGTTGAGGGCGTGGCTGGAGAAGAGCTCCGCGAGGACGGGCTCCTGCTGTGGCTGACCTGCCATGCTTTTGGTGGTTTGAGGTATCTGCCCTGCGCTTGGTGGAGGTGCTGGCTCTCAGACGCTAGGATCTAGTATGTCCCCGTGAAAACGGAACAATACAACAGAAGCAACATCCTCTAGAATTAAGAATCAGGACAGGCGAAAGGAGACCGAGACCAACAGTATAAGCGACGATCAACAAGTGCTCCTTATCGGCCTGGGGCAACCCCAGCATCGGAGCTCATGCCGGGGGCGGGGCCATCGGGAAACTGCCCCCGCTGCCGATGGCGCCGGAAACTTGACCGGGCAGGCCGATTATCTGTTGAACCCCAGAAATCCCGTGGCTGCACCTCTCGCACGGGCGGTAGCTACGATAAGCACTTCTTCCATTGAGCGAGTTGAGTCGACAAACATGATCCTGGCGACGACAGCTCGGGGTTGATGACAGGGAGTTAGTCTCAACTCTACTGCTGATTGTCCATCTAAACACAAACGTAGAAACTGTGAGGCTGATGAGCAAAGCAATGAAAACTGATTACAACTTAATATTTGACGGCATTCCCAAGGGATAGCTATTACCCCCCGCATCGTTCAATCTCTGGTGCCGACATGCTCACAGATCCATCGCCACATCGCCAGTACCTGACTCTTTGTCAGGGACTTCACAGCTGCCATGGTTTTCGAGACTTGCTGTGCTTTTCGCACGGAAAATCTTGACATCTCCGGCAGTTCTCCCTGTCCAATATCTTGGTCTCCTCCTCTCTTGGTTGTGTCTTCTGAAGAGTCATTGTTCAGATACGATCCCGCTGCGGTCTCATCCACGCTGACCTTCTTGTCGTTCTCCCCGCTGGTGGTGGGTCTGTATCGATCCTGCCAGAATGAGAGCAGGCTTGCAGAAGGATGTTGTTTCTGCGACTGCCCTCCGGAGTCCTCTGTTTCGCCGGCGGTCCCAAGAGCTTCCTGCAGCTTCAAAAGCCACTCCTCGGAAGGAACCACCGAAAATCGAGGTCCGGTCTCCGCCTTAGACAGCCATTCCAGCATCTCGGCCCATGTGGGACGCATATGAGGCTGCAGCACATGGTAAACAGGGCATCCATCTGTCTCTGGTGTCAGAGATGTGTCATCTATCCCTGCAGTGGTTTCGATAATATCAACGACAGCCGCCGCAGCCTGGTCAACCGGTAGCCAGTTCAGTCCCTGCTCTGGCAGCCTCGGGAGGGCGCCTGTGATGTTAGCTGTGGAAAGCATCAAGGGATATGCCTCGCTTGCGTTCCACACGCCGCTGCTGCTGCTTCCGCACAGCTGGCCAATACGTATGATGGTGTTATGAGATGGCGTTTTTGCCGAACCCGGCCGTGCTATGGTTGATCCTGCACAGACTTGCTCTGCCACCCACTTTGACTGTGCGTAGCCGATACGTGTAGCGTCGGCCGGGTCGGACGATTGTTCCTCGCAGATCACGCCTGTTCCCCTCATGGCGCCGACTGCTGCAGTGCTGCTGACGAAGTAGAACCGTGCAGGGCTCGGGCCAGAGGTGCAAGCAGCGAGGTCGAGTAGGTTCCTGACACCCGCGATTTGGCTGTCGAAGGATCTGAGGCGCAGGCTGAAGTTTACTGTCCATGCTGCGTGGATGACGATGCTTGTCTCCCTCCTGATTCTGGACCAGTCGTCTTCCTCAAGTCCCAGGTCGGGCTTCGTCAGGTCTGCAGGCAAGCAGACGATGATTTCTTCTTCGGGGTCCCATGAGTTGAGTCCCCGAAGGGCCAAGGCCTTCCGGACTCGCTCCCTGGCCGCGTGTTTGTCCCGGCCACGCGCCAAGCAGTATATTCTCCGAACACTGCTTTTTGTGGCAAGCACATCGAGTATGTGTGCTCCGAGTAGTCCAGTCGCCCCAGTAAGGACAATTGTGTCGGGCTGCGATTCGCCTTTTTGATCGTTGCGAACCGTGTCGGGCACGGATCCGCCCTCGCCAATCTTTGGGCTAGCGTTGCTGTACTTTCTCACAAGCTCTCTCATCTCGTCCAATTCCTCCTGGCGGTTGTCTTCCTCATCTTTTACACCAGCTTGACCTTTCCTTATTTTTGCGATGTGAGCCGCCAACGCTTTGATCGATCCGCAGTCGTAAATGATGTTAAAGGGCAAAGACTGCTTCTTCGACAAGAAAGTCGACGCGATCATTCTGCGTAGCTGAATGCACGCAATGGAATCAACCCCCTGCTGAAACAGGTCTTCATCCATATCAAGGTTGCGGCCTAGCAAACTGCTACACTCTTCCAGCAGGGCGTTTGGAATTTCCTCGTCTGTAACGTCGTCGCGACGCGTGCAAGATGAGTTTGGTGAGCTGTATACCGACTCGATCAGCTTGCCGTACCGTTCTTCGGCTTGCTTCCGCAGTAGCGTTCCCTTGCTGCTTTTCTCAAGGGGCTTCTTTGCTTCGTCGCCTGTGTCTTGCGGCACGACGCCGACTAGTGCTGCCCTCGAGAGCCGTGCTTGGCTTGAAGAGCTCTTGTTCAATTCCTCAATGGCGGGCCACGCTTTGTTCAAGATGGCTTCCTCAGTGTCGCTCGCGGATCTGCCAAACAGTATTGCCCCTGGGTACTCTCTGCCTGCCCCGAACACCAGCACATCCTGCAGCACCTTGCCGAGGGATGCTCTCATGGCGTCCTCCAGCGGTGCAGGGTCGAACTTCTTCCCGTTCGCAAGGGTGATCTGCGCATCAGACCTGCTGTGGTACTTCCACGCGTTGGGTATGGACTTGTGTCTCTCAAAGAGGTCAGAAGTAGCAAAGGATCCGTCTTCGCGGTTCGTCTTGTTCCGCAGCGGCCACTTGGGCCCTGCGACAAGCTCGCACAGGTCGCTGCCGGCCTGTGGCTCAAATGCCAATATCTCTGGGTCATCCACAGCGCAGCGTAGATATTGCCACTCCTTGTCCTCGTCGTAGTCTCGGTCGGAAGATAATAGGAAGCCACATTCCGTACTGCCCATGCGCGAGACGAGTCTCACGTCGTGGTCAACCAGTCGGTCGCCGATGACCGTGGGGAGAGCTGCGCCACCGACACCGACGAGGTCCATTGTCTTGAGCATGCGAATCCCGTCTTCTTCCTCGCTGAGCATTTGCAGGACGTAGGGGACCGAGGAGAAATAGCGCACGTCGTCACCACCGGAAGAGGAGCTGTTGTCTCGTGCGAAGCGTACAGCCTTGAGTATGTTCGCACAAGTGATGGGAGCCTTCCCCTCGGGGAAGAACCAAATTGATGCACCGCATGACCAGGACCTGAAGCAGTCTGCCAGGCCGCCATGATACAGGGGAGTCGTGGAGAATGTCGCGATTGGATTTTCTGTCATGGGCAACCGGGCAAGAACACCGACTGCACCTAGCTGGCTTTGGACGATGGGCTTCGGCAGACCAGACGAAGTCCCAGAAGTGTGTCGCAGGTAAGCAGTATCGGCCTGCTTCTTCAGCCCGTTTGAAATAATTTGATAGTCTGGCTTGGCCTGTTGCGAAAATGAGGGCACTTTCAAAAGAGACAGCGTGTCGTCCTGTGCTTCCTTGAACGAATCGTAGTGATAGTCATCAATGAAAATGATAGAAGCTCCGGTTGTCTGGCAGAGGTGCTTGAGCCCCCTGTGATCTAATTGAGGACTACGTTTGCAGGAATAAGACAATCAGCATCAGAACACAACCTCAGGGAATGGTAATGGCCCAAGACTAACGCTAGGAGGAAAACTGTATAGCCCAGTCGCATTAAGCCAAGCCATGTGAGAACAAAGTCCAGGCCACTTGCGCAGATCAAGCCTATGGTTTCTGAGGAAGTCGCTGGTTCGCGTGTTTTCAAACAGTCCAGCAGGACCTCGGTGGCTTGAATTGACAGGTCACGCAGTTGACTGAAAGACAACGGCTTTTCATTTTCTGTTTCAAAGTGTCACTTATGCACTTGCCAGAGGATATTCTGTTGTGATGAAAGCAGCAGAAACTCACCTTGAGTGTAGTCGGCGAAGCCCAGTGCAGGTCTATCAACAAGTGCCTCAGCTTGTTGATCGACCAAGTCAAGAACAGTGTCGAATGCCTGCTCGTTTTCTGGAACTGTCTGCTTGTATTGTGCGGCCTGCCCCAGAGTGCACGTGAAATAATTGAGATCATGCGCCATGTTGAATGCTGGCATTATGGAGCGAGAGCGAAGTTGACGACTTTCGGCTACATTACAATGGACGAAGGCGGGGAAAGTCAAGTGGTAAGGGGGCATAGCGAGGTATTGGTGTAGGTTGTGTCTTGTGTTACGGCTTAGTACTACCAGCAACCCAGCTCAACCACCTCAGGACATGTTGTTAGTGTAAGTTGCATGTAGAGATGTGGCTGTCAATGACCCGTAAATCTCGAGTACATAATAAATGGGGAAAGTGTACTTGTCCGAAGGTATACTTTTGCTCTATGAGATCATGACGCTACTGCAGTGGCAGCCCCTCCACACGCCGCATTCCACTTACACCACCACCACGCAAGAGCTCACGGCGACACTGACTGCACGCACGTCCATCACAAGCAAAAGGCACCTGCATCTCTACAGAGATTCACTTTTACTGTCGAGAGAGACCTTTAATTTTCCCTCTAACCGAAGCCACGATCCTTTGACTCTGCTCGCCCAAATCCCAATCTGAACCAGTTTCACCATGGCAGCTCAGCGAGCCGTCACAGATAATCTCACCCTCGCCTCAAAGCAGCGCATCCCGCAACTTGGCTTTGGCGTGTACAAGTCTCCCGCAGACCAGACTGTCGCCTCGTGCCGGCGCGCCCTGGACGTCGGGTACAGGCACATTGACACGGCGCAGTTCTACGGCAACGAGCGTGAGGTCGGCGACGCCGTGCGCCAGCACACCAGCCTGAAGCGCAGCGACGTGTTCCTGACCACAAAGATCCTCGAGGCTGGGGGTTCCGTGGACGCGAGCTACGCGAAGTGCGTTGAGAGCGTGCGCAAGCTGAACCCGGGCGTCGAGCAGGGAGGAGGAGGCTACGTGGACTTGTTCCTGATCCACACGTCAAATGTCTCTGCCGGGCAGAGGAAGGAGATGTGGCAGGCGCTAGAGAGGCTGTATGAGGAGGGCAAGGCCAGGAGTATCGGCGTGAGCAACTTTGGCATCAAGCACATTGAGGAGCTCAAGCAGTTCGCCAAGGTGTGGCCGCCGCACGCAAACCAAATCGAGGCAAGTGCGCATTTTGCTCGTGAATAAAGAGGAACAGCGAGTGTGGTCGAGTGACACTGTAGTGCTGACACCATTCCAGCTTCACCCCTGGCACCAGCAGCGCGAGATTGTCAAGTACTGCGAGGACAACAAAATCATCGTGCAAGCCTACTGCCCGATCGCCAGGAATAAGCGGGCTGACGACAAGACGGTCGCGGGCGTTGCACATAAACACGGCGTCACAGCAAACCAAGTGCTCATCCGCTGGTCCCTCCAGAAGGGCTGGGTGCCGCTGCCTAAGAGTGACGACCCAGAGCGCATCAGGCTGAATGCTGATGTGTATGGCTTCGAGCTGGACAATAACGAGATGCAAGCTCTTGATGCGCTGGACGAGGGTGCTGCTGGCGCGCTAGTGAAGACGGTTGAGAACCATTAATCTTCTCGGACGGACTATATTTATGCATTGTCGAAGCACAGAAACATAAAGCATATAGGAACAAAATGAATATCTGTTATATCCATCCTCGAGGGGGAAAGATTCTGGTCTCACTATTCAGCTACACAGTAGCCAATCTAGCACAAAAACATCTTGGTCGTGCTAACATTAACCCGACTCCATCTCACACCACGCCAGAGCGCAGACAAGATAGTGAGCGGCCAATACACATGATAGAGCCAGAAAGCAGGCATCGGATCCCACGCCTCAAAAGTGCCTTCCTTCCACGTTAGGATGTGCTCGAGAAGCTTGATGCTCCCTTTGACTAGCTCGGCACCAGCAATCCAGTCACCTGAGAAGACAAGCCTGACCAATGGCTGGAGCACCAGCGACACGAGATCGTGGGCTAGCCAGTAGCGCGGCAGAGTGTTGACTGGCGGAGAGATCTGCATAACATCTCTGGGGTTCTCGCCATTGCTATCACGATGTTTGTCCCTGCTGACAGCGTCTGTAGCTGAAATGTAGGCTGCCACCATGGCTTCCATCTCTGCGCCGTGCTGGGCGAACAGCACCACAGCCGTATGAGCGCGTGGGTTGCACTCTATAGCATAAACCCGCCTCTCATACTTCGATGCGCTGACTGCGACGTCCTCAACCATGAAATCGAAGCTCAGATGGCCCGTCATCTCCCCGACACCTTTGGAGGAGGAATGGCGTGCTACATACTCGCGCGTGAAGTCCAGCATGGCCTTGTACAGCGCCGAGTCCGGGCTCAGTGCCTCGTAGTGCATGAGGAGCTCGGCACTCTGGCACGCCGTGAAGCACCTGACCTCGTTGCGCACGACGAGCGCGTGCGTGCAAAACTCCTGCCCACCTGGGATGAACTGTTGCACGATCCAGGGGCTTGTCCTGGAGATGGGGAGGCGGGAGACGTAGCGCTCGGTCTCTGGCCAGGAGGGCAGTGGCAGCAGGGTCATGTTGGCTCTGTGCTTGTCGTCTACGCCTACAGTCTTCAGAATGAAGGACTTGTGGCCGCCTCCGCTACCACTGTCACTTCCACTGCCATTGCCACTTCCACGCCTGAGGATGTTCATTACCTGCTCATGCGAAGTCACATCATGCGTCTCGGGCACAGGCAGGCCCAGCCTCTTCGCCGCCCGCATAAAAGTGTCCTTCTCATGCAGCTCCATCGTCGTGGCCACATCGAACTGGATACACCGGCAGCCCAGTGTTGCGCTGGCCTCAATGATCTGCTTGGCCTCTGCGTCCTCGGCGGCGCTCGACACTCCAGAGCAGGAAACCCACAGATCGATGTCCTCGGCCTTGATGATCTCGACCAGGCTCCGGATGTATCCCTCCTGTCCTGCGTCACTGCCGGGCCTGGCCAGGGTGTAGAACCGGGACAGAGACCGCGAGAAGCGCCCGGAGCAGGGGATGCCGTGATTCTCAGCGTCTGCGCCCACGACGCGATGGCCACAAAGATAGAACGATCGGGCAAGGGTTAGGCCCTTGGCCATGCCGACCCCCGTTACCAGTACATTGCGTTGTCGCTGCTGACGCTCGTGCTGCCGCTGTTTCGGAGCATCCGATCCGTGGTCATTGCCGCTGTCGTCGCAGGAGCCATTGCCGCGGCTGTCACTGCTATCCGATGTCCGGTCTGGCTCTGCCCCATCGAGAATGCGACCACGTTGATGAGCTGAAGTCCTGTCGTGCCCATCGGCCACCAGAAATAGGGGGAACGCGGGGAGATCAGACGACGCATTCGGACTATGCCGCAGCAAATACGACACTCGTGCGACGAGGATGCATACACCGGTGAAAGGCAGCAGTGCCAGGCTCAGCAGCACGAGCGACAAGGATCGTGCCGCCGTCCCCGCATGATGCCATCCTGCAGGTCTGACAGCTTCCGACCCCTCTCCTGGAAATTCTGCTGCCTTGCCTGAGCTTTCTGCGGCAGCTGGTTCGTGTGCTGTTGGTCTTTGCCGGCGTTTTTCTGCTGCTGTTGCCGTGGGAGCCATTGCTATTGCGCTTCCCCGTCTCTGTGAGTGCGCGATCTGTCTGGGCGGTTTCCGACGTGGCTTTCGGCCAAGTACATGTGCACTGACTGCAGGCGGCTGCAGAGTTGGTGGTGGCGGCAACGAGTACGTTCCGGTATTGCGAAATGGTGCTCGCAAGCCACAGAGGATCGTGGAGAATTGAAATGCAAGCAAGGTAGAAGTGACTTTTCGATATGGAGGGGAGCCGTAGCTGTGACGAGTGACGAGTGACTTGTTCGGAGCCGAGTCGCAAACGTAAGACGATTACCAGATCGTCGAGTAATGGGGCCTTCAATAGCTGCGTGTCATCATCGTGAAAAGGCCAGACAGCCACGGACCTGATGGTTTCTCTCCACAGCCCACTTTATCTCCCTTCGAAAGCGGATGAGGGCGAAGACTGTCTACGTGTAAGCGTGACGACTGGTCCGCAGCGTGCCTCTTCTTGCTCAACACCTGCAGTGTGGTAGCAGTGTCAATCATAGTGGTTATGGAGTCAGTCAAAGGGGTGCTGCTCTATCAGGTAGGTACTCGCCGCTGCTTCCAGATTTGAGCCTCCAACCTCTTACACCATGCCATTGACACATGGCAAAGATAACCGTCTGGAAGCCTGTGCCGATCTCTAGTGAGCCACATGCCATCCTGCCTGTCACAAAAACTTGTCAGAGAGCCCTAGCCAAGGCCTTCGCCACGGCCATGGAGCGTGTGAGAAGGGTACCTTCCGTGCACCTCACCGGAGTACAGCATTCCAAAGTCGCTCTCGCACGACAGCGCTACCAGAAGTAATGATTCAACGACTCAGATGGGAAGTCCCGCAAAAGTGGAACCCTGAAGTTGGACAAAGTTGATTGGGCAATCGAAAAGTTCCCTGGCCCATAGCGGGGCACGCTCTGTCCCTTCTTGACGCCCACAAGCATGCAGCCAGCCCTATCAAGCTTACTGCGTAGTCTAGTGATAAACTTTCGGATCGCGCTACGGCCCAAATCCCGCCTACAAACGGTTGAGAGGCTGGCTCCGGCGGCTTCTCCCGCGCATAGCGCCATCCTCGGAGATCAGACTTCGTTGGCCTCACGCCCTCATAAGTCTCCAGCCGCATTCTTGGCGTGGGTACCACATAGATCACCATTGCTGCGAGGTCCCCTTGATCCAGTCACACCGGGTGAGTTTCAGGGCGGGTGAGTGGGGGGCCCAAGACAAGGATGACATGGGAATTCCAACTTTTGGATCGTTCCGGCAGTGGGCGTGCTTGAGTTAGAGTGGAGTCTGTGCAGTAGCCGAGACTTTCGCAATGCTGGCAAGCTGCACTCTATTCCGCGTACCGTGGACTTGCCAGCGATATCAAAGACGTCAACACTTTTCCTTGCTCGTTCCACAATTCGATCCCCCCTCATCCGTGTTCTGGATGCGGAGCTGAGATCCTGCGGCGTGACCTAGCTGCCGCGTCATGATCGAGGGGACCTAGATCTTCGCACTTCTTCTTTGGACCCTGCGCTCAGACACGCCATCGAATTAGCTTTGATGCGCGTCCAGGGTGCCGATGCGCGTCTACGATGTCCAACAAAAAACTTGTCTAGTGTCTCACGGGACTTGAGACCTGGCCGTAGTCACGCACCATGAGCTCGTCGTATTGAGTACTTGTCACATGCTGTCACATCCAGACGGATCATATTGTCCGAGAACGATACGTTTTCAATCACAGCTTTTGTTAACACACGTTATCATACGGATCAAATTATTTCATTGATACTTGGTCGTGAGCTAAAACAACACTTAGGTCATATGTTTTGTTTTTCGCGATATTGGCGACCTGCAAGCAACATGCGTTCGCCTGTGCACATGGGCTCGGCGGTCAAATCCGGTTCCCACAATGCGATGTGCCATGAATAGCGTAATCAATTGTCAGGAAGCGACTCTGAAAGCAGGGTGAATGAAGCCACAGATGCACCTGCTGAACTTCTCTCGCTTTAAGCCTGCGCCTTGACACCACGACCATTGAGGAGCCCGTCGAACACGACCTTGCCCTTCTCGAGTAGCGACTTGTCGGCATTGACAGTTGCTCGCGCCTGAGCTTCACCATTGGTCTTGCTGCCGTTGGTTCCATTCAAGTGCTGGCTATCAGAGATGAGGCCGGCTTGGCGAGCTGCCTCTTCCACGCTCGAATCCTCGGTAGTGTTGTCTGTGTACCCAGTGTCGCTGCTGTCAACGTAGGCTTCAAGTCCAGCACCCTCGCGCGGATATGTCTTGCACACGGCCTTGTGTTGGTGCAGAGCCTTGGAAAGCTCCTCGGTCGTGTACTCGTTGACGAAGCTGCAGCTACCCAAGGGGTTAGGCACAGCTAGGCGCAAGCGTCCGTCGCGGGTCTTGAGAATAGCCTCGGTGCCTTTGGCAAGCACCTCGTCGTTGAAAAGAGGATGATCAATTGACAGGCCCGCGCGAGAAAAGAGTGTCAGCAGGCGCTTGTGCTCGGCATCGGACAGGAGGCCGCGCTGTTTGGCCAGAGTCGCTGTGTAGGCCATGTCGATTGAAATTGCATGGCCGTGGCGAAGTGGTGTCTCGGGGACAAGTTCGTGCAGCGGTGACCATCTACACAGTTCGATGCATTAGTGGTTAAACATTCCAGTACCACCGGAAAGTCTCTCCTGCGGGAATTCATAAATACTTACGTATGACCATAAGCAATCACTCTGTCAAGCCCAATCTCGTGCAGATTGGGAGACTCGAGCTTCAACATCTCATAAATTCCTTCACGGTTGATCTGCAGAGGTTCACCCAGCGGTCAGCTGAATTCGTCCATGTACGATGGCTGCAAAAAAAGTCGGGCATTCTGGGCTTACAATATCAGCGGCCTTGCGGACTACTTCAGGGGCGTTGTCAGCCCTGCCAAACTTTGTCTCGATGAGTTGCTCGCAGTACTTGTCCAAGAGGTCGAACACCTCAAGGTGAGCGCACGACGAAATCTTGATGAGCTCTGCAAAGCCGTTCCGAACCTGGGCTACGGGAAGAGTGCGCAAGAAGGTGAAGTCAAGGAACGTATGGATCGGGGCATGATAAGCGCCCAGGCGGTTCTTGTAGTTGCCGTAGTTGACGGCGACCTTGATGCTGACACTGGCATCAATCAGACCAATAACTGTAGTAGGAACTCTGATAAAGTTTGTGTTGCGCCGATAGGCCGCGCACGCGAATCTGAAATTGCACACGTTAGAAGGTGCGAAATGTACAAGGTCAGCAATAGGGAAGGGCATACCCTGCAACGTCTGTGACCAAACCGCCTCCGACAACAAGGACTGGCTCCTATTATGAACAAGTACATTTTTTAGTCTCACAAGAAATCAGGACTTGATCTCGTCTTGGCACTAACCTTTCTGATAATGCCGAACTCGGTCATTGAGTCGCAAATGCTCAGAAGAGTGTCCATCGTCTTCGCCTTCTCGCCAATGGAGGTCTGGTGAACCTTAAACTTCAGGCCGTGGTGCTCGAAGTACTTCTCCATCTTGGCTCCATACATCCGGAACACATTCTTGTCTGTGACAGCAAGCACTCGGCCCCACTGCTTGTAGCAATTAGCCAACTGGGTGTTTGCGAGATCAAAGACACCGTCGACAAAGGTGAAATCGTAGGTGATCTTCTCATAGCCTTCGACGTGGAAACCCTCGGCGGTCTCCGAGACGTTAGCCTTGAGGTCCGACATGATTGTATGAGGAGTGTTGAACAGTTCAGTGAGCAGCCTGTAAGAAATTGGGGAAGAAGTTTGAGGAGCCGAGGTCAATGGCAGGATCAAGATCCAGGGACCAAGCAGTTACGGTCACGGGTATTTGTGCCCCTTTTAAATGCCCTGCGTCTCCCTGCGCCAGGTACCGTGAGACGAGTACAAAGCCTACGGGTACTCGGAACCTCCCAATTCAGTCGATATACTCGTCATCAAGCAGAGTCAATGACCAAATGACTTAGTCCACCGCATACAAGGACAGATGATGCGGATTCGTAAATGTGACTTCTCCATCACAAATGGCAGGACTTCGTGCATACCACTTGAGACATGATTGGTCAAGAGCTCAGGCTCCCAAAGCCCCAGATCGATGGAGCCGCACAAGCTTGGTGGTTGACTTCGAGCTTGGAGTGGGGTGCCCCAGATCTAAGACAACTCCAGCTAGTAGATCTTGCTTACAACGTTCCTCTATGCAAGAAAGACCTCGATTAGTGCCGTTTTTCCATGCGTGCATGTAGGGCCAGGGGTAAGTGCATCAGGGCCCTCTCGCCCCCAAAAGGCCACCCCTCATGGGGCGAGGGGGTGCGACCGGTGAGCCGCCGCAAGGTACATGCGCTGCATGTGGTGGAGCGGTTGTTTTCCCCTGAAGGTCTCGATGCTAGCCTACACACTTGTCGCCCTTGCTGAAAGATCCGGAATGATTGGAGCGTAGCACTGCCATTGGCCAAGTGGTCCAGCTAACCTGCGGAGACGTTTCCAGGAAGTCAATGACTCCAATATGCTTCGCCATGACAGCATGACACCACGCTGCCGACTCGACCACATGCAGCCATGGCCGAAGGAGGCAGGGCTTGCACGCGGGGTTGTTCTGGCATAAGTCGCCCAGGGTGGACGGGCCCAGCCTCAAGTTGGTGTCTTTGCCACGGTCCAATTTGTCGATGAACCTCCGGAACGCCTCAAAAAGACCGTTCAGATTCACTCTTCTTCCACGATTGCGAGATTCTTGCCAAACGCTGCAAAATTCGGTGACAGGACAATGGGTTCCACGGTAGATCCAGGTTTCAAGGGCGTTGCATATCAGCCACAGGAGGAAGTCTACGTAAGTGTTCTGTTGCAGAAGATACAACGCTGGAGCTGACCAGATGGTGTCGAAGTACAATGACGGCCGCGAAATCGCTCTTCTGCATTTTGTATATGGGCACCCACAACTGGAAGAAATGCGTGGGAATCCACAGAGAGTCTTGGATGCAATTGATGAGTTCGGCAAGACCAAGAAGTATTTGATGAACATCGGACCATATAAGGCGAAGACGGTGATCGACCTCATCACGGAGGTGAAGCCCCAGGTGATGGTGGAGCTAGGAGGTTACGTCGGCTATTCAGCCATTGCCTTCGCCGCAGCGGTTCAAGCTGCTGGCGGAAAGCAGTACTGGAGTCTGGAGCACAATGCCGAGTTTGCCGCTGTCATCACAATGCTGGCTGACCTGGCTGGCCTCCGCGACATTGTCAGAGTTGTCGTTGGCAACAGTGCCACCTCCCTGAAACGTCTGCATGGTGGAGGCGACTTGAAGCATATCGACTTGCTTTTCCTGGACCATCTGAAGCCAGCGTACACGCCTGACTTGAAACTGTGCGAAGAGCTCGAGCTTGTTGGTCCCGGTTCGGTCTACGCCGCTGACAATGGTAAGCACCTACTCCCATGGCTAGACATATCCTGTGCCCTAACTTTCCGATGAAGTTGTCAAACCGGGCAACCCGCCGTATCTCGAATACGTTCGAAGGACTGTCCAAGAGAAAAAGGAAGCCTTCAATTCGGGAGACACAAATAGCCCCCGCGGCAACCCAAACCTTGTGTACGAAAGCCGCTTTGTTGAGGGCTGGGAACCGTCAGGCGTGCCAGTAAGTTAGCTTCTCTCTGTGGCGAGCCGCACACTACTGACACTCAATGTGCGACAGGATGCTCTGGAAATCACCAGGTGTACTGGTGTAGGCCCGTAAACTCGAAACGAATACATAACAGGCAGACAGGCTTGACCCGAACGACAAACGGAGTTATGATGGAATACGAGTCGAGGCCACCGTCGCATCATCGACAACAGCTGCAGGTGACAAGCCTCAGGAGTTTGCGGGGCTTGGGTTGCAGAGGATGGCGCCTATTGGCGAGCCTTCAGAGTCTGTTCACGCTGGCGATGCGTGCTCTTTTGTAGCCTTCGAAGCTCTACGGAAGTTGGACTGGGCAGTCACGAAGCTCCCAGTCTTTGAATTGTCGAAGTCTGGCGAATCTGTGTCTGGCAGCGGATTTGTGGCAGGTGCACCCGAGGCATATCTACTTGATTGATGACAACCAGAACTCCGAGCAAGTGCACAGACAGCCACATAACCACATAGCCGTCCAATTCTCATTGTCGGCGTCAAGCATGGGCGGGTTCGCAAGCTTCCAGCTTCTCCAAGCAACCCCAGCATATCCACTTTCCGCATTAGAAGTCACTACCGCGAGACCGCCGTGATGATTGGGCAAACACCCTTGTTGATTTACGACGCCAGGCTAGGGACCTGGAAGAGCGAATTTGGTATTCTCCGCGACAATACTCTTACTTGCATTTGTGGAAGCCGTGACATCACATTGCTTAGGGACACGGATCCGTCGCCCGCGACATTCATGCTTGCCTATGCCTGCCGGGCCGAGCGGGATGGAGTTTCAAGCATCAAGAGCGAAATGTCTTTGTTCAAAAATTATCAAGAAGTGGGTTTGGCTCTCAGTGCTCAAGTAGGCTTTGGAAGTAATTAGAGAAGCGTGCAAGTGATCAAGAGGACCCTTGGACTGGAGGAGTCTCCAAGGCTGTTGCAACTGTGGAGATCTGTGAAGTTGGCAGCTGGCAGCTGGCCAGATCGGCACTCTTGACAGATGGCAGTTGGCTCGACACTCCTCCTGCAGCTCTCTCTCCCTCCCTGGCACTGGACCACCTGGGCAAGAGCTGGTGCTGGATTGCGCGACGCCTGAATTGCCTGCTTGCCTGCTCGCTCCATTTCCTCCACCTTGCCAAATCGCGACCAACCGCGCACGCCAACGCGACGCTTCACGAACCCGCACCCACAGCGGCCATCGAGCTGTCTCTCGCCAGCAACGCTGCAGCACCACCCAAGGCGCTTCCCTGGACATCGCGCCCACCCATTCGCACCAGGGCCTCTGCCCGTCGTCCTACCCACGTTCTGGGTCGTCCACCCGACTGCTCAATCGCGCAGCACCAACTGCCCATCGCCCAGAAATACTTGCAAGGCGAGCCTCTTGCCCACGACCCACGCCCAGCCAGCACTGAACCCATCCCCGCGCCTCGCAACGCTGAAGGGACTGCCAGCACGCCTGCCTCGACCTTCACGATGGCCTCGCCGGCAGTGGTGGTGCCTAACGGCATCGCGGCGACCGCTGTGCACGCTACAGAAGGCACTGTGCAGCCATCTACTGGAAGCGACAATGCGCCGCCAGCATCGCCGACGGGCTCCCTTTCGGCAAAGCGAAAACGCGGCGACGGCCCTCTCGCTCTCGCTGACCAGCCGGCGTCTGCGAATGGTGTCGCGTCGAATCCGCCCGCGCCGACCAAGATCGACAAGTCTCGTCTTCAGGATTGTTTCACCGTGTTGCAGAGGTGAGCAGACCTGGGCATTATGCGCCGTGGCCCGCCAATCTTGTCAAAAAAACAACCTCCTCGGTGACTAACGTGTTTTTTCTACAGACACGACACGACGCCTTCCCTTCTCAGCCGGTCAATCTCAGGCATCATCCCGTCAATCGAGCCACAAGCGAAGCGCCAAAAATCAGAAGACAGCGAGCCGACACTGTCCATTGCGGACAAGGTAGCCAAAGGCGCATATGAGGATGTCGAGACTATTGTTGCCGATGTTAGGGCATCCATCCAAACTCAGCTGGCCGAGCTCAGCCGCGAAGAGGACGGCTCGGGCGATGTCGGCGCCAAGAACGAGAAGGCTATTGCCGAGACGATCAATTTCGCACAGCGGGTGTATGATCTCTTCAAGCGCGAGCTGAACTATCCGACTCCCAGACCCACACCAGAGGTCCTTCAGAGCCTCGCCGACTTCAGTACACTACAATCGAATGCCAGCGGCAATGTTATGCTCACAGTCTATGGCGAGGCCCCTCGGTATCGACCGTTGTACTCGAGCCTGCAGCAAGGGGCCCAGCCGCTCCGCGAAAAGGGATTGCCCTTGGGCGTCAAGACCACGAAGGCATTGCCCTACACTTTCCCAATGCCAGCGGACAAGGCCCGAAAACCAAAGACCCTGGGCGAGCTGTTCCCCCCTCCTCGTAATCTGCAGTCGCTACAACCGCCCAAGGCCCCCAAAAGCTCCACGAGAGGCGTCCACGTTGGCTGGCACCGCCCCGAGCTGACTGAGAAGTCAAAGTACCGTGTAGGGTCTTATTTCAGCCAGAGCATTTCCACTGGCCGCTGGCTTGACTACAGCAATGCCGCCCCGCCACAGCAAATCATGACCAAGCAGCGCGAGAGAGCCATGAGCTTGGCTGGAAACAAGCCGTCGATCACGGAGTTGGAGGCATCGGAAATGGAGTCATTATTTCGTGGCGCCTTCTCCAGCTTTGCTCCTTCCAAGGATGACTCAGCGGCCATGGTCTCGTCCGGACTGGTCAGCCAGACAATTTGGTGGCAGAAGCATGGCAAGCGCAGTTTCGATCGTCTCGTGGAAGGTGACGGAACAGATGAAGATGAGACCCCGAAAGAGGCGAATGCCATCCCGCCAGCCGATATTGATGAAAAACTGATTGAGAACGCCATCGAGAACTGGGACGACAGTCTCGTGGATCCTAGTCTTGAGCAAGCGTGCCTCCAAGGCGCCAAGACACAAGAAGAGAAGGACACGGACGATATTCTACAACAGGTGTCTGATATGATCCAGACGCTGGTTTCATATCAGAAGAACCGCAACTTGACACTACCTTCCGCAGCCGTTCAGAGCCGCTACGCTGCAGATCCGGCCCATAGCGATATGCTTACCAACGGCAGCCCCGTCCAGCCTGATGAGGAGGAAACTGCGACATACGACGCTCTCAAAGCTCAGCTCAGCTTGATCGTGCAGAGCCTCCCCCCTTACGCAGTTGCTCGTCTCAACTCGGACAAATTAGACGAGCTCAACATATCCATGAGGATGGAGGTCAAAACAGACGAGTACCGGGGATCCATGGATGAGGACGAGGCGGCTGCGCGGGCCAGAATGGCGTCCCAAGCTGTTGCACAGCCAGCAAGACCTTCGTCGCACAGGGCTTCTGGTTCATATGGGCAACCATACCAGAACAACAGGGCTCCTGTCGCCAACGCCCAGTACTACGGCGGCGCCCAGACACCCGTGCGGCCAGGTCCTATGCAGCGGCCGCCACAGAGCATGCCGCCAGCGTATAACCAAAGGCCGCCCGGATACCGCCAGCCAAACCAGTACACCAAAGCAGCTTACAACGCCCAAGCTGCGCAAGGTCAACCTGCATACGGACAAGCAGGAGCTTATGGCACTCCGCCACAGAATCGCCAGCAGTTCCCGCAGCACGCCGGATACTCAAACGTGGGTACGCCTAACACGCAGCCGCGGTTCTCTGCCTACCAGCCGAGTGCACAGACGCCAAATATGGCACAACACAGCTACCAGCCGCAGCACCAGCAAGGCACGCCCACGCACCCACAGTACAACCAGTACCCGAACGGCGCACCGCCCCCGAGGGCAGTCTCGTCACCTCATGTCCCGCCACAGCAACCGCATATGCAGCCGCAGCATGGATTCAGGCCGACCGGCACACCGCAGCAAAGGCAGCCTTCGGTTAGTGCCCAGCAGCCCAATTTGGCTAACCCCCAGGCCAGAGGCTATCCCCAACAAGGGCCGATGATGCCTCACCAGCAACACCAAGTGGCCGGGAAAGCCGGGTCGCCAGCACAGTTCCACAACGCGAACCAGGTCGAGCAGGCGATGCATCAAGGGCGCGTGGGCCCTCCCACGCGCGCATCGATCTCCGCGGGTCACGCCGCGGTTCCAGACATGGGTGCAGGCACACTCGGCGTCGCGAGCCCCGGTCCGACACCGCACCCACAGCTAGGCCCAGCTTCTTCGGCATCTCCCATCGTCAATGGTGGTGCGGCTGCTCCGCCGACGAATGGCGCGCTGCCCGTGGCCAGCAGGGGAGTATAGGATGCTTGGCTCTAGCCGTGGGACGCAGGTCCTTATCAGTCATAAAGGGAAGGGAAAGAAAAGGGGCGGGATGTATCTGTTCTGCTGCAAGTGTGTTCAGTTTGCATGGAGGATGGCGTGCACGGGTCAATGGTGCGCATTTCTGCGAGCCCTGTTCCAAACGGTGCAGGGCTGCATTCCGGAGTATTGGGAGCCATTAGGGGGTCGTTGAACTGTCTTTTTAATTCCCTCGTCGTCTTATCTAAACGGAGGAAGGTTTTGGGCAAAAAAGCCCTGCTGTTTTGTTTGTTGAGCACAGGGGACGGTGTGCGCAAGTGTACCAAGTACTACGGATAACCGCTCACAGAGCGTGGTCAGAATCATCACTAATTTCAAGTCTTTGCACACACCGAATGGAGATTTCGGCCTGGGTGGGGTAGAGAAACAACAAGTCATCATGTTCGGGAGACATGGAGCAGAATAAAAGAATCTGAATTCAATGGAATATTGCTGCTAAATACGGTTTCTGTGCTGCTGTCATTAAGCCTGCCAATCTGCCATCCAAAGGTTTCTGTGAACACACGAGGCTCATCCTGCGCGAAGGACACCTCACAAGCAGCGCGAACCGTGATAGACAAAGCTCGGGCTACCGTAAGACGTCTGTAATATCCGTCTTGCCAGACAAGTACAGCATCTGTAATCATTAAGTCATATCCATGTTGTAGTCGCTTATTTGGCCTTGGCGAGGCCGACGGTGCCCTTGCCGAGGTCGTAGATAGAGTACCACCGGCGCAGGAAAGCGTCACCGAGAATAGCAAGGGGACCAACAGGGGCAGGGAAGTCCATGCCCATGAAGGTGGAGATGCAGCTGCCCTGGACCTCGAGGATATAGTCGTAGGGGCCAATGGCAAAGTCGTGGCCGGCGAGCTTGAAGCTGATGTCGGGCAGGCTGTCACGAGCAGAGCAGTCGACGCTGTACTGGCCGTTGTAGCCCTTCTTGGCGCCAATCTCCTTGTTCAGAAGCTCGGCAAGGTCGGTGGGAAGGGCGATGAGAGAGGTACCAGTGTCAAGGATAACACCAGTGTTCTCAAGCTCAGCAGTCTCCTTGCCAAAAGAGATGGAGTCGAAGTCAACCTCCCAGTAAGCCTTGCGGCGCAGGGGGATCTCGGTGATCTTGCCAGTGTAATGGTCCTTGTCAACACCACCAAAGACAATCTCCGAGTCGTCCTGGCCACTCTCGCTGCCGAGGTAGAAGGCAAAGACGGGCTCGTCGACAAGCTTCTGGTTGACCATGGCGTTGAAGGGGGGAACGACACCCTTGACGGCAATCCGATCGAAGCCAAGACCAAGGATACCGTCGAAACGGCCAAAGGCAAAAGCCAAGCCAGGCTCGCTGGTGGCCTCGCCAAAGTCGAGGTTCTTGACGTGGAGGTCACCGATGGTGAGGGTGTCCTGGGAGACAAAGCCCTTCATCTCGCCGGAGCCATAGCGGATCTCAAACTCGGTGCCGTTGGCCTTGTAGGTGGAGGAGGCGGACGAGTCGTACTTGGAGTGGAGGAAGCATGCGATGCTGCCGCACTGGGACGAGGGCACCCAGAGGTTGGAGCTGCCAGTGTCAAGGACGACCTTGAAGGACTGGGGAGGAGTGCCAAGGCTGATCTCAGAGAAATCTAATGTCGCAGGCCAACGGGTCAACACGTCGAACTCTCAGGGAATCGTTGTCGCCATCATTGCTCTCACGCGGTTGCAAAAACATCAGAGACTTACACTGAGCGTTCATGAAGTTGGAGATGGGGACAGGGTGGCCGCCCTCAATGTGGGCAGTCGAGTCGTGGAAGATGGCCTGGGAGTGGACATCGACGGGCCGGCCGCCAAGGTACTTCTGGCTGAGGCCACGGACCTGACCCTCGAGAGGCATCGTCTCCTACACGTTTGCAGTGGTTAGTGACATGGTCAGCAGCCTGTGATGGCGACGGGGGACGGCATACCATCTGCTCGGAAAGAGGGATCTTCTTGAGCTTCATCTTGTGGACGCCGGCGTTGGCGGAGCCCAGAAGGACTGCCGCCGCAGTGAGGAGAGCTCCCTTCATGGTGGGCAGCACCTGGATGCACAGCGGGTTGGAGGGTTGTGTTGGATGTTGAAAGCAGTGAGAGTGCCGACGAAGCCCGCGATCGGCAGAGATAGGGTTGATGAGGGATGGAGATGAAGATGGATGTTTGAGGGAGAGGTGAAGGTGACGGATGGAGGAGGATGGAGATGGGGAGCTGGATGGGGAAGGCAGGCGCAAAGGGGCCGGGCTGGGCTGAGACGGGGCCCGTGACTGGCCGCAGCGGGCGGGCGCATCGACTGGGGCGCCGCCGCTTGCGATGACGATTGTTTTGGGGAGGCATGGCTGGGAGGCCCTGGGCAGCCGGGGAGCTTTCCCCCAGCAACACGCCTGTCCTAGCGCGGCGATAGCGTCGTAGTGGTGGGCCAGAAGCAGGAACAGCGCACTCTGGCCCAGCCAAGCACGGCCCCCAGACTCCTCCCCCATCGCTGACTGCCCAGGTGTCTTGGGCGTCACCAGTCTTTTGCCGCCCGGCGTTGTCCACGCTAACCTGCTGCCTGGAGGTTGTTGCCTCAGGCCTCGAGATCTGCGCACCAGGCGCCCTTGGAAGCTACGCGTATCTACACCACCTAGATAGTGTAGATAGTACCTGGACATGGTCAGCCTGCCCTGGAGTGCGTACGCGTCGTGGGTTGATCCGGCAGGTGCTGACTGGCCGAGTCGGGTCAGCCATCTGCCTGCCAAGCTCCGAGGCAGCCGTCCTCGGACCTGGATGCGCCGCCTGGCCATGGCAAATCAGAATGCGTCATTGCGCAATCAAAAGCGGGTCCACGTCGCCGTCTCATATCAGGCACTCCTGGCAACACACCCGACAACCACCTGGGCACATGACCACACAAGGCCCTGCCCAGACGAGCACAGACGGCTCCCGAGGTCCGTAAGAGGCATGGCGTCCCTGGTCGTGACTTCCTAACCCGACCGACCTCCCAGTCTTCAAACGGACATGCCATGATCCTTCCAAACCTCATCCCACCTGGGCAGCCTCTGGCGATGAACAGACTGACCTGACCTGACCTGTACTTGTCCACTGTTTTATGCAATCTGCACATTAAAGTCGCAACTTCCTTCGTGCATGTTGCAATGCCTCGTCTTGATACTCCAGCATGGACCCTTGTCAGAGGGCACGACCCGAGGGACCAACACTGACTCGAATGAACGCCTGAAGCCAGGGCTCGATCTGCTGACTCCGCAATATCATATCTGCCGTGCGGAGTGCATGCACATCTTGGCGAAACGCCTCGGTCGAAGACGAGATGTCGCACCTCGTGCCTCAAGCAATGTTGGTACGAGCAGGCTGGAGACATGCTCGACGCCTACCAAGCGCTTGCAAACGCAGCGTTGTGTACACAATTGTCAAGCGTTGCGAGAGCCCAAGGCTGTGTGGTGTTCCCGTGTCTTTAATGTATTTGGCAGGCCCGCAAGCTGCTCTTCTAGGATATTTGTCCTCGTATAGTGTCAACAAGGCTGTCAACTCTGGTACGGCTGTGTTGCTGCCTCGGGCATCGCTGTTTGTGAGAACAGACATCGTCAACGACCAAACAGCGAGCTGTAGAGAACGTCCACAAAATCCAAACGACCTGACGGCGGGATCCTGCATAGGTTCATGGCTGGCACCTGGTTGACTCCTGCTTGCCACCAGCCTGGCAACATGAGATCCATTGTGTATGCGTCTCCTGTTTCTTTCAGCTTGTTGGCACCAACAACAACGTGCCATAGCGCACCCACGGAACAACATTGTCGCACTCCCACCAAGCAGATCCCCAGCAATGAACATGCTCGTGGGTCCGGAGCCGAGTTGAGAAACAAAGGGCAAGCTGTGCCTGGCTTCATGCCGGCCAGCCCTTGCTCTGGACGTTGTTCGCCATGCATTACATATAAGATGATCTCTCCGTGATCACTTGCTTGGTCCGGATCCCTCGCTCTCTATTCTGCCTGCAGTTCATCGACCAAGCACAATACGCTCCTGAGGATATTGCCATCAAAATCGGACATTCTGCACTTGCTCCTTAGCACGAAAACGGCAGTTGGCCCACGACGCAGCGACATCCCAACACCGCCTCCAGGCTAAAAGATCACTATACACGGCACCAACCATTAGCTCCTCGAGCAGCTCCTGATGGCCACCACGAACAGTGCCATGGATCTCACCAACATGGGCCGCGGCGCCTACGACACCACGGGCCGCCCCAACCCCCAGCCCAAGCCCAAGCCCAAATAAATAAGACCCTCGTGCCGTACGTGACATCCTCTTTTCGTGGCACAAATCCCCAACATTCACCTGGCGAGCATGCCACAAGCGCCGGTTCTTTCAATCCTTGATCTCCCGACGCGTGCTAAGTTGCAAACCAGTATCCGCGCCTCACCCGCCAGAAGGAGAGACTGGCGAGTACACTTTGTCCAAAGTCCTCCTTAAATGCCAGCAATGTTTCTTGCAACCGCCGATTTTAAGACACGCCGTGCCCAGCAACCACCACAGGCAGCACCACAGCAAGAAAACAACAACATCGGCACGGAACGATAGCAAGCAATGGAGGAACTGGATGTGCACGAGAGGAAAGGGGACGACAACGAGCAATACCAAAGGAAAGAAGAATAATTCTTAATTTGTACAAAAGTCGATTCTCCGGGTTTCCTTTTCCTTTTGATTCCAGTGGTGGGCAACACAAAAAAATGGTGTAGATGAAAAAGCAATCTCCCGCAAGGGACTCAAGACGGCGTGGATAATGATAATGATGTTGTCGGTGATCAATAGAGAGCTGTCCCCAGCATCCCCCAAAGGACCTGGAAACGAGCCAATCCTGTACTGAATGCAAAGTGCCCGGCGTGAATTCGTGGCGTGGATGAGATGATCCCTGTAGCTACATGACACAAACTCTTGCCGCTCATGGCCACGGCAACACACGAAGCTCAACTGGCGCCTAATTGCCATCGTGTTAGTTGTCTACTTGGGCATGGATGAGAGAGAGAGAGAGAGAGAGCCTGGTACCACATAAGATCGGGCTTATACCAAGACCACACTAGAGTACAATAGTCCTGATACACCACGTCACATGAAAGTTCCCAAAGCCTGTTCTGGGGCACTCAACAGAGAGAATATTCTTAGGAAATTGTTGAACAACACAGACGTCTCCCGTCTCATCAGCCCCAATAATTGATGGAAGAGTTGTCACCCAAGTCGGTAGCATGTCAGAACAAAATTGGTACAGACAAATCCTTGTTGTCGTAGAATCTCTCAAAAGAGATGGATTTTGGCTATATATACAAAGTATTCCGAGAGCTCGGCCAAAGCCAGCAAGTCTCTCCATCGTCAAAAAGCTTCAAAAGCATCAACGCCTTTGTCATGTCCTACCCGCGTTGAAGCGAGTTTGTGAGGACCCCAAAAGACCCAAGGTGGCCAAAACCAGAGAGCTCCCCTTGGGTCGTACTACAGCAGTAATTGCAACGCCAGATGAATGCATGCAAAGGTATCTTTTTTCCCTCAAAATATTTTCCGTAATCTCTTCTGTAACACCTGCCCACATTACCATTTTCGTGGCAGGTTCATGGAAGTCATCCAATCAAGCACATATCCGTCGTGAGAAGAGTGAAGTTGATGCTCTTCTCGGATCATGGCTTGTTGCAACCATCGCTGGCGTCGCTTAGAGGCCAGCGTCAACTCTCCAGCCCTCGACGGGGAGGGGGAAGGTCAAGCACCACTCAGCAACCTCCTTCTTGAGGGCGTTGATCTTGGCAACCTCGCCGCTGGCAACCTTGGCGCGGAAGTCCTTGAGCTTGTTGGCCTCCTTGGGGAGCTCAGCCTGGACCTCCTTGCAGATCTTGATCGACTGGTCGATGTACTCGGCAACGCGCTCGAAGTCCTTCTCTCCGAAGCCACGGGAAGTCATGGCAGGGGTACCAATGCGGATACCGCAAGGGGTGAGGGCAGACTTGTCGCCGGGAATGGAGTTCTTGTTGCAGGCAATGTTGAAGTTCTCGAGGACGGCCTCGACACGGGCGCCGTCAAGAGCCTGGGGGCGGAGGTCGAGGAGGACCATGTGGGAGTCAGTGCCGTCGGAGACGAGCTTGTAGCCGAGCGCCTTGAACTTGTTCTCGAGAGCCTTGGCGTTGGCAACAACCTGCTGCTGGTAGGCCTTGAAGTCGGGGCTGGCGGCCTGCTTCAGGGCGACGGCCAGAGCAGTGATGGTGTGGTTGTGGGGACCACCCTGGTGGCCAGGGAAGACGGAGAAGTTGATGTTGTTCTCGAGGTCGTACATGATCTGCTTGCCGGTCTTGTCGGTGCTGCGGACGCCCTTGCGGAAGAAGATCATGGCACCACGGGGACCACGGAGAGACTTATGGGTGGTGGTGGTGACGACATCGGCGTAGTCGAAGGGAGTCTTGATGACGCCGGCGGCGATGAGGCCGGAGATGTGGGCCATGTCGACGACAAGGTAGGCACCGACAGAGTCGGCAATCTTGCGCATGCGGGCATAGTCGATCTCACGGCAGTACGCAGAGGTACCGGCAACGAGAACCTTGGGGCGGAAAAGCTGGGCGTTCTCCTCGAGTCTGTCGTAGTCGATGATGCCAGTGTCAATGTTGACGCGGTAGGGCATGGTCTCGAAGTAGACAGAGATGGCGGAGATCTTCTTGGCAGGGGTCTGGTAGCCGTGGGACAAGTGGCCGCCGTGGGGGAGGTCGAGACCCATCAAGCGGCTTCCCGGGGGCATGAGAGCCTGGTAGACCTGAAGGTTGGCAGGGCTGCCACTGAGGCACTGGACGTTGACACCCCACTTCTCGCTGTCGAGGTGGAAAGCCTCGAGGGCACGCTTCTGGCAGAGGAGCTCGATCTTGTCGATGTGCTCGTTGCCACCGTAGTAGCGGGCACCGGGGAGACCCTCGGAGTACTTGTTGGACATGGGCGAACCAAGGGCATCGAAGACAGCCCGCGAGGTAACGTTCTCGGAGGCAATCAAGATGATGGATTCGCGCTGGCGCTTGATCTCATCTTTCTGTAAACACGATCAAGGGCAGGAGTCAGTCGAGTATGTCGCTAAACGGGCTGGGGTAGCCTCAATGTCGTCGTGAAACTGAGCACGTCGGCAGAGATACGCACCATGATCTGAGCAACCTCGGGATCGGAATCAACAAGGGACTTCTCGAGCAACTGCAAAGGATGTTAGCATTCAGAGATCTAGAATGGGACGATGCCATCCAAGTCGTGAGCATTGACACAAGCTGGCAGAATCCATTCTTGTGGGAAACGGCCAGTGGCCTGAGGAGGGGCACAATGAAGGCATTGGAGGTGGCCACTTACGTCCTTGTGCTCCTGGGACAGCGCGTAGGAGGCCATTGTGAATGCTTGCGTGGTTTCTTGAGGAACAAGACTGTGGAAGAATGACACGCAGGATGATCTGGGGAAGAGATCCGGGTGAAGATGCTTGGGGAAAGGAGGAGAAGGAAGGAGAGGGAGGGGGGAGAGAGGATTGAGATGGGTGCGGTGGCTAGTGCTAAGTATTGTACCGAGTCGCTTCACCACGCTGGCGAGACAGCAGACGAGTGCTTGTGCTCCTGCCACCTGCACCTGCAGCTACACTTTTTTTTTTCTTCGCCTGGCCGTTGTCCCTTCCTCCCGCTCCAGTGATCCGCAGGCTGCTGGCGGAGGTGGTGGCGGGCAGTGGGGTCAGTCGTGGCCAATTGGGGCCGCTGTCGGTGTCCCAAGCGGGCTCTAAGCAGCTCGAGTTTGACTCAGGCTTGACTTGACTTGCCCGTGGTAGGGCTACAAAGAGTACCTGGAGGGATACATATCCCGGACGTGAGGGGCAGCCTGCGCCCTGCGGCCATTAGCTGCAGCTGCTGTGGGTGCCCTTTGACATGACTTGACATTGACTTGACTTTGACTTTAGTGTACATACGCGTACCCAGTAGAGGACCTCTCCAGTCCGGTTCTCGCTCACAAGGGCCACAAGGGTTTTCCTCCCCGCCACAGCAGCCCGCGCCAGGAATGCACAATGCAGAATGCAGGGCCCTCTGCCATTGGAGCACAGCCCCCGCCCGCCCCTGCCCCATTGTGCGTTGCTGCGCCGAAGCCGGCCCTCCTCCAGTGTCCACTTTGGACAACAACTCCAGCAAGCAAGCGATGGATGGATGGGATCCCCCAGGGCAGATCACCCGCCGTAGCATCCCAAACGCGCAAGGAATATCTCACATTGAAAAAGGAAGGGTCCTCCCCTTATCTGATGCAGAGCCGCATGCCCAGCCGAGATATCCCCGAGCATCGACTTCCCCTCCCAGCTTTCCGGGTCTTTCTCGGATTGCACCGTCTCGTCATCTGAAGCTTGCCCTTCACACTACAAACGTCCCCTTCCCATCAACGTGTCCCGAGGCGAGACTGTCTCACTTGGGCAAGAGGGCTCCAGCCACAGAAACACCGCCAGAGACAACAAGACAGCCCTGGACAGCTCTCAAGACAAACTCGGAGGTCTCCGGGCACCACCTGAATCGTTGGTCTGCATCGTTGTTGGATATCTCTATAGAGGTTTGGCTATTGATGGTATATAAGGTATATATAGATAGATATCGCACTTGTCGTAGGGGCAGGCAAAGGCCCACTCGACACGCAAACTCGCTGTTTCGTGTTTCTATTTTCTCCTCATCGTACCTCTGGCACATTTTTCTGTCGTGCTCTTATCCGAAACGGCTCTCTCCTGCAAACCTGCCCACCAAACTCCTCCAAATACTCCTCCCAATCGACAAATAGTTGCTCCTCCGCGCCTTAACCATCCCCTTCTCGCTGAACGTATATATTGTCTGAACAAAGAAGATCGAAGCGTGATGGGCTTTTACTTTTGCTGGTGCTCGAACTGCCCTCTCATCCATCACAAGCTTGATGGAGAATGCAGCGGCACCTGTGCGCCGCACCCTGGGATGCAAATGACCAAACATACAGTAAAACAGTCCAAATTGATCGCGTGCACCACCAACTCCGTCCTTCCCTAGAATGCTAGCTCTCGGCCAGTCTATTGGTGGTATTGTCGGATTGCATGCTGAGAAAAGGAAATCATAGACAGTATGTCATGAGAATGTGGTATGAATGCACGACTTCTGGCAGAAATCACCCGCAGGCAAACAACTGCCCACGTCGAATTGTAGTCCAGATGCCCGATCAGCCTTGACGGACGGCAATTCCCTACCGCTCCATGCTTTCGGGAGACATCATGCCAGTATCGTCCTTGTCGGTATGGCTCTGCATGCTTCCGAGGCGCTCCATCCCTGGCGCAGTGGGCAGGCTGATTCCGTTGACACCGCCCGCCCCAGACGTAATAAGCGTGGGCTTCTTGTCCTTTGCGCCGGGCTTCTCGGGACTCTTGTTGGCGGCCGCGGCTTGCGCCTCCAGCTTCTTCTTCTTCTTGTTGATGGCATTCTGTTCCTTCGGTGGCCGCTTCTGGGGGGAAACAATCTTGCCGGTGGCGCCAAGTCTTGGCCTGGGGCGGCGCTGTTTGACCGGAAGATCCTCGTCTTCAACCAGAGGTGAGTCGCCGTTGGCATGCAGCTTCGCAAGGAAGAAGTTCTTGACAAGACCAATCTGGCCTTGTATGTTCTCCTTGGTGACTGCCTCGAGTGGCGGCGGCTCCTCAAAGAGCTGCTCGTCGGTAGTTTCGCCAGTAGTCGGGTTCTGAGCTTGGTACTGGTTGCGGACACGAGACTGCAGGAGGTGCAATGGCACTGACAGAACACCGCCCAGCTCACCCGCAAGGCCAAGCTCCTTGAAACCAAAGAAGTCCTCCCCGATATCCTCGGCGAAATCGCCACCAACAAACTGGTCGCTGCCGTCGCGGAAATTGGCACCTTCCTGATTTGTTTCGTGAAGCGCTGGACGTAGCAGGTCACTCAAGTGCGCCTTCATGCGCTCGTGGATAACGCCAAGCTTGTTGCCCAGTCGTTCAACTTCGTCCTTGGCATAGCTTTCGAGTGCTTCGACCGAGTAGCCGTTCTCTGCGAGGGTGTGCAGAACAACCTCCTCGCCAGAGCAACGCGGCTGAGCTTTTGCTCCTCGTTTCGCGAAATCGGTCGACGGATCTTTCATCTCGACTTGGCTGAAGGCATTGAAAGAGCCCACAATCTTGCCAAAATAGTCCGTCGCGATATCTGTAATCGTGTCCAATGCTGACGGCTGCAGTTCCTCGAAACCGGCATGGTAAAATATCTTTGCAACCGAACGCTGCATAGCGGCCCTGCACACTTCTGGAGCCATGACCAGATCATCGCCAGATGTGACATGCGGGTCGACGTCAACCTCAACAAATGGCTCAGGGTTGTACTTGGGGAATTGATTCGCGTAGACCTGCGCTTGTCAGAAATTGAAAGTGTGTGCAAAAGATTCCCAAGCCTTGCTTACCTGAGTTTGCAGCTGCATCTGCTTGATGACGCTGATTTTAGAGCAGACCTTCCGGGTCTCCTGCATTTGTCGGAGGTTTGCGTCGAACCTTTGGGCAAGCCCGACCTTGGGTGCGGAGAAGTAGCCCGCAGGCATTTCACGCAAGTACTCCCCAAACTGGTTGATGACCTGGCCCTCGCCATCCTCGATCCACTGCAACTGGGGCGGGATGTCAGGGATCAAGCTCTGAGGCTGATAGTAGTCAGGAATGACCTTCTCCTCGCCCTCCTCCATGCCCTCAGCCAATGTCTCAGTGGCTTTCGCGCCTTGCCCCGATTGTCCAACGGATTCGGACTGCGAAGAGTCTTTGATGCCGAGTGCTTCGGCTTGTTGCAAGCTCTTCAAATAACGCCTCATCCCAGCCTTAGTGCGCAGAAGTGCTGGCTCGTCGACGTTCAGTTTGTTGCCGGCAAACAGTTGCTGCCGCTCGCGTGCAACCAATGCGCGGTCCTTCTTGGTGACCTGCTTCCAGATCTTGTACTCCTCATCCTCGTATACAGGCTGGGCCGCATTTGTCAGGGCTTGTCCAAGGGCCATGCCGTGGAGTGACGGCTCGTCAATGTCCATCGCGTCAACATTGCTGCCGGTCCCTGCAGTGCCATTAAGGCCGTTGGGGGTCATTGCGCCGATCGCAGGGCTGCCAAAACCATTGCTTCCATCCAAGTCCGAGCCTTCGCGGTGGGCCTTGGCAAGCAGTCCGTTCAGGGGTAATATTGGCTTCTGATCCGTCCCCGGCGTGTCTTCCTTTTGGTCCGAGGGTGCTTTCCGGGATTTGGTTCCTTTGGTCCCTCCTGTGATCCGACCTCGTGAGGACATGATAGGTTCGTCATCTGAATCATCTCCAGCATCGTCTTCACCACCGTTCTGTTTGCGGCGCTCTTCGGCCTCAACCTCGGCACGAGATCTAATCGTGAGCTCCGGAATGAGAGGGATGAGCTTCTCCGCCTCTTTGCGCATGCCATTAGCCATACGCCGTAGGGGGTGGTTGAGTTCCGCATTATATTTCAGACAGTTGTCCCAGATCAAGTTAAGGTCGGCGACAAAGTCTTGTTTCGATTTGTAGGTGAGAGACTTGAGCTTCTTGGTCATGGTGCCGAGGTCCATTGGTTGTTTGATAGCTGTTGTCGAGCACGTCAGTCACCTAGTGCATCCAACTTTCCGTGCCGTGCAAACTCACTGTGGTAGTAATCTGGCGCATCTCGCTTGTTCACTCTCTGAAGAAAGGGTGTGGAGAACTCAGTGTGCGCTTTGAGCTCAGTCAAGACCTTCTCGAGGGCTTCGTAAAGCTCCTCCTGGTTGACATTCTCTTCGCTAGCCCACTTGCTGCGATTCTTGCGGACCTCGTTCATTAGTGACCGCAATTCGGCATCTGACGCGCGCACCATGTCGCGCTTCATGTCGATTCGCGCAATTAGGTGCTTTAGAGTGAGGCTGGATGCGCCCAAGTTCGCACTACTGAGGGAGCCGTGGTGCTCTGCGGTTGTACCTTCCGCCGGCGCATTCGCGCTGTTCTTGTCCATCTCCGCCTGCAGCTGCTTCTCGGATTCTTCTAGTTGCTGCTGCTCCAGCATGGCGGTTCGGTCGTTTTCGAGCGTGTAAAAGAGCGTGTGGAACCCGCGTTTTGCGGCCTCCTCGGTGTCTTTGCGAGCATCCTCGAGTTGCTTCCGGGTTTCTTCTAGAGTCTTGGCGCGATCGTGCTGCTGTGACTGGGATTCTTGCGACGATCCATCCTTTGGCTTATCGGACGTCTTTTCTGGAGACGCCACAGAAGGCACAGGAGAGCTGCCGGACTTGGTGGGCGAAAGCAGACCTTTCGATGCTGTGGCCGCGCTTTTGTGCTTAAGAGGTGAGGCGTTGTGACCATCCGCGGCGTGGAGATTATCGCCAGAGACGCCTTCTTCATCATCGGAATCGTCGTCGCCATAGTCGTCTTCATCAATTACGCGCTTGACACGCTTTGCTGGTCGCTCTTCGATGGGCCGATGATCCGTGGTTGGGGGAGGCGAGACGCTGTGCGCGGACGGGAACGAGGGCTCCCAGTAAGCTTTTGTGTCGTGGTTGTAGGAACCATCGTCGCGGAACATGGAAGATATTCGGGCTTCGCTGCGGCGATATAGAGCCAGGAAATGGGCGCGTTGGCGACTGGCGTCATCGTCGGCATCAGGGGGGTCGGCTACTGCACCCATTGAAGCATCAAGGGGTGTCTGATCTTGCGCAGGACCATCACCAGAATAGTGGAATGACCGGCTGGCAATGCCCTGATGGTTGCCAGGCGTCTGCCATGCGGTTTGACCGTTCATGGCGGACGGGAGGCCGCGTTGGCTGGTTAGAGTGATGGTACTGTGGTAGGCGCCATGCGAAAGAATAAGGGGTCGCGTCAGGTGGGAAGTCGTGGTCGCCTCGCACTCAAAAGTACATCAATCGAACGAGCGTCGCGAGAGTAGATGGGGCGCGTGTTTTGAAGCCCGTGGAGATAATGATGGTGGCGTGGCGATGGATGGAAGTGATGCGATTTCGCGTGTCCTGCTGGGGTGAGGTCAGTTGAGCCACGCACAGGCCTTGTAGGTTGGTGGTCGGAAATGGAGCGCCGCACCTGGGTCAGCGATCGTGGTGGGGAGCGCCGCGAGGGCCTAGCGTGCAGTCCGCAACCCCATCGCCAGGGCAGTGACTTTGTTCGAGACGGCAATCTCGACAATTTCTACGTCGCTATTGGGCTTGTTAGATCATCATATTGCTTCGATGGTCGCTATACCAGTCTCAATTCACAGCCCACCTTGCGCATTGCCCGTGGCAGCGTTCGGGGTTTTCTGCCGCGCTGAGCGGCATCTGGCAATGTACATTCACGATGCGCACTGGAGCCCCTTTGGTCATTTGCGACAAGGGCCTGTGTCGCGTTTGAGCCGTGTTAAAATGAAGCAGGCAGCGCATCATGGCTGACATAGATGGCAATATTCATCATCACATTAGATTGGGCATGTTTGCCAGTCGCAATTGCTGAAATCGAGATGGTGGTCCAGATCTGTATAAGAAAGTAGGTACTTGAGTAGAATGTCGCCGGAAGATGCCTTCGTGCAGCACGCCGTCAAGGGTGTCGAGGTTTCCATAACCGGAAAAGTGCCATTTCGAGTCGATGACAAAGCGTCGAGCAGCCACCAAGTCACGTGCCAGGTACGGGTCTCAAGGTAAGCCTCAAGATGCGCGTGGGTGGCCCTCAAGGATTAACGACTGGACGGGCCAGCATGGGACCTGGCAGACCCATCGTGGAGACCACACTCCGTCCTTGTAATACAGCTTGCGGATTCCGGGGAAGTCTTCGCGAGGTCATGGCGGAATCTCGATACGTCTATCAAAATATCCTGACGTACAGCGAGCAGGCGGTTCCCTGCTGCATGGCCAGCTTGGACTCTGGTTGATTACTAGCAGCCGAAGCTACCCAGCTACGAACTGAGCATTTGTGGTCTCTCGAACATCAAGTTTCAAAGGTTGGGCAAGACCTTCCAAATTCCATTGAAATGGCGATGTCGTCATCAAGATCTGTCCATCGATGGAAGTTATCGGGTATGTGGGCTGATGTGTGAAACGAAAAGGTGACCAGAGATTGCCCTGATAGCGGTGGTAAGGGCAGAAGTCGGCTTGGACCGGGACAGAGAGAGCTGCAGATGGATGCCAGATGAGATGGCAGACCGCCTTCTTCTTGAACACGATGCCTTCCCCGTGTCTACGACCAGTGCGAGGCGCAGCGGATGGTGTAGAGAATGCAGGCAATCAATCGTGGGTGGTGGGGGCAGTGTTGCTTGGATCGTCCCGTGCAGGTGCTGGTGGCAGTGACGGTGCTGCGAAGCTTGCACAGCTCCCGAGCTTCGTGGCCCCTCCCAGGTCCAGCCACCACTTCCCCATGGTCCGATCCTGGCAAACCGGCACTTCCGCATTTCTTCCAGCACAGGCAACACGGACAGCTGGCTTCGCAGCAGGGGACTGCAGCATCACCGACTCGCGCATTCGAACACACTCCGACACGCCACCTCTTCCATTACACCGCTGGCGCCGTCCTTCGCAGTTGCCCTCAAGGCTTGCACCAAAGGCAACAGACTCTCTCGTCACAGGTTTCACGGCAGTAGACTCGGACCAGCTTGTTGGGGCAGTACCGTAATACATAACGAAGAGAGCAACCGGGACCTCATCTCCACATCGATCCGACTGTCCCGCGTCAACTCGAACCCAGACTCGAACTCGACCAAGTCTGCCCTGCTCGACTCCAAAGTTCGAACTTCTAGCTTTTCGTCCTTTCGCACGCCAATCGTCGTTCTCCGTGCTGCACATAGCTTCAAAGGAAAATGCGCATCCGTCTTCCCTTCGCGGGTAAGTCATGCCTCGATTACCTGCTATGCTAGAGTCTCTTCTTGGAGCAGGCTCTTGCGCCGAAGCTTTCGAAGCGTCCGATCTACAGGCCGGAGCGCACTCGCTGGTGGGCGCAATGTTTCGAAACCCGTCTAATTCAATTTTGTCTTTGCAGCTGTGTTTGTAAGCCTCTGCTTCCTCGCGGGATACGCCGGCCTCTCCACACTCCAGCTTGGAGCCTACGTAAACGACAAAGTCCTCCATGCCGCGACCTTCTTCATCCTCACCGTCGTCTTTTACTGGATCGTCGACACCAACCGCAGACGAACCCTCAACCTCACGCTAGTCGCGTGCACGCTCGGCCTCGGTGTCGGATCCGAGTTCGTCCAGGCTGCGATACCCAACGGCCGCGAGTTCGACCTCTACGACATCATCGCGAACATTGTGGGCAGTGCGGCTGGGCTGGCGCTGTGTACATGGTACCACATGCGGATGCTCGAGCGGAAGCGACAGAGCAGGTACCAGAGCGTGCCGGGGCAAGACATTACCGATGTTGAGCTCGGCGAGGGCGTGAATGGTCAAGAGGAAGGCATCACTATGGGGTCGTCAGGCTTGCGAGACAGAACCCTGGAGGAAGAGGTCGGCAATTGGGATGAGAACGGTCAGGATGCTTGGGATGAAGACGAGGAAGAAGAAGAGGAGGAGGAGGAGGAGGATAGCGAGGATGACAGAAAGGGAAAAGCACCCAAGTAAAGTCCTTGAGCGGCTACACATGTCACGCAGTAGCCATGGCATGTGAGCATCTGCCTTCACGTTATGTATGCTGCACGACCTGACGACGCTAAATGATAACCAAAAGCTCCGCGTACCATCGAGTATTTTCTCCTCGTGAAAGTTTCCAGGCTGTGCATCTCTATCCCTGTCTTGATGTATGGTCGGCCACCGATAGAATTGAATGAAAATTTGAAGCACGCTGTTCATGGCTGTCAAAGGGCGGCTGACGAAATTTGGTTCGATAGCTGCAATAGTGTCTGTTCTCGAGATTACTGAGCATTCACTTGGAGCTTCAGTCAGTATATGTCCTTTTGTTAAGAGCAACACGAGGAGATCTTGAGTAAAGAAACCCGCTCTACCAGCTTATTTTCCTTGTGGTTTATTTTTGGGCTGAAAACCTGTGTGAATTAGGTGAGGCTTCAGGACTGCTATCCCGCTCCTGTGCACCTAGACAATAACAGGGAATTAATTGCGAAAACGCCAAAGTACCTACCCATGCTAGCTAGAAGTCGTCATTGGTACTATAAGTACGTAATTCTGGACCCTGGAGAACGACAGACAAAATTAGCGCCCCCTCTCTAACCTCCGCGCGCCAGGTACCGAGTGTGTCATTGCCACCACCGAAAGTGGACTTTTTTTCTCGGCTGCATCAGAACCGATTTGCTGTTGGTACCGTCACGGCTTGGATGCCCACTTTCACAACTCTGTACGATGCAACGCACCGCAAGTTCGTCATAGATCCCAGTCATGGCTGCCGACGACCGCATACAGACGTCGCTGAGCAGGGCAGATGAGGCCCAAGATGTAAGCAGGCCGCGCAATTTCTTGCCGCGATATCGCTGTGGATTGGGCAGATCAAGTGGATTTGTAATTCCCCGCATGAGAACGCCGTGTATCAACTGGGCCACTTTCCATGGTGGGCGCGACATCATCGTGTTGTGTTTTTTTTTTTTTTTTTGGTTGGACTGCAATTCCATTTCTATTTAAACTAACAGAACCCGCAGCTCATCAACGCTGTCAGCAAACTGCTCATCGGCTTCATTCGCACAGCCGACGAATCCGCACCTAGCAGGGCTGAGGGCCGGCCCACGGATGCCGGAGAGCGCAACACGCTTGTACAGCTGCACAAGCCGAGTGAGCTGCTGGAGAAGTTGGCCTTCTCTCTTCCAACAGGGAATGGCGTGGGGAAGGATGGACTGCTGGAGACCATCGGCAGTGTGCTCGAGTACAGCGTGAACACCTGGGACCAGGGTTTCATGGACAAGCTGTACTCGAGTACGAATCCTGTAAGTCCTTTGCTTAGATTGACATGCTTATGGAGGGGGTTTTCCGCCATGAAAGGATCCTGCCATTTTCACGATCCTGTCATAAGCTGACTTCTGATTGTCCAGGTCGGAGTTGTCTCTGAGCTTGTTCTCGCAGTGCTCAACACAAATGTAAGTTTGGCTGAACTGCATCCCCGAGTCTTCAGAGAAGACTAACTCATCCCGACCAGGCTCATGTATACAACGTCTCCCCGACTCTGACGTTGATAGAGAAGACGACAGCCAGACAACTCGCCAAGTTGTTTGGATTCGAGGGACCTCGAGCAGGGGGCGTAACGTAAGCTCCGCCAGATCGTTTAAATGTCTGCGATCGACCTTGTACTGACGCAGTGCGCAGATGCCAAGGAGGAAGCTCATCAAACCTCACATCCCTGATCATTGCTCGCAACGCGCTCTACCCGGAGACCAAAGCCGGCGGCAACGTGGCAAGCGGCCAGCTCTTCGCCATCTTCACCAGCGCGCACGGGCACTACTCTGTCGAAAAGGCCGCGACGATAGCCGGCTTCGGGGCAGCTGCGGTGTTCAAAGTCCCCGTCGACGCCGAGGGCCGCATGGGCCCCGCGAGCCTGCGGGAGAAAGTCCTGGAGGCGAAGAGGCAGGGCAGGACACCGCTCTACGTCAACGCGACCGCGGGCACCACCGTGCTGGGCAGCTACGACCCCTTTGTCCTGATCGCGGCCGTATGCAGGGAGTTTGGCATGTGGCTGCACATTGACGGAAGCTGGGGAGGCTCGGCCATCTTCTCTGCAAAGTACCGCAGGCGGCTGGAGGGAACCAAGTACGCGGACAGCGTGACGGTCAACCCACACAAGATGATGAATGTGCCGTTGACCTGTTCGTTCCTGCTAACGAACGACCTCGCTGTTTTCAAAAAGGCCAACACGCTGCCTGCCGGGTACCTCTTCCATGGGGATGATGATGATGACGAGGAGGACGGAGGGTCAGAAGTGGAGCAGCAGGACACATACTGGGACCTGGCGGACTTGACCCTCCAGTGTGGCCGGCGCGCCGACAGCTTCAAGCTCGCCATGGCGTGGGTGTACTACGGCGCGGCTGGCTTTGAGCAGCAGGTCGACCATGCCTTTGAGATGGCGCAGTATCTAGCTGATCTCGTGAAAGCGGCGCCAGACTTCAGGCTCGTGTCGAGAGATCCGCCCCCTTGTCTGCAGGTCTGCTTTTACTATACCCCAGGCGGCGTGTTGTTGGGCGAGCGTCACGCAGATAATACAACCTCGGTAGCAACTGAGAGCAGCGATGAGCTGGAGAGGGCTAGCAAGGAGAACTCACGCCGCACCGCGGCCATGGTTAAGAAGCTCGTCTCGAGAGGTTTTATGATCGATTACGCTCCAGGGCCTTATGGTCAATTCTTTAGAGCGGTGGTCAATTGCCAGACGCTCAAGAGCACTGTCGACGGTTTGCTCAAGAGCCTGAGTGATATTGGGCCAGACGTCGTGGGGCAACAGGCCAACAGCGTCCCAACCCCTTGATAAGAGGCGAGAGACATAACTAGTATATACGGCTATTACAATAGATAAAGGCCAGACATCAAGCTAAATCTTTCGTCTGTCGTGTCACCCTCTGGTGGCTAGCCCGAAATATGCAAAGCAATTATTCCCGGGACGTGCCTCTGAACCCAGGTGGATCGTACTGCTCACAACTGAGAAAACGAGGCGAAGAGGGGACCAAGAGGCAAGAAGGAGGAGTTCCAGGTACTCAGAGCACTGCTGGTAATCTTGAAATCATGAAGAAATCTACAACCTAATTAAACGTCGTGTTGTTTCTTGCTGTTGAGAATGCTACGCAGGAAGTTCTGCGCTTTATAACCACTTTCTAGAAAATGTTCACGGCAGGAGTTCTGGTGAAGTCAAGTAGACAGGAGCAAGTCCTCGAATGACCGAACCATGACCATTGAGAGCCAAGAGGAAAGGACTTTGCTTAGAAACCTAGAACATCCACACGTACAGAATGAGATATGCGTACGACAAATGTGTTTCGATCATGTCTCTCCCGGCTCGCAATATTGCTCAGATATGGGATGGCCAGAGGTACAGAAACTTTTTTTACCATCATTATCAATTTGCGTGTGGACAGATTGTAACTGCTGATATACTTGGCTTATCACTGTGTTAGCTGGCAGAATAAACCAGAAGATTGAGTGGTTTTCAGATAAGCCAAGATCACAAAAGCCCCTCATGGATTATCCATGCCATACGAAGCACTGCAAAAGCTGAGGCACGGAGGATAAAACTCGGTAAACTATCCGTGATCACGACGTACACTGTTGACCTCATCGTTCGTTGGTCCCATTCAGTTCGGCGCAGAATTACAAACCACATCATAAGTCACCAACAACAAGTGGCCTTCGAAAGAAGATATAGATCTATAAAACATGAGAAACTTGACGAGATTATTCACTCGCACCTCCATCGTCTTATCGTCACACAGAGGATGACTTCTGACCTAATGGTCAATTTTGGATAACGTAATCCACAAGCGACCCGCCCATACAAGCGACCCGCCCACTTTCCTCTCTATTTCGTGCAAGCTATCTTTAATCCTATATTCCTCCACCAAAAATCATGCCACAGCAATCAAACGAAGGCGATATTATTCTAGCGCTAACCGCGCTTCAATCCGATCCAAAATTAAGCGTACGAAAGGCTGCGCAGATCTACAAAGTCCCTCGTACGACACTTCGCGACCGACGACGCGGTGTACAGCAAAAACGCGATACCCGACCACATAACCAGAACTTGACCTCGTACGAAGAGGACAGTATCGTACGATATATACTCGACCTAGATTCGCGATCGTTTCCGCCGCGGATAAGTGGTGTTCGAGAAATGGCGGATCGACTCCTCCGCGTACGCGACGCGCCACGCGTCGGAACGAACTGGGCCTCAAACTTCGTACGACGACGACCTGAGCTCCGTACGCGTTCAAATCGAAGAATTAACTACCAGAGGGTCCTCTGCGAGGATCCGGACGCGTATCACGCGTGGTTTAAGCTCGTACGAAATATAGTCGCGAAATACGGGATCCACGATGACGATATCTACAACTTCGACGAAACGGGCTTCGCGATGGGCAAAATCTCCGCCGAAACTGTTGTTACAACCTCCGATCGACGCGGGAGGCCAAGAGCCGTACAACAAGGGAATCAGGAATGGGTTACAGTAATCCAGGGTATCGCGTCGTACGGCTATTCAATCCCGCCATATATCATCTTCGCCGGGAAGGTCCACCTCGACTCCTGGACCGCGAATAGCCCCCTACCGCCCGACTGGGTAATCGCGCTTTCTGAAAACGGTTGGACGACGAACGAGAGAGGCCTAGAATGGGTAAAACACTTCGATTTCCATACAAAGAGTCGTACGAAGGGTGCCTACCGCCTCCTTATCCTCGACGGCCACGAGAGCCACCATTCCGTCGATTTCGAGCTCTACTGCAAAGAACAGAATATTGTTACCCTCTGTATGCCTGCTCATTCGTCGCATAAGCTCCAGCCTCTCGATGTTGGGTGTTTTGGACCTCTGAAACGGGCGTACGGTAAAGAAATCGAAGGTCTAATGCGGGCGCACGTAACCCACGTTTCAAAGGAGGACTTCCTCCCAGCCTTTTATAAGGCGTACGACACTGCAATGACCAAATCAAACATCCAGGCAGGCTTTAGAGCGACAGGCCTAGTACCGTACGACCCGGACTATGTAATTTCACAGCTAGATATAAAGCTTGGTACGCCGACACCACCAGGTTCTGCTGGACTACCACCCCCCTGGGTCTCAAAGACGCCGAATAACCCGATTGAGGCCGAATCGCAGACGGAGTATCTCAAAAATCGCATCGTACGACACCAGAATAGCTCACCGTCGTCTATAGTCGTAAGCCTTAAGCAGCTTCATAAAGGGATGGCGATGATGGCACACGAGCAGGACCTTATGCGCCATGATATCGCCGAACTTCGAGATGCAAACGACCGCCTCAGCCGCCGTCGTCGTACGAAAAGAAAGCAGCTACAGAAAGGAGGGTCCCTCACGATTGATCAGGCAAAGGATTTGAAGGCTCAAATCGATGCGACGCAGCAGTTAATGGCGGAAACGAGTCAGAATAGTGGTCGTACGAGGAGGCCCGAAACGCGCGCGCGACGATGTGGCGTCTGCGGCGAGCCTGGCCATAATGCTCGTACGTGTCAGAAAGTTGTATCTGCCTCTGAAGAAGGGGATTCCTCATAGTTTCAATTGATTTAAGGCGTTATGGTTAATTTGACTTATATATTATCATACGAGTGCGTAGAGGGTGGGCGGGTCGCTTGTGTGGGCGGGTCGCTTGTGGATTACGTTATCCGCGCGAATCAGCTCCACTAGGAGCGATCGACTTTGCGAACCCGACGAGAAAGACCAACAACCCGTCCGAATCTACCTTGCGAGCGTGGATCAACTCATCTTGGACCTTTCCTATTGTCTAATACAACTAGTTGACGATCTTCGCAGTTCAATGGATTTCGGCTTCGCCAGCACTGTTGTGTATGGAACAAACATGTTATAAGAATATCGTATTAAGGTGCATATCAACCTTACATCTCGGGGTGATTCCCCTTTTTGGATCTTCATGGGTCCTTTTGGATCTAATATATGATTTCAGTCTGACAGCATATAGGAATCTGCGGCGCAAGGTTCGTTGTGTATCGCAGTTCTTTTGCGCTGGCACACTACACGGAAGACTCCTGCGTGGCGCGTGTTCATGTCCACACGAGAGGAAACCCACACAGTCAGGTCGAAGAATAATATCACGGAGTCCGAGGCGGGTTATAGGGACTGTTATGCTTTCTCGCTTCGATCTGTATGCAACCTTACCCCACGATGAATCGTAGACCACCAGAAGCGCCCCCCCCCCCCCCAGTCCTGAGCTGCACCACCACACACACTCGCCAGGGATAGTCACAATAGTCCAGAGCGCATGGTGTTCGCTCCGTGGGGCCTTTTTTTTCCTGATTTGTTCTTGCATCCACAACTCAAGCGTAAACAAACAAGGCGAAAGGAAGGGGTGGTTTGACTTGAGCGGATTGCGATTCTCCTCGGGAGGAAGCTATGCGCGGTACAGCTGAATGCGGCGGGCGCGGCAGCCAGCCTGAGTCTTTTCGTGGGGAAAGGTCACGACTCGTGGGCCCTCGCAAATTATGTAACTTATTACACGGAAAGTCTCGCAAGGAAAGTCTCGTCCACCGGGTGAGGCAGGCATGAAGTATCCATGGCCTGATCGTTAGACTTTTTCATTTTTTGGTAGGGAGAATGGAAGAGTTACTACACCCCGTGTGTTGTGTGTTGTGTGTCGCGGTCGACGCCTTGCCACGGAGAGCTTGCTCCGCGGAGGAACGGGGAAAAGCAACTTCAAGCTGGAGAGCTTGTTTTTAAGATTACCAAAAGGGGGGAGGAAGACACTGCGTGCGTGCGTCGTGCGGGACGGCAGGTGTGCCTGGCTGAACCCCTCTGCCGTGATCTACAATCTAGTGGTGGTACTTTCGTGCAAAGCAAGCTGGGACAAGGCCGCGAAGCAACAAGTGCGCCTGACGATCGAATTACTGGCACAACACTAGCAAGTTTCGACCACAAGGGGAGCGGGATCGGTCGGATGCACTGCGCACACTGCCCCGGTAGACGGAGACGGTGACAAGGACCCTTGCCCCCACCATTATCTACAAGACACATGCAAGCACACCGCTGGCCGTTTGCGATCACAGATCTCTGCGGAGACAAGAATCCGCATGGCCGGCGTCTGACCGGTGCACAGGGGGCCCGCGCTGAGACGCAGAGTGCCTGAATCACAACCCTTGGGCCCAAGACATAGCCAGCAGTGAGAATGTGTGACTCGGAGGATGTGGCCCGGCTTGTTCTGAAGCCATCGGATCTGGGCCGTGGGAAGCAAGGTGGGCCGGCGATGTTCTTCTCTACAATGGCTGTTCCGGTCCCAAATATATGCTAATTTGTCATCGGCTGCCAATGAACATGCTCCAAAGACTCATCATTTGAACACCTTTGGTTGTGATCAAAGAAGCTGTGCACGTCAGATGCTGCCCCGCAGAGCGAAAGCAGACATCGACGGTCTTGATGGGTATGGCCTGCGATTCCTCCTTCCTCGCTGCCGAGTTGCTGGAAACTCATGTGCAAGGTTCTGATGGGTTCTGCTGGCGATGTTCTCCCGTGTGCTAATGCACAAACTAACGGGCTGTGACGATGGTCCAACATAATCCATGCTTCAATTACCAGGCACGTGGGAGCGGGAGGAAAAAAGGCGAGGGTTTTGGGTACGCCACTTGCATAATGCCTCTGTGGGAGCCACGAATGGCGTCATAGTGTGTTGCACATTGATCTGTGGCCGGACTTAAGCAATCTCCTGACTGTGTGCCCTGTGCCCAAGCGCGGCAGTGGGTGAGATCTCCCGAAATATACGTAATCACCACAGCGCTCTCTCGATTGAGACCTTGTGGTAAGGCGCGCGAGGATACACCTCGGCCTGGACCGTGGTGTAAGCTGGAGGGAGAACCGAGAACTGGTGCTGCGCACATCGAAAAGATGGCATGGATATCTGCGTTGCATCCACAGGCACGGACGGTGCGATCATGTTCTCATCCGGTGTGGCGAGCACCCCATGGAGCAAATAGAGCTGGCGATCATTTCCGATCGATCGGAAATCTCAGTAGCAACGTGCCGGCAGGGGCTTCCCGCCTGGGGCGGCAATGATCTACAGAAACGTAGATACGCCAAGCATTCCTGTTCGACCTGCCCGCCCTCGTCTTCTTCTGGTGAGACTCTGGGGTCTGGCATCACCGCAGAGCTAAACGCCGGAGTGACAAATATTCAATATTGCTTGGGTGGTAAACGTACGGGACGAGGGCAAGGCAAGACCGCCAGGGCCCCAAGCTCTGGAACAGGGTGGGGGAAAGGATATTGCCTCAGGGGAGTAAGTAAGAAGGAACATGCCGGGCCGAGTCGATCGATCGATCCATCTGAAGTACAGCCGTGGCCTTTTCTTCCGGATGGACCCTGATTCTTATCGTCTGCCTAATACAGCTGAGCTAGCTCTTGCTGAATCAGAGATCGCGTAGATGACCAATGCTTGGCTCCTGGTACAATCGTCATGCTGCACCAGTAACGTGGCCGCGCGGCTCACCCATTGCGTTGTGACGAAATCGTTACCGGGGGAAAGCCCCGATTACTAACCACCTCCCTGATCTCCCATCCGCGACTGTTACCTGGTATCGTGGCGAGGCTCGACCATACTACCGAGCTTTTTTAGCGGGCCGGAAGCAAGGGCACAAAAATAGAGATTGAGGAGATGGCGGGTGTTGCCGTGACCCTGATCATGAACCCGACGACCTGGATCATGCCAGTAGTTGTTGCAGATCTCATCGTGCTTTAGATCGGAACCGGGCGCCAGGCTGAAAAAAGAAGGATTCTGGCTGACTTGCCGGCCAAGAAGGACACCAGGGAGGGCTTGACTGCATAGAAATTGTGGTAACCTGACAGCATGCGCACAAGATGTTGTCATAGGACCTCACTGAGCTCATAGTTCGCTGGCGAGGGTCGTCGATCATCACTACCAGGTCTTCATACCCCGAGCAATAAAATTGGCGTCTTGTCATATGGCCTTCGGTTGCCCGAAACGATGAATCAAGGCCGAAGACTACTTGAGCAGAGAGGATCGCTGCAAATGCGCTTTTTGGAGAGCGCTGTTTTTCACCAGAGTGCCGCAAATGTCCGCATGACCCAGAGGCCACCTGAACTGCTGGAAGTGTGCAAATTGGGAATCGGTCGAGGCTTCTATCGATGAACTTGGCCCTGCAAAAGCGTGGCGAGGCAACCACCACCCGGAGTTTTATCCGCAAAGGCTGTGCCAATGCGAGCTGGTCCTACAAGGAATGCGAGTCCTGGCCTGCACCCGAGCTTGGGCGTGCCAAAAGCTACCTTGAGGTTTGGAAGTGAGAAAGGCACTTTTGTTGGCGCACCTGCAGGGTCTCTCTCCAACATGTTTTTCGCCACCCACCAACAGTCATGGGCAGGAATGGGGAACCTTGGAGTTGTGAGCGGACTGCCCTCCAGAGCTGCGCTGGCAGGGCTATGTGGATGAGTGACGAGTGACGAGAGAATGGGACAAGAATGGGACAAGAATTGGATTGGCCAAACTCACCAGGAATTCCAGCCGACTTTGCTTACTTGCTGGCTCGAGGTGGCGATGGCACAGGACGGGACTCTGAGAAGGTGGGAGGGGCGAGGAGCAATAGCACTGGCTGGCCGGTGGGAGATTTGGAGAATGCCATGGGCAGCCAAGATGGCATTTTGGCCGCAACGGCGCGTCGCTGCCTTAGCGGACTTCTAAGTTAGCTGGCGATCATTACCCCGCTCCCTCGCTCGCGCTCTCTCGCGTCTACACGCAGTCCCAGGGCAGGAGCGTCTTCCGAGGTTGTCCATCGTACATTGCAGATCGGCCTGCATGCCCGTGCCCTCTACAAGGGCCCAGCAATTTACATCTCAACCACGTTCCGTCTTGCCAGGACCATCTTTTCTCCTGCCCACGGCGATGACCACGACATATGTTTCCTAGAACTCTGTCATGGCTCGCCGTTCGCCCGATGATGCACCAGCCGAAGAATTTCGTGAGCATCCCACGGCACTTGCCAGCGACCCGATGAGCCGGGGCTGCCATCGACTAATCCTGCACCACACCACCCAGCCTGCCAAGTGACAAACTCAAATCGCATCGCCCCAGCCTATGCCGCCGGAGGCAAGTCTTGATCGCGACCGCTGCCGCATAGAGCATAGTTGATGCGGGGAGTAGCTGTGTGGTCAGTGTGAGTGTGGGATGAAGCGTGACTGACAGCGACTGCTGCCACAGAGCAGGGCAGCCCGTTCCACCCTGTGCTACCTCCTAGCCCTCGCGCCCGCCTGGTGCTCTCTCACATCTGAGCCAATGTGCTGGATGCGTGGACAGATCCACCACCACTTCCGGAGCAAGTGTTCCCGCTGCGGGCCAGCGCCTGCAGGTGCCGTTGTCAAAAAGCGTGCCCAGCTCGCCCTGGTCATACAGGCACCTGTCAAGGAAGCCGAGCCCTGGAGTCATCGAGATTTGTGACATCAGTTGAACTCGCAACGACGTCCCTTGCTAATAACGTGTATTGACTGACTGGCACGGCTCCAAGGCGCGTCTCGGTTCCACCTTTAGTTCGAGCAGAGTCCACGACGGAGCTTTCGGTCCTGAGCTCCCCCACCTACTGTTGTTCTCGTTGCTTGCAGCCAGCCGGCCGCGGTTCTCTTCAATCCGTCTTAATATTCACAGCCAAGTGAGTGTTGACTGCGGCGATAACGAGTGTGATGCCACAGCTATTCCGTGAGAACATTTATTTTCAGATGCTGTCCGTTGGAGTCCATTCCATACTATAGTAGTAGCCGGGCATTCCCAATCTCGCCAGAATAAGCAGCCCTGTGCTGCAGGTGCATTCGGCTACCCTCTGATTGGTCGTTCACCATGCTTTGTGCCAGCCAGCTCTCGGGTCCCAAGTGCATCACGCATTTCCAAGGTTGGTTGCGGTACTCCAGGCCATGCAACAGCAGGAGTGAGCAACTAGCCCACGAGCCAAGGTTTGCTCGTTGCTTTGGCACATCTGCAGTGTCGAACCAAAAAAAGAAAAAAAAAAGGGGCAAAAAAAGACACAAGCACCTTACCAGCCCCGTCCTCCTTCACTCTAATATTGCTTCGCACCACAACAGCCGTATGGCCCAAAAGGAGAGAGAGATTGGGAAAAGAGCCATCGCCTCGGCAATGCCACATTCCTCGGAGCTGTTGTTACCAGCGGACAATCCCAGTCCCCGACTTCGACAGGTGAAAGCTGCTCCCCCCCTGCCTCCCCAGACCCCGGCGCCCGGCCACTTTTCGCCGACGACAAGCTACCACATGGCATGCCCAGGGTCAGGATCGGCTGTGAAGCGACCATCGTCGATTCCCACGAGCCCGATCAGGAGCTTGGCTGTCGCGAAGCAGGCGGGGGCGGGATGCTGAGCGGGGCGTTACCAGGCTGGCCTGCTCTGCTTTTTGACTGTGACTTGTACCCGAGCGATGCAAAGCGTTGTAGGACACGCACAGCACAGCACAGCCCAGGCATGCAACGGCATCGATATGCATTCAATTGAGCATAGAATCCGATGCAGAGCCAGTTTCTAACGAATGTTGCAGCGTGTGCACACCATTACGATTGTTCAACAACTCAGACACAGCACTGGGGAATCCTTTGACAAAGGCGTCGATTGCGCAGATAGCACGACAGGCAGCCAACAAAATCCCCTGCCACGGGAAACCCTGGAAATCCCCCCCATCGCCGGCGCAGGGAACATTCAGCCGATGCAGGGTCGACCACTCTGACGGATCGACGCTTGCTGGCTCGCACAGAAGAAAAAAAACTTTAAGAGGGGGGGCTCTAATGGAGATCGCCTTGGGCGGAGCTGTGCTTCCAACATCACGATCACCCCTGGAGACCTGCGCTTTCGGGGTCGTCTTGGCTCGGACGGGCGCAGGAGGGGCAGGCCGAGAGATCGGGCGACGGCATCGTGGATAGCACCCGGCATTGTCTGCTCAGGGAGCCAGAAGTCTGTCTACGTATTGACCTGGTGTAGTGGCCCTCTTGGCCGAGCCTCCAGCTAGCTGGGCAACGCGACTATCAACGGACAACGTATTGCAGGGTCGAACGATGAGGCAACATGCGCCAGTAGAGATAGGCTTGCTTACAGCAAGCGGCCTGGCCTCATTGCCAATGGCAAAGTTCAGAAAGCAACAGTGCCAGTCGCCCAGGCGACGGCAGCGGCGCAACCTCGCCTTGTCTTGACACCAGCCTGGCGGCCTGGCGGGCAGACATGGCTTTTGCTCGCGGCCGGAGTACAGGCACATCGCCGCACGAGGACGGCGGGTGGCTGAGCTGTGGCCTTTGTGAGGGACATTGCACATCCCTATGCAGTCTCAGATGGAGGCGCGATGGCGCTGATTGGGCAGCAGGCACGATGATCGAGATCGATCGGTGCTCACAGCGGAGTGGGGGGCCAGCCATGTCTGGTCTTGTCACATTGCCATCACTCTTACGGCAGGGGCAGGATAGGATCCCCGGGCCCTTGGGAATGAATCCAAAGCACTTGGCTGCTCGCAGCCTAGCACGCGGGCCGCGGCGCACTCTCCACCCGCCCGCTTGCCCCCTCAGTGAGCGAGTGACTGACCTGGACGCTCGGCCAATCCAGCTGCCCGCAGGCAGGCGGCGCTAGGGGCTGATGCTGCTTCCGCGATTGTCCCTGAGAACCTCGATCTGGCTGCCCGCCGGCGGCCTGCCTGTTGCAGCGCAACCTGCCTCTTGCGCCAGGCCCATCGTCGCTGGCGCCCGCACTATGCCCGCCCTCGTCCCCGATCCTGCCGGGCCTGCTGGGGCGTGGCGCATGCATGGGTGCATGTGTGTGTGTCTCTCTCTCTTATGTGTATGGATGTACACATGGCAGGTAGGGCAGGGTGTCGGCCATCGTCGTGGCTGCGTGGGCCCATCCATCTACAGAGTGTTTGGCCGGCCTTCCCCCAAGGTTTCCAGGCGGGTGTTGTATGCCCCCGGAGATGTCTATTGTCGGTAGTATATAACCTTTTCTACCCCCCTCTTTCGCCCGGCCGGAGGATGGTCTGGATCCTGCCTCCCCCATCATTCCAGCTGTTTCCGTTTCTAGACGCAAACACCTGGCTCTGATATCACACGCACCTGCCACCACAACACCAACAGCACCAACCACCCCTGCAACCAGACCAACTTTACTAGCGACCACCACCTCCTCCGACATCATCAATCAGACCGCTTCGCATACTCGAGGCAGCAGTAACCACACAAGGACTCGAACCACTGACAAACGACCTTTGTCGGCTTGAACCCGTACTCTGAAGCTGAACCGAAAGTCACATCGAGAAGCCTGCAAACGGTTTATGCCAGCGTCCTGTCACTTGCGGGAGACGTCCGTTCACAACATACCTGATCCTAATCCGACCAACTCACGAAGAGCGGCTTGTATCATCAGCTGTCTCGCAACCTAATAAAAACGGTCTTCAATGCCGAAACGTTCTCTCGACACCACAGACACCATGTCTTCTACCCCCGCAGCCAGGCGACCTCCTATGAAGGCTCAGAAGGTTGGTCTTGATCCTGACGCCCTGACTTACACGGGCTCCCCCGGCAACAACTGGATATGTACTAATTTCATCACGCAATCCTAGACTGAGCGATCCCATGAAGAGAACCAAGAGCGCGCCTACATCGCCGCGTCCCGCCGAGCAGATCGCAGCCTTGAGGCGCGTGTCCAGTCAGCGAGGATGGCTTCTGAAATCCACCGCCGACGAACCGGGCGTGGTCTCAAAGTCACCGAGGAAATCGTTCTCAAGGAGGAGATGTACGAAGAGGAGGATGACGATCTGCCCAGGCAGTACAGATACCTTACCGCCCACCTTCAGACAGGTTCCTCAGACATGAACTCTCGCGTCAATGCCTACATTACTACACAAGCTGCCATGGCCACAATGGCCCGCTACAACGAGATCAACAAACTGTTCAATGAGTCGTTCCCCAGCGCCCAGAGCATGCAGCAGCGCTACGACCAGTCCGTATACGCTGCTCCGATCATGAGGACAGGTTCCGTTTCGGCAGCACCGGCCCAAGGTCAAACTTCCCCATTGCCCATGTCGCCAACCACGAAGAAGCGATCCTACTCGGAACACTCGCAGCCAGCAGAGACACCACAGACTCTTCTGACTTCGCCTGCCACAGCGTCCATCTCGTCCCCACCGGCACTCACGCCCAACTCCGCTGGTAGCGAGTTCGCTGATGCGAAGTCCCCAGTGCAGCAAGGATCGTTTATACGTCCTCCGCGGCTAGACACCCAGCTTGTCGCACAACCTGCGGTCCCATCGTCCGTCTTCACATCCGAGCTTCCCAACGAGATCAAGATGATGGGTAATTTCGACCTCGCCGATCCGATGGCCATGCAGTTCTTTGGTGGAACTAGTGACGCGTGGCTCAACATGTTTGGTCAACAGGCAGACGACACTTTCAAATTTGGCTCCTCAGCGACTGCTGGCCATGTCAATGGCGAGCTGACTGCATTCTCTCCGGCAGAGTTGGACCACCCGCTAGAGGACGATGCACCCATATTCTCACCTGTTGATGGTCATTTTGCCCAGCGTGACTTTGGACTCGACAGTCTGAGCCGTCTTGGCACTCCTGCTGGCGGGGACAACTGGGAGAGCTTTGTCGATTTTGGCTCCGAGCGATGAGCTGTTTGCTTTTCTTCAGCGTGTTCTGCGAGTGTACTCTCGCACATTTCCTAATTTCTTTTCCGACATCTACATGAAGATTACGGCGCACTCGATACCCACTCATGCTTTGCACTTGTCACCTTTTAGGGTCTTGCATTGGTTCATGGCATGAACCTGGGTTTGTTTCTTTTGCGAAAATTTACAACGGCGCCTGGTGTTGATTTTACGACATACACGACCCCACGTCCACGAACAGAGCTCGTTCAAAGAGATCTGAGGCTGCGCTCGGATAGCACCGGCACTAATTGCCACGACGCGCGCCTTTTGGCTTTGCCCAAATGAAAAGCCACTGCCTGTGCGCCATCGCTGTGTATTAGCCACGCGGGTGCCAGGCAAACCCCTCCCAAAATACGGTTCCCACGTCTCACTTGTCACCACTCCGCTCAACCTCAACCTACCTTGACGTCGGACTTTCAGGTCCGAAGTCTTGACAGGTGGCACACCGTCAGCCACGCAGCCAGCTGCTACTCGCAACTGATCAGCATCGTCACCCTGAGAAACCAGGGAGAGATGCCGTTGCTGCCTCCACCCGGCGGCGGAGGCGGCTTATTCCTGACGTACCATCATGGCGGAAGTTCCGATATTGGAAAGCCCTGTGAGGCATACACACACAAAATGTCATACAATGGCAGTCATGTACGGTGTCGCGGTCTCAACCGCCCTGCATAAATGGGAAATAGTCAGCCTTTGTGCGTGGTTTGTGCTGTGGGTGTGTGCCTCCGTATATGCTTCTGAGAAAGGGAGCAATATTTTCCTCAGATATCTCGTGGGCTCCATCCAGCGCCCTTAGGCAACGTTGGATTGGGTGACGAAGGATCAGTAAGATGGTGGGAACTTCATAAAGGTACACAAAATACTATGGAACTTTTGTGTAGAAAAATTTCGCTCCTTGCTCGTGCTGGTGCTGTGTCTAACCTTAAACGAAAAACTTTGTCAGAGACCGCACTGGACGAACTCGCGAGACTTTGAGTGACTGACTGACTTCTTAGCACCAGTACGTCTCCGGCTTATTTGATGCCGCGACTCGTTTTGCCTTCTCACTGGTGATTCGGTGTATACCTTTTCCGAATGATTTATGCTGTGCTCGTCTGAACTCACATGTTTTGCGATAATCTCTCCATGCGTCTGTGTGATCTCTTGCATTCTCTGCATTTTGTCTGAAATGCCTAATTTCTGTACGCTATGATCCAGGACAGAGTCATAGTTCCTGTGTGAGTGTATGTGTATGGACTAGAAACTACCTCTTGCGCTTCTCCCCACGCCCAGCACCGCCCTTGAACCCGCGGCCGTTCCCGTTCCCACTAGCAGCGAACTGCGACGACTGCGGCGGCAGCGGCCTTCCTCTTCCTGCTCCTCCTGCTTGCCTCGCCGGCCCGGCACCACCCTCGCCGGGACTACCACCACCACCACCACCACCGACAGCAACGCCATTTGAGCCCGTCGGGCCCTTGGCGCCGCCGTGGGCCTTGCCGAGGACGACAATGGGCTCAATCTCCTTCTGCCACGCGACCCACTCGGCCCTCCTGTGCGCCCACAGGTCGGCCTTTGCGTTGCGCCAGACCCGGCGCCCCTGGTACGAGTCGCGCATGGCCTTTTCATTATCGCCGAGCGAGGTCATGATCGACTCCTTCAGGTGCAAGGGCAGGGATGCTGTTGCTGTTATCGTCGTCGTCGTCGCGTTTTGCCCGCTATCGCCGCCGCCGCCCCGAGCCGGCGGCGAGGTCGTGGGCATGTTGATGATGGCGCTGACCACGCGGTCGCCCCCGTTCTCTGAGGTTAGCACGAGGTCGACCACGCGCGGCCGCAGGGAGGACACGAGGGCTTTGTGGAAGGCCTTGTTGGAAGACGGCGTCTTTAGCGCCGCCGTGACGACGTGCGACGTCGGCCTCGACGAGCTGGCGAGGTGGTACAGCTGGTCTGCCGTCAGCGCGGAGATGGACGTCTGGATCGCGTCCGAGGGCGGGCCGGGGATGGCCAGCATCGTCGTGGCGAGGTGGGAGCCGTGCGAGACGAGAGCGGCCCTGTTCTTGGCGAGCGGGTCGTGGTCTCCGTTCTTCTTGGACTTGGACTTTTTGTTGCTGCCGTCGTCGCCGTTGTCGGCGTCGTCGGCGCCGCTGGGCTTGACGTCCTCGAGCTGGCAGAGCTTGGGAACCAGCGACTTCTTGTCGCCCCCGTAAGCCTGGACGAGCGCCTGTGTCAGGGCCTTGACCTCTGTGTGAGCCTGCCGGGCGTGGCAGCGTTCAAAAAGAGCCTTGATCACATTAAATCTCGACAACGTGATGAGCTTTGGCATATCGGGAATCGTCTGCTGCACGGCGGTCACGAGATCTTCCTTGCCAAGCCGGTTCAAGACACGGATGGCAGGGTAAGACGCAATGTCGTTCCTCAGGAAGCTGTGGATGCGCTCCTTGAAGAGGTTCTTGTACATGGCCTTGAACAAGCGGCCCGGCGCATTCGTGATGAGCGTCTCGAGAAGCCTGGAGCCGATCGGGTCGTACAGCATGGAGTTGATAAACTCGCACGCCGGGCTTGTCGACTCCTTCAGTGCCGACGGACCACCCGGCAGTAGCTGCCACAGCAGCATCATGCCGTCGCTCTCTGTTGTCTCGTTCGCTGTTCCCGCCTTGGAGTTGACGGAGATGTCGAGCTCGAGCATCAGCTGCAAAGCCGGATTTCCGGTTGGATGCGTCGCCAGCACGCGCAGCTCTGTTGGGCTCATGCCCGTGACGACGTCTGAGATGATCTTGTTGGTGGCCAGTGTGAACGAGGACGGAACAGCCCTTAACTGCGTCTCCAGTTCGTCCGACTCTCTGGGAACCCAAGGCGTGGCAATCTTCTCCTTCTTCTTGCTGTGTATGAGTGACTTGGTGGCCGACTGCTCAAGTGGTCGTCCGGATAGAATGATTAGGAACACACGCAGCGTGTGCGAAGCGAACCTATCTGTGAGCAGGAACCCCAATTGGCCCTCGAGCTCGTCCAGGGTGAGCAGGAACAGCTCTTCCATGTACGGCAGTGGCTTCTCGTCCGCCTCCTCGCCTTCCATGGGCTGGTCGTCCCTCTCGCCGCTCAGCTCCTGTGTGACGATTGGCGCAGACTGCAAGAACAGCGTCTCGCAGCAGTGACTGGCGAATCGGTGCTGGATCAGGTTGAGGAAGTGGCCCGCGAATTGCTCGAACAGCTTCTTCTTCTGCCGCGTGTTGGACATGAGGATCAGGCGCTCCATGAGGCGCGAGCACGACTGGCTGCAGGCAAGCTTGAGCTCCTTGCCCTGCGCCTCTGTGAAGACACTGGCGAGGTAGAGCTGGCGATCCTCGTGGGACGGGAAGTCGTCAATGTCGAGCTGCTCGTCGACAGAGCGGAAGTATTCCTGCTCCTCCTCGGAGAGCATGCCAAAGAACTCCTTCTCGGGCTGGGCGGCCGCGGCGGCGGCGGAAGCGCCATAGTCGTAGTCGATCACGGGGACGTTCTCGTCGGCGTTGTTGGTCGCATCGTTGTCATGGTCGCCGTCGTTGTCGTTCAGGCGTCGCCGCTTGGCGGAGCTGTGGTCGTCTGCTCCATTCTGGTCCTGGCGCTTCTGCTTGCGCTCGTCGCGGATGGCCTGGCGCTTGGAGCGCGGCTTGGGCATGGTGGCGGTGGCTCGAGTGCGCTTTTAGTCGCGGATGATGTATTCGACGGGATTGGCAATGTTTAAGATTGGGCGGTGTCTGTTGCTTGTTGTGACCAGGTGGTTGTTTGGGGCGTTCCGTCTGTGATCTGCTCAGAGAGTTGCCGTAGCTGCAATCGACTACTTACTGCACTTGCACCTGCCGCAGGACATCGCCAAAAGAGGCCCGTCCAGAATAATTTTTGGCAGGGGTCTGGCGGATAAGCACCCACGGCGGGCCTTATCTTGCTGGGACAGATAAGCGGGTCCAGCGGGTCACCTCCTCCAGCCTTGGGAAGGGCCCCGAACCTGTCGCTCTCGAGACTGTCGCCAACCTCCAACCTTTGGGAAGAAGAACCCGCCCGTGGACACAGGGCTGTCTCGACTTGCTGCTGAATCAAGCATTTCTTCCGTGTGTAGGTGAGGTCCCCAAGGCTGGCACTTGGTCCAACATGAAATATGGCCTGGCTTGGTCTCTGATGCTCGAGGACGGCTGCCGCCACTATCCTCCAACCCCTCGCACTTGCTGACACAATCGGAAGTATATGCGCCCAGTAGGCTGTCTGTTCTCGCTTATAAGGGGAATGTTCCTAGAACGGCCGCATGGGTTGGAGCACAAGGGGACCAAGTCCTAGCCCTGCGGTAGACTGAAAAGAGTGTGGTCAGCCACTTGCTATACCCCTGCGGGGCGTCAGCACTAACATCTCCTTCGACGCAGCCTCATCTTGGAGCAGGACACCCAATAGCCGGTTGCTTTGTCTCCAGGGAGCACCGTCTCTTTGCTCCTCTTGTGATTGTTGATATATATATATATGCCTGCCAGGTTTTTGTTCCCAGCTCTGGCTCAGCCTTCTTGCAACGTGCCCATCATCAGGCAGTCGCTTCTATTGTGATCTTCTAGCCATCGGGACCAAGACGCCGCCATGTTGGACTCCAACAGTCTGTCGGTGCGGTTGATCGTCACAACCCTCACGGCACTTCTTGTAGCCCGTCTGGTCCCGTCGATCCTCTCGATATGGAAGCATCGAGCTGTCCTCCGGCGGCTTCAGAAGGCTGGCCTGGTACGCATCTGCCTTTCTCGCTCACACACACACACACACACACGTTATCATGAAAGCTGACTGCCCTCGTAGCCGATGCCTCCTCACAGTGCCGTCTTCGGCCATCTGCTCGCAGCCAAGGAGGTCACTGACGAGCTGCCGCCTGCGGCTCACAACGTGTACGTCCTCCGGCATCTCAGCACCAAGGTCCCGAACCGCTCGGCCGACGACCTGGACGCCTACTACTTTGACCCCGCGCCCGTCAACGATCCTCTGCTCGTCGTCCGCGACCCGTACCTCGCGCACCAGGTCACCTCGCACGCCGAGGTCGGCTCTCTGAAGCCGCCCGTGCTCGCAGACTGGTTCGCCCCCATCACGGGCCGCGGCGGGCGCAACCTGTTCTGCAGCAACGGGGCCGAGTGGAAGCACAACACATCCCTCTTCCAGGGCTTCTTCAACAATGCCAACCTCGACGCCGCCGTCCCCGCCATCATGGACCAGTTCAGGCTGTACCGCGACGTGCTCCGCAGCAAGGCGGCGAGCACCCCAGGCGCCATGTTCCACCTCGAGCCCATGACGCTGCTGCTCATGAACGACGTCATCGGCCGCCTGCTGCTCAACATGGACCTGGGCAACCAGAAGTCCGGCAGGACTCACCCTCTGTCTGAGGTGATGCTGCAGCAGCTCAACCTCAAGTTCTCCCACAAGAACGGCCTCGACGCCCTGACAAACATCAGCTTCGTCGCCCGGCTCCGGATCTGGAACAACAGCCGCATCCTGAACGCCCACATCCGCCAGCAAATCGACCGGCAGCTGGCAGAATATCGCCAGAAGCGGAGCAGCGGTACCTCGCTCAGCAGCGATGGCCAGCAAGACGAGGAGGAGCCTTTCAAGTCCGTCCTGGGCCAGGCCGTCGAGAGCTTCTTCGCCCAGCACCCGGCGGGGATCGAGGCGCAGCCGGACGCCGCGTTCCTCGAGATGCTCTGCGCCGAGATCAGGATGTTCTTCTTCGCGGGCTACGACTCGACCGTGAGCGCCATGATCGCCTGCGTCTACACCGTCTGGCGGCACAAAGACGTCCTCGCCAAGCTGCGCGCCGAGCACGACTCCGTCTTTGGCGCCTTCACCACCACCACCACCAGCAGCGACGCCAGCATAGACCGCATCGCGCAGGACCCAAACATCCTCAACCAGCTCCCCTACACCCTCGCCGTAGTCAAGGAGACCATGCGCCTGTACCCGCCGGCCTCGGGCCTGCGCCCGGGCAGCCCGAATCTGGTCCTCACCGGCCGCGACGGCACGAGGTACCCCACGGCCGGCGTGCTCATCCAGCTCAACCACATCGACATCCAGCGCAACCCGCGCGTCTGGCCGCGCGCACAAGAGTTCCTCCCCGAGCGGTTCCTCGTGGGGCCGGGCCACGAGCTGTACCCGGAGAAGGGTGCGTTCAGGCCCTTTGAGCACGGCGTGAGGAACTGTACGGGCCAGGCGCTCGTGCTCAAAGAGCTCAAGGCGTTTCTGGTGCTGGTTGCGAGGGAGTTTGACTTTCGAAATTGCTACGACGAGGTGTACAAGGGCGAGAAGGTCAATTTGGAAAACGTGGACGGCGAGCTGCCGTACTTGATAGATCGCGGGGCGGCACATATGCGCGGGCACCTTCCTACCCGCATTCGCCTCAGCGGTTACGCTTCTGGGAAGACTTCGTCATGATAGAATGCATGTTTAATAGATACGCATTATTGATGAGGCGCGACCTTTACTGCAGGAGCTTTTCATCGAGATCAGGAAACGAACTGGTTCCTCAAAACTCCATTGGCTGTGAGTTGCCTACTCCAGCTCATAAAGCGGCGTGGCCTCTGTCCCATCGCTCCCGCTATCGTCGTCAGTACTGTCGCTGTATCCACCAGCCGGATACCGGCCTTGCCTTGCTGCGTGACGCCGCGGGCGTGTGACCACGGCACTTGCGGTCAACTGCTTGACCGCCCTCTTGTTCAGTCTCAGCGCGCGGTATGTCTCGAGCCTTACGGACACCGGCAAACCTCCAGCGGCATGGGTTCCATAGCTCTTGATAATCGCAAGTTGCTCCCCGGCCATCTGCCACACAAACGTCGAGTTTTGCGCATGATGTTCGCGGAAGGCTAGGCTCGCTTTGAACAATTCCCACGACGAGATCTCGTCCCTGGTCGGGAGAAAACCAAGCACCAAGGGCAGTCCATTGATCACGGAAGTATGACCTCCTTCTTCATGGCCTTCTGCGACTTGACAACTACCCGCGATCTCGGCGACTTTGATGTCGTTCCACTTTTTGTAGATTCGTTCGACATCGCCCCAATAGGTCCTGTGCGGCGCTTTGGGTGCATCTGGGTTCATATCCACTTTCCAGCGATCAGAGCAGAGTTTGATCTCAGTTTTCAACCTGCTGATGAATTGTAGGCATACTCCCTTTGGGAGGACACCCGAGTGCTCCAGATCATATAGTCGCCTTTCAAACTCGTCACAAAAGTCGCAAAGCTGCTTGTCGTAGAAGAGCGCACCTGACGTCTCGTACTGATTGGATAACGCTGAGAGCTCGCTTGATATGACCCTGTCGCTCACCGGGAATTTCAAGTAGTCGATGATGTTTCGGCACACGGCTCCGGGCGATAGCTTTTCTTTCTTGTATTCGGGCTCGCTCAGGACCAACCTGGGCCCTACGATATCGGCGCGGAATCGTATCCAGTCTGCCTCGCCAAAGATTAGGCCCCTTTTTGGTAGGTCAACCAATTCGCTAAGGAGCCAACTCATTGCGACAACTTTGTAGTTGGTACTGTTGCCTATGTTGTAGCAGAGCTTCTCTTTGTAGTTTGTGCATATTCCCAAGAAACGCAACCTCAGACTGAATTCGAGGAACTTCCTGACAGCATGGTTGCTGTTTCGGCGTTTGCCTTTGTCGTATAGCATGTCTTTCACTGAGGTAGCATCCTGTTTGAAATAGCGAGTGAAGTCTGGCTTCTTCGGCACTTTGCTGTTCTGGAAGTTGTTGACAATCTCCTCGTCCCAGCATACCCAAGCGCGGTCGCCATCATAATCTCCACCCGACAGCTTGTCTGCAAGAGGCGCATTGCCAGACTGGGGAAATACAATAACGTCGCGCAAGTGTCGAAGCTCCGGCTTGAAAACCGCCTTGACCTTTTGAATGTCGCTGGGTAAATGTGCTGGGCAACGCCCAACAAGGATGTCGCGACCGTCCAGGTCATGTCTATCATTCTCACCGTCGTTGAAGGTAGAGAAGCACATGTGAACCTCGTTCGGCCCAAGGACGCCCGCGAAATCCACAGTCATGTAGGCGTAGGTCGATTTTCCAATGGTGATCTTCAGGTCGTTTCTCAGCTTGTCGCACATCTGCTTTTGACACTTGTAGATGAGCTTCTGTAGATATTTCTGACTCTGGTCGAAACCCGCATCCAACAAGAAAGCAATGCGGTCCTCGATAGAGTTTGGGAGCCCTCCTAATTTGTCATGATCGAAGAGCTCTCTGAAGTAGGACGCCTTCTCGTTGGCCCACTGCCTGAGAAGAAGAGGATTGTTGGCTTCTCGGAGCGCTCGGAACTCTTCTCGCAGGCCGGCTTCCAGACGCGCGCCAAGGACTTCTCTGAGCATACCCCGATCCGAAGCTCTGTCTGAGAGAATTTGCAGTGTTTGGAGATTCAGTCTGGCCGGCGTCAATGCGGTTGATACGGCTTTGATCTCGAGGGTCCTGTGCGCCTCATCGTGCCAGTCACATTCCCACTTCCTTTGGGACGGATACGTCTCTATCCAGTCCTCACCACTAGAATCAGTGAAATCGACAATCCACATGCCTTTGGCGCTGCCCAAACGTGCCTGGAAAGCCGAGGGTGTCTCAGAAAGCCCGAGATGCTCTTTGACCTTGCTCATCAGACTTGGGGACACCCTCCCAATGCCATCGTTCATCACTATGTTCTTCGGCGAAAGTATGTCCTCATTTTTGTGTTGGATCTGGTCTTGCCCGAGAACGAGCACTGGAGCAGTTTTGCTGAGAGCTGGACGGCCGTCAGAGATGGGATCAATTCATTCAGGTAGGGTACTTTCGCTCACCAAGGGATATCCGTGAGTACAGCTTCAAGAACGGCTCATCCTTATTCGCGTCAAAACGTAGAAGCCAATTCAACATGTCGTCAACTCGAGTTCGTGGCTGTTCAGAGAAAAGCATGATTCTCTCCTGGAAGTTCTTCTTCCTATCTTCCACTATGCTGATGTCTTTAGCTGGCGTCGCGTGAGCACCCTCTCTCACGAAAAATGCTGCCCAGCTTCTGCCAAGGAACTTGTGCGGATTACGTGTGAACCAAGAAGCCAAAAGGGTCTCGATTTGTTGTTGCCCAACCTTGAACTCTTTCCAGCCTGCCACAGCAGGAATGCGGACCTCGAGAAATCGCGACGATCTATACTTCCGGAATAGTCGACAGCTCTGTTCGAGCTTCAGGGGGTGAAGTAACAACGATGGCACACATTCCGGGCCGGCCAAACGTGCTGTGCAGATGAGCGCCACGGCAATGTCACCAGTCTCCCAAGAGCCATTCAAGGCGTACTTGTAGGCTTCTGGTTCGCACATGTCTGGGAGAGCACAGTGCCTCAGTAGTGGGCAGTCGTCCAGTGCAGACCAGAACTTGTTTTGGTCCTGCCAGTCTTTGTGGTAGCGCAAATCGAAATGAGCCGGGTCGACTTGGCAGTGTAGCAAGACACGCATTACTTCCCACTGGACAGCAATAGGCGCACTCGTGAGACTCTCAGGCAGCGATGCTACGATTCGGCGTTAGCTCAGTCATAGCACAAGATGACTAGTGGCTTACTCACGCCACATGGTGGAGAGTTGCTGGAAAACAAGGTCTGCCTCGCTGTTGGCCTCTTCCATTTGGCACATCAAGCCCGGCTGAGTTGCGTGGGAAATCTGGGAATTGACAATGTGTGCTCGAGCTTGTTGAGATCCTGGTTCTAGGGATGTAGATCTTTGAGAATCCATGATTCGGAACGCTCCAAGCTGGGATGCGCCAGGCTGCAATCCTGCGTGCTGTGATTGTGCAGGTTGAGATGCCAAAAACTTATAGGCACTGGTTTGCGATGATGATATTTGCGAGGCAGCAAGTTGCGAAGCACGAAACTCGACTTCGTGATCAGCCTCAATGCCAACCTCTGTCCATTCTGCAACTGTCAGATCATCGGAGTATGAAGACGATGTCGAAGAACTGAACGAATCAAGACGCGAAGCAAGTCGGCGATCGTGTGGTGGTAAGCACTCGCCGTCGGAGCTGGCATCCTGCTCAAACACGGGGACATCTTCTCGTTCTTGCGAGCTGTAAGGGTCGCTGCTGCTGACGTCTGCGGTGTCCAGTGAGGCTACGGTGGAGAACGAAGTCGATATCACAGAGACCTCATCAGCGCGGGATGCTGCAAGCTCATGTCTGCCTGCGGTATCGGCCACCAAAACCCCTCTTCCCCCCGGAGGAGGTTGCCTGCTGACATGCTCATGGTTCATGTACCGCAAAGGAAGCTCTGGGTAGGCGACTAATCGAGTTTGCGAGGAACCGGGGTCGCCTCGGCGGGCCCGTGCAGGAGCGAACCAGCTTGCACTCATGTTTGATGCGTGAACGATCACCAGGGTTGCTGGCGATTCTCGGCGATATCTCGAGTATGGCCCTTGGGAGATGCGATTCTAGCAGTCTCGATTGGGAGGCAGGCGCGTTTGGGTTCAGCGCACAGGGAATTGATGGCGCTGTTGAAGACTAAGTATCTGGTCGCCGGGCAGGGCAATCTTGCTCGAGTCGGAAAGAACCATTGCCGCACATGACACCTTCACAGCAATTGCGAGAGGTGAGGCTGAATATTGCAGCAAGCCAAGTCTGTTGGCACAAGGCTCTCTCGCAAGGCGCTGTCGCATCCCAGGGCGGTCCGTTTGCAGATCAAGGACTTGTGACGGGTGACTGCAGCAAGCTGAAAAGGTGACAGGGCATGCTGCAGATGCGGGCGCCTATTTTGTCCAGGATGTCATGCCAGATTCCGACGGGGAACCATTGTGGAAGTCAAAGCCATCAGTAGACCAGGTCTCGGCACGCTGAAGCCAGCGTCAACGGCTGGGCGCGTCGTGGAATGGTGGCTAGTGAGTGGATGGGCTGTGAGGGGATCGCGAGCAACCCCACCAGATGCCAGTCAGGGGGCTCCCGGGGCCGCGTGCCAAACTGCGGACAGGCTCTCCCTTGCAGGCAGAGACCCTGGCACGGGCTGGGGAGGGAGTGACAGCAGGAACCAGCATTGCGCCAGAGAAGCCGACGCTGGAGGAGGCCGGTGCTGTTGGTTTGTTCGCGCGTCGAAGTGCCAGGTGTGAAGTGCCTTGGGACTTGCCCAGGTGAAAGTAAAAGACGAGAAATGGCTTGGCAAACGGGCTTATCAGTGTACCCAGGTTTGAGGATTCAAGGAAGCTACGAGACAGCCTGCATCTTTCCCGAAGAGGTGCGTGGGAGCAGTCCTGCATGCTGCGATTGGTCAAGAATGGCTGTGCGGCATTCGCACATACCGTCTGCGACAATCAAGCATATTACTCAGATGCTGTCTCTCCGCAGAGGAGCATCGTATGATGCGTTTGTCGTGCTATCTGCTGCCGAACGGCATCTCGCGCGGGGCAAGGTTCTAGTTGGGGTGTCGTCGTAACCCCGACGCTACGGCAGGGCCCGACGGCTGGCGGGGCCCGATGGGGTCCTAGCACATGGTGCGCCAGCGTGACATCATGAGATTGTGACGCCCATTATGGGGGGTTCGGTGTCGACCAGGCCAATCTCCTGTCGTGCAGTCCAACTTGCAAGACAATATCAATTATTGCATTTAGAACATTGAGGCATTGCGATTGGCTGAACCATGATGTCGTTACCTCGAACAATAAGCTCGAAACCAACCTTGTGCTGGTGACACCACACGAGTGACGAGTCCTGGATCAGCTTTGGTCGGATCCGATAATTTTGGAGTGCAGCTGCTGTCTCCACAGCCTATCACGATTTCCAGAACGCTACCTGCAGAGCCTCCGGCTGCCTCGGAGCTGTTGGCGCGAGCTAGCTGGGTACAAGCTTTGGGTGTGCCCGCTTATCCCACCACGAATTCGGCGAAAAACTCACCGCGGCGCCGTCCGGAGACAGGGCCGTAAAGGCACGCTCAGGAGCTGTGGCATGACGTACTCTGCAGACGAGTCGTGCTCATAATGGCGTGGTCGAAGTGGTGTGGGCTCCCTGATCGCCCCATCCTCGCTCTTCATGTTATAGTCCACCTGTAGCCTGGTCATTTCTCATGAACAATCAAAACCACGTTTTGAACTGTAATCGACGGCAGATATATAAAGCTTCGTCGCAAACCGGAGACTATCCAGCTCAGTCTCTATCACCACACTGTATCCGGGTCGCGACCATCAGCACTCAGGCGGCACGAAAAGCCCTTAGCGATCTTCATCAATCTTCTGGTCCCGTGTTCGGAGAGAACGAATCAGAGAAGCAAACCATGGAGAACGGAATCTCCGAGAAGGACGAGCTCAGCGCGTTTGGCAAGGCCCGGTCCACAATCAAAGGAGAGCCCCTCTCGGCCGACGACATCAAGAAGTACAATGACTTCTTCAAAGCTAGTCTCTATCTGGCGATCGGCATGATCTATCTGCAGAAGAACCCCCTGCTCCAAGAGCCTCTGAGCCTGGATCACATCAAAAAGCGACAGCTTGGGCATTTCGGGTCCGTCCCCGCTCAGATCTTCACGTATATGCACTTCAACAGGATGATTCGCAAGTATGACTTGGACGCCATCTTCATCAGTGGGCCGGGACACGGTGCGCCTGCTGTGATAAGTCAAGGTAAGTCTGTGGTTGCTACAAATAGGCATGGTTAACTTTTGCTGAAATCAGGTGTACCTAGCATACCTCGAGGGCACGTATTCCGAGGTGTACCCGGAAAAGTCAGAGGATCCCGCGGGTATGCAAAAGCTGTTCCACAAGTTCTCCTTCCCAGGCGGAACAGCCTCTCATGCCTCTCCTGAGGTCCCCGGCAGCATCCATGAGGGAGGAGAGCTCGGTTACTCCCTGTCCCACGCATTCGGGGCCGTCTTTGACCACCCAGACCTCATCGCCCTTACGATTGTCGGCGATGGCGAAGCGGAGACCGGGCCACTTGCAACGTCATGGCATAGCAACAAATTTTTGAACCCGATCACGGATGGGGCCGTCCTCCCAGTACTGAATGCAAACCAATTCAAGATAGCGAATCCAACGATCCTATCACGAATTCCGCAACAAGAGCTTGAGAGCCTCTTCATCGGCCTAGGCTGGACCCCTTACTTCGTTTCGGGCGACGACATCGAGTCAATGCACCAGGCCATGGCTGCGACCCTTGAGCACTGCGTCAAAGAGATCAAAGGGTTCCAGAAACAGGCCCGTGATTCTGGCAAGGCCTTCCGACCTCGGTGGCCAGTGGTGATCTTGAGAACGCCAAAGGGCTGGACCGCACCCCGAAAGGTTGACGGCCACTTCCTGGAGGGTTACTGGCGTGCACATCAAGTCCCCATCACCACTGCTCGTGAGAAGCCCGAAGACTTGAAGATTTTGGAGGATTGGATGCGGAGCTACGAGCCAGAGCGGCTGTTCGGCAAGGAAGGCAAGATCTCACCAGAGCTCCGCGCGCTGTGCCCTGTTGGAAATCGACGAATGAGCGCAAACCCTATCGCAAACGGAGGCTTGCTTCGCAAGCCGTTGAAGATGCCAAACTTCAAGGATTATGCCCTTCCTGTTGAGCAGGGTGGTGCCGTTCACGCTGGAGGCATGGTCAACTTCGCCAAGTTCCTTCGCGACATCATGAAGAACAACCCCACAAACTTCCGCCTTATGGGGCCCGACGAAACAGCGTCAAACAAGCTCGACACCGTGTACGAAGTGACGCAGAAGGTGTGGTTGGGTGAGTATGCTGAAGAAGACGCGGACGGGGGTCATTTGAGCCTGGCCGGCAGAGTCATGGAGATGCTTTCTGAGCATCAGTGCGAAGGCTGGTTGGAAGGGTACCTCTTGACCGGGGGACATGGAATGCTGAGCAGCTACGAGGCTTTTCTCCATATTATCGACTCCATGGTCAACCAGGTATGTCTCTGAGTTCTGTGGTGGGATTTCCGTGCCCCAGGGCTGGGGAAACCCCCTTTTTTCTTTGTCTTTTTTGGGGGGGCGCTCAACGACAACATTCGCGCCAGTCCTTGAAGAATGCGTTCAGGAGATATACTAACCATCTATAAAGCATGCCAAATGGCTTGAAAAGACTCGGGAAACTGAGTGGCGTGTTAGAATAGCCTCACTCAATGTTCTCGCAGCATCGCCCTGCTGGCGACAAGATCGTTAGTTTTTCATCCCCCCTTAACTCCATTTACTTCAAAACTAACCCCCATAACGATAACGGTTTTTCCCATGCCAGCCCGGGCTTCTTGGAAGTCGTGGCGAATAAGAGTCCAGAAGTTGTTCGGATATATCTTCCACCTGACGGAAATTGTTTACTTTCCGGTAAGTCGAGCTTCTAGGACACCTGCTTATCTTTCTTAATTCGGCCATTCCTTGCATACACTTCTGGGATAATAATGAGTTTATTCTTACATTCCGCTCTTGTCTCCTTTTCCGCTAATATATATCGCACAATATAGTCATGGACCACTGTTTTCGGTCCACAAATTATGTCAATGTCATCGTTGCGGACAAGAAGGAGAATCTCCAGTATCTGAACATGGATGAAGCAGTCATCCATTGCACCAAGGGTATTGGTATCTGGCCGCGATATAGCACAGACAAGGGCGAAGAGCCCGATGTGGTGATGGCAAGCTGTGGTGACATTCCCACGCTCGAATCTCTCGCGGCCATCGACCTTCTCCTCAACCACTTCCCAGACCTCAAGATTCGTTGCGTCAATGTGGTCGATCTCTTCAAACTGATCTCCAATGACGATCATCCGCACGGACTGACCGACGCCGAATTCGACTCGCTCTTCACGGCAGATAAGCCTGTGATTTTCAACTTCCATGCCTACCCATGGATGATCCACAAGTTGACCTACAAGAGGAACGGAAGCAGAAACATTCACGTCAAGGGTAAGCTCATTCAGACCCTGCATTGCAAACACCGATCACCCCCACCCTTTCCGGTTGATCGTACTCTGTTTCTCCCCAACACATGAACAACTCACTGAGGCCGTGCGATACATAGGCTACCGCGAGAAGGGCAACATCGACACTCCCCTCAAGCTCGCAATCAGAAACAAGGCAGATCGCTTCAGCTTGGCCATCAGCGCTATCGACCATATTCCACACTTGGGGAACAAGGGTGCCAGCGCCCGCGAGTATCTCAAGGACCAGCGCATCAGCGCCCAGAACCATGCTTTCGAGACTGGGGAGGATCCCCACTCCGTCACAGAGTGGGCATGGCCTCACAAGGGCAGCCTCGAGCAGGCAGTGGGCAGGTTGAGTTTGAAAAATCCCGCATGAGCTTCTTCATGGTTTTTGGGTGCAAGGAAATTCCTGCAAGTGGCAGACAAGGAGGACACAAGAATAGGTCACGGTATTTCGTATGCTATAGTAATATAATATATTGAACTGAAAGATTCTAGAGCCTCCTTATATCTAGGCTTCTATAGATGTATCTAATGGTTAAAACTACTAAAGTTAATTTTCCATCTAAGTGATATCGTCGTGTAGTATAGATAGCAGTTTTTTAACAACTTGAAATAGACTCTATTAGGAGTAATGTCTAAAATAGGATTTTTCCAATATTAGAAGACTAGTATTAAGATCCAAAGTTCTTATATTAACTTAAAGGTCCTTTCGTAAAAATTTATTATATAGCTACTGTTACGCTCTTATATAAATTGCCCAGTTTCTCAGAAGTTACGGCGATAAAGAGTCGAGAAGTAATACGGATCTTCCTTGCCCCTGCCAGAAATCATTATCTTTCCGGGAGATCGAGCACCTAGGACATTCACTTATCCTACATACATTTATTTATTCAGGTTCCACTCTCTTACCATTCTCGGATACCAGTACTGTTCAGACATGCGTATAAAAATGCTTCGCAGCAGATTTACCTTCCATTACTTAACTGATGCGTTTTGGGCGAACCCTCACTCATGCAATACTTGATCCGATCTTGGAACACTAAGTCGGCGTCTTTCATTTCCAAGACAATGAGGCCTCTGGCCCAGCATTCGCTCAACCACATCTATACTTGCTGTTTTCTCTTTTGTTCTTATCATACTTCTTCCCTTTGGCTCCTTCAAGTCTGTCCCTCTCATCCGATTCCAACACGCTTTAGGATTCTTGAAAGCGACTTAATCTTGGATATCTCTGTGTGTGGATATGTAAGAGGAAATACAGTTCAAGACCTCACAATGAAACTCTCACACGCTGCTGTGGCCGCTTTGATCATTGCGGCGTGGCATTCAAGCTCTGCTCCGCCGAGGACCTTCTAGACCTCTGAACCTCTGAAGCCAGATTAATCATACAAGTCCGCGTCCCCATTGCTCGCAACCCTCGAGGCATGCGGGCTCGTGACCTTGATGCTGTTCTCGACCCGCGACAAGGTCATATCATAGCCCTTGTGATCGCACCAGTTCTTGGCCATCTTGACCGCATTCTTAATCTCCCTTCCATTCAAGTTCCACAGGCCCAGCTCCTGGATGTCGTCCTCATCGAGAATGATTCTCCCTGGAGTCACCTGCTCCTGCTCATCATCACCGTGAAGGGTCTTGGCTTCAGTCGAGCTGGCGTCGTCCACAACCGCAGGCTTCTTCGTGGCCGAAGCAGGGATCCTGTCCAAGAATTTGCGCCACACCTGCACCCGCGCCTCCGTAGTCAGGGGATTGAACAGCAGATGCAGGCTCACGCGAGACCGGAATGCCGTGTCGATCGTCTGGTACAAGTTTGTGGTGAGGAAGATGATGCCGCGGAAGTACTCGAGCTCCCGCAAGAAGATGGAGACGAGCTCGTTGCGGGCAATGTCGGTCGGGTGCCTTTCCGCCAGGAAGACGTCTGCCTCGTCGAGCAGAATCACGGCGTTCCACTCGGTGGCCATGGTGAAGACCTTTTTGAGGTTTGCACCGAGGGTGGCGGCCGAGATGCCCAAGTCTTCGGCTTGTAGGTAGAACAGTGGCCTGTGGGTGCGATCGGCGACTGTGGAAGGGTTAGCAAGGAGTCAAGCGTGCGTACAGGTTGCTTCCCGCGTGTTGCGGCAGCCACTCACCAGCTTCAGCCATCAGCGTTTTGCCCGTGCCTGGCGGGCCACTGAGTAGCATAATCAGTCCTTGGCCTGTTTTCAAATGCCGCTTTGTCAGCACCTCAAGCATCAGATACTGCATTGGTCGCTACGAGTGAGCTCACCTTTACCAATAATGACATCGTCAACTTCCTGTCGGCCATCCTTTTTGTGGCTCTCGACAAAGGAAAGAACCAGGTCCTTTTGCTCCTCTGGATAGACAAGGTGCTCGTACGCCTTGTCATTCCAGACCATGGGTCTAATGTCTTCGACAAAGAACGAGACTTTGTGGCTCCCGTTAGCGTGTAAACATACAGCGGAATTAAGACAACAAGACTTACGCCACTCCTTGTTCTTCAGCGCAAAGCCCTGCAGCAACGGAGACATGTACATGAGGTTCTCCGGCTCTGCGAGCATCGCTGCCTTGTTTCTCTCCTGGTCCTCTCGACTCAGATGGACCACCTCCTTCTCAGATGGCTTGCTCGCCGTCTCACCAGTGCTCGGGCCGTCAAGAGCGCCATATTCGTCGGCCTCTTCACACTCGAGGGGCACCATATTGGGAGCAAATGACCCGTGAACACGTCGCTTGCGATTTCGGCGTCCAGTGCCAATGACCGTGTTCTTCTCCGTCTCGGTCTGCTCGCCCTCCCTGGAACCCTTGGCAAGATGGTGCTTGTTGAACCCGACCACATCGACCAAGATGCGACCTTCGACCTGCACACCAAAATATGTCAGCATGTAGCAGTTGATAGCCTGTGGATCAACAACGACTCACGTTATGCCTCTCGACCTTCTTGTCCTCGATGAAGATAGCAAGGCCTTCATAGTTGCAGTACGTCAATCCCTGGTAGTCCAGGACCAGACGGCCGCGAGCCTCCATCCGCTTCTTGATGCCTTCCGGGTCGGCATGGAACTCGAGCGGGTAGTGATCAAGCTCGGTAATAGGCTTGTTGCCGGCAAAGCGATCGATCTTGAGCTCGCTGTCGACCCAGACGAACGCCTCGCCCGTGAACTTGAGCGCTTTGGCCTTGATGATGAGAGCATTGGCGTTGCCCACCGCCCGGTACTCTGTGCTGATCACCTTGCACAGGAACTGGCAGTTGGGCCCCTGCGTGATGAGTGCTTCATCTCTCTTGAAATACGACCATGCCGTGGCGTACGAGACGAGCCCGTTTGCCTGCAGGCTCTTCTTCTTGTGCCTGAGGTCAGCGAAGATCTCATCCATGACCCTGATGAACAGGAGCATGAAGGGCTGTAGTGGGTCACCAGGGGCGAGGCTATTGCACTTTGCAACGATCTTGTCGTAGCAGAAGTAGAGGGGTCGGAACGGTGCGTGGAAGGTGGCCTGCTCGCTCGGGTCCAAATGGACGTCCTCTTCCTTCTCGAGTATCGGCTTGAGTGCCGCGATAAGGCCCGCGTTCTGGACATCGATCATGTGGTGCTTCAGAGCATACTTCCCGTTGATGCACGGCTTGCTCATGTCCTTGACCTTGTACAGCCGAAAGGCCACCCGGCCCTGAGCCAGGGCCACCTTCTTCGAGGGCTGTCGTGGGGGGTAGTCGACCCAGATCTTGTTGTGGGCGTCGCTCTCTGGGCTCTCATAAAAGGTCTTGACGGCGGCAGTCGACCCGGGGCCCGGGTCCTTGGTGTCATTCCTGCGCCTTGGTGCATCCGAGGCATCCTTGGGGTCGCTGTCTGACGAAGAAGCGTAGGCTTCGGTCTTGTAGTCTGCGAGTGTCCGTTCGTGATTCAGGTTGCCCAGCTTGCACCTCCATTTCCAGGCTGTGTCTGAGATGGTTCCAGAGATCTTCCCCATGGTCGAAAGTCTGACGGAAAGTGCGGCAACGGTTTTAAGTGTGACGCTCGAGGGACAAGCGCTTCCAAAATTCTCGTGATTGAGGGGGACGATGTCCAGTGCGGTAGAAGCGAGTGTGACATGAAGAGGACGGAACAAAGCCCATCTCGACAGGCACAGACGAACTTATAGAAGTTGCGTACATCTTGGGTGGTTCAGCAGGGCATATGGCAGCCTGGCGTAACACAGCAACTCTATTCGGATTTTAGGTATGAGCAGTCCTACACCCGTGTAAGTTGGGGTGAGTTTGCCTAGGACTATGCCTTTCGACGCCACACGGGCTGGGGCCAATTAGCTCCAAGCCGCCAGCACTCGAGCGAGAACTAACGAAGCACTGCCTGGGTGCTCAGGCACAGCACCTCAGCCGCGTTTACAGGGGGTCACACTCGAGTCGTTTCCCATGAAGGGATGCAGATGCAGGTCCTCAATTGAAGCATACGCGACGACAGCAAACATCGCCTTGATGTGCAGGACTGGCAGCGGGGCACCCTGCTGCACGAAACTGTAACCAGAGATCGGCAACACACACGCGTAAGATGTCACATGCAGTCACAAAGATCTCTATCGATATTGTCCGCCATCCGTTTTCTGCGGCTGGGCTGCTGCGACAGCTGTGCAGAGAAGTTGGGGTGACGCGCCTGCACGCGAACCACGAGAGCTCACGGATTGCTTCCCTGCTGAACATGGCCTCAACGCCAGGCTGCGTCTTGGAAGCGGACTGAGTCACTCGGCAATCAGCCCTTATGCGAATATGACTGGAGGCTTGTGCGTGCCGGCGACGAGCGACTGACGAGGCCTCCAGGACCGCATCGTGGTCGATGTGGTCGTTGTCCGAATCAGACAGACCGGGGTCGCATGATTGGCTGGGCGGTAGGTGCCTGAAGCCTTGTGGGGCTGGCCTGGAGCTCTCACCACTCTTAGGTACGCGTATCTAAGTGCATGTGCGTGCACGCTCATGCAGTTTCACACGAACGACAAAGGACTGCCAAGGACGGTTATGGTGTCTGCCTCGGTCTGGCGGGAGCAGTGTCGCCTATCAAAAAGGACGAGATGGCTTTCTCTGTGCCGCTGGGCCATCCTTGAAGCCTGAGCACCTCGATCCGAGGCCGCTCGGCTGGTCGCCATCAACATCAGTTACACTGGGGGTGCGCTCGCCATTGAATAAGGTCAAGCACGTCAATGAGCACGGTATATGGGAGTGAGAGGCACTATGTGCAGTGCCTCGATCGGAAAAGCAGCCACACCTCTTGGCCAAGGACTTTTGCATCGAGATTCTTCTTTTTTCTTTCTCCAATGTCCTTTTTTCTGCCCATCCTCGGTCTGGCTGTCAGGCATACCTGAGCCAATGAGCGGCCATCGCTTGATCTGTCAGCCCCACATCGCCCCCTACTTGAAGTACCTGCTGAGAACCGGCACGCCCGATCCAAGTAGTAAATCAGCCGTCCAGTGACGTCTTACTGGCAGTCCTTGTTGTAAACATGTTACTGAATGGTACTACTGCCAGTATATGCGCGCGCGTCCCGCAGATTACAAGGCACTCGCTTTTTTGAAGGGGCACAACGAGATTATATAGACTTGCTCGGGACAGGCAGCCTGCAAACGGGTAAGAGTGGAGCACAGGTAAAAGTGGAACAACGGGAAAAGGAAAGAAAAAAAAAAGAGAGAAGAAAAGAGACCAAAAAGTGTGAGAGGAAAGCTGGAAAGCTGGGAAAACGCCGAAAAGGAAAAAGAAAAAGAAAACTCGCAAAAGGATCCGAAAGCTCTTGCTTACTCAGAGGGATTTGGACCGATTCGAGATACAACAGCGGAGGTACCATCCGGCACCTCCAAGTCCCACGGCAGGCACGATCAACTTGCTCGTGCCCCCCGGCCAGCAATCACCCGCACACTGCACCTCTCTGAAAACACAATCGAACTCTCTGCGTCACATATCGCAGTGACCAGGACTCATCTCGCGGGACACAGAGCTAGAAACCCCTACGAACCATCGGCTTCATCCTTTTTCGTGGGGCATCGAGCCACGAAACTGCTTCAGGAAATCATCAGTCAACTCGAGGACCCTGCCCAGGCACGCCCTCCACGATGTTGCGCCGTCATGACCAGGGCAGTATCGCAACGCCAGAACCGCGTCGCCCCCTGATGCTGCCGGACCTGAGTCGACTAGCCGATGTAAGTATCCCAAATGTCCGACGACAAGATCAAGCACACTCTGCATCGTGCTGCCTTTCGAGACAACCCCATGGAATACCAGAATCATCGTCGCTCCAGGAGACCTGCTGATTCCTTCCGGTAGTTCCCCATCAATGGGACAACTGTGCACATGGCCAATGGCATGGCAGCAGATAATGCTGGCACGAATGGAGATTCTGCAATGAGCTACGAGAACACGGACATCCAGGAGATCACTCGCCGCCAGCTGAACCAGGACATCATGGCGTACCGTTACGACCTGGACCTCTGCCGCTCTCTGTTCGCCACCGATGTGACGCCTCAAGAAGCTCGAGCGCTGCAGCTCAGAACCCTCGATATTGGCCATCAAATCCGCAGTGCTCAGCACCGGATCGAGCTTATTGAGGCGCAACAGCGCCAGAGTCAGATGCCTGCGATGGCAACCTACCACAACGGCGTCCACTCAACACATCGGGGTGCCGCATCCCGACCAGCCGATAGTCCACCCAATGGCTCAGCCGTCAAGAGACAACGCTTGACAGTCAAGCGAAGCCACAGTACTGAGGACGTCGCGAACGGCAATGGCACACCGCAACAGCTGGCCACAGCTGCAGACGCAAAGAGCGACTCATTCACACCAGTCAACGGATTCCATGCTCACCCAACCACGAACGAAACCTCGCACGGGAGCAGCGCAGTGCAGCGGCTGGGCTTCTGGAAGTGCCGTCTCTGTGTGGCGTCAAAGTATCTGAACGCTGGCCCAAATCGCGTGCCTAGTGAGCCGAGCAAGTGGCCTCTGAAGGACGTCAGCAAGATGCTGAATCACTTCTTGGATCTGCACACGGAGCATACGCCGGCAGAGCGCTGCATGGAGCTCGGCGCTGCTCTGGCCCAGAATCGTGAGTCAAGCTGGGTTTGTTTCGCAGCTGCGTGGAGGACATGTGCTGACCAACTTGCAGGGGGCCCTTTTGAGTACTGGCTCACCCAGACTCGCAAGCAGGAGCTGGACGACCTGTCCGTGATCGATGGATATGTCAACACACTACAAGCTGGCAACCTGCCCGAAGGCCTCCGTCGTCTCAACAGGGCGGCCGGACTTTTCCCGAACTCGACCCACGAGAAGAAGGCGGTTTGAAAACTTTGGTGCGGCACATGGCACGCCATGGTGAACGAGCATGTTTTTGGGCGGAGTTCAACTGGGCTTTGGTGAATTATCTGGGATCTGATCCGAGAGGGACAGTCGCTGGAGACGCCATAGGCATGACAGGGAGTTGGGGCGTTTGCATTTACATGATCAACCCAATGTCAGCACTTTGCCAGAGTATGATATGACGTCGTTTCGACAGAAACAACTGGCCCCTCACAAGGCAAATCGTTTTAGACTGTCACCCTGCGAAAGTCGGTGAAGAAATGGTTCAGCGTGCTCAGCGCTATCGATTGGACGGTTGCAAAACTCCATCAAGGCAGTGGAGACATTGTTGCCGCTGCCAGCGAACCCAAACAAGGACATGCTCTTGGTTAAAACTCGATGCGTTCGGCATGAAACTGCAGCATCAGCCCTGATGGCGACAATGATTGCCATGGACGAGTGCTTGGGTGGTTGTCTATGTCTCCAGGCTAGTCGTGGTGTTAAGATGACCTCGGGAGGTGCGGATTTGCCAGACATATCTGGGCGCGTGGTTGCCGTGGCAACAGGGTACCGCCAGGCGGCTGCTCAGGGGTCTCACGAGCCACCCGGCCTTGGGAGGGCCCAAGCGCTGGCAGATCAATGCGAACAAGGGGGCCGGGCACAGGGCGAAACCAGCACTGACACGCATTCCAGCCTCAGACCGTCTCTTGGTGCAACTCCAGCGAGACAAGGCGGCGTGACACTTTCGGGCCAGTGACGACAGCTCCCACAGGTAAGTCAATTGGGACGCCACTGCACAAGCAAAGGGAACCAACGGCAGCAGCGGCCAACGCGAGTCTCCAGGGAGCCAGACACGATCGAGCAGGGCATGCAGCCAGGAGCACGCGTCGGTCCAGCATCTCAACCTGTCATCACGCTCGTCCTCGTCCACATCCACGGGCAGGAGCACGACGTCCAACAGTCCCTCCACAGCATCAAGACGACGCCATGTCGGTAAGAGTGGTGGCCCGGATCCGTCCGCTGCTCGACCACGAGCTCGACAAGGACATTATCGTCACCGCCGCGTCCAGTGCCAGCGCGCCCGAGAACACGTTCAACGTCGTCAAGATCCCGAGTCCAAAGAACGACGCCGAGGAGTTCTCATTCACGTTCAATGGCGTATATGACCAGACTACCTCACAAGAGGAGCTCTTCGCTGCCGAGGGTATGCGTCCCTGACCACCTTTTCCTTGGCTGTGCCATGCGTTTTGACATCACGCTTACCGCCAATCGCGTCGTTCAGTTTCCACGCACCTCAAATCCCTATTCCAGGGCCTCGACGTCACCATATTCGCCTATGGAGTCACTGGCACGGGCAAGACGCACACGATGCGTGGCGGTCTCAAGCTCGCCGACCGCGGTGTGATCCCGCGCCTGCTGAGCAGTGTGTATAGGCGAGCCAAGAAAATCACCAAGGACGCCGACGGCGAGACGACAGTCCACGTCGCCCTCTCGTACTACGAGATCTACAATGACAAGGTTTACGACCTCCTCGAGCCTCCCGAGAAGCGCACACCAACGGGCCTACCTCTTCGCGAGGCCAATGGCAAGACCCACGTCGTGGGCTTGTCCGAACGGTCCTGTGAGAACCTCAAGGACTTTGAGCGGTTATATATCGAGGCCAACAACAATCGCGTCACCGCTGCCACGAAGCTCAACGCCCATAGCAGCAGAAGCCACGCCATTCTGCGCGTCAAGGTGACGCAGATCTCCGCAGACACGATACGCGAGAGCACCGCGTCAGCCATTGATCTTGCTGGGTCAGAAGACAACCGCCGGACAGAAAACGGCAAGGAGAGATTGGTTGAGTCGGCTGCAATCAACAAGAGTTTGTTCGTGTTAAGTCAGTGCATCGATGCCATCTCAAGAGGCGACCGACGGATCCCGTTCAGAGAGAGCAAGTAAGTCTGGCGATACCGTTCCACACATGTGAGAGAACTACGTGCTCATACCTTGCGTCAAGAATGACAAGAATCTTGTCTCTGGGCCAGAACAATGGCATCACTGTCATGATTCTCAATCTGGCACCTATACGGAGTTACCATCTCGACACGCTCAGCAGCTTGAACGTCAGTTCACGGGCCAAGCGGATCGAGGTCCGCGAAATTGAGAACGAGGTCGTCTTTAAGCAACAACCCCGGACAAACTCAAACTTGTCGAACGGCAGCGTTGTGCGGCAACCGCTCCGGCCACTGGCCAACACCCACAACATCCACTCCGGCACGGTCGCTGCTGCTGCCGCTGCTGCGAAAACCTCTGACAAGCCCGTCAAGGCTTTCAACGTGTATACGGACCGGCCAGCACTAAAGGCGATTCCGACAGCGCGTCCCGCAAACACCTCGATAAAAAGGGCAGCTTCACCAAAGCAGCTCGTTGCAACTCAGAAGAGACCCTCCGAGAACGATAATGGCATGAGACCATCAAAGATCACCCGACCGACACAGCTGCCTTCATTGACAAAGTCAATGTTGTCTGCTCCCCAGAAGACTGCCCAGCCCGCGATTTCTGCCGAGCAAATCGAGGCTATGGTGCAAAAGAAGGTCGAGGAGATCCTGGCCGCGCGGACACAGGCCGCCATCGAGGAACAGGAGCAGAAGAAGCAGTCACAGCCAGAGATCAGCGATGCCGTCAGAGAGAGACTGGAGGCACTGGAGCGGCGTATTGAGGACAGTCGGCAGCAGGACGACGAGAAAACCGAGGGCTTGCGCTTCCTGCTCATGGCTCGGCAGCACAAGGAACGTGGCGAGGACACGAGCGCCCTCAAGATGTACGAGCTTGCCCTGCCCTTCTTCCCGGGCCAGGCGAAGCTGCTCGGCAAGATTGAGAAACTCAAGGCTCGCATCGCCATCAAACGCGCTGGTCGCGAATCCGCCGCCACTGCGAGCCTCTCCGCTGGGTTTTACTCCCACTCTGAGGGTAGTCCTGGCGCAACGAGAAGGCGGAACAAGAAGCAGGCTCGCAAGATGGTGTATCGTGACGATGCTGACGAGGTTTCTCACGGCGATGATGACTACTACCATGACGCCGAAGCCGACAATGACGAGGACAGCTTTGTCCTTGATAAGCCCGCCCGCACCAAGAAGGCCGGCAAGAAGCAGTCATCAAAGACTGGCACGGCCAGGACTCTGTTCAGTGTAAATGCTGACGCCGCTTCCGTCGAAGATGGTCCCGCAGCGCAGAGCCTGCTTGATATTGTCAACTCGCGCGACCTTGCGCAGATCATGACCCTGCAGGGGTTCGGTCCCAAGAAGGCCCGCGACCTGGTTGAATACCTCAACCTCATGTCCGAGACCGAGGGCCGCATCGAGTCGCTGCCCGAGCTGCGTGCTGTACCTGGTCTAGGTGGGCGCGCTGTCGATCGTGCTTACGAGGGACTTTTGACTAGCGTCGCGTGCTAGAAAAGTCAGCAAGGGGCTGCCGCTTCCGCTAAGGGGAAACCCGACGTGGATGGAAAGAGGAAGGGAGATAGGAACAAGGATCAGTGGAAGTCGGGGAAAGCACTTGCATTAGCATTACTTTGCTTGCGTTTGTGATACACCATTTTGCGATATACCTTTTGGCTTTCGCAGAGGAAGAGACGCTGCCGGAGACGGGGGCGACAGTCCAGCAGGTGAGGAGTGAGCACAGAAAGGGCAGGAAGAACAGCTTGTCTGGTAACAGGACGGCTGTATCGACAGTGTATACGTTTTGGACTTCATTATTTTGGATGGGGGTGTTTCTTTTCACCCTTGGCTTGCTTCTTCGGCCTTCAACCACACATCATTACTGGCGTTTTAGGGTTCTTTCTTCATAGCAGGGAAGCAGAGACAGGCAGGAGCGCAGAGGAAAGCGGAAAGATGCAGAAAAGGTTGGAATATTACCTATTTGTTGTTTCTGAACAGGCACATACAGAGTGGGTCCTGCTCGATGTCTTGCGTGAATATCCGATCTTCCCTTTACGAGGACTATCAAGCACATACTCTGTCGCGCATGCAAGTCACACTTCATTTCAGAGCACTCAGATGTAGATGTTCACAACAAATGACCACGATAGCGACCCCTTACGATATAGTACCCAAATGGACGTTAGATGCAGCTATATATGTGTATATGTAGAGCGACTAGGATATCGAGTGAGGGCCCATCCATACATGTAGGCCTAGCAAAGGTAGACAGTGGTAACATTACACAACTCAATGGTGGTGGTAGTCGTTGTAGTAGCAAAACAGAGAGGGCGGAGGAGAGCTATAGGGAAAAAAGAAGGAAAAAAAAAACAGGAAGTGGTATCAATCCGTAAGCAGCCGTCAACGCCACGCCGCGAAAGCCATCGTTGTTGCATAAGTTCCTTTGCGGTCTTGTCCCATGTGCATCATTTCTGTGTGTCTGTGCGTGTTTGCTGGAGATGCATCGTCACCTCTCCCAGCTGCTGAGAAAACAAGTTACATTGGGCTGGAGAGCTTTCTACCACCCCTTCTTCCGCGCGAACCGCTTGTTGAGCAGTGCGAGCACCTTGGTCACGTTGAACTGGACATATTCGAGATCGAGGTCGTCTTGGTTGTCCTTCTGCATCTCGAGCAGATCGTCAAGCTTCAGGTCGAGCTCTAGGAGACCACGGTTACGTCCTGGATAACGAGGTTAGTGGGAAATGCGGAACAGAAAAATTGAGGGCAACAAGAACGCCATAAGCCATACCTTTGTAGTGAAGCGAAATGACGAATGTGCCGGGCAGCGGGCTTGTAAAGTTGAAGTAGATGTTGGCCCGTCTGTTATCCGGGACATTACTCTTCTGGATGACGCCCTCTTTTTCTAGCTGCTGGTGGGTGAACTTGTAAGGGCCGAGCACCTGTTGCTTCTGCTGTTTGCGTCGTGTGCCTTCAGACTGACTGCGGACGTTATGGAGGTAGCTCTTGTACGTCTCCAGTTGCCCAACAAGATACGTGTTGTGATCTCTGATGGTCTTGTACACCTCCTCCAGTTTCCGCGTCTCGAGGATCACACCATCCTTGAGAGACCCGAGGTGCTGGAGCTCCTGTTCGACTTCATCACGGAGAAGGCTGAAGCCATCGCTCTTGTCAATCACACGCATTTCTTGCAGTTGACTGAGGAGCTCCATTGCCCTGATACCCTTGCGGACCATGACGGCGTCGTTGCGCGATGTCGCGGCCGCGTCAGCAATTCTCTCGAGGCGTAGTGGTCGCTTGGCAACAGACGTGTTTGATGGAATTGATCGCATGACCTGGACGAAGATAGACTTCGCCTCCATGAAGAAAATCTCCTCCTGTGTGATATCGAGCGCCGAGGTGAGGTCGTCGATAGCCGTCTCCCAGCGGCTGAACAGTGGCAGGTTGATGGCGCGGTTCTCTTTGCGGGGAACCTGCGCTGGTGCGCGGCCCAACTCCGACATGATTATGCCCAGATGCGAGTTATCGTCGCGACAGAGCTCATTGGCGTGCTTCTCGATCAGGGAATGCATAGCATAGATTTCATTCAAGGTGATGGAGAGCTCGAGGTCCTTCTTGGATAGTGCCACGTAGTTGTCCATCTCGAGACTCTCGTAGAAATCTTGCACCTCGCAAAGGTCGAGCATGAACTTGTTGACGCGGTCCTTGTTCTGCTGAATGAAAGGCTGCAGCTTGGCCATGTAGGGCTCCTTGGCATACGAGGGCTTGTTGGCAAGGTTCTGGAGCATCTTGGCGATTAATGTCAGGGTACGTCTCGGGCGCTCGGCTGGTGCTCCGTCAATAAGCATATAAGACTTTGGTGTGACAATCGCCGGGTTGATGAATCGAAGGAAGAAGAAGCCACCAATAAGTGTGCAGATCACCTGGTCGTTGGCATCGGGGTATTTGCGCTTGGTCAAGCTTCGAATCTGCTTGCAGATCCAGCGGATACCATAGGGTGCCTCCTCGAGGCCGTCGATAATTGTGTTCAGGAAGCCATTAGCAATCTCGCTCAGCATGATCAATCGAGGCTCGATGATTGCTTGGACTTGGGGGTTCTCGGCAGCTTGCTCAGCCGTAATACCACGTGGCAGGTTGGGTGGCAGGCTACCGGTGTCTTCTTCGATCTGCTCGCACATGCGCTCGTAGACCTTCAGTGGGTTGATTTCCAGGTCCAGATCTGTGAGCTCGATCAAGCTATTGATTCGCTCCGCCAGGACGGACTTGAGGAAACTCTGACCAGGCCCACGCCTAGTGTATGTGGTCATCATTCGAGAAACAGGTGTGTTGGCCCGTAGGAGCGACGAGTATTCGGGGGTCGTGTCGAATTGATACGTTAGGACAGACTAGCAGAAAGTGTCAGTGATCATAGGACGCTCTAGTTTCTAGGCGATGCAATTCTGGCATACCTGGAACATGGTCAGGAGCAAATGTTCTTCGCGACTCTCGTATTGGTTACCATAGATCGTGAACATGACAGTCTGCAGTAATGAGTCGATCTCTGCCATGGTCACAAGGCGAGAAAGGTGGGCAATATGTCTCGGCTCCGACTGGAGCAGGAACAACAGATTTCCGTATTTCTGGGTCCGATCGTCGTTCGGAAACGCTCCTTCTTGCAGCTCCGTGGCATCTTCGAGGTGGCTGGCGACTTCGTTCTGTTCTTCCAGAGCCATGCGGTTCTGGATCAGCAGGGCGATTCTAGAGTCGAGGTACCGGACATCCTTCTCAAGGACGAAGTTCTTTTTGGATTGAGAGGAAATCTTCGCTTTGAGCTCGCGCAGAATCTTTTGTGCTGTGGGAAGCAAAGCATATACCGTCAGCGTCACACTGCATGTGCTCGTAGCTGCGCTTTGAAGCCCTTACCTTTCGCCAAGTCATCTTCAATCTCGAGCTCAGTCTCATTCGCGGACATCGACATGTACAGTGCCGACATGGAGTACCGCTTGGACTGGCGGGCGGACCGCGAGCCATCGTAGGAAGACATGGTGTTCTGCCGTGAGATGGCCTGAAACGATGCAGACGAGACGGACGAGGCTCGCGAGGGCGTTTGTAACATGACTGACATGTCTCCGGGCGAACCCAGGCCTAAATCGAGAATGCAGACTTGGTGGGAAATGAAATCGTGGCCGTGAGCCTGGCGACAAGAATCTGATGTCGTAGTCGGATGTGGCCGTTACGGTTTGGCCAGCGGTTTGAGCCGAGAGTGCTGGGACCAGGAATTATTCCAGGAGCCGTTGTTTCGGCTGCAAACACTTTCGTCGTAGTGCGTAGTGCCTGCCTACGCGCAAATTGCCTACAAGCCACAATACCAAGTCTCACTGTCACGCCAATCAGACTGGCTAGAGTGAATCAGAGTGATTTGGGGTCGAGACACCTGCCTGAGAAGCGCCACCGGTGCCGAAACACGTGCAACGCGGTCTATTGCAAGGCACTCAGGCTCTGGATCCTTTGTACGGATCAATTCGAGCTATTTGGAATATTGCTTATTCGGCGCCGTTGCGCTGCGTTGCCAAGTTGCCGAAGACTGCGCAACCAGTTCTCTTGGGGCGAAAATCGCCTTCGATCGGATCTCTGGCAGCGTGTTTCCGTGCTGCTTTGTCGGTGGCTACCAAGCGTTGGCGAGGAACGGTCCGCGTACTCCTGATATCGAGCAGAGCAGTATTATCTATCGTGTTTCGTCGTGGGGCGTTCGTGGACGCGATGGCGCAAGACTGCTCAATCGCGGCTTCGGGAGTTGCACTTGACGAGCAAGAACCAGAAGGGCATGCGAGACAGGAAGTTGGGCCTGCAGCAGCTGGAGAAGCAGACGAGCCGGTGTGGAGGGTCGCGGCGTGGCTGGCCGTGCGGGAAGGGTCGAGAGTGCAGAAAGGGGGGTGGGCGCAGGCCGGGCCAGGAGGAGGGGCGGCCACTGGTGTGTAGGCGCGGGCAAGGAAATGCGCGCAGCTCGCCGGCACGCTGGCAACCCTGGAGACGCTTGCAAGAGGCGCGAGCAGAGCGCAACGACAATACAGGCGTCGGGCAATCGATGGTACAGAGCGCAGCAACGGGCAGGCGGCCTGGAGAAAGGAGCGGATGACGGACGATGGGCGGAGAAAGCAACAGGGAAAGTGACAGGATTGAGCAGACCAGGAGGAGTGCAAGCAATCAAGAGGGCGAGAGAGTGAGAGAGACCGTGTGCGTGCGTGCATGTGTGTGTGCAACGGGGGAGAGCGAAGATGGTGGGCAGGCTGCAGGCATTCAGGGCACGGTGGCCGGGAGTTGGAGGCTTGGGGTGGAGATGGCCCTGCACCCCTTGCAAGTGACACCTGCATCCAGACAGCGCACTTCCACGAGGCATGGAGCCCGCGCGCTGTCTCGTCACAAGCTCCAGCACCACCCACACACCCACCCGTCGCGCAGCACCCAGCGAGTTCATCGCCACAATAGGGACGAACCGTTAAGTTAGTCACAGGCACCGCGAGCAGAGCCGTGGCCTGTCAGCCGCCTTGTCCCATCACCCCAGCTTGCCCCGACTGCTGAGACTGCGCTCCCGTCATCTCCTCTCCCGTCAGCAGCCCGAGACATGTCATCTAACTACACGAACGTCCACGTCTGATCTTGCCAGAAGCCGCTAATTGCAGCTCCCTAAACAAGCCGACAGTGGCGCCAACAAGAATCATACCGTGCCGTGCGTCAGGGCTTCCTCGTGAATTGCCGTGGCGGAGCACTTTCGTTCTACTGTGCGTTTCTCAGCACCCGTCGTCCTTCTCCTGCAAAGCCGGCGTGAAGAAATGCAAGCACCTCCCATATCATCAACGTCTTTGGCACAAGCCCAGGCTGGACAGTGGCGACAGCACGAGATACACCTCATCGACAGGATGCCGCGATCGCTGGTCCAACATACCCTGCCGGTCCTGGAGTGCCTAAACGGATCGCCATGAGCTAGTCGATCGTCTCTCCCACAACAGGGTCCGTTCGTACTTGGCTCGCTGCCCCTGTTGGGCGGCCTGGCTAGTCGCTGCGCCGCCCATCCCAGTGGGATTCCACTTGCTCGGCGGCGGGGTGCAGCGCGGCGCTCGTCTGGGCCGCCCGTGTCACTGTCGGCTTCCAAAGCGCGCTCGAGCCCCCAATGACGACCCCTTGCCGCCTTTTTTTTTGCCCGAAGGACACGGGCTGCAGACTCAGGGCACCGCAGTCCCTTATTCGCTCTGATATACTGTTTGAGAGTCGACTGACATGTGTTGCAGGTCTGCTCCACGTCACAATTCTGAACAGCATCGTTCTTTCTGCCTTTATGCCATGAACAGCTGTTCTCTTTTTAACCCAGTTGGCAATGCGTGAACTTTGTCTGTGCCTGGCAGCACCATCGGTGCAGTCTCGGCACGCTTTTCCTCGGACTGCTGGCTACGAGAGCCATAATCTCCGACTATGCCTCTATGAACATCATTTGATCGAATTTGCCATGGTCGGCATGACGGGCAAGTCGAGTCAAGCATGATTTACACTTTCGAGCAGCCCGTCATGATGCCATCATGTCAACTAATTTGCCTCTATCGGTCGTGGCGGCGCGCAACGTGCCAGCAGCAAGTTTGGATGTGGTGACCCAGCCCGGCACACAGAGATGTTGCACTGATAGTTAAACGCTCGGCGCTATGATTGGCCAAGACATGGAGATTACAGGGTCGCGATCGCCAAAGTGGCTCCTACACCTCCAACCACCAATCCTCGTCTGACAGTCCCCCTCAACAGCCTGCAACGTGGCCAGCGTGGCTCGGAAACGTCGCCTGCCCAGCCGACTATCAAACGTGCCCGAATTAGAATGAATGCTCATGCTATTGCCATGGAGTTTCTAGTCGTCAGCCCGGCCAAAACAAGACAGATAAACAGCAAGTTCCTGCATCAGCCGGACGATATAGGCCAGGATTGCGATAAGAGCGCTTGCGGAGGCCCTGTGGAAGCTTGCAGGTGACCAGAAAAGACGGCAATTTTGTGGGGCAAAAGTTCCATTTCGGCCGCCACACGCGGCTCGGCTGGAAGCAGGCACGACTCTACGGTAATAATCATCTCCAGGAAAGCCGGGCGTCAGGGGTAACGGGGCGCCAGTGTTGGCTCGCCTCCCGCTAGGTGACTAGACTATGGCGCGACGGGAACACTCGTCTGCGAGGACGTGCACGCTTCAGGCAAAGTCCTGGAGGCAGCGACGAAAAGGGGCGCACACTGACGAGACGGCATCGGCAGCTCGTTGGATCATCGAGCACTCCTCCATTCGGTGTCCCGACTCCAATTGGCTGCGTTGCAAGCGCCGGAATTGACGAGACGCAGCCACCAGAACTAGCCGCACCGAAACAGAGACACAAATGCACTCCGAAACACTCTGCCGGAGCCCTGTCATGCACGTCAGTCAGCGATATGGGTACTCCCCACTATTTCAGGAACGGCGAGAGACAGGGGCGGTCTAGAGGCCACTTTCCAGCCTCGTCTACCTCCGATGTCAAGGGACAACAGGCCGAGGCATGGGGGGGGGTCCGTTCCAGGCCCAAAACTGGCAGCTCGGCAACAGCAAGCGTGGACTGGATGACTGACTGTGGCCTGAGCAGGTGGATGCTCAGTGTCTGCGGGAACTCGCTTGTGTTAGCGTGCTCCAGGCACGGTTTGAGCTACCCGTGGCAGGACACACTACCAACATTGCAACCCAAGGACTACAATGTAAGGGAGACACTTGGTTGGCGCGGCCGCAGCCAACGATAAGTGAACACTACCTGAAGAACCCCGCGACGTAACGATTGGGTTTTGTTCCACCTCAACCTCGGGACGAACTCCATGATTGGGGGGTCGTTCGCAACGGGCTCCTAATATGGACGGAGTCCTCGAGTCAGTCTTCGAGCAGGTGCCAGGCTTACTGCGTATCTGTCGTTCCTGAAGACCGTTAGCGCTCTCCGCAAGTCTTGCCCTGCACACACTGCCAGGGTTCCCAGGCTGCTGGTCCCCCGTCCGAGCTGAATAAGGATTGCCAGGGTCGTAGGCGGCCCTGGTTGACATGGTCCACAGGTACAAGGTGCAGACTTTGTCTCGTCGTTTAACGTGCGAGGCTCGGCCATCGAGAGGTCGGGCGTGAGGCACCAGGTTGAGTCAAGACCGGGTCTCTTTGTCTTGGCAGGTGACTGCGTAAGCCGCCGGCGAGTCGAATGTTAAGTGTGAAGGTCGTGAAGCGTTCACACGATCCTGAATGGTCTGTTTGAGCTGCCTGCTGTTGAGCAACAGCCGTTCCCAGTCGTGGAGCTCAATATGGGGGGGACATGTGCCAATTGACATGCCATTCTTCGTGGCTGAACCGCATCAGGAAAGTTTTCAGCTCACATGAAGCGCATGGGGCTGGCTAGAACGATCATAAGGATTCTGCCTATTTATCCTCTTGTCTCGGCTGCCAACGAAGAGGATCGGCTTGAGTTATCTCATGACGGAAGACCGTGTTGCGTCTTCGTTGAACAATGGCACTTGCCAACCTCGGGCAGGAGGTTCGGTCCTGAATATTCGAGGATGATGGCGTGCCCCTGAAGAAATGGATTGAGAATCCCGCGGACGAGGTAACTAATTAGCGGTCGGAGATTCAAGAAATCCATGTTCCTCCGGTAACAGAACATCTGCTAGGAGGCTTGTGCGTCAATTCACATGATGGGAATGAGAAGCTATGGCGCAGGGTGCGCGCCGCAGGTGAGCCCCAAATTCCTAGCTTATCGCGATATAGTTCCGGATATTCTTGACAACAAGTTCATCGTCGTCGTTGCGCATGGTGTACAGTGAGTTCTGGACACTCGATATTACTGGGCATTTCCCTCTGGCTCGCCTGTATCAAGTGTCTGGATACATGAAATCAACGCTGCCCTTGGCAGCATTCAATTCACTTGCGGGAGGAGACAAAGGCAATGGTGAGTGGGACGAAGAGCGGCCGTGGGTAGTGCTGCAACTTCGAGGTAGTCGGGTGCCGAGTTAAGCTTCAGCCTCCTCCTACTCGCAAAGGATATTGTGACGAGGTTAATCTCGGTCCGGAGAGCAAGTGACGGGAATGGAATTTCATCATGCCCGACGAAAGTACTGTCAGCGGAATTTGTCGACGTGCCGCCGGGCAGCGCGGACGATGCCATTGATTTGTCTCTTCGGTCATATCACACATTGCAATATTGAGCATCGTCTTTTTGTGTTTAAGGCTGCAGCCAGTTGACATTGGTGTACCAGGAGCTTGCTCTGAAATATTTCCGCGTTGTGTCTCGAGCAGTGCTTTATGTACGCTGAAAGTTCGACAGATGAACTAGACCAGAGATAAGCGGATACAGGACATCAGTCTGAATCCAGTGGCATTCGCTCCTGTAAAGATGGCTCGCCCGGACGACTTGCCTTCGGATTTGCGTGGTAATTGTGTGTTCTCTCGGTTCTCGTCACCCGACGTCATCTTGGTTTGATATCCGCCTCAAGGCGTCCACCTTCGCAAGCCCACGGCCTCGCCATCTCGGTGACGTTGCGAAACTCCTCGCTCTTTTGCTGGATCGTCACATTTCAGAAAAGGTGACTTTCTGCTGTTCCAGCGGCGATGGCGTGAGTTGGCTGACTACATGCTCCATAACTTTATCTACAAATGCAAAGTGTTGTCCTCTGGTCTTATGGTTTCTCATCTCATGTCTATGACTAAACTACAGACAGCCATGAATCACAACATGTTGTTCCTCTTCGCCACTAGCACCCCAACAACAAGCACCGCCGCGGCCCCGACCCACGGCGCAAGAATCCTCCCCGCCTTGCCCAACATGTCGTACGTGTGCTCCAGCTGCTTCGCCGAGTGCGCGTCCTTGCCATTGAGCCTCGGGAACTCGACATCCGGCACCTCCCTGCCCAGGAACTCGCAGAGCGGCGCCCACCCGCTGCCCAGCTGGTACTCGAGCCTGCGCTCCGGCGGGACGACCTCCCTGATGCGGTCGTAGTACCGCTCGTACCCTTCGCGGGCGTTGCTGCGCAGCTCCTCCGCGGTCCGCGCGCGCCAGTGGCCGTAGCACATCTTCTTCATGGCGTCGATCCCGCGGTTGCCCGCCAGCCGCGCGGGGCCGTGCTGCATGAATGTTCCGAATGGCGACCAGATGACCTGGATGATCTGCGAGTCGAACGAGGCGTACCACTTCTCCGTGTCGCGCCTGACAATGACGACCTTGGCCTCCGGGTATGCCTGGCTCAGCTGGTCGGCGAAGAGCGCCGCGACGTCGGTCACGGCGTCAAAGTCGGCAAAGATGGTGTCCCACTCTGCGCGGGTGAGGAGTTGCCGCTGCTCTTGTGGTGATGAGTCTGGTGCAGAGGACGAAGAAGAAGAAGGAGGGGAACTCGTCGTCGTCGTCTGTGGCCGGACACCGGGGGCATCTGGCCATGTGCGTTCCGCGGCACGCTCGAGGACGGCCCAGTGCTCCGGGAGGTCCATCAGCTCGAGCCCGTGATGGGGCCGCAGGCCGAGGATCCGGTATGCCTCGGCCATTGAGGCCGTGCCGGTCTTGAACGGCCCCGCGTTGATGACTGTGAGCCCGGGCTTAGCGCCGGGTGGTGGGGCGGCGGGCTGTGGTTGTTGTGTTGCCGCCATTGTATTGTACTGCTGATATCCTCCTTGGGGGCTTCACGCACGCTGAGGGATGCTTTCGGGGTCGTGCGACGCTTGTGCCAGATATATACTCGTGAAAGGTGACGTTGTTGGCAGCGGGCGAGTATACTGACAAGACGTGCCCACGAGATCGACGTCAATGTCAGCCAGATGTGGCGCTCTTACCGTTTTGGGCCAGCTGTCGAGGCGTGGTTGGTGCAGGGGCCGAGCAATCGGCGCTGTGTGCCCAAGAACTCCACTGGGTCCGAGGCCGCTGACATAAGCTGCACTTATTCTCAAGCTAGAATCCTTGCCGCTGCCTGGACGGTGACTGTGCCGAGGTGGAACGGGGTCTGTTACTCGCGGGCTAGGCTGCTTGATATTGGCGTTGGAAAGTATATATTCTGGGGGCTGTTTGGCGTCTCTGGTGGCATCCCTGGGGAAGTGCTGGGCGTTGCGCACCAAAAACATGGTTGGTCACACGGTGGCACGCGAACGATAGTTCTCGAGACGCAGTGCAGCACCTGGTTGAATGTTCCATGTCGTCGTCTGCTTGCTGATATCTGAGGTGGAAAACGGCGCATGCGGTGTCAAGACGCAAGCTGCGAGATGATCCCGGGGACGAGCACCCCTCGCGGAGGCTAAGCGCAGGGCAGCGTGTACTCGAGACGCCCAACAGCTCAGTGCCCCCACGCATAAAACGATGAAATCCCACTCCTTGGTCCAGGCGTTCCTTTTTTGTTTTTGCTTTCCTGTTTTCTCCTTTATGCCCTTCTGTCGGGGCCCCTTGAGTTTGATTAGAATAAATGTAAAAATGCAGGAGCACACCCTTGCGCATAGCATTCCAAGCTGAGTTTCAGATTGAGGACCGGCGAAACAGACCCTTCGCGGCCATTGCGGCCTGCGCTGACGCTGAACAATTCTCCCAGCGCGATTGTTGGATGAGTTTCATGCGGGCTGTAATGGCGATCCCAGGCTCCGCTGCGTCTTGTCCCTCCAAATCATGGGAGCAAGTGAGGGACACTGTATTCGGCGACGGACGGTTCACGGCCGACTTTAGTCATCACGATAGCGGGCTGGCCCACAAACAAGCGGGCCAGAACCCTGCGGCATGGTGCGGCCCGATCGGTGGGGATCCAGCCAGTTCCGGCTCTTGCCAGATTGGTAGTCCAAGGTTTACAATACTGTGCCAGCACGATAGGCTCGTGGAGGAAGCCGTCCGGAGAGTACGCGGAGGAGCAGCGGGCGGCCGGGAGAGCGAGCACGGCGTTGCAGCGTGCCCGTGAGACTGGCCTGCCAAGAAGCACCGGGACTGCATCGCATGCATGGATTACGTCCAGATGCGCACACAAAGTACATGTATGCTGCTCATCTCCACAGGGGTCTTCGGCTCTCCGCGTGGGATTCCAAGGTCTCGGGCTTGGCCTTGGGTCAAGCGGCTGGCGGTCCTGGAGCAACGACCCTGGTCGCGTCCTCGCGCCCCGGATCCCGCAGCATTCAACCCCGTTCGTACAGTCCCGCGCCTAATGTCAAGTTGAGTCGACGGAGCAGAAACATTGGTTGCGGTGCCAGGCGTGATGGAGTGATGCCAAGGCACTGGCTTACCTGCCCAGCCAGACGGGAAGGCTGCTGCCCTCTGGTGTCTGCAGCACCTCGTACTTGGACCCCCCTCTCGACTCGAACTGCCTGGGTGCGGTATTTGACGGACGGTTGGTATCGTGAGCCCGCCCGCGCCGCTGGCCAATGTGGTTGGCTGTGGCCCTTATCTCGCCACGCAAGCCTGCCTGCATTGGGAGGCAGGCACACTGGCCATGCGAAGCTTCAGCCATGTAAAAGGCTCCGTCACGCGCCGCTGCCCACGGATGCTGGGTGGGAGCGAGTCAGAGCAGTGTTGCGCGTGCGAGCCACAGAGGCCGAGCCTCATCGTCAAGGTAGGTACGTGCCGCGTGGCTGGCCAGTGCCGGCGGCTTGGTCGAGAATCCAGAGAGGATCAATGAATTGACAGGACAGGACGGAACGGGACAGACAGGTCGATGCAGAAGGCGGGGAAGCGGCGTGGAAGGATGGAACACCACAGGCACAGTGTCGCAGCAGCGTGCGGCTGATTGAGCCGGGCCTGGCGGACTGGGTTGGGGCTGATAAGGCAGAGAGGGTCGCGCATGGGCTGGGGCCCGCTGACTGGCTGGCGGGCTGCTCTGGCAGGCTGGGCGGGGGAGAGGCCTAGAACGAGCATCACCACCGCCGCCCGCCCGCCTGCCCGCCCACTCCCGCCTGCCCACTCCCGCCCTCCGTCTCGCTCGCGCCCGTCCCTGCGCGCCCTCCCGGCCTCAGATGTGCGTGTGTGCGTGCGTGCGTGGGGAGCAGCACTAATCAATCAACTGAACCACCAGACACCACTCACCACACCAAGCACGCCATCACCCTCCCACCACCCGTTTCACCTCCTCGACGTGTCTCCTTGCCGCCCTTTTCGCGCATCGCCATCCACGACCTGTGATATCCCGCATCAAAGCGACACGCCGCGTCCACCGTGCTCGTCTCTAGCCAGCCCAAGGTAGCCACGCCCGGCCTCCTTGACGTCTGCTATCGCCGCCTGCTGCAAGACTCACCCCCCCTGCCGCGGCAGCTGGTGCTGTGTGTGCTGTGCCTCCCTGCCCGTCCAACCCCTCTCGCTCCTCAATCTCCCAGCTTGTCGCGCTCTCCTTGGCTCGCCTGCCGCCACACCAGCAGGCTTCTCTACCGCTCCAGGTCGCCGCTGCCGACCTGACGTTGCTCTTCGCCTGCTCCCGACACGCTGGCATGGCCTTCCCCTCCTGAGAGCGCACTCCTCCAGGTGGATATCGCTCTGTGACCATGGCTAGCGACTTCCCTGGCGACTACATGTTCCGCAGCCAGCCGGCATACTACCTCGACCGCCGCCCTTCCGTGCCCTTGGACGATGCCCTCTTCAGCCCCCAGCCCAGCGGCGGTGGCCCGTCGCCCTCATATTCAATCGGCACCGGCAGCAATCCCACAGCGTCGCCTGGTGCTACCACCGTGGTAGCCAACACACCTTCGCAGGCATCCGTCGTTTCTCCAGAGCCCGTCTCGGCCTCGCTCGCCGCACCTCCGCCACCTATCAAGAACGAGCCGCAAGATGCATCATCCGCCGTCGCTCCCACCAAAAGGCGCAAATCTGGCCCTGGCCGGCCTGCCACGGCTCGGCGCATCTGGCAGCAGCCCCTGATGCAACGGCGTCTTGTACGGCTTTACTTGTACAGCGACGAGTCGACGCTCAAGACCAAGCAGATCAGCCAGCTGTTGTCTGCACTGGCGAGATTGGAAAGTGGCAACAAAGGGTATGTAACCACGGGAGCCCCCCCCCCCCCCCAATTATGAATTGTTGGTTACCATATGTTCTACCTCGGCTTTGGCTAACCGGTGCCTTTTTTATTCACTTTAGCGGCGATGACCGTGAAACCGAGTCGAGGATCCGCTCCACGCAAAACGAGCTGAAGAAGCTCCTGCCGCAGAATTATCACGACCTTCGTCCTCAGTCCCGCGAAATTGCTCGCGCTCGCGTTTCCAGCCTCCGCTCAGCCCGCAGCCGGCGTGGGCGCAAGCTGAGCCGGAGGCAAAGGGGCGGTGCTGAGCTGCAGCGGACCGACTCTGGTCGCCCCATGAGTATATACAGCCAGACCAGTCTCACTGCAGAAGGCTACAACGGGGCCTGGCTTGGAACACATAACGATATCGACCCATCGAGGCTGGGAAGAAGCTTGGCAGGACAGTCGTCCTTGACATTAGCTTCTGTGGCGACGAAAGACAGCAAACGGGTCCGCCTCTCTTGGCTACGCGATATTCTGGGTGCCTCGTCCAAAGAACGCCCGGCCTCGTCCGTGCTCATGGAGATTCGCAGTCTGCTGAGCAGGGGCTCGATCCGAAGCTCAATCGGCTCTCGAAAGTCATCGATATTTGGCCGTCCCTCCACCGATTCAAGGCGCATGTCAATGACCGGCATGTCCATCATGACCACGGATGACCCGGCTGGCGAGGGCATAGAGTACAAGGATCCCGATACGAAGAGGAATCTTGCAACGGCACAAATCTGCTGCCTCAACAGTCAGGACTGTATCCACAGGCGCGCAGTCCGTATCTGCTCGGACCAGACGCCTGGCGCTCGTACTGTGGTTGATTGCTCGCGTTTCATGAATCCCGAAGACCGCACTGCCGAGAACGGTCGGGACATCTGGAACGAGACCATCCTCCACCTCGTTGCACGTTGGGGCGACGATGAGCTGACCTGTCTGATGCTCAATGACGTCCTCACCCAATGTCGTCCGCAATTGGTGAACATCCGCAACATTGACGGTGATACTTTTCTGCACGTTCTGTGTCGGCGATGGGCGCGGTGGCCCGCGGAGTATGCCGCCTATATCGTTGAGGTGGCCTCGGTTGCTGGCAAGCAAGGCTTCCGATTCCAGGCATGCAACTCGGACGGGCTCACGCCATTTGCATGCTTGATTCCAGAATATCCATTCCCGGGAGTCACGGCGCTTGACGCGATCGACACCGTGCGGAGCCTCGAGACGCTGCTCGACATCCAGTATGGGAACAAGCAGACGCTCTTTGACTCATTGCTCATGGTCGCACCGCAGGACAACATGGTGTATGACAGGGTCATCAAATTCCTCGAGGCTTTACAGTGGGCACCATGGACCTCTGCACAAGAAGCAGAACGGCAGCTCGTGGACAACACCCTGCTCCGGTTCCAGACCCACGTGGTCACACCCCGCCCAGGCCATCTGCAGATCGGCAAGCCTCGGGCTATTGGCTCACAGCTGTTTGACATGTATGATAGCATGCACTCGCAGAGTTTGCACCAGCATATTGATCGTCTCGGCTCCGCCTCTGGCGACACATATGGCCAACTCGAAAGCGTCCTGTCGAGCGGGGCTGACCCGAACGAGTACAATGTCCGCCGCCTGACGTGTATCATGCAAGTCATAGAAAAGATGCGCCTGTCCACGATCACTTCGTACGTGGGCATTCCTATGATTGGGCAGCTCATTGAGTATGGAGCCGACTTGAGACTGCGCGACGCAAACGGCAACAATGCGCTGCATCACGCCGTGCGTGCTCATTTGCCTGATGTCGTGCAGCTTTTGGTTCGTGCCGGCATCGACGTGGAGGCGCGCAACTCCAAGAGTGAGACTGCTCTCGATCTGGCCTTCAAGCACTACGAGCGCTACGCGAAGATGCTGGATAAGTCTGGAGAGCACTACGGACGGCTCCAGAGTACTTTTGTGCGCCTCTTCGACGTGCGATATGGAAAGAGAGTGCGCAATACCGCCAACAACAGCGGCGGCAGCAGCAGCAGTGCCAGCAATAGCAACAGCAAGAAAGAGACGTCGAGCGAGCCCCCAAAGCACCAGCCATTGAGGCGTGTGGTTCGTGGTCCAGATACTGGAACCTACTCCGATCTGACGGCTCAGACGCGAGGACAGATGAACCTCGGCACCGTGGAGTCGTTCCGCAAAGCACAAGCACGCATTGCCAGCGGTGATCGGCTTCGAAAGTTATGACGTGCTCATCGACCACGACATTGCGTCGAGATGGTCCATTGAGGTTGTCATATCCGCACAAGAGTCAAACTCTACCAGGGTCGCATGTCATCAACTCATGCTTGACACTGTGTGCTGATCTCAACCGGCCCGCATCCCTCAGCTCTTACGTTATGGTCTACTGGTCGTTCCCTGTGCAGCGATGTGTGTGGCCCTACGTTCTTCCGCTACTCCTCACCTGTGGATCTTCCCTGCCGTTCACATGCGGTCCAGAGCCTAGACCTCAATTTTGTTACCTTGACACACAGTTGCCAATGGTACTCGGCTAGGTGGGCTCTGCGGGAGTTGGGATGAATTGCCAGAGCACTTGGAGAACCGCGCGCCGCCGTCCATTCCCAGCAGAGATGGTCCATGTGGCCCTTACTGGTTGGTGTCTTTCGTTGCGACGTGTGATGGTACAGCTGTTCGTCCTGAGACGATCGTGGGGCAACCCCTGCCTCAAAGATTCTCCGACACAGAAACCATATTGGACACACGGTCTCATAAGGGCTTGCAGGCTTGAATCGATTTGCCAGGTCACGATGAACGCCAGAAGAACGACCTCATACAGTAGCCACTCGAGACATCGCCAGGATTGCGTCCGGAACGCATGACATGACTTTCGGGCGCGTATTAAAAGCTAGTTCTCAGGTGCTGCAATGGGCAAGAAGAGCTTCTTGCGGACGAAGGCCGGGATCTTGCCCGGAACACTGGCAGCAGCTTGCGGATGCCTACGTCAGCGAGGACGAGGCTTCACGATTACGGGGGACGGTGCAAGAAAAGGTTCTGGTTGTTCCCGTCAAGAGGACACCCCGCGGTCGGTGCTTTGCAGATTAGATGCTTGAGCTGGTAACTGCCGTCATAATAGGTGGCATTAATATTATGTAGCTTCTATCTTGGCTTTAGGTCGAATGTATACCCAGATGTTTCCCCATCTGCGCCGATGTTCAGGAAAGATTCGAAAAAAGAGGGTTTGGATAGGAGCTTGCCACTGCCTCAATCTCTCTGGTCATCCCCTTGTTCAAAGAGTGCCATGCCCCATCTTGCTGTACAACATCATGATCCAAGAGTAAAAGTCATGGTGCATTCAAATCAATGCTGGAATGCTGGCCTGCTGGTCTCCACTGCAACTTTGTTGCTTCCATGTCGAGCCTGCTGCGTATTTCGAGGCCGGTTTTGCACCAAACCAGCCCAGCCCAGCTTCGAGAGTGGGTAGACTTCTCTTAGGAGAGCCGACGCTCGACTATAGAATTGCTTGCCCCATCCTCGCGGTGTACAATCGTACATCGTGGGGAGACCTAGCCTGATCGTCCCCTTGCGCCGGAGCATCATCAAGAAGGATTCGGGGGGGACCACCCGCCCGGCGCCTGTCTCTTGTTCGCGAGCGATGGTGCCGCCGTACAAGCGAAGTGATAACCATACACAGGCTCGGGCAGTGCAAGGTTTCCTTCTTGGTCTTTTACGTCGAGAGGGCCAAGACTGAGGGACCGAATACGCGGCCTCTTCGCACACCGCTCGTCGGCTTTTGGAATTGTCGCCCTTTTTTTGCGGGAGATTGTGCAGGACTCGTCGTCGGCAGCGCCCCTCGCAGCACGTCCGATGACAGTGGAGAAGTATGGCAACGCCATGCCTCCCCGCCCGCGTGCCTACTACCAGACAAGGGACGTCCGGTCCGGGTCGGTCCCTCGAGCATAGTAGCGCTCGGTTCATCATTCGCATTGATCTCGCTGGGGTTCGTCCATGTGTGACGAACACATGCGTTGAACTTTGGTTTAATACCCAGCCTCGTCGTCGTCGTCCCACTCCGCTTCAAACGTGTCCATGCCCGTCTCGCCGTCCAGATTGGCCCTGGCGTCGTCCATGTCATCAGATCCGCGTTCACTTTCTCCGTCATTGTAGTGTCCTCCACGCGATTCGTCGTCTTCAGAACCGGATCCGAACTGCTCCTCGCCTTCGGGAACAGGGTTGTCGTCGCGGAACAGGCGGAGTCGCTCGGCTAGTGTTTGTGGTCTGCGCGGTTTCTCTTCGTCGTCTTCGCCATCGTCTTCGTCTTCACTCTGCTCCTCAGAGCCAGACTCGGATCCATCCTCTTCCGATGATGCCGAGTCTTCCTCTTCGACCTCTGACGACTCCTGGGCGACTCGTCGCATCCGCTTCCTCGAGGGCGCCGGAACTTCTTGTACGTCACTGTCATCAGAGTTCTTGTCGTCGTCCTCAGAATCGTCGTCTGACACAATAATCGGCACACGTCGAGCCATCTTCCTGGGGCGCTGCTCCGCAGGCTCGCTGCCGTCCTCAGAGTCCGAGTCGACGACTCTGGGCCGTTTTGCGCGCTTCGCTCGCTGGACGGGCACTTCGGCATCGTCGTCATCATCTGAGGCGGATCCACCGCCTTCTTCACCAGGCGATTCCGCCTCAATGCTGGAGAACCGCGCGACGACCGCCCCGTCGTCGCCGTCATCTCCAGCAGCCTCCATGACATCGTCCTCAATTTCGATCGGAGAGGGACCCGATCCACTGATGCTCGGCGGCCTGCTGCCATCCTCATCGTCCGAGTCGGCATCATCCCGCACAACAAGATCGTCATCATCGTCGGAACCCGGTGAGTCCTCGTCGATCGTATCGTCGTCGATGCCCTCGCTCTCGTACTCGTCCGGCTCGGACTCAGACTCCTCCTCGTCGGAGCTAAACTCGACGCCGGTCTCCCAGCCATCGCGGTAACGCTGCGCCAGCTTCTCGTACCGCATGGTGCCATTAAGAAACGCAAACTCCGCCATCGGCAGCAGCGTGGTCCCCGCCTCGTCCTCGAGCCCGAAACAGTCGTAGAGCTCCCCGCACTCGGCGACCATCTTGTCGCGGTCAAACGCCGGATCAGTCCGGTCGACCCAGCAGTACGTGTACTCCGAGTCCTCGCCGATGCCGACCGACTCCTCCTCGGTGTCGACGCAGAAAGTCCTGGTGGGTAGCGAAAAGCACCACCGCAAGTCGCGCGAGCGCACTTCCACGGCCTCGTAATTAAGGTACAGGGTGTCGAGGCGGCTCGTGAGTGCACGCACCTGCGGCGAGGCCAGCCACTCGGCGAGCGGGGTGATGGCGGCACAGTCGATGGCGAGGTGTCTGAACTCGCCGATACTGTCGTACAGCTTGGTGACGTCGAAGCGGTGGAGCGGGACGGGCTCTCCTGGAAACGAAAAGAAGAGGATGTCGCGGTCGCGGTGGAAGCGGATGAGGCCGAACTCGGTGCCGGACTTGAGCGTGTGCGGGAAGTGCTGGAGCGCCAGGGTACGCGTCTCGTGGTGCACGCCGAGCATGGTGTTGGTCCGACTCATAATGGTGCTGAGGACCTGCGTCTCAATGATGCGCGGCTGCCACCCGTCGCTCAAGACGCATGTGAGCACCCGGCCCTTGCGTTCCTTGAGGTACGGGTTGTACAGCTCCCAAACTCGCTCGCGCAGCTCGGCTGGGAGCCGCATGAAGGGCTCGAACGTGCGTGAAGAATATTCGTTGTAGCTCTCGCCGTACTCATTCTCCTCGTCATCATCGCTCTCATCCTCACTTGAGCCGGACTCGGAAGCCTCCAGATCGATTAAGCCGCCGCCTGGCTGGTCCTCTTCTGAATCCGAACCTTCCGAGCCCTCGTCTTCTGATTCTTCGTCTTCGTCATCATCCTCTTCCCGCTCTTGCACGTCACTATCGTGCACATCTTCCCCCTCGGATCCTTCGCCGCGATCAGACGTCGCAGGCCCCTCCTGGTAGAACCCTGGCGACGCAGCGCTCTCCGATGATGACTCGTCTTCTTCCATCGTGTTGTTGCAAGCTCAAACAGCAGGACCGGTCCCAGCCTTTATCGTGCTCGGCGAGTCGCAGCACCAGCGGCACCAGCAATAGGAGCGCAGCAACCCTTGAACCCCAATTTCTCCTTGCCCGGAGATCCGAAAAGGCCCGGCTTGTTGTGAGCGGGTGGTGAAGAAAGCTGTTCAATAACGCCGGGGCGTGGACAAGGGCTCCGTGCACACGAATGCGGCGAAATGCAGTTGTCGCGCGGGCGGACGATACGGGCGGCGGCGTGTGGACTCCGCGTCACCAGACGTGATGTGAAAGCTTCCAAGGCTGTTTAGATCATGTCCTTTCCTGTTGCCCCCCGGAACTTGTTGGAACCCCGGCCCAGGTGGTTTGGAAGCGTCCAGGCTCGAGGGCGAAGTAAGACCAGCAGAAGAAGGTAAGTACCTCGGTCCCCGGGGGTTTCACTCAACGGACTCGGCGTGGCTCAGAAATGTGCGTTACGCAGGCCGCGCAGGCATCGCATCTGTTCCCAATCGCAGGGCTTTGAGGGTTTAGTTCGGTCGTGCTGAGAGCAGAGGTCGTCGTTGACGATCGAGCTGAGCTACACTTTCTGGCGTATCGATTAGTGATCCCTGGGGTGTGTCCATCTCAGGCGCGCGTTCGTGCACGGAGGAGTGAGACTGACGCGCCTGGGAATTTGGAGCCTGGTACAGTGCATAGGTTTAGCACACCGTACACACGTCGGAGGTGGTAGACACCTCCTCAGGTCGTAGCTTTCGGGCACAGGTGCGTAAACACACAGTGCGTCATCTAATCCATTTACTGTCTGCGTCGGGAGGCACGCCAGGCTGGCTAGAAGTCCTATTCACAGACGTCAATTTAGACTTCTGACATGCTTGAAATACCCTTGCAGAGCTGAGCTGCGCCGTCTGTCTGGACGCGAGATGCCAAAGGAAATGCACTCTCTCCACTCAAAGCACTTGGGAATACTGTTGCCAAAACATCACAACGATAAGGTGTTTGGACCAAGAACTTTGTTCTATTCCACCTCCTCCGTGCACACAAAGAAACTCTTGTACAGCAAATATGGGGCAGGCCTCGGAAACTTTTTCACATGGGACCTCAGCTACCGAGATCCGTCTGGAGTTCATGAAACCTGGCCCGTGTTTTAAGAGAGCTGTGGATTTCCGTGCTTCAGCCAGCTTCCTCGGACTTGCTTCACCCGTCGTGGACATCTGCCGCTACGGATTGAACAGGAAGTCAAGAAATTTGCAGGACTCCTTGACGAGCGCGGGGACGCCTATGTATCAGAGGCTTATGACGAGATACAGGTAAGTGAGTTTGAATGAGCAGATGTGTTACTCTGTACATGCTGCACGCTAAAAACGTCCGGGATTAAGGGATGACGTCACCCGGGCACGGCTCCATGGCTGTGCGTGGAGGAACAATGGCAAAAACTGCGAGTTGTGTCAAAGGTTCCCTGCCCCGGACTAGACCGCTCGGCCCATGGTTTTCTGGCTTTCCGGCTTTCCGGCGTTTTAGAAGTGTACACTCGGGCTGCGCGAGAGGCGTAGATGGTTGCCCGTGATCAATCGAATCAGAGCATCCCGGATGAACCGCCCGATCAATGACATGGCCACCAAACACACCGCGTCACGCTTCTCTGGAGCATCAGGGAAGGAGGAAATACTCCGGTCGTGCCATCGTCATTTCTACGCATCTCACAGGCACCCATTGTCCAGTTCTCGGAGCTCTCAAGAATGGGGAATCTTGTTATTTTGTTTCTTGCTTTACATTGTAAACCATGAAAATGTGGTCCACTAGCCCCCTGTCCCCCTTATATCTGCACGCAGATAAGATAGGTTTCCTATTAATCCATCAAACGATCGTTTTCGAAGACCATAAAAAGATATGCTAGATAAATGAGTCGCTGATGCTCGCTAGACTCCGACACAGAAGAGAAGATGCCCTATCCTTTATCGCTCTCTCGCACAAAAGAAAAAGCAAAATGTATGCGCACTAAAAGCGTGCGGGCAGTGTGTGGTCCCAAAACGCCGAGGAATGCTGAGGTGTCTGAAACAGGCGCCTCCACCGTGGGTATGACACAATCGTGTGGTCTATGCTGCTGGGACCCCTGCATCATCGATTGCCAGTGTGCACAGTGAATCAGTCGCGGGCGAGCAATCCTATGCGACAATTTCGAGAACTGGTTGTTCCTCGTGACTCAAAGCCCAGATCGACCAAACAACGTACATGCCCATGACGGTGAATGAGATGATGGCGGCCCAGATGACGAGGGCGTTGAGCACGGCCTCCTTGAAGCGTTGCTCCGTCGCGGCGGCGTCGTTGGACCTGGGGAAGGGCTCGTCGGGAATCGGCTTGCCGAGGAACTTGCACAACGGCTCCCAGCCATCCGAGATCTCCATCTCCAGAAGACGGTCCTTCGGGACGACCTTTCTGACGTGGGCGTTGTGGCTTTTGAGAAGATCTGCCAACGGCTCCGGATTAGCAGGCGACCTTGTGAGTGGACAGTGGCGCTGTGCTGCCAATGGTGGCGCCCTGGGGCGCCGCCAAGGCCTGATTTGGCTACGGCCCGGCAGCGCCAGCCGAACACATGCTCGCGCACGAACCATGCCACGCGGCTGATGATCAATTATTACTGTGACTTACCAACCCCCGGCTTCATGTCCATGCCGTACAACGTCCGGTTTCTATGAGAAGCAAGATGAGCCGCTGGTCAGCACAGTCCATAATTGCGTCCACAACGATGTGTCGTTCACAATGTGCGAGCGACTTACTTGAGAACCATGCCCTCCATGAGCTCGGGCACCCAGCGGAGGCCAGGCAGGGGAAAGAGGAGCGGCTTGAGCCACCAGAAGGAGACATTCTTTGCCACGGGCTCGATGCTCTTCCACCACTTCTCGGGGTCTCTCGTGACAAGGACAACTTTTGCTTCCGGGTACAGTTCCATGAGCTCCGGGATGAAGAGGATGCCGGGGCAGTCTGTAATGCCGACGAAACCGGCCGTGATCTCACGTAGCAGGTACATCAGGCGGTGCTTGTTGGTACCGGTCTTGTGCAGGTCAACGAGCTTCTTCATGTATGCTGTTGACGTACAAATGCGACGAGGCGCAGCAATATTCAGCCCTTGTACTCCAGAGATTGAGAACGGAGCAGAGAAAAGCAACATGCGGACTCACCATCTTCGCGGCCGATCATCTGGGTGCCGCCGTGCATGACAGGGCCGTCGTAGAGCTTCTCAATGGCCAAGGAGATAGCGGTGGTGCCGGTGCGGCCATATCCGGCGCCAATGACCTGGAGCTTGCGCGAGCGGTCTCGCGGGACGGAGGGAGCGGCTCCCATGCTGTGAGGCAGAGCGCTGCCCTGGTGATGTGTGGTGGGATGCGACTTATACAAAGCTCGAAAGGCGGTCTTGCAGCAGAAGCAGCGGCAGGGTTGGTGTGCGCAGGGGGGTTGTCGTCATGTGAGGACTGCTTGGGAAGTTGCAATCCGGGCGAGATGTGTTGCAACCACTCTACGGCACTGGGATTGTATGCCAGGAAACCACAGCAACAGACTTGAGGGGCAGGCACGGAGGGGGAGGAACAATACGGAGGGCCCGCATCTTTATTTATGAGGCTGGCAACAAAGTGCCTGTACCTCGATGGACAAGCAGACGGGCAGCGCCAGAGCAAGGCAAAAGGCAGACAAGGGGTTCGCAGTCTTGGGCAGTGTTTGGGTGCAGCGGCTTTGTTGAGTGCTCGGCACGGACAAAGCAGGATGGATGCGCAAGTACCAGTCGTCGCAGGCTGGGCGCAGGCAGCTTAGTGTGTCGCCGTGACCTCCACTGCCCTCTTGGCCGCACGTCTTGGCTGTCGCAGCTCGGCTCTTGGGTCATTACTACGTGCTGGCCTGTCCGCGTACGCATGCCGCAGCGCGTGACAGGCGCACCCGCGGCCCAGAAAGGGTGGAGGAGAGCGAGCTGCCGACGGCCGCGATCAATGACACAGCCGGGTTTGGGTATGGCAGGGCAGGGGATGACGATGGATGGGCCCACAGCCTCACGAGCCGGCGAGTCGGGCACCGGGCGCGGCCGCGGATCAATCCCTGAGGTGCTGGACAGCACAAGGCATGTGTATGTGTGTCTGTGTCTGTGTCTGGCTCAGATCCAAAGGAAATGAGACGGCAAGACAAGACAAGACGGGGCGCAGTGCCTGAGCATGACGCGGCCTGGTGCTTGCTCGCCTGCCCGCGCTCGCCAGCCAACACACACAACACACAGTCTGACGGTGTGCACGATTGGGGCTGGATACGCATACCTACGCACCTAAGGTAAGGTACATAGCCATGCCGCCTCTCGTCGTCGTCGTCGCATAAGTCATTCGTGGGGCAGGACTGACAAATATTGACCAGTATTTGCAAAACGCCAAGCAGTCTGCCGACAGGGGCCCGGCTAGGACGGAACTGGACGGCATGGGTGGGTGTGCTCGCCAGACGTCACACCGAGCCGGGCCACCGCTCGCATTCATACCAAAATGGACATACGAGACGTGCAGAAGCAGGTACAGCACGTGTCGCCTGGCACGGGCGGTTGCAGGTCACAACTTAGGAGCACCGCAGTGTGAGCTCCTCTCGTTACGTGCTCAATGATCCACGGGATGCGCACCAAGGCCGTCCGGTCACTGACGCCGGCCCGCTTACTCACGCTGCCTAAGCCGGCCTTTCCACCGACCTGGCGACCACGCATGGTCAATCTTGAGCACCTCGGGAGCCCTTCGAATGGGTCTGAGACCCTTGGGTATGCGTACTTAAGCAGCGCTCGAGCTATGTCGAAGCTCTTCCACGAAAGTTGCTGAGAGATGGGGGGGGGGGTTGACTCCAACGTCACGGGCCTAATGATACCCACTCTGGCGACGACGACGATAACCAGAGCGCACCACCAGGGTCGGGCCTTGTCTCGGCACCACTTGCTCTTTGAGCGAATGGCAGAAGGTGCTCGGATTGACAAGGAGCCCACTCCATTGGAGGCTACCTTATGGTAATTAGGCTAGACAGCCGGCAGCGGTGGAACTCCACTGCTGGATGATGCGCAGTATTACAGTTGGTTCATTGCTGACTTCGTCCATGGCAGCACTCGGGGCCTGGCAGAGTTGCTCTTGGCACCCAGGTGAGGCGAGTGACAGAATAAATCGGACACTGGTGCAGATCCCTGGCGGTGTGGCGTCTTGCGTTCTTTTTGTCAACCCCCTCGCCAGGCCATGGCTGTTCCATCCCACAAAGGGCAAGTCTTGATGCTCCTCGTGCTTGGCATTCGCGGGCTGGCCTGACTTCAGGATCGACGGACGCTGCACCCTGGCTGGCTCCCTTTTTGTCAACCAACAACCGACAAGCAAGCCAACTGCAACGTTGGCAGTGGGGCGATTATTAACTCGGCAGATAAGAGACCCTTCCAGTGCACGGCTCAGAACGATTGATTGAATACATGCTGCACACAAAGTGTGACGATGCTGTCATCCCATGCCAGATATGAATATCTGCAATCTCTCTCGGGCACTTCCGCTTCGACCGTCCCCACCTCGCACTCCTCGCCGCTTCCTCGATCATTCTCCAGCCGACCCCGTCGATCCTCAGCGAATACACGGGGACATGATGCGGCCCCGGGCCCAAAAAATAGGCCCCTGGTTGTCACACCTCTTGCTCCACATACGCAAAACACAAGCAAAGCGCCAAGCTAGGTGTAGGACTGCGAAATGAGCCCCCGGTGCTGTGACTCTGGGACGGCAAGGTTCCACTACGATTTTCGTTTTCTCCATCATCGGTCACGATTTGTTCAGGAATCCCTCCGCTGGTGTTGACATGGTAAGGCTGCAGACTGGCACAGGTTGAAACCCAAAATAGACCAGTAGATCTTGCCGGATAGATGGAATCGATGCCAGCCAATCCAGGTTCTATTTGTGAGCAGAGGATATTCCATTTCTACTTAACGAGGCCAACTCTGTAGGATTTCCTCGGATAGCACATAAGATCAGCACATACACAATAAGCCGTGTTTCAGCACGCCTCGCATTGTGGGCACTGGCAAGTCAGGCTCTACAGAACGGAGACTTTCAGCCGGGTTTTTCTTACCGCAGCATTGTTCTAGGATTTATGACATCAACATCAACTGGAATTCAAACAACGCGTCAGGTTCGGCCGTATTACATGCATATCAATTACTATGGCCTTTTGGGAACACAGGCCCCCCTCTCCTGCGTGACATTCTTGGGACTACTGGATCCGCAAGTGGCGCAGCGGCCACAATAAGCACCGCTTCCCGGTGACGTTTCGTCTCAAATCCTTCCCAACCCCCGGCGAGCTCTATCTTTATAAGCTTATATTTCGCCAAAAACGCAGGGTTGGGACAGCTTCAAGTACCCGCCGCGGCGGCCACGGGCAAGCACGGGCGGCAGCAGCAGCAGGGTAGTAAAGTGGGCCATTGCAGCATTCCCCCGCGTCCCCTCCGTTTTTCGAGCTCTCTCTCCTTCTTTCTCTCTCTCTCACTCTAATCGCGCTGAGCCTTCGCACTCTACGCCTCTATTCGGGGGCCCAATCTCGACAAGTCTGATTGATTTATTAAACGACATTTCACTGGCTCCACAAGATCTCCCCCGAATTGTCTAATGATAGCTCTAGAACCGGTGGAAAGAGGAGGCGGGGTGTCCACATCACAGTATCGACTCGACGATGACGACGACAACCATGGGCGACAGTAGCTCAGACCTTCTGATTATTCCAAATCTCGCACTGCTAACCATATGGTAACAATTGAGTTGCTCCGAGGTGGCGTGCGTGCTCTGTCCCCTTGGCGGAATTAGCTTCTTTTTTTGTATGCCCAAGAGCCCAGATCTCATGGGCTCCCTTGAAGGGTTTGCCCAGTCGCACCGCGATGTGGCCCAGTTTTGAATTCTACCATGCACCGTGAATGATCATAGCCAAATGTATACACATGGAGATATACCTAGGTGTATATATCCCGAAAGCCCGTTTTCGGGACACGACACTACGCTTGCGTGAATAAAAAAAAACTATACATAATACACAACCAGGTGATTTTCGTGGCGCCACACGCCCCATACTCATGAAAGGGAAGAGGGTGTTTTGATACACTCAAGTGCCATATCAAAGTCTCCCGTGTCGCCGGCACGCTACATGCGGGCCCAACTATCGTGGCGAGGTCTCATGACCTCCTTCAACTCTTGTCACCGCTTGCTCTTGACAAAACGGCCGTTGCTTTCCTTTGAAAACCAAAGAGAAACAAGCCAGACGCAATCAGCCGGCATTTGCTTGCTTCATCAACGCGTCCACTTCGCGTTGCAGCGCGTCCAGGTCGGCCAGAATATCAGCTCCCTGGTTCTCCACCACACCAGTCGGGAGAGAATTCGCCGCGGCTAGTGTGGTACTGACCGGTGCTTCACCACCAGACTGTGAGTTGAGATCCTTGAGTGCCGGTCGTGTATGGCTCTCCATGCTCCCACGGCTGCTGCCTCTTTGCCGTGGCGGAGGCGGTGGTGGAGGGGCTATGAAACTGTCGCGATTGCCTGCTGGCCTGCGACCTCCAGCAGACACGTTACTCGCTTCCGACACTCTCTGACTGCTCAGTGGTCGCCGGACACTAGAGTTCCGAGCTGGAGGCGGGGGCGGAGCCGCAATTCTCGGCGTAGACTCTCTGCTCATTTCAGCCTGAAGTGGGCTGCCGGTCCCGTCCAAGTTTGCGCGGTCCTCCGGCGAGGGGCTGCCGAACTTCTGGCTCTCTGCAAAGATTCCCTGAGGGCTAATTGCACTAGGCTGGCTGACGTTGGAATAAGTACTATTTGATCGTCCATGATTTGGACGTCGTGGGGGAGGTGGAGCGGGGGCGAAGGCGCTCCCAGACCCAATGCCGGCACGAATACTCTCTGATCGAGACCGTGTAGAGTCCAGTGACGATCGAGGCGGATCTTCGTCGTTGTTCTTGGATTGTGATGGCACGACCTTGCTCTCACTTCGAGCGTGTCGCCTAGGAGGAGGGGCTTGGGGTGGAACGGCGGCTCTCTTCGACTGTGTGCTGCCCTGGGATTCAGATCGAGATCTTGTGATGGATGCCGCTGGTGAAATGGGCACTTTGTGGTCTTCGTTGAATGCCTCGGGGGTTTTGCCTGCAGCCTCCCGATCAAATGGCGACTCCCTTGCCTCGTCTTCAGAGCTCCGAGCCGGGGGAGGAGGCAAGGGCTTATTTACGTCAGAATCGGCAGCTTGTGGTTGCGATGGCTGCTGGTCGTCTGGCCTGCTAGATTCTTGTGCGTCGGGGGAACGGCTTTCTGCCCCAAGCTCTACTTTGATAAGCTTTCCATGTCTGGAGCTCGGGGGCGGCGGCTTTGGGCGAGCAGAACCGCTGCGTGAGGACACTGCAAAGCGCGAAGTCGGTATGGACGCAGCAGTCCTTTCAATGGTCTCGGGCTCCGATATATCGTGTGAGGTTCGAGGCGTGTCCAGCATCTGATCGAAGAGCGATTGGCGCGAGACTGAACTGGCATCTGTGCTACTGGCCGCGTCGTGCAGTCCACCGGTCCCGGTGATCGATTGGGAGTTCACAGCTGCATCTGCACCCCTCGGTGCAGGTGGTGAGTTCGACTGGCCTGTCAGCAGCAACCTCTTGAAGGAATGTACGTCCATAGCCCCCTTTGTCGGGCCCGCTGCAGCAGAGGTCCCATCGTCTCCATGCGCAGTCGGCTCCATGTCTTGCAGCGTCCTCGCAAATGGGTTCGCTGGTGGTCCGCTAGACGGAACAGCCGGTTTCGTCTGCTCTGCGACTTCAGACTTGGAATCTTTAGCGCCGAAAGGGTTCACGCGGTCGCCGTCATTGGCAGAACCATTGCTTTGCGCATCCTCATTATCTTCGTCATCGTAGCTATACTCGTCGGACTCGGACTTGGTCACCGGTACGACATCCTCTGGCGATGAGGGCGGGGGCGACTGTACGCGGACCTTCTTGACGATTTTCTTGGGTCTGCTCTGTAAGGTATCGTCGTCGGGCCCCAGCGAGTCGTTATCGGGTATGGACGGGCGGAAAGTTGTGAATGGTTGTCTTGGTATGGCCGATTGTGGCGTGCTATCGAGAGTAGCAAAGGCGTCGGATCGATAATCGTTTGGTATCTGAGTGTCGAGGCCTAAGCCAACGCCGGGAAATGGGTTGGACGGAGACGGCGAAGAGGGGTTGTTGCTGGTATCGTAGGCGAGCCCCTGGCTGGTGGCGGCCTTGCGGCGAAATGGGTTGCCCCCGTAGACGGTCTGGTCGGTGGCGGGCGCCATGCTTTGGAGGTGACTGTACGGTTCAGGAGAACAATGCGTTTGTCGGTCTTTTTCGACGCCGTCAGAGCGACGATTGCTGGAAAGTGCTCTCTTTATCGGAGGATTGGTGCCATGCTTAGGAGGCGGGAAAGCTGGCGCCTGCTGGTGGAGCAGCGCTGACGACGTGCTTGGCCTGCGCAGAGCTGGATGCAGCAGGCGGCAGCCTTTTCTCTGCAGTCGTTGCAGATGCGGTGGTTTTCGACCCTGGCAAGACAATCTCGGCGAGCCTAGTGAGATCAAGAAGCCTCGAGGGACTCGCTGGACGTCTGTGGCGCCCTTCGGATGAGGTGGATGGCCGTTGCTCAAGCTCAAGAGCTAGAGAGGGACGGGTGTAGCTGCGTTGAGTGCAGGTACGTAATGCTGGGGGGAGAGCCACCCCTCATCGTCCCTGTCCCGCTCCACGGATCCGCCGGCCGGCCACGCCTTGTGCCTCCGGACTTGCGCGATTCAGGGGGTTCCCGTCAGTCGCCAGCCAAAGGACAATACACTTGTCGTCCCAAAATCACAGACAAAACACATCAAACATGTCTACAATCTGACATTAATTCCTAAAGTGTCATCGCGCATGCACGAGCTTTTACAGGAGCGATTTTACGTGCACACATTTTGACACCGACAAGGTCCCGCGGACGGGATTATGCGTGACCGTGCTTCCATGTCTACAGAACGTAAGCTGCGTCGGCCACTGATATCATCATACCTTCAGTGTCATTAATCTGGATGGACTGCATTTGGTCCGTGTCAGATTCTGGAGGCTGTGTCGAAGTCATTGTGGTGCAGAGAGATTTCATTGACCTGGAATCGCAATTGTCAGCGAGCTGAAAGCGTATCGAGTGTGGAAATATGATGGGCAAGAGGCGAGGCCGGATGCGATCAGAAAGTAGAACGATATCAACACAGACAGAATGGTCATTCAGACAGGGATAACTGTAATGAATAAAGGTCTAACTCATCATGCAAGAAGGAGGGAAGGGAGTAGAGAGTGTGCGTAGGAAGGCGCTTACCGAGACAGGTCTGTTCAAAATATTCGACGCTCAGCAATGCAGATGCTGCACTGCACTTCGTGGCTTGAATAGAGGCACGAAGCTCCGCGAATAGTAGAGCAGAGGTGCACTCGAAAGTGTTTCCGGATGTCGTGTCGGAATTGGTCCATTTACTGGCATACGCCAGAAACCACGACGCGGACGCGCGTGAAGGCCATAATGCCAACTCATCTACGTTGCCCGACAGGGTGACGTGGGATCTCTGCTCCTGGGACAGAGCGCCACGCGCGCCATTACGGGCCCAGGACTCAAAGCAGGATTGCGGCTGAGCACAAGGCCAAGCCGTGCTTACCTAGCGGCAGAATATGGGAGAGATGAGGCCGACAAAGCGAATATTCTTGCCAAGCTGCATCCTGGCTTCTCTGTCAAGACTGATAAGCGTAGCAGCATTATGTGCGGCGACGATACTCTTTGTAGAGCCGTCGCCGATCGATCGAGGTCCCTCGTTGAGCTGAGTGACGCAAGAAGCGCATCTCAGGCACGCGAGCATCCGGCGCGCCGTTCCACGGATCGTGGACGAGCGTGCTCCGCGGTAATGCTACCGAAATTTGTTCACACAACAGACATGCTGAGGGTGGTACGAGGGCGACTCGCACGCTGATGGAGGCTCCTGGAGGTCAGGCTGAGGCGGAGGGTGCAAACATGACGCGCAGAGAGGACGAAGCCCGTCTGCGGTCGCGGTGAGAAAGGAGAGAAGAATGTGCGGAAAAGGTGGGCGCGACAAGATTTGCTCACAAAAGGCAGAGCGTGGTGTCGGTGGATCAGCCGCCGTCCAGGTTAGGTCTGGGACTGGGAAGGAGGCGGCCAGTGCTCAGCCTGGGGCGGGCCTGGCCTCCAGGGCTGGCTCCATGGACGCCGCGACGCGCTCTGCTCTGCACCACACTCGCCGGCACACAGCGCGGCTGCGACGGTGGGCCCAGCGTCGAGCGCACGCTGTTTTCAGAGCTGAATCGTAGTTGACGGGAAATGACCTCGAAAAGTCCGAAAAAACTCCTCTGGCATCCGAGTGACCGCTCAAGATGGCTGCGAAGTCTTCTCGAAACCTGGTGTTGGCAGTTGGGCGGTAGGGCGTGATCTTTGTGAAGCCTCAAAGGTGGGCGCAAAACACCACACCGCGCCCGGCGTGGTCTGGCTGAGATCCGTCACAACTCTGCCCCAGGGCCAGAAATGGTCTCGAAAAGAGGGCAGGATGACTATAGAACTGGCAGACCATCTTGTCCATCCTACCGAAATGCCATCACGAACGGGTTGTGGCTCCAGCAGGCTGCACATCAGGCTGCGGTGATGACTTCACGAGCATCACTTTCGCATGCCCATGTCTGGCAGGCAGTAGTCATTTTTGGGTTGTCACTGCCCCGAAAAGACATGCACCGCGCTGCGCACAAGCCGAGCATGCCGGTTTTTTTGTTTTTTAAGCTGCGCATCTATCGTCAATCGCGTTCATCTCGCCAGGTGTCCCTCGCAAACAAGCACCTCGCATCAATAGGCAAAACCTATCCAGCGAATCTCGGCGGCGCGCAGACATTGCGCATGGAGCGAGTTGCGCACTAGCTATATGTTGCATTTTTGGCTTGTACACCGCACGAGTCGCTCATTTACTCCCAAGAATCTCACATTATCGGCATCAAACAATGACACGCCATTCCTGCGACCATGCAAGCCATTCACGCAGCAAAGCCAGCGACGATGAGAAAGAGCGAGAAGACTGGAACGGTGACGGCGGGGGGCGGGGGGAGGAGGAGGATCGAGCAGGCGTGCGAGAACAGAGGACGTGGCGGGCACTTGGGGGAAAGGGTGCATGTGATGATCTGGCCCCATTGACGAGAGGATTGGCAAACGGCCAGCAGCGGGAGCTAGGCAGCGTCTGGGCGGGCGCATGATCTGATCAGAGTTGGAGGGCGAGCGAGCTGGGACAGATGGGAGGGCAGAAATGCACTCATCACCTGGGGGGGCCAGTGAAAATAGGGTGAGTTGTGAAGTTGCCCACTGGCCAATCAGAAAAATGCACGCCGACAAGTGCAACCAGAGCGGGGGTCTTTGTTGGAAAAGAGCGGGGCCACGCCAACACCGCAACTCGTGTGTGTGTGTGTTTATTTTAGACTTTCCAAGGTTGGGCAAGAGGGAGCAGCCCGGCCCAGCCCTGCCCTGCCTGCTTGCTTTCGTGCCATCCGGGAGGGGCGATCCGCAAGAGGAGAAGGGCAGCCAGCACTTGCATGGCAGATTTCATGCAGCCCCGAGGTGGCCGGTCACACACACCAACTTATCGCGCACGCCAGCACCGCCCGGACCCTGGGCGGGTGTGGTGCCTGCAGCACGATGCCCGTCTTGGGCAAGTCATGGGGTTCCAGTCTGCCAGAACGGACCAGCAGAGTTGCTCTGACTGGCCAGGCGCAATCACCCCGGGTCCTGGGCCGACCGGCAGACACATCGCGCGCGGGAATGCGCCCCCGCTGCCAAAATCACGTCCCGGGGCTGCGACAGTTGTCGGGCCTCGCTCGTGCAGTTCCACCACCCGGCCTGCTTCCCGGTCTCAGGGGAGATTGGACATGGAATTTGCCAGAGACACAGGATCGGCTCTGCAACCTCTTTGGTGACGGCCCGGACTGTACAATCGTCGCTGCTGTCGGAGGAAGGCGGCGCCAGACGTCACCTGATCTCTTCGATCTCAAGGGCGTTTCCTCGCCTACTCCTCGCTCGACTTGCACCATGATGAATCCACACGCATGATTCTTGGCTGAATCAGTGATCTTCCGTCGGCAGATCTTGTCGCGGAAGGAGGGTAGTGAACATGATCAGGGATCTCTTGGCTAGCTGAGACAAGACGAGCCATAAAGGCGCTTGGTGAAGATGGCACTACATGGCGTAAAATGCAATGGTCGTGACGGGGTCGCCTACAAGGGAAGCGTGTAACAACGAGCATGCGCTCACTTCGCAATCTATAATGACGACGATGGAACTACGGACAACCCCTGCGGAGATAGACTTTGACCAGGGCCATGAAGCAAAGCATTGACAAATGAAACACTGCTTGAAGAGAAGGGGGGAGAGGAAAAGAGAAGAGGAGGGGGGGCAAGAGTCGTGTGTGTGTGATTGCGGACGAGGAGGAGAGAGGTGGGCGGGTGCGGGAGGGTGAGCCTGCCCAGCAGTGCACCGCTCCTTACTGATTGCGCACAAGCCCCCGTCCTGTATATAAACGCGTGCGCCCACCCCCTCGCGCCCCGACCGACACACTCTCCCCTCCCGATTCTGTTTCTCGATCACGCTCTCAACTCTTCACGCCTCCAAATCAAAGACGCAGCTCTTCCAAGCCTTTTCGCAGTCATCCGACAGCAACTTCAATCACCCACCACCACCACATCCCCTCTTCCACAACCCGCCACCATGCCTCCCAAGAAGACCGAAGGTGCTGCCTCCAAGCCCAAGGCCAGCCATGCTTCCTACCAGGTATGCGACGCCCCAGTCACCACACTATGCATTCGCCAGAATCGCGACTAACAAGACTACAGGACATGATCACCGACGCCATTGTTGCTGTAAATAGCCCTGTCCCCATCGCCTCTGGCGCATCGCGTTGCATTGCCCCACGTCGCGGCCTTGTCCCACTGGCACGCATGCATCTCTTCCTAGACATTCACTAACGCAACATCTTGTGACACCAACAGCTCAAGGAGCGCAACGGATCCAGCCGTCAGCAGCTCAAGAAGTATGTCCGCGCCAACAACACCATCACTGTCTCGGACAACATGTTCGACTCCCTCTTCAACAAGGCCCTGAAGGCTGGTGTTGACAAGGGCACCTTCGAGCAGCCCAAGGGTAAGTCACACGCGCCTCTACTTGCATTCAACGAGTACTGACCCAGATTCCAGGACCTTCCGGTGGCACCAAGCTCTCCAAGAAGAAGAAGGAGGACACCGCCAAGGCCGCCAAGAAGGAGGCTGCTCCCAAGCCTGCTAAGAAGGAGGCCGCCCCCAAGAAGGCTGCTCCCAAGAAGGTCGCTGCCGCCAAGAAGGAGACCACTGAGAAGAAGCCGGCGGCGAAGAAGGCTGCCGCTCCCAAGAAGGAGACCAAGGCTGCCGCCCCCAAGAAGGCCGCTGCTAAGAAGGAAGCCCCCGCCGACAAGCCCCTCAAGAAGACCGCCACTGGCCGTGTCAGCAAGGCCAAGGCTCCTGCCGCCAAGAAGGCTGCTGCGCCAAAGAAGGCCGCTGCCACCAAGAAGGAGAAGGCTCCCAAGAAGGAGGCCAAGGCCGAGGCCGCGTAAAGCGCTCTCCAGTCCTCTGTGCTTTTCTGATTGATTGACATTCTTCACATCTCGGTTTCTTATGGCGGTCTACAGGCGTTCAGGGTATATCTGGGTTACAAGCGAATTCGCGGCGACGGTGGTTTCCGGTCGCAACACACAAAGAGGGACTGCTTTTTTCACAAAGGTCGGCTGGAATGGATATTTTACCCCGATGGATCTCCCCATGATTGTTTATATTCCCCCTCCATCGTCCATTCCTCGGCTCGAGAAGCATGGGTATCTTGTACAGGCGCACGCGCGGGCCAGGAGGGAAAGGGCACCGTCGAGAGGCGTAAATGGGGTGTCCTTGACGAAGTGATGAGTCTATTACATTGTAATATACCAATGAAAGAGCTCTGGTATTGATATGTCGAACCTGCCGGCTTCCTGCGCCCGTGACGGTGACGGTGACTGTCCCCTCTTGGAGTACAGGCGCGCACGCGTCAGAAATTGTTTTGATCCTGCGACAATCTTTTTTCCGAGTCGCGGTGCGCGCTCCGGGTCTGGGTCCGGAATGGGCGCGCAGGGATGGTGAGTCGCCCTGTGATGTTTACTCGCGTCCCAAAGCGGACGGACGTCACTCGACCCATGTGGGGAGCTCTTATCGCGGAGAGCCGGGGACTTGTCGATAGGAGCTCCATCTGTTATCGGGGTTCTCTTTGCGGGGCAGGTGGGCTTGTCAGCACCGCCTGGCGTGCTGATCGTCGAGCTTATGAGCCACTGTGTATATAGACTGTGCGTCACAACGCTCCGTACTGTATACATCATCAATGTCGACAGCGAGGTCCAAGGCCGCTTTTCGCACAATATACGCTGTAAATGTGTCCAAGCAATTTTTCTGGTACTTTGAGGCAACTAGCGGAGGCCCTGGGATGTTTTTTATGTTCCATACACGCCATTCACGGTGTCTGTGGTTTTTGTCAATTTTCATCATTTTCATCCCAATGTTTTGATCAAGATTCATATGTTAGAGTCCACACAAAGACAGAATCAAGACAAAGCCGGTGACCACAGTTTGGAATCAATCGAGTAAAATCACGTTGCTCCATGGACTGGCAACACACGAAATGAATAACCATTTCGCATAGCCTGTGTCATTTGCTGTGGTGGTTGAGCGACGATGTCGTCGCACCACACGGCGTCGACGCGTCATGCGCAGGCTCACCCGTGCGCGGACCACCAAACGCTTTCTCGCACCAGCAAGCCCCAGCAAGCGGGAAGACAGCTCCAGTGCTGCCTGGAGAAGAGCCCACGCGTGGCATCTCTCGAGTACCTGGAGGTTCCGAGAGGAAAAAGAAAAGAGAGTGAGCATGGGCACGATGATCACAATCGTGCCTGCAACCGCAACCGTGACCTGCTCCTCTGCCGCCTGGGGAGACGCACTGCCGGTTATTGGGCACGAGCATCCACGCGACAATATTGGGAAAGGGATGACACAGCAAGGTCATTGATTGTCAATGGTATCGCTGTGTCATACTGATGCTTTGCCCTCGTCAATCGCTCACAAGCTCGGGATGGCTGTGGCTCATCACCAGACCTCGAGCCCCGATTGCGGACGGCCGACCACCACCTCAGGGTCTGGGTTAGGCAAACATGGGTCGTGGTTCAAATATTCTTATGTCTTCACTTACAAAGAGCAAACGAATCGCTACAGTCAAACCAGCACCGTCGTCCTTACAACGGGAACATTGAGTCTTCCTGGCGCTGGCCCTGTCGGTGATGTGGTGTCAACAATGTCAATTCTGGTGCCAGAGCCGGCAGACAGCATACCATGGCTCCATACCTGGTATAAATCTCTGTGCTGAGATGTGTAGATATCTGCCCCTGGTGTGCGAGGTATACCGCACGAGGGCATCATCTCGTCTGCACATTGCTCAACTCGGATAGATATTTGCGTGACGTTGCTCGCCTTCAGAACCATGCTCCCCTGCAGCGTCCGCGTGCGCACTCGGCCGCCTGGATCAAGACCGTTGAGCCACCGACACAAGAGTGGACGTCGGAGGCTGTGTTGCTTATGCCTTGCCCACTGCCATGAAGTTGGCAGCGCTCGAGCAGGCGGCATGGTTGTTCACGTACATTGTCTCCAAGACGACTGAACAGCAAATGTACGCGAGCAGGATGCCATTTGGGCCACTCGATCTTTGATTTTACGGAGCTCTGTGTCTTTTCAACCACGTCACGGCCCAACGATATTTGCGGATCAGTGAGCTGAGTCCTCGAGAGGGAGGGGCAAGTCTTGCTATGAAGACCTCACCAGCAGCCCGGGCCGTTTCCCAAGACTGCTGCCAAAGCTGAAGTCATTGAAGATAGATAATGCATCAACAGGAGGAAATACATCACTGCATAGAGAGCAACCCAGCCCTCAGCCGACTCAAGAAATCAACACAGGAATCCCCACCTGCGCAGTGATTTGGAAAGAGACGAATGACCCCAGAGGGCAACTATGTCGACGTATCCGAAGCATTCGCGGGATTGCAGCCGAAAGACCAAGGTGCCGTGGAAGCCACGAGAGCGATTGGACAGCACAGCAAAGGAACGGGCGTGTTTGTTACATGTTGCGATGCTTATTATGAGTAATGCCCTCTTGCCCCGACGAATCTCCACACGACGGCTTGGACAGGCTGATGTTTTTCTTTTCCCTTTTTCCCGTGACGCGCAAAATGACTTCTGTATTGAACTATTTTCTCATCTGACGTGTGCGTCAGTCCTCCGCCTCGTGCCCAACAGAACGTGATTTGCACTTTTGGATACACACAGGGGAGCCTCGACGCAAACACCCGGCAACGTAGCAAAGCATCCCGCCTCGAACAAGAGCCGTGCCCTAGATCTCACACATCAGCACTAGGCGTGGAAGAAAAAGACCAAAAATAAAACCACAAAGGGATGTCCGCCCCTGTTTATTCAGATCCTGCCCATCGGTCACGTCTGAAGAGAGGTGAGCGCAGGAACTGAACCATGACTACGCTAGTCAGCATGAACGTACCCCCTCGAATGCTACCTCGTTATGGTTGTCAGAAGCAAGATAGAGCAGCGTCAACGAGGCGCATCAAACCGGGCACAGCACAAGAATGTGGCCCGTAAAGTTTCGATGCTTGAAGGATTCCCCGTCCACTGTCAGCTGGAGAACACTGCCGAGCTTCATTCGTGAGATGTACAGCCAAAGCTGTTGAGCCGAGCTACGAAGATGATCCAAGAAACTGGAAAAACTGTTCCTGAGATGGTCAAATCAGCTTGTCAGCCGATCAGCTGGCTAATCCGCACCCGTCGGGTGTCGTCGTGCCATATGTACACTGTACACACACACACACACACACACGTGTGAGCAGACTCCCAGCAACCTCTCTCAGCAAGCCTCTCAGACACCCGCCCCCCTAATACACACCTGCACACACATACACACATGCACACAATCTGTCCCGCCGACAAAGTAGCGCAGGACAGCACAACAGAGAAAGCGGGCGTTCAGCCCCTTCACAACTCTATGACCGAACCACAGCCAGCCTACAACCTAAGCTTATCATCATCATCAATTTTGCCCTGAGTCCCTACCGGGGGGGGGGGGGGTGTTTGTCTTGCGCGCGCGTGACTGGAATTTGATCAGCAACCAACTGACTAGCCCAGCCAAGCCAGGCCAAGCCAGGCCAAGCAAGCCAGCCAGCCACGGCTGATACATGCACACGGGATTTGAGCAAAGCAAAACACCCAAGGGCAAGAGAACACAGCAGCAGCAGCAACGCCCCTCGCATCGAGCGAGAGAGAGGATGGCCCTATTGCTCCGAGAACGGAAGAGGAGAGAGCGAGCGAGCGAGCAGAGAGAGATGAGGAAAGGGCAGAGAACAGCAGTCCTTGTGTCGAAGCCATGGGAGACCCCGTTCCCCCCGCGCCGTTTTCTGCTCAAATCATATTTCAGAAGATTGGTGCCGACAGTATCTCACCCGTCAGTGCCTGCGGGTAAACCCGATCTCTCTGCTTTCGAAGCATGACATAACATCACGACAAAAGCAGCCGTCCTGGTTTAGACGACGAGAAAACACAATCGATATCGTGAACTGACTTGTGCCTGGCGGCCGAGAGACAGAAAGAACGAGAGAGAGAGTGTGTGGAGGACTGCTCATAAAAGTCCAAAGCGCTTTCATCATCTGGCACAAGCCAGAGCGTCTGGCCTCGAAATACACATAACCCACCTTTGCCAAGCCCAACGAAAACCACATGAATTACACGCCGAGACAGCGGGCGGCAGAGTCGTCTGCTGGGGGAGGGGGGGAGATTCGCTCGGAGCTCTCTCCCATTCCGTCCGTTGGGCTGACTCGCCCAACAGCTGCAGCCCGCCAGGCTGGAACCAAACCCGTTCGCGGCGGCACATTTTGAAAAGTCTGGCCCGAAAGCCTCGACCCGCGAAAAAAGTCTAAAACTGCGTTGCGCGTGAGATGGGTGCGTGTGTGCCGTACATGGTATCATTTAGGTCGCCGTGGTGCCAAGTCGAACCACCCCGAAGTGGACATGTGCGTGCATGTGCATGTACAGCTAATATCACGTTGTTGTCGCAGCTTTCGTGAAGGCAGTGTGGCGAACCAGCAAGCTAAGAGCGCTTGATACCGCCACTGCACTAGCAAGTAATAGCCCGGGCTCACGGGAGTTCGACGTGCGGGGATAAATTACACGCGCATGAAACGGCCGGAGTTATGGAAGAAGCGGCGACAATCTCTCTCTCCCTCTCTCTCTCTCTTGCCTGTGTCGACGCCTTGGAAATGTGGCGGCCACCCTCATCTTAGAAGCTTGGGGCTAGGCCAGGACAACAGGTACAACGTGCCTGCTCGTTTCGCCTGCCCTCTTCACGGCCGACTGCATAAGTAGTAACGTCTCCTTGGGGTATATGAACATTTACTGTAGTTGGCACCATTTCACCCGGAAGAATGGTGACCCGGCGGGAATAAGAGGAGCATGACCAAATGACCAAATGCCGGGGAGAAAACGCCATCGTGTTGGTCACGAACTGACTAGCAGCGACTCGTCATCGCCGCTCGTCTCGGAAGAAGTCACGTGTCGTTTTCCGAAATCAGTCACAACGTTATCGTGTCCGGAACACTTGCCAATACAGGGTGTATGTGCCAAGCCACGTCAGGCATGTGCAATGAGCTCGACCTTGGGATGGTGCGAGGGCCGGACAAGGGGGGGGCGCAATGGGCATCTCAGCCCGGGAATAGTGACTAAAGAGTAACGAAAGTTGGCCTGTTTGGCAGGAGAGATGCCGACTTATCCAGAGGGCCTGTCTGCTGCCAGGATGGATCCCTGCGCGGCGCTGCAAACCAAGCCCGCAATGGAGCCACCGGGCCCAGGAGACCCAAAAAAAAAAGGGCGCGAACGGTGGTGTGCGGCTGACAGGCCATCGGTGGGCGGCGACCGTCTCACGCGCAGGGGCAGGGCCGATCAGCAAGCTCGCGCCGCGAGCCCGTAGCCGGCCAACCAGCCCAGCAGGAAAAAGCCAAGAACAATCAAGAAAGGGCCAAGCAATTGCCAAGCATTGGCTGACAGGGAGGAGGCCCCGCCCAGCCTGCGTGATGTGACTTATGCTTACCTCAAATGGGGAGGTTCGAGCGCGAGGCACCGCCCTTATCGTACGAGGGGGGGACGGGGCCCCCAGCCCAGAGGGCCTTCCCTGCCTCAGCTCAAGTCTGTCGTTTAAGCTTAAGCTTCTTTTCGGGCGTGCGTGGCCAGATGAGACCACTAGCTGCTCCGCCAATGGCACGTCACCCTCTCTCGCTGACTACGTTGACCGCCGCGCAAGCGTCCAGCTAAGGTTTTGGAGGCAACGAGCCAGCTGCTGCACGCTCGGATAGAACGGCTCTGTCGGGGCGTCGCTGCCGACGCCACCAGCTCGCGTGGCGCCCTCCGCTCGTCTCAGCGACAACAGGTGGTCCTGAGACATCTCCGCGGCGGCCAGCGATGCGTCCAGTCGTGAATTGCAGGCACCGACGACAGCACTCGCCAGTAAAGGACCTTGTTGTTGACTTTGCCAGACATCTGTCTCAGCGCGTTGGGCGGTCTGGCGCAGACATGTGGTGTCTTGGAATGTGCCGAAGCCCGGAAGTGGCCAAGCTGGGAACGTGGTGTCGCCTGTAGAGGTTGTTGTTGCTGCGCCTGTGTGCTCGTAAGGAAAGACAAGTGTCTGCTGTGGCCACACGACGTGTGGCGCAGGCTGACAGAGCTCTCTCACACACCACTTGCAACTTTTGAGGGCGACGGCCGCGAGTCTATCAACGATAGAGCGACACCTGTCGGAGCCTGCTCGAGAACCGCTTCCCATAAACCAATATTGCCTGTCTACCCGAGCAGGCTGGCCAGGGACATGAGCCACGGATGGCATTGATGATTAAATGCCGTTGACGCACGTAGAGAAGGGGTGTTGGCTGATGGGGTGGTCAGATGTGCGCCAGTGGCGAACTACGCCAGCCAATTACCGAGCCCGAGGCTCTGGGCTGCAATCGCGAGGTCTAAGACATTGGAAGTCAACTCTGTCGGTGCGAGACTCTGCATTGCAGACGCTTGTGCGGGCGATGTATTCCGAGCTGCGACACGAGCGCGAGGGACGACAGAACAGCTTTCAAGTCTTTTGTTGCGTGTCATGGTTGCTGAAAGCGCTGAAAGTATCTGAGGGGGCCGTGTCCTTGGTGATGGTGATTGACCAAGCGGCTGGAGATGCACAGGAAGGAAGCAGGCGCCCCAGAAGAAGAGAGGCGGTGACGAGTGCTTCTTGTCGCTCGGAAGGTGCGGCTGAGCAGGTATTATAATAGGAAAGTACGCTCGGATGTGCATACCTGTGTTTGCTTTGTCCGCAACGGCGAGGCTTCAAATGTTACCGAGCAGACTGGCAAAGATACGCTTACCTACGGCTGGTTCCTGCCCCACGGTCTCAGCCACGGAGTCTTGGGGAGGCGATGACGGAGCTGTTTGAGCCGTGGAATGCCTGCGAGACACGGACACGATGCGCCCAGCTGAAGAGCGACAAAACGTCGGCTGAAAGTTACAGAGGAGTGGCTGCGGCCGGTCGCGAGTGCACAAATAAGGACAATTACTTGGGGTAGGGGATGGGCAATGCTTGCTGATGGGAATGATGGGAATGATGGGTCGGTGTGGCGTGCGCGCGATGGTTTGCAGGCCTCTGCTGGGCTCTTGGCAGCCCACCTGACGCTTAAATTCATGCTTAAATGACTGGAGAGAGACCCTCGTGGCTGCCAAGGCGCCAAGCCTGCCGGCTGCCACCTCGACGGGCTTGGCGGTGCACGGCTTGTCCATCATCAATGTCAATCTCTGATGATGCTGATGCACCCCAGCAAGCAAACACCACAAGGGCAGCCGGGTAAAAAGGGGACGGCCCAAGCACCTGGACGAGCTCTGCCTGCGGTCTCTGCGACAGTCGCGTGGATGGCCGAGGACAACTGTCCAGTTGACCTCTCCAGGCAAGCAGTCCGTCAGCCCGGGTTGGGGAGCACCTGCGCCTGCGCCGTAGGGATGCAGTCCTCGCAAAGCTTATTGGCAACCACCGCACCGGGCAGGCGTGTCAATCACATGTGTACGCACCAGCTACGTACGTACGCTAAGTACTCATCTCCAGGACGCCTGCCTGTGCCAGTCCATTCTCTGTATCCTCCTGTACGGCAATTGTGTGCCGAGCCAGAAAGCCAAGTCCCGACGCCGAATATGCGACAGGGCACGCAATGACTCCTCCAAAGCCAGCGTCCCCTTCTCATTCGCTCGAGCACACAACCATGCATCCCTGGCTCCGGACGGGTGGTTCCCTCCGGCCAGCCCCAGGCACGACCGCTCACGAACACAATGTGTGAGGACAACGTTTCAAGCAGGAGCGGCGACTGCTCTCGCAGGAGTGCCCTGGCCTGGCCTGGCCTATCGTCTTCGCCTCCTTCCGTCTTCGTTCGAGGTGGCCTCCAGCCTCCAGACTCGTCCAGGGTCCCCTTCCACGGCGACCAACACGATCCGCCAGATATCGGATCTGAAAGCATCCATGTGCCGGCCGTGGAGTACGTACGTCGACAGACCGCGCGCCAAGGCCGCGCAAGCTTCCCCTTGAGAGCAATATCCGAATCCCCATGAGCATGGGGTCGTGCTGCCTCCAGGGGCGCAGCTCCGTGTCAGAGCACCCCGTCTGCACTCGTCACCAAACCTTAATTATCGCTCCGAGTCCGGCCCCATGACAACGACAATAGAAAAGTCGTTGTCGACGACGACGACGACGACGACGACGACGACGACGACGACGACGACGACGACGACGACACTTGACAGGTGCGGACGGGGCCTCCTGTGCAATCCCGCGTGCGACAAGAGAAACGACCGAGGGCGGGCCGTTTCAGGGTAACGTTTAGTGAGTGACCTGAACCCCACCGTACTGCACCACATGTTGCATCACCAGCGCGTCCTGGTGGTGCCGTCTTATCCTGCCCTGCTTATTGATCATTCTGGTTCTTGCCTTGCTGAAGACACTATTTGCCGACAGCCCGTAGTCAGAGTGCCGGCAGGAGTTAAAACCGCAGTCCATACGTGACACGGCATGCTGGCCGGGCCTTGCGAGCGGTTGCTGGATGACGTTATGTTGGCTGGCACACGAGCATAAACAAGGTTTGGCCCAATAAATGAGTGGGCAGAAGGGAGCAACGGCGCCTGAGCTTTGCTGGGGACGGACCCCTCGCTTGCGCCTTGGCTTTTTTCTGCTGCCGGAGATTTGCGCAAATAGGCTCGCCTTGCACAAGCAAGCTCCATTAAAGATTAAGCAAAGGCGGACCAAGGCATAATCAGGCGCTGATCATCTGGGGCTCGGGCGAGCCAAGAGGGGCGCGCCCAGGGGATGGTGTGGGTGGCCGGAGCCGTCCTAGCCGGCCCTGCCTTGCGTGGGACTCTCTTCCTACCAGAGGTATGCTGGTCTGTCGCTTTGACTATTGACAGCATACGCTTTAGTATGCGACGGCATTGGACTGCTTGCTGAACCGGGCTGGAAGAACGGCACAAAAGACAGCGGACAGGAACCGCCAGCGTGCCCTGGCAGCCTCCTCCCATGCCTGCAGATTACGCCAGCCAAGAATCCAGGTACTTGGGGACCCGTCTCCAGCCCAGACAGCCTCCGCCGGGATTGCGAGGCGCATCGTAAGCAGCACGGCTGGAACGGCTCGGACGGCGGCACGAGCATGCCGCCGGCTTGGAGCTGGTGCAAGCCCTGAGCGCGCAGGGCATATTAGCAGTGCTCCGGCGCTCGCCTGAGCCGACGCTGGTGAGGGATGCAAGGGCTTGCGTAATGGGCTATGGGCAACGTCAGCCCACTAAGAATAACCGTGGGGGAAAAGGGTGTGGCACCAAGTAAGACGACAACGACGGCGCAACCTGGTTGCCAACGAGAGAGAGAGGGCGGGATTAGAGGCATCGGCAGGAGCAGGCGCAGGAGCAGCAAGCGGTGGATGGCTAGCGACAACCTTAATTGGCGAGTCCAGACAGGTCTTTCTTTGTGCGGGTGCACTCTGGGGTTTTTTGCCTTTGCCTTTGCGGCGGCGGCGGCGGCGGGCGAGCGAGTGAGCGAGGAAGGCTGGCTGGCTGGGTGGCCGGCTGACGGGCCAAGCTGGCGACTGGCTTGGCTCTGGCTGGGCTGGCTCGAGGGGGGGCAGCTGGGCACTTGGCGGCCATGCCGCATTGGGGGCACGGGGTGTGGCCACGCCCTGGCGCCCCCTGCGGACTGACAAAATAAGCTTGAAATCCATCGCGAAGCTTGTCTGTGGCCTTTATCTCGTGCCTCGTGTGTTGCCGCGTTCCGGGCCCCTCTGGCTGCTGCTCGTCTTGGGGCCTGCCCGCCAAGCCGCCCCCAGTGGGACGCCGCCGCCGCTTCCTCCACCTGCCCAAGCCTTGGCCGCGACTTTGCGCTTTCTCTGCCCTTCATCCACCGGGCACCGTAGTGGGTGGTACCGTAGTACATCCATGCATGCATGCACGCATGCTCCTCTACATAGTACTTACACCCGCTCCCCTGCTCCTTCCCTCTGCCCACTGCCGCTCCCGCTGCTGCTTCCTTCCTCCTTCCATCCCTTCCACACACCTCCGCCAACCTCGTCCATCACCACTCGGCCACTTCACATCCTCACCGACCTCACAGCAACACACCTGGGTCTCCTCCTGTCACGCCGCCTCGACTCTCGATCCCACCAAATACCACCACCAACCCGCACCAACGCCACTGGGCTTGACCGTCGTGTGTATCCCGGTCACCATCTTCGTCGTCCCTACGCTCGAAGCTCATATCCTACGACAAGAATTTGGACAACACTGCTCCTTCACAAAAAGCCGGGCGGGTCTGCCTGTGAATTTGAATTTCGCACTGGTTTACCCCCCTTCCCCTGGAGAGGAGCATTGGCAGGTGCCCATAGCGGCAAGGACCAAACTTTGAAAACGCACTGGCTCGACACTTTGACGTTCGCGAGTCGCCACTTGATTACCAGACACAGTCGCAGCCACATTTGATTTGACTGCCCTTGGCCTGCTCACATAGTCCTTCTTGCCCTGTGCAGAAGCCTAGCAGTCCTGGCACACTCTTCTCAGCGCAGGCGAGATCCTCAAAGCTTGCCAAGCCCTCCTTCTTTGCCGCATGCCTCACCTCTTTTAGACGTGAGGTGGATCGGCGCAACGTCTCGGACAGACCTGTTTCTGTGAGACACCGCACACTACACCACGACGCCAACAGAGGCCAGCCGTCTTACGACTGGCATCCAGCACCACACAATGGAGACATATCACGGCTACGTACGGACACCGTCCGACGCGATCAAGCTCTTCGAAGCCTGCCGCTTGGGATTATTACCTCGCGTGCAGCGACGATTGTCAGAGAAGGAGAGACAATCGATCAGATCTGGATCCGTATTTGTATGGGACGAGCGGGAAGCGGGCATGCGGAGATGGACCGATGGCAAGTCGTGGAGTGCCAGCAGAGTCTCCGGCAGCTTCCTGACATATAGGGAAATGGAGGGCAAACGTGGTGCCGGCTTCACCAGCAACCGGCGGAGCAACGGCCGCACACCCGAGAGTGGACGCGTTAGCGACGAGGATCCAGAGGGCGAGCCGGAAGGTTACCGATACAAGGTGGACGGGCTTATGAAGCAGTCCTTCAGCATCACGACTTCCCAGGGCCAGCACCTCCACCTCATTTCGTACTACTCGAGGCCACACCCCGGTGCACCAGATTTGCCGCAGCCCAATACGGATCCCCAGCTGCGACACATTATCCCCGCCAAGGGCATGTACCCCGAATCAAGTCTCCATGACGCCAACCCGCCGGCGTTGACGAGAGGGCCAATGCAGTCTTACAACAACAGCCCTCCAGAGCCTGCAGCGTACGCATATGGCTGGGGCCCGCCTCCCCCGTGGGCTCCTGGTGCGTGGCCACCTTCACCAAATGAGCCACCGCACTGGATGCATGACAGGCACACTCCTGAGATGGCAAAAGCTCACCATGTGCATTACCACCAACGGGGTGCCCCGATGGCGCCTCGCCCGCTTCTGCATATTCCGCCGCCCGGATCGCAGCTACCACCTCCGCTGTCAGGTGCGCACGGCGGCCAGCCTCCGTTCCACCAGATGAAGCCGCTCTACCCATATGAGCACGAGCGCCACGAGCGCCTTCCGCCACCCTCGACCATGGCGCACTACCAGCACCTGCCACCGGCTACCGCGCCTCCACCGAGCATGTCTCCCCGAGCATACCACTTGCAATCGCAAGCCGCCCAGGCAGCCATGGTCGATCCGATTGCGCCTATAGCCACGAGCGCACGCAACCCGCAAGGCCCGCTTCCGGCCATGTCCGCAGCTGGTCGTGGTTTGACGCCGCCTCGAACACACTCAGCATCACCGTCCCCGAGGGTCACGTTGCCCGAGCTCAACTATGGCAACAAGAAAGCCAGCCTTGCCTCGTTACTACACCCAACTCCGGCTAATTCGGAGCCGGGCAGCGCCCACTCGGCGAGCATCAACAGTGCAAACAATTCTCCTCGGGCAAAGGCCACCGGTGCGCCGAGTGGTCTCGCAACTGGCAATGACATGTCGAGGGAAGATGCGAAGGCGCTGCGGTCGCTCGATCGCAAGTTTCTGCTGATATGATGACAAAAAGAAAGCCTGCAATCATGACCATTGTAGTCTTTGCATGCGCGTACGAAGAGATGGATCGCGTCAGCACACGGCGCTGGGATATTCTGCCCTTGTTTGTCACGTTTTGTTGCATTTTTGGCGTTCCTGGTTCAGGGTTTTTTCCATGTTGGCTCCTGGTCCACGAGGCCGTGCATTTACCTGGGCGTACCTGATGCGCGCACGACGCGCCACGCATTTCTGTTTTACACAAGTTCTTGTCTATACTTCTTTATCTGTTCTTCTCAACGTGGATATCACAATTGGGACATCAATCACAGTTCCGGACTGAGATATCAGTTCATCACCATCACTGTTCGCTCCCGTGCTCTGTGCATGTCCTTTACTACCATCCGTTGCTCGTGAATCACAGGAGCCAGTCACGGTGATATGTCCTAGGACCTCCAAACCTAACCGCCGCAACCTCATCACCTCACCACCGTCACGCGCCTGCGTCAGTACCCACGTCCTCCTTACTTACCAGGCTGCCCAGCCTGGCCAGCGGGCAGTCTTGATGTTCCCACCTACCCCCCAATCTCTTTAGGGGAAAGGCTTCACGTACAATGTTATTCCTCGAAAAACCCCCGAGGGGCAAGAGAAAGCGCGCTCTCAATTTCCCCTTTCAATCGCCCACTTCCCCCCGCCAGTATGCGCTGTTGTTCTATGCGTACATATCGCACATTCCCCGTTTCGTCCCCATCCCGGCGGCGCACGAAGCCCCGTGCCGGAGCCCACGAGTCACCGCCACTGCTGCTGCTGCACTGCTGGCCTCTGCAGTAGTAGGCATCATCGTCAACAAGGGTAGTTCAAAGTACCTAGTCAGATAAAAAGAGGATGTGTTCAACATCATGCGTGGAATTGAGGAGGCAAAGCGCGATACTGCTCAAATGCAGCGGTACGGATCGATAGGCGGCAGGACACCGTGATTGAGGCATGCAAGCCAGCAAGCAAGCAGGAGGAGCAGTGCATTCATGATGGGCCCCCTTCGTGTGTGTGCTGGATGCTAGACAGCTTCGGCGGAGGACAAAGATGCGCGGGGAGTAGCGATGATAGTCAGAGCGAAAACAGCTCAAGAGTGGATGTCTATTGTGCAACTCCCAGGGCATATGGGTCTAGTCTAGTGTACATTGTATAGGTGTCCATGCCTATGTCCCCCCCTTTTTTTCTTTTGGCCTACTCGTGTATGGTGGTGAGACGTGGGGATGGTACATGTTTTTACATCCAGGACTTGTACAAAATGTTGCGGAGATTTGTGAGCTTGTTCCTCAAGCCAGCGTGTGTCGTGTTCCGCGTGTCGTGCGTCGTAAATCGTGCATGAGAGGGGATGGAGCGGGTGAGAGCGAGAGTCGCTTTGCAATATATCGGTGAGAAGCTTGGGGCAGGCAATCGCCCAGCCAAGACGGTGAATCTTCGTGACGGAAGGCTACGAATGACTTGCAAAATCGCGTGAAGGGTGCAACCCGGAGGGAATGAGGTAGATGATGGTAAAGCTGATTGTACAGCAGGGAGGACGGCAATCGACAGCTTGTCCCCTATGTCTCAACATCGGCGACATCGGCGACATCAGCGACGAAGGCGATCATGGACCAGCCACGATGCTGAGCTACCCTGGCCTGTTTCTCTACAAACGTGCGTATTGGGTCTGCGTTCTCCATGAGACACGACCATTACTCAAGCCTGTGAATTGACGCCGAGCAGCTCATCCCAATGTGCAGATAAAGTGACGGGGTTGAATTCGCCCAGACGGGACAAATCAGAGACATCAAGGGTTTCGCCGGGCCCGTTCCTGAGTACTCGAGTCTCTTAGCAAGACCGGATTCGATGACCTCCATGCTTCCATGTCCAAGTGACTGGTCAAGTTGTGCGACCCTGACCACGCGGGCCGAGCGGGTGTGTGGTTGTCATAATTGAGCAATCAAGCTTTTGTACTACCCAACGAGCAGGCACCCATCAGCGACCAACAGCGATGAGCAGGAAAGCAGGAATGAGGCCATGAGACAAAATCCCATGCCGTCATGATATACTTGAAAATCGCAACGTCTTGTCCCGCACAGCACGGGTGTGCTTGTCCAAAGGAAGTCAGCAGCATGTCTGGCTTGCGTCAATACTGTCTCGTCGTCCGGGCTGATGAGTGAACGCCCCAAACTTTCAATGTTCCAAGCCCACGTTGCGCTATTGATTTGTTTGTACGTCATACTCCATTGCGGTGAGTGACTTGGCTGCAAGTGATATCGTCGTAACAAACATAGTTGTAGTTGAACCCTCGGATTGAGCGCTGGTGGTCGCCGTGGAAGTCAGAGAGGTGACTGCTCCCCAAGAAATCCCGCATGTTCTTGCAGATGCAGAATCCGCCCCCACCGTCGCGTGCGTAACGGGGCGGTTCCTACAGCGGGAGTGTCTCAGTCAACACTAGGGAATTTCACAGTGATGAGGGTTGCCGAGACATGATGATACCGCTCCACGATCTCCCTGGCACCCCTGCCGCCCCGATCGCAGTGAGATCTGAATCAATTGCTGCAGGCTGGTTGCACAGAAGGAAAACCAGCCCAAAGGGTCTTTGCAGCCGTCCAAGGGTTTCCGCATCGAGTAACGCTGGACGAGCGACACAAGAACCGGGATCACAATGCCAGAAGCAGCAGGGACCCCGAGGCTCAAGTTCTCAAGCCATGCCCTGCCCTTCCACCAAGACCAGCCTCAATGGTTCTTAACAGTCGCATCGGCCGTACCAGCGTGGAAACGCGGTCGTGTCGCGGATCGTCTGAACGCCCGTCAGATAGCAGAGCAACCTGTCGAACCCTAGGCCAAAGCCACCGTGCGGGGCACAACCCCAACGGCGAAGGTCTAGGTACCAGTCGAGGTTGTTGACGTCCCCATTGCTGTTGTTGGGCTTGATCTCGTCGTCTATGAGGGCAGCTCCCGAGACTCCCGTAGGCATGCCTCTCGCTTCCATGGCATGAACCAGCTCGTCGAACCGGTGCTCGCGCATGGAGCCTCCGGCAATCTCGCAAAAGTCGGGTACCAGCAAGTCGAAGCACTCGACAGTCTGCCGAGATGTCATTGCCTCACCACCAGCCGAATCAGAGGTCCCGTCGGCGACCTTCATGTAGAATGCCTTGATGTCTCTTGGGTAGTTTGTGACAAACACTGGCGTGTTCCCGTTGCCGAGGTTTGCAGCTATCCATTTCTCATGCTCCGTTGACAGATCTGTGCCCCAGACAGGCTCGCGTTCAAATTTCACATCATGCTCTGTCGTAGCGTTCTTGAGTAGCTCGATGGCTCGAGCATAAGTGATGCGCGGCCACGCAGAAGGAGACCGCAGCCCTTCCCAGCGTCGCAGCACTTCTCCAGCAGGCGCTAAGTCGGGCGACCTTCCTTGTTCCCTGGTGATTTCCTCAAAAGTTGGGAGCTCCGATAAGTCCGCTGCGACGTGTCTGAGCATGTCTTCGACAAGCTGCATCACAGCGCTCATGTCCTCGGTGAAATTCAATTCTGCCTCGAGCATGTAGAACTCGCTCAGATGTCTCGGCGTGTCGCTGTGCTCGGCCCGAAACGTTGGCGACAGCGTCCACACGTGGCCCAGGGACTGTGCAAGAGCCTCGAGGTGGAGCTGCCCAGAGACGGTCGAGTACACAGGACGGCGGAAGAAGGATGCTTCTTTGGTGTCATCGCCGCCGCTGTTGCCTCCTTGCTCACTGGACCCGGCAGTCACGTGGAAAACCTCGCCCGCGCCCTCGCAGTCGGCAGAAGTGAAGACGGGCGTCTGGGTCTGCACGAATTGGCGGCTGTCAAAGAAGCGCGTGAGTGAGGATATCAGCTGTGACCGGAACCGCAGGACGACGGCATTGAACGGTATCCTTGGCCGCATATGCGGAATCGTCCTAAGGTACTCGAGCGTCTGATACTTCTTCTGGACAGGGAACGACTAGAGGAGGTTCACATCTTAGCACGAGAAGAGCTCTCTGTATCAAAGGTTGCACAAATGTGCCGCTCATCCACAGCTATTTGGAGCTTACCCTCGCGTCCGATGGTCCCAGGACATCAGCCTTAGTGACCTGTAACTCGTGGCTCTGGCCACGCCCTGGTGACGGACTCCATGACCCTTGGAGACGTACGGCGGCACCTATTGTGAGCCTGTCCTCCAGGAAAGCAGAGATGGTTGACGCATCAGCTACCGGACTTTTTGATAATTGTATATATGCGCATGACACATGGGCCTTGGGACTCACCCCTCCGCAAGGTCGGCCGGGACCACGGCCTGGAGCGGATCAAGCGATGAGCCATCTCCCAGAGCCACGAAGCTGTGCCGCTTCTGCGAGCGAACCGACCTGACGAAGCCCTCGACACGCACGTCAGGAATCTCGCCGGCCTCCTTGTCTTGCAGGAGCGCCGCAACGGGTCTGGAGAGAGCCAGGGCTCGCGCCGTCGTCGAGATGTGGGCGGACCGGGCCGGCTTAGGCGTGCGTGCGTGCGGCGAGGCAAAGAAGCCAGAGGACAGGCAGGGTCTCGCCACTGGGCGGACGAGGAGCCGGGAGCGCAGGGGATTTGCCACGGCGGCCATGGTGCGTGTGCTGGCTGCTGGACTGCTGGCGATGCTGGCGTTGAGGCGGCGCGTGCAGGGCCGGCATCAGGATGCAAGGTTCTGGATCGAGGCTTCCGCCTGGGTTGGTGGCCCGGTGGTCGCACGGGCTCCAGGGCTGGTGCAAGTGGGTGCAAGTGGGCAGCGGGTCGCGCTGCCGGAGCACCACCCACTCACTCACTCCCTGTAGCCGCACTGCACTGGCTGACTGACTGACCGACCACTTGCAGTGAATGAGTGGGGGGTGCTCTGTCGTGCCTCGTGAAGGCCTCGTCCCAAAGTTCCAAGGCTACTTGCTCAAGTGGACTGCCCAGCCCAGCCCAGCCCACCACCCCGACTGGAGGAAAGAAATCCGCGCGCTGCCTGGGCAAGGGTCCAGAGGTGGACCGCAGCATGCGCCGCACATGCATCGCCCGTGGGCCCTTCCATCCATCCATGGCTCGATGGCCCCTCGTCTCGAGGCCTCGGCCAATCCCAACCACACCCAATATACAGAGTACGTAAAGCACCTAACGTATGTTTGACCACCGCTACAGCCAAATGCTGCTTGGTTCACACCCCAGAGCCAGCGCGCTGGGCCGTCCTGCCCTGCCCTGCGTTGGTCATTTTCCGTGACGCAACTGCCCTCTCCCTCGTGTTCCCGCCTGTCCCTGCTCTCCCCTACGTTAGTGTAGGTACGCTAAGTACTTCAAGTACTTCAAGTACGTTACGTACTGACGCTGATCCGGCACTCAGCCACGCCGCGAGTTTCTATCTGAAACAACCTGCTCGACGCGAAACTCTCGGTTGGCTCCATTCGCCCGCCCATGGCCGTCCTCCTTGTCGATGTCGTGAATGCAGCTTCGAGTCCCGATCCATCCAACAGGCGGCAGCAATGGGCTCGGTCGTTGCCTCCCGGTCTCGTGCTTGGGTCGAGACTCAGGTGGCCACAGGAGCTACATGGGTCCAGCCTCGCTCTCATGTCGTTGTCCACAACCTAGACTCTTTATTCCCGGCAGCCCGTAGTCGTCCAGGGTTCCCCGTGATGTTGCGCCGCCTCGAATTCCACCCGCAATGACATGCCGTTTCCACACCACAATCTGTCTCTCTCTGTCTCTCTCTCCTTTCTGCTCAGCAAGTGTCCGCACAGCGCGCAGCCGACTCCGCGGCAATCTCGACCTCTTGAGACTAGCAGGGCCGGAGGAGACTGCCCGCGCTTCCACGACGCATGCCAGGGCGTTGATGGACATGGTACGTTGTTTCGACCTATCGGCAACTCGCCACGCTTCCCCGCCAATGACTTGCGTCGTCTCTATCTTGGCCATCATGCTATCCATCAGCAGCACCCTTACGCAACCAACCCTAGAGGCCAGCCTCTCAAGTGTCAGTGACTCCGGCGGAGAGGAATGTCACCCCCCCGTTCCACAATACTGCCCTGTTCCCTGAGCTCACATACAGAGAGGCCTGGCTTCCCAGGAGGCTCTCCTCTGGCTATCGGCATCTGCATAAGCGGCTCGGCTGGGTCTGTCTTTGTGGCTTGCATCGCTCGCCCCGGCCAAGTCGCCCCTGCCTTTGTTCCTTGGGCCTGCCCTCGGTCGTGACTAGGTAATCCATGGAGGGACGTCCTTCCCTCCCCGTGCATGGATACTCTCTGTTCCTCGATTCTGCAGGCAGTGGGCACACATGTGAGATCTGCCAGACGCCGGTTATCTGCATGCCTTCCATGGAAACCCACCCGCCTGGATCTTGTACCACGGAGGCGGACAGATATGTCTGATGGCACTTTTGCCTCTGTGAGGTTGTCCCGGCTGTCTCTGGGTTCCTGGCGGCCAAGCCGAGTCTTCTTACCAGGAGGTGTTTGTGAGGTACAGACTCAGGGAGCCACTCTCCAAGACATGCTAGGTCTGAGAGGAATAAAACGACTGGGTCTTTCTCCATATAAACCGGTGTGACAGGCGAGGCGCATCCTACCCTCGGCCGAAAACTCTGGCTTTCTTGTCCTGGCGGGGTTGCATTTCTCTCTGTAAGTGCATGCAAGTGCACGTCTGCTGTCTGCCTCTAGAACTTGCTATAAGTTCTTGGCTTGCACCTTGGATGGCTGCGAATGACGGGGCCGTCCGGACTCAACTAGAACCCCCCTTCGACTGTCCCCAGCCTTCCGCCCGACCAAGCTTGCTTGTGCCGCCAAAGTGGTGCACTCTGTCAGCCTGTGCCGCCTCGCCAAGAGCTTACACAGGAAGCCCGTCTGGAGATGCCACCGTCGAAACCAAAACCGTCAGAGGTTGCAGCCGAAACGAAAAGGCGATACATACCATACCTCCGAGAGTATTACACCCACTGGCCAACGCATTCTTACTTGGTCTCGCAGCCGCTGGCAGATCTCCCTTGGACGACCAGCCCCGGCCAGATTGAATTGACCCCTCCCGAATTCCGTAAGTAGAGAATCGCTGTAATGCTTGCAGCAAGTTGGGGCCAACCTCCATAACGCTGACGCACGATAGACATATGCCAAGGTGACCCAGTGGACTTCATCTTCAATTGGCTGGACCATGTCCATGTTCCTCTGGGAATCCCCTTCATCTGCACCGCCAACGACAAGAGACCTGGAGGTGACTGGGAGACGGGTGTGGTACGTGTCACCTTGAACACGCCTCCCGAGATTCGAGCCGATGCAAGCCTCAGTATTGTCTGAGCTCCATCATCATGACAGCCTTGAAGGAAAGCAAGCTGATCAACCTGGATTGCTTAGGTTGGCTATGAAGAACGGCTATGCCGGCGAAGTAACTTGTCGGCGACACTAGCAACCCCAGTCGCTGGCACACGGCCGTCCAACTACCCGATACCTTCGTGTGGTGCAATATATTCCAAAAATGTGATCGTCTTCCGCGGCCCACACGAAAACTACAAGGAGAAGGACGAGGCGGAGTGGCGCGCGCTTCCCGTCATCTCTGTCCCTGCTGTGCGCTGGCCAAAGCTCAGCCACATGGGCACCACGTATGCGTTCGAGGTTGAAAAGGAATTGATGCGGGACAAGATCCGCGGTGCGTTGCGACTGTGCAACTGGGAAAACCACGACTACGCCGTAATTGCGGACTTTGGGCTGGGCAACAGCCACCGCAACCCGCCGTTGGAGCTTGCCGAGTTGTGGCGAGACATTTTCCTGTACGACCCAGACATCAGAGGCCACTTCAAGCACGTGGCCTTTGTGTTTGAAGACGTGTCCCAGAGCACTTCCCAGCTCATCATTGACGACTTGTCGAAGAAAAGCAAGACGGGCGGGTCAAGTTCGAGGAGCAAGTCCAAGGCGACTCATGAAAGCACCAGCACTGGTGGAGCTTCGAACAGTGGCACCGTATGTCCAACGGACTTTGAGATCTTCCAACAAGTTTTCGACCCGGGGCAGGTTAGGGCTGTACTGACTCGCCCAGACCCCCGGTACGGCATCTCGATGCTTACTTCATGACTGGCACTTAATCCCAGCACGCCTGCACATCGGCGAGGCCTGTCGGCAAGGAGCTCCGAAGCTGTGGCTCCGCCTGCGCCAGGCTGCGCATAATACCTTTGTTGAAACCGATCTGCCCAGAACAGCTTAGTCGAGGGCATGGGACAGCTACTGTCGAGCCATGGGGCCGATACGCTGAGGTTGGGAAACGGCCTGAACTTGATTCACTTGGAAGGTGTCCTGCCTCGTTTGGGAATTGCCAGATGGTCCCAGAAGACATTTTCGGCGAGTTGGACCGAAATCGGAGCAGGAAATGGGCAACTACACGACGTGTTTCGTGAAGGAGTGGCGTCGTCTTTAGTGTGCCCGTGGTTGAGTCTTGAAACCGTCACAGCTCTTCCATTTCGCGATCAAGACTGTGAGGGGGAGACTTGTGGTGTCATTGGTCATGATGCGAGGCCGGGAGGTCTTGGTTGACAATGCCAGCCAGAACTTTTGTATGGCAAGTAGCTGCTGTAATGCCGAGATCCCAAGATGGTGCGACGAGGCCGACCGGGGAGGTCTCAGGCGTACATGATAAACCCAAATAGCGGGCACGAGCTGCGAGGCTTGTATACACGTAGACTAGTGCTTGAACTGCCTGAACCCCTGAAGACCCTGGCGGTTCATGATGTGACGGGAATCGAGATTGTGATGGATGCAGGGTCAGTGCCTGCAGCAGCAGGTCAGCCCACCCCGGGCGAAGAAAGGTCATGCGTGGTGTAGCATGCAGAAAGCTGGACAGTGGGGTGCAGCACGACCGCCTGGGCCATAGGCACTCGAGACGCATGCTCTCTGCGTGGCCAAGAGGAGCAGGCAGGGCTGCCGAGGGCGTCGTGTTCGGATAATCGAAGCATGACCTCTCAAGAGGGAGGGAGGGAGGGAAGCAGAGCCAGCGAGCGCCTGAGGCACGCGTGCCGTGCCACGTCTGCCGCGTCCACTCGGAAGGCGCGATCCGCCCAGGGCAAGCCCCGTAATGGTCCCCGAACCGGATTGACTGATTGCACTAATTAAGGTAGGTGAGGCGATCTCGAGCCGGCCAGCTTCAGTCCTCGCCGTTCTCACCATCCACAATAATTACCAAACAACGTCATGCGGCCCGCCTCGGCCCCTCCACGTCACATTGATCTGCACGGCGCGTGGCTGAACTGTCCAAACCCAGTCAACTGGCACCGCCCTGCGAACCGGGCCCCAGCCCCAGCCTCCTCGTCTCCCGACTGGACACGACGCCGCAACTGCCCAGCTTGGGCATCTGTCACCATCTTGAACCGGAGGCCGCTCCTGGACCACGCTGACGTTGCATCGAGGTGGATACAACAGACTAGGCATGATTTGTGGAGGCGCGAGACTAGTCGAGCCATCCATCCGCCGCCCCACACTATCACAAATCGCTTCATGTACATCCAGCTCCTGTCTCGCAAGCGCATCGGTCCGAGATGTCGGCCCCATACCGGCTCGATGGGCACGCCAGCCACAGCATACACCAACTAAACCACTCTCAACCTGTGCATGACTCGACATCCTAATTATGCTGTTGACTATTTACAGCAGTCCACGGCCAGCTGGGCTGGCTGGCCATCGCCTAGCCGAGCGAATGCTTCGATCGGCTTCGGCACGGCTCTGATCGCACCCCATGAGAAGCACATAGTGTACCTCAGAAGTCTCCAGCTTGGCCCAGTGCATAGTGCTGTTGGCAATGCAATGCCTGCTGCCGATGTCGATGCCTAGTGCTGCCGGCCCGTGTGCACGACAATACGTAGCAAGGCTCCGCCGGCTTTGCTCGCTGCCCAGTCCAGACACCTACCTGATGAGACAGGCATGCACGTCCCAGGCGCTACTCTGCCATGATCAGACGTGGTTTGCGGCAGAGCTCGTCACAACATTGGTCCATGAGTCGATCAGCCCAATGCCACCTCCACTAATTTCGGGTGCGACTCTTCAACCATTCGAAGGCATGGGCTGCGCCCCCGTTTCACCCACACTCCCTTCAGCGGGAAAGTGTTCACAACACAAGTGGTCAAATCTCCCCCAAGACGTTGCCGATGGCGCACAAGTTAGCGGATCGTTCGCTGCACAGATTCGCGCTTTTGTCAACCCGCTGCTATGGTTGGTTGCGTAGCGCCATTGGAGGAGATTCCGCCTTCCGACTATAATCGCCCGAGCCTTCCTCACTGTGCTTTCCACCATCACCACGACGATCATGACGCAACACAGCGGACTTCGGCTGGCGTGCTGATGTTGAAGTTATGCTTCTGTAATGATCTCGAGTCCGTGGTCCTGAGGCGCTTCAAAAACGCAACAGCTTTATCACATCACCCGAAAGCTGGCGACCGTGCTTTAGAAGACAAGGCGACCCTACTACCTCGGTAGCCTTGCGGCGATGAACAGGGACTACAGGCTAAAGCGAGCTGGTGATCCTGGCCCTAGCCTGATAATCATGGGTTTGTCGCGTGCTGCTTAGTACCCTACGTACAAGTGAGTCCCTATTCGTGAGCATACCGACCGATTTTTCCTTTCAGAGCAGTAATGTTATCGAATGAGGTGCTAGCCGATGGCATCATACATCGAGATGGCAATGCTCTGTTCAGTGTCTTTGATGAGAGACTAATGCATTGCGCGGATATGATGCCTGCGCTCCAGCATATCTCGGGTCGTCACCATCTCAGTCATCCCCTATTTCTTGCATGACCTCCGAGCGTCCGTGCACACTTACAACTACTGCGAGCTGTCAAGCTAGACTTTCGATCACTTGCATTGTGTCCCGGACTTGGCACCTCGGCTGGGCTGCGCTCATTGTCAGCTGTGTTGAGAACGTACTCACCAGCTACCATCTCTTATTCACAATACCCGCTGTATTCGCACCCGCAACGGAACCTCACCACCTCTGCCGATCTGCTTGCACCAGTTTGGTGCGACGACCTCTAGGTAATTCATTTCTCAGGTTGGTCCCTTATGTACTGACTATACAAGCCGCCACGCACGTGCTACTTAAATTTCGCGGACGATGAATCCTGGCCGTGTCTCAGAGCACGGGCGAATTCTCGTGATTTAACCTTCGGGAAAGGTTTAGCGGGGGGCGGCACACCCACCACAATGGCAAGCTCCCGACCACTACTGTGCTCACTCCATTTGACTCCCGCGCCTGTTGAGAAATTCTCCGAAGCCCCCAATAGTCCTAGCTTAAGTGGGGAGAGAGACTAAGGATATTGGGGGGGGGGGGGTTTAACACCAAGGCCAGCGTAGCCCCAATCAAACAACGCCCAAAGTGATCACGCTGGCTCCTGTGAACGGCATAGCTTGGAGTAGTGGTGCGCCGCGCGTGTGTGCCTTTCTTCCTCTGCAATCCGCGCGCCCGAACCAGCGTTTTCTGTGCTCGAGTCAGTTCGGGTCTTGGCCGGCAAACCGAAACACCTTGGCTCGCTTTGATTGTTCTGAGCAGCGTAGCTTCGCACAACGACCATCGGATTGAGCACGGGGGGCACTTTTGTGACTGTGGCTCTGTGCATATACTTCTCTTGACACATTGCGAAGTCACGCAGCGTGTGTGGTCTGGGCTCTAGGTGTTGAGCGCCACCTGTCGGGGGGAACATGGACGTGGCACTACATACTTGGTACGGACTGTGTGTGACATTACAGCATAGCCTGCTCATTTTGGGGTGGGGGTATTCTCTCTTTTTGCTCCTCTTCTACTGTTGTTACTCCTGCTATGCACATGAATATCGCTTATACCGTCAAGTTCGCATCGTTTTCTGTTTTCCTCAAGCTGGATGTCTGCCACCACCTAAATCTGACGACTGAGTGTTTCGCCGAGCGAAGAAATGAACAACTCGGTTCTAGTAGAACTGAGGACGGAAGCCAGAGAAGCCTGGTATTGAGCTGCTGTCGCTTTCCGACTTGCCCCGGGATCCAGCAAGCTGCAAGAAATTGGTTGATTTGTTAGCAAAGTGCCACAAAATGGCGGTGAAAATGTCAACAGCACAGAACACTGAGGGATGGGCCCCGGCTTCAGAAGGAACTAGAGTCATGACTTACCTCGAGTTGCACGCCCTTGTGGATGTGCACGAGCCAGTCGACGTAGCTCTGCGCCTCGTTGTTGCGATCCTCGTACAGCATGCGTGCAAACTCGTACTCGGCGCCGTCCATACCCTGTCGCGCAAGCTGCAGCGACAGCGCCTTGGATCCGCGCAGCGTCTTGAGGAACTCGACAATGTTGCGCACCTGGGCGTTTAGGTGGGTCTCGAGCACTGGCAGCGTCGAACTGTATGGATCGAGCTTGCCCAGGCTATCCTTGTCGTCGCCAAAGAGGTCAATAAGCAGATTTGGCGAGGTTTGCGCGTGCAGCCACAGGAGGCACTGTTGGCCATTGTCGATGAGATACACGCCGCCAGGCTCCACTCTACTGAAGGATGTGCGGATGGCCGGGGGCATCTTGAGATGACCCGTCTCCGCGTCGGCAAAGCCCTCTTCGGGAGCGAGGTTGTGAAGCGAGATCATCCTCGGGTAGGCATAGAGACTGAGCTCCAGAGCGCCCATGGACCGAATCATGCGCATCTCGTGCACGCGGCGGTCTGAAGTCTCGCTACCGCCCTTGAAAGCACGCCCCTTTTGCAGACCGAGCATGTACATTGAGAACTCCTTGAGCTTCTCGGGCATGACGAGTTGTCCCGGCGGGTGGTTCTGTGCAGAGAAGTTCTTGCGATAAGCGGCCAGGATGTCGATCGTCCTTTCTGTCAGGCCAAGACGAATATCCCTGAGAGACGAGCTCGATGAAGCCAGCTTGGTGGCGGCTTCCTTAGCAAGGATTGTGTAAACTGCATCCTGGTCGATGAACTTCATGCAGTCCCTCGCGTTGTCGCTGACGCTAGCTATCACGTTGCAGCATCGCACTCTTCGCTGTCCAGAGGCTGTAGTGTAGAGGAGCGCAGCCTGGAAGTGGGCGTCGAGCTTGGAGTCAAGCTTGCCATCATGGCTGAATGTCACGCCGACAGCCTTATCCGCGTCAATCACGCCAATCTCTAAATCGGCACCGAACGTGTGTTGTATGAAGTTTCCGTGGTATCCCGAAATCTGCAGACCATTCGAACACCGGACCTTCATTAGTGCTTGGTAGCCTGTCTCCCTCGTTACCGTGTGCTTGATCTCGAGAGACAGCTTTGTGTTGTCTCTGCCAGCTACAAAATTTGGGTAGTAGAATGTCTCTCCACCAGTCTGGGCAGAAACATGACCTGAAGAAGGTTAGCCGATAGTAGGCTGCACATGAGGAAGCTCAGCTTACCGATAGTCGCAATGTCCAAGTAGCCACCCGATGGGGCCGCCATGAAGAAGTCAGCACCGACGCCCGCTGCCACCATCTGCTCAGACAGTTTCTTCCAGGCGGGATGCTCGGTGGTGAACAACTTCTTGTCTGGCTCGCCGCCTTGGTACTTGCCATCATCGCGCAGAAAGAGCCTGCCCGGGCCCCAGGTCGGTAGAGCAGACACGGAGGCAACAATCTTGCCGCCAGTTTTCTCCAATGCAGCCAAACAAGAGCTCAGGGCGGGATAGAGAGCAGGCTCCGGGTTCTTGATGTCGGCAAAGAGCGTAGGAAGACGAGCGAGAAGAGACGTGATGACAGCTCTTGATTCGTATGGATCCACAAACAACCCGTCGCTCAAGGGGACGAATGGATCCTCAATATCAGGCATGATCATCATCTGAGCTTGCTCGAGAGCGGACTGAAGGAGGCGTTAGTAATACTCGGGTGCGATTTTAGTCTCGGAGGAGCACATACGTTGCAGTTGTAGAAGTGAATGTCCTTGTCATATGTGACAAAACCAACTTTAGCCCCTGGTGGGAGGCGGCGTCTCGGCTCTCCATTCTCGTCCTCTTCTTGACCCTCTGGAGCATATAGAGCAGAAAGCACGCCCTCGCAGAAAGCCTCCAAGAAGCCTTTGTTGTAAGACTCCTGGGTCACGTCGATCGCGAATAGCCAGTGCAAACCTGTAGGCTCTTTCGTCCAGTACTCCTTAGGGACGGTGAACTCAACGGTGCCCCGAGACAGCTCTGGTCTTTGGTCTCTGTCGACCCGCACTCCCTGAGGGGTGGTGGCGCAAAAGTATTCAGAAGGTGTGTCGTTCGGATATGTGCAGAGGTTGCAGACGAATTTGCCGCCACCAGAACGGAACATCATGAAAGGGTTGATGTAAGCCCGGCATCTCCGGCAGCGTGGCGGCCCTTGGTCCCCAAAGTCCAGAACCGGAATTTCCGCCTCGCCTGGCTGCAGTGGTGCAAGTGGCTGGAGCAGCAGACCTAGAGGCAGCCCGGTGCTATTCAGCCCTTCCGAGGTGGCAGGAATGTTGTTCATGGTCAGGCGAGTGTATTTTGGCGACGAATTGCCCTGGTCGTATGCGACGAACGACACAGTGGCTGGGGGAGGTACATGGCGCTCAAAGGTGGGATAGACATTGCTGAGGTAGTACTGCTGAGGTGCGTCTCGAGAAATGGGAACACTGGGGATGTCGTCGGCCGACACTTGACCTCCAGGACCACCAGCAGCGGGCACAAAAGCTGGCGATTGTGCTTGTTCGGGCTGGCCGCTCCTCGCGGCGAACTCAGCCGCGGTCGCAGGGACGGCAGGGTTGAACGGCGCATTCACCGCTGCTGGGAACTGGCTGTGCATGCCTGGCTGAGGAGACCCGACCTCGGCATTCAGGTAGGGAGTCGCAGGTATGCCCGCGGGCGGCATGCCATTGAAGGCTTGTGAGCTCCCAGCAGGTGCCTCGACTGTGTGGTATGCGTGCCTGTCCTTCTTCTTCTTGCGCAGTGTGGAGTGGCCATCGCCCAAGCTCATGCCAGCCATCTGGCCAGCCAGCCCGTTGTCTCCCATCTGCGGTGGCGCCTGGGCCTGTGGAGGCAGAAACCCCGGGGCTCCTGCAGGTGAAGGGCTACCATAGTATTGCTGGCCTGCCTGCGGAGGAGCTGGCACACCGTAGCCGGGCTGGTAGGGGTTTTGAGCGACTGGCGGCTGGAACTGCTGAGGTGCTGGCTGGGTGTTGCGATTGGGGTCGTTGGGATCGTATTGCTCGCCTTGCCCGAGGGCATGGTACATGGAGTAGTCGGCCATGTCGGATAGGCAAACTGGCGCGAAGGTTCAGTGCCTGATAGTATGGTTGGATGGAGACTCGTGATATTCGTGACAGCGACCTGGAGGGCGCCAGATCAGGGTGCGGGGAGGGGAAGGTCCGAAAGGGCGAGCTGGACGACAGTGAGAGAGAAAGACAGCAGAGGATTTCAGGGGTTCAGCCAAGTGGCCATCACGATATTGTCGCAAGTGCAGCCGGCCGGCAGCTTGGTGTTGATGTCTGGCGGACAATGTTCAGCCTGGAGAGGGGCCTTTGGGGAGCTAGAGCTTCCCATACCTGTGGTGCGTGGGCCCAAACTGGCCACGGTTTTGACAACTTTGGGACGATCAACTGTCGCGTCAAAGCTGGTGGAGTCCACCCCACTACTACAATGTATCTGCAGTTCCTTAGCACATGCAAATGCCACGACTTACTCGTCAAGAGAGCTGTTCTGGAGCTACTGCTCGATTCTTTCAGAATTGGACCATTATGATGTCCATGTCAATATCGAATCAGCAGCAAGTGGGCTCTGGAATTCTGGCTCACAAGGCAATAAATGGAGAGAATCTACAGCGATCTGGTTCACACTACACACATGGTAGAAACCCATGCTGGCTATTGCTGCCAAGATTTAACGTGATACACTTCATAATGGACCTGCATGTTGTAATGCATTGGATAATTGCCCTTGGGCCGGTCAATCTGGAGAGATCAATGTTTATATCACACATCAAAGTCTCCAGAAATCTCGTTGCTGGCCTGGTGCGGAGGTGAACGATTCGAGTGCCGCGCGCTAGGCCAATCAAATCGACAGGGGAGGGTCCAGCCAAACCGCCAACGCTGGGGGACGCGCTAGGTTCCAGCGTCACTGTCTTCACACAACCTCAATTCGCAGCGGCGACGACGACGACAACGGTTGGCCCAAACCACTGACATACAGGCGCCCTCACCGACCAGCCCAGCTCCTGACGAACTTCCCTGCGAGTAACCGGATCTCGCCATGAGCATGGCGCTCTCATGACGCAGCAATGTTCACCTACACGCCTTTGCAAGGCGCGCTGTCCGACTCGACTGCGTCGCAATCTATCCTGGAGCTTGATGGAGGCATAAAAGTCCTCGTCGATGTCGGCTGGGACGATTCATTTGATGTCGAAAAGCTCAAGGAACTCGAAAAGTGCGTCATTCCGGCTCGGGCAGTTTTGATTGCCGTGTCGGGGTTTTAAGGGACCTCGGCGGCGATTCTATTCCAAGAGACAAGATGATGTAGAGCAACGGCTCGTTGCTGAGCCAGTCATGAAGACTAGACATGCTGACATCAAGGGCGCTTGATAGACAGGTCTCGACATTATCACTCATCCTGTTGACGCATGCCACGACCGAGCACCTGGCCGCCTACGCCCATTGCTGCAAACACTTCCCGCTGTTTACGCGCATTCCCGTCTACGCGACAACACCAGTAATTGCGCTGGGCCGGACGCTCCTTCAGGACCTCTATTCGTCGAGCCCAGCGGCTGCAACTACAATCCCCAAGAACACCCTAGATGGTGCGTCAGATTACGAGTCGCAACAAATCACAACATCGGCAAACATACTACGACAGCCGCCAACCTACGACGAAATCTCGACATACTTCTCCCTCATCCACCCGCTGAAATATTCGCAGCCGCATCAGCCTCTGGGATCTCCATTCTCACCACCACTCAATGGGTTGACCATCACAGCGTACAACTCTGGCCACACCCTCGGAGGAACCATTTGGCACATTCAACATGGATTGGAGTCGATAGTCCATGCCGTGGACTGGCATCAGGGACGTGAGAATGTTTATGCTGGAGCTGCCTGGCTCGGTGGAGCTGGAGGAGGAGGCGCACAAGTCATCGAGCAGCTACGAAAGCCGACCGCGCTTGTTTGTAGTAGCCGAGGTGGAGAGAAACCTTCTGTTGCTGGCGGCCGTGTTAAGAGAGACGAGCTGCTGCTAGAGAAGATCAAGGACTGTGTCGCCCACGGCGGCACGGTGCTCATCCCCACTGATTCCAGCGCCAGAATGCTGGAGCTGGCATATCTTCTAGAGCATGCTTGGCGAGCCGATTCGCAGAGCCAGGACGGCAACCTGAGATCTGCGAAATTGTATCTGGCAAGCCGCAGCGTGCACAGCACAATGAGATATGTGCGCAGCATGCTTGAGTGGATGGACGACAGTATCGTTCGCGAATTTGAGGCAGTAGCGGACACCATCAAGAAACCCGGAGGATCAGGCCAGACGAAGGGGGCAGGTCCGTTTGACTTCAAGTTTATGAGGCTGTTGGACCGCAAAGGCCAAATCGACAAGATTCTGCAACCTCCATCTGACGACCAGATGAGCGTCGGGCGTGTCATTCTGGCAAGCGATTCGAGCCTGGAATGGGGTTTTTCGAACCAAGTCCTCAGACAGATTGCGTCGAACCCACTCAATCTTGTCATTTTGACGGAAGAGCCGCCATTGGCATCCAAGAGTCGACCGTCCACTGCCAGAATGCTGTGGTCTTGGCTGAGCGAAAAGCGCCAAGCGGGCTCAGAAGAGAAGCTTGACCCAGCAGGGCGTGAGCTTGAAATACGCCTGGCGCAGAAAGAACCTCTCGAGGGCCCCGACCTTGCGAATTACCAACAGTGGCTCGCGCAACAGCGTCAGCTGCAAACAACCCTGCAAGTTGGCGGCACTGCCGCACTAGAGGCTGCGGGCGACGTTGCCGATGATGTTTCCGATTCCTCGTCTGACTCCGAGGATGACGACGACGAACAGCAAGGCAAGGCGCTCAACGCGGCGACGACACTGGCGCAGGCCAGTCGCAAGAAAGCGGCGCTCACGGACGAGGATCTGGGCATCAATATCCTGCTCAAGAAGAAAGGTGTCTACGACTTTGACGTGCGGAATAAGAAGGGCAGAGACCGCATGTTCCCGCACGCCATCCGCAAGAAACGAGCGGACGACTATGGAGAATTGATCCGCCCCGAAGATTTTCTGAGAGCTGAGGAGCGAGCTGAAGCGGATGCAGCAGAGGCGGAAATGATCAGCAAGAGCGCCGAGCAAGACGGCTTTGGGAAGAAACGCAAATGGGACGACAGTACCGCGAAGGGCAAGAATAACGGCCAGACTGGCCAGAAGAGGCCACAACTAAAGCGTAGGGGCTCTGACGATGCAGATGGTGGCCAGGCAGAGGAGGCAGTCCAAGATGAGCTCGATGAGGTGCCCGAGGATGAGGACGAATCCGCCAACAGTCCGTCCAAGCTCGTCGTAACCATCGACAAAATGCAGATCCACATGCAGATCGACTTTGTCGATTTCAGTGGCATACATGACAAGCGCAGCTTGCACATGCTTTTGCCTCTAATCCAGCCCCGGAAGTTGATTCTAACCAGCGGCGGTGAAGACGAAACCCTGAAACTCGCATCCGCCGTCAAGCAGCTGTTTGCTGAGGACTCGATCGACATCTATACACCGACAATGGGCACGTCGATCGATGCCAGTGTCGACACCCACGCATGGGTTGTCAAGCTTGCACCAGCACTGGTCAAGCAATTGAGGTGGCAGAATGTCCGCGGCTTGAGCATTGCTACAGTGACTGGCCGACTGCTGTCACTCGCAAAGGCTGACCAGAAGGAGGAGGATGAGGCAGCCAAAAAGCGCCTGAAGACCGAAGATGCCATGGACGAGAGCGCTGATCAACCTGAAAGCGTCGCGGTGGAGCCAACTCTTGACGTCGTGCCCAGCAACATGGCATCTGCGGCACGTTCGCATGCGCAACCCTTGCACGTTGGCGACCTCCGTCTTGCCGATCTCCGGAAGGCAATGCAGCAAGCTGGACACACGGCAGAGTTCAGGGGTGAAGGCACACTGCTTGTAGACGGGTCAGTGGTTGTCAGGAAGACCACGACTGGCCGCATCAACGTGGAGAGCATTGGGTTGCCGACCGACGGTGGTCCCGCGACACAGTTTGGCGGCACATTCTACGCAGTCAAGAAATCCATCTACGAGAGTCTGGCTGTCGTCGCCGGCGCCTAAGACGAGGTGGCAAGGCACCGCCGGGTATGCACTAGGATAATGAAGCCGTTGTTGCAAGCATTATGTGTCTTGACTCGATTTCGCCAAGCCTCCTCTTGAGCGTCAACTTCTTCAGTCGTTTCAATCTATTCTTGTGTGTCCAAACGCTACGAGTCGTAGAAGTGAATGTGCATCGAGTGTCTGTCTCCACGGTCGTACTTGGGAATCTTTCACTGACTAGCAATGGCTCTGATCATGGGCTTCTTGAGTTAGCACATGCACGTGACAAGTGATTCATGGATGTTCAAGCACTGATGTATTTATGCTCATGCAGGGCTACTAGAGTCGAGATTGCCGGCTGGTGAGATGCTCAAGGCTGATTGCGCCAAAGTCCTGTGAGCAGCCTCGCGCCTTCCTCATGAATGCTCTTTCTCTGTGCCGTCTTGCATCGAACGTACCCTGATCAGGATCAACTCACTCTGCGGTCCTCCCATCACTGCCAGCTTCGTCGGAGTCGGCCACCACCAGCAGACACGCACGCACATTTCCCTGCCTCGCTCAGCACTGGACTTCTGCTGAACGACGAGCTCAACCAACCGCTCACTGCAGTTGCACTCGACAGCAGATCGACTTGCAACCGTTCCTGTCGACGGCGAGCTTCGCCATTCAATCATCACATCATCAGGAGTTCCAAGCCCAACCCCGAAAAGAACTTCACACCCGGCTCACACTCGCGGCTGGTTCATACACCTTGGCGAGAACAAGGCGACACTGAGCTAGACTGCACAGGACGACCAAGAGCGAGAAGAATCTTGCCACCCGAAGCACTGTGATCGCATAGACCCTGGTACATTGCGCCCTGATACTGCGACCATTGCCGCCGTCAAGAAGTCACAAGGTCACGAAGTCAAAACAAGCAGCGCCAGTGGGTAGATAACAACAACAAATATCCAAAAGCAGTTGCTCCCACCATTTCAGCGTTTACTTGGCGAAATGCCTCAGCGCGGCGACAGAGCCATACAGCAGGGCCCGGTGCAACCCGAAGGCAAAGTGCTCAAGGCTAGCCCGTCTGGCGGGCTCCACCGATTTCAGCAGCTACCAGACGAGCTCAAGGTCATGATCTGGAAGGAGGCACTTCCACGAGACAACATACAGTATATTTCAATCGACCTCGATGAGGAGAAGAACTCCGATCCGCGGCAACAGAGTCAAACCCTGACTACCATGACTGCCACACTCGCGGAGTTGAAGAAGTCGACATGGTGGCACAGACATAATATTAGCCGAGTCAATCGTCTTGCCAACGGAGTTGTGAAATCACTCCCTCGGCGCAGTCTACTCTGCAGGTCGGCGGCTTTCCCCAAGAAGGGGAAGGCTGGTGGCATTATCCAAGCGGTCGACATCGGCCTTGCGAGTGAGGTGGTCTGCATCCACTTTACCGGGCCGAATCCTATGGGCATCTTCGAGGGGCTGTTGGTGCAGCACACCATCATGAGACCTCTGCAGAAGCTGAGAAGGCTCGCCATCGACCTAGACAACCTTTCTGGGCGAGGTCTCAACAAAAAGCAGAGGGACTGGTTTGACAACCCATTGGTGTGCATCTGCAACCAGGGCTGGCAACATACAACCAAGGCTTTCTGCCCTCGAGTGCTCCGCTATTGGCTGCTGGATTTACGCGGTCTCCAGACTTTTTACGTCATGTGCAGACTGGCCCAACTGAAAGATCTGGACAAGGAGTACGTGAAGGTGCTTAAAGAGGCGGGCGGCTCGGAAGTGCCTCTCCCCGCACAGAACAATGCCAGGAGCAAGAGTGGAAACTCTAAACGGGCTCCGATGAGGAGGAAGCCAAATGCTCGAGAGATGCTATTGGGCGTAATGAAACGATTCAAAGGTACGTGTATAGGCCATGGGGTCTCGTATATCAAGTACGACCTGCTAACCGTATTACCGCATTTTCAATAGAGACAGCCAAGAGGGAGCGACTTGAAGTATACGAGGACGCCCAAACTGCTTACTACGAAGTGCGTGAGCAAGACAGCGAACCCCTTGCCATCCATCGAGACATCTGGCCCTTACTGAGAGAAACGTGGATGGAGGGCGAACCGGATGAGGTGAAACATTTCCGCCGTGTGTCGTACAAGCTGCTTGTGGGCTGCGGCCTGAAAACTCGGGCCTGAAAGCAGGGAGGTAAGGTCAACGGAGGTCGGTCATATTTTGGTCACAGGAGCACAAAGCCACTTCCTAGCGTGCCAGCAGGCAAGTTCGTGCTGTTCCAGAGTCTCAGTCAATGGTTTAAAGCGAGATGTGGTTCAGATGGCAGAAGTGCTCGTCGTGCAATGCATAGCAGACAGATGCCCAGAACATGGAAGGCGTGAAGATGAAGGCGTGAAGAAAGAATCCGGGACTAGCGGTCAAGACTAAGCCTTGCTACCGCCCAGCTATCCCGTTTGAGCTCCATATCAATAGGAAGTCTCCAGTCCCTAACCTGTGCCCATTTGACACATCCGCGGACTTTATACGCTTTGGGGACACAGGCGACACACAGCACGACTTTTCAATACGATGCGTCAGAGTCCTTATTCAGAATATTCTACTTTTTATCTTCACGCTCTTTTTTATTTTGCATGAACCAGCCCAGACTGGTGATACTCAGACGGACAAGGTGCAAGCTGACATGCCAATGTACGTTCTTCAGCTACGGTAGAGACCAGGGACACTCAGTGGCTACCTTTATGGTAACTGGCTGGCGCCATCCCGGGCGGCATAGGGGCGAGGACACCCTGCAGATTGAAAGAAACTAGACTGTATCCAAGTGGGCAAGACTGACTTGCTGCTGGCCAGGAACATGATGCTGCGAATTGGGCAATTGTCAATTGGTGTCTTGTCCTGACTGCCTCAGCACTCTTGGGTGGTGGTGGCGCGCCCCCGTTCACTCAGTGCTGGGCTGCTTGCCGAATCAGGACGCGGCCGATACCGGCAGCCAATTGGGCGCCTGAACCCAGCTGAACCCGGCACCCGGAAGGCACCATCGGCTCGTCCCGGACAATTTGCATGGGGGTAAGTACTGTCGCCATAATTCCGCGCGTCTCACCCATCAACGCCCCATTGAGCGTCCCATTGCGTCTGTGTCATATCCAGGGACTGCGGCGCGGGCTGCAGAGGCTCAGCAAGCTTGTCCTCAGAAACATTGCTACAGTGTTGCGCATCATGGCGGCGGCTCCGGGCGGGACCAAGGACAAGGCCGCCATCTTCTGCTCCGATGTAGCAGCTGCCACGCTGCAGGTACGTGCATACCTTCGCCTAGAAATCCCATACCAGGCGCTGATCGCTTACTTCTTTCTCGACTCAGACTGCCCGCGATTCGCGAGAGAGCCTCCTTCAGTCATGGGTGTTTGTGCCCGTCGGTATTTTCGCCGTTCTTGCAGTATGCTTCGCGTTTGACAAGCTGTTCCGCCTCGGCTCGCTGCCGTTCCCAGCATCGGTGGCCGTCCTGATCGTCTTGTTCCTGGGCCTTCTTCTGTCTGAGTGGCTGGTTGGGGAGCACCGGACGCGCAGAGCTGTGGCGCTCATCGAGGTACCTGTATGTGTTCAATCTTTTCAGTATCTATGCTTCTTCCTGAAGGCATTTCCATCCATAGTGATTGGCAGTGGCGGCTGACCTTTTGATGGCGTGTCCGTTGCGCGCTGTAATAGGGTCTCTGGTCCCTGCGATGGATCAATGTCTACTTCACGCCGTCTTTCGTGCTGCTCCCGTTGAGCCCGCCAGTTGGCATTGTCGAGGTGTTCAAAATCATTGCCGTGTTCAGTAAGTGCCTGTGCATTGTCCAGTTCTATTGGCCGGTGTGCTAATCGACCTGGGACAACAGTCCTTGGATTTATTGCAATGATGATAATGACCGCATACATGACGCGCGGCGTGAATCTCATGCTCGGCTCGTCCAAGCGAGCCATGACGGAGCGTGCCGAGGAGCTGGGCAACGAGGCCGACGAGATCCCCATGACGGTGACGCCGCAGACCGACGGGACGCCCACGCCTGCGACGCTTTCAGCAGCGGTCTCGACGGTGGACGTCACGAGCCCTGAGCAGTCGCCGCCACGTGTCGCTCAGCGGGCCGTCGAGCTGCAACTGCAGGATGATCAGCAGGTGCAGAGCAGCCGTGTTCCCTCTGCCGCACCATCACCTCCGCCTTCGCCGCCAGCATCAGCGGCAGCAGCCCCTGAGAAGTTCCCAGCGACGGCTCGGTCGAAGCAGTGGGCTGCCATAGTCACGAGCCGCCTCGATCTCCTCGTCTATGCTTCCCTGTTCCTCTTCGTCGGCCTGCCAGTGTACTACATCGCGGGATACGCCATGCCCGCCCATACGACATTCAGCATCCTCACCTACTTCGCAGCGACATCGCCTCCCCCACGTTGGACACGGTTCCTCCATCCGGTCCTGGTCTCCTCTCTGCTCACTGTTCTTGGGATCTGGGCCCTCGGGGCCATCAAAGGCGACTCTCTGTACGAAGCACTCGGGCAATACCGCACGGGCACCAAGTACCTGCAACTCTGGACTTCCTCCCAGAAGCTCTCCCTTCCTCTACCAGGCGCCGGCGACGTCTTCGGCAGCGTCCTGGACGTGAGCATCGTCGCCCTCGCGCTGCCCATGTACCGCTACCGCCGCGAGCTGCGCCAGCACTTCCCGGCCATCGTGCTCCCAAACGTGGTCCTGTCCGCGGCCTCGCTGTTCGCGTACCCACCCCTGTGCCACGCCGTCGGCATCTCCGCGCCGCGCAGCCTCGCGTTCGCCTCGCGCAGTCTGACCCTCGCGCTGGCGATCCCCGCCACGGCCAACCTCGGGGGCGAGGCGAGCACCGTGGCCGCCGTGGCCATCATGAGCGGCATCTCGGGGGTCTTGTTTGGCCGGCGGATGTTGGCCCTCATGCGGATCCCCGAAGGTGTGTCAAACGCGCCAAGCAAATTCCTTTTTCATCTCATACTTTAATGCCCTTACTTCTCGGGGAGGGAAGATTCAATCCCTCAGAAACTGGAATTCTCTCCACAACGGACTAACCATGGTTTTCTGGACAGATGACTACGTGACCCGCGGCGTAACTCTCGGCGCAAACTCGTCAGCCCTGGCAACCGCCATGCTGCTGCCCCTGGACCCGCGCGCGGCCGCGCTGTCCAGCCTGTCGATGAGCCTGTTCGGCACCGTCACGGTGCTGTTCACCTCGATACCGCCCATCTCCGCGGCCGTTAGGGGTCTAGTTGGGCTGTAGTATAAACGTAGGTATGTGTGTGGATATCTCTTGATTGTTGGCACGGAGTGTGGATGGATGTGCGTGCGGAGAGGTGGGTTTCACTCGTTTCGGCAGCGCATTTGTCGAAATCTCTGGACAGGATGAGCCGTGGTCGGTTTCCCGTATGACGGAGAAGCCGATAATGTACATGGCTCCAGAGCACAACAGGCCATGCATGGAACAAGTCATCGGCGGGGACCATCTCTATCATGTTCGTAGACATTAGAAAGTCGTGACTCTACTATGCTTATGATCTGGCCCTAACGACCGCTCTGTAGTGTCTTAAGCATTCCAGATCGCAACGCCTTACAGAGAAGAAACCCGACGCCTGCCCCAGCCTGACAAAAGAAACTCGCGTGTAAAACGATTGAATACCACATGCCTTTGAACGCCTCGTCGCTATGCCCCGCCTCGCAAGTGCTCGAAGACAAATGCTGCTCGACAAAAGAACCTCGCCCGATGCACTCAATCACTCGTCCTCATTGAGACCGACCCCGCTGTCATATCTCCTAGGCCTCTTGGCCGGCTTAGCGAGGGCCGGTGTGCCTGCCTCCTCCCCCTCCTCGGCTGCGATGACAGGTTGCGCAAGGCTGATACTGCTGCTGCTCGACCGCGTCGACTTCCTCCTCGAGGGCGTGCCGTTCACAGCCGTCGTCGCTGCGCTGGTGGCGCTCCTGCGACTACCTCCTCTCTTCGGGGTGGCCAGAAACCCGCTGCTCATCTTGACCGCATGCCGCATCTCCGCCTTCATCTCGTCAATAGCCACCCTGGCGCGGGTCTTCTCGGCCTCGACCTGCTTGCCCAGCGCAATGTTCTCCACACGCAGGCCCTGGATGGTCCCGTACGCCCGCCGCAGCGAGGCGTTGATCGAGTCAATCTCCCTGCGGAGCTCGGCGACGCGGGCGTCCCGGACGGCCAGGTTCTCGCCGTGCGAGCGGTTGAGCGCTCTGATCTCCCGGCTCTTGCTCTCGTGCAGGGAGGACAGCTCAGCGTCGAAAGTCTCGGTCTGGTCGATGACGGCGGCGAGCTTGGCCCCGAGCTCGGCGAGCGCAAGGTTGCACTTGTCCAGCTCGTCCTGCTTGCCGGCCAGCTCGCCGCGGAGCCTGCGCTCGCCGGCGGCACCGTTGGCTTTGAGCTCGGCAATGTGCTTGTCGCGCGCGGCGACGGCAATCTCGGCGGCGTCGGCGGCGGCGGCCATGTCGCCCTCCATGCGCTGCACGAGCGCCTCGAGCTCGGCAATGTCGCGCCGGTAGCCCTCGGCGGCGCCCTTAAGGCGGTCGATGCCGACTTCTAGATCCGAGATCTTGTCGTCCCGGCCGGCCAGCGACGCCTCGCTGTCCTTGAGCTGCACGCGCAGGGCGTCCATGACGCCAACCCGCGCGCTGAGCTGCTGGCGCAGGGACAGCTCCAGGGCGTGGTACTCGTCGATGGTCTGCTCGTGTTCCTGTTCTCTGCGGGCAAGGTCGCGCAGGGCCGAGAGGACCAGGTCGAGCACCTCGGCGCCGTGGGACGTCAGCGGGAGAGAGAGCTCGCCGGGGGTGAGGTACTCAAGCTCCAGCCGTGCCGCGCGGAGAGACGCAGTCAGGGATGTGATGATTTCGCTGGCGTCATTGCCAGGGAAGCCGAGGGATGCGAGGGAGGAGTTGAGGTCATGCAGAGCGGCGGTGCGGTCTGACAGGACCTGGAGGAGCTTGTCTAGCTGGGACTCGACGCCGGCATTGTCTTGCTGGACATGTCCCGCGAGGTTGGAGCTCTGTCCGTCCTCGTGGATCTTGGGAGCGTGCTCTGCAAGGCCCGACGACACCTTTTCTGTAATCCGTGTCTGCAGAGCAGCTTGAGACTCCAATGTATCTGTGAGTTTACCCAGCTCCAGCCGCAAGGACTCTAGCTCCGCCTTGACAGCGACTGCATCCGGGTCTGGCAGAGATGCTTGAACAGATGCAGAGGCGTGTGAGCTTGGCGTGACCGGCACATGTAGCGGACGCGTCTGTCTTACAGAGCAAGGCGTAGCTGGAATGGTCGGGCTTGTGCATGGCGGTGTCGGGAAAGATCCAGCCGGAAGTGACACTCCCATGGCTCCAGAAGTTGTAGTCGTGGCACGGTGTCGCCTCGAGGGCGTGCTGCAGACCAGATCGACCATGGTGCTGTCACCAAAGGCCGAGTCCTCGAGATGAGTATCGTCAACGTCGATATCCATGTCTGTATACTCGTCTGAGAAGGGGTCGCGTGCCGACATGGTCCAGTCATAAAAGCGCGAGTCGTCGGTCTGCCGTACCACCGAGCTACTACTTCCGTGTGGCGGTGACGAGCGCGAGCTCAGCTGCTGCCTGAGTGTCTCGACTTCACGCTCAAGCTCCACCAGCTTGCTGCTGTCACAACGAGCCGTGTCGTCCATGTAGAGTTGCTCGTGTTGTTGCCGTTGCAGCGCCGGCAGACTTGTCTCCGTGTCATGGTCATCCACATCCCCGCTACCCACATTGCTGCTGCTTGTACTCAGCATGGACAGCTCGCGGAGGCGTTCGATCTCGGCGTCCTTGGCTGCTAGCGAGCTCCTGAGCTGCTCGAGCTCTGCCTCCCTGCTTTCCTGCTGGGCCTTCTTCTCGGCGGCGATGACGTTCATCTCCTCGCTTAGCCCGTTGCGGCGAATGCGCCGCTTCACCCGGTCGGACAGGATCTGGCGGAGAGAAGGAAAGTGCACGGCCATCATCTCCTGCTTGGCGGGGCTGGCTGCGGAAGGCGAAGAGAGGTGCGTCGAGGTTGAGCTGATTGGCGTGGAATGCCGCCTTCGCTTTGCTGACGGGCTTGAGGTGGTGCTTGTGCCGGAACCCAGAGACGATCGTCGGACCATGGGAGTCAGGCCGGTTGATGACAGGACGGCGTCGTTGCCAGAGTCGGGCTCGCCATCGTCCTGGTTGAGACCTGCTTGCGGGCCAGGGTCTGAGAAGCGGACTCTCTTGCGGGACTTTGGTTTCCCCGGTGTCTTGGTGACGAGTGTTGTTGTTGTTGTGGTGGTGGTGGTGGTGGGTTGCACGACTTGTGTACTTGGCTGTTCTTTGCTGGTGGCAGAGCTGTTGCGTCCTGTGCTCGTGGTGGTTGGTGCTGACGAAGCCCTTGTGCACGCCCGCGGTGTGCGCCGGCGGGCGATGCAGGTGCTGTCGTCCATGTTTATGGTTTTAGTGGCCACTGCTGGTCCAGGTGAAGCAGCCGATCAGTTTGGCGTTGCAGGTTGGAAGTAGCCACGACCAAGAAGGTTGTCTGTCCCTGATCGCGGGTCTTCTGTGGGATTGCACTCGCTTGAGGCTGCACACTCACGCAACTCAGTTGATATACTGTGCTACAGTGGTCGAGAAGATGAACACAAAGCAGAAACAAGATGCGAAGACAAAGTCTAAGACCTCGCCACCAGATATCAGTATCTTTGCTCCGGGCTCGACGAGGTGGTGAATGACAGCTCAAGCTCCCCTCCAGTTATCACCTGGGGAACGCTGGGGTTCGCGGTTGGGCGTGCAAGTGCAGATGGCAAAGTCAACAAATCGATTGGCTATGGACTGGAGATCAAGGTGGCCCGGGAGGCGCTTGGGTCACCGCGACGGGCCGTCACGTCAGGATGTGGCCATGGCGGGCTCCTGATTGATCAATTGGCATGACGGCAGTCCAAAGTAAACAAGACATGGATACCCCACGTTTGCCAGTCAGGCACATGCGCATGTGGGTTCTGCCATGCACGCCGGTTGTAGCACGTTCTCAAGAGGTAATGGGGATGTATGTAACCACCATTGAGGGTTCTTTGTTGACATTTTGCCTGTTTGGGCCAAGGGGCCTTTGGTCCCTTCCGCCGCAGGGCGTGGTCTTCTGGGCCAATCACATGGCTCAGTCTGGGTGCCCGCTGTCCCAAAACACTCGACAACTCGACCAGTCTTCAAGCAACCCTTGCAAGCGTCGTCTTCCTGCTGCCTGCCAGGCCCAGCCTGATCAAGTCGCGTCTTCTCATCTTTTATCCACTCTTTCAGTCTCTCACACGCGTGTCGGATACCCGCCACTCCCCTCGGCCGGGTACACGACAATCTTGTCGATATCCGCGCCCTTGTAGTCGACGCCGTTGAACAGCCCGCCAATGGTGATTGTGTTGTCGCTGCCTGCCTCGAGCTCCAGCTCCAGCGGCGTCGACAGGATGATGCCCTTGTGCGAGTCGCGCTGGTACAGCGAGTGCACCTCGTCCGTCTTGCCGTTGACCACGACGCTGGCGATCCGCCGCAGCTGCCACGCCCCGCCGATGCGGTCCGGCGCGCCCATCGCTGCAAGGCCATCACGACAGACGTGTCAGCAGCGGTCCATGTGAGGGACAGTGCAGGTACTGTAGGTGACTTACGCTGGTCTCCAAAGCCCATGTCATCAATGTTCTGGTAGTAGAACGACACCCACTGCTTCCCGCCAGACCCCTGGACGCCGCTGAAGGTGACGGTGCTGTCGTTGCCGTAGATGCCTGTCAGGATCACGCCGTCGCTTGCGAATTTCTACATGACAACAACAGCGAGTCAGCACCGCCTTCTTGCCTGAATCTTCATCAGCTCAGTGCATTGCCTACCGCTTCCTGCTTCCACGCATTGCCAGCAGTCGTGGCGTCCTTGCCATAGTACGTGGTGCCCTCGACGGCTTCCCACTCGCCAGTGACCCTGAACCTTGTTGTCAGTCATCTCTCAACTGTCGGCTGCTGGCTTCGTCTTACACATCTAAATCGTAGACATCATGCCAACTCAGCGAAAGGTCCTTCTTCTCGTCATCAATTTCCAGCGGTAGCCAGATATAGCGACTTTCCCAAAGTGAGTTCGAGTCCCACTATTTCGGTCAGCAATTGTCATTCATGCGTCCCTCGATCAAAATCCCAATGCCAACCGGGAAGCCATTGTGGAACATGGACCCCAACATACCTGGTCGCCAATGTACAGATGGGTCGTCTTCTTCGTGCCCTCAATGCGGAGGTTGAACCCAGACTGCGAGTTGAAAGTCCTCGTGTTGAGTGGGGCAATGATCCAGGGCTGAGACCACGGTCCGCTGAGCTTGTCGGCTCGAAAGGCGACAACATCTGTAGTACTGTCTGTGAGCTACACTGTGATCTTTCCTTCCTCTCCCTTTTGTCCTCTTCGTCGTTTTAAAGGCAAGACTCACTGTTGGGCCTGTAGCCTGTCTTGTGGCTCATAAGGGCGTAGTAGCTCTTGTCCGTCTGCACCACGGTCGGGGCCTCCAGGTCGAATTTGTCAAAGCGGTGCACAACCTCGTCAAGACCCGTGACGGCCTCGTTGAAGGACGTCAGGTACACGTCGCGGCCCTCGCGGCGGTCGCCGTTCGAGTACAGCGCGTAGCTGCGGCCATCCTTGTAGTCCGTGAACATGCCGAAATCCTGGGACCAGTTGCCAAGCGGCGCCGTGGCGTTGACGAACTCGTACGGACCCTGGATCTGGTCGGCGGTCGCAAAGCCCTGCAGGAGCAGGCCGTATGTCGAGTTGTCGGCGTGCCACCACATCTTTGTGCTAGGGTCAGTAATGTTTTTTTTTTTGTTTTTTTTTGGGGGGGGGGGGGGGGGGGGGGTCGTGTCTGCGCCGCGTTCCTGGCTGGACTCACATGGTATTGTCCCGTCTCCTCGCTGTGAACCACTTTCGGTCGCTGGATGATCATCTTGGGAGAGATGTACGGGTGTCCTTCGACAGGCTCTGCGTGTGTACGTCCACTGCTGTAAGCACAACCGTGTCACAGAGCATACGTTGAATGGGGGCAGGATTGTAGTCCTTACCAAGAGCCAGTCCATGGTGTGTCCACGTCGCAAGGTTGGGAGAGCTGTAGACGGCAATGCCACCGCCCTCGACCTGTCCCTCGGGCTTGTATTCTCCAAACCACCAGAACAGGCCTTTTTCAAAGACGATGCTACCCGCGTGGGCATTGACGAGGTTGCCGTCCGTGTCACGCCACCGACCTCCTGGGACTATGTACACAGCCGAGGCGGCGGTCGCGCATAGCAACACATTCGACAACGATCTTAGAAGGCTGAACATGGCTGTTTTTTTTTAAGGGAATGGTGATTAAGACCAAGTTTGTCGCAATTGTGGCCGAAACACTTGCAGGTGAGGGCACTCTGAACAGTCAGAGAACTCGTGCACCCAATTCGATGGAGATGCAACTCCACTCAACCTGCTACGTCAGCGGCATTCAAGGCCATTTTTATACGGCTTCGGCAATGAGAAAATTGCCAAGAGCGAGCCCTCCCGGCAGCTCGTGCGAATGTTGTCCGGGAGCAGGTGTTTTTCCCCAGACGGGGGCTTGCTTCCCCAGTTTCTCCGCACCGCATCCCCCGCCACCGACCCCCGAGGCTAAAGTGCCCCATGGCTTTAGAGGTGGAAGGACCCATGTCGAGCAGAATGATCTGCGCAAAACAGGGCACACATACACACATCTGCCGAAACAGGCAGGTTGATGTTGCGGTAAGGACGATGGGGCAGCGAGCCTGTCCAAGCGGTCGACTGGAGCTGTGGGTTGTGGTTATGCTTGAGTTGGAACCATGCTGATGCCAAGTGTGTTATTTGGTAATGTCCGATCTCGCTATAGGTCATCTATGGACTGGTATACTTGGGTTTGTTTGGCGGTCGGCAGCGTTGCAAAAGCAGCTTGGGGTGTTAGAATAGCCTGATTGCATGGCAAGGCACTTGGCAACCACTGGCGCTGGATCCTCGAAGAAGCGGACAGGGATTGCTTATTGGCTCGCTAAAACCGCAAGTCTCCCACGAGTCCTTCATCGGGACGAGAGGTGTGTCGATCATGACTGAGCATGTCTGACACGCTCATAGGCAAGCCAAAACAACACCAAGATCTGATAATCTCGCAATATTATTGTCTTAAGATAGATATGCAAATGGTATACCACATGCATGTAGAAAGCCCGCGATTTCTGTGACCTAAGAGGACTCATCTGCACATGGGGAGAGCTCACGGTGCCCCTGCCACTTCCGGCCTTGTCCTAATATCTTTTCCACCCGTTTCAGAGTGCTTCTACCCTCGGGACTTTTATCTGCCATTCAGCAGTTCCGGACTTCCCCTCAAAAGGCACGTACCGTAGGACCGGGGCGCCTGCCATGCGCGGGATTGCTCTCGTCTTGAAGATTTTTGCCATGTCCACCCATGGCATGCGGACCACCCAGCGGTCCATCAACCAGCCCTTCCACGACCCCCACATCGACTGATCCAACCTTGCAATGTCTGACTCCAGCATGGCCTTGCTTGCCGGCATGCGGGCCACTTGATATCGTGCGAATGCGGCATCCAGGTCCGAGGCGCTTGGCTGACCTGGTCCCGACTGTTTCGACAGCAGATCCTGGAGCTCGTTGGCCAGCTGCACAGCAGAATATGCCCCAGCCATGAAGCCCGCCCCGGACTCGCTGGTGACCTTGAGCTGCGAATCACCCACCAGGACAATACGGCCGCCGTGATGCCACTTCTCAGCACACCCCTGCTGCTGGTCGACTAGGACGGCAGTCTCCTTGTCCGTCCGAGCCCAGATGTCGCCAAACGTAAGTCCCAACGGCGCTATCTGGAGATGCGCTAGCGCTTTGGCAAACTCGTCGCATTCCTCGGCCGTGTACCTGGTCCGGCCCGGGGACGGCAGCTGGTGCCTGAGCAAGACGTACCAGAGGACGTCGTCGCCGACGGACATCTGCATCAGGAAGCCCGCCTCGCGCGACTCGTAGAAGAACCCGGGCGCGATGCCTACGGGGTTGTCGACGCGCCCGTATATCCCGGCAAACCGTCTCTCCATGACCGTCGCATCGTCGTCAACAGCGGCCGAGCCGCCGGCCTCTTCGCGTAGCTGCTGCATGATTTGCCGGGTGCGGCTGTGGACTCCGTCACAACCGATGAGGATCGAGCCGTCGACGGTGGCGCCATTCGCCAGGTGGACTGTGACTCCGTCATCACGCAGGTCGACCTTGGAGACTTTACTTGCAGTCTTGACTCGCTCGCTATGGCCAGGCAATGTCGTGAACAGCGCTTCTATGACATCCTTTCGACTCGTCTGGATGATCCTATAGCCGAAACTATCTTGTTCCATCACGTCAGCATACAACCAACAGCTCTTCTCGGCCAACTTTGCAAAGCGGCGGAGAGCCTGGGATTCCTTACGCTTCGGCCACCAAGTCGAATAACGGCCACTGCTGCAACACCGTCCCGTTCGTCACAAGATCCATCTTGTTTCTGAGAAAAACCTGTCGCTTGATGTGCTCGAGAACACCAATCTGATCCAGAATCCGGACCAACCCGGGCACTTTGTTATTGCTAGTGTGAGCTGAGAGTTTCGAGGGGTTTTTCTCCGCTTTGTTTTTTTTCTCGAGGGGCACACGGGAGGAACGAAATATCCAGTCTTGGGCGACTTACTGAGGGCGATCCCAGCACCAGCGTGCCGCACCACTTCATCTTGCTCTTCCAGCACGACGAAATCGACCCCTGCACGGCTGAGCGCGTGGGCCATCAGCAGCCCTACAGGCCCAGCTCCAGCGATGATGACCTTGAATGTGGTGCTGGCTCCCATGCTGTCAATTGTGTAGCACTAGCGCCAACGCGCTTGTTTCTAATAACTCTTATGATCACAGTCTCCCGTCAAGGCATCAAGGACCTTGTAGTACCCGCCTTTATATTCTGGACTTCGTGTAATCATCCGCAAGGTAGCCATTCACAGTAGCCGCGGCCGCGTGTTATAGCCTACTGAGCATTGCGTTGTAGCCGGATAAGCACACCGTGACGAAACCGCGGGAAGACCAATGACCTCAGCATACCTGATTGTGCAGGACCACCTCTATGGTCACAAAATAATTCCCATAGCTCCTCTTCCTCTCGTCGGCCTCAGCTCCAAGTGATTCATTATTCTGCTGAAGACTTTTCCTAGAGGATTCCCGCACAGACCCCAGCGTTTGTCTCTTGTACTGTGCCGAATGATTGCGCACGGTTAGGCCACTGGCTCGACTATGTTCCGACAAGGTGCATAGCCAATGTGCTGTATGACAACCTCGCCTTACCGAATTGAAGGGTAAAGGCAGGGAGGAGCCCTAAAGTAGCGTACGATATCATCAGATTGACCTACCTACGAAGTCGGGCGGACAATGCTCGTCCACAGCCCTTCGGTACAACACGCGCTGCGGTTACAAGGTCCAAAACAGATGACCGAATCCGATTTATCTGACAGTTGTCACGCCGCGCCGATGTGTAAGTCATATGGCTCGCAGGTCGTTCGATGGCCACAGGGCCTGCACATCCCTCGATCCGGCACCGGCCAGCCTGTGGCCAGAGGCTGCTAGGTTGTCCCACCCGAGGGCCGGACAGCTGATGGTGCCAGAGAACTTGCGGCAGTCGTTGCCCTGGAAGACCAAATATCCCGTCCCGGAAAGGACGCTGTCCGTACTCGGTCGTGGCTGAGGCGACGAGTGATTAGCGTCGCCACCGGTCTCCAGAGCATCATGCTCCTGGGGACCTCCGGGATGTATTGTGACGTTTTCTCCCGGGTCGGCTTGGCTGATGCTGCTACTGCTGCTGCTACGCCATTCCACCCAGAACTTTGGCGAGCGGAAGCTGTTCTTCTCGAAAGGGCGTTGATAGCGGTTTGCTCTGTCCTCTTGTCCATCTTGCTCGTCTTCTGTGCTGCCGGCTGAGTCTGCATGGTCATTATGATCATTATCGTCCTCGTTGTCATTGTGGTCTGTCGAACTGCCGCTCGGGTCGTCTTGGTCACTGTCACCCGTACGCTCAAGCTCGCGGCTGTGCTCATCATCACTGGCTGGGCCATCTTCACGCGTGTCCACGTCGTCGTTCCCTTGTCGCTCAGGATCAAGAATTTCGCCCTTCGTAGCCTCGAGAGGATCGTGACTCTGCGAACCAGCCTCCACTCCACTCAGGATCTGCCCCATTGCTTTCCTGCTCCCCGCGAGAATGACGGTTGCCTCCAAGAACTCGACGTCTGCCTGCTTCCTCTCCTGCTTCACCTTCTTCTTGAGCAGGCTGGCCGATCCGGGAATATCTCTCCTCGTCACGGGAAGCAGGAACGATCCGACCAAGCCTTGCCCGTCGGGTGTGACGCGGTAGATCTCGAGAAACCCTTCGTCGTTGGCCGCCCCGTTGGCGCCTCGACGGCCGCGCCTGGCGCCGTGGACTACATTCCCTCGTGTCATGGCCTCGGCTTCCGGACCCGGTCCCGACGGCGATGACCCGATGCCAGATGGGGCTGCAGTGGTGACGGCCTTGGGGCAGCGGAGCGAGTACGTCGCGAACATGCGCTGCACGTCAAAGCCAGTCCCACTGCCACCGCCATCGGTTTTGTATTTGCTGCTGGCGGTGTTGATGGCTTTGTTGCTGTTGCTGTTCTTGCCCCGGCCTCGGCGGTTGTGCATGTGCCGGGTGGAGAGGAGGTTATCTTGCCACGCCTCGTCTGCCATTTTTATATTTTATCCCTTAAAGGAAGGCAAATGGTCCATGTTTGATGTAGTCTTTGTGATGTCCTCACGACCGTAGGAAGAGAACTCGTACGTCTTGGTAAGGCAAGAACAACACAAAGTGATTGAATGTAAGGACTGGGTAAGGTTTCTAGCTTAAGATACGGAAAGCTGCTCAAGTTGAACGAAACACTGCTGTTCATTGGCAGAGTCGGTGTCATTAGGTAGTGAAGTACATCATGCGGGATGGGAATCTGATTGGTTGACGTCATTACCCGATTAGGGCGTTTCTTTGTCTAGGCCGGCTCTATGGCTGAACGCCTGAGCCTTAGGGATAAGTCGGCGGGACGTGGACTAGACAGCGGCCACTACACAAGTACCGGGGCCAGGATCTCACAGAAAGACTAGGTCCTCGTTGTGTGGTTACCTTTATTGTTCGTGGTATTGGCTGTGAACCGACGGGCCAGCCAGTTGGCTTGGCTGCAATAATAGACTGGCCCCATGCCTACGAGGGGTCCTGAAAGCGGGCGTCTATAGCGAACTGTGGGAGCAACAACAACGACGACGAGAAACGAAAAGGGCACTGATTTCCTCTTTTGCCGTACTGAGGTTGTCACAGTCCGAGGCCCAGCGCAAGCTCTGCGACATGTAGTTTGTAGCTTTGTTTTCTGGACGACCATGGACCAATGCTTCGGGTCCACCCTGTAGGCGGCTGATGTGCGAGCGCGGGCGGGGCCTAGCGACCAGCGAGTAAGCTTAATGGGATGCGAACGGGCAGGCGTGGGGGGCAGGAACTATGGCGGCAGCCGCACCCGCAGGCGGGGCCGGTCGCTCCTGCTGGACACGCTATGGATGCGCCTTCTCAATGACCGTGACAAGATACAGGGTTGCACATGTGCATGTGCGAATTCACAAAAGACTCTGCACCCTCCTGTGAACCAGCGACAAGATCCCACGCCAAGGTTACCCTTCGCCGCCCAGAGACGATTGTGCAGGCCCAGCAGCGGTGTCGGCAGCGCTAGCGCGGATGGCATCATCGGCAGCTGGGACGCAAACCCATCAGCCCCAGCCAGCACAAGCTCGCCTCCGGATGCAGCTCCACTGCGACGTCCCCAGCACGTCACCCCCCGACCCGTTCCCAGCACGCAACGACAAGATGATTGGGACCCTTGACCTGTCGATCGCCTGCGCTTTTCTGCCGCCGTGTTGCGCGGCGTCATGTCTCGCCCTTGTTCCTTTACCTAACCCGTCTCCCGAGATCTGCACCAGAGCTGTCACGCCCTTCTAGTGCCGAGGGAGCATCCGTGACATCTTCAACCTCGAGTCCTCTGAAGGCCAGGCACTTACACGCCAAGCCACCCACCCACCATGGGTAGCCGCTCACCACACTACAAAAACGACCCACCGCTGGTCCACGACGACACGGTCTATGGCGAGCCTTCTGGCAGCGATGGTGACCTCCGCGACATCGACCCGGAGAGCGGTGTCAAGCGCGGCCTCAAGACCCGCCATCTCTCCATGATGGCCCTCGCTGGCATCATCGGCCCGGGCCTGCTTGTCGGCACCGGCGGCGCTCTCTCGTCTGGAGGCCCGGCCGCCCTCATCATCGGCTTCGGCGTCATTGGCATCGTCGCCTTCAGCATCATGCAGTCTCTGGGCGAGCTTACCACCTTATACCCCAGTGGCGGTGCCTTTACTACGCTCGCAGACCGTTTCATTGATCCTGCCTTCGGTACTGCGTAAGTTGTGTATAGAGACTGCCAGATTCCGCAACCCAAAAAATAAAAAATAAACGGAAGGAATGACTGACTTTTGAGACACCAGCGTTGGGTGGAACTACTTCATCATCTGGTTCGCAGTGCTGGCCAACGAGTACAATGCCGTCACCTCTATTCTCGTCTTCTGGACGGACAAGATCCCGGTCTGGGGCTGGTTTTTGATCCTGTGGTCCATCTTTACTGGTTTCCAACTGCTTGGTATTGTCGCATTCGGAGAGGCAGAGTTCTGGCTCGCCCTCTTCAAGCTCCTTGGTCTGGTGGCCTTCTACATCTTTTCCATCGTCTACGTCTCCGGGGGTATTCCCAACAGACCTGCGTTTGGGTTCTTGTACTGGCATGATCCTGGAGCTTTTGTGTCTGGATTCAGAGGCGTTGCAGAGGTGAGATAGTCTTGATGCACGTTTCTGGCTGCCCGTTCTCAGCTGATGATGGCTTGCACACAGGTCTTTGTCTTCTGTGCCACATTCTATGCGTAAGTTCCTTATTCTAAATAATTCGGCCCGTTGGATCAAGCTCACATGACCCGCTATAGTGGTGTCGAGTCCGTCGCAGTGGCTGCGACCGAGACCGCAAATCCTGGACGTGCTGTCCCTCTAGCCATCCGTCAAGTCTTTTGGCGCATCCTGTTCATTTACATGGGCGCGGCTCTATTTTTCGGCATGACTTGCCCGGCCGATGCGCCTCAGTTGACCGAGGGTGCAAGCCGAGCTTTGCTCAGCCCAATGACTGTGGCGCTTCAAAATGCTGGCTTCGAGGGAGGTGTTCACCTCATCAACGCCTTTATTCTTGTCACTTGCATCTCGGCCATCAACAGCTCGATCTACATTGCTTCGCGTACACTGCTGTTCATGGGCCAGACTCGCAAGGCACCCAAGTTTTTGGGCTGGACTGACAAGCGTGGCGTGCCGATTCCCGCTATCGTTGTGGCGAACGCTTTTGGGGCGTTGTCCCTTATGAACATCAGTACGGGTGCTGCTAAAGCCTACTCGTACATTGTCAATTTGAGTGGTGTCTCCACATTCCTGGTAAGCCAGTCCTCTTGCTAAGATTCTCTGTCCCGTTAAGTTGACTTTGATTGGCAGGTCTGGGGTTCAATCTCCTTCACGCACATTCGCTTTCGCCAGGCATGGGCAGCTCAGGGCTATTCACCCTCTGAGCTGCCCTTCAAATCCCTGGGCTACCCGTACAACCCTTGGTTTGGTCTCGGAGCAAACATCTTGTTGGCGCTCATCCAAGGCTGGACAACTCTGGCCCCTTTCGATGCTGGTCGATTCGTAGACGCCTATGTCCTGCTCGTCGTCTTCCCCATCATATACTTTGGCTACAAGTTTGCTTTCAAAACGAGGTACTGGCGCGTCCATGAGATCGATTTGAACCTTGGCAGGCGCCGTGACTTGCAGGCGAAGCATGTCGACGAGGATCATGTTGGTCGTCGCCCGAGTCTCTGGCAGAGGCTGTGGAAGAACTTTTAGATGTCCGATGGATCTCGTCTAGTGTTGTGCAAGAGATGATTTGTAGGGGGGGGTCTAACTGGGCAGTTTGTGTATCTTTCTCGCTCACGTGCTTCTACAAACGTAACAAAGATACCCGGCATTCTTACGATGTCGCCCAGGAATTTTGAATAGGGTCGCCGCCTGACTGACGGTGTTGGTCCCAAAATACTTCTTCTCGTTGGAATGCAGATTTGTTGCCCTTGGTTATTCACAAACATAGTTCTGTAACGAAGAACCATTTCTCGGCTACGAGGATGTGAGATAGGCTACGTGTGGATTTATGACAAAGCCGTGATTGACACAGCAGGTAAGCCACGCCTGCAGCGAACGCCGCCACTCTAAAGTTTGAACAAAGACATAGACGATGACAGTCCCCGCCACAGAGACTCGTCCGGGCTGGTTACCCGTGTCCCTATCTGCGGAGGAATGCAACTCAACAAGGCGTGCACCTTGGTGGCAATTCCTTTCTCTTTGTCCTTTCTCCATGTTGGATGTTCACTTCATTCATGCGAAAGGAAGTTCTGACTTGCTATGTCCTGCAGGGCGGCACTGCCTGAGGAGGAACCTTTCTATCATTTTCGCCCATGCAGTTGTATCAAGCCGAGATAGGTAGGATTGAGCGAGTTCCCTCGACGACTGACGACGACAAACCATCTCTCGGTCAAGATTAGGGACACATCGCCACTCCGCTTTACCTTCGTGCACAGTAAGGGGGAATAGCTTTCTTTGATTACGATGAAGGCGAAACCAGCAGCGCGGAAGAGGGGCCACACTCCGGCGCCGCCCCAGAACGCCGCCCCCACCGAGCAGCACCACAACCTCATCCGACAGGGTGGTCCGTATCATGGACAACCAGAACATCATCGTCATCATCGTCATCATGGCTTTGATCATGGACAGATCTATGCTCCCGACGGGAGCCACCACAGAAATAGCCACGACGGACAAGAACTTGTCAACAGCATCGCCATCCACGTCCAGGGCAGTCAGTGCTGCCCCGGCGATCCCGTGAGCATGTTTCTGCGTGATGACGCTGGGGACGTGCGGGCCGCGGATCCCACCGAGGCAACCGTCTTGAACGCCGTGAGGGCGTTACTGCGAGGTCAGTCTTCATTTCTTTGCTGCGGTGGTTGGCATGGGTTTACTATCCAAGTTGGAGTGATTTGAACCCCTCGGAGCTGACGATTTGGACGAGTTACATCGTCTATGTGCGTGAAGCAGACCAGCGCTCAGAGACCACATATTCTGGTGCCGACCACGCCCAGCCATACTGCCGTGTCGACATCAGCGTGCTTCTCGGTGTCTCCAGTCGCAGCGGCGGCGGCGGCGAGCAGCGACACGGCATCTTTGGAGCCAGAGACCTGATCCACGGCAACACTGGTGGAACTCATGCCCGGGGACAGCCAGAAGGGGGTAGATGGTACACGTCAGATGCCTGGGCTTCGTTGAAAGAACAGGTTCTTTCCCACGGCACAGAAGCGGCTGCACACGCTTATCCGCCGGGAGCATCGTCAAATAATGCAGCGTTTTCCTCTGATGCTACCGGGGGCTCAAGTAGCGATCACCCTCAATCGATGCCCCAGCACACGCCACTTCGTCAGAATTTGGAGGCAGAGACATCATCAATGTTGCCCCAAAGCACGCATCGCCCTGGCAATGGCGAAGATTCGACCGTCTTCCCATTGCTAACCATGTCGGGCTTTTATTCCACAGCTCGACGTGACGGCAATACTTCTGCATACCACCCGACCACGGGTGATGGCGCCGGCGCCGGTGTCGATCAAAGGTTTCCAGTCGTCGACCCGAGGCTCTTGCAGCAGATACCATACGAACCTCATCAGCAGCGCTTCGGTGGATTACACGGATACAATGGTGGCTTCGTCCAGCCGCAGCAGATGCAACACCAGCCTGACATGCCCTTACATCATGGCGTCCCCACCCATCTGTCCTCTGGCGGATATCGAAGTCCATGGGCCTCGCTGCCGGCTTCCCCGGGCTACGCTGCCCGGCGGCAGCCGCCTCAGCCGCCTCCAGCACCCGTCGAGAAGGCCAAAACGACAAGACAGGCGCCTGCGACTCCAAAGCGCTCTAGAAAAGCCTTACCGAACGGGAGCCGTGCTCGCCAACCGCGGAAAAGACCACCAGCAGGGCCGAGGGCGAGCAGGAACCGCACTAGCAAAGCCTCCGAGACCCCCGTGACGGGGAAGACAACTACTCAGCCAGCGGTTGAACTCGATTCCTACGCACCAGGAGAAGCGGCAGTGGCTGGCCAGCAGACGAGACTGTCGCGAGATATCCCGAACGAGTCCGATGCTATTTTGGGCAACGAAAGTTTCGTGCGCAGAGTTGCCAGTCCTTTGAGTGCCGGCCAAGAAGACAACCTCGTCGAACAGAGACTTGTAGATCATGTTGGAACAGAGCTCGACAAGAGCAGCATTGATCCGGCTAATGAAGGCCTCTTCCTTGAGCCCGGGCTCATGTTGACGGGGCATACATGGTTTGACACCGAGGAAAACGGTCATGCAGGCGATGGTATGATGGTTGTCGTGGATCAATCGACTCCACGAGCACCATAGCGGACGCGCCTCTGCTTTTTGAGCGAAACATTCGCCCCTCCATGAGATGGCAATATCATGCCTACCACACTTCGCTTGGCTCGCCCTTTGGGAAATCTTCACACTTGGCGCAGTTCTTTGCGTTGCTTCGCTCCGACAGCCGAGGTTGCAAACAACCGCTCATTCGTCTCCATCAAAGACAACGTCGTAAATGCTACTGCGCGCACGCTTCGCGCTGGCTCTTTCAAATTGCTCCTTTTGATTCGTCCCCTCATCATCATGTCTGCCACCATCTCGCGGCAGTGTGGTGCCCTTTGGCTGGGAATATATGGCGTCGAGACTGTCCCCGGCATGGCGGTCTAGCGGGTCGCCCCCCGCCGCGGTGTCCTCGTCATGATGCAGGAGCATCTCGAGATCACGATCCACGGCAGCCTGGTCGTTACTGATATGATGAGTGGGCCCTGCATCCAGCATGACGCTGTCTGGGTCGTGGAGAAGTGACTGAAACGAGTCATCCGGGTCTATCTCGGCATTGTCGTGCCGCGTATCATGCAATAGTTCATGCGTCAAGAAGGAGGACTCATAAGATCTCTGCTTGGGGCTTGCAGCTGCACGCTCTCTTCGGCCAGCCGTTGCAGCATGCGTATCGTGCACGTCGGCATGGGAACTCAGAGGTCCTGATGATGACATTGCAGCTCCGGGCCTCAGGTCGTTTTCCCCAGGGTGCGGGAAGGATGATGACGACCGGGAGAGGCTGCTCAAGATAGACGAGGGAGTGGGCTGCGCGATGATACGTGGATCTATAGGATGATAAAGACTGTGCAGCTCGCTGGCCTGGGTGCCGTTATTCGAAGAGCCGCTGTGATGCTGCAGATGATCTCGACTGTGCTCGTATTCCCCAGTACTGGAGTGATGCGGACGGAGGTGGCGCGAGTTTGTGGAGTGCCCCAGTATGCCTTCTGGTATTGGGGCAAGTGGCGGGTTGAGCAACGAGCTTATATCACTAGGATTGGCATACTGCTGTGGCGAATCGTCAAGGAGGTGAGCTATGTCGTGGTGATGATGGCTGTGGTATTGTGTGTCACGGTGTTGCAGTGAGTCATAGTGGCTGTCCAGGCTGAGCATTCTGTTTTCTTCGCCCGCATTCATCGAGGTAATGCCAGAGTCTGGATAGGGAGCCCCAAGCAGGTCTTCGCCCGGTTCGTCGTTTGTCAGAGCATCGAGTATCAATTGCGTTGACGGTGGTATCCCAAGACCAAGTCTCTGGAGATCACCGGCAGTGCCACTTTCAATGGCAGGAGCATCTCTGGAGACGAGTGAAGCGGGAGCCAAAGGCGTGGCCGTCTTTGCCGAGTCCTTGCATTGTGTACAGGTCCTAATTACATCCGACACGGTCTCTTTGATGCGGCTCCAGTGATATTTCTCTGCAATGACGGCCGTCGTCTTGTTTATGCCCGCGTGTCCTATCACCTCGTGCGTGTCGCGGGCTATTTGCATTTGCCGAATTGGGTCGCTGATGACTTCCTTGTCTTTGAGCATGAGGACGTCATTGTCGAGGAGTTTGTAATGAGTAGCGGCACTACGCAGTCTGCTTTTCTCGGCACGGTCAGACCCGTTTGGATAGCGGCCATGCTTGAGGTAAAATTTGATCTTGTCGAAGCGTTCTTCACTCACGAGCAGTGGATCCGATGCGGTCTCGCCGTCGGCGGACGTAGAGAGCTCCCGCCCGTAGATGATGGCATCGACCAGGCGGTCCGGATACGACTTTAGGTTGCCGCAACCTTTGACCCGGCCAATACGCTTGAAGCCCAGCGCATCCCAGATGCGGCACGATGCCACGTTTGTCTCATACACCAGGTTGAAGACGGAGTAGCTGTAGCCCAGCCGCGGCGCCCAGATCAGGTATGTCTCCCCCATGAGTCTGCCTACACCGCGGTTGCGGGAAGCATCAGTGACCAAGAACCCGGCATTACAGACGTGGCTGCTTCGTCCCGGATAGTTCGGCTTGATGTAAAAGCTGCCAAGGCACTCCTTGGACCAGTCTTTGCCCTCGACAACCTGGTCGGCGCTCTCAATGCTGCCGAGCAGCATGATTGCGGCAAAGTTCTGGAACCAGTACGCTGAGAACTTGTCCAGTGGCATTGGCTCGATCATGGGGTAGGTATCACCCCCTCGATCTCCTTGGCGAACTGATTGCTCAGATACTCAAGGAGAGACGGGGGGACCTGATCGCGTGAGGCAAAGGGCACCAGCGTGGCGACAGTCTGTCTGTCCCTGAGAACGACTTGTCGCGGCTGTACACCGGCCGGCAAGGTTGGGTTGTGGGGATCTGGGAAGGGCTGGGCTCCCGAGACCCGATGTATAGTTGGGCTGGCCGGGTCATCCATGATGGCTGGCATGGTGACGATCAAGGCCTGTGGACATCATCAGCGGGCGACCTCTGTGTACTGCAATTCCAATAAAGTAGCACCTGTAAGACACTGGGTGACGGTAGCCCATCGTGGACTGCGAAGGTGATTGGGGCAACCTACACAGGGCTTGCCTACTGAGCTGGTGTAAGTGAATGCAGGGTCCTAATGGATAATAGTGATTTCGCCGGCTCCGCCCACGTGTCAGACACCCTGGGGTTTCCCGATGTGGTAGTCTGCAAGTCGCTGCGTTCTGAAAAGTACGGACGTGATGAAATGTGAGAAGGGTTGTGGGTGTGCAGCTAGGCAGCTCTCAGGAAGAGTGGTGGGAGCGGAGAGTGTGGGGTCGATGGCCGAGTGCGGAGAAGAACCATTGGGCAACTAAGGTAGGCTGGCTAGAAGCATCGTCGGTAGATCCACGGATGTCGATGGCCGGGTATTTGTGGTTACTGAATAAACCTTATCAAGAGTGTAAACACTGGGCGCCAACGACGCCCACTCATCCCTCAAGCATGTGTGCACGTCACAAGCTGTTATCATCGATTGTGCACGTTATGCCACCATCTTGTTCTATTACAAATGTTGCTTTTGGTATCATGTCCCATCTAATGCGAGTCGGTGGCTCTTTTGAATTGAATTGTTCTTTATATGCACTGGATCACCTCCGCGGCATACCCCGTCCGCGACCGCGGAGAGCTCTTTGTGCAGCTCCCGGAGGCAGAGGCTGGCCCGGAGCTTGTGGCTGTTGGCTCTCTTCGTTGCGGATTGTCTCATCCACACCAAGGATCAGGCAGCTGGCCTCGGTGGCAGCCTGGATAGCATTGATCTTGACCAAAGCAGGTTCCCAGACGAACCTCTCCATCATATCTGTAACCCCCTCGTTGGTGAAGTCGACACCAGCCCAGGTGTGTCCCTTCGTGCCGTGCTCGACACGCAGCTTGTTGAGAATATCCGTAGCGTCAAAGCCAGCATTGTCGCAAAGCTGGCGGGGGATGACCTCGAGAGCCTTGGCAAAAGACTTGATGATCCCTTGTTGCTTGTGCGAGATGTTCTTATCGGCGAAGCGGTGCAGCGAGGTGGAGACCTCCATCTCAGTGGCACCACCACCACCAACAATCATGTGATGCTTGATAGCACGCTTGACAATCATGATGGCATCGTGCAGCGACCGCTCGACCTCAGCGATGAACTGCTCAGCTCCACCACGCAGGACAAGGGTGCAGGTCTTGGCCTCCGGGCACTCCTCGAAGAAGTTGAAACGCTCGCCACCAATCTGGCGCTCCTCGAAACGACCGCAGACACCAAGGTGGTGAGGCTGAATGTCTGAGCATGTAGACTGAATCGTGGCACCCGTGGCCTGAACAACACGCTCCATATCTTCCGAGGACACTCTGCCAGCACAGAAGACATCACGATCGGCAAAGTACTGGGTTGCCAGGTCACCGATCGGGAGCTTCGACAGCACAACCTTTGCTCCGGTCTGGTGGATCGCTTCGAGCTTCTTGAAGATGATTTGCCACTCGGCATCGACAATGGCCTGGTATTCCGAAACCTGCTCGACACGAACTTCTGCGTTGTCCTTTTCAGCCTTGAGCTCGAGCTCAACGTTGAGGCACACAATCTTGGGCTTGACGAATGACTTGGGCTGCTGCTCAAAGCCGGCGTAGGCGAAGGTCTTCTTGAAGGCGACGCCGTTGATGAAGAGGGAATCCGTCAGAGATCCACCGGGGATCTTCTTCATGCCGATGAGCTTCTCGTTGAGATCTTCTTGATCCAAGGTGAGGACAGCGTCGACGACCACTGCAAAAGGAATTAGCTCGCGTTCAGACTCGCTTTGGGGGTCCGCAGCTCACTCTTTGTGAAGAAGTCGGTGTTTCTCTTGATCAGCTTGCTGGTCATGGCAGTACCGGCCAATTTCGTCAGAGTGTCACGCTGGTTGGCCTCGTCTGTCCTGACCGCAATCTCCTTGATCTTGTTAACGGCAAGCTGGGACGCTCTCCGCAGACCTTTGATGATGATCTGAGAGCTGACACCCTGCTCCACGTGCTCTTTGACCTCTTTGAGAATCTCGCCAGCAAGGACGACAACGGACGTTGTGCCATCTCCGACTTCGGCATCTTGGGATCGAGCAATATCGACAAGGATTCGTGCGGCGGGGTGAACGATATCGAGCAACTGTAGAGCGGTCAGTTTGCGATTCGGGGCACACGGGCCACCGGGAAGGTTCCTTTGGCAAGTAATATGGCGAGAGCATGGTTCTGCGGGGGACGCAAGCGCAGGGCAGGGACGAGACTGACCTTCATGACAGTCGCACCGTCATTTGTGATAGTCTGCCTGCCATTCTGGTCGACGAGCAGGAGGTCACCGCCGTAGGGGCCGAGGGTCGACTTGATGGTGGCCTGGACCGCGAGGCAGGCATTGATGTTGGAGATGATCTGACCCTTTCCTTGGGAGGTATCGGTGCCTGTAAACAGTGATGTGAATGTCAGCGGCTGCGTTTCGCGTGCCAGATTGTGTTGCTTCCTGTGGTGTTGCTGCCCATCACGGGCAGTGTTGACATAGGAGGAGGGGCAGCTCACCCTCCTTGAGGACAATGATAGTGGGGGTCTGGCCGCCGAAAGACATCGTGAAGAGGGGTGCCGGGCTGGCAGCTTCGCGCAAAGTCGTGAGGAATGCAGTGCAGGATGTCGATGCACGGCACTGGTGATTTCAACCTTGTCGCTGGAGGGAGGGTGCGCCGGTCGGGTGTCGTGGGGAGGTTGCTTGCTTGCTGAACCCGCTGGTCGTCCTGGGCTGGAGACGATGCTGGAAGCTGTTGGAGCTTTTTTTTTGGTCCAACTGCAGCCTGCTTGCAATCTGCCAAGGGACCGCTGACCGCGTAAAGGGGGGCCCTGCGCTAGGCAATCTGAAGACTGGGGCAGTGGCACTCGGCGGGCGTGCCTGCCACCTGCACAGACCACTCACTTAGAGGTGGTGAGAGGCTCTTGCTTACATCATCCACCTACGCGACACGGCAAGTCCAGAGCTGGGAGTTGGACATGTATTCGTGCACTCACTCATCTTTGCGAGCTACTTCACACCATAGACGCTCCTCCAATGCTTGGGCTCAACCTCGTTACAAGACTTATGACTACTTGTCTTCTAATTACATTGTCGGGCACCGTCTGCATTGAGGCGCAAGATCCGTCGCTCTATTACGACAAGATACCCATCACGCTTCTTAAATTCCAGCTCTTGTTGGCATTCATCCTCTGGCCTGCAGGACACAAGCCCCAATTCTCCATGACCAACTGGTCCATCTTTGTAGCTGCCTCTTGTCCCGCGTAATGCCTTTGCCTTAGTCAGACAATAGCCCCGCGTGCCGAGCATTCGGCATTTTAATGATAGATATCAAGTCGCCTGCCCGCTTGCAAGACTTCACGCATTTAGTCCAAGCAAGCATATATGGCTTGCGGAGCTCAATCTTCGACTTCCAGTAGGCACGACGAGGGTGACAAGCAAGATCCGTGTTACTTTGCTCGGAGTGGGATTGGGCGAAAGAATATTTCTGCTCCATTGAGTTCTACGATAGCGGCATTAAGCGTTCCAGCTCCAGAATCGAGGCACCAATATCCGTGTTCGGATCGAGGTTCTCTGGCCGGCTTCATATGTGCAAGGAGGGACGCCCAATCAGTGCGATCCATGGATCGCGAAAGCGTTGCCTTGCCTAGCATTCTCACGTTTTGCTCATCCCAGATTGGCTAATGAACCCCTAGCGCTTATCACAGAGTTTATTCCAAAGGTCGTCACCGTCACTTGTTACTTTATTGGGAGAACCCGAGGCATGCTTAAGTGGCGATTATGCGAGTAAGCCGCCTAAAGAGGCGCAACGCGGATGCTAGACGACGGTGTTGGGGTAACGCTCTTGCATCCTCTAGTCGCCACGCCTGAGATGATCTAGACGAGCCAATTATAGCTTATTGCGCTGCATCGTGAACGCAGTTGCGTGGCCCGCATTAGGCGATCCTGGCAAGCTGGGACAATGTTGGTCTTGCCATGATGTCAAATCCTGGACATCCCGCCGCCATGAGCTGGGGGTTGGCGGTTGTCTTCTGTGAGTCTGTCGAGCGTTACACTCTTCGGGATTCTCGAAATTATTCACACAATCGATCTCAGCTTGCTTCCACTACTGGGCTTGCTTAATCAAGATGGGATTATATCAGAGAGACCTCCCAGACGGGCTCGATGAGTTTGATATCATCATTGCTGGTGGTGAATTTGACCCAACACAGCATTTGAACACAACTTGGATGCAAGGAATAGAGACTCATGCTCCATGTCGAAACAGGCGGCTCGGCAGGCTGTGTCATTGCCGGACGAGTCGCCGCTGCAGACCCGAGCTTGTCAGTCTTGGTCATCGAGGGTGGTCGAAACAACTACATGGATCCAGCTGTCATGACCCCAGCCATGTACCTCACCCATCTGATGCCAGACGGCGACTCGTCCATCTTCTATTCGACGAACAAGTCGAAGCACCTCGCCGACCGCGAGGTCGTTATTCCTGCTGGTGGCATCCTCGGTGGCGGCTCGTCGACCAACTTCCTGATGTACGCGCGACTCCCTGTTGAGATCTCTTGCCGGATACTAACGTGGTTCGCAGGTATACTCGGGCTCAAAGGTCTGACTATGACTCGTGGAACACCAAAGGATGGTCAACAGACGAACTGATTCCATATCTCAAGAGAGTGGGCGAGATCCTCCCCACAATGAAATAGAACAAGCTAACCACGAGATCCAGCTCGAAACCTACCACGGCCCTGGAGACGCCGAGGTGCACGGCTTTGACGGCCCCATCTCCGTCTCGTCCGGCACCTACAGGTGCCAGAAGAGCGAAGACGACTGGCTGCAGGCAGCCGAGCAAGTTGGCTACCCCGAGATCAGGGATTTGCAAGATCTCAAATCGAACAACGGCTTCCAAAGGTGGCTGCGCTACGTGAGTCCCCAGGGTATCAGGTCTGACGCCGCGCACGGCTACGTGCACCCGCGCCTGCGCGACGGCAAGCACCCCAACTTCCACGTGCTCGTCGAGTCCAAGGTTGTCCGCGTACTGTTTGACGACGACAAGAGAGCCTGCGGTGTCGAGTACGAGCCCAACGTCAAGTTCCACCCTCTCGTGGGTGAGGCGCCGCACGTCAAGAAGACCATCAGAGCACGCAAGCAAGTCGTCGTCTCCTGTGGTTCTTGCAGCACCCCCTCGGTCCTTGAGCGCTCCGGGCTGGGCGACGCCGCCATCCTCAAGGCTGTGGGCGTTGCAGTGGTCAAGAATCTGCCCGGAGTGGGAGCGGACTATCAGGACCACCAGACAATGCTGTACTCCTACAGCACGAGCCTGGAGCCCATGGACACCCTCGACGGGTTCCTGCAACAGCGTGTACCGCCGGAGGAGCTCGCGGCTCATCCTCATCGGGGTTGGAACGCGTGCGACATTGCCTCCAAGCTGCGGCCCGCCGATGAGGACGTGGATGCTCTAGGTCCCGGGTTCAGAGCAGTCTGGGACCGGGACTTCAAGAACCAGCCAGATCGGCCACTGGTGCTTATCGCCGTTGCGAACGGGTAGGTGGGCATGTACGCCCTGTATTCCTCTTTGCAAGTGAGAGCCACAGCTGACACACGATGGACGATCAGCTATTATGGCCAAGAGCCCGTCCCTGCAGGCCAGTACGTCACGCTCGTCACATACACGGCCTACCCATACTCGCGTGGCCACGTGCACATCACTGGCCCCGAGACAACAGACCGCGCAGACTTTGACGTGGGCTTTCTCAGCGACGAGCAGGACATCGACCTCAAGACGCACGCCTGGGCGTACAAGAAGGGCCGCGAGATCATGCGCCGCACCAAGATGCACACGGGAGAGGTCGGTTCGTTCCATCCCAAGTTCCCCGAGGGGTCCAAAGCTGCGGCTGTGCTGCTGCACCGGGACGCTGCCAACGACGAGAGAAAAGGGGACACCCTCCGCCGCCGCCGCGGCAGTGTTGCTTCGAACCTCGAGTATTCTCCCGAGGACGACGCCGCCATCGAGAGATTCGTCCGCGAGAACGTCAGCACGACATGGCACTCCCTGGGCACGGCGAAGATGGCCCCGCGCGAGCAGCTCGGTGTCGTCGACGAGCGGTGCAGCGTCCACGGCGTCAAGGGTCTCAAGGTTGCCGACTTGAGCATCGTGCCCAGGAATGTTGGTGCCAACACGAACAACACTGCGCTGCTTATCGGGGAGAGGGTAGCGGACTTCGTGATTCAAGACTTGGCGATCGGGGCCACTCCATGAGAGCTTTGGTTTGATTTCATTTGATGCCTGGGTATCTCTAGCGAATATGCGTCTGAATACATGGCAAAATGTCTGTCGCTTGTAAAAACCCAATGTGATGCTGAGCTACCGCGCTTCTTCTATTTCCACGTTCTTGTCCCATGTGGACTCTCTCAACAAGTGTCGTCATGTACTTCTATTCGAAATCGTCCAGGTTGCGAATCGCATAACCGGGAATGAAGCCGTCTGGGTCACAAGTCCGCTCCAGGCTGATGCGGTGTGTCTCGACCCATTTCTGCACTGCAGCTTTGTCAAGGCGGACCCGAGGTACCAACTTGACCACATCTTCGCCCTCTCCTCCTGTGCCGCCATGGCTGGAGCCCGTGGCTGCCGATTTGGAAGACGCGTGATTCGAGTGGTCTGCTGTGCCGTGGTGTTTAGGGTCGTCAGAACTCGAGGCAGTGCCGTTTTGGCTGCGCTTGGCGGGCCCAAGACCAGCTTCCTCGACCAGCCCCATGTCGCGCAGTATCTGCAGACAGTCCTCGGGCACTATCCATGTCGCCTCGCTGCAATCTGCAATGTCCACAAGGACCTCGTGGTCCGCCTTGTCGTCCTTGGCCGCCCGCCTCTTCTCTGCACGCGGTGCTGACGCAGGCAGACTCAGCAGCCAGCGGGCGATTTCACCCGCCCAGAATCGATTATACCCTTTCCTGCCAAGTTCCGAGATGGGCTTTTCAGGTCCTCCAAGGACGCCCTCCCGCCGTGAGATGGCATAAGACACGCCCATAAGCAAGGAGCCGAGTCCTTTCCGCTGCCAGGGTGGGAAGACGAGGATGCATGCTAGGTTGTTGTTGTCCCATGACACCTTCTCCTTCGAGAAGAACCCGACTATTTGCGGGCGAGCTATAGCAGGCGGTGCTCCTTCGCCGAGGGCCGGATCAGGGTACTCCTTGCGACTGCCATCAAGGGCGAGTTTTGGTGTATAGACGAGCAGGAAGTAGTTGAAGCCGGTGACATCGAAGAAGACAGACTTGTTGTCAAGAAAGAGCTTGGCAAACAGCGAGAGATTTTGGCAGAACAGCTGTTTTTTCATGGTCAGTGATATTTTGAGAGTGCTGACAAGGGCTCAATGCTAGGATCACTTACGCCGTCTTTCTCTCCATCTACTTCCCACACACTCCATTCGCCCTCACTGTCTAGGCTGACCGCGCTTGGATCTGGCTTGGCTTCCTCGTGCACATGGCCTTTTCTCCGCGCCTTTCCTGTATCTGCAGTCGCTGTATCCGAACCACCTGCCTGGTGCGTCCTGGGTTGCCGCACTCCAGTTCGCGGGTGGGTATATACTTTGCGACCTGGTACGTGTGCCTTGCGCTCGCAGTAGCGGATATGTTCCCACCATGTGGCAAGTTCTCGACTGTACTTGAAGCAACAGGGACACACGAGGAGTCTCTCCAAGATAGGCTGGGGAGCAGCGTGCTTGCCACCACCGACCTTGCCGACTTGACGAGTGGGCTGTCCGTCCTTTTCTGGACCAGCATTACCTGCCGAGTCGGCAAGGACTTCTTTGGGATAGTAACTTGGGTACCACGCTCGGAAGCAAATATTTCCCAGAAATACCTTATCGATGTTTCTGTCTGGCCCTGGAGTTGACGGCGGCTTCAGCGGCCGAGACTGCCGTTTTGGAGTAGTCTTGACGGCAGATCTTGGCTTGGCGACAGAGCTAGCCAGGGTCTTTTCTGGTGACGTCTGTCCTGGAAGAATACGACTCTGTTGGGATGTCTTCGGGTTTGGGGGTTCAACTGCATGTTGAGGCTGCCCGGGCGGGAGTGCGGAGCTAGCCAGCCGGACTTGCTCGCGCTGGAGCTGGAGAGGGTGCTTGGGAGGCGATATGGGTGTCTCTACTGGGACGGGGTGTGCCCGCGGTTGTGACGGTGAGGTTGGACCGGCGTTGGGCTCGCGACGAGTCTGCCTCGTGGATTTCGACTGCGGTTGTTGTTGTGGCGGTGGTGGTGCTGCTACCGTCCTCCTTGTTCGTGCCGTTTCTTCGGGAGACGAGGGGATCGATGGTGGAGGGATGGCCGTCGTCCGGCGAGGGCCATCTCGGCTGGCGGGTCGTGGTTCCGCGACATACGTATCACTCTTGCGCTTGCTCGTTCGTGAATCGGAGGACTTTTCGGAGGCGCCCGCCCTGGTGCGGCCGCTCCGCAGCTGTTTTGGAGGCTCGTCGTCGGCGGTGGTGGGATGTTGGCGCGTCGCGCGTCGCGTGGACTGGTTCTCGGTGGAGGGCTTCTCGTCATGCAACTGTTTCCGCTTCGGCACCGCCATTGCGGTCGCTGGTCACCGGTCGGTACGGTCAGTCATAAAACCAGGTCTCTCTGGTCCAGAAGACAGCCATGGACTGGGCCTGCAGGTGTGGTGTTGAGGTTGTTTCGTCGTTTGCCGTGTTGCTCGGACAAGAAATCGCTGGGGCCCATTACGTAAGTACGTATTTTTTGGGCGCAGTTAGACTTACACGACGAGGAACCACGATGTGAAAGTACGCTCGACTACAAAATGTTTCAAGAGCACCTTAGACTCACTTTGCAGATCAGATAAAGGTTCACTTTGGGATAATTCAAAGCGCTGATATATTGCTTGCTACTTGGATTTTCAAATCCTATGCACTCTTGGATTATGCACAGAGATTCGGACAGGAGCTGCCACACCATGACAACAAGCTCCTTCCGCACAGTCTGAGCGCTCTGTTTCATGCATGGGCCATAAGCGCCTTCTGCTGCTCCAGCCGAAGCTTCTTGAGCGGGCAGACGGGTCCAGAGACCTTGACTCCCTCCAGCCCGGGCTTGCTCGTGACCTGGCCCATGACCCGGTCAAGTGTGTCGTCGTCGTCCTCCCACAGCTTGACGAGCACCATCTCGCCTCTCCGGGCTTTGCGCACGTCGCGGGTGCGATAGACAGAGTCGATTTTCCGCACGTCCAGCTGGTCGCTTAACACCCAGCGCTTCTCATTCTCCCAGAAGCTGCTGTAGCTCTTGTCCTCGCCAAAGCGTGCCCGCACGTTGCGCTCCAGCCGGAGGCGGATGTCTGACTCGAGAACGTGCATATTGGCTTGGGAGACTTGATTCATGCCGTCTGCACCAAATATCGTCGCGGTGTTCAGCGGATAGCTCAGCGCGGGCGACACAATCGGAGAAATTGCGTCCTTGACCAGGGAAATCCCTTGCCAGACAAGCAGACTTTCAGAGCCGGCCGCAGCCTGCATGACGCACGCCAGACCGTTGAAAGAGAGGGCGCAACGCCCAAGGTTGAAGTACTGGAGGGACTTGCAGTCGCGCACAAGCGAAACCATAGCGCTCGCCGCCTCGTCGGTGATGTAGTTGTATCCTGCTCCCAGGTCCGCGGTGGCATACGCCTGGCCCAGGTCGAGGACAGACAGGGACTGGTGGCGTCCCAGGGCTGTGCAAAGCGCAATGGCGCCGTCGGCACCGAGGCCGATGGATTGGATGACGAGGCGTTTTAACGACTTTGCCCGTGGCAGGTACTCGGCGAGGGCGACCGCGCCGGCATCTCCAAGTGGGTTGCAGGACATGTATATGCTCTCGACGAGCGCTCCGGCCGGGCTGGCGAGGAACTTGCCCAGGGCGGCCGCCGCGCGAGTCGAGATGCCTATCCCATTCAGGTAGAGGTTGCAGAGGGATAGTGCCTCACCCTCCTCAGGTTGGTACCCAGCCAGCAGTCCGAACAACTCGGCTGCGCCGCCATCCCCGAGCTCAGTCTGGTCCAGATCAAGAGTCCGCAGGTTCTGGCACTGCGTGATGAGCCTGGCCAGGTCTTTGGCGGAGCCCGCCCCGAGCGGGTTTCGTTTGAGCCAGATATTTGTAACACTTGTGCTCTTGACCATGGCATCCACGAGGACCTTGAAGCCGGCGCCGTCGATGCAATTGCCAGCCAGGTACCATGTGTCCATGCGATTGGGGAAGTCATGTATGAAGTCCCCGATTGCGCGCGCACCTACGGGGCCGATGATGTTGTTGCCGAGCAGGAAATGCCGGACGAACGTGTTTGTGCGGAGGGACTGCATCAAGGCCCCGATGTGGTCAGGGCCGACAACCTGCTTGCATAGGTCAAGCCGAGCATCCTCATACAGCACACCCCGTCGGAACTCGAGACCCGGTGTGTGGTAGTAATCCTCGCCCTCCCCATTCCCAAGCAGGACTGGGCCTGTGAGTGTTTTTCTGGCCACTTTCTCGTGGTCGTCCGAGGAACTGGCCGAGCTGTCTGAATCTGAATCAAGCTCCGGCATCTCCTCCTCCTCCTTGTTACCATCATCGCCAACAACAACAACAACAGCAGCAGCGGTAGCAGCAGTGCCTGGCAACTCATGTGTCCCTCCCGCCGCCACCCACTCCAGGAACGGCTCAAACTCGCGCCTGTCCGGCACGCGGACCGGCATCGGCAGCGCGGGGACTCCCTTCTTCAGCATCTCCAGCTCCTCTGCGGACGGGTTCCACCGGCCCTGCCGGCGAATCCGGGCGTCCCACGTCGGCATATCCTCGTGCCTCTGCGCGTGGCACGCGGCGTCGAACTGCCTCTGCAGCGTGACGTAGTCGCGGATCCGCTTGCGATCCTCCTCGTACCTGATCAGCGCCGACAGCGAGCCCGCCTCGGTCGGGAACAGCAGGCCCGCGAGGACGACTGCCAGGGACCCCCGCGCGGATTTCCGGCGTGGCAGGGCCGCGACGGCGTCGGCGACCCTGTGGGCCGGGGTGAGTAGCGGCAGGGCGAGCATGGCGGCCTTGTCGGCGTGGCTGAGTCGGTCTGGCCTGACGGGCGACTCGAGGATGGTTGTGATGGCCGACTTGTATAGCGAGGCCAGGTGTGCTGCCTCGCTGAGGAGATCGTCGTCCATGGCTGCCACCTCGTTCGATGTTGTTGTACTGTCAATGCTGACGTCTCGTGACGATGAGAGTGATATCGATGGTGTCGATGGCACGACGTCCAGGGACGACGGTAATCGTGTGGCGCAAGCCATGATGTCCTGCCTGGGAGACTGAAGGAACTGTAAGTGGCCTCCTGAACAAACGAGATATTTCTTGCGTGGCGGTTCGAGCAGTCTTATAGTTGTTTATCGTGAGTACACCCATTTGTTTTGGTCAGGGTAAAGAGGCTCTCAGCCATATGACAGCCGTGAATTGGCAACTATGCCAAGCCGGTATGACTCAAGGATATACGCCCACAGAGAATCAAGAGTCTACTGTCGGAGCCGATCTCGCTGTGTCTATGCTTCACAGCGTTGGAAAGTCCTAGGCCTTGCATGGGCAGGTTTACAAGTTCCAGAAGCCCATGGATTACCAGAGAAGATAAAGACGGGAATCAGGCAATCGGAGCACAAAGCTGTAGAGGGTGTCATTGGGGAGTTCGAGTCATCGTATGTGCTTCCGTGGAGTTCAGCTACTCCACTCCTAATCCTGGGTCTCCAGGTCAGCGTGGCTGTGGGGAGGGGTCCGTCAACCGCAACACACCAAAGCACTGATTAACGACCGCCCTGGAAGATGAAGTACGTACTTGGTTTATGCAAGCTTGCCGAATGTATGGATAATCTGACAGGCATGCAGAAATTCATCGCTGATGTTCTCCCAAGCGGATAATCTTATTTCCAAGTGGTCTGTTTTCAATCTAGGGGTTCAGTACCGGGACCTGGAGAGCATGGAGAGCTACAAACATCCATGGAGGCACTAACATGGTACCGTGCTGATCACCGCTGTGCCTCAGCCTTGCCAGTCCGCGTAGTGGGTACAGCCGTTGCAGGATTACACAATATTGGAACGTTAGTGTGTATCTTCCTCACCAAGCATTTCAACCAGCGGTCGTCGATCACAACTTACGCTTTTGGGAACCTCATAAAGAGGCATTTCAAGACCATTTCACAGCTCGCGTAGCTATAGATCAAGGCCCCCGATACTTGCGGCTCCAGCATAGCATAAATCAGGCGAAGCCATTGCCCGGCCAGATCAGGAGTTCGGAGCGTCGCATCCTCACCAGTGCACATAGAGGTCCGTGTGAGTCACAGAAGAAATGGCTTCATCTAGAGAAGGTGTCTTACTTTACATTCGAGCTGCGGCTGCCCAGCCCCCAAGCATGCATGGACTTCGGATTCATAGAGCATCATGTCTTTTGCGAGTCGTGTATCTAGGCTAGATTGTACAAAGAGTCCAGAATGACAGGCGGCCAGGTACATACCGAATAGAACCTCGGCATCATTACGCGCATGCTTGCATAAAGGATACAGCATGAGCACTTGGGGGGACCATGAAGACCTGGACGGCCTCAGGGACAGTCGAACATGCACGTCAATCCGGACACCGGATTTTGGTAGCTTAGATACCGTCAAAGTCGCCTCCAAGGTCGTCTTCGTCCAGGTCGCCTTCCTGTATTTCCTTGGCCATTTCCCGCTCACGCTCCCGAGCCTCCTGTGCGTTCTTCAGCTCTAGACGGTGCTGGTTCATTGGGAAGCGCATAGCCTGGTAACAATCAGTTAGCCGCAATCCGCCATTGTTTACTCGGCTCGGTCAACATACCTTTACACTCTCGTCGTGGAGGGCGAGACAAGCCCTGATACGGTCGTGGAAAGCCTCGCCAGGCTCGCGTGTGGCGTACACATCACCTACTTCCTTGCTCTTCATGAAGCCATGCTCACGGTCTAGAGTCGCCTCAATCACCCCATCCCGAATGGCCTTGGCAACAATGTACTCGGCGCTCTCCTCGCTGCCTAGGTGCAGCCTGATACAGATGTCTCTTAAGGAGATTCTGCTGTAGCTCAAGCTCATCATGCGGATACCAGTCTTGATCACGTTTTGGCGCAGGCGCAGAATCAATGAGTAAGTGTTGTCGCGGCGGAATGTGTCCGCGTGCTCGGAAATGGTCGTTTCGAACTCTTCAAGATTGCCCACACGGACGGCTTGGACGAGTAAGAAGTAAGGGTGCAGCGCCTGCTCCATGTTAGGTACACGGAACTGGGCTCTCTCCGGAATATCACCCATCAACAGCTCCACAATCAGAAGCAGCTTGGTTGCCGAGTGAGCAAAGCCGAGAGCGCAGTTGCTGGCGGGCGCCTTACGCGTCGCCGCAGTGAGGTGCTCTTGCGCCTCGGTGTAACGGAGCTGGATTGCCCGGATCCGGCCAAGGTAGTACAGAAACCGCGCCACTTGGTTGTTGGCGGCATTCTCGGGGAACTGTGTATGCGAGACGAGGAGGTCGGCTTGCGAGATGTGCGAGGTGAGGAGGTAGTTGCGCAGCAGCAGCACAATGACAGAAGCCTGAGTGTCGATGTCCTTGCGCAAAACAGCTGTCCTGAGTGCGGCGAGCAGCGCCGGCCGGATCGAGACAATAGGCGACTGGGGGGAAGGAGGCAACGGTGCAAGGCTCTCGGCGCAGAGCTGGTAGTAGAAGTAGACCTTGGCGGACAGCGAGTCCAGGGTTCTGCGGTTCAGCGAGTGGATGCGCTCAGTAAGGTATTTCGAGAACTCAAACCCCTGCTGGAACTTCTTTGAGTCGTACAGGAAAACCTGCACGAGCACGCCCAAGAAGATGTCGATTTCGGGAATCACATCCTTGGTCTCCTTCTTGCCATTCTTCGCCGAGGTCTTTGATTCGCCTTCGGCCTCCGTCTCGCCAGCGGGCTGGCGGCCCAAAGGAGTATCCTGCTTGTTGATACCTGCGAGAAGCTGCTTGGCGACTGTGGTAGAGTTGCCTGTGGCGGGGAATGTCTCGGAAATGGCCTGGGCAAGGATCTCGGGTGTGAGGCGCTTCCGGAGCGACGAGATCGACCTCAGTGCCCGCAGGGTGAATCTGGCGTCGAAGAGGGTAACGGCACGGTCTAGCAGCGCGAAATTGCTCTTGATATCTATATGGGCGAGTTGGTGATGTCAGTATGCGAACATTGTATCGCGCCGCCAGCTTCGCTCGCTATCCATAGCTTCACCACCGGCAATGAGAATGAACAGTCATACCTGATATAGCCTGGGTGACAGGGTCGACCTTGATCTCGGTGCTCTCTTCGTCCACATCCATGACGACGTCACCTTCGGCATCACCAGCAGGCTGGGATCCTTGACGGGCGTTCTTGGGAGGAGGGACGACGACAGTCATATCGTCGCCCTCCTTGGCGCCCTTCTTCCCAGCCTTGCCCTTGGGCGCGGTCTTGTCATCCGTCATCTCGACGTCCTTGCTGCTCCTGGTGACGCGGTCGGTCGGCGGCTTGCCGTTGCGCTGGGGTGTCTTGCCCGGCATGGCGAGACTGGTGCTATGAAGCGGGTCTAAGTTTTGTAGGTTCCGGTTTTACCAGCTGTAATGTGCCTTCGACAACACCTTGGCTGCGCACTGGTAGAGGATGTCGCCGCCTGGTCGAGATGGCGAGCCTCAAGCTGCTGATGACGATGGGCGGGCCGCTATCGGGTAGGTAGCGCAGAGCAGACTGTGGTGATGGTGAGAACGGGGCTCGAGTCAACCAAGTAGCTCGTGCCGTGCTTTACCTGCAGTCTCTCGGCTTCGACGTAGCTTCAATGTCGAGGATGCTGGTAGTCGTGGACCTCGAGGTTGGGCTTGAGGAAGGTGGTGGCGTGCACAGATGGCGGGCGGCGGAGAGTGCTAGGAGCTCTGGCGGGCGTGTGGGAGGAGGGCTCGACGCGGAGAGAAAGGCGCCCTAGGTGGGTGGCGTGTTGGCGAAGAGACGTTGGTGGGAAGGAGAGGCAGAGAGAGTCGTGCTGGTTCGAGCCAAGCGATGGAGCTGACCCAGTTGTGTGTGCTGTGGTGGTTTGTCACGGGTTCCGAAATGATGCAAAAGCACTGAGCAGCTCGGGTCTGGCTGCGTGGCGGGCATGGGCCTGAGCAGAGGGCAGCCGCAGCCATGGGGAGGGAGAGCACGACCATCCATCAGTGGGATGAGCACCCAATTACGGCAACGGCGGGGCGAGCCGGCGCGCACTGTGCCAGGTGAGACACATCCAAAGCTTGTAAGGCTGCCATGAGGCCGACGACGTACAGTACAAAGATGCGATACTACTGTGCTCTCTAGCTCTGGCCTCGACCATCACTCACTCGCATCACCCTTTCCCGAAGACTTGACAAGCTCCTGCATCAGAAAATCATGAAGTCTAAATATACCAGGCTCCCGAACACTACCTGATATTGAATCCCCAAGACGGATCACCTGGACAACCCGGGATCAACGCTCGTAGACGCTGCTCAAATGCTGCAAGGGCGAGAGCCCCAGGTGTGGCAGGTGGGGCACAAGCCAGAGCGTGCTGCTGAGTGACGTTTGCGAATTGGTGCCTGCTCTGCCTTGCCCTCTGTGACGCCAAGCAAAATGCGTCAAAGCTTCAAGCTAGCCGCAACCCCCCAGCTTATACAAGGCGATCCATGGCGATGCGTCTTACAGACTCGATAATACTTGCAGCTTCATGCTGTTTAAACGTAAATGGCTTCTTTTCACTCAAAGTTGATGCCTAGCAATGCATTCTCTTAACTATGTTCTCGAATGTGGGCAATGTTTTGCTCGTGCTTCAATACGCCACGACACCAATCAGGACTGACATGCGGCGCTTTCAGAGGACACTCGATTTCATCAAAACACATGCAAGTCATGTTGGCTGTCAAGGAGCACATAATAATTATTTACTATACACTGAAGGCATACAACACAGCAGGACTGGGAGAGGTATCAAGTCGAGCTCGGATTGGTACCCTCTGCAATATCGTCGCGGCAAGGTCAAGTCACATTCTCCGCAGCTTCCACCGTGAGCACCGACCTAGAGACGGTGTCGTGCCCGGAATTCTCATGCAACAAAACGCACAATGATTGATGAATAGCAATATCATTGGTATCGTAAGACCGAAAACCCCCCCAAACCCGAAACGAAACCCGGCAACTCTCGGAACGCCAAACCTTGATTTCCACCCATGTGATAATGCAATGCGTAGGATGATGCGACCCTCCTAAGAACCACTCTCCACGACCTCACTCCCTTCGCAGTCGCTTCCTCTTCCCTGCCTCATCAGCGACGCCTGCTCTCTTTGCTGTACCTCTAGCACCGCCGCGACCCTTCTGCTGCGGTTGTCGACGAGCTCTCTTTAAGGAAGGCGACGAGCCGCTCTAAGCCTCGTCCCGACCTGTGGGCATGATCTTGGCGGCCTGGACGGCACTCAGCTTTGAGTAGTAGTTTGCGCTTGGCTGTGCCTTGCGCACGGTGCGCAGCTCATCCGACGTGTAGCCGGGAATACGCAGGTTGTACACGCGCTCAATAACGAGCTGCAGATCGCGAATCTCGAGCACCTTGCTGCCACGCTGCTTGGCCATCTGGCATGCCTCGTTGATGACATTGTCGACGAAGGCGTCGGCCACGTGGAGAACGGACTAGAATGGTAGTGATCACAGATTAGCGAGGCGTGAAAGGCGGGTGACAATGGGCAAGATCGACAATGGGCAAGCTGGAAACATAGTGGACATACCTCTTCAACGTCGGGGGTCAGGTAGGCTGTATCAGCAGACGTCCCTCCTCCAACGACCTGGCGCACGAGCTCGTCAAGCTTCTTCTTGGATAGCACGTGGTCTCCATCGGCATCAAAGTTGTAGCCCGCGGCGTTCTTGGCAATCACTGGCTGGTTCATGACACCTCCTCCAACTCCACTGCCCGCGCTATAGGTCGGCCGCCCGTTCATCACCCCGCCGCCTACGTTGACAGGCGTCGGCACAGCAGTCGCTTTCTCCGGTAGATTCTTCGAAATGGGCATCTTGGGATTCATGTTCGCCGCGTTGGGTTGCGGGTGAGCGTGTGGATGGCCAGTCTGCTGCACTCCGCTCATAGCGCCTGCAGATCCGGGCGTTGTCGTGCCGTTCGTGCCATTTGTGGGCTGGCCGGTGACGTTGGTGGACGAGTTGGCCCTGTTGACTGCCGCGGCGTGGGAGAGTGGCCGGACTGGCCCTGCAGTGGCAGGAGTCGTCGTCTGTGGTGTCTGTACGCGATTCATGTTCGCACCTCCTGGCGTCGGCGTGCCAGCAGAGGCAATGTTCGCAGATGCGGCAGCCACAGCTGTGTTGACTGGTGGCGGTGGTGGCGGCTGCTGCTGGACGCCTGGCTCTTGCTTAACGGCCACGTGGGGGGCAGAGGCAGCCTGTTGCTGCTGTTGTTGCTGTTGCTGCTGCTGCTGTTGTTGCTGCTGGGCGAGTCCTGCGGCTGCTGCTGCGGCCGGCGTGCCTGGCTGCTGTGGTGTCTGCTGCGGCTGTTGCTGTCCAGCGGCCATCGCGGGCTGTCCCGCGGCGAGTTGCTGGTTCTTTGCAGCGTTCATGGCCGCATTGACGGACGCACTGGCAGCTTGTATCGACTGGCTCGCCCCCGTGTTCTGTCCCTGCATTGGCTGCTGCGGTCGCGCCTGCTGGTTCTGGTTCGTGGCCGCGGACAACTGCTGCCGGATGTGGTTGACGAGTTTCTGGCACTCCATGTACTGCTTCTGCGCCATGTCCTTCTGGTCCGTCAACTTCTTGAGCTCCTCCGGCGGCAGAGAGTTCTGTTTCTCCTTGATGAGGCTGTCCGCCCCCACGATCCTCGCCTTCAGGTTCTCCATGTTCCACAGGCTTTGGGCGTACTTGTGCTTAGTGTTCCGCAGCCAGTTGTTTCTTATCTCCAATGGCTGCTGTGCTTGTGGCGGCACCGGCAGCGCATTCCAGGGCAGCGAGTTTGTGTGGTCGAGGATGTTCTGAGGTAGTCCGCCTTGGCCTCTGGCTGCGCCAGCTGCGCCGGCAGCGTTCTGCGCGCCCGCTGCAGCCGCATTGCCTGCAACACCGGCGCTTTGAGCAGCTCTCGCCGCCGCCGCTTGCTGCTGCTGCGCCTGTTGCTGCTGTTGCAACAAAGCCCTCTGTTGCGCCGTGAGCGCGTTGAGCTGGCCAGCGTTGGGCATGCCCTGGCCCATCTGCTGTTGTTGCTGCTGCTGCTGAAGCTGCTGCTGACCGCCAGGTTGCCCAGGTTGAGGCACCTGCCCTGGTACGCCGCCGCCGCCGCCTTGTGCTGCCGCTGCCGCCGCTTGCTGTTGGCGCACCTGGAGCGTCTGAATCTTCTGGAAGACCATGCGCGAAAACTGGTCGACCTTATTCTTGGCCTGAATATGCGCTTGGCTGTCCGGGGGGTTGTCCTTCATGCTCTGCCACAGCTTGCGCAGGCCATCCTCGTACTTCTGCTTCTCGGCCGCGGTGAGAACGGGCAGCGCCGCCAGATTCTCCGGTCGCAGGAGACGCACTGGCGCGGCCTGCGCCTGGCCCTGAGGATTCATTGTGTCGGGTTATGGTTATGACTGATTTTTCTGAGGCTGTTCCTCGCGCAATATGGTACAGCGGTGTCGACGCTCGTCGTGGGTTCGAGGGCCGCGTCGGGAGCGACTGTCGGCCAGGATGTAAGTGGTTGGTAGGACGGCGGGAGTCCGATGGTGCAGTCGCGTCGACGCGGACTCCGGTTCGTCTGCACAGCGCTGCTACAACGTGCCAGGTGCGATGGGACCGTGGCCGCACTGCTTGCGATGGCTGCTCAAAGCACAGCAGGATTATTTGATAGGTGGCTGCAGCTCACAGATGGTAGTCGCGGTCGCGCAGAGGGCATCAGGCATCCAAGCCAGGCAGATGTTCCCGTTCCAAGCGACAGGCTACAGTAGAGCCGATGGTGGCTTGAATCTCGTGTGGCTGGTGCGCAGCCGTCCTGCCTGCGACATGCACAGGTGAGAGCCAGAGCCATCTTTTATACACGAGACGCTCCACTTTAATCACAACCTGACCACCCAGGATGGTGCATCCCCCAGGTGCGTCTCCTCGAAGAGCAATACTTCATCCCAAACCTGCTCGATACTGTCAAGACCGCGCGCACTCAGTCACACGTTGGATTTTTTCATCCACAAAAATATTTGATCCAGCTTCGAAAATTGGTGTCATTTCAAGACAAAGGCGCAGGCATACACTCGTGCAAGTGAGCCGCTTTCTATATAGCTAAGCAACATTTCATCATTATCATCAGTTGTTCAGTCGTGGTCGTGGTCGTCATGCAGTCGTGATCTGCTTTTCTTGGCCCAGCCCTGATCCGACGCGGTGTCTATAGAATGTGAAAATGGTATCATGAGAAATAAGTTGCTGAAGTCTTTCATTGACATTTCAGATAGTGTACGCCCAATTGGCCGCTTGCGAACTCGGTGTTTGGATGTTTGTGCTGCTCAGCAGGATGTGCCCGTGGTAAGTCGCATAGCTCAACAGCATCATGCCCCTTGCCAAAAGCAGAAGGCATAAAGCCGCTGGCAGCCGCGAATGTTCCGTGGTTCTTAGGGGGTCTGGCTGATAGCGACAATAAGTCGCGACAAGGTGGTGCGACTATCTCGACTTGGTGGAAATGGCTGGAGGGCGGCGGTCTCTGATGCAGCCAAGCAGACATTGCGTGCTCATTCCGAGTCAACATCCATGAAGGTCCAGAACGGGAGCTCTCTGGCAAAGAGCTCGGCATCTTCGAAGATGATCTCGTCGTCGCTGTTAGGCTCCTTGAGCTCTTCAATCCTTTCAGGGAATTGACCAGAAAACTGCATGCTGTGGCGATCTGTCTTGCGACGAGTCCGGCGAAATACAGGCCCACTATCAGTCGGCTCGTAATATGGGAGGACGTCTTCCCTGTCCGAGTCACTGCCTCGCTCACTGACGGTACGTTTACTTATGCTGCCAGACTTCATCCGCCGTATGCGCCGTTCTTGACGCTGTCTCTGTCTATGCCGCTCGAACTCGTCGTTGTCGTCCAAGTCATCGTCTGTGTCGTCGAATGGATTGAGGTCCGCAAAGTTGCGCTGGAAGGCTGGGTCCAACTCTCGAGGACCTCGCGAGCGCGAACGACTCGGCTCAGAGTCGGGATATTCAAACTCATAGGGCAGAAGAACTTCCCCATCTTCGCTCCCAAGCTCGTAATCGCCCAGATCCTCAATGATCAAGTGATCCGTCACTATAGTGATTGTGGTAGCGATGCGTGTGTAGTCCATATATGGTGGTGGGACACGATGTGATGGAGGTGGAGCTGGCGGACTGGCGGGATTGCCAAGCTCCTGCTCTTCATCGTCAGCCTCGTCGTCATCGTCTTTGTCCGAACTTTCAGAATCGTCGTCAGACTCAGACTCGTCCTCGTCCTCGTCCTCGGCATCCTCCGAGTCGTCACTGCCGGCGTCAAGAAGGGCATTATTCTTCTCGTCCGCATCTTCATCGTCGTCAGAAGAGGCCGGAGAAAGATCCTCGGGCCGCAGATTACGGGAATAGCTGAATTTAGTGCCGCCGAGTGGTCGTAGGTTCTTTGGGGGGTTTCCGTGTTTTGAAGTGGTGGGCGACGATTTTGAGGCCATGCGGGCGTGAGGTGGAGCCTTCCGGCCAGTAGTCGGGGATGCCGTAGTAGGAGTCTGAGGCGGCGACGGTGAGGTGGGTTCCGTAAAACGCCGGGCAGCGCTACGCCTCCTTTGTGCCCTAGTCTTAGGCATAACGAGCAATGCTCTCGGCGGGAGGACGGCGACGGAAGAAGCTCTTATCGACAGCCGCTGGATGTGGGGTCAAGATCGCGGGGCCGCACTTCGAGGTGTCGAATTCAATGTGGTGGTAGGAAGGGCTGCACGTTTTAGGGCCTCAAAAGCCAAGCAAGGACAAGTCTCCGACAAGGAGAAGAAGTCGTGATTTGGCGCTTGAGCATGATCTTCGAGGGATAGGCGGAGGCAGGGTCGGACGCAGCACACCAGCCCTTTACACGACTATGACGAGTTCAGGCTGGCGGGGTCTGTGGGAGGTGAGGTGGCTCCTCGCAGCGACGATTCGTGACGGACAAGATCGCAAGGTGTGTGAGTGCGACCGCAGGCACACTTGTCGAGTGTTCGGGTAGTAATTGGGCGAGAGCCGATGCCACCAATGGTCAAATGGCGAAAGTGAAGAACAATGGCAAAGCCATCAACCGGTGCCGCTGGCGTGGGAGGGTGCTGAAAATATATCCGACTTTAGTATTGGGGGGGGTCGACTGGGTCCTTGGGTCGTTCCCCTCCTCGGCGCTGCGTCGTCGTCCCGGAAGTAACCCGACCAATGTCACCTCTCTTGCGCTGGCCCAAAGAGAGCCGTGGCTAAAGGTGAATGAGGAAATTTTGACTGGAATCCGTGGCAAGGATTACAAAAATAAGAAAAGAAGCTCAGAGAAGTGGCTGGGGGTGATGATCGGCCGGATTGGGGGTTCAAAGCGGGGGTGTGCTGGACGGGAACACCAAAACTCATATGCGTGAGAGGCGGCAGGGGTGGCAACAGTACAGTATGTCCCGGCAATGTGTCAGCCCGCTGGCCTGCGATGGAGGGGTTGCTCGAGAGGAAAGACTGTCAAGGCTGAGCGCCGAAAGGTGTGTTTCGTGGACGAGAACCGCCAGGAGGGGCCACCTGCATGGGCAGCAGAGAGGGTGTGCAGGTGAGGGCCAGGCGTTGTCGGCGAAATGCGGGTTTTGGGCAGCAACACGGCCAAATAGTCTTTTCCGCAGTCGATGAGCCTTGGGAAGGCTGTGGATTGGGCTGTCAGGAAGCCAGGAGGACGAGAGGTGAGGCTAGACAGTGGACGAGGTGCTCGCTGTTGCGGTTCCAAGGCTCGCAACAGTAGTTGGAGCTGACCATATATACGATGCAACAATAGGGATGGCCAGGACTAGCGTCGCATTGTCTTTCGAGGGACAAACTCGTCGGCTGAACTTTGAGAGCGAGGAGGGAAGGCACGGAGCGGTCAGGCAACCCGCACCCAGTCAGCCAGGGCCCAAGGCCCAACTTGCATAAGTCGATGCTTTGAGTCGTGTGCGGCAGTCCAGCATAGCAGGCAAGGCCAGAAGCGACCACGGAACGAATCACTCGGTGCATCAGTCCAGCTGAATGGCACAGCTTCGGGAGTCTTGGTGTGCCACATTCTTCCAGCCACGGACCATATACGGGTCCAGACTCGCACGGTCTCGGCACGCATGAAGCTCTGGCGGCCTAGTCGGGACGATGAGCTGGCACGGATACCATGCATAAACCCCGTGGGTTCGAAGTAGACGATTGTTTCGAGCTGCCCAAAGGAGACCGGATGGGTTCGGCAGCCTTGTGCGGGCAAAGAGGCACGACTGTCATGGCCAGGCCCAATCGTCGGGTTGCCATGACCTCTCGTTGGCTGAAGAACACAGCGACGGAGCGGTCCGCTAGCGAGAAATGTCTGTCCTGGCGAGCGGGAACGACACGGGGAGAGGGCCGGGGAGCAGTACCTGCGCAAGTGCACGGCGGCGGTGAGGCAACGTGATGATGTGCGTGCGTGACGTGTGCCCAAGTGGGTGCTTCAAGGTCTGTAGTCTCGGTCTGTCTGGACCTGCCAAGCCGGGACTGGTGGACGATTCACGGTGCCTGGCTTGCACATGTGGATTTCACGATTGTACATGGGACAGCACTTGGTGGTGGAGAACCGATGCTGAGCTGTTGACATCAGTTCCCAAGTCGACTTAGTGTGCACCACCCCCACCAACACGGACACGGACGCGCCCAGCATTCATCAGAGCTCCGCACCATGCGCCAAACAACCACACCAGCAGTGGCGAGAGAGAACATTCTTGACAACGAATTTCAAAGGTCGTGGCACTGGACAATCCTGTCACGTGGGCGGCGAGACTTCAGCTGACACAGTCATTGCGAGCACGTGCCCCCCCTGCTGGCCAACCTCGCCATGTCACATCTTCTGTCTGCTCACTTTGAGCAGATTGCCATCTCCTGCCAGGGCATCGACAGCCTCCCGTAAGACGTTCCACGTGCGTAAGGACGTTCCTGATGCCTATACTGACCAGATCCTCTTTCATGGCAGCTTTCCGCAGCCCAAGATATTCACCAATGCCCTCCTCTCGAACCACGACATCACGTCCCTGATTCGAGACACAGAAGCCCACGAGAGAGCCCTGTTCTCTGTACCACCACCGCCTCCACCCGTCACCGCACTAATACCAGACCCCGCAGAGCAGCCCAAGTCTTCGCGCAGGCAGACTGTCTTCAATGTTGCGTCGGGCGAGGTGACGACGTCCGGGACCGCCTCCGGGAGGTTGGCCGGTGGTCCTGCGCCACGACGCCACACTGCCGTCACCGCGGTCCTTGGCGGTGCGCTGCATGACCAGATCCGGCGGAGCGAGCGGCGACCGGGTGGCGAGAAGGGCGATGTCGACGTCGAGGTGCTGTTGCGCGGTGCCGAGAAGCTGTGCGGTGTGTATCCACTGCCTGGGGCACTCGAGAGGATACCCTCGCAGCGGTCCAAGCATGCAAACATCCGCAGCACGTTGGCCTACTACGAGAACAAGGTTGCTGAACAGGCGGAAGAGCTTGCACGGCTGAACAAGGACCACTGGCTCGACGACGAGGACGAGGATATTGCGGCGGCTTCAGAAGTGGAAGGCGAGATCTTGACCGAGGAGGATCTGCGGCGGGAAGAGGAAGAGGTCAGGGAGCTGGACAAGAAGAAGCGCGAGCTACAGGAGAGGCTGCGGGCCATGGAGAAAGACCTGGGTGGACTCTTGCACATGTGACGCTCTCACTGGAGCTGACGCGGGCAAATGAGGAAGTCTAGAGATGATTATTGAGCACGAAATGATACCCCTTCTTCTTTTCCGGGCTGGACAGAACAGCTCTCATCAAGAATGCCTCCTGGCGAGAACAGGCCCTATGAGGTGCAACGACTTGTCAGATCCGGCACTTGCTTGGTGGCAACGCAACCGACCCGGAGCTCTGGGCCGTGCTGGTCTCGGGGGTGCCGGCCCCTCTCCCCCACCGGCGGCCGAGGCATCCCCGTAGTGATTTATAAGCCGGGGCAGGCACTCCCACGCAAACCCGGACAACGGCGCCAACGACGACGACGACGACGACGACGCGTGTGGCAACCTCAAATAGCTGTGCATGTCTCCATCCTTTCTTGTCTACTATCCTGGATTCGTCGCTTCGTGGACTCGACTCGGGTTATCGGACAATCTTCTCTCTAGCCATTACAATTACAAGCTGCTCGTCAGAACATACCCGCAGCCATGACGAACTTCAAGATCAACATCGTCTCGGATACCGTGTGCCCCTGGGTAAGTCATTCTTCTTATTATGCCAGCGTCAGCTTCCCCACTTGAACGGACACGATGCTGATACTGACTCCTTTTCGTGAAGTGCTACGTCGGCAAGAAGCGCCTGGACCAAGCCATCGAGCTGTACCGCAAGGTATACCCGACCGGCAAGGACGACACCTTCACCATCTCCTGGTCGGCCTTCCAGCTGGACCCCACCTCGCCGAAGAAGGGCGTCCCGCTGAACGAGCGCATGGCGCAGAAGTTTGGCGCCGCGGCGGTGCCCCGGCTGCACGAGAGGCTGTCGACCATCGGGCGCGACGTGGGCATCGACTTCTCGTTCGACTCGCGCGTCGGCAACACGCGCGACTCGCACCGGGTCATCCAGCTCGGCAAGACGAAGGGCCTCGAGGTGGAGAACAGGGTCGTGCTGGAGCTGTTCAAGACGTACTTTGAGAACAACGGCGACATCACGTCGTGGGAGGACCTGGTCGCCGCGGCGGAGCGGGCTGGGCTGGAGCAGGCCGAGGTCAGGGAGTGGCTCGAGAGCGGCAAGGGCGGGGAAGAGGTCGATGCCGAGGTCGGCAAGGCGCAGGCCAGGGACATCCACGGCGTGCCGCACTTCACGATCCAGGACCAGTTCGAGGTCGGGGGCGCCCAGGATGCGGAGGGCTTCTTGCAGGTTTTTGACCGGATCAAGAAGATGGAGGCAAAGTAGTTAGCAGGATCAGTGGTTCTTGGTGGGCATGTTACAGAAAATGGTGAAGAACCCAATGCACATTCTACAAATCTGAAAGTCGAAGGAAGTGATGACCTGCGGCACCGGTTGGGTCCATTACTGTGCGTGTTGAGGAGTTGTAATTGATGCTTTGCAATTCAGCATGGAAATTGTCCTTCTTTTCTCTGGTCACATCTCATGCCAGAACCTCACCTCTAATTACTCGAGAAGTGTCCCAACTAAGTGAGCAAATTGTAAGTGCAGCAGAGCAATTTGCAAACGTGATCCCAATTATCCGTCCCTGTAGATCTCGCATCCCATAGACCGTGTAAAAGATGTTACAGTTCAGCCTAGCACCGCTAAGTCATTAATGAAACGATATTAGCACTCTCACATGAAATACAATCTGGGCCGCGATTTTTTCGCTTGGAAATCCGGGACCGCTTGGCCAAACCCGTCAGAAATATTCAACCGTGAAAAAAGCTAATATCAATTGCGCTAACTAACTATATCCCTACCTAGACGAGTCAATGGTAGAAATAGAAACACCCGCATTTCATTTCCTCGATAGCCCTGCACATGCATTTTGTAACTCCATTACACTAGGTTGGTATTAATAAACGGTTTGCAATTATCTGTTACTCGCAAGCCGTAACCCGCTTCCTTCTTTTCCAGCTGAGGTCATTCCGCTCAGGTAGGCAAGAAGAGCCCCTCAATCATTAAACATGTCTTTTCCCGCAATCGGCTTGCCTAATTGCGGTCTGGTCGAGGCTTCCGAGATAAAACGAGGCCGCTGAGCCAGTGTGGTTGTGGTACATGCCAGATGATCACTTCCTCTCAGCAGGACCATGAAATCACCCATGCGCACAACTTACCGTCACTGACAAATATATGGTATCAACAACAACCCCCAACGGCACACACACACACACACACACACACGCACAACTCACCTCGTCCCGATGCCATCCTAGAAAGGAAAATTTCCTTCCTGTTCACACCCTCGTCCTGAAGCCAAGTCTCTCCAAAAGTCCAAAAACCCGTAGCCAAGTTTTTGCCCAATCCGGCCGCCCCCGCGTAGGAGAGAGACACACATTTGCATTTTAATGATGGAGATATTGCATCACTTCCACGTTTCTTGAAAGAAAAAAAAAGTTAAGCAGCAGCAGCAACCATTCTCACCAAGCCTTTTATCTAACCGGAACTAACCCAGAAGAACCCAGACCTGATGAGAACAGGGTTTGAGCAGCCACGCCGTGTCCTGCGTCCCACGATGCAGCTTCACATGGCACCACTTTTTGCCTCCTGTACCAATCCCCCCCACAGTTAGAATGCACGCAAAAGGGCACTGAACCGAGACAAGGAAAAGACTGGACAAAGTCAACTAAGATACTCTAGTCTAGAAGAGTCATGTACCTACAGAAGCGCCGCTGCCGTACAGCACAGTAGTTCTCCACAGTTCGTTCGGGGGAGGAAACCCGTCCCGTCAAGAAAGGACGGACACACACCTCCAGCTCAGTCTGGTGCCCTGCAAGTTCAAGGCGGGATGATGACATAATGGCGACACCTATCCTGCAGATGCAGGGAAATGACAGAAAACTCGAGGACAGGAGACGACGGAGAAGTGGACCCGGCAAGGCCAAAACAAGCCATGCGCTCGCCCGAAGCCACGGTAATTCCCCCCAGAGCTTAAAAAAAATAAATGGACGCCAACCGCGTGCCACCTGGGCGGTAATAGATGTTGGTGCGCTTCTGCTCAGACTTGTACCTCTCTCAAGGGTACATACCGCGCAGAGAGCAGACGACCGGACGGACGGCTGGCTGCCAGTCGCAAAATTTTCGTTGATTTGACCGTACCAAGGTAGACATTTGCCCGATCGACGCTTATTGCCCTTCAGGAACAATGTTTTGTTTCTGGCGCAAGTTGTCTGGTTGGGCTCAACAATTCGACGAGCCGCCATCCTTTTCATAGATCAATCACTTGCCAGCACTGCAGTCACGAGTCGCCTCTGGCCGACTTCCGCAGCTGCGAGCGTCGCCGCTGACCACCAACATCGAGCTGAGGGTGTCCATGCCAAGTCGAGTCGGTCGTGTCTGCCATTCCACAGTGTCTGACTTTTACGCCCGTGCGCGATTCATGGTCTGCCAAGCGCCTGCAATCGAAAAAGCCGCAGGCCAAATAACACACACCGGCAGCGTTCCGGTATCCTCCGACCCAGTGTTCCCGCGCTCGTCCATGGCATTTCTCCCAGCCTTGTCCCATTTAGGTAATCCAACATTAAAAGGCAGAAAAAAAAATCGCGAGCAGCCTTGGGATATTCTGGCGGTCCCACTCCGTGCGAAATGTTCCCCCGTCGTGGCCACTGGACCCAGCCGGCACCCTCGCGGCGCTTTTGGTTGTCCTCACTGAGTGAGAGAAGGAACCGAGTGGCAGAGAGACTTGGACCAAGCTGCTCCCGCTCCCGCCCCAACCTGGCTTCCTTCTGCCCTGGCCGCCCCTGTGTCGGGTAACTCCAGTCCTCACGTTCCTCCGCTCCGAAGCTTTCCCTTCCCTTTTCCCTCCTCCTACACTGCAGCTCCTCCTCTCCCAGCTTTGTTCAACTTTTCACCTCCATCAAGCTCGTAGCTCCTGCCTTCACGTCCATCACCTCACTCCCCTCCACCACACCCACAACCATCACAATGGCCTCCGCTCGCATTGTCGCCTCCAGGCTCGCTGCCTCCATGGGCTCCAAGGTCGCCCGCCCTGCCATCCGGGCTCAGATGACCACCGCTGCCGCCAAGCGCACCATCTCCAGTATGTCTTGAGCCGCGCAAATGCCTCATCCGCATCGCTTGCATCGCCCACAGACTCCAGTCCATCCACGACGATGGCAACGGAGTGGGCGGCGGTGCGAATCGTCTCGTGGAAAAAACTTTTTCTGACCCAATTGGCCGTTTCCACAGCCACTCCCTTCCAGACCGTCAAGCGCCAGCAGGCCTCCAAGATCCTGAGCACCACCACCCGCCAGGCTTTCCAGACCCGCCGTGCCTACTCCTCCGAGATTGCCCAGGCCATGGTTGAGGTTTCCAAGAACTTGGGTATGGGTGCTGCCGCCATCGGTCTTACTGGTGCTGGTATCGGTATCGGTCTCGTCTTCGCCGCCCTCCTGAACGGTGTTGCCCGCAACCCCGCTCTCCGTGGCCAGCTCTTCTCTTACGCCATTCTGGGTTTCGCTTTCGTCGAGGCCATCGGTCTTTTCGATCTCATGGTTGCCCTCATGGCCAAGTTCGTATGTGATCGCCTGGCCGAAAATCCCTCAACCCGCAATCAGCCGCTAACCATGATGCCACATAGACCTAAGCGCTTTCTCCCAACATCTTGGAGGCTGGGCTTCACACCCCGTGATGGAAGGTGTGACGCGATAGTCCCGAACCCGATCTTGTGTCGGCATGTCCGATCAGACCTGCATAGTAATAGACGGGCTCGGACTCATGTGATAGACGGAGGATGTATAGGAAAGAGGCGAAGGCATAGCATTTCAAGACTTGTAGAGATGGAAGACGACTTGTCAACCAAAAAGTCACCTTCGGGGGACCTGTAAAATACAAACACCATCTTCAGGAAACCTCTTCTCACAGAGATCCTCGGAATGTCAAAATTCGAGATTTCCTTTTGTACAAACCAGAACCACAAATCCCACGAGCACCCCGCGCCGGCCAATTGACCAGTGAAAGCATCGAAATTGATCTTATCTCGGGGTTGAGTCGATGAGTTTCCCCAGATCTGGCCCCGGTTTCAATCTTTCGGCAACGGGTGTTCTGTTGCTGCTGGGCCAAAGCTGCTCAGTCGAGACCAGGTCACTTGACCAGCCTGTGGACAGGGCCTGTGGAGGTGGGTGGTCCTTGCGTCTCAGATTGTCCAAGAGTCGTCGGGTGGCAGGTTTTTCCCTCAAGCCGGCCCACTCTGTCGCTTCCCTCGGCTGAAGGGATTGGACAGTGTCCACTCGCAGGCGGTCCTTCAGGACATTTCCCTGTGCCTGACCCCCACTACGCGCCGATAAACCGGCGCATCGCCAATCAGGAAAGCAGAGAGTCTGGCGTGGAAACGTGCTGCAAAGAAGCCCCCAATCGCACCAATGAAGGCGTGCGAGCCATCACAGTGACGACGTGATCGATGCGTGTCTTTGGCCCGACTAGCTGTTTTGGGCAGTATTCTTGAGCTGCTCTTGCCTGGTATGTCCTGGTCATGACCCGCAGCGGAGCATCGTGGAGAAGTTGACCTGGGTATGTCGGCGTATTTGATGCAGGGCGAGCCCATGCGTTTGGGCTGTGGACGCAACGGCCCGTGGTCTGTAGAGTGCTTGGACACCAGACGAAGCAATCGATACCGACATTGCTGGGTGTGACCCATACGAAACCGATCCAGAGGGAATGCTGTCCGATACGAGGATGATTCGACGATGCTTCTTTCGATGCTTGAAAGAATATCGATATCCGTTCTGAGCACGTTGCTCTTTGCCTTGCGTGGAAGCAGGTATCTCAACCATCCCTGACGTGGTGGATCCAGGGCCGAGCAACAACATGGTCGACGGACCGCCCAGTTGGGCACACCAGAGACGTTACGATCAGCGCCAAAGACCGAACGATCACCTGTGCGGCTTCATCTTTCATGAAGGATCTTCTCGCTAATGCCCGTCGCGGTTCATCTTCCTCTGCACGTAAGAGGAGCCGACACCGTATCGATGCACAAACTTCAGCCTCAATCTCGGTCGTCACGAAGTCTGAAAGCGCCATCGGCGACGAGCACAACTAGTGCTGAACAACAGACCACATCGAATGAGAGTTGATGCAGTGGGGATGGCGATGTTCTGATGGCGAGAAGCCATACCGACACGAGAACGCCAACCGAACAAGACTGTACTGAGCTCTATGCGAACAGCTTCTGGCTCGAGCCACATTGAGTATCCTGAGCTCTGGTAGATCGCAACTTGATCGCCCGCACATTGAACAGCATCAAAGGCAGTCCGGCCTACACAGACTTTCATCGTTACTGGCCACAGTTGCCACGAGGAGCGTGTGTGGTTCAGATCGACGAGCAGGCATGGTTCATGGACACTGTCCAGATCTGTCTCCTGTCCACGGCACAGACCTCGCTCTTGGTGTGAGTACCGATGGTAGGTTGTGAGACCCAACTGCCAACTCGCTGGTTCATCCGCGATTTCGCAAGGCAGGCATTGTGGTCTCGCCACTGGAAACTATTCCAGGATAGCAAGTGCCGGGCCAATATCGGAGTGAGGGATGAATTTCGCTTGCAACACTGGCAATACGCAGAGATGGGAGCGCGATAGCAACGTGGTCAACAACATCTCCGTCCACTCGGAGCGAAGGTGATGCTTGTTTGTTCATTCAGATGGAACTCCACTGGATCATGACGCGTCCGTCTCGCCCACACCCGAGAGCATCTTCGTCAGGGGCGGATATCGCGAGGGCATCCTGTGGTTGCCATGAAGGTCGTGGCATTGATATCGAGGCGGGCCATTGGACGGGTAGGCGTGTTTGCCGTCCAGAGAACCTCAAGCTCGAGAGGCGGGAGCTACTGTCGAGTCCTGACTCGACAGGGTGGTGGTTCGCCGATGTGCTAGTGCACTCATGCTCCAAGAATTCAAGCAACACCGTTGGAGTGTCCAAGCCAGGCGGGTGAGTCTTTCGGGCGGGGATTGACGGCAAACCGTGCCAATGTGCCGTTGGACGCGGTGCTCGTGTTGCCAAAGTATCGTGAGTTGCTGGTGAAAGGGCCAATTGGCCGATGGTTGAGCTGTGCGTGGTGTGGGGAGTAGGCAAGAGGGTGAGTACCAAGAGAAAAAGAGAGAGAGAGAGAGAGGCTGTGGTAGAGAAGCGGGCAGGACGAGGGGGTATTGGTAGGGCAGGTCTTCAAGAGAGAGAGAGAGAGGTGCAAGTGCGGGCGCCATCTGTCTTGCCCGGAGAGGGCTTGTGGCACGGCAGGTGCCGGTTGCGTATGTGCCTGCTTGGCCCCTTCCACAACAACGACCCGAGTGCCACCACCCCCTCATATGTCCCGCTCGCTTCCTCGCGTTTCTTGGCCGCCAGCCCCGGGCCCTCGCTTGCATCGGCCCATTTGCTGTCTCGGGCCAGGCAAGCGCAGAGTGATCTATGGATCTGATCTTACCTTAGTCCAGGGCACAGTTCGATCCTCGGCGAGCCTCTGAACGCTGGCGCAATCAGCGATGCGCTTGCAAACTCAAACCGAGACACGCCCTTCCCCGCAGACACAAGACAGTGGCCTCAGAACTGGTATGTGTGCTTGATGGGCATGTTTTGGTTTGGTACTTCGTGCCCTGGCCACTACAAACTGGTCTGTCCGTTCTGCTTCACAGAGAGCGGATCATGCCCGCTCAGTCTCACGCGTGAGGGTAGACGCTCCATGTCAGGGTCTGAGTGAGGCCTGGGGTGAGAGGGCGCGGGAGGCGGGCTCGCAAGCCGTTCGTTCCTTCCCCAGAAGGCGCAGACCCTCCCCCGGATTTGCGTGCTGCTAGCCCCCCAGCGGCCCCGCCTTCTGCCCCACAGGTCTTCGTCTCCCCGAGTGCACATACCACGCCACTACCACCCACCGTCGTTCACCTCCATCGTCCCGTCCTTCCGTCTCAAGACCAAAGTGCACCTGTTTCGGCCTGCGCACGCCTGGGAATGGCTGAATACAACCATTGCCAACCAAGCCGGGCACCAATTCTGGTGTTGAGCCTCACTGCTGCGTACTGGTTTCAGTGGTGTGGTGTGGTGTGCTGCTCGCGTGGCATGTTGCCCTGGCTGGTGTGGTGGTCTCTCGTTTCCGTCTTGCAGCAGGGGATGCGGCCGCGGACCAACCAGCCGCTGCAGCTGAGCCACTGGAGACTCCCTGACCGGTCAAGGATTGCAGTCTTCCCCCCTGTCCTAGCTGACACGGGCCTGCCTGCAAAGCATCCCACAGGGGACCTTTGGCTGAGCAGCGGCATCTTGCACGCCTGGGCTCGCTGTCTCCCTCTCCCTCTCTCTGTCATGCTTCTGGACGTTCACGCGTAGTGCGACGAAACGAATCCCTTGATCGTGCTTATGATCTCCTGAAGTTGCCTCTCATGCCCGTCCGCCGAAAAAGAAGCAAGTCGGGCTGCCAAGGGAAGCGGTGGAACGTCGTGCGACCTCCACAGTTTGCTGTGCATTTGTGTCTCATCTATTTGCGCCTCGCTGTAATTACGTGGCAACTCTTCCCACAACTCGCTCGACGCATTTCTCCGTGCAGCAAGCACTCCTACACCCACAAGAGGGGCAAAAGACAAGGCACAAAGAGAGAAGAGGAACAAGCAGAAGAAGGAACAGGTCAAGACTCCCCCAGCGCATGCAACGACACGATTTGGTGTGAGTGGGCTTTTGTTGCGCGTCTGCGCGCAGAATGGCCGCCTGCCTGTCCTGCCTGCCTGCCCAGAACAAACCAATCGGGGGCTTGAAACCACGCGCTACTCCAAACAGACCATTACGCAGTTGCAATGTGTGCTTGGAGAAAACTTGCCGGGGTCGTTGGGGTGTGCGTGTGACGATCGGGAGACGAGACCAGACCCCTTATTCGCGGCTTGGAGGTGGCAATTTCTCGTGAAATTGAGACACACATAGACACAAACACACACGCACATACACGTATAGATCAGAACTTCCGCGCGACAAGATGAAGGCGTCTTCCAATAATTCGTACCTAGAACTTTCTGAATTGTCTAAGGGGTGGTCCCTGGTGCGTTGGTTAGCTGTTGCGGGACTGCTTGCCATGAAAACCAACATTTGTCCATCCTCCATGCCGATAGCAGGTTGTTCACCAGCTTTGCCATGTCCTACAAAGGGCTTAGCGACAGACACGGAGGATAGAGGATGCAGCAACTCGACGCCATTATCCGCAGTGATATAAAAACTTGTCCTCCACATAGCAACCCACAGCCTATAATGAAGCATACGAATTAGTCCTCGTCAAGGTCGGACAATGAGCAATTCACATCACTTCCACACAAGCCAGGCCTGGCTCGTCTCACCGTTGAGATTAATAATATTTTGCCGCGTCTATCCAGGCGGCCGGGCACTCAACGGGGGCGGCCCGTCAAAGCCAAACCAACCAATCCTCGAGTGTGGTTGGCTCAGCGTACATTGTGCCAGCAAGAGAGAGAGCAGAAAGCACAAGCCCTGGGGCGCTAAGCACAATCAATTCCAAAAACCACCAACGTGCCGGCCTCTGAAGGTCGAATGCTACAGCCACTGCGGGGATGCCTTAACAAGCCCTGGATTCCGCTGAAGCTCCTTTCCTCTCCGGAAAAGAATGTTACGCACACACAGACCATGGCTCAAGGAAGCAAGGGTCGACGACTTTTGCGCGCGCAGTCCATATCTAAAAATGTTCCAAAGCGCTGACCTTAATACACACCGTGGTGGTTTTTGAATCTCCGCACCACCAAAAAATCTCGCTACGTAATGCACCCAGGGATGGCGCCACGACAGGCCCGGGAGAAATTGCTGCATGGTGGCAGTGATACATCCCAGTTCCACACATAGCAAAGCCGATGCAAAACGTAGTTGACATCTTATCCCTGGTGGACGTGTTCCACCGCTTGCTTGAGGAACAATGTAGATCTCTCAGCATTATCCCACTGAAGCGACAAGGATGAGTGAACACGCCCAGCTTGGATCCAAGACAGATATGGGCTGGCACTTGTTCTTGAACATATTTCAGTTCCCGACACAGGCTGCCCCCTCAACACGTTTATGCAAGATGGAGACCCTATGCAATGCCAAGCCTACATGGCCATGATAAAAAAAAACACGTATGAAATTGTGGAATTCTATCAAAGGTCTCGTCGTCTACCTACGAGCGCTGCTCGTTCTCACTATTCGATGATGACGATGTCTGCACGTCCACTCCTTCCTCCCCGGCCTCGACTGTCGATGCTTTGCGCTCCGACGGTGCCCGCACAAAACACACGAGCACGAGCATCAAGGTCGTGCTCGCCGCGACGCCGAGATACGGCAGCCCGATCCATGGCCCGCTTCCACCGTTGCGGCCGTCGAGGTGCATCCCCAAGCTGAACAGGCCGGCCAGCATAGGCGACGTCCACAGCATCGAGCCAATACCCATGACGGCCATGAGCGAGAACAGACGAGACGTCTGGTCTGGGGCAACTAAAGCAGAGGCAGTTGACTTGATCATGCTGTCGGCGCCGGCGCCGAAAGACATGACGAGCAGGCCCGCGGTAAAGCCGGTGAGATTGGGCGAGACGGCGAGGATGAGAGACCCCACTATGGTCATGGCATAGGACCAGCGACCCAAGACAAGGTCGCGCTTGTGCTTGTTCTCGATGCGCAGGAACCGCGGGGTTGACGGTCGGAGGACGAACTTTGTCAGCCACGGGAGGAATGCGAGTACGACGACGATGTGCGCAATCCCATAGGTCGACTGGACGAATCCGGTCTCTGCGATTGGGATGTGGTAACGCTTCGAGACAAACTGTAGGAGGAATTGGTACGTGCTGAGATAAGGCGGCAGGGAGAGGAGGAAGACGGCCAGCACGACGCAGATGGTCGGGTCCTTCATGATGGCGAGCAGGTTGCGAAGTTCCTGTACAGCCTGGGCTGCGTGGTCCTGGAGGGTGAGCGCGCCGGCATCGTCAGGCTGTGCTTTACTTTGCAGGGTTTCAGGGACGAAGAGGACGGTGACGCTGCAGGTTGCCATGACAGCCAGGCTGACAAACATGACGGGCCAGGGGCCGAGTGAGACCATCATGATGCTGGCGATGGCTGGCGCCAACAAGTTGCCGACGGAGCTTGCGACGTGGATTTGCATAAAGGCAACGGATCTATCGGTTGGAAACGTCAGTGCCATCAATCTCCCACTAAGCAACCCTTTTCTGATCAGAAAGAAGAGGCGAGAAAATACCTTTCCAGCTCGGGCAGGATATCCGACACCATACTGCCAATACAAGCACCCGCAGCAGCGTTGCCTCCTCCGCACAGCAGCGTCAGCGATGAAAGCCAGTAGAACTCGGCAGGGATGGTATCTGAGAACCAGCCCACTACCATCATCCACATGATCTGCATGGTGAACCCGGCGAGGCAGAATACGAGAACTGTCTTGCGGCCAATTCTGGCGGAATGTGACGAGCGCCTGTTAGCTGGGTGGCTCGCCGCATTGTCAACGAAGCAACCATGCAGGAAGAAACTCACCGGTCAGCAGCGGCACCCCACGGCAGGGCAGAGAGGCAGCCGACGATGGCATCGATGGATATGGAGACGGCAAAGAGGAAGGCGAGGCGGGACTGAATCTCGTCCTCCTTGCACATCCTCTCGTCGATGGGGTCGCCAAGCTGGAACTCGGTCTTGTCGGCGTAGTACTGGCGGCAGAAGACGTCCTCAAAGATACGGGTTGCTGCCATCTGCTGGAGAGCGCCAGACGAGGCGGCGAAGAAGATGTTGGCGGCGAGGATGAGGATGATGGTGCTGGGCTTGTGCGCCGTGGGCACCTTGAGCGAGCTCGCGATAGAAGCGATGGAAGCGCCTCTCAAGTGCGCCAGCGGGCGCCGCCTCGAGGCCGGCGGGGTGTTGTTTGCCGCCGAAGAGGCGTTGCCCACCAGGGGAGTGCGCTCGGTGGCGCCAAAGTAGTCGTCGCCATCGTGGTCGTGATCGTGAGGGTGCGCCATGGTGGACGATTACAGCGGGAGGGCTGTGGTTGGAAGGTGCTCTGGGACAGATGATGCGACGGCCCGGGGATCACAGGCAGGGCGTGGGACATGTATTATACTCGTGCGATCTCCAAGCTGGCGCCAAAGGAGGAGATGCTCCCTCCTTGCTCACCTGCACGTCAGCAATCATGCCCCTCCGCCGGTGATGATGTCTGGGCCGGACGCTGGCCAGACACGATTTGCAACGCGACCACGTCTGACGGGTGGCGGCCATTGGCCCCGTCTGAATGCAATGCCCTTGCCGTGCATGCATGATTCGGCGGCGCTATCATGGTCCACTTAAGCATCACGGCGTTCCTGGTTCCAGGTTCGGCTTACTGCCCCATTCGGACTAACCCTCCTTGGAAGCAGGAGCCAGGCACGTCTCTCTCTAACCTTCCTTCCTTAACCTTCCTTCCTTCCAGGGCTCCTGCCTCAACTGTTTTCTTTGCTGCGCATCAAATCACTTTCGTCGCAGATGCGCCCACATCACTGCTCCCATTTTTCAAGAAACAAATGCCAACCTCCCAAGTCCGCTCAAGAGTGAGTGAGACAGAGATACGAAACAGCCTGCCGTCGCGCGGGCGCACTCCGACTCACTCCGCCAGGGGCGGGTTCGGCACTCGGAACTCAGCGGCGGGTGAGCTTGCTGATTGGCTGCAATCTCGCTGCCTAGCGTGCACATCAGCCTGTCGTCAGTCCAGTCCAATGTCTTGTTCAGCGGCGTTTGCAGCACCACATTCCCACCCCAGGATATGAAAAAAAGATGCATCCGCGGCTTATCTCGAAACTGATGTGCGCAAGCTCCTCTGCACATACTCGAGCCAAACCATGGCTTGCCTGGTGACAAACGCTGATGCCTGGTCCTTCAGGCGCGGCCGCCGCGTAACCTGTCTTGCGCGTACACAACCCGGCTATCTCATGATTCTGGACGTGCAATAACGTGCCCCTGCTGTCATGGACGCCCGCCTAGAGGGCTGTGATGACTTGGCTACGCAACCTTTCTTGGCTACTTGGGATCCGGCAATGGAGAGAACCTGTGCTCCCCTGAGAATGCTACTTTGCCATGATGCGGCGTTCCAAGAGAGCTTGTTGGACCGCCTCTGCCTTTGTCGTTACTCCCAATCCTGTCCCCGAAGGAGCTGCCCAATCTCTCTAACAGCCACCCGCTTAATAAAACTCACAGATTTCTGTCAAAAGCAGAAAGACGGCGGACAGCCGAATTTATCGGCACCCACAGAGGTCCAGCATACTCTCGTTGGACCCATAAGCAATGCCTCATTGCAGCATGCACCGAGCTATTCCTGCCAAGTTTCGTTGCCGCCCGATAATTCAGGACGAGAGAAAGACGGGAAGACAAGGTGGCCAAAACCCTGGCCCGGGGCCTTCTGTGGTACTTTAACAACAAAGAAAACCTATGGCAGTCTCGACTCCCGATCTGCCCAGTTGACCAGCGCCAGGCCCTTTTGGCATCGGGGATTTTTGTCTTGTTAAAAACCCCCACCATAGTAGTGCAAGACCCACATCCCCGGGTCCCCCACATGCAAGCAGCACGCTACTCCATCCTCCAGCAGCGATGACGCTGGGGTTTGGCCATGTATCGATGCTGGGCCGCGGCAGGACAGGCCAAGGTTCTTCTTTCTCTTTGCAAACCTGCGACTTGACTGCAGCCTCGAGTTTGTTTCCACAACGCGTGCCAGAAAGGATCTCGTTGTGTCGCCAAGTCAAATCGTGGTGCCCTTGTGACAGCTACGAGCGAAAAATATTGTCATAGTTCTTGTATTGGCTTCCTAACGACAAATACAGCAGGATCTCAACGCCCGATAGACTTTCCCCCAACGACCAGACCTTCATCCCGCGAACGGTAAACAATCAGCTGTCATGGCAAGGACGATTTGCCCATACCATCCCAATAAAAGCAAAGGCAATGAGCCTCGTGGGCAACATGAAGGACGAAAGAAAGCAGAGCATAGCTTCGGAGGGGAGAAGTAGAACAAAGGAACCATTTCAAAACAACACAAAACTCCAGACTCCTTCCCTGCACGCCTATTCCGTGGTAAGTGTTGTCCAATAAAACACTAGACGCCATGTGGTTCAGACTACCTCGACACGACTCGCTGGAGCTTCGTGCTAGGCAAGTGTCCCCGTTATGCATCAGAGCTTTGCCACCCTGATTTGAAAACTGCCAGTGGAGTCTTCAATATGAAGGGAGAGTGCGTCACGAGCTCCCCGCTGGCAGTCGATCGTGGTGCCGTGTTGACAGCGGAGTGTCGCAAGTGCAATCATTGTGGCAATAGCTTCTTGCTCTCCTCGTCTGTAAGAACAATGTCGTGTACGGGCTCTCGGCGATGCTCGAGCGGCGTGTAGTCGTAGTCGATGTAGGATGGCAGGAAGATTTCGGGGTTCCACGTGAAGCCCTGGCTCGAGGCGAGGTACGAGATCTACGCAAGGAGCATATATATGATTAGCCTGATATCAAGACTGCTACCGTCTGCCATAACTAGGGCCAGGTTGGGCGGGGACTGCCTGGGGCCTCCCAGCTGGTTGTGGGGCCAAGAGCCGGGGTGTCACTCACTAATCGGGGCGGTCCATCAGGGTCTCCGATGTTGATGACGGTGCATTCGTCTTTACAGAATGCAGAACCTGAGAAGGGCGACAGTGTCGAGTTAGTCTCTTGAGCAAGCGCACCGCGTTGGTGAAGTGAGAGTGTCTCGTGGTATTGACGCACTGAGTAGGCTGGGACGTCTCTGGTGCAGCATCTTTGGCTTGGACGAGGACGAAGAGGATGGCGATTTGCCGTGGGAAGCCGGCGACGAAGGCGAGCTCGAGTATGACGATGATGGGCTGCTGATGACTTTCGACGAGGAGCCGTAAGTGTCCGCTAGTGCGGTCGAGCGGGAGGAAGGGATGGTAATTGTAGACGACATGGTGTCGGTCGGTGGGCGGTTGTTCGTCTCAAGGACGCTTGAGCTCGCCTTCTGCCGGAGCAGAGAAAGGAGGAGGCAGTAAGTCGAGCGGAGATGGCCTTGTCGAGGGGACTGGCATTCATGCAGCTCAGCTGCTCGAGGTCCAGCACGGATCAGAGGTGAGACAGGCGGATGACGCCTCGGGGTCTGGGGGGAACAATGACGATAGATAAGGCTCCCGCGATAGTGTGGAGGCAGCGGACAGGATCACCGGAACAACAGCGAGGAAGACAATATGGTTTCTGTTTCTTGCAGATGATGAAGACTGAAGAGGGCCTCGAAGTAGCTTTGTGGGAGATGGCAGGGCGGATTGGTTGAGCAGGATGAAGTTGAGGCTCGGGACAGCGTTTCACGAAGAAGGGGACCTTGGGCAGGTTGGCACACCTAAGCACAGTGCGCCCACTCCAGGCAGGCAGGTGGGCGGGCGGGGTCTATGGATGGAGGTCAGGTGTGCGTGCATGTGAAGTGCAGGACGTGAGCCTCCCTCAGCCCGCAGAAGTAAGGCTGCAATGCAATCTGGACGGCAGTCCCCAACCAACTTTGGCATTCTCAAAGACCCGGGATTTGCCTTTGGGGCGGCTGGCGAGCGTTGTTGGATGGATGCAAGGCACAAGCCATCCACCTCCCTGCCGGCCAGAGAGGATGCCCAGCCAAGCCCTTGTGCCTGATCGTCGACGCACAGCTGTACACAGATTGCTGAGATCTCGCCGGTTGTGGACAACACTAACAAGCCGTAGAAGTCGACGTGGACAGCCAGTGACTGGCTTCCGTCATTGTCCTCCTCAACATGAGACAAGCCCACGCGCGCTGGAGCACACCATCAACGTCGGCTGACCCCGGCAGGGCCTTGTCCACAGTGCCGGGGATCCGGCACCTACTATGCGAATCACCATGCTCCGACCACGGCTCGATAGCTTCGGGGGTCCATGCACCCAGCTTATCCGTATGCGCCCGACACTCAGGGCTCCGGCAATGACGGGAAGATAACGCCTTGTCGTGAGTGTGCCTCTCTGTGCTCTTGTGACGGCACCATTAGCACGTCGACTCGATTTGCCATACACTGGCTGGCCAAGCGAGCATCCGATCAGCGGCCGCCTTGACTCAAATCGCCTGCTGGACACCATTATCTACGAGGCACCCACCAACATGCCGGCAAGCCACACAAGAGATCCTCGGGCAAGGCGACAGCAGGCGACTCTCAAGCTTGTTGCCGCTCGTTTCCCACCTCTAAGTCTCGAGCTTGACAACTGTAGACGCAACTCAAGCAGCGACCACTCACTTCACTGGATCGGACTGGACGGGCTCTTGCGCTGGCGGTGGTGGGGCGTCTGTCGCAACCCCACAATCCGTTTGCTGCATCTGTGACGCATCCTGGCGAGCTGGGTGGGCGGCATTTGTGCAAGTGGGGCTGCACATCTCCAATCACCATGCAGCACTACCTAGGGCGTCACTTGCAACGACTCATTGAAGCGGATGGAGATGAAGAGTGAGCTGCAGGCGTAGAGGCCGAAAGCAATGTACCAAATGCGTGACCAGCCTGGCCCAAAGAGCCTCTTGAATTGGCCTTGCTTCCTCAAAGAAATGGTAGCGGATGATCGTTGTGGCTCTCGGAGATGCAGACTGTCAAGCCATCGTTGCTCGCTGCACTACGTGCACGGTTGCCTGCGCAGTTCTGGTCTCATCAACGAGAACCGCGGCTCACCGCAGAAATGTCAAGAGCACTAGCTGCCTTCCAAGGTTCGGCCAGCGAGTAAGTACTGTCCCAGTATCGCTTTTGCGTCGTCGTGCCTCAACCATGACATCCTCCTCAAGCTCACGCGGTATCCTGTGTTGTCAGCTGGGAGCCAATGCGCCAGGCCCTGCCACCTGCCAGCCACCGTACCCGTGTGAGACCCGCTCTGTGGCGGTTGGGACCTTCCAGCACAAGGCTGCAGAGGCCATACGTATGAGGTGAGCTCAAGACAGCTGCCAGTCCCCACCACTCGCTGCATGCGTTGCCGGCCAGAGCCTCACCACGCCATCGACACAACCACCACCAACGTCTCATCTGCACCATCGCCTCCGCGGCTCCTCCTACGGACCCAATCTATTGGCTGTAGCGCTCTAGTCCTTGGCAGTCACAAGAGACGCCCTCGCGCGAGCACGTTTACGAGTCACGAAGCAACACACGAGGCACCACAGACACCCCCCCGAGAACGAAGCACTTACCGCCGACAAAGACACTCCCAAAGACTGCTGTGCAGCATCTCTCCTCGTCTCCGTGACCCGAAAAGATGGCTGACGTCGCCGTCGAGAGTCCCGCGGGCTCTACTGCGCTGCACAACAAGTCGCTCCCGTCAGTCATCCCCAACATCGACAACATCGATGGGCTCTCCTCCCAGAACGGCGATGAATACGCCACACTCAAGAAGCTACAAAGGCATCTCGAGTACATCCAGCTGCAAGAAGAGTACATCAAGGATGAGCAGCGCAGCTTGAAGCGTGAACTCGTCAGAGCCCAGGAGGAGATCAAGCGGATCCAGAGTGTGCCACTCGTCATCGGGCAATTCATGGAGGCCATTGACCAGAACACGGGCATTGTCCAGTCCAGCACGGGCAGCAACTACGTGGTTCGCGTCCTTTCGACTCTTGACCGTGAGAAGCTCAAGCCTTCTTCATCAGTAGCCCTCCACCGCCACTCGAATGCCCTCGTCGACATCCTGCCCCCGGAAGCCGACTCGTCCATTGCCATGCTCGGCGCCGACGAGAAGCCCGATGTGACCTATGCCGACGTTGGCGGCCTGGATATGCAGAAGCAGGAGATCAGAGAGGCTGTCGAGCTTCCCCTTACACATTTCGACCTCTACAAGCAGATCGGTATCGACCCACCTCGAGGCGTTTTGCTCTACGGCCCGCCCGGAACCGGCAAAACCATGCTGGTCAAGGCCGTTGCCAACTCCACAACAGCCAACTTCATTCGCGTGGTCGGCTCCGAGTTCGTCCAGAAGTACCTCGGTGAAGGACCTCGCATGGTCCGTGATGTCTTCCGGATGGCCCGCGAGAACTCTCCCGCCATCATCTTCATCGACGAGATTGACGCCATTGCCACGAAGCGTTTCGATGCCCAGACTGGTGCCGATCGTGAGGTCCAGCGCATCCTTCTCGAACTCCTCAATCAGATGGACGGCTTCGACCAGACATCAAATGTCAAGGTCATCATGGCTACAAACAGAGCCGACACTCTCGATCCCGCTCTTCTGCGTCCCGGCCGTCTCGATCGCAAGATTGAGTTTCCCAGCTTGCGCGACCGCCGCGAGAGACGGCTCATCTTCTCCACGATCGCCAGCAAGATGAGCTTGGCACCCGAAGTCGACCTTGATAGCCTAATCGTCCGTAACGACCCCCTCAGCGGCGCCGTTATCGCAGCGATCATGCAAGAAGCCGGCCTGAGAGCCGTCCGGAAGAACCGATACAACATTATCCAGTCGGACTTGGAGGATGCCTACTCGAGCCAGGTTAAGGGCACGAGCGACGAGAACAAGTTTGACTTTTACAAATAAACGAGTCTCTAGGACTTGGGGTCAGATGGATAATAGAGCGTCGTCAACAACCATGTTCCATCCAAGCGTGTGACTGCTTCGTAGTCGTTGGCGATTGTGTATGCCCTGCAGTCAATGTTGTTCTGTCCATGATGTTTGGCCTCATTCCCAGCCGACGGCATGCTGCCAAGCCCATGTTCACGAATCATACCAGTAGCGCCAAGCTGGACAGCTCCGAAGCACAAGAAAGGAGGCAACGCGCATCTATATATACTCCACTATGATGTAGCGTCCAAGTTGCTCCTCAGGTGGGAGAGTCACAGTTCATCTCGATCCAATAATGATCAAAGACATGGCAATGGCGCCAGCCCAGAGCCACACCAGGACATAGCGTATATATATATATATAGAGAGAGAGAGAGAGACTGATAGGCAGGCAAATGGTCGAGCGGGATCCGGAGCACAGGGTACAACCAACACAACGACACGTCAGCAGCAACGACGACGACGACCTAGTCCCGTCTAGTCTAAATGGTCATGTTGTGAGGGAGTCATGTTTTGACTATGCTGCCCCCTGCGCGAAACTGGACATACTCTTTTCGGCAGACCCCACGCTGCGACTTTTCTCGCGACGCATTCATATGCAAGGCTTCAGAGAACTATGGACTATATAGATAAATAGAATTAATAAAAGTCAGTTCGCATGTCGTTCCCTCTGCGTCACATTGTTGGAATCTTGTCATCTTGTCATCTGTCATGCTCTGTTTTTTCATGTCGTCTCTCATCGTACGTACACTAGCGTCCTCTTCGCTAACACGGGACGGGTATATCCTCCTCTACTCCACGCCGCAATGTGATGCATACTCATGACCCCCTCGTTGCTTGCCGGTATCCTGTGTCTATGATGGAAAACGAGAAAAAAAAAAATTCCGAACGCGAACGCTACCAGAAAAACGCCAGGACCCCAATATGCATGACCGCTATCGCGGCACTGTACAAGCCTGGCAGCTTTGCTGCCAGTCGTCCTTTCTCCGAGTACATTACTTCCACGATCACGTCATGTCACAAACCGCTTCACGAGCTCAGGACGACGCCAAGCTCAAGAAGGAGCTTGACAAACCGCGCGTGAAGCTCGATGAAGAAATCAGGCAGTCCGACAAGCTCTGCGAGCCCACGGGCCTTTGGCGCAAAGCCTCCTGGACCCACTGATCCGCCCATTCTCTGCACGAGCCCGTGGCCACGACTACCGCCCGTTAGGAAACTGCTGTCACTGTTTCGCGAGGCTTCCCGGTCAGGCGTGATAGTGACTCCGCCCCCGAGGCCGCCTCCGAGGCCCAAGCTGCTGTCGTGAGGTCCGCCACTGCCAAATCCGCCACTGCCACTCGACCCGCCATAGGCAGCGTTGATGGCAGCAACTCCACTGCGCGATTCCTCACGTTCACGCTCGAGCTCGGCTTCCATCTCGGCAAGATCCTGGATCCAAGCCGCCAAGTCTCTGAAGGCCGCAGAGATGAAGCTGAAAGTCTTCATGGCGAGCCGCTCGCGATGAGTGCTTAGCGCCAAGAAAGCGTAGACACGCTTCCTGCCGCGTGCATGAACATCTGGTATCCGAAAGATATAGGCTGTCGTGTATCCTGCTAGGGGATCACCGAAGAAAATAGGCCCGCCTGCTGCCGCTGATTGTGGTGTCGGAGCTGATGTGACATATCCCGAGCCATATGCACCCGCAGGTAGAGAATATAGTGGCGGCACTGTGGAGACAGGCGATGTTGGTCCAGCGTTCGAGTATGAAGAGTCAGGCCGCCGTGGTAGTGTTTCAAACGACAGTGTCCGGAGACATGATGCACGGACAATCGAGTACGTGCTCGAAATAAGAGGCTCGTGTGTGGACGTGTAGTCAAGATAATGCGTGTGAGTCGCATGGCTTGAGCGTGAGGATGCGCTGGATCGTGTCGTGGACGTCGTTGGACGTCGTTGGTGCGCTGGCCGATGCAGATTCGTGGAAGGTACATCGTCTTCAACATCGGAAGTCGTGGAAGATTGCGGATTCGAGCTCGGAGGGCTGATGTCGCGGCTTCCGCCACCAATCACGCGAGCATACGGAGCGCGAGTCCGTAGTGTCGGACCGGCGTTCTCTGATCTGCTCTTCTCACCATTGTTGCCATCCTGGCGCTTGGGAAGGGTCAATGCGCAGTTCTGACACGGGTTCGCACGCCTCGTTACCGTGTCATCGTAGGTGCGGCGGAAACTTGAGTCTCGATGCAGGCCGTTCGCCTTGCCGGCCCCCTCTTGAAAGCCGCCTGAAGACCTGTGTGGACTCTGCGGAGGAGTTTCCAGTATCGTTGTTTGTTCTGTCGCCACGGTGGCTGCTGCTGGCGAGGCCGAGGTTTTCGCGTTGCGGTGCTTGGTGTTGCTCCTATTCTCTTGATGGGGTGAAGGTGCGGAGGAGGACCGCGGGCCGTTGAGATCCAATTTGCGCATGGCGTCGTTTACAGAGGGTTGAGCTGTGGGAATAGTACCAGAGTACGATCGATTCATGGTGTCGACATTGTCGTCGTCACATTGGCTGCATGCGACCGGCAGGCCTTCTGTGACCATCAACGGCGTGGGGCCGTGTGAGTCGCAATAATGCGCGAGGCACAACTGTATATCCGTGGTTAGCAACGGGGCGAAGTGCTCGCGGTATGTGACAACCATGTTATCAACGCAACCCTCAGAGGCGGGGTTAAAAGCACAGCAGTACAGAATCTGAGCATTTGCAGCATTGTATGTAGACAGAAGGAGCGAAAACTTTCTCGAAACTCTGCTGCGGTTATGTGCAAGACTTTCTGGTTTAAAACAACTTGGTGAAGTGACGCATTTGGCATGGGGGTTGCGATAGCGGGGACCGGTGTGAGATTGAAGGCACGGGATAGTGGCATGACAGGGCAGGCACGGTTGCGTGTGGCAGGATGGGCAACACGGCTCAATGACGACGGCTCGGTCGTCGGGTAAAACCACCAACGCAGGGGAGTGTGGGAATGAACCTTGAGCAAGAAGCTGTCGGCAGGCGTGTTGGTGTGTTGCGGCCAGGGCATGTCCTGGATCACGGGCGCCCTTACGATTGGGATGGCAGCACCCCGTCTCGGGAGATCGCGCTATGGGCTGCCAACACCACCATTCCCTGTTCGCAAAGGGCCTGCAGGCATGCTTTCCTATGCAAAAGGGGTTGCCAGTGCGCTGACAAGGGTAGGAGGGGTGCGGGAGGCGCAAGGCGCGGCACTGCGCTCCGTGCCAACCGTGACAATAAGGAGGGTGTAAGTGGCCAGAGTTGGAATCGGAGGCATGCCGGGCTTCTGAGCAAAGCAAGCATGCTCATTATTCCCACTCCTCAAGGCCGCCGTCATCATGCCTATTTCGAGACATTGTCGTAGCACCCAGATAAGAAGCTGGTGGTTGACAGGCTGGGCAAGGGTGGCGGTGAGGCATGCCGCAGAAAAGGCAAGCAATCCAGGCCGCTCGGATGCATCAACGACAGCTGGTGCTACGACAAGACGTCACACGGCGCACACAAGTCGAGCCGAGTGGTGGTTCTGCAGCAACGAGGCGGAGGCGGATCAGGGGCATTTGACGCCATTGGCAGGCAGGTAGCCTGTATGGGCGTAGCAGGTAGGAGGAGGCGGCCAATGGGGGAAATGCGAGGTGTTAAACACAACGTGGGAGCGGCTGCCGAGCAGGACGGCGGGCTTGCACTGGACAGCCGCGCGCCTTGCTGAGAGTCGCGGATTGTGCGCAAGCGAGACGCAGCTGACTTGTAGGGAAGCCACAGACTTACTATTGTTGTCATGACGGCGCATGGGCACGACAAGGATGATTGGAGCAGGCTGCTGTTGTGTTACACAAGAGCTTGGATCGTGCGCGCCCGTGCAGCGCAGCCGACGCGATCTGTTGGATCTTGTGATTGGGATGGGGTATAATAAGGAAGCCGCGTGGCAGCGTGGCGACACGTGGATTATAACACTTTGTGATCCAGCAGGGCAGCGGCGGGCAGCAAAGCCGAAGCCTAGCCGTTTTGCCGTTGTCGTAACACCGAGGCGTGCCACTGCCGTGTGCAAGCAGACGTAGGTCGCAGCTATGGTGTGTTTGGTCGAAAGGATGGTCCAGTAGGAGTACACGATTCCAGTACCGAGGAGCAGGATATCGATGGCAACGTCAATGGCACAAGCTCTTGTAGATACACTTGATGCCAAGAGGATTGTGCGAGACGGACTTGAACGAGCATGCGCCGTGGAGTGAAGGAGAAAGAACGGCTTATTCGACCGAGTAAGCGTGATAGAGCGGTTCGTTGCTCTGCGGCAGGTTTGCGAATGATCAAGCTTGTTCGTGGCCCGGAAGCTGTCGGCGTCGCGGGTCGTCGAGTCCGGCTATTATTTCGGCACGCGGAAGTGCGGGAGTGTGGGAGCTTGCTGGTGGCTGGTGTGAGTGTGCCCGAGAGTCAGAGGTTGTTCTGTCGGGCCCGTTCCTGGAAGCAGGATGGCCGAGACTGTTGTGAGGCGAAGGAGTGACGCTGCTGGCAATGGCTGACGGGGACCAGGAGGCCTGGAAGAGCTCGTGGTCGAGAAGCTGTCGCGAAAGTCTGGCGCGGGAGCGGGGGCACCCGATGGGGAGACGAGGGGGTCTGCGGGTTGCGGGTGGGGAGCAATTGGTCCGTCTGGAGGAACAAGACGATGCAGGCGCGATGCAGGTGCGTTGCTCCTGCTGCTGCTGCTGCTGCTGCTGCTGCCGGCTCCTGCTGGGTGGCCGCCGTGCTGACCTGGAGTTGCGAGGCAGATCGCGTGCCTGGCAGGACGGACACTGGTCGAGGCAGCGAGAGTCGAAGATGAAGCCAACACGAAGCTCACGGCCCCGCAGCAGGGAAAAGGGCGAGCACGAGCACGAAGCGGCGAGGAATGTGTAATCCGGTATTGAGCCGTCTGTGAGTAGCGCAGAACTCAAAAAAAAGAGGAACAGTTGCAGGTCAGCCCACGCCGAATCACCAGCAGACCAAGACGACAAGACGAGCTAACAAGCAAGCAGGACAACCCACGGGCGGTCTGTCATCCACTCGACCCGACACCACACGACCCGACACGACAAGACAAGACGGACGGCAAAAAGCGCCGGCAAGACGACACCCTGACGAGCCGCCTCGGGCTTGTCCTGGCTGCAAATGACGGCGTCGCGCCTGGATCCAGGCACAGGCACGCACAGAGCAGGCCCGCCCCGCTGCGTGCTCCCCAATCGGCAGGGCTCTATTAGCCATGAGCCGTGGCATGACCAAAGCACACCTCCACGGGCCCCGATTGGCGACGAGGCTGGCCCAGCGGGCTGGTCTCGCCGCCTGGACCCGGCTCTGGTTCAGGGATGTGCGCGAACAGCACTGGGCATGCCTCTCGACCCCGTTCTAGAAGGCCCACTAGAATCCCGCCGGTTCTTTCCTCTCCCTGGCACCCTGCGTGCGCATGCACCGTCGAGCCAGCCTGCGCTCCTTGTCTCGTGTCGATTCGGAGCACAGAGTATACCGAGGCCCGTCATGTTGACAGTACCTCCAGGTACTTAGATACCACGACATTACCGCCTCGTTCGTCTCGGACACGGAGTTCGCTGTGGGTTGCTCGCTCGCTTCGCTTCGCTGTGGTCTTCCAAGGTTGTCCCCGAACCCAGTGTCACCAGCCAGGGTCCAGCCACATGCCCTGCGCATCAGGCCGCGGTGCTAGGTCTCCAACTGCCTTCCTTGTTGAGATATTCCGTCCGCGACACAGGCTCTTTGAGATCTGCATGTCCACAGGTCCCAGACAGCCTGCGCCTTTCGCAATATCCGGACGTGCTTCAGCGCTTCCCGGCAATGCCTCATGGCATTTCTTGCATCGATCAAGGGATGAGAAGCGTCGCCATCTCTCCACCGTGCGCGTCGTGTTTCAGGCAGAGAATCGCGGGCAGTATTAGCAAAGGCAGCCTGTCTCGAGCTACGGGCCAAGTCGTCCAACTGCACCTCCCTCCTCGGCGCCTTTGTACGTAATGACGGGCCATTTGCGGAGGACCGCCCCATACTGGTCCCTTGGAAATCGAATGCAGTAGCTCGCTCAAGGGTTTTTCAAATTCTTTGTGGGTCGGAGCATCGTAACTCCAGACACGTTCCATATCTAAGTTTGTCGCCGGCTCACATGGAAAACACACTACGAGGAAAGTCTGTCAGGAAAGTGCTGACAAATGGAAGCTAAGAAGCTGATGGTTCAGGGGCCTGACTGTCGTGCTGTAGTGTCCCAGGGTTGAGAAGAGCCCAGGTAGGGGGCTAAGCTGCCTTCACATTTTCGATTCGGTCAGCAAGCCATGTGGGATGTTGTACCTTGAAGCCGTTGAGGCGGTTCTCGCGTTTGCACTTGCGTTCTGTGCGTAACGATCACAGCTGACGTCAGTTGCATCAGCTTCACTTGTCGATTCTGTTCGCATGCCTCTACTCCCTCTAAGTTTGTGCTCACAGGCAAGCAAGGCCAAATCACACTAAATGCTCGGCCTTTCTTCCATGCTCGAGGCGAGAGAAGCCGTGTGACCACACATGCATCCCCGAGGTGAGGGTTCAAGGTCGGATCGTGCTTGTGCCAGGTTGCTGACCCCTGCAAGGCCAACTCACCGGTGGCAGGGGCCGCACGCGTGTGCGCCAGACAGCAATGGGTGGTCATGCCACATTCTCTACTGCGTACCTCGCTATCCTGGCATCAAACTTTATCCGATGGAAGTGCTTGTAGCGGTGGGATCATTTGCTGACGGCGAATGCGTGTGGGACATCCTATGGGAAGGCGTGGACCCATCTCTCCATGTAGCAATCAGGTGGAAAGCGGCGGCACCTCGAGTCAACACGTTAGTAGAAACTGTTCCCATACCAGGGGTAAGTCGACGTCGGTGTATGCGGCCGACTGGAGCTAGATCAGTGACCTGCCGCCTAGTGGCACTTTGGTGGCAGCGATGTCGAGATCCCCTCCGGTTGTTTGTCGGCCGTGCTCCGTGAAGGGCCGTCTCGGCAACGGTCCGCCGAGAAGTCGACGTACCTGTAATTAGTGCACACTTGATAGTACCAGTGGCCCTTGCGCGTGTGAGCACTAGTCAGAGTTGCGTGGATTGGCAAGCGCCGCAGGGCTGGGGTCTGGTGGCAGTCGAGTTCCGCATTGGACCATTGCAAGCCACTAGTAAAGAGGCTCAAGGTTTCTGCAACGCGACTCGAAACGCTTGCTGTCTGCGGGATTTGTATATCCCTGGCTATTTTACACGGCGCATCCTGTCGGTGTCCAGTGCATCGTGACAAAGTGAGGTCGGCCCCTCGGCCCATGAACCAAATAGACCTCGGGCCAGACGCACGTCTGCCCCAGAGCAGCAGCTGGTGGTGGTGTTGGTGGTGGTTGGTCTGCCACGTGGTTCGTTGCCGAGTCGGCATCACATGCACCCAGCGTAGGCATTCTCCCTGATGGCCTCCTCAACTATGGCGCTGCTTTTCAAACAACCAAATGGAAGATGATGTAGTGTCGCCGTGCCGCTCGCCCACCTGGAAGAGCGGCCCTCTCATGAGTCGCTGTCCTGGTCACAGGCCTGGGGCGCTTGGGGCCGGCCAGACAAATTACACACCGTGCCCCAGCGCTAGTGTAAAAGCAGTGGGCCATGCCATCCCACAAGGCTGCACATACCCCATATGGAATGCCTCCATGGCACCGAAAACCGTCTCGGTCGGTGCCATTGCTGGCTGTTGAGAAAAGACCGGGAACCTCTGAAGGCTCGATCAACACACTGAGCGGGCTAGGGGCACCGCCTGCCTCGCCATAGACTCTTGACTCGCTAGCCGGAGGGACATGGACGTCGTTCTCGGGGCTTAGCCGAAACGCTCTCCCCGCACGGGCTACAGATTGGGTACCGACGCTATGGTAACAGCATTGGGTTTCTTCCCTGTGGGAACCATGGCCATGGAAGGCTTGACTCTTGCTCGTCTGCTTGCGGGGCGAGTTTGTCCCGTCTTGTCTCATCTCGCGCACACCCCGAAGCTAAGCATGAGTGATTGACGATGGCATGGTGCAGGCAGGCAGGAAGGCTGGCTGGCTGGGGCGGCATTGTCCGCGTCACAGGCTGGCCAGAGACTTTGTGGTCACCCAGAAGAAACGGTGACTGGAGAGGTCCGTGTGCTGCATGATGCAGGGTTGACAGCTTGTTGTGTCATGGTTCGTTCGGTCGTCGTGCCTTGCCGCCTTCAACGGCTGCGATTGATATTTAGCCTGATCTCCCATTGTGGAGTATGGTATCGCTGTATGGGCCATATGGCGAGTTGTTTGTCAGAGGCGATGTATCATTGATTCTCATAATGTCCCATGGATGTCACGTCGAGACAGGTGCTTACTGATCGGGCTGGGTCGAGTCAGGTTCACGTCCAAAAGGTCGCAGAAACCAACAAGAAATCGAGCAGGCGGTGAACATTCATGTCGCAGAAGCAGGACCGCGAGGCGGCATGCCGGGATCTTGCTACTTTCCGGGTGCGTGGATGACTATTGGCCGTCCATGGCAGTACCCTATCGGACGTGTGCGACCCCAGTTCTGGACGGAACAACTTTTCGTACTTCAAACCCTTGTGTATCAATGCCTTCGCGGCGTACAAGCATCATATGAAGAACAGGCCCTCTAATGTGCATGAGCGCAGCCCAAGCTACGACTGTTGCTTTCTGGTTTGCGTCTCCTGACGGGCCAACGCGACGTGGTCAGGCTCGGATGCCCCAGCATCTAGGCAGGACATCACAATCCACATATGACTGGATTTCAGACGTGGGCTGGTGTTTCGCCACGAAAGGACGCCATGATTAACTGATCCGCGCAGAAATATGTGACAGCCTGTACTGTACTATATCACATTCTCCCGTGCACGCGTGCAAAGGCCTGTTTTGATTTTCTGCTTGCTGCAAGTATGTTGGAGGTATGCAAGACTGCCGATATTGCATGATGGGTTTCCTCTCGATGCGCGTTGAAGACGTTGCCGTGCCTCGCCGAGTCAACTTGCGCGCGATGAGGAGGCTGAATGCAGGTTTGAAAATTGAGCTTCTTTGATGGTCCTGTATGTAGTTTTCTCACTCGCAAAATCACACTTTTCGGTTTGCATGCGGCTGGAACGGTAGGGTTTAAGCCGAGTCATGGTCAAGAGAACAGTGAAGAGCACACATCTTGGGGGCGCGCTCGCAATGACCAAATCAGGGAGAGGCGATCGCGGTGGAGGAGCAGGCAAGTCGGTCATGAGACGGCTGACAGTATTGAGACGAGCTCAGAAGTGCCAGCCAAGGTGAACTAAGCTGAGTTGTTTCAAGAGTGAGCGGTCTCCACGGATAAGGGGATCTTGCCCTTCATTGTCGCGGATACAAGTGTCATGGCATCCCGCCATTCTTCAGTCGATGGTCTTCTGATCAGTCCCGCAGCGTTCAATTATGGCTTCGCATTTATACTTCCGTGCTCCGTCTCAGATCAGCATTCTGGCATTTTGCTTCGACGAAAATATCTTAGGTCGAATTTTCGATGAGGTTGATTAAACAGAAATTGTGGGAGTCTTAACAACCATCCTACATAGTGAGGAGGCCTTAGTCTGGCACCGCTCTTCATAACATATATTCCGCGTGAATACACCATCACCGCTTTGCCGCGGAGTCATACCATCACTGTTGCAGGTTCCCACTGAATGACATTGTCCGCGGGCTGTCGCTTCATGCCACAGAAGTGGCAGAGAGTCCAGTCCTCACGCCGGATGGTCCAACAGTTGCAACCAGCACACTGACTCGTAAAATGATCCCTTCCCGTCTTTCCTTCCTGGTACCTCATCATCCCGTCGTGAGACTTGACCTTGCCGCCCCAGCGGATGATCTTGGCGGGGTTCTCGGCAAAGGAAGCGGCCATAAGCTTTGCGCTGGTGTCGAGAACTTTCTGCACAACCTCCCCTGGCACCTCCTCACCCAGCGAGAAAGGAGAAAGAAGCTTGACGGTTTCGCGCGCTATGGCGTCGTATGCCGGCATCTGGGCACCCCAGAGCCAATTCTTGGCATACCTGCCAAATTGCTCCTGGTCCAACGTGAACGTGCCCTGCGTGTGCAAGGGGTCGAATCCGACCGAGGCGCTCGCGTAATACTGCCACGGAATAGCTACTCGTTCTCCAAGCCTTGGATCGCGGAAGCATAGGTAGTTGAAACGGTTCATCTGATCGAGCGATGGGATCAGGTTTGTGATGAAGTCGTCATAAGGAGCAAATATCTTCCTGATCGTCGACTCTGCTGCCGCAATGCTGCCTTGTTTGGCATCATCGAGTGCTTTGTGAGTCAGCTCAGCGGCGTATGTGGACGATGCCATGCCGACATTAATGCCAGGAGAATACAACGGGTTGGTAAAACCGCACGCGTCCCCAATAGCCAGCCAGCCCGGCCCGGACACTACTGGAGACTGGTACGTCAGAGTCTTGCGGACGAAGAATGTCGTCTTTGGACCATAGAGATCTTGAATCAGCTCGAAATTGGTCATGAGCTCGTTGATGCGCGGATATTTGCGGATAAAGTAGTTGAGCTTGCGTTCAGCTTCGGTAGAGCCATACTGGGCGAGATCATCGGGATATTTGACGTCGTTGCGGGCAGCCACCCCAACACTCGTCACCCACTGATATTTCAGATCAAACATCTCGGCCAGCTTAGCAGTACAGGGCAACTGGTCGCTCGGAACTCCGGCCTCTGCACAGTCTAGCAGATACGTGAGCATGTCCATCATTTTCGCAGTCGAGTTGCCCTCCCATGAAAGAAGGCGGATGACCCAGAACCAACCCTCCGGAATGCAGAGGTGGTTGGTCTGACACCCCTCGTAGCCACGGAAAGGCATCTTTCTCTTGTCTTCCGGGTGGGTGTAATATGCCCAGAAGGCGTCCGTGTTGAACCCCTCAAATCGTTTGAGCGAGGCCTTCTTCGAGGCCAACTGACGGAATCGCCCAGTTGCATCCACAAGCAATGACGTATCAATACTTGCAGATGGCTGGGTGGCCTCCTTGGCCGCATCTACAACGCTGATTTTGCTGTTGTGTAGGCCACCCTGAACATCCGATGCCACAAAGTCGACTTTCTTGCCGTGGTACACATTGACGCCCTGTCTCTGCGCCAACAAGGTGAACAATAGCTCGCTGACAGGTCGTTCGACCTGGTAGCCGCTGAGGTGCTCGCCTGGCGTGCCGACGATAAGATTGTCCCCGTAGTTGTCCGCGTCATTCTCGCGCATAAAATAAAATGCGAGTCCATCCTTGAGGCCGAAAATGCGCAAGAGATAGTCGGCCGTGAGCCCATGCAACTTGCACCACAAGGAGAACGCAGGCAGAGTACTCTCGCCGATCTTGTACCCTGGCTTGCTGTTCTTCTCAATGAGCGAGACACTCAAGTTGCCCGACTTGACGGTAGCAGACTGAATCGCATAGATTAGCCCGTGAATTCCACCGCCAGCGATGACGACATCGGCATCGCTAGGAACATCGGGTCCCGCAGAGTTGTTTGAGTTGAGGATCTCGGCATCGTTGAGGTTGTTCGCTGCTGCACGTTCTGCAAAGGTATGCTTCGGCATCGGCTCCTTGTCCACAACATCCACAGCCATGTTTATATGTTCAAAATATCTTGGTAATACCAAAGCGAGGAGATCTTGACAGTCGCACAAGCTGATGAGCTGTGACACGTTTCCTGAACTTTGAAGGCTATTTGCATGATACTCGACATGATCCCAATCAAAGGGGTTTTATGCTTGACGTGCACACTCCAAATGAAGTAGAATACACAAAAGTCCGAGCCTATTACCCATCTCAGCAAGGATGCCAGAGAGTTTGGAGCAATTGTTTAAACTTTCGGAAGAACTTATCGACCTTGAACGTGGCAACAAGTCCATCTGAGTTCGCCCCTGCTTACGGAAGAAGTTTTCGGGTAAACATTGGTGACTTGCAATTTATCGAGATAAGACAATGATCTGCGCGACTCAGGACGAGGACAATAGAGAAGATAGACCCGCATCAAGCAGATAATAACGTTTGACATCGCATGAGATTCGGGCAAAGATCTATGGAAATGCAATCATCTGTTCCTTTTGTACAACTGTGTGTCCGGACTTTATTCTAACACTAGCTTGGGGCTCTTTGCATCTTACAGACTGAGCACTCCCTCGTTACAGCATAGTCTGCCCGCACGAAAATCGTCCACAATAGACCAGCAAGAGGCCGCGTAGTGATGGCCTTTCCAGGTTGGGGCAACATGAATCCATCACAGCTCTTCCTTAATCACGTGTCACTATCATTGATGATACCAGAAGAACCATGTAGTTGGTCAGGAATGGATCGGAGCCCAAAATTATATCTTTAAGCGTCCTTAGTTGTCGTTCTCAGTTGTAGCAACCCGTGCAACCAGATCTTCTCTTAGAAGGCACAAGTCCGTACCCAGGCGCAATCATGCACGTTCTAGACCCCCCTCGTTTCTACAGTCAAAATACAGTTACAGCAGACAGCTGGGAGACGAAAGCTGTCAGCTCAATTCCTCCACCGGCTTCAGCCCCAGTGCCAGAGCCAAGAGACAATAATTTGCCACTCCCGTCTCCAAAAGGACTACTACAGGACATCCCTCAGACCACAGCCTCGCTTACTACTGTGTCAGCTGGAAAGAAGGACGTGGCCGATGTTGTTTGCGGGAGAGACCCTTTGAATCGATTGCTCGTCGTGGTTGGGCCGTGTTCCATCCATGACCCGAAAGAGGCACTCGAGTATTGTGATCGGCTTCTGCAAGCCCGAGAGAAACACAAAGACGAGCTCCTGATTGTCATGCGGTGCTATCTCGAGAAACCGCGGACAGTCACTGGCTGGAAAGGCCTCATCATGGACCCAGACATGGACGACAGCTTCAACGTCAACAAAGGTCTTCGACTGGGTCGTCAACTACTTGCCGAGATCACGTCTCGCGGCATGCCCGTCGCCAGCGAGATGCTCAGCCTGATTTCGACCAGATACGTCGATGATATGCTATCGCTAGGTTTTGTTGGTGCCCGAACGACAGAAAGCCAGCTGCATCGAGAGCTTGCCAGTGCTTCCGAATTCCCCGTTGGCTTCAAGAACGGAACAGATGGCTCCCTGATTACAGCGCTCAATGCTGTACGGGCAGCCCAGGTGCCGCATAGGTACCTGTCTATTTGCGAAAACGGGGCTGCTGCTGTTCTGCAATCTCGTGGTAACAACGACTGCTTTTTGGTCCTTCGTGGGGGCAGCAAAGGCACCAACTACGACTCTCAGAGTACATCGGAGGCGGAAGCAGAGTTCGCTGCTCACGGTGCTCTACCCAGAATCATGGTTGATTGCAGCCACGGAAATGCCCAGAACCATCACGAGAACCAGCCCAAGGTGGCCGAGGATCTGGCCAAGCAGATTGCTGCTGGAAGGACAGGCATCATGGGGGTCATGCTGGAAAGTTACATCAACGGCGGTAAGTTGCGCCTTCGAGTCTCAGCACGCAATGAAACCTGAGCATTGAGCTAAGAAGCTTCAGGCAAGCAAGCATTGGTATCAGGAAACCGATCCGGGCTCCGTTATGGCGTTAGCGTTACGGATGGCTGTATCGGCTGGGAGAGCACAACGGTGGTGTTTGAAGAGCTTGCGGAGGCTGTCAGGACGAGGCGCAGCCGCCTTGCAGGCAATTAAGCCAGACCGCACCTCTGAACCTTGGAATCCGAGCTTGGGGAAGGCCAGCAGCTGTAAGAACACACGAAATTGGAAGTTGCCAATCTCTACTCCAAAACGTCTTGTCGTGGAGAACTCTGCTGAAACGTGTTGAGATGGATGATGCTAGGCATGGGTAGAAATCTGTTCCAAGTTTCCCATGTGAATTTGGCTGTTTTTCTGACAGAGCGTATATACAAGGGCCATCACCTCCTGTCTGTCGTGTGCGTGTTCTCGTGACACGTTCGACATGAACTACTTGCTACAAACAAATCGCATCAATGCAATGTGTCAAATGCTGCGACAAGGAAATCGACGCTTGTCAGCCAAAGAGTTCCTTGTTTATGCCGAGATGTCTTGTCCTGATTGACTATCTGACCATGAGACAGTTGGCGTTGTTGCATAAACCCTTACAGATTACATTATTTTGTGACAGTACCACAACTTCCATACCGTCAAAAAGATGGACCTGTCCGTCTGCATACCAGATCACTCTTTACTGGGCGTTCCTGCATGGTTACGCGCCGGTATAGTGGCTGATCAAACGACTCGGCATGGGTCACAAGCTGCATGCAGAGACCCCTCGGCAGTCCTAGCCATTATGAGGTATAAATCCCAGGTGGCGGAGTCTGTCACGAAAGTTCGACCCGTGCGGGCACTCCCGTCCCTCCATGCTTAGATTCAATGCATGCAACCTTAACGGTAGACGACTGTCCCGATGAATCCGGCCGAGGCCCAGATGCCAGCCACCAGAGCCACCCGCCAACCGGAACATCATCCATAGCGCCTTAATCCTGGTTTGATGTGCATAAAGCCAGCACAGCCGTACGCCCCTTTCCTCGTAGTGGGCTAACGCGTCACTCTATTGAAGCAGACTAACATGCTGCTCATACGGTGTGCAAGGATCATACCAACATGGCTTGAAACTAAACGGTACCGCATGTCCCTGATACATGTCATTATGCTCAGCAGAACTTTGATAACGACTGCTGAGGGGCAACCTACCGCGACGACCACCAGCCCCTTTCCCTCACTGAGCCAACAGGTTTAGCGTGCGTGTGGGGGTTGCACAGCCGTCAGCGGGACGGGCCTTGGAAACTCTGCACCATCGTATACACCCTACCTAGCTATACAGCCTCGAGCAAAGCATAGACGCAGTACAGCCCGCGGGGAAGTAACCAGGGAATGCCGGTAAGGTTCAGAGACGCCCCTATACCTTGGAGATCGATCACTGTCGGCTGCATCCTGCTCAACCCGCCCCTATTGGCGCACGGGTGGCAATTTGGAGAACGGAGTTTCCCCGCGAGACAGGGAGCATCAACCGCATAGGCTCTTCAAGGGCATTCCTATCTTGCATTTGCGAGACTTGTTTGGCTGGCAAGATTTCGTGTTCTCGTTGGTTTATAAACTAGTTGCTGGTGCCAGACTTTATGGGGAAGTCTATCAATGTAGCAAAACTCAAGACTTTCTTCCCTGACTTACGATTATCGCGTTTGTTCCTCGAGTTGAGCCCAGCCCCGAACTCTCCGATGGCAACATGTCTTGCTAGCAAATCCACCATCGCGTGCGAACCATGTCGCCGCCGCAAGACGAAGTGTGACGGTTCACGACCTCAGTGTGGAGCCTGTTATTCAACCCATACACCCTGCGTTCTTGTCAATGAGCGCCCCAGGCGTGGGCCCAAAAAGGGGGAACTAAGGGCATTGAAGGCTCAAGTTGGTAGGTGACGGGGATTCCAATCAACCAGTGGTTCAGCCTACGGGCATCTCATTCTCCTGCGCGTTTGGCCTCAAGCTGACAATATCTTCTCCTAGCCATGCTGGAAAAGCAGCTGGCCAAGCAAAAGGTTGAGATGGCGTTTTGCAACAACCGCGGTAAAAACCCCACAGTAGAGGCGCAGAACGGCCAACAGCAACCGCTCTCGCAACTTGACATGTCTGAGTGGATGGAAAATGTGACCGCAGGACCGAGCACCTTCGAATCTATCGTGTCAGACGTTGGCGACATCATCTCGGGCATTCCACAAGTTGAACCCACAGCTGCAAGCATGACAGAGCTATCGCCCTTGCTCTCAGAACAACCGGAGGCTTCGATGCCGCTTGACGACTTAGTTAGAGTAGAACTGTAAGTTGAGCGTCGTGGACTTATTACGCCCTTTGCTTGGTGGAAGGAATGACTGCACGCGTCGCTTCAGGCTGGGTCGTTCCTCAACTGAGATTTCTGTAGTGACACTCTCTACTTCAACCGCGTCCATCCTTTGTTGCCCATGATACATCAATGGCGATACTTATCATGGGCCACGGACAAAAGCCCGTGTGCCGCTCGTTCCGCGCTACGCCTGGCAATGTGGACGCTCGCGACTGCTTTCTCTGTTCAGTATCGAGCTCTAGGGAAGAACCTCTACCAACAAGCTCGGCAGATGGCAAGCTTAGATGGGGCCCATCAAGACCTTCCATGGGACACCGCCGTGTTTCAGCTCGAGCAGACACAAGCCTGGCTTTTGCTAGCCTACTACGAGTTCATTTGCATGAGCCAAGACTGCATGCCCCTGACTGCTGCTCGTGTGTACCGACTCGTGCAGGCGTCTGGGCTGCACAACATTGACGCTGCTAGTTCTCAGGTGATTGACGAAGAGACAATGATTGTTAGAGAAGAGAAGAGGAGGACATTTTGGGTGGCGTTCTGTATTGACAGGCTGATAACGGCTCAGGACAGCCTGCACATTACACTCCAAGAAGAGATTGTAAGGCGATCCTTTCTCAAGCTCCGGGAGGACCCGATGTCCCAGGCTCTTCGAAATCAAATGCTAACTTGCGATGCTGGGTCTTAGCTTCATGTCCGTCTCCCCACTCCAAGCATGAACCCGCAAAGCAGCAAGGGTTCCCTGGGCCACTTCTTGCAAGAGGCGATCTCACAAACTCCACCTAGTAGCCTCTGTTCTTTCAGTGAGAACATCGTCTTGACGGCGCTCTACGGCCGATGCGTGACGCACAGGCGATTAGCTTCCGCCAACAACCAGGGTGAGACCACCAGTTTCTGGAAGCGCCACGAATGGCTTGCTGCCACCATAGAGCAACGCACGCAACCTCTGCCCACGACCCTGTTGGAGCTTGAGCACGGGATGGAGCGTGGCGCGCTGGATATGTTCACCCACTTCCTGGCTCGCAGTGCGGCCATCCATCTAAGTGACACCGCAACGCTGTGGCTCTGGTCAGCGGCAGAGCACGAATCGGCACACTTGGAATGCAGACGGCGAGCTTTCCAAGCGGCCATGGAAATCACGAACCTGGCCCGTTCGTTTCGCCGGCTGAGCAGCTTCCGAGTATGTGAACCATGGAATGGCCCGACGCGGATTTGGCTCTTTGCCGACAAGGCATGTACACTCAAAGCTAATGCACATATAACTACCAGGTTCACCCGTGCCTACCTAGGGTCCTTGCACATGCTGCCGCTTTCCTCCGCAGGAACAGGGACACGCTGCTTGAGCTTGATCAACAACGCACGGAACCACATGCGGAGCAGGAACTCCTGGACTCATTGAGGCATTTCCAAACCAACAATGCCTCCGCAGTAGAGCTTTTGCGAGCCCTGGAAGCAGGCACTGATTTTGTGTTTTAAGCACCGAGTACACTGGAGAAACTAGCAAAGACACATCTACAGGGCTTCTTCGAGTTGTCTGATTGGCTGCGCTGTGTCATGAGAGTGACAAGGAAGCATTGCATCCAATAAGATATCCTCTGCATTTCTTCATGCACATGTCAACTTAAAGAACCACTAACCATTCAGAGACACCGTTTGACTCGTGCGCTGGATTACAAATGTGCCCAGGTGGTCTTGGGCCTTGTATTTGACCCCTGCGCATCCAACGGAAGTATTCAGGCGGCCAATTGAGTTTAGCGATGGCCACGGTACGACGTAGGAAGCACCTTGTCCCCGGAAACCATGGCACACTCAGGATGCAACCCCGGACTGACGGTTGCGATAGAAGCGGTCAATATCCTGCTCGTACAGGGCCAGAGTCTCCCTTCGCTTAACGGTCAACTTGTCCGTGCGCACGAACGGCCGAGCCGGATCCGCTAGGATCAAGCAGTCCTTGTGCAAATAACCTTTGTACAGAGAGCTGTTGTCCGCCTTCTTGACAAATTCCTGAATTGAGTCAATCAACCCTTGCAAGGCAACAGGGTCTCGTGGTTTAGGTCCGCTCAACTCGACAAGCAAGCCCGGAGCGGGCTGTCCAACCCCGACCTGGTGACAAATCCATTGTTAGCAAGTGACCGGGATGCCCTGTCTCTGTCTCACTGCGTGCCCCATGTGGAACCCCGCCTCCGCGGAACATCGGACAACTTACCATGAGGCAGTCCTTTACGGCAGGGTGATCTGCGATTGTTGCTTGAATATCCGACGGTGTTATCTTGAAACCGTCGGAGAGGGCCACAATATCGTCATTGCGGCCATAGTACAGCCAGTGGTCAGGTTTGGCAGGATGCTTGACGTACAAATCCTTCAAGTTTACCTCTTGCGCATCGGGAAAGGTGTAGAAAATCCCCTGGTACAGGTCCTGTGCAGGGTCTCGCACGATCCAATGCTCATAGATTCCCGGCTCAACCTCTCGGAAATCGTAGACGGAGTTGGGATGCCAAGCGAAATAGAGGAAGTCTGCTGGATCTACCAGCAAGACACTGCTCATGAATCCCTCAGACGTGCCGGTCATGTTGAAAACACGAATTTGCTCATTTACAGCTGCGCCAGATTCCGGACTCATCGGGCCTCGGAGATCGTCAACACGAAACCTTTAACCATTATCTGAGGTTTACTCACCACCAGCTGTAGCGATGAATCTTGAACGCTTCACCTTGGCTAAAGTCCTGGGAGCTTGGGCCAGGTCGTTGATGTACTGCGGCGACACGAACCAGATGTCAACATTACCATGATCGGCGATGCCTGCAAAGAGATCCATGGTTGGCTCGACATCCACAGGGCTCATGATACAGTGCGTCTCGAAGAAGAAGGTCGACAGAAGGTTAACAATGATAGCCGTAGCCTGCGAGACGACGATGAGTATTAGTGAACACAACACAATGCTCCCCATGACAGCAAAAAGATTTGAACACTAACGTGGATGATCGCATTTGGTGAGTAAATTCTTGCACCCTTATCGAATAGTGCCGCCCATGGCGTCAGGCTCTCGTGACCCTTAACGGGTTGCAAGAGCTTCATTGCGTCCTGGGTGGCGATCAGACCATGCGTCACGGGGATTGTCTTGGGAACACCCGTAGATCCTGAGCTATGAAGCACGCAAAATGGTTCTTTGGCAGCCTCTTCGAATGTTTTTGTGTAGGGATAGTGCCTCGTCCCAGCGGCGTCCAGGAGCTCTTCACATGGTGGGACATCAATGATTTGCAACTCGTGTGTTACCAACAGCTCAGTGAGCAGGGGGTTTCGTGGCCTTCCTTGTGGTTGGGCCCAGAGTCGACACTGGGTTGCATCGAGACATGCTGCTGCACCTTCTTTGCTGTTATTTGGCGATAGCAATAGGAGCTTTGGTATCTCGTTAGTCTTCACATCCTCCAGTGCGGGGTGAACAAACACGGTACGCATAGAGTTCGAAAGGCAGTACCTTGAAGCCCACCTTGATAGTGGCGAGGATGAGAAGAGAATACCGGAGATCATCTGTGGCGAATGTGACCACAATCGTTAGCTGGGTTGGTAAGCACCTCAAGGATAATGGAGCCGTGCAAGCTTACGTGGCCCAATATACGTTATAGTTTCGAATGACTCGCTCCTGTCGACCGTTTCGTGAAGCCACCAGGCAGTTTTGTTGACGGCGTCGGCAAAGCCGCGCGCCGAGACTTCCCGGAACCCTTGCGAAATGTCCCCTGAAAGCGGGATCGAATACACGATGCGGCTCGGCTCGGTTCGTGCAAGCTCATCTACAAGCCGGGGGATCAGCCGCCTTCCCCGCTCCGTGGTTTCCGCCATAATCATAGCTTGTCTTTCGGAATAGTGTGCTGTGTCGAGAAGGTGGACTAAAGTATCAAAGCATTCAAATTGAGAAGAGGTTGTGATTCCCAGCATGGCATTCCGAGCTTAGCTGGTGCGCAGCCACTGTTGTTATATAGACAAAAGAACGAGGCAGTACACTCTATCCTAGTTGAATCTAACCTGTAATGCGTAGATTGCCTGTCGTTGACTTCCAGTTTGTGCAATTTCAGCGGATTAAAGAAGCCACACTATTGTTTCTCTACGTTAGTGGGGACAGAATGACACAGGCCCCCGAACGGGCTGAGAGACCAGCCTACGACCAACACGAACATTGGTTTGCGTGCTTGGCAAGGACTTGGGTCTATCTTCATGTCCTGGATCATGGTACCTCTCCCAGATATTGCTCACAGAGACTGGATCGCGCAAGCTGAAAGATGATGTGTTCATAATTGACCCCTGAGCAGTGGGGGGCAAGCGGTGAGCTTTAGACTTTGCAGTTGTAGCCCAGCCCCTTTCAAGCGCCCATGACAGAAGCTCTGAGCTCAATTAACAATTACAAAAAGGCCCAGGAGCATTCTCGGCCGAATGAACCCACCCACATGGCACAATATAATGCTCCGATGGGCCAGCACAGCGGCAGGGATAAGCAAAGAAACTCCGCCCACTTCCCCCGCCCCGCCCCTTGTATGTTTAAACTCTGTACTCCAACTCTCAAGGGTCAGAGGTATCAACGACCTTGCTGCCTCAAAAATTGCCCTCATGAATCAGGGGTCACGCAACACAACCATGGAAAAAATTAGATTCAGCACAACTCAAGGCCGAAAATTTGTGTCCTCCAAACCGATGCAGAATAACCATGGTACATTATTTGCGTCCGTAACGTTCTTGACTCTGCTCCAGGTTCTTTCAATACCGCATCATGCGCTCCACAATGTCAGATCTAGGCCGTGGCTCTCGTGCTTGGAGTGGTCGGCGTATTACCGAGGATGGGGAGATGAAGATTTAACCACAGGACCGGGACGATACACTTTGTGTGGTGGTTGCTGTTCTACATAAGTGGCCCAGAATCATTGCCAGTTCATCCTGCACGAACTGTCCATTTCTGCAAGTACTACAGATCGTGCTATCTCGTTCAATCTCATTTCTTACGCCTGTCTCATTCCACGGTCCTCCCGCCTGAAATTTCACTCTTGAAACTTACTGAGTACATTCGAGCCGGACGGATTTGACTCATTCCTGAAGTTCAGGAGCAATGGCGACTTATCAGGCTTCTAGCACCTTCAAACTGGCCTCGGGCCAGTTCCAGCCTGTCGATCTAGTTGTCAAAATGCTCAAGAATTTTCAGCAGGGCGACTATTGCGCCTACGAACGGCACGGGCTGTGGTACATCGGGCTAGGCAGCCGCTCCTCTCTATCGGTCAACCCAACGGGCAGTACGGCAACAATAGTCTCTGGTGGGACCACAACCGCTACAACCATCGCCTGCCCCATCAGCCACGTTGCCCGGGATTTTGTTCGAGACTACGGACGTGAGGATGGCAAGGCATTTGGCTACGCGAGTTTCAATTATGCAGCTCACTGTCGAGGACAGACCTTCAAAATTGGAACGTGGCCACTGCTAGCTCTCTTCATTCCTGCAATTGAGATCTGCATTGGACCAGAACAAATCACGATCAAGGGAGACGACGTTTTGGAGATCCAAGCACTGGTTGAAGTTCTTCGACATCCTTCAATACCGACTGCTCCAGGTCAACCCATGGAGATCGATGTCACCCAAAATGCGGACGAGTACGTCAACAGGGTTGCCAATGCACTCTCAGAGATTGGCGTTGGACTGTATCAGAAGGTGATACCATCCCGAGCCGTAGCTGTGTCTGATAAGATCGACATCCTCGGCACAATGCAGCTAGGCAGATCGTTCAACAACCCTGCTAGGTCGTTTGCCATCAGCCACGAAGGCCACCAAGCTGCCGGGTTCAGCCCAGAGCTAGTGATGCTCGCGGAAAACGGAAGGCTTACCACTGAGCCACTGGCAGGCACTCGCTCCAGGGAAGGTGACACCGCGGAAATAGAAAGGCTTCGTCAGGAGCTTCTCAGTGACCCCAAAGAAGTGGTCGAGCACGCCATATCTGTGCGAGAGGCTGTAGAGGAGCTACAGCGAGTGTGCCTCCACGACACGGTCGTCGTCGAGGATTTTATGACGGTCCGGCCCAGAGGTAGCGTGCAACACCTGGGTTCGCGGGTCGCTGGTAACCTAGCTCCTGGCAAAGACACTTGGGATGCTTTCAACGTCTTGTTTCCGTCAATCACCGCGTCAGGCATCCCAAAAAACGCGGCCTTGGAAGCGATACAGCGCCTCGAAGAGCAGCCGCGCGAGCTGTACTCCGGCGCCGTTCTGCTGGTGGATGGCCCTGAATTCCTGGAGGCAGCTCTGGTTCTTCGTACAGTATTCCAAGACAGCTCCCGCCAGTGGCTACAAGCTGGAGCTGGTGTCATCTCTCAATCAAACCCCGAGAGGGAGTTCACTGAGACACGAGAAAAGCTTGCGAGCATTGCCCCATTCGTGGTTACGAGCAACCCAATTCATGCACTTGTATAGCCAGAGGAGCATGTGTCACCCCTTACGCAGTTTTTTACGGTTGGATTCAGAGTCTCGTAGCTCTTTATGACTTAGAATGAATTTTGTTGTTATGCTTGTGGATTCAGTGTCAAAGTGTCAATCCGAGGTGGGGGCAAATAACAGCTGTTCAAGGCACCACGACACCGACAACCTCGGCATCATGCCATGGAGGTCGCGGATGTAATCTTCTTCTGGCTAGGTGGGCATGTAAAGGCCTTTCTGAGCCCTTCTCTGCCATCGCCAAGGAAGTGACGCGCACGCGAGATCGAGTGTGTGAGTGTGGCTTATCAATCAATGGTAGCTTCTGGACTCCTCGGTGCTGGGTCGAAAGCCACCAATTTACTCAACCTCACAATGATTTACGGATTAATGGTAGGCGATTTGCCAATACGAGCAAGGAATGGCCCCTACGAATACGGAGTTATCTCAAGTGCCAACTTTCGATCCACGCGGAATCTACCATCAACAGTTGGTGATTATTTGGTCGTTGCGTCTGGACTCTCTTTATTCGACTTAATTTTGGTCACATAAGATATTCTAGACGACCGAGGGAAACAGATCCCAGCTACAAGACCACCTGGTGTTTTTAGTGCTGCTTTGTGGGACGGTCTTGTTAAAAAGGAGAGGACAACACCCGTGAGCGAGGAGTGTGAAACCCAACACTCTGCATTGTATTGCCTGGAGTAAGGCTCTACCCCGCAAAGGAGTATGACTGGAGCAATCGCGATTGTGGCGTACCCGGTTGCCATCATATGATAGTCATCGTCTCTAGTGGAGTGTGGTGTGTAAGCTGGAATCTATGCTCTGTGCTGCCACGTCGAGGGGGCCTCGGGAAATCAGCACACTAATATGAAAGAAGCAGGCGACTTCTCAGCCGCAACAGGGGTCGGAGGCGAAATGATGTTGGAGCTTGGTGGTTGGTAGGGATGCTGGTGTGTGTCGAGCCCCTGCACTGTCGGTTGTCCCGAGGGGCCAGGAGGTAGTCTCGCCAAGTGGACTGTCAAGATATTGACTCTGCGTCGTGCTTGTCGAACCGAACAGAAGTCGAAGGCAACCTTGAGGCGTATCCCACATTTGTGTGTGAAGGTAGAATGGTTTATTGGTTCCACTGCCCAAAGGTCGTTTTGAAACCTCCTAATCTGGACGTGGAAAGTTTCGGTGTGCGAAGATCGGCACGGCATGAGATGCAAAAAGCAAAGTATGATTGAAGTCAGCTTTGGGGGCTGAAGTGCTCAACGTATGCATCTGGCGAGACCACAGCGTTCTTATGGCAAGGCCCCCCAACCCCTCCCCAGAATTGAGCTTGATGATTCATGCGATTGTCCGAGAGCTATAACTCGTTGCGTAAATGCACACCCTAAGAGAGCTCTCATTCGTCTCGTGTCCAGCCGCTCTGTACAGATACAAGCATCATGGTTCCAACCAGGAATTTGTAGTCGGCTGAAACGATGGCTTTACCGACACCTACGAACGACCCTCAACTCTCCATAATTGGCATTGGTGTTCAGTATCCTCCGTCTTCGCTGGCTCCCGTTGAGCTAAGCAAGCTTGCGAAGAAACATTACCCAGATTCACCTTCGTGAGCTTCCATCTCCTAGAGCTATTGTCCTCTTGCTGGTAGACCACTGTCTGATACCGGCCTTCTCGTGAAAGAATGAGCAAAGTCCTTGCGATCAACGAACAAACGGGCATCTTGAGACGATCTTCGGTCGTGACTGTTGATCATCCTCTCTTGAACCAAGCGACTCCGGCGACAATCGATCGACTGCACAAGTTTTATATGTCCCGCGGGGTCCCCTTAGCTGTCACAGCGGCCCGAAAAGCCGTCGCCGAAGCAAGAATACGGCCCTCAGACATCACACATATCGTCTCGACAACATGCACTAACAGTGCCAATCCCGGATACGACCACGCTGTTTCTAACGAACTGGGTTTAGTGAGTTCCGTAGAAAAGATCCTCTTACACGGCGTAGGCTGCTCAGGAGGGCTAGCAGCCCTACGGACGGCGGCAAACCTCGCACTAGCCCACAGCTTCAGGTCGAAGCCTGCTAGGATCCTCTGCGTGGCACTCGAAGTAAATACGACACTCGCCAGGAGCGAGCTCGAAAGCATTCACAACAACCAGGAAGCGCGCATCGGGGTATGCCTCTTCTCGGACGGGGCAAGCGCGGTGATCTTGAGCAACGGCCTCGGCGGACCAATCCCGTTTCAGAACCCTGTGTACAGCTTGCTCGATTGGCATCATGAACTCATCCCTAACTCCCAGCAGGAACTTGGTTTCGACGTCGATCCAATGGGCTGGAAGGTGACCCTGTCTCCGGCAGTACCAGCTCTGGCGGTGACTGCACTGCAGTCGAGTCTCGATCTGCTGCTTAGCCGAGCCTCTACATATCTGCCCTCTCAGTACAAGGAGGCATCAGATTTCGACTGGGCGATCCACCCCGGTGGCGCAAAGATTCTAGTTGGAGCGCAGAAGGCCTTGTCTCTGTCGCCAGAACACATGCGCGCCAGCTATGACATCTACCAGAACCACGGCAACTCGAGCTCGGCGACCATTTTCAGTATCCTCGACCGGCATCGGCACGCGGATATGGATCAGATTACCCCTGACGGACGAGTGCGCGAGCACGTCGTCAGCTGCGCATTCGGACCGGGCATCACTATTGAGACGTGCATCCTCAAGCGGCACGGGGTTGCAATCTCAAGCAGTGGCATACCAACGCCACCAGATTCCAAGTCCGGAATTGATTTCAGTGATAGGGATGAGGACCTTGAACTCTTTCGAACAAGCTCAAGCCTCGGCGGGAAGCGAAGTAACTGGTGCATAAGTCCTTGGCGGACTGTGCGTAGTGATGATGCCATAAATCCAAGGTTCACGTCTCCTTATTCTTTCCGGCCCCCTCCACAACTCCGAACTTCTTCCAATTGGAAACAAAAGATTATGTTGCTCTTTGGTAAATGCCGGTCAATATTCAGAGGCGAAACCAGGTTGCCACGTGGAATGACTGGGATGAAGGGTTCTGACACACGCTGGATTGGGTGAAGGGTTCGCACCAGGAGGGCGATGGCTTGGCACACGGGATGCGAGGCTTTTATCGGCTGAGAGCGGTATAAAAGGATTGGACATGGATATGCTGGTCGCCCATTTGGAATTCGAGAGGTGCCGCATGGCTGGGTCGAACGCCTTCAGCGGAGATCCTAGCATGGCATGACTTTCCATGAATGACAACCCACGCTGTCACGCACAGATGTCTTGTTCATGATTGGGCTCAGGATAATGTCTTGTGCCTTTCAGACATGGCGTCATGCTTTCAATCGTGTAGCGATCGAGTATGACCGGGCTTAGCGGACGGATTTCTCGGCTAGAGAGCGTGCAGAGTACTAAAAGAGAATGGCAAGACAGTCTGTGAAGTTACACCCCTGGTGGAAACCCTATGATCGAGCTTCCGCAAGAATGACATGGTGAAGGCCCTGTGGCTGCGTGCACAGTGCCTCATGTTCCGGCCACGAGTGAGGAAGGATGCCTGATGTAGAAAAAGCTCGACGTGGTGGGCAGTGGACAAGGACGCGTCAAATCACGGCGGGACGGTGACACGCACATGCGGGCGAGAAGTCGTCAGAACGAGGCGAATATTCATTGCGAGACTTCTTCCATTTCTCGTACAGTCATAGCATGGCTGCTGGTTCCCGAAAAGACCAGGAAGTTGTTCTCGGGAGTCTTTGGGAGATGGTTCCACTTTTAAAAGATTGACTGTTGCAAGTTGTGGAACTTTTCAAGGCCACTCACTCGTAAGGTGGAATCACGTACATGCGGTATTGCTCTGGACAGTGTGATACATGCCTTTACCAGAGAGGATGCATGATCATGTCTCGTCGCATGCGCATCAAAAAAGTATATGCTCGAATGTGGACACAAAATATTCCGTGAACGTCTCGACGCTGGTCACCCCTTTCTCCGATGGCCACAAATCCTGCCCGCACGATGGACATTTTTGGCAACCCGCCCACTCATCACTGAACTAGACGTTCACTTTTGTTATCGGAGATTGTAAACAGCAGATAGCCTCAATCTTCCAGACCCTATCCTGCACGTTCGACGTAGACTTTCCGAGTGCTTTCACGGACATCACTTCTCACACTACAACTCAGTACAGCGTCAATGGGTAACACACGCCGAACACGGCTCGAGACGAGTAATGAGATCCTTCAAGATGACATCAAAGTGCTTATCGACCTATTTATGGTGCATTTGTACTCGCTCGTGAGGATGGCAGTGAGGCCTCATTTACACGAGCGATTTCCTTCCTCAAGGTCCTCACGGATGGACACACAACGATTGTGAGGCACATTCGAAAGCGCCGCTCGCGGTTGGATCGCACTAGCATAGATGCAGATCCTGGGGTAACTGATAGAACTGCAAAGGTCCTGTTCAATGAGTTTGCTGTTCCTGACAAACATGTGGTGAAGACATTTCTGTTCTTTCAAGAAGTCCCGATTTTAATGCAAGACAAACCAGGTTCTAAAACGCCATTGTGCCCGTTTCACGATTGTGCAATTGTACCCATGCACAAGCCAGTTGTATGCGGTTGTCACTCAACCATAACAGGATGGCTACCAAGAAGATGTTCGGGACCGTCAGGGTAGGGCTCCGTTCTTGACCATGCAGCGAGTCCTGCGTGTACAGACCGTACTCGAGGGATGAGCGCTGCGTGCTTTGCATACATCGCTTTCTCCGAATGAGCCAAACCCGAGCCAACCACAGAACTGTACGTGCCGGCTCGCCCGTCTGCCACACCAAGACAAAGACATCGGAGAAAGCAATGAACAAGGTCATCGGAGATGGATGAACCAAAGACGAAATAACTATATAGTTGGAGCACCCGCCTGCCTTGTGTTCGCAAGATCTTTCACACGCTGCACAGGTACAGGCTGGAAAACTGATCCGCATCAAGCTGGCATTGTTTGACACCTTCAGCATCACGACAAATCAACACAACTGGAACAACACACCACTACCCACAGAGTGCATCTTGATAACCACAACAAAGACAACTACGGAGCTTGAGCCAAGAGACTTGACCCGTCCGCATCAAGATGCCTCGCTTCACATCCATCAACCCGCGCTCTCACCCGGACCCAGACATGGGAGCCGCCGACATTCTCATGAACATGAAATACGGCATTCACGATGCTCGAGGTTACCTGATTCAGAATGCCCCCCAAGGGAGCTTCAGGCTGTCTGAGCGAGGCACCGAAGCGACCTCGAGTTTGTCGCCAGAAGTCGCTCGCTTCGAGAATTCACCCGCAACAACTGAGGAAACCACCGGTTGGATCACCAAGGCCACGATCGGGCCAATCGGCGTCAACGACATCAACAAGTCAACCACCAATGTCCAGCGCCGTCACGACAGCATCCTCCAAAAGCGGGCAGAACACCGATACACCGTGCGGGAGATGGAAGCCGCTGCTCGTGACCAAAAGTTCAGATTCCACGACAGCATCAACCATTCGGCTCTCGACAAGGCCAGGGAACGAGCGGCGGAAGACTACGCCGCCGACCAGGCGCTCATGAGAGAGGCCAGACGCCAGCTGGGTTCTAAGCTCATCAACCGCCGTGCCGCGACTACAGCTCGCGCGGACGCATCGGCCGACTCTGCCAGATCTGATGCGGAGGAGAGCTGCACGAGCTCGGAGATGATCACAGCCGAAGAACTCCAGGACAACAATCGGGCTAAAGTCCGCAGGGTGCGCGCCGAGCTCAAGGGTCAGCTTGATGCCACCCGCGCAGACATCATGGACAAGGCGATCAGATCTGGCAACGGCGCGACACACTTGCCAGAGGAGGTGCAAGCCAAATACAACAAGAAGGCTGGCCAAAGCAAGCGCTACGCAAAGGACCGGAGAGCCTTCGAGGAAAACGAAAGTAGGTATTACATGGGCGTCGAGCTGGACATCTACGTGTCCAAGCACCCGGAGCATGCCGACGCGGCCTACCTCAATCTCGAAGACCTACAACCCCAGCGAGAGACAAATGACAACACTCCAGCTCACGCTGCGCGCTCTCCAGCATCTGCGACCAGTAGCTCGCCCACCGGTGCTCCCAGAATCAAGATCGTCGGGAAATACGCCCGAAGCACCGATCGCAACAGCACTCCAGGCCCCCTCTTAACTCCACCACTAGAGAATGCCACCACACCAGAATCTATCCGGGCACAGCCTCGCAGCAGCAACAAGAAAGGTCGCACCCCTCTCCCGACATCCGGGAAAGCCCGGACCCCCAAAGCAGCCAGGAAGGCTCCAGCCACCAAGGCACCCAAGAAGCGGAAGCGTTCGACGACACCTGAGCAGGAAGATTCTGAGGACCAGATCCTGCTGCCTCCGGCCAAGCGCGACAAGAAGGCCCTCAAGGCCGAGGTCAAAAGAATCGACGAGCAGCTCAAAATCGCCCATCATTTCGACCCCGAGATTATCACGCCGCTCGAGCACAACCATAGGGTCAACGAGCTCAAGAAAATAAGGAGCGACTTGACCAAGACCAAGAAGGAGGAGGAGGACAAGGAGAAGAAGGGACCTGTCAAATCGACCACAAACGAGCACGAACTTGCAGACAACATCCTTAGGGGCCCCAAGCCGAACCCAAACGGCATTTGCGCGCCTTGCAAATCGGCTGGATGGGAGGTCTGCTGGGAGAAAGTGGATCGTGAGAAGAACAAGGAGTTGCGCTGCGCTGCATGCGTGCGTAACAAGGGCTCTACTACAACTTGCAATATCGGCACTCCAGAGGAACGTCAGACATACATGGAACTCAAGGCCATAAAGGATGCAAAGACGGCACAGAAGAAAGCCGAGAAGGCTGAGAAGGAGGAGGCCGAAAAGGAGAGGGCCGAGAGGGAGAAAGCCATCATGGACTGTGCGGTGTGAGTAGGAGTGTTGCAAAGTGCAGCTCCATGTGGAGGGAGACATACATTGAAGACGGGCGGGAGATGGGACAGTCCCACGTATGACGGTCATTGCTTGAATCTGTTCAGGCCGGCGGTTCGATGGTTCAAGGAAACAAGTTGAAGGATATTTGTATATACTGGTGGAGGACACTTGGATTACTGCTGCTTGCCTTCTAGTTTCTGCTTTAAGTAATGTCTACTTCACCGACAGTAATTCCCTCTTCGTGCAGGTGTGTCATGGTAGGTGTAACTATGCCTTCCATGCTGGTGCAGACTTTCTCATGTGCCATTTCCGTTTTTTCGGCAACTCGTAAACGTCAAGATCGAAGAGCCTTTACACACTGCGATGACAACCTACTCTTGAGCAAGACGACTTTAATACTTCCATGACCCCCCTCTCAATCTCTCTCTCTCTCTCTGTCTCGCGCGTGCTCACCCCTTATCTCATGAAAACGGTGTTTTGGGCCTCTCGAGCATCTTGCCATCAAGCTCGATATCCACCTTTTCATTGTAAAAGCACAACGCCCCGGCGATGGCGGCACACTCGACCGTGGGGTTCCGGTAGTACCAGACGACATCCCTGAGCACGACGTCTTCCTGCTCGCCAACTTGATCGTCTGATGCTCGATCCGGAGACAAGACCAGGTCATAGTAGTTTGCAACCCCCTTGTACGGGCACTCGGTCGTTGTCTCGCTGCTCCTCAGCAACACCCCTCCTCCTCCTCCCCCTCCTCCTCCTTGTCCGCCTCCGGCGGGTTGATTTTTCCTTCCCAGCACGGCAGTAACAGGAAGGTAAAACCTCACAGGTAAGCCAGTCTCGTACAAATGCCACGCGCCCCCCTGCGCATGCGCGACCTCCCTCCCGCCGCCGCCGCCGCCCACGAAGATCCGCACCGGCCGCGACGACCATACAATGTCGACACGCTTGAACGGGTCCTTTGGGTGCACGTACACTCGCGTGTCTTCCTCCAACCAGGCCTCTGCGGCGGAGAACTCGACGCGGACGAGCCTGTCGAGAACACCTGGCCCGGGGGAGACGGTCAAGGCCGGCACTGGCGCCGGGATCGTCGTGGCGGCGAAGGACGACGGCTCTCCTGGAGGTGGCAAGGAGGAGGACGAGGAGGGTGCCGACGAAGACGAAGACGAAGACGGCACGAAAAAGACGAGCACGCGATCCGTACTGGTCTCCCGGCCACTCCCATCGCGCACGGCCAGCCTGGCCTGCGCAAAGCTCCCAGCAGCAGCAGCAGCAGCAGCAACTCCCTCACCACTCGTCTTCACCCCCCTTGTCCCGTCCTCCTTCTCCTCCGGCTGTGCAGCACCCCAGCTCAAGCACCCCTCCGCAAAGTCCCCAAGCGGGAGATACCAGTTCGGATAATACGGATGCTCCCACACCATCACCGCCCTGGTGGAGTCCGCCACGACGACATTCCCGCCGCCGCCGAACACGATGCGCACGCGCCGGGGCGACGCAGGCAGGACCTTCAGCGGGCCCTCGCGGAGTAGTCGCCGGGCCAAGTCTGGGAGCGGGGTGCTCAGGAATCCCGGCTTCGGCATGTTCTCGCCTTCCTCTCTTGGTCCTAACTTTGGGTTTGTTTGACGACTGGCTTTGCCTTGTCCTGGTTCTTGGTCGATGGGTTGATCAAGGGTTTCGGTAAGAAACGTGGCCGGGGCGGTGGTGATGGAAGCTGGACACACGTGTGTGTGTGTACCTAGGTAGGTAATTACACGTATGTGTGCGCCTGAGTCTCAGACAGTCGAGTCAGAGAACCGTATATCATCACCTGAAGTCTTGAGGAACACGTTCAGGTTTCGTCCGAGGTGGACTACGGCGCGGCAACGTCGTTGCTCGGGGCCGAGCCGCACTCGCCGTCGTCATCATGCGTGGCCCCTCATGCATGCAACCCTCACGCACACAGAAACGTCGGGGCTCAGAACCTTTGCCCTAGTCGCAAAATAGTTGAACTCAATCAAGAAATCAAGAAGCTTTGTACAACGATTAATGTTTGCCTGTGAAGACGCGATATCTAAATTCTACGCTGACAGGAAAAGATGCCAAATCTAGGGTATCATGAAACAAGCGTGCCTAAACGCCAATCATCGTCCCATTCCCGAAAATGATGCCTGTACGCGGCAACCCGACCCAATACCAATAAAAGCGGCGTGATAATACGCTACGCCGAGATGCTCAAGAAATAAATGTGCACTCCGCAAAGTCGAAACAAAAGCAGTGAAGCACGAGAGAGTACCCGACAGTACCTGCCTCGCCCCGGCCAGTTGCACCAATCCAAAGTCAATTTCAATCTCTGAAACTGCTCACTCTTCTGTGAATGGATCCCGCTGCTCATCGAGCTCGAGCCTCTTCGCCGCCGGCTCGCCACTGTTGTCGACGACGCCGTACTTCTCAAACCACTGCTCCCGGAGCACTTGGTATATGAAGAGGTACTGCGCCTCCGATTGCACCATCACCCGGCGCTGTTCTCGAAGCGAATTGACAGTGTCGAAGACAAGATCCTCTGAGTGGTGCTCATCGTAGTCCTCAAGTTCTCCAGATTCGACTTCCCGCATGAGGCTGTCGAGCGTGACGAATGTGCCACTACGGCCAACTCCGGCCGAGCAGTGCACGATCCTGGGGTTGCTTGCGTCCATGTTCTTCTCCCGGGACAGCCGCATGAGCTCCAAGAAGCTGCCAATATCTTCCATAGACGGCACACCAAAGTCAGGCCATTTGCGGTAGAGCAGATGCCACACAATCTTGTCCTCATCTTGCCCATCCACGTGGATGAGCAATTTGCGTACTTCGATGGCCCCGTCCAACAAGTTCTCGACGCTGTCGCATCGAACTTGTGCCTTGAAGCCATCCCCAAACTCATCAGATTCGCCGATCTCGATGGGTTCCTCTTCCACCGTACGAGGGAAGTATGGGTAGCATTTCTCCTGGATGCCCTCGTGTGTTTCTGTCAGCATGACGATGACGGCTGGACTGTCTACTTGCTCGACAATCATGCGCCAGACATGCTCTACTGTCTCCCGTTTCGGACCCTGCATGGCAATAAAGTTCTGCGCTGGCCGATTGCTGGAGTTTAGGGGCGAGGACACCTTGAGGGGCGAGGCGTTGATGTAGTCGAGGCATCCATTCGGAACCTTGAGTTTGACTCTGTTGTTTGTCCAAGGCTGGATGTTTTGGTACCGATCGAGCTTCTTAGACTCGAGCGGCAGTGTAGATCGAAACCTGCCTGACGGGGAGTGGTCTCTCATTCCTTCGACGATTCGGGTCCGCTCCTGCCACTGCAAGTCTACGAACTTGCTCTCAATCTCTGCACCGCCAGGGCTTGGTCAGTATGATATCCAGCTATAATGGAGCAGGTTCTTGCAACGGGCAGGCTGTTCACTGACCTTGGAATGGCAGCCTCAGGAACGCTGGAAGCTTCTTCTTAGGAACACGCGAGCTAGATCCATCGTGCCAGCCGCCGTCGCCAGCTGTAGGCGACGTCGGGAAGCTAGAGCTCAGTGGTGATGAGGCCGTCATGGTGTGGGCAGCATTCCCTCCGGGGCCGGTGGTAGGCGCTTGTAGGTGAAGTGAGGCGGGCACGGGCGATCGGGCTCGCTTGTTCGTCCGAAGGTGGAAGCCGCGAAAGGACGACTTGAGCGGATGAAGGGAGCCCTGTGACGTTTTCACGACGCCCGGGGCGCTCTTGCTGCTATGTATGCTCGAAGCGCTCTGGTCGCTGTGGCTCGAGCTCGGAGGAGTTGTTGTGGTTGTTGTTGTCACGGACAGCGATGGGGGCTGCCTTGCCGGTCATGCTTGTCGTTGGGCGGCGCGAGGCTGGTCGAGTCGTGTGCGTGGCCCTGCGAGGCATGGCGAGCCTGGCGAGCCTGTTCTATGGGTTCTTCTGGAGTCGCAGGCATGCCGTCGCTGTCTGGCGGAGCAGGCGCGGAAGGTTGCGGATCGACATGGTCCTTGGGAGCCTTTTTTGATCGGCGGAAGCGGGCTGAGATGTGAGGCATGACGCCCAAGGTTGCCGTGGCGTGGCGGGCGGCAGGGCGGCGCGCCAGCACTGCCTGCAAGGCCCCAGGGAGTGCCAGAGGGATGGTTGCACCAAGCAAGCTTATTACAGCCTGCAGGCGGCAGCGTCAGCTTGGGCGAAGACGGGCGATCGGCAACAGCCACACCCCTGGTTGGGCACCGGATCAAAGGCTCGCAGCTGGGTCGTCGATGTTTGTTGGTTGGTTCCAAAGAGGGCCAGAAGAAATAGAGAAGCAGACACGTCCGCAGCAGCAGCAAACAGAGAGGTGCCGGGCGTCGTGTGTCGTAAGTCGAGGGAAGCCGCTTCGGAGACGCCGTACACTCAAATGCGGCAGGAGTGGTATTAGTGCAATGGCGAGCGCCCACCTCTTTCTATTTCTGGGAGTCTGACGGCGCCGGATGGTAAGACGAGAGAGAAGGAGCACGTGGAGGCGGAAGGAAGTAAGGACGATGAAAAAGCATCACGAAGCACCTGACAAAGCAAAAGAGACCCTCTCAGCCGATCCTCTGTGCGAGCCACAGCCTCGGGTGGTGCTGCAGTCGCGGCATGGATGGCATTGCCACCATCGCCGGCGAGCCTGGCCCGGCTGGGTCTCAACCTTCAGCGGGCCCGGGCAGGGATCAAGCCCGGAAGCCCAGGATGATGCGGGACTCGAGCTAATACGTAATCCCACGAGCGGCTTGGGCAGCATGGGCGCCATCCATTTCGATCCATTTCCAAGCGCGATGAATGCGGCCTATCGGCCAGATCCCCAACGTTTACGAGGGCCTCCAATCTGGCACCCCTCGTCTAGCGTGGTGCGGTTCCAGCATCCAGGGGGGGCCGCTTGCTCTAGAGAGAATGCAGCGCGCAACCGCCGAGCCAGATGTCCACCTGCACCTGGGCAACTAGGAGGACGCGAGGTCCGCCCCCCAGGAAGCCACGCGCGCGTGTGCATTAGGGGAATCGGGGGCGGAGCACAAGGCCCTCCCTCTGGTGCTGGAACCTGCGCCTGGTGGGAAAGCAAGCAAGCAGGGCTGGCTGGGCACCGGGGCCCGGCGAGCTGGCATACGTGTGCCTTAATTATGGAAATAGTGGCAGCTGCACCTGCAGGTGCAGAAACAGGGGCACCCTCGCTCGCACGTGTGCATCGCTGCTCGGCAGGCAGTGATCGTCGTGTCAATCATCGTCGAGGCGGCTTTGTGCCGCTGCTCTTCATCTGACAGGCGGCGCCTCGTCTTCACGTGTCTGTGCCGACCCCCGATACTCTCCGCACCCGAGCGCTGCCATCACCCCCGAGCACCACGAATGGGCTCGCTTCGTTCACTCGGCTGGGCGACAAATTAGCGGGCGGGGACGCGAGCGCCTGATGCAGGTCCCGACGACACGAGGGGGGGCCACAGCACCCAGGCGTCTGTTGAGGGACGAGATAGGATTGGCAGGGCATTCCCCATCAGGGCTCGTCGTATTAATTCCGCACTCTGGAGCCTGCCAGGCTGTGGAAAGGGCCTGCCTGCATCACTGCGAATTGCTTCTTCTCCTTGTTCTTCATCTTCTTCTGTCGCTGCCGCTTCTGAAAGAGCAGCAGCCCCATGCAACGGGGCAACCAAGGCCTCTGAAACGTCGTGCTCACGGCACTTTTCAGCGTCCCTTGCAGCCACGAGGCCTTCCGCCGTCGCGAGACTGGGGCTCGTCTGAGGTTGGTCGGTCATCGGAAGTTGGCATCTCGCACGACCCCTGCCCCGCGTGGCTGACGGGTCATGGCTTCCGGAATACCAAACCGTGGCTCGCGTGGTGGTGTGAGGTCCGCCACACGCATTGGACCCAGGACCTGTAATTTCAGGGTCGAATCGAGGAACTCGTGGCCATCAGTGGCAGCTCCCAGGCCATAATGCATGAAACTCTTCACGCAAGCGTAGCAGGTTTTGACTGGGTTCCTGCCACGGCGGACCGTACATGTGCTCGAGAGCAGCGGGCACTTGGAGTGTGCTAGTTAGCATTGCACCTGTGTACACTACGCCGATCGGAGACTCAAGTTGGGCACGCTAATCGGGCTACAGCAATGCAGACGGGCTGCAATGGCACACTTCTAGAAGCTAAATCCCTGCTGAGCCAAGAGCCCTTGTCCCTTTCCCCTGTCAATGACCTTCGCTGCACCGTAATCTCCGCCGTCGGCTTCGGGCCTTTGCTGCACCCCGTTGTCGAGGCACGGAATCAACCCAACCGACAAATGACGGCTACGTCCCAGCAACGGAATGTCGACCTTGAAACCCAGCAGCAGCAGCAGCAGCATACATCAACTCGCACGTCGCTAGAGCCGATAGCTCCCCTGTCGTGATGATGTTGAAGACAAAAATGTGTCATTTAGACTCTCAAGCTCAGATGGGGAACAAGAAATGCTTGTGCTCTGTCTTCGACCTGCAGACTGGCTTTGAGTCGGGAAGTCAGCACGAAGAGAAGCCAACAATGACATTGAACCCTTGCTCGTCGAACGTCTGGCCCCAGACGCCAGCGCCAAAAGTGCAACGATCAAGAACTCTGTGGGCAGATGGCCACAGGTCGCTACACTTCCAGCTCACATAATGGTCGTTGTCGTTGCACCATCTGAACCATCAGGATTATGTTAGCTCGACATCTCGTCACGATACTCTTCCCGCTTGAGGCGGGAATGTCCTCAAAGCTTTCGATCAAGAATTTCCTCTAGAGAACTTACGTGATGCCGCAGTTCCAAGAACAGCTGACTCGAGCGCAAGTCGCTGGTCCTGCAGCCAAGCCACAGTCACCACCAACGCCCTTGAGATATTCGATGCCATCCAGAGCCTTCGTGATGTCGGGACAAGCACCAGCAGCACCAGCCATACAGATCGTGTGAGCAGTCTGGCGCCGTTCGGTCTGCGTCTGGACCATGGCGCTTCCTGATGCGGTGCTCGGGATGGCATAATCTGCACATTAAAACGTAAAAAACCAAGGCGTCAGACAGCGAGAACATGAGGGCTGCGACACCGAGTCGGTGAGGGCCTCGTGAGATTTCGAACTACTTACTGGGATCGATGTGCTGAATCTGGCTCACGATCTCCTGAATTGTACCACGGAATGTGTAGTTGTCACCACCGGGCACGATGGAGCCCGTCCAATCCATCATGACGAACCGCTGCGCTCCAGAGGGCGGAGAGGGGCTCTGATCGACCTGAAGCATCCGAGGAGATTTTGCCGCCATGCTCATACCGAGCGAGAGCAAGAGAATGATGTAGATGAGCTCACGCATATTGGGTAACTGTCGCGGCGAGACCAAGAGAGAGTTGCAGTGCCGGTGATTGGTGAATATGTACGCACGCTTTGTACATTCAGACTGTTCACAAGTGTCTTTGTGTGAAGTGCCAGAAGGTGGGTTTTGTGGGCCGTTGATACCGATCAGGGACTTCTGCAGACTTCGGTCGACAAATCGGAGCGTCGTTTTGAAAGCCTAAGATGGCTCTTGGTGAGTAGGTGATGGGGGTGAATTTTGCGACGAAGGCCTGGAAATAGATTCGCGAAGATCCTAGGGAAGTGGACGATGCGGGTGAACAGCTCATGCTCAAAAAGAAAATAGAGCAGCGTGGTGCAAGACCTATTACCCTGTTCGTACTTGTGAAGTCTCACTGGGCCTCAAAAGACCAGCACAAAGAGTCGATGAGCCACCCGGTATTCATATTGGTCTCATGAGATCACTTCAAACTGAGTGGCTGCCCCATACAACTCCGGTGCAGCACCACGATCGCCGCATGTCATCGGGGCAGCGCATTTCTTCTATGTATATCATAAAAAAGCATCCCAGATCAAGGAGAATTGATATTTTATGGTCTGGTCAATTCATCTTCGAATAAGTTGTGTCTCAAAGGTGAGGTTTTGGCTCCATGGACGTCGATGTAAGTGCTCTATGATGACTGTGGTGCCCCACTTTTGAGGCGATGTCAACAACCGCGAACCACACAGATTGGACGATGTGAATTTGCAAACAACAACAACAACCACAGACGCCTCGCCAAATGGACGTACAACGACATTAAAAAAATCTAAATACGCAAACAGACCAGACGCAGGGACGTTATTCTCATTACGGACACAGAAGCACTCGGCACCATGGAGACGCAGCGGAAGATTGAGCTGCAAGCCCCGGACGACCTGGCCTACCTGCTGGCCAACGTGCGCAGGGCCGCCGCGCAGCGCATAGACGAAGCCTTCCCCGCCGTCGAGGGCGCCCAGGAAGAGGACGAGCTGCGGTCGCGGATCGAGGAGCTCGTGGAACAGGTATGGCTTTCCCACCGCTATCTGCATCACTTCTGTGGCCGCATCTGTGGCCTTGCATTGCACTTTCACCGCGTGCTGGCGCTGCTCGTCGCGTGTCAGGCAGGTCCTTGTGGGGGTGTGCCAACACCTCCGGTCGCTTCCCTGTACACAAGACTTTATTCCGCAGGCTTGTTAGATTGAGTGGGGGGGAAGCGGATCCCTGTCATGATGCACCCGTCAAGCTTTGTGTACAGGAAAGCCGACGAGAGCGTCATGATACTCTGAAGAAGTTGTCGTACCGATGTATAAGCGACGAGCACGCATCTGCAAAACCTGTCCCTTCGTTCCATTGCCTACTATCGGACTGGACAGAAACAAATGATTTTCAGTCCGCGCGCGTGTTGCTAACTCATCACACTGACACACCTCTCCTCCCAGTACATAACAAAAACATTCACCCTGGCCGGTCCCAATCTCAGCATCAACGGGCTGGACATCAACCCGGCGCAAATCGCACACCTGCAGGAGAGCTCCTCGACAACCTCGGCAGACGGCACGCTGCAGCCCGAGGAGGTCTTTGAGCCCTTTGACGCGCGCAAGCGCCAGCGCGTCGAGGACCTGAGCCGCGAGGAGGAGGACCTGCTGCGGGACATTGCGCACCTGAAGAAGTCGGTCCCCGCCGCGTCGGCGAGCAGCTGGGCGGAGGCGACGCGGCAGGGGACCAAGGACGACGAGGAGGCGCTCGAGGCGGCGAACCAGCGGGCCAGGGAGGCCGCGGACAACCGCGACGATCTCACGGAGGGCAAGGGCGGGCTGCGCGGCGTCGATGTGCTGGAACGGCAGGCGGATGTGGAGAGGGCGTATGAGCAGGCTGTCCAGGGCCTGATCCGTCTAAAGCGGGACATGCCCGCGGTGGTGGCGCGCATGGAGAGGGCGAGGAGTGCCGGCCAGTATGTGATTACTGGCAAGTAACGAGATATATCTCGGTTGAGGATAGGATGCATGCAAAATGAAATCAACTCACTGCGATGAGATATATAGAGCACAGAGCTGTCAATATGCATGCACCACGACCACTAATGGCCGACTCACAGGGAATACATCGCCACAGTCATGTCTCAATGCAAGGGCAAGTGATCACAGCCGCCATCGTTCTTTCAAGTGATACACGTATTTTGCTTCTGTCTAACAGGGATGCGAGAAGGTAACTAGAAGGGCCTGTAAGCCGTTTTCAGGGTCTTCCTACGATCTAGGCAACAAGAAGTCTCCGCAACCTATATATCCATCTACGGTCCAAGCCAGCTCCAGATCTATCAGACCACAGGACCAGCATGCGCTTCACCCACGACACCTCAACGCCACGCTTCCTAATCAACAATCTACTGGGGCGCAGGGGCGGCGGCAGGAGGGCTGGTAACGGGAACGTGCGCAACGTCTTCTGTGATGACGGGACCGGGGGCAGCAGCAGGGGTCGCCTCGGTCGTCTCGGTGGGCTTGTTGACAATGGCGGTGTCCTCCTGGGGCTGCTGCCACCAGGCGGGCTTGGACCACTGGGGATCTCTCCAGGGGCCGGCGTCGCTCATGACGCAGCCACCCTCGCCGTCGCACTTGCAGGTGCCGCCAAACTCAGCGGGCAGGTTCTCGGCAGGGATCTGGGCGAGGAGAACCTTCTTGGCCTCGGAAGCGCTGCCGGGGACGTGGATCTTGGAGGCGGTGACAGGGTCCAGGAAGTTCCTGACGACCTTGTACACGGCGGAGAAGCCCCAGGGAGTGTTGATCAGGTACATGTGGCCGAGGCGCTCGGGGTAGTTGTTGTTGGACATCTCAGAGGCCTGCTGGATGTAGCCAAAGACGGAGCGGGCGTTGCTGAGACCGACACCCGTAAAGTCCATGACCGTGCAGCAGGTCTCGAGGAGCTGGCCAGCCTTGCGCGAGCAGGCGGGCAGTCTGGGGTCGGCCATCTTCTCGTACTCGACGGCGAGGTTCAGCAGCATCTTGTGCTCGGTGATGCCCTCGGCCTTGAGCGCAGCGAGATCGATGCCACCAAGCTGCTCAATGTAGACAGGCCGGCCGTCCTAGAGGTCAGGAGAGGTTAGCTTGGCGCTCTGGGTTGGTACTGGGAACTGGCTACCACAGGACACACGAGGTGTTATCCTGGGCGTGATATTGCGAACGCAGCATTTTCCAGCACGTACCTTGTCCGTCTTGTGGTAGAACTGCTTGTACCGCTTCGACACCTGGGCCTTGAAGCTGCCGTCCTTGTCCCACTCGCCGATCATCTTGTCGAGGTTTATGGGCTCGGCATTGGGGTTGTTGTCGTCGACGTTGATGGTCTCGGTGCCAGTCTTGGTGGTCATATGGCTCCTCCACTTCTCGCAGTCGGTGAACCTGACATCATGGGGTTAGCTGTGGTACGCGCCGCGCCGGACCAGAAACTCGGGCGGCATACATCTTCTTGGCAGCCTCAACATCGAACTTGCGGGCTCTGAGGAAGCGCAGGAGAGTGAGGGTGTCGAGGCGCTTGGTGTAGCCCTCAGCCTCGAGCATCAGACGGAGCTGCTCGACCTGGGCCTGCTGGAGCTCAGTGGTGTGGCCGGGGTGGCCAGCCTTGGCCTCGGGAGCAGTCGTGGGGTAGTCATAGTGATCGTACTTGGGGTCAAGCTTCATCGGGGGGTTTTCGGCGGCCATTGTGAATGATGATCGAGCCAGAGTCTTGAGGAGAGAATAGGTGATGAGGGAAGGTGAAGTCGGTGTCGAGGTCGAGGCGGCGACGCCAACAAAGAGGCCTGGCCTTTCTGGACAATTACGAGATTGTTGCTGGGGTAGGCAAATAGCGGGGCAAACCGGTGCAGAACGGGGGTGGACCGCAAGAGCCCTGGCGGGACGACGACGACGACGGCTACTGCTTGCAGGCTAGATTAGGGGATTAGGGGCTCGCAAGGTGGACAATGAGCTTGGCGGACAAAGTCAATCAAGGATAATAGCACAAGGGGCCGGCTGGAGACAAGCACTGCTCATCAAAAGCCGGCTACATGCAGATGTTGTCATGTCAGACGCAACCAGCGTTGGTGCGCGCCTGTTTCGCCACCACCAGTCACCTGGTTTGAATGGTCCTGCCAACAGTGCAGGAGCGTGAATCCCACGACATGAGCTCCTGGCACATTACGCACGAGCGCGATTGTGCCCCTACCATCTGCAGGAATACGTAGCCAGGCATGCATGATCACGACGCTCATGAATCAAAGCCGCCCAGGAGAACAGTACGGTATGTACCAACCTGGCCACACATTCAGGCTAGCGCCTGAGGCGGGGTGATGTTGCTCTGGCGCCCACAACCAGGACCCCTGAACGATCCCTATCTTGACCCATGGCAATCCGCAAAGTACCTGAAGGTAAGAAAACCGGCGTCTGTTGTACTTTCCCCACGCTCCATCATAGCTGTCATCATTCATAGCAGATGTCGAGATCTCCGGCCGCCGACATACTGGAGCTCAATATAGCAGCCTGGAAAGAATGATGGTGTTGTACCACAGCAACGTTGACCGACTACGGGGCTTCGTAGCGCAAAAAGGGGGAAGGCGCTTGCTTGCCCCTTGCCAATACGTATGCCACTCCACCGAGACCGCCGCCTGGGCCCGCGTCCGTAGAACGCAGGCCGGTCGTGCACGTGGTGGACGTGGCGGTCAAGCTCACTCCGTTACTCAGATGCACAGTGCCCTACTGTTTTCATGTGGCTCAAAGACGCCCATGCACCTCTGGACATTTTCTGGTTGCCAGTAAACAGATTGGGACCAGACAACGGAAGTCCAGCCTTTCCGGGTCCGCGCACAGCCCAATAGCAGTATCAGAGCGTTGCGGGATGACATCACTTCTTGGCATCGTGTGTAGATGTGCCCGCTTGTAACTTGAGCTTGCGACTGACAAGCCACCCTGCTTGGATGCCGTCGTCAATCGTTCCAGCTTATGGTTGATAGTTCATATCTCTATAAACATCTTGGACGGACATGGTCACACCTGGAGTTTGGTTGAAGCGTTGCTCGCAGGGTCCGAAGCATTAGGGGCCCAGTTGCTGCTAGCTTGTGGCTATTGCGCATCACTTCTTTGCTTTTGACGCCTCTGCGTTTTCTTCTTTTTCCTTGGTCTCCTCCTCAGCCCGTTCCTTCCGCCGTTGCACGACGTCCCAGTTATAGACTCTCGCGATGGCAACTTCCATCGTCTGGAAGAGTGTTGTTAGCCCTTGCATCTCATTGGAGCCGCTCTGCCGGTCACTTACTGTGATCTGCTCTCGAAGGAATTCTAAGTCCTCCTCACAATTTGAGTGACTCTTTCGTGCTGTAGCCAGCTTCGTGGTCAATAGCTCTTCTGCCTCATCGACAGGGTATGACAGCATGACATTGGCCTGGCAGAATCCGCGGTGTTAGTCCTGGCATAAACACTTGGAGCTTCTGGCAGCTGCATACGCCGAGCCACAAATAAACCTCCTCTGTCGCAGGCACCGAGGCCTTCGCGTATAATGTCTCGTTAAGCTCGAATGTTGTTTCTATCGGATCAGATTCGTCCTGCGGTTGAAGAGTCGTGAATGTTAGCAAGATGTCCCGAGAGACGTGCAGTCCACGACTAGAATGGCCTGTGTACATACTGTTCGAGTCTTGAGGAACTTGACAGTGTCCAACGTCTTTTGTATGTCTGGAATCTTGTCCTTGAGCCCCGCTATCCGTTTCTGGAGGTTCAACTCCATGAACTGATATTTTCTGTGTACGTAGCCCGGTGCTGGGTCAGCCCTCATGCCCGTCTCGCGTATAGACGTATGCGAAGTCCAGGTTCTATGTCCCAATCGTGTAGCCGCTCTACAGACCGAGATGGACTCGCCGATATTCTTCGCAACGTGGGGGGTTTGACGCACGAGATCATCTCCTGAAAGTTGCGCAGGGTCGCCTCGACCTCCTGGCGTGAGGAGACATAGTCTTCGACCTTGTCGACAAAAGGCGCTTGGGGAATGCCGCGAGGGTTCGTCACTGTTCCATCGCTACTGCTCGTGTAATCGAGTCGCGTGTTAGCCTGCTTCTGTCGAACAGCTTGCTTGAGGTGGGATAGTCTCTGGCACAGGGCTGAGCAAGGGGATGGTAACGTACACAGAAGCCGGCTGCTTTCCCTGTGCAGACATGATGGCGTATATGCCTGGCTATGCTTGTCCGGGAGGGAGCAAGTTGCGATCGCGAATCTTGAAGCCGACGTGAAGCTCGTGGCGCCCTCAAAATTCTGCCGTATCGGGGCACGGCTTGGTGTCGCGGGGAAGCTCCTGCCCGACCGCCCTGCAGCGGCGGCACCAGGCATGGCGGGGCTTGAGAGCCCTGCAGGCCCTTGCCTTTCGTTGCTGCAAGTGGGGCTGTCACAACTTGCGTTCTTCACAACATCAATGGCATCACAGCTGACATGCCATTTTTTCGACTGCTATCCCTGCTAAAGTCCCGACGCGATCCTCGATACGAGTACCAGAAAGTGTTCAGCGATCATATGAGAGGAAGACCCTTGGATGTCCTTCCAGAAAACAGGTTGGGAAGCAGACACAACCACGCCGCCAAGTGCAATGACTCGAGCAACAAGAGACGCATGGGATGTTCCTGGGGAGCGGCCAGCTGCACTCGGGGACGTACAATGAACGCTCGCACGCATTGAAGTTGTCCCAAGCGAGCAACGGACGAGCGCCATCGATGGCCGAAAGCAACCAAATCGCCCGAATTATGTTCTCGTGCTTGGATTCATTGCCCAGCCAATGCTGGGGTCTGCTGTCAATGGCTCAAGCCCTGCTGCTCGGACCCCAGCAGTTGCTGACTTCGATGCTGAAGACCATCTGCGACATTGCCGACGGCCCCGTTGGGGGGTAGGTGAGTTGACCGGTTGACCACCCTGCTTTGGAAATGCCGCCGCCAGCATCCGATTGAAGAGGGACTTGGCAAGTGTCCCCGAACAAGACCAACCAAGGCCGGCCTATCCTATCCCAGCGATGCATCGTGACCCGCCGACTACGGAGACTGACGCAGGTGCCTCGAGACGACGTCCACCAGTAATCCCTTGGCCCTGCCTCTTGCGTCCGTGGCAGGACAAGCACACGGTCTAGAGTAGTCCTCGGACGCGCTAGCTCAGGCTCGCCCGTGATCTAAACAACAGTGAGCCCCGCGCCACAGCCAACGCCTGTGTCTTATGGGTAATTCTCGCCGCCCCTTTTCCCCACTTCACGACGCAGCCGCTGAGGAGAACGGCCCCAGGTTTGGTGCGGCCGTGTGATTTCCCCACATGGCGAATTGGGGTTTGGGGTCAAACTTTCTGGAGAACGCCCTGCCGTTGCATGGGTCGGTTGCTCGCTGTGTATTGCCCTCCGCTCTCGGGCTCGCTGCTCGAGAACGTGACGCCTGACCTGAAACTTTTTGCTTGCAGGTGTGGGCATCGTTGTGATGGCCGTCTCGTACAAAAGGCGGCGTCTCGCCCCGTGCTCGTGAACTCATCGTGTGCCTGGTGGATTGTTAGAAACCCCCTCCAGACCCCACACGCTCATAACAATGCTGTGTCAAGACGAGCAAGTGCCGACCCAGTTCGTGGTCGGCGAGTCTTCTGGCTCTGTCAAGGTCTCTTCAGCTTCCATTAGCCTCCAAACAGCACCAGATGCTCGTGGCGAGCCATCACAGTTCACCTTCGAAGCCATCCGGCCTAATCTCTTCCGCACTACCTTCACGTCTGCCAAGCACCATCTCCCACCATTCCCCAGTGTCCAACGGCCGGAAGCCGACTCCGCTGCCTCGTCATTCAAGGTCGAGAACACTCCCAACCAGCCGACATGGAAGGTCGACACTGGTGCCGCAAGCGCCACAGTGGAATGGAGCCACGCTCCAAAGGTGTCTCTGTATCTCGATGGTGCCAAGGAGCCAATCCACCAGGATTTGACTTTCCGATCGTACGCGCTTGACTCTACTGGAGTCGCCCACTATACAGCGTGGAACAAGGGCACGCTGCATGTCGGCCTGGGTGAAAAGGCTGCGCCCATGGACCTCAGTGGACGCGGGTTCAACATTACTGCGAGTGACACGTTCGGCTACGACGCCTACAAAACCGACCCTCTCTACAAGCATGTGCCGCTTCTCATCAATGTCACGCCGAAGGGATGTGTCGGTATTTTCTCCTCTTCTCACTCCAGAGCGACTTGGTGTATCGGCTCTGAAATCGATGGCATGTGGGGACGCTTCAAGGTGTACCGCCAAGCCCACGGCGGTCTTGAGGAGTATCTGATTCTCGGCAAGACTGTCGCGGATGTGGTTCGCTCTTATGCGCAGCTTGCTGGATTCCCGCTCCTCGTGCCACGATACATGATGGGATACATCAGCGGTGGCATGAAGTACAGCATGGAGGACGAGCCGCGCGCCCACGACTCGATCCTCAGCTTCATTGCAAAGTGCAAGGCTCATGGCATGCCCACTTCCGCCTTCCAGATGAGCTCCGGCTATACCGTGTCAGAGGTCGAGCCTAAGACACGGAACGTCATGACATGGAATTACCACCGCTTCCCGAATCCTCGAGAGTTCACCCGTGCCGCCCACAAGGAGGGTGTGCGCCTTCTGGCTAACGTCAAGCCCTATGTCCTCTCCAACCACCCCGAGTACAAGGCACTACTCGAGGCAGGTGCTTTCTTCAAGGATCCCGCAACTGGCAAGACCGCCGTTGCGAGACTGTGGAGTGCTGGTGGAGGCGAGAGTGGCGAGGGTAGCCATATCGACTTCACCTCCAAGGCTGGTTATGACTGGTGGTACAAGGGAGTCAAGGACCTCAAGGAGGTTGGTATTGACGCGATGTGGAACGATAACAACGAATACAACATCCCCAGCGACGACTGGCAGTGTGCGCTGGCCACCGTCCCCGTTCCCGAGGGCGAAGACCGTGCCGACATTGGACTTTGGGGCAGAGCCATCCATACCGAGCTCATGGGCAAGAGCTCCCATGACGCCACTGTTGAGATGGAGCCGAGCCGCCGTCCCCTCGTCCTCACCCGCAGTGCCACCACTGGTACCATGAGATACTGTGCCTCCTCGTGGAGTGGTGATAACGTCACCAGCTGGGAGGATATGAAGGGTGCCAATGCCCTGGCCCTCAACGCGGGCTTCTCCCTGCTGCAAGTAAGTCGAAGCAACCTGGCCGTCTTCTTGAACGAAATTAACCTCTTCTGAACCTTGTAGTGCTACGGCCACGACATCGGTGGTTTCGAAGGTCCCCAGCCAACACCGGAACACCTCGTTCGCTGGATCCAGCTCGGCATCCACTCCCCACGATTCACGATCAACTGCTACAAGACAAGCCCGGAAGACAACCTCGTCGGCGACGTCATCGAGCCCTTCCAATACCCTTCTACGACGCCCATCATCCGCAAGGCCGTCCGCAGACGGTACGAGCTGGTGCCATATACCTACTCGCAAGCGCTGCTGTCTCATCGTGATGCGACGCCGCCACAAAGGTGGACGGGCTGGGGCTACGAGAACGACCCGGAGGTCTGGACCAAGAAGATCTACCAGGGCGACACGCAGTTCTGGTTTGGCGACGCGCTGATGATCGCGGGCGTCTACGAGCCGGGCGACTCAATCGCACGCGTCTACCTCCCCGACAGCGGCGGCGACCCAGGCTTCCTCAACACCAACGCGCCATACCAGTACCTCAAGGCCGGCGCGTGGCACGACATCTCTTCAACCTGGCACACGTCGATCCCCGTCATCGCGCGCATCGGCTCCGCCATCCCTGTCGGCAAGCCCGAGCCCACCGAGACTGTCGCCGAGACGGACCCAGAGTTCCCCGATGTCGTCAAGGACGACTGGCGCGGTGTCGAGATCTTCCCGCCCCCGCTCATCGAGGTGCCAGACCTGCCCGACGGGTTCGGCCGGCTCGAGCTCAATGGCAAGGTCGAAGGCCGCGAGTTCTCCAGCACGTGGCTCGAGGACGATGGTTTCAGCACCGCCGAAAAGTCCGAGGTGTTTGAGACGACGATCGCGTACAAGGCCGCGTCGGATGCGATCACGGTGCGCCTGGAGACCAAGAAGGCCGGCGCCTTCGAGCCGCTGTGGCTCAAGAACGGCGTCGACATCATCCTGCCCGTCGGCGAGCACCGTGAGGTCAAGGTCGAGGGCAAGGTTGCTGGCGTCGAGCAGCTCAAAGCTGATGACAAGGAGCGCTCTGTCTGGCGGATCACAGGTTTCGCGTAGGCACAAGTTCTATATGAAAACGACTTGGGATAACATGTATCAAAAAAACCCTAGAATCGCTCAATATGGAATCGGACTATCGGTGTGCATGGCTCAGCGATCCAGCTTAAGTCATGGCCGAGTGAATTGCGCAAGAGAAGCTAGGGTGTGCTTGAAAAAGCTTTATGTGACTGCTCCGTTCTCCAAAGGTTGAGGTCACCTGTATCCTTGAACGCTGGCTAGGTCACTATCGTCGTGTCTAATCTCTATACATCGAATCTGAGTAGCCCCCAAACTGTTGTGCTTTCGCGAATGCGGGCTGTGTGCGTTTGTTGCGTGTCGGGTGTGGCGCGCGACCAGAAGTCCATCGTGTCTTCTCTGACTGACACCTCAAAGCCCGCGGATCGGAAAGGCCAGACCACGAGTCCGTTAGGACTGCGTAGGCATATGTGAACCTCATTCGCTACTTGAGCTTCTGGTTAGTCCCTCAGGCTGAAATGAAGTCTGCCAAGCTGGCTTCACATCGCAGTTGGTCCCCTTTCGCCCCCCACGAGACACCAAGACGAGCCGGAAGTGGCCTCTTAACACTGTATTCTGACGTGTACTTCCAGCCTACCCTTAATATTCTCCGCCACCAAAGGGAGCCCGCCGGATCCTGGTTGACGGTCTGCTGATCCCCGCAGATGATGGCACTCAAAGCTCAAGGTGCCGGCTTGCTGTTCAACCCGCTGCTGTGTGGTTCAAGGCAGATCGACTCTAAGAGGGCTCGACGCTTGAATGACGTGGGGCACATCTGAATTGCCGTCGCTGAGCTGCAACAGAGAACGATAAATAATACGCAACCGTTTCGGTTTGTAGACTAGCGAATGGCGTCGCTGGGCTACATTTCAAGGGGACTAAGGGTTTGAGATAGATTCCCTGGAGACTGAGCAGTCAGCAAATGCCTCGGGGCTTCTGCATGGCTGTCCCGCCGGTTCCCATGATTCAGTATGTTGAAATTGATGATGATTTACTGGATATGAGTTTGGTTGTAAGCCAATTTCCACTTCATTGGGAGACGCAGACTCTGCCATGATCAAATCCTCTAAATGATGCGCATTTGCAAGCTCAAACACAACATGACTATGGCACGGGTAACAGAAGAGCGGCTGTCACAACCTCAAGCTACCGGCATTCGACTCGTCCCGCACCAGTCGCCGAAAGCTAACTTGGCTACCCTGTCCGGAAACCCTGAGGCCTGACCTGTCCCCCCAGCCGCGACCTGACATGGCGTGACGACGTGACTAGGCGGCACATGCATGATGGGATTCCTCTCGAAGAAAGTTAGGCGGCCTCAGCAGCAGCGTGATCCGCTCGGCAGGGATGACTAGGAAGTCCTTGGATGTGCGTCAAGCCAAAAGAAAATAAGCCAGAGGACGACATGCTCGCTGTCCAGGCTCTTATGCTCATCCCCCTCCCCCCAATGAATTCTGGTCGTGCGCGAATCCAGAACGGGAGAAAGTATCGCGAGCATATACGCACAAACTCTTTGAGTTTCTCGTGCTCGCCGAAAGCTGTTGTGTTTCAACTGCATACAGACAACTGCCAGCACACATAAAGGGACAAGGTACTGAAGAATTATCGAAGGGCAGTAGTCGGATCCACTAGTTCGGCGATGTTTTGAATCTATGGATGCGGCGACGGCGCGTTCATCCTGCGGGAGACTCAGTTGCGGAGAGAGTAGTTGTTGCAACTTGAACCTCACTACTGCAAGTCGGTGTGGAACTCGAACACGGTCTGTCACTTCACAAATATTGCTCCTGATTGGATATCCGTGTGTACACACAGGCAGAACCTCAGCTTGTGCCAGCCTCGTCACTGATGGAAACGATCATCACGATCCTGCGCAATATGATCTCCTCAAGGTACGCGGAGTAAGTGTACGTGTGATCTGGGTTGACAAGTCGCCATCGTCGCAAAATAAAACATGATTGGCTGTCTTGACAAAGGTCCCACAAATCTTCGCTGTTTCGACGAGACCCTGGCCTTGACTCCTCGCCATCTCAACTAATCAAAGGCAATTGCAACCAGCTGCATCATGGACAAATGACTGTGCAATCATTACATGGAGACTGATACAGGGGCTCCGTGTTCGCCATTTGAGACCATTACTGGCAATACTCAAGCACGACATGAGGTATTTTGAGCGACCAATTGCTTTAGTGGTGTGGCCTTCAGACGCGAGCTTCGTGGCTTGCAAAGAAGGGCTGACAGTATATCCATGCTTGTCTTTGAGCCAACTGAAAAAGAAGAAAGGAAAAAAGGGAAGAGAAGAGAAGAGAAGACCTCCGTGGCGAAGCGAGTAACTCGCGAGGTCACTGATAAACTAGTAGGGGAATCACGCAATAGTTGTCACAAATTAGCTTCCATAATTTATACCAGTCGAGTCACGAGGCCATGGAAGCCGGACTGTTTGCACCTTGGATACCAGAGGAATGTCGCGCATGGCAATACGTCATTATTCTACTGTAACTCTAAAATACCCTTGAGCTTGGCAAGAGCTCCAAAGAGCTCGTTATCGTGATACTTGCGCGCAACTAGCTGTAAGTTGATGGGAGCGCCCTCAAAGTTAGTATCCTCCCAGAGCTGCTTGGCCTGTTCGCAAGCATCGCTAAGAGGAGTGTAGCCAGAATCATATCTTTCTCCAGCTTGCGAGACGATTGGGGTAGGGAAGACGACGCCTGGGTAGTCCACAAAGTTGTAGAGCGATGTATAGGTCCACGTGAAGGCCGTATCGTGGGCGCAGGCTGGGCCGACATAGGCCGGACCAAGGACCACGTCGACATCCTGCTCCTCCCAGTCACGGGCAAAGGCGAGGCGAAAATCGTCCCGGTCACCACGCATATTGCTGACGTCGGCCGCTGTGAGCATGCCTGAGGACTCGGCATCCTTCCAGATCCATTCACTCAGAGGATGCAGAGGCTCGCCTGTCGAGAGAATGGCGCCGCGAGAGCCAGAACCGCCATCAGGCCAGTACATACGCCTGATCTTGCACCAAGCCTCGGCGGCACCAAAAGGCCTGAATGGCTTCACCTCAACGAGACCAGCATTTTGAGAGTCTGTGAGGAGCTTCCGGGCCCAGGCCAGCGCCCGTTTGACAGGAGGCTGAGGCTCAACGAAGCCATCATTCTCGATAATGCCAATTTTGAGAACCTTTTTCGGGGCCGTCTGCAAGCCAGTCCATGGGATGGGCACGAGCCTGGGATCCAAGAGGTGTGGCTGATAGGCCAGAATACCTCTCATGAATAGGTCCATGTCCCTCAGGCTACGGCACATTGGGCCGGTAGAGCATAGAACATTCAGCTCGGCAAGGGAGGGAGGGGTGAGGAAACCTTGCATGGGTAGGGTGTATGAGGTGGGCTTGAAGCCATAAATGCCGCAGAAGGCCGCAGGTCCGCGGATGCTGCCGCCAATGTCTGTGCCGACACCGAGGACGGAGCCTTTCATGGCAATCAGAGCAGCCTCGCCTCCCGTGGAGCCCCCGGCCGAGAGGTGGGTGTTGAAGGGGTTGATTGTTCGGCCCCAAAGCGAGTCTGTCTCGAGATGCATGAGTGTCTGAGGCTGGTTGGTCTTGCAATAGAAGACGGCGCCGAGACGACGCAGGATACCGACCATCTGGCAGTCTTGCTTGTCCAGGACGATGGAAGAGAGACACCCCATGGAGGAAGCGGTCCCCGCGATGGGGATGTGGTCCTTGATGCTAACGGGCACACCGTGAAGGGGCCCGATCGGCTTGCCATGTTCGGCCAGATACGCGTCCAGTTGCTTTGCCTGGGCGACAGCCTCGTCCATGAACCATTGGGTGAGGCAGCAGGTCAGCTGGTGAGCGACGATGGCGCGCTTGGCAAAGGCGACGGCAACGTCCAGAGCGGTAAGCTTGCGTGTGGCAATGGCTGCAGCAAGACCGAAGGCGTCGTAGTCTTGCGTGATGGCTATCTCGTCGGCAGTCAGGATGCCGCACGTGGCGGGGATGCCCGAGACGTCGAGAGGAGCATTTTCGATGATGTCTCTGGGGAGGCGGTACTCGGGCGGAACCTTGTCCTGGAATGCTTGGAGGATGGCGGCGCGCTTGGCCTCAAAGGCCTCGCTGCCACGAGGGGCATTCTTTGGCTGGAGAGCGGCGAAGTCGTCTGTGGTCATGTCTGGAGGTTGGGTCCAGAGGTGTGCAGGGCGACGGGCGCGGAGGAGGGAGAGAGTCTGAGGAAGAGTAGAAAGACCACCAGGCGATGTTGAAGCTGCCGGACGAGACTTGTCCTCGCCTGCCAGACAAACCGGCCCGCGCCAAGAGCTCCGATATCAACTCCGACTCCCTGGGCCCTGCTGCCTCCAGAAACCACCTTCACATCCGTCTTGTGGTGATCATGGTGTGCTTCCCCCCGCAATCGCAGTCCGGGGGTCGATCCCAGCAAGAGGCGATATTGTCTGTCGGCGTCACGCGTGATTGCAGCTGATTGGCCGCGATAGGCACGGAGCATTGGGCGAGAAGCAATGCTTATCGAACTGGCTGGCTGGCTGGCAAGAGATATCAACAGCTGGTGAAAGCTTGGTCCGCAAACAGAGGCGTGGCACGTCCTCCGTGCGAGTTCTGGGTTGGGGTAAGCTACCCCTCACGCGGCCGAGCCTGGCCAATGAGGCGGACTTGTGCGGCATGCCAGCTGGCCGCGCACTGTCTGGCACTGTGTCGTATATCGTCCTATAGGTTGCCATCTCCCGCGCAAATGTCCTGCTGTGTAACCGTCGTCATCCTCCCTCCGTGCGGTGACCTCCAAGGCGAGCATCAGTCTTAGCAGACCATTCCGAAACGCAGAATCCATGACGACGCCCGCACCTCTGCCACATTGATCCCGACACCTGTCACAGAATCTTCCGTACCCTCTGCAGCTCCATAGACGCCCTTGCAAGCAGTCTGCTTGACCTCCATTATTGAGGCTCCCCTCTCCTCCTGCACCCATGGCTGCTCCTCCCTTGCCACAGGCATCGGCTGACGGCGATCTTGTGCCTGGAACTGTCCGTCTGGTCGACCTATACCACAACATACGGGGCCCCCATGCAGCCAAGGGAGATATCGTTCTCGATCCTGTCCCTTCAAACGATCCCAATGATCCCCTGAACTGGTCTCCGCGGCGCAAGCTCATGTCGCTCATCTGCCAGAACCTGTAAGTCGAGTCGGCTTGTGCCGTCCGTTCATAAGTATTGATCTGAGCGTGGCAGGTACACATGGTTCACCGGCGTCGCGGTCTCTACCGTCTACTCGGTTCTCGTGCCCCTATCGAAAAACTCCGGCGTGTCAATTGCCACCTTGAACGAGGGCACCGGCTACATGTTCTTGCTGCTGGGCTGGGGTCTTTTGTTCTGGCAGCCGTTCGCCCTTCGCTATGGCAAGCGGCTTGCATATCTGATTTCCATCATTGGCGCAATCGTATGTCATTTTACTTTTCGTTAGAGACCCAACGCAGCAATTTCAGCATACATACTGACTTGGTCATGCAGGGAACTAGTATATGGGGGTTAGCTCCTCAACGAACACGGACTTGTCTGCTGCTTCGATGCTAACAAAATGCATAGTGCGCACGTCTCAAGTAACGGCGAATGGCTAGCCAAGTGTATCCTACAGGGATTCTTCATCTCTCCGATCGAGGCTCTGCCCGAGATTTCCGTCACCGACATCGTAAGCGCGACGTGACATGCCCAAAGGACTGCCCATGCCGAGCCACTGCTAATATCTAGCTGGCACAGTATTTCACACACGAACGAGGGACATATATGGGAATCTATTCCTTCACCCTGGCCGGCAGCAACTACTTTACGCCAGTGATTTGCGGCTTCATTGCAGAGTACCAGGGCTGGCAGTGGGTTTTCTACTGGCCTGCAATATTCCTCGCTATTGTCTTTGTGTTGTTGTTCTTCTTCATGGAAGAAACGAATTACAACCGCAAGGAAATTCAAAGCGTACCCGCTTGCAGAGAGTCATCGACTTCTGCCCGCGGAGTCGCTGCAGACGGAACCGAGAAGAGCCTTGCTCCTGCCGCAGAGTCCTCCCCTTCATCCGAAGCTGGGGAGACCCACCCCCCAACCAAGACTTTTGTGAAGAAGCTGTCCCTCTGGCAACCCACCCCGGGACAGAACATGCTGAGCCGAGCACTGCGCTCCTTGAGGTATCTTTCGTGGCCCATCATCTTTTATGCTGGCTTTTCCTATGGCTCATACCTCATCTGGTTCAATGTGCTTAATGCCACTGCATCTATCATTCTTTCCGCTGAGCCGTACAACTTCCCTGCCTCGATGGTAGGGCTGAGCTACCTCTCCTGCTGCGTAGGCGTTATCGTGGGTTCGCTCATCTCAGGCCGGCTAAGTGACTGGCTGACTATCAAGCTGGCTCGTCGCAACAATGGCATCATGGAGGCCGAGTTTCGGCTGTGGCCCTTCACCCTGTGCATGGTCATGGTGCCTGGGGGGCTGATCCTGTGGGGCGTTGGCGCCGCTCATGGGGTTCATTGGTTTGGCTTGGTGTTTGCCATGGGAGTCCTGGCCTTCACCTCGACGGTTGGCATCACTCTCAGCGTCAACTACCTAATCGATAGTTACCACGACATCAGCGACGACGCCATTGTAGCAGTCATCCTGGTTCGCAATACCATGTCATTTGCGATTAGTTATGGGTAAGCCCGAGTTCCTCCCCTCCTCCCCGGTCCGTATCATTTGGGAGGCTCAGAAAGAAGATTAGACCAACGAGATACTGACTTGGGATGTAGTATTACGCCGTGGCTCACGCAGCTGGGGTATCAAAACTGTTTCGTCTCGGCCGCCTTTGTGGGCCTGGCTGCCACGTCTGCGTATCTCATCATGATCAAGTATGGCAAGACCCTAAGGGTCCGGAGCGCGAGCAAGTACTTTGAGCTTGTGCAAGGCCAGCACAGATAGCCATGAGTTTGAGGCTAGAGCGCAGTTCGCGAAACGAGTCTGGTGTTGTAAACTTTGTTGCTGATGCTCGTACTAGTAAATGGGCCCATATATGCAAAAGTCTAGTCCGTTCACAACGTCATGTTCACAATGGGACAAAGGACAGGCATCTCTCAGGGTAAGACTTCCTGGGGGGCTTGTATCGCCATGCAGGATGTTTGATATCTTCTGCTTCTTTGTCCACAGCGCTGCTTTTCTCATGCGCAGACTTCATGTGCAAATAAAATTTATCTGTAGAGGTCGCCAAGAGAATGGGTGCCTGCTCTATAGAGTGGCAGTATACAGCCTGTCAAGCTGTAGGACGCTGCACATGTGTCCTCCCAGATCAAATCGATTCGGCTGTGGCCGAGACAGTCAACACACGCTCCGCATTTTGTCTCAAACCCGACAATAAAGCCTGACGCTCGTGTTGCCGAAAGCCCGACGGTTGCATCCTGGAAGCTATAGCACGTTTTCTAGTTGCACACGCGTCAACACCCTCAGTCGTCCTCGCTGCTTTCAAGGCATGCCTCTTAGGGAGAACTCCCAACTCTGCCTGTTTGTCCGTCCGCCAGTCTTGCTTTGGGGGGCTTATCAGGCTTCTCCCCTCCCTCCTGCCGCCTCCAGCTGACTATACACAATGCCGCACATCCACACGTCGAATTCAGACGTATCATTCCCCGTCAGCGGGCGTTACGTCCAAGTAGCGGGCGATCTAGCTACGCCACCATCTTCAGCTGGTCCGATGATCTGCTCTAGAGCGCGAGTAACTGAGTGAGCAGCAAATGAGAGGCCGGGCTAAGCAAAGCCTAGAATAAACAAGCTTTCCTGACGTCCTGCACAACATTGGGCTGCCAAGCCCAGCGACAGGCAACCGGGTCTTAGTTGAAGCACGTCTACGGACCCCGACTCAATCGAGCTTTCAAGAGCGGTGCTGCTGACGACGCCCTCGAGACTCCAGGTGCTTTGAGACATTGTCGTTTGCCGCTGGTGGTGGTGTTGTGGACGCCGCGACACAACAACGGACCCCAAATATGTCCTTGTCAAACCCAAACTCGTGCCGCCCATCTTCAACTTTTACGCCTCGCTTTTTGTGCACTTGCTTCGCTCTACTCACATCGACAACCAACGACCGGTAGCGGTGACCGCAAAGACCTGACCTGAATCATGGCTCAGCCAGGCAAAACTTGGCGGTTGCTCATATCAATTCTCTCACTTGGAACCTCGCAAGTCCTGGGCATGGGCGTTCCCATGATGGCATACGACACGGGCAACGTTGCTGCCCCTCGAGTTGCTCAAGCTACTGGTACTGCTGCCGCCACAGCACCGCCCGAGCGACATGAACTCGTTCGGAAGCAGCAACAGCCCCTGCAGACTGCCATTGCTGCGCCCGACAACACCTGTGGCTACATGTCCGGACTCTCCTGTAAGTCGCCAACTCCCTATCTACCTGCCCAATCCACCAATCTGCCTCTCTCCCTGCGACGAGTGCTAAGACAGTCTGTGTGTGTTTCTGTGTGTGCTCTCCAGCCTTACCATATTCGTGTGCCTCATCATACACATGCAACATCATCCTGACGACGTCCAACATCGGGCGCATCGCGTGCTGCACTGGCAGCAGCTGTTAAGCGCAGGTGGCCTGCGTCGGCGGCGGCGCCGGCTTCACGACGCGCTGTGACTCGGCGTGCCAGGCCGATACGGCGGCGACGCGCAAGTGCACCGGCAGCACCGACACGTACTGCGTGACTCTCAGCTTCGGCGCCGGCACCGAGGCCTACTGGTGCACAAACTCGCCCGGCGTCACCTGGGCCGTCTCGACGACGTATCCCGGCCAGCTCAACCGCACCTTCACCACCAGCGTCATCGATGCCGTCTGGACCACGTCGCTGCCTTTTGCTTCTGGTGCCGCCACCACGGCCCCGGCGTCATCTGCCAGATCCAGACCTACTCCTGCTACTCCTACTACTTACTCCATTCCCACGATCCCCTCCATCAACAGTAGCAGCGGCGGCAGTAACACGGGCGCCATACCAGGCGGGGTGGTTGGCGGCGTGGCGGCCCTGGCTCTGATGGGCCTAGGTATCTGGCTGGCCAGGCGGCGCAGCCGGAACAAGCAAAGCAACACCCGGACCGACGACAGCGGCCACTTAGCAACCCCAGGGCAGGGGCCACAAGAATTGTCCGCTCTCGGAGGAGGAGGAGCTCGGCAACTCCGGCAAAAGGTACGTACATCTTTCCCCCAATGTTGTAAGGTATATATATATATGTATATACATACGGTGTGCTGACCTTGTTGGCTGGCCTCTGCTTGCTCGCGCGTGCGAATAGCCAGAGCTCCTACCATCATCGGATCAACTCAAGGAGCTCGAAGCCGGCGGCAGCCGAGCTGTGCACGAGGTCGACGCGCCGTTCCTCACGGGCTCCGCCGAGACGGGCGGCGATGCTGTTGGCGAGCGCAATGTGCACGATCACCACCAGGGCGAGTTGCACGAGCTGGCCTGATCGGGTTGGTGACTGTGTCTATGCTTGGGTCTTATAAGTGCCTATCTGCCCCTGCGACATCTTGGCCAGACGAATCGAATCGGCGTCGAGCCGATCGCAGCTCCGGGGTAGTTGGATGATTAAAGATGATTGCATGGATGGCGAGCAGAATCACACAAATGTCGGCACATGTGGGCTATTTGATGGTGCGAGGACTATGCCAATACACCAGAGAGAGACCCAAATCTGGATCAAGATGTGGCTCCCGTGATATAAGAAACTATAGCCTGAATCTCTGACACAAGGTTCTGATGTTCATGCTCCTAGCAACGCCAGGGACCACCAACACGTGCAACTATTCATGGCTGTCGGGGTTGACGAAGCCGGCGCGGTAGCCTGGAACATGAGGCAGCCGCCTGATAGCCCTGACTCATTGGAATGCGCTTGGTAAAGCGCGTTTTCCTGTAATCAGTCTCTGCTCCCAACCATGTGTTATCATGGTCAGATGGCATGATTTCTGTTCTCTCCATTTCAGATCCAGTCGTGTCAGTGGTGCGAGGTGTCATGGAGTGCAAGTCCAGGTCAGGTCACGATCTCGGAATATGCCGACATGAGCGGTGGATTATATTCGCGTAAGAGCCCCAGGACCTTGCCTTTGGCCAGCTCAGCGATATGCAGACCCGCATTACTGCGTGACCCTGATACGAATCTTTGCTTACTGGGAAAGGGGGCCCTGTGCTTTCCTGCTCGGTACTCCAAGTGTGGAGTAGTGTCCTTTAGGCTGCCGTTGCAAACTCGCTTTGCCCAAGTACTTAAAGTATGTGACCTCGCCACCGACGCGGCTGGTGCTGTCTCAGTGTTTCCCGTCACGCCCTACTCGAGCCTTTACGCGAGAATATCTCGAAAGCATCTGCTCTTCTTATCGCTGTGCTCTCGCCATTTTCAAACTGCCGTGAGCCTCTAGCAGCACGGCCTTTTCGACGCTCCAACCTTCCGTTGCTCTCATTTGCGCACTGCACCACCTCGCACGCCCATTGCCTACCGGCTGGCGAGAGGGCGGACAAACAGCCAGCATGTACACCTCGAACCCTCTGGTCTGTAAGTATGCTAACCATCCAATTAAACCAAAGGACACGACCATCGCCCAGGCCGTCATGGACCACCAAGCTCTAAGCGACATGATGTCCGTACGCGACTTAATGAGAGCGATGATCAGGGATCCAAACGGGAAGGGTATAGGTTCATTAGGCTACGACGGTGTGCTTCGTACTTTTGATGCGGAACGGAACGTCCTTGATGCAATTCGCCTCAACCCGGCCCAGATCAGAGAATACTACGAGGGTCTACCGATGCCCGAGAGATTCCTCACCGCCGACGGCCGCAACGTATCCGAGCGGGACATGTTCCACCCTGATGCGGAGAATATTCCCAGGAAGCCTACAGAGGAGGACAGAGCCAGGACTCGGGCACACAACGAGGACTTGCGAAGGCGCGGATTCACGTGCTGTGTACCGGACAAGCTGGCAGACGGCGGTGAACCGAATCCTAAGTAGTTCCTTCCTCCTGCATAGCCGATTTTTGTTTTTCGGCTACTTGAATACGCAAATTTGGCAGCTGAGCGCAGGTTGTATCAGGTGTGTAGTCGAATTTACATCTGCGCTCTAGGCTGCACACTACAGCCAATGTCACCCCTTCACAACCTTTGAGGTTGCGCCTCGCTAGAATGGCTACTGTCAGGGTCCTTAAGACGGTATGCTATGTCTTCGGATGGGGTAAAGTGTAGCTTGTCGTCGATCGTGCTCACACCAATATAACACGTGCACATCCGTCACAGAACGAGGACGAGCGCGGCAAAGACAGCAACAGAGCGTCACTGACAACCTACATGTTCTTCCGATAAGGTTTGGTTGTGCTTCGACGGCACAGATGCGGACACAGATATGAGCCGGGAGAATGTTTATGAACTCAAGCTCTCTGCCATATATGGCCTCATACCTTACGATTTCAAGTCCATGTGTTCCGCACGAGAGTCTCACCACTCGATGGGATCCAGGGGGTTGTACACTCTAGGTATGTAATTGGGCGCGTGAGAAAAGCGTGAGGCTTTGGTCAGACGGAAAAGCACGTCCAGATAGTTTGAACTGCTATCAATACAGAGACAGGGTTGCTCGAGTCTATCGAAGATAGGTAAGAGACAGGATGTGGACGCTCTGCATTGATCACCTGGGTTGATGAGTGTCGGAGGCCAAAAGCTTGAGGTCGTATACACGCCGCGCCACCTTGTGTATCAGAATCGGTCAGATCAAATCCCACGAAAGCGACCCTCAGTCACGATCTGATTCCCGGGGTCACTGGTCTGACAGGGCGCTGGGTTGCTGTTCTGCAAGATGTGTAAGGCTTGTGCAATACTAACTCCCCAAATATAGGTCTCTCTGTATACTGTCGTGTATAACAGAAGGGATTACACTCTCGGCGATCAAGTGAACTGGTCAAACTATGGATAAGAATGGTACTTGAATTGATAGCTGAAGTGTGAAGGTAACGACTGTCTGTCTAGGAAACTATCCTGCCTATATACTCCTTGATCCTTCATTGTGTACTGCCCTATCAGCTCATTGTGCTGTCGGTCATCTTGTGTGCCGTACAACTTCCTACCCTTGTCCCTGGCCCGATCATGCGACCGGAGGCTTGGCGCCGAGAGTCTGATTGCCGAGCCGATTTACACCGGGCAGGCTGATTGGCAGAATGTGGACGACACGTTAGCCGTATCGAATTCCTGAAACGAGGCTCCGAAAGTCAAATAGCGATGTGTACGCACCCACAGGTTTCTTCCGGCATCTTTCTGAGAAAGCCAACCAACCTTTGTCGGGGAAGTTTGCCCCCCTTAACTCCGGATCACGCTCGGATTGCGCTGAACAGAAATGAACGCAAGGCTCCAGAGTTGCTGGATATCACTCTCTTTACAAGGTCGCCGTGTTAGCATGTACTCTCGATACGCACGCAGACATAGTCCTGGCACTGAAAAAGCTGGTGGCGGCTACCAGCCAGAAGGGGGAAATGGGCACACTTACCAACCGCAGTCTCCCAATTCGGCCCAGATAAAGTTCCCAATGCAGCAAATTGATACCCTCCCCCCGCCTGTTGATCATAAGTCCAGCTCCAGACCTCACCATCCAGGCGAGCCTGATTGGCATCGATCAGGTCCCAAAGGTGGCTGTACGCTTGCTCGACACGCAGACGAAGCTGGGTGTTTGTGCAGAACGCAAGTGTCTCCGTGCTGCACCTGGCTAATTGATGTTCTAGACCTTTCGCCATCATGGCAAGCTGCCAACTCCAGACTACTGTTCCATGATATGCTCCGTTGGTGAGATTGCCTTGAGTGGTAGTGTTGTCTGTATAAGCCGGGTTGGCCACAACCAAGCCAAGCGGTGTGGATAATCCAACGGGGAATGGTTGAAGAATATTGTCGGATGTCTGCTGAAGGAAGTCCGAGAGCTGATTGTCGTTTGTGGTGTTCAGGAAGAACAGCCGGAAACAGTCGTCGGTGTTCATCACGCTGACCACCGCATTCGGGTCCGCACCACCACCAATTGCGAGACCGTGGAAAGCGATCGAGCTATTCAGGTCGGGTGTCGAAGTTGGCCCCACGTAGTATTTCTCTCCTTGATAGGACTTGATCAATTCTGTTGCGCCGTCGAGTGAGATGTTGACCCGAAAGAGGTGCAGCGTGTTATCCTCCCAAAAGACTGCTCTTTCCATCGTCGCGTTTGCTGAAGTGGGCTGGTCACCAAGTAGGCCTTGCTCAGTCAGACTGCTGATAGCCTTCAAGGTGGCTGGCACAAGAGCACAGTTGACATCATATGGTACCCTGCCAGCACCAAGCCCAGCATTGCTGTCACGCCATTCTCCAACTGGTACCCCATCCTTGAGATGAATGAGGTTCTCAACAGTCGGTGAGTTCTCGAATGCCGCTGTCGCGTCGAGGATCTTCTTTACCGTAGTCAAGGCCAAATCGTTGTACGTCAAACCGCGGTTCGAAGCGAGGAACGTGGCACTCGTCGCAAGGAAGTCTTGGGCACGGGATTTCCCGACTTCCGATTTCACGAGATATGCCTCTAGAGCGACCATCAAGAAATAATCCGTGTCCACCATCTTGTAGTCGCATTGGGGCTCGCTGGAGTTCTTGCCATCTTTGAGGTTCAGGAGGGTCGCATAATCTCCGATAACTTCCTCGTGGCAGACGCTACCGTCGGTCGAGTTGATCCGCTCGAGTGCAGCACCGAGGATCGCTTCAGTGATGCTCCCTTCGCCCTCGCTGAGTACGGGCTGGAGAAGCAGGAAGGAAATCAGCGTGTCGCGGCCGAAATACGTCAGGAAACGCCAGGCGCCAGCCAGCGCCTTGGATTTGGATGACAAGAAAGACAGCGCGGTGATCTGGGTCGCTTTCGTTTGGATGAGATCCTGACTTTGCGGGTTCAAGACTTGGCTCTCACTCAGACGTTGCTCGAACGGGTAGTTCTGCCATGCCTGGAACCGATAGGTGCCTTGGGGGATTTGCACCTCTGTACCCGACATGGACATGGTGATCGCATCATCGCTGCCTTCCGTTGGGCGAAGTGACAAGAAACTCTCAGTAACTCCATCCAGCCATTGTCTCTTGATGAGGACTCCGCCACCTGGAAGGGTCTCGAATCTTAGTCCCTTTTGAACGTCGTCGTTCAGAAGTCCGTCGCCTTCGATGTAGTCCCGCAATGAGCGAATACTGCCTATAATTGTTGTTCCGAGTTGAGCTGAACCATCAAGCTCGAGTATCCCGGAGACTCCATTGACCATCGATTCGAGAGTGCGATTGAGCCCTGGAAGGTCCAAAAGCTTTGCCGACAAGGAGCCACCAGACAGGCCAGCCGATCTGAAATAAGTGACGATGCCACTGTCGCCAGCTGGCCAGGCGACGAGTAGTCGCGCATTACCCAGGCCCGACTGGGTTTGCGGCAATGGGCTAGTGACCACGACTTGACTGGCGGTATCGCAATTGGACAGGAAGTAGTTTTCAAATGGCTCTTCAGTCAAGTGAAGATACTCTGTAGAGCACGATGTGAGCTCCGGCTTGCCGCTTGACGCTGCTCCCTCGTCCATCGGCAGCAATGTATTGCTCTCGCAGCTGGTAAAGATCACGGCGTTAGCGGATATCCTATCAGAAAAGAGATTCTCATGATGGCTTGCCGATATTCCCACGGCAGATAGCAGGCATCGCCACATCGAAGTGTTCGACGTCGTTCGATGACAGGACATAGGAAGTTGCCAGTGGTACATGTGTAATTGTTGACCATGTAATTGACCTCAGAACCACATGGGAGAAGATTTGGGTCGAACACCTCCCGCGGGACAGCGGACCACCAACGAGCAAGCAATGAGGGGAGCATGACTGCAGATATGCCGTGGACGATGAACCCATAAGAGCCGAAGTATTTTCTTAAAAACTTGGAGACATCATGAACGAGTCCGGGGTTGACCCCAGATTTGTACGCTTGTTATTAGACTTACCTTGTGCGGGGGCGGACGTAGATCCTGTTTGTGGGCACACCTCTCGACCCGACCTGGCCAAGTGTGGGCTAAGAGGAAAAACACAAGCTGAGCTCGAGTGCCACCTGCATCACCGGAACTTGTAAACATCGCCCGCCCGCTCCGTTCCAGTCCATGACGTCGGCAGGAGGTCTTGTGCCGATGTCGACAGCCTGCCAAGCATGCGCTCGCCCATTGAAACATTAGTGGGCACAAAACAGTTGCCCAAGCCAAACCGCAGCATCACGACTTTGGATGCTGGATACCGCTGATGCTGCTGCAACCGAAAGCGGATGCAGTTGGGGTCGTCTAGGCGATGAAGCTCGCGGATTTGTGGTCAGCAAAGTCCCCAGCCTAGCACAGCTCCACCTTCCCCGCCGTGCTGGGACGGCAATTGCCGGTGAGATCATGGGGTAAACCATCTTCAATCCGCCGAGTCGGGCCTTCTAAGGTTTGATTCGGGCCACATGGTCATGTACCGTAGCTCAAAAGCAGTGAATCGTCGATGAGATAGCTCCTGGCAACCGTTGAAAGCCTAGCGTGCCGTTGTTTGATCACAGAAGGTGGACATATGTTAAATTAATGTTTCTGGGCGAGCAACTGCTTCGGGTGCGGGATGCCGTCATCCTCCTTCAGCCGCTCGACTTTCCCCACACGCAACCCAGCTCAACGACCGAAATCGGACCACGCAACCCTCGAATGTCACCCCGAGATCCGAATTTCTATAGTCGCCACATCTTTCTATCCCTTCTTAGTCCAGCAGACTTTTCTCCGGCAGTCATCATGGCCCAGCCCGTCAAGAATGTCATGCTGGTAGGAGTAAGTACCTCCTCTCCCTCCAAAGCTCCTCCCATCCCCGAGTTCCTTTGTCCGTACTTACTGCTGACCACTTCCACTCCTCCTCCTCATTCAGGCATCCGGCCTCTTCGGCGCCCACGTCCTCCACGCCCTGCAATCCCACTCCCCGCAATTCACCATTACAGCACTCACCCGGTCCTCGTCGACCGCTAGCTTCCCCGCTTCCCTCAACACGATCCCCATCGAGGACACCTATCCCCTCCCCGACCTCATCGCAGCATTCACCGGGCAGGATGCAGTAATCTTAACCCTGCCCGGCCGCCCGACCTCGGAGCTGCAGATCCGCATGATTGACGCCGCCGTCGCGGCGGGTGTGAGGAGATTCGTGCCCAGCATGTTCGGGAATAATACTTCTCGGGAGGCCGGGGAGATGGTGGGTTTATACGCGGATGAGAACCTAGTTAGGGAGCATCTGCGCAGGAAATCGCGAGAGAGGCACGCGAAGGGCCTTGAGGGAGGAGGGTTCACTTACACGATCCTCCACCCAGGACAGTTTTTCGACTGGGGCCTCGAGAGCGGGTGGTTGAGTTTCGATGTAAAGGGGAAGAAGGCGGTTGTTTATGGGAGTGGAGAGAGGAGGTGGAGTACGAGTACCATCGGGACTGCCGCGGAGGCGGTTGTGCGGTGTTTTGAAACTAAGGAGGCGAGGGATAGGGAGCTTAGGGTTGCAAGTTTTACAGTTAGTCAGAACGAGTTGTTGGGGGTTTTCGAGAGGTTGACGGGGGAGAACTGGGAGGTGGGGAAGGTCGACTGTGCGGAGGCGAGGAAGAGGGCTCGGGAGATGGCGGAGGGGGAATACTGGGACAGGTTGAAGATGGAGATTATGGTGTTACTTGGGGAAGATGAGGGTGGGGATAGGGGGCAGGAGTTTGAGAGGGATAGTGATGGATTGTGGAATGAGAGGTTAGGACTGCCGAGGGAAAACTTGACTGAGGTCCTAGAGAGGGTGGTAAAAAAGACTATGATACAGTAGATGATGTTATCAAGGTACGGCACATCGTTCCAGGTGACATCGGCTTGAAAGTTATCCCAGGATCATCCCGACAACTTCAACACATTCTGTGGATAATTACTGTATCAGTCAGCATCACAATAAGGCATAGTCATGTCCCCACAGCACTCAAGAATCCGTACGGTACAAGAGGCAGAAGATCACGGCACGGCCGCCTTTACGATCAGGGTACCACAATCCGTCTCCAACAAAGGTATCGCAATTCACACAGGCATTTACAACCAGCCAAAGCTGCATTCACGACGTGTGTTGGCTAGACATAACCTGTCTGGAAGTTGACTTGGTATCCTTGCGCGCGCGACCCGCGGGGTTTTGCGCCGTTGGGATTGTTACATTTATATCTCTAGTCGCTTCTCTAGAACGAGCAGCACAGCGGCGGCTTTTTCTATATATACGCTATCGTCTCGTCTTTTAGTCCGAAGCTTGTTATCGACAGGATCCGCACGTCTCTATAATACCAGTCGGTCTCCAGCACCGCGTGCTTACTTCAGATGGCTACAAAATGCAAAGTCAGTACTATCTTAACCGCTATGTCGAGTATTATAGCCCGCATCTGTCTCTGGGTCCCCTGGAGGCCATTCGATTAAGCGTAGATCGCTTATCTACACGGGCATTATACTGCTCGTAGCCGGCAGGTGGGTTACGTTCTTCTAGTGCGTTGCTACGGTAAGAATGAGTTGGAAGAAGGGGAGGGGTAGAGTAGGACGCAACTGTGCTCTTTTGAGGCGTGGCACATAAAAACGTGCTCTAGGGCGGGAATTTCTTGATAAGCCACTGAAACAGTCTTTTGACGTCCCAAAGCATGACATTGCATCGGGCGACTCCATTTTGATGAGGCATCATATTTGGATCGGGTAGCATATCGCAGTAGAATGTAAAAGGTAGTTTCTAGGGCTTTTGTGGGGTTATTGAGCTCGCTCGGGGGTTCAATTGATGATAGCACAATGCTAGAGGCTTTCGGCGCGATTGCTCAGGGAAGCTGATTGTAACATCGGAACAGCTTATGATGTTACAACGGGGAAGCTGAGACAGTATGTCAGATTACACAGATGATGGCGGTTTTGTTTTTTGTGCCGCTCGGTTCCCCAACGAAGGACAGTGACATTATCTGAATAATTCACAATTGTCCGTCCTCATTATTAGTTCTGTGAATACTTTGCCCCTGGCATTGATATAGGCGCGTGATGACCCATCGGGGGCGCAAGGGGGGCCCCTGATGGGTCCTTAGTAGCTAAGAATACTAGTTTACTATTTATATTATAGTGAAATTTGGATCTATACTCTAGAGGAAGCCTATCAAACAGCAAAGTACTAGGGGTCTTCTATCCCTAAAGGTTAGGAGCTAGATCTAGATCTTTCAGAATAGCAAAGGCATTTAGGCCGAATCTAGATTTCCGAGAAGTAAGAGCTAGCTATGTCTTGGGGGCAACCCTTTAAGCTCACTGGTCTCTGGAACTCGCTTAGAAAATGGTTGTGTTGTGTATGTCGTCGTCATGTACCACACGATATACATGTCTGTGATCAAGTCATTCGAAGTCACTTCGCAGCCAGTTATGAAGCATGTCATATAGCACCAGCAATAAGCGTTTGGTCGTATACAGCATCAGTGGTTTAGTGGTAAAATCCATCGTTGCCATCGATGGGCCCCGTGTTCGATTCACGGCTGATGCAATATGTTCGAAATGGGAAGACATCCTGTGATTCTTTTTGCACTTCTCTCCATGGCACCTCAGTCGCCCATTGGGTTGGTAACGCACAATACTCAAGCGTATGCAAGATGAACAGCTTTACTTTTGACTGATCAAAACCGCACTGGAGTATGTCTATCCCCACTCGTGGTGTGCGTAAGCCGGCCACCTCGAGAACAAGGTCTGAGCTCGCCGATCTCAGCGACGACCATGCCTGCACGCCCTTGGGTAATGCCTTTGCAGTTTCCAGCAAAGCGCTCTACTTCTGCCATGGCTTCTCATGCCCGCCAGCACCCTGCGCCGTGTACCTCGACGCGTCCGTGTCGCCCTTGGCCAGGTTCGTCGGGAACGCACCTAGCTTGGGGTTGTCCCCCGCGTTGCGAGCAGCAGGCCGGCCCTGCGAGTCGGGAACGCCTGCGTTGTCGAGTGTGGTCAGAGGAGCGAACATTCATCCAGCCACAACTGGCGGGCAAGGACACTCACCATTCTCAACCGCGGCCCTGGTCTTCTCGACAGCCGCGTTGAACTTCTCCTTGGCTGCTTCTGTCCCGGACGGCATTGCGATGGTGGTGGTGGTGGTGGGATGAGGGAGAGTACTTCTGGGCACTGTCGCGTCTCTGCTGTGTACGGAAAGGCTGGATGTCCGGTTGTTGTAGGGGGTTGTCACTGCTGGGAAATGCAGACGGGGAGCCCTGGTGCATTGGTATTTGTAGACAACATCGCCACAAGGTGCATGTACAACGGAGGTTATTGGATCATCTGAGGCTACAAAGTGATCATTCAATGACATCTGCTCCCCTGGCCTAGACTGCAGTTGGTGCTTTGGCGCAGTCGCTTAGGCTCGCGTGGGCGTCATGGTGACGTCGTCTAGCTCAGCACTTTGACTGTTTTTGACGACGAAGCGAGCGGACAATGTTTGGGAGACGATGTGCATGGTGGCACAATCGTATTTGCATCTACACTGACATTTAGCTCTTCGTTCCATAAAGCCCTCCTCTTCTTCGTCCTTTGCTGCTGTTCATGCAACGGGGAGGATGTTCGAGGCTGCTTGGTGGCACTTACACATGTACACCCTCACCAGAGAAGTGGGGCCCGGCTCCCAGTGCGTTCTTCATGTACGTGGTTCCCACCGCCGGTGGAATTGCTTGAAGGTACGACATGTGACTGCAGTTTGAGAGGATTAATTTGAGCCCCAACCCATCTTGGTATCATGCAGGGAGGTGATCTGTATTTCAGCACACAACTTTGTGGAAACCGGCATGTCTTGCACCGCCAGTCGGCTGGCCCCACCCACTTACACGGCGACCCCTGCCACGGCGTGTCATGACACCCACAACCTCGAGGTTTCCCAAACGCTCAAACATAGGAGAGAATTGGGAGTGGTGCTGATCCTTTGAGACCAGGGTGTGTATTTCCAGGACATCCCCAGCGCATTCATTTCATAAATCCGTTATGGCCTTTGGAACGGGACAATGCCGTTCGTTGAGAACTCACCCCTGGTGCAAGGGGTCTTCTGAACCTCTACGTCATGCGGCGATCCGCGGCCGAGACAAGACATCCACACCTACATGTGCGGCTCATCGCTTGTCTGCTTTGTTCTACAGTGATGTGCAAGTATCCTTCACGGCTACGGTTCATGAGCCGCAACTATATTCCTTACCACTCAAGCACAACATCAACATCAACACAGCCTAGGCACGCTAACACCACATCACACAATGCGAGCCCCCAACGACAACAAGTTTGATCCCAACACGGACATCTCCGACCTCTCGGGCCGGGTGTACGTGATCACGGGCGGCAGCGCGGGCATCGGCTACGGCATCTCGGCACACCTCCTCCAACACAATGCGGCCAGGATCTACCTGCTCGGCAACAAGGAGCAGCACCTCGACGAGGCCCAGCAAGGGCTCAGGCAGTACGGCGACGCCTCCCGCGTCGTGGAGCTCGTGCAGTGCGACCTCGCCTCGCTGCGGCAGACCAGCCTCGTCGCGGCCCAGCTCGCGGCCAAGCTCGACCGGCTCGACGCGCTCATCCTCAACGCGGGCATCGGCGTCGGGCCCTACGCAGAGTCCCCGGAGGACGGCCTGGACACGCACATGCAGGTCAATGTCATCTCGCAACACCACCTCGCCATGACGCTGCTCCCCGTGCTCGCCAAGACAAAGGGGAGCCGGCTGTGCCTGCAGTCCTCCGAGATGCACCGCATCGGCACGAGCGGCGTGCGCTTCCTCAGCCTCGAGGAGATCAACCACGACATTGGGCCCTCCAGCCTCTACGGGCGCAGCAAGCTCGCCCAGATCCTGCTCATGCGGGCAATGTACCGTCGCAAGCTGCAAGTTCTTCTCCTCCCACCCGGGGCACAACAACAACAACAACAACAACAACAACAACAACAACCACAAGGACAAGAAGGACAAGAACAAGAGCAACAAGAAATAAAGGCGCCCGTCCTCATCGCGACACACCCCGGCGGCGTCGTCACCGACCAGCAGGACCAGGCCGTCGAGGCGTACGGCCTGCTCGGCAAGATTGGCGTCGCCGCCGCCCGGCCCTTTATGAAGGACCCCGTCGACCAAGGGTGCCGCCCGATGCTCTTCGCCGCGACGGCCGACGACGTGGCCACCCTCGCCGACGACATCTACGACGGCAGCTACATCGTGCCCGACTGCAAGGTCGCCGACGTCAGCACCCAGGCGCAGGACGAGAAGCTGCAGGAGCGGTGCTGGACGCTCGTGCAGGGAATACTCAGGGACCGCCTGGGGACGTTGGTAGAGAGAGAGAAGGCCAAATGAGACACACGCGCACACACACACACACACAGAGAGAGAGAGAGAGAGAGAGAGAGGGAGAGGAAACGCTGCACGCGAATCTGGGGTGCGGCGATTGCCGTGACTCATGGTTAGATGGTGCGATATCAAATGTCCTGTGCCTTTTTTCAACCAGCTTTTCGGAAAGACCAAAGTGACCTGCAGGTGCGTGACTGGAAGGCCCCCGGCTGGAATGCGCTTTGTTGCCCTTGGCCTGTCCCCGTTTATATGCCAATATGAATATGTCGCACAGAACTACAGCCAATTGATACACCTCTTGAGTAGAGGGAACCTGCTGTTGCTCGCTTTGTGAATGGGCATGTCACACAAGATACACTTTATGGCTGAATCAAAGTGTGAAGGAATGTAATGCTTGAATTATTGATAGTGGTACAAAACATCATATTTACTTGTTTTTGACAGCCTCAACCTGCAAATTGCATTATTTATCCGAATTGAACAATCGATAGAAGAGGCGTTGATGTGAGCAGGACATAGTCCCCAATCTACAGCAGCAATACGGCCGCAAGGCCAGCAGCAAGGGTCCAGTAGCTTGACGTGAGGTGGCCAGCAGCCGCAGTAGGGATGACAGTGGTTCCTGCAGTGCTAGAGGAGCCCAGTGATACTGTCGTAACCAAGCTGGGCGTAGGGCCGCTGCCAGATCCAGGGGCACTTGATCCAGGAGCACCAGAGCCAGGGGCACCAGAGCCAGGAGGAGTGCTGCCGCCGATTGGGACAGGAACAGCGGTGCTGCTAGCAATGACCTCAGTTGTGACGTACGGGGTGGTAGGGCAATTGTGCACTGAGGCGGGGCACGATGTGACTGTGTACACCGTAGTTGTGTAGACAATGGACGTCGAGTATTGCGGTGGCGCCGTTGGGACCGCGGGCGACGTGACGGGGCAAACCGTGGTGGTGTACGGGATTGTCTCAGTGGTAGTGATCCCAGTTGTGCAGTCAGGAGAGCCAGGGGCGCAAGACGTGACAGAGTAAACCGTGGTTGTGTACACAGTTGATGTGGTGTATTGTGGGGGTGTGCTGGGCGCGCAGAACGTAGCCGTGTAGGGCACTATCTGTGTGGTCCAGGTGCCTGGCGTGCAAGTGGTGACAAGAAACTGGGTCGTTGTGGACCCTGTGGACGTGGCATACTCTGCGCAAGTAGTCGTGGCGATGGTGAGAGTAGTCGGACGAGTGACGGTGACGGGGAATGTCGTCGTGATTGTCTCGGTTGTTGTCGTGCCCGAAGTGGGATACGTAGTGGTGAAAGTGGTCGTGATTGTCTCCGTTGTCACCGTTTCCGTAGTTGGGACAGTGACCGTGATAGGGAATGTCGTGGTGATAGTCTGGGTAGTGGTACTCCCAGACGTTGTGAGTGTGGTAGTCAAGGTTGTTACGACAGTAGTGGTAGTAATCGTCCCAGTCGTCTGAGTTGCCGTTGTCGGGATTGTGATGGTTGTAGTGATCGTAGTAGGGAATGTCGTGGTCAGTGTTGCTGTGCTGGTGGTGCCCGAGGTCGTGATGGTAGTAGTGATCGTTGTCACGACAGTCGTCGTCGTTTCCGTCGTCTGAGTCACCGGCGTTGTCACTGTGGTGGGAACCGTGGTGGGAATGGTAGTAGTGATTGTAGCTGTGCTTGTGGTACCAGACGTCGTGATTGTTGTCGTAATGGTTGTGACAGTTGATGTGGCGGGAGTTGTGACCGTTGTCAATGTCGTGGGTGCTGTGGTAGGGACGGTAGTGGTTGTAGTTGCTGTGGTTGTCGTCCCAGACGTCGTAATTATTGTTGTGATGGTAGTGACAGTTGACGTAACAGGCGTTGTGGCCGTCGTCAAAGTCGTGGGGACAGTGGTAGTGATCGTAGCCGTGGTTGTGGTCCCAGACGTTGTGATTATCGTCGTGATAGTAGTGACAGTTGATGTAACGGAGGTTGTGGCCGTTGTAGGGACAGTAGTAGGGATGGTCGTAGGGATAGTAGTAGTAATCGTTGCTGTAGTCGTTGTCCCAGACGTCGTGATTGTCGTTGTAATAGTAGTAACAGTTGATATAACGGAGGTTGTGACCGTTGTAGGGACAGTAGTGGGGACAGTCGTAGGGACAGTCGTAGGGATAGTGGTGGTAATAGTGGCCGTGGTTGTGGTACCAGAGGTTGTAATTACGGTCGTTATGGTCGTTACTGTAGTCGGCGTCGTAGCCGTTGTAGAAACAGTAGTAGGGACAGTAGTAGGGACGGTCGTGGGTATAGTACTAGTTATTGTAGCTGTCGTTGTGGTACCAGAGGTTGTAATTACGGTTGTTATGGTCGTTACTGTAGTCGGCGTCGTGACCGTTGTAGGGACAGTAGTAGGGACAGTAGTAGGGATGGTGGTAGTAATAGTAGCTGTGCTCGTAGTACCAGAGGTTGTGATCGTAGTTGTAATGGTTGTTACCGTGGTTGGCGTTGTGACCGTCGTTGGGACGGTGGTAGTAATCGTGGCTGTGGTTGTGGTACCAGAGGTTGTGATCGTAGTTGTAATGGTCGTCACTGTGGTCGGCGTTGTAACCGTTGTAGGGACAGTAGTAAGAACAGTCGTAGGGACGGTAGTAGTAATTATAGCGGTGGTTGTTGCACCAGAGGTTGTGATCGTAGTTGTAATAGTAGTTACTGTGGTCGGCGTTGTGACCGTTGTGGGCATGGTAGTAGTGATCGTAGCTGTAGTCGTAGTGCCAGAGGTCGTAATTGTAGTTACAGCAGTAATCACTGTAGTAGTTGGATGCGTGTTAGTAGTGTCGGTAGGAGACGTCCACGTCGTTGTGTCGGTAGGCGACGTCCAAGTAGTAGGGTGCGTGTAAGTAGTATCGGTAGGAGACGTCCACGTCGTTGTGTCGGAAGGAGACGCCCACGTCGTTGTGTCGGTAGGCGACGTCCAAGTAGTAGGGTGCGTATTAGTAGTATCAGTAGGAGATGTCCACGTTGTTGTGTCGGTAGGCGACGTCCAAGTAGTAGGGTGCGTATTAGTAGTATCAGTGGGAGACGTCCACGTCGTTGGATGCGTGTCAGTGGTATCCGTGGGAGATATCCAAGTTGTAGGGTGCGTGTCAGTGGTATCGGTAGGAGATGTCCAAGTAGTAGGATACGTATGAGTAGTATCGGTAGGAGATATCCAAGTAGTAGGGTGCGTGTCAGTGGTATCGGTAGGAGATATCCAAGTAGTAGGGTGCGTATCAGTGGTATCCGTGGGAGATGTCCAAGTAGTAGGGTGCGTGTTAGTGGTGTCCGTGGGAGACGTCCACGTCGTTGGATGTGTCCAAGTGGTATCAGTCGTGGGCTGAGTCCATTGAGTATCAGTTGTAGGCTGAGTCCAATCAGTGTCGTAGTTTCTTGCGGCGATATCGGTGTTTGCTTGGCCGAGGCCAGCAATCGCCATCATGGCGAAGGCAACATTTGGGGTCCGCATCTTCACACAATGTCCTCAGCGAGGATGCTGTTCCAGAATATTGTAATGCGTGTCTTCCCCGAGTATGTCTTTTTGGCAGCCAAGATTAGCTGGAAATTGTGAGGCTTAATGTTTGTGTGCGTATGGCTGGTTCTCTGCTAATGCAGGTTTGCCTCGGAGACGGGAAGACGGGGCAGGGTGGCAGCTCTTATGTATGCGGGTATCGTCCCGTTTGGATGCCCGTGCCGATGAGAGGACTCGCTGTCGTCAACATCATCATGGCCATTACCGATGATATGGGCTTAGGTGCCCCTCTGTGACCTCGCCATGACTGCGGGACTGTCTCCTGCAGACCGCAACCAAGAGGCCGAGGCGTCGCCATGATCCACCGGGATCATCATCGCCGGCCACGGCAGGCTAATGCCGGCGGCCGATGACGAAACGCTGCTCAGGAGCTCATCGTGGACCACAGAGCATCGGTACAACTAACGCCGGTACTGGGAGCTTACAAGCAGTAGCCACCCAGCTGTGATGGCGACGACAGTGTTAGCCAGGCACACATGAGGCCGAGGGCTCGCCCATTGGGCCTGCGGCCGGCGATGGCTTGACGCGATCCGACGGGAGGCGCGTGAGTTTCAGGTAGGCTCCATAGACGTTGAAAATATTCTTGAGGCGATTGGGCCAAGATTACAAGCTAACGGCGCGCCGGCCGGAGCCATAGCGGTAGTGATGATGGTGATCGTTGTTGAGGAAGGTCCCGAAAGCATGGGTTGAAGCCGTGGCGCGGGTGGGGCCGCGGCACTGGGCGTCCGCGAGCCTCTGACACGAGCGGCGCTGAGTGAACCGGCAAATCGCCACGGCCGAGGACAGAAGTTGGGACACGGGGGTGTATCGCAAACGTACGTTGGCACCGTTGGACGATGGTCCCGATGTCGACGTGTTAGTTGGCATCGCGGAAGGAGGTGTGGTGCGTCGCGGCAAAAGTGGGGCGTGACTTCCCAGACGCTCAAACAGTCGATGCTAGGCACGCTAACGTACGCTACTTTACCAGCGTGCCGGGTTCTTCCCGCCGCCGCCCAGATGAGCAAACGGCGCCCGATCCTCTGAGCATCATCTCAAGTCCCACAACGCCACAACCTTGACTGATTCCATCCCCCACTCTCACAGGACCTCCTGGTCTGCTTCCGACGTCCTGGCCTCGCCGCCTTCGACACCGAGGGGCTTGTACACAATGGCATCGTGGCTGCCGCCTCTCTCACGCCCTCAGCCTTGCCGGTCCCCACGACAGACGTCAGACTCGAGCCTCCCATGACGCCATGGACCCTGGCATCTCGAGCACTGGAGTCCCGCCGGCACACGTCCTGCTTTCCTGCCGGAACATTCTCCCCTGGTGGGCGGGTTGCAGGCACGCGGCACGCGGCACTGCAGCACGCACCCGCCCCCTGTTACCCGAGGACGCAGCTAGGCCATCTCGCTTCTCCCAAGCGCAAGGCGGGTTTTCTCGTTTGGGGCGCCGTTGCTGCTCGTTCGGGCACGAGAGCCAGCCGGTTCTGGTATTCTGCTGTCGATCTGTCAGGGCTGTGCCGATCGCGCTTCTCCACCGCCGAGCCAGTGTCCCAGGAGGCTCTAGTGGCCGTACACCTTCTCCATGACGAAGATGCACCCCAGAACCACCTGCGGCAGCTCGGCGTCAAACTCTAACCAGGCCACCGGCTAGCGCTGCACGGCGCTTACTGGCCCTTAGCTTCGTCTCCAGTTGTGCATGCCAAGCCCAAGCCCCGCGCGTAATCCCGGTCATGACCCAACGTCGTCTTTCCCCATCTGGCACTTTCGATGTCGTGTGTGGCACCGTGAAGCCAACTTGGGCATGGAAGCTACGCTCCGAGCAGTCTTTCCGCCAGCTCGGCCCATGGCAATGGACCGTTGGTGGAACATTCCAAGAAGACCCGCCAACCTTGGCGGCTCCACGCCTGCGGTCGGCAGTCCGCCTCCGTGGCTGTTACCTGCATAACTCGTGGTGACACAAGAACCCTGTGGCGGTTGTGGGCACTTGGACTCGTCACCATCGGACTGTCGTCACCGGCCGTTGAAGGATATGAGACAAGACCCTGACGAAACTGCCCATGGCGCCAAGCAACCACTCCGACAAGCCCAGCAGACTTCCGCGGGCATTGTGTGGAAACTCTGTGTTTTGGGGCTTTCATTGTGAGCCAGAGTGTTCTCCTCGGGCTTTCCTCTAAAGGCATGTTTCCTGGTTTTCGACCAGCAATGCTCGGTTGGAGTTCTAAGGCGGAAGCCGCGTGCCCTCCAGATGTCGCGCATCGGTATCTGAAGAACGGTGAGCTTACCCTCCTTCGGCGCATGCTTGACGCGCATTGGCTGGGGCAGGTGTCTAGCCGAGCCGACTACTGCATGCTTGGCGGGTGGACCACAGTTTAGCCCGGCATTTGACTTGTGCAGTGCATGATGCTCGAAACGCGACATCCAAGCTGTCCAGGATGTGGAAGAAACACGCGTGCATTCTGGCACGGAAGCCAACTGCGCACCTTCGACTATTCCTAAGCCGGCATTTAGTCACGAACCAAGATCACGGCGCGACAGCTCATGAGATGGATGGGATGGACGGTGGCTGCACCGGCCGCTCTCGCTGCTTCCTCTACTTCATTTATGAGCGATCCATTACCCACACCTGGTCAAAAAAGAAAAGTCCCAAGAGGTAAACCCGCACAGTCTCCGGCCAGCAGCTCTGCAGATCACTCAGGTGCAGGATTGCCATCTCCGCCGTCTGCCGAAGCTGAACCTGGAGCGAAGGGGGAAAAGCCTGGTCATGGACGACTGCCTCTCCCCGCCGCCTTCCACTGCAGTCACAGATCGTGGCGAGAACTTGTCTGACAAAGGTACGTTAGTCGAAGCATGGGCTCGTCAGATGTGGCTCAGAAAGGTTGATATCTTAGACTGATTCATGCTCTTTGCATGACTTCCCGGCTTATTTCCCTGGTCTTCACCTTCCCATCCTACATTGTGTATTCACAGGCGCCCACGTACTGGGAGTCTCCGTTTCTCCCTTCCCCTCCCCTCCCCCCTTTTCTCTACCCTTGAGAACCCCGAGCCTGGTCTAGGAGGGATCAAGATCAAGATCGAGATTCCCCGAGGTGTGACACAGGCATGGTTGTTCCCAAGCTGGTCGTGGCACAACCAAGCTGCTACTCCAATGGCTGTATCTGACTTTCGCATCTCTGCATGGCTGCATATGCATCTTTCCACTCGCTCGCGAACTAGACAGCCCATGAAAGCTTGTCTGCCAAGCCGCCGCGTGGGTGCATACGCAAGCTGATGTGTGCATGGTATGCAGATAGCGCGTGTCCCGCATGCAGGTCCGGTGTTTGCCTCCCCCTTGGCCTCCAATTCCCAGCATGCACCACCACACCAGGCACCAAAATGTGGCTGTGGCCGTGACCGGCTTGGGAGGCCAAGCCAGCCGAGCCGGTGTGGTCTTTCGTCCCACCAGGATTGGCAAAACGTGGCACTGCATGGTTGCCAGCTGGGGCCTGCATGTGTGCTCATGCACGCACGATGATGATGTCCCATGTGCGGCATACGAGTGTACCGAGACTGGGTTTAGCCGAAGCAGCGGCGCTGGCGCCAGCGCCGCCAGTAGCACTGGTGAGTCGTATTGAGCTTTCCTCTGAGCCTTTGCGGTCAAGATTGGTGTGGTTGACTCTCTCCTCGTGTGGGATACACCACACGCAGTGAATCGAGATGCCGCGTTGCTTCTGTGGCACGAGAGTTTCAAGCGGCTCGTCTGTCCTGGAAACATGCAAGCATGTGAGCTCGTATGTATTCTTGCATCGGCCCTGTTACTTGGCCGAAGCAAGCACGGAGGTTGATCGCCTTTCGAAAATCGAGTGGTGCCTTTGACTCTATGCTTTGAACCTGCAGCTCCGTGTCAAGCCATGCATGTCGAGCCGCTCCAAGCAATCACTTTGGCATCAGCAGCAGATCAACGAATGAGTCTCTCCTGCGGCGCCGGAGAAGACTCCGCGGCCATCGTGGGGTTGCCTGTAGGTCCCAATCGATTCGGAGTCATGTCGCTCATATCGAACGTTGGACACGGTCACAGCTATCAAACACCTATCTCATCCTCTGCCGCTGATTCATGTCTGGATATTAAATGCTTCCACTATACGAAGGAACCTGGCTAGGTACAAGCAAAGTACACCTCCGTGGTTGTGTCCTCTCGCAGGAGGTGCAGAGCTTTCTATGTCACCATGCAGGCTGAATGCTTACTCGAGCCCTGTCTTCTGAGGTGTTGCTTGCAGCCATATCACGATCCTTGTTCCAAACGCACGCTTACCATTCTCTGAGATATTCTTCTGTATCCTTTCGCTCCCAGATGTGTATTTTGGGGGAAACAAGATCTCGGAAAATTGCTATCGCATGCATCTCATCGAGATTTCGTGGCAGGCAGCCCACAACACCTCTCACGAATGGTTTTTTTATGGAACGCGAAAAGAGAAGACAGTTCGACTTCCGGTAAAACCTTCCTATCGAAAAACACGAGAAGCAGCATTGTACTAACACTCACAATGTTCAATGAGGATGTGGAACTGGCCATCCAGAGGAGAGACATCGCGGGCGGCAGCATCAAAGTATAAGTGCCAGCGCATTTGGCGAGTCCGGCGCGACTAATTCGTGTTGTGTTCTCTCATCGCTGGGGCCATCACGCCGGACCATCTAAGCTTGTGCACAACATCGTGATCAGCAAAACACATCGAAGTAGTCTGGACAGGAAAACAAGCATCGTGGGAAGGGAAAAAGGGTGGCTAATGCGAGGGGCAGGTTTGGACCACACCATCTCGTTCGTCTAGCACACGGACAAAACCCCGAGAAACGCCTGGCCCTTTGTTTCTCGAGAGTTTTGCTGAGTCTTTTCTTGATGCATGTTTCCCAGAATAAATCCCTCTCGAGATTCGTGTTTGGTCAAGATTGGTGCCTCTGGCATCTACCTGCGAGCGAGAATAGCTAGCGCCCTGCGCACTACAGCACGCAGTGTTGGAGCCACGAATGACGTGCGTTTGCGTCTGCCTTGGCTTGCAATCGAAGGGCGCGGCGACTGCAGGCACAACGCTTGCTTCACTCCAGAATCTGGCGCTTGGGGGAGGACTGGAAGGGCGAGAGCGGGAAGACCTTACCTACTTTAGTACTGAGGTAGGGTTTGGAGAGTGCTCCTGCAGTGTAGGTGTTCGTGTTTCGTGGGGGAGGGGCCCAAGTAGCGTAGTAGAGTACCTTTGAAGCCGTGAGCACGCGTGTCACTTACAAGCGCAGTGCTTGCATGAGGCCGTATCACGATCGTGATCTGAGAGGAAGCTGCAAGCTCTCGACCGAGATTTAAAGTGCAGACGCTGCAAGAGACAGCTGCAAGTCATCATCCATGGGAGTGACTTGCATGAGGAGAACTGCATGCGAGCACAATCGGCGTCTCTGTGCCGTCTTCTTATGTCTTTCGCACTTTGACTTCCTGCACAAAAGCACGATGACGTCACCATCAGCCGTGCTTGATTGACCAGTCGAATCCTCGGCTGTTTGCGCCAACGTGCCTCCAGTCTCCAATCATCTCCAAGCTCCATTACGAATCTTCAACGATTTTGGCGAGGCCGCGGAACCAGATCAAGCTGCATGCAACGCAACGGTACAACCCTGCCGCACGCTCTACTACCATTCTGCCTGTACGCCGAATCTCGGCGATTCATCAAGACTAGCGTAGACTGCATTGGAGACGCCGCAGGTCGTTTGCCCCGGGCAAGCAAGCAATACCTAAAGACGCAGCTATGGCTTCCAGTTTCAATGGTACGTACGCCGGTCCCGAAGGCCCAGGTGCCAGCCAGCCATGAATGGCCAGCAGCCTTCGCAAGCCTCTGGCCCGCAACCATGCCGTCGTGGCCGGAGACCCGCGAATGTCGTGCGAGGCTGAGCAGGCATCGCAAGGCTGAGCTCGCTCCCAGCCGCTCCATCTACATCAATGACCGACCACAGGCCCGCTGATACTTACCTGCTTCCCCCCGCCGCGAAATCAGTCCTCCGGCAGCCTCTGAAGCTCTTCTCCCAGCAGCCCATGACGGGTTACTTCCGCGACGGCTACTGCCGGACCACGACCGCAGCCAATGGTGCCCCCGGCGGGCCGGTCATGTCGGACCCGGGCAACCACGCAGTCGCGGGCGTCGTGACGGACGAGTTCCTCGACTTCTCGGCCTCGCGGGGCAACGACCTGCGCAGCGTCGGCCTCATGGGCGGCTGCAGGTGGTGCCTCTGCACGGCGCGCTGGCTCGAGGCGTACCAGGCCTACCGCGCGGGCAAGATCAGCGAGATGGGCGTCCCGAGGGTGGACCTGGAGTCTACCGAGGACTCGGCGCTGCGCAAGGTGGATCTGGAGACGCTGAGGCGGTTTGAGGTCAGGCATCGGGATGCGTAAATCGTGGGTTCGCAAGATGAGGGGATTTGTAGGTCGCGTGTGGAGTGACGGGGATCATAGCAGTTGCAGACGGCAGGGATACCAGATTGGCATACAGGATGGTTGAAAGCACACAGAAGAGGTCATTGCCGCCGTCGTGGCCGAGTTCGTGATAATCTTCCGCCGCTGATTCTCCTCATCACCAACCACACCTCACCAATGCGGTGCACATATTATGCAAGATACAACTGATAAAATGCTTCGAAAGTGCCTGCCAGTCCAATCTCCCGGTTCGCTTGGTGATATTACAAGTTTCTAGATACTATGAAAGTCGCTGCTTTGTGCAAAAGACGAGTGACAAGGGCCCCATCCCCATGTGCCCGCAAGATGCCACCAAACTATCCCCACCAATATCTCGCGGCAGTCATCTCCCACTCGAGCTCACCCTGGGCGGCCTGCTTCGATTACAGCAGCCCATACGATAGAACTCCAGATCGGAAGGATCAATCCACTCAGTCAAGGTATCTGCGAATAAGAGAAAAGAAGGGCCTCCCAGATATCGACCGGTGGGACTCGAGGAGCAGATCACGGTACATTGCCCTTCAACTTGTTCTGACGTGGTGGATGGTTGAGGAATGCTCCCGTCTGTCTTCATTGGACACGCCGGTTTAGTGATCTTGTACTCAACACTGTACGACTAGTTTCAGAGTTGGTATCACGGAGAGCGCATCATCATTTGCCATGAATTAAACGGTGACTGGCATCAAATATGCCAACAAGTAATGGTCCAAGAACAAAGGACGGAAACCCCGATTTCAGGACTGCGGAAATCTGTACGGATAAACATAGCAGCCAGCTGCTGTTTGTTCCAGAATCATAGCAACGGCAATCAGTACTCATTTTTAGGTACGTGATCCGTTGCAGCCACTTGGCATGAAGCAGATGAGGAATTGATGTTGACATCGACATGCTGTCCGGACAGGCCCTCCGGCCTCCGGATTCATGATGCGGAAATACACGACTAGGGTGCAGTCAGGCTAATTTCCATCCTTTTCAAAAGGCCTTCGAACTCCGTGCCATGCCTGCAAAGCAAAAGTGGTTTCGGTCCATGCATACTCTGAACATCCCACTTCCACGCCAGTTTCCCGCCAGTTTCCCGCCAGTCCACCTCGGAGGCACATTCGTGCGTGCACCAGGCACTCGATACAGCCTGCTGATTTTGGTCCAAACGCTGAGTGGCTGCGCCCTTCTATGTTCTAGGGGAGGAAGGCCTTGCAACGGGCCAGCGAAGCCTTCAGACCACCTCAGCAACTGGGTTGTTCTGTGAAATAAACGTGGCTGGAATTTGATCTCTCTCTATGTCCCTCTCTCTCTCTCTCTCCATCCTTGTGTTGTTACACGGGTCCTTGTACTAGGAAGGTCAAGTGTTGTGAATGAGAGTAATATTAAGCCCCGGCAAAGTATCAGCTGAACTCAAAAGTCAACAAAACCCCCCGACACAGAGAGCGGCAGACTTGCTCTGGATCTGCAAGGATATCTGGCAAATTGCTGCACAAGGGCTGGACGGGGGATTCTGAAATCGTTGAATTTCTAACGCCTGATGACGGCGGATTTTCGGACGCCATGATTCTGCAGTTGGGAGGATATGCAGCACCGCTCTCTCTCAGAGGCCGAACCCCTCCCTCAGCGCCACGACACGTGGTAATGAGGAGAAATGGCAGACCGAAATTGGGTACCGGTCTGTTGTGTCTGGGTGACTCCAAGGACATTCCTTTTTCTTTTTTTTCCTTTTCTTTTCTGGTGGAAGCGTTTCTGGAAGCTCTCTCTCATTGCCAAGCTCTCCACCATACGCGTTCAACCCCCCTCTCTACGAACAGACCAGGCTCATACGTAACCAAATTTAATATTTGTCCATCATCTGATTAGTGATTTGGAAGGATCTTCTCAATCCAAACTCTTTGCTTTACTTCACAAATGGAAAATCCGAGGACGTGCGCTGAGATCATCCCTACTAGTGACACGGCCTCGTGGTGATGGATCGGCGGGTAGTGGTCCGTGGCACTTTAAGTTACCACACGGATTGGACAGCGGGATGGAGGGGGATCTTTTTATGTTTGATGATGACTCCCTACTCGAATTGGTCTGACAGTGCATAGTGTTCCGTGCGCCGGATGTCGTTCCGGGCATGGGGGGCGGAAGCGGCGGCGCAAGCGATGGGTTTTTGGAGCGACAGGTCGCAGGAGGCACGCACGTCACAATACTTGAGTCACGATTCAGAGCCTGGCAAAGTATCTTACAAGATACTGGTTCGGTGGCGTGTTTAACAGGCGCAAGTATTGTCGGTCGGACGTGCAATTCAGGATAATAAAGAATTTAGCAGAGCGTGCATTGCAGAGGTGAAACCACGATGCCGGGCAACTGCCGCAAGTTCGTCGGCCGTTGTGCCGGATTGGGGCAGTTGGAGAAGCAAGACCACGATTCTGTGGCAGGGACAGGGAGGCACTGCGGGGATATCAAGTCTCAAGTCCTTTTCGTACACATCATTTTTGCCCACGCAGAAAAGGGCATGGAAACGTGGCTTGCGACACGTGGATGACTGCTTGTTGACTGATCCCTCGCCAGGGGGAAGATGAGTGAGGCGCTTGGATGTGGTGATGGCAACGTTGCCACCTACTATGGACGAAGCGCCACGTGGGACGTTGGATATCCATACACTACGGATTTGAAGTACGTACCTTGGGCTGGCAACTCTAACTAAGGTACAGAGTTGACACCGGAAACGACGTGGGCATCGAGCACCGGCGCCGACGACAAAGACTCCGATTGGGCTGCGCGCCCGCGGAGGAGCCATGGCGTGCTTCGGCGGGAGAATGGAAGACTGGCTGGTGGTACGGTGGCACCAGTTGTTGCAGTTGCAGCAGGATGACAGCAGCTGCCAGATCGGGAGGGATGAAAAAGGCGCACATGCATGCGCCGCCTGGCGAGGCGAGTGGGACTGCATCTGGGATCTTGGCCCGACCGGGGTGTGCATGTGCGTGCTGCGCGTATCGACGGCACCCGCAATCCTGCCCTGCCCTGCCCTGCAGTGGTTGTGCTGCTAATGCAGGTGGTGCAGCTCCCCTGCAGCAGGCAGCGCTGTGCAGACCGAGCGTGTGCATGAAGGGTGGTGGCCAGAGGTCGTGCTGAGCGCCAAAGCAGGTTTGGGCAAATTGCGCGGCATCCCGTGGGCCATTCGCCAGGCCCCAATCTCGTTGGCCAACCGCCATATCACCGTCGATATCTTAAGTGGCGCCTGTCCCGTGTGGCTATATCAGACGGGCGCTGATGTCGCGATACCTATAGCACGGCCTGGCTGGGGGGGGATACGCAGTAATTGTTGTTCTGCTTTTCATCTGCCGCGCTGCTCAGGTGGCTGGACAGGGGTGCCTGGGATAGGGGCTGGCTGACCCGACACGGCGGAACGCGCAAGTGCAAGATCAGCAGCCATTGCAAGCCAGCTGAGCAGCAAAACAGAGACACAGACACACGCGGCGCGGGTCGCGCAAGGAATGGGCAGGCAGCGCACGACAAGAGAACGTTCCGCGGCCGTCTCGCGCAAGAGACATTCTTTGACGCCGCATGAGGACAAAACCCCCAGCCGGGCTATCAAGGGCGCAAGTGAAGGTGGGTGGTGGGTGGGTAGTGGTGTGTGTTTGTGTGTGTGTGGGGAACTTGTAAGCTTCAGGGACTGTACCTGGATGCACCAGACCCTCCTGTGCTCAGTTGCTGAACAATGGGACTCGTTAGCGCTGGGCCCTGGCTGAGACGGAGGGTGCAGGCCTCTCTCCATTGCCGAATCCACGTCTGTGAAACCACTTCTGCAGCCACGCCGCTGCATCTGCGCCAGCGCCGCATCTCCAGAGTCTGTGTGCGTGCTTCTCCTTCCGCTTTGGACTCTGCCAGCCGAGCAGAGCACAAGCTTCCCTCGAGCAGCCTTCGGCCGTCGCCCGCTGCGGCTCTGCGACAGACCCCGTTCGCGATTCCATCCGCCTCTTTGCCTTTTTCCTCGAACTAGACACCTTCCCTCCACACCACCTTGCGAACCTGTCAGCACCATCACCACGGTATACCACGGACGGCCAATGTTCGGCTGGCGCCTCGTCCACGGCTCCTATTCCTGCCACTTGCCGTGCCTCTGCGAGCCCTGCAGCAACAGGTCCTAGAACCGCATTCTTAGCCAGGAACTGGCTTCGAGGCCCCCGGCATTGGACCGTCAAATCGGAGCATTCAGCGACAGTGTTCGACCCCCCAGCGCGTGCGTGCGCGCGCATGTCGGCTGCATGATCCCTGTCACCTGTCCTGATCCACCGTTCTACTTCAGGAGTCAGGCTCGACTCGTGGCACAAGGCCTGGGGCTGCAGCTTCTCAAACGGCGAAGTGCCTTGCCGAGCACAGATTCATCGCTCGCGCTGTCCTCGCTGGCGCCACAGTGCTACCTCCCAGTCCTTTCATCCTCGTCGCCGGCAGACAGTACCGGCGGCCAGGCACCGTATCGACTCGAGTCGTCCTGTTTGCGCCGAGCCAAGCGTTTGCAGCAGCCCGCGGGCCGACCACTGCCCATCGCCACATAGCCGCCATCCCTCGCGTCCTCGTTTGCTCGCGGCCTTGCGGAGACTGAACCGGCACGATGCCTCACCAACCCGACCTCCCTCTGCGCTCCCACAAGCGGCCAAACGACCTCACAATCAACACCACGCCCGTTCCTTCTTCCCCATGGAAGCAGCCGTCCGGGTCCAGCAAGGGGAAACCGCCATTGTCCAGCCGATACTACAGGTCTGCCCCAACGTCTGCTCCGCCTCGCGGTCGAGATTCGGACGAATCGTTTCTCGACAATGAGACTCCCATAGACGTCAACAAGGAAAACGAGCCGTTCTACCGGCGGCAAGGCCAGACAGCCCAGCGTGACTCGCACGACCTGTCTCTGCCGTCCGAGCAGTTCACCCGCGATTCCCTCGTGGGGAACATGCTGTCGTCCCTTGACCAGTTCTCACTAGGGCAGATACACACACCCACCAGGGGCATGTTCGACGAGACGGAACGATTCGGATCACCACGGCGCGAGAACTACACACGGACAATGGGCAGCACCATATCACGACCGCACATGTCAAACGTGCCAAGCCACAGCTACTCATATAGTTCAGATATAGAAGGAGGCGACGATCGTGCATCTGGACAATTCTCGCGAGGACGTCGCAGCGATAGTGCGTCAACCTTTCAGATGCCTACCGCCAGATTGAACAGCATGCGGGACCGCAGCCACCCTGGAACACCTTCGCACAGAGTGCTGCACTCGCGAGGTGGCAAGACCAGCAAAAGCAGCAGCTCCAACAGTATCGAGGCTGGCTATGCGCAAATGTCGACGACGCAACGCTGGGCAAATGGCATTGGCGGCCGGGCGGCCAGTTTCGACTCTGGTCAGCAGAGGCCCCCGCTCGCATCGCCGGCTCCAAGCGCTGCAGGCTGGAATGCGGAGTACTCAAACACATTTCTGGTGGATGACTACGAAGCTGCGCCAACACCAAACGTTCCTGGCGGCCCACGCCGGTCGGCACTACCAATAGCGCCAATGGTCGCGCCACCAGCGCCCCCACCCCCTGAATCGGACCCCAGAGCCAGCGACCGCGATCGAAAGAAGGGATCAAGGTCACGCAGCGGTACAGTCAAGAGCAGCGCCAGCAGAGCTGCATCTTCCTCGAGATACGGCTCATCTCACCAACAAGCGATGCCTCCCCCGCCAGTCCCCCCAATTGACCTCGACTCGGCTCCAGCGCCGCATGTCGGCTACGAGAAGTCCAAAGATGCCATCCCATCAGGCACGGCCGCCGCCGCGCCGCCCAAGGAGAAGCGCGGCTTCTTCAGTCGAGTCTTTGGCTCGTCGCGCACACCATCAGCGAGCATCGACAGTCCACCGGCGCCGAATGTTCAGCAGCCATCAGCCGACAACCTCGACCGGGTCAATAGCGACAGATCCCATCAATCAGCCGCCGCCAAGGCTCAATCGGCACCCCCCTCGAGAGACTCGCATTACCCGCAGCCGACACATGTAATACAAAAGAAATCATCCTTCTTCCGGAGGAGGAAGAAGTCTTTCACCGAGCCGCCAATGCCTACACCGCCTATTCCGGTCAATATCGATGTCTCCTTGTCAAGAGACACTGGCATTGCGCTGCCAGAGCCGAGCCCAGTCAGCAGCCTTCGGCAGCTCATGACTCCTTACCTAGACGCTGGTGTATCGCACGGGGAACGACCAATGGGTGCATCAAGGACCGACTCTGATCTTCAAGATGATGATGATGCTCGGCGTAGGGTCAGAGGTTTCTCACCAGATTATGAGCCCGATCCGAAGGCTACGATCCGTACCGTCAAATCCCACTCCGCGCTCAAGACACGACACTCCATGGTTTCTTTAGGCCGCAAGGCGAGCAGTGGTATGCTCGAGACCCCGAGCCGCACGCCGCCAGAGGTGCCCAGAAAATCTAGCGCCACCGGTGCAGCAGATGCGACGTTCTTCAACGACAGCAGTGATGAAGGCGAGGCTACTCCCGAAGCCAGGAGCAAGCGTTTGTCGCGGCAAAAGGACAGCAAGGGTTTACGACGAACGACAACAGACCCGGAAGTCGCCAAAGCTGAGCTTACACCTCGGCCAGTGCCCCCGAACAGCATCATAGTGAATGAGCCCACGCTCCGAGGCAGCCTCAGCTTGCCACTAGAGGGCTCGAGTACGTCTCGTCGCCCATCGACCTCCACAGACGCATTGCCTCGTTCCATGAGCAGCGTGCCCAGTCTCAGGATTGACAGTGCGCTGCCAAGTCCAAAAATCACTACTGGCGACCCTCTCGACGAACCAGAGGTGACAATGGGCGAACCCACCGAGGACGATCGGCAGAAGGCGCAAGGAATCTTCGACGGTCTCGAGGATTTCATCTCCAAGGAGAAGGCTGCATCGTGGATGGGCGAGGAGGGTCTGTTGCGCCAACGTACGTTACGAGCTTACATGCAGCTCTACAACTTTGAGAATCTCAGTGTTCTGAGTGGTCTGCGCGAAATTTGTGGACGTCTTGTCCTCCGTGGGGAGACCCAACAGGTCGATCGTATCCTGGTCGCGTTCTCCCAACGTTGGTGTGAATGCAACCCGAACCATGGGTTCAAGTCTCAAGGTAAGCTGTCCCCTTCTCTTGGACGGATCCAAGACTTCATACTTACAGCTCATCCAGACGTCATCCACACCATGTGCTATTCGATCATGCTACTAAACACCGACCTCCATCTCGCCGATATCGAGAATAAGATGACCCGCAGTCAGTTCATCAAAAATACGATGACTACTATCACACAGGCAGCCCTCGACTCAGCACCGAATGCGTTTGATCGTCGCAGTGTGGTGCAGGGCAAAGACGGCCTCCTCAGTCCGTCTGACCCTGATGCTCGGCCGTCAACCGACCAGCCAACCAAGCAAAATTGGAGAGCTTCTTTCCTGCCGCCGCGATCAGAGTCGCAGATGGGCAACTATAATGACTCCGCTGCCGACGTCGACGTCTGTGGTCCTCTGGTTAAGGCCCCATTCGAGGGCACGATGAAAGCGTGGGAGCTGCAAATGGAGATTGTCCTCAAGGACATCTACGCTTCCATTCGTGACGAGCGTCTGCCTCTCTTTGGCGCCGAGCAGCCCCCGACGCCACAAGCTCAGAGCCAGTCGCAATCGACGCTGTCAGTCATGGGCATGCTGAAGCGCAGCCCAAGCGTGCTCAGCAAGGCGCCCTCAGAAAGCCAGGCTTCAGTCCGTGGAAGGATCAATGACCCGAAGCACAACACCACGGGCCGCTTCAGCTCCAAGAGCCGGTCACGACCGCGGCTACCCAACGGACTTTCATCAAGCAGGACCAGTCTGGAAGACGGCAACTCCATCTGGAGCCCAACGATGTCTTCGGCGACGTGGAGTCGTTACTCCTTGGGCCGCACTCAGACCTCGGTGTCGATGGGCTCTTTTGGCTCCAGCATGCCGGGGGGCGATTATCAGCAGTCCATCGGCTTCGCCAATGCTCTTAGTCAAGCAATCATCCGTGACGACTTCCCGATGGGAGCCAGTTCGCAGTCTGTCCTTAGCGATGAGACTGGTGGCGCACAGCTCCTCGAGGACGAGACTCTTGAGCTTTGTGGCGCGCCCTGGATGAAGGAGGGAATGGTCACCCACAAGCACCACCTTGACGCCGCGGATAAGAAGGCCAGGGAGCGCAACTGGACCGAGGTCTTTGCCGTTATCCAGAAGGGCACCATGAGCCTGTTCTCGTTTTCGACCAAGTCGGTCCGGCAGAAGAATCGTAAGGGCAATAAGCAGGCTGGTGCTGTGGTGGGTGGCGGCAACTGGCAAGACAACGCTACTAGCGTCGGCACCTTCTCACTGCGACAGACGCTGGCTACCGAGCTGCCGTCTCCTGGCTACTCCCCTACACGACCACATGTGTGGGCTCTAAGTCTGCCCACGGGAGCTGTGCACCTGTTCCAGGTCGGCACGCCCGAGATCGGCAAGGAGTTTGTCGTGACTGTCAACTACTGGAGTGCACGCATGAGCACGCACCCTCTGGTGGGCGGCATCAGCAATATCGAATACGGCTGGAGCGACGCCATCATCAACACGGCGCTGATCACAGACGTGGCCGAGGCCGCGATGCCCCCACGCCCAGGCAGCGCAGCAGCGGGCAGGAGCAGCATGCACTCGCGCCAGCACAGCCGGCAGAGCAGCCTGCGGTCATCCTTTGATGTTGGCTCGAGCTCCCGCGCCAAGCTGCCGGGCGACAAGGTCACCATTACCGAGTGGGCGCCGCCGGCACAGTCGATGCGGCCGAGCGCCAGCGGCGAGGCAGAGCAGCTCGAGACGCTGACGGCCTATGTCAAGTCGATAGAGGACGACCTGCAGCGGCACAACCAGCTCCGCTCGCCGATGCTCTTGACCTTCACCCCGCGCGGCCATAACTCGGCCAAGGCCATGGCAAACTGGGAGCGCAAGAGCAGCTACCTGCTCCGCGAGATTGTCAAGTTCCGGACCTACGTCGACGGGCTGCAGCAGGCCGAGCGGCGGCGCGCCGAGATCTATGCCGAGCGCGAGAACGCGCGCCGCGCCGCCCGCGGCGAGGACCTGAGCGACTCTGGGGGCGAGGAGGAGGAGGTCGAGAGCGAGGTTGACGAGTACGACGACGCGCAGGAGGAGCTGGGCATGCGCTCGGACGAGGGTGATACCACGATCAGAGCTGCATGATGAGCATGAGAGTCGGACAGCCGGAAGGAAGAGTGGTGGTGGTCAGAGAGCCACCACCCAACCCCCCATCGGTGATACCTGGTCTTCCTGGCTTTGTCTTTCAGTCTCGCCACGGACGACATACACACTTGACTTTGTAATTTTTTTTTTCTTCTCTTTTGCTCTCTGTTCCGCCAGGCCCTTATTCACCGGCCTTTTTGCATCACCCAGCGCCGTTATTTGTCCTTTGTCCTTTGTTTTTGCTTTTTCTGCGAACACTTTGCTCTTTATGGGACAGTTTAATCAGGGCGGTTACTACTCTTTTATTATTATTAGAACCCTCATAAGCATGCCGGAAATGGGAAACATGACCAGGAAAGACGTATGTATAGGTCGTTTTGTTTGAAATCTGGAGTTAGGGGTTGGGGGAGGGGAAGGGGTTGTATACGATTACATTAGCGACATTGAGAAACAAGGAATTATTTGCTCGTCCGGCTTCCAATGGCATACATGCACACGCATCTTTTCCCTTGTCCGCGCGATTTTGTCTTCTTGCGGTGAGTGCTATTGTCCGTGCTTGTGTGCGTTCTCCGCCGCTTGCCTAGACTTAATCACAGCTACGGCTTCGTGGTGAAATGCCGAGAGAAAGGGGGGATCGGTAGAGTTGTGATTAAAGAAGGATGACGATCTGGTTGGTTTATTAGGGGGGGTATCACTACATAAAGTAAAGACAAAAAGCCTCACGCGACGTGCGTAATCATGGCAACGAAAAGACATGGCAAAGTACCCTTCTTACTCGGTCCTCCCAAACACAACCTCATTTCATTCTGGCCAGCACTGCATCATACTTGAGCACCTGCCTACTCTCCCTGCACCTCGATCATCTCCTCGCACATCTTGACAAAGCGATCGCGGTACTCGCTGCTCTCGGCCGTGATGCTCATGGGGCCCCGCTCGTCAATCACGTTGTACGTCTTGATGAGCCCCGTCATGGCCTTTGCGTGCATCGAGTGCTTGGACCAGAAGAAGTCGAGCACCGCCGCGCGGTAGGTCTGCTTGCTGTCCGGGCTCGTGATGCCTGTCCTCCAGCTTGGCTTGCCGTCGTGCTCCTGCTGTGTCGTCACGGATGGCACCTGTGCGTCCTGGTCCTGCTCGTTGGTCACCCTCACCAGGAAGAGCGAGTAGTCGACGGCGTTGGCGTCCGCGAGCAGCTTGGTGTCCCTGCGCAGCTGTGCCAGGAACTCGTCTCGCTGGGCCACCGTGAGGTATATCTTGTCGTCGAACTCGTCGGGCAGGCGAGACTTTGTCGCCTCCGAGGCTAAAGCGCCGCCGGCGACGTCGCGCTCGGGGAAGAAGTACGAGGTGGGCTTCAGGTCCCACGACTCCCACTTGGTATTGGGGACGGATCCCTCGTCGCCGCCGCTGCTGCCGCAGAGGAGGTTATCCATGACAATGTGGTGGCTCGGGGCGAGCCCGAAGAACATGCCGATGCTCTTGTGCCGGCTCTGGAGGAAGTCGGTGATGCGCACGAGGATGCTGCCCGGGTTGTGCTGCATGTGCTCGGCGTAGGGGACGATGAGCTCCTTCTTGAAGAAGCTGTTCTCGAACCCGCGCGGGACCGACTTGACGAGGTACCTTGCGTCCGAGGTGCGGAAAAAGGTCGAGCCGCTGTAGCCCATGTCGCCCAGGGGCTCGAGGGCGTCCTTCTTCTTCTTGCTGCCCCGGGCGACGAAGCTGGCCTTGTACTCGGTCTCGGGTATGCCCCACGCCGAGCGGAGGGAGCTGAAGAGGTCTCTGCGCAGCAGCTCAAAGGTGAGCCAGTACAGGTTGAGCAGGCGCAGAGCCCGGGCGAGGAGGGAGGGCTTCTTGGGTGGCTTGCCGTCGTCCTTGTTGTTGAGGATGGCAAAGACGATGGAGCGCGCGACGCGCCTTTCTCGCCGGCCCATGGTTGGGGTAGCAGCAGTAGCAGTCGCAGTCAGAGTTGATGTCGCTTGGCTGTCGCGATGGTTATTGTGGTTCGAATGCGTGCGTGTGTGTTGTGCGGCTGCTGATTCGCTTTTGTGTGCCTTTTGTGCGGGCGAACACGGCTCTGCGGTGAGACAGGAGTTTATGTATTACTTGGAGTAGAAGAGACAGCAGCGACAAACAAGGGCAGCACAGAAAAGCCACCCTCCCTTTGTCTCCTGTGCCCGGGGGGTTTTGACCACCCGCTGGCTTGGCTGCTGTCACTGCGACGCGCAGATGGTGCTGTTTGCGTGTCACCACATGTGCAATGATGGTGGTGGTAGTGGTGGGTTGGGAAGGAACGCTCCGGCCGGTGACGTCAACCCCCCGCCCGCGGTCCTGCCTCCAGGGGTGCAGGACAGTGTGCAGTGTGCAGTGCAGGCGGCATCCCAGTCCCGCCCTCAGCTTTTTCGCGATTAAGCTTAATTCACTCAATCCAACCCTCGTCGTCTGACTCAAGAGCCCAGCCCAGTCCACGTACCCTCGATACAACCTTGGACAACAGCAATGCAACACATAGTAGTGCACGCCTGGTTCATATATAACGGCGTTTGCTGGCTGACATACAACAAATGGTATCCTCGCTGCTTTTTTCATACAAATAAATACATGGCGCGTTGTTGCAAAAAGGCAAACCAGAAAAGGGAAATGAAACGCGGGAACAACAATGGCCTGGGCCTGGGCCTGGGCCTGCTTGAGCCTCTCTAAAAGCGTCTTCAACGCCCACCCGCAATCGTCGTCACAATCCCGTCCCGGCCGTCCGCCGAGGGGCCCTCCTGGTGGCCGTTCTTGTCCTTGAACGAGATCTTGGGTGCCAACTGTGGCCGCCCGGCTGGTCCCTCTCCTCCCCGCCCGTTGCTGCTGCTGTCGCTGTCCTGCACCGACCCTGCTTTGGTCCCCCCGACGTGCACCTCGACCTGCACCTCCTGTTGCTTGTATATCTGCAGCGGCATCATGTATGTCTTGTTGATTTGCTCCTGGCTGTCGGTGGCCCCCAGCTCCATCGCGTCCTCGTCGCCCCGCCCCGCCGTCGAGTGCAGCCTCGACCCGTGCCGGTTGTTGGGGTATCCCGAGCGGAAGCCCGACGAGATATTGGGCCCCGTCCGTTGTGACGACTTGGCATTGAACGACGACAGGTGGAACCGGTGCCGGATCAGCGTCCACGTCGCGGGTAGGTTCGCCGTGATAAGGGCCGTCGACGACTCGCGGATGTACCAGAAAGTCCATGCCGACCCAAAGGGCTCCGTAAAGCTGTAGTACTTGCTGAGCAGTGCTGAGAGAATCTGTGTGTGTCGTCGCGATTAGTGAGCAATCCAATCCCGGCCGCAATGTCAGACGTTCGGGGGGTGTTTCTGCACTCACAGTGAAACTTCCGAGCAGGAAAATGCCTCCCAGGACGAGCTTCTTCTTCAGCGGCAGCGACGACTTCACCAGGATCGGCATGGGGATGAGCATGATCATGATGTCTGACGAGATGTTGAGCACGAGATCTGGCAGCAATGTTTGGTCAGTCTCTCTGCAGTTGAGTAGGCACCCTTTCCTCCTCTCTGCACACTACTTACTAGTGATCAAGTGGTTCGTCGCTGCCGAGCACTGGATGTTGTCAGGCGGCACCGCCCAGTACTGGTTGAATGGCCGGCACCAGACGCCGAGGTATAGGATCTCCATGATCACAAACCCCGCTGCGGCATAGCCCGCCACAATCTTGACCGCGACCCGTTGCTTGAGATTCATCCTGCACCAGCATGTCCCGTCAGCAACACACATCATGTAGAGTTGGAGGCGCTCGTGCACATGTCCACGGCAGAAGTGTAAAGAGGAGCCACGTACGTCAGGTGGCTGTACATGAGCAGCAGGCACGCCTTGACTAGCCAGATGGTGATGCACTGCATTTGCTCCACGACGAGCACCATCTTGGACCCGAACTCGCGGAGCGCAATGTTCTCGGCGTCCAGCGGAGTGGTGTCGTTGGGGTCGATCAGGTTGCTGCTCGTGTCGGCAACAATGTTCATGGTCGCGATGAGAACCGTGTCGGCAATCTGTTTTGTCACCCAAGTTGTGGCGGTTAGTCGACAAGCCCTCAATATGATTCGAAAAGTTGCCAGCAGCCCGACAACACACAACTCTGCGAACAGGACCGGAAAGAAGAACGTACCATTGCAACAAACATGAGGAAGTCTTCAAGCTGCAACTTCTTGAAGGAGCCGACGAGCAGCTTGCGGGAGAACCTAGACGCCCAGAAGAACGGCCTTGTCAACACACCGTACATATAGCACTGGATTGATTGGTGACGAGAGCCATCACAGGGCGAACTTACACTCGGGCAATCACCACAAGCCATGTTATCGCATACCACGTCCATGATTCCGTCAAGAGAGCCAACATGGCTTCAAGCTAGCGAGTTCGGCAACGAGCAGCGACCTGTGAAGTGCAGACCTAAAACCAAAAGTGGCTGACGCAGAGAAGGTTGACAAAGTCTTCGAGAACGCGGCCTTGGCAAAGAATAGTCGCACACTACCCTCCGAATGATATATGACAAAAGCACGGAGGAACCCCCCACTGACCCGAGGGTTGCGTGTGCAAGTCTCGGCCGGGGCGCACGAGCGTGGAGATCCTGTCCGTCGGCCTGAAGCGGGAGCTACTTGTTGATAGTCTCTATAGGCGTGGCCAGATTCTCGGCCCTCCTCCTTGACACCAAGTCCGGCCAGGTCAATGTGGCGTTTGCAACGGCGCCAATCACAGACCGGGATGATTGAGCACCGGCGGCGGGACCTGCGCTGGCGGAAGCTGCAGTCAGAGCGTTAACTGGTGGTGGCAGGCGCCCCGTGGAGAACAGATGGTTGAGTCGCGAGTAAAGGTCGAACTTGAAGAGGCGGAGGAGTGTACGGCGCCAGAATGTCCAGTCTTGCACAATTTAGAGACATGTGAGACCATGAGTGAAATGGACGCGGATTGGGAGACTATGTGAATCATCATCCAAGCGAGCCCACATGCCTGCACTGGCTGGAGGGACCTTGACAACGTGCATCCAGGCTCACCGAAGACCCCAATTGTGCCAAGCATAGCTGATCGTAAGAAAAATACGCGAGCCGATGCGACCCCTGAGGGGTGCTGACTCGAGCATCGGAACCTCTCGGCAGGTCGGCAGGTCGCTGGCTATGGGTGCCGCCCACACGTGGAGCCCCCTTCTTCCAGACAGGGACGTTGCCTGTTCTGCACGCCAACGCAGCGTCTCCGATCGCTCTTTCAGTTTAGTTCAGTCTAGTCAGGGTTCATATGCGTCTCGCGACCCTGAGCCGGATCGTTGCAAATTGTACTGTCCCGGTGGTGTGCCGTGCTGCATTAGCTCGGATGCCTGGCTCTGCGCGCCTTCGCTAGTCTGCCAACCTACGCCACAAGCAGGCAACCTGCCGCCATGTCGGCGAAAGTGGTGTGATGACCGGCCCAACGTGCCTGGGCCGTTATCTCATCGAGCTCGCGTAGCGCCTTCCCGAGAGAGCCTCCTCCCCCGGCGGTTGTCGGGGGCCTGAAAGCTGCAGGTTTGTGCCGCGTCGGCACTGCGGGCAAGAATCGTTCCTTGCTTGGGAGCCTTGGATGGCGTCCAATGAAACAGGCGGCATGCGTCTTCCAGAACATGGAGCTTGTCGCTCCGAGGGGGCGACCCTTGGAACCGGGCGGCCATCTCCAACGCGCTCCCTGCCTCCATGGCCAGGGGACAAGGATCTGGTGGAAGCCAACCACGCGACACACATGCAACATGGCACCCCTTTGGAGCGAGGGCAACCCTGGCTGACAAGTTGTGGACGTGGGGGATCGCTGGGCAGTGACCCTCGTCCCTGTGCCCGGCACAAGCACAGCCCAGCTTCAGGTCCGGCTTGTGACCCACGGCGTCGGCGAAAGGACATCAATGCAACCACATGCCTGGCTTATGGTCGCAACCGTGGCAGGATCCGGCAGGTGGTGGTAACTCGGCTCCGACGCTGGCCTAGGGGTTTGATCGATGTGGCCCACAGCGCAAGGCAGGATGGAGCCTGGAGTCCGGGCTATTAGAGGACGGAGATGATGGGGCGGCCTTGTGGAGGACGTCTTCAGCCCTTCAAGATCCTTTCTGAGGGGGTGGACCATGGAACCCACACGGGCACGCCTTGCTTGCCATCTTGAGAAATTTGTGGTACTTGCAGTACGGCGTGCCTAATGGCTGGCAGCGTTGAGCCTGCTGCCCCCAGTCGGCCCGGAGTCTGATTGTGACGGGCGAGTTGCCGGTTTCTCTGGCCGGCAGGGCAGGATCCAGGGGCAACCACACATGTCTGCTCAGTAATCCGGCCATGGCGCCCATTCAGTTCAAACAAGCGAGGATGCCCCTCTCCGTTGGATTGGGCCGCATCAGTTCTCACTGACGATGGCGATGGTTCTTTCGTGTCTGCCTGCACGCGATGGTCGTGTCGATCACCTGATGCGTTGGCTGGGTTTTTAGATCCTTCTTTGACAAAAAAGACTGACTGCCCTTGACGGCCTGTTAAGCGCAGAGATCGTCGCCCGCGCTTGCAGCCCTCGTGCCGCCGCTCCCGGCGCTGGACACTCCGGCTAGCCCCGGGGGCCCGTCCATCTCACTGACTGAAAACAGGCAATGCTTGCTCCAGCCAACAACGGAGAGGTCCGCTTTTCAGAGTTTCACTGGTACCCCTTCTGGGCGCTGCACAGCGTTGCAGAGATGGAGAAATGGAGCCTCCCCCATGGTCGTGCATAACTACTCCTGAACACCAGCGCCCACAGCATCGTCAGAATGCAACCACAGCGCTGCGGGGCTGGGCGGAACTGACCCGGAATGGGGGATTCTCAACGACGGCTCATTTGTCTGTCTTCTGTCGCCATCGCTATTGTAGTTGCTGGTGAGGCGCGCATCAAGATCCGCAAAGCCCAGAGCTGCCATGTTGATGGGAGGGTTATCCCAAACTCCACAACCACTTGCTCGTCCGAGCTACCCAGCCAATGTTTACTGTTAAGTTAGGACAAGGTCCCCAGCTCGTGGTTAAGACGATTTGGTCTCGACACTCTGTCTAAACAGCTGTGCCGCTGGAGGAGGCTTGTATCTTCCCACCAACCCCTTCATCGGCCTCCGAGCGACGGTAGTTTGGCCCGGGAATATATCAAACTCCACCAAGCCGACTAGGCAAAGACTGCCGATGGAGGCGTCGGCCGAATCGCCACGGGAAAGCACAGATATGCCCCTTTTTCCCACGACCTGAAAAGTCAACTGGCATCGGTCACCTACATCGGTCACCTGCAGGAAGCACATGGCTTACTCCATGCGAGATGGCATCATCAAGGATTCTGTCGCAGAGGTTGGAATGGTCATGGTTGGGGGGGCTGATTCATCTGGCTGCCAAGAACACGTGGTTGTCGTTCACCCAGCTGAAGCTCCTGCGGCTGACAACTGTCCCTGTCGATCTCCTATCTCGGCTGGCACCAATCGTGTTGGAGTACTGTAGGTGGCGTCGTCTGTGAACCACGCAAATGGCATGGTTGCATCCCTGCACGATGGCTTCGGGAAAGTCCCACAACCTGGCAGTTAACTGCATCGTCGTCGTCGTACAAAGATAACATCTTGAAATGGGGGTCAATACCCCAAGAACCACTCCAATCATCTACCTGAGTAACATCTGATTATTGTCTGCTCTTCGATAGTAGAGCTTCTTGGCGGGCTCGATCTGATCAGAGGCGTGCACGCTCGGACAGTGGCGTTCTCAGCTCCAACTTCATAAGCTATTGCAAAGCAGAGTACGGCCACTTTCCGCAATGTTTCCGCTGGCACCCGCACCTCGCATCGCAACCACACAGACAACCGTTTACTCAGCCATCTCACAGCCGAACCTTACAATCTTTTGTTGCTGATACGGATGAGTCGGATTCGGAAATGACAGTCAAATGCACGATAGCGTCACTAGTAGCGCCGGTCTCGGCACCGACAGCAACATTGACCACAACCCGCTCCCCAAAGCGGGCAGTAGCCAGCTCATTCGGCAGCACAGCACGCCACCCATCGCCCTCGACTGCAACTGATAAGCGGTAGATGTCTGACTGCAGAGCAGATGTCAGTGCTTGGTCAGGCCCGTCGGTCCCGGCGGAAGATCCGGGATTGGTCAGTTCGAAAGCACAGGATAGGCCAGGGGCGAGCGCAGAAGCTCCAGAAGCGATGCCATCTGTAAGGTCAACACCAGGGCTGATTGGCCCGGCACCATCTAGTGATCGCGCACCAACCGTGTAGAATAAGACGCCTGACTCGTCACGGCGAACATCGAGAATATACAGGTGTATGCGGTTGGCCTCGTCAACATACTCGAACTCGCTGCCTGAACGTGTGCCTGCATGAAACAGTGCGTCAGACATCTGCCGGTAGTCGCCAATTGTGACCATCGCGGGACTTCCATCGGGACGATAGAAGTCAACCAGTCCGATATCTTGAGGGTTTGCATCAATGATCCATTGGAAGGGAGTTCCAGTCCGTCTGGTCTTGGTGATCATGACACCCGAATCTGTGGTGAAGGAGTCCGCTCCCATGCGGTCAATGACCTCCAATTCATACGCCTCGAAATTTCCCCCGTCGCAAAGCGGGTCGTTCTGGTAGTCGCACGACGATAGGTCCTTGTCAAGCGAGATCTTTAGACTAACGAGGTGATCGTCCCCTGGCTGGACGGATCGCGCGATGAGCTCGGTGACGATGAGGCCAAGTGAGGGAAGTTGTTCACGAGAGACAGTAAGGATCTCAGAGGCGTTGAGGAGTCCAAGCTGGGTCTTTTCACGGACAGTATGGAGAGATCCCAGTGCCCCGCCATTCTGTGCTGGAATGTGCCATCGAGTGTGCGGACCTCCTGGGCCATTGAAGGATCCGCGGCTTAACATGGCGAAGGGGCCCATATAGTCTCGCCGTCCCACAAAGCTGTTTGCATAGTTGTCGCCGATACCGAGCAGATGACTCAACTCGTGGGCATATGTGCCCATTCCGGAGCTTTCTGCCTGTGTTGACGAGCCAGACCCTGCGTTGGGCCAAATTGTGGAGGCCGCAGCCCATGACGTCCACTCTACGTATCTCGTTTTTGCGTAGTTCGTCAGATTGACATCCGGTGGTCCAAAGTCGTCTGAAACGTCCTCCTTGGTCTGAAACATCATCTCTCCAAATTCTTGCCAGGTGGATGACTCATCCTGGCCGGCTGAGAGGATAAAGACCAATTCGTACGAGCTGGCGTTTCCACTGCCGATTGCGTTACGCCACGCACCAAGGGCGTCAGTGCGAATGTTGACTGAGCACCGCTCGCCGGTTGGACATGCTCCAGGATTGAAGCCTCCCGTGTCGACACCGTATTGGTATGATTTGGCGGGCAACTTGTAGGGACCGAATGCAGTCAAGTCCACACCGTACCGACCAGAAGAGTCCTCCATCCAGTACTCATGTAGCGTATGACCACGGTTGAGCTCGTTTTGGGTGTTCAGGAGGTCTCTATAGAAAGCGGGGACCTGGTCGCGCTCAATTGCTGATACAACCGGTTGCGGATTCTTGAATACGGTCGACTCTGGTGGTTGGGTGATGACAAATGGCATGTCGGGGTAGTCCACGGCGACGAGGGCGATGTTGAAGTTGCGGATCGAGCCTCGCTTTGAGGCGTCTCCCCAGTTCGTTCCTGGAGGGCGCACATAGTCATCCCATGTCATGTTGTCCGGGTTCACCCAATTCTGAGGATCGAGCACCGCAAACGGGTCGCCAGTTGCTGAGAGCGGAGCGGACCTGACGAGCTGTGGAAGCCACAAGCCGGCCGTCAGAACCGCGGATACCAGAGTCGAGGCCATATTGATGGATGTAATGCACGAGAGTCAAGACCACGGTGAAGGAAGAGCTTGAAGTCAATGGCCAACGACAAGATCGCCCGTTGGCTCTCAGCATCAAACAGAGGAAGGAAAGAACGACCATGACGCTGCTGATTGCGCCTTTATGTAGGAGACCAGACGCGACGAAAAGCGGTGCCATGCAACCGCGTATCGCCAGGATCCCCTCGATGTCGTTTTCCAGAGTCACATTGGAGATGCTGGCCTCCCTGCTCGAGCGAGGTCGGGCGCCAAAAAAGATACCAGTGCCGTGTGCCACCTGCCGTATTCGGAAGGATGTGCAACCAGACGGCGTTGGAGGTCCATGCCGCTGATTGTCGTCGTGCAGTTGTACGGGAGGAGTCTACACAATTGCAAGAGCCGCCCTGTCTTGTTTATTCCTCGAGCGACTGCTTGTGATTTCTTCCCTGTCGCAAAACACTCTGTCCCTCGAGGCTGCTAAGCAGGCAACGGACTCTGCTTAAAGTGACAGTAGCAGACCAGAATGATACTTTTGGCACTCGGGCGGGATATGGGAGGCATATGCTAAGTCAAGGGTAGTCATTTACAGATTCAGTGATTTTAATTCGTCGGTATTTCCGAGTCGGTCTGTGATGATGCTCGGGGAGACGGTAATCCGTCGGGAGCACTGGGGTTCGTCCGCTGGCAGTGCTGACAGCTGCCTTACGACGCTACCCTACAGCGGCATGATTGCAGCACATGGATTTCTCCATGCGAGCTTGAAATTCCGCCTTGCGAGCTGAGAGACATTCGGATGGATTGCTGGAGCTCTGATCTCGACAGTATCAGGGCCGCCTTTTGAAACCTAATCTCCCAGTTCCAACGGCTTGTACAAGTACCCACTCGAGCGTATGAGTGGGCCATGGGTTCAATTGAGCGAGCTCATCAACCCCACCCCAGAGAGATTACCCCAATTGCGACCCGGCTCAGACAATGCAGAGCAGGCAGATGAATTGCAGACAGGTGAAGCTCTCGCGATTCCTCCTGGACGCGAAGCAACCAAAAGACACGTCCAGTCGGCAGGTGTAGCACCGGGGCACGGGGCAGATGATCCGGCGACGGGCCCTGGGTGTGGACCCTGAGCTCACCGCATGGAGTCGCGGGAACGACGCTCCTCCCGCTGGCGTCATTCCATTCCGTGGATGCGCTCTAGAGGGGTTCTGGGAGGGATCGTGTGGAACAAGACCCTCCAAGTGCCCAGATGCTGCTGGTTGTGCCACCAGACAAGATAACTAGTAGTAGAGGCTGCCTGCCGCAGGCGAGGCTTGTGTTTTTCAAAACGCTACGTCCTTGGGAGGCAGGCGGACGTCATTGGTAGGGCGAAACTCAGTTAGTTCTGGAGTACTGTACTGTCGGGCTCACCACCCACCCAGCGGGTCCCAAACGGCCTGTCCCGGGTACCATCCCCAGTGTGCCGTCGCTGCCCCAGCAGCGTGTAGCCGCAACTAACGACTTCCCCACCCCGTACCGCTTCTAGCGCTGCGTCACAACCGCATGACATCACCACACCATCACAGCTCCAGCCCAGCGCCCTTCTTATATTTCTGCCACGACGTCTCATGCTACACCCCAGCTTTTCCTACGAAATCCAAAGCAAAACACTCGCCAGAGATATAAATTGCCAATCTCACCAGCTCACATCACCTCTGAATCACACTCCCCCACCGACGCCAGACGATTCACACATATCACCATGTCCTTCCTCACGAGAACCACCCCCCGCATGGCTGCTGCCGTCCGCGTGGCCCCCATCACCGTCGCCCGCCCATTCAGCACAACACTGCCTGCCTACAAGACCGTCACAGAGACCGTCAAGGAGACAGCCGCTTCAGTGAACAAGAAGATTGGCGAGACCCTCGCTGGTGGCATCGAGTCTACCGGTAAGTAATATAGGCTACACCTTTCCAGAGTCTGGCATGTCCTCAACAATTCGTCGCACCAGTGGCTGACCTCCCATGCAGAGCAAGCCGCGCAAAAGGCCAAGGAGTCTCTTCCTGAGACCAAGGGCGAGGCCAAGGGTCAGGCCAACGAGCTCGCGGGTCAGGCCAAGGGCAAGGCTCATGAGGTTGCTGGCCAGGCCAAGGGCAAGGCGAACGAGGTGTCCGGCAAGATCTAAACGCGATTTACTCAAGTGAAAATGGAAACAATAGTCCATAGACGAGATGTATTGTACAATAGCATCTGCGAAGACCGGGTCTCGCAATGTGCATAACGACATAATTTAGCGATCTGTCCCTTGCGCAAGGCAAGCTTCTTGAACCCTCAGGAACTCCCGTGACATTTCGAAGACAAAAACTGCAACACTTTTGGCACATGCACGATCACGTAGATCGACCCCTGTACGTTTTACATGAGATCATCGCTGGGATTCTCATCGTTGTCACAGCTGGAAGACCCAACTGCTAGGGCAAGAAGGCTTGATTCGGTCCAGAAAACTGCACCCCATCTGCTGGCGTGCAATGCGAAATCAGGACAAGTCATATAAGTGCGCAACGTATGCAGCTCAATTTCGGGTTCGTAACGAGTGCTAAGATACAGGGTGCTTATGAAGATCTCTGACCGCGATCAGACAGACCACGGTATCCGCGACCTGTCATTTTCTCAGCACGAGCCGTGGCCGAGCGGATAAAGTCCCCCAACCTTGGCCCATATGGCGTGCCGAGTCTGGGGGCCATATTTCTGCCCCCAAATCGCAACCCAGCAAGTGCTTCTTGATAAATAACAAGTGTTTCACGCCTGTACACCGGACGGGGTCGAAGGTTGCGCGTCCCCTCGCTGCGATCCGCGCCGGGGCTCCACAGTCAGGAACCAAATCCGCAGAAGCCAATTGAACTTGAGTCATCCCGAGCAGAACACTGCGCTCCATTTCCATGCTTCAACCCTACTTTTGAACATGGCAGTTCCCCGTGATTGTCAACGAGGTCCCAAGATGGTCTACTGGAAAGCGGCACAGGGCACAGTACCCGCCACAGGCTCGAATACCCGGATTAGCCTCGCCACGCTGACAGCTTCCGCCACAGTCTGCATTCCACACGTAGGAGGCAGCATGGTGTCTCCAGCCCACCCCTGGAAGTGTCCTTCGGCCAGGTGAGTCACGAAGGGGAGGAGAGTCTTTGCCCGACCCCTCTGAGCCTTCAAGCACCCGAGGCCAACTGCCATGGTCTTACAAAACAGCCCAAACGCCAGTGGGCAAACACCCGATCGCACGCCTCAGCCAAATCGTCAACAGCATCAACACTCGACGGATTCGGTAGTGTTGAGTTCGTGCTTCAGACAGCCAAATCGTGTCGCCCACGGGAACCCCTAGGAACGAGCCAATCATGGCCCCCACATCGGCTTCCCCAGCGCTGGGCGCATGCCCGCAACGACAAGGCCCGCAGCAGGAGTCGAGCGACAAGTTCCCAACAAGCGCACCGTACGCCCAACTCGACTTCTCTCCGACCAGGTGCCTCTTCTGCCAGGCTGAAGCTTGCGACACCGACACCAACCTGGGGCATATGCGCAAAGCACACGGACTCCTGATCCCGGCAACGGATCGTCTCATCGTCGACGTTGGAACCCTGCTCGGCTACCTGCACGTCGTGATATTCGACTTGAAAGAATGCATTCTGTGTCACACGGCTCGGAGGACCGCTAGTGCCGTGCAGCAGCACATGACGGGCAAGGGCCACTGCAGGATCGATCTGGAGTCGGAGAATGCTGAAATGCTCGAGTTCTACGAAGCGGATAATGAGCTGGCTCGCTCGAGACAGTGCATAGCGGAAACCCATGAGAGTCCGGAAATGCAAGTGATCCGCCCCTCGATCAAATGAAATCCTTCTGCTGACAACGCCGACAATCAGTTCCAGGATGACCTTGGGACTGGGCAAAGTGGCTCTTCCAAAAACAGCACATGCCAGCAAATCCTTGCGCCAAACACAAACCCTGCTCACAACTCAACCCGATGGCAAACACGAGCCGCCGATGATGTCGAAGGATGAGAAGAACAAGAGCATTCAAACTCGCCAGTCGAGGCTCCACGATGCTTTTGAAACTCGACTGGCAAATCTCCGCTCACATGATCGCGCTAGCATCATGCATTTGCCCAGGGCACAGCAGCTCTCAACCTTGGCCGCTGCGCAGAAGCAACGTGAACAGGCGCAGAAAATAGATCGAAGAGCGCGAGGTCGGCTGGAGGGAAAGAACAACAGCACAATGATGAAACATTTCGTCAGTGATGTCCCCGGGCCGAAGCTCGGATGATCTCTCCTCCGTGTGCCTAGAAGGAATCAGCATGAGCAGGCGAGCTGCATGGTCTCGGAGGTATAAATAAGGTCCCCAACGGCGGTACCCAAGGCAGCGATTCCACGCGTCGAATGCATAAATCGGCAATATCTTCGCTTGAAAAACATGAGCTTGAGCAAGCAGCTCTCTCGCCAGCCAAGAATCAAAGCAGATTGGGGCGAAGACCTTCTTTTTCCTGGGAATGCCCTTATTCAGCGCTCGCAAGCGATTCCATAACAACATCTCGGCGTCGTTTAGGGGCCACTTCCGGCCCGAGTATTTAAACCGTCCGAACGTTGCCTAAAGAATGGCCAATACTCAGCCTTACAGCCCTCTGAGCCGAGCATATAAAGTCTCCACATAAACACTACCTTTTCAATTTACGATTGATAGAGTGTTGGCATAATATCCGGCACTGCCATCCTGGTGTGCTTATCACAACTGAATGGCATGTTCGCGCACTCGAGTCACCAGATTGTCTCACATGGAACGGCCGGCCTCATTTGACCAATAAACATTCCGTGTCAAATGAGACAAATTGGCATGCGCACTAATCAGTGAACGCCCGGAAGTTCCGCGGCGGACCCTTCCAGCCGTGGGTATGGCAAACCGGTGACTTTAGCACGGAGCAGTGCATTCGACATAAGACATTGAACGTGGCGCACATGGGTGGCATACAGGCATGATCCCTGTCCCCGAACGTTACCAGCCGTCTCAGTTGTACCTCCACATCCCCGGGCCTCCTCGCCGCCTTCCCCGGTGTTGGGCTGATCAGGGATTTGAGGGCAGCATGACTGCACAACAACGGTCTACTGCTCGACGTCGGCCGGGCCGACGAAGATCATTGGGCAGAAGACTGACCGCTCCGGACATGTCTCGAGCTGCGCGGCTCAAAAAGGTGTCTGAGAACCCTTCGTTCCCTGACCGGTTTCGCTTTACTTCCAATTCCGCATCTGGGCGGTGGTCGCTATCCCTGCCGCGCAAGAGTATCGCAATCCATGGCAGCTCGAGACGATCAATCAGCTTGACCAGAATGTCTGATGGCAGGACCCTTGTCCATACCATCCGTGTAACACGGCGACCATATGATGATCCTCGTGGGTCAATCATGTGCCTGGACCAAAGGGTAAACATGCAAAAGATCCGGCAAATTCCTGCAGTGCGCGGCCATGGCTATGAGCAATGTTGTTCCCGCGATTGGCGGCCTTGGATCGCCGTGTGTTGGTTTTTGATGGGTTCATGATTCTGGATCTACGGGCGGCTCGAACACGCCAATCAGTGCTGCCACACGGTTCCATGTATACTCATGCCCAACAGCGACCTGCATGAGCTTGAGTGGAACTTGAGGCGGCCTGAGCCGCCATATTTGCGGTCAAAAGACTGTAGGTACCTCGTACCACTATGCTACCGCCATAAGAGCCTCTGCGCAGGTCCGTATGGTCGTGTTCTCTATCCCATGAATACTTAATCGCCGAGGCGCCTTGCCGCCGGAGTGCCAATGACCGAGGACTCGATCAATCGGAACATCGCAGAGCACTGAAAAACATTGAGACTCAGCACACATTCTATTTCCAATCTGGTAAGGTCCCGCAACAAAAGTCGTCTGGCCGACTTTACAATGCACCTCGCGCCCCCCGCCCCAAAACACTCAGATCGTCTGCAGTTAAGTTTTGCCAGCTTACAAAACCCTCGCAACTCGCCAATCCTGTATCAACCCGTTGTTTATAACTGACATCAATGTTATCAGTTCGCTGTACTGAAAGGTTGCTGAATCATCATGCATGTTGCTCACCTGTGGCCGCATCAGCAACACTCACTCGGGAACTTTCCTCCGTCACAGCTCATCGAATGAAGTCTCGACAAGCAAGTCATTTTCCTGACGCCGATTGATTGTTATCCCGAGGTGGGCTTTCATCCATGGTCGGTCTTTCATATAAAACTCGGCGCAAAATGATCAGTATGAAAGGGAGCTTGAGGCAGCTCGATGGCTCACCCATTTGTCCGAGCTTGCACAATCATTTCATCAAAGAAATCTGCTACCACCATACATCAACGGAGTACTTGCGAACTACCTCATCCAGCAAACGGTGCTACTTTGAACAATTATCAATGTGGAATCAATACGCACCACGGGTCTACATCGGCCTGGTTTTGTGCTTCCCGTTCGACAATGCCGGTAACAACCGTCTTCGAGCCGAAAGGCACATTCGCGAGTCACTCAATCGTCTTGCTGAGGCGCGGCCAGATTTTGCTGCCAGGCTCCGAGTTGACACAGAGGGGTGCGCATCCTTACAACGTTGTCCTACGTTCAAGATCCCACTAGGAGTATCGTCACGCGACGAGCGCCACGCCGATAAGCTCGCACCTGACTACGAAAGTCAAAAGTCGGCAGGGTTTCCGCCGTCTATGTTCATCCACAAGGACTTGGTGTCCCCGGGGGTCGCAACCGAGGCAAATGGTGGGGTCCCAGTTTCGCAAGTCAGGCTGAAGTTTGTCGACGGCGGCTTGTACCTCATGCTGCAGCTTCACCATGCCCTTTTCGACGGCTGCTCGATGGGGATTTTCCTAGACTGCTTCGCCGCGCAGCAGACACGTTCCGAGAAGATTATACATCTCGAGTATCCCAAGGAACAGCTCTTTATTCCCGCCAGGAATAGCCAGCGAATCATCACCTCAGATCAGAGTCGAAGCAGGCTCGATCGGGTACGCCACAGGATGTTTGAATATTTCGCATCTCAATGTCCCGAATACGCAATCTTGCCGGACAAGTCAGGACCTACGCAGCCCAAGGTAGAACATAGTGCCGTTCCCATGGCCAAGATCAAGCGCTCCGGCAAGATATTTGTGTTCCGCAACGACCGGCTCCAGGCTTTGCGTGAGATGGTCAGGCGCGAGCTCAATGCTGAGAAGCTCCCCACCTCGTACACGGTGCTGGCTGCCCTGACTTGGGCACATGTTGTACAGGCACGGCATCGCCATGAGAGCTACATGCCTGGTGAGCGTCGCATGAATAGCCAGGGCGAAGCAGACAGTGAAGCCGACGAGACCGACTCCAATAACAAGCAGTCGTCGCTCTGGAATTCCGTCAGTTGGCGGCCTCGTGCAAACAAAGAAGAAGCGACAGAATACTTTGGCAACGCGGTGCTCCCCGTCGTCACACGCCTCCCACTACAAACCGTTCTCGAGGCATGCTCTAGCATCAATCATCTGGCCACGCAGCTCGTCCCACAGGTGCAAGAGACCATAAGCACCGTGGATCAGATATATGTCGACAAGCGGGAAGCCATGATGCGCATGGCACCGGACCCCCGGCTCGTGGGCGTCAACTACGACCCCAGGATGCGCGAGATGGTGCACTTCAACACGTGGCGCCATTTTGGCGCCAACACGGAGTGGATGATCCCCGGCGTCCCCGTGCAGCGCACCGAGGCGATTCGCAGGGTGCATGGAGAGTGGAATTTGGGGACAGCGCTGATACTGCCTGCACCAGCTGACGCCGAGACGCAGGAGCTGTTCGTGAGCCTGTCCGTCGATGCCATGGAGGCGTTGTGCCGGGACCAGGAGTGGATGGAGTGGGTGGATCGGGTTATCGGCTGAATCAGTTGGCATATTTGGGTCGTGTTTCGGTGTCCACGAAAGCTCACAGCAAAGATACTTGGGCTGGACGCGTTCAGGGCAGCAAACTTATTGGCCAAGGTCTGGAATAAATATGTGTACGAAGACGAAATGCGATATGCTTTCACGCAATTCACTCTCTTTTCTCAAAGCTTTTACAGCGCGACCAATGCTTTTGAATGGGAGCGCTTCTGAATTGTCCGTGGCGTTGTAAATCTTATCCACATCCACCAAAATGACGTTTGATATGGCGACCCGAGTTATGTAAGACACACGGGTGAAAGCACATCGGCTTAAGTGCTGTTGAACTCTGCCTCCTACTACGGGAAGTAAACCATCCATGGTTCTTCGAGTGCCAGTCTAATTCAGGGCCCCCAGAGGAGGTGATGAAATAGCCTATCGTGATCTTAACGATTTGGTTCTGGGCCCGCGTGTAAGCCGTTGCTCATTAGTCCCCGGATAGTGGGACGTCTGACAATTGTGGAGTCAGCGATTCCCGCCGCCGGCCTACTTTGAAGATCCCGGACGGGGCGGCGTGTGCCTGGCTCGGTGCTTACGCCAGCGTCGTTCAAAGAATAATCTTTGTCGTTTGCCGCGAGGGCCGCGCACTCCGTCTCTTGCTTCCTTTGACAATTGATCCTTCCTTAGAGGTAGTCGCAGTGGGAAAACACCAGGACACCATCTTCACACTTCTCCTTTCAGCTCTGCCCGGTGACGTCGTCTGGGCTCATTTTTGACTTATACAGCCAGCTCTGCAGACCACACGAGTTACAGACACACAATCATCACGATGAAGTACCACCGTGTCGATGGCAAGGTCGTCAGGCTCGACGAGCCTACAGACCCATCGCGCAGTCTCAATCTCGGCACTGACATGGAGGCCGACGACACGCACGCAGCTGCCATTACGCTGCTGGCGGTGCTCGAGGCGAACCCGCCCGACGCCGACGATCCGCTCAAGCGCAACCTGCCGTTCCAGCCACGATCGTACCGGGACTTTATGCTCTTCGAGAGCCACTACTACGGAGTCGCGATGGGCATGAGCAGGGCCTACCTGTTCCCCGCATACCTCGCCGCGCGGGCCTTTGTCTTCCTCACGGGCGGGCTCCTGCGCTTCCCCCCGTTCCGCCCGCCAAAGCTCTGGCACTCCCAGGCCATCTTCTACCAGTCCAACCATTTGGCGTTCTACGCCGACGGGGCCGCGATTCACTACCCGAGGGACTGCACGTACCTGGACGTGGAGCTCGAGCTGGGCGTGGTGCTGGGCGGCAAGGGCCTGTACAACGCGGCCAGCCCGGACGAGGCGCTCGCCGCGGTGGCCGGGTTCTGCGTGTTCAACGACTTCTCGGCGCGGAACCTGCAGATGGCCGAGATGAGCAGCGGGTTTGGCCCGCAGCACAGCAAGGGGTTTGCCAATAGCATCTCGGCGGCGGTCGTTTCGGCGGACGAGGTGCTGCACCGCTACAGGCTCGGAGGTAAGGAGGAGGAGGAGACGGAAGGGGAGGGCAGGGGAGGAGGAGCAGGTGGGAAGCAGGGCCCGCGGCTGCTGCCGCTGCAGGGCACAGTTACGATCAATGGGCAGGCGGTTGCCCGGCCGAGGCCGGATAACTGGCAGTTCTCGCTGGGGGAGGCGCTGATGCAGCTCTCGCGGGGGACGAGGCTGTACCCGGGCGAGTTCTTTGGCAGCGGCACGTTTCCTGGGGGCGCGGGCATCGAGTGGTCGAGGTTCGAGGTCAAGGTTGGCGACACGGTCAGGCTCGAGATTGAGGGAATTGGGTCGGTGACCAACACAATTGTGGCTGAGGAGGTGGTGGTGTAGGTTGTTGTTGTCATTGTTGCTGTTGGGCCGTACGTAATTGGGCCGCGGCCATTGTGAACTTGAAAGCGCGCCGGAGCGATCGTCCCGCTCTCATCAATCCGTCTCGCTTGTCCTTGTCCGCCGATGTGAAACAAAGGCGTGCATGCCAGCAAGAGATCAAACGACTGCCCGGTTTGTGCTCAGCATGACGTTGTTACTGTTGGGCACCGGCGCGTGCTTACGTGCGCCAAGGCGAGACACAGCAGGGTTGCCCAGGCACGCCAAGCCCCCCCAGCGGGAAAAGCCTGAGGCCTGCCCATTTGTCTGGTGTTTGCAGCACGCGACCTCCCAGCCCAGGCGCTCTTGCCTGATGCCCATCTTCGATTCATTTGCTTGGCCCAGCCGGGGACGGAGGCCAGCAATCACACACACAATGGGGATGCAGCAGCCAGTCTGGTGTCCTGCCCTGACCCTGCCCATCATCATCACCATGCAGGGTCTAGCCTGGGATCTCCAATGCTTGGCTGATGGATGATATGACGTCGTGTTGCTCGTCCATAATCCCATGGCTCAAGTTTCACGATGCCAGCCACCCTGCCCGCCGCCTTCAGGATCTAAGCTTATCATCCTTATAAGGTGGTCCTTTCCCGCTCCAGCTGTGGAGCCGAATGCCTGGACGTGATTGCCACTGCGTTGATCCAGCACCTCAACTCCAGGCTTGCATGCTTGCCTAACCTTTCGGCGTCAGATTAAGGCTTTTCCTAACGTGTCGTCACTTGAACGCCAGACTATCGGCTAGTGCTGCCCTGGACAAGCCTCTCGAGCGCGTACATCGCATACTGCTTGGCCTCCCAATCTCACATCTCCTTCTTCATCAAATATGGGCTTCTTCGGCCGCAGGAGGGACAGCCCTCGCCAGCCTCATGCAACAACTCCCCGGCAGAGGTCTCGTGGCGGCCTCTTCCACTCACCAGAGCCATATTCCATGGAGCGCCGCCCTTCGTTTGGACAGTAAGACAAGACCTCTCCGCTACCATCATATGTCCGGAGCACGGGCTAACACAGCTCCCCAAGGTGGCTCAAGGTGACGTGGCTTGACATCCTGACCATCATCATCCTCCTCGTCATCAGCTTTGTGGTAAGTCAGCAGCCGTGATACTTTCCTTCGGCGACTACCAGCCATGCTAACAGCTTGCCCTTGCTCTAGGTCTACCGAGCACCATCGCCAGGAACACGCACCTTCCCTCTCGCCATCAACAGCAATGGCGAGCCGTCCAATCGTGGAGAGGTCGTCTACCCGCAATTCGCCTACCCCGACCGGGGCCAGATCATCGCCTCGTGGCTCGACGCCCTTCTCGCTGTTGCCATCCCCATCGTGTCGATCCTGTTGATGAACCTGATCCGCATCCGCAGCTTCTGGGACATCAACAACGGCATTTTTGGTGTGCTGTACGCCATCGTTCCGTCCTCGGCCTTCCAGGTCATGATCAAGTGGTTGATCGGCGGGCTGCGACCCAACTTCTACGACGTGTGCAAGCCGGACCTGGAGCTTGCAGCTCAGCAGGTTCACAACAGCACGGGACTCAACGGCGTCGGCTACCAGCAGTACATGTTCACCGACGAGATCTGCACGGCCGGCAACAAGGACGCAATCAAGAACGCCCTGCAGAGCTTCCCGAGTGGTCACTCGACCACCATCTTTGCGGGCATGGTCTTCCTCTACCTCTACCTCAACGCCAAGTTCAAGGTCTATGCCAACTACCACCCTTCTCTGTGGAAGCTAGTACTCGTGTACCTGCCGATTCTCGGAGCCTGCCTGGTTGCTGGCTCGCTCACAGTCGACCAAACACACAACTGGTACGACATCCTGGCCGGCGGCATCATCGGCACCGTATTCGCGTTCTCTGCGTACCGTATGGTTTACGCATCGATTTGGGACTGCCGAACAAATCACATCCCCCTCAACAGGCACTCGCCCTTCATCTACAGTGTCGGCTGTGAAGGCTCAGACCTGACGTTCACTAAGAAGGTCGGCTGGAGAGCCGGCAGCTTGCGCGGCGGCGATAAGACACACCCCAGCAGTGGTAGGACGCCGTATGTCGATGGGCCTGCCGACGTGAACCGGCACGGTGGCACTCGAGGACACAGCATCAGGCATCCCCGTCGCAGCCGCAGCCCACGCTACCGCGGTGATGATATGGTGTAATGCGGGAGAAGCTTTTATCTCCATCGAGACGTCTGGGCATGTATGATTCCTAGTGAGCCTAGGCAGTGTTTGGAAGGCAGCGCATACCTTTTTCTTCACGCGTAACATATTCCAATGCAGATATCAATATCTTCCGATCCAAGTCCCTTGTAGCCTTCGTAACGACTCGTTGTTGGTACCCTCACTGTTTCACATGATGATCGATACAGATCTTGTGTTGTCGCCATGGCTCGTGTATACATGTCGGCAGGTGGGCTGCGTGCTACAGAAGCACGCGCTTGTATGTGCGGCCTGCGTGAAGCCTGCGACAACCTCCCCAAACCAGGCGTTTTACTTGTGTCGCTGCCGGCGCTCGTGCCTCTAATGTGGGCAGCCTTATCACGTCAGCACGTTTTGCCAGACTTGAAAAACTGCGTTGTTCAGCAGCCCCAGCGTCAGGTCCTGCCTTGAGGCTGTGTCAAGCTAGCATGAACACCGTTTTCATGCAGGGACGTCGGGAGCCCAGTTATAAGGAGCTGGGAAGCGCATTCTGGGGTCTTTTACGGTCTGGCACACCAGGATGATGTGCTTCGTAGTTGGGCCAGTGGCCGACGGCATCGCTGCCCACATTTGGCAAAACTGGAAGCCTGGTTCCGTCGGGTTACGTGCAAGGGTGTGCGGCTTACCTTGCTTGATCGACGCCGCGGGGAAGAGGGAAAGTTTCCCGATCGGGGGAACAAAACCTTCCGAGTTATTTTGTTAGTGATCCCGGAACAAACGGGCTGACACGTCTGACTACGAAGTGGGCAAAGCAGGGGATCCAGGAAGGTTATCATCTTGGAAGCAGCAGGGTCGGCTCAGGTGGTCTTCCTGCGCTGTTGCATGAGCCCGGCCAGAGCGGCTGAACCAGTAATTATGAAAGAACAACTTTTGGGTCACGCTCTGATAATTATACCAGAAAGCCAAGCCTGCCTGCAAGTCGAGTCTGAAACGACCACATGTCCCCCCTCAGATAGCGATCCGAGGGTCCGGTGCGGGCAGGGGTTGGTGCATTCCCCACAGCTCGCATTCAGTTAGCTAAGCAGTTGATGGTGAACTTGTCATTGGCGAAGAGCAGGCTTCGCTCGCACTCGACGGGGTTTCGACCAGGGGTTCGATGAGCGGGTTAGACCCTTTTAAGCTCGAGAACATTCAGCTATGTCAGCCCTAGGCATCCTAGAGACCAGTTCGAGGTGGGTTGCACGGTGGAGTGGCTAAACGAGGGGCCCAATGCTGAAGCCCAGTGAGTCCATTGACAGAGACAGTTGCGAGCTGGGGCACGCGGCCGTCTCAAGGCTTCCGAGTAAGATATATGTTGCATGTGGACGTACGTACATGATGATGGTGGTGGGGCAGATAGCAGAAAAAGGGTCCCCCCAAGCAGCAGCACATGGGTGCCCCCTGCCCTGCCTGGCCGTTTCCGCGACGGCGGCGGGCGGCGGCAGCAGCGCTCCATCAAAAGACCTGCATCCATCCATGAATCAAATGCATGCTGGCCGACCAGAAAAAGTCCATTACCCGCACTGGAACGGTGGAGAGCGCTCCACCAACGGCGGCCAAGTGCTCCTGCCTCAGTCACCGCCGCCGTCCAAGCTGGGCCAAGCCATAAAATGATGGCGACGCCCCGGGGCCATGCCCAGTCTATGCCGCTTCCCGCTTCTCCCTGTTCTCGGTGCAAGCCCTTGCCGGTCCTCATCTTGCCAACATCGACAATTCCCTGCTTCCATTGGGCGCCCTTCACTGTTCGTCGACTCTGGGACCGAGGTGCGCCACTATCAAAAGCCCGTGGACCGTTGTGGCTGCGATAGTGTCTCAAGAGCCACCCCCGCCAGCGGGTGCATCCATTCCTACGCTCGCTTTCCCTGCGCTCTGGAAATCAGCAGAGAGATCGCCCGTCATGACACTGTTGGCGGGCTCCGGTACCACGCTGGTGCTGCGAGGTGTGGCAGCTCTGGTGACGTTGGCCATTGCGCGCTTCGTCTACAAGGGCTACAACGCCAGGAGGAGGGTTCAGCGGCTTCGGGCACAAGGCATTGTGAGTCCAACGATCAGGAAGCCCCCCCCTCCACATTAAGCGTTGGTGAAGCTGGACACTGACTGTTTCCATGCTCGCGCCGCCGTAACAGCCCCTACTGCCGCATTCCTGGCTATGGGGCCACCTCAAGGTCATGGGCGACTTCCGCAATGATTCTCCAGACGATGCAAACATATACGAGTTTCATGGATGGCTCAAGCGAAACATGGCCGCCTACTTCCCGGGCGAGTCCTCGTTACCGGGGGTGGTCTATCTCGATATCTGGCCTTTCTCCGACGGCCTTGCCATCATCACAGATGCGGACATGGTGCAGCAGTTCATGCAGAAGCCGGACTTGCCAAAGTCCATGACTGCAGCGGAATTCCTTAAGCCACTCACGAATGCTCGAGATATCGTCAGCATCCCCGGCGGGGCAGAGTGGAAATTGTGGCGGACGCGGTTCAACCCGAGCTTCTCGCCACGCAATATTCAGGCGCTGTTGCCGCAGCTCTTGGAAGAAGTCGAGGTGTTTGTGGATGTCCTTCGTAGCAAGGCCGGCCGGGCTACGGCACATGGCAATGCCTGGGGCCCAATGTTTCAGCTGCACGAAAAGGCCATCAATCTGACCTTCGATATCATCTTGCGGGCCGCCGTGTAAGTGGTTTTGACGGTTTCATGTTACTGAGGCCAAACACTTACATAACGACAGTGACATCCGTCTACGTGAGCAGAGCCGGGAGACTGAAAGCCCCCTGAAGATCGCCATGACGAAGCAGATCGAAATGATGTCCAAAATGGCGCACGGCTCACAATTCTCGCTGGGCATCAAGATGCCCTGGGACCACAAGGCCATTGCCGACAACAACAAGGTTATAGCATCTTATGTCATACCTGAGATTCTGACCAAGATCGGCGAGGCAGAAGGACAGACATCACAGCAACCCCAAGAATCACAGAATACAAAGACGGCGGCCGACGCAGCCATCTTTGGAGCTGTCAAGGACAAGAAGAGCATGGCGAATGGCAAGGGCATCGCAGGCTCGCTCGCCAATGACTCAGATTTCATGGACAAGCTCATTGCCAACTTGAAAGCCTTCCTGTTTGCTGGACACGACACAACAGCCACCACAATCTGTTTCATGACCCACGAGCTCGGCAAGCGGCCAGAATGTCTGCAAAAGCTGCGTGATGAGCACGATGAGGTGCTCGGACCCGACCCCTCCAAAGCATCTGCCGTCCTCCACAAGTCGCCGCACCTCATGTACCAACTCCCGTACACGACGGCCGTCATCAAAGAGACACTGCGCCTCCACCCTCTTGCGGCGACCCTGCGAGACGCCCCGAAGGATTTCAGCCTGGTATCCAAGGAAACCGGCGTGGCATTTCCCTTGGGCAGCTTTGCTGCCTGGCTCAGCGCGCCTATACTTGCTATTGACGAACGATACTGGGCTGAGCCTTACCGGTTCATGCCCGAGCGCTGGCTTGTGGCCGAGGGCGACCCGCTGTACTCGTCGAACCGGGACGCGTGGGCGCCTTTCTCCCTCGGACCCCGCAACTGTATCGGCATGGAGCTTGCGCTGATGGAACTTCGCCTCGTTAGCGTGCTGACGGCGCGCGTGTTCGACATCGAGGAGGACTGGGAGGAGTGGGATCGGTCCCGTGGTGAGGAGGCCACGCCAGACCACAAATTTGCTGGGGGCAGACTGTACGGGACCGGACGAGGAACCGTGCATCCAAAGGACGGCATGCCTGTGCATCTGAGGTTGGCCAAGTGATAGAGGAGTTTGGCTCGGTGCTTCCTAGCAAGAACACATTATTTGCGAATGGGCAAAGTGTTGTCTTTTAAAGACGCCGTTGCCCGGAGCTGGCATCTCATCACAGGTTGGAGCTCGTAGATATGAATGTTTCTTGCATACTGTAACACATGACCTGATTGTGCTGTGTCTTCTCGATGGCGCACCTGTACAACCATTTTTCTAAGCTCGCAAGATTCCTCGTCAACATGTGAGCTCGTATGTCCCAAGGTCTTGGATTGCGATACAAGACGAGGCTCTTACAACTACGAGAAGACATTGCCCAGATGAAATAAAGTGTAAGCCCCTCAACTGATTTCCAATCATTCTACGGCAGGCAGGTGGGGAAAAGAATCACCGGCCCTTGAAGACGGGCTTCCTCTTCTCGGCAAACGCCTTGAGGGCCTCGTCGCGGTCCTCTGTCGCCACGACCCGCTGGTACATGGCGTTCTCGACCTCCTCCCTGGCCCAGCTGACGGCCTGCAGCCCGGCGCGGATGGCCACGGGCCCGCCCTCGCAGATCTCCATGGCCAGCCTGACGGCCTCGGCGAGCGCGGCGCGGCGGGCCTTTGCGGGGACCGCCTCGAGGGCCTTCTTTTCCGACTGCTCGTTGTGCTCTTTGCTACCCCCCTCAGCATCATCGGGGAGGACCTCGACCAGCCGGTCCGCGATGCCCAGGAAGTACGCCTCCGCCGCGCTGACCCTGCGGCCCGTCAGGACGAGGTCCCTGGCGCGGGGCAGGCCGATCAGCGCCGGCAGGCGGAACGTCCCGCCCGCGCCGGGGATGATTCCCAGCCTGGTCTCGGGGAGCCCGACGGCCGCGGTGGAGGTGAGGACGCGGAAGTGCGTGGACAGGGCGAGCTCGAGACCGCCTCCCAGGGCGAGGGAGGATATCGCCGAGATGGTGGGTACCGGGAGCGAGGAGAGGGCGGTGAATGTTTCGCGGAGGTTCTTGAGGAAGGCGGCTGTTCTGTTTTTTTTTGTGAAGGAGGGAGGGGAGGAGTTCTCGTTAGTAAAGGGGGGGAAAGTCTGGCAAGCTGCGAGAATACTGAGGAAGCAAGAGAATTGGAGTGACACGGGAAGTGTGATATGGCAGGGGGCCGAGGAAAGGGCTGTGTTGTACTGATCCTCAAGACTCAAATACTAAACTCACTCTTCCTGCGTGAAGCCCTTGCGCTCCTTCAAGTCTGCGCCGGCGCAGAAGCTCGTGTCGAGCGCGCTCGCGAGGACCAGGGCCCTCGTGGGACCTTGTCTCTGCTGCTGGTTGCCGCCATTTGGGGACGAGGAGGGGGGCAGCTCCTGCCCATCGCTGGTGTACTGGCTCTGGACGTCGTCGATCTCGGCGCGCAGGGCGGAGAGCAAGGAGCGCGAGATGGCGTTGCGCGCGGCGGGGCGGTTGAGCTCGAGGACGCGGATGAAGCCGGAGCCCGGGGCTTGGACGTCGGTCACGGTGATGAGGGGTGCCGCCGCGGAGTCGGTGGTGGTTGTGATCGAGTAGTAGCGGGACTGCCGGGCTACTGCTACACACAGGCGCCGCCGGGTCAGGGCGGGGATGCGGCCGAGGGGGGCCACGCGGGGTGGCATTGCTGGGCGGTCGAGGTTTTGCAATTGGGGCTGTTTTGGACTGGGCTTTATCCTGCTGGCCAGCGGTAGGTGTCGTGGTGTAGTAGGTCTGGAGATTGGAAATCGAGAGGCCGTGCTCGAGGGGGGAATTGGTCGGGCGTGGCGTTGTGGGAATTGGAAAGTCTGGGGAAAGGGCAAGTTGGAGTCTGGGGAAGCTGCCGAATCGAGGGCGCTTTGTGTCGGCCCGCCTGCTAGCGAACTTGGCTCCGCCGCTGCAAGCCGGGCCACTTGGGCCCCACAGGGAATAGGCACAACAGGCCAGTAAAGGGTGCAATTGATTAATGGCCGGACAGCTAGGGTTTTCGTCCGTAAATACAATGTGATGCTGGCACACGGGCATGAACAGGCACTCGTTCCAACCTGCATGTCTGCAAGCTGTAGCCCAAGAGTGGCAGGCATGATGCTTACACCGTCCACCAGCCGGCCACCGGCCACCCTCTATATCAACCAGTCTCGCAATGCCCCACTTTGCTCCGGCCTTCTCGCCCCCAAATAAGCCGTTGCCCTTGTTGCCGCCGGCCCGCCCCGGTCCCGGCCACACACTTTCTCTCTCCCCTCCGTCCATGTCGGCACAGCATCAGATTCTCGGCTCCCACAATGGCCAGCAGCAAGCCGGGCGCATCGGACCCCATACCACCGCAGGTGATTGAGCTGGCATCGCGCATGTACGATGCCGCTCGCTCCGGCAACACGCTGCTCCTGGAGCAGGCTCTCGCCGCCGGCCTCCCGCCCAATCTGACCAACGACCGAGGCGACTCCCTGGTGCGCACCCCTGGGCCGCCACCAGATACCTAGACGCAATTCGTGTGCTGACTTGACATTGAACATAAATAAATAGCTCATGCTCGCTGCCTACCACGGCCACGCAGACCTGGTCCAGCTGCTCATACAGCATGGCGCCGACCCAAACCGGATCAACGACAAAGGCCAGAGCCCATTGGCCGGCGCCGTCTTCAAGAACGAGGACGCAGTCATCGAGGTCAGTGCGCGCGATCACACCCTGTCAACACGCGTGCTTCATTGCCGCCGTGCTTCCCTTTGACGTATCTTATCTTGTAGGCACCTGCTGACTTGTCCGATGGTGGTGCTACCTAGTGCCTGCTCGCCGGGGGTGCCGACCCTGATCACGGCCGTCCTTCGGCCCTGCAATGCCTGGACATGTTCAAGCTCGAGGACAAGTGGCTCGAAAAATTCCAACAGGCCAAGGGTAAGGGCAAGGCTGCCAGGACGCCTTCGCCCTTGTGAAGCTGCAACGGTGGTATTTTAAAAAGGATTATATAGAAAAATAGAAACACGGTCTCGTCCATCTGCGCCACGCAGGCCGTCAACTTGGCCAACCCCCAAGAGGTTGCTTCTGATGGTTCAGTATGGGATATAGTCATTAATAGCGATTACAATGCTGCTCAATCTTCTGGTCACGGCCGAATGCGCGCTTGTGTATGCCATCGAAAACCCCCAAATATTCTATATAAAGCAGCCGCTCGCTTGTTTTGTAAAGAGTATAGCCAAACGCCAATCAAATCCCAGTTCCAGCTTTTTTTTTCCCCCGTCTCTCCCTGTGCCAAACCATGCCCCATCACCTTTTCCCCCATGTCCTTGTCGTTGTCCTTGCTCGTACAATATTACCATTACACCCGGGGGATATCTATCCCCCAATCACTCCCTGTCCGAGTCGGACGAAGAATCAACCTCCTTCACCTCGTGCACGACGAGGCTCTTGCTGTCGTCCCCGATCTTCTTTTCCTTGTCCCCATCAGCAGCGGCATCGGCATCGGCAGCATCAGCAACAACAAAGACCAACCCTGCGCCCTTCTCACAATCCACGTCAGCGGCGGCAGAGGCCGTTGCCGCATCGACACCAACGACACGCACCTCGCCCCTCGAGGCCTCAATCTCGGCGTCCCGCGAAGCCCGCATGGCCCGCTTCCACGCCTTGGACCGCCACGCGGGGACCCTCTGCTCAAAGAGCATGTCGATCTCGCCCTCGCTCAGGCCGGTGAGCTCGGGGACGCACATGTACACCCAGACCAGGGCGACCACGACGCCGCCGAACCAGAGGTACGTGATGTAAGGGCCCATGTTGACCGCGGTCTTGTCGACGAGGAAGGGCGTGGCGAAGCCGATGATGAGGTAAGTCACCCAGTAGACCACAAAGGTGACGGTGGTCTGGGGGATGCGGTGCCGCGAGGAGAGCGGCTCGGCCATGACGAGCCAGGTCACGGGCCCCCAGGTGCCGCCGTATGCGACCATGTAGATGATTGCGGCGGCCACGAGCATCTGCGTGGCCGGGGCGGCGCCGGCGGGGAGCACGGTGTACAAGAGCCCCGCGAGCAGGAGGACCAGGCCCATGATGGAGGTGCCGATCAGGAGCAGCGTGCGCCGGCCCAGGATGTCGGTGAGCCAGATGGTCGGGACCGTGCTGGCGGACTGCACGAGCGCGAGTATGAAGCTGACCATGTATGCGTCGCTGACGCCGGCGTCGGCGAGGAAGGTCGTCCCGTACGAGGTCCAGAAAACGAAGCCCGTGCTGAGGCAGAGTGCCGATACGGCGGCCACGATGAGGGTGCGGCGCAGCGCAGTGCCGCGGAAGGATTCGACGAGGAGGGTTGCGAAGGTTGTCGGCGGTGGTGGCGGAGTCGAGTTGCCTTTGTCGGATTTTGTGTCGGTGGTGGATGACGGGCGGCAGTCGTCCTCGAGGCGCCGGATGATTGTCTGGATTTCGTCGGACGAAGCGTCAATGCCCTGAGTAATGGCTAATGACTGTGCTGCGTCAACGGGCCGGCCCCAGCGGACGAGCACAGAGGGCGACTCTGGCGCCACCAGCCCGGCCGACAGCATGACAATCGAGATCAGGAACTGGAAACCGACGCTGACTCGCCAGCTGTTGGCCCCAGGCAGAGACTTGGTCGCCCAGTTGATGCCGTTGGACAGGACAGTGCCGACAGTAAGTAGCTGCTGGAGAATGCTGAAGATGCTTCCTCGTAAGCCGGGCGAGGAGGCCTCGTTGAGGTAGGCGCCGCTAATGGCGGTAATTAGGCCGAGCGCGATGCCAATGAAGATCCTGCCGAGGATGAAGACTGCTGCAGGAGGGGCGGCGAGCAAGATGCACACGCCAACCATGTGTGAGAGGGAGGCGAGCACGAAGCATCCCTTGCGGCCGACTGTAAAAGTTACGATCAGTATCTTGACTCCAAGCGGTGTGTGTGCTAGAGTCGCAGGCGCCTTACTTTTGTTGGTGGCGGCGGCAGGTATGAAGCAACCGATCAATGCACCGATGACTGCCAGTGAAGAAAACAGAGACTTTGTCGTTGGCGTCAAGTACATGGTCTTTCCTCCATCGTTGCTGACACCATATCGTTGCTTAAAGTCGTCCGAACCGAGGACCCCGTTCATGCAGCCGGGATCGTAGCCAACAATCGCAGCTGTGTAGGCCATAAGTAAGTCTACAATAAATATTCGTGCCATATGCCTGACTCACAACACAAGGCGACCAGAGTGTAAGTCGCAAATTGCTTCAACGAAACCATCCTGGTTATGCTGTGAAATATATCAAGAACGAAAACAGAGAAACAAGGCGTAAAAGACCAAGGCAGCAATGCTGATGCAGAACAGGGCCGAAGCCAAAGTGACGAGCAGTCTATTACAAGTTTGACGAGCTTGATGATACACACAAGAAAGCCCGGGACTTTTCGTTCGGGGCCATTGCTCTTAAAAATACCCGGACTCTATTGCTCGTGGGAAGTGGTTCTGCCAGCAAGAACTGTTCCAGCACGGTCAAATTGCGTGCTCTCAGGCGGGAAGTGAATTCCTCATCCCTCGTCGAGCGAACATCGTGAGATTTCGTAACTCGCCCGTTGTGGGTAGCATCCACTTGGCGTACAAGCTCGCCATGGGCGAGATCAAGCTGTGCCAGGCCCGGGGAATGCGGGAGTGACTTTTCGAGCTGGGTAGCGCTCGCAAAGGACCCATTTGCAATGTAAGCGGTGATGACAAAAAGGCATGTGCCCTCTACACAAAGCCTGGGCATCCTCGGGGAAGATGGGTTCCGCAGCGCGGTCTAGAAGACTGACGATGCCGGCGCAGATGGAGACGGAAGAGGGTCCGTCCGCGTCGTCTGAACCACGGAGTGGGTTTGGCCCAGGCACGTCAGGCACATGCGTAAAACGACTGGGCAGGAATCGGGCGGCGCCGATCAAGCAAAGTGGCCACGATGGAAACAGTGTTGGGCTAAGCATTTGGTCCCATAAATGCAATAACCACATAAGTGGCACCACACCCCCTTCGCGGACAGAGCCGAGCAGCTTGGACCCTGAAAATCCTGCGATTACCCCTGGAGCATAGACGGGGCACCAGTGCCGTAAAGGGCGGTGTCTGGGGCGTGTCGACGGGTTGGTAACCTGGCCTTGAAGTCTCGAACCCAGATGCCCGCTTGCTGCGACTGCCGGCATCGGGAAGCATGTGTCATGGTAATTCACAACAAGAGCGAGCACCTCAAGAAGGTCTGCTGAGATGGCGACATCGCACTCTTGGCTTACATGGTGACGAAACATAAGCCAGGAGTACCTGCCAGGTGATTGTGATATGTATGACGCCAGAGCCTGGATGAGATCGTCATTGGACTATGTACCACAGCTTGCCGACGCGGGGGAATGCGATAGAGTCCAGCGCTGCAAGGCACGGCGGAGAGAACTGGCCGACCGAGGGCGTGTCGTGGTTGGCCGAGGCCACTGCCCACTGCCCACTGCCTCAGCCACCGCCGGCGGCAGTGACGATGGTGGTGTGCTGTCAGAGAAAGCAGCGATGCAACGGCAGGTGCGGTCAAGAGCAGGCGGGTTTCATCTTCCGCCAGCGACGAAAAAACTCTTCTCGACGTCATCTCCACAGGACGCCTCCCGGCGACGGCAGCGGGGTTTCCCCTGCTTGTGCCTGCTTGGGGGCTTTCTAAATCGAGGCTCTGTGACACTCTTCCACCACGCCTAGTGGCCCGCTAGAAGCAGCATGGGGGCAGCAGCCACAGCCCGCATTGGCTGCCCGTACGACTCTGGCCCTGGCCAAGACTGCAACCCCCCTGCCATGAGCAGCGCCAGCCCCGGAGCGCATCAATGCTAATGTGGCTTGTTCATAGCTTAAAGAAAGTGGATGTAGTGTACGGCTGGGATACGCATGCACTTTCCCAATTCGAGGCCACAGCTCCTGTCCTTCCACCGCGCGGCGCACTTATTGGCCCCACGGCTTTCACGATGGCTTCATTTTCCCCCCCTCGTAGCAAATATCCCCCGCCCCAGGGCCCACGCAGGCAGGCAAGGCCGCCCGCACTACAGCACGACCAACGTGCTCTGATCACGATCCAAAGCCATTGCTCATCACCACGAGAGAGTCGTGGCCTCACTAAGAAACATACTTGTCTCATCTCTGCTCAGAATAGCCTGGCATGAAGCGAGCCTAACAAATACACGGAATGCACAAGTCTTGTGCGGACTGGTCTGCAGCACGCCTTATAACGAGACCACCATGTCCCTCCTCATGATGCGGCATGGTGTGGGTTCTTGGCAAACTCTCGACCGATCAGACTCCTGCAGCTTGTGCATGTGCTTGGAGCAGGGGCTCTGCCCAAAGTCTGCGTCCTCGGGAGACAAGCTCGGTCACAAATCCAAAACTGACCTCTTCTGGGGATGGTGGTTACTACTTTGGTAGCGTAGGAATTTATTATTATTATTAGAGTTGATACTGCTGCTGCCCGTCCGCGACATCGGATGCAGGCAAGCCCCGTGCCCTGTCGTGCCGCCAGCATCCCTGGACTCTTTCGCTGTAGCCACCACCGGCCTGTCCGGCTTGCGTGCCCCTCCACTAGCTCCGTTACTTGGAAACCACCTGCCTGCCCCGCATCGTTGGGCCTCGTGGCCCAACCCATCACCAGTCAGCAGCACCCTCCTCGCCAGCCGTGTCCTGCTCGTCCACTGGCTCACCTCGTGGCCGATCTCCCATTCGTCATACTGCAACTAGCTTTCTCAGCACCGGTTATCGGGGCCCTTGTTTGCTCCTGCACAAGCAGCATCTCCGCCAACGCGCTGCATCTGCGCGGCCGAGAGCCTAACCAGACCGCTCCTTGGCTGGCGTGTCAACTCCCTTGCCAGCCAGCCAGCCAGCCCCGTGATCTTTGTGGGGAAGCTGCCGTGGACGAGCAGTCGTCCAATTCCTCGACCTTCTCATACAGCCCCTGGCTCGCTTGCGATCGTGCTGCGAGCAAGGTGCAGAGTCTAGACGCCGTATAACCCACCCGACCGCTTACACCCGGCGGGGCTCACGACGAGCCAAGCTCGTCCCCACGCCCGGACTGCCCCCTGTGAGCCAGCTCCTCAGCGGTTGCTGCGTCAGAGACTTCTGCTTCACTCCGGGAGCTCCGCCATCCAACAACTACGCCAGCTGTGTGCGTCTTCGTGGACCTCGGGTTATGCCCAGGGCTGGTCGTACTGCCGCTCTCTTCCCTTGGCTTTACCACATCGGCCACGATGTCTCTCGAGCTCAAGTCGGGTGACGTCCACGGCCAGAACCTCAAGACGCGCAGGAAAAACACCACAAAGGCTTGTGATGAGTGTCGGCGGCGGCGAGCAAAGGTAGGAACTTACCCGAATCGTATCACTCCTTTCTCTCCCGCCCTCGTTCCACCACCGGTCTCCGTTGCATACCCCATCAGCTCATTATGGTCATCCCGAGCGCCCACTGACTACGGAATCCGCAGTGCGACGGTAAACAACCAACTTGCACTAGATGCAATGATCGTGGTCTGTTGTGTCACTTCTCGGCTCACGAGGATGGTCGCCGGCCTGCACCCAAGTCGTACGTGGACATGTTGAGGAAGCGGATATCTGTCCTTGAGAAAGTCCTCGAAGCACACTCCATCGACGTAGAGTCCTCAGTTGCACAGATTCTTGCCCAGGAGAGAGCAAAGAGTGGCCCTTCAGATGCTCCTGGAAATGCGGCCGTGGAGGAATCTTTGGCAGGTTTTGATGGGGTTTTGTCTCTCGACGAGAACGCCGCCTTGGAGCGTGACGAGAATGCCTTTTTTGGATCATCCAGCGGCCCGCTAGAGTCACACATACTGAGTAAGTCGGGGATGTTTAAGGTGACCGTCGGACGTCTGCTAAATCTCAGAACAAAGCCCCTGATGGCGAGCCGGACGACCCGTTCAACAATAGTGTTCCTTCGCCTACGAAGCCAGGCTTCAGCCAGTTCCGATTACGAGTGGATCAACTTCTCATACAGGACGTGGCCTTCAGCTGCGAGGTCAGCAAGGAGCTTGAAACGCACCTTATTGAGCTGTACTTCCTTTGGGAACAACCATGGTGTCAGGTTGTCAACGAGAGGCTCTTTCGGCAAAGCCTGGGCAACAAGGGCAGATATGCCAGCCCTCTCCTTCTGAGCTGCGTGTTGGCCGTAGGCTCCCGCTTCACGGACAGGTTAGAGGTTCGATCAGATCCAGATGATCCCAACACGGCTGGGCAGATGTTCATCGAGAAAGCAGAGAAGTTGCTCTACTATGAACTCAAATGGCCAAGCATGACGACTATCCAGTCTGCTTCCATCATGGGGACGCTGTATTTGGTGAGTGATGTATGGGATTAGCGAACTCTTTTGTCTCACTAACCAGTGAACTTGCTCAGTCTATTGGTGCGGACGCTGCTGGCTGGTTGCACCATGGCATTGCCAGTCGTCTAGCCGTCGACATGGGTCTCAATATGGATGCCACTTGCCTCGTCGGTAACAACCTCATGTCACGAGAGGAGGTTGAGTTGAGAAACCAAATCTACTGGTCGTTGTATTGTGTGGACAAGATGCTTGCTAGCTATATTGGTCGAGTCTGCACTATGCTGGTATGTCTAGTTGCTAGGGGTAATTTTTCGTGTGATTCTCTGACTGATGCGACTACGCCCAGGACTCTCAAGGTCAAGTCCCTATGCCGAAACGGCCAGACGCTTCCAGGGTCGCGCTCAAGCGCGATGGGCGGATGCTTCAAGGTACACAATTCGACCGTGATCAGATGCGAACGAGTCTTCACATCGCCATGATGTCCCTCTGTTGCATTTTGGAGAAGATCCTTGTCGCATTGTACGTTTTCCCCCTGGACTCGATAACGATGTAGCTATACTGACAATCACCCAGATATGCTCCCAGCAATGCTACGAGACAGGTGCAAAGAGGTTCCTTCGTCCACAGTTGCCTGCTCGAACTGAAAGGGTGGTTCTACGACCTGCCTCAGGAGCTCAAACTCGATCGCAAGGGAAATACGAATCGTCTCCCTCAAGCCTATATCCTCCACATGTCCTATCAGACACAACACATTCTCATTATGAAGCCATTCCTCGTCAAGCCCGTCACAATACACGCCGAGCCCCATGCACGGCCTGGGCAGAACCCAGAAATTGTCACACAACAGGCGCTCTCCGTATGCTACAAGGCGGCTACGTCGATCCTCGATATCATCAAAAAGTACCAGCAAGCCTTTGGCAGCTTCCGCAATGCCCCTCTGAGTGCAGCTCATTGTACTTTGTCGGCTGCATTGATATTCATCCAGACCCGCTCTCTTGGTCTCGATGGCCGGGGGGGCAGCACGGACTGCCACAATATTGAGCTGTGCCTCAGGGTCCTAGACGAGCTTTCGATTGCCTGGTCGCCAGCACGAAGCATGCGGAAGAAACTGATGAAGCTCTATGAGCAGGAGTTCACCTTTACGCCGGCTAGACCGTTGGATCCCGTGTTCAACCCGGCCATCCATCATCCGCCAATGGTTGCTCCCTTGCAGCAGCCTGGGAAAGGCCCGCACTTCCAACGGATGCAGCCCGTGCCGAATCCTCAGCTTCAACCGAACCCACAAATGCGCATGATGACGGATGACGACATCTGGAATGCCGAGTGGCCCGACACCATCATGGAAGCCCCGTTGTTCCCAGATGTCGGTCTCGACTTTGTGTCGCAGTCTTTGCCAGGCGATTACACCAACTTCGACAACTTGAGTCGGACTTTTCACTCCTGACCGGTCTTCACGAGGCCCACACTTTACTGCATTTTCACGAAACGCAACGAATCATGATCCACCATTCAGAAGCTTGCTGTGCCACAGGTTTCGGGTTTGTATTTTTAATCACAGATGCTTGCATGCGCTTTTGTAAGCGACCTAAGAGTTTGAACCATTCATTCATTTGTGGATTCGGATGTCATTGTGCATTGGGAGCGGGCGTTGTGTTCCATGATAGACTAAATATAACCTGCACTTTGCAATCATACCGTCCTCATCAAGCTTTCCGTGCTGATTTGAACCTTTCGCTTCATTGGAGAGCCTGTACTATTACAGCTCCCGCGACTAGCCAAGCAATGCTTACAACACTCTGATTATTGCCATGCCCCACGATAGAGTCTCAAGATCTCTCTGCTGGTGACGCAGACTGACGCCACAGCATTGTCATACTGACAATCGTTTATGTGGATATTTACGTAGCGCTTGCTTCTGAGAACCCCGGTGTCGGAAGTTCGGTTGATTCTGTGGATTTGATGCATGATTTCCTCCAGGCCAAGCGCTGCAGACCGCCGATCATTATGCAGGTTGTCCCGCTTCGGACCGCCGAGGAGTGGGGCACTTCCCCGTTCCCCACATCTTCTTGGCGCGCCGCAATGGAGCGTTCCCTCTGTCGAAGGTTCTAGGATGTGCGTGCTCCACCAAGAACCATCGTGAAGCACGGCGGCGCCTGCAGATACGCAGCTTCACTTTCGAGAATGCTCTTCTTGAGGCAGGCAACAGGCTCTGGACAGTTCTACGGGGTGCAGGAGGTGGGAGGTCGTAAAGGCTGCCGATAGGCAAGTCGACCTGCATTCCCCCGGCGAAACTCGTGGAACTGGAGCTGGTGGCACTGTGTTGTTGTTGTTGTTTCTCGAAATTTCGTCTGAGTGGTGGGGGTTGGGTGTTTCTTCGTGTATATAAGCAACCGTCCTTCCTCCAACGGCGACACTCACTAGATTCATAGGTCAAGGATAACAACGACAAAGCAGAACACAAAACACTCTACAACTGAAGACCAACCAACCTATTCAGCTCAACCAATTCTGCCACTACTCTTCAACCACACGCGCACACACACACACACACACACACATACGAACACAACCATCCAACATGTCGATCTTCGCACCCAGCATCTACAGCGAGCCCAGCTTCTCCGGCCTGTTTCGGCTCCTGGACGATTTTGACAACTACCGCTCGGCCACCAGCAGACCCAACAACAATGAGCAGGTCACTGCTGGCGCCAACAGTAACAGCAACAACAATGGGCAGCACCAACTAACTAGTGGCCGCGGAGGTCTCGGTCTAGGCGGCCAGCTGCTGTCTTTCAACCCCAAATTCGACCTCAAGGAGACGGACACGGCGTTCGAGCTGCGCGGCGACTTGCCCGGCATCGCCAAGGACAAGGTGCACATTGAGTTTGCCGACGAGCACACGCTCACGGTACGGGGCCGCATCGAGCGCGAGTGGAGCAGCAGCAGCAGCAACAGCAACAGCAACAGCAACAGCAACAGCAACAGCAACAGCAACAGCAACAGCAACAGCAACAGCAACAGCAACAGCAACAGCAACAGCAACAGCAACAGCAACAGCAACAGCAACAGCAACAGCAACAGCAACAACAACAACAACAACAAGTCTCCCGGCGGCGAGAGCGAGGGTGAAGGTAGCAGCACCAACAACACCTCTGCTGGTGCCGGCGATGCCGCTGCCGCCGAGAAGAACGACAGCGCAGCCAGCAACGACAAGAGCAAGGGCAACGACCAGCAGGTGGCCAACACCACCAAGCAACAACAGCAACAGCCACAAGCAAAGTACTGGATCACGGAGCGCAGCGTGGGCGAGTTCTCGCGGTCGTTCCGGCTGACGGGCCACGACGGGGGCGAGACGGAGATTGACCACGACGGCGTGACGGCCAAGCTGGACAACGGCGTGCTGACCGTCGTCGTGCCCAAGATTGTGCGCGAGAAGAAGCAGAACAGGAGGCGCATCGCGATCAACTAAAAAAAAAAAAAGAAGCGATGGGGTCTACGAGACACCACCACCGGGCTCAACCTCCTTCCCTTGCCTTCCTTCCTCACCTCCCTCCCCTCACTCTCTCCGAAAAGCTCCTGCCAGACAAAAAATGGACACAATTCCCTCTGAATTGTTCCGCTCTCTCCTCAGCTTCTCATTTTGGTTTTCTACGCACACACGAGACCCGAACCGAGTCGCTTATAAGACGAGCCCATTACAGTCTTTCGGGTTCTGGGGGGTTAATGAATGATACCCCGTAATCACTTCGCCGCAGCAGCCCAATGTCCGAGGCACATTGAAACAAAAGCATTCCTTGTAATATAGTTCTACGGAGCAACAGTCTCCTTCTCATTCTTTTCTGGCATAGTTCATGACAGCGATCTCTATTCAAGATAATACAAGTCACGTTATCAAACTTTTAAATCTGTCTGGCTTTTGTGAAAATGACTGTTTTGCGCCGGGAGGGGGGGCACAGAGAAAGGTAGGCTGAGTCTACAATAGCTTCAATTCCCCTCTCCCCAGATCTGTGCTCTCATCTGCCTTGAGTCGTGCGTAAAACTTCCTCTCACGGAGGCGAAAAGTCAGGATTGCGCGGCACAACGTCCGTAGACTGTAACTTTTGATAACTTTCTCAAAGCATGGAGCCGTTCACCTTGGTACCCAGAGCAGACGCAAAGTCACGAGTCCAAGGGGAAAAACACGTCACGAACTTGATAACAACTGTGCGATTTTGTAGATGTCTGATCCACCACTTCCCTCTGCCCTCTGTCAGCAGGGTAATACTTGAAAGAAGAGCTCAAGGTTCGCCATCTAGTCTCTCCCACCCACTGCGGTCCCTGCCACCAATCCCAGGTTTAGCCCCAGCGACGACACCCGTGGTTGCATCGCCGCCGCCGCCGCCCAGCCGGGACACCGCGTGATAGATCTGCTGGTGCCGATCGAGCTGCCGCGGGGACCAGTGCTCGTAGTCCCCCGAGCCATAGTAGCGGGGCTTCTTCTTCGTCTCGGTTTGACCCTGCATCGCCCGCGGCCAGGTCATGCTTGGGGAAGCACGGATGTTGCTGCTGCTATTGCTATTGCTGGTGGTGGTATTGTTGTTGTTGTCTTTCCTGGTGACTTTGCTCACGAGAGCTAGGGCCCTCAGGCGGCGGTCCTGTTTCTGTTGTTGTTGCCTGCCATGGCGTGATGATGGCGGGAAATCCGCCCCCAAGTGCTCTGCATCACTGGCGTCGTCGGCATGGGCGCCGGCGTGCTTGAAAATGCCCGGATGCCGGACGGCCTGCCTCGCCCGCTTGCGCGCGCGCAAGTGGTAGAACAGTGCGATGGAGGACGCAATCAGGACAAGCAGGCCGACACCGACACCGATGCCGATCGCAAACTGGATCGGCGGCCCTGAGGATGATGATGATCTCTGGGTTTCTTGTGTGCTGGGAGGGGATTGGGGGATAGGACCTGGGAATGTCGGAGACGGCGAGGATGAGATTGGCGGGGAGGAAGTAGTTGCTGCGACTGTAGTATTGTCTGACACTGCCCTTGGTGAAGGTGGTGGTGGTGATTCGAGGATCTGGCGTCCTTGGAACTGTACACTGCCGGCTCCGCTGGAGACCATTGCTACCATAAGGGACGCAGCCTGTAGCAAAGAGAACAGGAGCTTGTATTTGTGCGGCCAAGTAGTTGATCCCTCGTGAGACTCTGGGGAACAAACTGGAGATGAGTGATGGATTCCACTTCAGTGAGCCTCAACACAACTTTCGGGGGTCATCGAGATATATTCGTGCCGCCGCCACTGTTAGACCCTGCCTAGCAAGACGCGACCAACAAGTTCGCAGCAATGATGTTGGTTGAGGCTGAGCGAGGCTGTCTACGTCGATGGCCGCTGTATAAGCCTGTTGTTACACGCACGAGAAGGACAGGGAAGCAAGGAATGAACATGTCGAGGTCTCATTGCCAGGCTGTGGGAAGTGGTCGTCGACTGTACTTGACCAGGCACGGCGGCGGCTAACACCTCGTGGCCCGCGAATGAGTCCTGGAATGAGCGACAGCTTGCCATGACCTGGCCTATCGGCCTCCTTCCTCACGGCGCTTACACAATTTGGTTGGCGCATATTGGGATGGGAATGCAAGCACCCGGGCCGGAGCGTCTAGGGCAGAGATGCCATTGGTGCGCGGCGGGCCGGTGGTTGTTGGCCTGTTGAAGGGGATGCGCGCCTAACCAGAGCGGAGCCTGGCACTTAAGCGCCGGGCCAGGGGGCGACTATTAATATGGGGGGTTCTGGAGGTTTGTTTCAGAAACAGTGCCAAGGCGCAGCCACGACGTCCCGGGGCTGTGGCTGGAACACAATCTTTCTTACTTGCTGGATATCTCGGCACATACTCCGTCCACCAGAGATCGCGATACGAGCCCGGCATGGATGGCACGGAGCCACAGTGGAGAGCCAGCAGACGTCACCGGCCAGGCCGGCAGGCAGGCACGCTGGCTGGGCACAATGTGTGCTCAAGACATGTCCTTCACGACCGAGGATGGACACGCTGCGACAAGACACGCTTCTGGCTGTGCCTTGCATGACACTGAGCAGAAACAAGCTGGGGCAGCAGCAAACTGTTTCAGAAGGTCGCCCAGGGAGTTGGGAGTTTGGGAGTGCCAGTGTGCGCCCGCAGAGTACGTAAAGAGCCCCCCGCTGTGCTGGCATGCACCGCCCTACAGGCGCCCCACACCCAGGGCCCAGGACCGCGTCATCGGCCTGTCTCGCTCGTGCAACCCATCGAACCACACAGTTGCACCTGCAGGCAGCAACGAAACAAGCCTCAGCCCGCCGCCCTCCGCAGAGCTGGCCTCGACGCCGGCCCAACTCTATTACCCTCGTCGCAATCCAGCCACTCTCAAAGACGTTGGCAAGCCGTTGTCAGGTCGTTGTTTTGGGCCACGAAACAAAACAGGCTCCCCCACAGTATTCTTACCACACTGGTCCAGTCATCCATCAGCACCCCGCCGATCCTACCACGATTGTTTGCCCTTCCAGCCATGGCCCTTTGAACCCAACCAGGCACATCTAATCGTCTCGCGGTCTGGCGGGTCAGAGCCTCATCGACAGAAAGGCCGCTTTGCAAAGCCGCTTTCCCTGCGCACAGCTCAATCCTCAGCCCACTCCCGCGGTTGCGCCTTCTTGAAACCTCGCTACTGTCGCTCCAAGACACATTCCACCACCATGCTGGCCGCGCCTTCGCGCCCTCTGACCTCGCGGTTGCCCCTGCGCATCGCCGCCGTCGTCTTCGTCCTTTTTGTTCTCCACCAGATATACAGCTTCCACGAAAGGTGGTCTCTCTCCAACGGCAACGTCCTCCCTCGCCTACGTCCGGATGCGACCGAGATCCCCTGCTCAGCCCTTCGTGGGCTAGACGACATCCTCGTCGTCCTGAAGACGGGCGCAAACGAGGCACCGGTTAAGATACCCCGCCACTTCAACACCACACTGCGCTGCGTCAAGCACCACGTCATCTTCTCAGACCTCGCAGAGGAGATTGAAGGCCACCAGATCCTCAACGTCCTGGACGAGGTCGACCCCAGCATCGTCGCCCAGCACCCAGACTTTGAGTACTACCAGCGTCTTCAGCAGCACGGCCGTGACGGCTTCACCGCCGAGGAGCAGGCTCAATGGGCTGCTGCCCAAAACACCCAGGGCGGCCGCGACAGCCCCGGCTGGCGCCTCGACAAGTGGAAGTTCTTGCCGATGGCCGACAAGGCGCTCCGCCATCGGCCCGACGCCAAATGGTACTTCTTTATCGAGGCCGACACGTTTGTGGTCTGGGAGACGGTCCTGGCATGGCTTGCTCAGATCGACCCCAACAAACCCTGGTACCTGGGACAGCAGATGATGATTGGTGATGTCGTTTTCGCGTACGGCGGCTCGGGCTTTGTCATTTCCAACTCTGCCCTGCGCAAGGTGGTTGAACATCGCAACGCAGACCTGAAGCAGTATGACGAGTTCACGGGAAATCACTGGGCTGGCGATTGTATCTTGGGAAAGACGCTCAATGACGCGGGCGTGCCATTGACCTGGGCATTTCCCACGCTTCAGAGTGAGGCACCGCCAGCGCTAGACTTTGCCTCGGGCTTTGGCGGGCCCTCGCGGAAGCCGTGGTGCTACTTTGCCGGCACATATCACCATGTGACCTCCGAGGAGACGGTCGAACTTGGGAACTTTGAGCAAAAATGGAGACAGAAGGTGGGTGTCTCAAAGAAGCCGTTTGACACACCGAGTACTGACGATGTTGCACAGAACACTCGACCTTTCCGCCATGGCGATATTTTCAAGTATGCCATCCGGCCCAATCTCGAATCTGAACGGCATGCCTGGGATAACGCATCGGACAATGGCGGCAATGAGGCCAAGACGGCAGCGGACTGCCGCGTAGTCTGCGATGGCACGCCAGAATGCCTGCAGTGGTCCTTCGTAGAGGGCAAGTGCAAGACGGCCACCTTCATCAAGCTCGGTTACGCGAGCCAAAAGCCCGTTGAGGGGCAATCGCCTGCCGTCTCTGGCTGGATGCTTGACCGTGTGGACACCTTTGTCCTCGCCATGGACTTGAGCTGTGCCACGCAGCCGACATGGGCTTTGCCATGAGACCGCCATTTTTGGGCCTGGAACACGGCCCTCTATTGATCTATCAATATCTTTGCTTGTATCACTACACATCATGTGGTTTGTTCGGTCGGGTCTCACTAGCAGCGCACATAAAAGGAGTTCCGGTTGTCGGCGTCATGTCAGGGTACGGGTTCAGCAATCGAATAACCTAGGGGTTCTTGGGTGATGTAGCGAGCCTTTCTTCGCTTGGGTAGGCGGCGTTCATAGCTATAGTTCCAGCAACTGAACCAGTCGTTCATTGGATACGGGTTGAGGAGAAGGAAGAATTTGCCAGCACCGTCTCGTTCTTGGTGGGCGGTGCCGGCCAGGAACAAGCTCAGGCTATGTCCGGGTCAGAGATGATTTATCAGTCGTGTCACTGCTTTTCCCCGCATCGGGTATCCGCCCGAGAGCAACAGAGCAATGGAGCAATGTACAAGACTGCTGAGACAGGCGGATGTTCCGAATAGGGATTGCCGATGCGGGGAAATGCAGCCTAGGGGTTAAAGAAGCACGGCAGCTTCCTAACGACGATGATGAGAATCCGACTAAAGGCTCCGAGAACGCCCAGTGTGCCATGCTGGTTGCCACGCACCGCGTGAGTTCCTGAGCGAAAAGACGTCTTTGAAAACACGACATAGACATTGGAAAAGTTTCCGTCCACCAAAGACATTTTGACGAGGCCAAGTTTGGCGGACTCGCATCTGATTTGCCCGATTCTACAAGCGACGGGCTTCACGGAGCTCGTTTCAATGGCGTGCCACGCCCGCTTGGAACAAAGGCTCGTCTCCACGTTCAGGCTGCACGGCGAAGTGCGCCTATGCCGAGTCTGGGGTTGTTTGGATCCAGTGGCTGCAAGGATCGCGCCGGGAAATATCCCGAGTGTGCGATGGGCGATCACTTTGTGCGCCCCTCTCTCCCTCCGGCCCGCCTTCCCCCGCGGGCGACGTGGAAACCGGCAAAGGCGCATTTCGTGTGGAGGGCTTTATGGGCCGCACACGGGTTTGTAATATAAATACCTTTTCGGGGAGCCAATTTGCACCGGCGCCCCGAGACGACGGAGAAGGCGATGGCATCCCGCCCAGTCTGTCAAATGAGGTGATGGTCACTTGGAGGGCAAGCTCAACAGCCTTTCGCATGTGGACGTTGCGGAATGTGCACGTCGTGTTAGTGCCATCGTATAGGTTCATAATGGCGCCCCGAGTAGGAGTGTGACGCGGAAGAAGGCGGCTACTGCACTCCAGGATAGACTCGAGAAGGTCTGTGAGCGGTCTGGGGAGAGACCGCTTTCTCAAGCGAGGAGGAGGCGCGGGCCGTGGCTTGACTTCGGGTTGCTTATGGGCAGTGGGAAGTCGAGCAACGACATATAGTATCTACCTTACGAATTGGAGGAGTCTTGCGGTTGGATCTGCGAGGACATGTCTACCTAGGTATGTTGGAAGTACGGTGGTAAATGGCCAGTTGTGATCGGGGCCACGCTCGACTGATACTTCGCAGGAGTAAATGTGCAAGACACCAGAGAACGAAGCGATGCCGTCTAATGGGTATATCTCCCCAGGATCATCCAATACACCTCAGCAGCCCTTCGACGCAAGTTTCCCTACAGGGGTGGTTTGCTGTACGACAGAGTCTCGAAACCGGTTATTCGTTCAGAGCCATCCCGACCTACATGAAATCACGAGTGCTGAGTGCTCCTGCCACTTCATGCGCATCTCCTCTCACAACGACTGCTCATCATTGTCGACACGCTGCGCGTGCTTTGCGGAGGTGGCCTCTTGAATACAACGGGGGTTTGGCTTCTGGAAGTGCCGGGATGGTGGCGCCTCGCCGGCCGGTGCTAGAGTTGGCGGGGCACTGGAGCCAAGTGGGGTCTCCGTGCTTCGGCGCCGGATTACCCACCGGCTTTGGCCGGGCACCCACAAGAAAGTGAACCGACGGAACGCGTGAGTCGTGGGTGCGCATAACCCCCCCGCCGGGCGTTATCGCTGCAAGTGCGTCGTGGCCAATCGCCGTCAATGAATGCATGCAAACAGACACCAACCCGGATTCCGAGACCCCGCTCTGGTGATGGAATCTGGCTCTGTTCCGTGGGTGAGGTCATACTGCAACGTCCCTGGCCCTGGCCCTGCGGGGGTCGCCCTGAGGGGAATCAGCGTGGCAGCCCCGCCGCCGGCGTTGCGGAGTCCTGAGATTGGGGAATCCCAGCGGGGAAACGCAAGAAAGGGGAGGCCTGAGGCCGTCAGTCAGTCACAGGACGGGCATCACACCCCACCAACCGGGCCCTACAGCGCCACGGAGCCGGGGCCTCTCAATGGTGCGTATCCTCCACGATTCAAGAGCCATGCCTGTGCGGTGCTCTTGCTGCCGCGCCAATCTCCTCGACCAGGGCCGACTCCACATCCACATCCCCCTCTGTCTCGTCGACAGTTCTCACATGCCCTCCGAGAGTTCGTCCGGGGGGACCGTGCCGGTTCCTTGGCTTGGGGCCACTCAGAAACATGTCCAAAACTTCGAAAGCCGCGTGCCCACGCGCCCTCTCTTCCCTTCTCCTCATTCCCCTCCCTCTGGCGACGCCAATAGCCTCCAGGACCAGTCGTCATGTCGTTCACACAGAGTCACCCGGCCGGCCAGCCTGACTGGAACAACCTGAGCGTGCTCCACAGGAACACCCTCGAGCCCAGGGCCAACTTCTACATCTACAACTCGGCCAAGGACGCCCTCTCCTACGACGTCCAGAAATCAAAGACACACTGCCTGTCCGGCACCTGGAAGTTCCAGCACTCGCCCAACCCCTTCGAGGCCCCCGAAAGCTTCCACGAGCGCGCCTTTGACGCCTCGGCCTGGCACGATGTCGCCGTCCCCAGCATGTGGCAGCTCGACGGCTTCGGCAAGGGCCCCCACTACACAAACGTCAACTTCCCCATCCCCGTCAACCCGCCCAACGTCCCCTTCGACACCAACGAGACGGGCTCCTACCTGAGGACCTTTACCGTGCCTCAAGAGCTTCGCGACTCGCAGCTCCGCCTCCGCTTCGAGGGCGTCGATGCCGCCTACCACGTCTGGGTAAACGGCACCGAGGTCGGCTACCACCAGGGCTCCAGGAACCCGGCTGAGTTTGACATCTCAAGCCTGGTCGACAAGGACGGCGAGAACACCGTGGCCGTCCGCGTGTACCAGTACTGCGATGCCACGTACATTGAGGATCAGGTAGGCTTATAGTTTTCTGCAAACACGTGGAACTTGGTCACTTTACGGGCATAGGCTAATTGTGACATCTGCGGACTGAAGGATCAATGGAGAATGAGCGGAATGTAAGACTGCCAGAGTCCAAACTAGGGGCCGGCGCACACTAACACAAGGTCAACAGCTACCGCGACGTCTTCCTGATTGGGTTCCCCAACGAGTCTCGCATCGAGGACTTGTTTGTCCAGACCATCCTGGACAAGGAGTACCACAATGCGGACCTCAAGGTCCGCGTCAACACTACCGGCTCCGGCGAGCTCAAGGTCGAGCTCTATGACTCGGCCAAGAGCGCCGTCGTGGCATCAGACACAAAGTCGGCGTCAGGCAGCCAGACCGAGTTTTCCCTCGCCGTCGAGAACCCCGCGAAATGGACGGCCGAGACGCCTAACCTGTACCACCTCGTGGTTTCGCTCAATGGGTCGACCTTCATCGCCCAGAGAGTCGGCTTCAGGCAGGTCGAGATGAAGGACGGCCTCATCAAGGTCAACGGCAAGCGCATCGTGTTCCGGGGCGCCAACCGCCACGAGCACCACCCCAAGTTTGGGCGTGCTGTGCCGTACGAGTTCATGAAGCGCGACTTGCTTCTCATGAAGACGCACAACATCAACGCCATCCGCACGTCGCATCAGCCCAGCGATATCCGACTGTACGACCTGGCTGATGAACTTGGCGTAAGTGACCTCACCACAGCAGACACCATGAGAGTATTTTACTGACAAAGTTAGTTCTGGGTCATGGACGAGGCCGATCTCGAGTGCCACGGCTTCGAGTCCATCTGCGACGCAGCTCTCACGCCTGCGGAGCGAAATCTCCCATTCCGCGAGCGACAGCTTATCACCCGTGAGGCTGCTGCCGAGTGGACAAGCAACAACCCGGAGTGGAAGGAAGCCTATGTCGACCGCGCAATCCAGCTTGTACGTCGCGACCAGCTCCATCCCTCTGTGGTCGTTTGGTCGCTAGGCAACGAGGCGTTCTTCGGCCAGAACCACGTCGCCATGTACGAGTATATCAAGTCCTATGACGACAGCCGGCCGGTCCACTACGAAGCCGACATCCACGCCGACACCGTCGACATGTACTCGCGCATGTACCCCGGTGTCGAGGAGATTGTCGAGTTCGCCAAGGACGAGACCAAGAAGAAGCCGCTCGTGCTGTGCGAGTTTGTGCACGCCATGGGCAACGGCCCCGGAAACATCAAGGAGTACATTGACGCCTTCTACGAGTACCCGACGCTGCAGGGCGGTTTCGTCTGGGAGTGGGCCAACCACGGCCTGCTCACCAAGGACAAGGAGACTGGCGACGAGTTCTTTGCCTACGGCGGCGACTTTGGCGACGAGCCCAACGACGGCAACTTCATCTTTGACGGTGTCCTGTTCTCCGACCACACTCCCAACCCCGGCTTGGTTGAGTTCAAGAAGGCTCTGGAACCTGTCCAGATCATTTCGCAGTCGGCTGACAAGATCACCATTGTCAACCGCTACGACTTCATCGGTGTCGAGCACCTCGAGGCTCAGTACAAGATCCTCGACGACGGCCGGCCCACCGGCCAGGCTGGTGTGCTTGAACTGCCAGCCAAGCTGGGCGCCGGGGAGACTGCCGAGATTGCGCTGCCAAAGTTGACCTCTGAACTCAAGGGCGAGGGCATCCTGCACATCTCCTTCAGACAGAAGGAGGCCACTGCCTCTCTGCCTGCTGGTCACGAGATTGCCTTCGAGGACGTCTCCCTCAATGGCACTAGCTTCCCTCTCACCATCGCCCCTAGTGCCTCGAGTGGCAAGTTGGACGTCCGCCAGGCTTCCTCTGGCAGCCGGCCCATCACCATCTCGACCCCGTCGACTACCTGGACTTTCTCCCCGATCACGGGCCAGCTCAAGTCGTGGGTCAAGAACGGCGTCTCGGTGCTGTCCTCCGCGCCCGTCTTCACGACCTGGCGCTCGCCAACCGACAACGACACCCCGCAGGACGGCTGGGACTGGAAGGAGCGCCTGCTGCACCTGGCCCAGACACGCATGGTCGGCAGCACTGCGGGTTTCGTCTCTGGTAGTGACGCCAACGGCGGCGCCTTCGAGATCAAGGTCCAGCAGCAGTTCAGCCCTCCCGTGCTGAGCTGGCGCATCGACCTCGACGTCACCTACACCTTCTACCCGTCCGGCGCCGTGTCGATCCTCACAAAGGGCAACCCCGTGGGTGAGAACCTGCCCCGGACCCTCCCGCGGATCGGATTCACCATGGAGCTCCCGCCGTCCTTTGGCGCGCCGCCCAAGGCAGCGGCCACCGCCGCGGCCGCCGCCGCCGCTGGCCCCCAGCAGCAGCAGCAGGGCCTCGAGTCCGTCAGCTGGTTCGGCCGCGGACCGGGGGAGAGCTACAGCGACAAGAAGCTCTCGCAGCGCGTCGGGGTATGGGGCGCGCGCGCGGTCGCGGACCTGTGGGTCGAGTACGAGAAGCCGCAGGAGGGCGCGAACCGGACGGACACGCGCTGGCTCAAGCTGTCGTCGCACTCGGACGGCTCCTCGGCCGCGGAGCAGGCGACGACCCTGACGGTCGAGTTCCGCGACGTCGTGGCGGGAAGCAGCAGCAGCGGCGGCAGCAGGAAGCTGTTTGACTTCCAGGCGAGCCATTACCGCGTGCAGGACGTCGACAAGGCCAAGCACCCGCACGACCTGCGCAAGAGGCGCACCGACAATGTCGTGCTGCGGCTCGACGCGGCGCACCACGGCCTGGGCAGCGGGTCGTGCGGGCCTAGGACCCGGGACGAGTACGCGCTGCTCACCAAGGCGTTTGAGTTTGAGATGATGTTGGAGTAGAAGAGACTCTCTCTCTCTCTCTCTCTCTCTCTCTCCAAGAGACACGATGTTGTGGGCCAGGACGAACAAAGGTATACAGTTTAGATCTTGAGGCTCGCAGGTAGAGGGGAAATCAGACAAAACTTGCAAGTCACACCGGTCCAAAATTGGACGAGGGGGGATTTGAAGGTTTCCGCTGTGATATGATGACTTGATGTAATCGTGTTCGCTGGAGAGATAATCGTGTGTGTTCGTCGACCAAGACTGATCCGAATCGCACGGAAGGTCTTTTTGTGAACTTGGACCACCACAAAAGAGTCATGGTTCAGTCCTCTTTGACTGTATGCTACTGTCATTTGCCAGCACGAAAGTCAACACTATTACAAGCTACGACTATGAACAAGGAGGTATGCAGCAGGGACAACAGAAAACTCTGGCATGTATATGACAGCCAAGCTCCAGCAATGTCCAACTCAAAAGTCCCAAGCGACCTGCTCGGCTCAACGATATGCCTTCGTCTAAATGTGCACGGGAAACGTGGGATCAAGAGTGAGCGATGATATCATTCCCCATTTGTCATTGGGGAGGAGAGGAGAGTATGTATGCATTTATGCTCTGTATACAATTTTATAAAAAGGACTCGCTATAGAATTACCCCCGGTCTTTTGCTTGGATCTTAACCTTAGCCACTGCCCTCTTCTTTTTTTCCTTGGGGTTCCAAAGCAGAAGTCAGCGTCAGTATCCCCCGTCTTTTCCACGTCCAAAATCGATTTCTCTCGAAATCAGACCTTCGCAACCTTGAACCCGGCCTGGTTCCACCTGCCCAACGCGAAGGACAGACACCCACACAGCATCGCGATTCCGCAGAACAGCTGCGCCCCGAGATAGCTCCCGCCCTGGCTTGCGATGATTGCGCCGCCAATGGGCGAGCCCGTCAGGCTACCGAGGCTACCGATGGCCCAGGCAATGCCGGTTCGCGTGCCGATCTGCCGGATGTCGCTGATCTGCGCGACGACTGCTGGGGCCAAGGAGATGAAGCCTCCAGACGAGAATCCAAACAGCACGCCGTATACGATGACCGCAGGGGTCGAGTGCGAACCCGGAATCCACACGGCAAGGGTGAAGAGCGCAGAGAGGAACGAGATGAAGACCATGACGTTGTAGCGGCCGAACTTGTCGCCGAGAAACCCGGGGAGGATTCGCCCGGGGATGGATGCGGCGTTGAGGATGGGGATAAGATAAGGCACCAAGGAAGGGGAGACACCGTTCTGCTGGGCCTGCACGATGAGGTAGTTGAAAGGCAGGAACATGCCCCAGAAGAAGAAGAAGTAGCCCGCAATGCAAGTGAGCATGCCGAACTCGGTCAAGGGCTTGGTATAGTCTGACAGAGCAACAGGCTTCCTTGTGGGCGGCAGGCGCGACTTCACCGTCAGGCAGGTGATTGTGCACAGGGCGAGGAAGGTGAAGGACACGATGCGCAGCGCCCAGGGGAAGCCCAGCTGCTCGGTGAGCTTGGTTAACATGATGGGCAGGACCACGCCACCCGCGGAGGATCCCGAAGCGACGATGCCTACCGCCATCGCGCGCTTCTGGAAGAACCACGTCATGGTCGAGTTGAGGGTCGCATTGAAGACGGCGGACGACCCCAGCGAGGAGAGGATGCTCTGCGCCAGGATAAACTGGTAGTACTGGCTTCCCAGAGATGTCATCATCAGAGCAAAGACATAGACGATCGTGCCGGGGATAATGAGGTAGCGCGGGCCAAAATTGTCATAGAGGCGACCCATCTGTGGAAGCAATAACACAAGGGTTAGCATGGGCTTTGTTACACAATGGTCGCTTGGGAAACCGGAAACAGCATATCAAAGACTCACAACCGCTCCAGACCCCGTCATCATAAACACCTGCAGCGACGTGATCCATGTTATTGTCGACAACGAGTAGCCCGCTAGCGGGCCAGAAGAGTAGTGTTGCACGAATACGCCGACACAGTTGATCAGGCCGAACGTGCTGAAGAGCGCACACCAACCGCCTAGCACGCACAACCACGCGTCAAGTCCGCCGTCAGGGAAGTCGGCTGGCTTCATCCCCGGAGGACCTCCGGGCCCTGTGGGCTTCCCTGTAGGTGATGCTGGTGTCGGTGCTGAAGCCGAGTCGCTGCTGCCGGCCGTGCCTGCTTCCTTCTCAATGTCGGCATCGGCGACGGCGCGCGGCTCTGCCCAGAGATTGGCCTCGGTCTCGTTCTCGGGATACTTGGCTGGGTTCATGAGAGGGTCCCGCTTCTGGGGAGTTGGCTGGTGGTCGCCAGCCATGGTGGACGAGTCCGAGTCAGAGCCGGTCATGGTCGTCAGGACAGTATGCTGTTATTTGCTGTATTCGGTGAAAGTGCCGCGTGTGGTAGGGAAAGATTGTATCCCCAAAGCACCGTTGCGTGTGTATATGTAGAAGGGATAAAGGTATCACGGCACAATGGGTAAGTCCCTTGCAAGGCGGGAGCCAAGACTTGGCAGGGACAAGAGCTCAATTGGACTGGTGGATGTTCAGGGGAAGAGTCTATACGATGACGATGTCAGTTGATGGTACCAATGACTATCACCGGCATGGCGCTCAGCCTCGCATCAGTCAGGAGTTTCAGGCCCTTTGACTCGCGGCAATGAAACACAGAGTCGAAAATGTGAAGCAGGAGCAAGCAAGAATAGAAAAAGACTGGGGGGTCATCGAGCCGGGGCACTGGTGGGTATTCCTGCGAGGCCCGTCTTGGATGCCCACTTTCTGTTCCCCCAGGGGGATGGGCAAGCATAGAAGACGGCAACAGCGACGTTCCACTCACACTGTAGGGCTTATCTCCGGCGAAGTACGTTGCAATGAGTGAGTCTGCTGGCTGGCTGGCTCGTCGACAACAGTGCTGGTTTCCGCCTATTGTCGGTGAAGGCTGTGCGGTGTCATGGGTGACGAGGTGATTGTGACGAACTGGACGGTCCTGTTTGGCCGGAGTTCGCAGGCGGTGCCAAGATGATCAGATGCTTTGGTGCTTGGCAGTGAGATGGTCTACGTGCCCTGGAGCGACATGGCTGAGATTGAACTTATATGCCTAGCTGAATTTTTGTTTCTGGGTGAACATGTTGCGCCATAGCCATGACGAGAAACCCAGGCTCGGAGATAGTATGGGCAGGGGCCTGTTTCCGGGCTACGATGGTACATGCTGAACAATCCAGTCGACGATCAGAGTCTAGCCTTGGTCATCTTTGGGCGGCGCGCGCCGGCGGGTGAGCCGCCGAAAGAGTCATTCTTGCAGGAAGCACCACATATCCCACCTCATTCCTAGACGAATAGCGCGCTGCCAGTGTCCATCGTGGAGGGCGCGGGTACGCCCCGGCCGAGCTTGACCGAATTACAGCCAAAGCCAGGCCCAGTGCCTAGGACTGCGGAGGTTGGTATTGCCCGAGGTGGAGCTGGGGTATTACCTCTCAGTAACTAGGTGTCGCTCCAGATTTTTGAGAGCTCGGAGCTAAAGCTGGCGCCCTCGACAACGGCTCTTGTAGCCAAGATCGCGGAGCTAAGGCTCTGCCCTAAGTCTCAGCCGTGGATGGTCAGCCACTGGGAGGGCAGGGTTCGGCGCCTCGCGTCATGGGTTCAATGTGGCCCAGCCTGCTTGGTGAAAGCGCGAAGGGCCGAGGCTTACAAACACCCTTTTTGGTCCTGCCGTTTCGAGCGAGGGATGGCGCATTCTCAACAGGGCGAAATGGTGGTTGAATTGGGGGCGGCAATCGTAATATCTGTCCAGACGTGCTCGCGGGGGTGGGCTGCAAAGCTTCTCCGCGTCACTGACGGTGCCTGGCGAGCGCTGTGCTCTCCGGGAGCATCTCCGGTGGGTTGGGGTACGCGTAGACATTTGAATCTTGACAAGCCCACTTGATTGCAGGCAGGCATGCCCAGGCGATTGGTGATGGATGCCTCAGGCTGGAATATTCGATGCAGTGTAGCGTACGTACGCACCTTACCAGCCCACCTCCTGCCACTTGGAGCCTCGACCACTTCCCTTCAGGGAGTGCAGTCCTCCATCGGTATCCCAGTGGCCAGGCGTCTGCCCTCCTCTCCCACTCTGGAAACGGCATCCCACCACCACATCCCGCCGTTGCGTCCCACCGGCCCCCGTCAGCACAGAGAAGAGATGTGCAATACACCTCTACCCTCCTTGGCGAATGACCCTGTCCGTGCCCCGCCTCGGCGTTATGGATGATGTGGAAGAAGCAAGCACCTACCCAGGGGCATGCCGGTGGGAGCTGAGTGCTGGGCATGCATTGAGATGTACGCAGGTATAGCGCGCGTAGTCAGCCCCTTGCAGCTCAGAGCAGGACTCGGCCTGCAAGTAGTATGTCGCGCCAGACGTATGTGGACATTGCTGTACGCAGTATGCCTTTTGCCTCGATCTCCGAGCCCTGCTGGTGGGGCACGGTAGGCTCGCATTGAGGCTGCCTGCTCAAGGATGCGCTCGGAGACCGGCAGCCCTGACACGTCGTCGAGATGGATGTGCATGGGTCCTGATGACGAGGGCTCGGAGATAAGTCAATCCTGCCTAAAGTATGTGCCTAGGTACCTACATTCGTAGCCACGCGAGGAGCGTATCGGGCAGCATCTCACCAACATAGCTTATCAGATCCTCTGGTCGAATACGTGTTTCTGAACTCCGCTACTTTGACACCGGCCAAGAGGCGAGATTGAGTAGATTCCCTCGAGTCGTTTTCCAAGTCTCGCAGGACAAAAAGAGTGCCATCGTTGGCAATTGAAGCTGGCCAGCATTCCCTTCCTCGTACACAACCAACCCGTTTATGCCTGGATACCTATTTGCCCCTCTCGTGACAGAGATTCCCACCCAGTCTCTGCACATTTCGCTGCAAAAGATCCGTGGACCAGCTGTACAGGAATGATGCTCCGCCGAGTTATCAGAGGCCCCCATGTCAAGCAGATACTCTGTGGGCCACACCGCCCAGCTGACACATCAGGCCTTGCCAGCAAGAGGATATACAAGGGACTCATCTCACGGCCTGGTCTTCAAGCTCCTCTGCCTCAGCCTTTGATCTGTGCTTACAAATCCCATGTACAGCATGACCGCAGGGTTAGACAACGGGGGGTCATGACACGCTCAAACCACGCTCCTCGGCAAGCCGCAAACTAGAGAGACAGTGGTATGGCCATTCTTGTGTTTTTGTAACTCTTAAAAGGATGAGTTCGCCTGGCCGACTTGGTCGTGTAGGGAATTCCTGGTGATTCATAATCTGTCCCGATCCAAATGTACAGCATGTCCACAAAAGAGAAGGATGTGGTTTCATGATTCGCGCCTCTACTGATGGTCTAGAAACGGCCATGGTTTTGTCAGTGACAAAACACCTGCACCAAGTTTCCACACACCTTTGCAGGACCTGTCGCGACTTGACCTATTGCGTCTTCTTGTATGATGTTGATACAGCTTCGCCCAAATATGATAGACCCCAAGCACTAGACTTAAGAATAGCGTTACACAGATGTCTACGGCTTCGTCGCACCCTGCTTCAGATCCTTGCCCTCCTCGATAGCCACCTTGCCATCCTGGCCGACGCTCGCGACAGTGATCTTGACAGCCCCGGTGGTGCTCGCCACGCCGCCAGTCGCAGCGGTGACATCGGCGATGCTCTTCGGCGCTTGCGGCACGGCGGCTGTCTTCGGCACCGACACAGCAGACGCCGCCGCCGCATCAGCAGCCTTCACGCCCGCAGGAGGAGCATCGGCAATCTCGTTGACCTCGGCACTGGTCAGGCTGTCCTGCACCCGGACACCGCGGCTCGACATGAGGATCCGCGCAGGGCCCTGGAACTGCAGGAACAGCCGGTCGCCCCAGATCGAGCGTCGTGCGACCGTGCGCAGGTTGTACAGGGCGCGCGCGAGGTACTGGTATGCCTGCGACGTGCGCAGCTGCTGGATGAACTGCACGTCGCTGAACCACGTGCTCACGGTGGCGGGCACCTGCAGGTTGATGCGGCTCGAGCTCTTGAAGCGGAACGGCTGCGGCACGTGGCGGCCGATGGTGTACGCCACGACGTGGGACGGGTGGGCGACAAAATCCTCGCCCTCGGACAAGGTGAGCTCGTAGATGTGGCCCGGCGCAGTGAGCGCGACGAGGCCGCGGCCCGTGAGCTCCGAGGAGCCCCAGTGTGCGATCGAGAGGCTGCGCTGTATCCGCGGGGTCACGGCGAGAGTGTGGCCGGTCCACGCGAGCAAGGCGTTGCGTTGGGCGATCATCCAGTCGGTCGTGCCGTCCAGTTGGAGGACCTGGAAGGTCGTCGTTGGGGATTTCGTGCCAATGAGTGCGGTAATCGGCGTCGTCGAGGTGATGCGCTGGTAGAGGAATGGGACGCCGAGTGCGGCTCTCTTGAGTGGCGAGAGTATGGACAGTGTTGATTGTGCCTATTGTGCGGAATCAGTAATTCGTCCTTGTCAAGCAGATATGCGCACCCATGGTACAAGAGCTCAGACAAGGTCCATACATTTTCAGGCTTGCCCGACACGGCGACCAATGTACCTCGACGCGTAAAGAGTCTCTGGGAAGCCGACAGCGTGACCGAGAGAAGCGAGTATGGCGTCCCGAGAACTTCGAACCGAGCGTCTGCCAGAACCGCGCAATTCCACAGTTAGCTCTCTGCAAGTTGGTAAATCCTAAGGCGCCAATCGTGGCCCATAGACGCGACGCAACTCACCGGCAACATTCTTCTGTGAATCACCTGGCGTCCCGAAGACATCCTGCCCAAGCCGCGGCGTGTCGCTCGTGGGCGTCGAGGTGATCTGTATCGCCCTGCATTGTCGGCATACGAAACTGCTCCCCCTTGGCAACGCTGAGATAAGTCCCAACCGTCGGGTTGTCCGGACCAAGCCTCCCGCCGGAGCAGTGCGCATGATGTTCGTGATGCGGCCTTTGGCGTCTAGGTAGAACGAGGGACGGGGCGCTTCGAGTGCGCAGTCGACCGGATGTGAGGCTGCTCCACTGCGACTGTCGACGGTGAGCACTGAGACACTTTCGCCAGTAAGCCGTTTTGGCGATCAATTGGTGTTGAGAGATTTGCTGCAGCGAGACTTGGAGAGCTGTGCTCGGCCAGGCTCTCGCAATGACGTGCAAGCTTAGCTCCGGGAATTTCCTCGACAGCTTCGCGGCACCGGGAGCTTTCGTGGCCCGCTGTCCCGCGCGATAAGGCTCTTATCGCGGGGCTTCTGAGGGGAACGGGCTGCAGCAAGCTCTCGGCGGCGGGTTGTTGTGACTTCAATCCCATCTTGATTGGATCATCGTTGTACTTCCTGATGTTAGAAGCACATTGTCACCAATCTGGGCAGCTAGTTCTGATGTCAAAATCACGGAGCCAAACTCCTCAGCAACATGACGTGCTGTCTGCACGGGTAACCATGTGTGTAAGCCGATGAGCTGCTCAGAGATAGCGGCATGTGCCAACAATGAACTGCCAAGCATGACTTGCACCGCTTGAATTCATACTTTGTTTAGAAAAACTAATAAAAAAAAGCCCATGAGCCACTACCTCTAAATTGCAGCATTGAGAGCTGCCCTGGAACTGGTTGCCCGCGTGATGCGTTCATTTTGGCGCCTGTAACTCTTCTCTAGCAAAGGAATTAACATGACGAGCCTAGCAGAACTCAATTACAACCTCCATACCTACATCACAAATCGCCAGGCCCTCTCCGCGGTCGCAAGCCTTCCATAGGCTTTTGCTACATGATCCAACCGTCCTGGCGAGATGGAGAAGAGCAGTTAGACGAGCTTCATGCACGTGACACAAACGGTTTTGCAGTCGAGGCTACTTGTTCTGGGCGCAGAGCAAGGAAGTGTTCTATCGTACGTTCAGAACAAGCAATTTGTACACAGCGCCGTCATGACGTACTTTGTGCACAAGCTCACCACTGTGGGTTGTTGCCCGGGCTGAAGTCCTCGTCGAGCGCATCTGCGCATTGGGCAAATTCGATCCTGCTTGTAAACAGTGACGCAGTCAGGCACGCCATCTTCCAGCACGCCACTTCCTGAACTCTCCATCTGTCGAACCTGAAGCGTCTAGAGGACATGAGATCAATGACCCAGATGCATATTGTCGTCATGTTCCTGGACGCCCCCCCCGAGTCTCTGCTAACTAATTCGCCAGATGGTGTGGCGGGTGGTCGATCACGAACCACCACTCTAGAGATCAGCCCACTTGGTGATTCCAGATAACCAATAGGAGGCTCGTCCTTGACACCATTTACCCCAGCCTTTCCACCTGTCTTGCCCGCCGATCGATCGCTCCCGCAAGGCGCGCCAGGGAAAGGCGGCAAGTACGATGTGTGTGTGTGTGTGTGCGACTTTAGAGTGTGCCGTGCCCACCGCTAGGCCAGCTCGGGTAAACAGCTCCCATGTTTTTCATGCCAAACTAGGGGGCTGGACCTCCTCCTGATCATGAATCATAGACCAGAGGTGGGTTCCTGAGCGCCCTTTGTCTTACTCCCTCCCCCCAAGCCACCTTCTTGCTCTCCAGGTTTTGGTTGCTTTTGGGTGCCGCTGCCGCTAGCCATGGACGGGTGATGCCAAGGGCAGTGCTGGCCGGTCAATTGAGAAAAGTAAAATCTTGGTGCTGCCGCTGGATTGACTCGGGTGAGTGTGCGAGCAACTAGAAAACCTGCCCAAGCCCGCAAGCCTCAACGCAGCCAGTTTTTGGAGCGTATTCTTGGATTCAACACGAAGCAAAACACGGAGCAACCGAATTCGAACTGCTTCACTACTCACCCACAGCCCACCTATCACTTTACCCACCGGGATTCTCAATCACTCAAAAACGTAACGTGGAGCGACAATGGGTAGCCAGGAACCAGAGAAAGGCGACAAGGGTATGTATTTTGGCAATGTTGAGTTCCGCGCCCCAAGCAATTTTTGCAAAACCCGCCGTGTCGATAGCACAGCTCGAAGGGGGAGCTGTCCGCTCCGTGTCAAGCAGGCTACACAACCTCACACTAACACGCACACGCGGTGGTACAGTCTCGTGGAACTGGGGTGGCGGCGCACCAGGCGGCACAGTCGCAGAGACCAAAAAGGAAGGCGAGATCGCCATCGAGTCCAAGAGGGGCAACACGATCAAGAAGAACGCCTCGCCGGACAACCCAGCCGTGCACATTTCGCGTTCGGGCAACGACGTCGTCAAGCGTGCGTCGGAGCTGACGGTCGAGGAAAAGGCCGGCGGCCACAAGGGCGAGAAGCGCAAGGCGGACGATGACAAGCCTGACGCCGAGGGCAAGTCTAATGGCAAGAATGAGAAGGACGACGATGACGACAAGGAGAACGGCGATGATAACGACGACGGCCCGCACGAGAAGAATGCGGATGGCAAGGAGGTGAAGAAGGGAGGCAAGGATGCCAACAAAAAGCAGAAGCGGGATCAGGACGAGGATGTTGCCAAGGAGGGCAGCAAGAAGGAGGATGGGGAGGACGTGGCCGACGAGAATGATGAGAACGACGAGAACGAAGATGACATGGACGTCGACGACAAGGAGAATGGCCAGCAGGACAAGGCAAAGTCCAAGCCGGCTCCGAAGAAAAACAAGACGAGAGAGGAAGACGAGGAGGCAGCCGAAGAAGAGGGTGATGCTGAGTATATCGAGGAAGACGAGGATGCTGGTGCGGAGCAGGAGGAAGATGACGGGGAGGCTGGCAAAGACGCTCACCAGCTCAGCAGCAAGAACAGGTCAACGCCAAAGGACGGCAAGCAGGCCAATGGCAGCAAGAGTGCCAAAAGCCATGACAAGTCTGAAGCACAGGATGGCTCGGGCGAGGAGGAGGAGACGGTGAGCACCCGCACGCGGAGCCACGCCAAGGCATGATTGGGGCGCGGAAGGAGAGCCGAGCGCCCATGGTGGCACCCCTGGGCGGCAGGGCGTGGGTGCCCCGGGCCCGTGTGGGGGTCCCCTGAGCTACAAATCTGGGGTGGTTGAGATGAGGCGGGCCACGATGTCCATCGGTCGGACTGTCGGAACCTTTAGAACAGCCCGGAGCAGCACTCGCCAGGCACACGTCGGCTTTGGCTTGCAGCTTCACCTCCTCTCCGTGTCACCCCACGAGCCATTGCAGCATGGGGGGCAGCATGCGGGCGTGCATGCAGCTTCAAATCTTGCCCGGCTTGTCCGCATGGACCGGTGGCATGCAAGGCATGTTGCGCAAGGGAGCACGGTCAACAAGGAGCGAAGCAGCTTGTGGGGTAATACCAAATGTCCGTACGGATGTAGAGATGGAATGCATCGCGATTTGTAGCAAGCCTCTGTCGTGGCCGCCGATCATCGAGCAAGCACACAGTGGGCGTTCTGTGTCCCTGGATCAATACTTACCTTGGCACTCCTCTCGTTCCAACATGACAGGACTCCGCCGATGTCGCTGAGGTTGTTGAAATGCCAATCCGGCGCCTCCGAAGCCAGACTTTGTCTCCGCTCCGCACGTAAAAGCAAGACATTGAACATTGCATGAACACAATGCGAGGCAATCATGGATGGAGCAGAGAGAAGGCAGCTGTGGTCAGGCTCACGGACCAAATGCTGCGTGCTCGATGCTCCCTAGGGTTGGCGCGTGAGTCAAGCAAGACCAGGGCGGGCGGGTATGGCTGGCACTGAGACCTATGTATCAGTCTCGTTTGGTGTGCCACGACGACGCCGGTTCCGGAGCACAGCGCCGCGACAATGAATGAGCATCACTTCCATGCCTCAGAAGTCCATCTGACGCGAAAATTTGAATGCTGACCAAGGCGTGCAGTGTGGCTGCATCGCCTGCGTGCCATGGCATGGATGTTGCTGCATGTATGCATCCACTGGGAACCTTGGTTGTTTCGTCGCACGGGATCAGCGGTGAACCCAAACGCAAACTCCGACAGGACGATTCCCCTCTCTCAGCAACCTTGGATTGCTGCCGGGTGATTTGACTGGTGGTCATCCCGACAGAGGGTGCACGCTCCTTGCTTCTCGTGGTTGAGCTGAACTCGTGGCTCTCCAGGCTGACGCAAGCACTTCGATGGCTTCAAATAGCTTCTTCACGTGGAAGAACAGCTCTTGAGCTACTGTAGGTAGCATGGCCAGCTGAATAAGACTACGCCGGTGGTGTACAGCTTGGCGCGACCATGCAAGCCCAGGGCCCAGGTTTAAACAATGTGACTGCAGGACTAGCGAGGTGGCAGCCGGCGATGGGGGCTTGGACCCCCCGAAAATAGCGACCCCCACCACACACTTTCCAATAAGCCTGCCCGTCTCGTAATGCTTATTGCTGAGCCTTGTAAAGGCTGGCGCAGCTCGTAACAATCTTGGCGTCAGGATCTAGCACGGTCACGAGGCGAACCTCGAACCTTCGACGGCATCGGCCCTTGTCAAGAAGCTCAGAGACAAGTTGCCTCATGGCCGTCATGATGCCTGCTGGGAATTCCTTATCGCGGCGAGACTCCGAATCAGATTTTCGTCACTGTGGGATTGATATGGGGAATTGTGTTTGGCCACGCCGCTATCGTGCTGGCGGTTTTGGTCGAGGATGCGCGGCCAGTGGCGAGGGGACCTGCCAAAACTGGAGCTTGGGTGGAGGTCGAGAACAAGCGTCGCCGGCGATCCAGAGCGCGAGATGAACCTTTCGTGTGGCATGGCACAGGGCGGGATCAGGCGGGCGGGTTCCCCGTGCGCGTTGCTGGGCGGATCTCGACAAGTCATTTCCCATCCACGGCCAGGATGTGCGCACCCTCGTGCAGCATGGAAGGCCCAGAAGCCGGGAACGGGCAGGGGGTCCCTGGCTGGCCGCGAGCGAATGGCAGGGAGTGCTGCAGGCCACGCAGGGCCGTCGCTCACCGCGAGCCGCCACCGGCGTCGACGGGTCGCGGTGGTGTGTGGGTGCCGGTGTGGTGGTGTGCAGAGTCTGCAGGGCGCGAGGCGAAAGGCTGTGAGAGAACGAGGAAGATGGCTTCCAGACACCCCCACTGGCAGCGGGGGCCCCCACTTGTCATCAAATTCAGTCTGCGCTGCCGGCCGCCCAGGCCTTCGAGCACTTGACTGGACTCTTCCAGGTGCATGACTGTGCCTGGTCAGCCGCCACACCCCCCTGGGCAGCCGCGCCGCTTGGCACCGCTGCTCGGTCGCTGCTGCCCTTTTTATTATCAATCCTCCCCGACTCGGGTGCCAGGCACTTCTTTCACGGGCCTGACTTTTGTTCTTTTATTCATTTACTCATCAGAGTTTGCTTTCCCGTCAATCACACATCCAGTCGTTCTTCACACCGCATCAGGCGACGCGACGCATAAGAGGTCTTCCATCGACGACAGTAGAAATCATCAAGAGATACACCGACACGACCACGCCCGGCTTCGGCCACCCTAAAAGCTCGACTTACACGAGCACTCACCACCTCTTGTCGAGCTTTCCCAACCACCAAAACCACAAAACACAGAGAACAGGATGCGAGGATTCACTGCCCCGCGAGCAGTTGCAGGCGCCATCAAGCAGATCACATCGACTTCCGCTCACGCCCCGAGGGCAAGCTTCGCCCCGGCCCCCGTGGCTCGCAGCGCTAGCACCGTTTCCCACCATGGCTCTGGCTTCGGCAGCCAACTTCTGGAGCCTGGAGTAGCTCTTAAGGGTTACTCTGGCCGTGAGTACGTCATTGAGAATGTCCTTCAGGATCGCCAGGACCGCTTTGTCTACCTTGCCAAGGCCGACGAGCAGAAATTTGTGCTCAAGAACCTGTTCGAGAACGAATACAACTACGCCTTGCCCCTGCAGCTGAGGTACAACAGCTCGCCTTATCTCCGGGCTTTGCGCGACACCATCCCTGAGCAGCGCATGTTTGTCAACGAGTACCTTTCGGACCACCTCCTCAACTTTGCCTTCAAGGACATCTCGTCCAACACACAGAAGCGGATCATGAGGGACGCTCTCCGTGGACTGGCGACTCTGCACGACCACAATATCGTGCACCTTGATGTCAAGGCAAACAACATCATGGTTGACTACAAGGAGACTGCCGAGGGCATTTCCGTTAGCCGTGTCCAGCTGTCCGACCTCGAGGATGCCACCTACATCCCCGTTGGACAGGCGCTCCGTGGCGTGGCTGTTGGCAACCAGCTCTGGCGTAGCCCCGAGGCCCATGCCGAGGGATTCGTGGGCAAGCCCTCGGATGTGTTCTCCTTGGCACTTGTCGTAAGTTGTCACTGGCTACCTTCGACAATGCCCGATCGTATGCTAACAAAGATAACCCAGTTCATCTTCCTGCGTCTGAAGCGAGTCATCTTCTACAACGAGAACGATTCACAGACTCTGGATCCCATGGCCGAGATTCTTTCTCGGCAGATCTCCACTTTCGCCGAGTGGAAAGACTTTGAGGCTTTCCTGAGCTACCTTGGCCACCGCCACCCTCAGGTTCCTCGATTCCGTCGCATCGCGGAGACCTTCACCGAAGAGAACCCTCGACACCCCTTCGGACTCTGGAAGAGCGACGCTCTTGACACTCAATTCAAGGACCTCATCCGCAAGATGACCAACTTTGACCCGCGCAAGCGCGTCACTGCCCAGCAGGCTCTTCGACATGCCTTCTTCAAGGACATTGTCGAGGAGTAAGAGCAAGAGCATCGCATGGCACAGCGTTTCATTTGTTGTCAGATTTATTTTTCACTCTGAAGTTTTCGCATGGCGTTCTGAGATTTATGGCCTTGGTCATAATAGAGAGGGCAGTGGGTAACAACCACAAGATCATGACACCTACAATTGGGAAGATTTGCATTAGGCGATGGCGTTTGGGTAACAAAAAGCTATTAACGGGATCTGAAAGGTCCACGTTTGGGATTCGGATACACAATCACGGCCTGGCATGGCTGATATGGGACACTGGATAATCTCTACCCAAGCCGAGAAACGGCGGGCTGGAAAGAGATGATTAGAGCAAAACACCTAATACTAATACGTCTTCCCCTAAGATGCCACGGCATTCACGGGGTAACTCAACATCACTGTTCGTTCTTGAAAATATGTTCCACGGTCTGTGTTGATACAGGTTTCACATATCATGCGTTTGGTTCGTGATCTCTATGTGACGAAGTCCAGTTCTACCCTGAAGCACAGAACTTTGCCTTGCAGCTGCCCATGTTCTATTGCCCGCAGAACAGAAGCAGCGAGTGAGGGAGGCCACAATCAACAATGTCTTGTCTCCTCGGGGAATACTTGCAGTACCTATATCCCCAAGTCACTCCATCCGCCGTGACTTAATTCCTCCATCTCACTGCGCCCTGCGGCCCCCTCCGGCCCCCTGCGGTCGAGTCGGCTGCTGCCACGTATTTTTCTTTCCGCCAGCCCTGCTTGTTGCTGTTTGCAACATCCTTCATCGTCGGAAGCTGACGGCGAGGGTTTTCCTTAGGCAGCAGGCACGATACCTGCTTCGCAGTCTTCGTCGTCGTGATTGTCGTGGCTGTCTGACGTAGGCGACCGGCGCGGAGGTGCGGGATGCACAGGAGGATGAGGGGGCGGAGGAGGCCGGACGAACAGCAGCGCCAGCAAGCCCGCAAGCGCGCACGCGCCGAGGTATATAAAGGGGAGGCCGTACCAGATCTGGGCATTGCCACCGCCAACACCATCGCCATCGCCATCGCCACCATCGCCGCCGAGCTTCATCCCCTCCGAGAACAGCCAAGCGAGGAGCAACCCTGCCGGCAGACCGCCGATGGTCTCGACGATGCTGATGAGCGTGAACAAGCTGGACGTGCGCGCCGGGGTGGTGAAGTTGGTAATCATGCTCCTGCACAGCGGTAGCAGACCCGAGCCGAGGGACTCGACGGCGAGCGAGCCCACGAGGATGTTGTAGGACGGCGTGTTCAGGCCGAAGAAGCCCAACAGGCTGAACAGCGCGGAGAGCTGCGCTAGGAGTAGGTCCCGCGCGAAGGGGGAGAGGGGGGCCCGGCCCCGGCGCTTCGTGGAACGGCGGCCGGACGTGGCGGCGGCGGCGGATGTGGACGCGGAGGACGAGGACGAAGACGAAGACGAGGAGGTAAGCCACCACGACAACAGCGGTAGCAGCCCGCCCATGATCACCAGCGTCAGGCCGCCGCGCAGGGCAAAGAGGTAGCCGACTTCCTCGATGGTCTTGTGGTACCGCTTGCTCACGTACTGCACAAACGTCTGGCCGAAGCCTTTGCCCAGAGGCGCGGTGAGCATGAAGACTAGCAGCAGCAAGATGACGGAGCGCTGGCGGAGCTCGCGAAATATTGTCTGGGCTTCAGACAGTTGATGCCGGCAGTGTGCTTTTATGGTCGCGAGCCAGCCTTTGTCCTGGATCTGGCGCCATATGTCTGACTCGTCGTCTTCCGTATTCGCACCGTCGTAGTCAGTGTCTCGGCGAGGAGAGCTGGGGAGGAGATTGTCTATTTCCTCCTGGCTTTGCTGGTAGTGGACGTTTTGTCTCCTCGTGTGTCTGTCTCCAGCTATCCGTGGGGCCTTGACCTGTCCAGATTTTCTTGGCTGGGCTGTCTCGGGAATCAACAACATGACCAGTCCCGCCGCGGTCGTGAAGATGGGCGACAGCATAAGGGGAGCCCAGGGTGAAAACGAGCCCATGAGCGCTGATGCGAACGGGGGGCCAAGAAAGACCGCCGCCTGTGCCGAGAGGGAGAAGAAGAAGTACCAGTTTGCTCTTTCATACACAGTGACAAGTCAGCCTGCTTGCAAATGAGGAATCCTATGGTCTGGGTTAGGACAGACAGCACGTACCTGTCTTCTGGCTTGTGCACGTCGGAAATGACGGCAAACAGTACCGCCACAGCAGTCGCCAGCCCGCCACCACAAATCTGAAATAGAGGCCCTAGGAGGACCAGCTCCACGGGGAAAATGTTCGAGAAGTAGAAGATACCCAGTGACCAGGTGACGTTCAGCAATTGGCCCAGCGCCCCAAGCATGTAGATTGGTCGACGGGCGCGGTCCGCCAATACACCAAAAGGAAAAGCCAGGAGCACGCCAATGATGCTGTCGAGCATAGACGTAACGCCGCCGACGTACGCCATCGCGGACTGCACGGCCTCGGCCTTGCACAGGGCATCGTAGCTGTCGTCCCCGTAGTGGATATCGGGGTTTTCGTCGCCGTAGAAGCGCTGGCAGAAGAGCTCCTCAATCATCTGCATCGCCGGGATCAAGGCGACCATGCCCGACATGACCCATAGGAACACGGCGAGGCACAAAACGGCCGCGATGCCCTTCGGCGTAGTGATGATGCCATCGCCGAGCCGGCTCCCTGAAAGAAAGCCTCGTCGTTTTTGGGACCTTGCGTGTGCAGGTGGGGATCGAGTGCCGTGGGACGGCTGTAGGAATGCTACATCTTCTCCAGCATCTGAGCTGTCGTCGACTTCAAGCTCGAGTGCATCGGGCGGGTTGTTGGAGCGAGCCATGCTTTCATCTCATGGCTACCAGATGTTAAGCGGAAATAACTTCAAGAGAACAGCTGCACGGAAAGACCGTCGAGGAACCAAAGCCTCGAGTGTCATGGCGAGGACGTGGGGGCAAATGTGCCTCGATATATATACACTCAAGACATGCTCTATTACTGGGCGGGCTCAACCGAGTCTCGAATAGGCCTGACTCTTGGCTGGGCATGCCTGGTGATGGACGGCCACTAGCATGAGCTTGTCCTAGACAACCTTGGCCCGGTTCAGCTGTTCCGGGAAACGCTCGAGCATGAGTGGCTGACTCTTGCACACACCAACGCTGTCTGGCAGTCTCAGTTCGTCTCAGCCACGCCCGATTTCAGAGACATGCAGGCCCCTGGGCGCCGGGGATTGGCGGTGCTGGGCTGAGCGGAGTTGGGGACTTTCGAGGTCTGCTAGAGTGGATGCATGCCTGTGGTTGGGCAGTCTGGGGCTCAGCCACGATGTCGACAATACGATCTGTACGAGCAGGCGGGTTCAGTGGAGGAGCCGTCGACCTGGAGACCCCTGCCAATGCCCGTGAAGCCTCGAGATGGTCAATTGAACGCTGCCGACTCCACACTCATGAAAGTGGACTCGAGCCCTTGATTGCCGGACTGACTCACGCCGGCAAGTCCCACGATCTCGACGAAAGAGTTGACCCCGGAATTTGTACATATATCAGACTACACTGGCGCTCGGCAGATGTGCAACAGGTACTTCTCAACGGCAGCCACAACTACTGCTGGCGCATCACAATACACGACAGAGCCAACAGCCAAAGAAAAAAAACACCACATGGCTTCTCACGACTCTTCTCCAACACGGCCAATGGTGCTTGTGCGGACCAGCTTTCCCCCATGCCCTCTACCTCCAAATGCTCAGCGGCCTCCCATCAAGACTAAGCGCCTCATCCTGCGTCCGATTATCGAAAGCGACCTCGAGGGCATGCACAGATTACGCACACAACCGGAAGCAATGACCGGCACGTCACGCGGCGTGCCAGACACAAGCATGGACGAGACACGCAAGGCGATGGAGTTCTTTCTGCCGCCCAACGACGGCGTGCAGTACCTCTTTGGCATCTTCTGGCAGGCCACGGGAGAGCTGATTGGCGAGGGGGGCATCCACAACCTCGAGTCGGGCAGCAGCGGGTGGCCAGAGATTGGGTACAAGCTGCGGAAGGAGTTTTGGGGCCAGGGCGTAGGCACAGAGTTCCTCAGGGCCTTTGTGGCTTCATGGTGGGCGCTGCCAGGCCGGGAACCGATTGTGCGGAGGGTTCATCGAGACAGCTGTGTGCCGCTTGCGCCGGAGAGCACCACGACGACGACGGCGACGACAGGCGACGACAACAAGACTGAGGAGCCAGTGGACGTGGTTGAGCATGTCTATGCCAACACGGACTGGGACAACATTGGCAGCCAGAAGGTGATGGAAAAGGTGGGGTTTGTCAAGTTTACGGAGTGGACGGAGCCAGAGACGCGGCTCAACCTGCAGGGTCAGACGTCGAGACTGTTTGGATATCGACTGGCCAGGCCAGTCACGCCAGTGGCCTGATTTGCATACTTGTCTACGAGGATATTGCGGATTAATCATCAGCATCACTGGGAAAAATTGACAGCTGCACCTTGGCATGTAATAGCTGGGGCCGGTTCCCAATGTTCAATGCACAAGCGGGAGAGGCGGCAAGCGGCTATCGGAATGCTTGCCACATGGGCAGGTGGAGAAGCGTCTCGCTGACCTCGTGATGCCAGGCTGCCAGTGCGTGCTGCAGGTGTTGGCGTGGATGCAGATAGAGTGCCAGGGAATGCCCTGGCGGCAGCCCGGACACTGGCGATACAGCATGTCAGGTTTGCAATACGGCGCGTCTGGTGCTCAACAAGTCTGGGTTCAACAGGAGACTCGCCTATGGTCGCCTGGGAACTGCAGATGGTCCTGGAGATTCCATGCTGTGGCCAGGGCAGATTGTAGAGGGTGGCTCCACCACGTCCACGGGTACCTCGGCGGAAGCGTCCAGAGGGGTCGGGTGGGTGTACCTGTACCTGTACCTGTGCCTGTGACTCCGCCCTGGCAGCGGCGCGAGGGCCGCCTGACGACACGGGCGCCCACTATTGTATGAGCACCACCCCGTTGCGTCCAGGCAGCTAGCCTTGCCTGCCTGCCTGCCTTCCCGCCTGCCCGCCTGCCTGCAAGTGCCTGCCTGACTGGTGACCGGGTGAAGGACCGTGAACACTCGTGCTGACGGATAGACAGACGTATGAGGCTGTCATGGCACCTTGCTTTTGTCATCCCATCTAGAACCGCACGGCTTCAGCAGCCACTCACCTGCTCCTTCCCCTTCTCCTTCTCCTACTTCTCCTCGCAGTTCTTCTCACTTCGCTTGCTTCCGTGTTTGCCAATCTCCAGATTTGGCAGCCCGACCCGTGTCGCACACAGCAGCCAACATCGCCTAGGCGGACCTCCGCCAACCGATCGAGTCACGCCCGCCGAGCCCCATTGCCCCCCCGCCACTGCCACGCCTTTCCGCCGACTCACATCTGACTCTCCCCAAACCTCCATCCGTCATCACCACCTCCAACACCACCACCACTCCCACCACCCCCCGCGTCACAGCCACCCGCTACGTCCCTCACGATAAAGTCGAAGGGAAGATCCGGGTCTCACCCGACCGCCACCATTCCTCCCACCACCAGAAAACGAAAGGCCGCTGAGGCGAAGATAGCCCGGTCGTCGACCGACCCTGACGCTCCCCCTCCCAAGCGTCCCTCCGCCTCAGCAGCCACAGAGCAGGACGTCATCGTCACCCACGCTCCCTCCCCAGGGTCTGCTCCCGAACCCCTCACAGCGATATCCAAACCCACGGCAGCAGTCGTCGCATCCTCCTCAGCGGCACCGCCCACCCCTCTCACAACCGGCACAAACATGGATTCCGACGACGACTTCATCTCCAACATGTCCAGCGACGACGACGTGATGCAGGACGACACAGACAACGACGATCTCTCGGGCGCCGAAGGTATGTCACATCCCTCATTGTGAATTTCTCTGGCAAGACTCGATCGTGCTGGTTCGTACTTGTACACAACCAAGGCCAACCTTGGTTGCTTGAAACTGGACACAGGTTCTTGAACTTTGTCATGCTGTTAATGGTCCAAACATCTTGGTCGAGCCGAAAGTGGCTAACTCGTCTCCTCGCAGATTTCGACGTCTTCGAAGAAGACCCCGATGATGATCCGATCCTTGCCTCCCAGAAGAGCGACAAGAAGAAGGGCAAAGCTTACGAAGTCAGCTACCGTGTATATCACCCGGCGGACATACAAAAACAACAAGACGAGATGATGGATGAGGTCAACATGATCTTAGACATGCGGCGAGAAGACGCTGCCATTCTCCTCAGACACTTCCGATGGAACAAAGAACGATTGCTCGAGGACTACATGGACAGGCCGAGCAAGGTGCTCGAAAGTGCCGGGTTGGCTTCAAACACTTCAGACTTGCCAGAGCTCGAGAAGATTCCTGGTTTCATGTGCGATATTTGTTGCGAGGATGACGAAGACCTCGAGACTTTTGCCATGAAGTGTGGTCATCGGTATTGTGTAGATTGCTATCGGCACTACCTTACACAGAAGATCAAGGAAGAAGGAGAGGCAGCTCGGATTCAGTGTCCCACGGATGGCTGCCACAGAATCATTGATGCCCGCTCGCTCGACCTCTTGGTGACCCCCGACCTGACCGACCGATACCAGGAGCTGCTGAATCGCACCTTTGTTGAGGACAAGGATACCCTCAAGTGGTGTCCTGCGCCAGACTGCGAGAACGCCATCGAATGTGCCGTCAAGAAGAAGGATCTCGACCGGATCGTTCCTTCTGTGGCGTGCGATTGTGGTCACCAGTTCTGCTTTGGCTGTATACTGAGCGACCATCAGCCAGCGCCGTGCGAGCTTGTCAAGAGGTGGCTGAAGAAGTGTGCGGACGACAGCGAGACTGCCAACTGGATCTCGGCAAACACAAAGGAGTGTCCCAAGTGTAACTCGACGATCGAGAAGAACGGCGGCTGCAACCACATGACGTGCCGGAAGTGCAAGTACGAATTCTGCTGGATGTGTATGGGCCTCTGGTCAGAGCATGGCACAAGCTGGTACAACTGCAACCGCTTCGAAGAGAAGAGTGGCTCGGATGCCCGGGACGCGCAGGCCAAGTCCAGGCTATCGCTGGAGCGATACTTGCACTACTACAACCGGTACGCCAACCATGAACAGTCAGCCCGCCTGGACAAGGACGTATACCAGAAGACGGAAAAGAAGATGGTGCAACTCCAGACAGCATCAGGGATGTCCTGGATCGAGGTGCAGTATCTGAACTCGGCCTCTCAAGCCTTGCAGGTCTGCCGCCAGACGCTCAAGTGGACTTACGCGTTTGCCTTCTACCTTGCGCGCAACAACCTGACAGAGATCTTTGAGGATAACCAGAAGGATCTCGAGATGGCTGTGGAGAACCTCTCGGAGATGTTTGAGAAGCCCATCGCGGAACTCGCCGACGCGAAGCTCAAGGTCGACATCATGGACAAGACTGCGTACTGCAACCGGCGGAGAGTGATTCTTCTCGAAGACACGGCGGACAATCTCGCAAATGGTATGATCTAAGCCGTCCCGTGTTCAAGCACAGATCCGAGGTCGACAATTTGCTAACAAGATAACAAAATAGGGCGATGGACCTTTAACGTCGATGTTAAGAGCCCTGCAGCGGCGTCTGCGTCTCGCCGCTAGATATCTCATCTAGACTAACGCGGATCACGGTTTCAAGGTATAAACTACAGTCAAAGTATACTATCTTCATGGGACAGGAGTTTGAGGTGGGCATCAGTACGGAGCATTCAGGGTCGCCAGCGCACGACATAGCGCTTCTCAGCCGGAAGGAAACAGCGTGCAGTATACACGAAGCCTGCGGGTGCCACCGAAGCCTTGGTGTTCACGCTGAGTGTGTTTACAATTCGTTTCAATCACAGCATGTTTCGTCTTATAAGCAAGCCTAAGTTTTAGTCGTTCCTGCCATATACACTTGATGAAAGCCGTGCTGTGTCTGTTGTGGTCGATCCGCCGCCTGATCTGGCATCGGTAAAGAAAGCCCTAACTCAAAGTCCGAAGTGAAGCCTTCGCCGCCGCGTTTTGCTACTGATGATAGACCAGTCAGCCAGAACCACCAACAAATTTTGAACCTGGCCGCATTACCAGTTGAAGGAAGTTAGCTTATCGCATGCTTCCGCCTTAAACATCGCCTCTTCTCGTCACTCCTGTCAACCTGATGCTGGAGCGGGGAACTTAGTACGAGCATGTCCCCATATTTCAGTGAATCGGATTCGCTTCAAGCCGGTGTTTGCGGTGGATGCGGTCGGTATTTTGAGACTTTGCGAACTTCAAACACTTTTGTCCCATGTGTCCACATGTTGTGTGTATTTATCTGTCAGCAATCAGCTCTCTCTGTCTCTCTGTCTGCGCTCTATAGTCATCTTTCGGATGGGTTTTGCACTGGTCCATCAGTTGCGTGTGTGCACATCGTATAATGTAAGTTAGTATGTTGTGCGGCGTCCCTTCTGCGCTTTCCTTTACATCCCAGAGCCCGCTGATGAGTTTCGTGGTACGCCGCCCCCCTCCGTGGTCCCCGTCGTTCGCTGGTGATGAAATTGTCTGGGTTCCAACCAGCCACCCCTCCTCCCCACGAGGTTCAGGTCATGGGCGATGATAAAATACTATTGCTTCCCCATCTGCGAAACTCTCAAACTCGTTGGGCGAGAAAACAAACAACTACCAGGGGCCCTGGTTTGGTTGGAATTCTGGTGTTCGACAACACTACATTTCATATGAAATGTCCATTTCTAGTCCTTCAAATATTGGACCGATTCTGACATCACTGACCTGTGTAAGCGAGCGGGGCAATAAGTTCTGGAGGGCAGTGACGATAGGCTCGTAGATCGTACGTCACGGGGACGATCTATTCTGGCCTTGTAAACATCCGCTCGCCGAATACCAGAGGTAAACGTCGACCAGGACGTCGACGGATTGATAATCCGTACCCCTGAATGGGTGGTGGCAGATCGGCAAGTGACGAGAAGCGAACCTATGACAAACGCTGTATGGGCAAGGAGGGAGGGGGGCGTTGCACTGCAGAATGTCTTTGCAAAGAGACATGCTTCTGGGGTCGTCGAAAAATCTTGCTGTATGCACGCTCGGATGCGGCAATCTATCCCAGGCGTCAGAGAAACCAGCTTTGCGATGCAACCCTCCCTCTCTTGCTGCCCGCGTATGAATTTGGGAAGCGTGTTGGACTGCCGAACGGCCGGAACGACATGGAGGGGTTGCCATGTGGGCGCACAAACATCGTGTGTGTTTCAGCAGGCCGTCGTGACAGAGGGTTCACGTGTTATCATGCATAACAGAGACGGCATATGCAGGCTTTCTGACAGGAAGCAGGCGTGGGTGTGGCCTGTAGAGGGGGGGCCGGAGATATTCAAGTGCCTTGCACATTGCAAGGACAGGCATTCGCTAGTCTACACCAGCTGGAATATCGGATGGCCTTTGGCGTGCGTTCTCTGGGACTTGGTCCCAGGCTCTTCCGTTGTTGTTTGACTGCTCGTTGCTGTCCACCACAGCATCTTCCCCTTTCGCATCTCACTGGTCAAATTTGGGTCTTGAAACCTACGGCAGCTCGACTCAGACCAGACGCCGATGCGGGGCTCAAGTCTTCTGTAGACATGCAAAGGTCCTCTTGTGCGAGAGCCTGCCAACAGACCCCTCTACTCACCAATTGTGATTCGTGAGCACACACACGCCTCTGCATGGGCACATGGTCGTGTTCGCCCACCACGACCCTTCCTATTGCAAGCCCCGCATCAGTAGCGTAGATCTTCCCTGTCAATGTCTGCAGCTGGTGGAGGCGCCTGGGGTCATGCGGCATAAATCCTGGCAGCCTGCAAGTGGATACGCAGTTCTCGGCATTCTCCCGATGGCCAGGACGTAGCGAGTCGATTGTTGGTGTTGCATACTCCAGGATGATAGAAACAAGACACAATGACGTCGCCACGAGTCGGTAGGAATGCTGTAAGATTTGGCACAGACCTATATTCGAGGATGCCAAGCAGCCTATAAGCGAGGTTATTTCTTGTGATATCATCTGGGACTTGTAGTTGGGTCGTCGGCTTGGACACGGAGGGTCTCGGAGAAATCGTTATCAATCCCTGGGATTAAATTACTTGAATGACGACCAGGCCCAGACCCCGCGTGCTAGCACTGGAAGCGGTGAAGCGCAGCAGCTGTTGCTCGGATTGAGCTAAGTCTTTTCAACAATGCGGTAGCGTCCTTCGGTCCGCGGCGAAGTGGCGCTTGCGGGCCTCGCGGAGACGCCACGGCAGATCCCACATCACGACCCTTGTGTGTATGTAGAGTATGTTGCCCTCCAGCTTCGGGCACAACTGGATGCGCCCCGAGCGGCGCATCACTAGCTTCGAAAGATTCCAAGGTAGTGGTGTATTCGGCCACCACTCTCACGTTCGAGGACCCCGAGCTGATGAACCTGTAGACATGCTTTCCTGAGCCAGGCACGTGCTGGCTAATTACTCAGTAAGGCACCCGGCGGTGACAACAAGGACCTCCACGTCAACTACACCAGCTTGGATCCATTCCTATATGTGGATAGAGCAAGTCTCAAGGAAAACCACACGATGTTGATCCTCCTTGCGAAGAGTGAAGAAACAGCACAGTGGCGCCCTAGGCGTAGAATGGTGTGGTGGTTGATTGTGGGATATCAGTCAAGAGCTCGGCTGCCTGACGAAGCGGCCCGCAGTGGCTTGGAGTCTTAGGATCGAATGGTGGACAACATGCGCACTGGAGTGGTGGGTTGGCGTTTCATTCGTCAGCGCCTCTATCCACTGTAAACGCTAGTGTGGCTGATCCGCAACATCATTGTCTGTCAGGCGTTGTTGGTCCGTAGCAGTCTCGGCAGTTTCAAGGCAGAAGAACAGAGTCGACCGCCAGTAACACCGCAGCCCCCAGCTGTCCCCCTCGGACGCGTCATGGTCTCGTGTTTGTATGCATGCCAGAGGGCCGTTGCCGCTGAGAGAGGTCATTGGGGCCTTGGCAGTCTCTCGGACACCCTCAACGTCGTGCTGGTTGTCTGGAAGGTGATTTCGACCGACGGGCGCGTCTGTGGGCTCACTATGTGTCGCGTACACGTCGCTGTTTGGATTGAAGATTTGCGGCTCACGATTTGCGACAGGGGTGAATCGGTTTGCACGGCAGATGGGACTTCGGAGAAAGGCACCACCAGGTGGCTGGCTGCCTGAGGAGATAATCCACCCCAGTCAGAGATAACGTGCGCGGGCGCGGCAACGAGGCAGGTGCAATCATGTGAGTCCACCAGCTGCCAAAGTGAGCCCAACAGCTCCACCGTCCAAGTGGACAACGACCCTTGACCAGCCAACGAAGCTTCCCTTGCCGGCGGCATGCTCGCATACCACTTGACCGCATGGATTACTTGCCGACTACAGCTCCGGGGAGATATGAGAGGCATCCATGGACTGCCGGAAAACGCATGGGATGTGACTCTGTCGGCCTGGAGATTGTACTTGCTCGCCAGTGCCAGCGCAGCGGTCACGATTGTAGTGAGTCTCAAATAAACCAAGCCAAGATAAAGCAATCGGCAAGGGGGAAAAAAAAAGTTGCGGTTCGGCTCGTTCGAGTTAAGCCAATGAGCATACAGGTCACAGTGCTGGGGTGTCTAGTTCGTGCCTCGAGTAATCTCTGGATGGCTGGCAGCATCTGGGAATCAGCACATTTCAGCGCTTGGACCTCGGATCTCCAAGAAAGGCAAGCCGTGCCGGTCGACCTTGTTGGACCTCGAAATTATATTCTCCTCCAGTGACTGCCTCTCCTGCTAGGAACGAAGTGCACGAGGCCAGTCAGGATGAACTGGACATAATTTTCATCGACTGCACTCTGGGCCCTGGCATGACTCGACTCAATCCGTTACCACGGCCAGATCAATCCAATCGCGGCCATCCACGACCCAAGTCGATCATCAAGGTGAGAGAGCACGAGATTGAAGACCGGCATTCTGCTCACGAACCGGAACAGCCTGCGGGCCTCGCTCAACTCGGCAGTAGACAGTAGCCAGTCGTTGGTGGCGCGTTAGCTCTCGAACCATGGAAATACAGCTGGTCCCGTTCCAGATCTTTGCGTCCAGCAATTGTGCAGAAGACTGGGTGCGGGTCGGCACAGCTCTATTATCTCCTTCCAGGACTCGAAAGAGAGGGGCGATGTTGGAACAACAACACAGCCTGATGCTCCCACACCACACAACTGGCGGTGCTGAATCGCCGGGCCATATTTGAGCTGACCGAAGGCTAACCACTCCAGAGCGCCACGCAGCAATCTGTCCAAGGCGCCCGCGCCCCCAGCACCCACGAACGCCCGCTCATGTCCAGCTTGCAGGGGCCCCTTGCTGGGCTGCCCATCGTGGCAGGCAGGTGGGTGGGCTAGAGCAGGCGGAGCCACCAGTGATGCACATCTCCCGCCCTCGGACGCTCACCTCGCCCCGGCTCGCCCCACGCGCATCGAGGGCAACCCTGCAAATAAGACCTGGGGACGCCCTCCACCTCGACATCCCCGGGAACCCCTCCATTTGCCAGTCTTCAGCTTTCTCCCGGCCAGAAACCCGGCCTCCTGTCCTGCCTGCTTCTTCTGTTGAGTGGCTGGGCCAACCACCCGTACCCTGCCCGCAGCACCCTCGGTCCTGGATCTCAGCACAACCTCTACCGTGCTACTTGGCATACAGCTCCATGTACAGCCGTAGCCATCGTCTCATGAATGCAAGCATTACTTGACGTGTCCGCCAGCTCGATCGAGGCACACCGCAGACGGAGGGTCTGACATGTCATCTTGTCACAGTCTCGTTCGCAAACTATGGATCGCCACATGAACATGCGGCTCGACGATGCAGACCTGTCGTGGTCAGATAACCAGAGCATGGGCTCCGAGGACAACTCATCCGGAGCCATGCTCCCACTTTCACAAAACTGGACAACAAACGCGACCGCGAGGATGACGACGGGCCAGCTTTCGCCCATCAGCACGGAATTTGAGCACTCCATGGGCCGCAGCATACATCGGCATTACGAAATGCCGACTATGGTCCACTCTGCGGCGTCATCTTGTGCGAATTCCTGGAGCACGAGCTTCAGCCAAAGCACGTCAGAAGCTGAGGATGCCGACAACGATGTGCATTGGGAGCAAGACTCGGATGATGTATTACTTGCCCCCAAGAACGAACCCTCGGAAGACGACGTGTTCCGCATAGACGATCTCAAAGAGGCGCCGAGGACGACTCCCGTACCGTCGTCCAGATCAGTACAGCAAACCCCAACAAAGGCCAAGCGCCCACGAGGGCGGCCGCGGAAACATCCAATAGTGCCACCAATAAGTAACACGAAGGTAGCCAAAGGAAGATCAAAAACTGGTAAGCTCTCATGACCCATAGAGCACTGAGGCACAAGCTGATGGTACTGAATAGGCTGCATTACTTGTCGGAAACGAAAGAAGAAGTGCGACGAAGCCAAGCCGAGGTGTAAGGAAAATCCAGTCTACTGCGCCTTTCCCTACATCCAGACACTGATCTTGTTCCGCAGGTATGAATTGCGAGAAAAATGCCGTGGTATGCGAAGGCTACAATGAGAAGACTGTCTGGAAGAGTGGTAAGGAGCGAGCAGACGAAGGTGAGAATATTGAGAATGCCCAGCTCGACAACCCTGCAATTCCTACTTACGCATTAGTGCAACAGAACGAAGAAGGCAAAGCCTACCGATGATTACCTTACAACCAATTTTCCAAGGGGTTGAAACACCTGAAGATATGGTTTTCCTAAACCACTACATCCATCAACTTAGTGGCGTCTTGACCGTCGAGAGCCATCATAAGAACGCGTTCAAGGACATGCTCCTGCAAATGGCCGTTGAGCACACAGGCTTGATGCATTCCATTCTCTCTCTCGCCAGCAGACATATAGACACCCAGCAAGATCAAGGTTCTGCACTACTCGCCGCCAATCCAAAGGTTTCTCTGGAATCCTTGCAAAGCCGTTCGTTGTTTCATCATAACGCTGCCATGGATCGCTTCCACGATGACATTTATCGGGAGCACAATCGTATGGAGTCTGGAGACAAGGTCAACATCTCCTTTCGCTATGCTCAGATGCTCTGCCTGCTGCTGCAAACCATTATAGAAGGCAATGCGACTGGGGAGCACCGAGTGCATCTCCTCGCCTACAAACGGCTGATACGAGACTCGCCGCCGGACGACCCGGCATTCCTCGTCTTCATCACAGAATTCTTTCAGTTTCACGTCTTCGCAGATGAACTCATTCGCTACTCGGATATCAACGCACCTGAGCTGGCATCCCAAGATTGGGAGCCGTGGCTCCCCATCAAGCCCGCCCGCATGATTGGCGTGGCAGACGGACTTTTCAAGCATCTCTGCCAGATCACCGCCATACGAAATGGCATCAGGGCCAATATGATTGCGGAAGCGGATCCGGTTGTGGATTATGCCTCATTATACCAGGCTGCAGAAATCGACACGGCGATCCGCGACTGGACCCCAGACTGGCCTGCGGGAGATAGCCGTAACCGAGTCGGACTTCTTTACCAGCAAATGATGTGGGTCTATCTTTTCCGAACTATATATCCACCGTCGTCGGCATCTTCTAGCCACAGTGTGATGAGCAGCTCGGTGGACAGCATCGTGCCGGCTCGCTCACGGACGCCTCTACCTGCCCAACCACCAAATACACCTCCACCATCAGAGCGACCAACAAGCAGCAGGGCATCGTCGCCGCCTTCATCGCGCGACGACTCGCCAGCGCCTATACGCTATCCACCTCACCATGACAGCAGGATCACCACAGCAGTAGATGAAGCGCTGGCGATCATGGTATCGTTGGATTCCAAAGACCCGTGTCAGAGGCTCTTGCTTATTCCTGCTCTTGTCATTGGTACCGCCTGCTTTGCGCCAAGCCAACGCGACAAGGTGCGGGTGGCTGTACGTCGCATACGACAATACACCGGGTTGCGTAATTGCGACCGTGTGCTCGAAGTTTTGCAAGAAGTGTGGCGCCTGATGGAGTATGGAGATTGGGCTCGTGTCTGGGACTGGCAAGGCGTAGCTCGAAGCATGAACCTAGATTTTTGCTGCGCATAGAAGACAGAGTATGAGATGGCCGGGTCACGTAGTCCAGGCACCTTCTTCGACCCATTCTGACGACTGAACGCTCATAATAACTAACGGTTGTGCCCGCCCACGTCCCGAGCTTGTGAAGCCAGTCATGTTGCGCAGCTTATGCGAAGCCACTTCCAGGCCCTCATTCGAGCTATAGACGCCGGCCAAAATCTCCACGCACTATTTCACCGAGCCAGTGCAACGCTTCTTGGTTATGAATGTTTTGGTTGGCAGTAACTCAGACTCGGTATGCAATCAAACGTTGCGAGGGGCACCTTCGCTGCACCAGCGCAATCCGCTGGGTTGTTGAAGTGGGCGCAAGTCGTACAGTGTGTACTCTGTGGTGTGTGGGCCAACATTGCTTTTTCGCACTTTGGGTGGCGGCGCCCTGAGGGAACAGTGCTCTGCCACACCGGAGGTTGGCAGGACCGAACCTGTGACCATAGGGTAATCACAGCCTCTTCACCAAGGCGAATCCGCGTCTTTGACCAGCAGCTGGCACCCCAGACGCGGTCCATGCAAAAACGCGTAAAGACTGCCGAACCAACCCAATTGCGCAACTCGAGATCCCCTCACTTTGCCGCAACTTTCTGCGCCCACGCATCCCCCCAAACCGCACTCTTTTGTGTGCAGGTGAAAACCACACGTCCTGCTCCCAATCTCCGCCTTTTTCTGCCAACCCCAGTCCAGCCAATGCACGTGACGCCGCCCAAGTCGTGCACCCGAACCAGCGGCCACCCCGGGAAAAAAAACTAGCCCTCCCAGACTCGTCCGCAGAACAATGCTTCCAAATGGGTCAGAACCAGAGCCAATCCGCGCAGTCTGACTCCCCGGATACTGGAGACCGTGAGCTCGAACACTCCGACCCTGATCGGCACGATCGAGATCAGAGTGCCTACCGACGCGACAACGACAGCGACAGTGAAGCCGACCGGCCTGCACCTGACAACGCGCGGCTGCAAACTCCCTCTATTCCGCCCAAGGAGGAGCACGAGCCTGCGCACCTAGCGTTTTCGAGCCAGATACCAGGAGCTACGCAGGACCTGGACCCTGCTCTGCGATCCCACTGGGGGGTTTCGAAACGCGCCAAAAGTTATCGCAACGTCTCATTGTCCTCCCCACCACCAACAATAGCTTCGTTGGCGAAGGACGAAATTGCGGAATCTCCCGAGCGTTTCATCCCACCATCGCCTCGCCCCGACTCGCCCGAATTGAGCGCTTCCCCGTCTCGCGCTCGAGCTTCCGCAACGCAAGCTCAAGGCCGCACATTCGACGAGCTCGCGCTGGAGTCGTCCTCCCAACCACCTGAAGGCGAGGAGTCGCCGGATGCTCGGAGGCAGCGCAAGCTGGCCAAGAAGGAGAAGCGCGAGCGCAAGAAGAGCCAGCAGCTTGCACAAGCCGCTACAGCCATGGCCGACACGGTATTCGACACCCATGGCCTGGACGCCTTGACGGCAATGGACCACCAGGCTTATCAGCTAGATCCTCCCATGTCTGACGAGCTACCAGTCATTTCTGACATTCTTCCGCCGTCAAAGCCTGCGAAGAAGCGGAAAAGCAAGAAGAGCAAGGCATCCGAGGATGTGCCCCAAGAACATCAAGCTACGTCCGAAGGGGATCTCAACCAGCTCGTTGCATTCACAAATAGTTCATTCTCGGCCGATCCCAACGTTCCCACCGAAGTCGACGAGATTGGCGACTCTGCGCCAGCCCCTGCTTCAAAGAAGCGCAGGAAATCTGCGGCCAGTGATGAACTGGAGAAGAAGAAGAAGAAGGCAAAAAGTCATCACACTGAGCAGGCTGGGGAGGCCGAGGAGCAGAATGCGCCCGTACAGCCGATGGACGACAACGTGTTGGAGCCTGTCGATCAAGCCATGGAGGACACCATCGAGTCGCCAACGGTGAGCAAAAAGAAGCGTAAGAACAAGGCCAAGCAACACGACGCTCCAGAGTCCGAAGTTGTGCAAATGCAAATCGACCAAGCTTATGTCAACGGCAATGATCATGGCCTAATGTACGGCGTGCACGACGAATCTGCAAACGACATGCCATCCTACCAGCCAGAACCCGTCTCGCCCTACAATCCTGGCCACATGAGCCTCGATGAAATTGCTCGAGCGATTTCATCCAGTAACATACAGGCCTCTTATGGGGCACCGAACATCCCAATCGACCCCGAACTGGCCAAGTACGAAAATACTCAAGATCATGGAGATCTCTTAGGAGAGCAGCACTATGCACCAGCAGTGCCTATGCACGGTCTAGACGTGCCCATGGAAACCCACCACATGCACGTGCAGTATGGCAATTACGAAGAACCGCCCATGGATGTCTCACATATGAATGTCCAAGTGCCCACCACTCCGGCGGGCCCCTCGACTGAGCAGGTTACGAAAAGCTCTAGCCGTAAGCGCGTAGTCAAGCCCGACTTTTACAGCCGCATCCAGGAAGATTTTGCGGAGCTCCCATCGCCTTCAGCGGCTGGCGTACCGCCAGCGGCAAGCGACCAGCCGGCCCAAACGAATCATCAGGACGTCGACGTTGTGGAGAAGGTCGAGAATGCCGACACTGCGACACCAGATCCCTTTCGGCCAGCCGTACGTGTTCCTAAGAATGCAAATGTCCTGACAGGCCCGTTCAGCGACTTTGAACTGCGCAACATCACGGAGGCGATCGACAAATGGCGGGTTGAGAATGGCATGTCCCAGTTTGAGATCAATGCCTTCATTCACGGAAACCCCAAGGATGTCAATTCGTCAGAGTTCTGGAACAGAGTCATTAGCACATGTCCCAATCGCCGGCGACAGAAAGTCATCAACCAGTGCCGCCGCAAGTTCCACAATTTCGTTGCTCGGGGTACGTGGACCCCCGAGCAGCATGACGAGCTCAGCAAGATGTGGGAGATGCATGGAAACAAGTATACCTTGATCGGATCTCTGATCAATCGTCACCCCGAGGACGTCCGCGACCGTATTCGTAACTATGTGGTCTGTGGTGACAATCGGCGCAAGGATGCATGGAGTCAGGAGGAAGAGGACCGCCTAGCCAACATTGTCGCCGAGGCCATCGATACGATTCGGAGGATGCGTGAGAAAGGGGAGTCGAACAGTGCAGCAACTGATGAGGAGCTTGTGGACTGGCAGATGGTCAGCGAGAAAATGGATCGCACCCGCAGTCGGCTGCAATGCATTACAAAGTGGAAGCTCATCAAGGCGCAGCTGGAGGGCGGCGCAATGGACGGCGAGGTCTTGACCCTCGAACAAATCATCGACAAGGCTCGCAGAGAGGCCGAAGGCATGACGGATCGCGATCGGTACAACGTCGTCAAGGCCATCAAGTCTTGTGGCGCGCAGGCCGACAGTCGCATCCCTTGGGCCAAGGTCAGGGCTGAGAAGGTCGGCGACAAGTGGTCCCGTGCCACACTAATGTTGGTCTGGCATAGACTCAAGGTTACCGTGCCGGACTGGAAGCTCCAATCTGTCTCGACCATTGCGGATTACCTGTGTAACTCGTATGGTGAGACAAGCAAGCTCCAGTTTCTTGCCCCCGAGCACTTGGACCTCGACAACGAATACGAAGAGATCGAGCGTAAGGTCAGCAAGATCATCAAGGCGCACAACCGGCCGAAGACTTCTTCGCATCTTGTCGATCAAGAGGATCTAGACGACGATGTTGGCGCCATGGACGTCTCCCAATTCCCTCTCGCCGACGACGAAAAGCCAGTTATCCATGGTGGCGACGACGATCCCACGGGTGCAATCCAGAGCCAACTCGAGGAGCCGAAAACTGAAGATGCCGTCATGGGCAACGGATTGGACAGCCAACAAGATCTTGAGGCATCAGCAGGAGCAGCGGGTTCCAACGGTGTGACGATTCTGCAAGCAAACGAGTACTCGGGCCCCAACGGCGACCATGAGCCAGCCAACTACGACAATGAAGTCGCCCAGCAGGAACACGAGGCGCAATCTGACGAGGCAATCTCCCATGACGTCTTGGCACAGGCTGTCGTGGAGGACGCCATTAATGCCGGGTTTGATATGCGAAAGACCCCGAAGTCCACAAAGACCTACAGCGCATCCAAGAAGACACCCAGCACGTCGAAAAGCGAGCATACCGCGTCGTCCAGGCGGTCCAGCAAGAAGGCGAACGCAAGCCAGCGAAGCAAGAAGGCTGCAGCAACGACATCTGTAGATGACGCCAATGACGGATCCAGCAACTCGAGCGGGAGCGATGACGAGGATATCCCCTCTCGTGTCTGACAGCGGCTCTCTGATTGACGATCGTTGTGTATGCTGAGGGGTTGCCTGTACTTATGCATAAACTGGAGGAGAAACGCAAAAGGATGTTACGACAATGGGAACGGCGTCTAGGAGTTATCCGTGAGGAGCGGACGGGATACCTGTGTTTTTGTTTCTTTTTTCTCTCTCTCTCTCGATTCTCGAGGGTGGCGTTTTTCTTTTCTTGGTGAAGACGGGGGAGGGCATACGATGCAGAGAGAGATATTGGACGAGCCCGACACTAGACGAGGCGAAAGCCCATCGATATTGCCGGGGCTCGCACTTGTATTTTATTACATGTCTACGGGGTGGGGGAGAAATGTGCAACTTACTCCCTTCTGTGGACAGTGTGCGGACATGAACGATCACCCACCACTTTCTATATGATTACGATCTCCCCAGTTTGAGGTCCATGAATGGTAGCAGTCTTTGCACTGCAGAAAGTATTTTTGGGGAGGCAGAGGAAGGAGAATACCATTGGTACACTTTTTGCTCGAGTCCAACCGCATTGCATGACTGCAAATAACTACGTGTCGTTTGCTGTTTAGTAGTCCTCTCCCCCATAGTGCATAATCTGTCAAGGTACACCAGGTTTCGTCGTAAGAGAGCATCACACTTGGCAGTATTGTACTGTCCAGTCCAGTCCAATAGCACATGGTTGCTGCTCCTCCTGCATGTCCCCGTTCAATGGTGCGGATATCAGCCTTGGCCTTGTTTTTGTGGGTTTGGAATTTATGATTAGGACATTGCAAGTTAGCGGGCGGCTGAATGTGTAAGACTTCGGGGAATGCATCAACAATATGGTGCAAGGTTCAAATGCCAATAGGAGTGTTTTCACCGCTAAGCAAAGGGGGGCTAAATTCATCAAAGTTTTCCATTTCCCACCCCCGAAAACGACCACAAGGGAGAATAACCAAACCACTCCCGAAAAACACACACCCATTACCCGACTACAGCTTCGACGAGCCACGGACCTCGTCGGATTCGTGGTTCTTGACCTCGAGCAACAGCTTGCCCGTGTTGGAGCCGTCAAAGAGCTTGACAAACGCCTTCTCGACCTCGTTGATGCCGCCGGGCACAATCGTCTCCTTGCGCTGGATCTTGCCCTCGCGCAGCCAGCTGGTCAGCTCCTTCCTCGCCTGCGGGTACTCGCTGAGGTAGTCGAACACGATGAAGCCCTCCATGTGGATGCGCTGCGACACGACGTTGGAGAGGTTGCGGATTCCCTTGGACGCCGCGTCCTTGGGCGAGGCGTTGTACCCGCTGATGCTGCCGCACATGACGAACCGGGCGTTCTTTTTCGCGCGGGAGAGCGCGAGCTCGAGGATGTCGCCGCCGACGTTGTCCCAGTACACATCGATGTAGTTGGGCGTGGCCTTGGCCAAGTCCTTTGCGAAAGTGGGGGACTTGTAGTTGAGCGCCGCGTCGAAACCGAGGTCCTTGACGAGCCAGGCACACTTGTCGTCCGAGCCGGCGATGCCGATGACCTTGGCACCAGAGAGCTTGGCAATCTGGCCGGCCACGCTGCCCGTGGCGCCCGCCGCGCCCGAGATGACGACCGTGTCGCCCTTCTTGGGCTTGCCGATCTTGGAGAGGCCAAAGTACGCGGTCAGGCCCGTGAGCCCTAAAACGCCGAGGGCGTCGGTGACCTTGCTACCCTCGGGGATCTGGACGACCTCAAAGGCCGAGTCCGGAATGATGGCAATCTCCTGCCAGCCGAGACTGGCGTTGACAAAATCACCCTGCTTGGCCTTGGAAGACTTGCTGGCGAGCACGCGCGAGATGGCGGTGCCGCGCATCAGCTCGCCGATCTGGACGGGCGGGACGTAGGAGCGTACATCTGTCGTTGTCGACGGTTGAGTCAGCTGGCTGGTTTGCTGGGAGCAGAGGAAGAGAGAGCGGGGGAGAAGCAGACGCACCGTTGAGCATGGGCCGCATGGCCGGGTCGAGACTGAGGTAGAGGGACTCGACGAGAACGTGGCCGTCTTTGAGCTGGTCTGCGGTCGGGGCCGGATTTGTACGCTTCTCAAATGTCTTGCCGGGGATGAGGTCAGGCTTGGGCCGCTGGGCGAGGTGGTAGGAAGTGTTTGTGCGCGCCATGGTTGCGATTGTGACTGTGACTGCGACTGCGGTTGTTGGTGTGGTGTTGAGCAGCAATACGAGAGAAGATGGAGAAGGGACGGGCAAGACCGAGGGAGAGGAGCCCTGGGCGTTATATCAATGTTTACGTGCTTGAGGCAGGACCGACGGACCCGGCCAAGGGCCCGAGAGGACTGCGGGACGGATCTGGCAGTTGCCTCATCTGCGCTGCTGTTCCGTCATGGCTCCCCCACACTCTCCACACTCCATCGCCCTCGCCCTCACCGATCCCTCCCCAAAAAAACCCCTCAGGGGCCGGCAGGCGGAGACCTACTGCCCCAAGCAGCCTAGCGCCCGGAATCCCCGTCCGCCTATAAAGTACCTAAGGGTACCTACAATTCTCTCTCTAGCTCCGGCTCCGTTTGAGCTGCCTCGCGCTTACAAACGAGGGCAGAGCGGGGGCGGAGCGAGCCGAGGTTACAATTTTACTGTACTTGCAGCGCGACGCGTGCGCTCGCTGTCCGGCCACTCCCTACGCAACTGTACCACCAGGGTTTTTTCCAGAATGAGCTAATGCACAATTATCCCAAAATGCAGAGACAGGAGGATCAGAAGCGCTTGGAACGAGGCTTTGGATTTCTAAGCAATGCGTGCGTCCCAACTGATTGTTAGTGTCTATCCCGCTGTCCAATTGATAGTGCACAACCAAACGGCCATGGTATCGTCTGCGGCTCAGCGCGTTCGAGAGTGTCTCGCCATGCTTGACAGACGTTCGACGACGAGCCGATGAGACCCTGCTCGACCATGTCACCACTGGCCGTCGTGCGTCTCCTGTAGTCTGCTTGGAAATACGTGCAAGTTCGTGCAGACAGTGTACCCGAGCCATGCACAACGCGGAATACGAATACACTAGGCAAGGCCAAAGCAGAACATAGTGGCTGAACCAAGAGACAGACAACTCATAAGTTTAAAGTCTGAATTTGAGACGCTTCGTAGCGCACCCTCAGTCGCTACATGATGTGACGGCCACGAGTGCCTTCTGCAGCATAGCGACATCAGACAACCTCATCGTACACGTCCACACTCCCCATCCCGCCAGCCACTGCCCGCACTCTCGCACCAATCTCCAGCGGGTTGCCCTCAAACACGACAAACTCGTCCTTTTCCACCTCTCCCTTCTCGGCAAGACCCAGCATCTTGTAGACGTTACCGCCAACGAGCTCCAGAGCCTCCCGCTCGCCAATGATCCCGCCGCTGTTGCGCGCTGCAATGCCCGCCAGCAAGGCCATGTCCCGCACGAGCCAGTCCTCCTCGAGCCCGATGGCCGTCGTGACGCCCGCGGCCACGAGCTTCTCCACGGCGGTCCCGTTGTTCAGCGGCGCGCCGACGAGGGCCCGCCGCTGGTCCCACGTGGAGCGGTACGAGTTAAGCGGTGCCAGGACAACGCCTACCTTTGCCGCGGCGAGCTCCTTGGCCAGCAGGTGCGCTTCTGCGCCACCAATGATGGTAATGCTGACGCCATCCTTGCTACGAGCAGAGGAGGAGAAGGAGGAGGTGGAGGCTGGGCTAGTGCTGACGGCCTTGTCCACGGTGTCCTTGAGTTTGAGGACGTTTGCGATGCCATCGGCGCTGTGCACCGTGAGCGCGAGCGTCGCCTCTCCCCGGACGACCTTGCGTAGGTACGCCACCTCGCTGAATGGGTCTTCCTTGTCCTCGTCAGTGCTAGGTTTGGCAGCCTGCAAGAGCTTGTGACGCAGCGTGTCGACTGCGTGTGAGATGCTCTTGCTCCCGCTCTTGGCTGTGTGGTCGAGCGTGTAGTGCACGGCGGCATCCTCGGCGAAGACCGCACCCTCGTCGATGCTGGTCCGCGCAGATGTGCGGAACCCAACGCTCGTGCCCTGGTGCGTGCCCAGCGAGGTGTACCGCGGCGCAGAGATGGCGCGCGTCACGCCATACTTGTGCGCATAGTGCAGCTTCTTGGTGCCCAGAGCAAGCCCATCGACTGCGCGGGAGAAGGTCCCAGAGTCGCCGCCGTTGTCTGTGTCCTTCTCAGCATCGATGGCGTTGAGGCCAATGGCGGAACCGAACGCCGTGAAAGGCTTGGTGATGTGACCGTTCTTGAGGTGGACCTCCGTGACATCTTTGTTGTTGGTGGCCGAGGCGAGCTCTGCCGAGCACGTGCCTGTGCAGATGATCTTGCCACCGCGGACGATGACGACGGAGCCCTCAAGGCTGGTAGGTTCATTCTCGCTGCTGTCCAAGAAAGACTTTTGCACCCCGTAGAAGATAATGTCGCGTACTGACTTCGACTCCTCCACAGTAACCGGGGCAGCCGCATCCGGTCCGAGAGGGTCAGAGTGTGGCTTCTCAAGCTTGAAGCCATCCTCAAACTGAGGGGTGCCATCAATCCAGACCTGCACGGGAGTTGCACCAACGCTGAGCGGGTCGCTATCCCAAACGACAATGTCCGCATCAAATCCAGGCTTGACCTTGCCAAGCCGTTGACCCAGCCCAAGACGCTCAGCGGGGGCAGTAGTGACCGACGCAAGCGCCGCATGATACGGAAGCCCATAGCCGAAAGCCTTGGCCGCCTCAAACACGACGTGTTGGGCGTTGAGCACCGGATTGTCACTGACGTAGATGGGCGTCAGCCCGTTCTCGTACAAAATCTTGCCGGCGTACTCGGAACCAATATACGCCTCGGCCTTGTAAAACATGTTGTCGGCGAAGAGGGCCGATGCCGGTGGGGAGCTGCCCCAAGCACGCTTCAGGATCTCCGGCACGAGGTAAGTCTGATGGGCGTGGTGGAAAGCCCGAACAGCAAACTTGAACTCGTTGGTGTGGTCCACAAACGCCTCAAGATCGGGGATCGTGTAGCAGTGCGTGTTGACGTGGACTTGTCCTCGCAGTACAGCGCCCAGCGTCTCCCACTTGAGATCCTGCGGCAGATAAGAGGACATCTGCTCGACGCCAAACTTGTCAGCAGCCTCGCACCAGTCGTCCTGCTCTCGCACGAGCTGCGCGGCCTGCTCGAACGCGTGGCGGAACTCCCACGACTCGCCCATCCGCGTGACGGGGCCGCGCTCGCCAACCTTGCCATATACGCGCTTCGGGTTCTCGCCGCATGCCATCTTGATGTAACGCCAGTTCCGATCCGGGTCGGCCAACATGTCTGTGGCTGACGTCTCGTTGCGGCCGTCCTCCTTGCCAACGGCGTGTTTGATCACAAAGGCCTCTCCGCCAATGTTATTGCCGGAGCCGGGGAGGACCAAGCTAGTGGTGACACCACCAGACTTGATGACCTGAAGCTGGTAATCGAGCGGATCAAGACCGTCAATGGAGCGCACATAAGGGGTGATGTCTGAGCTCATCTCATTGGTGTCCTCGGGGCCCCAAAGCTCAGGCTGGTTATCGACACCGCCATGGCTGTGCATGTCAATGATGCCCGTGGTGAGTTGCCGGCCCTCGGCATCGAAGACAAGCGTGTCTGGCGAGACCGAGCTCTTGCCAATGGCTCCGACTCGCTTGATCAGGCCGTGCTCAAGCAGCACATCGGCGGTGATCCATTCGTAGCCCTTGCCCTTGCGTGCATCCTCGGGCGAGGTGCCAGCCTTGGGCTCGCCCGTCCAGACGGTGGCGTTCTTGATGAGCGTGGGGCGGTGGCCATCGATGTAGCGAGCATTCTTCTCGCGGCCGAGACCAACCGGGTCGGCGGGCTTGGAGCGGAGCTTGGAGCAGACCAGGAGGTCTTGCTGGAGCTTTGAGGCGGACAAGTGCGCGGAGGGCAGCACCTTGTCTGTCGAGGGGGTGGTGATCTGCGTCCACTGAGCGTAGACAATGAAGACGAGGCAGGCGAGGCCGACGAGCTTGACGCGCTTGGCGAAACGGTCTTTTGTGAAGGCGCGCATCTTGAGGCGCATGGCAGCGGCGGCCGAGTTTCCGCCAGCGGGACCGGCCGCCCACGGCATCGCCTTCTCTGCGTCCCCGACGTGGTCCATGGCTACTTCGACTGCTCAAGCACAGCTCTTGCAGTGATGTGTGAGCAGTGATGTTGGCTTGAGCCGTCTGAGAGTGTAAGAACAAAGAGGGAAGAAGGAGGAAGAAAGGAAGAGGGGAAGAGACGGGTGCGATGTCGCCATCATGGTTGCCGTTTGAGGACCCCGGCGTGCCTGAGGTGCGTGCCCGCAGCAACCGGGGGCCCGCTTTTGGCCGCCGATACTTTACTTCAGGTGCGGCAGCCCGCGCAAGCTCCAGGCTCCAGCAGACACCTTGCCGGAGCTCGGAGTGCTGCGGCTCTCGTCTAGCCCAATTGATCAGCCTCAACCTGCCCGACGGGCTGGATTCGTCATATCCCATGCCGGTTTAACGCAATCAAGCATTGTTGCTGCTCCGAGGCGTCGGAGTACAGGTACTCCACAGCGGGTCAGGCAGCGCGAGCTAAGCTGGTCCGGGAAGGTGCCTGAACGATTATCAAGGGACTTTCTTTCTCTTTCCGGACAGCTTCAAGTGCTCTGCTCCAGCCCAAGCACACCTCGTACATTAATCACTGACGGGAACTTCGCCCACCATCTTCGCTCCCGCCGTGAATACTATCGGGACGGTGGTTTGCTATGCCCAGAAAACACGCCTGCAACTCCCTTACGCCGTCAACCAGACCAAGCATGAGATCCTCGCAATCGTTCCGCGAGGGTCATTCTTTCTTAGCACGCTCCCACATCTCTGTCGTTCGGATCTGTGGCAGTAGTGGCGCCAGAACGTTCGAAAAGTCCACAGCATCTGTTCCGGGCTCAGCACTCTGAGTTACCACCAACGATGAGCCAGTAGAGGAAGAAGCCGAAATCCGCCTCCTGCCACTCCTGGCCCATGATCTCAGACGCTTCTAGCGCGTCGAGCATTGATATCTCGACTCCATCGCCTGATTGGTAGCGTCAGATCCATGGCGTCGCCGACCAGCGCAGGGCAACTCTGGTGGGACCTCGGATGAGATCGTTCTGGAGCTGATATAAAGGCATGGTATTCAATCAGTCCCTCATCGTCGCGCCAGCTTCTGCGGCGATCAGGCATTTCCTTCCCAGACTCACATGCCGTACCAACTAGCTCTCTGGTCTCCAACGCCCAGCTGGCAAACAAGGCTCGAGATGCATCCAAAAGCACATGGTGGGCCTGGAAGGAGCCGTTTCCGCGAGCCTACACACCTGCGGAAAGTCCTCCTCAGGCTTGGTTGGAATGGGGTACAGTCTCGCCTAGTCCAGTGGGCCACTCTGTGATATTGCTGTCGTATGGCGCAAACAAATTTCCCCAACAAATACCTTTTCCGCGACATTATCCACAAGAAGATCATTCAGGACATCGCCCGAGATCTTCAGCCTCGCAAATGATTCAGTTGGCTCCGCTCGCTCTCCTAGAAGAGCACAGTGCCGTGCTTGTGTGCCGTGGTGCTTACATCGGCACAATCGCTTGAAAGCTTGAGAAAGTCGCCGTGCAGTCGGCATGCGCGGATAGCTCCGAGGCCGCCATTCTCGTACAAATCGAGGTATCTCCGCGTTGCGCTCGAGGTTTTGTCGGGAGAAGGGTTCGTCGACGTTTCCAGCGTTTGGTGATGACGCACATGGATGGGAAGCAAGTATTTAGTGACAGGCTTAGCCCGACCGTTTGGAAAGCGCAGGGTCCAGGTCTGTGGGGCGGCTCAGCTGCCACACACATCACAACAACCACCACCGTACCATGCCTCTGCTGTCTGTGATGCTGATGGAAGCATTGTCCACCTGCAGCTGGCCAGGCAAGGGCGATCTGGATTTCACTTACGCCGAGCGGAGTTGTGTACTTGAGTATCTTGAGTGTCTACCTAGGCACCAAGGTAAGCTTCCAGCGTGCGATGACGCAATTGGACGGCTTTGTTTCCCATGTAAGTGCTGGCTGGGAGGTCCTCCCCAGCAGACCCAGCTCAACACACTTCAGCATGTGTTCAGCCTTACCATATGCGGCACGGGGCCGCAGGACTGCCGGCAGTCTCGGCGTCTCAGCCTTACGGGCAGCTCTGGGATACTTTGCACATCGTCCCAGCTGCGCGGCAGGTCATGCACATAAGCGGCAGTAGTTACGTGGCCGCGTGCCGCATTTCCGGCCAGAGATGCGCACAAGCGGCGGCTCCACCTGGCCAACCTTCTACGGCGGTAGCTCCCCCGGCCCGCCTCGAATTGTCGTGATGGCTCCTCGCTTTTCTCTTGTCCTTTCTCTGACAACACACTGCCATTCTGCTGGGTCACTGGAGCAACTGTGTGCTGGATTCGAGCCCATATGGAAGACACTCAGCCTGGGAGCATCACCCAAGGTCCTCACAACGACACCTACGTGATCCACTTTGACTTCGCAGACACCGAGCTCGACGAAGCCTGTCACAACTTTGAAGAGCTCTGTGCCGACCTCACAGCCGTTGGTTTGGCCTTTCAAGTTCGTCCTGGGGAAGACCAGTCTCTACTCGTCTTTGTGCGGGTGCCCAAACTCCTCCTACGCAAGACCGTCTTCAAGTCTAGGTCAGTCGCACACCACCAGCTTGTAACAGCATATATCGCCTCAGACACCCATCCTCGCTAACGAAAACCATACAGACTCAAAGACTACTTCTACGGCACAACCAACCAGCTTCCTGCTCTTAATCAGCGACACCATGGCACTCCAGCCGCCTTCGAGGCCGAAGACCTCCTTTCAGTATACCACCTCGTCAACTGGCCCCCGTCCAACGGCGGCGCGGGCGTAACACCCCAGCATGGGAAATGGCAGGACCGGGGCGTGCAGAGCATATTCCCGTTGCATAACTCTCCAGCCAACAGGCATCTCCTCGCACAGCTCAGCAAGCGCGTCTTTCTCTCCCCAGCTGACCTCGACCATATCCGTGACCTCTTCGGCTCCAAGGTGGCATTCTATTTTGCATTCATGCAGACCTATTTCCTCTTTCTGTTCTTTCCTGCCGCAACAGGGCTGTATACCTGGCTCTTCCTGCCGTCATACTCGTTCGTCTATGCGGTCGTCACCTTGCTCGGATGTACAGTGTTCATCGAGTACTGGAAGATCCAGCAAGCCCGGCTCAGCGTGAGGTGGGATGTCAGCGGGGTCGGCCACGTCAAGATCAACCGCAGCAATTTTCGGTATGACCGAGTGACGGTGGACGAGAAGACGGGGAGGAAGCAGTACCACTATGCCAAGTGGAAGCTTGTCGCGCGGCAGCTGCTGCAGGTGCCGTTCTTCCTGGCCGCGCTGGTTACGCTGGGCGTCATCGTCAGTCTGGTCTTTGCGCTAGAGGTGTTGGTTTCCGAGGTATACGACGGGGCGTACAAGAACTACCTCGTAGGTCCTCCTCATCCGGAAAATCGGTTTCATGTCAAGCTTGACTACATATACTGCAGGATAATACTGATGCCTGCGAACGCAGGAATACCTCCCTACCGTCGTCCTGGCCATCGGAATGCCCTACATCAACACATTCCTCGAGGACATGGCCGTGGCGCTCGCCGAGTTTGAGAACCACCGCACCCAGGACAACTACGAGATGTCGGCCAGTCAAAAGATGTTCTTCCTAAGCTTCATCTCGAATTATCTGCCCATCCTGCTCACCGCGTTTGTGTATGTGCCCATGGGCGACGTCATTGTGCCGCAGCTACAGCTGCTTGTGCGGAGCTGGCTGGCCCGCATTGGCGGCTCAAGGCAGGCAGGCGATAGGATCGTGGGTATGAGCTCGGACGAGGGCATGTTCCAGCGCGATCCAGACCGGCTGCGCAATGAGGTCGTCGCGCTCACGGTGACGGGCCAGGTGTCAGATATGTTTGAGGAAATGATTGTGCCATATCTGCGGCACCGCCTGCGCGCGTGGTGGAGGGAGTATAAGCTGCGTCGACTCGAGCGGAAGCAGCAGCAGCAGCAACAACATTCCCTCAGCAACAAGGACGACTTACCAAACCACGACGACTTCACACCAAAGCCATTCCAGCGCCAACAAACACTAATGCTGAGCATCCACAACCCATCTCCAGACAATAAGAACGACACCAACAACGAGGCCCAGTTCCTCGCCAAGGCCCGGCACCAGGCCTCCCTCCCGCCTTACAACGTGCAGGACGACCTCTCCGAGATGGTCATCCAGTTTGGCTATCTCGCGCTCTTCTCGCCCGCCTGGCCCCTCGTGTCGGTCGGGTTCCTTGTCAACAACTGGATCGAGCTGCGCTCTGACTTTCTCAAGATCTGCGTCGAGCACCAGCGCCCGCACCCGACGCGCTCCGACGGCATCGGCTCCGGCTGGGTCGATTCGCTGGACGCGCTGGCCCTGCTGGGTAGCATCTCCACGGGGGCAATCGTGCATCTGTTCGGCGGCGGCGGCGGCGCAGATCCCACGCAGCTGCAGACCTCGGCCGCGTGGTTATCTGGACGGGCGTGGCTGACAAGCATCCCGTTTATCGGCAGCCAGTTCGATGCCAGTGGCGGCGGCGGGATGCCGTCGTGGTGGTCCCTCCCCGTCACAATCTTTATCAGCGAGCACATCTTCCTCACCCTGCGCGCGAGCGTGCGGTTCTTGCTGAAGCGGTTCGTCGGGTCCGACGTCGTGCGGCACGAACGCGAGGAGCGGTACGAGCGGCGCAGCCGGCAGTGGGAGGAGATGGTGCGCGAGGCAGATGCGGCTCGAGGGGAGGGCGGCGGCGGCGATGAGACGCCAGAGGTGGTGAAAGAGCTTCCCCCTGATCGACAGAGCATGGTCTGTGGTTCCGTCCAGGACGATACACCGACACAACAAAGCCATGCGGAGCCCGCTGCTGAGCAGCAGCGGAACGAGAGCCGCGACGCGGGTCTCATGATTATACAGGATAGAAAGGAGTTCAGATTGCTCGCAGCAGGAAAGAAGAGCATATGACTTTCTCTTCACTGGAAGTGGATAGAAATCCGCGGACAAGAAGTCTCAAATGGGGTTTTCAATCGCCATCGTTTCGATCACCCTTCGCTTGGTGGAATGCGGTCTATTAGTGAATTTGTCTTGAGGCATCGTCTAGATATTGTACACTTCCGCCGCAATACAGATACATGGCGCAGCCAAATCATGGCTACCCGTTGCTCCATCCCGTCGTGCTAGCTTCCTCATATGAGCACTAAATTGTGAGCGCTGAATTGAAATGCCGCGGTTTCGTGATGATGAGAAATGGTCAAAGGAAAAGTCGAAAATGATAGTGTGTAGTGTAGTCACGACTGCGACGGATTGTGTGCTGTCCCCCGATTCTGTTCCGCGGCCGTCCAAACCCTTCATCAGCATTCCAAGACAAGTATGTCCCAGTCTCATAATGTCAACATGCCGCATGTGCGCGTTTGGTCTTGAAAGCTAAGTCGGCTCATCAGAGGCCTTTGCCCTCTGCACTGATGATGAGCTCGGCATCGGTGGCGGAATTGCGTGAAAGAGTTTAGTCATCATCCTTTCCGTCATTGGCCTCCTCCTCCTCCTCCGCCTCCTTCTGCCTTAGCGTAACCTCGATTCCCTCAAACGTTCTGGCGATCTCGTACTTGCCGCCCAGCACCAAGTCCTTTGCAACCAACTCTCTCGTACGTCCCAAGCTCTCAATCGCCGCAATCCGCTCCATTGTTTCCTCCAGGAACTCGCGGAAGCCTGGTTCAGAGCAGATTTCACGGAAAGCGCGGTGCATAGGCACTGAGGAGGCACGGACTTGTGCAGTCGAAGTAATGGTGAACAGGTTGAGACGGTCAAGCTCGCGGACAAAGTCGGAGCGTGTCATGACTTGCTGCGCCTCGTGCATCTGGAACGATGGGAGAACGTGGCCCTGCTCCTGGCAGTACGTCTTGTCCATCTCTTTCTCCTTGTCTACAAGAGCCTGCGCCAAGGCCATGGAAGCAGACTGTAAGTGATTGTTAGTGCTGTTCTGACCCGGCTGTATGGCATGACCAAAGACACGGCCACGAGTCAAGAAAGGGGACAACTTACCGCCCACTTCTGCTGGTCCATGACGTCGTCGTCCATCTCCTCGCCAAGAATCCAGCACTGGTTAAGCAGCCAAGTCTTCTCAATGTCTTTGATCTGGTCGCAAGTCTCTAGCATGTCCTTCGACCGAGCGACACGGTTCAGGAATGACAGTCGCCCACCGACTCGGTCGTAAATCTCCTCCAGCATCGATAGCTCTGGCGTCTGCTGGAAATAGCGTTCTCGGTAAGATTTCAGCGCCGCAATCGCCTTGGGCTTGGATAGATCTGTAATCGGGAGCACCTCCATCCGTGTCGCAAGCAGCTTGAACCTCTCATACACCCAGTAGTCGTCGCTGTTGAAGATCATGGTCACGATGTTGGATGCAGCCCATTGTTCGGCACGCTGTTGCAGCAGCTCCAGCAGATCCTTGCCATCTGCATCGTCTCGGAGTAGGTGGACCTGGTTGACCACAAGCACCAGGGGCTTGCCTTTCTCTATGCGTCGTTTCAAGGCAACCTTTTCCAGTTTGTTCAATGCACGCTCAATGTCCAAGAGCGCCGTGGATTCGCGCGGTCCTTTCTCGCTGAAGTAGCCGCCGATGTAGTCCTCGTGAAACTCGTAGTCAAGTGCCTTGCCAAGTCGAATCCGAAATATCTCGAGATCTGCATGGGCCTCGAACATTGAGCACCCGTCCCCATCGATCTTGCGCATGGCATCGAGTATCATGCTGCTCTTGCCGCTGCCCTTTTCTCCCATCATGAGCAAGTAGTGGCCCCTGGCCTTGCCAGCGATCACATCGTCGATATGCGCCTGCTCATCACGCATCACCCAGTGCTCGGCATCAGGTGGCGGGGTGAGACCCCGGCCGATGGCAGCTAGCTCGAGCACCGGGTCGCCAGGCTCAAAGGCGTTGCGGATCTTCTTGAGGACCAGGTGCTTGTAAAACTTGTGGTAGGCGTAGCCGGCGCCAGCAAAGCCCAGGGCGAGCACGAGCACAGACGCCAGCGTCGTTGCGGCGGACTCGCCCATCTTCTTCAGCAGAGGTGGCTCTGGAGGCTGGCTGCCGGGACCCGATCCATGGCTGTGCTCAGCATTGCCGCCCAGCGGGGGAGCCGAGGCTGGTGCGTCCCGGACGGACGCCGTGGTGGACAAGGCGCGTCGAAGCTGGAGCGGGAGCCGGCGACCCGGATGTGACGGCACGGGCAGGCAGGACCGGCCAGTCAGCGCGGCCAGGGGCTGCAGCGGAGGGTGGGCCGCAGGCTGCGTAAAGGCCGTTCTTGATGCAGCAGACGCCAGCAGGCGCAAGCCTGCCTTGCTGGCCGGCATGGCGACGCTCGATGGGGTGGTGGCTAGTAGTGAAGGTGTCTGGCCGTCATGAAGACGTCTCGAGGCCGGCGCGAGAGGACGAGTGACGTGACGTGGGAGGAGGGAAGAGGAGGACACCTGGTCGGCGATGGCCCTGGAGTGGGCCGCCTGGCTGGCTGGCAAGCACCGAGGGAGGAGGCCTCTAAGCTACCCGTGGACGGGTCGCTCTTTCCACGGCGATTTCTGGATTGATTCCGCCGCCATTGGCCAATCCCAGCGCGTGCTCGTATGCTTGGCTCCCCCAGGAGATTGGATTGTCCCTGTATGTCGGGCCTGTTTTACCTTCTGACCCCCCCGCTCCGCACTGGGACCCTGCGCTATCTACAATATCTGCTAAGTAATGAAGTTTATCGTACCTTAATGGGTAGCTCGTAGCAGGGGGTTCGGGCGTATCGTGCTGTTGCCCCTGTTGATCTTCTGGTGGGCTGTGTCTAGGACTGCAACAAGAGCAACGCGCCGGGCAGTTCTACCGACGCTTCGCGCGGCCACTTCATATGAAAAGGCGCAGATGTTTATCTGCTGGCTTAGACGCATGGCTTCCGAAAAGGCCTACTTTCCTGCTGTTATTCTGCGTAGCCATCCCGGAGCAACATGATTCCCTTGTGTCCGCATCACGTCATAAGGGCGGGCCCGTCGAAGCGCCTGTCTCCACTTAGACCAAGTTTGGGTTAGCTCGGGCAGGGCGGTTTGGTCTTGTTAGCAAACAGCTTCTGTGTCTCAAGATCGGACTGCAGGTCAACTTGTTCAACTTCTGCCCTGGACAATGGCCCCGAGACATCCATCTGGCAGAACCCGCTGCAATAGTCACAATGCGCGCATCCACTATCCCAAGCACTACTTTCGATGTGGTTTTAGTATAGAAGAGTATTGGTCACCAATATTCTAATCACTACAAAGTGGAGCTTGAAGAGAAAGCCAACATGATGCCTAGAGGCTGAATGATGAAGCTGTCTTCGATAATAGGTAAACGTAGCTTTTATGTAGAAAGCGCGCATCTCAAACGTAGAGGAGAATTGCAGCTCCAAAATCCCTCAAAGTTTGATAAAAATTCACGTTCATTAATGGTGTTTCCCTTTAGTGAGACACAAGGTCTAGATGCATTGAACTCATGCAATCGACACAACGGCCAAGTATGTTGCCATCGAATAGTGGAAGGTTGTTCCGACTCGCCTTTTGTTTCTGCGGACAATCAAACACGTTTGGTGTCTGCGCGGCCTACGCTGCGGCGGCCAGAACGCAACTGATCAGCCATTAGCTGGAGATCAATCCTATGGCCACCAATAACACAAACTGGTCAGTTCTTTGGCACGAAACTTCCTTGATACTTGCCTTTGCCACTGGCGAAGCCGGACTGCCACAACCACCTGTCACGATTTTCGACTCATGATATAAAATTTACACAAAGAGACAGAGCAGCATGCCGGCAGTCCATGCTGCTTCTTGTAGTACGAACGCTTCCGCGATGCCTCTCCCGCACGGAGGGCAACCAGGAGCTCCTGTGGTGGCCGGCCGGTCGCCGCTCCAGCAGCTCTTTCCTGCCGAGACGCGTTTTCGTGCGCACCTCGACAACCTGGCATCTGGAGACAAGAGCAAGGATGGCCGACGTCAGAGGGCAGGGTCTGCCCAGCACACTCGGCAAGCCGCTTCGCTCGACCTCGATGCTCCCACGCGAAAAGCTTTGAAGCTGGGGCTCCTCCTGCCGGAAGAAGTAGCTCGCATGACGAAACACCAGTCTGCTCCCCTGCCAGAGCGTCCTCGAGACATTGAAGAGACTCAGTGTTGCGACGGTGAGCCAAGGGTGACTTTCGCCCAGCACCCGGCACTTGCGCACCTTTCTGAGGCAGATGCCCAGAGGCTTGCTCTCCTTCTACCAGTTGTCACCACAGCCTCATCCAAGAGTCAGACCTCGAATGGCGAAGTGGAAACGAACGAGAAGCACGACATTGCTTATTTCGAAGACTGCACCCGCCCAGGCACATTACGTTCAACGAGTCAAGACGTCTTGGGTGTATTGTTCAAGAGGACCACGTCCCGGACGGCGTCTTTCGGCAGCACGTCAATACCGCAAACGCCTTTCCAACCAACGTCCCCATTACCAATGCTAGGCAAGGGGCACAAGTCGTCGAGCTCGAATGACCGTGTAGATGACGAGGTTCGGTCTACGATTTTGAACAAGGTCCGTGCCGCACGTGCCGTGTTTCGCACTAGACTCGCGCGCGGCGACTTCGACGACAGAACCGAGATAGCGTATTATCGCACCTCAAATGCTACCTTTGATGATGAGATCGCGGACTCGAGATCTACAGTCACTGCAGGGAATGGACCAAAGAGACTTGCGCCACTCGATTATGCTCGTGCGTACTTCGTTGAAGCCGCTCGCGCTCGCAGGGAAGGAAGAAAAGGTCGACTACTGAGGCCACTGATTCAGCAATACCACACCGAGGGCCACAAGGCTTTCTTTGCCGTTCCAAAGACACCGGATTTGCCTGTGGACGGTTTCCGCTTCCCCCGTCTTCCGACACTGCGCTTGCCTGCAGATCCAGAGGCTGCTGAGGCGCCCAGCACGAATGCAGGAGCTGATACAACAGAGGCCGCCGACTTTGTGCAACCTGGAGAAAACTCTGCCGAGCAACACAACAGGAGCGACACGCCAGACAGCACGGTGACCATGTTGCGCTTCATCAAGAAGACTCGAAGTAGAAGCCGTCGAGGCAGCGAAAGCAGCGGCGACGGCAGTGACAATCAATCCTCAGACGTCGAATCCATCCTTGTCAAGTCTCCCGCTCATCCGCCCGTGCTCCCAGAGCTGCACTTCGGGAACCCATCAGAACAAGGCGAAGAGGCCTTGGGTCTTGCACGCATGCACTCGATTGCGCGACGGTATGGTGGGCACGAGTGGCAGATGAACGAGACTCAGTCTTTGCGCAACGACAATGGGAACACGGTGGCTGGCATTCGCAGCCGTAATGACACCTTGAACGATGAAAATGGTCAGGTTTTGGTTCGCGAGACTACAGATCTGTCAGCACACGAACAGAAGAGTACAGTAGGCAATGAGATACTCGTTGCAGCCACAGTTCCCCAAGCAGACAGAGACACGGCTCGCACAGATCACGCGCCTCAAACCGATGAGAGGACCGATAACCATATGTTTATCACCGACAACACAAATGCTCCCGTTCACGGACAGCTTAGCACGATACCATCGGAGAAGCGAAGCATAGCCGCAAGACGGAGGTCAGCGAGACGGATCGCGTCATCCGAGCTGGCATCGACGACCGCTCTCCTTTCGAGCCTACGGATCTCCACAGATGACCGACCTAGGCCTACGACGCTTCATAAAGCACTGCCGATTTCACGAACCCGAGTGGCAGAGCAGAAGCCGCCAACCATAGCATCACGATCTCAGCAGCAAACTCAAGGATCCATTGACGAACAAGCTTCCGAAAAAGCGGTCACTCGAGCAGACGATATGGTACAACCAGTGCAATCGGCTCAAGACTCTGGGGTCGATCCGAGTCCGGTGTTAGGCCGATTCCATCACGAGGATTGCTTGAACGCAACAGAAACTGCTGCAGTGATCAAGCCTGGTGATGGCTTGTTGTTTAGTGAGACTTTTCACACGGACACTAGCGAGTCAAAGCATGATCGTCGACCGCATCGTTCAGCCGCGAAATCGAGCCAGCTTCAGCAACATGCAAGTCTTGCTGTCACCAAGAATGGGAAAAGTGAATTCCTGGCTCAACGGCCTCTCAATGAACGTCCCAGCAATGCAGGCCTCTTTGAAAACAGGGCTCTACCGCCCATCCCTCCACCTCGACTGCGCCCGGCCAATCATTCTCGCCCGAAAGTCTTGGAACAGAGACAGTCAGCTTGTGTCCCGCCTCTTTTCTCCCCCCGGATGCCTTCAGCATCACCACAGAGAGAGCCGGATCCGTTCACAGCGGGATTCAGTGGCGACTCCGTGTCAGATCAGCTTTCGGCAGAGACATTGATATTGAGAGACCGCAAGAGTCTCCCTGGTCCACTGCGAGTGTTCTCAGAGCCGGGATCTAGCGTCTTGCTACGTGCTGGTGGACAGAAGCCGAATGCAACTCCTCAACCAACAAGCCCTATCGAGCAGGCGAATCAACTTGTGAGCGACATGATTAACGGCATGATATTTGATGACTGTGTCGCCGACGGTGACATGTCTCCCAAACTGGATCAGGGCTGTACCAGTATATTGCACAGAACAAACACGTTATCCGAAATGGATCCCAGTGTCAGATGTATGTCTGTCGATCGACGTCCTTGCGAGCTTGGGTACGAAGCGGCCACTTCTCCTCCTTTTGGCCACTCCGAAGTATATATTCCAAGAGCTGGGGCTGAGGCTGCGGCCAAACGAGACTTTGGGCTTGTACCAGATACACTTTGCCTGCCGCAGAACGGCGTGGCCACGAGCCACAATCAGAGCAAGATCATTACCTCAGCAAAGAGCGTTGAGCTCTTGCGAGGACCGCATCACGGCGCGTCTGTGAAGCAGACACATCCTCTCAGTCCTCTGCGTCTCGCTGGTGCTATCAGAACACCAGATGGCAAGGCCAAGACGAGTAGTATCAGCACGAATTCGGCCTCACCTAGCCATCAAGCACAAGCACCATCGAGCCCGTATGTTGGCGGGTCGTCAAACAGCATGGTATCACCGAGGAAGCAGCTCTATGAAGATGAAGGATCCTACTTGACCGCCACGACCACATCCTCAAGCCATCACTCCATGGGCGACAGTGTGATAACGACTGATTCGGGGGACAGCTTGACGAATGAATATTACCCCCTGGGCAGCCCGACGCACGTTGTCAGCAATGCCAATTACCCTTACCACGCCGTCAGTCCAGGCGCGAGACCGCGTCTGTGGAAGGATATCCCCGTGTTCGACAAGTACCAGGGCACACTGGTCGAGCAGGACGCCCGGGCGAAGGCGGCCAAGGAGGAAGCCGCGCGCATGTACCGCGAACGTAGAGAGAAGAAGCTCGCCGCCAAGGCGGAGAGAAAGGAGGCGAAAAAGTTGCAGAAGCTCGAGGAGGATGAGATGAAGAAGAAGCAGCAGCAGCAGCGGAAGGTGCAGAATGATGACCACAACGAAGATGTGTCACCAGTCCGGCAGCCTCTGATCGCGACTCTTCCCCTGCTGGTGGTGAGAGAGGATGATGATGGTGATGTAGTAGGAAATCCGCCAGGGGGTGAGGAGACAGCCCCGCGGAAGCAGCAGTCTCTGCCAGCGTTGAGGAATAAGACTTCCGCACGGGTTTTGGCGAGCATGTAGGGGCCGAATGTTTAAGCTGGTGCCCGGTCGGGCCGGAGGATGCAGTGAAACCTTGGGAGCGTGGTTGCATGCACGAAGGGTACTCGGCAATTTGTTGTAATGTTTGAAGAGGTGATTTTGGCAAGAATCAATTGTCGTACGTACCACATAGCACGAGAAAAGGCCCATGTCTAACAAGATCGTCATTTGTGAATTTGGCGTGATCAAGTACAATTCACTTTTGCAGAAAGTCATCACCATGAAGCTCCCTGCCGCCTTCCATGCGGCCGTGGCATCAACGAAGTATGACCGGGAGCCGGTCGTGGCAGGAATCATTCGCCGCTGGATCTGAAGCGTGAAGCCTCCGATCTCGGGGGAACTACCATAGAGGGGGCAGGTACAAGCGGCGAGGTGGTTGCGGACTGCTTCCGCCACCCCACATCCCCCACATTTCGTTCCCCGGCCATGAGGAGGTGCCGAGGACCAGTCGAGCAGACTAGGCCTGATCAATCTCGACGATGCCTCGTTCCACCAGTCTTCTCCTTCTCCCAGATAATCTTCATTCTTGGCAGTTGTCAGTCACATAGCTCTCAAGTCTGTGACTTTTGTAGCACCCCAGCGGCATTGCAGAACGATTGACTTCCCGTCTCGCGCACAACAACAGCCAGGATGTTCCGCACATCGCTCGTAAGGTCTGCAAGACCTCTGGCACGAAGCCTCCGCAACAAGCCCGCCACCCGGAGCTACGCTGCTGCCGCCACGCCATTCGACTGGGAGGACCCTCTAAGGACAAAGGACCTGCTCACCGAGGAGGAGCTTGCAATCATGGACACAGCGGAGCGCTACTGCCAAGAGCAGCTGCTACCACGAGTCCTCCGTACGTCTCTTGCCCTAGCTCCGCGGTTGCTGGCCACCAATCCAGTGGATTTCTGCTTCGCTAACATTAAGACACATAAATGCAGAGGCATATCGGGACGAGCACTTTGATCCAGCGATCCTCCGCGAAATGGGCGAAATCGGTCTCCTCGGTGCGAACATCACAGGATACGGCTGCGCAGGAGCTTCTACGGTCGCTGCCGGACTAATTACGCGAGCCGTCGAGCGTGTAGACAGCGGCTACCGGTCAGGCATGTCCGTTCAGTCGTCCCTGGTAATGGGCGGCATCGACGCCTGGGGCACAAAGGAGCACAAGGAAAAGTACCTGCCGGAAATGGCACAGGGCAAGCTCCTCGGCGCCTTCGGACTGACTGAGCCCAACCATGGCTCTGATCCGGCGTCTATGGAGACGGTTGCGCGGCCGCATCCGACAAAGAAGGGATACTACGCGCTCACCGGAAGCAAGACCTGGATCACACACTCGCCTATCGCCGACGTCCTTATGATCTGGGCCAAGCTGGAAGAGACGGGCAAGATTCGGGGTTTCCTGCTAGAACGCAAGGACTGCCCGCCGGGTACCCTCGAGACACCCGCGCTCAAGAACAAGAACGGCCTGCGTGCGAGCATAACAGGCATGATCCACATGGACGGCGCTCCCGTACCTATGGAAAACATGTTCCCGGACGTCGAGGGTCTCAAGGGACCGTTCACATGCCTGAACAGCGCCCGGTATGGCATTTCGCTCGGGGTCATGGGCGCTCTGGAGGACTGTATCAGCCGGGCTCGGACTTATGCTCTTGAGCGCAAGCAGTTCAAAGGCAACCCTCTGGCCAAGTATCAGCTTGTGCAGAAGAAGCTCGCCGATGCTGTCACAGACGCTACCTACGGCACGCTGGCGGCCATCCGTGTCGGCCGGCTCAAGGACGAGGGCAAGCTCGCACCCGAGATGATGTCGATTGTGAAGAGGCAGAACTGTGATCGTGCGCTGGTGCACGCGAGAACACTGCAGGAGATCTTTGGTGGCAATGCTGCCAGCGATGAGTATGGTATTGGCCGGCACGTAGCAAACCTCTTTGTCACTCAGACGTACGAGGGCCAGAGTGATATTCACAGTAAGTCTAGCAGTTCCTGTGCGGATGGGAAGATCAGCGCTTTTGGATAGTGTTACTAACATGACAATAGGTCTCATCCTCGGCAGAGCGATCACGGGCATCCAAGCCTTTGCGTAGTGCACATATGGCCGGAACAGCACTATCGAGAGTAGCCAGCCAGACCGAGTTTGTAACAACGAGACTGATGGAAGAATAGAACAAAAAGTGTACTTGCAGTTGACAATGGCTAGTAGTGAATGCTCACCCAATGCTTGACATGCCATGATGCAATAATGACTAAGGCGATGCACCGGTGCCGATAAGATAGTCAGGCACACGGCAGTATCCATGCTATGGTGATGTCTTATGGTCCCGGTCTATGAGGCATGGGAGTGGACATCCTGAGCCCATCGTCACTGGACATCCACATGTGAAAAAGAGCCTCGTGCAGAGTGGGCCCCCGTCATCATCTTTGGTCCGCCCACACGACACTCCGAGTGCCGTCATCCGACCGGGTCTGGCGCCGTGCCTGAGATGAACGGGTTTATTCAGGAACCAGGGAGCAGCATGGCAAAGTCTAGAATTTGCAAAGGCCGGACTGGGCCTCTGAAAGCATATCGAGGGAGGCAAATCCAAGGTTGAGGTCAGCCTTAGTCATGCTCGATGGTGCCTTACCTCAGCCGGCGCGTCTTTGTTCCTAGCACCTTGCTGGTCGTGCTCATGCATGACTGCGCCGCGATGGACACCCACGACACCATCTGGTCGGAGTGGCCAAAAGACCTCACGTGCACGTTCAGCAAAGCCTCACGCGCAGTCACGGGCTGCAAAACCTGGCGTTTGCTCAGGCCCTTGCAGACGAGCACTCGCACAGAGGACGAGCCAGCCAGACCCGACCCGCCCCTCGCCGTCAGATTGACTCGTTGGTGCGCTGGGCTGCTGCAGTGAAGCGGCAAGCCCACACCTGAGGCAGCCACAGCCAACCAGAGGGCCGGGCCGGGGCTGCCCAGGGCGGGCCTCAGGCTCACCCGCCCAAATTCTGTCGTCTCCCTCTCTCTTCCCCGCCAGCCCAGTCCCAACCCGACCTTTCCCTCCTATCCGTTTCCTGTCCACACCACGACGCAGCACGCTACGCATCATCACTTCTAGATACCCTGCTCGTGGATTTGCAACCTCGAGCATATTGTCCTTCCCGCTCTTCAGCCTCTCCGGCCTCCCTCTTGCATCGGTACGTCTCGCCTGCCTTGCCCTCACCCTCACCCCGTGTCTCGGTCGTCCTGCTGGCCATCTGAGGCCGCTTACCCCTCTCTGCTGCCGCTTCCGCCGCCTCCAGCATTTGTCCTGCCTCGTACAGCCTTACCACTCACGTTTGCAAACACACCTATTTGCCTCTTTGTTTCCCGACCCCTCTCCATCCCCTTCGACCGCATTCCATACTGACCATCATTAAATAGCCTGCTCCTGCCAGCAGTCGTCGCCTTGCAGCCTCACCTGCAAGTCCGAATCACAACCGAACACATCACCACACCCATCCACAATGGCCTTGAAGCGCATCAACAAGGAGCTCGCGGACCTCGGCCGGTACGTCACACACATCGCCATCCTTCCTCCTACTTTGGCACACACGTCTCGAAACGCTCGTTTGCGATCGCTGCATCATCGATTCGCGTCATCGTCGACACCGCTTCCCGCTCATATCAGCAGGCTCAGGTGTGGGTCATACGGCGGAAGCGGGGTCGGAGGTGCGATGGCTTGACAGTCCAACAACGGACGGCATGGATATGCAAGTAGCAAACGAGCAGGGAGAATCGTGTTGTGCCGCGAACTTGGTGGAGTGCCCCTTACTTACTCTTGTCATCGTAGTGATCCTCCATCTTCGTGCTCTGCTGGCCCTGTCGGCGAGGACCTGGTAAGTCTATCCGAAGCCCTTGGCTCTCGTGATGACAAGCGGCCTCCTCGGCACGCGCATCACGAGCGCAAAGGCAGACATGTCTGCAAGCAAGAAAGGCACCTCGCTAACTTCTCTTGTGTCGTAGTTCCACTGGCAAGCGACCATCATGGGTCCTGTAAGCTTTCCCGCAACATTCTCCACGTGACGTACATGGCTACGCCAGTTCTGCATCCATTTCATCGAGAAGTGGCCTTGCGCTGCCTGCCATGCACATCTCACCTTTGCACACCGACTAACATGATGGACAGGCCGACTCTCCATACCAAGGCGGTGTTTTCTTCCTGGCCATCCACTTCCCTACAGACTACCCTTTCAAGCCCCCGAAGGTCAACTTCACCACCAGAATCTACCATCCCAATATCAACTCCAACGGTAGCATCTGCTTGGACATCCTGAGGGACCAGTGGAGTCCCGCTCTCACCATCTCTAAAGGTCAGTTTCGCCTGTTCCCTAGGCAAACGCTGGAGCACTCGTTAACCCTCATGTACACAGTCCTGCTTTCCATCTGCTCCATGCTGACGGACCCCAACCCCGATGACCCGCTCGTTCCCGAGATCGCACATGTCTACAAGCAGGACCGTGCCAAGTACAACGCGACTGCGGTGGAGTGGACTCGCAAGTACGCCATTTAAGCTAGACAATCGACTCAATACGTGGTCTTCCTAATCTCTGGGCGGCCGGCTTCGACGACCTCACCAGATCGACCGAATCCGCCCGTCTCATGCCATCAATACACGTGCATGGGCGACCCTTGCAATGGAAAGTGAACGCTTCCGTCCATCCGCCTTCTTTTCCGGAGTTCCACATATTCTCATTCTGTTCACTTGGGTTCCTCACGCGCGGTGTGACTTCATTCATCATCATACGACTCTTTGGGGTCTTTTCATGGGCAACGACAAATTTCACATACTTGGCCTCGAGGGTTGGAAGGGCTCCCGGACGGTCACTTTCTAAGATGGAGGAAGGGTGCGCTTTTGCATTGTACTTGGTCTGGGAAGGTAGCAGCGAGAGTTGTGCCGCCTGTCTGGCAAATTCGGGCGTAGAGAATACATAGCCTTTGTGCCCGCCTCTTTGTGTCTCGAGTCATGGCCTGCTGCATGTGATGGTTGTCGATGGAGTGGTATCAGTGTGCCTCTGTTGTAGCGCGCTGCTGTTGTAGCGCGCTGCTGAAGTTCTGCTACACTACAACGGTTCCAACAGTGACGTATGAGACCACGATAACTTTGAGAGATGGCATCCCGGAAAGGACAGTGCTTGGTAACACAGCGGCAAGGGGCATCAGAGTTTAGCAGCACGTCTGTCACTGTGGTGCTTCGCTCATACGAGAATGACTGACGAGGGACGAGGGACGATGATCGTGCCATGATAGGATCAAGGTGAGCACGTTGAGCGATAGAGCGAGTGGGAGATGATCGTATCATCGTCGTGCGTCATCACCAAGGTGTTTCGAGCTACATGTTTTGGATCCTGGCGTATGAACCCGCACTCAACGGCCGCGATGGACGAGGGTGCGGGTCAAGTCAGGTCAGGCAGAGTTACACTGTAAACGTCTGCACTCGGAGTGTTTGGCCTCTAGAGTTTGTTCGAGGTCGTCAGGGGTTCAGTGTATATAGCTGCTTCCATGCAGGTGTCGAACAGAGTCGCAGTCTGACAGATTGTGTAAATCCATGTGCCATGAACGCCACAGTTGCGGAAGTATTGCTCCTTGGCTGTGCACGCCCTGCTGCTCGATAATGGAGCGTGACATTCTTAAATCGATTAAGAGTAAAGTAATGCCGTCCGTCGGCACATCCGCAAAAGGTGGCGGTGGTGATAGTTGTAGGTGGGGTGGCGGCACCTGCCGTGCAGGACAGTGCCCCCGCTCAAGGGTTCGCGCCTCCTGAGCAAAGACCAGCAGCCCCTGGCAGGCAGAGTGTCGCGGAACACCCTTGCTGAAACATGCCCAGTTCCTGCGATTACGGTCTCCAGCCCTCAGGTCAGCCAGACCACTATGTATGCACCCCGAGGCCTATCTGTCCTTCGCCCTCAGGTTCCGACTCTGGCTCTGTGGCACCGCCTGCCCGGCATATTTGAGCGGGAACGGGCTGTCGTCGTGGCGCCATTACCCACCATCTTCAAACGACCCTCTTACAATGGCCAGCACCTACCATCACCGTCCTGCTGACCATGAAGAGCAAGCTGCCACACCTTGTGTGCTAGCCTCTGGGCTCGCAGACGTCGCTGGCTAATCGCAACCGCTGGACCACACACGCCTGGCGCGCATCGTCAAACAACGTCCACGTAACGACAATGCCCGTCTTGTTTCGCAGAACGGGAAGTGCGCGAAACGCGAGGATCCACAAGAGATAGCGCTGGCACGCCTCTTTGGCTGTGAGGGCTACTTGTCGAAAGCTGCACTCTGGAGGGCGTTGCCGCTCAAGATGGGCCGTGTATTCTCGTCAAGTGCAGTTCGTCATCTCAAGTCATTCTCAAAGTGCGTTGTAGGGTTCGCCTTGCGGGATTGCCAACGAAATGCAACAACAGCGGCTTGGCATCTTTGGCCAAGGCAGGTCTCTCTTTGAAAGACGGGACGGCTTGCACGCCGTTGGGATCTGCCGCTTGGTTTGACTCCATGCTGGCTGGACACGATTCGTCAATGCAGATCTCGAACTAGCTCCCGTCTGCACGTTTCAACACGCCTGGCATGGTCGCCCTCTCCAATCCGGCCGCTGTGCCTGCTCGTCATCTTCGTGTCATTGGGTTGTCGTTGAATTGTCTCAGATCGTAGGGCGCATCGCACGAGGTGCTGGTGCTGCTAACCAACCACGGGTGAGGCTCCGTCGGGGTGGCGGGCGCTTCCAGCAACCCCTGATCGCGACATGGGGGTCCTCGCCGACGGCCACCCCTGGGCCCCATGTGCTGCCTTCTGTGTTCTGCTAGGAAGATCTAGCCCACAGCAAGGTGTCTGGGGTCTCGTCTCTGATGCCCTGGTACTCGTACGATTCTGTGTTCTCTGGCTCTTGAACCCCCCTGGCATGCCTGGCCGTTGTGTGCAAGGCCATTGTGCTAGGGTTGGCTGCCCGCATCTTTTCTACTCCTGCAACTCCCATGTCTGGCCACCCCTTTGCGACTCTCTTTTGAAGTATTGCTCTGGTTCGTGATCGCACACAAGGTTCCTCGGCGTTAGCGACAGCAGCAGCCTGGTGCTAGCGTGTTCTTTTGTCCCGTACGTACTTTGCCCAAAAAGCTTTCCGGTCCCGACAACCGACTACCTTGTCCACTCTCTCGACCCATCACCTTGAAGCAAGAGCTAGATCGACTTGCCGGAGGACATCTACAAGGAGGAACAGTCACTTACCTCGCTGGCGAGCACAGGGTTCACACTCGTTTTGACCGAATTACGTTCTTATACCACCATCCGACGTCCCACGATCTCGAACTCGACGACAACCCACTCCGAGAGACAACGGAGCCTCGAGAGCCTCGACAGCTTGACTGACGACGGACTGGACTTTTTACAACTTTCAGCAGGATCTGAAATTGGCACACCCTAATACGACTTAATTATTATCAGACACGGCCACCTGACCTCGACACTTTCTCAGCTGTGGATTGGAGGGAATCGCATCGGCAACCAGGAGGAGAAATTTCGACTAGTAGCCAGTCGGCATATTTCGACTTCAGGCTCTCATCATGGACTCATACGGAGAGAGAGTGACGGAGCGAGCAAGATGGACGCCACTTACCCGCATGTTGCTGGCGGGAGAGATGACACAGGAGAAGCAGAAGGAGCTCACCCAGCGGGAGAGGTTTGATCGATGGATGATCAACGAAGGTTACCGGCGATTGTAAGTGAGGGCGCGGCGGTGTTCGCCGCTTGCGCATCATCACAGCTGCGAACGTCTCTGGGCTGACTTGGTTCGTTTCTGCTGTCTAGTTTCGTGTTCGTTTTCATGGCCGTCCACGCTCTCATCTTCGCCTTTGGTTTCGTCCACTACGCCGTCAAGGACAGTCTGAGCGGCTCACGAGCGATCTTCGGTGTTACGTTCATGATTGCCAGATCAGCGGCTCTGGTGCTTCATCTCGACGTTGCGCTGATTCTCTTGCCCGTGTGCCGTACCTTCATCTCGATGGCTCGCCAGACCCCGCTCAACGGCATCATCCAGTTCGACAAGAACATCACGTTCCACATGACAACCGCTTGGTCCATCTTCTTCTTCTCGTGGGTCCACACGATTGCCCATTGGGTCAACTTTGGTCACGTTGCGGCCCAGAACAACCTCGGATTCTGGGGCTGGATGGTTGCCAACTTCGCCACCGGTCCCGGCTGGAGCGGCTACTTCATGCTGATTGCGCTCACCGGCATGGTCCTGACTTCGTACGAGAAGCCCCGCCGCGCCAACTTCGAGCGCTTCTGGTACACGCACCACATGTTCATCGTCTTCTTTGTCTTCTGGTCGATCCACGGCGCGTTCTGCATGATCCAGCCCGACACTGCACCGTTCTGCACGAGCACCGGCGCGAGCGCGATCGGCGTCTTCTGGCAGTTCTGGACGTACGGAGGCTTCATCTACTTGGCGGAGCGTATTGCTCGTGAGGTCCGCGGCAGGCACAAGACGTACATCTCCAAGGTCATCCAGCACCCCAGCAATGTCTGCGAAATCCAGATCAAGAAGGAGCACACCAAGACGCGGGCTGGCCAATACATCTTCTTCTGCTGCCCCGAGGTCTCACTGTGGCAGTACCACCCTTTCACTCTGACAAGCGCGCCCGAGGAGGACTACATCAGCATCCACATGCGTATGGCTGGTGACTTCACCAAGGCAGTGGCCAAGACTCTGGGCTGCGAGTTTGACCGCAAGCCCGCGGGCAAGGGCGAGACGTCCAAGGTCGTCGGCGTCAGCGACAAGCGGGACAACATCAACGGCGACTCGGACCCGGCGCTGAGCCGCGTGCTCCCTCGCGTGTACATTGATGGACCTTTCGGCTCTGCGTCCGAAGACGTGTTCAAGTACGAGATCAGCGTCCTCGTCGGTGCCGGTATTGGTGTCACGCCGTTTGCCAGTATTCTCAAGTCTATCTGGTACCGGATGAACTACCCGCAGAAGAAGACGCGCCTGTCCAAGGTGTACTTCTTCTGGATCTGCAGAGACTTTGGCTCGTTCGAGTGGTTCCGATCCTTGCTCATGGCCATCGAGGCGCAGGACGTCGACGGCCGCATCGAGATCCACACGTACCTGACGGCCAAGATCAAGGCCGACGACGCCACCAACATCATGATCAACGATGTCAACGCCGACAAGGACGCCATCACGGGCCTGCGCTCGCCGACAAACTTTGGACGGCCCAACTGGGACATGATCTTCCGCGGCATCCGCAAGCTGCACACGCCCGCCGAGGCGGGTGTCTTCTTCTGCGGGCCCAAGGGTCTCGGCAGCTCGCTGCACGTGTTTTGCAACAAGTACTCGGAGCCTGGGTAAGTTCTCGTCACCTTTCGTGTGCTTCGACCAATCTGGCAGTTGATGAACTGACATTGTTACCCTCTACAGCTTCTCCTTCGTCTGGGGTAAAGAGAACTTCTGAAGAGACACGCATACCGCAAACTCTCCAAATTATATCATGTATCAAAGCCTTTTCTTCCAGTCACGATTTCACCCAAGGCATTCCCGCTGCAGCTTTTCTTTTGACTGGCTGTGTATAGCGCGCGCGTATGCGTGTGTGTGCGCGTGTGTGTGTGTGTGTTGGTCCTCTTTCTCTCTTTCAGGATTTCATCAACTTTATTCCCCGGTGCCGTCGCGGATCTGTCCTTTGCTTGTTTTGTTCAGAGTCATATAGAAGGAAAAGGAACGGAGTGGTGGTGGTGGTAGTGGAGCAGGCGATGCGCATCTCCTTGTTCGTTCTGGCAAGTTGTTGTTGCTGACGTTGTTGTTGTGGCTAGACAGACGCCTGGGTCGTGGTGGTCGACGTGTAGATAAGAATCGCTGAGCAAGACGAGGAATATATACACCGGTTGCAAGCGATACACTGATGCCCCCGTTTATGAAAATGATTTGCCTGCCTGTCACGCCATGATGCGCGAGGTGAAGAAGGGGGAGGCCCCGAGTTCGGCGAGCTTCAGGTAGCACGCAGGAATTGATATTGCGAAAATGATTGGGTATCTCGGTTCAAAGACTCGACGACGCGTGACCCCCTATCCTCCGAACCGCAATATCACGATCATGATGTCCAAAGCACGCAGATGGAGGAAATACTCTAAATTGCCTTATGTACGCGAACATTTCGTTCCAATATCGGCAGCAACCCGGGTGTACATCCCGTTCCACGCTAGGAACATTCTTATGACTTGACAACCCCATTCTTTTTCTTATTTTCTTTTTGTTGTCCGATTGCCAGAGTCTTCATGATGGATGTTTGGAGATCTCGATGGACAAGCGCTCTTTTGGAAGTCGAGGGATCGCCAGCGCCAGGAGAGTGGGCCCATTGGCGCGCTGGCCAAGCGTCTTGAGTGTCCATCTTGGAGCGTTCCTGACGATGAATAATCATCTGACCAATGGGCCTGGCGCGGCTGACCAAGTGCAGCAAGTGCCTCTGTGGCTAGCTGGTGGCCCTGTGGTCAGCATCTTAAAACGATTACCTGCCGTGCAATTACTCAATTTCTGTCAGCATTATAAATTCGTGCATTCTCTGGCTAGGCATCTTCAGACTGCCCAAGAGCTCCCTACCATGCCCGGGGTTGAGAGTCGGCCTGACCGAGTTGCTGATGGAGGAGGATGATGATGATGGAGACAGGGCCATTCCCCACTTGTGTTGGCAGACAGACAGGAAGTAGCCCCGAGAACTGGCAGCCCCTCCCCGCCGAGCTCCCCCACCGTGGCGGGGTTGCGGGTTCTGCGCTGAGGTCATCAGCTCCATCCGGGTCCTCGTCCTGCCTGGAGCAACGCATCATGGAGCAACCCCAGCGAGTTCCACGCATGGCCGCCTGAGGGAATACACACATACAGCACGCTCGAGAGAAACAAGGGGAACTCACTCACTCATGGGGACGTCAGTCTTTTCGACACGCCGGATCAAGAGTCCGGCAACTGCCGTTCCCTTAAGCTAGGCTGCACCTGCTCGGTCGATATCCCTTGGCAACAATTCGCGGGCTCGACGACACTTATCTCTCACCTCGTTCCACACCAGGCACACACACACACACACACACACACACACAGAGCTCAGAGGGATGGCACTAGGCGACTCCACACCTGCTGCGGGTTCGTAGTCATGGCACCGCGTATTCCTGCACGGGCAACCCGCTTTGCATGACATCACGCCCGCGCTTCATGGCCCCTCGGGTCGGGCTCAGGTGCCGCAACGCGTGCACGCCCGCGTGCTGCCGAATGCCCCTCCTCAGCCGGGACACATTGGAGTCCCTTGGCTATGTGTCTGTCTCTATCTCACTTTCTACTGGTGTGCTGCAGTGCAACGGTGGTGCAGGCCAGGGACCACCAGGTCGTGGAGATGCGGCAGACCCGGATGGCCAGGTATAAGAGCTCGTGCCTTGCTGCTCTCCTCCCGTGCTTCTCCTCATCTTGCTGCTCTTTCCTCCCATATCCTCTGCTGCCATTGACCCGTCGTCTTCTCTGCTCCTTCCACCTCGAATCAATACCAACAGCCCTGCTCAAGCAACCACAACAACACCTCTACCATCCAACATGCCTATCTCCGCCCCCGCTGCCGACCGCCTGACTGACCTCTTCAGCCTTAAGGGCAAGGTCATTGTCGTCACCGGCGCCTCCGGCCCCAAGGGCATGGGTATCGAGGCTGCCCGCGGCGCTGCCGAGATGGGTGCCGACGTGGCCATCACCTACTCGTCCCGCAAGGAGGGTGCCGACAAGAACGTCGAGGAGCTCACCAAGACTTACGGCGTCAAGGCCAAGGCCTACAAGTGCGACGTCAGCAACTACGAGAGCGTCGAGAAGCTCGTCCAGGACGTCCTCGCCGACTTTGGCGGCAAGATTGACGGCTTCGTCGCCAACGCGGGCGCCACCGCAAACTCGGGCGTCGTCGACGGCTCCGCCGAGGACTGGAACCACGTCATCCAGATCGACCTCAACGGCACCGCGTACTGCGCCAAGGCCGTCGGCGCCGTCTTCAAGAAGCAGGGCCACGGCAGCTTCGTCATCACCTCGTCCATGTCCGGCCACATTGCCAACTTCCCCCAGGAGCAGACCTCGTACAACGTCGCCAAGGCCGGCTGCATCCACATGGCCAAGTCGCTCGCCAACGAGTGGCGCGACTTTGCCCGCGTCAACTCCATCTCCCCCGGCTACATCGACACCGGCCTCTCCGACTTCATCGACGCCGAGACCCAGAAGCTCTGGCACTCCATGATCCCGCTCGGCCGCGACGGTCTCGCCAAGGAGCTCAAGGGTGCTTACGTCTACTTCCTGTCGGACGCCTCGACTTACACCACCGGTACGTGTTGACTGGTCTCAATTGAGACCCTTTTTTGTCTACTCTTTTCTTGAACAGTTTACTAATCATAGTTTTACAACTAACAGGTAGCGATCTGGTCATCGACGGTGGCTACACCTGCCGGTAAATGCATAACGCTGCCTATCCAGTTTTAATTGAGACAGGGGCCGGAGGAACGAAAAAGAAATACCCTGCAATGTCTGGAGATTGTTTGGCGGTTGGGAAAGTTGGAGTACCGAGGTATATATAGAGACATGGACTTTATGAGAAATGACCCAATGAAAAACATGAAATGCTCGTAATCATGTGTTTGTGGTGAGGGGTCGTGTTGTCTAGCGAAACGGTGTCTCGTGGCAAGATTGATATGTCTCTAGGCTGTGAGCGATTTGACGCTGCAGAGAAACTCTGTGGGCAGCCATGTCGGTGTCCCAAGATGACATGTGCTGTCGGTTTGGGTCAGGGGATAAGGTAAGTGTGAAGGGACAGGCACGTCTCTGAGCTGGCTTTACAACCACACAGCCAAGAGCCAGTTGTGGGAGAGTGCTTTGATAGGCTCCTCCCAGATGTGTTGTGAAGACGTGATCCGGCTTGGCCATCATTTCTAAGTCGTCATTGAAACTTCTCATCCCGGCTGTTTTTGTTTACGCTCAAGCAGGAGATAGCGGGGAAGCGATGTAAGTAACCAAAAGCTCTTCAAACAGTGGCCCCGTTGCATTCCTCTCTTGCTTATATGTATTATTGTATGCTCGGCTGAGAATCCGGCGGCTTTCTCATTATTACACTTCTTTTGTGTGACGCGCAGGTAGGCTGCATCTCGAAACTCAGGATACGCAGCATGCTTGCCTTTATGTTTGATTCGCACTGATGGGCGCTGCGCCAGCTGGATTTTGCCTCCCCCAAGGACAGCAAGACAGAAAGAAGAAAGAAAAAGAAAGGACACGATCTATGAGGCAAAACTTATAAGGGAAGAGGCACAGGAAATTGGAGTAATACTGAAACATGACTTTTGGAGCGTTTCTGGTGGAACTTGATTTTTCGTCTTCATTGACGGTGGGTGTAAAAGAAAAAGGGAAGCGGAAAACATGCTTGCTCTGGTATGACTTTTCTCTATTGCGAAGGGAAAAAAACAAGAAAAAAAAGGAAGGGTGGAGTGAGGTTTAAACTTTTTGAGATAAATCAGAAAACTTTGTGAGGATGAATGTTTTGTTGAGCACGTGACGACGTTAGCCAAAACATTTGGCAAGATAAACGAAAAGAGACGTCGGGAAACAGTCAAAAGGGGGGCTGAGAACACGCTGTGCGCTGCTGATATCAAGAGGAAAAGAAGCCGGGACGACAAGACGGACGCTGGATGAGAGAGTGCAGCGAAACTCATTTGTGCTGAACGGGCCTCAAGGGATTCGCTGGCGCGGTCCTTCTCTTATGGATTGGGGACCGCGGGGGGTGGTTTCCGCCTCCTCGTCTGGCGTGGGTGGGCTTGGGTCTTCGCAAGGCGGAAGGGACGGGCTGGTGGGAGGAAGAGGAGGGTGATATGACGGTCATGTCCGTATGCAGTCTTTGAAGCTGAGCGGGTGGTGCTGATGTAGTCGTCAACACTGGCGCCGACAGGGCGGTGCAAGTATTTGGCTGTGGCACAGAGGAGACGGGGAAGCTGGTAGCCGTGACAGTGGAATTCGATGTGACGCAGGAAACCGGGGGAAAAGAGGAGGGGGTTAGGGACGAGGGTGGTGCCGGTGATGACACCGCAACACTGGTCTGTGAGCTCCGCGCCCTTGGGGCCTGGTCCGGCGTTTTCCCGCTGCCCATGTCTGGCTCGGGTACTCGAGGGCCACGTTGCGCCGCGTAGTATGACTGTGCGACATGGACAAACTCTCGCGCAGTGTTGGGGTCCCCCTGGGCACCCGGGGGCCTTGAGGCCATGTTGCCGGCGTTGAGTTTGTTTGGATTGTTCACATTGACGTTGTCTCCATGGGCACTTCCGCTCCTACTGGCAACTCGAGTGGCGTTGTTGCTTTGACCGTTGTTGATCAAGGAGCCATGACTGTCGTGTCTGGCGTTGGCGTTTTTGCGGCTCTTCGGATCTCTGATGATCCGAGGCTCTTGAATAAGGATGCTGGTATTTTGAAAATTGTCAAGTCTGTCTGAGGCGTCGAGCACGTTCGTGTCACTCATGCTTTGAGTCCCGTACCTGTCCTCCTTTTCACTGTCGAGCTGGGCAGTACTGGCAAAGTGTTGACTTTGCTGAGTCTGGTGTGACTGAACATAATCCAGATACTCGAGTCCTTGGACTTGAGTCTGCCCAACATCATCGGCAACCTCAAAACTGAATTCGGAATGATCAAAAAGTTCATGCGTGTCGGTGTTGGGCTGCATTTCGAGAAGGTTGAGATCGACTGGGGTGACAGCCTCATTCAAGGATGAGTCAGGAAGTGATGCCAGCTGCACGCTAATCTCAGTTTCCACAGGCTGCTCAACCGGCGAATCCAGTAGCACAACCGAAGGGGATGCATCCGAGTCGGTGGCAGTGTGTTTCCGCGCGAGTCTCTGGGTTCCGGAACGAATCTTGTGCGCTGGCACGCCGCGGAACCCCTTGGCACGACGTTTTCCGCGGCGCGCTGGGGTCTTCGTCTGGGTTTCCGTCTGGGACTCCGACATTGGCTTGCGCACCGGCTCGAAGATGCGCTGCAAGGTCCTCTGGTCGTCGTCTTCGATGGAGAAGAATGCGCACTGGCTTCCATCATGGACGTATACGCTTGTGAATAACTCCTCGTTCACCTCTTTCCCGTATGCCTTGCGCGAGATTTTGATCTGCAGGCAAAGTTCCGTGGCCAACGCAGTGCACTGATGACCTGTCGCGGCTTGGGAGGATTCATGCTGTTGGCGTTCTTCAGGATCATGCAACGATACCTCGATGGTCCAGGGGCCCTTTGTGGGCACGCCGAAGTCTGCAACAACATACGTATCTCCGAAGTCTACAGGTCGTGGTTGATCCTCATTGATGGCCGTGTTTTTCTTTCCTGCCGCTTTCACTGCAGATCGGTTAGTCTGGGTCAATTGCACTGCCCTGGATTGAGGCAGGATTCCTGCCGGTGATGACTTGCCTCGTGGTTGTGGCACAGTCACGCCCGGCTTGTCTGCCATGGTCGAAGCTCTCTGGGCAAAGAGAGGGTCGCAAATTATCCTCCATTCCTCTGTCCCTCCGGCCCGGAATTCGACCGCTTTCTTTGGGTGTGCCTGGCAGAATGAGTCCATCTCGTCAGCTTCGATGCTGTGCAGGCAGCGCCGCTTCTGTCCATGCCGCAACAGGAAAACCCACGACAACTCATGAGACGGTCAAGCTTACCTTGCTGAATAAAAAGTACGTGGGATTGCTCTCATCCGCGTTGTCAACCACTTTATGAAGTGCGAACGCAGCTCCACGAGACATGTACTCGCGCGTTGTAATGGTCTTCCCTGCAGCGTAGCCAGCTCCAGTGAACACCTTCAAGCTTTGAGTACGCGAAACTCACAACGTCAGCAAGAGACCCCGACAGACCAATCATAAAAACCCTGCAATAAGGCGATGTGATGTTGAGCGGGCGCAGGCGACCCTATGATGGCGAAACTCACCCAGCTTCTTCTCGCTCGATCGACTCCACGAACTTTGGCTGTTCGCGAATTCCTGCAGCCTGACAGAGGCAGGCGATGCGAAATTTCACACCGTCGTGTAGCGTGCTACCTCCCGTGACCACCACCAGACTACCTCCCTTCTCCTTGAGAAGATCCATCTGGGCCTTGGCTGTTTCCAGAGGTCTCCGGAAGGCTTGCTCGAAACACTCCATGATTGTGGCATGGGTCAAAATGATTGTATCTGACTTGCCGTTTTCCATGAAAGAAAGTGTCAAGGCACTCTGACATCCTGGGCCAATGTCGCCGCGCTTGTACATATTGATGTCTTTCGCCAACCGGGCAAGACTGGCTGGGGTGAGCTCCTGGCCTTCACGACCTGGACGGGTTCGGGCGACTGCCTTGCATTCTTCAAGCAAAAGATATTCCCAGTGTTCACTTCCGCCGCCTTCGCCTTCGTGGACGTCAAAATCGTTGGTCGAGACGAGTGGGGCTTGGTCAACGAACCTTTAGTAGAATTTTCGGGCAGATACAGGTTTGCCATTCCACCATTGGGATCGTAGACTACGAAGTACATGCAGGAGTTCTAAGACTCCACGTATGTCAGCAGAGATCAGCGCGGGGATGAGGTACTCTCATATGAATGCGGTGACTTGCCATGCTGTGTCCCCCAAAATCGAGAAATAGGACCATTTCCTGGGGCGATGGCCGGTCACAGCCGTCGAATCTGTAGCAGTCATCCCGGAAAAGGAAATGAGCGATCGCTTCCACCTCTTTCACGAACTCGATCCTTGTCTCCTCAAGGATGCCGTCAAAGGCATCGGACACGATTCCATGGTAGATGTCCTGGAAGACTTTGTCCCACTGTGAGGGGATTGTAAGTACGATTTTGGTGACCTCCATACGCCTTACTTTGCACATCCTCTCGACCTCGACTCGCAATGCGCAGAACAGCTCTAACAGGCCTCTCTTGAGTTTGAGACCCAAATTCGGATCGACACTCTTGTAAAGCGGCTCGGCGACGCAATACTGCTCTCGCAGATCGAGGCATTCCGCAAGCCAAAGGATCGCGTACTTGGCAGAGATTTCTTCGTGGCTCTCGCTGACGTTGCTATTTCGCCATACTGGTCTGTCGACGTCCCCGGGAGTGTTGTCGTTGAGAATGAGTTTGATCGGCCACTCAAAACCCCGCAGTCTACCGCTATGCAGATGTTTCGGATTCGGTACCTTCTGCCACATACGGGTTGAGTTTCCGCCCGATATGCGCATTAGCGCCGCACGTAAGCTCGTGCTCCCAAGGTCGACACTCAAGACACTTGTAGTGCTTGTCAGAACTATTCGGGATTTCACATTGCTGATGATATCTCACGTAAAGTGTAGATATGCAATGAAAGAAGGCGAGACATACACTTTGCTTAGCGGTTGTGCCATGTTTGACCAAGATCTTGTCGACCGTTGAGATCTTCGCCGGAAAGAGGGCTTACGCCACGCATGGGCAGGACGATGAGTGTTGTAACAAGTCGGAAACTGGTTTGGGGCGATGATTTTTTGTATATGCATGAAGGAGGCAGTCAATGCTTGTCGTTCATAGGGATGAGAGGGCAGGGACGACAATGGAGTTTTAACTAGAATGCGCTCTTTATACTTGTTGCGAATGCACGGAGGGGAATGGAGGACGCGATAAAGATGAGAAGTTCGCCCCCGTAAGGATCTTCAAGCCAAACATCCAAACAGACACACGAATAACTCTAAGCCTCCGTGGCACCAGGTACCCTTCGGTATCGGGTACCAGGCTCCTGGCCAAAATTGTCCAGGGAGGATTTCAGCTCGATTCCCAATAAAGGTAAGGTCGTCTGTGAGCAACCAGGATCATACCTCCGGCACCCGCGGAGCAAGGATGGCTGGCCCCGACCCTTGCTAGGCACTCTTCTTGGCTGAGATTGCGGCCTAGTCAGCCCGGGCTAGTAGCTCGCACAGCACAGGTCCCTATTGCCGGAATAGAAACAACCTACAATGATTGAACGCTACACAGTGAACAAGGCAGTAAATCAATATGTCGCTCTTGGCTGGCCAGTCCTATGGGACATGCCCATGGCTACGGCATATTATGAAGTGTAATCGGAGATAGGCGGTTCACTGGCAGATTCACCACCGAGTCATATCATTCTCGCTGTAATCCAGTATCGTCGAGGCCGAGCTGCTGCAAAACTAAAGGTCCTGGTGAAAGAGTCCAAATGTTCGTTGAGTCACAGCACAGTTGCTGTGTCGACGTGTCGATTGTGGTTGGTATAGTGGGTGACCGGCGATAGGCCAGGAGCCGTTGTTTTGAAAGCCACCGCGCATCGAGACCAACAGAACGAGGCAGGGACGTTCCACCTGCGGCAGCCGGAAGGTGTAATCCTTGAGTGGCAAGAGCATTTGCTGGGTTCTCGACACGGCTGCCAAATGCGTCGAGTATCTTGCGCAAATTCCTCGATATGATTACGGATAGAAATCAAGACTTATCCGCCTGGTAATTTTCAGCTAGGATCTCTATGTCCGGCCACGTCACCAAAAGTATACAACGAATTCTCGGTCAGTGAAAAGAAGAGTAGCGAGACATCGCACAGGTTTTCGATGATCACTCCTGCCTGCCAGGATTTGTTGGTGCTCTTCAAACCCACTATTTCAAGCAGGCACAATGAGCGATAAGCCATCCATACGGTTACTGACATGGTGACAAAACACGGAGACGTCAGGATTCAAGTCCCCATGAGATTCAGAAACAAGTACTGCATCCGGCTTCTATTCCTGGCAGTTCAGCGAGGTACCCTTGGGGCAACAGAACCGGCGACCGGTTTTGGCGGCCTAGGATGAGGCGGTGTAGTGGATGCTAGACAACCCCACGACGAGTGAGTGTTCGGCTTCATTCTTTGGGGCAGTGCTTGACACGGCTTTGGTGCGGCTTTTTGCCTTAATCATTTAATGTTTGGAGCTTTTCAGGAGAAGCAGGAGTGATATTCATAGTGACACTTCTGCCTACGAGGATTGAACCAGCATTGTTTCATGGCGATAGTGAGTAAATCTCGGTGTCAAGTACTGAGGGCCAGTGAGGGAGAATTCACTAAGTGTACCCATGTGCAAGATGGTAGATTAGGGTGTGTTGATCCCGTCTGAGGTCGAATGCTGGGCGCGTGCGCAGAACTTCCACTGACGCGCTGCGTCAACCTGCATCCCAGGCAGACAGGAAATCAATTCGTGAGTGCTCGGTCAAACCCTTTCATCTCGTTGGAATAACTCTGCTGAGTTGGAACTCCAACAGACCACTCTGTAGCAGCCACAGCAAGATCTTCACATAACTAGTGACCGTACGCTTAGACAGCTTCCGAAATGGCTGGTTCGAAGAACCATGGAACCCTCGAAGAAACCATCCGAGAGAGGGTGAGTCTGCCTCGCCATTAACCAGGACCGGAGATTTCGTCTTGGCCAGCGGCCACGAAAGGAATAGCACATTCATCACTTTGTGCACGCGAGTCATTGCCCACCGTTGACAATCACATCCTCGGCCACAGACGAGAGCCAGAACCTCGTCTCTGGACGTGGACTTTCTGCATGGCTCGCGTATCTTTCCATGCCAACTTCTTCCCATGAAATGCGGCGTCACGCACTTATCTCTGAACCAGGAATCGCCTTGTAACATAGTGGGCGCGGATTACCAGGTGCTCCGTAAGGTGAGTGAGTGTGTGTGGGTATTTCTGGCCCGGTCGGCTGGTATGCGGCCAGGGGAACGAGGCAGAACCAACATGTTGGCCGGACGCCTTGCCGCCGCCAGCCAGCGGCAGGCTGAGCTCCCCCCCTCCCAAGCCCCGTCCATGGTGCGCGGCTCATTCTTCGCCTCTGTTCAAAAGTTCCCGCAGCCTGAATGGTGCCTCCTTTGGACTGTGACCATTTCGATTGGATTCTGTCGGTTGCGAGACGAGACAAGATGAAGTCATTATCGCGCCATATGTAGCGCGCGGCTATGCCGCGGAGTATGCCTGCCAGCCCCTGAGACCGGGGGCGAAGTCTTGCATGTTTAGCTCGTCCCCTTACATATGTAAGGGTGCGTGGGCATAGCACTCCTTTGGCAGTGTTGGTGATGGAAAAGTGGGCGACCAATAGATACTATGTGGAAGACCATCTTGGGCAGAACAGCAGCATTGGCTTGGTGCAGCAATCGTACTCATTGATGGAACAGCCTAGTCGAATGGGTCCAAGGTGAACTATTCATCCTTTTCACCATCCATATGATATATACTATATGAAAAGTCAAGATTCAAGACCATTTGTCGGGCATGGGAGCAGAAGGTCCACGACGGTCTCGTGTCGCCTTTGCTGGAAACGCAAAGCACTCTATGCTCCCAAGCAAGTGACTGGATAGATTTCATCTACATACTTAGACCCTGGTAAAGCAGGCTATCGCGTGTACGGTTACGAAGTACACTTTAGGGCGGAGACAGGACCGCAGCCTGCACCAGAAGCCAGAGTAGTGGGAGTCCTTTGGCTTGAATTGCAGGGGTGCTATCCTGACACAGAGTGCCCAGGGAGCAGCACCATTTCGGGGGAGTATGCTGTAACATCACGAAATGATGGTCTGCAAATCCCGCCAAGGGTTGAAATGGCGATCGGACGATGACCACGGTACCAGCCGTGCCGCGCTTTGAGACCAGAGCACAGCACACCGCCCAGTGACGGGGACCAAGCTTGGGCTTGCCGGAGGCGCCCACAACCGCGCCTCATGTGCTGCGTACGTCGCCTGTCCCTTGTTTTTCCACTTGTGGAGATTTGTTGGTTGCATTCCCACTAGCTGGTTGCCTGTCCCGCACGGACCGGGTCCTCGGATCCAAGACCGATACCATCGCAGCGCGATGATTCACGCCTTCTACGCGATTCCAGGACGGAAGATGTGACTGTCGAATATAGCGGGCGGGAGCGGGCTCTCCAAGTTGGAGGGCGAGGACTATTCTTGCCCTGTCCCCAAGGGTGCCAGTTGTCATGTGCTCCACAAGTGCGGCAGATCGAGTCGCAGTCCGACAAGACTTGATCCCCCGGGGAAGTCGTCTGTCGCTCTTTGCATTCTGGGCGTCCTCGTATCATCAAACAGGCTGTGTCCTCGGCGGCCACCCCAAGTCTGCAATTTCCTGCAAGCCCCTGACGCCTGCGTCCAGGTAAACCGTCAAGTACACTGAAGTACATGTACAACTGACAATTGCAGCCCCTGCCGTTTTCCGGTGCTGGGAAAATTCATCACCTCAGCTGCCTCTTCGCCTGCAAATGTCCTACAGTTGTCGTGCAAGGGATCTCCCACTTTCTATTGCGAAAACTTGGGTCTGATGCGGTTCAGACATTATCAGTCCGTGGTGTGCCGACATCTTTCCCAAAGCCGTGAGTAACACAGTTCAATACCATAGTAGCAAGCAGCTAATCATTACGCAGAAAGAACGCAATCAATCTTCGCTCCAAAGCTCTCAAAGTGTGGTGCTGGATCCGATGCTGTCCACTGTCCTCCACGGCCACGCACGCTAAGCACAATAGCCACAGTTTTGTTATGTGCCCAGTGCTGAAGATGTCTTATTGAGACGAGTAACTATTCTTTCCCTTCTTTTCTCCGCCCAAGTACTCGTCTCACATCTGCTACTCCTTCTAACGCAAAAGCCTACAGATTCCCCTACACTTTCCAACTTCCAAAGCTTCGAGACCAAGCCGACTGCGCACGGATCATCGGATCCGATTCAACACAATCCACCACAACTTCATGCGTAACGATTACAATCACCTGCAGCGATCATAGCGAAGTGCTCCATCAATCTTCAAGCAGCCGCAGGTTCGGTAAAGATTTAAACCCGACATGCACTATAGGTCCTAGTCTTCCTCTAGCATATGACTTCGCCATACCCCCCGGCAGGCCTTGACTCGGATCAAGATTGAAGAGTCAGGACTATTGCGTCCATGAAGACAGTCGACAAGTGATTGCTGTCACATCCCGTTTTGGTCGATCGGTGCGACACGCTTGTCCTCAGTGGGAATTCACCCTGCCGAAAGAGGATTGCCCAGTGTCGCACGAATCCGATCCAAGTGGATTGTCTACCCTATTTGAAATATTGTGCCCTGCTGCCATCAGTCGTACATGACCTCTGGACGCCGTACACTTTATCATATCGCTTTCTTCCAGACTCGGTTTCGTGAACTTCACTGGCATCTCACCGTTTTGACTGGCCGGACTTGCCGTGCAGGATTGTGCCTTTTGGCATCAGCAACTGAGATGGACCTTGAAGTGTCAACCAGCTCATTCATTTCCTGCTTTGAGGTAGACCATGCCTAAGATGGGGTGAACCAAGACGTTTAAACGCACGCAGGCGTTGGCCGATGCAAGGAAGGTCGCCGGCCTGCAGCATCGTGCGATTATGGAGGTCCGTGCGTGATACGGACATGCTGCTTCTTGATGTCGCAGTTCTACATCCTGTCTATTCCTGGCCTGTTTGAGCAGCATTGCAGTGGCCGCTACTCGCAATCACGAAGTATTTGCGATGAACATATCTGGTCCGTAACGCGGGGCGCGCAAGTGGCCGGCCTGGCAAAAGACATGGAATCTTGTGATGTGCACTTGACACAGCTCACATCTTCCGTCCAGGAATATTCGCAGATGTCGGCAATGGCATTCGGCCACGCAGGTTGCGATCACATACTCAAGCATGTGCGGGGACACACTATTCACTCTTCGTTCAACTGACCTATAGGAATCGCAGACGGCAATGACAAAGTCAACCCTGCAAGCAAGGGGGGACGAGGGGCCACGCTTCCTGAGACCTTGGTCGACGCGCGATCGGCTGACGGCCAAAGCGTTCCTGGTCCGCCTGCGAACCTAACGAAGGCTGATCACATCTAGACGAGGGTATCGAATACTATGGTATCCGCTCTTTCGGGAAGAGGCATCCAATACAGATGGCCCTGCAACGACATCAAGTGACCTGCCCAAAGATTGGGACAACAGGCGGACGAGGAAAGATCAATGCTGTGCCACCGTCAATTCCATAAATCTAACCTGGTCTCTTCCTTGCTCCATGCAGGCCAACCCAAACATGTCCAGACCCTTGTTGGACCTGGACGAATCAGCTCGAATATCCAACCTAGGGAAGCATAGAGGCTTTAGTCCCACATGAAAAATCACCAATCAGCGTAACCTGGAAATCCCCGGAGCTAATCAGAAGCCGCATGATCAAAAAGACCAAGAAGCGTGCGGGTTGTGGTATCTGCAGCTGTGTGTCTCGCAGCGATTGTGCATTAGCCCAGAGGCATGGATTCTCTTTGTTAGAAGTGAATGCTCAGTGATTCCCACATGCATTCTTTGCATTCGCCTCTCCTCAGCTTCCTCGGACATTACACGCCAGATGATGTTGTCTGATTATAGTCGACTGCCCGGATGAATCACCAGCACTCTCCTTCAACCAATCAGAGAGCATTCACGTATGGAACTGGCGAGGGTTCCCTGCGATCCAATTGGCCGCACCTGGGTCTGGGTCTAGACTCGCGTTGTGGAACCATGCGGCGGCGAGGACCCTTGGAGATTTTTCTCTTTTAATCTTTTTTCTTCCGTTTTGGAGTCGTACCGCGGCGGCTGCGTGCCTTATCGCCTCAATTCCGCGCGCTCGCAAAATCAGCCCAGGTCCGCCCATCCGGTGCTGAGTCATCTGAGTCCCGGCGGCGCTTCTCGGCGCCCTGAAGACGTGTTTCAGAGACTGGACACGCTCTGAACAACCTCCCTTGATTCTCTTGTCGCCACATTGCTTGCCTCCAGCGTGCGTAGTTCGATCGTGGGGTTACTCCTGCGTGCCTGACAATTGAATTTGCCTCGACGCGGCGTCTTGCCCCAGCGCACCCCTCGGAACTCTTCCCCGCACGGTTTGCGTTTGCTTCTGCAGGCCCCAACGACCACCAACAATGACGGCGCCGGGCTCCACCACCGGCGACGACTTTGCGCCGGCAGCCAAGCCGGCGGTTGTGCCCTCGGACGCTGTTGAGGGCAAGGCCGGCTATGAGGGTGGCGATCTTGACGCTCCCGGCGTTGTCGCTGCGGGCGGAGCGGACGGGCCGGCCGGGGCCTCCGGCGTCGACGAGCGCAAGTTGGTGCGCAAGCTCGACTTGCACCTCGTGCCTCTGGTCATGCTGCTGTACACTTTCAGCTTCCTGGACCGGTAAGTCAGCTCGTCTGGCGCGTTGTGCGGTCGCCTTCTAACGTTGCGCAGCGTCAACATTGGCAATGCTCGCCTCTACAACCTCGAGGCAGATCTCGGCCTAGTCGGCAGTCAGTACCAGACCGCGGTCGCGATTTTGTTCTGTACCTACCTTACGTTTGAAATCCCGAGCAACCTGGTTCTGAAGCCGTTCACTCCTCGCCGTTGGATCGCATTCATCGCCTTTGGTTGGGGTATCGTGGCCACCTGCACGGGCCTGGTCCGCAACTACGGCGAGCTCCTGGCGGTCCGCCTGATCCTCGGCGCCCTTGAGGCAGGCCTCTTCCCTGGCCTGAACGTCTACCTGACGTTCTTCTACACCAAGAGGGAGCTTGCCCTGCGCGTGGGCTACTTGTTCGTCAGTGCCGCCGTGGCTGGAGCTCTTGGTGGCTTGCTCGCCTACGGCATTGGGCAGATGGACGGGGTCCGAGGCATGAGCGGCTGGCGATGGATCATGATCATCGAGGGTATCCCGAGTGTGCTTCTTGGCGTTGCCACATACTTTTTGCTTCCCAACGATCCGGAGCACGCCTACTTCTTGACTCCTGAGGAGAAGAAGTTCATGATTGCCCGATCGCGCAGGGATTATGGCGACACGGCGAGCGCGCAGGAGTTTGACAAGAGAGACATGCTTGCTGCCTTCAAGGACTGGAAGGTCTGGACCTTTTGCATTGCGCAGTTTGGCGCCGACACCATGCTTTATGGTATGTTCACTTTCTTTTCTTTTGCAGACCGGTCACCTCATCCCTTTCAGATGATACTACACTTTTCTCACAATTAAATTTCGAACGGCTGCTAATAACCCGAACCAGGCTACTCAACCTTCCTCCCCACCATCATCCGGGGCCTCGGCACCTGGGGCACCGCCGAGACCCAGCTGCTCACGATCCCGTGCTACTTTGTCGGCGCCGTGACCTACATGACGGTCGCCTGGCTGTCGGACCGCAAGCAGATGCGCGGCCTGTTCTGCGTCATCTTCGGCACCATCAGCGTCGTCGGCTACGGCGTGCTCCTCTCCAACACGGCCGCGGGGGTGCACTACTTTGGCGCGATCCTCGTCGCCATGGGCCTGTACGTCGTCGTGGGCCTGCCCCTCGCGTGGCTGCCCAACAACTCGCCCCGCTACGGCAAGCGCACGACGGCCAACGGGATGCAGCTCACCTGCGGCAACGCGTCGGGCATCATGACCCCGTTCATCTACCTCTCGCAGTACGCGCCGCGGTACGTCCAGGGCAACGCCGTCAGCCTGGCCATGGTCGGCATGGCGACGACCATGTACGGCGGCTTGTGGTTCTACTACGACCGCCAGAACAGGGCCCGGGCGGGAGGGTACGTCAAGCCCGAGCACGAGAATCTGTCCGAGGAGCAGCTGGCCGAGCTCGGCGACGAGAGCCCCGTCTATCGCTACACGATATGATTTTTTGAGGTTTTGGAGATGTTGTTTGGCGGGAAACCAATGGAGCCGTGAATGGGTTCTCCATTGAGGCGTGCTTGCAGGTCAGAATTTTTGGGATAGACTTCTTGATAGACAGCGGGTTGGTTTGATAGACTGCACGGAGCGTCAATTTCATAGAACCTTTTTGCGTTAGGCGGCCCAAAGTCGTGAATCCTGTCACTCTCACGATGAACCGTGAGGTATGAAGTGGCTGACTTGTCCATGAGGTCGACTGGCCCGCAGCAACAAGCTCATTTACCGATAAAAAGCCCTCAGCCTCGTACTTGGTGGATTCACTCCCTATGATTGTCACCAAAGCTTCCTCGCCTTGGGTGAACTCGAGGCTTCAACCCACAGGCAGCAAATCCCAAACCTGCCGACACAGTGTCGTGTGCGACGGACACTGTAGCATTCGCAGGCGCCAAAGGTGCAGATGGTGAAGCAATTCTGACGTCAACCCACCAAACCACCCACCAGCATTACCTCCTCGCACAGTGCCCACCCGCCAGATGTCGTCGTCACATCCTCACCACACACCATCAACCACAAAAGAAATCAGGCTAGGATCGAAGACAATCGCCAAGGAACAGAGAATAAGTTGTCGTCCTTGAGTCTCACCAAACAGGCACGCTGGATATCTGCACTCTTAAGTTTGATTTGATTTCTTTCGACGGGTTCCGGTATCCGGGATTTCGCTCACCACCAGCTGTCATTGTTGTGCGCGGCGGCGGCGGCAGAGGCCAAACAGGCCGAAAGACTTTAGCAGGTCATCATGGCCGGCAGCAAAGAGATCTTGTCGAGGAGAGCGATATGCGAAACCCCGGCCCTTGTGCGACCTCATCGGCACCAGGGAGCCTGGTCTCTCCGACGTCAGCACATATCAACAAGCACACGCACAAGCACCCGGACGCCTGTGCATAATCACCCAACCGCGCCAAACTCAGCATGGACATCCGAGGCACGGAGAAGATACACTTGCCGCCCAGCGTGCGGCCTCCTCGACGGTGGCCAAAGCCATGGCCGAATTCATGGAAGCATAAAGGCGGGGAAGAGCGGGAGTGATGGCATCCCCTCTGGGAGGCGGGATGCCTCGTTCATGTCCTTCTTCCGCGGGATCTTTGGCGCAAATGAGGACGGCGGCGGCAGCAGCGGCAGCTCGACAACAATGAGAAGGGAAGAGGATCGCAGCAAAATGGCAGGAGAACCTGGATCGCGGGTTTCCTTGTCACAAAGCTCGTCAGTAGCCAGGGCCGGAAATGCGACCACGACTCCAACTACCGCCGGCGTCGCGCACTTTCAGCGGCAGAAGGAGCATGTTGATCCGGCCCAGACAGACGGGCCAAGGAAGAAACCCAAAAAGTCGATGGCCGAGCTCGATGAGGAACTGCGGGCCAAGATGTCCGGGCTTGCCGGAGATGGAGGCGAAGCCGGCGTTGAATACGAGGACGGTCAGCCCGTGGCGATGAAGCGAAGTGTCAAGAACAACATGTTTCGTTACATATGATGTCGTTCCTGTAGATATGGATAAACACAAAACAAGTACCCTTTTCCCGGACGACTCCCGGACCTTTTTGGTATCGAGCCTCCTTCTCAAACGCGCCAATAACGCCGTAATTTGTCCTGCAATGACACCTCCCAACTGTCTATGCTGATCGAGCGCCTTCTTAGCAGGCTGTCAAGCTTCGTCCAAAACAGGATACCAGATTGTTGATCTCCAAGTCTAGGCTGTTCCGCGAGGCTTCGCCTTGAGTTTAGCCTTTTCCTTCTTCTCCTCCTTAAGCTTCTTCTTCTTGGCCTCATTCTGTTCCTCGATTTTGCGCTTGTGCGAAGCCTTCTCTTGATCCGTCTTGGGAATCACCTTGAAGAAACCCTCCAACCGGGCCTGCTGTGAGCTCTTCATGTGCTTCTCCAGTCGGGCGCCTACACCACGGACTCTGTCCTCATTGAAGTTGCGGTCAATAACGAGGAACTTCACAAGTCCTTCCACGTCTGGCTTCTCCCATTTGAAGTCGCATAGAGGGTCGTCGGCTTTCCGGACGTCGGGCTCAAAGAAGAGGGCACGAGCATCATCGTAGGGCCAGTCTTCCGGAATCTCGTATTTCTTCTTGGGATCGTTGCGGATGAAGTCGACGACACCGTCCAGGGTCTTGTGCTCACGAATGAGTTTGAGGGCTGTCGAGGGGCCAATCTTGGGGATCGGGTCGAGGTAGTCACAACCGAGGAGGATGCACAAATCAACAAACTAGAAACTGAGGTGTGAGTAGACGTCGTCAGACAAAGATGACTGCATGTAAAGCCTGGAACATACCTGGGGACGCTCCATCTGCAAACCCTCGAGGACCTTCTGAACGTGAATCTCTTGGATGGGCTCTTTCCGTTGCTCACTGAATGTCAAGTGTCGCAACAGGATCGGGCTGTCAAAGCACAAGGTGTCCATGTCTTCACTGGCTGCCGCATACACCTTGCCTGCTCTCGCGAGCACCGCACATTGCGCTTCAGCCTCGGTCGGGGCAATGATGTAGGGGATGCCCATCAATTTGAGTAGTTGTTGACATTCCTCGTTATGTTCGCGGGTCACCCGAACGGTTCGTCGGGAGAATTTTTCCACGTCCTCGGCCGTACCGGTCTCCTTAGCCTCCTCGAGGGACTCGTTGGCCTCTGCCTTGCGCTGGAATCGTCGTGCCAGCTCACCAGACTTGAGCTTTGGCGGGGCGCCATCAAAGACGTAGATTGGCTTGATGCCGTTCTCCACCATCCGTAGTGTGCGGTAGAACATGCCCATGATGTGAGAGGTTGTCGCACCTTCCTCGTTCATCAGCTGCTGGCCATCGGAACGCACGGCGATCATGAAACTGTAGATGCTCATGGATGCATCGATGGCTACCTTGCGGCCAAACTGATTCTTGATCTCGCCCTCCTTGATCGCATCCGGCGCCTCCTCCTTGATGATCTGGAACAAGTTTTTGATACCCATGGCGGGCTTCTTATGATGAGTCTCGGTAGAATGGTCGGTCGGTCGGTTGATCCGGAGATTGACGAGCCCCGCCGCTGGAGGAAGTCGAGGTTTGAGACGTGATGCCTGCCGTGCACAGGTTGGACGGTGGTGTCGCGGGTGGTTGCGCAACGGATGAAGACGTCACCACAGCACTTAACGCGAAAAGCAACTGCAAGAGGCGCACCGCGCATTGACGTGCCTGGCAACGCGCTAAGTCGCGGCAGGAGTTCTCTGGCTTGCAGGGGTAGCTCTTGGAAGGTGGGGTCACAGTCTTGCTTCAAGCTCACTTGGACAACTACGACGTAACCACAACACGTTGAAAGTTGAACAGAACTGTAAAGTCACAAAGTCGCTCAGTTTCTGACCTGGCATACAAGATTTGGGCCAGCTGGGATGGTTATCTTGGAGAACTTCCTAAATCTAGAACTCCTCACCAATGTTCACAGGAAGCAGGTTCACGGGGTGCGCTATGCACTGTGCGGCAAGCAACTGTATGTCTCAAAACTGTGTGAACAGCACTGGTTCAACGTCATCTGGACCTAAGCTACCTTGGAGCTTGCTGGAGCGCTGCTTCAACCGTCTCAACAACCTCCACCGAGCTCAATCGCCTAACACACCTCATCAAGATACACACAAATCAATCGTCCTTCAGCAGCTTATCACATCATCACCATGGCTTTCCGCGCCCTTCGACGTGCCCCTGCGGCGCTACCCCGCCCTGCTGTGGCTGCTCGCCGCCAATTCCATGCCTCGCCCAGAGCGTTTGTGCAAGTCGGCGAAGAGATCCCAGACCTGGAGGTCCTGTTTGAAAACTCGCCCGGCAACAAGGTGAACCTCAAGAAGGAGTTTGAGAACACCAATGGCGTCATTGTGGGCGTGCCCGCCGCCTTCTCTGGCGCCTGCTCGGCGAAGCACGTTCCGAGCTACATCAACCACCCCAAGCTCGCGGATGCTGGCCAGGTCTTTGTTGTGAGCGTGAATGACGCTTTTGTGTAAGCTTAGTAACGCCTCGAGGGAATACTTTTTCAGCAATCTCTCGGCAGCTGACAACTTGTAGCATGAAGGCGTGGGCAGACCAGATGGACCCCACAAAGGCTTCCGGGGTAAGCATCATACGGTCCAAATGCAAGACTCTCCGCGCACGAAACTCACACATCAGTATAGATTCGGTTCCTCGGCGACCCTTCGGGCCAGTTCACTGAAGCTCTTGATGTGGGATTTGACGGATCCGCCATTTTCGGCGGTATGCGCAGCAAGAGATATGCTTTGGTCGTGGAGAATGGAAAAGTCAAGTCGGTCCATGTCGAGCCTGACAACACCGGCACCGACGGTAAGTTTATGATAACGCATTCGATTGGATTCCAATTTCAGCCTTTCGGATGGTTTGCTAACTTGGAATACTTGTAGTGTCCATGGCTGACAAGGTGCTTAAAACGCTGGAATGAGGTCGGTTGGTCGACCCAGGGTGACCGTCAGATTGAACGAGAAAAGGGAATTTATGGGAGTGATCATGTGTCTTTCTGTACGTCTCAGAATGAGAGCACTCTCTACCAATGACTGCCGTATGCCCTTTGAGCCAGAACCAATGACTGTAAGCAACATGGCTATGGAAAGTCTTTGATGACATGCAAGTTCAGAATCCGACCAGAAGTCGATTCAACTGAACTCGTGGCTCCCTATCCAACTATTGGAAAGGCAAAGGGAGATTCACCGCAGGAACTGCAGATCATTGGCAAAAAGGTTTCGTAAGACTCGTCGTGGGCGGTGTTGCAAGGGCGCCGAAACCAAACTGGGCCTGGAACTGGGCTAAGCTCTCAGCTGAGGACGGACCCACCTCGGCGCCCTACTATGGTGGTCCCTTGAATTTTTACCCGTACATGAGGTACTCTTGGCGGACTAGGGTAACTCGAGCCAATCATGTGTGTTTGTTTTGTGCAGAGCATAAAGAAATGTGCAACATTTGCTTGCTCTGATATGCCAGTATGCAGAAACAAGGTATATGCGCCTGCATGCTTGGCATCTTGGCAGCTTGGCAAGTTACAAAAAAAAGTGTTAAAAATTCAGCCTGCAACCATAGTACCAGCCGAGATTCTCCAACATTCACCACACCACATCCTGGAGCCGAAGCCGAAGCTGCCGAGCTGGGCGAGCCGAGCCCCAAGAGGCATCCGCGATATCACGGCGGGTTGGCACTCCCAAGCTGGAATGTTCAGACCTTCTCTTCAAACATACGATTCTGGGGAACAACTTGGTCCGGGTCACACAATGAGCGACCCATACATCCGCCCGAACGGCCGGCCGCAGGCGTGCGAGGTGAGCCCTCCTAATTGTCTTTGAGCCGAGCCCAGCCGTGGCGTCCTGCTGGTCGTTAACACAGACGGGCCACAATAGCCATGTCGAAAGCGCAAGGTATCGTGTGACCATACGCACCCTGTCTGCAGGAGGTGCGTCAAGCGCAAGCAGCAATCCGAATGTGTTTATGTGCCTCAGGATACGGTTCGCCGCACTCCCAAGCCGAGGGCACCGGCTCCTGGGGTCCTGGCTTTGGCAAGTGGCGGCACGCCGATATCACCACCACGCTCAACCGAGGCCAGCACTACACCGCAGCTGCCAGAGGTCCAGAGTGAGCCCACGCCCGTGGCGACAGCGACTGGCTATGTAGGCTCCACAAACTATTGTCACTTCTTCAAGGAGGCCGAGCAGCTTCTCCAAGCCGCTCAGGCCTCGGGCTCACAATATGCAGAATCGTCTTGCGGCTGCTACTCGGCTGCATCTGGAGTCCCGTACGAGGCTGTTCGCGACCAATGCCGGGCAATCTTGGATCTCATACCCGACCTGAGTGCCGGAATGGATACTTTCCGCCTCCACGAGTGTACGGCATCCGGCGTGCCCCCGGCCGTATCCCATCGTATCGTGCAGTCAGTATGCGACATGCTTGGGCCATTCCTCGGTGCGGAGCGCGACCCTCAACAGCTTCAGGCCATTGCTAGGCAGCTGTTCCACAATTCCAGCAAGCCTTTGAATGATTCAGAAGCAGATGCCGAACGGTGGATCAGTCAATTCGTCGGCGACAACCTCAGATGGGAATCCATAGGCGTTGTCTTCACGCTTCGGCACCGAACACAACCGTCGGCATCGCGTGCCATTGTCAACCCTGGCATTGTTTTCAAAGACTGGCCACACGTGGCTAGAAAAGGCCTCGAACTGACTTTGGAGCTATGCACGGAGCTTTCTAAAGGATCGTTCATGTGTCTGTACTTTGCGCAGAAGCTGACTGTCGCCGAGAGCATGTTCAGTGGTGATGCCAGTACGTCCACACCAAAAGATTCTGTGAACACGGTGCATGCTACTAACCGCGAGACAGGTCTACGTACCTGGAGAAGGCACGGCGCGACGGTCGCAATGTTGACATTCCTGGGGTACCACGCATTGCCCGACGAGCAACCATATCAGCCGACCCTCACCTCCGAGCTGAAGCGCAGGCTCTACGGATGGATCCTGACCATGGACTGTGGCATGTCCTACTTTACTGGTAGGCCGCCGTTGATGTCGGGCCAATACGCCACCACTCCGCTGCCGCTTGACATTCATGACGACGAGCTGCTCGATCCGGCGGCGCTCAAAGTCGCGGTGAGCGAGCTCGACAACGGCTGGAAACGAGACGCCACAAGCACCAATTCGGGCACATTCACTCGCGCGCGGGCTATGATTGGTGCTGTGCGGGAGTCCATTTCCGCTCTCGCGATCGGCCAGAGTCAGCCGTCGTCGCTCGACATGCTTCTGTAAGTAACAACAGGACGCCGTCCCCTTATACAGAGCAAGATTCTGACGGCACGAAAGTGAGATGAAAGCCCGCACGATCCAGACCTACGAGTCCTTTCCCCAGATCATAAAATACGACCCAAAGACTGTCAGCAATGAGGCAATCGGCACGAGAACGCACTGGACAAAAATGCTCATCGGCCTTGAATATCTTCAGACCCTGCTCTTCATCGAGAGACTGTTGCTTCGCCATGGGATAAAGAAGGATAGGGCGGAGCTTGTCGCCATTAGCTTCGAGCTGGTGGTAGCAAGCCTGCCGGTCTGGACACACAGCGACTGCTTTGGTGCAGTGGACAATGATGCCGAGTGGCTTGTAAGTACATCCCCTTGCACCTTCCTTGCGAGCGAGCGAGAGAGAGAGAGAGAGAGAGAGCGAGAGAACTGACAACACCAATCCCCGAATTCAGGTCATGGCCTTTGCTGCGCCCGCGGGTGGTGTCCTCTGCCACGAGCTGCTGAAGCCCAGCATCGACCTGAACACGGCATTTGGGGGCGCGGCCGGCGCAGCCATGGCGCCGTACAGGCTGGACGGATCACCCATCACTCGCGCCAACATTATCCAGAAGCTCAGCCTCCTCGTCGGCTTCCTGGGTTGGATCCGTCCGTCGGCGCCCAATGCCGGGATCTGCTGCGAGGCGAGGGTGGTGATCCAGGGAGTGCTGGACCAGGCACTCAACAACCCGGTGCCCAGCAGCGGCGGGCCGCCGCTGCCGTTGACGCTAGCGCCCGAGTTTTCTGACTGGGACTTTAATACTGTGTTGGACTTTGACTGTAACTTGCTGAACACGTTTGACTGGTTGCGGACATGAGTAGTGCCCTTGGCGAAAGCCGTGTCGTATCTGGGAGCGGAACGCCAGCCGCTCGAGGCAAGAAGCAACTGATTTTCCGCCTGCCGAGGGACGCTTGCTTTTTTTTTTTGGATGGGGAGGAGAATGATGTGTAGGCACGACTAGCAACGATACCCAGAATTGATACCCGACAATGTTGCAAGAGTTGAGACTGTTGGATATATTCAAAGTTGACAGAGAGCGCATTGTCCAGTGGGATTGCGAGGACTTGAATGATGTTGTGACCAATCACAACCCCTGCTAGAGCCAGGCATTGGTGGAACCTGCCATTCCCGTGGGGCAGCAGTGGGAATTGGGGAATGGCGCTGCGGGTCCCGCCAAGAGAAACAATGACACAGCACGCAAAGCACAGGTGAACCGTTGTGGCAGCGCGATGCGATTGTGTACACCACACCTTGTTGCTCCTGTGAAAGGAATGCGGACCTGCCAAGATGTAAACCCCCCGAGGTATTGTGCGACAGCGAACCCCCTAAAAGCCGACGAGCCTGGGCGCAAGCAGATGCACTCGTGATACATACGTACATAGCCCGCAGAGCGGCGGGCGTGCATGGTTGATGACGTCGAGAGCCCATCTAGTTTCTAGTCCAGTCGGTTGCACGCACACACGCACGGGAGTGCCGGGCCTTAGGCGGCAGGCACTGGCTTCTCAGCGACTGTGTGGGGCCCGGAAGCTGCGGGAGCCGCCCCCATTGTGTGCGGGCGCCGAGCCGCGAACTGCGCGATTTCGGGCTCCGTGGTGGTCGTGGTGGACGTGGACGGGCAGAGGGAAAAGTTCTCTGGCCTTGGCTCTCTGTCCGTCTGTCGGTGCGTGCAGTCCTACTTGCCGAGAATTCATCGTCGAGACTTTACCATCAATTATATCACGCCCGCTTGCCCAGTCCTCGCCAGTGCGCACTCACGCTGCCGCCCTGCTCGGTGCTGTTGTTGTTTTTGCTGTCATAGAACGTACCCAGCGAGGACCCCCGTCAGCGCAGCGCCCACTCCGCCGCCACCGCGCTCCGCCTTGCATAACAGCTCCATATCTCCCGGCGACCAGGGTGGTGGAGCTTGCCTTTCTCTTTTCTCCTCCTTCCCCAGGCTCGTTTCGACCTCACCTCGCCCGCCTGCCTTTCTGACGACGACCACGACGAGGACAACGACAATTCTCTCGACCTGCTCGACTCACCCTCGACAGCCAGTCAACTCACTCGTGCGGTGTGTATCAGAGACCCGCTGCCCAGCATGGACCTCCTCCTTGCCCGCGACCTGCTCGCGTGGCCGCCCGGCGACAACGACACCGACACCATCATCGACGGCGTCCACTTCAACCTCACCACGCTCAAGTTCTGGAACTACACCTACTGGTCCAACAAGACCCTCTCCAACGTCACCTGGTGCGAGCTCGGCTTCCAGCCCTACCTCGCCGACACCCTCCTCGAGAACGGCACCTGGGTCAACAGCACCTCCTGCTATGTGCCCCTCGACCCCATCGGCACCCGCTCCGCCGTCGGCATGGGCTACGCTGTCGCCTACGCTCTCTGCCTCCTCCTCGTCCTCGTCAACCTCACAAAGCATGGCAAGCTCCATCTCCCGTCCGAGAAGCGCTTCGTCCCAATCGGTCGCAGATGGCAGTGGTACTGGGCCATCTGGGTCTGCGCCACTGCCATGATTGGCCTCTTCTTCAATGTCGACGTCGACCGCTACTATGTCATGGAGATCCCCATCCTCATCACCTCGTTCTTCTGGTATCTCATGCAGATGGGCACTACCGCACTCGTCTGGGAGGCTGTGAGGCACTGGGGTTCGTGGATGGAGCGGCAGTATATCGACCCGAATCCGTTCGTGCTGCCCGAGGAGGGCCGCCGCTGGCACTTTGAGTTTTGGGTCCCTCTGTTCTTTTACTTCTGGGACTGGATGGTAAGCCGAAATATCTGAATGCCGTCTCTGTCTGTCCTGCAACCCTGTCTGGACACAAAGCTGACCTGATCCGTGTCAATAGAATTTCTTCATGGTCATCCCCCGCAACTGGTCCCCGATCGAACGCCAGCGAGCCCCTGACCAGGTCGTAAACGAGGCCGAGCCCAACGCCATGGATCCCCGCTTCAAGGCTGCCACCTTCATGCTCTTCATCTGCTGGCTCACAATCGTCGTGTATCTGCAGCACGCCGTCCGGCACTACGAGGCCAAGCACCGCGGCGCCGCGAACCGCGTCAAGGGTTTCTTCTCGTACATGCCGTGGCGCTTCATACTGGAGATCCCGTTGCTCCTCGCGCTCGTGGTGTACCAGGGCATCGCGGCGTGGGACTTTGACCTCTCCCCGCTCAAGGTCAACACGTACCTCCCGGCCGTCTTCGTCGGCGGCTACACCCCGAGCCTGCTCATTCTCATCATCCAGATCATCGACGGCTTCATGCGGCCCAACGAGGACCGCGAGCTCATCCGGCAGCGCCGTGTCCGCGGCGCCGCCGTCGACCAGGAGCTCGGATACGTCCAGAAGCCCGCGTGGTGGCACCGCAACGCCGGCGCCGACGACATGGCGAACCGGATCATGCGCAACGTGCGCGAGGTCGGCGGTGGTCGGGCAACCGCGACCCGCGTCGACGACATTGCCCAGGGCCGGGCCGTCCGGCGGGACTCGTCGCTCATGGCTGCCGGCGGCGGCGGCGGCGGCGGGATCGAGATGAGCCCCATGGCGTCACCGGGGGGCGTGGGAGGCGGCACCGCCGCACCACCCCCGTACACGCCGTACGCGGGCAAGTCGGAGCGGCGCAAGACCGAGCACGCGATGCAGGCCGCTGCGGCCGCGCTGTTCCCGCAGCCCTCGAACCCGGCATCCGCGGCAGGCTCGGTGGCAGATATGCCGCCGCCACCAGAGTTTGGTGCTGCCGTAGCCGGCACCGACGGCGACGTCGACGACAACAGACAAGCGGGGATGCTCCGGCCGCGGTCGGGAGAGAGGAATCATAGCACGGCGAGCAGCGTGTCGGTGTCGCAGCAGCGGCCACAGCAGGTTCGGAGCATGCTGGATGTATGATGTTGTTGGGGGGGTGGTAATTTTGCTGTTTTTGATTATTTCTGGCATGGGGATGGGGGGGGGGGTCATCATCCGCCCGTGTCTGTCGTCTAATGCACGGGTAGTTTGCAGTTGATTCACACAAGACGTCGGGAAAGCATTGAGAAGCATAGATATCAGGGACATCATCATTCTGGCGTTTGCTGTTGCTGTTGCTATTGCTGCTGCTGTCTCTTAGGTACATGGAATACACTCACACACGTGCATAGCTTGCCCCCGTTCATTCAGTCTACGTGCCTTGTTTTGTTGAGCGTATGATTTCTGTTGTCGTTTGTTTGATCAGGTCCGTGGACCAGGAAAATGTCACGGACAACAGTCTTTCCAGAACAGCTGCCACTCCACACCATGACAATGACCATGACACGACACGCACGACACGGCACGACACCACTCGTATATGTGTGTGTGAAGGGCAATTCCCTTGTTCGGCCGATTAAACAACGACGACAACAACAACGACAACGACCACCTTCACGCGTGGAGTTCATTCATGCCGCCCCTTTCGGACTCAAAATTGCAGGCAGACCGACCCTATCTAGATACCTATGCTTGCCTGGGTACCTACCCAAGGCATCCTCCAGGCACGTAGGCAGGTAAGCAGGTAGATCGGTAGGTAGGTAGGTAGGCAGGCAGCAAATCTCAGCGTTGCCGTGGGCACGGAAGCAAAAAGTCGACAAAAGTCCAGCCAGCCAGCCAGCCAGCACAGAAAAAACCCCTCGCGTCACACAGGCATTATTTACCATATCAGAATAACTTTTAACATAATTTAGCAAAAGTCATCTGTTGAAACTCATCTTTTTTCAAATGGTTGAGTTGAAAAATAATAATAGATTTTAATCATCATAGACGGTAGGACAAGACGCAGAGAGCACAACCCCTTTCCTTCTCTTGTCTGTGCGTCTGAAAAGACAGCACAGAGGATGATTGATTGACCAGGGTTGTGCAACGTCTGCACTGCTCGCCCAGGATGAAGAAGCATAAAAGAAAAAGAACATCCGACAGCCACAAGAAGAGAGAAAAAGAGACAGAGTGGAGAAGGGAGGCCCAGAGCTAGTTTAATAGAACGCCAGCAAACAACAAAAGACGGATAGCCACTATGCACTGAAAACAATCGTATTCATGTAAAATCGTTTGCCTGGCTCGCCGGCCCGCGTGATGGGTATAAATCATGACTACTTCAGAAAGTCGGCGGGAAATACCGCCTTGAACGAGGGTGGATTATGAGAAACGACAAAACCAAACTAGATGTCCAAGTCCCAGCGTGCTCGCCAGGACAACCAAAGCAAGAGAAAACGCAAACCCAGCATCGGCAACAGGTATCTGCCCAGCGCAGCCTCAAGATATCCCGTCATTGTTACAAATGGGAGGGTATCCAGGGGTATCACAAAGTGTCATCAGTCGTAAACTAGGAAACATGAACCCGAAATCAAAATAGCGTCCGAGCAAAACAGAAGCATGGTAAACAGTAACGAGTGCCCCGGTGATGTCTCCCCATGCTCGCATCTTCGGATGTCGGAAGGCAGAATCGCTGAGATGAATCGAGATAGTCCAGGGTATTCCGTATGGTGTGCGTGAAAAGCTCTAACAAGATGCACTGTTGAAAAAGGGAAAGAAAAAAGAAAGGTCAATAATATGGGAAACAGCGGACCGCCTAGGCGTTCCGATGGATCTGGTGGCACCTCAGTATTTGATGCTGAGAAGTGGCGTGTCCTCCGGCAGACTGCAGGCCCGCGGAAACCCACGACAACAGGACAACCAGGCTAGTACGCCGCCGTTGCATTGCCCTCGCCCGTCGCGACGGCAACAAGAGCCTGGAGTCGGTGCATGTTGTCCCGCTCAGCCGCATCTTCCGGGATCGTGGCTGGTGGAGGAGGCGCTTCCCTCGCCGGAAACCCAGAGAACGCGTGGACATTAGGGTGAACCATGCGCTCGACACGCGCAATCTTTTCTGCCGGTCCGTCACTGTGTACGGTGACAGGTCCGTTGTACCAACCACGGCGCTTCTCCCGAGTACTGGCGATGGAAGGAGCCGACATGGTATGCTGATGGTAACCTCTGCTGGGACCACCGCCAGTCATCATAGACGGGCCATTGACGACAACTGCAGGCTCGCCAGGCCTGACGGAAGGCAAATATGTGCGGGCTCGGTCTGCCTCGGCGCTCATCGCCATGTTTGTGTCCCGAGCCCAGGAGCCGGCACCATCGCGAGGTGGGGTGTGCCGATTCTGCGTGATGTCGAGACGAGTCAAACCACGGTGAAGGCCCATATCCCACGAGACTGTGTCGCGTCGCTCGTCCGCAAGATTATCCGCGGGAGGCAGCAGAGTAGCTGGGTGTCCGTTACCCGAATCTACCATCATCGGAGAGTGGTCTCTTCGCGGCGGTGAGACTGGACGGTGAGGGATGGGATCGAAGGACTCGATTCCAGGGAGTCGCACACCGTAATTTTGGGCCCCTCCAGGGGTGGCAATGGGGGGAGGACCTGGCGCCGGGCTCTGGGCCTGAGACGGAGTCATCACGTTGTTAAGACGACTAGACGGGTTTGCGGCATTGTTGTTCTGGAAGTTGTTCGAATCCGGGTGCCATGTCCTGCGACGCCATGCCTCATCCGCATTCGAGCTCATAGAGTCACGCCGAGAGAAGGTAGAGGTAGTGGGCGATGCCATCGTACTGCTGGACGGAGAGAATACAGCCGAATGAGAACTGTTATGTTGACCAGGGCCAAACAACGGACGGCCGATGGAAGCTCCATGGGGTGACTGGAAAGGAATTCCTCCACTGGAAGGGACACTCAGACGGCGACCAGGGGTCCGGCTTCCTGGCGTGTACATGCTGTGAGCCCTCGAATGGGATGATGGCGGCGAAGCGACGGTAGAGGCCCATCGTGGACTGCTCTGACCAGTGGAAAATGTGGCAGATGTGGGAGTACTAAACTCACTTGGCGAAACAGGCCGGTATCCGTAGGCAGCATCCGGGGGGCCAGAGGGATGTGGTTCAAAAGAAAGCCGCGAGGAACGAGGATCAGCCATGACAAGCGGTGGTGGCCTGCGCCGGACATCTTCACGTGTGCTGAAGGCAGATCCCAGGGAACCAATGTTTGAAGTCGAGAGGGACTTGGTGTGGCCGCGGCCCGGACCACCAATGCTCCCTGCAGTAGATGCACGAGCTCTCCCAGGTTGGCGAACTCTGTCTGTGCGGATTTGTCGCTGAAACCGTGTGCCAGTGGCTGCCAACGAGTCGATAGGAATGTCCTCATTCACATGCACCGTCTGGGCATGCTGACGTAAATTATCAAGCCGTGAGAACCTCCGTGAGCAATGACATTGAAATGGTCGCTCTCCGGTATGTTTCCTTTAGTCGGTCAGTGTTAGCACACACTTTGCTGTCTCAACGAAGCTGTCGGCATGGTGGGTACATACCTGATATGTCTCGCTAAATGTTCGCTGCGAGTGAAGCTGAGGTTACAAGGCGGATAGTCTGTACAATAAAACCGCTGCGACTTCTTCTTCTTGCCAGACCGAGTGCCGTCGGCATTGACACTCTCGTCGTCGGAGCCGTCAGATCCGTGACCGTCCTCGTCCATGTCAGCATCTTCCGAGTCGCCCCGAGACTTTCTGTCAGAGTGCTGCATCTCCTTGTTCTCTTCGATGCTCTCGGGGATCTGGACTGCCTGGGGGAATGGCGAGGTTGGCAGAGGACGCTGGCTGAAGGTAGCCCTGGTCGGGGTTGGAGTTGATGGCGAGGTCGCCATTTCGTCGTCTCTGTCTTCGATTGTGCGGTGCTTCGTGGTATTGAGAGGTTTGAAAGCCGACGCCATCGCCGAGAGGTCGACGACCGTCTGAACGAAAAGTCACTTTACAGACTTCAATCACGGCACAGCTTGTCGTCGGGCGGAGAGTGGCTGCGATGGTGGTGGGTGTTGGCGGCAGGACTCGTCGTCGTGGGTGCCGGAGCTGCTGCAGCTGAGACTGATGACGACGGCGGGGTTGGCCGGGCGGAGCCGGGGGTGTCGCCAGGACAGCAAGGCTCTGTGGTGGGAAGAAAAGACCGTCGAAGTGCCGTATCGTGGACGGTCGGGCGCGTGCCGAGCTGTCTGTGGGATTTGCGTTCCTGGCTGTTGACGGACGGCTCGTCGAAATTGGCCGGCGGTTGTGCGGCGAAGATGGGTGGTGGGAGGAGAGGAGGGAGAGAGCAGGAAGAGTGAGACAAGAGTGATGGTGGTGTCGTAGTAGTGCGCTGCGTTGCGGCTGGCGATGGGATCAGCGGGCCACGCCAACGCTAGTGAGGCCGCAGAGGCAGGGTGTCGAGCAGAGTGCCCCTTGTTTGTGGGTGGCGGGGGGTGGGCATGCTGCTTCGCCCACGACGGCCAGGCCAGGGCGGACTGAACGGGGCACCCTCGACGCCATGCACACCAAAACCAGGCCTCTCTGCTCGATACACACCTGTCACGACGCCGGCCGCCGATGACAAATGCTGCAGGGCAGGAACACGCAACGACTCGACTTGCCCTCTGGCGGGCGCGATGCTTTGAAACCGGTCAAATAGTACAGGCCGCAACGGCCAGACAGAGCAACGGCAAGGCCACTTTTGAAGGCAAGGCAAGGCAAGGCAAGGCAAAGCAGGGCAAGACAGAGCCGGGCGAAGCGAGGCAGGCAGGCAGCAGGTGTGCAAAATGTGCGATGGATACTGTCACTCCGTCTTTGCAGAGCCTCGAGTGGACGATGGCTCATGTGGCCGCCCCGTAAAGTCAAGTCGGTATCGACCAGAGTCAGGTCCTGGAACAGTTCCTGACCTTGCTTGAGCAGCGACCCGCCCAGAGGCAGCGAAGCGAACCACTGGGGTGTGGACCTGGAAGCCAGTCAGGCCCAGGCGTATGATTTGCCAGATTGGTCGCTTCAGGCTGCCGATGTGGCTGGGCCGGCCCTGGTTGTGGTGTGCCTGAAAGGATCATTCGGACAGGCGCCGTGGCTGGCAGCAGCAGCAGCAGCGGACGGGCATACTAGACACCCCTCAAGCTCGAGATGCGAGCGATACTCTGCGCGTAGGGCCGACTCGGGAGCGTCCGCCAGAGACGGCACCCACAGATGATGGAGGAATTACACGATCGAAGCGCAGGGGCGATAAGAGAAATGCATCGTCGTGGCATGCGCATAGCGTAGGTACGAGAGAGAAATGGGGGGGTGACTGCAGGATGACGACGTGGATGGGTGGGTGGATGGAGCTGTCATCAATCACAGATGGAGATGGCGGATTTAACGCAGCAGCGGCGGGCGATGGATGAAGAGGGGCAGGGCAGGGCAGCAAGCAGACTCTGTGCTCACTCGCCCACTCGCCGCCCGCTGCCCACTGTGCTCTCCTCGCTCGTCGTGGGCGGGCGCCCGGAAAGCCCGACATGTGGTCACAGGCACAACCATGCTTGGCAGCCTCTGGCTGCAGCAGCGCGAGCTGTGTGCCTGGCAGGACGGGGCGGGGGGCTGCTGTCGCTAGACCCAGCCAGGGCAGGCACCTGCAACATGCAACACTGCGACGATGTCCTCTTCGCGGGACGATCGTCGCTAGGGGCTTACCGGCTGCATCTCGACGCTGGGCGGGGGCCGGCTTGTGCTCTTCAGGCACAGATGTGCGCCGAGCGCCGTCCTTGCGGGGATCTGCCTCTGGCGCAGGCCCGGAAGCAGCAAGGCCAGAAACCTTGACGCGCCCGACGTTGAAGGTGGCCGTGCGACCGACGGGCTCGCTGACGTCGTCGAAGGGCGGCCGGGCCACGGCGCTGGCGTTGGTGCGTGTATTCGTGTGTGTGTGTGTGCACAAGTGCAACTGCAAGTGCAAATGCAAGCAAGTGGGTGGCTCCGCCGCCGGGCGCCTGCTGGCCACAACGAGGCACCCGCTTTGTTGGAGGCTTCCAAGGTAAAGTTGCCTTGGTGCGCGGGAACCACGCCTGTTCGCAGCAGCTTAGGAATGGAGGGGCCCTCGTCCAGGCAAGCAACTGACGACGTCGGGACGCACCAGGCGCCCGGACGAGTCAGACAGCCCTCTAGTACCGTGGACGCGGAAGCTTCGCGGCAGCAGCACAGGAGCTCACAATGTGATCAAACCTTCGAGGGACATTCGACCTGCCGTCAGCACCGCAGGACAAGCCCGGAGCTGTTGCAGCACTCTCTTTAAATGCCATCGCAGCGGAGCGGACCGTGGGGACACGCGCCCTATGCAAGTCGCATAGCACTCTTGGCTGTCGCAGGGTCGCCTCGCAACAGAGTTCAGATGGAGAGTTGGGTGGCTGGACGCCATGACTAAGGGCCGTACCTCAAAGGGCAGAGCACAGAGGCACCAGCACCAGTGCGAGCTCATGGGCAGTTGCTTCAAAGCCAGCCTGGGTTGATGCAGGGCGATGCCGGAGTTCTGTCAACATCCACAGGAGTTGTCCACGTCCCGAAGGCTCCGCTGGCGACTCGGTATCGGTCGTGCCCGCTACTAGATGGAGCTGGAGGAGCTCGGCAGCGCGCACGCAAAACAAGTGCAGCAGAGTGGCTCTTGTTGTATACCGGCCCCCATCCACGTTGCCCGCTCTGGAGAGGAGACAGCACATGGGCGGGAAGCGGACTGCCAGATCGGGCTGTCCGCAGGCCGTGTTGTGTGGAGGGCATATTACTTTACTTGATTGATATCTGCGTCGCACAGAGTAGATTGTGTGTGCTCTCAGATGCCGCCCTTCTATAAAAAGCACCACCCAGTCAGTCCCGTCTGCCCAGACCGCCAGGCCGGCCGCTGCAAGTGGAGGCGCTGCCAGGGACAGGCCGCTGGGCTTGGGCCGTTCCTGGGGCCTGAAAGATGCTCTTTGCTCCATTCTCGATCCGCCCTAACAACGGACGGTCCAGTCCACTCTCGAGGCGCCAGCGCCCCACCACAGCCAGAATGTCCCGCCAATCCGATCGTCCTTGTTGCGAGGGGTGCGACCTTGGGCGGGACCTGCTGGGTCCCACCCTCGCATCCTGTCCTTGCGATGATACTATGGTAGCCAACAGCCCATCATCAATCAAGCCCATCAACAAGCCAGCCCTTCGACCATCGTCAATCATTCCGGCGACTTGGTGTCCTACCACAGTACCGTCCATCACCACCTTCCAGATGCATCTACACCGCAGCCAGCAGAGTCGGGCGTGGCGACGACTCCTCATCACTGCTCGCCCCGCAGCCGCCCGTCGTCGTGCTTGCTCCCGTTGCTCCCTTGCGGCGTTGCGCAGGGATGATCGCTGCCGCCGCCGCTCCAGCTGTCGTCGAGGCCAGCGATGCTGGGAACCCTATCCCACGCTACTGTGCACCTGAGATCCTTGCCCCTCTTGTGATGCGGACGTTGCGCTGCCGAAAACCTGCACCATCCACCCGCCCAACCACCTGACCTCCATTGTGTGCCCGCAACAGTCAGCCACAAGCCTGTCTCTGACGCGGTGAGTCAAGCGGCGCCCCGGCGACCGCCTTTTCCGCTTTGCGGGCTCGGCTGTGTCCTGTCTCACTCAACCCCCCAGCATCATGTCGTCGGTATGCCAGGGCGACTGCCTAGTCAGGGCAATCATGGGCCTTGTCCGACGCTGACAGGGCCGCGAGGATCGAGGCGCGCCCCGAGCTTTCCGTGACGCAACACTTGTCTTGGTGTTCGGAGCTTCAGCTCACTCACGCTAGGCAAAAGCCTTGGCCAGCGCTGATTCAGTCGGACTTCCTCCCAGAGTGGCACCAGTCACGGCAACAGCACCCAATGGTGAAGCGGCTGCTGCAAGGCCAAATCACCTGCGTGTACATCATGCAGGGATCACCTGCTCTCGCGCTTGCTCATGTATCAACTGAAACCAGGCACGGAACGTCTTGCGCAGCGACTTGCATGGGCTCTCGACCAGGAAGACGCGATGAGCCAGTCATATCCCCCCAATTTCGACTAGGCAGATATCTCTTTGCATGGCCAAAGACGGCAATCAACCACGGTTCAGTGGCTGCTAGTTTCCCCATTACGGGTATCAAATGCACAGGACCGTTCTCCCTTGTCATCCGTATCAACCAGCGGATCATGCATGGGGATATCTGACTTCAATACCTGCTACACACTTATTTCTGTAGTGTATCAGAAGGTGCGTTGGCGCGATGCCTGTTTTGGGCTGCCCATCGGAATTTATGCTTTCGCGGCGTCAACTTTTCTTTGGCGGCGTCGGGGCTCAGCTGCCGGCCACCAGGCACAGCATGAAGCCAGTCGCTTCTGGCTTGTCCTCTACTATGGTAGCTGCATGTTGGTGTGGGGAGTTGGACAACCTCCGCTCCGATGCTCCGATCTGAGGGTCAGATACTCGTTCTCAGGTACCAGGCAGCAGACCCGACGCCAACGACAATTGTCTCAATGTGAGTCAGCGAGGGAACGGGCCACCATGCTTAGGACGTCAATGACTCCCGGTGGTAATGGGCTTGCAGAGTACTTCATAAGATCACGTCTCTACAGGACGGGTCGCTCGCCTCGCCAAACTTTGATGACCTCTCAAATGCCGCGATTGGAAAATGGTCGCCCTCTGCGCTCCCGCGCAAGCAACACCAGGACTTGAAGTTATCTACGTAGCGACCATCATTCAAACCACCAGCTTGAGCGGAGATCAGCCTACATTCCGGACGTTGCCACTGTTTGGCTTGGTCGCGGGGCGGTTTTGTCGAACCCCATCATGCGGCTCAGCTCGAGCTTAGGCCGCCTGCACGCGGATGACTCGTAAGCCTACTTTTTCTGTTTCGTTTCGTTGGGCACCGGCGCTCTTCTTATGCACTTGGATGTTCTTGGTAGCAGACTGGATTTCCCCGAGCTTCGGACGCCTTACTAAAGCCGAGCCGCGCGAGTCCGCCAATGTACGTGTCCTGCATAAGTGCCGTGCCTGAAGCCCTCTGCGGCGATGCAGGTGTCGGCTACGGCTAGTCCAGCGTTTTTTAGTGCATACGTCAGCGCTCCAAAAGTCGCTGATGTCTTCGTCGTGTGGAGATGCCATCATATGAGAGAAAGGCTCAGGCCACATGCGCATCGTGGCCAGGCCCAGACAAGACGCAAGCACATACGCCCGACAATGTCAAATTATACCATCATCATCAAAGTCCACCTGGGGTTACATTTGCTGTGACTCCTTTAAAAGGACACAACGAGTGACGGCGGCTCCCAAACCCCATCGGTCTAGACGCAACAGAGCAGCCGAAGGCGAGTATCGATCCTACCTGCTTGTAGCACTGTCCATAGCACAGGGGAGGGATTTTGTAAGCACGTTGGGTTTTGTTCACGAGATCTGGCTTACAAGAGCGTGAGCGTGCACGTGAGCAATCGCGAGCTGCGTGCCCCCATCCACACCGTTGCTCTCGTGGGGGGGCCCAAACTAGGGATCGTGACAGAATAGTCGTACAGCTTGTCGTTGATCTCCTTTCCAATATCGTGAAGGGACGGAGGGAGAGGGGGGGCGGGCGGGCAAGGAGTCACTTCCTGAGTGTGCCACCCACCGGCAATACATCATGCACTCCCACTCCATGGATGATTCCAGCCCCAGACCCATAGCACACAGAACGGCGGGCTTTTCTGGCGTCTTTAACCCAAGGGAGGCTCGGGAGTGAAAGGGGCCCAGGAAACCTCCGGTATCTCGCTTCTTCGTTTGACGGAATAGGACCTCACCCAGTAGTAGTCTACCGTGTGGTCCACAAAGCATGGTTTTAGTCCCATTACTTCTTGCGTCGCTTTTCGTCGTCTTGATATGTCCACGTAGGTAGTGATAGCTGATGACGATGTCAGGCTCCCTAGCACCGCCCCCCCCCCCCCCCCCCGTCTTGGCTTTTTGCCTATTTACAGCACGAAGCAGCCATGTCGCTGTTGGGCCAAGCTGGTGTCATCATCAAAATCTGGTTTACGAACGCGCCCCGTAGAACGAGCAACTGCGGTTTAAAAAATCAGCACCGCGGGCATATCGATGAATTACGCGGCGGGAGAAGAATGGGTGAATTTTTCTTTTCTCTTCTCTGATTTCACACGAGAATTTCGAGGCATTTTGCGACAAAGAAGGAAAGATTTGAATCTCCCATCGACAACTACCCTAAGCTCCTATCCCACTTCGGGTTGTTATTGACTCCATTACTAAAAAGGCCTATCACTGAAACACACATATCGTAACCTGCTGTGCTGTTATCAAAGCCGGATGCAAGTTTCCCACTTTCCACTCTCAACAGCGGCAACCTCTCCACTCCGGCATTTACGAACACCTAGATGTTCACTGCATCATCGTATTCTCCCTCCTCTCCTCCCCGCCCGACACGGAGCCCTTTTTTTCCTCTCCGACAGGCTGATCAGGAATGTCCTGCTGAAGCTGGTACAGCGCTGGGTAAGGGGCCACGTCGGCGCGCAGGATCCATTTCTTGAAGTACCAGGGCAGTTTCTGCAGGTAGTACCGCGCATGCTCGCGGTTGCCGACGTCGAAGACTGCGTCGAGCTCCTCGAGGGTGAGACCCTTTTGTGGTTTTGGTGTCAGCATCTTCTTCCGTCTAGCCCAAAAGCAGTGAGGGATGGTGGAGGGGGTGGAAGGTACAGGCCAGGAAGATGCTTCCGGTTGGCACGCAGAAAAAAAAAGACTCAGGGAAAGAAACGTACCTTGGTCTCGGGGAGCAAGAAGTAGGCGTAGACGAATCCAAAGAAGTTCCAGAACGCGTACCAACCGAAGCCGCCGGGGTTGCTAAAAGCCTCGGCGAGCGGAGGCCAGGTCAGGGAGATGATGAAGTTGAAGCCCCAGCATGTCGCCGTGGCAAACGACATGCCCGTGTCGCGGATGTACAAGGGGAACGCCTCGGCCGAGTACGTGAATGGCACGGGGCCCTCGCCGGGGCTGTAGATGACCATGAAGAGATAGATGCCCGTGGTAACAAGTGCCAGGCGGACCTGGTCGTTCTCCACCAGAAAAGAGAAGCCCGTAAAGAGAAGCATCAGACCCATGAGCGGAAAAGTGGTGAGTAAGAGGTTCCGGCGCCCGAACGTGTCAATAGTGTAGATGGCCGGCACAGCAAAGACCCAGTTCACGATACCAGTGCCCAGAGACACCAGCAGCGCCTGCTCGATGGGGAAGTTGGCGTCAGTGAAGATCCTGGTCGAGTAGTACGCGATGACATTGACACCGCAGAACTGCTGCATGAACATGACGAAGAAAGACGACTGAGCTGCGCGGCGGTTACGACGGATCTTGAAGAACTCGTGAAAGATGCTGCCGCGGCTGCTGCGGCTCAACTCCTCGGCCTCGAGAAGCTTGGCGGCATAGTACATGTCACGAGCCGCCTGGATCTTGGAGAAACGCAGGGACTTCATAGACCCAAAGGCGTCCATCCAACGGTTCTTCTCCATGTACCAGCGGGGGCTTTCAGGACACAGGTAGACTGGCGGTTTGTCAGCACAAAATGAAAGTGTTTTGCAGAAACGTAGGATATTAGTAGAAGGAAAGGACATACCCTGAGCGCAGACAAACATGGGAGGTATGGCAGTCGAGGCCATCATCCACCTCCACTGAGGATAGCCGGCCCACGTAGGGATGCTAATCTCCTGGAAAGCCACGGACACGACAAAACCCAGCATGATGCCCTGTGACTACGGTCAGTTTCCTTGCATCCAAATGTGGGCGTATTAATTTTTCAAACGTACAAAAGCAGTCCAGGTCTGCCATTGCATCGTCAGAGCTCCGCGAATAGTCTTGGGAGTCGATTCGGCTGCATACACAGGCTGGGAGCAGATGTTAGACAGTTTTCATACGTAATGCTGGAGGCCCTCCTGAGTGGACAAACTGTGGTCGACGACTTGGCTCCAACTGCAAAACCCAGAAAGAACCGTGCAAGAAGCAAGTTCCACCAACTGGTCGTAGATCGTATCAGTATGTCAATGGTATATGTGGTGAAAGGCAGGATGCAGTGCTCACGTGTGCGCGGCAGCCATCCAGAAGGACGCCGCAAAAGAGACGAAACAACTGATGAATATGGTGCCTCGGCGGCCGAAGCGATTGTTCAGGGGCACATTCATCCAGCAGCCGATCAAAGCACTACACAGGTACGGTGCGCCGTTCAGGAGGCCCTGGAGCCACGTATTTTGGATGTCAAATTCCTCAAAGTAGAATGCTTGAGCACCATTGACAGCGCTTTGGTCCATTCCCTGAACAATGGCAGAGCCTATTTGCAGACAATGTCAGTATTCTATACCTTCGTCGCGTTGACCGAACCCCAGGACATACCGGCACAAAGTACACAGAGGAAGTACAGCTTGAAAGGCTGTCGCCATCTGTGAGTGATCTCGTCGCGGAGAATCTGCTTCTCGTGCTCAGGTAGCGAGGCGATAGTCTCGAAGCCATCCTCTCTGTGTTGGACACGAGCAACAAGGGCACCCCTGCGGAATGCCTCGCGCTCCCCCTGCAGGCCTCTGGTCTCGACGAAACGATCCACGTCGGCGAGGACATCAGCCTCGCTCATACCAAGCAAGGGGTTTCGAAGCTTTGCCTGGACGTCTGACTTGGCGACGGGTGTGTCGTTGAGGGTCGATCCATCGTGTTGTTCGACGCTGGGCCGGTCTGAGAGATCCGTCTTGGGCTCGGTCGACTCAATGTCGATCTTGGGGGGAGGCATCGTTGCGGCAGGGTCTCGAGGCCACAGACAAAACACGTGTCAAAAATTCCGGGGCAATGATGATCAAAAGCTCTTGTCGAACACAAGAGACTGGAGAAGAAGCGATAAAGCCGCAGGGACTCTGGGGAAGCTGGCAGACGTCACGTCTTATGTCTCTTGTGCCTTCTCCACGGCAGTGGGGCAAAGCACACGACTGGATCCCCGTGCCTTTTCATCTTGCTGGTCGTCTCGATGGCCGTTCGGCGACGAGGCTGGGCAGAGTCTTGGGATGACGTCTGCTTGCTTGGGACGTGGATGCTCAGGGTCGGGCACCTACCAGGCTCGAAATTGACAGGGTCGACGCCGAGGCTGCGAGGCAGGTGCTGCCAGACCAATACGACGAAGCAGTGCAATGGGTCGCTGCTGAGAGGACTGGTAGTGCAGTCAAGATCAAGCGGTGTCGGTGGTGGAAGGCCATGACGACGACGGACAGAATGAATGCATGGGCCAGAGGCTTGGCTCGGATGGCCGGCAGAGGTCGCACAAGAGCAAAGGCAGGGCTGGCAAGGCGGGCACGCCGTCACGGAAGGGTCTCCGGGGATGAGGCTGGAGGAATCGGGGAGCCGCACGGGCTGGGCGGCGATCTCGACGGACAGAGATAGCAGGCGGCTGGACGTCGTTGGCTGGAGGGACGCCGTGGTGGATTTGGTGGTGCAAGTCAGCGGCTTGGGTGCTTGGGGGGAAGAGCCTTGGCCCGCGCTTGGCTGACATCAGCCACGCGGCACAGTCACACTCATTGTGGTTGGCCATCTGCGCACAGCACATAACCGGAAGTGCATACCACGTCCTATGAAAACCCGTGTGATCACGTAGCAAGAGAGGAGCGTCCACGATGCCAGAGGCTACGACTCTACTATGGTAAGTTCGCCATACGACAAGGCGGTCATGGTTGGCTGTCCCAGGCCAGATCTCCACAAAAGTTGGGCATGCTCCAAGCATGGTCTTGTCTTACACATGACGCGGACCTGTCAACGGTCCGTCAATGTTCTCAGCAGGTGATGGAGGGCTTGTCGTTTCACCAAGGTTGCCGGGAATGGGTGAAGGTTCGCTAGCGTCGGCACTCAACGGTACCTTGTGTGTACCTTGCCTTGTTGGTGGAGCGTTGAGTGGGAGTGCTTTGCCGTGGTGGGCCACAAGATGCAGACTCGCGGCCATCATCGAGTTGAGAAAGGCGCATGATAGGCCAGAAGCTATTGATTGGCCAGAGCAGACTGGGCAGGCGAGGCTTGCATGGGCAACTGCCATCAGTATGGCAGCTCCGTCAAGAGCGAGCGCCTGCTGGCGTCGAGGGCAACCCCCACAGGAGAGAGACCTACCCGAGGGTACACCTTCCCCGGATTCTGCAGGGGGCCCCCTGGTGTACCATAGGTGTGGGGATGATGTGCTTTGCAGGCATCCCTCCCTCCCTCCCTGCCTGTGGCGCTCTTCAGCCGCATCCACGACGGACGGGAACCATTCTTGACAAGCACACACACCCATGCTGCCGGACCCCTCTCAGCGACTATCAAACCCGGGCGAGGACCAGATCACCACCGACCGCCGCACCGCGCCTGGTCCTCAGCACGCCGTCATGGGCCGTTTCTCGCCACTTCAATCCTCCAGACCGGCTACCGTGTCGTAATGAGCGGCACCCCCAAAAGGAAGCGCGGCCCGGACGTCGGCCCTGGTGCCCTTCCCGAGGGGCCCGACGCGGGCCGGCCTGAGCCCCTCCGGCTCGAGAGCGTCGACAAGTATCCTCGCAAGCGGGTAATGACTGCCGTATGTGTCCTCTCCCTGTCGAGCTGGCCGACTCTTTACTCACTCCTACGCCTCATGGCGCCGCCAGTGCAACCTTTGCAGATTCAGAAAGACGGTGGGTGCTGACAACCCCAGACGTAGTCCGTTTCCGCGCGAGACAGGACCATAGCTGACCTCTCTCGTCAGAAATGCGATGCGGTCCGCCCCTCGTGCTCCTTCTGCACCGACTTGGGAGTCGAATGCCATTATCGTGACGCTGGCACTCCGCAGGCAGAAAAGCCAGAGCCGCCACTGAAGCCACGCGAACAGTCCTCCTCCTCCCTCAAGGACACCATCAAGACTCTCGACTCTCGACTTGGCATTCTCGAGGCCGACGTCAGGGAGCTACGGGCACAGCAGTATGCATCCGCTCACCCACGGACTGAGGCTCCTCCATCGCTCTTCAACAGCCACACTCCCAAGGTGCCCTCGGACAGGACGCCGTCAGGCGGCCCTACGCCAAATGTTCCCAGCATCCGTGATGCACTATCCCCAGTTCTGCTTTACCGTGATGCCATGAGCAGTGCAGCAGAATCTCCAAGGGAAGGTGTCCTCTTCAGGAAAACGCGGCCGGAGGTGTACACCGCGCGACCAGGTCTTCTGGCATTCTGCTGTCCGTCATACATCGATGCTCCTAGCTGGGACGACTACGGCGACTTCTACGGCAACGAGATCCGCGCCGGCGAGCAGTTCCTCGGCATGTTTGACGAGTATCTGTCGTCCAACCTGGACGTGAGCAGGCGGACGCTCCGCAGGCTGCAGCAGAGTTTTGTCGACCACTACCTTGGCTGGATCCCGATCCTCGAGCCAGAAACCGTCAGCTGCGTCGTCGATACCGCGTGCTCGTTGGGTTCTCCCTCGCGGGACATCAATGGCTGTTTGGCAATGTTTATTCTCGCGGTGGGCGCCATCACGCAGGAGACGCCTGGCAATGACAATGATGATGGCGGCGCTGCCAAGCTCGCGGGGGTCGCGTACTTTGTCAACGGATGCCAGTCGCTGGAGCGGTTCTCGTTGCTCATTGAGAGTCTCGAGATCATCCAATGCCGCATCCTGCAGGCAGCGTACTTCAAGCTTGCCATGCGGCCGATACAAGCATGGAACACCATCACCGGGGCGGGCAGAGACTGCAGGCATGTCCTGAGCTCTACGACCTCGCAGAGCCTGCCGCCCGGGCTGAAGGACGGCTGGAATCGCGCGTTCTGGGCTTGTTCACTGATTATCGAGTAAGCACCTCTGTTCCAGTCCAACCTCTGTCCACCCATCCTCACACACTACTTGCATACCTTCTTTTCACACACCGAACCACTACTGACCGACGACCCAAAACAAAACCTTTGAGAATCAAAAGCGAGCTCGAGCAGTCTCTCCGCATGCACCCAGAAGGCCACCGCGCCTTCCACGACATCATCCCACTCCCGACCTTCACCGACGAGCACATCGGGTTCTACTTCTTCCTCGCCATGATCAGCCTGCGCAAGCTGCTCCAGGACGTGCTCGACGTCGTGGGCTACCGGCAGGGCACCGTCGTATACGCGCCCGTCGTGACGGCCGAGCTGCGCCGCCAGACCCAGGCGTGGTACGACCGGCTCCCGCCCGCGCTGCGGTTCTCGCTCGTGATTGCGCCCGCGCCGCCGCCGCTGTTCGACCCGCGCAAGAACTTCCTCCGCGGCCAGTACTTCTGCATGTTTGTCGTGCTCGAGTGGGCCTCGGTGCTGCGCGTCATGGAGGCGCATTCTCGCGGGCAAGGGGGAGGGGGAGGGGGGCTTTCCGTTGTCGGTGGCGACGAAGAAGGAACAAGCCCCGCGAGGAGGAGCAGCGACAAGCTCGCGGTCGCCAGGGCGGAGGCGAGGGATTGTATCGTCCACACGGTAGCATATCTCCGCTGCGCCGAGGAGCAGCTCGCGCGGTGGAAGATGCCCGTGTATATCGTGACATGGGCGTAAGTTCAACCACCCCCCCCCCCCCCCCCTTTCCCGCGTTTCTCTCCATCTCTAGCATTTTCGTCCCCGACTTTCCACAACTGTTGCACATGGTCGCCTCCATTTTTCGCATTCTCGGATTCTTCTCATATACGCCCCTTATGCATAGCCACGCACGACCCTTGCGCTGACATGATGTGGTTGTTGGGGGCCCGCCCCAAAAAAAGATCGTTCGCCCTTCTAGCAAAACTCCTAATATGTTACCGCTCCCCGGCCCTGGCCTATATCCCCGAGACCACGCAGCCGGAGCACATTGCCGACGCGCTCGCCATGCTGCGGCCGTGGAAGCACGTGTCCTTTGTAGCGCGCGGCCTGGACCGGATGACGGCGATGTTTGAGCAGGTGCTGGCCAAAGAGGCCGCCGAGCGGGAACGTGAGGCGGCAGGAGGCGGCGGCGGCAGTTGTGGGTAAAATTTAGTGGGTGGCGTGAGCGAAACGAGTGATTGAAGGGTTCCGTGGTTCTAGTAAGCAGCGGATCTTTTCACAGACAGAGGGTTCGCGAGACGGGCTTTGTTCGGGGAGGAGGACTGTTCGCGCGACTAACGACTTGCTGCGCGGGATGGCTGGGAATGGGCGGGCCTACTAAAATGTGGATGGCCATCGGGTTGTTTTCCACCAGGAGGCTTTGTCCTAACGAGCGGTGCCAGACTTGCACTGTCCCATGGCGCAGCTTTGTAAAACTGTCCACTATATCACCCGAGCTTGAAAGCCTGAACAGGGCCACGAGGCAGATACCTTGCACTCACCAAAAGGTTCAACGCAGAGGGGTGGGTGACTTCGCATGTCAAGCATGGTCTTATTGTCCGATCGTCTTGCCAACAAGGATTTCTGGGCCTCCGTACTAGCTATCCGACTATGAAGCTGGACTCTTCCTTGTTGGCAGCCAGTCGCTTGTCACATACATCTAAGGTCGAACACGAGACGTTCTTACTCGTCGGCACCCAGATTATTCTCTCCCCTTCCCATGGAAGAGCCTCGGCCTTGGTCCAATAAACCAGAACGATAGCACAGCCGTAATACCAGCCAGCGTCGCAAAGACGGCATTCATATTGCCATATCCAATGTTATCCCTGAGAACGCCAGCCACGAGGGGGCCAAGGGCCAGCCCGGAGCAGAAGAAGACCGAGTTGAAGCCATAGAGCTGTGCATAGGGCCCATTGGCGCCGAAGAAGCCCGGGTTCGCCTTGTCGTAGCGCTGCACAATGTCGCTGGCCTCGACAATGCTCGGGGACCCGATGATGGCCAGGCCGATACCGTTGAGGGCCAGCATGGCGCAGAACAGTCGAGTGGTGTGCTGTGCGCTCGATGCCTCGGCGGCTTCGCTCGGTATGCGCAGAAGGGCGAGCGTCGGGACGAGATAGCCAAAGCCAATCACCGCAGCAGGCTTTGTGCCGTACTTGTCCACTGCCCATCCTGCCACCGGTCCTAGGATCAAGTATGGAATGTCGAGGGCGATGAAGAGTAAGCCCGCTTCCAGGGACGAGAAGCCCAGGAGGTCTTTAGCTTCTGTAGGGATGGTTGCGGCGAAGACGGAAAGAAGTGATGCCTGAACAAAGGCAAGGGAGAGGGCCATGGGGAGCCGTGGGTTGCGGAAGCAATAGAGAAGGGGCAGCGCGCGGACGATTCGGCCAGGCTCGCCGTGGATCTTGTACTTTTCGTCGTCATCGTCATCACTTTTTAGTAGGAGAGCACTCTCCTCGTCCGGCCGGGAAGGATCGCCGTTGATGGTACTGTCATCCTCGACACTCTGGCCCCTCGTATCAAAGTCACGAGGGTTTGAGTGACCGTCGTCCAGAGACGGATCGTACTTAATGGCTGTCTTACGCTCAATGATGAGCAGCCGCATAACAAAGTCTAGCGCAAGGACGGCGGAAGCCACACCAAATACTCCTCTATAGCCTATCTTGTCGTACAGCACACCACCTAGAACGGGCGCCAGAAGCTCCCCAACGGAAATGAACGAGAAGATCTGCCCGATAGTAAGCTAATTGTCATGCCTCGGAGTGGGACAAACCCATGCAAAACGGGTACTCCAACATACCGAGCCGATCACCTTGCCCAAGTTTTCTGCCCCGACCGTGTCGAGCACCATGGCCAGGCCGATCGTCCAGACAACAGCAGCGCTGATCCCCTGAAGGATTCTCGCCACGACGAGCACGCCAATGCTCCGTCCCACGGCAAGCATGATAGTGGCAAGTAGTAGCGCTGTGAGCCCACAAAGAAAGGGCGCCTGGCGTGAGTTTGTGCGGTCGGCGACCCAGCCGGCAGGTATGGAGAAGAGGACAGAAGCTCCGGCGTAAGCTGCCAGTAGCCCAGAGACATAAGTTTGGACGTCTTCGTCCGGGATGTCGAGCCGCTCTTTGAGCATGAACGGAAGCACTGGGACAACAAGACCGTAAAGGAACAAATCAGTGAAGAGACCAATGGCCACTGTGGCGATGATAAAAGTTCGTTTTGAGCGCCATCGCAACGCCCAAGGTGGGTTGTCACTGGAGAGCCAGGAGAACATGTTGAGTACTTGTCGTTCTAGCGAAGGGCCGTTCGAGCTATTGGGAATCAAACGAATAAGTTGGGATGAATTTCGAAGGAGAAGAAGATATCTGCGCCTTAATGGCGATATAAGAAATTCTTATCTCGGGCTTTGCAAGTCAGGAATGTCATGTCATGGATGGACGATGTGCCCGGAAGGCGTAAACGCCCAGGGTTCCCCAGACATCCATGACGTGTTGATGGGCCAGCTGAGATAGGGCTGCCCCCACTATAACTTTTGTCCCAATAGACTCGGTAGAGGTCCTGCAACAGATCCCAATTAACTCCATCCTAGCTTGCGCATTATATATACAGCTCCGGCGATTGCATCGAAAAGGCAATTGATCCATTTGGATTGATGTCGGGATGAAGCTAAGCATCGTCCGGGGGCATCGTGTCGTACCGCTCGGCGCCGTCTGGGATTGGCACAACGGCAGATCTTGCGAAGATATGAATGCCGCCTGTCCAATCCATGCCGTCAACACAGCCGCCCTTGACAAAGATGACGGCCTGCGACTTGCCGTCAATCTCAATGGCACGGTGGAAGAGGCGCGAGCCGCACGATTTGCAGAAGTAGCACGCCAGGATGCCGCCGGTGTCCCTGGGGCGGTTGTATTGTGTCAGTTGCGCCTCCAGCTCCTTTGATAGTGGGAAAAGGGGCTCGGCCGGGAAGACGGCCGAGGTGCCAAAGGCCGAGGCAGACTGGCGGCGACACTCGATGCAGTGACAGTGGTAGATGGCGGACGGCTTCGAGGCCGGGGCAGGTACCGAGACAGCACCGCACTGGCACTCGATGGTCGGGGTGCTGTCTGTCAGGCGGGATGCTGTGGGGTTGGCGGCCATGGTGTGCGAATCACTCATGAAGAGATGGTGAGAGCGCCTACCGAGAGCGAGGTTCTTGAAGTGCAAGTCGTGTTCGTCGTCCTCGTAGTTTTGGGGTCCTGGGGAGGGACTACAACCCGGCTTGACAGGGCTTAGTGCAAAGGGCGTGCTCTTGCAGGTCGTCAACCGTGGAGCTAGATGTTTGATCCAGAACCCCGCGGCTCATTGGCCTGACCATTGCCGCTTGGTTCCGCAACTAGGGACATGGTTAGGGCGAGATTGGCCTTTATGCTTGTCGAGGGTTGGTGGCCAGCTTGAAGTTGGCTGTATGCCAGAGTGCGCACCGCTGCAGCCTCGACACCCTGCTCCAGCCGCGCAACGAAACCCCACCCTCCAGTACGCGCAGTAGTATCAACTTTCGCATTGAGCAAGCGCAACCCAACCCATTGGGCGCCTTCCCCCTTTGCACGGTCAACTCTTCCATTGGAACACTCAATCGCCACGCCCCCAGGACGCTGCCTTGCCACATGGATCCCACAACCGACGAGTCCAGCCAAAAGCCGTCGCCAGCATACTATGACCTCGGCACATACTCTCGCCCCGTGACTACCTCCAACGACGAGGCCCAGCGCTGGTTTGATCGTGGCCTCATATGGAGCTTTGCCTTCAACCATGAAGAGGCTGCCGCCTGCTTCGAGCGTGCCATTGCAAGCGATGCGGAATGCCCCATGGCTTACTGGGGGCTAGCCTACACTCTCGGGCCAAACTACAACAAACCCTGGGACTTCTTCGATGCGGCTGAGCTCCAAGACATCGTCAGGCGCACCCACGCTGCCGTCGAGACGGCCCGTGAAAAGGCTGCCACTCGCGGGTCTCCCGTCGAGAAGTCTCTCATCTACGCTCTAGAGAGCCGCTACCCCCACGCCTCTGCGGACCACAATGGGCAGACCGCGGAGTGGAACTCGGGATATGCCGATGCCATGGCCAAGGTCCACAACAGCTTCCCTCGGGACCTCGACGTCGCAGCGCTCTTTGCTGACGCCCTCATGAACCTCACGCCATGGCAATTGTGGGACCTGTCAACTGGTGAGCCTGCCGAGCATGCTCGTACCCTCGAGGCAAAAGCTATCCTCGACCAAGCTTTGGCACAACCAGGCGGCATGCAGCATCCAGGTCTGCTACATCTTTATATCCATCTCATGGAAATGTCATCGACACCCGAGGCAGCCTTACCTGCTGCCGACCGCTTGCGCAATCTGGTGCCCGATGCCGGTCACCTTCAGCACATGCCCACGCATATCGATCTGTTGCTGGGCGATTACCAGAGAGGCATGAAGTCGAATCAGGCCGCCATCGTAGCCGACGAGACCTACCTAGAGCGTGAAGGTCCGCTCAAATTCTATACCCTGTATCGCATGCATGACTACCATTTCCGAATATACTGTGCCAGTAAGTCTTTGTGCAGTGAATGCACAACCGTCCTATCAGCATTACCATCCCGTGCTAACAGTTTCCTGTGTACAGTGTTCGCGGGTCAACGTCGTATTGCCTTGGAAACTGCTGAGCGTATGAATCTCAGCCTATCGCCAGAACTGCTCAAGGTCAAGTCACCACCCATGGCAGACTGGCTTGAGGGTTTCGCCTCCATCAAGCTGCATGTTCTGATTCGCTTCGGAATGTGGCAAGAGATTCTCAACGACATTCTTCTCCCAGAGGATCAGGAGCTCTACTCGGTCACGACAGCTATGACACACTATGCCAAGGGGGTAGCAGCTTCTGCCACGGGAGACGTGTCGTCTGCAGAAGTGTCTCGTGCAGCCTTTTCAGAAGCAATGGGCAAGGTTCCCGAATCGAGGATGTTGTTCAACAACAAATGTGTCGACATCCTCGGCGTTGCATCGCTCATGCTGGATGGCGAACTCGAATATCGCAAAGGCAACATGGACATTGCATTCTCGTCCCTACACAAAGCCATTGAAGCATGCTATGCCCTGCCGTATGATGAGCCTTGGGGTTGGATGCAGCCGCCCAGTCACGCGCTCGGAGCGCTCTTGCTCGAGCAAGGCAGGCATGAAGAGGCGGCTAAGGCATATGCGGACGATCTTGGTATCAAGAGCGTTTTGCCACGAGCTCTGCAACACCCCAACAACGTATGGGCCTTGCACGGATACCATGAGTGTCTTCTCAAGCTTGGTAGAAACGCAGAAGCTCAATCCCTTCACCCCGAGCTCGATCGTGCCCTGAGAGCTGCAGATGTGTCGATCAACGCTTCATGTTTCTGTCGTCGTCAGACCCAGTCAGGCCAGTAATGAGCACTGGGACCTTTGTCGCGGAACCCGACAGAATCGCTGATGCAACGCAGGGGGCGAATCGGCCTTGCTGGAGCAACACGATGTGCGGGCGGGACGGAGAGATAACTAGACCGAGTCTCCCAGATCCTGGTATCCGCAACCCCCCCCCCCTGTTCTCCACGTGGTGGTTAGCCAGACGGAAGACTCCAGCCTCGGCCTGAAGCTGTCGCGGTTGACAGATAAGCCAGGCTTAAGAAAATGAATGAAACCACGTCATGTTGGAGCAAGTCTTTATGAAATTGGCACGTAGACGAAGTATCGGGTGAGCTCCTCAATTCTGCGCCGGGACGAACACGGAAGCCACTTCAGAAGCAGTGCTTTGGATTGAGGATACCCGCGCTTGCAGGGGTCAGGGTGTGGGTGCACACCAGCCATGAGGTAATGTGTCCATGGGTAGATGGACAGCGCCAACCCGCCACCCTCACTCATCCTTGGGTAATGCACATGTCGCTTTGACGTCAGTAGAGCCACCGCGGGCTGCTTACGTACTACGCAGCGGACAGAGTCGAGAAACAAGAAAGAGGGGCGGGAAACTCTATCCCGAGAAGCAATCCGCAGCCACAAGCGTTAGTGACCGATCCGGCATGGGTGCCGACCAGGGCCAGGCCGTCAGCGACAACTGCCGCACGCACAGCTAGCCAGAACGAGTGACAATGGTGGGGACCCATGACGGGCCAGCGCAGAGCTCTGGTGGGGAGCTCTCTTGATCATGAGCAAGCTCGATCGATTCCCACACGCGGGTGGTCCTGTGTGTGTGCCCATGGCCAGAGAGGTTGCTGAGCCTCACGCGCTCAACCCCACACTGTCTACGCTCGACTTTTGTATAAGACCGACACAGCTGGTCTTCTCTGTCTCAGGGCTCCATCCTGCTGATTCCTTCGTATACACATCACCACGAGTCCTGTAAAGTCCTACTACAACCTTGCGACAGCCCCACACGCCGCGAACACTCCCCCATTCACACAACCAACTATCCTCACAATGGCTCCCAAAGTTCTTGTTGTCCTTACTTCTCACGGCGAGATGAACGGTGCCAACAAGCCGACCGGCTGGTACCTGCCAGAATTCTCCCACCCCCACGACGTCCTCACCTCCAAGGGCGTTGAGATTGTCGTCGCCTCCCCAAAGGGTGGTGAGGCTCCCCTCGACCCTGCCTCGGTGTAAGTGAATGCCCTGGTTCGACGACATTCCTGCCCACCCCAAGAGGCAGAGCTGACCGTGTGGCCCGTTTGTCGTAGCGAGATGTTCAAGCAGGACGCCGCCGCACAAGAATTCCTCAATACCAAGTCGAGTCTGTGGAAAAACACCTCCAAGATTAGCGAGCACCTCGGCAAGGCCTCCGAATACGCCGCGCTCTTCTACCCGGGTGGTCACGGCCCCATGTTCGACCTCGCCACCGACAAGGACTCGATTGCCCTGATCAACGAGTTCGTTGACGCGGGTAAGCCAGTCTCGGCCGTTTGCCACGGCCCGGCCGTCTTTGTCAACGTTGTCCGCCCGGACGGCAAGCACATCCTCGAAGGCAAGACCGTCACTGGTAAGCAACCCCCATTCTCCTTTAGCAAGGTTGCCTTCCATTGCATGGCTTGTGAAGCCTGGCTAACCACGTCTTTTCTGCGACTATAATAGGCTTCAGCAACGTTGAGGAGGACCAGGTCCAGCTCTCGCCATACATGCCCTTCATGCTCGAGGACGAGCTGAAGAAGAAGGGCGCGACCTACACCAAGGCCGCCGAGCCGTGGGGCGAGAAGGTCGTCGTCCAGGACGGTGGCAAGTTCATCACCGGCCAAAACCCGGCCAGCGGCAAGAAGCTTGGCGAGGAGCTCGCAAAGGCCATTGGCGTTTGAGCGGTTCTTTTTCTCTTTTGGTTGTCAAAAGCAAGAAATTAAGACAAAAGAAGAAGAAGGAGAAGCAGCGTTCTTTATTATTATGGCGCTACGTCACGTATAAAAAAAAATAGTATAATGAGATTATGATCAACACCCGGACATTGGCGTTTCCAGTAGTAAATTGTATGCCTCGTGCAGTGGAGGGGACGATGATGCATTAATAGAAGCCGGTTGGGCAAAGTTATATACACTTTGAGGAGGGCAGGTGGGGAATTTGGCTATTCGAAATGACGGGTCGCGGCTGGCTGGTCTATGAAGCGTGTCATTGAAAAGAGGAACTATCGCTGTGCTGTCGCGGTGAGATGGGGTTTAAAATATAAATGCAGGGTATAACTTGATGGGATATGCAAATTCATGAGGCAACAAACAAACAAACAAACAACCAAGGTGTGGTGAGCCAACGGCCACAATGTGGGAAAACCGTCACGGGTTTTGTGCCGACGATGCGGCCACCTTCGCCAAAGCACTGCCGTTCATCAACACTCGCCGCAGTTCACCACGTACGTTGTTCGGTTGGCGGAGGGAGGGGGAGGCTATGATGAGGGTGCCCCTGCCGCCGGCGCAGCTGCCGCCGCCAAAGAAGAAGCACGCTGCTTGTGCAGCAGACTCTTCCACCTGGTGCGGACGATCCGGAGCACCGCCCACGCGAGCACGCGGTACGCGACCACGAGCCCCAGCAGCGTGCCCACGTCGACGATGGGCGTGTCGTTGGTCATCTTGTACAGCTCGAGCACGTCGTCTCCCGTCTCGATCGGGCACTGGCCAGTGGTGGGGAGGCGCTGGGAGTCCTCGCAGGTGAAATCGATGCCGCGCAGGGTGTAGGGCATGAGGAACGCGGTGGCGTACTTGATGGGCGAGAGGTAGTTGAAGATGACAAACACACGGGGCATGTCGATGCTCATGATGCCGCTCATGGTCTGGGCGACGGAGAGGAGCGTAGAGACAATGTTGACGGCAAAGCCCGCGTGGCGGGACAGCGTGTTGAAGATGATGCCGAGGCTTTCGCCGCACGAGACGATGGCGAAGCACGCGAGGGCCACGGAGAAGTGCGACTCGACCGTCCGCGGCAGGTTGACGGCAAAGGTGGCCAGGACGGCAAAGATGAGAGACGAGACAATCTCAAAGGGCAGCTCGAGGATCGTGTACACGGTCAGGAAAGACTCGATGCTGTACACGCCGTCATCGTCCTCGCGGTAGAAGACGTCTCGCTCGGCGATGTACACGGCGATGTTGTTAAGCATGCCTACAAAGTAGAATGCGCCGATCTATGTCAGAAGTTAGCCCAAGCTCAGAACCATTCATTGAGACTGAGAAATCATGAAGTTGTCGAAATGGTGAGCATACCTCCTGAATGAAGCCTACGCGGCTCTGCACGCTGTAAAAGTCATACCCAAGTGGGGAGAAGAAGAGTGTGAGCACTATCCCCAGGCCAAGCACTTGCATCGTCCGCGCCAACATGACCGGGGGTTGGCGCCGAATGTTGATGAGCGCCCGATGGAACAGGAGCGGCAAAGCCGTCGTGAAGGACGCTCTCTGGACCACAAGCGCTCCTAGCTCCGCCGGCGTGGCGAGCTCGCTCTTTCCATTCCGATTCAGCGATGACCTCGGCGGTGCCGCCGGATCGTCGACTGGCTCATTATCCGTAGCGGAACCGCCTGTCGTGCTGCTCGGTTCGGCAGCGGGCGTCTTGTCGGACATCCACCTGTCACGATCCGCTCGAGCCCACGCCTCAATCATGTTGTTGACACGCAGCCGACTTTCGGCTTCGCGAGACTCCTCTTGCAAGTCGACCGTGATGAGGTCTAATGCGTAGTCGGCAGGGTTTGTGTGCTCTGGGCAGTGATAGCCATGGCTGGCAAAGTAGGCAAGCATGTTTTTTGCCGGACCGGCATATGCCGGCTGCCCACCGCGAGCGAGGAGTAGGACATTTCCAAAGTGCGTAAACAGATCTGAACGAGCCTGGTGGATTGTCAGGATCAGGGTCCGGCCTTCGTTGGCCAAGCCGTGCAGCACTTCCATGATGCTGGCCGCAGTAAACGCTGTCTCGGGCATTAGTTACAAGTGTTGTTTGACTAATTTCACAGAAGCAGAACACCTACCATCGAGACCACTCGTCGGCTCGTCGAGAAGCAGAACCCGAGGATCCGTCAAGATTTGCACGGCAATACTCACGCGCCGCTTTTCACCGCCAGAGATGCCCTTGACCTGGTCGTCTCCGATGAGCACATTGGCGCACTCTTTGAGCCCCATCTTCAAGAGCACTTCCTCGGCCCGGCGGTTCTTCTCCTCCTTGCTCATGAACGAGGGCAGCCGCAGGCCGGCACTGAACCGCAAGGTTTCCCGGACCGTCAGGGACGGCAGCAGCGCGTCGTCATCTTGGCATACGTAGGAGACGACCGACCTCACCACGGACTCGTGTGGCACTGCACCATTGAACATGAGCTTGCCGCCAGTCTCGTATCGCGTGCCGATGCTGTTCTTCAGCCGCAAGGCGCAAGCGTTCAGAAGACTTGTCTTGCCGCTACCGGAGGGGCCGCAGATGACATTTAGTCTGCCGGACTGGAAAGTGGTTGTGACTGGGTTGACGATGACCTTTGTAGGCAAGGTCCTGCCCAGTGCCGTGCGCTTTTTGATGGCGAGAGAGTAGCCTGCGAGGTCGACATCGATGGCCCGCACCTGCTGAATGGACCGCGCCGTCATCTTCTCGCGTCCGACGGAAAGATCCTTGGTGGAGGTTCGGGCTCGAGCAATGGTCATCTCGACCTTGAGGAAGCCGAAGCCAATCCACGACAGCAACGTGAAGAACAAGACAAAAGCGACCAGGATGACGAAGCGTTCCACCTGCCAGTCTTCTTGGAATCCCAGACTTGCCATGATGTATGGGCCTGTATACTGAACACAGCCGGGATTGGCCTCGCCACCCTCCAACGGACACTCGTAGAAGCTGTCCTCGAATTCGTTCGCGCAAAGCCCTCCAAAGGCGTAGTACATGTAGGTGATGTGCTTCAGCCATCTCACATAGACGGGTAAAGTTTCGACGTTGATGAAGTATCCGCAAGCCATACTTTGCAAAGTGTAGGCCAGGTTGGCTGTTATATACACTCGTCAGTGAGCCGAGCATGGGCATAGCAGCAAGTTAGAAAGGGCCTGCAAACTTACCAATCAGGCCAGCACCAGCGAAGTTCCGGACCACGGACACAGCAGTGGCCGCAAGCATCACAATGATGTAGTGATTAAGCAGAACCACAGCAAAGAACTGCAAAAATCGGGAAGCATCGGCCTCGAACCCTGCCATGAAGTAGAAGATGATGCTGAAGATGGCACAGACCGGCACGTCCTCTGTGAACATCCTCGCCAGCCGTCGCGAGAGGAGGAAAGGAAGGGCAGTTACACACCCCTCGCTGCTCTCCCGATCAAACGTTGGCGCATCCACGGTGAGCCTGAAGATCTCGAACACGAGAAACAAGTAAGGTTGCAAGTTGAGGGCGATGTACAGGGCACCTTGGCGTGAGCGGATGCCCGACAGGTCTGAGGGCAGCGCGAAGAAGACGTATCCCATGACAACTCCCATCACGACCGTCTGGATCAGGGCTCCTGCCATGCCCATGGGGTCCCTGTAGGTGACCTTGAAAGTCCTGTCCGTCAAGACCGTCAGCTGTCTCACGAAGCCGACGCTCTGCGAGATTTTGGCCCTCTTGCCTAGACGGCCCTTTTCGTCAGTGCGGGATGGCAGGTCTGCGAAGCGCTTCTCAGCCTGGTCGATCCAGTGGGCTTTGAGTCTCTGAACTCGTTCTGTGCTTTCCGCCTCGAGCTCGGGGGTCCGATTGTCTATGGCCGCCTGGTCGATGACGAATTCGGCAGGGTTGACAAATGGCGGCAGCTGGAATCCGAGGCTGGCAAAGTACGAGACGCATTCTTTCGTGCTGCCCGAGTACACGGGGCTGCCCCTGGAAAGAACCAGGAGATTGTCAAAGAGATCCCAGATCTCGGATCGGGGCTGGTGGATAGTCGTCACGATCGTTCGTCCCTGGTTGGCCAGGGCCTTGAGGGTCTTGACGACCAGGTACGCGCTGGTAGCATCGAGGCCGGTCGTCGGCTCGTCGAGGAAGAGGACAGAAGGGTTTGCGAGAAGCTGGACGCCTATACTGGTCCGTCGCTTCTCGCCGCCGCTGCAGCCACGGTGCTCGCTGTTTCCGATGCGAGTGTTGGCGCAGTCCTTGAGGCCGAGTTCCAGGATCACTTCCTCCACGATCCGGACACGGTCCTCGTGCGTGGCAGGGGATGGCAAGCGGAGCCTTGCTGCGTAAAGAAGCGTCTCCCTGACCGTGAGGGTGGGGAGAAGAATGTCCTGCTGTAGCACATAGGCATGCCGGACATGGTGGACGCCTTCGACACCGTTGAACGTGATCCGTCCAGACTGCGATAGCCGCGAGCTGGCCACACGCTCGGCAATGGTGTTGAGTGCTGTGGTTTTGCCACTGCCCGAGCCACCAATGATGGCCGTCAGAGTACCTGGCTTGAGCGAGGCATCGAGTGACGAGAGGAGATGTTTGGTCGTCGGGCCACCCTGCCCGCTGCCAAACTTGCTGCGGAAGAGGTCAGGATAAGTCGAAGGCTCGAGGATGGACGGCGATGTGTCGACTGACACGCCCAGGCTCCGGACCTGGACATCGACGGGCTCTACGTCGGCGAGCGAGAGGGCGGCCGTGGACAGTGGCAAGTGTGACTGGTTCTGCTGCTGCGGCGAGGTCGTGTCTGGCAGAGGTGTCACCGCGCTGGCGGCATCGTTCTTCTCCAGATCGGTCGTCGAGCCCGTGTCGCCGGGCTGAGCCAGCGAGGGGTCCTTTTCGCCGTCGACCGACATTATGGCGGATATGGTGCCCAGGAAATCTCGCAATCTATCACGAGCACCCCAGCATGTCCATACAGAAGTTGTACGCTGTTCAGTCGAAGCTACGACGCAACGCTATGCAAGGGCGTCGTAGACAGGCGACATCTGGGGGGGCTGTTTGGCAAGACTCTGCGTTGTCTTTTCGAAGCAGAACCAGAGGAAGATGGCATTTGGTCTGAAGATGTGCCTCAGGGATGGAGAGATTATTTGTGGAAAGGCTGCGACTGGTCCTTTACCTACCAAGGTAGGCCCTTGCCAGGCAGGGGGCCAGCGGCGCGTTGTTACTCGTATCAACCAAGGACCCTGTCGACGTTGAATCTCGGACCGGACAAGCCAGGGTCGTATGGACCGGGAAGCCAGTTAAGGATGTGCCCGGGGGGCGGCAAGATGCACAACACTAGACCGCTCGGGTCGGATTGCCATTGCGTCCCCACATCCCATACTATGATATACAATGGAGGACCTTCAACCCTAAACTTGGAAGTACTTAAAGCAGTCAAGCTGGGCGCGGCTGCTTGCTGGCCTCAGGCCAGAAGCCGTCGACATTTGATGAATCACTGTCCGCATTGGCCAATCCGGCCCATGCAAATGGAGCCACCTGAGCATAAGGTAGCGTATGCGAGGACAAGTGGAGGCGAGCAGCGCGTCTACCCGAGCTTGGCGGCAAGCACGCCTGTCGTCGTGGGGCGGGCCACACATGCCCATACTCTCTGTCCATAATATCAGGACCAGAATGGCATCCCCCCAACATGGCATGGGCCTCGGAAACCTTTGTGTGCCAGCCCAGCAAAGAGCCAAGATGGTGGTCATGGACAGCGAGCCCTACACTACAAAGTATCCGAGCATAATACACCATCAGGGAAAACCCGCACCGTATGCTGACCACAAACAGGCCACCCATCCCATTCTGGCCCCCCATCGGCCCCCATCGGGCCACATGTTGGCTCTCTTGGACAGCAGCCAGTCAGCAAGCCCCGTGCCGCCCAAGCGTACAGTAGAAGGCGCAGGCAAAAAAGTGCTGGACCCCTTCTGGAAAAAAGCTCCCGCATCTCGCGCCAGAAGCAGGCGGCAGGGCAGGGCAGGGGTCAGCACCTTCCCACGGCTGCGCTAGCTGACCCCACACCTCGCATGCAAAAGCGAGCTTTCTCACGGCCCGGATCCGAGAAGGGCGTGCGTCGCCCCCCCCCCCCCCCAGCTCGTCCAGTCCCGACTGGATGCCAGTCCGAGGCTGTCTTGTCGAATTCATGGATCGAGACGGCGGGTTGTGTGGTTGGGGCCATTCCGCTGCCCAGCTGCTCCCACGCCGCATAGAGGGTTTGGGGCGGGTTGCATCAGTCTCACAAGAGCCCTGAGGAGCTTATTTCCCGCTGCTGTTTCAAACCCTTTGCTTCATTGGTGAGGCGTGCTGCTTGCTGGTGTCTATTCCTAGACAGGCACGGTTGCGAACGCGCGGGGTATTGCGCTGGGAACATGGCAGACGAGGACTATGATTGATTGCTTCTCTGGTCGTCTGTAACTAAGTAGTGTTGAAGTAGTCATTCAAAATCAGCGCTATGCTATTCCATGTTCCGATATGCATTTGCCCAATTCCACACAACTCCCGTGCGCCATGCATACATGCGTGCGTCCATGCATGCATGTATCCTGCCTGCTCCCATCGAGGCGTCGTCCCATTGTCCACGGACGCGCCCTCCATCTACGCAAACCTCTTCTCCGTGATGGCCCGGCCGACTGGCGCATCTGTCACGAACCCCATCTTGCCGGCGCCGTGCTCGTACACTTTTGTGCCGCGCAGCCATGTCTCCTTGACCCGGCCGGTAAATTGGTGTCCCTCCCATGGCGAGCACCGGTTCTTCCAGTGCATCCCCGCCGACTGTAGCGTCCACTCCTCGCTGTCGTCAAACACGCAGATGTCCGCGTCCATCCCGGGCTTGAGCGCGCCCTTGCAGTGCGATAGCCCAACCTGCGCCGCCGTCGCAACACAGCACAGCCGCACAATGTCCAGCACGCTCGGGACGGACGACGCGCTGGCGCCCGCCGCCACGCGCTTCTTGGCCGCAGAATAGAGGATCGGAAGGCCCAGCCCGACCGACGAGATGCCGCCCCACGCCGCGAAGAAGTCTCCGGTCCCTGAGGCCAGCGTGGCCGCCTGCTTGGTTTCCTGCGCGGCCCGGCGCAAGTCGGCGCTCATGTCGACACCCGAGTCGGAGTGCGGGACTCCCGGGCGGTCGAGGCTCTGCAGGTGGCGCGGGAGGAGCTTGAGCTCGGGTGTGCAGGGGGAATGGTCCGACACGATGGTGCGGATGCACGAGTCGGCCGCCACCAGCTCGTCCCACAGGCCGTCCTGGTTAAGCTGCTCCCGGATCGGAGGGCAGCACTTGTACCGGCAGTCGCCGTCCTCGACGTTCTCCGCGGCCAGGCCCAAGTAGTGGAAACACGTCTCGGCGGTGATGTTGATGCCTTCAGCGCGGGCTTGCTTGAGGATTGGAATGGCCTGGATGGCGGAGAGGTGGACAATGTGCAGGTGCAGTTTGGGGGCCAGCGGCGCCAGCGACACGATCTCGTCAATCGCATAGGTCTCGAACGAGGGCGGCCGGGACTCGAGGAACGTCTTGTACGCCTTGAGGTCGCCGCTGGGGGCAAGCGGAGGCTCGGACGAGGTGACGGCGTCACCGACGGACGCCGCAATGGGCGGGATCATCTCGGCGTGGAACATGAGGGTGGTCGGCGAGTCCTTGAGCTTCTCCATGGCCAGAGCAATGTCGCCTGACGAGACACAGGGGAACTCGTCGACACCAGACTCGATCAGAAACCCTTTGAAACCACGCACGCCGGCCTCAACGAGGGGCAGCAGCTCGTCCGCGTTGCCCGGGATCACGCCGCCGTAGAAGCCTACGTCGACCCAGCATTGGCCCTGGCTGGCGGCGAGCTTCTCCCGGAAACCATGCATCGTGGTGGTTGGCGGGATGGCATTGAGGGGCATGTCGATGACGGTGGTCACACCGCCCGAGGCGGCCGCGCGGGTGCCGGTGTTGAAGCCCTCCCACTCGGTCCGGCCGGGCTCGTTGAGGTGGACATGTGCGTCGACGAGGCCGGGCATGAGCAGCTTGGAGCCATGATCGACGTAGGCCACTGAGGAGGGGAAGGCTGATCTGGGAAGGACCTCCGACTTGGTATCTACTATCTTGCCGGTGCTGGAGGAGACGATGATGGTGGCCGGGGTGAGGGTGAGGGTGCCGTCAGGGAGGGTGAGGACGGCCCGGGTCGAGACGAGGACCGTCATCGGCTCGGCATCGGATCCGGTCGGCACCGCCATTGTTGTGTGGTATGTATCGGTCACCAGGGGTGGTGGTGGTGGTGGTAGTGGTGTAAGAGGTGGTGTCCAGTGCTAAGGGTGACAGAGCTGTGTATATCAAGGAGCGAGCGAAGTCTGAGGTGAGATATGGAAGTAATGGAATGGTGGAGAGGGAAAGAAGGTTGAAGGATCTGTCTCTGGCTGACGGGGGACAGGGCGGTCACGGCCTTTTAGTTCACAAGAGCACTGCTGTCACCTGTTCGGCACCAGCAGCAGCAAGTATGGGGAAAAGAAGGAGAAGAAGGGTCTCGGGAGTGGGTTTGCAGACAGACGTGCAGGGGGAGGCTTGCAGCAAGACAGCCAAAAGCCGGGGAGTGCCGCCAACCCAACGGATGGTGCGGCGGGCAGGAGTCTGGAAGGGGGGTGGAACACGACGACAACGACGACAGGGCAGAGGATACAATCGAGTAATGGAAAGGTAAGGGACCTATTCTCGGAGCCACTAATCCACAGCAAGTTCCGGCCGGTTCGTGTTCTCCAGCTGGAGAGGAGAGGGCAGGGCGCCCGGCTTGGTCGTCTGGAGGCGGGACGGCAATCCGCCGGGTCGGTCGAGGCAGCCCTGGAGCCTGTTGTGCCTGCTGCTCGAGGCCCCTCGGCAACGCGAGGCACCCTCCCGCAAGTTGACACGAGCACGCACACTTCAGGAACTCCGGGCAGAGGAAGGAAGAGCGAGTATCTCCAGATAAGCGGCTTATCTGTCACGAATCGCTGCGGCGGCCCCGTGTCAGAGAGTCGGCCGACTACATAATGGCAACCGCGATAAGGCCGCGCTGCCTGCCCGAAGGAGAATCATGCGGGCTTTCTGGTTGGCTGGTGGCCGGTGGTGGTTGCCGCGTTTGCTGGCTGGCTGCTGATAAGAAAATGCCCGCACATGCAAACTCTCAGGCTTGTTTGTCCCTGTGCCACGCCGCGCCAGGCCGCATCGGGAACCCTCCTACGCCTGCGATAATTAGATCGGCCAGTCCCTCCAGATAACGAGGCGGCCGGACCCCTCTGCAGGTGCTCATTGGGCGACACTTGATGCCTGAGGCACGCAACACCGGTCGCTTGCGCGGATCTGCCTCTACATCTGGTCGCCGTCGTCTCCCACTGAGCATCAACAACAACCACTACTAATTCCTCAGACAAGTGGACAGGGAAAAGCAGGGACCGATCGGCGGCTTGCATGCATCTGAGAGAGGGCGGGGCGGCCCTTGTCTAGCGGGGCACCGTCATTCTGGTACGTAAGTGTCGTCGACGCCCACCCATCGGAGCTGGCCGAAGCTCGTCAGAACGAGTGCCTTTCCCCTGGGCTAGGCTCTAGACTCTCCCCTTCGTGCTAGCCTAATAAGTCTGCCTCTCCCTGCCCGTTGTTTTCGCGGCGGAGCTCTTTGCTCGTCCCCGTCTGCGCCCGACCCGACACACGACTGCCAAACCGCAGTGGCCCAGGTCTTTGCCACGGTAGACAATGAGGCAAGCCTCCCAACATTGCAGTGTCCGTGTCAGCCTCTGAGCGGTTCCGAGCCCGTCACTTCGACTCGTCGTACTTCAGCCTCACCCTGGCTGTCGACGTCAATGACGATTCACGATAACGTTCGCGCCGTCGGGCTATGCTCCAATGGTTCATGCAGCTTTGGACGGACCATTCCGTTAGCTATCCTGGTTTCTCCGGAGTTGAGCGCCTTCTCTGGTTCTTTGACCGCCAGGTCCGCCGGTTGAGATTCTGAAAAGGGCGGGCCGCCAACGTGTTGCTCGATCTCATCGAGTAACAATCGAGTAACGCCCTAGGACCTGATTGGCCAGCCCTGGTCTCGCGCTTCGTTCTTGAACGTCCTCCAAACTCTTGCTCCACCTCAGTGCCGCGGTCTGGGCCGGCTGAGTTCTGGCGACGCTTTCGCTTCCTGCATGAGCCCACAGAGCAAGCTTTTTACTCGATCGTGACAAATCCAACGAACCTGGCCGGCTCTGCGCAGACACGATCATTGGCCATCGCCAGTACACGTGCTGCAGGAGCACCACTGGGCGACAAGAAAACAGCTCTGTAAAAATCACGGGCTGTTCGCTTGGGCACCGCTTGGAAGCTGGTCATCAGCGGCGCTGCCGATGATGCATGGGCAGGCAGGGCAGCTCATGTCTGCCGCCATACACGTCACGGGCTGAATCGAGAGTTTCCTTGGCTGCTGATAGACCGCGTTTCGGTCGTGATCGGTTGTGAATGTGGTGGTATAGGCTTCGTTGCCTAGCTGTGTCGTTTGGAAGTGATGTTTCGCTTGCTCGCCCGCCTCCCAGGATGGTCGTCGCCTGCTACCCAGGCGTATGCGTTCCCTCTCCAAAGTGACAACGGTGATTTCCGCGCAGGTCACTATGAAGGGTTCTGACAGAAATCTGATATTGCGGTGTGACAAGGTGGATATCAATGCGTCTCTCAAACCCCAATTTTGCAGTCACAGGGACAGTGTCATTGCTAGAAGGTGTCTTGTGTTGTCGACTGGCCAGCGAACATAACCTCAACCATTGATCGGCCGCTGTTGCTAGCTCAGTGATGGTTCCTTGCTAGCTGTCCGAGATCTGCTAAAAGCGGCCAAAACACGAGTGCAGCAGCACCTTCGGCGGCCCCCGAGACAACACTTGACCTTTAGTATGCAGGACATCGAAATCGGCCAAGCGTGATTGTTGGGGAACAAACGCTTCATGATATCTTCGCCGGTCTCGGTGCCGCCGGTGCTTGATCACCTGAGCAAGTCGCCGGCAAAAGATGCCCGTGTCGAAGGGGGTACTTCGGTAGCACCTCTAGGTGGTAGTCTTGTTGGCCTGCCGGCCGCATTGGCAGGAACAATGTGGGACAGGTTCTGGCGTCGAGATGAGGCAGTGAAAGCGTCATCCAGAGACCAGAAAGGTTGTTGTCTATGTCAGCGGTGAGTTGGTCGCTGTGAGGACTGGCCTTTTGTGTATGCCACCAAGAACAACAGTCACACGCTGGCATCCAGCTTCCCTGGGATGTCGAAGTGCCCAATTCAAATGCTTGCCGCATGACATGGCGACTGCCCTTGAACACGATCGGGGGCACAGAGGGTAGCAATTAATTGTCCCTCAACGACTGGATTGAGCCAAGGTCGTCGCAACATGCACCGAATTGGTCATGATTTGTAGAGAAGGGAGGCATATTACAGGGTGACTTGCAGGTACCTCAACCATCCAGTTTGGCTGTCCTGCCTACGCGTACCTTACTTTGGGTGCGCACGCGGAGAGTTGGCAGCCACCGCAAAGAGCCTTGCAACCTCCCTGACAACTCAGAAGGTACATCCCACCATCAAAGGACTCGACGACAAAGGCCCAGGCTTGACAGCGGCATGGCTGCACATCTCCCAGACCTCGCCCTCTCCGCTACCCCCAGACTTCTCATTCACTCTGACAAGACCATCCACGTCATCCTTGCAACTATTGGCACGCCAATTCTTCTCTTTGTTTTCTTCTCGAGAACCGTGCTCCTACAGAGCTCAACGGTCCTGCCTACCTACACACTACATTGGTTCCCCCTCACTCTCTGCGAACTCACTTTTTCTGCATCAAAGCAGCTGTAAATATCCCGGAAGGATGCCGAGGATGACCCGGGTCGCAGGATTGCATGCATGCATGGACGCATGCACACAACCCCAGACAGAGAACTGTGGGTTCCAAACTGTTGAGACCGGCAAAGCGAAGCGATTCGCGGTGCGGGAAATACCAACAAGGTAGATGACGCTCGGGAGATTTGGTTAAAAAAAAAGAAAAGGGGGGGGGGGGGGGGCTTCGCCAAAGTAAAAGAGTTCGACCTATGTTGTTCCGTCTGTCCCGTTCCTCTCTCAGAAGACGCAAATACAGTAAGTAACACAGCTCATGAAGCAAGGCAAGGCAAGGCAAGGCAGATCTCAAGGTCGAGGCGAAGCCTTCCAACTTCATATACCCGAAAACTTCAAGACGCTGTCCGTATCAGAGCGGCATACGACAAAAAAAAAAAAAACTCCAAACAGCAGAGCTGCTAAAAGCGATCAAGAGGTGCTGGTGGCTGCCCCCCCAAAAAGATGTCTAAGCACAACAGTGACCTACAAACACGACAGCGCCATGCTAAGTTGCAATCCACAAGTAATCTGAATTCAACTGTCAATAGACATGTTATATGGCGTTTCGAGAAGTGTGACTGACTCCTTTGATGCCGCGATGCGCAAGCCGGATCGCATAGTTATAACGCTTCCCGTATGCAGACGTCAGGCCGATCTGCAGGAATCCCTTAATGTCAAATGGCCAGCCACTTATTTATTGGTTCCCTAACGTTCGTACAGATACATCTCCACATGTCCCTGAGAAGACACGAGTATGCTTTCCCCAGGATTTGGCCCTTTTCCCCGCCTAACCTTCCTTCTATGTATCAATTGGTACTTCAGAAAACATGACACCGAAAAATGGGTTTTTACCACGCTTTCCCAATACACTCAGCCCGTTGCGCCCAGCGAAGCTCTAAAGTAATGAGGTGAACCAAGAAGCAAGCCAAAATCAAATAATCGTGGTATCAATCGTGCCTAGTCATCAATGCGGAAGGATATCGTGAGGCTGAGAGAAATGTGGAGGACACGAGAGTTTGGGTAAAAATATCGAAGGTGCTGTCATGTGCTAGCCAGGATTCGTTTGTGATGTGCGAGCGTTGCAGGAGAGATATCATGCTCTCACATGCTGACCTCACGCTCCTCCTGGATTGCCGTCATCGCACTCCCGGCAGCCCCCCCTTCGAGAAGTGGCTGACTAGGCGGCGGAACGTGACTCTTCGGGGGGTTGTTGGGGTCGGCAGAAATGTCGCTCTGGGCAGCATCCGTGTTGGGTACTGAGCGGACCATGTTGTTGAAGCTCGGGTCTGCTTCTGACCCCCTTCCCAGTATACTGGCATCTTTACTGTTGACTTCCTTATGTAGGGGAGACGAGTGGATGGGCGACGCGGACTTCTTGCTTGCGTTGTCATTGCCTCCGCGAGAAGAGTTTCGTGGTGAGACTCTACCGGTCTATCCATCACAACACTTGTTAGCAATTACGTTTGGAACAAAGGATCCGATTTGGGGTGGAAATACCTGCTTCGCCCACCTAAGGCCACAGCTGTTGCATAGATCTCTCTGGCCACTTGGACCTCTCCGCCATTCTGGAGTATTGCGAGTGTGGCAGTTGGCACAGTCACGAGCGACATTGCCAACGCCCTTTCTTCTCTTGCGTTTCTTCTTGTTCGACAAAAGCCCGTGAAGCTCTTCGGCCAGTATACGATTGACTTTCTCCATTTGTCGAAGTTCGTACTGCCAGCTCGTGCAGCGTGTCGTCTTGAGCTCGTCGAAAATGTTGTCTTCTGATGCCAGAAAGTGATCCTGATTCCCTGGTGCCACACCCCCACCAGGTGCCGAGATTAAGCCTGCACCTCCATCGCTATACTTCGATTGTGCTGTAGAAGGGACTAGAGATTGTGAGGTTGAAGTTGCGCTCTGACGACCAGTCGAGGAAGCTGTGGAAGCAGTGCTACGAGACGACGCCTTGAGGAGCTTCGTCTGGGCCAAGATGAAAGTGGGCTTCGCCCCTTCCGCAGCGTCACCCGGATACAGCGTGGTTTGTGCCTGGAGGACCTGACCGCGGCGATTCTGCACCTCGTGTTTAACGGTAGCTATACGGCCCCGCCGTGCCTTTTCGATCGCCCTTCCAAACTCTGGGCGCGACTCCTTTCGCATGAGCTCTTGAATACTGGTGTTGACGAGCTTGTCTGGTTGTAGGTCGAGTAGCGACCGAACATTTGCGGACACAAAGAGAAACAATCCAGAAGTAGAAAGCTTGGTCCAGAGCTCGGAATCGCCGATGCCTCCGTGGCTCTCAAGCTGACGTCGACTCAAAGCCAGTACAGGTCGTTTCCGCCCAATCAAAATGATGCATTTGCGGCCCTTGCCTTGCTCGACAAAGAGGGACCCGTGGCTTTCGAACCAAGTATAGCCACTGTGTTTCCGGGCAATTCGGAATACTATGTTGACTGAGTTTCCACTGGTCGTGTCTTTCAGTTCGCGCGTGACAGGTACAATGTCTGAGGGATGGCAAATGGTGGACAGCGAGTTGCCAACCAGCTCTGTAGCATCGTACTCAAGAATGCGCTTGCAAGAGGGTGAAAGGTAGAGAAACAGGCCCTTGAGTGACAGAACGTGGACCACATCGTCGGCGTTCTCGAGAAGCATCTTGTCCCAAGACTGTCTGTGCCAGTCCGACACTGCGCCCTGTGGATTGAACTGCTGCAGGAGGGTAGAGACATCATCAACGCCGAGAGTCTGGCCATTCTCAGGCTCCCACTGACTCGAAGGCGGTGGGGTCCATACGTACTGCCCAATATCGCTGTGTTTGTAGTTGACCTTCATGGAACCAGCACCCTGCGCCGACGCAATTGCATCTGGACATTCCACAAGGTCGATCTGGAATCCGACAATGTATCTGATTTCATCGGTATCCCCAGGAATAGGGATCATGGTGAGCAGATTGAGAAATGGCTTGCCTCCCTTTCTGTAGTTGATGAGACTTTGCTGCACCTCTTGCGTTTCCGCGATCTTCTGCTTCAGGTTGTATACAGCGCCATTGTCGACAAATTCTCGTTTGGAGCCAGCTTCGACCTTTCCATCGGGGGCCTGGAGAAAGCGGCAATTTTGTCCCACGATATCATGCTGACTGTAGCCCGTGAGATTTTGAAAGTTGTCGGATACGTAAACGATGGGGCAGTCGTTCATCGTCACATCGCAAACCACAAACGCACAAGACATGTCGACGGCGCCGAGGTTTACTTGTGGGTCTTTGCGAGTGGCGACTTGCCAGAGGGCACGCAGCATGTCGAAGCCGCTCCTGGAGTATATGGTCTTGGGGGTCTTCGTCTGTGGCTGCGGCTGCGGCTGCGGCCCGATAGTCGCTTGCGCAGGGAAACCGGGCGTGGCACTAGCAGACGTCACTGGGAACGCAGGCGTGTTGGACGAGTTGCGTGAGCTGTCTGGAGTTGAACCGCTTCCCGTCGGCATGGGTGAATGATAGGACGAGGTGCGCGATGGGCCGGAAGGCGCTGTCAATTGTGAGACTTGCCGAGATAGAGCTGGCGGATAGGAATTGACCGCATTAGCCATGTTCACCTCCAAGCTCACGTTGTTGCTGCTTTGGTTGTTGTTCTGATTGGACTGGGTGAAGTGCGCGTTGTTGTTCATCATAACACTGTCCGGCTTATCTAATGATACGTTGTCGCCCAACGTATTGCCTGATCCTGGCATGTTCATGTTGAAATCTGGCCGTATGACACCCACGTTGTTCGGCCTCATATTCGTCGAAAGTGGCTGATTTGGAAACATGGTCATCGAGTTGTCGAGTCCCATAGACTCCATATTCATATTGGAGAACGCCATCATGTTCTCCACCATGTCTGGGTTGTAGAAATCTTCAGCGACCATAGCTTGTGGCGAGAAGTTGCCCGATGTACCTGGTATCGTCATGTTGTTGTTCATGTTTGGGAAGCCGCCAGGCATTGTACCAGCAGGTGATGTCATGCCGCTGAACTGATAGTCGCCAAAGCCCCCGTTGTGCATCGCGTTGCTGCTTGTGTAGTCGAGCATTGAAAGCCGTCTCGGATCATTGCTGGCCTGTGTCATGTATGGTGCCTGCTGTGGAAGGCTCCTGCGTCGATGCATGACCTGGTGGTTCGTATGTACCAGGTCGTCAAGAGACTCGCCGCCGACCATGGCAGAGTCGGCGCCCTTGTCGTCCAAGGCGGAGTAGTGCGGCGGCTGCTGTGCGTTGTTCATAACTGTCTGTATGGCTCGTCTTTGTGCCCTCTGCTGAGCATGTCGGCGTTGCAGCTCCGCCTCACGGAGCTGAGTGCCGTACATATTATCCATTCCGGCCACATGAAACCTTGCCCATGGAAGGAGGGCGAAGGAATGACAGAACGAACAGATGTCGCAAGGACTGCCACAAGTCTGAGGGCGTCGCGCTCCTTAGAAAAGGGTCGGACAAGAAATTGTCAACTTTGGTCAAATTGTAAGATGCCGACGGGAGTGATCATGTGATGTTGACATACGGCAATGCAACTTTGGACGGAATGGGGCCGTGTGAATGGGCAGTCAGATTACAAAGTTGCCGACTAGACGCCAAGAAAAATCGTGATGCCGCCGTGCGGTCGAGGCCCAGCTTAAGTCGTGGAGGCGGGAGGTCTGAAGCTGTCGTTGGGCGAGTGTTCAAGTTGTGAAAACTGCAGGGTCCCGAGCACATCTACCGACTCCAACTCGTCGAAGGTATCGCTGATGTTGCCGAAATATCGTAGGTTGGCCAAATGTCCGTAAGAAGTCTAGCAAGACTCAACAAGTCGATCTTTGAGGTCTTGTTGCAGCGACTTTTCAAGCAAGAAAAAGTAGTTTTGGCGACAGGGCCCTGCTGTCGAAGCACAATACTTCGCGACAATTACCGCGACGGTTCGCTCGAACGGTGCGGACACCTAGCCGCAGAGACGTGAATATCTGCCACAAGTGATGGTTGTCTTCAAGGTATGTGTCCTCTGAGAACTGATGACAAATTTGTGGCAGATTCGTACGTGTTGTCCACAGTGAGGGAGGGGTGCCGGGGGAGCTTCCGAGCTTCTTGCGCGGTGTACAAGCGTGGGACCTCGGCGGCGTGGTAAACGCGAGAATGGGCGAGGACAGTTGGGCGATAGAAAGCGGGAGCGGTTGCAGTGGAGGCCAAGATGGACGCAGTGTGCGTAGGCGTGGCTGGCAAGGTCTGAGGGCTTTGGCGGCCGAGCCGTTGCGGGTGAGGTTGTGGTGAGAGGGTGGAAATGCTAGCAGCAGGCGGCCAGAGTCGATGTTGGCAGGTTGTGCTGCGCGGTGGCGTGCGCAGCGAGTGGTGCACACTTACTGGTGTGGGCGGGCGGCGAGTGACTGGCTGGGCTTGGCTAGGCCGGGAGGCGAGGGGGCAGTTACACTTCGAGACGGGAAGGCGGCCACAAGCACCCGCCTTAGGCCCTCGCGTCCATTCACAAGTAGGGTTGAGCCTGGGCTGCAGAAGCACTCGATGCAGGGATTCTTGTATGGGGTTCTTGATTCGCGTGGAGGATTGCGACCTGCTCACCCTGCTTGGCAGTCTTGCAGCAGACAAGCTGCGGGAGCGGCACTGTGACGGGGGCGACAACTTGCGCCGCCAACTGATCCAGCTCCCCCAAGTGCGTGCCGACAGGGATAGCCACGGTGGCAGTACCATCAAGCATGCGGCCAGGACAGGGACAGCATCCTTCACGGCAATCCCACAAATCGCAATGGCCACTGCTGCTGACATGTCATGCCCGCCTGCGCCGGAAGTAGTCAGTCACACCTCCATGTCTCGGCGTGAGCTTTCCAGCTGGTTCCCTGGCGGCGGATGAAGCTTGCGTCGTCGTCGGTACCGCTTAGTCAGGTTCAGTTCGTGCACCTCAACTAATCCCCTGGGTTCGCTACTCTTTTGCCTGCCCGACCAGCCTTCAATGGGTGCGGGTTGAGAATCCTGGACTGCATGTCGTCGCCAAGGCGGTTCTGGCCACTACAAGTGTCAGGGCACGAGCCGCCAGTGGTCGGCAGGCCCTCGTCAGGGTCCTCTTGCAGCCAGGCTCGTTATTGTTTCTTCCTGGGGTGGCCGGGTCCTTGTGCTGAGGGGATTTCACTGTCCAAGGCATCTGGCGAGCACCCGGAACGGAAGGACGGGAGGCGCGCGCACTGACCACCGGGACGTGATGTCATAGACAGGAGCAATTGACCCGGCGGGCGCAGGCCAAATGCTTGGAAAAGACCCAGATCCGGTTAAGCAGATATCCCCTTTAGGTGCATCTTGGCCGCAACCTGCGGATCGGTAACTGGGCATACCCAGATGTGCAGTCGCTGATGTAAGTCTCTCTACCAGATGCAATCCATACGTAGGCCATGTATCGTCTGCATCTCATTGTACGGCGCAGCTCGAATCACGCGCCGCGGGGCAAAATCTCTGCACGCTTTCGCCTGCTCGCGGTGGACCACCGCAGGGCCATTGCTGCTTTGTTTGTCCAGGTGCTTGATCTGCTAGCCTGCTTTTCAAGTACGAACCCTAGCGCCCGAGAAACGGGAGCAGGTTCTCATGTGGAATCATTCGTAGGCGGGTGCCCCTTGGTCACTGCCCAAAGTTCGTCGTGCTTGCACGGGCTGATAGCCTGTAGATGGCGCTCGTGAGAGCTCCGGGGTCGCAATCTCCCTCCGCCACCGCCGGGTTGAGGAAATCCACAAGACCGGTCCAGGCGCTGTAGCATGTTCTGCCAGCAGTGGGTTCGCAGGTGTGCTGCCCGGGCAGCGCCACATCTTTTTGGGTCTGGCTGGGGGCACGATCGCAGACACTGGCCCGGCAGCGCGGTGCTGAAGCATTGAGGCTTCCCATCAATCCATGGCGGGGTGGCAGCCACGCGGCCAGCCGCTCGAGAGGGAGCTCTCAGTGCAAGGAGGGACCAGACAGGATGGGGGACTTGGAAATCCCATCCCCAGGCGCACAAAAGCCCATCTGCGCGCTGGCCAAGCCCCTTCTTTTGGGGCCAATCCTGGTGGCCCCTGGGGCACCACCCCTCATCGAGGGTCATCTGCCTCGATTGGCCACCCCTCCTCGTCTGCCCAACCAGCCATGCTCTAATCGTCAAGCTGGAAATCAAGACTTGGTCGTCCTGGTTGCATCCCACCCGCGAACAATCGCAGGATGTCCTTGGCTTACCCCGCCTGGCCCTGCAAGCCAAGCCAAGTCAAGCCAACAACAGTAGCAGCAGCAGCAACCACTTCCATCACCATCATCAACAATGGTCGCGTGGTAAGTTTTTCCGACTCGGAGCTATCAAAACGGAACGGCCATCAACATGCACGCGTGCTCCTGGGCCCCTCAATCCCCTGGCAGAGACGTCTTGGCCATTTCATCGTGACACTCTCCTCCTCATTGCCATCAGGGCCTTGCGGGTGAGCCGCCCATGTCGAACTGGTGCGGTGCCACGCTACAGGGCCATCCTTGCGCGAGCCAGGACACCATTGGCGGCCTAGCGTCGCTGGCGATGGCCGCTACCAGGCCCGACCAGCAGCACTTATCTTGACGCATATTTGCTTGGCCTCCAGCCCCTGTGCCCGATCGCAACGCCCGTTGGGCTCGCTGCTGGTCCTTTCACTTGGAACATGAATGTCCCAGATAGACGTCGATGCATGTCTGGGTCGCATTCCCCGCTGTTCGCCCAGCTGGGTCTCGGGAGGGCGCAGGTGGGCATCAGAGTTTACAATCCCAACCCCATTTCCCGCTTTGGCCCTTGGGCCACCACTGCCGCCCGTCGCTGCTCTGCTGGCGAATACCGAGATTACCATGAGGCAGTTGCAGCGGCTCGCTGACCCGACCGGCAACTCGCAAGCAGCGCCTAATTAGCGCAGTCCTGATCTCAAGCCGACGGACCAAATCCAGCAGCCAGCCGCACCCGGGGACATCGGTAACACGTGGGGCAGTGGGTTTGCTGGGCCCTCGGTGCCGCGTTCTGGTCTTGTTTCAACAATGGAGCCACCATGGGATATGTCTTGGTTACCCAGCTCCAGCCTGATTTGGTGCCTGACGGGTCAGCAATAAAATTGGGCAGATCCAGAAGTGACTCGCCAGAGAGATATTGTGGCGGCGTCTGTAGGTTCAGGGCCCTGGACCCGGCTGGCTGTGGACAAAAGACCTCCTACAATGCAAGCCATGAGGCTTATATTTCTGCGAGCTCTCGTTGTTCAGCCCTCGCGTGGAGCGAGAACTTCTGCGTCAGCACGAGTAAACATGGTTGTTGCCTTCAGTGTCAAGAGAGCTTGGGAATAGGACATCCATGGGCCAAGGGTCGCTTTCTTGACACCACAACGCAGCTGCTTCAACCATTGGGCTTGCAACGACTGCCCTGGCCTCATTTCACGCCTTCCATCACGTTTGGCGTGCCTCGCGCGCAGCACAGCTGTGTTTGCCGATCGTGTCGAACGTGACGGCCCTGCGACACTTGTGTCTCTCGTGCCAGCAATCATGACCAAGCATCATTCTCGCGTTATCCCACCCACACTTGACGCGGACACTTTGCCAACCAGGACCCTGTCATCATCACATGTGCACGCCGCCCTTGATGCCGAAGACGAATACCGATCAGAGACATATGGGATTCTGGCAGCCCACACAATGGCGCAGCACCCCGTGCAACCACTCGAAACCCTATCCTATCCGACCCTGGCCTGATCCCTGTCCAGCCTATGGGAGACAAATCCGGTTTTGGCTCTCTAGCAATGCCTAGCTGTCGGCTTTCTAGCAATCCGCTCGCCTACGCTAATTACGCGTAGGCAAGAAACATCATCCATCGGCTAAATTTCCAGGCGTCCCGGCCATGACACGAACCCCGATACGCCAACAGAAGCCCCTCCCCTGCCTTTCTCTCTTGGACAGTGTCTGCCTTTCCACAAGCCCGATTGGAATTTTATCTGCACACTACGCCGATAACCTCGGTGAGAATCTCCTTGGTTACTGGTGTGGGATGGCTTGGAATGGGAAAGGTTCTCAAGGACACGATCTCCAATTGCTCTCGGCCTATGTTCCCAACAAGCACACGCAGGTCCTCACCGGGTCATTCGGGACCGCAGATCATCGTCCTTTATGGAAAAACCACCTACACCGCTGAATAGGAGGTTGCTTCAGAAGCGATGCGGACGGAATGATGCTTAGTGAAACACGTCTGATAACGACACCCATCAACGGACAACAAGTCACCTCCAGACCGATCAGTACACCTCCCAGTCCTTGACCTACCAGGCACACATGACTTGTTCGTCCTCTCACACCATCCCCACTCCCTCTCCTCCAAGGGCCACGCCAAGCCTTCAGGCTTGTGTCTAAAAACCCAGGTAGCCGGGATGGGTGACTGAGGTACGGAACCTGGTCTACCTAGCGTGTTGAGCGAGCCCCCCTTCCCCTTGCGAGGCGGGAGATGCCGACGGCGGAGTATCTCTGGGAGCGAGAGAGACACTCCGCCGCGCCATCGAATCACACGTTGTTCCCTCCCGTTTCTGTTTGCTAGCATACGGAGCGTGCCTCCCGTAGAATAGGTGAGATTGTGCGATGTTCCATCCCATGCCCGCAGCCGGACGGGCCATGAGGGATTTGCTTATTTCCAGCTCTTAGACCGCCTTCTTTTTCTCTCGTGAACCACTGGCCACGATTCCTTCTTTTCTGGATCCGCCGTCTTGTCTGATCATTTATACGGACTTACCATTTTGCACTTCGGACAGTGTTTGCATGATGACTCGCGTAGGTTGATGAACTAATTAGACTTGCATTGTGTTGATCTTCGGGGCGGGTGGGCCGCGGCTTTGGGGGGAACACGGACAACAGACGTCAATGTCAAGGTAGCAACGCCGGCTGACCCCGTGAATTACACCAGCTTGGGCGATTGCAATTTGGATGCTAGTCAAAAAGTTTTTGAGATGTTTTTTTTGTGGGAATAGCTTGACTCGCAAGTCGAGTTCGAGAGCCTCCTCTGCTCTGGATATCCACCAAAACACACCAACGCCTCACGACTAGTCTATGGGGAGTAAGGAACCTGCTCATGATGAATTCTCAAATTGTTCTTTATACGCGATCATAACAGGGACGCCACTGCCTACTGGAAATATTTCCTGATCGCCTGCTGGCCCTCGGGAGAAAAGTGTTGCTGCAGCAGAGGCGAAGGGTCGACATTGGCAGCCTGCAGCAACGCTTGGATGGCTGCCGTCAACCGCGTGGCAACCTGGCCATGGAGCATGTCAGCCTCCAGAGCCTGACCGATATAGACAAAGACCTTGTCGACCTGGCTTGTGACAGCGGGGTTTTGCCTGTCCGATAATGTCAGCGGCTTCATCTAAATCATGATGTCGAACTCATGAGACTGGCACAAGGACTTACTGCTCAACAAGCTCAGTCAGTAGGCCGTAGGCATACGGTGCCGCTTCCTCGTCGTTAGTCACGGGTAATGTGTTCACCCTAGCGAAGAGACAATATTAGTATGTTTCACGGCGGAGATGAAGGGTACACAATGCTGGCTCACCATTCATTTGTGATAGCCTGGGGATCCGCAACACTCTGCTTGTTGAAGTGCAGGATCTTGGCGATGGCGGCGCAGGCGTTTTCTGTTACATGTCAGTACCTCAAAGAACCCCGAGGGACTGGCCACTGGAAAACAAACCTGTTGCATAGACGGCGTCTTCGCCACGAGCATCAGGTACTTGTGTAGCCTGGAATAGGAGTGGTATCGAGGTCGCGAGGAACTGGCTCCAAGGCTCGCCTCCACGGTGAGCTGCGACTCCAATGCCGTACCTACGAGAGGTATGTTAGCCCCGCGTACCAACCATAGGACAGCATTCAAAAGAGACTTACGCAGCAGCTTGTCTAATAGCAGCAGACGGGTCTTTGCAACCCTCCATGAGTGCTGTGCTGATGGCCTGAGCGTAACGGACGCTCTCGGGTCCACAGTACTCAAGAACGTCGTCCATGATGCACAAACCCCACTGTCGTTGTGTGGCATCAGACGAAGTCAGAAACGCTTCGTATGTGCCCATGAGGCGCTCCCATGCGGGGAGGAAGGCCGCGCCATGGTTCTTGAAAATGGAGTGGAACGCCTTGTTCATGTCAGAAAGAAGCGTCTGGTCGTCCTCAATAGCAATGAGCAGCTCCTCCGCATCATCCTCAGCATCCTCAGCAGTGAAGCCCTCCCTATCCTCCTCGCGCTGTGCAACACGATCCTTGTAGTCCTCAATGGCGGACAAGACTCCGTCAATGAACTTGTTCATGTGCTGCTCGTTGAGCGAGTTCTTTCCAACGACCTCAACAGACTCGTAGAAGCACTGATACATCTCAGCCAGAGCATCAATGGCTGGCTCAGCTGTGAGGACCTCGAGAAGCTTGTCCACGGTGGCATTCCACAAGCCTCGTACCTCGGCCGAGTCTTGGCCGTAAGCTTTCTTGTACGAGCTGATCAATTGCGGCACGAGCTTGGCCGAGATGAACCGTACCGGATCATGGAAGAAGAAGGCAAGGCCTGGCAGAGCAATCTTCTCCATGATGTCGGCGACGTATGGGGCGAAGTGGCCCTCAAGAGTCTGAGCGTAGACCACGAGGAGCTCGATCGCCATGTGCTTGTCGTCCATGGTGCTGGTGCGGATACCAATCATCTTGCCCTTCAGAGGCACGAGCTCCCAGCCGTCCTCCTGCTGGATCTGCTCAATCTCGTCATCGCTCTCCAGCAGCTGAATGTCGGCCTTGGCACTAGCCAACTCGACGAGCGGCGGCATGACATTGGGAAGGAACTGGAGGAATTCAGCCCCCATGACACGGCACATACGGCCCCAGCAATGCATAAGATACTGAGCCTGAGGGTCGTCAGCATCGGTGATGCTGGTCTGGATGTTGGCCAAGAGGTTGACGAGAGTCATTGCGTCGTTTCCGAGCCGCTCCTTGCCTACAGCCAGGGCAATAAGGGTCGCGCACTCCATGGCTTTGGCACGAAGGAGGCGGTACTCCTTCTCGTTCTCCCTCTGCAGGACGTTGACCAGGAGAGGCATCAAAGTGTCGTAATACTTGGAGAATGCCGCCTCAGCAGCGTCGGCGATTGTGGCAATCGTGGACAGAGCCTGCTCCTGCACGTATCGCTTCTCATTTTGAAGCAGCTGGAACAGGTGAGAAAGCAGATTGTCGAGGTGTGGCTCAAGGATGGCCTTCTCAGCCTCCTCACAGAAGTTGACAAGTGCCGCTGCAGCGTGGGCCTTGACACGGCCCTCCGGAGAGTCAAGGACTGGGATGATCGCGCTCAAAACAGTATCGTAGTATTCCTTCTGCATGATAGGGGCGAAGTCGGTGCTCATCTGGCCGAGAGCCTGGCAGCCTGCCCATCTCACACGTGGGTGCGGATCCTTCAGGGCTGGCACAACCAGCTCAAGTACCTGGTTCAGCTCCTTGATCATGAGCTCACGGCAGCCCTCGGATATGGCAGAAATGGCCATAAGAGCAGCATGGCGGTCCTTCCAGGCCATGGAAGTCATCATTCTTGGCAGCCAGTGGAATGTGGGTGCCAGGATAGTCTCACCACCCAGTTTGTTGGCCAGGCGGTCCATGCACTGCTCTCCCGCAACGTGGTTGAGGTCGCTTTCTTCCTGGTCGAAGTCATCGGAGGCAAGCCACTCTGCAGCATCATCATCGTCTTCTCCAAGGTCAGTCATGAGACTGAGGCACTGTGTGATCATATCGTTCGTGTAGGTCGCATCCTTGCGGCACATTGAGGGCGAATAGTCGGCGAACGTGGCCATCAGCTCAAGTGCATTCTGCCTGCAGACGTCGCTGAGCTCCTTATCTTGGATCACGCCGACGCTGAACATGACGAGGTTGTGGAACAGAGGCTTGAACATCCGCGGTGATGTCTCGGCGAGGTCGATAAGTGCAAGGAGCGCCTTGCTGAGATCGTCCGAGTCGTGCGAGTCTTTGATGGGTGGGAGGATATTGAGCACATCCGGCAGCAGCGAAAAATACTTCTGTTGAGACTTCTTGCTGATGTTGCGGAAGAAAGAAGCAAATGCCTCCATGGCCGCAAGGCGGACAGAGACGGAGTCGTCCTTGAAGCCGCGTCCGAAAGCATCAAGCACGGCACTCTCGTGCTGCTTCTCAATGATGCCAGGAGTGGTCGTGAATACTCGGAAGGCCGTTTCGCGTTTGCCGGCATCGTCCGCGACGCTCAAGTTGAAGAGGACCGGGAGAATCTCAGGCCATTGTGCATCTGTAATTCACAGATATCAGCGGCTGCGTTGAAGGACAAGCCAAGCGGCCAGGTGAATTCCCGTTGTTTTTGCTGTGCGGCCATGGACAACCGGATCGAATGGCGGTATTCTCTTTGGGAGCCGCTGGGTGTATGAAAAGAGAAGAAAAAATATTGCAGGAAACACTTACTGTTGTCGGTGTACTGTCTAGCAACATCGGCCACCGCATCGCTGACTTTATTGCGGACAGGTCGTTCCGCCTCGTTCGCGAGAGACTCTAGGAGTTTTTGTCTGATGGCTACGGCCTGGTCTGCTGGGAGAGAGACAAACATCTCTGAGTTCTCCCCCTTCTCATTTTTGCGAGACTTGGAGGCAATCCGACGGAAGATGACCGCAGCGAAAGATCGAACCTACACAAGGGGGCGAATGGGGACTGGCATTAGCGAAAGTTTGTGTGTCGAATTTTTCCATGTAGTTGGACAGGTGAATCCTTACAGCAGCGTCTTGTGATGCAGAGATCTGCTCGGCAAGGCCCATCAACAGGATCTCAGGCCTAGTGTTGGTCCAGTTGTTCTGCAGATGCTCCTCGGCCTGCGAGCGCGTGGAGTTGTCTGGAGACTGCAGAGCTTGCAGAAGCTGTGTAAGCTCCGCGTGAATTTCCTGCGGGAGGACCGACATGGCGACTTGCAGCGACGAAGCTGAGGTACTCGGCCAGACGGGTTTCTTATGTTTGGTGTGCGCCTAAGGCGAGGTGGCCGTCGTTGAGCCACAGACAGCAGCAGGTCGAGCCCCAGAAGAGAAATTCGGGGCGATGGTTCCAAAATGGAGGAGAGCAGCCGACAGCGATGAGGGGAAGCGTGTCGACAGAGGCGGTGGCGGCACCGGCGAGGGGTATTGAAAAGAGAGCTGGCGAGCGACTCTCGAGCTGGCCTTGTTTACGTTGTTTGGGCAGAGGCTGGCGGAGGAGCGCAGAATCAGACCAGGCCGTAGTTGTAGATTGTGGTGGGCAAACTGCCCCGCAGGGCGCCAGCGCGTGTCGGTCGGCGGCGGGGAGGGGTCCAGGTGCCGGCCTGGCTGTGTCAAGAATAATCAATGCAGGGGCACGGGCGGTCCCACGACGACGACGACAATAAACAAGACGACCATCATCACGGCCAGAGGCACAGGGGTGGCATGAGGCACCAGGGCCACAAGCCATGCAAACATTCTCAACAAGTGCACACGGGAGTCCGCAATGTGTGCGTCCGCCCCAACCTTAAGAACCCATCCGTCGTTTCAATTGTCTTTTTCCGCCCTGCCCGCCACCAACGGTAGTTGCGCAAGCGCAGTTGCAGAGCATGGTTGTCGTGCTCGCCGCGCACAACAAGACACGCACAACCTGGGCAGCAATTTCCCCTCCAGCACGGCAGCTGGCGTCATGGTGTCGTGTGGCTGACCACGCCCGCCCGTGGCCGACGACGATGCTGCCTGCATGCAAAAAGGAGATCGCGTCGACTGTGTTTTCAACTTTTTAGTGGGGCTCGCGGATCAGGTGCTGATAAGTGACCTCGGGACGCCGAAGCATGCAATCCGCCTGACAGCTGCATGGCGGGGGACCACCAGCGCAGCGCAGCAAGGCGCTGATGTCCCCTATCGTCATTGACCTGAGAGCCCCAGATGCGCACATACAGTGGTTGCTGGGGCCTCGCTGCAGACGTTGCGATGTTCCGTGGAGATGTCTTGCACTCAAATTCACGAACATAGCTGCTTCAGCAAGTTGTGACGTGCCATGTTCCAAATCAGCACCAGCACTACAGAAGCCGCTGGACGGCTTCCCGCGCCTCAGCCCACATGCAAGCTGCACCGCTCCCCCACACGCCAGTCTAAGTAGCTCTCCGCTAATTGTACCTGCCCGCCTTCACGTCATTCAATCACTGTCGCCCCATCCGCCGCCGACGAGTCGAGCAGCACACATCAACGTCTCGACCTCAGCATTCTCGCAAGCACCCATACCAAGATTGCTGCCACTTTAAAATCCTTCCTCACGCTCTAAGCATAGCTCGGAAAAATGGAATCTGGCCGAGCTGTTCCCGGAGACGCCACCAAGGAGAGCTCCTTCTCGCCGCCACCGCTCGCTCCTCAACGATCGAGCTCGTCCTCGAGCATTAACAAGTCGGCGCACCGCTCCAGTTTCGTGGAGAATCTCAGAGGGGTGCCGCCTTCGCCTCGGTCCCAGCGTCATCCTTCTTTGACACAAGCCGCCATTCAGGATCTGCTCAACAACCCGCCCACCGCCAAGAACAATGACCCGCGATTCGCGGGCCGCGACTGGACAGAGATCTCGATCGGCGAGCTCGTTTCTCGAGAAGACGTCAAATGGGTCGAGATGGACACAAGTGTCGAGGACACCACCATGGTCAGTTAGCATCTTCGGGCGATGTCGCCTTCGCAACCCTCCTCTGACATGGCTCGTCGTGGTTCAAAGACTCTCCTCAAGAACTCGACAAGCAACGTGGTCCTCATCCGCGAGAACACCTCGAGTACGACTGCCATATCTACTTTCGACTACAACGATCTCAACGCATATATACTGGTTGTTGTGGGGCTCGCCCACCCAACAGAAGAGCTCGTCACCATCTGCAACGACATCGGCCTTAAAGCGCAGGCCCGAGTGGACATCCCCGTCCGCGATATACAGCCAATATGTCGCAAGGAATCGCTGGTGACCTTGCAAGCTGATGAGGACCTTCTGAGCGCCATAGAGCTCTTTGCCAGCGGCATCCACCGTATCCTCGTTACAAACCGCGGGTCCGAGGTAGTTGGCGTACTTAGTCAGTTGAAGCTCATCGAGTTCTTCTGGAATGAGAGTGTCCACTTCAAAGCCATCGACGAGCTCTATCCGAAACTGCTCCGTGATCTCGGCATTGGATCGCAGCGAATTATCGCTGTCAAGTAAGCAAGCCCCGGCATGACATGACCGCTGATCTCGACTAATGGAGCATTTCTCTGTAGCGCCGAGAGCCCGCTGGCCGATGCGCTCAATCTTATGAGTCAAGAAGGGCTCTCCAGCGTTGCCGTGATTGACAACGCCTCCAACGTGGTTGGAAATATCTCTTCAGCCGATGTGAAGCATCTCACCAGTGCTGCCAGTCTCCCACTGCTCAGCTCTTCGTGCTTACACTTCATCTCGGTGATCCTCACAGAACGCGGCACAGAGAAGGGCAAGGATTCGTTCCCAGTCTTCCACGTCAATCCCTATTCGACTCTTGCACACACTGTCGCCAAACTGGTTGCGACAAGATCACATCGTATGTGGGTGGTCGAGTCAGCATCCCCATCCCCGTCGGCACCAGCTACGCCTTTGCTAGGCCCTTCGAGTGCTTTTCCTGCTCAGTCACCAGCACAGCCTTCTGTCTCGGGCAACCACTTGACAACGCCAGCGAGTGCCTCCATGTCTGGGATGATCTTGTCTGGCAGGCTCACTGGCGTTGTCACGCTAACAGACATTCTCAACCTGTTCGCCAAGTCTTCGGGTTTAAAGCCCTCGGATCCAAGCGAGCAGCGTGCTCGACGGCGTCGAAGCTCGAGTGCATCACTGAGGCCATCCATAGACGGCAATCGCACCGGCACCGACATCCGGACAGATTTTAGAAGACAGTCTAGTGTACAACGCGACTAGATGTCTGTCTCAAAGGCAGAGCTGTCTGCTCCGTTGCGCTTGCGCCTATGGCTGGCGCACATATCTGACGCTTTCCTTGTTACAGCGACTCGACCGAGCCACAGCTTCACACTCGTGGTTGTCACAGCTTGTTAATGTCCCTGTGCTCGCTAAAGCCCCGGCTCACTTTCTACAGTCCAATAGTTTCTAGCCTACTCTTTGCGATCTCTTTTTGTTTTTGACAAAACTTCATTATGAACCTACAACACTTATACACACAACTATTGTGTAACCCTTTTTAAAATTTTCGATATTACGACGGACTTGAACAAGTAATGACTTCAACCTGGGATTTACCACTTCAGCAAGAACAAGCAAGAAGATTTGCGCAATGGGAAATTTTGAGAACACATCGAGAACGGATCGGAATGGACGGATGTTACAATTCCTATCACAGAGTGCCAATGATATAGACCGTCACGACTGTTATGATTGGCATGTGCAATTTTATCTGATGCGTGTTTTTGTTGTGTCACTGGACTTCTCGCACATCATGCATTGTGATACGCAGGGAAGTATGGGTACACAGGCGATAGCTCCCGGAGGATGTCGTGGATCAACGAGGGCAATCATAGCCCTGGTATTATTGACATGAGACATTATTGCCCTGAGAACCTTGGCACAGATGCGCCAAATGCCAGGAAGACTAGTGTTCACCATGGAAATAGGACCATTTGTAATACTTCTGCGGGTATCCCCGAGCCGAAGGATGATCTCCTAAGAACTCTTGTATAAAGTTACATGCTCCTTTCACCTTGCCGAATCTGGTTTTACTCGTCGTCCGCGGCTTCGTGCAAGACCAGCGGCACGCCCATGCTAGGCCTAGCCACCACATCCGCCGTGCGTAGCTGGGCAGACCAGTCCCCGCGAAACTCGATCGCTCTGTACTTCTGCAGGAAGCGAACCACTGTTTTGGTTTATGAGTGTCAGCGATAGCGTTTGAATAGATGCGAGGAGCTTTGGCTCTAGCTTGTTGCATGGAGTCTTCGCGGACACCATTCACTCCAAGAACGTGAGGAGAAGCACAAGAGGGCGTAGGAGAGTAGCAGTCTTACAAGTATACGCGATCTCGGTGTTGGCAAAGTTCTGTCCGATACACTATTGCAGCATGGGAGCATCAGCACAAGGCGGTCACAAGAAACCCAAAGTTGCAACCGCATTTCAAGTCCAGATACAACAACAAAAATACGACTTACGACTCGAGGCCCGCCGTTGAACGGCACGTACTCCCACGGCTTCGGCTGCCAGACGTACCACCTCTCTGGGCTGAAGACGTGCGGGGCCGCGAACTCGGCCGTGGTGGGAGGATACAAGTCCTCGCGCAGCTGTATGTTCATGGGGCCCCAGGCGATCGAGTCGCCCTTGCAGACTCCGATCGGGCCAGAGTTGGGCGTCGCCGGCAGCGTCGTGTCCTTGAGCGCCATCTTGACGTTGACGGGTACGGCCGGATACAGACGGAGAATCTCTTGGATCGTGTACCGCAGGTACTTCATGTCCTTCAGGGTCTGGTACGTTGGTGCTTCGTGCCGCCCAACCACGTCGATGACTTCCTGGCGCAGCCGTGTGTATTTATCTGGATGCGCAGACAGCTCGTAGAGGCACCAAGAGATTGTGGCCGCGGTGGTGTCGCGACCGGCGAGGAGGATGGCGATGAGCTGGTCCCGGATGACCTTTGGGTCGCGGGTGAACGTGGCCAGTCCGTGGAGGAAGGTGAAGTCACGATCCGATTTTGTCAGTTTCTCGAGCTGCTCCGTGGGAAGAGACAGCGTCTGCTGGATGTAGGGCTCCAGAAAGGTGTTGATCGTTTTGACACAGCTATGATACAACTTCTTTGACTTCAAGAAGTCTAGCGGGCTTGACGCACGCACAGAAGCGTTAGTCCAGAGGCGGCTTCACGCTTGACGAGCAGGTGCTGTGGACTCACGACATCATGAAGATCTGCATCTGTTCTCGTTGCACAGTGTCGAACGCCTGCATGAACACGTTTGACGGGCTAAGAATGGTCAGTGTACATGATGCGGCATATGCTTGAGGTGGCGAGGCCTCGGCACAGCAGGTCACTCACTCGTCGAGACTGTTTGCGCTGGCCCCAAGCAAAAAGTCGGTAATCTCGTCAAATGTCATCCGGTTGATGAGATCCATGATCTCGACGGTCTGGCCAGCCTCTGGGAGTTTGGTCAGGAGCTTTTGCACGCCACGCTCAAATATTTCAAGATCCCTGACACGTTCGTTGACGAAGAAAGGGCGAATGAGATTGCGACTGTCATGCCAAAGTTTGCCATCGGTTGAGAAGATGCCGTCTCCCAGAAATGGCTCGGCGACACGATGGAAGCGGTCACCTTTACCAAAACTGGCAAAATCGGTGGCCAGCATGGCTTTCACATGTTCCTAAGAGTCAGGCAAGACGAGAGCAACAACTGGTCAGCCAAGTGCGATGTCTCTTGAGTCGGACATGGGCAGGTCGTTACCGGCTCCCGCGTGAGGATGGTGCGAAGGCCAATTGACATCTGACCTTCAAGGACGGTGTGCTCTCCATAGAGGTCGACGTAGAAACCTCTGAGGTCGTGGTTCGCTGCCGCTTTGGCTGCTCTCAGTATCACCCGCATGCCTGTCGTTTGCCTAACGATGAGTTTGTGGTGCCGAGCAATGCCCGCGACAACAGCGGCAAGTACTGACCAGAGACAGGATTGTTGTAGATCATATGAGCTCGGCCACCAAGCCTCTTGATCTTGCTGTCGCGACGGACCAACTGGACCACGTAATAGATAGCATATGAGGCGACACCTGTTGCGGAGAAGACCAGGATCGTCTTGGAGTCGAGCCCGGCCAGGGCCGACAGGAAGGAAGGCTCTGAAGACATTCTGCGATTGCTTGACAGAGACACTGAATGCGGTGGGAGGACTGCCAGAAGTTGGGCTGTGTCTTCCAGGCACCGGATTCCTAGGCCATTTTATCAGCACGGCAAGATGGGCAGAGAGAGACTTCCGTGCCGTCAGCCCGACAGGGATGCTGGGCCTTGACAGCCAGAGCACATGGACAGGCACCTGCAGCTTGAAAGTCGGACTCGGATTGATAGAACTGCGTGCCTGGCCTGCTGCGCCGTAAGGGCAGGTGTGGCTAGGGTAGGCTATACCGGAAGCGCAGCTGGGTGGCTGTCCACCATGTCAGCACAGCATCCTGGGGAAAGCTGGGGACCTCTCGTACGGTTGGAAACCGCTCCAAGGTCGCGTACTCCGGCATCGATCGCGGCCAACTTTGAATGGCATGACCCTGGCTGAAGGACGTCCCGTCACTTTGCCCCTCCCGCCTCCCCGGCACCCACCTCACAAGCTCTTATTCGTTCCAATTCCAACACGGTCGTGTCAGAACACCTAGTTTTGCCCTCGGCCGGAGCCGGAAGCTGGCCCTTTGGGTATACCCAGCTGGCCCTGCCGGGAAAGCCAGCGTGCATCCCGAATGGCTGGCGTCAGGTCAGTCGCTAGACCTACAGATGACTGGTGCCCATGTACGTTATCGTAACCAGCCGCAAGGTGTGTATGCCCAGCCACCCCTGCTGAGGAGGACCCTGTTTTGGGGGCCGCCCGCGGGGAGCTCTGACGTCGGCCCCAGCCAGACTGCTTACAGCACACTGCTCAACAACAACGCTTGAATAAGTTTACTGCCACGACCAGCTTCACTGTCGAATTGAGACTTTTCCGCCGTACTTGACCGTGAAACACACCCCAGCACAGTCCATTCGGCACATATCACTCAAAATGCCTCCCAACCATGGCCTGGTCCACCAGCAAGAGTAGGACTGGCGAGACAGCAATGTCGAGCTCGTAGGGTCAGATCTTGACCACAAAGTCAAGTACAACTCGGCTGCCACGGAGCCCGCCTGGCAGGGGCTCGGCGAGCAGCCGGGGCTCCGTGTTTGGCGCATCGAGAACTTCCAGGTCGTCGCCTGGCCTGAGGACAAGTACGGCCAGTTCCACGAGGGAGACAGTTACATATGCGTCCACTCCTTCAAGCTCGGGGACAAACTCGGCCACGACATCTTCTTCTGGCTCGGCTCCAAGACGACCCAGGATGAGGCTGGCACCGCCGCCTACAAGGCCGTCGAGCTCGACGAGTTCCTCCACGGCGTCGCCACCCAGCACCGCGAGCTCCAGCGCGAGCCGTCCGACGACTTTGCCGCCCTCTTCCCCCGCATCCGCATCCTGGCCGGGGGCGTCCGCTCCGGCTTCACCCACGTCGACACGGACACCGAGGAACCCGAGGACTTCTCCATGCTGCTACGGGTCTTCAAACACCCAACCTCGCGCCGCGCGGATGCCGTCATCGTGCACGAGGTCGAGCCCCAGTGGCAGAGTTTGGACGAGAACGACGTCTTCATCTTGCAGCGTCCCGACAAGATCTGGGTGTGGCAAGGCAAGAAGTGCAGCCCCATGGAGAAGGCCAAGGCAGCCCAGGTCGTCCACGACCTCACCTTAGCCAAGCACATCGACGTCGAGGTGCTTTCCGAGGCTGAGGCCAGGTCCAGGACAATTGTGAGCATGCTCGGAGGTGATCAGGATACCACTGGGCCATTCCAAGCAGCTCGGCCCATGGCGGCCTCTCGCGGTTCCAACGCTGCCCAGCGCCCACGCAAGCTATTCCGGCTGTCGGATGAAGCAGGCAAGCTGCAGTTCAACAAGGTGCGCGAGGGCAGCTCGATTGGAAAGGGCGATCTGGTCAGCGACGATGTTTTCGTGCTTGACACTGGAAGTGGAGTCTGGGTCTGGCAGGGTGCTCAGGCAAGCAAGGCTGAAAAGGCCGCCTGGATCCGAGTGGCAGAGTCGTACGTCCGAAGTCTGGAGGACGACACTTCCCCATCGTCAACCGCGTACCTGGCCCCTATCTCAAAGGTGGTGGAAGGTCATGAGCCTGCTGCTTTCCTGCGAGCGCTAGAAGCATGACAGTGCAATAGGTGGTGGCTTGGGTAGCCCATTTATGTAATCCACACAAGTTCTATGACCTGCGATGGCGCAAGTGATGGTTCGAGCATGGAGGCACAACTCGAGTACATGGCCAGACAAACGGACTAGAAACAACAATTCCCGAATTCTGGATGAAGTGGAGCCAGGGCGGAACGGTCCATGCTCGATGCCCCTGACCAGGCAGGCACCACCTGCAGGCTGCAGCTGGGCCCCTCGGCGACCCACTTGTTGCCGGCCTGCACTGGCTGTGACGGCGAATGCAAACCACGCGACGTGCCGTGATGGAAATACCCCTAATTTCAAGAAATCACCCAGCACCGCTCCCAGCACTGTTCGGTCCTCCCGTGACCTGCTCCCCGGGCGACAACAACTGACTGCGCAAGAGGCCTCCGTTGCCAGGTTTCGTCTTCAACCCTCCATCGAGTCCAGCCTCGAGGCACCCGTAACTCTGCCCGAAGCTTCCGGCATCTCCTCAACCACGACATCACATCCCCAAAGCCAGCCCCCGTCTTCGCCACAATCCGCCGACTGCTGCAAGCACCAGAAACACTGCGTCCAGACCAGCAAAGATGGATCTACACGAGACCCAGGCCTACATCCAGGCCTCGGTCAACCAAACCGTTGCAGCCTTCCAAAAGGTTCCTGGAAGTGCTGTCTTGATCCGCTACATCCAGTCCAGCTACCAGAATGATCCCGTCCGCTCCGCGATTGAGCTCGTCCTCGTCATCTTCTTCATACGGTACCTCCTTTCGCCCTCGTACCCGACGCACGAGCCGAATTATGTCAAGCTTCGCGAGGACGAGATTGACGAGCTCGTGAATGACTGGGAGCCCGAGCCTCTCGTCGCTCCCCGAACACCCTTCGAGAAGTCCGAAGCCGAGACCGCTCCCGTCATCGTCGGGCCCACGGGACCCAAGGTCAAGCTTTCAAACGGCAAGACCGTCACCAACCTTGCGAGCTTCAACTTCTACAACTTCAACGCCAACGAGGCCATCAAGGACAAGGCTATCCAGACTCTGCGCACTTATGGTGTTGGCCCTTGCGGCCCGCCCCAGTTCTACGGTACTCAAGATGTACACATGAAGGCCGAAGCCGACGTCGCCTCCTATCTTGGAACAGAGGCGTCCATCATCTACGCCCAGGCCTTCTCAACCATCTCCAGTGTCATCCCCGCCTTCTGCAAGCGTGGCGATGTCATCGTCGTCGACGAAATGGTCAATTACTCTATTCGCAAAGGTCTTGAGGCTGCTCGCAGCTCCATCCGCTGGTACAAGCACAACGACTACGACGACCTCGAGAAGATTCTCAAAAAGGTAGCTCAGGAGCAGGCGCGCAAGAAGATTTTGACCAGGCGCTTCATCGTCACGGAAGGTCTCTTTGAAATGGTTGGTGACTCAAGCAACCTCCCAAAGCTGGTAAGTCCGGAATGGCCGAGCAAGAGTCCTATCCTCCTTCTCCGAGCGGATGAGATTCACCTTGCGACCCCCCCCCCCCCCAAAAAAAAATGATTTGTCCCACTGCTACGATGGAGAGACTAACAATGCCATAGATTGAGCTGAAGGAAAAGTACAAGTTTCGCCTGGCGCTGGATGAAACCTGGTCTTTTGGCGTCTTGGGGCGCACTGGGCGTGGTCTCACTGAAGCACAAAACGTGGACGCTGCTCAGGTTGACATGATTATTGGCTCTCTCGCTGGTCCTCTTTGTGCTGCCGGCGGCTTCTGCGCTGGCACGCGTGATGTGGTCTCTCATCAACGCATCAACGCCGCCTCTTACACCTTCTCTGCTGCTCTGCCTGCCATGTCCGCTGTTACAGCAAGCGAAACTCTGAACGTTCTGCAGTCGAACCCAGAGATTCTGCTCCAGTGCCGCGAGAACATCAAGGCCATGAGAGCGCAGATCGACCCGCGGAGTGACTGGGTCAGATGCACTAGCGACCCCGAGAACCCCATCATGCTGCTGTCTTTCAAGCCCGATGTGGTTGAGGCTCGGCAGTTGACCTATGTAGATCAAGAACGTCTTCTGCAAGAAAGTATAGACGAGGTAAGTATCTACACCTTCTAAGAGGATGTCTGCAAGCAAAGCTAATCTTTGAGTCTCTCAGATTCTTGCCAATGGAGTGTTTGTGACACGGTTGAGAAGCCAGCCCGTAGCTAGCAACATGACGGAGTCGCAGCTCGCTGATTGTGGTATGCAGCCTGCTATCAAGGTCTGCATCACGACCGGGCTTTCCAAGAAGGAGACTGAGAAGGCTGGTGTTACCATTCGCCATGCTATCACCAAGATCATGACACGGAAGTCGACCAGACAGCCATCGCTGACCGCCTAGGAATTCCTCGGCTTTTGACGCGATCAGCATTTGACATACATACTTGTAATACTTTGACATATCATCAATAGAACCCCGTTGCATAGAGACGTTTGATGACGCAAACAATACCCTGCGCGACTTGCGCGCTTCCTGAATCTGCATTGTCGTGGTCAAAACCGCATCCATTCGAAGTGGCTGGATGAGATGGCCATAACGGCTTGCTTGCAATTGAGGGCTGACACCGCTTGCGATCTGCCAGCTGAAAGGTCAGAAACCAAGACAATGGATGCCCTGCCAACGTCTCTCAATGCGCAGCGCCTGTCGCACACCACATGCCAGGTTTGTCGATCTCAATCATCCAAGCCACAGAGAATGACTTCTGCTTAGATCTTCTGCACCATCCTCATAGCTGGTTGTGCACAAGGCTAACAGCGTTTGGCAGCGATGCCGCGACGTCATCTTCGTGAACGAGGCACTCAATCAGACGCGGCGGCGAGGGGATAAGGCTGCGCTGACCATACTACCCGTGGACATCCGAAACACAATGCGTACTGGTGCAAATTCAATATTCCCAACTCCTTACTAGCTCACAGTTGGGTTGCCCAATGAGCCCTTTGTGTTCGCACCATAGGCCGGACTTGGCAAGTCGCTCCCCAGCACGACGCCTCGCCGACTCGCAAAGACCACGAGAAATGCTGGCCACCATGTCACTTGAAAAAGCCGGATGAGATGGCGTCCGTACATTTACTCGTATTGCGCCCTCGTTCGGAAGCAGCCGAGCGCGAGGATTGTCAGGCTGCCCCTTTCGGGTACCCCTGGGACAGCCAGCATTCCAGCCACGTCGCTCATCCAAGACATCTATCTGCACAGCCCACACAGCAAGCCGCCCGCAACTCCCATGCTGCCTGCCTTCTCCCCCGGGTTTCTTTGAATCACCGATGAATTCGAAACGGTCCGAGGCATGCAATGTCGTGGCTCACAAGGAATTCAGACTTGGCGTATCTGGCCTCGAGAGGCGCCCTTTAGAAGCGGCCTGCTCCCTGAAGCCTTGAACATGAATGATGTTATCGTCCCGCCTCGCCTCACTTTCTCTTCTCACAAGCACAAACACTATCCTTCAACCAACGCTGACTCGCGAAAGAGCTTACTTTCTTTGACAGACCCCTCAATCGCCTGTCACCGCGGCCACCGCTCCTTTTGGCAACGTTTCGACAAAAGCCTTTGACGTCGTTGCTGCGCTCTCTTCTTGTCTGCCCTGCTCTTTGTTCCGCACATCCGCTCATTTCAACTTTTCCGTCACAAGCCGAGTCCTTGTGCAAATAACTCGACATTTCCAGCCGATCCGGACCGTCTGGGAAGAAGAGAACGAAGGCACTGTTTCCAGAATAGCACAACAAAAAGTCTATTGTCGATTGTCCCGATACTCCAGTGTCGACAAGCTGAAACGTCCTCGCACGACCTGAGCAATTAATCTAGCCCAAGATGAAGTTGCTCACGGCCATCATTGCTCTTCTGCCATTATTCGGCTTGGCCGCTGGCCAGCCAAGTAAGTCACGCCCCTTGTCCGCGCTTGGTTTCCAGCTCTTCACGAGTCCCCCATCTAATCGAGTGGTTTGCCAAAGGCCGTTACAACCACCAAGGAGGATCGCCTAAACGCCATGACTCCCTGTTTGGGAGCAAGCGGCGCCATATGCCCAGCCAGGAACGGGCAGTCGTCTACGTCAACCAAGACGGTGTTGAGATTCCCCCGCCCGTAGGTCAGCAGCCTCCAGCAAGCTCTGGCGGCCAAGCGCCTCCTGCGGCTGCTCCTCCTCCCAACGCAGCCGTCGACGCGGCCACTGCCGCCTCACCAGCAAATGTGCAGGCTGCCGCACCGGCGACCTCGCAGATACAGGGCGCCTCTGGAGGCGGCTGGCCGCAACCTGGCACTGGGGGCAATGGGATCACCTACTCTCCGTACACGAGCTCCGGTGGCTGCAAGACCCAGGACCAGGTCAGTGACGACATTGGCGACTTTGCAGCCTCGTACGGCACGATCCGTCTATACGGGGTAGACTGCGACCAGGTCGAGTTCGTCTCCAAGGCGCTGGGCAAGAACTACAACAACAAGCTCCTCCTGGGCATCTTCAACCTCAAAGACATTGCGGGCCAGGTGCAGACCATGGCCCAGGGACTGAAGGGGAACTGGAGCCGCGTGGACACGGTAAGCGTGGGCAACGAGCTCGTCAACAACGGCGGCGCCAGCGTGGGCCAGGTTGTCGCAGCGCTCAAGGAGGCCAAGGAGGCCCTGAAGAGCGCTGGGTACACCGGCAACGTGGTCATTGTCGACACGTTCAATGCCGTCATTGCCAACCCGCAGATCTGCGACGTCTCGAGCTACTGCGCCGTCAACATGCACCCATTCTTCGACCCCAACACCTCTGCCGACCAGGCCGGGGCGTTCATGACGACACAGCTGGCGCGCATCAAGAGCGTGCTCAAGGACAAGTCGCAGCGCATCGTGGTCACCGAGACGGGCTGGCCGTGGAAGGGCAGCAGCAACGGCCGCGCCGTCCCGGGAGTCAGCCAGCAGGAGGCTGCCCTGACTGCCATCAAGGGCGCTTTTGCTTCCAGCCCGACCAATGTCTTCCTGTTCACCGCATTCAACGACCTGTGGAAGAAGTCGGAGAAGTCGACCTTCTACGCCGAGCAGTTTTGGGGCATGGGCCAGCGTAACTCGCGCGCGGGCTAGGCGGCCGCGACATGACTGTGGTGGGAGCAGCGAGCTTCAGGTGCGAAAAAGTGTATGACCTGTCTTGAATACAGGATTCTCGGGCACGAGCGAAGACCGGCGTAGGAGTGGATTTTGTATGTGATCATCACGGCTGCTGCGCTCGCCAACATGAGACTACTTTCAAGAAGTTTTGAATTCTTCGGCACGTCCGACTCCAACGCCTTTCGCGTCTGGGTCAGTCGCAAATTCGGCTCATCTGCTTGTTTTGGAGTGACCATGAGACTGTATGTCGACCCACGCGACGCTTTGTCTTCGTCGGAACAGCGACTGGACATCTGCATTGAGTCGATATAAAGATGCAAGGTGTAGAGGTATGGCCAGTCGGTGTCCCGAGGTCAGGGGGGCGCATGAGAAGCGTCATGGGCGTGCACTCTTTCTGGGCTGTAAACTTGAGGAGGGAATTCCACTCAATGCATGGAGGGCTATAGAGAAATCCCAGAAAGCACAATGGACTTGAATGCCTGCTCGTAGCTCTGCTTTCTTGGCGATTTACTCCCTGACCTCCCTTCGTTCAGGTTTGACTGTTCTCCCCTGTGCAGGATGGCGTGCATGGCATTGCAACGGTCTAACAGGATCCCTTGTCACCCTGCTCTCACCCGCCGAGGCGTGCTCCCTGGCTAATGGGATGCAGACCTCCTGTTGCAGGGGAGCACAGAAAAGACACTTCTCATGGTGCATGCAAAGAAGTGTCTGCGTTTCGTGCTGCGCAGCACTTGCGTACACGGAATATCTAGACTCAAGCAACGTGGTAGGCTACCACTATGGAGTTGTCACTAGTGACTACGTGCTATGATTTCCTGTCCCACGCAGCTGCGAGCGGTGCACGATCTCAGAATGCAGGCATGGGCTGCTATTGCAAAATCATGTTTGAAATCAGCTGTATTGAGTGACGTGGCCGTCGCAGCGAGTATTTTGCAACTGGCTCATCAACGTCATGGTCAGCGTGGCCCCAGCTTGGACAAGAGATTCCTTCCTTCACCCGCCACAATACGAGACATTTTTGGTTTTATTTCTGGGAATTGCCTAAACTACAAGAAGAGAAAACCAGCAATGGCTGCGAAGATACCCGCTGGCGCCGCACCAGTGAGACGGGCAGCGGCACCCGGAGCGGGAGTCGATGTGGTGGAAGTTGAAGATGGGCCGGAAGTGGGGGTGGGAGTCGACGGGGAAGAGGACGAGGGCGTCGTTGGCGTGAAGGAACCGAGCAGGCCCGACGAGGTGACCGAGTCGGAAGCAGTGGCGGTGAAAGTGGTAGGTGCCGGAAGAAGCGTTGGTATGTCGGCAGTGGTGCCGTCGGTGGGCTCGACGGGCAGCGAGACAATCATGGTGCCTTCGTCAACAGAGCTCTCGGAAGGGATCGCGCCCGTGGGAGATGGGATGCCAACGGGCACCGTGATCAGGCTGGGTCCGCCTCCCACGGTTGTGGTGGGCAGGAAGGTGAGCACCTCGCCAGCAGCATTGGTGATGGTGAAGGCCTGTGGAGCAGCCGAAACAGATAGAGCGACCGCAAGCAGGCCCATGAGGCGGAATGCGACACCACGGTGGGACAGCATCGTGGTTGTGGCTGTGTCGACGAACTTGATTGCTTTTTGACGGCGGCGACAGTAATCGAGATGAGATGATGATGGATGGTGACAGCGATGGCGATGGCAGAGGGGTTCTTTCTCTTGTGCCTACTGATTATTCCCTGAGCAATCGAAGAAACCGGGCAATGTGACGTGATGCGGGCGAGGCAGTGCCAGCCAGGCCGCGCCTCCCATACATAAGGTACATACGTAGTATGCCGGCTGCAGATCGTCACTCCCCAGATTGTTTGTTTTGCGCGCTGCTGTCCAATCCTCCCGTTTCACCTTCAGCCCATGTCCTCGTGGCCTTCCCTTTTGGGACCGGCCCCTCAGCAACGCCAAGCCGACCCAGCCACCATCACGAACACGAAGCTCGACAGCCACTCATCCACGGCGCAGTCACTTGGGTGTCACACGGCACGCTCAAGACGAGGCACTCGTGAAAAATTCATATTATTCCATGTGCTGTGCCCGCAATCTATTCTGTACAAGGGCCTAAAGAAATGAAAACAAACGCCTGCCGCGGCAGCATAGATACAATCTGGTGCCAGGCCGCTCACGGAAAGCAGCGAGCAAAGGATTAAAGGCTACAGATTCCAAACTCAAATGATAGGCAACACGCGCGCGGACCGATCGATCCGCAGCGATTGCACATCTTTGTCCTCCGCGTACTCATTCACATAAGGAATGCCCACGGCTCGTCGTTCATGCTACCCGTAACAATAGCCCGTTTGTTATTGGCCTTGGTCGAAGTCTTCCCCTTGGAGTATGTAGCAGCATCCGTGCCAGTGGCCGATGAATTGCGAGTGTCATCAGAGTTGAGACCAACAGGCTGCATCAGTGTCGCACCGGAGAGGAGTTTGTTGACGGTGGGGCCAAGTGTCTTGTTCGGATCAAAGAGCTTGAGCTCGGTGAGAACGGCGGGAGCAATCAAGAGGGCGAGGAAGACGACCAGCATCACAAAGTAGAGGATCGAGAAGCGGATCACGCGACGTCTGCGCAGCTTGGACTGCTTCATCGAGTAGATCGGAGGGCGGATTTGTCGGCTAGAGACACATTAAAGGTCAGCTTGAGTTTACAGAGAAGAGTTGGGCTGCCTGCACAGGGAAGGGACGGAGTCGTGAAGGCACAGCTCATGAGGACGGCTTACCTAGGACGCAGCCAGAAGAGCATAGTCGAGTGCAACATGTCCGCCTTGGGGATAAGGATGACTGGCAGCATGAAGAACAACAGAGTGTGGCCAAGAATAAAATCACCCGCGAACATGCTCAGCTCCGTAATCTTGCAGAGGAACTCGCGCGCCGGCTGGGAGATCGAGTGCCAGCCCATAGAATACCACTTGCCCGTCCAGAACGCGATGTTAGACTGGTCTGTCTTCATCTCGCGCGTCAAGGCGAGCGAGGTGATGATCTTGAACACAAAGCGCTGGATGGCGACCATGGCAATCAGACCCAGTAGAGCAGGCCTGAACTGGAAGCCCTGCAGAATGTACATAGCCTCGAAAAAGACCAGCATCATAACAACCGCAAAGCCGTGCGCAATGGCAGCAAGAACACTACCGAACTTCTTGCAGCACATGCTCAACAGAGGACCAGCACAGCATGCCATAGCAAACATGGCAGCAAGCACAGCCATGTTGATGGCAATGGGTGCGAGCGCGCAGACGGCGACACGTAGTAGGGCTGCGGTAGGCTTGGCGGTGCTGACATTCGCTATGACACCTGTCTGTGCGTTGATGAACAGATAAGGGATGACGGTGACAACGACAAGACAAAATGGCGCAATAATCTCTCCGAAGAAGATGTTGGTAATAGCAGCTCTTGGGACATCGGCCGACATCTTCGCGGACGGGTCGCCGACAATCTTGCGCTTGTATCCAGTGACTCGTGTACGCGAAAGGCGGCAGTAGGAGATCCAGGACTGGGCGTGAGACACCGAGTTGCCACGAGATAGCCACCGGAGGAAATCGCGGTAGTCGATGAAGAAGTCGTTCCATGCGAACTGGTGAGGGTTGTACAGGAAAGGGCAAATGACGAGAGCAAGGAGCGAGATCCAGAAGTAGACGAGCACCGGCTGCCAGATCGTCAATGTTGCGAAGAGCAACATCAAAACGAGGCGAGCACCAAAGTAGATTGATGGGCCAGCGAATCGAGAGTAGAGCACACCAAAGGGAATGCGAGCGGTGGCAAAACCACGACCGGTACCGATGTAGCGAGCGCCGCCGAACGTCAAATCTTGTGTGACCGAGTTTGCATAAATCTGGCAAACGAAGACTTCGAAGAGCGGCGAGAACGAGCAGATGTGCTTGCCCAAGCGCGTGGCAGCGCGCCAGAAACCTCGCTCTGTAAGTTCCTGTACAACGAGGGGAACGAAGGACAGGATCAGGACGAAGAAGATGGAAACGATGGAGCGGTAGATCCAGTCCATGATGGCATCCGTGTTCTGACAGCCAGTAGGGAAGAGCGGATCGGTGATGGGGACGTTGACGTTGTAGTTACACTTGATTGTCTGGTTGCGGATGACACCAAAGTTGACGCAGCAAATCAGGAACATGTGAACCGACATCATGATGAAGATGTTGTTCAAGTGGAAACCAGGATGAGCGTAGTAGAACGACAGGAAGCGATCCAGTGGAAGCTGAGTGCCAAGGTAATAATACTCGCGAGAGAGCATTTGCTCACCCATGCCTGTTCCGATCTTGGTGGTGAAGTTGAGAATGGATCCGAAGCCCAAATCACGACCCTTGCCGCACTGGTAGTACTCGCAGTGCTTGATGCGCCCACCACGCAGGAGGGCATTCATACCGGCGTAGATATCTTCGTTCAGATGCAAGCCTTTCTGGGCCTTGGAGACACCGCCCCTGGTAGTCATGAAGATACCATTGAGGAAATCGGGATGACCGTAATGCAGCTTGCCACCGATTTGGGCGAGAGTTCTGGCAAAAAGTGTGCCAAAGGTCTGTTCCTTGCCGGCAGCGACGTCACCAAGCACGCCAATGTTCTCGGAGAAGATGTATTCGCGAGCGCCGAGGATGGCAACCGGAGCCGGTCCTTCATTCTTGACACCAGGCGCGTATGGGGAAACGTTGTCAGTCTTCATCTCTTCGAATTCGGCCAGAACGGATCGGATCTTGAGACACTCCTCCAAGTAGTTGTCCTGGTTGGCATCGATGAGTTGGATGTACTCGCCACGGTAGAAGATGACAGCGTGGTTCTGGTTGTCGGATTTACCATCACCAAGGATAGGGTTGCCGGAGAGCTGGACGCGGAACTTTGGTCGGCGCATGCCGTTCTCCATGATCTCAGAATGGCCGTCAATCAGGGCAGAGTACAAGCGGGGTTCCTCTCCCTCATTCACAGGTGGCTCTTCGTCGAGATATGCGATTTGCAGGTCAGGATAAGCACGGAGAAGGAATTCCGCGTTCTCCATCTCATCCTTCTTGAACTTGGCGTAGCGCTGCATGGAAACGACGAGCTTGAACTTGCGGCGAGCCATGCGCTCAAGCTCGCGCTCAAGCTTGTCCGAGTTGCCACCAAACATCTGAACGACCTCAGGGTTCTCGACACGATACAACAGCTTAATGGCACGGCTGTAGTTCATGAAGCCAGAGATTGTGCGGTACAGGGTCTGAGAGCGCAGGGACGCCCAGATACGGGTGCGCAGCGTATACTCGGGGGCCGATGATTTGAAACCAATGCAATAGAAGGGAAGATCGTCGATCTTGCTCTTGGCGGTGTCCTTGCCAGCCTTTTCGTCCTCGCCATTGAACTGAGATGTCTCGTCCGCCAAAATCTTGGTATCCTTGACAAAGCAATCCCACTCGTGAGGATGAAGCTGCTTGAGATACTCCAGCATGGTAACGCGAGAGTACGGCTCGTCCTCGCGAATAATCTCACGGAGCGACAGAAGAATCTTCTCACTGTAGTGAGGAATAAAGACCGTGAAAGTGGGCATGTTGTCCACCGGGAGAGGCTCGGGAATGGGAGTCGACAAAGACTGTGCGAAGAATGAGATACGACGTTCAGCCTCGCTGTGGGTTGGGAAGAATTCCGTCTTGAAGGAGTGGTCTTCCTGAGAGACGAAGAAAGTAGGGGCGCGCAACGTGCGTTTGCCCTCCTGCTCCGAAGGAACCTGGTGGTAGAGAAGCTTCTGAACGTGGTCGATCGCAAGAAGGTGCTCGCGGTACATGGAAATGACAATGGCGTTCCAGATCTGGGAGATGAGGACCTTTGGCTTGTATTTGATCTCCATGTCCGTCGTTGCGAGAATCTTTGAGTAGATCCGCTTAGGCAGGCGAGAGAAGATGTTTCTCCATGGAGTCAAGATGGAGGATCCAATGTAGAACGACCTGGCCACGGAGAAAGTTGTGTTGACCAGTACGTACCACAGGTAGGTGTCGAGGAAGAAGAAAATCAGATCTGTGAAGGCCATGAGACCAAGCAGAATCAAGGGTTGATGCTTGCAGATCATGCCTTTCAGCCACATATCGCCCAGGCATGAATCAACATTCATGATGAACAGGTACCGGATAGGGTCGCGGAACGACAACGTCAGGTATCCGTAAGATGCACCAAATTTCGCACCGAAGACGAGCGCCCACAGGCCATACGACATTGCACGGTCGTTGCCACGGAGTGCTGGCCACATGGCAGTGAATGTCTGGCTGGCGACATACTGGCGTGAGTTCTTCGTCAGGTAGCTTCCGAACAGCCCTCCAAGCGGCATGACAGAGAAGAAGATGAATGTGATGAGAGCAATGAAGAACTGGACGATTCCGAGGATCAGTGCTGGCTGGCTGTTCTGCTGCTTTGGAAACCCGAAGACATAGATACTGGGCGCCAAGTTGACAATGAAGACCAGGATCAAGAAGAGTAGACGCTTGGTTAAATGTTGAGCGCCAGCCCACCGACGTGGGACATATGCCCACTCAGCACAAGTAGCCAAGATCTGGATGAGAGCGGCAAGAGCACCGCCGGCACCAACAATGGACCACTGGGTCGATGGAGGCGGAGACTGGTCGAGCTGCTGTTCGTAAATGCCCTTGCCAACAAGGAGAGCTGGTGCGTTGTGGGAGGTGTAAAACCAGAACATGGTCAGATGAATGATCCAGATGCGGTTGAAGTTAACAAGCATGTGGAACCAAGATCTGGTCTCCTTGTAGGTCTTGAAGAAGCACTTCTTCCAGTTGACGTCCTTCAACTTGAGGTATCGCTCTTGAGGCGGGACATCGACAAGCTTGCTCTTGTCCTCCATGACAATGCGTTCGATACCCTCGGGGTACCAGAAGAGCTGGTTGCAATCATCATAGCCAATGATTTGGTTGTGATCGCGTTCCCGGCGGACATATTTGCCGTCCAGGATTTCGTAGCCCTGGTCTCTGCAGTACTGGTACAGAGGGGTGATGACGTTGTTCAGGAATGTGCCTTCTTCCACGGGCTCTACCAAGTTTTGGCAGGCCGGTGAGTTCAGGTAGTCGTCTGCGCACTTGAAGATGAAGCAGAGGCACTCCGGCATGAACCGGACCTGGTTGGCCTCACCCCAGCAGAGAAGATAGAGCGCGATCTGGCGGACACGGTCGTGCTGAGACATACGATTCATCCGACTCTTCCAGCGGAACTCGGCTGCCTCGAGGCTATCATCGCCCTCGAGATCATCCAAGGTCTCTGCCTCATTCTGGTCCCCCTTGCCCTTCTTCTTGGACTTGCGCGCCTTCTTGCCCTTCATGTTGGCGAAGCCGACCGCATCATCCAGATCAAGGTGGGCAGCAAAGTACCACTTGCGGTAGTTGGCGTTGTCTCCACCAATGTAGTCGGCGTGGAGCGACAGTAGCGCCTGATTCGGTGTCATACGAGAGGCACGGGAGTCGAGCAGAACCATGAAGTGGTCGTACATGTTCCGCATGCTGTCACGTTGAAAACCAAACTTCGAGGTCAGGTCCATGAAAATGTCCTCGACTTCTTCCTTGGAGAGCGGGATTTGCGCATCAGATGTCCAGGCTGGGTATGGCTCTCTCGAACGCTGACCATTAGGCAGAACGTTATTATAGTCCATGCCATAGTTGGGTGTCGACGCGCCAGATGATCGATTGCCACCATAGGAAACCTGGGAGGAAGGGGGCCTGAAGCCGCGAGCGCCGTCTCCGTAACTGTTGTACCGCTCATCACCACGCCCGTAGTAGTCCATGTCGGTTGCTCGGGCCATGTCCGACCTCATAGTGAAGTCGCTGAATGTTTCGGAGTCATCCTCACCGCCGCGGCGCTCATTGTAGCCCTGGTCGTAGTAGCCACCGTTGCCATCGTCGTAGTACTCGCCCTGGTACTGGTCGTGGCCATCGTAGTATCCGCCATCCTGTTGGTACGGGTTGTTCGGATCCGCGTTGTAGTAGCCACTAAACAACAAGATGTTAGCGAACTGTCAATCGGCAAATAAGTCACGACTCATGATTCTTACGATTCATCGTAGTAGCCGTCGTTGTAGTTGCCGTGCTGGCCTTGCTGGCCTTGCTGGGCATAGTCATTGTCGTAGTACTGGCCATTGTGGTCGTCGTAGTACGCATCATTCTGGCCTTGCTGACCATAGCCGTCATAGTCCTGGTGACCGTGGCCGCCGGCAGCGCCGCCGGCTGCTCCACCTCCACCAGCGGGATAGCCCGACATGATGCTGGATTCTAGCTTGTGCTTTCAGGAGATGTCGGTGTTATTCTAATAGTAATAATAAAATGATAGTCAGCGTATGAATTATTGCATTGACATCCGAAAATGTGTGATCGAGGGCCGCGGTTTGGACCACTGGGCGAAAGCAAAGAAAGCGCAGTGAAAACCTGGAATGCCTTGCCGTTCCAAATGAATGCTGAAGCTGAACATTTCTGTCCGAGAGCGCAGGAAGCCGCAAGAAACAACATTCGCAAGGTGACGCAAAAGCGGCACGTGGTCAAGGGAATCTTGTGTGTGTCTGATGATTCAGGCATGGGTGTATGCGCTCACGATGAGCGAGTGCCTGGGCCAGACTTACAAAGCATGGAATCGAGACGAGTTGTGTGTTTAAAAAAAGACCCTAAGGGCGTCGAGATTGTGGTGCTTTTCAACGAGTGTGTAGGGCGTGCCTCGACAAAGCGCACAGTCGATGTGGCCGGCCACGGGTCGACGCAGTGCTGGCCTGCTTGATGTACGAAGCAGCCAGCAGTGAAGCGAGCGAGAGCTGCCGATGAGGCAGTGAATGTTGGGGGTTGAGGTTGTAGGTGCTGACTCTGTCGAAGTCGCAATCGCCTTGCAGGATCGGGAAAGGGAAAGAAAGAAACGACGTGGAAGTGGCAGCAGGAGCAGGCGCAAGAGCTGGTGTTTTGGAAAATGGCTGGCCTTTCAGGAGGCAGGCGGCTGGTTGGCTGGGGACAGGCGGCTGGGCCGGCGTGCTGGCGTGCCAGGCTCGTGTCGATGGGCGGGCGGCGTCGGTGGGTGGTGGTGGTGGGTGCATTGTGTGGTGCGCAGCAGCAGATACCGGTACTGTACGCCGTAGCTTAAAGGGGGCCCCGCCCGTGTCGCCAGGGGGTGCGTGGGCAGGCCCAGTCCGCGCCTTGGAAACTGTGCCAACCTTTGGACGCGGCGCGGGAAGGCAGCAATGGCGTCTCAGAAATTCGAGCGAGGCGCCTGCGCAAGTGTGGACTGAGGTGGGTGGGTGGGTGGGCCATGGCCATGCATGCAGGGGCAAGGGGGATCCGCCCGGGAGTACGTACCTCTCCCTCCCTGCCTTGCCTGCCATGGGCATCGTTTCTGCTCCGTCGACAGTTGGTGTGCCGGCTAGAGACAACATGCTTTCCCTCTCCCCCCCCCATTCGGCCATCTCCACGCTTACCTCCGGGAAGCTGCCTGGCGTCGTCGTTGCCGAGGGAACTGGTTTTTGCATGCTTATGTCGTGCACGGCGCCTTCTCCGTGTCGTCTTTTGAACCACCCGGCCATGCCACGAGAAGCCTGGAGGTCTTCAGAGCCATCTGCCACGCACTGCTGGGTCCAAGCGTTGTAACAGCGCGACCCATAAGTTAGGGAGTGGCATCCGGACGTCCCGCGTATCAACTCCCTGCCTCGCCTGCCTGCTACGCCCAGGATCAGCAATGTCCGGCCTGGCTCGCTAGCGTTCTAGAAAGCAGAGTCGGTGATTGATACGTGGCAAGGCTGTGCAGCACAAACGGAGTCAAGACGGTACTGGGGAGCGCCGAAACTGTCGTGACGGGCGGGTGCGTGGCGGCCAGCTGGCAGCCGCCCTGCTTGCAAAACTCAATGGCCGCCGCCCCCAGGCCCTCATGCTCGACCTTGACAGTGGCGGCAGACGGGCTTTTCCTGCTCCCGATGAAAAGGCCTACCTTCGGACCACACTAATTCTGAGCTCAGAGATGCGCCATCAGCTCGATCATGACAGTCCGTCTCTACCGACTTGCTGTACTCCTCCGTACAAGCTTGATTATTTGCTTCGGAGGCGACAAGGCTCTCATATTCGTGCACCAAGCCACTGGCAATTGGTGGGTGGCACAAACTGCACGTTCAAGGGTGGCGGCCAAGGCACAGACACGAGACCAGTCCAACCACGGCAGCAATGACAAGCTTGGCCTGGCTCCTTTGGGCTTTGCGCGGTTTCCTAACGTCGCCGATGATGGTGGTGTGGAGACACCCAACTTTTTGAGAAACAGGTTGGGAGGCAACTGGAGCAGCTCGACCCGCGCGAAAGGATGGGATGGCATTCACGATTGACTGGTGGGATTGCAAGACGAGCGCGTGAGAGATGGAGATTCATTCGTCCCTTGTCTCCAAACGTGAGGGGAGCGGGCTGCGATAGCATCATTGTGTGGAAAGGCAGCATTCTGAAATTAGCTTCGAACAATGGGCGCTGCAACCAATTGGATGCCACCGACCATGGTTTCAATCAATGGCCGCCATCCAGCTGGGGCGGTTGGCTTCTTGGCCAGGTCAGCTCGATTATGACATGGCAACCTTCAAGGAACAAGAGCAGAACTTACTTCATTCTGTAAAGTCGAGAAGCATCGCATGCTCTGGGCAGCGGTGTGCTCGGGACATGCTCTCGTCTTCATGGCTTGGCCGCAACGGTTACATGGCCGAACGCTTGTCGTATTCTTGCACCTCGGGGAGCAATGTTACATGTCCATTCAGCACCTCCACGATAGCAACTGCCCGTCTATCACGCAGCAGTATCTCACTTCGCAAGCGCAGTGGTTAGATGATCAGCGGATGGTATTCAACACTCTCTCCCGAAATGGGATGTTACCGGCCAATCGGGCAACAAACAGCAGGCTTCTTGATGAAGTCATCGAAATCATTCTACCCTCGCCTCCTAGGATGCAGTGTAGGCAGTGAGCATGGCAATTGACAACTGGCGCACACAAGTCGATGCGCGGGAGGGAGCCCGCCACAATGCGAGGACCCGGCCCACACGCCATGCAAGGTACGCCGGGCACGACTCGGTGGTGTGGACATGATGACGACACCTCGCTCAGCTGGTGGGTGAGATGGATCGGGGTGCCCCGCGCCCATTACCCGTGCAAAGTGCCGTTTTCCATTGTCCGACTGGTGCGTGGGAAGAAAAACCGGAACATGGACACGAGGCTAAAAAGGGATCAGAGCCAGGCGAGGCCAGGGATCAGCTTTCGCTACTCGGCCCGGCAGGCTTCCGCCCGTTGCGCGATCGTAGTGTCCATAGTCCGGCCACGATCGCTCGCGACGGCGGGCGCGCCGTCACAGATCGCCGACAGCAGGTGCCCTAAGGTGTCCTGTAGTGGGCGTGGTTTCGTTCGAGCACCCGACGTCCGTGTCGTCTGTGGTTCGAGCCGGCCACGACGCTTGGGCCAGTCCTCTGCTGAGCGACTTCCCAGGTGCCACCACCTTCGACGGCTTTAGTTTCCAGCTTTAGTTCCAGCCAGGCTCTCCAAACTCGTCGTCAACACGTCTCGCACTGGATCGACGGCCGTGTGCGTCAGTCACAGTGGCGGAGCCGCCCCCATACACGACACGACTAACCCCCCGAACCTTAAGGGGCGTCTCGCATCGTGTCCATCAAGCGAATTGCACCATGCCCACACTCGGCGCACCTACTTGCCCGCCCAAGGCCGCTCTACGCAGCGTGAGAGCACCGTGCTCTCAGGAACCGTTGATGGGCTCCGCTTCAAACGCGTCAGGCTTGCCAACTTTAGAACTTCCAAATTCTCGATCGAGCCTGTCTCGCCTGTTTGGCTGAGGCTCCGTGCAAGGGCCCTCCTCCACTTCCTCGGGCTCAATCTCACCATTGCGTGGACCTTGTGTGCGCGCTGATCAGCAATGGGTACAGAGTCCCTGAGGTCTCGATTGATTTATTGAATGACTGTCGCCGGTGTTAATCTGCCGAAATGGCATTGCCCCATCTCTTCAGAGATGACTCAAGCAGTGCTGCCACAACCCACGCCAGCCGCGTCTTGGATAGGTGTTTTGGAAGGCACAAACGCCAACTTCGCTGGATTTCCAGCCAGCTCAGGCACATCCACGCTCGATTTCGGTTTGGCTTTCCCTTGTCGGCAATGATACCTGGGATGGCTGGCCACAATGCGGGCAATTGAAAGCCCCTTGACGAAACGGTACGGCGCGAAACGGTGCACAGTGTTCTGGCTCATCTGCACGATGTGGCTCCCTCCGCTCACCTTGTCGCGATCGCCGATGAATCGACTGTGCCTGACGGTTGGCCCACAACACTGGGTCTGCTGCAATCTCCTAATTCAATTCTTGAAGCTAGATGTTGGCTGAATGGGCATGCTCAATCAAGCTTATCAAGCAGGACCGGGATCCTGAGGCCTCGAGGCTGGCTTCCCCACTGCTAGTTTCCGTCGACGTGGAGCGACCACGGTGATATCGAAACGGGAATATTCCTTCTCTTCGATTCGGTAATAGTGTTCTCCGCATGCAGCTGTTCCATTTGATTGAATGACTGAAAGGCACTGCATCGTTTTCGATCGCTTCCGGGAGTATTCAATGAATGAGCCAAGGCCCTCGACTTGCAGTAACTGCAAGACTCGTGCCAATCTAGTAATCTGACAACTTATATCCGAGAGATCTTCCTCATCATTGAGCAGTCGGGCTATGGCCGCGAAGCCAAAGAGAATCCACAGTCAAATATATGCAACTGGAGTCAATCATCAAACCGTGTGAGATTGTTGAGAGCTATTTAGTGCCGAGGAGGGAGTGCACGGGAACTACCTTTATGTGGCGGTTACGACATGACCATGGTGGCCTGGTTGTACTATGACCGTGGTAGTCCTGGTTTGAATCAACAAATCACTTGGAAATGTGGAACACGTTTTTATGGTTGATCTGAAGGCAGTTTTGGGGCATGATTACGGCAGCACCTACTCTTCCAACATATATCGGCGATGCTGCATGGCATTCTTTTCATGGCTAGCGATGCATTTACGTTGGTGGTAAATTGAGTCATTGTCGACGTTTATGATAATGCCCGAGATGAGTGCGAAATTGACTCGTCATCAAGGACCTCACGGTTGGAAGTATGGGATGTCATCACTAAAAACCCCGAGTGCCAAGTCAGCGGAATATTCCCCCGAGGCAGGCGCAGAGTTCAACGTGCTTCAAACTTAGCATTCAAATGGACAGCCATCTAGAGAGCGGCAGTCTTGTTCCTCCTGTCCCCACTATTCAAATCCTCTCCTGCTTACAGTCTCGATACGGTGGTGCTTCTAGTGGCAGACATTAAATGGTTATTGGTAGTTAGCTATGAGTATATGGGTTTAATGTATATTTAGATGAAGTTGGCAATACATGGTGTGTCACTTCTTCACCGAAATCAGACAATGAGGCAAGGCTTCCATTATCTCGGCGTGCAGATTACAGCATGATCTTGGAACCACCAGCACTCGCCATCGTGGGAGTTGGCTCACTTGATCAACCCAAGACTGCACGGTCGATGAGTAATGGGCACCTGAAGTGCGGACTGAGAACGAAGATGAGGTGGATGCTGTAACATCACTGGAAACACTTAAATTGCCCTCTTCGGACGGTTCTCGCATGGTGAGTGCTTGAGAGCGAGGGTTGCTGTTTATCCTTCCCCTGAATTAGCAAAGGTTATGTTGAACGCGATTCGTTGATCTCATCCTGGCCAAAGCGGAATGCTACTACCAACAACTACTGCTGCTCGGGGGAAATCGATTCGTGCTAAATAAAATGCAGCAAGTACTTCGAACGTACTGGCCGCGATGCATACAACCCACGACTTTACAATTCAACTAAATTTTTAGTGAGAGCCGTCTCGTCTTACGACTCGCCCAAGCTGGTGAATGTTTCGACCCTTGCACACCAAGTCGAAGCAGATGAAAGCTCCGCTAGACTCATGAACTGCCAAAGGCAATTGGGCTATGTAATCCCATCACGTAGAGGCGGGGTGCAAACTATATCATTCCTGTAGTCCATAATTGATCTTGCCTGCTTATTGTCTTATCTCGGGCATATCGCACTTGTTCGATGTTCGCGTTCTGCGCAACGTCGGCTATATCGCCTCTTGTTCTAGCACATGGGACAGCTTGACAGAGTATGAAGCAGGGCCTGGTTGCCGTGGGTAAACGATGGGCAAGTACGATCCATGTAGTGTCAAGGTGCTAGGATGGAGTTGGAGAGTTTCCAATCATGCAGGGCCTAGGCGCGCCTTTTGTAGAGGTTGATTTGCTTTCAAACAACAAAATAGCGAAGAGCACATATTGACTGCTGCAAGTTGTCATCGGTCTTAACACACACAGTGCTCACTTCCGCACGCCAGGCTGCGCCAGCAACAACTCCACACAGCAACAAACAAACAATTAAGCTGACCGCAAAGTCCCAAAGGCATACATAGCTAAAATAGCGTGAAACTCTGGGTAATGACAAGCGTGGTCTTGGGTTTGCTGGCGATTGATATTCGAACCAGCGCGTATGGGGGATGCAAGTGGTCTGTGGGTTGCGCAATGACGAGGGCGGTGGTGGTTGTCCCTAGCAACGAGACCCAAGCCCCATGTCAACAACATCAATTGCCCACCAGCAGTTGGCCAGGCACGACCACCACAACATTTCCGTGGAGTGTCTCCTGCCCTAGGCGCCGCCCGAACAAGGTCCTTCCCTCTTAGTCTGGCTCAGTTATACCCCTAGACCTCCCCTTTAACATCACTCCAACAGCACATCGCTAGCTCTATCACAACTGCCCGGCCAGTGCAACCACATCACAACAATGGCTACATTACTCTACAGCTCCGGCGCGGAGAGCGACGACGACTTCCCTGCTGTCAACGAGCTCATCCGCCGACACAAAGCAAAGAATGCAAGCCCCGTCAAGGGCGCTCCCATCATCAACGACGAGGACAAGGAGAATGTCGTCACCCAACCTCCCAAATCCACCATCAAGCCCATCCTGAAGATGCCGCAGAGGGACATCCTCGGGTCGCAGAAGCCCTCCATTCAAGCAACGCCGATGCGACGTCGCAGACTGGGTGTCGGCTTCAATGGGCCTCCCGTCGCAAGCTCCCTCCTCCAGCCATTCAATGACGATGAGGACATCGAGAGAGGCTGCCGCACGGCTCGCGCGCGGCGTGTGCGTGACGAGAGCTCTGACACGTCCAGCTCCTTCACCTCCTTCAGATCATCGTCACGGAGCACCATCTTTTCTCTGCCTCCTCCCAAGCCTCGTTTCACACAAACTCCTGGTCGCCCGCGTCTCATGATTGACAGCGACGAAGAGGACCACAAGGCAAGAAGGCCAAAGCCGACGCCGAGAGTCAAGCTGAGGCAAAAGATCTCCAAGATCTCGCTCATCGCCGAGGACAGCACCATCGGAGACTCTGTGCTCTTCAAGGACACGACAATGCGCAGCACGGACCACGACAGCTCTACCGGGCTCAACGGGCCCATCCTCGAGTCAGAGTCGGATGTCGAGCTGTCCAAGTCGGACATGGACAGCCCTACGCGGAACAAGGACAAGACCGTCCGCTCGCTTTTCGCTCCCAGAGACGTGGACACCGACAAGAGCCGCGTGTCAGATTTGTCCAAGACCGACTCTTCCGACCTCTGGAAGCAGCCCAAGCGGGACGCCGAACACATCGAGAACAGAATTAAGTCTGTCAGGTTAATAGAGCCATCACCGGTGAAGCCCAAGCCGCAGCCGCAAAACGCCGCTGCCGCCGACGGTCTTGAGAATGCCTTTGGCAAACTGTCGCTGTAAGCCGCCAGCCCTGAGATGATGTAGATTTCTGTGCTAATGACATTGTAAACAGTTTCGGATCAGAGAAAGCCAACATTTCCGAAAGCAAGAACGAGCCCGACACCTCCGACAGCCTTTCGGCCAGCGAGAAGGATAAGAGCGGCACAGAGCCTTCTGATGAGGTGCAAGTGGCGGAGTGTAGCACCCCCCAGAGGGCAACCAAGAGCAAGCTACTCACCTCTCCATCAAAGCCGGCCCAAATCCCCAGCACACCGTGGAAGCCCGAGAACAAGGAGTTCTGGGACCCCGAGGTCAACTTCACCTGGATCGATAGGCACTCCCCTGAGAGGCAGGCCAGCCCGCGCAAGCTGACGCCGAACTTGGAAGACTCGGCAGCTTTGAAGCAGAAGTACACAAACAGCCCCCAGAAGCGGTCAGAGAAGAAGGCCTTTGATGCTATCAAGGATGACATTGCGAAGAACTTCCTTCGCGAGCTTGACGAGCGCATCACAGACGGTCGACTCGAAGCACTAGCCGCAACCACTGGTGGTCTCAAGACTGTGTGGTCAAACACTCTGCAGACCACGGCTGGCCGTGCCCATTGGCGATGCAAGACTACAACGCGGACAACCAAGCACAAGGACGGCTCCGTCACCAAGGAGGAGGAGCGCCAGCACGAAGCCTCCATTGAGCTTGCCACCAAGGTCCTGACGAATGAGGATGACCTCCTCAACACTGTTGCGCACGAGTTCTGCCACCTTGCTGTATTTATGCTCGATGGTAAGCCCAAGATGGCACACGGCAAGGAATTCAAAGCCTGGGGTGCCAAGTGCAGCAAGGTTTTCAAGGACAAGGGCATTACAGTCACCACCAAGCACAGCTATGAGATTGACTACAAGTATATCTGGCGTTGTGCAGAGTGTACTTGCGAAGTCCACCGCCACACCAAGAGCGTCGATCCTCAGCGCCAGCGCTGCGGACGGTGCCGAGGTGTGTTGGTTCAGGTCAAGCCTGTTCCACGGGTCAAGAAGAGCTCTCCCACGACTAGCGGTGCCGCGCCTGAAAAGAAGAAGCTCAGTGCCTGGCAAGAGTTCCTGTCTGCACAGATGGCGGAGCTTAAGACGACGCACAAGGAGCTGGCATTCGACAAGAAGATGGAGCTCGTATCGGCCCGGTGGAAAGAGCACAAGAAGCGTGTGCAGGAGCAGAAGGAGCAGAAGGACCTCCAGCAGCAGCTCGATGCGCAGTTCTCGCAGGACGGACAGCAACCAGGCGATGAGTCTACGACGCTCGCGGACGACAGTACAGGCGTCGAGTTCATCGTGGAGTCTGTCCAAGCCCTTGACCTCAGCGTCGATGGCGACTCGAACGTGGTGGACAGCACAATTCTCGTTTGAAAGCTGAATTCGTTTCTGTGGTTGTAGGCGCATGAGCAGGCATTGCAGGGAGTCAAGGCTTGGCGCAGAATGACATTGATTGTTTTCACGGCGGCGTTAGGTGGACAGCATACAGGAGTCATGATGTTTTGGTACAACAGCTTATGAATTTCGCCTATTGGTCGATACATAATAGATGACCGCACACTTTGATAATTCGGGTTGGCGTCCTCAACAAGGACCGCATGATGATCTAGCGTGGTCCAAGCCAGGTTGCCCAAGCTGTTACTTATGTGGCCAGACCATCATGCTTTGCATAACGATCTGATGCCTCCGTTTCCTGCGTGTCAAGTTACGACTCGAGATGATAATATGGCGAGATTGGAAGTAGAGCAGGGTGAGGTTGTAGGAGTATCAGAGACAGCCCTGTCTCTCTACAAAGGAGCACTTGGAATAGATCTGATGGAAGCGAGGCGAGCCTTTCGCTATCCTCCGGCCCAAGTCGCTGGCTCACGTCAAATAGCTGGCGGCTACGTTTCAGTACTTGCGAATTTTGTGTGTCTTGAGATTGTAGGAGACGTCGCATGTCGTAAAACCGTGATCCGCTAAAATCCCGTGCTACGCTTCCCGCGCATTTCCTGGCTGCACATGCTGCGAGCCGCAGAAGTCCCGCTCCTATAGCGACGCGTAAAAGCTGGTCTAGCTTGCCATGCCCTGTCGGGTGCACTTTATATCTCGCCAGGCGGCGGCCAAGAGTTTGCGCCGCCACGCTCATGGACCACACTCAAATCTCCTTGAAAAGCGTCCAGTCCTTGACCTTGAACGTCTCCCAGATCTTGGCGGCGTAGTCGACCGCGTCGCCAATCAACTTGCCCTGCTTCCCGAGCTCCAGGTCTACCTCCTCCTCGTCGTACTCGCCCTTGATGTGCGGCACGTTGATGGTCACGAGGATGTCGGTCTTTTCGCGCTCGAGCCGGAGCAGGGTGAGGATGATGGCTGTAAAGTCCGGGCTGCCACTCGCGGGGCCGCGGCTGGGGTCCGCGGGTTTGGGCGATTGTGTCGCGATGAGGGTGTATGCGGGTATGGACTCGCTAGTTGTGACGGCGGGCCTTGGTCAGCGACTGTCAAGCATCGAGAGTCTGCAGGGGTCATGTGTTTGCTGGATAGACGTTGGCGGGTCAACTTACTCGAGCCGGGAGAAGTGCGTGGAGGCGCTGTTCCAGACTTTTGTGCGGGCAATCTCGTCTCCGACAATGTCTTCGAGGTGTGTCGTGAGGGCCTCGCCGTCGATTTCGGGAGTGCTGCCGGGCCCGCCAACGCGCTCGGTAATGTCAAAGACGATGCTCGTGAAGCCCTCCTTGTCAATGTAGACCTCTTGATTGTCGGGCACTTGGCGGATTGTGCTGCAAATGAAGGTGGCCCCTCCGTCAGCCGAAAGTTACTTTCCAGGCGCAGCGCGCAATCTCGGCATACCTGACGTCGGCAAAGTGTGTTGGCAGATCGCAGATGAGGGCCCCGCCGTACAGAGGGGTGCTCTTGTAAGTGGCAGGCATGATGATGATGGTGGCGGCGGATGCGACTCGAATGTGCAGAGTGTCGAAAGAGGATTGTGTCAAAGGCTGGCGGGAGGGGGCCTCTTGCTGCGCGAAGGGTATCAATTGTTGTTGCTATTGCCAAAGCACCGCCCAGATCCCCAAAGGTTGCAGAGGCATCGCCGTTGTCCTGCCTGCCTTGCGACCAGGCTGCTGGCAGGCAGGCAGGCAAGCAAGCTGGGGCGCCGAATGGCGGGGCTGCCGGCTGTGCAACGCAGGGTTGTTCTCGTCAGCAGCGCGATGATGTAACACCACTCGACCCTTCGAGCCCTGTCACCCGGCCGGCCGGGCACGATTTGGGACGTCGAAGACATCCTCGAAAATGGCAGCAGGACTTGTGGCACACGCCGTCGAATGTCAATGGCTCTGCACCTCGGATGTCTCTAACATCTATGATTCCGTTGCCCAGAGCACGATGCACCCTTGTAATCACAATATGGTTCCGTCAAGCCACAACGAGAGGTGACAAGGCTGATACACACCTGCACTATCCCGAGGACAATCAGGCTTGTGTCAAATCCAGCTCCTCCAGACTCTAGCTCAGTCATAACCCTAGCCATTGTACCTTGAAGAGGATGATTGTGCTTCACTGGTCGAGTTCGCCCTCTGACTGAGCGCACCACTCACCCAACCGAGTGCTGGTTTGCAGCCCAACCCGACCCGCCTGCTCGCCGCACACCCTTGCCCCACATCTCGAGCCCATATAGCTTGCAATAAAATCGCGAGGCACTTAGGAGTGGGACCCTATACAGGACTTTCCTCTTGTAAGTACCCAAGATTTTAGCCTCTGGTGCAGCCGGCCGGCATGCCAGCGCCAAAACCCCACAGTGTCAAAACTAACACCCGCAAAGGCCTTTTACCAGAAGAAACCTTGTAGCGGCCCAAGAAACTCCACTCGAGAATCTTTGGAACCCGCCTGCAAATGCAGACTTTTTGCTTTTTGCTTTTTCTTGGTTGGATGGCCCTATTCCCGCGTGAAAGAAAGCCTGAGACCAGATGCATGGCACGAAATGTTCTGTTGAGGCGCGTCTGGTGTTTGAGGTGCGAATAGAGAGGCTGGAGGTTTGCCGAAATCCTAGGGTTCGAGACAGGTTGCGAGCACCTGGCCATGTCAAAAATGATTGCTTTTTTTACCCTGGTAGCTGAGGCGGTATCGATGATTTGACTACACAGTGACCCCTCACAGGTAAGCTGCTTGTTTCTAGCTTCCGTTGCAGCCATCCTCAACTTGTTCCTTTTCGTGAATGCAATCACACAAACACCAGACACAATTCAGCGCAGCTCTGTTCCAGTCTTGCCATTGGATTCCCCCATGTCGTCCAAGATGGCTGCCTGCATCTTCTGCAAGATCATCAAGGGAGAGATACCCTGCTTCAAGCTCTTTGAGAGCGACAAGACGCTCGCCTTCCTCGACATTAACCCGTTGAGCCGGGGCCATGCTGTATGTCACCAAACTCCCGAGTTCCCAACACCCGGTTTCGTTCCATCATGCATCATGTACCTGGCCTCTTGCTAATCATTCTGCCGCCGTTGTGAAGCTCGTCATTCCAAAGTTCCACGGTGCCAAGCTTGAGGACATTCCTGACGAGCATCTCGGCGAGATCTTGGTATGTCCTCATGTATTCCTGAGTCGGATCCCATACATTCTGCCAGGCCTATATATTTTCACGAGCCGGTGGCGGGTGAACCCTTTGTAGCTTATGCATAGCTCCTGGCCTGTACCACGAAAACACATCAAGCGCTCCACCAACAGACAACAAACTCATTCTCACGATCCCCGCAAATGGAAGTACTCAGGCTGACACAAAACAAACAACCAGCCCGTCGTTAAGAAGCTCATCTCCGCCACGGGCGCTGTAGACTACAACATTCTCCAGAACAATGGCCGCATCGCCCACCAACAGGTCGACCATGTAAGTGATTGATCAGCCTTTCTGGAGTGTCCTGGTCAAGACCATATGGGACTGCTTCGGAGGCTGCGCTGGGATTAATCCTGGATCAAGCTATTTTTGTACGCACGCTAACCACAGAACATAGGTGCACTTCCACATGATCCCCAAGCCCGATACGGAGCAGGGTCTCGGTGTTGGCTGGCCGCAACAGAAGACTGAGATGGATGCGCTCAAGGCGCTGTCCGAGGAGATCAAGGCCAAAATGTAATTCAAACCCATGGAGCATGATTTCAAGTGAAGAGAATCGTGGTTGAAGCGGGGAGTTGCAGTCGGCGTTGGATTTGTTGTGCAGGGGGGAATCATAATGTAGCATCACAACGCAGAGACAGGAATGCTTAACACTTGGAAGTTGTGTAGTTTCTAGTCTACATGCCAAAGAAACTGCTATATCTGCAGCCGGATCTCTAGTCAACATCATCTGCGGACGTCTCCGTTTGGGTCGCCAGTCCGTTGCTGACAGGCACCGGTCGCGACGACTCAGACTCAGGGTAGTGATTGACGGTGCCGTCCCCTCTGATGACGCCAATGCGGTCGTAAAAGGATCGTGCTCGAATGTACGGGTCGAGTTGCCAGTACTGTTGCCGTAGCTGCTTTGCTACGCCGTTACGCTCCAGCAGCAAGGCCTTGCGCTTTTCGGCATCGGTCTCATGGACCCACGCGACAGTATGCGACTCAAAGTCCTTGTAGAGGCCCTCGCGCTCCTGGAGCAACTTGTCGCGAGTGGCCGTGTCCTTCATCCTGTCGTTCTCGCCGGGCACCGGCTCCATGTACTTGAACGTCCAGTCCTGTGGCCCGTCGAGGAACTTGGGTATTCTGTCCTTGTCGATAAACTCCTCGAGATCCTTTGCCGAGTTGGTAAAGTGCACTTTGCTGGCGACTACGGGGTCCAGCCAGCCACGGATGATTTTCCAGATACCTGCGATCCAGGTTAGTAAGGGTATAACCAAGACCGCCGCCACCTCACTGTAATACCTTGAAACACCCATGGCGACTTGTGGATCAGCACAACACCGAGGCTCTCCGGGTAATTGGCCTCGAAGCACTTTATCATGAACTTCACAGGGGCGTAGTCCTGCAGCACCGTCAGTCGCAGGATCTGCACATATTCATTCATGTTGACTAACCATGTTGGCGACAGAGAACCCAGTCATGTCAAACATGACACACTATTTTCAAATATTAGTCGATGGCCGTTTGGATTCCGGCAAATCTCTGACTTACCCCGGTGTCAGCGGGTGGCGTGAGCATCAGCCTCGACGTCTCGATGAGATACACTGTGTATCTCTCGAGACTCTCCTGGGATTGTTCGCCAGCCTTGTGCAGACGGGCGTGAGCGATTGACATCGGACGGCCGCTCTTGTCAACCCCATGGATATACGTCTTCCCGAGCCGCATCTGCGACAAGAAATCTGTGCCGGCCTGCTTCAGCTCCGCGTTGTCGCCTGCCTCGTGCTCGACAGCCTGCTTCTCGCCATGGACCATGATGTCGTCGTCAACATGCGCCTCGTCGGCACGCCAGTTCATGCAGGACATGAGCATAACGAGAGCCTTATGCTCATCCCACTTGCGTGCCCTAAGGAACCGCAGCAGGAGGGCATCAGGGTGGTCGTGCTTGACCATGCTCCAGATCGTGGCTCGAATCTGATCCGGGGTGTGCTTCGCAAGCGTCTCGTGGTATGCCTTGGTTTCGCCCCATTTGTCGTCTGTGTCGTCGGCTTTGACGACCTCGTCCGAGCCTGCCGACTTGGATGACTTGTCGGCATCCTTATCCTTCTTCTTCTTGAAGAGTGAGAGCCCTCGCTTCTTCTTCTTGTCCCCTGCAACCTCAGTATCTGTCCCCGTCGTGGATGCCGGCGTCGATTCAACCTCGTGACCTGCTTCGTCGTCGGCGAAGACGCCGCACGTGTGCAAGAATAATGTCCAAAACCTCCGGAGCGCTTCGTCCTGCTCGGGGGTGAGATTGCCTGGGCGCCCTGGGAGCGCGTCCATGTCGTCGTCTAGTGTGTCGGATAGGTCGGAAGTATGCAATGCGCCCGAGGCGGGTTCTGACGGAGTCAAAAAGCCGTATGCGCTGAGAGCGATGCCGAGGGCCAGCAGCGAGAGTATGTATGAGGTGACAGAGACCTGACTGTGTAAAAGTATGTGCTCGCGTGATATTGGAATGACAGATCCCGCACGATGACCAGGTGCAGTAAATAGGGCCGCTAGACTCGCTTTCCGTGACGACGACAAGGGCTGCAGATGCGAGTTGGCCCAAGAAATGTGGTGAGCACGCAAGGGAATGGCATGGGAAATTGAGCGCTGCTGGAGTCGGCAAGAAGTGGTAGTGGGGGGTCGTGGTGACGCAGTCGGGGGACCAAGGAGCTGCGGATGTGAGCGCGAATGGGGCGCAGCTAAAACGGACAGGCACGAGGTACCGCACGCGCTTCTAGTCATCCGAGCCACAGCGGCTGGATGGCAGCAGAGAGGTGAGACGGAGCGCATCACCTCCAGGGGCATGGCCCGGATCCTGACGAGCGCCATCGTCACCGGTCCAATGGCGAGAGCCCTGATGTCGAATGTGTTGGTTGCGTGGAAGTTCCCAAGCTCGCGTGGTTCAGCCCCCCAGTGAACCAAGACCCGCGAGCTCACTACTGCAATGACGAAACCCCTCTATGACTTCAGCAGTATATTGCAGGTTCAGAATGCGACACCATCCTCGGCGGAAGCTCTGCGGCCACATTGGCTGGCCCCTGGGGACCCCTTCCTCGCCCCAAAGCTTCATGGAGCCATGCCTTGATATGCGGATCAGTTCTGATATTGGCAATCCGATTCTGCCCTTTTCAGAGACAGATGTAAGTTGATACGCGATTGACGATATACGTAGCCTTTTGTCGACGTTGAGAGATGCAGAATTGACCAATGGCCAGCTGTACAAGCACAAGAGCGAGATGCAGAACAATCCATCGTCGAAAATCCCCTTTGCCTGGTGGCAGCGCCTTTTGCTTAAACAGCGACATCCACGAGCGTCGGGTTTTCAGTGCCCGCGGCACTGTATCCCAAGATCACAGTAGTGGGGCTGTGCCAGCAGCTCTGCCATGACACTTGAGGTAGCGTACGCTATGATAGCAGGTTTATGGTGGGGGAGCTTGAGCCGCGCGCCGCACTCTCGGAGCAACAACACGCACCACCACAACAACATCACGCAGAAGCTGCAACATAGGCCTCGGCCCTCCCCGGATGTTCTAAAACAACTCAAAGATTCATCCACGAGCGGCGAACTCGCAAAAACTCCCCATAGCTCAGGCGCAGCCGATACAATGTCCGGCCCGACCCCCGAAAGCACCCGAAGGCCGCGTTCGACCTCGCGGTCGCGACCTACAACGCCGCTACGGCCCTCGTCTCGCTCTTCCTTCCGCGAGTCCGCCCAGCGCAGCACAAACGGTGGCGCCGATCCGTTCCCGCTCAACGCTTTCGAGCCAGCATTTGCCGAGCTCGCAGACGCAGTCACGGATCTCGAGGCCAACATGATGCATTTCCAGCTCATGCACGAGAGCCTCGCCCGCTTCAGCGAGGACTTTGCCAGCTTTCTATACGGGCTCAACATGAATGCCTTTTGTGTAGATTTCCCAGAGGTGCGGTCTGTTGTGGCACGACGCTCGAGTAAAGCCCTCAGCACTAATTGATGGACATCAAGCAGGGACCAATCGCAGACTCCTTTCGTAGAGCGAAGGATTTTGAAGCAGAGGCTTGTAAGAAACGGCTGTCAAACGAGGCGACTGTTGAGAGTATAAGCTGACTTGCATGCACCTAGCCACCTCTCGACCGTCTAGTGAGCGTGGCGATGTGGACGCCGAGAGCACTTTTATGTATATGCTCCTTATGTCTAGATTGTGGTTCAGGAGGACTAACACCGCTTCTAGGACTACCGACACCACATTTGTAGAAAATCCATCGACAGGCTCTAAACCGACTCCAAAGAAGTTCACACATACAGAATCACGACAGTCTCGACTCCCTGCGAGGGGTGGTGCGCAGACGACTCGGGGGAGGGGGACGACCCGGGGGCGGACCAGTGGACTGGTTCGGCCCAGAGCTCGCGGCCTACGATGAAATATGGCTGCTCGTCTGAAGTTGCCCCTGCAACAATCAAGCGCACATCTCGTCTGGTCGAGAAGTGTGCCCCCAGAGTCCCTAGGCGCGGTGGTCCGCCTGCTTGCGGTGGCATGATCTCGAGGCTGGACCACACAGGCCTCGTGCAGCGACCTGTCAGAGCCAAATTCCCATGCTTGATTCACCGATCCGACCACCCTGGTGTCTCGGACGGCGGAAGACTTGAAACACATTACCCCAACAACGCCATGCTCATGAACCCGTCTATCTGAGGAATGCTGTTGAAAGGAACAAGTCAAGTATCTCAGGTCGCCATGACATCCTCGTCGCCTTCGATGGCGTCGTTACGGCGCTGAGGACCAACATTATCGGTGGAAATACCGACGGCGGCCTCGGCTTCTTTCTGAGTGTAGGGCTCTTCGGCAAGTTGTTTGGCCCTGCGATGTGTGAAAGAGGGCACGGTTAGCAGCGAAAACTGGAAAAAGAACGAAGAGGGCCGATGGGAGACTTGATAGACGACACATAGATTGCAGAGAATAGTGAAGCAGTGCCAACACCAGATCCCAACCTTTGACCGGACCACTGACCTTCTCTTGTGAGGTTTGCCCTTTGCGTGCCTGACGAGGCTGACTTCGGTCTCGAACCACTTGGCGCACTCAACGCAGTACCATTTCCCCAGTCCGGGCAGGTCCTCGGGGGCCTTTGTGTCGTGGTACTGCTTGAGGTGCTTCGGTGAAAGCATATCGGCCTTGATCTGGTCGAGATCGCGCAGATGTCGGCGAGTCTTGGTGAGCGTGCGCTTGTTGCCGACGCCCATCTTGTCAAGCGAAAACGAGTTCAGGAATAAGCGGGTTGAGTCTGTCGAGAAATCGGGATGAACGTGGATTGTGTCTGCCGGCTCGTCGTGGTTCTTTGGTGGCCGATTGGGTGATGTTGGGTGAGCTTGCAACATTAAAGCCTGCCGATAAGATCTTTCTTTCACCGAGTCGTCTTTGGTTGCTCGGCCTGGGAAAATTTTGGTGGGGTATGCGGGGCGGACCCTGGAAGTGGCTTGATTGGTCCGTCACAGCTGTAGCTGGGAAGGAGCAACGTGTAGTAAAACTTGCTCGAGCTGTGAAAGTATAGCGGGAGAAGCGTGGCTCAAGGATTAGTGAGTGTTCCACGAAACGGTTCGTAGCTTTCTTCAAGATCATACGAGCTGATTCACCATTCCATTGGTGATCAGCAGACAAATATCTCCGTATTATCGGAGACTTGTCGCTCCCTTTGTTAAAGGCGCAACATTTTCTGAGCACCCCGAAAGCCCGAAGAAAATGGCGACAGTGGTAATATGACGTATGGGTCAAGGACAATCAAACACAATCCACCAAAGAGATAATTAGACAAGTCAATAAGCATCAGCCTCGCCATGTTCAGCAACACCTGGCCTGCGAACACTATTTGATCAGCGTCATGGTCGGATGGAGGCTGATCAGGTGCCAAAGAGCCCGCCCCACCGGGCTCAGATCTATGGCCGCGGATGCACCCTCTGAGAGCAAAGAAACTCTGTTGTAATGTGTAGATGGTTATGGCCCATTATCCATTCACGTGCCGCGGCAAACATTTTGGAGACGGGCTATGTGATTCAGACGTTCCTGCACCAGGGCGGGCTAGGGTGTCTCCCGGATGTCCTGCAGCAGATCGCGCGAGGGTGGGTGGAAAGCCTCCGAGTGATCCAGACCCAGCCAGATTCGGCACCTATCGCCCAAGCTGCGGATGGTAAAGACATCGTTGTTAGATCTATTCGGCTGGAGAACCCCATGCCACCGCCTCCGCGGGACTTCGGGAGCCCCTGCATGACTCCCACATGACACATAAACGAGCGCTGTGTGGTCGAGGAAAAAAAAAGTCGTGGTCAAAGGCGTTCGTGCGCATGTCCGACAAGACCGACCGAGAACACAGTGTGTTTCCATGACCCGAGCTGTGCGCCTACAGCAGCATCTGAAGCCGCGCAAGTGTACAAAACAGCCGGCATGATCACTCTGCAGCCAGACTCTAGCTTCAGAGGAATCCCTAGGCTTCTGAAGGCTTCGCTCGCTTTTTTGAAGGAAAGCTGCAGCTCGGTTCGATTAGCATGGTGAAGACGAGGATGCAGCATTGAATGGAATGAAGGTGACGGAAGAACACTGTGGCTCCATTTTCAGCGCAGCCAACCGCAAGCGTTAGCGCAGTTCCACATCCCACGATGGATGGAGCCGCTCCGGCGGCTGGACTGGCACATGCCCAGCACCTGGGCAGCACGGATGGATCTAGCCGCCAAAATAGCGACGTGCGCCGGCTGCAACAGGCATGTGGCAATCTGGGTGCCACTGGGATACTTGTCGTCTCGGGCCTACGGCGTTACGAGGCGGTCGTCGTGAGTGAGCTCCGAGGGGCCTCATTCAGGGTTTGCACAAGCACATGAGCATCAGCCAAATCTGCGGGCAAGTGCCGGAGCACCCAAAGAGAGCCAAAGCGATGACCTCACGGGACTCCATCCAGCATGCCAGCCACGCCGGGGGAGCAGAATGCACGATTCGTGGGTGTCGACCAGGCATGCCGTAGGTGCTGCAAGTCGAGTTCCTGCTTGCACTCAAACAGATGATTGGATGTTTGGGACAGAGGCTCAGAGAGTGCTCACCTGGCCAGCACCAAAAAGCCTTGAGAGCACAAAGTGTTTCAAGCATTGTGAGGTCACAGCGACGGTCCAAGAGGTAATCGTGTCCCGTCTGATTCGTCCGCTGGGCCGGCCGCGCATGGGGGCCCGGTGTGGTGGGCCTTCTCCATAGCCGAGACATGTATTCCCCATCCCGGACAGGTACCGACCCCGCCACTCTAATGGCAGGTGAGTACCTGTCCGAGCTCCCCAGGTACATGACCCGAACCAGGCTCGGCCCAGGTGCGCCCACTCACCTCCATCGCCGTCGCCGGCCACCACCCTCGCACGCATCCAGCAAGGACGCACACCCTGTCGGGCGGGCAACACAGCAGCCCTGGAGCTCTCTCGACACACTTACCGCGCACGACTCCACCTTTTCCCTCGGCCAGCAATACTTAGCCCTTTTCTTCCCCTCCTCGTGTTACGGAGACCTATTTCCTCCTTCCTACCTCCCAAACCTCACACATCGTGTGCAAGACTCAGGCAGCTCTCCAGGTTGACAGCTCCTGCCTCTCCCCCAATCCTCAGTCTGTCCCCACAGCTCTCAGGATCTGGTAGTCACCATGTTGGCTACTCGTCCCGTCTTGGGCAATATCGCCCGCTCGCGGGTGGCCGCCACCCTCGGCGCCCGCCGCACCATGGCCACCGTCTCGGACTCTCCCCTTGACAAGAAGGTACGTCGGCAATCGCATTCTGTCGCCGGAGTGCTGGCAAAGGGCGCATGCTCCCCAGCAGGCAGCTCAGAACAAGACTAGCATGATATCAGTGTTGGTGGGCGCTGCGCAATAATCCGCACATATAGCTGACAGCGGATTTGTTCAAAACAGGTCAAGCAGAACAACTGGGAGGAGGGCAACTTCATCAACTACAAGACGTTTTCTGAGAATATTGCCGTCGTCCGCAGCCGCCTGAACCGACCCCTCACCTACGGTGAGAAGATCCTCTACTCTCACTTGGACGACCCGCACGGCCAGGACCTCGAGCGTGGTGTCTCCTACCTCAAGCTCCGCCCCGACCGCGTTGCGTGCCAGGATGCCACTGCTCAGATGGCCATCCTCCAGTTCATGTCTGCGGGCATGCCCTCTGTCGCCAACCCCACCACAGTCCACTGCGACCACTTGATCGAGGCCCAGCTCGGCGGCCCCAAGGATCTCGCCCGCGCCAATGATATCAACAAGGAGGTCTACGACTTCCTTGCTTCCGCCTGCGCCAAGTACAACATTGGTTTCTGGAAGCCCGGCTCTGGTATCATCCACCAGATCATCCTCGAGAACTACGCTTTCCCCGGTGGGCTCCTCATCGGCACTGACTCGCACACTCCCAACGGCGCTGGTCTCGGCATGGCTGCTATCGGTGTTGGCGGTGCTGATGCAGTAGACGTCATGGCTGGCCTACGTTCGTAATCCCGCAGTAGATTCGTTTTTTCATGGCCTTGCTGACGCAGTTTATAGCCTGGGAACTCAAAGCCCCGAAGTATATGGGTGTGAAGCTAACTGGAAAGCTGTCTGGCTGGGCATCACCCAAGGGTAAGTGGCCTCATACTGGTCTCACATTGGCTTCACACTAACACCACCGCCACCACCAACAGACATTATTACCAAGCTTGCGGGCATCACCACCGTCAAGGGTGGTACTGGCAGTAAGTGATCAATCAATCAATTGGTTGTTGTCGTGGCTTGATCCTAACAGTGACCAACAACAACAGAGATTGTCGAGTACTATGGTGAGAACCTATTTTTCATTTCTCTTGATTCTGGGTGATACCCAATTACCCAATTTCCATCTTTGTTTTGTTTTGTTTCGTCTTGTCTTGTCTGCGCCATTTCTTTGTTTTGATGTTGGCCGCCTTGGGCGTCACATTTTTGTGTTTGTGCGTTCCGAGTTTTGTTCCACTTTGGTCCCCAACCGCTCGGAGAGCGTCCACCAAAGGTCCTTCCCCAACCGTCCTGGCAGCAAAGCAGCGCTTGCTGGAATCGCCTGCGAACCTGTTGCACTTGGGCTTGGGCTGCCCTAAAACGCATCCGGACAAATCCAGGCCGTTGCTGTTTGGCAGCTTCACGAGCCCTGGTACCTGCAGAGTTGGCACAGGCCTCCACCTGTCTGCGGGCGTCTTTTCCGGTGACAGGGCACGGCGTCTCGCCGTGTCTGCTCCGTATGGGTGGTAGCTGGAGGGCTACAGACCTTGTTTCATTCTCTACATCAACCAAAGCCAAAACCAAAGCCAGCCAAAGCCAAAACCAAAAGCCAGCCAACCAACCAACCACCAAATCTCGCCAATTCCCCCTACACTTTGGCAGAACAAAACCCATTGGAGTTGTGTACCCTCTTGTCGTGGCTCCTGGGCCTGGGATGCCCTTAAACTCACCCAAAAAAATCCAGGCCCGAGGGGCGCTGGTACCCGCAGGAATTACAGGCCTCCAACTGCCTGCGGGCGTCCCGTACTGGGTACGCACCAGCTGGTGGTACTTGGCCGCCCGAGAGAGGGCAACGGCTCGCAGCTGGACGGGCTGCGAGACGGTAATATAATTCATTGCTTGGGCAGCCTCCATATGCATCCGGGCCTGGGAAGCCCTAAAACTCACCCAAAAAACATCCAGGCCTTAGGGGCGCTGGTACCGGCCGGAATTACAGGCCTCCAACTGCCTGCGGGCGTCTCATGCCAAGTAGCCCCAGGAGGGATCTGGTGGTGCTTGGCCGTCTACTTTCAGCACGCCATCCCGAGTAGCCCCAGGAGGGATCTGGTGGTGCTTGGCCGCTCTTGAAAGTGGACAACGGCTCGCAGCTGGATGGGCTGCGAGACGATGGTTACACATTGTGGTGGAAGAGTTGCTGGCTCCTTCCGCTCTAACAACACAGCAAAAACACCCCCACCTTCCCGCCCACGCATTCGCACCTGCCCGAGCTGCGTTTGTTGGCTTTCCTGCCAAAATGGCACATCTCCCGGCCTGTCGTCTCGACTTGTCCTCCCTTCTTCTCCCATCCTTGTATGTGGCCAGAAGCATCTCGCTGGTGTCTCGCAACAACGACACATCCATTGCCTCGAGGTAAGCCTATATCCCCCATCCTTTGCACACATCCTGGCTGGACAAAGTGCACATTTGCTGACCAAAGGATGTGTCCACCAGACAAGCCAAAGCCAGACAAACCCAAAGCCAGAACCACACAAAGTTGAACAGCCTCCAAATCGGTCCATCCCGTCTGGTTGGCCGCCAAGATGGACTATGTCCAGGCGTTCAGCCTCTTCACCGGTCTGGTCATGTCTTGTATCCTGCAAGCACCATACTGGGCCAAACAAGGAATCTACGACCAACGCTACGGTACTATTGAGATTTAGGAAGATCTCTTCACGGCCGCCGGTCTCCAATTCCTCCCTGCCGTTCTACAAGCCATTGTCTCCCCCCTGCCGCCAACCATTGCCTTCTTCAAGAGCCTACCTCTCATTGACGTGTCCGGCAATATCATCTGGGGTGTGTACCTCGTCGTTCTTGAAAAGTTTGGAGCCAAACCCATTGTCTACATCGGAACTGGCACAGATATTGTGAATGGAATTGCTTCCCGGCTCAAGACGTATGCGAAAAAAGCCGGCAATCTCCCTCTCGGCCTCAAACGATCTCTCGACAAAGGTTATGAGATCACGCACACAACTATCCTCTGCTGGGCTCCTTTGCCAAAGGTCAGCTTGCAGCCAATCATGCGCGGATTTTGGTTGTGTGTCGAAACAACCCTGGCCTTTGTCTTTTGGGCATACAATTTCCGGTCGACCAGCCTATTTTACAGACCGACTTTCAAGTATCTCTGCCCTTGGGACATCGATGCCTTAGAATACAAGGGAGGCTGTACCCATTCGCCGCTCACAGAAGGCTTCTTCCTCTCCGACAAACTGGACTTCACAGAAGAGGAGCTTCTCGCCATCAGAGAGCACACCAGAGCCAACTATACCCGAGTGCACCGCGAGGGTTACGAGCGGCGCAAGGCAGAGGATCCCGAGAAGCTCAGGGCCCAGGGTAAAGTCGCGACGGCCAAATACAGAGTCAACCATCCCGACCGCCACGAGAAGGCACAGGCGGAGACCAAAGCCAACCGCCGAGCCGCCCAAACGTACCACTGTGAGCCTTGCGAACAGTCCGTGGACAGCCCAACAGATCTCGCCCTGCATCTTGTCTCCACAAACCACAAAAAGGTTCTGAAGGAGAAGGGTTTGTCTTACGAACTGCCTGAGTTTGTCTTCAAGTACCACTGTGGCCCTTGCGATTGGTGGCACGTTCGGGACTGCGAAGCCAAGACACATCTTACCCGAAAGCGGCACACAAAATGTTTGGCACAAGTCGAGGCCAAAGCCAAGCAAGCCCGGGAGCTAGCAAAGCAAAGCAACAAGATGCGCCAGTTCTTTGGTCTCAGTGCCCGGCCAGCCCAGCCAACCCAATCTGTTGTGCCAGCCAACGCAGCCGCCGCTGAACAGCTTCCACGTGCTCTGATCGAGATTGGCACTTGGGCCGAGTTCGACCAGGCTGTTGCTGACGCCAACCCTCTCGGTGACGAACGTTACGTGACCAAACATGAGAACAAGAACAAGGGCCGCTCAAAGGTTCGCACCACTGGCAGCGTCTTGGACGAGGTCAGTGGCAACGAAGCCAATGGCAACCCTGTCCCTGAGGATACCATGGCACCGTTGGCTGGTGTTCCCTTCAAGCAGCCAAGCACAGCAGCCAAGCGCAAGGCCGACAATGCTCAGCATGAGGGTAGCATGAAGCGGTTCCTGGCGGGCAAATAAGATTACTGGCGCTTGTTCTCTCTGGCGAGCCAAGGCGACAATTTGGAAGCCCTTCAAACGCATAATGGTTTGGCGTTCCGCTCGGCCAACCAGCTACAGCAGCCACTGTCTCTGAGCCAACTGGCTGGACAATTTTGGACGGCATTGTTACACACACGTTCGTGGGAAGCGGGACCAATGGCCAGAACTCGGCGCTTGGGACATGAACACTCATATTTGCACACTTTTTTTGGTTGCCGACACACTGCAATGGCCAAAGCATGGCAATTTGTGGCAAAGAACCTTATGATCATCGGTGTTTTTTTGGACTCTAGTTTTATCTAGAATTAGCTGCTAGTGCAGCACAAAATCACATCCTTTGGTCCAAGAGTTCTGCCGTTTTTTTTCCCTTTTGCTTGTGCTGTTTTTTGTGACCACGACCTGTGCCATTCTGTTCTACCGCCCTGCTAACTCTACCGAACACTCAGGTCCTGGCGTTGAAAACATCTCGTGCACTGGCATGGGCACGATTGGCAACATGGGTACGTGATCACTTGTCCTCTACACAACGAGACTCTTTTTACTGATTGCTCTCAGGTGCTGAAATCGGTGCCACGACCTCCGTCTTCCCCTTCAACGACCGCATGTACGACTACCTCGCCGCGACCAACCGCAAGGAGATTGGCGACTACGCACGATCGTACGCCGATGGCTTGCGTGCGGACGAAAACTGCGAGTACGATGAACACGTCGAGATTGACCTTTCGTCCCTCGAGCCTATGATTAATGGGCCTTTCACCCCTGACTTGGCCACGCCTCTGTCCAAGTTCGCCGAGACTGCCAAGGCCAACGGCTGGCCCACTGAAGTCAAGGCTTCCCTGATCGGCTCCTGCACCAACTCCTCGTACGAGGATATGTCTCGTGCCGCTCACATTGCCCGCGACGCTCTGGACCACGGTCTCAAGGCCAAGACCGGCTTCTTTGTCTCTCCCGGTTCTGAGCAGATCCGTGCTACCATTGCTCGTGATGGACAGCTTCAGACGTTCGAAGAGTTCGGTGGTTCCGTCCTCGCCAACGCCTGTGGCCCCTGCATTGGCCAGTGGGATCGCCAGGACGTCAAGAAGGGCGAGAAGAACACCATTGTCACCTCGTTCAACCGTAACTTCACTGGCCGCAACGACGGCAACCCTGCCACTCACTGCTTCGTCACTTCCCCCGACATGGTTCTGGCCATGGCCATCGGCGGTTCCCTGACCTTCAACCCTGCCACCGACAAGCTCAAGGACAAGGACGGCAACGAGTTCATGCTTACTCCTCCCACTGGTATCGAGGGTCTCCCCGCGAAGGGTTACGACCCTGGTGAGAACACTTACCAGGCTCCTCCCGCCAACCGTGAGGCCGTCGAGGTTGTTGTCTCCCCCACTTCCGACCGTCTCCAGGTTCTCTCTCCCTTCAAGCCTTGGGACGGCAAGGACGCCAAGGACCTGCCCATCCTGATCAAGGCTCAGGGCAAGACCACCACCGATCACATCTCCATGGCTGGTCCTTGGCTCAAGTACCGCGGCCACTTGGACAACATCTCCAACAACTTGCTCATTGGAGCTGTCAACGAGGCCAACGGCGAGGCCAACAAGGTCCAGAACTACACCAATGGCGAGTGGGGTGCCGTCCCTGCCGTTGCCCGTGACTACAAGGCCAAGGGCATCAGGTGGGTCGTTGTCGGCGACTGGAACTACGGCGAGGGCTCGTCCCGTGAGCACGCTGCGCTCCAGCCCCGCCACCTGGGTGGTTTGGCCATCATTGTTCGCTCGTTCGCCCGTATCCACGAGACCAACTTGAAGAAGCAGGGTATGCTTCCTCTGACTTTCGACGACCCTGCTGACTACGAAAAGATCAAGCCTGAGGACCGCGTAAGTGAATGCCATTCCAACTAATCTGATATGCACTTAACTAACATGCACGACCCAATCTAGATCGACATCCCCTGCACTAAGCTCGCTACCGGTGTTCCTCTTGTCGCCACTGTCCACCCCAAGTCTGGTGAGGCCTTTGAGGTCAAGCTTAACCACACATTCAACGACCCCCAGATTGAGTGGTTCAAGAACGGTAGTGCCCTGAACACCATGGCCAAGGCCACCAAGGCTTAAGCGTCTTGATAAGCACGACGTCTGGATGTAGATACGAGGTGCACGACTTGAAGGCTGGTGTGATGGAGAAGCAGATCGATACCCTCGAGACCTCAGTCTCGGAAACTTATGCACTCCTCCGTGACGAGATTGTGATGCACAGGGGTGCCCCGTTCAACTGGTATGGGAAATGCCAGGAGGCATGACTCATGAGAAGATCGCACAAACACATACAGCATCTTTTGACATGATTTCCTCATGGTTCCTCTTTGTTAGCCTTTGTACAAGAATAATAAAAAAAGTTCGAAAAGCCAGGCTTGCAAGAGTGGTTCAAAGTGAAGCTGGCATAACGAAATTGTGGTCGCTCGTCTCTCTGACATTTTTGATCGCTCTGTTATACTGCAGTCACCGAACTTTGTAGTCTGGCGGTCTGGAATTTTTGGACCTCTGGCTCTCTGATTCCTGGCCGTTGCAACTCTGAACCTCTGACCTCTGACCTCTGACCTCTGAACCTCTGAACCTCTGAACCTCTGAACCTCTGAACCTCTACGCAATAGCACGCAAGCTAGACTTGCTATATTAGGCTATGCCATGGGCCTGGCCCGTAGAGTGGGGTAGTGGACAGCGTACAATGCCAAGCTGTGATGTTGTCTGATTGATGTATCTACAAAGACACGTTCATCTACAGCTGAGTCAATGTTGCCCTTGAGACGCAGGGCACCGTGCTTCTCATGTGAAGCCGTCGACTGACCTGAGCAGAGAAGCATGCCTCAAGCGAATAGGAGCACACGCTCTGGGATAGTCATGTCCTGGTGGGAGCTCGGCCGTGGGCGGAGAGCCACGCTTGGGGGCCACGCTTGAAGTGGGGCCATCCTGTCCTGTCGGAGCCAGCCAGCAACTGTCATCTTTCGAGATGGATGCGGCAGCCCGCACCTCTTCACACTTGTGCCGACGACACAGCGTGAACCCTCGACAATCCAGAGCCTGGTCCGCCTGTCTGCCACTTCGCATGCGGCTAACCTTGCTCTTTCACGGACTCTCGCACACCAGCAACGAAATACGCTCCGACTACACAGAGTCCCACGGCCTCTTCTGTCCCGAGTCGACCACCCAAGCTCCGCCCTTGTGCTGCGACTCTGTAGTCCGATCGTCCCCGAACCACGAACTGCAAAGGCTCGCGCTTGCTCAGCAGTCTCTTCCGCCTCGCTGTACTAGACGTGTGCCGCATGACAAAATGCCTGCCAACCAATACTTCAACTCGCATCGCGCGCGGTCGTACTTGTCGCGACTCCCCCTGTTCACGCGGGCCCTCATCGTCATAATAGCGGCGCTCTGGGTAGCTACACTACAATCGGTCTTCGACTTGAAAAAATGGGGTGCTCTCATACCTGATGAAATCAACATCTTCACCAGTCAGTGCTCTTCCGAGATCGACCTCTGGATTCATTAATTCTCCTAACAACTACTTTGCAGTGTACCGACTGAATACTTTTCCGCTACTGCACCTCAACTTTTTCCACGCGCTGTTCAACACACTCGCTCTGACACCACTCATGGAGCGTTTCGAGGCCGAGTTCGGGACCCTGACATCGCTCGCCCTCTTCTTTGGGCGTGAGTCTACCTTGACGCAAGAACGGGCGCTTACTCCTAGAATATGGATGCAAAGGGCATACGCAGCTGACACTTACGGTCACCTTATTTAGCACTGACCATGATCCCTGCGTTTGCGTACATTTTTATTGAACGAATCGTCATGGGTGGCAACACGGCTGTGATGGGCGCGAGGTATGTTTTGGTGCTCTGCTTGCCCTTATCTGTAGTACAGCTGATGAACACGCAAAAATCGCTGATACTGGCTGCTGTAGTATGTGGGTGTTCTTGTTGCTTGGGATGGAGGGCATCCGAACATACAAGACGAACCCGCATCTCGTCATTGCGACCTACAACATTCCCACTTGGACAACGCCACTAGTTATGGTACTTGTTGTACAAGCACTTGTACCTGGCACAAGCTTCATTGGTCACCTGTGCGGTGTAGGCACGGGATATCTTTGTAAGTCGTCACCGTGCTTCTCGCGGAAAGCCATTGTTCTAACTGATTGTACCTTGCAGTCGGCCTTGGCTACCTGAAGTTCGTGGCACCGCCAGAGTGGGCATTGCGGTGGATCGAATCGAAACTCAACTTGCTGGGCAGACTCCCTCACTATGTCAGTATTGATCAGAAGACATACGGGCGATTCGGCGTCCTGCCCTCCAGCGGCGGTCCGACCGCACCGTTGGCGATGGTTGGCGGAGGCCAAAGACTTGGTCCCTGAGCTACCTGCGAAGCATGTCAGAGAGGTCTCCCTGGCCACGGCCCCAGCTGGAAGCTCTAGAGAACGTGGCTGGCGCAAAGAGCACTTGCCACAAGTAGCTTGGGCAGATTTCACGTATATACTTGATAGAGGTGGTGTATATAAGCATTGTTCCGGTACGACTCGTAGAAGAAGAGAATACCCATGCAACACATGTATGCATACTTCAAGTATGCTGCTGCTCACGGCAGCCAGGGGTGACACGAGGACGTCCGAGTCAATTATACAAAATGTTGTGCATAGAAGGAGTGCGCTGGAAGATCATTGTGTCGCGTGATGCTTTCTGTCATGGTCTTTGGGGCAGGTCTGAGACCCTACTTCTCGCAAATATTCCAAGAGTGATCGGAAAGAAGGCGATGAAAATGGTGTGTTTTCAAGGTATTCTGAACGCGCGTGAAGAAAAAGTCTCGGCACGCTGCAATATGGGCAAAGTCATTTAGCGACACGAATGACGCGCCTCGTGCATGCCCCTGGGAGCTAGCTCCGGACCCCTGAACCACGCGCGGAGCGGCACTGGGGCTGCAATTGTTCAAGACAGCTTACAACACCGGGCATCGCAACCTCCCCCTCCACCTGCAGATCGTGTCCTTTTCCCTCCACAGCTCCCTCGTTTCCACCTCGACTGATCTCGCCTCAGCGCTTCGAGATTGCCCCGAGCATTGTGGGCCGCACAGTCCCGTCCACGCGAAACTTCAGCATTGCGACTCGGCGACAGCACCTTTCAGTTCCCAGCTTGCATCTGGGGGGTAATCCTCCGCGCCCCTCCACAAGCCATGCCTCGCCTATTGTGTACGTCTTTTGCGCTATTCAGGCCCTCCTCGTCGCCAATGCAACTAGTAGCTGGTAAAGATGCTAATATTCGGCCTCTTGTGGTTTAGCCGCGGTCTTGCACATGCGCAAAGACCCGCGCATGCTTAAAGTGCCCCCATACCTGTCCGCCCTCTGCGTTGTGGTCGGTGTCGTCTGGCTCTTCCTGCTCCCGCTCAATGACTACTCGAGACGGACATACATTTCCGAAAATGCTCTTCTTCCCGGTCAAGTCCATACGTACTTTGGGGGGAGCGACCAGAACGTATTCCGTGCGTATCGGCACGAACTCGACGAATTACAGGACAAGACGAACATTGAGTACGTGTCAGGGCTGGCTGGACAGCATGCAAAACGCACAAGGCTGATCAGGACTATGTTTCAGAATCAACGACGGAATAGAAAACATTTACAAGGGCATCGGCCTCAAAGTCGGTCGTCAGAATTATACCTATCGAAGCGCCGGCAAGGACTATTCCGGTCAGAACGTATATGCCATTCTACAAGCGCCCCGTGGAGATGCAACAGAGGCCATTGTGCTGGTGACGGCATGGAAGAATATCAAGAACGAATGGAATCGAAGTGCGGTTGCTCTCGGGCTTACACTCGCCAGATATTTCAAGCGGTGGTCACTCTGGTCCAAGGACATCATCATCGTCACCCCACCCGACAGCAGAGCTGGCATTCAGGCATGGGTGGATGCTTACCACGATGCGCACAACGCTGCCAATGTTGCCTCCCTTCCGATCAAGTCTGGTGCGTTGCAGGGAGCATTGGCCCTCGACTTTCCTCAAGAAGCTAGATACGAGTCACTCCAGATCGTGTATGATGGAGTCAACGGGCAGCTGCCGAACTTGGATTTGTTCAACAGCATGGTGCTCATCGCTGCTGGTCAGATGGGCATGCAGCAGACCTTTATCCACGACATGCAGAAGCATAGCGACAGTTACGACGCTCGTCTTGCAACCATGCTGCGCGGCATGCTCAACCAAGGATTGGGACAGTCGACCGGCCCTCACAGCAGCTTTATTCCGTATCACGTGGACGCCCTTACAATACAACCCGTTGGCCAAGGTTGGCATGACGAAATGGGCCTGGGCCGGATTGTGGAAGGCACGTTCCGGAGTCTGAACAACTTGTTAGAAAAGCTGCATCAGAGCTTCTTCTTCTACATTCTGATGAATCGGGACCGCTTCGTCAGCATCGGAACCTATCTGCCAAGTGCTATGCTTGTAGCAGCCAACTTCTCCATCATGGCAACCAACCTGTGGATTAAGAGTGGGCAAGAGGATACACAAACTGGAACGGCAAACAGAGAGCTCCTCCTACCGCTCATCACAGTGGCCATCTGTCAGTTCTTAGGTGGCGCGCCACTTGCCATATTTTCTCATATTCCGTCAGAAGTAAGCTTGCTCATAATCACACGAATGTTACAGAGTACTCGAAAGTCATATGCTGACAAGCCCCCCTTAGGCATTGGTGCCGGTCTTCCTGGCATTCGCTGCTCTCAGCGCAGCAAGCCCCTTCATCTTGTCATACGGTATCCAGACGTTCATTGCTCGCAAGCAGGTAAGCTTGCAGCAATACGAGCTGATCAAGTGCTTCTCGCTCCTACTCCTTGGCATGTTCTTGTCTGCACTAGCAACTCTAAATTTCAGTCTCGCTCTGATAGTCGGACTGCTAGCGACTCCGCTCTCCTTCGCGCGCACATGGCCAGACAACCTCGTTGCTGCTCGCATCCTTTATACCATATTCTTGCAAGTCGTCAGTCCGCCAGTCATCCTTCTCGTGGCCAGTGCTGTATTGGGACCCAAACTTGGCGGAAGCGCCATGGGCGGCTTGCACATCGTCCTCGAGGAGGCCATGTTTGGGTGGAATGTGCTGGGGATGTATACCCCTTTGGTCTTGTGGGCGGTCTGGTGGCCTGCCTGGATCGTCGGATGTCTCATTACTTTGGGGAGACCTGTAAATGAGGCTGGCAAGCCGAAGCAAGCATAGAAAGCCCAGTCCATGGGCTATGCATAGAGTGAGCAAAACCAGAGCATAAATACATCAAGTTGTCATCATTGCACAGGGCACAATTCCTGACAAGTTTCATTTGCCATTGGGGCCTGTTCTTGATCATCTCACGTGAGTACTACAACTGCGCAACCTAGTTCAGGGTTTGATTTTAATGCCAAGTCATCTCTAGCATTCTATATGCCCAAAGCTTGTCCGAGCCCATCAGCACGTGCTTGGAGACTGCCATGATCTAAGCTGGGCTGACATTTTCCCGTGATCGAATGATTTGTTGCAAACACTCTGATCTCCCTCAGACGCACAATCGTCCACGGCCGCGCAAGCGAAGGAAGTACATGACCTTCAGGTACATCACTTACTCCATCGAGGGACTCGAGCTTGGATGATGCGTTGGCCAATGGCCTCATCTTCTAGCACACGTGATGCTTCGGTTGGTTGGTGCTAGGGACACCCCACCGCTTGCCAGAGATCCGGAATTAGGCGGCCCAGATATCCTGCCCAGTAGCCTCAATCCAGTTGCCCAGCTTGTTGACATTCTCACCCCATTCACCTAGCCGTTGGCTCATGCTCGCAATCTGACCCATGTCTAGCACGCGAGGTTGAACCCATGTGAAGTTGACAACTTCATCCACTTCGTCTATGGTACCGCGTACCAAACCAAGGCTCAAAGCTTTCATGACCAGATGTTCAATCTGGTTCTTGCGGACCTTGGTATCAGCACTTATGGTTGCGAAAGACATGGCGCGCTGGTGCGGTGGCCGGCGGAAGACGGATTCTGTCAGGGCGGCGAGGTAAATCTTTTGCCTAATCTCGTCATCGTGATCTGCTAGCAGGGGATGCTCATCGATATGTCCGGACAGCATGTCATAAGCTGCCAGATCTCCCCTGTTGAAGGCAAGGAGCAGGTCACGCAGCCACGAGATGTCGCCGGTCAGGTCTGCCAGTATGGGGTGTTGCAGCAGCTCGCCGAAATTGTAGATCGAGTCTGACACAAGGGCAGCGATACCAAGGTCGTATGCCCTGGCCTTGCGCTCTTCTGGTGATAATGTCGAGAGGTCTATGCATGCGAGATAGAGGAGAGCGTTCTTGTAGAAGGAGGCGAAGTCGGTCTGAGCCTGGTAGTATGAGGCGTTCGTCTCGTAAAAGGCGGCATGGACCTTTGTTTCCACGGAGTCGAAAGTGTCGAGAATCTTCTCGGCACTGTCGAGATCCTTCCGGGCAGCTTCGGGGTCGCGCAGCTGTAGCTTCACTTTTGCGGCAGCAACTGTGGCGTACACAAAGGCATCTTGTGTGTTTTCATTGTCGACCTTCTTGGCCAGGTCTGTTAGAAAGACCAGACGTTCTCGGTCATCTGTTTGGCAGTGCGTCCCAGCAAGTTAGTGGTCAAGGAATATGTGCTGTGGCAGGGCTAGCTGCAGCTGGCAATAAGCGAACCTTTGCATTGTGTGGCGGCCTTGAGGCCAAGATCGACGAGCTTGAGTTGGTTGATCTTGTCGGCAAACTTGAGGATGAAGACCTTGTAGAAGGCAAGGCGCTGGCTGGCGCTGGCGGGGTTGTTGAAGAAGTCGATGAGGGCATCGGTGAGCTGGTGCCACAGCTTGCGCTCCCAGTAATCTTCAAATTGGATTATGAGACCCTGAAGCTCCTCGGGCGCCTCGTCTCTTTGGTCGGAGAGGAAGTCGGCGACCGTGTCGACGTTCATCGTCGCCATGCTTGAACAGAACCGGCTTGAGGTGGTGGTATGCTGGGCAAGCTCGGGCGGTGGGGTACTTGTCAACCTCAATGAGGCCAACAATAGTCTACCAGACTGCTCAAGGAGCGTTGAAGTGCAGGCGTACGTGTTGGGACAGGTCGAGAGTCGAGCGTCGGTCTCGGTGGGTGATTGGTGGTGGAATGTGGTGATGCCTGCAGATGAAGCTCGTTTGCCAGGCTGGAGCTGTGATGAGCTTCAGCACACGCCGCTACGTAAGGCGGGCAGCGGCTTTGGGTCAAACGGGACTGCAGGGGGGCACACGCACGCGGCGAAGCAGCCTGGGCAGTGAGGCGCTAGGTACCTGGTACTTCCAGATGCGCCCTCGCGTCCACGGGTGTCATCCAGCCACGGCCCCAGCAGCTGTGGCGGTGGCTCGTGGGCTCGGAAATGCCAGGCCTGACCTTGGGGCATGCGGGCCTGCAACTGTCCAATGAACGGGCTTCTATTGGGGAATGGCAGCGAAACCTTGGAGCTCGCCAGCGCTTTGCATCGATGCGCAGTTGCCATTCCGACGACAACTCGAGCAAGCCAGTCCACTTTCGCGCGAGTCGGCTTGAGCATCGTCGTCCTCACGTAGCACCGCCTCCGTCGACACGGCAGCCCGCGCCGCCGAGCTCAATTGACGCCAGCAACTGTCTCTAGGTCTTGCGACGACTCCCACAACCAACATGGCGTCCCCCGCCGCCGCCCTCCGCTCTGGCCGCAAGTTCGCCGTCCATCTCGCGGGCCAGCAGACCCGATTCCTGTCTGATGTTGCCATCACAAGGACCGGCAAGCCAATCCTTCGTGTTCAGGGTGGAAGGTTCGTTCCAATGCTCTGCGACGGCCCGCCAACGGATGTAATGTGCTCAAGGACTGACATATGCTTGCGTTTACTAGATCGGCCCTCGGAGGTACATCACCACCATTATACCGATTCGCCACTCAACTCCAGCTCGGTACGCTTGATGGACGAATAATCTGACGTGCTCGACTTATTATAGGACATACCGTTACCGTCTTCGGCGCTACAGGACAGCTAGGCAGATATATTGTCAACCGACTTGGTGAGACTCCCGAAAGCTTTCACAGGCACGATGAACGCATGACGCTACTAGCACGAGCTGCTGACACGACACAATCCCCGATTTTCAGCCCGGCAAGGATGCCAGGTCGTCATTCCTTACCGCGAGGAGATGGCCAAGCGCCACCTCAAGGTTTCTGGCGATCTCGGCCGCGTGCACTTCCTCGAGTTCGACATTTACAATACCAAGTCTATCGAGGAGAGCGTTCGCCACTCCGACGCCGTCTATAACTTGATTGGCCGCAACTATCCGACAAAGAACTACACTCTCGAGGATGTGCACGTGGAGGGCACGGAGCGTATTGTGGAAGCTGTTGCCAAGTATGACGTCGACCGCTACATCCATGTCTCCTCATACAACGCGGATCCCAACTCCAACGTTGAATTCTTCCGTACCAAGGGTGTCGCAGAGCAGGTCGCTCGCTCCATCTTTCCCGAGACGACCATCGTTCGCCCTGCTCCTATTTTCGGCATTGAGGACAACCTTCTCCTCAAGCTTGCCAGCGTAACTAACTTGTTCACCTCGAACAACATGCAGGAGCGCTATCGTCCTGTTCATGTACGTCTCACCTCGCACTTCCCATGGCTTTGTGATTATACGGGTTCTGTGATGAAACCCTAGACTGACGCATGCTGCTTGGTTTGTAGTCTATCGACGTGGGTGAGGCTCTGGAGAAGCTGTTATACGATGATAGCACAGCTGGCCAGACTTATGAGCTGTTCGGTCCCAAGGAATACTCGACAGCCGAGATCGCTGAGCTGGTCAATCGGGAAATTTTCAAGAAGCGAAGGCACATCAACGTCCCCAAGGCGATGCTCAGACCAATCGCTGCTGTTCTGAACAAGGTCCTCTGGTGGCCAATTCTGTCTCCGGAGGAGCTCGACAAGGAGTTCGTCGATCAGGTTGTTGATAAGCACGCCAAGACTTTTGCCGACCTAGGCATGAAGCCCGGCGATATCAGCAATTACACGTACCATTACCTGGTAAGCTTGGGCATGCATGACTTGGAGAACACATGGAGCTAACAAGCCAACAGCAAGGATTCCGTAGCCAAGCTCTGCTCGACCAGCCACCAGCGACGGAGAAGGAGAAAAGGGAAGACCGAAAGTATTTCCATGTTACCGATGGAGCTCAATAAGGGAAGAGGCGGTGCCACGAGGAAATCATCTGCGTCGTGCCATGTAGCATCAAGCCACCACGTACTGTACATATTTACTGCTCTAGACCACGGGATTTCTTCTGTCGGACAATCATACAAAACACTAAACATTCGCATTTGGTCGTACTTGATTCTCCCAACCCACAAACGCATGTTGAATGAGTTGCGTATGCGATCGTGAGTACCTCCGAAGTGCCACGCCACCATATCCACGACATATGGCGGTCGACGAAGCACGGCCTATCAATGTGTGTACGGATGCGCGATGATGCTAAACAGCTCGAGTGTGCTGCGGGGCCCCTCCACAAGCGCACGCCCGATCCGTCCCACTTGCGATGAACTATTTTCGAGCTTACAAGTCAACCTGAAGAACCTGACAAAATCACTATTCCAACACTCATTCACCATACGTTCACATTTGCCGTTTTGACGGGCTGCGAAATGTCTGACAGCGACGATGAACCCATGTGAGTCATTTTCCCCTTGGTTCATGTCTGGCTTTGGACACTCGGGCTGGCGATGTTACTCAGTTCCGAACAAACAATATCCCAGCGCTTGGACTTGGTTTTGCAACAGACACTCCAATTCTGCGCCTGACATGTGCCATTTGGCGTTGCCCTTCACGGAGCGTTTGACCAGTCGTCAGCTGCACGCGCTAATCTTCAGACCAGAACCCTGTCCTCACACGCGCTTGATGCCCTCAAGCAGTTCTACAGTGATAGAGATACACACGCGGAGAGGTTCGAGAAACTCAAGGCCGATGCCGAGCGAAATGCCCAGCCAGGGGAGCCTCTGTCTATGGATGCTTTCACTGAAGATTGGAATGAAAGCCAGTTTTGGGTGAGGTGTCTACCATGAGGCTGCATTTTGCCCTTGTTGTACAGCAACTGACTTTAGACCGATTGCTACCTGGCATACAGTACTCTGACGAGACGGCTACTCGTCTCGCAAAGCAGCTCCTTGTAGATACTACCCAGGACTCAGTCGTTGCCGTGGTCTCAGCGCCGAGTGTATTTGTCGCATTGAAGAACTTGGTGGTAAGGCACAGATATTTCCTTGCCGCGGACACAATTTCTAACGTCTTTTCATGCCCGAACAGGCAAACCTTGGCCCGGAATCGCCGAGACCCAAGATGTACCTCTTGGAGCATGACCAGCGATTTTCCGTGTTTCCGGAGTTCATTTTCTATGACTTCCAACAGCCATTGAAGCTGCCTGGTAAGTGGGCTTGACGCCAATTCTCCTCGTCCTTCTTGACCATGTTGTTCTTGCCCGCTGAAGAATGTGATGTAGCCGAGCTTAAGGGCAACATCGACCGGATTGTATGCGACCCGCCATTCCTGAGCGAGGACTGTCAGACAAAAGGTAACGCTTATCACTCTTCTTTTCTTTGATACGAGCACGCTCTGGAGAGAGACCACGGGCGGGAGAAGACTCTTCGAACTCCTAGTCCCATCCGTCGCTGCCACTCGACCGCACGATAAACCTTCGCGGTTTCGCTAACAAAAGCCTTTGACTGGTAGCCGCATTGACTTGCCGGTGGATGGTCCGCTCATCCATAGCGCAAGATACCCCATCAGGGGCTCGAGTAATTGTCTGCACGGGAGAGCGAATGGAGTCGCTGGTCACAGGACGCCTGTATAATGCATTTGGTGTACAGACTACTGATTTTGAGCCTGTCCACGCCCGAGGGTTGAGCAACGAATTTTACTGCTACGCCAACTTCGAATGCGAGGACTGGAAATGGAAGGACGCGGGGCAAAAGCACTAGATGGGAAGCCAGACCTAGTTTCCACACTGAGGTGGATGGTCACCATGTGTTTCGGGCAATGGGTTTAAGGAGCGGGCCTTGCAATAAGCATCATATACGCTTCCTTCACGCTTAGCTCTGTCATCATCCAGTATTTTGCCAATAAGGCAGCGAGACTAGTCCGTTGTCGCGCTGGTTCGGCCCAGTATCGAAAGAAGGCAAGCAAGTCATGTGGTCTAGATGCTTTGTTCTACGAACTGTGTGGACCCTGTTGGACTTAATCAAATGCATGAGCGTGAGGGCCTGGCACAGATACAGACACGTTCAACTCGATAACAGGAAAGCATGATGCAACGTCCGCGTTGACCTGACGGGATGGGGTTGTGCGAGACGTGGGCACGTTTTATACATTGGTTGTGCTGTCATCTACGGCTGCCATCTAGTTACCTGTAGAACACAGGGCGCGCATGCTGCAAGCTATTCAACAACACTTGATTTGCGATGAGTGTGCTTGTGATCATCGTCACATGGAATATGGCCGTCAAGTCATTGTTCTGCACCAACTTTTGAGTCTCATACAGTGACATCAATACTTTGATACTCACGCCAGTGAGCGTATGATGTAGAAGAGCAAGTATGCTCGCGAGCCAAGCACATCTGACTTCCTGGCCAGTTCGACCTTGTGATCATTGAACGAGAACCATTGGTCTCCAACGCGGCAGTATGTGACATAGTGGCCTAGATATTCGTCAGTCCAACATGTTTCTTCATAACTTCCACGGAGGGGGACTGACCAGTATCGATTTCACCAACGTGCTCCACCACACTTAAAAGATCATATGTGCACGACCGATTCAGCTCTTGGCTGTCCTTGGCGTCTGCCGACCTGCCGCGTGTCGTGTACGGAAGCATATTGAGTTGTAGAGGAAACTGAACCTTGGTGTCGATCTTCGACGCTGAACGATCACGACTTCCCTGTTTGAACTCGAATCGCTGTAGCACCTGTTAGTAAAGGCCGAACTGTGGGATGAATTTAAGACCGGCTTGCCTTCAACTGTATTGAAAGGACGTTTGGCAGCAGCTTAATGCCATGGTCTCGCCGTGCTTGTTGTGATGAGTCACAATTCCGACATCGATAGTCGCATTTGTCTGACTTGATATATTCATCATCGAGACAGTCTTGTAGTGTTATCGAGCCGCCATTTTTGGCCGCCTTCTTGCCTTTCTTGGTGGCAAGGTTCTCGAGGCCGAGACTAAGATCAAGGAAGGACTCGATCGAGTTTGTCACTCCGCCGCAATTGAGGCATGTTGTAGAGCGTTGCAACTTGCCATAAAAGGTCTGGTGAATGATGCAGTTACAGCTGTGCTCACTTCCTGTTTCTGGCTTTCTTCCATCGCCATTCCTTTCGTGGAGTTCTTCGGCCAGAAACTGGAAGAATTCGTGTGCGTCTTGCTCCTTTGTGGTGACGAGGTTCTCGAAAGCCTTCTTGTCTGATATCCAGAACCCCGAGAGTATGTTTGCAGCTGTGTAACCATTTGTGTTTTCGAGAGCGTAGAAGTCCTGAAACATGTCGTCCATGGCGCAACTGAGACAGTACGGCACTTCGCAATTACTGCTTTGATGCCCATCACTCAAGTAGAAGTTCCTGAGCAGAGGGTTGTGCAGGAAGCTCTGGAGGACGACGTTCTGATAGCATGTGGCACCCGCGTTGTAGATACCACGCAGGCCGTCGGCTCTACAGGACGCTGCTGTGGTATTTGTGGAAATGTAGCGTGGATCCTCTTTCGCATCCTTGATAGAGTCCGCGAAAAGCTCCTCGTGTTTCCTCTTTCGACCTGCATTGCCCTGCGTTAGTACTCTAAAGTCCAGCAGGGGTCCAAGGATGTCCGCGAAGCAAATCAAGACGAAGTGGGCGCCCATTATGACGGTCAATAGCAATTGTCTAGGTATATAGTTGAACGTACTCGAAAACGAACCTGTGCCGATCTTTCTGACTCGCAGCTCCTCGAGGGTAGGATCCCAGACGAAGTCCTGACAAAATTGACAGAATAGAGCTCCACTCCGCGAGTCGACATCTGAAAGGCCAGGAGTCCTCTTGAATTAGCAGATGGCCACAAAATCCCGACTAGAGGCCGGCTGGTTGCCAGGGGTGACGTACAGAACCGATGACTCTTCTTCTGGCCGTGTTTTTCACGATCGTCCTCTGGCACAATGGTCGAGCACTGCAAACATAGATAGTTTGAGGTCAAGGACGTAGCAATGACCCCATCCGGGCTCTTGGACGTCTGAGGGACTATGGGTGTGTTGTCGAATATGACTCGCAGTAGCATTTTGTAGTACTGAATTGAGCTGTTCATGACCTCTGGGCTGTTGGACAGTAGGAGCTGAATGTGTTCTGCGAAACTAGGTGGTCAGGACCCAATAGGAATATGAGGATCGACAATCTCACGTCGTCCACGTACCACAACCGAACAATGGAGTGCCCGGGACGGGCTCTTTGACCTTGACATTCTTTGGCGAGGCTGGCGGTCCATGCTGTGACGACATGACGGGCGCCGAGTCGTGTTTTCGCAGCGACGCGAACGGCTATAGGCGGCAAAGAACAGAAATGTTGCCTGCTGGCAAGGCGACCGAGTGATCGCAGGCTTGTCAGCCAGCGGCAAGTCGCAATTCCAAGCCGCCAGCTGCGATTTGCTGTCCACAGACGCTCTAGCCTGCTTACTTATGGTCGACGATCGAAGAGGTCGGAAGAAGAGGTCGGGATGTATACAGATATTGAATATCCTCGCCGCGGTTTGGTCTTGGCGACAGGCTGAGGGGGGAGGCACAAGTCAGCGCAGGATCAACAGAACCGTGAATGCGGCGGAAGTGTTAAACGACGGCAATGCCGCCGCAACCAGTTGCTCCGGGCACGGTGTCATGGCGACACGAGCGATGGGTATAGGAAAGCAGACATGCCTCGGTGTCGGGCCTCGAGTGATCGAGAGCAAGGAACAAGTAGCTGGTCGGATGGTGGCTAACGTAAATAATCGTGATTCAGGGGACACGATCGTCCACGGGTTTCTGAGATGATTATGCGCGCGTATCACAGCGTTGCAAGCCAAGCTGGAGACGGTAGATGACTCTGGCAAAGCAAGCTGGTTGGCCAGTTGCACAAGGCGCTGAATATAACTTGAAGGCAGAAGAGCCCCGGAGCTGGCAGCTATCGCGGGCAATGTCGGCGCTGCGTTGGGGAGCATTGCACCTCCGTCGGCTACTAATCGATATTGATAAGTGCTGCCTCCGGGGTGGTGATGGCAGCCGTGGCTCCCTGCGCGAGTGGGCCCCAGCTCGTTGCTGCCGCTTCCTGCGCTAGACACAGCTGCCTCCAGCGCGCGAAACTGTTCCTGTAGCGCGCGGGAAATTTCTTATCGCACCTGCTTATCAGCTGCTCAACGCCCTTCACGCCTCGCTCGGTCCACAGGAACTCGGAGTAGTGCATTCCCCTGCTATGAATCTTGGAACTTAGAAGTGCCGTGTCCAACATGGCATTTGCTGGGACGTCAATTACGGATCATAATCTAGTCGCCGTGGGCCAAGATTCCCTGGAAGCACCATTAGCGATACTAGCTATCCCAAGCCAAGAACCATCCAAGACCCAAATCTTCACGGTCGTTTGCGATGACCTCAATCTGCACACGTTTACATGCACATGCACCTCTGATCTGGTCGCTTCGTTGTTCGCACTTGTTCAGAGTCGCCCTACATCGCTTGACTCGTAAATAGACTTGTTGTCGGTCGCAAATGACGTGCTGGCAAAGGATCAACCCGGGGAGAGTACCCGTTCTCGTTTGGGGTGAAGGCCCCGCGCTCAACCAGCCTCGGCTCTCCAATCCAATTCCAGTCGGGCAGCTCTTGCCCATTGCATCAACCAAAGACAAATCCGTTCTTTGCGGCAGTCGACCTCACGCTACGCACGCAGAATTTGTCGAGACTCTGCATGGCTTCTTCTGCTTGATCAGACCACAAAATCTTGTACTCCGCAGCTTCGGCCTGCTTGTATCTTGCCGCATCCATCCCCGCAAATCGTATAACCTCTTCCCAGTCGTGCTGTCATCTGCGGTTTCTAGTGTGTTCGAGTTCATCGACTCCTTCCTTTTCGCGCGGGAACACGACGCATGTCCCATTGGAGAAGGCCTCTTGCCGCTCTGTTTACCCCTGGCCGCACGACTCAGCGCACCATGGCTTCCAACCTCGCCAGTCTGCCCGAGGTTGAGCGCCTCAGCCCTGCGGTCGTCCGAATACTGGGTGGTAACCCAGGCAAATTCACACTACAGGGCACAAACACCTATCTCGTCGGCAGCGGTCCTCAGAGGATCCTTATCGACACTGCTGAGGGTCGGCCGTCGTGGATTGCCGCTCTCCGACGCCTACTCGAGCAGGAAAAAGCCCATATCCAGCAGGCATTGATCACACATTGGCATCACGATCACGTAGGCGGCATTCAGGACTTGCTGGGGCTGAATCCATCCACAACCATCCACAAATTCGATCCTCAGGGGGGCCAGCATCCGATAGCGGATGGACAAGAGTTTGAGGTCCAAGGTGCTACGCTGACTGCGGTCCACTCGCCTGGCCACACGACGGACCACGTTGCTTTCGTGCTGCGCGAGGAGGACGCATTGTTCACCGGTGACAATGTGCTCGGCCATGGGACAGCTGTCTTCGAAGACCTCGGGACATATCTGCAGAGCCTCGCCAAGATGAAGCCTCTTGTCCAAGGCAGGGCATACCCTGGCCACGGCGCTATTCTGCACTCAGCACCGGCCAAAATTGAAGAGTACATATCACATCGCAAACAAAGAGAAGATCAAGTGCTGGAGCTGCTGGCCTCTGGAGACGGCGACAGTATGCACGCCAAGGGAGGTGCCTGGGCCGTTATGGACCTTGTTAAGATCATCTACCGCGATGTACCCGAATCGCTGCATATCCCCGCAGCTGGCGGGGTTAGCCAGATATTGCGCAAACTAGAGGCCGAGGACAGGGTCGTACTCGAGAGTGAGGAAAGGTGGAGGCTTCGTGATCGGTCAAGTCTGTGAGGGTTTCACAAAGAATGGCCACCGGAAATATAGCATACTTAAGTACCTAAGTATTTACAGGCACATTGAAACAAGCCAACACGACTCGTTAGCATGGTAATGTAAGGACTCGGTGAGTCGGCCAGCCGCTTTCACTTGCTTCCACCGAGTCGTAAATAGACGGCACATGGACACTGCTGCATGCCCGCTTAGGCGTCTACTTCGAGCAGTAGCGCAATATGCCATGGCTTGATGCCTAACGACATAGCTGAGCTATATTGCCCAGGTAGCCCCATATGGACACTTGCGTTTTGCTTTGACCAACACTGTGAGACCGCCTGCAGATGCGGCCATCTTATAGAGACATGTAGCAATTGGCAAGGGCCCTGAGCTGGTCAGCATGCATGGTAAGCAGCATGGGGCCAGCGAATCAAGTGCTACTGTGCTGGCAGCATTGGGGGCACTCGCCGACATCGATGTGCGTGCGTGATGAGCCGATCAGCGAATCACCGGTTGAGCTTGAGGAGCCCAGTCATTCATTATGTCCAAGCGATCCGAGAATCACGCGGCAACACTCGTACCGTCGTCCATCGCCATCAGGCTCCACACCGATACGTGGGACAAGTCCTCGTTCGACCGTATCAAACAGCTCCGATCCCGACCACCTCGGGAGCTTCGGAAGACAATGTGAGATCTGTGGAGCGGAACCGGAGCCAAGTTATTAGGCCGGAAGACCAGTTGACTCACTGCTTGGGAGTAGATCCCGGTATCATTGAGAAGTGAAGCAGTACACCACCCTTTGAGGGCTTGAGTTATCGGGAGCGACGGAGGCGCGAAGTGTGGGGACTCGGCTTGCCCCGACGGATCGCAACAATTGGCCTGGACATGCCCCGGAGCGTCGTGGCTCGCGTGGATGCTTAGGGCGGTGGTTAGGCTGGCAACGTCATGCAGTGGTTCATGGCCCGATTGGAAAAGACCCGGTCATCATGTGACGATAACGCGATGATTTATAATCCCCAGCGTGTTGCTGCGACTTGTACCGTGATGAAGCAAGGCTTTCGGAAGATCCGGATAGAAGATGGGCGAGGACCCAGGGGTCAAGTGATGACTGGTTAGCCTACCGACGCGTATTGAGCCCCATCGCAGGGTCACCACACATGTGATTATTAATGGAACTGCATAGTGGCCGGCAGTCATAAAGGCCCGGCAGGACGGACCCACCCGAGCTATGTTGTACGCGCTCACAGAGGGAGGAAGCCGAGAAGGAGGGGGGCTTCAGAGCGATGCGGGACAGGGATAGAGGCCTGACAAGGGCAGGGTAAGGTGAGTCGGTGCATTGCAGAACACTTCAGCCAGTGAGTGCCGACATCCAGCCCCCCGGCCTCTCGAAGAGGAGGCGACTGATGCACAGGGCTCGAACGGGACACACCATCGAGCGGTGGGTGGTGAGAAAGGTGGCGCGCGGCGACGGAGCTTTGCAGCAGCAGCACTCATCTCTGAGTGGGGCAGCTAGCGACCCATGACATAGCTTGTCCACTCTATATATTTTTTTCCCCCCTTTGTTGTCGCTCTCGCGCCGAAATGGTTGACCCGACAAGGACCTCCGGGCATGGCTCGGCGAAGGGGCAGCCGGCCGAGACCAGTCAGATCTTGTAAAGCAGTCTCCAAGCTGTCTAGATAAGCGACCGGCTTGTGTTTGACTTGGGTAAGAGGCAGAGTGTGGTGGGTGAGGATGGTCGGAAGCACCGGAACCGGCAGCACCTGTTGGCGCGCACTGCTGACAGTGACGGAGGTGAGGGCATTCCAGGTTGCGCGCGACATCCTAAACCTTAACGCTTGACATGTCACCCACCGCCCTGCCCGGATCGCCCGGCGTGAAATCTGATGTCGACATTGCGTCCCCACTGCGTCTCTGGACGTCGGGCACTTTTGGGGCTCACCATATTAACGCCCCCGTCCCCGGCCGCCTCGCGCCGGCCCTCGCGCCCGACGTGCCCGCCTTGACAAACTGCTCTGTCCTTGTGCTCTCGTGGTTGCCACTGTCATAGGCTGTTACCTTTGTTTGCGCAGCTTCCCAACAGCTCACCTCATCTTGCTCTGCTGTGCCGTACTCCGCGTGAGTGTCACTGCAACGCCGTAGACCGCAAGCCCGCGCAAATCAACGGACAAAGGCCCAGCCTGGCCAAGCGCTTGGCGACTGACGACCCTCTTCTCTCACGACTCGGTCCTCAAAATCAGCTCCCTACGCTCTCGATCTCTGCGCCACACATTCGTCCTCGCCGGCTCGTTACCTCGCGCGCACCTTACAATCTCCTCTATAGGACGGCACTGCTGCGACAGCACCAACTGGCAGAAGGGGGTCTGAGCACATCGCATGACAGAATGGGGCTGGGCTTGAGTATGGCGTCTCATACCCTTTCCGCGGGCGCGAAGCATCTCGCGGCTGCGGTACTCCTCGCCACACTACCGCTGGCGCTGGCTCATGGTGACGAGGAGCATATGGACATGGACATGGCCATGGCTAGCCCGGAGCCTCAGCCCGACTCAGATCCCGCCAACCTGACTTACTTCCGGCTGCCGGAGCACACAGGCGCAATCTATGGCCACATTGTGCTGATGGTCCTTGCTTGGATCGTTGTACTCCCCATTGGTATGCCCTTTGAGCTATGGCGCATGCCTGGCTTTTTCAGCTCGCTGACTCTTTCGTGTCGCTCGTGCAGGTGTCATGTTCTCCATCGCGCGGTCTCGATATACCGTACCGACACAGTTCTTCTTCCTCGCGACAAATGCTGCTGGTCTTGTTCTCGGCCTCTTCTACAATGCCAACACACCCGACCTATATCCGAACAACGCGCACCACAAGCTCGGTTGGCTCGTCTTTTGGGTTGCCTGCGCTCAGGTCTTGATCAGTATGGTTGGTCGTGCCTCTGGCGCGCTTGGGAAGGGTTTGAGCAAGCTCCGTAGTCACTACAAGAGTCACGAGGAGCAGGCTTTCATCCCCGTCTCGACCGGGGCAATTGCGGCCCACGCCCAGTTGTACGCGCACCCTTACCAGCACAATAATGCCGGCGCGAACACGGCCGACTCGAGCCGCAGCAACTCTGTGTCCACCATGGTCGGCCAGGAGTCCCCGACGAGAGCTTCCTTCGATCAATCACGGACCTTCGACCATCATGGTCACGATAACGACGGATATGATGATGATCTCGAATTCAAGCCTTCTGAGCTGAGGAATTCCGCAACGTCCGACAAGTCGCTTCTCGTTCGTGCCGCTGGCCTCATGTCACGGCGCGTGTGGAGCGTTCTTTCCCTCGTCTACAACTTCATCGATCGCACCATTTTGATCTTGGGTTCGATAACCATCGCGACGGGCATCATAACATACGCAAGGTTCTTTGTAAGCTCATTCACATTGTCATATCTCAGACACATGTACTAACTACCGATTCAGGAGGGACACGAGGTCTTCAGCGGGCTCGCGCACTGGATCAAGGGTGGCGTGTTCTTTTGGTATGGAACGCTGACGTTGGGTCGCTGGTGTGGAAGCTTCGGAGATTTAGGTTGGGTAGGTGCAGAGACATCCACCAGCGGAGATTGGTTTATGCTCGTGGGCACTTTGCTGATCTCATTTAGGCATGGAACGTACGACCTGAAACCAATGCCAAATGGCAACCGACGGCCGAGTTTGTCGAGGGTTTTCTTATTTTCTTCTATGGTTCAACCAACATCTTTCTCGAGCATCTCGGCAACGCCGGCGAACCTTTCAGCCATCAGGACCTCGAACATGCGGCTATTACAGTTCTTTTCATTGGCGGCGGCTTGGTAAGAAGAACTACATGCACATCCATCACTGTGCGCGTGCTAACAGTTTCTAAAACTCATAGCTCACTATGCTCATCGAATCGAATCGCATTCGTGATCTACTGAATACGACCGTTGAGGCATCTGCCGCCTCTGGACGTCAGCCGGAGCAGGCTGAACTCGAACGACCTGACCACTACGGGTTCTCCATCAACCCTATTCCCGCGTTGGTGATCCTCCTGCTGGGCATCATGATGAGCTCGCATACACAAGCCGACATGACCTCGAGCATGGTACACAAGCAGTGGGGAAACCTTCTGGCTGCTGCTTCCTTTGCTCGCGGCTTCACGTACATCATCATGTATATGAAGCCACCCCGGTCCTTATTACCAGGTCGGCCGCCGACTGAGCTCCTCACCGCCTTCGGCCTGATTGCTGGCGGCATTATCTTCATGGCCAGTTCTGAGGATACTGTTCGAGGTATGATCAATTACGAGCTCGATGCCATGTTTATGTACACAGTCACTATGGGCTTTGTGGGTTTGTACATGGCTTGGGTTGTCCTGGTCCTGGCGCTCAAGGGGTGGGCTGTCCGGAAGGAGTCTGGCTCGCGGCGCCCGTTGTGGACGCCCATCACGAGCTCACAAGTTTGATGGGCAATCGCCACAACGCCATCGCCCAGTTATTGCGATCAAGGGACTGGTCAACTGTGGCAGCATGCATCATAAAAGCGCCATTTGGTTTGAGCCTGACGAGCGTAACGAGGCGATTTCTTGCAACTTGACAATGGCACAGGTCCATTTGTCGTAGATTTGCACTGTTAGATTTATTTTTCCGTTAATGATACCCACGCGGAGCAAGTCTTTGCACTTAGCTACGAGGATATGGCGCCAGCTTATCTGGATGTAACTTCGGGCCCGGATACGTAGCACGAAGCAACCCAACACAAATGAATGTACGAACATTTTGTCTTTATGTATATAGTCATTGCAGATGCACATCACTCAGGAAGGGCGACATTGCGCGACGTGGAGAGTGCGTAGTTCGTGTTTGCAAGGCTGCGCGTGATGAGGAAACGAAAAGACGGCAACTGCGATCGTGAATTACTCCCACATAATGCCAATGTGGCGAGGGCGCCAACAAAAGTTTGGAAACTGTACGAGGCATGATACAGACAGGTACTAGAGGTGGCGGGAAAGCCGACCAAAAAGGAAATCGCACGATACGAGCAGGATTTGAACCTACGCGGCCGAAGCCATCAGATAAGATTGAATTGAGGAATTCAAGTCTGCGGAGATTGTTAGTTGTGTGCGGGGATCGCTGAAGACTGAATGGTAGTGACTAACCTGACCCATTAACCACTCTGGCATCGTACCTAGGAGTGCTTGTTGAGTGGGGGCTCATTAGAATTATATATATATACTGTTCCCACAACTAACCGCCGCGTTGAGGATGTCTGCACCCGCTTGTGTCACGAATCCGCAGTTCTTGCTTAGTTGCAGTAAATTGTACATTATTGGTCTTCCATGAGAAGTACCCTACTCTGAATTGTCTTCTAATAACGCAGGCATTGCATTGGCCTAGTGGTCCTCGACGCTGCATGCAGTAAGCTAATAGTGTAAGTGTTAGACTGGGAAGAAGCTCGTGCATTTCCGAATGGCCCCCCGACTCGGTAGGAGGCACTTCGGTGTCTCCTATGCCACACGATAAGAAGGTAGTGGTGTTGATGCTAGCCTGACTCGGGCGTGGGGACGCTGTCTAGGCCGCATGAAATGCCCCGTGTTGAGCAAGCCACGCCCTGTGTTGCCTGGTGCCCGGTTTGTTGCAGGTTCACTGAGAATGACGACGACCGCCAACTCACATGCATCGCTGATTAGCCAGACCGTGGCCGTCATGCCGGACCGACCAGATGACCACCTCGAGTTCGCAGTTGGCTAACACAAGCCACAAGTATTTGGTACGAGAGCGGCCGAATTATCCCGTTCCAGTCCAGCCCACGCACCCTCCCCAACATCATCCTAAACCAGTAAAATTGCTATACACGGAGCAGGTTCCCGCGCAGATCGCGTCTTTCCTTGAATTCGCTGTCGTTGGTGGCCAGGATCTTTGTGCAATATCACGCTTTATAATGTTAAGGATGCCGAATAATCCAATGTACTTGACTACGACCAAGCTTAAGGCTGCACTTAGATAGTTGATCCCGGGCATCCCATCACGGCTCACATAGGCAGCCCCAGCTTGGAACATACTGTTTCACAGAGTGAAGATTTGGCCCCACCCAGTAATCTTGACCTTGTCGTACTTTACGAGCCTCAACATATCCCAAATTACAGTCGTCACTGTGTCAAACACAGGGACACCATGACGAGCCTCCCAATCAACGACCAGATGTGCTGCCGATAGATTTGTGCAGAATGTGGTAATGGCGTCGATATTTTTGTTGTTTCCAGCCTGGTTCAACACGTCGCTGACTTGTGCGTCTAGCTCAGCGGCAGTCCTGTCGGCGATGCGGGTGTTCTCGGCGATGCAGCTGTGACTTTCTGCGACGACCCGGTAACCTGCTGCATTGTACACCTGTATGATGCGCTCCTGCACATCATCGAGGTAAGGTGTGACGAACGCCAATCGCTTTGCACCGACTAGGTCCAGAGCCTTGTTCAGGGCGAGAGTCGAGGTTGTTGCCGGGACACCTAGAGTCTCAGCAATGATCCGGCAGAGCTTCTCGTCGGCATCGAACCCTAGCCAGCCCCCAGACGTCCCGGACCAGCCAATTACGTCGACCTTGGCGTCAGCCAGCAGTCGAGCGGCAGTCATGATGGGGCCATCGAGGCTGAATTGAGCTAGCCCGGTGGGATCGAGGGAGATCGTAGTCACCGGAAAGCGTGAGAAGTGGACACTGACATCTGAGCCAAGACTGGCGAGGATGGCCGTTGTAAGTGGTTCCAGGGCCGTGTTGGATGATGGGACCAGCACGCCGAGCTTGAGCGGCATGATGCGCAGCTTGGGGACGTCTAGTGGGAGAGGATGTAGTTGTTTGTAGGGGCAGCGAATGTGTGTTTCTCCTTTGGCTCCGGTCACTTCGTTGGCATTTGTCCTCGCGGTCCAGGCGGAGGTCTGCTGCGAGCGGGGGGCGGGTGCCGCCGACCGGAGCACCTCCGACTCAAGCGGGGCCCGCCGGGGCTTTGTTTTATCTCGTCCGAGCCTGAAGAGCTTTTCCCCCTTCAGCCACCACGATCTCCCAAACGTCAGTTTCTAGCCATCTCATCTCCAACACCCCCAGGACCCAAGTTCTAAAGCTTTGGGCCTCTCTCATCTGAAGCCAACTTTGCGCCAGCCGCTCAGACACAAATCCCGCCCCGCATAGTTGAGGCAGCGAATATTTAACCTTCAATCAAAATGCCCAGTCAAGATTCGAGGGCGGCAGAGTTCACGAACTATTATCTGCAGCGCGCCACCAAGGAGTTCGCTGAGGATCTTGACAAGATCCGTACTGCTGGCGACTTCAGAGGCGACGCCCTGCCACTTCTTATCAATTCCCTCAGCCAAGGCACGTCCATGTTCTCAAAGACTGATCAATTGCGGGTTACCGACGCCGAGGATAAGCACACCCAAGCAGACGACCAAACGGCGTGAAACCGGATCCTCGACGAGCATTTGTGCCCTCACACGGCGCAACCCCCAGACATTCTCGGGATGGCGGTCTGGGAGAAAATCAGACTGAGCCTTAGGTCACCGCCCGTGGGCTACCACATTCTAGGAGCAGCATCGACTGCTTCAACAGTTGTTTCACAATGCGAATGGAGCCGGTAGCCTCGAAATTGCGGACACGTTACCAATTGTGGCAGCTAAGCATCCATCGTTTCATGTTTCTATACGAGTAAAGCAAGCGCCACCTCAATGTCCCTTCTTACTGCAAGATGCAGCAAAGTCATGATACGCCTCTAAAATAAGGAATGTCCACCTTCCAATGCATATTCTTGAGTGCATAGCTGGGATCAGAGAGCAGCAAATCCGCACAAAGCCCGCTTTGCAGAAGTGAGGCGCTTCAATCAATGAGATATGTACTGGAAGACCGCCGATACCTCAGGCTCCCCACATTCTTGCCGAAGCAAGAGGTCTTGTAGCTGTTGCATGCCCTCGTTTACAAAGTGGTTCCATGTGCTCGTGTCTCCGTAGAGCATCGCTGGAGCCTTGACGTATTGCCTGCCGTCCGGTTTGCATCTTTTGCACTTGAAGGTGTCGTGTGTATCGCTGCGTGTGTCGCTGCGATACTGGAACAGCTCTCGCAGGCTGTCCAGCGAAAAATGGCGTTCCACGTCCTCTGCAGAGTCTACCACGCAGGACGAAAGGGACTGCTTGTGGCTCTGTCGCTGGAATATCTTCTCCTCAATCGTCCCAGTCGCAATGAAGCGGTAAACAAAGCAGTCCTTCTTTTGACCATCACGCCAGACACGGGCAAGCGCCTGCTGGTCGGCTGCTGGATTCCAGTCCGGATCAAACAGAATGAGCCGATTCGCACCGATTAGATTAAGACCACAGCCGCCTGCCTTGCTGGATAGCAGGAAAACGAATTCGCTGCCCTCGGGATCGTTGAACTTGTCGACGAGCTTCTGCCGTTTGTTGACGTTCATAGTCCCGTCCAATCGCAGGCATCCGTACTGACGACTGCGGCAGAGTCGCTCAAAGACGTCCAAAGTTGAGGTGTAGTTGCTAATAAGGACGATCTTGTCATTAGTGTCTTGATGGATTCTTGCCAACATGCGGTCCAGGACCTGCATCTTCCCCGAATACCACGGCTTCACATCCCGGTCTCGGCCGCGGGCATCCTTGGCGACATAGTCGTCGGGCCAGAACTTTTCACAACCAGGGAGGTCTTCGGAGAGATTGAGGAGGTCTGGGTGATTGCAGAGCTTCTTCAACATGCCGATGGCCTTCAGTGGCTGACTGCCCTTGCCACGCAGTAGCGCTTGAATATCCGGGCTTTTGATGAAGTAGTTGTAGAGGTCAAGCTGGAATGGTGCAAGGTTGCAGAAGACCACATGTTCGTATTTGACAGGCAAGTATTTGGACAAGATGTCGTTCGTACGGCGGATGATGAATTTGTTGACAACGCCCAGGAGTTCTTGCAGACACTCGTCTCCTCTCTGCCGGTCTTTGTCGCTAGCATCGGCATCTCTGCCCCTTAGGATGGGCAGCTCAAATCGTTTCCGAAACTCGAGCCTGTCACCAAGGAGACCTGGGTTGGCGAAGCTGATGAGGGCGAAGTATTCGGAAAGATCGTTCTGGATCGGGGTACCCGACAGAATGACACGGCGTGTAACTTTGAGGCTATTAAGAGCGCTGAATGTCTGGCTGTCGCCGTTTTTCAGACGATGGCCTTCGTCGCACAGCATAAGACCTATCTCCGTATTCTTGAGCTCTTCGCAGTTCAAGCGCAACGTCTCGTACGAGACGATGATCACTGGCCGAGTGACAGATCGGCCACTTGCGATTGCCCACTGTCGAAGTTGCCTTGTTAGTTCCTCTTTGGAGGCTTTGCCGTCGATGGCAAATGGGGTAATGGCATCGGCGCCCAGCCACTTCGTGAGCTCGTTGGCCCAATTCCGAACAAGACTTGAAGGACACGCCACAATGGCTTTCTGGATGGCTGGCTTTCCAGCATCAGGCGACTGCTTCAGCAACGTCCAGAGTAATGTGATGCACTGGAGGGTCTTCCCCAAGCCCATCTCATCGGCCATTATGCATCCATTTGCAAGCTCGTCAATCATGCCTGTGACACATCTGTACATGAACTTAACTCCCTCAACCTGATGTGGTCGAAGAACCTTGGCCAGGCGTGGGTCGATCACGACAGGCACTCGTGGCCGTTCTCCTTCGACCTTCTTCTTGATGCCCAAGATCTCCGCAAGACTCTTGTGGACGAGTGGCGCATCCAGTGATTGGGATTTGGCTCCCTCTGCTGCATTCTCGCCATTTGAGCCAGAAGTTGATGCTTTGGGCTTATCGTCAACGGTCGGGTCGTGGAGAACAATGGCAAACTCGCCACTAGGATCGTGAAGCGGGCGAGGAGCAAAGACAGCACCTTGCCTAAGGCCAAGCGTGGGAGGGGGCCGGTTCGGGTTGTATGAAGTATTGTCTTTATTGATCAGAGGAATGGAAAACGCTTTACGAAAAACCTGGTCTTTGTCTTTGGGACGGAAGACCGGGAATCTGTTGACATCGCGGTTTGCAAGAGCGAGCCGGTCTGCATTTGTGTACGGAGTATCGTGATCAGTCTCTCCATCGGCACCTTTGTAATCAACCTTGCGCTTCTTTCGGGTTGGGCGATCAGCGGCGGGGGTCGGGGAGGCTGTTCCCGGGCATTTGAAAGGCTTCCAAAGCCGCTCAGTGGACTGCTGCGAGTAGAGCCGCTTGCCGGGGGTATTGTTTGGTTTCGGTGCTGGCGTGGCAGCCATCGATGCTCACACCCAAGAGGTGAATGTGCCTACCGCTCCCTTGTGTATAGCCTGCAGGGTAGAGGTGAATGCTGAGCGTGAGGAAGAAATGCAAATAGTCTTGCAGCTCTGATGGTGATCCTCTGTGCAGATAGCTACACGACTTCCACAAGACGTGGCGATGCCTTGAACTTCCCGATATCTGAGCGGTTGTTGCTGCTGTTCATGGGTAATGTCGACTTGTGAAGACTCTCCAGGGCTGCGCTTGCATTATTTAATTTGAGATTCTGGATGGGTGGCGAACGATCGGTGCAGCGTCTGCCTAGTGGCGATTTCATGTCACTGCTGCCATTCTTCTTGGGAAGAAAGCTGTGCCTGGAACGATTGGTCTCCATTGTTGACTGGGCGTGCCGTGCATCGACGCGTCGACGCGCCGGAGGGTGGGGCAGACAGTGACGCCAGGTCACATGACGTGCTCCCGAGGTCCATCGTTACGAGCTAATATATCGTTCTTCATCAACTGAGACAAACATTCGACGTGCATTGAGCCTCTGGGTTTTGTTTTGCTTTCATCCTGCGGCTACCACAAGCCACTAACAACGTGCCTAGGTGTAGCCAGCAACCAACGCATCGCACAATCGTCAGGTAAGAGCGCTGACAATGACGACCTACTCGCATGATGAGGACCGCCCGTAGCCTTGGTCCACAATTCTGAAGGTCCCGTCGTCGTTATCCGTGTGGAGCTGCGGAATGGGGCAAGGCTCTGTTGTCATTAGGTACCTCGGACTGGATGAACGTGTTGAGGCGTCGCCCCATTTTGATACACAATCTACCAGCTCACCAGCAACTCCGCACCTTAGGGACCTCCCAGAAACTGCCAGTGTGATTGCCAAGCAAGAAGCAGCAGCCTTGGGGGTTTTCGAAGCTGCCTCACTGGCAGAGCAGGATCGCCAAGCTGATCGACTGAGCCATGGTGTACCTGGCCAACAAGATAAACAGCAGACCGCCGCTTCTCCTTCACCGCCAGACTTGATCATCCCGCACGTCCTGACAGATCTGGAAGCGCAGTATGTCGGCCGATTTCTGGGCTGGCTACATCAGCGGTGCGATCGGGATCCTGGTCGGGAATCCTCTTGACCTCATCAAGGTTCGACTACAGGCCAGCAGCGATACAGCCAGCTCGAGGCCGGCCACATCATATGTGCGCCACTTCCAGAACAGGACATCTTTGATCACTGGCACAGCTGCGCCTGTTCTTGGCTACGGCGCCTTGAATGCACTATTGTTTGTGTCATACAACCGTACCAACGAGATATTCAATTCATGGCTGCACACGAGCTCAAGCTTGTGGGCTACGTGGGCGGCTGGTGCTGTGGGCGGGCTCGCGACCTGGGTGGTGAGCACACCCACTGAACTCATCAAATGCCGCGCCCAGGTTGCCTCAACCCCTTCCTCCAGCTGGGACATCACCAAACAAGTATGGCGATCAGACGGTCTGCGGGGCCTCTATTTTGGAGGCGGCGTGACGGCCCTGCGAGACAGCGTCGGGTACGGCTTCTACTTCTGGTCTTATGAGCTGAGCAGTAGCTGGTTCGGCAACGGTACAGCAGATGGCGCGACACGCTGGACGCAGGATGCAGTCAAGGTGCTGCTTTGCGGCGGCCTGGCCGGTGTTGTGACCTGGGTCAGCGTGTTTCCATTGGATGTTATCAAGACTCGCGTGCAGACACAGGTCGCGCAACCTGCTATGGCACCGCTCTTGGGCGGACCGGCGTCTACTTGCGCCCGGCTTGGGGCCGTTGATATTGCACGACAGGCATATGCAGAGGCTGGCTGGCGGGTCTTTTTCCGTGGGCTGACTGTTTGTAGTGTCCGAGCCTTCGTCGTCAATGCCGTACAATGGGCTGTATACGAATGGGTCATGGTTGAGCTCGGGCAGGCGAAGCACAAGCCAGAGGAAGCTCCTTCCGATGCGTAAGGACGACCAACACCCGCGTTTGTCTGCGCTATTGCAAATGCTCGCTCAGATATGTTTCGAAAGACCATCAAACCATGGCGGAATACTGCAGCACGGCTTGTCATCTTTGGGGCATTGCCATGGAGATGGTTTGCACCGCGCGGGTCTACTCGGAAATGAGCGAGCCCAGATCCACAAGGCGATGGTGGGGTCAAACCATTATGGAGTTGGCAGGGACAATAGCCCTCGCTTCTGGACAAACAATCGATGAACCACGCTCGAATGCGATACTAGCTTTTAGTCTAGCAAGAACAAGGCGAGCAGCAACGTGGAGCATAGTTATGCTGTAGTAGCTAGGGAAGGCGAATCCGCCCAGAACAAGATCCACATGTTGGTACTTTTCCCCAAAATCGTGCCCCCCGTTTGTGACTAGTCCACATGCCAGATTCGCTTTTTTGCGTGATCTCACAAGCAACAGAACGGAGCTTCGACATCTCGACTGCTGTGCATTAAAACCAGTAGTGGCTACGGGCTAATGGCCGACAGAAGTCAACATGCTGGCCCGATTGCACTCACGGACTCCTGAGACCTGGGAAGCACTCGGGTCATGTTGTGCCTGGCTGGCGTGTTATCAGTATCCGGAGTTGGTAAGCTCCTCAACGGATCTACGGATGGGGTAGGGTTCTTGAAGCTGCGCCCAATGCCACGCTAGGCATCGTGCCACTAGAAACACTAGACAGCACGATAGATCTAAAGCTAGCAGAGCCTCCTCGAGCGCAGCATGGGAGCTGGTCAAGTTACATGGACAGTCTTGTCAACTGTGTCATAATCGCACTGACGCTTCCACTAGGTAGTGCTGTAGCGCCGAGGCTGAAGCAGATCTGATGAGGCTGGCGTGAGAGTGGTTGGGCAGGAACAGGCGAGAGGCAGGAGCTTGCCAACGCAGCATTGTCAGGGGTCCTGTTGGCAGCTGTGCTTCTGCACAAAGGGTCAAGCGGCGCCAGGACCAGGCTAGATGCAGCGTTTATGCAACCACTTGAGCTCAAGCCGGGCAGGTTGTCCCACTTCGCACGTTGCCTCTGGAGTGACAACTCACACGGTGTTTGCCCGATGCGATCAGTCCCGTCAGGCCGCGAAGGATGCAGCATACGCAACCACCAGAGCAAGGACGACACACAAGCTCAGGCAAGCCAATGTGCGCGGAGCCTAAGCAGGGGTCTTTGCGTGATAGAGGTGGCGTGGACCCTGTCAAGAGTGGGCGGGAGCTGGTCGTGGAGCTGGACCAATCTGCCATTGAGATACCTTGCCCGGCCAGCCCGGCCAGGCGGGCAGCCAGGTACCTATCTCTACAGTCACCCTGCCAACTCACCGCCAAAGAGCCTTGCACGACGCACAGTCTGCACTGCACATGCTCCCACATGGTCGTTCTCGCTCTCGACCAGAAAATTCTGCCTGCCGGCCACAGACCTTAAGGGACCCCTCCTGCCGCCGCCACTTCCCTCCTCCCCTTCCTCTTGCAACTCAGTTCTGGTTCGCGCCGCATAACCAGGCATCCTAGCTATCCTCTCACTTCTCCCTCACCACGACCTGAGCTCCACCTGAGCTGCTTCCCCCCCGCTACATTTTCAGTCTCACGCTTGCCCTCGTCCCATACGCACACAATGGGTCAGATTCTGTCGACTCTCTCGGGCGGCGGCGGCGGCCAAGTCATCGAAACCGACGTTGCCGAAGCTCGCAAGGCTGTCGAGAAGCAGCTCGCCGACAAGGAGGCCGAGATCGCGTCTCTTGAGGAGAAGCTCGCCGACAAGGACAAGGAGCTGGCTGCGTCCAGAGTGGAATTGACAAACCTCGCTGACGAGGCTCAGGCTCTCCGGGCCAAGATCGATGACCTCAACAAGAACAACCAAGAACAGCTCGCCAAGCTTCAAGCCGAGCTCCAGCAGAAGAGCGACGAGGCCGAAAAGCAGAGTATCCTCGCGGCTGCTAATGCCGCCAGCGTGAAGGAGCTCGAGGCTGTAAAGGCCCAGCTCGCCGAGGCCGAGGCAAAGCTCAAGTCGCAAGAGGAAAGTAATGCGACGCTTTCCGAAGAGATCCTCTCCGTCAAGGCACAGCTCGAACAAGCGAGCAGTGAGCAGGGTTCCATCGTTACTTCCCTGAAGGAAGAGCTGGAGTCTGTCAAGAAGCAATTGGATACATCAACCGAGAAGGGCCAGGCTGCCGAGGCCAGGCTCGCCAAGCTCGCTGAGGAGCTGGCTACTGCCGGAGAGGAGCTTTCGAAGCGGCAGGGGGCCCTCTCTTCGTCCCAAGAGCAACTGAAGACTCTCCAACAGACCCACGATGACCTTCAGAAGAGCTCGGACGAGAGCACTGCATCTGCAAAAGCTGAGCTTGCCGAAGCCCAGAAAAAGATTACGGAGCTGGAGTCAGCGCATGATGCTCTCAAGTCGACCGCCAAGGAGGACTTGGGTGCTGCCCAGCAGGATCTCACGAAGGCCAAGGAAGAGCTTGCCGCCTTGCAGAAGAAACACGACACTCTCGTCAAGTCGTCTGAGGACGGTGCCTCTTCGTCTCAGAAGGAGCTTGTGGATGCTCAAGAGAAGCACGAAAAGCTTCAGGAATCCTACGACGCCCTGAAGCAGGACCTCGAGAGCCAATTGACGTCGCTAAAGAACGAGCTCGAGTCTGCCAAGAACAACGAGACTGAGCTTCAGGCGGCCCACGACAAGCTCAAGCAGGAGCACGAAAGCAATGTTTCATCGGCTAGCAAGGATGTTGCCGAGTTGAAGACCAAACATGCAAGTCTTCAGGAGGCGCACGACAAGCTTGCAGCTGAGATTGAGACTGCCAGGAAGGATGCTACCACTGCCGCGCAGGACAAAGAGGCTCTGCAGAAGAAGTATGAGGCAGAGCTGGCCAAGGCTCAGTCAGAGCTTGAGAAGTCTGTCCAGGACCTGGCCGCAGCCAAGGAGGCTCAGTCTAAGCTGCAGACCGAGTCTGGCGCAGTAGCCGACAAATCGAAGGCAGAGATCTCAGCACTGGAGGAGAAAGTTAAGGCCGCTGAAAACGAGATAAAGCAAGCTAAAGCTGACCTCGAAGTTGCTTCGAAGAAGAGTGCCTCAGAGCTCGCCGCTGCGGAGGAGAAGAACCAGGCAGCAAAGACGGCCCAGGAGCAGCTGCAGACAGAACTCAAGACGGCCCAAGACGAGAAGAATAAGCTTGAAAAAGACCTTGCCGCAGCGGGAGAGGCCCATGCAAAGGTCAAGGCTGACCTGGACGCCGCAGTGGCGAAGACCGAGACCGAGGTCGCAGCAGCACAGGACAAGGCTAAGGCAGCTGCTGAGGAGTGCAAGAAGCTCCAGAAGGACCTTGCCGCCGCGGTCGAAGCCCAGACAAAAGCAGAGGCGGCTAGGGATCAGTCGTCCAAGGAAGCCGCCGCTGCTCAGGAAAAGGTAGATGCTACTGAGAAGCAGAGCCTCGCCCTGCAGAAGCAGTCGGACGAGCAAGCTGCGAAACTGACTGAGCTTGAAGCTCAAGTGTCCAAGGGTGCCGATGGCCTCAAATCTGCTGAGAGCGTAAGTTGGCCCTCCCTACACGACATGGTATTGAGACTAACCCTGCATTACAGTCGAACAAGTCTCTGCAGGACAAGATTTCGACGCTTGAGTCGGAGAAGACGGCCGCCGAGTCTTCGAAGTCTGATGCTGAGGCCAAACTCAAGGAGGCTCTCGCGAACATTGAGCGTCTCGAGGCCGAGAAGAAGTCGGCGGTCGAGCAAGCAGATGTTTTTAAGAAAGAGCTCGCTGCTGAGAAGGCTAAGAAGGACGCTGTCGCCCCTGCTGCTGAGGAGTCGAAGCCGCCAATCGTCGAGGAAGCGACTGCTGTTGAGGCTGCGGCTTGATCCGAATTGCCACCCGCCAGGACATATACAGACGATGGATGCTTGATGTTTTCAGCACACCACGATATCCCCAGTTTTTTGTTTCGCCCACGACCTACGCCTCTGACGACGCTATGATATATACGAAGGGCACTCTGTATGTAATGTGTGTATGAATTGGTACCATAAAACCTACGAGACGATACCCACTCGCTTTGGAATTGATACAATAAACACTTCTGCAATGAATATTTTCTTGGTTCTTGTGCTGTGTATTACCACACGTGAAATGGTCGATTGCGTGTCAATTCACCTTCAACGACCAACTTACCATCCTGTACACAGAAATCTGATTAAATGACTTCAAGAGAAGCCGTTGACCCTCAGAGTGAGGCAGCCAAGGATTCCTGCCCTGTTTAAAGAGCTGCGAGACCAAGCGTGCACAGGGGACACTAATGCGTGGCTGACGACCAGCGCGCCATGATCCTCGCGACCTAGATCCCTGACGACATGCAGGGTGTGCCTAGGTGGCCGGACACAGCCTCCCTGTCTGCAGCTATCGTCTCACTACATCACGTTCGGAGCCCCCCTTCACTGCACACGAATATTATCGACCTTGTGCACGAAGTAGCTTAATAGCTGGTTTCTGAAGTGTGCCGTCCTTCATTTTTGGAGCCCAACTTCTCCCTCTCGGCACATCCAGAAGCACGACTTAACCAGCCACTACCATGGAAGGCCCTGAGATTTCGTCGCAGGTGGTGGGCTGGGCATCCTTCCTGGTAACAGCATTGGGTTTGGGCGGTTTGATCACCCAGGCGAATGCTATCAACGACAAGCTGGATCCATTTCACGAATCTCGCACTGTTGAGTACCTGGGCATCTGGTTCCAACGTCAGGACCCTTTCCCCTGGTGGACCATCACCAAGCCGCCGCCCCATGGGCCGCTCATCTCGGCAAGCATGGCCGGCGGGTTCTGCGCAATGCCCAACATTTACATCACGCGCATCCCCTTGCTGAGCCCTGGTAAGGCTGGGTGGTCCATGATCATGTCCATGTTCAATCCAGAGCCACCATCGCGCGGAACTACAGTGGCGACAACGATAGAGACTGGCATCACGAATGACGAGGAAAAGGCTATCCCGCAGCCAGGCAGCATGTCCCACGTACATGCCGATTCATACGCAGCGTCCAGTAGAACGGATGCTTGGGCTCATCTCAAGCGCCAGCGGCTGAGCCGGCACAAATCCAGTGCTTGTGCCGTCATTTCGCGAACCACACTCATCACCATGCTTGTCGCTACAAACGGTCGAGCTGTGTTCCACTACACAGACGCATCAGGTCTACGTTCTGGCTACGCCTCGTACTGTGGTCAGTGGTACATCACCTGGCCTATTGGCGAGGAAGCTTTGGTCAAATTCGCTCCTCACGACTCAATCGGAGCCTCCGAGGTCCTACCCCGGTCATTTGCACAGCGTATCGAACGGTGTGGGGAGATTGTGTGCGGCGTTGTGTCTTCAAAAGCCTCAGGTCTCAATGTAGCCTTCTGTGGCCGTAAGAGTCCTGGTATCTACTGCCTGCGACATCTCGAGAAAGGCTTCCAAGGCGCCCATGGAAGCAGACATCTCTATAACATGCTTGGTGGGAAAGCGTTCCAGGTTGACTTCATGGCTGCACGAAAACTCCTCAGCGACGACGAGGTGCCGGATGGGACACTTGTCCTGGCGTTGCCCAGCACAGAAGCCAAGGCCGTCGTCCAGATGGCGGTTCCACTTGGAGAGCAGGAGCTTATCCGTCACGCACTCGATTGCCTACCGTGGACAGCGTTATCGTGGAGTATCCATCGGGGCATGCGTGACGTCCTCACAGCTTTTGGCAAGCCCGTTATGGACAAGTTTCGTGGCGAGCTGGCTGCCATTTTGCGCAGAGCAGTAACGGACCATGCCGAGAAGCTGGACGCGCGAGGATGGGATCCCGAATTTGTGCGAAGCAGCATGGCACACATGGCAAGCTCGGCAGTGCTTGCTGGGGAAGGTAACTCGGGTGATGCTGTGCGGGTTGTGTCAGACATTGTGGTGGTTCTGGTCGGCGAGGAATGGGACGCGGCCAGGTTTGATTGCGTGAACTTCTGGCGCAAGGACCCTGGCGAGCGCACACTGGACCATGAGGGGATCGTGGCCCTGACCAAGATGTTTGTGCTCGAGTGGAGCATCGAGTTTGACTATCAGATGTACCACAACCTCCCAATGAGCCTGTATTTTGGGTAGAGCTAGACCAAGACACAGGCTCGGCCCGTCCCGCCAAGACTCTAGGCAAGACAATCCCCAAGTGTGGCAGAAACACAGCAACGGCATCCTCTTCTCCACGTTCCCCGCGTTCCAGGCGGCCCCAAAACCGACCAGCCCCAGCACGCGGGGTCGCTCCTATCGAAAAGTCCGGCAGGTTCCGCTGTGGTGACGCTGGCTCGCCCTTCCAGAACGAGGCGAGGATGCCATCAACCCCGCGCGCGTGGGCATGCTAGGCTGTTGCGGCTGCTCAGCGCCCCGACGATCCGTATCGAGGCAAGTATGCCTCGGCTGACCCCTTGTTAACCACCAGAGCCCAGGTGCTACCCCCTGGGGGCCCAGCCTTCTAATCATGCATCCAGACTGTGTATCTAAGAGAACTGGCATCATCTTCTCAATCCATGGCTTCGTCCAAAACTCGTGCCACATCCTACAAGTCCGCCGTCGACAGAGCCACTCACCTCGCTCGTGCACTCGACCACCCTCCAGACGGGACCATGCCTGATCCGGCAGAATATACCTTGAACCAGAACGGCATTCCGCCTTACGAGTCATTGCCTCTGCGCAAGTCCGACCCTTTCGTCGCTGCATGGGGCTTGTACGGAAAAGACGATGAGCTGGGTACACTGAACCGTCTCACTCCGGCGCGGGTCGTGGCTGCTGCCAGGGAGATTCAGTCTGGAAACCGGGTCGGGCTAGACTGGGCCTTGAGCGGCAATCTCATTAGCAACAAGCCTTTCTACTCACGACAGGGTTTCAAGCTCGATGTCGTCCGTCACCTGGCTGGGTGCGGTAACGATGATGTATGGACGTTCAACCCCCAGGCCTCGACGCAGTGGGATGGGCTTCGCCATGTCGGGTTTGCCAAGGAGCAGCTCTTTTACAATGGAGTCAATATGGATCAGATTCACGAGGCGGATAGCAAGGGTCACAAGTCAACAGTTAATGGTGTTCATGGTACGTTTGATGCTTGATGCTTGTGGATAACAGGAGCTCGTCCATATCAAGGTGAGCTTGCCACTGACCGATACCACGAACCCCGACAGCATGGGCCAAGAAAGGCATCGTAGGTCGTGGAGTTCTTGTAGATTACCACAACTGGCGTATCAAGAACCACAAATGGCCCGACTTTGATGCCTTCGGAACTTGCCGCATCCCGGTGTCGGACCTTCAAGAATGCCTGGCAGACCACGGCACAGAGATTCATTTTGGAGACATTCTCTTTGTGCGTACCGGTTTCATGCATGCCATGGCCAGCAAGACTGTCGAGGAGCTTAAGGACATACAAAACCGTCGATACGAGGATGTCAAGTTTTGCGGTGTCGATACCACATCGGAGTTGCTCAAGTGGATATGGGAGAACTTCTCAGCTGTGGCTGGCGATCAGCCTGCCTTTGAAGCCTGGCCTTTCAAAGGGCCCGAGTCTTTGCATACGGCGTGTCTGGCGTCGTGGGGTTGTCCAATAGGTGAGCTCTTCGACCTCGAGGCGCTTGCGCAGCAATGTCAGGAGGAAAATCGATGGAGCTTTTTTCTCACCAGCGAGCCGTGTAATGTACCCGGCGCCGTTGCAACCCCGCCGAATGCACTCGCCATCTTCTAGTGCACTGGTTGTTGATTCAACCTCGCGCCTTTTTGAACACGATTGAGGCTCAACTTATCATTCCCAGTGGCTTTTACGGAATAGAGCCGTCTTGATATATGCTAAGGTGCACTATGCTATTTTTGAGCCAGCTGTCTTGCCATGTCATGATGTCTCCTACGCCTTCGCCGTGCGTTGGGAGGACCTAACGGCGAGTGGGTGATAATGATAATTGAAAACGTAGCGAATGGGCGAAGATGGTGCCGCACATAGCCACACTGACGTTCACTTCCATCATGGCAAAATTAAAGTGGTGTCCAGAGGCGCAGGAGTACGTCGCTAAAGATGTCCAGCGAGAGACCATAAGCAAGTCACACTGTTCTGAATCATCACCAGAGAGAATCGTTGAGACCCAGCCAGCATTGACTATCTTGGGTGAAGCCTAATGCGAGAAGAAGACAGCCGAAAGAAAATGCGAATCTGTCCTTGCCTTTCTCTTATAGTCACTGCTGCAGCATTTGGGAGTATTTGTCCCTTGCCATGGGGTGAACAGCCTGCATCATGGGAATCAATCGCTTGTGGTCGCCCGAGAAAGTTGACATTGCCCGGCGATTACTCAAGAGGGCAGAGATATGCTGTGTGAGATATGCTCACACATGATTCAGACGCATTATTACTCGTGCCTCGCCGCCGTCCTGGTGTCTTTGGTGGTGTGAAGGGCAAGCTCGGAACCACACCAAAGCACGATCAGCAGACTCCTCGGCCACGGCAAATGATTAGCCGTGAAAAAATAGCGCCCTCACTCTTACGAGGTGCCGAACAATTCATGAAGGGCACGTTCGGTATCCCACATAGCTGTGCGAGACTCTGCGCGCGAAGTCGCATCACAGCTTGTCCTAAACATGTCTGTTCCCGCTGTCCAAACGAGCATTCGACGAAGGCAGCTGTGCAAAGAGCAATTTGGCTCTTGGCAATAATCTGTGAGTGCTACGTAGCGCGAGGGAGCAATTTCACGTTGATATGATTTCGTCAGTGGCGATCTTGGTCCTGAGCTGGGACGGTTTCCAATCACGTAGCAGCCCATTCAGACTGAGATGATCAAAAATCAACTAGCACTTTTGCCCAGGACTATTTGTTGCTGCCTAACAACACCCGCACCACTAGCTATCGGCTCTACCATGTTCTTCGTCTGCTCGGTGCTCCAAGTAGTGATCAGGAGACTTCTATCGACGCGATGCCTCGCATCAGGTCATGTGGCGTCTCCTGTGCACTGACACCTGCTCGACTTCACCAATGACTCAATGTGTAGTTACCATTCTCTCTGCTGATGAATACTTTGTTGAACTTTGATTCCGCTCCATGGTAGGCTACCAAGCTCACAAGGTTCAGTTCTTCCGGGAGTCTGCACCGGGTGACGATTGTGGACGACTACCGTGCTCAAGCCCATATTCTCGGCCGGAAGCTGAACCCAGTCGTGTTGCATGAGTCGTTGCGATGGGGATACGGAGCTATGCGTTTTGACTTCGCCCTGGGCAGAGCATTGGGCGATGGATGCCTTGAGCTGGCTGGCAACCTGAACGATGTATCGATAGACTACTGGCAGATTGGCACAAAGGATACCACCGCACGGCTCCCAAGCCGAAAGAATGCCGAGGCCCGTCATTTCCCCTGTAAACACCTCAAGACAGTCAGCGAGCCGAGTCTGTTGTTCTCACCGTATCTTGGGGGTTCGAAGAACACCCACATGTAAAGTCTCGCGTGCCCGCAGAAAATACATATTTGAGCCGGACGGCGCTGATGGCGCAGGTACCGAGTCCAACAGAGAAAAGGAATGCCAAGCTGATCTTCTTGTGCTGGCCAGTCCGTAGTTTGAATATGGTCGGTATAGGCATAAGAAATATCCAAACATCGAGGACGATGTTGACGATGTTGGTGGCATACGTGAAAGCGACCTTGTTGACACAAGCACCCTCTGCTGCCCCCCACCACGCCTTAATAGGTCGACACCCAAATCCCAGCGTGACCTCCATGCCCAATAGCCATACCAGGACTACTGCTGCAGTCCAGATGGTGAGCCTGCGAAACATCGTTATCGCGAAGATGCGATGGTAGAGCGCCAGTATCGCGAGCTTCGTGGTGGCAATGGCTACATCATAAAAGTGACTGAAAATATAGTCGCCCTGGTTCGCAGTGTCAGAAACTCAAAGTTCACGGCGGTGTGAGAGATGCCTGCCTGCCAACTGACCTTGAGGAACATGGCCATGTCGTCGGGAGTAACAGCCTCGATGTGCCGTCCCAGACCATGGGGAGCCCCTGCGGTCGCGGAACGTTAGGAGCCCTGAGCAAGGATGAACTGTAAAGACAATGTGAAGTGAGCAGCATCTACATACCGAGCAAGAGTCCGACGATACACTCACCTACAGCAACAATCTAATCATCTTGTTAGGCTGGGATGCTCAAGTACGGGATCTCGATCTCCTGCTCGCCCAGGGCTGCGGAGGAGGTAAGGTTGATAGAACATACTGTGGCAAGCGTGATAATGATATCATCAGGATACAGTCGTCCATCCGACAGGGTGAACACTTTCACCCAGAGTCTAAGGCCTGTACTTAGGACTTCGAGTGGTATCGGAGCGGCGTACAAGGCGTTAAGCATTGGCGCCTTCGACTGCGCAAGGTAGTCCGTGTATGCTTGATTCGACGGCATGGTTGGCGCGTTGAATGCCAGCTCGCCGAGGCACTTTGATACCCCGGAAACTATCGGAGTAGCGGGTATTATTAGTCTGTATATACTAACAAGCCTGTCAAGAGGTCGAGTAGCTTGTGAAGTCAACGATCGTGGCGAGTCGTCAGGCGAACCTGTGGAGCGGTGGTTTCCGTGCCGAGTAGTGTATGCAAAGTAAGTACTGTGGCAATCCAGCAGGCCTCTCCTAAGTGGAAAATCTAGTCCTCACGAGAAGACACCCACGAGAGGACAAGGTCGTGTGATCCCGTGCTCACTTCCCCGTCGCAAGCCAGAAAGCATGAGACTTCTTGAGAGTCACCTCCCGAGTCAGCGAGGCTGTTTTAGAGACATCATTCACATGTGGGCAAGCGGCCAGCCGGGGCCGATGACCTCGTACTTTCCTGTCCATTATTGAGGTCAGGTGAGAGCTGCCTGAAGGGACCAATCGTGGAGACGACGCATGGCAGCTGAGGGCGGGTGGTGCTGATGATGCTGCCGCCACGCCGGCGCGGCTGCATGTTCTGTCCTTGCTGGGGTGACACGGGCACAAGCAATCAATAAGGGCTCATTTTCGTAGCAACGCATCAATCCTGGGCTTGACTCACACAGCTCGGGTTATTGGACGAGCACGCCGTCTTATTGGGGCTCAACTGTGCGGGCTCGTGCGATTCCCATTCGGTGGCACGACATGACGATGTACGACCCGAGGCTGACGAGCTGTACTCGAGGCGCCGGCAGCCACTTTACAGGGAATTGAGGGCAGGGCCAAGCCAGAAGCGGTGACGCGCGCAGCTGCGCCTCCTGATGGCTTGATACATGTCGGAAGCAATCGCCTTTGCCGTACGGACTCTGGATGTCTTGTGAGTGTTTCTGGGGGTGGCCGCCTGCACATTCGAGGACGGCACGGCGCATGCCCGGCGGTTGGCCGCGCGGACCAGGGCGGGATGGTCCACATCCGACAATTGAAGGTACTTTGCCCCAAAGCCGCCGGCTGAGGGCCAATTCATTTCCTTTTGAGGCAGCAAACGCTCACCCAGCTCGCACTCGACGGCGGGTCTGGTGGGTTAATCCATGAAGGCCAGCGACGTCTGTATGTGGGAGGTCAGGACAACGGCATCTTGATCCAATCGACCAGCCTGATCGATACTTGGAGCCACGCCAGAGACGGCACCTTTTCCTCTTCAGAGCAGCTCTCAAAAGTGATGTCCTTGCGCAAGATTGTCAGCCGTGGCTGTAGCAAGTTGCCACAACCTGCTTACCCACAGAACACTCCATTGCGAATACCCTCATCGCCCTGCCGTTCTTGCAGCCGAGCAGAGCCAGGTTTCAATATTCAACAAATTAGCCAGCTAGCCCCGTGTATATATTGCGTAGGCGAGCCGCATCGTCTATCATGGAACTGACTGCCGTTCTGCTTCTGCCATGTAACTCATCACTGTCGTCGCTCGCCCTGCTTTGTCCCGACCGACAGCCTCCACCCACGCCGCCTTGTCACTACCTTCTAGTGCAGCCCCGAGGATCAATGCAACCTATCTCTCTGTCTACTGCATGTCTGGTTTTCCTGCTGCTCGCGAGAGCCGTGGTCGGAGTTGCTATAGGCTTGGATCCGCGGCTGGTTGACCTCGGGTACGCGCGCTATCGGGGGTTATACGATGCCAAGCGCGGTCTCGACATCTGGAGAGGGTCAGTCTCATTCTGTCACACCTTGTGCTCCCCCAGAAGCTCATAGGTGCCTAGTGCAATACGAGTCCTTCACTTTTGCACCGCTGACTCGATGCGGAGTGGCGCACCCTTCGCAGCATCCGCTATGCCGCTCCTCCCGTTGGCCCCTTACGCTGGCAGATGCCACAGCCGCCCCTTGATGAGAGCGCTGTTGGAATTATCGACGCAACAGACCTACCGCCACTCTGCCCACAGGCAGGTGCCTTTGCCACGCCCGTCGAGTACGGCTTCAATGGCGGGCCAGGTAACGAGGACTGCCTTTACCTGAACGTATACGCACCTGCAGGTGCAAACGGCCTGCCTGTCCTCGTCTGGATCCGTGAGTTCCACCTTCCCTCTTCAACCCTGAATCGAGCAAGCTCTTTGTAAGTGCAGGTTTCTCGTGCGCGTTGCGAGTGCAGGAGATGACCGAGCTGCCTGATGCCTAAGATCGACAAGAAAGCCCATGACATCCCTATCCGCATACGTTTCTGACAGCGCGGCGCATTAGATGGGGGCGGTTACTCTCTCTTCGGAGCACGCTACGATCCAAGTGGCTGGATCGCTGCTGGTGGTTACCGCTTCGTGGCCGTGGAGATCCAGTATCGGCTTGGTGCATTTGGATTTCTTGCCTCGCGAGAAGTCAGAGCCAAAGGCCAGCTCAATGCTGGCCTGCTGGACCAGCGCCGAGCTCTTCAATGGGTGCAGCAGTACATCGCACACTTTGGAGGAGATCCGAGCCGGGTGACTGTGGCCGGCGAGTCGTCAGGAGCAGGCTCGACTCTACATCAAGCTCTTGCTTACGGTGGCCGTGACGAAGGTCTTTTCTCCAATGTGAGTACTTGCAGCTCTGGGTCATCTCAACTCCCTGCCGCAGTCAGGATCATGACTGAACTAGTGCGTCTAGATCTACATGTCAAGCCCATGTCTGCCACCGATTTATGCGTACAATGATGAGTATCCAACGGAACATTTTCGTAAATTCGCGGAACTAGCAGGGTGTGCCAGCAGGGCGACAGCACAAAGTTGTGGCGATCTCGTCTTCGAGTGCTTAGTCGCAGCTGACACCAGTGTGTTGCAAAATGCGAGCGAAGCAGTTGCCGCTACGCAGGGGTATTTCGGCAGTTTCGCATGGCTGCCCGTGGTCGATGGTCGCTTTGTTAGAAGCAGGCCCACATCGCAGCTTTTAGAGGGCCGGGTGGCCGGCAAGCGTATTTTGGTCGGTGTAAGTGGCTCTACAGATCTGAACCTCGATACCTTGGCCAAGTCCATTGGCAAGAAAATGATGAGCATCAGTCAAGGGGCAATTTCCGTACCAGCACCTCATGACCAGCATCACATTGTTAACACGCATGCCTACTTATACAGACCAATGCCAACGAAGGTGTGCCCTTGACCAACCCAAGAGTCAACAACAAACAGCAGTACGACGATTTCATCAGATCACAATACCCAAATTTGAACGCGGCCGATCATGCCCACATTGAAGGGCTTTACCGCGTTGACGATGCTCTCGAATATGGTTCTCGGATGATATTTGATACGACAGGCAATTCCGCGCCATCTGCGCTACTACAATCGGGCATGGCCACGGGGATACAGCAAACTGTGTTCAACATGGCTGCAGAAACGACATTTGCTTGTCCCGCTCAGTGGCTGTCGGAAGCTCTCAGTCGCCATAACCGCTCAGTATGGAGATATCAGTACTCCTTGACGGCATCGTACCACGGCGCAGATCTCGCTGCTATTTTCAATCTTGGCTTGGGCTTCACCAGCATTGCTCCAGGTTTTCGCCATGCGTTGCAGAACATGCTGTCCGCATTTATTACCAACGACTGCCCTACCATCCCAGCCGATATCGCTACTGGGTACAAAGAGAACGCCTCAGTTCCCCTGGTGGGAGGGCAATTACTATGGCCACAATTTACCCAGGACCACCCGGTGCAGCTAAATCTCAATACCACTGGGGGAATAGAAACAACAACAGTAGTGACGGACACACTGCAATTTATGGTGCGTTCTGGGAACGACGTAGTAAACACTGTTAATATTGCTGATTTACGGACATGGGAAGCTGGCAGGGCGGAGCGATGCAATTTCTGGGGAGGCATATCGCAAAGAGTACCATATTGACTAGGGACAAAAGGACAGATAGACTTAGCCGAGCACAAACCATTTTCATACAAGAGTCGATCATGAAAGTGACGAGTGGCTTGCTGCTGCGTACTTATGTGGAATACTTGAGAAAATGGCTGTCAATAATTGAATCTATGCTGATCATGAATGATTAATCACACACCCAAGACCAAGAATTAATGAGTGCGCTGCCACCTTGCTCTACCACCTTGGTCTACCAAGCTTAGTACGATTTGGAAGCATGCATATCTGTAAGGATGGTTTCAGATGACACGAAAAGTTGTTGTTTCAGATGACCCGAAAGGTCAACAACCTAAGGGGCAATAAGGTCATGTTCTTGTTCTTTTGATGGTCTTGCCAAGTACCATCATTAACTTTCAAAATCTACTGTGAATGAACTCGCAATGACTATAATGGGAAAACTGAGCACTCGGCTCGTGCAAAGGAAAATATGACATGGTATATGGCAGAAACTTCGCCAACCATTTGATGCAGGTACCGTAATCCAAACAGCAGCAAATCGCTAGCACATCAAATGCCTTCCATCTGTTACCAACATGTCCCTTACTACTGGTGCTATACACTTCGTAGCGTATTGTTGTTCTTGTTGATTTCCCAACAGTGGAACTAGATGGACACCACTCGGGTATATATTTATCTGAATGGTTGAAGTGTCAGCTATTGGCAAGACAGCAGGAAAAATGTTCTACCTCCAGAGCGCTTTCTCCTCGACCGACTTCAAGTTACCGCCCTGGCTGCCATACCGGCCAAGCTTGACAAGTAGTAAATGGCAATTGCAGACGAAGAAACCGGCAAGTAATCGATTTTAGTAGAAGAATCTAGGGATGGTCGAGAAGACTCAAATGTGAAGAAATAGGCCGTGATACCTACGGGAGCTGGCAAGAACAACCTCAGCCACTTCGATTTTAATTCATTGTACTCCGGCTACCCGTAGCTCCAGAGGGAGTTAATCTTCAAGTGTAAAAACGTCCCTTCCCATGTAATAGTAGACTAGTACTAACAGATCTGCAATAGCATATGAGTATGGTAATTTTTAATGTATTTCATTAGGCTGTCTCAGAAGAAGTCACTGCTTGATTCTATCGAGTGAGCTCGCCACAGATGGGATCAGCGGGTTCCATCATAACTGCTCCAAAAACGAGTATTCAACTCTATTCTCGATAATATAAGCTACAATGTACAGATCTAGTCAACCAACACGGGGGCGAGCCAGACGAAATGAAACTGCACCTGTCATCTTCTCAGTGACAACTGGTAGTGACTAATAAGTAACGGGCAAGGCGCACAAGCCTGGAAAGGCAAGGCATAATGTTTTGCTACTGTGTTGTTATCCTGCATATCAGTGTGTTTCTTCGCAAAGGCGTCGTAGACCTAGGTTCGCCGGATACTACTACTATGGTACAGGAAACCACAGATTGAAGTAATGGTGTCATTCTGAAGCATAGCCAATGATATTGAGAAGACTGCACTGTGTATAGTACGGACTCCGGATTGAAACAGCGTTACACGAGAACCGCTGGAGGAATATCGTACGACGGGCATCCTACCACGGAAATCCATGGGTGCGAGGACTGCCGCTTGCATTCAGAACAAGGTTTAACCAGTTGCGTAGCGTAGTAGCCGGGGAAGACAAAGTACGTATCTTCAGCCCAGCCTATTCGCGCGATTCGTGACACTATGTACTCCGAGCACCGCTGAACCCCGAACGCTATTGGGTCACGCGTATCATTATCAGTAGAACAAATTGTCAACCCAAGATTTCTCCTGTCTGATTTGAGCGAGACGTAGTATGATGCTGGCTTGTAAAAAGTATTCTGAATCATTCACTACCTCTCTTTATACACTGACAAAAGGATTGAAAGTTGAATGTCCGCATAATCTCAAATTATGGTTCAGGTTGATAATTTCACGAGACATGGTTTCTCCTTATTGATTGAGACACTGTAGTGCACTACACTTGCTACACAGCTGTATTATATCAAAAGTGGATAGAAGTGAAAAAAGTATTCTCACTGATTATGCCATCGTGCCGTTTCATGCATCGCTCCTGCTGAATAGTCCCTCGTTATGGGCGAATCGTCCGAGAGGGCTCTTTATGCAGTTTCGGGAACAGACAGACAGCATTTGATGAAAATTTTACCACCAGTTGTCTTTCACTGCGAAGTAAACCTAATCACAAGTGCGTTCAGGTATTATTTGTAGTACAATACATATGAATGAGCACTTGTACTATCTTTCAAGCTAGCTCCAATTGTGGTTATATTTCTGCTGCTTTTGGGACGTTTCGTAGGATGGTATCGTTACACAAGCCTAGACTCATTCAACATGAAACGTGTATCGATGGAAGTATATGCTGATGCTTTTTGGACCATCGAACCCATGCTCTATTATCACTATTGTCCAGACGCTCAGGGTTAGTGACCAAGAATGAAAAGGATAAGAGAATGTAAATACTCTACTACTTGGGTTATAGCATGAGTCTACGGACAAAGAATTTACTTCATCACTGTCGGCGAAAGAAAGATCGATTGTATAAAAATAAACAACTCAAACCAGCATAGCAGCCTGTCCACTATGGTCAGCTGGGGGTTCTCTGCCGGGGAAATAGGACTATAGTCCTAGCAGTAGCCTAATCGGAAGATGTTGTTGGCCGTCAACAGGACAATAAAAGAAGGACCGAGAGTAGGTTGTATTCATGTCCCTTTGGCGAACAGGCCGTTGATTTTGCTGTGCAACCGTGATGAAGTATGCATGAAGTTCTGCTCCCGCAGGCAGGGGTGCTGGCGGCTTCTCCTCGTTGACATCCCCTCGGACTTTGGTCAATGCTGCCTGGACCACTCGACACTCTCTGTCTGGTCTGTTGATTAGGGCAGACAGCCTCTAGATATATATAAAGCTGTTCTTGGACTGATTCTAGGGTAAGAACAATACGGTCATACAAATGCCGGTTTAGATTATGCGCATAGCAGTGTATAATGTTTTGAAGCCATGTTCTGGTGACGAAATCCAAGTGATGAATGCTGTCTAGGGTGTAAGCTTAAAATTACAATGTCCAAAAGGTCGTGGTCTGCTCATGAATTTACTGAAGTGATCGCTACTCACGTTGACATCCATGCCAAATGCTCAATCGTGGAGCGGGAAGGTAACGAAGTTTTGATATTGTACCCAAAAGCAGGGATGGTTCACCCACATCCACAGATCGAGATCTGGAACACTCAGGACCTTCTTCACTTCTCCTTCTGAGTGGACTACAGAAATGGGACTGATACCGAGCTTCACGAATCTTGAAAGATCATAGTACTCTTGGATGTTTGTTGCCCTTTACCCAAGTACATCCCCGCTCAGTCTATAATAATGAACAACTTTCTCATTATGTTCTGCAGACGATTCTATCTTAAATGAAGGCGTGGGTATATTTATCTCATGAATACTGAACAAATAGTCATAATAAAAATGATCAGCTTTAATAGATACCTGTCCTGCTAATAGCCAGTCTAGCGAGAGGGTAGCTTGATAAATATGAGTGCTTCTACTACTGCTCAGTAGACCTCGTCAATGATGCACTATTAGGCCATAGACTCTGTGCAACGCTTCTTCCGAAAATATTCTGCTTTCTGTAGGGCTTTCAAATTATTAGCTATTTAGTACAATGAGCGCCTTTGTATATTCCGCACAAAGATTTTCAATACGCCCACATACAATATACGTAGAAAGAGGACTACTGAGCTATTTTCTTATTTGGAAGATATGTACCGCATGCCAACACCTGTTTAACCAGATGTTGAGCAGCAGTTATGCTCAATACTAAAAGCATAAGAAATTCCTCTCAAAGCGACGTGTCCCTTGTTAAACCAAAGAGTTTGCTCGCACGCCTGAGAACATTTAATTCGACATGCTTTTAAGACGAGTTGTGCCTTCCCTGAACTTGCCCATATATGGGCCAGATCCTGACTGACAGACTTGATACGATTAATGGTCAACGAGCAGGAAGGTATTGTCCAAGTAAGATCTATGTTAGGTGGTCGGGAACAAATGATATGAATAACGTGATGATAAAGACTTACCATCTCGAATCACTTTTAATGTATGTCGTGACGCTCAGTATCTACCACTCTTAAAATAACATTCACGCTGAGAGGTACATGCTGCATCAGCCTTCAGCCGTAAGTATAATACGCCATACCGCATATGATCTAATATTAGGAAGATCAACACTTTATCTGGATGGATGCATACAAAGATCACATTGAATCAGAGACTCTTTGCTGTCCATTCGCATACACATAAGCTATACCGCAAAGAATAATAACCACGCTCACTTTTTGAGCTTGTCCAGGTTTGTATATTATTCTCAGTAGCACGCGTCATTTGTTGTTGCTTTCGTGAGCCTACAAATGTATCGTATTATGAACCGTACTAGACCCGGACAAAAAGGTATACGCTGCGTATTCGGAGCGCCTAAGCGATGTCTACGCCACGCGACGGAATTGCGTATCACGAATGGCTCTCGCTAGCCAGATATTCTTTGGGTGAGGTTGGACACCCTTCCGGGCTAGAGTAGCTTAGGCGAAGGGCAATTCCTAGGTGCGCATCGCGCTTCATTAAACCGGCGCGGGCATGCGCCTACGGCTACGTTTCTCGAGGTTGTCGTGTAAGTCTGTTTCAGTAGTCAGGCAAACAGCGACCGGCTCTGCACCACTTTACAGATTGACGGCGCGTCGTCGTCGTCATCGCGATGAATCCGTCTCGCCTCCCTCAAGCTATCGTCAATCTGTAAGTGCTTCTTTTTAAGTCCCATATCTAAATAGGAATCCAAACTCAATGGTTCGTGCTCCTCAAACAGACGGGTACAGAGTATAGTTGAGAAAGCTGCATAGGTTTATGAGCAAAACTCACTTGTTACGGCCTCCAGAAGCAGCAGTCTAAAGAAGAGGTGTTGTAGCTGCGGTACGGTGACACCCGAAACTTGCAGACCTGGTCTCGAAAATGCGAAACCTGTACTCGTTCTTAACGTCCAGCCTATTGTAAAGTACTTCACTGAGTTTTGGGAGATCTATCTCAGCATTTGGCACTGCTCTCTATTCTTATTGGTCTTTTTGGAAGAGATGCTCATATAAAGCTGAAGCATTTTATTCTACTCTGCTTTTAAGCGAGTTCAATGTACATATCGTATCTCGTATCGAATATGCCACAGCGATTAACGACCCCTACTTGCTCTATAATTCATTACTTTTTCGCCCCTCTTACCTATTATGTTTCGCGTTCTCAAGGTTACTCGTACCTTTTTGACTAACATATATGCTTCACTGCCTCACTAATAGTTGCCAAGAACACCGTCCATCCAGAAAAGACTTCTTAACCATGATTTATGACACCCCAAAATCATGGTTCAAGAATGACCCGAGAACCGTAGAGGCTACTATTGTTGTTTTCGAGACTTTACAGAACCATATATGCTCGTTTTGTTTCATTGTGAACTTAAGCATCAAAGAGTTCAAGGCTAAGAATCACACGTCTTACAACCATTTTAGCACGAATATACCCCACCTCCCTCCCGTCCCGCACATTATGAAAACGATACTTACAGCGATCTATTGACTTATCGAAGTAGGTCGCCAGCAGCACTCCATGACCTATCAGTCACTTAATCGTGGATTTACAGCTGTTCGATTCCAGTGTATAATGCGCATAATAATCATAGCCCTCAACACCTTAGCTTCGTACAAAGTTTACTAGACCACGTAACTAACAAGGAGATAATTTCATGTCATACTGCGAGAAGCCAAAAGCCAAAATGTCGTCGCTCAGCGGGCCTTCTGTATTTAAATTGCATCAAGATAATTATGCGAATAAATTGAGAGAATATACAGAGGTCTATATAGTTCACACTGATAGCTCCTCCTGTTATAGATGAGTTCAGTGTTAAAGCAGCTGCTAGCCGGTTGCTGGAGAACAATACGTGTAATACTTCCACGCAACATCTCATCAGCACCAGATATTTGATGGTACAGTCTATAAGAGTTTAACTAAATATACAGCTAGTCAGATAGCACACTTATATCTGCTTGCTAGTACGCAAAAAAAAAAAAAAAAAAAAAAAAAAAAGGAAAGGAAATTTCCCAAATCAACGCAACCCAAGCTTGCTGCTGACCCTTACGACTATTGCTGCGAGTAGACTCTTGCACTGCCTAGAATCTAAATTTTGATACTTTCACGAACTTCAAAAGCCGGGAAAAACTAGAGATAACTTGAATCTCTGGAGATAAGACCTTTGGATAATTTCGGAAGGCTTAGGTGATTGTGTCTACCCTACGCATATCATTCTTTGCATGGACTGAGTTCAAGATTGGATAACAATGAGCTAATAATCAGGACCCTTGTGTATTCCTTCATTTCAACAGCTCTCCTTGAATTGAGAAAGTCAAGCGCCCAGATCTTTGCGTGTGAGTAGTCCAGACTAGCCCTCCACACTTTAGTCACGATACATTCTTGTCTACTCACCGATTGAACTTTGACTCTGCCGCAAATGTTTCATCGACGGGGGTGAACTAGATTTCCGTGGATGAAACATTTGCGGCAGAGTCAGTCTCTCCCATACATACTTTTGCACGGAAATTTCTTTTCAGCGGCTGAACGCTGTAGGTCACAATGGAATTCAAGGGCTACCTCACGACAAATTATTTTCACAAGCTCGACCAGTAGTAACGTCAGCTTTTTTCTTTTGAGTATAAACTTGTCTGGATACGAGGTGGATCATGGGTTGGTTGGCTTGATTGCTCCTGAATGCTAAGTATCCACTGGTGATTTAGTCGATTATATTTCTTCTAATGAGATATGAGTACGCGGGTAGCGACTTGTGATGGACTATATCAGCAGCCACAAGTTCAGTCTACAAACCTCATACATCAAATAGCCCGATGTCTAGAGGAGGATGTGGCGTTGCGTGAGCAACATGGAACAGAACTCCTCCCTCTTCGTGAAATTGGAGGAGCCATATACTTAATCTTGCCTCTCTATAGACCGGATACTACTTAGAGTTATTCGCGTCGCCATAGTCTGTTCACGCTCTCCATTTGCGGACTTGTATTGTGTACGGGGTATATATTGATTGATCTTGGTGCTAGAACGTTCATCGTGCAAATTTAAGATTTTTCTTGAGAACATTTTCCATAAGATCCCACGCTACGAGGAACAGAGAGTGGTGAAACCTCGGCTGCCCTCGAATGATGAGAATGCACTGCCTACTGTGAGGGAGAAACCCGCGCACATGCCTTCAGGTGTGCAGCATGGCGTGTGAACATGGCTAGCTCTCTTGTGAGAGGATCTCTGTGGGAACTGTCCACAGCAACCGTATTCCATGTGGAATTGTACATGTATGACAAGCACGCCAGTAAATTAGTTAACGACTCTATGCCTGTAGACCGTCCTCTCTTCTCACGGACGAGCATAGCACACAGGCAGGCTTAACTAATAGACCTTTTCGTGGTAGTACATTCAATTGACGCGAAACCTAGATAGGTAACACGTACTGATAATGATAATCATATTCAATCGATTAAAACTTTACAACCTACTAGTCTGTGCTGAACAGACCTGATAGCAACAGTAAGCTTTACGTCCTGCACAGCCTGGGAGAATAGAAACCAGGCCCGGCACAATAGTAATCACACTTTATTCATAAACATATATCTTCGCAGAGCTGAGAAGCCTTTGATACATATACTGTGGAAAGTTCTCAGGGTTCTCAATGAGCTACATTGATATGTGCTGAGAGTACATCCAGCTTCCCCACAATCACACTACCTAGGTGCAGTCGAAGTGCTTGTGATAAGGTACAAGCGATCGCGCTTCGAGAAGGACGTTTGCGCGAAGATATGTGTCGGGTTATGTTGGCTGTGTATGAAGCGGCAATAAATTCTGGATCCTTGGACAGTGCGCTTATCTTGGAGGGATTCGGATCGTAGGTGGAAGTACCACGAGTATGTCAAGATGCCTAACCCCAATTCAGTCATCAAGTTTGGGCAAGAGGTCAGTGGTATGGTATACAGCCAGGGCTACGCTGCTTGTATGCCTCTCTGGAGTGGTTCCAGATCAAGCTTACGTTTTGGACTGCGAGGTTATCAGGTGCCCACTAGGCGTGAGCCTCGATCCATATCACCCATGTCGAATACGCTTCGCAATGACATCCCGATGGCCCATGGCCAGTACAACTGACATACGACGAACCTATCTCCGCTTAAAAAGAAACACGCGGTCAAGCTGTTGTTCTCGCTGGCCCTTCCGTAACACGGCTTGTTGTATGGAGGTGATGGAGCAATGGGCTGTGGTGGCTTCTCTCTCCTCCTTGCGCTGGTCCGGAGTGTGGGCTCTGTAGCTTCACAGAACTCCTTCATCCCCAGGGAGGTTCCTCTGGTAATGCATTCGCATGTATTACCTGTGGCACACAAGTCCGCCCACCTGGGTCGTAAGTCAACCTGTCTACACACGACTTGAAGTTTGCCTCTATCAATATGGTATGCTCGTGGAGTTGTCGAGGTTCCAAGCTTGTTTATAGCTGCCATACAAGACGAGCTGTGAAATACGCGTGTCATCTGAACCATTTATATGCATGTGCCGGGCAGATTCGACATCGACCAGCCCTGGCTACAAAGCTGGAAGTTTATGAGTAAGGCATCTTTCATAATATGATGTCGACACGTCTTTCACCGGCTGAAGACAATTTAGTTGACTATCAGAAAATAAGCGGGCGCTCAACTGGTCTCAAGCGGATTGTCACTAGATATCATGAGCATATCCGTGTTAGTCCAGTATTGGAGTGACAAAGGCTGTGGCCACTGCTTGTTCCCGAGATCGAATACGAAGGGGGTAACAACTGGTGAACCAACAGCAATGTGATCCTTCTCGAATGTTGTTCCATGACCTTGGGAATGCGAGTCTACCTAGAACACCCGTCGCCTGATTCTCATTTGTCTATGGCCCCAAGGCGGGTAGCCCTGCTGATTCCCGGTGCGGCATTGCGCTGATGGCTTCACGGAGTGCCCGCAAGGTACGACGTGGTTCATGAACATCTGTATCACCCGAACGGCTCAAGCATTGGCTGCATGTTGAACAACACCATGGATCGTGAAATGGGTGCGGCGAGCTGATCCCTTGCAGCGAGCCATCTGGCACTCTGGAATACCCAACAGAGCACTGACACCCCGCCTGAGGCCTTCATGGTTGCTTCTGATGTGCGCAACGGTACTTGGTGTTTCGGGTTCCTTGGCGATGTTGAGTACTGTACTCAATCATGCTGGATCGGACCTTATCCGAACAGCTATGGGACTCCGCGGTGTGTTGGGATAGTCGCCCATAACCCAGTCAAGCAACACTTGGCACCGAGAGAAGAACCAGCATCCACGTGGCTACACTGATAGCAACAACGGTCCACATGATCCGATCAGACTACGATAATCTAAGTGTGCATATGTGCTTCCCAAACATCGTCCGTCAATTCTACCCAGGGAGACCGACCGGGAGTCGACCTGTCCCCTTATAACTACTCCACGACGTTACGTCTAATCATTCTTGGGTAGGTGGGCAAGGTGGATGGCACGGACGGCACGGACGGCACTGGTCTGAGGAGAGAACTGCTCACTGTATCGAGATGACCAGCCTGAGCAGAAGTCCAAAAATTGCAGTAAAGTCTAGAAATAGAAACACGGGGACACTGTGAGATGGGCAAAATACGGCCCACGAGGAGAAAATGCGCAAAAAATGCGCGTGAGCGCTATGTTGATCTGCATCACAAATAACATGCTCATTGTCCGATGGTGGAATGTGAAGCTCCCTTGCGGTTCCCGCCCGGCTGCGCCCGGTGCAAACCTCCCATCCATTTCGAAATAATGGCAAGCGTCGCGCACGTCTGTGTCAGCGAGTGAAGAAGCGCGCCTACGGGAGATCTTGGCCTGTCGCCTCGATGCAGCCTCCACCACGTCTTGTTGTGGACGTTGTCCCCTGCTATGGTTTGGAGCTCGGTGATCAAGATCGTTGAGTAGGACTCAGGATAATCCCACCCAGGTTGAGTTGTGCCAGCTGTGACTCTGGACTTTCTCCTTACAGGCAGAGGAGGCTTTATGGATGCACGGAACAGCAGGTGCGGGAACTTCCTGCCAGCTTACCGTTGCTCACATCGGTGTCGGCCGAATGATGGACAAATTGCAAAGGCACGGAATTCGGCTCACAGACACGACAAGGAACCGTGCTTCCAACGTGTACGAAGACTCGCAATCACCAGCACGAACATACACTGCATAGGTTGCGCATAGCATTGTCAAATGCATGTTACTCCAGATATGAGCTTCCAACCTCCCCGGCTTGTTGCTCAATGCACTTGCAGAGCCTGTGATATTTTCGCATATATGTCGTTGAGTATAATTGATACTCGTCCGTCATGACCTGAATCCAACTACTCATCAGTAAGACGGTTGATTGTTGACTCCCGACCGAGGGCGCTCACTACAAGACCCAGGCGGCGAAGTTGACGGTGGACTTGACAGCGTGTAGGTGGACTTCGGAAGAGGCCATTGACCTGATGCTGATCATCATCGTGGCGGTGATGGAACAGATCTCAGTGCACCGCTGATTGCCTGGCAGAAACAGGACGCTTTCAGTATGATACCATCACTCTTGGTAAACTGGTACGCAAATAATGTCATGCAATAGAACTCATTCGCCGTAGCCATGGAAATCGCCAAAATATGCACTGGCAGCTTCACTTCCCCCGGCTCACAACCTGTCACGAAACGCAGCAAGCAGAGGTCGCAAACAAGCACGGTTCTAATATTTCTCCCTGCAAAGACGCCACCAAATGCAGGTATTGATCTAGTATACACTATTGACACGGAGACAGCTTCGTTGATCATGGACAGACTCAGCCACTGGCACAGACCCTGTACACGCCAGTTCCAGACAGTTATTACAGTCACACGCTCTCAAACTCTGATCCAAGACTTGCCGCTCTGACGCTTTACAGGAGCATACGTCTCGGGTCCTCGATGTACTCCTTGATCTTGACGAGGAACTGGACAGCTTCCCGGCCATCCAGGAGACGGTGGTCGTACGTCAGTGCAAGGTACATCATGGGGCGGATCTCCACCTTCCCGTTGACAGCAATTGGGCGTTCTTTGATTGCGTGCAATCCAAGCACGGCACTCTGGGGCAGATTGATGATCGGTGTTCCCATAAGGGAGCCGAAAACGCCGCCATTGCTGATGGTGAAGGTGCCGCCGGCCATGTCCTCAATCGTAAGCTTGCCATCGCGAGCCTACAAAGCATGTGTGAGCACACAAATCAAGTTTATTGCTGAAAGCACAAATCGTGGGAGACAACTGATGCCGGGAGACTCACTTTCTTGCCCATGTCGGCGATGGACTTCTCAATAGTGACCATGTCCATAGATTCGGTGTTGCGAACCACGGGGGTGACGAGGCCCTTCTCCGTGGCAACGGCAACACTGATGTCGACGTAGTCACGGTAGACAATAGTGTCGCCACCGTTCTCGCCCTCGATGGAGGCGTTGACGGCTGGGAGATCGCGCATGGCCAGAACGCTGGCACGAGCGAAGGCACTCATGAAACCGAGCTTGACACCTGTCTTCTTGAGGACCTCGTCCTTGTAAAGCTTGCGGAAGTCCATAAGAGCGGACATGTCGACTTCGTTGAAGGTGGTGAGGGAAGCGGCCGTGTTTTGCGACTGCTTCAGGCGCTCCGCAATGCGAAGACGCATGCGGTTCATTTTAACCTGAACAAGGTGTCAGAGAACGGGGACAAATGGGAGCAAATCACGGAGAAGCACGGCATTGGACCTACCCGACGTTCTTCGCGACTGCCGAGGGCTGGCGCCGAAGATTCTTTAGGTGGCTGAGCCTCCTTCTTGGCTGGAGGGGAGTCTTTCTTGGGAGCAGGCGTCTCCTTCTTCGGCTCAGGCTTCGATTCGGACTCCTTGGGGGCCTCTGGCTGGTTGTCGCTTTGGGAGGACGTTGTGGCCTCGGACGAGGCTTCCTCCTTCTTGGGAGCCTCCTTGGACTCGCCGCCAGCAGGGGCGCCGCCAATCTCGATCTTTACAAGATCCTGGCCGACAGTGACGGTATCTTCTTCGTTGGCGAACAGCTCCTTGATGGTGCCGGCCTCTGTCGCGTTAACGGCAACGTCGATCTGCGGGAGGTGAGCACATTAGACAGGCGCATTCCAGCCAGTAGGGGTTGTGGCGGATAGCCAGGTAGTACCTTGTCAGTCTCGATGGTGGCAATTTCCTCGTCGAGCTCTACATAGTCGCCAACCTGCTTGTTCCACTGCTTAAGAGTTCCCTCGGTGATGGACTCGGCCATCTGAGGCACTTTAATGACAGCATCGGCATAGGTGCGGACATGGTTCATGTAGGCAGAGAGAGGCAGGCCGCGCAGAGGCTGCTGCATAGGCCGGCGGGTCGAGACGAGGCGGGCCGCCGTAAGGGCTCTTCTGGATAGCATGGCGACTTTGTTCCGTGGCACAGAGCGTGCAAGCCGAGGGTGTCGTGATGGGACAGGAGCTGGAGACGAGACGAAGGGCGGCGGGCGCACGAGTGAATGAGGGCGAAGGCGGGCGCAGAGAAGCGCGATAGTTGGATACGGCGAGAGGTTGCTTGGTTGAATCAAGAGAGGACGGAATGGAAGGCAGTGAAGCCGTGAGGGCGGAGCGGAGGTGAGTGGAAAAAAGCAGGCGAGTGCTGCGACGGAAGCTGCTACACGATAGATCGCAGCTCCAGGTGGCTGCGCAGTACCCAGGTACCTGCTACACTAAGGCGCGGGCGGTGACTGGCTGGCTTCAAGGAGCACCCGTGGGTGTGGGCACCACATGGCCCGCGCACCAGAATCTCATACCTTCCCGCAACAGTCGGCTATTCTCAGCTTCGCTGGGCCTGGCTGTCCCACGGGACCGGCCCCGTCCCGAGAGGCATTTCCCACGGCAGGCTTCGCTTGGTAGAATGTCGCCTGCCCCCCAACCCGTGACAGGCGCCTCATTGCCAGCGCACTGAGTAAACCAAGTAAAAACCAAGTACACTTCATCTTGGAGTGTACACTACAAGTCGCCTCATTGCTCTGTATCGTGGGACAGTCATCTCTTTGCATTGGATAACAGTCAGCGCCGGCCGCCGTCTCACAACCCGGTACCTCCGATGTCTGAACCCCCGGCGCTAGGAATCATCGGATCGTTCGCATCTCCGCCCACCAATCATTCTGGCCGATATCTTCCGGTAGCACGGCTTCCAGGCCCATGTCATCTTCAACGACTGTTCGCCTGCGCACGCGCTTACCTACGCAAGCATGCATGTACTCAGTCGCCGAACGCCACGGGTGCCCGATGTCTGGATCTAGGAACAGCAAGACACTGCAACGTCGCCCAAAACACAAAACTAGCTGAGAGTCCATCGACGAATATTCCGAAGCGAGCCTGCGTTGGCTGTGTGCGTTGGCAATTGTGCAGCACCAAATCTCGAGTCACAATCTGGAAGCGATGGAATGTGCGGCGTCACAGGCTATGCCTTCCTACCGAAGAAGCGACGTGGCTTTCGTGTCGAATCTCGACTTGCAGTAATTGATGCTCGAAAAGAAATAGCAACCTGATTATCAGCATGGCGGATGCCCACCTGGCTGACAGCTGAGCAAACTCTGGGCATTAGTGGGTATGCTCAAGCGGCACTGTGCTCTGCTCAGGCAATATGCTTGTGCGGAACAGCCCTTGGCGCAACATCAACCAGTCCTACCCGGGAGCCTTCCCTGGTTAGTGCAGCTTGCCCAAGCGGGCATACCTCAACTCAACCCGTAGCCTTGCATTACCCTGTCGGCCTGAGGCATCCACCGAGCTTTGCAACTCGCCCTGTTCAATTGGTTGTGTGCAGTTTGACATCAATTCCCGCCTCAACAGCAAGAAGGGCTTCATTGCGACCGCGTGCTCTCGCCCTCCTCGCCCGCCAACCCCTGCTTGCTACGCCAATCAACCTCGTCGTCGTCACATTGCCTCTGCTCTGTGCTCCAACACGGCATTGGTTCAAGCTGCGCGCGCAGCCGCTCTCGAATACGCCTAGCCAGACGCCTGCGCATTGACGTAACGCCTCTACCCACGGACTGCATCTCAAGATACGACGCCCTTCAATATGTCGAACAGACAGGCCGCCTTGTGAGACTTAGACCTCATACACTCATGTGCCTTCAATCACGCTCGTTCTGACGACCGCTCTGCGCAGATCGCTCTACCGGCGCTCGTTGAAGCTAGCCCTCGACTGGGCTGTTCATCGTCATCTCTGGCGCGGCCAGGCGCTTTACATTCGTTCTTTATTCGAGGCGAACCGCAACATTACCGACGTCAGGAAACAAAGAGTACGACTTCCGTCAATCATGCCGCCTATAAGTGCACCATCTTCCCTGATAGGTCCTGACACCACGACGGCCCACTCCTCGTTTCAGTCCTCGCTGGGAGCATGATGCCGAAATGCTCTAAAGGCTCAAGGCTTCTGTGGACTAGACACTCTGCCAGTCATGGGGACACGATCGTGTTCAGAGAGTATACATTTCGATTGGACGGCTGCTGACCATGACTGTATCTTGTGTAGGCGTTATTGAGTGAGACGGAGAAGCTGCTAGAGACATGGAAACATCCCGATCCTTACTGTCATCCTACAGCTCCAGGAGGTGCGGCCGACAAATATATTTTCTTCAGTCGTGCGACGTCTCTAACAAATTCCACAGGCTCCAAGTACGAGAGAAACTTGCCAGCGCACACAACAGCAGGTAAGGCTCGCCCGATGCAGGGTCATCTACGCACTCGCCGTCTCTTTCCCCAGCATACCCGCGACGGCGGCAACATATATCACGCAAGCGCTAATCCTGTGTTATCTTGCAGCGCCTCCGCCCCTAAAGTTCTAGGTGCCGCGAACAACGAAAGATCGGCCTGTAGTGTTGGAAAAACACAGAACGTCATGCGACCGCGGCCACAGAGTCACGTCGAGCTTGGAGCTTTGGAACTCATGTACATAAGACACGCATTTTCGAGAACGGTGTTCTGGCGATAGAGAGTTCAGGTCAGCAGGAAAGATACAGACGCCAGGGAGCACACGAAAAGAAAATATCCAGCCATACTTGGCGTGCGTTTGGGGAGAAATGTCGATTGTGGGCGATGCAGACAATATGAAAAGATCTAAGTCTCAGACACGAAATACGACCAACATGAGCGACACTCAAAGCACGAAGATCGTCCCCGAGCAAAAGAATGCAGAGCCATAGCTGTTCATGATACTTTGCCAATCAGACTCCTATGATGCTTCAGGGTGCCGCAGAAAACTTGACTACGACCCCACTAGAGTCGACCCAAGAAGTCCGGTGCGCTTGTGTACGCGTTGGATTTGTCTGGTTTGAATCGGCCGACATCTGACTCAAAATATGGGATGTCAAGGTCGTGTAGCCACTTTGCCAACTGACCTGACAGGATTCGCAAGATACAGAGCCAAGGAACCTGAACCACTGGTCAGGGTTGACGACATGAGACTTGCGTAAGGACACTGCGCTGCACGAAGTGGTATCCTGCACGCACTCGGTTCTTTGACATGGAGAGGCATCGCGCTCAGGCAACACAAAGCTGGCGCGCGAGCCCACGCATCAACAGGTGGACAGTCACGCCGCAAACACAAGCAGTGGTTTTTTAGAAGTTGTTCTCATTGGTGTGTCCATTATCGCGAATCCATTGTCGCTTTTGTATGGATCATGTATGGTGTAATGTACAACCCCATGCATCAAAAGCAAATACCGTGCCCAGCCGTGACCCCGTGGTTCATGAAAACGTCCCAAAAATAAAAGCCAGCCTGTAAAATCAAAAGGCAAACAAAAGCAGCAGAAGAAACACCGTTTACAGCTCTTGCGAGGCGTTCTTGCCAGTCTTGCCAGTCTTCTTGGGCAGGAGGTCTGGGGAGTAACGTTAGCATGTACAGAGAAACAGCAAGCGTCCTGGCGGCATGACTTACTCTGGTGGATGTTGGGGAGGACACCACCCTGGGCGATGGTGACGTGGCCCAGGAGCTTGTTCAACTCCTCATCGTTCCGGATGGCGAGCTGGAGGTGGCGGGGGATGATACGGGTCTTCTTGTTGTCGCGTGCAGCGTTGCCAGCCAGCTCGAGAATCTCAGCAGCGAGGTACTCGAGGACAGCGGCTAGGTAGACGGGGGCACCGGCACCGACACGCTGGGCGTAGTTGCCCTTGCGGAGCAGGCGGTGGACACGGCCAACAGGGAAGGCCAAGCCAGCCTTGGAAGAGCGGCTGCAGTGAGACGTGTCAGTACGAGTCAACAAAGCGCGCCACGTGATGGCCATGTGAAGTGATGGTAGAACTTACGACTGCGCGTTCTTGGAACCGCTGGCCTTGCCGCCGGACTTGCCTCCAGTCATTTTGATGGTTTGAGGGGGGTTTGAAGATGTGGGTAGAGTTTGGACAGTGAAGTCTAAGATAGACTTGAGAGGCGATGAGGCTGAGAACGGTGGTGGTGTGGATGGGAATGCTTTGGATGTTGGATAGTGGGAGTGGGAGTGACAAGAGACGGCCCAGTGGGGGATGCGCGGCTTAAGTATTGTCAGTCGCGTCAGAGGCACAATCACGGATCACCAGGAGCGGGCAAGTGGGAGGCAAGGCTCGAGAGCGTTGCGCGCTAGCCCCGAATGGGCCGGTCTGCACGCCTGGGAACTGCCTTGTCGATTGTGCGCGCGGCGCGCGTGTGGTGGGTGGGGCTCCAGACCGTCCAGATCACACTGCACAAGTTGCAGCTCACTGCCGGTACGTGCCTGTGGCCCCTTGAGCCCACTTGAGCTGCCACCTGGAGCTTCTCCACAGATGCGCCAATCAGAAGCTTCGATCGAGGAAGCTCGCAAGGGCAAAAAAACAACAAAAAGGCGCCCTCCGCGTTGCCCCGCTCGTCGCCTGCCAGCGATTATTGTGATTGGCCGACACAGCACTGTGATTGCGCCAGACCGGCATTCTTTGTCAGCACCGACGTCCTGGGATTTTCTCTTAATACCCCGTCGCCTGGCCCTCGTCCTGTCCCGTTGCTCTTGGTCCTTTCCTCCTTTTTCCCACCCTCCCCCAATGTTTGGGTCCCCCGACGCTTGTACGGGCTCCCAAGCTCCCCAGCCAGGGCCCCTCCCCCCTCCCCGGGTACCGCCTGGCGAGCTGGGTGGGCACCCTCTAATCACTCGAGCTCTCTGGCTGCCCTCAGTTCTCAGGGTCAACGGCACCGCCCACCTTGCTTGACCTTTTCCTTTCCTCGGGTTCTCACCTCTTTACTCCTTTACCTTTTGACATAGTTGACCTTTTACTTTTTGCTTTTTTGACTTTTTTCCCGTTTTTTTGGTGAAATTTTCATGTCGTTCTGATGCTGGGTCACATATGACATATTCTGTCATCAACTGTGTCATTTTTTCCAGGCCCCTCGCAAGTGACGTTGATTCCCCGCACAGCCAAACAGGCACAGTTGAATGCTCCAGTAATTTCGACTGCCAGATTCATACGAATCCGGGGCAAGAAGCCCGTAACTTGTTCGCGGGCCGCGGACCCAGGCCTGTTAGGCAGTGTCGGGCACTTCGTAAACAACAGCAACGTAGTCACGTAGTGGGATACATGGACGCGCTTCAATTTGGCTGGGATACGCGGCTGCTGCGTTTGACCGACGCTCAGACGATCCACCAGGACAGGCCCAGCCGTGCACATCATGGTCTTGCTTTTTAGGGACTCTACGATCATCGGACTTTGCTGCCTTGAGAGCGCCTGTTCAGCTACTTGCGACGGACAGGAAGGGTGGCACGTCATGTCGTCCATGCATGGGGGTTGTGTTGCGTGTGAGGAAGGTGCAGCTATGGTGGAGCTGACGGCACGCGGCAGTGATTCCTGCTTGCGCGTGTGCAGGCTGGTGAGCAGCGACTCTCTGCGGCTGAATTATTTGATTGGCTGGCTGTCGGAGAAACCCCATTCCCCAGCCATTTCCGCATTGGGAGGTGCTTGTCCACTCACCACGCCACAGCCCGACCAGTTGACGACCTCGTTGTGTGTTCTGAATGTGAGGCTTCGTCGTTGTCCGCGGGTCGGCAGCGTGGCTTCTGAGCACGGCCAGTCTCTCCGACTCGTCGCGAAAAATGATTCGAAGATGCTGTGCCAGTAGTGCCACTGCTGCATGACTACGGTTCAGTCGCAATGGATTGACCGCAGCATTGCGGAATCACCGCTGTTGCAACTCCCAAAGAGGCCTAGACGCACGAGAGGTCGGATCAGATGTTTGGAGCCATGTGCAGCGGCATGGGAGAGCGAGCGGCCAAGCAGGGAGAGCAGGGGTGGGAGCGCGCAGGCGTGGTGGGTCTGCCTGGTGGCCCTGGGAGGTGGCCCTGGGAGATGGCCCCACTGGCGCGTTGAGCGTGTATGCGCTTCGCTGCTCCTCGAGCACGCACTGCTAATCAGTAACCACGCTAGCGCCCACCGCGTCTCGATACAAAAGGATGACTGCACCCCCATCACGCCCTCCTCTCTCTTCCCGACAACCATCTCTGCACTCACATCACAGCTTCAGCTCGCCACCACAACAACCTCACTTCGTCTATTCAGACAAGCTTCTCACATCCTTTTTCCATCCCCATCACATACTTCAAAATGCCTCCCAAGGCCGCCGACAAGAAGCCCGCCTCCAAGGCACCCGCCACTGCCTCCAAGGCTCCCGAGAAGAAGGATGCCGGCAAGAAGACCGCCGCCACTGGCGACAAGAAGAAGCGCACCAAGGCCCGCAAGGAGACCTACTCTTCTTACATCTACAAGGTCCTCAAGCAGGTCCACCCCGACACTGGTATCTCCAACCGTGCCATGTCCATCCTGAACTCCTTCGTCAACGGTAAGCTCCGCTCATTCCCGCCTGCGCGACGCATCTCTCCTTCACCTGTACTAATCTGGCTGCTTGACGTACAGACATCTTCGAGAGAGTCGCCACCGAGGCTTCCAAGCTCGCTGCCTACAACAAGAAGTCCACCATCTCTTCGCGAGAGATCCAGACCTCGGTCCGCCTCATCCTCCCTGGTGAGCTGGCCAAGCACGCTGTCTCGGAAGGCACCAAGGCCGTCACCAAGTACTCTTCCTCGACAAAATAAGCTTCCGGCACCTGAAATGAGTGCGGGGTGCTAGCAGCGGTGAATTTCTTTTGGGCATTGCGGGCCCTGCGCCGGCCTGCTTCTGGCATCATGACGAGACTGGGCCGAAGCGGCCTGGCCGTCAGGTCTTGACATTTGGGAGTCTCATAATGCGTTACGGATGGTTTCTGCTTTTTCTCTTGGGGGTAAATGTTTTCGCACTACAACGGTCTGGGGGTTTCGCGGTTGTACAATATGCTTTGCCGATATTGATTCGGAAATGACAACTGAACATGAACAAGACTATGCAAACAAGCAAAAACACTCTGAAATCGTGTCTCTGTCCCGCCTCTCGTGTGCTACGCTTTGCTGGTGACGCGCTTGGCCAGTTGCGGCGCGTCGGGTCCTGTGTCAACAGCGCGATCGTGTCTCTCTGGCATGGGCGCGCTGGCCAAAATGCAATCCAATCTGTACTGAACAGGATGTTCTCCTCGTGTCCGGCGTGTGCGAATCACCTTGACATGCCCGTGAGTGCAGGTTCATAATTAGGTGCGTCGCGGATGCGATTTTGGTGAGACAAGGTGACTTTCCAGCGTGAGACTCTCACCGCGTAAGCTGGTTTCGGCGATGAGACGGCATGATTTCCCCCTCCCTCCGAAAATTGGCGCCCGTTGATGTGGAATGGTGTGGAACACACGACTGATGAGTGCGAGCTTGCACGATCAGTGATTAAGATTTCGGGCGAACCAGATTGTAATTTCTTTCGGCCCTCGTCTTTGCAAGTTCAGTTCTCGCTGATTTGGTGATGCCCTTCCAGCATGGTTGCAGGCTTCAGCGATGTGAACCCTGGTCCAGGGTAGCCTGGCTCGTGTCTTGCATCATCATCACTTTGCCATGTCTTGCAGTGGCTGGAGTCGGCATTGGGCTGTACATTATTGGAACGGAGGAGATACCTCTTCCTTATTTCATGGCATTCTGTCTGGGTTGTGGCGTGGTCGATAATTGGACGCATGTGTGGTGAATTTGCTTGTTGTTGATATTTTCTCTTAAATAAACAATATTAATTTTTATTTTCAGCATCGTATTTTCTATGACTGTAACTGGAATCTCACACTCCCCGATTCAATCAGTCTTGACTACGCAGACCACCAGACAACTGACGTACCCCGCTGGGCTGATGTCACTTGAAATGGCGGCGTGTCGCCCTCTACCTCTACCGTGGCGCGACTGACGGCGTTGTTTGTGCTTGATGGTGCTGTCGGGCTTGTCCGGCGTGTGTCACGATCCTGCCTCCGGGGTCAACCGTCTGGCAGGGCGCTGGGGTTGCTGTTCTGCAAGATAGGTAAAGCCTGTACAATAACAACTAACACTCTGCTGTCGTTCTCTCTCTGGGTTGTCGTTCGTGTCTCTTGGAAGAGATACCAGTCTCGGCAATTGAGTGACTAGTTCAAGTGTGGGTGAAACTGATACTTAGATTGATCGCTGAAGTACAAAGGTAATGACTGTCCACAAGGAGATCCTCCGTACTCTATATATCCTTTGTCCTTCATCGTGGTCATGACTCTGAGCCCGATGGTCGCGGCCAGGTCATGAATCTGGTCCTGACGGTCATGCAGATATTGGTGACCATCCTTCTTGGCACAGCGTCGGTCATGCAGATATGCATGACCGGTACGTACCTTCCTTATCGTCCCTTATCGTGCTTACATAAGAAACCTGTGACGGTGCTGCCACATGATCCGCCCTTGTCCTTGGCCTGATCCTGTGGCCTAGTTGTTTGGGCTCTTTTGCGTCCGTAACAAGCATCCCCTGTTGGTTGGCCGTCACAGCGTGCTGGAGACTTCCAGCCACCTCCAGTGACCCACCCACACACGCAGACATAGGCAGGGCATGGAAAAGCCGGTTCCAGACACCAATAAAGGTGAATCTCTAGATACTATGGTAGGTGTCACGCTCGTTGGGATACCGCTCACAGAGCACTTCATGATACCGCGCTGGGATGCACTCGCGATAATCTCCACGTGTCTTGCCCCACATGGCCGAAAATGACCGTTGCCCGCCATTTCCAAATATCTGCTGTCCACACGATGGTACGCTCCTTCAGCCTACAGCTGTACAAAAGATACCTCTATCGAGGTGGGATTTCTGACCGCAAAGCTATTAACGCCCGGGAGCGAATTCTAGTCTTATCTTCACCGCACCCTGCTCGTTCTTGGGATGAACAGAAGGCTCACTGTACGCGGCCAACGTTTAAATTACCCTCCAAAAGCGCGGAGGTGTCCAAGCCCCCCCCTAGAGATCACCGAGACCTGCTTTGCCCTTCTTGACAACATGCGTGATGGGGACGATGATGCCTCGATTGTCATCCGTGCCAAGTGCCATACCCTTGGACCAGCCCATCTTCTCCAACATGGCTCTTCCCTTGTTATCGACACCAAGTTCCGATGCGTGCTGTCCCACCACCTCGCCCTCGCGCAGATGCACTACACCACGCTTTCTTGCACGAGCAGCCCCCACATCAGACCGAGCCCGGAAAATTTTAGCATCACTGACGATCTGGTCGTCGACATCGACCCGTGGAAACCAAGACTGCTTGATGCGGCTGAAAACATTGTTGAAGAAGTCCGGTTCATATGGCAACGTAGCCTTGGTGCGATAAAGAACTGGACAACGCATATTGCCCTTGCCAGCTGACTGCGACTTGATCTTGAACTTATTCGCAATCAGATGTACTGTCTGGCGGCTCTTCTTATCAAATGGAGGGAGGTGGAGTCTACGGGCACACGTCAGTTTTCGACCATTGATATAGGCCACTCTGTTGTCACTGATGGTTCCGTCTTCACTTACTGCTCCCGTGGGCCCATGAGAAACGCCTCAAACTCAACTTCGATGTCGTCGATCGACATGCCTCCGCGATACTTGATTTTGAGATCCTCTGGATTGGCGTGTTTGCCCAGTAATCCCTGCGATCGTAATTCTTCTCGTGCTTTCTTTTTCTCAGCCTTTCTTAGCCGGTCCTTCTTCCATGCGATGGCCATCGCCTCCTCAAGGTCGGAATCCGACAAATCAAAAGTAGGTTCCTGCCGCTTGCCAATACTTTTGAAGTTGTTAAGACTTGGTCTGTGCCAATCCATGAGGTCCAGGTCATCAAAAGCGTCTGCCATCCTTGAGGCACTTGGGTACTGTCCCTTCTGCTGTACGATTCTGGCCTGCTTTGAGCCACCCTTCTTTCGACGTCTTGGTGTGTGTTTGGGGGCAATCTGCCATCCCTCCAGATTTTCGCCATCACTGTCGGCGTCATCGAACAAAACAATGTCTTCGCCACCCAGACCGAGCTCCTCTTGCTTGGCAAGGAGTCGTGCGAGCCTCGCATCTTGAGATTCTGCGTGTTGGCGCAAAGCAGTTTCATCGACCTCATCATCATCATTGTCATCTTCGTCGGTTTCCGAGCTCCTATTTGAACTCTCGGCCATCAACCCCCTTGCTGGTACGGCATCGCTGTCCGAGCCACCGAGATCTCGGAGCAAGTGGAAAGCGTGTGATCCGAGGCCGGGGTGGACATCGGCGGCGTTCTCGTCCGAGTCGTCCTCATCACGCATATTGGCAATATAGTCAGCGATAATAGCAGCTTCTTCATCAGCCATATCAATTCCAGGGGGGGCAGGAGATGGCTTTCCGCGTCGGGAGCCTTTATTTGCGCCTGTCAAGGCCAGAAACCCGGCTGGTTTTGCCTTCAGAGATCCTGAACTACTTGCTCGAGATGGAATGCAGTCGCGAGGCGTTCTTATGGGATGATCAAGCGCTTCTGACAACGTATTCTTATCGATGTGATCCAGCTCTATGGTGAGCTCAGGGAGGTCGAGCGAATCCGAACGAAGAGGCATTGCCACTGGAGTTGAGACCGTTCCCGGCCGAGACGGGGTTTGGCGAGCTTGGTCCCGGCCCTTGAACAGAATGACGTCTTCACTGGAGTCCGACTCCGAGCCGGTGTCTCCCTGTTGCGACGCAGCATCGCAAGCCCTCGTTCCAGGTCTGAGTGACTTGTCTCCGGTGATGTCAATCACAAAGGATGGCTTATCAACAGGAGCAGGTACAGAGTTTGGTGACGGATCAGACGAGCGTGGCGTCTCGGCTGGAGATGAGTTTTCCAGAGCTGCTGTTGTGCCGTCAACTTGTGCTTGCGGCGTGCTTGCAGAGACGGATGTTTTCTTCACGTGAACGTCGAGCGTGACTTCGAAATCCTTGAGAGGGTCCATAAGGCCTGCACTGACGAAGACAACCGGCTGATGCCGGAGCCTGGAATCTCCACGCCCTGAAAATTCGCGACGATGGAAGAGAGTGTTTCTAACTTCGTTGACCATGCTGCCTAAAACGTCTTCGTCAGCATATATAGGCCACAGCAAGCGTACTCGGACGCATGCCTGGGCATCGAGAATCATACCATGGATGGGCAGCCGACTTGTAGGTACATAGGCGGTGCTGCCGCCGTAGAGGTGGGAGACGGTCGAGTTCTCGACAGGCGCCCCATTTCGGCGACCTTGTTGAGGCTTCTGCTGACGAGGGGGCCGCGAAGGCTTGGACCTGCCCTTCTTATTTTTAGCCATTATGAACTGGCTATTCTAGGTTTCTCCTGACGGCCTGAGAGTTGAATGTTTGGTGTAGAACTTTGTGAGTTAAATGCCGCCCTACGCTGAACATGGTGACCGCGAAATTGGGTTTGAAGGATTGTATAAGTCCGCGGATGAGAACTGGTGCAGAGGGAAAAGCCCTACAGGGAGGCAACTAAATGTTCTTGGAGGCAGGCACCTTGTGCCGGCCTACGACGTCAAGTGCCTGCTGTGGGGCGAGAGATGATTCATACGGGACAACTCCACCGCATCACTCCATAGCTGGCTATCGATAAGTGCCATACAGGGCTCGACCAGCTGGGGCGGTCCCTGATGACAAGGGCGGGGCGGGACCCCAGCTCCGGCGCGCCTTGTCACGGCGCTGTCACAAGGCTTCGCAATCCCCACGACCTGACCTGCCTCCTCTTAAGGCAGCTGCTCAGCTTGCTCAGCCTTCTCGGGCTACCTCATCATTGTCCACTCGTCATTATTGTAACCTCGGGCAACCCAGCAACCCCTCGAGTCGTTGAACGCAGTCTTGTTGAATCTCTCGCTGATTTCTGTACGACTCCCAGCGCCTGCCTCCCCACTTCTGCCTTCGCCGCTACTCAAGGGCTCCGTTCGAAGAGGCACGTACGATCCAAAGAATCACATCATGGACTCAACGCTTGATGTTGGGCGCCGCATCGTTCAGATGTTCTGGGACCCGGACCCCACCAACGATATTGTCAAAGACGTCCCGGTCTGGTGCCTTGGCTCTTCGTACAGACTCAACGCTGCTCAGTCCAACGCCCGTGCTAGTCCCGCTGGACCACCTTCAGAGCCAAGTACGACTATTGTCACCACATCGGGCTCGGCTGCCAAAGACGGCTCCGCGCAGGCTTCATCCACCAGTCTCCCCGACACCCCGCCCGACTCTATCTCGACCAGTCTCGACTCGTCCCTTGCTTACGAAGATGCCCCTCGCGATGGGGGCTGGCCGCCAGCGTTTCTGGACGATTTCGAATCTCGCATTTGGATGACATATAGGTCAGAATTTGAGCCGATCGCCAAGTCTCAGGACCCAAAGGCTCTTGCAGCCCTCTCGTTTTCCATGCGGCTGAAGACGCAGCTCAGCGACCAGGCAGGCTTCTCAACGGATACTGGCTGGGGCTGCATGATCCGCTCAGGGCAAAGCCTTTTAGCCAATGCGATGCTATCTTATCGTTACGGAGGTTCTCCGAGGAGGGTGTCGAATCGGGAGCACGAATCAGCCATCCTTCAGCTCTTTGCTGACGATCCGAGGGCGCCATACTCGATTCACAATTTTGTGCGCCATGGTGCCATAGCATGTGGCAAATACCCTGGCGAGTGGTTCGGCCCGTCGGCCACAGCAAGGTGCATCCAGTAAGTCTCTTGTAGATATATCGATCCGCCTGGAGTTCGCAAAGGCTCGCACCATGCTAATGTGAATTGCAGAGCTTTGGCCAAGGCGAATGACTCCTCGCTGCGCGTTTACTCGACAGGTGATGGCCCAGACGTTTACGAGGACAAGTTCTTCGAAGTTGCTAAACCCGATGGGCAAACCTTCCACCCAACCCTGATTCTTGTTGGCACAAGGCTTGGTATCGACAAAATTACACAGGTATACTGGGAGGCTCTCGTGGCATCGCTGCAGATGCCCCAATCTATAGGCATTGCTGGGTAAGTGATTTGTGGTCTTAATGGTCTTCCAACAACTAAAATAATGTGTATAGAGGGCGACCGTCTTCCTCGCATTACTTCATTGGCGTGCAGGGACTGCACTTTTTCTATCTAGACCCTCATTTTACTCGACCCGCTCTCCCGTACCACGAGCGTCCGGAAGATTACACCCGGGAAGAGATTGAAACGTGCCATACGCGCAGGCTACGTCGGCTTCACATACGGGAGATGGATCCCAGCATGCTCATTGGCTTTCTAATCCGCGATGAAGAGGACTGGAAGGACTGGCGACGGAGCGTGAAGCACGTACAAGGAAAGAACATTATTCATGTCTCGGATTGTGATCCTGTGGCGCAGTTCAGCCAGAGGGCAGGTGCGATCGACCAAATTGAGGCGCTCAGTGACGACGACGACGACGACGAAAACAGGGAGGCTGAGGACCGCGTGTAAGTTCGGAACACAGCAGTCAAGCCTGTTGCGTTCGTCGTGATATTCTGTCACCACTGCACCTTGCATTCCTTTTGATGGCATCACTGGCGTTGGTGGGTTCTTCGGGCGTTCCTTCTTTTCAACCTGGTGTCGTTCATTGGCAGGCTTTTCACATCACAGATTATTCTATATATAATATACCCTCCTCCGGCGCTTCTCAGGTCGAGTTCGGGCCTCGAGCCATTTAGAGCCTGGGGAGTCATTTGGAGCCACAGCCAATAGTAGTGATCCGCGTGGCGTGGGGAGCCCTTCTAATCACCTTGACAGCCAAACAATTCTATTGATGCTGAACATCTTGTAATGCATGCCTAATCTGGGACTATTTCTTACCCTTCTTCTTTTTAGATCCTTTCGCCCCAGGGGCTGCTGCCACGCTCTTGAGCTCGGCATGACCTTCATCTTTGATGTGTGCAAAAAGCTTCGACCGAGACTCGAAGCTTTCTTGACAGACCGCGCACGCATGATTTGCATTTGTGTTTTGACGCTCAGCAGCCTGCCGGGCAGCTCTCTTCTCGCGTTTCGCTTTGGCTTTCCCTACTTTCTTCGTTGGTTCCGAGCTTTCCAGTGACAAATCCTCTACGTCCTTGGCGAGACCATTGCTGTCTCTGCTAGTTGTGCTCTGGAGCCCCAAGGGGCCAGCATTTGCTGCGAAATCTTTCTGCTTTGGATTGCCGCCCACGAGCCGCGCCTCGACGGCTTCGCGAGATGCATACTCGTCGTCTCCCTCCACGTCATCTCCACTTGCACTCGAACTCCCGCTATCGAGACTTGTGAACGTCTGTCCTTTGGCTGCATCCATCGTCATCCCATCCTGAATGGCAACATACGCTGGATTGCCGGTATGTTGAAGCTCATCTTTCGTATCAACAAGGCTAGGTATAGAATCTGCTTCTTCGTCTGACGTGGTGGTTGTCGTACTTATCGTGGTCGGCGTCACTGTCTGGCTATCCTTGAGGTTGAGGTCTTTGTTCTCCCTCCTCATTTGCCTCTGAAGCTGCTGTACAGCCTTGATATGCTTCTTGCTCTTCTCGTGTGCCTCAAACTGCTTCTCGCTCTTGAAGACCTTGTCGCAAACTACGCACTCGAGCACCTCGACCTCAGACTCCTCCTCGCTTTCTGAGAACTCTCCTAGGTGGGCGTCGTCTTCCCCACCGCCAGCGGCTCGGGCCCACTCCGGGATAGCGTCCTCGTCGTTCATCTTGGCCTGGTTTGCCGCCCTTGATCTCGCAGCCTGTGCAGCGGCGCTATCCCGGAGGATTTTTTGCCTCTCCGCCTCAGACTGTGTGTTTGGCACATACCGCGGATCGCGCTTGCGCACGAAGATAACGAGTGAGCGAACGGCATCGTTAAAGTCCCGGGCTGCATCTTCGCGGAATTTCTTGTTCTCCTTCTCCATGAGCCTTCGCACGCGGCGGTCAGGAGCGTCTGAAAGTCGCCACTTGTCCTTCCATGAGAAACTAAGCCTCGTCGCGAAGTTTTGCCAGCCGCCGTAGAATCGCTTGGCGAACTGGTCGTCGTCATCGGAGCAGCCAAACGGAGGGTATTCTGGTGGCTGTGAGTGGTTATCAATGTCGGATTCCATCTCAGCTGCAGCCATTTCTGCCATCGCGAGACGATCAAAGGTCTCTGCGAGAATTGTGAAGAAGCTATGCGGCGAGTCGTCCATGGGAACGGCCTTGTTGAAACGGCCGATGAGAGCATAGATCTCGTCTGCCGTCATCACCCGAACATTGTGGAACTCGGGAGCCGCGCTGGCATCGTGAGGGTCGTCACCACGCAAGATGGCATCGCGGTGCGAATCATACCAAGCGCGTTCTTGCGGGTCGGACAGCACTTCGTACGCGGACTGCACCTCTGCGAACTTCTGAGTTGCTCTCTCGACATCGCCGTAGTTGCGGTCGGGATGGAGCTCTAGGGCCTTCCTGCGGTATGCTTTTTTGATTCTAGAGAGAGCGGTTCAAGGTTAGAAAGTTTCCAGGCAGATTAGTACACTACGATGGGCCTACTGACTCATCCTCTGTTGCTTGCCGTTCGATGCCGAGTAGTTCGTAGTAGTCGGTCTTTTTGGGTGCGTCTTGAGTGGCAGCGCCCCGGCTGGACGACTGCTCGGCACCCATGATTGTGGTTGTGTACCAGAAGGAGGTAGGCTGCGATAACGGCCGGGCCCGAATGCGCCGCAGAGGCCTCGGTATCTATGCGAGAACTTATGGACAGCGCTTGTGAGCCTTTCCTGCCTGTCAAGGCTCTCACTGCCAATGATAAAAACCCGAAAATTGTCAGTCAGGCACGCGGATGGAGAACCCCGCGCTTAAGCTCCGAAGATGATATCTTGGGGTGATTTTACAGGGTCCCAGCCAGGCCCCACTAACAGCCTTTGTGATGCACTACAGTCTCCAGCAACAGGACGACGCCACCGCTGCTCCTGTTGCAGGTCTTGACAAGTTTCGCATTTACTGTAGGTCACTTATTGGAATCTCAAGGAACGTCATTGGGGGTATTAAATATGTGCAAGGCGGCTGCAGAGCTTGCAGGGAAGTTTTGTATTTAAAATGGTTCATTATGATTCATCCATCGCCTCGAACCTTTGGGTCATCATTCCGAAGTTGATTGGCCATGATGATGTATACGCCTTGCCCAGAGAGATCGCTCTAGTAAACGGGAGGCGAGTTTCATGGAATTGGTACGTACAATCTTCCCCAAGTCGTGCAATGTGCACTGCGGCAGCGGAAGTACGCCTGCTCGTGAGAATGGTAGAGCCTTGCTGTCTCGTCACTAGCGATAGCTGAATCGCGGGTATTTCATAGAGGGAGGTGTTTAAACTGCCTCAGCAGCCCTCAGTGCGGCCGCGAACGTATCCGCGAGGTTGTCCTCAAGTCCAACGCTGATGCGTATTAAATCCGGGTCCACACCAAAAGTGGCAGCCCAGTCTAACTCGTTGTAGTGAGCCAGAAGCACATACGGAGACGTAAGGGTGAAGTTTGTGCCAAGTGAAGGTCCCTTTGCTGTGTCCAGGGCATCATAAAATGCTACAGCCTGAGCAGTAGTCTGCAGTGTACACGAGAGCAGCCCTCCGTAGCCTCCATGGGGTGTCTTGACTGCATCGTAATTGACCTTGCCGTCCGCATTATACTTGGGGTAATAGACATCTCTGACAAGTGGGTGGGCACGAAGGACCTGGCAGATGGTGTCCGCATTCTCATTGACTCTGTCAATGCGGGAGCGGAAGTCGCGGCTGTTTCGTTCCATGAAGATGACGTCCTCCGCCCAGTAGTTGTCCTCGAAATCGCTGGAAAGAACGCTCTTGAGTGCGTCGTAGTATCGCCCATTTGGGTTGAGTACCAAGCTACCACCCATGACATTGCAGTCTCCCGAGAAGATCTTGGTAAGACTGCTGACCACAATATCGGCGAAAGGGAGGACGTTGATGTTGACAAAAGTACCGACAGTCTCGTCTACCACTACGGCGAAGTCATACGCGTCTGCCAGCCTGCGCACGCGGACCAAATCGGGACAGGTGAGGAGAGGATTTCCCGGGAATTCGCAGAAAAAGCCCAGGAACTTCTCACCCCTCTTGAGCCGACTCTCGAACTCATCGAGATCAGCTTCGGAGCCACGCCCATAGAAGATGGCACCAGGTCCAAACTTCTCCAGGATTTTGAGCGTATCAACGTAGGGGAAGCCGAAATTGACGCTCTTCAGAGACCCGCGGGCTTTCAGCAGGGTCTGATGCGTCGTAAATATGGCGTTCATGCCACATGGAACAAGATAGATGTCGTCTTCCCGGAGGTTGGTCAAGCCCCTCGCGTTGGAGTCCATGGTGGGTAAAGCCGAGTTGAGATCAATCTCTGTCGTCAAAACGCCTGCAATACGGCGTCTGATTGCCGATTTTGCATTTTCGACGAGCGAGAGTGCGAGATTCCGCCCATACCTCTCCTCAAGGAAGCGTGAGCTCTCGAAAGCCTCCGTCTCGTCAGCGGAGCCGCTGTCGGTCATGGCGCTGGGATGACCATTTTGAGGATGACCATTCGCCGCCGCCGCCATCTTGGCAAGAGACTCGTCCACGGAGGCACGCTGATATCTCCTTGGCCCGCGGCTGACCTTTTGTGGTTGTTGTGGGAGTCTCGGCGAGGTCTGCGCTGGGACGAGTAGATCTTCCTTGAATAGCCTGTGGCAAAACTCGGCTCTCCGGCTAGATGTCCCGTCACCAGAATGTTGCCAATACTGCTTCGCCACAGGATATAGAGCTGTGGGACAGATGACAGCCGACATGGCTGGCTTCAAGGCACGAACGGCATCTGGAGCCGGGCTCATCGGGTCAAGCACAAGATCGACAATGCGCACTTCGTCTACAGCAGACCCGGCCTCGGGCCGCGTTCTCATAAAGTCGAGACAGCGACGAGCGGTCTTGGGCGTCGGGAATAACATGGCGCGCAGGGCTTGTTGCTGGCCAGGTGCGCCGTGTTTTGCAACAATGTCGTCAGCAAGAGCATCGATGGCCTTGTGGACAAAGAAGCGCGGGTAGCCAGTCGTCATGCTGTCAACCACCCACTTCTCCCCCTCTTCGTAGCCCACGTTTGAGCGCCATGTTGGGAGCGATACGCTAACCGCGTGAGCCGTGTTTGGCGGGATCGACTCGCCTAGCTCAATGTCGGGCATGCTGGAATGATAGTTGACGGCTCGCGGACCGGTGGTGTCGTGGTGGAGCAAGCTCTTCAGAGACAAATGTGGTGACCGTGGGTCGGGCAGATTGCGACAACGCAACTGTTCGTGTGGTGCTGTGACACAAGGGCGAGATGTGCTGCTGAGCCGAGCTTGGTGGGAAATATATGCCGAGCAGGAGATGAGATACGAACACCAGACAAAAGGAACAGGTCCGCCCCTTTGTTCGTTTCGCAATCAGCGCCCGATATCGAGGGTAGGTTGTGAGGATGTGTCAGTGAAGGGAGTTCTGGCTGACGACATGTGTTTTGGCAGGTCGAGTCAAGGATAAAGTGGTCGCGGGGATGCCGCGATCGGACCGAAACTTTTAGGGGCACATGCCGCCATTCCATCTCGGGACTTCGGGCTCCAGCTGGTCATTTATCCTGTGTGGCAGCCACATCACTAATAAGATACCCTCCAAGTGTGCTGTCACTGACACCACCTCGACATGAAAGTCTTTTAACTCGTTTGAGCCGCCGCCAACAACTATCCTTCTTCGACCAAACCGAAAAACTCGAAGACATTGGATTGAGTCAACGCAAGAACCGCTTTTGGTATGACGTGGGGCCCACTTCAACTGGCCCCTCCTTCGGGGCGAAGATCGGACAGGATGGGACGGGGCCTTCGCCTCAAGCTTCGGAACGAGATTAGTGTCACAAGCTGGTTTGCGGCACTTCAGTACTCATACAGACTCACGAGGAGACCTTTTGGTCAACGTTGAAGCCATGACCATCAAAACTCGAAACTTGTTTGAATAACTGAAGCATTGGGGGTATCTCTAGGCACAGGTTCTCAACTAGAAAAAAACAAAAGAGCTCTCGCAAGAACACAGCAACACCTGCAGCTAGCTGAGAGCATAACAGATGGAAGAGGTTCGGCAATCGTTTACATGACCACGCATTCCTTGCTCGGTTGGTAGTCAGGCCCGAAGATTTCCCGGTTGCGCTCAAGCTCATTTGCCTTGACCTTCTCCTTGACCTCTTTTGGGAAGTGGCGGCGGAGAAAGGCGGCGTGCTCGCTATCCAAGTGGTCCAGTCCCGTCTTCATCACCACATCGGCACGGCACAAGGGGCAGAACCGCTCGCACCTCCGCGACATTTTCACTAGACAACGACTGCAGAATATGTGATTGCAGTCCAAGCGCATCGGCCAGTAAGCAACAGAGTAGCAGATAGGGCAGAGGTAGTCATCGAGCTGCGGAACCGTCGAGATGAGCTCGGTAGACATGCGCGCGCAGAGGTCCTTAGCCACATTCCCAGCCAGTAGCCGATGCGAATGGAGGGCGACTTGAAAAGATTTGGTGGCGCCAAGCGAGGTACGCTTGTCAAATTCTGTGTGCAGCTTGGATTAGCACAAGTAATGATAGAGACGCACCACTTGTCCCTGAATGCGCCGCGATGGGAGATGTATCTGCTGCTTACTCTTGAGAATCTTGGTCACGGCAAGACTATTGAGCTCTTGGAATTTGAGATTTTGAAGAAGTGCTGCGTTGAGGTTGAGAAACTTGCTGAAAGCCTGTCTGCTGACCTCGAGTTTCATCGTGCGCACGAGATCCTGCTTGAATACCTGTTCCTGGAACCACCGCAGCTTTTCGAGAGCTTGGGCGCTTGTACGTACGCCGTGGTCAGACTCGCGTGTTGAGAAAAACACACCGGCATCAAGGTATAGCTGGAATATGTCGCGCCATTTGGCTCTATCGGGTCGGTCTCGCAGACCTCGACGCGGCTCCGTCAGCTTGGCCACCTCCGTACCCAGAGCGGTAATCTCCTTGCCCAGCCGGTCCTGCTCCTCCTCCTGAATACTATCAAGCAGCACAACATCGGACTGCAGCAAGTCAAAGAACTCGCCGTCGAACACGAGAGGCACCTCGATACGTCGCGTTGATGGAGCCGCATCGTGGTCAACCGATATATCGGCCGAATCAATTCCCTTGACCTCGGGTGGTTTCGACGGTTCTGCAGTCTGGGTGGCTTGGTCGCTATTCTGGCTTGGCGTGGTGGATCGCGATTCTGAGGTCGAGCTGCGCTGCAGAGAAGAGGAGAGGCGACCGGAAGCGAGGTGGCCAAGAAATTCCCTGGTGGAGGGTGTGAGGCCAGCGTCGACCACCTCGCCGTTGTGAAGATGGACGAAGATGGTGAGCTTGGGGCGGACGCGAGTGGAGCCAAAGTCGTCACCCGCCAGGCGGTAGCGGAAGCCGAGATCAGTCTGGGGGTCCTCGTCGGAGGCGACCGAGCTGGCGTGCGCTGTGACCGCGAGACTGGCAAGGGTATCACGGTCGAGGCCGAGATCAACCAGCTCGCGGGTGACCTTTTTGAGGCACTTCTTGAGTTGGCCATAGGGGATGGCCGAGTCGACCCATTTCTGGGGGAACCCCTCTGAATGCAAGGTGCGGCGGAACTCCTGGGCGAATTTCATGGTGGGCGGAGGAGGCAAGCAGACGAGGGAGAGAGCGCAAACAGGAGGGGCCGACAGATGAGGGTCGGCATCATAATATGTGCTTGCAAAGAGCAGCAAGGAGAGCGGGCGCCGGCAGGGTTGCGTGAGCGGTATTGGCGAAAGGCATGACGGGTGATGAGAAGAGCCGATGGGGTCTGGACACTACGAGGTTCGCTGGAGGTGGGGCGCCCTGCATTGCCAGATGGGCTTGCTGACTCGAATTTTTCAGAGGGCGGCGAGCGGCAATGGGAGAGAGGCAGGAATAAGGGAGGTCACCTGGCCTACAGCCATGCCCAGCAGGCGCCAGGCCCCTACAGGACGCACCACTAGCAGCGTGCAATGGAGGCCATGTGCCCTTGGGCTGCCCTTGCCGGATCGAGCCAAGCACTTACCCAAGGTACGCTAAGTAGTTGTCCGATCGCCAGGGCGGCGCTGTCAGGCATCCCCACAAGTCCGGCGCCGCCTGCTCCGTTCCGTCCACGGCCGACCCTCGTCAACCCATCCGGCCGGCGCCAGACTCGACTGCAAGTCGTCGACAACAACATGTCCCTCTTGGCCAATGTAATTCTGCCCGCAGCCGCAGGACGTGCTGCTCAGGCGCCATGCGACGTTGTCTTGACCCCAACCCACGAGAAGACCATTGCGCAGGTACTTGAGCAGCAACCTTGGTCTGCACCCGATCTGTCATCTGTCCAGTCTGCGCATCCTGAACCGCCCAGCCTCCTGCTGCCGGCCTTGTGCCATCCTCACGTCCACCTTGACAAGCCTTACATTCTCACGTGCAACCACCGTCCGGGCCCATCGTCACAGCACCCCGACTATTCGGATCTGCATCCCAAATCCGGCGCTTTCGACGAAGCCCTGGCCAATACGACAAGAGCGAAGCAGCGCTATACCGAGGCTGACCTGTACCTACGCGGGTCCCAACTTCTGGCAAACAGCTACTCGCACGGTGTCTCCTCCCTGCGAGCGTTCGTCGAGATCGACCACGTCACTGGCACGGCGCCTCTTGCTGCAGCAATTCGACTCAAGCACGAATTTTCGCACTTGCTGCACCTTCAGATCTGTGTCTTTGCCCAGGATCCGCTCTTCTCGACCGAACATGGCGAGCAGAACCGATCGATTATTGCTTCGGTGCTTGGCGACTTTGCCGGCTCCGTCGATGCCCTAGGCACAACACCGTATGTCGAGGACTCTCGTGAAGCATCGCTGCGGAACATTGAATGGGCAGTCAGAACCTCTATAAAGCACCAGGTTCATTTGGATTTCCATCTCGACTATAATCTCAAGCCACCCAATTCACCAAACGACCAGCCTCTCGTCTACTCTGTCGTCGACCTGCTACAGAAGCACGACTGGATCACCTGTGCCAAGCCCTCTATGACGATAGTCCTCGGCCACTGCACCCAGCTGACAGTCCTCCAATCTGAGTTCCAGCAGCTTGCCAAACGGATCATCGACAGTGGCCTCCCTATCCACTTTGTCGGTCTACCGACGAGCGATCTGTTCATGATGGGTCGTCCTGGCGCTCAAGGCACGACCCATGCACGGCCTCGCGGTACATTGCAGGTTCCTGCCATGATCAAAGAGCTTGGCCTCTCCGCATGCCTCGGTATCAACAACGTGGGCAATGCTTTCACCCCTTACGGCAATGCCGATCCTTTACAACTCGCCTCCTGGGGCGTCGGCATCTACCAAGCCGGCACCTCGGAAGATGCCGAGTTGCTCTATGGCTGTGTCAGCTGGCGCGCAAGGCAGGCTATTGGGCTTGATCGTGGCCCAGATGCCAGCTTCTCGTTGTCGACGGGCCAGCGGTGGCAGACTATGCTGCTCGTCAAGAACCTGTCCACTTACAGCCTTCCGGGAGCCCTGGACCAGGCAACGCTGCAAGTCCCGGCACGCCAGAGATTGGCAATTAAGGACGTCGTCTGGGATCCGCCCGATACACAGCTAAGAATGCTCGTCTGATATTGCCAATAATCACAGCTCATGTGAGTGGCAGCTGCGCTGTCTTTTTTCTTCTTTGGTCGCCGCGCGGCAGTGGCACATCCCGCAAACGCACTGGAGTGGGCCGAAGGCCGTGTCGCGTTACGATTCCTCATCAAAGCTAAAGCTAGTGTACACGAAACTTCTTGCATATTCTATGTCATGCTCTACAGCCATGCTGCGAGTCGCTCAATGTGATTGTTGAACTCCATCCGCCAGCATTATTACTACTGATACTATTACTACAGCTGCTGCATGTCGCTAAAGAGCAACAGCGTTGACGATCGGAGTTGGAAGACTAGTTATAACAACGCCACCAGTCAACATGTGCGGAGTTGGCACTGCAGCCAATACTTTGGCCGCTTGCACTTGACCCTTGACATGGGCCTTGGCGAGTCTTGTTGCGACAACCTCTTGGCCGTAGCCCTCGGGACAATTGACAACGTTGAGCGCGCAATGCGTGACAGTGTACGTATGTGGTCCAACCTCACCAGCACACGCTTTTCCGCCCACGGGCGGAGAGGTAGTAGGCGTAGGCATCACCAAGTCTGACGAAGAAGTTGACGAGGCGGTCACGGATGCCTGCTGGAGAATGGCCACGCTGCCGGCCACGCTGCCGACCACTGCACCAGTCTCCGTTGCAATGGTCGCCGCGGTGATGGAGGCGGTGGTTGCGTTGAGCGCGGGCGGCAAGGCGGCCGATCCACTGGGTACGAGGCACGTCGATACGATCGGAGCGGTAAAGAGAGTGGTTGAAGCCGTGGGCGTAGCTCCAATGACAGTCGGGCCGATGTCAGCCTACATGCAGCGTCAGCAACTCTGTATTGCATACATCCCAGTTCGTTTCATCCCAGACATTGCGGGCGACCTGTATCCAGCTGGGCTGTAGAGAGAGGTGTCAGACTTACACTGAGCCGGGCGAAAGCACCAATATTCAAGTTGTACTCTGCCTCGAGCTCGAGCGCGCAGGTAGGCGTCTTCTCGAGCGTGGCAACGAGTTCGACCACATTGGCGTAGATGCCAAGCAAGGCACCAGCGCCAATGCCGAAGAGGTCGTTGTCGGTTTCAATGCCCGCCTGGATAGAAAGGCGGAGGTCTGCCTGGAACTTGCCGTAGGCAGTGTGAACAACAACGGGCACGAGACCCGTCCTGGTACCGTCACTGGCAGGAGCAATGCGCGTTAGCACAAGATGACGCCTGCGTAGATAATGGGGAAGCAGAGAGGGTGGGTACATGGGCACTTACAATGAGGTGTCATCCAGTTTACCGTCAAAGATGCCTAGCTCTAGGTAAGCGTGCTCAGGGAAGTCGACCCAAAAGCCACCTGACAGATCCATGTCTGCAGTGAAGCTGAGGATGAGGTCAATGGCAAAGTAGACGCCAACACTCAGTCCTGGCACGCCGACCCCGATAGGCGACTGTGATGTGAAGAGGTTGATCGCGACCTGCTCACTGGCAGTGACGTTGACGCCCATCAAGACATACGCCTCGACATCTTGAAACGTAAACTCAAGAGTTGGGTCGAAGATGTCATCCCAGATGTCAACGTTGATTGTGCCCTTGGTGTAGCAATCAATGCAAGTCACAGTGAGCTGCACGACGCCCTCGCCGCCGTCGATGTCGCTGCAGTGATAAGTCGCAATGTTAGCTCCAGTGTACCCAACGGTGTATGTCTTGACGAGACTGGCGCAACAACATTCGCTGGGGGGGACCGTTTCGAGGCACCTACCCGTCAAAGAGGACCTCGTCTTTCCAGGTCCGGTCGAGAGGGAACTCGGTAAACGCCAGGCTCGCGATGGAACTACCCTTGACGGTATCAAGACCAGCCCGAATCATCGCGCCCGGGTCGACAGTACCAGTCTGTCTGGACCGAAGGTCAATAGGCGTGGCTCCGATGGCGCGAGCAGCCGAGCACGACGTGACGGCTAGCGCCATGGCGGCTAGTTTTGAGACAATGGCGGATCTCATCTTGAGACGCACAAAGATGGGATGATGGATTTAGTAAAGACTGTTGAGTCTGCAGGTTTGAAACGAATGTGTGAATGACTCAGTCGCTCGTGGGTGAATGAATGCAAAGAAAGTGCGCAGTGATGTGTTGAATGAAGCCCGAAAGGGGCGGCAAGTCTGACCAGATGCAGTATCAAAGAATGGAAGGCCACAGGATATGGCGTTGACCGGACACGAATGCAAATACCCGAGGGGCAGCGTAGGAATCTCCGAGTCTATGTATACTAGATGGCGATGTCCCCCCACGATGACCATCAATGCCTGCTCGAGTCAGTTGAAGCATTCAGGATGGTCCTTCCTTTCAGTCGTGCCCGGCAGTACATGGGATGTTCTGTGAGCATAATGGCAGGGATGCTGCGGTCCATCATTGGCACAACCTCGAGATGTGCAACCAAAGGGCCCTGCCCTCTAGGCCGAATCAGGGCCAACGGAAGCCTCGTGCCATGGTCGAGAGGCTGACTGCAGGGACAGCCTACATGCAGGGGTTCTTTTCGACACACCGAGACAACCAAGCCAGCCAGCGCGACCCTGTGGTTGTGCTGGCTATCACGTCGAGCCGGAGGGAGCCTGAGGCGGATGCTTGAAGTCTGAGTGGAAGTGGATGTTGGCAGTGCCCCGCCAATCAGGAGGTCCTGGGGGGTCCTGGGAACATCTTGGCGGCGATCTAACGGGCTACCCCTGACATGGAACCAAAGCCGCCCACAGCGAATAGCACGTCTGGGGTGCAACGCGACTCTGCATTGTTTCGAGCACACGTACCCACCCATCTGTGACCAGCTTGGCATGACGCTTGACTCGAAGGCCCCCATCCTCGTGGCCCAACTTCGTCTCAAGACTGCTGGAGCACAGCGCGCAGTAATCTTGTCTGCCGGCTCGTTGCCCGTGATCCAGAGCCCTGCAAGCAAGCAGCGTAGCCCGGACGCGGACGCACTCACGTTTGCAACATGAATCCACAGCCGGGTTATCATTGTCAAGTCTTCTGATTGTATCATGATGCTAAGTTAATGTACACCTTTTATACCGTCCTGCGGCGGGCACGACCAAAAACAGCCTCGACGCTCGACTTTCCTCCGCCAGCCCATCCTGTTGGTACAACTCATCATCTAGTAGTGGATGGCTTTAGAGTAGGTGGCCATGGCAGCCTCCTTGAAGGCCTCGGCAAGGGTGGGGTGAGCGTGGCATGTACGCGCGATGTCCTCGGTCGAGGCTCCGTACTCAAGTGCAAGGGTCGCCTCGGCAATCATCTCACCGGCGTTGGGGCCGACAATGTGGCACCCAAGCAGGCGGTCCGTCTCAGGGTCGGCAAGCATCTTGACCATGCCGTCCGTGTCAAGATTGGTCTTGGCACGAGAGTTGGCACTGAACGGGAAGCTTCCAACCTTGTATGGGATGTTGGCCTTCTTCAGGTCCTGCTCGCTCTGGCCAACCCACGCGACTTCGGGATGTGTGTACATGACGGAGGGAATAACACCGTAGTTGACGTGGCCGTAGCCCTTCTTGATGTACTCGACGGCAGCGACAGCCTCCTCCTCGGCCTTGTGGGCAAGCATGGGGCCAAAGGTGACATCACCAATGCAGCGGATGTGGGAGGCTTTTGTGCGGTACTCGGAGTCAATGACAACACGGCCACGCTCATCGACCTCGAGGCCGGCGTTCTCGAGACCCAAGCCTTTGGTGTATGGGCGGCGACCAATGGCAACAAGGACAACATCGGCGTCAAGCTAGAGAATAAAAGAGTATGCGTCAGCTTGCTGGAGCCTGTGGGTGACCACACTCAATGATGAAGTAGAACAGAACACGTGAAGGGTATGCTCACAGTCTCGGCCTTGCCGCCCTTGGCGGAATCGACCTCAAGCTTGACATTGTCGCCCGAGGCATCACCGCTGACAACCTTGGTTCCCAGCTTGAACTCCATGCCCTGCTTCTTCAAGAGCTTCTGAATGGACTTCGAAATCTCCGTATCCATGCCAGGACCACCGATCTGGTCAAGGAACTCGACCACAGTAACCTTGGCACCGAGGCGGGACCAGACGGAGCCCATCTCAAGGCCAATGATGCCACCGCCAATGACAATCATCTTCTCGGGAACTTTCTCGAGGGATAGAGCACCAGTGCTGGTGATGACGCGCTTTTCGTCGATCTCGAGGCCGGGGAATGGAGTCGCCTCACTGCCAGTGGCGATGAGGATGTTCTTGCCGGTGACGGAGGTCTCGCCGCCATCGTTAAGAGCGACCTTGATTTCGTGCTCGTTGACAAAGGAGCCGGTGCCCTTGATGTACTCGACACCATTCTTCTTGAAGAGGAACTCGATACCCTTTGTGAGGCCAGTCACCGAGGTGTCCTTGGCCTTCATCATGGCCTGGAGGTTGAGCTTAACATCGCCGACCTCGATTCCGCGGTTCTTGGTGTCGTGCAGGATCTGGTGGTAGAGATGCGAGTTGTTGAGGAGCGATTTGGAGGGAATGCAGCCGACGTTGAGGCAGGTGCCGCCAAGGGCGCCACGCTTCTCGATACAGGCGACCTTGAGGCCCTCCTGGCCGGCCTTGATGGCGGCGACGTAACCGGCGACACCACCTCCAATAATCACAAGGTCCTTCTCCTCTGAGATGAAGCGACAGGTATTAGCATGGACACTCTATCCCGATACAGCCGGGACGATTCCTGAGATCGTCGAAACGGAGAGGGGTGCCAGGCGCAACGAACCAGAAGCAGAGGCGTAACCTCTCGACCACCGCGATACAGGCGAGCCAACGACTGTGGGGAGACTGGCGAAATTGAACAGACTGCGTCAGCGCTGTTGCTTTGAAAGACCACGTCTCTAGATGCGCACTCCGGACGGGAATGAGCAGTACTGCCGCGAAGTGCGGGAGCTTGAAGAAGACTCACGAGGATGGGGCACGGAAGGCCGAGATGCGGGCGGCAGAAGCCCGCGATATTAAGCGGCTGGCCATCATGGCGGATGTGTGATGTAGCGAAGAGGGATGGGAGCTGCAGTCGAGTAGCTCGAGGTGCCTTTCAGCAGATGCGACAGCTTGAGGGCAGGTGCGATGTCGTCACGGACAGGTTGCAACGGTGGATGAGCAAAAAAATAACACGAAGCAAAGAGCGACGACGATACAGTAGGGCGGCGGCCAGCTCTTTGCCTCACTGGGGGCGGCCCAGAGCTGGCGTGCAGCTACAGCAAACCCGACACAGTGGCACGGTCCAAGCTGGCTACCCGCGGGAAGGGGTCCCGCACGGTGAAAGCCTCCACCAAGTCCCAAGTCACCTGCGGTTCGTGTCTCGAAAGTGTTGGGGTTCTGCGTGCGTGCTACAAGGCACACTGTCCTGCCGCCCGGCCCAGTCTGTCTGCACTGTGAGCCTCAACCCGGGAGGACCCGGAGTGCCAGGACCTAACAACGTCTACGGATCCGAGCGAGCCTCAACATCAGAGGCCGCAGATACCGACCTTGGAAGTCATCAACGGGGACGATGATATGTTCTCGAGGCTGTCACTACTTCTTCAATGTATCCTGTCTTGCCTGATTATCTATCTGACTAGACTACATCTACTGTCTGCATGCTGTCCAGGACCTCTAGCGCCGCGTCGCACGACGTCTTGAGTTTCTTCCTCTCCTTTTTGTCTCTAACCAAGTCTGTACTGCGCACATGTTTCTTGACAAAGTACTGGACACTGCGCACCAAGTCTCCATCAAGGCTTCCCAGCACCTCTTTGAGTCGTGCGTGGCTCAATTGCTGAAGCATCGTAATGAGGACAAGCTCTACAAACATGTGGGCTTTTTCCTGTAGCGCCATCATGTTTCGATGCTTAACAATGTCCACAAGGCCAAGGGACCGGTTCGCGACCAGGCTGCCGTAAAGTTTGGCCGAGTTGTAAAGCCATCGAATGTTGTACTCAGCCTCCTCGTCTAGGTCTGCCTCGTCACCATCGCCCGTCTCAATATCCTCGCCCATTTTTCGAAACCGTGTCGTGAGGCAACGTCGGAACTGGAACCGAACCTCTCGATCTCCACAAAACTTTCCAGCGACAAGAGCGTAGTAGGGATTGTAATCCATCTGTCGCTCGCCAGAACGAACAATAACTTCGGGGATCTCCTTCCTCTGGTGTTTGTTGAGTTTAAGCTTCCTCAACAGCAAGTCGGCGTTCTCGTAATCCGTGGCTGCGTGCAAGGCGACGAAGATGCGCTGTCGCACCTCTGTGTTGAACCCTTGCTCGCGTGCCAGCTGCCACAGATCGGGAATATCGAGGTCATCGTCAGGCTCTCCGAAGTCCATGCTGTCATCCACAATGTCGGCTTCATCATCCCCGTCGACCTGGCCTTGATCACGATCCTTGCCGGCCCAGCTGGCACCAACAAGCCACCATTTTCCAATTTTATCGGCATTGTGAATATCTTGCAGACCAATTCGTAATGGCTGCGAGTCTTGTGAGCCAGGCAACATGCCGATCTTCTTGCGAATCTGTGTGCGCTGATCGGCAAGGTCCTTGTTGCGTGCATTCGCCTTGGTCTTGTTGCTTTGGAGTTTCTTCATCTCCTCAATCATGAAGCTGGTGCGGACAGAGATGTTGCTGCCATCGGCAGGCTTGACACGGTTGACGATTTGCTGTAGAGATTGAGAGTCATCGCGTCTTAAAGCCGGCCCACACAGTTGGATGATCCTTAAAAGTAGCTCTGTGTTGAGCTCGTTCAAGTTCTGCAGAAAGAGCCGAACATAGTCAAAGACCAGAGTACAACTGATGACTTGCATATTGTAGAGCTCGGCCAATAGAGTAGCAGCGTGCTTCGAGCCAGAATCAGAATGGTCACCAGCAGCTTGGTCGTGATACTTGTCGAGGGTTTCAACCAACTGCTGCACGAACTGTGCGGCGAATGCCATCCCCAAGGCTTTATGGGTAGCAGCTATGAAACCCGCTATCATTGTGAAGAACGAGTCAGGCCGTTTTTCGGGAGAACAAACCAGTACCAGAAGAATGTCCGTCAGAATACTCGTAACTGCCTGTCTGGGGTTGGTTGTATACAGATTGGAAATCTCCTTCGTGATACCGATCATGCTGTCATTGGTGAGGCGATTTATAAGACCTTGTATGCGCTTTCGAAGTTGCATGTCTTCGTCGGTGGCGTTATCCATTTTCTTGCGTAACGATGGCGGCACGTATTTTGCAAGGTTGGTTGTTGGCGCCACATAGGGGTTTTCGCGTTGAGGTCGTGGCTGCTTCTCATCGTCGGTAGTATCCTCAGAAAACCCGTCAAATCCGTCGCCATCATCATCTTCGCTTTCGTCACTACCGATGTCGTCCTCGGATAGTTGCCACGACCTTTTGCTGGATTCGGTTTGGGACTGGCCCTGGGCGGCAGCTTTCTGAGCTTTCCGTCGCTTCTGGGCAAGCCACTCATCCGCCTCGGCCTTCCTTTTACGCTTTTCTGAGTTTTCGGTAAAATCGACGTCGCCATTGCCATTGTCGTCAAGACCCTCTAGGAGGTCTCCGAGGCCGTCCTCGTCGAAGTCCTTTGGTATTGTTTTCCGGCTCTTGAGCCCAAGTTTCCGCTCTAATTCTGCAATCTCGGCGTCATCTTGAGCAAGCTTCTTCAATTCAGACTTTGATGGAGTGGCGAGATTCTTCCTGTCCAGACCTGGCCGAGGCTTCTCACCCGCATCAGCGAGGTCCTCTTCAAGATCGTCCTCGATGGCAGACTCGTCATCGTCGTCGTCGTCGCTGTCGTCACCATCGTCTTCGTCACTGAAGTCCAGAGAAGCATTCTCCTCCTTCTCCCCACTGCTGTCCGAGTCTTCATCTGAGTCGAGAAAATCGTCATCGTCGTCACCGTTGATGAGGTCTTGGGCTTGATCGCCGCCTTTACGGTTTGCCCTCGAAGGTTGCGAGGCAAGCCTCGATATCGCCGCAGAATGTGGTTTTGATGTCCCACTTTGTGTGGCAGAGCTTCGATGTGACGTTCTAGCATGGCGCTTAGTGACGCGCTGAGCTTTGCGTTGCTCTTTCCTGGACGGTTGTGATCGAAAACCTCCTCTACCGTTGGCGTGCGATGATGTACCCTGGGCATCGAGTTCCTTCAGAAGGGTCGCGGGAAGGGTCAATTTGCGTTTTTGTTGTGGTTTCATGGCGAATAGTTCTCTTTTCGAGCTTTGCTGACACAGGTTGGGGGATAATGCTGCAATAGCGTCCGCCGCCGTCGGGACGCAGTCGCAAGCTGGTGAGATGCTTTGACGGGCTCGCCATAATCTTTTTGTTATCGATTGGCGCGCGGAGTCCGGAGAATGTCAGGGTCCCCACGCAGGCGCATCGTTTGGGCGGGCTCCACTGCGGGAACCGCCCGCGCACCAGCAGAGCACCAGTCAGTGTTCCCTTTGCCTTCGGCTCAACCTCATGGACCATCACTTGTGACATCAGTCACCCACATACATCCGCACAGGCAGTGCTTGGCCACGGAGATACGAACACTCTCCCTGAGAATACAAGGAGCAGCTTGTTTCTACAATTACAGCAACGTCGCGACGGCTCAACTACGCCCCGCTTTCTCCTTGACCCCTCCTTGGTTGCACAGCCTCCCGCTCACGATGGGTGTCCTCACGAACGACGAGGTGAATTGCTCACTTGGACGCCCGAGAGGTTCTACCCGGCTAACTTTAGTGACTTCTAGTTCTTCGCGCAACTCGCGCAAGTCTTTGACGCGACAAAGGGCAAGGACCACGGCTCAATATTCTTGGTACAAAAAAGATGTATGCCCTCGAGAACCGCACAACCCAAAGCGCTCTGCACAACATTAGACGATTCTGACCAATGTCTTACAGTGTCATATGACCAACCACTGCCCGATGCCCCTCGAGACGGAGCATTTCCCGATACGAACCCAGCCACCCCACTACCAGTCCTCATACGTGCTACCAACGGCAAGGCGAAGGACCGGAAAACAAAGCGTGTCAAGATTTCCACAGTTGTGTCTCCCGATGCGCTGCCGTCGTTCTTTGAGAAGTACGCGGAGGTTTGCAAGGCTGGCATGACTACGCTGAAGCCCCGCGACCGAAGCAAGAGGAAGGGCAAGGCGAAGAAGAGGAAGGGCGGTGCCGCTGCCTGAGGCGGACACCTGGCAAACCAGCCTCAAACTTGACAAGAACGATACCGGCACCATTCATGTTGCGGCACACGAATCTGGCCTAGCCCAACTTTGTATGGTGACGCTGAGTCCCTTCAAGGCCCAGCTCAAGCTCTGAGGTCTGTAACGTGCGACATGGGCCGGTTTTATCACACGCCGTAGGACCAAACAAGAAGCGCCAGACGCAGTGGCCCAGCTGCTAGAAGAAACGGAGGAGCCGAGATATACCCAGTCTTGCAGAACCTGTGAAGTGTCTATTGTGACAGCAGCAATATGGCGGATTTTTGGAGCGCAGTGGTCGTTAACTTGCATACTTGTCCTGATAAGCCCTGATGAGAGAGAGCATGGTCAGAAGAAGGAACGGTAGTAGGGAATCAGAGCGGCATTCCACAAATGACGAAACAGAGCGGATGCTATAATTCACCGACAGCACCATTCTCATTGAATGCATCCTGCAGTGTAAGCCGAACACGAAACTTCCCAATCCAAACGGTGAAAACGTTTGATACATTGTTGCAACTACTAGTCCCAGCATGCAAGCACTGCACCCTGCCCAACACAACTACTCTCTTCACAACATCCCCGCAGCTCCTTGCCGCGTTCTACATCCCTATGGAATTCAGCGATCTTCCACAAGCTGTGCCTCATTGCTGCTGCGAGATGCCAGCTCTAGCTCGTCCTCCTGTGCTTGCCTGCACTCTCTGCACGACTCGCACTCGTGCAGAGCCGGGCGCCGCGGACCGCCTACGTACATGCACAGGCTAGGCACACATCGGCCGTCCTGATCGCTAGGATCTTCGCACGAGGCAAGTTTCCTGTATTCCTTCCAGGCTCGCTTGCAGTTCGTGCATTTCTTGAAGTGGACTTCGCACATCGCCGGAGCGCTGGTGCTCGATGCGCGAGCTGTCGCTGAATTCTGGTGTGACCGAGGTGTCGGTAGAGCCGAGGAGGATTAAACAAGTCAGAGGTAAAGCGGCTGGGCTCCGCTGGGACATTGGAAGCCACTCTCGAGCTATGTATGTATTGAAAATAACCCGTTGTCTTGTAGGCAATCGTTCTGGGCCGTGGATGGGCAAGACTAGCCCCTCTCGCGCAGTATTGAATCTTGCTCGTCAAATCAATGATGAGCTTTCTTGGCTGCTTGAGGGCAGCCGTCCCCGGTGAAGATTTGTGGCCTACTTAACAATATTGCCCCTTGAGGTATAGCCCGTAATAAACCCAGTTGTGTCGATTGCTCTCTTCATCTCTTGAGCGATGAGTAAGTATTATCCCACGGTAAGGGTGTTTAACGTGATTTCGGGCTGGTGGCGGTCATGTTCGTCGTACCACATGGTGCAAGATAGTATCAGTCATCGCTCAAATGAAGTACTCGATTTATCATACATCCGCTCTGACTCAAGCTCAACTTACGCAAACATCGAGCCGCTAGGTAAGGCACTCGGCGCTTGTCGTTATTGACAAACCACGACCCTCACATCGACACGCAAACGGACGACCCGGCACAAATGACGCGGCGACCTGTACCGATGACTGACGTAGAGTGTCCGCCCAACCAAAGACTGCCCGACTCTGAGTGAAACGGGCCTAGCAATAGGCGCCAAAACATGTCACATCAAGACGAGGATTTCTGAAAGCGTCTGCGTCAGATATCGATTGCTTTCCAAAATACAGAAAGGCTGTCAGAAGAACCAAATCGCTCGCATGCATCAAGGGGTATCTCTGGCTGACTAAAACCAAGGCTCGCACCACCATTCGAAATCACTCAAGTATGTCCAACATCGTGATCAAAGTCGCGTCTTCGGGTGCCTGGTCGCTCACGCCACGAACGAGGCGACTGTCCTTTCGCCGCTTCTGGCATCGGTTCTGCGTCACAGCTTCCCAAGCCACAAGCCCCCGGGAAGAGAATTCTTAACGTGCCCAACCGCCCGCGGGGGCGACATTGCCCGATTACCGATCACCCTCCATCACCACGCGTCCAATCAAACGAATGCTATTCCTCGGGCACAATCTAGTCGCAAGCATTCCACTATCCTCTCCCCAGAATCAGAAGCAGATCGCAGTCGATACAGCGTCCAATCTTTTTTTGTTGATGACAGAAACGAAAATAACCCTTCCACCACTATGTATCGTACCATAACCCCCCGTCGACGAAATATTGGCGACTGGATCCGCTAACTTGGACAACATGCCGTAGCGCGCGGCTCGTGTCGCACCTACGAGCAATGCTCGTCACATACGTCAACCTGAACAAAACCGAACCAGATCTCCGCCTGCCGTGATCTGATCTAATGCTTGGCATACTGTGCGTAGACGATATCGTGGCAATGACTCGGGCAGAAAAACCAATGTGACCAGCATGGCTCGTAGACTTTGAACAGGCCGTGCTCTGTCCGCCCTCGCATGGAGGTGTTGACGGCGTGTCGAAATAGTCGGACTACACAAGTAGTCCGATCATCCCGCGGAGGCCATCCAGCTGTGCTCACATGATCTGGTCCTGCGTCAAGCCTCCATGAGCATCGGTATCCATGCTGTCTCCAGCGCCCGGTGTCATATACTTGACGAAGCTGAGACCGAGAGGTCGTCCACCATACTGGTAACCTTGGAACTTCGTGATGGCTGTCTGGGCGGTGTCCGTGCTGTCGAATCGCACGACACCAGTGCCCCGGGAACGCCCGCTAGGCTCATATTGAATCTCGGCTTGCTCAACCTTACCGATGGTTGTGAACAACTCTATGAGATCTTCGTTGCTAGTGGACCATGGAAGCTAGAACACAATCGAAGTTTCGCATTAGCCTCAGCCTCATATTAATCCCCAGAGAGCCAAGGTGGCAGAACTCACATTGCGCACGTAGATGATCTCGCTGGGATCGGTGCCAGATGTGGCATAGTCCGTGAAAGGGTTGGGAGCAGCTGGAGGACCGTCGAAGCCGCCACCGCCGCCAGGAGGGCCTTGGAAGCCGCCATGGCCACCACCACCGTGACCACCGAAACCGCCCCGGCCGCCGAAACCGCCAAAGTTGCCGCGGCCGCCGAAGCCACCACGGCCCCCGAAACCTCCCGCTGCGAAGCCGCCACGGCCGCCAAAACCACCGCGTCCACCAAAACCGCCACCTTGCTGCATCGCGAAGCGATCCTCGCGGACCTCGATTTGGCGCCCTTGCCAATCATAGCCGTTGAACTGCTGTATAGCGTTCCGAACATCGTCAGGATGTTCGAACATGACGATGCCAGAACCCTTGGGACGGCCGTCAGGTCCCATGTGGACATCAGCACGGATGACATTTCCGTTGCGGGCTTTACCACAGCCAGTCCATAGTCAGTAAATGCTAAGACGTCTGGATGATTTGAGATTTGATGTAAAGGACACTCACCGGCCTGACGAAAAAGGTCTTTCAGATCCTGCCATCCAGCCGTGTAGGGAAGCTTTGCAAATGAGAGATGTTAGAAAGTGCACGGAAGTGTGACGGAAGAACATTTCTCAAGGGTGAACAGACGTTGGACACATAGATTTGGCGGTTGCCACCGGCACCGCCTGGTCCGCCAGGCCCACCGTAACCACCGCCAGGCCCACCAATGCCGTGACCGCCGAATTGGCCCTGCATGCCTCCGGGGCCTCCGGGGCCGCCGCCATACCCACCGCGGCCGCCAGTGGCACCAATAAACCGTGGTTCGGCTTCGCGATCCTGTGTGTCCTGTCAGTCGCGGCTTGACACCCAGAAGACCAAGGTGGAACAGGCCAGAAAACACCTACTTCACGAACGTAAACGAGCCGACCCATGAGGTTTTGGTTGCTGAGTGTCGCAACGGCGTTTTGAGCCTGATCCCGTGTCGCATATTCCACAATTCTGTCGATAATGTTAGCTGTGGCTGCCTTTGACTCGATTTACTAGGAAGGTGCAGAGACTTACCCGCATCCCTACAATAGACACTCGGACAACGTCCCAACCCGTCAATCCAACAATCCGAGCAATGACCAAGAGGAGAAAGGTATCATCCAGCTGAGAATCCAGCCAGAATCTGTTTGTAAAAGCCCACCTTCGACATTCCATTGGGAAGTAGTAACACATCAGCGAAAAGCACCTCTCCGGCTATGTTGGACAATGCGTCAGTACAAAATCTCGTGATGGATAGTCGCATGCGACTAGCTCGGAGCCTCACCCTGCCGCATGAAGTCTTTGAGATGGTGCCACTTAACGTCGTAGGACAAGTTGCCAACGTAGACGCGGCGGTCCTGCTGGGACGTCTCGCGAATATTGTTCATCATGTGCTCGCGCGCCTGTGCCCGCTCCTCATAGTTCCGTTGAGGCGCAGCGCCAAAACCCGCCCCAGCGGCTCCCGCGGTGGCTCCTGCTCCAGACATTGGAGAGCGCGAGCGTCTGTCCGATCTGCGGTAGTCGTTGCGGCTGCGTGACCGGCTCTGGGGTGAATAGGAGCGATGACGACCTGAGCGGCCTGGGCTTCGCGATCTACCACGACGGGGTGAGCGAGATCTCTCGCGCTGTGCGGTGTCAGCCTGTGAAGCAGATATGGAGGAACAGCAAGGTATGGCAAGATGAGACGCTTGTGAGAAATCATGGTGCCCTGTCGTGATCCAGTCATCTCAAATGAGCGAGCAAGCAATCGAGTACATAAGCAAACCGAGGCCACGAGTAGCTTGACGTCCCAGACGATAGCCACTGGTCAACCCAGTAAGTAGAGTTTGGGGGTGCTTTAGACTGGGTGGGGGCGTGCTGGTCTAAGACGCAGCAGAGCTTCGCGACATGGGCGAATGCGCGAAATGGGGAGGGAGGTCGATGGGGGAAAGTGCGAGCTCTGAATGCGAGTCGCATGGTCTCAGGTGTAGCCAGTGACGGAGGATGAACTTACAGGTCTATATGTGTCACTGTTATCCGCTGATGGCCACGCGTGTTAGAAAGCGTCTGACAACGTGTCGAGCTCGGGACAAGCAAACGATCTCCAAGTGTGCGGAAAGCAAGGTAAATGCCCGGGATGGGTTGTGAATGCCACAGGTGAAGTGGGTCAATTGAGGTGATGAAGGTCGTGAGAGAACATGGCACACAGAGCTGCGTGGAGTGGGCTTTAGAGGTGAAGGTGCCTGGGAAGCAAGGTGGGGGAGGACCTGCTGTAAATAAAGGACGGCCTGCAGCTGAGACGAGCTGCAAGACAGCAGTCGAAGTCTGAAGAACTGGGTGTGTGCGAGTGAGGATGCGTGCAGGTGGGCAGAGAGAGAGAGAGCCGCTACGCCATTCCGCCTTACGTTTGAGGAGAGGATGGGTGAGATGGGGGATCAGAGACTGGGGTCTTGATGGCCGCCACGGCCTGGGTGGAGAGGGGAAATGCAGGGATAGGAACAGCAAGAGAGAGCGAGAAAACTTTGTGTGTGTGACTGGGTGAAATCGGTGCGTGTAAAGAGGTAGGAGGGAGCCGGTGCCGCTGGGCGTTTCTACAAGCTCGGCGCAGTGGTTGCACGCAGTGCGGGAGAAGGCATCTGTCCTGATAGCCGCAACGGTGATGCTAGGCGCAGAGGACCGGCCCCATATTGGTGTGAGGAGGACACGCGGAAGACTTGCGGAAGAAGGCGAGCGCATGCAGGCCATTCGCTCGCATGTGGTGTTCGCGCAGGCGGGCGGAAGGGCGCGAACTGGAGTGGACGGTCTCGAAGGGGGTTGCGACAGGGGCGGCTCGGCTTTGCGACGTGACGCTCAAGGTGTGCCTGAGATGCTGGCTCGTTGGCATCGCGAACCGCCCGCCCGAGAGGACGGTCAGCACCCACGACATAACGTGGCCACTCGGCGAAGCAGAGGACCGTGGGTGACGGTATGAGCGATGCGCCCCAGTTGCGGACACTGCGTATACCACTTACCCATTGTTGTTGTTGTTGTTGTGCCACGGCTTGGTGAGCTGCAGTTGTCGTTGGTAGCAGCCTAACCTGCCAGACGCGGAAGTAAGAAACCCGAGTCCTGTCCAGAGATACTATCCAGAGAGTGTTAGACAAGTGCGACCTCCAGCAACAGAGGCTCCGTGGCGTGGGCACGAGGCAGTCGGAAAGGGCAAGTCGGTTGTGAGAGCGAGTTGGCTGTGCTGCCGACAACGTCTGGTGCGGTACACAGTACCAGTGGCACCGCCAGGCGCACGCGCAAACCAGGCTGAGCTGAGCAAGCACCAGGCCAGGACAAGGCTGGGACTGGCCGCCGGGCTGTGTGATGGCTGGCAGCCAACCCATTGGCGGCGCTGCTGCCGTTGGCAGCTTGACAGTCCAGCCAAGGCGACACGGACAGTGGCCAGGTGGCCATTTTCTGGCACGCGTGTGACGGCACCAGGCTTGGACGCAGCGATGGCAAACCTCACAGACGTGGGCTGGCGATGGAGAGGCAGAGAGGGGGGTGAGGGTGCGCGGCGCAACGGTAGGGCGAGGGGTGGTGCGCCTGCATCAAGCAGACTGACGTACCTTTGGGGGAGATCACGGATTGCGCTGGCTGCGAGGCAAGCTGGCGCGGGCGTCAATGGCGATGGTTGGGAGCACAGAGGTGAAGGGCGAGGCAGAAGCAGGCTCACGATGGCATTGCAAGGCTACAGGAGGTGCAAGGCAGAGCGTGCCGTGGCGCGTCATTCGCTAGCTGTACCAAGGGCTTCTCCACATGAGCAGGCGTGAAGGCGACCAAAGTCGCGCTGCTGGCATCCATCGCATGGGACAATCTTATCGGCCATGCATCCATCCTCCACAGGCCCGCCAGTGCGGCCCATGTCCACTCCGCCCTCACTGGCTGGCACCTCCAATGCTTCCTCTCGAGAGCTCGAGAGCTGGGTGGTTCCTGACTTCACTGATTGATCATGAGTGCAGATTATCGTGAGTGCAGATTATCGTGAGTGCAGATTATCGTGAGTGCAGATTATCGTGAGTGCAGATTATCGTGAGTGCAGATTATCGTGAGTGCATGCCTGGATGCCTGCTGTGGCCAGAAGCTGCTCAAATTACCTTCAGGTACGGATAGCCTACTTAGAGGTGATGCAGGCCAGCATAAATCGCGGCCTAGAGGAAGCGTCCCTGACAATGTCGTCCCATATAACGTCGTCCCGTCAACTTTAGTCTCATGGATGTGCGGCGGGTGTCCTGCATGGATGAAGATGGATGGCGCTCTCTCCTTGCCGTGACAGGGCAGCTTGTCGTCCTACAACCCAGTGCTTGACAGGCATTATTGGGAACACTTGGTCAGCGGCCATCGCACGCACGAAAGAGGCATATGCAGCATGCTTGTGGAGGCTGCAGCAGGACTGCACATGTCGTGAACGACGTCCCGAAACCGGTGAAAACCCCCCCCTGCGCAGAGGCAACGAATGGGCGGCTACAGAAAGCCGCGAGGTGAATCCATCCTTGCGATGCAGGCAGCACGTCTCGTCGCCGCGGGGAGAACGACGTGCAGATCCGGCTGCAGAAGATCCTCCGCCCCAGTGCAATGGCGGGCAGCCTCCCAGCACGGCACCACCTGTCCTTGACCATGAGAGTATGAAAGTTTGCCCATGAATTTGGTCCGGCCCGAACTTGACAGCTGAGCCGCAAGCCATGTCGGCTCACAACTTCAACAACAAGAAATCGCCCTTCGTGATCGAGCCAGGCTCGCCACGATGGGATCTGCCTAAGTAAGCATGAAGAGGTGGAGCAAGCTACCACGTTCCAGCATTCTTGAACTATCCGAGTACGAGTCGTACCAGTGAGAGAAATGCTCCCATCCCAGCATGCCGAGGAGGGAGGTGTGGATATTCATTCAGTAATCAATGGCGAGCACACTGGGGTCTGAACGCCTTCGGCCGAGCGGGGAACGCCCAGCGCACGTTGCAGGAGGAATTTCGAGCCTGAGAAAGCTCACGCCAGGAATGACACACCATGGACAGGGACTGGTCTCAAGCTTCTTGCCCACCTCAACCTGTTGGCGTAAGTCTTGAACGACCCCCGCTCGGCTAGTCTACGCAATAGGAATATGTACAGTCAAGCCGCGGGCGGGTGGACTCCAGATCCCAGGTAACCCGCAAGGCCCCACGGAGCAAAGTCCCCTGCCCTCGTTATCGTCGCTATCGCGAAAGTGGTGGTCGCCCAATTTCCGGAGGCTCTCGTCGCATCACCTCACCGGTAGCCCGCCCAAGGTCGAACCACCAAGTTGCTTCGCTGTACCCTCGTCTCTTTCACATCGTGGATTGCGGCAGAGCTAAGCACGAGAACAGGCCCAGCGTGATCTACACCGCACTCTCATTCTCCTCTTGCTGCACCATATCATACATATTATGGCACCGTCGAGGGCTGTCACCGCATCTATGGCCGGCGGGCTGGCACGAATGACGACACGAGCCGTTCAGAGCCGACTCCATTGCGTAGCAGCGCCGCGTCGATACCACTCCTACGATCACCCGCCGCCTCCTCCTATTTTCAGCGCTGCTGAGAGCGCTATACTATCGGCCGCCTACGCACATGTCCCCGAGCACGGTTTCACCCAAAGGGCGCTCAGCCTTGGGGCGCGCACCGCCGGCTATCCTGACATCAGCATCAGTGTGCTCCCTGAGGGCGTGTTCAGCCTGATCAAATATCATCTTGTGACTGCGCGCGAGGGTCTGGCACCTCGCAAGGTCAGCGTACTGGGGGGCACGGAGAACAGCCAGCTCATCCCTATACCAGAGAGAGTTGAGCTGCTGACATGGGAGAGACTGCAAGCTAACGGGGCAGTCAACCACCGCTGGCAAGAGGTATGACCCTTCCACGGACTCAGCGCAACCCCAAGGTTGACAAAGGTGTACTCTTCATGACGCCACATCGCCATTACTGACTCATACTCTCGTACAACCTTCCAGGCATTAGCCATCATGGCACAGCCTAGCAACATACCAGGCGCCCTCCACGAATTGGCTCTCCTCGTCGACGAAATCTACCATCTATCCGGTGATACGAGCGTCGACCCTTCCTGGTACACAAAACGGGGCGCGCTCTCCCTAGTTTATACTTCGACAGAGCTATTTATGACCAACGATCGCTCGCCAGGCTTCCAAGAAACACGAGCCTTCCTGCAGAGAAGGCTCAACGAGTCAGACTCTCTGGGCTGGGCGTTTGGTAGCGTACGGCAGTGGGTTGGTTTCACGGCATCTGCTGGTGTAAATGTTCTGCGGAGCAAAGGCGTGCGCATATGAGTCTGTTGGCTCATGCTGCCACGATGGACTAGTGTGAACGGTGGTGATAGCACGTCATCGGTCAGAAGGGGCTTCAACACGTTCTTGAAGACAATCCTGCGCAGTTGGGAAAGAGAAACTAAGCCGTGTCGGTCTAACATGGCGTGCAACGCCTTTGTCGACTGCTACGGGCGGCGTCAGGAAGGAGTTCCCGGGCGTGCTCGACAACATATGGCCGTGGCCTGAGATTTACGAAAATGTGTACAACTACCTGTATTATTCATTGCCATAGGCGCTCTATCTCCGGACTCCAGTATATCGGCTGTCGTTTCTGAATGAAAACCTTGACCTGGCATCTCGCCGACATGTTGCTGATGCATGACTCCACACCCTCAGCAGTAGGACCAGACTACAGCGTTGAAGCGCTCGCTGTCAACCAGCTTCACCGAGCCAGGCATCTATACAAGATCGCCGAAATCATGAACCTGCGCTCCTAGCGAGAGACAGACTGGGCTGCCACCACCTGCACGCGACCGACCATTCATATTGACACAAGCGTTGAGATTGTATCCATGCGCTTTTCTCGCTTTACATATGCAAGTAGAATGATGCTATGCTGTACTCAGCGCCTGACGGCTGGCAAACAGTGAATGCACCCAGCACGCTAAAGAGAAAAATGGCCGCTCTTGGTCGCCAATGGCACGCAGTCACCCCCAACTCCGAGCGCTGAAAAAACCACCAAATAATTCCCATTGTAAAGTCCGTGGCGCATAGAGACCAGACTGAGCTGGCAGACCAAGCGAGCCTGCTATGCTGTCGCTCTGTGATCGGCGAGGCTTACAAGTCGTCAATACGTCTTTGCCGAGGATCGACCAGCCTAGAGAAGAATTAGAGCTTCGTTTAGTTGAAGACGGGATGATCGAATGATGAAAATTCATTACTAACCTGATGATTTTGACATCCTTGTCAACAACTGCCCGGCCCTCAATCGCATTTGGCGTGATCAGGATGAATTGTTTCCCAACTGAGCGGCGTGCGGCGGTTATCTGCAGACGTTTTAGTATCATTTCCTGAGCAAGTTGGATTGGACGCTAGACCTACCAGCATATTGGTACTGATCGCACGGTTGACATTATCCATGAACACGTCAAATTCATCTAAGCAGCGCAATGGAGATCCCATGGCGTCCCAAATAGCCAACAACATGCATATCGACGAGAATGACTTCTCGCCACCAGACAGCGTCTTCGTGTTGCGTCCAGATCCGCCTCTCCGTGTCTGATCTGGCTCGACCTGCAACTCGAGCTTCTTGTGCTGGTGGTCCAGCAAGAGTCTACCTCGAAACCCACGCTCACTGAGGAGGTACTGGAAGTTGACGCGGGCCTGAGCGGAGATGAGGCGCTGGAACGTTCGCCATCGATCCAGGCGATCTGTGAGTGCTTGTTTCAGCGAGTCCACTAGGTTTCGCACATTTTTGTGGTCAGCTCTGGTCCGGCGCCACCTCGCCATACTCTCTGCGGCTCGGTTGTTGATCTGCTCGTCGGTCCCCCCCAGTTGCTGCCGGATCTTCCTGAGTTGTTCGCCTTGACTCTGCCACTTCCGTTCTATACTTTCGTAAGTTTCACCCTCATCCAGCCAGACTCTTTCAGCATGAACTTCTTGAGCCTGCGCGGTAAGCTCCTTGAGGTGCACAATATGCCGCTGTTGAGATGCCTCGGCTGCTCGCTTGGACTCCTTTGCAAGGTCGTGATTCTCGTGTGCAGCATTCTTTTCGACGACGACTGTGTACCGCGACGCCTCGTAGTTCTTGATTTTTGTCTCGACTTTTGCGATCTTGGCATTGTTCTCTGCAACAGCGAGTTTGGCGTTCGCAAGCTTCTGTTTGAGCTCGTCCATTTCTGCGTTCATATCCTGCTTGTGGACACGAAGCTCGCCATATTGATTGCCGTATGTCTCTCGTTGCTCCTCAGCATCTTTAAGATGCTCTCGGTAAACACTCAGCTTGTTTTGTGCTCCGGCGAGGTCGTCGAGTGCCTCCTGAGCCGCGTCGACCCGCTCGACAGCTGAAGTGAGAGCATTGTTCAGCACATTAATCTGCCTCTTGTGTTGAACCAATGCCTGAGTACAACGCTGAACCGCCTGCTGATCTGTTCTTCGGGCCGCTTCCACGTCTCGAAGTTCGCTGCGTAGTTGTTCCACGCGAGATTGATGAAACTTTAGGTCTGTCTCCTCGTCCGACCTCAGGCGAGACTTTAGGTCGTATCTCAGGGGGAAGGGTGATGAACTCAGATTCCCGCGTTCATTTCTAAGACGGAGGCCTAGATCACGCCTGCCGTCATGAAACGTCATGCAGAATGCAGCGTGCTGAGGTGGCTGATCATCAAACATGATGCTTTGAGCCGCGATCCTAGTTTCAACCAAGAGAGCTTGCTCAATACGATGATTGATCACTAGCAGATCCCTCACGCGCTGGTCGTCGAATTTGAGAATCCTCAGCACAGTTTCGAAGCTGGGATCTGGTTCCTTCAGAGTTCCCAAGGAGGTCTTCGCGAGGATGACGATGGGATGCTCTCTGATGCCCAGACGATCCATGAGAGACTTGAGTCGAATTTGATCCCTTTTGCTTTCGACCAAAAAGGAGCTCAAGGATAGGCCACAAAGATTCTCGACCACAGGCGCCCATTTGGGCTTTGTGATCTGTATCATCGGTCCAAGAGGTCCGATTGGCTTGGCCCCAAAGCCATCATCGGTTGCGATGGCCTGCAGAAGTTGGGGAAGTCGAGGTCCGAACGCCGCGAAGGGATCAGTCCGTTTCCTGTTCAGATCCCGAACCTTGACTTCGGCTTCGGCCAGAGCCCTGCGCTTTGGCTCGACATCGCTTGCTGACCTCTGTGCTGCTTCCTCCGCTCTTGCCAACGCAGCCTTGAGTTCTGGTTCTTGGTCAAGATGGTCCTGTACAGCTTTATTGGCCAGCTCTCTCGCTTGCTCAGCCTCTGTTCGCTCGGTTTGTGCCTTCAGAATGGCACCTCCGTTTACACGTTCGAGCCTCTCTTCTTCCTTCTGAATATCTGCTTTGTGCTGCTCTACCATACTTCTGGCTTTGGAGAGCTGCGTGTGAATGTCTCGTTCGCTTACGTGCAACTTTTGGATCTCCGTCCTTGCAGTGTCGAAGCATGTTCGAGCGTCAATCTCCGCGTCGCGCAACTGATCGTGTTCATGTCGTAATTCCTCCACAGCATGACGCGCCGCTGAAATCCTACTGTCAAGCTCGTCGAGGGTCCTCGTTGTCTCGGCGATCCTCCTTTCGGTCTCTTCCACCTCCTTCTGGGCCGCTACGACCTTCGCTTCCTTCTCGCTGACAAGATCTTCCTGCGTTTTGATCTGGGCCCATGCCATCTTGTAAACGTACAACTTTTGCTTCGCTTTCATCTCTGCTGTCTTCTGTAAGGCGTCTCGTAGTTTGACAGCCTTCTCGGCTTCATCTTGCAAATGCTTGATTTCTTCGTCAAAGCCGTAGAGCTTAGCCTCGCTGGCATCGAGATATTCGAGTATGAGCTGGTAGTCATTCGAAAGTTGTTCCAGCTGAGTACCTAGAGTGAAGTATTTGTACTTTTGGGCCGGAGTCGCGGCGTTCAGGAACTGTCGAGCATTGTCTTGAGAGAGTACGTTCAACGGGTTGTCGACTTGCAGACAGTAGTATTCAACCACGTCATCGACGTCACTCTTCTTGGTGGATATGGTTCGACCTGATTCGGCCTTGAGCTTGAACCCGCTCGTACCAGATCGTGTGAAGTGACGCTCGACAATGATGGAATCGCCAAATACGTCTCTTTTATACGCGTCGTCGCCCTGGTTCTTGATCTTGACTATCAGACTGGCATGTTCCTGGCCCTCTTTAACGAAGCTGCGAAGACTGCCGCCACGGTTTGTGGCACTGGCCTTGCCTCCGAGACACAACGTGATGGCGGTCAAGATTGCGCTCTTGCCACTTCCGTTCTCGCCGACTATAAAGTTCAGGAGCGGTCCAAGCTCGCAATGCAGCCGGACGTGGCACATGAAGTTGATGCATTCGATACTCTCGATGATGGCATTTGGTGCGGCGTGGTTGTCCCCTATGATCGTGGGTCGAGCAGTCAACCGTTGCGTAGCTCTTTGGTCGTCGTTCTCTGTGTCTTCCAGGTGCCTGAAGCCAGCGTCGCGCATGATTTCGTACTGAGTGGAAGGCAGTGGCGTTGATGCCTTGTCGTGATCCAGCCTCATCGTGTCGTCACCTTCGGAGGCAGAGGCGCTGTCATCGTGAGATTCGGCATTATGGCTCTTGCTTGAGCTTGAATCCGGGTTGGACAAACGGGCTTTTTTGCGTTGCTGCCAACGTGATGAGTGTGCGCCCGAGCCCCTGGGGGATTTGACGTACCACATTGCCGCGCAGGCTTGAGCTCGCCTCAGCGTACGCGACGGTCTCTCCTACGTCATCTTCATGAAAGGTCGCCCGCCGTGGGCGTTTGGAGGTTGCGCGGGACGGCATGAGGAAGCTTGTCAAGACGAGCACATCGGCTGAAAGTGAAGATGTGAGGGCCGGCTGGTTTTGAAGCGGAGGCTCGAAGTTGAGAAGCTTCAGGAGAAACGCTATAGCACGGGGACGATTACGCTGAGCGGATAGAAGCTGCCACTAGTTACGAGACGTGATCTACGTGCATGAGTAAATGGGCCATGTGGGTGATGGTGTCTCGACTCGCTTGTTCATGATTATTTCCCGAGGTCATGAAGGGTCAGCACTTTCGGCCAGCAGGTGCCCAGGTGTCGCGACGCGATTAAAGGTGGGATGTCGCTGCACTTTAACGCGACGGCACGCCAGGCCAGGGGTTGTGGTGTGCCTAACCAGAAATCGTTAGTGGACCATTACATCAGTGCCTGTCACACTCAAGCTGATGGTGGGGCCGTGACGCCAAAGTCTTGACATCGGCACAGGGTCTCTGAAGAACATGACTTCTTTACAATCCCTCTCGCAACGGCAACTGCGGCCCCTGGTTTATCGGACTGTTATCTCATCACGGTCATGGCCGAAGGCGGGAGACCTGATTTCTTCCCGGGCGGAGCTGGGACTTTCCCAAGACAGCTACCCGACAATTGCGTCGAGTACGTCTTGGTTATTATTGACAGCCAAATCGAAAATCGCAAACTCCTTTCAGAGCTTGAACACGTTCGCAAGCTGGCCCTACAGCTACGCGATCGCCTGGCTGGAGACTACATCTGGCAACGTGACGAGTTTCAGCTTCAGGTTACCAGCAAGAATGGGCTGCACTACCTGCAGGGCACAACTAACTATGGTGACTCCGTCGAGGACGAGTGGCTCATAGTCTTCCTCCTCCGCGAATTGACCAAGTCCAGGCCCGACCTGTGGGCACGTGTCGCGGACAGTGACGGCGAGTTTCTCCTCATCGAAGCAGCCAATGTGGTTCCAAGGTGGCTCAGTCCGGAGATTGACGGCAACAGAGCTTGGATTCACCAGGGCCACCTCAAAATCATTACGTCGGACGAAACCAAGTCGCCCAAGCGCCCTTTGTCCCTTGTGGAAGCAGTGCAAATACTGCAGTACAGCCCCGAACTAGTCGAACATCACTCTGTGGTCGAAGAGGAGGCGTTCTACCGCCTGGCAAAATATCCGCAACAAATCACATATGCTATACATTTCTCTGTCGTAACTATACCCCGAAAGCTGGCTCACTTAATCCATCTACGACCTTCAACCATCGCGTCGGCTGTCGAAGCATTCTATACTCGCAACCCAGTCTCTCTCAAGCTATTGGACTCAGACTCTGCTCATTTGCACTTTCCACCAGAAGATCTCGTTTCAGTGAGTGTAAAGTTCACCAAGGTGCTCTTTGCGCAGCTCAAATCCCAGCAATTTGCGCCGCCCGCTGCATGGGCCAAGACGATTCAAATGGCCGAGGCCAAGGCCGAGCAGGCTGAAACTGCCAAACGAGATCTGGATCGGTTGGAGACTGGCATGAAGTTGACCAGTGGCTATGAGATCCTCGCCAGCTCTGCAACCTCAAAAGACAGTCGTTTGGTACGAGAGTTTGCAATTCTTCTTGATGACCTGGAGACAGACATGCAGCAAGATGGAATTGGTATACTCCCTTCGAATGAAACAATGCTATCTTGGCCTCATGGAGGCCGCGATGACGATGAATCATGGCTGGACATTAACTTCGAGGACTTTGAGCATGAACTGGATGGCAAAAAGCGGCAGCATGGCGGCGACAAGAGCGGCTTTGGCAGTGCTACGGCCCATGCGGACTTGCAAAAGATTGTGTCTCGCTTCGAGTCGTTTCTCAACGACGAGAGTGCCGGCATCGAGGGTGCCCAAGTTGAAGATATGGATGAAGATGACGATGAATTGTCCGACAGTCAGGAAAGCGACACTGAAACTGATGATATAGGAGTGCAGCTGGACGAGGCGAGATTCGCAAGCATGATGAGGGACATGATGGGGATCTCGACTGGCGTCGTCCATCAAGAACACGCACCCGAAAACCTGTCCTCCAGGCGCAGGCAAAGCGTCGGATCGGACGATCTCGACGACATGGAGATACAAGAGCTTTCAGCCCAGATGCAGGCCGAGCTCGACGGGCACGGTGCTCTCAGACTGGATCACGGATCACCAGAAGTGAAGATGTTGGAGAGAGGAATGAAGCAGGGAGGCGACCAAGACGACGACAGTCGGAGCAGCGACGACGAAGCGTTAGATATTGACTACAATCTAGCCAAGAATCTGCTTGAGAGCTTCAAGAGCCAAGCAGGGCTTGCTGGGCCAGCCGGGAACATACTGGGGATGATGGGGATGCAGCTACCCCGAGACGAGCAAGAGCACGAGCATCAAAGTCAGACAGAGTAACGAGGGCCGCAAAGGAATGGCAGCCAATTATTTCAGAGCTGGCTACTGTAGACGTGTGATGAGCGTTCTGGAATTTCGGCATTCCCTACAGGATGGGCACTTCTCGGTTGAAGGCGTCCACCCCTGAGCCCCGCTAAACTCCCATGTTCGCAACGACGTCACCGCACCCTGTCCCGCACTTGGCAGGCGACCACCCTCTGCTTGCAGGCAGTCATACAGGGCTCTCGATCGACACTTGCATCAAGATGCAGCGTTCCCCGTAAAAGATCTCGAGCAGCCTGGGCTGTCTGCTATCCCACGTATCACGCGCCGTGCATCCGCGGCTCTTTCCCATCACGTGCAGGTCCGACCACACCAGTATTGCACCATTTCTGTCCACCTTCTGCACCACTGCCGCTGTCTCACGAGCAATACAGCTACATGGCGCAACAATGTGGCCCAGCAAAGGTATATCCAGCCTTCAGAAGACCTACGATGAGAGTTACTTGAAATGCTCCACTGCCGTCTACTACGAAAGCCAGGTATGTTGCGCCGTCTCATGCATTCCAGACTGCTCGCCCTCCAGGTTCTGATCACCATGCGTTGTGCAGGGCGATGAAAATGAGGCCATGCAGAGCTGGCGAAACGCCCTTGCGCAACTTCGACAAAACCCTCTGGCCAGAAGAATAGACACCTACTCCCCGCGGTCGGAAACCGAGCGAGCGCTTGTTGAGAGCATCAAACAACTCGAAGTGCAATGCAAGGAACGCATCGACCTACTCGAAGCACTCAGGTTGTCACGGCAGGATGATATGACCTCGTCCTCCCTCACGCCTGATCCCCAGTCTCTCGCACAGCCAATCTGTTCAGACACCTCTTCTGCTATCCCGTCAGCTCCCGAGCGTGGGTGGCTGGGCGACGGAACCATTCCAGCTCTGTCATATACCGACCTATCCAGGCCACCAACACTACCGCGCCGACCGGCCCCTCCTGACAGGGCATCGTCTGAAAACACCGTCATCAATAGCGAATCTCTAGCCTTGCGAGAAAACAGCATGTCACAAACACCGTCACGACCATCCTTGCCGCCTTACGGCTCCTCGAGCAATACCATAGCCTCGCTGACGAGCGGTGCGGAGCTGTCTGAAAGTCCCGAAAAGCACACGATGCGAACTACCCTGAGGTCAAAGAGATCCGATAAAGCCTCAAGCACGACAAGCCGGCCAAGAAGCTCAACTTCAAACAAGAGACCTGGCGCGAGCATGGCGGCAACGCTCGCTTGGTCAGGAAGAGACACGAAGGACAGTAAGCCTCGAGCTCCAGGCAAAAGCCAAGCTGCCCTCAAGGCCAGGACTCCCGAGCAGCGTCGCTCCGAAGATGTCGCGCGGCCCATGCCAGGCAGCCGGCACAGCCAGTGGGACAGCCATACGAGAAGACTGGTCACTGCCCGCGAAAGTGCTACGTCCACGTCTGCGAGTCGGTCCAGCCCGGAACCGCCGCGCGGCTCAGGCGAGTTTTCGCACACAACTTCCTCCACACTTGCATTAGGCGCTGCATCCAGCGCACTTAACAGCCTAAACTTGCAAGATCGATCTGATTCATCCCAAAGACGTGAAGTTCGAGAATATCTTTCGAAAAAGGGAGCTGCCGCCGCACATGAAAAGCCCCTTAGGGTCGGGCCTGGCTCTGGCTCACCAATGAACGGCTTATCATCCACTAACGGTCAGGTTAGACGGAAGCCAGCAACTAGGCTCAGTGGCTCTGAGCCGAATAGCACACGGAAACGTAGTTCGAGACGAAGTACGAGTCAAGAATGGAAAAATGCTTTGGAGTCGACCGACGAAGAACTGGTGGCCCCGCGAGCAGGTCAGCGACGGGTAAAGGACTCGCAGCAGAACGGACACGATTCTTTGGATGACGCAGAGGGTTCAGCACAGACTTCGGAGGATGAAGATGTTCAGAGGATAAAGAAGGAGTGGCAGAAACGCAAGAAGGCCGTCCTCCGCAACTTACCACCAGGAGTAGATGAGGCTGCGGCACAAGCCATTTTCAACGAAATTGTCGTACAGGGGGACGAAGTACACTGGAACGACGTTGCTGGACTGGAGATCGCGAAGACAGCATTAAGGGAAGCTGTTGTATATCCCTTCCTGCGGCCCGATCTCTTCATGGGGCTTCGCGAGCCAGCACGTGGTATGCTATTGTTTGGGCCGCCAGGTACTGGAAAGACCATGCTGGCCAGAGCTGTGGCTACGGAGTCAAGATCGACATTCTTTTCGATATCTGCCAGCAGTCTGACGAGCAAATACTTGGGAGAGTCCGAGAAGCTCGTGCGTGCTCTATTCGGCCTCGCACGGGTGATGGCCCCGAGTATCATCTTTGTGGATGAGATAGATTCACTGCTATCGCAGCGCTCCGGGTCAGGCGAGCATGAGGCAACTCGGCGCATCAAGACAGAGTTTCTGATACAGTGGAGTGACCTGCAAAGAGCTGCAGCAGGCAAGGAAGCACCCGCAGGCATGAAAGACCGTGGCGACCCCAACCGCGTACTTGTACTGGCAGCGACGAACTTACCTTGGGCCATTGATGAGGCAGCACGCCGGCGATTTGTTCGGCGGCAGTATATACCACTGCCCGAGGCAGAGACACGATCTGTACAACTCCGGACACTCTTAGGCCAGCAGAAGCACAGTCTGACTGACGATGACATTGTTGACCTGGTCATGCTAACTGACGGTAAATTATCCCCCCCCCCCCGGTTTGTGAATTACTACAGGAGCCGACACTAACTTCCAAGGCCAGGCTTCTCCGGCTCCGACATCACGGCGTTGGCTAAGGATGCTGCAATGGGGCCTTTACGGTCGTTGGGAGAAGCGTTACTGCACATGACCATGGACGAGATTCGTCCGATCGGCTTTGAAGATTTTCGGGCCAGTCTGCGCACCATCCGTCCGAGTGTGAACAAGGAAGGCCTCAAAGAATATGAGGACTGGGCAAAGCAGTTTGGAGAACGCGGGGGCTGAGAGACTCTGCGCACCCTTTCTATGTATGGCCGGATACTCCTTCGTGGTAGTCAAACGAGACAATCATGACCAAGACAACTCGGGATTTATATCTAGTACAGCTAGTTTATACAGTATGAGAGGTCCTTCCTGGACTCATCCCATTTGTTGCTTCATCTCGGAATCAATGAGGACATGCTACAACTCGAGGGGACGTCTTTCATGACCATCATGACCTGGCAGCGTGCTGCATGCCGTCTTATAAGCGGATCATATCCCAACATTTCCTTTCTTTGAGGAGGTCCAACCAACAGCGAAGTCCACCTCTGTGCCCCTACGAAGCTGTCAGATCACATGCTCAGCCCGTGTCGTCTCATCCTCCGCTTTCGTGAACCCCGCCTCATCTGCTTTGCGATCCTGGAGCTCCGCCAGCCTCCTGCCGACGGGTGACCTGGCGAGCTTGGCCCGTTTCGCCTCGGCGGCGGCCTCTCTGTGCTCGGCGTCGGCGCGGGCCTGCTCTTCCCGGCGGAGAGCGCGGCGCTCGTTCTTGGCCGCCCGCTTTACGACCTTCTCCTCAATAAGCTCCTCGAGTGTCGGCACGGGCGGGCGCGCATCAATGGCCTCGCCATAAGGGGCAAGGATGTGTTTTACGACGTGCTTGACGTGTTGTGACTCGCGCCACGACGACTGAATCGAGATGATGTCTCCTTGCCGGACAGAGTTGCGGGGGTCGTGGACGAGGGCGTAGCGCGGTTGTTTGAAATGCTATCAATGGGGAGTAAGTCAGCGTCTGGGTTCGCATCGGAAATCTGCTGTCCAGCTCACAGCGCCATCGGAGGCAGATGCCCTTCGCCGAGTCTGGACACGTCCCGAGATGTATAGAGAACCCTAGGACCTGTGCGCGGGGCGAAGACCGAAACGTGCAACGGGACAAATAAACCCACCTTGTTGACCCTCTTCTCCCACCGCTGGCCTCCAAGCTTGACCTTGACCGTCTTGTCCATGAGCCCGGCAGACACGACGATGCCGTGAAACTCCTTTGGTGCGATCGGCAGCAGGTCCGCGACCGTTTTGCGCGCTGTGGCGAGGTGTACGGCTGACATAGCGGCGTATGTGTGTATTTCTGCGTTTTGAATTAAGCTGGGCTTGTCGCCAGCCTTGATGCTGCTCGGCAGAGCGCTCTTATCGGCTTGTCGTCAAGAGTTGCACTCTCGTTGCACGACGGCTGCAGAGCCTGGTGGGGGGGCAGTTTGTTGTGGCTAGGCGGTCCGACCGCTCAGAGACTTGTAGGAGGTCGAGCCGAGAGTTTTCGTTGTATAGAGGCGATGCGCTCTCTTGACTATGCTGATTAGGCGTGCGCTGTGTCCCGAAGCCGGTTCTGCGTTGCCGATAATGCTGTTGACCCTGGGAGTGATTTGGAAATTCTTGGGTGACAACCATGAGCTAAGACTCCGCACGCTAGCACTTGCAAGCGGGTCTAGGTCGTGGTTGGTCCTGTCGTCTTGGTGCCGTGCTTAGCTAAGCCAATCTGCCTCGAAGTCAAGTGTTGCACCTCAATTGCCAAGACGCCAGGAGTGACAACTGCCGTCTTGACAGAGGAGATCAAAAATAATGTTGCTCTGACAAATAAAAGAGTAATATTAATCACCCACTATGCAAATGGGTACAAGGAATTCGCGATGTTGAACGAGCCCCAATATAATATACATAAACTACCCACGCCGTGTCTTGAACATCAACGGCCAATTCCAGGTCTTGAGATGACTCCGTCTAAAAGTTTGATTCGAGGCTAAGGCGTAAGTCATCCGACTCGTAATATACATGGTGGCAGTCACTTTCTGAGGAGAAAACATGTATGGTTCTTGCAGTCTTCGTCACATGCCACGAGAACCGCCCCCAGACAACTTCCACGGTCTTACGATTCACCACAGATCTATGCATGCATATCAAAAAGAAGAACTACGTGGAGAACAGATCGATCCCGTAGATGAATGGGCTGCGATGGGGATTGAACCCATGACCCCTGGCAGACAAGCAACGGCATGAGCGTGAGCATCATGGACCGCCCAAAGCCAGTACGCTTTCCACTGCGCCACGCAGCCGGCATGTGCCTATCTCCTGTTACCAGAGGGACGTTAAGCCGGCAGAAGGCACCAAGTCGTTTATCTTCAGGCTCAGTCAGTCCCTGAAGCGGGCGACCCGGAGAAATGTTGGCCACAGAGAGTTGCGGGGGCTCCGTGGTAGCTCGCAATGCCGTATTGCGGATTGGCGGCTTCGAGTATGTCTATTGCCAATGGGGTTGCCGTTCTAGCCAGAGATGGATCTGCGAGAAGAATTCCCGGCATCTATCGAGGGCAAATGGCCCTAGATATAGAGGATGCCTTCTGTCTACCAAGAGCGCGGCAGCACTGGTGATTAGCAGTGTTCAAGTCTGTCGCCATTGTTGAAGCCAGCTGCAAGTGATCAACTTTCCCCCTTCATCGAATGCCGACAGCTCCGACCTCGAGCGCCGAGCGGCACACGAGTGTGTCGTGTGTCTTTGTAAATCCGCTGTGGAGTTCTCAGCCGTAAGAAGATGCGAGCAGCGGCCATAAGTCGGAAGTCTCGGGCAGCCCCCAAGCCAGGGTGCCCATGTCACCACGACGAGCAGGGAAGTCAAAGTTTTGACCCGAGCAGGCAAGCACAATGGCTATGCCTGGACAGGCACACATACCCGGTCGTTTATGCGATGTGATGGGGCCGGTCGATGATGGACCAATGCGTCGGACGAGGGGCGACCATGGTATTCTTTGCAGGAAAAGCCGAGAGGGATCAAGAGCAGACGATTGGAGAGCCGGCAACTTGCAACTTGCAAGGCAGGAAGGCAGGAAGGCAGGAAGGAAGCAAGAAAGGAACCAGTCCAGGGGCACATGGCCCGCTCCGGGAGAGTTGGGATAATAATTATTATCGATCTAATCTGATTGCGGTTGCCAGAGCCCGCCCGCCCGCCCGCCCGGCCCCGTGGGTTAGTCAGTCAGTTACACCTTGGCCAGCCGTCGCCAGCCATGCATGCATCCACCCATCCCAGAGCGAGGCCGGTGCAAGTTGCGACTGTGGACTAATATGGTATCCTCATGGCACAAAGTCGCATGCTGTCAGTGTTTGCTGGGGTAAAGCCCCGCAACCACACAGCGCTTTGGCAGTGCAACACTGGCAGGTGCAGTGCAGGTCAAGGGGGAGGGGCGAGCGAGATCGGACAAGCACTGGCGGCCCAAGTCGATGACCGCAGCGTGCGCAGCACAATCCGATTGTGCCGCCAGGTGGCCACCACCAGGGCGCTGCTGCCGCGCAGGCGGGTGCGTGCTGCGTGCTGCTCGCAGAGGGCGGGCCGTGTCGCTGTGGGTGCGGCGTGCCCGCACCAAGCTCCGCATCGGGCTGGGCGGCCCCCCCAAGCCAAAACCCCAGTGCATCCCAGCTGGGCCGTCACCACCGTGCTCTGCTGGCCTCTTAGCTCTGTCTAGCTGCCGGGCTGCCCTCTTTATTTTTTCACCCCGTCCCGCGACCGCCGGAGATACCTGCAGTATATCACCAGCCTCCCTCCCACGCAGCACTTCCCCCCGACGGCTTGCCCAGAGTGCTCTCGAATCACCTTGCGCAGTGCCCTCCTGGCCCCCAGCTCATCCCCGCAGACCCGACCGTGCTCCTCCTGCACTGCACGCCTGTTCGCCTGCCTGCCTCTCCCGCCACATCCGCTCCCGCCGCGCCGGCACCTCTGACGGCTTCCGCCCACAACTCGTCCCTCACAGGGCCTCCGTCTTCACGCCGCCCACGCCGCCGCCGCCGCTCCCTCTTCAGCACCGACACGTCGCCCGCGCTCGCGCGAGACCGGAACCCTGGCGCTTCAACCCGGTGCCTTCGGCGCAGGCCCTCCAGCTGTGGCCAACATGGCCCAGCCCACTGCAGAGCCCGTCGAGGACTACGAGTATGAGGCCCTCCCGCCAAACTTCTCCCTTGTCCAGAACATGGCCGCCGGTGCCTTTGCTGGCATCGCCGAGCACACTGTCATGTACCCAATTGACGCCATCAAGGTCAGCTCCAAGCTCCAGAAATGTTTTGCTGTCCTGTGCCGAGACGCCATGCTCACTTCTTCTCTCCCCGCTACAGACCCGCATGCAAATCATCAACCCGGCCAGCACCTCGGTCTACAATGGCATGATCCAGAGCACAATGCGGATAGCTTCGGGCGAGGGTGTCCTCAAGCTCTGGCGAGGCATGTCCAGTGTTGTCGTCGGCGCCGGTTCGTTTCTTGCCCGCCCTCATCGAGAGCCCGTCCCATGCGTGTGCCTCTACTGACCATCCCTTTCCCAGGTCCTGCGCACGCCGTCTATTTCGCCACCTACGAAGCCGTCAAGCACCTCATGGGTGGCAATCAGGCCGGTGTCCATCACCCGCTTGCCGCTGCCACAAGCGGAGCCTGTGCCACCATCGCCAGCGATGCACTGATGAATCCTTTTGACGGTACGTCGAGCGCACATTTCTCTGGGTCTCAGACATCTTCCGAAGCGCATCGCTGACAGTTGCTCATGATAGTCATCAAGCAGCGCATGCAGATCCAGAACTCGAGCAAGATGTACCGCTCCATGTTTGACTGTGCCAAGTATGTCTACAAAACCGAGGGTCTCGGGGCCTTCTACGTTTCGTACCCGACAACTCTCTCCATGACAGTGCCCTTCACGGCTCTTCAATTCCTCGCGTACGAATCAATATCGACAACCATGAACCCCCACAAGAAATACGACCCATTCACCCACTGCGTCGCTGGTGCCGTCGCCGGCGGCTTTGCTGCAGCTCTCACCACACCCATGGACGTAATCAAAACCATGTTGCAGACTCGTGGTACAGCGACAGACCCTGAGCTTCGGTCTGTCAACAGCTTCATGGCCGGCTGCAAGCTCTTGTACCAGCGCGAAGGTTATAGGGGCTTCTTCAAGGGTGTCAAACCCAGAATCGTCACCACCATGCCCAGCACTGCTATATGCTGGACTGCCTACGAGGCATCAAAGTACGCACCGCCACCCGCCAAACTTTCTGAAAAGCCCCCCCCTCCCCCCCAACGTCCATGATGCTAACCTGCTTTCCTTCTGCAGAGCATACTTCATCCGGACGAACGACGCGTCCTGAGTCCATGCACATTTGCAGTAGAATGCTGAGCGCAACTAAGAGTCCGCTGTCCATCGGTCTAAGCGAGCGCGGAGGCCTCAACATCTGCTGTTATTCCCGTGAAGACCTCCCACGGCGCCAGCGTGATCGTTGGCATCATAACTATCCTGCAGCGTGGTTACTGCGGCCCACAACGTACTTATGCAGGTGGCAAGGGACTTTTGGCGAGCTTTCGTCTGGGCACTGGTGCATATGCGGCACAAGTGTCGAGATGCCCTTGCTGGCCCACTCAGCATGACCGCAACTTCTTCAAAACGACTTTCTTGTGGCCCGGGACGAGCGGCTCGGGCTGCTCATGTACATAACAAATTCCTATTCCCAGGGTCTCTATGGCGTGGACGGGCACGGCATGATGTCAAACCAAACTTGCCACGATTTTGGCCGAGACGAGCGCGAAGCACGACGAGGGCTCCGATTCTGGGTTGCGACATGGCGCTTGATATATCGACTCACGGCATTGCACGGGTTAGAGTTTGGGGATACATAGAGCTGGCGCGTGATATCCGGGTTGCTGTAGGAGGCGTGTAAAACTACTTGAAATGATAGCGAAGAGACTTTTTTTCGCATGGATGAGCCATGGTATATCCTTCGCTTGCGCAGTTGGTCAATTTTCATTCCATGTGAGCCAACCTGTCTCGTGCGCAACAAAACGGCCCATCTGGTCATGCATCCACGATCAATTGAGCCACCGCGTGTCCCTCTGCTACCAAGCAGCCTCGACTCGCTCCCAGCCCTGGCGGTGGTGTTGTAGAGCCGTAACATTGAAGTCAGGAATGGGAACAGGCGCGGAAAATACGTCCGCCCAGTGCACAAATGTTCCATTTCGATAGCTCGCATTCTAGCAACCACAAGGCGCCTAACCTTGACGTGGGGGGTAGCCCTGGACAAAAGAGTGCTGTGGCAAGGTAATAAGTCTTTTGCTGTGGCTCGGGAGGATAACTATCTACAGGTCAATGTTCCCCAGACCATGGCTCACACATGACCACATCAAGTTAAAAACGGTCCCGCGTGAACAAAGTCAATGCATCAACACCGCTACCAATGGACTCCGTAACAATTGTGAAAAAAGCACAGCACCAAACCAAACGCGTATCGTCACGACAAACACGGAGCTCATCCGCCAAAGGGGAAACCACCCGGGAAACCCCCACCGCCGCCTCGCGAACCGCCAAACTTGAAGTTGAACTGGGGTCCGCCTCCTCCACCTCCCTGCTGGAACATGAATGGGTTGCCACCGCCACCGAAGCCGCCAAAAGGATGACCACCGTGCTGCTGAGGCTCGTTGGAGTTGGGGTCGTCGCCGTTGTCAAATCTCTGCCGTAGCTCGGGTGTGCTGAGCACCTCGTACGCCTCGTTGATGCTGGCCATCTTCTTCTCCGCGTCCTCTTTGGTAAGACCTTGCTTGGCCGCCTTGTCCGGGTGGTGGATCTTGCTAAGCTTGCGATACGCAGACTTGATCTGTCTCTCGTCGGCGTCACGCGCAACCCCCAGAACCTTGTAGTAGTCCTTTGTCTTGCTGCGCTTCAGCTCGAGCTGCGCCTTCTGCATCAGCGTGTTGACCAGGTCCCTCTTGTCTGGGCGAATCTCGGACGCCTTTTGCAGGGTGGCGATGCATGGTTCGTAGTCGTCGGCGTCGAGCTGCGTCTTGGCCTTGTAAAGTAGGCCAAAGAAGGAGTTTTCGTCGCGCTGGAGGGCTTCAGTACAATACGTGCTCGCCTTCTTTCCGCTTGCCTGTGTACGAAGGGTGTCGTTAGCTCCGATCCGCTACTGTATGGTTAGAGAGTCAAAGGACATACCTCGTAATACGCTTGACAGGCCGTCTCGACCAACCGCGTGACGAGAGCTTCAGGCGCTTTCTCCGGCATGACTCCCTGCTCCTTCAACAACTGAACCTGCTCCTTGACTTCATCAATTAAACCCTTGTCCTCACCCGACGGTACCAACAATTTGGCGGCCGTCATGGGCTGGTTCTTATCAAGCGCCTTGGTAACCCTCGCCAGCGTTTTCTCGACCTGCTTCTCCTGCTTGAGCAGCTTCCTGCAGGATTTCGACTCCGGGTCCGAATGCAGACACTTGCGGATGTGGCCCATTCCCTGCTCCACGTCGCCCATACCGTAAAACGTCGTCGCCGAGATGGTGAGAAATGGGCTCGTGTCGCCCGTCCGCAGCTGCAGCACGTGCTGCAGGTCCCCCATGCCCTCCTCTACCTCGCCCTTGGCGAAGCGGCATTTCGACCGCAACTCCCGCAGACCCGCGGCCCGGTTGGCTGTCTGAATGGCTGCGCCTGCCTGGGCAATGCAGTCGTCCCACTTGCCCTCTGCATACGCGGTCTCTGCGAGCTTGGCGGCGCCCTCGGCCTCGATCAGCGCGGTGTAGGCGGCCGACGATTCGCTCTGCTTGGCAAGGCGGTACTCTTGCCTCGCAGCCTCCCAATCGGCGTTGCGAGCGCGGATCTTGCCGAGCTGGAGGTGTGCGCCTTCGAAGCCTGGGCGCAGCTCGAGGACCTTGTTGAAGTCGGAAGTGGCTTGGGACGTGCGGCCAAGGGAGAGATAGGCGGTGGCGCGCTTGAAGAAGGTCAGGTAGTCGGCCGGGTCGCGAGCAATGGCGGCGTCGTAGAATGTGAGGGCCTCGGAGGCCTGGCCGGCGGCGAGATATGTCTGCGCCGAGGCGAGCAGAGAGGCGATGGGCGTGTCGGCGGGGATGTCCTCAGGCGCGAGGGCACAGACACGGCCCGCCGAGGAGAACACAGTGGCTGCGAGAGCCCAGGTCGAGAGGTTGACTAGCATGGCGGGTAGTGTGTCCGGTCGTCGTGGCTTGGGCTCGTAACGAAAGGACGACGAGGGTGGGATGTCCCAATGACGTCGCAGCCACAAAGAGATCGCAGTCTCAGTTGGGCAAGGTCACCTGGGAACAATCGAATGAGATTGGACGGCTAGATACTGGTGAGGGAACAAGGAGAGGCGAGAATAAGAACTAGAGATGCGAACGCAGAGCGACGTGGCCAGAGGACATGACGAGAGAGGTGTAAGTTGAGCGACGCATGGGGGGGTCTGGAGAGAGTTGGCGATATCTGGCCAATCTTGGGGGCACCCTTGCAGGAGCAGGTACCTCGACGGCAGCGCGTCAAGTGGTGGGAGGCGAGGTACCGAGCTAGCGACGGCGGTGGCGCATGACAAGTGTTCTTTTTTGAGGCCAGACTCGGCGCGGTGCCTCGTCGCCCTGCCCCGAATCCGGTGCCCGCTGAAGACCCCCGTCTTGGGAACGTCAGAACCCTGTAAGACCGCCGAGCCCGCCCTACCTAGCGTAGGTAGGGAGCCGCCGCCCCACCAGAGACGATCCTCGATCAGGAACACGCCCTGCCCTGTGGTTGGTTGGCTTGTGAACCGTTCGCGATGCTATCAAAACATCAACCACGCACACACACATCGAGCGACGCACCTTTGCTAGCAGGAGCTTGGCCGTCAGCAAGTGCGGCACCAAAATCACAATGGCACACCGCCGCCTCCAGCAGGAACACGCGCTGCAGAACCAGCCACCCATCTTCTCGCCTTCCGTTGCCCGCGCCGCAGCATCCACCGCCAAGGACTGGGCCTACGTCGACTCGTGGCTCAAACAGAAATACAGCACCACTGCTGTGCCCCCGTTCGAGCGCAACGCAGAGACCTTGCGCATGCTCCTGGCCCTCGTAGCTGCCAATGAGGCCGCAGACGAGGACCGTGACCAGCTCGCGCGCGCAGAGGAAGCTGCGCTCCAGGAAGTCCGCTCTGCAACAGCAGCCAAAGAGACTGTCGGTCGCGGCAGCCAGGGCATAGCAGGCTTAGATAGTGACGAGGGTCCCGCGGACGGCTCGCTCGTAGTCGAAGACTTGCTGTGCGCCATCGAGGACAATCTCACCAAGGAAGGCCGGGCAGCCCTCGACTCCATGGCCGGCATGGCTGTTGAGCTCGGCGTCGCGGCTGGCAGCGACCATCCGAATACAGAGTCGGGCATCACGCCGGAGCTCCTGGCTGCCCGGTTCATTGAGCTCCAGGCGTCAGCTGTCGAGGTCGATCGTGCGACAGCCCGGGTCGAGGTGCTGCACGAGTACGTCAGGCACGAGACTGCGCGGCTTGCGGAGCTTATGGGCTCAATGCATGGGCAGCACGTTACTGGCAGCGCGGATGAGAATGAAACCAATGTGTATGCACTAGATCCAGAAATGGCCAGACTAAACACCGATACGCACATCAAGATCACGAAGATGGAAGGGCAGCTACCCCAGCTCGAGCAGCAGGTCACGGCGCTCAACAAGATGTCTCAGATGCCTACAGTCACTGTGGACGAGGTCAAGGAAGACGAGGATGAGTACCTGCGTGTCCTAGCGCGCAAGAAGGATCTCGATGCCCAGCTCAAGGCCTTTGCTGGACTGCCACCAGATGTCGACGCTGCGCGTGCAGAGTTGGAGAACTTACGCAATGAGCTCAGAAGTTTGACGGACCGGAGAGATAACAACTTTGAGAGACTTGTGGAAAGAGAAAGTCCTGCAAAGCCGAGGCGGCGCATGCCATGATGGCCATCACAGAAACACGCCCAATGTAGATGGGTCCAATGTAGACAGGCAAATACACTCCATCCGATCAAGCGAGGGTGGCCGATGTTTTGGATATTAATGCAACACAGGCCAGTCGACTAAATCAGTAACTTGCGTGACCTGCGTGGCTCCTCACGACCGTCAACCTCTCTTGCCTCGCCCAGCAACAGATGCGCCAAGACGACCAAACTGTCTGCCGAGGCCGGAAGTCCGCTTTGGTGTCGCTGATGCTGGTGTGCTGTCCTTCTGTGGCACGGGAGGGCCCAAAGCTGGCCTCTGAGCAGCGCCGGTGCCATGACCTTCAACTGGGGGAAGTTCGCTAAATGCAGGGGTATCATCAAAGTTGCCGCCACCCTTCATCCTTCGCGCTCTGCGAGCCTTGTCCTGTACGCTCCGGAACTTCTCCAGAAGCTGGTCCCATTTGATATTGCCTTCCTCGCGCCCCTTGGCACCGAGCCGGCTCGGCCGGTCGTAGCTTGACGAACTGGCGGCACTGACAGAACTAGCAGAACAAACACCATGAGCCTCTTGCACGCTTTTAGATCGAGGGGCATGGCTCTGAAGTGACGAGACTACCTCGGCCACCGAGCTCTGTCGAGGGTTAGAGGGGAAAGTAAAATGCTGTACATACGATCTTGGGGTAGCAATGTGTAGAAAGCCTATTGAGCTGACACTGTTCAAACGATTCTTGAGTGCAGCAAACGCAGATGATTGTGGCAGAAGCATTAGTAGTCCGTAGAGACACTTGTACAGAAACGGGTACTTTTCCGGCTCGAGCAATTGGAGCCGGAGGTCTAGATCCAGAATATTAGCAAAGTTGGCCAATCCCGCCAAATTGAGTAGTTGGAGACGTACAAGTGAAGACCGGAGACTCTATGAGCTGCACCAACTTGTCGATTTGGATAAGGATTTCCACAGTCATTTCGAGCTCCGCGCTAAGAGAAGCATTAGTGGTAGTCTTTTGAGTCGTCACGGGCAACAAGTCTCGGCTCACAAGATCTGCAACAGGTTGTAGGCTGCCTCGTATGCCTGCGCAAGAAGACACAGCGAGAAAGTCGCAACTGCGTTGAAGCACCAGGAACGGAAAAGGGCAACGAATATCGCTTGCCCATCCTGCAAAATCTCATCAGTAAAGAACAGCCCTGGGCCATGCTGAGGTTCACAGGCAATGTGGGAGCTATGTAGCCCTCACCTTTGAGTCGAGGTTTCGCAGACGTTTCCTTAGATCGGCAAGTTCTAACGCCCCGATCAGGTTGTTGTTGAGATGCTGAATCATGATGCTTGCAAATTCCACATCCTCCTCCTTCTCTATCGTTTCCGCGAGGGTGCGATAGATACGCTCAGGGCTCAAGTTGTCGCACAGCTCACGGATGACGAGATTGCCTCGCGTCTCAAGGAGTCGCCTGTCTGTGGAGAAGAGCTGAAGAAGATTGACCATGAGGTTTGTGAAGTAATCGTCTTCACTGTTTCTGGCGATCTGTGTCAAGAGTTTCAGGTCCTTCTTGACAACCTCCTCGGCCGGATCTGAAAGTGTCTTGAGCAATGCCGGGAACGTGCCATCATTGAAAGCGATGATCTTTCGAGGTGCTTTTCGGTGAAGCATGATCAGCCATGTTAAAGCGGCAACGCGAGTAGCTTCATGGTCGTTGAGGAAGAGCAATGTCAGCGAGTTCACGGCCGCTGCGTAGTCCAGGTCGGGCTGCGGGCTTTCTGCGATAGCCGTCGTCGAGTTGTGGCGAGCATGTGCTGGTGTGGGGCTACGCAGCTCGACATCGCGTGAGCTTGATAGCGATACACGACCACTGGGAGGGCCGTCTGCACGCTCGATATTGAGAGAAGATTGGACGCGAGAGGGAGCCTGGTTCGGAAAAACGTCCGTTTCGTCCGCGAGCTGCACGATGTAGTCCAGAAGCGACGTGTTGACTCTCGAAGCAGCCTGGCGGATGGGTTCGACGCCGCTGGCCATGGCAGGAAGAAGGTGAGCCAAGATCTTTGGGGTGAACGGTAAGACCTCCTCCGGACTGATGTCGAGAAACGTCACAATCCACCGCAAGCTCTCCAGCAAGCTGTCCTCCTCTGTGTTTTGTTAACCAGCGTCCCTTTGATTCTTGCTCGAAGGGACAACTTACCCAGTGGCGCATCGAGGTTGGCAGTCAATATCTCGAGAATCGCCTTGAAGTTGATTTGGACATCCTGTCCGGGAATCCAGTCGTCTTCGCTACTGACTTCGTCGTCATCGTCGTGAGCTGTCGCTGAGCCCCCATCCTCGTCGTCTTCATCACGGTCGTAGTGCACGCTATCGCTATCGACTGACTCCTCGCGTTTGCGCTTCCCATCGCCTTTGGACCGCTTGCTCTCAGTGATGCCCTTTTTTACGCGGGCGATCCGCTTGATCTCGTTCAGAAACTTGTCCAGACATGTTTGTGTGACCGCATGAACGTCGGGGTTGTTTCCACTCAAGAACTTGAGCAGTCCACCCAAGAAGTCTGGGAGATATGCTACAAGCTCAAGATCAGGTATGCTATCGAGTAGTGTGATCCAGCCGACGAGGAAGATCCTCGTGAACGGGTTGTTGACCCAAACCCTCTCCTTCAACAAGGGAATGAATCGTGGCAGAGAGAACGCCGTCGGTAGTTCTCCCTGGTCCGGATCATCTGGGTCCTTGGTCTCCAAAATGCTGACATAGGTGGCAGCTGATTCAGCTACAATATCCTTGATCAGCCGGTCCAAGAGTTCCGCGCCGTTCTTGACCGAGAGCTCCGAATCTGCGCCTAGTTTGCACAAAGCATCGAATATGTGATTGAAGTAGCGAAGTATCTCCCCCTTGGCCACCTTTGCGATGTTGTACATAGCCTCGCATGCGTAGTAGCGGACCCGAGCGTCCTGGTCACCAAAACATGCCAATACCGGCGGTACAATTGTCTCCAAGTACCTTGGAAGCTCCTAGAGAGAGGAATCAGCACGGGCCGGCAGAAAAAGAAGGACCGAGTCATATGCATACGGAGCCAAGGGCAATAGCCGCGGCAGCGAGTCCAATCAAGCCTCCATTACGGGCGTGAGGCTGATGCACGGCGTAGGCATACTCGTTGCGGAGTTGCTCGAGGATGAGTTGTATGCGTGCATGATCTTTGACTGCGACAAGCTCGCGTATCTGGCGTTCCAGGCTGGGAAGCGGATCAGCTCAGGCTCAACAGGTACAACAGCTCCACGGACGGATCTTACTCAAGCGCACCAGTCTTCCGCTTGTCATAGAGCTTGTCGTTCAGGTAGCGCGCGACGTTGGGCTCCATGGCTTGCGTCGTCGCGAAGCTCGTCGGATCGGATGTCTTATGGTAACCACTCAGGCGAGCATGGCGACTTCAGAGGAGGCGGCCTAGCAGGCAGGACGTACGGAGCCAAGCTTGGAAATAAAGAGAAGAATGCTACAAACAAGGCGGAAAAATCCGATGTTGAAGCAGCCACAGCAAAGGAGACCTCGGTCCGCTTCTTCTCAGCCTGCTGCAGCTTACCAACGAAAATCAGAGCCTCAAGCGTCGTGGACAACCTGGAAACCAATGGGTGAGTGTAACGGCCAGTGAGTGAGTGGATTGATGCCTTGCAAGCTGCCCCTCATGTGTACCTCCAAAGTCCATGGTCTGCCAAGTGACTACCCGGTACCTTGGCTGGGCCAATGCAGCCTGGTTACACAACGAATGGCGGATTTGCTGCAAACGCCCACAGTGAACAGACGGTGCTATTGAAGTTATCTCGAAAAGACCTGACTCTTGGGCAATCCTGAATTCCAAGACTACGCTCATGCCTAAACCGTCAGGAACACCCTGTTTACCATGATGCAGATGTACGCTCGTTGTCGGGGCGCTAAATCTTGCATTCTTCAGTCATCACGCATATAAGTGCATACAAAAAGCAAGTTCACAAACTGATGTTCACATGTCAGATTCCGCTGCGACACCAATCAACGAGACTGGGTGCCCGCACAAACGAGCTTCGGGTCTCGAAAGTGCCTGTCACCGGAACCCACTCCAGTCTGGGAGAAAAGTTTGCATTGTAAAGCGTAGCATGTCTAAGTGCCAAAACTGCTATTCCTCTTCCTATTTGTACTTGAAGTACGCATTATCAACGCCGTAAATGCACCACTGGGAAGAATTATCCGCGCCTTAGTGAGCATGTAGCGGGTTGTCGCTCTCAGACAGAAACTTTTGGCACTTTGCAAGAATCGCTGCCTGTTGAGAAACCTCACCCAGGGTGTCCAGCACAATGGTGTTGCTCTGCGCGAAGCCATACAGAGCATATGGAATGCCGACTTCATTGCAGAACTCCTGCACGAGCTTGCGTGTCCGGCGCAGGTTATGGCGCGGGATGCGGGGATACAGGTGATGTATAGCCTGGAACTGAAGCCCCCCATGGAAGAAGTCCAGCCAGGTCGGGCAATCGATATCCATGGTGGTACGCAACATCTTCTGAGCAAACGACTCGTGCTCGCCCAAATCTGCCGTACTCATGGCAAAGTGTGACAGGGTGATCTGCAAGTGCAGGGGCATCGTCACCATGTGACTAACCATGACAAACACGAATCGATCCCAGTTTGTTGGGATGGTCCTGTACACGACGAGGTAGCCAAACCAGGTAAAGAAGAAGAGCTGGCCAACCATTTCCAAATAGGTGTGCCACCACGCCGGGCCTCTGCGCGGTGCGTCCTTGGACAACAGAAACTGCCAAGACAGGCGATAGAGGTTGAAACGCCCGAACAAGAGCAGGAAGTGATACGAGTACCGCTGGAAGCCAAGAAGGAACTTTGCCGCCGCATCGTACTTCATGACGTGTCCATAGTAGGTCGATCTCAGATTACCCAGGAACCGATGGGAGACGGCGAAGAAGGGCATGTGCTGGATATCAGGGTCGTGCTCGGGGTGGTTCGTCGTAATGTGGTGAACGTTGTGATTGTGCTTCCACCAGCCAATGGAGAGGCCGCCGCAGAAGTCGCCGATGATGATGCCAATGACGGTGTCGACGTGGAAATTGTGCGTAATGCCCATGTGGCCGGCGTCGTGGGCGGTGAAGACGAGCTGGTGCCACCAGGCGCCCAAGAAGGCACCACTCGTAGCGTACCATCCACGCTGCAAGAAGAAGACCATGCCACTGAACAGCAGCATGTAGCGGAAACCCTCGAGGGCGTAGTTCCAGTAGTTGCACTGAAACAAGCCCTCGTCCCTGATGCGCTGGTTTAGGTCGCGGTATTTGACAACAATGTTGTTCTGCGTGGCCGTATCGAGAGCAGGATATCGTGACAGGTCCAAATCGACCTTTTCTTTGGTGATTGTGTCGAGGAAGGACATACCATCGTCTTCTTCGACCGACGAGGCAGACGTGACGGACGCAGAACTAGACGATACATTCTTTGCGCTGTGTCGTTGACGAATCTGTTGTGGTTCATCAAAGACTGGGGAAGGCTCGCGGGAGGCGTTCAGGCTGGGAGATTCAGAAGCGGGAAGCGAGCTTGTGTTCTCAGGGGCGTCTTGGTTGTCTTGGCCCAGTGGACGAAACTTGCCGCCCTGGATTGGAGGCACGAAATTGGTCCACGCGCCCTCAATACGGCCAATTCGGTATTTGTTCATTCGCTCGCGGGCCTCGGGAGAATGCAGACTACAGCATGAGAGCCAGACTCGTTAGCGAGGGCGGTTTATCGAGCAGTGGGCTGGGAGACCTACACCGTGACTTCGTCGGTCGCATCGCGGCCAATCATGTGGCGGATGGCAGTGTCGCCACCTGGGTGGTAGGGCATCCAGGCATCGGCCTTGATGACCTGCTGGTTGACGATGAAAACAGCCCGGCCGTCTGCGATCATGCCCTCAATCTGTCGCCGGGACAAGAGAGGGTACTCCCTGGGTGGTGCCATGGCTGGTGTGCGGCGCGGTTGCGCAAGTGGCGGGGCTATTTCACCAGCTGCAATGGCGAAGTCTGCGATTGGGAAGTCGTGGACAACGTTGCAGGAGGGATTGTGGTTAGGAGAAAGACAGACGCAGTGTCTATTCGGTGTGGCGAGGAGGGATGGGCAGAGGATGGATCGTCTTTTGTGCCATTCGTGGCGGCGGCGGATGAAGAGCAGCAGATTGGGGGTTGGCTCTAGGGAGGGCCGGTGGCCGCCTCGTAAGGGGAACAGGAGGGTCCACCCACCCACGATCGGCCCATCTGGCCTTGCCAATTGGGCATCTCGAACGACGGGGAGGTGCCCCCGCGCCGGCCTCCTGGCGCATCGGCTCACAGACAGTGGCCGCCCACCTCTTTGGGTTTAAGCTCGGGAGTCCCTGGCACCAGCTTGTTGCCCTTGCCCTTTGCAGACGTGCTTGCGCTAGCTTCAAGGAGCGTTAGGGACCACCCCCCTGCCATTGTCATCCAACGAATCTGGATGTCATGGAAGGCCAAGCGAGCGGGCGACGGGGTGCTCACAAGACACCGACACCCCGTCGTCGTAGTTCGGCCACTGCCAGAGATGCGGTGAGGAGATTGTGGCATAGTCGTCCCTGCATGCCGCTCGTCGCCGATGAAAACATGGCTATCTTTGCGTCCCAGGTGGTTTGTTGCTTGTGCAATTCCTGCATCATTCCAGACTCTCCGAGAAGGTGACTTCAGCATAATCTCGGCACAATGACACGAGCTCCTTCTCGCCCTCTGCGTCGGTGGTTTGCTTTCAGGGGCGCGTTTGGATAAGGGGACGATGAGTTGGTGTTCCCAGAACACGCATTTGGTCTCGCAGAACAATCGTTGCAGTTTCATCTGAAGGTCGCAGCCATCAATGTGGTGTTACAGGGTGCCGGGCGGCCTGCCCAGACATCCAAACCGCCCCGGATTGATGGGTTGGCGATTGCAGCATCGGCTTCTCTTGTACGCCCAGTGGTGCAGACAAGCTCCAACACCAGCGCTGATGTGTAATGGGATATAAGTCATGATCGCCACAGCAGCTCGGACAGCACCAAAGCTGAGAGGAGCGTCACCGATTACCATGACAGAATACGCTGGTCTATCGTCTTCCACAAGGAACAGTACTACAAAGGCAAAATCTGGTCTAGCACTGCTCAGACCATGAACTGCATCACCAATCACGGCCGGAGGTGCAGCATCAACACCGCCGGCCACAATTATCATCCACCTGGTCCTAACAGCCATGATTATACCTGCACCTGCTGTGGTTGCGCAGTGCCGAATCGACCAGTCTGTCATGGTCCACATCGATCATGTGGCGACATGGCATCATGCGGCTGTGGAGGCACGCGAGACATGTATCGCTGTGGCGGAAGACATGACGGGAACCCTTGTACGAGTAAGTGAATCATGAAGATCTCTCTCTCGAGAAAGCCAGTAACGGTGAACGCTGCAGGCCAATGGAACAACGGTGGCGCCACCTGTATCGTGGCAGTGAATGCCTCTCCTCCCCCGCGCGGCGAGAACGTGTAAGTGGCACTGCCAGCCAAGAATTGAACCACGAAAACAGAAAGACCAGGAGGATTTTTCCAGTCGGCAGCTTTGATCCCTACACGGCAGGGCTGTTTGATGCACGTGAAGAGCAAGACTAGACAGCTAAGTCGATTGATGAGGAGCTAGGCAGGACCACATCACCGAACGACATCAACAAGTCCACCACAGCTACCACCACCACGGCAACAACGCCATCGATGTAGATGCAGCACGATACTACAACTCAGCATACCACGCACAACACCTCTGCCACAACTGCGGATGTCGTTACAACGTGTCGGCCAGCGGCATCGTCCCGCTCCTGCCACCATTCCTTCCACCAGCACCGTTAGAACCGCGATATTTCCATTCATACGCCACCAGTCTTCCTCCTCGGCTCTCGTCCCGGCACCGCACCACCACGACTACCACCACCACCACTACCGACACAGAACCTGTCCCAGTATTGCCGACGACAATGACGTTCCCCGCCCCGCCGAACATGCAGCACACCTGCTGCCCAGCATGCGGTGTGCCGAACTACCATCCCGGCGAGACCGGAGGTGGCTGCGTCAGAGGAGGGGGAGGGGGAGGAGGCAGGGCCTGCGGTTTTGGGGGATATCGTCACATCGCCGTGCCGCGAAACACGGCAAGAATCGTGGAGATTGAGCATACGTCGCCGGACGCCTGACTGCTCGGCGTATATAGTCCAGCGTCTCCTTACTCTTTTGGTTGGTGGCGATTGGGAAGTTCAGGGGATGGTTCCATATCCATGGACACTTGAGCGGATCTCGTGACGCGGCTTGTCATTCTAATCGTGTAGCTAGACCCATCAAGATGGATATAGATCTAGATGTAAGCCACCGGGCTAAAATAGTGCCTTGCATATCCACAAATGCAGTACAGAAAGAAAAAGGTCGTATATGTTCATGATACACTATAAGCTGAAAATAATGCTGTCGTATGAAATGTCCTGTTGACCAAGCTGAAAGACAGCCGCATTTATGCTGCCGGCTCTCAACGCCGGCTCCGCCGGCTCCTGCCGATGCAGCTGATACTGTCGTCCGGCGCCACACGCTTCCCGTCATCCTCCCAGACCTCCCATTCGGACCGTGCGTCATCCATATAACTGCCGGGCAAAGGAGCCTCTCGGAGCGTAGCATGGCTAGGCGCTCGACTCCTGACGGGCACCTTGATCGCAGTAGCTGCTGAAACCCGACTCCGATCGTCCCGAGACGTGCCGCCATCGACCCTGGAAGAGGGAGGCGCCTTCCTTGAGCGAGAAAACTCAGCAGCAAGGAGGTTGCCGACATTCATATCGGCAGTCACTCCGTGCTCGCCGGTATACATTGTTCGCGGCTGTGCTGGGCGGACTGTGCTCGCCGACGACCGATCGCCCCGTGCGGAGACAAATGTTTCTACCTCTGCCGGTCTGGGAGCACGCGCAGTGGTGTAACTGCGGTGGTCATCGTCGTCGCGTTCGTGTCTCCGAGAGACACTGCTTCGCCGAGATGATGCTGCAGTGTGGCGTGACGGTGCTGCGCTGACCTTTGTGCCTGCATGGCTCGGTGCACGGCTATGATAATCGACAGGCTTGAACAATCCATCCACCGACGGAGCCGCACTGCGGCGAGATGGAGCTACGCTGAGGTAGGCAGGGTCCGCGCCGATTTCGGTTCCTGAGCCGGCGTCACTCCTGTAAGCGTGGTCCATGAGGAGCTTAGGACCACTAGCAGTGTGTTTGGACCCTGCAACACTCCTGTGTTCGGCATCCGCTAGGAGTAGTGGCTTTCTGGAAGTCGAGACCTCGCTACGTCTACGTGCTTTGGAACCGGTGGTATAGTGGCTACGGCGATCAGAGTCGTCCAGGTCCTCCATTGCACGACTACGAGCGCCGCTGGGCGCATACTTGGATCCGCTGATGGGAGGGTATTTCCGCGGGTCATTTGCGTAGTCGTCTGGGTACCTGATTCTGTCAGTGCGCTCGACTTCAATATATCGCTGCGCCTGCGAAGGATGAGGATACGTCGACCGGCGCTGGAGATGGGGAGCATCGTATTCTTGCTGAGGCGCTCGGCTCTGCTCGTTCTTCATAGACCAATAAGTCAATGCACCGCCCACGGCAGCACCAACTGCAGCAGCACCGAGAACAGTCCCGATGAGGGTGCCTGTGCCGAACCCCTCTGATTGTTTTGGTGGCGGTGCCGGCTGTGCATAGTGGGTGGTAGAAGTTGTCGTGGTTTTGCGGTGAATCACCTGACCTTCCCCTTCCATGGGTCTCGACGAGCGACGAGACACGACAGTGCGGTTGTCGCCTTCTGGCGCGATAGACCCAGCCATCGACCTGGCGGGTTGAGAGGTGGCAACGTCAAGATTCCAGTTGAGAATGCGGCTGACTTCTGCATTCGTGGACTGTGTTCTGCGGACGGTCGTACCTTCGTAGGTGGAAGGATACTCGGGTGGGTTGACATAGACGACTTCCATGGTATTTCCGTCCAAGTCACTGATTTTGGCAATAGAGCTGTCTGGCGACAGGTATGAAATACCCACAGTGTGAAGATCAACGACCGGTGTGCTCAGGAGGTCCGGGTTCGCCCGCAAAGCAGCTGCGTGGAAACTCTTGACGACTGCCGGGGAGGCAGCTGAGAACACTATGCGAGTGGGACGAAAGGGCGTGCCGCTGGATCCCTGCAACTTGACTTCAAACACTGGGATAGGACTTGATGCTGTCGTATCGCCGAAGGTGATCGAGGATGAGCTGGCCGAGATATAGCGCAGCCCGAGTGGATGTGTCACAGCCGAGTAAAAGGAGGCCGACGGAGGCAAGCTACTGACCACCACAAAGGGGAGCGTGTCCTGCATTGGGCTCTGCTAAAAGGCAAAAAAAGAACCTCGAAACCGAGAGGCTGGCTCTTGGGGTCCAAGCCAGAAGAAGTAGCCGCCAGAATCGCAAGCCTGGCCCGTCAGGGGGGATTGTGATGGTAGTAGGCAGGGCAAGGCGGCCGCAGTGAGCCAGCCAACAGCGTGGGGTCAGCAGTTTGGGGGTTGATAGGTCGAATGACGTCCAGTTCGGGAGACGGGCTGACCGAGACCCTGGAGGCGGCGACAACGGCGTTTGAGATGATGGTGTGTAGCGTGAGGGATCCTAGGAGCGGCCGCCGTCGTATAGAGTCACCCCAGCGACAACGAGGCGAGACTCGAGCGGTTAAGCAGGTGAGAACCGAAGCCGAAGCTCTGGGAGTTGCCGAACTTAATGTGGCGAGATAGGCGGGGCTTTCTCACGGCGAATTACTCCCCGGGACTTGTCGGTCGATTGATTCAACAGTCCAGCTGCCCAGTGTATATTAATTATGCTGCAGCAACTTTGGCCATGGCAGGGGGGAAACGGGGATCTGCCGTTGCAGGCGGAGTGAATCGGGAGGTTGTGCTTAAGAGCGGATCGACGAAGCGGAGACGCCGCGGTTGGTCCCGCGATGCTGCCGGTGTCAGGAGACACCGCGGGACTGTGAGCAGCACACGTGAGCAGACAGTGCGCCCTCATCTGTCAGGCCTCCTCAGCTTGTGAGCTGCCATGCCAGCTTCCGCATCGCCTCACGGGAGCTCGCCCCGGAAGGTTTTTGGGTCTGAATGCAGCTCCGCCAGCCGGGGTCTCGTGTCGAGACGACACCGACAGATGGCAGCCAGGGGGAAACTGTCAACGGCAGAACACGTTGATGCCGACGTTGGCGGTGTCGACGTCTCGTGCTCACAGTTGGGCTCCCTGGCTACTCGTGCTGGTGGTGTTGGGCTCCGGAGGCTGACTCCGTGTAACGGGTACTATTTCAAGGTCGAGTTGACGGGACTTGTGCCACGTCTTGCCGATTCATGCCCTACTGCAGGCTACTGCACGGCAGTGGGCTGGAGGTGCAGTTCGCGGCGGCGGTGACTGGTGTGACAGCGGCAGCCATGCAGAATGCTTCTTGGAAGGTGGTGGCTGGCAAGGGCTGGAAGAGGCTGGTCGATGCCCAAGCCCCATCATTGGTCGAGCCAGGGCTTTCCGGGGCTTCTCAGGGCGGTCACATCCAGCCACTCAGATCGCAGCTGCAGGGATCGTGGCCACGACAGTAACAGCTCCTTACAAGGATGCCAGCACAAGGGTCCAGTCTGCCCGTTGTGTTCTTCCCCGTTCTTCGTGCTTCGTGACGCTGGGGCCACAGTACCGAGTACATCACCGCATCCGCGTCTGTCAGTCCGGTCCTGGCATGTCCATTGTCAGATCACCTGAGATGCGGCCATGCAGGGCCACTGCCGGCAAGCACGGAGACCTTCAATGGCTTTTATTCTGCCGACAATGCCCTTCATCGTCCCTGGGCTGTGTCATCGGAGGCGTAAACGCATTTGGCGTAGACAGCATGCAGGCCGAAGAGAAGGTTTCCATGTGGTCCGCCTTTAGTGGACAATGACTGGTTCGCCTGCGCGAGAGATGAGATATATTGGCTACGGAACCTGCAAAGCAGCCTCATCCTGTCCGCCCGGTTTCTGCGATCCTCCCGCCTGAAGCTTTGGACCTCATTGTCATTGGAGTACATGTCACCATCAAGGCAGCATTTGCAGCATCCATGGGGACTGTCTATTGATTTGTTAGGCGTTGCATACGTGGTATGCGTTCGCTGCCCGACTGCACAATGTCATTCAATGGTCTCGAGGAGGCGCGTCTGCAACGCTCTCAGCTTACCTCTGTGCCTGGCGTCTTATTGTCACACAGCAGGTCACACTACAACCTCGCACTCCTGAAAGAAGTTGTCGCACAGGTCTGCAGAGCAGGGGATTGAGGACTTGCAGAGTCGAGCTGACATATCACGTGCAACTTCTCGATCCTGGGCATAGCACTTGAACAGCTCGACGCAGACTCGGAGCGACCAGGTTGAACTGGATCAAGGTGATGGCGTTGCATCTTCTGTTGGCTGTCTGAGGTTCTGATTGTGGAAATCAAAGACGAAGCGTGCCCAGAAAATCATGCACAATGTGCCGGCTCGCATGCCGGGCCATCATGTTGGATGATGACCCGCATTAGGAAGTTCTGGTCCTTACCCCTCGCGTTTCCAGCAATGCTTCGCTCCGAATGAGCGACGACCAACCACAGGCAATAGCAAAGATGCTGTCCAAGCATGGTCATGGTACATCAAGGCAACCGTTGTGCCTCCTTGTCGCTCGTGTCGTCATTTGCATGCTCAGATGAAGCGCTCCAATGTCGCCTACGACTCGAGGTGATGGTGCCTTAGAGGACATCCCAAGCGTCTTCCGCGGCATGGCAGAACTTGCTGCACGCAACACTGGCTGACAGGCTGTAGTTGCTGATGGAGATTTTCTCATCGACGAACTGGTCCGCAAAAGTATCGGCACCTTTAGCCATGGCGCCCACAAAGACACAGATGCTTTCGTTAGGCTTCAGATTCTCAATGTAGTCCCTGCAGCGAACGACCTCGGCATCGAAACTGAGAGTGACCTTCCGGCAGTTTGGTGGGAGATGGTCTGAGATGGGGTTCTGAATCACGCGCAGCAGCTTCTCTTGCGAGTTGGTCGATCGGATAGACAGCCTGTGGAGCAGTTGCACCATGAGACCAGCAAAGCGCTTGAAAGTGCGCGGGATGCGAACAGTGGGCGACACCTCGATCAATACACCCTTGGCCGTGTGAATGTAGATCTGGAGCCTGCCGGCCTTATTGATGGGAGAGTCTAGAAGAGTAAGAAGACACTACGTGAGTGGCCAGTGAGTCAGCATGTTGAATGCTGCATTTCGTTATGGCGCAAGCAGGATTGAAGTGCTGCTGTGCGACGAGACGACCATGATTGCGTGTTGAACGACGAGCAATGCAAACAATATGTCGCATTGGAGGACGAAAACAATAAACAGGCGCGTAGAAGCTAAAGCAGGAGCTAGGGAATTTTGGCGTACCTGATGTGTGATATCTGGACGGGCGTCACTGATGTCTCTGTTCATTTTGCGCATAACGCCAATATGCTCGTCGCTGTTGAGCAGGGAGTATTTTTCTTCCCGGTGCATTCCCATGCGGCCGGCGCCGCCGCCGTGAGAAGCCTTGTACGTTTCCAGACTGGCATTTGACAGTACAACGATGAGCCTCTGTGTGTCCTTGTCGTTCGTGGCAATCGGCACGTGCTGCTCGGCGACCAACTGAGGCAGAGCGGGAGGAGGAAGGGATTGAGTCCCTAGGTACGGAGCCATCTTATGTCAGCGGTGTTGCAAGTATTTGGTGCTGGGAGACGGTCGTTGGACGAAGTGGCAGAGATGACCAAGTCAGTTAAACCAGCAAACAGCACAAGGTTGCTGCAGGTAGCCGTTGCTGTTGGCTCGGGCGGGCAAATGATGCGCTTCGCAGCGCATCACAGGCGCGCCTCGCTCTGCCACACTCTTGTGTGCCAAAAAGGTGCCAATAATGTCTGCTGCTTGCCCATTGAGGACGTCACATGCATGAGGGCCACCTACTGGGTCTCTTTCCGGTTGTGCGCTGAGGTGGGGAAGACATTTTGGATAGTTTTCTCGGACTCTGCTAATTGACCGATGCGGTTTGCTATCTGTCAGGCTTGCGGTATGCTTCTAGACTTTTTCAGCTGGGAAAATGACCGAGACGAGACCGCGATCTGAACAGACCAGATTGGACGGGCTGGAGCTGGATTGGCGAGGAATGACGATGCTCGACACGTAAGACGCGAACAATGGGGCAGGTAAAGAGGGTTCGAGACGGCGAGGCGATATTTGAAGAAGCGCGGATGGGTCTGGGACGTTTAGAAAGCGAAGTCGGCTGCAAGAGAAGCGAGAAGGTGAGGGCTGGCGATTGTAGACGGCGAATGTGTCGAGCGAGACAGGATGGCTGGAGAGCAGACGGCTCCCGTCAAAAAATTGAGCCCGCCCCGCACCGATTGGGATAAGCGGCAGAGGGTCCAACCGGGGCGGTCGAGTGGGGCGGTGTACCGGCCGGCCTTGTCGAGGTTCCTGGGATAATGCCCTGCGCTCCGTCCTTCCGTCCTGGTCCGCAAGCACAGGAAAGCATGTATCTTTCGCTCCTGAGTCTGTAAGGAACGCATGACCGGTGCCCTGAGGGGCGAATTCGGCCTTTGTGACCGCTTCTCCCGTGCGTGGTTCCAAGACATCCATCCACACGTGGGCTGAGACGAGTCCGGACCTTGGGCCGCGCACGGTGCTCAGCATCGGGATGATGCCGGCGTCCATGACTCCCTTCCCCCGCAGGCTGCCGGGATGGCAGGAACCCACTCTTTTGGCCGTGCGTGAATCCTCGTCTGATGTCCATTGGGGAAGAGGGGACGTGTTGCTTGCTGTCCTCCTGACCTGCCATCGTGCTCGTTATCTCATGGTCACCGCCTGACGCCTGGCTCGTGGTTTGGTCTCGAAATTCGACATGGGTGTCTGCATATGGCTTGGCTCCCCGACCCCTGAGAAACAACCCCCCCCCCGGGATATCTCTGAGGCCCGTTGACGTAGATTATCGGCTGCTCGCATCCCTGCAAAAGTCACCGAAGTGCTCCGCACGCTGTTAGATGGACTGTAGCACAACACGGCCAAGACTAACCCCCTCGACCATGTACCAAGATGCGGCGAGAGGCAAAGTATTAGGCCCAAGCAGAGACACCGCAGTGCCCTTCTTCGAACCAAGTTTCCGACTTCAGGAGAGCGTCAAGACTTGCTCAAAACGAGCTTTTTGTTTCACTTGATCAATATTGAAGCAGTCTGCTATTGGCGGGTCTAGTTTGATTCAAATTGTTTGTTCTACTATGTAACAGAGGCTCTACTTGGACACGACTGTACAGTCAACACTCCGTCCATGATCGCGTACACGTGGCGGTGTTACTGCCTGCTATCGAATTCCACAATCCCAGATAGGACGCCTTCGGGGCTTGGCTTCGCTGCGCAGACGTCCGGCACATAGCCGAACTCAGTTTGCAGGAAGTCTCTTGTCGTTGGTCCAATTGTCGCGATGTATGTTTGGGGTCCGTTGTCTGGCTGGACGTGCTTCCGCTCCGCCAGCACTCGATTGTTGTCATCCAGCAGACCAAGTCCTCGTAACATGCTGTCGCATCCAGTCGGAGAAAAGACAACCACCCACCTTTCCGTGCCGCCTGTCTTGCTTAGGATGGTTGCAAAGTCGGCCGGAAACGTTTCCATGACCCCAGTACCATATACGATGGTCTCAGTAACCTCTATCCTCTTGTCTGCAGCCAGGGATGGATTCATGAGGGTCTTCGGTATGATGTCGCGCCGCTGCTCGCCAACGAGGAAAAGCAAAGGTGGCAGGGTTGCACGACCGCTGTACCAGCTGGTGTAGTGCTCCTGTATGAACAAGGCCAGAGCCTCACCATTGCCGGTATGCTCACCAAAGATCTGCAGAGACGGGTGTTGAGAGACAGCCTTGAGTGCTCTAGTGGTAGAAGGCCCGACACTGTATACGGGCACATTCGATAGATGTGGCCAGTCGTCCTCGTCCTTGGCTTTAGGGTCAGTGGGATTATGTTAGTCTTGGTTGCATTGAACTGATGACCCTGATGAAAGGTTGGAACCCCCACCTTTGCCGTCTTCGACGAGTTTTGCAAACGCTTCTACAGCCCGTTGAGATGTGAAGATGAGCCCTCCATATTTACATTCTTTGCCCGTGCCTATCTGACGGGACTGCAACAATCCGCCGACTTGAAGCATGCCATCGTCCAAGAATTGGTGCTGTAGAACTGGGACAAAATGTGGCTCAAATCCTGGATGGCCGTCTGGTTGTTTTCCGGAGAAGATGTCCTGATACGAATCCCCTGGGGCCGACTTGGTTTTAAGCAAGAGCACGGGGATTTTGGGCTGACAGGCTGTCATCCTGGACGCTGGACCTGAGAATGATCTGAATTGGGCAGCCGGACCGTCCTATCACAGACACAATGCTCGAATCAGCCCCTGCTCATACTCGAATTCCCAAGCTCTCAGACGACCGCACGATCAAGCCAGTGCCTTGCAGGTTGACCCATGTGGAGCCATGCCATTTGCAGATGAGAGCTTGACGTGGGGTGGCGGTGCGGTCATGCTCACCCCTGCAATCGATAAACGTCATGCCGAATCGGCATGCGGGCGCGGGTGTCTCTCCAGGTCCAGGTCGCTCTGCTTAGCAATCAGCAGTTCAGACCAACCTGATCAACCTCAAAGCTCTACTTTGTTTCAACACGACTTGCCAAACCATGGCAGCAGACTCTAGGGAAACGACTTCAGGGGTGAACGGTGCGGAAGCCCAGAAGCTGCCACCAGGCATGGTTCTGGGCAAGGACGGCAAGCCGTGAGTCTGAGAAGCCACATCTACGCGAAAACAACCGCGCGCAAGACTGATGCAGGTTCTTTTCACCACGATAGTTGTCGATCCTGCACATCCGGTGCCGCTTTCAAGTCCTGGTCCGCCAGCATGAAGTCCTCGGCCGGCGGCGTATCCGCTGCTGGCTTTGGCGCTGCTGCCACTGCGAAGAGCCCGCCGGCGACTCCAAATGACTGCCCTGCCGATGTCGAAACCCTGGGTCGGAGTACCTGGACGCTCTTGCACTCGATCGCCGCGACGTACCCGAAAGACCCATCTCCTACGCAGCAGTCCGATCTGAGGACGTTTCTTGGCGCCTTCTCGAGGCTGTATCCCTGCTGGGTCTGCGCCGACGATTTCCAGACATACATGGCCAAGGAGCAGCTTGCCGTCGGCAGCAGAGATGAGTTTGGCAAGTGGCTGTGCGAGGCGCATAACGCGGTCAACACGAAGCTGGGCAAGGACACCTTTGACTGCAACAAGTGGGAAGAAAGATGGCGGACTGGTTGGAAGGACGGCAGATGTGACTGATCCACAGCGACCGCGGTTTGCAGCAGCGGTGGTCGTTGTGTCAAGGCGACATTGTAAGAACAAAGTGTACACTATATGCATCCGGCACGACATGGATGCGCTGCCCGTGGGATACATTTAGCGATATCTCTGGGCAGCGGGGCATAGCGCATCACCTCTCCCAACACTACTCGAGTACGTAGACAGCATTTGCAGCATCAGACATGTACATTTCGAAATGCAACTACGGGTGATTGCGCGAGCGGCCGTGCACATCCGAAAGATTTTGGACAGCCTGGCCAAGTTGACGTAACGGTGGACTGGTGCAATCGCCTGCCACACCTGCATGGCTGGAGTTCGCGATCACGAGACCGTGGGCCGATCAGGCACAGCAGGGCGATGGGCACAACGCTCCGAGGTGTGATCCATACAGCTAGCTGACAGTGAGTGCAAGCCTGGGATGGATCCGGGCGGTGGGTGGGGCCACCGGAGCCAGCGGAGGTGCCTCGAAAGCTTGATCCCGGCCTGCCGCATCAGTCTGCGTCACTTACATCATCATCATTCGATCGTTATAGCGGGACGGGCACATCAGCCCACTTGACAACCTGTCAAGCTCAGATAATGCAGCCCAGTGTGTGTACCGCCGGCCGGAAAGCAGACAATGCTTGCCGTTCCTTGTTATCCTTAGACCCTCGCGTTTGCACCCTCAGCTCGGCGGGCTTTTCGTCCTACACCCACAACCGCCACAGCCCAGCAGCATAAGTACTTCTGAGCACGTGCAACTCAGCACGCAAGGAGACTCCCTTCATACCCAAGACACCTGAATCCGTTTTCTCATACCACCAAAGCAGAAAAGGCTGGCCACTGCCATGGATATCCGGGTCGGAAACCTCAAGAAGCCAATCGATGTTTCGGAGTATCTCTTCAGGCGATTGCACCAGGTCGGCGTCAGGTCTGTCCATGGGTTGCCAGGAGACTACAACCTTGTGGCGCTAGACTACGTTCCCAAGGCGGGTCTCAAATGGGTTGGCAATTGCAATGAGCTCAATGCAGGTACTTGATTCGACTCCTTGCCCGGGCCAACATGACTTGGATGCTGACCATTTCTCTCATCAAGCTTACGCTGCCGACGGCTATGCCCGTGTCAATGGCATCGCCGCCATCGTCACAACTTTTGGCGTGGGTGAGCTCTCCGCAATCAATGGCTTGGCGGGCGCGTTCTCGGAGATGGTTCCTGTCGTCCACATCGTCGGCACTCCATCAACCGCTTCTCAGCGGGACGGCATGTTGCTTCACCATACATTGGGCAATGGCGACTTCAACGTCTTTGCCAACATGAGCGCCCCAATCTCATGTGTGGTCGCCAAGCTGGCCGACCCGGCCGAGATTCCTGGCCAGATCGACCATGCTCTGCAACAGTGCTGGCGCCAGAGCAGGCCGGTGTACATCACCCTGCCTACAGACATGGCCACTCAAAAAGTTGAGGGCCAGCTTCTCGACACGCCCATCGACCTCTCCGATCCTGAAAATAAAGACAAGGAGGGCGAGGACTATGTTGTGGATGTCGTCCTCAAGTACCTTCATGCCGCCACCTCCCCCGTGGTCCTCGTTGATGCCTGTGCGGTGCGACATCGCGTTCTCGAAGAAGTCCACAGCCTCCTCAAGAAGACCAAGCTGCCCACTTTCGTTACACCAATGGGCAAGAGCGCCGTGAACGAGGACCACGAGTTCTTCGGCGGTGTGTACTCGGGCGATGCAAGTGCGCCGTCAGTCAGGAAGATGGTGGAGGAGAGCGATCTTGTGCTCAGCATTGGCTCGCTCCAGAGCGACTTTAACACGGCGGGCTTCTCCTTCCGCTTGTCCCAGCTCAAGACGATCGAACTGCACAGCGACCACTGCAAGGTTCGGTACTCGGAGTATCCCGGAGTGCGCATGAAGGGTGTCCTCCGCAAGCTCATCGACAAGGTAGACGTAGGTAGGCTCAAGGTCAACAAGGTCCCGCCGCCCTCTTCGTCATCCTCGCAGGCCAGCAAGGACGCTTCCGCCAAAGACGACATCATCCGGCAAGACTTTTTCTGGCCCCGCATCGGCCAGTTCCTGCAGAAGGACGACATTGTGGTGACAGAGACGGGCACGGCCAACTTTGGCATCTGGGACACGCGATTCCCCGCGGGTGTGACGGCCTTGAACCAGACGCTCTGGGGCAGCATCGGCTGGGCCGTGGGCGCATGTCAGGGTGCCGCCCTTGGTACCAAGGATGCCGGCACACACCGGCGCACCGTCCTCTTTGAAGGTGATGGCAGCCTGCAGCTCACTGCTCAGGAGATCAGCACCATGATCCGCCACGAGCTAGATGTCATCATGTAAGTATTTTTCCTTATTGCTGTTCCGCCTTTCCCACCATGAAACCCAGCCTGGTTGCGCTTCCCCAAAGCCAAGATACAACCCAAACTACACTTCTCCTGCTCTCAGCATGATAGAAATGCGGTCAAGACTAATGCCAACCGCGAAAGTTTCCTCATCGTCAACGATGGCTACACCATCGAGCGCCATATCCACGGCATGGACGCCGAGTACAACGACGTGGTGGCGTGGAAGTACCAGGACCTCGTCGACGTCTTCACTCCCGCATCCTCCTCCTCCTCGTCCAGCAAGACACCCACAAAGTCGCCGAGGAAATACCAGGTCCGCACGGTGACTGAGCTCGAAAAGCTCCTCACCCAGGACGGCGACTTTGCCGCTGGCGGCGGCCTGCGCTTCGTCGAGCTGTACATGCCCCGAGAGGACGCGCCTGCTAGTCTCAAGCTGACCGCCGAGGCGAGCGCCAAGAGGAATGCCGAGTAGCGAGAGGAGAAAGAAAAAGCAGGTAACCCGTATTGCCCTTGCCGTGTGATGGGCAAGAAGAGGTCAAAGCATTACGTGTAGTTCCCGTTGTTGTGCGCTTCATTGTGCGGTTTCTTGGATTTTCTATCGATGTGTTGGGGAGCAGCTCACCTCACTCAGAGATTTGCAATGGTGACGAGGAGGTTCTGTCCTCGCTCCCGGATGGTGTCACATGGGTAGCCATATGCCGAATCGACGGACATGCGGCCATGCGCAACGGCACAAACGAGACGTATGATACGAGCTCGACAAATTGCAAGAAAGGAAGGCCTAATCATTACTGAAAGGTTCTGTAATTATAATCCAACACTCTTGTCTTCATGTAAACAACTAAATACGTCGCGATGCTCGCCATTCTGGGGAAATGATATGCTCTTTGTGTCATGTGCTCGCGGGGTATCAGGATAAGGCAGACCGCATGCTTGAATGGCAGCTTCAACTTCGTCAGCATCCAGGATAGCCCCGGCTCGCTAGATCCCTGTGGGCCCCAGCCTTCTCGTTATCGCTCTGGCGTTTCTCCCTTGGCCCTCTTTGGGGGTCGCGATGCAACCGAGTCTCCGCTCGGTCGCCGTGGCCTCTTGGGATCCTGCCTGTTGCCGGCTTGATCCTCTTCCTCATCACAATCGTTGGCTTCGTGTCCTTCAATACTAGTCTTGAAGCTAATCTGGCCAGCACCTTGCGCGTCACTGCCGACGCGGCTGGGCTGGTCTGCAGCTACCCTCTCCTCCCCAGGTGAAAGCGCAGGTGTCGTCCTCGTCGGTGGTGAAGACGAGGATGAAGACGACGACATCGGAGAGGCCACACCTTTGTCCACGATAGTGCTTGTGTCGCTCACCTCCCCGAGACGCCGCAGGACGCTTGTCAGACGACGTCGTGCGACGATTTCACCGTCTACACTTTGGGACTTTGGTCGATAGAAGTGCTGCACCACGTCCACAACAGCATGGTAACATTCGTAGAGCAGTACTCGTATGTATGCGTGCTCTGGGTCATCCACGACTTCTTGCCATTGCTGTTGGGACGCAGGTGTGGACCGCGGGCTTGATGGGGGTTCAACACGACTTCGTTCGCAACCTCTCAATATCTTGGAGCCCAGGTCCGAGTCTGGAGATACACCAAACCCACGCAAAAATTCCGCCGTTGCGTGACGGGTGAAGTCTTCAGCCAAAAGAGGATCCCCGAAGACACAATTACTCCAGTCTTGAAGACCCGAGAGTACAGCACGCGGCCTCGGATTGCAGGTTGCGCTCGACAGTGAACTGCTAGACTGGACGGTTTCAGTCTCGAGCGAACTTGATGCTTCCGAGTCTTGATCCAGTCTCCTGGCCGACTCAGAGTCATCGTCTGCTTGTATTCCCTCCTCGGTGTTGGCTTTGATGGAGACCCGGGCATTGTCGTCGGAGTACGGGTGCATTACGACAAAGCGTGGTGTGGTAACCGCGTCCAGGACATGGCCCAGACGGCCAAAGTGGTTGCGGATTCTTGAGTAGCTGATGTTGACAGCCATGTCTTCACCGTCGCGTAGGGCGCTTTCAAGGAGAGCGTGGAATGCGTGCTTCCAAGTCTTCATCCCGCCATGGGTGGGACTTGCCCCTGGTGTCCAATTGTCCAGTGGTAAGGCATGTAACTGGGGAGTCCGGCCAAGTATGTCGACCGCCATGCCAAATTTTCCGTTTGGTGACGTGAACCGCGAAAGCTGCCTTGACAGAGACCCCTTGGAGAACTCGACGGCATCGCGGTCAAGCTTGCTCAGTGGCGTTGGCAATGAGCTTATGGGCTGGCCCTCGGCGGGCTCGACCAGGCTGAAAGCCGCGCGTAATTTTTCGGACGATGACGAGTATGTAACTAGAGTAGGAAGCATTTTGCATAGTTCTTCAGCCGTGGGTGATGCTGCACTGCTGGATGTGCACTCGCTCCGAGGGATATGTCTGCAAGGTTGATGAGTTGTAGTCCCGTCGCTGGCCTGCGGTGTTGTGACTGAAGACATCTCCAGAGCTTTGGCAACTAGCCATCGAACCACTAATGCTTCTGAGTGCACAAGAGAATGCTCAAACCGGAAAAGTTTCGTGGTGTCTGCTGGTGATAGGCTGAGTGACAGGGATCTTCCCCCAGAAAGGATGACATTATATCCTCTACACGGTGATGTGCCAACAATGGCCTCGACGTTGTCGACGATGGCGGTTGGTGACTCGATGCTGACAAGGGCTCGGATTGTGTCTGCAGACGGCTTGTAGCTCATGGATGAGGTGTTTAGTGTTGCAGAGTATAGTGGTGTTGTTTCCGTCCTTGTTGAGTGGGCTTTTACAGGCGGCCGCGTTGTCATCTGTGGTGGGCGGGAGTGGCCTTTTGTCTGCCCACACCTCAGCATGAAGCAGTGGTCTGGTAGGCCCGGGACGAGAAATGACGGGCTCGGCGTCTGCAGCAACTCCCCAGTGCAAGGTTGGAGGGGTGGCATATGTGCCACAGCCGACCCTGGACGGTAACCATGAAGCCGTGCCTGGTACATCAAGCACCAAGATCCGAAAGCAAGGGCTGTGCGGGCTGGGAATGCTGGATGGTGCCACTCTTCACAAAGTGCCCCAGCTTCGCCAGCAGGGTCCTGCCACGGAGAGCCTGTGATGGGCAAGCTGGTCTGCGTCACTGGTCAAGCAGCGGTGACAAAAGACCGTGAAATCGTGATCACCGATCGCACCGGCAGACCCTGCGAATCTTGTCTCCTGATTGCTGTCGCGTACACAACCTGGCATGGACTGCCACTTGCGAGGTGAAAGGAAAGATAAAGAGGTCGGAAGCCTGAAGCGGATCTGAGGACAGCGCGCGTTTGCAGAAGTCGGATGGCTGTTTGTCTTGACTCTATGCACCATCAGGAAGCGTCACTCCGGACCATGTGTATGCGGCGGCAGCCACCTTCATGTACATCGTGAGGGCGAAGTCGACGCACGTTGGGTTTCAGACAGCGAGACACAAATACTGGGAACAATCGTAGGAGCATGTCAAAGCTGCGTGCCTGCCACATGGAGCTTGGCTGTCTGCCACAGCTCGCTAACAAGGCCCGGAAAAGGTGAAGACGGGGCTTTACGACATGTCCAGCCAGCCAGTGTTATTCGAGTCGAGCTCGGGCGAAGTCCGCGACGACGGAGGCGCTCTGGCTGGGACAAGGCTCATGTGTGTGGATGGGGCACGAGGACCAGCTCGGCAGCGCGCGCCTATGGACAGGGCAGCTAGACGAGGACAAGCAGCTGCTGGAACGTGGGCGGCATGGGCTTGCGCCGATCTGAGGTTGTAGACACAAGACAAGCCTCGAGAGAAGCGAGGCATGGTGGGGAACCGAGCACCCCGTCCGTCCCTGTGCGTGGTCGCCGATTAAGGTTGGCAGAGGCGAAGGGCAGGCGGGAGTTAACGACGGGGCATCAGCTGTCGGATCTAACGCCGAGACGTTCTAGAAGGGCGGCATGTTTTTTGCGTGCCATGGGGCCCGTGGCTGTCAACACAGAGCTAACGTGGAGCGGCTGAGATGGCGGCATGCGCCCCCGGGGATGCTGATGTGGAATGCCATGGCGTCGCCAATGGAGGGTGGGCAGGGCTGGCAGTGTGGCAGGCCATTGGCCGGCTAGTTTGCAGCCCAGCTTGTGCTTGAGCCGACCTAAAGCCCAATGGAGGCCCTAGGGGCCATTGCTCATGTCAAAGCCCGCGATGTTGTGGTCGACTGGACAGCTGGCAGTGGCAGTGGACGAGGAGAGCCCGAGTTGCAGGATGGATGCAGAAGTCGGGATGCGCAGTTGAGCATTCTTCCCGTTTGGAGCCTCAAACGCCCGGGCCAGCCCTTGGGGCCGTGTCCACTTGGGTGCTCCAAGCTGCCAGGGGAAGCGAGTGCGCCGGGGTCTGATTGGCCAGCCGTAAGCGAGTCTGCCGGATTGGGAGGGGGGCCCCTTGGTTGCAGGCAGGGTCGCGCCTGCTCAAGTGTCTCCCAGTCCCCAAAGGTCTCACTCACTCACTCACTCAGGGCACCATTTTGCAGTTCTAGGTCCCAAGTGATTGAACGGCTGGCCCTGTCAGATCCAAGGCCAGTGTACCGATTAGAAGGACGGCCAACCCTCGACTTCCAGCCTCCAGTCCTCGTTGCAACCACTGGGCATACAGCCAAGCAACCAACGAGAATGCCCCCTCACACACCATCTTGGCCCTCCAGCCTCAACGGCTCTGCAGCATGGAGGGCACGCGCGGTCCCAACAGCCCCGGCAGGGATGACCTTCCCTTGGGATATCACGGACACCGACACGGACGTGGCCATGACAATGCAATCCGCCTCGGAACATTTATTACAGAGTTCGGGAGCATGATCAAATGGCACGACCAAGAGCCGGTGACGTTGCTGCCGCATCACGCTCTGCGTCAAGCTCGTCAAATTTGTCCGAATCAGGTCTAGGCGGGCTGTCGTGCATGATGCTCCATCAACCCGCGCTGCCCTGTCGTTTCGGCTCCAAGTCCCAAATGCGGTCGCTGGTCGACCACGGTCCTGAAAACGTATGCCACGAGCCGAGAAGACTCATCAAACCGGCTGGGCGGAAGGCCGTAACAGGTGGTGCTCAATCTCATCCTCTCATATTGCTCGCAAGGAGCACAACCGAGTACTCACTCAAGTAGGCTCATCACAATCTCCTCCGACGAAGCGAAAGTGGCCTTGGCCTAGCTTGAGACCATTCTGCACGATACAACCACGAATAGACTACAGAGGACTAGAGACCTCCTCGGCGCAGCGCTGCCCCGCAGAACATCACAAGAATTGAGCAAGGTCCGCCTACTCCGTATACCATGAACTCAGGGGCGTATCTCACTTTTGAGCTGGAACGTTCAACAGTTTATAGCTGGTGTTGCTCAATCATAGATGTCGACGTTTAATATAATGTCGGGAACAGGGATCTCTCGGCGAGACTCTCGGTGAGATCGTGCCAACGGGCCATGTACCCCAGGGCCAAAACCCGACAGGGGGGGGGGGTTCAGCTCAGCTACGTGACATTCCTGGGGATGCACAAGACTTGTAAGCAACGCGCTGCACGCTACGACTATGACCTGGAATGGACGAGATCGGAAGTAAACGGCCTTGCACTGTGTCGTAGCTAGCCATCATAACTCGTCCGAACATTCACTGCTTCCTCTTCGTAGTTCTCGAAGCAGTCCTGCAATCGTTGATATCAAAGTGCTCACATCCTTGCAAGGTGGCTTTACGTCTGGCTTTACGTCTGGCTTTACGTCTGGCTTTACGTCTGGCTTTACGTCATGACTATATAATATCATACAAACACAGTGCCGGCAACAACCCTTGACGAACAGTCAAACTGTTCCTCATTTGCCAACTCCCTTGGTGGTGTAGTTGGTTATCGCGTCAGACTGTAATTGAAATTGTTATCTGAATGTCACCGGTTCGATTCCGGTCCGAGGGAAACCTGGGATATCTTTCTCAAACAATCTTTTTTGTTGTTGTTATGTTTACAACATTGCCGTTCTTTTTGTTTTCCCCTTCGAGATTGTGAAATCCGCGGGTGTTGGTGTTCGGCCACCCGTGCTTCAAATTGCTGTGGTGATCATCCCCGAGGCGAGGCCACCTAAATCCAGTCACGCGACACACCTGCTTCCTCCGGTTTGAGGTTCTTAATGATTTCGTAGAGGTACAGTTGCGAATTCTGCCAGAGCCAAAGAAACTGCTCTCCTGCAATATCGTAACCTAAAGTAATGCTCAACGCCGGTACACCATGATGACCTGACAATCCCTCACAATCTGCATCACGTCCAGCTGAAGGCATGGCCGCCGCTTAGCATCAAGCCGGGGCCGGGTCTTGTGACTGAACGTCTTTAGAGCCGTCTTCCTTCGCCTTAACCATTGCCTCATCCTCCTTGGCCCTCTTCTTGGCTCCTGCCGCAGACATCTTCAGCTCATGGATGTTATATCGCTTCAGCGCTTCCCAATCCCCACCAACAACACTGACACCGCAGAACGTCTGATAGATATCGACCAGGATGACTTTGTCCGGAGTGGTCAAGTTGACCTTGTGGCGCGGAGGTATGAGCGAGGCGACCTTCTTAATGACATCATCGCGCTTCATCTGGTTGTGAGCTCGGAAAGTCGGGCGGATGGCATACTTGGTTCGCGGACGGCAGGGTCAGTACACCGTACAGGAAGCACACGGGCAAAATGAGCTGGAGCGGGACTCACCGACGGCGCATCATCCGTAGATACCCCAGCGCCTTCCGACACTCCTCCAGCTTCATCACCCGCGCCCTCGGCAGCGAGCTCGAAATGCTCGGCGAGCACCTTCCTCGCCACCTCATCCAGCCCTTTCTCGGACGCCCTGCCCAGCACCGTGACGGGCGTGAACCGGTTCACGAACCGGGAGAATCCGATCGCGGAGCGCTTTGCGCCCTCCTCATTGTCCTTTGGGGGCACCGGCCTGCCGGCATCCAGGCAGACCTGCCGCGAGAACTCGATCGGCTCCACGGGCGCACGCGTCCGCACGAAGAACAGACAGTCGAGGCCTGATCTGACCATCTCGAAGGGCGGGTCCTTGGGCCGGTTTGCGGGCTTCATACCCTCGAGCTCCCTTTGGATCGACGCCTCAATATCGTCGGCGGCGTTGCCGCCGTTTTCCTCGTCGTCATCAGCGGCTGCTTCCTCCGGAGGGTTGATGTTGTAGAGCTTCTTGCCATACTATATCCCACTCTCCCAGGCACCGTGTCAGTGATCGCCCCCGTTCTCAGGCCTACTTGCTGTCATACAACCCCAGTGGTTTTTGACGTAGACAAAAAGGCGATGACAATCATCACAGGGGAAGACAAAAGGAAAACCAGTCACATACGTCCTCACAGATCCGGGCCATCTCGCCGCGCGCCTGGCGCTCCTTGCCTCGCTGGCAGGTCACCCATATGCCTGCATCGCCGACCTGCAGCATCGATTCCTTGAGCGAGTCCAGCTTCTCCCGCTGGTTCGGCGTCTGCCACTTGTTGCCGCTGCCACCCTGTCCACAGTGTGTCTCAAAGTATCAGCATCAGCACTTAAAGGATTGTGAATGGTGTAAGCTGTGGCCTTTCACGAGCTTGTGGCGTGATGTGTGAAGAGTGACCACTTTTTTCGCAGGCGCAATACGTGGTTCGTGATGTGATATGGGTGGACAGACCTTGCTGCGCTTTGGCTGGCCGCCCTGCGAGCCATTGCTCGGTCCGGCTTTGCGCTTTGCTGAAGTCTCCATGGCCTTAATCTCCTATGAATTGAGAACTTTTAATCTGGTCGTCGATGCAGGTGTTGCGCATGCAGACCTCGTTGTCGAGCATGGACTTTTACTGGAAAAAGCTGTGAGATGGAGTAACTGAGTTTGGCTGAAAACACACGAGGTTGGAGCAAGTGGGTCCACACCGAGATGGTCCCTCGGCGCTCGTTCAGGCAGTTTGACTCCATCCTGATTTTCAGCACCAAGACTGATTTTATGACGCTGTTCTTGATTCATCCGATTATGAGCTGTTGAGGAGTAAGCAGTAATGTCCTGCCTTCAAAATGCAGCCTTGCTTCCATTCGATAGACTCGCTACAGCTCTTCCTGAGGAATGCCGATGTTCATATCTACACTCATTATTCTTCTTCAAGTCGACCTCACAGTTAGCTAGATAAAATAATCCTATAGCAATTTGAACGAAGCCAGCCAGTTGTCACCACCATGACAAAGCCATCCTGGAAGCTGTGCTCAAGCGAAGCGACAATAACGAAACAACACCGCACTTTACGCCAAACGCCGGCTCGTCGATCTATTGTTGATCTCTAAATTAATCGCATGCTCAAATGCGGTAGACATGCTCCTCATGAGTCCTCATAGATCTTGACCTTGTCTGCATATTCGCGAATGTTGCTGACAATGTTGTCCTCAATCGTGTGTCCCTGTCCGGCAGCGACCTTTAATATCAGCTCGTTCAAGTTCTGCCGCCCGAGAATGTCCACATGCTCTGCAGTGTTCGCACCGCCTCTCGGGCTGAACCGGTCAGGTTGATGCGGCATCTCGACCACTGTGATTTTGGCACCAGCTGGGTTGTATCGCTTCATGTGCCACCCTTTCGAGCACATGTAGCCCGAGCTCAGCAGCGGCACCGTGCCATCTCCCTCGCCGAGTATGACGCCGCGATCCACCTCGCCTTGAATCATGGTGGTATCGATGGTGATGTTGAGCTTGGTAAGCTCGGGGAACTCGGGAGCACGGTAGTAATATGCTCGCTCTGTAGGTTTACCAACTCCGTAAAAGCAGTAGATCTTGAGACTGGGGGCAAGAGGCAGCCTTGTTTCAAGCGGATTCGTCCACTTCCGAGAGTCAAGCTCGTTTGCGTCAACTTCACCAGCCGTAAGAGCGACGCCATGTGAGTAGCTGCCGCGCAACTGATCCTGATACCAATCCTCCGTTGTCCTCTTGAGGTAGTCCAAGACCGTGGACACTGTGAGGTTGCTGTCCGGAATGCTGCCATTGAGCTCTTTTCTGAAGTTCAGTACCGAGCCGTAGGAGTGGATTTGACCTGGCTGATCGTCTGGCGCCCAGGTCAGGTTGCCCCAGACGGCGTCTCCGCCCATGGGAAGCATGGAAGATATGCCGGGCATCGCGCGAAACAGCTCAGCACGTTCATCCTTGTTTAGAAACTTCTCGAGCCCATATACGGCGAAAGGGTTGAGCTGAGCAGTATCCCGCATTTCTCCCGATAGGAGTACGGGAATGTCCTTGACGGCGCCGAGCATGCAACCACTGACGTTAATCCACGAGTCGACATAGCGCTCCACCCAGTCATCGCCGCCCTTACCTCCAGTCGGAGAAGCGACCCAGTGAAAGAAATAGAAAGCGACTTGACTACCCATGCTGTGCGAGATGAGGACAGCCTTTCTCCCAGTTGCAACGTGCGAAAGCTCTATGTGTGTTTTGAGCTTCGTGAAGAACTTGTCCCGTGTTTCGAGGTTTTGGTAGGACAGCCGCCAGTCATACGCCGCAGTGAAGGAGGTGTTTGGGTCATACCCTAGGGAAGCCAGATTCTCAATGATCTTGTTCCAGATCCAGTATCCAGTGATAAAGAAATCGGCTGCGTCGAATCCTTGTGCAGGCCGCAACTTCATATTTGGAGGATCGAGCCCGGTCTTCTTGTCCAGCATGATGTGGTTCTTCCAGTTTTCTTTGTCCAGAACCAGTGCGCGCATCATAGACCAACTGCCCCAAAGTCTCTTGCGGAAATACGGGCGGGAAATGTTTGACGTGCCCCATGATTCGAGGCCAGTGGAGATGACTCCCGGGACCATGATGACTGGATGGTGGACCTCAAGACCTTCTTCTCGTGCCTGGACCCCAACAGTGAAGGCCTCATAGCTCTGAGTGAACTCGCGCTCGCCGTTGATCAACTCTCGAAGGTCCATGACAAGCCCTGCTGGTAGTACGTCGAGGATGCTGTCCATGGTCAGGTCGTTGAGTTCTGGGAGGAAGTCGATCAGGTCGCTCTCCTGGGCAAGGAAACCAGCCGCAATGATGCCAAACAGGCTTCCCAAGAAGAAAATAAAGGTGTTTCGACGCTTCCTTGTCTCCTTCTTGGTCTGTGTGACGATCTTGACGGGCTTTTCCTCGCTAAGATGGTCGTGGTCAGTCGGGTCTAGGATGTCGGATGTGGGCGACTCGGTGGTCCCGTCCACGCCGGCAGTGCGGCGCCTCAGGGTTGAAGCCATGACGATTCGAGGAGAGTTGGAGTTCGGTGTAGGTGTTGATGGGCAAGAAGCGCAGAAAGGCGCGGCGTATGCCGTAGGTCGCACGCCGACCAAGCTGTGAGCTCTGTTGCGCTCGGCTTGCCTTTCGAGATCCTGGAATCCTGCTGTCTCTGGTGCGCAGTGGAGCTGAGTGTGTGCAGGTCGCAGGGAACGGCTTTGCGACTGAGAGGGACGCTGCCAAATCGGGTCCGTCGGCGTTGGGGCGATCGCCGGCCGATGGGCAGCTGCGAGATGGTCAAAGCACAGAGAGAGCGGCCTCGAGAGATCGAGCGTATATGGTGCGAGGTGGTCTTCGAGCGAGCGTGACGGGAATGATAAGCGAGAATATGGTCGCGAGTCTCGAGTTGGCTTTCGGTGGTTGACTGGACGTGCACGTGGCTTGGGAGCTGGCCGGAAACTGTCTTTTGGAGCCAAGGTACGATAGCGTACAGGCCAGGCAAAAATGGTCGCGGAGCGGGACAGCACATGCCAGAGTCGTCAAAGTGCACCACGCGGTCATGGGCAGTTCCGTCCAGTCCCGCCCGGGGGGGGGGGGCTGACGTCAAGAGCCGCTGCAAGCACAGACCCCTGCAGATGCTCGGCAGGAGCTTGTCTGGGATCCCAGCTCGGGTGCTGGAAGACAGAGCGCAGCATAGTCAGCAGGGCGTCCGTACTTGCTTGACACACGGCAGTGAATGCACAGGGGTAAATGTGCATGCAATACTCATCTGGTTCTCATTTATAGAATTGAGGCTCTTGGCGGGCCCGTGTAGAACCGTGGAACTCGGGCCTGACAACATCCAGGGAGGCTACGGCGCATATAGGTGCTGGCTCATAGCTCTGCCTACGACTTTCAGATGGTTTAATTCGCATTCTTGAATGCAGCAGCACGACTTGGACGGCTCTTAGAGTAGGCCAGCCATCTTGCCAAGTCAGCTCGTCCCGGTCAAAATCCCATGGCCGCCACCACAAGCTGCGACAGCTCTGACGGGCACGGCGGGGCGGGTGGATCATCGAGGCATGTGAAAGTGGGCTGGTGGGTGGGCGAGGAGGGCGGGCTGACTGTAACGTGCAACATCCTCCGTAACTGACCAAACTACATGCATTCATGACTGCCGCCCCGGCCACGGCCGGCTTCATACTCACCTCTGGCCTGCTGCTGTGGCCTACAATCTTCCCGCCCGCTCTCTTTGGCTGAGCGAGCGCGGCTCTCCCGTTTTTTGGACCATCAATCGCTGCCTCGAGGAGAACTTTTCCCGCCGTCACTTCGACCGCCACTCACAGACATAGACAGCCTCGAGATCGCTTGCCTGGCACCGTTCGAACACCCACATGCGGATTCCATACGTACCCCGATGTGACCTGATCGCGTATTATCAACTCCGCGGCCATGACGACAGATGAGCCCCAAACGAGCACCCTGCCCGAGGGTCTTCGATACATCCAGTACGAACATGCTCTCGAGAGCAAGTATCTCCCAGCCATTCGCGCCCTCATCTCGAAAGATCTGAGCGAGCCCTACAGCATCTACGTATATCGGTACTTTCTCTATCAGTGGGCGCATCTGTGCTACTTGGTAAGTCCCCGGCGCGACGGCGCCTGGCAGAAGGCTTTGCTCTTCTTCAGCAGGCGACCGCTCTAACAAGGACATCCCAGGCCCTCGACCCGCGCGACGACTCCCTCGTCGCCGTCATAATATGCAAGCTTGAACACCACATCTCTCACTCCCCGGTAACCCATCGAGGTTACATCGCCATGCTCGCCGTCTCCTCGGTGCACAGAGGTAACGGCATCGCCACCTCCCTTGTGAAGATGGCCATCGACGCCATGGCGGATCGCAAAGCCGACGAAATTGTCCTGGAGACTGAGGAAACCAACATCCCCGCGATGAGACTGTACGAGCGGTTGGGGTTCCTGCGCTCTAAAAAGCTGCACCGGTATTACCTGAATGGCAACAGCGCATACCGTCTCGTGCTCATGCTCAAATCGCCCGAGGTCGCACATCAAGGATTTGATGATGTTATCTGACCGGCTATCCATGCGGAAAGGGAAACGTGCGGCACAGGAGGCCATAGCTGTGCCCTATGAGCAGGAGGGCGTGCGCTTTGAGCAATGAATGGTCGCAAAGAATATCGCGCCCATGCGTGGACAAATTCTGGCACTGGTCGAAGCAACCACTTCCGCAGGGCTGTTAAAGCTCTTTCAACACCGGCACGATTATCCCACCTCAGACTGCTATACAAGACAGCTGAGAAGACTACCAAGGACGCCGATTTCATGATGATAACGGAGGGATGTCTAGTATCCCTTGGTATGTGGATATTGTTGCGTGGAAGTGTGCACTTGAAACCCGCCACCCGTTGGGCGAGAACAACCGGAACGAGCGTTCTAGTGCCGGATTTTGATAGCTATGGCTATGGCACATTGTCTATGCCACAAACATCGTACAAGGCTGGCAACAGTATATAGCACCCTTGAAACCGAAAAACCCAACCCCCGTAGATGATTCACCACTCCCTCAACACTGTAGTTGAATTGTAGATCGACGCCCTGATATTCCATGGATTCTGAGACGATATTCCCAGATATGTGTATGCGTCTGCATCAGTCATTAGCACTTGTTCTGGGACGGGAATAGCTCGTAGCCAGCAAACTTGCGCGGGATGAGCTTACCAGGCTTGTAGTACACAGGTCTGCCTGTGGGGGAAATGAGACCAAGTCTTTGCAAATTCACAGCGACCCTCTTGATGTCTTGTTTGTTGCTGAAGTCTGCCGTGTAGACACAGATGAGACGCTCTGCTCTGGAATCGGTACTTGACTTTGGGGCGACTTTGGCTGCTATGCCGAGTTCGTTGTTGGCCGTCGCTTTGGCGATGAGTTCCCACACGGCGTCAACCTCAGCGACCGGACAAAAGAGCATCCACTAAATTTTGGCAAAAGTGTCAATGTCGCGTTGATCACGGATGAGGGAAAATTCGTGTTGCCAACCTTTCCGCAGGTGACCCGCAAATGCTGGGCCAGAGTTAAGATGTCCTCCGAAGCGTCAGAACTGGCCTTGCGGAGCTCCTGCATCTTCAGTTCTGGAGGTCTGTCGATTCTCCGGAGATAATCAATGAACTCTGAGATCATGTGCAGTCTCTCCATGCCACCTTGCATGAGAGTCGCAACGTCCGCACCGTTGTCCTGTGGGCCTTCATCTTCACATCCCACGACATTTGCACCGCACGAAGTTGGCACTCTAGGCCGTCTGTCTACGTAAGGATTGCAAATGTAGATCCACGGGAAACCCTCGGTAGTCGAGGGCGGCAAGCGATGCAAAAAGTCGATAACGGTCTCTGTCAGCTGCCAGGCGTATGGAACACCGGCATATGGGTTGTGGAAGTGCGACATGGTCGCCAGAGGTCGGGCTGTGTGATGCTGCTTGATTGGGCTGCTGACTTTGGTGTGGAGGCGCCACCAAGACGACAAGTCAGCTTGGTCGACTCGTCTGTGAAGCAGGGCTTGCTCATTCTCGTCTCCTGATCGTCCATGTTAGACTCAAGGGTCTAGGGCCAAAGTGTCAATCTAAAATACCATAAAAGTCTGAGTCATCGGAATACTCCATGTTCCTAAACGGGGTCATGCATGTAGCTGCTGACCAGCATCCGCCCCTGTTATTGGTGTACAAAGGCCAGGCACATTACGAGAACGGCCTGCCTTTTGCGTCTTTGTGGGAGAATGCTGTGCGATTTAACCAGTAGGTGGCCGTTTGTACGGGATTTGCGGGCTTGCACCGTGTGCCTCTTGTCGCGAATTTGAATGGGCGACCAGGAGGTGCTTTCTTCCGATCTCTCTTCGAAGTACTTGAGGCTTCAGTGGGAAAAGATCAGGCTGAGATTGGCAAAGACAAGCTTTCTATGCAAGATAACACATTGACGGGCCCCCGGCCATCTAAATAGCGGGACGGGCTGAGATCAATTCTATCATCATGGCTGCGTTTCAAGGAGCGAGACCCTAGCAAGAGATGACGTTCGCCTGGAGTTGCAATACTGCAGGCATGCGGAAGGGCCCTGAATCCGGGGGGCTGGCTCGTGACTGCCAGTCCTAGGGGTTACAGCAATATCATGGGCCTTGATGTACAGGTACCCAGCCCTTGGGAGGTCTTGAGAAGGTAAGCCTGAGAGCGTTAGCGCACTTACAAGGAGGTACGGCAGGCCCCGCGAAAGCTTGCGCTGACCATGACTAAAGTAACCTTAAGATACGCGTCTGTAAGGTACCTTGCGGCCCCACACGCCCACTAAAACCTCTTCAGCAACCACACAGCGGGGCCGTTTGTGTGATTCAAGGACGCTTCTTCGACGACAAACGGGCGGTTCACTTGGCTGTTCGAAGTCGCTTTGCAGTCTTCCGCCAGAATACCTTGAGAAGCTGCGCCAGAAAGGCCCACGGTCCATCATGGCCGGAGAGCCAGAGCCGACCACCTCCTTGAAGTCTTTGATACTCGACCTTCCGCCAAGCTGCATAGAGTTTTGCCCGGCCCATCCCTCTTATTTTGTCGTGGGGACATACAATCTTGAAAAGGACGAGGCGCACTCAGAACCGCCGGCTGAAGGCGAAGACGACGTAAAAGGAGCTCAAGAGGTCAAGAGAAAACAGAACCGTAAAGGGAGCCTCGTCGTCTTCCGGCTTGGAAAGTCTGAAGTGTAAGTATGCCCCGATTCCCTGTAAACATTGTCAAGAATCACCAGACCGCTCACAAATGCTTCAGTGCCCAGGTTCAGACGTTCCAGTATCCTTCGGCAATCCTAGACTTGCATTTCCACCCGAGTCAGCTTGATGTGTGTGCCGTGGTGTCAAGCACGGGCGCACTGTCGTTCTTCAGGTTGACTGATTCCGGGCTTCTCGAGGAGATCGTCTCACACTCATCTTTGGGCTCATCTGAAGGCGTCTTGTTTCTTTCTTGCGCCTGGCACCCCGTCATCCATAACTTGCTTGCAATCACAACCTCAGACTTTCAAGTACACATCTTCCATATCGACTCAGATTGGACTGCTCATGCCACTAATGACGAGCCTGTGGCCTTGCATCAGCTTGAGGCATGGACCTCAGCATTCTCGCCCTTTGTTTCTGGCTTGCGGGACGGCGAACAGTTACAGGAGCTCATTTTGTTTTCTGGCGGCGACGACTCCCGGCTGCTTGCCAGCGCGGTCGCTTATTCGTCGCCCACTCCCCATGCCGATACGACGAGTGTTATTCAGGGACTGTCCCCGCCTCGAGGCTTCAAGGGTCACCAAGCAGGTGTAACCGCCATCCTCCCTCTGCCATTGCACTTTGCAGACGAGTCCTCGATCATCGTTACCGGAAGCTATGATGACCACATCAGAGTGTTCAGATTCTCAGGTCATCTCCAACCTCCTGTACTACTTGCCGAGAAGAATCTTGGAGGGGGTGTCTGGCGACTAAAAGCCATCTCGGCTTCAGTGGTAGACGAGGAGGGCTGGCAAGCGGTTCTGCTCGCATCATGCATGCACGCAGGAACTTGTGTTGTCCAAGTCTGTGGAGATCGGAGCGGCAACAGCCAGGTCAAAGTGCTTGGGCGTTTCAAGGAACACAAGAGCATGAACTATGGCAGCGATTTTTCGCCTCCGAGCGCGAAACTTGGCAAACCACTCCAGGTCATCTCCACCAGTTTCTATGACAGGTTATTGTGTCTCTGGGAGTTCAAAATATAACGCATGATCAGCCGTGGGAATAGACTTGATTGAGCAACATCGGGTAGTAGAAAGTCAGGGCCTCTGCATCATGCTCCACCGGACTGCTCAATTGTGCCAGACCCTTGTCTGCTGCAGGACGCATGCTGCCCTGTCAGCCTAAAGCTTCGGCAACAAACTGAAACAAAACATCCTGTTGAGAGCCCACACGCAACAGATTCACAGTCTGCAACATCCTGCAAACGATAACACACGTTCTCGTCCTTGCATCGTCCTTCCTTTTTCTGCCCCGAGCTCCAGGCCAAGCCGCTTGGAGCCAGCCTCCCGTCAGGACGGCTTGACCGCCATTGCGACCATCAAAGCTCCATTAGCAGGGCTGTCAATTATTGGGGTCGGGAAGCTTGGGAGGTGAGTGTACTAGCTCTCGGTCTAGTTAGTGCCGTAGCGGGTTCCACACTTCTTCTAGAGCTTGCTAGGCTGCGACAGAGGCTATCAATAGTACACCTCAACTTGACCTGCTCACCTCCCACGCCTGACCGACCGAAAGTCCCTTCCGAAGAACGCCACAGCCATATTTTCAATCAATGTGCCGACACTGAAGGGATCGCTTTCTACCTCTCCGGACCCGATAGCCCACCGGGGGCGACGGGTGTACTCTTCACACGCGACCTGCGAAGTTCGAGCCGAAACACCCACGCATTCACTGCACACCCCTCTCTGCAGATCGCGACTGTTCTCCCAGCCCACTCCTCGCTCGCCCGCGGAGGCACGGCACTCGTAGGCGACGCACCTGCCAATGGCTACTCTTGGGAACGGAGGTGCCGTCGGCAACGACAACCAGAACGGCTTCTCCGCTGCTGGCAACGACGACTCAATACTCTCGAAGATTCACAAAGCCCTCGATGTCGTGTACAGCCCGTACTCGGATAACCAGCAGCGGAAAGATGCGCAGATATTCCTCGAAGAGGTCAAGCACATGGCCGATGCCCCCTCACACGGTTTCGACCTGGCGTCAGACAAAAATCAGTCACCTGTCGTCCGCCACTACGCTCTGTCTCTGCTTGAACATGCGATCAAGCACCGGTGGGCTGAGTACGGCCCTTCGCAAGCGGAAGCTCTGCGCAACTGGGTGCTTCAGCTGTCTCAGCCAATCTCTCGCGACGACCCTGCCTACCTGAGAAGCAAGATCGCTGTGCTCTGGGTTGAGATTGCGAAGCGGAGCTGGGCATCAGAATGGATGGATATGGACTCACTCCTTGTTCGCTTGTGGGAAGTGCCCGAGTCTACAGTGCATAAAGAGCTCGTGCTCGGCATCCTCGAGATGCTGTCGGACGAGATCTTTAATGGCGACGACACGGTCGTGGCGATGCGCGAAGGCGTCCTTAGTAAGGCGTCCGTTGAAATATTTACGCCAGCTCGCGTACTGGTGGAAACGTTTCCCAACCGACAAGCTGGCCCAGAGGTCCGATGCGGTGAAGAAGGCTGGTTGGCAAGGGTCACGCAACTGCTTGGACAGTGCCTCAATGCGGACATCCAGAACAACGAAGAGCTCAGAAGTTGCGCCGTGCGAGCTCTCGCCGTAGTGTATTCTCTGATGCCCTGGGTGATACCAAATGCGGTCACTGCAACTGGCTGCGTGCCTGTCATGTGTGAGGCTCTTCGAGCACCCAATGTGGTCGTGCAGAAAGTGAGTCAGGCCAGCGTGCGGTTCAGTGATTTTGGACAGTTCAGTGTTAACACAGGTGCACAGGCTGCCCTTGAGGCTCTGCATGCGCTTTATGGCCGAACCAGCTTTGTAGATCAAGAGTTTCTCGACCTCGTGTATCCGCTCTACGATCCGAAATACATTGAGCTTTTCAGCCAGTTGTGCACGTGGGCTGTGGTTGACCCCGAAGACATCGACGACGATAAGTATCAATTCGCAAAGAAGCTCTCAGAGGTGGGTCTCTAGGACATTCAAGATCAACGCTTTATCTGGGCTCAATATCTAACTCTAAGGTAGCTGATCTCATTCCTCGGTAACTACCTGGATCGAAGACAGGCTGCCCTTCCACGGGATTCGGACCGCCTCGACTTTAAGAGCTTCGTCCATCTCCTGCTCCAGGTCACCCAAAGCCAGAGTCTTGTCGTTTCGATCCCTGTGCTGGTAACATGGACACGACTGCTGAATAATGCCATGTTCGGGCCCGTGATCGTGGGAGAATACTCTTCGATTGTAGGGTCGCTGCTCGAAGGCTGCAGCTCAAGACTCCTACGCTACGAGAGTTTACCCGAGGACACGCAAGACCCGACTTTCCTCTTTCTTATCGAAGACACGGACACAGTACCTGAACGACATGCTTTCTTAGGGAACTATAGGCGTTACAGTTCCCAGATCATTGAGAGTATCGTGCGACTTACTGTTACGAATGCGCTGCAGCACATCCTATCACAGACTGACCGAGTCCTGCAACATCTTTATGATGATGCTCCAAGCTTCGATAGTATGCGTCCCATGATCCTGAGCTCGCCGGAATGGAAGCTAACCCACTCGAAGTGGCAAACTACAGCAAATCGTCTCGCCCAGTCTTGCTCGTCGACGCGCAAGCCACTGTTATCGAAGCTGCACTCAAAGGTGTAGTGAAATGGAAAAGCAAAGCCAAAGCAGAGGATGGCGCGCAACAGGAACAAATCGTACGTGAATGCGCATTGCGATCCTTTCGATTCCTACTGACCAGTCGAAGGACCAGGAACGGACAGCCATTGAGGACCATCTCGAGTCATGGTGCAATAACCTTCTCGCCCAAAGCTTCGAGGTATGCAGCTTGGAAAATCTGCGGTGAGATCAACAACTAACTCTTGCAGGACCCCTTGATTCGAAAGCGAGTACTACAGCTACTCGTTGCTTTCTCGACGACTGTTCTCGACAAGCGACCAGCTTTCGTGCTCCAGGTTCTCGAGCATATCCTTGTCACGTGGCCTGCCACTCGGCCAGAACATCGCGTCTATACAGAAGCGATCAAAGAGCTGCAGACGGAATCCCTCTCGGAGCTCCAGAGGCTGGCTATGAACATGCCAGATCATTTGCTAGTATGTATCAACAATGAAGTCATGAGGTTCTAACGTTGGCATGCTAATTGTTTATAGGCTGTGTATGATCAGATCTCCGCCAAGGTTAACGAGATGGTGGCATCGGGCACCCTCGACGAAAAGCGACAAGTGACATATCAGACTTTCCTCTTCACAATAGTGTAAGTCTGGCACAACATGGATGCTTGCCGGTTTTACGCATCTGACAGCAGAATAGGCATCGAGCATCACAGATAGACGAAGCGACAAAGGTGCAGAAACTGCAAGCCTTCGTGGACCCGATCAAGACGCAGTGGCAGGACGAACGCCTCAAATCAGCACTTTCAAGCTACGGCGGATTCTGTAGCATGATGGCATTGGACAAGGCCCAGAATTATTTAGCACAAAGACAAGTGCATAAGTATCAAGACTGGGGTTCAGTGGAACTCGACGATGAAGGCAGAGCTCTGCAAGAAGAATTGGAGAAGGCTCAAGTGGTTAGTCGATTCAGCCCACATGGAGATGACGGGGCAGCCTCGAAGACTAACCCAAATCTCAGCACTTGCCACTTCGACCTACAAAGTCGTTCTTGACCTGCTCGGTCGACAAAATCACGAAGTCCGATGCCGCATATCCGGTGTCCTGCGCTTTGTGGCAAGATGGAATTCCTGCCATACTCCCAGAACTGCTGAAGTTTCTCAAGTGCGTCACTCCTCATCTCCCGTTTGCCAGCTCCTCTAACCGTGATGTGCTCTCAGTCATGCTCATGCAGCCCACAACCCCGAAAACTGGACAGAGTTGCCTGCGGAGATGAGAAGCATTGTCACCCGCGTGCTGACGGATCGCTTCTGGCAAGCAGGCATCTCTGAGGGCACCAAAGATGACTTCTATGCTCGCGTAATGGAGAAGAAGCACACGATTGAGGGTTTGGCTTCGACAATACGTGGTGCTGTCCGCTTCGTGCGCGAGACGTGCTACACCATCATATACTGCATGACACGGATGGACATGCAGTTCTACGGCTTCAGCGAATTGCCTGGTCCTCTGGCGCATGCCCTCCTTGCGAACTCTTTTAGTCTTTCGGCGCATCAGCTCACCAACCTCCTCAATCTCGTTCGGTATCTGGTCGACAATTGCCCAGTAACGCTCCGGGAGCATTTCCTGCCGCCTGTTCTCGCTGCCTGTTGTCAGCAGATGGACGCCAAGATCAACTCGGAATGGGCAAGGATTCAGCAGCAGCAAGGCGTTCAAACAGGGGGTGATGCCCTCACTGAAGAAATGAAGGCTGAAAGTATCCTTCGGCAGCTGACCTACACGTCCGTTATGATGATTGCAGACTTCTTGGACCCCGCGCGGACGAGTAAGTCTGATTACCAGTATCTAATTATTAGATTTGATAACTTTCGCTGACAAGACACCTTTTAGACAAAGCTGCCGATTCATCAACGACTGACGAAGAAGCTGCGAAGCATCCGACTCTGCGGAGGTTTTGTCTAAAGCATTCATCGATAGTAGAGCCGTTACTGATGTTCTGTACACACGTCATTGGTATGCGCGACAGCAGATCATGCGGCATCATGCTGCGCGTGTTCCGGTCGATTGTCCCAGAGTTCACAGTGACGGAGAACAGCCAGCGTACCACGAATGGGCATGGTCATGCGCCTGAGCAATCGGCTGAAATCTCCGCCGAAACCGCCTCCGTGATCCGCGAGTACATCTCATCCGATGTCATCAAAGCGTGTATCACTTCTATCCACGAGCCTTACTTTGTGGATCTGCAGAAGGAGCTGGCGTCACTGATGGCAACTATTATTGTGTCATATGTGCGCCTGACATCAACTCCAAGGGATGTTCTGCTGTCGCTGCCAAACATGAATTCCAGCGACGTGGATAGAACCATTGAGTATATGCTCAAAGAGACCACGGGATCCAGAGCACAGCGCGCTGCCATCTTGGACTTGCTACGAGACCTCAAAGGTGTCAGCATCTCTGAAATGGGCAAGCTGAGCAAGAGTATCGGGCTGAATGCAAAGTCGAGCTCGTCTTCCAAGCGATCCGTCCAACGAACAAAGCTTGCTGCACAGTTCATGGCGGCTCCAGCCCCGGACAACGGCAGTGGCTTCAAGTCAGGAGGACAGCAAGACGGCGCAGATAATCTTGAGGGTCTGGCCAACCTGTTCGAGGGCTGATCGACACCTTGGGATCACGAGGCTAAAAGAGCTGCCCATGTGGCGCAGGTTCCTTTGGATGGCTTCTGAGCTCCCCAAGAGCGAGCTACCTGCATGTCCTGGTATTCGCGCCCAAATATCAGGCTCGATATGAATAGATGAACATGGCTGCAAAATAGAGGTGAATGCCGCGAATACTAGTCCCAGATCTTCCACCCCCTATTAGTGTCTGCTACCAACCTGGACACGATGAATAATGCCAACCAACCCAAAGTTTTTGTTATAGATGTGAACAGGAAGAAGTGCTATGACGATCGGCTGGTTGGTCTCCAGCGCTGGCGGACAGCGCCGTGGAGGGACCTTCCCTGCTGGGAGGCTGGGCCCAAGACGGGGTCAAGCTACCCCACCAACGGAACCCAATACTGATCCAGCCATACGCCATTGCAGTTGGTGATTTCCATCCTCCACAATCGTTCTGGCAAAGTCGCGGTCGGGCACGCATACCAACTTCACCAGGTCCGACTAGCTCTGCTCCTTACTGCGACGCGCCTTGATTTCCCGCAGTTTCGGCAGCAGCTTAGGTGTGGCGGGCCGACCATACACCAGGCGCATCCAGGACGAATGCGCCACGCATCCAGCAGACTGTATTGCTAGCACGAGAACAATTCGAACGTCGTCACGATCCCACCCCGCCCATGCTCAGCGCAACCCCGCGATGCCAATGGTTCTGAAGGGTGGGCTCTGAGCGCGACTACGTCATGGATGATCCGGAGATTCTGTATACCATCGAGAGCGAAGAGCAGCTCTGGGACGGTTGGTCGCCTCTCAACCACAAGAAACGCCCGAGGGCGTGGCACACTCAGAAAGCTAACACATTGGTCTCTGCTTCATCTTGTAGAGATACAGCAGGTTGTGCAACGACAATGTGCCGCCGAGTCGCATGAGTCCATAGATGATGCCCTGCGTAACTGGCTTTACCTGGCATCGCGCTGTCGCGACGACTTCTCCCACTCCGAAGATGATGTTGCGTTATGTTCCGAGAAGCTCCTGGAGGGCACTCTTTTCCATGCAAATCCGGACTACGTACGGACTCAAATAATATATAGCCTCTTGCAAGAGGATGACGTCGCGCCACTGTACGCCATCGCGACATTCTTGCTACTCGACGGCCGCAACGATGAAGACACTTACCGGAAGATGGTTACGGAAAGTTGCTTCTCCCGGCTTCTCGAGCTCCTGAATGGTCGCAAGCATAGCGATCCTGGGTTGCACAGACTCCTGCTCGAACTCATGTATGAGATGTCCCGAATCGAGCAGTTGCGATATGAAGATCTTCTTCAGGTCGACGATGGGTTTGTGACCTATCTTTTCCAACTCATTGAGGAGCTTTCAGATGATGTCCACGACCCGTACCACTACCCCATAATACGAGTCCTTGTAAGCCCGATCAATCCCCCTTTGCGGACACATGTGTTGCACATTGCTGATGCACGGCAACTTTTAGCTGGTCATGAACGAACAATACATGGTGGCATCCACGACTGCGATGAGCGAAACCAATACGCCGCTGCCACCACTCACCAATCGAGTCATCAAGTGCCTCAGCCTGTACGGACCTCACTACAGGACATTTGGAGAGAACATCATCCTCCTGCTCAATCGCGAGACTGAAACATCAATGCAGCTGTTGATCCTGAAGCTGCTGTACCTGCTCTTCACCACCAAGGCCACCTATGAATACTTCTACACCAACGATTTGCGTGTTCTGCTTGATGTCATCATCCGCAACCTTCTTGATCTGCCCAACGAGCTGATGTCTCTACGGCACACATACCTACGGGTCCTATATCCCTTGTTGGCTCACACGCAACTCAGTCACCCACCTCACTATAAGAAAGCCGAGATTAGCAAGACCATGCGACTGCTAGCAGGGGCTGGCAACATTCACTTCGCACCGGCTGACGAGACTACACTGAGACTCGTGGATCGTGTCAGCAAGGTCAAGTGGTTGGCGGACGAAGGTTCCGGGGCGAGCGAGATTGCGCGCAAGTTTCTAGGCATCAGTCTCACTAGGAATGAGTCTGCAAGCAACATCAGCGTTGTAGACGTAGCTGCCGTCATGGAGAAGCCAGGCGTGCAGACGCCGAGTCGGAAGGCAGAGGCAGCTGAAGAACAAGCTGGAGAGCAGGATTCCGGAGCAGAGTCCCCAACAACACAACACCCGTCATCAATAGGATCTGCCACGGCGCGGAGACCGAAAAAGCCACTTCCGGAGATCCCAAAACATCGCCATGGCAATCCTTGCGTGCCCGCAGTGCTTCTCAACGGCTCTGCCGCGAGCACGATTGTCAAGAAACTGCCGCCCAAGGCGCCTCCGCCACGCCGTACTGGGAGGCTGAAAACGAGCATCCCATCACCATCGGGGGTTGAGTCGCCGACAGCAACAATAGCTGCGCCAGAGCAGACACTTTGATCAGGCTATTTATCGGTGCGATCTCGGGCACCTGTTTGATTTTTTTTGCGTTCGCCCCTATCGCGGCGAGTGGAGTTTAGGTGTGTCTACTAGGGTGCGATGGTTTTCACTGTTTCTGCTTGCTCTCTAGGTTTGGGTCGACATCATTCTAGCATCAGGAAGAAGGCAGCACAGCCTGTTATCCTCTGCATCGCAAATGGCGTTGGTTGTGTTTCCTTGATGGACTTTATGTGGCACTTCTGAAATTATACACACTATTGAGGGACATGTCCAATCATAGCGAATATAGTGAATATACGTCAAGCTGCCCGCAAGACACCATGACAGCTTGCCGTGTAGATTGCGTCAGGATCTCCAGCATGTTTCTAACAAGCACAAGCACTCTCCAGTTATATCGTTCTAATCGGATTTTGCCGTGCCAGCCTTTCTCTCGTGGCCAAGGATTCTGTTGCCCGAGAATAACACCCAGAGTGTAGTTGTCGGCGAAGTGATGCTCGCCCACCATGTTTTGGGACATGTCAGCCCCACCTTGAGGGAGGAGGAGGAGGGGGGGGGAGATTACGTCATTGCGCATACCTGAGGCAGTCGGGCTGCTCTACTAGTCTGACAAACATCAGGAATCATCCCGGCGGCCGTCACGGAGCCGCGCCTGACAGAACATCAGTAATCTATTTGGTCGCTGGCACAACGTCCCACTACTCTAGCCGCTTGCTAGGAGACATAATCTGATGCAGGTCCAAGAACGCCCTGGCCGCGCGAGCTGCGGCGTCGAGCTAAGGCGTCGATGGACGGCTAGACGGTGCCGGGACTATCTATGGCAGGTAGGGACGATCAATCAGAGGGAGAGCGATGATGGATGGTGGGTGGTGGTTGGGGCTGTGAGTGCGCAGGCAGCCTCTGGGCGAAAAGCTGAGAGCTCGGCACGACCAAGCCCCGGTGCTGGGATCATGAGTCGGGGCATGCAGGTCAGAAAGAGCAGAGGGGGAAACCGTAAAGGACGATGCAGAGTTATCGGATGGTGAGCATTAATTAGGCCATCCCATAGATGTGCTTTACATATGGCGGCGGGCGCCCCACTGGATGTTTGTGCGTGGGCTGCTGGGGAAGCTGGGGCCGCCGCCAGGAAAACCAAGTTCCCAGAGCTCCCCCTGAGGTGAGCCTGAAAAAGGTGACATCACCGCGCCTGCTTAAACTGCTGTCTGTGGAGGCAGCGCCAGTCTCAAAGGTTTCTGTCTAACGTAGATAGATGCTCAGCCGGATGCGACGACAGGACACTGCACCTACACCCGGCAACGCAACATCTTCGACTCTGCGCTTCTGCTCCCGTGGCATTGGGCATCTGCTGCGCTTAACCTGCGGACGTCCCAAAAGGCACAACAAAGGGCACGCCTGTGGTCGGGCCCCGTGCGAGGATCATAATACTCGTTGCCGGGTCGAGCAGCGAGGCAGCGCCAACCCTTTTCTCGCCTTTTCCCCGCCTGCCCGCCTCGCGCTGTCTCACACCACCCGCACCGCCTCTGCTGTTGTTGCGGCATCAGCACAAAGTCAAGTCTCAATTACTTACCCACCGGCACCTCTGCGGGCCCTTGGCCGAGCTTAGTCTGCAGTAGAGTTGGGATCGCTCCTTGCGGGAAGCACCACCTGCGTCGATTCCCAATCGCACACCCGCCCGAGGGATCGCCCGCCGAGGCCACTGCTTTCAGACAGCCGCCCATTCCCGCTAAGCCTCTTTGTGGCCACCTGCCTACGCTCTCGCGCGCGACGAATACGTCACGTCGTCCGCAATGGCCGCCCGGCCTTTTGCGCCCGCCGCCTCCAGCAGGTCTGGCGACTACTTCCCGCCCCAGAACGGTCATGACCATCATCAGCCTCTCGACCACGACCACGACCAGCAGACTCTCTCCAACACGCTCGCCAATACTCATCTCGCAGCCGGCACCAGCACAAACGACTTCTCCCACGACAACCCCAACCCCTACATCACCCAGCCCGACGCCGAGGGGTATTTGGGCTCTCCCAGTCGCCAGCCAAAGTTTACTGAGGAGTGGGATGCCAGCGTGAGGGGCAGCTCCATCCTCAACCATCCCGCCATGCAGCGCTCAAGCTCGGTGGTCTCCCACCGCTCCCACCGCTCCACAGAAGGCAGTCTCGCCGATGGCCAGGCCGCTTCCCTGTCACGGGGCAATACCCTCAAAAAGAAGAACTCCCTGCGCAAAGGCGGAGGCAGCCTCAGGCGCAGTGGCAGCCGCCGCAGCATGAAGGCCGGCAGTGTGCGAAGCCTCGCTCTCCAAAGCGCCGATGATCCGGAAGAGGCCAACAACGTCTTCCACTGCCCCGTCCCGACCTCGGGAAATCCCACCGAGACTCTAGCCAATCGCTTCCAAAGTATGTTGTTTCTCGAAACTGCCAGATCTGCTGCTTGCCACGTGGGAGTGCTGACCAGATTCGCTTTTGCGTAGCTTGGAGGAAGGTGCTCAAGGACTTGATCGCGTACTTCCGGGAAATCCAGAACCACTATGAGCATCGCTCAAAGTCTTTGCTGAAGCTCGCGAATGTCTTGAACAACACCTCAACCCCGCCTGGCTTCATGGCCGCGGGTGGACTGGACGATGCCTTGCAAATCCTAAGAAACTACCACAAGACATCAATTCATGAAGCAAACAAGGCTCGGGAGATCGAGGAAGACGTCATCTTGGCATTGACTGGGCTGAGGAGCGACTTAAACCAGAAGATGAAGGAGATCCGCGGCCTGTCTGGCGACTTCAAAAACTCCGTTGACAAGGAGATGGACAACACAAGGCGGGCCGTGAATGCGCTTTCCGAGTGCCTCGGTCAGACGGAACTCGACCCTTCCCTGACCACGGGAAAGCAAGACCCCTATCTGTTACGCCTGGCAGTCGATCGCCAGGTGGAGAGACAATTGGACGAAGAGAACTATCTGCACCAGGTTCGTGGAAGAGTATCCTTTCTGGTTTTGTGTCGCTCTTGTAGAAACAATGCGGCGTGTACTGACTTCTTCGACAGGCATATCTCAATCTCGAAACATCTGGCAGGGAGCTCGAGTCGATCGTGGTTGGAGAGATCCAGAAAGCCTATAACGCGTACGCAGGCATCCTGAAACGCGAGTCCGACAATGCGTACAGCGCCATCGAGGACCTCCGAGGCGGCCCCATTGGCATGCCCAAGGATTACGAATGGTCCAACTTTGTCCAGCGAGATGCTCAATTCGTCGATCCTGAGATCCCTATTCGTTCTGTCGATCGAGTCCACTACCCTGGCAGGGATCATGTTGCCTGCCAGGAGATCCGCGCTGGACTTCTCGAGCGCAAGAGCAAATATCTGAAGAGTTACACGGCTGGATGGTCCGTATCCTCCCTTTCTCACTCTGCATATACTAACATTGATGCAGGTATGTTCTTTCGCCAACACATTTACACGAATTCAAGTCGGCCGATAAGACGCAAGCCCCCGTCATGTCGCTCTACCTTCCCGAGCAGAAACTCGGCTCGCACTCAACGCAGGGCGGATCTTCGAACAAGTTCATCCTCAAAGGACGGCAGACAGGTGGTATGCACCGTGGCCACACCTGGGTGTTCCGCGCCGAGAGCCATGACACCATGATGGCATGGTACGAGGACATCAAGGCTCTCACCGAGAAGACACCAGAGGAAATAAGCAACTTTATCCGAGGCAACCATGCACGCTCATACTCCCGCTCTTCGCAACGATCCATGAGCAGCGATGGGATGGTCGACGAAGAAGACGAAGAGCCGTTCGTCGCGAACCCCGCCGTTGCCAGTCCAGGCTCCCGCGAACCGCATCAGAACAGGCCGCAGCCAGGTGGGCGATTCCCAAGCGACCTCGAGGTTACCGCACAGAGAGGCTTACAAGTGCCCCTCTCGCCCAGCAGCGGCAGTTCTGCAGTACTAGACCGGGACAATACCGTCCATCACACCCAGGCCAATGGAGCTCCAGATCACGATATCATTGCGGCCGCTGCTGCACAGCCGGGCAGCGGAGTAGGAGACCACTACCATGGGGTCGCCACCAGGCAATACCCGGTTGGACAGTCATATGGCAACACTGGTAGCGTAATCATGGACGAAGCCCCCAGCCATGCCGCCAGGATCGACCAGGAGGCCCAGCAGGATGGTGTTAACCCATACAGTGGAGAGTCATTCCAACCCCAATCCCAACATCTGGCATCGCAGCAGCAGCAATGGCAGCCTCCCCAGGATTCCAGCCATCCCGCGCTTCTTGCTGGTCCCATTTCTGTTAAAGATCATGGAGCAAGTCCACAGTCTGGGGCCAATTCCGGTCCTCACGAGTTGCCTTCCAGAGAAGGCGCCGATGAGAGTCAACAAATTCATCAGGATGCACGCATGCTGGGCGGAGCATATACCACGCAGCAGACACCCAACACAGCTAGCACAGGACACTCCGCCGACGGTTCCTGGCGGCCATCTTCCGCAGTTAGTGTTGATACACTCACAAGCGACTTGAGCAGTCCCGTGAGGCCGTGGGCCGGGAAGCGAACTGATTCGACCCCTCATGTTCCTGGGGAGTACCCTCGCAGCATACCCGCGAGTACCCCAGGAGTGTAACAAGCCAAAAATGGGGGCCTTACTGTGGTTCTGAACTTCGATCCTCCGCAGGATTATTGGCTGGCTGGGTTCTTGTGCGCCAGCGGCGTGTGCAGGTCAATCCTCATGGTATACGCCTTTGGTGCGAGAGGTCGCCAGCGGAATCACTGCTTCCCAACAGACAGCCTGCAATGATTCTCGTCTGGTTTTGCCAAATTGTTTCAGTTATTCCCCTCCTCGCTCTCGTCGTGTAGTTCCTTCGCGAACCCATCTCCTTGCGTCTTACAACCTCTTAACAAACTGGATCTCTTGCTTATTCAAGCCCCTGCCCACCACCAAACCCCTTATCCCCCCCAGAATCCGCGTCTTACCTCCAACCAAAATTCCCCAAGCACATCTCCACCGTCTTGTATCCCGCCTCAGGGAGGCGAAAGTCGCTTCTTTTCGAAGTTCCAGGCCGCAGTGCGTCCTATCCCAATCACCACTGCTTTCCCCCCCAAACAGTTATGCCGAGTTAGCCATGCTTTTGTGAAGTTTCATCGGATCAACCAGCCAAATAAAACCACTTCTTGTTTGCCTTTTCCTCCAGTCAGGTGATTTACACAATCGTGCATGAGATTTGTGTTCTCCAACGCGCGCCAGGTGGCCAAAGTCGCTTCTACATTAATGCGCGTGAGATGTGAGGGATGATCCGGTGCCGCATGTCGCATTTGCATCTATCTCTCTCTCAAAGGTTTGATCCCCCCCAAGGTCAGCAACCCATTACGGACAAAACTATCATCTGGACGTGGACGTGGAATGCTGCAACCGCGAAAGAGGTCATCGCGGGCATGTCGGGTGTTGAGAGGCATGCATGCGGATCTTGCTTGCACGAGGATCCAGCAGTTACCACATGACCACATCATATCGAACCTGATGGATTTCACTTGGTGCCTTTTGGATGACAGAGATTTGTTTGCTACTATGCCGTCTCCCCGACATTTGCTCGCTAAGTAACCAAATCATGACACAATCTCCTGCCGTCTGACGGCGCAGTGCTACGTAGGGTGTATGTACGTGAACTGAGGCAACTCCTAGTTGTGTTGCCAGAAAGGTATCCCAATATATCACTGCTTGCTCCCCAGAGAATCTGCTCCAGGCTTGTTTCTTCCAACATTACCGCATGATCTCCTGGTAGATCAGCTGCTTGAGCTGCTCCTTGCTCAGGTTATCCTTGTGCTTGTCAAAGTCGAAAAACTCCTCGGGGATCGGAGGCGCGGTCGGCTCGTCCTCGGGATCGTGGTATGGCTCCAAGTACGGATGCTTGAGTGCCTCTTCAACAGTGATGCGCTTAACAGGGTTGAAGGCAAGCAGCTTCTCGAGCAGGTCGAGTGCCAAGTCCGAGGTCTTTGGGAAAAGGGTCCTGAAGGGGACCTTCTTCTTGAAGGGGAGTGACCGAATGTACTCCCGAGCACGACGCGACTTGATGCCGTAGTAGTCCTCCATTGTAGGCGTTCCGAGGACGTCAAGAATCAAGGTCAGCTGGTGGTGGTCTGCAGAAAATGGTCAGTCCATGGTCTAAGGAGGCTCGAAAAAAAAGAATGACGACACTCACAGTCCTTGCCAGGGAAGAGCGGCTTGCCACTCAACATCTCAGCTAGAATGCAACCAACAGACCACACATCAATGGCCTTGGTGTATTCCTTGAAAGTCAACATGATCTCGGGGGCACGGTACCAACGAGTGGCAACGTATTCAGTCATGAAGCCAGAGTTGTCCTCTTGCGAGGCGGCGGAACGGGCAAGACCAAAGTCGCAGACCTTGAGATCACAGTTGGCGTTCAGCAGCAGGTTGCTTGGCTTCAGATCTCGGTGCAGCACGTTGGCGGAGTGCATGGCCTTGAGAGCGCGCAGTGTTTGGTAGATGAAGTACTGGCAGTGGTCGTCGGACAGATCCTGAGTTCTGATGACACGGTGCATGTCTGTCTCCATGAGTTCCTGCTTGGTGTCAGCCTGCTCTACTCTATGTGCCAGATAGAAGTTCGAGTCGTACCTGAATGAGGTACACCTCGGTGAACGAGTCGTAGTTTCGCGGCTTCTGGATGTCCAAAATAGAGATGATGTTCTCATGGTTGAAGTAGCGAAGCAATTTCATCTCACGCAGAGTTCTCAAACAGAACATGGAGTGGTCAAAAGGCGTGATCTTCTTGATGGCGACCTTCTGGCCGGAAGGCTTATGGATGGCAGAGCTACAATAAACGTTAATTTCGTCTCACTTATTGCAGGCACGGGGTTGGCTTACCAGACGACACCGTAGGCTCCCTCGCCGACCACGTCTTGAATATCATATTGCTCGCTGACATTGAACGAGATCTTGCGAGACCCCGACGAGGGGGGCTGCTGAGCTCGCGACATGGTTGCGGGGTCGATTTATGGGATCGAAAAGCACGAAGATTCGCTCAATGTGTTTGCAAAGAGCTCGACGCGCGAGAGCTTTGCTGTCGTCCTTTCAAGGCCCGCCGTGGATACCAAGGAGGTCCAAGTGTTTTGGACTTGTATGAGTTGCGCGGCGTTGTCTCTTCTACAAGCTAAAGACTACCTTGGTCAGTCTGTCATTCTACCTGGTGGCATTTACATGCGCAAACAGAGATAGTCCGTGTCATAAAAGCCCGCCGTATTGATGTCCTGGATCGCTATGAGTGCTGGCTGCCAGGAGAATAGATTTCGAGAGCGGTGTTGCGCGTAGGTCCACTCTGGCCTTGGCGGAGGACGGAGAATGATGCGGGCGCTTTCTGGCCGAAGTTGTGGGACCGCGAGGTCATTTTGCTTTCCGACGCCCTTACCGAACCAAGACTGTGAGGCGTTGCGAAGATGGCGGGTATGCTGCTGGCGGGTGCGATGGTGGGCTGGTCTGCAGGCAGGGTCGAGTGGTGGACAAGTGACCGCGTACTGGGATTACCCCTCTCCAGGCGCGGTGCTGATGCTGGCCCTGCTAATGGCGACGTCGGTAGGGCAGGATCGACATGTGGAACGACTGGACTGTTGGTTGGGCCGTGGATGGTCGACAAAAGAGGCCGCTCGGCCGGGGAAACAGAGAAATGGCATGGAAGCAGTGTTTCGAGCTCTGTGCTTGCTTACCTGAGGGCGGCGTGAAGGCCTGCTGGAAGTGATTGCGGGTTGTGAGGGGGAGCGGGAGCTAGGACGAAGGGGTTTGCCCCGCCTCGAGGTAGCTGGGCTGGAAGATGTGAAAAGAAGCTGGTGGCCGTTGTCGCCGATGTTGTCGACAGCAGCGAAGTGGGATATGGGCGCGCGAGATGGGCGGCCGTCGCTGGAGAGACAAGATGCAGACTGGAGAAAGAAGCCTGGCAAGCGGAGGAAGAGGGAAGGGGGAGGAGGAGGAGGAGAGAAGTTGCGGAGGACACCAGGGCCAGCCCGCAGCACGGACATGGATGGAGACGAGACGAGAGCAGGCAAAGTGGTGGTGGAGGAGGAGGTGGTGGTGGAGCTGGTGCGACGGGAGCAGCGGGGCAGGGGCAGCTCCAGCTCAGGGACCTCATACAGCCCTCCTGGCTGGTGCGTTTCGGCACGCGCGAGCACAAGGCTCCGTCCAGAGCTTCCAAGGTTCACTTCAGGCGTGGCTCTCCTCTCCTTTGCCTGCCATAGCCAGCCCCAAAGACACAGTATGGATGGCCCCAGGCCCTGCCAATGCCAGGTCCTCTAGCCAGTCCACGTGCCAAAGTGCTCGGTCGAAACAAAGAACTCGCCTCTTCTGGATTGCCAAGTTACATTGAAGCCACCACAGGCGGACATCAGGTGGGCCTCTGCTCGGCGCTGCAAGTGTTCTAATTAAAGCTCCTCTGCGGGTACAAGTAGTCGCGCAGCCCGCCTGTCCATCTTTTGCTTCGTGCTGCTTACGCAGTACGGCTGGAGCGCAGCATCGCCATGTCCTTTCATCTATACAGACAGATCTGGTTGTTGCAGGACGCACGCGGTGGAAAGCAAGTAATGACCCCAGGACCCGACCTGGTCAACTCAACGCCGCCACTCAGGGGCCGCGAGGGTTCTCTCCTCCTGACTCCTAATTGAGGGCCCGAGACATGGGGTACAGTACCGTTGTCAGGGCCCAGTCCAGTCCAGTCCAGACAACCTCGACCCTCGCCACAGGCCTTGTAATCCCGCAAAGGGATAGTTGTTTCACGCATCCCAGAACCTCTGCGGCACGGTGCGCCCGGCGGGGAGTGGGGCTCACGACTTCGACGTTGGCTTGCAGGCGGCCTCATTTGATGGCGCATCAAGGCACGCGCGACAAGTAGTCCAGGAAAATTCATCGCAAATGTATCATGGTGCACCGACATCTTACAGCGGGATGACTTGTTCTGATTTGTTCCAGCCGGTCGATATCGTTGTTGGGTAGCGTATGTAGCACACACATCACCACCCTCCCAACCCCTTTTAGGCCGTCGGCAGCAGGTTTGGCCAACCAGGGGTCTTGCTAAGCGCCGAATCCAGGGCCCTGGCGCGTGTTTCAACAATCACTCTTCAACGCAGCCTCCTGACTGGTCAGCCTCAACATGTGACATGCGCCGCTTCCCAGTTCATTGGCATAAGGGTCTATCCTAAACTTCACGCCTCCAAGGAAGGATTTAAATCTCTAATTGGAGGTTGCTATTCATGAGAGCAGCACTCTGATCTCGCCGGTTGTCCTGGGAAAGAGACTTCTGTAGCCTGGCACTTCCTCATTTGTGTCTTGGCCCTGGCGTGACTGGATAAGCTGCTCATCCGCGTAGATGAGCATCTCCTCGATGCGCTCAAAGTCGACACAGAACCTTTCTGCGGCGTCTTCGGTGATTTCCCGCGCCAGCCTGGCGTCTTGCAGGCTTTTGATGTTTTCCATTGCGTCCATGATGGCCGACGGCAAGAAATCGTCCAAGTTCTGGCTCGCCAATGTGAGCGCTTCCGGCTTCAGAGCATCGAGCTGGCGCAACCTGGCAATGTCCTCGTGCGAGTCTGTAAGCGGAGCCATTGCAGTAAGGAGGGGCTCCAGATAGGACTCGTCCTTGAAGAACTCGTACTGCTGATCGACCATCTTGTTCTTGTGCTCGTTCACCATATCCTCCAGAGCCGCAACTCGTCTGGCCGTAAAGTCGAAGGGCGATAAGGTGAGCTTGGCGGCAGTCAAGCAGTTGATGAGGAAGATCGAATCTCCAGGTGCCTGCATATTCCTGGCCATCTTGTGGCAGCCTTCCAAGAAAGGCTCGAATGCCTCAGCCATGATTGGCTGAAAATCGGATTCTCGATCTTCCGCCGAGGATAGTGACGTTTCGTACGTCTGCATGATAGATGTGAGCTGCTTCAAGCTGTCCTGTAGAAATTCTGGAGGCCCTAAATCTGCTGGAGTGTGCTGCAGGTCACTTTGCAGGGTCGCGAGGTGATCGCGCATAAGTGACCGGAACTGACGCAGAGCCTCGGACTCGAGGTTGGCCATGATATCAAGGAGCACAGACTGCTTGCCGAGCAGTTTGGCGAAAGTGACTCGGTAAAAGTTGAGGAGGTTTGCCAGCCGGTAGGCCAATATGGACTCCTCGTTTGTCTGGATCACCTGCTCAACCCTCTGCCGCAGCACACGGGCAGCGCCAGCGACGTCTCTGTCTACGAGATCGTTCAAGGCTTGTATCGCATCGAACTCAGGTGGGCCGTCTTCATCATCGGCCATGAGCCGCCACAACTCGTTCTCGCGGCCTTCTTTGATTCCCTGGACGATATCATTTCCTTCGGAAACAAAAAGCACCTCCAATGCCTCCCTCTCGCTGACGGTAGCTGAATGTGTCCACGCCAGCATATCGCCCACGTATCGTAGAGGGTCGTGAGCTACCAAATCGATGGGTTTCACAGAGTGGTCTTTCGCGCCTGATGTCGAAGTGCCATTCAGCGCCAGGTAGAATGAGTCGGACAAGATCTGCTCCCTGGCTTCGGCGAAGAAGTCTAAGCAGTTCTGAAAAAGGGACGGTCGTTCTGCGAGTACTCGCAAAGCGCGACGTACGGATGAACTGATTTGCGGGTTTTCCAGGTTGAGCGTCTTGAACTCCTTTTGGATCCAGCGGTAGAGCTTCTGGAAGGCAAGGTTGAGATTCTTTGAGGTCTGGTCCATGATCTCGAGGCCTAGAGTCTGGTTCTCAAAGCCCAACAAGACCTCGCAGTCCTTCCGGATTCGTTTGGCCTTGGCCAAGACGCTGAAAAATTGGTCGTCCACGGGTTCACTTGTCATTGTGAGTGCTGCAACCTCGTCTTCAGTAAGCACGAAATGCTGACGAAAGGCCTGGAGAAGTTGCTGCTTAGTCTCGACATTTTTCCTCTGGTTGACAAGGTTGGACGCCTCCTCGAGCGTGGCAGACGTGGTCTCCTGAGCCGCGGTCACATGGCCCTTCATCTCTTCGTAGCTCTTGTTGAGCTTGTCAATTGTGCTTCCAATCTTGCGCAGCTGCTCGGCCACCCGGCCAAATTCTGTCAGTATTTGGCCATTGCTGTCGATGACCTCCTTCTGCACGTCCAGGCGCAGCTGCCTCCGAATCTCGGCAGTGTTGGCGAGGGCCCGGCGGTCCAGCAAGGCGAGCGCGTCGCGAAACTCGGCGTCTGCATATGACGTCGAAAGTACGCTGGTGACCTTGGAGGAAACGGGGTTGGCGCTCCTGCTGCTCGAGGTCGGCGGTGACAAAGGACCTGGCGACAGCGCGTCCCGGCCAGGTAACTCGAGCGAGCTCAGGCCATAGGTTGCCATGACGGGCGCACGTAACCCTCCGTGCAGGGGCACCAGCACACTATGCAGGAAATGTTTGTGAGGCAACTAGAGTTGACGGTTTGGTGTCGGTGGCCAGGCGTGGCTCTGTGTAAACGATCCGGACAGCTGGCGTCCATGAAGGTGCCCAGCATGGGTGGAGATCTGCTGGGAGATGCACTGTACGCAGTACCTCGCTGCATGTACCTCGTGAGGGGCAGTCTCCTCCACGTACTTGTCGTATCGACTGCACTGAACTCCTGCCTCAAGGTATGCAGCACAAGGGTACCTGAGAAGATTCATAGCCATCCGAGCTCCTTGGAAGCGGGTTTGAGGTGACCCGTCCCGTCCCTCTGGCTGCTGCGTGCAAGTCATGGTTGGCAACCACAGAGATGTTGAGTACCTCGAGGGACCGACTGCCCAGGGCTGCCAGCCCTGTGGCCCTGTGGCGGGCGGCCCAGGGGCATGCACATGTGCACTAGGCCGATATCGTGCCCAGGACGGCGCGGGTGGAGACGCCGCCGCCGCATGCCGCGGGCGGGCCATGACGCGCGATAGCTGTCAGTCACGCAGCATCGCCTGCCTGGACCCCGTGACTGCCTTGAGCCTCGAGCCAGGATGACCACAACGACAGGCGCCGTCTCTGTGGCATACTCATCATCATAAGACCAGCCCTTCTGTCCTGGCCTGCGCACGTCTCGCAAATCTCGCGCCCCTCAACAACTCTCCCCAGCTGCCTCATGGACTTGGCCTCGTGATAGCCAATCCACCCGACTTCGGCACAGCCTACACCAGGCCCTACCCTCCTCTCTCTGCCGACCTATTCTCGACGATAACCACCTCCTACACCACCACCGCCACCACAACAAGTCTGACATGCAGCTCGTCCTCGGCTAACAGCCATTTCTACGACATTCGGCATATGAAGTCCACGACAAAACTCCCGCAGCCACTATTGCACAACCCTGCCGCGCGGTTCGCATGCTCCACAAGATCCAGAGGATGAGTCTGCATCGTCTGCACGAACGACACTAGACCTGCTGAGCTGATCTTGTCCCAAGGCGGGCAACATGTTCGCACCCAGCAGCGGCTCGCCGTATCGCCACCCGGCAAATCACAAAGGTGATCACGACATCGAGAACGCGGCGGGACTTGATCTCGATGAACAGAACCTTGCCCACAACTTTCATGAAGACGACCTGGCAGATCGCTTAGACAGCCCGACGTCCTCAAGAAGCCCCGATGCCCCGCGTAATCGTCTCCGGCACGAAACTCAGTCTCAGCATTGGCTTCTGCAGGATGACGATGTAGACAACGATGTGCCTGCGTCATTGCTCGTGGAAGGAAACCTTGCTGGGCCGTCGAAACGCAACGCCCGGAGGACAAGGCCTCGAGAAAGCAAGTCCCCTGCGGCAGGGCCTCCAGGACGTAGGATACAATCGCAGTGGGAAACTGCACAGGCACGACAGCGGTTACACCCGGAAGATGATGACGGCTATGGCCAGCTACCAACTGTTCAACCTGGTATGGCACAGAGGCGGCCCGGCATCGTCACAAATCCCCGAGACAAGGCCATGTTCAGATGGGCAAACGTGTCCAATCTGGATGTGTTTATTCGAGATGTATATGATTACTACCTGGGCGCCGGCATGTGGTGTATCTTGCTGGAACGAGCCCTGCATCTTGTGTAAGTTGATCAGCAATGAGTCCTGATTTGTCGTTGTGGTCTTTTACTGACATACACGACAGAAAGGTACTCTTCATCGCGGTCCTTCTGACGATACTCACACAATGCGTGGACTACAGCAAGATCAGACACAGCAAGAATCTTTCACAGATCATGATCCCACAATGCACAAAGAACATGTGGGGAGTCTGGAACTTCAGCCTATGGGTCTGCAGCTTCTATCTCGTCTGGAAGTCCATCCAGTGGACCTTGGACATACCACGGCTCATGCACATCCGAGATTTCTATGTCTTCCTTTTAGAGATTCCCGAGGAAGATATGCAGACCGTCTCGTGGCAAGATGTGGTTGCCAAGATCACTGGCCTTCGTGATCAGAATGTCAAGACGGCGACAAACATCACTCCATCGCAACGGCGCTTTCTATCACAGCATCTCGGACCCCACATGGCCCATCAAGCTAAGGAGAGACTTGACGCCCACGACATAGCAAACCGTTTGATGCGTCGCGAGAACTACATCATTGCATTATTCAACAAGGATGTGCTCAATCTGACAGCGCCCATTGCTTTCATCCGGAATCGTCAGTGGTTCTCACGAACACTGGAGTGGACAGTGCAATTTGGGGTCCTCGACTTGATCTTCAACGACAGCGGCCAAGTACACCAACGTGTACTTAGGTCAGACCACAGAGCACAGCTAAGCCGCGAGATGAAGACAAGGTTCGCGTTTGCCGCAGTCATGAACCTGATACTCACACCATTCCTGGCTTGTGCTATGCTCGTTGATTTCGTGTTCACTTATTACAATGTGAGTAGACGACAGCGCCAACCTGGTCAAGGCTCATCAGCTAACAAATGTCTCAGGAATTTAAAACCAATACTTCGTCAATCGGTGCACGGCAGTACACGCCCCTTGCTCGATGGAAGTTCAGAGAATTCAATGAATTACCTCATCTCTTTGAAGAGCGACTCAACATGTCCTATCCGTATGCGAAGCACTACATTGACCAGTTTCCAAAGAAGAAGACGGAGCTAGCAGCTCGCACAGTACAATTCCTTGTCGGGGCGTTGATTGCGGTCCTTGCGATCGTCGGCTTTTCTGATCCGGAAATGTTTGTCGACTTCGAGATCTTCCCAGGGATGACTGCCTTTGGCTTCATTGCCGTCCTTACAACAGTCTGGGCTGTTGCACGAGGCATGATATCCGAAGAAAATGACGTCTTCGACCCCGAATTTGCAATGCAGAGTGTTATTGAGTATACTCACTATCAACCTGACCAGTGGCGTGGGCGACTCCACAGCTACGATGTTAAGACAGAGTTTAGCGACCTGTACAAACCACGAGTCGTCATCTTTTTCGAAGAACTTCTGGGTGTCCTGATCACGCCGTTGGTGCTTTATTTTAGCCTACCTCACTGCAGCGATCAAATCGTCGACTTCTTTCGCGAGTTTACTATCCACGTTGACGGACTAGGCTATGTCTGTTCATTTGCAGTCTTTGACTTTCAGAAGGACTCGCGGAACGCACGGCCAGGAGGACAAAACGCCGCCGATGCCCGCGAGGACTACTATGCGACCAAGCATGGCAAGATGCAGGCTTCTGTTCATGGATTCTTGGACAATTATCTCTACAACCCGCGTAGTGGACTCATTGGTGCGCAACCTGCAGGGCCCGCCGGTCGTCACCAGTTCCATCCACCACCACACTTTCCAGGGCTTATGTCTCCGACCTTTACCGCAGACCTAAGGTCGTCGAGGGTTGGGCGCAGTGAGCCAGCCAAGGGCAAGCTGGCTCAGGGGGCCCAGCATCCCGGGCGTACGCCACGTTTCGGGCCTGCACCGGTCGCACCATCACCAATGGCTTCCATGCTTCTTGACCCTCATCATCAACCAGCAGCACCTCTCGGCGCGTCTCGCAATCTTGCGCACCGGGGAGCTCGACCATACCAGCCCTCGAGGAGCTTCTACCAGCAACACGGCGATGCAGACATCATCGAGGAGTCACAGGAGGGCGCGGCATCTATGCTAGGTCCAGCCGGCATGAAGATACAACCTAGCACTTTGCACCGGCAGAACACGCAGTACACCGACGACGGAGACGTAGAGGAGAGCGTGGCTCACCTGGGCGAGTCGACATGGGCGGGAGATAGGCGCGGCCAACTGAGCCGGGACAACAGCGGACTCGCGTCGGACAGTGCCGACGGGCAGGAACAGACTGGCGTTGTGCAATTACTACGGCAGTTCCAGGCTACGCATCTCAACCAGCGCGGTGGCGTCATGTAGCAGGAGTGGGCATTGGTAGCGATTACAGGATATATATACAAACTTGTCAGGCCCGAGAATAGCAAATTGATGGATCTGGCTATTGATATCATTGCGAGCTGAGCCTTCATTGCAATGCCCTCCATTACATGTGCACCCGCCATATAAGCCACGTCAGCGACATTGCTTCAGGGCCCCTTGCTTCGACCGTGGAGACTACAATCCACTATGCGGCTCGCGTATTCGGACTCTCATCCACGTGTAATCTCAACCGCGGACCCCGAGGAGCGGCGATGGCAGCACTCCGTGACCGATCCTGGCTTTTTCTCTTTACCCATTGGCGTCTTCGCGCTGTGACCCGGGCTTGCTTTCCGTCACATCCCCCTGATATGACCTTTGTGATCCATTACCGGTGCCTGCGTTGACATTCTCTCCTCACTTTGACCCACGTTTTACTCGTTCGACGGGTGTCCGGCCTGTAAATTCTTGCCTTGGAGGGTTTTGCCCACGGGTGTGGCTTGTCACCTTGGAGCACCGACCTGGCGTCTACCGGTCTCCCGCCAGCGCAGGAGCCCTTCGAGCCCGTGCCCTCGACTCGTCGTCAAGCGATGGAAGGCGCTGAAGAAGACTCCCTGTGCCAGCTCTAAAGAATGTCGAAAGTGTTATTGCACCGGACTCGAGTCCACGTCCTCCAGCACATCGTGCTGGCTCTTGTGTCTTCAATTGTGCAGAGAACAATTGGCAATGTTGACGCAGCCGCTGCGGATGACATGAAGATGATTTTCCGCGCCCAGGATCTCATCTAACAACAGCCTTACGTGATCGCTTGTGGCCATGTGCTTGAACCAGCATGGCGGATCGGATAGATCAAGTGATGAGCTGAGCCTTTAAACAGCCATGCAAGGTGGTGTCTGCAACTCAAGTCGCGCCAATAACCCAGAGCTCGACGCCCATGACATCGAACTTCTCGCCCTCGTCACTGAGCGGTCTGTTCAGGAAAGTCTCACATTCACCACTGCGGCCTTTGCTGAGAGAGTCGTTGAGCCACAACCCGTATTTTCCGTTGCCGCCACCGACAGACAAGAAGCCCGTTTCACACTGCATGCAGTAGTCATTGATACCGCTGTACGCAAAGTTTTGGAAACGAATGCTCTGCGTGTTTGAGATGGGCGGTGGCACAGCTTTGTTTGTGGTCGGGTCTACAGGTGCGGGGGCGAGGAGCGAAGTCCTGTTCGGCTCTGGGTTTTGATCTGTAGAAGCGATGGTGGTCACGCGATAGTTGTCGAGTTCGCTTGTATCGGCGGATGGGGGCGGCGGGAGGGCGGCATGGAGCTCTGCTCGCCAGAGGAAGCATTCGCCAGTGCCAAAATATGAGTGCGCAGGGTGAGGGGTGTCGGTCAAGTAGGCACCAAACGTCTGTGGCGAGCAAGGCAGAAGTTGTTAGCGGCAGGCTTTCATCAAAGCACGTCCCTAGAGCTCAACAAGGGCTGTTCTACTCACACTATCCGTGCCATCTCGCACCACGAGCACAAACCCGACTCTCCGGCCACGGAACTCATCGCATAACTTGTAAAGTGTGCCCAGCGAGCTCCCATTCTGGTACAAGCTATACACGAGACTCCAGGTGTCCACGATTTTGAGCCGCTCGGGCAGGAAAGTGCGGATCTCCTCAGCAATGCCACGATTCAGCAGCTGCTGCTCGGGCTCGGTGTCTGGGTGGAAGCCGCTCAGCGAAAGAGGGCTCAGGCTTGGCAGGCCGACTGGAGAGGCCTGGCGGCGCGGCGGGGTGAAGGCCCCATGAATGCCGTCCCCCGAGACGGAGGAGAACATGCTCGAGACTAGGCTTGGCTGCTGGAAGGCGCCGGCGATACCCTTGGCGCCGTGCTGCTGCCCTCCCTGTGCTTGTTGTTGCTCGTCCAGAGACGAGAGGCGGCGCCACAGGCCCATGACGGCAGATCCAAAACCGTACGGGGAAGCAGGGGCCGGGGCGGCAGTGCTGTTGTTGTTATTGTTGTTGTTGTTGTTGCTGTTGGCGTAGGAGTGCGGTGTCGAGTAGCCTGATGACGGTGGCGAGACGTCTATCAGGCTGCCCTGAGACTGGCGATTCTGGCTCATGACGGCGGCTGTGGCTCTGGCATTTGGGAAACGTCGTCGGCTTTGCTTCTCTGCCGTTCGATGCGTGTCCAAGAAGGCTGGGTGCAGACAGAAGTCGGATGACTCTGGGTGTTGGAGCTGTCGTGGGGCAAAGAGCGGCGAACTATTATCTGGATGGTGGCACGACTTTCCAGGTCGGGCCCCCAGGTGGGGTCTAACGTCAGCAGCCTCTACGTACTAGGGAGCCCCCATGCAGCCCTCCGCGGGCTACAGCAATGTGTCAAACGAAGCTTGGAAGACAGGCACTAAAAGCTTAGATGGTCAGGTGGCTGGGCCGCGATGCTTTGGGGAAAGACCGTGGAAATGTTCCGACTAGCCTCGGGGCAGGCTTGACCTTGCAGAGCTAGCCTTGGAAGGGCCAGAGAGGACATCGACAGGCTGCGTCACTCTGGCCAATCTTGGAAGCCCAGCAGCCCATGTTAGTGATCCCGGTCAACGACCAATACCTATCCCACGGCCTGCCACCATGACCTGCTCGTCCTCTTGCTCGTCCAGTCTCAGTGTGTCGCTTGAACCGGTCATCGAGGTGTTGCACTTGGTCAGAACACGGGGGCCGTTTGCGTCGCACACGAGTTGGCGCAATGTCTTATAGCCTCTCAGCACGACCACAGCATGATGAACCTAGTGCGCAAGCTGCCACCTACGACATGAGGAAAAATGCCGTGATTATTCAGATATGTGAAACCCCTGCGCCAGTAAAGCCAGCCTACGGCAATTTGCTACTCGAACGAGGAAAACGCTCAGAGTGCGTTCTCTATGGCATTGAGAATGCGTAGTGCTCGGCACAAATCTTGGATATCTTTCAAAATGCTACGCCCGCTATGCAACCGATGGAAATGCCCAAAATTCATCTCGTCCTCCCCCATGCAGCAATCCTCGCCTCAGGTACCAACGCGCGCTTCTCCGCCGATGCCCATCTCAAAGCCTGGACACGCAGGATCCATGGGAATCCTCGGGCTCTTTGCTGGACAGGCAACCTCGTTGGCCAGTGCGCGGTACCGGTCGATCAAATCAGTCTGCCGCATGCCCTCCATCTGAGTTCCAAAGCTGAAGTGCGAGACAACAGAACGCGTGTCAACCAAGAATGGACGTTGGGTCCTCAGGGGGATGGTCACCGTCAGATCCTGCTCGTCATCGTCCGCAATGGGAAGTTGCTCGCGGATATCGGAGCCCCAGACGGCGACAAAATTGAGGTTGTACCGGCCGAATCTTGTGTCGTAAGTCTGCTCTCCGCCAGGGCCACCCTCGATTGGTTGTGCGATAGTGTCGGCATTTGCTGTCCTGGCCCCTGGCTGAAACTCGATGTTGCGCCCGAAGAAGTAACGGTCTATCCGGTTCTGCTCAAGGTTGTGCAATAGAGAGTATTGCTGTTGCGCGCCAATACCCCAAGACTCCCAGGCTGGGCTGAACGCCAAGTCTGTATGGTCGCCACTGAGCTGGTAGACACCCATCGGGGTCTTGATCAGGTCAAAATTTCCGCCAGTTGTCATCAGCCACGTGTGGCCCTGGTACGGCACCGGCATCTTCTTGACGTTCCTTATTGGGTGCGAGTCGATCGAGTCTGGGTAGTGCGGCTTTGCGGACGGCCTCCATGTGACGGCCGCCTTGAACGACGCCTTTTCGCTCGTCTCGGGCATGAAGGGGTAGATTGCGCCATAGTGGTAATGCTGCACGGCGGTGACGGGGCTGTTAATCAGATTCGAGGCGGTAGCAAACGGGTGCGGGACGTTGAGACGGGTGTGGACCAGCTGGGGGATCGCGTCTGGATGTATGTAGAGCTGTTCATGTTCAACTCAGGTTAGCCCAGGTGGCATTTTTGGGCACAATATCCAGTCGACTCGCGCGCCGGAGCCACCTTTGCGCGACTGGGCATATCTTGGGACGGACCACTTACAATATCATCGTCAATCTTGATGTACATGGTCTTGTTGCCGACGGCATGATCCCACAGACAGCCAAAGTGTTTGCTCGGGCAATTGCCTCTAATCACCTTGTACACCTCTTGGTTTCTGCCAACCAGGTCGTCCAACCAGGCCACATCATCCTCGATCTCGGTGTTGGACATGAACCAGACCTCATCAAGGTAGCCGCCATTGGCAGCGAGATTCTGCTGGAGGTAGCACTCCAAGATGTCCACTGTCCGCCTCCGCCCGTAGAAGACCATGCCAATGACCTTGAAGCCTTGTGGCTTCTTCCAGCCTCCGGGAGGAGCGACACTACCGACCTTGAACCGTTCCGGCGCAACGTCGAGCCCGCTAGCCAGCTTGCCTTCCTCGTCGACAGGCCATGTCGTGCAATATTTCTGCGAGTTGCCTGATGGGTAGACGAGGTTCATGACGCCCTGCAGGGGAACCCGAGCCGTGGATGTGTAGGGGCTGCATAGTATGATGATCAGGACGATGATAGCGAGAACGAGCAGAGCAATGCTCTTTGGCTGAGCTCGCCTCCGCGTGAGCCATCGGGAGGCATTGTAGCCGAGCCACGGACGCGACAACCTCGAGCGGCCTCGAGACATGACCGAGGACGACGACGACGACGACAATGACGACGACGACGAAGATGAGGCGGGGCGACTGCGATCTTCGCCGCTGGAAGAGTCGCTCAGGTCATGGTCTTCGATCTTGTCGATGTCATCCTGATCGAGCAGGCGGGCTGCCAACTCGACGTCTGCGGCGTTGGAGCGGCGCATAGCTTGCGCAGCTGGGCGTGTCCTTGGATTTTGCTAGGACTGGGCGGCGACGTGAGGGCACATGCAGGTTGTGGTGGCAGCAGGGAGTGCTCGTAAGGCCGGACTGAGAACAAACATGAGAGGCGGGCCATGCCTGGATGGTGTTGGACAACGGAGTCAGGGACCGACTGGCTCCTTCTTCCTCAGCGCTTTCCTGGTCTCCCCACAGCGGTTGCATCGTATGGGGGGGGTCTGAGGCTGCCATTGTCCGCTTGCCGCATGGATGTTGCCGACTGTCGTGTAAACGGCTCCGCTTGGCTGGCAAACGAGACAGGCAGAGACAGGGCAGTGCAGGGGGACAGAAGCCGGAGCCACGTCCCAAGTGGAGTCGCTCGCAAGGCTCAGGCGTCCAGTCCGTGTCAGATCATCTCGACGCGGCTGCGCTCCTCCACACACCAGGCATTGCGCGTCTGTAGTTGTGACTTCAGAGTGGCACTGTGCCCAGGCAGCACAACAGTGCTTCCCAAGGTCGGTGAGTCGATCGCTACCTTCTGCCCAAAAGGACTCCCCCACCCCCAAAGAACAGGATGCTCGACCATGATCCAACATTGGCAATGGCAAACGTACAGTGAGGCGGCAAGGCGCAGGCAAGGGAATCCACTGCCGGCACACCACCATGCGGCTGGGGCAGGCGCTGCCACCTCCACAGTCTGGGCCGGGGCTGAGCCTCTGAGGTCATCTTCGAAAAGTGCGACGACGCTAGGGGTGCAGGGCCCCCCTGCTCCCGTCCGCAAATATCCCCTTATGTAACAACAGCGTCGCCCCAGCACACGCCTCCCGCGTACAGTATGTAGTCGTATGGCTTGTCCCATTAAAAAAGGGGAAGTCCCAGACCGCTGATCACACTGTCCCAAGTGTCCATCCAGTCAGTCTGTGCACAAATGCGCGTCTTACCAAGGTAATATTGACGCCCGGTCCCAGAGCAGCTCCCTGGCGCATTCATGGTGTGCAAACAGCTGACTTTCTGACTCTACCGTTGACTTTGATAGACTCACTACACTAACAGAGTTGCTCCGGCTTCAGAGGTTTCGCCAAAACCATGCTTCCCTGTGCCACGGTGCTATTTTGCCGGAACAAGTCAGAAGGCCCTGTTGTGTGCCCAATGTACTGTACGCAGGAAGGTATCGTGGCTCCAGCTTACTGGGGCATGAATGCTCTGTGCATCAGCCCGCGACTACTCTAAAAAGCCAGCCAAGTGCGAATATATCGTGCGACCTTAATTGGAATCTGTCAAAGATCGGACCAGCAGTTCGAACAAGCTGTAAAATGGCAATCGTTCCAAAGGAGCCACCTCCCTTAGAACATCGAGCCATTCAAGCTCCAGGGTATTGGCTCAAAGGAGCCAGCTGCCCGACCTACGGGCCAATCAGGAAGCAAAGAACGTTTCTGCCTGGGTTCGACAGTGTCCTCACAAGGACAGCATTATTGCCAAGCAAGCATCCTACCCTACCCACAAATCCAGAATGCTCAGGGGTCTCGTAAGTTATTTTGCGGCATGCAGGTCAATAAATCCTGAAGACCTCGATGGCGCATTTGCTCAAGTTGCCCGAATTGGCCGACATGCATTGTTGACCCAAGCGTGGATCAACCCAGTCCGTAATAATCTCTTAGCCACAAAAAGATCATGTTGTCATATTTGATGTATTTATTTATTTCTCGTGGTATTTGTTCGTCCCTGTCACCAGCTAGACACTGACCTTGGGACTCTCTAAATACTTCAGGCAGCAGCAGGCTTCTCCTCGGATTTGGTAGCTTCAGGCTTGACGATCTCGGGGAATGGGTTGTACATGCCACGGTCGTCTCTAAGCTTACGGATCTTGGCCACAGCCTCATCGATATCAATCGGCTTGCCACGGTCTTGTGCAGAGGTGTTGTCGCGGAAGCGGACATTGACTTGCCGCCCCTTAACCTCCTCATCACCAACAACTAGTGAACCGTTAGTGTTTTCACTTACACTATGCCGAGAATGGTAGGGCAACTTACCGAAGATGAAGTTATACTGGGCCAATTGGGCGTTGCGGATCTTCTTTTGGAGAGTGTTACCACTCAGATCGATGTCGACGTACATCTTCTCCTTCTTGAAGATGGCCTGAACCTCCTCGGCGTAGGGGTAAAAACCAACTCCAACCGGCACAATCATGATTTGTCGAGGGCTGAGCCAGAATGGCCACCTTCCGGCAAAGTGCTCGGTCAAGATACCAGTGAACCGCTCGATACTGCCAGCCATGGCACGGTGGATCATGACAGGGCGAGCGCAGCCAGGGGTCAGAGGCTTGATCTTTGGAGCAGTGACCTTGCCATCCTTGGTCTCCTCCTTAGGCGCTTCTAAAGAATTGGTCAACATCCGAGTGCACTACATGAGTACGGAAACCTTCACATACCTTGTGGGGTAGGAACCTCCTCCTTGGGCTTGGCGGAGCTTTCAGAGGTCATGTACTCAAGACCAAAGTTCTGCGGTTGCATAAAGTCGAGCTGAATAGTTGCGCACTGGAAATCACGGCCCAGGCAGTCGACCAGGGTGATGTCGATCTTGGGACCGTAGAAAGCACCATCACCAGGGTTGAGTGTCCAAGCGACACCGCCTTCGGAAGCGGCAAACTCATCAAGAGACTGGCGCAGCATGTCCTCGGCACGATCCCAAGTCTCGATCTGACCCATATATTTCTCGGGGCGGGTGGACAGCTTCAACTTGAAGGTCAAGCCCAGCAGGCCATAGACTTCCCTCAGGAAATCAAAAAGGTCAGCCATCTCGTCCTTGATCTGGTCCTCACGGCAGAAGATGTGGGCGTCATCCTGCTGGAATCTGCGCACACGAGTCAGGCCGGAAAGAGCTCCAGAGGCCTCATTCCGGTGGAGGACACCGAAATCAGCAACCCTCCATGGCAGCTCTCTGTGTGACCGCTCGCGGTGACCGAAGAGCAGGCAGTGACCTGGGCAGTTCATTGGCTTCAAGCCAAACTTGACATTCTCCTCCATGTCAATCACGAACATGTCGTCCTTGTAGTAGTTCCAGTGTCCGGAAGTCTTCCACAGATCTGAGTTGTACATATTTGGGGTAATGACCTCTTGGTAGCCACGCTTCCAGTATTGCTCCCTCAGATATTCCAGGATGGTGTTGTAAATTCTGGTACCGTGGGGCAGCCACATGGCGGAACCTGGCGACAACTCGTGGAAAAAGAAGAGCTCCTGGTCCTTGCCGATCTTGCGGTGATCGCGCTTGGCAGCCTCCTCGAGGAACTTCTTGTGAGCAGCCATCAGTTTCTTGTCGGGGAAAGAAACGCCATAGATGCGCTGCAGCGAGTCGTTCTTGTTGTCTCCCAGGAAATACGACGCGGAATTCTTCATGATGGCGAAGGACTCAATTCTGCCGGTGTCTGGTACGTGAGGGCCTCTGCACAAATCGATCAAAGGGCCGTTACGGTACACTGTAGTGGAGGTTCCGTCGGGGATCTTGTCGTTGATGATATGTTGCTTGTACTTGTTGTAGTTGAACATCTCAAGTAGCTCTTCCTTGGTCAGGGTCAAGCGCTCAAACTTCTGCTTCTCCTTGACGATAGAGGTGACAATGGTCTCTATTGGCTTCCAATCGGTGGTCTGCACGGCCGCGCCGCCTGGGAGGCCCATCTCGTAGTAGAATCCATTGTCAATGGGGGGCCCAATGCACAGGCTGCAACCGAATCGTCTCTCAGCAGCCTCGCCAAGAATGTGGGCGCTCGAGTGCCAAAAGACCATCTTGCCTTGCTCATCGTCGAAGTTGAGGAGCTCCAGGCTGCAGCTTGCCTCCAGAGGACGATCCAGATCCCAGAGCTGCTCCTTGTCTCCATTCAGCCTGGCAACAACGGTGCGCTTGTACAGACTGCTGCTGATACCCTTGGCAATGTCGCCAGGAGTGGTCTCATAAGAGGTTCCGACCTTGATGCTACCATCTGGCATAGTGATGTTGATAGGTTCTCGAGGCTTCTTGGCGAGTTCCTCATCTTGTCGCTTTTTAAGGCGGTCGAAGAGGTCGAGACGGTGCTGGAGAAAGTCGGGAGCCGGGTTAATCTCGAGAGGGCCGGAAGACGCATCGGCAGCCGCACCCTTCTTCTCCTTCTTCGCTCCTTTCTTGTCGCCGACGGCAATGTTCTTGACACCTTCGGTGACGGCCTCGACGGCCTTCTTGGCTTGTTCCATGGTGAACTCGATGTCTCGTGTCCGTCTGAGGTGGGGTATCGTGAAAGGCAGGTGTCGAAAGGGCTGGCCCCGAGAGGCGTCGTGATATAGACCGCTTGTGTGAGTCAACGGTGAGAAACCAGTACAGAACACAATGCTGGACAGAGAATCGGCACCGGGAACTTGTCACAAACAGAATCCGGTGTCTCAATTCCCAAAGGGAGAGCTGCGAGTGACTCTGCCAGAGCTACGAATGACTCTTCCACAGCCCCTCCATCATAAATGTCGAGGAGATGTAATTGGTGGGGTGGACCCCTGCCTGGTGCAGGGTAGGCAGTGCACTGCCGATTTCGCATGCTTGATATCTTAGGTACGCTTCTTGCACGACTGGTAGCTCGAGCGAGGCTCAACGCCTTGAGTTCTGCGATGCGAGGCTCCTGCTCAAAGCGTGTCTCGTAGCAGACCATCGCAGGTCAAGGTTCATCTGCTGGTTTGTCTCTGGCCGTCCAGCCTGACAAGAGGACTCGAAACTCTTACGTGGATGATTGTCCCCCTCAAATGGACCACGTTTTATCAGCTGTATCCAGATGATCGAAACAACCTTGGAGGGCCAGGTAACCTCTCGAGCATAGCTGGACTACGACAGCGGCTTGTTCTCGACTCTGCAGAGTATAATTGCAACTGACATAAAGTCCAACCTCTCATACCTAGACCCATAAATTCCCTTGTGCCTGTGCCTGGACCGCTCACCTCCCACGGGCTGGGTGCTGCATGGAGGCGATTAGATAAGGGACCCCTGCCACTTCGCAGTGTACTTGCGCAGTGGCTGGAGTCACAGCAGCGCCCGAAGTCACCCAACGCGAAAAACAATTTCTCCGTCAAAAAGAAGTGGGCCGCCTCCATCCATTGGAAAAATTCCCAAAGCTCTGCTTGCAAGCTGCGACCAACCCAGGCAGGGGCCAAAAAATTACCAGCCGTGAGACGACCTGGGGATCACAGCCAATCTCGAAAAAACGCAGCGACCGCAGCGCATCATCATCATCTTCTAACTACTCTCACTCCGTGTACCCCTCCAATTCGAATCGCGGCAAACAAATCAGTCAACGGGAACCAAAAATGTTTCGCGGAGGAGCACCCCGTGGACGAGGTGGATTTGGCGGCGGTGGTCGCGGTGGCCCGAGAGGCGGTGGTGAGTTTGCCCTCACGATCCCAATTCTACACTCGACTTGCCGTGGTTTCGATGCATTCATTTGCGCGCGCGACAAGTGGCAGCGCTGGGTGACGCCTCGGTGGCCCTCGTCCCCTAGGTCCACGCGAAAGCCTACTCAAACGTCGTACCGAGTGTTTGCGTCCATTGATCCCACAAAGATTCCTCCTCCTCCTCTTCTCTCTTCTCGCTTGCGCGCCCGCACCAGCTGACCTCGTCAATCTTTTCGCTGCATTCACAGGCCGCGGCGGTTTCGGACAGCGCGACTTTGGCCCGCCGGACCAGATCCTCGAGATGGGCAGCTTCATGCACGCCTGCGAGGGCGAGATGGTGTGCGAGAGCATCAACCCCAAGGTGCCGCACTTCAACGCGCAGATCTTCCTCGAGAACAAGACGGCCGTCGGCAAGGTCGACGAGGTCCTCGGCCCCATCAACCAGGTCTACTTCACCATAAAACCCTCCGAGGGCATCCAGGCCACCAGCTTCAAGCCCGGCGACAAGTTCTTCATCGGCTCCGAGAAGCTCCTCCCGCTCGAGAAGTTCCTCCCCAGGCCCAAGCCTCCGCCGGGAGCCCCCAAGGTCAAGAAGCCCAGCCGCGGCGGCGGCGCCGGTGGCCGTGGCGGCCCCATGAGAGGCGGTCGCGGTGCCGGTGGCTTCCGCGGCGGCCGCGGCGGTGCGCCCCGTGGTGGCGGCGGCTTCAGCCGTGGCGGCAGCGGCTTCGGCGGCAGAGGTGGTGGTGGTCGTGGTGGCAGCGGCGGCTTTAGCCGCGGTGGTGCTGGTGGTGGCCGTGGCCGCGGCGGCTTCAGCAGAGGTGGCCGGTTTTAAAACCACTCTTCTTAAGGGAGAACGAAGGAGGAGTGCTTTTAGGAGGTCTTCAACCTGCCCTGCACGACACAAAATCATCAACGGAAAAGAGACAAAGAGAAGGTCGATACCCTCTTCTAGTTGTGTTGCCCGAAGTGCCATTCGTATGGGAAAGCCTGCTCTTGGCAGAGGCCCAAGTCTCTCTCGTACACTTGTGTTTGCTGACCGGGACACGCGTGGAACCCAGGCATTCTCGAGGTTCTTTTGTCTTCAGTATCATGCGGTTCGGACGGGGCGTTAAAAGGTTTTTTATTTCACCTGTTTTTTAACATTGTACATGTCAATAAAACATCATCACATCCATTGTCGTGTTATTTAGGCATTGGCGGGTCTGGTTCTTGCGTGCAACAGAGATGTATATTTGATGATAAAGAGTATGCTCTGCATATTTGCAGAGCTTTGTGAACTTAGATAACGCCAAGAGCGGAAGCTGAAACCCACCGCACAGCTTTAAAAGACCGAAACGCCAAGGCCGTTGCTTGGAAACACCTATCACGAGCATTATTCTTCCTGTCGGTACATCATTCCACTTTGCCATGCGTCCCTCCCGTCGAAGACGGCAAAGCATGGTTTGGTGTCATGGTCGTTGGCGCAGTGCCTGCCGGCGCGGGCACCTTACCTTGCAAGATACCGAGGATGTTGTGCGAGTTTTGAACCAAAGAGTAGCCGTCGCGCCGGATCAGGCCGGAAGGTAGTTTGAGCCGGAGCTACCAATCGTGAGATGGTCAGTTAGCCATAGTCCAGGCACGTCTTCGAGGGAAAAGACCCATGTTGTACTGAGAACATACCGATCGAACAATTAGTGCGTACTTGATTCCAAGCACATCACCAATGTACTTGAGTCGTCCACCAACCCATGCAACCTGGTTATCTGTGGAGAAGTCCGAGTGATATATATGACCAAGCGGCCACACTGCGAGATACCCTGCCAAAGCAGAAGTACCCATCCCGTCGCCGCAGGCAAAAGAAGTATCGGTGGAGCCGTCAAACAAGCTGGGCCGTCTTTGCCGCAGGCCAAAGTGGAACGGTATCGAAGCGATGATGTCGGTGACCATATCAATGCAGATGCGAGATGACGTGGCGTACTCCGAAGTTGTTCTATAGTCCACAGGTGCAACGACCCAGGCAGCACACCTCATGATAGTGGTGGCCATGAGCATCCGCGTCGTCCTGGCCAAGCTCCATGTACTTGCAACGTAGAGGTCGGCAAAGACGTCGATTCGCCCAGGGAAGACCTCCAATTTCGAATAGTCACCGTTGCTTGGGATGCTCGATTCCCAGGCCACTGTCTTGCACTGCCAGTTCTCTGGACGTGTTTGCATCCAGGACTGGATGTCAAGATCAAGCTGCTGACATTTCCGGATGATTGCCATCATGATCTTTGTGGAAGTACTCGTGCGCTGCATTGTCGACATGACTCTGGCTACTTCAGCTCGGATTTCGGCAGCCTTGATTGCAAAGCGTTGACAAAGAGTTGAGGATTCATCTCGTGCCGCGTCAGCAATCCACCAATCGGCCCCCATGGGTGGTGGTTGACCTGAAGTGATTGCATGAATGATCTGGTGATTGGGCAATGTGAGTTTACTCGAATCCAATTGGTCTGCGTTCTCATGCCGGATCTCACTCACCATCATAGCCCGCACACTGACGAAAAGTAAACGGCCGACTTCACTTTGCAGCTGTTTCTTGCCGCGAGCTTTCACGATTTGCATTGCGCCTTCTATGTGAGAGCCCCAAGACAACGTGCCGATTTTCCTTGCAGTGATGTTCTAGTACATATCGTCAGCTAGGCAGACCCAAGCATACAAAGTTGACCACTTACCTCATATTGCCCTAGTAGCAAAACGGCCGCCAGAGTAGAGTCAGACATCTGAGTTTTTGGGTCTCGTAGAGCCGCATTTGTTGCCGAGAGAGCCCTTGTGTACTCAAAGAGGGCCTTTTCGTTAAGCCGGTTCAGAGAACCGCTCTTGTTGTTCAACAGGGCTATGCTGCATGCGTTGAATGCGTACTGAAGGTGGTTGTCGACCTGACCTCCAGAATGCTGCATCATGGGGACGATCCAGTCGGAGAAGCCGCGAGTCCCTCTCGTCTCCGACGGCGTCATCACAAAATTTGCCAGGAAATAACAGTCAGCCTCCTGCTTGACAGGCGGCCTGGGCATAAGAGACATTGTCTGGCCCGTCGTTGAGAAGACATTCATTCCAGAATCAGCGGTATCGTGGGCCGATCCCTGTTGCTGAGCATCTTTGTTGTTGGCTTTTTTGCTAGCCTTACGAGCCCTGCGTTCCGTGGCTTGTGTCTCATTGCGGAAGACGAGGTCGAATTCGTCTTTGTAACCAGGACATTGTCTCCGTGACTTGGCACACTGGTTGCAAGTAGGCTTTGTTTCGTCACACTAGCAGGAATGGGGTCATCAGCCACAGGCTTTGAAGAAGATGGCCTTCGTGGATGGGCTCGAACCTTTATCCGCCTGGACCGGCACATCTGACACCCTCGAGAGGGCTTTCCGCAATACACCATTTTGGATGTGCGACGAAATCCGGCTGCTTTTCAATTTGAGATGGGTCGTGTAGCCTCGTACCGGCGAGGAAGGCTGAAAGACTGTGATTATGCTAGATCTTCGAAATCTTGCTCAAATCGCACCGTTGCTCTGCCGCTTGGACAAGAGTTGTAACTGCGTTTGTGTAGCGTGTTCAATTGGCGCAGTCCGAGGTTGCTGGCGACAGTGTACCCTTAACAAGCCTCAAGACTGATGGGAAGGAGGAGGGGGTGGCCGGCTGGACAGGGATCAGGGCTGAAGGAGAAACCTGATGAATCCACACTGATCATCACGGGAGTGGTCCTCGCAGGTGCTAGACAGCAGGGAGTCGCAGAGCCCCTGGCCGCGTTCGACACTCGTCCCGGATGTCCCGTCACCACTTATCAACCCGAATATACCTGTCATGCAGGGTTGCACAACGTGATGGCGAAGTGGCCTCTGATCCACCCTCGCCGCCTCGCCACAGGGTGCAGTTCTCGAGGGCCCAGCACTCGGAAGGGAACCGGAGACAGCCTTTCGCGACAACCCTCGTGCGGGACTCGAACTTGTTTGTCGACGTCGTCTGACCTGGGGTCCTTGCGTGCTTGGTTCACCACAGAGTGGCCGAAGACAAGGAACACCCCGGGAAAGGCTAGCAAACGACAGCGATAAATGAGACCACCACGGCAGCCGCTGGAGCAAAGGGTTCTACTCTACCGGGAAGACGGAGTGGAGGACTGGGCCCGGTACTATTGGTTCCAGGAGGAGCCTTGCCCTATCACTTCAGGATCGCGGCTCGGCTGGCGAGGAAGAGCGCTTCTCTACCATGAGGCTTTACAAGGTGAGATTTCCGACGACGATATCGGAAGTCGCAGGATCCGGGTGGGAAGGAGACTTCATTTGACCTTGCAGCCACGACCCTCGGTGAAAAGTGGTCGTCGAGGACCGCCCGCCTGCCAGCACTCATCTTGGAGAGAGCCCCTGTTTAGGACCATGCAGAAACGAGCACACACACGCATAATGGGGCGTGGGTGGGGGGCTCGGCAGGTTTGGAAGCACCGGCCCAGCTAACTAGCCTCGGCGGCCACACGCCTCTCCGTGCCGCAGGACGATCTTGTCGACTTTGACAGCTCTAGCGTGCACCCAGCCTTGCCTGGACACTATGTATGCACCCACGGCTCAGCTGGGCTCACGCTCCGTAACAGCGTGATGAGAACCAGAAGAGACCTAATTCGGCTTTGCTAGCCACCGGTGGCTGCGCTAGGCCAGTCGCCTTCCGATGGCGCGGGGAAGTCTCTCCGATTCGCAGAGGACACGGCTTGGGAGATCGGGGACCATAAAACTCACGTCGGCCATGAAGGTGCCAAAGGTTGCGTCTACGACTACTCGCAGGGCGTAGAGACTAATTACGGACCGGATGATGGGTGGGACGGCAGAAGTCGCCGTGAGAAACGCAGGACGGCAGTAGTTCGGAGAAGGCGGGGATACACGTGCCTTGAGAGACGCGGGCCTCAAACACCAACCATCGTTTTGCCCTCAGTAATGAAGCACTACGACCCAGCTCCTGGTCTGAAATCACTTTCAGCCAACGACGTCCGCCCAAGCGGGCGGGAGAAGATCCGCAGCCACAATCGAGAACTCTGAGGCTCCTCGGAACTCAAACTGCCAATCCAGGCGGCCCTGACCAGCCAAACCTTACTCGACGCGTGCTGCCGGTGGCGGTCCCGACAATCCGGGCCACCGATGCCAGTTACTATCGTTTACCAGCCGTCGAATTCGCCAACTCTATCCTCTTGCTCGTTGTTCATGGTCTTGCACTCCAATGCTATCGCAGTGTACAAATCGCGGTCAGGGCCCCCGATGGGCGAGCTCCATCCGCCGGCGCCGCCATTGATGACGCCACCGCGAGTCTCTTTTGTATGTCCTGTTGTATCCTGGGCGTCATGGCGAGTTTGGTGGCTTGACCCCAACTTTGGAATGTGACAGACGACAGGTCACGTCGCAGGCAGTCTCAACAGGGTGGCATGGACCATGCCAAATGTGGCGGAAAGCAGAGAAGAACTCACTGGCTTAGCAGCCACCAGCTTCCGGACTTGACAATCATTTGAGAGTCAGTGTTGCAGACGGGGCCGTGCGCCTCGATATGCTAGTGCTCTTTGCCTGTTTGGCAGCTTGTGTGCCAAGTCTTGTGCCAACGGGTAGGGCACTTATGGCAGTCCGGGGCCCTCCAATTGATGTCCCTGATGGATCTGATCTGCACCCAGGCGGCCTCTCGAGTCCCAATCGGTGCTCGCAAGAGATTACTGAATGCGTCATGCCAGATTTAGCAGCACGGTAGCCAGGGTTCCTGCAAAAGGGGCCGGCTGTTGCAGCTCGCCAAGTTCTGGAGTCTGGGATAGATGCAGGTTCGTTTGCCAATCGCCATTCTTCCAGTAGATTAAATGCCCGCCATCACACATAATTAACCACCACTGCCGGCACCATGGAGAATGGTGCCCTGACGACACAAGTGCATGAGATGCCCATGGTCGTGCCGAGGCTCCTGTGCTCTTGCGTTTCATCGTGGTACCACCGGGTGTGTCGTGCATCGCGCAACATCCACGTGCGGGTGGGACCCCGCCCCCCAGTCCTTGCCCGCGCCCGTGACTGGGGGTTTGTGGAAACACGGCAGTCTGGCCTCACTCTGTGCAAAAAAATAAAAAATAAAAAATCGCCAAAGAACAGACGCGTCCGGTCCATCCGTCGAAGAAGCAAAAAAGGTTGACAGAAGCTTGCCTCGCATAAAGAGCAGCTGGTGTGTCTTCGGCTCATGTTGTCTGCGCCCGTCTGCAGCTTGGTCTGCGCCGTGACCTGAAACGACACGCACCAGAGCCCCACCAGCCACACATACGTTGACGACCCCTGCCTGCCAAGTACCCTGGCTCTGCCCACCCACTCCTTGGACGGGCACGTATTCGGCTCCGGGTCCAGGACAGTCCGTGCCTTTTCCCTTCCTCTGAGACGAAGACCTGGAGAATTGGCTTTGCTCCCAGCCCTTCTGCGCTTTGGCATCTTTGCATTTGGTATCATCAACGAGGCGCATCTACTTGCTTGGTGAAACTCAATCGTTCCATTGCGTGCTTGTCCCAGCGTCTACGTGAACGTTCGGATATACGCAGACTGGCAGCGCACGCCGATCGCGGGAGCGAGCATCAATGTTCGTCGACTTCGCCAGCACACTCACTACCTGCCCACTGCAGCAGCGACTGAGACAGTCTTGGGTGCGCATCATTCTTGGAAATTACCGTCGGTGCTTCACTATGGTACCCTGGCTGCCAAAGAATCGCGACTCATCTGGCCCCGTGTGTTACACTGCGATGTCTGCCACAACAGGCTGCTCGCAGGAGCCGGGTCGAGGTTCTCGTGACACGGTCTGTTCAGTTGCACTCGATGATGTTGTTCCTGTGCGACTTCGATGGCTTGCGCATGCCGCGGGAAGATACAGAATCTGTGGGCAGGCGAAACAAGATTCGGCTTCCATCCACCACTCCAACGCGTGTTACAGCACATGCAGGCGCCTTTCGCACCGATACCAGCGACTCAGACTGGCAGACAATTCTCCCTCACGCCGTTGTCGACAACTTACATTAAGTCGCGGCGTTGCCAAAAATGCCCTGGGCTTCTCGAAGGCTTTCCTGTTCCTCACATGGATTTCGACCAAGTGCGCATCACCCATGAGCGTGAGCCGTCGCGGACTGGTCAGCGTTCGGTGAAAGAAACACTGCTATGCATTATAAACTGGCTTGGCTCCCCTTGGACCCATTGTCATCCCAGGTCTCCAAAGCACTACAGAGACGCCCAACCACATAAATCACATGCTTACTCCGTGCCGATCATCGTCGGTTTCATTTCCGCTTCGTTGTCGTTGTCGTTGTCGTTGCCGTCGTCGTGCGCGTCGTGTCATGCTTGCTGCTCCGACTCCCGCTTCCTTCAGCAGTCTTGCCCTCCTCGGCGAGATTCCACGCCTTGACCACCCAGCTCTGCGTCTTGTCGACGTATTTTTCCTCCTCGTAGTGCTTGACGCCAACCTTCATGCCGTCCTTGGTGAAGACCATGTTGCGCTTGGCCATGCTCTTCTCAGCGCGCTGGCCGATCTTGCTCGCGCTCTGCAGCACCTCGTAGACGACCCAGCCAATGGCGGCGAGCACCACCAGCGCGATGACCAGGGGGATGATTTGGCTGCTCGAAGTAAACACTTCCGTTAGCTACATCTCTGCTCTGCCCAGTCAAATGTGCGAGGTATGTTCTATACTGCTGCGCTCATTTTCGCGGCAGGCAGACGAGCCCGGAAGCGTAGAGACAGGTCGGGGCAAATTGGCACATACGCGAGCTTGCTCATGATGGAAATTCCTGATGATAATTAGATTGCTTGGCGTTTTCGATGGTGCAGGTAGGGATTGCGTTTGCGACGGGAAGCGGGGTCGTGGGGCGGGTTTGTGATCGAGGTGAGCTGTTGATGAGCGTTGAGGACCCTGCGATTCGCGGTGAGGCACAATGAAAAGAGTGAACAGCCGGATCGTGGACGCGGGAGACTTGTTCTTCAATTAAGTTTCAAGCCGATCAGGGAGCCTAGAGCGGAATGGACTCCAGGTGGCCTTGGCTGAGCTGGAGCACGAAGCTTTTGCGCCCTGCAGGGGGCCTGGGAGTGGCTGACGCGTGCACTCTGTGCGCTCACGCTCACGGACAGGGACTAACGCAGCTAAATCTCTAAGAAAGGACCGGAGACAGTGGCCAAACGGCAATGACGGCTCGCGCTTGCCAGACGGGATGGAGCAAGCCAGAGCAGGGTGGCATTTGCGGATGGTGTCGGACGGCAGCGCTGCCGCACCGGCAGATCGGCTGCGCAGATGGAGACGACAAGCCCCGCCGAGACCAAACGTGTCCCTCTTAAGCTCTGTCCTCTTAAATGACGGTGCGGCTGGAGCAGCTGGACCCTGGAATTGGCCATCTTTTACGATCGTGAACTTGGGAGCTCTGAGCTCCGGTTGCTATTTATACAGTAGCTCTATTTAGGACTCTGCTGACCGCCTCTTCTGGTTGAAGCCGTTCATGCATCGCAAGCCCCCTTTGCCCAGATGTCATCTCTCGAGATCGCCTCGCATCTCTGATCTGTCTTGGCTTATTTCCGTAGAGGGAACCTCTAGTGCTGCCTCACTTACATATACGTGTCAAATTAGAGTTCTCTTAGGAACTAGTTGCCATCTTCGAGGTCTTCAGTGGTTGCGCTTTTGACAGGTCTGTCTCTGCCACGACATGATCTGAACAGCCACGTGGAGCTGTTGAGATCGACCAGCTGAGAAACACGAAACTGATCACTATCCCCATCACCGTCAGAAGTAGCTTCATCGATGCGCCAGCTCAATAAGTCAAGGACATGTCCTGCACCAGAATATGTGTGAGTTGTTCAGTGCTACGGTGTAGAGGCACGAGCAATGCCCAGTCTGTTGGGAATGAGCTGCCCATGGTAGGGCAGTTGACATGACAACACGAAATGTCTCACGTCTGGGCGTTCGCTCGAACCGAGGCGTCAGATGCACTCAAAGAATACCAGGTGCAGTATAAAGAAGGCGGTTGCGCACACCGCGCAAACGAAACGGAATCAGACCTGTGGAGGGTTCCTGCGAGCACCTAGGCATACTCGAGAGTTGAGTCGAGCTCCCTATTACTATCACAAGGCGAGGCGACTGCCAGTGGTCAAGACAAAGCCATTGGTAGTGTGTATGGGACCAATCAGGAAGCTCGGGGGATGGTGGGGCAAAGCAGAGGCCACAAATTGCCAGGCCACGGTTGTCTAATCGCTCCAGCACCGCCAAGCGTCATGTCCAAAGGAGGGGGGCGAACCACGACCCGGGAACCTTGGATGCTGGCTGTCCACCAACTCCGTGACCTCAGCTGCCTCCCATCTGTTCCTCTAGGCATCCTCCCACGCCGGCCCCAACACCTCTTCTGCGACTCAATTGCTGGCTGTCAGCTTGGTGACGCTTCCACCCGAGGCCGCCACCTCCTCATCCCGCGCGCTACCTGCCCGGCAGCCTGTCTCGGTCCGGACGATAAACGTGGCCTCCATCCCCCCATCAATATAGCCTAGCGTCGTCAGTGGGCGCAACAGTCACGCACCACTCCTCCTGTCCTCTCAGCCCGTAGTCGTGCTCTTGACACCACAGCTCGACGTCTTCAGCTCTTGAATCGTCACCGCCTCCGAACCAACAGCTCCACGACAGCGGGAACCCCTCGACCGCGCCGCCATGGCCGCCCCAAACGATGGCTACGGCCAATACCCCCCTCAGCAGCAGTACACTGAGGAGGGCCAGTACCCTGCCGAGCAGCCTGCATTCGAGCAACAGGGCTCACCGGCACCGCCTGCTGGCGGCGCCTACCAGGCCCCCGACCAAGGCAAGAAGAAGAAGAGAGGTTATGCCACCCAGGCTTTCGAATACGGTACCGGCGGGAATGCCAGTGCGACGCCGCTTGGTGGTACTGGAGGAGCAGCACCAGCCACTCCCGGATATCCTGGCCAAAACTTTCAGCAAGGCGGCTACCCATCGCCTACTCAAGCTGCGCCGTATGGCCAGCAGCAACAGGGCATCCCGGGTGGTCAGCCCTCCGTCGGCGGATACCAGGCTCCTGATCCATACTACAACGCTGGCGCGGCGCCGGGCTTGTCAGGCATGGCGGGAATTACGTCTAACATGGCTGGCATGAACCTGGGAGGGCAGCAGCCAGCCCAGCAGCAAATGCCCCAGCAGCAGCAGCAGCAGCCGCGCCCAGCGTTGAATCAGCTGTACCCCACAGATCTGCTCAATCAGCCCTTTAATGTCTCCGAACTGGATCTGCCGCCACCGCCGTGTATCCTTCCTCCTAATGTAAGTCTGGAACCGCGGCTTCAGGTGCATATGTGACAATGGACACGAAATGCTGACTGTTGGCCCCCCCGTTAATATAGTCGAGCGTCACTCCATCACCCACAGCCAACTGCCCGCCAAAGTACATGCGCTCTACTCTCAACGCAGTTCCCACCACACACTCTCTGCTTAAGAAGTCAAAGCTTCCCTTTGCGCTGGTCATCCAGCCATATGCGGCGCTCCATGACATTGACGATCAGGTTCCTGTTGTGCAGGACCAAGTCATCGCACGTTGCCGGAGATGCCGAACATACATCAACCCTTTCGTCATCTTCCTCGACCAAGGTCATCGATGGAGATGCAACATGTGCAATCTCACCAACGATGTTCCTCAGGCCTTTGACTGGGACGCAGCCGCGCAGAAGAGTGTGAACCGCTGGGATAGAGCCGAGCTGAACCATAGCGTGGTCGAGTTTGTTGCGCCTCAGGAGTACATGGTGCGGCCGCCTCAGCCCCTAGTCTACCTGTTCTTGTTTGACGTCAGCTATGCCGCCGTCTCGTCTGGACTCCTCGCGACCAGCGCCCGTACTATTCTCGATAGCCTGAACAGGATACCAAACGCAGACAGGCGGACTCGGATCGGATTCATCGCCGTTGACTCCAGTCTCCACTACTTCGCGATTCCCAAGGATACCGATGAGAATGCCGAGACGAGTATGCTTGTGGTCAGCGACCTCGATGAGCCTTTCCTGCCGGTGCCCCAGGATCTCGTGGTGCCCCTCACCGAAAGCCGAAACAGCATCGAAAACTTCCTGACCAAGCTTCCCGAAATGTTCCAGAACAACCAAGACAATGGCTCATGCATGGGCTCGGCTCTACGTGCTGGTCACAAGCTCATCTCGCCTCTGGGTGGTAAGATGGTTGTGCTCAGTGCTTCGCTCCCGAACCTCGGTGTCGGCAGCCTTACCATGCGGGAGGACAAGAAACTGTTGGGCACTTCAAAGGAGAGCTCACTACTTCAAACAGCCAACAGTTTCTACAAGTCTTTCGCGGTCGAGTGCTCTAAGAACCAGGTCTCTATCGACATGTTCTTGTTCTCTTCCCAGTATCAGGATGTTGCCTCCTTGAGCAACCTGCCTCGTTACACTGGTGGACAGACATGGTTCTACCCCGGGTGGAACGCAGGCCGCGCTGAAGATGCCATCAAGTTCGCTTCCGAGTTCAGTGACTTCTTGTCTTCTGAGATTGGTCTAGAAGCTGTCCTGAGAGTCAGAGCTACCACTGGTCTTCGCATGAGCACATTCTACGGTAACTTCTTCAACCGGTCGTCGGATCTCTGCGCGTTCCCCGCGTTCCCTCGCGACCAGTGCTACGTTGTTGAGGTTGCCATTGATGAGAACCTGCAGAAGAATGTGGTCTGCCTGCAGGCTGGTGTGCTCTACACGACCTGTAATGGAGAGCGCCGCATTCGTGTCATGACTCTCGCCTTGCCTACAACGACTAGCATGGCTGATGTCTATGCATCAGCTGATCAGTGTGCCATCACGACCTATTTCAGCCACAAGGCCGTCGAGAGAGCTCTGAGCAGTGGCCTCGATGCTGCACGCGATGCGCTGCAGAGCAAGCTCATTGAGCTCCTTCAGACATTCAAGAAGGAGCTGGCTGGCGGCAGCATGGGTGGTGGCGGCCTGCAATTCCCTGCGAATTTGCGCGGCCTGCCGGTTCTGTTCCTCGGTCTCATCAAGAACGTTGGCCTGCGCAAGTCTGCTCAGATTCCTTCGGATTTGCGCTCGGCTGCCCTCTGCCTGCTGTCTACACTGCCACTGCCGCTATTGATGCAGTACATCTACCCAAGGCTGTACTCGCTGCACGACATGCCCGACAATGCGGGTGTGCCTGACCCTGAGACTAGTCAGATTGTCTTGCCTCCGCCAGTCAACCTTTCATCTGAGAGATTCGTCTCATATGGTCTCTATCTAATCGATGATGGGCAGACCCAATTCCTCTGGGTTGGACGGGATGCTGTGCCGCAATTGCTTGAAGACGTCTTTGGGGTAGCCGATCGCACTCAAATCCGGGTGGGCAAGGGGACCATTCCCGAGCTGGACAACGACTTCAACGAGCGTGTCCGCGCCGTCATTCAGAAGAGCAAGGACCACCTGTCTCGTGGTGTTGGCAGCATCATAGTGCCGCACTTGTACATCATCCGCGAGGATGGCGAGCCCAGCCTCAAACTGTGGGCTCAGACACTCCTGGTTGAGGATCGGGCGGACCAGGGAATGAGCTTCGGGCAGTGGATGGGTTCGTTGAGGGAGAAGGTCAGTAGCTGATATTAGAACTTTGAACTTTGAAAAAATCTCGACTGTTTCCCCAGAAAAAAAGAACCGAGCGTCATACTAACAACCATGTCTTTTTTGTGTCATAGGTTGTCCAGTAAAAAAGTAGCTGTCATCGAGCACGTGAGCCGAGGCCGTCCGACTTATGCCAGAAAGAAAAGTTTGATGGCTCTGGCCGCCGCTATGGCGCCCAATGGGGATAGTTGATGATTATAAATAGTGACGCCGCTTCTGCTCAGACGGACATGTCATGATCATACAGATAGATGAAGAGGGTAGCGCAAGAAAAAAGCAAAATAATCTACCTAATCACAGAGGACTACTTGTTTCCAATTCACTGTTCCCGACGGCCAAGCTTGATTGGCAAAGCCCACAGGTGTGTGTACATGTACATGATACGACCATGCACATGTACTTTGGCGTGCGAGCTCACATCCAGGTTAGATAGAGTACATGCTGGGCTTGACATGTGGTTAAAACAGCAACAAGCTGTCCGTATTTGGTTGGTCAATTACCAGAGAGAAGATGTGATACAAAAGGTGAAAAGTCAATTATAAAAACGCCGTGCTCATGCAATGCCAATCCACACACCATATATTTACGACCACGTTCGATTCCGATCCAACCCAACCACAGCAGCAGTAACGTGCAGATCCCCCTCATTACTTTGATTTTCCCCTCCTCTTCTTCGGCGTATCTATTCCCAGGTCGGCCGTTCAGAACTGCAGCAGTTTCTGCGCTTGGTCCTTTGCCTCGACGTTCATAGTTGAGAAGGCACAGTACTTGTCCTTTATGGCGACGACCTCGTATGTACCCTCGAGGCTGGCTGTGACAACTTTGCTGTGCTCGTAGCTGATGTCGTGGCGCGTCTCGAGTACCTGACTTTTCTGATTCTTGCGCGCGTTGCTGGATCGGGTGTAGGTGAACTCAAACGGAGGGGTGCCCCAAAATTCAAACAGGATCTCGACCTCGCTGCCCTCATGAATATCCACCTGAATCACACGGCCCTTGCTGATCTTGACACTGGGCATCGGGTGGATGGTCTTGACCAGGTTGACCGTCGCCGGGCAATCGCTGGCCCGGTCGCTGACGCTGTTGATATTGAACTCGCCAGGATATTCGGCTATGCGGCGGAATTTGGTTGTCGTGGACTTGGCCTTCTTCTTCTGTCCGTTGAACTCGTACTGGATCTCGAACGGCGGACTGCCCGACAAAGTATACGCAATACGCTCTCCTACACAGTAGTCCGCTCGTTGTTCCAAGGGATAGATGGCTGGCGCGTCAAAGAGCTGGATGTGGACGGCAGGACCACCGACGTCAGTGGTGGTTTGGCATCCTCTTCCATCTCGGACTTTGCGAATTCTCAATTGCTGGGCGCCTAGCTTAAGGTACTGCCGCGGAATCGAGAGCTCGTATTTGTTTGAGGGGATGTTCGGGATCCTGAAGATCTCTGGGAAGCTGCCGGCATGGTGTTTGATTTCTACCTCCAGATAGAATGGCGCCACTCCCTCGAGCCTGATGGGAATGCGTTCCTCGTTGGCAGACTCCGACATGCAGAGTTTGGTGGTTTGCCCGGGCTTAGCAAAAGAAGCCGAAGGCTTGGCATTGACATTTTGCACAAGCGTGAGGGGATTTGGGTGCTTTCTATCGCTGTTGTAGAGGTTGTCTGACAGTGCCGAAAAAGTATAAGTATACTGTCCAGCTTTGGACGTATCCATGGAGATTGATGCTTTGCCAAGCGCAGCATCAAACTCCTTTCGCGCAACAGCGCCAGAGCCAGATTTGGGCTTGTGCTTGATCTCGTATTGGACATGGTAGGGAGGAGAGCCTGCTAGACGTTAGATATGCTTCACAAATTGGGTGAGCGCGACATGTCGATGGGCAAGCTTACCTTTGAGAGCAACATCGAAGCCGTCGATGTCGCCTTCACAAACATCTTCCTTTTGAAAGACGTGGTTTTTACCTGTTGCGGAGATGCCATCGGCCGGGACGAGTGATAGTTCTGGGCGGGCAAACCAATCTACTTTGAAGGTCGACGCCCTGGCATCAACAATACCAGGACACTGGCTGTCGCTGACTTCGATGATCTCGTAGGTTCCACGAGTCTTCGCGTCAATCACATCATTGCCAGACTCCGCGATGCGGACCTGTGGCTCGCCACCAGTCTCATTGTTGCGATACTTGACCTTCCATGGTCCGGTACCACTGAGACGCAGAGGGAGACCCACGGTTGCGTCTTCGACGATAGTGACCGACTTCTTGTTGTCCAAGACGCCAAATGCGGCACGTGGTCTCTGCATCGTAACCGAAACGCGAATCTCCTCCTTCAGGAACACGCGGCAGCCAGTCTTGTCCTGAACACTCTTGAGGGCGAGCGTGTAGTCACCACCAGATGACAGCGGAGCCGTCTCAATGGTGTAGACATCGCTTGCTAGATCAGAGACCTTCTCAGACTTGCGTTTCCCATCGTGTACAAGTTCCCACTCGAGACTGAACGGTCCGTCTCCCTGAAGTCTGACGTCGACCTTGACGGGCTGGTCCAGACAGAGGTGGACGTGCTTCGGAGCACGCTCAAAGAATGCAGTAGCAGGGGGCTTGACATCTTGCTCGAGGCGATACTCATCAGAAGGTGCAAGAGGGAGGTTCTTGTAGATTGCATCTCCCAATTGAACGAATCGATATTTGTAGCTGCCAGCGCGACGCGGAAGAAGCTCGATTTGTTGGCGGAGGCCTTGAATGTCCACAGTCTCGTGGCGAGTGTCTTCGTGCTGACTTGTGACCCGGTACATGACCTTGAACGGCGGTGTACCAATCATATCTAGGTTCACACGCAGGCCAATGGATTTTCCGGCACACTTGTCTGGGATCTCCTCAGACGAAATAGTCATCTTCGGCTCTAACGGATTGAGGAGAAGACAAGATGACGGCTCTTCAATCTCTCCATCGCACGAGTCGCAAGAGATAGACTTCAGTGTGTACAAGCCAGGCGCCGAGATGACTGGTTGGTCGGCTGGGTTCTTAGCCACGAAGGAGCCAACCTCGATAACTTCGCCGTGATCGCCATTCTTAGTGAGCGTGTCAATGGGGGAGAAGTTCCAGGTCACAGTGTGTGCGACACCCTGAATCTTCTTCCCATGACGGCCAATGACGATGGGCAGTTTGCTGGACTGACCCTTGGCAACCTTGAGAGGGTTCCGAGTATCGCAACCCTTCAGAGTTGCATGGGGCCGTTGTCGGACCATAAAGTCTTGAAGCAACGACTTGGACTTTGGCCTCGCATCAGCATCTTCCAGCGCCTGGGTATAGTTGACGATGTTGCCGAAGCCATCCGTCACAGCATCGATCGAGTATTGCCAAGACCCGGCGGTGGACATTGACTCGTTCAGACCAATGTCGACGCTCTGAGCTCGAGCCCAGGTGAAGTCTTCGTTTCCAGGCTGGACGATGGCAGAGGAGCGCTGCGCTCCGATCATCGGAGATGAGAACCCATCTGGCTGAATGCTTTGGTAGTGGAAGCTGTGATCTTGGCCGTTGATGGTACGGCTGTAGTGAATCTTGAGTGGAGGGCTGCCTTTCACTTGCAGAGACAGATCCGAAAGGTCGCCGAGGCACCTGGTAGACGACTCGGCCGCCTTGACCTTGGCAGTCGGGCAGGGCACAATGAACGTGGGTGCCGAGAGGCGCTGGATTTCGAGCTTGTACTCATCCAGCACGCGACCGAGCTGGTAGGCACCGGGCTTCTTGACAGGCATGCCCCACTGGTAGAATCCACGCTCTCCATCATCGCCAACCTTGCCCGCTACCTTGCTGATCTCACGTAGTTGTTTGTTCGTCAACTTGATGCTCTCCTCGGCGTTGGTATCGAGATCGAAACGAATAAGCTCCACTTGCGCAGGGATGGTCGAATTGAAGTAGATCGGAATCGTGACGACAGATTGCTGGGGCCCGAGGCAGTATGGCCGCTTCTCTGGGTTGAGCACGGCAGATCTATAACAGCATTGTTAGTAGTGAGCATTGCAAAGGTCCCCCAACTAGGGCCTGGGTCACATACCCTTCGGGCAGAATATTGATGATCTGTTTGCCCATGATGAGCGACGAGTTGTAGAGAATGCTAGAAGGCCGGACGGTGTGTTCTGAGATAGACAGCTCGCGGTCGTAGAACACCTTGACGAAAGCAACGAGCCAGCCGTGCCAGGGCACGGGGATGTTGAACATGAGCAGCCAGTTGAAGACCATGTGGAGGAAGAAGATGGTGGCGGCAGACGGTGACGACAGTTCGAGCCATGGTATCCTTAGCGAGGGCAAGGAGAATATAAAGACGAAGTCGAGGAATGCCCACTTGGCAAAGTAGTACCAGGAGCCGCCATTCTCCTCGAGGATGTCTATCCAGTCGAAGAACCGCCACATAAAGAGGATGCCATAGGCTGCGGCGGCAAAGGCACGCTGCTTCGGCGCCTCTAGTATGTGTGTCGGAATGACGGGCTGGCTGCTGCTGGTTGTGGAGGAGCCGACATTCTCGGGCGCGGGCGGGAGCGAAGCCCTCGGTTTATGCGATGCAGGCGAGGGCGAGAGCTGGCGCGGCTGGGGCCGTGATCTGGGGGCGACAGTGCCCGGAGTCTGGGGGAAGCCTCCCGAGCGCACTCGCGGCGTTCCGTTCATGGCATGCCTTGGTGAGAGAGGCTGTTGGCGGTGATGGTTGGCCGGCTAGGCTGGTGGTGTCTGCACCGGGACCAGCTGGCTGGTGGTGGTGTGGCCGTCTGGTGCTTTGCAGCGACAGTGGCGGGTTTCCTGTGAGACGTCCCGGGGGTCTGCAGTCACGTCGGTGTAGCTGGGCCACGAAGCTCGTGGCGATGGCGGGAGTGGTGCGTGGTGATGGCGACGAGGGTAAACATCAGAGAAAGCTGGGCCCTGCAAATTCACGTCTTTGCAAGCACCGCGCGTGTCGAGCTTGGCCAGGCAGGCAGGGGGCTGGCCAACTACGTACCTTAAGGTACATAATAAGTGACCTAGATGGGCTTAGGCAGCTTGCATTGTGGAGAGCTTGGCCAGCACAAAAGGCCTCCCAGCCAATCACGACCCAGTCTTGCTCCCCTTAGCTTCACTCAGTGCTGCTCGAAACGCAGTGCATATCCAAGGTCTAGGAATCGGGGCGAGTTTGACCACTTACACCATGCTGAGCACGTAGCGTGCTGGATCGCAGTCCTGGGCTTGCCATGAATCGTCCTGCCTCGCAGAGGTGCCACAGAGACAGAGATAGAGACAGAGACAGGATGCCCCGGCATGAAATCGCCCATTTTTTCATTGCCTGTACCTGTGCCTCTGCCCGGGCGACTGCTTGTTGGCCGGATGAGGGTATGCCCGTCCAGGGAAGTCGCAATCCATGAGCCATGACCGACTCTCACCACAATCAATCCCACACCCGCCCGCCACCTTCCAACATTGGCGTCCTCGCCATCTGAGAGGACCAACAACCACGCAACTCACTCTGGAACCACCTCGCTCATTTTGTGAAATACAAAGCTGCTGCTTCGCCCAGACGCGTCTGTACGAGCCTATCAGAGCAAGACATTCTCCCGGATCAACACAACAAGTCTCCTGATGGCGCTCTCCAATAATCCGGCAGCCCTGGCGACGCCTCTGCATTCACCCAAGCTATCTGCCGAGCCATCGACTGATACTGTCCGTCGATCATCTCGCACGAAGAAGAGCGTCAAGAAGTTCGAGGATGAAGACTTTGTTGTTGCCGCCACCCCTAGCAAGAGTGCGTCTCGACAATCGGCCCCGACAAACAGAGCGAGCCGGCCCAAGAGAAAAGCTGCTGTCGCGGCGGAAGAGATCAATGTCACAGAGGACAGCATGGTCCTTCTTGACCAGGTGGTTACCCACATGCACCCTGACGAGCGTACCGAGTACAAAGGCTGGGTCGAGCTTGAGTCAGAACCGGTAAGTGGAAAACCCCCGGTCTTGGTGTTCATTTGGCCAGGCATGAACTGACGACTAAGCTCTCAGGCCTTTTTCAATGCCATGTTGCATTTGCTTGGTGCCGAGGACTTCAAGGTCCAGGAATTGTTCGGTTTGGATGAGCTCGCCCTCGAGCTACTTCTGTAAGCGCCCATGCTAGATATCTCGTGATCGGTGATCAACCCGCTGACGTTTCCCCTCAGAAAGCCAGTCCATGGTCTCATCTATTTGTACCAGTACATCGAGGGCGCCACTGCCAGCGACAATCGCGAGGATTGTCCTGCACACCTCTGGTTTGGGAACCAGGTGCGATCAGAACCGAGGCACCCATGCCGAGCCTGCTGCTAACGAGTCTTTCAGACCACCACGAATGCTTGCGCCACAGTAGCTTTGATGAACATTGTCATGAATGCAGAGGAAGCCGTTCTCGGCAAGGAGCTGCAATCTTTTAAGGATATGACATTGTCACTGCCGCCGCCGCACAGAGGCCATATGCTGGACAAGAATGACTTCATACGCAGTATCCACAACTCGGTGGCTCGGTAGGCCGCTATTGTCCCAAACGCGTCCAATGCAGATCACACCACAGCTAACACTCTTCGTCATAATGGCAGTCGTATGGACCTCGTCTCCGAAGATCTGATCCTGGACAACAAGATGGAAGCAGCAGAGAAGAAGCGGTGCGTGCAGAGCAGGAAGAAGCCCACGCGGCCTGGCAGAATTCAAAAGCGTGCAAATACGGAGCAGGCGTTTCACTACATCGCATACGTTCCTGTCGATGGACAGGTTTGGGAGCTCGATGGCTTCGAGGTCCAGCCACGCTGCCTTGGTAGGTGATCTCCCGGCCGTGAGCGCTGCTTGTCGTCCTTGAATGTTGAGGATGAGCCAACGGCCTGACTTTGACAACGCAGGATCATTCTCTTCGAAAGATGAATGGCTTGGAGTAGCGAGCAATTCCATCCAGCAGCGTATGATGGCAGACGAATACCTACAATGCAGCCTCCTTGCAGTGTGCCAGTCTCCGGTCAGGAGGATCGTCGAGCAACTCGACGCTTGCACAGAGAAGCTACGTGGGGTGGGCCATTCGAGTATGTATGGGGGATATGCCGAGAATGACGAGGTTCACGCTTGCCACCCGACTCTGACTGCTGCAGTGTCCACCGTGCCCGCCAACTTGACCGGCGATGCCACCGATCTCGCCGCCACAACTCCGATCACCACAAGCCCAGGTCGACCCCCGGCAAGAGTGATCCAGCAGTCACCCACCCTGGCCGACCCTGAGCACCTCAAGAGTCAGCAAACCATGCTCATGGCAGAGTACACGGCCGAGCTAGCCGCCCGTGAAGAAGGGACTGAGCTGCTGCGCGCGCGCCAGCAGGACTACACGCCCGCAGTGCACCGGTGGGTGCGGCTTCTTGCAGAGAAAGGAGCGCTGAGAGAGCTCATCACCGAGGCAGCGGGAGGGGACTGATTCGCCACGAACATCGAAAAGGAGACAAAAGGTAAAGCGCGCATGTATGCACAACAGACTGCGGCCGTCGGCGGTATTGTTATCATGGGCTGGTCAAAGCTGTATGAGACCGGAGACTTCACAGGGCTCGTCAAGTCATCAGCCGATCCATTTCTACCACTATCCGAGATAGGCAGAGTCATGTGGGATGGGGGACGCGCTGTAACCTAGCTCATGTAAATGGCTTACCTCGCCCACATCCCGTGATGATCAGCCGGTTAGCCACGCAGATACACAAATGTTCACGAAGCACATGGCTGAATATTACAAAAGGTATCAAGTAGAGCACCGTCCTCGACAACATGGCAAAATTATAAAGAGTCCTGTAGGTCGTGTTTCTCAGTGCTATCCACTGACGCCATTGCGTACTTCCAGCAGGAGCCAAACGCCAAAGTGAGGCGGAGGAACGGTGGTAATGAACAATGGAACAGGCGACAAAAGTCTCTCGTCAGAGATGGAAAAAAAAAAAAACCTGCCTGTGCTCTCGTAAACCCTACCGGGGGATCGTCGTGTCATCATGTCCGTGTGTTTGATGCGTCAACGCTTCTCCCGTCCTTGTTCCAGTGCTCCCCCCCTCCCTTTTTCTACAGAAAGAAGACCATTCCTATTTCCCTCGCCCCATGTATCTGTGCTCTAGAACCCGGGCCGAGCTTATTTATCCCTGTGCAAAACCTTTGGCAGCTTTTGGTAAGCCGCTCGTTCGAAAGGGGCCTCTCAAGGCTTAGGAACGTGCAGCGTCTTGCTGCACATCAAGCACCCATGCACGACAAACACGAGCGCCACGGGGTGGAACTCGAGCGCGGTGCCCTGGAGCCAGAGACCCAGAGGCAGCTGGTCGAGCGTCCAGCCTTGGCTGACCCAGTACGCCATGACGGCGTCGAGGCCCAAGGAGGTCGGGATGGGCGTGCCCTCAAAGTAGCTGGCCTTTCCGCTGGCGTCGTGGGGCAGGTTGGCGGCGGTGACATTGAAGCGGGCGAGGCGCGTCAGGCCGCAAAGCACAAAGAAGACGAGCAGGAAGTGGTCGACCGTCGTGCGCATGCCGATGGTGAAGGCGATGCAGGCGGGTGCAAGGCCGAACGAGATCTGTGTGGAAGGGAGACGGTCACAAGCTGGTCAGCGGCTGGAGCTGCTTCGCTGGGCACACACGGCGTGATGCAGGGGAAAGCCCCAAAAAGACTTACCAGGTCTGCGAGAGAGTCGAGCTCCTGGCCCATCATGCTGCTCTTCTTGCGCCACCTGGCCACGCGGCCGTCCATGAAGTCAAAGAACATTCCGAAGGGCAGGAAGGCGAGGGCGATATAGAGCAGCCTCTTGTCGGCGGGGTCGCCGAGGCAGTAGCGGAGGGAGGTGAGAACCGAGGACACGCCACAGAAGCCTGGAGAGTCCGCCCATGTCAGCTTCTTCTTGATACACGTCCCAAGACCCATTGAGCAAGATGCGATAGGACTGTGGCTGTTATGCTCACGCCGAGGAGTTATAGTGCATACCGTTGAGCTCAGTGATGTAGTCGGCCATGTGCATAGCTCGTACGAGCGAGAAGTGAGTGCTCGTGGAGGCGAGGAGGTCTTTCTGCTTGTCGACAGCTATATTTCCCGAAAGCGGCTGGTCAGTCTCTCTCCCTTCACCTGCTTCGTCTGTTCCTCGTGGATCGCCCGGCCCGAGTTTGGCAGGCTGCAGCTGATTGACAGTTGTGACGTACTGGACTCAGACGGCACAATCGCCTTCGCAGCCCCGTTGCCGGCGCTTGTTCGCTTCGACATTGCAGTGGCTATTTAGTATCGAGATGCGTTGGTGTAGTAGGAATCAAGGTCGGTGACGGCTGAGGGCTCGACGGTTGCGTGCTCGGGGATGGCTTGGAGGGGTTCGCGAGGGTGGACGGCGGAGCAACGTTCACGAAGAACTCGGGGAAACGAAGGGTGTCGTCAACGTGGTATGCGCACGGAAGAACAACAAGAGCGAAAAGTGGTGGTTGTAGACACCTGGATGTTGCTGTCAACTGCCCAGGGCGAAATGCTGTGCCAAGGCAGAATGGGTAAAGAAGCTGGCGCAGCAAAATGACGGTGACGATCGTGGCGGCTCGTGGGGTGTTGCACCAGGAGGGCTTCTGATTGGGCAAGCGAAGCGCAGGGGAGCTCTAGGCCCCACCGAGCTCAGCATGCCGGGTTGCGTCATTGCCCACAATTCCCATCCATGTTGTTGCTCCTGCCGCCCAGGTACGCTACTTGAGTGGTTTCCAGCTGGTGAGGGAGCCTCATCATGCAAAACGAGAATACACGAGCACTAGTGGGCCGTCAGACAGAAATGCAAACTTTGTCCATTAGGTAACCTTGGTTGACTTTATGTGCTTGTCGTCAAGTCAATGATATGTGCCCCCAACGCCAGAAAATGAAAAGAGAATTATACCAATCACAACGTACGGTTTGCTTCGTGTGATTTCCAGTCTTCCTGGCTCCGCAGGCGTCATTAGTTCTCTGGGGCCACGCCAAGTGGCACCTCCGCGCCCTCGATGTCCAAACATGATGCCCGTGCCACAGCTATCATAACAGTCTAGTCCACGCCAGCCGGCTTGACCCAGCTGCCAGGAATCCGGTAAAGGGGTATCCTCCAGAAAGGGTATATAGGAGTATGCAAAAATAAATATAGAGTTCATGTCATTCACTTAATCGTGATGGTGCAGCCATCGAGACTGCGGGGCCCATTTTTCAAAGGCCCTGCAACCACAAGGCATTGTTCAGGACGTAACCCTGACCTGTGCCTCTAAGCGATCCAGGGTAGAATATTGTGCCCAGATGCTGCGGGTTTAGTGCGTGATGATGACAGAAAATCCGTCCATCCACGCGCCAGAAGAGCCCGAAACACCGCAAACAGTGTATCCGCGAGGTGCAAGCAGCGTGCGCCTAGTGTGCCCGTTAGCAATCTCTGGCCATGTGCAATGAACTGCCTGAAGACTTACGCGGAGCCTCCCGTTGCGTTGCCGTATATGGCTGACTTCCTGCCCATGCTGGTAAACACTTGTAGTGCGTCGATCCAAGCACCCGATCTGACGAAGAACCCAGTGATGTATTCACCCCTTCGAATATCTGGACAACCAGTGTTAGCAAATGCCTGCGCAACGATCCAGCCATGATGCTCACCCATCTCGAAGCTGTCTCCGCCGGGCTTGCCGCCCCTCTTGCCCAGCAGCTGGCTCGAGCCGTCATCATAGAAGAACTCCACACCATCAAGAGCGAAGCCGTGATAGAAGACGACCCTCGACATGACACGGTTCAAGTGCGTGGCACTCGAGAATATGAACTCTTCCGGCTGGCTGCCCTCCATATTTGAGAGACCGAGCTTGATGCTTCGGTAGGCGGACTTGGTCAGAGACAGTTTAATGGCTGACGCTTTCGAGCACAGGGCATGAAAGTCATCGATGTCCAAGTTGCCCCCTCCGTGAGACTTGATAGCGAGTCTGAGCTTGAGCCGGCGCTTCTGCTCAGGTAGTCGTTCACGGAGCTCGTTCTCCGTCAGGGCTAGGGTTCGATAAACTGACCCGTTCTCGAGCCCGTACTCGATCCAGGCGTGGCATACTTCGTCGCCTTCGGCGTACAGCTCGATAAAAGATACACCTGAGGCTGTGGTAATCAGAACCTGCCCGTTCTCGACCGGCCATGCCTGCAGGCTGTCGTCGGGATGGGGCGTCGGATCATTGGGCAGACGGAAGCACGGGTGGCTGCGGAACCGGAGGCAGTCGAGCCTGTGCCACGTGCACTCGGTATCTTGCCCAACGAAGCCTCCTTTGGATTTTGTCCTTGTCGAGTACGCCTCCCTGCTCACGAACGAGCGGTTGAGCGTGACGTAGTCCCGAAGCATGACGCCGCTCTCCTGATGCGGGCATCCAAACAGGTGGCCAGTCTCGTGCATATGGGCCCCGATGCCGATATTGGCAGCTTCCCAAGAGCTTCCGCAGTCGTTGCAGTCGTTGGCGACATGGTTGGTGTCGGTCGGAGTGCAGTCGCTGAAAGCAGGAACCACCTCTTCAAACGTCATCGGATAGCTCTGCATGCAATGCGAGCCAAAAACAGCAAGGTGAAGGTCACCAGCATTACCACCAAGCGCGGCGTGTCCAGTGATCAGCTTCAGGTTGGTGTCCCAGTGAGCATCGAGAAGCAGCACCGAGACGTACTGCTTCTGACCCGGCAGCGGCTTGAAGTAGTCTTTGACTGCGTCCGCGGCTATCGAGTACAGCTCACCCCCTTTGGAGGCTTTGGTGTTTTGCTGCGCACGCTCAATGTCGCGCATCTCGGCGAGAGTCTTGTCGGTGCGGATGACATGGATACGTGCTTCAGATCGCATCGTGCCCCATTCTCGATCACGGACGTTGCAGCTGCCCGTCGTCCACTCCTCCTCGAATCTGAATGTTCGCCGCCCAAGCTTGTTTCTCGACATCTGCTCCGCGGTGAAAGCCTGCCACAGATACGCGGCCATGCGGAATTTGCGAATAGCTGTGTCGAGGTCGTTTCCTTCCTTTTCTATCCGCGCCGGCACAGCGTCGAATGTCCCTGGTGAGTCTTTTGCCAGCAGAATGGCCAATTGCAACGGGGGTGCATTGGTTGAAGGGACCATATGGACGGTAGTGTAAGAAGTATGTATCGGGTTCGAGGTTCCACTATTGGCCAGCTTTGGGCTCGAGAAGTCGAATCGCAGCTTGTTCGCGCCTGGGTTCAAGTACACAAGAGCCTTGAAGTGCGACTCGCACACTGGCCATGAAGTTGGCGGGAATGCATCATCAAGACGACTGACTGTCACGGTACCATCGAGCAATTGGTGGAGATCCTCGCCAACGGTGCCATTCAAGAGAAGGACCTTTTGAGATACCTAGAATAACGCGATGTGTCAGTGATTTGTGCTTCTGGGCATGCTTTCCCACTTTGGTGCGTGTTTGGATCTGTGGTATGAGGAGCTCGTTTCGTCCCGTCGCAGAAAATACATACCCAAGCGTTCTCTGAAACGTTGGTAATCCTGGGGGCGTATTGGGATGTCGGGAACGATGCACGCCCCTTGACCGACGGCGACCCGAGTCCAGCCATTCCTGACATGCTATATCGGTTGGTGGGCGAACCCGAGAGCGGCGGTCGGCTAGGTACGGGGGGCACTGGCGGTGCCTGCTGGTCTTTGATCTGGAGGTTCAGCGCGGGATCTGATTGAGCACCAACGGAGGGCGGCGTCAGGGAGCCGGTGGTCGGAGTTCCGGCATCGTGGCTGCCATGCTCGTCATTGCTTGACGTGTCAGTGGAGCGCTCCGTGCGGAAGCTGGCCCGTGATCGCCTGCGAAGCTCCTTGAAGTTGAGAAAAGACGGCGGCATGGCGGGTCGTTGGGCTGGTGGATCTGCTGCTGCCAAGCAACGCGGGCGAGACACCAGGACCGTGGCCTAGGTACGGGAACGTGCGATTGAGTCGCGGAAAAAGCAACCGCGGTCTTCCCAGGTGGAATGCGGCGTTGGAGTGTTTGCAGGACAGCCGTTGGCAACCAGAAGGACAAGATTGAGCCCAGCAATTGGCAGAACGGACGTGTCAGCAATGATTAGGGAGGTGTTTGCAGGCGCGGGACTAGGAGAAATGAAGTGGGACGGCGAGGTAGGACGGGGTCCGCACACGGCAGCGGCGCGCGTCTGGGATGCCGTCCACAAGCTGGGATGGCAGAGCAAGGCGAGAGAGAGCTAGGAGATCGGGGCGCTGAGCATGATAGTGATTGTCGGCGGGACGGCGGTGTTGTGGTGCTGTCGTCAACCTGCTGGGTCTCGAGAGCGATCAAACCGCGTGGCTGGGCTGACGATTGCTGAGCAGGGTGGTGGTGTAGTAAGAAAGCGACAATGGAGTGAGCAAACGACAGGAGCGCTTCAGGACAGCGCTGGAGCTGCTGACAACAGGTAGGCGTAGCGAAAGTCAATCTGAGAATAGTCGGCGGCCGATGTCAGGAGCAAAAGCAGGAGGCAAAAGAGCAGGATCAGGAGCAGGAGCAGGAGCAGGAGCAGAAGCAGGGCAGCAAGAAACACGAGCCGGCAGGAGCAGTTCATGTCATGGTCAATCAAGACAGGACCGGTCCCGATACGGACGGAGTGGACTGGGGGGTCCTTGGGAGCCGTTCCAAGCTGGCGCGCGATGCTCGTGGCGTGCAGCAGGGATTTGGCACAATGGATGGGTCATGGATGGGCATGTCGTACCGCATTTAGCAAAGCACTACGCAGAATTGGGGCCCGCGACGGACCGAATTTGTGGGCGCCAGAGATGACGGGACAGCCCATCACCAACCACTAGGTACTGACCGGATCCAGGCCATGCCATGCTCTGCCAGGCCAGATTCAGGCCAGGGCTGCGCGGGAGGTTGCTCTCATTGTTGCATGCTGCGGCAGTCAGTGCTTGGCCATCTTTATGGCACTGGATAAGATAGAGCAGTCGAGCCGCGGTGAGAGATTATTGTCCGCAAAGTCAAAGTGTCGGCAGTGGGTGGTGGTAGGGGGGTCGCGCACCTGCACTCACTCGCTCGCTGGTGTGCTGTTTTCTGCAAGCGGCGGGCGGCGGCCCACCCGTGCCCGCACAGCGCCGGGATGCCGGACTAGGGCGATTGCGGATGACGTCGTGGCCAAGCCTTGGAGCTCGAACGCTTCTGCCGTTGTTTCGGCGGGCAGGCCTGGGGATAGTTCATTACCAACATGAGTACATACATGGCTAAATGTACGTAAGTTGCCAGCGAGAATAATCGGCCTGTCTCATCAGCCAGCTGCCCTCGTGGAGCCGGCCACTTCTGGCCGTTCCTGGCTCCCGAGCTCACTGCTCTGCCCCCCATGACCAGCCGCCTGTTCAGGCACGCTGCAGATGCACGCCATGGCCGAGGGGGTTGCACCCATCCACCACGGCGCCGGGATCTCAACCTTGGCCAGCTTGCACCAGCAACACAACCCCCCCGGCCGCTGCCGCCAGCCATCGAGATCGCCAGCCCGCGCCGCCGCCTCCACATGCCCCAGGCGCAGGCTCTGTCTGCCCTGATAACGCCGCCATCGACGGACGGGGCCTCGCGCCGGCTGATAACTAGCAGGCCATCCAATCTGGCATCGGATGTGTATAGGCGCCGCCCGGAGATTTCGTGGCAGTTCATCCCAGCCAGCACACCCTCCAAGAAACAGGCCCCAGGTTCGCACCAACAACAGACCCCCATCCATCCATCCACCATCCATCTCCAAACCTTGCCTGCCTCCGCCGCGTGTCCCTCCTCGTGAAAGTGGGGCCCAGCCTCCCACCATGCAACGCGGTCCAACCTGCAAGCTCCGCATCACCACCACAATGTGGCGCCTGCCATCCTGCTGATGCCATGCGCCAGGGGCCAGAGATTTCCGGGCCTGCCAAGCACCATGAGGAGGCACCTTAAGGTACTTTAAGTAAAGCACGTATGTATGCTTCAGGACTATGCTTACTGCATCCTCCCTGCTGCTATTGCTGCTGTTGCACCTAATTTGGAGCCTTCGATGAGATTGACCATTGGGCGGCCAGTGCCACTGACAGGTCCCCCACCTGCATCTCCAACGTCAATTGTCATCATTAACCACCTTCGACACGACACATCACTCCACTCCACTCCACACAAGCCGGCTCCATGGCAAAGCTTAAAACCAAGAGAAATGATAGACCCATGATGCCCGTCTGATAAAAGGGCACCGCCTAAAGCGTTGAAACGGTTGCCGCCCACAGCAGCACAAAGAGAACGTACGCGGGGGGCCTCCCTCAAAGCCAGTGCAGCCATCTTTCGACGAGGTTGGTTGTTCCAGCTCTTGAAGCCGACCAGATAATCTATGCTCGTCCTTGCCATTGAGTCAGCACTGCTCTTTCCGAGTTACTGCTATGGAGCAGTTGAGCGGTGCTTGTCGGTCAGTCCTCTGCGAACTGTTTCCACGACCGCCAACAGGACTGCCCTGGGCCGTCTCTGACGACACGTGCTATCTGTTTCATGTGACCCTCGACGAAAATCAGTCTCGGAGGAGTGTATTGACTCCGTCCTTCAATATGATATGGACAACGCTTATGCCCTGAGTACCTACGGGTAGCTACTGGTTGCATTGAAAGCGTCTTACAATTCAGCAATTCATCCCAAGGCTACATCGACTTCACGATTCAAGCCGGACCAATGTCCATCTAGAAACCCGGGCGAAAGATCCTATCTCTATCCGTACTGGACTGCTTTGGACCAATCGACAAGCAGATCCACATGCTCAAGCAGCACCTTTCCGAGTCAGCGTCAAGGATTCAAGATCGTAGTTCTTGTATCCGTCACGAATTGTTCTTATGATAGAGTGCCTTCGTGGCATGCCGTCCAGATTCACGATAGGCCTTGGCAGGTTCGCTCTGGTCCAGCACGACTCATCGCATGTCTTATTTTTCTCACGTCCGCGATACTGTATGAACTGTCTTGTGACAATCAGCACCGCATGTCCTGGCACGCCTCGAAAGGGGATATTGGATCCTGGCGAGTCATCTCCTCATTAACCTGAGAAAAAGCTGATACTTGCTGGTCATTGGGTGTGATGGACAAAATCACAGACAAGCCTGAGCGGATCTTCTGCATGCCCTTTCGATGGTTTTTAAGCGGTTGTTGTCAGTCATCTTTTGGTGTTTGGGAGGCAGTGGGTTGCGTGCGACACTCTATCTATCTGCTCAACGACCAGGCACGTCAAAATATGCAGCATCTTTGAGATCAGCTGCGACGCCACCAAATACTAAAGAAGGGCCAAGACCATGGGAATGCAATGGCCTTTAGTTGCGGGCTAATCCCCGGCTTGATCTCTATTCTACTCTGCAACCATATATCCTGTGACTCTTCCCTTCACAAACCGGCAAGTCAATCTGGACAGTCCACTTTACAATGGACGGGCCATTTCCCGTCCAGCTTCGTGAACCTATCTTGTAGTCGGTCTTTTCGATCTAGCGACCCCTGCATTATTGTCAAGTCATGCTAGACTACCGGAGGAAGCGATCATCCGCCGCCCTCTTCCGCGCCGACTTTTCGTGATACGACTCCATCGCCAGTCAGCCTTGTTTTCTTCGGCCTCCTTCCTTCGAGCCGCCGCTCATCTATCTGCAGAACAGTCCTTGGTCGCCATCAAGATCCTTTGCCAGAGCCACGCTCCCCGGTCGGCAAGTTCTGAACCATTATGAATACGGCCGGCTACCCAACATGAACAGGTGCTTCAAACTTGTCTTGGAGACTAGCTCTATCTTCTCGAACCGCTGCGTCGTGATGATGAAAAGACAGTATCAAGTACGAACATGGCACATGGCCGGAAATCAAGCTCTGATATAAGTTCTGGCCCTGGTCCACCCTTTGCCCTCCTTCGAACCAGCCGTCTCGACTTGCTCGCTGGTGGTTTTGACAGTAGCCTCCAGCACCCGAGAGGGAACGGGAAGCCAAGGACAAAAAGACAGTTAAAATCCGAAAACCAAAACAGGAAGACGAGGAGGAGGTAACCACACCAAAAAGAGAAGGAAGAAAGAAAAAGAAAAGAAAAACGAAAAACGTACAACACCGGGGATTCGCTGGTCGTCACCGACCCAACTACTGATCCGGCGGTATCAAGCTTGTGTGGCAGGGGAGCGGACGGGACCCTCAATTTTCTTGATCCTATGGTCGTACGTAGAAGACGTGGACGTTTTTCAGGGTTTATATCGAGCTTGTGCTGGCATACAGACAAGACAAACATGCCCAGTGTGGCTGTATATACGACAAGCCCGCACGGCACTGTCATATTTCGGGTTGGTCACAATGCAAGATAAGTATATTCTTTAGGTATTATCGCTGTTCAGATTTTCCTGTTCTCCTCCTTTCTTCCAAGGCAATCCTAGCCGGGAAGTTCGTGGGCAAAGATACCGTACTCACATCGTAGCAGCCACACCGCACCTCCCATGTCATGGTTTTCGCTTCACGCACCATCGACGGCTGGCGTCATAGTCCGTTCTCCGAGCGAACCAACTCACATGAGCTCGCTGGGCAGCATCCCAAGACTTTGCCATTGGAACGCCTTATGCAGCTGTCTTGAGGATCCCCTTCCCACCCAGCTTCAAACATTGCAGATCAGAACATCCTCCGTTCGTGTGGCAGGTCCAGCCAGGCCCAGTCTGAGACATACCGCGTTGTCTCTCATGTGCGTGCGTATGTGTGTATGCGTGTGTGTGCACGCAGAGGGTATTGTGATCATCTTTGAGTTCTGCTGGCTCAGAGACAACATCGACGCGTGCGCTGGCATGCTTTACAGCATGGGAATCATCCCTCACTCTTCAGCTTGATGGTGCACTGTTGAAAACCTCTTTAAGATCTACTCGATATGATATATGTGTGTAGCAGTAGCAGCCACCACTGAATTCTCCCTCCGCAGATGCCCGTCGTTCAACGCGGAGTTGCACTTCACACGGGAGAATGGACGTGCTGCTGAGAGCCTCGTCTCCAAACCAAGACAGCTGGCAGTGCTCACTCCAAGAAAAAAGCAAAAAAAGCATGCAGGCTCCTAAGACTCCGAGGCCATCATCCATGACCCGACCGGCCCGACGAGAACAAATGCAGCATTGTCGGAAGCGCCAGGCGGAAGGGGGGACGGGGGGAGGGGGATGATCCCTGAAAGACCGGGAGGGACAGATTCTGCAAAAGACTTGGCTTTGACCAGGCCTGGTAAAGGATGGACATGGGTAGAGACACAAAAAGCTTTGGCAAACTGGACAAAAAGAAAAGAGAGAGGGGTTAGGGGGGGTAAGGGGGCTTCGGAGACATGACCGAGGGCCTGCCTTGGGGCTTCCCACACGCTTGCCGCTCTTGGTTGAATAATCACAGGAATCTGCAGGCCGTGCCTCCTCCTCCGTGACGATCTGCATTTCTGAGTATCTATGTGTCTTTGAGGATGTATGTTTTAGATCATGAGAGAGACATCCCGACGGACAGGCCGGGTGGTCTGGAGCATCGGGCCGACACCTGCCGGAACAGCACGATTGCGGAACAGAGGCAGGCCGCCCAATGAAGACGCCTTGACAACGATTCTGCACGAAGGGATACTTCCTTTTCATCGTGCAACAATCCCTGCAGGTTATGGGCCCAGCAAGCCATCGGCTTTGAGGATTTAACCTTTCAGCAGGGGGTGACGGGCGGGCCATTGAGGTTGCTGCAGGTCTTGCATCTCGGACGCGGTCAGCGCCGGATGCTGCAAAGAAGAAAAAGAAAATTGAATTGTCCAATGATAATACAACGCCGTAATTGGTGATGGGGGTGAATGCATGCAGATGAATATCCTTTGGAGAACATTTGGGACCTACCGACCAATGGGTCTCGTCTGGGATCGCCTTGTTCTGAAACAGAAACACGGAAACATTGCGCGTGAGTCAGCGACACTCAGAGCAACGGCTGAGACGAAAGGCGGCGCGGGGCGAGAACAGAAAAGCAAAGTCAAGGAACACCAGGCTGCGAAATCTCTGGCATGCAGATGGCATTGTACGAAGTCAATGCCAGGGGCTTTGGTGGTGAAGATAAAGTATTTCGCCCAGCGTGACCACCTTTTGTGCGAGCAGAGTTCTGCAGGTGGTGGCTTTGCTTGCTTTTTGTTTCGGGTGGCGCTTGGAGATTGCCTCCCGTGCGGCAACGTGTAATTTGTGACACGTAGCCCACATGAGGCGGAGGTCACGTTTGTCCATGCCGACTTGGTTGCTCCATTCTGTCCACCTTTGCTGCTCGAGGTGCCCAGAGTTGAGACTTGCTGTGCGTGCTATTTAAGCCGTTCCTTGAAACAACTTGTCCGCACGGTCTACAACATGGACGAGATGAAGACCTTTGTCGCTCGTGGGGCTGTTTGTCCCAGAGGCATGGCCGTCTGATCTGGAAACATGACTTATAGTGAATATGGCCCTTCCCAACATAAGCCAGTCTCAGATCAGATCTCACCTCGAGGCTCGCGTACTCCGCATTCCGAAACTATATTGGCTTTGACTCTGACACGTCCTCAACGTTGTAGTGCAGAAAGCCGCCTGTTGTCGATCCTGCCTATGTCGCACACGCTCAGCAAATCCGCGCATGATCGGTCAATGTCGCACGAGGGAGTGTCTGAGACGTGTGAATCTGGATTCTCCCTTCGTGAACCTTTCGAAGAAGGCCCAGCAATCAGCCAGGCTTCTCGAAAGAAAGTCATGCTCGCCGAGTTGCTGGCCTGTCCCTTAAGAGCAATGGTTTCTGAAGGGTATCTGCCACGCCTGAAATATCGCTTTTGGTACTATCATGTGATACTGCCCTCCTCAAGGTGAGTTTGCAAGTCAATCGGGAGGTCAGACACAAGCATGATGTAGTGCAGAAACGCGGCTGGGAGGTGCTGCTGTTAGACTATAGAAGCAGCAAGCAGACAACCCTGCAGCCAGCAGTAGGGCCCTACATAGGCTGAGATATATGACTGCTAAGGTAACGAACAAGTTGCGACGTCCGGGCGCCGCCTTGTGCTATGCCGAAACACGCTGAAGCACCGATAGTCTGACGGCAAGTATAGCTCCTCATACATGGGCGGCGTTGAGCCCATGCTGCAACGCAACAATTGCAATCAATTGGGCCTAGAAGGAGGCACTATAGCTCTGAGTGAGCCATGGGTGGCTCGAACCATGAGTTCCACTTGTCTATTCTACAGTACTACTATCCCGTGGGCTTCATACAACGAGAGGCAGTCAGCAACCCAGCCGCTGCAGAGGAACTGCAGGGTGGCATAATCTTCCGGCAATCTGTTAAGTCGGGGGTAACCACAAAGGAGCTGACGACCCCTCCAGGGATTGGGGGCAAACCCTGGCAGGAATGATCGAGTTGAGCAAAGCATGCAGTCGACGAGCATGGCATCCTTGCAAGTCCCATGCTGGCTGTGGGGACGCAACGACTCGCACAGGCCAGAGAGTCGGCGCTGGCCCGCCCACCTTGCTGCAGCAAGCAGACTGTCATGCACACCAAAATGCAGGTCTGCTCAGCTACGTGGCACAGCGGCGGCGCACGTGGGGACCTCTGTCCTGTGCCCGGCGAGCGAATCTGAGCAGCAATGCTCGACCGCCCGGCGTCTCGTGCGGTGGGCTGCTCTGCTGGGTGGCAGGCGCACGGTCTAGACAGGAACGCCCAACGGCTCGCTCGAGTGGGCATGGGGCCACGGGGCGCAAACCTTCAAGGAGGGCAGGGGAGCAAGCGCACTCAGGCGGCGGGCAGGCAGGGGCCGGCGGGCGGAAGGGTGAGGGACGGGAAGAGCCTAAAATGGCGAACGGGAAGGCTGGAACCCTGGCTGCGGGAGAGATCCACGAGCGTCATGGCAGGTCGCGCTCGAGGTGCTGTTGGCTGGACTTGCAGCGCGAAAGTGGCCACGTCCGGGTCGGGTGAGCAAGCCAAGAATGTAACGCTCGTGCGGGCAAGCTGGCCGATCCGTCTGTGTCGTGCCCGCTGCCGTGGTTCTGCGTCGTATGTGCGCCCTTGCAATTCGCTGGCGACACCAGCCACGAGTGCTGCCAGATGCGGAAGGTCTGCTGCCTCTCGCCGGCTGCTTGCTGCACGGGTGCCGTGTTGCTGAGCCTGGGGGGAGCCGTAGCTCTGGGTCGGCCTGCCATCGCAAAGGGTTGTGACGGGTTGTGTGGTGTGCAGCTCTTTGGCCGCCTTGGTCGAGGTCCGAGGATGAGGGTGGGTGAGGAAGGAGCCCCCTAGGACGAACGGCCAGCACCCGCTCTTCGTTCTCGACCTCCAAGCAAGTGTGTGCAGAGGACGTCACACCGCACGCAGGACAGGACCGCCGTGGCCCCAAGCAACACCGTCTGACCACTCGCTCGATCCCAGCCTTATGACTTGGTTGTGTCGTGTGGCTCGACTGGGAGGCACGTCTTCCCTTCCCCTTCCGGCCTGCCTGCCGCGGCTCCGACGAGCCTACTTCTGCCCCAGCACAGCACCCTGGGCTAGCTCGACGACAACCCCAGAAACACGGCTTCCGCCACCCGCTCAATGTCAGCGTCAGGAGGCACCATCTGCAGCCTTTTGTCCTCCTTGGGCAGCGAGTGAGAGGCACCTCAATTGGCGCTCCAGAAACATCCTTATGCTGATGTCGATCGTCGCGGCGGCCGCCAGGCCGTCTGGAACCGTAGACGCAATGGCCTTGACCACGTCCTATCCTGTATCGACAAGATGCTGTTGGTAACCTTGGAGAGGAAGCAACGCATGTCATCTACGAGCCAAGCTCAATCGACCTCATAGTCACAATGTACTGGTCTGAACCGCACACATCCAGTATAGACAGCCAAGCCGCCCGAACATCGGCGTTCACGGGACCACGCCAACATTGGCGGCATGCAGCGCAATGTCACCGCCATTTCAAGTATCATATCCTGCGAGGCCGACGCATGCGAGACGGCTGCATACATCCCCCAACCTCGCCCGCATGCATGACTGACAGTCAACTCCGCTTTATCCTTGTCAGCTTGCCTGGCTGAAAATCAGTGCAAGGATCCTTGCATCACTTGGCCTGTGCGCAGCCTGCAACAGCCTTTCAATCCAGCAAGATTCGTGGTTCATCCTCACCAGCCTCTTTCAAGCCTGACAACCAAGAGTCCAAAGTGCACGGCACCATGTGACGTGCTGATCCCGTGTAACCAGGAGGCTCCGTCTCTCTTGTCGCCCCGGCTACGTCCAGAATAGCATCGGCAGCGTTCGATTTATCGGTCATCGGGACTTACAACGTAAACCCTGCTTGCGTGATCGAGGACGGGGCGTTTCCGTCCGCCTTTAAGAGATAGCGACGCTGTTGGAAGCCAACCATCACCTGCATTCGCCACAACATTGTCAAATGCCAAGGATTACCGCATGCCATGGTTAAACCCCACCCACCAATCTGGCAGATGCCTCGGGTGCGTGGCAGGTCGCTTGCTAAAACCTCGCCCAATTGGAGAGTCAGAAACTCGACCTGTAACCAATCACAACCCTCCTGTGGTCCTACAACAAAGCATAGGAAGCAGAGCTGCGCTGGCTGGCTCCCAGTCACAATGCACGACGGCGTTACTCGTGTTTGTGGCAGGGAAATCTATCACTTGAATGATCCTCCACAGACGAGGTCCTTCGGGCTGATGATACGACACAAGAATCGGGCAATGCAGTTCATTCCAGAGGTCGACATTTCCCAACAACCATGGGCAGGGAGCACCGTGGCCCACCCAGGACTGGCGTTTCTCGGCAGAAGGCACAACAGGACCCGCGTTCAGCCAGTAAGTCTAAAGTGGGCTGCTGCCAACTCAAGCACCTCGTTGCCTGATTGGACCCCATTGGGAGTTACGGGACCCAGAGACTGAGTGCAGATGACACCCTGGATCATCCCAGACAGCTACTGGGAGCTTCGGCAGGGTGACAGCTGCACGAGGCCGCGTTGGGTTGCGGTCCACTGGTGTGCGATAGCTCCAGATGTCATGGGGTCAGTGGTGCCATTCACGGCCCTTGTCTACCACACCTGGCAGTCATTCCCAGGTGGCGTCCGCACACACCAGGATGTTCTCGTCCTGCACGGAGGGCGTTGATCTAGTACCCAAGGCGGATTTCGGGGCAAATCAACGACTCAGATTTGGCCAATTGGGGGCAAGGGGCGGAACAGGAAAGGGAGACCCAGAGCATTGGGACCAGGGGCCGTGTCATGATTAGCTCGACGTAACGGTTTGACGCAGAGCACCCTGTCATCTGAACCCAATCTTCGCACTCTTCCATCCACGCAATTACGCGCACGCCACAGCTATAAGCGCACCCTCATTGACTTCGGCGCGACCGGATTATTCTCGAAGGCAATCCCGTATCGCGACACGCAGGTGCAGATGGAAACAAAAACATTAGGCGCCCGGCTCCTAGTTCTCTGGCACGACACCGAGACAATTCGGGTTGCCCGCTGGGCGAGCGTTTCTGTCGGAGAATTGCCCACCACGGCCAAGTGCTGAACACTAAGCCAGAAAAATACACAAGCTCGCGTCCACTTGCTCCACTCTGCTCTGCCTCAGGCAATATCTTTTCAATCACTGGATGATCGACTTGGCTCCATAAGACCAGCCAGGCTTGCATCATGCAGAAACCAGCATTTGGGTCAACGTCTTCTTGAACACCATGGGCAGCAAGAGCACAGATAAGTCAGAAAGTGCTGCGCTGTGGCGGCTCAGCTCAGCGTGCTGAAATATGGGATGCCGCTGCACCCCAATGTCCTTGGCTTGGTAGCGCTCGTCTTGGTCGGAGATATCCTCCAGGGGAATTGGCAGTGTTGCTTTGTTCCTTCTCAATTCTCGGGAGCGAGTTGGCGTGACAAAGAGGGCAGAGAAGCGACCCAATGACAGAAATCTGAGACAAGGATTGTGTCCATCGTGCGTGCTCGACTTATTCGTCATGACGTGACAGATTTTCTCGTTCGTGGTCATCTTGCTGCTCGCCTACGGCCAGATATCGATGAACCGTCTCGGAAAGAAGCTGGCTGCATTTTCCAGTATGGAACAATTGTGCGACACCGTGTCCTGGTCCACGTCCCAGACTGCCTCGCCAAAGTGACACCACCGAAGCAGCCTGAGAGACATGGAGGGACTTGCGGACTTCCGCCGACTCAAATACAGAACCCCAGGAACCCGAGCTGGTGACTGGGGGCGGGCTGGACCGCTCAAATCATGTGATTTCGCAATCATGCGGGCCGTTCTGCAACCTGACAGCTCCCGCCCGCCTAGGCGCCAATCGACAGGCACGGACCGATGTGATTGGGAAAGTGATCCGCCCTCCACAGCCGTCCCCACGACAGTATGCATCGTGCCCGTTCTCCACAGGGTACCATCCCCATGGCCTTTGCAATTGCAGCCTCCCATCTCCGCCTGCCCAACGCGCCCGCTGGCTCCAACTCGCCTTGTACTCAATTGACGGTGCGTTCCGTCCCCATCCATGCACCGCTTCTGAGCAACACTGCCAGCACATGGCAGAGAGTCTGTTTCGTGATGCTTCTACCGCAAAATGCTTGCGGATCCTGCGGACCGTCTCGCAATGAGCCGCTTACGCCATGCACATTCAACCGGGCATTGCCCGCCGCGCTGGTAAGCATTGAGCCTGTGCTTGGCGGCGTGGATCCATGGGGTGCCTCACCGCCTCATACGAGAGGGGCAATCTCCGTGAGGTAGCAGTCGAGGTCAGCATCCTTGGGTCATGCCCAAATCGGCTTGCTTCACAAACACATCGAGTCCCTTCACTGTGGTCAGCAGAGTGCACAGGCACACAGCGTTCATCATTCAAATTGGTACCCCTCGTCGATACTGTCTATCATCGCTGGGTGGTAGCCTGCTTAGAATCGAGCCTAAAGACACCAGGCCAACGCACCAGGTGGTTTGCTTCCTTTTGCCGCCACTCGTTGGTGCTTAAGTCGTCCGACATGAAGCCAAGGGGCGGCAGGACACTCTCGTCACCTGGCAGAACACAGACTCGATAGATGAATAGGAAGCTCGTTCTGCAACTTGGCGGCTCTCTGCTTGCTTTGCTGGACTTGCATGTAGTCAGTAGACGAGCAAGTCGACGGCCCGTTTTGTCGCCTTTTTTGAGTTCCACATCGGCAAGCAAGCTTGGGATTCCTTGGCCCTGCGGCTGACGACATGTCGTGGCATCGGGTCATTTCTAAAGATGGTCCGCTGCGCGTCACGCAAACCAATTGCATGAAGCTGGCAGGCGTCAAGGGCGAGCTGCGAGGCAAAGCGGAAGCAGGATGGGCCCGGGCGGCGGCATGAGACCAATGGCCACTGATTGCTACGTCGGCTTGTTGGCCGTCACAAGGCCGCGATGGATTCTACGTGTCTGGTGCAACCACACCTTCGGCTACGGCTGTCTGGAGACAGCAAATCCATGCTTTGCCATGCGGGTACGGCTCCTTAAGCATGTATGAGATGAGATGTTCGGCTGCTTGCCGTCTGACACGCGCGCTTCGGCCCCATCAGCGTGAGCAACAGCAGCGCACGCAAGCCACCAGTTGCAACCATGCGACCCAACACTGGGTGGGAAAGCAATCATGGCCAGCATTGTAGGGGCACTGCTGCCGCAGCACGCCGCTGCCTATCTTGCGTTCCAGCGCCGGTGTTGAGTCACCAGCATCGCTACGGACGGGGCGCTTGTCAAAGCACCCACGACAAGAGCGGTAGTGAATGGGAGCTCCAGCCCACAAGGACGCCAGCGTCCTCCCCTGCTTGGCTTGGGCGGGCGGCGTGAGAGGAGGCACAGGAAGAGGAGGAGGGGCGCGGGCTTGCACCAGCTGGAGTACCGGGACGAGGTAAGCCGACGGCCCCAAGTCCGGTGGTGGATAGGGTTTCTCTTACGCACTCCAAGAGCTGCAGCCCGAAGGGTCATCCCGCATCTGCTATAATACTGCATCGACTTGCGCACCTCGCCAGTCAGCCAGCCAGCCAGCCAGCCAGCCAGACCAGCGCCCTGTCGGCGAGCGAGGGAGTGGCGTCCCGGTCCCCTGCTGCTGCTGCTGCTGCTGCTCCTTGCTGGTGCTGCTGATGCTGTGCGTGAGCAACGCCGCCGCCGCGTGGAGGCAAAGGGGGCTTTGTCGATGGGTCGAGGGTACGCAGGTAGCGCAGGGCCGCCTTGCCCAGCAGCACCTGGGCAGGTGCGCCGGGGGCTCCATGACCCAGCGGAGCAGCGGCCACCACACACCGTGACTTGCCAGGCTTGGTGCTTGACGCTGCCTGCAGGGGCTGCTGGCTCTCACCACCAGCCAGTGGCCTTCTTTCTTCCTCGCCTGGGCTCCTTCTTGGATGCACGCCACCGGCCGCCCATGCGCACACCCTCTGCCTCTCCCTCGCGCACACCCTCCTGCGCCGTGGCCGGGCTAGCCTGCTCCTCGAGCCCCGCCCTCCACCCAATTTCTTGGGCCGCTGCTGCTCGTTCCCAGGCATACATTACATGCTTCTCCCGTCCCTCGTCGTTCTCCCGCACACCCCCCACTACACCCTTCAACCCTCCCGTCGTCCTTGGGCTGCGATTCCGCAATGACGGCAGCCTCGTCCTGACTTCCTTCCTCCTCCTCTCCCTCCACGCCTGTCCTCGAGAGCTGTCGCCATCGCCGCCGCTCCAGCCTGCAGAGCTCTCCTCAGTCCTGCCTCGTCTCTGCCTCTGGTCAGCGGGCTCCGTCTTACACGCCCCTCCAAAACCGGCGGCTTGGCGAGCAGAGAGCCAGAAGAGAGCAGGAAATCTCGCGCCATTGCAAGCAGAGCAGTCTTTCGCGCCGGCCGTCGACACGTCTCCGTGGGCAGCAAATTCACCCAGATCGACTCGGACGTATCTAGCATGAGCCCGGCTGCTCTTCGCATTGACACCTGTAGACCCAGGGCCCAGACTCGCACGCTTTTGGGCACTTTCAGAGCACCGTCTTCTGCAGCACCACAACAACGCCTCTTCCGCCGGCTTCCATACCCATAGTTTCGCTCCTGTGCCTGTGTAGCAAGACAAGACGGCAGTATTCCCTTGAGGCTCAGTTGCTACAGGAAGCTCTTGCGATAACCAGCCTTGGCGCCACCGCCTTTCTTCGTCACCATAGCATGGCAGAAGACCACCGAGGCAGGGGATTACCGCAGCGCAACGATCCAGCCGAGGCCGCACCCTATCAAACCAGACCACCAATGAGTTCCGGCGCGGTGACCCTGCCCTCCATGCAAGACCCTCACGGTCTTGGCGGCAGCGCTGCAACGCGGCATTGGGACTCGAGATCGAGTGGCTACGGACCTTCGCCCAGCTCCGCCAACGGCTACCCGCCTCCGGGGACGCCGTTGCAACAACCGCCTAGCTACTCGCCGTCCAGCTCGACCGGTGCCTATGCGCCCCCCGGGCCAGGTCCTCAGCAGTATCTACCTCCTGTACAACCGCATCCCCAAGATGCCAGAGGCAGTTACCCGCCTCAGGATCCTCGGAGCGCACCCTACTACGCTGCCCAACAACGACCGGGAATGGGCCCAGGCCCGGGTCAAGGGCCGGGTCCTGGACCTATGCCCGGTGCTCCTGGGCCAGGGCCTGCTCCCTACAGCGGTGGCTATGACTATGGCTATCGTCCTGACCGCCATCCAGGCTCCTACGGCGATTATGGGCGTGGGGGCCCTCAGATGCTGCAGCAATCAGCTCCACGCCAGAGAACGTCTATCGCCTGTCGCTACTGCAGGCGCCGCAAAGTATGTCAACATGGAAGGATCTCTTGTGCATGCAGAAATACTAACTCGTCTCTGGCAGATACGATGCAGCGGCTACCAGAACTCCCCCGGCGGCAAATGCACGAATTGCATCAAGATGAACCAAGAGTGCATCTTCCAGCCGGTGTCGTCGTCCTCGTCCACTGCCTTCGTCCCAGTGTCCGCTCTACAGAACGGTGTGATTCCTCCAGGGACTCAACTCTTTGGTGCCTACGGACAGCCCATTCCTGTCCCTGCGGGCGCACCGCCGCCTGGTTATCCAGGGCCGAACCCACCCTACGAGCAGCCTCTTCCATCCCCAACCGGCTCGTACGGTTCCTTTACAGAGGACAGGGGGGATTCGAGCAGAAGACGGCCACGACCGCCCGACGAGGATCATGGCATGCGACTACCGCCCCCAAACACGTTTCCTCCCGACGACAATCGCCGACGGTCTCCCTCGAGTAGTAGCCCTGGCTATCTTCAGCCATATCCTGGAGCACCTGCACAGCACGCACCGGCGTCGTTCGACAACCGTACACCGCCACCAAGGGGCAGTCCATCTGGGACCCAGCCCGGTGGACAAGCACCAAATTCGGTCATGAGCCTGGGTAACATCATGGACTCGGCACCAGGACGGGATATTGACACGAACATGCTTGGGCGGCTGAACCGGAGAAACTGAGGCTGCTTGACAGAAACAAGATCACCAAAGGGGCGCAACACCACGTCACTGGTTTGACGGAAAATCGGTTTCTGGCGCAACGAGTATGACTGAACGAAATAATGCGCACGAGAATGACGGGGGTGCTGGCGGTCATCGCCTGCCCTGAATAACGCGGTTGGCCGTCTAGCCGCTGGGCGGCTATCGGCAAATACGAACTATTCTTGTCATTACTTTCCTCGGCCCCAATCGAGACCTACTTCGAGCAGACGAAGTCCGACCGCTCGTTCTGACATTCTGTGGAAGCCGAAAAGCCCACTGAAGATCTCTACGAGAATCCAGCGATCGAAACGTCGACGCCATCTTCGCTTAATGGTCACGGGGGAGGTTTTAGTCTCCTCACCCTTTGAGTCTTGCATGTCACTAATAATCACCATTTACAACTGGGACACGGCGAAAATTTCTTATCATTTCCGGGCGGCCTCGGTCAGAGGACCGAACAAAACTTGGGCGGTTATTAGAGTCGTATTTCCTCCGGTTTGGCAACGAACAACCCCAATCAGCGCATATATCTCAGGACACCTTGGTTCAGTCGTTTCATCTATTCGCATCTTCTGTTTGCCATTTTGGCAAATGCGGATTGGCTCCGGCCATTGCGACGATCTGCCCAAGTGTTTGGCACTCATCGCTCGCGCGACGGCGGTGTGCCTGTTTTTCCGCTTTTACACAGTCCGTTCCGGTTTTGTCCCCCTGTTCTCCCCACGAAGTTTGTTTTAAAAAGACCCAGCTTGCCTCGCGGCACATTTATTTATGTTTGGCGGCTTTTGTGTTCATTTTCCCCCGGGGTTTCAGTGCGCGCTTCTTGTCCTTTATTCCTGTCTCTGCTTGCCCGGTACTGGTCTCGGGAGTCCTGGGTGGCTAGCATTTTTTGGAGCGGATAGAGGTTTGGGGGAGTTTGACGAGAGCACGGGTGTGCACGAGCATTTACGGTATACCAGGTGGATGTTTTTGCTTTTGAGTTTTCTGTCACTTGCCTTGTAGGAGAATAGCAATCTTCCATTGTTGGCTGCGCAAGTGCGGCACGTAATCACGCGTTAAGACGGACGGACATGATGAATGTCTTCCCCGTGAGCTCCTTACGCCTGTACAGAAGGCTCGTCGACTGGTGACTGGATTCGACTCTGCCCCTCCCCCTCCCTCCTCGTTTCGGGCCATCTGTCCAGCGCGACTCGAGCGCGCGCGAATGCTGCTAACCTTGTCCTTGTTGGTCAGGCCCGACCCTTGGCTACGGAGGCTTGGGAGGGGTAAAATTGCTCGGAAGGGACCTTGTGGCGCGTCGAGTGGGCGTCAGAGAGCGCAGGCCAGCCGTTCGGAACCACTCTGAGCTTGTCCAATAGCCGTGTGGAAAGGCCTCGAAGCTAAGGGGAGGGGGCCTTTTGGTGTCGGCGATGCAGCAAAACACTTACTCTGTCGGGCAGAGCAAGGAACAAGCCCGGTGGGGGAGGGGATGGTCTTGTGGGTGCCCAAGAAGACGGTCAGGGAGAGTGACGGCCGTTGAAAGTACCTCGCGGACGGCGACGGCGGCGATGGGGCAGGAATCCGGTACCTGAGGGTCAGGTAGTCCGGTGGCAGGACACCCGGACTCCAGCTCGCAGCGGTATCCCGGGCACGCCGTTGCAAGCACGCCTGAAAAAAAGGGGAGGGGCCGGACGGGGCGCTTTAGCTCAAATGACGGACAGCAGTGCTTGGCTGCTTGACTCTGTCACACGGCAAAGGCCGCATGGGACTGCGTATAGGGTTGTCGTAGTGGTTCGCGAATTGAGCTAAATGATTGGTCTCGACGTCATTTACTGGGCATGACCAGCAGAGCAAGCGATGCGTGTCGGCAAGCGATCCGAAAGCAGCGGATGGTGGGTGGCATGGTTGGCCGTGCCATGCTCATGTGACGCTCGCAGGCTGTGGCCCGGGAGCTCAATGGAGAGCCTCAACACGGGCACACCGTTCCCTCACCCAAGACACCGAATCATGACACCTGGCCAGCTCTGGAGGAGCTGAATGCCACAGCGCAAAGGATGCCTGGCTGGAGGAGCTTGCGCGCGGCGTGGGCCTTAGTGACGGTTTCCAGCATGAATGCAGGGGAAGGATGGGACCGGCCGGCTGGGATTTGCACCATCGAGAAGGCCTAGCAGGGGTGGTTTCGCTAGATGGGTAGCAGAATGTTGGCTGATAGGCTGGTAGGCGCGGAGGGACATGGAATCGCAGGGTGTTAGGGACACGCCGGCCGAGCATGTAATTTGTGCGCTGGAATGTCTTCATGTCAGCTGAGCGCTTTAGGCTCCGCGAGCGTGCTGCTGCGGCGGTCTAGAAGGGCCAGAAACTCGAGGGAAAACCCGCCCGTGCCCACTGCTGCGTCGACAAGCTCAGGGACAGGCTTTGGCAGGACAGACGCCACGCGGCGGGCGCGGCTGCGGTCCCAGGCCGCTGGAACTGCGCGATTCAGTGTGGCGGCCTGCCCTGAGAGTGAGACAAGTGCGGAACAGAGCCTGTCTTGGCCCCCATCCGCTAGCTCTACGTCACCAGTGCCAGCGTGCATTATTGCTGGAGCTGCTGCGAGGAAGGGGCAGATGCCCGCCGAAGGGGTAATGCAGTGCGTGTGGCTCTGAGGATTAGGGGCGCTCGGCTGCGTCGTGGATCATCCCTCGGGTGCCCTTCGACGCCCGTGTGGCGTCACGGTTTGGCGGATCGCGTATTGGCTAGCCAGGCTAGACGGAACTCGCCACGAACCGTACCGTAACCTTCAGAGCCACGCTACGATCCACCCATCGCTGCTTCAGGCTGATTGAAAACGTTGCGCGGAACTCTGGCGGCTCTCTGTCGCCTCCCGCTGGCTCGCACATTGGCCGAGTGCAGACGAGCAGGATGACTTGGTGCCACCAGCGTGGTAAGATTTCTGGCAGCATGGAAAGGGGCCGGCCCGCCGTGTTTCCGCCAGAGACAACCAAGGCACAGGTGGGTCGGGCGCCGGCTCGACGGGTATTAATTACTTGCTCTACTCGGTAAAGAGCCGTCCGTGTCGCACACGGGGGCTCGACTCGTCTTGTGAAAGGAGGCAAGGCCAAGACCGGGCCCAGAGACGGGCACCAAGAGTCAGAGGAGGTCGCTGCGCTGATGCTTCCAAGAGGGTGGCTTCCACTCACGTGCCTGAGGCAGCGTTGGGGTCTTGGTGTTGTCGGCACTGACGCGATCTGACAATAATGACCAGCTTCTCGTCCAGCTTCTCGCCCATCTGATCGTGGCCAGGTCCCGATCGAGATAGATTATACCTTCTAGCCACCTGGCTTGCTATCGCTGCAGATGACGCCTCTCTCTCCGGGAACGGGATCATCAGACTTTTTTGTATCGAGCTCTTACGGGAATGTTGGGTGGTGGGCGGTCTCTAGCCTGCTGGAACGGAGCCCGCAAAGCACGAGACGAGACGCCTTTGGCTGCCAGATGGTCTTGTTCTGCGTCGTGGCGAAGCGGCACGAATCTGAGGCGCGATTGTATCAATGTTGAAAGTCACTTTGGCAGGCCTCAGATTCGATTCCTGCCGGTGAGCAGGAAGGCGCGCCGGCATCGCGCTCTTGCCCGCAATCCATTGCTGCTTCCAGAACTCTCGACAGGCTCAATCTCCTGGGCTTGGGGATCCTGGAGCAGGCCAGACATTTCAACAATGCCTGCCCACGTGTGCGTCGCAGCCCATGATTGCTTCCTGTCCATCACTATGCCTATGGCCGACGACATCTGCGCTGGTGAATGACAGCCAAGCCAAGGTTGGCACTCCCAGCCATCCATCTCCCCCGTCTAGCGAACGGTCCGGGATCGATACCCACTTCACCGCCTGGCGGCACAGCCCTATGCCTGGAGATTCCCGTGGTGAAACCAAGCACAAATACCAACGACTCGCTGATGATCCAGCTGCCCTATCCGGTGTCTGTGCCGTGAGACTCTCAGCGCTTCTTCAGAGTATGCCATGAGTCCTGCCTCGGTCAAACATCGTGTTGGCAAGCGCAGCTCGATGCAGCAAATCTTGTGTATTAGTGGTCGAGCTTTCGTCATTCAGCTTTTGCCAAGGAGCAACAGTTCAACCTCGATCGCGTCATGTTGGACTACTTTGGACCCGTAGACGTAGCCTTTCAGAGTCCAGAGATCCATTGGTGACTATCGCTTCTTGACGAAGCTCAATGTCGTGGTTGACCACATTTGTGCATCTGGCGGCGGTGACTGCCAACTCGCCCCATGCGGCATGCCAGGTTGGTGACGATTCCCGGGAAATGCGAAGCACAATCCGAGCATATCAGCGCTGACCGTGAGCCACAGGACGATCAAGCCACCACGTCTTGCACCAGATTATTATGGTGGGTAGCTTGGCGCTCTCCTACATCAATCACCAATACTGCTTCTCAAAAGAGTCCCCAGCCTTGCGTGGTTGCGCCACCACAAAACAGCACCACGAATCATCCACCACACATGATCGCCCAACATCTGATTATAATGCCTATTCAGATTCTCCAAATCGCAACTCAGAATATATACTCGAGGAGTCGAGGTTCTCGAGGATGACTATAGCATCTTCACCGCCTTGCTAGGGTTGGTGATATCCACCACCGGATGTCCTTCCGCCGCGGGTGGGTCGGGGCCAGGGTCACGGAGCGCGGACTGACTTTAGAGTGTCGACTTGCATGCTTGACGTGACACGGTTAGCCGGTTGACAAGCTTATGTGCATGGGTTTGAGATGCGTCGCGGCGACGAAGACCAATGTCCAGATCCCCCGGCCTTCAATGTGCCTTGAAAGTGCTTCAAAGTCATCTCTACAAGGGAGGATCGACCGCACGGCCCAGGGGAATTGTGCATGCAGGTAAGCCGGCAATACGACGGCTACTAAGATGACTGGAGGCTGAGTTCTTCGTAGTGAGCCTGTGCTTGCTACAAGCAAAGCTGCTGCGATCCACCAAGGTGGCTGGGAGAGCATGCTAATAAGCAGCCTCGGGTGAGCAAGCCCATGCAGGACATGCATTAGTACCGGATCTCTAGCGCACAAGCATCGACTACCTTAAGGTACATGCTTAGGGCACGAGACTGCAGCATCTTACTTGTCAACGGTCTAGATCACCAGAATCTGCCACTGCTGTAGCCAGGAGGTGTGGTGGCAGGTGGCCTCTGCGCGGATGCCGCGGCTCCTCGCCATTTCGAAACCCCTGCAGCCCTGCAAACCTGAACCTTGGGCGAGGTTGCTCTAAAGAGGTCAGCACTTGACATGAAATGGACCCAGCCAGTTCTTCCATGCATTATATATGTAGATAGCCTGGCTGTAGGGGCCATGTACATGGTGTGGCTCGCTTGGGCTGACAGTTGCTCTGGATGTTGCAGGTCACAACTCTGGAGCGTCAGGTCTTCTGCTAAACATTACCAGCCACACTGTGTATAAATTTATACAAGCTTACCATTGCGGGCTCTATATAGTTATTTTTATACACCGCGGTCATTTTTCGGAATAATTTCCGGCCTGGTCAACAACACAGCGCAGATGTTTTCAATCGTCTTTGGTGGGCCGACCTCCGCTTCGCATCGGAGCCTGTCTATTCATAGGCATGAATGCGAATGATAGGCACATACAGATTTCAACGCAGCGAAAGGTGCAAGCGCCGTCTAGTCTATCTATCCTCGTGGCATTCCCCAACTGTGCCGGCTGACTACTGGTCATGCACGATGAAGGCTCCACCGAGGAGAATGGCTGGCTCATCGATGTTCTTGTGCTCGTAACTTGTCCGGTTGCGAATATGTCAGTTTACATAAAGCGGGCATTGCCATCTCGTAGGACATGGACAAGCAACCACACACGAAGGAGAGGCAATAGGGAGATACGATGGAAAAGACTCACCTCAGCGTTCCCACACCACCGGCCTCCATCAGGAACAAGGGCCCACCCCTCAGGCCCTGCTTGACCCAGCGCATCGCAAACGCGCGGAGGATGTGGCCGTGGGCGACGATGAGGACGTCGCCCTGCTGGGTCTCGCTGCCCGTGGCGCCGCTCCGGGGCTTGCCGATGCACGGCGCATGGAAGCGGGACCGTATGTCTGCGATGAGCCGGTCGACGCGGGCAGTCACGTCCTCCGGAGATCTGGGTTAGGGGGGAAGAACAAGATATGTATTGTTAGCTTGTGGTCCTGGATGATAGCGGTTGCTTGCGCGCGTGTGTGCGCGCACGTGGTGGGCAATTTCGTCCCTGTCCTAGTCTGGTCTCTTGTATGAAAAGAGCACAAACATGAGGAGGAAGGAAGGAATGGGGAGAAGGAGGAGGAGGAGGAGGAGGAGGAACTCACTCGCCGCCAGGACATCCGTCGGCCCAGATGTCCCAGTCCCTGCCCAGGCCGGCCTTCTCGCGCCGATCCCGGATCTCGGCGCTCGTGATGCCCTCGTACTCGCCATAGTCCCATTCGCGGATATCCTCTGTGACCTCGACGCGGGCGCTGCACGAGCGACTGCCGCCATCGTCGCCATCGCCGTCGCCGCCGTTGCCTTCCGCCCCTGAAGCGGTCTGCTGCTGCTGGTCCTCCTTTTTGGTGTTGCTGCTATGGAGCTGCCAGGGGTATGGCTCGTCGAGCTGTAGGTTCAGCAGCTCGAGGGTGTGCTGGGCACGTTTGCGTGGTGAGACGTAGCTGTTTTTGTTTCCCCCCCGCGCAGGCCCGTGTGTTAGTGCCTGTGGGTTTGACTTGCCCGACGTGCATCGGTTGTTACATGCCTTGAAAGGAAAAAGACATGACTCCAGTTATCGCAGATTTTTACCTCCACTCAGCGAGTCGAGCCCAAGTCCACAACTACCACTCTACGGACAAGGGCACGTCCAGGAGTGCAGAAGTGTTGAAAAGAGCAGTAGTTGCGAAACCTCCCGTCCCGGCCAAAGAAGCGGAGCAGAGCCAGATTGGAGGAGGACGAGAAAGAAAAGCAATAGAGAAAGGAAAGAGAGAGAACATAGAGAAAAAAAAAAAAAAAAAGAAGGCTTACATGTGCGCGAGCTGTGCGGGGACAATGAGGCGGTTGTGGCCGACGAGGGCCTTTCCCGTGGCGCGGATGCGCTTCTCGCCATTCTCGGTGAGGGGGATGTCGGTGCTGCCGGTGTGCTGGCCGCTCAGGGACCACTCTGTCTCGCCGTGGCGGACGATGAAGACTCGTGGTGTCGTCATCACTCTCTCTTTCCCTTTTGCTGATGGGTTGTGGTTTGGTGGTCTGGGAGCGCTGCTGGGCTGCTGTCCCTGTGGTGATTCTGCGTGCGGGGAAAAACGTTGGCTGGGTCGGGTCCCGGGTGTGGGGTAAAAGGCTCGTAAGTGATGTGATGTGCTGGTGCGAGGTCTGCAGTAGCGTGACAAAAGATGCGAGTCTTGTACTGCGGTCTAGAAAGAAGGAGGAGGAGATGGAAGAAGTGGCGTGCCAGAGGAAGTCGGCGACCCGGAGGGGGGCAGCTGCTGCGTTGATGATGGCAAGAGCCGGCGATGATGTCGCGGGTACGGGCGGGTGGCCTCGAGCTCCACTCTGGGCGGAGGCGGGGATGACTAAGACCCAGCGCGGCCCTTGTGACGGATGCAGTGTGCGAGAGCAGGGGGAGAGGCGGATGGACGAGCGGGTGCGCTGTCGTGGTCAACGAGTCAAGCTGGGCTGGGCTGTCCTCGTCGACGATGCGATGCGATGCGATGCGATGCGATGCGATGCTGCAAGGGGGGACTGGAGAGGGTGCCAGTGAGGTCGTGCAAACAAGGCTGGGACCGGCCGGGCGTCCCGAAGGCAGGCAGGCCCGGGCCGGCACCGAAGCGCACCGAACCGCACCGCACCGCACCGCACCGCAGGCAGGAATGGCAAGGCCCGCAGCTGCAGGCCCATGACCCCCACCTGCACAGCACAAGCACACCCGGGGCAAGCACAACCCCTGCTGGCACAAAGTACAGCCCCAGTCGCTGGCCATTTTTTACACTCGTCACTAACAGCTCTCTCCACACACAGTGAGTCGTCAACACCACGACAGACACCACGACCTCAACAACGACACACCCAGGCACACACAAACAAACATATATATACACAGACAAACATGTCTGCCCCGCGCCGCCCGCTCCGCGCCCACGCCCCGCCCCCTTCGCCTCTCCCCGGCGCCGCCACGCCACCGCCGCCCCCATCCGCAGCCACCCAGGGTCTCAAGCGCATCGTCTGGACCGGCGCCTTTGCTGCCGTCACCATCGTCGGTGCCATCTACGGCGCCGGCCTCAAGACCCAGCAGGAGTTCAAGGCTGTACGTCTGCCCCCCGTCCCCTCTCCCCACCTGCTCCTCACCATCACCTCCTCTAGGATCGACCATGTAGCTAACAAGTACCCGTCTCTCCCCCCACAAACAGGAGAAGGCAAAAGTCATCGAGGCCACCCCAGAGGAACGCATCGCACAGCTCGAAACCCGCCGCAGCGCCCTCGTCACCCAGCGCATCCCCATTCAGCGCAAGCTAGACGAAGTCAACGAGCGCATCCGCGCCACCGAAGAGAAGGAGCAGCAGCGTCGGTGAACTCGGAGAACACTCGCAAGAACACCAAGAAAAGCAATGGGCACAGTCAACGGGCGCAACGCCAGCCCGTGAATCCCTATCTCATGCCTCCCAAGACTAGCAGGAATAACGATGTCCTCGGTGACTGGCAGAGGCTACCTCCGCTACTGTCTTACAGCTGCCATCGGCGGCGTCAGATGACGGCTTACATCCAGGGCACGACCGATCGTTACCAGTCTCAATCCTGATGGTATCGTTACGATATATTCGACATTGTCTCAGCATACGTGCATAGGAGCAGTAGCACGGCCGCCTTCTTAGGCGACTTGGGTAGCTTGGCAGTCTCGTTACATTAAAACCTCGAAACAGGTGTCGTCATATCATGAGACGCCGCGGAGACAAGACACGCCCAGGCACATACGGAGACCTAAGCATTCGAGGAATACAAGGAGCAGAGGGCAAGGAGCAGAGGAACTCGCCCTCCTGCCAGGGCGATCGCGCTCACATCAAGAAGCTGATGTGGGCCACCATCAGTCAGCACCGCCGTCCCGTGTCCACTGTCCCCGACTCAAATTGGCATGCAAAACAAACTGGCAGCAGCCACGCCAACCAGCATTGTGCAGGCCTTCCGCAGACGCACTTCCGGCGACTCAGAGAGGCATGACTAGCTCGTCAACGAATCGCTCAGTTACTGAGTCGTTCTTGCCAGACAGCAAGAATTGCCCCACGTGTGTGGACACATGTCGATCCGACTAACGATACTGAAGACTGCCCTGTTTGCACGGAGGTTGCCATGCAAAGCCAAGCATGCTTGTCTTTCAGCTCGACCATTTTGCCCACACAATGTTGTGCGCTGTTTGAAATCGGCGCACCGCCGCTGGCCCATTCTCGGGCACACGATATGCTCATCTAACACTTACTCGGAGGGTCTTCCTCACATGAAGGGTTGGCCGTGGCGTGATACCTCGACTTTTGGTGGTTACCAGCCCCGTGGCTGGTATTCGAGTGTGACTGCACGCACGATTGTTGCTGCACAAAGTCAGCCTTGCCCCATGTTTCATCTATGATAGGCGGCAGTTTCGTGAGGTTTTACAACATACAAGCACGTAGCCAACCGAATAGCATAGAGGTGCACTGTGGATCATCTTGTCTTTCCAAGTGCACGTTGCCTGTGCTCTCTAACTTTTTTATTTTTATTTTCTTGCATTTCACGTGTTCCCTTTCTTACTGCTCGATGCTCATCATCATGGGAGGCGTATTGCTCGTCAAAACTGCCACTCCGTGTCCCTCTTCAAACTAAGGTAAGCAAGCCTATTCAGTCGTACCGTCCGCCGACGGCAGCGGAATTGCCTTGTACAGCAAGATGAGCGCCGAGTGGGACTCGCCACCGCCTGCAAGGGCATCGATCTTGTCGGCCGTGACCTCGGTCACCTTGTCGTCGTTGAACCACCACCACTTGCCATCCTCGTCGCCCTTGCGCTTCCCCGTCTTGGCGTCCACGGGGGCGTTCTTCTTGACGTACGCCGTGTAGTGGCCGCTGTCGGCTGACGCGCCCTGATGTGTCACCACGCCGCGTAGCTCGTAGAGGCCAGACTGGTTGGCGCCGTCGTCCTTGGCCAGCTCCGGGTGGATCAGCGCGTGCAGCTCCTTCTTGGCCGTGAGCAGGGCCTCGGCCTTTTCCGCGTCGATCTCGGCGTCCGTCTTGTATGTCTCTGTCATCTCAGTATCGCCGTCCGCGGCGGGCTTGTCGTCCTTCTTGTTCTTCTTCTTGTCGTCCACCTTGGCGCCGGGGACGTCGTCGCCCGCCGAGCCCGTGTTGTCGGCAGTGTTGTGCTTTCTCCGCTTGCGGGCGCGCTCAATGTCCTCCTCGTCCTTGCGCACCTCCCGGACCTTGTCCCTGACGGGCACAAGCATGGACTTGAGGTTGTCGTCGCAGAACTCGACAATGTCCAGCTCGTGGGGGAAGGTGACCTTGCGCATGATCTTGGCCTTCTTCTGCGTCTCGCGCTTCCAGAAGAAGCGGACAAAGTGCACAGTCAGGTACTTGGGCAGCCTCGAGATCTTGGACGTCTTGGTGTACACGGCGTCGCGGCCGAGGACCTCGGACCGCTTCTCGAGCTTCTCCGTCAGGCCGTTGAGGATGCCGTCGCGGAGGTGGTTTGTGTTGCCGTCAATGTGGCAGTTGAGCTTGAGAAATGTGTCCTTGCTGATGATGGGCTTCTCGCCGCCCTCGGCCGCGGCCGGCTCGTCGCACTCGAGCGAGCTGGAGAACTCGCCAGACATGTACTGGTCGATGAAGGAGACCTCGGCGGCGTCCGGAGAGGGCTTGCTGCGCAGGTTCGACCGGACCTGGCTTATTATCTGCGACCACGCCTCCTCGGCATCCTGTTGGGCGAAGCCTTGTCCCGTGCGCGAGCGCTCGGCGAACTGAGGGTAGGCTGTCCGCAGCGCGCTCAGCAGAGCATGCGGGGCGAAACCTTCCTGCGTCTGGCCCATGTACTTGTATAGGTCGCGGAGCTGGCGGGTGAGGTCGAGCTGAGGCATGGTGCCTGTCAGCCCTGACGAGGGCGGCTCATACTTGACGAGCGAGGTCTGGAGCTCGGGAATGGCGCGCAGGGTCTGGAGGGTCGAGTTGAGGTAGCAGGTGTTTCCGAGGTTGACGAGGCCAGCGGGGATGGCGCCGTCCTGTTGAGCCTGCTCTGCCTCGGTCATATCCTCGACGAACTTGACGGCCTCCTTGGGCCGGGCGAGCGTGCCGGCGCCGTCGCCGCCGGGAGTGCCCATCATCATGATGGTCTGGCCGGCCTTGAAGCCAAACTTGCTCATCTGGACATCGTCCTTGACCTGGCCGCCTTTGACGAGGATCTTCTGCCGCTCGGGTTCGACGCCTGTGAGGCTGTACAGCTGGAACTTGAAGACCTCGCCGGTGGATTCAGGGTCGACTTCGACATCGTATTTCGTGCCCTGGTGCTTGACGATTACTAGGGAGAAGAACGGGTTAGCAAGAGCCGCAGTGGTGTGCGTGATTGTGGTTGCCATTCCGGGACAGGCAGAGAGGCGGTTTGGCGGGGTTCGACGGGCTGGGGCGTACTCGGTATGGAAGCCATGGTGACTGTATGGAGGAAATGTGCCGTGATGTAACGAGCCTTGGGTGATGGTCCAGGCGATGTTAGAACGCGAAGGCTTTGAAGGAGGAGGTAGGTCAAGGCACGAAGGCGGAATGTTGTGTTGAGCAAGCCCGGCAGAAGGAAGGTCGAGCGGGAGCCGGCTCCAGGCAAAAAAGGGTGCGTCACTCATGCGCGGCGGTAAACATGCCTGGGCGATGGGGGTACTTGGGGCATTGTCTCCCGGTGCATGACAAGCTGGCCTGGTGGGCGGCGGGATACCTCCACAGCCGCGGTGGCAAGTACTTTAGCCCCCGCCAAAGTACCATGATACCTGGGGCTGGACGGTTCGAGACACCCATCGCTGCTGCGTGACTAATACCTATGGTAGCTGCAGGGAAAGCAAAAAAAGACATTTGGGTAGCCTTTGCAAACCTGGACGGGCCATATTTCCCAAAGTCTTGTTGCAAGATGTCAAATACGGCGTAAGGACATGCGATCCGGGTCGCAGGCACGCTTTGTACTTTGGAGACTTCGAGCTTGGAGGCTGACGTAGAGTGGGATTTGAGCTAGGAGAGCTCCCAAGGCCCGCCCCGCCCAGCTACAACCAGGAGTGTCCGGAGCGCCTGTGCAGCACCACCAAGGCAAAATATGATTGGGACACCCACCTCCCCTGATCACCGCCCCGCCGGGCTCGCCAACGGACCTCATCAGCGCTCCGCTGGCGACGTAGGCAGGCACCCGCTCCGCAACCGCGACACACGCCGGCACACGACCACGACGACAAGGCCCCGGGCTCAATCCAAACCGCCAGACGCAATTCCTGCCTTGTACTGCACTCGCGCATCCCGCCACTTTGACAGTGAGCACCCAGGCGCGCCAGGCAGGCCACTCGCGCCGCTCAACCGCCATCCCATCGTAGCGCCTCCCGGCCGAGCGTCCGCATACGCCTCCTCCCACCACCACCACCATGGTCAGTCCTCTGCCGCCCGCTTGCCCGCTCGCCCGCGCGAAAGGAGCAGACCTCACAACTCTGGCCCTGACTCAAACCTGACCACCATAACTGACAACACCCCCCCCCCCAAAACAGTCGCAATCACTACGGCCGTACCTCCAGGCCGTCCGCTCGACCCTGACCGCGGCCCTGACCCTCTCCAACTTTGCCTCGCAGTCCGCCGAGCGGCACAACGTCCCCGAGATCGAGGCCCAGACCTCGCCCGAGGTCCTGCTGACCCCGCTCGTCGTGGCCCGCAACGAGAACGAAAAGGTCCTCGTCGAGCCCTCGGTCAACTCGGTCCGCGTCAGCATCAAGATCAAGCAGGCCGACGAGATTGAGCAGATCCTCGTCCACAAGTTCACCCGCTTCCTCACCCAGCGCGCAGAGGCCTTCTTCATCCTCCGCCGCAAGCCCATCAAGGGGTACGACATCTCGTTCCTCGTCACAAACTTCCACACCGAGGAGATGCTCAAGCACAAGCTCGTCGACTTCATCATCCAGTTCATGGAGGAGGTCGACAAGGAAATCTCCGAGATGAAGCTCTTTGTACGTTTTGCTGCTTTCCTACTTTTACTCCCTCTCCCTTTCCTCCCCCTCCTTAGGTTGCCTTGGAAGCGGCGTGCAGAAACAACCCAAGCGGGGGAGGTGGTCCCCCTCCTACTTTGTGGACAAGGTCAGATGGCTAACACATCTCCTCTCCGTCTTTGCTCATCTACAGCTCAATGCGAGAGCGCGCTTTGTCGCCGAGTCCTTCTTAACACCGGTAAGCCGCATGATAATCCTTTGCTTGCTAAAAAAAAGAAGCAACGATCTTGTCAATGTGAGAAGAACGCCCGGCCTGACATCGTGCCCAAACTACAGTTCGATTAAAGTCGTGCAATGTGCGTCGCCGGTGTTGCGTGGCACCTAGGCAGAGAGAGAACATACGGGAAAGAGGCTACCAGGTAGAGCCGGACGGGATCGCCAAAACTCCTTGCAAGGAACTGGCCGATGGTGGTGGCCGGAAATTGAAAAGTGGTATATATCGTGATAGACAAGACGAGAAAACAATCACCAGCATCATCATCATCACCATCATCATCATCGCGATCCATTGCATGTCGTCTTCCCGATTGGACTTGTAGCATCACCTGAGGCAGGAAGCCCGTGGGTGGACCTTGGTCGCGACTAAGAATTTCGAAATTTCAGTAGAATCTACCAGTCCCTATTGCGCCATATCAACTCCTAAACACCTGCCCAATGATACGTTGACCGCACACATTATACATCTTCCCTCAAAAAAGACACCAAAGATGTTTCCCGAATGGATGCCATCCCCCTTGTACAAGTGCCAACCAATCCCCAAGAAGCACCATCTCACCGGGCGAAAGATAAAAAAACAAAAGTGTTTCCGGCACGTCCGTTTCGCCGACGACAATGCGCAAAGCAAAGACACACCCCTCCAACTCCGCCCTGGTTGAGAATAACCTAAACATGTGGTGTTGAACCTCGTGTATGCCAATCATGGCACATTGGAGAAAACGTCATCCAGGGCCGCCTGGGCCTCCACAGATATGCTCGACGCCGCCTTCGGAGACTTCAGAAGCTTGATCGTCGTCTTGGTGGGCTGAGCTCTAGCCGCGGGTCCCATCTTCGACTTGACGCCTTTCTTGGGTGTTGTCGGCTTTGTAATCTTGGTCGTCAGCTTTCGTACCTTGGGGGGCCTGTAGTCGTCTTCTTGGGCTTGCCCAAAGCACCTGCTCCTTTGGTCTTTGCCGCAATGGCGTTCTTTTTGGGCTTTGTTGGCGATGTGCTCTTCTTCGTCTTCGGCTTGTCCGCACTAGCGGCCACAATGGTGCTACTGCTCGTCTTCTTGGTGATAGTCTTCTTAGGCGACGCTTTCTTGGCCACAGAGCTGGCTTTGGTCGCGGCTTTGCCCTTAGCAACAGTCTTGACCACGCTCGTCTTACGGATAGTGGCAACCTTGGTCTTTGCGCCGGCAGATGCCTTGGACTTGACCGAAACCTTGCTGACACTCTTCTTGACAAGCATCGCGGCTGTGGCAGCCTTGATCGTCTTGATCGGCCCCTTGGCAGGCTTCTTCACCTGTGTCTTGGCGGCCGTCTTGATTTTGCGCTTCTTCAGTGGCGTCTGAGAGCCCTTCCCGCCGGCTCCCGAGATCTGGCCAAGCTTGCGCTTCGTGCCCTTCAAGGTCTTCTTGGCGCCCTTTTTGAGCTCCTGGGGTACCTTGGGGGGCTTGACCTCTTTGGGCTTTGGTCCGAGAACACCGCGACAATTGTCGGCACCGCACAAGCATTTCTGGACGTTCTTGGCGGAGAATGGGTCGAAGTTGTAGTCGTAGGTCAGCTCGTCACCAGTCTGGATTGGCTTATCTCCAGCAAACAGGGCCATGCGGGGCTGACCAGACACAATCCACTTGATCATTTGACAGTTTGGCCGGCAAGAATGATTGACGAAACGAGCGATGCTACCGGTCGTTGCGTCAATGATCATGTTCTGATCAAACAGCATGAGATAGTAGCACTAAAACCAAGGTACTCGTTAGAGACGGGCTTCAAACGTGGCCAGTGTCACACATGCACTTACCTCGTTGTCCTTATACTTCTCGTTCATGCGACGGTCACACTCGTCCTCGGTGATGATTTCTCCAGTGTACTCCATGATGATCTGGTTGGGCTCAAAACACCGGTTGGCCCGGATGCCGTAACCACGATCTTCAGTCTTGATCACCTCTACGCCGACCCGGTACTTGCCTCCGGCCTTTGTGCGCTCCGTAAGCCGAGCGAAGGCACGGTTCTGGCAGTGTTCGATGCCGACATTGCAATTCGTGTGATCACACTCATACAGCATGATCCGGTTCTGGCAACTTTCGCCGCAGCCATCCTCGGGTGTACAGACGCAGTTGGACTGGTAATCCTGCAAGTGCGGTGTCTTTTTCCAGATAGCTCGGGCGTCTCCAATGAAACGGTCTGAAGTGGTATTAGCCAGGTTCTGGGAACGTAATCGGGCTCCTACAGGTCATAACTCACTCTTGGTCATCGTTCTCCAGTCTTTGGGTTTCGGCTGCCCCGGAGGCAAAGGATTGCAGATATCGAAAGGCAATTGGAAATCCCGGCCCTGAATGAGGAGTCGCAAGCCGGCGAACTGGGGCGGCGGCAACACAAAGTTGATCTTCTCGGCAGGGGCGAGTTCTGGCAGATTCGCAAATGCCTTCTTCTCGGATGCGGTCAGGCCCTTCATGGGATCCACTGGATAGTCCTGGCCGGCATAGAGACCAAACGGCAGCCACTTCTTGACCCGTCGTGTCTTAACGGCCGGGGCCTCTGCTTCAACGGCAGGCGTGACCTCTGGCTCGACCGTCTTGGTCTCTTTTTTCGGCTCCTTGACCTTGGCCTTCTTCCTGGGTGGCGGCGCATTGGGGTCGACAAACTTGCCATTGGCCCAGACCGTGTGAAGAACAGGCCGGTCGTCAATGCCCTGGAACTCCTTGGTATCCTGCAGTCTCCGTAACTCGCGCGGCAGAGATGCCTGGCTTTGCTCAAACGCTTCCCGTTTCCGCTTGCCTAGCTTTGTGGTCTTTGCTTGGGCCTGTGCAACGACAGGACCTGCCGAGCGCGTCGTGGTGCGCTTCGGCGAGAGGATGATCTTCTTTGCGCCGACCTTGATAGAGCCCTGTTTCTTGGGTGTCGCATTCACGCTGGCAGTGCCCGTGCGCGACATACTTCTTGGGGAGTCTTCAGAGAAAGCATAAGGGTCGGCATCGTCCTCGGCCTCTGACTCGAGTCGGGTGATTGCTGTCGTTGTGCGGCGCCGGCGCTGGCTGACAACGTCGCCTTTGGATCGCCGCTTGCCGTGGCCATCGGTCCCACTCAGCTTGGACAAATTATAGATTGGCTCGCTGACTCGGCTCCGTCGTGTGCGTTGAGCCCGGGGACTAGCTGTCGGGGTGGATTGGAGGGGGCTTGAATGCGCGATTGGGTCGATCAAACCGATTGTGGGAATGGCGATGTCCAGCGCACCTGGGGTCGTTTCGGTCATGGTCGCGTCAATGTCGGCACCGGTGAGCGCGTCATGAGACTCGAGCGTGTCGATAGGCACTGCCACGACCTCGAGTTTGGGGCTGCCAAGTGCTGCATCATGGGTGACACTGCTCGAGTCGGCGACAGACGTCGGCGGAGTTGAGCTGAGCGACGCGATAACGTCAAACGTGTCAGCGGCGGCGGGCTCGCCATAAGTCGATTCTGCCGACACAGCGCGCGCCGGAGAGAGGGCGTCCATGGCTGCAAGCTTCTTTGCAAAGGGAATGCAAGATTGTGAAGCAAACGAGGTGACGAGCAGCAGGGAAGAAGGGAGGAAGTCGGCTGCGACAGTGCAGCGACGCGTCTTGGTGTGTCCGCGGTTGTTTGTAAGTGGTAAAGTGCAGATGGGGGTGGTGGAGGGGGCCGGCTCCAATTGGGCTCTTGCATCAAAGTGGACGGACCGGGGCCCAGGGTCTGGTGGATGAGTGGCCACAGGCGAAAGGGGCCGTTGCGTGACGGTGGGAGCCAGTGGGCGCAATCCGCGCACGCTGAGTGGTCCAGCGGCCAACGCGCAACCTGGTCGCACGCCTGACGGACCAGGGACAAGCCAGAACAGTCAATAAGCCAGCTTCACAGCGGCCCAGGCTGCGACAATCAAATCCACAGACTGCGCCTCGCAATGGAGACCGTCCGTGTTGGCAAGGTCTGCAGACGACCGTGTGGGCGTCTCTGCGCGTGTGTGTCCCGGCTCGACAGTGACGGGTCGTTGGAGTATCTCCACGCGAGCGAGAAATGAAAAAGAGAGATCAAGTAATGGCCGAATGGTCAGAAATGGAGTCCCAGATGCTGTGATCCAAGCTGTGCGAGACTCAGTGGCAGGAGCCCGATGCACGTGCTGGGAGCGACGAGACGGCGTCGGGTGTTGGCGGATGGAGCTGCACTCTGGGGGAGAGGCGTGCAAGGCTGACGGTGCGCGGGCAGTTAGCAAGCTGCCCAGCATGAGACAATGCCGAAGTAGAAAGGGAGTGGTGGCACAGTCGGACGAAGCCCAGGCGCCTCCAGATAGAAGAGGAGGCCCGGAGCACTTGAGCAGTCTCATGAAAAGGCCAGCAGCAGAGTGGCGGGAGGCTTCAGTCCGTGGACGACGAGCACCAGCGCATACCTCCCAGATTGGAGCTTCGCGCGCTGTGCAGGACGAGTCCTCGCGGGCTGCTCAACCCAAGGCGGCTGAGGCGAGCGACAATGAAATGACTGCGCCGTACTTACAATCGGAGGCTCTGGCGGCTGATGACCCAATCCTGTGATGTCGACACAGCAGAGCGCTACCAATCCAGCTTGTCGAACTTGAAGCGCGCCGCTCGGGGGCAAGATGGCTTTGCCGATGGGCCAAAGCTCGAGCAGTCGGACGACGTGTGCAGTGGCGAGGTTGACGAAGGCAGGCAGGGAAGTCGTTACTGGGGAGGACAAGAGCACGACAGAAGGAGGATTGCGAAGGGCAGGCCGGTCGCTGCCGCAGGAAACAGAGTTTGGCAAGACGATGGGGAGAGTGGAAGGAGGGAGTGGTAAGCTGATGCCGTGGTCGTGGCGTGCCTGGGCTGGAGGACGAGCAGGAGAAGAGCAGGTCAGGTCAGGCCAGGTCAGGTCAGGTCAAGGGCAAGGCGGCCCTTTTCTTTCTAGCCTTGTACAAACAACGACACCCCAACCGCCCTCGCCTTTGCCAAAGACCACCGCGTCCACATTTCGCGGCACGCGGCCAGCCCTGCACAGATGCAATGCCGCAGACTCGAACACTACAGGTCCAGCCAACTACTCCTTGTGAGTCGTCCCCGTGTAATTGGCTCAATATCTCACAGACCCCAGAATCCCCTCGACTCGAGCTCCCTCAGACTACCCCCCTCCCCTCTCCTGAGCGGGCTTAGACATATACAGCAGGAAGTGACTTCACTACATGAGCCGCGGAAAGGGGAGCAGCCATGGAGAATAGCCCTGACGACATGCTCGTTCCTACCACGTGAAAGCAGCATTTGATGACGCAGTCGTGTTTGGCACTGACGAGAAAGCTGGCCACGGCATCCCCCAACACTTGCTCGCCAACGTCCTGCAAAGGCCCCTCTTCATGCAAGGCAGAAATCTTGGGAAACTCTGGCAGAGACAGATATGCTACCTTCTCGCGCATGTGTGAGAGAAACGCGGCTATGCATTCAACGCTCGCGGCCTGGAGTCGTCTGTGAAGCTCGCCCCGGTGATGCTTCAGGGACAAGTGACACTCGCTCGCGAGACCACATCCAGGGGGCAGTAACACTGCTTTTCGCGGCACACGGCTCGGTCTGAGTGCAAAATATCCTATTATCGGCACTCACAACTTTTGCGGCGACTGCGTTGTGTAGTTGTGGTTGAGTGTCACTTCCCGGCTGGCTGGTGCATGTGGTGGGTGCACGCCGCCACCACCATGGTCCAAAACCAGAGGTGTCGATGTCTTCCTCCTCCTCCACCCAGCCGAAACGGATGCCCAACACCCCCCATAATTCCCACGCCCGCTGCACCACCATCATGGCGACGATGACTCAAAATAAATCCCTGGGAGTGGGCTCAGGCATGGCCCCCGTTGACTATACAAGATCAGGAAGTGGCTATGCCGGCTCGCAGTGAATGCGTCTTGACCATCTGACCCGAGTGTGCTGCGCGCACATGACATGACCACCTCAGAACATGGTCCTGACTGTACTGAGAAGAGACTGCATGAAGAGATTATCAGATATATCAAAGTAAGAGCGGTCTACTCAAGTGCGAGATGCACAATTGCGTTTCCGTTCAACTCTTGTTTAGCTTCCATGCAAGTCCAGTCTCACGGGCTCGGGTGCTAGCTCCATCGATACATCACTTTGGTAGTTTGACAACACCAGCAACATTTCCCCTTCAATCCAGCGGCCGCTTCTCGCAGAATACATCTATTTCTAGGCAAGGCATTTCGACAATCCTTGATGACACGTCTCTCTACCTCCAATCCCGCAATCGACCATCTCTACCCTGGAGGCGGGGGGCAATTGCCGATATCCAGCAGCCCTTGAGTAAATGCCCCGAGACTTTACTACATAGAGAGGAGGACATCTCCCCAAACTTGGAAGAATTCTCGGCTGAGGAACAGGTTCGTGCACGAAGAACGTTTCAGCACATGGGTCTTTTGGGCCTCTTTTGGAGGTTTTTTTTTGTTTTGTTTTGAATTTTGTTTTTCCACCCCAGCCGTCACCGGAAAGTCAGGCCTCTCCCGTGCCGGCCGGCAGGCAGACAGGCAGGCAGGCAGGCAGCTGAGTAGACAGGCCATCGAGCCGCGATACTTCCCGGATCAGCAACCTTGGCTGGCGCGCGGGCCCTACTCACACGACCACTCGATGCAAACAGCCGAAATGAGGGACATCCCGCGGCTGCAAATTTACCCTTGCCAGAGTCGCTGCGGCAGCGTTCTTCCACTTTTTTTCTTTCTTTTCTTTCTTTCACCTATGTGTGTTGTCAGGAATGAATGATAATAAGCGAGGAAGTCGATCAGTGGGCCATGGATCAGGCCTTTTCCATGAATATTCATTCATTCATTCCGAGCCGCCTGCAGCTCGGTGGCGGGACAATCATGCCACACGAGAGCATGCGATCTGACAAAGTGTTCTTTGTTAAGCGGAATGTCACCGCATCGCGGTTCTTGCGGACGCATTCTCGGAGAAGGCAAGAGCAGCCACGGATGCTGGGCTGGGTGTGTGTACATTCATGCGATGGTCGTGCCCTTCTGCACTACAAGGCACACAGCTCTCTCGACCAAAGACATTTGTTATGGTGGCGATTCGGAAAACGCACATGCCAGGAGAAATGGCACAATGTTCTAGATTATTCTGCATGCTGTTGCCGCTACGCTGGCAATGCGAAGCAGTAATATTCTCCCCTGCCAACTTTAATGCCGTACAAAGGTCTTCCATCATTCGCACTCTAAAGTGTCCCCTTTGTCCTCCGGAGAGGCTAGAATCACTGCTTCAGCTGTCCTCATCTCTGATACAAAGTCACACACGTCACTAGGCCGATTCTTCCTTGACAGCGGCCGCAGCTAGCGACGGCTTCGCGGCTTCCGACTCCACGGGGGTTTGCGGTGCAGTCACGGAGTCGGATATCTCTGAAGCGCTGCTCTTGAGCGCCTGCGCTTCTGCCTCCATGGCGAACAGCCTTGCAGCTCTTCCTTCTTTCTTGCGAGGTTGAGGAGCTGATTAGTGTCAGTATGATGTTCTCCTCGCATTCGCACCCAGATGCACATACCTCTACCATTCTCCTGGACATAAAAGCGTCGCAGGAGAGAGACAGCCTCATCACGCAGATATCCACCTTCCGCGGGAAAGCCAGGTTCTACGTTGCCACCGTCACCATCGTCATCTTCGCGTGGGGAAGAGCCCGGGCGTGGTTTTGTCGTCTTCTCAACAGGTGCTGGGCCGTAGCCATTCTGGTACGGTCGATCTGTCGGCCGTGGCACGGGCTTCGAGTTCATATGGATTCGAAACACACCGCCTGTGCCGCCAAACTTGTCGTTGACAGCTCCGAAGTAGACTTTCTTGATGCCGAGTTGCCGGAGTAGCGAGGCGCACATGACGCACGGCTCAACTGTGACATAGAGAATGCATTCGTTGACAATCGACCGATCCACGACTGGAGCTGGGTGCAGCTTCTGGCCATATGGGAAGATGTGACCGTCCTTTGGATCGACGTCTCCCCAGGTGGACTCGTCAAAATCGGCGCCGCTCTGCATGTCCTCGATATCGCCCTTCTCCTTCCGTGACAACAAAGCCGACAACGCCATGAACTCGGCGTGCCGTGTGCCGTTACGAGTGATGTTCGTGGCGTTCATGCCCTTGGCAATGATCTGGTCACGCCAGACGAGGACACAGCCAACAGGCGTCTCGTTTGTCTCCAGAGCAAGTTGTCCCTATCAATTCGTCAGCTGCAAGGCTAAGACACTGAGAGCTCACATGCCTGCATCACTTACCATGTCGAGGGCTGCACGCATGTATTTGAGATGATACTCGCGCTCGGCACGCTCTTCTGGAGTCTTGGGCTCAATCAATCCAGGTAGAATTTGGCCGGGCATATCGGCGCCCAACAACTTTGGTGGAATCGGCTTCATCGTGTAGGGTAGCGGGATGATGATTGGTGTCGGCAGACTGACAGGTGTGTCCTTTTCAGCGGCCTTGGCCACTTCCTCCGTGTCATCTTGAGTGCCGTTTGGAGGAAGCACAACTGCCTGGGTCGTTGTTGGCTTTCTTTCTGCAGCGACAGAAGCGTCCTCCACAGCAAGATTAGGGACGGGGGCGGGAGGGGGGAGGTGATGGCCAGCCGCATCGGTGTAACCAAAAGGCGCGTTCTCCTTCTGGGTGTTGACCGTGGCAGTGTCAGGAGTGACAGCAATGCCAGGTTCGCTCTTTGCCTGCTCCGTGAACGGTCCTTTGGGGGGCAATTTAACCACCGGCGTGACCTTCGCAGTAGAAGCCTCGGTGTCAATGACAGATGGTGCTGTCTGAGCCTGGCCATCAATGCCAATGCTGATTGCGGCACCGTTTGTACGACTTTGGCCAGGAGCTAGGATCTTGGTGGCTGGGGAGTTTGAGCCAGCCGCCGACTCTGGTCTGCCCGAATTTATGGACTGCGCAGCAGGAGGGGAATTTGCCGAAGGTGTGCCAACGGCCCCGTTTATCCCCGTCGTGATGAGTGTCTGACCTTGACTGTGAGCGCTCCGGGGCCGGTACGGCCTGCCTCCGCCACGACTCTTGCCTCCAGCCATCTCGGCTTCAATGTCGTCGTTGCTGTGATGATACTCGTCGTGCGCGGTACTCTCCTCTCCTTCTGGCCCAGTTGTACGACCAGGTTCCAGTGCCTCAAGCGAGTAGTCCGGTGGGACCCTACGAATCGTCTGGCCCCGTGTCAGTGCATCCGGTGCAGTGCCAGCGGAAGCTTCTTCGTCGGCCGGCCGTGCCGCAGCCACCTGTTGTGCTGGGTTCTGCTGCTGCTGCTGTTGCGTCTGAGGTGTGTTCTGCTGTGGTTGCTGCTCATGCTGTGAGCCGGCAGTTGAGTGGAAGATGCGGGCATATAACTGCACCAGCGACGCGACAAGCGCGTGCAGCATCCGGGTAAAAGAGCCCCGTGGCTCCTGTTGCGCATCGTCTGCCATGGCAGCAGGTAACTGAGGCAACGGCTATCCTCCCAGCGTTTGCCGCGTGCGCTCTTGCCTGTGGCAACCAAGCAGTAGTGCCTTCCCTGCAAAATGATCCCCCTTGAATTCGGACCCTGCTCTCTCTAGATTTCGGTCGCCACGAATTGACGGCGACGAAATAAACGTGATACTGGGGTCCAGCCAACAAAATCCGCACTGCGACTTGAAGCAAAATGGAGCCAAAAAGGTTAATGAGCCACAGTAATGCCTCTCATCCAGACAGAATTCCCGCCGTGCTGTGAACTGCTGGCTCCCGAGCCCAAGCTTGACCCGAAGAGCGATATCTTGCTCGAGAGTAGAGGTCACGCGAGGCTCTGCCAGCTTATGCGTTAGTACTGCGCCTTTCAAAAAAGCCGATACCCAGCCAGCTTGCACCATGCATGTGATGAGGAAACTGCTTTACTCACCGGATATGGAAAGCCCGGACTATGCAAAACGTCAGGAATTGAGAAGGTAGTGGCAGCCGTGTCGTCCAAACGTCCCACTTAGACGCGACTTATCAGTTGCGCAACCGATGCAGTCTGACAAGGATGAAAAAAAAAGTTCGAGCTGGTTTATTGGCCTGGTCCTGTGCCACTAACGGCAGCAGCCATTACCACGCCCACTCACTTAACTAAAAGTGCCGAGTATGGACGCTCAAATTCTTTGCCAGCGATGCATTGGACTTCCCTTTTATAACAAGACCAATCACGGCAGGATGGCGTTCCATGTACCTTGCCGTTGCAGATACTTTGAATGGAGGACGGTTTGTGGAAGTTCTTGCGCTGATAGCGCCCCGGTATGCCGATAAGACAGGGGTGGTTGAGCCAACCCCTGTGGCTTGCGCGGTCTGAAGAATCCGGTTATACGCATAAAGCTTGTCGCATCCACAACCTACAACTGTGTCTATCGATTCATGAGCTTGCTTGCGATTCGAGTCATAGGCATATGTGCATTTTAGGTCTTCCTTCAATTTCACGAGCATACGCGATCATATAAAGAGAACAGAAAGCATAAGTCTCATTGTGCTATGAATCCAAGCGGGCCATGGACTAGCTTGGCTTGCGCAAAACTAAGGCTTAACGCTCAAGTTCTCCTTCCCCCTCCTCATCCTTTGCCTCGATTTTGGTTTGCAATGGCAATAAGCCTGGTGGCCAGGCATTAGAAATGCAAAATTTTGGGAAAACAACGCTCGCTATCTGTAAGACAAAGGCAATATTTCACCGGTATCACTCGGGGGGTCCACCTAGAGTATGTGGCGACAAGGCTGGCAAGCATTATCTGAGCGCAACAAGACCAGTCGTGAAGAACGAAGAGTTCTGCCTAATGGACTGGGCTGCTGATTGCGCCAGAGCGGCTGGGGTATTCGGGGTCCCCAAATCGCCTGCTTTCCGTGTAGAACCCGTCAAGGTGCTCTGGATGTTGCGAAGTGTGACACCCAGCCGTGAGACAGCGGGTGCGTCGCGCCAGGTGATTGGAGAAAGTGTGGCTGATGATGCCGAAGCATCACTGGAGGTGGTAGTGGGCTTGTGAGGTCCTGGGCTGGTGGGGCGCAGTTTCATCAAGCTTCTTGAGCTCTGTACGGTTGTTGCCGACATAGCGAGAATGGTCGCCAGTCCGACATGAGGCCGGGCGGCAAGGACAACGCTGAGGGTGAAGACAGCGATTATGACGAGCGCAAGGACGGTAGACATCTCACGAGCCTCCGTTGTTTGCACCATCAGTGATTGTGCAAGATTGGTCGAATCCGCACTGCGGGACAGCGGCAGAACTCCGCCGCTGCTTACAGCATGGCCGACATGCGGCTCAAGGATATGGCTGCTGGAGGGTGTGCTGTAAGAATCAGCAGTTACAGCAGGCACGGGTTGTGTTGCCACATGAGTGGTCAGGCGTCGTTGCACGCTGGCCATATGAACCAGCTCGGCCCAATGGTTGGCAATTGTTGTGACGGCAGGAGTCGCCCTTGTCTGCTGAACCACTCCAGTAACTGTGTTCGCAATGGTCGTGGTCATCGTGTTGGACGTCGTGGTCTTGGTAGTATCGCTGTTCGCAATCTTCACAACAAAGCTCTCCTGGTCAACGCCATGCACGTGGCCGTGATCATGGACCCCATGAGAGCAATCCTCGGTTGCCTTGTGAAGCGTTAGCTCATGAGCGAAAGTGATAGCAGGATCGGGGGTTCTTACCATAAACGACGATGCAACACGACCATCTGGTCGCATGCGGTCTTGTGATGGTGACTGGGTTACAGCAGCAACCATCGATTGTTGTTGTTGCAGTGTGCTACGGATGTTCGTGTCCGACCCAATACTATTCGGGGGCACGTGCGCCAGGGAATGGACAGGAGAGAGCTCCCTCACGGCGAACGCTACGGCGTCGCGTTGTTGCATGTTTGGTGGTCGTGGTATATCCTGTTGGCCACGAGGAACCAACGGCTCATCCAAGCGAGGCATGCCAGAGCAGGACAGGTCTTGTGAGGCAATCATTGCCCGCTGACTGTCCTTGTCATTCTGCCCGACAGAGAGTACACGGCGTCGTTGGCCGTGACTTACTCCACTTATCAGCTGGGCTTCTTGGGCTGTGCCACGATCAAAGCCATACTGGTCCATGGGGGCGAACGCTGAGCGTGACTCGACACCACTGTCTGACGCAACGACTCCTGATGAAGATGAGCTGCTGAGCCTGCGTAAAACGGAGCGCCTCTGAACGTGGGCGCCTCCAACGCTGATCTCCTCTGGCGAGGACGAAGCAGCCTTCAGCTCGTGGCTGTAGCTGCTGAGGTCATCATCCAAGCTGGCTGTCGACTGAGGAGAGTAGAGCGCAAAGTCGACATAGTGGCTAGTGTCAAACTCTCCAGAGTTCATGTAGGGCAGCGATGCTGAAGAAACGTCACCAACGCCAGCAGAGCTGTAAGAAGTCTCTGCATCCTTCGAGCAGCTGCCATCGGCAAGCCCAGCCGCTGAGGAGATAACGGTGGCCTGCACAGGGGTAAATGGCTGCGAAGGAGAGGCCGAGCTGGAGCTGGACCCAGAGTTGAGGCTGGAAGCAAAGCTTGCGCTCGGGGAGAAGTGGCCCGCAGGGTCATAGAAGAAGTCGTAGTTGACATCCAGGCCGGGGGCGGCGACAAAGTCGTCCACGTCGTACGTGACGAACTGCTCCCAGCTGTCCTGCTCGGCAACATCGAAGGACGGCATGAAGGTGTCAACGGAAGCGTTGAATGCCGTATGTGCTGTCGTTATAGGTGGTACCGATGCTGCTATCGTCCGAGATGATGAGGCAGACTTCTTGCTCGCCTTCTTTACCTTGGAGTCGCTCACAGCAGGGATAGCTGCCCGCTTGTGGCTGGGGTCGCACCGCACCTTCTTCTTCTTGCAGCTTTCGCAGGCCTTCATGATGCGCATGAGGTGGGCGTGATCCCGCTGCTCCTTCGTCTTGCAGCCTCTGGAGGCGGCATTTGTTACGTCCTGGCCATCACGGGTCATGATCTTCATGCCGGGAATGTGAGAGAAGTCGGCAGTCGGGGTAGCGGCGCTACGGGCGTTGCCTATCCTGGCCTTCTTGGATGTGGAGGCGGACCACCGGGGCTCAGAGACCACGGGAGAGGCAAAGGCAGAGCCGTAGCCAGAGTCCTGCAGGGAGCTGGCGGGAGACTCGGCGACGGTGGCAGGAGTCACCATGAAGAATTTGAAGAGCTCGCCAGTAGCCATGGAGTGCTCAAAGAACTCCATGGTGACGGCAGTGCGCTTGTCCAGGATGGACAGGTTGCCGGGGACGTAGGCGTCAATCATCTCGTCGAGCTGCTGAGATCCCATGGCAGGGAAGAACTCGAGCATGGCACCAAGCTGAGGCTGGTGCACGGAGAAGCCCATGAGGCTGTTGACCGAGTTATTGCGCGACATGTTCGACATTGTTGTCTTTACAGCAGTGTGGTCCCTGGAAAAGAGTGTATGGGCCGTGGTGGGCGAGATGAGACCGACACTCTGGTTACCAGGTGAGAATGGCTATCACCTTCTGTCCTCAGGTCGCCGAATTAGTGCCCGACCAGCCTGTACGAGTTGCCCTCCGCTCCTTGAGAGCTGGTCTCCGTTCAGCGTCGACTTACCGCGACTGGGGTGGAAGGCTTTTCGGTGCCGCCCTGGTGTTAGGGGGGGAATCGGCTTATTTGCGCCAACCTGAAGAATCGCGCAAGCGAGTCTGGTGGGGCTAGAGAATCACGGGTGCTCTCAAGTTGGTTACAGGGCCTCTCTACTTCTGGACAAGGTCCGAAGTGAGGGTTTGGTGCAAGTGTTTGGGTCCGTTGACGGAGGATGGCTCGACGTCAGCAATGGCGATGGAAGCCTGGGGCTTACAAAGCTGGGTTCGAAGGGGGACTAGGTCTGATGGCCCACTCAGTGAGGAGAGGGCAGAGGGCGATGAGAGGAGTGCCGGTGAGCCCGACTGGGAGGACTAGGAGCCTGAGGATCGCAGTGATGTACTATGGTGTGTGAGTGAGCAGAAGGGAGGGAAGGCCAGGAGGAGAGGCCGGGCGGGAGTCATCAGGCGACACGGCGATATAACAATGGAAATGGCGATTTCCAAGGTTGCTGGCAGTGCTCGAGTGCCGGCGCTGCGCTGCTGCGGTCGGGTCTGGCGCGCCCCCATCAGACTGACTGCGGGCTGCAGCGGCGCTTGCCCGTTTTGGCTCGCCGTGCCCCTCCTGCCGGCCCTGCAACAGTGGGGCCTCCGGGGGCTGAGCTGACAGTGGTCCCTCTACTTGTGCCCAGCGCGCAAATTTGGGCGCTCTCAAAGTCGCGAGACTTGATCCCGGCGGCGGTCCTGTGCTGCCTGAGGCATCAACTTCGGCGAGCCTGTGATTGGCCAATGGGTGACTCAACCCAAGGGCGCCGTTCCCCAGCTTGTCTCCCGCACCAGCCGTGGGACTGTGACTCGCTCCAGTCATACAGTAGAGTCGGGTGTCAGGGGCCCCAGTCGACCAAATCCGTCAACGAGCATGCTCCACAGACGCAGGGCCGTTGAGGTTGTCGTCTTCTGACGAATGGCTGCAGCAGCCATACATGTGGTGGTGGCCTCGGGTAGATCCAATATCCGGAAGAGTTGTACCTTGTTTCGCGACCAGACTGTAAGGCTTCCTGTGGGCTTCATATTCACCGCGCAAGCATTTCTCTACCACTTCGACCGCTTTACACAGCCCATTTTTCAGTCTGGCACAAAGGTATGGAAAAGATATCCGAGAACAGAACTCGTGTTCCACTTTTATCCCGGTTGAAAAATCCAAAGAAAATAAAGAAATAAATAAGATGATTAGCTGGGAACCCTTACAGATATCCCTCCAAGGCGGGCAGTCGCAGGCTCTAGCGCATAAAAGCAGGGAAAACGAGACTGGTTTTCTGAGTTGGCAGATGTAGTTGCACTTCTCCTGCAGCAAGAGCATGCTGAGTTGTCTTTTCCCGAAACCTACAGGTATCAAGCTCACCTGCTGAAAATCGCCATTCCAGTGGTCAAACCTGCCGGAGATGAGCCCAGTTCACGAGACTAGAATAAGTGCTGCACCGTTGGGATCCATTTAGAAGTCAATATACACAAGTTCAGTAACGACGGTTGTTGCCTTTTCTTCGTTCCAACACTCTAATTCGTCAAGATAATACTCATTTCACAACCAACAGGGAACAAGCTTTCTCGGCATGCAAGGGCAATCCACTGCCATGATGCCATGGATTAGTCTGGACTATCCAAAGGCACACCCACCTGTACGATAATCTCCGCCGCGCCATGACGATCAGTTCGGTAGCTTGTGGCGGCAGCGGTGGGATTGTGCGTGCGCTGTTCGGCTCCGGGGGGCGCCGGGGCGGAGCGTGCTTGGACTCCGCCCAGAGTCGGCACGCTAATTAGAACTCGGCCGTCTGCATGGCCTACCAGTAGGTCCTGTATTGTGGTAGCCTGCGGAACGCCATCCATCGTGTCATGAAAACGATGCACAATCACAATCACCAGAGTGCTACACCATTAGCCTTGAAAAAAGAACCTTCCATTCCAATCACCATTCTTCATCACACGCTTCATTCTCATGTCCTCAGCATCCATCACCACCGCATCCGAACCCAAGCTCCGAAACCCGTTTCTCCCTCCACCGTTCCCCCTTGGCACGGGAAACCCGACACCGCAACCACTCCAGTCAAATCTAAACGTCCCCACCTTTCGGGGCTGTACACCTCCCCCCCACACACCGCTGCACCAGTACTTCCAGACGAGAGAGAGCACACAAGACCCAAGGCAGCCACGAGGCATCACACGAGGCGCACACGAGGCCAATCTCCTCGCCGTTCGCAATTGGCCCGTATCAGCTCTTCTTCTTCGTCTTCTCAAGAGCCGGTGCAAGCCACCGCCTGATCGCCTTGAGCTTAGACATCCCCGTCAGCCGACCACATGTCCACCTCTCTCCCTCCTGACGTTTTTGACGCATGCAGTTGCGGGTATTGTGCGACCGAGAACGCAAGGCCGCCGGGCCTCATCGAGATTTTGCGCCGTCTGTTTGACACTCCATGATATAATGCGTAGCCTATATACAATCAACCTATTCGCACCCATGTGTGCGTTCGAGAACTCAAGGATGAAAACCCAAACGCCATGGTTATCTCCCTCAATCAATCTCACCTCAAAAGAAGCACATATCCCCCCCCATTTTATCGTTTCTGGATCTGCATGAATCAGTGGAACCCTTCCCCGTTAACGCCCGCTATGCAGCTGTTCCCAATCATGCATCCCCACAGGATTTCATGAAATAATATACCCTTTTTGTGCAGTCCTGGTCAAAACATACCGAGCCTCATAAATCGTTCCTTGACAATAGCAAACTGCCGGATTTTTGAAGGGTCAAATCCCTCAACACGCAAGAGCGCGTGGCATCCTCGCTCCAATGAAATCCCAAAGAAAATCCCAAGTCGTGCGCATTCCAAGGAGGAGGTAAAGCAGCAGAGGCATAAGAAGAATAGTACTGAAGAATGCGATTCGCAGCATTTTCACTGCAATCCGTGTAAGCTGCCTGGCGGCGACACTCATTGTGCCTCTACTGGCCCTGCTTGTATCCCAACCTGTGGTACAGGGAGCACTTGACCCGCAGCCATTTGTGCTGCAGCTGCGACGCTGATTGCGATGCTCACCAGAGACCGCCTTGCGGAGGCCGTGTTGTATTGTGAGCCTACGAAGGTGCCGAAACTGAGAATTTGCTTCAGCAGGCCACCGGAGCCTTGATAACTTCTGCTTCCAATAGCGGAGGAGTACAAGCAGCCTTGTCGTCGTTACTCCATTCCTGTAGGCTGCATTTATTTGGATGTTGCGATAATGGATATCATTGGGACAGGTATCCAGCTGCCGTATGGGATATGTATATCCATATGCGGGCGTATATCCGTACGAGTCTCCCCCACTATCGTTGTTCAGCTTGCTGCCGAAGATGTCGTAGCTAGAATAAGATCCTGTACTTGAAAGGACGTCATCCCATACGTCTGATAGCGTCGTCGTCGGTAATGAATCTGGTCCATCCTCCGTCCACGTAGTGCCCGTAATGGTCACATATAGTCGCCAAAGAACCCGGTTGCTCTGGTCACAGCCACAGAAGCCTCCATAAGGAAGCATGAGTGCGGTCGGGGCGTGCTGATAGGACTCGCAACCTGTACAAACTATCCAATAATTCTCGACTCTCTGCGCGTCCCTATGCGACAGGCAGAAATGCTCATCAAGCTCCCTTATGCTCGTGAAGGGATGCCCACAGTTCTGGTCGGCGCACGTCCAGTATGTTTCGCGAGGGGAATAACGTTGCTCGTCGCCGACAAGGATAGCATTGTTTTGCGAAAAGGTCGGTTGCAAGCTAGGATCCGCGAAGGAGTTTGCTGTGGATAAGAATGTTCGGCGAGCTGACGTGGGCACGGAATGGTTGGACGGCACCGGGCCTGGGCCAAAAAGTCCGAGAAATTCTTGGAGGCCACGTGCGGCTGAACCTGTAGGATTGTCCGTGTCTACCATCATTATCGGATCGTCGACGGTGGTGATGTGTATATCAGGCCCACTTGCGTGGAGGACCGCATTTTCAGTAGTGCTGTGTGTAGGATGTGATGCCCGGTGACCAGTCCCAGGGGATTGTTGGCTAGGCGCAGATTGAGCCCGGTTCTTGTTCCAGCAGGCTTCTAATAATGAGAAGTCATAGCAATCACACTACGCGAGGACAAATTAGAAGCTACCCATTGCATGACGCGGCAAAGTGACACTTACTCTGACCTTTTTCCGTTTGTGCAACTCGCACACGATGTCGAGTCTCCGCAAAAGTGCAGCTTGAAATCTCACGTCCCACCCTAAGGCTCTCCCTCTCTTGCCGCGGGATTTGCGACCAGCAACGCCATCTGCGGAGAGATTTGCCGTTGCAGCTGGTGAAGGGGAGAGCTGCGACGACTCCGTGTTATCGGAGTAAACTGATCGGCTTGTGCTGGGGCTGAGTCCACTTCCGTCTGTGGTACTCCACGTATCCATGGTCCCGGCTGGTTGCAGATGTGTTTGCCGAGTGTTTGGGCTCACGTGCGCGCGGAGTCTCTTTCCCTCGTGCTGCCGTCTAACCTCGTTGTACGCTTGTTGGTTCCTGGGAGTGGGCTCCAGGACAATCTTGGGCATTCTTCCGGCCGGCCTTTCGTCAAAGCCTGGCCCTTGCTGGTTGGTGGTTTGAGCCTGCGAGAATCCACCACCGGCCAAGCGGCGTTCATAGGGCGCGGACGCCATGCTTTCAGCTCACTCGCCCACGTCGCCGAGGACTTGCAGCCTCGCCGGGGAGGTAACGGGTGTGCGCACAGGTTGTGGAACAGCTGTGTCCCGCGGCGGGCCAGACTTATAGGCCTAAGGCACCAAGGACCAGGTCTGGCACCTGTACTATAGACACACGTTGGGAAGGTGGGTGAGCGTGGATGAGCATAGGTGCCAACTGCTCGAAGACGCGCGGTCACATGATGCGGCTCTGCTCATCTCAAGTCGCACATGGGATTCTAAGCTGCGGTTGCCTTATGGCTGCCTATCTTGCGCCTTTCCATTGCTTTCGACTGGCGTAGTGGTTCGCGCGCCGCTCGCGCCTTCGCAGCCTTGTCTGACAAGCCGCAGCAGGCCTGTCGCGAGGGACCGGTGTCGACGTCCTCGGCCGTGACTTATAAAATATCAGGCAGCATCTCCCAAACTTGCGGCAAGGGTGCCCAACGCTTGATGCCCGACCAAAGCAAATACCCAAATGGTTGCGAGAGTGCAAATTCTAGCACGGTCTATACGTAGACGAGGCAGGCGTGATGCTTCAGAGCGCATGCGTGGGATCGCCTTTGCGCACAGCACAGCTGTGCGGGGCTCAGACTTCGACTTTGTATGCGTGCCCAGACAGGTCGGCACACGCCCCCCCCCCACCCCCATGCAACCTGCACTGCGACAACGTGTGGTTCGCATGTCAGACGAACTGGTCTGATTACATCGCTCAGATCGGCCGTGTATCGACCCGAAAAAGGCGGTGTAGGGACGCAGGATAATTATGACATCATGGCTACTCAGTTGGTATCGCATGCTGGGTATAATCTCACATGGAGAGGCCCAAAAATTCGTATTAATGCTGTTCTTGGTGGTGCACTGGCTGGTGCGCAAGGTCTACCCAGGGCGCTGGAAGTCGAATAAGTCATATGCTTCTCTGCTCCACGGCCCGCCATTCGCTTTTGTAAACGTAGGTTGCTGTACAATTGTAGAGCTGCTGAGGGAACTTGTGCTTCGTACCATGGTAGGTTTTCCATGGATGCCACGCAGCCTCGCGAGTCCGCTGCTTGCCTGTATATGATTGTCGGACGGGAGTGGGCATTGAGGAGCCTGGCCCGCTGCGTCTGAGGGCTTTGCAGCCTTCCTGCCTCTAGTCGCGGGGTTGACAAGCCTCGGAGCCACAAATGGCGGATTTGCTTGTGTCACGGAGTCCATGGGCACTGGTATCGGTGCATCAGTGGCTTGTTGTCGCTTCCCACCCTGCTGTTCACAGACAATAGCCGAGGCCGCCTTCATGGTCTTTGCTGACTCAAGATTGTTGTCTATCTTCGTGCCAGGGTTGTCGGATAAGTCTCGAGCAGTCTCTGAAGCTCGAGCACAAGGACCCGATGCTCTTGGACTTGGACTGAGAGTCCGAGGCCACTCAGAAGGGTTCTCGGTGGCTATGGGCTCTCCTTTAGTGGCGATGACAGGACCCTCCGTCCCCTTGACACTCCTTTTCAGACGCTCTTCACCAGTGTGAGAATCCTCCATAATGTCCGTCGATCGTTGGTCAGCTTGAGGACCAGGGTCAGCAAGGTCTGAGGCTTGCTTCTCCTGCATTTCAACCAGTTGTGCAGACGATCCCCTTATGTCCGTAGCAGGTAACCCATTCGTGGAGATAGCAGCGACCTTTAAAGATGGAGCGTCGTCGGCCGTTCTGGCTAAAACCGCACCATGGTCATTGGCGGCGCTGGGTTTTCCTGCCTCCTGCAGCTCTTCCAGCCTTTCTAGAATTTCTTCATGATCAGAATGATCAGAAGGCGGTTCTTCGCGAGAACGCTCTGTCGTGCTGGAAAGGATCACGGCAGACTGCTCGACAGTGTGTGTGTCTCGAGGACCCTGGGGACTGGTCGCACGCGTGAGGTTGTTGGTGCCGAAGGGTATGTTGAAGGCCGGGACGTCATCATCGTCAAAGTCAAATCCGATGAGTTCCCTGCTGTTGATGTGTTTCCGTGGAAAACGCACCAGCCTAGGACCCGTATTCGGCCTGGTTTCACGAGTTGGCGGTGCGGTATCCAGTGTCTCTTTCATCTCGTCAATACGTCCCAATGATTCTTCAACCACGAACATGTCCTCAGGCATATCGTCATCTGACATAATGTCCTTGACAGCTGAGGCTTTGGCTTTCCGACTTCGCTGTTTTTCAATGCCACGAGGAGGCGAGAGCGTGGCTGACTCTGGCAAGGTATGATCTGTGGGCGGGTGGAGTAGTACAGCAGCATCATCCGCGGCGTGATCTGGCGTTTTGTGATTTACCACTTTGTAGTGGCTCGAAGGCTTTCGGGACGAGGTGTCGTGACACAGAGAGGAGTCTCGTTCCACATCAAGGGCTATGTCTTGCGATAGTGGCACGGAAAATGTCTTCGCAGGCTTGCTCTTGCTAGAGATGGCGGACTTCCCCTGTGCCAGCATCAAGAGGCCCCTCTTCTTGCGTGGCTTAATACGCAGCTCTGTGGTCGGCCGGTCGTCGTCTAGATCTACTGAACACTGTGCAGATATCACAGACGAGGGGCCGTGATCTGGATTTGCATGGTTGGCCAGCTCCATGGGATGTGGTGTGGTTGGAATCTTGTCCTTCAGCTTCTTCGAACTTCTCGCCTCTTCCCTTTCAAGGCTCTTCTTCTTTCGTTTTGAAGTACTAGGCATTGGAGCTTCATTTGAAGACGAAATCTCAATGACATCCACTTGACGGTTGGTGGTTGAATCGCCCTTTGTAGAGATTTGGTTCTGATCCAGGGTCTCCTGTAGTGCCGGCAGTACGCGTTTCTTGACAGCGGGCCCGACCTTTCTGGCACTGGGCTTGGTTATAATGTTCTCCTCATCGTCCTTGCTCGTTAGTACTTGCCTCGAGCGAGCCAGTTTCTCTGCTTTAGACGGCCCCCTTTCATGCGGCCTAGTCTGAAGCAGGCTTGGCAGGGATTTTCGAGCCTGGATACTCATAGAGCCAGTGGCGATGTTGTTGCTCTGAGCTTTGGACGGCCTTAATGACTGGCTCGATTCCGGTGTAGCTGACGCCTCCTCATCTGGTGGGGAGGACGGAAGGACTACGGGCGATGCTCGATACATGGAAGAAGTATTGACTGGCCGAGAACGAAGCGGTGCACTGCTCATAGGTTGGCTGGACAGTGACAATGTTGCCCCGAAAAGGCTCCGTGCATAGCCGCTCTTGCTCGGCGGGCTCACGGCTCGCTTTTGCCTTTTGGTCGGAGGGGAAGGATCATCATCATCATGAGGGGCGGGCATTGACCGTTGTCTCTGCTCGAAAGGCGATTCTTTGGGGATAACCGCGCGCCCGTGGTGACCTGTTGGGGTTCCAACAACCTGTTGTAGAGGTTTTGTACTTGTCTGAGGGTACATCGACCTTGTTGGTGTGGGCAAGCCCACGGCTGGCGGCCGGGGGATATTTGGTCTTCGGGCGGCCGCCGCAGCTAGACGGTCAACCTTTTCTTTTATTCTTTTGTCGACGAGCTCAGAGAGATCCTGATTTCGGGTGGCTACCAAATCTCCGACTTCGACGATGATGCCGCCACGGTCGAGAGTAAGCAACTCCCCGACATCGAGGCCATGGTCCTTGCGCCAATGAGTGTCCCCAACGGTGTTTCCATGCTCGTCATGAACCATGACACGACTGTTGTGCGTGTGAAATTTGAGGCGGCCGTCCTGCCATCTCTTCTGCTTGCGGCGGAGATCGTGTGTGAACAGGCAGATGAACTCATGGACGGGTGCTGAACTGGCAGCGGATGCCGTGGGCGGCGACGTGGCTGAGCTTTGCATGGTTGAGGCCCGGCCGGCACCATGACCTCTCTACCTTTGCTGTAGCTTCGAACATCAGCCTTACTCGAGCCCGGCTTCGATTCCACTCGCGGCTGGCGACGAGAGGCATGAGCTCCCAAGCATCCACGGACGATGTCTGAGGCGCGTGAAGTGGCGCTGGATAGCACGCGTTTAGGAAGGGTTTCCAGAAGGTGGGGAATGACGCGAAAACACGTGCAGCCACCCTGGACGGAGCACCAAGGTGCTTTGGTGGGCCCTGCCCGGTACTTGCTGCGTAAGTGGTGGAGGTTGCAGGGAGGCGACGTGTATCACAGGGCTGAGCTCGCCTGGAGCAGCCTGCCTGCCCTTGAGCGACTAGAGCTATCGAAGTGTGCAGAGCTGGCCTGCAATAGACTCGGAGCCATGGAGGCTGTGTGCCAGCAAGCTGTCGAAAGGTCCAAGCAGACCTCATGCAAGGGTCGACTTCTGAAGCCATCCAAGCAGGATGTTGTAGATGCTGCTAGGTACGATAGCAGAGATTCAAGAGGCCACATGTGGGACCTTCTGGGCCGCGAAGGAGCAATTTAGCGCTCCCTTGCTGCTTGAAATAGCTTCCGGGCGGATGCCAAGCAAGCAATCTTCGGCTAGCCGCGTACCTTGCGCATGCTCTCAATAAAGTACTTGAAGTACGTATAAGTAGCGTACCTGGGCCATGGTAAGGTGCTGTGGGAAATCACGCCTGGCTTGTGTGATGCCGTGAACTGCCTTCTTGGCTCGCTGCCAGTCACCACGCAGGCAGCAAAGCAGGCAAGCCGATCCTGCAGAGTCACCGCTGGGAGTCATCGATCCCTGCATCTCTCAATGCCCAGGCAGTTGGCTGTCCTCCTCCGCACCCGCCTCTCCAAAGCTTCCGGCCCCTCACAACCACACATCCAGGCCAGGCACCGCCACGCGCGATTCTGACAAGCACCAACCTTGCAACCCGCCCCGTCGAGCTAGCAGTCCCCTGCCGGCTAATGCGGCTTCGTGATTGCGTGGTCTCTGTCCCAGATCCCAGCTCATAAGCAGCCGTGCGTGCGTGGGGCAACACCTACTCGAAACATGATTTCTTTGACGACCTGCACTGCAGCCTGCACCCATTGAATAATTTCTGCTATTTTGGCCCTCTCGGCGGTTCCGTCCTCTCGTAGAGCGAGACAGCATCTCAATTGCGTGCAAAGCGTCGAAATCGTCTTGTCCTTTCCCTCCAATCCTCCCAAAGATGCAGTCAATGCAGTCGATGCAGCGCTCGATTGGGCGCAGGATACAGAAGGATCCTGGCGACAATGCAAAAACAGCCGTGCTGCTCAAGGACTATGACGATGCTGAGCAGCTACTCACCAGGGTACGACTCACTCCTCGGTCTCTCGCCAACCATATATCAGCCTCACTAATCGTTCGATGCTTTTCAATCTTTAGCTTGTGGAGCAAGTAGGCTCGTGGCGAGCAGCATGGATTTCACTGGCACACGCCCAGCTGGGCATTGTGACGGAGCTTGAGAGCCTGTATGATCCTATCGTGGGTGCTGCCGACGAGACGGCGAAGCCGCACAACGCAACACCAGAGCTGCTGCTCGAGCGCACACTCCGGCTCAGGGAAGCGTACGACGAGTTGAAGACTGATTTGCTCGAGGAAATCGAAGTTGTGGATAACAAGGTCGTCAAGCCCGTGTCGGCGGCCAGGGACTACATATCGCCTGTGCGCAAGACCATCAAGAAACGGGAGAAGCTGCGCCTCGACTACGAGAATGTGCAGACAGATGTGACAAAACTGCAACGCAAGCCATCTCGTACGCCAAAGGACGACAAGAGTCTCGCAAAAGCCGAGGCGGAGCTTGGGCCAAGGTCAGATGTCAGTATCCTGCGTAAAATGGTTATTGCTATCAGCGACCCGGCCATCGTGAGACTGACGTGAGCATCAGGCCTTCCACGAAGTCGACTCGCTCCTCAAGGAAATCCTGCCGCCCATGATTGCTGCAGCTTTCAGCATGCTTCCGCCTATGCTGGCGACTCTTGTTGTCATACAGAACAGGCTCCTGGGTTTATACTACACCACTCTTCACACCTACTGTGAGGACTTCCATTTCCCCCTCCCGCCTCCGGGCATGGAGAATGTCGTGGAGATGTGGACGTCAGATCACGATCCCATCAAAACGCAGATCGAGGCCCTGGGCTGCGTTGTGGCGGGCAGGAGGGCTCGCATGACAGCAAGGCCAGGCGGGACAGAATCGACAGCACTCACACCCACAAACAGGCGGCCAGTGGCGCCAGCCTACAATCCCTCTTCTGAAGACGACGACAACAGTGGGCGCCGATCCTCATCACTAGGCCTCATTCCAAGCAACAGCACCACACGGCCCAACCGCATCCCCTCCACGACGGCAATCAGCCCGAGGCCGGATATCACCAGCAAGCCAAGCTTTTCTGCGGGCATGGCCACTGACTTTACGACAGCCTCCCGCCTAGGCCAGGCCGCTGCATCGGGGACATCTCCTTCATCCGCATTGTCCTCAGCGAACACACTGTCTCCAGCCACGGCCCGCACAAACTCATATGGAGGGGACTACTTCGGCCGTACCCCCTCAAGCCACTCCAGCACAAGCCACAACGGCAGCGTCACCAGCCCGCTAAGCCCACCGTCATCGTCAATAGCGACAGCAGCAGCCGCTGCTGCAAAGAAGAAACCGCCACCGCCGCCCCCAGCGGAATACGTGGTAGCTCTGTACGACTACGCCAGCCAGGGCTCTGGCGACTTGTCGTTCCAGGAGGGCGACCGGATCAAGATTGTCAAGAAGACGGCGACGGACCAGGACTGGTGGCAGGGCGAGATTGGGGGTGTCAGGGGCAACTTCCCGGCGAATTACTGTCGGCCAGCCTGAGGGACAAGAAATTCACTATAAAGGGATGACGCAATGAAGGAAGACAATGGAAGAAATGATGAAATTGTTGACGTTGGGGCAATGATAATGACACATGTACCTCAATCTTTTGTTTTTGTTTTTGGGCAAAGGCCGTGCAAGCCACGGGAAACATACAGATGCCGGAATTGGGGCGCCAAACGATGCCAGCACGACCAACATCTTCTGTCCCCGAGATATGTGGTGCTTGCTTTTCTTCATGACAAGAGACCTTCTGGCACGTTGTGCTCAGTACCTTCCCAGGTACATTCGGCGCGCCCTCGTAGACTGGCTTCGCATGGAATGACTCACCACTACGCGGGGTTACAGCAGAAGTCCAAGTCAAGTTCGTATGCACATTGAGATTTCGCATGTGTCTGGAGTAGCGAGCTTTCGAAGCTTTTGTCAGGGGCCGCAATACCCATTGCCCGTGGCTCTAAATATGTTGTTCTTCATAATCTAGTGAAACAACGCTTTGTAACGAGAGAAAAGACAATGCCCACACGCCAGCGCCTTCTCACAAAAGAAGGAGGTGGCATGCGGAGTAGTCAACTATGGGGGATATCATACACCAAATTGACGCCGGTATGTGCTGTAGTAATGAAAGCAGAACACTGGGCACTTTCGCGTGGCCGGCACTACGCATGTATGGATCATGCGCACCCCACTTCAGTTGCCCCAATCTAATGAACCATTTTCGCCGTTCCCAAGGCTAGACAGACAAGTCGAGTTCCTGAAGAAAAAAAAAAGAAAAAAAAAAGCATACTGAAAACAAAACTGAAGACTTTTGAGTGGTTATCAAAGGCTGAAACTCAAGACCACAAGTCTTGCTGATCCATGACCGGCTGCCGTATGCTCCTGATGCCCAGGTCAGAAAGTGATGGGTCCGAGTTCGACTGCTGGCGAGATGGCACCCTCTCTTCGCTTGCGCTCATCTTCAGCTCTGATGACTCTCGCTATCTCCTCAACTTGGACGGCATCTACGGGTCCATGAGCAGAGAGATAGCCATCGGACCCTCCGAGTTCCATGGGTGTAACTGGTCCAGGACTTCCGAGAGGCTCTAATCGAGGCTTGGAAGGATTCGAGTTGGATATGCTTCCGAAACCAATGGACCTCAACGACTGCAACGCAGCTGGACTCAGGCTCCCGTTGTTGAGTGCCAACGTCGCTTGTGCAATCATATCCCGCTGGTACTGCTGGATCCTTCGTTTCGCATCTGACTCGTGCCGGGGTTGCCCTGGACCGATGTGCTCACGGCCGGATGAGCCAGTAGCTGAAGGAGATCTCGCATGTTTGGACGAAGAGGGAGACGCCAACTGCCGGCCATGTTTATCGGCCTTTCGTTGCTCATAGTTTGAAGGGTAGTATTTGCCCATAGGCAGCGGGTTCTCCGAGTATGGTCCTGGGTTGTAAGCCGCTACCGGGGTAGTGGTTCTGGACGATGTTGGCGAGGCCGCCGAGGCGCGGATACGGCTACTGCTGGACTCTGGAGCCTTGAGATTGGACGACCGAGCCATGGTGGGCGATGCTGATGCGGGCGCAGTTGCGGCGAAATAGCTGGAGTCTGCTGTCTTTGAAGAAGTTGGGAGGGTGGTGGGTGACTGGGACTCTTTGTGAGCGATCTGGATGGATCGCTTGCGTGCTTTTGTGGCATCCAGGTGAAAAGGATGAGGTTGGTAGGTCCTGGTCTGCTCCTCGTGAAGTGGAAAGTAGCCTCTACCAAATAGGAAAACAGGGTGTTAGTCAGGCGTGGGCTCTTTGTCAGATGCTGCGGACGGTCAAGAGTGGGGACAAGTGCCTATCAATAAGGCACCTGCGGCGGTGTCGTCTGATGATCGGCAGTGCACTCAGACAGGAGGAACAGTAAAAGTGCCAGGGCGGTCATGTTTATCTCGGCGGCGAAACGTACCCAGGGAGATCGCCACGGGCGGAGAGTGGTGCAGGCGGGGTGCGGACAGGCGTGCCGTCTGCAGCGGTGGACTTGGCTGGTGGTAGCTGGATTGCGATAGGCCGGCTGCTTGCTGACAAGGGAGTCGGGGATGTCTCGAGAAGAGCAGAGTCGTTGGTGTGCCAGTGTGGATGAGAAGTGGCTCGGCCTGAAAGATGCAGAGACCGAAGCACCGGGGAATTGGTTAGTTTTTGATTTCTTTGTCCGGACAACAATTCCAGCCCGAGCCAGTCAGCTCGTGGCCGCGGATATGGCGGATTCACGATGTGCTCGGGGGGGCAGGGGCAGCGGGGACCACTATGACGCAAGGACGACGGCCAGCGACAGGCAGATGAAAAAAACACCACCTCGCACCCCATCCTCATCAAGACAGGCGCCCAGCGCCGGCTGGGCCCGCCGACAGACAGCTTGGGTGCTCGGGTGGCGAGCATGCCAGCGGTGTCTTTGTCCCGGGGCGGAGCCCGAGTCGCACGCCCTTGAGATGAAGCGATGAATGGCCAGCAACCAGGCTGCGTGGATTCCAAGGTTTCGCTTGGGGTCAGGGTCTCTGGGGCAGGGAACGCAAGCACCAACGGCAGCAGCAGCAACAACTGGATGGCCCCTTGCTAGAGAGTTGCGTGCCGTCACCGGGCCGGGGTGATGGTGCTGGTGCGCGCAGGACAGCATGGAGATTGGCAGCTTGTGGCCCCCTCCCGCCATGGCACACGACTGCTGCGGGCCCACCGTAATGAAACCGACCCCGCCTTTTCGGCTGGTCAGGCGCGTTGCCGCCGGCCGCTCTCTCTGTCCTCCCGTGTTGACACTGGCCAGCCACGACAGGTTCGAGCAGCCCATTGCAGTGTGGCTTGCATGGAGCCGCCGTCCCGGCCACGCGGGAGGCTTCACGACGGTCGAAGCGCTGTCTGGCAATTCCCACGAGCGCCAGGAACACCCCAGAGGCAGACGCGGTGGTGATGGCCAGAGACTGAGAGCACTTGCTGCTTCGGCACTGGAATGACTGATTGGGCCCAACGCTCGCCCCAAGAGCGCGGGGAGTTATCCCCGCGAAAGTTCTGAGACCTGGCCCCTTTGCCTTAGGTTTTGATGATGCTCGACGGGCGGACCCAGACTGCTGGTGCCACGCCACGCCACGCCGGGCTAGGTCGCGTGCCTTGCGGAATGACTCGTGGAGGGAGACGAAAGGAGCAGCTGGCGCAGAGCCAGCCATGAATAATGATGACAGATACACTTACCGCTAGTTGTCGGCATCAAATGGTCGCCGTAGAGCCTCGGAGATGGCTGCGAGTCTGTAGGCGGGTTTGGTGGGGAAGACCGCGGCGAGAAGACAATGTCCTCGTGCCGAAAGTCGCCAGGCGAGAGCAACGGGCCGGGCGATGACGGGCACGAGTCGGATGACTTGTCCCGCACCGAGTTGTTTGACAGGCTACGGCCTGGCAAGGGCGGTCGTCGTGCAGCCATGGTCGAGAGATACGAAGGCGCCTTGAACGATCGTCCAAAGCTGGCCATGACTGGCGCAGTCGACAGCCACTGCTGGAGGGGAAACGGCGGGCAGGCAGATGGGTTGGAGAGCCGTGCTTTAATGCTGGGGGGGTTCTAGCTTGCCGTACTGGAGCCTGGCAGCGCTGGGCCGAGTTCCGATATTTTGGTCGAGGGGCCCCGGGGGTGGTGGGATGGCGAGTTATGTCTGTGGACGGACCAACAACCGGGCGTGTTGTGCTGTGCACGGTTTGTGAAGCAGCCAGCTGCCTCCTGGCAAACTCGACTGGTCGGATCGCGCAAGTGACTGGCTTGGAGATGGCTACACATCTGGTCTCTGGCGGTGGCGGACAACAACAGTGCGAAGCAGCCCGGAAAGTCACGAGCAGGAAAAGGGGAGAAGAAGGCTGGAAATTGCCAGGACTGAGAAGAAGAAGACAAGCCGCGAAGAGAAGTCTAGGATCGACGTTCTGGTGGAGATCCCCTTGGCCATAGAACCCGCGTGCCTGGCGGTGTTTGTCGCTGCTGCTTCTACGGACGGACAGGAGGCGAGGCGAGATAAGGAAGAGTGGATGATTTTCCTGTGCAGATCAGACCAGACCAGACCAGACCAGACCAGACCAGTACAGGACCGCGCCGTGCGTGCCTTCTCGCGGACGGCAACGACATCTTTGTTCCCACGCACTGACTGCTTCTCCAGGAGCCAAGCCGTCAAGGTCGCACCGCCCAGGCTTGTGAGCCTCCAAGCCATCCAAGCCGTCCAAGCCATGCTCGCGCCTGGCATCCTCGCGCAGAGGCAGCAACGATCGCCGCTGTCGTGGTGGCAAGCGCCGGTCCAGGTGGGGCCCTGCGTGCCTCAAGGGTCCACACCCGCTAGCAGACAGGGCAGGGGCCAGCACCTCCACCAGCCGCATCCCCATCTCACCCTCGTGGACAACATACGTCTTTCCACCTGCAAGGTGGTGCACTCCAGCAGCGACCGCCAGGAGGCAGGCGAGACGATCAGGAGTCCTCGACAACGGGCATCCTCCAAATGATCTGCACCTATTCAGTATCACCAGCACCAGTCATTCATCGCGGGCGGACCTCGCGCTTAGGAAACAGGCAGTGTGCCCAACCCGCCCCTCCATCGCCGCCAACCCGTCACGCCACGCCGTCCCGGCTCACAGACTCCAGCTCGGCCGGGTCCCAGAGCGTTGGCCGAACAGCATACACGGTATCACGCAAAGCCAGGGCGTGCCATTAGTTCATCACTCCTTTCCCTGCACTTTCACCGCTGGCCCCGTCATTCCTGCGACGTGGTCCGATGTGAGCGGGAAAAGAGGCGCACGGCAACAAGGCCTACAGCATGGCCGCCATGCCGGCCCCGTCGCTACTTGTTCAACTTCAGGTGTAGCAGCCAGGGTGGGAAGGAGCACCGCGCACATGTGGAGTTTAGTGTGCTGGCCCTCTCGAATCCACCTGCTGATATGATTTCGGACTCGGATGTGGTGGGGGAAATGTCGCCAACAGCCCTTGCAGAGCGGCCGTTGTCGTGTTGTCGAGAAGTGTCTCCTCTGTTTGACGAGCTTCTTTGTGTTTGCGATCGACATGCGCATGCATTCTACTGTCGGCGGCCTCCCTTCCCTAGGCATTTTGGTTTCAGATGAAGCAGTAGGAAGGACTGTAGTCACGTTGCATATGCCTCTCCACATCGCAAGCACAAATGTCGAAACCGAACCTCGCTACTGATTTACTCTCCCAAGGCCGGTAAGGGTTGCGAGCATGTTGTTGCATGGTGGTGTATGGCAGAGCCGAACCACTGAACGCTCGAGGATTTGTTCTCAGGCTGGCACTGATGCTCACACCTATACTCGTCATCAGGCCGAACTTATCATCTTCATGTGCTGCAGACATCCAGTCTCGGCCGAACGCAGCCAATGTCGAGGGGTCAGATCCCCACAACCGACGATCTCGCAATTAAATCAAGCTGACAAAGCGAGCAGGTGGATGGTTGTGACCGTATTGGAGCCTTACATGTGCTGAGTGAGGGAAGTCTGAGGTAGTGTCGGGAGAAAGCGACGTGCCAGTGCGAACCAGCACGACATACTTGGTCGATGTCGTGACAAGCCTCCAAACCCCTAAAAGTTCACCTCCTACTTCTCTTTATTACCCAGACAGAGAAACCCGGGTACAGAGACCAACATGGTGGCCCATAATGAGAGAGTGGGCCTCGGAATGGATAGTCCAGCATCACAGACACTGGTCATCTGCCTGTCTTTCAGTGCCCGCAACAGTTGCAAACCATACCTGTGCCAAATCCAACCCACCAACTCCACCAACAGTAAGGTTCCCGTTGGCCAAGGGTTCCCTAAGGGCACATGGTGGCTTATTCTCGGGGCCCGCTTGACGTTCGACTCGCATTAGACCAAGCAGATGGACTGATCCGAGCACGCCAGAAAATACTGTTACGGAGAGATGACGGTGTTACTGAGACAATGCAACCTCGGGTCTTCACAGTTTGGCGATAACCGCGACCTGAGCTTCAATATCAAGCAGGCCATCTTCCCAGACTAGCCCATGACGAAACTCAGCATCTCATGTTGCCATTCGCGGTGGTACCAGGTCTTTGCTACCTTCTCGACGGCAGGGGCTGGCTGCTTGTTCCTCCACGCACGATGACACAGATCTTCGGCATACTCCCGAACATGGACAGCTGCAGGTGCTAGCGAGTGGAGAATAAGGTCGCATCCCGTGATTACTTATCAGGCAATTGGGACAGGCAGCACTTGATCGCTCGAAGATCTCGAGAAAAGCAAGCCAGACATCGGCAGGGGATCGCCAAGTTGCGGATTCCGTGCGAGGGGTGTCCCATCTGCCCCGGGAGACCTAACTGACTGGTCTGTTGTAAGTTGTCAACGGCCAGGCTCAGCAGGTGGTGATCATATTGGGCTCAGATTTTCCGTGATTGCGAAGTCACGTCGATGCTTGGCAATGCAAGGCAATAAAAGAAGGTTCAAGTCGGGGAAATATCTGAGCGTCCGGGTGCGTCTGTTGCTCAACACGAAGCACACAGGCTCGACCTGTCGTGCGAGTCAGAGGTTGCCTTTTCGTATACACAGCCATGCCGGCGAACACGGGACTTCCCCTTCACGTAACGAGGTCCAGCCACGAACTGCAATCCTGAAGGCAAAAGTTCGCAAGTGACGGGCGAGGCTGTGGACAGAATAAACCGGACAGGTGCTGTACAGCATGGATCTACATTGTCCGGTTTATTCTGTCCACAGCCTCGACGGGCTGGTGCTTCAATCGTGAGCAGGCACATCCTCGTTCTCCCCACACGACCCGAAACAAAGCAGGGGATCCCTTTTGTGGAGGGTGGGAGGCGACGGGGGCAGCCTTCAGGCAAGATACATGGATATGTCTGATTCCACATCGGTGTTCTTTCCCCTTTCCGCTTTCTCCATCTGACCTCTCTACCCAAGGGCGGGGTTTCTGGTGGTATCATTCTCCAACGTGGTGAATGCGAACCTCTGACTGGAGAGTGACTCGGGTGGAAAGCCGGACCCATCCACACCAGCCAGCTATCGAGGCGAGACTATCTGGTGGGGTCATCGTATTCTGGAATGACATGATTCCCCATCGTCCTAGTCGTTCTAGTGTCGGTCGTTCAAGACATGGGAGGTAAAGCCAAACAATAAAAACCCGGCGTTCGGTGGCTTTTACGCCTCCTGCACCCCATTCCGCCTCCCCCATCAAAAGACTAATGCCAAGCCTTTTGACATATGGCGGCGCCTGACTCTGGTTATCGGGGCCAATGGACCCTGCACACGGTCCGTGTCGGTCGGGTCGTTTGGAAGCGAGTATCCTCTGATCTCTGGGGCAGAGGAAAAGCAGCTCAGGACGTCAGACGAGGGGGTCCGGTGGGAACGAGGTCGACGACCCCCTTTATTTTTTTTCTTTTCAGAAGTTCAACTTCTCAAGTCAAACATATGAGGGGCCATTTTCCGACGGCCGCTAAAACTTGCGCTCTGCCGCCAACATACCCGCAACCCAACGCTAGCTGGCATGTAGTACCTCCCCTTGTCCAAAAGCAGTCCCCGTAATCGAGCAAGGAAAGACGGCGGGCCCCGTATATTTGCGTGACACGGAGAGGGGACGGAGGAAAGATTGGAGGTCAAAGAGTTGTCCATTCCTCCTCATTCACATGCATTAGTGACGATTTCTTTCCACGCGAGCGGAACTTGCCATGGCGCACGCGCGCGCGCGCGATTTCTTGATACATTCAAGAAGGAGAGAAAGAAAAAAAAAAGATGTGGGGGAGATGTGACACGTTTGGGCACGCATGCACGCATGCACCACCGCAACATGCACACGCACACTCTCGAGGGCCAGCCCCGTGTCCATGGGGGCCAGGGGTCCTGGCGGGCCGTGACGTCAATGATGCGGACTTTGACTTGGGGGTGTGGCAGGCATGGATGTGTCGAAAAAACAGCGAGCCGAGCGCTTATTGCGGATTCAGTATTTAGCTCCCACAGGCTGGGTGGAGCATTGTCGTTTGAAGACTTGGGGGGAAGGGAGGGGGTGCGGTTTCATGAGGTAGAGCCTTTGGGGGTAAGATCAGTCTGGTCATGAATGTTCAAACTTGAGCCACGCAGGAAAGATTTGCTGTTTGTTTGGAAAGTCCGAAGCGGTTCGATTAGAGCGCAATTATTGCTTCGCCCAGACGAGAGCTTTTCTGGAGTGGGTACCCAGGGAGGCGGGCTCTTTGTTGAAAGAAGCGTGACCTTGCCCCCTTATCATGTCGGGGCGTAGCGCGCCTGTGACAAGAGCAGCAGGTCTACAATCCCACAAATAGCGCACTAATCTCTCCTTGTATGGGGGTAGCCGGGCTTGTGATATTTATTATTGCGCTTGGGGGTATATCATGTACTGGTAAAGCACGCTGGTTTCGCTTGTCGCCATATAACGCCTCGCCCGTCTCCGGCAGCTCTCTGATCTCAATAATCCAATCTGGCCATAGAGGCAGCGACTTTGACTCTATGTCTGTGTCTCGAGGTTCCAGACCCACGGCATCTGTCTCCCTCCGCTTTATCGAAACTCGGGGTATATATATATGTGTGTGTGTGTGTTCATAGTGCTGTCTCCTCCTCTTCCGTGTCCATCCATTATTTGCAGCCAGCAGCTAGCAGATACACACGCAGCTTGCCCCTTGTCGTGTGTCTTTCGTCTCAACAAACCCAAGAAAGAAGTCGGGCAAACTATGCCTTGAGCGCAGACGAGCGGGTGGAGGCGTTGCGCCCGAGCCTGGCGCGGCCGGTGAAGCGGGTGTTGCGCTCGCGGTGCGTCCACCAGTAGGCGCCGGTGCCGATGGTGCCAATCAGCCACAGCAGCGCGGCGGCGAGGTTGACCCAGACGGCGTTCTTCATGCGGATGATGTCGCCGTTGCCCTCGGCGTCCTCGTGGATGTACATGGCGCCGAAGATGCCAAAGAGCGCGATCCACAGGATGAAGATGATGGCGGACCAGGCGGTGACGGCGGCGAAGCGGATGATGAAGGGGATCATGTACAGGATCGCGGTGACCGCGGACAGGGCGCCGACGACTTCTGCGTAGACCTACATTTCGAACGGTGGGTGTTAGCGCAGCCGAACACGCCAGAGGGAGGGGCAGAGGGAAAGTTCCGGGTCACTCGGCCGTTCGGGTTGGGGAGGAGGAGGTCCAGGAGGTGTTACGACGTACCCATTTGCCGTCGACGTACTTGCCCGCATTACGGGCGCGCTGGAGGTCGACGCCATAGAGGCCGCACACGGTGACGCCGAGCACGAACTGGAAGAAGTGCAGGATGCTGAAGGCAATGTAGCCCAGGGTCATGCCGAGGATCGCCATGGTGAGGATACTGGGAGCCTGCTGGCAGGGTGAGTGCGTGCGTAAGTGTTGTTGATGCTCGGTGAAGATCTGATGTGTGGGACGCTCGCGATGCTCGTCGCACGTTGGCACAGGCGGGCAATGCTTAATATGGTGGTGCCATTTTCCCTGGGACCCTTTGTGGTGACGCGCCAGTGAATAATAACCTGGCATTTTAGCTCCAGAGGGGCGCCCTTGCCCAAGCCGGGCATCAGCAGGTGGTGGTTGTTTGGCGGCACCTCACCGCGGGACAGGAATGACATCAGTAGCGGGGCACTGACTGATGGGCTGGCCAATCAGAGCCCCGCGAAAGCGCCCGATGCGATGCCAAGCCTGCCTGTTCGATCTTAGCGGGCGCGCTCTGGGAAATTGCCAGAGCGTGCTTGCCCTTGCGCCTTTCCTCCAGCCAGGGTCGAAAGGGCCCTCCTCCTCCCTGGCTCTCTTCTCCCATAACTTAGCTCATGACGTCGTGAAGCCACCTCTGTCAGAGGGCTGGCTGACCACATCTAGGGCCAGGGCACTCCGAGTGTGAGCGGCCGCAGCCGCACCTCACATGGTTGTTAGTCTAGCACAAGCCCATCGCTGATAAGCCACATTAATACACACACCGCAAGTCCCTTCATTCTCCTTGATTTGCCAAAGGTCCCCTGACTAGCACACTATCATTGTCAGATATTGGCCGTTAGCGGCAGAGGGGGGTGCGCACGTGGTCGCGAGTTGTGACCATCATCAAAAACATGGCATTTACAAAATAGCCTCTGTACAGACCAGGCGAAGGGTGGGACGCGTGGGACTCGTGGGCTTCCTTTCCCTCACTATTTCCCAGTTGTCCCCCGGTGGCGTTCGTGGTTTGAGTTTGGGTTACTAACGACCCTACCCAGGCGAGGTCCATGAAGCCAACTTCTTCACCATGAGTTGTGTGTGCTGCTGCGCCGCCTTGCCTTGCGCTGGTGACAAGTGTGGTTGTACCTTGTCTTCTGTTGGGAGGCTTTTCGCAAGGCTGTGGCCGGGCCACAAGCCACCACCACCCGCCATATGAAACCTGCTTGTGCTTGCTATGGCAAGTGGAAGCAGGATACCCCAAGTTCATATTCCACCACATCCTAAGGGGGGGGGGGGGGCACATGAGTTATCCATACCTTCTGCACCGCACGCATCTCTCGCAATCAAGCAGCTTCCTGGTTCAATGAGCCCGCCGATGTCTTCAGCGCAAATCTCGAGGTCCTTGATGCGTCGCAGTTTTACCTCATAGGGCTCGCGGTAGTGCTTAAATGTGTTGTGTGCACCAACATTCAGTGGTGTCCTCTCCTCAGACCAGACCTTCGAATTCCTTAAAAGATAGTCATTAAGCGTGTCAAATGTTTTTTTTCTCTGACTGCAATATGCGCGCCATAAGTTTTGTGGCCAATTGTTTGAGAGTTGTTATTGGGAGGACCAAAATCTGCCGGGTGTGGCGCAGACTTTGAACAACTTTGAACATGAGGCGGCCGTGCTGCGGTCACTGTTCACCGAACGCCCAGTCGCGAAGGGCCATTTTCCACCGACGGCAGAGCATTTCCACACCGCAACTCGTACTCTGAAGGCAATACGCCTGACTTTGGCTTACCCATGGTTCGAGAAGGCTCAGCAACGTAACTAGCATAGACCGGAACCTGCCGTGGCTCCGACAGCTATCTCGCCGTGGTGACCGGTCTGCGAACGCACGTAAAGGAATGGGACTTGCGCAAGGCTGGGGCCATTCTGAAAATCCATGTAATATGCAGCCTCCGTTGTCGCAGGATATGAGAGGGAATTTGAGCCATAGCCCGTCGGCGGTGGCGATGCAGGGCATGTCCAACTTACAAGTGCATGTTGTTCGGCTGTGAGTGAGTAGGGAATGCACCATGTTTCGGGCGGGATATTTGCTGTAGGCTGATTTTACAGAACCTTTGGATCTGCTGCCTCCAAGCACGCAGTCTCGTCTGTCTGGCTGAGATGGTCCGTCGCAGGCATGAGCAAGGATGGCAAAGCACAGAGGTCTCGTCCGTGGAATCATACGCGTGGCTGGAGTCAGTTGTTGATGTGTTCGGTGAATGTCTCTCGGTGTGGGAATATTGTGCGTGGAATTTCTAACGATTCCGATGTCCGCACCATCTCGGTGGGCAAGACGAAGTGAGGCGAGACTTACACTGCCTCATCGCAAACAAAGAACTCAGATTCCTCCAGGCGCTGCCCCTAACACAGAAAGCTTCAGAGAGTCCCTAGCAACGTACTTACTGGTGCTCACAACCCCTTGCAATGCTGGATATAAAGTCACTGTGATGTCGCCGGTAGATTTCTTCAGAGAATTTGAATAATGGTCACATCCGATCTTCCTCAGAAACCTCATCGCAACATTCATACCAAAGCTCACTGATATGGCTCCATACTCGGCATCCTATCCAACTTCTGCCCAGCAGGCCGATTGCAGCTCGCAGCGGGTCGTCGACCCAATGCCTCACGGCTATTCCTTGGCCGATGCCAGCCCAAGCTGGTACTGTGTAAGTCACGTCACGTTCCTGTCCGGCGCGGGATCGCGACTGCTCAGCTCCGAGTCAAGTCTTGGTCTCGCAATGGTATTCATAAGCAGGTTCCTCTTCCCAAGCTAACAAATCTCAAATGGACATAAAGTGCCAGTGCAGTTGGACCCATACAGTAGCCCTCCATCCGGCTTGCATCAACTGTCATCATCGGATGTGCCAGGGCTGTCGACTATGCTGAATCGACCAACTGCCACGATTTCGATCGAGTTACCTTGGCTGGAAGGTTCGGATATTAGCAGGGAGGGTCGCGTGTGCGATGCGTGATTCACTGTTGGATTCGTGGTGTTTTCCTTGTTTTTGTTTTGACGGACTAGACTTTTAGACGGCGAGATACATTCAGTTCCTTTTGCGCAAAGATAGACTTCGCGGCCACCTTTTCTTTTTCATATTTAGATTCTTTACACAACGGTTGACCCGGGAATTTATGGCTGCAAGAAGTCGAATTTGCAGGCAATGCATGTTGTACTTTCATTCATACACGAGATGTTGTAGAGCTCGAGCCTTCAAGACTTTGCAGTGATTGGTCGACAAATATGTCAACCTCGTTTTGCAAATAGTGACACGGCATTTGAAGAGGAGCGCCACTTGATACACGGAGATTTACAGATAGCTGGCCAGCCAGGAGTAAAGCCACACGTTCTCGCCGGGAGAGCACAAGGGAGTCATGCAGCATGCGGAATGTCCTTTTGCGACCAATACTTCTTGCTTGCCGCATGATGGGAGTTTCTCAATGCACGTGTTTTGTGTGGCCCTAGTAGGCCCAACCTAGCAAGACCTGGTGTTTTCGCGCCGAGCATTTGTGCCATTGGGGAAGCTAAAGACGTGATCGGAAGGGCCTCGGATGGGCCTGATACTTGCCTGTGCGGGTGGGCGGGCGGGGGGTCCTGTTCGTGGGACAAGGCACTGCAGTGCTAGATATGAGGGTTGAATTATGGCACTCGCAGTTGCGTACAGTCTCATTGCAGACAGAAGGGACGGACGCTGTGAACAAGTTTGTGTCGTAGTTGTAACTTGTAAGTGAGGGCCGGCTGCACGTGGAGCCGGTGCCCAGCCCTGCGAAACGAAAGGGGTACTTGTAGGTACAGTAGGTACCCCGCAGTCCCGGCGATGGATGACCCTTGGATGGGCGGCGCCCGATGCTGCTTCCGATGTGTTCCGCCCAACGGCTCGTGTGCAGTGTCGTGTCTGGTGCACGGTTTCAAGACTCGGTTCCAATTCATGACCCTCTTGCCAGAGGAAAAGAAGAGAGAAGAAAAGGGGGCACTGCTCATAGTCATCTGCCTCCAGCACGCACCATCATGCCTTCCACACCAGCTCCCGACCTGCCCCGGCCGCCCTTCATCCATGTCGACGGGCTGCCCAACTTCCGCGACGCGGGCGGCTACCCCGTCACCGACGGCAGCAGCACCGGCACGGGTGGCAAGAAGACGATTGTGCGCAGAGGCGTCCTCTACCGCGCCTCGGAGCCCTCCAAGCTCTCCTCAGAAGGCGAGGCTCAACTCCGGGCCCTGGGCATCCGCGAGGTCTACGACCTGCGGTCCGCCGTCGAGATTGAGCGTGGCATCCGCGAGGGTCACGGGTGGGCGATTCGTGAATGGGAGGGCGCCCGCCGCAACTTTGTTCCTGTGTTCCTTGACCAGGACTATTCTCCCGAGGCCCTGGCGCTGCGGATCAAGAACTACTCGGACGAGACGACTGCTGTAAGTCTGACGGCTCTCTTCTACTGCACCCAATCGATCGAAACCACTTTTCCCGTACACAATCTTCTGAGCATGGCGGCGGCTGCTGTCTTTGACACCGGTGATTGCCTATGTTATCTCTTTTACGCACTACGATAATGGCCGCCTAGTCAACTCCATGAGACAGAGATCGTAGGCGCCAATCTGGAACTGCGCCGCCTCATGTGGATCAGCATCTGGCTTACACAAAGGTCGTCGCCCCTTGTGTGACGAAGCACGTAGGCTCTGTATACAACCTCATCACGTGTCCGCCCAATCGACTTGTTGTACAATGAGTTTCATAGGCGAATCTCGTGTTCATGTTGATGGCACTAAAGACGTCAGGCCCCTTTGAAAGAAATCACCGCTGACTTACACGACACTTAACCCAGGGCTTTGTTAAGGCCTACATGGACATACTCCACGCCGCCTCGGACAAGAACAACCAGTTTTCCCCATTCAGGACTATTCTAGCCCACCTCGCGGCTCCTCCGGCAGCATCCTCATCATCAACACAAACACCGTCAACATCGTCGTCGTCGTCATCACCATCACTACCAGCATCCACATCAGTACCAGTAAACCCTCCAGCAACCCCAGCAGCAGCAGCAGCAGCAGCAGCAGCAGGGCCGCAACAGACCTCTGGGCCTCCGCCGGTCCTCATCCACTGCACGGCTGGCAAGGACCGCACCGGCGTCATCTGCGCACTGGTCCTGTCGCTGTGCGGCGTGGCCGACCACGTCATCGCGGACGAGTACAACCTGACCGAGCTGGGCCTGCGCGAGCGCCACGAGGAGCTGATGCAGCACCTGCTCAACAACCCGAGCATGGCGGGCAACGTGGCGGGCGTGCGGAGGATGATTGGGGCGCAGTGAGTTTCTTTTCATCTTTCATTCAAGCACCAACCTGGATCCAACAAACAAAAACGAGAAGCGCTAATATTTCATACCACCACCCTCCCAACCCTCCCCCTAAAAAAGAAAACCATCAATGCTTGGCACCCTCGCCCTGATCCGCGAGAAATACGGCTCCATCCACGACTGTGTGGTCAAGCTCGGCCTCTTGTCCCCAGACGAAATCATCCAGCTGCGGGACAACCTCGTCGTGGACGCCAACGATGACGACGTGGACGAGGAGGTCCTGCCGTTGCCATTGCCGTTTCCGTTACCGGGCGGCGACGCTGCCACGACTCTCGTCTGATGAAGACGAAGAAGAAGAAGAAGACACTGCCTCGTCCCGCCCGCCGCCGCCGCCGCCCGCTCTTGGTCCGTGGTTGCCCGTTCAGAAACATGGGCGTTGAGGCTTGAGGACCACTTGGAACGGAACTGTCAATCGTGGCCCCTTGCTACAGAGCCTTAAGCGAGCGGTTTTGTTTGCACGTATCTGAAAGCATGAAGCAGAGCAAGTCTGTGACGGGAACGACTAAGAGGTCACAAAAACAACAAAAACAAAAGTGAAATTGACGGCACAGAATCATTAGACGCGCATTATTAGTGGCTTCCGCGTAGCATTGATAGACCAGAGTCACCGAAAGGGGAGCATCCCATGGGCACATGAGGCACGACGAAAGGTGTTTTTGGACTTGAATGCAAGCCTTTGTGTTCTTTATTTATTGCTCGCTAGGTCATCTTGCATCGTGACATTTATGTGTGTTCTGTACAAGGATTCGTTGTTTCGCGAGCCAGGGGGTGGGGGTGGGATGATTCCCTCCTGCCTTCGCAGTCCGCAGAGGGCGGACCGTGTCGTGTCGACTGTTGCGACACACTTCGCGCACCAGGTTATCTCCCATGGCGCTACTGCCCTCCAACATGGTAGTTTGTTGTGGTACATGGTATTGGTACATATATAGAAAAAGCAAGGACATGAGAAGGTGACACGCCACCTTTTTGCAGGGTGGCCGACTCTACGGCACCGAGGTAGGAATCTTGACCTGGCCCTTGGCGCGATCGTAGTGCGGCACGCCGTACCGGGCGCCGATGGCGTTGCGGTGACGGCCGTCCTTGCCGACCTGCTCGGCGTTGTAGTCCTGGAACCGCATGTCGAAGCGCTCGGTCCGCACGCGGGTGATGGCGGACTCGGCCGCCGCCGCAGCGGCACGCGCCTTCTCGGCAGTCTTTGTCTCCGAGTTCCTGACTGTCGACTTGAACTTCTGGGCCGCCTCGTAGGGTGCGATGCCCGAGCTGATGTCCTTTTCGAGCTGGATCAGCTCGGGAATCTGGACGCGCTCGTCGAGGGGCAGCATGTCCTTGTTGAACACCTTGGCCGCGTCCTTGCGCGTGAAATGCCGCGACTCGGCCGTGGGCCAGAAGATCTGCTGCATCGTGTGCGGGTGGATGTGGACCTCATTGATGTCCTCCAATGGCTTGTTTTGTGAGTTGGTGTAGATCTTGTGGGTCCTGAGCATACCAAGTACAGCTTTGGCGTACGGCTTCGCGAGAAATTTGCCCTGATTCGTGACTCGGGTCAGTAAAAGAGCTCCGTCCGGGTACAATGGGAAGTGAGTTAAAGATGTTGTTCATCGGCTGAGATCAGAGAGGCTCGCAACTGTTGTGTAACCATGGAATTTGCGTCTTAAAGACTAATCGAATTTTTTTTGCGTATCATCATATGGGGGTGCCGGTAGATCGAATGTGGTGTGCAGGGTAGAGAACACACATTGGTGCCTCGATGTACTAACCTTCTTCTCCCAATCCCTCTCAACCTCCTGCAGGCGGATTACGGCAGCCACCCTGCGGACATCGACGCCGTACTCGGCCGACACGGCCTTGATGGTCTCGCCGTCACGCATGACCTTTTCCCATATGATCTGCCGGGCCTTCTCGCTCAGCACAGGGGCAGTTTTGAAGCTGCTGTTGGTCGGGAAAGGCTGGAGCCTGTCGAACTCGCCGTCCTTGTATGCCCTCTTTTTTCTCCCGCTGCTGGCGATGTAGCGGGGACCATCCTCAGGCGCCTTTTTGAAATAGACGCCATCGGTCTTGAGCCACTGGCGAAAGTTGCGGCGGGCTTTGCTAAAGACCTCACAGGACGGGGTCGATGAGAAGCCGGCAGACTGTTGTGATAACGTCCATGACCGGCTTGCGGCGACTGCAACGCCGGCGCGCGCCTCAACAGCGCGGACCACCGCCGGCGATGGTATCCTCGGAGGCATGTTGGCGACCGACCGCGATTGTTCAGCGCACAAAGGCGGAACAAGGCGATGGTGAAGGGAAGAGGAAGAAAGATTGAGGGCGAGTGTGTGGGATGAGGTGCGAGGTCAAGTCCCAGCCTGCGTGCGTCGTGGAAAATCCTCACGTTGGAGAGCGGGTCCGTTTCTCAGAGCTTGCACGCACCACCCACAGGACAGCCTGTTGTGGGCCAATTAGGGGGGAAGCTGGCCGAAAGGAGTGGGGGCCCACTCTCCCATATCCACCTAGCTGTGGGTCAACTAGTGATTGGCTTGTTGCAGGGCTCCTGCTGGCTTATGTCATCTGCACATGTGAACCCACCTGGACAGCTCAAGCAGTCCAAGCGAGCTGTACTTCAGGTCGAGATGTCCCCCGATGACGGTTTGTTGAGACACCTGCTCCCGATAACAACGCAAGCTGCAAATGCAGCGATAGTGGGAGTGGCAGAGAAGGTTTCCACGTGTGGGAGCATCCGGCTGCTCGTGCTGAGTCTGTTTCTAGCGGAGAGGCGGGTACACAATGCAATTGTACCTGGCTGGACATGGGGGCTATCTAATGTATTGGCAGTTCGACTAAGCTCGGTGGAATGGATGCCTTAAGCAGCGCCTGATGCTCACAGGTGAAATGCCTTCTGGGGGAGAGTGTTCAGTCCAGGTCGAATGCGACGCGGGAGCGAGCGTGCACAGCCGGCGCGTTCAGGAATGGCGCGCATGAGGACACGGCAGTACAAGAGCGCATGTAGCAGTTGGCCATCGGGTGGGCAGCTGTGCCATCTCGATGGCCGCGAGCTTGTGCCAGGGATGCCTGTCGCCCGCTGCTGCCATTGCGCTGCCAACTCATCACGCAAAGCGACTACCGACCGCGCTGCCCAGGACCAGGCCCGTGAGATTGCATGGATGCATGCATTCATCCAGCCGGATGCAAGCACGGCTTTGGAGCCCTTGGACCTTGCCTGGCGAAACACCAGTCGTTCGTGACTCCATCTGAGCCTTGCCACGCTCATCTCCTGTCCTGCCGCGCCGGCCTCACAAACTCCAAGGCCATCTCCAAGCGCCCAAGAGCTCAAGGTCTGACTTGCACGCACCTCGACTGCTGGGGGTGTATTTGCGCTGCTGCTTCTCGAGGCTCATAACCATCTCGATAACGGCGCTGCCCAATACGCGCGCCAAGCTCATCTCCAGCTTGCACCACACCGTAGACTCTCCCAAGCTCCAGCAACTCCAGACCAGAACAACATCCTGCGTGCCAAAGGGGCATCCAACTCTCCCCGCTGAAGCTGTATCCAGATAACTACATCGTCTTTGTCGTGCCTCCTGCCACACTTTCTGGCTGTTCCACCACCACCCGGTCCCGCAGACCGACCATGTAAGGTAGGGTTCTGGCTGCTATCCACGCCAGCTGCAACCGAGGTATGAAGATGCATCTCAAGCTCGGCACCGCAGACCAGGTACACGGCCTCAAGACCCGGATCAAGGACCGGCTGCTCAGGCGCCACAGCGGCACTGCCTCCTCGAGGTCAAGCCAGGACAGCATTCGCCCAAAAGGTAATTCGAGCAGTGTCCACACGCGCGACGACGACAACAGACCAGGCTCGAATGCCACCGCCACCACCGGAGGAGCGGAGCCTGAGACACCAGCAAAGAAGCAGAGCCCGGAGAGCGCGCAGGCGAGCCCAAGGGCCGCGAACAGATCATGGGAGCTCACGGCAGATGACGACGGGTCTGCAACCACCCCGGGCACGCTGAGCACCCCGCAGGATCGCGACGAAGAGGCAGATGACGAGCGCGAGGACGAGCACGAGGACGGCAACGGCGTGGTTGATGGGCGGCGGGTGCCAGGTAGTGCTGCTGGAACTGGTGTTCCCAGTGGTGGAGGTGCTGCAGCCAGCCCTGTCACAGCTGCTGGCGCGTCCGCCAACGGCAGCGATCAACACCTCCCGCCCGCCGCTCCACTACAGTCTCCCACCACCACCACCACCACCGCAGAAGCATCATCACTCCCCTCTGTCCACGCCGCGCCCCCGACGCCACTCTTTTGCATCCAGGAACACCCCCCAGACTCTAACCATCTCCAGCAGCAACAGAAGCAACCACAGCCGCACTCGCAGGGCCAACTTTCCATCACCGCCACCACAACAACAGCGCCGGGGGCCACCTCTCTTGCCGGCCCGTCCTCTCCGTCGACGCCGAAAACTCCAATCCACTCTCGAAGAGGCATTCCCCTCCATAGCCCTACTGCAGACGCTGCCAGTTCGAAGCGCTCGACGCCGCGATCGCACACTGCCGCTCTTGCTGACTCCCCATTGACGGCGTCGCCTCCGCGACCGGGTGGGCCCGTGCGGCGACAGAGCATTGTCCCAATACGCCAGACAGCGCTCATCAAGACCTTGCTGGCAGTGGACCATGCTGGTGATATAGGTTACAGTGGTTCAGATATCAACGGAACCATGGTCACCAGAAAGATCTGGGTCAAGCGGCCCATGAACTCGGCGACGTTGGTGACCGTCACCGAGGACGATCTTGTCGACGATGTGCGCGACATGATCTTGCGCAAATACACCAACTCTCTTGGCCGCCAGTTCGACGCTCCCGATCTCGTGATACGTCTCTGCAGTCGAGATCAGCAACATTCAAGCCGAGTGCTGCAGCCAGAGGAGCCTATATGCCGATTGATCGATGCCGCCTATCCTGGTGGGCAGACCGTTGACGAAGCCTTGCTCATCGACATACCAAGGAGAACTCCCAAAGCTTCTCCCAATCCTAGGTTCTACAGCGACGACAGGCCGCACGAGTCTGGAACCGACTATTTCCCACCATATCCGCCCGCGGTGGTACACCATCCCGCAGGCACCCACCTGCAGCCAGGCAGTATGCAGCTCGCCAACGGTGTGCACTTCCCACCCTCCATGAGTGTTGTTTCTGGCGGCACCCTACCGCCACTGCCATCGCCTGGTAGTGTGCGACGGCTGGCTGCACGACCGAAAATGATACGCGGCCATACTGCGTCACCGATAGCCCCCATTCCTTCAAATGGCGTCTCAGGCCACCCTTCACAGTCAGGTGCGATGCCCCCAACCACTCAGTACAATTACATCCCAAGACCAGGACGCTCAAGGACACACTCAGAAGCCTCATCCGGACAATCTGGACATGTTGCTCCGGCACCTGCGATTCCATCTCCTCCCGCTCCAGAACGAACGGCGACCCCACCTCCACGTGTGGCTTCCCCACGGCCGTCTGCCCGGGCTAGAAAACCGAAAAAGCCCGAGAAGCCAGCTCTTCAGACAACATTACCACCAGGACTGCTGAATGGAGGTGTGCCCCCCATCAACGTGCTCATCGTCGAGGACAACATCATCAATCTCAAGCTCCTGGAAGCTTTTGTGAAACGTCTCAAGGTTCGCTGGCAGACAGCCATGAACGGCAGAGACGCGGTAACAAAGTGGCGAACTGGTGGCTTTCACTTGGTTCTCATGGACATTCAGCTTCCCATCATGAACGGTTTGGACGCCACGCGTGAGATCCGGCGGCTCGAGAAGGTCAACTCCATCGGCGTCTTCTCCTCGTCCGCGAGCAGCGCCCTTCAAGAAACCCACGTCGAGCCAGACGAGGTGGACAAGCTCAGCAACACTGAAATGTTCAAGAGCCCCGTAATCATTGTAGCCCTCACTGCCAGCTCGCTGCAGAGCGACAGACACGAAGCCCTGGCTGCTGGCTGCAATGACTTCCTGACCAAGGTAAGTCATGGTCACGAGGTGTTCTAGGCCCCGAGGTTCCAGAAAAACTGACAATTCGACATAGCCTGTCAACTTCGTATGGCTCGAACGCAAGGTCATGGAGTGGGGTTGCATGCAGGCTCTGATCGACTTTGACGGCTGGAGGAAGTGGAAGGACTTTTCGCAGAAGGCGCAAGAGGCAGAGGCGGCCAAGAAGGCTCAGGTTGCCAAGGCTAAAGCAAAGAAGGATAAGAACAGGCTACCCACCCCCGTCGCCGTATGAGGGGGGGCGGCAAAATTCATCACACTACAATGAGCAGTACACGAGCTCAAACAATACAGCGCCGGGCAATACACCACAGGATATTTGCCAGTGTGGGCACGGTTTCCGGCCAAGTCTGACTAAAGACGGGCGCAACCCTTCTATTCAAGCAAGGGGCACAGTGACAAGGAGGCTTGCTGTTACTATGCACTACATAATTGAGCGGTTGCTACAGGGCACAAGTATAGAGAATGGTTGCACACGGACACAAGCAAAGGAGGGACGTCATCGAATGGATCTCTGTACTAATCGCACAACACGGACTTGACACCCGGGAAGGGAGGCGGATATGCGTCAGCATTTCATACCACTATATATCAATAGCGATTTGGTTTGTCTTCAATGCCTTAGTATAGCGTATTCACGGTGTATAAACGGCTTCGCTTGCCTCTCCATCTCAATTGGAGAATAACCAGATGTAACCCTTCCTGCGAGACAACATGCGAGTATCGTGTCGCTCCTCGTATACATGGCAAGCCATCATGTGGAGTTTTGAGCCGAGCCAGGGTGGAAATCCCGCCAGTGAACCACAATATTGAATCCCCAAAGCGGCTCGCTCGCTCCCCGGTGGCACTTCTCACGACCACTCAGTCCGTCCCAACCGTCGAGCACGTCATTGATGCATAATTGTTGGTTCATTCCTCTCGTGAGCCGAAATGCCATCGACTCCAGGTTCGGGGCTGGGATTTCCTGGCGTGGCTACTCTGTATGAAGCGTCATAAATACATATCCGTGTATCCCAGTGTCAGTGGTAGGCGTTTGCCTTGCGAGAAATTGATAGTGACCTTCGGGCCATTCGTTGTGTCCATGCCCGGATACTTCGAGGTAAGAATCGGTCGGTCATCGGGGAAGCCAGAGCGGAACTCCCCTGGGGATGTTTGTCCACCTCTTGCATCTCAACGAGCATAACGTCGAAACCAAGCGCATTCTCGACGCAACGGCCGTATCTGACGGCAGTCTGCTGCCGAGATCTGCATGCTGTCGCGGCGTGTCTTTCGCGAGATGCGAATTGAGTAGCAGCACGGCATCTGCGCTTTGGAAGACGGCAGCCAGTGCTTTGCTAGCGTTCAGATCATTGGCCATGAGGCTCTCAGAACTGGCGTTCAGCGGCATGAGAATTATGGCTCCCTCAGTAGTGCTCGTTGGGGGACTGTGTGTCAAGCCAGGCTCTGACCAAAGCGAGCAGCCAGTACTCAGTCAGGCCACGCCGGTTATTTACAGCTTGTTGGCATTCCACAAGGTCTGCACCATGGGAGGGCGCATGTCGGGCATTGTATCATCCCAGCCGCACTCGCTTTCCCAGTAGAGAATCTGCCACAATGTCACAGCGAATGGAGACCCGGTATCAGAAGTCTTGTATACCAGTTTCGCCCTCTAGTGGTTTCGCCCTCGCGCCTTTCATTTCTGTGTCGTCAGCGCCATCATCTTCCAGTTGGTCACTCGCCCAGCCGGGCTCCTCGTCATCGAACCAGGCCTCGACGGCATCGCGCCTCTCGAGGGTGTCGAGATCGTCGTTTTCGTCGACAGCCCTGTACTCGAAATCCTCGTCCCGGCCCAGGACGAACCGGCGCCTCAGAAAGTCCCTCCACCTCTCGCGTCCCTCGTCGAGGGTCTCGGGCGGGGCCAGGCGGTCTCCCATGGTTGCGACCGTGGGCGCTTCCACCGCGCCGCCGACGTGCTCCTGAACGCCCACGGCTGCGTCGTCCTCGTCTTCACCCTCGTCTTGGGTGGCATGGGTGTCCGAAATGGTGTGGGACGACGGAACGGTGCCTGACGGTTCACGACGGCTGTTTGTTGCCCTTGCTCGAGTTAGTTTGGCCTCGCCGCGGAGCAGGTCCACCTCAAGGACGCGGGAGTAGCCCTTCTTGCGGCCTTCCTTCTCGCGGTCTGCCGGAGACTGGAAGCGGCGGATCAGGGAGTCGTATAGCAGGGGATCTAGTCAAGGATATTTTAGAATGGAGAAGCGATCCACGGTGCTGACATGAGTTGCTGCTGTACACATACCGGCCAACTCGTGCTCCAAGGACTCGAAATAGGACGGGTTGCGCTCTAGATATTCACGGCGGCGGTTGCGGACCCGGACCTGGGCGGACTGGGCGGGGGACCGGGGCACCCGGGGCCGGGGCTGGGAGAAGACCGGAGAGGGCGGCCGGCCCTGACTGGCCTGCATGGCTATGGGCGACGAGGGATCCTCGAGCATTGGTGCTGGGGCTGGATCTGTCGACCTGGGCAGCCGAGAAGGATGGCTCTTGGGCGACGCCACTGGTGGCCAATGAGTCTGGACGCAGCGAGGCAGTTGTGGAACCACGGATGGCTCCACCTGTTACATCATGGCGAAGGAGGCCGAGCAGCAGACCGACGAGGCTGATATTGATCGAGCAGGATCTAGTTAGGACACTGATGTGCCGAGAGAGCGATGGTGCAGTCATGGATGAGTCATCCACGGCAGCTTACGGTGCCTTCAGTAAGTCAGTCCAGACAGACCCTCTGGACCAGCAACTGCTGGTTGTGGTGCCGTTCAACCGTGCTTCCCGGCTGGAGGCACTGCCATTGGCCAAACGCGCCTCCATGCAAGTGCTATGGCCTTGGCCCTCTGGCAAAGGTGGGGGGCTTGAACCTACGGGCATGAGGAGCCCTCAGTGGGACACTGCCGAGTCTTGCTGGCCGGGTCGTAGCAGAATTAAGCTTATTGCTAGCCATCTGGCACTGCTTCATTCCCGGGCCCCACCAGGCACTGATTAGAGCCTACAGGTGAACCCCGGTTATGCGGAATAAAGGAGACATTCCGTTCAATCCGCTAAAATGAGGTATCCGCAGTGTTGAGGGGAGGTCATTCTTGAGGTATTTCACGCCTATCCAGGCTCTGTATTCTACTGAAAGTACATGCGGATATCTCTCTGCTGTAAGGCTTCAATTGATGAGTTCGTAAGTACCCTTTCCTGCTTATTGAGGTAAGAAATGAGGCCAGTATCACCACCTGATTGCTCCTGGTAAAGGCGCAGTCGGCGGAGGGCCTCTAGGGCCTCAACTATGGTGATTCGTGGCTCAATTTCAAGCTCAGCATTATCGTCGTCGTCGTCGTCGTCGTCGCTATTGCCTGCCGGGGTAAACTGGTCGAGAATCTGCTGGTCAAGGTCGTCGGATTCTTCAGTCAGATTCTCGTCAGCCGGGTTCAGGAAGTTATGGATGTTCATCACCTCCTTGACGTGATGATTAGCCTGAAGCCTCTGCAAGCCGTACGTAATCTCGCGAACGGCTTCTTCATGAGTAGCAGCAATTGCTGCCTCAAGTGTGGCCTGCTGGGGGTCTCTAGGGGCCTCCATGAGGCCTTTCTTGAAGCACTTCGTGATAGTTTCAGGAGTCACATCTAGCTCCCAGGCTTGGATGCCCCATCGCAGAGCCTTTAGTACGTTCATTGTACTAAGAGGGTCTCTACCGGCGTCATATTCCGACAGCATATAGCGTACCCAGTACCGTCGCCAGTGAGATTTCCAGGCTGCAATGATTCCCTGATCAAGAGGCTGTGTTTTGCTTGTAGTATTGGGTGGCAGCCATATGATAGCGGTGTTTTGTAGGGGGGTCGCACTTGTCAGAATAGCTTCATATCCGGCTTCATGAGCAGAGAAGTTATCCATCAGCAAAATGACGCTTTTACCAGCCATTTGGCGGTCGAACCAACGTAGCCATTGCTCAAATATAGTCCCTGTCATCCAGGCCTTCCTATTGTGAGTCCATTCTAGGTTCATATGGCGGATATCGACCCCCGCAGCGGTGAAGGCGCGAGGCCTTTTTGCCTTGCCAATGAACCATATTGGTAAACGGTCAGTACCTGACCAATTACAGCAGAGATGGGCTGAGATCCGGGCCTTCTCCTTTTTGCGGCCTGGAAGGCTGCGCGTCGAAAGAGAGCGATCCGGAATCATCTTCCAGTAAAGACCTGTTTCGTCGCAATTGTAAATGTCATCATGGGAATACTTCGAGAGGATCTGTCGGATTGAGGCCATCTCCTTCTCAGTATTGACGATATTGACACTGCCTAGCTCTCCATGCTGTACGCGTAGTTTTATATCGTGTCGGCTTTGGAAACGATAGAGCCAGCCGTTCGAGAACTGCGGCGGCTTTTGGTCCTTGTATTGAGGCATTTGCGCCCAGAATTGCCGTGCTTTTGCCTTAATGACTTCGCCCGTGATAGTAATTGAGCTTTCAGCTTGCTGGCACCACATATATAAGGCGCCTTCGAGGTCGCGGTGAGGGTTATTATTGACCCGCGTCAAGTCGAGGGCGCGTGGCTGCTGTAGTGGCTCGCTTAGGTACGCGAAACGGCTGCCGAGGATGTCGGTAATGGAGGATGTCGAGATAGGCTGGTCGTACTGCTTCAGGAACCATTGCTGTAGCTCGATATGGGAGTCTGTCGGACGGAGACGTCGTCGTTCGCGAAGGGCTAGCTTCTGCGCAGTCGAAATGCGTCGCCGCGACGGCTTCAAGTTGGAGGGTGCGGTGGCGCGGGGTGCCATTTCGGGGGGTCAAAACGCGGTCCAAACGCGCCCCTATTTCACTCGGATTAGCGGATTTAGGTGGTGGCGATGGCCTCGCTTTGTGCGTAATCGATGAACGCGAGGGATTAGCGGAATCGCATGTGTTTTGAAAGGAAACAGCCAGTTCATCCGCAGAAGCGAGGGAATCCGCTTATGTGAGGTCCGCATAACCGGGGTTCACCTGTACCTACTGCACCTTGCTGTCTTCGCGACTGTGAAGAAGCCATCGCTTTCCTCCCCTCCAAGATCGACACGCTGGAAACACGTAGGAGCCAGTCTGCTGTCAAGGTCTTCTCTGGATGTCAGCTCCGCCCGCCCTGCCCACGCGAAAATATCAACGAGAACCAGATACCAGCCAGACCCGACGAGTTGGAACACAAGACTGTGGCGGCACCCAAAGCGTACTCTGGTAAATGCCAAGTCTCCATTGCCAGGGTCTGCTCCACACGCGGACGGGAGTGTTTCCGTCGACAGCAGCTCTCGTTGGCTGGATCTGCTCGAGGCTTCCCGGATTTCCACCCGGACACGGAGAACACCGCAAACACCACCAGCCCACGCTCGCGATGGCACTGTTCCACACAGCACTCTGGCCGGCAGCTCACCGTGGCAGAGCCTCATACCAAGGCCCGTGTCTTCTTGGCACTGTTTCCGTCGGTCCGCGGCACGGTCATGGCCGATACGCATCATCGCAGTCATGAAATCCCTGAGCAGGGTGGAATCGCCTTTACTTAAAGTCTTGCTCAGACTGTGCAGTAGTGTGTCCAGCCTGGATGGTGCTTGAGTCAAACAGCATCCCCACGACAGTCGACAACCACGCAACGACTCGTTGGCAGCACTCACCATATTCACACCTTGATATCATCACCTCGAACGCCCTCCCGCATCGACAAAGATCCAGAATCCTCGTTTTCCCAAGTGCCATGGGCAAGCGTGGCGATGACCCTCTTGCGGGCCATGTCTCTGGCCAGTCCAATAAGCCTCTTTCCAGACCACCACACGCCTTGCCCTACGCCCAGGTCATCACCGAACTCGAATCAGACGAAATCAATGGCTTGCACTCGGCAGTGGCTGAGCAGCGGCTCACAGACTTTGGTCCAAATGACCTTGGCGAGGCAGACGGAGTATCTGCCCTGAAGATTGTGGTTGCTCAGATCGCCAATGCCATGACGCTCGTAGGCCTTCTCCTCTTCGCGGAGCCAAAGACGAGAGCCTGAAACACTAATCGGAACTCATAGGTACTCATCATGGCCATGGCCGTCAGCTACGGCATTGGTTCCTATATCGAAGGCGGTGTCATCACCTTTGTCATCCTCCTGAATGTTGTCGTTGGCTTTTTCCAGGAGTACTCTGCTGAGAAAACCATGAATTCGCTGCGGTCTCTGAGCTCGCCGACAGCCAGTGTCGTCCGCGACGGCAAGGCCAGCGTGATTCCGTCTGGCGAGATCGTGCCCGGCGACCTCATTGAGCTCAAGACTGGCGACACTATCCCTGCCGATGTCCGGTGAGTTCAAGCGATCATGGCGTGAACCCCACCCTTGAAACCCGTCCACTGACTATGACTACTACTTGAAGCATTATCGAAGCAGTCAACTTCGAGACCGGCGAGGCTCTGCTCACTGGAGAGTCGCTGCCTATCCGCAAGGACGAGAGGCAAACCTTCGACGACGCTACTGGGCCGTAAGTACATTCGAGTTGAGAGGGCCCGTGCAAGCTCTGGATTCTGCTTGGCCCGGCTTCCCATATTCTTCCGTGTTACTAACTGTGGCTATAGCGGTGATCGCATCAATGTCGCCTACAGCTCGTCGACTGTCACAAAGGGTCGTGCTCGTGCCATTGTCTTTGCCACCGGAGCTTTCACTGAGATCGGTGCAATTGCCTCAGCCCTGCGAGCGAAAGACTCCAAGGTCAGACAGGTCAAGCGCAAGCCGGACGGCTCGGCCAAACCCCACCGCTACCTCGAGGCATACACGCTCACACTCACGGATGCCATTGGCCGGTTTCTTGGCGTCAACGTTGGCACGCCTCTGCAGCAAAAGCTGTCGAGGCTGGCGGTGCTGCTGTTCGGCATTGCGGTTGTTTGCGCCATCATCTGCCTAGCTGCCAACCGCTTCATCGCTGAGCAAGAAGTCATCATCTATGCTGTCGCGACAGGCCTGTCCATGATCCCTGCGTCCCTCGTGGTAGTCTTGACCATCACGATGGCGGCGGGCACTAAGAGAATGGTACAGCGCAACGTCATTGTGAGGAACCTGAAGTCACTCGAGGCCCTCGGTGCCGTGACCGACATCTGCTCCGACAAGACAGGCACCTTGACCCAGGGCAAGATGGTCGCAAAGCGTGCATGGATTCCAGCCATGGGCACATACACCGTGGACACGTCCTCGGAGCCCTTCAATCCCACCGTGGGTGACATCTATTTCGATGAGCGAGCACCATCGGAGATGCAATTGAAGAAAGACGGCGAGGTCAAAGAGAACCCCATCCATCCCGAAGAGCTCCTCCAGAAGAGCAAACAGGCTCTGCGCGACTATCTCCTGGTTACTGCGTTGGCCAACCTGGCCACAGTCTCACCCAGCGGAGACAATAACAACGAATGGAACGCCCGCGGCGACCCGACTGAGATCGCAATCGCCGTGTTCGGCACTCGATTCGGCTCTAACCGGCTCAAGCTCGCGCATGGAGACAAGCCCGAATGGACTCAGCTCGCTGAGCTGCCGTTCGACTCAGATGTCAAGCGCATGTCTGTCATCTTCAAGCACGAACCCACGAGCGAGCTCATGGTCTTTACTAAGGGCGCGGTGGAGCGTGTCATTGGCAATTGCAAGGACTACTATGCAAGTGATGGCAGTGGGGAGACGAGCCCCGTGACGCAAGCGTTCCAGGAGGAGATCTTGCGCAACATGGAGTCTCTCGCCGGAATGGGGCTGCGGGTGCTGGCGCTCGCAAGCAAAAAGTTCGCCGGTACAATCGAAAAGGGCCAGGATGTTGATCGTCAGGCAGTCGAGTCGAATCTCACCTTCCGCGGCTTGATCGGGCTGTATGATCCTCCTCGGCCAGAGTCCGCCCCGGCTGTGCGCAGCTGTCACAAGGCTGGAATCGCTGTGCACATGCTTACAGGCGACCATCCGGAGACGGCAAAGGCGATTGCGATTGAAGTCGGCATCCTGCCTTCGAGAATGGACCTGGTCAGGGCTGACGTCGCTGGTGCCATGGTCATGACTGCTAGCCAGTTTGACGCGCTGTCTGACGACCAGGTTGATGATTTGCCTGTGCTGCCTCTGGTCATCGCCCGCTGTGCGCCGCAGACCAAGGTCCGCATGATTGAAGCCTTGCACCGCCGCAAGAAGTTCTGTGCCATGGTAAGATCAGGTTCCCCATCCGCCTTTTCCGAGGCAGTGTTCGAGTACTAACAAAACGATTACCTGTCAGACTGGCGATGGTGTCAACGACTCGCCATCACTCCGCAGGGCCGATGTTGGCATTGCCATGGGCCAAGCGGGCAGCGATGTTGCCAAGGAGGCTTCGGACGTGGTGCTGGCCGACGACAACTTTGCCAGCATCGTGGCCGCCATTGAGGAGGGCCGCCGGATCTTTGACAACATCCAGAAGTTTATCCTACACGTGCTCGCCGAGAATATTGCCCAGGCCGGCACTCTTCTTGTTGGCCTCGTGTTCAAGGACACCCGCGGATTGTCGGTGTTCCCGCTAGCCCCGGTGGAGATCATCTGGATTATCATGATCACTTCGGGCATGCCGGACATGGGCCTCGGCTTTGAGCGGGCGGTGCCAGATATCATGTCGCGGCCGCCGCAGAGCCTGAAGACGGGCATTTTCGACATGGAGTTCCTGGTGGACATGGTGCTGTATGGACTGTGGATCACGGCGCTGTGCCTGGCAAGTTTTTCGCTCGTCGTCTTTGGGTACGGCGACGGGGGGCTAGGCGAGATGTGCAACGACGCTTACAGCGAGTCGTGCGACACGGTGTTCCGGGCGCGGGCGACGACGTTTGCCTGCCTGACATGGTTTGCGCTGTTCCTGGCGTGGGAGATGATTGACCGGCGGCGGTCCTTCTTCCGCATGCAGCCCGGATCCAAGCTGTACCTCACGCAGTGGGTGCACGACGTCTGGCGCAACAAGTTCCTCTTCTGGGCCATCGTCATTGGCTTCGTCACCATGTTCCCCGTGCTGTACATCCCAGGGCTCAACACGGTCGTGTTCAAGCACGTGGGCATCACGTGGGAGTGGGGGATAGTGTTTGTCAGCGCCGTCCTTTTCTTTGCGGGCGTCGAGGCGTGGAAGTGGGCGAAGCGCGTGTACTTTCGCCGGCGGGCGCGCAGGGTGGGCGGCACCGCGTGGGGGGACCAGGATGTCGAGCAGCGCACTTTTGCGCAGTATCTGACCTACGAGATGGTTTCGGACGACGAGAAGAGCAAGCATGATGTTGAGCGCGGGTGATGTTGTGCGAAGCTGGACGTGGTTGCTTCACGGGAAAAGTCGTAGGAGTTATTGTTCTGATCACGGGCAGCAAGCGGAATGAAGCATGGATGGCTTCTACTTTTTTTCACCGGGTCACTTTGGGGGTTCCCCAGGGCATTAGGATAGACAAAATCAACGATAGAAAGAAGCATGCACATATCTGCATCGCACTATTTATATGAGCTCAAAGACGTCTTTGCCTTGGGACTTCGTGCTGGATGACTCGAGAGGCATGAAATGCAGAGGCTTCAGTTTGACCCTCTTGCTGTTAGTCACCCTGACGGACCCTTGGGGCGGCATCAACGTGCGTCGTCAAAACCAACCGGATGTCTCTCGCCTCCGGAGCGAAGCCGAGTTACCACCCGCAACCGAACCTGAGTCGCCTGCCGGGGCGGCTCGAGTGGAGCCGCTCCTCCACCCCGCTCCGGTCGCCGGACCCCGGGAGCCCGGGCTATGATGTGATCGGCACCAGCACGCATAGCAGGCTCGACCCCGCACGGCCTGGTCGGAGCAAAGTGCTTGCTACGTTTGTGTGTGGAAGGGGCGATGCATGGCGTGATTGGACGGGTGGTGAGCACATATCCAGGCGTGGTCGTCTCTGCAACACCAGCAAAGTGGAATAACGCAGCTGCCAAGTGTTTGTCAGTCAGCGGGTACTCGAGAGAAGACTACAAAGACGTCAAGTTCCGAGGAGGAGACAACCCAAAACTCGCCATCGCATGGGCAGACCCGTGGCAACCCGGAACACTTCCCAGTTAGATCATCTTCCTCCCACTGCACAACCTCAGCGAGACGTCTGCAAAGCCACGGATTCCAAAGTTTGGGCTATTGAACAGCCCCCATTCTCAATGGCTGAACCACCACCACCACCACCCTCAGCATCGTCAACCTCTTACAACCCCCTCGCCGACTACGACCTCACCAGTCCCATCTCCGCCCTGCCCAGCACCGGCCTGCGCCAGAGCCTCCCCGGCTATGGCGACCCGCACTTCGCCTTGTTCCTCCGCAAGGCCTTCATCAAGGCCCTCGGCCTGTCCGAGGACGCCCTGTCCCGGCCCATCGTCGGCATAACCAACACCTTTTCGTCCTTCAACCCGTGCCATGCCAATGTCCCGCAGCTCGTCGAGGCCGTCAAGAGAGGCATCCACCTCGCCGGCGGCCTGGCCATGGAGTTCCCGACCATCAGCCTGCACGAGAGCTTTGCGGCGCCCACGAGCCTGTACCTGAGGAACCTGATGAGTATGGACACTGAGGAGATGGTCAGGGGCCAACCCTGTGACGCCGTGGTGTTAATTGGTGGTGAGTATAGCTAGCTGGATTTCCTTTTTTTGTTTCTGATTCTTCTTCTTCTTCGTTGTTCTATGAAGAGGCGCGGTCTGGTGCCCATCTCATCGAGCTTGTCGTCTTTGTGTTTCTGTGTTTAATACGTGATTACTATGGCGAGTTCTGCTATTTCATTTTAAGCCTCTTTACGACTCCCCTCTTCTGTCTCCGATTCACACATATGGATACACACACAGCTAACCACACGAAACGGGGAACGGCAAAACAGGCTGCGACAAGACGGTCCCGGCACAGCTCATGGGCGGCATATCCGCCAACAAGCCAGCCATCCACCTCGTCACGGGGCCCATGATGCCCGGAAGTCACAGGGGAGTCCGGGTCGGGGCATGCACAGACTGCCGGAGCTACTGGGCCGCGTACCGTGCCGGCCAGATCGACATCGAGGATATCGCTGGGGTGAATGATGAGTTGGCGCCGACGGTGAGGTTCCATTCTTTTTTGTTCTAGAAACTTGTTGCTGCCCTGAAGACATGGCTGACTGTGCATCCACTTCCACAGGCCGGGACATGTGGTGTCATGGGCACGGCAAGCACCATGGCGTGTCTCCTCGTGGCGCTCGGCATGATGCCGCTCAACGGGGCCACGGCGCCAGCCGTCTCGGCTGCCCGGCTCCGGATCGCCGAAGAGACCGGCCGGCTGGCGGTGACTTCTCTGCTGGGTCATGCCAACAGCTTGGCATCTACCTCGACGTCCGCCGAGACACCAACAACAACGAAAAGAGAAGCCCTCCGGCCGCAGTCCATCCTGACCCGGGCCTCCTTCCTCAACGCCATCACCGTCCTCCAGGCCACGGGCGGCTCGACAAACGCCATTGTACACCTCATGGCCGGCATCAACCGGCACCCGACCCTCGCGGGCCCGCCCATCACCCTCGACACCATCGACGCCATCGGCCGCACCACGCCGCTACTCGTCGACCTCAAGCCCAGCGGCGACAACTACATGCTCGACCTGCACGCCTCGGGTGGCATGCCGGCCCTGCTCCACGAGCTGCGCCCCTTGCTACACCTCGAAGCCATGACCGTCACGGGCCGCACCCTGGGCGCCGAGCTGGACGCAAGCATCCGCCGCTCCCCGCCCATCCCGCGAGACCTCGTGGACGGCGGTCGGCACTGCATCCAACCGTTCGACACCCCGCTGTTCCCGGCGTCATCCCTCGTCGTGCTCAAGGGCAACCTGTGTCCCGCTGGAGGCGCTGTGATGAAGGCCAGCGCGAGCAAGGACCGCAGACTGCTCAGGCACACGGGGCCGGCCGTCGTGTTCACCAGCTCGGCCGACCTCGCCGCGCGCATCGACGACCCGGACCTGCCCGTCACGCCGGACAGCGTGCTCGTCCTGCAGGGGATCGGGCCCAGGGGAAACCCGGGGATGCCCGAGTCCGGACTGCTGCCCATCCCTCGCAAGCTGTCGAGGTCCGTGGCGGAAGGAGGGATGGGGGTGGCCGACATGCTGAGGATATCGGACGGGAGGATGAGCGGCACGGCGGGCGGGAGCGTGGTGCTGCATGTCAGTCCCGAGGCGGCGGACCTGGACAGCGTGCTGGGCGTGGTGAGAGACGGGGATCTGATCACCTGTGACGTCGAGGCGCGGGTGTTGCGGTTGGAGGTGGATGATGTGGAGATCAGGAGGAGGCAAGAGGCGCGGAGGGCGGCACTGGAGGCCTTGCCACTGGATCAGCGACCGGAGTGGTATGCGCCGCAGAGGGTTAGAGGGTATCGCGGGTTGTTCTTGAGAGAGGTCCTGCAGGCCGAGGAGGGTTGCGACTTTGCATTCCTGAGGGCAGGAGGGCCGGCTGGTGGTGGTGGAGGCTAGCCCGCGATCTTGATGCAGGCGAGAGTTGCCGTGCTTGAAGACGACTGTGTATGAAGATGACCGTGTACAGCCTTCACAGAAACATAGTGTAATTCGTCTCGAGCCTCCAGTTCGCTTGGGCCCCTCAGCCGAGCATATCGCACTTGTCTTCAAGACCTACTTCTTCGAGATGGCTCCCTTTACACCTAACAGCTTCTAACAATCAGTCGCCACCACAAGACTACTGGAGACATTTCAACAGAGACCCCAAGTCGTCTGACCATGCCACGTTCGCTCCCGACCAGCACTTACCCGAACAGACAACCACCAGAACCGAACTCGCAGAATAAGCGACCAGGACAAGCCTGCTTGCTGGCACGTGAATCAGACCAGCTTCACTGACTGCAAAGTTAGCTGGACTTGTACGGCATTCTTTTTCTCTCTGAGAAAGAGAAACACCCTTGCGCAATGAACCTCCCATATTCCAGTCTGATCATGTACCACCAACTAACACTGGACATGCATCATCATTACTACCATAACCCTCGTGTTGTGTGCGAGGGAAGTCGTCTTTTGCCTCATAGAAGAGAGCCAGACACACCACAGAACCAAAGACATAAGGCACCGAAACTCGCATACACACATATATACACACACACACACACTCTCTCTCTCTCTTCTTTTTATTATTATTATTACTTGACCCATCGATGCAAAAACCCCTCCTCACAGCTTACATCGTCAGACCTACAGGAACACACAGCCGCCATGCAGCTCCCAGTAGTGTGGCTACAACAAAGGTCCCTTTCCCCTTATCATAAATGCCGAGAACACGAGATGCACAGCGCCCTTCACGCAAACCGCCCGGCAATGCAGAGAGACACCCCCGCACCACATCCACGCCTTGTACCCTGCACACAGCTGCTATGTCACGGCACGCGTATGGAATTCACAACCCCTTTGACCTAATACCGTAATCGCCCGAACCTCCACGGAGTCCACCACACCAACTTTGGCGTCTTCTAAGTTTACTCAGTTGCCGGATTTGGAGGAACACCTCCTTTGGGTGTAAGCGTTTTCCATTTCTTTTCTTTTTCTTTCTTTCTTCCAGATTGGAACAGTCACCAGGAGTTCGGCTCCAGTGGGGTTAGTGAGTACTTTTTACACGGGACGAACTCTGATGTCCTGTTCTAGGACTGGATGCTCGCCGCGGTTGTTTGAATTAGAGAAGGAAAGGGACAACGCCGAAAAGGGTTGGCATGAATAGAGAGGGTGTAATTCTGGCATGGCAGACCATATTTCCGCGAAGCAGCGTTATATGCTGATTCGCATGGTGGCGGGGAAGTACAGCGCAACATCCGAACGCCCCGGGGCCACTTACTACATGACACATGAGAAGCACTTTAAGCGAGACAATGTCTAGACATACGTTACGCACGTAAAGGTCAAGAGGGCCACAGGCCCCAAACAGAGCAGGTAATTTTCGGGAGCAGGCTAGGGCAGCAGGATAACGACCCGCACGGCCAGCCAGGTCGCTTCCGTGTCCTAGTTCTTTTGTTCCAAGCCTACGGTTCTACCATAGTAAGCGCCATATGTATGTACCCTGTAACAAGCTCCATGGGTCTCGGTACACAACAAGGATGCAATGACGCACACACAACTACATAAATAGCGCAAACACAGACACGGCACAGAGGGAGAAGACACGCGGAGACAAAAAACAAGCTCCCGTGTTTCTCCGAACCGGCCCCCTAAAAATGGCATGTGAAGAGTGCCGCCCACATTCCGTAAGTCCGGACACGCGAAGAGAGAACAGGCGTAGAGGTATAGAACACGACAGCTGGACAAACACGTGCCTCAAGAGCAAAAAAAAAAAAAAAAAAAAAAAAAAACCCCAAAGTGTCTTCCCCGTGGGGGAGGGCGAGACTGGCTGAAGTTTGCGTCGCCACGGCATCTACCGGCTCCGGTGACTGGAAACCCGGGGGGGGGGGGTAACATGCAGCTCCTTCCCCATGGGGGCTTGGCTTATCCTGGACTCTTCAGGCTCTGCCTCTCTCTCTTCTTGTGCCCAACCCAACTGTGCCCGTCAAAAGCTGGGGCAGCCCGTGGGGTGCTCTGGGGAGGGACCTAATCACAGTACATACACACGAAAAGCCCATGTGTAATGTAAATGCGGGACCCCCACAAATCAAAGCCCTGTTCCAGATCTCTTCTACACAGGCTGTAGGCTAAATGGCGCTGTGCTGTTGCAATGCACGTCCCTCCACCCCCCCTTTCAAACCTCGAATTGGGAAGCCCGGGATCTCGTAACGACGAGATGCCACTCCTGATGGACACAGGATTGCGGGCAGGCTGCAGCCATGGTGGTGGTGTGGGGTGTGGGGGGTGGGATTTTGGCCCCCCTGAGCCTGGTCGACGAAATACCCAACCCAGCACACACTCTTGGATGCTGTACTAATTACTCTCTCTCTCTCTCTCTCGGTAGTCGGCTCGTGCCGTCCGAGTATGACTGATCGCCCTTGGAGTGACTGGACTCTTGCGTAGATGCGCGTGCGATACCATGATCTCTCATCTGATCTCATCTTGCAAAGACGCTGCTGGCTGTGTTCTCTGGAGTGAGGGCTGGCAGGACAGCGGCGTCTCTTCGGCGCACCGAGACGCGGTCCGTCCCAGCATTGCCGTGCTCATCTGGAAGGTCGCCAGCGGGTTTAGGGTAGTTAGTTAGCGCCCGTTGGCTCGCCATTGCTGTCAGATGAGCAATCTCCCAAGCTTGCACACTACGGGCAAACACGGCCCGGGATGAGACGAGGATCGCGAGCCTGGCCTGGCCTGGCCTGTCCTGTCCGTTCAGCCTGTCTGTCGAGCTGCTGCACGTGAGCACTTGCAGGGGCCGACTCAGTCAAGTCAGTTCACCAGGGCCAAACTCTGTCCGCAACTGTCGACACCCAAGATGAACGCAACCCCCTCATGACATGGTAATAGGCTGGCAGCCCAAAACCTGCAAAGTGTGGGGTACAGCAGTGGCCGCCGTCCATTCCCCACGACTTGTCGCATTGGCAGCATTCATTTCCATGGAGCGTAGCTTTCCGGCCACGGCCAAAGAGAGCCGGAGACAGAACTTGCAGCCAAACGCTCCCCCCTCCCCCAGAATTATGCAAATCCGCCGGAAACCCAAGAGCACTCACTGCCTGAAGGTACGCTCTCACAGCACTGACAGCCTGTATACAAGCAGTTCCAGCAACCCACATCCTTTGAGCCAACATCTGACAAGGTCGAGAAAGCATGGCAAGAGGAGGATGGAAAACGTCTTTTGCGAGCTAATTAGCCGCCCGACTCCGCACGCACGCACACCGGACCGGGCCAGGCCAGTGCGAGGGCGAGGGGCGTTCAGTGCAGGTGTGGCACAGGACGCGGCGGGTCCCCGGGCCTTGAAGCCATCGTGAAGAAAAAAATCGGGCAAAAAACAAGAAAGAGGATTCCCCCCATAAGCAAACACACGACAGGATATCGCGCCGAGAGATGTGGAGTTTGAGCAACCAAGGACCCTGCAGGCGCTAGCAGGTCATGAGGGCAAAAACGACAGGCCTGTACAGGGCTTCTGGCGCGGGGCCAAGGCGGAGCCCATGGAAAAATCGACGACGCTTGCCTTGACACGGGGTGCCGTTGGTTCGTCCGGTCGTTCGTTCGCCTGCAAGCTTGTTGGACCTGCTACTTGCGCGCGAGCCCTGCCTGCCTGCAGCTGGGCGGGCGGGCTCTCCAGGAGTGGACTTTCGCTCGGGAGGCGAGGGAGAGCGACTCGAGACTTGCCGCTTCTGGCGGCCGGGATGCATCCACGATTTGTCTGTGACGAGACCCTGCTGGACCCTGAATTATGCACTGGGCAGCAGCTGCATGCACGACCCCGAAATTCGACACCAAAGACTGTAACTAGGAGCCCAGCCAGAGTCCTCTGGCAGCTGCTGGATGGAATTGTCGTGGTCAACGATGCATCCTGACGACGATGGGTGTGGTGGACAGTCCCAAGCCCGTGGACTGTTGACTAGATTGGCGAATCCTGGGGAGGGTCTCAATGGACGATGGATAATACCATACCTAGTCCATGTCGCGGGCGGGAGCGGTGTGGCGCCGACTGCACGGGTGCATGGTGCAGGAGTGGCTGCACCACCCACGACAAACGACGGCTGGGATGCCAGCCTCCTTTCAGGCGGCCAGGCCGCGCGACTGGGCACCAAAGATAGGGTTGCGCAGTGCAGCATCGCTAAGCTGGTGGCTGCGAGGGATGCCAGTGCAGTAGGATGGGATAGGATAGGACAGGGCAAAGTTGGAGGGATGGACGAGATGGGAGAGGCCCCTCCCTAGCTGCAAACCACGGGCCGCGCCTTGGTGCCCTTGCAGGGTGCGCGAGTCCGGATGAGACACTGGCAAGGGAGAGAGAGGCAGCCGTGTGCTGGATGTGATGTATGTATGTTGCGTTGGCCTGCAGGATGGCAAATGGGATTGGATGATGTGATGCGTGGGATGAAGGAGCGGGACAGGTTGCCGTTGGCAATCAGAGATGCAGCTGACTGACTACCTGACTGACTGACACACTGCAGGCTGGCTGCACCTCGCTCTGATGATGGATTGCCTCGGGGCATGGCATACTTCTGAGCCTGCAGGCATCACACGCAGCCAACAATGCTAATTAATGATTTCCAAACCAAGGGACGACAGCTCTTCAACGCAACAGCAGCATACAGAGTAGTGCACGGCAGACATGTGACCGTGCAGTGCAGGCGCCGCCGCCTAACCTGTGTATGGGCGAACTCTGTGGACATCGACGGGGAACCACCACAATGCAGCAGCCGAGCTTGGATTCGGGCATGTGCCGAGATGAAACCTCGAGCGAGGCCCATTGTAAAAGCACCAGAGCACTGCGACATGTGTGCCAGCCCTGTCTGGCATTGTCGGCGCCGGCTGTCTCCTGTGCGAGCCGAGGGTGGTGGGTGGTGGTGGTGTGTAGCACTGGGCCGTCCGTGCTGAGACAGGCACCAGCCAGAGACAGCACACCCTTTTCCAATACAGGACAGGACAGCTGTGACCCCTTGTTTTTCTTCCTTGGGGCTTCTTTCGCCTTATTACTGCGTGGTGGTTATTAGCAGCACACCCTCTAGTTCTTCTGGATGCAACCCCCCCTCCAAAGGCGCCGCGCCATGCCCAAAAGAGGCGCCGACACAGTAAATAGCCGAGCGACGGTGCCCCTGGCCGGGCCATTGCCCGTCGACGATCCGGGCCCTGTGATTCGGCCGCCACCCAGCGCCGGAGCCCTCGTGCGCCCTGTTTCCCCATACTATGGTATCGACTCTCTCGTCCGTCGTCATTCTGCCTGCCTCGCCCTGCGATGCCAATCCGTCCGTCCCAGTCTGGCTGACTGGCCACAGTACGTACCATTGCGCGTCGATCTGCCGCTACCTAAGGCAAGAAGCCCGCCCGTCATCTAAAACGACACCTGCACCCCCTTCCCGTCCGTCCCCTTCATGTCAATGGATGCTTGCTTGTCTGCTTGCTTCTCTCCGACCCCTTCTTCCTCGACACACGAACAAAAACCGTCCACCTGCCGCGAGGAGAAAAGGAATAAATCCATACGACGACCGCTTTCTTCTACCGACTACAAGAGCATGGAAACCGCGCCGGCAGCTTCCCTCGCTACCAGACCCGTCGAACCCTGCACCCTTTGCTGGTCCAGCACACCGCATCGCAAGTACCTGTTGTAGCCTCTCTATTCGCCCTGCACCAGCGAGCCGCCCCATCTCGGGCCTTTTGCGCCGTGGACAGCGCACGCACGAGCGACTCGAAACGCGCACCCGTTCCCGCCCGGGGCATTCGTCTCGTCGCCATTCGTCAGCCAGGGACAGGCAGGTCGGTACCTGGCGCGACCCCGTCGGCCAGCACTCGGAGCCATCCAGGACAGCAGACCCAGGGGACCCGCTTGCCACGTCGAACCCGCACGCATAGCGACCCAGCCCAGCCCAGCCAGCCCAGCCCGAGCCGCAACACCGCCAGTCCGCAATCTCAGCCTTGGCCTTGCTTAAACTGTGGTCTTGTCCCTCGCCAATTCTCTCGTGTGTCATCCAACATTTCCATCACGATACCTGCGGCGGCATACATTTCGCAGCCTCTCTTCGAGCATTCCAACCCATTCCAATCCCTTAGCGTGCCCCTTTCTGGCCTTGCTCCGGGCCGCTTACTTTGCGACTACACCCCAAAGAGGCACTGGTGTCTCTGGCCGTACCTCGGACCCCACGCGGCAGGCCTACGAGTCACTCCCTACGTCAGTGCCCGGCAAAACCGCCTTGGTTCCTGACTCTGTCCCCCCCAATAATTACGACATATATCCATAACCTGCGCCGCCCACCACGTGCCCGCCTGCCCTACGCCCAATCGCGGCACTCTCGGCGCAATCACAATGCTCACAATGTCGCGACTGCCGTCCGACTCGTTCCTGCCCTCAGGCGGCATGTTTGACCACAACGACCCGTCCGGCTTCTATCGCGGCAACGACGTCTCACCTTTGTCCCTCCCACACGCCCTCCACCACGCTCCGGGCCAGCAGTACTTCGACACTCTTGCACAGCGCATCGCCGCGCACCCGGCGTCGATACCCGTCCCCAACAGTCGCTCCTCCCGTCTGAGCCCCCCCGCCTCAGATCTCGACAAGAGGACACGCAGTCTGTCTCCGTCCAGGCACTCCTCGTCACAGGCCTGGATCGGCTCCCCCTCCATCTCCGCCGTCAGCAACGCCTCGCTTGCGACCTCGCCCGACAACAGCCTTGATGCGTCAGCGTTGGCCCTCCAGCTGCGACGCGTCACCTTGCAGAACCGCAGGCTTCTCGAGAACTGGGAGGCGGAACGTACACACCTAGAGGCGAACCGAGCCCGGGCCGAGGAGGTGTATCGCGAAGAGCGCGAGATCATGGACGAGGAGCGCGACTTGTGGATGCAGCAGAGGACGAACCTCGAACTCAAGATTATCGAGCTGGAGCAGAGAGCCCAACTGGCCGAGACCCAGTGTGATACCTTGGCCCGCCAGCTTGATTTCATGAGCAAGCAAGCTCGCGCCTCATCAAAAGCACAAAGCCCAAGCGGGACTTCTCGCACATCTTCCAAGAACCAGAACCGGAGTGCGTCCACGAGCCCTTCGGCCAGCGGCAGTGCCTCCATAAAGTTCCTCAGCCCTAAAGACGGCATCTCCCCACTGACCGGCAAGCCGTTTGCCGGCACAGGTGTCACTATGCCCGAGTCAAAACCTTTCATTCCGCTGGATCCTCGGATGCAAGGCCCTTCACCAGGCTCCGGATCTCCCAACGAGTGCCCTTCTCAGGTCCCATCGATCGACGTGAGCGAGGTTGTGCCGCAGCTCGAAGGCATCCGTCTCAAGCAGCCCACACTCGAGAAGCCGACCTTCACCATCGTCGAGCCACCGTCGTGCTCTCCGCCCGCAGCCAAGGCCAGCAGTCCCTCTGCTGGATCACCTGCTGGATCACCTGGCAGCAAGGCGCGCACTTCTCCCGTCGAGAGAGCAATTCAGGCTCTACAGGCGCCCGAGGCGAGCAGACTCACCATGCACGCCGGCCACACACCGAATCATTCCATGTCCTTCTCCAAGCTGCCGACCTTGATGTCCACAGCCACAGCCAATACAGCTGGCTCGTCTGGCGCAGTCACACCAAATGAGGGGAATGTCGAGATGGCAGGCTCTGGTCTGGGTAAGCCGGCCGCCGGCGCTTTCGAGATCGTGCCGTCACACGGAGAGGACGCGCAAGCCGTCTCCGAGGACCCTCATGCTATTTTCGAGCCTAGTGAGGGCGATCGGCCCTTGACGGGTACCACGCACCTCATGAACCGGCCGGCTGTCGACGAGCCTTTCCTTCAGCTGCTATCGGAGAAACTGCAAAGCGTCGACCCTACTCCGACGGTCGTCCGCAACACTCTGTCAGAGGAAGCCGAGGCCGAACTCACGCGGCAGACTCCAGCGCCTGCCCCTGCTGCAGATGTCCCAGCTAGCAAGGAAGATGCGACAGACACGCCGGAAGCGCCCGAGCAGATCGAGGAAGACATTCCTCTCAAGTTCAAGACGGGCAGCAACTTTGGCCTTCCTTTCGGCGATCTTGGTTCTTTGGGCAAACACTAGAAGCGCGGACCGCAGTGGCCGATTCACCTGGCTGGTCCCAGTGGAGCCATCGACACGGCTCTGCAAGTCGAGGCCTCCAAAAACGACGGTGTCTGTTCAGACATTCTGTCAAATAATGGCATGGGCTCGCTCAAACTGGTCAGTGCTCAGCAGTCTTCCGGAATGTCTCGGAGCTGTGAAACGCAGGAAGAGCAGATCAACAACCGCTCCGGGGATCCGCTCGCTTGCCCAAGATGCCATCAGCCACCCACAACTCACGACTACGGTATCACGCGCCCAATTGAGAACTGCAGCCCCAGCTGCAAGACTATCGTCATGTTCTCCGGTGCGGATGTGCCTTTGAGACTGGTGCAACGCGACCAATCCCGTTGATATTCACAGCCCTCGTGTCTACCACACTTGTCACGCTTTACAAACCATCAACAATATTTTCTTGTCATTCAAGCCGCAAGCCCCAACATACCCCATTCAGCAGCGTTCATCGTTACACAGCACATAGACCAGCATGACCCCAGACTGGAAAACAGTTGATTCATCATGATACACTATTATGACATGGCCGGCACTTTCTGGCTCCGTTTTTTCTACAGTTTGGCACAACACAATACCCCCTTTTTGTTTTCTTTCCATTTTCTCTCCCCCCTTTTGTCATTGCTCCATGGGAGAACCTGTATATGAAATGCATATAAGATGCAGGGCGAGGCGAGGCGCAGCACGTATTGTGCACATTTCTTATTTTACTGTCTTCCGGACGAACTTGAAGACGAAGCATTCATGTAGAGAGGCATTGCTCGTCAGTATGAGCATGTGATGTGGTATGGCACAACCCTAGGGAGGATACAAGGACCACAACCGTCCCATGTTGAACGGATCCATGGAAAGGAGAGCGAGGATCCAACAACATCTTCATCCAAGGATGACGACAATGAAAAAATTGTACAATGATCCGTCCTGGATTCTATATGCATTAGCACAAGACGAGGCGCGCAAACCAACATGTTTGATGCATAGCACGCAGTGTGTGCCTCTTGGCCTTGCGTGTCAAATCATGTCGTGCGCAGTGTATTGGATTGTCTTGTGAGGATGTAGGAGACATGACCGTTCTGGATGTGGCACTAAACCATGGTAGTCGTGGCACAACCGACTTGCCACCATCCCCCGCAGAAAGCACAACAAGAGAACAGGTATCTCGACAAAAAATCAAGCCAGGGCTATTCGCAGAGCCACCGCGTACGTACAGCTCTGTGAGCCTTTTTACTGGTGGTCTACTGGGGTGCTGGGGCGACAACAATCTCTCTCTCCCCATGAAGAATTCAGACCGTCATTACATTAGGGGTTACTGTACTCAAGGAAGCAATCTCATGGAGCGATCGGGCCAATATATCAAGTCCCATTTGTCATTTCAGCCCTTCCCCAGGCCCAGAGAATGGCTTAGAATTCTCAACGCTCCATATGTACCACTAGCTAATCTTCTTGCCCATGAACCCCGCAAGCTCGTCCAACAGCTCGACCGTCTCGGCTGGGTTGGCGATCCAGGCCGTGGTGCCGACGCTGCGGGCCTTGAAGTCGTTGGCGCCGGCGCTCAGGAACTGGTCGCCCACGTGCAGCGTCTGGTCGCCCTTGATCATGCCCTCGTCCGCGGGGCTCGACCCCCCAAACCACTTCTGGCAAACGCTCACGCCCCACGACTTGTCGCCAATGTCGACAAAGACGTCGCGGCCTCCGTTGAACGCGCAGAAAGGGACAACCCTGTTTACTCCGCCGCCGCCTCCGTTCTTGTTGTTGTTGTTGTTGCTGCTGCCGGGGGCGGGGGCGGACGACGTGTGGTCTGCGCGCACGCTGAGCTCCAGCGTCTTCTGCACCACGAGGACCGTCTCCTCGAGCGACTCACGGGGAATCCTGACCTTGGGGTCGGTTGTGATGATGCCCACCGCGCGGTCCTTGCGCATCAGCGTGGCCGGGAGGTTCATGCTTTTGATGCAGTCGCGCAGCGCGGCCTCGGCAATGTCGAGCAGCCGGTTGATGCTGTCCTCGCTCCAGGCCTGCATCTCCGGGGTGAGCCAGCGCGAGCGGGGCACGGGGCTGAGCAGGAACTCGGAGGTCGGGTCGAACTCGAAGAGGTAGTTTGCCTCGCCGCCCATGATGACAATGTTGTGCCGCTGGGCCGGGGTGAGCGTCTCATCGGTGGCAATGGCGTCCAGCAGGCCGTGCAGGCGCGAGTAGTAGCGCTCCGAGGTGGTGTAGCCCGCAGCCGTGACGATGCCGATTTTGACGTTCTTGCGCATGAGGTCGAGCATGCGCGGGATGACGGGGTTGTCTATCTCGAGGGACTCGCCGTCATCATAAAGTGTGACGTCTCCATCAAACGTGGCGAGCTGGAGGGAGCCGTAGGTGGTGACGGCCATGAGCTGCGCCGTGTTGAGGATCAGGCGGACATCATTGAACGAGGGCGAGACGTAACGCCGCGACGAGATGTACCGCTTGCGGTCCTGCGACTTGAAGGCCGCCTCGAGGGGCAGCCGCGTGAAGAAGCTCCCAATCGTGGGTACGAGCATTTTGAGCTTCGAGGGCAGTGGGTGGACAGCCTGCTCGAGGCGAACTGTGCTTCTGCGTGAGTGGCTTGGTAGGAACGATGGAGAATGGCAAAGCAACATACTGTGGTCGTCGAGCATCGTCTCGACATCGCGCATAATCTCCGCATAGCGCCGGTGCGCCTCCTCTGACATTTCCGTGACGCCCACGTCAAAGACGCCCGTCGGCTGCGAGTACAGCACAAACGGCACGGCGAGAAGGCCCTTGATCCATTCTGTCTCCGTGTCAGCCTGAGTTCTCCGTCCGGATGGCCAACGCCTTGTTGACTACTCTGTATTACGTCTGTCCCCTTAGGCCGGACGGGACGACATCCGTCACTCCCGCGAACGCCCAGCGGGTGGTGGTGATGAGAAAGTGGCCAATTTACCTATGAACTGATCTCTCCGGTGTGTCTTGAGCGCGTCTGCCGCATCGAGTCAGCACTCTGCAAATGGGCGGCATGGGTTGGCAGCAAGCCCGGGTCAGTGTTGGGGCTTCAGACTTACATTCCACGCGATACCTGGTCGTCATTGTGCTGGTTGGGGAGATGCAGGGGTACTCGGGCCCTCGTTGTGGGCAGCGGAATGCCTACGAGTGCTGCTGCTGGGAAGTGCTGGTCACGAGCTCCTTTGAGGGCAATGTGCTTGGATGACGAGAGAGTGACCAAGGTTGTTTGTTGTAAAGGGGAAGGCAGATGAAGACAACGATGATGATGCTGAAGTGTCCAGACCGAGACACGGCAGACATGTACAAGCTCCTTCGAGGCAAGTAAGGCCGAGTCTCTCTCTGGAGTGCGGCGTTGGCCGCGTGACTGGGGCCAGCCAGCCAGCCAGCCGCTGATGTCCGACGGTGGGGAACGAGGGACAGTATGTACTCCGTAGCAGCTAACCTTTCAGATACACCTCCGGCCGCGGGCTGCAGCGCCCACCAATGACTTGTCGGCGCCCTTGCAAAGGCCACGCCTACGAGGCCCGGACGGACGACGAGACTGCAGCGGCCGATGGCTGTATCGTGTGTTTGTCCCGTGGTTCACCGCTGCTCACATGCTGCTGCTGCTGCTCCTTCACCTTGTCCAAGCCTGGCAGCCAATGGCAGGCGTCCACCTCGGCAGCTGCAGCTGCAATCCAGGGGCACCTGCCCCGCGTTGGGGTAGCTGCTCGTGCAACTGCCGCTGCCCAAGGTCAACAACACATCTGCTCCCTCGTTCCAGGTGGCCCATCACCGTCAGCACCATCTGCGAAGCCAGCGACCCTAAACACCCGGCAGTTCCATCAATTCACTCCGAGGCGTCTGGTGCCCCTGGCACCATGCAAAAAGGAGGAACTCTGTTCCTCAGGCCATGTTAGTGAAAGCGCATCCAAAAAAAAATTGGGCGTTGAACATCTGAGATGTCCGCTGTCACTAGCGACGCGAGCAGGATTTGAACCTTGATTGGGTGTTAACACTCTGTTGTACCGAGTGAGATTTGTTGAATCCGGAGGATGACTAACCTGCGCTCCCGAAGGAAATAGATTTCTAGTCTATCGCATTAGACCACTCTGCCATCGCGCCAGAGATTGATGTTATCAGCCAGGCCGTTATGCTCCTATATATATCGTCTCTCGACGCTGCGCCCTTCCGGCACTGTCCTTGCCATGTCCGATCACTTGTTCCAGCACATCCTGGGCCTGATTGAAGTTCCTTCTTTTCCGCATTTTTATGGGAGTGTCACACTATTCTAACTAATTCTTATGATGCATTTCTTAATGGCCTTCTCTTCTGCCCGCATTCTAGGCTGCCATAAATCCTGGGAATGCCCTCCTCCGGGCAGCCCTAACCACCAAGATGCTCCTGGAGATGAGGCTACAACTATTGGAGTCAATCCAACGACAGCAAAAGGAGCGAGATATGTCGTCTGCGTGGGGTATTTATGGGGAACGCTGGGCCGACACAAGCAATACACAACAGTCCTTTCCTACGTTCCAAACGGAGACAATCCAGCACATGCCTGTTCCCTCTCCTTCACCGGGCCCATTAGCTCCCCAAGCTTTTTGACTGCATCTGCAGTTACCTGCTGCTCATTTATGGGCTCCTACCCTGTCAGCCTCTTCGGATTCCATTCAACCCGCCCAAAGCTCGCAGCCATGGACCACCGACACCACCACCCAATAGAGGGCTTCCCTGCCGGACCAACACCGGGAGATGGCGTCATTGCCGCTTCAACTCGCCTTGGAGCGCATCACGGCTTTACCTAGCACCGCCGTTCGCAGCATCACCCTGTTGCGCCTGGGCGGCGAGCTGGGCCGCGACCGTCTCAGCCTGGCCCACAGCGTGCTGGACGACGGCCTGCTCATCGGCAGAAAGGTGACTCGCCAAGCCTTGGTAGAATTGTGGGTTCTCTTGTTGCATTTCTGTCGAACGCGTCAGTGGACTGTTCCTTTGCTCCTCCCAAGTCAAGCGGGACACTTACTCATCAAAACACCACGGAACAGCTGGTAAGGCTCGACCCGGTCCAGAGGCGATTCAAGCAGGACGCTATCCTCACCAAGCTCGTCATCCGAGTCATCGGCTTCTCTGTACGTATTCTCGATCTGGCTGAACTTGGCGGCCTCCTCGTTGAGGAATTCGAGGTAAGCTGTGCTCTCGTCACGGCCCTCGGTGGCCTCATCGCCACCTTCCTCGGCAGCCCAGTTGGCCTCATCGCCATCCCACTCATCCTCGTCCTCGTAGTCGTAGCTGCTTGGGTCGAACGAGAAGTCGTCCTTGAGGGCCTCTTCACGGTTCTTCATGGCGCTGGGAAGCGTCTTGAAGAGCGTTGTGATGCCCTGCAGAAGGCGTGGCCAGCCAGTTGAAACGCTTGCTGGGATCTGATCGGGCGAGAGGTTCAGAAGCGACACAATGGCAACAATGCAGAGCTTCTTGTCGTGGACCCGGCTGAAGCTGTCCATGCTGCCGAACCACAGGCTGAAGAACTTGTTGGTCCACTGCTTACTCTCGAGAACCTGCAGGGCCAGGATGGGATTGTAGTAAATGGCGTTGATGACCATTTCCAGCAGGTGAATTTTGTACGACTTGACCTTGACGTCACTGCCGTTGAGGACCATCATGGCCATGCTGATGAAGCCAGTGACCTGCTGGTCGATGCTACCACGCAAGCTGAGCATCATGGCCTCGGCGAGCTTGCACGCGCAGATTCGGTCAACGCCGCCGACCTTGGGGTCGGAAAACATGTCCTCCACCATTCCGTACAGAGCCTGGACATACTCGGGCTTCTGAGCCAGGGCACCAGCTCCGTACTGGACAAAGTTGTCGAGGGCGGGTAGCATGTCCTCAAGGTAAAGCTCGGCGCCAGACTTGAAGGTGGCGTGAATGAGCTCAAAGGCCTGCCACATCGTTGGCGAGATAGCCTTGGCAGCAAACGTGCAGCTGTCAATGATTTCAAAAACTTCGTTGTATAGGTCTGTTTCTGTGTTAGCGAAATCAGTGGGCGGTGATGAAGAGTGGGATAATAGAAACCAACATACCATAAAGCTTGTTCTGGAGAGTAATTTGAATGACAGGCATCAAGACCGACTCAATGTGGAGCAAAACGTCGGGTGTGCTCTCCAGCGTCAGGATCAAAGTGCCTATTGTTTGCAGGACACCAAGTGCAGTGATGCTCTTGTCGTCAAGGTAGTCACCATAGTCTCCATCGTCACCGGCGCGGGCATCGTTCTTTTCGACGAGCTCACGGACGATGCGGAGGTAAGTGTCGCGCAGCTGCTCACTAAGCGCAACTGCGAAAGGCGTCAACTCAGCAGCGAATACCTCGACAAAGTCCTCCATGACGTTGGCAAGAGCGTCAATGTCGCATTCGTTGGCAAGCTTGAGTAGCTGCTGCATGATGGTCGGAATAGACTGCTGCATGCTGGTACGGATGACGTCGTGACGGATGAGGGGCTGCAGAGCCAGGGCGGCAGTGACCCGGACAGGAAGATCGGTGTCGGCCATGCAGTTGAGAATGTTCTGATAAATGACGAGCAGATTGTTCTGGTCCTTGAAGTTGAGCTGCTCAAACTTCTCGATGGTGTCGCAAGCCCGGGCGCGTAGGTATCCTTGGGGACTCTTGAAATCGGGGAAAACGTAGCGGACCAAGAAGTATTCGACCTGGTCGGCAATAGGGCTCTTTTTGCCGAGCAGAACCGGTGCAAGCGTGCCAATCATGCGCATGGCACCCTCCTTTGCGACATGGTTCTTCTTTCCCTCCTCGGCCTGCTCGTACTCGTTGACGACAGAGTTGACAAAGGTCAGCAGCTCGAAGGTCTGCTTTCTGCGGACCTTGGTCAGAGTCACGAGGAAGTTCGTGGCAGCGACATGTGGCGAAGAGACCTCCTCGTAGAAGTTCAGCTTGCGGTGAAGGTACTCCTCCGGCTCATCCTCGAACTTCTCCAGATCCTCGGCCGAAAGGCACATGACGGGGAAGACCAAATGCGTGACGAGGTTGGTCAGGTGAGGCTTCAGATGTGTCCACATCGACTTGGGTCTGCAACACTCATCCAAGTAGACCAATGTGTACGACAAGCAAGGCTTGCTGAGCCAAGCAGTCTTGCTGACCCATTTCTCAATCTCCTGCAGATAGTGCTTGAGGATTTCTGGTGCGATGGTCGACTCGAACTCTTTCGCAAATCTCGTGACGTCGTCGCCCTTTGATGTGATACTGGCAGGGTTTCCGTGTCTACTTGGGTTAGCGATGAATCGTCCAGAATTCGAGACACGTTTTCAAACGCCAACTAACCTGATCCACAGTCTATTGAGATTGAAGTATGCCCACTTCTTGGCCTTCCACCAGTGGTGTCGCTCACGCTCGTCGAGATCTTCGGACATGGCAGCTGCGGGGATGGCCTTGGAGACGGTGTTCAGGAAGATGGTACACCAGCCGATATTGACATCGTGTTGGCGCAGGAAGCTGGATAGTTCGAGCTGGACAGAGGGAGGCTACAGTCAGCACAAATTCTTGATCATGTTGATCGCTGTACAGCAGCCGTCCCGCATCTTACCCATGTTGCGTGCTTGTATGCCTTGAGGGCAATGTGGAGCATCTCCGCGGCCTCATTGCTCTCCTGGTTGACAAGCTCCTGGCAGATCTGGAGTAGTCGGGGAAAGCTGGCCTCCACGATCTTGTCAAACTCGGCTCGGCCGTTGTCTTGCGATCCCTTGAAGCGGTAGGCCCGGCAGGTGACGAGCAGACACTGGAGACCAGCAAGCACCGAGGAGGGGTCGTTCGCGTGGAGCAGATTCAGGGTAACGTCCATGAAGTTGGGCCACTTTCCGGGGAAATCGAAGTGCAAGATGCGCTGGATCATCTGCAGAATCTGTTGCCGAGCCGGGCCCTGGGAGGCTGCCAGGATGGGCAGAATGCGGTCACGGAACCGTTGCTTCTCATCTTCGGCAATGAGCGTCTCGTCCGGGTAATGGTCACTTTTCGACCAGCCGCGGTTTGTGCGGTTCTTGAGGTAGATGACAGCTACAAGGATCTGGTCAGCGACATGGTGATATCTGAGTGGCCATATCGTTTCGAGGTCGGTGATGGCATGGCGGGGTCAAAGTCGGTGGACAGGACAAGGCGGATATAGTGATCGAGGGGTAGCGTAAACATACTCGAGAGGCGGACATCATCCTGGGGCTCGGCGCCAAGGATCTCGACGAGGACATCGGTGAAGCCGGCGTGACTCTCGGCCTGGAGACAAAGTCGGCGGTTAGCTTACGAACACTGGTCGAGAAGCGCGAGAAAAGATGTGACGATCCTGCTTTGGCATATGATTACGACCGAGGAGCCAACGCAAGACGGCGAGCAACAAGACTCTTCAAAAAGGCCAGCTCGCCAGCCTGACCGCCCACTGGAGAGGATTTGGAACATGGGAAATGCGACGTACCGCCTTGAGTTCGAGCTCGGCAGCTCGTCGCACGTTGGCGTCGGCCGAGAGGGAGCCGACGATGCGACTCCGAATGGCTTCGGCGTTCATGGTGGGCAAGACGTCGTCGGCACGACCAGGGCAGGTGCTGCGGTTTGGCGTTGAGGGCCGGCGATGCGGAGATGGGAGGTGTTTGCTATGCCAGAGAGGGCGTCCGTGTCCAGAGGAGCGGGCAGACGACGGTGGTGGGGGGAGGTTGCTCTCTCGATGGGAAAAAAAGAGGTCCGTCGCCGGGGAGCGGAATCGAGGGCTGGCAGACAGACGGGGAAGGGGGGGTTGTTTCTTGTGCTGGCCCAGGCCAGGCTGTGTCAGCTCTCGCGGGCAGGGCGGCGGCAGTCCCTAAGGTACAGAGAGGGCGGGCGGGCTGGCTGCAGCGGCTGTGGTGACTTGCAACTTAGCGGCAGTTCTGGACTGCCAGCCAGCCATGCCCGGGCAGCTCTCAATCTTCACCACTCACGCTCCTTGACGCTGCTCGGGCTTGTCCAGCAGCCAGACGGTCTTTGCCTTGAGAAGCGGCTCCTCTCTCTCTCAGCCTCTACGTTGGTCGGGGCATTTGCCCGAAACCTGTGGCGGACACTTTCACGGCGGGGGGCCCAAGGGACCTGCACTGCGGTTGCAGCACATCCGCACAGCACATCTACACACGAAATATATATCCCTGCATCGTGCTGCCGTCGCTCGGGTCTGATTTCTCACGCGCGCGCTTCCAAGGCAGTCGACAGCATCAATGATGGCTCTATCTGGGTTTTGCGATTGTGTTTTGACACCTTCCTTGCGGGAGAACCCCCCAGTTGGAGGGGCAAGCGCCTGCCGCCCAGGGGCGGCGACGCTCATCTCATGGTGGGGCATACCTGTCAAAAATTCACTTTGTGCCTTGAGCCGGGTGCTCGGCTGTACTGTATTTGTGTTCTGCAGAAGCCTGGCAAAGCCCATCCATACGACTCGTGTTGCGCACCTCGCCATGGCCAACAACATGGAGGCTCTCCAGCAAAAGACGACATCATGTGATTGCCGGCTGACTGTCAAGCTCGCAGAGACGACCCTTCATCTGCACCTCTGTGCTTGCTTCTTCCTCCAGCTACTATGTCTTGAATCGACGAGGACTCGCCCTGAGCACACTGACTCGGGCAGGCACGTGTCCGTGAGCGAGGCGGGCGTGTCCCTTGATACCCTACCATGCTCTGCCATGCCCTGCCATTGCCCATGCATTTGTTTACTTGTCTCTGGTCTCGCCCCCTACCACATGGTCGACCAGCCCGCTTGCCGTCATCGTGCAGGCCCGAGATGGGCACGGACACTGCGACGGCAGATTGCAGATTGTATATCAATTAGTAGTCCCCTGGCAGGTGAGCAACAGCATAATCCAGGGCTCCCAGAGACACAGGGCGCCACTATGTAGTCACAGTAAAGGCATATCGTGTTCTGAATCCAGCTACAAGGTGGACAAAATCACGAGCGCAACAGCTCACCGGTACGGGACAAACTGCGCACACCCTTGCCGCCGCCCGGACTTTTGATCAGAAGGCGGTGACACTCTCAATCTATCTATGCGACCCCCTCGACCCCTGCCCGGGCCTACCAGACCCCCCCTCCAAAATCTTTCTTGGGCTTGAACCCCTGCCCGGCCTGCCAACCTGCCTGCCTGCCCACCAACCCCGCCAAGCTCGCCTTCAGCTCCGCTCACGAGGGGGCGGCAAGAAAAAACCAAAAAGCACGACAAGACCCACTCTGGTTGGAAACGGGAGTTGACAACTCGCAAGTTGCAAAGGTGGCTCATGGACTGTATCCCCCATGCAGCCCCGAAAGTTAGGGACAGGCACTTGCGAGCGATTCTTCTACTGGGAAGAAAACCCGTGGTGGCATTGTCGTCGGAGGACGAAAACAGGCAAACACATCGCCGCAGGATCATAAATCGCGTATTGACACACACCCAACACGCTGGGGAAACAAGCCCAGAAAGCCTTGGATCTGAACATGACCTAGTTGCCTTGACTTTTCTTTTTAGAGATTTGGCCACCTTGTGCAGGGACCAAAACCCAAATGAAAGCATCGTGGCTCATATCCACATGCCTGCGTCGGCCATTTTCTTCACACAGCCAGGTTGCGTAGCATTCGGTTTGTTCCGCGGAACGTGGTCGCAAGGAACCTACACTTCCCAACCAGGCGGCACGCTTCCAGAACTCGTCGGATTGCAAGGCAAGAAAAGCTTTCGTGTACTTGTTGCCAGCCTCACGTCGAGCAGTTGGCTGAGCTCGGGTCCTGTTTTTCTTGGTAAATGAGCGGGAAACTCAACCAGTCAAAATGAAGTACAAGCCAAAAAGAAACAGCCACAGGATCTTGAAAAATGAGATAAATCGAAACAGAGGGGCTCGATGAGCGTATAGACAAAACTGCACTCGTTGTTGTCATGCCCGGGATACTCAATAAGTGGCAAAGACACGTCAAAGTCGTCAGGTGGAATGAGTGTATACACTATGTATTGACGATCTGTCCATGTTCTGATATAGCGATCGCCATAAGTCCAACAGCATCAGATCCAGCGGGAATGGAAAAACCTCTACTCATGAGTTGAGAATCCTAGACACCCCCCGACCGCATATATATCACAGCATCAAATCAGAACACACACACACAGCACAGGGGGACAGCGAAGCAGTTGGCCATTCCAAAAGTGTCTATTCCATTTCCCGATGATAACTGATATCCCAAATCCATAAACTCCTCACAGACCTCGTCGTGCCCCTTCATGCTCTCTCCCGCAAAGATTGCTCCACGTGCAAATCGTCCTTGCACCTTTGCTTTTCATCACCAACACAGAATGACTGATCGCCCTCCCACAGGCCCTTCTCCTCTTGCCCAACCCAATATACATGCCAAACTGACCCTTTCGTCTTCCATCACTCCCAGAGCCCAGTGAACAAAGGTGCTGCCAAGGAAACAAAACAGACGAAGACGATGACACATCAGACAGGTTGAGAGAATGCATAACACCAAAGGCCCATACATCTGGGTCCTGATGAGCACCCGTACTACACATGGCCCCTCACATTATCTCCAAGGGACTGATCAAGCGTCCATGACTTCTCCATGCCACGCCGACATGATTGTCCCCAAACCCACAAAGCCTCACACGTGGCCCATAGAATTTTTGATAAGGGAAACAAAGTTCAAAGAGCAACCATTCGCGCTCCCAGGAATCAAGCAATAAGCAATGGGCCGGCAATCAGTCCAGGAGCGAGTCCTGTGGTTCTCCTGGAATCCTCTGAAGTCCGTGGAAACTCCAGAACTAGGAAGCATAGCGCCATGGTCGATGACAGACTGGACAAAGCTCAGACCGACAGGCTCCTTGGTCCAGGGGAGGGCGTTTCCCGGATGCTGTAAGGGAACCAAAGCATGATCCAATAGGTCAGGGCAGAGAAGTGTTCAGACTGATGAAATCCCGCCGTATCCAGATGGTCGAGAAGGTATGCCAAATCAAGACGAAGCCAGTGTAATGGTGAACAAAGTCCAATGTAATAGGCCCCGACGAGATGTTGAGCTTTAAAAGGGATCCACAAGAAGGAGACGCCGGGTAAGTTTGGCGAGAGGCGAGAGGATCATCCAGGCAGGGCCAAAGTAACTTGAGAAGATCCTCAATAGTAGTAGTCACCACATGAATCGGTCCCGCGGAATCAGAATGGCTTCTGGCAAGTCGATGATGCCTAAGCACCCGAGTATCTCAAGCCGAAGCCAGCTTCCAAGCACTTGGTCCACAACTCAGCATCTAAAAGGTAGAGTGCTTTTGCAAACACGATTTGATTCAAATGGTCGACGGTAGCCAGGTGCTCAAGTATCGTTTCTCGACCGTAGGCGAGGTCCGTATGGTGGTCCGAGTCAAGAGGTGCGCATTCAATCACTACCAGATTGTGTGCTGGTGCCTCAGCTTACCTCAGTGCTGTGGTTGTGATAACCATGAGATGCTTTCATTTTGTACACAGACGAGGGAGCGTCTGGTTCCTGAGCTCCTTGGCCCGCGGCAGCTGCCTGGGTTTGTGGTTGCAAAGCAGGGGCAGTGCAAACTCCAAATGTAATCCATGGATGATCCTGGTTCTGATGGTCCTGCCACGAGGAGGAGAGGCTGGTTGTAGCCATTAGATGTCCAATCCAGATAATCCAGGAGCACAAAGCTGATGTCCGGAAAGGTCCTGTCCAGGAAGAAGATATGGTAGCGGGGTGTCCAAGGAGGTTCAGAAGCTGTTCAGTTAGAAATCATGACACGAGACGACTTCCACGGAAATGCCGGATAAAAATATTGAAGGAGCAGAAAGAAATCCTTTAGTTGTACCATATATATACAACCCGCAAAGCTCACCTTGCTGTCCGGATCTCGAGCCCTGTCTATTAGTGTATCATCCGAGACACCTCATCGTGACACCATCCGTGGTTGCCAAGGACCCAGAGGAAAGCCAGGAAACGAGAAGAAAATCAAAGAGCCTGCCACCGAGCGGCTGGATCCGGACAGCAAGTTGGCCGGCGATATCATTTAAAGCGGCATTAACGCGTTCCTTTCCATGATTGGCGCGACGACGATGCAGGAAAATGGGGGAATTTTGGGCATCCGAATTGGCAACGATTCGCCAGGAGAAGAAGAAAAAAAAAAGACGAAAAAAAACCAAAAGCAACCGTGGAATCCCATCCACATGCAAGTCGTCAAGAAGGAAATCGAGGCCCATCATAATCGTGCGCCAGTCCATCCCGGCAGGAACTTCGTGAATAAGAAAGTCGTCAAGGGCCGCAACCAGGACTCCGATTGATTATCCAAAAAGGTGAGAGGTAGAATCGCGATCTGGTGTATCAAGCTGTGCAAAAACAATCCGGTGTCCAGAATGCGGGTTCGCGCAAGAATATGGCGGGAGAGTCACTAGGAGTACAGCGAACTCGATTGATTGGGCCGGCCCTCACAACGATGTTCCTAATTCGCCCGACGGGAGCCGTGGCGTTCGGACGTATGCCTTTCGGAACCATGGCGGTGCCTGGCGTCTGCACGCTCGACACTTTCGCGCGAGTCCCGCTCACGGCGGTGGGAGCTGGAGGGGGCTGTGGGAGGGACCTGAGTTGCTGTTGTAGTTGACGTAGGAGTCCGCGATGGGGCTGGAGTACCTTCGTATTGTTGTGTGTCCTGAGGATAGCCACCTCGGCCGTAGAATGGATCATGTGGCTGAGCACCGCCAAAGCTTTGTGGTCCTGAAGAAGATCCCGGCGGCGGATAGTAGCCAGGAGCGCCTCCCGTTGCCTGGTAGCCTTGGGGTTGAGGCGGGCCACTGGTAGCATAACCTGCCCGTGTCACAGGTACTGTCGGCGCGGGGACGCCTCTCGAGTCCCGAGGGTCCCGAGGAGGGTACTGGTCGTAGCCACCCATCTGCGTGTCAACATTCTGGCCGGGCCGAACCATGGAGTTCGCTCCTACATCCTGGTATGGCGGGTACTGTCCTTGCTGGGAGAATTGTCCTTGAGGAACCTGGGGGTGTCCAGAGTACGGCGGCATGTTACCAGGTTGCTGCTGATGAGGCGGGGACTGCGCAGGATAGTTCTGAGGAGCACCGTAGCCGGACTGGCCACCGTAGCTTTGAGGCTGGAACGATCCACTAGAGGCGCCAGTGTAACCCGCAGAGCCAGTTCCAGGATATCTGGGGCCAGAGTTGTCATACTGGTCCCGGGGGTCCTGCTGCTGCGTATAGCCTGCTGCGCTGTCGGAAGGTCCAAAATACTGCCGAGACGAATGCGTCTCTGAGTTTCTGTACTGGACTGCAGGGGAGTTAGATTGTCTGCCAAGCATGCTATTCGCGTCTCTCGAGGCCATAGTACCTCCGGCGGTGCTGCGCTGCGCAGAGTGTTGCCGCCTTTCTTGGTCCCACCGAGCAGAGTCTGCCTTGAGATCCTCAATCATGGCCTGTCGCGAGTAGAGTCAATTATACGCCCACAATATACTACTTCTCGCCGGACCCAGCAAGCCACGGCGAGCCGGAGTGGAGTGCTCACTGTTGTCAGATTTCGGTACGCGTTGATGAAGTAGCCCTGGATGATCTGCCCCGTGGTAGGGTTCTATGGGCAGGCGCGGGGCATTGTCAGTGATCGTGTTCTGTATTTGGCAAGGAGGTGACGCCGCCATGGCGAGGTAGATGACGAGGTTTTCCAAACATACCTCATACGTGCCAGGTCGAACGAGCGCATCGTTTCCGAGATAGCGACAGATGTCGGCGGTGATGACTTCGCGGTCGATGCCATCTCTGGGAACGAAGTACTCGTTCTGGCGGCTGGAGGTTGGCGCAGCGGGGGCCGATGGGCCTGTTCTTCTCGACATGTTTCTTCGACGGGGTGTGGGAGTCTGACGAGAGCGCGAGGGTGGAGGAGACACACACGGAGAAGTGGAGGAGGAGACGGTCGATGCAAAGAGCGGAAGAGGGCGCGGAGCGTCGTCGACCTGGCGATGGGATGGGAGGAAGCGGAGCGATGTAGAGGGACGGAGGGTCGTGCGTCGGGCAGAGCGAAGCGCCGAAGAGAGAAGCAGGTGGTCGGGGGGGAAGAGGCAGCAGGCAGGAGGAGGGAGAGCGAGTGGGTGGGCGCTTGTGCTTGTGCTGGTGTTTGTGGAGAGGGGGTGAGGGCCCGTCGGGCGGGTGGTGGTGGTGGCGGTGGTGTCGGTGCTGCCGCCGCACGAGGACGAGGCAGCCTCCGCCAGGCCCAAGAGGGCGACCGAGCAGTCCCAGCCTGCTGTGTGCCACCCAAGCCGGCCGGGCACCGCTCAGGGTCTGACAGCTGGGCAGCCAGGCTCACTCGACAATGGCCAGGCGCATGCGGGCCTGACCTGTCAGGAGCTGCGCACTGGCTCTCGTGATTGGGTTGGGCACGCCTAGATCGCGTCACCAAGGCGCCCACCGACAGGGGTCCTGCGATGGCCTCGAAACCAATCTCGTCAAAGGTGGCGAGTAGTCTCGGCCAGGTCAAGCTGCGTGTTTTGTGTCGCCCAGCAAAGCCTCGTGCAGTCCGGTCCAACCAGTAATGTCTGATCAGCACGCAAGATTCACGGACAGAGACAATGACCACAGTTCTGCCGAGTCGCGAGCTACTTCAACCAGGCCGAGCTGCAATCCTGACCAAGAGGACGGACGATGAGTTTAGTAGTACCAGGCACACGGGGCGGAATCTTGCCAGGTTGCGGGTTGTCCAGATAGACGGACGGCTGGCCTGCATCCCAGGACGAACATAGGCCAATCAACAGCAGGTCGCCTGGTGCAGCCGGGTGGAGGAGCGTGACAGCAGCCTGCGTGCGTGGTCGTGCCTGGTTGGTTGCCAGGCAGGCTGCTGATGCACCTCGTGCAGCACAGTTGCCGTCCTCAAAGCTCTGCGTATCAGTCACCAGCAGCAAAGAGATTGCCGTCGATGACCAATGGTCCTCCGTACCACCGTCGCTCCAGACAGCAGACGTCAGCGTCCTTAGTCTTGGCGTGGACTTCAAGGTCCTGCTTTGGACGATGCTGGTCTGCACTCTGCAACGTCCCGATGCAGGGCTGTCCCGGTTGGCTTGGGTACCAACGGAGTCAGGAGTGGCTCGAGAAGGCTGGGAGATCGTCGGCTTGACGACATAGGGGGGCAGGGCCCTCTCAGGCTCGCCAGGAATTAACCACGCAAGAGCAACTGCAAAAGACAAAAATGTGCCTCGTTAACTTTGGTCAACAAACAACCTGACCGGATTGCCCGTCCAGTGCGCGCTAACACGTGTTGCTGTACTGAGGACTACCGACTCTCAGTGGTTGACTGAGAAATTTGTAGCTGCCGAGTCGTTTGTTACAAACAGGAATCCGAAGTCCCGGGCTCCGCATCAAGGTCGTGACAAGATTCATCACCTCACGGGCGAAGGATCCGAGCTCTTGAACTGGCCGCGAACGAGTAGCCCCAGTGCTCCGTGCAGAGTTTGTCGCTGACTTAGCCACTGGTTAGATTTTCAGGATCCACCAGTGCTGGAGGTTGGTGTTGTGGATTTGCACACAAGCTTCAAGGGACTAGGGTCAGCCAAGTAACCACGTTGGTTGATCTGAAGTCGAATAGATGTGCAATGAGCCTGCAAATGTTATAGACACAGTTGCAGCCTGTGGCATACCACATAGCTTAACCTCTTGCGGAGATCGCAGCCAGCCTAATATAGTTTTCACAGGCGCTCGATTATTGCCTCAGAAGTAGTCCAATAGGTCAACGGCGGGACGGGGCAGAGTTGCCTTCATCCTGGCGTGAAACATGCAATGCGCACGAGTTGCCCACGTGACAATTGGGAGTTGTGTTGTTCTCTGATTCGCGTGGCCCTGATGTGTCTTGTTTTCATTCGCTCTTGAAATGTGTGCTTTTCTATGTGATATTCCGCCGTCGATAGCTTCAGGAGATAATGCTCCCCGCATGGAGCAATCATCTTTGCGATCACCTCCGAGCTTGAAGGTTCTCGTAGAGCGGCAGCTTGGATCCCGCTGTTCGTTCCCGTTTCGAAAGTCAGACAATATCTGCTGCCACAAGCAAATGTGCTTCTCGAAATGGTGAGAATGCAACGTCTCGTGCATGACTTCACTCAAAAGCAATTTTTGAGACTGTAAGCTCTGCATGCGGAATGCCACTGCAGTCTCTCACCTCAAAGAATATCCTTGCTTCGTGGTGTGAGCGTTCTTGGCAGGATGGTTGGGTACCAATGCGGCGAAGCCTAATTGATGCCGCAGTGGAGGCCCCCAAAAGTCGGTAAGCCAATCAGCCCCATAATTGGGCCAATCCAGATTGGACTTTGACAACTCTGTGTTGCGCAGCTGAACAATTATTGTTTGACAATAGCCCGAACTGCCGCCATGCTCAAGGGGCATCTTCTGAGCAATAACGGATCCGCATGCGTATTGCCAAACTAGAATGCTTGACAAAGACTGCAAGTCTTGAGCTTCTCGGGCCGTGATGACACAACCCAACCTCGAAAGATTGCTGAACACGTCGAGAGCATGCGACGACGATAAAATGCCAAAACCTTATTTGATCCTTCGTCCAAGAATGGGAAAGATCGATGGGATTGTCAGCAGATCGGTCTCCTCCAACGGCGATCTGCCGGGACGGGGGACGGGATGCATGATGATCAAGCTGTTCGTCCTTCAGAGCTGGTCGCTCACAAGCCCGAGTTGAGTTGAGTAAGAGTACTACACAAGCATGTCTCAACCAAACTTCAATCGTTTCTGCCCCTGCTCGAGCTTTCCGGTACTTTTGTTGGACCGCTTCGTAGCCGAGGATGATGCAGCTGCAGTTCCTGGCTTCTGAGATCGTGCCGTTTGCTGAGTGGCTTGGCGTTCCTCTTCCTGCAGGTCTTTGGCAAAGTGCCAGTCCTGGTGACTTTGAAGAGCGATTTCGTCTTCGCACTTGACGTTGCACCGAGGACAGCTTACTGAGGTTTCTTCGGAAATCGGGACATTGATTGGGCGGGCTGCCGAAGTGTCTCCTTGTTCGTCTAGCCACAGCTCCTGGTGAGGATCAGACCCATCGCCTCTCTCACTGGTGTCTATAGGCTCTTCTCCACTCGACGTCTCCTTGCGGAAGAATCGTTGGATGTCCGGGCCATTGGCCCGTTGTCCGGTCTTCGTCATGCGGTCATGTGGTAAAACGCCGGCACCACCTTCGCGAGGACCTCCTGCTACGGCATTGGCTGCACGAGCCTCATCACCTTTGACGAGGAACGCACCTATCCCCATGTTGCCGGTAATGCCATCTTCGAACCCGCCGACACTCAAGCTTAGATTGGCACATGGCCAGACATGGCCTTCGGAGATGATCTGATTCAGGAGGGTCTTAGCAAGATCGAACAGAATAGTCTCGTCGATGGTCTTGCCAAGAGGAATACCGCTGGACCGAGACTTCGTGAGACCTCCATGTCTGTGCTGCAGGTGTATTGTCTTGGGACGCCGTTTGTTCTCCAGCACACCCTCCTCCACCAGGCGCGAGAAGATGTCAGCCACGAATATGCGTAGCCACCTGACGGCCTGGTCTTGGCGATTAATCACTGGGCGGAAGGATTTTGCTGACAGCATGGATTTGATCTGAGTCCTGGGTGTCACCTCGCTTGTGTCGATGCCGCGAATCGTGTTGTATATCCAAATACCAGTGTCTTCGCCCATTTTTGACTTGAGCTGATCCAGAGACACTTGTAGCAAGTCCTTGATGAGTTCCGTCTCGAACCGCACGGCAACCTGGTCGCCAAGCTTGCCACCAAGATTTCGTATCTTCGTAAATTTCATCCCTGACAGGAACTGCTGCACGGCGCGGTTGCGGACCACGGTCTGCTGATTGGGCTTCTTGAAGCCGCTGCCCAACTTGCTCAACATCTTATTGCTCGCAATGCCTGCAGAGCAAGTGTAGCCCAACTTGGCACGGACCTCTGCGCGTATGTCGCGCACCAACTCGGCACCAATAAGGATGGCCACGTCATCCCAGTCCGGATCATCGGCTTCGTCGTCTGCATTGTCCAGATCCACGAGGTTGTCTGCCTGCCAGTCGAGCGCCGTGATGGGAGGGAGCGGCAGCTTCTCGGTGGGGTCATCATACGGCGGCGGGTTCGCGAGCTCTGGGAATCGTTGTAGCATGATTGAATGGATCTGAGCAGACAGGTCCACGAAGACCTCGTCTATTCCTGCCTTTTCGACCTTCTGCTGATTCGCCGGGAGGCAGTCGTGTATCAGCGCGAGAATCTTTCTCGACTCGAGCCTGTACAGATCGAGCGAGACCTTGTGTGTGCCTATGTGCGCAGCCGCATCGTCGTGGTACGCCCATTTCTCGTCACCTTCTTTCCAAGTGGCGACGTGCTGAGCAATGAGACCTGGGCACAGCTTCTTTGCCTCGGTCACGTTGCAATGGCGCCCAATCCCAAACTTGCGGGCGGCATAGTTGACCGCGATCAGTCCTTGCCTGTATCGGACGCGTCAGCATGTATGCAGACATGAGGGCGCTGGTTTATAGTTCCCCCTTACCATTGTTGAACAGCAAGTGGCTGATCATCGGGAAGTCCGAGCCGGACCATCTCACATTGTGCATAGAAGGCATCGAGATCGATGTGAGCAATGACCCGCAGCGGTGAGCTCGTCGAGTATGAGGCAAGCAAGCCCAGTTGACGATATGTAAACTGCGATTTGCGGCGGCCAGTCCCATAGCCTGGCGACGATGCCATGAATTGCGGCGAGGAGCCCATGTCACAGACCTGCTGAAGTGTCAAGGGGAGCAGCACACGGGGCCAACCTGAGCGGCAGCTGCCGCAGAGTCTTTCATGTTCGTAACAAGCCTCTGTAGAGATCAGGCGACAGGGGGCTGACAGATGGCCAGCTCAATTCGTTGATGGCGATCAGGGTTGTCTACTACGTCGCTGCATGGAACACGTCTGGGAACAAACGACGCGACTCGCTGGTCCGCCTGGTGTAAAGTGGTAAAAGTGGGTCCATCGAGGACGTCACTGGAGGCTACCGCAGGCGCGAGTGTTGTAGACCTTTTTTTTTTTTTTTTTTTGGGAGGGAGGGAGGGGACCGTTGAGACTTTTGACACATCAAACTCAAAGCGCTTCTGAGGTATAGGACACTGGACATTACGTATATTTATTTCTAGTCGAGAAGATTTCCTGCTGCGTGTAGTTATAGAGGGAAAGAATATGTTCGTGAACCATATATCGTGCCGCACACCACTGGCCTGGCAGTGCCCGCCTGCCAGGATGGCAAAACAATCAGGAGAAATGGCATCGTCATGTCGTCCGCTGACCACCTGCTTCACGCGACAACAGCTCGCGCATCTCTGATCCGGAGTGTCCCCGTCGTATGGGATTTGATACCCCGTACCGGGCGCAAACGTCATCAAGCACGGGACCAAAGGGATAGAAGCTCTCATGGCTTTCATGGGAAATGCACGGTGACTTGCTGATGGGCAGAAACCAATCCAAGATGTTGCTTCCCATCACCTCCTTCCAGTTCCGCCAGTACCCGAGGTGCCAAGGGTTCTCGCCAGGTTCGGTCTTCAGGATCGCAAAGGTGCGGACTGCGAGCGCATCTCGTGATGTGTGGTCGGTTGATCCAGACCCGTCAGAGAATGTGGCGGGGGTATGTTTGCTGGGTCCATTCGCCTCGCCGTTGAGACCGAGCTCCAAATTAGGTAGCGGGTATGTGACTGTCGGATATGCCAGAGCGCTGGTGGTTGGAGGTCGTGCATCGCGAGGGACAACCACAGCGAGCTGGTAGACTTTGGACGTGGCACCCAGCATATCGACATTGGTCATGTTGAGCAAGACATAGCGCAGTGAAGTTGTTGACATAAGGAATGTGAAAAAGCAGAAGAAGCCGGCAAGAATGATGACGGCAATGACCCGAGGGTCGAGCTCCTCGTTGTTGAGGATCTGATGCCGCAGGACGAAACCCGCGGCTCCAAGCACCACACCGCACAAAGCGCATGTGTAGCAGACGAACTGAACAAAGAATTTGAAGGCTGGTTTCCGGGTCAGCCTGGGGTTCGGGGTTCGGGGTGAGGACATGAAGCCGACTTACAGTTTTGACCGATCATGCCACCTACCCATGGACAAAAGTGATCCATGCGCAGCACGCACCGCTCTATCTCGCTAGAGTGATGGACACGATCCGTCTTCCAGTTGCAGCATTCTGAGCACCATTTTGGCCGGCCGTCGCTCTCGCAGACAAAGACGTCCTTTGTGTAGAACAGCTCGAGGCCTGGACTGTCTGGGTTCCGATCTGGACCAGCGTAATAGGCCCGGCTTTCAAGGCCGCCAGCCTCCTTGGCCGCCTTTGGTTTGCTCTTCTCGATGCGGTTTCGCTCGATGGCGAGGGGGCCTAGAGGCACCAGGCCCGGGTCGAAGCTGATGGTGAGGATGACGCGTGCGTACGAAGCGAGAGTAAGAATCAAGAGGAGGAAGTAGAGAACGAGGATGGCGATGGCGGCGCCTGTGTTGCGGGTTGGTGGTGCGAGAAAGAACGAGACTGCGCGCCGAGGCGAGAGGAGTTAGCCCTGATCCCAACTTTGACTGACCACGGAGGGCGACATGCGCAAGACCTACCGCAAAGAACGGCGACGACGGCGTAAGTGGCATATGAGAAAGCGGCGGCTAAGATGATGGGGATGATGCGGGTGACCCAGCGCGTCGCTGCTCTGGTGCTCTCGACAGGCGGCATGGTCGGCGCATTCTGTGGCAGTCGCTTGAGAGGCAGCTGGAAGAGGCGGATGCAGCAGCGACGACGATGCCGTACGCCTCTTACCGCGGAGGCATGAGGACTGGTGGCTGGCTTTGAAAGAAAGAGCTGCTTGCTGGCTGGTGAGACCAAGATGACGACGCAGATTAGCGCGGGCGGGTGCTCAATGCTGCTGCTGGGACGCTCCGCAACGGCTGCATCGCGCCTTGGCCAGCGGGGGTTCCGTTCCCACTCGTTGCCGTCGAGCCGGTTTGACCAGCGCCCGCTAGCGCACGCGCGATCCCTGTCAGCGGCCTGGAATAGCATGTGCGAGCCTACAAGAGAGATTGCAAGAAACGCCATGGCTGCGTGCCGCAGGAATTGCCCGGCTGTCCATGCCATAATGGTCTGCAGACCCTCGTCTTGAGATCCGTTGATCGCCAAAACAATCTCGCTGCAACCCTTACCCACCGCGTTTCTCTGCGCTTGCGTTGCTCACCCTGAACTGACTGACTGACCAGTTGGGACGAACATGACAGGTCAAGAAACATGATGCCCGAAAGGGCCGTTCCCGTGCCCGAAAGAACGCTGCCGGTCGTGCTCTGGCCCATATTGCAGCAGGCGTGGCTCAGCCACAACGTAATGACTGCTCGTCCTGCGTTGTCGAGTCCTGACGAGGCTGACATCACCCAAGGCAGCCAAGTCAAAACTCGGGCGCAGCCAGATTGCTGCAGTCTGGGACGTTGAATATGATCTGCAGCTGCGAGAATCCTCATGACATTGTGGACAACACACGTCGAGCGAGACCACATCTCTGACCGTCCTGGTGACTACTGTTTCTTCGATTCCCAGCTGCTTCGCCAACAATGGTGTCCTTGAAGGCATCCGCGAAATGTTGGTCCGTGATGCTCAGCCACTCTCCGAGCGGCTTCGGTGAGCCTCGACCGGTCTCTTCACAACCTGGACGCACACCACCCACAACTCCGTCGTCCGTCTTGATAGGTAAAGTAAATGGCGGTCAGGATCAACTTTGCGTCACACACAAGCTCTGGGCCAGGCGGAAAATGCAGTGCTGCGCCCAAGAATTGCGCCCGTTGCGGCAGACTCGGGGCGAGACTGCACCCTGAATCATCACGATTTCGGCCCCCAGGCCGGATGGGCCCCCAGTGATTTACACCGAACTTATCAGTTCCTCTTCAGAGTATTCCTGAAATCGCCGTGGTTCTCGTGGGAATCAAACCATCTATTCGTCCTCGCCCTGTTTTCTTGGTCCGCCTTGTGTTGACTGCCCCCCTGTTCATGATCGTGGCTCCCACAACTTGTCAATGATGTGACAACCTCAGATATTGCGCCGCGGCGCCAGAAGGAGAGCCAAAAAGAATGCTATAAAGTCCTATGGCATCATGATGGCAGACATAAAACCAACATGGCCTCCCGTGCGTGGGCTTCGTTGACGCCAGGCTCGACCAAGACCAGACAGACAGACAGCCACCACCAGCCTCTCACAAACTTGACAGCTATGGGCGATCGCAACGGTCGCTACCAAACGGTAATTTGCTGGTACTGCGTATGTCCTCCATAATCAGATTTTTCTTCAACGTCCTCACAGCTAACCCCCTTTCTGCCAAAAGCATCGCTGCGGCGATGGCGGCTACGGCATGTGGCAACCGCAGTGCGCCACGCCGGATTGTATGCACGAGAGGTGCGGTAACTGCTCGCAGGTTACGCGCAGAGTCAAGAGAGAAAGAGTATGAGCCGGCCCCCTTTGCGCAGCCCCATTTGGACGAGTCACATCTCGGACAGTGGACAGATCCCGACTCAGTGCGCAAGATGGAGTCTAGTAAGAACCGTGTCAAAGTATATAATCGATTGCTGACCATGGAGCAGGATCCCCGATAGACAGCCCCCTTTCGCTCCGGGCATCAACAACCGATACAGTCGAATCCCGAGCGACTATCCGTGGGACCGTCACAGCCCTGCCGAGTCTCTCAGCCTGCGAACATTGATATGGGGTCGTCTGCGGCTCATCCATTGAAACAGGAGCCAAAAGGGACTTCCATAGCCCACGCTCCCGATATTCTCGGGGGAAAGCTCGCCTACCTCTCTCGTGTCCGGCTGGCCGCGAGCGACAAGCCGCTAGATCGTCAAGCAGCCCGTGTTTGACATTGATCTCTCGAGCCCCAACTTCATTTTCCGTACGATCATATAGACAATACCTTCACTCGTTTTTCTTTTCTTTTCTTTCTTTCCTTTTCGCAATAGAGAGACAAGGGGGCAGACACTATATATCTTCCTTCTCAGCCAAGGTGTTCAGAGCACAACAGCCTCGATCAGACTAGATTTCTATTTATTATACCATCTCTTAAGTCATGTAGATAGATAGACACCGCAGCATTCAACCAAGTTGGCAAGAAAGATGATAGAGCATTAGATCAGCTCAGAAGGATCGGGCCTACCTATAGAATAAAACCACAAGGACAATAACACCAAAAAAAAAAACGCAAAACAGTTTCAATTCGAGCTCAATGTATCCCAGAAACTCGAGAATCTTCTATGCTCATGCAACACATGCACTCTCAAAGGCAGAGAACTCAGACTGCAAAGGACTTATCAATAAGGCTCAATATCATTATAATTGCTACAGGGGAAAATGACGAAATGACCTCCAAGTCTCATTCAAGGGAGAAGATGAAAAACGAATACGCCGCGCTATGAAATAACCCAATCGTCGAAGCCCCCGAGAACAAACCTGCCTGCGGACACCACTTCCGAAGGCTCTCTCCATGCCACACAATTGAAGCGCTTGGAGCTTGGCCTCAGGCCACCGGTGGTCCCAATGCTTCCCTCTCTGCCTGTAGTTGCTGCTGTTCCGTGCTTGACCTCGGCGCATTTTCGAGATTTTCTCCGTGAACCGCCTCATCCTCTGCCGCTGGCGTTTCGGTCTGTTCGGGAGCTGGCGGTAGGGGCTTTTCCAACTCTGGAGGCGTAGCAGGGGATACTGGCGATGTATCTGTTGGTGACGCTGTGGTTGGCACCAAATCAAATTCGGGGCCCGGCTCATTACGCCCCTGTGCCGTTGAACTACCACTCTCAGATGGCATCGCCACCGTTGGCTCTAATTGAGCAGCCACGATCGCCGAACTCGGCCTTCGCTCCTGGCGCCCAGCCTGGTCCACGGTGAAGTCATACGAGCTCCACGAGACACGGTGAGGACGAGCACCGCGTGGCAGACTTGATGCTGAGTGGATCGAGCTGACACTCGTAGTCCGGCTGCGAGTCCCTCCACGAAGCTGGCTGTTCCGTATCGCGGGTGGGAAAGCTACTGGCTTGATCTCGTCGACTGGCTCGTCGTCCTCGTCCTCAATCTTGGACAGCCGGCGGACGTGCGAAACGGAGAACGAATGTGTCGTCTTGTGGTGCCGTGACATCGGTGGCGGGAGTGGAAGGTTCATCATATCTATCGGCTGCTCGGGCGTGGCTTCGGGCTGTTTTCCTGTGGCCATCGAGTTCACCATGTATGTGCTCTTTGGCTTTGATCGCCGCTTGTATGACGGCTTTTTCTCGTCCTTGGCGGCCTCGGCCATGTGATCGTAGTACCGGATGCGCAGGTCGTCGAGCTTGTCTGTCACAAAGTATTCCTTGTTGCGATAAAGTGACATCCATGTCGAGATGCAGCCAATAATAATCAGAACCACGACGGCTGTTGTGAGTAGTGCCTGAATGATGATGATTAAGACACCAATGACGGTCGTCACAATGCGATTCAGATCGAAGTCGGGCAAGAAGGCAATCGACATGCCAGTTGTAAGAACCTTTGCCAAGCCAAGGAGCCAGACGGCCAGAGCTGTGTTCCGCTGTCCTTCGTACGGGTTCAGGGCGCATACAATCACAAATGCCAGGACCTCGACCAGGAAAAGGCCAAAAACCTGAGCAAGTGGATTCGCCGCGGCGCCGCCGAGAAAACATGCCCGCACCAGCTGATATGCGGCCCAGCAAGCGAAGAACCACCATCTCGAAATGCGGTAGCGCGCTGAAAGCCAGCCATGCCGCATGATATAGGGCTCATCTTGGTGGGCATTCCGTCGCGACGGGTTTTCGTCGATGAAGTGAAGGCGGAGAAAAGGCAGTGAGCCACGGGGTTTTGTCGCAAACTCGGACTCCTTCAATTGACTCAACCGGACTGGAGCAATAAACGGGATGACCCTGAAAAGCCGCGCCGGGCGTAGCAAAATTCGATCAGTCGCCAAAGCAAACTTGCCATTTTGGAAACGCGCGTGAAGAGCATGCCACACAAGGAAACAAGTGCCTGCAAGGAAGATGACGAAGACAACGGCGGCGACTGCCACCGCAGATGCTCCATCGCCGGTTGCGAACTCGTACAAGGCCAGAGTGCTGATCGGGAAGACTGCCATCAGGCTCGCGCGAAGAATAGCAATAGCCAGGTAGCGCAGCCAACCCGTTCGGTAGAATTGCAGCCGGTCTTGCTTGAGCCACTTGAGCGCTACCATCCCTTCCAGGGCGGCTTTGAAGACGACGGAGCAAAAGAGGACAAGTGCGATGGCAACGAGTGTCCAGATTAACGCCACAACAAAAGCGCTTTGTGCAGGCAGAGACAGCGGCGAGAGGGTCTCTGGGAAGCCCCAGGAGTCTCCTGGAAGTGGCAGACCTGGGCGTACCGGTGCCCCATTCCAGGCATCGTTGTACGACCCAACGGGGCCGATGGACTGCCGTGTTGCTAGAGACCAGGCATCCATATTTCTCCTCGGAAAAGTCGCGCCACCAGTTTTGACCATTCCCATCCATGATGCTCGGCCGTAAATGAGTTGCGTCAAGCCACCATTGTTGTTGAGAACGGTAGATCCTGCTCCGCCCACCTGACTGGCGTTGCCGCTAACCCCAGCAAACGAGTTCACGCTGCTGACGATCTCAGGCGACGGAATCAAACCTGAGGCCCAGGCAAAATTGCTCCACCAAGCCGGCAGAATCGTGGGCCACCGCAAGGACAGAGCACCGGTCAAGAATATTGACTGGAACGTCTCGAAGATGACCAGGACGGACAGAGAGTGGGCATAGTGAGTACGCATGTGCACTATGCTCACGCCATAAGCCGCTGTCGCAAAAGACGCGATGATGGCAACGATGGTGAACACGGCGAGCGTGGATCCAACCGCAGCGGGTTGGGAGAAAGTCTTGCCGTTCTTCAGGCTGGCCTGGAAACACGCGATCTCGGTCTTGGACGAGTTGGCAAAGATCTGGACCCGTGCCAGGCCTTCCACGTCCGGCATGCTGAATGTCATCGGCGGAAAAGCTGAAACCTGGTCCGCTGTGACGGGAAAGACACCTGCCGCCCCGATGGTCTGGCTCGCCCGCATCGGGCAGAGGCTGGTCATGCCATTCTGGCAGGGGTCGATGATCTTGCTGAACCTGCTCTCTCCATACGTGTCCAGCGAGAAGTGCAACATGACCTCCTCGCTGCGGATGTTGGTCCTGCCGTCCAGATGCAAGAGGATCGTGGCATTGTCCCAGTACAACGCGGCATCGAAATTTGTGATGTTGAGCAAGCTCTCCCCGCCGAGGCAGTCGCCAAAGTCGCCAGTGTACAGTGTCGGCGTCCTGTCTGGTGCCAGCTGGTCGTTTGCATAGCCATCAACGCTCGTGCCGTTGACGTAGTCGATCGTTTGCGCCGAGATATAGGGAAGCAGGCCTGCACCGCCTATGGCGGCCAGCGTCGAGGCCGTCCACGGTATCGTGCGTCGCATTGTTACCGTGTTGCTTGTCGATCCATGAGGGCTGCGGATGTGACGGAGAGCGATTTGACGGGATGGCCTGAGGAGCCGACCGCGGGTTCTGCGTGTATAGCTCTATTTTCCGGATGATTGTCACTCAGGGGTCGTGAACGTCGCCTTAGCTTGCGGGAGCTGCACCGTGGCGGAGATCCGTGGCGCTAAGAAGGTTCGATTGTCGCCGCGTTGGTGAGATGTGGCTTTTGGGGTGGTTGCTCACGCCGGTCGTCGCAGGCGCATATCGTCGAGGGTGCTGGCGACTGCGGATGATGCCGTTGGCGAACACAAGCCGAGCTGGCTGGCGCAGTTGCGGTCTTTGACGGGGAAACGGGCGCGACGACGTGGGTGGTGGAGAGTACAGCAGCGAGCCGAGATAAGGTGGTTGACGTGAATGGCGCATCTGCCGGATGCGACTAGGAGCGGAGTGGGGATGGGCTGGTGCTGTGCCCTGTCTGTCTCGTGCTATCCGTCGGGGGTCATGGGTCAACCGCCGACAATGATTCGACGAATTCCAGCTGTGCCACTCACTGCTGGACAACCCGGTACGTGCCGGGGGAAACAATCGTGCTGCTGCGGCGCGCAATGGCTCGCAGATGGCAAGATAGGGAGGGAGGAGCAGGAGAATGAGTGCAGTCGGTACCTAGGCGGGATGCAATGCTTGCTCGTGGCTCAGGACGGTCGAACTCCTGCACTGTGGATGACTCGCCAACTAGGTACTTTCCGCCCTTGTGCCACGGGCAGTCTCGTCAAGGTACTGCCTCTGGCTGGCTGCCGCATCTACAACCCTGGAGTGGTCAGGCTGACGATGGAGGTCGATGGGGCGTGTGGCTGGCAGTCGTGCCAACCAGGGCCGGATGCAGTGTCCAATAATCCTCCATCCCTAGCACACATCCTTCTGGGCAGGTACCATGTGCCCAATCGGTCTGCTCGAATGCAGCCTCGAATTGCACGACAATGGGCTACACGGCGGGCCGAAGCGAGGATTGTGCTCACGTTCGCGAACGGCTTGCCAAAACAGGGCGGATGTGGCTGGACTACGAACGTACGCACCGCACTTAAGGGGCGGCGCATTCCAGCCAGGCTGTCAACGCTTCCGAAGCGTTGTTCCTGCGTTCCCGCCTGGCCCACGTAATCCTGCGGCCCTTGCCAGCGCCATTGCGAGACGTCACCTCAAGCGCCTGGCCGTGGCTGTCGTGCCCCGCCTGCATCGAGTGTCTGAAGAGAGCGTCTGGTGACTAAGTCATTCACAGCGTGGCCGCCGCCATGCAACAGTCGGTCCTCACGAGACCACACCACCCATGGTATATTCTGCTCGTGCATTACAGCCACGGCCGAGGACTTCTACCGGAGCTGATTCTGGCTTCGGCTGTTACACGCACTGATGTAGCTCAATTCTGCCCACGGTATGAGCGTAGTTTGGCACCGCGTGCCTCCCAATGGCTGACAAATCACCTCAAACCTGAGCTTCACCATGAGGCGCGCCAGTCATCAAAATCGCATCCTTTCGCAACATCAGACGCTCCTGCCGTGATGAGGCTCACGTCCTTCATTGTGTGCCACCAGCCGATGGTCTTTCTTGAGGGAGGCATCTATGGCTGTGTACTGCAAAGTCTACTTGACCCTACTTACCTTAAGGTACTTACGGGGTAAAATGGCTTGGTCGGCGACCGAGTCATTAGGGTAGTGATATCGCATTGTGTGCGATGCTTGTGGCGATGAAACAACGCACAGCTCAGCTTCGCGACTCTTGGACAACGCCCTAAATGTCACAGAATATTTTCGTAGCTGCAATCACGATGCGGCAAGTTTCATAGAAAGCGGCTCCACTTCGTTGTCCACACACTTGTGGGCAGCGACTCGCGCGATCGCTGCCATGCGGAGCGAGCTGCAGCAAGGTTGTGAAAAACTTCTCTAGCGTGCGGCAGATGGAAGAAGGTAGTGCGTGTCCTGCCACGGCCCAGAAAGAGGGAGAAAAAAAAAAGCTTGTCGATAAATGAGGCAACTTCAAGGTCGTGCTGCAATGGCCGTCCGGATCTCGGGACCGTCCGGCGGCTCGCAATGCGGATGTCCGCTGACGCAATGCGGAGGCCCGCGTGGGAAACACCTGCCGGTGCCGGGACCAGGCTGCTAGCCGGCCCAAAGGCGAGACCTTGCGCGGCCCGGTATCATTGAATGGTATTCGATTTTCGACTGTTGCTGTTGATCATGGGTGACAAGAGGCCCGCAAACGACATGAGGCCGAGGCCCTCGCAATTTCTCCTCATGCGAAGGTTGTGCTCAAGTTTCGTTGTTCTTGTGCCGAGTTGTGCCAGATCCTGCTTGAAGAACGGTGGTCCACAGAAGCCAGCACGGCTGATCGTCGCATTACATGGTCATTTTAGGTATCTATCGAGCCAAATGCAGGTGCCGGGCGCAAAGGCGAATGTTTGGGGGCTGAAAGTCTATGTTGAGCCCCGGAAGCCACAGGGGCGGGTGTCAGTTCGGCCACGGCGTTCTGCAGGGCTCGTGATAGTAAGACAATGTCAGCGCATGAGACAAGCTTGACATATTCAACATATTGACGTGATTTCGTTGTCTCGTGCGACGATAGTAAGTCAATAGCAGCGGCCGACAGCTCGGCAGGACAGGAGAATAGACTGTGGTGACAAGCACTGCGAGCACTGCGATAGACGGCTGGTGGACTTTCTTGCTTGACGTTAATGAGAAAACACCTGGCCATGGCGTGAGGTCAAAGATCTTTCACAAAGCGAGCGAAGATGTTGCACGAGCTCGCAACCTTTGATGTGCCCTGAATCCGGCCTCGTCTCATGAACCTCCCGTGAGCCTATGCTATGCTATTGCGCCGTTGGACTGGGATGTTGGCGATCTCCTTCACTGATCCACAACCAAGAATAGCGACCCATGAGCACGGCCCAGACTCTGCCACCGATGTCGAATTCCCCATGTCCTGATCCACTAGGCGTGCGCGTCACTCGTGACAGAATCCTCATTATGCGACTTTTAGGCTTTGTGCATGGTTTCAAGAGCGAAAGGTACTTGACAGGCTGGATGTTCACTGGAGGACGCCTATCCAGGTGACAGAGGAAATGAAGCCTCAGGTGCAAGCCAGCAGGGGGAGGGCTCCATGACGACAAGCGCTAAACCAGGGGGGCGGAAGTCGGAAGATTGCACCCTTGCGCACTCAACGGTGAGAAGTTGCTGACGGCAAGCTCGCTGGCGGAGTAAGTCGTCCCTAAGCCAAGGGCGGTGCGGGACCTGACAGCGCATTTTCGAATAAGCGCATGGAGCCACGGCGTTCTAAAAGTATTTAGCTTGAGCACGCCATCGGGGGATGAGGGCAGACAGACAGGCAGCTTTGAGCCGTCTGGGATGCTCGCATGCGCTGTCTGTCTCACACCCCACCGCAAGCCGTTCTTGCATCATCAGGAACCTGGAGTATGAGGCCTTGAGGGCACACAGGGAAACCCCCTTTCCAGGACTGTCTGTGCCAAGTGAAGACATCGCGTCATTAGCATAGGAAATAGGACACACCGTACGTCTCGCTTGCTGTGTCCGACACGCCAGGGGTCCTGAAGGTTTGCGGTGAACGAGTGATTGGCGGCCGCCAAGAAGATGGCTGATCAGCTACCTGGACTGCACGGCAACGGCTGTCAAGGACTCCAGGGTGGTGGTGGTCTATGGGTATTACTACAGGAGTGAGGAGGGCGACGGCCGTGTACCCGTACCTTGCGTGCTGCAGGTGGGTACGCTTTTTCAGCCAGGTTGCGTCAGGGAGCGGGCTCAAGCTTGTGCCGATGGTCGCACCTGCCCCGCCGCTTCCGTGTATGGCCGCCGCCGCCGCCGCAGCAGGAGGACGGACAATTCCTGGTTCTTGGCCTCGCATCCCGCCGACTCGTAGGCTGGGTGTTAAATAAAGTGGCCTGCGCAAGTAGCCTGTTGCCGCTCGTTTCCTCCCTCCTCCCCATTCTCTTTCTCGTTGTGATTCATCGCCCTCCGCGCTTGGCTTCCTGGCTTGAAGACCCTGTTACGACCATAGACCGACAAACTCTTTTGATACCCATCCGTCTTCCCAAACCCAGAATCCCGTCCGACGACGAATCCAACAAACCCTTTCATACACAATGGCCAACTCTCCCCACGGAGGTATCCTCAAGGACCTCATCGCTCGCGATGCTCCTCGCCACGCCGAGCTTGCCGCCGAGGCCGAGACTCTCCCTGCGGTTGTCCTGACCGACCGCCAACTTTGCGACCTCGAGCTCATCCTCAACGGCGGCTTCTCTCCTCTTGAGGGTAAGCACCATGTCCAACCTCCGCAAGTCCCTGCAAGCAGTCCAATTGCATACCGCCAATCTTGGCGAGACAAGATTGAGATTGTCGTTGGCCTTGTACAGGCAGTTTCCGGCTTTGAACCGGCTTACGTGTGAACGGGAAGCTAATCACGTCCTACGTTATAGGTTTCATGAACCAGAAGGACTACGATGGGTACGCCTCCGATATCGACCGCGCAAGGTCTCAATAAAGCGAACACGTACTGATAATTGGACTAGAGTTGTTAAGGAGAACCGCCTGGCCGACGGTGCCCTCTTCTCCATGCCCATCACCCTCGACGTCACCCAGGATGTCATCAATGAGTCTGGCCTCAAGCCTGGTCTTCGTGTCGCCCTCCGCGATCCCCGCGACGACAAGAACCTTGCTATCCTGACAATTGACGACATCTACAAGCCCAACAAGTAAGCAGCAGCGGGAACGCTAGACACGGCTGCCTGAATGGCCGTTCTGGGGACAAAGTACTGATTCTCACTTGCGATAGGGAGCTCGAGGCCACCGAGGTCTTTGGTGGTGTTGACGAGACTCACCCGGCCGTCAAGTACCTCTTCAAGACTGCTGGCGACTTCTACGTTGGCGGCAAGCTCGAGGCTATCAACCGCCTGGAGCACTATGACTTCCTCGACCTTCGCTGTGAGTTTCAAGATTACACAACGGGGTGTAGACCATACGAGCTGGCATTCTAACAGAAATTCCTCACAGACACCCCTGCTGAGATGCGCCTGCACTTCGACAAGCTCGGCTGGAGCAAGGTCGTCGCCTTCCAGACCCGTAACCCCATGCACCGCGCTCACCGTGAGCTGACCGTCCGGGCCGCCCGCTCGCACCACGCCAACGTCCTGATCCACCCCGTCGTCGGTTTGACCAAGCCCGGCGACATCGATCACTTCACTCGTGTCCGTGTCTACAAGGCGCTGCTGCCCAGATACCCCAACGGCATGGCTGTCCTTGGCCTTCTGCCCCTGGCTATGCGCATGGGTGGTCCTCGTGAGGCCATCTGGCACGCAATCATTCGCAAGAACTATGGTGCCACACACTTCATCGTCGGCCGTGACCACGCTGGTCCCGGCAAGAACAGCCAGGGCGTTGACTGGTATGGCCCGTACGACGCCCAGTACGCCGTCGAGAAGTACCGCGACGAGCTCGGTATCGAGGTCGTTCCCTTCCAGATGATGACTTACCTTCCCGACAAGGACGAGTATGCGCCGGTTGACGAGATCCCCAAGGATGCTCGCACCCTCAACATCTCTGGCACTGAGCTTCGCTCCCGCCTCCGTACTGGCCGCGACATCCCGGAGTGGTTCTCGTATCCTGAAGTTGTCAAGGTCCTGCGCGAGTCGCACCCTCCCCGTGCTGCCCAGGGCTTCACCATCTTCCTGACAGGCTACCAGAACTCTGGAAAGGATCAGATCGCCAAGGCTCTCCAGGTCACCCTCAACCAGCAGGGTGGTCGCTCTGTCTCGCTCCTTCTTGGCGAGACTGTCCGCACAGGCATCTCGTCAGAGCTCGGCTTCAGCAAGGAGGACCGTAGCAAGAACATCCAGCGCATCGCCTTTGTTTCTGGCGAGCTTACCCGCTCCGGCGCTGCCGTCATTGCCGCGCCGATTGCGCCTTACGAGGCTGACCGCCTGAGTGCCCGCGAGACTGTCGAGAAGTTTGGCGACTTCTACCTCGTTCACGTCGCCACCCCCCTCGAGTACTGCGAGAAGACCGACAAGCGCGGCATCTACGCCAAGGCTCGCGCTGGCGAGATCAAGGGCTTCACCGGTGTCGATGCCCCGTACGAGACGCCCGCCAAGCCCGACATCACTGTCGACTGCTCCAAGCAATCTGTCCGCTCTATTGTTCACCAGATTGTCCTGACTCTGGAGAGCCGTGGTCTTCTTGACCGCTTGTAAATGTTTGGGCACCGATACAGATTGTTTGGGTTCTAGCTTTCCACGGCAGAAGCGGCGATCCTGGGTTTTCATTTGCACATTGGTTTGATCATGGACGATCACGGCGCTTTCATTGGGGGTAACTTAGCGTTTTCTGCAGACCTACAGAAATAGGTCGGCATGGTTTGTGATAGACATTCCACTGGAGCCAGATTTTGGAAAGATCTAGACATGTTTGTTAGTTCTTGGAATCGACAAAGAAAGAGTCTTTGCCGCGTTTACATGTTTCTTTAAGTTCCATACAAGTGCACCGGCGTTTCGCATCTAAGAAAGTTGTTGCGTGCATGGTCTCACTCGCTTGTTGCTACGCGCGCGCCTACTATTGGATGGGTCTCCTTTCGAGACTCTTTAGATTGTGCAAGCTCGGAGAAACGGCCAAACACGAACAGTAAAAGACCATGCCTCATGGCTTCCCGCGGCCGCATGCACGGAGCGAAATCTTGGGGACTGTTTGCGACGTTGACGAGCCTGTAAGTTCCAGGTGCGCTTGTGCGGGCAGCGCTGTAGTTTCGGAGAAGTACGGTCATGTTTCTCACAGCACCAGAGGGTTCCGTGGGAGGAGGAGGCGGGCTACTTTTCCTACTCAGCGTGCATTCCGTCCAATCTTCGACAGACCACAAACCGACGAGGAGAAAAGGCGCGCGTGGATGCCGGTGATCAATTTGACGTACACGAGGTATCTATGAAACTTTGAGGTGCTTTGAGGGAAAGATTACTACGGCAGGCTAGAACAAATACTCCTGCCGTTGATCGTCGGCTCCACTTTGCGCCTCGATCGGGGGGCCTGCGTCTCAGCACAATGAGTGAAGAGAATGTTGTGCTCAGCAACATGTGACGTAGGGCGCCTGTGCCGTAGAGGAGACCAATCGGCAGGGACAGACTACCTACATGCATCACCCCGAACCATAAATCACACACATGCCCCGAGTAGACTGAGAACCACGTGATAATCAGCACGGCAATTGTGGGCGCGACACGGGAACGATTCCAGAAGCCTGGCCTGGCCCGGGTCATTTGACAGGCCGGGGCGTGCTAGCCGCCGTGCTTCGCTCCCGTTGCCAACTTTAGCACAACAATAGCCCGCCCGTGGTCCCCTTGGGCGGGGTGGAAGGGCAGGAAACAGCGGTGCAAAAGTTCAAGAAATGGGTTCACAGGGAGACAGACAGGGGCTAAGCATGACGGGCAGCAATCCCGTGGGAGGGCATGACCAGTCGTTCGACTGCTGCCCAAGCAAGCGCCCACGCCAGGCGGCCCTGGGACCTCGCGAGGCTTGGCTCTGGAGCTTTGTGTGTGCGTGTGCGCTGGCAGGGCAGCGGGAGCGCGTGAGGCGCAGAGAAGGCAAGAAAGCGAGGAGGGGCAGGCCGCTGCCCTCAGGCCAGTCATTGTGCGAGCTTGCCGCCACCGCCAGAACGGCTGCCTGACCCTGGCAGCGCGCGATGCAATCAATCCATGCCAGTTCCCCACTCCCGCACACCCACACAGCACAGGCAGGCTCACAGCCGATGCCTAGACGCTCTCTAGTGCCAGCCCTCTCACAAGCTGCCAACTGCTTCTCGTGCTGCTGTCTCTTGTGAAACAATCCGGTTGGTTCTTCCCTTTCCTCCTGTGAAAACACGACAATCACCGCCTCTCCTCCGCCACGACCTTTCCACCAACACCATCCACAGGACGGGCCCGCACACATAGCCGGCGTCCTTCCCGCGAACGGCCTGCGTCTGTCTCGCTGCACCTACGACTGCAGAACACGAAGCTCAACCACTCGTCTGCGAGCACATCCCCACCATCGGGCCCTGTTGGGCTTCTGACAGGTCCACTGCGCACAACTGGCCACCTCGCGCTGGCTGGCTTCCCAACAGCCAAACCCACCTCGCCATGGGCAGCTCAGTCAAGGATCGAGATGGCGAGTCCATCTCGGCATCTGCCATCTCGGCCTCGGTGGCCGACGACCCTCATCGGGAGCGCAAGTCCCGCACCAGCAAGAGCGGTGACAAGCCAAGAGACAAGGAGCGGCACCGTGAGCGGTCAGACAAGGACAAGGACGGCGACGACAAGGACCGCAGCCACCGCCACAAGTCAGACCGGCCGCGCAAGCACAAGTCTCGGCGAGACCCTACCGAGGACGGCGAGGACGGCGTTTCGCAGACGTCCTCACATCGCCGTCACCGGACAAAGGAAGAGAAACAGAGAGAGCGGGAACGCAAGACGGCGAGCATGAGCGACCTCACGCCAGAGTCGCTGCTGGGAGGCAGCAGGATCAGCCTGCCATACCCGAGCTTCAGCAAGGCTCACAGCAAGGAGAATGTGGGATCTGTGACTGACCTCTCGGCGGCGACCCAACGCACCAAGCCTCTCACACCCGATGCCACCGCGACGGATCTTGGCGACAGGAAACGGTCAAAGTCGGCAGACACCACCACGACAACGCCAGATGAGAAGAGGTCGTCGCGGAACAGCAGACCGCCTAGCCCACCCGAGACGGATCTGTCCAATGACAAGAGGTTCAGCAAGGCGTCGACACTGAGCCCCAAGGGTGAGCCGGGCTCAGACTCGCTGGATAGGCCAAGGTCCAGGACGTCTGACCTGTCGCGGTCGGCATCCAAGCGAGACGATAGGTCGAAGCTGTCTTCCAAGTCACGAGCATCCAGTCAAGCTACTTACGTACGATCATCAGCGGATCATCCTCCGCCTCCTCCACCGCCATTCGGCGTCACCATTGTAGACGATGAAGATTCCACTCTCAGTGATGATAGAACTGCTGGCGCGCGGTCCGCTGCGACGTCAGTCCTGCCGAAACGAAATTCGTCCTCTCGTAAGTCCTCTCGGCTTGCCAATTATGTCGAGGTCGTGGACGATTCTCCAGACTCCGTCCAAGACTCGTCCCCAAGAACTCCCACTGTCCACCCGGCCTTCCCACCGCCGCCTCCGCCGCCGTTCATGGGTGGCAAGCCCAGCGCGACCCCCGAGGTATACTACGAAGACGAACATGACCGGCCTACTCCAACAGCGACGCCGATGACAGACTTCGGGCCGCCTCCCCCGCCGCCACCGCCACCTCCGCTAACCATCCAGGAGATCCCGCGTGTGGACTATCTCCTGCAACATGGCGGTCTGACCCACCCTGTCTCCAAGAACTTCCTCGCCGCCATTCCTCGGCAGAATGGCACAAGACCTTCAAATCCGCCGCTTGTTGGGGCGGACACGCTCTTTGCGCCGCTTTACAACATGCTCGACCAGTACCAGGCTGTTCTCAACAAGCAGGGCTCTGTGGCAGTCGCGACTGGTCACAAGTCGGTCGCCCGACGACTGCTCGACCGCCTGGAAGACGTCTTTTCTAGAGACCTTCCTGCGGACGGATGTTCGTGCATCATGTGCGAGAAATACCCCGATGAGCATCGCGGGCTGGGATGGGGCGAGGTGTTGGAAAGAGTTGGCGGACGGGTTGAGCTTCCCTCTTGGCCTCCATTCGACTTGGCTTCCATGACGGCGAACGCTATCGAGGACTCAGCAGCTATACCTCCCCGTCCATCATCACCCATCAAGCTTGATCCCGATATCGCCGAGGAATTCCGCGATCATTATCTTCGGCAATCAAGAAAGGTCAAATCCGCTGTCGACAAGTGGATGAACAACTGCGCTGATGCACCGGCCCCTGCACCCTCAGAGGTTGACGACGAGACCTTGTCCTTTGCCATTCTAACAAGCTTGACCCAGGAGGAGAAGCCATACTTTTTGGCCTTGATCTCTGGCGCTCGCGAGCTCCAGCCTTCGGTCCGAGCACCAACACCTATGCGCAAGCCACGGACGGATTTCATGGTCAAGACTGGATTGTCCCTCCAGAGACTATACAGACTTCCGCAACCACCACGTGACGCCGAGACTGCAGTGTACCTGGTCCGCAACCCGACGCACCACGACCTACTCTCCACCATGACTGATATCAGCCCCCAAGAGTGGGAGATTTTGATTTCTGGCCGTTTTGATGGGTTCCTGTGGTCTGGTGCTGACGCCGACGAACTCTTGACCCCGACCGCCGAAAATCCCTCAAGAGGCACGACGCCAGCCAACGGCTTCTTCTCACCACCACCTTCGCGCGGGCCCATGACTCCTGGCAGAGGCATGCGTGGCACCCCAGGCTTTGGCGCCTCACGCAACACCACACCGTTCTCTGGCATGTATTCTAGGGGGACGACGCCTGCCTCCTTCGTGTCTCTCTCATCATCAGTCGGTCCCGGTCAGAGCCGGCATGCCGTATCACACGATGAAGAAATGGAGATGGCTGTTCTCGCCGAAGTCGAGCGAGAGATTTACCAGGGCATGGAAGCGCTCGAGGACGCCTTTGAGAGACTGCACCACCGTGCCGAGATTGTCCGCAATGCGCTTCGCACACGAAACACTGGGTTGCTCACAAGCCAGCAGCACCGACGCGCAGGTCGCATCGATGTCCTGCCCCAACTCAGCGGCGATAGCTACTCGAGCGACTACCAGCGACCGCCCTGGGCCTTGGGTGATGAAGATGGCATAACGAGCGAGAGTGATTGGGGTGGCGACGACTTTGATCTTAAGCCGGAAGATTCGGCCAGCAACATTTCGAGCAACCGCCACCGTCGTCCGAAGAGACGTACTGAGCGGAGAACTCCGGCGCCAATTGAGGAGGATGACGAGGAGAACTAAAATTCCGGTGCATGGACCAGAGACGGAGGTCTGCGCACCCACTACTGCATTGAACGGTGTTGTTGAATTTATGGAACCAATCTGGCATCAGATCGGACTGTACCCAGAACCTGCGACAAGCGATATCTGGAAAGATAACAGTTGCCAACGAACAAAAGGAAAACATCTTTAGCTTGCATCTATCACTAGCATGTCACCGGACGATCGAAGGGGTGTCGATGAATGACGAATGAATGAATTGAATGATTGCGAGAACAAGTGTGTCCCAGCTGATGACCTTGCCGCCCCCTTGTGAACATTCCCAGCCTTGGATCAAGATGCCCGGCATCGATAAGGTGGTGCCAGGCTCCTACAGGTCGAGTCAGATATGTTGCAAATCTCTCTCGTCGCGATTACCCGTGCGGCCCTCTCTCTGGCTTTTCCTTTGGGACGGAGGATATTGGCTCGACTCGAAATGACCACTCCGGGAAGGAAAAACACTTTTGCTCTAGGTCATGATGTGCCATGATGCAGCGATTTGGTCCTGTGGCTTCCTGCTGACCACTCCTACCTCGAGACACACACACACCAACTCATGTCGACCCTGAACCGGATTCGCCTTTCAAACTTGTTGGATTACTTGCGGAAAGCGTGGAGCAATGATCACCACCACCGACGAACCTGTAACAGACAGACATGCAAAAAGATTGGAAAAAAGGAGAGTGCAAATCAAGGAAAAGATACCAAAAGATGTAGAACCTCCCGTCTCGACCCCTCAACACTCCTTACCTCCTCCTGCCTTCCCGTATGTTCCCCATGGTTCGACCATTTCCCCGGGGTTCAATGACCGACCAAAAGCAGGATCGAGGACGAGCCTTGCGTTGCTTGAACGTGTATGAGACGTATGGGGATAGAAGGGGGACAAGGGATGTTTTACCACTGTGCGTGTGCGAATCCAGGGAGGAAGGAAATCAGCTTAGGGCGAGGGTTTGCCGGTCCGCGGTTTCGCAGTTCGCGGTTGATCAAGAAGTCCCGTCCAGTTCAGTGATGGAGCCAGAAGACTCCTTGTATCAGAACTTGAACCGCCTTGGGAAAGAACGTGCTTGGGTGGAAGACGATGAGATGAAAGAGGAGGCGGAGGACGAGGAGGAGAAGAAGGTGGACGACGAGGTTGTCAAAGTGCCGTTCAGGAAGATGGAAGCTGATGACGATGGCGAAGACGAAGGAGATGTGGTGGATGTCTTGAAAGTGGTGTCGCCAGTTATGGTCCAATTTCCTGATTCAAAAGAAAAGACAAGAGTACAGTATCAGTACACGGAATAAGAGTCGGCATGTCGGTACCAGACATCTTGTGGGCAGAGAACGACGGGATCAACAAAAAGACTTACCATAGCTCTCAGTGCAGGTCGTGCTGGTGGTGCTGGTGGTGCTCTCGGACCATGTGGACGATGATCGTGTCGACTCAGATACTCCCAACGACGACGATGGAGTCGTGCTGCTGTTCGAGTATCCCGTGGGGGTTGGCGGCGCGGGGAAGTAGTATGTTGAAGTGATGGTCGTGTTCGACCTCGTAATAGTTGTCTCGCTGCACGTCGACGGTGTTGGCGGGACAGTAACAGTCGACGGGATGCTGCTGCTTGTTTCCCTTGTGGTGACCGTGCTGCTGGTATTGTTTGGGAATGCTAGAGACTCGGACTCGGAGCAGGTGCTGGTTGTGGTCTGGGTGTACGACTCTGTACAAGTTGTCGAGTTGGAGTAGAAGCCTGACGATTGGGTATCGCTTGCACTCGGTGGCGAGCCTGAAGACGTGTTGCTTGTTGTTACAGAAACTGTCACGATGGTAGTGCTGATGTCGCCGCCTGGTCTGGGGTGGTCCGTAACTGTGGATGAAACGGGCTCGTCCGAGGAACTCGCCGCCCTGCTTGAAGTCGAGGAGCTACCGGCTGCGGCGGTAGTGCTCGTGTCACTAAAAGACGGCGCTGTATTTGGAGTATCCGACGTGTTTCCCCTGCCTGAGAGAGAGCTTGGTTCCCTGCCAGACAACGAACTTGTCTGTCCGGTGCTTTGTGTTGACGAGTTTGTGAATGCAAAGGACGACGTAGTGCTCGAGTACGGGTTGATCGTCTGTGACACCGTGACGATAGTCACAGAGACTGATACCGACACTGATATGGACGTCGAACTTGTGGACTCGCTCTCGGTGGTGCTCATCGAGTCCGCGCTCGTGACAGAAGATGTACTTGAATCGCTGCTTGATGGTGCCACGTTACTGCCCGTCGAGTTTGTGAAAGGAGGTAATGATGACTCGGAAGAAGGCGCATCTGCGCTCGTGCCACTGTTCGTAATGCTTGTAACGCTTGTCGCAGATGATCTACTCGAGCCAGACTCGATGGACATCGTTGATCCAGGTGTCGACGCTGATGGTCCTGAAATGGTGGAAGTACCAGAAATAGAGAGTGCTGAGGAACCACCAAATGCCGAGGATGAGACCTCCGAAACACTTCCGCCACCGGAGTCACTCGCTGGCAATGTGGCGCTGCTAGCAATTGCCGTGCCTGGATCAGACGAGAAGTCCGTGCGGGTTCCAGTCGGCGAGGGAGCTGTGACATTGGCACTCGCAGACAGGCTGCCGCTTCCTCTACTGGTGTGAGTGAAGGTCGTGATGTTCGACAGTGTATATGGTGGCAGCGGGGTGATTTGCGGAACTGAAAATGATGAACTTGTTGTTGAAGAGGCAAGAGGACTCGAGAAACTGCTTAGTCCCGTGCTGCTGGAGGCAGTATTGGGAGCAACAGACACAGTCATGGAAATTGTGTTTCTCGTCAAAAGCGAGCTGCTCGTGCTGCTAATCGAAGAATTGGAAATTGAGCCCGTTGCGGAGGAAGTTTGGATTGCCGATACTGTGACGATCGCTGGACTTGTTGTTGGTCCAGAAGAAGTAGTACCCGACGGAGTGATGGCGACGTTACTCGACTCAACTGAATCCGACAAAGTCCGTGATGACACTGAACCGGTTGCATTGGTAATTGACCCTGCGCTTCCAGATGATATGAAACTTCCCGATGGCAGGGACGTAAACCCGGACAGAGATGCTGTGCTTGTTGTGAGACCTCCAGTGGAGATAGTGTGTGTGCCGTTGTCTGATGCCGAAGGAGTCCCTATTCCAGAGCCTGAGCTGTCCGTGCTGGTTGAATTCGTGAAATAGCTCGCGGTGCTAGAAGCAGGTAGCCCTGTGGCTGATGAACCTACTGGTTGACTTGGATCACTAGTGTTTGTTGCTGCGATGGACGTCCAGATGGAGTTGAGGATACTCGATCGTGTGGACACAAAGCTGAGGCCCACCCCAGAAGTGCTCAGCGCAACAGACGAGCCCGTGGTTGTGGGCAAGCTGGTCGAACTGGAGGTTAGGAGAGCAGAAGAAGAATTGGCAGTGCTCGAGGTGTTAACAAAGGACGATTGCGGCCCTGCTGATGAGCCCGTGTTTGTCAAGGAGACCGTCTGTTCACCCGACGAGGTCGCTGGCTGCTGGGACTCTGTGATTGTCCAAGTCCAAGTAGTGGCATTGCCTCCCGAGTTCTGACCCCCAGTAGCCAGTGATGAGACGTCCGTCGGCAAAGCTGCAGACAGAGCACTTGAGAGGTTGCTTGCAGCACTAGACGAGCCACCAGCTGTTGTGCTGGCACTCGATGTAGGAACTGAAGTAGAGATATTGGTGATGCTTATCCGAGATTTTGATGAGGCGGAAGAAAGGGCGGCGGAGCTCTGACTACTCGCTGCAGTAATCGTAGTGGATGAGGACAGAGTGGTGTTCACAACATTACTCGTCGCGGTACCACTACCTGATGAGCCACTCGAGAACGAAGTTTCAAGACTTGGCAAGCTTCTGCTGGAGTAAGATGCTAGCAGACTGCCAGAAACCGTAGAGAGGAGCCAAAGAGAGCTCCTAGTCACTGTCGCCGTGAAGGTGGAGTTGCCACTGACCGTCTCAGTTATGATGGTGAATGTTGCCGTGCCAATGATCGCAGAAGACTGATCAGTCGGTCCTGCCGAAGCTGTTGCATTGGACAGAGGAAAGGGCACGGAAAAGGACACAGAGTTGCTCGAGAACCCTGGCGGAGTGGGTGACGATGCCACTGAAGTAGTATTCGTGTATGTCGAACTTGTGCTCTCGGAACCCGCAGTTGACCTGCTCGTAGTCACTGCCGCTGACGAATTGAGATATACGGACGGTGACAAGCCACTGCTCCAGGTCATATCTGATGATGATCCTGAGCTTCGAGTCTCTGAGACAAGCAGCGTGCTTGACCAGTTGCCAGAGGCTCCAGAAACCGTCGTGGGCCGCGCGCTGCTGATATCAACAGGCGTCAGAGTTGGGCTGCTGCTCGACACGTTCGTCAACCAGACCGAGGTCCACACGGAACCGCTGCCACTTCCAACCAACGTCCTGGTGACATTCGCCCCAGTCCAAGGAGGAGATGGAAAGACGTCGGTAATTGTGATGATTGGATTCGATGCTGTGAAAGTGATGTTTGACGATGGGCCATTACTCGCCAATGTCGATGTCCAGGCACCACCACTCCCGGAGCTCGGCAGTGTGGTGATATTCTCAGTTGGCCATGAGAATGGTGGGAACACGCTGGTTATGACCGTCGGCGTTGGGCCTGTAAAACTTATGGTCGCTGCGCTAGAACTGTTGGTGATCCAAGTGGACGTCCAAGGGCTGCCAGTCCCTGTACCTGTCAGTGTTAAAGTCGCATTGGCATTTGGCCAGGAGAACGGCGGGAAATTGCTCGCTACGACAGAAGGGCTAGTGCCAGTCACCGAAGGATGGGTTACCAGAGATCCGTTAGCGCTCCATGCTGATGTCCACGCACTGCCAGAAGCGGTACCGGTAATTGTGGTAGTATTCTCAGTTGGCCAGGAGAATGGAGGGAACACGCTTGTGATTATGGTCACCTGCGGGACAGTATATGTCACGTTGGACGGACTCGACCCGTTGCTGATCCAAGTAGATGTCCACGATCCCCCCATTCCGGTGCCTGTGACCGTGGTGGTAGTGTTTTGGCTTGGCCAAGAGAAAGGTGGAAAGACGCTGGTCACGACTGTTGGTAAACTTAGGGTTGATGTGACGTTCGCAGTCAGCGATGCGTTATTGTAGTATGTGGACATCCAAGCTCCACCAGAACCAGTGCCGGTAATAATGGTTGTGGCGTTTGGGCTCGGCCATGAGAACGATGGAAAGACGTCCGTTATGACCGTTGGCGGAGGTGTGGTGGCCGACACATTCGCTGTGAGCGAGCCATCGCTGTAATACGTGGATGTCCATGCCCCTCCAGACCCAGTCCTAGTTGTGACACTGGTCGTATTCTCGACTGGCCAAGAGAAAGGCGGGAAAACACTTGTGATAACGGTTGGCAGTATGACTGTAGAAGTAATGTTCACCGTGAGCGACCCATTATTGTAGTACGTAGATGTCCAAGCCCCCCTGACCCAGAACTTGTCCCGATGACTGTGATGTTCTCACTGGGCCACGAGAATGGTGGAAAGACACTTGTGATTACACTAGGTTGTGCCGTGGTGGAAGTGATATTTGTGGTTATGGATCCACCGCTATAATAAGTTGACGTCCACGCACCCCCTGTGCCTGTCAATGTGGCCGAAGAATTCAGACTTGGCCATGAGAAGGGCGGAAACACACTAGTCACCCCGTCTGGTCTTGTCCTTGTGATGGTGACAATGACAGCCGTACCTGCTGAAGATGTTGCTGATATATCTATGTTGCTGGACGCTAGCGTACTTGACAAAGCGGTCAAGTTGACGCTTGGTGATCCGATGGTCCCGGAAAAAGATATCGAGTTCGTGACACTATTCGATCCCGTCACTTTCAGGGTCTCAGTTGTGGAAACGGTAGAGCTAGCTGTGCTCCAAGCAGAAGAAAAAGTTGGAGTGATCCCGTTGGTGAAGTTCGAGAAGGGTGGCCCAAGATTTGATGTTGATCTGGTGCTTTGAAAAATCGTCGAACTAGTCGTCGAGGGACCGGAAAGTGAGGTGTAAATAAGGCTAGAACTGATGAATGGCGCAGTAGCAGTGACAGTATCGTTGAGGCCATTGACGCTTGGAGTACTGCTGGAGACCGATATTGCGCCACTACTAGCATTGACCGATACTGAAGTACTTGACGGGATGCTGGATTCTGACGATAATCCACTGACAGTCTCTGCACCGGATGTCAATGATGACGTCGTGTTAACGAGAAGTGAGCTCTCTGCGATGCTCCTGGATGTGCTCGATTCGCCGTCAGCAACTGTGCTGCTCACAATAGGTGCGGGGGTCGAGGTAAAATTCCCAGATATCGCCAGGCTGCCGGATGCAGGAATACTGCTGAAGATGAGAAGTGTGCTAGTAGTAGTTCCGTTCACAACACCGGGGTTCACGCTGCTCGTGAGAGAAGGAAAGGTTGGCTGGGTCGTGTTTGAGCTCGGGCTTAAACCAGAATTTGTCCCAATGGAAGTCGAATATATGCTAGCTGAAATAGACACTGTGCTGAGGTCCCTCGAGGTGACGGTCGGGGTCAGCGTGAAACCGCTGGTGTACCCTGACGAGGGGTTTGAGATTGGGATGGAGCTGGCAGTAGAATTCAATGCTATGCTAGACTGTGAAGAAGCCACAGTGCCACCAGACAATGTCAATGTCAGAGTGGTGTCAGTCCTTGTAAGTATCGTGATGCTCGGGCCTGCACTAACGCCACCATCACTGCTATCAAACTGGCTCGTGCTGGCTGTTCGGCTTGTGAAGGCTGATGAAGATAACAGCAATGAGGTCTGACGGCTGACAGTAGCGGTGCTGTCATTGTTCGCACTTGTAAAGCTCGAAGCAGAAGACCCTATTGGTGAAGCCTCGCCCATCGTGCTAGATCCGGCTTGGCTCAAACTCGTCAGGGTCGAGGCACTTGCACTGAAAGTACCGCTCGCCCCGAGTTCCGAGCCGCTTGTAGGTAGAGACGATGACGACGACGACGTTGAAGAAGGGGCGTCACCTGTGATGGCGTCTGTCATTGCCGTGGTCTGCGGGATGATGACAGTCGTGACCCATATGGTGCCGTTACCTATTTGCACAGGCAAAGTCACGGTCGAGGGGGATGTAATCGTTCTGGTCAACCACGAAGTACCGTTGGCACTCGTGACGGGCAATGTGAGTGTCACGGGCTCTACGGTACCTACGATGCTGAAACTTCCGCCATCATCATCAGTGTTGACTCTTGAGGATATTGTAGACGTGCTTGGGCTCGTCGTGGTGGATAGTATGCCAGAGGACAAAGATTGACTACTAGTCTCGCTCGTAGAAAGACTACTCAAGCTTGGTGATAACGGTGATATAGATGACACTATGACCGTAGGAGTATTACGACTGCTGGTGGTGGTAGCGAAACTGCTGCTTGTAGTGGCATTAGGAACACTCTCAGACAACGATGGCGTTGTAATGCTGCTTATGGTTGCGGAATTGGAGCCCAGACTAGTAAGAGACGACTTCAGAGTACTTGAGAGGGTGGCCGATCCTAGTGTAGCGGTCGAATTTAGGCCAGGGGCAGAGGAGGAGCCATAGGATGTGGAAGAGGCAGGTGAAGATGGACCACTGATTTGTGTGCTATTGCCCAAGGGCAAACTCGAGAATGTGCCTGTACTTGCAATTACGCTGGTGCTTTCTTGCAACTGGGTATCACTGACAGGTGCAGTGCTCCCCGTCGTTGGTGTAATAGGCCCACTGTTGCTCGCACTGATCGAGCTAGCTGTCCCTGTAGTATTTGTGGCTGTGATGATTGCGGAGAGTGATGAAGACAATACGGGAATTGTCCCACTTTGACTACTTGAAGGCCTGATGCTTGTGGAATTTGACTCGATAAAGTCGGAGAAGGTTGAGCTTGCGCTGGTCCCTGTACTGGTGCCGGTCACAAGGGAATTGCCAGGCGTGGTAACTCCGCCAGGCGCCGCAGTACCACCTGACGAAAAAGCACTAGGGTTTTCCTGTAGAGATTCCGATGACCCGCTGGAAGTACTCGTGATGGGGATATTGGAAGGCGTGGTCTCGATCGTGATTGACGATGAAGACAATGTGGTAGAGCGGAAGGATGTGGCATTGTAAGCGCTAGAGTTGAGTGAAGCAACATTGCCACTGGATGGTAACAAATTGGAGATGAAGGAACTTGATACAAGAGTTGAGGAGGTTGGACTTCGAGTAGCAGAATTGCTGTCGTAGTCACTGCCAGTACCAGAGACTGGGGCTGACGAGGCCTGAGTGCTATTTGCGAGGCTACTCAGCGATTGAGAAATGTCGGTCACAGTAGAAGCGCTATTCAACGCAGTGCTGCTAATGAGAAGTCCAGATGATGTTGAGACTGAACCATTCGCACTAAAACTTGAAAATCCCACGAGCTCTGTAGAGGATGTGATTGTGCTCCTCAGTGAAGAGTTAGATGTCTCTGAAGCCAAGCTTGTGGCAGCTGAAGGTGCAGTCTGAGTGGAGCTTGACTCCGACTCCGGTGTAAAGTCCGTGGGAAAAGCCGAACTCAAGTACGATATTACACTCGATGAAGAATCTGCCCATGACGAAGCCGACGATTGCCCCGGGCTTCCAGGGGAACTTGTCAGAATGGATAAAGCTGTATCATTATCAGCATACTTCCCGATTAAGTCGAGTGACAACGCTCCACTCGGAATACATACTACTCGAATCCGAGGAGGACGTGCTTCTCTCCGAAAAAGAATTTGTCGAGTTCAGGAAGTCCGATAATGACGACGGCGACAGTGGCGGCGGCGGGTTATACCCGTAGGTCATCGGCCAAGGGTATGGGTCGTCTGTGGTTGCGTCTAGGCTTCCAACACGTCGTAGCCTGTAATGACTATCCTGGTTGGGTGGCAAACCATCCACCTTGCTGCTTGCTGCAAAAAGGTTCCTGGGCCATGCCAGTGTTTCCAGCATTAGAATGAAGACGACGAGAGTCGTGATCCAGGATTCCGTTGCCATGCTCGCGGGTGTGGCGTATCACTATTATTGTGCGTGTGTTATAGCTCAAACAAGCAAGATAGCTCCGGCGATGATAGAGAAGTGTGTCCGAATGCAGAAACTGAGTCGTTAATAAAGCACCAGATGCTTCTTGTTCTGCTTTTGTTCGTGCACCTTCTGACAGAGAGAGAGAGAGAGTATGTGGCTTGCTACGATGGCCAGAAACGACCAAAAGAGTGAAGATTCGGCGGAATCAGGTCAAGCCGAGTAGAAGCATGGTCTTTTGCTGAATTTTCCGGGCGAGACGGGGGAAGAAAATGCAGAAAATGGGACGACGTTGTGACCAGGCTCTACTCGAGGTAGGGAGACTGATTGGAATGGGCATGCTCTCAGCATCAGTGCGTGCCCTCACCATGGCATGCACAGTCGTACACGCAAGAATATCGCTATGGCATATTGATCATATCTAGATAGTTCACATGATACGATACGCAAGGTCGCGGAGATGTGAAGGGAAGCGTTCTACAAAGTTCAAACTACGCTAAAAAAACAGGAGTGCAGATCTAGGACATTGACTTGGACACCTACGAGTCAAAGCCCTGAAACCACCTGCCTACCGGACCACTGAAGCCAGGACAACTCACAAAAACTGCTCGGGCCACGGGGACAGCATTTCCGATTTGTTCTATGATGGGATTGATTTGCCTGCTGAAACTTCTTGTGGCAGAATGTACACTGTCTGACATCTACTTTATGGGCCTGATGCGAAGCAGTCTTGAACACATCTACATTGCCACGTGCAATTTATTATCCTCATCGACAAGCTCAGTCAAAGCACGAACGGGTCACACAAAGGGGGTTGTGAAATGCTCAGGGGTTTGGTGTTACATTTTATTACTGGTACCCACGGAAGTTGCCGAAATATGCGTACAAACGGCTGCAAGGTAGGACAAGTGTGCCTTCTTTTCCCATGCTGGTGTCTTGCTTCTAACAGGACCACAGTTCTGCACACCGGGGATACATTTCGTGTTCAAGAAACCCCAGTGAGCCAAATGCATCCTTTCGTGTACCGAGATTGTAAACCAGGATCTCCACCGGGAGACCTGATTATCTGGCAATTTTGGCGGGCGCAACAGTCTCAACCATCTGGCTACCTCACTTCAACGCCCTTTCGCTTGGGGAGAGACAGAGAGATGCAAAGTGGCGCAGGCAGCGCGGATTTATGGTCAGAATCCGATGTTGAGGAGCTTGCTGCGACTACTCGGCCTTCTTGGCAGCGTTGCGCAGTCCAGGGGCGGTGCCTTCGGTCATCTTTGTGTTCCGCTGCTCAATATCAGCGGCCCACAATGCGGCACCAACTTCGGATGACAGCTGTTAGTATCGGAACGTTTGGTGTGACTCGTGAAAGGAACCGGGAACGGTTCGAGTGGGGCGTACCTGTGTTTGTGAACATGAAGAACATCGAGGCAATCGGGATCATCTCGAGTAACGTTGCGACTGTGCCGAAACTGAATGTTGCGCGTTGTCAGACGGGAAAACAAATACACGGCTCGTCCTCGCGTATAATGGCGCGACGATGGAAAATGGAGCAATAGCTTACGAGGTGTAGGGGGCGGTGTGCTCCGTGAGCCAGTCTCTCTGCTCGGCCGCAGACCAGCGCTTGAGCTGGAAGTAACGACCATGGACTCCTTTTCCACGGTTGCGTCCTTTGACATTGTCAGCTGGGGTCCAGGTCGAGCGAGGCAGATTACATACCTTGAATGAGAATGAAGGCGACGGTGCCGACGACTGTGACGTGATCAGCAAACAAGAGCATTAAGCATAGTATCACTGGCATTACGCATACCTGGGATGAAGTTCAAGGGAAGGTACATGACGTAGCGGATGATTGCCTTTGGCGAGAACTTGGCGAACGGGCTGCGAATAATCTTGCCCAGCCGTGCCATGGGGTCGCTGCCGGACTTGAGCTCGCGGCCCTCCTGTACAATGTCGGTCGCGTTCTTGGCAACAAGAGTAGCGTCGAAAGTATCGAGAAGAGCATCCTGGAGGAGGAAGTTGCGCGAAATGAGGTTGACGATGGTAGAGCTCTCGTTGAGGATGAGGAGCACGGTGGTGAAGACTGCCAGAGGGCCGTTGACGAAGACGAGGATTGCCAGCTGCGGCAGATAGGTGAAGAAGAACATGAACGTGGTGACGCCGGCGGCGAGGGACAAGGTTGGAAGCAGGCGCTCGAGGAATGGCTTCCATAGTGAGCGGTGCGTGAGGAAGTATACGATGCCTCGAAGCGGGTAGAGGAAAGCGCCGCTCTTGGCCGCCTTGGAGAGTAGGACCTTGGCCTTCTGGTAATCCTCCTTGCTGTAACACTGTTAGCCACGAGGTCACCTGCTCCCGGCTTCCACGACTGTTCTTACGCGACTTCCTGTGCTCTGGCGCCCACGTTGCCCACGAGGCTGCTCCCCTTTGCTTGCGAGTCCGACATGATTGAGCTATGCTTGTGTGGCAGTGACTGTCTTGCACTCGAAGTCTTGTTTGCCCTGGATACGTCTTGTGGACGAGTGTTACTGCGGAGTGAAGAGATGAGGAGACACTCGAGCGTCACCAGGATTGATGAGATAAAATGAGCCTTGGTGTTTAGTGCGTTTGCGTCTGCAAGATGCCATCGTGACGTCACTGGCGCGGGTTCCGCAGGCAGGGACGCCCTGCCCCACCGGTTGTCTTTGCTCCGCGCCCGCTGGCTGGGTGCAGCAGCCTAAGGCTGTCTCACATCGCCGATTCATGAAAATCTCCAGGCAATTTCAATACGGTGCATAGATGGATAATTGAGACCCAGTACTCCAGAAGACTATGCCTGACGGTTAGTAACCCCAAGGGCTTTGAGCATGACGGGTCTCTTCTGATGTCCCATTCAATGCTCAGGCGATCGCAGACAGCGTGACTTCGATAGCCTGCATGCCACGCAGCAACCCGTGGCCAAGAAGAGTGCATCCCATTGAAGCGAACACTGTACACAGTTGTGCTGACCCCTCGAGTCTCAAGGCGTACTAAACGGCCTGCTTCGCCATGTTTTGTCTCGCACGTGTGTTGGCCGCCAAGTACCCATAGCTGGGACGTTGGTGTTTATTGAGATGCCGTCTTTATAATCCTGCCAAACACGGCCTTGTTGAGACCAGCGCCACCTTATCCTGGCCAGGATGAGCCAGGTACCGACAGCGACCGCCCATGACCGCACTAAGCACCGGGACGGAGTCTGTGTAGAAGCACACAGTGTGGACATAACTGAGACCATCACTGCTGACACGGTGTAAAGGGATTACGTGGTAGCTGGAGTTGCAGGTTGGATTCATGGCGACAAGATTTAAGCCTCAGACTTGCTAATGCATTGTGGAAGCAGGAAGATAGGGTCTTCTGACGGGAGAGCAATGTCGGATTTCGTAGCGCTACGCACCGATGAATGGTCTAGGTAGTGGGGAGATCAGGGCAGGGGCCGTTGATGAGGCCGGGGGTGCTGGTGGTGCTGCCGGCATTCTCGAGCTCCACTATATTTTCACAATGCACGAATAAGCAGCAAGAGACTTGAAGTGGGGCCTGCCGGCAGGGATGGATCCCTTTCGATGTAACCCACCTGGGCAAGCTCAACAACCTCGCAACCACACCCACCCCGCAAATTCCACTTCAACGTCGCGCTAACTATCTCATCACCCTTACAGCCACGGATGGACACAATCTAGCTTGGTGGCGAGGCCCAGCCATGGCAGCATCAAGTAGTGACGCGGGGGTGTTCCGCTTCACAGACCTGCCACCCGAGATCCGCAACCAAGTCTACGAGATCCTGCTGTGCAGCTTCCCGCCACCTCAGTATCCAGACAATGACGACCGCCTCCCAAGCTCAGGCACATGGCTGGATAAGAGCCAGATATCAGCTTCCATCCTCCGCGCGAACCGGCAGATCCACGATGAGGCTCGCGCCGTGGTCATCAAAGGGAACCTGTTCGTCCAGGTTGAATGTCACATGAGCATTGACCACTCACAAATGATCCGGGAGCTCATGGCCAACCTCGGTCTGCCCATCGTTGTCGGCGACGGAACCTGGACGGGCTCATGGGACGACAACCTCAAGCTCGACAGATACAAGCCCCTGCGGGCCATGACTTATGCCATCAGCTCCACCAAGGCCATTCCAGACACCTGGTCCGGCACGACCCTTCGCTTCCTGCTTCTCCACCGAGAACTTGACGAGTTCCTCATTGAGCTTGCACTCGCCGACGATGCCGGGCTCGTCGATTTCGCAAACAAGATGACCCACCAGGTGACCATCCACACCCTTGACAGCACAGGTGCTGGCAAGACTGATCGGGAATTCCTTGGCACCAAAGCCGTGCTACAGCGTTTACTCGCTCCCTTCGCAAAGAACTATGAAGGGGTGAAGAACTTCGTCATCAAGGCTGACGGGCCGAAAGAGAGCTCCAATGGCAAGCTTGATGAGGAAGTCATAGCTTCCACCTTAGCAGCGGTCAAGCACAGGCCCCAAAGGTCCATGTCGGAGACACTCGCAGTAGTCCATGAGCTCAAGGATAAGGGAAATGCGTTGTTCAAGGCCGGCAAGACACGGATGGCTTCAAAGCACTGGACTCGCGCTTGCAGTCAGATACTTCAGTCACGTTCGGCACCACAATTTGCAAAGAAGTTCGTGTCCAAGCCAAAGGACAGTTCCGAGCGGAGACTTATCCGGGAGTTGGCGGAGCTGTCGTTCCAGCTTCATCTCAACCTGGCGCAACATGGTCTCCAGGCTGTGCACTACGCTTATGAAGATGGAGACGGGTGGCGTCTTCATGGCATTTCGACTGCAGTATTGGCTTATCTGCAGAAATCTGCTCTCGAGTGTTCGATATCCGAAACCGGGGTGGTCATGCCTGCCAAGGACGTCGATGATGATGGCGACCTCACCGGCGGGTGGCGCCCAACAAATGCGCAGACAGCTAAACTCTGGTTCCGGTTTGCTCGCTGCCACCGCTATTGCGAGGAGTGGGAAGACGCCTGCACGGCGATCGGGTTCGCGCGGAGGCTCGCTCCAACGGATACCGCTGTCCTAGCGGAGGAGACAACTATTCTCGATCTTGCCGAACAGGTGACGCAGGCAGAGATGGAAGAGTTCATGTATGAAGAGGCGATGCAAGCAGAGATGGGGGGGTTCACGGATGTACCCATTGAATACGAGGACGAAGCGTCATTTCGGGCGAGGTTCATGGACGAGATGTCACTTTAGTCAAAAGCCTCATATCGGGCAGCTGTTTCTGCGGTCGGCAACTTGCCGAGGAGATTGGAAGAAGGATTGCACCGAGACGTATATTTACTGGAGTGCGTCTCGTCTAATGTCGGCTCAGGTCGCTGTTCTGTCCTTTCCGAAATTACGCTCAGGACTGGAACGTTCAGACATTCAGGAAGAGAACAGACTGGCCGCTTTTTCTCTCCCGATCCTATCATCTCAAGTGTCCTCTGTCCTCAATGGATGCGTGGGAGACTGGAACTGTCCTATTGGCCCACCGTGTTGTAATGGGCGGCATCTATTTGTATCAGCGATGTAAATTCACATCCCTTGCTTCCTCGAAGCGCCTCACGTAGTTTTGCCGATCCGTGGATGCAGGGTCATACTGTCGTTGTGCCAAACTCGTTGCGTTATCGACCATCTTTCCCATCGTCAGCCTCGCCACCTCAGCCGCGAAACTGCCATCCTCGCTTGGAATCTCCCGCCTACCCGCGAACCTCGGCCAGAGATACATATAATCCCGCCAGTCGTGCCACTCCGTCTGCGCCGGCAGGGTCCCAGGCATCCCCTGCACAAACTTCACAGTCTTCAGCCCCTGCCCTACAAACTCTACGCTCTGCAACATCCTCGCAGACTCCTCGTGGGCAAGCAGCACAGCATCAATCTCCAGCTCCCTCAAGCCCGGCAGATCCCTCGCAAGCAGACTCCACGCCATCTCCATCTCCTCCGACCGCGCGACCTCGGCCGTCATCTCAATCTCCTCCCTCGCCGTCCTCGCGGGCCGCGGGTCATGGTACCCCAGAGCACCATCTCTCACCACCAGAACCATGAAGCTGACGCGCCTGACCAGCGCCTTCCACCGGGGGCGCAAGAACCCCAAGAACCCCAGGACCTCGTCGGGGTGCCCAAACGCAAACGTGTTGCCCGTGTAGAACACGTACCCCACCTCCTCGTACCAGGCGCGGCACACGAGCAGGACCTGCAGATGCTGCCGCCTCGCGCACAGGCAGGGTAGGCTGCGCAGTGCCTTGCGCGGGGTGTCGTACTTGGCCGCTCCCTCTGGTGAGCCATTGTTGCTGCCGCCGTCGCCGCCGCCACCGCGGAACTTGCGCTCGTAGCACTCGCTGCAGAGGGATTTGTTGCGCTGCTCTGGGGCATACGTGCTCTGCCACGGGGCAACGGTGATGGGCCGCTCGTCGTGTGCCACTGCTGCCGCTGCCGGTCCTGCGTTACTGGTGGTGGTGACTGTAATGGCGGCGGCGGCGGCGGCGGTTTGCACTTCGCGCCGCCGGCGCCAGAAGCGTGGGTCGCTGCCCGCGTAGTCTGATGCGCAAGGGGGGATGCACTCGAGGCTTGTGATGGTGTGCCGGTGGAAGAGTTCGGCCTGGCACTCACGGTATGCACCAGTGTTGTCGTTGTTGTTGCTGCTGCTGTTGATGTTGGCCGTCTTGCCGTCGGGAGTGTTGTTAGAGGCTGTGCTAGTCGAGTTGGTCCCAGTCCTGGGATACCGCGGTCGGGGTCTGCGTCGGTGCAGTGTATCCCACTTCACGGGCCGGATCAGCAGATGGGCGAATATCTGGGCCCTGAGCTCCAGGGGCAGTGTTGCGAAGAGCGAGTCTCCCATACTCGACGAGGGGTGACCCAGAGGCTGGTGCTTGAAATCGGGTGATCTCTTCATGCCGGAAGACAGTGCTTGGCAGGGAAAATCGTGTGCAGAACTCGCCCGTAGAGGGCTGGAAATATTGTTCGAAAGACTAGATCTTCTGATGTAGACTACCAGATTGCCCTCCAGGTAGCACATATATAAGGGAAAACTTGTTACGGACACCATACCGGGATGGATCAGCCTCGCGACGCGAGGGTATGGCGACTTTATACTTTTGAAGAAGCACAGAATAGTGTCTGTGCTGTGGCGCCATGTAAACCCCCGAGTCACTGGCAGGCGCATACAGCAGCACCTGAGCCGTCCCTTGAGCACGACATGATTGATGTTTCCTTCACGGGACGGGTTTTCCCCGTGACGTAATCCATTACCGTTTTTTGACTGGGCAGGTTATAAGGGCATGGTGGTTGAATGTCATATGCTTGGATGTCTCACGAGTGACAATGCCTTCAGTGTTAGTGGATCTTCAGACACGCCGCCTCACATGCCCCGCCACTGGCAGATATTTCGATACTCATTAATCTTTTCCCGATGTAGTACGTAATACTTGACGCTGGTCGTTTACAACGTCCGCAGGCACCGCCTCAAATAAGCTTCCAGAGCCTGCGTATCGTCCAGCCCAGCCACGGCACCAACATATCCATCAGGCCGGACCACCACCGCCGCACCAAGCTTCTCATCGACACCGTACACGCCATACACATCCTCCTCGCCCACCCCGACACCGTGGAACCGCATCTCTGCGTGCTGCTTGATCTGCTTGGGCACATCGGTCCACTCGAAGCGCTGCGTCCTGGACGGATGGAGGACTGTAAGCTGGATCATCGACTTTGGGAACGCGGGGATGATGGTGTCGCCTATGTGCGCGAGCGCTTTCGCGGTCCTCCCTTGTAGGTCGTGAATGTCGGTTGAGGAGAAGAAGAGGATGCGGTATCGCCCAGTCGACAGGAAGTCTGTGGTTGTACCGGTTATTAGTGTCTCGGTTACAGAGATCGCATGTACTAGGTCACCGCGGAGGGAGAGGGGGAGCCATACCATCCTGCAGATGTCGCGGGTTTGCATCTGCAAAGCGCCTTACGACTGCGTCAGCAAGCCGCCTTCCAGGACGAAGACAGCCATTCAAGACGTCGCCGTCAGGATTGATCGGAGACCGGGCGCATCCCTGTGGTGCCTCCTGGCTCGCGACCACAGGCTGGACGACTGTGCTCTCCAGGTACTCGATGCCGCAGCCACTAGTGAAGCCGTTGCCATCCCGGAAGACCTGCAGGAACTGGTCGTGCGTGAGAGAGCTGACGGCCTCGTCGTCGTCCGAGGCGCCGATCGCGCCGCTGAACATTGACGAGAATTTGGTGTCGAACTCAATCAGCTGCTTCGCGACGGCCAGGCGCTCGAGCGAGAAAGTCGCAAGAACCGGGTGTGGAGATGCAGCAGCTGAGCCTGGGCCATCGCTGGCACCCTCGGGCGCAAGCCCGTGGATTGTGTGGACGAGCTTCCAGGCGAGATTGTACGAGTCCATCATGGAGACGTTCATGCCCTGACCGGCCTTTGGACTGTGAGTGTGACAAGCTGTGCAAGAAGACGTCAGTTATACGTCAGTGAGCTGACACGGGTTAACCAGGACTATGCGTCAGACTTACCGTCCCCAACGATAAATATCCTCTCTGCACCCTGCTTGTCCTGCTTCGTGAAAGCCTCTGTCATGCGCTGGCCGATCTGATATGCAGCATACCAGTCGACCTCGGTATCCTCGCGAACCTTGATGCTGTACGGCGCGAAGACGCGGTTCGCCTGCTCGAAGATATAATTCAGCGTGACCTTCTGGCGCTTCTCCTGGTACTTGCGCTTCTTCCGCAGCTCATCCGCCTCCTTCTCCTCGTCCTCCGCCATGACACTCTTGTCCTCGGGCGAGACCTCATCCTTGATCTGGACATAGAGCCGGGTCAAGTAATCCCCAGTGACCGTCTGCTCGCGCGGGATGACCATGAGCGACCCGGCCTCCGAGTGCACCGCCGACCGTTTCCTGATGTCCGGGAAGTCCGTGTCGGCCACGAAGTCGCACACGCCCCAGACATGGTCCTGGCTCTCGCCCTCGAGGCGCAGGCCCATCGCCTTGCGCACGCGGGAGTGTGCCCCGTCCGCGCCGACGAGATACTTTGTCCGCACCTTCTTCGTAGTCACCTCCGCGCTGTCCCAGTCACTGCTGCTGCTGCCCTCGGGCCGCTGCTCGAGCGTGACGGTGATTGGGAACTCCGCGTCCACACCACCACCTTCAGAATCGTCCAGAGTATACCCCACGAAGCGAGTATTCCGCACGATCCCGCGCTGGCTGTACAGCCCCAGGTTCTCCTCCAGGATGCGCTCGATACGGCCCTGGTGGATCGTGACCTCGTGCTGGAACCGCGCGCGGACGGCGACGTCGGGCACAAACGTCGTCCGCTCGATGCCCGACTTGCCTGTCGCCTGCGAGGGGTTCCAGAACGCCACCTCAGACATGTGGCATCCTTCGTCGAGGATCTCCGAGTGCAGGCCGAGCGAGCGGAGGACCTCGAGCGTGCGCGGCTGCAGGCCGTCTGCCTGGCCCGCCTTGAGGGCCGCGGGCTTGGCGTCGAAGCACGCCAGCGAGTCGTCGGTCAGGCCGAGCCGGGCGAGGTTGAGGGTGAGGAAGAGACCTGCCGGACCGGCACCGATGACGACCACCTCGTAGCGTTCCAGGTCGTCGGAGGTGCCATTGCTGCTGCTGCTTGGGGCTGACGATGCCGTCTGGGCGTGGCGGCCCCGAGGTTGCGGTCGCGGCGTGAGGCGAGGGAGTGGCTGGGCTATCGTGGGGAGGTTTCTGAGCTCCCGTGATGCGCGGGATGTCTCTTCGAAGACGGGCATGGCTACTGCTGCTGCTAGCGGGTGTTATGGACTGGCGACCACTGAACCCACGCTGGTTACGTGTGTGGGATTGAGCGGCGATATAACAATGTTTTTGTAGTAATTCGCCTATGAAGACTGACAAAGGCTTAATAAGGCCATATGGATCATGTGCCGAGGAGCATCAAACGCTTGCAGGCGAGAAATTTCTAGGATGACGCAGACAATGGAGACATTCCAGGTTCCGTTTCCCCGCCTCGTCGCGAGTGACCAGGGGAGTTGCCGCTGTGTGTGGCCGCGGCAAGGATGCCGCGGCCGGCAATCGACCCCGGCCAATTCTGCACCGGCACCTGGGCAGGCATAAACGAACGTTATTCGCTGAACCTTAAAAGCGGATCACTCAGCATTGTGCAACCGACACTGCGTATAGTCACTAGGTGGAAATAATACTTCTTTTCAGACAACCACATTTGCCCACTAAACAGAGGCCGGAAGGGCTCTCATCATCACTTGTGTAATTGGCCTCGGCACTTATTCAGCTGGTCTGATCCAAGGACACACTGATGGTCCAAGTTGAAAGAGCGCTCACAGGCTGGCGGTTGAGCCCCATCCAATGGCCTGTGACTAATGATTAGCCAGAGATCGGTCATGCTGACACATCGTGGCTGGCACACTATATCGGACCCCGCATTGAAGTGTGGAACAGCCGCGCTACGTCGTCTGTGCCGCTATACTGGTCGTGTAACTGGTCGTGTTGGCGTCGAATTGTGATCGCCCGCTTACCTGTAATATTCATGACCTGAGGAACCACCTCAGCAAAAGGCCGCTGCCAAGGTGCGGTGCTCGCTCCCCATGTACCTGAAAGAACCTTTGTCACGAATTATATAAGCTCGAGATTTTGGGGGCAGAAGCCAGGTTTCAATTGTCTCTTCAAGCCTACTACCACAACATAGACCAGCACTTGGACACTGCCTTTTTGTTCTCCACCGCAGTGTTTCCCACGGTTCAAATCGCCTTGCCAAGCAAAGGCCGACGTCGATCATGACGAACCCGGTGATGTCTGCGCGCGGCGCCTACTTAGACCCCTTCTTCTTGGCGGAGTTGTCATCGGACTCGTCGCGAGTGTCGTTGGTGTCATCCTGAGAGATGACCTTGACCCTCCACAGCTGGTGGGGGTTCTCCTCGGCGATGTTGCCGGCCCAGCCAGTGATCTTGGTGCTGTTCGTGGTGGAGATAGACGTGGTCAGCTTAGTTCGGGAAGTATGGAGCGCAGGCAAAGGTGCGCCAACGTGTTGTGTGTGGCATGATGACCGTTGACTTACCGGTCCGCAGCATTGCCAAGGTACAGGTCGACAAAGGTGCCGGAGCCGACATTCTGGATCCTATTGTAATGCGCAATCTCCAACGTTAGTCACCATTTTGAGCGAGTCCGACGCAGTGTGGGGAGATGCCCCTGCTTCTTGTACACGTACATAACGACAGCGCCGTTTGCGTTGGTCGTGACGAGGCGCCAGAGCTGGGTAGGGTTAGGCTTGCCATCGCCAGTGGTCCAGCCATTGATCTGAGTGCCGTTCTCTTTTGAAGCATTCAGCAGGTCGAGGGCGGCTGTTGACACAGAGAGATAAGATTGTCAGTTATTTGGAATGTTTCTTCTCGCCAGGATGACTGCGATATTGTCATGGGCAGCTTCCACTTACTGCCAGTCGCCTGGTTGATCAACCAGTAGACGGGGAAGACCTTGGCGCCAGCGTAGTCCACCTTGACGAGCTTCCAGTGCTGATTGCTGGTTCCGTTGTACCTGTAACCAATGACGGGGGTGCCGCTCTTGGGATCGCCTGTCAAGCAGGTGTGAGTCAATCATCAATCCAACGAATCGCTATTGTATGAGTGAGCTGGACTTACTTGCAGTCAGGTCAAGGCAGGTGCCTGTGCCATAGTTGATGAAGGCCAGAGTAGAACCGTTTCTGAACTGGTGCACCATTTTGAGAATATTGGCCTATCTTAAGGACTCGGGAGACTTTGGTAATTCGTTTGAAGGTGATGTTTTCTGAGATTGCTGCGTTGGAATGATACTGAGCCAGGGAGGGAATCGATATCGTGGGATATATCGAACTATTTATATTTGTGAAGCTCCTCGAAAGTTTGGATGTCTCATCTCCAGTCCACTGACTGTAGCAACAGCTTTGCTCGTGCAGCGTTTCAACTGTCTCTTGAGAGCACGGAATGCCTTTGCAAGCTGACGATAGCCAACCGCCCAGATTGTGCTGCCGTCCACCATGACAGGAACGATGAACAAGAGGTTATTCCCCGAACGGAAAATGCATGTGACATGCTCATGTAGCCAGTATACGGGCGGGGTCCGACCAGGACTGCCTGGAAGCAGGAGTTCTGCATCCGGATATTTGGGATCGGGTCACACTGTACTTGGGGAAGTGAAACGGGGTCTCACAAGCGAAGACTGCTTATTCTCCCACTGTCCCTACCGGCAGTTGCTATTGGGGTCCCCTCCCACTAACGATCAACGGCCGCAGTACCCGCATTGTGCAAGAATTAGCCTTCAGCGGTGACGGCAGCGGGTATGCAGGTCTCGCCGCTTGCAGCATGCAAGAGAGCGGCAAGGGCGATCAACGATGATCGACTGAGACACGGCAGGCACTGACGAAAGTGAATCGGTCTCCTGACCAAGCAATCAGATGCAATCTCCCGCGGTCGACCCCAGGTCCATTCGTCTTCCGTGTCTCAGCTTCGCGAGAGGGCGCGATGTTGGCGACATTCACAAGCTGGTTTCTTGGCCTGTTGTAGTGGCAGAGTTTGGGAACCGGCAGTGGGCGGAACCGCATCTAAGTCCTGGACAAGGGTGGCATCGTACAAGATCTGCGACTTTCTCTCGCTGTCTCTAGCCTTTCGAAATCATAGAATCCATTCAGATACGCAATAGGTGGACTTCACTACCTTCAACTCCCGCAGGATAGACGTGATGAGCAAAGGTGTTGTCTTGAAAGTCCACAGTGTATGAGGGGCTCCTCAATCTTCAATGCCGAGAGACAGGGTCTTAGATCGCTAGCAAACCTCAACCACGGGCGTACCTACGCTAGTCGGCTCCGAGTGAGCTTAGGCATCCAAATGTCTTGGTTTCAAGAATTACCCGCGAGTCCATAATTTGTCGATCAGAGTTTGTCACGCCACCTGAGACTAGTCGCAACTTAGTTTCAGAAGCACAAGATATAAGTTACCCAAATAGCTCATTCTCGGTTGTTCCTCACCGTGTCTCTCCTAGACTGTGGTGGAGCTCTAGGGAATGTCACAAAGTTGAATCGTGCTCGTCCCCGCTTCAGGCACGGCATCTAGTGGGCTGGGCAAGAGACAGTGCGAGATCATGTGGTTTTCCTTTGAATCGCAACACATATGATTTCGTCCCGTGTCAGACGGCTTAAGCGCCAAGAGGTATGTGTCATATCTCCGTTCGAATGCAGCTCCGTTTAGACGACCGTAGCAGCGATCTTGTGACCCGTGATATTTACTGGCACGAGTAAGAGGGGAAGTGATTCATTTGGTATATCTCGTGCCCTTCTTGCAACCTCTTGCAAACAGAGATGAGACAACACTGAACCACGACCTGCTAATCGCTTAGTCAAGAATGGAACATTTCCTTCTGCCTTTACCACAACTGCTCAAATCTTCTCTTGGAAGCATCCTCCGCCGGAAGAATCAAATTCAAAATCTTAATTCGATTGACCTCTTCTGCCTCTTATGATTGCTGCTTGTCTGTGCGCCGGTACATGTATCAAGGCTCCACCATTCCGAACCCGGTTTGTATGCTTCGTGACTATTCAGATATTTGGCTATTGCTGTTTTGCAACTCGTGGTTGGAATGGACGACGTTCCGAATACTGAGAGCAGCGAGCTGATAGATAACATTCTTGAGATGGGCCCTAGCTACAGTTCGACTCGCTCAGATGAATGGGGACCATGAAAATCTACATTCGTGCCTGGAATGAGGTCTTGTATGGTGCTCAGCCACTCCCCCACTTGCGCTGGAGAGCAACTTGCACGGAAGCCATCGTAGGGTATGACCTCTGTTATTCCGAACGAGTGTCTGCCTAGCATGCCCGACAGTACGTATAATGGCTGTAGTCCAAGTCTTGTGTCATCCGTTCTCGCCACGCATGGACATCGATGAGAATGATGGTCTCTTTCCGTCCATACATCTGTCGTAATGTTTCGAGCTCCTCCAAATTGTCCATGAATGGTAGCTTGCCCTTCGTGGGCCCTGCGGAAGCGGTCGCAACGACTGTGGTGGCGGTGGTGATGCCGCGTGCTAGCTTGCCATGACGAACTTTCCGCTTCCGCCAGCAGTGACGCCTGCACTTGGATTGTGGTATGCTACATCGAAACCTACTGGGTTGCCGTGCGCACACAGGCTGCGGACTGCACTGTCTTTTCGTGTGGATGATCAGACAATGGTGATGGCGGCTGTGTTAAGGAGAAGGAGGACACGGCTCGCCATGCCCTACCAAGGCCGCTCCCTCTCGACGATGACAAACAGCAGCTCGGTACCAACACCAACAACGACATCCTCCTATCCGTCTGCCTTCTTCCACGTCGCAGCGGACATCCGCTATTGTCACGAGGACCCGACCTTCGACACTGCCTCTATATGGACCCTGCTCCCCCTTCTGGCTTCGTTCATCCCTCCAGATCATCCTTTCCAGCTCAGCCTGATCAGTGCGATCCATCATCTACGCGCATCAGGCGGGCCGCCAGCGTCACCAGGTGCCCCTTCACGGAATGGCACAGGCTGGAAGGATCTCCCATACCTGGACTTGGGCATACGAGAGAGATGGGATAGTACGTCCAAGAATAGTCAGTGTCGACGGATCTTGACCACAAGTTGACACTTATGCGCCGAAACTAGACGCTTACATTGGCAACATCCGCGGATGTAGCCACTGACGGTCACGCCATCTCCAGATGGAAGAATCCCAAGTCCTTTGTCGCGCGCCTCACCACTTCTGACCTCGCGGGGTGGCTCAGCCTGCCGATATGGCTGCTGCGGGACACCCTTGAGGAGCCAGCTGCCAGCGGCACCGATATGACCTCCGAGATTTGGGTCGCCACCGAATGGCTTTTGCACTCTTCGCAACCGATCTTGGATTGTTTTGCAGTCTGGAACTGTTTTAGATCATGGGGACGTCAAGTCGCTCCGTTTGGGATCACTTTGCCAGAGCATAAGGGTTGACGTTGGGCGGAGAGCACGAGTCACAGCTCACGGCGTTCCTGAGTCGCCAGCGGTGGGAGTTTTTGGAAGCAGCAGTGGCTTAATGTCGCAGCGAGCGCCGAGACGTTGAACTTCAGTGAAGACAGCAACCTGGTGGAGCGGATACATGCCGCGGTCTTGTCAATGGAGGCGGCGGAAAAATAGATTAAGCAGAGTTTGCTTCTTCAGATCCAGAATGTGACGTTCGGGTTGACCGAAAATTTATTGTCGGAGTTTATGTCGAATGGCGGCCGAAACTTGAAATCGATACTTCTCGGGTGGTGATATGCCGAGCGACAAGGCAGTCTGGAAGCTGTACCCGCCCTAAACCCCGAAGCGTCCGTCATGAGGTACAACGGTTTCCCCTATGCCGTAGCTGCTGCTTACCAACCCCACAGGGAGAACGCATGCAAAATGCCTCCGCGGCCGTGGCATACCTCTGAACACGCCATCTCATTGGACAATTCCCGAGCCTGGCCAATCACGACAAGAGCAGGCAGGGCCAGAGCCAAAAGCGGAAGCATTTCGCGCCAGTGGCACCATGTAGGTAGGTATACTGCAGTATACTGCAGTGCCACGGTAAATCCTGGCAGCCAAGCAGGCAGCAGCCTGCACAGGCATCGCATATAATTTTAGTAATGCAGATAGAGCACGTTCCTCCAAATAACTGACTTAATCGCCGTTTCTGACGATTGTCAAGTGCCTGGGCGCATGTCATGGAGAGCAGGTTGCGGGTTTTGCGGCTGGCGCCACTCGGCGTTAAAAAGGCTGACAGCCAGCGGCGATAGGCGAGGAGCGCAGCCCACCAATGCAGGGGTCGCAGTGCTAACGCCGATCACGCCAGACAATAGCACAGCGATGTAGTCTCGATTGTCTTGGCGACGTCTGCGATCCGTGCCGACGCTCCGCGGTAGAAGCAGGTTGTGCGAAGCGCCGGGAAGGATGAAGAAAGGACTATAAAGGCCCAAGGGATTGCCTCGCAATTAGCGTGCTCTCTCTCCCTCCCTCCCTCCCTCAAGTTCTCAACCACACGAACCTGAAAGCCAACTATAATTATACTGATCCTCCAATCTCATCCTCGATTCCACCAAGGACACTGATTTTCACAATGAGCTCCACACTCTCACCCACACCCGTCCTACGCAGGCTCGGCCGCGATGGGCCCGAAATTCCAGTAATCGGTCTCGGCATGATGGGTGCCAGCGTGGGCTACGGTCAGGTTGCGTGAGTCTCCTCCGAGTCTTGACGTTGTTTGACAACCAATTCGCACAGCCGTTCTAACTCTTGGACGTAAACAATCTGCAGACCCGACGACGAACGTCTTGCCTTGCTCGACCACGCGTGGAAGATTGGTGCCCGCAACTGGGACACGTCTGACCTCTACGGTGACAGCGAGGAGCTCCTTGGGAGATGGTTCCGCCTGCACCCCGAGAGGCGGGCGGACATTTTCCTCGCCACCAAGTTTGGGATGGAGATCCCCGCCGATGGCGACTTCTCGAAGATGAAACCCAACTCGTCGCCCGAGTACGTACACAAGGCGTTCGCCAAGAGCCTGGAGAAGCTCGGCGTCGACAGCGTCGACTTGTACTATGTGCACCGCGTCGACCCTGCAGTACCGATTGAGAAGACCATGGAGGCGATGCGTGCTCTTGTCGAGTAGGTTTTGTCCCCCCTCCGCGGGTGTAATCTATCCGTCTTTTCCACCTACTGCCAAGTAAGACGAAGGAACACTCAGCTAATATGTACATGTTACCGCAACCTCGTTCAGATCCGGCAAGGTCAAATACGTCGGAATATCCGAGGTCTCTTCTGCCACAGTCCGCCGCGCACACGCCGTGTACCCCTTGTCGGCCGTGCAGGTCGAGTACAACCCCTGGACGCGCGACATCGAGGGCGAGGCGGGCACGTTCATGCTCGACACGTGCAAGGAGCTGGGCATCTCGGTCTTTGCGTACTCGCCCCTGGGGCGGGGCGTCCTGACGGGCGCGTTCCGCAACATGACGTTCGAGAAGGGCGACCTGCGCGCCGACATGGCGCGCTACAGCAAGGAGAACATGGCCAAGAACGACGAGTGCCTCGACAAGATCGCCGCCATGGCGGAGCGCAAGGGCTGCACCTCGGCGCAGCTGTGCCTGGCGTGGCTCGTGGCCCAGGCGGACAACATCTTTGTGATCCCGGGGACCAAGAGGGTCAAGTATCTCGAGCAGAACTTCGCGGCGGGTAATTTGCAGCTCAGCGATGCGGAGAACCAGGAGTTCAGGCAGCTGGTGTCCGAGGCCGAGATCATTGGTGGGAGGGATGCTTTCTGGGGGTCGTATGACGATACTGCGCCTCTCTCTTGATGAAGCGTCCGAGCTGAGCGAGTGCGGCTGTTGTGGCTGCTGAGAATGGAATCTGGATATCTAGTGGCGATTAGAGCTGTTTAATGTGTGGAATTGTGCTTATCTCCATGATGCAAGTTCCACGTTTCCGGCGATCGTATTGTGTAGGCTCCTGGTGGTGTAAACAGTGAGCCACGGTATGTGTATGTGTACTCTATACCGTTTTACGCTAAGTGTGAATTTAAGAGGCTGTCTTTCAGACATAGAACACTCCAATTCTTTGCATCTGCCTTATATTATACAAGAAGATCTCGTTCTCGCCAGCTCCTATCACGCCTGTTCTTCAACAGTGCCTGTATGTACCGGGCTTCCAGCCGCCGGCGCGTGTGATGCTAATCTAGGCAGCACAGCAGGCGGTGATCGAGGCGTAGCTGTATTCACGGAGCTGTCTTTTCCCAAACTGTGCTCTCCGTGGGATTCGGTGACCTTGAGACTCTGCATATCTCGAGAGATACCACTGAACGGACACGCTCCACTGGTCGGTCGTGGCAGGCCGGAGGAGTGGTGTGCTGCAGTGTTCGCCCCTGCCGAACTCGCACCACCCCCTCCTTGCTCATCCTCGACATCCTCAAGGATCTTCTTGCCATCCATATAGCCCTCGGGCTCGACGGCTGGGTGGTCCTTGTTCGCCACGGACCCGTCTCCCTCTTCAGCCTGGTGCTGAAACTCGTCGCCATCACGGACATGCCACTTGGCCATAAAGTCATTCTGAATCCAGATGACCTTGCCCAGTGCTTTTACAATGGCGATCTTGCGCTGCAGGCTCAGCCGCGGATGGGACAGGATGGCCTCGGTCATGACCTCGTGGATCAGCGCCATGGTGGCGCCGAGGTGGATGTACTCGATGTGCAGCGGGTGCTCGCGACCGAGCCCGACGTGCATCATGCCGACCTTGTTGCAGTACTTCCAGTACTCGAGCCTGCTGGGGTCCGAGCACAGCTTGTTGAGGTAGGCGCGCAGGAAGGCCTTGCGGTGCAGCATCTGCGGGCTGTCCTCGGTCGGGACGGCGTCCATGGGGCCCTCGAAGCTCGTGGAGCGGGTGGTGAACGCCCTCGCGGTGATGTCGTACTGCAGGAGCTTCTTGTAGACGATGTTGACGACGGCGGGGATGAGGATCTTGACGTATTTCGAGGCGTAGATGAGGGCTTCGATGTCGTCTGCGGGTTCACAGAGAGTCAGCCACGGCCAAAGTGTCAATGTTTGCTGTGATGTAGGTGGTGAGCACACACGCACCACTACCAAAGTCGAGAAAGCTGTGCAGGTAGCGGACCCGGGACTCGATGTCTGTGTACAGTTCTTTGCGACTGATGTGTCGCATTGGCATGTGGCCAGCCATTTTGGATGGTTGTTGTGTCTGTGTGAACGAATTGCCGTCGTATGTACCGCTGAAGACGGTGGTATACTTCGCCAGGGAGCAGACTGGTGTTTTAAACCAGACTTGCCGGCTACGTGCTAATTGAGAAACAGCAAGTTGCGCTCTCTCGCCCTGTGGGGAATGATTCTGTCCGTCTCTGATGGTTCCAGTCTTCGGTTGATGTCGGTCCTCGAGGCCAAACGTCATGCGGTGCTAAGGGGCGCAACAGAAGTACCTCCCCACCCAAATTGGCTGGCGAAGGACATCGCGATTGACACCGCACGACCATCAGCCCACTCAGCATCACACCACCTCACCTCACCGCACCACCACGCTTTCACTTCCCGACGCCACGGGCCGATGCGGATGTCAACAAATTCGCCCGTGCATATGCGGAGTCTTGGTCGGCTCAAGGTTACCAAGTTCGCGGTTTGGCAGCAATCGCACTCCCCAGGCAAACAATGTGCGGACAGGGCATTCAGTTGAGGCACACCAAGGCTCAAACCACCACTGCCCCGACCATTCTGCCATTCCGACATTTCCCTAAAGTTCGTCACGAGGAGTCTGGGTTTGGAATGTAGATATATACGACGATCCAAGTTACTTTCACCCAATAATCATCGTGTCGTGCATAGCCCTAGTATTGTCATCGACATACCCAGAAACACAAATATGCAAGGATCATGTGATCTGCACTCAGGAGCAAAACCAAGGGAGGGGCGCAAAGAAAGCTTAGCTACGCGCGCCGGGGAGCCGTCTGGGGGAGGGGTCGTTGCAGGACAAGTGCATTGGTCTCCCGGAGGTTGGTCCGTTAGCGGCTGGGGAGGAAATCTTAAACTGACATCGACTCACCTCAATGCAACAAACTGTGCATGCTGCGGCGGCTACTGCCGTCGCTATAATTAGACCTGTGCGGCATGGGCTGTTGCTGGCCTGTTGCTGGCCGTTAAGGCGAGCCCTCGGTGAATGGAAGAATGTGCTGAACTCAGTGTGTACCCCTATAACGAAACTGAGAAATTTTGATCGACTTATCTTCTAGGGACATCGCAAACCGGCTGCATACGTACGTAGCGTATGGCTGTCGGACTCTTAGCACTCATTTGACATCGCTGCCACTTATGTCACCCCTTACATCATTAGCAATATCGCATGATGGTCGGCCACGGCTCATGTACTTGGAGGCAACGCCCGGCACGAAGATGATTCATGCCATGGAAAATGTATATATGTAACACCAAACAAAAAGATCGCTTAATCCGCTGGGGAAACTGCAACGCTGTACTTTTTGCCTTGAATCGTCACTTGGGAAGCAATTGCGCCAACTCCTTGAAGCGCACCGGCTTCGTCATGTACATGTCCACCCCGCTCGCATATGCTTCCTTCTGCACAGCCACAGAGGCTAGCCCCGTCAATGCGATGATCTTGGACGGCCCCCTGCGCGTTGTCGCTTCAAACTGGCGAATACGCCTCGTCGACTCTAACCCATCCATGACGGGCATGGAGATGTCCATCAGGACGTGGCTGAAAGGGCACGGGACTGTGCTGTACGCCTCGAGTGCTTCGAGGCCGTTGGTGGCTGTTTGGTATCGATGGCCGAGCTTCTTCATAAACGACACGAGGATCTGACCATGCTCCAAGTTAGTCAAATCTGATGGGTTTTGCTGTCATGTAAATGAGAGTCACGGGATACACGGAATACTGACCTGTAGATTGATGTTGTTGTCATCCACTAACAAGATCTGTGCCCCTGGGGACGCTTGTGATGACAGCGCCTGACCATTTATCAATAACTCATTGCCTGGACTCCGGCTACGGCGCATGTAATCCTCTTGCACATGATCTTCTGTCGACAGCAAGAATTTGCCTAGCCTTGTGAGCACAGGGTCTGTGAAGTTCTGTCGACTGATGATAGTATTGCTGGCTCCAAGTGTGTCGGGGGTCAAGAGTGTACCTGGGCATGATTTGCCTCGCGTGCTCGCTGCTGGTGGTGGTGGTGATAGTGGTGGCGGCGGGCGTATTAGCTCAGAGCCCTTGGCGTTGTTGAAGCGGCCTAGAGCCATCACCAGAGCTTTTGCAAGCTTGCGTGACCCAATGCTGGGAAGATGTCAGTTTAGATACTCAATTGGTTAGAAGGGCGCCTATACTTACGGATGTGAAATGGCTTCGAGAACCCCGGTTTGATCGCCCTCACTGAACTGCAAAAAACAGGCATGGGCTGCCACAGCGCTACTACAGATAGCCACGATGGGCGGCAACGATTCCCTAGCCTTGACCATGAATGATCTCGCAGCGAGGCCGGTACACAAGATGGCATCGGGCCGAAGGTCACCAGCATCAGACGGAACGATCTCTAAATGAAGCCAGTCACGACATATCGCAGTGATTATGCCCAGTTCCGTCGGAGGTTTCTCGCTGGCGATACCGGGAGCTGCAGGTTCGGTCTTGAAGCCAAGCAGGGACACCCGAAGCCCCTTCAGTGCCACGACATGTTTCTCAAAAGGCGTAAGTGAACGGGCTAGGGGTGTGAAGCCCGTAAGCGGGATCGCGACAGTAACAGAAGTGCCTTGGTGGACTTGGCTTTCCATGTGAAGTGACCCATGCAGGGCCCGAACAATCTCCTTCACCAGACTGAGTCCCAGCCCTGTGCCCTGGGATAGTGAATCTTCCTGAGAGAACGGCCGGAATGCCTGGTGGCGCAGGAATTCCGGATGGATGCCTTTGCCAGAGTCCGTGACATTGAGCAGCAGATGATTTGCATAGGCTTGATTGCTTCTTTGTCGTTGTTCTTGCCAGATGCTCACCTTGACAAATCCGTTGTCAGTGAACTTGAGAGCGTTGCCCAGAAGATTCATGATGAGACGGCGAACGGCGCCTGCTTCAACTTGGCACTGCCAAGCGGCTTGTGGATCGCATTCCACGAAGACAGAGACCGCGGAAGGGCCTACACTTTCCGTGAGCGACTCTGACGCCCATGTCAAAGTCGACTCGGAAGATCCTACAGAGTTAGATCTGTGCGGACTGTATCTGCGAGGAGCGCTCGAGTACCTGTTCGGCCCCATGGAGGACTCAATAGCACCGTGAGACTGCAGCCCAGAGAGGACACTCTCCACCGTTTCTTCAACCAAGACATCAAGTTCTATAGCTGGTGAAAAGGATTCGAGGGTGTGAAACAGATCAAGCGTATCTCGACTACTGCCTTCTGTGGAGGTATGTGAAGCGGCACCATGGTTCGACTTGACAAGTGTATTAATCTTGGAGTAGTCCAGAAGATGATCGATCACGTCCAGCAAGGTATGGCCGCAATAGTCCATAGTCTGCAATAACCCTCCTTGGAAGGCATTCAGCTCAGTATCCTGGAGAAGCTCGATAGCGGTTACAATTCCGTGTAGCGGGGATCGGAGTTCATGGCTTAGCGAGCCGAGGAGATCACTCTTTGCACGTTCCGAGACGCAAGTATAGAGCCGATCGACCTCGGCCATGATGGTTGTCGCAAAGGCCCGGAGGTAACTCATTTCGCCACCCAACGTGAGACAACGAGCTGGGTTGCTAGTCCACATGAACGAGCCGGCAAACCACTTCTCTTTGCGTGCGTCCCACAGCGGGACAAGGCACACGCTGCGAGCGCCCGGGAAGACTGAGGCGATGAATTCCGAATCACGCTTCTGGGAAGACAGGTTAGGTAGCGTGTCGAATGAGAGGGTACTGGTCCCTGGCGTGAAGGGAAGTTGTGACGCCAAATCCTCGTCACGGTTGTTGGCGATATCGCCTTGAGCATCCTCATCGTCCATGTCATCAAGACTAAAGCCATCCTCGTCAAAGATGAACACTTTGCCAGAAGGATACCGCTTGAGTAGCGACTGAAGAGCCTTTTCAGACATCGTGATGTTGACCGACGCGCAGTCCTGGTTGGTGCTAGTATGTGCAATTGTGGAATAGCCCAGAATATGGCAGGTCTTCGGGCTCCTTTTGCCATGTTCGCCCCATGACTCTGCGAGGGCATCTCCCTGTCGTTCGAGGCTGGGACTGTGACAGGCCCCATCTTCATCGAGCACGAGACCACCAAACGACGAGATGCAAGCATCGAGAAAAACCACACCCTCTAGTTCCGCAGATTCTCGGATGATGCTCGCGGCCCGGCCGAAGATGGCCTTGGAATCGCGAGAGATGGGATCTTGGAGGGACGATAGTGTGCGGATTGTTCTGGTCGAGGCCGAGCTCGCTGAGGGAGTGTTGGAAACGGTCGGATCAATGCCATATGGTGTATGTGCCATATTGGCTCCAAGTCCCGTTGAAACTGGAGCGTGCGCCGATGGCGGTGATTGCAGGGGAACTGGCTCTGACCTCCTGTGCGGAATGGCTGAGGGGCAGTCGATGCTAATTTCAGTATAACATCCAGCCCGTTCATCTTGCGCGTCGGAACAGCATTGCGCGTGGGATTTATCGGATGCGCCGACTGTCGAATCAGATTGTCGTGGCGCAATTGCGATCTTGTCTTCAAAGAAGCTGCCGAGTCCGTGGACCACTGTAGACAAGCAGTCAGCATCGCCATGCTTCACCCCGAGATGCGTCTATGCACATTTGCAGAGAATGAAGAGTGCGCGTAGGAACGCACTTCAAAGTCGTCACAGGTGAAAAACTTACTGCGCTCTCCTCTCGTGCAGGCTGTGGTTAGCCGACGAGACTCTAGGTGGCGGCTGACAGTCCGCGACAACTCTTGGAAGAAGAGTAGTTGTTCGTCGCTTAGGACAGATCGTGGTCTGTCGTCCATGACGCACAGGACTCCGTACCTAATCCCATCTAGAGTGACGAGAGGAACTCCAGCATAGAAGCGGTTTGTTGGCGAATGGATAACGTGGGGGCAATTGCAAAATCTCGGATCCTGTGAAAGGTCTGGCACAAGTGAGACCGGGAGATCGTCTCGGCCTTGGTCTGAAGCTTCTGCGAAGAGCACATGCTCGCAAACACCCAGGCTGCGGGGGATAGCCGTGGTACCTCCCGAAGTCTGGCCATGCGACTTCGTGTTGTCAAGCAGAGACGAGCTTTTGGTGGCTGTGGCAATGACCAGTTGGCGCCTTCGGTCGAAGACTGACACGAGACATCGACGTGCATCTAGCCTGATGACACCAAGCTGTGCGAGGGCTGTCAGCACCGGGTCGTGGGCGGACGGGGCCGGGGCTGTTAGAATAGCGGTATCTGTTGCAGTTGCGGATCTGGTCGGCGGTGGACGAGTATTGTCGAGCCTGGAATTGCCTCTTCACTATCAGCCAACAGGTCGGCGGTGTGAGGCAGGCGATTTGGCGAGACCGCAACGCAAGGATCAGGGTCGTGGAGGGGAAGCATACTGACACATGTGGCACAAGCCGCGCGACTTCTCTTTCGCGGAGGAGCTCGAGCCTGCGCGGGCTGCGGGAGCCCATATTGGGCGGAGCAGGCCGTGGGCGGCAGGTAATGAATTTGAGACGTCCTACAGTCCAACAGCGTTCGAGCCAAGGGAGGACTGTGCTTTGAGAAAGGCGCTACTCGGAGAGTACCGGTCTTGGACGATCAAGGATGGTATTCGAGGACGGGCTTGGAGCTCACAGAACCGGGTCCGGGTGAGCGCACGTGTCGCCGGGATTGGATCTGGCCGTCATGGTTGTCGTGTACGGCGAGAATGAGGAAGGAGAGAATAAAGGTGGAGGAAAGAACACCATGGGCAGCAGCTGCGAGCCAGAACAGCCACGACCCTCGGGCACGGCGTCTGGGAGTGCCTGGCCCGCTGGCTCGTTCGCGCGGTGCAGACCAGACAGTCTTGGACAGGACATGGCTGGAGAGGGCACCCGCCGGGAGCGCGATCGAGATGGACGTCGCGGATCGTGTTGTCGCCATGCGGGCGGCAGGTGGGCGGACCGCACCGACGTGGAGCAGTGGGAAGGCCTAGGCTTTGGACAAACGGTGGGTGTCGCCAACAACTAGTTGGACCCTGACGACCTTGACGAGCCCGACGCGAGGGGCAGGTACTGGCCAAGGGCAAGGTTACAGCGTCTGGCGTATCTGGTTTGTCGCTGTGTTCCGGTCATGGGCGCCCAGCAGACTCTTCAAGAGCACCAACCCTTGGCCCTGGGGTCCTCTAACGGCATATTCCGAGACCGCGCGGCGCCCTGAGATCGACGGGAGGGCACGCCACCATGGCGAATTCAACTTTCGTCTGTGTTGTTTTCTAACTGCTCGATTGTTGTCGGTTAGTGTTCCCGAGTACAGTCGCCTTGGCGTTGTTGCTGCCGTCGTCTGTTTGGAGCCTGCTCTGATGTCGCGATAGCCATGCCAAGCTATAGCCGTTCACGGGTGTTTCTGTGCTTCAGTCGCTCCCCACCGCGCGCACATGGCGTCGCCAGCGGCTAGTTCTGTCGAGGACGCGCCCCGGCCCTGGCAAGGCCGTGGCCTGGACTCTAGACAAGCCACACAGCAGGACTCTTGCGACCCACGATCGATGACACCCGCGGTCGAAAATCGTCCTTCCATTCTGCAGCAAGTAGTCGCTCAACAGCAGAGCATTTCCACCCAGAGCCAGCTCAATGGGTCGGGTGAGTTGGAAGTTGAGCCATTTTGCTCGTCTTGGAAGCCCGTCGCAACTACCATCCTGACTGAAAGATACTGTTGGAAGCTAGTCTCTCTGTTGACACGACGCCGCCGGCCTTCTTCGACTTCTCTCCCTTCGACATCACAGCCGCCCTCAATCTAGCCCGATGGACACTCCAACTAGTGGCACCGGCACTCGAGCCGTCAGCCGCTTTCGTCGCCGCCGATGCGAACCAGCCCGATCTGCCTGTCGTATTCGCCTCTGACGCCTTCGAAGATATGACTGGCTACCGCCGTCACGAGATTATTGGCAGGAACTGTCGCTTCCTACAGTCACCGCCCGGCTCTTCCACGAGGGATCATATCAACAGGGCTTCCATCCAGGAACTCAAGGCCAAGATTGAATCTGCCAGCGTATGCCAGCACGTCGTATCGAACTTCAGAAAGAACGGGGAATTCTTCATCAACTCCATCACGATTGTGCCCGTCTTGGCCGGATTGTCTGGCACCAGGCTCATTTTCGGGTTCTCGGTCGACATTACCAACGCCGAATTTGAAAATTTCGAGATCAGCTCGGGTGCGGCAAGTTCCCTTCTTCAGCACAGGGTCAGCACTGGGCTGAGCGATACAAGCACGAAACAAATAGGCTCACCACCCGGTCAGCCTCGCCCGCAGCCACGAGCGAACCAGTATTCACAACACTCGCCTTGGACTGGCTATGGCACACCGACCATTGGCAGTGAAGTCAGCAGTCCCCAGGCATCGCAAGCGAGGCCATGGCTCGAGAACCCTCCATGGGCCATGGAACCACAATCTGCGATACCGGACGAGCCGAGCCCGAACAGTCACGATTGGGCGGTTCCAGCGGATCTACACAGAATACTTCTCAACGAGGTTGATGGGCTGGTGTTCGTGCTCTCCTTGCGCGGTTTCATCCACTTTGCCACGCTGTCATCTTGCAAGACCCTTGGGCGCAGGCACGCCGAGCTTGTCGGAAGTTACATTGAGGACTTCTGCCACGCCACAGACGGGCGGCTGGTGATGCGCAAAATATCAGCGATGTCGTCCGTGGATTACGAGAAGCTGCTGTTCCGGCTAAGGAGGGCAGACAGCAGTCACGCCTGGTTCGCCTGCTCTGGCAAGATTTGGCATCATGGCTCGCGACGTTTGGTCGTACTCGGTGGCTGTATTGAAGAGTCAACAAGCCTGTCTAGAGAACTAGTAACCTGTAATGGCGGGTTTGGCGACCGGGACCTTTGGCTGCGGATCTCGACCTCTGGACTCGTCCTGTCTGTGCTCTCTGCCGTGCCTGCAGTTCTCGTTTTTTCTGGGGCTAGGTTTGACGCATCGTGTTTCCAGGATAGGATGGACCAGTCCGAGAGTGACTTGTTCCTGCGCATGCTCGCAGGAGCGACACAGGGCATCGTGATGTCTGCCACTTGCAGACTCACAACAGCCGACGACTACGACGTGTGCGCCGACATTACCCTATATCCCGACCGGTCGACACCGGCTGGCAAATTCTATACCGTCCTCCTGCAGTGTAGAGTCACCAGGATACTTCCTGATAAGAGTGAGTGTTGTTCACACCTGTTTGCTCATTCACTGAGTATGGTGACGAAATGGCACCAGCTTTCGCGGCGAGGTCTTGGACTGACATCCTCGGCAGGGGACATGTTTGTGTCTCCGCCTCCACAGGGCTCATCCGCGGGCCCGAAGACCATCGCGGCAGTCCCTGACAGCGAAAGTGACCATGACGACATAATGGCCGCCTTGTCGATCGAGTCGTGTGGCACCGTGCCGCTCGAGCTCCACCGCCTACAGGCAGAGAACACGGCGCTCCAGGCGGAGTTGCAGACGCTCGAGGACCTGGCGACACATCGCAAGCGCCTCAGGACAGCAAGGCACACGTTCCGTGGCTGCGCCAACTGCCACGCCAAGTCTAGCCCGGAATGGAGAGAAGGACCCAGCGGGAAACGCGACTTGTGCAACCGCTGTGGTCTCCGCTGGGCCAAGATGAAGCGTGACAGAGATAGGGCCAAGCCGCCATAGCACGTAACTCACCCCCATCACCACCATCACCATCACCACCAAGATGAAGACAGTATCCAGAAATCGTACTGGGCTGTCCCAAGTATTTCCAAACTGCCTCGGCCCTCATGTTGTCACATGATCTCGCCTATGCGGCAAACCTGCTTTAAGGCGTTCTCCTGACTCGCTCTTTTGTGGTCATTGCCCATGGAAAAGCTCCGCCCCTCCACCATGTCGGGAATGGTCTTTCGACCCGGGCTATGTGCGGATTGGCCAAGGTACTTTCCCGACTGCACAAGGTTTCGCGCGTGGGGGACAGAGGCCCGCGCCGACCAAGCTCCCGGGAAGGCAGCACTTGTCCCATGTGGGGAGGTGCGGGTAGCTGTTCCCGCTGCCTGGCATGAGGAATCAGGGGATGGTCAGGGGAGCGAACAATTCACATCGGCACACCACACACACTTCACATCCGCCTTCCCTGATCCAGCCGTTGATCTGTCGCCCACGAGGCGTCTTGAAATCTGCAGTCTGCCGATGACATACTGACAGCCATGGAAACCGACATGCAGTAGCCCATGGTTCGTCAGCGACTGGAGGACGACCGTGGTCTGCCAGTGTCATTGGTCCTCACAGCCGGCAAACTAGGACCCGAGCTGGTACGGACTTGCGTGAGCTCACGAGGTGATTCGTTCAGATTGCAAGTTGCATTGCTTGGTGAGGAGGATCCGCTCCCGGAGCCAATGCCACGCCCGCTCCTTCCTCCGCAGATCCAGGGGCATCTCGATGACGGCGCCTGTCGGTAGCAAAAGCAAAGTACCCAGCGCCCGATGCCCGATGCCCGATGGGTGGCCACCCTTTGGACTTTTGCATCCTGGCCATGATGGGGTTTTCCCTAACTTCTCGATGACTAATGCTTTGCGATCACACTTTTCGATCGCCAACTTCTCGGTGGCCAACATCTCGGTGGCTTGCAGTCGTGGACAAAATCAGAATCCAATTCCGTCCGAGGCCTCCCTTTTAGTTGTGTTCATCTGATGCACACCTGCGCTTTTCAACAACTGGCCTTCAATGCTGCTGCACAGCGCCAGCGAGGTGGCGGACCGGACCCTGCCCTTCCATTTCTGTTTCTCCCCGCGCGCAGCCAACCCAGCGGGCCGCTTCCATGTCTCGGGAATGCCCACCACCCCCCATCGTCCATGCTGCTTTCCCCCCGCCTACGCCGCGCGCGCTAGCGTCTAGTGCTCACCATAAGAGACGTGGGCTTTCTCCATCTCCGGGTACGTTCTTAGTACCTTGGCATACAGATGCCCTGAAATCAAAACCACATGTTCTGTGGTTTCTGGCCTTTCCATACCACATATTCCGTGGTTTCTGGTCTTCCATGCCACATGACGAGCAGGATGTCGCGTATTTCAGGTATTATGATAATGTTCAGAGGAAACAGACTACATCGCAAGTCACGATCTACCACGATGACAGCACAGTATCACAGTGAGGTCACGCCGGGTCTGCTGCAGGCAAACGTGCTTCATGCACCGTGGCCCCGTCCCTAGACCAGCCTGCTCGAAGCGGCAAATCAATGGATCTTAATTCTGGTAGACCGCATCGTCGTGAGATCCCAATCATCCAGCTCGATACAAGGTCGCCTGAGCATCTTATCAAATTTGTGAGATCTGGAAAGTTCGCTGAAATTTCAGCCAGTTTCCGAGTGAAGTTCCGCTTGGTGCCCTGCGTTGAATTGATGGATCGCTCTTTCATCTAGAGCGTTCTTTCATCTTTCTTTGTTATTGAACAGTCTATCCTGGCGGGCAATCGGACAGACTTGCTAGCCCAGATCATTATATCAATTAGCAGTCGAAGCAGGATTACGAACGGTGACTCAATACCAATTAATTATGCGGACTCGACAAGCAGTGTCTCGTGGCATGCTTTGCATAAGCATGTCAGTTATTGGCTCCTACGAAAGCCATGATTTCTTCTGCGGGAGGCATTTCGCCCATTAATAGAGACTCAAGAACCAAAGCTATGGCCGAGAGGATATTTTACGTGTTTTAGAACCCGAAGAGCCAACGCTAGTCTTTGATATAGAGTTGATATTCTGGACTTCCGATTAGTCTTCGGCAAATGCTTGTGCGCACATGCATAAGGCGCATATGAAACGCTGTTGAATCAATGGAGCTGCCGCGCAGAGAACATACGAATCTTGCACTCTGCAGCAAATGGCTCGCTTGTTCCATCGTCTCCCCGTTGATAAAGAAGGAAAAGAAACAGATAGCGTTGGAGCTAAGTGTATCCTACAGATCATGAATCACGAAGAGGTTCAATGCAGATAAAATTGCTTCAGTCTCAAATAACTCTAAACCATCCCACTGATAACCTGGCCTGCTCTTGTCAGTTATTCCGCTACAGGTGTTAAATGCTGGCATCCCAATGTCCGATTCTCTGTGATGGCTGCCTGCTGCTAGTCCTTTCTGATACTCCCGGATTGTACTTTGGCGCACTTACCATATTGGCAAGTGCCTGGCCCATGGCCAACAGTGGAGCAAAACAGCCTTACAATATGCTCCAACTGGTCATCGCCGACTGACGAACCCAGCACCCGAGCGAGGATGTCAGAAGTAACGATCATCATGAGGTCGCTTCACGATGGCAACACAAGCAAAGATGCTGGTGTTATCGTGCGGACCTCGGCATCGAGCGAATGTATAGGGCCAAGGTAAAGCTGATAGTCATCCTTTATGGTTCCGCAAGTCGTGGACGGAACTCGTTCTGTAGAAACTGATGCGGATATGCTACCCTCAGCATGCAAGCCATTTAGGGTGTTTCTTGGACATTGTCGTCTTGGCTTCACGTATACTTGCTCAAGCAACTGGCCAATATAGGCGAGCGATTACACGACACGTCCAGACGTGGAATTTGACGGGCTATGAGAACCACGATAAAGTACCCACCATATTGCTTCATGGCAAACAAAGACTTGGCTTCCTAATGGCTGAGACAGGTATGCGCTGTGGCGCTGTTCAGCAGCCTGTCAACTTGACAAGGCAGCAACATCGCAAAGTGGAGCCTGAGGCTGTGAGCTTCCTCCTTAGGGCCCTGCCACAAAAGCAAACACTCAGCACGTGCCATGCTCATCGCTCACTTCCATGTTTCTGCTTCAAACGACGTTTCCACCTGGATCTCATCGCCTGCTACGTCATTTCACACATTCGTACTTTATATTGGATAGATTCACTGCTTGCAGACTTTTGCCCACCCCCACCCCTGAGTCTGCCACCCCGCACTCACCACCAAGAGCGTTCACTGACTCTCGTCTCTCGCATCAAGGGGCCCGGGCTTTACGGCTGCGCACATCTCTCGCCATGACCACACTCGCGGCCAGGCGCATTGCCAAGGAGCGCCTGGAGCTTGAGAAGCCCAATGATGACTACTTTGTCCATTTCAACGATGAGAACCTCCTCCACTTCGACGCCTACGTCGTGGGACCAGCCGACACGCCGTACCAGCACAAGCTGGCTCTGCTCCGGTTCGAGATCCCGGCCCGATACCCACTTGTACGTTTTGATCCTGCCCTGAAGCTAGCTGCCTCTAGCCCATGCCGGATGCGGCACAATTAGCGATGTGTTGTATTGACCAGCAATAATCCAGGTTCCGCCTGTTGTCAAATTCATTCAGCACACCGGCCACAGAATCCATCCCAACCTCTATGTCGAAGGCAAGGTCTGCCTTAGCATACTGGGCACTTGGCCGGGTGAGCCATGGGCGTATGGCATGACGTGTCACACCAGTAGGCTTCCCGATTTCTTCCTTCGACTCTGTAATGACACTGTATCGTGCTAGATCCTGTTATAGGACTTCCCATCAGCTGACACCCACAAACCCTCAACAGTCCTGGTCACAATCCGCTCACTGCTGGATGACAAACCATACAAGCACGAGCCGAATCAGAATGACAACCCCGCCTTCAACAAGTTTGTAGAGTACTCATCCTGGCGATGCATGCTGCTCGACTACCTTGCCCGAGCGCCCAACCAGGCCAGCAGAGAGTTCATTACGCGACACATCAGCAACCACGGTGAGGCGATGAGGGCGGCGCTTGCGGCACAAGCGATCGAAAACAGAAGACTCAAAGAGTTCAGCTCGCCCTACCTCAGAGGTCGTCGGCCTGACAATGACCAACATCTGCGAGTTGAGTATCCAAAGCTCCAGTCTGAGCTGGAAAGTGCCATTGAGAAAGCGAACATGGCTGTACGTGCTTCCTCGCCAGTTAAGCGCGGCCTGGAAGAGGACGTAACGCCGTCAAGCTCGGCGCACGGCAAGCTACATGATGGTGTCCAACAGAAGCGGATTAAACAATCTGACGGCGCAACGGATGATGACGTTGCCTCTGACGGCATGGCTGGAGGCTCAACCACATCTGCGAAACCTGTTCCGGAGGTTATTGACCTGACCTGAGCATCTGACCAAGTGAGCCTCGAATGCTAAAGCAAGGAGACCTCTCTTGGCAATTTCCTGAGTGCTGTCAGCTGGAAGACAGTATCACACTTTTGTACAAATTTAGTACCCTCATCCTCGTAGCAGGCGTTCCTAATTCACAATACCACCGCCTGAGCACCTGATGTCAAATATTCATAACAAGAGCATTGGAAGCGACGGCGCAGCAAGGGAGGTCTGAACAAAGTAGCAGTTCTCAACTTCTCATCCCTGATACCTGTTTTTCAGGTCTACTCGACCAATGCACCACCACCCAGAATCCTCATCGCAACCCCCTTTACCTCCTCGGGCTTCAAGAAGCTCAGGCTCGGCCCAACACTGATCCTGGCGACCCCAATTTCCGCGAGCTCCCGCACACTCAGCCCGCCCTTGGCACCCAGCTTGACCGCCACCCGGCCGCCAAGTTCCCTCGTCAGCATCTCGACTTCCTGTGTCCTCAAACCTCTCCCCGACCCGCCCCAGTAGAACACCGTCGTGGCGCCAGCACCAAGGTATGCCTTTCCCCGGGCCAGCGCGTCCTGCATCACCTCCTCGTCGCTCTTTCCCGTGGTGGCCTGCATGAAGAACGCATCGCACCGCGCATTGACGACGAACCCGGGACACCCGGCCTCTTCTGCAGCCTCGATAGCAGTGCGGATTCGAGCCGCTTGCTCCTCGACCCCGTAAAACTCGCCCTCCTTGTGTTGTTGTCCGACCTTCTCTGCGTCACTGCTCGCGAGCACCACGTCCTCGATGTTCGCACCCACGGCGCCGGCCTTCACGGCAGCCGCGACGGTCTCGCCGATGCGGGCGCCGTAGCCGTCCTGCAGGTCTGCGGAGAGCGGGAGGCCCGCGGCGTGCACGAGGGGCGCGAGCTGCTTGATCCGGGCCAGGTTCTGGTCAAAGGTGAGCTCTGCGTCCTGGATCCCCAGGGAGGTGGCGATTGCATAGGATGCAGTTGCTACGGCCTTGAGGGGGCCACTCGATGAAGAACCCGGAGAGGAAGCTGAAGAGGAGGAGGAGGAGTCATTGATGGACGTGATTGCCTCGAGAGAGGAAGTGTCCCAGATATTAGGCAAGACGAGAGGCTTGCCTGGGACGTGGAGGGAGGCGAGGTGTGCCGCAGATGTTGTTGATTGGGTCGCCATGATGGCTGTTGCATGTGGAGGGACGCGTGAATTGTGTTAAATCAGTTGGGAGAGGTAACACAGTCAGATGGTGGTGCCGCAGGGCCTGCAAGTCGTTGCTTCTGAGGCTATGGCCAAAGTCCGTAACCTCAGGTCGCCAGAAAGTCCGAGAAAGAAGATTCACGATTACAGGCATATAATACCAAGCACGAGAGGAGTCACTGCCGAGCGGGACCCCAGTTTGACTCATTTAGTGCTAAACTCTAAGGAGCTGCCCCCGCATTCTGAAAGTGACGGGACGGGGGATTGCTGCCTCAAGGTGGCCATGCCCCACTCCTCTGGGCCTGCTGCGCGCTTCGTTGATGGAAGATTGCTGCAGTTCGACATGCATGTGAGGCCAGAGTTAAGAAGCTATGCTCAGTTGCGCTTGCAATCAATTGTGTTTTCTGCGGGAGAATCACTACAGCAGAGCCGAGAGGAGATGGGTATTAGTATAGCTCAGGATGGAAAGAGATAAGGGCGTGAAAGTATCACCTTGCCTAGTCGCAAAGTGGCCAGTTATATTTCGAAGGACTTCCTCCTCGAGCTCGAGATGTCAGCAACGGCATAAACATCCAGAACTCAGAGCGGTCAGACTTCACTATAGTATTTTGGAAGCATCGTTCCCATGTCCCTTTTCGGCAAAAGGCTGAACGGGGTCGGGCATAGGTAATAAAGGGTCGAGCGAAGACAGGAGTGGAGCTGACTTGATTCGCCGCACACTACACTTCACAATCATCTACATGGAAACAGGCTGGCGACCGGTTCAATGAGGGCTTGGATCTCTGCTGATGAGCCCATCAGTCAGTGCTAGTGCTCAAGTCAAAAGGGAGAAGTGAAAGTTCTGGAACCACTATCGCCAAATAACAGTAAGGCCAGCCAGAGCCAGCCTGAAACCTCCGATGTCACACACTGGGATGGCAGAGCTATCGCCGCTGATTCGCGAGGTGTCGTTCTTGCCCTCGCAATACGCTGAGCGGTGTTTGTTGGGATATTATCTTCAATGCTCTCAGAGCTCTCAGGTATGTTCGTAGTGGTCGGCCAATCAGCATCCCCAAAATTCTTGGGTGTCTCGGACCGGCTCTAGGCGGGATATGGAGCACCCAGTCCCTACTTGGCTGGGTGTGATTATCTAAGCAAGCAGCCTATCCTTCAGCCACAAATGACGTTCGTGCTCTGACTGTGCCACAGAACCTGCTTGATAAGCCGATAAAGCGCGGCTTGCGCCACCCAGCATCTGTCGCCTTCCAGAAAATCACCCTGGCGCTCCATCACCCTGCACTGCGCGCGTCGACATAACTTTGAGAGCGGCTGTCCCCACAGGGACTCTTTGCGTCTCACAATCTTGCGATCCACTTGCGCCTTCACCCACCGCAGTCGCATCTGCGCGTACATAAAGAGACGTGATCGGCTGCGACGCCTTGTCGACGCGGCGCACACGCACACACGGGCCCATCATGCCTCCCCAGATTAAGCAGGACCTTAACCGGTCCGGCTGGGAGTCGACCGACTTCCCCTCCGTCTGTGAGACGTGCCTGCCCGACAACCCCTACGTCAAGATGCTCAAGGAGGACTACGGCGCCGAGTGCAAGATCTGCACCCGGCCGTTCACCATCTTCAGCTGGTCCGCCGACCGCGCCCACGGCCGCAAGAAGCGCACAAACATCTGCCTGACCTGCGCCCGCCTCAAGAACTGCTGCCAGTGCTGCATGCTCGACCTCTCCTTCGGCCTGCCCATCACCATCCGCGACGCCGCCCTCAAGATGGTCGCGCCGGGCCCCAGCTCAGAGATCAACCGCGAGTACTTTGCGCAGAACAACGAGAAGGCCATCGAGGACGGCCTCGGCACCGAGGAGTACGAGAAGACGGACGACAAGGCGCGCGAGCTGCTCCGGAGACTCGCCAACAGCAAGCCCTACTTCCGCAAGGGTCGCACGATAGAAGACGGGAGCAGCGCGTCCGCGGGGGCGTCTGGGTCAGCCACGGGCGGAGACGTCGCCACGGGGAGTGGCTATGGCGGACCTGGACCGATACGGACACGCGACTCGAGAGCTGCTGCGGCTGCAGGCGGCCGTGGTGGCCACGGAGGTAGAGGAGGGCGAGGAGGCGGTCGCGGCGGTCGTCCGTTCCCAGCGGCGTCGCAATTGCCCCCCGGGCCAAAGGACTACATTCCGCCTGCGGACAAGACCATCATGAGCCTGTTCGTCACGGGTGTCGAGGACGACCTGCCCGAGTACAAGATTCGCGACTTCTTCAAGGAGCACGGCAAGATCAAGTCGCTCATCTGCAGCCACATGTCCCACTGCGCGTTTGTCAACTACGAGACCAGAGAAGCCGCGGAGAAGGCTGCCGACGCTTGCAAGGGGAAAGCAGTCATCGCTGGCTGCCCATTGAGAGTGCGGTGGTCGGTGCCCAAGGCTGTGGGCACGATGAACCGCGAGGAGAGAGGCGAGATGCTGCGGGATGGCCGTTCGGCATTTGGAAACCCTAGGCAAAGGAAGGCGCTGGAAGGCGGGCAGAGGCAGGGCGGCGGCCAAGAAGGCGGCGGCCAACCACAGCAGCAACAGCAAGAAGCAGAGTTTGAGCAGATGGCAGCCGTCGCTGCGCCGCCTGGTGCTAGCGATGTCAACTACGCCAGTCTTGCGGGCGATTAACAGGACGAGTGGGGGGGTTTTTACGGGCGAAGCATTGTTACACGGCGTTCATCTGGTTTTCTCGGAGGACATGATGCTCCTTACATTCTAAAAGAGATATATTTGCGGGCTCTACATCGTCTGTGGCTCACTACTCTCCATCGTAGCACACCATCTCTCGCCTTTTGTGATCATACTTCATTTATTTGTGCAAAGTCTAGGCTTTTGTCTTGCTGTTGTTACAAATACGGGTATCGTAAGGTTTTCGTTATATAGTACAATGCATTCGCACCGCCATTCCACCGCGTATGCCCGCCTTGTATCTGTTCCTGTCGTACATAAGATGTCGTATATTTCCATTCATGCGATCGCCACCATGGCCCCTCTCGACTCCTCCGCGTCTTCGCGTCTGCCGTGTCGATGTCACTTTACTGGCTGCAGCATTTCTGTGTGGCGGGCTGCGGATCGCCCGCCCGTGCCATCTTCTTGCCGGCGAACTTGATGGACTCGTTGTCGCCGCGCTCCGTCTCGGCGTGGATGTTGAGTTCTGCGACAAGCACAAGCCCTCGGATGTTAGCAACGTCATGCAAAGCTTCGAGCGCGCTCCATATGAACTTCACGTGGGAGAGACCGATAGGAAGGGAAGGCGGGGGAAGAACGCACTATACCGGTCCCCGTCGCTGTCTATCTGCTTCCCCTGCACAACATTCTGGCGCAGTATCGTGGCGACCTCGTTGGCGTGCTGCAGGGCGGGCGCGTACTCGGGACTCGAGGGCTCGAGGTGTGCGTTGGTCAAGAAGCCGGCGCGGATCGAGGATCGGGCTGCGGTGAGCATTCTCTGGTCGCCTGTGCTCGGTGGTTTCGCTGGTCAGCTTGGTGCGCAGAGCATCTCAAGGCCCCTATGGTACTTGAGTTCGGGAGAGCATCTACGTACCTCGAAAGGCGACGTTGGCGGAGCGCCAGAGGTTGCGGTAGGCGGAGAGGGCCATGGCCTGTGTGGTTCTTGTGGCTGGAAACAGATGGTACTTGTGAAGCTTGGCTATCGATTCTCGTGGTGCTACGTCGGTGAGACTGCCCGTGTCGTTTGTCACTCGAGTCAAGAATGGTCAAGAAATCAAATCGGCATGTCGGAGCAGCGACTTTGCGATCTGATTGATCGGCCGTTGGAGTTCGAGAGCCAAAAGTTGTGCAGCGGCAGGGGTCTAGGTATGCACAAGACGGGCTTGTGCAAGACTAGAGACGAGTTATGCAACAGCCCACTCTGACAGCCCAGCCCAGGCCCGAAAAAAAATATTGCCAAAGTGCCTTGCCCCACGTTGGAACTGGGTGCATCTTTGTCCTCCTCTTTGAAGAGCCGAGCAAGACCATCACTCGAAAAACCAGAGAGAGACAATCGCTCATCCACAACGATGTCTGTCGCTACCACCGTCTCCAGGCCCCTGCCGGCCCTCCCTGAGGGCTGGTCTGCCGAGAAGGACTTCAAGGCCATCGGCTCCATCACCGCCTCGTCCCAGCGCACCATCGAGCCCGTCGGCCCGCACTTCCTCGCCCATGCCCGCCGTGCCCGTCACAAGCGCACGTTCTCCGAGGACGACCGCATCCAGGCGCAGGAGAGCGCCAAGAAGATCGAGAAGGATGACGAGAGCGACGAGTCCGAGGCTGAGGACCCCATGCTCCTCCAGCTCCAGGCCAAGGACTGGAAGGTACGCCCACTCTTCTTCCAGAGGGATTCCAAAGCTCGAAATGATGATAGGAAATGGTGCTAACAACCCTCGCTCTATAGACACAAGACCACTACCAGGTCCTCGGCCTCTCCAAGTACCGCTGGAAGGCCACCGAGGAGCAGATCAAGCGCGCCCACCGCAAGAAGGTGCTGAAGCACCACCCCGACAAGCGCGCCGCCGTCGGCGGCACCGAGGACGACCAGTTCTTCAAGTGCATCCAAAAGGCTACCGAGGTGCTCCTCGACCCCACGCGCCGCCGGCAGTACGACTCTGTCGACGAGAAGGCCAACGTCGAGCCCCCGTCCAAGAAGGAGGCCGCCAAAAACTACAACAAGCTCTGGGGCCGCGTCTTCAAGTCCGAGTCGCGCTTCTCCAAGATCCAGCCCGTCCCGCAGTTCGGCGACGACAACTCGACCAAGGAGGAGGTCGACAACTTCTACAACTTCTGGTACAACTTTGACTCGTGGCGCTCGTTCGAGTACCTTGACGAGGACGTCCCCGACGACAACGAGAACCGCAGCCAGAAGCGCCACATGGAGCGCAAGAACACCAACGCCCGCAGCAAGCGCAAGGCCGAGGACAACGCCCGCCTGCGCAAGCTGCTCGACGACGCGTCCGCCGGCGACGAGCGCATCAAGCGCTTCCGCCAGGAGGCCAACGCCGCCAAGAACAAGAAGAAGAACGAGCGCGAGGCCGCCGAGAAGGCCGCCAAGGAGGAGGCCCGGCTGAAGAAGGAGGCCGAGGAGAAGGCGGCCAAGGACGCAGAGGAGAAGGCCAAGGCGGACCGCGAGGCCGGCAAGAAGGCCAAGGAGGCCGCCAAGAACGCCGTCAAGAAGAACAAGCGTGTCCTGCGTGGCTCCGTCAAGGACGCAAACTACTTTGCCTCGGGCGACGCCTCGGCCACCCAGATCGACGCCGTCCTCAACGACGTCGAGCTCATCACGGGCAAGATCGACCCCGACGAGGTCGCCGACCTTGCTGGCAAGCTCAACGGCCTCAAGGTCTCGGACGAGATCAAGGCGGTCTGGAGCGGCGAGGCCAAGAGGCTCGTCGAGGCTGGCAAGCTCAAGGATGGCGAGGTCAAGTCCTTTTAAAAGGTCTTGGCGGGTATGATGATGACGCTGGTGACGACAAAATCATGTGTGAGCTTGGAGCTTTGGTTCTGGCGGCTCTAGACGATATAGAAATGATAGACATTAGTCTTATTAAGAAGGCTTGAACATTCATGAGTCCACAATTGCAAGGTGAAAAGTGATTCTAAGATTTCTTATTGGCTCTGCTTGCTCGGCAGATCTCTGGACTTGCTTCTTTCCAGAGCTACGCTATGTGCGAATCAATCGCTGTGAAACGGTGATACTGCGTCAGATAATGTCCTGATTGTGACCGTGTGGCACCGATTGAGAGTTCGAAAATGTGCTGGGTACAGGCAATACGGCCTCTGACCATCTCAACTGACTCTCTACCATAAACTTAACTCATATTTCTTCGTGAAAAAGACACTCGGAGAGCAGACCGAAATGGCCGTGACTTGTTTATACCCCAAGCGAACCCGTTCAAAAGCTTTCCCCGGCACAGTTGATGCTGCCTAGCATCACCGGCGTCCGTATCCTAGGCGGAATCGGGAATAGTATGTGCTTGTGTCTAATACTGCGAAGTCAGCATTGGACGAGAACCGCCAGACAGGCTTTAATAAGACTGACCTCTGTGTGGGTTTATGCCCAACTGGTCCGCCACGTTCAGATAGCCCTCCTCAGTGAGGACACCGGATTCCTTGATACTCGAGACGATCCGGTCGTCCCCTTGCCACGGTGTGCGACACATGGGACACGTGACCTGCTCCCCGGCGCTGCTCCGCTTCGTCCGCGCCCAGATCTCGAAGCACACCCTGTGCAGGTTCTGGCCGCACTGCGCCCGGCAGTAGACTATCTCGGCATCGTCCTTGCCGCTGCCGCTGGCCTCGTCCTCCACCAGCGCCGAGAAGCAGATCGGGCAGTCGCCCTCTATCGCCTTGCGGTTCTGATCGTGGGCTGCGGCGGTGCTGTCGTCGCTGCTGTCGCTGCCGCCGCCAACCTCGATGGGCGGTGCATTCTCAATGATCTCGCGAAGTTCCTCCTTGAGTAGGCCGAGCTGGTAGACGAGCTCGAAGCGTGCTCTGAGAACTCTGGCCATGACCTAAGACGAGTGATGTCAGCAGTCTGGCGGCTTGGTTTGAATCACCAATTCTTGGAGATTGTGCCATCAGGGCCCGACATCCCCAATTTCACCTCTGAAGTTCAAATAGGGCTTTCGAAAGGCCCCCGGCGTGATGTAGTGTATGACGGATGGCTGTCTTTGGAGCACAGACAATGTCTCATGCGGGGGCCAGCCTTGCGGTGGGGTTACTGACATAGTGCAGTTCGCCCTGCTGCGGGAGAGGATGGATGGGTACAAGAACAACGTACATAGAGAATGTGCTTGCACTGGTTGCCCTGCATCGAGTGCGGACACGTGCAGAACGGCACCTGGCGGATGTGAACATTGTAGACGTTGCCCGTGGAGCCCGTGATCTCGACGACCTCCTCGGGACAGCTGGGTGTGCCTGCCCGCGTGCGGGAGAGCACGAAGAAGCGCTGCGACAGGGCGCGTTCGTAGATGGGGATGAAGCTCTGTGTAGGCTCTGAGCGGAATCTCTTTGGCCGTTTGTCTGACGGGTCGCTGCCTGATGATGATTGCTGGGATGATGCTTGCGGCGTTTGCTTCTTGGTTGATGCTGCTGCCGGTGTCCGTCTCGCGGGCTTGGGGACTGCGCGTCGCCGCTTAAACGTCTGTGGTCCACGGCGTTGATAGCTGGAGCCACTGGCGGCGCGGCGTCCAGATGACTGCCGTGATGATGGTGCCATCGTTGCACTTGATGTGGTGGTGGTGCTGTGGTTGTGATGCAGTGATTGCATTGATGGGACAACTCGAGGCTATAAGGTACGCTTATACGGAGTATGGCGGGGCTGCGATCCTGGTGCCAATTCCGTTGTGCCGCCTGGTGGTTCTCGCACCCACTGGCAAAATGTTTGGACAGAGCTGTCAGGCGCGAGATGTCGTGGTTCAATGTCGTGCTGCTTGAGAGTCGCCAGAGAATGCTGTGGTGGCGAGGTGCCATTGATGATGCAAGTGCACCGCCAAAGTGACACGACGTCATGTGACCTGACGTAGTCCATACCCAGCATTCCTACCAAGACTATTCAGCTGCATCTCTCTTCACGCACAGACCGTAGCCCATTGCAGCATAGGCCATTAAATCGCGAGTTGGGAGCCTAGTCGCCATTGGGGAGATCTGGCTATAGTCGAGAAACCTTTTACGCAAGGAATCACTCGCCTTATCCTAATTATCGTGTGACGTCAGCAACTGGCACGGCATGTAGCTCTTGAATTATTGTAATGTCGTATTGTGTTTTCATCGCTCTACAGACATGAGAATTCTTCTACAAAAGACAACACGGCACTGACTGATTCCACCTTGCCTCTTACCGCGCCGCCGACTTCTTCTCAACCCATCTGGCAAAATCCGTGGACGGCACGTCGACAGCACGCCAGAAGACGTCTGACGCCCAGATGACGATCGGGTAGTAGATGACCGACGCCATGACAAAGCCAGCAGCGTACTGCCAGTAGCCTTCTGACCCGAAAATCCCCCAGCCGGCATGCAGCAGCGCCTTTCCTATCGTCTTGTTGCCCAGGCCATGCACCAGGTACAGCGCGAAGCTTATGCGGCCCAAGTATCGCACGGGCCGTGTGAGGAAGAAAGCCTGGATGCTGGGCAGGAATGCCATGGGCCCAACGACGAGGATCGAGCCGATGCCCAGCCAGAACCGACGCCTGTACGCCGTGAATGGCCACACGTACTTGGACCACATGTATCCAGGCGTCTTCGTGTTGTTCTCTCTCGGATAACCCGTCAGGAAGACGCCGAGCAGGAGCGTGGCGACGAGCAGGACGGTCACCCACCGTCTGCGAGGCCCCTGCTGAGACTTGTACGTCAGGACCTCGAGCTCGGCGACAATCATGCCGGCGATGAACAAGGCGACGTCCCATCTCTTGTGGCCAAAGGCGTGTACCATGACAAGGTTCTCCACCAGCAGGCGCACCGATGTTCGCGTCTTGGCCAGGCCGGCTATCATGAGAAAGACAACCATTGAGCCTCGGAACTCGACAGAGATGGACCACAGCTGGGGATTGTACCAGCCCGACATGGCGAGCTCCCAGTCCCACGGGTTTGACTCGAGGTCTAGATAGTCCACAAAGGCGGGGATGCCGTGATGGAAAGGCTTGCCTCCGTTCTTGTCCGGCACGCTCAAGACCCCGACGCTAGCGCAGACATACGCCATGAAGCTAGACGCAAATGCGGGAAGAAAGAGCCGGATAAAGCGCCGGAAGATGAGAGACGTGAGGCCGTTGAAGATGTCTTCGCCTCGGTGCATGCGCTGGATGAAGCGATGCGACAGCACAAAGCCCGAGACGATGAAGAAGATGGACACCATGGCAGCGCCGGAATAGAAGAGTCGGACAAAGGGCAAGAGCCAAAGCTCATGGTGCTTGTAACCCCATCCCGAGTTGACGGAAGGGTAGACGACGTGGATCCAGTGCAGGTTGAAGACAATCAGCGAAGCGACACCGCGGACACCATCCAGATACTCTGTGCGGGATGGCGGGCGGGAGGTCTTCTCTGAGATGTCGCTGTGCTCCACCCGGTGGAGGAAGCTTGGCTTGAGGAAGGAAAGGAAACGCCTGAATGTTCTGGCCGGGTTGAGTGCTGGTCTGGGGAGCTGAGCAGCCAAGACGGGCGAGCTTGACCTAGAAGCAGAGGACGGCAGCAAGGCTTCTGCGTCCTCTGCTTTTGGCGAATGCGCCCGTGAATTGAACATTTTGGCCCCGGACTTCAGCAGATGCTTCAGCACCGATCAAAGGAGTGACAGGACTAGCTAGTGTCCAGAGAAAAAAGGTAGAAAGATGAGTGTATCGAGCCACAAGTGGCACTCAAGCTGTCGCAGGATACGCTGCATACACAGGAGAAGACATGGAGAAGATTGAGCGAGCCGCCGTGGGCTTTGTGATGGCACCTCGAACATGACGATCCCTCCCACCAGTCAGTTGTGCCGGGGGCGCCGACCAGCAGCACATGCCCACTCACTTCAGGGGTTCATCAGTCATGTGGAATCTGCAGTGGATGTCCCCAGGACCTTGCCTCTGGACACAGACCCCAGAACAATGCCAGACGCCAGTCGAAGGGGCACTCTGAAGATCGGCACTCATAGCTGATGCCAAGACCTTCCCGCCCCTTATCGCTTGACTCGTCACATGGCTAATCTTTTGGGATCGACTATTCCTTCGCCTGCCGGAGCCAATCATTCACACAACGTTTGATGAAGGTGGTGCAAATGCCGCCTTCATCCTAGATCTTTGCATGATTGCCGTACCAGATACCAGGACTGCCAGGCTTTCACAGATCCAACACCGTACGAGGTTGCCATCATTCTTGTCATTACGCCGAATACTACACCGGTCTGGTGCGCTAGACTTCAGGCTCTTTTTCCACGCTAATAATGGCCCGAGCGACACAGACCCGACTTTAATGGAGATAGAAATCCTGTCAAACGGCCCTAGACAGGCAGATCCTGGTCACTGTAGAATTAGGCCTGCCACTAGGACCCATACACCGTCATATCAGCGAGTGTGGCAGCCCTATCTTGCAGCGCCAGGAAACAGTCCGCAGGCCAGTCCTCTTAGCGTCATGGTGGTCTTATCATTACACGTGGGGGGATCGGCAGTGGAAAATTGAGTTGGCCCCGGTCACGGCTATCTCGCCATGTCAACTCCCCTGCGAATCATGCATCTTATGCTTGTTCGCCCCTGCGTCTGCCAGGGTCCCGGACACTCGGTTACACTCTAGTGTCTTGGCGACCAGGGTTGGAACTCGCTAGATCCCCGACAAAGGGAATTGATCGCGTGCGATCACCACTCAGCTCCAACCGCCACGGCCGTGCTCGCGTGCTTGTGAAAAGACGAGATGGATCATGGATGCGCCGGCGCCATCCAGGAGGTCCACCCAAGCGGAATTGTGCAATGTCCTCCTTGCCAAAACCCATGGGCTTGGGCTGCGAGATCGGCAGGAGGTCGCGTGAGGCCGATGGTCTTGGCACAGAGGGTTTCCATCAGCCTCCGAGACTTCGCAGAATGGCAAAGACACTTTCCCCGTGTCTCAACATTGGCACACGTGGTGGTGGATGTACTCCATAGACCAGCTGAAAGAACTTCGCTACTCCGTGGCTCTTCCAAATCTTAGTTCTTCTGCCGTCCTTCTCTTGCTTCTCCGGCTCCGTCGGACGATCTGCAAACTCAGACTGAGAAAACATTTCTTGGCGAAGAAACCCAGCATCAAAACCATCCTTCCAGAGTCCCGAAAAGTCACAAGTACCCAGGAAACCCCCCGACAATTCAACATCCGATAAAATCGTGCGACGGGTCTATATCCCACCAGCAAGCCATGTCCTCGTCGAGGAGGTTCTCAGCCTCGGCGAGCTTCAAGGGCGGCGATCCCCCCATTGAAGCTCGAGAGCTATGGACCTGTCGGCCAGTCCGCAAAGTCGTCTGCCTCCTCTGTATCGCCGCTGGCGGATGGCTCTTCCTTGGAAACCGGCTTGGGGCGAGCGAGTATCCCACATACTCACCACTGTCACTCTATCGGCCCAGTCGAGCAGACGCCTCTACTGCCTCAAGATGGGTAGGCGGCGGTGCTGCAGGTGTGTCGTCTTCACAAGAACAGCAGGCACATCTCAACACTGCTGGCACTTCATCCTCCGAAGATCACGCCCAGTCCGGAAACTCGCATTCGGCTTCCCGCCTACCGCAGGTCTTGAGAATACCACTCAGTGATGCCGTCGCAGACGTGGAGCTCGAAGGATGGGAAGACGACTGGTTCGCCTTCGGCCAGTACGATGCATACAAGCACGGTCGACTCGAGGAGCCAAAGATTGACTTTGTGTACAACTGGGTCAACGGTTCCGAAGATGCCTTTAACCAGCTCCGACACAAATACGAGCTCGAGTCGCCACTCAATGACCCAGAGGGCAAGTGGATTGCCGAGCACGGCGTCAACAGGTATCGAGACTGGAACGAGCTGAGATACTCGCTGCGCAGCCTCGACACAAACGCCGCAGGCTTCCTCAACAAAGTACAGATCCTCGTCAACTCTGTCCGCAGAGCTGATGGCCAGAACCACGACCGAAACCCTGATCGGTTCGAGTACACGAAAGATGGCCAGAAGATGCAGGGCCAGCGGCCGACATGGATGCGGGACGACATCGGCTCGGACGAACACCTGCAGATCCTGCCCCAAGAAGAGTTCTTCAGCAAAGAATCGCAGAAATGCCTGCCGACCTTCAACTCGCTCTCTATAGAGTCGCAGATCCACCTCACACCCTCCAACACCGATCGACTCGTCGCGCTGTCTGACGACATGCTGCTGGGCATGCCCCACGCCGCGTCCGACTACTACTCGCCGCTGTTTGGCTCCGTCATGGCCTTCAAGCCGGACAAGTACAACGTCAAGGCGCTCGGCTCGCAGGACAAGTGGCCGACCTTTGGCGAGAAGCCGTTTCTTTACTACACGTCCTACCTGCTCAACCACCGCTTCGGCCAGCGCGCGCGCCGCGTGCAGGCTCATTTCGGCCACTCGGTGTCGCGCGCCGTGATGCACGAGGCGATGGCCTCGTTTCCGGGACCCGCGCACAGGGGCGTGTGCGAGCGCTTCCGCGGCGAGTCGCACTTCCAGCTGTACCCGTGGTTCACGGCCTTCCACTACAGCATCGAGCGCTTCCGCGAGGCCCTGCTGTGGGGGTTCATCGTCTCCAAGTCGGACGCGAACGCTGACGGGTACCTCGACTGGCACGAGCGGCAGGCGATCCTCCAGGCGATCGAGACGGGCTGGTCCCGGCTCGTCCAGCAGCAGCCGCAGACCGACTCCCATCGCACCAGCAGCAACGAGAACGCCGACTCGCTGTCAGACGTGATTGTGCCCGGCGGCGTCGGAGACCCAGGTTCCGCCCCGGCCCTCGAGGACCCCAACCGGGAGCGCATGTACTACCGCCTGCCCGAGGAGCTCGAGGCCGCCGGCCTGGAGCGGCCCAAGGTCAACGTCAACATCCAGTGGACGAGCCTGGACGGCCCGGAGACGATCCGGGGCATCAAGTGCTACGACTTTGCCGTCGACAAGTGCTTCGGCGACAGCTTCGGCTCCCCGCTGTCGGACGCGTCGGGCAGCAGCCAGAACCCAGACTTCTCCGCGGCGGCCGTCTTGTCCCGGCTGAGCACGCAGCACACACGCTGTGGCGACTGCCTGATCAAGTTCCTCCTGTCCAGCGCGGCGGGCGCGGCCGAGGCTGCGGCTGCGGCAGCGGCGGCGGCGCCGGCAGGTCAGAAAAAGGAAAGGAGCGAGGCCGCACGAGACTCGAGCTCCTCGGAGCCAGCAGCAGCATCATCCACGACTACCCACGCGAAGAAGCACCGCGGCCTCGAGCCCCTGCTGCCCCCTCGCAACGGCAGCGCCGCGCAGAAGCGCGACAGGCAGGTCGTCCTGCGCGCCCTCAAGAAGTACCAGCACACCGTCGTCGACACGGACGCGATGAAGTTTGTCATGGTCAAGGACGCGGAGCAGGCGGAGCGCGAGCTGCTCGAGCGCGGGGTGCGCATGGGCAGGAAGTTTGGCCAGTGGTGCCTGAACGACGACGTCATGACCACCGACGACGGCGAGGTGGGCAAGGTCAAGGACGTCATGGGCAGGGTGTTTGAGGAGCTCTGGCCGGTGCCATCGCGGTGGGAGAAGGTGGACTTGTGAGAAATGAAAAGGAAGGGTCTTGGGATGAAGCGGGCTGGTCGGTCGTCGTTGGGGACTAGCATCAAGAAAGCCGTCGCTTTTGTTTTTCCTGTTTTTGACGTCTCTTATACTCTCCTGGGATTTGTTTTTTTCTACTTTCTATTATTTATTTACTGTACATACATGCTATTCTTCTCAGACATACCCACTCCCTAGAATAGACGAACCATTTCTCAGTATGGAGGTGCCTTGCAAAACTCTTCGCCTAGCACGACCGTGCCGTCTTGGCTGCCAGCTGATTGCCAGAGTCGCTCCAAATTGTCGGATTTGTTGGGACAAGGCCGGTGTCGACCTGCAACCTCCTTGAATAACTAAGGGATCTGTCTCCCCTTCTGCAATAGAATAGAGAGGAGAGGCAAGCAATATACAAGGAACCTATTCTCAACACAAATTCACTTCGATCTAGCCCTAGCAACAAATTTGCTTTCCAGGGGTTGTTTGGTGATCTTGTCAGGGGGTATAAAGCATGGAGCTGATAGAGAGGTACTGTGCGTCTCCTTCACCAAAGCTCCTGCCAGCTGGTAGACGCGTGGCGCTCTAGGCGAAAAGTTTTGCAAGGCACCTCCGTACGAAAGGACGGGCATTCGCTTGATTGATCTTTTAAACCAAGTCTAACTCCCTGGTCTGTATTAATATCTGCATGGGATGTGGTATGATGCAAATTACCTACGGCTGACTTCTGGGTCCGGTCGGCTACGGCTCCCGGCCCAGCACTCCACAACGGCCCCAGACTCTGCTCGGTTCCTTGGTCCAACAGGATACCCGAGCGGATGACATGCAGTCCCACGTACTTTCCTTCTCAGCCTCTCAACGACGGCGTAGGGGATCGTGAAGAGCGGGGTCCTGGAAATAATTCGAAATTCGCAGGTGGCGAAGCGGCGCGAGATGCGCTCGGGGCGGGCACTTTAGGGACGGGCTATGGGAATTATTACGTATATGAAAATGCCACATCTCCGTAGCGAGGCGGAGGTGGGGATCGAGATGTCAAGGATCACTGGCCCGGGCCCGGCATCGAGCTCGAACCGCTACCATAGTGCTTAATCCGGGCTGTGGGGGAGGGCTTCTCCGGACCGCGCAGCCAATTAAGGATAAGGTGCCAGACCATAAGGTAACCAGCCGAGTAGCGTTTCCGGTTGCTACTATGGTAGAGGGGGGGCCCTGATTCGGGGGGCTCGCCTAATTTGTGTCAAGCGGGAGGACATTGACACGACACCGCCCTCGACTCGACTGGCATGCACGGCAAACCTGCAGGCCATTGTTCCGCGGCTGTACCTACCAAGTAAACGTGTGTATGGCACCTGCCGAGGGCCTGCTTTGGCAGCGGTTGGGAAAGCACAGGCCCTACATTTGAGTTTGGTGGCTGGACTGTCTGTCAGAGACGGCACAACGTTAGCGGCGGGCCAAGGCGACGCAGCCAGTGGGAGGGCACAGCGGCCGGCGCGGTGGCTGCTCGCCTGCAGCGCCTGACTCGGGGAACCTGCCCCGGAAACCATGCGCCCACGCCACAACAGCTAGCGCAGTTTCCCCCCCCAAGCGAAGGGGGGGAAAGGCTGGCATGCCATAAAACCCTCAGCCAGGACCACCGCAGGGACCACGGCCACACGTCGGGAGCAAAACTTGGAAGCACCGGTTGCACACTCAACATGTCAAGATGCGTCCGTTGTGTCCGTTTGACGACTAAGACTCGGCTGGTCGCTGTCAAGCACCCTGCAGCAGGCACCCCATCATGAGATCCTGCGCGTGCCGATAGCTCTACAAGCTTCGAAGCTGCCTGCTGCGAGCCCCGTGGCCGCCATGTCGGGAGAGACGGGGCCGATCGATGTGTCGCTGCCCATCGCGATGCTGATTGCGGGCTTCTTTGGCATCGCCATCTTCAACACCGTGGAGATCACCATCAGCATCTTCGCCGTCTTCCGTCGGAAGCGCGGGCTCTACTTCTGGAGCCTGCTCGTCGCCACATTCGGCATCTTCATACACACCATTGCCGTCTTCCTACGGTTCTTCGCGCTTGCGCCAAACCTGCCAATGTGCGTCGTCACCGTCGTCGGGTGGTGGTGCATGGTGACTGGCCAGTCTGTCGTGCTCTACTCGCGCCTGGGGCTGCTCACGCCTGACCGCTGGAAGACCCGGCTCGTCGCCACCATGATCATCTTCAACTTTGTCGTCCTCCACATCCCCGTGTCGATCCTGTTCCTCGCCAGCAACAGCGGCAATCCCGATCCCTTCTTTGACGCCTTTGACGTGTACGAAAAGATACAGCTCGCCGGCTTCTTCATCCAGGAGACCATCATATCCGGGCTGTACGTGTGGGAGGCCGCCACGAGCTTCACGCCCCTCCTGGCGGTCAAGCGCGCCGCGGGGCGGCGCGTCCTCCGCCATCTCGTCGTCCTCTTCGTCATGACGGTCCTGCTCGACGCCAGCCTCCTCGGCACCGAATACAGCGGGAACTTCCAGATCCAGACGACGTACAAGCCCGTCGTGTACAGCATCAAGCTCAAGCTCGAGTTCGTCATCCTCAACGAGCTGATAGCCTTCACCCAGACGGGAAGGCGGCACGACCAGTTCTTCCACACCTCAACGGACGAGGCGCCGAGGTCGTCGTTATCGGCCGGTGCCGTCACAGTGGACGGCCCCAGCACGATATCGCGGTACAGCACGCAGCATAGGATGATGGGCGTAAGACTGAAAAAGAAGAGCACCTTTTCGTCAGATACCGCCCTTGGCCGCAGAGATGTGGCTAGTTGAAATTGCGTATTGCGTATTATAAGGAAGCTGTTCCTGCGCCCCATTACTATATACTGCGTAGACTTGAAGATACATACCCTGTCAACCACATCCAATACTGCTTGTGGGTTCAATCCCTGTTGGGTTTCAGTTCCACTTGAAACCCTGGCACTGGGTCAAAGTAGCTGCCAAGGATATGCTAGCTCTGCCGTGACGACCGACTAAATCATGTTTCCCGGCGCCGTTCTATTGTCCTTCTCGTTAGAGGCTTGATTGAGTTGCTCCCACCCGTTGCTCGGCCGAGTAGACGACAAACGCTGTGACCATATCAAAAAATGGCATGGCCTTGTCAGATGCTGTGAGTGGAGCACGAAGATTATACAGCGTGCCACCAAACAAAGGGCCTGAAGATACCCGACAGGGGCTAAATATACTCGACACGATCAAGGGCTTTGTCGAGACCACGCCGTGAGACAACTCATCCTCGAAAAAGTCCTCGAAATCCTCGTCATCCGTCTTCACTGTCATCCACGCTGACGGCGCTGGGGTCTGCTCGCGCCCGCCCGCTCCCTTCTGCACACCGCCTTTCGGTTGTGCGTCGTGGAAAGAGGTTCAAAGTTTCCGCCTGCCTTGGTGGGGGCGACGCCTACATCCGGGGCTTGTCCCGTCTCTCCCGCAGTAGACCCACGTGAAGCCTTTGGGGTGACAAAGGCGAACTTCCTCCCTATGGGTTTCTTGTTCGTCGCGTGTCCGGGAGGGGAGGTCCCAATAGCGATCGTTATCATTGAGGATTTGGAAACCTACTCGCAGCATGGTGAGGCGGGTCAGTTGACAGGGCATTTCCCCACAGCCCGACTATTGTCCCATATATCTCGAGGCTTCACTTGGCACATATGTGTGTGTGTGTGTGCGTTTGGGGGGGGGGGGGGGGGGAGGGGAGGGTTAGAGAGGCAGGCTCTGACTGACCGCCATGAGACAGGCACGCGCGGTCGTGGTTGTTTGCGGACTCATAGGCCTTGCTGCAGGTCACACAGACGCGGCGCTCAGGAGCCTCGGACGTGGCTGATCTCTCGCAGTGCGTGGTTGCTTGGGCGAGACTGCTCCCAGCCTTGCGTTTACGAGTAGGAGGAGCGGCGGGTGGTGCAGCCGCAGCTGTACTGCGGCTGTTGCTCCTTGGAGGGGAGGAAGCGCTGTTGATGGCGACATTCTGCCCCACGAGAATACCCTCAAACTGCATGTGTTGGAGTAGCACTGGCTCTTTGTCCAGGGCGGTCAGGTCGTTGCTTGCAGCGACCATGGCCAGGCCCTTTCGAGCAGCTCTGTCGATGGCGGAGTCCTGGCACAGCCAGGCCAAGACTGCGCGGACCTAGGCACCGCTGAAGTCGTTCAATGACTCCGTCATTGCGCCGTCTGAGCAGTCTGAAGATTGAGCCAAGGTGGTTCGAGACAAGAATCGTACCTTAAGTGCCCCGTCGACATCAAAGGTGACATGCAGTGACAACGCGACCTGGAACGGGGTGCAAGTGGGGCCAGGCCCGCCCGCGCCTCCGCACTCTCTCCAGGGCCGTACCTGCATTTCTGACGCGCCGGGAGCCTCTGCCGACTTCACCTCCGCACTGAACCGCCCCCCAGGCGCAATGTCGCACGGCTTCCATTGTCATCCCCTCGCCGCCACGCAGCTTCGCACACGCACCCGCTCGACATCAGGCTCCGCGCTGACCACGAATCCCGCCACTTCAGCAGCCTGAGCAGCAGTATTGGCAGCTGCTGCTGCAGTGGCCCCGGGCGACTCCTCAAGCTTTCGGGCTCCCTCGGGTGCGCCAACTGCGACCTTAGAGGCGCAAGACCTCCTATCGCACCCGAAACCGCGGCGATTCTCCCATTAGGCTCATCCCAACCCATACATCTCGCACGTCCGCGACCGCGCACTGATAGCGGCGGCCTCGAGCCGGTTCGCGACAACCTGCCCTCAGGATGGAGTTCGACCGGTACTCCAACGACAGCTCCGACAACGAGCAGGACCAGGAGGATGAGCTCATGCAAGATGCGCGCGACCCAGACCCAGCCGATGACGAGAATCAGGACGGCGATAATGACAACGAAGACGATGATGACAATGACAACGATGACGACGACGACGACGACAACGCTGGGGACAATGAAAACGACGACGACGAAGGAGGCGAAGGCACACAAGACGGCGGAACGGACTCGCAGGCCCGCGCTGGCTCGGCTTCCGGCGACGGGCCGTCGATCAAGCGCACATCGGCCACGCCCTCTCCAGGCTCAGGCACTCCGAAATGGCAGCCGGTCTTGCGCCCACAGGTCCTCAACGCCAAGACGTACGACATAATACCGACAATGGCGGCGCCCATGGCTACCAGCATCAATGCCATCGCGGTCACGCCAGACTTGCGTTATTGGATGACGGGTGGCACTGACGGGTATATCCGTAAATACGACGGGCCAGGCACCATCAATGGCAAGACCCTCCTCACGGTGGCGCAGCGCCACCCGTTCGTAGACTCGGTCACCAAGGCGGGCATTCTCATGTCATACTGGGAGAATGCCGAACCGCAAGCCCCTGGTGCGAGAGCGGATGACCTGGTCCTCAGCCCCGTCTACAGTCTGGCTGTGCACTCACAGGCGCTGTGGTGCCTGTCTGGTCTTGAGAGTGGTGGCATCAACCTGCAGAGTGTGCGGCACGACGAGGGCAAGCGGATAGCCTGCCTGCAGAAGCACACCAACGCGGTCAGCGTGCTGTCGCTCGGCGCGGACGAGAAGTCTGTGCTCAGCGGTAGTTGGGACAAGAACATCTACGACTGGGATCTGAACACGGGGGCCGTCACCCGATCCTTTGATGGCAACAATGGCCAAATCTCCGCCATCGAGGTGCGGCCCATGGGCGGCGCCCTGATCCCAGCCGAGGCGGGGCTCGAGGAGTTACCGAGTGAGACGTTCTTCAGCAACAATGCTGCACCCACTACTGCCAATGGCTCCTTCCCTCTGGGGGATGGTCAAGACTTTAAGCTCGACACGAATGGCCTGGATGGTAGTTTTGATCTTAGTGCCGCGGCTCTGGATGGCGCCGCTGTCGAGGCAACAGCTGGTGACGCGCCTGGTAGTCCCGGGCAAGACAGCCTCTTCGGCGGCAGCCCGACAGCCGGCTCAGATCTGTTCGGAGATAACGATGGCATGGGTGCCTTTGGCGGGGACGATGACAACGAGTTCTCACGGGCGATGATGCAAGACTCTGCAGAGAACCCAGGGAATGTCAACACGACCAATGACGATGCCGGCGAAGGCATTGGCGACTTCGACATGTCGGTCCCAGCTTTTGACACCGATCCAACGGCGGCACCAGCTGTGCAGCCGCTTGACACATCTACGCAGCTCGATTCGACTCTGGCAGAAGGGCTCGGGGATTCGACAATGACCACCACGAACCCTGACGGCGATGAACACGGCCTGGCTACCGACATCATGTCGATGGACCCCTTGCCAGACTTCCCAGAAGCCAGTGGCCCAACCGATGACATTACAGGGAGTGGCACACAGAATGGACTGGACATGGCCGCATCGGGCGACACATTCAAGATAGAAGACTCGCAGCCAATGGGGCTCAACCCCGAGTCACCATCCATGATATTCGCCTCCGCCCCGGGCGACTCGCCTGCGTCTGCGCCCGCACACCACACAAGCCCACAGACATCCGACAGCACGTTCTTCTCTGCCTGTTTCGACGGCACAATACGAATCTGGGATCGCCGCATGCAGAACCCTGTCGCTCGCATTGGCAACCGGCCTGGAGTGCCGCCCTGGTGCATGGGCGCGACGTGGTCGCCTGACGGCAACTGGATCTACGTGGGGCGCCGCAACGGCACGGTAGAGGAATTCAACATCAACCAGGCGCGCAGAGGCTGGGAACCTTCGCGGGTGTTCAAATTCCCCGCGGGCTCTGGGGCGGTCAGCTGCGTCCGGGCAATGCCCAACGGCCGGCATCTGATCTGTGCCAGCCACGATATTCTCAGATTGTACGACTTGCACAGCGAGAACACGAGCAAGAACGCGCCGCCGCCGTTCTTGATTGTGCCCGGCCCGCCGCGCGCGGGTGTCATCAGCACTCTGTGGCTCGATCCGGGCGGCCGGTTCATGCTGAGCACGGCGGGGAACAGAGGCTGGGAGGGAAGCCACACGGAGTGTCTCATTGGATACGAGATCAATGTTCCGGAGTAATAGATGAAGACTTGGCAATACACGGGCGGCGATCAATAGATACCACATTACTGTCCATTGCTACCCCATTGCTGTCGTGCTTGTATTTTGATTGGGACCTGTGACGTTTGTGCATGCACTGCCGGTGCCTCAGCGAAGGCTGTAGTTGGTCGTCCGGAGCAACGATTCTGCAGGCACGCCGCCAGTCGCACCTGCCAGCTCTGTGGTCATTGTTCTCGCCTCGAGGTCCGTTTGCACCAAGGCAATGTCCATTGAGCTGCCCACTGCCACCTCCACTCACCGCATCACACAGGTCTGTCAGAAGCACTTTTTTCGTTTTTGTTTGCAAGCCTCCATCCAACTCCTCCAGGATCTTTCCGCGCACCAGCATCTTGACGACATCTCAACCAGCAGTGCGACTGATACGACGAGACCACCAATTGCGCGCCCATTCACAAGCATGCGCAACGGCCGGAAGAAAGGCAACACCGGCAGAGGGGGCAATCGCTTCCTTCCGCTCGAAGATGCGCGCGCCGCCCACCACGCCAACGCCACTGGCAATGGCAGCAGCGGGAGTTTACCTACTACTCCGCCAGCCTCTCTTGCTCAAGTCACCGAGGTGAGGGCTCATCTTCACCCGTTTGCTCTCTCTGCAACCCCGTCAAAACACGCGACTGACCATTTTCTCATCCATCACCAGCGTGAGCTCCAGATGATTCAGCAGCATGTATACCACAATCCCACAAGAGCTGGTGGCGACTGGAGACAAATGCTAGAGATCCCGACCGCAGATGAGCTCAATGTGGACGAGGGAAGTCCCGCTTGGAAAGCGAAGCTTCAGAAGAACGTTCCGGTGAATCCTGTAGACCGACCCTACAAAAGCAAGGATCAATACCTAGAGATCCAGTACCGCCTTCACCGTGAGGAGACTGTTGCGTGGCTTCGCAGGGCGATCTCTGCATTCAAGGACGAACCTACTATGAAGGACAACAATGAGAGCTGCATCTACACAAAGGTTTGATCATTGCTCACATTCTCCAGTAAAGCTGCAGCTCTGACTAATGTTTCCCAGGTCTTTGTCCAGGGCTACCTCATGACGCGTCTGGGGCCTGTTTGCAGAGTACAGTTCTCGACCGAGCGGGCTGGCAAGAAGATCGACTGGCAGCACAGCACCCGACTTCGTACCGGAAGCCTTGTCGCGCTTTCTACTGCCAGGGATGGCTTCCGCACGCTCTGCATGCCGGCAGTGATTGCCGACCATTACTACGAGGATGGCTTGAACCAGAACCCGCCGACCATTCAGTTCTTTTGGGGTGACATCAAAGACGCCATTCTTGATCCGCTCGAGGAATTGGTCATGATTGAGTCCCGTCACGGCTTTTTCGAAGCTACTCGCCATGCGATGGTTGGACTGCAGCACATGGCTATGAACCCTACCCCAATCGACAAATACCTCGTGGACGGCTGCCAGGACGACGAACCTGCTTCTTATATCAGATCAGGTCCATACAAGGACATCAGCTCCCTGATCCACCACCTGCCCGATGATTCACAGCTCTCCGACGACGAGTTTGACAGCAGGATCAAGATCGCCCGAGACAACTTTACAAACAAGTTTGTCCTACACGGAATAGCGCCGGAGCAAATCTCAGGATACACGAATCTCGACAATTCACAGCTTGAAGCCGTGCACCGCATGTTGACCAAGGAATGCGCGATTGTCCAAGGACCTCCAGGAACTGGCAAGACCTTCACTTCTGTACAAGTGCTGCAGATTCTGCTCAACAACCAGGCTCGTGGCAAAGAGGCCGTCATTGTCTCGGCACAAACCAACCACGCTGTTGACCAGATCATGGCTCTCCTTCTCGGTCTTGGCTATGAGATTGCCCGTCTTGGCGGTCGGACCCAGAACGAGGATATAAAGAAGCGCTCCATGTACAACATCCGTCAAGAGATGCGTGCCAAGGACCGTCAAGGCAGTAAGGAGTACGGCCAATGCGAGAAGGAGCGCAAACGGCTCTGTAACCAGATACAGAACTTCGTCACCGAGACCTTCACTGAGCGCCCGCTGACTCCGGACCAGCTATATAACGCTGGCCTGATCACGGCAGAGCAACACCACCACTTCATTGACACCGAGTGGGAAAACGAAGAGGATGAGCAGCAAGTTGGCCGCATTGGTCTGTGGCTTAGGGATGACCTTTTGGAAATCCGACCACACGAGTACAAGGACCCCCTCTTCGCTGTCTTGGAGGTGGAACCAGAGACCGGCGGCAGAGAGGTCGAGCAGGCAGACGTAGATCCAGATGCCTGCATAAGCCATGACGACGCCGATGATGATCGACTCCTTGGGCAGTGGATTCCTCTGCGTCCAAAGTGGACTGGAGCAATTCCTCCTGACCTTGCGCCTACCGAGAAGGAGATCCTGGAAGAAATGGAACACCCGGATCCATACCATATGGACCCGAACCTTCGCGGTGCGATTTATCGCTACTGGCAGGCAACTTTGGTAGAGAAACAAACCATCGCCTTCCGCAAGTTACTTCTGCAGGCAGTCGAGCTCAGCAAGAAGCAGAAAAGCCTGCGCTGGCTCACTGACGTCAAATCTCTGAGAGCTGCACAGGTTGAGGTAATTGGATGCACGACGACGGGATTGACAAAGTATCGCGGGCTCCTCTCTGCTCTGAGCCCACGCACTATCCTGATCGAAGAGGCTGCGGAGACACGAGAGGCAAACATTACTGCCGGGCTTCCCGGGTGTCTGCATCAGCTCCTCCTTGTGGGCGATCATCAGCAGCTTGCTCCGAGCACAGATGTCCAGGACCTGTCTGAGGAGCCGTTCAACCTCAAGGTGTCGATGTTCGAGAGGCTCGTGAGGCTCAATCTGCCTTACACGATGCTCAATATGCAGCGGCGCATGATCTCGCCTCTGCGCCAATTACTGAACCCGTTCTATCCGAGATTGGTCGACCACCCTATCGTCAGCACGCGCCCGCAGACTGTTGAGGGGCTTCCCCACAACTCGTTCTTTTTCCACCACACATGGAGCGACTCGCAGGACGAGAACCTGTCGCGACTCAATGTGTTTGAAGCCGAAATGGTTGTGGGCTTTGCCAAGTACTTGCTGATGAACGGCGTTGACCCCTCGAGAATCACAATCTTGACCTTCTATCGTGGTCAGTGCAAGAAGCTGGTCACCGAAGTCCGCCGACAGCTCCTCCGATGGACGTTTCCCGAGAAAATGATTCGCACGGTAGACTCCTATCAAGGCGAGGAGAATGACATTGTCATCCTCTCGCTGGTGCGAAGCAATGGCGAGAATGGGCCGCATGCGGCTGGCTTTGTCGCCAACAAGAATCGAGGAGTCGTCTCGATCAGCAGAGCTAAACTGGGCTTCTTTGTCTTCGGCAACGCGGTCAACTTCTGCAGCGCGGGCAAGACGTCGCGAGAAATGTGGCATCCCGTGGCGGCGACGTTTCAGCGACAAGGCAAAATGCTTGACACTTCTTGTCTACCACTGGTCTGCAAGAACCACGGAAACAAGTCTGAGGTCAAGCATCCGGTGGAGTGGACTGAACACGATGGAGGCTGCCAGCAGCCATGCCAGGGTCAGCTGTCCTGCGGCCACACATGTCGGCGCAAGTGTCATCCGTAAGTCTCTGAGTGATGAAAACCAAGACGCGTTGAGCTGACTCTACTTGTGTACAGGATGCCTCATTCCAAGCTGCAGTGCCTCAGCCCCTGCAGCAAGCCCCTTCGTTGTGGTCATGTCTGCCAGAATACATGCGCTGAGGACTGCTCTTGCCCATGCACTGCATTTACTGGTGCTTCTCTTCGAGATACGGATTTTGAGGACCGCCCCAACGTACCGCACGCCCAAGAAAGTCCCAGCAAGCGTGAACCCAAGCTCAGGAATAGAGAGCCTCCCGCCCATGTCCCATCCCAAGCAGCTCCCCCGCCATCAACATCATGGAAAGTCACCAACTACGTCGGATCGCTTGGCAGTCCCGGCGGCCCAAACATTTCCCTCAGAAGACCTACTGTTGAAGAAACATATCGACCAGTACAGCTCGATGCCGCAGGCAATCGCGTGGTTGGCGAAGGCGTCGTGTCGAGGAGCGCATTGGACAACGGCTCACCATTCGACAACAATCTCATGGACGCTGATTCTTTTCCGTCGATGATGACTTTGCAGAATGCTTTGCCACTGGTTCCCCTGGTTTCGAGTTCCATTTCGAGAAGCAGCCAAGCCGAAGCAGCGCCCAAGCAGGCGAAGAAGCCAGAGGAGGCGGAAGAGGAATTGCTGATCGATCTGTTTTAGAGCATCGCGCGCTGTTCACAATATTCCTGTAGACGGAGCTGGATGATCCACAGCGGGCTGAGGGGAAGTATGCGGGAATAATCCAACCAGGACGCTGTAATCAGTGTCGAAAAGCGGTGCGGTTCGCAATTATTTTCCCATGGTGCTTGTGGATGGAGAATGAGTGAATGGAGTTTCCCCGTGAGTCGACTTCACAGCACCCTCACTACGGAAGGAGGTTCATGAGGCCGGGGCAAGGATGGAAGCGTGGAAGGGCCTGGAGCCGGCAAATCGCTTGAGACTGTCCGAGCAAGAGTGGTGGTGCACGTAGTTGTTATTCACATGGGAACAGGTCCGGCATGGAAAATGTGATGGGCCAATCAAACAGACAGTTCTCACAGCAACATGTCGAGTTTTAGACCAGAAGAGCAGGCGTCCTCCAACCCACATAATCATGTAAAAGAAACCAATGTGATTTCACTCGAACTTGTTCCATGTCTTCCTCTAATTCTAATGAGTGACATAGTAGCTGATGCCTGTGTAATGGACTGACGAGGTCTGTCTTGACGATGTCCAACGGCAGCCAACAAATTATGTATGGTGAGTTCTCTGCTGAATTTTGACTACTCCCCTCTTTTACGTGCTCGTCTCCGAACCCAACACCTTAGTGATATTCCCTAGTCAGAGGTACGGAGGTACGATCGCAACACGGAGCCGCGACGTTGCTCGGATGTGCTTGTCCGATAAGCCCACTCGATAGGTCCGTTCTGTTTCTGTCAAATTGTCCCAGTGGGTATTGGCAATGCGCTTGAGGTCCGCCATCTGTCAGTACTGTCACTTTGCGCTTTCGGGACGCACAGTGGGTAAACTCACACACTCATCTCTCCAACGCTCCAGGATGGTGCTGAGGCGAGGCGGCTCACGGACAGCCTCTGGACGAAGCATGAATTCGCTGGAGAGATAGTGATGGTAGAGGTTCCACTCATCCTGGTCCCCTGGGCCATCGCTTTCGACTGCAGCAAGCGAGCTGGGGAGAGGCTGAAATCCCAAGGTGATCAAGTTGTACACTGACAAGCGCTTGGATCTCGCTGATGCCGCGACGGTGAGGTCATAGTTGTCCTGCGGGAGATCGACGACATGAAGGCCTTGCTGCCGGTACTATCGTGCCCACATGCGCTCCGCCTAGCGAACGGCAAGTCTTTCCGCACCGACGTCCAGCAAGTGGCGGCCGTCTGTGCCCTTGACGATTCTCTGAGTGAATGTGTTTCTCGTGACCAGCGTCAAGAGCTTTATAAAATCTGGATGTTCCAAGTCTGCAATCTGCTCGAAACAGCGAAGGTGATAGAGGCCTGGCGGGCTCGTCAGACGGTTTGCCAGTGAAGCCTACTGCCCAGGAGATTACTCACGGAACTTCATCGTGGCTGAGCCGCAAATGGAACGCGGAGTGACTCGATATGCGCCACATTCGATCGCTTTGCCACAGAGAGGGCGCCTGCAGGACGCGGGCGTCGAGCACGTAGGGGCGATTTCCAGAAAGAATCTGACCTCCGGATGATACTTTATGGTGGTATATAGTCGACCCCGAGCCGCGTCGATTTCTCTTTGTTCCTCCAGCGTTTCGGCATCGAAATCAGCTGGCGTGGTGTCGCTCTCCACAGGTGTGGCATGGTCTGGCGTACTTGTAGTCTGTACACCTGGCGAAGACCATTGCATTGGCGACGGGTCAGAGGTATCAGATTGCATCGAATGTTGCTGACCAGGACTGCTATTGTGCTCAAAGTCATCCCAGGTCTGCTCAGCGGCCGGGGCTGCTGCGAACTCGGTTGTTAGCGCAGCGTGGGAGGCGACCGTCGGTGACTGGCTGTCCTGGACGACGGACGGCATGATGGTGGCGTGTGGACGGGTGGTCCGTGTATTGATATATCGAGACGAGATGCTGTCCAATGCTTCACGGCTGGCATGAGGCCGGAGTCAATTTGAGATGTTGAAGTTGGCGGGCGATGCATGATGCCGTCTAAAGGTTGGGCAGAGGCAGAGTGGGCATGCTCTTTCCCTGGCGGCTCATTGTGCTTGAAGGGGAGGGGAGCGCAAGATGCTCCTCCCTCTCTCATGCAGCAGGCATCGAACTGGCACCGCCAGAGCCGCAGAGCTGACTTTCATCACGAGCAGATCGATGCCGCCCCCAGGCAGCACTGAGGACTTTGATGGTGCAAGCTGGACACACTGTGCCGCGACTGCCATTTCGGGACTGGCCATGACTGTTGGGGCATTAAAATATGGTGTCTCTCCTCCACGTGGGCGGCTGACTGTCCGCCAGGTCATCCTCCAGCTCATGAACGGTCAATGCTATTCGTCGTACAAAGTCAACGCCACGACTGCCTTGCACCTGCGGCGATGGGGTCAATTGCCTGCTTACAGACATCCTGCCCAGGTTGGACGGATTTACCGGACGCTTGCTCCGATGTGGGCGCATCCTTCTGTGCAAATGCAGGCAGGCGGAGCCCACCAGCCTCCACTTCAAAGTGCTTGGCTTTTTCTGCGATCCACGGGCAGCAGAGTACTCTGCACCTGGCTCTCTCTCTCTTTGGTGAGGCTGAAGCTTTGTACCTGGCGCACCGCCAGGAATGTGCGCTGCACTGAGCGCGAGGATCAAGCATTGTACGCCCCTAGCATAAGGTACCGTTGGCCATAAGAGCCATCAAGAATGTTGAATCAAGACCGTTTGGTGGTCCGTTCATTCGCGTCTGAAACACGAGTCGCAAAGCTTGTCGCAGACAAGAACAAAAAGAATGAACCAAGGCGGGGCGGGCGGCCCAGGCGATTATGTCATCGACTGGCCAGCAGAGTGCGGCGGACAAAACGTAATTGACAAGCAGCTCGAGCCCATCGAACCACCCAAAGGCCGATATCAATTCCATGCAGCTGCGGTACGACATCTTTGTGCTGCCTGCGTCGACATCTGCTGCACAAGTACGCAAGCCGATGCGTGCAACCCACGTACACAACGTTGCTGGGCAATAGGAACACCTGTGGACATCGGCATACGGCCCGCCTGCCGGCTCATTTGCGCAACAAAACAAAAAGCAGATTGTGTGGTGCAGCGATACAATTCTCGTCGACGACGTGCATCGTATCCCAAGTTCTCGCAAATCCAAAATGAGCCCATCCACATGATTCTGCGGGTATTAATAGCCACAGCAGGCCGTGTTCGGTTCGATCCCACACGCTTGTGGCGTCCGCCCTGTGCCAGGCGGCTGCGCGGCTGACTCTGCACAGCCGCAACTCCTGTCCAGAGCGATCCGACTCGTGCTGGCTGGCTGCTGTAACGTTGGACTTGTGGTTGGGGGCATGCCAAAGTCAGCCGCCGCCACTGGAGCCCCCCTGGATCTGCACCTGTTGTCGCAAGTTGCCCCAGGGGTTTCCTCCAATGAGGGCGGCCCTCACGCGCAGAGACGGATTGACCTGGCGAGGGAGGAAGAAGGGGCATTTGAGGGCCAGATCCCCCCACTCGCAAGCCAGAGCGACGTCATTGCTTGTGAGCGGCTAGGTACGCTACATACATCTCTTGTGTCCCCCCCAGCGCGGCGGATGTTTTCTCCTCCCATGCTGCGCCAATCTCCGGCAAAGCTTGGTTTTTTGTGTGGGCAAGCCGGTTGTGCGGTACAGGGGCACAGAGAGGAATGACGCCGTGTACCGTGTCGTGCCAGGCACGAGCATCCCTGCAGGGGCAGCTCAGCGCAACAGCAGGGAACGCTCCCTGCTTTCCTCTCCCCAGTGCTGGCCTGGGCAGAGCGTGGGTCGGATGTTGGCTGGGTTGCAGCTCTGGGTCCCCCGGAATGGCTGGTTGTTGGTGCACCGCGCAATGCAACACCACAAGTGCCGTGGGATTTCTGTCTCTCCATCGGAATCCAGATCATCTGCCGTTCACTTCCAGGGAGGGTCGCCAGCTGGCACACTCGAGGTTCTGCGTGGCTGCGGTGATGCCGGCCGGCCAGCCACGCTGCGAACTAAGGTTCGCATCGGCCTCAGGTACGCTGCCTGGCCACAGCTACCTTTAAGTTAGCCTCGCCCTCGCCGACACGAGGGGCAATGGCTGTCAGCCTGGGATACGAAGCGGCGCTGGCTCTGAACACGCAGATCTGGCGCCAGGCTAGGCCAGGGGCAGCACCACCACCTCCCTCCACGGCGCTCTGAGCCGCCTATTTACAAGGAGTCTTGCGGGCTGCACAAGCCCAATTGACGGTTGGACATCGCCGGCAAGGCACGACTACGATTGAAGACGTATTGGATTTGAGATGGATATCTGTGCTGTGGACTCGACATGCCCCAGACGTTGCACAGTTCGCCGTGCTGCCTGTCGTGTTCCCACAGGATCGTTGATCGTCGCTGTCCAGAGCCAGAGGCCGCGCACACATGCGCGCCTGCATGCATCGCCCCTCCAGCCAGCCCCCCTGCTAGGCCCGTCTCTGGGGCGACCGTCGGCCAGTCAAGCGCCTCCCTCCGCCATTGCCCTCTGCTCCATGTATCACCAATGCATCCTCTTCGCCTGTTTCCCGTAGAGTGATTGTCCCCATCTTGACTGCCTCAGTCTGCATCTTGCACAATCAACACCAGGTTTGCCGCTTCCCAGAGGCTCACACAGAGACCAGCTCCGCGTCTCGTGCTCCCTGGCCTCTGCGAACGGACAGCCTCGAAGCACACAAGACACCTGTCTCACCAAACAAAGGCGTCTGTCTACCCTCTCGCCAGTCCTGGCCTCGCAACTGCCCGGCTTCACACGGCAGGCACAGCCAACAAGAAGAGACACATTGTCCTCTTGCGCCTGCATTCCTCCTCGGTCACGACAGCCAAGAAAGACCCTCGAGATCACCTCTCCTCCCCACACACCACACCACACAACCCAAGCGGCGGCAATTCCTCAGGGCCGTATCTCTGCAATCCGAGCAGCACCAGCAGCAGGCAACCCGCCACGAATATACGCACACAGACTGCCACCATTACGAAACAGGCCAGGATCCCGCAGCGCCGCCCGTGCCTGAATCCTGTTCTCGGGCCTCCTCCCTGGCTCGGCCTTTCTTGCTGCGTGGCCCACCACGAGCGCGCCCAGGTGACAAGGCCCCCCTAACCTAACACGAGCGTGCTCCACCACCAACCCGCTTGCGTAGCATAGCGCAATCGCTGCCAGCCCACTCCGCCGGCCACTACGCCCCGTCCTCGCTTTGCGCCTTCCGCGTCTCTCTCTCTCTCTCTCTGAAAACCGGTATCTGGTGCCCACCTCGTTTCTCCAGTTGTCCAAGTTGGGTCCTGCAAGTGCTTTGATTTCGCGCAATCGCTGGTCGGTGCGCACCTGCTCTCGCTTTCCCGATCGGCACCATGAGCGCCCGCAGATATTCATTCGACTCGGACCCGGGCGAGCACGCCCCGCTTGACCATCAAAACCACTCGCCGTCCCGTCACCGTCCCGACCACTACTCCTCCTCTCAACACCGCCCGTCTGACTATCGACACCCTCAACCCCCAGCCCACGAGCCCTACCGTCACCAAGACTACGACTACGAGCCTCACCACCGCACCGAGCCCGCCTACCGCGACTACCCGCCCTCGGCCTCTTCAAACAGGCGCGGCTACGACACAACCGACTACGCCGCCCAGTCCCCATCCAGTCGCCACGGCGGTCGCCAAGACCCCGGCTTTGACCAGCGACGTCACCAGCGTAGACGCAGCAGTACGCGCGAGAGGGCTGCCGCGGCAGGTCTCGCCGGGACAGGAGCAGCCTACGGTGCTGCCGAGTTGTCCGAGCTCGGCCCTGTTCCCCCGCCGCACCGGTCGGAGCCATCTCCTGCGTACCAGTCGCCGGCCAGCAACACGACGCCTGGCGCTGACGACTTTAGTGAGTCCGCTGGTGGTGGCATGCAAGGGCTTGCCATCAGTGTAGCCGACCGACACCCCAGAGAAAGCGGGATGGCCGCCATGCGTGGTGGCTACGAGGGCCAGGCCCCTTCACAATATCCACAGGATAGGACGCCTCCTCAGTACCAGTCTGCACCATACACACAACCGCCGTCCGGGCAACAACAGTACCAGCAAAGGCAACAGCCACATGGAGGCTATTACGAGCAGACCCCTGGCTACGGCGGTCCCCAGGGTGGCTATGGGACACCGCAAAGCTCGTCATCACCGAGCCTGACGCCCATGGGCGCGGCTGCCTTCCCTTCAGGCCGCAACACGCCATCGAGGAGTAACAACAGCCTGTACAGCCACTCGAGTGACCCATTTACCGACGCGCACATGGCGTATGGTCAACGCCTGGACCCCAATCTTGGCCACGTCAACCCCAATGACATTGATGACGATGGGGACGATGGTATGACCTACGCACGTCCCACCCGCAACAGCTTGCTGAGTCTGGGCAACTCGAGCAGAGGCAACGTTGGTGGTGGCGCTGCCGCTGGTGGTGTGGTGGGCGGCATGATGGGTCGCAACCGCAACAGCGGCGCCAACTACGATCCCGTCAGCAACCCCAGCACACCATACATGGCTGGTGCCGGCCGGTCAGGAGGAGCCGCCGAGAAGTCGGCATGGATGGCCAAGAAGGAGAAGAGCAAGAAGCGCCGGAGGTGGGCCGTCATCATCGCCGTCACCATCGTCATTATTGGCGCTATCGCTGGTGGTGTTATTGGTGGTCTCTACTCGCAGAACGGCATTCTTGGGGGTGGTGGAGGTGGCGGCAAGGGCGGCGCCGGTGGCGGTCACAGTGGCCAGTCCGCTGGCGACGACATCTCGGAGAATGGCGATCTGGACATCAACTCGTCTGAAATCAAGGCTCTGATGAACAACCCGGACCTGCACAAGGTTTTCCCCGGAGTGGACTACACCCCTCTCAATGTCCAGTACCCAGACTGTCTCCACAATCCGCCGTCACAGAACAACGTCACCCGCGACATTGCCGTCATCTCTCAGCTTACCAACACCGTCCGTCTTTACGGCACGGACTGCAACCAAACCGAAATGACAATTCACGCCATTCAGCAACTCAAGCTGCAGGATAGCATGAAGATCTGGATGGGTGTATGGCAGGACGGCAACACGACCACGAACAGCCGGCAGCTCAGCCAGATGTGGCATATTCTCGACCAGTACGGATCCGACCACTTCAAGGGCGTTATTGTCGCCAACGAGATTCTGTTCCGCGAGCAAATGACGCTCACCGAGCTGAGCGATCTGCTGCAGACTGTCCGCCAGAATCTCACTTCGCACGGCTGGACGTTGCCTGTCGCCACCAGTGATCTTGGCGATGACTGGACGGCTGGTCTCGGCCAGGCAAGCGACTACATCATGTCCAACATCCACCCATTCTTTGGTGGCATGCCTGCCAGAGAAGCTGCCAGCTGGACGTGGTCGTTCTGGGAGAACCAGAACAAGGCCTTCTGGAAGGCGGACAAGGAGAAGAACATCATTGCAGAGATCGGCTGGCCTACCAAGGGAGGCAAAAAGTGCCCCGGGACTCAGACGACCTGTGACGACCCGTCTGTCGCCAGCGTCGACGGCCTCAACCAGCTCCTTGAAGACTGGGTCTGCTCGGCGCTGACCAACGGAACCAACTACTTTTGGTTTGAACTTTTCGATGAGCCGTGGAAGATCTCGTTCAACGAGCCCGGCAAGGAGTGGGAGGACCAGTGGGGCCTGATGGATGTGAACCGCAACCTGAAGACCGGCGTCAAGATCCCCGACTGCGGCGGTCGGACTGTCTAAGTAGGACAGGCGACCTGGGCATGACGACGACTGGTGTTTTATGGTTCGCATGATATTCCCCTGCTTGCTGCGGTAGCCTCTTGTTTGAGCAGAGCGACGTTCGACGACTCTTGGATGAATATGGCACGATCTGAGGGATGAATTGGAAGTGTTACTCATGAGCATTGTTGCTTCTGGCGTCTGGGCGTTTTTCCTGTCCTGTTTGGCACATTTTGATGCTTGGTGTCTTGCCTGGATGGCGACACTTGTGTGTGCCGGGACGGTGCTTCTGGCCTGTTTTATTGTGAAGACGAGGGCAGGTGGCGCATTGTAAATAAATTAGCCAACATTGGTACGAGTACATGGTTACAAAAGAGCTGTGCCAGGAGAGCATTGCTTAGCCTCTTGGTTTGCACGCATAAATTAGAACTGTAGTCTAGTATATATACACGGTATGGACTCGAGACGTTATTCTTGGACTGTTGTGTGAGATCGAGAGTGTACAAGTATGCGACGACCTCTTCTAGTTGACCGAGTCATAGACCGTTTTCCAAAGAACAATTGAACATGCCACTAGCACACCTTCCTCCCCAAACCCCCTAATTCTGTGGTCTAGTGAACAACAGAGACGGCACTGGACCAAACTTCACGGCAAGTAAGTCTTCTTGACCAGCTCGCGCTCCGCGGCGAGGAACTCGCGGAAGGAGGTCATCTCGACCCCGTAGCTGGGCGGGGGGTGCACCTCGGCGGCGGCCCTGCCCATGCCGCGCATGAGGAGCTGGACGTTGGCAAACAGGTCTGTGGGCTTGCGCTCTGCGACCTGCTCGTCGGTGAGGAACTCGGCCTTGAACTCAGCACCGCGGCTGCCCTTGGTGCCAGTGCTGCCTTGCTCTTTCTCCAGCTCGGCCACCGCGGCGCCGAGCTCCGCCATGATCTGCCCCGGAATGAGGAGCTCGCCCCACACGGGCAGGACCTTGCCGTTGAAGCGCGCGGGCTGGTCGAACACGAGCGCCGCGAGGCGGGCAATGTCGCGCACGTCGACCATGGGGATGGGCGTGTCGGCGCGGAGGGCGGTGGTCCAGACCCGGGTGGAGGGGAGGGCTGGGTACATCATGGAGACGCGCGGCAGGAGGAAGTTGAGTTGGAAGAAGCCCGGGCGGAGGACGGTGGCGGTCTGGATTGACGAGGTGGAGGTCGTGGTGGTGGTGGTGGTGTTTTGGGCGTGGGCGTAGGAGAGGACGAGCTTCTCGATGGCGTATTTGCCGTCGTGCAGGGCGTTCATTAGCTTTGCGATTGGACTGCTGTTGTCGTCATCGTCGCCGTCGTCGCCGTTGGTTGCCTTGTCCTTGGGCTTGTCCTTCTTGTCGTCGTTGCCCGTGTAGGCGGACGAGTAGATGATGTGCTTGACGCCGCTCCGCCCCGCGATGTCGAGGATCTTCTCGGCCAAGGGGAGCTCCGACTCCATGGTCTTGAGGTTGGGCATGAGGTTGAGAAACAGGTGGGTGCACCCTTGGATCGCGGCCTCGAGGGCAGGCGTGTTGTCCCACTCGGCCTGCGTCAAGCCGACCCCCAGCTCGGCGAGGGCGATGGCCGCGGGGGACGAGGTGTTGCGCGTCGTGGAGACCACGGTCCAGGGCTCGGCGGCTCCCGATGAGGGCGAAGCGGAAGGCTTGGAGAGGAGCAGGCGGCAGAGCGCCGAGCCCTGGGAGCCGGTGGCAGCGGTTACAAATGCTTTGGGCATGTTGTATGTCGTTTTGTGTGTGTTTTGGGGAGGAGAGGAAATCGGTTGAGGCTCGAGAAAGGCGGATCAGGGATGATGCTTGATGGAAGAGTGGTGATGGGTATTGTGCATATTCCATGATTCATCAGATTCGACAGCGTCAACAGTGTTATATACGTCGCCTTGAGATCTACGGACTGTCCACCTCGCCAGCCTCGTCTCATTCATTCAATGTCGCCGGCACCCACCGCCGCAAACGAGAAGTCTCCACTTTTGCGGAATGTCCGCTGCGGACCCGGCGGAGGCTTCTCGTCGCTGTGATTGGCTGGCTCAAGGGAACCCCACCCGGGGCGGGCCAATGGCCGGCCCCTTTCACAACGACGTCCGTATACTCTGGTCGGACTTGCCCGCGCGCTTTCCTCCCACCGGCTTGTCGTCGTCCCTTCCGCGTCTCTCTGGCGATGTGAACCATCTGTCGCCGCCCACTCCACGGTGGTCCATTCCCCGGGCCTGGTTCATCGTCGGAAGCTCCGCATCGTCGTCTCCTCCTTGCCATGCATGCTGCCGCCGCCGCCGCCGCCGCGATGGCGCCTGACTGCGCCGTGCTGCCCACGGCCCGCCGCAAGTCGTGTGTCGCCTGCACCCGGGCGAAGCGGCGCTGTGACCTGGTCGTGCCGCAGTGCTCCCGCTGTGTAGAGAGGCAGCTCGACTGTGTCTACACTCCCGTCGTCTCACACCGCAAGCGCCGGGCTGTCCACAACAACACATCTCAGCAGCAGCAGGGGAGCAGTCGAAGCAGCACTGCCCATCCCCAACCAGACTTCGGTTTCGATATCGGCAACTTCTGCCTCGATGATACCAACATGGCTCCAGACATGGACAACTACGTCGTGGCCGGAGACATGGCCGGCATGGAAGCCTGCCTCCTCCACCCCGAGAATCTGGTCCCTGGCGGCCCAGGCTTCGACATCATGGACTCGATATTCTCCACCAATCTCAACAACGCGGCATCGTCGCTGCCAATGCCCTTCGACTTCAACATCGCGGTCGACAGCAGCAACAGCTTCGACCCCGGCAAAGCTCTTGTTCCCCCACCCAAACCATTTACCTTCCCACATTCACCCCAAACCAACAGCAGCCCACGCGCTATCTACGCCAATGCCGACCCGCGCCTGCAGCATGCAGCCGAGCAATTCTGCTCAGCCCCTCTGCAGATGGTCACTTCCTGCCACACGCCCTGGTCCCATCCTCTACTCTACACGCACGACAACAGCAGCACCGGCAGCACCAACAACAACAGCAATCTCCCCCGTTCCATCGCCATGGCACAGGCCTGCTGTGCCTTACACATTGCAAGAAACAAGGCCAACACGGGCATGATTACCCGCAACATTATCCAGCGCGCCAGGGAGGTCTGCCAGGAGCCTTTCCCCAGCGCAGCAACCTCCTCGGCTCGCGGGAACGACGATGATAACTTGACATTCAACGTCCTGGCGCGGACCCAGGCCTTGTTGCTGTTCCACATCATGCTGTATCTGGACAATGACGCTCTGGCTAGAGAAACAATCCAGATTACGGGCAGGGAGCTCGAGCGTGCGATGGTGACGCTGCACGAGCGCACGAGAGCGTCGAGCTCGCCGTATCCGGAAGGCAATGAGCCGCCGCCGCCGAGGAGCTTGAAGAGTCTAGCCAGGGCCCAAGAGCGAGAGCAAGGGGTCCGGTCGATGCTGGTCACCGCAGAGACGTCGGCGGGCTCCTGTCTGGACCTTGAATCATTGGACGAAAGCGATGATGACGAAGAAGCGGCGGAAATAGCAGAGCTTTTGTCGTCGTCGCCGTGGCTCAACAAAGGGGCACTACCACCTCATCATCCGCCGTTGCGACGACCCAAGAGGTCAGCAGCACCAAACCAGACCGCTACCACCACCTCCCACAACAATAACAACAACAATTGCAAACCCCAAACAACCGCCAAACCGATGCCCGTCTTCCTACCCGTCTCGCCACTCACGACAACCCGCCCAACATGGCACGCCTGGATCCTGCACGAGTCCTGCCGCCGCACGGTGCTCGCGGCGGGAATATTCCAGCTCCTACAGCAGCTGCTGGGCGGCCACATCCCCAAGGAGTGCCCCGGCCTGGGCTCCATGCTCGAGTTCTGCTCCGCCCCCTGGACGGTCTCGCGTGAGTGCTGGGATGAGGCTGCCGACGCTGTAGATTTCGCGGTGGGCTGGAACCGGAGGGGTTGGACGGTCTTGCGGGTCGCCGAGTAAGTTTTAGCTTTCTTTATTTTTGCTGTTTTTACGTCGTGTCCTTGTGCGTTTCGGTCGGTCATCCTGAAAAGGAGAGGGGTTGGTGGATTCTAGTTTCCTTTCTCCCGATGCATTTCAGCCCCTCTCCTCAACGCGTAACAATCTGTGATCCCATGAAGGTTGGCTTGACACGGGGGTCATCTTCTGAAGGAGGACTCTGGCTGACAGTGTAATATTCTTACTGTTAGTCTCGAGCACGGCATGCCAGATATCAGCCCGCAACACATCGACACGTTCTCAAAAATGATCATTACGTTGCTGTTCGGCATCGACGAGACGAAAGGATGGCTGCTTGCGCGGGGCGGGACGAAGTCGTGATTTTCCTTTTTCCCCATGATATGGCCGACCTTGAAGCCGCGTAAACAAGACATCGCCGACTTGAAGCCCCGTAAGTTGAGTCCCTATTCATGAATTAGGGCAACGGCGCGCACTATACGTTCCAGTCCTCTTAATACACGCTCTCCTCCATCTTCGCAGCAGCATGCTGACATCAAGACACCCAGATATCACAGAGACTGAATGGTCTCACTCTGGCTTTAGTCAGGATGCTGCAAGTCATGGCTGCCTCGGGCGTCGCCGCCCACCGAATACATGGCCTCGCACGTTTACGCCTTGCTCCCTGTCACACTGAGACGCCGGCGAGATGAAAGGGGGATCTTGTTACCTGTCGCAAGTGAGGAGATTTGCGGTGGCTTGACTGCCGTTTGCTCGCGTCAACAAGGCATTAGTTGATGAGTATAGAGGACCACCTAGTCATATGTAGCACGGGGGTTGCCAGCCCCCGTGACATTTGCGCTGCTCCTTCCCCATACCCCAGTGGTCTGCGTGGTGGCCTTGCAAGGAATCATTCTGGGCAGTGTTGAGCCTACACGACGGCTAATGGTTGTGATCCCACCCGCTTTAACTTTATCAGAAGCCAACATCTCACGAAGCAAGCCTGGGCATCAGAAAGGACTTTCGAGTAGACTCCGACAAACCGCTGCGCATTTCAGCCCCGCCTTGGCGCATAATGGCATGCAAACTGTCAATCACGCCACGGCAAGCTGCGGGAAGCCGCTACGGCAGGACGGATGATTCCGTGCTTCTCTCACTCGCCCTCACCCTTGCAGTATTTCCATGGGAAACGAGTCACGACCAACAGGGCTCTGGCCACGGCCGCGACGGCCACGCATCCCCAATTACGCCATGATCGGCCGGCCCGGAGATCATGCGCCGGCAGAGGCCCAGCATAACCATGGTCCAAGCCTGGGGCATGACCCGCCAATCAACAACACCCACGCTAGGAAGGACGGTGTGTGATGAGCACAAAGCAAAACCATTTGTATCCCCACGCTCACATGTGCAGCTGTGCATATGGCAGCATAACAACCATCTCCATATCTCTTAGTCTGAGCGTCAGAAGTCACAGAAAGTCCGGACTGGCTGTGCGGTCCGTCAGACTGCAGACGGATAGCCCACTTTTATTCCGTCCTGTCGATTGGTGCACGCGCATGTTACACTGGTGGCTTCTATATCGTCACTCCACAGTGGTTTTGATGTCATGACGACGCGAGAATGGTGTATTTGACATCATCGTGCGCTCGCGTGCCTGAGGAGTCCTGGGGACTGGAGGGGGCTGGGATATATGAGTGCCTGATGCCGTGTTAATTGTTCTCGGTGTTGACCTTCCACTTACCAAGGTTTTCAATACCGCCAAACAGCACAGAGATCACGAAGAACGACCAAAAAACAGACTGATTCAAGCGGAAAAGCAAACACATCTGTCACAGAACCCAGCCAGGAAAGACCAACCAAATTCACCAACAAGAAAAAGCTACAAATACAACAAAACCAGCATGGCATCCGCCGCCAACCTCGACTCGGTCGTCAATCAGGGCGAGTTCAAGGCCCGCAAGCCGCCGTCCAAGCCCATGACCACAAAGGGCCACGCCCCGGGCGTCAAGGTCGGCAAGGACGCGGTCCCAGAGTTCCACGCGCAGAAGTACCCCCCGGGCACCGCGCCCCCGGAGCACACATACGAGCCGCGGCCCAACGTGGAGAACATGTCGATCCAGGCGGCCGCCCTGGCTGAGGACGAGGACGTGCCCCGCGTCAACGTCGAGGACACCCTGGGCGGCGCGACGAGCAGGGACCTGAACAAGGGCAAGGGGAGGCCCGTACAGGGCGAGTCGTCGCAGGAGCTGCACGGCAACAAGCACGTGGGCAACCAGAAGCACCGGGAGCGCAGCGGGCTGGAGGGCGTCGGCGCCAGCGTCGGCGTGGACATGGCCAGCCTGAAGGGCGCAGACCGGCCCGAGGGCGTGCACAAGGGCGTTGGCCCGTGGACCGAGTTCCGCGATGCGACGCAGTTAGTGCCTGAGCCACCGGAGACCGTGGCGAGTGAGATGCCCTGAAATGACGGCCGGGTTGGAAATTATAGTCGCCTAGTCTTCATCAAGATTGATTTCACTTTTGCGGAACAGGAGAGAAAACAAAGAGGGATTCCCAGAAACGTTGTTATTGTAGTCTACTGCTACCGCGGCTTTGTCTGGGTTACAAGTTGTGCCGCGCCTATCTGCCTTCCCCTTCCATCCGTGATGCAAGTGCCTTACCCTCCACAGTCAAAGGACTTCGTCGGTTTGGTTCTGGGCCACTTGCACGCTTGACCTCGTCCCAATGTGTGAACAAAAAAAGGAAAGAGGTAGATCCTGTAGGCGGCATCCATCCAGACTGCGCGGATCGTGAACAAACTCTCCTTCTTCCAATGCTTTCTTTCTCTTTCTCCTTTCTTTTTTCTTTCTTTTTTTTTGTGCTTTTCTCGCCTTTTCATTTTTTTCTGTTCCTGTATGTCTTGTCCGCTGTCGTCAAGTACTGTGTCGAAAAATCGTCAAAGAAAAACGCCGACGAGAGTCTGCTACTCTCCCTGGGTATCTTGAACGCCGAAAAAAGATCCCAGCCGAATGTCGTGATTTCATGATGAGCCTTCGATACTATGAAAGATATCGGTGGCCGGAAGTCGTGTAAATTTTCTCTGTATCCGCAGACGTGGAAAAATGTTGTTGAAACCAGCCCAAACAAGGGCAGTTGGATGACAGGCCGTGTGCTCGTTGTACTGCTTGTTGTAGACGAGGACCCTGTTGTTCTTCTTCAAAACTGGTGATTTCAGGTGTCTGGCCTGCGTCATCAAGAACGGTCCAACAAAGCCGGTGCCCTAAAAGGTAGCCGCCTCACCGTCGCCCTCAGGGTCGAAGTCGGGATCAAAGTAGTCCTTGTGCTCTCTGTAGCCCTTGGGCACAGCAGGGACCTCCATCCACATCTTCCGCATCTCTTCCTCGGCCTCGTCAACATCGTCACCGTCTTTGCCGCTACCACCACGGCTGACAGGGGCAGGGGCGCCACCAGCAGGAGGCAGGGGCTGACGCTCGAACGTGGTGTTGTACGACGGCAGCGCAGAGTTGGCAAAGGGGTTCAAGAGCGGTGCGCGGCGGCCTGGCTGGTCGCTGTCGCCGATGCGCCGGGCGGGGACTCCGGCGGACTGGGAAGACGCGCTGTGGACGTTGCTCAGCCTCGACGTGCGATTGTGTGCCAGAGTGGGATTACCGTAGTAAGTACTCCGAAATGGGTGGCGGCCCCAGAGCGGGAAGAGGGCGTGCCACGGCCGGGGAAACTCGGCGTCGTTCGTGGGCTGCTCGAGGGCGCGTGACACCTCGGCGTCCATAGACGAGAAACGTGCCGCTAGGTCTGAGGCCCGGGCGGAGACGGGGAGGTCGCGATAGTGGTAATAGCGAGGCGGACGCGGCGCTGGGATGTCAATGGCCCGCGCGCTGCCATACTCAGGACCCGATCCGTGTTCCAATGAAAGGGAGGAAGTGGTAGGCAAGGCCGACGACGAGGAAGACGCAGCACCTGCTCCATCGGTGCTGTTGACGCCAGGGGCTTGTGAAGCATCGTCATCATCATCGTTCTCTTCACCGTTGTCCTCGTCATCAGCGTCGTTGCCTTCGTCCTCTCCACGGCCCGCATCGTTGTCGTCGTTGGCATCATTGGCGTCATCGCCATCCTCACCTGGGCTATCGCTGTGATCGCCATTGCCGTCCTGTTGATTGCTGTCCTCGTGGTTATCATCGGCATCGGCATGGCCATCATCCTCGCGATCGCCAGGGTTGTGACCACCGACACTGCGCAAGTCGTCCTCGTTGTCCTGCTCCTCCTGACCTTGATCTTGATTCTGAGAGGCAGCACCAGAGGCCTGAGAGCCAGCATTTGCATTCTCCTCATGCTGGGGGCTGTCATCGAGCTCATCGATACTGATGATCTCGAACTCTTCACCGACTTGCGGTCCGGCTGGACGGACACGATCCAGGTATGCCTGGAAATGAGCTGCGTGGGTAGTTCGCTCGATCTCGGCAAGACGATTCGCCCGACGCTCCACCTCGTTGTAGATCTGAGGAGATTCTTCGAGAGTGGCCCGCCGCTGAGCATCGCTGGGTGCTGTCTGAGAACCTTCAGCCTCCATCTGAGCCCGGGCGCGATGGAAGCCACCTTCATCGCTGATGGCGTCTTGCATGTTGACCGTTGCAAGTCTTGCCTGGGAAACGTGGTCCGCTCGAGTGCTCGCGGAGACGCGCTGCTCCGAGTAGTCAAACGAGCCGTCGGAGCTGACGGCGACGGGCGTGCGGCCAGTGGCATAGAAGTTGTCGTTGGCGAGCTCCCGGTCCGTGGGCTCGGGGGTGATGTTGCAGAATGATTCGTCGTCCGGGCAAGGCGCGTGAGGGTAGGGCAGTCTTCGGCAGGTAGACGCGCACGTGTTGTCTCGCCTGACTCCACGCTGAGTCGCAGGTCCTGCCTGTGTATTCTGCTCACCGTCGTTGTCGCCAGCGGGGATGACGCGTATAAGCGGAATGTGGCCGACTCGGCTAGCCACCGCACGCACGCCGTCTAGCAACTGCTGAGCGATCGGCTGCTGTTGAGGGACACGGGGCTGACTATAGGCAGGGGATGCGACGTTAGCTGTTGCATTTGAACACTCCAGAGGACTTGCACTCATAAGGAGAGATGGGCACTCACTCTTGGTTGAGACTCGCAGGCTGAAGATGATCATCGTCCTTAGCATCAATCTCTTCAGGGCTCTCCTCTGGGTCACTGTCCTGACAGCTTCCGAGTTCGCTGTGCGGACTATCATCAGGTGCCTGACTGGCAACAGGCTGGGGACTCTCCCGAGGCACATCTCCATGGCTACCTTCGTCATCACCAGAGCCAGCGTGATCGTCAGGGGAAAGTACATTAGAGTGATCGGGGATACCCGCCATGTTGACCTGGATGTCCGCGACAATCGAGATGTCAATCTCGTCCTCATTATAAGTCGTGTGAAGCCTGGCGGTCATCGCCAGAGTCTTGTGATCGCACTCTGCGTCGAAATGGCCGATCTTCTTGCGAGGCTCGGCCTTGGCTCTCTCTTCTTCAGTTTCCCACACCGTATAATCACGACCCTGGCGACATGCGAGGCTCTCGTCCAGGTCGTACGGCTTGCGGGGCTCACGCTGACGGCCGCGGCCGCGGTTCTCCCGGATCTCCTGCTCGATGTCGCTTTGGAGGCGAGCTCTGCTGTCGATGGTGAGGACTTGCATCGTATTCCAACCTGTGGTGATGTGGACATTCTCCATTGCTCTGATTTGCTCGGCCTCTGTCATCTCGACCTCGCCATCAGAGTCCTGGTTCGCAGGGTTGAGCCGGAGGGGAAGGGGCTCAGTCCACTCGTCAAAATTGGGCTGAGCATCACCTTGGGGCTCTACAGACGGCGATGAGGCCCTGGAGGGGGTGACGGGATTCTCAGGATTGTCTGCCATGGCAGGTGTAGATGAGCCACGCGTTGGGTTGCCTCGGTTGAGGTGCGTAACAGTATAGCAGCGTCGAGGAAATGATGAGGGAATTTTACTAAAGTGCAGAGGGGGGCTATTGGCAATGAGAAAGATGTTCTCGGCTAGATGTTGTCTTGATGCATCTGATGGCTGTTGCGATCTTGGGCAAGAGTCACGTTGGCCTCGTCGGCGATCTTGAGTGGCTCGTGAGGGTATAGTCAGTTGTGTGATTCATCGGTTTTGAGGAGCGGGGTGAAAGCGGGTCACTCACCATAACTCAGCGGCACTTTTTGACGAGAAAGTTCTCCCAGTAGATGCTGGGAGTCGAACTGCGGCTTGCAATTGCTCTGATCGACTTGTGTGTGGCTATCGTGATGGTGCGGAGTGTCAGTCTCACTGTTGATGGCTTCAGAGCGGGGTTGGCGGTGTCAAGGAGTAAAGGTACTGCAATTCCTCCACAACCGCGCGTGCGTGCAACAGGCACAAAATTCACTTTCTGAGAATCCGTGACCAATCGCGATGCTAGAACCCTTTTCAAAAAGTCGTTCGGCTGCACTGTCGTGATGCTACGGAGGAGTTGCTGTGGTGTACAACTTACTGCAATTATGCGTGTGTGAGGCGGTTGGCACGTGTCTCGCAATTCCTTGCTACAAGTATTTCTTAGTCAGGAATCGGTCCTCAATAGGAATTGAATGGATGTATCATGACCGGGGCCTGCCGACGTGCAATGGTTGTATTGCCAGGCGGTTGTTGGGATGTTTTGTGTTGGAGAGATGCTCCCAGGCAGTGATGCATGAGGGGTGGAGCACTCACAAAAGGTCGAGTCACAGAGGGCAGAAAGATGCTGCTCGTCTCTGTGGAAACCATCTCAAAGGACTGTGGCGCAGGTATCGATATGAGCGAGGAGTAACTTCACGTGCACAAGCCGCAGAGTCCTCCTCTGAGATCAAACACCTGATCTGGAGGACAAGAAAGCCTTCAGCTTGTAGTTGACAGCTCTGCAGTCCCTTGAGTGGTTGGTGCGTAGAGTTGTGTGTTGTGTTGAGCTTGCAGATTCAGAAGTTGGCAGCCTGGTGCTGCTCGAAGATATATGTTGTTTTTGTGAAGCAACAGTAGTCGCGCCGCGCTACTGTGGGACACCACTATTGTTCTCAACAGAGCAAGGAAACCCAGGCGCGTCAATGATACACTGAACTCGGCTTTTATCCATCCATACCATTCAATGGTCAAAGACGACTCCTGGCCGGCGCGAGAGAAGCACCTTCACGAGCCTCACTCAAAGCGGGCCATTGTTGTCGACAGCCATGCGACACAAGGACCCTCGAAGCCAGACATAGCCCACCTCCCCTCAAATTTGCAGAGCGCATTGACCCAGTCGTCATCTGCGATTTCCCGTGCTTCATTGAGAAGTACATAATGACAAGGAGGTCGATGATCGCAGCACTTTTGCAGACGTCAGGCGGTCAGCGCCTGGGAGCCATCCTGGTCCAAGCAGCCTACATTCGGCCCTCGCAAGGCACCCTGTAGGCTCAGAGCACGTAGGCGTCTCCCAGGCTCACTTCCTCTACTCGTCCTGCTGGTCACGGACCGTTGCAGATTTCTCTCTCAACAATGGCCCGTGACTGTGACGTTCGTCCACCGCACGGACCAGTTGGCAGTTGGCCGCGCCAATGTCAACAAACCTCATCCGTTGCCTTTGCGGACATTCCCTTCTGGCTTGCTGGATGCTATCAGACTGAAAGCCTCGCGCTTTGAGGCAGGTCCCTTCATTCCAGCATCTCATGATATCGGCCATGCCCACTTTCGCCGTTACACAGCCTCCAATCATTGAGAGCCATACCGCAGACCCCAACGCCAACGAGGTTCAGTCTTGTGCCGCTTGAAACCACACTTTGCTCTCGAAGATGCATCTCCTATCAGTCTCCCCCAACTGTGAAAGGTTGTTTCTCCCCGAACATCAAGTCTGTCTCGAAACTAGATGCCATCATTTCTCAGCCAGGAGCAGCGACACGCTTTGGCGCGCACTCCAAGCAGCGCGTTCCTCAGCGCGTTTCTGATGCCCATTGGAGACAACATAACCCTTCACAGGCCTAATTGTCTACCAGCGCAGGCACTGTCATTGTGCGCTGCCTTCCAACGTTTCCTAGAACACCTGCCCATATGTAGACATGACTTATTGCTGAGTCTCAAGCTCGAACACCGAGCAGAGTCCAGGACCAAGACAAAGACCCAAGATCACACACGAGACCACACACCATCGAAATCACTCTCGCCATCCCCAAGATACGCTCTTGCCACGAGCCACGAGCAACAAAAGGCCAAACCTTTCTGCGCAACACAACGTATGAAGAAAGATCAGCCGCAACAGCGCCAGCGACAAGTGCTCGCATGCTCATTGTCTCTCGTCTGTTCTTAACACGGAATCAACCTAGCAGTCCTCCGTTTCTCCGTGATCAGCAGGGTCCGCCTCGATATCGCACAGCAAAAGAAAAAGAAAACCTCTTTTGAGAACCAGTCCAAAGCTCTTCGCGCAAACAGCCTCAAAAGGAGCCTATGTACAATTGCCCCGCAAAGACGAATTCCTTTTGGCCAGAACATCACTCTCACCTGGCAAACTCTCACAGAGAGAGGAAACCCCCGGAATCACTGGGAGATGGAATCTTCTGTACAGCCCTGGAGGCTACACAGTTCGGGTTGGGCTGGTTCAAGTCCACCCGAGTCGGGGGGTTAGAGACGCAGACTCAAAGATCGCACGTAATTTGTCACCAACTCGCACAGGAGCTAGGAGAATCTGCGGTACGTGAGAGCATTAGACCTGCAACATTTGACCAAGGTCTTTCTCATCCAAATAGATGAAACTCGAGGGCCTTGCCATCGTCTCGTGATCACCATCCTGGGGCATGCTGAAAGAGTCAGTTAACGAGCTTTGATTTCGATTGCTAGCCAGTGTGTCTATCGAGATTCACGCTTGTTGCAACAGCAGAATTTGGAGTTGTGGCTTACATGCCGTGCTTTTTGCCACATGCGACCTGCTGCTAGTTCGACGACTTATCTTGTGCGGAGCATTTTGCTCGCCACATCAGTATGTGTCTACCTCATCCGCCCAATGTCCCCCGCGCATCCGGTTGCGAGCATAAGGGTCGTGCCACTCGTCGTGTCCATAACCCCGAGGAGAGTATGGAGCATACTCCCAGTCCCGCGCTTCGTCCTCTTCTTCTTCATCCTCTTCCTCCCAATCGCTCTCACTCAAGGCCCCAGCCTGCGGATACTCGGTTTGTACGGCAGAGGGCCGAGGGATCTCTTGTCTAATAACCTGCTGTGCTTCAGTTCTGCAGTCGAGGAATTTTTGAGCCCGGTGAAATTGTGACACTTTATCGCCGGATCTCAGCTTTCGTTCGTAAGAAATGCCGGCAGATAGTTGCTGCAAAAAGCTTTCATCAATGATGTCGACCTGCCAAAGGCGTCTTTCGAGTTCCTCGATAGAGCGAAACTCCCAACATTCGGTTCTGTGCCACTTCGCTTTGCATCGAATGCAGTAGATACCGTGGTTGGGCCCGCAGCCTTCGCATTGGACTCGTGGCTTCCAGACCGCTGGAGCTGTGCTGGTGATGTAGAGATTCTTGGGCACGTGTGCGCCGGTCGGACAGGTCCATGAACCGGTTTCAGCGATCTCATGCTGGGCGAGCCATGCGCTGTTCAGCCAGGGGTTGACCAGAATGCGTCTGTAGCACGCCAGTCCGATCTCGAGGTTGCAACACCTCGGCGGATTGTGCTGGGGCAATACCAGACCGACAAGAAACCACCCAAGCAGGCAAGGGTGGCAGAAAGAATGCCCACATTGGGCAACCTCAAAGGTGTTCCAGTTGTAGGCCTTGTTACAATGCCAACAAGTATTCCCTATACGGCTTTGCCTGCGGGCGGATGCTCGCCCCTGTCTGCCTTGCTCTGCTGCATCCAAGTCAACGATTTGAATGACCCGTTCTGCCTCCAGCAACGTCAAAAGCTTCCGGGTCCCAGTGTCCTGGATGCAGCTCGAGAAATGCTTCTCATTCTTGCAATCGCAGCATATTTGGGTATGACACACATCACATGTGACGACGATAGAGCCGTCCGATCCTCTCCTGTATTTTGCCGTCTCCAGCTGCACATCAGCGAGGCATTCCTCCACAGGACAGGATATTCTCTTGCGGCCATACTCGACCATTTTCCGAGTGAAATCTTCACGGAAGTTTGGTGGCAGGTCGCAGAGAGCCATGAGGGTCAGAGGTATGGGCTCATTTGTACAGCATACCGCAGGCATTGCCGCGGGGTCCTTGATCGCCTGCTTGAACTTTCGTTCGAGGCATGGGATGCATTGCACGTGTCCGCACTCTAGTTCGTTGGAACGACCATCCTTTCTCTTGACGGTCTTGCCGCAGGAGAAACAAGTCGTCTTCATGTCGCCAAAGCGAGTCAAGTTATTTAGCTCTACTTGCTCATGAAAGCCTTCTGTCTTGGAGTAGAAAGTGAGTCGCCGAGGTGCTGATGGCCGTGTCGCATGGGTAAAATTGTTATCAGATGCTTCTGAGGCATCGGAGTCGGATGAAGCTGCAATGACAAGATCATTGGTGGTTGGGTCGTCTTTGTCGAGGTCTTTGGCGTGGCCGCTCTGTGAAACTTCTCGCGGGTGTTGCTCAGGTTCACTGTTCTTCTGAGCGGCTGATCCCGGACTGGAATTATCACACTTGTTTATCATCTCCTCCCGACCTTTGCGCACAGCCGCTTCGAGATCTCCTGGTGATGCCGTCCTCAATATTGTCCTGCCATCAGCAGGCAGATGAGGTAAGCTGCCCCGGAGACTATCGTCTGTGCCAGGCTCAATATACGGACCGTGGTAGGCTATAGGGGGCTGTTTGGAATGCAGCGGATGTATATGCCCACGCGCACCTTGCCCAATTGATGCTTCCGAGTCGTGTCTGCTGTCGTCGGGGAAAGGCTTCTCATCATCGGATCGGGCTGCCTGGTCACTGTGGTGGTTGCGTCAGCATCGGGTTACCTGAAACAAAGGCTGTCTCCCAGCTTCACTTACTCGATGCTGCTTACACCTCCATTTTCCATTCTTGCCGGAGCCTCGATCGAGTAAAAAAACCAAGGGTGGACTTTTGCCGAGGCTGCAGGAGGCCGGGCTGGTGGTTGAGGCGACATGAGCGCAAGAATGAAGTCTGACCCTAGCTCGGACACCTTGGCCGCATTTAGAGGCGGAGAGGGGAAGTCGATCTCCCGCTCAGCATACTTGAGCAAGCTGACTATGTTTCCAAAAGCCGTCTCACTAGTTAGCAGCTTGTAGAGGACTGCTCCAAGCGACCACATGTCCACTAGGAACGTGTACGACGCGTTTTCCGGGGTGTCTCCGAGACCGAGGACCTCGGGAGCCGCATAGCCGTATGTCCCTCGCCCCATCGTGTTTACTGTGGAAACGTCCTCCCGTCGTCGTTTGCTGATGCCAAAATCGGCAATTTTCACGTACCACTCTGGACCGGTGGCCACAACCATGATGTTCTGCGGCGAGAGACAGGAAAATCGTCAGCATGGACGCCACGAGATTGGGATCTTGGAGAAATATCATCGCAGCCTTACACCAGGTTTCAGGTCCCGATGGACAAAGTTGTTCTCGTGCATGAAAGCCAGCCCGTCCAAGAGCTGCATTGCGATCTGCCTCGTTTCGTATTCCGGTATCTTTTTGCGTGCCATGAGATGTGCGTGGAGGTCGCCAAGTTCGAAGTATTCCATCGAGATGTATACTGAATCATCATCGTCGTACCAACCGTCGGCAGTAACAAAGCAGTGCGCGTACTAGAGGAGGGAAGACAGAGTGTTGGTTAGTAGCAGTTCCACAGAGACAGCCGGTTCACACCGGCGGGCTGAGGAGAGGCATGACAGCAGAGCATGAGCTTCTCAGGGACTCACTCGGTCATGGGAGAACTTGAATATGGCTTCCAGCTCTCGATCGTAGTCTAACGGCTGGCCAGGCCGAATGTACTTTCGAATTTCCTTGACTGCGCGCTTGCGGAGTTTGTCATCTTGGCCGCGAGTCTCGAGGTAAACGATGCCGTAGGCTCCGCGGCCGAGTTCGCATGAGCGCGTCCATTGCTCCTCCTTGCGAAGTCTCCGTTGGCGAGCTGAAGTGCCTGCCTTGTAGCGGATGTGCTTGGTGGTGCGAGCATCGATGAACTCGGTCTCCAAGTGGGCGTCCCGGACAATATCAGGGAAGTTCTCGACTCGGCGCATTGTGCCAGCTGGACGAGGCAGATCGAAGGAAGGGGGGTGGGTCGTGCTGGAGGCCGAGGACTACATGGCCCAGACGCCTCAGCGGCCTGCGGAGGGCAGGGCTCCGGCTCTGGGGGCCGTTGCTCAACGCCTGGAAGGGATGTGAGGCCACCACGAGAGAGATGTTGGGCACGCAGGGTTGATCCGAAGTCGGCAAAGGCGATGGGTCAGCGCGGCCGAGGCTGGTAGTCGGCGACGAGAGCAGAAGGGGGGAAGGGTGACTGACAGCTGAAAGGGCCTGGGGCTGGCCAAGGACGCATATGCGTTGTTGGCATGGGGCGGGGTCGACGGGTTGCGGCGGCGTGGGAGGCGTCCCGTGTCAGGTTGGGGGTCAGCTGTGCTGACATATACAGATGCCTACGCCTGAGGCTACCCTCTTCACGGAGGGAAGCGGCCAGGCGGCTGAGACCCCTGTCTGTCCGGGTGCCGCTTCCGCCTTCTTCAAGTCGCCTCTGCTTACCTGCCCCAAGCAACGTATACTAAAATCTAGCTCTCTCTATCGGCTAACTAGTTCTCAGATGAACTTCAACAAACATTCGCATTTGCAGCTTGCTCCAGCTCGCTCAGTCCAGCTTTCTGTCGGGGCGCCAATGGGAAAACCCCCCAGGACCCACGGCCACGACAGAAGCGCAAAGGAGCGTCCTTTGGCGAGGGAGGACAACCAGAGCCAGACACAAGCCCCAAAAAGTGTTTCTACAAGAGACGTTCCAGGACAAAGGCCATGTCGCGCTAGCCACACGATCAACAGGGGCGACGTGGAGAACAAACCCTTGGTTGTTCGGATCTTCCCGTGGCTTGTGGGTCTTGAGGATGAGCCCGCCCATGAACACTGTCGAGGACTGTCTTCTTAGACGCGCCCTGTTTGCGAACAGCAATACAGTCCGTCCCCCAGAACTGTATTACGGGCGACCCAAGACCGCTCCGTATCGGTCTTAAGTTCACGTCGGTATACCCTACCTCCACGTGGCCATCTATGGATCCGAGCAGAACGCACCGTCGACGCCGTTAAAATTCAATCAATGTGGGCACCGGCCAACAGGCCATATACTTGCGGTCGTGCAGCCATGGCTCACGCTTCTGAATGGTCGTCCGTTTGGGGCCAGGAACAAAAAGTCTTAGGTGTCTACCTTGTCATTTCTGCACTCCAGCAGGAAGGACCTCTGTTCCAACCTGGCGGCCCGTAACCAAACCCCTGGTGGCTACTCACCCTATGACGCCGCAAACACAATACAGCGGCCTGATTGGTCCTTGCCAGCTTGTCGATCAGACTGCGTCATAAATGTTCCCAGAACACAAACGTCCCATAAAGTCGGCGTCCGGATGGTGACTCTCAACCTTGGCCCTTTGAGTCACAAAGCATTTTACCAACTTATACTACCATGGCGGCCCCTCCATACGAGTTGGTTCTTGGCAAGATCAAACCCTACATCATCCTCGACGACCCAAAACATGTGCACTGCGGCGCTCAAGACCCGATACGCGGCCGAGTGCGGCTGGTCTACTCGTCAAGCTCGCATGTCGCCTCGGACGTGGGCCTGTCCGCACCGTGCAAGATTGTCCTTACGCTCCAGGGCAATCTCAAGGTCGAGATAGGGCCCAGCAAGAAGCAAGGGGGAGGCGGACTGCAGAACTACTACACAATTAGCATGGCGCGGATGTTTGCGCAGCCGCACGTAGTGTTTGACGATCTGCTGCCGAGCCTGCGCAAAGAGTACAACCACGGCATGGCGGCAGATATGTCGAGGAGCTTTGACTTTTCAGTGGCCTTCCCCGACCGCATCCTAGATGCCGATTGTTTCGATAGGAAATGGGGCGATGGCAAGAACCACAAGAAGGAAAAGGAGAGCATTGTCGGCGCCACACGCGACGAGGACAAATACGATATGGACCCCTTGCAACCGCTCCCACCGTCCATGATGGTCCGTAAGGCTCTCAATTTCGACGTTCCAGGCGAGTTATCGGTGCAGTATACCCTGACAGCGCGGGTCGAAATGCCGGGAACCTCGGTTGCTACACTGATCGATTCTGTTCCAATAATCTTCGACCGGCCACTGGACGCCGGAGCAGCCGCCACGGGCGTGCCGGCATCGTCATCAGAAGTCCAGAAGAGGTTTGGACACTTCGCCTTCCAGGCTCCAGGTTTGGGAGCAGGCATAAAGAACACCCTGTTAGCAAGGACATCTTCCATATTTCGAAATGGCTCGTCGTCTAATAGGCCTCCTTTGCACGACCAAGACTATCTGCTCAGCTGGCAGCTGACTTGTCCAACTGAAGTACACCGTGGCCGGCCACTGGACATACAACTTCAAATCCTGCCAGGCCACCAGGAAATTGATTCGGAAGCGACTCCACACGCAATGCCGCCTGTGATCGGGCTGGAGAAGGTGATTGTAGACATGGAGATACTCGTCCACGGGCAAGGCGAGGTTGATGAACGCCGGGTCCTCCCAGGAGGCAAGTCACGGCCCGGGCAACAGTACGCGGGGAGAGGGGTGGTCGTTGAAGAAACCCTTTCCGCGCAAGAGAAGAGCAGAAAGGAGAAACACAGCACCCGGGCTGTTGATGGCAACGAAGATCATGGTGACAGCAGCAGTACCAGCGGCGGCATAGGGCTGCTGCATGCTGGTAATGGCTGGGCCCGGGTCATCTCGCTGCCACGCATCACAGAGGGTCTGTGCAGCTCTTTCAGGACAGTGTGCATCCGGCGCGCCTACTTTGTCAATGTGCGGTGCCGCGTTCAGCTTCCCACGTCTCGCCAGAAGGTGACTTTCCAGCACAGCTTCCCCATCACTGTGCTCCCGCCACTTCCACCAGATACCACGGGACTTTCAATGTCAGAACTGGCAGGCTACAAGCCTGGGTGGGAGCTTGGTGCTGGCCAATCTCTGCGGCCAACAGCAGAAATTGACTCTGCCACGCTGTCGGAGCTAGAGGGCAAGAAGGATCTCAAATCCGATGACCGACCAGCTGGAGATCAGGGCGGGCGACCGGTAGAACTTGAAGCTCGACCACTAGCCATGCCTCCGGAAGAACAGCATTCGGAAGCCCCCCCCCTCCCCTCATACAGCCATTGAACTCGAAAGACAGGGAACGAGAATAGCCTGTGTTCGGGGTCATCACCTTAGTAGAACAATTTAGCATCACTGCACGCGTCAAACGAGTAATGCTGTGCAGGTGCTCAAGTAGCGCGCTTGTACCGCATACTCCTTGTCAAGTGAGTGATTGCATGCTGTTGTCTTATGAACTCGCTGCACTCCCACTCAAACACGGCAACGAATTGTGGGCAAACGTGATGCCGTTACGTATCAGCTGCCCGGAATCAGATGTGGCTACGCGAGCTCGAACTGGATCTAGAAGCAGACCGGAAATCACCAAGCCGGAGCGAAAACTAGGTCCGGTTAGAGAATGCCATAAAATTATACTGCGTTTCGATGTTTCCACACCCATCACAGCTTCATGCCCTTGGCCAGCCGTTGACGAAAGTCTGCCATATGATACTTCATGACGAAGTGCCTGAACGACAGCGGCAGCCAGGGATACACTATACGGTCGACAGCTCTCTTACACCAGTACATGAATCGCGTGTACACCGTCGACGGATATCCAAAGTCGTTCCTGATCCTCTCGGGCAGTAGCTCTATCGTGGTAAACCGGTGCACCGGACCCGTGAGCTTGGTCAAGAGCCACAACGCCCAGGGCAGGTTCCTCGACGGCCACAACAGGTCCACCGACACGCTACTCGCCTCGTCCGTGACCTCGAGCCCCGCGACCGCCCGCTCCCAGTACTCTGCAAACGCGGCGCGGTCCCGCGGCCACTTGTCCGGCGGCACCCGCAGCCCCGTCGCCATGACCGAGAACTCCCTGTACGCCTGATCGGCCGTCTCGTCGTCCAGCTTGCCCAGGACCTCCTCGTACCCGACAATCAGCGACCAGTATATCGTCGCGGCGACCCAGAGCTGCAGGTCCACGTCGTTCGCGTCGTAGCCTCCTCCTCCTCTTTCCCCTTGCCCAGGCCCAAGCTTCTTCCGGACGCGCATGTGCGCACGGTGCGTCGCGTCCGTGACCCTGCGCCGCTCCGCGAGCGTGCCGAACGTCATGACGTAGATGTAGAACAGGGAGCGCCGGGACCGCTCCACGGGCCGGAGGGTGAAGCTGCTGTGGTCGTGCACGCCCCTGCCGACCCCCGGCTGCGCGAGCTGGAGCATCACGGCGGCCTTGGCGGGATTGAAGGAGCACATCTCCGCGACGATGGTCTGCATCGCACGGCTGGAGGGCGCGAGGGGGGCGTGGTAGGGCCCATAGCGGCCATGGGGGGTGGTGCTGCTGCTGCTGCTGACAGCAGTGGCGATGGAGGGTGGCGAGCTGGTGTCGGCCTTGTCGTGAGTGGGTGTTGATTTGGATGTGGTTCCGGCGGTTGTGGGAGTCGGAGTTGTGATTTGGAGCGGTTGCAGCTCGACTGCTGTTGAGCTCATGATGGGCAATCTCTGGGGTACTCTACTTGTGCTGATTCCTATTTGAAAGCTCGTAGTGGTTCGTTGGGCGAATGAGACTGTTGAGTCAAAGGAATACCCGAGCTGTCCAGTCCTAGTGGCGATGTCGAAAGTACGGATCACCGAAAGCGGCCGTGGTAAGTTCGATGTTGACTCTGGAAACCCGAGAAACGACAGAGCTAGACAATAGTGGATGGCACATGCGCAGCTGCAGTGGGCTGTGTTCTGAACGAGGACCTTGGAACGTACACTTCAATACAGCTGGGAAGCGATGGTGAGCTGAGGTTGGCAGTTCCAGGCCTGTTTTGGTTACTCGGAGACAACTATCACCCCTAGTTGAAGGAGGCAGTGCTGGCAGGTACGTATGGGAGCTTATCAGATGACCTATGCTTATAGCTTGTCGATCCAGGCTTTGTGCCGAGGCCTGTTTTCCCTATTTGGAGTTGGCGCAGACATCCTTGTCAGTGATGCGAGACTCGTCACCCGGACTGACGACAAGACCTGCGGCTCGCTTCCTCCGTGAAATGTGATCCCAATATGAGGAGATTATGCTGTTTAGGTTATACTGCTTACTGTGAAAAGTCTTATCTACTGAAAACACGGTACGTGTATGATCCTCCCGAATATGTACCACACGTGAGGACTTTAAAAGGCACAAAAGCACTCAAGGGCTCTGACACCTCTAGGTTTGTGTGATCGAGCCCCTTCCGCAACCGCAAATTAAATCCGAGTCTAAGACCTTGATGATATCCTTTCTTCAAGGAGGGAAGCGCATTTAACGAGAACCCCCTTTCCCCTTTGCTTTACCGCTGAGGCCCTGAACTTGGGTCCGCAGGCAGCTCCGCCCTCGGCACTTCCCACGGCCGGGCCTCAAGCTCAGCCACATCATCATGAAGCAATGACCGGTCTTCGAGCTCCACAAGCGTGAGCTGAGTGGACTCGGCGTCAAGCTCCCCCCGAGGCTCGAGTACGTCCGCATCCCCAAGCTCGGTCACAGGCTCATCGCCAGCCATCTCCGGCACCGGCAATGCAGTCTTGTCCGGCACGGTTGTGGGCGGATGCAACGTGACGGGGAAGGCGTGCTCAAAGACATCCGCCCGACGCGATCCCGCAATCTGGACGTGACACTGCACGACGAAGACGTAGCTGCGCCGTATACATACTGTCCTGAACGAGCTGCAGAGGTTTTTGGAGATGTCTGTAAAGGTCACGGCTTGTGCCCAGCCGTTGCCGGCATGGAAAAAGCTCGGCCCGCGCTCGGTATCGGCCCCTTCATCGACATCACCAGCAGGCTTGTTCTTTTTCTTCTTGCTGTCCGACTGTGGTCTCAAGCTGACAGTCTCTTCGGTGACGACTTGCTTTCCGTCGTACTGCTGGCCTGGGCGCGGCTGGGGTCGTAAGTTCGTGGGCTTCTCATGCTCGCCTTGTGCATCGATAACCGCCTCCACGCGGACCGTCATCTTGACTAGTTCGACCGTAGATGGCAAGCTCGACAGCACGGAAGGATCATCACCCCGGTGCGGCGGCTGGAGCTGCACCTGAACAGCGAACGGCTGCCCACGGTGCACGTCGGTCGAGCAGGTGAGCTGCCAGCCCAGCATGTGCTCGTTTCCTAACGACGTGCCCGACAGAGAAGCCCCGCGGAAGATGGCAGAGGTCTTGGCCCTGAAGCTCTGCCGGTGATGTTGTTTCAGGGTGCCACCGCCATCACCACCTTCAGACGTCTTCGTCCCTGCAAGGGTCAGGCCAGGCGGCGCGATGCTCTTGGCTCGGACCACTAGGGTCCCGAACTGGCTCTGCATCTCTTCTTTGCCATCCTTGTTGCGCCGCCCGAGAGTGCGCGGGGTCCGCGCCCGATCAAAGAACACCGGCACACGGTCGCTGCGCGTGGCCACGGGAGTGTCCGAGATGCTGACGTACGCCGCCAGCGTGTATCGCACAGAGATCTCTCCTGAGGACCTGGGCGCGGCCGGGTCGATGTACTCCATCGAGGGCGGCAGAGGCTGCGACGGGTCCATGTCGAACTTGCCCTCGCTGCCACCGCTGTCGCCATTGCCGCCATCACCCCACCGTCGCTTCAGGCAATCGCTGTTCGTCATGCCGTCCGGGAAGTATATCTCGAACCGGAAGTCTCGGGCCGCAGCACCGTCAGCGCTGATAGTACCCACCCGCGCCTGGTGGCTGTGGCTATCTGCGAGCGGCGGCAGCCAGTCGTCGAATATGCATTCGAGTCCTCCACACCACAGCCCGGCCTCGCTTGAGGAGTAGTAGTACCGATTGTGCGGCGCGGTTTTGCTGCCGCCCCCGCCGGGTGCGATCTGGACCTTGACTTGACCGTACAGATTCATGTCGATCTTGCAGGGCGCGGAGAGCTCAAAGCCCGATGGGACATAGGTGCGGGCGAAGTAGCGAAGCCGCACGCAGCCCCGAATCGGATCGTTTGGTCCGTAGTAGACGCGGTCGGGGTCATCGAGGATTATCGATGCTTTGACCTTGCCGAGGATATTGTCGACGCTGGACGCCGTGGGGTAGACGATCATAGTGGCCAGCCGAGGTTTATGTGAGAAGGGAAGGGGAATAGAGAGCGTTGTTGCTGAGGTTAATCAACGTGTAGTTTGTCTGGGGGTCTGCCCTATATAAGAGAGTCTGATCTCAATGATGAGCTCCAAAAGGCTGCTGCGTCAAAGAGGCATTGCCCTTGACTTGGGAGACGGCGAAAGCAGATATACTATAAATCGGCCACTCTAAAATTAGGCTCGCCGTAGGGCTATGCAATGCTATCGGGGTGTGGAGCCTCGATGTTGTGCAGCATGCTCGGCAGGGGTCTATCTCTTCGGGGCCGATGTGCTGGAGTAGGGTTGAGCGCAGTGTGCCAGATAGCCCGACACAGCAATAACTTGATAGGTCGCGCAGGGCAATGGGGTGGCGGGCAGTGCATCACCTTTGAAACATTTGCCACTCGTGCACTTCTAGACTTTGGCAGGTCAATAAGACTTCTGGGTTTCAAAGGAATAGGCTGGACAATGCCATGCCGTTAAAGCGGATGAAGAAATAAAATGGCTTTTCCATTATATCAGGGGAAGGACACATTCCTCCTAGACTGAACTTTGTGCATGGTTCTGGGCTTGGCCACACTGAATGATGCGGTATCCAAACCATAGGCATGGCAAGATCAGATGTCGAGCGAGGATGGTGAAAAAGGACCATTGAAGATAAAAGAGCAGGATTTTTAGGTAAAATATGTGAATATAGCGCAATCTGACTCGTGTTCGTGTCTCTGTAAACCGTGATTGCACTCTTCTGCACAATAACCCGTTCAACAGTATCGTGAACGTTCACAGCCCATGCGAATGATAGCACTACCAACAACCATCAAGGTCTGCTCTACCAAAATGTAGGGTGCAGATCCTCGGGTCAAGCTGACTCCTGCAGCGGGCCTCCCGCACGGCCAATTGCTCCAGCAGGAGCCTTCCTCTTGAGGCCGCTGTTCTCAGCAAACGTCGGAGTGCTCTTGAACTTCCATGCGGGGATCTTGCGCTCATAGAGCTCATCAATCTCCCAGTAAGTGCGACCAAACGTCTATTAGGCGAAAACCCCGTTAGCGGCATGCCTTTAGAAGCCTTGTCCGAATTAAGCTGCAGAGAAAAGACATGAAGATGTGGGCAGGCAGGGACATCAATTACCTCGGGGTAGTAAAAGTACAGGAGTACAGTTGTTGGCAGCAAGAGAGCTGCCCATACATACACAGCCTTGACTCCTAGATTGGCGGCATCGGGGCTGATCATGTAGGAAATGGTCCACTGAAAGACGACACTGTAACAGAATGGATGCAATTAGTGGGAGCCGCTCAAATGTCCTCGGTGTTTTCACTTACAACCCTAGCCCATAGCAGCCCAAGTTGAAAGAGGTTGTCTGAGCCCTGAGACGAGGGGTCGAGGTCTCCCCCGACGCGACGAAGCCGATCGGGCCAGCAGAGAAGCCATAGCAGATAACCCACAGCAAAAGGAAACCCAGGGCAGCCTTCTCTGACGGCTTTGTTTTGAAAAAGCCTGTCGTGGCGAGACAAACATTGAAAATAAGCATGAGAGCGCAGCCACCGATCAAGAGGGGCCTCCGGCCGATGTGCTCACAGGCAATGAGAGCGCAGAAGATCGACACCAGGAGTAGGACGAATGTGATGATAGTGACGAGAAAGGGGTCCTCAAGACCAGCAACGGCGAAGAAGTACGTTGAGTATGAGAAAACGATGGGTGCACCCGCCGCCCACTGGCTGCAAATGCCTAAGCAGCCAGCAAGAGTGCGGCGCCAGTTGAGACCTCTGAAGATCTCTAGGAAGCTACTCTCGGTACCGTTGAATTCCTGTTCAGCGAGGATGCCGTGCTGAATAACGCGATACTCATATTCGACGTCGTAGCCATCAGCGTAGCCATAGAGCGCGATCATAGACTTCTTGGCCTTCTCGTGTTGACCTTTGCGGGCATAATAGAGATGAGACTCGGGCACGAGCCAAATGATGATGGCGAGCACGCCGCTGAAGAGATATTCGGTGGCAATCAGAGGCTTCCACTCCGTAGGGCGCTGCGTCACAACAATCTGAGAAGCCACTGCACTGATGAGCTGGCCAACAGCGAGAGAGAGTTGGTAGGCACCAATCATGAAGCCGCGGACCTGGTGAGGTGCGAGCTCTGAGATGTAAACCACTAGGATGGACTGCGCAAGGCCGACGCCAAGTCGGATGATCATGGCGCCCACCAGCCACGTTTGCCAGCTGTGAGCGGTGATTTCGGCGGTGGAGCCGGCAAGCAGGACAACGATCGAGGCAACCATGGCATATTTGCGGCCGATGCGATCGGCAACCCATCCACCACTGAACATGCCCAATGTCTTGGTCATCTCAGCGAGACCTTGCCAGAGAGACACGGTCTTGGCGCTGACGGCGGGCTCGCCGTTGGCATTGACGATATCGGCCATGTCCTTGACGAAAGCGGGCATTGGAATGACGTTGCCAGGAACTTGTTGTTGGAACTGAAAGCGATCGTGGGTCAGCCTGGTGGCAATATTTGATGGAAGCAAAACCTCATCTTACACCATCGTTTAGAGCAGCCCAGCTCAGAATCAGACAAAAGAGGATGGCCTTCCAGAAAGTTCTGACCGAGGCCCATCGTGACAAGCCTACGTTATGCTTAGTGACGGATTCTGGGAATGATGAAGAGCATGGGGACTCTACGAACCTGCAAACCGAGTTTCGAGAACTTCGCCGTTGTCGACATTGCCAGTCTCGTGAGCCTTCTCGAGCCCCTGGTGGTGCTCGACCGCGGGTTGGGCTGACTCCTTTGTTTCCATGGTGGCACTTGATAATCGTGAAGCGTGAAGATGATCAATTCTCTGATCATTGAAATTGCAGCTGCAGACAGACACCTATATATACTTGTCAACCGGCCTTCTGCCCTGAGATGCCGTGGGCCAGTCTGGGGGACCACGGGTCTACAACCCCGTGTAAGTTGGGGACGTGGAGAAATCCTGGGGTAACAAGGGCGGCTCGAGGCGGAGTGGCCAAGAAGCGCCAAGCGGCCTGAGGGTGGGGATCGGCCTGCTGTCGCCCGACCATGTGGCTGCGGGGTGCCATGCTCGTGGTCAGAAGCTAGTCCAGAGAATTAGTAGTGCGGAAGCGCGTGGTGGGGCGCCTAGCGTGACTGATGTCGAGGAGACTGCCGGAGTTGCCATTTCGGTCCTGGAGCGGAAGCCGGAGACCTGGCGGCGTTGAAGTCACTGAGAACCCCATGATTGAGGGTTGGACGCGGAGCCCTGCCGGGCGCGGTCGAGATCGTGGTTGTTCGAGGGTCGGCCCCAACTCTAAATGTGGAGAGTTTCATTTCCGATTGTGGCAGGCTTTCATTTCGCACTGTGTTACTGTGCAAACGCTCCTTCCACAGCTCAGACCTCATCCAGTCTCGGGCATCATTTGAAGCGACCAAGCACAGGCGGACGCCATCTGATGCCCGTGCCTGCATATCGAGAGCTTTCCTGAGCATGAGCTCCAGAAAGCCTCCGCTCGCGGCCGCTTTGGCAGCGCGTGCGTGCGTCAACTGCCAGAAGCGCAAGAGCCGGTGCGCACGCAGCAACATTGCTGGCGAGCCCTGTGCCTACTGCTCCCGCGCCGGCAAGGCATGCAGCTTCCAAGAACCGCCACGTCGGACCGCTCTGACCCGGGATAATCTCACTGCCGCCCAGCTCGAATGCTCACGCCTCCGCCGTCTGGTCCGGGCTCTACAGCCGGACCTCGACATTGACGCCGCCCTGCTTGATCATTCCAGTACGCCAGAGACATCCTCCATCGCCAACACTGCCAGCATAAACGTCCAATCCTCATCCCGCGAGCCTGCTTATTGGGTCGAAGAGAGGCATGGCTTCGAATGGCACGAGGGACCAGACTCCCCTGCGATCGATGAGGATGGCAGCTCACCTGCGTTGAGAGAAGATGGCATGGCTCTATTCCCTACTGCCAACTCGGGCTACCTGGGCAGCAGCTCTGGCTCCGACCTGATCAAAGACATTGCGCCATTCCTTCCCACACCCTTTCCGACCTCGACACAGGGGTTCAGCCACTCTCTCCCTAGCCCAAAGGCAGATGAGTCTCTTTCCTCGCATGCGATGCAAAGCCGCCTCGTCGATGCCTACTTCGTATACTACAACACCTCCTTCCCGATCCTGCATGAGAAAACATTCCGCGAGCAGCTGGCTAGCCAGCATCGGCCGCCATCAACCTCAATATGGCGTGTTGTTCACCGCATGGTGCTGGCCATCGGTCACTGGATATCGACAACCAACAGGTCCGGGGACCTCTCGCCTTACTACGCTGCCGCGCGCTCTCGTCTCTCTGTTCAAGCCCTCGAGTCAGGCACAATGGCAACCGTCCAGGCCTTTCTATTAATGGGCAATTACCTGCAGAAGAATGATCGTCCAAACACAGCGTACAATTTGATTGGCATCGCTCATCGAATGGCGTTGGGGCTGGGCCTTCACCGTGAGCCTCTACACCCGAGCAACGATTTACTTCAAGAGCGGCGTCGGCAATTGTTCTGGATCACGTTCTGCTTCGACTGCGGCTTCAACATCACAACGGGTCGTCCCTCTTCCCTGTATGAAGGGGTCGTGGATTGTCGGCTTCCCCAAAACATTGACGATAGAGTAAGCAGCAAATCCCCATACTTATCACACAGGGCTAACTCCTAGTTTGCAGGAGGTTAATTTGAACTCATCAGCACCAGACGCCGTCCAAGTGCCGACAACATACTCCGCACTGATTGCGCAATCGGAACTAGTACGACTTTCCGCCACAATATACACTGAATTCCTTCAAGCAAAGACTGCCAATACCAAGATCGAATACCAGGTTGCCGAGGCCATGGATCAGCAACTGAAGCACTGGCGAAATGCCCTTCCCACATATTTCACTTCGCCCAATGTGCCGACTTGGTTTCTAGGCCCGCGTGCAATTGTCCTATGGAAGGAACAAAATTTACGGATACTGCTGTGGCGCGGTAGCAAACCTAGACACGGCTTCCTTGCCCACAAAATCACCGCTGAGAGTCGATGTCGGGACGCGGCGATGCAGACCATCCATGACATCGCGTCTTTCTGTACAAGCAATCCTGGGATCATGCACTTGGGCATTACATGGTATGCCACATACTTTTTGTTCCAAGCTGCACTCATTCTCGAGGTTGGTCTTCCACGAGAGAATCCGAACGACACATTTCATCAAGATATGCCTGATTTGTCTGGAGCAGATGATAAAGGAGCTTTGGAGATCAGCGTTGCGGCAGCTCGAAACTGTCTAGCCATGCTCGGGCCGAGTAACATCTCCGCCAAACGCTGTCAAGACCTTCTCGAACGCGTCCACGAACTATCTACCCAGATGCGGAATTCTCAGGTGCAAGGCATTCAGCAGCTACCTTCGCAGGCGAATGTCGTCCCCTCGACAACGAGTGAGAGGGCTCCGGGCAGTGGCGAAGATTTCCCTTCAGCATCTCCACCTGGAATATTCTCTTACCCGGACTTTGGCGCAAATGACGAGTTTCACCTAGCCTTTGGTGACTTTGCAGCCGACCATACGCTACGCATGCTGATAGACCAGACCTATGCAGATATTCTTGGCGCTGGCCATCTCAATGACATCTTCCAGGACGGTGTGACCAGCCAGAACGCCTCCAGGTGAAGTCAAACATAGAACATACTATGACAGATTCCACGATGCAAAGAGCCTTTACAGCATTAGACCAGTTTTGATTCATCGAGCCTGCGACCTCCAAGATGATACGCTCGTTGTTGCCAGCCATGGGAACCACGCTCAACATCGTGGTTGCTTATTACGAGCTCTCGTCCACACTTAACACCCTAACGGTCGGTGTGACAAGCTTTGTCCTCACTTCCTCGCCGTTGGGCAAATCGTTGCTGTCCACCCTCGCCAAGGCCGCCTCCAAAGTCGACTCAATACCGCTCTCCAAGTGCCTTTGTGCAATCCGCCTCCTCGCGACATTTGCATCAACATCAATGAACCAGCTCTCGTCTACGAGCGTGCTGAATTGCCGCCACGGTTCCTCATCGTAGAGCAACCAATTACCTTCCATTATCACGAGCGCCGTGTCCCTACAGATGACAGCACCGTCGGCTACCGGGTCTTTGATCGCGTGGTCGAAGGTGGGGACATAAATATCAGCATTGTCGGACCTAATGACTGCCCCATGACAATTTTCCGAATGTAGGGAACTGCCGAGCTGTTCGAAAAGTCCCAGCACGGCCGCAGCGTCAAAGGTCCACGCTGCGCCGCGCCTGGCATGTGCTTCCCTGGCGTTGTGGAAGGTGTTCAGCTGTGCACGCGTGAAATGGTATCCGTCCATGCGCACGACGACTGCTAGAGGTGTGGCTTCACTGCCACGCGAAGTCGGAGCTGGCGAAGGCGGTGCGGAAACAGTGTTGAGGCGGCGGACGACCTGGTCGGCAACGGTAGATTTTCCAGAACCCGGCGGGCCTGCGATGAGGATCAGGGTGCGTTCCGCCGGATGGCAGTGTTGCTTGCTGGCGAGGAGCCTCCGAGCGCGCTCAGTGAGCTGAGAGTAAATAGCTTCCATTTGAGAAGATGGTCTTGCCTCGGAAACCAGAACGAATCAACTCCTCTGGGGGTTTCAACTTGCTTCTGGAAGAATGAGGAAATTAGCGCATGTCTCGAGGTCGAAGAGAACCTTTGTATGCAGTGATCGTCCATCACGGAATCTGCTTGTTAAAAAGCTCTTGTAGCAATGTACCGGGGGTGTCGATATCAAATATGACCCAGCCGTTCGCCCGACATTTTTGAGGTTCGAGCAGCATAGTCCGATGTATGGGTCTCAGAAAGTGGATTCAGCAGTGGAGTAAACGACGGACCACTGCGCTCCGATGTGGGGGAGAATCGAGACTCTACAGGAGGATTCCCCAGGCTGTGCCGATCTGTCGTAGTGCCGACCGGGTGAGTGTGGAGGAGGCGGGCCCCTCACTCGGCTTTTGGCATTCTTTGACTCATAGTGTTCCTCACGCATGTGTGCTGACCACAAATGCGCCCAAAGATAAGCTTCTTGATGAGATCGGAGTGGAGCGCCTATCCGCCTTGTCCAAGTCAACACCGACGTTCAACAGTTTGGCACTTTTACTTGAACAGGCAGCATCTGCTCGAGTATGATCTCCCATTCCAGCAAAGAGGATAAGACTATTTATGGCTGTGTCACTCGACCCTGACCATCCAGCTGGACACATTCCAGTAATCCCCTCGACGGCAGAACGACCCGGACAGCATGGCTCAGGGACTCCAGCCAGGGTATTTGAGTCTAGGTCGCTGGCCCATAGATAATGTGCCCTCGTTCGACTTGGCATCCCTGCCAAGAACGCCCCTGGCAATAGTGTTACAGGATACAGATTGGGAGGGTTCACTGTGACGTACAAGCCCGGCGAGAAGAACGAACAGATCCCCCATGGGACCGTTTACGGTGAGATTTGGCCAGGATGAGGTCAAAGATCGTAGTTGACATCGCTTGAACCTCGGAGGAGATGGGATGTCACATGACGGGCCAAGGGCAGCTCTCCTTGCGAGTCGTCGAGTTACCACATTTTCCGTTTGCCTTTGGACCCGCCCTGAAAACATAAGTTGAGAATAAGGTCAAATACATAATGGCATAACCCAACACTGTTATCCGTTCCACTTGAAGTCTCTCTCAAATGTTTCAAGATCATATCATATGTTTCGATACACTTCATGTGCATGAGATCACACCGTTGGCGTCGCAAGACCCGTTCCAGGGCACGCTGATATACCGAGAGCTTATCATTGACTTTGGCGAGCGAGCGCTCCAACTCGGGTTTTTCTTGGAAAACTTGTCTCGAGACCGAGCCGAGTTTGGGTTCGACAAATCAGCGAGCGCTTATATGTCGACATCATTATTCTTTTTCCCATCATCGTGCATTTCGATCGGCTTGCTTAGCACACTTGACCAGCACGATCTGCTAAGGAAGTTCCTAGGCCGCCATGGCATACAACCAGCTCTATGACTTCTCGGTATTTCGCACTGCACATGATATCTTGCTGCATTAGAAGATCTCGGTACTCTGTTCGAGTCTGAGAGCGGCGTTTCTAGCGGAATTCGCTGTAGCTTCTCGATGTGAGCCGACACACCCTTGGCAGCAAGACGGATAATTGACGGCCCAGCCCTCAATCCCAGAGGGAACATAAAAGGGCAAGACCATGTGCAGCATGGGGCGTCTTAAGAGTGATAATGATAATGCCTGCTCCGGTTGAGTGTCATCAAGTCTTCTACGTAGACTAACAAATAAAAAGCTTCCATCTTAGCTACTGAGCGTTGAGGATTCCTCTTCCAGTTGCAGTAGTTGAGTGCACTTGCAGCAGCCTATCCAAGGGTAGGTCTGTCCTCACTGACCCCCCTTTCTGCGTCCTCACAGCTGGTCCAGCCTGGCTTCCCATTCGTTCAAGCGCTCCTTCATATCCAGTCTCGAACTAAGTCAGCCCAGGTTAACACACTCGGGAGACTGGCCTAGGCTTTCGGCGATGAGAATCGTTGTTGTTGGATCCTAATGAGGAATTGACATGGCCGGATATTTTGTCCAATGGCCAGTGCTAGTGCTACTTTTCGAAAAACCAGGTCTACGCAGCAAAGCACAAGCACGAAGATTGACAAATTAAACCCCGCATAGGGTCACATTCACTGGGGACCCAGTGATCGAGAAGACGACCCCCAAGAAGAATTGCAAGCTTCGGACTGCTGTGCTCCGATGCGGGGGTTGTGGGGACTCACGCCGGAGATCCACCCCGGTGTTGGGGTGTCGGGGTCGGGGTGGTGTTGCCCGGTTCCGGGTGCGGAGGTGGCTGACGACATGCTTCCCTTTCCAGGACATTTACACACATACCCAGGTATTCCTAGCCCCTCCGGCGACGACGAAGGAAATTTACATGCAACTAACTTCAGCATCATTGAGAGCTTTTGTTCTCGATTTCGGCGCTCGCGATCCACCATCACCACAGCCATGGACCGCTCAGAGCTCTCGTCCCGCATCATCCCCGTGATGAGCCTCTCCGAGGCAACCTCACCACTCACAAGACCCGACACTGCCCTCGACGCCCTGTCCTCCCCCGCCCACCGCGCCGCCGCTCGCTTCCGTGTCAGCGGCAATGCCATCGTGACCGGCGGCGCGGGCGATCTAGGCTTCGCGGCCTGCCGAGCGCTGCTAGACCACGGCCTCTCCGGGCTCGTCATCTTCGACCTCGACCCGATCTCTGGCGCCGCCCGGGTAGCACAGCTGCAGGACGAATACGCTGCCACCGTCCCCGCAGAGATGATCAGCTTCGCCAGGGTCAATGTCACCGACGCGGCGGACGTGGCCGACAACGTGGGCAGAGTCGCCGACAAGCTGGGCAGCGTGGACGTGCTCCTCGCTTTTGCCGGGGTGGCGTCTTGCGCGCACGCCCTGGAACTGCCGGCGCTCGAGTGGCGGCGGGTGTTTGACATCAACACCACGGGCTCCTTCTTGTGCGCCCAGGCCGTGGCGAAAGTCCAGGCGGAGCGGGTCAAGAAGCCCGCGAGTATCGTCCTGGTGTCGTCAATCTCTGGGCACGCGGTCAACTTCCCGCAGCCGCAGGCCGCCTACAACGCGTCCAAGGCGGCGGTGCGGGCGATGGCGAGGTCGCTGGCCGCCGAGTGGGCGCGGTACGGCGTGCGGGTCAATACTATCAGCCCGGGCTACATGGACACGATTTTGAATGAGGGGGACGGGTTAAAGGTTGCCAGGGATACGTGGTGCGAGAGAAACCCCATGGGACGCATGGGTGTGCCCGAGGAGCTGTGCGGTGCAGTGGTCCTGCTTGCGAGTCGCGCGGCCGGATATATGACTGGGGCGGATATTGTCATCGATGGGGGGCAGACCCTGTTCTGAGGAGTTGTTGCGGCAGGACAATGGTTGGTAGATTAGAAGGGAAAGTAAAGACTGATAGAAGTAGAATGTTTTCTGACCCAGAATTGTCCTCCAGAATAGGATAACGTACATCATGCCCCTGGACCAGAAATGACGTTCTTGATCCCCTCGCCGCGACCTGTGCTCTCCCAGGCCTCCCATGCTTTGTCAAAGGCAAACTCTCCAGTGACCAGCCCGTCCAGGCTGATCTTGCCGCGCGCAACCAAGTCCATGGCAATTGCAAAGTCCCCCGGCCCATACCTGAAGCACCCCTTGACTGTGATCTCGCGCTCGCCAATCTCGGCAATGGGGAAGTCGATGTTGCGCTTGCCCATGCCGACCTGTACATACACGCCTCCGGGACGCAGCGTATAGATCGACGTTTGCACTGAGACCTCGGCCCCCGTCGCCTCCAGGACGACATGAGCTCCTCCTTCGCCATCATCACCGCCATCAACGACAGCACTCGACAGCCCACACTCCTTCTTGAGCTTCTCTGCATTATCCACAGGAGACAGCGAGCCGTCTGGAACCCACGTCCGGCACGTATCCTCCCCAACCAGCCTCCGCGCAACCTGCAGCTTTGCCGGGAGCAAATCGACCGACACCACCGCCGCGGCGCCAAACTCCCTCGCCACAGCCGCGCAGAACAACCCCACAGTCCCGGCACCAAACACGACAACCTTCTTCCCCGGCTCCCCCAGGATCCCCGCCAGCCGGACCGCATGCACCGCCACCGCCAGCGGCTCGATCAGCACCCCGTCTCTCAGCCCCACGCCGTCGGGGAGCCTGTAGCAAAAGTCCGCCGCGCTCTTGAAGAACCTGCTCAGGGTGCCGTGGGTACCCGAGGCGGGATCCGCGGCGAACCGCATCCTCGGGCACAGGTTGTAGCGCCCGGCCTTGCAAGGTTGGCAGGTCCGGCAGGACACGCCGGGCTCGATGGCCACGCGGTCTCCGGGGGCGAAGAGGTGGGTGGCGGACGGGCCGACGGCGTGGATCGTGCCGGATGCCTCGTGGCCCATGACTAGCGGCGCGTCTGCAGATACGCACGCGCGGATGCCGCCGGAGCGCCAGAAGTGGACCTGTATGAGTGGTGGCGGTGGCGGTGGCGGGAGGGAATCAGAGAACGTGCGAGTAATGTTTTTTTTTGTTTTTGGATGGGCATCATCTTTGCAATAAAGCTGCTCATACACGGGGGATGCTTACATCGCTGCCACAGACGCCTGTGTAGGCGATCCTGATGATCACGTCGTTGGCGTCGGTGATTTCAGGCAGGGCAAGGTCTTTGATGGCGACTTGGCCGGGCCCGCTGAGAAGGACGGACGGGTTCTGCATGTTAATGAGGCGGTAGAGATGAACTGTTACATGGACAAAAGGCTGTGATCCTTGCGCGCAATTAGGGCCGCGAAAAATGGTCAGTATACCCGGCTAAGCTCTCAGGATGGCCTGCTGAGATACTTGCGCGTGCGGATAAGCCGGGGGGTTGGGCACTAGAGAGCACGGCGGCAGGAGTATGCGGACTCGAGGGATCGGCGGTGCGGGGCGTGGCTACCCCGACCGGCACCGGCGTGCGGCCCCGCATCGGAGCACTGCCGTCCGAGGAGGGTCTGCCCCCCACCTCTGCCTCCGCATGGGGTATGCATTAGTGTCGGTCTTGGTTGCACCGATGCGGAGGGCATCCTGAGGGTATTCAGAGATTATATTACCCGTCGCTGGTTTAATGTCCTCCAAATACTGCCGAGCAATCGGAGGAATTCGTAGAGCACAACTATCATATCTCAAAATCAAAACCCCTTTCTCTTGTACTTTCCCATCTCCCACTCCGCTGCCGCCAGACAGCACGCATTTAGACCACAACACACCATTTCAAACAACATTCGGCCTGTCCAAAACCCACTCAACAAAATGTCCATGTCCATCGAAGACTGCGCAACCGTCCGGGAGGGCTTTCCCCGGCCCTTCCCAGACACCCCGACCAACGTGATGGAGCAGTTCAAGCTCACCGGCAAGGTCGCGGCCGTGACCGGCGCGGCTGAGGGAATCGGCGGGGCGGTGGCCGACGCGTACGCAGAGGCCGGTGCCGCCGGCGTCGCGCTCCTGTACAACAGCAACAAGACTGCCGCCGAGGCGCGGGCGGCGGCGCTGGCGAAAGAGCATGGCGTCAAGACGGCGGCCTACCAGGTTGATGGTGAGTGGTAGTTGCAAAGTTTATTTTCTTTCTTTTCGTCATGGAGCCTGAATCTGGGAACTCCACCGCGGATGGTGCTTCGGATCGTGCATTTCTTTTCTTTCGCTGACGGCGTGGGGTTTGTCGCGTAGTATCTGATGCTGAGGCGGTACGGTCGACAATCGCCCAGGTGGCAAAGGACTTTGGGAGGATAGACATATTTGTCGCCAATGCTGGTAGGTGTTTCACGCAAAGTCCCCCTTTGCTGGTGGTTATTTCTCGACCCAAATTGCATGCGGCTTGCTGACGAGCAACGTACCGCCTCAGGCATGTCCATTTCAAAGCCGATACTAGAGCAGACTCTGGACGAGTACAAGAAGCAGCTCTCTGTCAATGGTATTGCCCTCTTGACACGACTCCCAAAATCCCGTCCACAACCGCCAGGAAGTGTGATGATCACAACAACCACGTGGCAAACCCGTGCTAATCACCCCTGCTCACACATGCGAACAGTCGACGGCGTCGTCTACTGCGCCAAGTACGCCGGCGAGGTCTTCAAGCGCCAAGGCTCCGGGAACCTCATCATCACCGCCAGCATCAGCGGGCACATTGTCAACGTCCCCGTCGACCAGCCCGTGTACAACGGCACCAAGGCATTCGTCACGCAGTTTGGCAAGTCGCTCGCCCGCGAGTGGCGCGACTTTGCGCGCGTCAACATTGTGTCGCCGGGCTTCTTTGACACCAAGATGGGCGCGGGGCCGGCGGCGCTGAACGAGGCGTACCGCCTCGCGGTGCTGGGCAGGCAGGGCCACGTCAAGGAGATCAAGGGCCTGTTTTTGTACCTTTCGAGTGATGCGTCGACCTATACTACGGGCAGCGACATCTTGATTGATGGCGGATATGTTTTGACGTAGGTGCAGGGGGTAGTGGCCAATGACTATTAGAATTGTCTTATTGTGCTGCACTTCGTGGCGTGGATTGAAGTGAATAATGTGAGATGAACACAGTTTTCTGACGAGTGGGTGAGTTTGGGCAAGGCAAGCTGCATGAGGGGAGTTGGGCGACTGATGTCACTTACAACGATCGCCCGCACTTGCAGGAACAAGGCGCTCCGCCACAAACTGCCAAAAATAAACATGGCCAACCAATGACAGCCACGCGAATCGCTGTTGACGTCGGCAGTCTTGACCTCTCTGAGCAGAGAAACATGACAGGCAGCACAAATACACTACAGAGCCCAGACTCCCTCCCCTCACTTGTCCATGATGAAAGTGGAACTCTCGTATGCACACTGACCGACAACGGCATGTTCCACATCCTCTAATACCAGCGAAAAAAAAATAAAAAAATTAAACGAGCCACTGACCATGACACGGGGCACGCTCGTAGCCAAGGTCGTCCTCGCAGACCCCAAGCACGTCCACTGCGGCCCCAGCGACCCCGTCCGAGGCCACGTCCTTGTGCGCTACAACCCCACCGCCTCTCATGTGCGCGACGACGACGAGCTCCAAATCCCCATCAAGGTCACCGTCACGCTCCAGGGCCGCCTCAAGGTCAAGCTCGTGCCCCGGAACGAGCGCTGGGACCTCGACAACGTGCGCTTCTTCCGCGCCCGCGTGCCCCTCTTCTCGACGCAGCATGTGATCGTGTCCGGGGAGGAGCAGGAGGAGGGCGCCGGGGTCGTCCGCCTCTCCGCCACCGGGCGTGCAACTTCCCCTTTGAGGTCTGCTTTCCCGAGCGGCCGCTCGACACAAAGTCGTACAGGACCATGTGGGACGAGGCGGACATAATGTTCGACAACGACCCGGACCAGCCCCTCCCGCCGTCGATGCACTTCATCGACCCGGTCCTCGGCGTGCCGGGGGAGATGCGAGTCCAGTACGAGGCGGCTGCTCGCATCGAGGTGCTCGGCGACGACGACATGAACCTTGTCATCGAAGATCAGAGCGAGCATGGTGGCCATGTGTTGCCCTCGTCCGAGTTCAGGGGCACGCCGGTGCTTTACGAGCGCCCGCCCGTCGCCGCGCCCGTGGGGGGTGGTGGTGGTGGTGGCGGTGGTGGTGGCAGCGCCATGCAGTCGGCGTTCGCCTGGTTCATGTTCAAGGACAAACGGCTGCCGCTGCTCGACGGGACGCACGGGCAGCTCAAGGCCAACAAGAAGGAGAAGAACAGGACAGGTTTGCGCGACCGGCTCATGACGTTCTCGCAGCCGCTGTACGTGTACGACTGCCACGTGTCGTGCCCGCGAGATGTGCACCGGTTCCAGCCGCTCGTGCTGCAGATCAGGATCGTGCCCTCGGAGAGGAAGTCCACGGCGGGAAATGTCACGCAGGTCAGGCTCGAACTGACGAGAGTCACGGTGCAGGTGGTTGGCTATGTCCAGGGCAGGTCGCAGGGCGGCACGTTGGTCAGGCGGTCGCTCGAGGACGAGGAGATTGTCGCTCAGGAGACTGTCAATTTCACTGGCGAAGGGGCCTCAGAGGCAACAACACCTGGCGGAATGGCGAGGGGCAGGGATGGACACGAGGAGAGGCCATCGTCGAGCATCTCCCCCACGTCTCTGTCATTGGTCTCCTCATGCTCGTCTGGTGCTCCGATGAATGCAGACAACGACTGGACACTGGTCGTCGCATTCGCCTCGGTGCTCCACAGCGTGACGAGCTCCTTCAAGACGGTCTGCATCCGGCGCGACTACGTGTTCCGGGTCATATGTAAAGTTCGGGTCGGGGGCAAGCGTGACGAAATGTTCGAGAGGACCTTCAAGGTCACGGTGCACCCTCCGCTGGGATCCGATGTGGCGAGACTGCAGGGTAGTAGTGTACAGAGCGGTGTGAGTGGTATCGTCGTCCCTAGCCATCCAGAGGGGGCACTGCACGACACATTTGGCGAGCTGGACATTGGCTGTTCCACGAGGGCAGAGACTTTACCCCCATATACGCCATAAGCACGGCGGTTTCGATTCAATGCAGGTTGTTGGTTTCATTTCCATTTTTTCCTCCTGACTACTCCGCTGTGCCCGGGTTATTATTCAGTCTTTGTTCATTAATTTGATGCCATTTGGGCGCAATACTGATCTGCTCACCAGTGATTAAATCCATTGCAGCGAAGCATCCTGCAAGGCTCAAAAGCAGGCCGCAATCCATCCTCAGAAGCCATCCTCATAAGCGCAGACACCCTCCGTGAGATGTAAATAGCCGAGCAAGATAGAACGTCGCGGGAGCAGACAATCTCAAGCAAACCAGCTCTATTTGGTCATTGATAACCCCCGGGGCTCCATAACTCCTTTTTAAAAAAATGTTATGCCCGTCCGGAAAGACTTGCACAAGCAATGCGATATATTCTCCTTGAACGCCATGAACCCCCCACCAAAAGTCCGTCTGCTTATTCCTAGATCGAAGACGGAGGCGGGAAACTGCGAATCCACGAAGGCAGTAATTCTCTTTTCCTTCTCCACCACCACTCCACTAGTCGTTCCACTGCTTCAGGGGCTCCTCGCCCTTCAACAATCTCGCAAGGTTGAGCCTCGTGCTGTACAGCACATTCTCCGTCGCGCCCACCTCCCTAAACTCATCACCGCCGCCATTGTTGATATCCGAGTCCCCGCTGACCCTGCCCCGGGGCCGGTGGTGCACAAACAGGCTGGGCACGATGCTGACGCAGCGCATGCCGTTGGCGCGCAGCCGGCACAGGTCGCTGAGGTGGTTGTCAAAGGGCTTGTGCTGGCCCTCGAGGCTCATGTACTCGAGGGCGCGTTGGGCGCCCGTGTAGCTGAGGGCGTAGGCGAAGCTGCAGATGTTGTCCCCGGGCACGTAGACGATGCGAGTCTGGTCCGAGTACTCATCCCAGGACCAGCCGCCGTTGCCCACGCGGTGGTGCTTGGGTGGCACCGTGGCGTCGCCGGTGATGAGCACCTCGCGGTCGTCGCGCAGCTCGGCGGGGATCTGCAGGTGCTCCGGGAGCAGGTTGCCGAACGTCGACGCGCACGAGCCGACCCAGAGCATGTCCCAGTCCTGGCCGTACGGGCTGGGCGAGGCGATGGTCGTGTTGCGCCCGGGGGCCTCGACGAACCAGCTGTCGCGCTGGATTTCCTTGCTCGCGCCCGCAAAGTCGGCCAGCCGGTCCTTGAGCGAGACGTCCCAGTCCATGTCGTCCTCCATGATGAGCGCCGAGGATATCCGCTCGTCGACGATGCGCCGCATCGCGTTCATGTGGCCCCGCCACGAGCCCAGGTTCGTGTCCGACATGCCCCCCTTGCGGTCCCAGCCGATCGGCAGCGCCTTGTCGGGAACCGTCGCCCCGCGCACCCCGTCGATCCACGAGATGGTGAAGCCCGTCAGCGCAGACATGAGGCTCAGCGCGTCCCGCTTGTCGGTGCGCTCGGGGAGCCCGATCGCGAATACCTTTTCGAACTGTATGTGTGTGTGCGCGTGGCAGATGTGGTTAGCAAAGAGCCCATACTGTTGCTGGGTCGCCGTGTCGATGTAGCTTGCGAGAGAACGATATGTGTGTGTGTGTGTGTGTGTGTGGTTGCCCGCCGGGGGAGAAGTAGAAGACGACAAGGAATAAGACACGACTTACACCCAACGTCTCATTGTACACGCTTGCGACGCCATTCCCGCTGCTCTCGCCACTGCCATACCCGACGTGCCCCTTCAGGGACGAGAGGGTGTTGCTCCCGTGCTCTGTGTGGACCAGGAAGAACCAGGATGCGCTGAAGACCAGCACCGCCGCGAGCAGCAGGTGCTTGGTCTGTGTAGGCGCCAGCAAACCCATCACTCCTCCTTCTTGCTTCCAGATAATACCTGGAACCCCAGGAACAAAGTGCGTGGGGGTAAGTGAGGGCGGGGTGAATATCGTGTCGGGGGAAGAAAGTGGCTTGCGGAAACGAATGATGATTGCCAGACAAGGATGCCAAAGACAATGTCACCCCAGATCTGTGAAAATGTGCAGATGGGTCGTCCCCCGTGACAAACAAGCAGAGAGGAAGGTGTGTGGAAGCAAGGAACGAAAAGGAACAACCCGGACGAACAAAGGAGCTGGACGAAAAACCAGAAGAGCAAAAGGGACCCCCAAGCAGCGGAAATGACGGCTGACACCAGCTTGCGTCTCCCCCCGTAAGACGGCGCAACATCAGCAGTAGTAGCACCAGCAGCAGCGGAAAACTCTCCAGGGGGGGACAACGTTGCAATCTGTCAGCCACCACCACCACCACAGCCCTGCATGGCCCGAACCCTGATCCGTCACCCCGGCCACCACCCATCATCATCAACGATAACACGGAGCACACCTCCTGGGCTGAAACGCACGCCATCTGGATCCTGGCAATAAGCGCGGGCTTGTGGAGGCTGAAGACGGACCGCTTCCGGATCGGCAGGTGGGGGAGCTAATTAGCTGGCTACGTTAGCGTAAGTTGACTTAGACAGGCAGAGACCGAGGTTGGAACGAAAAACATAAACAAGGGCAAATACAGTACATGCCACGCAATTGATGACGGACGCCACGTTGTCACAGCAATTCAGGGTCAGAGCGTAATCCCAAGTCTGGGCAGGCCAAGAGTCTTGGTCGTCTGCATTCGTGCATGGGGAGGAGCATGGGTACTTAGGTACACAAGGCGGGACCCAGAATCAGAAAATCAGGGGGGTTTGTCGAATTTGCACGTAAATTCAGACGAATCCCCATCCATCCTTGGGCCATCCGAACATGCGACGTCCGCTGTGCTACCAGAATAACTCGGCCCAGTGAATGGGCGGCCGCGGCCGTGGGCTCGTGCTCTACGGTAGCTTCTATTTAGCGCACCGACCAATTCTGAGCGTAGTGGCGGGCGGCGAGAGCTAACTGGCTACGCTATACGCGTACGCTCCCTATTCACTCAGCCTTCGGGGGATCGGATCGAGAATTTGCCGGTACACTGCGAACCTAACCTCAAGGAGCCCAGCCCATCCACCACCGCCACCCAACTAGCCAGGCACGACGCACACATCACTAATGAAGACGCGCAGCCACCTTTGTGCGCCCCCCCAAGTCGGTGATCCAAACAAAACAGTTGTGTTTCCCGTTTTCCATCGCTGTCACCATCTGCCAGAAAACCTGCCCTATCAACACTCACTCCTAGATCTGCTATGCAAGTAAATTAAGTCCCAGATCGGTATGGCAACGTGGTGCGCAAGATAAGCTTTCTTCTGTGGGCCGTGTCCGTGCCCTTGGGCCCGGACCAAACCGCCCGGAACCTTGCCAGCTCTGATCAAAGCAAGCGTACAGGGGCAATAGAGTCAGAAAATCAATCACCTTTGGAACAGGGATGTAATATAATTATGCCTGTGGTCCTTGAAGCAGGTGTTTGGCCACACGGCTGAGCTTCCACAATCCAACAACGATCTGCGGTCCGAATGGAATGAGATAATCATTTGCAAAGACCATGCTGAGTGTAAAACCTGCTGATACAAAATGCCTCTAACAAAAGAAATCATCCACACCACCCACCACACCAAGCTCAAGGGTCCGCCAGCTTCCGTGCCCGGAACCCACCCAGATACCATGGCGCCTTCAACAGCAACGAGCTAGTGATTACGCTGATGCTGCTCAGAGCCATGGCCAAACTCGCCCACACTGGGTCGAGCCGCACATGCTCCCCATTCGCGACGATCCAGTACAGGCAGCCCGCTGCCACGGGGACCGCCGTTAGGTTGTAAACAGCCGCCCAGCCAAAGTTGAAGCTGATGCGCCAGAATATCTTTCTGCTCAGCGCCAGCAACGTGACAACGCCGGCCAGATTCCCGCCGATGAGTACGAAATCAGCCGCCGCAATCGCAACGTCTGTCCCTGAGCCGATGGCGATGCCAATGTCGGCCGCGGCCAGCGCCGGTGCATCATTGATGCCGTCTCCAATCATTGCGATGCATCTCTTGCTCTTCTTCGGGCCGGACGCCTGCTCCCGGAGCTCGGTGATGTGCCGTGCCTTGTCAGTTGGCTTGACTCCTGCGATGACTCGAGTATCCGCATCAATGCCAACTCTGGCTGCAACGGCCCGGCCGGTAATCAGATTGTCTCCAGTCAACATGTACACCTCTTTGCCTTGTGCGCGGAGCGCCCGGATCACGGCGACAGCCTCCGGACGGATCTCGTCTGAGATTGCAAACGCGGCGCGAAGAGCGTAGTGTCCGTCGGACTGCCCTTGCACTCTCGCGGCGACGAGTGCCACTGACTTGGCTTCTCGCTGCCAAGTCCGCAGGGAGCTGAAGGTCTCTGAAGGGATGGTTACCCCAAAGTCGTTCATAAGGTCCTCATTACCGATGATAATGTCGACAAGCACGCCCGTTGTGCTGTCCACAAAGTCGGCTTTGAGCCCTTTGCCTGACAGCTCCAGGACCTCGTTGACAACAATGGGCTTGTCCGTGGCCGAGGAGCAGAATCTGGCCAGAGCCTTCGCGAGAGTGTGGCTCGAATGCTCCTCCACAGCCTTGACCGCCGCCAGCAGCGCGTCGTGGCCGGGGATCACGGGTTCGTCGTTTGGAACAAATGCGGAATCCGTGACTGTCGGGTCACCCCCCAGGGTCAAAGTGCCAGTCTTGTCGAAAACCACCGTGTCGGCTTTGCGGGCATTCTCAAACGCAGCTCCACCACCTCTGACCAAGATGCCATTTTTCGCAGCAAGTCCGAGGCCGACAAAGATTGCGGTTGGCGCAGCCAGGGCAAGACCACAAGGGCAAGCGACAACGAACAAAGCAATTGCAAAGCTCAGTGCAAAGTTGGCCCACTCGTCACCACCATCATTGTAATCAGCTGGCAGGAGGCCGGCCATCCCCAGACTGAACCAAGTCGACCATGTGATCATGGCGATGAGGATGATGACGGGCACAAAATAGGCAGTGACAGTGTTTGCGGCGCGCTCGACTGGCGCTCGCTTGGACTGGCCTTCGCGGACAACGTCAACAATCTTGTCAAGGGTGGTTTCGCCCATAATCTTGGTCACAGTCACAGTGATGGGCGCGCCCTTGTTCGTGGTGGCAGGGAAAACCTCGTCGCCCTCGCGCTTGGTGATCGGCCGCGACTCTCCTGTGAGGCTTGACTCGTCAAACTCGGTCACACCTTCAGTCACGATCCCGTCACACGGCGGCGAAGCGCCCTGTGGCACGCGAATGAGATCTCCGACTTCGAGCAGGTCTGCTGACACTTCTTGAATTCGCGTATATCCGTAGACGCCCTTCTCCAGAAGAAGCGCAGTAGTCGGGCGCAGCTTCCGTAGAGCGTCAATGGCGTCGCTCGTCCTCGACTTTGTGTACGCCTCCAGGTATCTTCCCACGAGGAGGAAGAGGCTTAGGAATACGACGGAGTCGAAGTAAAAGTTGTAGTCCTTGGGAGGCGTGTGTGTCTTTGCCATTGTGTAGATGAGCTGGTAGAGCGAGGCGAAGTACGCCACAGATGTGCCCAACGACATGAGCAGGTTCATGCTCCCGAACCTGTAGAAGCGCTTGTGGATCGGCACTTTGCTCCCGCGCTTCCACATGACGTAGATCTCTCGTACCGCTGGGCGGTGAAATGCATCAGCTGCGAAAAAGTAGACGGGTGTCGCCATGATCCAAAGTGCGATCTGCGATCGGCTTATGCCGAGCAGCCACGGTTTCATGAGAAGCATCCTGGTGGCGTCCTCCATGGGAACCAGACTCATGTAGACGACGCCGATTATGAATGTTGGCACGGCCACCGCCACAGTGAGGAGAATGCGCAGTAAGAGATGTACTCGCCGCCTGCGGTTGAGCCTCTTCGCACGCTCCTCGAGGGTAGGTGGGTGATATACCGTGACAGTAACTTCCGGGATGACCGTCTCGATTCTGGCAGCAATGGACCGGATGGTGATGTCCGGGAGTGCTGGCGTGTATGAAATCTCCAGAATGACGCCCGTGTTGGTGACTCTCCGAGACAGGATGCTGACCCAAGGCAGCGAGAACGGAAGCGAGACGAACTGTTCATTGATCTGTGCGGGCGTCACTGTTCTGTTGGTGCTCCTGACGTCCAGGCATGCAGCTCGTGTCGCGTTGCGTGATTCGTGAGAGTGGTGAGATCGGCCGTCGTCGTCAGCTTGGTCCTCTCGGTTTGATATTGAAACCACGTCGCCAATGCTGGCATCATAGCCCATGTCCTCGATGACCGACACGATCCGCTGGGCATCTGCTTGCACACCTTTAAAGTCGACAGTAGCAGTCTCGGCGGCAAGGTTGACATCCGCCGAAGTCACGCCCTCTGTTGCGGAGAGGACTTCAGTGATTGCATTGACGCATGAGGAGCAGGTCATGCCTCCAATGGCGAAGGTTGCGTGCCAGGACATTGCTGCGGGCGGCGACTCGCGAGACGTTGCGAGGTCTGTACAAGTGGGCGGTGAGCAATACGGCCGCAGGCAGTCACGCACGGCGAGGATGATGGGCGCCGGCGCCTCTGAAGATAGGTACTATTTTGAAGAGAGATACTGTGGCGAGTTGGTGCTGAGTTCGGAGTGGAACAGGATCAACCTGCAGTTTGATACAGGAATCGTGGGGGCGAATTCTGCCCTGGCTTTGGAAAGGCAGGAACAAGGCGAACACTTGTGTTGATGATGTTGATGGAGCCAAGGGAAGGAATCAAGGGCAGCCAGCAGGGCAACGAGGCGTGATATATCCTTCCATTCATTCAAGGAGCGCCTATCTCTTGCGCTGCCGCAAACATTTTCCACGGAAGATTCCACGGTGCCACCACCTCTGACAAAGCATGCAGTCCATCGGAGTCGGCGCCGCCAGGCACAAATGGCGCGAACCATACAGAAGCATTCCTCCTCCGCGTGGCTTCCCTTCCCCGCACATATCGACACTTACACGCACCCGCCCGTGCGCAGTGCAGTCCGGTGCGGTGTAAGGATGCGCCTGGGCCAGCGGCTTGATAACACGTCAGCATACGCCTCGCTCCGCTAGACAATCATGTTGTCATCCAAACATCAACACAGAGATGCAGGCAGGCATCGAGTCACAAGGCATGATGACACATGGAGGTGCGGTTCAAGGGTGGTTGTCGTTGGCTGTCGTCCACGCACAAATCTCGCAAGCCAACGCCACCACCGCTAATCTAATCAGGGTCTAGGGCGGATGAGGACAGGGCGCCAATCATGGTCACGGGTGACTGCAAAAGAACTGGGGTTGCGTGGTATCCAGCGAGAGAGCCCTGGGTTAACTAGTGTTGCCCTTGTTCTCCTGCCCAACGAGGGCCATGTCCAAGGGGCAAATGGTACCGGCGATGTATGTAGGGCTGCGAACCTGCTGATGTGCGGAGGCGACATGAGGCACTTGTGCGTAGAAATGCTACGCTGTAAGAGAAAAAGTTCCAAGGTCGTCCGTTGCTGGGTTGTCAGAGGGACGTGTGATATGCTTGCATCGCGGAACGCCGACACCGAAACTGAGTGCTTCATTTTTCCAGCCTCGTGGTTTTCAGCAGCAATTTCTGAGACATTACAAGCTCGTGGGGCTTCGCTACATACTCTATCGTACAGGTGAAGAAAAGCATGTAAGACATCGCGCGCTCGAGGTCGGAAATGAATCAAATACTTCCACTTTGCTGCTAAGGGGCTGCCCGGCAACTAGCTGTGATACCGGGAGCTGACCTTTTTCCTGCATTTCCGAGTGACACTGCCCGTGTTGCTTCCGGCTCGATGCATCCCCGTCGCTTACAGCGCCCGTCCTGCGACGTGGATGCTTCCCTAGCGACGCACAAGTGTCGCAACCCACAGAGTTCAGGCCTGCTTCCTGCATGCTTTGAGGGGAGTCGGCCAAAGAGAGGGAAACCTTGACTCGCAATGCTACGGGGGGGAACTCCCTGGCCATGGGGCTTGATGCGAGCTCCCTTCCACGTGTCGGGTATTGGGTAGGTGCGTGTCACTTACCCATCCCACTTGAGGACGTTGCGTAATGCCCGATGCTAGATGCCTTTTGTGACAGTTCACCGAGATAACTGACAGCCATCGAAGCACCGTCGTCGGTCACAAGTGACGGCTTTCGCAGTGCATGTCTGAGTCGTTGATGCCGCCGTGAAAGCGGCATCGCAGTGTATTTGCACAAAACTCCGCGATCTGGAGCTGAAACAGCTGCTCGGACAACGCCCTCGTACCCGGATCGCATGGAATGTGCTCCACGCATCACGTGGCTTCAGCAGCACTGACGGTGCCGGAAACCGGCCGCTCCACGCCCGCAGTAGCAGGTCGCATGCTGTCGCCGTTGCTCGCACTGCTTCCTGCCGTTCCGGGCCTGCTCAAGGCTCGCCGCAGCTTCTTGGCATTTTTAGTGTCGAACAGGGTCTTGACTCTCCTCAATCTAGCCCACCGCTCTTTGTCCTTGGCATCTCGTGCGGCCGGATCCTCGTCTTCATCGTCTACCATGTCCGGGCCGAGTGTAAGTAGATTTCCACTGTCTGTTGGAGTTTCTGCCCCAGGCGTAATGTCGTTACCAGACGTCGGCCGCAGTGGCGTGCTCGGCACAGATGCTGTGGCACGATGAAGTATCGTGCCTGCTCTGCGAGGAGTCTTGTTGTTCTTCTGACTGCTACGCTCGGCTTGTGATCTTAGGTACGCATTATTCTTCAGCGTCTGAAGGAGAACCTCCCAAGCCGCTTTCCTTTCAAGGCTCTTAGACCCCGGATTGCGTTGTGCGTCGGGGTTGCGCCACGGACAAAAGAATCGGTGCTCGCGGACAGGGTCCAGATGATCCATTGGGGCGGCGACAAGAATTTGACCAGTCGCTTCGTCAACCTCTTGGCTCTTGAACATCCACAGCCCAAGTTTCCGCAAGCAGGTCCCGCACGATGCCGAGTTGGGAACTGGACCAATGCGAGGGTTGGTCAGGCCTTGCCAGCCTGTCAGGGCGAGGGCAAGGGCAACATCATTTGTACCACCAGCTACCGTTGTTGACGCAGTCGGCGGCGGCGACGGCTCCGTGAAGAAGTCTGATGGCAGATGTGATTTTGACACTTGGAGATCGAGTTCCGCAGGGAGGCGAAGGTTGAAGATATAAGGTAGAAAGGTAGGCCTCGAGGCCAGGTCATCGTATCGCTCACGGAGAGACTGGAGTGCAGTCTGCGGGTTGGTGATGTACAAACGCAGGAGTGAATCTGCCCAATAAGTCAACATGGTCAGCTTGTCCGTCCAAAGGCCATTCTCGCGCTCGCCTACGGTAGATAGCATACCATCGCATCCGCGCTTCCTCCACAAGCAGTCTTCCTGGTGTGCCTCGACTATGAGCTGCACGAATCGTGTCACCATCGCCTCCTCAACTTGTGTGCTCTGCAAGGATATTGCAGAACCATTGTCGGGTTTCTTGTCACTACCCAGTTTCACCACAAGTTCCTTGTTGCACAAGGCGCACCTCACACGCTCCTTGCCCTGGCAAACCCAGCCCCTCTTGGCCCATTCAATCTCGTTGATCTGGTCGGGCTTTGGTGTCCATTCTGTGAGCTCTTGGAATGTTCCAAGTCTTCGGATCAGCTCGTCGCGGTCACCTGGACAGTATCTTGATGCCGGCGTGGGCTTTTCCATCTTGCCCACGGTGGCGATGGTCGGGCTGCCACCATATTTCTTGAGGATGGCGTTGTTGGCGAAGCGCGACTGTGTTGTGGCCGGCTTGCTCCCTCCAAGACTTGATGTCAATGCCTCTGTGACGCGACGCCGTTTGCTCAATATGCTGGACGACGAGGGCATGGCTGTTGTCATCGGGCTCGGGGCCGTTCCGGGGGTCTCGTTGGAGCCTGTGGCCGGAGCGGTCGATGTTGTCGTCCTCGAGGGTGTCGTTGGCGCGGCGGCGGGCGAGGGAACGGGTGCCTCGGTCAATGAAGGGGCTTGCACCGTGACACCTGAGGCATGATCTGCACCGTCACTGGACGACGGCTTGGCACCGATGCCCTGAAAGAGGGTGTTGAACTTGCGCTTCGTAGCGTTCATCCTGGCGTGTGTGCCAACGGCGTGCAGAGGTGTCTAGAGAGTGTGCGCCGTGGTCATGCCCGTGATTCGGTGGTCGTGAAGGTCGCGGAGAAGGGCAGGAAGTCGGTACTCGGTGGTCAAGGTAGCGCGCCAGCAATTGCGCCCGCAGTTGTGGTGTTGACGGTGGACAAGATTGAGGTAGACCTGCATTTGCGGCTTCGGGCTCGAGCTCGAGGCTGTCCTGATTGGAGCTCAGCTGCAAACAAAACAATCGGGACCCTTGCAGAGGCCAACGGCAGGGGTCCCAGCTTCAGCTAGCAATGCACTGGCAGGCCATACCAGAGGGTCTATTGTTCATGCATGCTTTGCGCAAGTTTCTCTTCGGTCTGTGTGCTTGTGATAAATTCTAGGTCATTTCTGGAGGTGATTTGCTGCAAAGACTGCCTCTCCCACCAGCGCAGCACATTGTCCAGAAAGCACTGCGCTGAAGACAACCTGGAAGGTTGGGGCAGCTTTTCACGACGCTGCAAGCGTAGGCCGAACCAGACTGTAGCTCCGCCGCGTCTGCTCTGTAAGCTGGGCCTTGGGAAACCTGTGTCACGATGGAATCCTATCGATAATCTTAGAATGGCACGCACATGCACGTCTGCAAGTTGGCGTCTCCCACGTTGAAGCGTGCCGAGCAGCATTCTGGCCGGCTTACTAGCACGGGATAGGCTAAGATGGAGGCCATGGGCGGGAACTACCCCCGGCACGGGCCTGTGACGTCGGACCGGAGGCGTGCCATCCTGGCCTTACTGTGGCGCTTCCCCGAATAGAAGCGTTGGGCCATCTGATTCTCTGCAACGGGCGAAAGACCGACCACATGCAAGCACACGGCCATAAAGCAGGGCCGGCACTCTTCACCAGGCGATCCGTCCTCGTCTCCCTCCTCGTCGTCATCCTGGCTACTCTCCTGTCCCGCTACATTGTCGTGCCCCGCATCGCCGTCCTCCCGTCTCAGCTACTAGCGGGCCGACTGTTCCCAGCTGCTACTACCACCACCACCATAACCCCACCAAGCAACACTGCTGCTTCCTTCTCGACGACAACGACGACGAGGACGACACCAGCTTCTCGACCCGACAACCCCCAAATACCTCCCCCGAAGAAAGCCAGCACCATGTCGTACTCCAAAGAGCTCGAGATTGCCCAATTGGCCGTCCAGCGTGCCGCCATCCTCACCAAGCGTGTCTTCCACGAAAAGGCCAAAGGCACCGTCTCCAAGGACGACAAGTCCCCCGTCACCATTGGCGACTTTGGCGCGCAGGCTCTCATCATAGCTGCCCTCAAGGCCAACTTCCCCGACGACGAGATCGTCGCCGAGGAGGAGGCCGAGGGTCTCCGCGGCGACGCCACCCTCCGCCAGACCATCTGGGACCTCGTGCGCGAGACCAAGCTGTCCGACGCCGCGGCCGAGTCGGCCCTCGGCGGCGCGATCAAGTCCGACGACGAAATGCTCACCATGATCGACCACGGCAACTCCCAGGGCGGCCGCCGGGGCCGCATCTGGGCCATCGACCCGATCGACGGCACAAAGGGCTTCCTCCGCGGCGGGCAGTACGCCGTGTGCCTGGGCCTGCTCGTCGACGGCGAGGTCACCGTCGGCGTGCTGGGCTGCCCGAACCTCCCCGTCGACGACTCGGTCTCGCTCGACGGCAGCATGGCCTCGGGCCAGACCGACGAGGAAGGCAGCAAGGGCGTCCTGTTCAGCGCCGTGCTCGGCCAGGGCGCCACCTCGCGGCCCCTGACCACCGGCGCCCTCGCCCCGGAAGCCAAGTCCATCTCGATGAACCCCATCTCCGACACCTCGGCCGCGTGCTTTTGCGAGTCCGTCGAGGCCGGCCACTCGTCGCACGGCGACTCGGCCCAGATCGCCGCGCTCCTGGGCATCACCAAGCCCTCGGTCCGCATGGACTCCCAGGCAAAGTACGCCAGCATCGCCCGCGGCGCCGGCGACATCTACCTCCGCCTGCCTGTCAGCGCCAGCTACCAGGAGAAGATCTGGGACCACGCTGCTGGCGATCTGATCGTGCGCGAGGCTGGCGGCCAGGTCACGGATATCACGGGTAGCCGGTTGGACTTCGGCGCTGGTCGCACGCTCAAGGAGAACAAGGGTGTTGTCGCGGCGCCGGCGGCTGGCCACGCCAAGGTGCTTGCTGCTGTGCAGGAGGTCCTCGGCAAGAAGGCTGCCCAGATCTGAGAGCAGAATGGTCGAGCATAAAACGAAAGGGGGCCAAAAGAATTGCATGGTATCGTCTTCTCATGATCATAGAGTTACATATTGTATGACGACAATGATAAGCTTTCAGCTTTCTATAGATACACCTCAGAGCCAACTATGCATAGGGCAGGTGGTACACCCGTCCCTATCGGTGTCAGGTTCTCAGAGCGTGCCAAAGGCTATCCATGGACGCCCTCGGTGACCCAAGCCGTAATGTACAATGCAGATGCGTCCTCGATACAGATATACAGTACATCCACCATGGGGAATTCCCCAGTGGTCTTCTTCTCGCCAAAGCCCACGCGCGAAACGTCTATTTGATCTTCTTCTGCTTGAGCTTGATTGTCTCATCGTTGACAAAGATGCCCTTGCCCTTGTACGGCTCCGGGCGGCGCCAGTGCCGTATCCGTGCTGCCAGCGACATAACCTGCTCCTTGTTGATGCCCTCGAGCAGAATGCGGGTCGGCTGCGGTGTGCTGGCCTTCATGCCCATGGGGACGGGCTCTTCCACAGGATGCGTAAATCCGAGCTTGAGGCAGACGAACTTCTGGCCGGGAAAGGCCGCTTTGCGGGGTCGCTCTTCGATTGTCGCACGGTAACCGACACCGACGAGACGCAGAATCGCGGTGTGGCCCTCGGACACGCCAATAATGTCGCGGGTTAGGAAAGCCCAAGTCGTGCCTGTAGAATGAAACGATCATTGTCACCAGGAATGTCCGTGAAAGAATGGAACTCAAGAACGCTGTCTATTGTGTTGGGGAAGACTGGCAACTCACCCCACATCTCCATCTGCTGCTTGATTGACTTGTCCTCAATGCTGAGCACAGCCTTGCGTGCCTCAACGTCATGGTCGATCTTGAGATACGGTGGGATAGGCACGCCCAGCTCGCCGAGAGGGCCCTTAACGGTGACTGTCCGCTTGGGGATCTGGAGGTATGTTGTCGGGTCCTTCTTGACCACTGGCTCCCCGATGATGAGCTCGACGCCCGGTGGTATCGATATGGGCGTACGGCCAAGCTTGGAGGACTGTGAGGCGGTTTGAGAAAATTGTTGACGGCCCGCAGGCTTCTGTTGCTGGAAGAGCGCTGGCGCGAGGAAGCTTGGAATGGTCGCTGTTACTGCAGCGTTCGGCACGGAGGCGGCGGCGGCGGCGTGCGCGAGGCGCCCTCTGCTTGGGGCCAACATGGCGACTGGCTGCAATGGGCGTGTGTCCAGCCGGGTGGCTAGTCCAGTCAAGTCGTTATTGTCGACTGATCTGGCAGAGGGCGAGTCGAGATCTCGTGAGAGCTCCAGCCAGACCAGGTCAATTGGGATCGTGGTGCTGCTAGTGCTGCATGCACTACTGGGAAAATTGTCGGGGCAGGGATCAGGTGATTTCGCGGATACGTGCATAAGTTGCGGGCGCAGTTGTGCAAATTATGCACCGGTGTCGCTCACGCTTTCCCCACACTCGCTCCTGCCTGACGACCCAGCTGGATCGGACAACTTCGGAATGCCCAGAGGCTCGGAAGAGAGCTCCATTCCGATGTCCGCAGATGGTTCATTGCAAATGTGCGAGGAATATCTCGTTTTCTCCAGGCAAAGAAGGATTGAGAATCCAGGCTTATGACAAAGCGTCGCATACTACGTCGTATCCAACGATCGCACGGGCTTCTGGAACGCGGCAACTTGCGTCTGCATGGCGGCAGGGTAACACGGTAGCAAGCGTCGCTCTTTCCAAAATCTAATCTGATAGTGGAAACATCCTGCTGCCGGCCGGCATTGCATATCAATCATGATTCTCTTAGTTTTGAAAAACTTGATCAATTCGTGGTTCTCAAAGGTCCAAAGAGCGACGTTCTTTGGTTCGGGACAGGTGCATTGGCTCCATGACTGGCCCGGTTGAGGCCCAGGCCGTCCTTCCGTAATATCTCGTTGTCGCCATATCTGCCAGGCTGCTGATGTGGCTAGCCAGGTGTCAGGTCTATGATCTACTTCAGCAGTCCGACTCGTCTTTGGCAGCTCCCACCTCTGGACAAAATATCGATCGACTGGAACTCAGCATCCCGCTCGAGGCATTCTGGTCTACTCAAAACCCGAAAATCACGCCTCATGAAGCCTGCAACTCGCCACTTCCGAGCTTCACACTGCCCTTCTTAAAGTACGCGCCCTACCTCCGCGCGACATCATCATGCATTACCGATTCTTTTTGCTGCTTGCTCAGGTTATTCGATGCTACCAGCCGGTCGAATCTGACCACGTCGCTTTACACGCGATGTCGGCGGCACAGAGACGACACAAAGACTCCACGTCACAGGGACTTCAGAACCATTCCAGATTGTTCGAAGCTGCAAAGAAGGCATCTGGCGAGATATTAGCCCTCGACGCCGAGCCAGTCTGTCATACCGTGGCTGCACGCTTTCTTGCCAACAACTGCCAAGTGCTCGAGGGCAAAGACGATGCCAGCGTGCTTACCGACAGCGGTCGTCACATCAGAGACTTTCTCGAGTCTTACGCAGTCAGCCTAGCGATCTGCGACCTCGAGCGAGGCAACAAGACAATCCCAGCAGAATGTACTATGTTCCGCGAGTCATCTCTCGTTCAGTTTCCCGTGCAAACGACTGCTCACCTCCATGTCACATCCGACGAAATCCAGGCATGCCTCTCTACATTTGCGAGCTCTGCAGTAGTGTGGGGCACCTACATCAGTCACAAGCAGAATGCGCTACGGTTTTGTGAGGCTGCCATGTCCGAGAACAGCAGAGGTGCGTCGCCAGTCCCGAATCGATCATTACTCTGATGCTGACAGCCATCAGCCCAGAGCATCAGATTGTTCCAACGCGTTACTCAGATCATGGGGGCTATGGTAGAGTTCTTTGATACGACTTGGGAGAAACATTTGAGCAGCATCGTGGCTGCTGTTCAACAAGCAGTGGCGGAGCAACTGAACTCTTTGACAGCAGGACTTGCGCGCGTACAGGAGGGCCTGCAGCTCTCAAACGACTACATCACACACAAGCTACAGGTTTCGCTAGAGGTTTGTGATTACGAGTTGTCCTTTTTGATCGTTTCCGAGTTAGCTGACGTTATGACAGGGTCTAGGACTATCGGTGCTGAACGTAGAAAGAGGCTTAGAGGAAATGCTGCGCAATCTCACCGTTGTGGCGATACAGAGTCAAGCAGATGCCGAAGAGGCATATCAACACGCTTTGAAGACGTTCAATGAGGAGGCTTCGCTAGCGATCTTGGCAGTTGCTGCAGAGGCACGCAAGTCCGTGGCCGAAATGGGCCGTGAGCTGGTGGGTTACCGTGCCATTTTGATATTTGTCCGCAGCTAAACCTTGGAACACAGGAAGTCACAAAGTCCCGCATGGCCGAGCTCGAAGAGGGTATCTACAACAGTTCAGCCATGGTAGAGAGCCAATCCCTACGAATCAAGGACAACAACCAACAACTTTCCAAGGTCAGGAAGGCAACAAGCAAGATCAACGACGACCTCAAGGAGGCGATGTCGTCTGCATCCGATATTGGCAGCAGTCTCAGCACACGTTTCTTCTCTTCGCCGCTTTGGTCAGTTGGCTGGTTTTCGATCGCATCATTGATCCTTGGTTCGTACGGACTCCCACCGTCTATGATAAGGAATGGAGGTTTAGTCGCTTTCGGTAAGTGACATTCTGTCACATACCTCCGCCACTGCTAATATCCGTACTAGGCGCGTCTGTGAGCATCATTTTCCATAGTCTGAGCTCTGCAGACTCTGATAAATTCTCGCTGGACTTGCCACAAGTTTTCCGAAAACGCTCAGCAAACATGACATCGAACGAGAACGACACTAGAGCACGGCACGGCACGAGGAGACACTATCTTCAACCATTCGCCGCCCGCAGCTCAGACTTCAAGGTGAGCCGCCAAGAAAAGGACCTCACGGGTTAGAAAGGAGACTCGCGTGGAATACAAGGACCGATAGTGGCCTTATTTTGCAGGGAGAGAGCCCGCTTCCCAACTTTGCACCAGTAACTCAAAGACGAAGAGTGGAATGCTCGGAATTTCGGCTTGTGGCACGACCCAGGTCTGACATCTGCGATATGCTGACAGAATTGTGCTTCAAATGATCGCACCTGGATGGAGAACGGCTTGAAAGCAGCTGGAGGCAAGATGAGGGATATGGCCAATGGCGCATGCATTCATAGCACAATCTGGACTTTCCCCTTTCCAACTTTTTCCTATCGCGAGGAGTGCTAGCGGTCTCGCGGGAGGCAACATTTCGCGTGCATGGCGGGCTTGCTCGGGTGGAGTAGCAGGCACCAGGATAGGACTCTGTTACCCCTGCAAACCGGTTAACTCTAACGGAGACAAGCACTGCCCGGTGATGCAATAAGCCCCGCCAGACCCCTGGCTGACCTGCCAGGCTGACATTCCAGGGATCCTGCGAGGCCGCCCGCTTGCCTACTTGATGTGTGCCCGGCCTACAGCTTTCCTTGATTGAAACATCCGAGGTCAAGACGACTCGCAGGGGCGTACTTAAGAGCCTGATTCCTCGCCGCTCGAACCAAGCACTGGCTGGTTCCCACCATTCCTAGAAGACCATTCGCGTCTTCTCGAGCACACTGTTCCCTGTTCGCGCAGCACCTCACAGTTGAACAGCTCTCACCATCACCTGCACCCCACCCCACCCACACACAAACGGCCACTCTCTCCAGAGGAGCAACTTCTTGCCCCCAATCGCCCGAAAAGTCATGTCGGCAAACGACTATTACAGCAGCAGCGGCGGCGGCGGTGGCGGAGGAGGAAACCAGTATCCGCCTCACCACGGCGGAGGTGCGCCAGCGTACCCCGGGGGCCCGCCCGCTCCTGGCAGCGGCAGCAGCGCGCCGTATGGCCAACACGGCTATCCCCAGCAGCCGCCGCCATATTCTTCTTCCGGTGGTGGGCACTACAGCGGCGGCGGCGGCGCGGATGGAGGAGACAGAGGCAGCGGAGGAGGATCTAGCGACCGAAGCCTGGGCACGAACCTCATCAACGCTGCCGTCGGCGCCATCGCAGGCAATCTCATGGGCGGGGGTGGGGGCAGCAAGCCGCCGAAGCATGGAGACCAGTATCAGCACGGAGGGGGCAGCAGCAGCGGAGGAGGAGGAGGATTCGGCTACTCGAACTCGGGCGTGCCGCCGGGCGGGTACTCTGGCAGTGGTGCGTATGCACCGCCGCAGCATCAGCCGTACCCCCCGCAGCAGCATTATCAGCAGCCGCCGTATCAGCAGCAGCAGCAGCACCACGGATATCCGCCAGCTCCTCAGCACGGGTATGGCGGTGGCGGCCATGCTGCCCCTCCGCAGCACTATGGTGCAGGTGCTGGATACGGCGCTGCCGGTATGGCTGCCGGGGCTGCCGCCGCCTATGGTGCTTACTCTGGTCATGGAGGCAGTTCCGGCGGCCATCATCATGGTGGGGATGGGCACCATGGCCACAAGGAAAAGAAGGACAAGAAACACAAGGATAAGCACCACAAGAAGCACGACAAACATCACAAGCGCAGGGGTAGTCACAGCAGTGGCAGCGGCTCCTCCAGCAGTGACAGCGACTAGATAGGTCGAAGGAGAACGTTTTGTTATGATATTGTTGGTGCGAATTTGCGAGTGGTTTCAATTTTCTGAGTTCTGCCACTGTCTAGCTGACGCTTTATGATGAATGTTTCCTGGTCATGATTCAAAACACGATAAAGTTGGAAATGCTGTAGGCGCTTGCTGGAAAAAATATTGATGATTTCTGCGCACCGAAACAGTTACCTTGGAGTGCTCGGTACAGTAACCTGCATGGTGCTGGCATGCTAAGACGTCGTACATACCAGATATCCATGCTAGGCATGGGTCGGTACATTCTGCAATGATGTCAAGAATGTGTTGTTGCGCAAGACAGCACTCCTTCAAGTGAGTCAATTTGGCTTAGTCGACGTTTAAAGGTGCAGCACCGAACCTCCGGCACTGAGACTCATGGTGATCTGCTCTTTTTCGTGTCTGTCTAACCAGCCTCTGACGACGATAGTTCGAGGCATGCCTTCGCGCCAACGACTGACCTGGCTCAGTGGTGTGATCATATCACTTATGGCGAGCCGACAGCAACCCATCGGGCAGAAGCACTCGGTAATATCAAGCTCGAGCAACTTCAGGTCCATGGCCAAGATGCGGTGACACCAGATCATGAAGGTTGCCTGAAGTTTGGACGTGCAATTGACGTGTATCCAGTCGCTGCGTTGCCGCCTGGTGAGGCTTTTCCATTGCTGGATGCGACCGTGAGGGGCACTCATAGCAGGATAACCCGTCAGAATGGAAAACAAGCCCTTATGAATTGGTTCAGGGTTTGCTCTGAAGGTGAACTGGACGGACAAGCGTTGAAGGTGCTGCGGGTGATGTTAGAAGTCACTGGCACATACTATTCCCTCCTGCGCGACGAACTCACCTTGAGAAACCAGCAAGAACTCGGGTGAGCGGAGAAGGAAAGTGGAACTTGCAAGAGTTGTCCCGGCAAGTAAAAGACGTTGTACTCGCAGAAAATGCCCACCGCTTCACTGTGTATGTTTTTGCTGACACCGAGAATCAAGCCACTGGTAACGAGATCGCGTTTCAGTGAGAAGAAGTCTCTGTAGCGTGGCAACAGCCTGCCGTTGTGGCCATACATATGGGATCTTCCATGATAGTAGTTGGAAGTGCTCCTGTTGTGTGTAGTTCGTGATGGGACGAATATCTTCTGCCGGACGAGAAGGAGGTTGTAAATTATATTGCGAATCTCGGGCGGTAATGCCATGAAGCCGTGAAACTCGGTGCCACGGCGCCTTTCTCGACGTCGTGCCACTTGGTCAAAGTCGATTCGGACCACGGTTCCGTACGAGCTTCTGCAAGAAATATCCTCGTGCCACCTCAGGTGGTAAAACATTCGCAGGCGCTCGTGCTAAGGTGTCTGGCGCATTCTGATGAACCATCGAGGCTGGGCATTATCTTGCAAGGCTGGCGGTTGGTTTTCGATGGTGAAGTGCCGGCCACATGAGCCATCACGCTCCCAGAGGCTGGCTTGGCCGTACGAGACCACGCAGTCATGCGGGTTGAAGGTGGGGTGCTGTGTACCTGCGAGCTTTGGTGTCATAATTGAGCTCAAGACGGACAGACGCTGTGCCATAACTGAGATCTGTCGAGACTGGCTTGATGTGGAGATCGACGTCGGGATTCAATTCGTGTGCCTTCAAACGTTCAGCAAATGTAGCAATGTGGGGGATTAATGTAGGAGGTGTGTGCTGTTGAGCATGAGTGCAAGTTGTTGGCAGCAGAGTGCGTTCAGCAAGGCGAGGGACGCAGCGAGAACAATCGCGCTACGCAATTGACACAGCAAGCCAAGCCAAGGCTGTTCTTGCCTCGCGTCATGAGCGTAAGGACTGCAGGCAGGCAAGAACAAAGTGTTGATAGTAGAGACGCAACTCCCTGAAAGGGCATCAGATTGCACCAACACACGCGGCTCGCGAGCAGAGAAGAACCAAAATAGCATCGCCAGGAAAGAGACGCAGAGAACTCGGCATCAAAATGGGTATCGTTGTATAACGGATATATAGATGTTTTACATGTGCCTCACGACACGTATTGTACAATGGCAGGCACAATGCTGCTGACGCCGTAGCACCAAGGATTCCCTTTCGTTTCACCCGCCTGAACGCGATGCGGGGAAAACAAAGACCCTCGATACTCCAGAGGTGCCTAGATTGATCGAGGAATCGTGCCTTTTTTGTAGTAGAAATTGCTCCCGGTATATGCATCGACGGTGCTGAGACGGACGCGCTGCTGGCGGTTCAAATATGGCAGGCAGACGTGCCACGTAGATCTCTCCTCGTCGCCTTTGTGTCTTTGATGGATTTCGCCTCTATATTTCCGTGCTTTTGTGTTTTCGGCTACGCCTGCTCGTTCTCAAACTCCTTTGGCAGATCCATGCCGACCCGGCGAGCGGTAAGCCTTATGCGCTCGTCCTGATCCATGTTCATGCCTGGGTTGTAGCGGTCGAGCAGCGTGACGTATTGCCTCTGGGCTCGGAGGTACTGAATCATCTGGTCGGTCTGGGCGATTGACTTGTTGGCCGACGAAGACTCGCTCGAAAAGCCCTGGCGCAGGCGGTGGTGGAGGGGCGAGCGGCTCTGTGAGTTGGCGAGGGGCCGTGGAGGAAGCTCCCGCAGGAGCGCCCGGTACAGGGCACGTAGTCTGGCTGCGTCCGCCATTGCGATCTGCTCTGAGCAAGTGGAATCGAGTGGATGCCGAAGAAGGAGACGCTGGTGCTGTTGAGCCGTGTTCGAGGTGCTAAATCTTGAAGGCGATCGAACTCACAGGGTCTCCCGCCCCAGGTCGTCATTGAATGCTGATAAGATAACGGCGGGCTGGTAGGACCCACCTAAACTTCACGATCAACATGGTGATGGCGATGTCATGCTTCGAGGAACCGACATCCCCAGTCCCGCACAAGGCACTTCTCGATTTTGGCGTCCTCTCGGCATATTCATTTGCAGTAGACATGACGCCTCGGTAGCACCTGCAGCAGTCTGGCCCACAATGTCGTCGCGCCAGCTCGCTATCCTGCTGGCAACGCCAGCCAAATTCCGGCCGTTGTCGGCCGCCGGAACCATCAGCTCACATGCCCGTCGACTGGTCGCCTCGCCGTCTAGGCTCGCCAGTTTCTCGACGACAGGTGGTCGCTCCGCTGCGCCTAGGCACACAAAGCCAGCTGCCTTCAGGATACCCGAGTATAGTTCATCGGCACCTGTCGACCTCACACCAGCCCAGCTCTTCGAGCACTCATCCCTCCTCCACACACCGAACGAGCCCCTCGAGGATGGCCTGACGACCCTGTTTACCAAGAACCCAGCCACGTTCTACTACGGCAACCCAGATTTCTACCACCTACGAAAGAATACCCGCACCCCAGAGGTCTGCATTCTCGGCCGGTCCAACGTAGGGAAGTCGTCACTCGTGAACGCCGTCGCGAATCGGATGGGCAGCGAGCTCGCACGTGTCAGCAAGAAGGCGGGGCACACAAAGACGATCAATGCGTACGGATTCGGGCCAGCGCCGCGGCCGGAGAAGGGTGAGGTCGTCCTCAGCGACGAGTTCAAGGGCAAGGAGGAAATGCCAAAGCACATGTTCTTCCTTGTGGACATGCCCGGCTACGGACACGGGAGCTTGCAGGAATGGGGCAAGAACATTGCTCTGTATCTGCAGAAGCGGACAGCGCTCAAGGGCGCCGTGATGCTCATCGACGCAGAGGTGGGCCCAAAAGAGTCTGACTGGGACGCGATCGAGCTCATGGCCAACGCTGGCCTGCGGACGGCGATTGTGCTCACAAAAGCCGACAAGGTCAAGAGTGGCAACGAGGGGCTTCTCAAGACGTGTAGGAAAGTCTGGGACGGCATCCGACGCATTGAGTCGCAGCTTGCGGAAAGCAATAAGAAATGGACGTGGGAGAAGGAGTTCTATGTCACTGCTAGTGGAGCAAACGATGCAGCTGTGCGTCGTGCGACTATTGCCACAGCTCGGCTTGCGGTCGCGCGCCTGGCAGGTCTCGTCAAGGACACAAGACCGCAGGCTGTGGAGGAACAGAAGTGGTCCGGCAAGATTGTGTCATTCGATGAACTTTTCGGCACCACCTCTGGCGAGAATCCCGAGACTTCGTCCCACCCCGAAGATCAACAGGCGGAGGCTGCAATAGAGCCTGATGAGTGGGACGAGCTTGAGGATCCTGCTGAAGGAGGCTTCGTCGAAGAATACGACGATCGGCATCTGGCGGCCGCTTTCGAGTCGAAGATGCGCAACTCCAGGCACCGGGAGCCTGAATTTACACGCAAGACAAAATCTAGTGCCTCATCTCGCAGCCCGTCACATAGGAAGACGAAGAACGCCAACATGACACCAAAACGGCAATCGAGGAGCGATACAAAGCACCGTCGGACACCTCCCCAAAGCCCACGGGGTCATCCAAACCCCTTCGATAAGCTCGAAGCAGCCAGCAGACCTACACTCGGCGGTCGCAACTCCTTCAACAGGTCACCACCAAAAGCCTCCTTCTTCCACACATACTCGGGCAGACATGCGCCATCACCGCCCGCGTCGGAGAACCCGCCGACGTCCCTTAGCAAGGAAGAGCTCAATGGCGTCCTGGCAGACTTCATCAAGACCCTCCAACCTTCCAATACACTTCGCGACATTGTGCGGCAGCGCCAGCTTGATATGGAGCGAGGCGTCGGCCAGCCAGACTCAGAGGCCCTCAAGCAGTCGTGGGCAGACCGTCTGGAGCGCAACAAGAAGCAGCTTGCGAAGCGGCACAAACAGCAGACCAAGCGGATCCGGGAAATCCGCGATCGCCGCCTCGCGCTCGAGGAGGAGAAGCTCCAGCGGCAGGAGGAGATGCTCGCCGAGCAGGCGCGGCTCGCGCGAGACACGGACTGGGTTGCCATCCGGCGTGAGATGAGGCAGCTCGAGCGGGAGAAGAAGGCCGAGGAGGCGGCGCTTGCGGCCGCCGCGCTGGAAGAGAGTCGGCGCATTGCGCGGGAGAATGGCGCCATTGAGCCGGACGAGGAAGGGCGGGACCAAGAAGAGCTCGGACAGTACGAAGCTGATGTTGAAGAAGATTCCCTGTACCGCAAGAACCATCGGCAGATGAGAGACCAACAATTTGATCTTGCTGAGCTGCAAGGCAAGAAGAAAGGCAAGGGGAAGAAGGGCAAAAAGGAAATGGATGAGTTTGAGAGGGTGTTCGCGAGCAAACTCGCTGGCAGCGGAAGTGGAAGCGGTAAAGGCGACAAAGACAAGTTCAGACCGTCGTTCTAGAGCGAGCCGCGGCCACGGATACCAGAACGGATTGTACCAACAGCATCTGGAAGAGAGGGCAGCTTCTTTCAATCATCAGATACCAGCACAGCGGTTCTTGCCTACACTTGCAAGGATTGTAATGGATATGACTTACGACCAAAAGATGGTCGTGGAATGCGGCAGGATGAGGCCGTCAATCGATCTTGTACATATTTATATCTCGCATTTTAGCAATGTACAAAACCCCTGGTGTATATCACCGACTTTGCATATAACCACTTGCATGGTCTCTTTTATCCGACGATCCCGCAAATCACGGGCTTCTGAAACTGATATGACCCTTCAACCCCGGAGGTCTTTCGCTAACGCTCGAATGCCATAACGCTGTTTCATGCTAATACCCAACCTGGACCGCCGAGTACTTCATGAACTTTACGGGTCGGCTTCGGCCACCCGTCTGATACAATGATGTCCAGGTCTATTCTTCGCAGGCACTGTCTCACAGGACTTATCCCTTGCCACCTCCACCACCACCTCCGCGTCAAGTCGCCGCATTGACAATCCCCGATACCGTGGGGATGTTGGGCTTCTTACTCCTCCGCGCGCGCTCCTTGTGCGCCCGCCGCACGTCCCTCGTCACGTCCCTACTGCCACTTGCACCGCTACCACCGCTACCACCGCGAAGCCGCTCCCGGCTCCCGTACGCCTCGACGTCATCCTCGTTCCCGGCAAACTCGTCGTCATCGCGCAAGCCCCCTCTCCCCTCGGCGCGGAACGAGTACTCCTTGATCATGATATCCGTCAGGTTGTCCCAGAACCCAATGTCGTACAGGTTCTCGACCTCGCGGAGGGACCAGACGCGCTCCCACTCGCCAAAGCCGTACGGGCTCTCCTTGTGCGGGGGGTGGCCATCCTCGGTGCGCACGAGGATCTGCATGGCCTCGACGGGCCAGCGCGTCCAGGCGGGCTCGACGGCGTGGTCGCGGTGGCGCTCGAGCGGCGGTGGGGGGTGGAGCGAGCGCTTGAAGGCGCAGCCCTCGTCCATCTCGATCTTCCAGTCGCTCCACTTCATGGACTCGTTGGTGGTGGTGCCGCACCAGATCAGGTAGACGTGGTAGCCCAGCAGGGCCCAGACCATCGGGGTAGTCATAGTAGTGAGCAGAGTGACGCTGCCGACGCCGACGTCGGCCTGGATACCGATCATGAGGAGCAGGAAGTAGTGCTGCCAGGGCATCGAAGCGCGCTTGAAGAGGGCAAAGTTGTCGTTGCCCGTCTTGGCAATGGCCGAGTCGCGAACGAGGTTGAAGCCCAGGACCGCGCCGTAGGTGGTCAGCCAGGCGGTGGTGAGGAGGAGCAGGAGGAAGTAATGCTGGTTGGCGTAGCCGACGCAGTTGTTGATGAAGACGCAGTGGTGGTCCATGCGGGCGACGCAGCGCTTGCAGACGCTGCAGTGCTTGCTGCGCGCGGGCTTGAGGAGGAGGCACGTCTTACAGACCTGGCCCGGGTGGAAGAGGGTGAAGTCGTACGGGTAGTGGCTCATGTACCTTGCGTGGTTAGCCGACGAGATGATGCCCGGGTCCGTGTAGGCGGCCTTGTAGAGGAACCAGTAAGGCAGGACGATGCTGATGAAGCCAAAGACCTGGTTGAAGCGGGACAGGCGCGGCCAGGCTCCAGGCAGGTAGAGGATCTCGCCGACGGTGAGCAGGAGAAGGAAGAAGACGAGGATGGTGGGGTGCTTGTCATAGAGCATGTAGGTGAAAAAGCGGCTGATGGACGAGGTGAGGCGGCCGGAGGTGAGGCGCTGGTCGGCAGCCAGGACCGCCCTGGGTATCCTGATCCAGATCAGGCGATGCAGCCATGCTACCGGTGTGTGCCTGTAGTCGATGTTAGTTGCGTGATGTCTGATGTGAAGGGCGGAGGGGTTGAGTGGTACCTGAGTGCTGGGAGTCTGCCAAAGAAGGCTATGAGGATGAGGAATGCCACCACGAGGATGGCAATGACAAGGTTTGCCAGCAGTCCCATCGTGTCCAGACCCTGGCCGTCTCTCTGGCTCTACCAGGACAATGGCATGTGTGATGGTCCAGGGGCGTGCCGGCAAGGGATGACACAGACGTTGAGGTCGCGAGGTCCGGAAAGCTCGGTGCTCATCAGACCAGCTGGCTGTTTCGAGCGACGATGACCCGGCATGATCCCCCGGTGAGCCCTGCTGGGGCGGAGTGCTGAGCGCTGAAGGCCAGCTGGGTTTCAGGGACCACAGCGCGCCTGACAGCAGCCTCAGGCCCCGCCAAGGGGACCCTGGGCTTGGCAGCATGCACGTATCGGGGGCCAGGGACGCCCTGTGGGACATGCATCTAGCCCACTTGCAAGACCACTCAAACGTTCTGTGGAGCACTCTCTCGCTGTCCACTATCCGCACTGCACGTGAGGACGCGTTCCACTCACTTGCAGTACTGGAGCCACAGCCCCAAGTCGAGCTTCACATCGCGTGTCCACGCCCCAGCGCTGAGCGGTGCAGCCAGCTTTTGGCATCACGGAATCGCCCCAGAGCTCCTCGTAGGCTTGCGTAAGTCTCGAAAAGTGGACAAGCGTCTCTCGCGGGCTGCCCGCAGCGGCTTATCAGCTTCAAGCCCCGGCTCACTGCCCGTCAGTGCGCGACGCGCAAAGCATCTCTGTTTTGTCTTTGGCTTACCCTAACCCTAACCCCAAACTCACGACTCACCCAAACGCCAACGCGCCTGGGGCTGCACATCAAACAACAGCCCAACAGTCACGCTCGGTTGTGTTTTCACCGTCTTCTCTCCACCTCTAAAACGAACGCGCTCATTCAAGATCCGCTCTGGTGTCGCCGTTTGCAGCCTTAGCCGGTGTCCAAGGGCCTGCTCTCAGTGATGCCCATCACCTATCACAATGTCGCCCCCACCACAGATGGGGGCCGGGGCACCCTCTTCTCGGGCATGAAGTTCTGGGTGTCGTTGCGCATCCCTGATCGCAACGTCATTCTCAGGAATATCATGGTACAGTTTCCTCCAATTTGTCCAGCTATCTGCACGTATGCGCTAACTTGGCACTACAGGACAATGGCGGCGAAGTCAAGGCGCTGGACAAGCTGGCCCAGTTCCTCATTGTGGACCCAACAAAGGCCCCCCAGCCAGGCTCCTACTCATATGAATGGATCACAAACTCTGTCCGCGAGGGGATCGTCCTTCCGAAAGAGGAGTTTGCATGTGCTGGAGGGACTGTGGCTCCCGCTGGACGACCCGGGTTCGCCCCTGCTCGGAAAGCGATCCGAGTCCCTTTCACAACAGAGGAAGACCGCTTCTTGACCGCTTGGGTCATCAAGCACGAGACGAAGTATGCTTCCGGTGGAAACAAGATGTTTGAGATGCTTGCCATGCAGGTAGGAGGCCCTTCTCTGGAGCTCCCAAAGTCTGACTACCCTTCGGCAACGATCTAACACGCACAGAACCCTCGTCACACATACCAGTCTTGGCGGGATCGCTGGGTCAAAAAACTCTCGAGACTGCCACGGCTGGCCATCTCACAAGAGGAGCTGGACGCCATTGATGTTAAAATGCCGGACACTGAAGCTCGGCCTGCTCCTGTGTCACTACCTCAGCGCACCCAACCCAGCCCTTCTGCAGGTCGTCCAACGAACACGGGCGGAAGTCAGCACGCCACGGTACGGGCAAAGTTCACAGCGGAAGAGGACCTTGTGCTCTTGAACAAATACTTTGAGGTTGTCAATAACAGAATGCTAAGCAAGCAGAAGGACTTGTACACCAAGCTCGCGGATCTTGTAAGTTTGCGCCGTCCCATTCGCGGCCTCTGATGCTAACATTCACAGTATCCGCAACATCCTGCAGGCGCATGGAGTGCCAGACTCGTAAAGACCATCGAGGTCAGAGTGAGAGACAGGCTCAACACCACGTTGGAGGAGATTGGTCAGGAGAATATGCCACAGCTGGCTGCCTGGCTCCATTCCGTGAAGCAGGATGCCGCCTCGTTTTGGGAGATGCTCGAGGCCGAACCTGCAGCCCTTACATCGCCGCAGGCCAGATCACCTGTAGCCACGTCACCTCATGTCAGAACACCGGCACAGCCAGTAATCAAGAAAGAGGTGAGGTCCACGCCTTCAAGGAGAGCATTTTCGACGCCAACGAAGCCTTCGACAACGCAAAAGCCCGCCGGCACTGGCCCCGTCGTCAAAGAAGCACCTGTCATTCCAAGTAGTCCTCCAGCCGAAGATTCGGAGCCGCCTACCCCCTCGCCAACACAAGTTGCTACCGATGTCGCCCCTTCGTCGCCGCAATTGCCGGTGATGCATGTACGACACGTGATCGCGCAGAGAGGCGCTGTCAGTGAGGAGAGCAAAGCCAGGGCCGACTTTTACGACGACTACTATGTGTACACGGAAGCCACACGGCAGAAGCCGGTGCACTTCCCGAGTATCGCTGGCCATGCGTTCGAGCTGTGGGACCTGTGGCGGGAGGTCATGGAGCAGAAGATGTCCCCCGAGCGTGATTGGGAGCTTATCACAGAGAACCTCGGCATTGACTGGAACGAACATCCAGACGCACCGGAACAGGTCAGACAGTTCTACGAAACCCACCTGGGCTTATTTGAGGAGGCAACGCAGAACTTTGACGAGTCTGACGGCGAGGAAGCCCCTGGGACCGCCAAGGACGCTGCCATCCCCTCGTCTCCGCCTCGTATGACGCATTCGAAGAGACCTGCGGACAATGACAGGGACGATCAATCATATTCTGCCACGCCGCGCAAGAGGCACAGGCATGACAGGAATGTTGAGATCGCCTCGACGCCAGATGAAAAGAACGGGACCAGCCACTTGCGATACTCGGATGGTCATATCCCTCCGAGCGACGCCGACGAAGACGACGAGGAAGAACTTGGTAGTCTCGAAGTGCAACCCAACCGAAGATTTGCAGCCGAGCCAGAGACTCAAGACTTCCAATATGAGACGGCCAAGGAGACACAATACTATGATGCCATGGACTTGGACGAAGACGATGAGTTGCTCGACATCACGCCATCTCAGCAGCTCATGCTCGAGTCTGACTCTGTGGCAACGCCCGGGCCACCGACCTCTCCTCCACGAACAGCTGTTGTGCCTGCTACCGCGCCGCTCACGCAGGGCACGCCAACTCCCCAGCGACGTGTTGCAAAAACACCGTTCTTGAATGACGACTCGGACCGGGAGCAAACGCCGCTGCCCATGTTCAAGCGGCCGTGGGCAGAAAAGGTGGCACCCGCAGCCAAACGCCGGTCCCTACCAAAGTCGTTTGTCGTCGAGCAGCCAGCCGCGCAGCAATCGACATCACCTATAGAGAGCCCAGTTCCGTCTCGGCCGCCGGCGCCGCCTCACGGCCCAAGGCCCACCACGTCATCATCATCATCATCATCACGACGTCCCGTGACCGCGACGAGTGTCGCGACAGCCCGCACCACCACCACGCCTAACACCAAACCCGCACCACCGCAGCAACAACAACAACAATCTCCTTCCCCTCCTCATCGACAAGAACCACGCCGACCGGATCCAAAAGAAGAAAAACAAAAACAGGAGCCCGACGACGTCGAGAAAATCATCAGCCACCACGTCTCCCTGGGCTACCCGCGCGACATCGTCCTGAAGGCGATGCACGCGACGACCTGGAGCAGCGGGATCGGCACCATCGTCATGGACGAGCTGAAGAAGGGCAACCCGGTCCCCGCGAACGCCCGGGGCGTGTGGACCGCCAAGGACGACGAGTATCTCGCCCTCCTCATGATGGACGCGGAGGATCGTGGTGGCGGCGAGGGCGGCGGCGAGAGCGACAAGGACAAGGACAGCAAGAAGAAGAAGCTGCTCGACCGCGCCAGGCGCAGGCTCGAGACCAAGCATACCCCCGCGATGATCGAGAGCCGCAAGAAATTCCTCAGGCAGGACGAGGGCAGCGCGTGGAAGGCTGCTCGTTGAGGGGAAAAAAAAAAGAAATCTGAGTTTGCTCTGATTCATCTCTCCCACCAGCGAGATTTCGAGATCGCTGATCATCAGCATCAATCGTCCTTCTTGCTGAGAGAGATCTCGGCCATTGTATATTTATTCCTTTCCCCCTCTGTTTTTGTTCTCGTGGTTACGCGGTCTGGAGCGTGTTGTTCTTCTTCACGCAACGTCCCTCTATCTCAATTCCTCTGTTCCCGTTGCCACAAGTCTTTGTTCCTTCTTGCCTTTGCCTTGCAGGCACTCCCCGGCTATCTGGGAGCCGAAAGGCCGGGAAAGAGAGAGAGTGTGTGCGCTTGCGGGCAGTTTGACGTTTTAGGCGCCTTGGTTTGGAGTTCGGTGTACCGGCGCAAAGGGAAGCTATTGTTATCATTCTGGTTCTTCGACAGTTGATTTTTTTCTCGGACGTGGCGAACGGGTCAATGGCGCCTTGTGGATGGGAGGATGACGATTCAAGCAGGAAAGTGTGTAAAATAATGGTAAATGTTCATTCCCAGTCCGAAATGCAGCATGCCTGCCGGCTTGTTAAAGGATATCTGTATCTCGTGTGATAAATTGCTCGTGGCTCGCGACAAAGGGGGTATCCAAGAATGTTATGATTCAAAAGCAAACACGTCCACGCCTCTCTTCCTATGCCTCATCAACTCACACGCCCCCGACACCGCCTTCCTCCAGAGTGTCATCCCAGCCCCCAGTCTGTATCAGCCAGGTCCCGACTCGCTCTTTTACGCGGGACATCCCGTTGCCCAGGCCATCCTGCCACTGCTCCTGCACGACGCGCACCTTCTCCTTCAAGTCCTGCGCGAGGTACTCCTCCTCGGCCTTCCGGTCTTGCTCGATTGCATGAGCCTCGCGGCCCTGGACCTCGCTGTTCTTCGTCCGCGCTATCATGACAGCCTCTTTCACCTCGTGTAGAAGACACTGCAGGTTCGTCTGCGACTCAATGAACTGGTACGTGCTCTTTTCGGCATGGGTGAGCAGGCTGTGTAGATACTGCAGCGGGTGGCGGTTGTACTCGGGGTTTTCCTCGTATTCCGACGGTGGAATGTGGATGCGGAAGCTGCTGGTGATGGTGCCCGGGATCTTGTCGAGGACTCTCATCAGGGGTGGCGCGATGTCCCAGAACGCGTTGAGCTGCATGTCGACGCCCCGGTTGACGTTTTCCTCCACAATCCCCCGGAACTCTCGTGTCCGCTGAAGGACTTCGCCTGTAAATGCAATCTTGCGTTTCTGTGCATCGTCTGCAAAGAACTGCACCGCGTTCTGAAGCTTCTCCTCGTTCTTTGCCAGGCGATAAGGCATCAGCACCATTTCCCGGTACCGATCGTTTCGGTCGCTCAGCAGCTCGTAGATCTCGCGGTGTAGTGTTTCCCGAGCCTCAAAGATCCATTTCAGTAAAGTAAGCTTCTCAAGGACCTCGGGCTTCTCATCACCCTCCTCCTGTGGCATGTCTGGGTCCGACACGAACAGCTGAGACTTGAGCTCGTCTAGCAGGCCGCTGGCTTGCGTGATCCTTTCGGTGAGCATCTCGTTGACCGGAATGACTACGGCAGTCTGAAATCTGTCAAAATCCTTGCGCTCCACATCTTTGGCCTGGGCTGACTCATTCTCCTGAGAATCGGCTTCAATAGCCGCAGCGTCAGCATAGCTCATGCCACCAGAGCTCAGCTCTCGCTGAAGATTCTCTCTCAAAGTCTGCCGACGTTCGGCAGCAGCAGCAGCAGCTTCCTCCCGCATCTTTTGGCTCTCCTGCAAGAATTCGTCCTTCATCTTCTTGATATCGGTCATATCTGACAACAGGCGGACTTGAGTCCGAATGGCCGTCAGGTCAGGGTGGTTGTTGTTCACAGCTGGATGGTGTCGAGGGTACGGAGGTGGCAGCGTGACGAGTCGTGAGATGTCCAGGTGCAAAGGGCTTGGCGTGTGAGGTGTCGGTGTTGCAATAGATAAAAGCGAGTTTCGGAATGGCTGAGGCGTGCTGGCTGACTCGGTTTCGTGCCAACCAACTTTCTCAGGCGGGTACTCATTCGAAGGATACCATGCGCTGGGTCCTGCCGACGACGGCCCCGCACTGCCAGGACCATCGAGCCACTGTAGAGATTCCCGCGAGACTCCCATATACTTGGATTCTCGCTTTGATCGCTCCAGACGTGAAGCTCCATCTCCTACAGAGTCCGACTCCCACCACCTGCTTGCCGGCCGTCCTCGAGAATCCTCGTCATCGTGAGTCTCGCTTACGCTCATGCTCAGAATGGGTGAGAGAGAAGGGTGGTACTGTCTTGAATCTCTGTTTTGTGGTCCAGGGGTCGCGTTGCTCGCGGGAGAGCCTTCGGATAGGCCTGCAGACCCTGGCGCGGAACCGGGAGTGCGCAGATCCCTCGTGTGGTTCGCTTCAGTATTTGGTGTCCACTCGTTCGGCTGCGAGGTTGTAGAGTCACGTCGCTCCGTCTTCATCGGACGGAACAAGTCTCTCGTGAGGTCAAATATCTCTGAACCCATGGCCCCAATCGCTGTGGAGTACCTCTCCCTGCGTATTCTCGATTCATTGACAATGAACTCGGAGAAAAGCTTCACCCTGTCAGCGTCGTTCCTCGCCTGGGCCTCCATCTGTGCAAACATCTGGAATCGCTCGATGCTATCGTTGCAGAACTGTTCTGGTGTCTGCGTGATGAAGTCGATCTTGTTTGCTGGCCTCGCCGATACTGGTGTCGTCGAGAGTGCTCTAGGGACGATTTGGACCTGCGAGGAGCTTAAAGCTGACCGGCTTCCTGGTGGCGGAGTAGGCAGGGCTTTCGGAGCAATGGCACGACCAGAACCCGGCGTGCCTACGTAGGCCTTCTTGACGTTCGGGGAGTAAGGCGAGGTGGGTGTTTCGGGTTGCATGCCTGCTGACAGTCGCGGGGTTGAGTTCCTCGAGTCTGCATCCTCTGCGGCTTCCAACATGACCCGGGTCGTGCCACTCCGTGGCGTATTCTTATGCACAGAAACGTGGCCGGCAACGCCATTGATCTGTGGTACCACGATATCTGACAATGCGCCGACCGTGGATCCCCCACGAGTATGCCGCGTCCTGCTCTCATTTCGTCGCTCACGGATCGTCTTTTCACCTCCCCTAACTGCGCCAGCTCTGCTCAAGCCGGCGGAGCTCGATCCCGAGAGGGACTCCTCGGGACTCTGGGCTGGTAGATTGGCGGCACTTTCCGTGTCTATCGTCAGCTCCGCGGCCGCTGTGGCTCTCGATTGGGCGCCCGGAGTTTCGTCAACCCAGTTGGCGGGTGTTGGCGGCACGGGTCCAAGGGCTGTTACGCCACTGGGTGGCGGTCTTCGGGTAGGCGGCGCCATGATTGGGGAAGGGTCGATCGGGCGGCTCAGGCTCTGCGACCGGGACTGAGGCGGTGGCGGCCCCGGGGGCGGTGGAGGTAGTGGCATTCCAGGCGCCCATCGCGACTGCGAAGCTGACCTTGATCGTGCTGAGACTGGTGTCTCTATTGCGCTTGCCGAAGCGGCCCGGCGTGATGCTGGGGCCAGCGGGTTCGGCTCGCCGCGGCTTGGCGCAAATGGCTGTGGTACCTGGATGCTGAGTGGCTGAGGCCGGGATAAGGACGTCGGAGGATGGGCATCCGGTGGAGAGGCTGTCTCTGCCTCGCGATCTCGGCGACGGCCCAGCGATGGCAAACCAAACCTTCGCTCTCGTGAGATGGCACGACCAGCAGCACCAGGCGGAGGGGGAAAGTTCTGGACGGCCTGGGGCTCTGGCGAAGGGCGGTGGACCTGTGAAGCTGGGATGCGGACAGCAGAGATGTTGGCTGGAGGCGTTTCTGCACCCTGCCCTGTAGGCCGCTGTCGGGGAGGCGAGTATGGCGGAGGAGCTGTAGTGGGTGATTGCGGTTAGCTCTTGGAGGAAAGAGACAAGGTGAGACGGGTACCGACCATGAGCATCTTCTTGAAACCGCGAAGGATTCGCAAACTGCTGGATGGGCCGATCACTGGCAGGAATGGGTGACATGCCCCATTGCTGCGGATTGTATGGTTGTACTGAGCTGGCAGGCGTCTGGACGGCTGAGAAGCCAGAGTAGGGGCTTGCGACAGACATGGCGGATTGGGGCACACCGGCCGGCGGGCTGTGGTAGCCGCCGAGGGCGGTGGTGAGGGGGTTGAGCTGGCGCAGCCTGGACGCGGTGTCGAGAGGAGAGCTCATGGTCGCGGGCTCTGCCTGGTCGCAAAGGAGCCGCTGATGGATGGATGGGAAGCGTATATCAGCGCAGCGGGTGGTTGAGGGATGCCTGTTGGATCGCGGGGGCGCGGTAGTGCTCTGCTTGGTTGTTTGGAGAGCAGAGCCCAGTTGCGCCTTCCAGGGCGGCCTGGGAGTCCAAGTTGGTCGCGGTTGCCTCCAAGCGATAGCTCAGCGAGGCTGCGGAGTGACACCCGCAACAACCAATATCGACGACAACGACAACGACGACAAGCAACGATGGATCGAAAAGATTGAGGGCGGAGACAACAAGTCGTCGGAGTGGGCAGCAGGTGTGTATGAATTTGGCATGCGAGAGCGGCACGGGCTGGCAGGTTGGGGGAGGGGCTAGCGATGCCAGGGCCTGCCTGCAAGAGTCTAGAGGGCCAGCCAGGGGTCTGGCAGTGCGAGCGTGCTGTTGGTGGATGTGCATCTGCATCTGCGTCTGCATCTGTGGGCCCAGGGCCAGTGCACCTGCAGCAGCGCGCAGATGCAAGGCGGCGGACACCACCACCACCATCACCACAGTGGGCACACTTACTTCCCATGGTAGTGTACACCTCGAGGGCATCCCCATGCCACAGGAATGTATTTCTGGCCCTGCAGCACCAGGCGAGGGGAGGGGGCTGCAGTGCCGCATGCAGACGGCTAGACCTGGCATCCCCGCCCCCATCTGGCCACTGCGTGACAGCAGCAGCAGCAGCATCAGCAGCAGCAGCATCAGCAAAATGGTGTGTGTGCGTGACATGCTGGAAGTGGCTTCAGAAGGAACCCCTCGCAGCAGCAGTGCGTGCTCCTGCAAGGGTCCTGGCCCTTTCGTGATCTACCTAGTAATCAACGGCAAAGAGGCTGGTCCATGCGATGCAAGGGTGGCACTCCTCCCTTGGCCGTACTGTCCCGACACTGGACGTGGATTGCGGCTCTGCTGCCTCGAAGACACTGGGTAGAGACCTCACTGCCCACGGCGCATCTCGACATTTCGGCTCAAAGTACAGCAGACAGAACCCACAGCTCACGCACAAAGTCTGTCAATCCAGATGTCTGCAAGATGGCAAAGGAGCCAAAAGGGTCAAGTTGCTGCACGAGTTGGGACTGGCGGTGGCTGCTCAGGGTGGTGCTTGTGCGTGCCTGGGGCGCTGATTGGCCGGCTGCACGATGCGGGAGGGGGATATATTTGGAACAATAGCACGCCCGGCGTGCATGTGATTGGCTCCACGCAGAGGGCCGCACGATGCCGGGCGCTTAACCAGCAGCCGTGGGTCCATCCCTTTGCCGCTAGGCCCCAAGCGGCAACGCGTTCTTTGCCGTCACCTCTCCCACCGCAGTGGAGGCTGGCTGGGGTTGTCCTCTCCTGGTTCTCTCCTGGCAAGAGAGCCCCCAGTCCAGGGCCGAGTCATTTGATCAGCCCATCAGGTGCGTCTGCCGCGTCTCGGTGCGTCTGCCGCGGTCTGTCCAAGGCCGAGCTCGTCCACGTCCGGTACTCCGGACGTAGTCGCTGATGATGCGGCATTAAGCGGCTCTGGTGGCAAATATCAACTCTGTGCAGAGCCCGGTGCTCGGATGCTTCCGTAAGTACACTTCCAGGCTTGGCGCCCCAGGCTTTCTGCTGAATAAGCTCGGCAGTGGTGTCGGCTGAGGCCAATGCTGGATGTTTGCTGGTGGTGATGGTGATGGTGATGGTGATGTTGATGCGGATGCTCTGCCCGTGCGTTTTGCAGAATTACTGCGTGGTGAACTGACTATGACCTATCTACTGCAGCCTGCCATCCCACATTGGAACGCTCAGTTGATTCCGAAACAAACAGTGTAGGTTATCGACCAAAGGGGGGTTTTGGATGTCAATCATCGCACGATGGCCAGCGTCGCTCTTGCCCCACGAAGGCCAGCAACAGAGATACCATACCTAGCAGCCGATAAGATACAACCTTGTTGTGGTTGCACGTGCACCTCGGCCATATCAATCGCCCTGCGTGCCTGTGAAGCAGCGTACTCTGCGCACGAGGAGCAGTGTTTCACGATTCAGGGCCGTAGCATTTGTAGAGCAGAGCGGAGCCGGGTACCCAGCCCGCCCATGAAACACCACCTGGATATCCCCCACGGAGCCTCCCCAGGTCCCTCGTCATTGGCTGCGTCCCACGCAACACGGTATATCACCGCCGGGCCAATGGTACTATACCTCCCACGCACCGCGACGGCCTCATATCCGCTCCAGACAAAAGTCAATGGGCCGCCACCAGCAGATATGTCGTCCACAGTCCTGCCCGTCGTGTCCTTTCTGCCTGCTTTCTGTCGGTCGTCCTCGCCCTCGTCACCACGCCGAGCAGAGATGCTGTTCGGGCCCATTGCAGGCTGATAGACATCATGTTGGGCCCACCGGGCAGACTGTCGCTCTCCGCCAGGCAGAACTCGTCGCCAAACCCAAACATCTCGGCGGGCAAGTGCTACTACAAAGCCGGCGCAGAGGCAGCAGACAACTTCATCCCCTGCGGCAACTCTGCCTTCGGCCACTATACTTGCTGCCAGGTTGGCGACAACTGCATCGCGGCCGACGCCTGCTTCAACTATTGTAAGCTGCGGGTGCTCCATCACCGAGCCCACCAATAAGAAACGTCCATCAAGACAACGTCAACTCAGTTCAACTAACCCGTCTCTTTCCTCCTTGTGTAGCCCAAGGGATCACGTACATCGCCTCCTGCACGGACCCAACCTACCGCTCTCCGTCCTGCCCTCAGAAGGGCACCGTGCCGAATCAGCAATGGTCAGGAATAACCCAGTGCGACGCGGCAGCAGGCACGTGGGTAAACTGCCAGGAGGCTCCCGACGCCGTGGTGGTCCGCGACGCGAACCCGAGCTGTACCTGTGCCGGGCGCAAGCCGTTGTTCACGGCGTCCGCGTTTCTCGAGCCGATCGCCCAGCTGCCCCCGGTCAAGGGGGCGAGTATCTCATGGTTCAAGGGCCACGAGCCGGGGCCTTCACTAACGCCAACCCCGACAGCGACTGCGGGAACGACTAAGCCGGTGGTGGCAACGACAACTCCGCAGTCTGGATCAGAGTCTCCGAAACCTGGATCAGGCTCTTCACAACCTGGGTCCGGCTCTCCGCAACCTGGATCAGGGGGATCAGGCTCTCCGCAACCTGGATCAGGGGGATCAGGCTCTTCGCAACCTGGATCGGGCTCTCAGCAACCTGGATCGGGCTCTCAGCAACCTGGATATGAGGCTCCGAAACCTGGATCTGACCCAGAGCCCACGGCTGCAACATCGGTGCCACTGCTCACAGCATCGCCTCCTGGCACAACAGGAGCACCCGGCAGCAATCCCACCGCTATCTCCTACATAATTTCAACAGCTATATCCGTCAGCGTCGAGCCAGGCGCTGCGGCCACTGGCCCGGCCGCGATCGTGGGCACCAGCCCCAATGAGCTCAGCCAAGCGGCCAAGATTGGCATTGGCGTCGGCACAGGCGTCGGCGCGTGGTTGCTCATCGGTGTGCTAATCTGGATCTTCATCTCGGTACAGAAGAAGAAGAAGAGGAGGAAGCTGATGCAGACGTACTTTGGCAAGACCGACGCCACGCCATTCGGCTTTGCCAGGAGAGGCGATTCGGCCGACCCAATAATAAGACCATCATTCGGGACGGCACGGGAACAGCAGCAGCAGCTGCTGCCGATGGCAATCGCTTCCCCTGCCCCGGTGTTGACTGGAGGCCTGGATCGCGGACGTCAGAACCGGACACTGCTTAGGCCCGCAGGGGCACTCAACTCTCATCCCAGCAGTCCAAGCAGGGGACTGCTCTCTCCCCCTACTCTCGACACAGGACGGAGAGACTCGTCCACCCTCCCAGCTGCAGATCCGGGCCCTGCGCTGAGTAGTCGCCCCAGCACAAGTCCCGGTAGGCCACCTAAACTCACCAGCGCTCTCAAATCCTCCAACCCGGAAAGCCGGAGCCGGAGCGTAGATTCAGTGAAGCGGAGGCAGGATGCGTCACACCGGGGCCAGTCTGACGACTACCACGACTACCTGGCTGGCAAAAGCAGCAGTGGAAGAGATCAAAGTGTGGGCGGTGGTGCAAGGAGGAAGGCGTCGATCAAGAGCCTGGGAGTCAGGTTTGCGGATGACGAGGCAGATCCAATATGATCTGTTGTAAAGATTATGCATACTAAGGCTGGCAGCGCTTCAGTTTATACAGTTACCCACATACAAAGGGAAGATAATTCATAGTGTAAAGTACGCTCTAGGGCGCCATTCATATTCATATACATATAACTACTCTTAGGGAGATTACTTATTCAGATACTCCAATTTGTTCCCAAGCGGTCCTTTGACTACGCCACATCACAGACATGAATGCAATAGAGCAAAAGAAGGTAAATACGGCGAAATGGAGTCGCAATTGAGTTACCTAGCCTATGCGAATTTTCTACAGGCCGTGGGAAAAGGGGTTCATAATTTGGGCCATATCACTTTATTTTTCTCTGCAGGTTTGTCTTGCTGGAGCTGTGGAAAGTACATGCCATGAGCATGCGATTCTGGAAATTCGTCGTCTTTTCCATCGATCAAGGGTGTTAGAACTTATTCGTTGAGCATCAAGATGATTCAAGCCTGCGCTTTATCAGATTGACGAGGTACACTGGATTTGTGCTCATGCTTTTCAACAGGAGATTGAATGATCCTTCAGATTCATCATTACTCACATTAGCTTCAAACGGCGGCTAACGAATTTCGATGTTAAAAAAAAAAAAAGAAAGAAAGAAAGAAGGACGCCTCTCGGGCGAGTATTATCTGTGTTGTTGCACGATTGATTCGTTGATGACGTGACCGGCTTCCTGGCTAAGCTCGCCACGAGCACTTGTTAGCCTCACGCTCATCATCTTGAGTCGGGAGCCGCCGAAGGCTGCGATGTGGAAGAGGCACTAGCTACAATTTTATATTGAGATGCTCTTGAGAAGTCTATAATACTCTTAAAGAAAGGATGATGATCTATCTGAATTCGAATGAGTGTGGAACGCGCCCACCACGATAACAGTATGCCAGACTGAAAGAAACACTAACATGAGGGACAAGGAAGCGACAGAAACAGAAGCAGATCAAACAAGAGGAGAACAGACCCGTCAAGTAGACGCAAAGATGACCAAAGATGACCAAGATGATAGGAGCACGACAAAGGCAAAACCGGCTGCGGACAAACCACGGAGATATCTCTTTGCCAGCATGTAGTCGTCCCCCTTATTAAGCACTAACAGCGCTAGAGAAAGCCCTCGCTAGGAAGTCGCTGGTAGCCTCGAACCCTTGCTGGGCAGTATAGTGCGTGCCATGGCAGTGTCCCGCATCTGGCTGCGCGAAGAAGTCGAAAAAGCTCGACTGGGGAAACAGGTCGTGCACCTTGGCCAGCCTGCTCTCGCTGCCACTCAGGCAGTCCGGCAGCACGGGCTCGCGCTTGCCGTTGCCGCAGAAGGTGGCGTCCTCCTGGCCCGTGAGCACGAACACGGGGCCCGCGAAGCGGTCCGCGACGGCGAGGGTCTGCGTCAGCGCCTCTCCCGCCGTGATGGTGCCCATGGTCGCGAAGTCGGCGTCGTAGACGGCCGCGTCAAAGTCCGGCGCGGCCGGGTCGCTGTAGAAGGTCGCCATGCGGCCCGCCTTGCTGCTCGTCACGAAGTACGTCTTGTCGGTATAGGGGAAGCGGACCGGGTCGTACTCGGACGCGGGCTGGAAGCCCATCTCCCACTGACCGGGGAGGGCAAAGTCGGTGGGCTTGGGGATCGCGATGCCCATCAACACGTACGCGTCGACGTCGGCCGGGTACTTGGCCGCGAGCTGGTTGCCGATGATCGAGCCGTACGAGTGGCCGACCCAGACGACGCGCTCGAAGGGGGCGACGGCGGTCTGCGGGGCGCCGGGGAGGACGATGCCCGGGCCGCGCAGGCTCTGGATGAGCTTGTGGATGAGCTCGACTTGGTATGGGGCCTGGACGTGCGTGGCGCCGTTGGGGCGAGTGGACTGGCCGTTGCCGGGGCGGTCGATGGCCAGGGTTGGATAGCCGAGAGAGTTGGCGCAGGCCTCGTAGTTGTAGTCCTCGAAGCCAAGGCCGCTCCAGTAGTGTTTGTCGTACGTGTTTCCATGTACAAGAAGTTGCAGGGTCTTGGATTGCTGGCTCGCCTGGATGTTGACGATCGTGGGACGGCAGTAGCGAGCGACGACTAAAGGCAAGTTGTGAGCATGGATACCGTGTACTGTCAGTAAAGGGTGGGCGTACTCTTCTCGCTGCCGCTGATCTGTGTGTATGACACGTTCTGGGTCAGGAACTCAACAAAGCTGTTGAAGTTGCTGACATCCGGCTGGACGAGAATCTCGCGGTTTTGAGCGGTGGCGGATACCTTGAAGATGAGCTCCTCACAGTTCTTAGAGCCCGCTGCAGGTGCTGTTGACGCTGGCAGGGCGACGGCAGTCGCTACAAAGCCTGCGATGGCCAGGGTTTTGGAAAGAGAGTTCATGATGGAAACGTGCTGATGATTGGGGATTGAATGTTGAAGTGAATGTCTTTACTAAAGGAAGTGTGATTGTTGATGTTGAGTGATGATGATGTGCGAGATGCTAGGGCGGTCGGCTGGTCTTTATAATTAGGCTGACGCAAGTATTCACGGAAGGAGTAGTGTCCAAGTCTTGATCTTCAAGCATACATGTGCGGAGGGTTGCGTTCGAAACATCCAGCAGAACCGCGGTACATCAGAGTTATCTCAAACAAATGTAACGTTCAGACGCCACAAAGCCTCGGTCAGAAGCTGAACCATCTTTGAGCAAACACAGCCTGCCAAGTGTTCGCATGTTCACAAGTACGGAAGTTTCCATTCGTGGCAGTGACACCAGGACAGGAAATGTTCCAGAAGCCTTAGAATGAATCATCCTCCCTGGGATGTTGCGGTCACCAATCAGCGGTATCGGAGGCCGAAACCATTATCGGCGTATTGCCAGGAAACGGCTTGGTCTAAGGGTGACCGCTTCTCGGCACTCATAGACGTGCCAATTAGGAATGTCCAGGAAAGACATGCACGAACGCCTTCGATCTGACAGGCTCCGTCAGCTGAACCACTGCTGCAGCCCTGTGGATCTGAGACCTACCTGGAGATGAAACAGCAATGGCAGTCTGTTGCATGCTTTAGGCATGAATAGCAGCGTCCTCATCGAGAAATAGTGACAACATGAGCACGTGCAGTCTGGCGGACTCGCACGCAGCTCATGTGAAGGGGTAGTTCGCAAATGAAGTTTGCGCCCAGCCTTCCCCAAGATGGTAGAGTTGAGCCGATTCTGGTGACACCCTCTTGGCCATCGGATGCACAGCCACGCACAAATCCACGACGGAGGTCAATCCTATCCTGCTTGAGCTCAAGTCACCACGGCTGCATTGCCTGCCCCACGAAAGAAGACTCGTCCCGTTCAGATTACACGGAGCCTAGCTAAGCCTCCCTACCACGACCAGCCGCGCATTTTTGATGACGGTTGCAACGTAACCTGCCAAGAGGCGTAGGGCGTGCGGCTGAACGAGATACACGACAATAGCAGGCAGCAGAGACCGCCGCAATAGGGAATGTTCCAGAAGAATGCCTCGCGCCTTCCATGGGCTGAGCCAATGTCTGAGACAGCTGAGATGGCATGCCTGTGAGGTGTGGCTGACGACGTCTGCTATCCGCACCTTATGTGGTCGGTCCTCATTTGGCTTCTAAGCACGGCTGAAGAGCGCCCTTTGCTTGTTAAAGTCAGAACTGTTTTGGAGTCAAGGCGCCAAGGAGCGAGCCGAAATTGGAAAATGATAAATATTGCATCTGGCTACACACTATCCGAAGGATACAACCGCATCGAAAATGCAGTAGGATCTGGAATCAACTGGATGCAAGACACAGCCCCTGGCTGCTGGTACGAGATAGGGTGTTTTCTTTTTGTCTGTCTCGCGGACTAGATTGAGAAGTTCCAACCACTGCACAGGGGCGTGGTCGAAGAAGCTGGGTCTGGTTGATTGTTGACCTTGATAAAGTGGTCAAATGATCTCCGAGTTTACATCCCAGGTGACTGAAGAAGTAGAGGCCGTGTTCACAACGACCACGTACGACGTAGTACCCTTCACAATGCGGCCGATGCTGTTGACATGACTAACTGGAAGACTATCCTTGGCCACGCCTTCCGAGATCATGAACTTGCTACCGGCTAGCTCGTTTGTTCCTGCACACTCCCTGAATACCCGAATATACCGTTAGCCTAATGCCTGTGAACTATTGAGGGGCAAGGGCTCACGAAACAACACATCCTGAAGCCAGGATCACGAGAAGCAAGTGTAAATGTGAACACAGATGAAACTTATTTTTTGCGAGGCGAAGTTCGGGATACCTTTACGGCGAGTTTATGTCGCAATGTGAGTATGATATATCAAGCATAGGCGGAGCATTATATAGATTTATATACAGAACGTAATCCACAAGCGACCCGCCCACACAAGCGACCCGCCCACTTTCCTCTCCATTTCGTATAAGCTATCTTTAATCCCATATTCCTCCACCAAAAATCATGCCACAGCAATCAAATGAAGGCGATATTATTCTAGCGCTAAACGCGCTTCAATCCGATCCAAAATTAAGCGTACGAAAGGCTGCGCAGATCTACAAAGTCCCTCGTACGACACTTCGCGACCGACGACGCGGTGCACAGCAAAAACGCGATACCCGACCACATAACCAGAACTTGACCTCGTACGAAGAGGATAGTATCGTACGATACGTACTCGACCTAGATTCGCGTTCGTTTCCACCGCGCCTTAGTGGTGTTCGAGAAATGGCGGATCGACTCCTCCGCGCACGCGACGCGCCACGCGTCGGAACGAACTGGGCCTCAAACTTCGTACGACGACGACCTGAGCTCCGTACGCGTTTAAATCGAAGAATCGACTACCAGAGGGTCCTCTGCGAGGATCCGGACGCGTATCGCGCGTGGTTTGAGCTCGTACGAAACATAATCGCGAAATACGGGATCCACGATGACGACATCTATAACTTCGACGAAACGGGCTTCGCGATGGGTAAAATCTCCGCCGAAACCGTCGTTACAACCTCCGATCGACGCGGGAGGCCAAGAGCCGTACAACAAGGGAATCAGGAATGGGTTACAGTAATCCAGGGTATCGCGTCGTACGGCTATTCGATCCCGCCGTATATTATCTTCGCCGGGAAGGTCCACCTCGACTCCTGGACCGCGAATAGCCCCCTACCGCCCGACTGGGTAATCGCGCTTTCAGAAAACGGTTGGACGACGAACGAGAGAGGCCTAGAATGGGTAAAACACTTCGATTTCCATACGAAGAGTCGTACGAAGGGTACCTACCGCCTCCTTATCCTCGACGGCCACGAGAGCCACCATTCAGTCGATTTCGAGCTCTACTGCAAGGAACAGAATATCGTAACGCTCTGTATGCCTGCTCACTCGTCGCATAAGCTCCAGCCTCTCGATGTTGGGTGCTTTGGACCTCTGAAACGGGCGTACGGTAAAGAAATCGAAGGTCTAATACGGGCGCACATAACCCACGTTTCAAAGGAGGACTTCCTCCCAGCCTTTTATAAGGCGTACGACGCTGCAATGACCAAATCAAACATCCAGGCAGGCTTTAGAGCGACAGGCCTAGTACCGTACGACCCGAATTATGTGATTTCGCAGCTAGATGTGAAGTTTCATACGCCGACACCGCCAGGTTCCTCTGCTGGACTACCACCCCCATGGGTTTCAAAGACGCCGAACAACCCAATTGAGACCGAATCGCAGACGAAGTACATTGAAAATCGCATCGTACGACACCAGAATAGCTCACCGTCGTCCATTGTTGAGAGCGTACAGCAGCTGAGAAAAGGAGTCATAATGATGGTACACGAGCAGGACCTTATGCGCCAAGAGCTCGCCGAACTTCGAGATGCAAACGACCGCCTCAGCCGCCGTCGTCGTACGAAAAGAAAGCAGCTACAGAAAGGAGGGTCCCTTACGATTGATCAGGCAAAGGATTTGAAGGCTCAAATCGATGCGACGCAGCAGTTAATAGCGGAAACGAGTCAGAATAGTGGTCGTACGAGGAGGCCCGAAACGCGCGCGCGACGATGTGGCGTCTGCGGCGAGCCCGGGCATAATGCTCGTACGTGTCAGAAAGTTGTATCTGCCTCTGAAGAAGAGGATTCCGAATAGTTTGAATTGATTTAAGGCGTTATGGTTGATTTAACTTATATATGATCGTACGAGTGCGTAGAAGGTGGGCGGGTCGCTTGTGTGGGCGGGTCGCTTGTGGATTACGTTATCAAGGACATATACTATTCACGTGCCATATCTTGACATTTCGCTATGATTAGCCACAGAGTCATGTTACATGCCCTCTATCCGGGGGAGTGATGACCAGCGTCCGGTGCTTTGCTATTCTGTTACGTCTCTGCCTTTGAAACCGGTTCGTTTTGCACCGCATGACATCGATTCAAGCGTATTCTAGTTTTCTCCTGTAGTCCGCATGACAGGCGTGTTGACGGACACCCATAAGGGCCAGTTTTGGTCACGGGACAGTAGTGATCTGCAGACGATCAATCGCTTTGCTATCCAATGTAGCCATATAAGAAGGATTCCTACAGAAATACCTCTCTCTCCGCCGTCCGAAGCAAAGAGTGACTACTTGTAGATTGTCCCTACAATGAGCTTCGACTTGCCTTTCATCTCTGCTTCACCCACTCTATTCCGCGTAGATCTAAGCATGAAATTGGAGCCGGCAGCCCTCATCGCCTCAGCAGTCCACTCATCGCCGACCCGGGCTTCAGCCTCGTCTACGGAGGAGAATTTCCCGATGGAGTTGTCGCTACTGCCTAGTGCCTTTATCTTCTCAGTAGTCGTCTCGTATAAGGCATTGTCGACATCCGCAGAGGCGTCTTGAATTAACTTCAGGCTAGAAGCGTCATTGTCGAGTTCCTCAAACTCCCACTCGACTACCTCTGGGGATGGCTGGCCCCTAATTGCACCTGGTGGCGGGGCAACCTGGTATAGACCATCAACGAGCTGGACCACGTCTGCGATGAGCTTTTCGAAGTTCTTCGCATCGTAGATCGCCCAGTACGTCTTCTCCATCCAACCGGGACCCTTTCTCTCGCGACGCTTTGTGATGCGCCGAAAGACCGTGAGCACCTTGACTGCAGGCTTATCAAGGTCGGTAGTGGAGTCGCATATGGCGTGTTCGGCATCGCTCGTCGTAGGGGCTTTCACGTACCGCCCTGACGCTTCGTGTAACTCTGAGAACAAATTGTTGATCTGACCCAGCATAGCTCGCACGGGAAACTCGCTTGGGAAGCGAGGGCTTTCATTGATGCTGACTGCTTCACCCCAGCGACCTAGCCGAACGCGAGCGACCTCGAGCTTGAGCTGACATGTTGTGTAGTCTTGCTTGAAACTGCGGCCGAGCTGAATGTAGCCGAAGGTGTCGACGGCATTGTTGAACAGCGCTGCTACGCTCAGAGCGCCGGTGATGATGCCGAAAGTTTCTGCCATTGCCGGACCTTCTGTAAACGGCAGAGGGAGTGGAGGGATGGGAGAACCACGAGATCCTTGCCGTTTGGCCGTGTTTGTTGTATGTATGTATGTAGTAAAGGCTGAGTCTGACGCGGAGAATGCGGGTCTTGTAGAGGGATAACGCAAATTCGGAGAGGCTCAAGGAGAGAGGTATGCCTGCCCGACCCCCACCCCACCGATGTAAAAGGCGATTTCGATGCACTGCAGCATCGACAGGGGCTTGAGAATCGGGCATGAGGCACAGGCGCCGAGGCAAGCTATAATCCCTCACTATTCAGGGGTGTGAGGGGGAAGCACGCCTGTCATGTGGTTATAGTATCCTTGACCCTTGACAGCATAAGCTGAGGCGCATCATGCACGTAAGCCAGCCACGACAAATTGCCAGGATCAAGCACAGCTCGCCAGTATATTTCCCCGCTTTGCTGTGTTTCCTCATGGACCCTCTGGTTGAAGTTGTTGCACTTGCAATCACGACGAGGCGACCACGATGGCGAGCGGGGCTTCATTCAACACTATCGGCTCGATCACGGCGAGCGGTGAAGCGAGTATTCATAATGGCGATGTTCATACCTACATACATAACCATGGGGAAGATCCTGAAGCGAAAAGGGAGCGACTGCGACTTGTCTTCCTCCAGCGCCTGCGTGCATGCCCGTACGAGGAGCGAAAGAATCGCAACCCCGAGCGCGCGACAGGAACATGCGAGTGGTTCACCAGCCACAATCATTTCCAGGATTGGCAAAATCAAGGATACGCCCTACTATGGGTATCCGCTGATCCGGGCTGCGGCAAGTCAGTATTATCACGATATCTGATCGACAGCGTTTTGTCTGTCGTCCCTGGCAGGCAAAATATCGTTTGCTACTTCTTCTTCAAAGACGATTTTGACGATCAGCGCGCTCTGGACGTTGCGATATGCTGTATACTCCATCAGTTATATCGCCAGGAGCCGGGTCTACTATCCGACGCAACACTTGCGAGGTTCGTAGAGGACGGCGACTTCCTGTTCAATTCAGCAGAGGTCCTCTTCAGCTTGCTACTCGATGCTGCAAGTCGCTGCGAAAGGAATATTGTGTGTATTCTCGATGCTTTGGACGAGTGCTCCAATTTCAAACTACTCGCCAACACCCTAACGGACTCCTTCGCTGGGGACGGGGGACCCTCCAATCTCAAGTTCATCCTCACGAGCAGGCCCTACGAATCAATTCGAAACGCCTTGGCGACATTGCCTAAGATCCACCTAAGTGGCGAAAGTGAAGAGGAAGTCGATCAGATAGCCGAAGAGATCGGTGTAGTTATCGAGCAACGGATACGACAGCTTGCCACTCTACGCCGCCTTACCGATTCCCAAGAGCAATCCCTTCGGAGCGTCTTGCGTGGCACGCAACAACGGACATACCTTTGGGTCCACTTGATCTTCGAGAGCCTGGAAGAAGCCAATATCCTGAATCGGCATTCTCTAACAGAAGCTATCCAGACTTTGCCCCTATCGGTCGAGGAAGCGTACGACAAGATCTTGTCAAAGAGTCGGAATACCAAGCATGTCACAAAAGTGCTACAACTCGTTGTGGCCGCCGCTAGACCGCTGCATTTGAAAGAGGTTGCAGTCGCTCTGACTCTTGATAGCCAGAAGCATCGCACCTATGCAAATCTTATGGCAGACGTTACCGACACGGCCGAGCTACAAAATGAGATACGAGACTTATGTGGCCTCTTCGTTGTAATCATCGACGGACGTCTGTATCTGTTGCATCAGACCGCCAGAGAGTTCCTTGTTGACAAAGACCAGCGCATGACACCACACTTGCGCTGGCAGTCTTCAATCGATGTCAACATCGCAAACGCAGTGCTTGCAGGCATCTGCATGCGGTTCCTGCTGCTACTCCAACTCAAGATCCCGGACGAACCAGACGACAAACTTCTTGCAAAGACATTTCAGGAGCATGACTTCCTTGAGTACGCCGTAACGTATTGGCCAGAGCATTACCGGCAGGCGGAGGCCCAAGCTGCAGCGGAGCTGGACTTTTTGGCACAAAGACTCTGCTCGGAGGAAATATGGTGGTTGAACATTTATCTAACAATTGAGGATGCCACCCAGGTCCCGCGCATGCCGCTGGAGATTGCCGGCCACCTAGGTCTAACCTCCCTCATTCAACCGTTTCTGCAGCTGCTCAAATCGGATGCCGCGGATGCCTGGCTGGATCCTTCAGTTGGCTGGTGGGACACTGGTTACACGTTGCCGATCGCAAGCAGGCACGGCCACACTGCCTTTGTCGACACTCTCCTGAAGTCGGATGCGTTCCAATCTGTTCGCTCCTGGCGACCCATCCTGAATCCGTTTCACTCGAGGCATATTCACGGCACTTTGGGTAGAGCATTGCTGTTAGCGGCCAGCCATGGCCACTACCGCGTTGTTGAATTGCTTCTCCAGGCAGGTGCAAATGCCAAGTACACAGCTTATGATGGAGGGCCTTCGCCTCTGTCGCAAGCGGCCCGACGGGGCGCTGATGATGTCGTCGGGCTGTTGATCAAGTACGGTGCAAGGTCTGGCATTGAGCCCAGTCATTTGCTACAAAACGGCACCAGTTGTTTCAACCCCCTGACCAAGGCTGCTTTCGACGGCGACTGTACACAGGTACAGCTTTTGCTTGAAGAAGCCCACGCCATCGATGCTATCGACGCAGCTGGCGATACAGCTCTGCTCCGGGCCACCAAGCAAGGACATTGTGATGCGGTGGTATTGTTACTAGATCACAACGCAGCGGTTGATGCGGCTGATCCAGACGGACGGACATCACTTCTTTGCGCAGTGGAAGCTCGAAATGAGACCATCATCCGTCTGCTGCTCGAAAGGGGCGCCGACATCAGCGCGAGGCTTCGGGTAGCATTTTATGGAGAGCACCATCTCACCATTCTCGACCGGGCTATACGACTCGGCAAAGGGGAAATTGTAGAGCTTTTACTGCGCCAAAGCCCTCGGTCGGAAACTTTCGAGCGATGCCGGGACTCGGCCTTCTGGGCCATACAAAGCACCGAAATGGCTGAACTCTTGCTCAAGTACGGCACTTCGCCCGATTTGAAGAACCCTTCCGGAATTCCGCTCCTTGCCCATTTCGCTGGATTGGGCCATAGAGACATTGTGCAAGCACTGCTTGACCACAGTGCACGGATCGATGTGCAGGAAGACACGCCGCCCGTCATAATTGGGGATCGCTTTCCAAGCTTTTATTGCATGCCTCTCGCTGTGGCTGCATCCAAAGCCCACATGGAAGTCATGAGACTTTTGATCGACCGCGGGGCACGGCTTGACGCTGGTGACAGCAAGGGGCATACGCCGCTGATGTGCGCTGCGAGCGGCGGACACACTGACGCATCAAAGCTCTTGCTTGATCACGGTGCCCAGGTGGAAGCGCGTGACAAACTTGGCTGTACTGCTTTTCTTTACGCCGTCAACTTTGCCCTTGGTGGAACCAGGAGCTGGGAATGTGGAGAGATCCTGCTGAGGGTCTTGCTGGGCCGCGGTGCGCGGGTCGATACTGCCAACAATAACGGCCACGCTGCCCTGCATTCCGCCGCGACGCGTGATGGGGGAGGTGCAGTGGTCCGGTTCTTGCTCTCTCACGGAGCGCCGGTCGATATGCCTGACAAGAAGGGAACAACACCCCTGATGCTGGCCGCCTTCCATGGCGAAGTCAACGCCCTCGAACTTCTTCTGGCCGCCGGAGCACAGGCGGCTATGACGGACTCGGACGGGCACACTGCCCTCTGGTGGGTGTACCAGAGCAGGTGGATCACCGACGCCGCCCAGATCTTGAGAGCAGCAGGTGCAGCGGAGCCCATCTCGGTGAAACACAGGCTTCGCAGATACTTTCATGATCCATACAAGTGAGCTGAAAGTTGTCCCTGGCAGGTGCTTGTGCAGCACGCACAACCTAGGGGAAGAGAGGAGACACAGGAAAGCTTCAGGAAGACTGGAGGAAGCCAAAATGGGCGATTTACGGCAGAGTAGGCACTCACGAGGGAGAACGTCCCTCGGGCCCTGTCAATGCAGGGCCATTCACCTATGGCTTCAACACTAGAATCACTTTATCTCACCTTCTCAGGCATTTACTTGATTTCTTGTTAAGGAACAATTGGCAACCGTCTGGATGGGCAGATGTCGTCGTTAGCCTTTTGATGCAGGTTGAGTTTGTAGAGCAATAATAGATATCCTTTTCTGACTCGAGACACATCACTGAAGGCGGTCAATGGGCAAGCATACTATACTATGTGCCATTCTTTTGCGTGCAAAATCGTGCCGTGATAGTCTCACTTCGTTCCCATTGTCCCCCGGAAAAGATTTCATTCCCTGAGCCCGCGCGTCCATGATAAGTAGAATCGATAATAATCACAATCCTTTCCAGCACTTTCTGCTCCTATTTATCTACCTGAGACTAGCAGCAACTGTCCTTAACCTCACGGGTGTGTATTCATCCCACCAACTCCTCCAGCCGAACCAGCCGCCCACACGTTTCACAACGGCATTCAGACCATGCGACAACGCCAGGGACACCGCCGAGACCCCTCCATCGTGCTTGACACCAAGCCGGTTATCCAGCAGCAGCATGTGGTTATCCAGGTGCGCGAGAGAGAACACAAGCGGCGGGATCTGAACGAGAATCCGCAGCGCAGACGTGGCCGCCCTAGGCCACGACCTCGCCCACTCTCCTCTGCTTACTCCTCCTCGCCGACCCTCCAATCCTGCCCCGAGGCCTGCGCCATTGTCGTTCTCCCCCTGCCGCCGGCGTCGTAGAGACGAAGGATGTGGCTCCAGAATGTCCGCCAGCAGAGGCTGCAAATGGTCGCGAAAGTAGCTCATCATGTTCCGGAAGAACAATTCCTTCTTCCCGTCCGACGGGCTCGTCCACTCGAACAGCACGACGTCCTGCTCCCTCCAGGCCCCGTATCGGTGCCGCTCTGCACCCGGGACGCCTCGGTTTCGTGATTCATACTCTGCCCATGCCCGATCCGCGGCGGGGCCGGGCACATCAGCCCGGGAAAACCCGTGGATCGTGAACGGGGGGATTTCGAGCACCGTTTGAGCTATTGCCGCCGTGTCGGTTCTTCTTCTTCTCCCGTCGTCACCGTTGTCCTCGACAACTACACCACCGGCATTGTCGGAGCCAGCGACTTTGCTGCTCCCGCTGCTGCTACTGCTGCTTCCAACGACGAGATACTCTCCCCTGATCCGCACGAGCGCGAAGCCACGCACCACGACAAAGTGCTCCGTGTGCAGCTCGTGCCAGTGCGGCGCGGCGGCCCAGTGCGAGCCAGGCGGGATCACGCTGGCCGCGACGTCGCTCTGCGGGACGGGGAGAAGATTCCAGCCGGTCCTCCTCTTCTCCGCCGCCGCCACGGCCGCTGCTGCTGCTGGAGGGCCGTCGCGAGCGCTGGTGACTAGAGGAGTGGCCCCTTGAACAGGATCCGCGGGCTGGAAATCCGGCGGCATGTTGCCGTGGAAGTATAGCGTCATCGGCCCATTGGGGAGCTCAAAGGTGATGGACGGGTCCTCTGCCGTGTTTGTAAAAGTTGTGCGCGGCATGGCGGGAGTATTTCTCGACCCAGAATCGTCCCCTTTCACTTGAGGGTGTTACAGCCACTTTGTGGCAACGGGGATGTTTTGGGGTGTTCAAGCTTGTTTGTCAGCCTGGCAGGAGGCAGATGCAAGCACTCTCTGCGGAATAAGTGAGTTTTTGGAAATGCCTGCGATAGTCTTGAGATCTTAGAGGGGACGCAGCTCAGGTTGCTTGGCAGTTATCGTGCAGCCAGGGAATGACCAAGAAATAAGCATCCCGGACACTATAACAATGATGTAAAGGCAAAGAAAGGCCTCCGGGTTTCCCTAATTATAACCCACCACCGAATCCGTTCGGACCTTTATCCCACACCGGGGTTCCCAACCAAGCCCCGCGAAAAAAGTGAGCTGTGGGCCTGTGATTGGTCAACTGTTGCAACCACCGCGCTTGAAATGTCAGCGAGCCGGGGGAACGATTCGGCCGAGCTGCTGGGACTAGCCTTCGAGCTAGGTTTCGCAATGTGCTGCGGAGCCGGGCATGTCGGATTTCATACCATGGCTTTTGATCGTGGCGTGCACAGCCAAAGCCTTGGAAATCACCCCCAATGCTTTGTGAGCATCGCATGTTTCCAAGCTTTATGATTTGAAATCAGTCGAAATTCGAAACAACATGCTACCACGATATGATGGGCTGGCTCTATCGCAAACAATTCTGCCAACTACTGAAGTCCGACAGTAGTTCAGGTGTCTAAGTATCGACCTAGGATTGTACATCTGCGGGACGTGACTAGCAGCAAAGCGATACATTCCTAGTAGTAGGGAGTGGAATAGTAGACAATCGAGTTGCAGAACACAGAAGCAACAACGTAAAAACAGAACGGCGCCAGCGAGTACAGCCAAGTAACGGCAAGCGGTGTATATCGGCCCGAGTTCACACTCGCAAGGGAAAACCCAACATGCAACGCCCCAATACACAGACAGTACCCGGCGAGGGCCACTGCAGGTATCCGGCCCGACCTAGACGAGCGCAAGCATGCCAACTCGAGGTGCAAACCCAGGACCACATCGCGAGCCCAGGATATGGGCAGGTACACGAGGACTGCGGCGATCATGGCCTGGTCCGTGAGCCAGAACCCGGACATGGACATCCAGGCGCCCGTGCTTGGCTTGCCGTTGGCGGGAGTGTTGTTGGCCATGAACATGGCCAACCCCGCGAGGACGACCCAGAAGATGCAGCTCGTGCCGGTGCAGACTGCCAGCCAGGTGGGTTGTTTATCAGGCCGTGTCTCCTGGATGAGGTGCCGGAGCAGTTGGACTTTGCTTGGCTTCTGTGGATGCATACCCTTGGCGGAAGGAGGTCTCTCCTGTCTTTGCTGGTCCACTGCTATTACCTTGCTCGCGTGACTAGTTCGTGATGTGTGCTCTGGCGTGTCCAAGTGTAGAACAGGCGATAGCTGCTGCAGTAGTAGTTGCGGCCTCTCTGAGTTTGGAATCACCGTCTGGCCAAACAAGGAACTGTGCTTGACTTCCTCGGTTCGATGGCGGCGGTATGAGAAATCGCGGTTGGCCGAGTGCAGCCTGGCGATGAGGAGCAAGACCTGGAGTGCGAAGAGTGATAGCGACATTGCTTGGCCAAACGTCCATGCGTTTTCCTCTGACGCGGATTCTGGCGTCTGCATCTTCGTGGCGCGGATCGCATAGATTTTGAAGAAGCCCCATACGATGGTGATGGCTATCCAGAAGACCTGAGGGCGAACAGCGCAGGATTAACCAACTGCAACGAGGTACGCAATAGTGGCTGGATCGGGAAAATATGGTCTCAACCCATGGGAAACTAACCTCGAATAGGGTGGAATTGAATAAGTTGACTGTCCAGCGTGCACCAAGGAAGAAACCTACACAGGGCAGCACGACGAGGTCTGTCCAGAGTTGCGCGGGAAAGCCAGGTGACAGTATTGGTTTCTCCTCTGTGCCATCAATTTCACTCGTGAGTCCCAGGAGTATCCTGCGTGTTGATTTACTAAGTGGCTCACGGACGCGTCGCCTAAGTGTGCCTGCGAACGACGGGAAAAGCTTGACGCACCGCGTCGCAAACCCGACGACCAACATCATGACAGCCACCACCATGGCCTCAAACGACGAGGCCTTGTGGACTGGCTGGATATCCGTCTTCTCGGGAAACACCTTGCAGAAGGGGGGATCTGGAGACCTCCATCCGGTATACTGCGCTGCACAGCCTACGTTCCACAGACTTTGCGCCCTACCCATACTGAAGTAGCACCTTGCAGGCGACTGGGGGACGGCGGCCGTGGGTACGACGACGTCTTTGACTGGAGACGTGACCCCAAAGGCGTCCCAGTTGAAGAACGCCGTCGGTACCAGGGCGACCACGAGAAGCACCAGCAATGCAAACATCAGGACAACCCGGAAACATCGAAGCGTCGGCATCTTGTGGAGTTCCGTCCTCAGCACTGTCAGGCCAGCCAGGTGCGTCGTGTTGACGAACCATGTGAGGTAGGCAATCATGTACCAGTCAGACGCGGTCAGTGGTGTCTCGGTATCGTTGCCGAGGGAGGCGAACCCGCTGACCAAGATGGAGAGCCCTGCGACGAGCTGGATGTCGCAGACATTCAGGATGCACTGTAGCATGGTCAGCTGGAACACGAAGACTGAGCTGTTCAAGTGAACCACGAATGGGCATGACTACCTCGTGCAGTATTCGAGTGGTACTGGACCAGCTCCCACGGACGCCAAAGAGACGCCGGAACAGCCGCAGAAACTCGACATCGATCGGATTCGGCTTCCAGCTAGTGGTGTTTCCAAGCTTCTGAGACTTAACCTCATGATCTGTGACAAACGGATCTGACAACGGGTCGTAGGCAAATAAGTACGTGAACAAGAGCAGCGCAAAAACCAGAAAGGCTGGACCCATGAATCCAATGGTGACCTGTGGAGTTGCGAGTCAGTGTGAGACCCTGGATAATTCAAATTTGTAGGAGTTTGCACTTGCACCTATTCCCGAAATGTCTGGGTTGGATTGCATAGCACCGCCCGACCAGTGCTCGACCAGAGCCTCAGGCGAGCAGATGTCGCCATGGGCAAAATGCGTGCTGGCCATGGTTGGAAAGGCAGCTACCGCTTGGTTGCACCCCGCTCGGTATATTCCAGGAGAGAAGGTTCTCAGAAATACAAATGCTACTAGAATTGATCATTGCATTTGGGTTCCAGGGCCATTACCAGCTACGTATGTGATGGCAACAGGCCAGGGTGAAGTTGACGACAACTGCCAATCTGCAGCCGCTGTTGGATGAACCCCCACGGACACACACACCTGTCAGCAACCAAGAAAGGTAGCAATCGGCAAGCAGCCGCCCCTGCGGCAGACTGATCTTCACTCAGCATAGCCTGGACACTGCCCAGTACCCGCCGCCACCACCACTGACGGGACTGTCGCTGACACACATGCGACACTACACCATTGCGCACCAATCCAGGCAGCTCTCAGTTATAAGCCAAGTCCTCGCCCGCTGGGGGAATGTCATTCATCGTGCACGTTTGCTATCCAGAAAAACTTGAGGGAAAAATGGGGCAATTGACTTTATTCCATTTACATCAACGTCGACGCTAATATCATTTCTTCGTGCAATCATGGGAGACCTGTCTTGGGACAGTAGCTTTCTATAGAATGGTGCCAAAGCCAAACGTGGTCTTGATGCTCCGCACGTAGTACTCGCTCCAGTTCCTCTTGGTCACCTCCTCCTGTCCGACGGGAACACCGGTCCAGCTGACGCGCATGACGGTCACGCCATCGACGTCGTTCTGGTCAAACATGAGCTCGAGCTTCGAGAAGTGGCCCGCAGGCCACTGGTCCAGCCGCCACGACTGCACAATCTTGGTAGGCTCGTTGAGCTCGAGGTACTCGCCCGAGACGTTGCCGCCAAACAGCTCAAACTTGCCGCCCTTCTTGGCGCCCTCGAATTTCTTCGGAGGTTCGCGGGTGAAGGCGGCGATCCGCTGTGGGTCGGTAAAGGTCAGGTACAGCTGCTCGGCGGTGGTGCGGAACTCTTCCTGATCCGTCACGGTGGTCGTGTTGACGATGCCGCCGGCGCTCTTCTGTGCTGTGGTAGACTCAGTCTTCGGTGTCTGGGTGCCGGTGGGGGTGTGGTATTTGGGTGTGGAGAACCCAGAGGACGGGTTCACGCCAGCAGCGTGCTGGATGTCCTTGCCGTGCTCGGCGATGAGCACGGCGGGCAGCTTCAGGAATTCCTTCCTGAGCTGCGGGACGATCTTCGACCGGACGAGGTCCTTGACAGGCTGCTTCTCTTTGGCTTCCGAGTAGATGTCAATGTCGAACTGTTGGGGCAAATATTCAGCAGGCCAGTCTCGTCAGAGCAACAAACTTTCAGCGGAGTTTAGACATACCACGAACTCTTCCTCCTCGGTGTCGTGGGCAACCTCGGGGATGGTGATGGTGCCCGAGACATCCTCAGCGTCCGGAGCAGAGCCAGAGTACTCGAGGACCAGCTTAAAGTCATAGATGGTGATGACCTTGCTCTTGCGCTGGCTGACCTCGACATCGCCATCCAGGCTGACGACCTTGGCGATCTTGGCCTTGACGTCACCATCCTCGGCCGAGATCTTTGTCAAGGTCTCGTTGAGGTAGTTTTGCGTCCAGTCGCCGGCATTCTTGCTGACCCAGTGCCAGTTGTTAGGGTTGTGGAGGACCATGGTGACGGCGGGGTGGTGTGCAGGCAACGAATGGCGGCGGCAAGTGTCGTGTGTGTGTTGCGATGCAATCGAATCTCAAAGTAAATTGCTCGAATATGATCTGCCCGAGGTAGAGAGTGTGCTGTTAGTCACGCTGCTTTGTCGCTCAAGCTTATGTTGACCCGCGACCGGGAATGGTCAGGGTTCAGGATGCGGAAAGAAAATTTCAATTTCTCGTGGGAAAGATCAGAGGAAGGTCGTAGACCACAGCATTTAGTCATCAAGGAAAGGGAGTACAAGTCGCTCTATGACTGGTGCCAGCTGGATAACTCATCATGTAAAGGTAGACGGGGCGAGGTGCAGGTCATGCAGCTCACCCAGTGGAAGGGGAGAAAGTTGTGCGTCAGAGGAAAAAACCGAGCGAGATTACTTACCACAAGGTGCACGAGCTCGAGCTGGCAAATCAATGCTGATCGAGAAAGAGCTTGGTGGCGAGGAGGTGCGTTGGTTGACGAGAGGATGACTCTGCAGTCGGTGGAGAGCTGGCTCAAGGCATGGAAGGTGAGGCTACGAAATGTGCCAATGGAGGAGGGGAGACGCGGCCGGCCACATGGCTGGGCGTGAGGCGGCACGAATAGTAGAAGAGGTGGGAGAAGGTGGCAGGAGGAAAGCTCTAGAAGCACGAAGACTTTGGCTGCCGCGCGTGGTGGGGGCCGCCGCCCGGGCCACGCTCGAGGGCCTTGACCACCATCAGCACTTTCCAGGTAGCTCCCGCCAGTGCCAACAACAGCGGGTCATGCACCGAATGGATGGGGTCCAGACAGTGCAGGGACAGTGCTGGCAATACGGCTGCTCACTTACCGTCTTTGGCTCTCAGCACTCCCGCCATTGGTGGACGGAGCAGCCCGGACACGGTTCGTCCGACTTCCCAAATGTCGACAACGAAGACTTGGCTGGCCATGACCCTCGAAGTTTCCAGGAGCATACAGCCAAAGACATTCCTAAGGAGTGTTCCCCGCATGAACCTAGAGGGCTGTCGTTTTTTGGACCTAGCCAATGGCAAAATTCTTCTATGCGTCTTCCCCGGTTCACTTCTGTCATCCTCTATTCTAGCCCTGTGACGAGTGGTTCCGGCAAAACTCACTACCCTCCTGCCTCGCAAGTCGACATCGCCCCATCGCGCACTTGTGCTGAACGCACAGCGCGGTGCCAGAGTCGGTCTGCAAGGCACACCCCTCCGCTAAGCACGTGTGCTGTGTGCAGTAATCCCCGCTCCCTTGCGCCTCATCTCCCTGGCCCAGCCGCGGCTTCGCGCACCCAGTCTCTCCGCACGTGTGCGACATGCAGTACTGCCCGCCCGCGCTGGCGAGCAAGTCCCATCGCTCCGCCGCGCACATGCTGCCCGGCGTGCTCCAGCTACACGCGTGGCTGACGCAGAGGCCCCCGTCCTCCAGCTTTGCTCGTCCATAGCAGCCTCGGCGCGTGCACTTGTGCTGCGTGCAGAAAGTGCCCTGCTTGAACCGTGGCTGTGGGCAGTTCGAGGCGCCAGAGGCGGATGTGAAGGTGCATGAGTGCTCCGCGCACAGCAACTGGTGGCCCGCGGCCGATGTCGAGCTCACCATCTTGATGGCGTTGACGCAGCCCTTGCTCACGCAGGTGTGTCCCTGGCAGTATCGCTGGTTTCGCACAATGCCTCTGCGACAGGTCTCGCCCGCGAACGCGCACACATGGAGCTGGCAGTAGTCCGAGGCGTCGACCTTCAATGCCCAGCAGTCGCTCATGGAGCACGAGTGCCTCGTGCAGTAGTGCTTCGCCGAGGCATGGTCGACCTTGGGCTCTGCACATTTGCGGTCTTGGGCCATGCAGCCGTGTTGTATGCAGTACTTGCGGACGGAGTTTGCTGAAAGGGGAGACACCTTTTCCTTGCAGAGCTTCGTCTGGCATGTATGAGTGTGGCAGAAGGCACCGTCCTTGTTCACCTTGGCAGGGCAGGCACCGTAAGTGCAGGTGTGAGCCAGGCAGTATGGGCCGTGGTCGACTTTCTGGCGAGCACATGCAGAACTGCCGCACTCGTGCTTGGAGCAGAACTGCGTGTCGGCGTTGATGGGCCGCTCGGCCGTGCATCCCTTTGAGTACTGACAGCTGTGTTGCCCGCAGAAGTTGCCTCCCTGCTTGACATGCTCCTGACAATCCTTCCTCTGGCACGTATGCTTCGGGCACCACTTTGCCAACGTCCGCGTGTTCCCAGATACCCAGACTCTGGAGTTAGGGCAGTTTGGCGACGGACATACGTGAAGAGTGCAGAACCTTGTTGGGTTCACGGTCCTGGAGAGTTGCTGCGCGCGGCAATTCACCTCCGCGCAGTTATGCTTGTCGCAGTATGGGCTCAAAAACCCTGCCACGATCTTCACGGGGTCCTTGCACTGGCCGACTGAGCAGCCGTGGGTTTCGCAGACCTGGCTGTCGCCGCGGCGGCGTTGCTTGAAGCAGGCTTTGCCCGTCCAGGCGCACTTGTGGTGCGAACACCAGTTTGCGAACCGTCTCTCCCCAGACTCTGCCGTACAGACCATCTTGGGCTCGTCACAAGCCTGGCACTTGTGTTCCGTGCACATGGTGCTTGTCCCATGGGCCAAGAGGCCGCATCCGGGCCTCGCGCAGGAGTGCTTGGAACAGTACTTGGGTGGCTGTTCTCCCACCGCGGGCATCTTGCGTGCATTTGGACAGTCTTGAACCTCGCACACATGTGCCCGGCAGTACGGTCTGTGCTCGGACAACCGCCGTGCTGGGCACAATGCCGCCTTGCACTTATGCCAGGTGCACCACGACACCCCGACCTCGGTGATGCCAGCCACCACCACCACCCGGGCTCGTGGTCGAGCACAGTCCTGACAGGCGTGCTGCACGCAGTGGCCTCCATCCGCTTTGGCGTTCTGTATGCACCCAGAGGTGGTGCAGGTATGCCGCGAGCACCACCGGGCAGTGTCGCTGCCGGCCAGGTCCATGCACAAAGCGTCTCGACACTTGTGCTTCTCGCTGCACCACTCGCTGCCAGCGTGTTTCCCAAACGCGCAGGTAGGCCCAAGGCACTTGTGGCGCGGGCAGAATGCAGAGTTGACATTGACCACGGTGCCATCCTTGAGTCTGGTCGTCGTGACTCGCCGATCCGTGCACTCTCGACACTGGTGCCCGACGCAGATGCTCCTCTTCAGTCCGAACACTCTGGTGGCTCTCGCTTGCCTGCAGCCGTCAATGGTGCACTTGTGCCTGGCACAGTAGTGCATGGCGTATAGCGGTACCTTCTTGCAACGGTTCTTCCACTGGCATACACTGACACTGGCAAACGCGCCGGGACCAATGCCATAGTCACCAGGGTCCGTGTCCGGTGTGACGAGAGTAGGGCCTTCATCGTATGGCGGCGGCGACGACGTCATGCTGAAAGCGGAGTCGACGCGATTGATCGTGGCCATCCTTTCCTGCGTCAGTCACTTGTCGTCGGCCAGGTGGAGTGCACTGGAATATGATCAAAGCCAGCGAGGTAAAGTGGTCGTCAATATTCTGGCTTCAGATGCGGTGAACTTATGAATCTGTGTGGAACCGTGCGCTCAACAACATGGTGACAGTCACGGGATCCTTCCCGCTCTTTATCTTCCAGCATCCCGGTTCACACCCATGAGCCACAATTCTCGGCCCGCTGATAGTGTGTTACACGCATCTCTGTAAGGCTTCCTTGGGTTGAGACGGCCCGCTGCACGGTCAACCTTGGCTTGGATAGCAGGGCCACTCTAGAACCGACGTGGATGCACACACGGCTTGCGACCAGGGAGCCCGCGGGCAACTGCAGCTGCTCCCGTCACCAGTCCCCCTTGCTGAACTTGCTTGCAGCTCCGTATCATGCAGGCGGGACACATTGCTTCGCCTCTTCGCCGCTTTATTTAGTTCGCCATCTTTGACTAGGGCTTGGATGGATGCACGAGAGGAGGGCTTCGCAGTGCAGCTAGGCTGCCTCGTGACTCGAGGGTCTAGCGAGTCCAGACTGTGAGATGCATGGGCAGAAGGGGCTTGGAGGGGCGCGGACTTGTTGGAACTCGAGTGCGTGCATATGTACGACGACAGGAGCAACAACCAACATGCATATCGGCCGCAGGGGTCTTGACCCGCCAGGTCTCTCCAAGGCTCTGCCGTGTCCCAATGGTTCTTTCCAGCAATGCCACCATGTGCGATTGCAGATCTCCAAGTGAAGTGGTCGAGACTTGCTGGGGATCACTGCTGTAGAACCATCGGCGACGCACCCGGCAGATCCCGCCTCCCGAGACTTGCAACGTATGTTTGGTCCATCCGTGCCCGTACCCTGCGTAATTGTTGCGGCATAAGCGGCCTCGTGGAGTCACTTGTTGGATTGTCAGAGGCTATCTGGGAGGATACAGGCTTTCTTGCTACCAATTGCTCAAACGATATATACTGGGAGACGACTGCCGAGGAGTTCGCTTTTAGGCAGTTGGATATCCTCTTTGTGAAAGTCATGTAGGAGCAGCCAGCACAGCATGCGAAAGACAAAAGAACACCAGATATCATTGAGCTGATCTTCGCGATTCTTCTCGGTAAATCCGCTTTGCTTGCGTACGAGACTGGTGATACTGTCACTGTCGGCCGATGCGTGACCCCCTTGAAAGCCGGCGGGGCCTGTCGTGGAGTCTGCCGTGTGCGGAACTGGCATGACAACATTCCCCGTTTGCGGCCGATACAGGGTGGGCATCCGCTGCGGTGTCTTCTTGACAACTTCCTTCCGAATAGTGTCGAAGTAGATCTCCATGAGCCGTCCCTGCTTGTCTTCTAAGCCTAGGCTATTGAGCGCATCGAAATTCTCCCTTTCCTTGGCGTCATTAAGGTGTCTAAGAAGCACGTGGAAGTGCGAGCGAAGGATTCCGAGGACGAAGAACTCCCTTGGACCTCCCGTGAGATATTTATCAGTAGAGTCCAAGGCGTCATGCAAAGTGTCCATAAGTGGTACGGTGAGCTCGGTCCGCAATGGTAACTCGGGACCACGGGCTTTGCTAATGTGTTCGAGCGATCTTTTAATCTTCTGGATCTGATCCGTATTGGTGATATTGTCGTCTTGCTCGAGTCTGTCCTCGAACGCTTCGAGGAGTTTCCACAAAGAAAACGACTTCTTATCCCAGCGGTATGTGGTTGGATTGGGCAACATGCGAAACCCAGATCCGTGGCCATGCAACGTCCGGCTCAGCATTCCGAGAATTTCAAATGCCACTGCGTGAAACAGTCAGCACGACAACCTGACTCTAAACGCGGGCTGTGACATACCTGGGAAGAGATGGCCCATTTTCTGGTGGTCTTTCAAGAGGTAGTCCACTGTGTTTGTGTTGCAGCCCATGACGGTCAGCGTGTCTGCAACCTCGCGCGAGCTCCCGAGCTTGATTGCAGCCAGACTTTGGGGTACGTCAAATGGGTATCTGAAGACGTCCTCCGTTTCGTCCTCGGGCTCACCGAATATGGTGGGCACGACCCCAAAGCAGAACTGCTTGACGGCTTCATTTGGTATCACGCGCTCCTCCTCAAACAGAGTTCGAGCTGTCTTCTGAAATGTGAAAACCAGCCCGAGCTCGTTGACGACCGAGCCTGTGAGTATGAAGCCATTGCCTTCCGCACGGTATCTGTTCTCACACCGGCTGAATTCCCTCCAGTGCAGACCAAGCACGCTAGCAAGTTCGATGAGATGGCACATTGTCGTCGTTGCATAGGGTTTGGTCATGGCTGCAGGCATAGTATCCCAGCTTTTGACCTTCTTCTGAACTGCAACAGCAAGCGTCCGTTCTGCAAACTTTTGTGGCTTCGTGTTGCCGGGTCTCGCGGTGTAGAAGCGTGATTGCCACTGCTCGCTGTCGTGCTCCATTTGTTGTAAGGCTGCCAGCAAAACAACCCAGCTTGCTCTTTCATTGTCTTGGATACGTTTTTTGCGCGAGAGCTTGTCGTCGTTCTGCTTCTGCTCGTCAGGCAGGAGACTTCTGGTCTCGTTCCTGCTCTTTGGCGTACCATCGATATACCAGATGGGTTCGTCCGGAACTGGCCCGCGATTGTTGTTTGGGTGCGCGAGGAAGATGACAGGTGTCTCGAATTGAACCTCGAAGCGTAGCTCATAAGGTCGGAGTATGCGGCGTGTTGATTTTGCCCAATCGCCCATGACCTTGGGGCCGCATCTGGCATATCCAGTTGCTGAAGCGAAATAGGTTTGCAAGACCTGAAGGGTAGTCAGGAGAAGCGCTACGCAGGAGACCACGAGCGCGATGGCTCCAACGATGATTTCGGCCCGGTCATCTTCGTCCGCCATGTTGTCAAGTAAATTGTGCTAGTGCGGCTGACAGGGCGTGCTGTGGTTGGTCTTGCAGCGAAGGAAGCTCCAATGTCGAGAGCTTTGTGCATTGATTCGAATACGTGATCAGGGGCGAAAGACTTGTGCAATGATACAGAATTGGCTTGAAAGCCAGCCAGGACATGCATTGGGGCTTTCTGCCATTTTACAGAATCACCACGGCACGACATCATATGCAACCCTGGCACCAGCGTGCCTCGATCATCACATAGTGGCGGGCAGCATCGTGTGGCATGCTCGCGGCAAGGCTTTGTCGCTGCAGACGGCCCCCCGCACCGCGAGGCAACCGTTGCCTGTTCTTGGCAGCCAGTGACGTCGTTGCAGCGAGGCGCAGCCCACCGAGTGCCTCTCTGGGGCGTTCACGGCTGACCAGAGGGAGATGTTGAAAGGGTCCTCCAGGAACGAGCTGAGGACAGGGGTCTCGTGGTGACGGCGGGCTGAGCCGCTGCGGCGGGCCTGGCCTAAGCCACTCCCGCCAGGTCTAGGCAGACTGCCGGATCCGTGGCACTAGATAGTCCCAGGCTCTCCCATCCCATCTGCTATCGCTGGGGAACATGGAGGGTGCCCCTTCTAGCAACGCTAGTCAGCACGGGTCTTACTTAGAATGGCAAAGTAATTGAGATTTGAGTCCGCTGCGAGGCGATGGATGGCTAGCGGCCAGTAAAAGGGTTGACACAGCCAGCTCGAGATAGTCTTGGAGGGAGAGCAATGCTGTGGTTGTAAGGCAGCGAGGGGGCGGATGATCTTGCAGAGAACCTGGGAAGAGTGGCTGCAAGATGATTCTGGTTGTGCCTTCCCAATCCTCCGAGATCGATGGCACTCGGCGAAGTGGCTGCGGGCGTCCCCCGAGAACCCACCCCTCCAGGGCAAGCTCCCCGTCCCGGAGAAGCTCACGCCCGCCTGGTTCTAGGCGCCTAGCGTCTGACTCCTTGCTGACTGGGCGATTCCACAGATGACCGACACTTGCAGCACCTCCCCTAGCGATGCTGATCTCCTTGTTCGCCACACCAACAATGACGGGGACAGCCGTCGCGACAACCTCGCCCAGGATGGCTCTGTCTTCTCCCTCACCGCACATTCCCAGGACGCCGTCATGAGCCGGCCGTCCCCAGCCCACGGGCCCGCCACCACCACCAACAATATCACGCTACCCTCCAGCAGCAGGAGCAGGCCGTGTCCTCTGATCGAGAAGCTCCCTAACGAGCTCAGGCAGCACATCTACGCCTACCTCTCCTTTGGCAGCCTCGACTACCCCCGCCTCCTCGCCCGGGACACCTGGGTCAGGGCCGCGCCGACCTATGCCACCCCGACGCTGCACACACCCGCCCTCGCGCGCACCTGCCGCGCCCTCCGGGCAGACGTCCTGGGCCGCTACCTGGGCGACCTGAGGGTCGAGCTGTCCGACAGCTCCGAGCTCGACGGCGTCTTCTTTGAGCGGTGCCTGCGCGCCCTGGGCAGTGCCGCCGTGCACGTCCGGCGCCTGACCGTCGAGCACAAGGTCGACGTCTGCCTGGACGAGGGCGCACACGATGCCATCCGCGTGCGCGCGACGACAGTGTTTCAAGTGCAGCCATTGTCGGATGCGTCGGCGTCGGCGGCGGCGGCGGGGTCGGATGCGAACCAGCGTCGTGGTGCGCCGCATCCCGTGGCGGAGCCTCTCGTCACGGCATCCTGCGAATTTAGCCCGTCCATCCTGATTGGCGAGGAGATGCTCCCCGATGCCGCTGCGGTCTGCCATTGCCCCCTTTCAGATCGATTACCGCAGGACACTTTGTCAGAGAATATCACCAGTCAACATGCCACCAGCGTGGCACAGTCTGAGAACAACGAGGCCCCTTCTCGGCCACCTCACCTCCATACGTATCCGTACGTGTATGACTGCCCATTGACGCGGTCGGTCGCAGACTTCCTCGCCTTGATGGCTAGGGAGTCATCCAACCCAAGCATGGAAACCCGGCCGCGCTACCACCCAGGCGGGCGAATGATAGCCGTCAGAGGCGGCTCCATCGCGTCACCAACCGCCGGCAGACTCACCAAGTACTGGCCCTGGCCAGTATGTCCTTCCTGCCAGCGTAGGAGGTGGTTTCTCCAAGGCCCAACTATACAGCGGCACGATGCCGGCGATCAAGAGAGTAAGCAGTCGAACAAGCGCATCGAATATGCGGGGTATACCTGGATCGCATGTCCATATGTCCCCGCAAGACCATCTCCCAGCGAGACGAGGGAAGCGGCAGACAAGTACAGCATGGCATCCCGCTGCCGCTGGGGGCCGAGGCGACCCGCGCTGGTCAGGCCGTACGGGCAAAAATCGAGACGATTCTTGTGAATCTACATGTCCATGCACCCAGTGGCTCTTAAGCAGAGATGTAGACATAGATAGATTAGATTGCGAGTCGGGGCGAGCATAGCTGGGCTCTAGGGTGTCCGCAGCTCACCATCGAACCAGCAAGCCTTGGGGCTTGGTTCGGTTGCCTTGCTCAGCGGCTCTTTGTGGAAGGCGTCATAAAAAAAAGCTTTAACTAGATCTAGATACCCAGTACACGCAAGTATCATGAAGAAAATCGTATTCACAATATCCAAGTCGAAATGTGCTACCAATGCTTAGCTCGACCCCCGCGCTCTTCGTCGCTCGTGCCCGAAAAGACATCACGACGATTCCGCCAACCGTGCTCCAGTCCGAACAGAGATCCCGTGATGCAACCCCGGATGGTGAGCGCTGTACACACGAGCCAGACGATTGCCATAAGGATTGTCAATATGGCAGACCAGACGCGGAACACGGTCGAGTCGAGGATCTTGCCTATCTGAATAGCCCCATTCGTGTACACGCCCTGTTTCATGCGAGGTTAGTCATGCTTCACGTTTCGATTCACGGGTAGAGCTTGCATGGCTTAAACGAATTAGAAATACTGACCCATGGGAAAACTAGCGACCACATGGCCATTTGGAAGCTCACTCCACGCTTGCCTGTAGCCCTCCCAAACACTGCATGCGTGATGCTGAGCAAGGTAAAGATCCACCAGAATGTGGCCTGGCCCCAGAACAGAAACCCAATGAAGATACTGACATAGGCAACTGACTTGGCCGCGAGGTCGTTACCGACGACATTACTGACGGACAGGCCCAGGCCGTTGTTCAAAACCGCATGACCCAGGAGAAGGAAAGCCACACTGCTCTGCCCCCAGGGACCGGCGCAGATCATAGTCTGGTATGCAACTGCCTGCTTCTCCTGACGGCTCTCTTTCTCTTGGGTCTCCTTGGTCTGGCTCAGTAGCCTGGCGAGGAATATCGCGTCGAGGAAGATGGCAAGAGGCACCGCAATGCCGACTAGAAGATAACAGATCGCAATGATGGGAAGCTGCTGCAGTGTACTAAGAGAGGCGCTTTGGCAGAGGGCGCCGCCTGTGGCTGCAGCTGTCAGCGCAGCTACGAGGGGGAGCTGTGAGTTTGGCAACAGATTATCGCGGCCAGGGGGGCTTGTCGTGACGAAGGCCTGAGGGATGAGAATGACGGCCATGAGCGAGAGTCCGAACACAACCCACCACAAGATGTGGCACGCAGTGGACCAGCCCTCGTAGTGGCCAAGCACCAGGATGAGCATCTGCACGATGGCCGTCAATGTAACGGGCAGGCTGGCGAGACTGGCGAGCTCGGAGCTATCGGTCGCCAGCTGTGACGCAACATGGCGAGGGAAGCAGGTGAGTCTGGCTAGATAGGTGAAAGTGATGATGAGGACAGAGACGATGGCTGTTGCCCAGGCCACCAAAGCGATAACATTGAGGCCCCTGAACTGGTAGTCGTTTGACCAAAAGCAGACAGCCAGGATCCCTGTTCCTTGAGGAATCATGAACCAAGCCGAGCCGAAGTTGCGGAGAGCGACGCTGCGCGCGGGCTCAGCGAGGGTTGTGTTTGAGCCTAACCTGTCGGCAGCCATGCTGTACAGCACGGTGCCGGCCGAGAGGTGCTATCCGACCGCAAATAAGCCGCACGGCAATGGTGGCGTGAACGGATGGGTGTGTGACGTCGCTCTGAGCTACGGCTAAACCAACCACGCACTCTGAGCTGGGCAGATGTGGCATCAGGAACAGTGGTTGAAAGGTGTTGTTTCAAGGTCCAAGACAAGAAGTAGAAGAAGTGCGACAGCCCCTTGCCAGACACTCGTCGTATTGACAAGTCTGAGCGTGCCGCATCTGCGTCTTCTGCGCCATGATGGCCTCGGGACTTGCGGGCTGCAGTGTGGACCTCGGAAGTGTCATGGCTGGGGAGGTTTCTGTGTGGTAATGAGACTGTCATGGCTGCGGAGGTTTCCAGGCGGTCGGCTGGCACGCAATCTCCTAATTATTAGTGGGATCTGGCGAGCCGTGCCCACGGCAGCTGACGGCCTGTCTGGCGTACGTACTCAATCACGGGGGCCGCCAATCGTGTTCTGATGTCATGGCGGCACAGCGTCTAGCTTGGATCAACATCATGGCGATGGCGGGGTGTGGCTGATGGATGAATGGACGGGGTTGACAAGCTGTGGTCTGGTCGGCTGAGGGGACGCCGGTGAGGGGAAGAAATGCGGCAAAGCTGATGGCCAAGGGGTCTTCTGGCAAGTCGTGCCCTGGACGTGGAGGGCCATGCACCACTGCCGGGACGATCTTTGTTGGTTGTTGGACACGGAGGGATTGACGGGACCATCTCCGCGGGAGCAGGCACGACCCTTGTCGAAGCCCAGGTGATCCCCACCCACGCATGCTTGGCGTTCAGGAACCACAGACGTCACACCGCCAACCAACAATGAAAGGACATTACCATCATAAGGCTCATAGACATATGGTCATCAGTGACAGTCGGATGCTTGCTCTCCAGATTCATTCTTGGCAGCAAGGTACAGATCACGCACGACACATGCGCCCGTCCGCCGCCACCGTCCAGGCCTCGCTCCCCGGCACCTCGAGCGCCCAGAACAGCGACTTTGGATCCCACGCCTCCTTGACAGCCACCAGCCCCGCGTAGTTGTCGCCAAAGAAGGCCTCCCGCCAGTTGGGCTGTGCATAGTCGGCCTCGTTCATGTACGTCCCGCTCCCCGGCGTCACCGCCTCGATCCGCGGCCGCATCTCCTCGCTCAGCCACCGCTGCCGGTCTAGCATGCGGTCCCAGTCTCCCGGCGTGTCGCTCCACGGTGTCAGCAGCCCCAGCAGTGCTACGCCCTCCCTCCACGCCGGCAGCACTGCGTTCTCCGCACTCGTCCGCTTGACTGCGCCTACAACCGTTCCCCCGATCGTGACGCCTTCCACGTCTACCATCTCCTCCAGCGTGGCCATCAGTTTGTCAAGATCCCCGCTGTCCTCGACAATCGCTCGCGGCACAATACGCGCGCTGCTTTGCCAGTATGAGCCCACCGGCCCCGGAGCCACAAATGTCGTCCAGTGTGCATTGTAGCCTGGCGACGTGAGCCATTGCGCCATGTTCTGAATGCCGAGACGACTCAGCGCATTGGTAAAAGGCTGCACCAGGGCCTGGGCTGCCGACAATGTCAAGCCGTGTGCGGTGAGCGGGGTCAAGTAGAAGACATCGGCGCCCAAGTTGAATGTCGCTCCGACCTTGCTGTCAACTATCGCCGGCATCAATTCGAAGAAGGTCCGCATGGCCGCCCAGTACGCTTGAGCCGGAACATTGCTCCTGTCTATCATCACAAACAGGCCGACGACCGGAGCGTCTGGATATACTCGGACCGTCACGCTTGTCACCACGCCATAATTGCCAGGCCCACCGCCGCTCAGTGCCCAATAGAGGTCCGAATTGACCGTTGGCGAAGCTGTGACCACCGCCCCTTCGGCTGTGACCACTTCGAACTCGAGTGTCTGATCTGCACCCATACCAAACTTGGACCCGAGGGGTGAGTGACCGCCGCCGGCTGTGAAACCACCGGCAACACCCACAGATGGACACCAACCACCAACAGCAACAAATCCGAGCGGCGCAAGGAATGCTGCAGCTTCAAAGCCTTGCACACCGGCGCCCATCTTCAGTGCAGGCCCAGTGTACAGAGTCGACTTGTAGCTCGGTAGGAATTCCATCGACTTGAGATGGTGTGTCCATACAGCCAACGCGCCCCGCGCGGTCGATCTTCCCAGGAAGTCGTGCCCGGTATTTCGAATTACAATTCGAATGTTCTCTGTGTTTGCAAAATCGATCGCTGCAGCTATGTCTGATGTTCCGGTGACGTTGACGGCGTAGCTGACAAAATTGCCGAGATCGGCGCAGGACGTCTCCTGGGGCGCAAAAGGGTTGCATGACTGGTTGGCCCAAAATCGCTCCATCATGGATGAGGAGGACGTGTAGTGTGTTTCCGGCTCGCTATACGACTCTCGGAGAGCTGTACATGCCTGCTCGTCATAGGTCGGATCATGGCATACTGAGCCGATAGGGACTGTTGCTACAAGCCTTCCAGACACGGCAGTGTTGAGCTCGTCCCATTTTGACTGTGATGGCCAGCACGCATCACCAGGTAGACAGCGGCATACGGTCGGGCTCTGGTTTCGCCGAGAAGGCGCGGCTGCCGCCCCGCTGAGCAGCGTGAGAGCCACGACAGCGGCTTGCGACTTCATCGTCAGACAAAGGTGTTGTTTGTGTGGGGAAAAGTGTACAGTTGCTTTTCGCTTTGTGGTACAAAAGGGCAGCTCCGCAACTCTTCTTGAATGTCAGAACAAGATGGACACTCTTTGGAATCTACTTGATATATGCGACTAGACCCACGAGCAGCACCACCATTCATCCACTCATCTGTGGACCTCCCATGGCTCGTCAGCAAACATCAGCAGGTTGATATCCTTGCCTCGCCAATGAATCACGCATACGGATGCTGCATACGATCCACTCCATGACCATGAGCTGGCCAGGCAGCCTGTCCAATGACCCAGGTAGAGACGGTGGTGTCGTGGTACAAACAGCGATGACTTGCAGCACTCTAGGTCAGCCTACGGCGGCACCCGTGGACCGCTCGTTCCATAGTCGCTTGTTGCAGCCAATCATCGACAGGTGCGACTCAATGACAGCAAGACATGGGTACCTGAGTACGTCTCCTTCCATGAAGCGGCCAACCCAGCCGTCGGAAGTGATGCTCCCGGCGTAGCTTTTCCCATACATAATGTCAGACTAGTCACACCTCCATGCCGCTCCATTGGCCTATCGATACAGTTACATCATCAGCCAGAATACTCTTTGATGGCTTTCCATATTTTTACCTCTCCAACGCGTCATGGTAGCAGGTGCTCCACGACATGTATTTGAAACCAGTTCCCCAATCTTTTAGTAAGGTCCGACTCAACCTAGCACCGTTGTGGGGTTGTCGGCACAGCGTGACCGGCGAACAAGGGGCGGAGATGCCAGACAACCTTGTGCTCAGCTCTTTCAAGATGCACAGCTTTTGACGACAAGGGCGCCGAACCGCGTACCCTATTGGCTTTGAAGTCATGGCGGTTGACCCATGGAGGTAGGTCACTGTCCAACCTTGCTAGGTAGCAACGCCCCGCGACGTCACAATGTACAAAGCGGCCGCATCTATGGATCTCGGTAGCTAGGACCCCTTGCCGCGCAATGCTGGTCGATATGTGGAAACCGGTAAGCACCCACCCGTTCAGGGCCTGCGCCGCCGATGGCCAGGCCAGCCTGCAGCCACTTTTCTGCAACAAAACTCCCCCCTGCCTGCATTACCCACCACAATGATTCCACTGCACAAAAGACAAGCCAAGGATCTGATATTCGTGATCAAGCTACGTTTCCGGTGGGCTGCGAGGGTGAACTCTGGCTGTTGCCTGGGTTGTCGCCGGGGGGCGAGAGGCACAGCAAGGAAGTGCAACAACGCCATGAATGCAGGACCGTCTTCCCAGGGCCCGGGACATGGCCCCACGGTCCCGGGCGCCTAATCGGGGCCGGGTCGACAAAAGTCTGTGGTTGGCAGACTCGTCCCACTCCTGCATCGGCTGCTAGCACGTCCGTCCATAGGGAGTGGTTGCTGTCGTTGGCAAGGCGGTTGTTGCTGGTGTGCACAGATCGTGGCTGACGCTGATCCCTAGCTAACTAATGCATTGTATGTAGAAACCACCGGTTCTAATCTGAGTCATTTTCTTTTCACCTCGATTCGCCAACGCAAGAACTTTGCGGTGTGGTGTCCATCTCTGTCCCGATCAAAGAGCACGCAAAGGCAGCCAACATGCTCTTTCACGCCATGCAGACCGACAACGACCTCGATAGTGACCGGACCAGGCTACCACCCGATTATCCACGAAAGTGGCATGTCATGGCACTCGATGGGGGTTGTAGCGCCAAGGCCAACGCTGCAAGGGTCTGCGGATGGCCGAATCTTGTGGAACAATCTGCTCGCCCAGATGCAAGTGAGTAGTGATATCCACGGCTCGGTTCGATTGCCAGATCCAACGGGTCCAGCACCGCCAGCATGGCCACCATACCTCTCAGCTCGAGGCGCCGAGAATCCAGGGTCCCCCCACAACTCTGGTCCATCACATGTTTCCACTGGAAGCAAACAAGGACAATCTTCGACAAATTCCCTGCCACGTCTCAGTCGCCTTCAAGGTCACCTTGGGGCCGTGTTGACGGCTCAAGTTCCACCTCCAAGCGCATGCAACTGCTGACGAAGGGAGGTGCAGTTGGCGAGCCGTGGACCGACCTGCCTGGGTCCAACCTGAATCTTGGGAAATGCAGAGCAGAAAGGCCTGCAGTCCTCGTGGTACCGAGACAGGGCACGGGTTTCTTGGGCCCATGTTCAACTGTGGTGCTTTGTGATGCATCAGAAGCTTGCTGGCACCCATCCGCCTGCACCGGGGGCCACATGGCCACGCACCTGAACCACGGCGCCGAGAACATGCAGAGGACAGCACAGTCTCGACCGCGGTCGGCCTGCAACAGTTGGTGCGGCCGGTAGGAAAGTTCCCGAGTCGGAGTGCGCATTGCGCTGCGCACCCGCATGTCTACGTATCTATTGCGCGGCATAGTACATGCATGCCTGCATGTGCCGTCCGTCCTGCGGCCCGTCAAAGGCATGGAATGCTCCGTTGCGCAAAGCTCTGGTTGCCTATGAGCTCAAACAAAGTGTGCATACCTTGAGCATCCAGTCAGCCCAGTGTGCTGCAATGTCTGCGGCCCTGCACAGCACCTGCATGCATCTCCCTCGCGCGCGAAGCGAGGCGAGGCGTCAAGGCGCACAAGCGACAGAGAAGCAGAAGAAGAAATAACTTTGGGTCGCCTCCCTCCCCGCCTGCCGTCCCCCCCCATCTCCCCCGGACTTGGCGTCCGGTTGTGGCGGGCGACAACTCTTTCGCATGGCGCCGGAGCTATCATCTACTTGACAATCTTTGGGACGTGTATAGTCGTGCTTGCTTGCGCCTTGCTTCTGCATCCTGGAGGCCTTGTCTCGCCTGCACGCACGTGTGTTGCTGACCAGGAGCCGCATGTGCACAAAGCAACCGCACCACCACCACCCCCCCCGCGATCAGTCAAGTCCAGCCGGGGGGCCTTGTACAAGTCAAATGTCTGCGTACCCCACACTGGCCGGCTGGAAGCCGTTACTGAACACGAGGTAATGGAAAGGAAGGAATCTACAAAGACAGACGACCTCAACTTGCCGTCGAATTAACCCACCAATACGAGAAGAGAAGTACGATTTGAACAGAAAACAATTTCTATACCATTGTCTTCGTAAGGGCGGCCCATGTGAACCGCCACGGCTTGACATTTCGGCCCCGAGGTGCGGACCGACCTGGCAGGGGGGCGGGTGGTTGGTTGTGAGTGGGAACCTCGCTGTTCAAGTCGATAGGCAAGTCCAGCAAACAAAACCTGCTTCATCACCATGCTTGTCAGAAGTAAATCGAACTGCAAGGGTGCAAGGTGCCGAGAATCCCAACCATGCAATACATAGAAAAGAGATAAGAGAACAGAGATAAGAGAGACAATCAGCCCGATCGAAAGGGGTTGAGTTGAAGCAAACATTTATTTTAATTGGGCGCGGCAAAAATAGTTCCCCTCTCTGAAAGACTGGTCGGAGTACGGATTACCGCCGAATGACGCGAGAACTACGCGGCGGCGACTGAGCCGGGGGGGGGGGGGGGGAAGCCGAGTCCCCAAAGCCCAAGAAGAGCGCAACTTTTTTGTTCTTCCCTTTGGAAAGGGGCTGCGGGCTGTGGTTGGCACGGCGGCGGGCGGGAGCGGCGGCGACGCCCACGTGAGAATGGATGCCCCATTTTGTAGCAGTCGAATGCCGTTGAGGACAAGGACATGTCTACGCGGTTGGGTGGGTGCTTAGGCAGAAACTGCATTTCCTCAAGGGCTGCGGGCATGCAATGCAGGTACAGCGAGTGTCCAGATAAAAAGCACGAAATGGAATTCTTGACATGCGCAACACGGTCTTGGAGAGAAAAAGAAAGAAAAGAAGAAAACAAAAGAAAGCATCCGGAAACCAGAGCCCGAAGGCCGTGATTGCGTCCTCTCGGTGAAATCGGGTTTGCTTTTCGGCACGCGGATAACACGCACCATAAGAAAAACATCTACCTCTGGGGGCGAAGTAGTCCGCAGTTGTGGTACAATGACCATCCACATTACAAGGCCATTCCTTTTTTTTTTTTCCTCCTTGGCCATGTTTCTCGCGTACATGTTGACAACCGTTTATTACTCTTTTTCTGTTGGCCCCGTTTCTTGAAGAAAAAGAAAGAAAGAAAAGGACACCGGTTTCATGAGGAAAAGAAGCCTGGAGGAGCCGTTTACCAAAAGCATCTCCTCGCAGGATTGTCAACGGCACTTTCAAATAATCCCGACAGCGCTTGGCTTGTTCGGGGAGACATCAAATCAAAAAAAAAAAATGCTTCACGTCTTCTGTTCTCTTTTCTCAGTCGAGTTTTCCTCACGTGCTCATGGTCAAAGCTGTTAGAGTTGCGCAGTTCTTCCTTTTCACACTTTCTGGGAGAGCTAGCGCGGCGGCGAAAGAGATCTCGCGCCGCTCGAGGCCTCAATGCTAAGCACATGGCCTCTCTCAGCCTCCCTGCAGGAATATTGCGCCACGGTGAAACTCAACGTACACTGAAAGGCCTGCATCACCCCTCTGGATGGTCATTAAGACTAGCATTCACGAGAATAGGCTGTGGAGATCTAAGCCTTGAAGTATTTGCATGGCGCGATCAGTTCAAGAATGTGCACGCTTGCGCTGATATATAGGCCACCAAGCGACTACCCATACACCTTGGACGCTCATAATCTAGATTGCGTCTGCAGCAATCACTCAACGCTCCGCCACCGCTTCTCCAGCTCCCCGAGAATTACATGCGGCGCCTGGCCCCCCGTCCTCTGAAGTACCGTAGCCCAGAGCTGGCTTTCGTGCTGCGCAGCGACCAGTAACTCCCTGTATGCGAAGCCGTGCCCGAGGCTTGTGGGCGACATCATCGGTACCGGGGCATGTGCCGCCGGCCCCAACGACTTTGTACCACTTGGTCGCGGCGCCCGAGCCGGCCTTGCTTGATGAGGGTGCGGGATGTACTGGAATTGCCTCGTCACACGGTGGAGATCGTTTCGGAGCACCTGGCTGTTTGAGGTGCTACGCTTCTGCTCGAGCGCAGTACTGATCACGGACATGATGTCTCTGATCTGCGGCACCGTCTCCATGTACACAAGCCTGCGCTGGGCACTGCTGAAATGCAATAGCGCTGCTGGATCAGGCGGGGACGCCTGGGCGCATGAGGCGAAGAGGTTCCGCATTCGTGGGCTGTATAGTTCGCACATTGTTGTCCCGACGTGGCTTTTTGCAAGAGCGTCGTTATCTTGGTCGCCTGATATCGGTTGATTATGCAATTCCATGCTTGACGTCAACGAGTCATGTCCGCCTTGGACCACAAAGCCATGAAAGCACTCTTGGCAAACCGTACAGTCGTACCAACCGTACCACTTCCTAGCGGGGTTTGACTTCCGAACGACATCCGTATCATCCTTAGGACAAGGGGCGATTGAGGTGTGCTTGGATGCGTAAGAAGCCAGAGAACCAGCCGAGCGAATGAGGAAAGCTTCGTAAATCAAAGCCAGGTGCTCAGCGAACCGAGACTGAGAAGGATTGATGCTACACATTCGGCGGGGTGCTTGTCCTTGACGTGAAACATAGATCGGAGAAATGTTCGCACCATTCTCTTGGACTGGTTCTAGGAGATCCGCCATCTGCAACACTTCAATCACGCCAGCTCGGCACGCACCGCAGACATGAAATTCATTCGAGAATGGGCTTCCTTGCTCTTGGTCTGTGGGCTTCAGAGAGAACCACTTCCCGCCTGCGATACCGTCTGGGTCGCAGAATTTTTCGGCCATGACTTGGCGCGCGGTAGCCCAAAAGACTTCGAAGTCGTTCGTATCGGTGGCTCGGTTCATTGCAGTGCGAATATTTGGCACGCCCATTCCACAACGAACTAGCCCACTACCTGCTGCTTCTGAAAGCTCAGGTGCGGTGTGCCAGCGTGACTCTTGACCGGAGTGCAAGATGCTGTCGCAGTAACATGCCTGACAAAGGACAAGGCCCGACAGATCGCCGTCGTCGGGGACAAACCAGGTGCGTCGATATGTGTTCATCAATTGGTAGCCTCCACAGAGAGGCATGGCCATTCTTGCTCGGGCTTCTCGGCAGAAAGCTCGCCACTCACTTTCAGATGGTGAATCCTGGCCCATCTTTGCGGCAGCAATACACCTTTCGTATTCCCGCTGCAGATAGGGCGTGGCCATGTCACATGCCCAGTGATCTTGCGGTTGCTGTGGGGGGCTTTGGACAAACTCGGCTTCTGCAAGCTGCGGAAAACACATAAGTCGATCCTCGTAGCACGCCTGGCAGCAAATAAAGCCCGGTATGTCATCGTTTTGGCGGAGCTTGTACCATTGAAGACCAGGGGCCTCCACTCCTCTGACACCCATCATCCCGCTGCAATCCGGGATTGCCGCACGTGCCTGCATCCAGTCCAAGGCCTCATTCATCGATCCCGTACTGACTGCGTGCTGAAACAGATGGTCCCGCATACGCGGATGCCTGAATTTGCAGACACGTGAAGTGCCGTTATTATCGAGCCGCTTGCTTTCGAAGAAGCTCCGAAACTTCGTCTTGAAGATATGATCGACATAGCATCGCGAACAGACAAGAAATTCAGGTACGTCTGGATGCCAATACCAGTCTGTCGCAAAAATTACCGGTGAGTCAATACACCTCGTGACTGATGGGGGTTCTTGGGCAGCTCCCGCTCGTTGTTGTTGGTATGGATCAAAGAGCATGGTCACAGGTCGCAGTGGCCCGAAACTGGCCTTTGACTCTGGCTGAAATTGTGGTTCTGGAGCCGGATTCGTTTCTGTATTTGTGCTTGCAAGACTCGGATTGTAGCTCATGTACTGCTTTGAAGGGCCAATCGCTGTGTTTGTACTCGAGGACCCAGTCTCCTCCGCTTGCGGACGGTATGCTTTGTAGACTTTGGGCAGGTCGGAAGGCTGCTCATGTTGTGGCTGCGAGAATCTGTCCATAAACAACGGTAAAGCTGGCTGTGCAGGCGTGCCGTCGTTATTGACCGGGTATGGTGGAGATGCTGGGGGCGAGCCGCTTTCACCAGCACGACCAGTAGTCGGTATTGCTGGTGCTCTGCCTTTAGTTTGATTCGTAGGCTCATCTGACTTTCCAGCTTCGGACGGTTTCGGATGTGACCTGGGAGACTTTCGAGGCTCAAGCGGCGCAGGAGAAGTCAAGGGTGGAGTAGAAGAAGTGTCTGCTGGACCAGGAGACTCAGTTTCAGGCGGAAAATTCGCAGTCGCAGGAGACGGAATGCGGAACTCCATGGACAGGGATTGAAGCAGCGCGTCGAGGTTGTCTGCCGCCGCGCTTGGTGAAATTGGTGTTCGCGAACCGCTAGTACCTGTCGTCCTCTGGGAAAGTGATGGGCGAACTCGTATACTGTCAACTCGCCCCGGCTGAGGAAGTGGCGAAATCGGCGCTGAGCTAGCGGTCGAAGGGCTTGGGACTCTAGAAGGGATAGAGCCGACTGAAGGAGACCTCAACTGCTCCTGTGCCGTTCCTGGTTCAAGGCCCGGCCCTTGAGTGGTCATAGCAGAGTAAGGGGGAGGTGGCGAGTTTGGAACACTAGACGACAGAGGAGTTTCTTGTGGAGTGACGAATGTCGGAGATGGCGACGGTGACATCCTCACCTCTCCTTGCAGCGTCATTCGGGAGGACTGGTTCTGGTTTGCAGGCGTATAACTGTACGGCTGAGGACTGCGAGGTGGCGGCGGTGGCAGCGGAAAGCCGGGGGAGCCGGGTGTGGTTGGGCTGGCCACGGGGGGTGAGTAGACACGACCTTGATCTCGAGGTCCGAGGTGCGGGCTGCTCGTCGCAGGCCGGGGTGGCAACGGCGGTATGGCCGGTTGGAAATAGCCGGGTTGTCCGGGCGGCGGGCCGGGAGGCGGCGGGGGATACTGGTAGGGTCTTTTGTTTGGGCTCATGGGCGGCCTGGGGAACGCGCTGCTGGGCAGACCGGGAGACAGAGCTCCGCCACTCGACGCCGTGCCCGGGCGGCGATCGTATCCCGGAGGCCGTGGGGGCATGGGCGGCGAGGAGTCCTCCGGGCCAGCGTGCGGAGCGGGATACTCTTGAGAGCCATGGCTCTGGGCAGGGTTCCGGGGCGGCAGCGGCGGCGGGACCGGCTGCCCGTGCGAATACCAGTGGTGCGGCATGGCAGCGGCCTTTGATGGTAAGCGACTAGGCGCGGGCGACAAGACGGGTGGTTTGATGGCTTGTCATGCAGCAGGCTCTCGAGGTATTGGTTTGCTGGCTATGCCCGCCAAGGGGTCAGTTGCGGAGGTGACGAAACGATGAGCCAGGGGCGTAGTCGAACGAGCCGAGCCCAAAGGGCAAACGATTGTATCTGGCTCTGGTCAGCCTAGGTCTCATACATTGTTTGATGCTCTCCTTGTCCTGCCGTGGAGGCCACGCGAGGCTGCCGCGACGTTGAGATCGGGTGGGGCCAGGTCCTCGAAGGCACGGCCAGGTGCCGTGAAGCTTGGGATGGCGAGAGAAGGTGCACTTGGCGGCTCCTCCAGGGGTTCCGCAATTTGTGCTTTCTGCAAGTGCGCGAGGTTCGGCAACAACCCAGTCTTGAGTACTTTTGAACGGAAGCAAGGTCTCCCGGTTTCTCTCGAGAGGGCCACAGATGCCCAGGGAGCTCACTGGTTCCCATCAAGTGCGTCTCTGCGGAGTTCGAGCTGCACCATGCAGCCTGCGCAATCACGGCCTACCTCCGCAGGTTTGCCTGAGGATCGCGTGCTGTCAGCATTTGCACGTGGCCACAGTTGCAGGTGCCTTGTGCAAACGACAAACCCCACCGCGAGGGCCACGGGGCATTTGCATGTCACCTTGGCATAAAACCCGGTGCAAGCATGATGTCAGCTGAGCGCACAATAGGCATCGCATCACGGCACCACTCAAGGCATTGCCGGCCTTGTGAGGACTGTCAGCAGCCTCGCAAATGACAGCTCTGGCCGAGCGGGGCATACTTACTTCCCCAGCCAGGTCAAGCAAGGCGGAAAAGCCTCCTCCTGTCGAGTACGACTCGATGAAAATGGACGATGAATGGGGACTAGCAAGGGGTGGAAAGGGTATGCACAATGACTATGGCTCCCATGCACAATGCGATGCCTTGACAGAAGAGACGCCGCCACACAGAATCGACATTGCACCAACAACATCACACAGGGTCATGTTCCGTAGGCTAAACTGTGAGGCCACGAACCGCCTCTCAAGCAGAGCCTTGGGTCTCAAACTGTTGGCTTCCCGGCCTTGGCTTCTCAGCAGGAAGACGGGGTTATGCGCGACTTCTCAAAGCTGAGCTCGGAAACCAGAGGCCGAGGGGTTGCTTGTGGTGAATTGATTACGTTAAGGTCTTTGCGGGGAGAACGGGATCATCACTGCTCCTTTGGCAAGGTTGTGGCTCGACGACCAGCCAAGGGTTCCGACTGGCCCCTTCCAAGCGCCGTGCTCATGCAGCAGACCTGTCGCCAGCACCAACACTGCTCGGCGCCGGGCCTGGGGCTCCGTCCTGGAGTCGCGTGGTCAGGGTCAGCCTCCGACATCACCAGATGCATGGTCTCGGACAGGCACGGTGCCACCGTAGTCGGTGGACGGGCCGCTGCCATTCCAGCGCCATTTTGCTAAACAGGGGCTTGCCCTCCGTGGCTGTCCAGAATGCCCAGCCCCGACTAGTCCAGCGGATGTCGCGCCGTCAGAGGGATGCGGCTCTGTGCAAGCCAGACATCGGAGTGTCGCTGACCGCCCTTGCTCCCTTCTCCCGAGATCAGCCACCACGATGCCATTCCTGGACCTGCTCGGGACCCGCGAGCGCAGTGTTGGTAGTGGTGGTGTTACTGCCTTGCTTGCAGCACGGCCAGACAGGGAAACCTGCTGCTGTTATGCATGAATCAGGGCCGCCAGGGCACGCGATGTTCGCAAGGCTCGGCCGCCTGTCTTGACTCGCCCCCCCCCCCCCCCCAGTATTAATCAGCCATCATTGCACGACCACCGAAAGCGAGCGCTTTCGTCATCCTGCGATCCAATCTTCACGTTGAAAACAGAGCTGACGCGAGCCTTCGGCCGGGATGTATGCCTGGCAAGATGCTTTCATCCCTAGGCACTCGTGTGGTGGGAACTTCGGCCGTCGCAACAGCTCACGTCAAACACGGGCTGTCCATCCTTGCAACCACGCAGACCGACGATCGCGAGCGTGGCACCCAGAAAGGGGCGCCGATGCGCAGGCGGGGGGGAAATTTTTGTCAACCCCGTGCTTGTCTCGCTCGCTCCGGCGTGATCTGCCGTGGAGCAGGACCAGTGGCCACGGGGAGGTCGTTGCTAAATCCGTACTCCGTGCACCGGCGCCTACTGGACATGCAAGCACTTTGCCGACAATCGATAAGAACGGGAGGCGGGCTACTGTATGCAAAGCACTTTGCACTGTCAGGCACGCACCGTTACTACGCTAAGTCAGGCGATGATGCGCCATGAAAACAGGCGCATTCAGGGCCGCCTCAGGACGAGTCATCCTGTAGGGGCCCCGGGCGCCCTCCGTGCGGGCCCCAGAACCTTGCCGTGGGCTCTAATGGCAGGGCAGGCACTGGCCCGGGACGCCATGCAGTTGGTCCACCGAGGCGGGCGGCTGGCGGCTTGTGCCCGCCCTCTGTGCAGGGCAAGCAGGGCAGGCTAGACCCATTCATTCTAACGACTCACCTTCCAGCCTGGCCACTGAGCCAGGCCTCGCCAGGCAGGCAGGCATACGCTCCAACGCCTCATGCACACGGGCACCATCACCGCCCAAAGTGCCGTGCACCGCCTTTGACACGACTTCTTCCCAACACCACCACCACACCCATCGACACCGCCCCCGTCCCCCCTCATTTCGCCCTCTCCCAACACCGCGGTCTGTCGTTGCTCTACTCTGCACAACGCGTGACGCCAAAAGCTGTCCTTCTTTGTCGGCTGAGACCGCCGACACGCCCAGCCCACACCGTATTGCCCGACTAGGCGCCTCGACAACTCCGCCGTCAGCACACCCCGAGCCATACCTCCTCACGTGAACCTGGGCACGCATCTGCCCAACAAGCCTCACTTTTGTCCTCAGTGACTAGGCCGCCGATCTTGTTGTTGGTTTTTGGACCACTTCTAGGAGTCACTACCGTGTCTCGATCGTGCCACCGCCCGCCAGTTCGACGGCTTCCCCCTGGCTGTGCGAGGTCGAATCGAGCCCTCGGCACAAACAAACAAGCACATACCCTCCTCCGACCACTCATACCGATGAGCGGCCTCTCGACATAAATACTGTCAACCGTTGTCGGCGTCCAGCGGACGACGCCTCCTCCATCACGACGCGATGAGATTCTCCTCGAGGGCTACCGAGGAGCGGCCACGATCCAGCAGCCAGACCACCGTCTCTGTGAACTTCGATGAATCCGCCGACCTGGCTTCGCATCCTCAGCTGAACTTCGAGGTGGCTGAGTGCATAGAGACCAAGACTGTCACAACGACCACGACCACAAAGAGATGCTACCCACCCCTCCTCGTCAAGGAGCAGCGGTCTCTATCAGCGTTGAACCCGCGAGACTTCCCACTCGCCCTGAAGCCCACGCCTCCCGAGCTGGCGAAATTCACCTTTGGCATCGAGTCCTCGTCAGGTACACTCGGCTGGCCGAATGGTTCGGGGAACGATGATCACGATGATGTACGTCTGACTGTTACCAACAACCATGCACTCACTACCAGGCTGGACTGGCTTCCTGCGTGCCCCCACTTCAAGTCGGGAGAGACCATTTTCCAGGAGGAAGCTAATGATTTGAGGATTCGACAGACATATAACAGTGCCAGTGAGGACTCCAGCCAAGAGCTGGTCAGGCATGACGCCACCGTCCACGTGGATACGACCCCAGACCGAACTCACTCACGGGCATCGCGGCAATCAAACAGAGACGTGCATTCCAGTGGCCAAACCTTTGCCACGACATCGGCCAAAGCAAGACTCGAGCACGCTCGTTCGCCGTCCAAGAGCACGGCTCGTCCCACAGCCGTATCAGAACGATTCCGCCGAGCCTTGGTCCATGGCTCGCGTAGAGATACAGAAGATGCCGACGACGACAGAGCGGTCACCGACCTGCCTGCTACACCCAGCACATCCGACTACCCCCGCAGCAATCAACCCCTTCGGTCTCTGCGGACTCGACGATCTCACCTGGACGTTGCCGAGGCATCCGGTCACGATAGCCAGCGGCAGAATCAGCCACATTTCTATGAGGCTACGAGTCCTACCGGCAGTGACTCTCATACCGTCTTCAGCAGCAATGTTGCAACACCACCAATCACGGACACCGACGCCGAGCCCTTTGCTGACGTAGACGCCGACGAATCCCTTCAACAGTCCATTCGGGCCCTCCACCCACCGCGAGCCATCAACACGGTCGCGGCCCAAGATGCGAGCCTTCCGAGCCCTCGCTTATCCCCAACACTGCAGGCTGCTCAATTGCATGATGATGATGAAGACGAAGTCATGGCAGATGGAGCGGATGGCTCCGTGCTCCATGATGAACGCCACACCCCGGTTGATGAGGGCAGACAAGGCTCGTCGACAGCGATCACGCGGCCCAGCAACCGTAGTCGGCACTCAGAGTCCTCCGAATACTATCTGCAAAGCAGCCTGCTCGACAGCCAGTCTATGCTGCATACATTCGACGCGATGCCCACGGAGATGAAGTCTTTCATGATGTACCAGTTCTTACGACGGTGCTCGAGAAAGACCTTGCATGCGGTGGCAACAGTAGTCAACCCGGCCCTGAACCGCGATGTTTTGAAAGACCTCCCGATTGAGCTCACGCTTCACATTCTCACGTACCTCGACCATCGCGATCTCTGCCGAGCTGCTCAGGTATCCAAGCACTGGCGTAGCATAATCGACAGCAATGAGACCGGCTGGAAAGAGCTCTTTGATCGTGATGGCTTCACCATCTCGCAAGCCGAGCTCGACAGAGCTATCCACGAAGGCTGGGGCTGGCAAGACCCCCATGGGCCCGAGGGTTGTGAGAGGGATTTCAGCCTGCAGAGCCGTCTGCACTCTTCAGAGCCTGACCTGCTCCGCATGCTACCCGGGCCGTCACCTTCATCGTCGTCCAGATCTGACTATCCTCACTCGAGATTGCGATCGAAGCGAAAGAGAGCTCTTCACCCAGCGACCTTCGAACGTAGCAAGCGACAGGCTATCGTCCATGACTCTGCTGTCTCAAGCTTGATCAAGGAGAAGACCTGCGAAGGTCCAATCTCAGCGGCCAATGCTGCTGCCATGGCCGTGCCCGACCCTCAACTGGGCATTCCCAGTCTCAGACGAATGCACCTCTACAAGTCCCTTTACCGCCGACATTTTATGATTCGGAAAAGCTGGACGAGCGGCAAGGTCAAGCCGGGCCACGTCGCCTTCACTGCCCACCCGCGCCATGTCATTACTTGCCTGCAATTCGACGAGGACAAGATTATTACTGGCAGCGACGACATGTTTATCCACGTTTACGACACCAAGACTGGCAAGCTTCGCAAGCGTTTGGAGGGGCATGAGGGCGGTGTCTGGGCCTTGCAGTATGAGGGCAACACGCTTGTATCCGGATCGACCGATCGGTCTGTCCGCGTCTGGGACATTGAGAAGGGCATGTGCACGCAGATCTTCTATGGCCACACTAGCACTGTCAGATGCCTGCAAATCCTCATGCCAACTGACACCGGCAAGGTTGAGAATGGAGTTCCAGTCATGATGCCTCCCAAGCCACTCATCATCACAGGATCTCGAGACAGCCAGCTGCGTGTCTGGCGCCTGCCAGAGGCGACTTCGCGGCGATATATCCAGACAGGGCCCCCGGCGAACGACGCCGACTGCCCATATTTCATTCGTACCCTTCAGGGTCATACACACAGCGTCCGGGCTATCGCAGCGCACGCCGACACCCTGGTCAGCGGCAGCTACGACAACACGGTTCGAGTTTGGCGGATCAGCACAGGGGAGACCGTGCATGTTTTGCAGGGGCACACTCAGAAGGTGTACAGCGTGGTTCTCGATCTTGCGCGCAACCGCTGCATTTCTGGTAGTATGGACAGCTTCGTCAAGATCTGGGATCTGGAAACCGGCTCCTGTACCCACACTTTGGAAGGTCATTCGCTTCTAGTGGGCTTGCTGGACCTGCGGGACGAGCGGCTCGTGTCTGCCGCTGCCGACAGCACCCTCCGCATCTGGGATCCCGAGTCGGGGCGATGCCAGTCAACGCTGACGGCGCACACGGGCGCCATCACTTGTTTTCAGCACGATGGACGCAAGGTGATCTCCGGTAGCGACAGAACGCTAAAGATGTGGGACGTCCGGACCGGAGAGTGCATCCAAGATCTTCTTACAGACCTCGGAGGTGTCTGGCAAGTCCGCTTTGATGAGCGGCGGTGCGTTGCTGCTGTGCAGCGGGATGGCATCACATTCATTGAGGTACGTAATTGTTGTCTCCGACGCTGCTTTTTGGGGGACGGCGTGATGACTGACCTTTTGTCCTTGGTATTCACAGATACTTGATTTCGGCGCTGTGCGAGACGGCAAGAGCCCCGAAGAATTGGGCAAGCGAATCCTGCTCAACCCACAGGAAGTCCAGCGAATCATCGAAGAAGACAATGCTACAAACAACAACAACTGAACCACCAAGGCTGCACCAGTGCGCCAAGTCGCCGACATATATAATCATGGCCTGGCATGCTTTACTTGCTTACTATGAGCACAAACCTACTTGCTGCATCTATACAACGAACACCTCCAGGCGTTTCGACCGCGCGGCATGATGGTCAAGGAGCGCACAGGCTTGTACGTTCTGTACCCAGCTGCGCTGCTGGCGCCATGGAAGTAGTACATATTGGCAGGACCTGCTCCGATGGAGTGGGCCGGACGATGAGTTGCGGATAAGAACCAAGAAGCATATGAGTGCCGCCGTCGACGGACGTGCGGGCTGGGGGGATAGTGCACAAAAGGCGTTTTACATATTTCTACGTGTGGAATTTGGGCGAGCGTTACGACCATGGTATATCACGACCTCCATCGAGCATTTCAGAGGCGTTTACTGTTTTTTTATACTGCTCCTGTCCAGCATGGCGGGGTTCTAGGTTACATTGAGCTTATTGAGAAGAGAGGCGGAGCAGCCTGCGAGTCAGTTTTGGAAGGGGGCGAAAAGATAATGCTATGAAACTTTTTATTATTATCTACTCATTTCGACGATTGAACTCGCCCTAGCTGCTTGCTCCAGTAGACATGAATTGCAGCCGACGATGGAATGACGAGGAACGAGAAGCTGAAGGCCTGTGGAGGGGAGTGATGGTGATGCAAGAGCAAACAGGAGCTGAAGAGGGCACGTGGCTGAGGACGGCGGCAGGAGGGGATCCCGGCTGGGCCACGATGGTGGCTTATGTGGGGGGCAAGGTGGACGCGGCTAGACACCTTTGGAAGAAGGCGGCTTGCTGTTAGCTTGCGTGGGGTGAATAGCGCAAGGGTGCCCACGTATGGTGATAAGACGGGAGAGAGATAATTACACTAAGTAGATGGACGGAGAGAGACAGACAGACAGAGCGGAGGAGGAAGAGGGGAAAGGCTCAGGGCAAGGAGCGGCCCTACGAGTGTGCCGTGTACAAGCACAGCACATGGCCGGAACGAAACGAAACGGGGCGATGGCCAAGGCGGGAAGGATGCAGGGTGGAGAGCGTGAACCAGGTGGTGTGGCTCGGCGGCGGGGGACTTTTAGACGGATTAGCCCACGGACTGGAGCATGGTTCAGGGAAGTTTGCGTGTTATGGCGAGCTGGACAGGGTCATGTCGGGCCCCTGCCTCGTGACACATTATCTGCTCCTCATGACGGTCATCATAGTAGGGTACTTGTGATTGGGAGCAGCCTCGTGGCGCAACACTGGTCTGCAACCAACAAAAGGCACCCCGGAGGGTACTAGCGTAGCCATCCTGCTGCTGCTGCTGCTGGCGTCGTGCTGGGCATGCATCTCTGACACAGCCGTGGGCCGGCGTGCGTTGACGGGGGGTTAATAATAACTGAGAGGGCCTCGGGAAAAAAACACAACCCCTACTAGTGTCGCCATAACTTGGACCCTCAGGGTACTTTGGGGAGAGCCCGCCCGCCCGCCCGGGGACAGCCCAGGCCGAGATTCAAGGTGCCGACACATCCCCTAGACCAGCCGCCGCATGGCCAGCCCCGGCCTCTTTGGTCCTTGTGGTAGCACCGTTGCTGCCCCAGCGAGGGCAAATGGCGCCATGCCGCCGCTCGACTCCTCCTCGACATCCATGCCGGCCATTTCCCATTGCAAAGCTTACTTGCGCTCGCCTATCCCTCCTCGCCTCGGGCCTCTTGCCACGCCACGTGCTGCTGCCCGTCTGCCCGGGCCTGTTCCGTCTTCCGGGTCCTGTGCCTCCTCTGAGGTGCCATCCGACATCTGTCGAAATCCTACCCGCCCAGATAAGCTCGGCACTCTGCCCGAATTGCAAGGTGGGATTGTCCTTATCAGGATCTGTGTCTTGTCCCTACTTCGGGCTCTGGAGGGAGGGGGATGGTCTGATTTGACTCTGCTCCGGCTCGTGGCGCACCCATTCCCGCTGCGACGTCACGTCCTCTGTGGGGTTCACGGCCGTGGCTCTCATCTTCACATTTGTTTCGGCTCGTCTTGGGACGTCACCTTGCCCTCCCTCTGTACGGGCAAGAGCTACGCTGCGACGCCAACTCTGTAGTCATTCCTAAGCTACATTATCGACAGTCTGACCTGCTTCTGCTGACGCTTCCCAGTGTGTTGTGTGTGTCCGTCTACGAAACCCGTAGACACAGACACACAAACACACACACGCACACACCACGCCCAGACGCCAATCTATGCATTTCATCACCGCACCGAACGCGCTCAGTTTCGCCTGGGGGGGCCGCGGGGGCTTCCGCAAAACGAGGATGGACATCCTCTACCGGCCTCTGCGCATGGTCGGGCTCATCTCGCAAGGGGGAGCCGCAGGGCACGCCAACAACCAGCCCACAGACCTCGCGGGCTATCAATCCCAATACCAGCAGCGCCAGCAGGACAACCAGGACTCGGTCGAGCAGCGCGCCGCCGACCTCGCCCGCGGGGTCGTGTACATCGAGGACATACCCGCGGATCTGTACGGCCCGGCCAAGAAGCTGCTCGAGCAGTACAGCGGGATCAAAGGGCAGGCCCAGTTTGAGGCGCACGTGCGCAAGATTGTAAGTCATTTTCTCTGCCCAACGAGACGGCGCGCGCCGGCAACACATGGGGGAAAACAAGAACCGTTTTCGAAGAAAAGGAAAACATGGTGGACCATTGGGACTAACAAACACCCCCGGGGGCTTTACAGCGCGACCAATTATGGGAGAAGCACGCCCAGGCCAGCATCGGGCACTTCCGCTTCCTCTCGCTCGACTTCATCACAGACCCGTGCTACGAGATCGCCCTGGTCCGGCTGCTCGCCGAGACCAAGTCTGACGGCTCGCGGTCCCAGACCACCTTCCTCGATGTCGGCTGCGGGTTGGGCCAGGTGCTGCGCCAGCTCTCCCTCGACGGCGTCAACTCGAGCCGCCTGTACGGATGCGACGTCGAAGCCGACTTTATCGAGGCCGGCTACGAGCTGTTTGGCGACCGGTCCCGGTCAAAGGCCACTTTTGTCGTCGGAGACCTCGTCTCCGCCGTGTACCCGGGCGATGTGCCCCCCGCTCCCGGCGGGGGTCGGGGTGCCCGGTACGCGAACGCCTGGGACGCGCCGGAGTACCGGATCGACGCTACGCCGCAGGAGAACAAGGCCATGGACGCGCTGGACGGCAAGATTGATATCATCCACGCGTCGTCCCTGTTCCACCTGTTTGGCTGGGAGACGCAGAAGAAGGCGGCGATACGCATGGTCAAGCTGCTCAAGCAGGACGACCCGGCCGTCATGATCTTTGGGAGGCACGTGGGCGTCTCGAGGCCCCGGAAGGGTTCTGCCACGTCGACGTCGGCTTCGAGTGCTGATGCTGATCCCACAACGCCAACGACGGCGACGATGATCAGACCAACGACGCCGATGACACCAATGACGCCAGGCTGGATCACGGCCACCGCCGCCGCTGCCGCCGACAACAGCAATGGGTCTCTGAGCCCACAGAGCCCGCTATCACCCTCGTCCAGACCGGGCAGCAGCAGCATTCGTAGCGGCGGTAGTGGCGGCAGCCCCGCGCTGACGATGCAGGGAGGAGACAAGCGGTTCCTACACGACGCGCGGACGTGGCAGAGGCTCTGGGACGAGGTCGGCGAGGCCACGGGCACGCGGTGGCGCACCGAGGTCGACTGGCTGGGCCCGCCCATCCAGAGCATGGTCGACTCGTCGGGCGCGGCGGTCCGGCGGCTCCGGTTTGCCGTGTTTCGGTCGTGATGGTATGGACCGGCTAAACAATGAGTGGGTGTACGATATATTATGCAGAGCTCTGAAGGCGAGGCAGGGAAGAGGCATACGGCGGATTTTGCATAACAACCACATCATGAGGCGCCGGCGCGAGTCAACATTGCTGGTTGACTATTGTGCTTTTTGATTGCTGCTGCTCGCGGACGAGCATGACGACTGAACAAAATCTCTTGACAGAATCCGCAAGAGGGAATCATCTACCCCATTATCGGCGCCAGGCATGATTTGATTAGCTTGGGCACAAACGACTTGTTTCTATTTTTTACGACCCATACACATTTAATGGGCACCGGGAAAGCAGAGGACGGGGAAAGTGGCAGAAAACTACAAACTGCACAGGATGGCATACTGTCAAATTCAGATACCCAAAATTACCAAGCTGACAAAATAAGCATATACACCCCCCCGCGCGCCTGCACAGACTCCCCTTTCTCGCTTCACAAGCCCCCCTTCCTCGGCTTGACCTTGACATAGAAGTCGACGGGGCGGATGTTGAACCAACCGTCCTGCCTAAACTCGTAGCCCGGGTCCGCGGCCTCAAAGTCGACGTCGCGGATCATCCTGGCCAGGGCGATCAGGCTGAACTGCCAGGCCCAGTGCTTGCCGATGCACTCGCGCTTGCCGTTGCCGAACCACTTCTTGACCCCCTGGGGCAGGGCGTCGAACTGCTCGCCCACCATGCGCTCGGGCCGGAACTCGAGCGGCTCGTCAAACACGGCCGGGTCCCGGTTCACGCCCGCGAGCACGATGATCATGGCCTGGTTGTGCGCGACGGCGTACTTGCCCCCCGCCAGGAGGACCGGGGACTTGTCCTTCTTGTCGGCGCGCGGGATGGGCTCGATGTTGAAACCGGGAGCGGCGCAGGAGAGGCGTAGGGCCTCGCGCAGGACGCCGGCCGTGTAGGTGAGCTGGTCGAGCTGCTCCAGTGTGAAGCCCGGGGTAGTAGCAGCAGCAGCACTACCACTACCACTGCCACTGCCACCGCTGCCCGTCACGCGGTCGAGCTCGGCGCGAGCCTTGGTCACGACTTGTGGGTTCTGCAGGAGGAAGTAGACGGCCGCGGCGAGCAGGCAGGGCGCGGTGCTCGAGCCGATGGGCATGGTGACAATCTCGTCAATGACCTGGGACGGGGTGAACCCGAGCCCGGTCTCGGGGTCCTTGGCCGTGAGCAGCGCGTCGAGGAGGTCCTTTCTCCGGCTGTTGTGCGTCGCCGCCGTCGTCGTCCCCTCCTGTTCGTTCTTGCGGCGGTGTGCCACAATCTCGGCCGCGTAGTCGCGCATCACCTTTGTCGACTTTTTCAGCTTGCCGCCGTACACGAGCCAGTTCACGAGGCTGAGCCGCGTGGGCCGCTTCATGGCCTCGGACGTGCTGTCCTCCATGGCCTTGAGCATCGGGTGCTCGGCCGGCGTGTCGAGCTGGTTCAGCTTGTGCCCGTACAGCGTGTACGTCGTCGTCTCGAGGTTGAGCCGGTTCAGCTCGCCGACCAGCTGGACCGTGTTGCTGCTGCCGCTGCTGCCGCCGTCACTCTTCCCATTGCTATTGTCGTTGTTGAGCCGCGCCCACTTGGCGAACAACTCGTCCACAATATCGTTCATCTCTTTGACCATGTCGATTCCATTTCCGGGACTACCTTCACCACTTTGACCACCCTCGCCACCGCGGACAGCAGCAGGGCTGAGATGCGGCGCGATGATGCGGTGCGCGATGCCCCACGACGCCTCGTCCTCGTACGCCGTGAAGAGCGAGTCGTGCACCGCGTACCGGATCTCTTTGATGGGGCCGCCGACGTACTTGCGGAACCGCTTCTGGTCGCAGAGCTCCTCGGCCAGGGCGGACGAGGCGACAAAGACGATGGGGTGGCCGAGCACCTTGATCTGGAAGATCTCGCCTGTTTTGGGCGGGAGAAAAGCATGGTTAGTTTTGCAATCAACTCAAGGTTTATGAGAAGGCTTGAGGGGATAAGGTGCTGTGAGGATTTTGAGACCTGGTACGGCAAGCAGAGCGGCCAGCAAGCCAGCCAGTCTGTTGCCCATCTTTTCCGAGGACACAGGAGGGGCCGCAAATGCCACCATCCGTTTGAGAGAGAGGGTGGGAGACACTATCAAGCAGAAAAACAAAGAGGAAATTGCAAAGCCATACCATATTTCTCCGCCAGACCCTTGAGCGATGCCCACGTGTTGTTGGGATTCACATCAAAGATGTTGCCCAGGACGGGGACGCCGGGCGGCTGCGGGATCGGGGTGAGCATCTTTGTCTTTTGGTTTCTGATTCCCGTTTTCTTTTTGTGTACGAGATGTCGGCTGTCCTTTGTTGCCGTGGTGTTTGGAATGCTTTGCGTGTGTGACACCTCTCGTCGTCTTAAGTGAGTGTTGGAGCTCTGGGCTTGGGCGGTGGTCGGTTGTGATTGCAGTCTGACCTCCAGGATACAGTCTCGTTGTTCTGCACAAGCAGGGACGTGCTGGTGTTTCTAGGTCCCTCGTTTTTCGATTTATCTCTGTACTTGGAAGGCCTTGTCGAATTGACGCCCTCTCTCTCGTGTTCGGCGGCGGGTAGAAGGCACCACTGTGTGTATAGTCTCTTGTTTTGTTGGAAGCTGAGCAGATGATGTATGCTGTCTCTCTTTGGTGAGCTCGTTATCTGCTCATGAAAGATCTAAGTTTCGGCAAAGTAGAAAGATAAACCCAGCTAGCAGCTACGATCTCAGGAAGAGATCAGCAAGGAAAGGCGGGAAGCCAGGTCATAGCTTCAAAGCAGTAGCCGGGCGGGCGACGTGAGACAAAAAGTGGCTGGGCGGCAACAGCAGCAGCATGCACGAATGTTTGGATCGACCTGCGCCGGACATAGAAAACCTGCCACCACCACACGAAGTACTCGCCCGTGACTCGTCTAGGCCATCAGGCCAAGCTCGAGCTACGTGGACGATCGGCACGGCAGCGGTGATTCTCGCGTACAGAGGGGGGTTGAGGGACATGCTCGCTCGCGCCAACAACAGCTTCTCTTGACAACTCAGGGTTGATCTCAATGCTTGTTACCTATAATTTTGAAGGACCGGCCTCGTCAAGGGCTACAACACAGCCATCAGCACGAAACACATCTCGCATGTGCAAAAATGCAGTGAGCTGTTCCTGCCAATTGGTGCCTGACCCCCCCATGGGAAATCGACACGAAGGGATCCCCCAATCGAGGGAGGAAGTGAGGTATGACGAAAGCCACCCGGACGGACCACAGCTTCGTGTCCCGTGCTCGCCGCCGCCGCCTCCTCCTCCTCCTCCAACCATTTTGGCCCCAACACTACGGGCCGCTCCCGCTGGGGCAGAGCGGGCCAAACCAAGCTATTTCTAATCAAGAGTTCGCTGTGGTCCGTGTGTATGTGTAGCGCCGCCAGTTGGTAAATGGAAGACGCTAGCCATTGGGTACTCTCACCACTGCTTCGGCGGGGCGCACTATTGGAAGATGATGCCAGCTAGCCCCGGCTCTCTCTTCCACGTACGCTAATTAAGAGGGGGACGATATGGAAAGCATATGTTAAAAGTCCCCGTAGCATTCTTAACCGTGAACACTCTTTGACCGCCAGCCAAGATCACTGTTGCCAAGCAACAGGCGCCCCCGGGAGATAGCAGGGCAGGCAGGCGCGCGGCTTTGACGGTTTTGTCTCGCGTGCCAGAGGAGGTTGGGTGGGCGAGACCTCGCACCACACGGACGGGCCCAGCGTGTATGTGTATGTTTGGTGTGTGTGTGTGTGCGTGTGACGTTGGCATCCTGCACGTCGAAAACACTCCCTCCACCCATTCCGCCTACTATTTCATATCTAGACCAGAGCAAGTCGACCAACTCTCATCTCGTCTGGTTCTGCCAGCGCAGCTCAGCACAGCTCAGCACACGCCGAGCCCCACGCTAGAAAAGAAAGTATCCTTAAAAGTGCCGCCCCGTGTAAGAGTGACCTAGTGAGACATGCATCATTGGGGCTAACGACAAGTTGAGGACCCGATCGGCGCTGGGGTTTTCAGTTGTGTGAACAGACCAGACCGGGACAAGACAGACAGACAGACGGGGGGGTGTTGCAGATCCCGCTCGATAGCCCTGACCCCCTTCTGGTGTACCCCTGCTCTTTCCAGCTTTCTTAGGGTCTAGCGCACATGCTTTGGGAGCAGTCGATCGGCTGTAAAGAGAAAATGTCGGACAGCTAGTTCGTCGGTTGGCTTGCTGGCTTAGCTGGTAGACGGTGGGGAAAAGGATTGAGGAAGCGAAGGGCAATAATGATGCCCCACGAGGCCAAAAACGCATGGGAGTGGATTGGACATGTCCCTAGCTTTTTAGCCCCCTGTAGACGATCATGTTTTTATGCATTTCCTACATTCGGCAACGTACATGATGTATCACGATGCACGTCCACTTTGTCAACCTCCGGTGCAGATTCGCTCTGGAAGACAAGTGCAGTGCTGACCGGCCCCCCGGGAACAGCCCGCGCCTGGTGACATTGCACATTTGCACAACGGTAGTCGTTGACCTGCAGAAGAGCCAGCTTCATTTTGACCGTGATCGATTAAGTGCCCGAGCCGGGAACGGTGCAGTGTTGCATATATATCTCTAGACATCCAAGGGGGTATATAAATACAATAATAAGCTTCCATCCTCATTCTGTTCATCGTGACTTCCCCCTCGTCTATCCTTCGGGCTGCCTGCCTCGTGGTTCATCCCCTTCTTGGGGTGACCGTCTGTACGCCCAACCATGGTCATGCCCATGTCTTGATCGGTGCTTCCCATAAGCAAGGCACCACACCGGGCAGTTTCCAAGGCCAGTGTGGTCCTTCGAGACCACGATTCTTCTTTTCGGTTGTGGTAGGTAAATATACTGCGTCATAAAGCGCTGAAGGGCCACGTTCTGTCGCGAGATTCGCTTTCTCAATTTCAAGCCGCAGGGTAAGTCCAACTGCAATTGTTGTCGTCTAATCAGTTCTGTGCGGGCCTATATCGTGGTAGGCTCCAAGACAGCGTCTGTTTCGTTTTCATCTCGACAATTGCTCATCCAGGTGTATGCTGCTTAGCTGTAATCCGTTCACGAGGTGGGGATGTGCTTGCGTGATATGCATGTCGAAAATATCACGGAAGCTGTGGAGTGCTATTTTGACACAAATATCAGGCAGCTCGAGATCCGCACTGATTTATCAGGTCTTCGAGGGCGTTGCGGCTGGGTCGTGGCCTGTCACTGACAGATGTGGGTAGGAACAGCAGGAGTTCCTGGCCCCAGAGCCGGCGCGCCGCAATATGTTGCAGGAGTAGGAGCCCTTGCAGTGGTCTCGGCTAAGTCAAATGATCAGGCTCCTTCACACGCCGGCAGCATCAGCACACCACGCTTTCAGCAGTGGCCGCTCCTAATCCCATCAGTGGGCAGCCACAGATTGTACTCGTTCTCGCTCGGCGACGGATACGCGTCCATGGAATCCTGACTTGGTGGTGTCTGCGAATCTTGCCTGGACCTCGGCGACTCGGACTTTTGCGTGCGTAGCGTGGCAAACGTGCTCAGATATTCCTGCGTGGGCACCATGTTCGTCCTCTGGTGCTCGATCATGATCTTGCCGTACGTCAGCGGCCAGTCAATGTAGTGCTGGTACCCCGGCGGCAGCCGCTCGCCGAGGCGCTCGATCCAGGTGACCAGGATCTTCTTGCGCATTGCACGCGAGATGCGCTGCGAGCCGTGCAGGACAAAGTCGCCGAGCATGAAGTCGAGGATGAACATGTGCACGAGGAGGAGCTGAGATGTCCAGTTGTCTGGCTGCGCAAAGGCGGAGAATTCGTCGTTGGTCATCGCGCTGGGAAGCATGTACAGTCTCGTGAATTCGGCCCACGCTGTGGTTCAGTGGTGTGTCAGCAAAGGAGTCAAGCAAGTGGGTTCAACATTCTCTCGTTCCAAAGGGGGCCGACTAACCTCCAGCATAAGAACTACGCGCCGTCTCGATGACGCTTTGCAGGCATGTATAATATGCGCGTTCAAACTCGGTCTGGCACAGTCCATCAAGCAACGCCACCGAGGTGATGAACCCATTCATCAGCCCCGAGTTCTTCGAGTCCTCACCCTGCGCGGTGATGAGTTGCTGCATGCTGCTCGCGTGGCCCTCGGCGGTGAGCGTGTTGAATTGGGACGACGCAAAGTCCGGCATCATTCGCTTGGACACGACATCGCACCCACGGACCATGGTGACGAACTCGAGCATCGCATCGGGGAGGTACGCGGCCTGGAAGGCGAGGACCATGACGGCGCCAAACAGGGCGTCGCCGTCCTGTTGGTTCTTGCACGGCTGGGAGAGCTTCTCGTTGAGCAAGTTGATGGCCGTGACGCGGTGGCTGAGGGCCTTGGATTTGTAGTCCTCGCCGGTGCACAGGCCGAGATGGGAGGCTGCGAGGCCCAAGATCGCGTGGGCAAGGAAGTCGTACTATTGGAGAGGTCAGCCACTGACCAAGACTCTACAAAGGGGAGAAAAGGACACACATTTGACGACATGCCCGCTGTCCGCTTCCACACCTCGTCGCAGCCAAGTGGCAGCGGTGGATACGCATCAGTCATGAAGTGGTAGAAGAATTTGAGATCTTGAAGCTCGAGCGCTGAAGGCACTGCGTGCGGCGGAGCGCCATGCGTCACATTGGAGTGTACCGAAAGTACCGTCTTCTGCGAGATGGGATACTCGCAGGAGAGGCCGAGGCGTTGGCATTGAGCGCAACGCGGCTGGTTTTCCTGGCATTTGACCTTCCTGGAGTTGCGCGGCAATAGTCAGTCAGCCAGTCACTTCAATGACGAAAACGACAGCAAAGGCGGGACAGTGCATGTGATGCTCTGGGCATCGGTCTCATAAAACGGCGTCATGCTGTGGGAGCAAGTCCAGCAAAACCCAGCACCAGGAGATCAAGGATCAGCGCCGGGTAAGAATTCGACGAACGTCGACGGAAGCGGGCAGAACAGGCGCACATCAATCACCAGTAAGAAGACGAAAGGATAAAGGGATGCTCAAATCACAGACTGGCAGGACGCACAGACACTTGTGGGCAACGGGGACAGAAGCATGGAGACCGCCGAGCGCAGGAACAAAACTAAAGGCACAAGCAAGACACACCTTCGCTTGCAGTTGAAGCAGCCCGTCCGCGATTTTGTATGGCCCTTGCGGGGGATTGGGCGACGGCGGGTGTTCTCAGGTGGCCTCGCGGGTCCAACAACCGCCGAGGCGTCACTGTTACTATCAATGGTGTCGTTGTCGTTGTCGTTGTCGCTGTGGGTGCTGCCGGGAGCTAGCGGTAGTGCTTGTTGCTGTGGTGGTAGCGTCGCGGGAGCAGCCGGGTAGTGGTACTGGGGCGTCCGCGGGGATGGCTGCGGGGACGCGAGGGTCGTCGCTGCTGGTGCTGGTGCGTGCACTATTGTCGACGACGCCGGCAGGGCAGCAGTTGTTGTCGGCGGCAGCGGGTAGCTCTGGTGCTGGATCTGGTGCTGAGGATAGGGGAAGTGGTGCTGTCGCGGTTGTTGGCCGGGGAGCAGGCTGCTGTTGATGAGCAGGCTGTTGGTGCCGTGCGGGCCCATGGTGTTGCCCATGGCGCTGTGCGTGTAGGCCATGGCGGCGGCAGTGCTGGAGACTACAGCGTCGGCTGTCGCGGGATAGGCGGCGGCGTCCTTGGCCCCATGGATCAACCACAGGCGAGACTGGCGAAGAGGCCGCTGCTTGCTTGCTTGCTTGGGAGCTGGCCCTGTCGTGCGCCGGCAGCTCTGGTGTCGTCAGGGCACAATGAGCGACGATGTGGGCAGTGCGATGTGTGGAGCTGGCTGGGTGGGAGGTAGGGGCGATGTGCAAGCGAGAGCGGAGCGGCTCACGAGCTCGTAGCTGGCCCGAGCTGGCCTGACGGAGTGCAAGAGTGGCGAGCCTTGCAAGCGCAAAGAGCAAGGACGTACGTGTAGCGGGATTGTCGTTGTTCCGCGGTGGGTGGGCAGAGGGACGGGTAAGACCACTGGTAGGGCTGAAGGGGTGGAGGGGACTAAAAAAGAAGTTTGGGGGCAGAAGCAGGATAAAGGGCACGGCAACCGCAGGGAAATAAAAAGGGGACGGGGTGTACTCTTTTGGGTCGGCCGCAAAAAAGTCTGGCGAGGGCCAAGGCCACACAGGCATGGACATGGGCGACGATTGGCAGCATCAGCATACGCCTGTCTCTGCAAATCAGCAGCAGGTGTGCACCAGCGTAGCTTCATTATGATTATTATTGCACACCACGCAGGCAGGCCTCCAAGACCCCTGGTCTGCACATCCCCTTCAGCTCGCGGCGGGCCGTGGACCGGCAGACGATTGGCCAGACGGCATCGTCGTCGGCTCCAGCATCCCGCCAAGCAGCGCCCTCCGTGTCGGCCTCATCTTCAGCCAGGCAAGTCCCCTTCATCGCTGCCCAGGTGGTGTCACTAACCACGTAGCAGCTCTGGCGGCGTGGCACACATGGCAACCGCAGACGAGACGAGCAGCCGAGCAGCCGAGCAGCCGAGCAGCCAGGCAGCCACAAGTTGCCCCTCTCCTCTCCCGTCCTTTTCTTCTCTTCTCTCGTTGCAGCCGCTGCTGCTTTCTGGCAATCCACTGCCAGTCGAGGAGCTTTGCTTTGGGGGCCAAACGCCAGACCCATGTCATCCCGCCATGATTACCTCAGGCAGCAACGGCTTCCGCCGGACATCTGCTTGGGGCCCCTCCTTCCCCCTCCGACCCGGCGCAGTGGCCGCCCGCCACCTCGCATGCACTGCTGACACCACAGCCTCCATCTTCCAATGTACCTCGTCGCAGGGTGCACCGCCCATTGCGGTACTTCGTGAGCCGTTGTTTCCTGCATGTATGTGGTGTATGTGGTGAGGGTGGTGTGTGTGGCAGCTGCACCTCCCAGGATCCTGCCGTTCCCCAAGTTCTGGTTCTCGGGCCCTCCGGTCATGTCCATGGGCGTCCCACGTGCGGTGATTCGCGGGTTTGCTTCCCTCGGTCGTCTGGCACAGGTACGTGTCATTTGGAGATTTGGCTCATGGCCTCGTAATGGCAGGCTCGACATAAGCACACCCCGGGCGTCGCCGCCGCCGCCGTCGTCTTCGTCACTCCGATTCGGTCAAGGCGCTCCACTGGATCTATCGTCTAGTAGCCTATGTGAAAATCTTCTAGGAATGCTCTTAGTCGTGCTCTCATGCGCATCAGATACGCCTCTAGTCGTCCCTCTCAAGCTGAGAGGGTGTCGAGTCCACGTCAGTCAACCCGACGGAAACGCCTACAGGTCAATCGTACGAGACTCAATCTGACGTCTCGTTGTGTCCTCCCTCTCATATTGCCCATGTCAAACCATCCCTTCACCGACAAATCGTTCAGACTCGATCACAGGTTCGCTGCAGACTGCAGCTCCTTCTCCAATTGCTTCGTCTGCTCGCTGAGACTGTTGCCAAACGCCTCGCGCATCTGCACCTGCTCTGTCGCCGTCAGAGGGGCCTGACTGCCCCTGCGCCGCCGCCAGCTTGGCTTCGTCTCCTGCAGCGACGCATTGGGATCTTGGCCCGACGGGTCCGCAAACTCGTAAGACCTCAGCTCCGTGTTGAACCACCCGGTGCCTGGAGAATCGGAAGTAAAAAGTCAGCTTGCCGAGCCATGCAATCCTCACTCACCGACCATGCTTCCCCCCAGGGGAGCGGGGCAGTGTGCTGAGAGAGTTTGGGGGCGGAAAATGAAACCTGTAAGGGATACCGAAGACTATTGTCCGGCACCGCCACACATGTCTCAACAAAGAGAAGCTTACCTCGGCCAGGCTCAATGTCGTCCCATTCCTCTGTTATAAAGTGCAGGATGCCTCCGTGGCTCACCACCACAATCTGCGCATCGTCGCCGAGTTTGCTAGCCAGGTCGCGGAGCCACAACCGCGCGTCCCGTGCCCGCGCCGCCAGCTTCTGCGGGGTGGGATAGTACTTGCTGGCGGGTGACTTGTCGTTCCAGCCCGCCGGCACGCACGAGAAATCGACCTTGTCACCAAACTCGGCCTCGAGCTTGTCCACGTCGGTCCCGAGGTCACAGGCATACAGCGACACCTCCTGGACGTCTGGGAGAGCTATCACCTTGCTGCCCGGTCGCCCAGATTCGGCCACTGGCGCAAACGAGAGCAAGCAGGTGTAGAGGGTTCGCCGCATGGGCGAGGCCACCAGTTGCGTGATCTTGTCGTGGTCGGGAAAGTTCTTGCAAAGCTCTGCACACTGTTCCTTGCCCAGCGGGGTCAGATCCGGGTCTCGCAGCTTCTGGTTCTCGAGGCTAAGATTGTGAAAGCCCTGCGCATGGCGGACTAGGTGGATGATGGGGGCCATGGCGGCAGAACTTGTTTCGTAGTTGGCGATTCAGGCCTCACAGTTGGCCAGGTGCTTCGGTTCAAGAGGATCTTGTCGAGGCGAAGGACGTCTGGTTGCTTCAGGTTGTCAGTGTGAATCTCGAGGCGAAGATCCAAAGCAGTCGCCATTTCCTTTAAGTCATTTTGTTATCCACTGAATCGTCCCGCTTTTTGGGCTACATCGTCACCGAGGCGAATGTTTGTCCTTTGTGACCAGGGCCAGCGATGATCGGCGACGGCACCGGCCCACTTGCTTGCTAGCAATCAGCTCAAGTGGCGTGCGTGGCCATTCAAGCACAGGTGCGTTGCTGATGTCAGTGACGCACACCGCTGCATTTTCACGTTGTACTCGACTCAGCAGAGGAACCGGTCTTGTTCATTCACACCAGCAGCGACCTTGGAACTCGCTCAAACGGGCATCGCCGCCCTGGACCATCGGCTGGTCTTGAGGGGGCTCCGTGGCGGAGGTGCTAAATCGAGATGCTCCCGAGGTCGAATCTGTGGTGCTGACACTGTGGAGTGGCCCACCTGAGTCACGACAGACCGGTCATCGGCACCGCCCAGGGCTGCCATGCCGTAGCTATCACGTTGGAGGGCACTCACAACCAATGACTTCCCACGTGCATCTGGTCCGACGGGCGAGCCAGTCCGTGATCACGAAGCTATAAGTCGGCTTTCCCTCAGTCCTCGCTGCGGTGTGGCCTGGCCACCCTATAATCTCTGGCATGAAAGCCATTGCCAAAACGTACACTGTCCTTTGATGCTGGTCAGGGTGCAGAATGCTGTATCTGCGCGCTCCGACGCGTCATCGCTCGTCTTGACGTTTTGTCAGGGCTGAAACGTCGTTAATGAAACCCCTAACCGGCAGGCGATGCATGTGTCCAGGACAAGCCAAGGTGCTCAACAGGGAGATCTTGTCTGTGAGTGGTTGTGGCAGATGCTTTTCGCTGGCCTTGGAGGGGGTGAAATTGCATGGCATCACGAGAATCAAATTGCTGGAGGCCAATGACGAAGCTCTCAGGCTATTTGGCCAGCGCTATCGGCAAGCTGACAGGGATGATGATGAAATGAAGTGGGACATTGCGCCCCGCCACTCAATAAGATGGACGGTTGAGACGCCCTTGGCGCCAACGTTGGCAGGAGTGTTAAATAGAGTCCGCCGCCACGTGCTGTCTATTTTGGTAAATCGATATGGCTAGGCCCAATGGGTAACAGGACAGGTAGACCAGCAGTGAACTCTCCAATGTGTATCAGTCGTGACATAGGTTATATTCAGGGCTGGGCTTTGGATGGACGCGCCAACAAAGGAGGCCCGGAGGGTGTTCAGGAGCAGGCGCTGGGGTTCCAACCAAAGAAGCGTGCTAGACCCCTGAGCTCCACCACCCTAATGTGCTTGGCCTTTAGACCCCTGAACAACCTTAACTTAATCAAAGAGACCACGACGCTCAAGCCGAATGCCTGCGACGTCCCAGTGGGCAGTCGTATCGTCAAATTGCTGGTGGCCTAGCAAGTCAAAGCGTAGTGTATGGTTTCAAGCGTCTCCAGTGTGCTTGAGAAAGGCCAAAGAGCCCGAGGCCATGTGCAAAGCTCGTCGTGCTCGCCTTCGCCTAAATTGGTTCGACGGTGGCCGCCACCTTGTGACGTGGGTTGCACAGGGCGCGGCTGCAGAGCGGGGTTTCCAGCTTGCTGCTCGAGGACTGGACATGCCGAGCAACTTGATTGCACGTCTCGTCAGATGATGGCCGGTGTGTCCTCCATTCAAATCAGCGCGTGTCAAAGAACGTCTCTGGTGGTGGTTTGTAGGGAGGCTTGAAGGCTGCTGCGCTGGCTGCCTGACTGCCTGGCTGGCTGGTGAGAAGAATGGAGGAAATGAGGAGGTCAATGTCGAGCTGGGGAGGTGCAGGTGTTCCCGCCGGGGCCCCTGCCGCGCCAGTTGACAGGCCTTGATAGGCCGGATTTCTTGTTGCAGATGACGACCTTCCCTGCGACCACGACTACGCCCCGACAGTATTTCTGGCACTAGACTCTCTCTGCTGGACTCTGCTCTGTCCGGCCTCCTTCTTCCCCAACCAGCACGAACTTCTCAACCACCACGCAATCTGCTTCTCGCCTCACCTCGCAACCCACTCCCAAGCGCTTATCCACCCTCTCATCCTCGGCTCGACACAACCTCGCTACAATGCCTGGCATTCGTGAGTCTTCACTTCTCGGACGCGTGCTCTGCCACGTGCGACGGCGCGCACAGCCCGCGCAAATGGGCACATCACTGACCAGCCCATAGCTCCGCACGCCCTCGATAACTTCAAGGCCAAGCTCAAGGCCGCCTTCGGCAAGAAGAAGACTCCTGCTGGTGCCAAGAAGACCGACACCGCGGCCACCCCCGCGGCCACCCCCGCGGCCACTGCCAGCACTCCTGCTCCTGCGACGACCCCTGCGCCCGCCGCTGCTGAGGCCACTCCCGCTGGTGAGCTGAGCCGCCCCCTTCTGGACAAAGACTTACGCTTCTGAAGCCCCGCGATGCAATTGCCTTGCTGACTTGTGTGGTTTCAAGCTGGTGCCACAGCTGCTGGTGCCGCCACGGCTGCCGCTGCCACTACTGCTGGTGATACCGCAGCTGCCAAGACCGAGACTCCTGCTGCCCGTAAGCATCCCTCTGAGATCATATGTCTCAATCATTGCAATAGCTGCGATGCGTACTCGAAAACTAATTGCCTGTTTGCCCTAGCCGCCGAGACCACCCCGGCTGCTCCTCCGGCAGCCCCTGCTGAAACCACGGCCGATCCCTCGGACACACCCGCGGCTGCGCCGGCTGCTGGCGAGGCTCCTCCTGCGGAGGCTGCTACGCCCTTCGAGACCCCGCTGGAGGCTCCTGCTGCTGCCACCGAGACTCCGGCCGCTGCCCCAGCTGCCCCTGCCCCTGCCGAGGCCAAGCCCGCTGCCACCACTGCCTAGAATGTGTAATCACTACGAGAGCTTGGTCAAAGTTGGCCGCTGATGGACAAGAGCACCCTTCTAGGCGCAGCAACAAGCATGAACGGTTTGTGCTGCGCCTGAGTGTGTACAAGACCAGGCCAAAGAGATTGACACACCCGTACGGAGCTCCAATCAGGATACAGGCTCCGTCTTGTTGTTTAATGGAGGATGGCGTTCTTTTCTGCAGATACCCTTGTGCAGGTGGCTGTTTGACCACCGACCACCGCACGTCCATAGCAAATTCAACTGCGATGCTTTATCGAGATCCGACCTTCCAAAACGCTTGTGCGAGCTGTTGTGCTAGTATGCCCGAGTTTGATGAGCATCGCCTTGGACTCGGACGAGGATGAAATAAAGGCATATGGCCAAGACTGGTATTTATCTCTTGACCGTCCTCGTGGTCTCTTTTATGCTAACTGGCCTTGACATGTTCGATTTAGTGGGGTAGTTATTACCAAGGCTTCCAAAGGCTTCTCAGTCTCGCCATTTGCGTTTGCATTGCTGCGCAATGTTGCACTGCTGACACCACTCCCTTACAACTATACACGGACAGTCATTTAATCCAAAGGCACATTCCTGGTGCGCAAGTCCTGGATTCCATGCTTCTCATCGTGGACAATTTCGTAGGGATACACCAAGCCTCAGGCTTCCAACTTCCCGCTGTCACCTCATTTTCTTTTCTCTCTCTTTTTACAGATCCACCTTGACAACAATGACATGGCTCGACACGAAGCCAGTGACATACAGCCAGCCCTTCCTCTTACCGCCTTCCTCTTTGGGATCAATGGCGACCAGCACGGCACCGCTGGCGCTCCGGATGCGCGACCCGTCGTCCTCAAAGAGGACCTTCTTGACCCACTCGCCGGTCCGCGTGTCCTTGCGCGCATACCATACGATGGACGGGTCGACGCCGGCCGGGTCGCCAAAGGTCTTCTTCAGGTCTACCGCGCGCGAGAGGCCGGGGAGGATCCATCCGGAGAGGTCGCCGTACGGGTCCGAGAAGTAGCTCGGGTTGTCGATGACCGAGTCGAACTCGACGACTTCGGTGAAGTTGACCACCTTGGCTGACGATGATGATGATGATGATGATGATGATGCCTTGACCACGTTGCCCAGCCGGAGCCGGCCGCTCGCGCAGCTGGTAATGGCAATCTCGCTAGTCCCCGGCCGGCCGTGCCCGATGCCGTTGTTGTTGTGCAGCTTCTCCGTCGCGACACTCGCCGTGACGCCGCCGACCTCCTTGCCGGGCACGGTGCGGAGGTACACGGTGCTCGTCCAGGCGGCGCCGAACCACAGCTCCTCGACGCTGCGCAGGCGGCCCTCGCGGTGGAAGTGGTCGTTGGTGACGAGCAGCTCGTTCGGGCTGCCGCCGACCGCGACGACGTCGTTGGGCGTCACGACCGCCGGGTCCCAAACCGAGCGCATGTGCCGGGCGATCGAGGAGCCGATGATGTAGTGCAGCACCTCGATCTGGGAGCGCGCCTTGGGGATGCCCGCGGTGCTGGCGCCCTTGGCCAGCGCCGAGAGGTAGTGCGGGTTGGGCAGGTGGTTGATGGCGATGATGTAGACGGCGCTCGAGCCGTCGTCCTTGTCCCATTCCGTGTCGGTGACGACGTCGATGCCGTGGGTGATGAACGGGCCTTTGTAGTGGACTATGTTGACTCTTTCTGCTGTCCGTGTCTGTTGCCCGTATCGTATCGAGTTAGTTCTCTGGAGGAATGACAAAAAAGGGACACGAGGGTGTTCTGTATATTGTGTCTTTTGGGGACAGTGCGCGGGGGGGGGGGAGAAAAAGAAGAGAAACTGACCTTTGGGTCAATCACAAACAGCGCGCCCTCGGACTTGTCGACGCCAGCCGTGTCGAAGTGGACGAGAGGCGGGAACCAGGACAGCCGGGACTCGAGCGACTGCTCGCAGGCCGTGAAGATGAGGCCGCTGTCGGCGTGGTACGCAAGATCCTCGCAGACGCCCGTCTCCTCGAGCGTGACGACCGACTCGTAGACGCCCGCCACGGGTGTCCTGGTGATGCCAAGCACGGTGACGCCGCGGGCAATGCCCGGGCCGTAGGTCGTGGCGATGTAGCCGAGGGGCACGGAGAGGAGGCCCACGAGGAGCGCGGCACGAGCCATTGTGGATTGAGTTGCAATTGGTTGATGTGGGAGCAAATTCGGCTATTGTGAGGAAGCGATCAACAGCTCAGTCAACGTATTGGAGGAATATTGGAGGAGTATTGGAGAGGATAACAAGCGTGGAATTGAGCTCAGACGAGCTTCAGTCGAGCTTGGACGCAGCGGATCGAGCCGAGGGACAAAATGGAGGAGGAACCCCGCGCCACGCCTTTCTCCGCTAATGGCTTTCAAGGTTTAGCGGTGATAGGGGAAGCTGTAAGATGCGGAGTCAGGAAATAAGCCGCTAAATAGTTGGAGATGCCTTGGGAACGTCACCTGGGGGGAGAAGACAAGCTTTTGAGGGGTTCGGTGGAGGAGGACCACTGGGGGGCCACAACTGATCTGAAACAAAGCCACCTTCCCAACAAAGAGTGCATCCATCCATGGCGCCAGGTTGCGGATCTCTCATGCATACCCAAAGTTCGCTCAGTAGTAACTTGCTCTCCTCGCCCAGGCGAGATTGGCAGAGGCGTTGGCTAGACGGGTTGTCCGGGCCTTGAGATGAAGGTCGGTTGAGGAGGGCTCGCTCCAACGTGGAAACTGCGGGGAAAGTGCCACTTCAGATGACTACGATTAGCGCGCTGACTTGCAGGTGAGTTGCTCATTTGCAACAATGACAACCTGCACCACAAGGCGTGCAGAGCAAGATCTTGTCGACGTCCGCAGTCGCCAGCATGACAATGGCCCCTTGGACACCTGGGCAACTTTGGCAAGGCTGTCTGTCTCACACATGCACCTCCTATGTCCACAAGCCAAAGACACCCCTACAGTCTCGCAGGCCCCGTCCAACTAAGCAAACTTCCACTTTGGGCATGCATTCTCTGCTTACTGCGTGCCCGTGTATTTATTGCCTTGCCTGCATGGCGCATCTCACCCCAGATCACCCACGCCAGGCCACTGACGTCAGGCCCGCTGCTGGGGATAACGTTACCTGATACAGAATGCTTCCAATCTTGCACCGCCTGGCTGGCTGGCTGGCCATGACCTGCAGCAAATGATGTGCATCTGCACGGCAGACACATGCCTTCATTATTTATCAAGACCTAACCTCTTCTGCAATTCTTTTCTGAGCATCGCTTTACACACAATCGCGACCTCGTCAAGTACAAGCATTGTTGTAGCGCCCGCGCGAATCAGCGGCGTTCTTGGGTTGCATCCGATTCATTCGACGATCGGCCCATCCAGTCCCACCCCGCTTTTCTTTTTTTGACGACATCAGATGTTCAGTCTCGAGATAAGCTTACTGGCAGCGACTTCCCACAGTCAATAGCACAGGCAGAAGGAGCACGCCGGCAGGCCTCGGCAGCCATGAAGCGGTCCCGCTACGAGCAGGATCCGGACGGCGACGTGGACTTCGTGCTGCGGGACCCGGACGGCCTGAGGCGTGAGTGGCCAGAGGGCTACCCCCCAAAGAGGCAGAAGACTGAAGATGCCCTGCCATCAGCGACATCAGCGACATCAGCGCCCGAGCCCAGCCAGCACCAGCTCCAGCAGCACCACCATCATCACCACTACCACACTCGCTACAGCAACCAGTCGGCCAATCCGCAAGCGAACCCGTCACCGCCACCACCACCACACGCCGCCGCCTCGCTGGCTCCCTCGGAGGGCGACGAGGACTATGACGAGGATGAGGACCTGCAAGAGCACCCGCCCAAACGTTTCCGCGTCTCCTCGCGGCACTTGTCCCTCGCCTCGCCCGTGTTTAGCCAGATGCTCAACGGGCCCTGGAAGGAAGCCACCTCCTTTGCCGCCAGCACCAACGCTTCCACGTCTGCCTCTGCTGGTCCTCAACGCCGCGAGATCGAGGCGTCAGAATGGGACACGGACGCCACGGTGATCCTGATGGATATTATCCACGGACACTTCAGCCAGGTCCCCCGGACCATCAGCCTCGTGATGCTGGCCAAGGTGGCCATCCTGGTGGACTACTACAAGTGCCACGAGATCGTCAGCGTGTTCTCGGGGCCGTGGATCGAGAGGCTCAAGAGGGAGGCTGCAAGTGCGGCAGCGGGGTCTGACCGTGGTAGCGGGATTGGCATTGGCATTGGCGGAGGCAGTAGCATCGCTGCGGGCAGCTACATCGGCAGCGGCGGCATATCCGGAGGGGGGGTGGTAGCAGGACTACTGCCATCACAATCAACCGGCAGCAGAGGGTCCAGCGGGATATGGCAGGATGACTGCTTCCTGTGGCTGTTTGTGTCGTGGGTGTTTGGCGACGACAGGCTCTTCTCCGCCATGGCCGACACGTTCCTGCGCAAGTCGCCGCTGCCAGTCAGCTCCAGTGCGTTTCCGCTGCCGGAGGGCATGCTGAGTAAGTCTTTGGGTGTTTTCTTTTCACTTTTTTCCTTTATCCACGGCTCTTTCCATGGAAGTGAATGTCAATGATAAACCGCGACTGACTTGACTCCCACCCCACAACAGCCGCCTTAGACTCTGCCCGCGACGAAGCAATAGACCAAGTCCTCGCATCCATCGACAAGCTGCGCAACGACCTGTGCGACGGCCGCGGCAACTGCCCCTACGGCCTCCAGTACGAGTGCTCGTCGATGGTCCTGGGCTCTCTGATCAAGGGCCTGCGCTCTCTCGGTCTTTCTCCGCCTGCCCGCTCCGTGGACGGCGGACACCCCGTGGGCTGCAGCCTGCTCGGCATGCAGGCGTCGTTTGCCCGGCTCAAGCGGCCCGTATGGTACAATATGGTTGCGTCGTCGGTGTCGAACAGGGGCGTGGTGGCGCACCAGTGCAATCTGAGGTCCAGGCTAGACGCGCTGGTCAGGGGCGTTCTTGAGGGGTTGCCCAAGTTCCAGCTCGAAGACTTTGCGACGAGCGCGTTGAGGGCACCGAGTCAGGAGGGCGGGCTTGCTGTGGATGGGAAGTCTGACGGAGGCGGAGCTCAATAAGTGTGCCCCAGCAGTGGGTGTTGGGGTGCTTGGAAGCAGACTTTCGGAGGTAGAAAGGAGGTAGTGAGACCAAGCAGCGTTGAGTCGCGGGTTGAGCTGCGTATCCTGGATATCAGCAAAGAAGCACTCTTTCAGCAAAGTCTTCTGAATGCGGACGAGGTGCTGTCATCTTTCTCCGACACGCTTCAAAGATCAGCAGATAAATCGTTACCGATGTGATCGCGAGTGTCACAAAGCCTGCAGAGAGACAACTCAAGCCTCATGAGCAATCTCCTCAGCATTCTGGCTTCCAAATGAAGTTGAAATGCCTCTGTGTGAGTCGCTTCCATCTCTTCGGCAGCTCCTGTCGCTTCGCCGTCTCGCTGCGTCTTTTTCAATTGCTCGGATCAAGGGAAGCCGAGACTTCGGGCAGGAGAGGAGGAGGTAAAACTGAAGTCCGTACCCGCATCAGCGATAGAAGAGCCAACATAGGAACGGGAAGAAGGCAAAAGATCAAGTCTGGTGGACACTTAGCATGCCCATAACGCGGAGGTTCTCCATGTTCAGGCGTTGTACGTATGTCCAAGTCCGGAGTGACCGTGGGTGCGCGGTTCTTGTGCGCGCCTGCAGAGGGCGGCTCAATTCGATTTAGCCACGGACGGGACCTTCAATGCAATCGCCGAAGCCCCCCAATACCTGGGAGCCGGCGGGAGCAGGCGGTCGTGTACTGGTGGGCGCGTGCCGTCGATCCAGGGAGGCGTCATGTTCCACTGGAGTATGTCTGGCTAGCTAGGCAGTTGAGCGCATGGGCCATGGTCAAAGCTTGAGAACAGGAGGGAAGCGGCCGTCAGAAAACTATGCAGAACATGTTGCGGGGGAAGCTGATATTAGCACAAAGTGGTTAGGACAATGGTGAAGGGTTGAGTTCTATACAATCGGGTAGTTGATATTGGTTCAACACTCCTCGCACGGACAACGTGGAGTTTGCTACTAGTCCGTATTTGGCCTTTCAGTGCGCCCAATCAATGACCGCTTTCCTCCAGTCTTTGATACCTCTGTGTCGTCACAGTAGTCACGTGCCAGTGACTATAGTTCTTCCATGGTCGAATCAAATTTACGCCATTGGCCGAGTTGATGAACGACTTTTTTCAGCTGAATCCTGGGTCACAACGTACATATCTCATGTTATTTCCAAGTCGATGATATAGACATAGATTTGTTCTCAAGAAAAGTTATGTACAAGAGAAGGGGGGTAGTAGAAGACATGAAAAGTTAAAAGTGTCCCCGTTTCCTAGCCATATTCCAACATCTCCATGCTCCTTTTGTGTGCAGATGAGGTCCCAATAGTAATATGTACATAATTTCAAAGCTCGCCTCTCCTGCTTCTTTTCGTGCTGAAAAAATCGACCTTCTCCGTTCTTTTTTGTCCTACTGCTTGTGTCGTCAAAAGTCATGATTTGCATAATCGTTTCCCAAAAAGCTCATCCCTCATGAACGTCTCTGTCCCTCAGAAACCTTTTTTTTTTCCAGAGGCGAATTATTTCATGCCTTGCTGATGATGAAGTCGGCGCCCTGGGGAGCAAGCGGGGCGTAGTTGCTGTGGGCGGTGGTGATGATGAGGGTGCCGCTGCAGACGAGGTCGCCGGACCGGCAGATGATGAGGGTCTTGGAGGCGTCAAAGTTGGGGATCTTGCCGCCGTCCTGCTGCTTCTGGGTGTCGCCAAAGGTGACGGCCGCCTTGATCTGGTTCTTGACGGCCGTCGAGAGCTGCGACACGGCGCGGTGGACGAGGGCGGCGCCTTGCGAGTAGCCCGAGACGAAGATGGCCGAGTTGGGGCACTTGGCCGCGCCGGCGGTGATCTGGTCGGCGAAAGCTTTGGCCTCGGAGGAAGGGGCACCGCCAGAGGCGAGGTTGCCAAGGAGAGACGCAGAGTAGGGGACACCCTGACCGGCGACGTTGGCGGCACCAAGGCCGGCCTTGACGAGGTCGATGAGGGCAGGGCCAGGGTTGTCACCCTTTTTTCAGACTTGTCAGCATGATGCTGTGAGAGGGTGCCAGAGCAGACTATAGACTTACGACGTTGCCAGCCTGGCTAGTGCCGCGGGCGAAGAAGAGGATATACGGGCGGCAGCCGCCGTTGTCCAGCTCGCTGATGCTCGTGTAATCGGCGCGAACCTCAAGACTGAAGGCGTCCTCAATGGTGAGGTGGTTGGCCATGGCATCACGCTCGCCCAGCGGCGAAGCGGCGGCAATCGAGGCCAGGAGGGCGAGGGTGGCAGCAGAGAACTTCATGTTGACGGCGTTGGGTCTGTGAGAGGAAAGTGCTTGTTTCTGACAAGGGGAAGAAGCAGTTGGTGCCAGATGGGTTAATTAGAGCAACAGAGCGGGCAGCGAGTATGAGGACGAGCCGAGAAGCTTGGTTCTACTGAACTGTGGAGAATAAGAGCCCGACTAAGCCTGAGGTTGAGGCGGTGAGGACATATTTATATTGTCAGGCATCGATGTTGAGATGGGATCCTCACCTCCAAAACGAATCGATTGAGTGCCAAGGTCCGTCGTTCCATCAGCCACTTGTCAGGTGAGCTTGGCGGCAACGACGGTGGGCTTTACCCCAGACGCCATGGGATTGCCAGGGCCGTCGATGATGCCGGCTTGGACATTGGGAGTGAACCCCGGTCAGCATCGCATTTGCAACCATGGCTTGCCATGAGTGCCATCACGCGGCGATGCTGCAAGTTGTTGAGTGCCGGCATGAGGTTGCCCAGCTGACGCCAGGATGGCCCTCCGACCTGCCCTGTTCAGGTCCTCGTCGTGGGATCCGAAAGAGGACCGAAATGGGAAAGGGTGGTGTCTTGCAGGGGTGCTTCCAAGTCCCTGTCGACCGCCATGCAGCCATATTACCCTCGAAGCATGTCCTCTCTCCACGCAGGATGCTTGGGATAGTGCCCTTGACATGTGACAGGCACAGTATTGGAGGCCATGGGTGACCAGAGCACCAGTCGGGGGAGCACCCATTCGATCCAGCCAGGAACTTCGGTAATCTACAGCCGCTCCTTCTGATCTGCGAGAGCAGCGGGTACGCGAACGGCATGGATTCGCAGGAAGCCAGCCTCGTGAAGCGCCCCCGCCGGCAGGGAAGCTTGCTAGAGCGTCCTGGTCGATCTGTGGGGGCGACACTCAACAACATCACCGAGTTCTTGACTCGTTATTGTAGCCCCGGCTTGGAATGCAAACTGGCCGGGGAACAGGCGGCCAGACAATGGCTCAGATGGAGAAACGTGGGCCAGCTGTACCCAGCCTCGACGTATGGGCAGCACTCGATCGTGTCCCTTCGCCGCAGTAAGGTAGCATCATGTGCTTCCGATGTATGCCGGCGAGGCGGGTTGGAGGAACGACGTGGCTGCTATAATTGACATGGTCTTTGGAGAAGAAAAGAAGAGCCGACGCTACGATGACCCGCTATACTGATTCAAGTTACCTGGCCGGTAGTAGTGCGCCATGATACCCAGCCAGCTCGGGAGGGTCTGCCGGAACGGTATAAGCCACGGCGAGTGTCAACGGCGACGCAGACTTGGTCACAGCACGACCCCGCGCTGCTACAAGGGGAAACCCAGGCCATTGTCGAAGTCTCGAGGCCCATTGGGCGCTGTGGATGACGGGCCGTGTGCATCAGACTGGGACAGCGCCAGCCAAGTTGCAATAATGCCACGACCCCCTGCCTCTGACAAGCCCTGCGCATCACGAGGCCGCAACACATAATACAGAGTTCTGCACCCTGTCCTCTCTAGCGTGGCATCCTGCAGGCAATGCGCCCTCTTCTGGCTGGCGTCCAGCCCGCTCCGTCCCGCCCAGCCAGCTCGGTTTGCTAACTTGTCCTGGACACCCGATCGCCTCTTCTCCGCATTTTCCAGTTCGTCTAGAGCCCTCTGTGGCGTTCTTCCCCACGTGCAACGACTTGGTGCATCAAGCCTCAAGGTTTCTATTCACCTGCCTCATCTGAACTTTCTGGAGGCTCCCAACAAAAAATGCCAAAGACCCATGGCCCCTCCGTCTTGACGGGTGACGGGTCCTAGGGTCCCTGCCCTTAACTCGGATTTGTTATCATTACCAAGGAATCAGACCGCCCAGCGACAAGTGGACCAGCCTGCCTGTAACCGGCAACCCTCGCGACTGGGTCTGCCTCTTCAGCGCGGCGAGTCAGCCGCGGGCTGCCGTTGCAATTGCAGCTGGTTCATGGCTCGGGGCTGTGTGCCGCGTTTTGAGCCGCATGGGAAATGAGCATTTCCAGCCGCAAAAGCAACGAACAAAGGGCCACGTTTTTGTTATCTCTTTTGGTCTTCAATCCGACCGGTCAATTGCCGGTTGCTCCAACAGAAGCACTGACGCTGCCATGTCTTCGGCTCCGCTTCAAGTGCGAGGCCACGGGCCATCTGTCCACAGTTCCCCGCCTGGACCCTCTGGAGTTGAACCTGGTTCTCACTATCACGCCTCGGTATAGTTAGTAGTCCTGGGCGACCATGTTCAATCACGGAGCCAGATCTCACATCCGCCCAACTGCCCCTCCAGGTCTTTTTGCGCTGCATGCTTGACAAGTGACACACTCTCCCTAAGTGACTTTCCCTCAACCAAGGCGTGCGCCACCCCAACTTGATCTTCCTGGCAGCGATTGCTTGGCAGACGATCATCAGATCAGCCGTCCATCAGGACAGGCAACTTCCCCGCACTACAGAGCCCTGCCCGGTGAGCAGGCCTGCGCGAGGTGGGAAGCGGGCAACGTCTTCATCGTGATTTTCGATCGACGGCCGACGTGCAGCCACTCGCAGGCGCATCGGCCCGCCGGCGACATCTTTCCCCAAACTGTCTCCATCACCCGGATCTAGTCTCCAATTCTCTTTTGTCACTTGGTCACTTGCAGTAGGAGCTGCCCGAGGCTGCAATTACGTCAAAGGTTGACCGACGCACGGGGGAAGCATGAGGAACTTGCAGGATCTCGCTCGGTGTCACATCCCCCGGACCACGTGGTGCACACGAATGGCTGACGCGTCAGCGCAAGTCTGGATGTGTGCTTGCCCCCTCTCCAGACTGCCATTTTTCGCGTAAAGAGGAGTGCTTGATTGATTGATCCCATTAACTGATGCATTCATGCGACAAGCGGCACCCCCACGGAGACAAGGCAAGATCCTATGCACTGGGGACCAGCAGTGCGAGTCATTGCTTGACCTCAAGCTTTGTGGCGTAGTTTGTGAGTATTCGAGACGTTGGGGGCCATGTTCCCTGCAATCTGTCGACTCTTGAGATGAACCAGGAATACCCGTCAGATGCCAAAAGTCTAGCAAGGACAATCCTGGATCCATGCACAATGCCTGGCTGCAGGGCATTTGCCAGCTGCTCCAGGATGGGCTGTGTGCATGACACCCCGGCCTTCCCAAATCTTCCTTAGGTATCTTCCTCAGGCACGACCCTCCTATTCGGGACAGCTCTCCATCGTGCTTTCGTGGTTGGGCCAAGAACGCCCAAGAATTTGCATTACCCTCTTGGATTGATGAAGATGATTCTGGCTGGATCAAGCATGTTTTTCACCAAGCAATACTCATTGGAGATACAACTATTTGTCAATGAACTACGAGGCGCAGGATAATGACAAAAATCAAGCCATATATCGGCTCGTTGTGCCCGATAGAGGCACTAAACCACAACCAGTACTCGCAGCTATCACCCACCGTGATAACACTTAGTATAATGCAAGTGCGATTCGCGAGGACTGATCTCGAGGATATTGTGTTGGAGAAAATCGCTAGTGGGCTGTTTAAGCAGAGATCCCCGGGCTACTTGTATTCACGCCAGTTTCACATTCCCGAAAGCGACAAAGCACTTAAAAGTCCGGATTCCCTATATCCACTTGTGAACAATTCAAAATACATCCAATCCCAGCTCGACCTGAACCATCGAAACCATATGGGCCACGGTCTCGCCGAGGAGCATAACACGCGTCCTCCCCATGAGTCGCCGTAACACACATGCGAGCTTGGAAGAGTAGCAATTAGAATAACACGCTCATGCATAGTACGGTTGGGTTGATTTCTTTCTGGAATCTATCTTGTTCAACTGGAAACCAGGACTCAGGCGCAAGAACCTCATTGGCAAATAGTCTTTCTTTTGCATGATACAAATACTGCCTACGGTTATTCCTGGCTACCCGCTATTGCTATTCAAACAAAAGCTCCTGCGCCCTACATGCTTTGCAAATGCCCAAATCTATAGTTTTCTGGTTATCGTAACTAACATTTCGTCGTGATGCTTTAGGTCAAGCTAAGAAGAAAGCCACCAAGCATAAACATTGGCCGTTCCCAAGGATACGATTCCACGGTGCAAGCCTTAACTGGCTCTGCTTGATGTCGTTTCTGCCTCCGTTTACGGCCCGGAAGTTTTGGAGGTTGAATCATGGAAGGGTTTGAGAGGTTTGCACTGCTGCTCCGTGGGTTCTCGTCTTGTTTTAGATCGTGGCAACGCCAGACATGCTCGATCACGGCACAGGCCGGTGGAATGCTCTATCCACCCCCCCAAGAAGATATCGTGGTCAGCTCATGAGAATGTAAATGGAGGGTTTGACAATCGCAATTGCTAGCATGGAGGCGTGCCGCAGCGGACATACCCCGAAAACCCGCGGAACCTGGAATTTCTCCAGGATGCTCAACACCCGCAACCGACCCTCCTCGGAGACGATGGAGCAGCCAGCTATGAATATAGGCCAGATAGGTAGTGCTGCTGTTACTTGTTCCTTGTCGCAGATCATCTCAACTGTGGAGATGATTTTCTCAATGTACTCTTCTCGGCTTGTGGTACCTGGCGATTTCAACTCTGGAAAGCGGAGAGCGCATGTATCTTCGAGAAGCAACAGTGCGGCGAGCCTGTTCGCTTCTGCCGTGGCCAGGATGACCTCCAACCGGCTATCAAGGCTCCCCTTTCCGTGGAAGCTCTCATTGTTGGCCTGTGCTAGGTATGCGTCGTAACTCTGACCAGGAGCCAGCTGTATCAGAGACTCAAGATTGCTGCGTATTCTTTCAACAATACTCGCGACATGATCCATCTCCCTGGATTCAGAGCCATTTGAGAGATCACAAATCTCGTTGATGAGGAGAAGAAGAGAGTTGCTGAAGCCTTGGAAGCACTCAATATAGTCCGATGCCGCGGTGTCGTCGTGTGATATAATGTCCTCAGCAGCAACTGAATCGGTAAGAGCGTCGACTTCATACCCTGAGAACAATTGCATCAATATGTTTTCCTCGTCCATGCTCAATGCATCGCTATTAGTGCTCGACGATTGACATCGAGTATCGACTTCTCGTGGCCAGGAGTCGGCAAGGAGGTGTTTGGACAATGTGCGATCGGAGTTGGATATGAATTTGTCGATTCTGAATGTTGCCTTGGCCATGACAAGATGATAGACTAGATACTGCCGACAAAATTGTATCAGTCGTGAGGCATACCCGTCGCGTGTATCATAGTCAGATCTGGCATCGAGTATGCCAGCAACACCTTTTAGGTGGCTGATCCATGTAGGACGACAGTAATCAGCAATCTTGGGAATGAGGACAGTATTAGTACATGCTCCTAGACAACTTGTCTTAAATACATTGATTTGACGACTCACATCACACCAGCAGAGGATCATCGTGCATGCCAGTGCCTCAAGCCATCTCGTTGAGTCCTCGAATATAGACTGCAAGAGCTGCCCCAGGCCGGCTAGCACTCGTTGTCGGTGAAGGAGAGCCTTTCGACGATATCTTGGATCGGTGAGGGAGAGTTTTGTCGCGGCTACACTCAGGACTGCAGACAAGGTGCTCTCCGAAAAGGCCGTCATCGGCATAAAGACATAACGGAAATGGTTGTGATGCTCGTCGTCCACCAGGCTAGCTTTCGCGCATACGACTTGATTGTAGTACTGTAGTATGTGGCAGTCCATCTCGTCGACAGGATGAGCCAGCCCAGTCAAATTCAGTGGCGCAGCTGGCGTCATGTTTGGCCAAGTTTTCTTGCGTTGCGAGGTAGATATTCTGTGTCGCAATGCTCGGTCTGGTGAATGTGCAACGCATGGGTAGTTGAAAAGCTCTTCTGGCGAGAAATTATTGTCCTTGTGGGCTTCCGAGCCTTCCGCAGCCGGCACATCGACACCATTCGCGTCGCAGTCGGAATACTCATTGACGAGAAACTTGGAGATATGTCTCGTGCTGGTGTTGAGGAAGAAGGTGACTGGTTGGGAAGGCCGGGAACACAATGATGTTGACAAGGTCTTGACAGGAGTCCGGCTCTTGTCAGCATGCTGACTCTGGCTTTGTCGTTCTGCAGGTGCTGCCTCTGTCTTGGAGTGAGTTCCTGACCACACGCCTTCCCGCCCGTGGCAGATGCCTCGAGCAACAGAGTCCTCCACCCACTGCAGGCGGATCCCGTACTGGCAAGACAGGCCACGCTTGGTGCATTTCTGGCATGTTGGCCTCGCCTCTGTTGCGGAACAGGCTGTCAGTATACCATCCGTATCGTGGCCAGGATTGACGGGATTGGCTGCCGCAGGTGGCAAGGAACCAAGATCCTGGAAAAAGTCAAGCCGAGCGCGGCAGGGGGTCCCGTCCTACCATCACATTTCACACCTCGGCCACGGCATGCCCAGCAACCAGTCCTCGTCCTCTGGCTGCCTCGTTCCAATGCCTTCGAGGACCCGGGGTTGGCTTTGGATTCGGCAGGACATCTCATGATTCCTAGAGGCCGGAAATAGTAGTCGAACCACGTGGGCGGAGTAGCATGTGATAATGGATGAAGAAGTGATGGACATGACGCACCTTGACATTGACAGGAAATGGGCTGAAGAAGGGGCGAAATCGGGCCCAGCATGGGTCACGGCTTCCCCTGGAACGCGGGGAAGCAGGCCCACGCGGGCCCACGGGAGGGCTAGTGAGGACCCAAGAGATAAGCGGCGCTGCTGCTGATTGGACGTGGTGCGGTTGGCAGCTATTTTAGTTCCAAAATCTCTGAATTAAGTCAGTGCCCAAAGGCACGTAGCCATTGCCTGCGCGTAGTTTCTCTGCAATTCTACATCAACTAATAGCATGTCTGAGAAGTGGAGGGAGGGGGCGGGGAGCTTGATTGCATGGAAGGAAGAGACTGCCGTCGGAAGCGAGACGCAGGGACGCTTCTTTACCCATGATTTATGGGCCATGAGTTCCCGCCGCCCGTTCTTATCAGCAAATGTCCGGTGTGGCATCCGCATGGAAGTGGGTCCTCTCGGTCTGGCGTATCCGGCTCCGCTCAGGGCAACCATGACTGACGTACGTAGTTATGGCGACTGGCCATCCCACCAAACCACTAGTACATTGCCTTCGCCTGCAGTGGCTTTGATGTCAGGCTGACACGGCTGAGGAGCACATAGTTCCTGAAGAAGAAAATTGATCCAAACTGTCCATGAAGCGTCATCACTTTCCGAGTGCAGCTCGCGAACCAAAATCGCAGTCAACTGCGACAAAATCATAGCGCCAGTTCATACAAGACAAATCCGATTCATGTACGCCAATGCCATTTAAACTCCTTCTGCTGTCATGGTCCAGTTGTGGACACTCCCTCGTGGCTCAAACGTTGACATCGGGGCGACCCCTGTACCGTTACTCTTGATGGCTCCCGTGCCATTCACCTCACCCCCCGAGGCCACACCCCAACCACCACCTCCAGGACTAGAATTTCGCCTGTCAGTATTTTCCAATGTCCCTAATTGCAGAAAACGGGAAGAAGATGGGGCGACTTTGTTTACTTACGTGTTGATAATCACGCGCTCGCCAGGCGATACCTTGAGCTCCATCTTCCCGCCAATGTTGATGATTCTCTCCCGGCCGTCTGCCTCCTTTTTGACATACAGGTTGACACCCCTGCCTCCCGGCTCACCTCCATCAACACCATACGGACGCATGACGCGTCTCTCGCTCAGCATCGACACTGACAGGGGGATACGGAACTCGACATCTCGGACGCAGCCCTCGCCGCCGTTGAATTTTCCACGACCGCCACTTCCCTTCCGAAGCGTCCACTGTCGGAGGATGACGGGGTAGCGGCTCTCGTACACCTCGGGATCGGCACAGCGCGTGTTGGTCATGTTGACGTGCACTCCAGATGTGCCGTGCCAGCTGGGTCCCGCTCCGTGGCCACCGGCAATGGTCTCGATGTAGCCAAAGCCAGGCACGTCCTTTCCAGAGGCGTCCTTGCCGCCCATGCCAAAGGCGAACACGTTGACACATCCCTGTGACGCGGCCATTGCCTTGAAGGCGCCCAGGATGACGTCGGTGACGCGCTGAGACGTGATGCTATTGCCGGCACATACGGCGGCGTACCGTGAGGGATTGAGGATAGTGCCCTCGGGGATGATGACGTTGATGGGTGCCAGGCAGCCTTGATTGAGAGGGATGTCCACATTGATAAGGCAGCGTAAAGAGTAGATCACGGCGGAGTGGGTGATTGCCTTGGGGGTGTTGAGACAGTTGAAGGCTTCCTGGGACGTGCCAGTGAAATCAAAGTCGGCCAGGCCCGTCTCGGCATCGATGCGGATCTCCAGCTTGATTACTGACCCGTCATCCAGGTAGTCCTCGAATGACAAGCGACCGTTGTTGGCCGTCCTTGCTACCTTGCGGAGGAAAGCCTTCACCGCCGTCTCCGCGTTGTCAGTGATGGCGTTCATGTACGCGTGCACAACCGGAAGGCCAAACTCCTTTATGAGCACGTCGATCAGTTGTGCACCCTTGCGGTTGGCTGCGATGGCGGCTCTCAGATCCGATACGTTGTCGTTGTACGTGCGAGAACCGCTGCAGCCCTCGTATTGAGAGGGTTCATCATAAAGAAAATTGCGAGTCTCCTCCTCGTTGAACTTCCCATTGCTCACAAGCTTGTAGCTGACGGCAGCGGCGCCCTCCTCGTACAGGAATCTGCTGTTAGAAGGCATCGAGCCAGGGCTGATGCCTCCTACGTCGGAGTGATGACCACGGGAGGCTACCCAGAAGATAATGTTCTCCCCCGCTTCGTCCCACACGGGGGTCATGACAGTGATGTCGGGAAGATGAACACCGCCTGCTACAGGATGGTTGCTGCACAGCACGTCGCCAGGCTTGAGGGTCGACCGGTAGTGCTGGTTTTGGAACCGGACAGCGTATTCCATGGAGCCCAGGTGTACCGGCACGTGGGGCGCATTGGCCACAAGGCGGCCTTCGGGTGAGAACATGGCACATGAAAAGTCGAGGCGCTCTTTGATGTTTGTCGAGACAGCGGTCTTCTGGAAGGTCCGGCCCATCTGTTCAGCAATGGACATGAACCTGTGCCCGAAGATGGAAAGGCTAATGGGGTCAATCTTGGTCTCGCTGAGTTCCCGTGCCTGTGAAGATTGCAGGTCGAGGATCACATGACAGCTAAGGATTGTGGCCTTGACACGGGGCTCAACCACAATAGTCTGGGTCTTGTCGATGATGATGGCAGGGCCATGAATGATGGAGCCGGGGGTCAAGGTCTCAAGGCAGTAGACGGGTGTATCAACCCAACCCGACTGAGTAAAGTAGACAGCCGACTTGCGGTCCTCCGCGCCCGCAGCAACATCCGACGTCTTGACAGAACGGAGTTCCTCATATGGAGACTCATTCACGGCATCCAGGGACTGGCCGATGCCACGGACCCGGATGTCCTCGAGGAGAACCTGCTTATCGGGGAATGTGAAAGAGTATTCTCTGAAATGCTGGCGAGTGAATTCCGCCAGGTAGTCTCCACCAGCAGGCTCCAGAACCATGATACTGTTGTCGGTGCCCTGGTATCGAAGGTTCAGATACACCTCGTGGGTGATGCGGTCTTTCGTGACACCGTCGGTCAGGAGCTCCTTGGTCACCTCGGCTTTGAGCTCGTCAATGATGGGCTGTACGGACTCGGTGGACTTGAAGGCCCCAGAGGCCGGCCGCTGCGCCTCGTGGACTGTGTCGGCAAGAGCCATGCCGTACGCCGAGAGGACCAACGAGTATCGATGTACAATGACTCTGCGGATGGACAGCGAGGTAGCGATGGCGCAGGCATGTTGGCCGCCAGCTCCGCCGAAGCAGGCCAAGTGATGTGAAGAAGTGTCGAAGCCTCGGGCCTCGGTCAACGCTCGGATCGGCTTGGCCATGGTCTCATTTGCCACTTCAATGAAGCCCATGGCAACTTCCTCGGGGGTCTTGGTCTGACCCGTCTCGGCGCTGATCTGCTTGGCCAGCTCGGTGAACTTCTGGCGGGTGATCTCCACATCCAGGGGCTCGTTCTCACGCTTGCCGAAGATCTTGGGGAAGTAGTCAGGGATCAGCCGACCAGTGAATGCATTAGCATCGCTGATGGCCAGAGGGCCGCCCTTGCGATAGCAAGCAGGTCCCGGGTGCGCGCCTGCCGAGTCGGGCCCAACGGCAAACAGGCCGTGCCTCCAGTGGAGGATACTTCCACCTCCAGCAGCAACTGTGTTGATGTCAAGCTGCGGGGCCATGATGGAGATTCCAGCCGTGCTGTTCTCAAAGGTATGCTCGAACGAACCATCGAAACGAGACACGTCGGTGCTTGTGCCTCCCATGTCAAAGCCGATGACTGGGACGTTCTCTTCGGGGTGGAAGCTGGTTCTGGCATATCCGACTACACCACCAGCGGGGCCGGATAGAACGGCCCTCAACCCGCTGAATCTGGGAGGGTTGTTAGCAGTGTGACAAGCTAACAGTGGGGACGTCTCGCTTGCTTACTTTCGCACGTCTACCAAACCACCGTCGCTTTGCATGAACTCGCAGCGGGTATTGGATGACTTCAGTCCGTCCTTGAAGCCAGATTGGAACCCCTTGATATACTGCTGCACGACGGGCGTCAGATACGTATCTGCAGTTGCCGACATGCCACGGTTGATCATCTTGATCATTGGCAGAGTGAGGCATGACAGTGTAATCTGGGTGAATCCGATCTCCGAGGCGATCTTTTGTATCTCCAGCTCATGCTCGAGAAACGTATAAGAATGGACCAAGCAGACGCAGATACTCCTGAATCCGTCGGTGTATAGCTTCTCCAAGTCAGCCTTAACCTTGACTGTGTCAATCTTCTTGAGCACACGGATAATCTGGCCGTTTAATCCCCTGACCAGATCAGGGTCACGCTCGGCGGCTCTCTCGATCTGGAGCATGTCGTCATCGTACGTGGGGCTCTGCTGGTAGCCCTCTGGTGTGACGCGCTCTGATACCTCGACGACCGTCTCGTAGAGCACATCCGGCTTCACAATGTTGAGGTCGAAAAGCTTTGGCCGGGATTGGAGACCAATCTTCAAGCTCTCGGCGAAGCCCTCGGTAATAAGGAGAGCCACCCGTTCGCCCTTGCGCTCCAGCAGCGCATTGGTCGCGACAGTGGTGCCCATGCGGATGCTCAACTCCTGAAATTGTGAGGTGTCGATTGGTTCGCTCCGAGAAAAGCTCTTGCCGGTGGCCAGTTCGAGGATCCGGCGGATGCCCTCACGCGGAGCGTCGGCATAGTTGGCGGGGTCCTGTGAGAGAATCTTGACGAGAATGTCCTGCTCTCGGCCTTGAACGATGCCCAGGCAATCTGTGAATGTGCCGCCTCGGTCTGACAGTCCCAGAGTCAGACATGACTCAACCAAGAGAAGATGAGAACAGACGGGACATGATAATACTGACCTATGGCAATCTTGATGCTGAGCTTGGGATCGCCCACTGTGTCATTCTGCATCGGAGTGCTTTCCATGATTATTCAGTGAAGTGATGATGTGTGGACTCGGGTTCGATGCATCCCAATCCAGACGGCTCAAGGGGCAAACTCCACTTGCGACAAAGGCGAGATTGTCCAGGTGTTTTGAAGAGTGCTGAAAGACTGCAAAGCGGCCTCTGGGATTGACTTTATCTGTTGAGGGCGGAGACGGCTCCGAGGCGTTGAAGTCCCACGATACCTAAGCCTGGCGCGTATCGAGGTACCAGAGTGGAGACGCGGAGACACCCTTTTGGAGCCGCCTCGGCTTTGGGCACATGGAGAGTGGCAAGTTTCGCACCTGCTACCATGGAATGTCGAGGCGAAGGAATGGAGCCCATTCGGACGTGCAAATCCGTCATCGGAGTCGACGAGGGCGAGGACGTTTCCGGCGACACCCACTCGCAGAGGCCTTTGAAGTTGGAGAGGACATGGGCAAGCACATGAGATGTAATGGCCTGGAAGGTCGAAGCGAAGCTGTGGCCCTTTGAGCCACTGGAAGATAAAGGCGGGAGCCTATCAGAGAGGTGGATCAGCAAACAGGTGCGTAACGCCGGCCCGGATCATCCAGGCGATAAGGCAACTAAGGGGTCTCCACGGGCGCTAGACACGGCGGTCGGGAGAAGGCGGCTGGGCCTGGCATCGTGGCTTGCGATCGGCGGGTGCCGGCGGGCGGCCACGATTATCTCCTCGCTTCCACCTGCGACTTGTGCAATCACACGACAGGCATTGTTGCCAAAACTCAGGGCAGGTCGTCCCATCACGCCATAGGGAGACCGAGCCTCTGTCACGAGGTGCAGTCGCATACACATCTTCAAAGAAGAAAGAGGTTTGCTCCCCACAGCACTTACATCAGCAGGTAAATCAAGCTACAGCGGAACAAAAAGAAGTGTGAGAAAAAAGAGAGAGAGAAAAGAAAAATAACGTGTTACCATCGTCCCATCTTTTTTTTAAAACATCATTTCGCTAGTCACTATATAGGGGAAAGCCACTGCCACTGCCACCACAGCTCGTCCGCCAAAAGTTCTCGACCTAGCTTGATCACTAGCCCTGAAGCACCAACATTTCACGGATCGCCGACCGCCATGGCCTGCAAAAACACTACACAAGAGTCTGTGTTAATCCTCGGCGCGGGCTGCTTCGGCCTTGCGACCGCGCACCAGCTGGCAAACGCCGGCTACACAGACATCACCGTCCTGGACAAGGACGATGTTGTCCCCAGTCGCTTCTCCGCGGCCAACGACCTCAACAAGGTCATCCGCGCCGAGTATCCCGACCTCCTCTACACAGACCTGAGCTTGGTAAGCGGCGCCTGCAGATTGCATTGATGGCAACGGGCAGTCGGGACTGATAGTCGTGGGTTTTAGAAAGCGATCAAGAAATGGCAGACAGATCCTCTATACACTCCGCATTACCACGAGACGGGCTTCCTCAACGTCACGTCCAGCGCAGCCACCCAGCAGACTAAAAATGTCGTCGAGACGTACATCTCGTCCATACAAGCGAATCCAGCCTTTGACGGAAAGGTGCAGCGCGTCAGCGGAGAGGATCAAATCCACAGCCTCGTCCCCGCGTTCAACGGTCCCATCCCCGGATGGTCAGGCTACTTCAACAGGCTGGCTGGCTATGCGCACTCAGCCAACGCCCTCAGGGACGTCTATCGGGATTGTGTACGGCTCGGCGTCAAATTCCACCTGGGACCGAAAGACGGCGAGGTGAAATCACTGCTGTTCGCCGCCGCCCGTGGTGTCAACATCTGTGTAGGAGCCAAGTCTCGAGGAGGGACGCTGTATCAAGCACAGAAGACAATCGTGGCCCTCGGTGGCAATGTCTGCAATCTGATTCCCAGCCTTGGACCGCAGGTGACGGGACGTTGCTGGGGTGTTGCCCACATCCAGCTCTCACCAGAGGAGGCGGCCACTTTACGCGGCATCCCCGTCACCAACGTGCGCGACCTTGCCTTCTTCTTCGAGCCGGACCAGGCCACCAACAAGCTCAAGTTCTGCCATATGGGCGGCGGCTTCACCAACTACGCGTGGTCGCAAGATGGCCTCTCCGTGCCGTACCCAACCCTCTCCGAGTCTAAGCTTCTTCCCGCCGGTGACGAGATGCAGATCCGAAAGCTTCTTCGAGACGTCTTCCCCCAATTCGCCAATCGCCCGCTGATCGATTGCCATCTGTGCTGGTTCGCGGATACGGCCGATTCGGACTACATCATCGACTACGTCCCGAACACGGACAATTCTCTCGTGGTGCTATCTGGGGACTCCGGTCACGGCTTCAAGATGCTGCCCATTTTCGGAGACTTCGTACAGACCCTGTTGGAGATTGGCAGGCAGGCAGAGCCCAAGTGGCAATGGAAGGGTTCCAAGTCAAAGGTGGGCAGTGCTTGGAGGGCTGGGGCGGGTCAGGAGCTCGTAGCCATAGTTCCCGCGAAGCTATGAACAAAGTGTTGCGGAGGACTGAGTACCGCCCGTAGATGGTCTGAGCACGGTCATGGTAGACGACGGTAAGCACAACCAGCCGTTATAGATAGGTACATGGATATTATCTCAATACAGCCAATCACGTTTAGTCATGATTGATTGCTGCGCACGCTCGGTGGCCCTTGAGCACCAGTCCGGCAGAGACGTTCGGACAGTGCGCCACTGCACGCGCTAATCCCTGCATCCAGAACAAGCAGTTGCCGACGCCCTCGGGGTACGGTACGGTAGTCGTTGGGGCACGCGAGCACTCTATTTAGCAAGACAAGCCCAGCCCTGACCTCGGCTCATGCCCTACACGACGTAGGTAGGGTTTGATTTTGAGTAGACGAAGGCGTCCCTGTGAGGGTCTGATAAGTGAAGATTCCATGGAACTCGGTGCTCCAAGTGATTGAATTGTTCGCCCGCTAGTTAACCTTAGGTGCGCCACTTGGCTGTCTGGATCCTTCTGCCTGAGTACCGGTAGTGTCTGACTCATGTCCGTGGAATCTTCCGTCAGCGATGGCCCCGTGGATGCAGAGCCGAGCCAGGGCCGTCATGGTTTGTTAACATCATGCTTAATCGCTCATTTACCGCGTGGGGGGGGGGACCCAAGATCCCCATCACACCTATCACAATCAGTGGGTCTGATTTCGGCGCAGGCGAGGCGGCGCGGCGTCAGTCCCGGCCTAGCACTCCCTGGGAACTAGAATGCGGATCCAGACCCTGGGGAATGTTAACGTAGAAGGTCGAGGCGAGATTTCTAGCCCCGAACCTTACCTATCAGCCCCATATTTCTTCGCATACGTCGGCCGCCACTCATCCCCCATACCAAGCTTGCACGTTGCGCTACGAGGCCCAAAACCACGATAGGGTCCGGGGTAAGCACGGGAACAGCCTTCAGATTCGACAACAAGAGATATCGCCTCGACCTTCTGACCAGGTCTGCGGGTTTATCTGTGTGGCACGCTCAGCCGCTTCTTGACCTCCGTGGCTTCAATAGCAGCAACTTGGTTATGATCCTCTGATAAGAGACCACAGCAGGACATTGACATCAACTGGAGACTTCTGGGTGATTTAAGCACTCGTTCCCGTCTATGTTTCTACGCTCTTGTCCAGTACCGACACAGAGCCTTTACATATACCAGCATCTTCAATTTACAATCGCCTCGTCCACATTTTTCAACCAGCGTCAAAGCCGCTTCTCAAAATGAGCGAAGTCGAAAAGCGCCCGCCTTCGGCTGACGATGCTGCTCCTGCCCTCGAGAGCCAGCGCTCCGAGCTGATCAGCTCTGGCGCCAGACCGGACGTTGCAGCCTTGTTTCTCGCAACCCTGAGCCCAGAGATTCGAGACCAGCCAATCACTCCAGAGGAGTCTCGCAAGCTGCTTTGGAAAATCGACCTGATTCTGATTCCGTTGCTCTCCATCTCCGTCATCATCGCCGCCGTTGACAAGGTCATCATCTCCAATGCCGCCATCTACGGAATGAGGCAGGACACGGGCCTTGTGGGCGACCAGTTCTCCTGGATCGGCTCGATCTTCTATTTCGGATTCTTGATCGCGGAATGGCCTGGCAACGTCTTGATTCAGAAGCTGCCGATTCGAACCTTTTACGGGGCTACTGTTCTCTGCTGGGCGGGCCTCACCTTTGCGACTGGCGGCACGAGCAACTTCGCAGGTCTCGCATCAGTCCGCTTCCTAAGTGAGCTTCTGTCGGTATAAACAAGCAAGAGAAGCTTTCGCTAACCTGGTCTCAGTGGGTATATTCGAGTCTATTGTCTTCCCCGTGTGTACTCTCGTTACTGCCATGTGGTGGACAACATCGGAGCAGCCTATCCGAGTGGCCATCTGGTTCAATACACTCTCTTCCGTCATCACGGGTCTGCTCTCGTACGGCATCGGACATACACATACATCAGTGGCTCCCTGGAGACTGCTGTTCTATGTTTTGGGCGCCATAACAACTGTCTGGGCCGTCATTATCTACACCTTCCTGCCCAGCTCGCCGGTTGAGGCATGGTGGCTCAACGATCGCGAGATATTCATCTGCCTCGAACGAGTCCGCAAGAGCAACACTGGTATGGAAGACAAGAACATCAAATGGTACCAGGTCAAGGAATGTCTTCTAGACCCCAAGTCCTGGCTCATCTCTATCTTCGCGTGCGCTGTCAACATCCCAAACGGTTAGTGTTCCTCCCCACTCCGAGCCGGAAACGACCGAGCATGGTTCTGATGCATCGTTATATAGGCGCTCTCGTGACGTTTGCGGCTCTCATTGTCAATGGACTCGGGTTCGACCCGCTCACCACCACCTTGCTTGGAGTCCCAACCGGTGTCCTCGGCACCATTGTGTCTCTGATCTTCAACTTTGCCGCTGGCCGCCTGCCTGGCTACCGAGTCGTCCTGATTTTGATCGCCATCATCCTTCCTGCTCTTTCCGCCATCTTGCTTTGGCAACTCCCTCAGGGCAACAAGGTTGCCCTCCTCGGTCCTTACTACCTGTTTTACTCGTACTGGGCGCCCTACACCATGTGCACCTCCCTGCCCATGGCGAACACGTCCGGCCACACCAAGAAGGTCACGCTCAATGCCATGTTCTTCCTGGGGTACTGCATTGGAAACATATTGGGCCCGCAGGTCTTTAGGGCGAACGACGCGCCAACTTATCACAAGGGCTATATTGGACTCCTGGCAAGTCTGATCGTCGGTGCCATCTGCATCAGCATCTACGGTATTCTATGCAAGCTCGAGAACCACCGGCGGGACAAGCTGCAGGGAGGAGGGCCTCCGCCTCAGACGGACGAGGAGAAGCGACTTGAGGCCTTCTCGGACAAGACGGATCAGGAGAAGCTCAACTTCCGATACAGTTATTAGGGAAACATATTTAGCAGGATACGCAAATTAGCGTCCTTCGAGAATCATAACAACGATAATCTCTCCTAACAGGGAAACCTTTCTGTTCAGTCAATCGATACTTCAAGTTGTTTTGTCCACCTGCTTCTGTAGCCTCGTAATAGCCTTGATCTCAACGCTTATCTGCTGAGTAGGTGGCATCGCGGATGTAATGATCAAGCCTATCATAACTTACAGTAGTTCAGTATAGATTTAGCAACCAAGGCCCTGATGGACTGTAAGTCCATGGTATAGGTCTAGTTGAGGCATCATATCTCATACATGCAACTCTCAGAGCAGCCAGTAGCCATGCTTTCTTAGCGACTATTGACGCTGCAATTGACTTCTGAAGTGTTAGAGTAAGCGTGCATTACGCCAGCGTCACTGAACGCGAATAAAGCCTTTGCATGTGATGTCACTATGGCGGCATCTGCATATCTTCGTCACCGTTGAGCAACCGTACATGCAGAAATGGGAACTACATATAGCAGCAGTGATCAGGTGCGCAGTCTCGAACGCGTCATTTTAAAGGGCTGTGGACTCTGCGAATTCCCGAAAAGGTGATATTTCGCACGCAAGTAATCAATAAAATCAACCACAGCTATGGCACAGGGAATTATGGGCGACGCCGGCGAAGATTAAAGCCTGCTACACGTTCGTCGCTACATCTTCTCTCAACATATTTGAGAACTTCTTACCGAGATAGCGCAATCGTCATCATGTCTACACTTGACCACTCTTTCCACCCTGTCCGTCGCGATCCTGTTCCCGATCCGGTATGTTACGAGAAGTCCATCTACCAGAAAGGCCTCAACTACGAGCGGCCTCCCTTCACCTTCCTTTCCAGCAATTGGGAAAGTCGGGCTTCCGATGTCTTGTCGGCGACGAGCAAAGGCTATCTTATCGGAAATGCCGGGACTGGCGAGACCGCTAGGAAGAATACGGATGCTTTCAAAAAGTGGTCTATTGTTCCCAAGCGCCTCCTCCAGACTAAGGGCCTGCCGGCCTTGCAAACCACCATCTTTGGCGAAGAGCTGCAATTTCCCATTGCCGCCGCGCCGGTCGGTGTACAGCGTAAGTTCTTCCCCAGGCCATTGCGCCGATAGCCCCTTTGCGCAGCTCGTCCATCTGAATAGTCCCGCAGGCATCTTCCACCCTGACGGCGAAGAAGCTGCCGCACGCGCTGCTGCCGAGAACAGCATCCCATATATCCTGAGCACCGCGAGCAGCACGAGCATTGAAGACGTCGCAAAGGCCAACGGCACCGGCGTACGATGGTTTCAACTGTACTGGCCCGATAATGAGTTCAGCGACATTACCATCTCGATGTTGAACCGCGCTAAGAAGGCCGGCTACACCGCTCTGGTCGTCACCTTGGATACCTACATCCTCGGATGGCGCCCGAGTGATATGGACAACGGGTGAGGAATAACAGGGCGCTAAGAAATAACCCCGACCGACCACGACAGTTCACTGATTATTCTTCCCTGTAGCTATAACCCGTTCCTCCGCTCTGACCAGATCGGCACTGCCATCGGCCTCACCGACCAGGTCTTCCGCCGCATGTTCAAGGAGGAGCACGGCGTCGAGTGCGAAGAGAAGCTGTCCGAGGCCGCTGCAACGTGGGCGCGCATGATCTTTCCTGGCCAGAGCCACTCTTGGGAAGATGTCAAAATTCTACAGGCTCACTGGGACGGCCCGGTCATCCTCAAGGGAATCCAGTCCGTCGAGGACGCAAGGATGGCCGCCCAGATCGGCGTGCAGGGCATTGTCGTCAGCAACCACGGCGGCCGGCAGGTCGACGGCGGCGTGAGCTCGCTGGGCGTGCTGCCGAGGATCGTCGACGCGGTCCGCGCCTGCGGAGGAAATGACAAGATCGAGATCCTCTTCGACTCTGGTGTCCGGTGCGGCGCCGACATTGCCAAGGCGCTCGCGCTTGGGGCCGACATGGTTCTCGTCGGCCGGCCGTATATCTATGGTCTGGCGCTAGGTGGGCAGGCTGGAGTGGGCCACATCTTAAAGTCGCTCCTGGGCGAGCTGGAGCTTACTTTGCATCTGGCGGGCATCTCCTCGGTGGATAAGGAGCATCTGAACCGCGATGTGCTCGTCAAAGAGGCCGACTTGTTCTAAGCGGAGTGGGATACAAAGCATGTCCCAGTATCTAATCCCGGGTCTGGATGCCCAATTGAGCAGTTCCCGGGATCGACCAGGGTCGGCTCAAGAGTGCAAGGTGTCGCACTCTACCACTAAGGCAAAAGCGAAGGTACCCTCTACTAAGTAGTGGACTTGTACTAGGTATATGTACTGCGACACAAGGAGGCATTCATTTTCGTGTGGCTTGATGGCTGCTCAACGATCAAGTCTACCCTTGGCGGTACGCAACAGCCTGATGGACCTTGGCTGTAGACTCTCTCGCGCACAACGTGCCACGAGTCGGGTTCTTCTGCAGGCATGACAAGTCGTCGTACCTAAATGAACTCTAAGGAGTACAAGATTGCTGCAGGAGCTTGTATTGCCCAATGATAAATGGGCAACTCTAGGATGAATATGCTCACGCCGCTGGGGAACAACGAGGTGAGGTTATCCTATAATAGTATTCAGGCTGGCTTTCTTGTCCAGAGGAACGTTGCCTTTCGGTGCTGAAGCCCCTGATTGATAGGTGAGGCATTCTCCGCTTCCCCTACGACCACCTTTTATGAGGTGCAATCTGTTCTTTGACACAGTCCTCAAAATGTGTACCTTCTAGCCAGCAACTGCGGTGGATCGAGATGGAACAATTGAAAAATCACAACCAAGAATTCTAGATGCCCTCATCAACCTCTGGGCTGTTAGACGAAGCGTGAGTGCGCATGCTACAACCCCGGGGTCTTTGATGGTTGGCCCCTTGTTGGCAGTCACACGCGATCGAGCCCCCCGTAGCTGAAAGACAGGGCATCCGTCAGCTGTGGCAAACCACATCAGGTTCAGCCCTGTCTCTCCTCACCAACACGCGCTCGCTTCGAGACGCGCTCTCCTGGGCGGTTCCGCCACCGATAGCTTGGCTGGAAAAGGTTTCTGAGCCATGGCCGTTCGACATGATGCTAGAAGCCAGCGCGACTTCCTGGACCACCGCGAGTACCACATAGTCTGGTTTGCGCCGCTCGCCATCGAGGCCGCAGCAGCTCTGGTCGTGCTCGACGAAAGGCACCATGGCCAGTTCCGGACTCCCCCGGGCGTCAACAGTGTGTACAAAGCCGGCAGCATCGCAGGCCACAACGTCGCCATTGCCACCTTTGCTGCTGGCCAAGAGTACGGCACGAACTCGGCTGCTACCATCGCAAAAGAAATCGAGATCGTCTTCCCCAACGTCCGTTTCGTTCTTCTTGTCGGAGTCGCAGCTGGCTTGCCGACGCCTGACCGCGACATTCGGCTTGGAGACGTTCTGGTGGCGGTGAGCCAAGGTGATGCACCGGCCGTGGTCGACTACCAACTTGGCAAGGAGACAGCAGAGGCAGGCTTCGTACCCCTTCGGCAAGGGTACCTGTTGAATCCCATTCCAAGGCTTCTGGGGGCGGCCATCAATAGCCTACGGCTTGAGGCGAATGAAGGTTTGGATCTGGTTATGCAGAATTTCCAGAATGACTTTTCCATCCACCGGAACTTCTCTCACCCGGGCCAAGACCAAGATGTTCTTACAACCAAGATAGAGGACGGCTCGCAAATACAGCTGGACCGACCGCGGCGCCTCGAGACAGAGCAGACGAGGTTATGGTACGGCACGATAGGGTCAGGCAACAAGCTCCTCAAGAACTCGACAATCAGAGACCAGCTGCGGGACAAGTTTGGCTTGATTGGCCTGGAAATGGAGGTTGCTGGCATGATGAATATCCTCCCAACAGGCGTCATCAGAGGTGTTTGCGACTACGGCGACGAGCAGAAAAACAAAGCTTGGCAACCATATGCCGCCGCCGTGGCGGCTTCGTACGCCAAAGCGCTTCTAGCATCGCTCCCATCCACGGCATATGCCGCTTCCAGATCACGGTCACAATACTCCGTCAACAAACCTGGTCTGGCCTTGGGCTACAGATCCGAATCGCCAGCAACGTTCGGCACAGGCCCGTCGCTTTCCCGTCGCCACACAGCGGAAACAACACGCATAAATGATTTTCAGGAGTCTTTACGATATTCCGGGCTTGGACACCGTGCAGAAACGATCACCGATCCCGAGGCCTATACCTGCCGCTGGATTCTCGAAGATACACGATACTGTAGCTGGTGTGGCGGCGACGAACAGCAGTTGTCGCCCCCTATGCTCTGGATCAAAGGAAACCCCGGTGCTGGCAAGTCTACAATTGCCAAGTTTTTGGTGAGCCAGCTACCTTCTGAATGGACAGCCGCCACATTCTTCTTTGATGCCAGCGGCGTGACCCTGCAAAAGTCGTCCCTAGGGATGTACCGATCTCTGGTGTATCATCTGGCAAAAGGCGACCCCGCAGTGCGCTCGAAACTGTGGGCACTTTGGGACAAGAAGATGTCGACGGCATCAGACTTGTGGGAAGAGCACCGGCCCGACTCTGAATGGAGTGAAGGGGAGCTCAAGTCTCTACTGCGAAATTCCTTTAGCGATGGCTCCATGCAGCCATGCGTTCTCCTCGTGGATGGTCTGGACGAATGCTCAACGGCCAATGCAGACGGAAGCCGACCTGATGGCCCCCGTGAGATCATCTCATTCCTACACGAGCTTCGAGATCGAGCTCATGCCTCTCAGACCATGGTACGAATTTGCATTACAAGTCGGTCATCTTTGAAAATCGGCTCGAACAGTACAATTGAGATCACCATCGATCAAGAAAACGGCAACGATTTGGCAGCATATATGGCCACCTATGCACGACGGCATTTGCAGATCCCCGCTGTTAATATTGCGACGTTGACAGAAAGGATCCTACTGAAAGCCCAAGGGATCTTTCTCTGGGTCAAGCTCGTCCTAGAGAAGGTTTCGCTGGCCATTGACAACGGCTACAGTTTCCAGTCTGTATGCGCGATAGTAGAGTCACTGCCGACTGAGCTGTCCGAAATATACTCGAACATGCTCTCAACGACGTCAGCCGGCTCGAAAGACTCTGCTCTCATGATCAAGTTTTGGCAGTGGATGGTTCTGAGCAAGCGTCCACTTCGATTGCGGGAATGGTATGCGATTTTTGGGCTGATCCACGGTCAGCCTTTCAATTCTTTGAAATCCTGGAAGCAAAGCTCGGCATTCCCAGGAGATGAAGCACAACTTGCCAACATGATACGTCGTGTCTCAAAGGGCCTATGTGAGGTCTCTGCGAGCGATAGACATCCCGCCGATGACGAGGACTCGATAGCGGCTGGACCTGGTTCTATGCTATCCGGCCTCGGGGAGTCCCGAATCGTCCGCATGATTCATGGTTCGGTTTCGCAGTTTATGCTTGAACGTGGTTTCCGCATCCTAGGTGCCCCGTCGGACCACGCGGAAAACATGGCCGGCGGGCACGGTATGATCATTTCCTGCTGCCTGGAATACATACGCATGGAGGAGCTCGATCACTATATGCAGCACCGCGACCGCTATCCACCATCATGGGTACCCTCAGACGGTACGTTTGATGGAATCTTTCGAAACTCCTCGATTCTTAATTTCGGCTCGGCCGCTTCTTCTGTCGCCTCGCACGTCGCTACAGAACCTCTTAACGACCACCCAAAGACTTCTCTTGACACCAAAGCTACAGAAGCCTTCAAACGGATGCTCGCGGCAGATGAGTTCCGCGAAGCAGACCGAAAGTGGTACTTACAACGATATCTGAGCATCCAAACGACAGAAGACCTTGGATGCGGAGCGCCAGCATCCTGGCCGAGAGCGACATATACAAGCAGTACTGAGAGTGCCGCGGGAGCCAAGAGTGAGCCTCACAATCGACGAACTGATCTCGATATGTTGATTGGAAATCAAAAATCTGTTGCAGAAAGCAAAGGAAAGGTCCCTGCCTCCAACCTTGCGCCCAGCATGGCGACACAAGTCCTGGGAACTGACGATATCACCGCGCTCCTGAGCTATGCAACGCATATTGTGTTTGAGCATGCAAATGAGACCGTTTTCTTAAGCGAAGAGGACTCCTCCCGGCTTGTGCAACAACTACAATCTCACTGGAGGCGCATTGTCTTAATACGAGGCGACCTCAAGAGCGGCATCACGCTGACACAATACTGCCTGCTATCAGGCTTGAAGAACCTATTCGGGCGCGCTCTCAGGCATCAGGATGAGATTCGGCCGTACAAGTTGTTCGCATTGGCCTGTGCCAAGAATCTTGACTGGGCAATAGAAACAATGACCATCCGACATCTCGAAGTCGTCGACGGGCACCAGCGAGGCAGCACCGAATGGGATGATTTCATCACCGAGCTTGTCGACGCAGAAGCGGTGCTGCAAGACCGTGTCGACCATGACACACTTTTCTGGACCTGGTACCAGACATGTACAGAGCGGGTTTTGGCGGCAAGGGCAGACCGTAGCGAAACACTGCGTCGCATAAATGCCGTTATTGGAGAGGCGCTTGCGCAAGCTTGCTTCAGCCAGCGCCTTGACGTCTGTGAAGCACTTATCGAGACTTTCGAGGTAGACATGGGCACCAACATTGACGGTCTACAGGCACCTGAATGGCTGGCGAGGCATGCCAAGTCTTGGACATCGGCCGAGGAAAACTTATTCTTGCGCCTGTTGCGAAAGGATGCTTTGGCCGTGGCCTCCTGTCTCGACTCATGCCTGTCCATTGTGTGCTGCGAGAACTTCTTGGGTGACACCTCGATTCGGTTTTTCTTGGACAACGGAGCTCGGCCGACAGCACACTTATCGAATTTAGACAAGCCGGCCTTGCACAAATTCTGCTCCATTTCTGTTGAGTGGACGCTACCACAAGACTCTCAAAACATGGCTGTCGAAACCAAACTCGAAGGTCTTACTCTGGGTCTTCCGCAGTGGAGCCAATACAAGAATTCTCTCGCACTTCTCCTCACGCGCACCAGCGACGTCAACGTCACGGATAGAATTTTGGGTCGCTCTGCACTGCACCACCTGTGCGCTGAGCCCGAGCGGCTTTTTCCGCTGATCCCAGACCTGGTCAAGGCCGGTGCCAACTTGGAGCAGCGAGACAAAAACGGACGAACCCCGATGTTCCTGGCGTGTTGCCATCGTGGGCCGCTGCGGATGTTTGTTGTCTCCATGCTTCGACATCTGGGCGCCTCCCCCCTGAAACCCGACGCGAAGATGGAGACACCGTTGTTTGTGCTGATTCGCAATGTTCTCCGTGCGTGCTTGCAAGTGAGCCACTGGCGGGATCTGATTGAAGAAGCCATGACAGAGCTGACGGATCTGTCGAGTCTTGGGCTCTCCATCAACGCACCCAACAGGAATGGCGAAACACTACTGTTTCTGGCTTGTGTTCAGGGCAGGTCCTTCAGCACAGGCTACCATGAGGTTCACGCTCAGCTTGCGAAAAGGCTTCTCGAGCACGGGGCACGACCAGAACGTGCAGATGGAAGGGGCACAACCTGTCTTCACCTCCTCGCAAGGCATGCACATCCTGACTCCCTACAGATATTGGTGGACAATGTTCGAGGATCAGTCGACCTGAGGGATGCACAAGGCGAGACGCCGCTGATGACGGCTGTGGAATACCACGACCTCCTGTCGTCGAGGTCTTCAAAGATGCCACAGAGAGAGCAGGCAGATAGGCTGCGCTGCATCGAGATGTTGCTCAAAGCGGGGGCCTCGCCACATCGCAAGAACAAGAAGCGACGAGATGTCTTCCAGATACTGGATGAAGCGTCGGCGTACTACAACCCGACTACGCTTCATAAGATCAGGGCTCTGCTGAACGAGCACTGCGCGCCACCCGACGACGAGTCCTGGCTCCGGCCTCTGCTGTGCTGCTTCCCAAGAAGGTCAGGCGGATACATACGCCTGGAGTGAATAACTCACAAAGACCAGTCATCTCACAAGAAATCAACATATTGTTCATGGTCATATGAAGTCGTACTATTCGATACATACGCACGGTAACATGCAAGGACTAACTGCAGCAGCTGGTCTTAGGGCCTCTGGAAGGACTATACTATATACATAATACCCCTCAACGCGAAGCTCCCAAGCGCTGGCACCGAGCCCCCACGGATCGGGCATAGACGGGAAGAGTGAAGCTTGTATATAGTTTTTCATATCGTAACACCCACTGGTACTGCAGAATCGAGACCATCTATCTTCACATTCCTGCGCTAGCGATTGCGCATTTGAAGGTGGATCTTGTTCAAACAAAGGAAGCATTGGCCATTGCAACCCTGGTCAGAGGACCACTCCACTTGCGGCTGAGGTGGGCGATCCTGCCCACTGGGCAACTCTCCCATTCGCAACACGTCGTATGTTCTTCCTCGAAGTGTCCTGCTTTCACCATATTCTTGGAGCCGAAATGAAGGCGGCAATGTACAACAGCGCCGAAGCAATGCCAGCAGCAATGTTGGACCCGCAGCCATTGCACCAACGAGCGAGCATCTTGACATTACCCATCGAGCTCATCGCCGAGATAGCAAGCTTCATCGACTCAGATGACCTCCTCGAGCTCCGACGAACCTGTCGCCACTTACGGGACGGCAGCTGGGTGGCATTCGGCCGAACTTTCTTCTCCAAGGTCAACATTGATCTGTCCAGCGCGTTGCTTGACCGCCTTGAGATCATTGGTCGACACGCAGAGCTGAGTCGATTTGTCGAGACCTTGGAAGTCGGCACGCCAGGGGAGATGTATTTCTACGGTTACGAATTGAATCTGGGCGAAGGGGTAGAATGGAAGCGACGACCAAGTGGCGTTCTTGACCTCGATGCAATCCCGGCCATTGAATCTCTGTGCAGTGTTTTGCTGCGGCATCTCAGGAACTGCAGGCATCTCGTCGTCAGCAAGCGCAGCACGAAAACGACATTATCGTCGCCTGACGTTCTCCTCATACTCTTGTCTCTAATCAAGTCGGGAGTGGCCGCTCATTCATTTACCTATCGAACGACTGATCACAGAATGGAAGAGCCAGCTCGATTCGCACCTCTCACCCAAGTGTTCGACTCGCCAGATTTTGTCCGCAACTGGGGTGACCACTTGCATAACCTGGCTGTCGAGCACGTCGACGTGGTATATCCGTCCCCAGTGCACGACGGTGCCATCTTGAACATGCTGCCCTATGCACACAGTCTGCGAAGACTCTGTATGCGGGGCGCAGATTTCACGGGCAATTTGACTGCCTTATCCCGACAGGGCGTCGCCCTGCCGCAGGTGGAAGAACTAGAGCTCGATCTCTTCTTCTACGTCCCAACCTTGGGAGAGGTATTTCTGGCCATTCACGGCATGGGCTCGAAGCTTGTATCATTGAGCTTGACGAACCTCTGGCGACATTACGACGAACGCAACACGGATGACGAGGCGCGCCTCGCAACAGCCATCAGGTCTCTCAAACAGCTCCCACAACTGCGGATGTTCACCCTGATCACGCCGTTTAAGCCCGAAGGAGTCCCGGCGGAGGATCTCTATGATAGATCCCACCCGGTATTCACCGTCTCGCAAACGCAGTCTTGGCAAGGTTTCAAAGTCATGACATCGTTTGACAGCCAGCTGGAAGGCCCCCGATACCCCTGCATTCACGGCCTGCGATACGCGTGCGCCGAGCACGGTCAAAGGAGTAGTAGGATGGGCTGGGCATTGGACACTGTGGCCGCTCTCGTGCCTCAGACTGCCCAGTATGGCGATATAGAGCAGCCTACCCTGGGTGATTCGTGGCAGGAAATCGATCGTGCTTGGCAGAGGGGGATTATCTCGGTATCCTGATATTTGGGGCGTGTATGCGACTTGGGTAGCAGCATTCAGGGCGCGCTTCACCGATGTTGGTAGGGTGTTCTCCGAGACCGCCCGAGTGTCTGCCGTCTGGCTGCCTCTGGGGGATGCTTTGTCCACTGCCAGAAGATTTTGTTTCCCCTACCAGTACTCTAGAGTCCGCACAGTCCTCTTAGAACTGCTGCTGGGAATTTCCAACCATAGACTTCGTTATAGCTTCCATCACTCGTTTCCACGCCTCTTGGACAACCATGACGCAGGCCTCCCTCAAAACCCCTTTCCACTTCCACACCACAACTCACGTGAAACACTCGCTTGCAACATGACTTTTTCTCCAACCGAGAACCTGCCCCCCTTCTCCCAGGGTAAGTGGTTGTTGTCAAGTCTCACGTATCAAACTGCCACTTCTGCAAGCCCCTCTGGTGCCCCTCCCCGGGGGCTTTCCTCCCACCGCCACCACCAGAAGACGCCAGCTTGACCGTGTGCGTCTTGTGCCACTGCTGCGCGAGCTCCGGGCACAGCTTCTTGTGCTTCTTGGTGTCTGCTTTTTTACACTCGCGCGAGCAGTACGCGACCGACTTGCACGAGATGCAGGGCTTCAGGGCCGGGTTCTCCTCCGGGTCCGCCGATGTCTCGTGCTTGCCGCAGTGCGCGCACGTTGGCGCGGTAGCAGCGGGTGGTGCCTGTGCCTGTGCTGGTGAGGAGGAGGAGGATGATGTGCTGCTGATTGACTGTTGCTGTTGCTGTTGAGTTCCTGCGAAGAGCGGGGTGTCAATACGGGTGGTTGGATGTGTTTGATTGACGACGAGTGGAGCGTGATGATGAGTTATAGGGAAGGTGCCAAGTCAAGCTGGTAATGATGGTGATGGCATGGGAAATTCAAGAAGGGGGGGGGGGGGGGGGGCAACTCGGTTCGTGAGAGGCATGACGCTTTAGAGGAGCATCTCTTTGACAAAGGGAACTTGATTCAAGCAGGGTATTGAGACGCTTAGAAGCACCCGCCTTGTGTGTATCATCATAAGTCTGGAAACGGGACAGTATACTCACCAGAAGGACCAGCCTCTGAGCCCGAGGGCGCGCCGTTGGCCCCGTCGTGATCCGCCATCCCGTTCCTCCTGTCTGACTGCCTGCTTGATGAGATCTGTGGTGGCACCCTTGAAATATGTGTCTCTGATGTCTTTTGAGTGATTGCGCCCGTGGCCAGTTGGTGGCGGTAAGGACGACGTGCTCAAAGGTATGACGAGGCGTGGTCGCACAAGATTCTGGGCTAAAAAAATTGATCGGACGGCCCGTGGCGGGTCCCATAGATTTCGGGCAAGCTCCACTTTGCTGCCGTGCTCCGGCAAGTTGTGGGACTCCGCGCGCAGCGCGCCGCGCCGGAGCGGCCCCGTGGGTGGCAGGCTTGCTGCAGCACTGTTGTAGGCAAAGCAGAGGTACAGATGGATGTACTGGAAAGGGGGAATGCCGATGACTGGTGTCAATAGTAGCATTTTGTACATGTTTCTCCCCTCCACTGCTATATACACGGATCCACGGACCCCTGCCCAGCCTACTCTTCGGTGTGCTGGCGTTTGTTCCTTACGTTGCTGCCTTGTGTGGGCAACATCTACCTCTCCCAGTCCCCTTCAGCTTTTGCATAAATCTTCTCGCATAACCACATCGTCTAGGCCACCCAAGAACAAAGACTACCTGCCCGGCTTGGACAAGGACTGCACTGCGGCCATCCACTTTTGCTCGTCGTTTCTGCGGGGCAAGAATCATGTTAGCACTCTAGCCCCAGGCCTCCTGTCCTAAATGGTGGCTGCACTTACTTATCAAACCGCAGCAGCTTCCCCAGCACGGGCACAAGCTGTCCCCGCACCTTGTCGTCCTTGACCTCAAGGAACTGCAGCAGGATCGTTTTGAGGTACAGCGTGTCTGGTGTACCTCCTGCTCCAGGTCCAATGGCACTGCCACCGCCGCCCGCCGAGGACATTGGTGTTCCATTCGCCCCACTGCGCGTCGAGTCCATACTGCTTCGCACACTGCTCGCCACGCCTCCGCTGGGCGTTGACCCAGCGGTCAGACGGCTCTGCACAGTCTTGAGTTCCTTGTTGGTCCGCTCGTACCGGCCTCTGGCTTCGTCGAGCAGCCGGCGCAGGTCGCCGCGCTGCTTCTCAGCGTCGCGGACCTGCTGCTCCGACGCATCCAAGGCTGAACGCAGGCTCGACACTGTTGAGCGCATCTCTTCGACCTCTGCACTGGCCTTCTCCTCGACTTGCTCCAACTCTTCCCTCCTCCGCCGCCACTCGCGCTCGCGCGCCTCGAGGTCATCCTTCTCATTGCCGAGTGCCTTGACCTCGCGCTCCAGATCCCGCACCTTGGACTTGAGCTCCTCGGATTCGCGGGCCCGGCGTCGAGCCAGTGTCGACGACTCGTCCTCGATCCGGTCACGTTCTTCGACGGCGGCCTCCATGCGTGACCGCATCTCCCGAACCTTGGAGTCCGCGCGCTCGTCCACGTCTGCCAACATCCTGCGCATCGTCTCGCCCTCGCGCGTTCTTTCTAGCAGGTGCTTCTGAACCTCGGCAAGCTCCTCTTCCAGGCTTTCCGCTTGGCTCTGGGCCTCCTTGAGCTGCAACGACAGCTCAGCAGTCTGGTCGCGCATTGACCCTAGCAAGCCCTGAGCGTTGTTGTATTGCTGAGTCTTGAGGTCCGCGTCTTCCTTGATCAGATCTCTCTCCTTCTTGGCCTTCTCCGCCTGCTCCTCGAGCTCCTTGACACGGGGACGAAGCGTTGCAAGCTCTCCCTGCAGACTCTCCAGTTCCCGCGTCGCCTTTTCCGCTTTGGCAGACAGCTCGATCTTGTCGGCTTCGGCGCGGCGGTAGTCTCGCCCGGCAGTGCGCTTCTCGTCCTCAAGCTTGGCGCGCGACTTCTTCTCAATCTCCAGCTTCTCATTGGCAAGCTTTAGATCAGCCTCGCGATCCGAAGCCAGCCGCTGCGCCCGTGTGACCTCATTCTTGAGATCCTTCTCCCGCTTCTCGAGGTTGCGGAGCTCGGTCTGCTTGGACGCAAGCTCCTGCTTCGTGATCTTGAGTGTGGCTGACTCTTCCCGGAGACTCTTGAGCTCCGGCTGTGCCTTGGCGAGGATTCCTTGCAAGTTGGTCAGGTCCTTGTAGCGACTCTGCGCGAGGTCCTCGGCGGCGCGGAGGTCAGTCTGCAGAGTCTTCGACTTGGTCTGCAGGTCATCGAACTCGGCCTTCATGGCGTCGTACTCCTTTTGAATCTTGGAATTCGACTCGGAGCTGGACTTTTGTGATGCAAGTTCCGCCTCCAACTCCTTGATACGGGACTGGAGGTCTGCCTTCTCCCCCTCAAGCGTCTTGATCCTTTCCTTGGCCACAACGTGATCCTGGCCGATGTTGATGAGGTTTTCTTGCATCGTCTCGATTTCTTCCCGCAGGTCTTCTTCCGTCTTCCTCTGCTTTGAGAGCCTCTCGATCCGGCTATCTTTCTCGCTGAGCTCTTCTTTCAGCTTGGCCAGTTCCTCTTTCAGACTGTCGGTTTCGGACGTGTCAAGCTCTGGCTCTGGCTCCTCGATCGACTCGGCCGCCTCGGTGGCGGCAGTCTCAGCTGCGGCTCCTTGACCACCCTTCTTCTTCTTTTTGTTGTTCTTCTTCTTGGCAGCCGCACTCTGGGGCGCAGGAGTTTCAGCGGACTTGGCCGTTGTTGCAGGCTTTGGAGCGGTCTTGAGCTTCTCGGTCAGTTCTTTGACGGTCTCCTCGCTCTTTGTCTTTTGTTTCTTCAGAGTCTCAATCTCTGACGTGAGCTTGCTGATCGCATCGTCCGATTTGGTCTTCTTCTCCTCCAGCTGTTTCATCTCTGCCGCCAGTGTTGCGTTCTTGGCGTCGGCGGCTTCGACCTTCGCCATTGTGCCCTTGATGGTGGCTTGCGCGGTCGACTTCTGCTTCTCCAAGCTGGCCTCCATCTCCCGCAATTGTGCCTCGGCTTTCTCAAGCTTCTCGGTCAGATCCTTGACTTCAGAGGCCCTGGTCTCTAGCTCAGCCTTGGCAGAGTCGTCGGATCCGGCCTTCTCCTTTGCCTCCCCGAGTTCTCTTGTCGCCTTCTCCAGCTGCTCCACAAGACCGTTGCTATGCTCCTTGGCCATGGCAAGCTCGTCTTTGAGAGTCGATACCTCGGCGTGCAGCTTGTCGATAACTTCAGATTTGCTCGCCAGCTCGGACTGCAGCTGCGGGATCTCGTCATCGTACGAGAACATGTCCTCGCCGCTCTCCTTTGTGTCCTCCGGGCCAGCAGATGGCTTCTGCTTGGGCGAGAACACGCCAAGAATGGATGCTACCGGAGATTTGACTCTTTCCTCGGTCTTCTCCGAATCAGACTGCTTGTTCTCCTTCTTCGCAGCATCATCCTCGGTTACTGCTGGCTCGCCCACGGGATGTGCTGCCTTGAGCGCCGCCAACTCCTCTTTCACCGCAGCCAGTTCCTTCTCTGTCTCTTCGTGCTTCTTCTTGAGGTCGTCCTTCTCGCCCGAGACGCGCTTGAACTCTTGCATGACCATGTCACCCTTGAGGTTCAGCTGATTGAGGTATTCTATGAGCGCGGCAGGCTCCTTGATCGTCGTCAGGGGCGTGTTTTCGCGTAGCGCTCGCTCGAACGGTTCTATCGAAGTTGCGCGACCATGTGCGATCCGGTAGGAACGAAGGAGCTCTAACAGGGAGATGGTGTGTCAGCCATCACGACTACAGGACGGAGGGCTCCTGCCGCAGCGCCTTCCACTTACCAGGATATGTCGCCTCGAGCTTTTCAAGCTTGCGCAGCTTCACCTTGATCTGGGGTGGGAGCTCTTGGCTTGCGCTGGGTGCTGGCGACCCAGGCTTACTGCTCGAAGCGGACTGGTCGCCTTCGGCAACAACTGGGGCCGGGGCCGCACCCTCAGTAGGCGCCGCAGCCTTTATGCCATCGCTGCTCTCTGAGACAGCTTTTCCCTTGGAGGTCGCGTCGTCCTTCTCGGGCAGGGGAGGTTTTGGCGTGCCGGTCCGGGAGGGGCCGTCCGTGTCGTCGTCCTCTATAACAAACGCAGCCTCAAAGACAGCCGGGTCCGAGGTTGCGCCATCTGTGTCTTTGGAATCCTTGGACGACGCAGCAGCAGCTTTCTTGGGCCGGCGGGCTGGGGAGCTTGCGCTGCTGTTGGTCCTGCGGACGGAAGCGGCGGAACCCGAGGCAGCCTTGTCGGCGACGGCCTTCTGACGAGCCTGTTCTTGGGCGATTGTTTGGTCGATGGCGCCGCGGATCTTTTGGAACATTGCGGCGGCAGGCAGCACCACTGCTTGGTGGGCCTCACGCGGTCGTCAAAATCACCCGTTGTGGAAGTGGCTTGGCCGGTCTCGATGCGAACTCGGGTCAGGATGAGGTCGTGGTCGCTGCTGGGGGTACCGGACGAGGCAACGGCGCCGGTGCACAGAGCCAGGCCAAGCGTTTTTGGTAGGGGATCTGAGGCGATCGTGGAAGGGCTGCAATGTCGCCGGAATGCATACGTACGGAAATACAAAGGGAAGGAGAGCTGGCGCAAAGTGCCGTCGTTGTCAGATGGGAGGGAGTTGTCTGGTCAATGGTGGCGCAGGGGTGCTCCGCGATGCGCTGCGAATCCACTCGAGGACCCTTTGCGGTGGCTCGACTTTTTGGACGGCGAGGCGCGAAGCCTCACGCACAGCTCGCAGAACATGCAACCTAGAAGTCTGACAATTGAGTCTGAAAGACACAGGATCTCTGACTTGCCCCAGGCTGAACGACTAATCCCACTTGTGTGTAACTTTTGCTGCCCCAGACTGGCTTCAACATTTGTGTTCGGGCAGACAGATCCCTGTCCGCGAGGCAGGAGCTGAGCTCCTCCTCAGCCAGCAGCAGCAAGTGCAAGTGCACCCCTCCCCAGCAACGTGGCCAGAGCTCCACCAGCGGCGGAACCAGGCATTGTTGCTCTCCACGGGCGCGCTGACGTCTTGCCCGCCAAGTGCTCGCTCATCTCGAGCTTCCCGTGCTCAAGCCTGCCAGCTCAACCCACCCACCCCCTGCCCAACCCAAGCTCGACACCAGCAATACCATCATCGTCAGCTGGGCAGCGAGTGCAGATCTCGCGGGTCAACCACCTCCGCCATCCTCACAGCCCTTTGTACTTTCCTTTCAGCTCTCCTTTGCTCTGTCGTCATCGCCTCATTCGGCCCACGACTTGGTCTCGTGCTAGCCATTTTCCTTCAATTCGGGCACTTCTTCTCCTCCATTCAATATGGTGTCGTTCTGGCCCTTCAAGGTAGGCAGTTCTCAGTCTTGCGTCGTTTCAAAGAAATCTACTGACTTCCCCCCTTCCATCACAGGGCGAGGACTCGTCTCCGGCCTCCTTCGAAAAAGCACTCTCCGCACTTTCCACCAAAATCACCGAATCGCAAGCCAGCCTCGATGCTGTGCGCTCCAACTCGCGCCGCGTGCGCGTTCTCTACACTCTCTACCTCAGTTTCGCCTACCTCGTTTACGCCATCCTGCTCATGCTGGTCGTGGGCTGGCAGAATCTAGGCGCTCTCGAATGGACGGGCATGGCGGGCGGTCCCGTAGCCATCTACCTGGTCCGCACCCTTACCAACGCCTATTTCACGCACCGCATCGATACGCTCGAGACCCGCCTCAAGGACCAGCAGGCCGAGCGCGCCAAGACCATCGAGAAGCTCAAGGCCGCCACAAAGTATGACTCGACCCTCGAGCTTTTGGAGAAGTACGGTGGCGGCGAGAAGCGGCCCAAGGCAGGCCGGCAGAGCACAGGGAACCCGGACGACCATACCTCGGGAACCAAGGTCAAAGGAGGGCCTCGCCATAGTCTTCCCGCGCCTGGAGCTCGCACTGGCATGGCGCCTCCGCCGACTGCGAACATACAAAGGCCTGCTTCTGCTGGAGCACCGTCTGCCACACCTCAGCAGCAGCCACGCCCTGCCCAAGGACCACCCAGCGGCCAGCAGCCCAATACTGCCGAGTTCGCCCCCAACGCCGGTCCCGTCCCTGGCTCGCAGTTCGCCAGCAACCAGTACGACTTGAACCCGGGGCCGCCCCGCTGGTACGACCGGGTGATGGATCTCATGCTCGGCGAGGATGAGACTGCGCCCAAGAACCGCATCGTGCTCATCTGCTCGCGCTGCAGACTCGTCAACGGGCAAGCGCCTCCTGGGACAAGATCCCTTTCGGATCTCGGGCAGTGGAAGTGCATGGGCTGCGGCGCAATGAACGGCGAGATGGACGAGGGCAAGAAGATCATGCGCGAGGTTCTTGGAGGAGGAAGTGCAGCCGGGGACGAGCGTCTGGCGCAGGAGCTCGAGGAACAGTTTGAGCAGGACGGCTCGTCTGCTGCGCAACGGCGCACGATCAAGGAGGAGCCGAGTGAGGTGTTCAAGCCGGATAGCGACAGCGAGGACGAGGACGACGTTCCGGCCGTCGCCGCCGCGCCGGAACCGAAGTCGAAACGGCGGGGTAACCGGAAGTCGTAGAATGCCGAGGGTGGTCAACATCTGATACCCCTCATGACAATGCTCTAGCCTTGTGCATCTTTCCTGGTGTCTAATAAAAACAAAACGAACAAATACAGATTAGCCATATGCCAGCGTAATCTGTAATGCATATCATGACTGGATGCCATCACGAAGCAATATTTTCACTGAGTCTGTATGTTCTCGGCTTTACTGCTTATCGGCAGCTTGCACAACAACACGTTTACAGAATCGTGTCCCAGAAATCAGGCTTCGCAGCTTTGTTGTGATTAATACGATCTACGTGGACTGTCTATCGATGCTATGATACCCGACTCTCTTATCAAGGAGACGCAACAAGGAGACGGAACAAGTGTCGGGAACAGAGGGATCTCGCAGAGGAGCACGCTAGGACATACGCCTCCGCCCCCAGATCGCCACGAGCCTTGCGGAGCTCACTCGACCCTGAATCGGTGGTCATATGGCCGGGGTCCGCCTCGAGTGCCTCTCCCAGCTCCTCGTCCGCCTCGAAACCCTGAACCACCACCACCACCACGGCCACCGCGGCCACGAACAGCTCCACCACCTCGCGGAATACCCGTGCCGCGCCGCCTTTGCTGCTGCTGCCGCTGCTGCGCGGTATGCCTGCCACCGAGCCCCGCCCCATTTCCAGGGAAGAAGCTCGGCACCCTGTTCACTGCGCGAGCTCTCGCCCTGTGCGGGTCCGCAGACCACTCGCGCCGCTCCTCTGCCCAGTCACGCCTCACGCGGTGTTCCTCGGCGCTTCCAAGGGCTCCTCCGACGCTGACGTCCCAGTCCGTGAAGAGGCGCAGGCGGAACGCTTCGCGCTGGGAAATCGCCCAGCGGGAGTAGCCCCGCGCGGTCGTGGTGGTGGTCGGCGAAGACGACGACGGGGTCGGGGTCATGCTGTCCACCACGGTGCGGCGCAGGAGGGAGGTGAAGTTCTCTGCGCTGGGGATGTGCTGCAGGCCCATTTCTTGGAGGAACGCGGGGAACGAGTCGACGAGGTGCAGCCGGCGGACTTCGGAGGCCAAGTGTGCTGCTGCGCCCGGGGGAGGCGCACCGTGGCGGGCAAACAGCTCGTCGCGTGTCTGGCTCAGAGATGGCGCCGGTGTGGTGGTGGTCGAGGAGGTGGAGTCAGAGGCAGCATCTGGGGAGGAGTGAGGGGGCCGGGCAGTCCGTCGGAACAGCTCGGAGAACATGAGCAGTCGGTAGGACACGAGGGAGCCCTGGAACGTGTGCTTCAGGCGGTACTCTGACACGGCGTCGGCCTCGAGGAAAGAGAGCTCTGGCATGTTGGCACCCTTGCGATCCAGCAGCCACACCACGTTGCGCGTGATGGCCTCGGTGATGATGGCCTTGTACAGCTCGTCGGTGACCTGCACGTCGCTGATGAGCAGGGCGACGAGCAGGTGCGCGAGGTTCGGGCAGTCCGTCTTGGAGCGCCGGCCCTGGGCGAAGCCATTGAGGAGCTTGTTGGCAGCCTCCACGATGCTGGGGTCCTCGCAGGCCATGCACACCAGGATGTGGAAGAGGTGGAAGTACGACTCGATGGCCTTCTCGGACGCGTGAGTGAGTGTGCTCTGCACCCGCGTGCCTCGCTCCGTCGTGGCGCGGACGTCGGCCACCTCGTTGAGCCGCACGACGATGTCGCTCATGAAGTGGTACAGCACGGTGACCACGGGGGCATTCTCAGCACCCCGCAGCTCGCCCTTGATGCTCGTGAGCGCCGGGACCGGGTCGCCGCGCACCTGCCTCCAGTGTTTCCACGAGATGGGCAGGGGCAGCCAGGAGGAAAAGGGAATGTTGTGGACCGATGACCTGATCTGTAACTGGCTGACGGCGACTCCCGACAAGAGATCGAATTCGGAAGAGATGCGGCCCTTGGTTACAGAAACGCCGACACCAAGGTGAAGCTCCTTGTACGTCTGCTTGAGGCAGAAGCACTGCAGCTCCCGTTGTCTGACGACGTCGTGGTCCCTGACGAGTTGGCTGACGCGTGGCCATGCCCGGGCCAAGGAGGCCAGATGCTCAAAGTCGGAGACGTTTTGCAACACCTCGAGGAGCAGCTCATCTGGTAAGCTGTCGATGTAGGCCTTGGACAACGGTAGGGCATCGCCTGCTCTGTCGTTGGCCACAGGGGCCGCCGTACGCGGCTCCTGGCGACGACGGCGACGGGATAACCTAGGTGGGCTCGAGCAAGGCCTATGGACAAAAGTGGCACCAGGGACAGAGATTCCTGGCGGGGTGTTTGCGTCGGACCTCTTGGCATCGAAGCCGCAGTGAGAGCACGCGAACTCATCCTCATCACCATAGAGGTACAGGCGGTCTTGATGCAGGCGCTGATAATCGGCCAGCTTGATGAAGACGCCACTGTAGTCCTCCTGCTCGACGTACTCGCTGCAGAGGAAGCTGAGCATCTGGATGGCAATGGCCTTGAGGGTGTAGGCCGGGGTGTACTCGTCGGTGCTGCGGAGGATGGTTGCGCAGATGAACTCGCCATAGATGTTTGGGTGGACGAGCCTCGAGTTCATGCGCATCCGGGGGGGCTCGAGGGGATGCATGGGGCTGAGGGTGACGGAGATGTGCCGCTCGGGCTGCCCCTCGGGGGAGAGGACGAGGCAGCCCTGGGTCAGGTCGTCGTCGCGGACATGGTAGGCGATGTTGGGATACGGCTTGTCGACCAGCTCGCGGATGTCCTGCATGAGCCGCTGCTGGCATAGAGCCCTGCGCGCCGCCCGGTCTGGGAAGCCCATGGCAACCCTTGGAAGATAGCCGCGGGGGGCAGCGAAGGTTCCGTGGTTGAGAGGAAGGGGGTGGGGTGGATGGCGAAGACTCAGGGAGGCCAGGAGAGTGCTGGGATCACTGTCTGTGCCGTCACCTGCGAGCTGCCACTGCCGAGAAAGAGCCAGAAGGAGGGCATCATGACGGCGCAGAGCCTCGTACTTATACGCAGGCCCATCACCGGCCGAGTGTGCGTGCCCGTGGCGTGCAGTCAGGCCGAGTGGGTGGGACGGACGAGGTTGAAAGAGGCTCAGCCTGCATGCAGCCTTACGGGCAGTCGCGGCGTCGACTCACTGCCGGGGCGCGCATGGGCCCTCCCCGGCCCGGCGAGGTGCTGCAGCCTCAGGCAACCACCAGCCAGCCAACATCATTATCCTGGGCAGCAGGCTATAATTCATGATCCACATCTGTCAATTCATGTGCTTGTCTCAGGCCCAATTTGGTGGTTTCCCTAATAGTCCACCAGAGATTGCAGGGTTCACCCTCACAAAAAGAGTACCAACAGCGTCTTCTGGCAGCATCGGGATCGGCCAACAACTCTTGAGCCCACACTGCCTGTGAGACGTACGTAGGTCCCGTCCATATAGAGTCAACTGTTGTTACGAAGACCTTCTAACGAGACAAGACATGTTGTATGGGTCGCCCTGCAGCATTCTGCACTTTCCACGTGAGCTTTCAGACACCAGAGCCTATCTTTGCCCGTCCATCTCCGATGGCGGGATATCCAGCTCTACCACTGAGACTGGGAATGTGTTTCGACTCAAGGATTTCCTGAACGTAGAAGACATGCCACAGATCCTGCAGATCCCATCTCATGGAGATGACTTTCTCGGTGTGCCTGGATCCAAGAATTCCTCGTCCTCTACCCCTCTGAAGCTGCAAGACAGGTTATGGCTGCCTGTGGGTCTGATCAAACACTGTATAGACCGCTTTGCAGACATCGGAGAAACATCCCATGATTGATATCGGAGAAAGGGTAGCACACCCATCTGGTTTTTGATTCCCATATAACTCGCGAACAGGGAAAGGGACGTGTTTTCGTTCTCGGCATGCACCCTTACTGGTAGTTCCTATCAACACACTGGGGCATCCAGTCAACAATTGCATGCAGCTTGTCACAGATCTCGTGTCAGGGCCGAGCTCCAAAACATCCTTCATCCGTTCTGTATTTCCAAGCAGTCCGCCCAACATGTCGTGGTCCTCATTCACCTTGGACTTTTTCGAGCGGAACTTGAAGAGACCGCCCCCATTATACACCATCCAACCAGACAAATCAACCAGACGAAGTAGTGGTCACAATAAGTCAACTTCCACCAACATCACTCCAGCCGACAACGCCAAAGCAACACACGCACAAGAAATCAGCTCGAACGATAATGAGACTACACATGGCAAATCTACAGAGATGGGGCTTCTCGAAAACCCCCAGGTCCCGAATCATGAGGAGGACTCCCTAGGCAAAAGCCATGGCACACTATCGCCACGGCGGTTCTCACTATGTCCATCGTCCTCGCGAGCGCTACAACTCGACCGAAGCGTCCACCGAGAGGCACCCACGACATCAGCAGCGCCAGCGGGTCGCAACCAGACAACGAGGACGACTATCACCACCTCCACCATCCAGGTCCTACAGAACATCGCTCACCATCTCATCTCTGCCGATGTCGCACCAGACTGTTTCGTCCACGCAAAGCGTTTTGTCCACGACATGCTCCAGGCCGCTGAGGGCCTGGGCACAACCTGCACCGTCAGAGACCTCGTGGACCTCGAGGACACGCTCCACGTCATGTGGCGCAGGAAGACCGTCGCCGTGCAGAGGGTCGCTATGGAGCGTGCAGTCAGCTCGGTCCAGCGGCGGCGGCGACGGATGTTTCCCTCAGTCATCAACCAGCCAACCGCTCTCGAGGCTGGAGAGCCGGACGATGATGAGCAGAGGAAGCGGGAGATGCTTGGCCGGGTAGCCATGGCGATTGGCAAGGGAATGTTGAACAAGATCAAGCGGATGAAAAGGAACATGATTGCCCAAGAAATGGCTGCGCGAGAGTCGCGTGGCTCGTCGTCGTCGTCGTCGTCGTCAGCCGCCTCCTCCTCCCTCTCGGCCCCTTCATCATGGCACACGGCGACCAACTCAGCACGACTCGACAAAGACAGCAAGGCCGCCCCTTGCGGTCAACTCGGACTACACGCCTGCCACGTCCGCATGTGGGAGACTATTCTCCCGCTCTTTCCCTTCCCACGACTCTCTCAATCGGACGACATCTCCCAGGACGCAGTCGATATGTTTGTCCAGATCCAGCAGCTGCTCGAAACACCATGGGAAGGAGTCTGGCGTAAGCCCAGAGGTTGCAAAAAGGGAAAGGGGACAGCAAAGGCCATCACCGCCGACGACGCCTGTGGACAGTACAGCCTGCGGGACCAGTCATTCCCATCTGACAGCGACAGCGACAGCGACAGCGGCGATGACGACAACAGAAGATACAAGACCAAGACGAAAAGCCGCCGGTGCGGATGCCACAAGGCAGAAGGGCTGAGAACAGACGAGTTCGCGGAAAGAGTGGAGAAGAGGAACAAATCGCTCGTGGGAGCCGTGGCGGGCAGGAACTCCAAGTGGTCCGGGCCAGCGTGGAATGATGCGCCTCTAGACCCCCACCTGGCTGCCCTGACCAAGCGCAATGAAAAGAAGAGGAGGAAGAATGCCTCGATCCAGAGGGCGAGACAGGGTCAGGTGACTTCATCTCGCTTATGCAACGAGGTCAAGCCGGAGGATGTTGAGCTTCGCGGGGAAGGGTCGCTTTTCGGGACCTTGGGGAGGGCTGCGCGAAGGATCCTGAGGTCGTGGAGGGACTGAGAGGACGGGTAAAAAAAAAAAGGTGGATAGAGAAGGCTGTATACTGCTTGCTGAGACTTGCTATGGTCTCTGACTGTTTTTTTGAGAATTAAAGTACCATTTTTCTACCGCTGTGCCCCCTATACCAACCCTCCCCGACCATGCTCCTTCGTATCGTGCTCGAGACAATATCGATGCCTGCAACAGTCACGAATCAGCATACAGACAAGGTGGCTCTCGTCGAAGAAGATTGTCGAGGTTCTTCAAATCCCGAGTACTGCCCTCAATTTGATAGTCATATCATCAGCCACCAACTGCCTGTTATCACCAACCCTGCCGGTCTCCACGCTATAGCCCAAAATAGCAACGTCTGATCAGACAAGGCTATCACAGAATGTCGGTCGTCCGCCCCTGGCAGGACGAAAAGGGTAATCTTCCTCAAAATGCCGTAGCACGACAGGTATGGAAGCTCCAATGGCGAGAATGTAAGAACAAGAGCCATGCAACCGAACCAGCCTCCCGGGCTTGCTTGGCAGTCTAGCGACTCTAGCCTAGGAGGCATAAAGTGGGTATCGAAATCTGACATGCTCAACCCAGCCAAGGCATTCGCATGCTTATGCTTGCCTCCTTGATCGAAACAATTCCTGCTCGTCCTTGGAGTGCAGCATTCTCCTTCTCCCCCCATATCAAACATCGGGAGAGCCCACTGATTGACGTCTCGCTGGTCAGAATCATGTCTGCTTCGCCGGATCAGCAAGGTACCCGGCAAGGCCTCCGAGTCATCCACGCCGGCCTCTACCGCACGGGGACAATGTCAATTGCCCGCGCCTACGAGCGGCTGGGATACAAGACGCATCATGTGTCCACTGTCAACCCAGTCAAGACGCCCTGGGTCTCAGTCGAGCACGCCGCCGAAGCAACATGGCCCTCGATCCCGGGCCTCGACCCCAGCCGGCCCAGACCACGATACACGCGCGCCGACTGGGACGCCGCGTGGGGCGAGTACGACATCGTCACGGACCTCGTCTCGCCTTTCGCGCCCCAGCTCATCGAGGCGTACCCCGACGCCAAGGTCGTCGTCGTGCAGCGCGACTTCGACCCCTGGTGGGCGAGCATGCAGGGCACCATCTTCATGTTCCTCGACGAGCCCGACGCCGCCATCAAGCGCTTCGTCGGCGGCGTCCTGCTCGGCATCAGGGGGGGACACGCCATGCGCAAGATCCTCCTCGGCTTCTTCGGCGTGGAGCGCAAGGAGGACATCACGGAGGTAGTGGCGCGGGCCAAGTACGACGAGTACTATGCGCAGATCCGCAAGATGGTGCCGCCGGAGCGGCGGCTCGAGTACAGGCTCGGCGATGGCTGGGAGCCGCTGTGTGCGTTCTTGGGCAAGGATGTGCCTGACGAGCCGTTTCCTCGCTTGAACGACACGGTGGCGTTTGGCCTGCTCGCACAAGAGGCGGGCAAGCAGATAATACAGACTCGGATCAAGGAAAATGCACCACGGCTGCTTCTTGTTGTGGTCGTGCTTGTTGCTTGGTTCATGTATAGGCGAAGCACTTTGTAGAGAGTTGCTGTTTTGAGCCACATGTTACGCCGAAGCGATAGTGTCGTATAGTTGTGGAAGTTTGGTACAGTTCAAGCATAGAGCCGAAGCCCTCCGCGGTGCTTTCGGTCTCCGGAGCCTCCTTACCTTCTCGCCGGTGACAGTAAGGAAGCCTGACCCGAAAGTGGCCAGCACGACTTGATAGTCACCCATAAGTATTTTCTCTTCAGACCCCAGCTGGTCCAAGTATGGAGACCAAAATCCAACCCGATGGCGACCGAAAGCTCTGACACGGTAGGAGTTGGGCCTGCGAGTTGTCGCGGCAAGTGCCGCCACTTTGAGGTAGGGGAAGTCTGTTATAACACGATGAAGTTCACGCAACCAGACACTGCATATGTCGCCACGGGCACACCAACTCAGCTCAACCACGCTCACGATCTACAAGAAAAACCGGTATCCCGAGCTAATTGAGTTCTTCGGTCTATCTCATCATCACCCGCTTGTAAAAACACGCGCCGGCTCCTGATGTCTACAACGCTCTAACCGACGGTCCCGTCTTTTGCGAATGCAGTAGCCTCCCCAGCTCCTCCGCGATAGCGAGAGTCTTCTCCTCGCTCAGCCTCCGCCCGATGACCTGCACCGCCGTCGGCGCGCCATGGTACGCCTCCGGGTCGTACTCGGCCTGCACGTCGCTGTCCAGCTCGCTGACGGGCACGTACCCCGTGTTCGGCACGTCCCTGTCCTTGTCCGCGAAGCCCACGGGCACGACGACGCTCGTAAAGTCGAGCATGTTGAGCACCCCCGTGTACCCGTAGTATCGGTACTTGCCGTGGCGGACGGCCGCCGTGGGCGCGACGGGCGCGATGATGGCGTCGAGCTCGGCGCCGGGTCCCAGGGTCGTGGCCTCGAACTCGCGCCACTGGTCGAGGTACTCGGTCTGGTAGCGCCACTTCTGCGTCTGCAGGTCCCAGACCTCGTTGTTGCCGAGCTGCTTGGTGTGCCTGTAGACGTAGTTCTTGATCAGGTCGATCGCGGGCTCCCCAGAGGCGCTGATGTCGCGGTGGAGGTCCTGTGGAGAGAGATGTCAGTCCAGAGTCTACAATGCCGGCAGCTGCCAGACAGTAGTGGCTGATATCATGCAACTCTTGTGGAGTCTGAAACGTACCGCGCCGGCATCAGCCTTGTCAAGCTCCTTAAGCAGATAGTAGGGCACGTCGTGCTTGTATGGCGTCCACGGGACGACGTTGTGGCCCGCTTGCTTGAGCTTCTCAACGGCTTCCTTGATTGCGCGGAGGATTGGAGGGTGTGGCAGGGCCTGAGAACCGCACGACCAATTGTCAGCTTCTTCTTCCAGCACAAGTGGTCGACTTGCTAAAATGATGAACACCCACCATGCCGTCGGTCTCATAGAAGCCAATGTTCAGCGTCTTGGTCTTGATCTTGACAAGTGTCTCGTCTTCAATCTCCTGTCTCCATGGGAGCGGGACTGTCTTGGAGTCGTATAGCCATGGCTTCTGCGCAAGCACGGCCTTCATAAACAACCTCAAGTCTTTACACAACAATCACAATACCACTGTCAGTGTCGTCACATTCTTGCCGGTGCAGTCAACGGCAGGCATCGGGGGCCCCAGGAGAAAGCCTTCCACTCACCGGCTGCGGAATGCCCCAAAGGTCCAACAACACTAGGGATAGTCTCCTGGCCTGCCATGCTGTTCGCCATGCCCGCGTACGGCAGACGCCCGTGGCACGGCCGGATGCCGTACAGGGAGTTGAACGCGGCAGGGATGCGGATCGAGCCGCCGATGTCCGTGCCGACGCCCAAACAGGAGCCGCGGAGGGCGAGCAGGGCACCCTCGCCGCCGGAACTGCCGCCTGGGGACCAGTTCTTATTGCGCGGGTTCGTGGTGAGGCCGACAATGTTGTTGAACGTCTCGCCGACCATGAGCGTCTGCGGCACGCTCGTCTTTGTGTAGAAAACTGCGCCGGCCTGGCGGAGGAGGGTCGTGAGGACGGACTCCTTGGTGGCGGGCTTGCCGAGCCAGGCGATGTAGCCCATGGACGTTTCGAGGCCCTTTCGTAAGGGACGGCCATGCGTCAGCGATTGTGGTCAAGCAAAGTGGCTAGAACAAGCTTGTATACCTTTACGTGCAGCTGATCTTTAAGAGAGACTGGCAAGCCGTGCAGAGGACCGACCGGCTTCCCATGCTGAGCGTGGTATTCATCGAGTACTTTGGCCCGTGCCAGCGCCATCTCCGTGTCAAACTCGAGCATGCAGTTGGTCTGGTTCCAGGTCAGCACATTGAGATCTACACAACATGACACCGCCGTACGAGCCAAATATCAGAACAACGGGGCCAAGCGTCGAAGGAGGACCCTTACTAGCTGCTGAGCTATAGCAGCTCTTTTACAGAACGCCAGCACCACATTGACAGACTTGAGGCGCCCAGCGGCCAGATCAGCCACCAAGCTCGAAGCAGACGTCTCAGTGATGCCGATTTCGGTGGCGGACAGTAGTCCCGACGCCCGCGGGAAGTCGATGACGGAATCAGTGGTTGGCAGCTCCTTGAGCCGCCACTCCGTCGGTATCTTGGCGGCGAGTCGTTCTCGCTTGTCGCGGGCGAGGTCCTCCCAGCTCGGAGTCGATCCCGTATTGTCGCCCATCGCGTACGGTCTGATGGGCAGGGAGGTGGGTGTTATATGATTGAATGACGGCTTAGGGCAAGTTCGCAACAAGCTTGGACGCAGAAGGTAACCAATGAAGTCTGCAAACGACGTGGCACAAAGACTAGGGGTGACCGGATGTCACTCCCACTGAATCAAATGTGGTTCTGATGGAAGTTCACGTTGGGCACACACTCGGCAGGCAGGCAGGCAGGCAGGCAAACAGTCAGGCAGACACGTACCGCACGCACGCAAGCTGAGAGGAAGACAAGTGCCGCGATATCGAGGCCCAGCATTTCCCCGCACGAAACTGCGGCATGCGGGCGGCCCTCGGTGATAAGGGAACGCCCGTCCCAAATGAGGTGACATGCTGCGAGTTGCCATTAGCGAAGAATCCACAACCCCGCTCCAGCAGGAGAAGCGGGACTTGCATGAGGCGTATATGCACGACATGGGCACTATCAGTCGTGGCTCCGTTTTGTGGCGTGTCAGGTGCACTGGAGAAGCTACTCGGAGAATTTGCTTTTGTCAAAGCGCTCCTATATTGAGTCTTAAAGTTGTTCAATGTGTTGGGCATCTAAAACTGCTTGATGTGACGATGTTCCCCCGGGGCGCCTCGTGATAGTACCTGTTGTTTCATACAATCAAGTGTTATCAAGGGCAGGACTATCAACAGGCCCCATCTTTCTGTGAGACTGAGTTATCTCCATCGTGGGATCACTGAGTTCCTGTCGGCAGATTCAGGTTGCCAGATTAATGCGCTCTTCATAACGAGGCACGTTGTTTGCGAAGTGCTGCATCGATAACTTCCGCCTATGTAATGCAACGAGGAATTGCAACACGGACAACTCCAAATGACCACGATTATGTGCTCATGCGAGCATAGTAAAACTACGGAGCCACTGCTGTTTGGGAATTCCGAGTAGTTTCGTTTGTTGTCTAGCGATGTTGTTGAGTAGAATGATAATTTTGCATTACTGAGAGCCCTGAAGGCTATGCGCAATTCGGGAGCATTTTCCAGTCAAAGGTGGAGAGCTTCGGTGCATGATGAAGGTGACTGGGTTGCCATCAGGTCGCGAGCTGTATCCCGAATCATTTGTTATCCAGTATAAACGTATAGTCGTTGGCATCGCAACTGGGAACCTTAAAAGCTATAACCCAGGGCAATAGAGGACACCATAGTGAAGGCACAGGAGACGCCATCAACTAGAAAGGCACGCAGCGAAGAGTCAGGCACTAGAACAGTATACATACAACATAACGTAATCCACGGGTGAGTGAGCCACACGGGTCAGTGAGCCACTTTTCCCCCATTTTGAATAGATAACCTTCATTTCCTTATTTCTCCACCAACAATCATGGTACGACAATCAAATGAATGCGATTTGGTTCTAGCGCTAGCTGCGCTTAAATCTGACCCAAAATTGAGCGTACGAAAGGCTGCATTACTCTATAATGTATCCCGCGCAACCCTCCAACGACGACGAGACGGCCGAGCTGCGAAACACGATACCCGACCACCCTGCCAGAAATTGACCTCGTACGAAGAGGAGAGTATTATACGATACGTAATTGACCTAGATTCGCGATCATTTCCACCGCGACTTAGTGGTGTTCGAGAAATGGCGGATCGACTCCTTGCCGTACGCGACGCGCCGCGTGTCGGAACGAACTGGGCCTCAACCTTCGTACGACGACGATCTGAGCTCCGTACGCGTTTTAATCGAAGAATCGACTACCAGAGAGTCCTCTGCGAAGATCCAGACGCGTATCGCGCGTGGTTTGAGCTCGTACGAAATATAATCGCGAAATACGGGATCCACGATGACGATATCTACAACTTCGACGAAACGGGCTTCGCAATGGGTAAAATCTCCGCCGAAACTGTCGTTACAACCTCCGATCGACGCGGGAGGCCAAGAGCCGTACAACAAGGGAATCAGGAATGGGTTACAGTAATCCAGGGTATCGCGTCGTACGGCTATTCGATCCCGCCGTATATTATCTTCGCAGGGAAGGTCCACCTCGACTCCTGGACCGCGAATAGCCCTCTACCGGCCAACTGGGTAATCGCGCTTTCAGAGAACGGTTGGACGACGAACGAGAGAGGCCTAGAGTAGGTAAAACACTTCGATTTCCATATAAAGAGTCGTACGAAGGGCACCCACCGCCTCCTTATCCTCGACGGCCACGAGAGCCACCATTCCGTCGATTTCGAGCTCTACTACAAGGAACAGAATATTGTTACCCTCTATATGCCTGCTCATTCGTCGCATAAGCTCCAGCCTCTCAACGTTAGGTGCTTTGGACCTCTAAAACGGGCGTACGGTAAAGAAATCGAAGGTCTTATGCGGGCGCACGTAACCCACGTTTCAAAGGAGGACTTCCTCCCAGCCTTTTATAAGGCGTACGACGCTGCGATAACCAAGTCAAACATCCAGGCAGGCTTTAGAGCGACAGGCCTAGTACCGTACGACCCGGACTATATGATTTCGCAGCTAGATATAAAGCTTCGTACGCCGACACCACCAGGTTCTGCTGGACTACCACCCCCCTAGGTCTCAAAGACGCCGAATAACCCGATTAAGGCCGAATCGCAGAAGGAATATCTCCAAAATCGCATCGTACAACACCAGAATAGCTCACCGTCGTCTATAATCGTAAGCCTTAAGCAGCTTCATAAAGGGATGGCGATGATAGCACACGAGCAGGACCTTATGCGCCATAATATCGCCGAACTTCGAGATGCGAACGACCGCCTCAGCCGCCGTCGTCGTACGAAAAGAAAGCAGCTACAGAAAGGAGGGTCCCTTACGATTGACCAGGCAAAGGATTTGAAGGCTCAAATCGATACGACGGAGCAGTTAAGGGCAGAAACGAGTCAGAATAGTGGTCGTACGAGGAGGCCCGAAACGCGCGCGCGGCGATGTGGCGTCTGCGGCGAGCCCGGCCATCATGCTCGTACGTGTCAGAAAGTTGTATCTGCCTCTGAAGAAGAGGATTCTGAATAGTTTCAATTGATTTAAGGCGTTGTGGTTGAATTGTCTTATACATTGTCGTACGAGTACTTGAAAAGTGGCTCACTGACCCGTGTGGCTCACTCACCCGTGGATTACGTTAGACGGTTTCTACTGTGTTAGCTTGCAAGCCTGTGCAACTTCATTATGAGATTCAGGTTCATCCGGCCAACCACTTTGTACAACAAATACATACTGCCTCATCGACAGGAAGGGCATAACAACTTCGGCTTTTCGGTACCTGCAAAACCTCAAAGGGTTGCCAGGTAGCGTTCTTTACCAAGTCATTCTGCCTCTGCGCGTCTTTTGATCGACTCTCCAGGATTGACCATTCACAGAGCATTCACACCGCGTCAACAACCCTGCCGTCCTCGCATATGCTTGTGCAAGTAACCAGGTACCTGAAACGAATGACGACCATTGCTATCATTGTCGGATGCGGCTGTCCATTCTACCGCCAAAGTCTCCCAGTTCACCATCGGCGCAACACCGAAACCGGACGTAACAGACCAACAAATAGTCCACACCACCGACAAGTCCATCCAGTATCCACGTCTAATTTCCCAAAGTGGCCATCGAACAGAAAGTGAGTCACACTTCCCCACAAACACCACACACATTATTTTTGCAGCACGCACCTACACAAGCGACGATAAGCACCGTGCTATTCAACAGCCGCCGAAAACGGTTCAAAAGCAGTTTGGCGCAGGGGAAGCGCGCCGGGCTCATAACCCGGAGGTCCTCCGATCGAAACGGAGAACTGCTAAGATGTTTCTTTTTGGCGGCCCTGTTCCTGTTCTGACTCTCCTCGGTCTTCATCCCTAACGGTGCAGACTCGCCTATTTTTTTCCTTCTCGGCGCCCAGCTTGCTAAGAAAAACAGGCCCTTGTGGAGCCCGCCCCTGGTCCTGCTCTGATGGGCCTGGCTTGGCTCTGGACCTGGGCGAGGATGCTTATGTCAGCTCGTGCGTTCCAGCTGGCTGGTAACTTTTCGGCAACAGCTCAGATTGAGGGGTGCACCTCTCTTGCGTGTTCGTATTCTCCACCTGAACATGCTCTGGACCAGAGGCCTGGTTGGAAACCATGCCACATTGCGTATGAACCTAAGCCGTTTCATCTTTTGTGGCAGCGCCTTGCTCTGCGCCTCCAAGTCCCTTGGTGGCGCTTGGACTGGACCCTGCGAGTCCCAAGCTAAGACATTTTGGCTGATGGCTGGAACCAGAAGTGGGATTTGCCAGAGCCACCTAGACGCGCCCCGCGGGTTTGCCGCGGGCGGGGCAAGGTTCGGGACAAAGCTTACATGAGAAGATCGCAAGGTTCTGCGAAATGGGGAAGGCTACTTGCCGGAACGGCCCTTTGCTGCTCGCCCGCGCGCGCGTCCGCCTCTGCAGATCAAGCTGCGGCTCTCCGAATAGGCGCCGTGCATTAGGTCCATCGCGTCGAGAGTGCATCTCTGCAGACCAGATCTGTCTCGAATAAACTGGGAAGACAGGTCTCGCCCGCTCCCCCATCTCCGTGTTGCTCTTCCCCCCAGCATCACGACCATCATGCATGGTAAGGGAATGAAAATTTCAGCGGCGAGCTCAAGATGACAACCTACCAAACAATTTTTGGTAGTCCATCGGCAGCACCGCTGAGTTTGTGCCGTCGGCATGGACGATGAGCTTGCCATTGTCTGCCCAGCCGGGTGGGCCGATGAACGAACCTTCGGAAGGGTTCAGCCTGGGTCCCAGTCCTGGTGGAGCAGAGCAGTCGAAATGCTCTGAAAGGGTGGCAAGGGTTCTGGAAAAGCGCTAGGCTGTGCCTGGTGCTGCCACGGCGCTTGCACGTCAGTGTGATGGGCAAGCAGAGCCATTGCGGCATGGCGTTTGTCCGGTCCTGGGGTCAGGGTCCGGGTGTTTGCGAAAGCCGCTTAGGGGCAAAGCTGCTTTTTGTGCCACCGTCATTGGCTTGTGTGGGGATCTTTTGGATAGCCTCCAAGGATTAGGTTCGAAAGAGCGAGCGTTGGCCACTGCTGGGCCCGACGTTGTGGTCACGCTAGGGAAGCGAAAGCCGATGCTCTGGAAACAGCAGTCTTGTCGTCCTGACTCGGGCATAAGCCAAGTGCAGGCCATGACATGTGCGTGGCCCAAAGAGAATGGCATGACGCTGTGTCGCGTTCCACCCCTCTCCCTGGTGGCGCTCCTGGAATGGTTTTAGAACCTTCCGCCGGCAATTATCCAACGAAGTGGCTGACTACCGGTCGTCAGGGTCCTTCCTTTTCGCTTGATGGCGCGGAACACTGACTTGGCCTGACTGCGGAGGACGTGAGTCTCTCACTTCTCCAATAAGGAATTGGACAAAGGCTGCTGATACGCCTTGCCCATTGGAAGCTCCAGCTAGAATATTCTCTATCGTTGCTTTAGAACCTTGGCAAGCCCTGGGCGTTAGCTCCAAGACGTCGAGTCGGACGATTCTGTCCCTGGGACAAGTGGCAAGGTTCAGCCTGACTGACGTATCCAGCAGGCTGGGTCGTCCTCAGCGGCATGTGTGTGCCCTTTCTGGTGGATGCACACCTCTTGCAGAGGTAGGCTGGGCTGTCCTCCGCATCGTGCTATGAAGCAGTTGTCCAGGCAGTTTGGTCGACGTTGGCACATGAGCAGGTGTTGGATTCGCATGCTCCGCGTCTATTAAGCGCATACGCTGGAGGGTGGTGCAGCCGGTGCGCGGCTACCGGGCTACAGCTGCAGACAGTGACTCGCCTGCCCCGCGATCAGCAGTGTCGGGTCTGCCCGCCCGCCCGCGCCGGCCGCGCTGCCAGTGGTGCATGGTGCCTTGCAGCGCAGACGATTATGTTTTGCATGACTGTGGCGTGTGTGTGGTTCTCTAGTTCGCTGATCTTCCATTCCTGCTGGGTTTCCACGCGTGATCGATCGGGGATTCGCCTGTCCGAATCATCGAATTGCGCGAAGGGCGTTTGCCAGCCGCCACATCAACGGTAGGGGTTCCGCGGCTGAGGGTCTTCCGAGCGCCATTGTTCCGATCGAACCCCGAGGTCCAGTGGCAGCCTCTGGGGCGTCATCGTTGGCTCGTTAGGGGCTGGGGCCCGCCATAGCTGGCTGGCTGGGCTGTTTGGCGGCTCTGATGGCGAACGGGGCAGGCTGTCGTCGTGACATCGATCGATGGGTCATGAGGATGGAGCTGGCAATGGAGATGGGAAAGCTGGCGGGCCCACAGCGGAACAGAACGAGATGACTCGGGAGGGGACGAGGGGCGCCGCCAATGCGCCTCGACAGCCCTGCCTTTGTCGAGTTGGGCGTGAGGCTCGGTAGCAAGTGAGGGTGCAATCACGCAGAAACGGCGGCCGGCGCGCTACAGCCCAAGTGGCCGGACCAGTGCCTCACCACGCTTGACAGCGCCGGCCCAAGAGTTGCAAGAGCAATGTCTGAGCCCACACCCAGTGCAGGCCAGTGGCTCGCTACAGTGTTTCTGTGGTAAGAAGCACTGTATCGCCCTGCCGATCGGGGCAGGTGCCTTTTCCACACCTAGGTAGCTCCGTTCCTGCTGCGGCTGGCCCCGCCATCGACGCCAATGTCGAGGACTGCAGTTGGAGTCGACGACACCAGCTACATACATCAGCAAACCAGCGAGGCCACTGTTGTAGCGACACGCCCAGTCACAGCACCCAAGGCTTGTGGTGGTCCGTCGGTATGCACGCCTTCATCGCTGTGTGCTGAGCACCACGCCTCGAAGCCACATTAGCGCAATGCCAGCTGTTGACCATTCCCTTGTGCGAGCCCCGGTCTGCGAGCCGGATCGTCCGACGCCTTCCTACATGATCGACGCACCTAACACCTCCTAGCTCCCGAAGGCCTTCCATTTAGAGCTATCCGAAGAAATGGTGCGGTCTCTGCTGTTCTCGTACAAGCCGGCCACTCCCACACTTTGCACCGACACTGCTCAAGGAGCCCGAGCGTCCATGTTTGCCTGGATACATTCTCAACACTCCGCTGCCAACCATGGCACCACGTCAACTTCAGCAGCTGGGCCAAGGCTGTCACAAAATGGCTCCGAAGGTGGCTCCCCTCTGCCAGCAAAGCATCTCTAGAGCTAGTGGCTATCATCCACGCCGCACTGGTCGTCTTTGCGGAGTGGAAACACCCAACGTTTTCTCGGCACTCGTGGTAGGCGAGCGTTTGCCAGCCCCCTTGTTGGCAGAAAAGTCTACCTTCGCTACGCATTGCCCTCTGTGGCTGCTATCGCCTCGGAACAATGCTGCCACCTCTTCACCGTCAAGCTGACCCGACCATAAACGCTGGGATAGCATCAATTCTCCAACACACGAAGCCACGGCCAGAGTAACATGGATCGAGTGTTGTTCTGGGCCTGTCCATACGGTGGGTGGTGTTGAGCCTCACCACTTCCCAGAAGCTCCAAGACCTAAGGCGTTGCTCGCGTCTCTAAGCCCCTGCCAACACCCAACTATGGCCCACAAGCCAACGGAAGGGCCCCGCGCCATGCGTCCCCTACCTGGGTCGCGTCGTTTGCCAGTGAACTATGCAGCACAAGTCGCTCACGCAGTGCATGCAGGAGTGACATGCGATTGGCACTACAGCACAGGGGTCAGAATCAGTAATCTTGGTCTTACCTTTTCTGGCTCTGTGAGAGTCATCCAGCCTTGAAGCGTATGGCCTGGAACATCCTGCGCAGAAGAAACTTCGTTACCTAAAATCTCTCCGAGCTCTATCGACCACATATGCATGTCATTCACGAATACAGTCCATTGTTACCCGCAGATACGACATGGGCAGGTTCATCGATCCTGCAACGATACCAATGGCCAAGCAGCTGTCCTCAACACAGCGCCTGTTCCCGCTCTTTTGACCTCTTCAGACCAAGCGTAATGGGCTCGGCATCGGCAGGAACTAGCTGGTCTTTGCGGTTGGCCGACTCGCACACAATCTGCTTGTGGTTATTTTCAAGGTTGATATCTGCCACTCGACGACCCTGGCTCCACACACGTCCTCAGGAGCCCCCACACTCTAGGGCACAGGTTTTGGCTTTCCCACTATCCCAGCTCGCCGGGCATATTCCAAAAGAGGTGTAGAATCTGCGTCATGGCCATCACTGATTGGTGGTTTTGAGCCAAGTGCGATGGCTTGCATCCCCCTAGGACCCTTAGTTCATCCTCTCTGGGACTTTGCGCACCAGCACCGTATCCCAAAGTCTCCCACCTCTTTGCCCACCTCGCGCCGTTAGGCTGGATTCGGCTTCCATCCTGACCATTCTAAGCCTGGTTTCGGCTAAACCCCTGCTGGCCCCATTGCGCCCGTTGGCGATCTTCGGGCAGATCATCCGACCCTGCCTCCTGGCTGAATGGGTCAAGCCTTGTAGATAGAGGCCCTTTTGAAAGTCTTGATGCTGTCCCAAATGGGACCTGGACCACATACGCAGAGCTTTGCTTGCCGGGCCAGGCTCTTGGGTAACTGGACTGGTTTGGGCAAGGTGAAAATTGTCAGCCGCCTAAACGAGCTGAGCTACTGCATGGGCTCATGACACGCTGCACGTTGCAACTCAGTTGGTCGCTTGCAGAGCAGTGCCCAAAAACTCTAATCATATGAGTGCACGTCCTGCGATATGGGCAATCAGCAAGCGGCACAGTCTTCCGTTGAAGGGGTGTGGCATCCATATCTCGGTCTCACGGCCAACGCTCGCATGCTCGCGAGCATAACACCGGAGCCAGAAGCATCGTGGGCAAAAACGTGGCTGGGCAACAAATCACGTCCTGTACATCATGTTCGACCACGCTAGTGCGACAGCTTCCTTTGTCTTGGAAGCTAGGGAAAGCCACTGACATGATGCCGTCACCTGTGCAGGCCTGTGGCCTCTGTGACTGATCACGATAGATTCATGCACCTTGTATCACTTTCACGGCCACGGTCTGGCGATCGCGTGTCCACGTGTGCGCAGGACAATGGCAGCGTCGATCGTCTGCATGGCAGATGCAGCAGTATCATGCACGACATACACGACATGCACCGTAGTGGGGATAAGCGGCACTGGCTCCAAGCTCGAAGCAGCGTTGCCTGCGGAACCAGAAGCCGCCAGAAATGCAGGCAGAAAGGCAAACGAGATTGCCGCAGAGCGAAGAAGTTGGCAAAGCGGGCATTTGAGAAACCGCTGTCAACTCGTATTGGCTGGCTCGCAGTAGTGCAACTCAGCTCAGCTCAGCTCAGCTCATCCACGTTGACCGAAAACGCAAACTCCTCATGGTCCGATCGATGAGTTCAAGCACGGGGCATTTAGACTCAGGCTAACTGACACTCGTCGAATCCGACCTAGCTCTGTCCAAATGCTCTTCGCTGATCAACTGAGGGGGGAGTGAGACACTGTACCGTGGCCATGGACATGGATCTGCTGGCATTTGTGTCACCAGCCCAAACCTATCCATTGCAAGACACGAAAGCTTAAGCACGCAACCACCCTCTCCGAAAGTCCTAGTGTGTTATGCGGGCACTGGCCAGCCGGATCTCGTGAAGCTCAGGGACACCAGACCTGCATTGCATTGCATGGCATGGCATGGCATCGCTGAAATGTGTCACGACAAGAGTTGGTTACGATTTAGACAATGCCTCTCTCGGAATCAAAGCCTGACCGCACTACGGCGCAAATGGGATAGCTCTGAACACCCGGTTGGCCGATGAATCCCAATAGGCAGCAGCTGGTATCAAGCCGGAGGCAGCAACGGGATTCGTCGGGGTGCCTTTTCTGGCTTGCATGTCGTAGCCCGCCCCAAGGCATGTCGAAGCATCTGGCAAACAATAAATCGCTGAGCCAACAGCTACATGCGCTACTAGAAGATCATTCTATAACGGCTCCCATGAGTCAGTTTCGCTATGCACCAGTGACATTCGAGCTGGACAGCTCGGGTCACGGCGACAGAATTTGTCGTCTTGAGCCCACTGGCGGGTTGCAACGACCAGCTGTAAGAATGAGAAGTGACTGGCAACAACGGCGGCAGCGCTAGCGGCACCAACGCCCAACACCCGAGACACTCATGGAAAGTGGGCAGAGCTTTTCTTGCGCGCTATCCTGAGCCTGCCCGTCGACAAATAAGGGAGCTAGATTGGGCAGCCACTAACAGAAAGACCAGCCACCAACTGAAGGCGAGATCAAAGCAGAGCGACGAACACTGCAGACAGCCCAGCTGGCTTGGGATTAGCGATATGTACGTGAGCGGACGCCGCCGAAGGGGCGGGCCGCAAACTCACCGCTCTTGCGCAACAAGACCCCCCCCAACGAACTCGAAATAGGCGACGATTGCGTTGCAACTGCCATTGCTTGATAGGTTTTGTCAACGCCTGCTCATCTCCCGGGTCCCGAGTGACGTCTTTTATACCATGACCCACCACATTGGCAAGGCCGGCATGATCGCGCTCGTAGAAGCCGCGGGATTCCGAAACCGGCCAAACGGCGCGGGCGCCAACTCCGGAGCGAGAGATGGAGAAATAGCGGAAAGAGAGAGATAGCGCAACAGAGATGTCTCTCACAGAGAGCGATTTCGGCCGCCCAACGCGGCGCCACATCGAGACCAAGATCAGGAGAGGGGACGCCCTTCCCCCAAACAATGCGGTGATGCGACCTGGGCTGATACTCGCTTGGACGGAACACGCAAGTCATGCAGCCTTCGGCAGGGCCAGTCGGGCTGGCCCGCTTCCCCAGCATGTCTGGCCTCTTCTGGCGCCAGAGCCGTCCTCCACCGTCTTCCTTGCGTGCCGAGGCCGTTGTCGTCGTGTTGGGGTGGCTGGTTGTGGCGGCAGAGAACGGCCGCGGCACAGGCGAGGCGCGGCGGGTATGTACGGGCGGGATGCAATGGCTTTTGAGCGAAAGCGTAAAGACCCTGGCGATCGTGTGGTTTTCTCGCAGCACCGCACGACACACACATGCACACTCATGCACGCACTTACACAGACTTGCACACGCTTGCACACACTTGCACACAAGTACGCTTCCGGGTGCCAGAGTGGCTGCGCTGCACCGCATTGCCGGCCTTTGTCTTGTGGTGCTGGTGGCGCCCATGTCGCGCAGGCGGCGGTGCGTACCTGAAGGGTCCGTTTCCTGTGGCTGGCTTGCTAAGGCTGAGAGAAGGGGCCACCCCGTTAGAGATCTCGGGACCGCCCTACGCTTGCCTGCTGGCGCGGGAGCCAAGGCCAAGCCATGCTAACGACAACTTTCCTCCCCCCGCCTTCACCGTCACAGACGCACGACATCTAGAACTTGGACGTGAATTCGCTCGTGCATGAAATATCGATTCTGGGCACAGCCCGCTCCAAACTCTGTGCGCCATGCTTATCGTTGGCACGAGGCAGCCCACTCGTTATTGTGGTAGGTTAGTGCAAGGTACGCACACGCACCGTAGGATGGTATCCAACAAGCACAAGCAACCATCATCACCATGCAAGTAATCGTGGCTTTCCCGGAAACAGCTTGCGCTCTCATTGTGTTTTTGGCAAGGTTATCCAAAAAGGGTATCAACCAGCCGGACTCTTCCGGCCTAGACCGGGCGCCTCCCCAGCGGTGCGCCCGGCTCGCCATTCCCCCAAGAGGAGTCGTCCTCTACCTATCTCGGACTGCCAATGTAGCCAAGCCCTGAGCTAGCCCAACCTGCCAACCTCCCCTCCATCATCCTCTTCCCTTTTTTGGTGTTCGCTCTCAGTCCTGTTTGGCCTAGGCCGGTCCCGACGACCCTGCTCGGCCGACCTCCACGGAGACGCTTGACTTCCCAACCCACCCCCTCTCCCCGAAAAGAAACCCATTAATCCCATCTAAGCGAAGCTGTCGTCTCGTGGCTTGCCCCTGCTGCGCCGCCCCGGATGAGTGCCGATTTGCTCCTGCTCGTGTTCCCGTGGCATCTCTTTTGCACCAGAGGGCATCGCTACGCCCATGGCAAGTGAAGACGAAAATTCGCCCACCCCGTCCCGAAAAAAGGATGGTCGTGCTCTTTATATGTTATCATTACATTATGTACATCGTCCCTTTGCTGCCCTGCGGGTCGCTGCCGATAAAACATGAAGACGGTTGAATTTTTGCGTGACGATATAAAAAAAAAGGAAATGTGTCAATGGCTTTTGACGATAAAGACTGGTGCCGCCAACGTCTGCGAATGGCTGTCCCAAAGACGTAATACAGCACGCCAAGAAGTGGCATATCGATACAAATGACGAAAGAACCAACAAGAACTGTAGTGGGTATGGCGTCGAGGAAGAAAGAACAAACAGAGAAGAAAAAAAATCCAAGATCCAAAGGGAAAATGCGTGTGGCCGGTAACTCGGAGATTCAAGGTCCATGGCCGTGTGGTGTGTTGTAGTGATTCATGTCTTGCCAGTTCATGCCGTAGCCCTGGTCTGACATGGGGTGGTCCTCGACGAGTGTCGTCATGCTAGGCCAGTGCTCGAGCATATTTGACGCGAGCATCATGTTTGTGCCGTTGCTGTCAAACATGGGGAAGTCGAGGTCCATTGGCGATATCACAGGCAAAGCGCCCATAGGCACCGGGGCGGGCGGCAGGGCCTTGTCCAGCGATAGACGCGCAGTGTTGACGTTGTGGAAGGGTTGCCCGTGGTGGTGTGCCTCGATGGGTGACGACTGAGGGTCCATGTGGTGCTGGTGCTGCGGGGGCTGCAGGTACTGCTCGTAGGGGTTGCCCGAGTGTATCGGGGTCGGAAGGCCCATGTTTGACATGTGGCCTGTTGCAGGCATGTGCTCAGGCAGTATCGCAGGTCTCCGTGTCGATGATGGCGACCGCCGTATTGTCCGGCGCCCGCTCGACATGGAGGCCATGGAGGCAGACCGCCTTGGTGTAGGATGCTGTGTCTGCAGCGATGTAATGGGAACGAACTTGTGAGAGTTGTCTCCCGTGACTGGGCTTGCGTATGGAGATACGGGCTGGCTGAGGGGAAGGGGCTTCTGTCGGAGGACGACGTGGACAGTCGACCACGCGAGCTTTACGATCTTGTCTGCAGCCTCTCTCGAGCCATCATAAAACTCTAGGAAATCCTGGAGTTGTCCGGGGTTCTCGTTCTCCACAAACCCTTGTGCGCGGCCGGTCGACTCGGGGCTCCAGCTGAACATGGGCTGGTGGCCATTGAAGCGGTCCTGCTTCTTGGAAATGTGCTCCTTCCACGCCTCGTGGGCACCGTGCTGGTGGAGCAGACCGTAGATGACGTTTGAGTGAAGCCAGTCCTGCTTGGTGCTGCCGGCCTCGAAATGCGACGCTACGTGGTCGATGTGCTTCTCGAACTTGCCGTGCAGGGCGGCGCAAAATCCACAGCCCCAAGCCTTTCTCTTCTTCATGTGCTTGACCACCGTGTCGGCATGGGGGCACGTCTTGCACCCATGGGCCGACTTATGGTGCTGGTTGAACGTGTTGGGGCCCCAGAAGCTCTGGTTGCAGTTGGGGCAAGGATACTTGCGCCAGCGCTCATGGAACTCCTCCTCGTGGCGCTTCCAGTCGAACTTGCGCTTGAATGTCTTGTCGCAGGACGTGCACCAGAACTTGCTGTCGGGGGCAGAGCCGGTAGATGACACAGAGAGGGTGCTTCGGGCGGCTGACGCGGAGGAAAAGACACTCTCATGGCTGGAGTTGCTGGAGATGGACGATGATACTGATTTCTTATACTGGTGGCCCTGGATGCCATTGAACCCGCCGGGAACTCCGGGGGGTGGCAGAGTAGCTGAGGGTGCGGTTAGCGCTGGTGAGACATGAGCGGGAGCCATGTTTGGTCATTGGCATACCTGACAAAGGGTCGTGAGACGACTGTGGTGAAGCTTGTGAAGAAGAATCCTGCTCATAGTGCGCCATTTGCGGCGGGGTGTGGAGCATTGGAGGAGGCGGAGGAGGCTGTTGAGGCTGTGGAGGGACATCGAGGTTCTGCTGTGGCTGCTGTTGTTGTTGCTGCTGACCATCTGAGGAGAGCTGATGCTGAAGCTCGGGCGGAGAGTGCTGCTGCTGGGGCATCTGCTGGAAGTGTGGTGGTGATGGCTGCTGCTGCGGTTGAGGCTGCTGGTGTTGGAGCGGCGAGTGCGCAAGCATCTGGGCAGGTGCCTGCTCATCGAACATGGCAAGCAGAGCCTCGCGGCTGATGCCGGCACTGCGCAGAGCCTCGAGGTGCTCTCGGGCCTGGGCGAGCACCATTGAAGGATGATCCATGGCTGTGTTCTGGTATTGGTCTGTCGGGGTGTTGTTGTTGTTGCTGTTGTCCATGGCAGGCCAGGGCGGACCAGCGGCCGTGGTGGTTGTGGTGCCGAAGCGAGGCTGGTCAAGCGGTCTTGTGAGCAACGAGCAGGCTACGATGCGGGCACAGGCGTGATCATCAGCGTCGAGACAGAAAAAGTCTTGTCCTGGTTACCGGTCGCGACTGTGCTGGATGCTTGTGAGAGATGGGTGATAGCATGCGTCGAGGAGAGATTGGCGACAAGGACCACGGGTAGTCAAATACTTGATAGAGCAGGTGTTAAGAAGAGGAAAGAGGAAGTGATGGCGGCGGCGGTGGTGGTGGTGGTGTGGAAGACCAAATTAGAGAGCGTTGGCGTGGGAGGCTTTGTGGCTTTGGGCTGGCCTGCGCTGGGGGGTGTGTGCCAAAAACGAGGCGTTGTGGGAGCGAGCGAGAGGAAGAGGCCGGCAAGAGACGATGGTTCTTGGGCTGGGTGTGAGAATGAGAGAAGAGAAGGAGGAGGCGGGCGGGAGAAGCATCGATCAATCAATCAATCCCATGGCCAACGGGGAGGGGAGGAGGAGGAGGAACAGGAGGAGGAGGCCGCGGGAAACAGCGCTGGGGCGGCAAGCAGCTTGGCGGCCAGCAGCCTGGCCCGCGAGGAAGAAACAGACATGGGGCCTGGGGGACGTGGTGGAGGAGGCTACTCGAGGACGCCATGCACCCGCTGGGGTGCCCGAGCACGCACATGCAGCAGGAGCAGCAGCCGGGCCAGGGGGGTGCAAGTGCAAGTGGAGGCAAGCGTGCCGTACAGTGCCGTACCGTGCAGCACAGTGCCCCGTCCGCCCACACCCCCCGGCCCACTGCAAAACCGGCCTCGCCAGGGGTGCCGCCCAGCCCGTCGCACCACCCGCCCGCCCACGCCCTCCTTCTGGGTCGGCCCCGTCCAGCCCACTACAGCAGCAGCACCATCATCATCCCCATCGGCATCGCCATCATCGCCATTCAACGCCATCGTCTTTGCCGGCATCGTCTTTTGTCATGTCGCCCGCCCCGTCCGGCGCCGGCGCCAGCACTAAATCTGTCGCTCGCGATGACTTGCTTGACCATCCTCCACCGCCTCCACCTCCACCCAGCAAGCCGCGCAGTTGATGGCTTGTCGGATCTATCTTTTGCACTGCCTGCGCGTGAGAACCTCGATTCGTCTAGATTGCAACCCGTTCGCCCCGTGGCGCGCTCTCGTAACATCCACTGTTGCTCCAGCCGTGCCACAGGATATCGCCGACCAGGCCTAGCCTCGATCGTCCTTAGGCCCAACGATTAGTGCCAGGCCTTCGCGACCCGCCATCCATCACCATTTCTTCCGACTCCCGAGTAGGCATCGATGCTCACTGGCAGCGGCGGCTGCCGGCGCGCCGTGGGCAATTGAGAGATGCTCAGCTCGGGCAGCTGCAGGAACGAAACCACCACCATTGCTCGTGTCTAGCAGTCGGGGCAATCTTGCACAGCGTGGACCCCACCCTTCCGTCCTCGTCGTTGCCGTGCACAAGTGCCCTCTCTGCTTTGGCTTGGGTGTTTCCTCCGACCGTGGGGGACATGTCAGTCCACCATTCAATCCACCTTGTGGGTGACGCTGTCGGGAACGTGTCATGAGTCGATCGAAGGCATGGTAGAAGGCTTGCTAATCAATGACAAGAGCTATAACAGCGGGCTGTAACTTGCAGGGCCCTTGATTACTCGCAGGGCCAGCACCTGGGTCGCGCTGCCCGCACTGGGCCGTGCGATGGGTACCGAGGTTGCCAAGCATGTGAGTGCGTGGGAGCATGCTTGCGCTTTTCCAATGCACATAATTATTCCAAGACAGCAGAGCCACAGCAGCAGATGCAGTGCAGAACGGTGGAAGAGGAGGACAAAGGCACTTCAGCAACAATGACCTACCAAAAGACCCCGGAATTGAGAGCAGCGAAGAATTTCGGCCAGAGGGGGGTTTCCACAGGACCTGAAACAGAAACGAGGGCGCTGAATGGACGCCACACAACTCTGGCCGTTTCGAAACGGATCCTGGACGGAACTTGCACGAGTACCAAGGGCACTGTGATTGTGACGAGAGAGGCTGCATCGTGCAACGTTGAAACCTGGAACCTTGCACAAGAGGTCCCCCCGGCTGTCGCTTGGTTCCTTCAAAAAACAAGACTGCGACGACAAACTTCGCACCCTTGCAAGTCCTGGTGGCGGAGCCGCTGATCCCTTAACTACCTCCCTGGGTACGGGGTGCCGGCGCGAAACTTCACACACGCAAAGGGTTTCAAAAACATTACTCGCCAACAGCTGCATCACAGTGGAAATACTGGGCGCGGGATCAGTTGCACCTAATGACAATTTCAGACGGATGAACATGGGCAGGATACGAAGAGGCCGGCTTGCCACTGCCAGAATAGAATGGGTTCTCGTCGCTCCTTGCCCGGCCCCATCCATTCATTCCCCATGACCCAGGCACGCGGTGCTGTGCATCCTCGAGGCTTCCGGAGATTACCAGACAGCATTGCACGTGGGACCCGATTGCGGCCGTCCTCTCTGCACCACCAATCCCGTGATGAGGACACGATGGCTCCCGGTGAGGCCTCTGTGCTTGGGGCACAGTCAGCATTTACCCGTTTGTCGTGCCGCGACTTTGGCACGGGCCGATCGTGCAAATGTTTGCTCAAGTGATGTGCATAGCAGGGACATGGCCATGTCAGGATGATCGCATCCCTTGCAAACCGTTGTGGACACGATGCGAACTGATGCAAGCGTGTCGCTCCAGCGCGAACCTGCCAGAGCGCATGTTTCGACTCTGCTCCTCGCCGCGAACATAAACCTCGGCCGCACGGAGCTGCCAGTCTGTCGTGATTGGGGCGCACCAAGCTTGACACCTGTCGAGGGTCCTTTTGACAAGACACACGAAATCGGGCTAATTACTTTGGACGTAGTTAGTGCCGTCACATCATCAGTAATTTCTATGGGACACGATCGCGCACGCGACAGAACGTCCAAGCGCGATCTCAATGACAACATTGACAATGTCGACCTCATTTTCTCGGCAGCTTCCGCACAAAAGACCCGCACAAAACTATGTACACTACCCAAGTGCGCATCTGCTCGATTGGCAACTTTTGTAGACCTGGCCTCGCGCGCGACAGAGCCCGATAACGGCCGGCGCAAGTAAATTGCCGTTCCGTGCATCCCGGGAGCCGGCTTCCATTGACGCTGGCCATCAGGGTCTACTCCAGACAGGATCTGCAGACGAACAGCACGACGGCGGCCCCTTGACGAATTGGAGGGAGCGCAGTCGATCGTGTGGGCCGCGTCTTACTGGGTGCTCGATAAAGCATGCTTTGGAGCTGCAAAAGTTCAAGGATGATCCTGGCACAGGCTCAGGGGCAGTCTTGTTTCCCCCTCGCTGTGCGTCCCGATCCTGGACCTATATCAGAGCTAAAAGTGGACAGGGGCCCCCGGCATCCGGCTCCTCTCTGTCGACGTGACAATCGTCACCATCCCCGTTCGTGTGACCCTTTTCCTCGGCCGCTGGCGCATGAGGTTGTGAGATGGCAGTTCCCCCCCAAATTGCGTGCTCGATTCCGGCCCAGCCTGCCACGAGGGGGTTTTGATTGCTCGGAATGCTACCATGGAACGTTTTTTTACGCCAGGGAAGCCCCTATCATCCGTCCCCCCCTTCAAGGATCACAAGGTTTGGTACCTGCTTCCCAGGGCATGTTCGGGGTCCAGGGAGCTTGTCATTACGTTGCGTGGGTTTGGGTTCCGTGCCGGCGGTCAGCGAGGAAACGCAGGGTGCCGGTGCTGCAATCAGCAAGCAATCATCCGAGTTGAGCGCGCGCGCGACTCGAGGGCGTTCTTTTCTCGGGGACTTTGTCGACGGGCCGTGCTTCGTGTTGCTGTGGCGGCGGTGTGGCTGAGAATTCGCAACATGCCTTTGTCTGCCGTGCCTTTTGGCAGAGGCAGCAGTTCTGGCTGTGGCTCAAGCGTGTGGGATCGAGATCTCTAGGTGCTTCAGGTCCGCGTCATTCGTCATTGTGATATTGTGATGCGTAGAGCTGATCAGTATTTTTTCCCTCATCCGCACGTCTCGTTGCCCGTATGGCAGTCTGGCAGGTCAACTCTACGATACCCCGCGAGGACGCTTCATTTCTTTCTCTCTTTCTCTTTCTTTCTCACTCCGTCTGTGTGCCCTCTGGACGTTTTCAAGTCCCCTGCCACAGGACGTTCGTCCCTGTAACACTCGTCCGTGCACAACAGCGCAACGGCGAACTGACACAACGGGGGGGGGGGGGGGCCCGAACTCGGCCGATCATTCATGTTGCATTCAGAGGACCCCGCACGACCAAGCTGCCGTTGCAGTCTATAGCTCTAGTCCAAGGTCCGAAGTATGAGTCGCAGTGGTATGCGCAGTTGCATCGTACACCTGCATTCCCGCATCACGCGCGCGCCGGGCGGCCCATCGTGCAGCAGCATTGCAGCATCGCAACTCGCTCTGCCGCGCCCTGCCGCGCCCTGCCCCCCATCCCCCCGGCAATCAAGCAAGGTGTGCGTCCCTTGAAAGTCGTTCCTTGCACGTTACTTGACTCGCGACAAGTGGTGCCCTTGTGTGCTCGTGCGCTGAGGCAAGTGGGAAAGGGGAGATATATGGATAGGTCCGGCGGCAGTTGGGATTGCCCTCCCTTCCGTCCCGCACAGTCTGTTGCTTTCCTTCCTAAAATGAGATTTTTATCTGCAATCGTGACTTATCGGTGTCGTTCGCTCCATGCCTGGTGCGCGCACGCGCAAATGAGAGACCCCCCCCCCCCCCATATCGTTCACTGTGCACCTTAACATGTGCCGACAACAAGCCAGAGCCCTTTAAAAGATTCATCTTCGTGCGTTAGGTATCTCCTCAGAGCCGACGACCGTGCTCCAGTGAATGGTACTTCACACCGCTACACTAGCGCTCATAGAGGTAACCTATGCCGCACGGCACGTAAACACGCCTTCACGAAAACACCAATTGCATTGTACCTATGAAGGATCACTCGTAATATCCCAACTGCGGTGTGTGTAATTCAGGTGAGGGCTCGACGGACTTTCCAGTAGAACCCAACGTCACTGGCCGGAACCCCCCTGAAACTTCTCCATAATACACGTGCAGGAGTCTTGCCGCGCTCTTGGGCAAAGATTCTTGCCGTGATATGTGCTGGGGTAACCTACGGGCAATTCGTTGGAGAGTGACACGATCGAGCCACGCCTGACGGTAAGGCAAACATAAAACAGCCTAACCGACCGTTGGGGGAGGCTATGCAATCACACTCTTGATTAACCCCTTCTACACGGCACGGCAGAAAAACACGAGATGGGAAAGGGGGGGGTTCAATGTCTTGGAGAGAAAAAACGGTGTCACTGGCGCCCATTGTCCACATTTTTGTGTCATTTATTTTTTTCCCCATGCAATGTCTCACTGCTGTTTGTCTCAGGTTTCTGAGTCGCGCTGAGACTCTCACGCTGGTTCGCTGCTCTTAAAAAATTCCGGGCGGTGTTTGGCAAGGGGCGGGCGGATGGGGTGATCTCGGGTCTCTCTCGCGAGTTCCTGGCTCGGGCAATATTATAGGGTTATTTCCTGATCCCGCGTGAGCCGTTGAACCTAGCTCGCTCGTCGTGCCGTGATCATGGACAAGGTCGGGGACGCCCCCCCCCCTTCCTTGGGAGGGGACAGGGGCAAAGAAAGCGGCGGGGTTCGTTTCAACGTGCTTGCAGCCGCCTCGTCGGAAGGGTATTTTTTGTTGGAGACCGTTGAATGCAAGGACAGGCATGGATTCGCGCTGTCTGTTTCGCGGGGTGTTTCGAGGATTAAAGCAGCGACCTAACACGGTCTCCAAATATCCCCGGCCGGCTCTTCGAAGCCCCTCTGGTGGGGAAAAAGTCCCAGGGTAGGTGTCGGCAGAGTGCTGCTGAGCCCAACTGGTTGGTAGTTGAGATGGTTGTCTGTCGTTCAAGATTATTCTGGAACGAGGTTTCAGGAAACTGCCTGCTTGGAAGTGCTGGTCAAAGTCGCTGGGAGACAGAGTTCGGACGCGCAACTCGGCATCAGTGATACTGGATGTTGTTCCTGTTGAATCGTTGTGAGCGGCATGCGCGAGGGCGGAATGGTAGCGTTTCGAGTTTATTCGACAATTACGAGGCGGATCGACTGTGCCGTCAAGGAACAATACGCGGATTTTCAGCCTTTCGCAGCCCCGGATCCAAGAGCTCGCTCCTGGATTCTGGCGCAAATACTGGTAGACCGGTCTTCCATTAGAATGTGTGGGCAGGAAGCAAGACAATTGGGAGAGAACCAACGTAGGTCGTCTTTATGTTGGTTTTCGTGAAGTTGCTTTTTATGCTCCCGCATTCTGCCCTGTCGCCAAACAGTGACGCTGCGGAATTGACATCTGCATTATTTCTATTAACCGAGTCCTTCCAGACGTTCTTTGCTCTTCCAACTTGCGTCATCGCACATAATTCCGACGGACCCGGGAGGTAACAAGGGAGCACGTTGGCGTGAGCTGCCAAGCATGACAATGTAAGACCTTTCATGCCATTGTGCCATTATGCACTCCATTTATGGCTGCGTTGCATCTGAAGTGTGACGCATGCTTGCCCAACTTTATTAAGAACCTGTGGCCCTGGTTCTCTTTTCTTTTGCAAGAGACGATGTATCGCAGTGACTCAACCCGAGGCATCACGTTTCTGAAAGTCGTTTGCCGCCTCGGGAAACAGAAATGGCCGTGCGCGCGTCATGTCTTCTCTCAATCATCTCTTTCTGCGCGACTCTATTCTGTCTCAAGGCTTGCCTCTGAGCACCATTGACCTCGCACCATTGACCTCGCACCATTGACCTCGCACCGTTTCCATACCGTCTTCACTTGAATGCGGCCCGGCTCGCTGGCTCCTCTTTGCCGAAGTTCGGAGAAGTTTTGTCTTAGCTCAAATTGGGTTTGAGTTCTGGAATCATTCCACGCCTCAGGCACAGCGAGCGCTAAGGGTTTTTAGTCCCAAGACACCTCGCTACACAAGGAAGAGAGCTTCCAGGCGCCAAGGGGACGGTACAGCGAGCAGCAACACAAAAACGCCGTTGGGACTAACCCACCTGTCAGCCGTCAAAGCTACACAAGTTCCGGCCCGATGGGGCGGTCCAGCTCAGCTGAGGTCTTCCACCAGCCGCCATCGCCTCACACAGCACACGTGTACACTCATACGATGGCGCACACACATAAACACAAATATCGCGTAGCTTGCCGAGGAAGCTTGATGATTGATCCACGCACCGCGGACGGATTCCGGCACCAGCGTGCTGGGGTTTCCCATTCCGACAGAATTAACCTGCGGCTGTCGCAATGGGAGAGATCATGACAGACCCGAAAGGTCCGAGGCGGGGCGCCGCGGCGTACTTCCTGTCTTGGGTTGCGTAGCTCCGTGCCCAGGCTTGTTGGGGGGGTTTTTTCAGCTTTGCACTCAGCTCTCAGGGGTGTAAGCATGCCGCGCGCGCAGCTGTCCGGGGTGCAGGCGCTCACGCGTGTTCGCCAGCAAGGCATCCGGAATACATGCCGGCGTCATGCGCGCTAAAGACTGGTTGCGAGACAACTTGTGAGGGCCAAATCGGCTGATTCTTGGCAAGTGTGCGGTTTCGGGGAAGGGCTCCCGAGACGAGGAGGCGCGGGAGTGGGCATGGGAGTGAGCAGCTGTCATTTGCGCAAACCCGCCCAATGGTTGGACCAGAAGCGAAGGCGGGGGATGCTTCTGGGGATTCTCAGTGTTTGTGGCAATTAGTTATCGTTAGATAGTATTGCTGCTTCCTAGATATTCCTAGATGTTCGTCTGCAAGTGGCACTTGGCAGGAGTTTGCCAGAACTCAGCTTGACTGCACGACTGTGTTCGTCGACTTGAGCACGGCTGTCGGGTATCACGCCAAGCTTTACTGTCACGAGTTGGACACCGGTCGCTGCTCAACAAGTCCACCTGGTGTCGTCCGACGTGGCAGTGTCCAACCAGCTCTGTTGAATACAGGGTTCCTTCTTAGATCTGTCATGTCGCGAACGCTATCTTTATTGATAATGTCCCAGACGGTAGCAGGCCAGCTGCTCAAGGGAACAATCAATTGAATGCTGCAGCGTCTGTGCTAAGTGGGCAAAGAGCAGAAATACGGCGGGCTCGAGTAGCTCCATAGTATGCTCGCTGAACAGGTAGAGGCACTACCGACCTGCCTCGTCATGCTTTGTTCTTTGGAAAGTTGTAGCAACTTGCGATACAGCGCCGGTACCAAGAATTGCTCCCCGCGTTCGCTGTCCATTGAGCTCTGCGCCGACTGCGAGCCGCTTTTCTCAAGCAAATTGGCATCGAAGAACACGCGTTCGACGGACTCGCACAAACAGAACTCTGTTTCAGCATGCCAGTAGGTTCCCCTGTTATGTAAGTCTTCGGCTTCTCGATCGGGCCCCGGAGATACATGACAGGACGCTAGGTCAACAGAACGAAAAGATGGCGCGACCCAGCTTCACAAGCAGCATGTACGGTACAATACCTTGAGACGATTCGAGCGGGTTTCTGCATCGACGCCGAGCTAAATCATCGATGCGCTATGGATCTGTGCACCTTGATCTTTCTTGTACAGAACACATGGGATGAATGCAATTCTCAGTGGGCTTTGGAACTCAACCGACACGTCTTCCCGGACCTGAAGTGGGCTGATATTCACTGGCCGTATATCTATGAGACTCCTTGATCCAGAAAAACAGAGTTCCAGGCCAGCAGAAAAAAAAAAAAAAAAAAGAGAAACCGATAGTGACTTTGGGGGTAGTCTCATCATGAGGAGGATCAACGCAGCTGCATCAAGACTAGTTTCAATTAAGCTGAGGGAGGCTCGGCGTCTTGGGGAACCACGATGACGAGACATTGCCGATTCAGAGGCAGGCGAGGCCAAGCAGTGGTTGGAAGAAAACCTGTCTCCAGGGCTGCTGACGTTGTCACTGTCGTCTCACTCGAGCGGCATGCCGGCTGCGACGATGATGACAACCGATAGAGTGCCAGAGAGCTGAACAAGGCCTTCGGCGACCCAGATGGAACAGTGTGCCAAACACCAACATCCTGTTCATCTAGAAAGGCAGACTTCGACAACGTGCAACTCAATTTGTGGGCATCACCAAGTGTTGGTCCGTGATGAGGCCGCGAAATACATGGTTCAGAGGATGAAGCACCGAGTGCCCGTAGGTCAATGCGTCAAGTTCACGGCTTCCTTGCAAAATTTCATAGTGCTGGTGATGCCATCCGGTGTATCAACGGCCAGGCCAACCGCGGCGAGACAATTGCCCGTGCAACGACCACTCAGCAGCAAACTCTGTTCGAAGCATCATGTCTTTTCCACCGCGACACGTGAGGCATGTCCGCGCATGGCCAACACAATGACGGCAACCTCCGATATCAGCCCATTTGCAAGGTAGCGTCTCGTTCGAGTCAAGGATCAAGGCGCAGGAACACAGTGGAAGTGTCGAGGTGGCCGACTGTCGCACATTTGGGTCCGCAATTTGCAACGGCTCGCAACGGTTGCCTCGAGGCAAGGAATCAGGAGCAGTGGAGCGAGCTGGTCGTCGATCGGTGACGGCGCATAATATGCGCCAGCAAGGGCGTGGCTGGCAGTCTGCACGACTGGGTTGCTCGGCAAGATCCGCAAGACAGCTGTGCGTGCCACGTGCAAGCCAGCCAGAGAGGGCACTGGGTGCGCGCACCCTGCCTGCGCCCTTGTGGTGACAACCTGGGAAGGCCATGTCAACAGATGATGGTGGATTTGTCACGGATTGCACGCCCCCCGGTCGCGGCGGGTGCGCAGGGCGTGGCCTCCGGCCGGCCGCGGAGATCCACATGCGGACTTCGCCGGGCACATTTGAAGGTGCAGCGCCGTCCTTCTTCTCTTTCTTTGCAAACTGGGCTGGTCGAGTGAACCTCCTTGTTCAAGCTTCCGTGTCGTCGTCGGTGGTGTCAGAGGGGCTTCCAAGGTTTTGATCATGCGAGCTCTGGCCCCGCCAGCCCTGCCGACTTTGGCCTCAGGCCCCGGCGGAATGGTTTCCGGGCACATGGGTTGCTGCTGCGGTCTGTGGCAGCCGCGATGCACCCCATATGTGCGCCTTCCTTGTTGCACGGTTGTTGGCGACCGCGCAGACCACCGTCCGCCTCGACCGGCCAGCGACAACATCATCAGCTTCGCCCTGTGGAACACCTGAAAGTTAGCACTGCGACCAGAAGCCAGGAGCCAGAAGCCATGGCCCCGCGCAATCCAGCTCAGCACGACCTTCCATGCCATTCAACAACAGCCGGGTTCCTGCCCACAGCCGGCTCCGCCTCGAGCTCCAGTGCCCCATGTCATCCCGCTCAGCACCTCAGCCTTCACCACAAAAGCAGCGGACACCAGCACCCCACACCAGGAAATTCACAGACATCATGAGCTGGAGAGAGCAGCGAAGTGTAATGCGGTAAATTGGGTCTCAATGAGATCTACATTCGAATATTACTAGCATAGGTCGGGCAGACGACTGCCCTGATCAACCACCGTGGCCGCCGTCGAAAGCGAGTCGACTGCATCCTGGCTTATTCAGAAGCACCAACACGGCATGACGAATCTGCCACGAGGCCATCCGCTTGTCACGTTGTCGCGGACACCCTCCAGCTCCATGGCCCACATCTTAGTTGAAGATGTAGCCCAGGGCCTTCTTGGTGTGGCCAAGCGCACCCTTGACGGGAGGGGCCTCCTCGTCGGTCTCGTAGAAGCGACGGCCCTCGTCAAGGTCGATCGAGTCGAGCTTGACGTACCAGGTGCCACGGTAGTAGGCACGAGCGCCGAGCCAAAGGACAATGCAGATGATGACGGACACGTAATTGGCAAAGAAGCCCTCGACGGTGCCGGTCGGCGACGGGTCGTCGTCCAGAGGCCAGACGGCCAGGTAGAACTGGACAATGATGAGGAGGATGCACAGAGCCAGGCCGTACCAGGCGCCGTACGGGTAGATCCACGACTTCCAGGGCAGCTCCTCGGGAGTGCGGCCCTGGCGAGCCCACGCAGTGCGGAAGCGGATGTGGGACAGGCAGATCATGCCCCAGCCGAACAGGGTGAAGAGCGAGGTCAGGTTGGAGAACCAGCCAAAGACTTCGGCACCCGAGTTGCTGACGTTGAGGTAGGCGAGAGCACCGCCAACGAGGAAGGTGGGGATGAGAGCGAACCAGGGGCGGCCGGTCTTGTCAGCGCGGGTGAGAATCTTGGGGGCCATGCCGAGCTGAGCGAGACCCATCGTGGTACGGGCACCAGCGTAGGCAGAGATCGTGCCGGTGGAGATGACGGAAAGCAGGACGACGGCGTTGTGCATATGGGCCAGGGGCAAGACGCCCGCATCCTGGTACGCAATGACGTAAGGAGAGGCAGTCGTCTTGGAGCCACCGCTGCCGAAGAGACGGTCATCATCGGGGTCAAGGTTGATGGTGACCATCAACGAGCCGAGGAGGTAGAAGAGGGACAGACGAAGCCAGATGGAGCCGACAGCGCGGGGCACCGACTTTTTCGGGTTCTTGGTCTCAGCAGCGACGAGACCACAGTTCTCAGAGCCAGACATGGCGAAGATGGTGGTGGGCATGACGTTGAGGAAACCCTTGAAGCCGTTCTTGAAGGGCTTCTCGTTCCAGTAGCGGAAGCCGACCGCCTCCTTGGCACCGTGGCCGGCAGAGATGACACTCATGGAGATGATGACGACAAAGATCCAGCCGAACTTGATGGAGGAGCAGATGACCTCGATCTCACCAAAGACGCTGACGGCACCAATGTTGACGAGGACAATCACCGCCCACCAGATGGTGATCCAGGCAGCAATGGGAACGGCCTCGGTCCACCACGAGATCAGGGAGTTGGCAGCTTGGAGTTCGTTGGCAATGGTGATGACAAAGGAGAACCAGTACGACCAGCCCAGAGCGAAACTGGCGGCGGGATCGACGAACTTGCCTAGAGAGGTCATCAACCATCAGTTGGGCTCACACGGAAAGCGCGAACGAGCAAAAACTTACCGGACCACTGGACGAAAGCCGAAGGCAGAGGGTACATGATAGCCATCTCACCGATGGAGTGGACGACACACCAAATCATGGTACCGGCGAGAATATATCCGAGGAAGAGAGAGGCAGGACCGGAGCCGGCGAGGGAGGCACCAGAACCAATCCACAGACCCATTCCGATGGAAGAGCCGAGGGCAATCATGGTGACGTGGCGCGTGCTGAGCAGCCGTTGGAGCTCAGAATCGCTGCCACGGTTGTCGTGCGCGACGACATCGCCGGTGATCGAGTTGCGCTTCTCGTTGGAGGTGTTGTGACCCAACTCCACAGGGGAGGTGGTAGAATCGTCCTTGCCACTCATTTTGGGAAGTGCTGCCGTATGTCTGCGGCGACAGTGTTGCGACTACCTTGAGAAAGGAAAGGAGACGAGAGCCGGACGATCCAAAGATGCGACGACGGCAGCAGGGCAACTTATACGGACGTGAGCAGCTGCAGGGCGCAGCCTCACGTACTCCCCAAGGAGTATGGGTGCGCGCGTCGAGGCGGCCTTGGTCCCCTCACATGCGAGAAGACGTCCATCGCCCGGAGACACCGTTTGCAGGTGAGGGTCCAGGCATAGTCCAGGGAGCCAGGACTCCAGGATGTGGCCCCCCCTTCCCACCGTTATCGACATCCTGAGATGGCCCGCCACCAACCGGGCTGACATTTATCTTTGCCCCCTGAATGGGCAGGAGCACTTCCTGGCAAGACTACGATCCATACAAGGGTGTGGCACCGTTGCATAGCCGCCAAGCATATTTCGGACGATGGACGGTTCTGGACAGTGATCAACCTGCAGAGCTTGCAATCAACTGTTTTGTGGCATATCCAGATCAAAGCGTTGGTCGGAGGCTCCCCGCTGGGCAAAGGAGCCGGGCAACGATCGAAGAGGGTTGCGAAATCGTCGCCACACACGCGACAGCTTCAAAGAGAGTCTCGGGATTGTTCAAGACCCATACGTCTCTGTTCGTCCACGCACCACCCCTACGGGAGGAGCGCAGCAAGGGTCCCCGCAGACATGTGCTTGGCGGCAGATAAGACTCCGTGCCACTCCTTCGAAGACTTCTTCGAATGCTTCTATGCAGACATGCACAGTTGCCTGTCGTGCCATCCGATCGTCTGATCATTGGATGTCATTGGGAACCAGCACGTCACAACAAAGAGATGGACTCTTTGATGTAACTATCACCATCAATGGCTACTGCCAAAGTTGTTGGCGGACTAAGGCCTACGGCGCTGTATCCAGCCAGCACTACACGACATTGCCAAGCTCCTGAAGCAGTTTTGCCTATTGCGGAAGGCCTTGGCCTCCAATCTCTTGCTGCAGCATCGATTGATCATTTCAGCACATTGTGTCGGCCGATGTGGCTTCTGGATTGGCCACAACTGCGAAGGACTTCACAGCTTCAGCCAACGACGACGCATGGAAGGTTGCATGGCCAAGCACCCCACCCCAGCTGGACTTGCAAGGAGCGTATCATCACGCCTTATTCTGGTCCAGGCGGTGCGAGCCTTGGCCTTGCTTCTTTCGGGCGCCAATGCTGACCCTGGCTTGACCCGGCCTGCCTTTCCCGCCGCCAAGGGAATTCCTGCATGGACAACCATGGCCTCGGTGAGATGGTATTGGCTGATGGCTCGGCGGGCGAACCCAAAACAACATCGCCTCGCGCCTACGCCGTTTCCACCATGATGAGACCTGACGGGTATCACGATGTTGGAGGCTGTCGAAATGCTGGGTGGAGTGCACTCCATAGATAAGCCAGCCGGGGTGGAGGCACGTACGAGCTTGTCTGGAGATCAGTGGCTCTCAGCCCCACGCCGCGGCTGGGCCGAGCAGCAACAACCCATTGTCGCTCGTGGGGGAGAATTGCAGTGGCAGCATACAAGCCTCAACAAAGACACCGAGGTCATTGATTGCCGCGTGTTCTCCGCTGCACCCTCGAGCGACATGACTCGATCGACGGGACGCACCGCCCTCGCGATACGCCACAGGGACCTCCACAAAACCCCCGGAGCAGCAGGCCAGCTCTGGTACCTGCCATTTCGTGCGCGTCTGCAGTTACGATTCTTGCGCGCAAGAATAGTCGAGCAGGTCAGCAGTCCAAGGGCGGGGGAGGCTGCGCGAGCGTAACGACTTGAGACTTGGCACCTGCCAAAACTGCCACTGGTCGACGCCAAGGGCCTGTGCGAGGACCTGATGGATGTGAGTTGGCTGGACGGACGCGATGGCGCTCTGAGCCCAAGAAAACGGCCAGAGGTTCCAGCTCGCCGAGGCCCTGCTGGGGCAATGGCGACATGGCCACACAGCATTGCATGTCCCTATCTCGATATCTTGGCAGCACCCCGGCGCCCAGAAGTCCCCTGCAGCGTCCGAGGTGCTGCAGACACGGGGAAATTGGACGCTCCTCCAAACGCTGCTTGGCGCACGGCCTCAGTCGTCTCGCCGCGACCAACACCAGCATCTGGCCGCCAAACGCAACAAAAGACGTTGTAATCGCTTGGTGCCATTCTTGCGTGATACGGACCCAGCATCCGTCTTGATTCTGGGAGGTCGTACAGCCACGAGTCGCCCAATGGCCGGCGTTGTGCGAGCGAGCGAACACAGAGCCATGTTCCGCGCCTTCGCCAGTCCATCACCTGGAATCAGAGACATCGGCGTCAAGCTTTCGCCCTCGAGCTTGTCGACGCAGCACAAGGCCTGGGCAGGTGCTTATCCGTTATTGGCTGCCAAGCGCCAACGCTCGGCGGGTCAAGAAATACGCCCGTAAGCTTGAGCTGATTATCCTCGGCCAAGGCATTGTTGGATCATCTTGGCGGTTCTGGGCGCGCACCGCTGCTGTCCATTAGCAACTCAATCATCACTCTGCATTTCGATCCAGTCACGGCCAGGCAGCCAGTCTGGAGGGAGGCTTTTGGGGTTCAGTGGCACAACCACGCTTGTGGTGCAGTCGCTGCTGGCCATGCCGCCTTAGGCAACCAACGCCCGTGGATCCAGCACAATATCTCAGTTCCAGATCGTCGGACCTGTAGCAGCAAGTTGACACCAATCGTTGCGGCACTGCTCTCAGCAGATCCCTTATCATGCCATAGTTAGCATGGTCATTATGGATGTGCCAAAGGGGGATTTCGAGCATGAGCGCCCACGCAAGTGGAAGCCAAACCCCAGGCAGGGGGGAAGATAGGCGGCGGACGGTGGGCTGGACGGCCCGCCTGTTGGTTGGCATGCCTGCGGAAGATAAGCAGGGGCCCCCTGCTCGGCAAGGCTACTGTCGGCGGGTGGGGATGCAGAATAGATCCGTCACAGCCCCAAAAGCACGAATGTCGGTCGACTCTTTGGGTTAATCAAGGTAGCTGTAGCAGGTGAGCCAAACGACGCCTCTTTGAGGCACCTGCCGGTTGGTCCTGTTTTGCCCGAGCGCTGTTCTCAGCCTCATGTTGAGGTGAATCAGACTCTGCCGGGACCACAAACTGCTGGCCAAAGAGCTGCGCATCATCAAGAGCGGTAGATATTTCAGTTTCAAGGATGCAAGCACCCGTTTCTGCGTTATCAGAGCAATGCGAGCGCGCCTATGGTCTCCACGAATCATCTATCGGTTATCTACCTACAACAAGGAGCATGCGCCAGGCCGTATTTCAGCAACAACCAGTGACGTTGCGCGAGTTACGAGCTTGACGTCTTCGGGTGTGGCAGCCTTGAGGGCAGAAACAGACTAGACCGGCCCATGCGAGCGGAGTCTAGAAGGCTTCCATGCGTATGCATCTCGCGCCTGTGCGGGTACATGGTCAGCTGGGAGGTAACTCATCAGAGGCAACAACCTACGAGGCTCCTCCAATGGATGGCTATCTCCAGCGCCTATGGTGGCGAAATGATGTTGTCCCGACCCGACCCGAGCTTCGGATTGGCTGCGAGACCAAGGGTTTGAGGGCAATGGGTGAGGCATGCAAAATTTGTGCGAGCTCGACAAGAGGAGCATATGCATTGGAACAGCAGCACCTGCCACCTCGAGTGGGAGCTGCTGTGGTCAGGCTCAGGGATGACAGAGATGATGTGATTGGGGACCTTCTCCTGGAGGGCAGCGGGAGTGTCACAAGACCACGAGCCAAGAGATGCCCAAGGGTAGACATCGTCCTCTCGATTGGACCGTCGAGAGCATCCCCATCCTGCTTACCGTCAGGCTCAGCGGCAGCCAGACAGGCAAGGACGGGATTTGGACAGCCGATTGCCAACAGCAGCTGCCAAGATACGTACCTGATCGACCACTTCTTCTAGAAGATTGACGGAAGCCGTGAAACATGCGGAAGCAGTGAGGATGCAAGGACGCTCGCAAGTGGCGATTCATGATGTCTAAAGTCTTAACTTGTCTCCTCAAGCCCTGGACTGTTGTCAGAGGGACTTCTCCAGCCCTCTTCCCCTTTGGGAGAATTGCAGATGTGAAGAAAAGCGCCGCGCGGAGGATGAAAGAGGTCTTCATTTCAACCTCCAAACCTGACCAGAAGACTACGAGCTCATTAGTTTTGGCCCATGGAAGCACGTCTCTTCACGGGCAGGGCACTTGGTCGTTGTATCGACCTGTGACCCAGCAGTGGCTGAGAGATCTTCCCGTTTAAATGCCGTGACAGCTGCGACAACAAACCGGTGTTCCGTGCTCCAGGCTAATCCGCCACGGCCCGAGGTATGGTGAGACATTGCTGTTTCCCCGAGCCCCCAGCCAAAGACGGGGTAGGTGCTCTTCCTGGTACCAGAACGATTTGCTGCTCTTGCTCCAGCATGGGCTATTTAAACCTCGGCAAGGTGCAGACTAATTAGTTCTCGGCTTGTATCGTGAAAGCCTGGGGCCGACCTAGCTTTCTGGTCAGCTGACGAGCGGGCAGGCCAAGGGCCCCTCCTCTCTCTCTCCGGACTTCTGAGCCAGAAAGGGTAGTGGGCGCTCGGGGATGTGTCCGATTCGTGGGAACTGGGTTAGGAGTACATGTCTACCAGGATGCCAATTGGCTGCTTTTAATCTAGGGGCGCGTGTACGTGACCAGGGAGGGGGGGTTCGTGTCCCACAGCCCGGGGGGGGGGGGGGGGGGGGGATAGATGAGCCAGCTAGGTACGGATTACTGGACAGGGCAACAAAAAGGGGGTTGCTGTACCATGGCTCGGTCCCCCGATGGCTAACCTCCTTCTTATTTGGGAAAGGGCTTGTCGTTTTTGGGGGCCTGTTCGGATCCGAGGTGAGGACGAGTTGATAATTCGGGTTTGTTGGGGTTCATTCAGCAAGCGGTGCAAGGGCGGCGGGCCGCGTGTCGGGCAGGATCTGAGAGAGAGAAAGAGAGAGTGGGTTTCACTGGAGACGGTTACGAACTCGTTTGAGGTTTTTTGGTCGTTCATAAAGTCTGTGGTGTGCCTGACCTATAGCGCTTGTGTCGTGATTGGGTCGTGTTAGACTGAGTATAGTGAACGACGCTCCGCTGTTGGGGGTTCTCTTGTATTGTTTTTATTTCCTCTTCTTTTTTTCTTTAATTTCTTGCTGAGCTTTGGTTACTGCAGTCTTGATTTTAGAACAAAGTAGACCGAGATTGATGCAGGTAAAATCAGAAGTGTTATCACTCTGCCTTGGAAGAGTCAAATACTCATCTTAGAGTCGTCCTGAGCTCAGTTGTTCTTTTGCTAGTACAAAGTTTCGGTCCCTCCAAGGCAGGCTAGACTAAATCACATATCCCGTGATCGCAGAAATTAGCTAATGCCAGAGCCCAATTTCTGCCCTGGACAGCCATTTTGTTCTTGTGCTTGTGAATAGATATGTCCAGTGGAAACAAGGGTATCAGCGGCACCATTTAAATATTGGTTTCCGTGCATTATAATAAATTTTCTATAGTTCAGCCAACTAAGCGAAATGTATGTTATCAAAAGTATTGCAGCGTTTCAATACCCCTCGTTCCGGAGCAAATCATCGGTGAGTTTCATCACTTGTTCTGTTGATGTTTTTAATCCATAATGGTAGAAAATGCCACGGACAAATCGGCATGCTATACCTTACCACCACGTACCATATCAGTTAGACAGTGGAAGCTGAGCAAACACGAATACTATACTCAAATATTCTCGTTACTCAATGACGGTAGCTGAGCGAAGCCTAGACTTTCTGCATGATGATTTGGCCGTCTCGGCATAAAGATAACATTTGCCATCATTGTCATGCCTCACTCCGCATTATTGCTATACACCGCTTCAACCCAAGGAGAGACGTCAACTGGCTCTTTTCAAGACCTCGCCATAAATTCTCCCCAAAAGCCCACTCACTCCCCTCCACCCGATTCTTGCAGTGCCACTCCAACAAAAAGAAACCCTCCGATTTCACCCCTACTCACGCCGTGCCGTTCTTGCGTTGCCCAACGAAAAAGGCAAGGCCATAGTCCTCGGTCGTGAACGTGATCTTGCTGCCCTTGGGGAAGTAGAAGACGTCGCCGGCGACCGCCTTGTCGACCTTGTTGCCGGCCTCGTCGCTGATCTGGAAGGAGCCCTCGATGATGATCTTCATCTCGTGGTACGTGTACTCATAGACGAGCGGGGTGCCCTTCTCTAGGCGGTAGAACCCGGATGTTATGGGTGCTGCCTCGTCGGTTCTTTTTTGTTTTTGGAACGCACGCCTATTAGCGGTCGAGGACTCAGATCACGGGATGGTGGTGGGGATGGGTACTGCTGCTGATGCAGTAGTCGGAGTTGTAGTAGTAGCCTCCGAGCTTGGCGCGGGCCAATTTATTTTGCCCGCCGGATAGACAGATAGACAGACATACAGCGAGCCATTTGTGCCACCAACAACTCGAGGGGCGGGGGGATAAAGTGGAATATGGATTTCTTCTGGGGGGGCAGAAACTCACGAGGTCGATACGTCGCCCAGAAAGGCGTTCTCGTTGGCGATGAGCGGGGGCTTCGTGCCCGAAGCCTTGGGGAAGTACTGTAGTGCGGCAGCCATGGCTGAGTTGCGACGCTTCAAACAGAAAAGTTTGTTTGCTACGTGGATAGCGTGTAGAAGTCTGAAGTCTCGATTGTCGAGTTGGATTCACAAAAGTCGTACTGGCGCGCACACGGTGGCCTGATCGGGGAGAGAGTTGGAGAGAGTTCTCGGTGACAAACGATGATAAGGCCTGCTCTTCACAATGGCAAGAAAGATTGTTCAGTCAGAAGGGTTTGAGCGTGTACAGATGGAGCGGCGGCATGTGATTGAACTTTATATAAAAACCCACGCTAGCAAGACAAGCTGCCTCGGGATGACGAAGCTCCATAGCCTCTGCCGGGAGACACCTCGCCCGTAAGCACCAGCACGAAGATAAGGTATTGCGCTGCAGATGTGATAGAGCTTCGTGAGGCTTCTCTGAACCAATTGCGGACAAAATAGGCATGGAGTAAAAGTAAGTGGGTGACTGCGCGCGGCTCTCTGACGGCTGCGGGGTCACAGTCCTTCGAGAATATCCGTAGGACCAAGGTGTGTGTGTGTAAGCCGCAGGTGGTTACTGGCGGAGAGCAGCACGCGTTTGGTGGTTGCGTAGTGGTTGACTCGGGCTAAAATCTCCCAAAGAGGCAATCCCAAACCTCTGGCGCGCCCTAAGGCAGGCTTCCCCCAGGTGTGGAGGTTGCGGAGCACTAACTATCTGGCGGGGTCACCAAGGTCCCCTAGGTGCTGTAGGTGCTGTGATGCTCACTGGAGACAGCTGAGCTTGCTGGACAAGTTGAAACTCGTACCGACCTGCCTAGGTCTTGTAAACAACACATTCATTTCAACAGCTTGTGTGCCGCACCGCGTCGTACCCCGGGCAACAGCGCAAGAGCGCAAGGTGTGCAAACTCGCCATATCGTCCTTGTCACGCCAAGCATTGGTGCATCGTTCAGCTTCTGGAGTCTTGCAGCAGCCGTCTTATCTATCTAGGACAGGAACAATGCTGACGCCAATAAGTATCATCCCACCCCTCACGCAAGGCCCTGTCGCTTCGGCAGCCACTGCGATCTGCACAGTCCCAGGCTCGCCGCTGACAGCTCTTCCCGAGCATCACGGTACATCCGTCCACGCTGTGACGCAGGATCCACCAACGGGATGTCTTCGAACGGATGGTAGTCTGGCTCACAAGCTTCCCCGTCCGCTGGGAGTGTCCCGTTCTGAAAGTATGCGCGGATGTGAGCAGCCGTGCAGGCGGAAGGCGCAGATAGCGTGGTATGCTGAGCGCCGGAAGTTGTTGCGTTAGTGATGAGAGGCTACACCCCCAGTTTGGAGACGGCTTGCGAGATGGAGACACTTACGCCATAAGAGTTCTGTGTCAAGACCACTGACCCAGGGAAAAGCTCCGAGTTGTTCCTGGCGCTTACCAGGGGCGTAATGTTGTCGGCAATGTTGGCGACGTACAGGATCGGGTGGGCTGTGGTGCCCCCGAAAGGACCACTGAACCGCCACCTGGGCCGAACTTTCCTGCCCACGCAGACCAGGCGGAAGACTGCGTTGACCTCGCCCGCGATGGAGCTGATGGTCTTGTACTGCTCGACAATATCGACAAACTCTTCCAGGGTGTCGTTGTTGGGCAGGCCGTCCGCGCACGCGATGGCTGGATACGCTTCGCCATTGTCTTCCTCCAGTCGGGGTAATGTAGGAGGGAGCGCATCAATGGAGCAGAATGAAGACTCCGGGTCGTCGGCCAGCACCGTGTCATAGAAAGAACGCCCGTTTCCGCGTTCGAGGTCCGCGAGTATCCTCGCAAAGACTGGGAACATCAACAGAGGCTGATACATGGTCCTGGTGATGAAGCGCTTCAGGTGCGACCAGGTGACGAGCTGAGGCATATCGGGCCCTCGCTCTGGATCAGCATCGACGATGATCGGTCTATACCGGAGTGTTTGCAGGAGCTGAGCGAGACGTTGTGCGATGGCTTCTGGCGACTCTGCATAGAATGCGCAAGGGATGGGTCCCGCTTGGTGACAGTAAAAGTAAAAGGCCTCCATGACTTTGTCGGTATCACGGAGGAAGTTGATGTGCTTGTCCTCGGCCCACTCCTGGTAGTCAACATTTCCTGTACTGCGTGTTTAGCCACAGGCGAATCGAGCTGGGCCAGAGTACTGACCGTCGCTGACCAGTCTCTCGACCCTGTCTGGATACATGGAGGCGAAGTAGCCTCCGAGCACGGTCCCGTACGAGAAGCCCCAGTACCTGAGCTTGTCATAGCCCATCTGATCAAGTATCTCCAGCATGTCCCGTGCGTGAGAGGCCGTGCCGATGTGCTCGAGAAGGCGCGTCTCCTGCATCGACTGCTCACACACAGCTGAGATGGCCAGGGCTCTCACGTACGCATCGTTGACAATGCCGGAATGGGCCCCAGGAACTCCGACGTCTTGCAAGTCCCAGAGGCGTCTCTTCTGGTCATGCCGCCAGCAGTCGATGCGCGGCAGAGAGGCCCCGACTCCTCGCGGATCAAAGGTGACGATGTCGTGGTTGCGACCAACGATGGACTGGATCAGGTGGCCATGGTCACGAATAGACCAGACACCCGAGCCACCAGGCCCCCCAGGATTGAAGAACACTGGGCCAAGGTACTCCCCAGGTGCATCTGGGTCTGCGCGCAAACGAATGACTGCGAGGATGATGCGCAAGTCATCGGACGGGTCGAGCCAGTCCATCGGAAGGTCAAGCCGGGCACAGTCGAACTCTCCTTCGAAGCATGCATGCCATTCGAGCTTTCGGCTCGGTGCGATGTTGGCCCAGTCCCCATTTCCGCTGTGGGCCGTCTGGGGAACTCCATAGTTGTTGTCAACAAACTCATGGCCACCGCGATTCAGCGGATTCCATACGACATGGAAGAAAATAAGGCCCAGGACAATGCTCGCAAGGGCGTTGGCGATATTGCGCAAGAGGCTTGCGTCCTTGGTGGTCTCCGTCCGCAAGGACCAGGCTGGCCCGACTCTGGGCTTCTCGAATATGGGTTCCTTGGACATCCTGCCGACCATCAGACCACGCCTGGGCTAGAGAATGAAGCCATGATAACCATGCTGGGATCATCACCTCCTCTTCGAAGGGGGACGAGAGCCAGAAATATATTGGGCGCCCCCTGATCACGGCCGCAGGCTCGCCAAGCCGAGGACACCGCCTGACTGGCTATCAGGCGGCTCAGATACATGCCGCCGCGAAATAGCTCACAGCTCATTGGTGCTGACAGGCCGCATGCAGGAATGACGCGGGGCTACTGAGACAACGGCACACGGCAGCGTCAAATTCGGGGACCATTAGGGGTCTTGCCAGACCGTCTGGTTGGTTCGCGGGGAGCTGCGCAGACCCCACTGATAACCATTGTTGAAGACATGTCCCAGCCAAAAGTTGTCGTGAGGAGCGGCGAGCCTTTGCACCACTCTGTATGACTCAGGCTGGCTCCCTTCTGAAGTGTAGAGCTTGTCCTTCGGGGATCTCGAGTCGGGACTGTGGATAATTCCTCTGACTCGTGGAGCCCGGGCACGACGAAGTGAGCATCGTATTAATAGCGCAAAGACAAGACACATTGAATGTCACGGACGGTTCAAAGGGGAAAGATGGGGAGGCAGGGCCATGGGCTGCAGACCAGTACAACTTGGCCAATTACGGACTCTGGAGCAACGAGCTCCAATAAATGGGAACTTTGCCTGCCTCAAGTGACCATCGAGCCGACGTCCCCGAAGCACGTATCACCGAGTGGTCTTTCAGTCGCTTGTCTGCTTCCGAGCCACGTGTGGTTCACAACCAAGCTTCATGTAGAATGAATTAAATGTATTACAACTATAAGCAGAAATGGCCCAGTACGTCATGTCAACCTCGGCGAGGACCCTCTCCGCTTTGGATCGCGCTCCGACCTCGCCCCAACGACATGGGCAAAGGGCGTCTTTGCGCTCTGCAGCGGGTCGACCTGCGCCATGACATAGTCGTCCATGTAGTGCACGACCGTCGCGCTCATGACGCTGCCCTTCTCGGCCATCTCGGCCGCCGCCTCGCGGTCCTCCTCCTGGCTCGCCTCGCTGCCAGTCCGGCTGATGATGCTCCGCCGTGAGCTGTTGTCCCCGTGGTGGTGTTGATGGTGATGCTTGCTGCCGCGGCGGTGGCTGCTGCGCGTGGTGATGCTGGGCGGACTTTGATGTTCGGTGCCGCCAGACTTTGACCGCTGCAGCTCAATCTCGTCGTCGCGCTCGGCGTCAGTCGAGTAGCGCATGTGCCGCGTGATCTTGACCTCCTGGGTCACAAAGATGGTGCCCATCAGGGCCTTGCTCAGGGTGGGCCAGAAGACGGGGATCGACGCGCAGATGATGGCCAGGTTGACCTCGATGATGCCCAGGCAGATGGCGCTGCTCCCGTACCACGTCGGGTCAAACGTCGGCCACGTCGTCGCCCGGTGCGCCACCATGTCCCCGAACCGCCAGATGGACGCCCCGATGACGAGCGCCCCGAGTGCGAACAGGCCCGCCAGGCCCCCGCGCGTCTGCCGGTTAATGTCCTTGCTGAAGTACTTTGGCAGCGGGATGCAGAGCACCACAATGTCGAAGAACATGTTGGACGCCGCCTGCGTCGTGTACGTGGCCACAAAGTGCTCGAGGTTGTCGGCCCCAAACCCCCAGCAGTTGCGCTCGCGGCCCCAGGTCCAGTAGTCGCTGACGGGGTTGCACGGGATCCACGCCAGTGAGGCAAAGACGAGGCCCCAGGCGAGCACGACGCAGAACATGGCCTTTGTGAAGAGCCGCATCCGGCCAGTCTCGTACAGCCGCAGGTACTGGAGCAGCAGCGAGAGCTTGACGAGCAACGACGACAGCTGGTAGCTGCCGTTGCAGATGTAAAACGTCTTGAGCCACTTGTCCGCCTCCGCGGGGGCAATGAGCAGGAAGTGCTGGCCCAGGCCGTGGTTGACGGAGACGCAGACAGTGATGCTGCCCAGGTGGCCTGTGAGGATGAACAGCATAACACACAGGTCATCCCACCCGGGCATTCGCACGATGAAGAAGCGCGTGTACAGCCGGAAGCCCACGCACAACGACGACAGCAGCATGAGACTGATTGTCAGTCCGCGGATGGTCGTGGGGTTGTTCCAGCCGGTGCTGGTCTCGTCCAGGTTGTTCTGGTGGCCCAGCATGCCCATGACGGTTGTAGGTGTCGCCATTTTGACGAGGATGTTGCCTTGTCTTGGTCTTGGTAAGTGTTGCAATGCCTGCTGCGGGAAACGTCGCTTTACGTCTCTCGGCACATGTTCGACCTTGAAAGCGGATTTGTCGAGTCCTGGCTGTTTCTTGGTCCGTGTCTTGGTTGACGCACTTGTCGTCACGAGGTAGCTCCAGGACGTGTTTATATTAGCCTTCTTCGAGAGCAGGTCGCCTTCCTCGCCGGCCTCTGGTGTTGCTGTCTCGCCCTGCTGTCGATGTCGTTGGACCTTGTGGCTATCGAAAGTAAGGCAGTGAAACCCTCGCGGCTTTGTAAGAAGGTCCGTAAAGAACACCAAAAAAAAGAAGAAACTCCAGGTCGTCGGAGTATTTGCTTGTTGAACACGGGATGGGGAAGCAGAATGCAGTCCCCGGTCGAAAAAGAGCGTGTGGGTAAGAGTGTGTTTGCTGTAAGTGCGTCAAGAAGTGGGATGTACCGGGGTACAAGGTACAAGGTACAAGGGCAACGCTTTACCGCTCTCCTTGTCGTTTGTCAACCATCAGGGGTCCGCGGGGGAGCAAGCGGTACATGGATGCAAGGCGAGGGGGGCGAGGGAAACCTCGCAACCTTTATGAACCAGCAGAGCCCTTGTGGAAGCAGCATCGTGGGTCCGCGGGGGAAGCTGTCTAGCGTGTGCAGTAGCACGTACGCGGGCCTAGCCATCGAGTCATGATAGTCCTCACTGGTGGGATTCTTTGCATAGGAGGGGGGAGGCAAGCCGACTGCTCGTGCTGCTGCTGGTCCCGGTATCAGTAACTGCTATCCTATCTGCAAGCGTGTCGGAGAATGGGGTGGCTGGCTCTTTGGGCCCCCTTGGCGTCAAGTGGTGGCTGCACCACCACTTCGGCCATACTCGAGGAACTTTTTGGATCGTTCCTCCTATTGCTACGGTGCTGGACCGAGACGCCATGCCGCGCTGCGACCTATAACAGACGCACTAGGTCTGCTGATCCTGCCACCGAGGCCAGGGGTGTTGACTGCACTGGTGTGTTGCACTAGACTGGCGTGTTGTCTGTGTGTCAGTCTGCCGTCCTTCTTGGGGTTAGAGAGCAAGCAACGCATGCGTCGCGCTTGCTTGCTTACGTGCGTGCTTGCTTGGTCGGCGGCATGTGCAGTGCACGGGGCTGAAGTCCGGCGCGGCGCCCACGGTCCTGGATTACAGTGGTTTTTGCGGACGCGGTGCTTGTGCTCAGACTCTGTGGTGTCGGGCCAGCGCCAGCGCCAAACTACGGAGGAGCTCCCCGTGGCTAGCGGGCAGAGCCGGTCCATCGAGGGGAGCTCGTTCCTAGACTTTTGCGGGGGGTTTGTCCGGTGAAGGTCCTCCGCGACTTGACGAGCATCCCAGCGAAACAAAGATGGGCTCCAGCTCGAGTTAGAGATTGCGGTCGATGTTGCACGTGCTCCCTGGCATCGTATGGTCCCCTTTGGCAGCAGCGAATATGCTGTGCCGCCACGGACTCAGGAAGCGACTGGCATGTCGCAGGGGAGCCAGGGGTATGCTTGTCCTCGATGCACATGGAAAGCGTCAAAGGATTGCGGCAACGATGGGTACCGCCAGGGGCGGGGGGACCCAGGAGGGTGGCCTGGTTTGCACGTCGCAATCAAGCATGCAGTTAAGGTAGGTTGGAAAGGTTTGGAGGATCTTGCCTGAGTACTCGGCCACATCAGGGCATGTGCTTGCAAGCTGTCGAGTTGTCCCGGCACATACTACGCAGAGCACTGCCAACGACGAATGCCAGCGAGAACCACGGTGTGGCACCCACGTCACTACTCGGAGGCCTGCATTGCGAGAGGAGAGCGCGGGCAGGGTCGATCCACAAGCAGATGCAGAGACGATTCAGGCCCTGTAGCGATTTAAGGACAGAGATCTGCTCGCAGGCGGCAGCTAGCCAGATGGACTCTAGCACATCCAGGTGTTTCCTGGCATCCTGCGTCCCTTCCTTGCAAAACACCAGCTCTGAAACCAGCCTATGATCAACTAGCTCGGGAAGTGATGGCACCGAGCCACTACAGCGAGCTGGGCCTAGTGCAAGCTAGACAATGACAGTCAGCCAGCTCAATGGGCGGCGGGCACCAGACTGTTGTTTAAGCTGTAGATCCCGTCCGAACGTGCAGCGTCCATCCCTGATCATCACCTCACTTTCTCTGACATCTGTGCAATTCCCATAGGCTCGGCGGCGACGACGTCGATGGTCGTGATGTGAGGCAAGCTGGATAACATTCAGCATGCTCGTTCTTACACTAGATTCTCGACCCAGCCAGTTCGATATCCGCCAACGAGCTTGGGCTGCCCCTGCGAACAATTTGAGGCCTTCACACTGACAAAGCTCCTCCCGTCCAGCGCTGTCACAGCAGACTGGCACCAGCCCTACCCATCGCCCTTCGTGCACGGCGATTTGCATGCCCACCTGCTCCTTGCGCTTCTCTGAGACTCGGATATCCTCCCTTGCGGCACTGCCTGTCTTGGCTGCTCGGCTTGCTGCCGACCAGGCGTCCTGTCCAGTCGTGAGAGCACACTTGCGCACGCACGCGCGGGACATGCCGCCTGTGAATGCGACGTCGCGAGAACCATGCCCTGGTCTTTGCCCTGCCTTGTCCAGAGTGTGTCGCGATCAAGCAGGGAAGCACTCGCAAGATATAGCACATGGCGTGTCAAATCCACAAGGATTGCGGGCGAGTCTTGATTGCAACGGTCATGCCCGTGTGTGAGTCTTGTCGACCAGGGATGGAGCAGTGCAGCCGGGCATGGCGGACCAGGATTCGTTGCGAGGGACAGGGGTCGTTGAAGGCAACCAGAGACATGGTGGGTGAGTGACAAATATTCCAAAAGTCAGGTTGTTTCATTTGATTGGTTCCGAGCTTTTAGTCGACGATCACACCAGATCGTGAGCCGCCGCAAGTGCGTGATCGACAGCGCCGTTGAAAGCTGCTGGCTCTAGCTCCTGGAAATTAGCCCCCTTCGCGCAAGTGTCGACTAGCTTCGCCGAAGCCTGGCATTGTTCCGTTGTTCCGGTCTAGCGTTGCCGAGCAATGCGACAGAATATCAAAGTGCCCGCCACCGAGTAATTGGCGTGGCGTCAAGCTTGATACTGAGACCGCCCGTCCCTCCAAGCTGACGAGATGGCTGCCAGAGACAGCTAGCTTGTTGTATCAGCCCTGCATTAGCGTGGCCATCTTCAACCGTGAACGAGCCGATGATTCGTTCTTTTCTCCTTATTGTCCAAAGCTGTAGTGGTTGTCGAACAAGCTTGGAAAGTGGTAAGCCAAGCTCAGTGAGATGAGGCATGTGGCGCGAATTGCAGGTGCCTCCGGCTTGTCATACATACGAGCGAACGCGCAGAAAGTGCATGTTGCCGGATTTCGGTGGGTATCTCCAGGGTCAGCATTCGTAAAGTCATCTTTTATCGTCAAAGTCCTCATTTTTAGCTGTGGGCCACAATTCTTCGAACGGGTATTGGGATCTGCCCAGGCCTAGGAGTTTTTTTCATCGAGCAGCGGGTTCAGAACTGCGGGCCGACGACAACAGTTCATGAACGCAGAAACCCACTAGACCCGGTCTCTCTGTGCACTACATGACCTTTGTCAACCGGCCAGAACAGGGAGCCAAGGTCGTGTCCCGTCGGCACACCGGTGCTCCTACTATCGACATTTCCAACCCCGCCGCACGGACAGGTTTAACATTGCCTGTGGTTCCCGAGCCGGAATCCGCACAGCTTATCCCTTTTGAAATGCTCATACCATACTGCGTAGTACTCCGTATTGCGATCAGGTGCGTTCAACACGTTCATTTACACATGTGGAGTGCTTCTGGGGCAGATCCCAAACTGGACAGCTAAGCCGGTCAAAGCGTGCCATCAACTACGAGCTGTGTCGTACTTCCATGCATGTATTCGTCTGTGCCTAACCCTCTACCGCCTGTTCCCATGGCCTCGATCCGTGAACCAACAGAAATGCCAGGGCCCGGAATCACATCCGGGGAACCGCGGAACGATCCGGCAGGAACGCATCCTTTGGGACTGGCATCTTCGTCACAACCGTTCGCGCGCGTGCATCTGTCGAAAATGTGAATGTTGTCGCCCCCCTTGAGGGGCCCGTACCCAGGCACATGCTTGCGTTGGGTCGGGTCGGCGGTCATGCAGCAGACGTCCATCGCAGGGTGCACCACAGCAGCAGCGTTACCACAGCGGGGAGGAAGCCCCCCTCGCTGGCAGGATCAGCGCCTAGCCAGGGCCCTGGGTCCCCGGGCTTGGCTTGGCTAGCCCACTGTAAGTAATCCCGTGGCCCACCACTGCTTAGTTGTTGTGGATTCCGTACTTACTGCGTAGCTGGCTGGTGATCCTGGTGCTAAAGAATTTTGGCTCCTGGGGAGGGGGCTCGAGCACAAGCTGTGGATTGCAGCTGATGCCGTGCGCGAATTGATCGATTTTTCAAGTCGGTAGTCTGCTGATCTCATCGAGGATGCTCTGGCAGAATTGCTCCGTGGCAACAATATGGCTTTTTTTTGGCATAGTTTTTCTGCACGGTCATTGCAGAATGACAGGTACGGCCCGACTTGCATGGAAAGTTGCATCTTCGGCCATGCCTGGCTTCAGGGGTCGTCGTCATGGGGCAGGGGCACCGGAAAGCCCGCCGCGGGACTCACTGATTGGCATGTTGGCTTGTTGCTCGTAGAGATCCTTGAAGGAAGGCGACAGCCTTGAGGGCCGGGTTGTATGAACCCTGACAGGCTGTTTGCAAAGGTCGGCCGCTTGAACTTCGGTCAACAAACCTAATGTCGTATTTTAACGCCTCTTGTCGTGTGGCATGGCGGGCAAGAATGGTTGCAATGCGTGGGGCCCTAAGCACCATGTGGTATTAGTCTAGGAGAAATGCTTCATTACGAGGTAGGATGATATCGAAACGGATATCCCGGGGGCAGGGATTGCTCGCCCAAAAGGACATATGGCTTGCACGTGTCTTTGGGTCCCTGATGTCAACTGTCACGCCGGCTTCGGCCGATCACGATGGAGAAGGCGAACGTGCCTGTGCGGCATGAGATCCGTCGGCTCTTGAGCTGTTGTGGATCATGATGGACAAAAGGCCTTCCAGGGAAGAAATCACTTCGGCGGTCGCTACGGTGGGTACCAAGGAAAAAGGCAAGTGATCTTTCGAAGCGCAGCCTCAATTGTGTTATTCGCGTCTTGTGGCTTCGTGCAGGTTGAGATGCCTGAGCATGAACGTTGTTTGGACGCGATCCGGGACGATCGCTGCCGGGGTTGGATACCGCTCATCAATCCAGGGGACAGCTGCCGGCATCCGAGCCAGGGTCACTAGGCTCACAACATCAGACAGAAAGACCGGCCCTAGGGGTGTCACGACAAGCAGCTTCGTTGTATCATTCGCTCGCTCATCTCGAATTTCCCACGCGGACTCGCCGTCTCGCTGGTTCGGCGCAAGAACGCCGGGCCCCAATTCGTTTCCCCGGAGTCCCCCGAGCATGATGCAACTCGAGCCGGTACATGCCCGTCTCTACTTTGGCGACGATACAGAACAGCCGGTGTACAGTAGCATTCAAACCCACCGGGCCATATGATTGCTGCTATATATATTTGAACGCTATGAAACGGTATTCCCATACTGTCGGGACCCAATCAGGAACATGTTGCCCCGTCACGAGGACAAAATCTGTCCGAAAGGGGCAGAGCGAGCCCGGTGACGGGTGCCACGGCCGACTTATCGAGAAGTTGCTCCGGTCGAGGAGGGCTCAATCCTGGGCGGACATCACCACACGATGGCACGCTGGGCCCGTCAGGGGGTATCGGGTCATTATTGGACCAGGGTGTTCTGATATCGGACATTTTGTGAGGTCAGCAGGAGATTGGAGGGGACGGATTCGGTATCACAGCCGAGTCGAAACGTCACAACAGCCGTGAACCCTGCCTGACAGAATACTGCGGTATGGCCTAGGATATACTGACGTCGATCAATCCGACCAACGAACCAAAGTTGTGTACATTTCCCACCAATGTTTTCAGATGATGATCTGACATGTCGCTTTTCCTAGCACATCCAAGCCAGTCATTGCCTCGTTCTCATCTTGCAAAAGTACCAACGAGCAACTCCAAGCTCTGGAATCTGATGATCGTCTCCGGATGGCACTTCACCTTTGGCACCCAACAATCATATCAGGTCATTCTGACACGTTACCCCGGATATAGGACAAACCCTAAGCAGCAGATAGGCAATCGTAGCATGAACGCGCCACCGGACACTTTCAGTACGAGTTCAGAAACATCGCCGTCAAGGGGTTATAAGATTTCCCACATATGCCCATCAACCCGGGGCTCTTGCAAAAGTGCCACGGAGCAAATGCTGACGACACACACCACACCACACCATCACCATCACCATCCTTCCAGCCCAGATGGCCCCGGAAGTGACAGCGTATAGTGGTCCGTCGATGGATTGCAATGTCCCCCTTTTTCCAAAGAGTCAATCAGAGAGCCAGGCCACCTGACGTGCCGTCATCATTTGTGCAAAATGACCACCGCCAGCGCCTCGCCGCTCACCGGTGTGACTCTGGGAAGACACACACACACACACGGCGCCCTCCCGCCGTTGAACCCGGGGGGGAACTTTTGTCAGCTCCATCTCCATGTAAGCCCCGAGGACACAAGTCCTTCAAGTGGAAAAGAGAGAGGTGGATGTAGAGCCAGACAGAGTCAAGGCAGACTGAAGCGTGACTGAGCAAGTTATTTTGGCTGTACATTTCCTTGAAATGCCACAACACGCCCATCGTCGAAGATGGGCGGATGTAATTTCCACAGAGCGGTTGTCACCGGTTCTGCGGGGATCGCATTGACAAGGGGCCCCCCCTTTCCACGCAGAGCTCCGTCGGAAAAGATCCTGACCGGAGAGAATGTTACGAGCGGCGCGGAGGAAACACGGTTCTTCCCATGGTCCGCGCTGCGTGAAGCCAGGCTATAGTTGTCCTGGGGGTCGGCCCGAAAGAAAGCCCCCGAAGCGCTGTCATTGCACTCCACATCCATATCCAGAGAGACGTCTTATCATGAAAGCTCATCTTTCCAAGGGGCCAATAAGACAATAAGATTGTCCGGCACGGAGATAGTAGACAGAATCCTGGGGTCTGAGCTAACCAGCCTCGTTCTCAGGTTCGAGGGTAGGTGCTTTGTTTATTCCGTATAAGCGTGGCATTTCTGCAAAACCTACGATCATCATAGCCACTTGTATATTCAGCTTAAACATAGTGTAGTGACTTTGATACGCAGCTGGAAAAGCGAGTGGGACGCCTTGATATCGGAGCTTCACGGGCTTAGAGCAGGATGATAAGTGTATGCATGAGGAAGAGAAGAGCTCAGCTCATGAGCTCACTCGCAGCCCGCCGCGTCTTGCAGTTCCGTATCCCGCCTTAGAGTCACCGTTACTCGTCTCTTGTTCGTTCCCGCACATGCATGCTACAAAGAAGCACCGTAAAGGGGTGGGGGCCCCTAACATAAGAGAGAGTCGTGATCTAGTGACTATGATCTTCTTGTTGCGCTTGGTAGCTAGCCAATGGCTAAAAAGCTGAAGGGACACATGCCGGCAAGCTGCGCGAGAAGGTTCTCGTCGGCACCGATCACAGGTGCGTAGTCCTCGTAGTGCCTTGAATGTGTGTTGTCTAGAAGAACATGAACACTGACTAAAAATTGCAAATAAAACACGCTACTGACTTTCTAGCTAGAAGAACCAAAAGAACCAGAACAGTGAACAAATAGTAAGAGGGGGTATCCAGACAAAACAAAAGAGAAACCTCGAATCTAAACTGTGCAAAGCTCTACATTATCACCAAGGATCAAGAATCATCAAGCCAGTAGCGAGCTACCACCCGCGCGTCTCTAAAAGCCCAATAGAATCTTTCGCCAGTTCTTCTTCCCGTTCTCACCACCATCGTCGTCACCAGCACGATATCCTTCCTCCTTGACCTGGTGCTCGCCCACGATGGCGAGGAACACGTCGTTCAGGGTCGTCGGGGCGACGCTGTAGTGCCGGATGCCCAGCCGTTCGCTGTTGTCCTCCAGGGTGAGGAGGAGCTGCCCGATGGCGCTCGTCGAGGCACTCTGCTCAGCTTCCCCGCCGTCGCGGTCATCGTTGTTGTTGTTGTTGTTGGTGGGGACTCGCCTTGCGGTTGTGCCCATCACCGACGCCGCGGGCACCGAGAAGCGCATCTGCCCGTGATACGTCTTGTCCTCGACCTCGGCCCCGGGCAACAGCTCCAGCACCCTATCCCGCAGCCGCCGCATCTCCTCCGGACCCGAGTGCGGCGCGGAGCGGCTGACGAGGTGGACGTGCAGGGAGTCGCCGAAGCGGCGCTGGAGGTGCGCGACGTCCCCCACGGCGAGCATCGAGCGGGCGAGGATGCCCGCGCGGTGGGCGAGCGTGTCGGCCTCCTCCATGCTGTGGGTGGTAAGGAGGATGGCTCGCCCCGGGCTCACGGCCTTGAGGGTGTTCCACATGATGCGCTTGGCGGCGGCGTCGAGGCCCGACGAGGGCTCGTCGAGCAGCAGCACGGCAGGGTTGCCCGTCAGGGCGATGCCCAGGGACAGCTTGCGCCGGTTTCCCCCCGAGAGGTGCGACGCCGCGACGTGCCGGAACGGGGCAAGCCCGACGGCAGCCAGCACGGCGCCGACCTGCTTGTCCACGTCGGCGATGCCGCGCAGCCGGGCGTAGTGCCGCAGGTGCTGCTCGGCCGTCATGAGCGCGTCGAGGGCGTCGGCCTGCGGGCACACGCCCAGCCGGGCGCGGGCGGCGGCCCGGTCCGTCTTGATGGACTGCTGCTCGACCAGCACGTCGCCGTCGCCGGGCAGCATGTCGCCCCGGATCATCGAGATGGTGGTGCTCTTGCCCGCGCCGTTGGGGCCCAGCAGGGCAAACACCTCGCCGTGCTGGACCTCGAACGAGACGTTGTTGACGGCCCGCAGGTTGCCAAAGTTCTTGGTTAGCCGCTTCACCTCGAGTCCGGCGAGGGCCACGGGGCCAATAGCCATCTCTATGTCAGTCTGGGCTCCGGCAGGACCGTTGCTCCTTTTGTTGTTGTTGTTGCTCTTCTTGGCTGCCAGCGAGCTAAAGAGTCCTGCCAGCACTACCCGGCTGTCATTCACCCACAAGATGCCAAAGTACAACAGGCTCTGCAGCACCAGGTACAAGATGGGTGCGCCAAAGGCCCTCATCGCCCCTGGGGACTGCACAAACTCGGCCCCGTCGCAGGCCTGGAAGAAGACGTTGAGGGACACCAGCATGGCCCGCATCAGCGACCCCAGCGGAAAGACGATCGAGATGACGTAGTGTGCGACCATGACGTTGCTCTGCGCCGAGGTCGGCGGCGACAGGCTGATGATGAAGATGAAGGCGATGAAGTACACGGCGAGGCCGATGCCGTTGGCGGCGCCCACGGCCGCCCACGTCGCCAGCTGGCTGCCCAGGCGGAGCGAGATGATGTAGCCCATGAGGATCGCCGCGACCGTGTACAAGAGGAACACGGGAACCAGCAGGCCCGGCATCCAGAAGACACTACTACTGCCTGTGCCTGTCGAGAAGCAGAAGATGAGTGCCGCCGCGAGTACCGGCAGCACCATGACGCCAAAGTCGAAGAGCAGGTGCGAGAGCCACTGCGGCACGACGCGCACGCCGCTGGAATACTGCAAGCCCCGCACACCGTTGCGCCGCTCGAGGTTGACGTACATGCTCAGGAACGCCGGCGCGATGCCCAGCACGATGCTGAAGTAGATGGCCAGCTGGAGGTTCTTGCCCACGTTGCCCATCCCCATGTCGAACACGACGTAGCCGACGGCGATGCGCACCGCGAGCAGCGCCCGGTCCATGAGGTTCTGCGCGATGACGGCGGTCAGCATCGGGTTGGACGTGTCGGCGCGGTACGCGATGGTGGGAGGGGAAGCAGAGTCGCTCGTAGCCTCTGCCGCCCAGAAGCCCCCGGGCCAGACCGTCTTGCGCTCGCTCTCTAGCAGGCTTCGCAGGTCGTCGATCGAAGTGGCATTGGTGACGGGGGGGCGGATTTGTACGCCATTGCTGGCGAGCCAAGTTGAGTTGTCGGCGAATGCGGAGTTGGGAGGACCGGCAATGATGCCAGTGCCGTCTTGGATCTGTTCACTCAGGCTCTGGAGGCTCTGAGTCAAGTCGAACTGCTGGGGCGTGCAAGTAGCCCTCTCGTCGCCCGAGACCAGGCTCTGCATGACGGCGGCGGCGACCACGGGGATGAGAAACGCCACGAGGTAGGGGATCCAGTTGCTCTGGAGCAAGATCCAGCGTTTCCCGAGAAGCACCTTGATCTGCTCAAGACCACCCACGGGGCGGCCAGAGAGCAGATCCAGGGGCTGTTGTTGCTGTCCACCAGACTTTTCGGACGTCTCGCGAACGGACTCGCTGGCATACTCGTCGGCCACGTGCAAGAAGACGTCCTCGATGGTCGGGCTGGACACGCGGTACGCTATGCCCTTTGCCTCCAAGGCACGGATGACACACGCGGCGGCTTCCGACGTCGGCGCGGCATACACGACGCTGTCGGGCTGGACCTTGACCTGAACGCCCTCGACCTGCGGCGGCTGGCGCTGCTGCTGCTGCTGGTGCTCGCGCGGCCGGGACAGGTGGATGTGGAAGCCGGACCCGAGGTTGGCCTTGAGCTCGACGGCGGACCCTTCGGCGCGGAGGACGCCGTTGCTCATGATGGCAATCTTGTCGGACAGCAGGTCCGCCTCGTCGAGGAAGTGCGTGGTCAGGATGATTGTGCGCCGCCCGCGCTCGGCGAGGAGGATGTCCCAGATCTTGCGCCGCGACAGGGGGTCGATGCCCGACGAGACCTCGTCGACGCAGCAGACGGCGCTGTCGCCCGTCAGCATCATGGCCAGCTGCAGCTTGCGCTTCTGCCCGCCCGACAGTGTTGACGACTTGGCCTTGCTCTTGGTCGAGAGACCCACCGCCCTCAGCAGGTCCTTGAGCTCCTGCTCCTTTGCCGGGTGCTGCGGCTTCTTGAGCTTGTTGAACAGCTGGACGTGCTCCCAGACCGTGAGCTCGTCCCAGAGGACATTCTTCTGCGGAGCGACGCCCACACCCCCCGATGCATCGATCGTGACGCGGCCCCGTGCGAAGCTCTGCAGGCCGGCCACGGCGTCAAGGGTCGTGCTCTTGCCGCTGCCGTTGGCTCCCAGGAGAGCCACGATCTGGCCTCGAGGAATGGACAGGTTCAGATCATTGACGGCGACGGTGGCTGGGCGAGGTGCCGAGATGAATGAGAACATACGTCGAAAGAGTGATGGTGAAAACGTCCGTGTCAGCCCTTCGACTGTGACTGCGTGCTCCGGACGAGCTGTCGCCGAGCTGGGACCTGTCCAGACGACACGACTGTCCGCTGCCGCGCCGTGGATCCTGCGCTCCAGGCCGGCCGCCACGAATGGGTACACGACCGCCTGGACAATCAAGAAGACCCAGAGGACAATACTAGGAAGCTGGTGGTCGCTCTCCGGAGGCGGACGGAGCAGGTTTGCGGGAAAGCCGGCAGCCTCGGCCCGGCTCATGTACTTGATCTGCAGGACCATGTTGGACGACGGGAACAGCAGACCCAAGACGACGGCGCCGCCAGTGCCCAGGTCGGGCACCGCCTGGACGAGCACTCCGAGCAGGATATACCCCAGCCCGCCGACCACGCCGGACAGCTGTGCCCGCCGGAAGAGGGAGCCCGTGGCGAGCGCCTGCGACGCCGAGGCCAGGCCCGCGAGGACAAAGTACGGCAGCACGACGCCGACGCTCGTCTGCCTCCAGATCATGAACTTGAGCACGAGCGAGCCCGCGACCCAGCCGGGGAAATAGACGGCCGCGAAGCTGAGCAGGTGCGCGAGCATGCGCAGCGCGGGCGCCTCCCAGGCGCTGCGGTGGCGGGTGTGCATCATGGCGTCGACGAGCTGGGAGAGGCCCTTTTCGCGCTCGGTCGCAATGTACCCGGGCAGGTGGTACGAGATGCCAAAGAAGCCGACCAGGATGGCCACGCCCATGAAGTTGATAAACGTGTTCTCGTAGTCCCTGTTGGCCTGCTCGCGGCGCTCCTGCTCGGTGCTCGATGTGTAGAGCCACTCCTGCATTCGTGCCAGGTCATTGATACTGCTGCTGCTGCTGCTGCTGCTGCCGTTCTCGAGGCGCGCGATTTCGGAGTCGATGGCTCTTTGGAATGGCAGGATGTACACCTGAGGGTCGTTGTCGTTGGTGTCGGCGTCGTACTTCCGACCCAGCACGCCGTCGCCGCGGAGTGTGTAGTTCCACGACCCGCTGCCTTCGTTGGGAGAGCCGCTGAACACGACCGCTCCGTAGCAAGGCGTAGTGCCCTGGAAAGAGACTGTGCATATCTTGCCCAGATCTGCTGCGTTTGTGATCCGGCGCGCGAGCTTGCCCGCCTGCTGCACCTGCGCCTCGAGGGCGTCGATGACCCGGTCAATGTCCCCTCCCGCAAGCCCAGAGTTGCAGAACACCACGTTGTTCCTGCCGGCCTTGTTGGCAGCCAGGTCCAGCCCGTCCGTGAAGGACCGAGCTGCGGGAAGAGTGGACGGGTCTGAGTTTGTGAAGCCGTATGTGTTGCCGCTGCCCTGGAGGTTCTGGCCGATGCCCAGGTAGATGGACATGAGAATTGGCAGCATGAGCGCCGCGTAGAAGGTGCTCACGAAGTGCCGGGAGATGAGGATCGTGAGGTTCTTTGTGGCGAGCGTGTTGATCTGCGGCCAGAAGTACGCATTGTTCTTGTTGCTGTGTTTCGTGGTGGTCCTTCCATCTTGGCCGTGTGGACTATGAGAGTGCTCCTTGACATTGGGACCAGGAGATTGTTCAGTCGGTTTTTGCAGTGGCTCGTTGCTGGCCACGGGCGACGTGTTGGAGTGGGAGTCCATGGCCGCTGAGCTCTCGTATGGTTGCTGATTTGATGCCATTGCAGCCGGCCGTAGTCGTGTGGGTTCGCTCTCGTGCGGTCCTCTGTTTTTGAATCACGGTCCGTCTTGCCGCCGTGGCCAGGAGCCTGCTTTATGTGTCGTCAGAGGTGGAACCCTATGTGGTCGTTTGTAGTCTGACCGTGACAGGCTTCGCGAGGAGAGAGTGGGAATGTGTGGTGTTGTGGCCAGACAGCTGCGTTTGAGTGTATCGGACATGGGCGTGGCTGTCTTTCGACTTTAATGTTTGGGACATGGCACTTGCCGGGGTGGGCTTCTGCCGCAAGTGCAATTTGTCTGCCTGACCCTCTTGGCAGGGTTCTAAGGCAGACTTTGAGGGAGCTGGCTGTGTTGAAGGCAAAAGGCACGCAGCACTGGGCAGCCGGAGGGTTACACTGTAGATGCCCTCATGCAGGAGCAGGCACTTGCAATGGCACCCACAGGGGTGGGGGGGGCCCAACGACTTGCAATTACCCAAAAGAGCGACGTCCAAGAGGCGTGACAGGCGGGCCGCTTCAGGGGACACTGCCTCGCTGCGCTTGCAGTAAGTAGAGCTTCTGGTGGAGCCCTGCGAAGATGGCTGTGGCTTCGAGCGCCTTTGTTCTTAATGAATAGGCACACGTGGTGCTGCAGAAATGAACAACGGACCACTTGATCGCAGGCTGCGTCATCAGCTCTGTACATCTGCATCGCATCTTACCTCGACCATTGGTGTGTGAACCATAGAAAGTGCACATCTGCCACGCCGGTTTCTTGGATGAAATCAGCCCAGCCTGCAAAGTGCCATGATTAGTGCCGCTAGTGGGGGGTAATTGTACTTCACATTACCCAATGCGGTAATCGGCTGGCTGACCCCGGCCTGCCAGACACTCGGGGCTGAGGATCGTCCCAATCATGCACAGTACGCAGGCAGGTAGCTAGGGCACCAGTGCAGGGAGGTGCTGGGTCACCTCCAAGTCAACGGTTTGCGCGAGGACATCAGGCTCGCGGCTGTGACTGAATCCTGAGGAGCAACACGGACTCTTATACATCAAGACTTGGCCCGGCTTTGCACGGCAAGCAGACCCATGGGCTAAGCATAACAGAGTCATCCGCGAAAGAGGCACCATCTCTCCAGTCCGAAGTTTTGTTTTCCCGATCTGCAGTATCCTGTCTTGTACCATGATCAAGAAGCATGTGCACAGCTGCTGGCACGATGACGACACACGCTCATACCACTATTTCCCTTATCGCCATGGTAAGCAGATTCAGGTCATGGATTTTGCTGCTGCGATGCATATACTGCCACGGCTAGTTGGATTGGCGTATTTGTACCCAAACCAAAAAAAAATCAAAAAAATATCAAGCGGTCGATACCGATTCCCAGAGGCATCGCCATTGCACAAGGCAGGAAAGAATCTCAAAGAGCAGATCGCTCTGACGTAGGCCAGCCGCTCGTGTGAAAGCCACCAAAATCTGACATTGGCGCTCTCGGTTCTGCCGCGCTGCTTTACGAGAGACGCACGGCGATTGGTCAACGAAAAACTAAGCGATAAACTCCATCGAACTCTGAAACGGAAGCAGCCAACGAGTGATGTCCCCGGCGTGCATTGGAGACTCCAGATAGTTGCTTCCATGGGATTGCGTAGGGCTGCGCCTTCCCCAGCCCCCTGTAACCCGCCCTTCTTTCCAGTAGACCGACCCCATGCGGGCTGATGCGCTGGGGGCGAGGACCCTGTGCTCCTCAGCCGTTCCGCCTCCCCATCAGTCCGAGCCCGCCCACGTCAGCATGTGCCCCCACCTGCAATTACCCGATGTGGAATGGAACTGGCCAAGGCTTTCTCGGGGTGTTTTTTTTTGGCCCTCTTGTAGACCTAAATTGACTTCACAAGATCTTTGCGCGTCGTTGGCTTTGCGATCCGGGATTCCGCACCAGTACAGCCCATCAAGCGAGGGAACCTTGCGATGCCATGGAGGGGCCGTTTGCCTACACTAAGGGGCAAATTGGTGCCAAGGGTTGCGCTTAATTTCAACCGCCGTATACTGCCCCAATGAATGGGAGTCGCTACGGGCTGAAAGCAGCACAACCCACGTCATGTCCATCCTTGTCCGCAGGGCATCGGGGAGGCTCAGGGCGAGCGGGATCACACCGCAGCTGGCTAAGATGTAAGCCCACCGTGGCTTGGCGGCGTTGGGGGCGATTGGACTGCCGGGGACCAAGGCGTTGATAGGGTCAAGATACGAAGCAATTCGCAGCGCTGTGATCAAGTATAAGTATAAGTACGATACCATCCCCGACAGAGGCCTGGATGTTTGCACCGAGTCTCAACTCATTGATCAGCGGCCCCTATCTCAACCTGCCAGATAATATAATTGCAGAGCCACCATTCACGAACACAGTCATTCACTGCCTTAACCATTGACACCGGAACCAACCTTATACAAAACCGCTTTCAAGCAGTCTACATCATAGAGTAGCAATTTTCCTGTTCCGCACCAATCGACTACTTTCTCGGCCTCTTCGGACAACTCACCTTCCTGCCCCCACCAAACAACTAGAACAACAGCGCGGGCCCAGCACCCGAGACTGTCACAATGTCCCTCGAGCAACAACCGCAGAACGCCGAGCCTTCGCTGCGCCATGTGTCCAACCTGGAAGACCTCAAGCCCGACGGGCCCGAGACCATCGACTGCCCTTCGTGCCACCAGCGCGCACAGACGACCGTCAAGGGCCGCACCGATGGCATGAAGACGTTTATGAACGTGTTTTGGTGGCCGCTGCCGGACCGGAAGCATTGGTGGGAGGAGACCAAGTGGTACTGCGAGAACTGCAAGGTCCAGGTTGCGAGTCAGAAGCACGGGAAGAACATCCAGGTCCTAGTTTGAGGTGGCAGAGTGATGGAAAATGAGCCGAGCGAATGGTCTGGTGTGGGGGAGCTGGGGCAGCTTGGAGTCTTGTAGCGTCATGATACCTAGTGTTTTGATTCATGTTTTGTAGATTTGAGCTTGTCTGGTCCGTTATTCAACCTATATAAACTGCATGGTACAACGTACTGAATATCTGCGCTCGTGATTCTTGCAGCTGCAAGTTTCGACCAAGACATCCCATCTTAACAATGGCTCCACGCGCCCGCCGCACCGAAGCGGGGCCGGGGCTCCGGGTGGGGAAGCTCGGTCCGGGCATCGGCGCTGCCTGATAAGACTCGAGCTCCGGTGAGATGCCTGACTTGACTCTCGTGCCTTCTACTTCATCCACACATCAGACTCTATTTTGAGTCATTCCGACCTCAAGTACTGGCCACGCGCAAGCAATGCACCTCATATTTCACGGCACCCTCATCCACTCGGCCTCGCTGACCGAGCTCGAGATCATCGAGAATGGCCTCATCGTGATCGACACCGAGGCCGGCGGCACCATTGTGCACCTCGCCCGCAACATCGCCGCCCCAGACGTAGACCGCCACCTCGAAGAAGCCGTCGCCACCGCCAGCATCCCCAACCTCGACCTCGCTTCTTCCTCCTCCTCCTCTCCTTCGAGCTACTCGCTCCGCCGCCTCTCCCGCAGCGAGTTCCTCATCCCGGGCTTCGTCGACACGCACAACCACGCCCCGCAGTACGCCCAGCGCGGCCTCGGCCAGAGCATGCACATCCTCGACTGGCTCGCGCAGGTCACTTTTCCCAACGAGGCCCGCTTCGCCGACCCGGAGCACGCGCGGCGCGTCTACGCCCGCTGCGTGCGCGGGTTCCTGCGCCAGGGCATCACCACGGCGTCGTACTACGGCTCCATGCACGCGGCGGCCACAAACATCCTCGCGGACCAGTGCCTCGCCCAGGGCCAGCGCGCGTTTGTCGGCAAGTGCAACATGAACCGCGAGGCGCCCGACTACTACCGCGACGCGAGCGCCCAGGCGTCCCTCGACGACACGCGCAGCTGCATCGCCCACATCAAGAGCATCGACCCCAGGGGCGTGCTGCTGAAACACGTCCTCACGCCGCGGTTCGCCATCACTTGCGACGAGGAGCTGCTCCGGGGTCTGGGCCAGATCGCGCGGGAGGAGGAGGAGAAGGGGGAAGGTGGCCTGCCGATCCAGACGCACTTCAACGAGGCGGAGCAGGAGATTGTATACACCAAGAAGCTCTTCCCCCAGTTCGACAACGAGGCGGACCTGTATGAGCACTTTGGCTTGCTGGGGAGGCGGACGATCCTCGCGCACTGCTGCCACATGACCGAGTACGAGTTTGGGCGGCTCAGGGAGCTGGACTGCGGCGTGGCCCACTGCCCCGTGTCCAACATGACGGTCGGGGGAGGGTTCATGGCCGCGCCGATACGGCAGTTCCTTAAGCGCGGGGTCAAGGTCGGGCTCGGGACGGACAGCGGCGGTGGGTTCTCGAGCAGCATCCTCGACGCGATGAGGCAGGCCCTCGTGGCCAGCAACGCGCACGAGGTGGCGAGCAAGGGGGAGGACAAAGGGCTCACCATACCCGAGGTCTTCTACCTCGCGACCATGGGAGGCGCCAGAGTGTGCTGTCTCGAGGATAAGATTGGCTCGTTTGAGGTGGGCAAGGAGTTTGACGCCATCCTCGTCAACGCCGATGCGCCAGGTGGTATCATGACCATGGTCGAGGAGGAGGACTCGCTGGCGACCGTGTTTGACAAGTTTGTCATGACGGGGGATGACCGGAACATGGAAGAGGTCTTTGTCCGAGGCAGGTCTGTCAAGGTCTAGCTAGAGCCCTGACCAGAGCTCTCGTGAATGGTCGAGCAGGATCGCGACCGTCATGGCCATGTCGTACGCTCGTGGCATGGGCAATGAAATGTCACCTGACCATAAACATGCCCCCACCAAGGGTTCAAAATGGCGATGCCGGCGAGCCGAAGGCGTTCGTGTTGCACACCAGCACCAGGGATGTGTAGCTGGGAGAACTTTTGCCACACTTGAGGTCTTCCATTTTTTCGAGGGCCTCCGCTTCAATGTCTGAGATACTCGAAGTGTCTCGCTCATCGGCCAACATGTGGATCTTTGGCGCTCGCTTTCCAGGAATCATAGCGGTCGGGCAGACAAGACTGCATCCAAGACATTCTTAATGCCCAGAATACAGTGACAACCCGTGCAGGCAGCTAAAGCTTCATGCCCGGCAGGTTCTCGGCTTGCGTAACTCGCAGACTCTGGAATGCTTCCATGCCCAATAAGCTGCATCGCGGGGACGTTCCGCGAGGCCACAGCAGCGAGGCTGGGTACCTGTTCAATTCGCCATGATTCTCGTGTGACACGAGCATAATCGGCCTGTTCCTCGGCTCAACCAGTGGATGTTACACTGGCAGGACCCTTTTGTCCCAGCAGTCGGTTCGACCGTCGTGGCGGGTGGCAGAGAATGGTCTACCATGGGCAGCACACCGAAATCTGCGCGCGCAAGTCTGCCCAAAACGTTGCGGAATGCCTCTTGCATCGCTTCATGGCGTGCTCTTTGCGGCGGCATTCTGCCTGTGCATTTAGGATCGCCTCACCTACTTTAGCACGCTAGTTGTGAAAGAATAGCAGCGTTCAGCGCTAAGCCCGTCAGGCTTCAGTATACATCCAACTCTAATGGTTAGCACTCCCGCTGCCTGCCGGGGGGCGATCTAGCGGTGCGTGCCGTGTTGCACGGGGAAGACGTGCCGGCACACACAACTCTGAGCTGCAGCTTCGAGAATCCTGTGGTAATGGGAGGGGCGGTGTGATGACAGCTGGTCTGTAAGACTCAGACAACACGGTTCGCAGGGGAGCCAATACGAAGCCCCCAACGTGTGGACCTGGTTCCCAGGCCAGGGCATCGAGGCAGCCCAGAGAGGAACCCCCGCCGTCGTGGTCACGAGGACAATGTCCAACCATTGCCTCCGACACCGTGAAAAAAAAGTCCCTGTAGCCGGCCGTAGGGTATTGTCCTCCGGTGTAGCAGTCCCACGTGGCTGTCCGAGTACAGCAGCTGCGATCTCGTGTCGCCGCGAGGATGCCTTGAGGTAGGTGTAGGTACTGCGTATGCCGCCAGCAACGCCACCGCGTACCCCACGATCGGCACCACCCGGCCGCCAGGCCAGGGATACGAGCTCGGGTGGCGCAGATCCATCTGCCGGCATGGCATGTCCGGCACACCATGTGTGGTCCGACGTCACTGGGACCCCTCTTTCCGGTTCGGTGCGCACAGCCAGCTCGCAATGCAACGTTGACTGTCTTTGAGAACGGAGAGGCATACGAGGTTTGCAATTCTCATCGGATATCGCGGGTGGCCGATCATGTAGGAGAACACTTGTAAAGACACACACATCTATAAGTGCAGACTCGTAGCGCTCTGGAGCATCTGTTGCAAGACTGCAGTATCCAGCACATCTTCATCCTGTTCTGATACACCTCTTTAGTCTACCTCTCTGAAGAACCCCTCGTCGAACACATTCCAATATCACATTGAACGCCGAGATCAGCTCCAGCCGCCGACTATGCTCAGACTACTCACCACAGTGGCCACGGCCATTCTGCCTCTTGCGGCAGCAGTGCCACTTGCTAGCAACGGCGCGCAGCCGCCGGCACCACGCGACGACAACCCCGGCTGCTTCGATACTTCTTTCAATGCGCTCGCGTGGGGTCTTGAGGACTTTGTCTACAACGCCTCATACCTCTTCACCACGCCCTCGCACCAGAACTCGTGGGGTTATGCCAAGTACGTGTTCTCGCTCCATGATCATTGAATTTTCTTTTACATCGAGATCCAATGGAGACAAACCCCCCGCCTTGGTGTCGTTCTGGCGCATCAGTCAAATATGAGGGACCCCAATGCTAACAACACCGCTTTCCCCAACGACAGCTTCGAGCTCTCAAATTCAGCCCTGACGTACAAGGCCTCCTGCCACGCCGCGAGCAGCCAGCTCTCCGACTTCTTCTACGGCACGCTCAACTACGACTGCGTGATGCCCGACCCGGAAGGGCAGGGCACTACCACGACCTTCGCCTTTGACTACCCGGGCCACAAGCTCAGCGTCAACCAGACCTGGTCATGCAGTGACGCGGATCCGGCGTGGCCGTAAGTCCTCCCCCTCCCTCCCCTTCCCCTCTCTTCCCTTTCTCTTTTTGTCATTTTGATCTTGCTCGAGTTTCCTGCTGTGCTGTTTTATGGTTCGGTCCTCGTCTTGTGAACTCCCTGCCTCCACGCAAGAGTGTGGGGAAAAGAGGTAACCCGCTACGCAGCATCTAGTTTCCATTCTCTCTCTCTCTCAATGGAACAGCGAAAAATCTTGCTTGTAGAAATACCGCTGACATTTGCATTGATCCCGACACAGTACAACATTCCGCGCCGCGGGAAGCATCGATCTCGACCTCGAGTGCACGGACACCGGCAACGTCGTGAACCCGGACTGGGAGTACGGCACGGGAGCGTTCTACTCGACGCGCTACGTCAGCTGTGCGCCCGTGAGCCTCAAGGGCTTGAAGCCCCAGGAGCTTACCGCCATTGCGTGAGCGTGGAACTGTATGTGTGTGTGTGTGTGTGTGTGTTGCGCGTGGAAGGATAGGGGAGAAAGTTGAGGTGGGCAGATTTGAGAAGAGTGGAATTTTGGCTTACAGGAGTTTGTGACGGGGGAGGTTATGGTCCTTTTTTTCTTTTTTCTTTTGGGAAGGGGAGACGAGTAAATGATAGAGCATGAGCATGACGAACGACAACCTCTCTTCATAGCTATTTAATGAATACTTTGTTTAACTGTGGTACCTATCAGTGATCTCGACAGGATCGGCAGAGTCCTTCCCTAGACCCAAAGGAAACTTCTCATAACTTCGTCGCCATCAGTTCTGTCTGCTGTGTGATGTTTCGTACCTTTTTCGATCGAATGAGCCGACACCGACACCGACTCAAAACATCAATAGTAGACAGGACCACAACAATGCGGAAGATATGCTGGGAGTCGCTTGTAGTTGAAGATTCGTTCTCATGGTTTATACGTTAAATAGGCTAGAAGAATGAGCAGGTTTCTTGGCGCGAGGCAGCTGTCAACCACTGCTGTCATTGTTGATTTATGTCGTCTCAAAACGTTTCAGTGTAGTAATAATAAGCAGAACAAATGTGCATATCAGCGTATCACTCAAGCTATTGCGAGGAGAAGAATTGGCCCTCTGGATCATAAAGAAGATTCACATCTTTTGAGGCTTACTCACAAATCGACAGACAGAGAAACCAGTAATTACAACATCAAGTTAGTGGTTGGCCTTCGTCGGCAGTGCCGGGGATCTGGAGACAAGTTCTATGAGGTCGGCACGCGGATGACAGTGTTGAAAAAGGCCTCCATTGGGGATATCAGTGCTCCCTTTCAGGGGCCAATATTCTCCGGCTATGCACAAGAGTTGGCTGAGCTCCTCAACTTCGGACGAGGACTCGCCCTTAGCGGAACTAAGGCCACAATATCGAATCTGCTGCCACGCTATCCCGTGCTTGTTCAATACTATCAGTCTGAGAAATCCACGCTGGCCAGCAGAATCGTTCTAGAGACCAAGCCATGCTCGCAATGGCGATACATCGATGCGACAAAGAGTTTCGTGTAGATGCCAGCGATTGCTCTCCCGAACATGCCCGTTCATGCCACACCATCACCCTATGCCCTGAATGTTTCCGTCTTTCCCGCATGCACACCGACTGCGAACTTTCCAGACACCACGTCGGAATCACATTGTCGACAGCGTGGTATGGCAACCCCTTGTCCATAGAGCAGTGGCAATGCAAAAAAGAACATAAGAGTATACTTTTTCTGCACCGGTTTCACGCTTAGCACGTTCGTCATATCGGAAAAAGCAATATGTCGGAGCTTTTGAAAGTATGTGTAAGCGGGGAAAGGGATTATGACATGTCGCTTTGCCTGGTTCTTTTGTCCACTGGTTGCTAAATCGCGCTGGCGTCCCTGCTCTGAGCTTTGCGTGCCAGACATGTTGTGTCAGTCATAGGAAAATGTAAGGATGTTCTTCCAACCGTGAGGCCGCGCGAGAATAATGCTTCAAGCACAGCCTAGACTTGCCCCAGAGTTTCAGCCCATGTCCCTACGCTGTCCCTGCCGCCAATGCGCTACTGCGGCAGAAGAAAAAGGCATCCCGAGGGTATGAAAGGAAACCACTGCATCCAACAGGCATCACAGCTTCCCTCAAGTGAGGAAGCCGAGTGTCTTGAACCCCCTGTAACGAACATCACAAGAAGCACGCCAGGAGCGATGTCAAACCGCTTCGAACCACCCGAGCGATCTGGCACTTTCCTGAGCTCCATTACATCCCAAGACCATGAGCCCGCTTCTATCATTCCTTGTACTTCTTCTCCACGACTGCTGGGAAGGCAGAGCCAGGTAAGCCTGCGGATCAGGAGTACACAAAAATACATTCCGCCATGTGCACACAGATATCACACACTACTCTGATCGTGGTTCTATGTTTGTGGGGAGTACGTGACCCGGCGCGCCACCGCCGACTGATGCCCCTCCGGAACGACACATGTCGATCTGCATGTCTCGCATATGAGTACACACACCTTGGCCTCGTCGTCTCGCCCGCTCCGAGCTGCGAATGACATCGGGCGCGCGGATGCGGAGCGGAGTGGAAAGACGCTCGGCAGCGGCCCAGCCCTCCGCGCAGAGGAACTTTCTGATTCAGAATACGGCATACATATCCGCCCGCGTAGCCGCCCGTTGATCACCTGCTTTGAGGCTCGGAGCTTTTTATGCAATGCACGAAGAGGAACACCATAGAGGGATGTGCTTGCTTTTCCTCCTTTCTTTTGTTCGCTCCAGCAAGTGTATTGTAATGGCACGGATCGTTCTCGTCGGCGTACGAGTGCCGAGACTCATCGGGTCTCAGACTGAAATCTGTCTGCAGCTTGTCTCTCTCTCTCTCTTCATTTCAGCCTCTCTTCGGGAAGTCTGGCCCACCTTCGTGGTGCACTGCATTCCGCGCGTCTAGACTTGCCAGTGTCGGATGGGGATGCGCTTGAGCCCCCTCGTCGTTTGACACGCTCGGACACGGCAACGTAAAAAAACTGGGAACGGGAAGAGCCGTCACAACGGAGTCGCTGCGCTTTGACGTTGGACAAGAGCGCAGATCCCAGGGTTCTCTAGCCGAGACGACGAGTTGATTCTCTCTTTTTGTGCACAGCGACATGGCGACTCGTGTTGATTAGAAGAACTCACTCGGCAAAAACCATGAAAGAGGCTGGGTTGAAGCATCTGCTTACAAGCTGATGGGACTTGAGCTGCGAGCTAGAAGCGCAAATGCCCACGTGCCTCGTCAGGTCAACAAGACCCAGCCACACGGAATCATTATCGTCGGATACCGGAACATCAGGTTAGACAGCTTGTGAGACACTCGTGACGGGGGGCAAACGCCAGACCACCGCCGTAGCTGTTGGTCACTCCTCGTGTCGACCTGTGGCAAGCGCCCGCCACTTGGGCCAGGCACCCTACAGGCCTACGAGAGGAGAGGCCCTTGCAGCCGTTAACTTGCCGTTCCGCACGTGCGGGTTTCACATTCTGGCGGTTCTCAGATATGCCTTGAGTCACAATGGTCGGCGGGGACTGGGGGTCCTGCGAGAAAGAAAAAGAAAAAAAAAGCCAATCCCGGCAGCATCCAGCGGGGAGCGCACGCAGCCATCGAGGAAGAAAGCAACCGCTAGCCTTTTCGGATTTGCAACGCAGCGCGCCTGAACAAAACGACGAGTCGCCTGCAAGGCTAGTGCGACGCTCGGGAGGTGCTTGCTTCCTTCTCCGTATGCTTCCTTGCGTCAGGGAACAGGGCTGCATCCATGCTACGGCAAGGGTTGGGAGCGCGGGTCACTGCATCAGGATCCAAATGGAGTGGCTGCAAGGTGCCAATTGCGCGCATGGCTGGCGTATTGCTGCCGTAACGCTGCTAATGGGACCAGAAGCCCTGTCGTGGGGTGAAAGACAAGTGTCAGCAGCCACCACGCCACTGTGAAACAGGGAGAACTGTCGGAATGGCTGCGTCCCAGTCACCAGAGTGGTCGTCGTTGCTTTTTCTTCAGCGAGCACCAATCACGACTGTGCCTAGCCCTGCTTCACTGGCCAGAGCCTGTCTCGGGACAAAGCCATTTGTCGAGCTTCGTATGCGGAGATAGCCGCGCTTGGGCATCATGAAACGAGGCAGGTCTGCGAGGCTGTCGGCTTCGCTAGCCCAACTCGTATGGATCGTGCGAAGGGACTGGCGCCGACAAATCGCGGTGCGCACTTAACACCAGACGAGCTCGAGCCTTCGGGACCTGTCCTGTGCTGTCTGTCAGTCCAGGCACGGACGGACGAAGCAGGGGTATTGCTCTGGGGTTCGCTCTCGTTCGGCTATTTCTGTGGCCATGCGTCGACTGGGGATCCCAACCCAGTCGATCGGGATGTGGAGCAGAAATCAAGATTGACCCTTGCCAGATTTTGGAGGCTTCGCAACACTGCGCCACCCGATCTCATCTCAAAGGTCCGCCAAACCACCCTGCCTGTGCAATATCAACATCTCCTTGCCTTCAACAGCAAACACTGGCCTTCGCGCCTGGTATCGTCCACGCTGATTGCACCAAAGGGACAATGGGCCGTCGCCCATTCCCACACCAGAGTTTTCCTGGAAAACGATAGCGCCCCCCTTAGCTTTTGTCTCGCCTGCGTAGCGCGCTTCGGGGTCCTGGATGCGTATCGCGGCTGCGTCGTCGAGGTCCAGGCCCAGCCTCGGAAGCGTCCACACTTCGCGAAGCACCACGCGAGCCGGCGCCAGAAAACGCCCATGTCCCACTGCGGCGCAGACAATGGTACGACTCGATTTAACTCTATCACCTGTAGTCTCAGTCTCTGTCTGGTCTCGCAGATTGCAGGTGTGACGACAAGTCCATCATGATGGGTGCCAGCTGGTCTTGGTAACACAGGGCGAACATTCCGAGGGGAAGCCCAAAAGCGGAGAGAACGTAGAGCTGTTGTGTTGAGCAGTGCATCATCCTGTCATTCAAGGCTCAGTGCCAATTCTAGCCCAGGCGAGGGTGATGCTGGTTCGACGAGATACAGTCACTTTGCGCAGAGACTGCACACTTGCGCTTAATGACTGCGTGGGCTGTAGTGATCCGAGACTAAGACCAAACTCGAGCATTGCAGGTTTTTCGGCAGCGCTTACCATTTCGGATCCAAAAACTAGGCTAGAAACACCGGGCCGATGTATCCGCTTGGAGAGGCTCGGATCCTAACCAAATGAAAGGCCTCAAGAACAAGGATTACTGTCACCATGCGGTTTCTTGGCCAGGTCTCATGCGCAGAAACTCCATAAGTGACCCTGCTTGTTTCTCAAGGGTCCTGAAAGTTTCAGAAGGACAATCCCATTCGTGGGGGATCGGCTGTACCTGGCTAGAACCCCTGGTGTTGTTGAGTGGGACGGCTGAAGCTTTCGTGGCCATGCCATGTGCTGGGAGGAGAGAGCCACCCCTGTGTTGGCACAAACTCTAATTCAGATGGTGGGGGACTCTTACGGCACATATTTCCTCTGTCGCTTTCGAGGTGGATATGGCGAATGGCCTTCAATTGGGTCCAGGCAGGGGTGAAATTGGTGATTTCAGGCGGAAGTTCACCGGGTAATTGAGGATATCGGCGCCATACGAACCAGATCTGTTGAATATCGCAATCTTCGTGGGACTGCACGGTTGTGTTGGGTGGCAGGCGGCTAGTCTGTTCCCAAGCGCATGGTATGGACCAAACCTTTTTCTTTTCTTTTTTCTCCTGCGCGCCCCCGGGGCTTGGTGGAGATGACCGTTGGTTGAAATTGTGCGAAGAACTGTCCGGCCATGGGCGATCCGCAATGAACGATAAGCCCTTCACGTAAAAGCAGACCGTCTCAGCTGAGGGATTGAGTGTCTTTCGGGTAGCAGGTAGCAGGCAGAGCGAGCCAGAACTGCCAAAACCTCCGGATGAGACTCTGCGCACAGACGAAGGTCGGATCTTTTCTGCAAGGTGATCACGCGGATAGGTCCGTGGGTATACCGGACACTACGCCATTGCCTTGTCGTGCAGATGGCCAAATCCCATGCTTTGCCCAAGCCATAGATCTGGCGCCCGGGAGGCCCGTGGTGAGAGAAAGCTGGGGCAAGGCCTTTCAGATGTCGAAGCCAGCATCAGGGGTGTTGACGCCACGGGGAGGTGGCGCAACAGCCTATCAGCGGGAGGGTTGCAGCGAGGCTTGCCTAGGCCGATCTGGCGGAAGCTCGTGACCAAAGGCCGGCCGCGTCGTCCCAAGCCGATGAGAGAGGGGCTTACGCCGGCGCCGAGTAAGGTGCAATTGGAGACGAGCCGGAGTATTCGAGAGGTCGTCAGGGCCGTGATTTGTCAGTAGTTTATCAGCGGCCGCCGCCATTGCTTGATACCGCACTACATACCTCATGGTCGTAGATGGGACGACGCAGTTATGGATTCACCACGTGGCCGGGGACGCCTTGGCGGCTAAGGTGAGGTAGTTGCTCGCCCTGCCCTGCCCTGCCCTGCTATGCATCGCAGGTCGACAGGCAGGGCCGAGGGTTCAAAACTGCCGCGCATGTCGCAATGTCGAGGGGATGATCGGCGGCAGAAGGATTTGGTTGGGGCATGCGTGGGGGACTGCTGCGACGCTGCCGGCAAGGCTCATCCTGTTTGTGCCGTGTGCTCGACTCGTTCACTGCATGACACCCTCAGGCATCCATGGATGCCCGCCCAGGCTGCTCTGGCGGGTGAAGCGCTGGGTTGGGTGTCGATACCCTGAAGCTGCCCAGGTGGTCTGGGGGTCACAGAGCAACCTTGGAAGCTCGTCCCTTCCACGTTGCAGGCAGGCCGGCAGTAAACACCAACACCCACATCGCAACCATGGACCGAGTGCCCTGTCGGCATCGCAATGTCCTCCTCGAGCCTCAAGCGCTGACGCGAACGACTCCAGTCACCACTGAACAGCATGATGATGGCTCCTTGATCCTTGCCCACGGGATCGACAGGAGGATGCTCGCCGCGCCGCACCGCACCGCACCGCACCCCAGCATCGCCCATCTGCTCGCATGAATGTCCACCATCTCGCATTCAATGTCACGACTCGCGACTCACGACCCCAGCCCGGCTAGAACTACTCCATCCCCGGCGCTTGGCTCAATTGGGAAACCAACTGGTCCCGCCCACAACCTCGACCCGCCAGTGCTTGCCCGCCGCTAGATGCTCTCTCTCTGCTCCACACCCGTGGGAGAGACACACAACGCTGGAACGCAGCCTGCCTCCTTCTGGTGCCTGATCGGCAACACCGTGGAGAGGGGCCGGGCTCGAAGGGACAGTGACGGCCCTAACGTTAGCGCTATGTCTGCAAGAGGCATGCTCTCCGTCCGCACACCGCGTCCAGATGCATCTTGACACCCAAGCGAGCCAAGGTCCAAAACTGGCATTACCTGCTTCTCCATGCGGTGCTGCTGACCAACCAAGACTGGCGACGGGGCCCCTAAAAGACCATTGTGTCCAGGAGCAGTGCTCATTGTGTCCTCAGGCTGACGGTTGTCGAGCACGCCTACACCGTTCGTCCCTGCGCAGGCGTTCCGACCGTGCGGTAGTCATGTGTGGCAGCCTGCTTGTTCCAGGAACATACTGGCCGTGCAAGCCCTTCTCTCCGCATGCTCTCGGTTGGTACTCTCAGCCCCAATTTCACCACATGGGACTGGTGTAGTCATGCTGCCGACCACTTGCAAACTTGCAAGGAGCGCCACCCCAGTAGCGATCCAGGACCGCAGCTCCGCTTGGCGGCATGGGCCCCTGTGCCTTGCGAGCTATTGCAGGGACTAACACGGTAACGCGGTCTCTTCTAAGCTAGACTGGAGTCCAGACATGCTTCTCGGCCTGCAACCAGCACCCTGGCTCCCATGTGCGTTTGTCGCAGCCGACCAGCATACCGTCGTGATTGGCGGTTTACTGGCCGACGCTTGCTTCTCGTGGCCCTTTCCACCTCCAGACTCGAGCTGAAAGTGGGAGTGCACGGGTCGGGGTGTGGGTGTGGCGAGCACAAGCCAATGTCTCTCCCGTCTCAAAGCACACCCCCCATCTGGTGGCAGGAAAAGACAACCCGAGCCGCCGCCCGAGTCCACTCGAGGCTGCTTGACACGAATGTATAAGAGGTTCTAGGACTCTCTGCCTGCTTCCTGGCCGGCTTACCTCCTACGGTTCCGTGTTTGCTCCGCACCTTTCCACGAAGCAACTCTCTTGCAACTAGTTCTTGCTGTAGGCTCCACGGCCGGACCAGACTTCGGTTTGGCTACCCTGATTCATCCTCCAAAGCCTGTCAGGAGCACTACACACCGCCGCCATGACGAACTCACGGGCTTTCGAGACGGCCCTGAGCCTCTGCCACAAGTCCACCGTTCTCGGAAACAAGATCGCGATCCATATGCTCGAGTTTTTGGGCACGACGAAACATCAGCCGCAGGGTCTTGAGGAGCTCGCACGCGATTTCCTCGAGCTTTGCAAGATCATGTGGTCGATCGAGGCCGGTCTTGTCGAGTGCAAGAGAACAGGCCAACATTTCCCTACGGATGTCATTGTCGAGCTCGACAAGAAGTTCAAGCAAAGCAACTCGGACTTCCTCGCCCTCGACCACATGATTTCCAAATTCCTCGAGTACGACAAGCGCGGCACAATGGGGAGACTTCAGCGGGGCTGGCGCAAGATGTTTGCCGAGGATGACGTCGGCAAGATGAGTAGCGCTTTGGGTGCGACGCGGGATGCGCTCAAGATGAGTGCCCTCATGTTCCAATGGTCTCTTGGCGAGAGCCGCATCGACGAGTCTGTGGGCATTGGCTACACAGGGCTTGCTGCCGCCCTGGACCGGTTGGCTCATGGCCGTTCTGTTGCCGGCATCAACAAAGTAAAGTCGCTTGAGGCACACCACGCCGAGCACGAGCGCAGTCTCGCTCACTCGAGCAGTTTCGAGAAGCTGCCACCCCTTCCTTCGGTCGTTGCTCTCGACAAGCTTTCGATCACCGACAAGACCTCCCTCAACGGCAGAGACGAAGCCTCGATGCTCAGCCCTGGTCTCAGCTCGAACCACAGTCATATGTCGCCGCCCTCCGCGTATACGTCCCGGGACGACCACACTGTTCGCTCCCAACGCATTCGTCGTCACGCGTCCATGTCGGGCCAAACCACTTCATCCCACGGAGACAGAAACACCCCACACGAGACTCGCGACACTCTCTTTTCTTCAAGTGAGGAGTCCTCGAATGGTCTGACAGACGACACCGTCTTCAGCGACATCGACCTGTCCGACTCGCACGGGCCTATCAAGGTTGTCAGACTTAAGGCTGATCCCTCTTCCATGCCCCGGTGGGCACCCCGGACTACTTCTATCAACCAGACACCTTCTTTTAAGACGGCCCTCATTTCTGCTGTCCAAGCACGGAATGCTTCCGTGGTTGAGCAGCTGCTTGACCGTGGCGTTTCGCCCGATACTGGCCTCGAAATCAATGTGCTCAACGAGTCCGTTCTCCACCACGACCTGGAAACAGCTCGCCAGCTCCTCATGTTTGGTGCAGATGCCAACAGCGTCGATTCGCGCGGTCTCACTCCTCTGTTCCTGGCTGTCGAGCACTCTTTCCTCGATGGCGCTGCGCTTCTCCTCAAGTACGGCGCTGATCCCAACCTGGCTGCCGGCATGGAACACGAGACTCCCCTGGCAGTTGCCGCCGTGGAGAACAAGTTCCAGTTCACACGCCTGCTGCTGATGTATGGTGGTGACGCCAACCACAAGCTGTCGAACGGCGAGACGGTTCTCATGAAGGCGATTTCGCGCAAGTGCTCGCAGAAGGTCATTGACCTCCTCCTCGACTACGACGCTGACCCGAATCTCAAGAGCCGGAAGGGAGAGTCACCGTTGTTTGAGGCCATCAACGCTGGCCGTGTCGACACCGTGACGAGCCTGCTTGACCACGGTGCCAATCCCAATCTGCCGGGCCCGAAGCACATGCTCTGGCCGGCCATTCATCAGACCGGCTGTCTCAGGGTCCTCCTTGCTCGGGGTGCGGATTACAAGAAGGCGCCTGGTATCATGGAGCAAGCAGCATCCACGAACAACCTCGATTCCGTTCGTGTCCTCCTCGAAGCCGGTGTCGATCCTAATGCGAAGAAGGATGGTGTATACACGCCTCTTTGCACCTCAATCCGCGACGATCTCCCTGAGATTTTCCACCTCCTCCTGGCCAAGGGTGCAGACCCCAATGTCCCAGCGTCCGAGTACCCCGCCTTCAAGTGTGTCACTCACTTCCGCCCGCAGTACATGCAGCCTCTCGTCGATGCTGGCGCCGACCTGCGGTCTCCAAAGGGTATCATTGAAACTGCTGTCCAGTTCAAGAATGTGGAGGCACTCAAGTGGCTTCTGAAAGCCGGCGTGTCTCCCAACGACCGGACACCCAAGACAAATGCCACTCCCCTGACCACCTCAATCCGGGAGAAGCGCAAGGACTTTGTGCAGATGCTGCTCGAGAACGGCGCCGATCCCAACATTCGTGGCGAGGACTGGCCCGTGTTCTTGGCTGTTCACGAGCCAGAGATTCTCAAACTCATTCTCCCATACCTCAAGGAACCCCGGGCTTACAAGGGTGTCATGGAGAGAGCCGTGGTTGCCAACCAGCTTGAGTCTTTGAAGCTTTTGCTGAACGCGGGCGTCAGTGTCGAAGACCGCAACGGCGGTGTCTTCAGCCCGCTGACCTCTGCCATCCGCGATCGCCAAAAGAACTTCGTCAAGTACCTCATCGACGAGGCTGGCGCCGACGTCAACGCGCCGGGTGAGCACCTGCCCATCGTCAAGGCGCTGCGCCGGTATGAGGGTGAAGATTACGAGATCATCGAGATGCTGCTCGCCAAGGGTGCCGACCCTAACAAGATTTACCGCGGCCACAGCGGCTTCATCCAAGCAATTGAGAACGGGGACTCCAAGGTCCTCCAGCTGCTGGTGGACCGCTGCGGAGTTGATCTCTCAGCGCAAGACGACCAAGGACAGACGATTGCAGAGATCGCCGAGTCTCGCGGCTGGGACGAGGGTCTCGAGATTATCCTCGCCGGTAGTCAGAAATGAGGATGGTGGGAACTCATCCCGATTGCAAACGCGCCAGCGGAAACATCGGTCCCTCCTGAACAACACGACTAACCTTTCCGGGCTCGGGCTCGGGTTCCCTCTTAGCATAAAGGGGCCATCTATTTGTGATGCGCATTGTTTATTTCCCACACTACGACTGAGCACGATATCCACGGGGCGCCATGACTTTTGATGATGGGGAGGAGGTCTCTTGCCAGATTTTGACGTTGCATCGCGGACAGCCCATATGGCTCTGGTCCGCCTCTTCTCCTGAACGGGCAATCGACGTCACCACCGATAGCCTCGCTTTGTACCAGTACGACTTCTTCTTCAATCGCCAAGGCACACGGTGGCATTTCCTCATCCACTGTTCGAGATTCCCAAACACACACACAACATCCCCTTTACGGTTCTTTCCTATGTCGAAAGCACAAAAATGACCTCATACCCCCATTTTATCGGTCGTTTGCGCTGTGCGAAAGTTCTTGCTCACACATTTTTTGTCATATACTCGATACATAATCACGCTGATTTTGTCTTACACTCTATGCGCACGCGCGTCAGGATGCATTCGAGGAGACCAGCCATGGATGGATGGCATGGAGGGACTGAGGCGGCCTGCACTCAATGGGAGGGGTGGGACAGCCAAAAGTCACTGAGCGTTGGTTGATAGTAATGCAATAAAGCTCACTATTGAAAAGGTTAAAAACACGTTTGCGGCCTAGAATCGAAACGTGTCTCCCACCAGAAGTTGAAAAATGTTGCTTGTTGTCATTCAGGCATTCGTGAACTGTTTCTGCCTTGCAATTTGTGGACCTAGCCGCGGTCAATGGAGAGAGAGAACTCTGGTACGTGCCCGCCCCAGATGAACTCGGTCTTATCCCAAGCATATATGATTGATGCCGGGAGTGGACTGTCGGTTGGTTGGCACATTGTTGTTCACTCCGCAATGACTGGGCATCTTCAGGGGGTATCCGGAAACATGTGGGCGTTTGGTCGCGTCTCTCTAACCCCCCCCCCCCCCCCCCTCTCTCTGTCATGTCTTGATGATCACTGACGTTCGTCGACTAACTCAGCAGCGATACTCGCGCCAACCTACGTAGGGTGACTGACCAGACTAAACCACTGCGGGCTTGCACATCTCGCGACTCGTACAAGCCCATCTGGGAACACTGTGGATTCATGAATGTCCAATTTGCTTATATAAAGTCTGATGTATATGTACTTGTGAAGGAGCGTCAATATCGACATGTACCTTACCCATAGTGGCCATAGACACAAGAAAAAAGGTGTGGGAAAATATATATACTGCAGAAATCAAACCGTTTTTTCTCACAACAGCAAACACTCAAGAAAAGCCCGCTTTTCTACTCAGCACTTGAACCAGCACCAGCGGCCCCCTTCTCCCGTCCCCAAGCCAGCGTGGCGAACAGCGCGCTCAGCATACTGCCGATGTCCTGCTTGTCGTCACCACTGCCGTTACCACTGCTGCTGCTGGCACTGCTGACACTCGCCTCGCTACTGCTACCACCACCACCGGCACTGGGAGCATCGGCGCGATACTTGTCCCACATGCTCCTCATCCGGACGCCCTGCCCGTCCGAGAAGGCGACGTAGCAGTCGTCGCTGCTGTAGTCCATAAAGTTGTGGATCGAGTCCAGGCCCGGCTGGCCAGGGCACGAGTCCTTGCCGGCGGGACACCCGTCCGTCATGGTGCTCTGGACGGGGGTGTCGGCGACGAGGTCGCCGCCGCCGTGGTTGTCGGCGTCGCAAGAGTCGCCCTGGAACACGTGCAGCAGGCCGAGCCAGTGGCCAACCTCGTGTGTGGTCGTGTGGCCCAGGTTGTACCCGTCGAGCGAGCCCCCCGGGACCGTCGAGTGCAGGATCGTGCAGCCGTCCTGGATGAAGTTGTCGGTGCCGACGGCCGGCGGGCCCAGCGGCAGGAAGCAGTAGCCCAGGTCGCCGCCGCCCTCGCCGAGCGAGGTCTGGTAGTAGACGTTCAGGTCGCCGTATGAGCCGCGGCGGAGGGCCTTTTTCATCGCCATCGAGTCCTGGTCGGTCGCCCAGTCGGCGTTGACGGTGTAGTCGGTGGCCAGGTGCTTGAATCTTATGCCCTGGGGCTTGTAGGCCTTGTTGAGTACAGCGAGCTGGTCCGTCAGCCGGCTCCTGGGGACGTAGCCTCCGTCGTCGGTGGTGTCTTGGGCGACGACGTGGAAGTACACGCCGATTTCGATTATGCTGGGATCGGCTTTGAGGGCGACACGGCTGGCTTCCTCGGCGGCCAGGATGCGTGTCGAGTTGAGAAACTCATCGCTAACTTCTGTTCTGCAGCCGAAGCGGCTAGTTCGAGGGGCGGCATGGACGGAGGATGTTGCCAGTGCCAGGAAGGCGAGGATGTGTGAGGATATCATCGCGGTGTTTTCTGCTGGGATTGACGAGAGAAGAGTGCTTTAGCTGTCCACAGCTCGCAAGCTCAAGTCAAGCTGTGAACGAGGGTACAACATTCTTGGCATGATGGACAGGACAAGGACTCTTATACGCAGGCGACTCCGATCCAGGGACTGGGGATATGACGCCGTGCTAGGTGCGATATCATAGAAGCTCCCTGCCGTGGACCCTGTTTAATCCTTGGTGAAACCTACTTGTCCCCTGTTGCCTCACACCTTACTGATGTGGCTCTGCAGGGCTCAAGAAAATTAAAAATCCGGGGATGGTTCGTACCGGCGTCGTCGGTGGCTTGCGCTTGCTGTGCTTGTTGCACAATGTCATGGCATGATCACACGCACTCACGATGATGCTCAACACCCTACACGTCAGCATATAGCCTGTATAATTCTAAAAGTCTGGCTTTTGGCGATCTTGGGGAAAGACAATACACCACTTACGGAGCAAAACAGCCGCACATTTGGGCAGAATACGCACCGTCCCGGCGACGATCATACAGATCGACGCGAGGACCGAACTACCCATCGTGCGTGACAGTCGCATCGAAGCCAAACGTCAAGGCTTCTGGCCCAGCCGGTGACGACACACCCCGCGAGTCACTATGCAGCATGAGCGGAAGACTGCTTGTCCGACCCCTTAGCACTGCCGAAAACAGACAGGCCAAGAGTGGTGCTAGTCATGATGGCAGAAGATCCCCTTGTCACGGGCCGTTGCAGGGACTGCCCAGTGTGTAAGCCACCAAAGCGGTAACTAGAGCCTCCCGACCGTCAAAGTCGGGAATTGAGCCGCAGTGACCGAAGCGGCTGCGAGCCTATCCACTCACGGGCTCGCCTTTGTGTCTCAGGGAGTCGGATGTGGTGCCTTCTGCTTGACTCGACTCGACACACTAATGGTGTCCCTCTCTCTGTTTAGCAAGCCTCATTGTCTCAGCCTGCCGACTTGAACCGCCATCATGACACGGCGCAAGCCTGATTGCACGTCGGCGACAATTTGGATGAAAATCCCTAGTCAAATGTGCGAAATGCGCAATGCGCAATGCGTTACTCCGCAGAAAGTTGCCGTGTGCCTGCGGGCATGTTGTTCTCCGTAGCCACATTTCGAGGTATGTCATTTCGTTGCCGCCGTCAAAGATACAGTTTTAGCGTGCCAGGCGATGCCTAATGCGGCTGTGGTTTGATGCTGTCAATACTAGCCGTCCTCTTTGTTGACGAGCTTACCCGGCGTTCCGCACCGAAGTTACGCACTGAAGGGTCAATCAGTGCCTGATTGAGAAAGTGTCGTGTGGCTGCTTGGAGCCGCCATAATATATATATGACATCGTGCAGATGATGCCGTTCTCCAGGTCGTCCCGCAGTCACAGTTTAGCCGGAAATCCTTGTGTTGGACATCACAACGCAATGCCTTCCACAAGCAAGCAAAGCTGGTCGCCACCGTGAACGAGGGCCGCGACCACAAGAAGGGCCTACCGCCTCCCTCGGCAGTTGGCGAGACCTGAAACCCCCTACACACTCTCTTTGCTGTCTTGAACCCTGTGGGCGACCGCCCTTATGCCGTAATCCCTCTGCATTCGGACCGTGCATGACGACAACGCAGGGCTTACAAGGCGCTATGAGCCCCAGTGGCCACCACCTTCCCGTGCCAAAACGACATCAGTGTCTCGGGACTTGACAATATGTGTTTGTGTATGTCTGTGTGTGTGTATTGAAGGTGACGTCTATTTGAGTCGGGCAGCTGAAGCAGACGGATGGATGTGGCGTCGCGGAGGGGCGGGAGAGGCGTCTGTCCGCGCGCTACTTGCCGGCTCTCGTCAAAGTGGCAGCGGATCAGGAAGGAGAGTGAAGGTGGAGAGGACAACGAACCAAATGGTAAGTCAGATGGTGTCGATGCCTGTACGTGATGATGTCGTTGGCCGTCCATACAGCTCCCTGTGCATTGTTGAGTCGAGTCAAGGTCAAGATCGGCCGGGTACCTAAGGAGGAACAAAGTGCATTCATCAAGCTGCTCAGAAGAGCATTGATCGCTCTACTCGAACCGTGTAGACGGCATTGTCGCCAGAGGACAAGGCTTACAGGGCATGATCTGAAGCGGGAGATGCTGGCCATCTCGAGGCGAATTGCGGAAGGTGCAGCTGCAAGGTGTGCGTCTGGTGTTGTGCGCCTGCCCTCTCTGCCTCCTTGCCTGCCTGCCTCACTCCACAAACAATGTCAAGCGGCAAACCTAGCTCGCCTGCCAAATCCTGCGCCGCCAACTCTCGACAGGCGGTTCGCCCCAAGTCCCTATATTGGCAGAGGGTGACGACAGTCTTCGGCGGGCAGGCAAGGTTTGCACCTACGCCGCCAAATGTCTCGCGATATAAACCCAAACACCTCCCCCTTGCCCGTCAGGCGCCACGGGTACAACATCCACACGCGCACCCACCCACCACAGGCTCAAGACCTTGTTCCGCTGATGAGATCGACTGCCGGCTGCCGACCGCCACCAGTTTTCTCTGCGTCAGATTGACACACTCAACACAAGTAATCAACCAGCAGATCCATGGCACAGCTCGGTGAAACATCCAAGGGTGTCTTTCATCTGGGCCGGGCAAGCCTTGCAGATCTGCCGAGACAGGCTTTACAAGGAGTAATTCGTGTCTATTCGCTATGCATAACGCAGCTCCCGGCTTGAAAAGTGTTTTCCCGCTGTAGTTCCCCGAGTATACCGCCCTCAACTCTATGTACAGCTCCCCGTGACAGCCTGCATGCCCATCAAAGTCTACTTGGATAGAAGAGACAGCAGCTCGTCGGCAACTTCCTTAACCCGGTCCTCGCTCGCCTTGTCCTTGGCTGTACGCACTGGGAAAGCCATGCTCTTTGCGTCAGGCGCGGCCGTGCCCACAGACGTGACCAATGTGCCCGACGCAATGAGCGCGCGGTATACCACCTCACTATCAGTCTGCTTCTGTAGAATGTGCGAGAGCAATGTCAGGGAATGCACCTGCACCGCGTTGCTGATGCTGCCAACACGCCATGATGCAAGCACAGACAAGTTGATCAACACCGTCGTCAGTGCAATGAAGAGATTTCGGTTGAAGGCACCGACAGCCTGCTGGCCGCCGAAGCCGAGGACGCGGCTGATGAAAGCGTCAATCGCCTTAGCCGCTGCCGGCTGTGAGATGGTCTCCCTACCAGCCTGGGTCTTGAACAGGTTGGCAATGGTACGGGCGGCCATCATGCAGCAGTTCTCGTTGGGATCGGTACCAGCAGGCACGCCTTCGAACGGCGCCGCCGTGGCGATCGTGACAACATCGCTGTCGTTGGCCGTGCGGTACTTCGCTATTGTTGGGTGTACCGCAATACAGCGGAGGAGGTCCATGGGCGCGAGGCGGTCCGCATAATCCCACTGTGTGCACATCATAAACACAAGCTTCGCAGCCTCCTCAGTCACCGCAGGCTTGCCCGCTTCAAGGCTCTGCTTGAGCTGGGTCAGCACGTTTTGTGCATCCGGGTTGAGCGAATGGTCTTTGCGGCCCGAGGCGACCAAGCCAGCATTTATGCTTGCAATCTTTTTGAAAATTGCTGTCCGGGAACGCGGGTCAGTATCTTGTCTGCATTTCGGTGCTCCAAGCAGGGAAGCCGTTGCACTCACGCTCGTATTTGGCAGCTGTAATGTCCAGGTATTCCCGCTGGGGAATGACCTTGGTCCTGCTGCTTGCTGGCTGCTGGGTGTTGGTGCTGGCCGTGTGTTGGTCAGCTCCCGTGTCGGCACTCTGGCCTATCGTAGCACCCTGTGTATTTTGAACTATGAACTGTGCGACTTGGTCGAGGAAGTTCAACGATAGCTCGTTATCGTTGATGAATTTTGTCGCGCGCTCATACGGATTCTCGGAAAGATTGTAGGGCAGCTTCAAGGATGGCTGCCCTTCTTCAATAGCGACATCAAACACGTAGTCGTACATCTTGCCCTGGTATTCGGTCTTCTTGCCGCTGCTCCCGACCGCGTCCACGACAGTGCCGACGTTGATCCACTGCTGCTGACCCATCGACCATTGGTGTGCAGTAACATTGCCATTTTCTTCGCGAATCATCTGAACCTGGCCCTCCTTGGTGCCTGACTTGCTGGTGAGAAACTCCGGGCCTGGCAGCTTCTCCTTGTTGATACCACCAACTTGCTGTTGAGGTATCGACGAAGATTTAACAGCCTCATCGAATTGGCTGAGAGTCTCAGCGTCTGCGGCTCGTTCGGGACTCCTTGAAAACACGCGGACAACTCCATCGCTGGCGCCCGTGGCGATGTCTCCATTCTCCGGGCATGCTGCCACTGTCCAAACCGAGATGGCAGGGTGGGTGATGGTCTGGACACACTCGGTGCCGCTCCATATCCGGACAGTGCGATCCTCGCCGGAGCTGACGATTTCCCCGGTCGGCAATGTAGTCAAAGCATAGATGAAGCTCTCATGGCCATGCAGCTCTCCAACCTGCTGCCCGCTCAGCTTGTAAAGCCGTATAACGCCATCGTTGTGTCCGCTGGCAATGTCGGCGCCTGTTGGGTGGCCAGCGGGCACTTTGCATATCGCGCGAACGATGTCGGGCGTGGAGATGGTCGACTTGGGGGTCACCTCACCAGCCACGGCTCTAGAAGGATCAAAGATGCGGATGCTCTTGTCGGCGCAGCCCGTGACAATCGTTCTGTCGTCGATGGGGAGCACATCCCAGACGGCGCCTTCATGCTCGGTCAGGATTGCCTCCACCTCCCATTTGCTGATGCTCCATATGCGAGCCGAGTTATCCCAGCTGCCTGAGACGAGCTTGTTGGCCCCGGGGACGACGGCAAGGGAGCAGATGTTTCGAGAATGGCCGATCAACAGCCGTTCGGCGTTATCTGATGGGCCGGCAGCAGGACTGCGTATGTCTATGATGGTGTCTGTGCCAGCGGAGACGACGAGGCCGTCTGGGTAATCGGAGGACGCAGGGAGGTAGGCGAGACTGTTGACGAACTCGGTGCCCTTGTTGGTCACGGAGGGTTCGAATGTCGGGGGGCTGCCTTGGGAACGACGCCACGCACGGACAGTGTGGTCTCTGGACGCGGAGAGGAGAAGGTCGGCGGATGGGAAGGAGACGTCGCGTACGTCGGCCTCGTGGGCGAGCAGCTGGGCGGACAGCTTGAAGTCGGACGGACGTGCCATGACTGGCTGTGGCATGCAGCGACAACTGATAGAGTTGGAGGATAACAAGAAGTCGGTCACGGGCCAAAAGGAAGACTGGCACTGCCGAGGAAAGGACTAAAAGGAGAAAGTGGTTGGAGTTGCGAGCACGCCGCCAGCATGCTACGATCGACGGGTATGATGGCGTTTGCGGGGAGCTAGCTGTCTGGAGAGAGCAGCGTGGACGATGATGGAATGGCCCCTCCAGCGACCCCACTTTGCAGCGGCCTAGCCTCCATGGCAGGCACGATGCCCGTTTGAGGCAGCTGCGCCAGGCACAACCTTGGAGCCCTTTGGCAGCAGCCTCAGGCAGTACTTGGGTTGCCACCAACTCCCTGCGGCAGGGCCTGTATCCTCTGGACGCCGTCTCATGCCCCCATGTCCCATGCCCACCCGGCCTCAGGTGCAGCCCCTCCAATCCAGCGTTCCGCTCCCAGCTCAGGAGGGCTCGCCTAGTGTGGCCTTGCGTCTGTCTGGTGGCATCGAATTCCGCCTCAAGGGTCCAGCTTCGAGATTCAGTCTGCGCATCCTCACCTTCGGCTCAGGCCGCCACCTCCTCCTCGTGCGCCGCCACTCTGCGACCAGCGCCTTCTCCATCTGTCCCTCCCAGACTACGGCTGCGCGCCTTCTGCAGTTTTCACCCGCCTCCAGTCCGTCCATCTGCTTCGCCGTTTGGTTGTCGTGCCCCCCTTTACTCGAACATCTGGCACTTTTCACACGAGTTTTGCAACGACCGGCCCTTACTTTCTTGACGACCCTCACGAAAATTCCCCTTGCGCCTCCGCCAGTTCGACCACTCGCTCCACACGGCAGCCTCCTAGGCAGACGACCGCGAAACTAGACCCGACATATACCACTGTCTGCTCAATATACCCCTTCCGTTCTTGGGCGATTGACCTCGACCCGACCGCCTCGTTTTCCACGTGCCGCTCACGTTCGGCCCTACCATCCTGGTTGCCCTTTCCAACGATCGAGACCACCCAACTCCGACCTCGAACTCCTACTACTACTACCTGACACCATGGCCTCGGACGCGCAGAGGCAGTACGTCCCATTGACGTGCCACGGCCACTCCCGACCTGTCCCTCACATCCACTTTTCACCCCTTGAGAGGGAAGAGGTCTACTACTTGATCTCGGCCTGCAAAGGTGAGAATGCGGTGCTACGCTCGCCCACACTCTTCCGGTTCTCCTGTGACTCTACTGACGCCGACTGCCTTCACAGACAACAACCCCATGCTCCGTGATGGCCAGACGGGCGACTGGATCGGCACGTTTATTGGACACAAGGGAGCAGTGTGGCAAGCTCGGCTCAGTCCGGATGCCCAAACAGCCGCAACTGCTTCCGCCGATTTCACCGCCAAGGTCTGGAACACTCACACCGGAGAGGCGCTGTACACGCTGCAACACAATCACATTGTCCGAGCCGTCGCCTATCCGCCCAACAACTCCGATCTGATTGCGACTGGTGGCTACGAGAAGAAGCTGCGCCTCTGGGACCTTTCAGAGAAGCCCCAGACTCCAGGTGATGGCTCCGCGCCGGCTTCCGTCACTATTGATGCGTCGACTGCCTTTGAAATCGGTGCTGGAGTACATACGGCGACTATCAAGTTCATTGTTTGGACAAAGGATCCGAACGTCTTGATCACTGCCTCCAACGACACCATCCGCTGGTTCGACCTGCCTTCCCGGACAGTTATCAAGCAGGAGGTGCTTGACGGCGAGATTGGATCGTGCGAATTCAACGCGCTCGCACCACAATACACGTCGCCTTCAGATGTCGGTCACGGCATGCCTGTGCTTGCTGTCGCTGCGGGCAAGTCTGTCTATTTCTGGGGCGGTCCCCGGGCCATGGATGAATTGAAGAGAAGGAAGCTCGATTACAAGGTGGCTAGTGTGGCTGTCGATCCTAAGAGCAGGAAGATCGTCGTCGGCGAGGACATGCCTGCAACTTGGGCCAAGGTCTATCGGTGGGACGATGATGTCGAGATCGGTAAGTGCAATTTCCTAGACAAATCGCAGGTCGATTCCGGACTACAAAGCTGACATATTCCACAGACACCCACAAAGGTCACCACGGCCCTGTCTGGTCGATAGCCTTTTCTCCGGACGGCAAGCTATACGCTACAGGCTCAGAAGACGGCACAATCAAGATGTGGAAGAACTGTGATGGTTACTACGGTCTGTGGCGAGGCGGCAGCGCTGTTGCCACTGAGAAGGAGGTCTAGCCACTACACCCTATGAGCCAGCACAAAATCAGCATGCCGTGGGTTGAACAACGAACGAAGAGCTTCAGCTTGAGCCGTCCACGATCGCCGCAGCCGATGCTGGCCTCCAAAAGGAGGAATACGGGCCCCGCCACCGCCTCTTGGTCCTGCTTTATGGACTTGGTCGTTCAGCATAGTCCTGGTGAGGAGAACAGCAACACAAAACGTCTCCGTCTGGAGATGTGAACCTGCATGTAGACATCAGCCCCTCAGGCAGTAGCTTGCAGTACATTGACAAGGCCAGTTGGCCGTTGAACGGAGCAGCAGCTCAGAACCTTGGGGCGTGTACGGAACTGTATCAGAAGTAAGCGCCACAGCAGGCCGATCTTGATGGTAGGCTCATGGCAGCCAGGCGACACGATCGAAGCGCATCACATTTGTAATGTGGTCAAAACCAGGAATAGCCTGCCAGTATTGTGTGAGAAAGAAAACAACACGAAGAAGCTGTATCAGCGCATACTTGAATGCATTTGAAATTGTGTGATATGCGTAAAGTACCCGTGAAGCGCAAAAGGACACTCGGTCCCACCGAACAATCGCCCCGTGGATGCCCATTGCCCAGAGCAACATATCACAAACCTTTCCACCGGCGTTCAGCGAGAATCAAAGATGACATCGTGTCCAATCTCGTCTCTATGCTCGTCGATCAAAATCACCTTTCCAAAGCCGGCAAGAGCAGCACCTCACCACCATCACCACCGCCACCGCCAGCAGCAGCCACAGCTAAACGGGAAGGCCAAAATCAATCATTGCGCCAGGTGATGGTGATCTGCCCAGTATTTCGAGATAGGTCTACTGGGCGAACGGTATATGCTCCCCTGCACGCTCCCGGTTCGTTCATCCATGCGGAACTTCTCAAATAATAATTTTTACTTGATCATCTCTCTCTCTCTCTCTCTTTTCCTCTTCTTTTTCCTTTGGAAACAAAATGGTTTCCTTCACGTTTAACCAAGACTCCTTGGAATTCATACAAACAATTTCCGCTAGTCTAATTTTCTCAAGAGCGTTGTCTCTGCTCTGGGGCTCTAGACTGGTCCTTGTGCGGTGGCTCGAAGAGTAGTATCAGGAAGGAAAAAAGGTCGTTTGGGGTAGGTAGAGTTGGGCCGAGACAGACTGTTCAGTTTGAGAAGAGACACAAGCATTTAGGGAGCAAAAGCTGTGCAAGACGGCAGAATGATACGAGAGAGGTTCAATTGCGAGGTTAAGACAAGAACGTCGGGTGTCTGCATTATCTGAAAAATGTTTGAAAACTCGGTATGGAGAGATAAAACCACGGCGGCTAAGAAGGTGCGCGGTCTACGGGCTATATGTCCCCCGTTGTCGATGTGTATACCCGAGAATAATAGAGAAAAAAGAAAAAGAGAAATCAGAGAGGCAGGTATTGCCTTGAACGCCGAACAACGCCAGTAGTGTGATGGCAGCTTCTTGGCCGCGCTGAAGCTCCCATTATGGTGAGGCTGTCATATACAGGAAATATATACAGTAAGAGGCATACTGGAATGCCAATGCAAGGGCTTTCTTGTACTCGGCATCTTTCGCGTGCAGAAAAATTAGAGAATCATCCACACACTGCCCAGCACAACTGGCAGGTAGCCAAACCAGCTCCACGCCGAGGCGGTGGGCTGAAGCAGCCTCGACAGAGCGCCGCTGGTCTTGTTGGCAGACGCGCCAGGCTCGTGAGTCGTGATGGTGTAGAGCTCGGCAAAGCCAAAGTCGGTGCTATTGAAGCAGTTGGTCTTGTTGACCTTCTCGATTCGTGGATCGTTTGGCTCGGCGAATGTGATGTCAACGCACTATTGAGGCTGGGGTCAGTCGCAGCTTGTATGTCAAGTAAAGGTTGGGAATAGGAGGCCTACCGAGAAAAGAGCGGCACCGTGGGCAGCAATCTCGACAATCTGGATGGTGGCATTGTCGCCGGCCCTGACTGTCGTGTTGACAGGAAGCGGCACCTGCGGCAGACAGACGGTGCCAGGGTATGGGTTCTTGGAGGGACCAAGAAGCTGGAAAGGCGGGACCATGGGGAAGGACATGTTCCTGGGGCCGCCACCAGGTCCATCGGTGCCAAAGCCCAAGTTGACGTAGAGGAAGGCAGTCTGATGGCCCTGGAACCAACCTGGCTGGAATGCCACGGCTCCGCCTGTCGTTGGCCAGAATGTCCTGTTTGTGGTTGTTGGATAGCCACCACCTGCTGCGTGTTAGTCCAGAGTGTCTCGTGCGTGGCAGTGCCCCCCGTTTCTGCGCAGACTTACATGGATACATCCACTGCATGCCGTAGGGGAAAGTCTCATTTGTGATAAGGTTGTTGCCTCTCCATCCTGGGTAGGAGATGATGATGTGTGCTTGAGCCAGTGTTGAGGCGAGCACGGCTAGTATTATTGAACGAAGCATGTCGTCTACTGAACGCTACGAGGCGTGGGTGCTGTGGAAACGAAAGAATTGTAACAAGAGGCGGGCAGCACTGGCTTGCGACAACCAGACGGCGGCTCAAGTATGCGGCTGTTCGGTAGATAACACAAGGTGCCTCTCTCCTTTGCTCTGGTGGAGGCCTCGTTCTCGGGTGGCAGGAGGACTATGGGCCAAAGCTGTGCTATGCGGGTCGACTGCTGGGCAATCAAGACCAATGGAGCTGGCAGACAAGTGTCGTGATGTTGGTTTGCGCGGAAAGGAATGGGAGAAGAACGGGCGGCCAGGCTGGTCGCATGGCGGGCGACGGACGCCTCATATTGGGAGGCTCGACGCGGCCAGGCGCTGAGGGGCGAGACCAATGGCAGGATGCGACGGTGAGATGCTGCATGGCCGTGCGGGCGGCATAGACGGGAGGCTGCTGGCAGAGGAGAGCAGCCAGTGAGGATCGCAGGCGGCAGCAGAGAGAGCGGTTAGAGCTGCTGGGCGACTCGCTGAGGGGGTGTGATTCGCTGGTGCAGCAGCCAATGGCAGCGGCAGAGGGTGGTGATGTGAGGGTCCTCGAGACAGGGGCCCTAGGCGGCGCCGGCTGTGAGTGGCCAGCGGGAGGGGTGGCTGGCAGTTAAGCGCCCAGCTCTGGCTGGTGCCCCTGTCGCAGCCAGCAGCTAAGTGCGGGAGAGCAGCTGCCAACCTCAGGGACCCTGGAAGGGGGGCCAGGTCACCCGCTGGGCACCGGTTGGTTGGGGGCCGGGATGGACGGTGGGGTATCTGGTGCTGTGATGGATGGTGCTGCTCTGTCGACTGTGGGAGGAGCTTGAGCTCGATGTGGGCAGAGCACGGCGCCTCGAGAGGTGATGGAGCTGTGTTACCGCCGGCTTCCAGACTGAATCACATTCCACGACCCGGGATGTCGTTGGCGACACCGTTCGGTGACGGAGCCGATTCGCTCGGCGCTGCGTCTCCGCGTCGTGGTTATGTGGTGGCGTGCCTGACCTATGCTTCGGGAGCGTGTCGCGTGGCGCCGACTGTGGTGCCGTGGTGCCGTGCTGGGTATAAGCTTGTGAAGTGAAGGCCTAACTTGTGTGCCGGCCATCTGTGCAGCTGGCGATGCCAACGAGCATGCGCGGTAGAGATCTTGGTGTGAGCCGTGTTGGGCTTTGAGGCCATCACCGAGAGGCGATGTGCGCCAGCAGGTGCAGGCATGAGGTGGTTTGTGGTGCTGGGGAAGGAGTGCCCCACATCACCCACGCAGGCTTGGCCAGCACTTTGTTCAAATTTCGACCCTCACATCACATGCAACAACACCAGACATCGCAAGCCAGTCTCGGCCACGGCTGCAGAATTACCAACTTGCTCGCTCGCACAAGCCAGTCAGCCAGTCAAGCACAGCCCAGATCCTTGGCATCAAACAAATTACAGCATCAAGCTCCTACGTGTGGCCATGGGCCCTCAGAGCACCCAAGTGGTCCATGAGCCGCTGGCCGCCAATGACGGCGAACAGGAGTGGACAAAGGTTCAACGCAAGTCACGCCGCGGACCAAAGGCACGAGCACAGAGTGCAAAGATGCCCACAAGACCGGGAGTGGTGACAGCCACGCCCACCCCGAGGCAAGCCACCGCGTCGGATCTCACAGCTCAGGACATCCGGGAGCAGCACAAGCGCATCTACGACCAGTGGCTCGAATCCGACTGCCACAAAAAGCTTGAAGAAATCATCAGCACAAAAGCAGACCTCGCCCATATCAAGCGGGCTGTCTGTTTCGGCATAGGCACCTTCGACCCCGAGGACGGAGCCTGGGAGGTCAAGCGGAGGACGCACGTCCAGCTGGCTGCATTCCTGCGCATCATTGGTCTGCTGGAAGCAAAGCAAAAGTCTCCCATACAGTGCCTCTTCCAAGAACCCGTCTTCTCGGCCAACGATGCAGACTTCATCAGCCAGCTGGGCCACCATGTCGTGGAATCGCCGGCGGGATTTGAGCTCGTAGACGAGTCGACCCTCGTCTATGGCGTCCATCTGTACAGAGAAATCTATTCGCAGGCCATTGCCAAGGCCATCCCGGCTGTCTTTGTGGGCACCGGCTATGATGTCTGGGACAAGTGAGTACTCGTCGGATGCGAGCAAGTTGGGCCGATGCTGACAGCATAAAGCTATCATGACACCCAGGATCTCGATTGGGATAGGCTCAAGACGGTTGATGCTGCTTGCGAAAAGGTGCAATTCCCACAGGACAAGGGATACACGACCTTTACCAGCACAAGCTTGCACTGGAGGCGACCCGATGGCTCGGGATGAACAGCTTGCCTTGTCATGGTGCATGGGATCCGTCGGAAGCGCGGTGGCTCAGAACAAATATGCAAACCCCACATATCGGCAGTGAATGGATGGTCGTGGATGCCAACGAGCTTGGTGGAAAAAGGCCATGCATGCTCCACCTTGGCGGCGAGACCGCCGAAGTGCGTGAGGGCAAGGTGAGGCGACGCCAGAGCAGGTGCGACAACAGCTTCCACCGAGTCCCGACGGATGAACCAACAGCAGCTGAGAGGAATCCTGCAGCAATGTTCCGGACCCTCGGGATCTCATGCTTGTCAGCGGCCGGCGAAACATGCAGAGACCATACCTGTCAAGGCCCTGGCTGGATGCTGTCAGACTGGACGCTGAGCCTCCCTGGTGTGAGGGGTTTTCGTGGGCCTCGGCGGGGCTACCGATAGAGCTCGCACTGCACGTTGCACTATCAACAGTGTGCGCCGGCAATCCAAGACGAGGCCCGAGTCATACATTCAAGGGGCACGGGCGCAGCACTCAGTCCACAGTCAAATCGTCCCCCCGATGTGCAAGCCGGAAGCGGCGAGGAGACATACCATAGGTACATCGAGGCCGGCAATGACGGATGCTGACAGACAAAACCCACGTGGCCGCCATCTGAGTAGTGGTGGTGGTGGTGGTGGTGTCGTCGCTCAAGCGTGCGACCATCCCTCTGGAAGCCTAGCTGTGAATGGTGTCGGCTCGCTCGGCTTGACAAGAGAGCCAACTGCTGCATGTTGGGGAAACAGCGTGGCCTGTGACTGCTATCGACAAGGCATGCATGGCTCTCGCTCAGCTCCCTGCACGGTGGTTTGCCACGGAGGCGGCTCGGGTCCATCTGCCCGCTAGCGCACAATCTCGACAGGGCTCAGAAGGTTCCGTCGGATGCCCTTGTCGCAGGAGCGTCCTCTCCACTACCCCAGCCAGTCACAAGGCCAATGGTATCAGACTGTGAGCGTCAAAGCCAGCATGTTTCCCCATACTCTCTGAACCCGTGGCGGGCGTCACTGTGTCGTCCCTACCGACACCCGATCCCGACAGCTCATGATAAGAACAATGCGCCGGCGCCTTCTCGTCAGCCTCTCTGACAAGTGTGCAGCATTGTCGAGCAGGGCCATCAGCCATCCTGAGCTGCCGCATCACTATCCTCCTCCACAACGATTTCATACCTTGTCTCGGAACCGCAGCTTCAGTCATATCACACAGAACCCGCTCGCCATGGCCTCGATTGTGCCCAAGCCTTCGGGCCCCGCAAAAACCTTCAACGACCTCGGCGCCAAGTATGGCGACTTCAGAGATGAACTGATGCGCGATGGATACGCCGTCGTCAAGGGCGCCATCCCTACGGAGAAGGCTGACGGCTACGCCAACCGTATGTTTGAATATCTCGAGAACTTCAAGGGCGGCCTCGGCTTCAAGCGGGACGACCGATCCACTTACGTCGAGAAGAACATGCCCATCATCAACGAGAAGGGTCTCTGCTTCGCCTATGGCATCACTCACGAGGACTTTGCCTGGGACATCCGGGCCGAGCCTGGCGTCGTCGGTGCCTTTGAGAAGGTCTTTGACACCGAGGACCTCATCGTCTCCTTTGACGGCTTCAACTTCACATTCCCCACCCGCACCGACATGAAGGAGAACACTCCTTGGCCGCACCAGGACCAGGACCCCGAGAAGCCTGGCTTCCGCTGCCTCCAGGGACTCGTCAACATGTTGCCCAATGGCCCCAACGACGGCGGTCTCCTTGTCTGCAAGGGAGCCCACCTCCTGTCGGAAGAGTTCCACCGCGAGTTCAAGGACGAGGAGAACAAGGTCTGGGCGTGGACAAAGGAGTGGTACGGCTTCACCGACGCCGGCATGAAGTGGCTGAAGGACCACGGCTGCCAGTGGATCAAGGTGGAGGCCGACCCTGGCGACCTTATCATCTGGGACTCGCGCACCCCTCACTATAACCAGGCGCCGACCAGCGAGAACCCTCGCTTCTGCGCCTACACATGCTACATGCCCGCTGCCGAGGCCACGCAGGAGGACCTGATCCGCAAGAAGGGCGCCTTTGAGAACACGCTGCGGACAACACACTGGCCGAACGCTGCTCATGTGGGCGGCCTGACGATGATGCGGGACGGCAAGCCCGATCCATACGATGATGACAAGCCGGCCAAGCCGGCCAAGCTTGACGAACGGGCCTACAAGCTGACTGGCATCCCATATATTGCTGCCACCTCGGCGTGAGGTTCTGTGGTGGGCAGCAGGCATGCAGCAGGCATGCAGCAGGGTTCGAGAATGAAGATTGGTAATGGACAAAAAAGCCATGGAAGGAGAGGAGGAAGCGTTTGACCAGGACTGTACAAACCTGTTGCACCTGAATTCTTTTTTTCTTTGCTCTCCGTACAAGATACCACGATGACGAACGATAGATGGAATATCACCAGAGAGCCACATGAAGCTCAAGACAGCCTACCTGTTCTCATCTGTTTCTGCTACCCACATGCATGTTGCAGATGATCCATCATGTCCACCCACCACCACAACCACCTGGACATCGGCGACGCCATAGACTTTTTGCTCATGACTGAAATGTGTAACGGTGATGTGCAAACAAGCACTTTTCAATTTGCAGACATCCGCCCATGCACGCAGAAGACAGAAAGAGCCATGTATCCGACCAGATCGACGCGGACCCCCCTTCAAGGCGCCCTCCCCACCGCGCGCGAGCCTGGCATGAATCAATCAACCAAGCGCTCAGCACAGGCGGAGGAGCCCCGATCGGCAGGCTGGCTGGCTGGTTGCATGGCGTTTTGACGTCTGCATTAAAGTCGCCCCCCAGCATGACTGATTTTTTGCACACAAAAGTCTAAAAAAGCCAACTTTAATGTGACAAGGAGTGCGGGGGGGTTGTGAGGGGGCGGATGTGGTTACACAAAAGACCCGACGGATCCCTAGCTGTAGAAAAGGTGAGGGGATTAGCTGGACCAAGCAAGGGGACAATGGAATTGAACTCGTCGCATGGGGACAGCAAGGAAAACAGGAATTGATTCAATGTTTTCGAACAAAGCTGCACGACGGATTCGCCATTGTGTGTGTCTTGTGTGCTTGGTGAAGAGTTGTGTTTATTGCCCGTCTGCCTATCTGTCTACGCACCTTCGGCAATTTTGTCTTCTGCTAGCGCTGGGGGTTGAAGGACGGGAGCGTGCATGTCTGTCGGGTGGTGTGGTGGGTGGTGGAGGTGGTGTCTTTGCGGCCGACCTGCCGGGTTGCCGGCCGGACCGTCCGCCGGGCTGCCTTTGTCGTGCGGCTTGCCTTCTGTTGAAGAGTTTCCCGCGGGCGATAGGTTTTCGGCGCATCCGTATTTTTTCTTATTTTTAGGCTCACCTTAGCAATTTTCGTTTGCGAGATCCTGTTTGTCTAGAGAATGGGGAGAGACCGGGTGCCTGGAGAACGACGCCTGCCCTTTTCCATCGGTGCGCTGTCTTAGGACTTCTGTATGCGGGCAGCAAGCAGGATCATGCCCCTTCCCGTTAGAGACAGCGTGATCGATGTCTTGACAAAAGGTCTGAGGGAGCGTTACTATTTCAAACGGTGTTACAAACACCATGGGCACGAGGCTCTGATTGACATACCTCTTTGCCTTTTCGTGAAAACTCCCGTGTCTCGGCAGGGGAGTCGAACACACATCCATGTGCAGCGCTTTCAATGCTACACCATGATTAAGCACGTCCTCCCGTCTCGCGGGCGGCAACAAACGATGTGGTCAGACTGCCTGCGGCCATCAGCTGGAGGCCCTTGTGAAAGGTATGGCGGCTTCTGAACCGCGGTGGAAAGTGCAAGTGTCTAGAAGCAGCAGCCACTGGTCATATGGAGGAGGCTTTCCGCCCCATCTCTGGGTGAGTTCACGTTCGGCATCTTGCACGCACGTCCCGAACTACCAGGGTCAGGTCGCTCATCATTGACATTAACAAGCAGTGTCCAGTGCAGGACCGTAGTCATGGCGCTGCCTGAACTTTTCGTCTCCTGGGCATGTCTAGTCCTCGAGGCGAACAGATGCGACACTTCGGTCAGAGGGGTCTAGTTGGCGCAGAAAATTGTGTAAGTCGTACCTCTTCTTGCATAACCCTTTTCTCATTCAGACTACTAGAAGGAGAAGAGTATTGACTCATCGAGAACAAAAAACCAGACTTTCAATACATTCAACTTCGGTCACTGATCCAAGCAAGACGACTCAGACAACGTTAGACGCACAAACCAATCCGGTCATGCATACCCTGCCAAGGTTATGAGCCTGGCTTTGTTGTTGGGCCAGCAACATCCCACCCTGTGACAAGCAGGCCGCCATCCACCGCCGTATACTTGTCTTCCTTGCTAGTAAGAAGATGGCTGGATCGCTTTCCGGCATCCAATCGCCCTGAACGCGAAGGTGATGCGGCGGTGGCCAATCCTCCCATCAGTGCCAGCAGCCTACCCAGCACTAGCAAGTCAAGGTACGCTCAGCACTCAGTTTTCCGAAAATTCGTTGTTCTTATTTCAAAATCTAACTTGTGGCCAGATTTGTGCGGGGAAAGGCAGTGGGAGGGGTGCCGGAGAGCTCCCTGATCAAGCTCCTGCATTTAGGCCACGAGATTGTCGTCACGTTGCCACTGGAGGGCAGGTGCTGCGCTTGACAGCGAGGGAGCGGGGACATAAATAGTGCGAGGAACATATTTGTTGCTGGCGCCGATGTTCTTCACCAGCACCCTCAAACACGGAGAGGCAGGCACCACCTTGGTTTGTCGAAGGTCGATGGGATCGCAAACAACACAACCACACAAGAACATCCAGACTATGACGGTCGAGTTCTCCAACAATCACAACAAAAACAACGACAACGACAACAACACAACAATAATATGTCAAAAGGTTATGAGCCTGGTGTGTCCACTTCGGCGGGCTTGCGGTCGTTTGGCTGCGTCCAGGAGCTGGTTGTCATGTCCCCATCCGTGGCTCGACGGACAAGGATGTGCAGTCCCCGACGCAGCCGACGCCCTCGATCCCATGACACGGTGGTGTTTCCGGTCTGGTCAGTCAATTCCGTCTCTTTCTTCCACCTGCCGTTGGCTTCCCTGCAGGCTATTTGGCTGTCCACGGCGAACCTGCGGTTCAGACCTGGTCCCGCGGCCTTCTGTGCGTCATGCTGACCAGATTTATTCAGGGGTCCCTGCTGGCCTGAATCGGGGCTTTGTTCGTCCTGCGGGCGCCGATGCTCCATCCTCGCAAGGGACTGGCTCTGGCAGTGCGCGGCGGGCGAGAAGTGGTGGCCATCGCTCCTGAGAGGATCCTCAAGCGGGAGGGCTTGGTTCTGGGGTTGCATATCCTCTTTTTGGCGCCGTCGTGATTCAAGTGTGCCTTCTTCTGCACTGCAGATGCAATCGCAGCCTGTACGATGAGCCACGCCAGGACCTCGGATCGTTTCTGTCATGGTCGCAGCTGAGGGCCAGGTCGCGTCAATGGCGATGATTGCTCACTTGACGTTGTCATCGGATTGCGAATCCTAATCTTGTTGGGTCTCGTCTTTAGGCTGAGCTTGCGTGTGGCCGTGGTCACTGCCTTCTCGAACATAGCTACGAACTCCCTTGGCATTAAAGGCAGCGCCTAGAAGCACACGGAGACACAATCACCAACCTTGAGCAGCAAGCCCAGCAACATAAAAAGGTTGTTAGAGGTGGTCGGCTTTGGAGATTCCCCTTGAACACTCCTACCTGGCACGCTCTCAAGCTCAAGCCAAGGACTTCCACCGCCAGGTCGGTCCTGAGAGGTTCAGTCTGCTGATGACGGACAGGTACAGCATCCCACATCGTCGGCAGCGGATAATCATGAATGAAGTTGCAACAATTCCGCAGTCGGACTACCCGGCTGACTGGTGTGGATGGGTCACTATCACCACAAAACCCCGAATGACGCCATGAATCTGTCCTTACAAACACGGGATTCAACTTTATGAGCCTGGAGACGCCAATGCCGAGACTACCCAGACGAAAGAGACGCACCAGCTCGGCTCGCAGAGCGCGGCTTGGCCGACGCGTGTCCTTGGTTCACCTTTGTCTGTGCCATCACCGGCCCCGTTGAGCTGATTGTGGCTCTGGACTACGGATTCGTGTGGCGAGAAGTGTGCGATGAAGTGATGAGATAGCGCAGAACAGGCATTGTCAGCAATCATAAGAAGTAGAAAGTCTGACAGTAAAACTCTGATATTATCACGCCTCAGAACTGTACTGCGATATTAAGAATTAAAAAACCGCGCGGCAACTCATGCTCATGAGTGCCCCCACGACCGACTTCCCCCTTGCACAACGCTGGCAGTACACAAAAGTCCCTATCTCTCTCTGTGCCTTTCAGCCAACGACCATCAACCGCCTCCTCATCTCCGAGCTCGCGTACCGTCCAAACTCGAACCGGAAAACGTTCTGCCGCCCGCCAGCGCCCAGACTCTCATCATCTCCGGCACCACCACCGGAATACCCAGCACGACGACCACGCGCCTGCTCGATGCACCACTCATACACGGCCTGGATATCCGGTCCCTGTCCCAGCCCGTCGACCTCGTCGTCGTCTTCACTGTCCAGGTGCTCCCATCCCTCATCATCTCCATCCAAATCAACCGGGCTCTTCTTGAAGCTCGCTACGAGCGCGGACGCGACGAAGCCACCGCCGCTGCCGCCGCCGCTGGCGTCTCTGGCCCACGCACCACAAGACGACGAAGGCGAGGAGGAGGGGATGTTGACCGAGTGCACGGCGTCCGTGACGTTGCCGACGACGAGATTGTACCAGCTCAGGCGGAGGCCGGGGGAGCAGGAGGAGGAGCCGGGGGAAAAGTCAAACACGACGTCGTCGTAGGCGGCGAGCAGATCCTCGATGGCGGCGCTGTTGACGGGCTCGCCGTCCAGACCGCGGCGCTGCTCGGCAATGTGGTCGAGCGCGACGAGCGCGTGGGCCTGCCATGTCGAGGGGTCCATGTCGAGAGGTGGTGTGTAGGTGGTGGCGGTGGGCATTGTGTGTATGGACTTTCCTTTTCTTTGTGTTGTTGTTGGTATCGGTGTTTGGGGTTTTCCTAGTTGGCGAGGAGAGGTAGTGTTCCCGAAAAGGATTCTTTCGCCACCTTGGTGTTGTGAGCAGGTTAGGTGAGGTGGTGTTGTTGTTCTTGTTGTTGTCGAGATGGCGCTTGATAATGATTAGCGATGATGATCGTGCCAGATTCGAGAGTGGCTTGTATGCAGGGAGGTTGCAGTGTTATATGCAGCCCAAATCACCAAGGCGGTGTCGACGACAAGAGACTGTGCTCCTTTCGACAAGCATCGTGTGCCATGATGCAACCCATGCTTCCCACAAGCCGGGCCGGGCCCATATCCGCAGCCGCCGCCACACTGACGCGAAAGCCCTCCCCGCACAGCCCAGCCCTGCTCGGCAGCATCGCGACCCGACGACAGGGAAGACCCCTCGCCTGCCAGCTCGAGAAGGAGGAGGAGAACGGAACGAAGGGGGGATATGCGGGGAGCGCGGGCCTAGACTGGGGCCTCGTCATGTTCCTGCTTTGCCTCACGCTTTCAGGCGGCCTTCCCTTTGTGGATTGTGTGCCCGAAACTGCAGGCGCGGCCAGATCAGGCCTGCTCCCGTGCAATGCGGGTGCCTGCAAGGGGCGGAGGGGAGGCCGGGTTGCGACGATGGGAGCGAGGGTCTGGCCGTGGACACGGCAGAAACGACCCGAGCTCGGGGGAATGACAAGTCACGACGGACAGGACAAGGATGACAATGGCAATTCTAGGCTTCTAGGCTCGCCCTCCCGGGGAGTTGGTGCCGGCACGCAAGAGTGCTGTGGTCCCGAAGGCTGAGCCTTGCACACGCTTGAATGCACGCGGAAGGGTATGCCCGGACAGGCAGCAGCAGCCAGGCCAACCCCACGCCAGGAGGGAGGAGTCAAGCCTGTCAGGTGGCGCAGGTCTAGTATGAGTCTGTTCCTGGGCCGCCATCTCCCTAACGCCCCGACCGACATTGTTGTGGTTGTTGTCGTTTGGGACGAAAGGTGTGTGTGCCGGGCCCATGGTCCCGGCCTCGGAGTGGGGCCGCCCGGAGTCTTCGGCGCTTGCGAATTCGCCGGGCGGCGCCCGGGGAGGGGTGGTCGGCGCCGATGGGCCTGGCCTGGAGGTGCTCGACCAGAGGTATCGTCGCCGGCAAGCCTCGCAACCCAGGAGCTCTCGTGGAGAATAGTCTACAATCTTCGTTTTTATTTTCTTATTGACCCGTGGCTACTGTCAATTCTGACCGCGGCTGGCCACCATCCACACACGCTCGTTCAGCCGTACACAACGATGCATCCTCGAGCTCCAGAAGCTGCGAAGCAAAGCCCATTCGTGTCGTGTCAGTCGACCTGACAGACAGACAGACCACCTAGGGGAAGAGAATAACATTTCAGACTGCATCGAATGCACGCTTTCTGGAGCGTTGTTCAGACCTGCACATGGGTCGCTCTCATGTGCAACCACCTCCGTGCCACACCTCCGTGGCCCATGTCGTCATGGCTGATGACTCGCCCACGCAGCATTTCGAGCCACGCACGCAATGGTTCTCCTGCCTCTGGTCTCTCCCCATTCTACATAACGTACGGAAGACACTGGTTAGCAGCACGGCTCGGGGCGCTTGAATCGCATTGGAAAACTTTGTTTCCTCTTCTTCCTCCGACCTTGTCCTGGCCAGCAGCAGCACAAACGCCTCAGCAGAGAGAGAGAGGTTGGAGATGAAGATGGATGGTAGTAAAGCCAGGTTGCCGACCGGGTGCGTGGAGGGCCAGCCCAGGGGCGCTGTCGCATTTTCTTTTTCTCAGAACGGACAAAAAAGGTCATTAGACGCAACACAGGCAATGCCTGTCGTCCATGAGTGAGCAGAGCGAAGGGCCTGCAAGAGCCAGGCCCATGCTCGTGCGCGTTGTTCCTTCCCGACCCGCGGCCACCACACACGCAGAGAGGCCGAGGTCAGACAAATGCATGTCCTAATTTCACTCAGAAAAGGCACCTGGAAAGAAAGAAAAAAGGGTAGAGAGGAACTTTCATGACATTTCTTCTGATGCATCTTGATGAGTCATTGCCTCTTCCCTAATTATCTCTATTCGTTCCGACCAGACTCAAAAATAAACATAATAAAAAAAGAACACCTGGAACCTTATCAATATGACTCCCCCCCCCCCCCCCCCCCTTCTTCCTCCAGTCTCATGAGAACAAATTCATACAGGTCCGCGTTTTAGTTTCTTGTACATGGTGTTTTTTTTGTTGGCTTTGGGCTCTGACTTCCTCGGTCGTGTCGTGTGGGTGTCTCACAAAAGCCACACCTCACCATCGAAAAAAAGCCAGGAGATTGAGAACTGTCCCGTCTCCCACGCCGGAGCTAATTTATACCTTGAGCATCTTGGCGGCGTAGTCGGCAATCAGCTTCTCGGTGGGGAAGGCCATCTCCTCGAGCTTCTGGGCGTAAGGGGTGGGCACCTCGGCGCCGGTGATGCGCTGGGCGGGCGTGTCGAGGTAGTCGAAGGCGTACTCCATGGTGAGGGCGAGGATCTCGGCGCCGACACCGAAGGCCGGGAAGCCGGACTCGACCGAGAGGAGGCGGCCGGTCTTCTTGACCGACTTGACGATGGACTCGACGTCGAGGGGCTTGACGGAGCGGAGGTTGATGACCTCGGCCTCGACGCCGTACTTCTTGCTCAGCTCCTCGGCGGCGACGAGGCACTGGCCCACGGTGCGCGAGAGCGACACAATGGTCAGGTCCGTGCCCGCGCGCTCGACCTTGGCCTTGCCAAAGGGGATGACAAAGTCGTCCTTCTGCGCGGCCTCGGACATGGGGAACGACACGCCGTACATGAGCTCGTTCTCGAGCACCACGACCGGGTTGGGGTCCCGGATCGCCGCCTTGAGCAGGCCCTTGGCGTCCTCGGCCGACCAGGGGGAGACGACCTTGAGGCCCGGGATGGAGCCGTACCACGCGCTGTAGTCCTGCGAGTGCTGGGCGGCGACGCCGGCCGCGAAGCCGTTGGGGCCGCGGAAGGTGATGTTGCAGGGCTGGATGCCGCCAGACATGTAGAGCGTCTTGGCGGCCGAGTTGACAATCTGATCAATGGCCTGCATGGCGAAGTTGAAGGTCATGAACTCGCACTAGACGCAACACATGTCGAGTTAGCTTGGGGGGCTCTGTTGACAGCTACATGGTCGAGGAAGGCATTGATGGCGTTTGCCTGGTGATTCGGGGCACAATGGACCGTGGAAGCACGCCCATGAGGGGCCAGCTCCAGATGTCTCTGAAGCTCACTTGGAGCTCAGATCATCTAGCCATGTGAGAGCAAGACCACAAAGGGGAAAACTAAACAGTCCCCACGTAGTCCCGGATGTACACTCCCCGCACAAAGCTCCTCACGCATCAACAAACTCAGTCCAACTTACAACAGGGTGGAGACCCGAGAGCGCCGCACCGACGGCGAGACCGCAGAAGCCGCTCTCGGTGATGGGGGTGTCGATGACGCGCTTGTCGCCGAAGCGGTCCAGCAGGCCCTTGGTGACCTTGTAGGCGCCGTTGTACTGGGCGACCTCCTCGCCGAGGATGAAGACCTTCTCGTTCTGCTCGAGCTCCTCGGCCATGGCCTCGTTGAGAGCCTCGCGGACCGTGTAGTCCTTGGTGGCGCCCTTGGCCTCGGCGTATGTCCTCCGCTGGTTCTGGATGGCACTGGAAGAGGTGTTGCTGATGGCGGCGAGGCGGGGGAAGGCGCGCGGGGCGCACGGCCGGGCCGCGAGGGCGAGGCGGGAGGCGGGACGGAGGTATCGCGACATTTTTTGGGGGGTTGCTTTGTCGGAACTTTTTTTTCTTGGTCCGGGGAGCAAGGTCAAGAGGGTTGTCGCGAGGACGTCAAGCTCGACGAGACGGGAGTGGAATGTCGAGTGTAGGGATTGGAAGGCCCAGCACGAGGGTTGAGCAGAGCTGGGGGGGCGGAGGGCTCGTGGGTTGGCGGAGGATGGGAGGAGGGAAGAAGCAGCAGAAGCAGCAGCAGGAGCAGGAGAGAATAGGCGGAGCCAGAAAGCTGCGATAGGGCCCTTGCGCGGCGGCGGAGTGGGCGAAAGTGGTGAGGCGGCGTGGTTGGAGCTTGCTGGGGCTCAATCCATTGAACAATCCATCCAATCCACACTGCTCTCGAGTCCCTCGATAGCACACCTTACAGGGCTCTAGCGCCGTTGCTGCCGCTGTAGAGCTGCCCGACGGCAGACCTGGGCGGGCTCCTTTTGCTCACCTTGACAGCCCCCCTTGCCTGGAAGCCCGTTGCTGGCAGCGCGAATTTCGAGCTCTCGCGGCGAGCAGCTCCGATCGCGAGCGATACTGTCAGCTGGCGATACATCCAGAAGTCGCCAAGTGGTCGACGTACCAAGGTGCCGCCAGCTGGCTGCCAGCTCAGGGTCGCGAGACAGCTCCGATTCTTTCCTTGGACCCTCCCCAACTAAATTTTTTATTCCACTCACCTTGCGCATACAGAGACAAGGGGGGCCGTTCTCTTGTTGGGGTGCTGCCAGAGCAGCGTTAGTCCCCATCAGGCAAGGTGCAGCTGTCCCGGCCCGCCTTTTGTTCTCGCTGGCGATCACACCCCTTTGTGCCACCTGGGCACTTGTTATGTAAACAATTCGACTCCGTTGTTGCTGGTGGGACAGGCATAATTATCAGCTATCCCCCATCGCCGTCTAGAGTGCTTCCAGGACTGCTGCTGGCTGATTGGCATGAGGGCAGTATTACATCAACATCCCGAAAGGTGCTTGGTCAGACTGGCAATCATGTCTCCTAGCCATCTCCAATGCAGGAGCTGCACCCTTTCGACGGCGGATACTTGCTGGGCGGGCCATGGAAACGATGGAGCCCCTGAAACCGGCCAAGGCATGCTCACACGACCACAACGTGATATCTTGACCAACAACGCATGCTACAACACATGCAACACATGCAACGCAAGCGACCAGCCAATGTCTGCATCTCAAAATCATGTTTCGCATTATATGTAGACAGGGATCTCCCTATGATGAATTTGCACGGTCTCGTGCTGTCCCAGCTTAGGACTTCGTATGCCGCTTTGCCGCCTGATCCGGCAGTCCTGCTCCTTCCCGTGTAATTATATTATATGGACACATATTGTCCGTCTATGCCACTGCCGCCCGATACGCCGGTATATGCTGACCTTTCCCAAACCAGTTTCCCCGTCTATTCCCATTTTCAGAGAGCGCAGGTACTCTTTAGTTCTCGGGCTTCTTGCCCACCATCAGGTACATGGGGGTGAACAGGTTCTGCTCGGCACCAGCGACCAGGCAGTCGGCAGCCTTGGCCAAGCTGTCGGCCGTCTTCTTGGTGCCCCGCGGCGCGACCCGGATGGCCTCGAGAGCGCCAGCAAAGGCGTGGGCCAGGCCACGGCCCCACCAGGTCATCCGTGCAATGGTGAAGGCATCAAACATGGACTGCATGTACTTCCAGCGGCCGGCAAGGGGCCAGTACCACGGGATGGCATCGGGGCGCTGGGCCAGATCCTCGTGGTGCAGCAGGTCGAAGCCGGCGTCCTTCATGGCCTGAACACCCTCGGAGATCTTGACCATGTTGGAGATGCCGTCGCCCTCCTCGATGCCGAGGCGGATCTCGCGGTGGGCGATGTTGTCGTTGTCGTAATCGTCAGTCATGAGCCACTCGTAGACACCAAAGACGCCACCGGGCTTGAGCACGCGGAAGATCTCGCTGTAGACACCGACCAGCTTGGGGGCGTGGACAGTGGCCTCGATGGCGTAGACGGCATCGAACGAGTTGTCGGGGAAGTCCATTTGCTACAAAAGGCAAGCATTGTCAGTGGGGGCCCGCAACTAGGCGCTCGTTTGGGCTACAGCGGCAACTCACCATGAAGTCACCCTTGACAAAGGCGAGCTGCTTGGAGAGACCCTCCTTGGCAGCGTAGAAGGTGGCACGCTGGATCTGGTAGTCGTTGTTGTTCAGACCCGTGACGTGAGCACCGGTGAACTTGGCAATCTCGCGAGCCGGGCCACCGACACCGCAGCCGACATCGAGAACGCGCATGCCCTCCTTGATGCCGATCTGGTGGGCGAGGTAGTGCTCGTGGCGGGCAATGGCCTGGTAGAAGGGCTCGCCGACGGAGTAGCGGCAGAAGTGGAAGGACTGGCCCCAGCCATACTCGTACAGATCGGTGGCGAGGTTGTAGTAGTGTCTGGTCATGGTGGCGTACTCGTCGGTGCGGGCCTGTTACAGGAACACAAAAAGTTCTGGTTAGCCGGCCGTGCTCACAAGCTGCTGTAACCACCATCGCTGCGAACACCCAGACGTACCTTGCGAGTCTCCTCGGTCTCGTCCTTGGCGGCCTTGTTATCAAAGTGCTTGAAGTACTCGTCGACGGCGGCCTGCTTGGCATCGGCGCCCTTGGCAAACATGGCACGGATGCCGCCAGTGGCCTGGGCCGAGTCGCCGTGCATGGCCTTGTTGAAGGCGGCATCGCGCTCACGGTCCTGAGCCTCAAGCTGGATCTGGGAAGGGGCCATGTTGAATGATGGATGGCAGAGTTGGGAAAGGGGGGATCGAGCGGCGGTAGATTGACGGTGGGCGGGGACGCGGTTGAAGCGAAGAGAGAATTAAAAGGATATATGTATATGTATGAGCCTCTGCTGTGACACGAGAACCAAAGGTGTCGCGAGGGATTATGTCTCTGGAGGAGAAGGGAAGTCGAGGTCGGGCAGCGGTCGAGGGAGAGGCGGTCTGGTCGGGCTGGGGAGGGGACCGGAGACGTCGTGGCGAAAGGGGTCTCGTTGATATTTGGATCGCAGGCGTCCCGGCTGCTGCACGGCGGCCTGGAGGGGATTGGCGTAATTTCCATGTGCCAGCAGCCCATACCCATGCCATGGCAGGGCCGCACCTGCCGTCCAGTGGGTGGCTTGCTGTTCCTGTTCCTGGGCAGGTGGTGGGCTCGATCCCCCGGCGGGCTTGCCATGAAATGACCCGGACTCCCATATGCACTAGCCCTCTTGTAGCCTAGCCCTGCCGACCCAGGCCAATCACATATCATGCTTTCTCCCAGATCGGAAAGCGGTCACTGACAAAACCCAGGGCGCCCGCGCAGCCCAATTTCCGCTAGGTGACCTAAAGTCTCCTGTCTTTCTGCCACCCCTTGCCTTGCGCCCCCTGATAAAAACTCGGCTCCCGAATACGAATTCGATAAGGTTGCTGAGCCACATGCGGCTGTGGCTTGCGTGTGCATTTTTGGCTGGCGGGAACTCTCACCTTTGCACTTCTGAGGCATGCAACTTGGGAGCGGGCATAATGTGATGTGTATGAATGGACTGACAAAGAACACCTTTTTGAGCTTTTGACAATCACACCGACATTTGAGTAGCAGCCGTGGTTGCCGTTATGCGAGTAGCATGCATCTCAAGATTCCACCCCGAATACGAATCCACTTCTTTTTCGCATTTGCCAGCGGGAGAAGTGGGGCTGCTCGTCGGCACTCCCGCAGCGGCATCAGGTCCGCACCCGTCTTAGCCTCCACGCGTTTGACGTCAACTTGGGAACCAGGCATGTGCAAGCGTGTCATATTGCGGGATACGTGTGGCCTTTTCTGTAAAAGAAAACCCCCACAGCACTATCACTCCGTCCACTAATCAGAGTAGGAAATACCATCTTTCACGCTGGATACTCCCCCACAAAGGGGGGTTATCAAGTCCTTCATCCAGCCAGCTCCCACTTGCCGCACCTGCCATTGCTGACCGCGAACCGATAGTCCGGGTTCCTCACCGTGACGAAGCGGCCCTGGCGGCGCGCGGCGTCGCACACCCCGCCGGCCGCTGAGCCGAGGCTGTACATGTAGCACTGCCCGTTCGTGAGCTGCCAGGCGCTGAGGGCGCAGTTCTCATCGTTGAGGCACGCGACGCAGCACTCCTCGGCGCTTCTTGGACCCCGGGGAAAGGTGACGGTGCCGTCCCCGTATGTCCCGCCCACTAAGTACCCCTGGTAGCTGCTGAGGACGTTGTCGGCCTGGCACGCGGCGTAGATGGTCTGGGCGGCGGCGACGGTGGTAGTTGCTGTGGCGGTCGTGGTTGTGGTGCTGGTGACTGTGGCTGTGATGATGGTCTCTCCGGGAATGGTGACGGGGAGGGTGAGGGTAGTGGGCTCCGCCTCAACCGCCGTGGTTGACGTGAGGGATGTGACCTCGGTGACGATGGTTGTTGGGGCGGCGCCCTGGATCGTCGTGGTCGTGCGTGTGGTTGCGGTCGCTGTCACGGTTGAGATTACCGTGGATTTGCATGAAGCAGCCGGGCTCGCCACGATGGCGGCGGGCGCAGTCCGTCTGGCACGCGTCACGTCACGATAGACACTCCTGATCGGCGTGAAACCTGCGGGCGTAGCGACCGTGGGAGTCGTCGTAACCGTCGAGGTGGTGGTGACGATGGCCGTGGCAATCACAGTGTCGGTTTGCGTCCACGTATCAACGAGAGTCGTTGTGCTGAATACGGTGTCCGTGATGGTTTGAGGCAGCGTGCTCGTCTCGAGTTCGGTCACGGTCTCGATTGTGGTTATTGATACTGGGATATCGGGTGTGGCGGTCTCCGTGGACGTCTCAGTCCTGGTCACGGTAGCAGTCATGGTGACAGTACACACGCCATCGAGGTCAGACGAAGACGAAGTAACTGGAATGCCACCACACTTTGCCTTCTTGGCCGGGCTGGCAGCGACCGAAGTCGCCAGCGCCATGGAAAGCACAAGGTATACGGATGGCTTCATATTGTATAGTGACGGCGATGTAACGACAGTAGGTTGAAGGAGCGAACGAGCAGGCCACTCGACAAAAGTTGAAGCTGCTCCAAATAACCACGAGCTGGGCAAGTCTGGTTATATCATGTCAGAAGCAGCAGCAGCACCAACGGCCCACAGGATCAAGGAATTCATAGGCGGCAAACATCACAGAGAATCAAGAACCAAATGTTCTGTGCTCAGCGGTATTACCCGAGACTATTGAGTTGAGGCTGAAAACCACCCCAGTTATGGATCGGTAGCGTTAGTTGGCGTGGGCCAGGACAAGCTGAAGACAGGGTCGTGGCCCACAGAATGCGCCGTCTGGACCTTTCTGGGCCGGAACGCCGAGCGCTCCGGCCATGGCGAATTGCAAACATGGACCGAGCCGGATTGAATGCTGCTGCCAAAGTGGATTTCACGTACGATCTTTGATGTGCCTTGTGTAAGGCCTCGGGGACCCTCGGTGCCCTGACTGGAGGCAGGACGTCGATTCATTTAATGCTGTTTCCAGATGTGCGTGAACGAGCCTGGCACTCACGCGTTCTGCGACGGACAGAACAGATTCACAACTCTCTTGGACTGTCCATAATGACATGCCTTCAATCGTATACTGCTCGCCTGGCGCGGTCCGGGCCAAGTGACATAAGCCCATGGGCCATATCGCGGATGTAATCATCGAGCTCGATGATGGCCATTGCGTCAAGCTTTCAGTCACACCCGCTATGTAAAATGCCTCCGGTGTGATTGAAAGCTGGAGTAACTTGAGGGATCTCATGATTGTTAATACTACCAGCAGCATGTCTCCAGGTGCACCTCATCCATTCGCTTGGGTTTTTGTCCACTTAGACCGGTTGGGAATGGGCTCAAGAATCATGACAAAAAGCCCCAAGCTACCTTGACCTGGCAACTGGGTTGCCGGTGGTTACACTCTTCGGTGCTTGAGGTTGATGCTAGAGCACGTGCATGGCGCAGCAGAGAATTCGAGCTTTGGAGGGACAAACAGGTAAGCTTTGCCTCGGTGGTGTCTTCTCACTTAACCCTTGTGTGCTCAATCGGGACGTCGCCTCGGCAGAGGGTAGCATCCAACTGGGGCCCCCCATCTTGCCGCTACAAGGCTGGCTGAGGGTCTCCCCACGCATCTCCCTCGCCGATCCCGTTCGTGGCATGCAATTCGGAGGGTGTTACAATGTGACTACCACATCTAAGAATTAGCTGACCACGAGTTGACGGTACTCAACTGGGACTGCGCTAGGAAGCGCTTGAGTTATGCATGCCTCGGCCTCCCCGGTACACTTTGACCCCTCAGACGGATGACAAGGTTCCCTTCTCAACGGCAAGATAGCATTCATCGTGGTCGGAAAAAGCAGCGACAACAACTATCCAGTGGTATATAATCGTCAAATTAAAGTATGTCAACCACCACATCAACATAATTGGGATCAGAAAAGCAGCCCGGCTACACATCAGCAGTGGCGACACCAACAAACACTTCTCTTTGGAATACGAATACAACCTCGACTAAATGCTTTGTCACTTCACGTGATTAGAGTCAACACTACTCCAAGGAGCAGTAACACGAACGAAAATGGCGTGCCCGGCAGGTTACGGCTCCATGACACGGCCTACTACAGGCGCCCATGAGGAACCGCACATTTTCGAGACCATCGCGGAGCCACACGAGCTCAAGAACTTTGTCCACGACGCCATCTACCTGACAGGCGGGCAGTTCGCCATCTTGTGCCAGTTTGCGCACCCGGGGCTGGCCGAAGGCTCGTACAAGCAGTCCAACTTTGCGAATCGCATCATGAACCGGCTCAAGACGACGGCGCGTTTCCTCAACGCTGCCGTCATCGGCACGCAGGCCGAGAAGGAGGCCATCTTCAGCGTCATCCACAACGCGCACGCCGACGTCAAGGGCGAGTCATACTACGCCGACGACCCAGAGCTACACAAGTGGACCGCCGCCACGCTCTTCGTCTCTCTCGTCGTCGTGCATGATACGTTCTTCGGCAAGATGTCGCGCGAGACGCAGGAGCGCCTGTTCAAGGAGTCGGCCGTGTACGGCACCTCGCTGCGCATGCCGCCAGACATGTGGCCCGAGACGCTCGACGAGTTCTGGGCCTACTGGGACCACAACATCCAGAGCCTCGAGGTGACCGACTGGGCGCGCAGCCTGTGCCGCGACCTCCTCTGGCCCAAGAAGATGCCCGTCTACCTACTGCCCAGCCTGCCCATAGCCCGCGTCCTCACCATGCACTGGCTTCCTGAACGGTTGCAGCGCGAGTATAACCTCAAGATCACGTCCTTGAATACAGCCGTCTTCCGCACCTTTGTGACGAGCACGGCGTTCGTCTACCCCATGATTCCCAGGGCGATCAAGTCTATCCCGGCAAAGTGGTACATAAAGGATATGAAGAAGGCCGTCAAGAGGATTGAGGAAACAGGGTCGTGGTATGACCAGAAGGGAAGGACTTAGGCAATTGCGCTCGTCACTGATTTGCTGGGTCATCGTCGCGGCGAAAGGGTTATACTAATTTGTGTGTCCTAGAACGACCTCCCTGACATAGCTAGTCATCCGTTGCATTGTGACTTTTAAATATATTGATACAGAGGAAGCACACGTCAATGCTAACCGGAACTTGCCCTCTCATGGCTGGCGTTCCTCCAGACTCGTCATCACCATATCTTCGTGACCCGGACCGGCCCCAGCCCCATCACCATCCGTCCTTGGAACACGATTACCCTCGTCGTGGTCAGCATTTGCTGGCGATGCAACACTAGCATTAGACGGAATCCGCCTATGCCCACGCCTTGTAGCCAAGACATTTACGATCCTCGACCTTCTCCGCCTCGAGCTCGGCAGATGCGCCGCAGGAGCGGGCACATTCGCCTGCTCCACGACAAACCCAGGCAGCCCGACCAACCGTGCTGTGGTATGATTTTCCCCGGCCGGCTCGCCCGAATGGCCTACCAGCGCAGCGGTGCGGCCCCGAGCACGAAAGTTGTTTGTCACCATGGGGTCATCGCCTCCAGCCCTGTCGGCGCCGACACCATTGGCATGATTACTAGAGTAATGCGTGCCGGCATGGCCATTGCCCATACCGGTGGGGCTGAAGCCATGCCTGGCCGAGTGACTTGTGTTTGTAACCATCATGCGCCTGCTCCCGCCGCTTTGATTTGTGTTTCTGGTGTTATTCCGGCCGGTGCCATGCCAGGAGTCGTCGTCGTTGCTGTCGTCGTCCTCATCGAGACCACCGGCGTCCGCAATGTCCTGCTGGCGGCGCTTGTAGCGCTTCCAGGTCTCGGAGAAGCCGATTGTGAGTATCGTGAGGCCGATTGTGGTGATACCCCACGCGAGGAGGGCCTGCGGGGAGTAGGAGAGGACTTGGCCGGGGCTGAGGTCTTGAAATTTGACGATGTCGGTGCTGAAAACGGCCTATAGGGAAGGGCCATGTCAGCCAAGGTGGTCAGGACTATTGGAGAAGACTCTTGCGTATGAGGCTTAAGGTATAACGGGGTAGGAGAGGGTTGAACTCCGCGGCAGAGTGGGTGGACCGACCGAAACAACTGTAGCAGGCAGGAAGATGAGCGCAATGTACTGGAACAGGGCGACAATGACGGCCTCCTTTTGCCCTTGCTTGGTCAGTGCATAGACGCGCTTGTTGCTTTGATTCTGGAGAAGCGTTGAGAGGATCTATAACGATGCGATCAGAGCGTCAGTAAGGGGTTCGGATCTATATTGCCATGCATATGTGTTCGTCGGACCAGGAAACAATTGGGGCAGGAGGACGTGTTTGTGCTTACACTGTTTGTGCTCCAGTCAATCTTCTCCTTGAGTGCGGTCAAGCGGTCAGATATCGTGTCCAGCTCGTCAAGAAGTTCATCTAGCTCTGCGCTGAACCGGTAGACGATGCCGCAACTCTTGTCTGCCCAGCCGCCGCAGTAGGCCTCCATGCTTGGAGTGTGGTGCTCTCCGAACTGTCGTTTGTAGAACGTCTGCAAGGCCGTGAGCACCTTGCGATTACTTTTCAGGTCCATGAGCCGCATGTTGATGCGATCCATCAAGTTCCCGAGCCGTTGTATGTCTTTGTCATCAAAGACCTCAACTTCAATCGCGGTGTAGCGCTGAGTCTGTGATCGGAGGCGGAGATGACGCGCGTTTAGTCACATGCGAGTGGTTCGTTGGCGACAAGAACTTGTGGGAAACGGGAACGTGCTTACCAATCGGTTGAGTTTCTTTTCAGAGTGCTGGATGAAGCCGGAAAGACTCTCGAGAGACCACCTAACCAGTCTCAGATGTACCTGTAGGCTGGACTCGAAGGCGGTGTGGGGCTCGTCGAAGGCCTTATCCTGGTGTTGACCGCTGAAGAAAGAGCTCAGATGCTCTTTCCACATCACGGGCTTATAGTCACCTTTGTCCTTTCCAGGCTTCATGGAAGTCGTGATGAACCAGGTGGCGGCGCCGCTGATTGGATCGAACTGGTGGTGTATGAGTGCTTGTGGGTTGACCCAGTCGTGGACACCACGCTTTGCGGCTTGATCGTCTCTGAGACCGTCCCTGAGCTTCACCTCGCTCTGCTCAATGAACTGTGCCGTGGTGCGGAGGGCATATGAGACATGAATGCGTCGACCACTACGCCCAAGGGCATGGAACGGACGTCCTGGAATAGAAAGGGAATGCTGGCCAATGAATGCACCATAGCTGTCGTTCAGATGAGTCGATTCGTGATAAAAGGTGAGAAGGTTAAGATAGCACGATGGGACTTGATGGTAACTGAAGAGCCTCTGCACCATTTCCTTTGTGACATTAAGACGTCGGTCCCCGGGGGCATTGCTTTCGAAGAGACTGGTGGATTTGTTAAGATCGTGGCTCTGGAGTCTGCTGAAAATTGATACGTACACTACACGACACTTTGGGTCTGCCTTCAATTTCCATTGTGCACCTGCTGTGGGTGGCCCATCAACGATCTCCCCCAAATGGACCCGCACCGCCTTTTCATCCTTGAAGTTACGGACAGTTCGACCAGCTAGCCCATGTGGGTACCAGTATCAGCGAACACGATCAGGGAACTCAGACGACGATGTTTTGACACAAGGAGGGCGGGACAGCGAACCCGGTGAACTGTCTCCAAAGTCTCGACAGCTGACATGGACCTGTTTTTCTCCTGCAGACCGGAACAGACCCTGATGGTTGTGCTCAAATGTTTGCTTGTGAGCTTCTGTCTGGCGAGGGTCTCTGATCTCGATCAGATTACCGGGATATTCGCTGTAGCGCTTGCAGCTGGCAAGCAAGCGTTCCTCGTCCGAACCCATTGTTTCACCGCTCATCTGCCTGATAGAGTGAAGCTTTCTTTTCGGCCAGAATGATTGGCAATGGCATAAAGTTGCAAGAAGCGTTGGGTCGCAATACCTATGACAAGCGTTTGAGCAGACGAGAGAGCTTCCCACCTATTGAATGAAACAACTCCTGGGCTCCAGGAGGGGCCGTACCAGCGACGGCGGGAGCGGACCACTGCTCTTGCTGCCTTTTTCGCAACCCTGCACGAGAGTTGCAGGCGGCTGGCATGAGCGCTGCATTGTGCTTCTGAGCACGACCAACCATGCTTGCCGTCACGATGCATCTATGCATGCGCCTGGGTATAATATGTATGCAAGTGTGTGCTGTTCAACCAACTGCATAGCGACCATGCTGTAATCATCCGGGTACTGGTTCCGGCCAGCCTTCCGGATGTGCCCAAATGTCCCGTGGATCTAGTCTGTCCTTTCGACGCCTTCCTTGCCCACCAAACGCCAAAATCTCCATGTACAGAATGTTAGAAAGAAAATCAGCTCTCTGGTGTCGTTTCCCTGTTAAATATATCGCCGTCCCTTAACCTGTTGATCTGCTCCATTTGTTGCTACATTTGGTGTCAGAATGGATGGTTCGAGGAGATGAGATCACCATGACCTACCGATCCCAGCTTCGACTTGAGATAAACGACGTACTTGTCACCTTCGACAGTCTGTGCCTCGTCAGTTCTTGATGCCGTGCCATACATGATCGTCACAGCCTTGCTTACCATCTTCTTTGCGAACCTGACGTGGGGATCCCACTGGTTCAGCAGGTGCTCGAGATCTCTCCAGTCAAGCCGGTACGCTGGTATCACTTCCATGACATCGTAGCCCGGTGTCCTCTTGAACGTCGAGGCTCTCCGGGAACCTTGTTTCAGGGGTCTAAAGCTGAGTCTTCTGGTGCCAGACATGGCGAGCTTCGTGGTCTCATGCTCAGAATCTTCGGTGTGTCGATGAACGTGGTGCGCATGACCGCGGGCGGACAGGCGGCTTAATGTGGGAGGCCACGGAAGGCAACACGTCAGTGATTTCGCCGCGCGAGGGGCGGGGGCGGCGGATGGCGCACTGCCGCCCATGACTTGATCTGCGCCGCAAATGTCCAGGTCAACAAAATATCTTCCATGCAGCTGCATGTGTAATGGTGCTGGCTGCGGCGACCGCGGCAGGGCCCCGAGAAATGGGGGCTCGTAGGGGGGCCAATGTCGGCGGCAGCATGCAGCCGTGGTGGGTTGCCTCCAAGAATGCGAGAAGACAGGGTGTTCTTACATTTTCGTAAAGGCCGGCCGCTTCCATATAAAAGAGCGTGCATGTCAGCTGAAAACTGGCTAGCTTCTGGCCGGCGAGCATTTGCATTTGACGCTTCACATACTCGGGGCCCCAGGGACGTACTCGTACTTGTATTTTGTCTCTGATGGCCAGCGTGTCGCTTCTTTGTGAGTTAGGACTGCTGGTGCCCAAAGCTGTGGTGAGGACTTGTCGTGCTGTGAAACCGAGCGAGGCGATCAAGGGGCAGCCACATCCTGAGTGCGCTGCATTGTTGGTTGACGAAGGGCCGTGAGAAACACCAGACCGTCAGCTGATCTTGCTGGCCCCGTGCGTCGATGGGATCTGACCAGTTCTGCCAGCGAACCGTCATGCAGGAGGCCAGCCGACAGGGATCATGGGGTGGACAGGAGAGCGCACGAATGGTCTGCTGTCGTTGCCCTCGCCAAGAGAGTCATTGCATTGCATTATCGCCTGTTGCCACCACCCAGTATTTCTGCACCACACTTGGAGCACGAATCCTCGACGGGATGAAAATTCCCCAATAGAAAATCCTTTTTGCATGCTCCATTCCAGCAGCTTACTCCATCGGTCGTGATGTGGTAACTCCCGAAAATACACAGCACTTGCCTCACGCTTCTTGCAGCGGTGTGCTCCGTCAACGTGCATGGTGGTGCTGCACAGGGGTCTACTGAACAGCTTAGGCATGTGGACTCTGGCGGTGTTGCTTCACATGAAGTCACACAGAAGGCCATCGAGCATCACAAACAGGACGACAGCGGCTCGTGCATAACGACCAGAATAATGTTGAGATAAATCAAACCTCGTAAGGACTTGCTTGGGAGACGGCTGCGGCAATGCACGGCCTGTTTTCCCATGCTGTCGGGCTCAGCAACGAGTTTGCCCCGTGAGTTGGTAGGACACCAGCTACGCCACGGCTGATCCCGCCTCAAAGGCTGCATCCTTGTGACACTGTGGTGTGCTGCATAGCCACCATTGGATGATTGGCTCTTGACGAAGCTGCCCCTCATGCCGCATCATATGCACTGCCACATTGCTGATGATGTGGATTCTGCTGCCACAGACTGGAACTCGGCTCGCCAAGGCGACATGATTAAGAGCCTGAAAAGTAGACATCATGCAACGTGGTACTCCATCGACCTGTGATGAATAACGAGTGCAGCCCAGTGAATAGAGGCCCAAATCTGCCCGATGACCAAAACCAGGCTATCAGTCCCGAAGAAAGGGCATGAAATCAAAGGGAGAGGTAAAGTTTTGCCGCAAAGTCAACCAAGAAACTTCGACGTACTTGGCTTCTCCAGTGAATCGAACAAGGCGCACGCTATCATGGAGTGATGAGAACTACTCAATTTGCTGATTGAAGATGTCTTAAAATGAAGGCTGATACACCAAGATGTTGTCCATTTCGCAGTCAAGTCTGGATCTCGCCGGCTTCGTAACCCAGTGACCTCATAATATGAAAGAAAAACGTCCGGAATTAGCCAATTTGAAAAGCACGGAGACATGACACACCAGAAATCATCCCTGAGACAGTGGCCTGCAACACAATCCGGCCATCCTAATGAAAATCATGCTATCATCATCAAACGGCGCCATTTGATGGTGCATCATTCTTAGTGTTGTCTTGCGACACGTCCAGCACCTGTGGTGTCTTGGGCGGATCCAAGGTTGACATCGGCAACACTTCGCCTCCAGGATTAGTGGCAGCCACTGCTTGAACACCACCTGCCCATGAGGCAGTCGAAGAACGGCGAGAAATCCTCTTGAAAGGCCGCAGAATCTTCGTGCGACGCTTTTTGCGAGAGGGCTGGTGCGAGGCTGGCATTTGGGTGGCACTAACGTCTGTTGTGGAAGCCTTGTTCCGCGAGGACAACCACGCCGCCATTCTGCGACCTCGATCGCGAAGACCCTTGACCGAGAACACTCTTGTGTCTCTGATACTTTCTTCGTCGTCGAGAAAATCTTCAACGGTCAACGGTTTCACATCGTCCGCACGTGCGAGTTCTTCGACATATCGGTCATGCTTGGCGGTTCTCCAACGCTTAACAACCTCCGAGATGCCAATCGTGAGGACTGTAAGTCCAAGGGATGTGGCGAGCCAGAAGACTAGTGCTTCTTGCGAATATGATAGCAGCTGGCCAGGCTCCAAATCTTGAAATTTGACAATGTCGGTGCTGAAGACTGACTACAAACCGTACCGCCATCAGCTCCCAATGCTACACCATAACACTGTCACAATGAGGAGTGCGAATCTAGAAAGAGACGTACCGAGACCACCGAGATTGGAAGATAGATGAGCGCAATGTACTGAAACATGCCCATAATAATGGCTTCCCGTTGTCCCTGCTTGGATAGAATGATGACTTCCGTGTTATTCTGCATCTGAAGGAGTGTCGAAATCTAGATTTGTATAGGGTTGCCTGAATCAGTACGAAGAGTCTTTCATAGTAGCAGGTGGGAAATAACAAATAGATATTGTCCACTCACTGTGGCCTCTCTTATGGCTAGCATGCGCTTGAGCGCTTCGAGTCGATCACGAACGTTTTCGAGCTCAGACATGACATTATCCAGTCGGGCTGAAAAAGCGCGTACAGTCTGAAAGCTGTGTTCCTCCCAGTGACACCACTGGTAGCCATGTAATGTATCCAGATCTCCCAAGCGAGATTTGTAGAAGGTTTGTAGATGGACTAGAACCTTCTTGTTGCTTTGTATGTCGAGAATGCACAGATCGATCTTTTCGCTGAGTCTGCCCAGCCGTCTCATATTACGGTTATCATAAATCTCGACAGGATTGTCCGACATATCCCATGTCTAAGAAAGAACGCGGTGAGTTTAAGTGGAATTCTGTATCTTTATTGAAAGCTCGCGAAAACTCAGTCGCCTGAAAGATTTGTCATACGTACCACCAGGCTTAGACTACTCTCCATATGCTGAATGAATTCTGACCACTCTCCGATCGACCAGTGGGCCAATCTGAGATGAACGTCAAAGTTTGCCTGCAGCGCAGATTGAGGTGTTTCGAAAGCCTGAGACTTATTCTTCTCATTGAAGAGCGGACTGAGAAATCTCTCCCAAATTGGCGATTTTTTAGAGCCCTCGGTGTCCAAACGAGCTGTAGTAATGATCCACAAGGAGTTCCCAGTGATGAGGTCGAATTGATGATGAACGATAGCCTCGGGCTTGCACCACTCATGATCCTCCTTTTTATGTATTTCATCGACAGTAAGGTTTTCGTTTCTTCGCTGCATTTCCATATGGGTTGGCCTTTGCCACATGGCTGTGCGAAGGGCGTACGAGAGGCGAATTCGATGTCCGCTGCGTCCAAGTTCAGGTATAGCGAGGGAACGTTCCTCCAAAGAGTCATCACCATGGAACGAGCCATAGTTGTCGTGCAAACTCATGGCCATGCCGTACTGTACATGAAAACCCATGAAATACAGGTAGTATGAGTGAACCTGGTGGTAAGTAAAGAGTAGTTTGGCCATGCCTGCCTTAACCCTCAACAAGAAAGTCCATGGATTCAGGCTTTCGAACAGACTGCATATGGAAACTGGTTATTCGCTGGCCTGCCAGACTTTGAAGGGGGGGGGGTTACAAAACGCGACATTTTGGGTCCTGCTTTATTGCCCAGTCATCCGAGCCTGAAGCACCCATCCCCAGATGACTCCTGAGATCATCCTCGGTGATGTAGTGGTACCTCGCGTGGCCCTCTGGATATGTGGTCAGAAGATGTGAAAATAGGCATGTCTCAGTCTAGGGACTTGATGACTAGACGCGCGATGGGGAAGCCTGCACAGACCTGGCAATGCTTCGGAAAAGTCAAAACCGCGCAGCTCAGTTTTATTGACATTGAACATGTCCATGAAGGGTCTTTCCTCCTCATCATCAAACCATTGCTTGTGTAGCTCAGCTCGCCATTTCTCTTCTTCATTGTCGCCAAGAATGGCAAGAGGATATTCGCCAAAGCGACGACAGCTTGCAATGAACAAGCCAGCGCCGGAACTCATTGCCGGATACAAGGATATATGAGTGTACACGGAAATTGTGTTTGTCTTGTGGGTGGTGCATTGAAGTAGTGGGCGTCACCTGGCCAGAGCAGAATACGTGGAGGATTTGGAGCATTGGTTTTAAATATTGGAACGCCAGCATAAAAACAACCCTGTGCAGCATATTTGTCACCAGTCTGTTTTGGGAAGAGGCCAATCAGGGCCCGGCAAAGCAATTTATTTCGTGGGGTGTCCGAGCCACTGTATTTTGGGTTACGATCTCCGAAGCTGCATCGTGCAACCGGAAACGAGGTGACTAATCGGCATTGATATTGAGCGCCGTCTTTTCTGCCGACCCGAAACGTGCCACATGTTGCATTATCGTTCATACGCACCAAGCTCCTGACATTGCTTCTAATATCGCGGATTAGCGCAGCTCATGACACGTGGAAGTGACAACGGTCTTACCTGTATCAATCGCGTACGTGAAAAGATTGTCAGAATGTCCTCTTCCTCCTAGGAATCGGTGAGTCAGCATCAAAAAACATTCAAACTAACCGTGCTGGACATCCTGATTGTATTACGTACTCCTTCTTCCACCACAAGAGATCGCTCAATGCCCCATTTCCAGAAGAGCTTTTGGACCTCCCTCAGATTGCACTTCTTCAGTCGAAAACGGGGATTCCGCCTACAAGAAACCGTTATCGCAGGTTTGTCGCGGCTCTGCATAAATCGGCCAACATAGCTGATTTCTGCACAGGTGAGCCCGTGACGCCGCAGAGCACCTGCAGCTAACGTGTGACCAACAAGGCAGGCTGCAGGGGCACCGCTTATGGAGTACACACCAGGCCTGTTGATAGGCTAGTCTGTGAAGGGCGAACCAGGTTTTCGTTCGTGATTGGGACCGGGGATGTAAAGCTTAGTGTATCACGTTCGTCGCTTGCGATCTATACCGCGTCGTCTGTGCGTTGGAAGTCTGGAACAGAAACATTGACACTTTTCGGGCGATGCAGCGAATTGTTAATATAGATTCCATCCTCTTTGTCTCTAATTCGAGCACGATTCTCATCGTGCCCTTCTTTGACTTGATTTCTCTTTGTTGTGGATATCTCTGCTCAGCGATTCCTCCCACGAAGGAGACAAAGAGCCCAGCGGTTGGTGGGGTGGACATCTCTTTGACTTCTTTGTTCCCGCCTGCACCCTTGCCCTTGGCCATGCAGTCTGCAGTCTGCAAGCGCACAACCAACCAACCAACCAACCAACAAGGACAGGGATGCAAGGGGGCGACGAGAAGCTTCAAGGCCTTGCTTTGTTCTCTCCTGTAGCCTGCATTGGTATCGCGCCCAAGGAACTGCGCGCCTGAAGTAAATTGCTTTCAAGCTGTGCGGAGACTGCACTGGCTACTTGACGACTTGCTTTGTTGACAGGAACGGCCCGCTGTTCACACAAAGAGATGTGGTGAAGGCGCAGGCACACGGCACAAAGCCCCAATGTCCTCGCTCTTGGAGGGTCCACGTGCGGCACCAGCCGTCACTTTGGGCGCTTAAGGCTTCGACGATCTGTGCAGGGGTATTTAGTCCCCGACATGGGGGGGATGAGGACAAGGTCGTGGAGCGTGGACGCATCGCATGCATAAGTATTTATGCATGTACAACACCGGAGCGGACCGCATCATAGATAATGCAGCTTCGAATCTGCTTCCAGCAGCATTCTTTCGCGATGGACCTGATTGCGTCTAACGCCCGCGCTCGGATGCCTTGACAGCTCTCCCATCCAGTAAAGTCTGTCTACGTAGTACAAAGGTCTTGCCCATCATTCGAGAGTGAGAAGGACGGGGCGGCTGAAACAAGAGAGTGCAGACCAAAGCTGGATCGAGTTCGCCATGCGGACTGAAAGAAACAACATGATCGCCTGCTCAGGCCGAGATTGCCCGTGACCGCCAATATTCAGCTTGCTAGCTGATAAACTCCATCGTCACCATCACCCCGTTGCCCCTGCGGCATCTCGATGCCCATACTTGTCGCAATTAAACCGAGGTAGGAGCACAGATCAGAGCCAGATTTAGGTTGAGTAGCAAGGACACAAGTATCGCTCTGGTGAGATTGGAATCCTGGATTCATGGAATTGGCAGCGAACTATTGATGGTACATGTAGTGAGCTACTGAACAGTTTCAGCAACATTCTCCGATGCGTCTACGGCCTCAGTCTGGTCTCCACCATCTCCCTTGCAGATCTCGCAGACGATAATCGCTTCGCAGTAGCAATCTGGCTTTTTGGCACAGAGAGCGTCATAGTTCGAGTACGCATAGCCAGCGGTCTGGTGGCAACGTGCACCCCAGTCTCTTTCACATATTGTCTGAATTACGGAGTTTCTGCAGTGATATACGTAGCCATCCGGGCGAAACTGTCGTGCCTCGTTTCTTGGATACCGTCCCAGTGACGTCCGAGTCAAGCGGCACAGCAAGACCAATCGAAACTGACACCAGGAGGGTGCCAAAGATGGAGTATCTTATGGTAGGCGCCTGGCTGTATGTAAGTAGCTGACCAGCAGTCGAAGAATGTTCAACTTTACCTTCATTGTGATATATAGCCTGGCTGTATCTTGACCGGCGCGCGTGATTTCAAATAGTAAAAAGCGTCTTGGACAACTTAATGCTCGCGTGAGAGGAGCTATGCGGATGAAAAAATCGGATGGATGGAAATGCCAGCACAACGGGCACAGACGCATGTACTTATAGCCGCCCGGATGCGCGAGTTACTCGCAGATTACCCTGCTCCCTGTCAGACCGAGCTCTCAACACGACCAAGATACCAACCCTGTCCGAGTCGCGATCAGGGGCGAGAGACCTGTGAAGCGGCCCAAGAGAGGGCGCAACGAATGCTTCTGGCTGGTCCCATGATCGTGCGGTGGAAGCTTCATCCGCCACCACTTCCTCGGGTCTTGTTCTCTCAACAAATAATACAGTTTTCCTATTGGTGGAATTTAGCCAGAAGGAGGCGTACTACCAGGCTCGCTGCACTTGTTTTTGCGTAACGGTGACTGTGGGCGCCCCCAAAGGTCACTCCATGGGCCAACGCTCAAATGATATCTAATGATGCAGTTGCTGACATGGTTCAAGCAAGTTCTGCACAGGAGGGCTTGCCTGCGTGTCATCGACGAAGGCAGTTGATTGGAGGGCGTATCAGCAAAATGAGCCAGACCGGAACCCGCTCTCAAATGCTACCTCTTGGCGCAGTTGGTCACGGTGTAGATCTTTATACCTGTTTCCATTGGCTGATTTCAACTCCATGACGACGTAGACGGATGGCAGGTAAAACGCATCCTTTGGTACCTCTTTCTCTCGTTTTGTGAGCTGTGGTAGCTACCACCCTCTCTCCACGCTCTTCTCTCTTCAACAAGTGTACCCTGCCGCACAAGGAATAAACCGTAGCGAAAAATGGCGACAGAGTGGGATCGCATCAGATCCGACCCGTTTCACATCCCAAAGGAGTTGCCGGAGGAGATGCAGCAGGAGTTACGCGAGTCCAAGACTCCCCGAATCAACCAGTTCTGGCAAGTCATCTTCCTTCAGTCCGAATGCTCTTTGCGCTAGCCTCCACTGACGTAAACTCACGGAGCCAGGACTACGACCGGCTATCCCATTGTGGATGGCAAATATAACGACTTCAAAGAAGGTCGCGTGAGAAAACTCCAAGAGGGCGACCATTGTCGCACGGGTCCACCAACAATCGACGTGTACTGGCACAACTCCTGGGTCATCCCGCGTCAGGATGCGTTTTACATCCTCCGTGACGCGTACGTCTCCGGCGACGTCACTTCATATGTGGTCAAGCTGGGCGACTTCTTCAGCCGGGGCGGGTGCGAGCTCTACTCGCTGACCGTCACCACGTACTCTGTCGTGGTCCTCATCGGGACTGAGCGCTCGTACGACGACATCATGCCGCAGTACGCTGCGTGTGGGCTGGGCGGGTACGTACCGAAGGATCAACGCCACGGAAAACAGACCGCGGCGGAACAGGGCCACAAGAAGTCGACGGTAGCAGATTCACAGGAGGCAGAGTCGGCTGCGTCAAGGGTCTGAACTGGGAGAATGTCCGCTAGGAGCATAGCTTGATGAATTGGTGAGACTGGCACTTGCTTGTATCCTTATGCCGGGCGAGGAAGTAGCACCATCTGCAGAGGCGAGAGTAGCGCAACAGGGACAATTATTGAGTCATTCTAGATAGTAAGTCGCTAGTTGAGGGCTGACTTCCATACTCTGATATTTCCGAGTGAGTGTTACTTGTGGAATAAACAGCAATATAATCGGTAATCACTCTGAAAATCTCCTTCATTCGTGTTCGCGGCTCGTTCAGCGCCTACGTTACAACGAGCCCATCGTCCTCGCTACTAGAAACCTCCTTACGAATGGCTTTCTGCCATTTTCCGTCATCTCCGCCCGGTTGCTCTGAGCCGTGGTCTACTCGGGACCCCTTACGATTAGCTTAACAGCGCGCCGAGCGGCGCCGTTATGACGATGCTCGGAACATGGCAAGCTGGCGCTCCGATACAAAGTCGTCGTTGTCCCACTGCCGCCCGCCAAACCTGACACGCGCGAGGTTGCACGGCTCGTCCGACACGGTGAAAGTTCGTGAATTGCGAGCCTTGTCCCACGCTTTCGATATATGGACGCACCCCGAGAAGTTCACGCTCCGACTATCGAATGTTCTGAGCTCGAGGTCCTCGCTGTTTTGAGATTCGCAGTGTGTGGCTGGAGAGACCAAGATTGCATGGGCGAAGGCTGATAGAGCTAGGTGCATTGTTGTGGCCGCTATGGCGAAGGAGGATTTGATAGTATTGTGCATGATGGGTGGCTGCGTAGTTACAGGCGGCAGTACAACAGTCTGCGCGGTATCTCTGGGCTTGTTCCGGACACTAATTGCTTCGGGTCTGGGTGATGATGCGTCGTGGCGCGCTCAGGCAGAGCTGGAAAAGACCAATTGACAGATTTGATACACGATTGTCCACTGAGCTTGCATGGGACGCATTTGCAGATATATAGCTATATTACTTGATAATGGATGACGCTAGCACGAGAGTCAGCGATTGCTGAAAGAATCAGCTGAAAAGATGTTCTTCCGAACTTTTGTTGCACCCGAAGCGCCAAGATATTCCGATGGTGTCAGCAATATCCAGCTCCTCGTAAAACTTTGTATGTCACATAGCCAACCACCCGCAGAGATACAGTGTCTATCGATCAATGGCGAGTAGCCCCTGATGCGCTTGTCAACGGTGCAAGCTTCATTCGCGATGGTTTTTCGTGATATCTAACTGGGTTTCCAATGCAGGATGAACCCTCATGAAACTTACCGCCCTGTCTGAAATACACGGTGTAAGACGGCCATTGACAAGGGGCTACCCAAATTACTACCACTGAATAGTGAACAGAGCCGGCGTGAGAATATGATAGGTGCAAGCGGCCGCCTACAATCAGGATAGGCGAATTTGCCCAGCCGAGAATAGCAGGTGCGGAGAAGCTGAATGCAGTGCAACCCACGAGACAGATTCAGGCGAGACTTCATCATAGTTGGGACCAATCACAATCCTCTTCAGGAAGTGCACATGCCTGGGCTGCATACATATTCTGCAGTATAAGACAAGGATTGATCAAGCTCCTTGGAAATGCTGGGGGATAAATTCCTTCCACATGGTCCCTCGAGCTGCCAAAAGACCTGGCACCGTTGCGCAACAGCATTTCTCCTAACCATCTCAGCCACCATGAAGCTCACGACGAGGACCGCCATCTTGTGGTATACCACCATCGCGACAGCAACGATTTCCGCTCTCCCGCATCACACGCCGCGCGACGACTTCGACTGGGCCATGTATCACTGCTCTCCCGATGACCCTCTCGCGACCCTGCCCACGCCGACTTACGGCGCCGAGAACCGCAGCTGGATGATGTGCGCCGAGCTCACGATCTACGCGCCGCCCTCGTTCGTGTACTACGCCCTGATCGACTACAACAGCTACCACCTCTGGAACACCTTTGTCACGTCCGTGTTCAACTTGCCCCCCAACGTGACCACCACGCCAAACGATGTGTACGTGGGCATGCCCATGAACTTCGTGGTCGCGGGGATGAACGGCGACGACGACCCGACCGTCGGCGAGAGCCAGGAGATCGTCACGGTGCTGCGCGCGCCGCCCTCGCCGCCTACGGGCGGGGACGACAACGACGACGACGACGCCCCCCACTACCGGTACCTGATGAACGCGTGGCGGTCGGATTCCTACGTCGAGGGCGAGTTTGTGGTCGCGGAGCATCCGAACATCTTGACGCCGGTGGAGGGCGACGAGGACGGGGAGGAGTGGACGCGCTATGTCTCGTACGAGACCTATTATGAGGGGGCGATCTCGGATTACATCAGGTCGTACCAGCCGCGGTTGCAGGTGCTGTTCGATCGGCAGGGCGGGGAGCTCAAGGCGTATGTAGAGGGACTGTGGCAGGCGAGGCGGCGTGGGATGACTGAGGAGTGATTATGGGACAGACTTGGAGATAGCGACTCCAGCTTAGCCGGAACGGACACCTTTTCGGCAGCAAAGGCGCTGTTGAACGTTTATGATGTCGAAGAGTGGCAGCATAAGTAATACACGCGGTAAAATATGGGCTGGAGTCATCATGCGATGAAACATGCGATGACCACTACATAAACCACGACAAGCACGCCTTATCATCACTCAGATCCACTGGTTGGACTTTCACGCGTGTGACATTGCAGATACAAAGACTTCCACTCAGGCATCCATAGACAAGACGTAGCGGCCATTGAGACAGTATATTTACACGTGAACCATAGAACAAGTACAGCAGAAGGCCAAAAGAAAAAAACATAGCAGAACCTGGGGCCACTGCAAGAATCTCACTTGCGCACGAGCACCCCGTTGTCCAAAACCTTGACCCCGAGTGAAGGGTCCGCGTCCGCAACCTTCTGAGCCTCTGTCCTGCGCAGGTCGGCCGTTTCCTGGATCCCCGCGAGGACAAAATCGTACGTCAAGAGCTTCATGTCGGGAGACGCGCCGTACTCCTCGGCGAAGCCCTGCCGGTCAGAGACCTTGCCGATGTCCACGATGAGGGACTCCTTGACACCAAACACAGCGTCGGTGGTCTCGTACGGCGAGCCCCGAACGTAAAGCGCTCTGGCGATTTTGTGGCAAGTCAGCAATTTAGCCGTGCTCAAGCAAGGGGACACAAAAAATGACAATCGACTTACGTGATCAATGGCTCCCAACCCTCCTTCTTGAATAGGAAATGCATATGGGCAGGTCTCCAGACGTGCCTCTTCAAAGTGCCCTTCAGAAGCCTGCCCACTGGCCCATCGTCGGGGATCGGGTACGGCACGGGCACGATGGCCCTGAACCAGAACCGGCCCTGGTCGTCACTCTTGAGCACGGCCCTGCCGTCAAACTTGTCGGGCTCGCGGTCCTTGTACTGCACGTCATAAAATCCCTTCGAGTCTGTCTCCCACACGTCGATTTCGACCCCGGAGATTGGGTTACCTTGCGTGTCCTTGACGGTGCCGACGACCAGCAACCCTTCTCCTTCGTCGTCGTGGGATATCGCCCCGCCCAGCTCCGTCTCTCCCGTGGAGGCCACATTGTCGACGTGGAACGGCCCCAGGACTGTGCCCTCGGTGGCACCCTTGGGGGTCGGGTGGTCGATGCCGTCCACGAGCACCGATAGGCCTAGGATGTCCGAGAGCAGGATGAGCTCCTGCCGCGAGGCGTTGCTGATCTGGCCGGCCTCGACGAGGAACTGGATGGCGGTGGCCCACTCGGCCTGGGTGAGGCGGGTCTCGCGGGCGTAGTCGTGGAGGTGGGTGACGAGGCGGTCGATGAGGAATTTTGTGCGCGGGTTGGCGCAGGACGAGTTGATGGCGAGTACGTTGGGGGTGATATTGGCGGTGGTGAGGTCTTTGAAGTTGAGCACTGGGGCGGATGGCTCTGCGCCGGTCGAGTCCTGGGGGGAGGGTTCTGGTCTGCCATGGCTGTGGGTTTGAGGAGCCTAAGATCCGCTGCTCTGGGCTGTCTGCAGGCAGAGGAGAGATGTGTGCGTGTATCAATGGGTTGTAGAAGGCCTTATTATGTGTTGTTGTTGTCGTTGTTGTTGATGACCCCTCACGATTCGACATTGGGATTGGGGTTGCCTTTCCCCACATGAACCCGCTGCCGACGACGCCTGCCGACCCCACAGCATGTGGGGATGGCCCGCGGTTGTCATCATTCGTCAGCCTTAGTCATGGGGAGATGTATCATAGTGCCGCGGACTGGCAACTATAATCTGTGCCCCAGCACAATCATGGTGTGCGTCACTGGCAGCAGTCCAATTTCAAATGCCGCTGCCCCGAGGGCAAATGGCTGACCTGATGTGGATCCTACAGCAAGACGAGCCTATGGCGATCGGTGCCCAAAGTGTAGGCCGACGGCCTTCGTTACGTATGCTTCCTCAAACTAAGCCTCGCCAAGCGCTCCTGCAACCGCCCAGTGTGTTCTCTGTCACAGCTACTCCACTATACTATGTGACCTGCTCATGTAAGTATTGTGCCCTCTTGCTCAGACAGATCCCAATCGGAAGAGCCACACGACTCGAGAGCCTGAGATCTAGCCCAACGAGACGAGAACCTCCTCAACGCTGCACTAGTTCGTGTCCTCCATGTGTCGTCCCCCAAAGATCATCAAAGCCTGCTCGGAGCTTCAGTATTCATGAGCTCAAACAGACGGACGTACTGCACTTGTACATGTGTTGTACATCAAAAAGTCTCACGTACAACCTAACCTTGGGAAATTCAGATCTGTTGTGCCACCGCTGCGAGGCTAGTGTCAACGTTTAAGAGCATTAGATGAAACCCAGGATTAGGATAATCGCGGCTGCTGACCACGGCTACAAGTATCTTCACTGCGACAACATCTCCACGTCCCGAGCCGAGCTTTGATCTGATTCAAAGTCACCGGCGCCAGATATCATGGCGGCGTCAGCTCTCAGTGGGCGGTAGATGTGCAGTGCAGTCCATTCCTGTGTAGCTACTTGCGACAACAACAGTGACTGGATGAGCAGCCGGCGCAATGACGCTCCGAACTCTGTGGGGCGTTGGTAATGCTATACAAGACGGTGCGAGCACACTGCTGTCGACAGGCTGGCTCCATTCGTAGACAGCAATATTCTTGTATCAACCAGAAACGCAATGCGGCTTGTATTACATACGCAGACCAGTGTTGAGCATGGCTTCCCATATTCATGCGCCGTGTTCAGAGGCTTCCCAATCAGCATTTGACCATATCGACTTGCCTGTCCTGGATCGTGGCCTTATCAAGGACAAGCGCTCACGTCAGATTGCAGTATACTAGTGCGGGGATCAGCGGACTGCCCTCATGCGGTTCACATGCCGCTCGTCCAAAGACATTCCAATTCCGGAGGGGCCATACTATTTGTCAGCTTCGCTACTTAAGCACTGCGCCGCCTCACCTCCAAACAGTTGAGACTTTGTGCAAGATCACAAGAGTCAAGTCAACAACAACGCCTGTTCAGAAGAGAGCCAATTGAGCTCAGCCAAGTAGTCGCCCAAACCATGGCACAATCAAAGCCACCACAGCTGATCTTTGGCACAGCGGCGTTTGGTAGCGAGGCCTCGCCCATTCAGGACGGTGGAGCAGCAGCAGAGGTCCTCCGCGCATTGAAAGCCCATGGCGTCCACCGGTTGGATTCTGGCGCGCGCTACCCGCCGCTCCAGCCCGGCCGGGCCGAGCAGATCATCGGCGAGACAGGCGATGTCGGCCTCAAGTTTGACGTCGACACGAAGGTGTACACCGACACGAGGAATGACGGCAGCGGGGACCTGACATTAGAAAAGATCAATGAGAGCTGCAGCGCAAGTCTGAAGCGCCTGCAGACGGGAAAGGTACGTGGGCGCAATAAAAGGCTCGGATGCATGTTTCGCTAAGACGCTCTGATCCTGGCAGATCAACGTGCTTCACGTTCATCGCGCGGACCCAGCGACACCGCTGGAGGAGCAGATCCAAGGTTTCAAAGCGCAGATTGACCAAGGACGATGCAGAGCGGTAAGCATATTTGCGCAGACTTCGTTCTCACTTAGTCCTGTCTATCAATCTCGTGAGGTGGTACGAAAGTACACAACAGGCTGACCGATAATGCGACTCCAGTGGGGAATCTCAAATATGTCGCCAGAAGTTCTCGAGAAAGTCTTGCATCTTTGCGAGGAGAACAATTGGCCAAAGCCAGTCTGCTACCAAGGGCAATACAACTTGATTACACGGGGTGTGGAAACACGGTTGCTGCCGCTCCTCCGCGCTCACGGCATCGCCTTCAACGGTTATGGGTAGGACTAGTCCTCTGTTAATCTTATCATTGTTTTAAACCGTCTTTTTGATTGGCACACTATTGACACTGGCTTGTTCTTCTGGCTCAGACCTCTCGCTGCGGGCTTTCTGACTGGGAACCTGCTCGCCAACAACACGGCAGGCACTCGCTTTGACAGCAGCACGAAAATCGGTCCGATAATCACAAAGATATACTCTCAAGAGGACCTCTTTAAAGCCATGGCGAGGTTTCAAGAGGCCCTGAAGAAGCACGACATGACACCGAACGAAGTCGCCATCCGTTGGGTCGCACATCACTCGATGCTCAGCAATGAGCATGGAGATGGGATCATCATGGGAGCAAGCAGGACTGAGCAGGCCGTTCAGACGATGGAATATCTCGAGAAGGGACCGATCGCTGAACAGGATGTACTGCAGCTGATAGAGGAGCTATGGGAGGGTGTAAAGGTGGTCAGGGGGGACATGTTGTGAAAAGCGCAGTGTTGAACATCTGGAATCAGTTGTCTACTGATTTTGTAAGAACTTTGCTGATGAAATTACGTTTCAGTCGCGTTCTGAATATGTTTCCACTTGGATTAAGTCAGAGCAGCCTCGCACTAACATAGACACGTAACGACCAAACGTGAACAAACGCTAGCAACCACTACTGGCTGCCCGGGAAATCTGGGTATACATCTCATGTCCAATGCCCTCCACGGACCAAGTTTGTTGAAATGGGTCGAAGTTGTTGCTCATCTTTCAGTGTCAGGCTCTCATCGCGCAGAGTGCAAAATAGATAGAGTCTATGTGTACTGACAACCAAAACCGTTTCCATGGCATGATTGACCAGTCGCAGGTAGCCCACCAGCCGCTTCATCTTCCTGGCGGCCAAGTAGCGAGCTCATGGCGGATAACATTTAATCCTTGTAAACCCTGACCTTGTAATCGTCACGCCATTTGTCCTCAATGACTACCAGCTGCGATTCTTGCACTTTTTTCATGTACGCATCCTCTGGTGTGTCTCTGTAGTCGTCTCGGTCTACATCCATAAAGCCCTGCGGGACGACACTCCGGGGTGTGATCATGAGCGAACGTCCTAAAGCGGGAATGTTAGCACGGCTCCATCCAGAACTTGAAGACATTTCCCAGGGCCATATCCGAGCAGATGAATGCTGGGCTGAGAGATGGTGGTAGAAGAGGATATGGCAGGTGAACAAAGAACCAGTGGACTTACCATTGATGCTCTTGTCACACGCGATGCGCATCATGCAGTTGCCACAATCCTCCGTCTCGCCAAACTCGACGCCGCGCTCAATGAGCCATTTCTCGTACTCGGCAGTACGAATGGCGCTCTTGATCCAGCAGGGCGCCACGTAGGCGATGCGGATGCCCTGCTCATATGACGAGCGGCGCGCCGTGCGCATAAAGCCCCGCAGCGCATACTTGGTTGCGGTGTACTCCCAGTTGCCCTACATAAAGAGGTTCGAACGGGATCAGTATGTGAGTTGTGCACGCTCGCGATTTTCAGGCGGGTTTGCTTACCGGAGAGTCTATCCACGTGACCATGCTTCCTGTGATGATGAAACACCGGTCGCGCTCCGGCACATCGGGCTGCTTTCTGAAATAATGTACTGCCAGTTTCCATGTGTAGAAAGTTCCGTCAATATTGACCTTGAGGATCTTCAGATCTGGCTTGGTTGGTTCCCCTTCGGGGTCTGCAGGCAATACAATGTCAGCACTCAGACAACGACAATCCAGGGTCTAGACGTTACGGAAGATCTGCTCACCATCGAGATTCCACAAGCTGTCTCCGGAACTCCGGCTGATGCCGGCGTTGGCAATGACGACATCAACGCTGTTCGCTGGGCTCTCCGCCTTTGCCGTCTCGAACATGCGCTTCTGATCATCCCAGTCGCGAATGTCGCATTTGACAAAGACACATCTCTTCTTGGTCTTGTCTCCTGCCGGTGTTGTTGCAGCATTGTTGAGCTCCGCCTCGATCTCGCGGCCCCTCTCGTTGACGTCACCGAAAGTGACAAAGGCACCAGCATCGACAAACTGCCGCACCATGACCTCGCCCATGCCGTTGGCACCGCCCGTCACGATTATCGACTTGCCGCGCAGGCTGGCACGGTCGGGCACGACCGTGTGGTCGACAGGCCCATTGTCTTGGTATCGTGCAAGGGGTGTCATGTCTGCGTTTGTAGTCCGAATCAAACTTTGACTCAGCCGCAGCCGCAGTACTACTAGTAAATAATTTTTCTGATCTGGACAATACCATACAGATGGTAGTCCACGAAGGACTTGGTTACAGATGTATATGGCCACGGGACTCGGCCATCTCCATTCCATTGCTCGCATTCACTTGAGCACTCCGTACATCGGCCCAGACCCTGGTTTGGCCAGCAGCTCGCTCCTCTGAGGCCCCTGCTGTAGCTGCTGTGGGGTAACCCCGGAATGCGGGGAGGTCACCCTGCGAGGCTGGCCGGCTGGCTGCCTACAGAGATGGAGATGCGAGTTTACGCCGGCTCGGCACGGCAATGCCTCTTCGGGCCTAGCCAGCACAGCCGAGAGCCTCCACCAAGCAACCACCGTGGTGCCGGCGGCGTGCTGTGGGTACGACCCATCACCATTCCGGCAGCAGCAGCCAGCTTCTGATGGTGAACCCGGCCGGCCCAGGAGACGGCGGCGTTATCCCGCTCGCTACGAGCTAAGCCAGGCCTGTCAAAGACACCCCTTGGTAAGCAGTTGTAATGGCAGACGAAGACCGGGAATTGGGCAGAGGAGATTATTACCCCACACCCTTGTCAGCGGCCAATGTCTGGAAATCTTAAGGTCCAGAGTTCCAAGCAGTTCCCTGAGTCTTTGGAGTCCCCATGCCGTCAACATTGTCTTGCTTCTGTTTCAATCGTTCGCAGACTCCGCCCGTCAGAGCTTGTCTGGCTAAGAATCACCTCCCCACAACTTCTCCGCCACCATCGTAGCCATGACTGCCTCTGGCGATTTGCCTTCGGCAATCCTCCAGGCAGAATGCAATGCTGCCATAACAAATGCAAATGGAGACAGCATGACACCAATACCGCCTCCTGAACTTCCCGAGATACCACACATTGACGTCCGCCCGCAAAATGGTGCTGCTTCCCACGAAACGAGCGGCATCCACATCGACATAAACAGCGACAGCGTCGACGATCCATTCCGCCTGGCGAGCGAGTATGCCTATACACCGCGCAAGATCAAAGTCTTTACCATTGGCGCGGGCTTTTCTGGCCTGCTGATGGCGCACAAGTTCCAGCATCGCTTCCCAGACCTTCGGGATATTGTCGAGCACACCATCTTCGAGGCCCGCGACGACATTGGCGGCACCTGGCTGGTGAACGATTACCCAGGCGTCCAGTGCGATGTCCCGGCGCACATCTACGTAAGTGCTTTTCTCTATCCCACTCATTATACCCTGGGATGGTAACTTCTGCTCGAAATTCTCACCGACTGACCGCACCCCTGTATTAGGCTTTCCCATTTGATCCCAACCCGGACTGGGCGCGATTTTATGCCAGTGGCGCCGACATCCTTGCATACATGAAGGCCACGGTCAAGAAGTGGAATCTCGATCGCGATCTCCAACTGAGCACAAAGGTTGTCGAGGCCCGGTGGCTAGAAGAGACGGGCCAGTGGAGAGTGACGGTCGAGCACAAGGGTGAACGGCGAGACGAGTACTGCCACGTCCTCATTTCAGCACAAGGTGTATTAGTGTGAGTAGAACACCCCAGAGCCTTTGCCCCTTGGCTGTCACAACGACCGAAACGCTCACCTTGGCCTCCTCCCGCACCACGCAGACACGAGAGCTGGCCTTCGATACCAGGACTCCGCGACTTCAAGGGCCACATCACGCACTCGGCCGCATGGGACCACAACTACGACTACTCGGGCAAGCGGATCGCAGTGATCGGCAACGGATCTTCGGGGATTCAGATTGTGCCGCAGATGGCCAAGCTGCCGGGGACGGACGTGAAGAACTTCATCCGGGGCCCGGCATGGGTGTACTACCGGGCGCCGCCATCCAAGCACCTGGGCCGTGAGAGCGACGACTTGAACCCGGCATACACGGCCGAGGAGCGGGAGAGGTTCAAAGCCAGCCCAGAGGCGCATCTAGCGCACCGCAAGGGCATCGTGACGCGCACCAACAAATCGTTCTACATCTTCCGCAAGGGCGAGACCAACCGCGAGGGCATGCGCCTTGCCTCTGAGCAGATGGCCGCCAAGCTCAACCACGACCCGGAACTGTGCGAGATGCTGATCCCGAAGTGGGATCTCGGCTGTCGCCGTATCACACCCGGCCCGGGCTATCTCGAGTCGTTCCTCCGTCCGAACTGCCATCTCACAAACAGCGCCATCACAAGCGTCAGTGACCACGCCGTCCATACGGCAGACGGCAAGACCTATGAATGCGACGTCAGTAAGTAGCAGCCGCTTGCCAAACCTCCAGATCCCACCCCAACTCCCCAAGATACACCTTCTAAAACTAACTGCCCATCGGCCTCCAGTCGTCTGTGCCACCGGCTTCGACGTCTCGCACCGCCCCCGGTACCCCCTGATCGGCCAAGGCGGCGTGGACCTGGCGACGCGCTGGCTGGACGACCCAGAGTCGTACATCTCGGTTGCGACGCCCGACTTCCCCAACTACTTCATGATGATGGGGCCCAACTGCCTGGGCGGGCACGGCTCGCTGGTCGAGTCGCTCAACTGGACGGGCGACTACTTTGCCAAGTGGATCCGCAAGATGGCGACCGAGGACATCAAGCACGTGTCCCCGAAACGCAGCGTCGTCGACGCCTTCATCCGTTACTCGGACCAGGTCCACCAGACGCTCGTGTGGACCTCGAGCTGCAGCTCGTGGTACAAGCGCGGGCGGTCCGACGGCCGCGTGACGGCCCTCTTTGGCGGCAGCGCGCACCTGTTCCAGCGCATGCTCTCAGAGATCCGAGGCGAGGACTTTGATATCACGTACAACACGGCCAACCCGATGAGGTTCATGGGCAACGGCTTCACCGCGTTCGAGATGGACCAGGACAGCGACCTGTCGTGGTATGTCGAGCTTGCGGACAAGGCGCCGCAGGAGGAAGGTGGGAAGAAGAAGGAGAAGGTGGTGGCGTAAGAAGTCTGATCTCGTATTCAAGCATTTCTGCCGTTTATTTGTCTACTGTTTTCTCCATACCCGACGAAATTTCCGGAGTTCTCATATGAGGGCGGCCAGTGTGGAGTATCCTGAGACCACGGTATGCTCCCGATGGTCATCACGAGCATTAGAGCCTAGAAAGTGAAAGAGAAGGGGACTTCGAGTTGAATGTATCTTCGACGTTTTCCGCTTTCAACCTAATAAACCATAATCTTTGCATTTCATCAAAATCAAGGGCAATACGCTGTGCACCGCCACCTGGGTACGCCAAGCATGCCTTTTTCAAAGCCCCAGAAAACACCGCTGAACACCCAACACCCGCTTTTCCAAACCGCATAGCGAGAGACCCGCACACACCCTGCCAGAGTCCTAAAAACAAAGTATCTCCTCTTTTCACAATCACCCCAAGCCCATATACGGGATATTGAAGAAGTAGTCCCCAAACGGCTCCAGCAGGTTCTGGTACTGCGTCATCAGGGTGTCCTGGAACAGCATGTTCTCCGGCGAAGGCAGGCCGCGTGTGGGGATGCCCTGCTCGCGATCCCCGAGGAGACTGTCGGCGATGCCGCCAGTTGCGCGGGTCACAAAGGGGAACAGCTCGGTCCAGTCGAAATCCTCGCCCATGAGGTCGTGGAAGCCCGCCACCGTCGGCGGTGCTGGGACCACCGCCGCGGAGCCGAAGGACGACGACGCCGCATCGCCCATGGCGGAAACAACACCGGCGCACACATTACGGCCGTCGTTGCCGGGGGGGCCATTTGTGAGGCCATTTGTGCCGCCGCCTATAGAAGTAATGTTTGCTGCTGCTCCACCCCCAAGCTGTGCCGCCATGGCCGCTGCAGAGTTGGATTGGAACGGCTTGTTGTAAGATTCCGACTGCTCGCGGAGCCGCGTGAAGCCCTGGCGGATCACGTTCGCGGTTCCCCACATGTGCTGCAGCTGCTCGACCGCGCGGACCAGAATGTCGAGACACTCGTTGGCATCTCTGGACAGGTGTGCGATGCGGCAGGCCTGCAGTAGGGCGGTGAAGGCCGTTGCCGCGTACCAGCAGGTAATGGCCATGAGGAAGCGCGTGTTGCCGCGCGCCAGCGTATCCTTGAGGATGCGGGCGATGCAAGAGGCGGCGAGTATGGCCGGGGGGAGGGCCTGCGGGAGAGCGTGGGCTGACCGCTGCAGGTGGAGGACGATGATGGTTGTGAGATATGGCAGGTGAAGCTGGTGGACGTCGCGGTCAAAGCTCACGGTTCGCGCGGACCCTATGGGCAATTGGAGAGCTGGAGGGAGCGATTGGATCCAGTCAATGAGCCGCTGGCGTAGATCATGAGGAAACGGCCGTGGTGGTGAGCTCTGAGCCGTCCGAGATAGTGCTTTGGCAATGTCGCCGATAATGGCACAAAGCCTGACCCAGTGGATGAATATGGAGCCTTTTTTCTGTGAGCCCGCGTCCCGGGCGAAGTCTGCCAGTGTCGGCTCTAAGATGTTGCAGTCTGCAGGGTCAATGATGCATGGCTTGCTTTGGCACAGAGCCGTGAGGCGCTCTCTTGCCTGCGCACAGCCAAAAGGACATCAGCATGGACACGCCGCATGAATGAAGCGGGATGGAGTAGAGAGGGATTGGAAAATGGAACTCACAAATGCAGTCCACCAGACTCTGCGACGGAGGCTGAGCTCGTACTGGTCCGCTATTGCGTGGTCGGGACGTGGCTCGCGATGCAGGCTCATCTGCTGAGCTTGCCTGATGATGACCGAGGTCCACCACCAGGAAGAGTGCCGATGCGCTATCGTGGGGGCCCTAGGAGCCCACCAGTAGAAGAGAGCGATGGCCCGGAGCTCGGTGAGCTTGTCCGGCTCCTCGTCACCGTAGAGGAGCTCTCTTGCTTTCTTGTAGTAGGTGGCAGGGCCCTCGTGCGGCACCAGTGGCGGTTGGATGTGGCTAGATGCGAGAGCCAGAGCGTACGCGAGCAGTTGTGAATTGGCCACGTCGTCAAATAGCCTTTCCCGATCGATGACTGGGCACCAAGCGTAGCAGTTTTCCCAATAGGTCTCGCTGAAGCTCTGTTGGAGCTCCTCGTCGATGGGACATGGTTGGGCCATGTGCTGCCGCTGCTCCAGGCAGGTTTCAAGCTCCTGTCGCTGAGCATCTGACTGGTTCTCGACGCGGTACACTTGCAGAAACCCCGTGTCTACGTCGCCGGTAAGAGTCTGGCTGTTGCTCGTCTGGGAGTGCTGTGATTGCGGCGTTGCTGTGGCGGGACCAGCGGCTTGCGGAGGCGGAAGAGGCGGAGGAGGAGGAGGATCGCAGGATGGCGGCTCTGCTGGTGGCAATGGGGCCGCAGCGACCACGCCGACATCACTCGGTGCTGCTCCGTCGTTCTGTGATCTCGGGGCAGACCGCTGCTGCCACCTGCCGCGGCGCGATGTGCGGACGGTGCATTCTCTTGCTGTCGTTCCACAGGCGGTGCAGTCTGCAAAGCCTCGCTTGCTTCGGGCCTGTCCACGGCAGAGACTTATTAGCGCGTGTAGCCAGCAAGGAGACGCGCAGCGGAGCAGGAAGAGGACGGACGCCTGCGTACCTGGAGATCACACTTGACCTTCTTTGCGTGGCAGGCGACGCAGACGAGCTCGGCGCGTTTGCGCTTGGACCGCTGCGGGCCGCTGAACGGCATCCACTCAAAGGTGGTGTCCGCCATGGTCTGTGGAGGGGGAAGCGAGGAGGTGTTTGGGGAGAAGAAAAGAATGGAGAAGGACGCCGCTCGGCACGTCCTCCTACTGGGCCTTTAGGGGCTGTGGGGAGGAGGACCCTGTGTAACCACCCCCTGTGACTGCGGAGATTCACGGCTGAGCAGCCATTTCCCCGCAGCTTCCGGGATCGTCCCGCTCATGCAGAATTCTGGGGAGGCCGGGGCGTCTCGAGACATCCGATCCATCCCCATTACCCCTGGCTGCTGGATCGCCCTCACGGCCGTCCACCCTTGCCGTTTTAACTCGACATGTTCACCGCACGGAGAGGCACTCGTGGCTGCTTCTTATCAGGTACTCAATTCTGTTATATTTTATCGATGGCCCGGCCTAGTGCTCGTCACTCCACAGGTAATATCGGGGCATTTGAAGCATACAAAGAACATTTCCTCACTACGGACTCGACTACAGCTACTCAAAGCCCACCCAATACAGAAACCAAGCCTAAACCGCTTCTCGACTTTCCATACTAATCTGGCCCAAAATTAAAGCGTGGGAAGCCTTCCCGACCTGCCATTAGAGAATATAACGGAACTGAGGGTTCTGTAGAATTGCACAATATGTTAGACCACCATATCCCAAGCTCCCGCAGAAAGTAAATGCGCGACAGTCTCCATTAAGCAACGTACCTTGACATCGGTGAGGTCGTCGTCGTACGCATTATCGAAACCCTCCATGACTCCGGCCTTGTCGCGGCGCTTGTTGTCCCACATGCACAGTAGGCGGTATACCGGCGCCAGGAGGCCCGCGATGAGCGCAGTGATGACTACGATGAGGAAGCCGCTCGGGTAGCGCGGTGCATCTTCCTTCTTGAACACCAGAGGTCCCACAAAGTTGCCTGGTTATTGTCCCAATTCCATTCAGTCAGCGCGAGCTATTTTGAGTGCAAGACGGAAGTGGGCTGGCTTTTGGGGATACAGGTTCGTTCGGGGCGGTGTGACTTACCGAGGCAGTAGCCGATATACAGGCCCGAGGACTGCACCGAGCGCTTGGTGTAACCCGCCGTGTTGGCGATGGAAAGACCCATGAGCACGGCATATCCACCTCCCACAGAGGGTAGGATATAGCAGGCAAACAGCAAAGCTCCCTTGGCAGACAAGGGAAGCAGCCAGAGTAGCAGAGCCGCGAGCGTGGTCCCGAGCTGCGCAAGGAGAATGAGGGAGGATCGCAGTCCGTTGTGCTTGTACGCCAGGTAAGGCAGCAGGAGCTGCAGCGTGCCGGCGTACGCGCCGGCGGGGATCACCAGGAGGAGAGACTGGAGCGTCGTGAATCCAAACCCGTTGATGATGATGGGGATGAAGGTCGAGATGGGCCCGTTGCTAATCATGGAGAGGAACCCGATGCTGAAGACGATCCAGAACTTGAGGTCCAGGAGCAGCTCCACAACTTGCTCAAACTTGAAGTGCGTGTTGCGGACACCTGCATTGTTAGTACGCAGGCGACTGACAAGAATGTAGCGCTCGCGCTCGTCGAAGCCCTTGGCGTGGACAGGGTCCGGGGGCAGGATGAAGTACAGCAAGGCACCCCACACAATGGTAAGCGCGCCGGCAAAGTAGTACATATAGCGCCAGGACGACACGCCGCCGTTGATCAGACCAAGCCCGTAGTTGATGAGCGGAGAGACACACGAGGCATAGCCAGTGCAGCTGTACCAGATCCTACAAGACACAGGGAATAACCATATTAGCGCCGGTTTGGAGCAAGGGATGCTTCTGTGCCTGGCTTTTAGTGGTAACCGGGTTTCACTTACCCCATCCGGAGCGCCTGCTCATTCTTCCGGTACCATGAGCCGACGATGAGCATGAAGAGAGGGCTGATGCCACTTTCCAGGAAACCAAGGAAGAAACGCTGCGCGTACAGCCCTTGCCAGGAAGTGCAAGCGGACGTGAGGATCAGGCAGATGCCCCAGACGACCACAAGCCCCGACGCAACGCGGTCAATGGGATAGCGCTGAGCAAGCCACATGGCCGGATAGGCACCAATGATGAAGCCCAGGTAGAAGATGGCAGCCGAGAAGGAATACCGGTCTCCCACAGTCAGCTCAAGATCAGTTCTGAGACCGAAGAGCGCCTGCCAGTCACTTCAGTCAGTAAGAGTGGTACAGTGAGAGGGCCAGGGGATGGCGGACATACAGCTTGTGAGAGCATGGCCTTGTCGTAGTACTGCAAGCCGTAGGTCACGCAAAGAACTGGCATCAGTTTCCAGTCGACCTTGCGGCGAAGCTTCTTCTCCTCGGACTCTTCCCAGTGAGGATCGCCATTGTAATTGGCGAGCACCCGCAGGCCCTCATCGTGGTGGAGCGTGTCAACAGTCTGCGACTTGGTGACGGGGTTGGTGTCTGTCTCGGCCTGCTCCACGCCGATAGCGGACGTCTTCTCGTGGTCAGACATGTTCGCGTCGGCGTACTAGCAAGTCACAACCAAGATGTGGCAAGATGGGGTGAGGGAAACAGCCAGATAGATCTGATGCAAGACAAGGAAGGTCCAGGAGGTCCAGGAGGTCCCGGAGCCGTGCATATCGTGCCACTCGTCCGGGTCTGGGGCTGTTATAGGTATCATGGACGCGTAGCGTCACGATGATCGAGGCGTCAAGTTGGTCATTTTACCCCAGACACGGTTTCTAACAGCCGCGCACACCCCGTGGGGAAGCTCCTGAAATTGCGGCCACACGGATGAGGTCAGACCCCTGCCTGGCCCAGAACTCTGGATTCTGTCCAGAAGCTCGGCGGCGGCCAGCCCCAGAGGTGTGTGGGGAGCTCTAATTCACTTGGCACGAGGGAACGCAAGGGACTGCGTTCTGTAGATGCCGGCTTGGCGGCCTAGCTCAATGTGGACTGCCGAACGCGCCACGCCAGGCGCGGTTGCAATCGAGTCTCAACCCAGGTTGAGCTCCAGGCTCGACTTGGCTCCACTGCCGCTGTGAACGTCCCCGCATCGGCCGAATCTCCAAACACATCGTCAAGATACCATACGGTTGAATACTCTGTGTTGTAAATTGCGCATGGTCGCATCACGATCCAAGCGGCAACCCAAGTCACAGTCAGTAACGACGACCTCGTCCAGTCTGAGCATCATGGAGACACATTCAGTTCAACTCCCTGCCGGCGAACAGGTTGTGACGGTGAGGCTTCTCAATCCCGTCAACTTTGGACCCGCGATTTTGCAACGGTTCATGGCCCCGCCGGTGCCCGGCCTTGATACATTCAAGTCTTCGCCTTCTCTTTCCTTTTTGCTCGAGCACCCTTCCGGGAGACGACTCGTGTTTGATCTTGGTATTCGCAAAGACTACAGCAACTACGCGCCATCTGTGGCCGAATACATCCCGACTACAAAGTACAACATCGAGGTCACTCACAACGTGGTGGAAATCCTCGAAGAGGCCGGCATAGCGCCCAGTTCTATCGAGGCAGTCATCTGGAGGTAAGCCACGCGCTGTTTTTCTGACGTGACAATTCTCAGAGCTGTGCTAACAACATGGCTTGCCAAGTCACTGGCACTGGGATCACATCGGCGATCCCTCCAGTTTCCCTTCAACAACAGACCTCGTTGTGGGTTCCGGATTCAAGTCGGCAATGCTTCCAGGTGCACCAGCCAATCCGAAGTCCCCTATCCAGGAGAGCGACTATACGTAAGTAGCAAGCCGCCTTCACTAAGAGCAATATCTTCAAAGCCACAACCCGTGACGCTACCAGCTGACCACTTGCACTCTCTGACCTTATCCCCGGTTCAGAGGCCGCAATCTCCGCGAGATCCGGTTCGACGGCCCACAATGCCTGCAAATCGGCAAGCTCCCAGCATTCGACTACTTTGGCGATGGGTCCTTCTACTTGCTCGACACGCCTGGCCACGCAATCGGGCACATGTGCGGCCTGGCCAGAACCACGCCCGCCGGCCCGGACACGGCATCCACGTTTGTGCTACTTGGTGGAGATGCATGCCACTACGCCGGCATCTTGCGCCCTTCGCCACACCTGCCGCTGCCAGGCGAGATCCGGCCCCATCCGTGCTCATCCTCGTCCTTGTCGTCGTGCCTATGCCCTGGCTCTGCCTTTGCCGAACTCCAGAGGTCCAGGGGCAGGGCTCCGGACGATGCCTTGTATGACATGACCTTTGGCCACGATATACCCCTTGCCATCACCACGCTCGGCCATCTACAAGAGTTTGACTGCCACGAGGATGTATTTGTCATTATTGCTCACGATTCCACCGTGAGAGATGGGGCACCGCATTTTCCCGAGAGTCTGAATGACTGGAAGGCACGGGGTCTTGGTCAGACGCTAAAGTGGGCATTCTTGCGGGATCTTGAGCCGTATTGGAAGGCCAAAGGGCTAGCATAGGCAGTATTTTGTCTGGTACCAACGCACTATCTGAATGAACAGCGGAACTCCTGATATCCAAGCTCCTCAGTGAACCAGATCCGTGGCGGTCAGGCATTTGCCAAAGTGTTCCAGGACGATATTGGCTAGCCGCATTGTTGTTGCGGCTACCCGATCTCTGTTGGAGAGGCACGCCTCTCTGCCGTGCCCGATTAGGCGTGACGATGTGTTGCTCGACACGCCACTGAAGACAACTCGGCAAAGGTCTACCCAAACCAGATGAGAACACACAGAGATGATAGAGCGGTATTACCACTTCTAGGCAGTGTTCCTAATGTGCCCCAAAGAATTCCTTGGTGCCCGGGACAGCGCAACCCATCCACCTGCCAGCGGCTCCCGGCAATCCAAAGTTGGCTTAACCGCTAGCTTGATAGCCTTCGTTAGTGCGCCATCGAGCGTGAAACCCTGGACCCATCTCGTTTAGCGCTGCCACACTTGGCCAAAGTCCGTGAAGCCAAGCGTGACGGCTGATTCGCCGTGTGACTCGGATCCCGGCTGCTGGACTTGCTTCGTTCCAGACGAGTAACCGTCAGGGCCCGCCCCCCCTCTTTCCTTCCTCTTCGCTCTGGCTGGACAGGGAATTTGGGGTAAGGCCGGGTGGTGCGGGCCCGGAGTCGTGGAGAATGTTGAACAATGTCGCCATTTCCACCACGTCCGCTGATGATGCAGCTCACACAAAAGTCGCTTTCGGACGCTCGAGCTCAGCGAAAGGGGTTCGCAGCTTCAGCACACATTGGCGCTTGCACATACTGAGGTCATTGGGATATCTCTCGCTCCAAAGCGCCACACCAGGACAAGGTGAAGGAAGAAACCGGCCAAACCCCTGCATCCAGCAGCAGCAGCCTTGCAACCATCGAGAATGGCTGTGGCAGAGGACACGAGGCGTGAAGCCTTCAATGCGGCCAACGCGGCGCTCGACTACGATGTCTTGATTGTGGGCGCTGGACTGAGCGGCATATACTCGCTCTACCGGACGAGACAGCTGGGCTTGAGAGTGAGAGTGCTCGAGGCAGGCTCTGGAGAAGGAGGCACATGGTTCTGGTAAGTCGTCAGGACGCTCGACCGACACAGAGACCATCTGGGCTAACCATCTGCCGCTCTTGTGATAGGAATCGCTACCCTGGGGCGCGGTTTGACTCGGAGAGCTACTCGTACATCTTCTCTTTCTCACAAGATGTCCTTGATGAGTGGGACTGGACGGAACACTTCTCGCCACAGGCCGAGACCCTGCGTTACGCACAATTCCTGACCGACAAGTTCGACCTGCGCAGAGACATGCAGTTCGATACACGGATCCGGTCTGCACATTTCCAGGATGACACGAACTCGTGGCTGCTGACGGACAGCGAAGGCCGGACATACAGCACCCGTTATCTCGTGACGGCCATGGGCATCCTCAACGAAGCCACGCTGCCCAACATTCCCGGCGTCAACGATTTTGCCGGAGCCTCGTGGCACACGTCAAGGTGGCCTTCGAGCTACAAGGAGGGCGACCTGGCAGGCAAGCGGGTGGGCATCATCGGTACGGGGGCGACGGGGATCCAGACGATCCAGGAGATTGGCAAGACGGCAGGCCACCTGACCGTCTTCCAGCGGACCCCCAACTGGACAGCACCTCTGCGCAACACACGCATCGACGAGGCCGAGATGGCATCGATCCGGGCGCGCTACCCAACCATCTTCAAGCAGTGCCTCGACTCGTACGCGTGCTTCATCCACGCGGGCGACCCGCGCAGCGTCTTCGACATGACGCCCGAGGAGCGCGAGGCGTGCTGGGAGCACCTGTACGCGCAGCCGGGCTTCACCAAGGTGCTCGCCGTCTCCGGGGACATCTACACGAACCGCGAGGCCAACCGGCTGTACAGCGACTTCCACGCCAACAAGATCCGCCAGCGCATCCGCGACCCGGCGCTGGCCGCCAAGCTGATCCCGACCAACCACGGCTTCGGCACGCGCCGCGTGCCCCTCGAGAGCGGCTACTACGAGATCTTCAACCAGCCCAACGTCCGCCTTGTCGACGTCCGCGAGAACCCCATCCAGCGCATCACCCAGCGCGGCGTGGAGCTCACAGGCCCCCTTGACCTTGAGGGCGACGATGGGGCCGGCGGCGGTGGCGGCGGCAGTGAGATCGAGCTCGACGTGCTCATCTACGCGACGGGGTTCGACGCCGTCACGGGGTCCTTCCGGGCCGTCGACTTCCGCGGCCGGGGCGGCAAGCGCCTCGCGGACGACACCTGGGTGGACGGGATCCGGACGTACCTGGGCCTGACGGTGCAGGGCTTCCCCAACATGTTCATGATCATGGGCCCGCACCAGATGTTCGGCAACATCCCGCGCAGCATCGAGTACGCGGTCGACTGGACGGCCGACGCGCTGGGGTGGGCCGCCGAGCACAACGTCACCACGTTCGAGGCGACGGCCGCGGGCATGGACAGCTGGACCGAGCACGTGCACGAGTGCGGCAAGGGCCTTCTCGCCAACGAGGTCGACTCGTGGATGACGGGCGTCAACAAGAACCTCGCGCACAAGCAGAAGCGCTCGATGACTCGGTACAACGGGCCTGCCCCGGGATATCGGCGGCGCTGTGATGAGGTGAGGGCTCGTGGGTATACCGACTTTGTCACCTCGTGATGTGGTTTTGCTTGCAGAGAAGCTAGCGAGGTTGTGTGGAAATGGTGAGGCGAGGCAGCAGATGGGATCGAGTAAGATTGCATGTCTCTAGGGTCTCACGGAGCTGCCATGTCTGTTGATCTAGCTACGTGCAGATAGCAAAGCATTTACTTCCCCTTCTCAGTGTCTTCCCGAACGCTTGGAACGTTTGTCGTGGCTGTTACTTGAGGTCGTGAATCACAAACTCCTCCTTGGCCCGAGGATTGCTCAGCACCCACTTGATCCCCTCGTGCAACACCCGGTCCCAGTGCGCCGACGCAATTGGCAACTTCTCACCGAAGCCCCTGTAGCCATGTGGGACGCCTCTAAACAGGTACGTCTCAGTCGGAACGCTGTTTTTTCACAGTGTGATGCCATCACAAATCAGCCAAATTCGTATCTCGATATAAATTCTTGGAGTAGGAAGGGTGTACAAACTTACCCTGCTTCCGTCAACAGTTTGCCGTACAGCAACCCTTCATCTCGCAAGGGGTCCAACCCACAGATTCCCAGGACGGTCGGTGGCAGGCCGCGCACCTGTTCGACCGATGCGTTGCCCGGGTTGAGCAGGAGGTCGGAGGGATCGAGATTTTCAGGGAACTGAAGCAGGTCCACGAACTCGCGGATGCGCGTTACCGGCAGGATTGGGGCAAACTCGTTCTCGACGTAGGATGACAGCGCCGGGTCTTGCATCCGGGCCAGCTGGGGCTGGTAGCAGTCCACGTTGACCAGGCACGGAATCATGAGGACCTGGCCGGCGATGGGCGGGTACGCTGAGGACGTCGAAGCCTGTTGTTGTGAAAGGCTTTTCTGTAGCACCAGGGAGGCCATGATCTGCGCCCCGGCCGAGATGCCGCCCACCACGACCCGCGCCGGGTCGCCGCCCAGCGAGCCCATGTTGCGATGCAGCCAGTCGAGGGCATCCTCGGCATCGTGCCAGGCAACCGGATACACGGCCTCCGGGGTGTGGCGGTAGTTGACGTTGAGCACGAGCACCCCCGCGGCGACGGCGATGCGCGCGCAGATGGCGTCCTCAGACGCCAGCGTGCCAAAGGCGAACCCGCCGCCGTGCAGGTGGACATACACGGGTAGTGTCGTCGTCGACTGCTGGTGGCCATTGTGCTCGAGAGGTCGATAGGTGCGAGCCTCGAGGCTCACCCCGTCGCGGGCCGTGATCGAATGGTCGGCCATGGTGATGGTGCTAGCCGGCGTCTGCATGGCCTCGCGGGCCTTCTGCTCACGCTGTTGGTTGATCTCGAGTTTCAAGTCTGCGACGGAACGCTGAGTGGCTGGCGGGGGAGGCAGCTGCGCCGCGAGGGCCAGCCACTCGTCGCTGGGGCCGCCATATGCCGAGAAGTCGCACATTGTCTATGGATTGTAAACAGGGTGCTGTTTGAAGCTACGCTGTGATGTTCCTAGTTGTGGATGGCCTCGAGTTTCGCTGTATCTCTCTGGCGGCTATTACGTCGTCACCTTGGATTTCCCCGCACGCAGAACCTGGGCACCTTAGCACATAGCCCTGGTTACGGAGAACCTCGGACAGGAAGAATATTGTTTCGCAGGTGGGTAGGTGGATCAAGTGAGGAATTGTTAAGGGTTGCTCGTATTTGTCAGCCATTCTATGCCTACCTCGTTGCGTACTTCTACCGGTCTATCGGATACAGGCCTAGACAAGGGGACTTCCGGTCTTCCGTTTTGCCGTCCAATGAAGAGTTTGCTCGGATCACCCACCTCCAGGATCTAGTATGTCGTGCCAAAGCGGTAACAGGTACCTAGGAAGCTCAGGGAGCGTCCCTCTGAGGCTGACTGTGGGGAAGAGTGCAATCTCCAAGCTATCGTATAGTTGTCCACGCATAGCTCTCCTCGTTCCTTGCCTCGGCAACGAAGCATATCGCCTGGGTCCACTCTGGGGGTCCCCGCGCAGACAGACGACTGGCAGTCCAGATCCGGAAACGCCGGGGGAGCACTCCACCTTCCCCAGCCCGGCCGTGCCCAATCGGACCGCTCGCGGAGCCTCCCCACGCCCGTCTCCACCACCACCTCCGCCGGTGCCGGGCATCGGGGACGGACATCATAGTCCAGGGCAGGCTGATTGCCAACGCCTTGCTTAACTGTGTGTCTGGGACGGAGCAGCACATGCCCTGGCCGCCGCCCATCATCATCAAACCTAAGCGACCACCATGACCTCCGACATCTCAGTAGACCCCCCCTCGCGGTCCTTCCGTGGCAAAGTGGCACTTGTGACCGGCGCGGGATGTGCAGGCGAGGGCATCGGCAACGGGCGCGCCATTGCCATCATGCTGGCGGCTGAGGGGTGCAACGTCGTCTGCGTGGACCGAGACCTGGCCTGGGCCACGAGGACGGCCGATATGGCCAACAGCAAGCCGGGCCGGGGCCGCACTCTGGCTGTACAGGCCGACGTAACAGTGGCGGAAGACTGCGAGAAGGCAGTGGCTGTGGCCATCCATGACTTTGGCCGCCTCGATGTGCTTGTAAACAACGTCGGCATCGCAGGGGCCCCAGGGACCGCGCTGGACGTCGACATGGAGCAGTGGGCGGCAGGTCTCGAGGTCAACGTCTCCAGTATGGTTCTCATGGCCAAGTACGCCATCCCGGCGATGCGGCGCAACGACGTCGACGTCGAGGCTGGCGAGATGCGTGGCGTCATTATCAACATGGGCAGCGTTGCTGGTCTGCGCGGCGGCACGCCTCACCTGCTCTATCCGACCAGCAAGGGTGCGGTGGTCAACATGACGCGCGCCATGGCTGCTCATCACGCAAAAGATGGCATCCGGGTCAACTGTGTATGCCCCGGCGTAAGTCTTTTCTTGATGCTCTTCTTTCCTCTGTGCTTGATGTTTTGTTAAGAGAGAGCGCCAGACTGACACTGCGACAATCAGATGCTGTACACGCCGATGATGTACGCCAACATGTCTGACGAGGCGAGAGCCGCCCGCAAGGCCCGAAGCCTGCTGGGCACTGAGGGAAACGGTTGGGACTGCGCCGGCGCCGTTGTCTTCCTAGCCAGCAGCCACGCGCGATGGATCACGGGGTCGATACTCACCGTGGACGCCGGCACCACGGCCGCCGTAGGTATTGGTATGCCTGCAAGTGCCAGCGTAAACGGCTAGACAGGGCAGCTTAGACGATATTTCAGCGCTCGCAAACAATTATATTGGGCTGAATGTATACGCTTCGACCTGTGCATGCTTGAGTCTATACACAAGTTTTCTCACTGCGATAGAACACTAAGGCTTCCATCTTCTCGGTCATGTCATGAATGTTACAACAACTGGACAAGATCATCAATACAGCGCTTTCTCTCTAGTCGAATGACAGTGCAATGCGCCCGTGAACTTTGCCTTCCCCCAATTCTTCGAGTACGCCTGGGAACTCGTGCAGCTTCCGCGTCTTCACTAACGGCTGGATCTTGCCCTGAGCAATCAGCTCCAGCACGTCCTTCAGGTCAGCGACCTGCCCGCCATACGAAAAGATGAAAGTCAAGCGCTTCCGCGTGCCGAGTGACATGTAAACCGTGTTCTCCTTGTCGAGGGTGCCAATACAGACGATTTTGCCTCCTCGGCGGACTGTTCGCGGTCCAGTTAGAGTCTCTTGCCGAAGAGATGAATCGAGTAGAGAAACAGATGTGAATAGCTGACCTATTTGTTGAGCACCATGGAACGTCTGCTTGCGGCCGACAAAGTCAAACACAGTGTCGATCTTCCCCTCGAGCCCTTGCTCACGAATGAAGTCGAGCGGTGCAGTGCCAATCGGCACCAAGTCTTCTGGGGGCACACCCAGCTTCGCAGCGTCGTCTAGCAAATCCTGCTTCACCTCAGCGATGATGACCCGTGCGCCGATGTTTCGGATGACCTGCAACGCGTTGAAGCCCAACCCTCCCAGACCGAAGAGGAACAGCAGCTCTGACGCCTGGACCTGGCCTCGCCGGTGGATCGCGTGGTAGGACGTGGTGACCGCGTCAGTGGCCACCGCAGCCTCTGCCGGAGACACACCTGCCAGGTTACTCCTCTATCAGCTGTCATGAACAGGACAAGGTAGATCACACTAGGGGTAATGGCGTCAGGCACTATCACTTACCATCGGGAACGGGTACAACGCCACGTATGTCGACTATGGCGTACGGTGCATAGAAGCCGTCCTGGCCGATGCCTGAGTGGTGGCCGAGCTCACAGAGCTGGGACAAGTCGCGCGAGCACTCCGGACACTCTGCTGAGCCGCACCCCGGCACGGCGTGCATTGCGACAATGTCGCCGACCTTGATATGGGAGTCATTGCGGATCTGTTCGCCGAGTTTCACGACCTGTCCACAGCCCTCGTGGCCCTGTTTGATTCTGGTTTAGTAAAAGGGTAAAAGAGAACTATTTGAGCAGATAAAAGGAAAGTAGATAGGCAAAACCAGCGTGAGGGTTAAGTCACCGGATACGGAAGCACGCAGTCAGACCTACCAGTGTGAAATTGTCCTGGAACCAGGATGGCTGTTTTTCTATGGGCACGTGGAGGAGGTAGTGATCGCTTCTGCAGACCCCCGCGGCCAGCATTTTGCACAGAACGCCCGTGGGACCTGGCTCGGGAACGGGCACCTCTTCCCAAATCTAAAGTTGGACGACTGGGTCAGTGACGTGCCTGTTCTGTGATTGCTGTTGCAACTTATCAAGCGCCATCCCTTCTCAGGTCAGAGGATCCACATACCGGTTCTGTGCTCTCCCTATGTTTCCTCCACGCGAACATGGTCTCGGGGATCGGCGACGCCATGACGATCGAACACGTCTGTCTGGCCAACTCATTCATTACCGTGCAAGAAACAGGAAGCGCTTGGCGTGAACAGTGTTAAACCGGTGCTTGAGCCTACAACTACAAGAATGGCATGAACAATTCCATCAATTATAAGTCAGCAAGTTGATCGTGGTTGCGGGGATGGAAGCAATCCATAGCGCCCCGCACACTTTCAGGCTGGACCTCAGAGACGCTAGAGCGCGATGAGGCTAACTCTGTACGTATAGCCGAAGGCTTCTGGAGGACACCTTCCCCGCATCAACATGCCACTACACTGCAGGACTCTCGCATGGAAGTTCGTAAGCTTCTCGAAAAGCTACTGGAAGGGCTAGTTACGTATCACACTGACAATCACTCACAATGCTTCGATTGTCGCTTTTGTCTTCTCGATCACTGAATCATTTTCCCATGCATCTCATCTAAATGGCAGCCTCTACAGCTTAGCTCCCGTCCGCCCACGTTTCGCCTTCTCCTTGTCCCTGAGCAGTCTCCGCAGGATCTTGCCGCTGGGACTCTTGGGAATGGCATCCAGAAACTCGACCCCGCCTCTGAGCCACTTATACGACGCCTTGTGGTCCGCGACGTGTTTTACAATGGCCGCTGCGACCTCGTCGTCAGGCTTTGCCGCGTAGGCTGGCGTCTTGACCACGAAAGCCTTGGGAACCTCGCCTGCTCGCTCGTCCGGTGTATCGATAACGGCGCAGTCAGATACCACGGGGTGTGTGAGCAGGTGCGCCTCCAGCTCGGCCGGGGCGACTTGGTGACCCTATAGGATCAATCTCGGGTCAGCCTTTTGTCATGGAGCCTTGCACTTTCGCCTTCTTCTCGTTCTGTCCAAAGACATGTGCGAGACTGGTCCGCCGCCTGCTGTTTCCTCGACGTACCTTGACTTTGATCAGCTCCTTGATGCGATCCACAATAACGACATGCTCGTTCCCCGACGGCGCGAGGGTGACAAGCCCCTCGTCGCCGGTGCGAATCCATCTCCCGTCGTCGTGCACCACAAAGGTCTCAGCAGTGGCCTGCTCGTTGTTGAGGTATCCCAGCACCACGGAGGGCGCCTGCACGTACAGCTCGCCGGGCTGGTCGTGCTCGGTGATCTCCTCGCCGTTGGGTGCGAGGAGCTTGAGCCTCGCGCCGGGGATGAGCGATCCTGAGGAGCGGTTCACGACGTCGTCCTCGCTTGTCGAGGTTACCACCGTCGATGTCTCTGTCATTCCTGCGTGATTCGGGTCGGTAAGCGGTTGTGTTAGGGGGGTGCTTTTGGGAGAGGATGACTGTTGGAAACAAGTCGAGCGTAGCGCGCATCCACTTTCACGTACCATAGGCTTGCCCAATCGTCCACTGTGGGTAGATCTTCTTCAGGTCGCTTATTGTTTCGTCTCCCAGCGGCGCAGCTCCGCTGTAGACAAAGCGGACGCTGGACAAGTCATATTTCTGGCACACCTCTTGAGTTCGTAACAAGCGGATGATGATCGGAGGCACCTTTGATGCAGGCTACGTATCAGTAAATTGCAACTCTTCAACCTGTTCCCGAGTTCCCGGTCGTCAACCAGGGTGATCTATATCGTATAGAAGCTTACCACAATCAGCTGCGCGACCCTGAAGCGCTGGATCGCGCCGAGGTACTGCTCAAACTCGAAGCTCGGCAGCACGATGATGCCGTCGCCCCGGTAGGGCCCCGTGTGCGACACGACGACCAGGCCGTAGATGTGGCTCAGGGGCAGCGGGCCGAGCGTGTTCTGCGTCGTGATGCCGCGCCGCGCGCGGGCGGGCTTGTCAAACGCCGTGTGCTGCATCGCGTTGGCGATCACGTTGCGGTGGGATATCATGACGGCTTTCTGCGTTCGTTATAAGCCGTTTGCGTCAGCAATCTCGTTTCGCAGAGCCTCGGTCCAGGCGCAGGGCATGATTATTTGCCTTACAGGAAGTCCGGATGTGCCGCTCGAGTAGCACAGAAAGGCAGGCTGCCGTGCGCCTTGGCCCTTCGTCCACCGGAGAGCTTCGAGAGCAGGCAGCTGAGCGCCTTCGCGGATCAAATCCTCAACGGCCTTGAAGCGTATCGAGCTGTCGTCCACACCTGGCAGCGAGAAAACGAACACCTTGTCATCAGGAATGCCCACGGCCCTGGCCGCCTGCAGTGCGATCTCCAGCAAAGGTACACATGTCACGAGAGTTTTGGCGCCTGACGATTTCAGCTGGTGCTCGAGCTCGGCGGCAGAATAAGCCGCGTTTGCTGGACTCACTATGCCCGAAAGTCTGTGTATCGCATAGCACACGGTCAACCAGTCAATCTGTGTGGTTCATCAAGGGAAAGGGTCAGAAGAGCGACTCAAGAATCCAAGGATGGTACTGGACGGAGGCCGGACGAGAAAGAGGCTAACATACCGAGTTCAGCGAGAAAATCGCGAGCACCTTGTCCCACGTGGTGCCTTCATTCGGCGACCATCTCATCCTACGAGCAATCGCTCTCGATAGATCGTCACAACGCGCGAAGAACTCATTGACCGCGTATGTACGCCCCGTGACTCCGCAGGTGAAGGGGTTGCGGCTTTGTGAGATTGGGTATCGGCCATACTGCTCATTCTGCATGAACTCTGCTATCGGGATTGAGTCCGGCGGGTCTACCAAAGTCGTTGTTACGTCAGAGGGCTTTGCGCTGCTTGGCTCGGAAGCATTGACTCAATAGAAGATAGAACGTCCGACAACGTACCAAAGGGGAGTTGGGGCACCCAAGATGGTGGATGGAAGACCATAGTGAGCGTGTCTGTGATGCGTGTCTTCCCGCTGAGCAACCTTCAACTTGTCTGGAAGGCTGCCTTCCACTTTCTCAGACTGCACAGGTGTCGTGAAAGTTTGTGTCATCAAGAGCGCGACCGTCAAATCTCACACCGCTTTCCTTGGAATCTCGATAGCCCAGTCTCCATCGGTGAGCATCCATCCCTGCTACTACATTCTCCAACAGTAGCAGAAGTGCGGAGTAGCTTGCTGGGAACTTGGGTTGTTGTCGTTCGGTTATCCCAATCGGGATCGCCGCACCAGGTCAATACCGCAAACACTCCGGCATTGAGAGGTAGTCAGCCTTGTGACAGCTTAACCGATTGACTAATTGACTAAATGAGACCATGTGATCAGTTCGTGACCAGCGAGAGCTCCCAGCTAAGCACCAGTCCCCGTCTGGTGATGCTCCTGGATCGGTAATGATGCAGAGTCATTCCGGGCGGGGTGAAATGTTCAAGCCAGCAACAGTCACTGCCGACTTCACAGTGGATCTGTGCCGGCAAGCAGAGGGCTACCTATCGGTGGTAACTTGTCCATTCGTGCCGAACCATTGTCCGAGCAGGGTAGTTCTCTGCGGAAGGGTTTGTGTCGTACCGGATCACCGGGGTGCGGGCTGGTTGTCGGCGCAGGCTGGCATTTGGTTGATCATCCACCCGAAGCAGATTGCAGCTTGATGTTCCTCTAGCGCTGATGAGCCATGGCAATAATCAAACGCTGCCTGTCTATTGACTCCAGCGCTTCGATAGCTCCTCCCATACGGGACTGGCAAGTCTGCCACTGACTCCGGCCGCTGTCCTTAATGCGGGGAACCGTCGTTTGTCTTGACCCCGAAGACGACTTTTACGTAAACCAAACGCCCTCGATGACAAAACAACACCAAACCTAGAACTATGGCACACACTCGCTGCGAAAAAACTCCAAATGCTCATGGTGGGAAGTCCTATCACAGAGAATTTCAACGCTTCGTCGCGCTCCGCGCCATCCAGCGCCCGACATCTGGGCTCGATAGACCCGGCCGATAGGCCGCGGAAGCACCATCCCCTTCTGCCGGGGCAGTTCCGCCGTCATCATCGTCCGAGTCAGAATTGTATCCCCATTCATGCTTGTAGATCTCCCTCTCCGCGAGAGTGAAGCCGTCCATCTCCCTCATCCAGGCGAAGAGATTACCCGCGACCCTGTCAGAGAGGTCCATTTCTCGATCCATATGCGTGTAGTCGACCGTGTTGTAGAAGGGCAACATGTGTTCAGGGGCAACGAGTACCTGTTGATAACGTGCACCCTGAATCTTTTAAACGGTACGGACGTCGTGGTCTTGCTGGCAATGGCGAGGTCCTGCGTCTCTTTCCTCACTCCCGCGCACGGCCACGTAATCGTCACCGCGCGAAGCACATGGCTCTTCCCTGCACACTGCCGCGCATGCATCTGCACGCCGAGATCGGTGTCTTGGTTCCGCGTCTTACCAAGAGGCGGGTACGGATATATCGGAGGAACTCACGGGGTGGCTCCCGGGCAAGAAACATGAGCTGGCACTCATCCGCACGGGAGATCCATTTCGCGCCTTCTGGCAGAGGTGTGACAGGCTCCTGGATGAAGGTGTGGCAGACTCCTGTCCAGGCCGCGGCGTGGAGGTCGATCCTGTTGAGACCCAACAGTCCACTTGGCCGCCCGAGGAGTTCCTTATGAGCACCCGTTATGAACGCGCCGAGCCAGAGGAACGCGATGCGGGGGCTGCGCTCGCAGAGAATCGCTGTCAGCATGGTCAAATCTTGAACGGAGTGGAGTACCGCCCACGTCCCCTTTAGCCAGGCTCCGCAGGCATTGGCGGGGATTTCCGACTCGTAGAAGGTGCTGCCCAGTACGGCCTTGATGCCGTGGGTATTTGTGCTCAGTGCGAGGACCCTGTCGATCTGCTCTGTGCTCCATTTCATGGCAGCCATGGCTGGCTGTGGTGATGTCGTCTGGTGTTGTTGTAGGGCGTCGAGTCTGGGCGAGTCGTCATCACCATCAACAACCGGATCCCGAGGCGTATAGAGTGGTATTCTCCGGTTATCGACTTTTGCGACGGGAATCATAACTGCCGCAGCCAGTGCAGCCCTGCCTTCGCGATGGGCATCGTGGTGTCGACAGTAGTCCTCGATATATCCCAATGCTGTCTGGAAAGAGGCCGCTGCTCGCGGTTGACCGGGACACTGTGATTCTTCGATTTGGCCCCCAGAAACGGCGAACTCCACGCTGGAGCAGTCAATGCTTACGCCCCACGGCGTCATCAGGCACCGTCGGGGGTGTGGGATCACGGCCCTCCAGCCTTGCCCACCGGCGAGAACTGCGGCCCACCAGCGTACGGCATGACTGGAAGCTTCCTGTCCCAGGTTGACTATCATCGTGTTCGCGGCCTTGGGCCTCTGCTCGTCGCTGTTGCGCTCTTCAGCTGGAGCGGCAAGTGAAGGCGTGAAGGGTGCCTGGCTGCTGGTCTATTCGATCGGGGACGCCCGAGCAACAATCTCGGCCCATCGCGCGGACAACACGTACGCCCATGCGAGAGCCAGCACGGTGATATGCCCACCACGCTGGTCCGGCCACTCGGACAAGAACGCCTGTGGCTCATCTTTTCGTGAGGCGGGTGGTGGTTGGCCGAGCATCCCCTGCCACAAGCTGCAGGACCTGGTCGAAGACTGGAGGGTCGCGGCATCCCCCGGCCACAGTCCACGTTGATCTCGCTGTGAAAAGACCTGAGTCGTCTGGCTCGAGACCAACGGGCATTCTGGGGTGTTGGGGGAAAGGGTCGCTTATGAGGTTCTTGTTGACGAGATGTGCACGGGTCCAAGTGGCAGGGTTTGTGCAGACCTTGGCCTGGATTCAGTCCCAAGACAGATAGCCATTTGCATAGAATTCCTTGGATGTGGCTTGAGAGCGCTTCAGGATGTCGCCCATTCCTCGCTCTGTGCGCCATGGAAGTGCTTGATCTTTGGTGTCAATATTCAAAGCTCTCTAAAGTTACAGGTTCTTAATCTTCACATCAAAATATCACTTGTCCAAAGACTTGGTTCCGTCTACACATCGCGTGCATACTTCCTCCTATCAAAGTGAATGGCTCTAGCAAAGGCACTTATTCAGCTCGTCTCCTACCACCAGATCGCAATCATCCGCAACTTCGTTGTACTACGGCACGGCCATTCCCACTTTCCCTTCATGAAACCCCTTGCCAAGAATCCTCGAAAGCGCCAACCGGCACTACAGCTCAAGAGGGCCTACCCGACTGATCTTGAACCCGCCATTGACCATCTTCTGGAAGAAGCCATTCGGGTCATACTTGGCCGCAACAGACTTCATATGCAGCACGCTCTCCTGCCCATAACTGCCCAGCGCGTCCTGTCTCGCATCCGCGTAGGGCAAGTACCTCAGATCGACCCCTGCCTCGATGGAAGCAGCATAATCCTCGATCCGCGCGTTCATCGCGGCATTCAGCTGATACGCCCTGGCAATCTTGATCGCCAGTGTATCCGCGTTGTCGTCGCCTTGGCCGGTGCCGGTGGGCAACACGCCGCAGACAAAGACAATCTTGTTCCCGGGCTGGCGGCCGATGTTGAGCATGTTGCCGCCCTTCTCGGCGCCAATGTCGGCGACGTATGCGGGCAAGGGCTGCAGGTCGAGGATGGTGCGGAAATTGGTAGCCCCCAGGAGGGCGGTCAGGTCGGACACAAGCTGTTTATATTGTTCCATGCAGAAGCGCAGGATACGCACGTCATTGAGAAGGGTGAGAGAGCCGGCGCCCGCAGAGCTGGTGTGATGATGACCCATCGTCAGCTCTTGTCTTTGGCTTATTGTGTGTAAGTTTGGGTAGGGCCAGACGTTGACTCACTATGGAGGGCCAGCAATTTGGGAAGTATTGGCAAACTCAGGCAGGCTGAGCGACTGAGGAGTGGTAGACGCACCGGCTACGGGAGGGATGGCGTTGAAGGCGTCATACGCGTCCGAGTCGGCCTTGTTCATGGTGTTGACTTGCCTGATGATGACGGTGCTGTCCTGCGTTGCGGGATCGTACTGGACGATGATGATCAGGGCGTTGTCGCTGTGAGAGCGGTCAAGGTTGGTAAAGTTGACAACTGCGTCCACGACTGCGTCAATGTCGGTGAAGTTGACGACGCGATTCACGACAGAAATGTTGCTGATATCGTAAGCGGCCAAATCGAACCGCGTGACAATGCCAAAATTGCTGCTGCCGCCCTTCAAGGCCTTCCACAGGTCTGCGTTGCAGTCCTTGTTCGCATCAACAATTTCCCCATTGGCAAGGACGACCTCGAAGTTGATGGCATTGTCGCACGCGAATCCCTCGCGCTGTGTGTACCACGAGATGCCACCTCCCAGGACCAGGCCGCCGACGCCGACGATACCCTCGCGTCCGCCTGTGACGGACACGCCATGCTCACTGAGTGTGTCGTAGACCGAGAGCCAGCGCCCACCGGTGCCCACGCTGGCGGTGCCCTTGGCCGCATCATACACTGTCTCGTTGAGACGCGACAGGTCGATAGTGACGCCCTGGTCGAGATTGTTCTGCAGATCGCCGCCGTGGCCGCCGCTGCGGATGGCGACGTGCCAGTCTCCGGCCCCGGATCCGGCATCGCGCAATGTGGTGACTATGCCAGATACTTCTTCAGCGCTGGTGGGCACCACGTAGCACCACGATTGCTTCCGGGTCGAGGGGGACTAGCTTCCATTGACAAGAGCCGGGTAGAGAGGCGAGTCTGGGAGGTGAACTATTGGGGCTAGATCGGTGACCAAGAGGGCGTCACACTATGGAGTTTGTCAGATACGATATCCAGGAGGCATATCGTGTGCTACGCCTGGCACAAATTTCAAGTGCAGGGAGGGGGATCATACAGGTGGAAGTCCCGAGTTGGCATGGGCAGCGCATGGAACAAGCATGTACAGCAGCAAAGCCGCGGTGCTGCTCATCGTCTTTGATGCTTGAGTAGGTTTCATGTTGGAGATATGATTGTAGTAGGGCGTGATGGAGTTGTTGTTGCTGCGCAGCTGATATCCACCATTTTGGACAGACGGATGCTCACCTACTTATAGGCGAATGCCTTCTACAGAGTCGTCTCGTTATTACTCATGGCCTGTGACGTCGCCGACAGCATAGTAGCGAATACAGTGAATCCGAAATAGAGACATGCACAGCATCGAGGCATGGGGCACAAAGACGTACCCATTCGTTCCCACTGGACGCAACGAACCGTGATCTGCACGCCGCCATGGCTAACCGTACCTTCCTGACATGATGCGCTATGCACTCATATCCTTGCGGCATGGAAAGGGCGTTGACGATTCGTGTTGTCGGGAAATTTTGGTCGTCGGTTCACGGGCGGCTGAGCCGAGCTTCGGGAAGATGCGTTCATGATTGGTCGAGAAAGCGAAGCGCCCCCTTTGAAATAAGCTCTTGTGGAGCCCGGGGATAATAACGAGCTGCCATGAATAGATTACTTTTGTTCAGCCACATGTTCAATGATCCGGTCTGAGCACAACTTGATTCACAATCTGAATATTCTTGATATCACCACGTCGGCATGAAGAGCAAGTCTAACCCGGACACGGAATTGACAGGCACCGTGGCATTGATTACGAAGTCACTTCGACTACGTCCATCCAAAACTTGACATCACACTGGTGGCGAGAAGATTCTACATGGAACGAGCTTGCCATGTTGTATGAATCAGTAGATTGCCCTTACATAGCCAAGACTACTCACGTCATTCTTGATCTCCAGAGGTTGTGATGGGCAGGACCGCAATATGCAAGCCAAGACACGGCTTGCATGTCGCTTATCGCTGGTTTGGCGCAGACTTCCCAGATCTGGCAGCAGCTGGCGGGGCTTTGCTCAACTTTGCCACATCTCGCCCCTGAGAGTGATCCCCGACAGCCAATCGCATTGCAGTCCGACAGGTGCCAACGACGCCATGATTGCCCCCTGGGAAGACACAGGGCTGCAGCAGGCAACTTGCCTGTTACCGTCACCCAGGACTGATCTCGTCACGCAACCCGAACTGCACTACATCTGTGCCAAGCTCTCGGCTGGCGATACGCATGCTGAGCAGAGTATAGACGCACTCCCTGCGCGCAGACGGGGCGCTGTCTCTCAACGTATCATGCCACCGATATTGCCTCGAGGAGGCCGTCAGCGGCACTCCAAGTCGCGCAGTGGCTGTAGAAGTTGCAAGGATCGCAAGGTCAAGGTACGCCCGCCGCCCGCGTGTCTAAAGCTCGCACAAGCTGACAGTGTGCCACTGACAGTGTGGCGAGGAGCGGCCGTCGTGCCAGAACTGTCAACGGCGTGGCATCTCGTGCAGCTTCACCAGCACGGCAGCCCGCCTGCCGCTGGCAAGAGCACTCCCCATCCTTGCGGCCGATGCCGCCGGCAACAGCAGCAACAGCACGGGTAGCTTTGCTGTGCTCGATCTCGAGCTCCTTCATCACTACACCGTTTCCACCGCCGCCACCCTCTCGTCCGAGCCCATTGTCCGCAGCTGGTTCCAGGTCGAGGTCCCGCAACTGGCATTCACGCACCCATTTGTGCTCTCCTCGGTCCTGGCCCTCGCAGCCTCTCACCTCGCGCACTTCCGCCCAGAAGCCCGTCGCCGCTACGCCACGGAGGCCGCCGCACGCCACACGGTGGCCACTTCCCTGGCCAGCCCCTTGCTCTCCAAAATCACGGCTTCCAACGCCGTGCCGCTGTACTGCTTCAGTATCCTGACGTTGTTCATCTCCTTTGCCAGCCGCCGTGAGGACGAGGAGCTGTTTTCACGCAACGACAGCGTCGTCCCGAGCTGGCTCAATCTCTTTCGCGGCGTGCGAACTGTCCTCGAGTCCAACAACCGCCACATCCTCACATCAAAGATTGCGTTCCTCTTCGGGACCAGCACCACCGTCAACAAGAAGTGGGACTCACATCAATCAGAGCCCGAAGCGCTCGAGGACTTTCGAACATACATAGTAGCATCGGCAACCACGACCAACGCCACCCTGGCCACCACGGCAGCTCATCGCAGCATTGAAACACTCACCGAAGAGCAATCAAACTACATCCTTGAGGCCCTCGTAGACCTCAAGCGGGCCTATTACGCCTTCTACGGCTCCACATACTCCTCCACCGCCACGGCCACCTCCAACAACAACGCTGCCAGTAATAACCCCGATGGCAGTTCTACCGACGAGGCCAAGACCCGCAGCATCTTCACGTGGATGTACAAGCTCTCGGACGGCTATGTCAGCATGCTGCGCGCGCGGCAGCCGGACGCGCTGTGCTTGCTCGCCTTCTTCGGTGTGCTGCTGCATCGCCTCGAACACAAGTGGTGGCTTCGGGGCTGGGGCGTGCACCTCGTCTCGCGAATCCATGCGGCCGTCAACGATGCGCATCGCTTCTGGCTCAGGTGGCCGATTTTGGAGATCGGTTGGATTCCGCCGGTCGCCACGGAACCATGAGACAAGAATAACAGCCGAGGGATGTGCAGGCAGATCGTCGTGGTCGTCGAAGGGGGGCCGAACCCAGATTCTGGTGTTAATTAGTCTAGACCGCGCTCTCGAAAAAAATCAATCAGAAGGTGCGGCGCGGGACTAGGATGGCAGACTTCCTATGCTTGATGAGAGCCCGAATCCACCGGGAGTCCATGACCACGGCAAGACAAGACGTAGCGCACAGTCCGCACTCGCAGTCTCGGCAGTCCGGATTATGACTGGCCAACTTCTGGGATGTCCACCGATACGAACTAGACCATCAGGCGCCGTCGTTCACCTCGAGTCAAGCCAAGAAACTCTCTGGAGCTTCCGGTCCATGACAATCGCATCGCCTTGTCGCCCGGACCTCCTCTGTGGTGGCATTCTGGGACGTGATCGACTCGACCGACTTGCGTGGCCGAAACGAAACACCCCCGCACGCGCCCGCGCTTATCGCAAAGCACGGGCAATCTGCAATGCTTGAGATCTCCAGACGAGCAGTCACAGGGCTGGTCATGGCGGCTCGTCGGGCGTTGTGTCTCCGAGCTGTGGACATCGGGCCGGTCGCAGGAGGCGGCAAGGTGCCCTGCTTTCGCAAACGTAGGGGTGGCGAGGCTCCCGTACGTGCCCATGTTCGAAACACTCTCCCCCGCGCGACGTCCACTTAGCACGATGCTTGAGTGTCTAATGCTGTGCCTGAGCAGAGCAGCCCGCGTCAGCGCGTTGCTCACAGCGTAGCACATGACATTTATGCGACCGCGTGTGTATGAAGAGACCCGGAGAGGCGGGTTTTGAAGATCAGGCACGGCGGGAATACCAAAGGTGCGGATGTGACGAGTTTCTCTTGAGCATAGATCCCGTCGATCTGGTATGGTAGGGACGGGCCGAGCCGTTCCAGGAAGTTGCTGGAAGGATATGATCTCATAAGTCATCGAATGCTCCCGCTCGAGATTATGGATTTATCGTTGAGACCAACTATCCATCCTGAGGACGCCACGCGGACTCAGAGGCCCCCGGAAGCCTCCTTGATGGAGACCGTCTGCAGAAGGATTCGTGCATAGTAGTTCGACTAACCAATAATATCACATCTGCCTGCTAGTAGGCGGGGGTGAGGTCGCCGCCTAGTGTGCGGCAAGAGAAGTGGTGGCATGCACCAACCGGATTCGGCGTCACTAGCAGCAAGTTCACTCGTTTTCTTGTATGTTTGATCGCACTCAATGTTGAGTAACGGTCTTGTGTGCACAAGTCTCTTCATGATATAAGCCACGTCCTCCATCCAAGGCCCGAGCTCGTCGTGATAGTACAAATTAGAGTCTAGGGTATATTTACAATGCAATGCCCGCTCGCCTGCTCAAACCTCCACCCCTCACGTTGGTAATGGTCTAATTAACCCAGTATTAATATCACAGCCCCGTTGTGCCAAAGGGACTCCTCGAGTGCCGCAGCATGTTCTGAAACTGGACAAAACCACAAAGCTCGGCCTCTTGCTCTCATCATCTCCGACCTCCCGCGCCGCCGCTGAAAACACACCATTATCCTGGCCTTCATCTCACTTCTCCGGGTACAGTCCCGCCCACCGCCGCACGACCGCGTCCCTCTGCGCGGATGATGCGTCGCGGAACTCGGCGCTCCCCTGCTTCAGCCGGATCATGATGATCTCGGCCTTGAGCTCCGACATGTGCCGCTTGTGCAGCTCCTTCTCGATGCCCTTGAGCGTGTACCCTGGCAGGCCGTAGATTGCTACCACCCCACGTATAAGTCAGGATGCTGTCGCCACAGTAATGCCACGGTAACGAATTGGAGACGTGAACGCCGTAGGCATTAATAGCGATGGTAGGGGAAAAAGAGGCAGAGGACCGCGGGAGAGACCGAAAAGTATAAACTCACCAGAAAAAATATCGTTAGGGAACCCGACGAGACCCTGAAGCAAGCCTCTGCCAAAGCCCTTCATCCTGCCCGCCCCTTTGCCCCCCTTCTTGGCTCCTTTGTACGGCTTGACGACCAGCCCAGTCACCGCGGAATACACGCCCACGCCAAACTCCTTGCCAGAGGTCTCCAGCCCGCTCCTCAGGCCCGTCACCTCGTCCCGCCGCCGCGCTTCGACGTCAGCCCACACGTACGACGGGAAGTTCCGACAACCATTGGCGACGTTGTAGAAGAAGTTGCCCGGAAACTTGAGCGTGGCCTTGCCCACGTTGACCGCGTACCGCCCCGTCGCGCGGGCGGTGAGCTCCAGAGTGCTGTGGACGGGCTTGTGGGTGACCGGGTCCCGGCGGACTTCGTAACCCCTGCCGTCGCACCGGGCGATGAATGTCGCCGCGCGGCCGGATTTGCTGGCCACCTTCTTCGCAAATTTCTCCATGTGCCGAGGCGCCACGGCTCCTGGAGCAAAGATCGGGGGCTTTTCATCATCCTCGAGAATGGCCTTCTCCAGATCCAGAGGCGTCTTCTTGCCGCACGTCCTCACGGCCCGCATCCTGTCCACATACCGCCCTGTAGCAATCCCTATGCTTCCAAACAGGAGCGCGAACGCCGCCAGCCCGCCCAGGATCGGCGACTCTGCGCCCTCGTCGACGTACCAGCGTGTATGCCGTAACATCCTGATGCTGTCGACACCAAACACCTCGTGGTCGATGAGGCACAGCACTGCAAAAGTGCTCAGGTGGGCGCCAGTCTTCTTGTGCGTCCAGACGGCGAGTCGGTCCGGGCAAATGTCGCATCGCATCTCGTCGAGCTGTAGCCGTGAGTGGATGTCGCTGGCAGCGCCCTGAGCGCCATCCTCGACAGCAACGTGTGCTGCCACTTGCCGCGCAGCCTCCTGGACGTCGGGTCTCAGCGCAAACTCGATCTTCTCGGCAAGGAGATCGGCTGTCAGGCTCTTAAACGGTGTCGGCGCTGGCCCAGCACCCGCTTGCGCGATCATCTGGCCCCAAAAAGGCTGGTCGCCGAAAAAAGGCACAACCACCGTAGGGCGGCCTGCCGCGATGCCAGCTGCCGTTGTCCCTGCGCCGCCATGGTGGATTACGCATGACACGCGCTGGAACAGCCAGTCGTGGGGACAATCGCCGACCATGTATATGCTGTCGGGGATATCATCATCGCCACCGATGTTACCCCAGCCTCGTGACACGATAGCTCGGACGCCGGCTTTCGTGACAGCCTCAAATATCATTCCTGTCAGTGCTTTTGGGTCGTCGACCACGATGGAGCCGAAGCCGATGTATATGGGCGGCGGACCGGCTGCGAGGAACTCGGCAAGATCTGGCGGCGGTGTGTAGGAACTGGGTGATTTCATGAACGAGAACCCCACGATGTTGATGTTCATGCCCCAATCCTGGGGCTTGGGGATTAGCGACTGAGACCATAGGTATGTGTAAGGCACGCGAAGCCTGGCGAGTAGCTGGTTGCCCCATAGAGGACTTATGGGGTCGAGCTTTAATGTTTGGGTGCGGAAGACATTGATGACGTCACCGAGGCTTGTAAAAGTTAGTCGAGATGTGCCATGTGGCTTTGTCAAGATGATCACTTACCCCTGCCAAGTCAACAGCTCCATCATGATGAAGGACAAGAAGTTGGCCACCCCGGTCTCTGCCTGGCCATATTGCATTGAGGCCAATGGGTGGTGGAAAGACCTCGTTGGGGACCAGGGCATTGTGAAGACCATGTGCAACGGGATGCCCAGCTTCTCGGCACAGTGGATATGGCCCATGGACGGAGGGTTCGCGATGATGGCGTCGGCCAGGAACAAATCGTCCGAGGCAGTGACATCCGACGCTGTCAGCCTCCGCATGCTAGGGAGCTCGTGTGGCACATGCGAGGGCTTCCTGGGCTCGATGCAGCTGCGCCAGGTGCCCTCGAGGATGTCTGCCATCTCTTTCCTCCTCTTGCCGACGTCACCGGCCCTAAAGCTGTCCATGCTGGGCATGAGGCCGGGGTTCTTGACCATGTAGGCCATGAGGGCTTCTGGGTCGCCGCCGATGCTGAAGAACTCGATGCCTTTGGACTCGACAAAGTCCTTGAAGACTGGGTGAGTGCAGATGCGGACGCGGTGGTTGTAGGGCGGGCGGGAGAGCAGCTGGGCAATGGGGATGAAGGGCTGCACGTCGCCGCGGGAGCCGACAATGTGGATGGCGATGTTGAGGCGCGGATTGGCGGCCGAGGGCTTCTCGTCTTCGTTGCTGTCATTGTTGTCGTCGTTGTCATTGTCGTTGTCGCCGTCGAGGGCAGTGGCGACGCTGGGCCGGCGCGGGGCGGACGACCTGCGTTCGACATTGAAGCTCGGAGGCGCGAGGAAGTCGCCGAGGCGGGCGGCGAGCTCCTGGGGCGTGCGGTGGAAGTGGAGGTTTGCGCGGCCGTCGTCGCCGACTGCGGTGAGGGTGCGGGTGAGGCCGGAGCCGAAGGTGATGCGGCCGGGCGTCTCTGAGCGGACGCGTTGGAGCGACATGCTGGGCGACTGACGCGTGCGTGCCCGTGGGCAGCGGCTGGTGTTGTGGAAGGCAATCTCAAACTTTGTAGGACGAGCTTGCGGTTCAAGGTGCTGGCGTGAGGGTGTCGAGAGTGAAAGTGGCGTGGGGGTCAGATCAGGGTGGTGGTGATGGCGAGCTTGGGCCAGCGCAGAGGCAGCAATTGAGGCAGCACGAGAGATGGACGTCGTCGCAGGAGGCGGAAGAGGGGGGAGGAGAGAAAAAGATCGTCATCTTGTCTGAAGCCTACTTGGGCAGGCACGCCGGCTGACTCGAGAAGTGCGGGATTCGGCGAAGCAGCTGCGGGCGAGGACCTGAGCAAACGGAGGAGAAGAGCCGCGGGAGTGGGCCTGGATAGAGTTCGGCAGCACCGGGAGGAGCAGCCACTAGGATTGATGCAGGGCAGAGCTACAACAGAGGAACAGGCCCCAAAGCAGAAAAGACCGACGCCAGCCTGCTGGCTGCTTCTTACGAGCGTAAGAACCGTACCGCTAGGAAGGCACCTGCCTCGGCTCCAGAAGCTTGTGATAGGCGGGCCCACAGCGCATGCCTGCACTTACCTAAGGCACCTGCAGGTACGTACCTCTTCTACACCACACTAGATCACAACCTTGGAAGCCACCGCGGATCCAACGGCAGCCACTCAATCACATGGTGAGGAAGTACAATCCCTTTTGTCAACCACGTGGTGCAGTGCGGCGGGAGTCTGGTCTGGACCACTGGACATCTTGTCCCTACCATCACGGCACTACGTTCTACCTGTGCCCAGCTCCTCCTCCAGCCACTGCTGGTGCTCCCTCGCCAGCTGCACCGGGTCATTCAGCTCAAACTTGTAGTCAAACGGCGTGTCGTCCGTCAGCTTCCCCCCTTGCTGGTCGCCGACCCCGTGCGAGCTCTTGCCCCCGACGTGCTGGATCAGCACCGGCGTCACCGCGAACCGCAGCGCCCGGTTGTTGCCCTTGTGCTCCTCCCCGGCGTCGTCCACTTGCGCGTTCGCCCAGTCCTCCATGAACGTGTCCACCGCCACCGCGTGGCCCCCGTCCTCGGCAAACGCAGACGCGTTGTACATGGGCAGCAGGTGCCTCGTCACCTGCTCCTGTGGGAACACCAGGCCCTGCGCGCAGCAGCCGTACTTGTGCATCAGCTCCACCCCGGGCCGGCGCGGCAGCATGCAGTCCCGGCCCGCCAGGAAGTACAGGCCCATGCTCATGGGAGTGCAGACGCCGCACACGAGCAGCACCGTCGCGGGGGTGACCAGCTTGCGCACCGCGGCCGACGAGACGGGCGACCGCGGGTGCGACAGCAGGCCCAGGATGACCAGCTCGGCCAGCACGACCGACGCGCAGGTCACAAGGTATGTCAGCCACTCCTCCGAGTTCCAGCCCAGGAGGCGCCCGTCATAGAATATGCGTAGGTAGAAGACTAGATAAAAAAAGGATGCAGCAAGTCAGTTTGATGGCTTGCTTGGTTTGGTGGTCGAAGAAGAAGACAAAAAGGGAAAAGGGGCTCAAGCAAAACTCACAGCTGTCCTGGCCTAGCTCACCGGCCTTGCGCTTGGCCGAGCCGAGGGCCGCCAGCAGGCGGTGAAACCAGCCGTCCAAGGCAATGACGTCGTCCTCGATGGTCATGGTGTAGGCAGGGCTGACCTGGGCGCACGCGTCGAGCAGCACGCTGTAGTCGATCTTCTGCTTGCGGGCGTGCGCCGGGTAGCTCGAGTCGTTCTCGAGCTCGGCCAGCATCTTGAGCAGCGCCGGGTCGCCCGCCGGGTACTGGGGCAGGCTGTCAGCCATGTTCTGGAGCCAAGGCTGGCCATAGTCCTCGTGGACGGACTGGTTGGTGTGGGCGAGGAAGGCAACGACGTAGATGCGGCGGCGCTCCGAGTCGTCGAGGCCTTCTAGGATGGAGCCGAGGGTGTCTTTGAGGTAGGAGAAGCCATGGCGGCTGACGGAGCCGATGGCGACGCAGAGGTCCGGGTGGGCGGTCGAGTCCTCGTCGTGGAGGGGCCCGTACTTGACGGGGGCGTTGAGGGCGGCATTGTCTGCAAACTTGCGGGCCTGGCCCTTGCGGTAGGCCGAGTAGGAGAGGACGCGGGCCTCTTCGGGGCGGAAGAAGTACGAGGTGGGATCGCGGAAGCAGGCCGCGCGCAGGTAGAGGGCGGCGGCGGTCCAGAGGGCGAGGAAGGCGAGGAAGAGGGTGACGGGCCCGCGCGTGCGAGCGCCGCCAACGAGCATCCTTATCCGGGGCTGCCGGCCGGGACGTTGGCGACGGCTGTGGCGGGAGCTCACGTGCGTCGGAGGGCTAGGGGCCGAGGTCGTGGAGTGGCAGCGGGCGGCGCGTCGTGGCGCATCGTCGTAGTGGTGTTGAGCAAAGATGGATGCCGCCGCGATGGAAAAGGAACTGCGAGAGGGAATGACGTCTGGGCGTGGTGTCCACTGTGATCCACTGTGGTGATCCAGGGGCACTCGCCCAGGCCGCCCCACTTCAGCACTTGACGACCCACGAATAGCAACCGTGGCGAATCATCCAGAGTTGAGTCGTCGCCAACAACAACATTAATAAACACTCAAGACTCAACAGGCTGTGAGCAGGCGGCAAGACACACAGCAAGCCTCAGCATACACGGCGTGCACGGGAACAGTGACCCTCCACAAATCTGCAAGTGTGTTTTCACAGTCCGGCACACCTCTCGCCAAGCCCTTGTGCATTGCAACACCATCATCTGCGACGACGTACGTTCTAGCCCTGGTAGACTTGGGCCCATCTCGAGCAATCGAATGTGATGTAGCCACCATCTGGATCCCAGACGGCGGGCAATCATGTGGGATCTCTCCGATAACAATTCTGCCTATCTCTGGTATGCACTGCTGCCAGCGATGCTCATTGGCCTGCCCGGCGGCGGTTGTGCCACCTCGGTGTCCAGATCTGACAGTGCTGCCCGGCGGCGTTCTCATGGTCTGCAGCACGCCCAGCAACACCGTCAACAAATGCACTTTTCTCTCAGACACCGGCGGTGCCAAGATAGTAGACCATTGGTCGCCCGCAGGCTTGTGCAAAGGAAACCCCTCAGATTCAGGCTGTAGTTTCTTGGTCATCCGGGCATTGCTGTCGACAAGCAGGCCAAGGCTGCCCAGTCTATATCAATGCCCACTCTCGCAAGACAGTGTTTCCATTTACACCTCCTAGCTGACCCTCCCTTGAAGTCGTTTCCAACTTGACTAGTGTCCCGCGACTACCACGCTCTTGCTCTCTCTCGCCCTCCGCCACTCGCACCCCTTGCAGGCACCGGACTATCACTCCCATCGACAAGAATCTTGCTCAACAACCCACTGAAACATCAACCGAGCAATATCAGATTGGCCTCAGCTCATATCGCTCACCCACAAAACACCAAACATGTCCGGCTACGCCATCGCCATCAGATACAGCAGCAGCAGCAGCAGCAACGGCACCAACGACGGCGCCTGCGTCGTGGGCGGCGCGCTCCCCAGCTCTTCAGACAACCTGAACTCACCGTGGCCGACCAAGACGCACATCTCCATCGCCGGGAACGACACGAGCTTTCCGGCCTTCAAGGACTGCTGCCTCGGGTACCCGGTCCAGTTCATCCCGCCGTGCACCCTGTGGTGCCAGGTCGCCGACAGCCATAACTACTCCGACACGGCCGCGTGCTGGGACAAGTACGATTTCCACCCGGCCTCGGTCCGCGGCGGGCCGGGAGTGCCCGGGACGCAGACGGGCTCGGTCGACGTCAAGAGGACCGCGGGGATCGCCGTCGGCGTGGCATGCTCGCTCACCTTGCTCCTTGTGCTGGCTGTGTGGCTTTGGTGCCCCCGGAGAGGCCAGAAGCCCGCTGTTGTGCTGCCGGCCACGCAGCAGCTGGGAAGTGGCGGGCTCAAGGATGGGGCCAAGAGCGCCAACGATGGCGGCGCGGAGATGGGCTATGACGAGGACAAGCTCCGCTATAGCAGCGATAACTCGAGCCGGGAATCGTTTGCAAGCAAAGTCTAACTTGTGCTGCGGGCTAGGTTCGTTCAAGACAATAATTGGACAGTGTCTTGGTTAGTTTTCCTTGGCGGGGAGTTGTTCAGCAGGATGGGGCTAGGGAGCTACTGCTTTCGAGATGTCTCCTTTTCTTAGTACTTACATGATCGTAGTCAAGTCTTTCCGCAGCGCGTATGGATACGAGAATCTATCCCCAGTGAAGCATATTCCCTCATATCAGCGAGCGTATCCATGTTGTATTAGAGAAGCTACCAACCCGCTTTCATCAAGGGGACAGGGGAAAAGTCACAATCTCGATCCAAACACGGCGGCTAAGCAACAGGGCTTGATTGGGTCGTGGAATTAACCCTGGAAATATGCCGTGGTCACTACATGTGACGGTGATAAGCCAGTCGGTACGAAGCCGGGACCGTGCGGATTTCGCCGCCCAGGTGAGAAAAGCTTCGCCCATACGCTCGTATGGTCCATGTCCGGGGGGGGACGTCATATCGTCTCTTGCTGATTGTTCACGAGCTCTGGTCCCGATGGTTGCAAGTTCCGCCCAACCCCCTTGCCCTGCTCCGTGGGGCAATGTTGACGACGTGCTACAGACACATTCCCCAGGCGGACCAGCTCGAACTTGATACGCCTCTATGTTAGAACTCATGTAGTGGTTATCGATTATCCTTCATTCATCATACTCGAAACACATTCGCCAAGTTATTATGTGAACTCAGGCAAATCAAGGGCAAATGATGTTCGGTGTTATCCTGAGGGAAGATTGTAACGTCCACCAGGCAATTGTCTCGACATATCAGATTCTCAAGCTGCGAAGGATGCCCCCATCAGACCGAAAAAAAACCCATTCTCAAAATACAAAGCACCCAGTCGCAAACGAGTTGCTTCCTGCTAAGTCACGTCCCTACCCCGGGCAAAACCCGCTTCCTTGATTTTCCTCAGGATCGCGCAGTTCGCAGGTGGCAAACCGCCTGTGGTGTTTCTCCACACTTCCCTCCTGACACGTCAGAGGAGTTGCTCAAGCTTTCAGCAGTTCGACTAGCATACACAGTTTCGCAGCCCTTTAAACTTTTAATGGTAGTAAAGTCACAGACCGGAGGTAACAAGGACTTTTGCGCATCACACTTTCAGCCTCCTTGAGAGCTCTGCCACATAAGTGGATACCTCTATAATCGCAAGCTAATCTGAACCGTACCAAATGCCTATCTCGCCCGGCAACCTGAGCTTCGACTGAGCTGGGCCCACCTCACGACTGAGTCCACCTGAGCAAGACTGAGCTTGATACATGGCTGGCTCGTGCGTGGCTGATTAAGCACCGGTTTCGGAGCTTGCCCCTGCACACCTTTGCACAAACTGAATTATGCTCTAAGAGAAAATTTGTGAATAATTATTTACCCGAGCTAGATTTCTATGTGCAAGTTATACGCGCATCGTCTCTATGTACACAAAATAGGTTGTGTACCCGAGTTTTATGGGAAATACAGGCCACGAAGCCATGCTTCAGAAGTCTTTCTACCCGTTACTACATGCACTACACTAATAGATTGTAATTTGTTACCATATTATGGTGAGCACACTGCAGCACAGATCCTACAGCTGGGTCGTTGTCTCATTGCCCCTATGCCCTGTGCCTGTACTTCGTGATCTACCGTGGCTACGTGTTATGACCAAGACAGATCTTATCCTCAGGCTTCACCTCATTCATGACCTGACTAGCACAGACTGTGCCGTTTGGTAAGATAACATACTTAGCAAACCCAGGTAAACCCGCAATGGAGAGGCTAGACATCGGTTTCAGTGCGCTGCCTCGTTCCAAGTCGGTCAGCCAAAAGTGGATTGTGGTGATCGCTTCGTACTAAACGACACATCGCGCAATGCAATAGCAATGCAATAGAGGACTTACTAGCTGGCTACTCCATTAATGGATGCGCAATGGCAGCACCCATCTCGCCCATGGGTATGTGGAAGTGGGAGAGACGAATGAGTGTGATTGGCGGGGTGCAGCAGGGGCAGATGCTCCATACCATTCGCGATTGGAGCCGACTGAGCAAACCAACATTTCCAGCCCACATTTAAAGCCATTAATGAAGACAGGGCCTTCAAACAATGACTAGCCAGGAAGCATGCGTAGTTCGTCAAAGAATGCGCTAAATCATTGGCTAGAAGTAATTGTTGTGAGCAGTCCGTCGTTTGCCAAGCATTCAGATCACCCTGCTTATCTCATAGCTGCTTCGCGCGACAAAACTGTGTACACGGTCTAGACTGACGCCAATTTTAGCAACCAGAATCGTCTGCCATAAATCAATGAAGCAGCGATTGCCATGCTAGAAGGCTATTACATACAGTAACCACATATCAGGCGATACTATGATTGTGTGACGACCAGCCAACGGGAGAGGGACAGTCTGGGCAGCGCAGACAAGGCCGCATGATGGGGCCATGGACAAGGGCCGGCATAGCAGGGCAGAATGCTGTGTCGACACCAATTAAAATGGGGGGGGGGGGGCGATAAGGAAGTATCACTGGCTCAGAGTGTAATCCAGTGAAACTTGCCAGCGGATCACGACGATCCAAGGACGCGCTCACGGTGAGCCATCCGCGGTGGGCTCACGGAGCTGAAGGATGAAGGAGTATATGATTTAGGTAGTTTCCTTGACCAGACGGTCGTTCCCTGTGGACTTCAGTGATCAAATCATTCTCATCCATCACTTGAACTAGTCACTCAATTGACTAGAGTGGTATCTCTTCCCAGAGACACGACAACCCCAGAGAGAAGACGAGATTCGACAATTGTGATATTGTTTGAGCTTTACCTACTTTGCAAAACAGCAACCTGGAAGCCCGGCCAGACACTTGACCCCGGAGATCGGATCGTGACAGATCGGATGTCAAGTACGCGTAGTGCGTGCCAATGGCTTTTCCAGCTCTCTTTGCAATTTGTAGTAGCTCTATGGCGTGAGAAAGGCGCGCCAAGGCCTACCCATGGAGCAAGTATTTGATCATATCTATTATTACACTAGGCTTCGCAAGCTGTGATATACAGGCCACAACCTGATTTCACTACGTCTCTAAAGGGCCACGTCACGTTAGTACCTGACAAACGCGAGTATCTGTGCCGCTTCTTGTCGGATAGTCGATGTACTGTTGCAATACAACTTGGGGTGTGCGATCTCAGTCTCGGCTTCTAGACGGCATTTTCAAATACGCTTCGTCTCTTTTAAAATAAATCCGCGGGCATTATTCTCGGGTAGTCACTTGAGCTATTGAGGTAATCGTCCCGGAAGACATGGTCGTGTTTATGGTGGACAAATCAAAACACCTTGTGCTAGGTCAAAGTCTTCGTCGTGGGGCAAATCCGATTGGTCTGCCAGTAGAAAGAAATCATGAAGGGGTTTGAGATCGTCGACTGTTGTGGATCTCACGTAATTGGTGCTGGCTCTGCCATATCTGACCGCTCACGGCCCTCAAGCCCCCCCACACAGATGGCCACCACACTTCGTCCCAGCCACATACACTCTCCCGACGACCACATATAGGGTGCGTTACACTCATGTCGAAAGCAAAAAATACAGCATCTGGGCTGTTGAAGAGCTGATCCGAGCAGATTGAACACCCTGTTTGAGAATTGATCCCAACCCTGCCAGCCACCGCCTGCGGCCCCTCACAGATCCCACCTCCTCCGACCGTCCATCTCGAGAAAAGGAGACACGGTTTGATGGTAGTACGATGGCCACCGAAAGCTGTGAATTGGCAGCTTTGTTGTGATAGATTATCAATTTGCAGCCGCCTTGGGGGCTCCATGGCATCAGGTTGTATCTTCGCCACTAGAGTCCTGCCAGCTATGATACCGGTCATCAAATTTGTACCTGTTGTTGACCGATACCACTCCTCCTAACGGAAACAAGTAATACTGATCACGCTTGTCCTCGGCGAAACCGGAGGCGACCAGCCAATCCATAGTTACTCGGCTGTCCATCTGGAGCAACGAGCTGTCCTGCATGGAATCCTGCAGGATTGCCTCAATCTCCGCATCAAACTCGTCCAGCGCTTGCCACGCCGCCGTGAGCGTTGGTGTGCTCGGAGGGAGTATCAGCCTGTGCTCGAGCTTATAGCTCCCAGTGATAGCTACCACGGGATCTTCGTCTACTGATAGTACGAAGTCGACGGTTACGAAACCCAGGAGGTGCATACTTAACTCAGTAGTGCTATAATGTCGCAGAATCTCCTCGGCGACAACCATGTGAAGCTCGTCATCTGGCTTAATGGATTTTAGAACAAGACGGAGGAAAGCCGGGATCCGCATTTATATCAAAGGCAGTAGGCCAGTAATTTTGTGCTCGTCCAGTGGGGGGAAATTAACTAGCAGCAAGGTCGTATGTCGGTTGAATGCAAAGATCCAGTCTACTCCGTTGCGGAGGACCGTGACCTGCTCCTCGAGGTCGAAGTCGAACTGCAGCATCGTATGCAACTCTGGGCCGCAATGCTGAGGAAGTCTTGCGAATACCACTATAGCCAGCGCGAGGGCCGAGGCCAGTTTGTTCCTGGCCATTGTCCGAGCTCACGGCGGCAGGGCGTGGCGCCGCTGTCGCAGAGCCAGCGCACCATCGCCGAGGTTTGCCAGCTAGGGCTGTCAGCACGGCCCGGAGCAGGTGGTCCACAAAGTCGACACTGCTCATGCCCGTAGGCGCCTAGTCCTCTAGCCAGCGCCGCAGAGGAAGGATCTCCTCCTCTATATAAAGCAGGGCTAGCACGCAGGGGTTACGCTCATCCCGGCTCCAGATGCCCTTTCCTGTCATGGCCCGCACCAGGTAAGTCTGCCCCCCTGTGACGACCCGACCAACAGGTCGCAAGATCTGGCCATGGGCAAGGGCAGGTCATGCACGCGGGGCAGCACCCCTGGTTACATAAGCACTCTCATTATGTCAGCGTAAGCAAGGGTGGATATGTGGATCACAACATATCCAAAGATCTGGATATGTGGATCACAACATATCCAAAGATCCGGATCGCTGGATCACAACATATCCAACGATCGGGAAGGCAAGCACGATGAAGGACAAAGGGTATATAGCTCGGAGGATTTCCTTAGACAGACAGTCATTACCTTTGTACTTCAGCGATCAATCTAAGTATCATTCTCACCCATCACTTGAACCAGTCACTCAATTGACGAGAGTGGTATCTCTTCCAAGAGACACGACAAACCCAAGAGACGAACGATATTCGACAGGAAGTGATATTGCATTGGCTTTACCTACCGGCAGAACAACAACCCAACGAAGCCCAGCGCTCTGGCTGACCCTAGAGGCTGGATCGTGACAGTATGTCGGACCCACTTTTCGAATCTAACTATTAAAGAATTATTTTATAACTAAGTAAAAGGGTTTAAATAATAGGTTACTCTTATCGTTTTAGAAAGAAAGTACGTACATCTCTATATCTCGAAAAACGAAGAAGTTATAATACTTTAAAAATACTAGAATTAGCGGCGATAAGAGCTGATTCACCCACTTTGTTACGTACTGGCCCCAGATCTCGGCAGATACTGGGCGTAGGTTGATTTACTAAGAAGATAGAGAGGAAAGGAGCTCTTCCTCTCTATGGTCGGCTGCGCACTAAATTTATATGGGTCTAGGAACGGGCCTCTAGCCCGAGCCCATAACACACTTGTCTGATTCATCCACTTGTGGACTACGTTATTTAACTTTCTTTATTATATAGAACGAGATCTATAGCTAGTAAATTAACTAAGTTAACAGGGGTTATAGAAATAGTAGGTTTTGGTGTGATAGGTGTACAGTGCGACTGGTCGCCAAGGGGGGTGATCGCCAGGGGGGCCTCCGACTTAGTGGCTGCGGGCCAGGCGCTGCAGCATGCAGGATCTCGGTCTGTGTAAACAAGACTGGAACGTGTTGCGGAAAGTCTGCCGCACAAGTTGGGCGGCTCTGGCTATGTGGGAGCGGTCGTCCTTGCCGAGCCAGACTACAGTTTTGCTGGCCTTGTCGAAGATCTCTGGCATCAAGCGTAACTGGTTCCCTTTTTCCGTGTCCGAGGACTGGTCGACGCAGATTGCGTCGATGAACCAGAGGCTGTGCTGCTCCAATAGCCGGTTGCCGGGACTGGACGTTATAAAGTCCCAGAGGTTCTCTTGTACGGGTAGTATATTTCCGTCTAGGTATACCTTTTGTGATCGAGGCTGTCTACTGGCCGTGCCGGGGTGCTTTTTCCAGGTGTAAGACAGGGCCGCGTAGTCGAGGTGGTTGAGCGAAGAGAGTGGCACGGCCTTTGTGGTAAACACTTGGATTGGACTGGCGTTGTGGCGACGTCTGCCACGCCATCTCAGCAGCCGGATATACCGACTGGAATCGGGAAGAGGTCGGTGACGATGGTGTGGAATCGAGGGTTGTGGACTTGTCTGGCGGCAGAGGAAGTAACAGAAGCCGAGTCCTATGGCCACCAGACATGTCGAAGCGATGCTGAGGGTCGTGGTCATCGTGATTCGACAGGAGCCCGTCTTACAAGCGTGATAACAGTGATGCCAGACGCAACTGTTGAAAGAAGGATGAAGTTGGCTCAGGCGTTTGCCGACGTTGTGGTCATGTTTTAAGACAGAGGGGAGTAGCCTAGCACAAGGACATGCTCGGGGGGTTGTGAGATGTTTTCTTATTGCGGTGATCGGTCCACGGTGGTGGCAGCGGCTGCACGACAGCGAGCCTCTCAGCAACCTCCGAGGGTACGAGCGGAGCCACTGTGCTCATAAAGAGTCTGCGGCGGTAGTCTCCGGACGGGAGAGACGTGGACTGTAGGGAGAGAGAGCATCGAGGGCACAGCAGCTGCGGCACAATTAATTTAGAAGTGGCCGCGACTGGCGTCTCGTCTCGAGTCCCAACAGAGCCCGTTGGAGAGAGCCGGGAAGGGTGTGCGATCCACGGTGGCGGCAGCAGCTGCACGACAGCAAGGCTGCGGCAAGAGAGCCTCAGCACGCAGAGGCGGGCGGGCAGGGAGGGGTCCCTGGACCGCAAGGCTGCGGCAAGAGAGCCTCAGCACGCAGAGGCGGGCGGGCAGGGAGGGGTCCCTGGACCGCATATCCCGTCAGAGCAGGGCGGCTCTGGCCCGAAACGCTGGGACGAATGAAGAGATGATACCCAAGAGTAACACCACGGAGGGCGGATACGCAGCCCCGGGTGAGCTGCGTCGCCGGCATGGTAGCAATGCCGGACCCTGCGAACCAGGCCCTGTTGTTGCCTGTCGTGATGGGGGGATGAATGTTGACGTGGTGTTGATATGGAGGACGGCTCAGACGGGTTCCTCAATGGGACATCAAGACGACACGTGAGAGATGAGTGGTCGCGGGGTCGCAGCGGAAGAATTGTGCCCCCCAACGGTCGACACTCCACCGACGTAACAGCTAAGAGATACACAGCACCTCCGCCCCGTTCCCATTGGCCTGTCTCGTCTCGCGGCACCCTCCTCCTTGTGAGCTTGGCGGGCACATGTAGTCCCTCTGTACCTCGCGGTACCCGGCCAGGCTGAGTGAGTGCTCCCTCTCTCTTCACGGCCCTCCTTGGCCAGCGCGGGCCGTTTGTCGCGGTGCCAGCTTGGGCAGAACTCTCGGGCGCCAGTCCGGAGAACCCGGCGCTAACTGCACCCTGTTTTCAGGAACGCGCCAAGTCTGGACCACCAGCAGTCGTCGTCAACAATTTTGTGTTTGTCAGAGTCCGCTCAACTCCAAACCCGACTTACTCACATACAACGCGCAGTGCTGCTCGAACTACCATCTTAACCCCTGCGCGGCAGGGGGAGGCCGTGGCCCGGGGACGGGCTGGTGGTTCTTTGTGACAAGCCAAAAAAACACCGCTACTGGACTGACGAATCGCAGTGGGCCATGTTCCTTGTGCTGGCCTGAAACGAATCTGCCACGACCATCAGGGGGTTCTACACATGGTGAAGCAAACTCAGAGGGAGTGCACTTCTGCTCGTGAAACACCGTGATTGTTCTCATGTACTGGCACCGGTCTGGCAACTGAGCCGGAGATCAATGACCGGCCTACATCGAAGGAGTTGGCAGGATGGAGCACGCGATAGCCACTGGCGGCAGATTGTCAATCGACCAGCCAGATATGGCTGCTGTAGTGCAGAGCGTGACATCGTTCCAGCAACCCGTGCATGCCCAGCCGGATTGGAGCGTTCCTTGCCAGTCCTGGAGTGAAACAAGAAGGTGTTCACTGTTTGTGAGCCCACTGAGACATGTCACCGAGGTTTTATATCTTGTGGGAGTCTAGCAATTCTGCAACTCAAACTTCATCCCCTTGGGCGACTTGTAGCCGTCTCGCCAACATGCACGTTTGCACCATTGACACCAGATCTCGTACGCGATGTGGCCAAGTTCACCGCGGGTGTACCATAGGGTAGTCTTAGAGTTTGGCCATGTGCCGAGGGGCTGCATAAGGCCATTGTGTGGCCTCGTATGGGCCACGCAGCCGTTCTGAACAGAACGGATGCCACGGTGCCACCGGCCCGCGCAGCCCCCGTCGGGCAGCTCGTATGCACAATAGCGCCCCCGCCGCTCAAAACGGAAGCCCGACAAGCACGAGGCCCACGAGGTCTTGGTGAGACAGGCCAGGGTCCAAGTCCTCGAGCCCAGCTGCTTCTCGGCACGGCCCCGCTGTCTCCGCCCACCCCTTCCGGCCTTTCCATGTCTCCAGTCTCTGGCTGACAAAACCTACTTTACGCCCAGTCAGCTCGCCCTTGACGATACAGCGCCTGCCAAGCACAGTCAGCTTCCAACTTTCCAGCGGCTCATCCTCTCCATCTGCTCCGGCTCAGCCCACAACGCCAGCCCTCGATCCGGGCCTCATTCCTCAGCTGCGCGACACCCATCCGTCTTGAGCAGACCTGCCCGGCGCAGGTCTGTCCCTTTTCCTGTCACGACCGTCACAGCAGCCCGCCAAACGATCTGCAAAACCTCGGAACCGAACGAATATCATGACTGCGTCGCAGTCGTCATAGCCGGACCTCTTGACCCTTTCGTCACCTCCTTGACAATCGCCAGCCACGCAGGATCGGGCTCGGCGCATCTCAACATGGCTCCTCCCGCGCTTTCGATCCCTCCTCGGAGCCCCTCGGGGTACACCCTCACAATGAGCCCTCGGCCAGTACGATGGGCGACGACGACGCTGAGAGTCGGCGGTATGACGTACGTTGGCCTCACCAGGCTCGAACACCTGCCACGATGCAGTGCTAACATGATAGGTGCAGGTGTGGCGCGTGCACTTCTGCTGTGGAATCTGGGTTTCAGGACGTCGACGGGGTCGGGAGCGTTAGTGTCAGTCTAGTCATGGAACGCGCGGTCGTCATGCACGACCCGGAGCGGTTCACCGCAGAGCAGATCCAGGAGGCCATCGAGGACCGCGGATTCGAGGCCGAAGTCCTGTCGACCGACATCGCCCCATTGGCGCCAAAGTCACCGAGCCACGGCATCCTGTTCGACACAGAAAGCAGCGAGCCGCGCATCTCGACCACGACCGTTGCGATCGAAGGCATGACATGTGGTGCCTGCACGTCAGCTGTGGAAGGCGGTTTCTCTGGCGTTCCTGGGGTCAAGAGCTTCAACGTGTCCCTGCTCTCCGAGAGAGCAGTCATTGAGCACGATGCAGCCCTGATCTCTGTGGACACGATTCTGGAAACGATAGAGGACCGTGGATTCGGCGCCACTCTCGTTGACACGCAAGTCGCAGAACCCTCCGGCGGCCGGGCCGCCGGCACTGATGCCGCTGTGTCGTCTACTGTCACGACCACCATTGCTATTGAAGGCATGACCTGTGGCGCCTGCACGTCGGCTGTAGAAGGCGGCTTCGATAATATCGACGGCCTCGTCCGCTTTAACATCAGCTTGCTCGCCGAGAGAGCTGTCATCACGCACAATGCTGAACTGCTCACGGCGGAGCAGATTGTTGAGATGATCGAAGACCGAGGTTTCGATGCTCAAATCCTGTCGTCCGTAGCCGACGAGACGGGGACCTCGGCCGTGCCTACGTCGACAACTCAACTAAAGATTTACGGTGGCCTCAACGCGGCCAGCGCCAAGACTCTCGAGGACTCAATATTGGCTCTCAATGGAATCACGTCTGCCAAAATGGCTATGTCGACTTCCAGACTCAGCATCTCACACCAGCCTGGCGTCATTGGCCTTCGCGCAATCGTCGAGACCATTGAAAAGCTTGGATTCAACGCCCTCGTGTCCGACAACGACGACAACAACGCGCAGCTCGAATCGCTCGCAAAGACCAAGGAGATCCAGGAGTGGAAGCGTGCCTTCCAGGTTTCCTTGACGTTCGTCATCCCTGTGTTCTTCATCAACATGATTTTCCCGATGATGATCAAACCCCTCGACTTCGGAGGTGTACAGCTGATCACAGGTTTGTTCCTCGGCGACGTCATCTGCCTCTGCCTCACAATCCCGATCCAGTTTGGCATCGGCAAGCGGTTCTACGTCTCAGCTTACAAGGCGCTTAAGCACAAATCACCAACTATGGACGTTCTCGTCGTGCTTGGCACGTCCTCTGCTTTCTTCTTCAGCGTTTTCGCGATGCTTGTTTCGTTCCTTATCGAGCCCCACACCAGACCTGCTACGATCTTCGACACAAGCACCATGCTCATCACCTTCATTACACTGGGACGTTTCCTCGAGAATAGCGCAAAGGGAAAGACGTCCAAAGCGCTCTCCCGCCTCATGTCCTTGGCTCCATCCATGGCTACCATATACGCTGATTCTATCGCTGCCGAGAAAGTCGCCGAAGGCTGGGAGACCCCCGGGATGACAGGAGCCACCGCAAGAACGCCTGCTCTCGAGGGTATAACTGTGGACGAGAAAGTCATCCCGACCGAATTGATCCAGGTTGGCGATATCGTAATCATCCGGCCAGGAGACAAGATTCCTGCGGACGGCATCATTGTGCGAGGCGAGACGTACATCGACGAAAGTATGGTCACTGGCGAGGCTATTCCTGTCCAGAAGAAGAAGGGCAGCGGTGTCATCGGCGGCACCGTCAATGGCCACGGCCGCATTGACTTCCGCGTCAATCGTGCCGGCAGGGACACACAGCTCAGTCAGATCGTCAAGCTTGTACAGGATGCGCAAACGACTCGGGCTCCCATCCAACGCCTGGCGGACTACTTGGCCGGTCTCTTCGTACCCATGATCCTAGGTCTTGGGTTCCTCACTTTCCTCGTCTGGATGGTGCTCAGCCACGCTCTGCCTCACCCACCTGCCATCTTCACGAAGCCCGAGAGCGGTGGCAAGCTTATGGTCTGTGTCAAGCTGTGCATTTCCGTTATTGTCTTTGCATGCCCCTGCGCTTTGGGACTGGCAACACCAACGGCGGTCATGGTCGGCACTGGAGTTGGAGCCGAGAATGGCATCCTTGTGAAGGGCGGCGCCGCGCTTGAGCAGACGACCAAGATCACCAAAGTCGTTCTCGACAAAACAGGAACCCTCACATACGGCAAGATGAGTGTCGCCACAGCTAGGCTAACATCAGTCTGGCAAGACAATGAGTGGCGCCGCCGACTCTGGTGGACTGTTGTTGGCCTCGCCGAGATGGGCAGTGAACACCCTGTCGGCAAGGCCGTGCTCAACTCCGCACGTACTGAGCTTGGAATGGACTCCGAGGCCACCATCGAAGGCAGCATTGGCGACTTCCATGCTATCGTCGGCAAGGGTATCACCGCCACTGTGCAGCCTCAATCAAGCGCGGAGCGCACCCGGTACAAGGTCCTCATTGGCAGTCTCCCGTTCCTCCGCGCTAATAAGATCGATGTACCCATGGACGCGGTCGATGCATCTGAGGAGATCAACGCGCAGAGTGCGAAGTCCAAATCGACCTTGAACACCTCCGCAGGCACGACCAACATCTTCATCGCTATCGACGGCGCATACGCGGGCCACCTCTGCCTGGCGGACACTGTCAAAGAGGGTGCCGCCGCTGCTATCGCCGTGCTACACAGCATGGGCGTCGAGACCGCCATCGTGACCGGCGACCAGCGACCCACGGCCCTCGCTGTCGCCAAGATCGTCGGCATCAGCCCGGAGAACGTGCACGCCGGCGTGTCCCCCGACCAGAAGCAGACGCTGATCCGGCAGTTCCAGGACGAGGGCGCGTGTGTGGCCATGGTCGGCGATGGAATCAACGACTCGCCCGCACTCGCGACGGCGGACGTGGGCATCGCAATGGCCTCTGGCACCGACGTCGCCATGGAGGCCGCGGACGTGGTCCTCATGCGGCCCAACGACCTCATGGACATCCCCGCCGCGCTACACCTGTCGCGCACCATTTTCACCCGCATCAAGCTCAACCTCGCGTGGGCGTGCATGTACAACCTCGTCGGCCTGCCGTTCGCCATGGGCCTGTTCCTCCCGCTCGGCTGGCATCTGCACCCCATGGCTGCAGGCGCGGCCATGGCGACGAGCAGTGTCAGCGTGGTCGTGAGCTCGCTGCTGCTCAACTTCTGGAAGCGGCCGCAGTGGATGGAGGACGCGCTGCTCGCGGGCGCGACGAGCAACGGGGTCATCAGGCGCCACGGTGGTGGCTGGGGCTTCTTTGGCGCGGTGGCCACGCGCGCACAGGATGTGTTCTCGGCGGTCACTGGGGCTGAGAGGAGCAAGAAGAGCGACGGGTATGTTCCACTGGACACGCTCGATCGTGCGGATGTGTGAGATGGAGGAGGACAAACAGTGTTTGCATAGCTCGGAGTTTTGACTGCGGCGTGCATGTTGCTTTTTTTTTTTTTTTTTTTTTTTTTCCTTTCTTTCCTTGGTTGGCTGGCAGCCGGAAGGAGCTCCCCAAGCCAGCCAGGATACTCCGTAACCAAGGGCATGCCTTGCCAGGGGCATCCATGCATGTCACGATGCCTCCAGGACGGTGCAGGGGCACCGCAAACCAGCTGAGCACTTCGATGCGTATCAAGGACGATTTATGGCGACGAGGACGGTTCTTTGCATGTCAGTGAATCAAAACCGGCATTCTTGATTGGTTGGAGGGCAAAATCACATTGAGCAGTAGAGCGTTACAGGTGGATGTCGAATCTGCCTTGCTCTGTAAGCGTCTGATCGGGATCTTCTCCATACCCCGCACTTTCAGCCTTGCGTGGGGGCTGAGAGACGGTCTGACATCCTTCCACCATGAACCTGCTGCCTGCTTCTTTGTATCCTGCTTGACCTCCACCCATTACCTCCAGCTACAATGATCTCTCTCATGTCGATGAAGCACCCTTACTGACATCATTCATACCCCACAATGCGGCTACTACAACGAGATAACGCCAACAACTACACCCTCACGGCCGATCTGCGCGCTGACAACACCCCTCCGTACGCAATCCTCTCCCACACGTCGGGCGCCGACGAGGTGGTCTACACCGATATAAAGGCGAGGCCAAGTGAATGGCAACAGAAAGTCGGCTACTGCAAGATCCAATTCTGCGCTGATCAAGCGAAGCGACATGACCTACAACATTTCTGGGTTGACACTTGCTGTATCGACAAATCTGACGGCATCGAACTCCAGACTGCGATCAACAGCATGTTCAGATGGTACCGTGATGCGAAACGATGCTACGACTATCTATCGATGTTTCCTATCCCTCAACCTCCAGTCAGCCGCCAGGGGTTGGGTCGTGGGAGGCTGCGTTCCGCGGCAGCCGTTGGTTCACACGCGGCTGGACACTACAAGAGCTCATCGCCCCGCAGATTGTCGAGTTCTACTCGAGGGAAGGGGTCTTCTTAGGCGATAAGAGGTCTTTGGAGGCTGTCATACGCGACGTGACGGGTATTCCTGCCAGGGCCTTACGAAATACACCATTATCCTACTTTACGACTTCAGAACGCGAGGCGTGGATACGCAATCGGGAAACAACGTGTGAGGAAGACATGGCATACTCGTTGCTCGGAATATTTGACCTCTACATGCCGCTCCTCTACGGCGAGGGTCGCGAACGAGCACAGAGAAGGTTGCGACAAAAGGTCCAGAAATCTGTGAAAGGCAGGACACCCCTTAGCCACAGAGGATGTACCTTAGCTAATAACTTAGGTACCTACGACAACAACTTTTTGATCAGCTTCAACCTGTCTGGTGTTCCTGAGACTCCACATTTCGTAGCAAGAGATGGAGAAGTAGCAGAGATGCGAAGAATGCTATGCTCGGATGGAAGCCGTTGCACTGTCATTCTCCATGGTCTCGGCGGCATTGGCAAGACACAGCTCGCTGCAACGTATCTCAAACGATACCGGGACGAGTACTCGGCGATCTTCTGGCTGAATATCAAGGACGAAGCGTCCATCCAACAGAGCTTCGCTAGGATCGCAACGCAGATCCTGGAACAGAATCCCGATGTCGGCAGCCTCAAGGGCCTGAACATGCTGCAAGACCACGACAAGATTATTCAGGCCGTGAAAGCGTGGCTCAGCTTGCCAGGCAATACCAGATGGCTTATTGTGTCCGACAACTACGACAACCCAAAGCTTCCCGGGCGGGTAACCGATACAGCGGTTGACATACACCAGTTTCTTCCCATGGCATATCAGGGTTCAATCATTGTCACAACGCGGCTGTCGCAAGTCGACATAGGGCACCAAATTCGAATCGAGAAACTCAAGTCCGACTGCGAGAGTTTGCAAATACTGTCAAGGGCGTCAGGCCGAAATGGTTTACAAGATGGTAAGGATCTCCCGGCAGTCAATCATCGGTCACTAATAGTCCTTCAGATGGTGATGCGAAAGAACTTGTGCGAGAACTGGATGGGCTTCCTCTTGCTCTTGCTACGGCTGCAGCATATCTGAAGCGTGTCCCGATCAGCTTCCGAGACTACCTTCGCCACTATCGGGAATCTTGGGCAAGACTCACGGGCAATCTGCATCTTGGTTCTTATGCAGACCACACCTTATGTTCAACATGGCAGCTGTCATATGAACATGTGCAGGCACAGAACCCACTTGCGGCTCATCTGCTCCGGTGGTGGGCCTACTTCAACAATGAAGACATATGGTATGATCTTTTCCGAGCCAGCAGCGAAGACGGCCCGGCGTGGATGGGGCAGCTTTCAGAAGAGCTCAACTTCAACGATGCAGTGGGCGTACTCCATGAGTACGGCCTAGTTGAACCTACAACCATGTTCCAGGAGCCACAAGGGTACAGCATACACAGTTGTCTACATTCCTGGACTATTCATATATTGAATGAGGAGTGGGACAGCTGCTTGAACAAGGTTGCAGTGGAAAGTGTGGCATCACAGGTTCCTTCACGAGAGGAAGCCGAGTATTGGCTTCCTCAGAAGAGACTAATATCACATGCGATCCGGTCTTGTTCAACAGTACAAGAGAGCAATTGTCCTACAGATCGGGCTTTTCATTCTCTAGGTTATCTCTACACTGACCAGGGGAAGCTGGGCGAGGCCGAGAAGATGTACCTGCAGGCACTTAATGGATACGAGAGAGCTGTAGGACTTGAGGACGTCACAACATACCGGCCGGCCATCAACACCCTTGAGAACCTAGGATCTCTCCTTTCGGATCAGGGCCATTTGATTCAAGCGCGGCAATACTACCAACGTGGTTATGACGGCCTTGAGCAGCTCCTCGGGCCATCGCATCAGGCTGTTGAGTCAGCGCGACACATTCTCCAGCTTACAAAAAGCGCGATTGAAGATGGGATGTGCTCGAGCGGTGGCCAATACGTGACAGATCCAGCACAACCCGGACCGGCGAAGAAGAGGCGACGAGACGTTTTATAGAGGGTACTAGGTCTCCACGCAAGGTAGAAAGCCAAGAGTGGGGCAGTCTTGAAGCACACCTGTTCTTTATGTGAGTTGAATGTGAGAAGAGAAAGCCGCTTATGGGGTCGCTGTGGCCTTGTCGTTGAAGAGCCATTTTTGACTGTACATATTCGCCATTGAATACGCACGGTCTCCGCCACAATGCGCCACACTTCTGTGGCCCGTGCGGATGGAAGTTAATTGCGGAGAAGCGAACACACTTTGTGGCCGTTACTGTACTGTAGAACACTGCTCGCAGTACATACCAGTGGCATGAAATCGACTCTTTCCCCAAACTTTCAATTCTGCTGCCAGCACTTCCGCAAGTCGACCTCCACTCTCAACCACCCTTCTCGGGACACCGGATCTAGCCCTTTCATACCCTGCACTTATCGAAACACGACAGAGGTCGACCTGCCTCCAAGATGCATTCCGACCACGACAGTGTGGCCAGCACAAGGGCTTTGCACCGGCAACCTAGCCGCCTCGACTTGGGTCCTAGTGTGCTGTCAACAGGATATGTCAGTGCGACGGACACTACCCGCCGACACCTTCAGGGTCTTGAGAAAGGGCGGACCGTTCTGAAGTGGGAAGGTTACCATCATGTATATGACAACACCCACGGACCAATCAGAGGCAAGCCAGCTGTGATGCAAATCGGAACAGCGGTGCCTATGAGCACCCAGCAAGTTGCATGTCAACCATCTGCTCCGCCATCGGGTGGTCTGAACACCTGGACCCTGTCATCAATCGCAGAGGAATACAGCTACAAAACTCCAAGCCAGTCGTCAGCGCAGCTGTCGAACAGCTCCTCTACACAAATAGGATGTAGAGCACGCCTTCCGGGCCACGAAGAATGCCGCAACCCCAAAGTCCCGGGACCTGACGATGGGCAGCATGGAACACAAACAAGAAGTGACTCGGGACCGTTCCACTAAGACAGTTTGGAGTGCTCGGGTCAAGTGTGTTCGACACAGCAACAAAGTCATTCAAGAGCCTATCGCGTGCGACGTCAAGTTTTTAACCAAGCTGCTCGACAAATTAAGTTATCGACGGGACATTGAGACAGGCCGCTTTGTGATCAGCATCAGCTGGGGAATGACTAGCCTTTCAGTCGACGATTTTCACGTGGACGTGCGTGGGAAGAGCTCAACAACAGTCTGTCGTAGAAGTTCAGGACTGCCCTACGCTACACAAGTGGCGAGAACTAGTTGGCTGGTTCTAAAATTCAGCGCGACCTCGAGAGGAGTCCATGTCCAGACTTGACCGCGGAAAATGTCCTCTCGGGCACCGGCTGGTTGGTCAAGATATGCTCCATGTGCAACGAAGGTGCATACAGCATGCTCGTTGTTCAGGGCTGCAGCCAAGTGTAGCAAAGTCCATCTCGGTCCATGAAGTTTTTTGTTGCGCAGAACGGGCGAGATCGTGTAGGGTAGGGAGCCGTCTTGGCTTGCGAGCGGCTTTGGTTCAGGGTCGATGGATGAATAGTAACTGTTGATAATCGATGCGTCCTTGATGATGTACGTTGAGGCACGGCCAATCGTGACTTGGTAGGCTAGCACGAAGTTAGGTGCGGACCTTGCAAGGATCTGATCGTTGAGGTTCGGCCGTAGCAGCCACCAAAGTGACCGAGAGACAGACGAGAGGGCTAGCGCAGTGCTCCATGGCAGGAGCTCCTGTATCGCCTTCAAGGCGGCCAGAGGAAGGTCTTGGAGGCGGAAAGCCATGACGACTGTTGGAGATTTCTTGGATGGAACCATGGGACAAGTGTTGAAAAAGCTTCGAGGATGAAGAAGATGTAGTCGAGCAGCATTCTTGGGTTCTGAGTTTACTGACCATCATCTATGCAGTAGTACTGCGCTGCTTAGGACAAGCCAAGTAATCTCCGGCCACCCTCTCGAGAATTCCTTGTCGCATGTTGCTACGGACAACGACAAATCAATCTGCGTGCATGGCGAACTTCTCACGCCATCCCCAGCAGGCGTGGCTGTCAGTGTCAGCCGTAAGAGGCGCATCAAGCTTGACAGTGGTGGTGTGCACCATCTGCGGGGGTTCGTGTTGGTTGTTGACACTCGCCATTTCCCAGCCTCCAGCCCCGTCTTTTTTCCCCCCTTACCTGCCCCTCCTCATGACAATGACTGTTGAGACCGGACCACATAGCTTCGCCCCATCGTCCCGCCTAGTCCTTCGACAAAGACCCCGTCCTTCAACATCCTCCTCGCAAGGTCTTCTCTCCGTCCACCACCAAGCATACCTCACCGGAAAGCTTTCGAGATCTCCCGAAGATAGTTTCGTTGCGATCGTATGTCTTCCTCCTTGCTATTCTGTTTTTTTCTTCTTTCCTTTGAGCCGAGAATGGAACACTCGTTTGCAGGGGAGTGAGCATCACCGAACCTCATACTCATTGCCTGAAAGACCAGAAGACAGTTAAGACTCTTTGGCCACAAAGGAGTATTCGGACACTACCAGTCAGACTTCGACACCAAGAGCAACTTCACCCTTGAATCGTCCCTCGGCAGTCGGCACATCTCCTTCTACAGAAAGGTTGCCGATCGTGATTGCTCCGTCGTGGATCACGACTAGTACACCCACCAACAATAACGCCTCCGCAGCGACCTGAGATCCTCAAGGGACCATCTGCGACAACCTCAAAATCAACCTCGATCGTCCCATAACCTGCGCCACTACCCGGAATTGAGGTAGACTTTGCGCACTCTCACTATCGACGCACGTTCCATGCTAACAACCTTCAGTACCATGACAGCAATGCCCTCTGACTCCGGGATGGGGTTTGAGGTCTCGAGAGCCACATACGCATGGCCCGGTATGCTCGAACCACCATCGTATTCGCTCTTGCTCGTGGCTTAGACTAACAGATTGCTCTAGGGCTCGACCTTAACGCAGACTTCCTCGATGATAGTCTCTGCTCTGTTGGCCCCTGGTCGGATGCGGTAATGACGTCGTCATCTGTTAATCTCCGATCCATCACATCCAGCCCGCCATACACTAGGCTCACGGCAGAGGAGTGTGAACTGAAAAGACAACGAGACATGGCCCGGAGGAATTCGAAAATATCGCTACGCTCATACAGAGCCATGAGCGACTACCGCGCTTCACATTCACCCCCACTACCGATGCACGAGTTCAACGCGGGCCCGAGCATGGCAGTCTACACATCCTCGCAGCCGCAGCTCTCGCTACTGCCCGAACCAGTCACGACGCTGCCTGGCGTGTCGACATCGTCATGTACAGCATCGCCGTCCCTTTCAGACCAGCAATCAGCCATCAGGGACAACTCTGGATACGTGTCTTCATCACCCCCTCCCTCATATTCACACAGCCACGGTGCGCTCGCATCACAATACCGGCCGCCTCCAGTCCAGGACCACCATGGCATGATGTACCCAGTTTATTCTCCCATGCTCCAAGTCGGCGGTGGGCCACTGCCTTCGGCGATCGGCACTACAGCCTCAGAGCCGGGCCACGTACGAGTCGTCCAGGCACGGCCCAAGCAGCAGTGCTGGGAGCACGGGTGCAACGGCAGGCCGTTCACCACACTCAGCAACCTGCGCAGACACCAAAGGGAGAAGTCTGCCCAGGCTCCCAAGTCATCCTGCCCCAACTGCGGAGCGGAGTTCACAAGGACAAGTGTAAGCAGCGCATCATCCTCCTCCCCACACCCTATCCTGAATTGAACCCCCTGCGTGAGTCCTTGCGTCCGACCCGCGAGCCTTGTAAGCACCGAGGTCCTCGGCATCGAGCGCTACCAACGACGACGAGAGAAGCAAACGAACATGAGACATTGGCTGACCCGTTTTCTCCTGTCGCAGGCTCGTAAGGTACACGGCCTGCACGACAAGTGCAAGGCGCGCAAAACTTCCCCGTAAATCCCACCACTTCAACGGACATATCACACACTCTGTCTCCTCGGCAAGAGGACCTTTGCACATGTACACGGCTTCTCCTTCTTCTTGTTCTTTGTCGAAAAGAGGGGGTCTCCTCCTATCCCAGACATTTAGGGTTCACGAACTTTTCGAGATATTTTCAGTATAGAGGATGGGCAAAATGTTTCTTGCATGTCATGTCACTGGATCGCGATTGTGTTTCCTCGGAGTGCGCTATCGGAGGGCCAACTGCTTCGATTGGGTTCTGGATTTGAGGCAGGAAAGGTGCGCGGGTCCTTGCACGTAAAATACACCCTCGCTTCCATTTAGAAAGTTTTGATCCAAAGGGCGTGGGTTTCACCTACTGCTCACACAATGTCACGGTAGATTAAGAATGAGAGGGCTCTGTCGGCACCACGACCTGTGCATGAGTTTGGCCAGGTCGGGAGCATTTGCCAAAAGAGAGCAATGAACGACGGACATAAGCTTGCTTACACCGCTCCAGTCCGCATCTGGCGTGATATTTGCCGTCGCGCAGCACAGTTCCCAGACTATCAGCTGATAACCATTCTCCGGTAGCATCGACGTGACGTACTGAACGGTGGTGCTGGTAGCGCGGCTGTGGTGAGCATGGTGTCCAGTTCTGGGATCTAGAGCCACGCAACATCACGGAGCTCAATATCAATGTTCACGAAGACCCAAACACCGGGTCCTGTAAAGCATCTGTTACGTCCGCAGCCAAGAATTCTACTTACCGCATAACGACTCTCTGATGTCTTCTCGGACTCGGCAAAGGTCACCAACCCTTCCGCCAATTAGCTTCTTTCACCTTAGCCTTAGTCGAGGACGCGAGCTCGGAGAAGGCGTTTAGTATATACCCACCTAAGTGATACGAACTATAACCAGTATTGGTCTTGGGTACATGTAAAGCCTAACGCTTGGCCCCGTGCTCGTTGAACGGCAGTGCAGCTACCCTCAGAGAAACTAGACGCACTCCAGAACCGCGTCATCTCGTTGATGAAAAACCTTCAGTCGGCCGACACTTCCGAGAGGCCAACGCCTAGACGCTGTCCAACCTGAACCGAGGCGAGACCAGGATGTGAATAGCTGAGCTCAAGAAGCTGAGCATACCATACTAGGGCGAACTTCTGTAGTTCTTCATACTTGCGCTTTTGAGCCTCCTCATCCCCAATCTACCTCCGAAGCAAGCAAGCTCGGACGGCTTCTGAGTAGTGTGGGAGAAGCGGGCTGGGCCAGTCCCCGTTGGTTTAGTGAGGACGATACTGATGATGTCACCAGGCGGAAGTAAGCCGTCCATAGCCTTCTGGGTTGTATTGCGCGCAATCAGGATGCGGAGTTCGCCAAAATCGAGCAGGTATTTGACATATTTCTGGTGGAAAAAGTGTTTCCCTTGGTTGAGGTTGGTATGCTTGCCGCCGGGAAGGTAGCACTTGAGGCTCTTACGGTCTTCGATCTTGACCAGCTTGACGCCTTTTCCGCTGCTACTGTGTATCGGCTTGACTACCATTTGCTAATGACCCAAGGACGGCGGTAGTGTGCATGATCCTGACAATCCTCCATCACATGTTGCGGGTCGGTGGGCGAGCCAGCTCATCCCTTCAGTCTGAAATTGGTTGGCGCATTCCTGGAGGATCCGGATCTCTAACCTTGTTCGGCCCTAATCCATCTCCCCGGGGGTGGGATATGCCCGGATGTATCTGTTTGCATCCATCCGAAGCTTGATGTTGTTGCCGTGGGGAAAAAACAGATTCCAAGAAAGCGACAGAAACATTTGGACCGGCAAGGCCACTTCCTAAGGGATTTGCGCCATGAGCTGTTTAGGTGACGCTAATATCTCCACTTTAAAAGGTTCGCTAAAACCAGTACATCTCATGGTCAGCTGAAGTGGCGGCCGCTCAGGACATCGCGGTCACGATCCGACCTCCGGGGTTAACCGTTTGGTGGGGCTTCGGGGTTTCTGTTCTGCGAAGTGGGTGAAGCTCAAGCAATATCATAACTATCGAGTGTCGTTCTCTCTATAGGGTTGTCGCGTCTCTGGGAAGAGATACCAGTCTCGGCAACTGAGTGACTGGTTCAAGTGTGGATGAGAATGGTACTTTCATTGATCGCTGAAGTACAAAGGTAGTAACTGTCTGATCAAGAAAATTTTCCAATCTATATAGACCTATGTCCTTTATTGTTCCTCCATGCCATGTAGTGTGGTTATGTCTAGGTTTCTGACGGTTATTGATCTCGGCGTGATCGTCAGGCTTGGCGTCGTGACGGTTATGCATATCTGCATGACCATTGGTGATGTACCCGCTTTCCTTATCCTCATCGTTCTGCAGGACTCAGCTCCTGCCTCGTGTCCTGCCTTAAAACTTGGCCCGATCATGCGACCTCATGCTTCTGTGCCCAAACAATCGTCCCTTGTTGGCTGGTCGTCACAAGAGACTACTATCGAGCACTAATCCACCCTCTTACACCTACCTAATACATATTCGAAACCCCTTTATCCAGCATCTTTTGTTCATAATCAGAAGTAGCTGGCCTAGTCAGGTGCTTATTATGGCCGCCTCTTTGACATGCCCGCTTATATTCTCCATCACGAGGACTGACTTAGGCTCTGGCCATAGACGGCAGTATTGGAGCAATTGTGGACAAAATCTTCAAACCAAGCGGTGTCGGTCGAGCCCGTGTGAACTAGCGAAAGGAGTACAAACTTTGATGGTATATGCTGGAAGTATCTGGTATCGAACGTCACGATTCAGCTTATCAACTTTGACCGGCTTAGACCCAACGGAGACCACCCCATTTGGGTTTGTCCGGCTTTCTTGTCACAACCTGACTGATTGACAAAGATGAGCTGTTCCGCATCTATAAATGACACCCAGTGCAAGTGCAAGTCGTAGCTCTTGATCACGCTGCTGAGCAATACGACGACAGGTTTTTCTCGACCATCCGATGGCCTTGAGTGTCCAACTAATGGATGATAAAGAGACGCACACTCCCGTCTTCTCATGAAGCTGATCTCGCATTTCGCTCCGAAACATATCAGCTTGTTATAAAAGTTTCTTACGTAGCATATCCTGCATGTACGGCGTGATGCGGCTTCCACATCCTACACGCAATAGAGGGTTCTCTCTCGGGCTTTGAAGTTATCCGATTTATATCATCGCAGACATATCCGAAGAACGAAGGAATCAACTGCGATTTCCAGTCTTGTAGATGCTCGCGACTATGGAGAAACCATGCAAGCATTGCGACTTAGGCACAGCTTACACAGCTGAGCGCCAAAAGCTTCAAGACAAATACATGCCGCTGGATATGCTCCGCTTCCGCTCCCCCAAGCGATACATGAACTGAAATCGGTCCGAAGCTACGAAATGACAAGGACATTTGCTTGAGCTGGACGAGAGAGTAAAAACCATTTTGCTCGATATTGGGATATGCTGCCGGCTGGGAAGATGGCCTGCCTAAACAGTAGAGTGGTAATTTGTTTGGATTGTGCAGAAAGTAGCACAGTATCAGGCTGCCAGTTTCCTATACTCTCTGTAAGCCGCACCGCATCCCTGGTTTGTATTGTTTCTGACATTGAGGCGTCGAAGCATGTTGTATGTGTGTGCCGCCAGAGCCACGTGATCGCCAAAGTCGTACTGTTAGGTCGCTGAATGGCCGCCACGAGTTCGCCGTGGCCCCGCTACATCTCCGCGTCCTGTGGACCTCTGGCCGGGAACGGTAGTGGCGGGAGGGACAGTGTGGTGTGGATAAGGGAGGATGAGGAAGCGAAACGCGGGTCTCGACTTGGCAGATGCTCTCTTCTCGCCCACAGCGATCTATTATAAGGGCAACGGTCCCCGGGCAGGCTTTGCGACAGGGCTGTGCTGTTCCAGTGGCCTCGATACGGGCCTGGAAGCCGGCACCGGAAGCGAAGAGGGGGGGTTCAAGGCCGGAATGCTCCGTCTCCGACTTGAGATAGTTCGGCGGCGTTGCCACGTGGACGCCACAGGCTGTTCTGGGGCACTGGTCCTGTGCTGCCGCGAGTGCTGCCACATGGTCGCTGCTGTGCCGCATCCTGACTCCGGGGAGAGGGTGCCAGACGGCAGCCCCGTACGATAGAGCGCTTGTCACTACTGCGGCATAGATCTGTTGTTCGACGCGTCCGAAGCTACAATCTCACGTGGTCGCTGCGATCTTGTAAATGGCGCGAGTCTCTGCATGCTCAACTCGTGAGGGTACGTTGAATGCAGAACATCGAGCGCAACTTCTATCGAACTATACCCTGGGAAAGCGGGCGGACGCCCGAGTTGGAGGCTCAGCAATCGCGCGTCGTGTGCCTAGGTAAAGTGCACTAGCAGTCTCTCCTTGGGCCGCACTCTATCCTGGCACCTTAGCCTCTCGCTCCTCGCAGACCTTCAACCCTCCTTGAGTGCTCGGCTGGACTTCGTGTCCCTAGACACCCACTGCTAGGAAGTTTGGTGACGACTATGCGCCGCGGCAACGCCCCAAGGGCTTTATGCAGTGTCTGATGTGAAGGACAAAGAGGATAGACGAGAGCGGTCAACCTTGTGGGACACCGGTGCGTAAGTCGGCCGGCGCGGACTCGTCATTGTCGAACTGTAGGGGTGCCGTAATGCCGGCACGGACCCAAGTTCTTCGCATCCATCGTGAGCCGGTACGCCACGATGGCCTCGAATAGCTCACTAAAGGTGCTGATCAGTGAGATAGGACACCGCCCGCTAGCCTTCTTCCTTGGCTCCGATGTCTTCCCTGGTTTCCAAAATCACTACCAACCGGGCGCCGTGGAAGCACAGCGGGCCGTAGAGTCTACTACCGCTGCTATATCTCTATTACTGATCCAGCTTCGCAGATCACGGAGTGCCGGAGCCGAGCCCATTACTCGAGCGCCCAAATGTCTTTGCTGCACGTCGTAGCTACGCGGTTCCGCCACTGCCGCGCTTGCGCGGCTTCTGTCCATTGTGGGGCTGCTGCGCTCCTTGACTCGCAATACGCCTACTCTGTCGGGAACCTCCGGTCGGCTTGTCGACGGCTTCGCGCTGCGAAGCTCGTATCCCACCCCCTGGCACCATCAGAACGCTCCTCAGCCAACATGGTGCGTCCGCCGCGGTACCCCTGCCGCCGCAATGGGAGTCAACTGAGGCATTATCTGTCCACACGCCTCTCGAGCTCCTAGGCCGACTTGAGGAGAGGGGTTGCATTTGCAAAGTAGATGCGGAGACTTTGCTAATACCGCATACAAGCCCCTCGCCTGTCAGGCTCCAGTTCAAACCCACTGTGATTGAGGTTTCCCCTTACGGCGCTGCGGCATACCTTGTAACCGTTCGGCTCCGTGATTAGACCCTTCTAGGTCCGCGTTACCGTCGAAGTTAGCTGTGAGTTTCCATGGCCTGAGCGATTCTGATCGTTCCCAGCCTGTCTTTTGTTGGTTCTCTGCCTAACTCCCACAGTTTCCATTTATCCATATTAGCCGATCTTGTTGGTACTCGCAATCTCTGACTCCGGTAGTGGTATGAGCACGTCGTCGGTGTCATGACTAGAAGGGATCTAGACTTGTGATTAGCCAGGGCGCGAGTCGCGAGCCCACACGCAGGGTTTCTTTCATACCCTATGTTACCAATAGAATCCGTGCGCGTCCCCCACCATCGTCAACACACCCTTTCAACAGCGATTGCGAGGTCCAGCAATGTCGCAATTACGTCAATTCGGTGACATTATCTCTGGCAATCGCCAGAGATGCCAGGACTTCACTCCTGAGCAGCGCGCCTTCATGTTGGGGGCTGCAGCTGCCGGCGCAAAACACAGCGAGATCGCGGAAGCCCTCAACACCAAACGCCAACGGGTCGGCGAGCAGATCGCGAAAGCCACGAAACGACAACGCCTTACTTCGACGCCTCGAAAAGGTGTAAAACCACGTATTCGAGGGCGCTCTATACGTCAGGTGTATCGCAGAGGCCGTCAGGCGCCTAGAGCCACCTGGAGGGAGCATTACAGCTACTTCAACGGCCGATTCAGCGTACCAACTCTCCGACGATTTTTTCAGGCTACCGGGCTTCTGAAGTGGCGTGCCGCGCGGCGCATCGAGTTAACAGATGAGGACGCTGCATTGCGATACCAATTCTGCCTTGATTATGGCCGTGGCTATCGCGCACGACACCTCCAGAGAACGCTCTTTTCAGACGAATATACCGTCCAGAATCAACCAGACCAACCGTCGCAATGGGTCCTCAGATTATCGTCGGAAAGGTATCGCCCTGATCTGGTGAACCCAGAGGATCATGTGAAGTCCAAAATCTCTATTATGGTGTGGGGAATGGTGTGGTATCGCGATGGTGAGGCCGGAATGTCACCTATTCTTGTTGTCGAAGGAGATCCCGACGCACCACGCGGAGGAGCCTCTTCCAGGACCTATATCAACGTTCTCGAGGAAGGGCTCCTTCCGTTCTACGAGCCTGGCGATCCCTTCATGCAAGACAACGCCGGAATCCATCGTGCAACGGCGACGAAGGAATGGCTCGAAACACATGGTATCTGGACTCTCGACTGGCCACCTCACTCGCCAGATCTTAACCCAATCGAGCACGTTTGGAGGCTTTTGAAGCGTCAAATATATAAAACAGAGCCTCGATTTCACGACCTGAAGCGCAATTTGAGCTCAATTGCGTACGCCAAAGAGATAATAAAAAACGCGTGGGAAGATATCCCAGAACACAAGGTCAGAGCCCTACTTCAGAGTCTGCCCCGGCGCATCACCGCCTGTAAGCATGCAAAAGGCTGGTAACCAAGTATTGAAGCGCAGAACACGGCAACTCTAGAGATATCTTCATTATTCAATTTAAACGCTATTTGGCCATGTAATTACGAATTGAAATGATAGCAGTGAAGTGGTGATGTTCCAAAAAGGTGGGTGCGCACGGACTCTTTTGCGAAGGCAGTTTTAGCACAGGCGCACTGTCGCTCTTTTTCGTCTTCAGGAACGCCTGGACCAACTGGACGCTGAGGCGAATTTGTTGCGCCTTCATCCTCGCGGGCGCCGTGTTCTGGAATGCACTGGTGCGCTGCCTTGGGAACGAGGTACACGTTGCGACATGTACCGGCTTTAGGCGAGAGCAACGCTTCAAGGAACACCACGGTCAGAGCACTCGTCTGTCTGGTCAGTTGGCCGAAACCATTCTGTTTGGTCGTAATTCTTTCTCTGCTGACACTGCTAGTCTGTCGCCGCGTATTGTGTCATGATTACCACGGCAGTTTGTACGGCGAGGACGAGGAAGCGATATGCCGCAAAGGCGCAACAGATCGTATAGGCTGCGGCCGTGTTCGACGATCGGGGTAGGATCCTTGTCAGCCCAGATGGCCTGCTGCCCAGCGAGACGATTACGGAGACGTTCCCCCAAAAATCAGCCGACGATATCTTCAGTACCGCCCACCCGTTCTTCCACTGGATGTACAGGGCGTCTCGCAACTGGTCGAATGTTGCGACCTTGCTCGACTGGATGAGGACTCACTTGAACCGACTGCCCAGCGGTGGCGGCCGCGGCATGAGGTCCGTTAAACTAGTCCAGGAGAATGGCCAACTTGTCCAAAACTACGACATGATATTCCGCGAGCTGTTCTGCATAGCTGCGTCAACCCTGTCGTACAGGTTGGGCGAGGTCCTCGCCAATGCTGGGGCACTTTGGGACGAGATTTTTGTCACGGTGCACCATGGCCGCTCACCAGGCTTGGGACCACCGTCAACGGGATTGTCAGCCCTAATGGCACGGATGTCAGCATGCAGTCAAAGGCCGGAGACGCCCAAGCCCGACACGATCTGCTCGAAACGGGGGTAAGGCAAAGCCAGGACCTGATCGGCCGGGGTTGCCTGCTGGTCTTCGTGCGGCACCTTAGTGCACCTCGTGAGATAGCCAGGTTAGAAGCTTCCGGGTTCCGGTTCGCCGAGCCACGCCGTGTCGGGGGGCGAAGACCTCTACTGCAGAGGCGCAAGCCCCACAACAGCTAGCACTGTGTCATCACTCGTACCCTATTGTCTTGGAAAAGTCAAAGAGTGTGGGAAGCGGACACCAATGTTGACCTCCGCTATAGAACCCGAGGAGGGAGATTTGTTCAATTCGTAACAAGTGCGGGAAGGTTTGTTTTCATGACCCGATTTTGTAAATCAACTCGTTAATGCAATACATGAAGACTCCAAACTAGGCCACAAATGACGTTGGAGCACAAAACGGCTGTCTGAGATGTCCCACCTGTGCGTCACATTTGTCCACTTCTGTACCAGATGCTGCCAAGACTGGATGGCCCGTGCGCATAGAATCTTCTGCTTCGGGGAAGGCGGACATCGATTTCGAATTAGACTGTATCACAGAGAGAAGGCGTAAAGGTAGTGAGAGATGAAAAGTGGAGCATAGCCAATTCTGAGTTCAAAGAGTGCTCGTGAAGTCTTGACCCATAACTTTTGCACAACGCACATTCTTAGCGCCGGTATCACGCAGTCGACCCTTTCGTAGAGCTGAGCACCTGCTGAGACGACTCGTGACGGACCACTTCACCCAACAACCTTGTGCCGATGCAACATGCCGTCTATGCATTTAGGGGTATGTTATTGGTCCTTGCGCGCAATGACACAAGCAAGTAGAGCTTCGTCCGATTAGAGAACAGTTGCCTCAGCCTATCTCTGATTCGGACAAATCCTTCTCGGCAGAATCCTCGACTACAAACTCCTTGCTCTCATCCCCTATGAACTTGTGAAGAGTCTTCGCACGCACAGGCGCACCAATCCTGAACTTCTTCGTCACAAATGGTGCCGTTGTAGTCAGCGAGACCGAGGGTCTTACAAGTGAGTACGATAAGGCAATGACATTTTCGCCCGCTGCTATCAACTCTCGATATTGTCCGTTTGAGGTTGAGGCACTGGCCCCGGCACCTCGTTCTGTCGTCGATTGCGTGGTCCATTTTGCGTTGACGGCGACGAGAAAGCCAGTGACGAGGTAGGCGTGCCATGGCCATGCCCGTTCGAGGATCGGACGAACATTAGCTGCGTATTGATCGTTCGTCATCAGGTCTCGGAAGGCGAATTGAGGGTTTGGAAGAGTATGATGTGTTAACTTGTCGCATTCGAAAGCCTCATACTGCTCCTTATAGCTGTGGAGCTCAGCCTTATGGCGTGTACTTAGTCGGCCATAAATGCTCCGCTGTTTTATAACTGTCGCGCGATCGATAACATGTGTAGAAACCGTTGGTTCTGGGAGGGTAAGATTGTTCGTGTGAAGTGGCACACCTGGCAACGATTGAGGTGTCAAGAGGCCCTGGGGAGACTTCTTTGACTCCACGACGCGACCTAGAAGGCTGGTAGTGTCGGTGGCAGGCAAGGGCTTCTGAAGGACGAAAAACCGGGGCTTTGAAGGCATGCTTACGGCGGATGAGAGGCATGGTCCCAAGTAAAGTCAATATTGGTATACGGACTTGACTTAAGGCATTGCAATACGCACAGCAACGGGTAAAATGGGTGTCGTGGGAATGGATATATGACTTGTTTAGCGATGTAGGTGGGGCAATAGTTGTTTATGGCTTAGCCGACTGGGTTGTGTTCCCCTGAAGCACTGTACTGCAGTAGCATGTTCGTTCTATCATCCAGAAATGGATTACTCTTGTGTCCATGCCCGCCGAAAGGGGTAGAAAGGCGTATAAATGGTAATCCATGCGTATTTGCTTGTCCTTGACTGATATTCATTGATGCAGTACACTGGGGCACTCCACACGGAATAATCAGCATGCTACTCATTGCTACTACTATCTACACTCTTTCAGCTCTAGCTCAACATGTTCAGGCCCAGACAACTTGCAGCACCTGGGTATATTCCCCAGATCCTACGATCTGGAACGTTATTTGTGAGACCGTTACTACAGGTAACCCCTTGATAGGCACCACAGAGTCTTTTGCGCCTGGGGGTCAAACGGAATCGGAAGATTCCAACTTCACCTATAGCCAGATATATACAAGATCGAGAACGGGAAGTGGGAACCACAATTCTACACAGTCCACAGACTCTTCCACGAAGAGCCGTCGGACTCCCACAGTTGTACCACTCGCCGGTCCGACTACTCTCCAATCTGTTAGTTTTTGCTGCACTCAGTAGTATATGAACTGCCCGGTGCAGGCCCATCATAGGCATTACTCAGTGTCTTCAAGTAGTCAAGAAAAGTGTGAAGAAGAGCGACGGGCATAGATGTTATAGCCTCCAATAGTCGTAACCCACTTTTACTTTCGGGTCTGCGGCAGATCAGGACATTGTATGTTGGATCGGCGTAAAGCTGAAGGTATGTGAAAACGGGGTCGGGATCCTTGTGGCCTTCCGGCGTCGTTGCTGAGTTGGTCGGTACGTGGTTCCGCATCGCATCGTATTACTGCAGGCTGTTCTGCTGCTGTTGGTATTGTGGATTGTCGGTGGATCGTGGGTTACTGGGAAAAGAAGGGAAATCTGGGGTAACGAACTAAGACTAAATCCGCGGAAAAAGGGGTTGGAATGACGCGTACCTCTAATGCGCACAGACGTTTCGTAGGACATGACATGTCTATGAAGAGAATGAGAGAGACTTCACGATATGCAGGGATGCAGTCGGACATGTGGGGCGTGTGGAACCCGGGGATTTAGACTAAATCCCCCGTGGAATAATACAGCAAGTAGGGTGCCGGAACCCGAGTCGAGGTGCGCCGTCGCTCCAGAGCCGCAGGCCGGACACGTCGCCGGGCTCGACGAGGGTGGCTGCGGCTTGTGTGATGTAGTGGTGGTATATCTCGATGTCGTCTGCGTTGAGAGTACTGAAGGGAGCCTCGGAGTTTCTCGGACGTTCAGCGGCCGAGCTTCAGGCGATCTGCTGTGCCCATGACGCCCAGTCCGACCTAGGCCGTCCTCTTCGCGGCGTTGGAGATGCTGTGCTCGCTGGTCGTGGTGTCAGAGGAGACGGGGTGAAGTCACAGTTGACACCGAACTGGACGAAATTGCCACACTGGGGCTTCGCTTCGTCGCACTGTTTGGATTTCTTAGCTTGGAGTGTGCCTCAGGAGTGGCATGCGAGGCGTATCGAGGGTTCTGAGGGATCAGAGAGCGTGCAGCCGTAGAGAACCAGAGGCATCAGAGGTCAAGAGGACAACATACCTTGATCTTTCGCCGCTTACATGTCAAGCATCCAAATCGGGACTTCTTGTGACGCCTAGGCATCGTGGTCAGGATACGTGGCGCGATTGATCTCGTCTGTGCTCGTGTCGAGACCGGAACCCTCTGCTTTGCGTTGCGGACACGGCCGACGAGAGGTACAAATGTGGTTGCCTGCTTGCTATCAGCGAGACTGCGATACTAGTGTACTGCGGCAGCGTGGCAGTGCCGTGCCGAAGTTTGAGCGAGCATGTCGCCCAGGTTGTGATGATCCAGAACTAGAGCATGCCGGGGGCAGACAATTCGCACTCGAGGAAGTCGGGTCATGCAGGTGCAGGTGGAGATCGTGACGTTGGGGGTGGGGCAGGCCCGGGTGGAATGCGTAAATGAAAGCGTAAATCATGTGATTGGCCAGATCTTGTTGTTGCAGACCTCGTCTCCGTCCCCCCGTTGTGCATTCGGCAAATATTTGTAACGAGAAAAATGGGCAGCCTGGCTGATACTGCGACTTATATGGCTAGACGCTATTTCCGGTATTTATATAAAGCAGTGGTGTGGACGCTGCGTACTTATGTCGACATATCTTCGTCGCACCAGTCCAACAACCCCCCGATACAACTCAACGGTTCGCAGTGGTTCCCGAGCTCCCTGATACTTCCACCTGATTCACAATGGCCAACCAGACCGACACGCCAAAGGGCCTGGCTCCTTTCGATCTCTACCCCTACAATCCTGCTCAAGCTCCCGCTTTCGCCTTCATGGCTCTCTTTGGCATCGTCGGCATCATGCATATCGCGGTCCTGATCCCGTATCGCTCCTGGTTCCCGATCCCCCTGATCATTGGCTGCGGCAGTAGGTTTTGCCAGAAACACACAGGTCCTGATCCGAAGAGACTGACACTTCGTCGCAGTGGAGACGGCAGCATACTACTTCCGCACCGAATCCCACGACGACGTCCGCAAGACCCTGCCGTTCCTCCTGCAGAACCTCCTGCTCCTCGCCGCACCGCCGCGCCGCAAGCATATATATGTCTCCCCGACGTCTCGCACGGGCCCTCAACGCCGAGGATCGCGTCTCAGCCCCGCGCCTGCTGACAAAGCTGTTCATCCTCGTCGACACGGTGTGCTTCGTGATACAGGTCGCCGGAGCGATCATGTCCGGCAGCGAGCAGGCGGACGAGGCACAGCGGGGGCGGATGCTCATCATCGTCGGTCTGGTCCTGCAGATCGTCGCCTTTGGACTGTTCGCTGCCTGGACGGCTGTCTTCCACAGGCGTATGGCGTCGGCGACTGACACTGGTGCTGGCCAGCCGGGGATCAGGCATTGGCAGCGCTATGTCTATGGCCTGTACGCAATCAGCCTGCTGTTCGTGGTGCGAAACACTACGCGGCTCATCGAGTACAACGAGGGCCCTGGTGGCGAGATGCTGAGCAGTGAGGTGTATCTGTACGCCCTGGAGGGTACTACAATGTTGCTCATCGTGGCTGTCTTTGTTGCCGTGCACCCTGGTAGGCTGAGGATGCATGCCCGCGGGTTTGGCAGGAAACAAGATGTAGATGAGACGGTCGAGCTTAGAAGAGTTACGCTGTAAGGCATGACCGCTGAAACTCTCGGGGACGTGGGCTGCAAGTACTCGATGAACTGTCGTCTTATATGTAATAATAGAATAGTCTGAGCGCGAGGATCACAATGGCCACCATGTCCATTGATTGTCATGGCAGCTACTACACTTATATCAAGCTGCCTCCACCGCCGACGTTTCCAGACTTGTACTCGTCGCCGGTCCCGGCCCCATTACTGTACTTCTCAGGCCACGGCCACCATCCGGGCAGTGGCATATCGTCATAGATGATGTTGAAGCAGCTCTCTGCCAGCTTCTGGGTGACAGTTGTCTCCTTTGCGTCATTGTACTTGTAGTTAAACTCGGTCCGAGCCGGCTCGTTCGACGCGTGCACGTGGATGGTTCTGTCTGGAGAGAGATCCCCGGTGGGCTGGAAATCCACGGCCTCCCGCATCTCCTTGGCATAAACAGCCAGCTTCCCAGCCCAGAGATATCCATCCGCAGTATCGTGGTCTGGGCATGAGAGGTAGTATACGCGACCACACCTCCATCCTCGGTCGGCAAAGCCTTGGGGACTGGGCAGTGGTGTACAGAGCAGGCCTCCTGGTGGATATTGTCGGTCGTCCAGAGGTCCAGAGGTCCAGAGGTCCAGAGGTCCAGAGGTCCAGAGGTCCAGAGGTCCAGAGGTCCAGAGGTCCAGAGGCGAGGCGCCCCAACGAAAAACTGGCGCATTTGTGTGATCCTCGTGGTGGTTATGCGCCACTTTTACATTGGGGCGCCTCGAGAGGTTCAGAGACTGGGCAGCGACAGTGCAGAACGGACAATTGCACTGTCTGGTGGCCCACTGTTGAAACCAAGACCGGGGGCAGCCTCATTGCGTCACCGAGCAGGCGGCTGCAGCCCTCTCCGTTCTGTGGGAGGGTGTGGAGCCAGCGCCTCCGTCAGCCCTGGAGTGCTTCCACAATGGCGCCTCCCATTTCCAACACCTGCCACACCTGCCACACCTGCCACACCTGCCACACCTGCCACACCTGCCACACTTGCCACACCTGCCACACCTGCCACACCTGCCACACTGAATGGAGTTAAACCAAGGAATGACTTATCCTGAAACTGCTTGATCTTATTCCGGATAAGCATCACGCGGAAGCCCTACCACTTGAGACATTGAGAAACTTCCTGGTTGGCCTCCCGCATCAGCTCACGCCCCTGGGCGCCACTGGTTGGCCTGCTCAGACTACTAAGCACGCGAAAAGTAGGTGCCCTCCCATGCTGTGCAGTGTCCATAGTGATCTAGTGCCCTTGCGTTGATGATCCAGGCGCCTCAAACGTCGTGGTTGTGGGCTTCGGATTATCCTGATCCTGAAACAACGAGTGCCGAGCTCGCGTACCTTGCGCATCACGAGGATGCAACCTACGTGGCACACTTCGCAATATGCCGTGGCTCTGGTTTGGCTCCTGTATCAGGCTTCAGACAACCTCGGCAGCGTATCATCGTTCATGGATCCGACGAGTTGTGCCGAATGATTCTTAGCCGTGATTTTCTTGATCCGTCTTGGGGACGCGACTACTACGACGTGATCGCGATCGTTTCCGGCAATGACCTCTTCAATAATGTGTTCAATCTGGGTCGACATGCCTCTAAGCCAGGCTGGAGGCCTCCAGGCCCCGTTTCGATATGTCAAGTTCCTCTTGAAGTCGCGACTGCTCTTTATTCAGAGAGATATCTCTTGGGTAAGGCCGTGGATTCGTTCATGTAGACGGTCGAGCGTGCCCATCAGTAGAGTGTGGCTTTTGGGAGAGTTATTCTCCGGAAATGTTTGTGTCTGAAACCAGTCTTGCAAGCCGAGACTATCGGTTTTGGTGAGCGAAGCCCGCCTGCCTTCAGCCTGTCTTAAGACCGCTTGTTCCTGTTGAAAGGGTCGCAGGTTCGCTTCGGCTTCTTTGCAGATATCAAGGCATTGCTCTGTGACGGCATTTTCGTTGCAAGGGTCAATGGCCACATTTGGCTCAAGTTCCGTATCGGACTTTTTGGAGTCTGCCCAGCCTCGATACGTAGTAGCTGCAAATTGAGGTTGTATATGGTTCTCAAGTGCTCTGTAAGTGAGCTCAATACACATGGCCGTGTTCATAGTAGAACCGAATGCATAGGCTTTTTCAGAGCAGTCACACGTTACGAAAGCTAATACAGCATTAGCCAAGATACATATTTCAAGTCCGGATACGCATTTTACAACAGTTGTCCTTGTGCCTCTTTAATCCATCCGGCCTCGCAATGCTGATCTTGCATAAATCACATATTCTGTCCGAAGCGGCCTAAACCCCTTTTCCCTTGCCCAATTTGCATGCTTTGTCCACACGTGACGCTGTACGCTATTGCCGTAGTCCATGCCCTCTCGACATCCAGGTTTGGGACATGGCATGGGGCCTGTGTGTGTTCGTATGTGACGTCTGCATCGCAAGTGGGTCAGGAGTTATGCGGTATCGAGTACATAGCAGGCACGTACGTGAGTTTGATTTTGGAGTCATGGGCACGGCCGCAAACTGGGCATATGAAAGGTAGAGCCACGATCTGGGACTGTGTCGGATCGGTTGTGACCGGATACGGGGATCGGGGTACTGGCAGAGCATGGCGAATCTCTTGGTTGGCGGCAGAAGAGTACCATGCAGGCAAGTCGTTAGAGAAAAAGTCGTCATCTAGCTGGCTGGACGCTGACGGAGTTCCTGGCAGTTTACCACAGGGCGATCAGCACCCCGAGGCCAGGAGATCAACAGCTTGCTGGGTCAAGTCGGACTGCAAATTCTGCTCAGAAGCCACGAGTAAGCGGGGGTTGATGTAAGTGTTTGAGGGCGTCTGTCGCCTGCGCGACTCGCGGCTGGATTGGAAGGATGGATCGAGATCCTCGGCATATGCCTCAGAGTCGTCGCCCTCTGCCGTCGAGAATGATTCAATCATACTGAATCGGGAGCAAGCTGATAGTATGATCGTGTTGATTGCCTCATCAGAAGTCAGATTTCTTTGGAGAACAGCTCAAACAGTCCATATTTGTGTCCAAGACCCCCACGTGCAACCTTGTGCGGTCTGCGCCCAATAGAGCACGGTGAACCGACATCAGGTTGACTGACCGTCTGCGTCGCGCCTGCAGTGCTCAGCAGATCAATTAACCCGGTAATGTCAAGCACGCATACGCTGAACGAGCAGCAGCTTTGTACGAGTGGTTGCAAGATCTGAGCACGAGATAAAGACCGCTTGTGATCCATGCCCTCGTTTCGGGGCCCTCATCGGCATTCATCGCTATCGCTTGCTTGACAACATCGCACCTGCATGCAAAGACAGCTGCTTCAAAAGACAGTCCAGCCTTAGAAAAAGTTGGTGTCTCTCCCAAATCACACTGAACACCCCCACTTACAGACCAGTGCATTCTGCTACCCGCACTCCCATCCCAGTCCACACCAGACTTTTGAGACGACTGTACGAGGCAATCAAGTTTGAGGAGGCTCTGGGCAGAGCCTGCGAACAAGATCCCGTCTTCCTCGGCAGGACCTCTGTGGATCCTCCTGTGGATTTCTCAGACGACGCTGAAAAGGCTTACAAGTCGTATGTGAACAAACTTGCACACGTCTGCGATGTGAGACGTGGCGGAGCCACTGTCACCGGCGTCGCCATCCTGCAGGATGTCGACGGCGTTATTTATGTCCTTGGCTCCAATGAACGTTCGCCGGCAGCTCTTACGGAATTGGGCCAGTTCGTGCAGTCCCTCTTTGGTCTTGTGCAGAGCGTCCAAGACGCCCCTCCGGACCCAGTGTCGCTCTTCACTAGGATCTTCCCCCACATCCTTGAATACAACCAACCACGCATAAGGAGTTATCTCAGTCGCATGCCCGAAGAAATTGACAGATGCGTGGCGGATCTTAAAAGCATGTCTGTGGAAGCAAAACGAACAGTGGACGTAGGTGAAAGATTTCCATCATTAGATTTCGTGGGTGGCAGCATTCTCATCCTATCTTTTACGGACCACCTGGAAGCATTTTTCATCGAGCTCCGCAAACTCGTCACACGGGTTCAGCGAGCCAGAAGTGAGGAGGGTGAAGAACATTCCAAGGGTATGCTTTCTACTGGCCCTCCCCTCTCATCCTGGTCTTTTCCTTCAGCCCTGCTCACCGAAGTGTCTGCCGCAGTCTTCGCCGATGTCATCATGTATATACATGACATGCAGACCAGAGGTCATGGTGAAGACATTTTCCTGGCATCCAGAGAGGCTACAGTCAACCCATCGATATATTGGCGTCAGCTACGTCATCTCATGGCCGCGTCTGAGAGCTTACCACGTCTCCGCCCGATCCATCATCAGCGCACATAGATGCTGGCCTCAGCTCTTTGACCATGCACAGATCATCGTTGTGCCATCCAGCACTCCGTACCCTAACCCTTTGAAGAAGGCAAGAATGGCAACTGCTTCTGAGATGCTAGGACGCATGGTACCAGCCGCTGAGGTCGAGCTGAGACAAGCTGAGGCTCGCGTGCTCAAACCCTTCGGTCTCGACGCCTTCCTCATCGAAGCATGTAAGCAGGAGTCATTCACGCCACTCGTACATGGCGAGGTGCTTGTACACAACGTTGTCCGCACATACCTGCTCGAGAACCAGGACGTGACGTACTGGAACAACTGGCGCTACGTTGGCAGCAGCAAGCCCACCTGCCGACTTTGTGCGTACTACTTCTCCGAGATCACCGACGTGACGGTGCGGGAGTCCCCTGGCAACCTCTATGCCAAGTGGCGCGCACCCGATGTCTACGACGAGGCTGGTGCCCAGCGCCGTGATGAAATTCTGAACGCCATCGCCAAGCTCATCCGACAAGACGCCCTCCGCACACTGTCGAGCAAGCTGCCTCGAGGCAGGACTGATGACTCCAGCTCCTTTCCAACGGTGGCGGAGTACTTTGCTCGAAACGCGCACAGAGCTATGCCCAGAAGCGAGGTATCTGGCACAACCAGGGGTACCACACTCACAGCCCCGCCGCAGGGTCGAGATTGGCACCATCCAGCCGCCAGCAAGCTCAACCTTACTGGATGCAGCACAGCAAGGGTAGTCAGATCTGTTGTAGGTTGACATGGATCTTTTGGCCGTGCCGGACTTGTACTGCTCATCACTGCTTCGCACTTGACTCAACTGGCTTCACGCGAGTATTGAACCCATCCATGAGATCAGCATGACAGGCGAGGAACACTGGGCTTTCCATGTTATACTTTAGGACACCGGGATCCTTGAAGGTATTCTGCATCTGCTTGTCATGAGCGTTGCAAAGGCTGAGCAGATAATGCTTTCCCCATCTTAAGAAATACTCGTCCTTGGATAGAGCCATCTGAACAGGCGGCCTCACGGAATAGGTCTCTCCCACAGCCACTGCCGCCCTATTAGGCATATCATACTAAATATGCCTTACCAATTCGATGCCATGGTCGTCGCGAAGCGATACCAAATGCATAGCGTCTTCGGACGCACTGAACTGTTAATGGCCCCGGATCGGACCACTGAGCCTAGAAAAAGGCCATTCGAATATTGTAGTGGGGTACATTACGGAGTGAGTGGGAGCCGTTGGCGCACAAACCATAACTCTCCCCGACCACGCAAGAGTCCCAAGAGCGTTGGGCGTACCATCGTACGCCTGACCAGATTCGATATCCGCGGGCTGAAACAGAGGAGATTCACTCTCAGCCGTTCTGTTACGCTACCGAAACCCGGCAGTTGGATCGAATGTTCGTGGTCGGATGCACTGGACGAAGGAATGGCTGCCTACCGAGGTAGGATCGTAACCGCCCAATTCCGAAAGGCTATCGGACGGACAATCTGTACGGCGGCATGCCTGGAATGAATCACATGGCTCCGAGGCAGGACACCGGGCAAACGCCAGTTTGGGAGGAAGAACACGGGGCAAACGCCCGTTTAGGAGGCGGGCACCGGCAATTCAGCTTCCACGTTTCAAGTTCCATGACTTTCAGCAGCCAAGCTTTTCAGGGTACTAACCGTGCCACGCCCCACCTCGCCGTCGCTACTGTTCCTGAACAGTCGCGACCACTAGGTGGGGCGTTGCACGGTTACGACTCCATTTCCAACACCTGACTCAATGGATAAAAAAAAGTAAGGTAGACATCTCGCATCAGAAATCTACTTTCTTGTGGTCATTCAAGCTACACTGCAACTCTCACCTACGCAATTCACATATCAGCTTCTATATCGACTCTTCCTCAAGTACAACGGTGCTTGAACATCGCTCAACATGGACTTTGGGCATAATATTCGCCACGTTTCCATTCTTGCCTTTCTTCTGGCGCTTCAATTCATAGTCCCCGTCGACGCTGCGCCTGCCTTCACCGACGTCAAGGGCACCACCGGGCAGACTGCCACCGCCCAGTTTCTCGACCTACGACAGGACATTCCAGGCCCTCTGGCCAAGTTTCCCAGAAGGCCCCTGAACACGCTACTGAGGATGTTCAGCAGTCTGCCCGCGGGTGAACGAGCTCTTGACGCGACACGGAAGCTTTTAACCCCGCTACAACGGGGTCTGGCCAAAGCAGTCGGTATCGAAACGACCAGGGACGACATGGCGCAGAATGCTCCTTGCTCTGATGTAACCGTCATATTCGCTCGAGGCACAACCGAGCCGGGCAACGTTGGCTTGGTGACGGGGCCACCGTTTCTCGATGCTTTATCCGAGCAACTCGCCGGGAGGTCCCTCAGTGTCCAGGGTGTTGAGTATCCCGCGACGTTTGCCGGGTTCAACAAGAACGGCACAGAAGGTGTACCGAGCATGTGCGTAGTGCATTCATTAGCTGTTGGGGTGATGGAAGAAAATCACTAACTGATTAGGACCGCCTTTATCAACCAAGCCGTCACCAGTTGCCCCAACACCAAGATTATCATGTCTGGCTACTCTCAGGGCGCTCTGGTTGTCCGTAGTACTGCCGATTCGCTGCCTGCGGACACTATGTCGAAGATCAACTCGGTGGTGACGTTTGGGGACCCGCGAAACCAGACTCCTATCACTGGCGGCGAGGGCAAGACGATGGTGGTCTGCCTCCCGGACGATGCCGTCTGTAGCGGCGGATTCATCAACATTGCTCATCTGACCTACGGCTCCGAAGCACCTGCAGCTGCCCAGTTTGTGATAGAACAGGCTGCTAGAGCATAGAAACCGTCACGGAATGAACACAGGGGCGGCCAGGAAGACCGCGCATGGGACGCCCTGGCAGCCAATCACTCACGGATCAATCAAGGAAGGATGACGGGTGTGGAAGGCTTGGCATCGTGGGGAGCCCATAGGGCGACGGGCACCCACAGTATGTCGAAGGTCAGTTTTGTAGGGTGGGTAATCGGATTACCCACCAAGATCCGTTGTCGGCCCCAACACCCACCTGTGACGACCCGACCAACAGGGGACGATTGTTTGGACAAGCAAAAAGGACACACACAACTAGGCCGCAGGATCAGGCCAAGGACAAGGGCGGATCATGCGGCAGGGCAAGTCACAGGTTTCTTATGTAAGCACGATAAGGATAAGGAACGGGTACGGTACCACCGGTCATACATGAGCTGCATGACCGTCGTAGGTGCCAAGACCGACGGTCACAGACGAACCGCCATGACCGTCAGAAGGACAAAGGATATATAGACACGATGGATCTCCTAGACAGACAGTCATTACCTTTATACTCCAGCGATCAATCTAAGTATCATTCTCACCCATCAGTTGGACTAGTCACTCAATTGATTGAGAGTGGTATCTCTTCCCAGAGACACGGCAACCATCGAGAGAGAAACGATATTCGACAGTTGTGATATTGCGACAGCTTTACCTACTTCCCGAACAGCAACCCCGAAGCCCAGTCCTCGGTTGGCGATGCAATTTTTTTTCCATTTAATTTGCCTCATTTCAGGCTCTATTTTCGTGTTTTAAACGTCTTAATTGACGTGATTTTGACGAAGTTGTGGTGGTTTTCCATAATTTCGGAGCCGTGCAGCGCCCGACCCCCTGAAAGTCGACCCCCCCCCCCGCGCCTTCCGCCTCTGGCTTACACACGATATAGTGACTTCCCTCCGCAGCGCAACTGCACACAGCACACCATATATAGCTACATTAGCTTCCAGTTCGTATCACACGACAAAACGAGCTCGGTTGGCCGAGTGGGCGTTACGCAGGGGCCGTCCTGGGGTAGGACAAGGAAGTGGATTACTACACAGGTTGGTCCCTGTGTTGGGCCAATTCTTTTTGCGATTTTACAGTGCAGATAGCGCTGAAGAAATCTTTTTTTAGGCCTTCATTTGTCGCTGAGGGCCTAAGAGGCGCCTGTAGTTTTAAGGCCTTTAGTGGGTGCGGATGGTGGTGGTGGTGGTGGTGGCAGAAACCGGCTTCTCTATGACATATAGCGAAATTTCACACGGCTGTGGATTTGACCTGTTTTACAGCTAAATTGGCACTTTTCAAAAACGCTTAAGTCCTCATAGAATCTATAACCAAAGGAAAAAAAGTCCTGGAGTTATTATCACTAAGTGTGGGCTGTGGGCGGCACCATGGGCCACGCCATGGGCCACGCTGTGGGCATCCCTGTGAGCATCCCTATCGCCATGGCCGTGGGTATGGAGATATTGCCAACCTCGCCGGCGCTGTTGATCCCGGCGTTGTTGTAGTTGACTAGGCGGTTAGCTAGTTCCCTCTCCTTCCGCCGTGTCCCGATAACCTTCATGACCTTGTCAAGCGATGCCGCACCACGTTCCCGATCCATTTGCTTCGCAACGTCGCCCTCGTCATGCTCCCAAACTCGCCAACTTCCTGGCCAGATGGTCGCAAGGTATCCCCTGATGACCGACAACGCCGGCCTTTCTCTCAAGAACGCCTATGAGGATCTGTTGAAAGAGCTGCGGATCCTCTGCCATGCTCCGCTGAAGAAACACAACAACATCGTCCAGCTCGACTCCATTCAGTGGGCTCGAATTGATCCGGTCGCCCACTCCTGGATTCAAGTGCTGATTTTGGAGCAGGCCCAACACGGCTCTCTTCAGCAGTATGTCGCGTCGAAGAAGGTTGATATCGAGACCTGTTTACAACTCAGCCAGGAGATCGGGTGTGGCCTACAGGCCCTGCATGCGAGCGGGGTCATCCACGGAGATGTTAAATTCCAGAACGTCCTCATTTTTGATCTGGGAGACGGGCGTGTGAGGGCAAAACTGTCCGACTTCGGCAGCTCCGTCATCAACGACAAAGAGAACCGGATGATCACACCCACCGCAGCAATGCACCCTTGGAGTTCACCAGAGCACGAGACTCCCGTTCCGAGCAGTTTGTTGTGCGGCACGGATACATATTCGTACGGCCTTCTTGTGTGGAAGCTCTGCTTCCGCGGTCAAAGCCCGTTTGATGGCCAGAGCAGCGAAGATATCTGGCGGCGGAAGAAGGAAGACTTGATCCTCGGCGAAGCAGCCGTTTCCCTCGAACAACGCTATCACAAGGCTATGCTTCTCACAGGCCGGGCAGCCAGCGGCGTTCGCTTTCGGTCGTACCAACTCGAAGTGTCAATTCCTCGACGATGTCTTCAACATTGCCTTTCCGCGTCGATAGAGCGCAGGGACCTTGATAGGGCGGTGGAGTCACTGCACCATGACTTATATCCGTAAGTTGGAAGATTCTGCTGCTGTGACACGACAGCCTCAAGGACAGGGAAGTCTCGAGTCTATTGTGGACGTATATTTGCTGAGAAACATAATTACAGGGCTTCGACGGATCTTACCACCGCCAACAGGACTGGAGGCGAGGAATCGCGCCTGTTCGCAGCAAGTCGTGTAGGTGCATTAGCTCTCTTCTGAAGCTGTATACATGGCACGGCATCTCACATCTCTACTTCAGTTGATCGTCGGCCACCTACGGATGTTCGACGTGCCCAAGGGTGTCAAGGCCATGCTCTGTCAGTGCATGTCCGACATTACTGAAAACCCTGGAGCCGTGGACCGGATCACCGCGATCGACTCGTTTTTCCAGCTCAGCCTCCAAATTTTTGATGGTTTTCGGCCGACGGAAGACACCATGGCTTCCGCCGTATCCTGGATGAGAAAAGCCGCTCTTGCTGGCCAACCCACCGCCCAAGTGATGCTGAGGCAGTTCTACGAAGCGGCTGGGGTGGTGATGGATGCGGCGACGAGAAACGAATGCGAGACGCTCCTAGAGCAAGGAGTCGCAAATGATTCACTTCTTGCACGACTTTGGCTGCGACGGTACAACCCTGAAGCATCGTCACGAGCTGAACAAAAGCAGGCCCAGAAAGTAGCTGGGGTGCTGCTGGGAGACGGGTGTCACCCCGAGTTCCATCTCAAAGACTGGATCGACGGATTGTTTGGGGAATTCGCCTATACATCATTGGCCATCCGACTTTCAGCATTTCCCGGGAGACAGGCCTTTTGGATGAGCCAACGGAAAAACTCGCTCTTGCATACGGGAGCCGCTTTTGGGGTGAATCCCGACCGTTATCGGCAATTCCTCCGACTGCTCCTGGAGACCATCGACGCCAGAGATATCGAGGGCAACACGGCACTCCTGCTTGCTGTTCAGTTTAATCATGTCGAGATTGCCAGGCTCTTGCTCGAACACGGAGCAGATGCTTCGGTGCCAAACAAGCGAGGAGAAACACCTTGGCACTGGCTTGTTGCCGTCGAGAAGATGAGGGATGTCACCGACCTCGGCAAGCTTTTGGAACGCAGTGGAAAGCACGTCCTGGATGCCACAGCAAAGGGACCGTTCGCCCCCCCCCCCCCCCCCCCCCCCCGACATATTCGGCATTACTTCCGGAGGCACTGCACTGCACTGGGCTGTAGAGCTGGGGCTGGCTGGACTTGCAAGGACACTGGTTTCATGCGGGGCAGAGATCCAACACTCATTCGAGGGAGCAAGACCGGTGGGCATTGCCATTCGGAGGAACAGGCCGAAAATCCTCCACTTCTTCCTCAAGGAGCTGCGTCGAAGAGGAGAAATACTCGCCCAGCCGGTTCTCTCTCCCATGCTCGATGGGATTGATCAGATCGAATCCATTGGCGCCTGGCTCCATACCAATTACCTTGTCCACACAATCCTCTTCCATCCATTCCACGAGCGGCTCGCGTATGGAGGCAAAGACTGGTTGGACAACTTGAGACGCACTCTGGCTGTTCTCTGCGAATTCGACTTGGGTACCAATGTCCCGATATCGGCGCTTCCACAGCTCCTCATATCAACGGAGGGCACTACCGCTGTGTTACAGATTCTCGAGGAAGGTCTCCTCGGCGGGGCGAGTGACCAGGCAAAGCTCTGGGCTGACATCACAGAAACCATCATCGGCATATCTGACTCTACAAATGTCTTGTATGCTATGCAGGTTGCCAAGAAATACTCTGCTGAAGGTGGCATTCCGAACGCAGAGAGGCTTCTGGGCATCTGCGCAGAGAGTCTCCAATGTGATGGGGCCGTGGTGGATGCGATTGCTAATGAGGGCATTAAGATCGACTTCCTAACACAACAGTCCCGGACGCCTCTGATGAACGCAGTTTTGCACCGGAATTTTGAGATCGCTTGCGCTCTCATCCAGCACGGCGCCGATGTCAACGCGATGTGGAGGCCAATCTATCCCGATTCTCCTGACGAAGAGCATCCTGATGTGAACATCCTCTTCGAGCATCTCACGACCAACCTCGACACAGCTCTGCTCCCGCTACGGTACCTCCTCGAACCATTGCATTCGAAGAAGGACATGGTTCCGTCCTTCATCGTGGTGCCCGACAAGAAGACAACCGCGTTACACCTAGCTTGCCAAATTGGGAACCTCCATATCGTCGACTATCTCCTCGAGAAGTTCGACACCCCAGACCACATCGACTTCGTCGACCACGCGGGTTTCACGGCATTGCACTTCGCGGCTTTTGCCGGCCACGCCAAAGTTGCAAACAAGCTCTGTGCGAAGCATGCCCGGGTGGACATCCTCACAGGAGTACCCGGCCACTGCAACGCCCTTGACTATTGCCATCGCCTATTCAGCCCGAACGTAGATAGCCTGCGACACTCGTATGGCATAGATCGAAACCTCGAAGATGTCTACTTAGGCCGCCTGGAAATTTCAAAAATGCTGGTGAACAAGCATGAGGCTGTCCGCACTGCCGGCTCCGACGACGACGAGGACATGGCCTGGCCCGTCAAGTTGTGTTTCTACGCCGCGCAGAACAACATGACTCGCCTCCTGAAGAAGCGTTGAAAGACCTTCAAGACGATTCCGCGTCTGCCGTGCGCCGCCAAAACGTGTTAGACGCCGTCGGTGCCGCTGCGGAAAGGGGCCAAGTCGGCACTACCCAACTTCTCATCGATTCCGGCGCGAACGTAAACCAGATGCTCCCTGGAGAGGCGCAAATGACCCTCCTTCACTTGGCTTCTATCAGGGGGGACGCCGAAATGGCCTACTTGCTTTTGCACACCGGTGCTGAGGTGGATGCCTATGACGGGGTGGGTGAGACGCCCCTCACGTATGCGTTGCGCGGTGGTGATCTGGCTACGTGTCGGGTACTCAAACATTTCGGTGGGACGGTGACGCTGAGAAGAGATACCATGGCTCGAATTCTTGCGGAGAAGACGCACGGAGGTACGATCGAGACGGCGATGGCCCATCTGCAGGACCAGAACCTTCACATGGTCGTGAAGCTTGGGGGGGAGCCCAGTGACGATGACACATCGGACGAGGGCGAGGCGTCTGAGGGCGAGGAAACGGGAAACGGGTGAGAGCTAAAGAAAGATAAGGCAATGAGACGGAATACTAGATACTAGGCACACCTCGTAGGAAGGTCGGCTTCCCCTTCACTTAATAGCACCCTTCCACACAAAGCAGCAACTTCGCAACTACATCACTCGCAAACACCAACGCGATTCTCCCATCCCCCGGTGCTGTCGCTTCAATCCACCTGAAATCGTCATCCAAGCAAGCCATCATCGCATCCCGGTACGTTGTGCCCATCCGGTGCGCGACAACCCCGGCATGATTCAGCACATACGTCTGCAGATCCTCGCGCCTGTCAAAGCTCGGCAAGTCTTGCCACATGGCAATCTCAAAGAGCACCAACCCGAGCGAGTAGATGTCGTGCTTTGGCTGAAACCGCACGTGGGTGCTGCCGCGCAGATCCGGGTGCTGCCACAGACGGAGCGGGGAGTCGAGATCGCGCGTGTCAATCGAGGAGCTGTCTGCATTCTCTCTTGAGGTGGTTACACAAGAGTTGATGAATGCTGACTGTAACATTACAGATGATCATCGCCACCGAAGGAAGCCGAGTCGGGTGCTCCGCGCGAACCGTGAACAATAACTTAACCCCCCGTAGAATGCGTGCTTATCCCGGTCCAGGGATTTCCGAGGGTGACGACCGAGGAACACAGACTCGCCGGGGCTCCGTGTGTTTGTTGTCTGCCCTCCTGATCGACACGTGGAGGGAGGGACCGGGGCCATCCACCATGAGGCATATGAAGATGGCATTCCGGATCTCCACTTTTGGTCCGTGCGCTAACATTTATGTTCTCATCTTCAACCGGTACCGCCCATCTGGCCACAGATGACAAGATTAGCGTCTTGGCGCTGGGAATGCCACCGTCATTTGCCTCATGGTGGCCATCCCCATTCCCGGACGGGTCTTCGGCGTCAGCTCCACAACGCAGATCCCCACGCCATCTGCCGGGATCCGGGTCCGAAGTGTGTGTGGGTGACTTCGCCCGGCATTTCGTGGCGCGCGACGCCAAAGCCGACGATCAGGGGCTGCGCAAAGTCGATGGCGCCGTGGCCGATGCGGGAGCGGAAGAGGAGGATGTTCCAGCTGCAGAAGCTCTTGTGGACCCAGGAGACGCTCAGCAGCGACAGGAGGCCGTCGGCTATGGCGTGGGCGAGGCGGTACCGGTCCTCGAGCGTTGGCAGCGCATTGAGGTTGACGCGTTTGGTCATGCCGAAGCTTTCCAGACTGTACCGGCTGATGGACGGGAGAAGGGAGAACAGCGCGACGGGCTCGCGATTGGGATCCGCCCAGGGGGGGAGAGGTAACACCAGGCCAAACCGCCTACTAGTGTAGGGGATGTAGCCGTGGCAACCGGGGAGTGTCTTGAAGTAGGGGTGGCCCCCGAGCTTGAGAAGCACGGCGAGAGTGGCGATCCGTTTCTCGATTTGATGTCGATGTCCGTGAGCGAATCGGGATATTGTGTCCCTTCTACCAACACAGTAGAGCCGTCTGATTGCAGTTTGCAGAGAGTGCGAGTTTGCCTTTCCTGGAAGAGTGGCTCAGCCCCGACGAGTATGTCCTTCTCCCGGACGACCTCTTTCAACTCCGAGTCCGAGATGCCTCCGCCGAGCCTCTGTGCCTTGAGAACGGCAGTGGTGTGTATCTCCTGGTATAGGTCAACGTGCCCGGCCTGTGCCGCCATTATCTTCCCAATGCTTTGCAACTCCGTCGGCTCGGCTGCAACTGACAGCATCTTGAGGCTAATATATCGCCTGGCCACCTCGGCTCCGTTACCACACCGATTAGGGGACGGGAGCATCGATTCCAGCCGGTCATTGAGATCCTTCAGCGTCTTCAGTGTCTCGTCAAGCTTCGCCTTATCACTTGTATCATCGACAAGAGACCAGCCAAAGGTGACCTTGCGGAAGAAGCTCACTGCTCGGCTCTGCTCCCGTTGAAGCGTAGCATCCCGAAATAAGGTCGTTGCGACCCGTGAACTGGAAAATAGGGGATCAACGCCGCGGAGTCCAGATGGCGCGGGCGCCAAACCCAGAGACGGGGCGGTACCGGGCAAAACGTTCGCAGGAAAGGATGTCGACGAGCCAGCGGTGACATCCATGAAGTAAGTACTTTCCCCTCAGTTTGTTGATTTTCTCAAGACACTTGTAAACCTCGGAGAGGATACCAAGAATTGCCTCCTCCACCGTTTGATAGTCCATGGTGGTCCAGTTGGCATCGGCAGCGAGGAGGATGCATCGCCGTAACGAATGATCGTGGACCACAGGCTCCCCGGAAAGGGGATCTTTCGTGATAAGCCCGCTTGCTTGCACCCAGCTTTCGAAGCGGAAGTACTCGACCGCGATGAGGGCGGATAAGGCGCCTGTGAAACCCTCAAGCTTCAGCTAGGTACCTGATTAAACCACTCTATCCGTGGGCACCGGAGGTCACACTCACTGGTGGCGTCTGAGAAGCTTCGCGCGGAGGAAATATGGCGGTAAAGATGAAAGACTTGAGAAATAAGGGACGTGGAATTTGCGATGGTGTCCAACATCTTGCCGCGGTTTGCGATGCCTTCTCTTTCGCTTGCAAAGGCTACGTATGTCCAAATTGGCCCAAGTCGTATCGGGGCTAGCCTCGTTCAATGGGTTGTCAAGCAGAGTCGAGTATCCATCGGCCACGAACTGAACCGACCAGGCGTCTAATAAGTAGGGGAAATGGAATCTACTCTCAGGGCGAAGTCGCAGGCGCTGCGCCTCGCTGGTGGTGGCAGTGCACAGGTGGGTGAAAGGATTGAGGGTGGCGTTTAGGTACATACACACATTTGGTCGGGCAATGAGAGCAGCAACGAGCATGAGCTTGCCAATACCGAGCCATCCATGCAGCCGTCACTCTAGGCCGCTTTCGCAAGCTTTGAGGAATGGCCACTTCAAGCGGTCCTCAAGCGCGTTTGGGTGGACGGGGCAGCGACTTTTTAAGTCGAGTTCACGTGGAATTCCCCCAAGACATATTGCTTTTCGTGGTGGTCTGCCTCGTCACGATCACTTAATGCTAACTGTATTCAGTCTCGACAAAGAGCGTATTCTAGGAAACCGGAAGATAGCCCCTGAGTACCCTAAGGGTCCGGGTCTCCCGGGGCTGAGCGTCTCGGTTCGAATGGCGAGTCCGTTACCTTGCAGCTCTATGCTGCATTGCTGCCTCTTCCAACGCTGTACTCCTTACTTCACCGCTATGGCGACGTCGTCACCCAACTATCCCCATGTCTAGTGGCTGGTCAGGTATGCAACCATCATGCACGTCCTAAGACAATTGCGTACCAGCGTCTTTGCGCTCTCCAAAACATCCCTCCCCTCCCACCAGGGCCGTTTTTTCTTTTTGTTCCCGCGTGGAGTCAGTAACAAGCTCACTCAGCCGCAGGCCTAACTTCGCATGGGGTCTGGGTCTCGCTCACGTCACACAATGGTCTTGTCTGCTCACCTCTTCTCGCGCCTTGCCCTCGCAGTCCCCCCCGCCCATCCACATTAATCAGTCGGCCACGAAACGGCGCCCATTCCCGCACACGCCTAAGAAACATCCGATCCACCGCCAGCGACCGCAGGCACGCAGGACAATGCCACGCACGATAGATGCGGTCCAAACCACACGAAAGAGAAGGCCGCACATATTTGAGAGGCGAATGTTCACCTCAAAGCGAACTTGAAGGAGGGGTGCGCGTGGGACAAGGTCCGAGGAAGCGGTATTCCACAACCCCGGCGGATCGACACAACGGTCGCGATGGGGTTTCTCGTGCCTCCGTGGTACAGTAGCGAGATTCCGGACCGGTCCGGCTTGAATGACGCCAGTCTTGTCCTGGGCGCTACCATCGTATGTTTTGCATAAAACCAGCAACGGGAAACGACAACTAGCCTCCGCTCAGGCACCTCTGTCTGCCTGACAATGTGACTAACCGATCCCTCATCGCAGCCTCTTGCCGTCTTCACTTTCGTAAAGATTGCCATGAAGACACAGACGATATTCGAGCGCCGCAGAACCTTTACGCCGTTCGTCATCATGTGCTGGGCCGAGTGGGTGGCATCGGTAGCCCTGGCGACTTTGAGCTACCTCTACCTGAGCGACATCATTCCAGCCAGCTTTTGGACATTCTTCTTCATGAGTAAGCAAGCCTCTCTCCGCCCGCAAAATGGCGGTCTCCATTACAATACAAAAATAACGACTAACCTTTGTACTCGGAGCAGTGGCATTCTGGGTGGTCGAGGTACACACTGGCCATTATCGATGGCATGAATACACCCAGGCAAATAAACGGCTAACCGTTTATGTCAAAATGACAGATGCAGTGCATCCTCCAGATCATCATCAACCGCGTCGCCCTCATCTCGCACAACCCGACCGAGGTCCGGCGGATCCGACTTGGCGTCTTCGCCATCGCCATCGCCATGAATCTCGCCGGCTACCTCATCTGGATCCCCGCGCAGCTCCAGATCAACCCGTACTGGGTGTACATCAACTCCCGGTGGGAACGGTCGGAGAAGGTGCTCTACGCGCTCGTCGACATGGCGCTCAACGCCTACTTCATGTACAACGTCCGCACCAAGCTCATACAGATGGGCCTCATCAAGTACAAGAAACTGTTGCGCGCCAACATTGCCATGGCGTGCGTGTCTGTCGGGATGGACGTACGTGCTCGAATCATATCATCTACGAAAATCTCATTCTCCTGGCGTAGCAATTTTCTCAGCGCGATAATTGGGGCTGATTTGATCTAAACATGTAGATCCTCGTTCTCGGAGCCATGTCCCTCCCAAGTACCATATTGTACGTCTGACCCGTCCTCGCCAGCAAACTTCCAGCCCGAGAAACAGCACGACTAACACCTGCCCGAACAGATACGCGCAGTTCCATCCGTTCCAGTTCCTCGTCAAGCTCTTCATCGAGCTCTTCATGGCCGACCTGATTGCCAAGATTGTGCGCGAGGAAAACCGGATGAACACGATCTACACGGACACGGGCGGCACCACGGTCGAGGAGATGGCCGTCATCATGGCCGAGCAGGGGCCCGGGGCGACCGACTCGTTCGCGCGGGCGCTCGAGCAGTTTGGCGCGACGCAGAGCGGGCACCACATGCACCGCAAGACGACGGTGGATACTGCTGCCAACGCGTGGCGGCGCGTTGGAGGAGGAGGAGGAGGAGGAGGTAATGAGGGAGGTGCTGGTGGGGACATAGTAGACGAGGTCAGGCATCTCCGCTCGTCGTCGAGTCATCGCCGCAGCAGCATGTTCAGCGACGACGAGTTCCGATCCGGTATAGGCGTGCGGGAGCGAGGTCGATGCCGCGGAGAAGGGGTTTGCGGAGGACGACATCCCCGAGGGCGTCATCGTGCAGACCACGATGACGGTGGTTACGATGGAACCGCTGATTCCGGTGCTCCCCGCGGTTCATCATCGTGATATGAACTGCTGCTGCAGCAGAGAGGAGGATGATGCGGAGAGGATGGCCACGATGAGGGTGACGTAGGAGTGCGAGAGGGCGGACGATGACAAGCCCGCGGGTGTACACGTGGAGGTCAAAGCGCCTTATTAATTAAATGTAGCGGACGGGGTTACTCTTGGTTCACATCAGAGAGTTTTGATATTGGTTCACGGACCTGCCTGATGTTAAATATGGCCTTCAAGCTTTATCCATGCATACATGAGAGTTGGCAAATGTTCCGCTCTAGATTAGTTGTTCACTTGCCCCCAAGCAGAACTCACATTGAAACCTCCGCCGAACCAGTGCTGCCCGAGTCTGATTCCCGTCAATTTACCGACACGTAGTTAAGCACAAGCCCGACCTTCTCGAGTGATAAAGTAGGATTTGGACGGCGGTAAGAGTCAGTAGTACGCCTAGAAATCTAAGCTGGCTATGTTTCTAGTGAGCCTCTGGTCTATTGTCAATGACATGCCCCTTGTTGGTCCGATCCGCGTCACTGGTCCTGTCGGCGATCGAGCTGCCATCGTGTGCTCTTTGAGCGGCAAAATTATCCGCTTGTGCCGCGCAGTGAGCGAGCGAGGCGTTAGCCGTATCTGGGGCCGGCAGCTAAGGTAGGGACGGAAGTCCCAAGAGAAGAAAGGCATTTGTAACGACCCAACCAACAGGTCGCCGAATCGGGCCAGGGACAAGGGCAGGTTTAGCACGTGAGTCGGACACCCTAGGTTTCCTTATGTAAGCATCTCCGTTATGTTAGTAACTACTAGATATGTAGATCACAACATATCTAGCGATCTATAGATATACGGATCATAACATATCTAACGATCTAGTAGGACTACGATGAAGGATAAAGGTATATATGGATAGAAGGATCCCCTAGATAGTTAGTTATTCCTTTGTACTTTAACGATTAATCTAAGTATTATTCTCACACATCACTTGAACCAGTCACTCAATTGACGAGAGTGGTATCTCTTCCAAGAGACACGGCAACACCCAGAGAGAACGACATTCGACAGGAAGTGATATTGCGACGGCTCTACCTACCCGCAGGACAGCAACCCACCGAAGCCCGACCGGACGGTTGACCCCGGAGGTCGGATCGTGACAATATGTTGTAATGATCAATAAAAGAGATTGGTCTCGAGCCTACACCAGATGGAGAAACTATTGTTCTGTTCTTCATGCGCCTTTGCTCTGCTCCTATGCCCCTCTTGCTCCCTCATCTACTCCCTTCTCTGCTCCCTTCTCACCGTTCCTCCCCGGTCCCCTTCTGCCCCTGTCCGTCTGCGCCGCTCTCTGCGCATTCTCTCCTCTCCGTTCTCCCTTCCCCTCCCCTCTATTCTTCTCCCTCCCTATTCTCTTTCTCTACCTCTATTTCATGCCACTGGCAGACTGAAACTCACACACGTGTGTTGTTAAATTGCTGCCCTCAAGCCACAGATTCCCCACGACGGCCGGGTTGGGTGGATGCTGCGCGTTCATTGGTTGACCGGGTTAGTTTATTTTCCGTGTTGATGATCGGCTAGAACTGGCACGAGGCTGACTAATTCAGAGCACAAGGGTGGCTCAGTCGTGGCGGCTTAGTGGTTGCGCGGGTGGGTTCCCGACGTAATGCCAGCAACCCAGCCATTCAGAGAACAACAAGTTATGGTGCCAGACCAACCCTCGGCCGCTCCCGAATCATCTGCAATCCTCAATCCCAACCTTCTTCAATTGAACATCGAAGCTTCATCTCTGCTCCGCCACAAGCGTTCTACCACCAGCATCGTCAATCCCTCCGTTTGGTCAAACTGCTCGGTCCCTTATCGGCTGGCACCCGACCTTCCAACTCGGTCCAAACGAGCCCTCGCATCAACCAACAAACACCCTCCGGCTTGTCTTGCCACTGTGGTGGCGGTTTGCCTACGCTCATGGCGGATGTCGAAGAGCTGCGACGGTTGCTAGGAGAAGAGAAACGCCGACGTGAAGAGGCCGAGAGCCGTGCACTAGACGAGCAACGCCGACGCGAAGACGAGCAACGCCGACGCGAAGACGAGCAACGCCGACGCGAAGTGGCCGAAGAACTTGCGAAAGCATCACAACCGCAAGCCCTCCAGCAATATCTCGAGGCCTGCCACTCGCTCGACCTTGCAATCCAGGTCGTAACCGACCGCTCTTTGACTACACAAGGCGACACCACGAACCCGACCGGCCGAATTTTCCCTCGAAGAATCATCCCCTGGGACGACTTTTCGACGAAACAGGAGGAGGTCTGGGACGACCTCTCGATTGGCAATCTTTTCTCCTCCGTGCCCGCCTTCCCATCTCAACATCAGCTAGAATACGTCAGGTCGTTGCTCAAGCCAATTAGCAGTGAGCAGGGGCTCAGGGACTTTGAGCGTGATGTTGTTGAAAACGCGGTTCAGAAGCTGGTTGATGGGATATCCATGGATACAGTACTACGACGTACTCTCGGCCTTCAAGGAACGGTGACTTTCGAGAGCCATACAAATCTCGGTACGACCGATAACGACCCCATCTCCGAGCCCATGGAGCGTATGTCTCTTGACAGGGTCGGTGCCAGTGCTGCGGGTGCCATGGCGACGGCGCCAGCGTCTTCCGCACAGCCACCGGCAGCGGCTCCCAAAGCCCGTCGCAAGGCGAGAGGCAAGGGCAACCGGGCGGACCAGTTCTGCATATACAGGACTTCAGAGGGGCAGAATGTCCCGGCGCTGGCCATTGAATACAAGGCGCCTCACAAGCTCAGTGTGGATGAGCTCGTCATAGGTCTTGAGTCGGAGATTCAGCCGGAACGGGATGTCATCAACAAGGACGGTCAAGGCCTCGCCTTCATGGCTAAGTCACTCGCTGCCGCTGTCGTCACGCAACTTTTCTCTTACATGATCGGCAAGGGCATCCAATACGGCTACGTCTGCACGGGAGAAGCCTTCGTCTTCCTCCACATCCCGGACGATCCTGCCAACGTCTACTTCTCCGTATGCGTGCCGAGCCTGGACGTCATGGAAGACGACGAGACAAGACTCCATCGCACGGCCGCCGCGCAGGTCTTCGCCTTCATTCTCCAGGCCCTCCGTACGAGGCCACCGCCGGAGTCGTGGCATGACGAGGCCGAGAGGCTCGATACCTGGGCTGTCGAGTACGACGACATCCTAAGAAGTTTCCCCACGACGGAACGTAAACATAAGGAACCCCGCGCTTCTCCTTACAAGCCCCAACGTTGGAAAGGCTTCAAGCGCTCGCCGATTCGGACTCGCTCTCGCTGCCAGCAACCGGACACCCATGCCGGCCCCCGGGAAGACGACGACGAGGATCCGCCTTCCCCTACTCCTCGCGCTGGCGGCAAGACAACTTCGTCGACGGGGATGGGCTCGCGCGGTGGCGGGAGACGAGACCGGTGCCGAGGCCAGCATCACGAGCCAGGCCCAATGACGGAGCCAAGCATACATAAGCGGCCATTCTGCACGCAGCGATGTCTCCTGGGATTGGCACGCGGCTGGCCCCTGGATGAGAACTGCCCGAACTCGCACCATCATGGGCAGCAGGGGCGCATCGACCAGCTCGAGTTCCTTCGTCTCGTCCGAGATCAACTCGCCACAGATCGCGGCCGTGACGCGGATTGCACGCCACTCCATCGATCTGGGGCACGCGGTTCGCTCTTTAAGGTGCGGCTGTCGACACACGGCTATACGCTTGTAGCCAAGGGCGTCGAAAGTGCCTATCACGCTTATCTGCAGCACGAGAACGACATGTATGACCGACTTCATGCCATCCAGGGGAAACACGTACCCGTCTGTCTCGGCAGCATAAACCTGCTTCGGCCACACCATTACGACGGCGGCGTCTACGAGCACTTCCTGTTTCTCGGCTGGGCTGGACGGCCCTTGTTCGACTACTACGACAAGGCCAGTCGGGCGCAGCTCGTCCAAGGAGTCACGACGATATTCAAGGCAATCCACAGGCTACGCGTTCTCCACCGCGATGCGGAGCCGCGCAACATGCTGTGCGACGGTGGGACTCTCATGGTGGTGGATTTCGAGCGAGCTGAGTTCTGCGGTCGTCAGCCTCTCGGCTCCATCGACGCGAATGGCCGGAATCGGAAGAGGAAGCGCGGGATATCGCTGAAACAGGGCAAGGACGACTTTGCGAGAGAGCTGGAGTCTGCCGTAGAGAAGGCTTCGAGGTGTATTGCGAGCCCACCCCGTCGCGGTCGCTAATGTTGACGGAAGACTTGGTCGCTCGTAGGCTCTAATACACAGACCATTTCGATGAGGAAGCAAGGTCGTATCTCGAATGAAGCATTTCCCGACGCACTGCAGCATAGCTGGTTTAAACAGAGCAATGGGAACAAGACTCGGTCTTCCCGTTCGATCTGATGTATCCGTCGTCAGCCGATCGTCTTCCGGGATTCATTGCTTCGTCGCCTTATCTCTTCCACTATGCCCATGAGAAATTTTCACCCCTGGGATCTGATTTTCCCCGACCTTGACACGAATCACCGCCGGACCACGAAACAAGGAATCAGCCAAGCAACGACACAGCCCAAAATCAGACCCTCGCGAGCCCAGACCACTCGTCTAGGTGGATGGATGAGACTGACTGCTAGCTGCCGCGCCCGACTAGCAACGCCACTTCGTCGCGGCAGCGTAGATCACCGGCCACACTTCCCACGGCGCCGGCCATGTTGAACGTGTCGGGCAGGAGACCGAGGTGGGGCATGGCGACGCGCTCGACCAGCGCCAAGGCCTGCTCCCACGTCTGCACGAAGCCGCCGAAGCAGAGGTTCTTGTAGGCGACGCGCACGGGCGGCGCGCGCGGCGGCGCGGAACGCGAGCTCGCGCAGGTCGCGGCCAGGCGTGGGACCTCGGTCGGCGCGCGGTGGCTGCTGTCGGCAGATGGAAAACCGACCCACCACTCCGTCGCGACGCCGCCCCAGCCGCGGAACTCGAATCCTCGTGGCACGAGCGCACAACCTGTGTTAGTGCTTCGCTCAGCGCCTTTTCCTCAACGGGAAAGCTCTTGGTTGACATGTTGGTCGATTGTGAGGAGGAAGCGCCTGGTGCAGCTCTCGATTGAAGGAAGGGTGGTGGAACTGGTCGACAGCTCGCGTGCTAATAGGGATCGCGACGACAAGGAGATGCGGATCATTGGGTGATGTTTTGGCGACGCACCAGCCATGACGGCTTACCCGTCAGCCACAGCTGATGCACGACTCGAGCCCCTATTCGCCATAGCCCGTGCCCAGTGGGCCGTGTTCCAGTGCAAAACGCGAAGCCAGCCAAGGAGCCAATCGCATCACGCGCTGCTGCGCTTTGGGACTACGCCAGGGTCTTGTGCTATTGGCTTCACATCGAGTCACGCTCACAAGACGCCCGTATCTTGGGACAGTCTCGGCACCGTACGAATGAGAGCATGCAATAGTGTTTGTCTTGCTCCACGTTAACAGTGCGCCGCAACGCGCGCTCGTGATCTGTTGAGGGGCGGCTAACTAACTGTACGCCTGTGTTCTACGCCTGTGTTGGTAGAACCTTCCAAGGTTGTCTGCCGCGCGCGAGCAGGTTTTAGCGCTGGGGTCACGGACCTGGCCACGCCTCCAGGGGGGGGCCCGAGGGGCCATAAGTGGCCCAACGTCATCGGCACTTGCCCCGCACTTGCCCCGCACTCGCAATGGAGCACGAAGGGTCGCCTCGCAGCCCGCACTTGCGCTTGAACATGAGAGGAGATGGAAGAACCCCCTCATTTTGTGCATCCTTGTGAGCGTTCAAAGACCAAAGAGTGACCCCCATCAGCTCTCGTGTCGTGTGGGACACTGTAGCGCGTATGAGGTACCTCACAAGTGTCCTGCGAGCTCTGTTCGACCATTGCTGATGAGGAGCACAGGAGGCGTCTAGAACGCACGCAGGCTGTTGGACGTTGGAGAGGTGGAGTGACTCTTACGTGGGAATGACTTACGCGACATCGGTAGTGATCACTGGGCTCACGCAACAAATGAGACGTTGTACTCCACCACTACTTGGCCTGGTCGGATCTCGCAACGTGGTGGTTAGCGCACGCTTTCTATCACGTCCCTATGCCCAGACCGGGATTGGCATCCATTCGCTCCGAATCTTCAATTTATCGCCCGTATCGGCCATCGCCAGGACGGATCCGTCAAGCATCACAAGACTGTCTTTCTGCGCCACAGTAAACCACTAGAACGAGACCAAGCAGAAGAGAGAATGTTGGCACTGTCGGACGACTATTAGCCAGGCCGTTGCTCGGGGCACCGGCCCAACTTGGACGACCTGCCAAAGCTTCGAAAATGCTATGGCTGGACAACTATCACAACACAACTCGAAAGCGCGCCAGGTTATGTCCCATGTGTCATGATCGGTCAAGAGTCGCGAAAGTTCTCACAACACTCCGAGCACTTTGCTATCGTTTGTGAATTCGTCAAAGCGAAGGCGAAGACCACTGCAGACCTCGAAAAGATGCAAATGTACTTGGAGTTCTTGTGGATAGTTGGGTTCCACCCCGGCTCCCCTTACGCCGAGAAGATTGGCTTGACAACAGGCTGTAGACATGGCCTCATTTTATTCTCCCTGGCAATGCAGGTCTCCCAAGACTCGAAGACGACCCAGGCTTACCGATTCGATAGAAGTCAGAGCTCCAGTGGAGGTGCAAGGAGGTACAACATCCACCGAGGCGTGTAGAAGGTCTCGCACACGCGGGAAACGTAATTTGGGTGCAGCTTTCGACCAAGGGCCTTTGTCTTCCCGACAGTCCTCGAACCAGCGTGGTTCTGCGACACGACCCAGCCGGCCCCAAGGGACAGCGGCCAAATCTGTTCGTAGCTTGGCTCTCTCTATGACTAACTGCTGAAAGAGGAGGAGCACATGAGACTGGGCGTATGGATATGGTATGGTGCATTCATGTGTGATTGTCTGTATTCATTAAGGCATGATAATTGAAAAGAACTGAGCTACACAACTTGATACTCTGCTCCCACCCTTACCACTCACGTCTTGGTCTAGAGCTCAAGAGTAGTATAGGACAGGCACCTTGTTTGACCCTTGTGACAACTGAGCTTGCAAGACGTCTGCCCTGATCGTCATGAGACGCTCTGTCGCTGGACTTTCAACAAAATAGCCGCGGATATCCTGCCGCAGCTTGACACACTCGCCACGTCTATCCAGTATTTTGATCGAGGTTAGATCGCCAGTGTGCACACTCAGTACTGCATTGCCACTACTGTCGACCCAACTCTGGCGTGTTTCACTCCACGTGATCGTGCTCGAGTTTCGATGCACCTTCAGCCGGCCATTCGCCACGTACAGCTCGTGCCTCCTGAGTTCAGGCCCGAAATCTGCGCTTCCTGATGTGCTGTCTTCCGTGGTAAGGTCAATGACTACAGGGTCTCCATCAACTTGTTGCTCGCGTATGCATAAACTGGCACTTGGCCTTCGGAGAGATGGAGCAGTGTGCTCGGTAACAATCGTGGTATCCTCCCATCACAACGCTGGAAGCATCTGCTGCAGCACTGCTGAGCCGCCGTTGCGTGGCCTAATTCGCATCAGAGCTGGGATCTCCAAGATGGGACAACGTGCAGGATTGCTGACTGACCAGTGAACTTGTCATGGGAGTCTAAAATCTCTATTATGGTGTGGGGAATGGTGTGGTATCGCGATAGTAAGGCCGGAATGTCACCTGTCCTTATTGTCGAAGGAGATCCCGACACACTACGCGGAGGAGCCTCTTCCAGGACCTATATCAACGTTCTCGAGGAAGGGCTCCTTCCGTTCTACGAGCCTGGCGATCCCTTCATGCAAGACAACGCCGGAATCCATCGTGCAACGGCGACGAAGGAATGGCTTAAAACACATAGTATCTGGACTCTCGACTGGCCACCTTACTCGCTAGATCTTAACCCAATCGAGCACGCTTGGAGGCTTTTGAAGCGTCAAATATATAAAACAGAGCCTCGATTTCACGACCTGAAGCGCAATTTGAGCTCAATTGCGTACGCCAAAGAGATAATCAAAAACGCGTGGGAAGATATCCCAGAACACAAGGTCAGAGCCCTACTTCAGAGTCTGCCCCGGCGTATCACCGCCTGTAAGCATGTAAAAGGCTGGTACACCAAGTATTGAAGCGCAGAACACGGTAACTCTAGAGATATCTTTATTATTCAATTTAAACGCTATTTGGCTATGTAATTACGAATTGAAATGATAGCAGTGAAGTGGTGATGTTCCAAAAAGGTGGGTGCGCACGGACTCTTTTGCGAAGGCAGTTTATGTGGTACTGTCGCCGAGGTATCCAGTAAGTTCGAGGTTATGTTGATATTGGGAGTCATTCCATCACTGGATGGCGATACTTTGTGAGCGCGATCTGCCCATGCACTCATGGTTTCGGGGAACAAATATGTCATCTGGGCTCCTTGCGAGACACCGGCGCACATTAGGCGTGGAATTGGGTTCACATGGTCCGCTGCTCTTGTCCCTGACGAGCTCGATTTTGCTGTCCCGTTGTTTTTGTCCAGTCGCTTTTCGGTTCGAAAAACCGGATCCCTTGAGATGCACCAATTGCGAACGAGGTGTCGGCGAGTCCTGATACAGAACAATGAACCGATGCTTTTGGGGTTGCCGTGATTATTGAGAACGATACTTGACCCAACGTGGTCTCTGATCCTTATTATGTCTCTCTCTCCCCCGTTTCTTCTTGGTGTTGGTCACTGTTTCTGGGTCGGGAACAATGTCCTGGACCTCGGACAACGTCAGAGACATGTTCTGCTTGGTTCGAATATGTGAGCTAGGTACACAAATAAACCTGTCGTAGTTGGGATTGTCCGACCGCGCCATGCCATCGTTAATCAAGCAACCAGTGACATAAAAAGACGTAGGAAAAGGTCCCACGATACTGATCATCTACCCAAGTAAGCGCGACATACGCTGACGTATCCATCCTGTAGCTACAAGCACGGCGCTGCATGGTGAGTTTGTCACTGTTGTCCAAGTACCAGGACAGATTAAAGTATGCAGGGTTTCGGCGCCGAGACTCGGCAGGTTGCGGGGGGGTTGTGCGGGGCAAGGAGCCGGAGCACGCGATGGTGGCTTGGTCCTTGCCGCCGGCTCCGGGTTGTGTTACCAATCACTTTCTCGACCGGGAGGACGATGACTGACTTCGGTGGTCGTGACAAACAACAATCGAGGTTGGTCGTTGCCGTTGAACAACATCAACTACACAACCCCGCGACTCGCCCCAGCCATCGACACTTTCGAGAGCCACAAAGATGACAGCACGCACACCCGTCCCGACCCGCCCGGTCGGCACCTATCCGCCGCCGCTGTCGGGCCCATACGCGGACCTCGCGCTGCTGTCCGAGGACAAGGCCGCCGACGGCAAGAGCGTCGTCAACCCGCCGGCCGACAAGCCGAGCGATGCGTACGAGCAGTTCACCGCGCCCCTGGACAACGGGGTGCGCGGAGGGTTGTAAGTCTGCCTTTAATCGTGCGCAGACAGCCACTGCTATCTGTTCCATGCTCACTCCGACGTCAAACCCAGTGATGTCCACATCTACCACGACTCCTCGGACGACGAGCAGGCCAAGTACGCGCGCCAGCTGCGGGAGCGTATCCGGCGAGAATGTGAGTTACATTCTCCTCGTCCTTTCATGTCTTATGTACCATCTGGTATCCCCACCTGTCTCTATCAGACATGTGTAGTTAGCTCACCATCTCTCTCTTTTAAACCCATCCGCAGTCCCCGAGCTCCGCATGTACGCCTTCTGGACCGTCCCGATCGGCCCGCACCCGCTAGCCATGTTCGAGGTGAACCTGCTCACGCCGGCACAGTTCGGCGCCTTCGTGCCCTGGCTCGCGATATGGAGGGGCCCGCTCTCCGCGCTGGTCCACCCGGACACGCTCCCGCCCTCGGCGCCGGGCGGGGAGGGCGAGGACGACGACGAGGGTCTGCGGGAGCTGCGCAACCACACGGAGTGCGCGCTGTGGATGGGCGAGCGGCTCGAGCTGTCGACCGCCATCTTCCACAAGATGAGTGAGATGAAGCGGCAGCGGGAGGCGGCGCTGAAGGCGTGACGGGGGGCAGATGTCAAAATGAGAGAATGATAATATTCGAAAGGGGCCTGGTGGGCTGGATTGGGCGGACAAGCGCTGGGGCTGAAGTCCCCTGGGCAAGGCCATTGTTAGGTGAGGCGAGTGAGACGTGACAGATATTGAGAGGATAGAGGCCGACGAGTGAATCGCCAGGACTTTGACAATTGAAAACGCGCTGTGGGTTTCGTATCTTCCCGACTTGTATTGGAATTTCTTGGTGCTGCTTGCTCTCATTGACAAGAACGACACGCCTTGGGATACCATGTACGCTTACACTCGACTCATTCATGGCTTGCGTGACTGAGAGCAACACCGTTACCAAAAGAAAAAGTAAAAGGATTCGCCGCTGTGATATCCCGGCTCGCTCAAAGCTTTGATCGACAAGACTGGGCCACGGAACATTTTGCGAGCGTTGTAGTTCCGTGAGCCGTGAAGCTGTTCCATGCCTACGATATGAACCGAAATTTCGGCCCCACGCGTCGGGTGCGCAGCTCTGCAATCTCTGGAGAGCCAGACAAGAAAAGTCAAGGCACGACAAGGCACAAGGCGGCACCGGATCCTTTTTTTGTTTGGCAGACACGCGCTGCCAAGATTTTCTGTACTGTGCATCTATATATAATATGTGTAAGAAGAGAAAGAGAGCGGCAAAGAAGAAAGGGAAAGAAAAGTCCTCCACAGTCTAAAGTCAACAATGCCACTCCGCCAAAAGTCATCTGTCTGAAAGAGTTCAGTCAGAACATCAGAGCCCCCTTGTTGGACACACCCTCCTATCCCACAGCCAAGCTCTCGCCCTCCACCGCCCCCCCCCCCCCCCCCCCCCCCCCCCCCCCCCCCCCCCCCCGCCCGGGCCCCAGAAATTCCCTCCCCGTAGACCATCTTCATCTTCCGAATGGTTTCCCCAAAGAGAAAATCACTCTAGAGGACCCACTTGACCTTGATGCGGCCCTCGGCCAGGGTGCCGAGCTTCTTGAACGCCGCGGGGGACAGGTCGATGTTGGCCTTGGGGCATTCCGGGCACTTGTCGACGACGGTGACGGTGACCGACTTGTTGCCGCGGGTGATCTTGGCCTTCTTGCCGCACACGGGGTCGTTGTTGGGGTTGGACGAGGTGAAGAGCTGCGCGGACACGGCGGCCACGAGGTCGTTGGCGCCGTGGGTCTTGCCGCACGCGCCGAGGCCGGGGTTGTACCAGGTCGCCTCGCCGTTGTAGGTCGCGGCGGTGGCGGCGGTGGCGAAGACGGTGAGGACGGGGAGGAGGATGTTGGTGATGGCGACCATTTTGGCGGTTTTGGTAGGACTTGAGGTTTGATTTGGGGAGATGGATGTGGAAGATGTAATGTTGAGTTGCTGCTGCTGTTTCTGAGAAGTCAGAGTCGATCTGAGGAAGCGGCTGTTATATATCGTTAGCGATGTGGACTCTGGCGCAAGCTTTGAGTTCTCAAAGAATGATGGGGTTTACCTGTGGATGCGAGGTGAAGATGCTGAAGCTGTTTGCTGTGAGTTAAGGAGAAGCTAAACAACCTATGATGCAGATCGACTGCATCTTATATACTCGAACTCATGAGCGTCTCTGCTCTGGTATGGGGAGTACTCCTGCCGTCGCTTCTCGCCAGTGAGTCTACCACCTCGAGACTTTCCAAAGCAGCCAGCCATTTTTGGACCATTCTATCATAGGCATGATCCAAGTTCCTACTTTCTTCGGCATGTTTTGTCCTGTCGTCGTTGTTACACCCCACCACATCTCCGACTTGCCGCAAGTTCGCCTACAGAGCTCCCGATGTCTGGTGTCCAAGGCTGAGTAACCTCATCTCCACCACATTGCTGACGCCATGTATATGCGCCTGTAGTTCGTCGGGTCATTTTTGCTCGTGACCCGGGTTACATAGGAAGCGTATGTAAAGGGGATATCGAATCCCTTGTAGCAACGTTGCAGCACGGCGGCGCCGACCGATCAGGGGTCTTTCACTTTGGACCCCTGCTCCCGCAGCCCTGCCCGTCACTTACCACGAGCGACTGCTGCCATTGGCTGCCAATGGGCTCCTCCTGTACGCAGTAGAGGGTATAACTTATTACCAATCCCCAAACGCACACAGCGGCGGCACTTGCCGTCTGCTTCCAGCTTGTCGTCACCGGACGAGGATCCTCGGCGGCCGGCAGGCAGTTTCTACATACAAAAGAGCTACGACCTGGCGCCTGGTCCGCCTTGGACCTGACCCACTGGCCACTTTGACGTTGTTTCCGACTCTTCGTTCTCACATTGCCCTCCCCACGCTCCACCCCACACACACACACACACACACACACACACACACACACACACACACACACACACATACATACATACATACATACACGCAAGACACTTTCACACCCGCACCCGTGGACTTTCAGAAGGACTCTTTTCTTTTTCATCCGACACTAGAGCCAGTAGACACATCCGTCTGCCTCCATGAGTCACCAACCACCATGGGAACGATTCCCGGCAACACACAAAACAACACAATGTCAGACTGGTCCGGCCAGAGCCACAGCCTGTCCTGCGACAAGTTTGGCGACATGTCCTGGATGCCCCTCGACAACGCCTCCGATCCATTGGTGGGCCCAAACCAGGGCTTCTCCATGGACCTGTGCTCGCAACAATACGACATGCCCTTGCAACCGTTCGACACAATGCAGTTCAACACGCTGGTTCCGGTCGAGCTCAACACTGCCATGATCGACGATGCCGCCTCGAGCATACACTCCTGGCCCAACTTGCCGTCCCGCCTGCCGGGCGCATTCTCCGATGCTGCCACCGCCTCTACGCACACCAGCCCGGACAACTTCGGCACCGAGCCATCCTCGTCAAGGCGGCATAGCTACCATCAGGTGCCGCAAAACAAGACCAAGTCGCCAGCCACCCGTTCAAAATGGAGAGCCAGCTCGTCGGCATCAAAAACTCAAGCAGCCACCACAACGTCCCCTTTTAACAACGCCAGTCCCGGTGCCTCAATAATCTCCACCACCAAGAACACCAGGAGCAAGAAGAATACGAGACGCGAGAAGAACAGGAGGGCCGCGACAAAGTACCGCAACAAGACCAAGAAGGGCATCGAGGAGCTGCGGGAGATCGAGAGGCAGCTCTCGGAGAAGAACAGAACCCTCAGCGCACACGTCGACTGCCTGCGCAACGAGATCCTGTCGCTCAAGACAGAGATCCTGCGGCACGGCACCTGCGAGAGCCCGCTAGTACACGAGTACATCATGAAGGCGGCCAAGCAGCTGTGAAGCAGCCGTGCTGCATTGCCCGTGCGGAGGCTGGCGCTGCGCCATGTCTGTGGGGCGAGCCGACGCACATTGCCACGTTGGGGTGCCGCCCCGTGTGACGTCTTCCGCCAACACTCTCCGCTAACATGAACGATACAACAACAACAACAACCCCCTTCCCCGGCCAGCAAGCAGTTGAAACATGTGAAATGAGTCTATCTTCCCGTGGCCCGCCCCTCGCCGTGCTATCGCCACATCCCGTGCGTGCGTGAGACCCGCCGCCGCGCGGCGAATCAGGCAGATATGACGACCACATGGAGACATAAACGTCCTGCAGGACGTTTTTGCTTTTACGGGTAACGCAAGGAAGCACATGAAGGTCACAACAAGTGTCGGGCGGGGGGTCCCCGATGGCGCACGGCCAGCTGTTGCCCGAGATCATGCCACAGCTTCCCGGGCCCGCCGGCATTTGGTAGGCGTGAAGCAATGTGTTTTCCGAGGAGCTGAGGCTGCCTTGGATACTCTGCCGCATGGCGTGACCCTTTATTGAATGACCCTTTATTGAATGCGGGAGAGCATGCGGTGAAGATGGTGACGACGAGTGGGTAATGATGCTGGAACGCCAATTGAGAAAACCAATGTTAGCTGCGAGAATACACAAGAAGCGCAGGACTGCTCGGGACTTTCGGTGATCAATAATACCATGCGATCAGGTCGGTTGATAGGGCTGTGTTTGTTCGCCGGTTCCCCGCTCATTTAATGCCGCGGGCCGAGATTGATGGCACGGAACCCGGCCGCTTGCTTGCCGCGCCGACCGCTGCTGTATGACTGCCTGTGCTCTTGTGCATGCTGCTTGGCTGCGCTGGTGAGCAACACACGCTGCGTGGAGACGCGGGCCATGAAGGTGACAAGCGACCTGAAGGTGTCCGGCTGCTGGATGTATGGCTTGATGGCCAGGAGCAATTTGAGCCACGCGGTGGTGCAAATGCGTTTCCAGGCTGACTTGTTGTTGACCTCGTTGGCGACGAGGTTGGCATAATGGATGCTCTTCTGGAAGAATGTGGTCATGGCTGTGTCGTCATCGGTCAGATCGCGGAGGGTGATGCGCCGCTTACCAAGCTTGATGTTGGCGGTGACATTGCCCATGACGAAGCGCTCGGTCAGTGCCTTCAGCATGAATGTCAAACCGGCCGCCTTGAGTTCCTTGCGGCCGATGGAGCTGAGCTCGTACATCCACCATTGGTAGGCAGTGCCATGGAGCAGGATCGAGAAGTTCTCAACGAGAAGAGTTTGCCATTGGTCGGCCGACTCGCTCTCCATGAGGTCACCAAGTCGCTTGCTGAAGCCATATGGGTCAGTAAACGTGATCATGCGGTTTTCAGACACGGTGTTGAAGCCAAGAGCATCAGGGTCCTCAGCGGTAGGGTCAAAGAATCCAATGTCCTCCTTGCATAAGCGAGGGTACCGGTTGCTGCTGAAGTTAAGTTGCCTGTGATGCATGGCCGGGAGCCAGGGTCATGAGAGGCGTTCTGCTGCTGATGTTGAAAACCTTGCTGCGATGGGTGAGGGTTTCGCGGTTGCTGCTGTCCTCGTGGCTGAAGACGTTGGTGCTGACCGTGCTGGTCGATGACGATGACCTCAGAGGACTTCAACCAACTCTCCAGGCTGGTGCACTTGTGCTTAAGGTCGTTGTGCGCTGTAATGTTGTCATCGTACTTGATCTTGAGGTCCCAGAATGTGTCGACAAGCTTGTCGTGCAAGGCGATGTGATCGTTGTGTGCGTCAACGCCTTTATTATGGTTCTCGGCCAAGCCATTATAGAGACCGACAAGGTAGTTGTGGCCTTCGAGTAAGTCTTGCCCACTCTCGGCGAGCTTGGCCATGGCCTTGGCCTGGTCGTCAACCTTCTGCTCGAGGCGAAGGTGGGTGGTACAAAACTATGGCTTGGGGAAGAAGGTTTATGATGGCAACTCGTGTACGTTCAGTGCAATATTTATGGGCGGGTCTCTCAATTTGTACGCTCATCACCCGGTCGCACCTGCGAAGAGTGGCCAGAAGCCTAGGTACTACACTACGCTTCTCAATGCCTATGCTTTAGCGGGGAATCGTGAAGCTTGGCTCGAAGGTACTGGAGCCTTCAGGAACCTTCGAGTCCTGGCCAAAGAGTACCGCGAGCGTTTCATCGACGAAGCAAATGCCAGAGCTCGGAGCCAACGCAGAACCGCAGACTTCGGAGACGTTTCCGAGTCTGAATCACAAGAACATGAAGGCTCAAGTCCCGATAACTTTTTCGAGTGCCTGCCGTTCGCTGATTCGGTTAAGGAGGACAGTGACACCCGGCTCAGTGAAGACGATGTTGGACTGGCTATTTTGCACCGTCTATGCGACGAGGACAACGCTTCACGTGCCAGAGTGACGGTCACCGTCAGCAGCCCCGCCTCGGACGCACTGCAAGCCAAGGTACCACGCACGCCACCTTCGCCTGCGGTCCCCAGGCCTCCAAAACGTGGCACATGGAAAAGCGTGTCTGCAAAGCTGCCATTCTCATGAAGACTAGGCGCCTTCGTCTTTCCGATCTCTCTTGGGCTCAGGCAATCCTAGACCTGGCTTCACCGATTCCCCAGCACCGTATCAATCAAGTGAACAGCAGTGGCGGGGTCGAACCGCTGCAGTCCGACACTGATTCTTGCCCATACCCGACGTCGTTCTGCAGCAGCGGCTGTGAAGGCTCGTGCAGGCATGGAAAGTCAGCGAGGACAATCGACGAGTCATGGCTCATAATCTCGTCAACGAGCCCCGTCCAACCATGGGAGCAGATTTCAAAAACAATGGTAGCTACGGCCACAGATGGTGGAAGTTGGCCATGTCAGAGAGCTAGCGTCAACTTGGGTGATGATCCAGAGGGCCGAGCGAGACAGCCTTGACAAGGACATGGAGAGACCCAAAATTCAGCACCTTGTCTGCCCCGGATATCTTTGATGTCATATCGCGATGACATTGCTCTTGCCTTCCGTTGTGTCAATGCAGCTTCGGATTTTCTTGCAACGATTTGATTCATGATTACCTCACGGAGCCTGGGTGAGTGTGCACTTGTTGGAGCAGGTGGAGCAGGTGGAGGAGGCGGAGGAGGGACCGTTGTGAGCCCCGCGAGATCTTCACCGGGAGGAACCTCAGATGCCCGAGGACGCCATCGCAAACCTAGGCCATGGCAGAGCAGACGGAATGTTCCTACATCCACGTTAATAATTACGTAAAGCCTCATTGAGCAGGGTGCAGCACAAATGTGAGGAGGATGACGGGACACAACGAGGGAATTTTTAGTATGATGCGACGATCTCTGAGGCATGGTCATGCTCTCTTATGCAACGTTCCATGCTTCGTGTATCTGTGCCTCCAATTTTCGCTCAGAATACTTCATCGCTGTGTGGGTGTAGATTACAGACAGCGATAGGCATCACCCGGAAGCCAAAGTGCATCGTCGAACGCAAAAGAACCCAATTCTGAAGCATCGACCGAGCGTTGAGGTTGGCGAGAAGTTGTTGATGGGGTATCGGACCGTGTATGAAAGCTACGGACATGTCCTCGTAAATTGTCGCTGCGACCGAAACGCTTGGAGCAGTAGGTACGTTGAAAGTCTTGCCGTCTTTCGTGAACGCTGTGAGAATCTGCGTAAGTGTTCACGTTTCGCAAGGTCACGTGGCCTCATGCCTCGCACGCTGATGCGATCTACGGAAAGTCCAGTTACACTCCGGATATCTGCACCTGTAAATTACTTGGAGGCAAAGTGTGGATGTCGACAGCGGCGTCGACACTGTGCTGGCCACTCCAGCTCAGTGGAAGGGTTTCCGACGATTGTGGATCAGTGCAACTTAGCTGCCTGTTGATATGGAGGTATTTAGCTAATGTAAATTACCCTAGGGTACCTAGAGGTCGAAAACCGGGTGCGTGGTCCGCGCCGGCTGTGTGCCCGCCCGCCGCCCAAACCCTGTCGCTCCTCTCGACACGTGCCTGGCTCCCGGGTCTTGGTTCTGCTTGGCCGCTGCTGAGTCTGGACCCTACGCAGTAATTAGACTGCTGACCAGGCTCGAGGCCTTAAGACCCGCCACCCCATGCGGCATAAGGGTGAGTAGCAAGCACGATACTATGCACTCTATCGCAGGCGTGCCAGTGTAGGCCAGTCGAGCTACTCCTTGTCCCTCGAGCAGAGCGACACGGCACTTGTCGAGCCCGTGATTACGCGGAGCACCTGGCCGCTGCCAGCAACGCGGGACGCCAGGCTTCTGTGACGGAAAGTGCTTCACCGTCCGTCACTGGGATCGAGGCTGTGGGCGGAGGAACGGCAGGGGTCGTCCCATGCAGAAGCGCATGCGTGCATGTTGTGGCAAGGCGCGAGCCGGCGCGTCGATTGTCGCGGTAGCCGTCCGCGAGACAGAGGAAGAAGCAAAAGTCGGAATGGCAGCTCTGGCGGTTGGTCTGGTGCGATGTCCAGGAGGTGCGTGCTCTGGGCAGGCAGAGGCTGGCACGTCATAGGCAGGACACCTGGGCGGGCGGCGAATGGCAGGAGCGGCAATGGCAGCAGCGATCCAGATAAGACACGGCCGCTCCTCCATCGCACCAGGACGGCCTTTGGTCATTCACCATCACCATCGACTCACTCGTCGAGACCTCAGGAGACCAAGACGTCCTCCACCTCCCGGCGCCACACTTCGACTCGCCGAGACAGGCGTCCAGCCTGAGAACCGACCCGAACCCACGCCACGCCCGCCGAGTTGGCAATCTCGAACCTCGAAACTGGGGCTCGGGCTGCAGCCCACTCTATCTACGCCCCTCTCTATGCGTGCGGGCCTCACGGGCTACAGAAGAAGCACACAGCTTGGCGCCACCGCCTGGCGCCACCGCCCGACAGAGGAGTCCACCACACCACCACACCCACCACACCACACCACCACCACCACCTTAAGCAGGAAACCCCTCCTCGCCGTGCCCGGCCGTCCCCTTCCTCCCAACTTCTTATCGCCCGTCGCCCGCTGCTTGCCGCAGCTTCCTTCGTCGTCGTCCCTTGCTCTCCTGTCGCCTGTCGTCCGTCATCTACCTGCGAGCACTCTCGCGATAGTGCTGCCCGGCACCCTCGACAGCCACGCACGCCACGCCAGCCGACCGCAAGCCAGCCCGCACGGCCTCGCTGCTTGCCGCCCGCCCTCCGTTTCGTCGCTTCAGCCTCGAGCGCACGGGCTGTCGTCATTGCCACTCTCGCGACCATTAGAGCCTTTCCTGTCGTTTCCCAGCGTGTCTTCTCGATCCAGCGAATGCTTAATTGACAGTCGCTGGCCTGTGCAATCCATCCCTGTAAGCTTTATTTTCTCTTCTTCTCTTTCGTTGTTCTGCCTTCACGTCATCAGCCGCCGCCCAGACCGAGAGGCTTCGTCCACAGCAGCCCTGGCAAGTCATCGCCACCATGTCCCTCTCTCTCATCACTACTGGTCGTGAGTGCGACTATTCTGCTGCCGTTTGGCATACCCTTCGCGCGAATCGTGGCCATCCGTGCGCGCTGTGCTCTGGGCTGGCTCGAGGGCGATTCTGTCGTGCATGATGAGCCACCTTCACTCGTCATCGCTCGCCATGCTCTGGTTTCAACTTCCCCGGACCTCCCCAGTTTGTGTCAACACAACAGCCCACCAGCCGCTCGGTCTCCCTCGCTCCGAATGAGGCCGGCTTGGTTGCCCACGACGCGCCTGGCCACCTTGACGTCAACGGCGTCAAACCGCTGCGTTACTCCTCATCGACGGACGACTCTCGAGCTCGCGCAAAATCGTCGGCCGGTTCCGTGGTCACCAGAGAAATATCCACGTCCAAATCGCAGCACCCCTGGGCCTCTCCCTGTCCCTGCTCGTTGGGCACGGAAAGAGACCCTGGCAGCCCGAGCAAGCCCGTTCATTTCCTTCGATCCGCTCCCATCGATGATCCTCCGGCGCGAGTCTTGTTCCTAAGCAACGCGATTATTTTTTTAGTCTCTCCGCAGGAGCGCAATTCCCCGACTATGCTGACATAGAACTCATACCACCAGACGGACCAGCAGATTCTGTTTGGTCTGCTCGCAATAACTGGCCGACGCCCTTTTCTGAGTCCAACGATGATATGGCTGCTGTAGCTAGAGGCCACGGCGCGAACCACTCTCGATTCCACTCAATCGGATCCTCGATGCGGCATCACGAACACGAATCCACCTTCCACAACCCAGAACCTCCGAGTCGACCTCGCGACATCCCACACCGACAGGCGCCTCGATCTCCGGATTCGCCGTCACGGCACTCGACAGAGTCGCCACCTGCAGTCGCACCTGCCAAAGCGACATCAGCAAGCGGGGGTGCCCCTCGACTTCCGTCCCCGCCGGACTCCTCAACCTCGCATCCTACTCCCACTTGTGCACCAACACAGAATGCGGATGGTGAAGATACAGCAGATCCAATGTCGACACAGATTCAGACTGCCACCCCGGCAGCGTCTTCATTGAGCTCTGCCGGCTACCAAGCTCCTGCCCCGCCCGCTGATAAGTCTGCGCCACCAGGGCGAGTTATTATCGTCCGTGATCTGGCTCATATCGAGAGCCTAGCCCGCGACGATGTGCTGAGCAGCGGTAACCGGTCCGGAGGGCTAGCAGATACACCTTTGCATGCTATAAAGTACGAAATCAGCAGCATGCCTATTAGCGACGTCATCGAGATGTTTGCGGCTCTTCTTACCACTACGAACGACTTGCAACACGACGCCTTACACCGGAATGCGGCACATTAGCAGACGGCAGCCAGCCACAACAACGACGGTACATCCATAAGCCCCCTCAGCAGCTCGGTACTCGCTTTCCACGGCAAGAACGTGCCTGCCATTACCATATTGAGCTATCTGAGCCGCATACATAAGTATTGTCCGACTACGTACGAAGTGTTCTTGAGCCTGCTCGTCTACTTTGACCGGATGATCGAAAGAGTCAACCGCATGGTGATGCAGGCTGAGGAAGGCCGCCGGCACTCTCAGAGCCAGCCAGAACGCAGTGCTCAGACCTCCGCAACCCTATCCGACGCTGAAATGCCGGACAAGGACAGCGAGGACGATGACGAGACTGATTCCGATCTCGCCGATGATGAGGATGAGCCCAAGACAGCGAACGATACGCGGGCAGGTTCTCAGCCCACGCCGTCGCCGGCTCCCCAATCATCGCTTATCACCTACTTCGTGGTCGATAGCTTCAACATCCACCGTCTCATCATAGCAGGTGTAACATGTGCAAGCAAGTTTTTCTCCGACGTCTTTTATACGAACTCACGCTACGCTAAGGTATGTCTGCTGCACCTATGATCGTTTCATCACGGTCATCTTGCGTTCGTTATGTTCCCTGTGCTGATTGTAGCTGTCTCATGTCCAGGTCGGCGGCCTTCCTCTGGCGGAGCTCAACCATCTCGAGCTTCAATTTCTTGTCCTGAACGACTTCCGGCTTTCGGTGCCCGTCGAGGACCTTGAGGCGTACGCCACGATGCTCGTGGAGTTTTACGCGCGTGAAGTCGTGGGATCACGTTCTGTCGAGTCTGCGGATTCAGTCGAATGAGGAAGTGGCGAAGAAACAGACGGACACGACTTCCGATTCATGCCACGGCAAGAGCCAGCGATATTTTTATGCTCGGCAGTGCGTAAATGCCATGGCGACACGACCTACACGAAATTCCTGCTCGACATAGAGCAGGTTGGCTATCCACGGCGACCCTTGCAGGGTCCGTGATTGAGTAACACCCGGAGAAAGAGTGAGAAAAGTCTTATCTCACTCTACCGGCTGGGCAAGCACTAGGACCGTTGAGCATTACGATCGAGAGGGTGCGAGGACGGCGGGCCGAGTGCCAGAGCTCAGTCAAGTGGTGGACTAGCACGGAAGAGACCATGGTGACTGTGCCGTAGAGTGATACAGGATGATAAACTCTTCCCCGACCGAGCACAACGTCTCGACTCAGCTGCTCGGGACGACGGCACTTGCGCGCAGAGACGCGGATTCCAGGGCACGATAGGCGAGGATGGCGCCCCATACACACAACGAGGCACGGCATGGGAACTGTTTTGCGTGAGGAGGGTCGCTAGGTTGATCCCCGGACATAGAGCAGACTTTCTTGACATTTTGATCTTGCATGCCTTTCTCGGGGACGGACTCTCCTTCCGGGATGGCTCACCTAATGAATACAAATTTTTCACGGCGTTGCGTGTTTTATTCTTTCCATATCGCCACTGCCTGTTATCTTGCCACGGTCTCGCTCTGTAATGTGCAACGAGTCATTATATTCTAGTGTGCTTGTTCTGGTGCGCCTCGGTCCTGCCCTGTAAACGCAAAACCACACCTGCATGTGCTCTAGTTGCCGGGTATTCATCCCGTTTTCGCGAGGGTCTCGGAAACATCTCGAGACCGCAACGATATCCTGGGAATCGATGTGGCGCCCGTGCTTGCCATCAGACATATCCTGAGCGCACTACTCTTTCGGTCCTTAGGGGGGCCCTAGCGCATCCCGTATCCTCACACCCAAGCGAGCATCATATCCGCCGCCCACCTTGTCGTGTTCATGCTAGCTCATCCTTACGTGGGTGCTGGCGGCCGGGCACCGTTCCTTTAGTCCTGCTCTCGTCCCGTCCCCCCACCCACCTTTTGTGTATCTATCTTCTGCCCTTTGCTCCCGGGGCAGGTCATGGTCGCGCGCGCGCTTTATTTTGTTACCAGCGCTTGGTCACGGGCTTGAGCTTGACCATGAGCTCGCCCTTCTCCCACAGCGTAAAGACGCGCTGGTTCATCCAGTCCCGGCTCTCCGGCTGGAGCTCCAGGTCGAAGCTGTAGAGCAGGCGGGTGAGGATGAGGCGCATCTCGGTGTAGGCGAGGCTGTTCCTTTGATGTTAGTCATCCTTTTTTGCCATTCAAACCTTCATCTGCTCTGGACACTGGGCCTTGACCCCTAGGGTGGCCTGTCTTTCAGAGAGCAAGAGTAGGAGAAACAGGGAAGCACTCACTTCTTGCCGATGCAGTTCCGGGGTCCGATGGAGAAAGGCTGCATGACGTCTCGCTTGTCGTTGACGAAGCGGGGGTCGGTCGTGTTGCTGGCGAGCCAGCGCTCCGGGTGGAAGCTCTCGGGCTCGAAGAAGTTGCGCGCGTCATGGTAGGCGGAGAACTGGGACACGGCGACGATGCTCTGCGGGTGGTGCTTTGTCAGTCTCTGCTTTCTCGTTCTCTTGGATTCTCTCCCGCTTGTCCCTTCTCCCTTTAAGCCAATTCCGTAATTGTGGTTCGCGAGAATATTCTACATGGGTGCATGCGTGTATGCGTGTGGGTGTTCGTGCGATCAGTGAAGAGATGCTGAGTCACACTCACCTTGGGTGGCATGTAATAGCCTTCGATGGTCTCGCCGCCCTCGGGGACGATGCGGGCTAGGCCTGTAGGGACGGGAGGGTCTGCAATGTGTAGAAACCGACAGGCGCGGTGGGTTAGCTATGGGATGTTGCCTGGTGGGATGGACGTGATGGAGGCGTTGCAGCTTACAGATCCTGAAACTCTCGTTGAAGACAGCTAGGAGGTACTCAAGATGGTTGACTGACGTCAAAGTGATCTCGTCCTCGGATGCAAAGGCGCCGCGAATCTCGCGGACGAGGATTTCGTACTTGTCCGGGTTCTTGAGCAGGTTGAAGGTAGTGCCGCTGAGCATCGTCGCCGTGGTCTCGCTACCGGCGATGATGAGGATCATGGCGTTGGAGGCAATCTCGTCCTCGGTGAGGCCCCTGGCCTTGACCTTCTCGTCATCGCTGTTGTTGTTGCGCAGAATGTAGGACATGAAGTCCTCGCGCTCCACGTTGCCCGAGTGGAGGCGCTGCAAGGCCGTCTCGCGGCTGAGGTTGACGTTCTCGGCGTAGCTCTCTGCAAGGCGCTTCGGGGTGATGAGGTCGGCGAAGGGCTTGAGGAAGGGGTAGCGGTTGAGGACCCCGCGGTAGGGCACGACGGTGAGGCTCTCAAAGATCATGGCGACCCAGGGGTGGTAGACACCCCTCTCGAGCATGCCAAAGGGCTTGCCAAAGGCGAGGTCGCCGATGAGGTCGAAGGTGGTGAAGTTGTACCAGAGGACGATGTTGATGGCCTCGTTGGCGGCGGCCTTCTCGCCAATGCGCCGGATGAAGAGGTCGATGTAGCCCTTCATGATGTCTTCCTGGCCGCGGAGGGCCTTCTCGGAGAATGCGTGGGCGAGGACGCGGCGCATGCGGCGGTGGTCGTCGTTGTTGGCAATAATGATGTTGGAGGCATCCTCTTCGCGGACGGCATAGAATATGGGATCCTTATCGAAGTTCTGCTCGGCGTTCATCTTGTGGCCGTAGATGGGCTTCCAGGCGTCGGTGGAGTTGAAGGAGACCTGGTTGGCCGTGTAGCGGACGGCCGGGCCGTACTTGTCGTGGAGCGTCTTGAGGTGGCCATCCCAGGTGCCGTTGATGTAGTGCCTCACATAGAAGAGGTCGGTGATGGCCCAGTGCTTGGGGCCGGGGACCTTGGCGAGAGGGTGGAAGTAGAGGCGATAGATTGTCTGGACGATGAAGTAGGCGAGTGTCTGTGTTGGGGAACGCGAGTTGGGCAGGTCAATACAGTGAGCACGTCACATGTGGTTTGACCTAGACCCTGCTTCCTGGTCTGGCCGATTCAGGGAAGGAGGAACTTACCGCAATCACTCCAACGCCTGCCAGTTGCAACGGAGAGGCAATCATCATCAAGTTTGACCGGGATACTGCCCTGTTCGAGAATGGGACGTGATCTTTGTTCTCTGTCGGCGTCACTGGTGTCTGTGGGCTGGTTCAGAGGTTGTGGACAATGGACATTATGGAACCACCTATCGTGTGGTGCAATACCACTTATAAATGTCTCCAGAGTATCAACCCACCCGGAGGGGGGGGGGTCCCAGCGCCGCACACAGAGGTGTCGGAGCCATGGCGGAAAGTCCGCCGTCGTATGATTACGAATACGCGCAGCAGGATGCGAGAGGGATGCCTGTGCCTGCGCCTGTGTTGGGGCATTTGACGTGTGCGCGACTCAGGGCCGACTGGGGAGGCTCATAACGGCGGTCTGAACTACCCTACCTCGCTCTCTTATCGTAGGTATGTTCCTTGCAAACCTTACATAACCTCGGAGACTCGGGACCCAGGATGGGCAGCTACTCCGTGCCACGTCTCGGAGCGGCCCATCCTGGGTCCCGAGCCTCCGAGGTTATTTAAGGTTTGCAAGGAACATACCTACACTTGCGGCAGTGGCCTCGTGTGCTCCGGCAGATCTGGGCAGTAGTATACCGTTGGCCCATCCATGCCCATGCCTCCTGGCCATGCTGCGTATCGACGTCGTCATCGGGAGCCGGGCGTGCCGACAAGTTCCCGAAAAGTAACCGAGGGCACGCCGTGTCCCAGCACGACGTGTCTACTTCACTTGACACTCCAAGTACTGGACCCGGCGCCCCCGCTGTCCCGGCTCTTCTAGAGCACACATGTTCGAGCGGTTGCCTGGTCTCAAAGGTCAGCACTGCAGTTATTTCGTGACCAACCTCAGTCTAGTTCGTTTCATCTTTTCAACTGGCCCTTCTTGCCGGGGGTCCGGTCCATAGCCGGCCTGGTGATGCGCAGTTGTTGCACATACTGAGCATAACATAAGCGCGTGTTTCTGCGGATGTCGCAGTTCTTTCTTTTTATTTCGCACTCAGCTTTACCAAGCTGTCGTGTTCGCGCACTTGGTCCTGCTTGTCGTGGGAATGGGGCCACGCGTGGGCAGTTCTTGGAACTTGGGCAGGCTTTACCCTACAGACCCTGAGTTCGGAATTAACGCTTTGCGACCTAATTCTGCAGCGGCTTCCGTCTCACTGTTCTGATGAGTCAGCACGTAGTACGAGCAGTGGTCCATACGCCGTGCTCACACGGCACGTGATAGCCTGGCCCCACCCCCCAGCAAGCCGATCATCAGTCGCGTCTCAGCCCGTGCGCGGAGTCGGGACCCAGGACAGGACTCGTCAGGGAAGGAGCGGGGCGTGTGCAGTGCTCAAATTCAAATGTGATGTCCACATCCCGGGCGCTTGGCACCTCGCACTCCCCTGCCGGCGGGTCCTGCTTGATAATCTTCTCTGATCGCAGTCGCCCGCGGGCGCCGTGGCTTTCCATGTCCGAGACCTGCGATGCCGCACTCCATCTCGGCGCCAGCGTCCCGCGACTTTGGTCCGGTTCTTTGTCCGCCACCCGTCACACCCCCTGTGGCCTCGTTGCCGCTCCGCTCCCGTCGCTGTCTTTTCCCCGCGACCACCGGCCGTCCTTCGTCCCTTTTTATACTTCCAGAGTCCCCCGACCCAAGTGCCTGGTGTCTCCCAAGGTCCTCTCGGCCATCCACTCCTTCTTACACCTCCCTCGCCCGGCTCTCCACGGCAACTGACGGCAATCCCGCTGTTGCTGCCAGACTCACCACAAACACGACACAGTCCGCAAACCACCACCCCCATTGCATCAATAATTCCGTATCTGGTCAGCATCGGTCTCGCTCTTGGTGCATCCTGGGCTCGTGCGACGTCCCAGCTTAGACCCAATCACCATCACCGGCGCGCGGCCGCATAGCCAATCACGACGCAACAAACCCGGAGCAACCGACGGCGAGTCCTCGACCATAATGGCGGATCACCGTGATCCGGAGAAGGCCCAGGAGGGCATTTCAGCACTAGCTGACTCCGCCCAGATTGCTGCCGCGCACAAGCACATCTCTGGCAAGGCACCCACCGAGCCTCCGTCCAGCTCGTCCGGCTCCGACGCCACCATCTCCCCAGAGGAGGAGCGCGAGAGAGCAAGAAAGGCAAACCCCAACGGCTTCGCAAATGCTCAGGGTGGTGTCAACATTGATCGCGCAACCGCCGATTTTGCCGAGCTTCAGCGCTCAATTTCGGGTCACTCTCGCATCAGCCGCATCCAGAGCCGTCAGAGCCAGAGGGGCGGTGCCGATGTCGAAAAGGTCAAGTCCAGCCGGACCGGTGGAGACGAGTCGGACAGCACCGAGGAGCTCTTCGACCTCGAGGCTACGCTCCGTGGTGGCCTGGCTGCCGAGCAGGAAGCGGGCATCAAGCCCAAGCACATTGGCGTCTACTGGAACGGTCTCACGGTCAAGGGCATGGGTGGCTTCTCCAACTATGTGCAGACCTTCCCTGACGCATTCAAGAATTTCTTTGACATCCGGTCGCCCCTGAGGAATCTGGTCGGCAAAGGGCCGGCCTTCACCGAGGCCACTCTCCTCGACAACTTCAAGGGTGTTGTCAAACCCGGCGAGATGGTGCTCGTTCTGGGCCGCCCCGGTTCGGGCTGCACGACCTTCCTCAAGAATATTGCCAACCAGAGGGCCGGGTACACGGGCGTTTCTGGTGAGGTTCTGTACGGCCCATGGACTGCGGATGAGTTCAAGCAATACCGTGGCGAGGCTGTCTACAACCAGGAGGACGACATCCATCACTCGACGCTCAGTGTCGGACAGACTCTTGGTTTCGCCCTGGATGTCAAGGTGCCCAACAAGCTGCCCGCTGGTACCACCAAGAGCCAATTCAAGGAGGACGTCATCTCAATGCTGCTCAAGATGTTCAACATTGAGCACACGCGCAACACTGTGGTCGGAGATGCCATCGTCCGTGGTGTCTCTGGTGGCGAGCGCAAGCGTGTCTCCATCGCCGAGATGATGATCACCAACGCATGTATCCTGTCCTGGGACAACAGCACTCGCGGTCTGGACGCCAGTACTGCGCTCGACTTTGCCAAGTCTCTTCGCATCCAGACAAACCTGTACCAGACGTCGACCTTTGTCTCTCTGTACCAGGCCTCCGAGAACATCTACAAGCGGTTCGACAAGGTCCTCGTCATCGACTCTGGCAAGCAGGTCTACTTTGGGCCCGCCACCGAGGCCCGCGCTTACTTTGAGGGCCTTGGATTCCTGCCGAGACCTCGTCAAACAACTCCGGACTACGTCACTGGATGTACGGATGAGTTCGAGCGTGACTATGCCGACGGCTACTCTCCCGAGAACGCGCCTCACAGTGCAGAGACCCTCGCCGAGGCCTTCGACAAGTCCACTGTCGCTGCTCGTCTCCGCGAGGAGATGGCCGAGTACAAGACGCAGCTGGAGCACGAGTCTGGCAAGCACGATGATTTCCAAACCGCTGTCAGGGAGAGCAAGCGAGGCGGAGCTAAGCGCTCCGTCTACGGCGTTGGTTTCCATCTCCAGGTCTGGGCCATCATGAAGCGCCAGTTCGTCCTCAAGATGCAGGACAAGCTCAGTCTCTACCTCTCGTGGCTCCGTGCCATTGTTATCGCCATCGTTCTCGGTACCCTCTATCTCAACCTCGGTCAGACATCAGCCAGTGCCTTCAGCAAGGGCGGTCTTCTTTTCATCAGTCTCTTGTTCAACGCCTTCCAAGCCTTCTCTGAACTAGGCTCGACGATGACCGGCCGTCCCATCGTCAATAAGCACAAGGCATACGCTTTCCATCGACCATCCGCGCTGTGGATTGCTCAGATCTTTGTTGATACTGCTTTCTCAGCGGTGCAGATCATGGTGTTCTCGATTATTGTCTACTTCATGACCAACTTGACGAGAACTGCCGGCGCATTCTTCACATACTACCTTCTGATCTTGGTCGGCAACATTGCCATGACTCTCTTCTTCCGCATCATCGGATGTGTCAGTCCCGACTTTGACTATGCCATCAAGTTTGCTGTTGTCTCCATCACGCTGCTGATCTTGACTTCTGGCTACCTGATCCAGTACCAGAACCAGCAGGTTTGGCTGCGCTGGATATTCTGGATCAACCCCTTGGGACTGGCATTCGCGGCCTTGATGGCCAACGAGTTCGGAAGGAGCACCATGACATGTTCGTCCGAGTCTCTGGTTCCCACCGGCCCGGGTTACGACAACATCAACAACCAGGTCTGCACCATCGCTGGATCGACGCCAGGCACTCTCGAAATTGACGGTGGTGCCTATATCACTCAGGCCTTCCAATATGCTCCCCAGGATCTATGGCGCAACTTCGGCATCATCATGGCCATCATCGTCTTCTTCCTTGTCATGAACGTCCTTCTGGGCGAGTTTGTCAAGTTTGGAGCTGGCGGCAGCACCTTCCGCACGTACGCCAAGCCCACCAAGGAGCTTGAGAAACTCAACGCAGATCTCGAGAGCTCGCGACTCCAGCGCCAGAAGTCGAGACGCGAGGGCAAAGACGAAACTTCTAGCATCAACTCTGTCAGCGTCCTCACATGGGAAGACCTCAACTACGATGTACCTGTTCCCGGCGGTACTCGCCGTCTACTCAACAGCGTCTACGGCTATTGCAAGCCAGGTCAGCTTACTGCCCTCATGGGCGCTTCCGGTGCTGGCAAGACAACTCTCCTGGACGTCTTGGCGGCTCGCAAGAACATCGGCGTCATCGCTGGTGATATTCTGGTTGATGGCGCGAAGCCGGGCAAGGAGTTCCAGCGATCCACCTCTTATGCGGAACAGCAAGATTTGCACGACCCGACCCAGACTGTCCGCGAGGCTCTGCGCTTCTCTGCTGATCTAAGACAACCTATGACGACTTCTCAGGAGGAGAAGTATGCCTACGTCGAAGAAATCATCGCCCTGCTCGAGATGGAGGACATTGCTGATGCCATCATCGGATACCCTGAGGCTGGCCTGGTCGTCGAGCAGCGCAAGCGCTTGACCATTGGTGTGGAGCTTGCCGCTAAGCCTGAGCTTCTGCTGTTCTTGGATGAGCCTACCTCTGGTCTTGACAGTCAGAGTGCCTTCAACATTGTTCGTTTCCTCAAGAAGCTCGCTGGCGCCGGCCAGGCCATCCTCTGCACCATTCACCAGCCCAACGCTGCTCTGTTCGAGAACTTCGACCGCCTGCTTCTGCTCCAGCGAGGTGGCCAGTGTGTCTACTTTGGCGACATCGGCAGCGATGCGCATGTTCTCCGCGACTATCTTGCCCGCCATGGTGCTGTTGCGGGCGAGTCTGAGAACATCGCCGAATTCATGCTCGAGGCCATTGGTGCTGGTAGTCGTCCACGCTACGGTGACCGGGACTGGGCCGACATCTGGGCCGACAGCCCCGAGCTTGCCAATGTCAAGGATACGATCTCTCAGCTCAAGGAACAACGCATGGCTGCCGCCACGGAGATCGGTCCGGCTCTGCAGCGCGAGTTTGCGTCGCCCAAGTCCCATCAGCTGAAGACCGTCATGCACCGCATGAACGTGTCTCTCTGGCGCTCCCCAAACTATCTCTTTACTCGCGTCTTCAACCACGTCGTCATCGCCCTCTTCACTGGTCTCACCTACCTGCAGCTCGACAACTCTCGGGCTTCGCTGCAGAACAAGGTCTTCGTCATGTTCCAGATCACCGTCTTGCCCGCTCTGGTCATGTCGCAGGCTGAGGTCATGTGGGTCATCAAGCGAGCCATCTTCTTCCGCGAGCAATCGAGCAAGATGTACAGCACCTTCACCTTTACCACCACCATGATTGTTGCCGAGATACCGTACTCTATCCTCTGCGCAGTCATCTTCTTCTTGCCCATCTACTACATGCCTGGCTTCCAGTATGAAAGCTCGAGAGCTGGTCTCCAGTTCTTCTTTATGCTGCTGACCGAGCTGTTTGCCATCACTCTCGGCCAGGTCCTCGCCGCCATCTCTCCCTCGGCCTTCATTGCTTGCCAGTACGACCCGTTCATCGTCATCACATTTGCCTTGTTCTGTGGTGTGACCATTCCCTATCCGCAAATGCCCGGCTTTTGGAAGGCGTGGCTGTACCAGCTGGACCCTTTCACGCGCCTCATCGGTGGCACCGTTACGACAGCTCTCGAAGGCGTCGAGGTCGTCTGCAAGTCTAGTGAGCTTCAACGCTTCAATGCTCCAGGTGGATCCTCCTGCGGCGAGTACATGGCGCCGTACTTCAGTTCTGGTGGCCTGGGCTACATTGCCAACAACGCCACCAGTGCTTGCGAGTTCTGTGCCTACAAGGTCGGCAACCAGTTCTACGAGCCTCTTGGCTTTAGCTTTGACAACCGCTGGAGAGACCTGGGCATCTACGTCGCATTCATCTTTAGCAACATAGCTATCCTCTTTTTGGCTGTAAGTACTGCCTCATCACTGATAGTGTTGTTGAATTTGACACTAACTTGTGTTTCTCCAGGGCCGCTTCTTGAACTTCAACCGTCGCTAAAGCACTGCCCTAGGCGTTGCCACGTTTCATTGCTTCTTACGAGCGTGCGAGGACGTTGTCCCACGCAGCCTATGTGCTATGATTCTGCCGTCTCAGATCCGGCCACATCGGATCTCGGCATATCGGCCGGCATGTTGGTCCCACATGTCTTGATTTTTTGTTTGGAATTTCCATCATAGAGCACAAAAGCCTACCACTAGACTGTTTTCTTAGCACCATTCATCCCGCCAGGAACCCACTCTCTACATATCCCTTTTAATGGTCCACAACACTGCTGTGTGGCGCATTGTTGCAGCATTCTAGCGCTCATAAGATAATAACATAGACACTGGTTCTGACTTCGTGGCAAAGACCGTTGCATAGCTGTGCTGCACGAGGGGTAATGGTGACAAGATGGGCTTGACCAAGTACAGACTGACTTGTGCATCTCGCCCTTGAGAATCGGTTCCGGGGATCATCTATGTTCATCTGTGTGCGATCGGACTCCCCATGGCTCCCCCCTCGCTCGAAGAACAGAGATAGGCACGATGATGGGCTCTCTGAGCAGGAGAAACAGTCCCATGCCCACAGCCGCAACCCCATCCGCACGGAGCCGTGCGGTGCTGACGGGTGATGCTCTTCCCTCAGCGGAACCACTAGCACTGCTTTTACCACGGCAAAACCCGTGATGCAGGTAGGACTTGCACTGCGCCGTGCCCAGGCGGGCAAAGGCTCGGAAACATCGGACCAGCTGGGGCGCGTGGCTGACAGTGTTGACGGTGTCCGGTGAAGTCCTGAGCGATGTTGCACTCGCATAGGGGGGCACGCCCGCGCCGCGGGCACCTAGAGCAGTATCATCATGGTCGTCTGCAGGCCCCGTCGGCGTGGTGCCGGCCGTATGTTGGTGCCCGACCTGCGGCCAGAAGCATGTCCATGGTGAAGACATTGCTGCGGGTCGCTCTCGGTGGCCGAAGCAGTCATGGTGCTTACTGATGTCCTGTGTCCTGTGGTCCTGGAGGATGATTATCGGTAAAAGTGAGCCTCCGAGGTTGCTGCTGCAGTTGTTGTGCCTGACAAGGGTTGGTCGTTGTCGTCAAGAACAAGCTCCGAATCAGGCCGGCCGGGGGTAGCTTACGCTATACGTGGATGTGGCTGGCACTCCCTGCTCCGGGCGGTTGCATCCGCTGCACTCCCGCGGCCGCATGCAGGTCCCCGGTCGATCCCATGGCCTTCGCAGCACGGGATGCTTCTATTGACTTCTCTGCGCTGCCCGGAAGGCTGAATGCGCGCATTTCCACTGACAGCGATTATAATGCTGTCAGGCCGTTTCGGCAGACTGTCACGTTGCCAACACCTGCCCAAACACGGGATGGACGGGCCCGCTGTCAGCAATGCTGTACGGCGGCCGAGCGCTGAAGTCTCGACGGTCACGCCATTGGAGCCAGGTTCGGCATGGAAGTCAGGCACGAACGCTACATCGGCATATACCCTCTACTGCGTACAGGAGGAGCCCATTGGCAGCCAATGGCAGCAGTCGCTCGTGGATATGTCGGGTCCTGGTTGATCCAACATATCCACTCCTGTCCTTTCTTGCTGACATAATGAGATGCTTATGTAACCAGGGGTGTGCCCGCCCCGCGTGCATGACCTGCCCTTGTCCTTGGCCCGATCTTGCGACCTGTTGGTCGGGTCGTCACACTTCCCTTCTTCAAGAATTAGTCTTGCAGTAATACGACCCCTACCAGCCACTCTTGACTACCTAACTTACCTACTTATGGTGTGACCCTTACATTGTGACACATTTCGCCAGAATATTTAAGCACTCCCAGCCTACTCCTGCTTTAACGACTGCGACAGGGAACAGAGCAATACAATAATATGAGATCGACACTCCTCATACCTACCCTAGTGCTTTTATCAGTCCCTAATAGCCTCGCTCAGGTTACAGCCAGGAATATATCTAAATTACAGAATACCGTGTACTGGACCAATTGGTTCGCTAGAATATCCCTAAAGCCTTCGAATATCGCAGGCAGTATAATAATATTACATCTAGGAGTGTATACGCGAGGAACTACCCTCCTCAGAAGTTGCCCGCGTCTGAGATAACTCAGGTTCTGTACTCGTTTATGAACGTCCGCGAGGATGGTACTGTGTAAGTTACGCAAGTGAGCCACGAAGACAGAAACTGAGAGATGATTCTTAGCTTCACTGGAGACACGAATGCGGACACTGGCCTTCACTTTTCAACTGATTGTAAGAAACTGTCCCGGAAAACCGTCTATATCTATGAGAGTCCTAATGACAAGGTGCTTATAGCATGGACAGACATGGGAAATAACGCGTACGGAGCTGTGAAGCAGCTGGGTCTTCTTAAGAGATCTCACCGCCACCTAAAGGTTGTCTTATCTATCGGCGGCTGGACGTGGTCCACGCAGTTCCCTGGTGTTGCGGCGGACCCAAATAAGCGAGCAAACTTTGCCCAGTCGGCTGTCACTATTATGAAGAACTATGGTTTCGACGGCATTGATATTGACTGGGAATATCCAGTGACCGCTACCGACGCTCAGAACTTCATTCTTCTACTCAAGGCCGTGCGTTCAGAGCTAGATTTGTACAGCATGCGTGCAGCAAGTGCCTACCACTTCCTATTAACTGCTGCTACGCCGGCAGGGCCGAAGAACTACAACATTCTTCAACTTAAGGAGATGGGTGAGATACTCGATTACGTGAATGTTATGACCTATGACTACGGCGGTGGTTGGGATCTTTCTAGAACTGGTCACCAAGGTAATTTATACGCTAATCCATCCAACCTCGAGTCGACACCCTTTTCTACAGATCGTGCAATTATCGACTATACAGCAGCTGGCGTCCCGACCCACAAGATTGTTATGGGAATCCCGCTCTACGGTCGTGGGTTTGAAGGGACTTCTGGGCTGGGCCAGCCAGCTAGTGGCACTGGTCAAGGCACTTGGGAGGCTGGAGTATATGACTATAAAGTTCTCCCTCTGGCAGGCTCTGTGGAGAAATACGACACCGTGGCTGGTGCCTCATACTCCGAAGACACTTTCAATCACCGCATAGTGTCATATGATACGACAGCTAGCGTTAGAAAGAAGCTGGACTATATTAGTCACAAGAAGTTAGGAGGAACCATGTTTTGGGAGGCGTCTGGAGATAGGAATGACAGTGCCTCACTTATCGCAACATGTTTCAACGGCCAAGGCGGCGAATCAACTATGGACAGAACTCCCAACTTGCTATCTTACCCAGAATCAGTGTATGACAATGTTCGCAAAGGCTTCGCTTAGCCGCTAGGGCAAAGCCCCTGGAGCATTGAGAACCGCAAGCTACTAGAATGCAAGTCCGTAGAAGAATTCCATTATCAAAACTCAAAAGGTTCCCATTTTTCAAGCATATGTAGCGGTAGTAAAACTTGGAGTTCATCGCTGTGACAAGGCGCCGATCTTTTGAGGCGAAGTTCTATATGCTTAAGGAGAGACGGAACCATATGCGAGCAGATATTGTGCGCGTGCTCGGATTGCGAGGACCGGGTTGTCCTTAGGGCAAAGACAAGAAAAATGCACAGGATCGCGAATGGGCCTCTCTCAACGTTCTCGACTCGAGTCCTGGGGGAAAGACGTAGAGTCTGCGACAAAGCGCCCGACGCGGAAGCCGACAAAGCACGATTAATTCGTCTTACACTCTTCAACAGAGTCACTCAATAACAATTTTGGTACCTTTCTCCGTGCTTAGCGGAGTTGTGATAGGCTTCGACTACATTAACTGAATGCCCTCCATCATTTTGAATCGACCGCCCGATGAGCGTGGGCATAGAGACCAAGTGTGAGCATGGTGGTGACGCCCAAGGAACCATGTGTGTTGCAAATTTATCTGTTCTTGAGAACCCGCTGTACCCAGCTAATATTCGTCGATGAGTAAACGGAATTTCAAGTACTCCCCTGAGCACTTCACGCCCAGGAATCGCATGAAATTCCTACCGTCGTACTCAACCAGGCAGTCTTCCTCAGAATTGACCCATGTTTGGCGTATGAAAAGGAACAATGAGTCTTTATCTCTCCTCTCTATGACTATCTCAGCCACCAGGGTCCAAAAAATTGACTGTGTGCTCAATGTTTCACGAGCTTCGAGAGATCCTGAGCAGTAACCCACGAAGATAAGGTTTTTTCTCTGGTAACAAAGAGAACTGTAAGTTTGGGCCTGTCAGCCATGAGCTGCAGTAGTGGAAAAAGTTGATGAGTTTCTCCAAGTGAGTCGAAGTTCGTAATATGAAGCTGTAGCTCGCTGTCGAAGCCAGAGAGTCGATAGGCGGGAACAGCGCTTATCTCGATCTGGTGGTTCGCGCGTGTGAGTGCTGGAAGGACCTCTACACGATATAATTTGGAAACCTCCAAAAGAGCAAAAAGCCCTTTTGCCTGATAAGCTGTGTTGTTTAGACTCCATGTCAGACGGATGGCTGCTCCACTGTTCTGTATCAACCAGTCGTAGATCATGTGTCGAATTTCTATGCATGTGTCGGTAAGCGAGAAATGTTACACAGATTTGAGTTCTTACCAGGAGGAAGAGTGCACAACAGAGCTCGTGGCTGAACAGTTGTTTCCTGACCGGTTGTGGGTTCTGTCATGATCGGGGCAGAGGTTAAGGCTTTGATGCACGCCAGTACTAAGACTTGAAAGGAAGCTACTATCAAGACAGGGTGCAAGAAGGTGAGTTGGGTCGTAATGGAAGACAAGTAACCTGTCTCTTATATATACATGTAGAGATCTTGAAAATTAAGTTAGGGGCGCTTATCTTCCTCTGTGCATAATATGTATTGCCTCGGATATGCCTTGTTTTGCATTTCATGCCGGTCTGCGAGACCTCGTAGCCTGGAAGATGCACTGACTCCGCCATGCCATTCATGTATAGTGCTTCAAGTCTGTTGCGCAGAAGGTCAAGGTCATCCTTCAATGCGCATAAACACAATGATGTGGGTTAGTGATCTTGGTCTTCCGTAAACTGTCCATCATCGGGAGGGGCGCCCGAAAACAGAGCAGTCGCGTACAGCTCTAAGAATTATGTCTGACGCTAGATGCCGTTTACGACATACTGGGGGGCTGAATGTAGAGGATTGGCCAGTGAGTATAACCCCAAGGCTATGTTTCGATACGCTCTGCTACAGTCTAAGTCCTCACAAGTTGGGTCGATACATGCCTTAGGACAAACAATTGCATCAATGGACAACACCACGTCCGATGCTGCACTACACCTCATAGTACAGTCTCTTCGGAAAGACATACAAATTACATATCGTTTGCCGCCTCAATTCTTCTGGCATAAACGGGAACGTTTTGTAAGAATACCCAGCCGGCATTGCGAGATGGATTTTGGATCCCTCTCGACCTGCGTGGTTTTGCCTTTTACTGCCCGGATTACCCTAAGAGAACAACGACATTTGACAGAGATATTGCCTCAGCTCTACCTATTCACCAGGATAGTAACCCCGACGCCTGAGCTACGGTTGAACCCTGAGTTTAGATCGTGACAGGATACTACATTAAGCTAATTTTGAAGCAAGGTATTTCTATCTAATCTCCTTACATGTTATTTTTGTCCCTTAACCTGTAGAAGGTATCTATCTAGTCTAAGTCTGTGGATAGCTTAGCCCATGGCCAAATCTGAATGCAGGATATTTTGTATCGTGTGCCTTATCTGTTAATGACGTATCCACAGCCGCCATGGAGCGTGGCAGGTCGAACGGCAGCTTGCCCAGCGGCTTGGCCGCCCCGAGCAGAACATCCATTAGTGCGTCGGGCCCCGTGCCAAAGGTGCCGAGTAGCGCGGCGGCCTTGCCGACTAGGGGCGTCACGACGGCCGGGCGGTCCAGATAGACGTCAACGACGGTGGGCGCGTCGGCGCAGATGGCCAAGACCTCGGTCAGGAGCTCGTCGCTGAAGTCCAGAGACCCGGCGTGGAACGTGCTCGCGAAGGCGCCGGAGCGCTTCTCGTAAGGTGCCTGCAGCCGCACGATGGCCAGGTCGGCCTCCTTGGCGCTTCCGACGACCGTGAACCCTCGGGCCGTGGCGATCTCGGCGGGGAAGTCATTAAGGAAGACCTTGCAAGAGGATGGAGGAGAGTTGCTGCTCAAAGGCAAGAATTGTGTCGCGTTCTCCAGCACCGTGATCGAGGCTCTCTGGGCGGCGGCAGCCTCAGCGAGGAACTCTGGCGTGCCGACGTTCTACGTCGCCTGCTCCTCGTCGAGGAACGGGCTGTCGAACAAGCCAAGCATGAACTTGTCCCGGAGGATCCTGGTGACCGACGCATCGATGCGCGACTCTGCCACGCGGCCGCTCCGCACGAGCTCGATGATGAGATCGCTGCAGATCTCGCCGCCGAGCTGGTCGCAGCCGGCGTCCAGAATCTTGGCGACACGGTCGAGCCGGGACTCATCCTCGCAGCCCCAGGCGCGCACCTGCTGCATCTCCCCCATGATGATGTGATCAGTGATCATGCCAAAGTCCGTGACCACGACGCCTTGACGCCTTGAAACCCGAGCTTGCCGCGCAGAAGGTCGGTGACGATGGGCTTGTTGAAGCCAAATGCGACCTCTGGGAATTCGGGCATGCCCGTAGGCACGCCGTACGCCGGCATCACCTGCGCTGCGCCGGCCTCGAGCGCCGCGCGGAAGGGGCGGAGGTGGTACTCGAATTGGCCGCCGGGGTACTCCTGGATACGGCCCTCGTGGAAGTGCGAGTCCTCGCCCTTGCGCAGCGCGCCTCCGCCGGGGAAGTGCTTGATCATGCAGGCCACCGAGCTCGAGCTCAGCCCCGGCCCGGCGCCCTGGAAGCCGCGGATGTAGGCCGCGACCAGCTCCGAGGTCAGATCGGCGTCCTCGCCAAAGGTGCCATTGGTCCTCGACCAGCGGTAGTCGGTGGCCAGGTTGATCTGAGGGTGGAGGGCTACCCGAATGCCCAGCGCCGGTACTCCTGGCTCGCCATCTCGGCGAATCGCCTGGTGGTGGCCGGGTCTCTGATCGCTGCAAGACCAAGGGTCTCGGGCCACTGAGATAGGGAGCCTGCCGCGGCAGCTGTGCCTAGGTTGGCGAAGAAGTGGTGACGGGGGTCGGACAATCCGGTAAGGGGAATGCCAAGCCGTGTCGAGCGCGCGAGCCTCTGGGCGGCGTTGTGCCAGCGGACCGCCTGGCGGACGTCTGTGACGGAGCCCACGAGCGCAAAGTGGCTGATGAAACGAGTGCAGATGGTGTCCTGGGGGCTCTCGAGGGCCATTATGTTGTTGGGCTGCGATAGGGAGTCCTCAGCGCGCGGCATCACGAGCCAGTGGAACATCTGCCCGACCTTCTCCTCGAGTGTCATGTGGGACAGGAGATCGTCCACACGCTCACCTACGGGCAGCGATGTATCGCAGTAGGGAGCTGCGACTATTGATTCCGCAACCATGATAGTTAGATGTCGTCGTCGCTGCTGATAGCCCTTTTCTTGGTAGACGTGATCTGGGGATGGCGGTAGTGATTATGGGAAAGCTGACCCTCCAGGCCTGTTGCACAAATACGAAGAAGATGGTCCCCGTCCAGCGGACTAGGTAGGTGTATCCCAAGCGCACGCTAGGCTCGGCGCCCAGCGGTGAATCGACTTGTGAGTTTTGTGGACGGGGCCAGAACGATGCCCGGCTCGGCAACTCTGTCGGGATGTGGTCGCAACTAGAGATGCCACCGGCTCGGTAAACGATGGGCCCTCCAGCAGCTCAGGGACCCCATCAACTTCCCCAGTTCCCCATTGTCAAACCCGGCCTCAATCTGCGGCATCCCCAGAACCCCAGCGCTGCATGCTTCTCCTCATATAAAGTCACGCGGGCCACCGTCGTCCTCATTAGATCTAGATTCTGCATCCCAAACTATCCACGACACACGCCGGCAAAAGACGCATTTCGCCTACTATGTCTACCACCAAGGAGTCACCATCGGCCACGATCGATACCGCCAAGGCCGAGTCTGAGCACTACGACGCTTTTCCCACCGAGTACCACGACGACAGATCCTTCTGGCAAATCTGCAAGGAGAATCCGGCCATCATCGGCTACACCATCTGTGCTAACTTCAGTCCTCTGCTTTTCGGCTACGATGGTCTCGCTCTTGGCGTCATTATTGCCCTTCCTGCCTTCTCCTTCGACTTTGGCGAGCCATTTGGTATGGCCTTCTCATCCCGGCCCTGTGGCAAGGTCTTTGGACCGCAGGCAAGCAGATTGGCATCATGATCGGTGCCGGCGCCAACGGCTACCTGCAGGATCGGTTTGGCCGCAAGCCCATGACCTTCGTCGGCTGGGCCGTAGCCACCCTCAGCGTCGCCCTTGGCTACACAAGCTACATGCCCGACAGCTACGCCGGTCGGAGGACCCAACTCCTGATGGCCAAGGTTATCGTTGGCCTTGGAATGGGTATTCTCATGTCGACATGCCAGACTTATGTCTCTGAGATTGCCCCAGTCAAGATTAGAGGCATGCTCCTCGGCATCTACACTCTGGTTCTGGTAAGCTGGACGAAAATGATTGTGTGCTTGACTTTGACCGTGCACCGGACTTCTGCTGACACCGTCTTATGCCTGAATCGCAGGTCGTCGGTCAAACCATCGCCGTCAGCGTCGTCTTCTCTCGCATCGCCATCATGGACCGCAGCGCCTACCTCGTCCCCATCGCCCTCCAGTGGATGTTCGCTGGCCTCGTCTTCATCCGTGCCGTGTTAATACCCGAGTCCCCTTCCTTCCTCGTCAGCAAGGGTCGCGTCGAAGAGGCTGCCCGCTCATTCGACCGCCTGTATGGCAAGGGCGAGCGCTCGCCAAACAACCTTATCGCCACGGTCGCCCAGGAGCGGCAGCAAGAAAACAACAAGGACGTGCGCTTTATGGAGCTCTTCCAAGGCACCAACTTCCGCAGGACCAGAATCGTCTGGCTGCTCAACATCACCCAGCAGTTCACCGGCATCTCGCTGCTGGCCAACGCTACGTACTTCCTGATCCAGGCCGGCATGAACCCCGCACAGTCGCTCGAGATCAACCAGATTGGTATCAGTCTGAGCATCCCCTGTATCCTGCTCAGCTACTACACGATGCAGAAGTTTAGCCGTCGGTTCATTATCCTAACCAGCATGATCACTATTACAGTCCGATTTATCGGTATGGGTATTACGGGGCTCTTCCCTAATGACAAGACGGCGCTCAAGTTCGTCGGTGTCACGTTGCTCCTCAGCGGCTTCGTCGGCGCGCACGGCCTTAATCCCGCTTATAACGTTGTTGCCAGTGAGGTCTCTTCGGTGCGCCTCCGTGCCCGGACGCTGTCCTCGGGCTTCGTTATCTACGCCCTGGCGTCTTGGGTCTTCAGCTTCACCGTACCCTACATGTTCAACCCGGACGTGGGAAATCTGAGTGCCAAGATCGGCTGGGTCTTTGTCGGCCTCGGCACCATCGGCATTGTCCTCGTCTGGTTCGAGGTCCCTGAGACCAGGAACAAGTCGTACGCCCAGCTTGACCTGCTGTTCGAGCGCAAGACCAAGACCAGAGACTTCAAGCGCAAGATGGACGAGGAGCTCTCTGTTCCTGCCTGAGAGGAGGATGCGGTGTAAAAGCTTCGTTATCGTGTCGGACTGGTGTGTAAGGGTGTAAGGGCGTCGCTCAGAGGTGGCTAGCTACGTTGTAAACATTGTATAGGGCATGGTTGTGTTTCTGTATCCAAGGCTTGGATGAGACCAGAGGTCCTCCAGTAGACTCATGCTCTGGAGCGGGCGCCGCTGCAAGAACGACTAGCGATATACCTATCGAAACCACCTTGTAGTTATGGATAGATTCCTGACGTCATATCAGCTTTGATTTCATCTCAAACAGGCTACAACAATGCACAAGTAAAACTGTCGTCTTGCATCAGTTGCGCCCCATGCTCGGTTAGTCTGATGGCGATGCTCTTTAGCCAGCCGCCCAGTCCAGGCTACTTTTAAGTGCGATGTACTAGCGGGATCTATCACCGCGAAGAATTCCCGATAAGAGGTCCCCTTAGTTTTCACTTCGTTCAAACGCGGGGTACAGGGCATGTAGCTAACACCTTCCTGAGATCGTATTTATGGCGCATCACTGTAACCAGAAGCTTACAATGTATACCAGGTATGCTGCATAGCGTATCCTTGCTAAGCTGTGACGGCCTTGTCGCCCGCACTCATATGCACTCTCTATTCACCGAGGCACGAGGACACGAGTATCTTTCGGCTACAACTCGCACGTTGGTGCGAGCGAGAATATGCAGAGTATTGGCGACCTGGCGCGTTCGTTTGCCCATAGTCTCTCCGATCTCGTGTCCAATGACTATTGGGATTGCATTCACACGCAATCCGTGACATGAAATTATAACACCATTTTCCAGCAGTGACACAAAATCCAAGATCCTACTGTCACCAGGTCGAACCTACTGCAATCGCCTGGACACCATTAGCTGCTGGCCAGTTGACCGTAGATGATGTGCGCACGACGTGTCTCTGATTTCGGGAACGGAATCACTATCTTCCTTTCTAAGGAACATATTTCATGATAGAAATCTATGGATGCTGTGATCGACCACCAATACAACTTTTTTCTGATAATTTCAAAGCCGAAAGAGCAATATCGTTTACTCGGTACGCCTAGTCTCTAAAGACTCTATGGATGAGGAATTTGTGGATGGTCTCGTCGTAACACCTCCTGCATACGTTAGTGGCAGGAATCCATTAAGTCAATAGCCTACCTTGGGCGCTTTTGTGCGTACTAGGTGCGAGCCAGATTGGCCATCCTAACGAGAGTGTCAGGAAAATCGAGTCCGAGTTTCTGCTTACAAGTCTCTATCATTTCTAAAGGCAGCTCCTCCGCCTTTCTGTACTCCCCTTAATAATCCAAGATTTAGCTATCAAAAGAGACACTCACTTATATTAGCAAAGGTTCTAGCGTTTCTATTGGAGTATCCTTCGACCTTTTCGCTATCGTGTCCGCCAATCTGTATCTACTTTAGCTTTAGGCGTATTAACCACTTGTCACACGTGGGCCTGGAGACTGAAGGGGGATATTTCCCTGAGCGGGCCGACCCCAATCCAGGGTCTGACCGGACAGGGTCCAGGCCTGACTGAAGATTCTCCAACGTTTGGGAGGCTGCGACTCCAACTTTAAATGTGATAGCCTAGGGATTGCGTGGCGAGGCCTTTCCGTGGGCGATCCGCGCCCTCTCCGCCCTCCTTCCTCTATATAACGGGGAACCCTTAGGAACGGGATTCCAGTGAGGAAGGAAGGGTAAGGATCAGTCTCTATTTTCATTCTATCTATACGGTTACTCTAGGTATCGGTCCTGTACCTGAATACGACTTGTCTGTCTCTGTCCATTCTTCCCGAGGGTGCTCAGTCTTCGACCAGACCTCGTTCCGTTGTGACTCCGGGAGCTGTCCCTTCTGCCGTCTGTCTGACCAGTTGGGCCGCCGCCTGAGTAGCTTGTGACATTCGTCAATTATTTCAGGCTTACGGTAGCTGAGTAAAGAACCTCGACAATAGTATATAAGCAGACGCTTATACGCTACGACCTGTCCGAGCTTCGGGATATGAATAACCGCCTTAGCCGCCGCCGCCGTACAAAAAGACAGCAGTCTCAGAAAGGAGGGTCCCTTAAAACTAAGTAGGCAAAGGATTTGAAGAATATCGATAAGACGCAGCAGTTACAGGCAGAAACGAGTCAAAATCGTGGTCGCGTAAGGAGGACAGAGACGCGCGCGCGACGCTATTGCGTTTACGGGGAGCCTCGCCTTGATACGCGTACGTGTCAGAAGTTTGAGTCTACCTCTGAAGAAGAGGGCTCTAAATAGTTTCAACTGATTTAAGGCGTTGTGGTTGAATTAACTTGTACTTTATTGCAGAAGTGCCTAGAAAGTGGCCAGGTCACTTGTGGAGTATGGGCAGTGCAGGCTCCACTTTTGCGGACATTCCGCTGTGACTGAGATGGGTAGTCTGATTGGCTACGGATGGCTCCACTCCCCTGGCGCCGGCGAATCAGTGGCGCCTTCCAAGCGTTTGTTCCAACGACGCGCGCCTGCCGAACACTGCGGAAAGTCCGCCAGGCAAGAAACCAACTCTCACCAGAGGATTCAATTGCTGGCGACCCTATTCTTCATACTTGTTACGCCCATCTTCATGGCCTTTGCCACCAGGACATCTTCAGGTCAAACGACCGGACACTCCGCAGTCACAAGCCACAGCCACAGCCCGCCATGCCTGCTCCCGCGACTTCCCTGCCTGGTGCGCCGAGCACGGCCCGCCGCAAGTCGTGCCTCGCCTGTACTCGCGCCAAACGCCGCTGCGATCTCGGCCTCCCGCTGTGCTCACGCTGTGACGAGAGGGGCGTCGCCTGCGTCTATGCTCCCGCTGTCGCGTCGCGCAGGCGTCGGCTGAACAAGGAATCGAGCATCGCCCATCAACACCATGTCCTGCCGCTAGACAACCGAAGCAACGACATTGATGTCGACGTCCACATTGACACTGACATCAATGTAAGCATCGACATCGATATCGATAATGCCGACTTTGACGCCGCCATGCTCGACCCGTGCCTCACGGGTCCTGGCCAACCTCGTCTCGGATTCGATATGATGAACTCAGTCTTCACCACAAACCTCTACAATGCCACAACCACATCATCACCACTCGAATCCTACTCCTCCTCCTTCTCGCCACCGTCGTTCTCCTTTTGGCCCCAGCTCACAAAAAACAACACTGAAATCGCCATAGTCCCCAGCACCAAGCCCCTGATCGTGCTCCCCGACGACGCCGACGCCCTCCGCGCCGTCCTCGACCCGCGCCTGCACTACGCCATTGCCCAGTTCTGCGGCGCCCCTGAGCAGTTGGCACTCTCCTGCCAGACCCCCTGGTCGCACCCTTTACTATACCGTGACCGGCTGCCTAGGTCCATCGCCATTGCGCAGGCCTGCTGTGCCCTGCACGCCGCGCGGGGGCCGGGCAACGCAGCCATGGTGTCGCGCAGCATTGCCCACCACGCCCGGGAGCTGTGCTTGCTCCAGAACGATTTATCGTCGTCCGGGGCTAGAGGCGAGGACAGGGGAACGGGAGACCCGATGCTGGACCTCCTCGCGCACACGCAGGCGCTCCTGCTCTACCACATCATGCTGCACTCTGACCTAGACCCCGTGGCCAGAAACACCCTGCCGCTGACGGCGCGGGCGCTGCAGAGGGCCATGATCCGCCTCCACGACCGCACGAGCGGCTTGTCCTCGCCGTATCCCGTGGGCAGCGGCCCTTTGCGGACGTCCTCGTTCCGCGCGCCTGGTACTCCTGCCTCGTCATCGTCCTCATCTTCCAACTCCTCCTGCAACCCCTCCTCGCCGGCGAGCTACAAGCTATCGATGTTAGTCGTCCCGCCGAGCAACGGCATGAGCCTGCCGGTGCCACTGCGACTTTTCGTAGCAGGAGGGGCAAGCGACAGCAGCCGCAATAGCACCACGAGGCCCATGCCGTCCTTCCTCGCCCTATCCCCGCTAACCACCACACGCCAGGTCTGGCACGACTGGATCATCCACGAGTCGGCGCGGCGCTCGGTGCTCATGGCGGGCATGTTCCTAATGCTACAGATACTGCGCGCAGGCCAGTTCCCCTTCCCCTCCTCGTCCTCCTCTCAGGTTCCTCCCGCCGCCGCCGCAAGTATCTTTGGTTTTGAGACTGCTCCTGCTGTTGGGGAAGACGATGACCCGGACCCGTGCTGCGCGTCGAGGGACCTTTGTTTGAGCCCCTGGACGCTCTCAAGGGACTGCTGGGAGGCCGCTGACGCGGTGGACTTTGCGGTGGGGTGGAACAAGAAGGCGTTTACGGTGCTGAGTTGTGCCGAGTGAGTTCTGTTCTCTTTCCCCATATGATTTTTCCCCCTCCTGGCTCAACGCTTAGCACTGGACTGGGCCTAGCAGGGATGGGCTGCCGGTTCCCCTTCTGTTTCCTAAAACAGTCGCTACCTCCCCTTTCAGTGACAAATCAGCTTCATCACTCGTCTCCACGAGAATACGGAGATTGCTAACTCTCTCTTGCTTGCAACATCATGGAAAGTCTCGAGCTCCGCGTCCACGAAATCAACCCGCTCCACGTGGACACCTGCTCCAAGATGATTCTCACGCTGCTCCTGGGCATCGACGAGACGAAAGGGTGGCTGCTCTCCCAAGGCGGCGTGAAGCTATAGGAAGAGGGGTAGGGGGTTCTCTCGGACAGATCCTTCCTGTCTTTCGAGCGAGGTATGCTCGGAGCTGATTAGCATCCCATCATTCAGCTACCGTTTGTTCTTGGCCCTCTTCTCCCGACTTTTTTTTATGTTACCAATCCCGGTGAGGAGACTACTCCCCATCCGAAGGTGGGTATCAGACGGCCACTACCGTCGTGGAAGCTGTCTCGTTGTTCTCGTTATTCTTGTATAACCTGGGTCACTCCTTTATTTGATTGACCAGCAAGCCTGCGTTGCCCTTTCTTCTCTACATTTTCAAACCACCACACGGACGGTTTTGATAATTTCAATCTACAATATGTCTCAAAACATGCCCTCGGGCATCGGAAGATGAGCCGGAACACGTTGATCCTAGTATAACGTAGCTGTAAATAATCCATGTGTAGGGCCACTATTTCATGTTCTGCGCATGGGGGAATTGGCCCGTGGCCAGCCGGCTCTTAATTCACTTGAGCACTTATACGTGCCAAATTGCGAGGCGAGTTTGTAATCGAATGAATATTTCTACTAGCATGAGGGCATTCTCGGTGAAAACTAGGTAGCTGAACCTCCCCAGCACCATCTGGTGGCTTTCTGACACCAAGGTACCATCCTCCCAGTGGGCCAAAACCACGTCCCGAACTCCCCCCTTTCTACTGGGCTAAGATCTTCCGGATGATCTCCTTGATCCCTTCCTCCGTGATCTGCGTGACGCCCAGCAGCTTGTTGTCAGCACCCCACCGCCCGGAGCTGTATGCCGGGTCCCAGATGCTCCTAATCAGGAACGGAACCATGTTGCCCGGCCCCGGCGCTGCGCCTGCTGCGAGCTCCTGCTCCGCCTTGGCCACGACGTCCTCGATCTCGAGGTTCGCCGCCGGCTTGCCCGACTTCCAGGCCTCCTTGCCGGGCAGGTCGAGCTCGGCCACGAGCTTGATGATCTTGTTCTGCGTCAGGTCCGTGGTGCTGGCGACGTGCACGGCGCGGTTCGCCGTCTCGGCCGGGTGCGTGAGGACCCCGACGACGGCGTCGCTGACGCTCTCCAGCGTAGTCGCAGCAAAGGGGATGTCACCCGAGCCCCAGACGGCCGGCGGAGTCGCGGAGCGCAGGTCGGCCAGGAAGCCCACCTCGAGGCCCCAGTTGAGGAACACGCTATTGTAGACGTACGTATAGGAAAAGGTACTACCCTCGCCGAGCTCGCGGATTTTTGCCTCGAGGTACTTGGCGACCTGCACCTTGGGGTAGAGGACGGGCAGCGCCTGGGTGGCGGGGACGGACAGGTCCGAGCCGAACTCGGAAGGCAGGAAACGGCGCACGCCGGCGGCAATGGCCGCGTCAATGAGCACCGTCTGCCCCGCGAAGCCGTCGCTACCGGTGGTCGAGATAACGGCGTCGATACCGCGCAGGGCGGCCGTCAGGTCCGAAATGGATGTGTAGTCGACCTTAATAACGTCGGTGCCAGCGGGCAAGGCGGCCGTGGAGCCCGTGGTGGACAGGACACGAACGTTGAAGAGGCCGGATGAGATGAGTTTATTGACGAGGACGGATCCAAGCGAACTGCTGGCGGCCGTCAGGGCGACGTTCTTGATGGGTGGGTAGGACATGTTAGAGGTGTCGGTGCTGTGCGTCGTCTGTGGTGTCTGTGGTGTCTGGTGGGATGCTCAAGCTGTGATACCAGGAGTGAGGCACCCGTTTGAGGGGCGCGAGGGCTTATTTTTATTCTCATGGGACGAGTCGTGGCCGAGATTGGGCGATGTCTTGTTTCTCGCCATTCACCAGCATTGCAGGGTCGGGGTGCTCATCTGGGCCATGGTGGTTGATAAGCGTTGCTTACCAAGACGAGTGGAATGTCCGACACTCAAGGTTCGGCCAAGTGGCTCCCTCCAGTGCCAAGTGGCATCCCACCTGCCACCCCCCCCGGGTCCGTGAATTGGCCATAGACCATGTGCCAGCGGGGTCCTAGTCCCTTGGCTCGGGTATCTTTTGTCCGACCCGAAACTGAGCGGAGTGTCCGCAAGAGTTTAATGATGCTCTTGGCGTCGGGATAGAGACGTAGAGTATGTGCCCGAGCTTGCAAGTATAAACACACCAAATGTATATATATCTGTTGACCACCTCCTATGTAGTTTGCTTCAGGATCTCTCAAGTCAGGTCAATTGGATCCAGTATTGCCTCGTCTGTGAATCGTCTGTCCATCACATCCATCGTCGCCATCGTCACTATCATCATCAACGTCATGGCAGCCTCTTCCAGCTCTATCCCGTTCTCGGAATATGTCGCGCCAGCGCTATCGGCGATCCAGGGGAACCCGCGAAGCGCTCTCGTCGTCACCGTGCTGCTACTGGGAGGCAGCCTCCTCTGGACGCAAGACTCGACGGGCGCGAAGTCTGCCGGCTTCCCACAGCTTGCTAACCAGACGCCCGAGGAGTTCCAAATCGATGCGGAGAAGACAATTGAGAAAGGCCGTGCCCAGTACAAGGATAAGCCATTCACTCTCAAAACAACAATGGGCTACTACACCATACTATCGCCCGAACTCGGCCACGCGCTACGCAACGAGCCAGGCCTCAACTTCATGCATACTTCCTCGGCCAATATGCATTCCTACCTGCCGGGTTTCGAGCCTTTCAAGGCCGGCGACAGAAACGAAGCCATCCTACAGAGTGTAATCCGCAAGCAGCTGACGAAATCACTCTCCCACATCGCAAAGCCCCTGTCCGCCGAGGCTCGCTTGGCAATCGATCATAACTTTGGCTCATCAACCGCTTGGCGTTCTGTCCAGCCCTACCCTGGATTTCTCGACATTGTCGCCCGCCTTTCGTCGCTCATATTCCTTGGTAAGGAGCTGTGCCGAAATGATGAATGGCTTGGCATCACAAAGCTATATACTATCAATAGTATCGAGGCTGCACAGGAGCTCAGTAGATACCCCGTGTGGACGCGCCGTTTTGTCAACGCGTGGTTACTGCCCAAGGGGCGTCTTGTCCGCCAGCAGGTCGCCAACGCCAACAGGCTTATCAACCGTGTGATTGAGGAACGGAAGGAGCGTCAGCGTGGCGGCAAGGCAGATGCCCAGTACGTCCCGAACGCTATCGACTGGTTCGAGGAGGAGAGCGCGGGCATGCCCTATGAACCGGGTCGATTGCAGCTCATGCTGTCTACCGTGGCTACCCACACGACTGCAGACCTACTCACGGAGACCATGCTCCGCCTAGCCCAGGAACCTGAGTTTATGGAGGAGCTTAGGGACGAGATCAATTCCGTCTTGCTAGTCGGGGGTGCCTGGACAAAGAATGCCCTGTCCAACCTCAAGCTGCTAGACAGTGCTCTCAAGGAGGCGCAGAGGCTACGCCCAATCACGAGTGCCACTATGTCCCGCATGGTCTTGGCCCCGACACCGATTCCCGGCACTGACCGTATCCTCCCTGTAGGCGCCCAGACTCTTGTTTCGTCGCACCTTCGCTTCGATCCAGACGTTTACGAGCAACCTCATAAGTATATCGGCCGTCGCTTTGCCGATATGCGGGCGAACGGGGAGACCACACTCCCCGTCCACCTCGTCTCAACGGGCGTTACGTCCCTCTCTTTTGGCCACGGCAACCACGCCTGTCCAGGTCGGTTCTTTGCAGCTACTGAGCTCAAGATCGCCTTATGCCACCTCCTCATCAAGTATGACTGGGAAGTTGACCATGAGCAGAACGCCATTGGTAGCGCCGTCGACATGACTCCTCATATGAATGGAGTAGGTCTCAGTGTCAACACCTCTGTTAAACTGCGCTTCAGGAAGAGGACGCCCGAGGAGATGGGCATTGATTTGGACGTGATTGGTCATGGGACGGAGTAGTTGCTGTGACAGGGCAGGGCAGACAGAGACTGGGGTATCGCATATGTCTGTTATGCATTTAAAGGTCCTAAATAACTTCACGCTGGTTTTCCATATATGAATATATGCATGCACACCTATAGTCGTTCTCCTCACACATCTCTGGATAGATATTATCCATGACATTTGACCCTCAGAGAATTGTTGCATCAACAATTCGTTGTTTATGTAGTGAGCTCTCCCACACTTTCCTCCAGTTGCGCGCGCCCAGGAGTCCCTTACCCTGCGCGGAGTGCACCTCGTCAGACATCCCACCGTAACTGGCAATCAGTGAACTCATTTGGAATGGTCGTAGTGGGTTTTTTGGCCGCGAGTAGGAGAAAACTGTGAAAAATTGAGGACGAAGGGGAAGCGCTTGTCTTTCCACAGTTCGATCCGAGTGACGCCAACGCAAGTGGGAAATATACTCGTGTCCCTTCAATTTATCGAGTGAGGGCCCTTGCGGCGCTCACTCTAGTGATAGGCTAGAGTTAGGTTCTACTTCTCGACGCCTGCTGCCAGTTCGATACGGTCATTACCGACCACGCCGTCGCGTGGGGCGAGCCGCGCCGTGGACTACTGCTGGCGACGCATCAAAATATCATCAGTTGGGGGCATGCTAGTCCGGCTGGTGCGCCACGTCGCGCACGACGGCCTGGCCATTGACATCGCCAAGCGGTGGCGCCACATGGGCCTCGGCGATGGCGATAGCGACACTACCGTACCGTGCGGCAAGTATCCGGCGCGGTACGGCGAGACGACCGTGACGTAGGTGCTCATCGAGGCGTGCCGGCGGCGGTTCCTCGCGCTCGTTGACCTGCTTGCAGCAACGTATCGCGACGTCTATACGCCGCACGTACGGTAGGACATCGTGCTTAGCGCAGCGTTCCGCACACAAGAGTCCCAGTCATCGACCGCGTGCTCGCTATAGAGCCCGATAACGCAGGGAGCCCGCAGCATACAATCGACCAGCACGATAGCTGGTAACTTTGTGTAAGAGTAGCCAACGGAACGTTGGTCCACGCCTCTAAGTGACGCAATTGAGAGCGGCGTCGAGGAGCGCTACCTAGCCGCACTCGAGGCCCGGGGCGCACTAACAGTACTCAAAACGAACCGGGAGCACCAACGGTATGCCTTACAGGCCGCCGCCACCGATAGCAGTACCTTGTAGCTCGATCGCATCCTAGTTACCTGCGGCCGTACCACCACGCCAGACGATATAACGGATACTATAGACCTTGCGGTACTCAACGATCACAACTATGCGTTCCGCGTGCTGTTCGATACTGGGGCCGACATCGCCACGAGTAGTACTACCTTCCCGTGCACGCCGGACCCCATAGTTACCGCCATACTACGCCGTAATCTATCGCTCGGCACGCTTCATATTAGCCGCCGGCGCGCATGGCGTATTCAGGCATAGGATTAGCTTTAAGCACTCACTTATCCGGTCAACGAGGGCGCACTACCATAGCCAGAAGTATAGAAACGAAGACGAGTACGATCCCTTGACAAACGGCTACCGCGAGACCCGCGACATCCTCGACTAAGCGATCCTCTAGGGCAGGCAAAACATCATTTTGGGCCTCAAGACGCTTCGGCCGGTCCGTAGATCGCCCGCCCGAGCCGGGCGCTGCAAGTACGGCTGCGCGCCGACCACCCCATACTCGACTTCCTCGTACGCCAGACGCTGCTCGGCAGGGAAGGCCTGCTCCGCTGCCTCGAACACGCTTTCGTGATATATGACGAGGCGTTTCTACTGCGACGGGTGCTGCAGAACCTCGCAGCCCGGCGAGATAGTAGCGGCTAGCAGCCCGAGCCTAGCTTCAGCACATAGGCGCTCATCAAGGCCGTCTGGATAGAGGATAGAGCCGAGCACGCGGCCAAGACCGGGCCGGCCCTGTTTAACAGTGGGCCGGCCCAGGACACACCGGTAAACGATCGCGAGATCGGCAAGCAGGCCGTCGACGTTCTTCTCGAGTCCTGGTCCGTCGACGTGCGGTAGGTATATTACGCGGCCACGCCAATGGCAGAGGCGATTGAGTTGTACAACAAGCGGCTTGGGGAGAATGGGCACAAAAACAGTAGCTCTGAGGATAACAACGACGGCCTCGCGGTCATCCGTGCCCTGCTCGACTGCGGTGTCACTCAGATGACCCTTCGGTCGAAAGCATCGGCGGGATCTTGCGCGAGCAGCATGTGCCCTCTTGGGGGGTAACGCCGGATGTCCTCGGCACCTGGGAGTGTGCTCGCTGCAGCACCCGTGCATTCGAAGATGAGCCGCGTCGCAGGACCGTGGGCAACGGCGGCGATATGGGAAACTTTGTCGCGGGCAAAGGCGACGCCGTATTGTGCTCGCAGACGGTAGACGAGGTAGGCAATGTGCTAGGGAGCGTTGGTTTGTGTAGGTCGTAAAAGAGATGCCAAAGGACGTGCCGGCGAGTAGTTCGGAGGCGGGGAGGACCTTGAACTGTTGGATTTTCAGTGGGAGTTGTCCGCGTGAGTGAATGCTACTAGATGATGGAGTTGAAAGGAGCCGGACTTATATCTTGAAGGCACTCAGCCATAGTGTCGATCTCATCCTCAGAAATCTGCTCATCCCAAAATTCGGCCGAGGTCGTACGCTGGACAAAGGCCTCTTCGCCGTGGCGCGCGCACAGCTCACGCAGGTAGTTGTATTCCACTCGGTCCCACCTTAGCGCGTTGGCGTCGGTGCCCGTGATGGCGGGTGCCCGTGATGGCCGAGGAATTACAGCCGGCCCTGCATCGTGTGGACTCGTTTCAGTACCGGCAGCATATGCTGAAGAGGTGTGCAGGCTCGACGTACTAAGGCGAGCAGTAAGATGGGGATGTGTCGCCCGGCATGTATTCGGCGAGATAAGGCACATACTGGCTATAGCCCTTTTCGCACAACAGCAGGGCCACATCCAGGCCAATGATACCTGCGCTACAGTGAGGGAAAGAAGACGATGTCCACGAAGTTAGCCTTGCATAATGCTGACACTGCAGCGAGCCGTTGGGCCCCGCCTGCAGGCATTTTGCGCGTTCTTACCCAACGGTGACAATAGGCCTCGATTTTCGACTGCCCAGCTCGTGGAGCATCGCCATACCGCTTGTGCCTTCCGTGCAAAGGGCTAAAATTTCTTTGCGCGTGATAGGGATTGGGAAGCCGGTGATGCTATACGCGTAATCTGAAGAGATAATCCATTATCCAAGACAAGACGGCTGGTTTGTAGCTAAAGAGTCTCCGCCAATGCGCCGCCATCCGCCATTGTAGGATCCACCGTACACAGTCACTACACGAATGTGGCGGCAGATGACGGTGGCCCAGGTTTATAGCCGGTATAAGCTGTGATTGGCGGTAGATATGCCTGGGGCGCGTTACGCAGGCTCCGCAGCAAAGCCGTCATGCTGATCGCCTGGGGCCAAGTAATGCCGCACAGTAGTACGTTATTATCTCTATGTAGGAGTTGCCTAAGCATTCAGAGCCTCTCATGTAGAAGACGGTATTATAAGGCCTGGAACAGTTTCGAAATCACTTGCAACAGTACTCGGGTCCTAACCAAACCGAACTCATAATCGAAATCGTTACACCGCGCTTTATCTCCCGTGACCGCCACCTACGCTCACCAAACCGTGTATCAATCACAGCCCGCCGCCATCGCGACCTCCTCAACAATCCGCTGCACATGCCTTGTAACTAGGAAAGGGCTATGCCCAGCATCGATCTCGACGATCCGCGCGTCAATATGCTCAGCCATCTCGTGCTGGGCTGCGGGCAAGAGGAGCTCATCGCACGTGCAGACAACATACGTCTTACGCATCGTCAGCTCACGCACATCAACCGTCGTCTCGCCGGTAAAAGTCAGGAGACTCTGGCCGCTAAGGAGGTCAAATAGCGTCTCCCGTCTGGACTTGTTAGGCTCGTCGTCGCCGGGGACGTCGGCGTAGAAGAGCGGCCCAATGGCTGCCCGCTTCAGGACTGCGATGCTCCTTTTAGCCTGTTGGATACACGGTTTATGTCAGATATGAATAATTTGGCACACTCTACTATCCTCCCAAAACGGAGTCGGAAACTCACGTCGATATCGAAGATTCTCATAGCAGGCTGGGGGGCCTCGGGGTTCGGCTTGGGTACCGAGCCTGGGAACGACGTCAGGTACAAGGCGGCGACAAATCCGCCTGCAAGCCCGCGGGCCTGGCGCTCATGCGCTGTCCGTCCTTTAAGGTAGGTTGTCCCTGGCACGCCACCGTAGCTGTGCGCTACGAGTATGATGTCCCGCCCGGCCTCGATGTGCGGCCCTGCGACCTCGTCGATCCGTGCAATGTCGTCTGGAATGCCCTTGCCGACGCCCGAATCGCCCGCGCCTGCGCTCGCGTTCTGCGGGGCAACAACTGTGTGGCCACCCGCTTGGAGGGCTTTGATGAGGAGGTTGTAGTGGACCGGGCTATGCCAGGCACCGTGGACCAGGAGGACGACGGGTTTCGGTGATGCGGCAGCCATTCTGTCTATTGAATTGAGAACGCGCTCTTGTGTTGTAGCAAAGAAGTTGAGTAACCATTGATATGTAAACGGTGATGGATTTCATACACGCTGTATTTATTACGGAGAGAGCAGCCGCCCCGCCGACTTCAATGCGAGTCAAGTGCCTCCCTGGCCTTCCGGTGCTTCCGGGGTTTCCGGGGCCTGGAAACGTCTTTCCATGGACTGTAAAGGACTGGGATGATAGCGACGGTACTGCCACGATCCGAACTCCGGGGTCAACTGTATGTCGGGCTTCGGGGTTTCTGTCCTGGTAAATAAGTAAAGCTGGAACAATACTACGGAGTACTCTTGTCGAATGTCGTTATTCTCTTGGGGTGGCAGCCCTTTTGCAAAATGCAGTCGTCACGTCGACTGAGCTGAGCCGGCTATCAGCTAGCCGGGAAAGCAACTCCGTTGCGGTAAACGACCCGGTGATTTTGATTTCCTTGGCTGAGAGGAGATTGGCTCGCTGCGCTGCCTTGGTGGTGATGAGATCGACGCCACCAGACTTTGCGCCGCTGACCTGAGTGAGCTGTGCAATCTGGCTCTCGCTTAGTAGCCACTCTTGAGGGATCCTGCTCTTCTGCAGTCTCTGGTGGTTGGCCACCAAGTCTCGCCATAGGGACTTTGACGCCGTATTGTTGTCTGTTCGGAGTCTTCGGAAGGCCGGGCTTGGCGGCCAACACTAGTACCTGTGCTTGCGTGTGTGATACGAACACGAGACCTTCTTACCCCTGTCAGGATTCGGTGCTCGAGTCAGAGACGCTGTTTCAAAAGCACACTCGCCGTCCATTGCAACGGCACCGGCCAACAACGATGACCTTGGCGCCTCGTCCGTTTCGGTGTGGAAGAATTGGTCGTGACGCCTCCCCGTCTGGGTGAAGGCTATCAGCTCGTTGAGGATGACGAACTCGATCTTGAGCTTGATGCTGTACACGACGGGCTTGTACGTCGTCTGGATCTGGAAAATTTCCGCTGTATTGGGTGGCGAGGAGACTGTCGTCGAGCAGGACGGTGAGGACGAAGAGGATGACGAGATGGCGGGGCATGCGCCGTCCCGTGGTGGCCTTGACCGCCAGGATAGGCTTGAAGCCCTTGGCGGCCTCCCATACGTACAGCCCGGACATGACGCTCTCCTGGAGGAAGAAGCCGGCGAGTTGTATCTTTTCATACACATCAAAGGTGTGAAAGAAGGGGTCGGGATTGCCGCTGTTACTGGCGAGGAATAGGATCGACACGGGAATGTGGAGGACGACAAAGTTGAAGACGATCATGGCGGCCACGAGCCGGATCTTCCAGCGGTCAGACACGACCAGCCCCAGACGCGAGTAGAGCACGACAGATTGGCCAGGCACCATGGCCCACCACCCAACGACGGCGACAACGCACATTGGCAGGTTTGGCGCAAGCGCGAAGAACCGCAGGAAGACAGCGATGGTGTGGATGAAGATGCCGAATGTCGCGACGAGCAGGCTCCAGAAGTAGAGCCCCTACTTACGGCGGAAGACGCTGAAAATGCTGATGGTAATCTCCACAGTGTTGAAGATCGCGACGGCAAAGAAGCCCGCAATCAGCATCGCGATGGGCAGCGACACATCGATCGGCCCCGTCTCTCCCGGCATGGTTACCACGGGCTCGCAGCAGCTTCGACGCTTGTATGGCTATCGGCACGCGCCGGATCTCATGATGGTGTGTCTGCAGGGTGTTTGATAGCGACCAGTAGCCGCGCTTCCTAGCCGAGTCTTAGTCGTCAAACGGACACGACGGACGCACCTTGACATGTCAAGCTGTGGCCGCGGTCCCTGCAGTGGTCCGGCTGAGGTTTTTATGGCTGCCAGCTTTCCCCCTTCGAGGCGGTCGGAAACACATCCAGCTCCCGGCCGTTGAGCTTGGCCACGTTCCCAAGGGCAGCGCCAGCTGGGGCTCGGGTTGGCGATCGCCTGGGGGGTAACTTTTGTGGCGTGAGCGCATAGTTTCCGGGGGAGGTTCCCCGAGTCAGACGCTGCAGAAGGGCGCCAAGGGTGCGTTCCGCGGCGCTGACCAACTGGCTTTCTTTCTCCCGCTTCCGTCTTGTCCGCTGGTCCCTGGAATCCCGCCCCACACTCGCCACTGGGCGACCCTTTTGCATTGCTTCGTCCTTCCCAACCTGCTCGCTTCATCTCGCGCCGTCCATGTCTCGACGCAATTGCTATCCGTCGTTTGTGTCCGCGCCTGTGCGTGCGTCTGTGACAGTGCGAGCGCCTCGTCACGCAGGCCTATCCGTGCGGCATGGCCCGGCTGCGGTGTCTAGTCTCGCTGCAGTCGTTGCCGCGTTTCGCGTCCGGACGGGTTAGTTAGTAGTGCCTCAGTTACCACCGTACAGTAGAGCTCGAATGACGTAGATGAAGTATGGTCGTAAGTATTGACATATTTCTCACATCTATCTACCTGTCTAGCCTAATGATGAACTCTCCCTTTTTTTTCTGTGCCTGAGCTGCGACAACGCGTCGTCGCGTGGCTCTCTCTCCATCTTTCCCGCCCGGGGTCTGCCGTGTGAGCCCCAGCTCTCTCCTTTCCTCCTCACTCACCTGAACCTTATGGGGAAATTGGGGTAGCCAAAATCCCCCCCCGGGGGGGGGGTCCCTGGGGGTTAGCGTCCGTGCCCACTGTAAGTTTGTGTCCACGTGCCGATTCCTCTATGGTTCAGAACGAGTCTAATGGCCCAAGCGCCCGCCCCCTGTTGTATGGCAGAGACACGCCAACTGGACACAAACTGCTTGTGAATGATGGTCCGGGGAATTTCCGTCCGGATGATAACGGACTATCGACGACGTAACAACCATTACGACAACTCGGGGCCAGCCATCGAACCTCGAAAGACCACCTTCACTAGAACACCATAAGCTTGACGAAGACACCTTCAAGCTTGGATCGTTCAGCCATGTGTCGTCACTGAGTTTCCAAACCCCTCCTCGACGGACGCGACCTTCCTAGAAGCCGCGGACCTCGACCAGGTCCCGGCACTGCCGCCATGGCCGCCGTCCTCTCCTTCCTCCGCAACCTCTACGACCTCGACACCCTCGACACCCGCTTCACGAACCCCGCCACCGTCCCGTACAAGACCATCGTCGACGCCCGCCATGACAACCGCGACGCAAAGAGCAGCAAGGAGCGTGCTGCGAGCTGGAACTCGACCGGCCAGCCCTCCAAGTGGAAAACGCCCGAGTTGTACCTGTACCTGTTCTACATCGGCGCGATCCTCCCAGCGATGTTCTACATCCCATACCAGGCTTCGAGATGTGTGTAGAATCCACAGGCGTAGACTAACGTCTGCCCATTGAGGAGGCCTGAAGTGCTGACTTGCGCTACCAATGCAGCCGACCATCCCGCCTACCACAAGTTCGAGCGCCTACTGTCTCCAGGCTGGATTCCTGGTCGCATGATCGACACGTCCGACTCGCAGTACCACACCTTTCGAACCAACCTGCCGTACATGATGACCTTGCTCGTCGTCCACCCGATCATGCGCCGAGTATACGCAGCCATCTTCCACCGCAAGAAGGCCAATGACCTAACGACAACGACCCCGGCTGAGGACGCACAGAGACGCCTGGACCAGCGAGCCGGCTACGACTTCAAGTTTGCGATAAAGTTCTTGATAGTACTACACGGCTTCTCGGCCGCGAAAGTACTTCTGATCTTGTTCCTTAACTACAAGATCGCGACGGCCCTTCCGCGGAAATATGTCCCCGCCGCTACTTGGATCTTCAACATTGGCCTTTTGTTCGCCAACGAGCTCTGCCAGGGCTACAAGATGGAGCGAATTGCTGCGTTCCTTGCCGGTGTATCAGGCAAGGCGATACTGGATGCTGATGTAGGCCTTGTCGCGTGGGGAAAGTGGCTCGACAGCTTCGGTGGGCTCATGGGACGCTGGGAGATTCTGTTCAACATCACCGTCCTGCGACTCATCAGCTTCAACTTGGACTACTACTGGAGCTCGGACCGCAGCCAGCAAGACATCCTCGAGGTAAGCCAAATGTCTCGTACCATGCATCCTTCCTGTAGAGACGCTGACGATGATTGTCCTAGAAGAAGCAACTCGACCCTGCAGCACTCAGCGAGCGTGAGCGCGTGTCCATCCCGGCGCAGCCCAGGGACTATTCGCTCCGCAACTACGTGGCTTATGTGATATATGCACCGCTCTACCTGACGGGGCCGATCATTACGTTCAATGACTACATTGCGCAAGCAAAGTACAAGTCTGCGACTATCGAGACAAGCCGCACTATCCGCTACGGCATCCGGTTCCTGGTCACCCTCCTCGTCATGGAGGCCGTGCTGCACTTCGACTACGTGCAGGCCATCTCCAATGCCAACCCGAACTGGGCCGACTACACCGCGGCGCAGCTCAGTGTGCTGGGCTACTTCCAGTTGCACCTCATCTGGCTCAAGCTGCTCCTGCCATGGCGGCTGTTCCGCCTCTGGGCGCTCGTCGACGGCATCGACCCGCCGGAGAACATGATCCGCTGCGTGAGCGACAATTACAGCACTCTGTCCTTCTGGCGCAGTTGGCACCGCAGCTTTTACCGCTGGTCCCTACGCTATATCTACATGCCCCTCGGGGGCGCGAGCTTCAAGGGTTGGGCCGGCGCCGCGCGGTCCATCGTCACCTACATGCTCGTCTTCACGTTCGTTGCTCTATGGCACGATATCCAGCTCCGCCTGCTCATCTGGGGCTGGCTCGTCGTGTTCTTCATGATGCCCGAGATGATGGCGGGCGCGCTCTTCCCCAAGAGGAAGTGGGAATCGCGGCCCACGGCTTTCAGAATGATATCCTGTGTGGGAGCTGTGATCAACATCCTCATGATGATGTCTGCAAACCTGATTGGGTACGCCGTGGGAGTGGATGGGATGAAGCAGATTATCAACGGGATCACGAGAGATCATTCAGGTAAGTCATTATGATGCCGGATTTCAAGGCTATCGTCGCGCGCAGGCTTGCTAACACACCTACTTCTCAACTCTAGGCGCGACGTTCTGTGCTGCAGCTCTCATTGCGCTGTTCTGCGGTGCTCAAATCATGTTTGAGATCCGGGAGACGGAGAAGAGGAGAGGGATCAATCTCAAGTGTTGAGATGCCGGCCTTGGAGGCTTATTACATACCTGTTTTGCTGATGGACCAGAACAGTGAATGCCCCGTGACACATCATTTCGTTCTATGTCTTTCTTGCAAATCTGTTTGTCACATCATGAGTTCAAGGTCCATGTTGGTTTGCCAGTGCTTGCTGCGTGAAGTGCGCTGAAGTGGGGCGCGGCACGCTCCACTAAAAAGTTGAAATCCAGGCTCGCATCGGCCGGCGATGCATTTTGCAAGCAGGCTTCACCTCAGCAATCCGCAGCGCAACCTCCGCGACCACTCTGCTGACCACTAGGTTCACTCTTTCCGGGTTCTGGCAATATCTCCTTTGGGCGCGATAACTTTACAGTCGGTCGAGATATGCATATAGGTAGGCACTAAGGTGCGAAATTCAGCACGAATCTGAGTAACTAAGAATCCCACTAGTGAACAATATCGTTTCTAGCAGTCGTGATCCGAAACGTAAGTAGTCACGTTAACTCCAGTATGTATCTAGCTCGACTGACTCGACACAGAAGACCTGCTAACAGAACAATTGCTTTGACTGGATACTCGAGAACGATCAATTGAAGCATTGGCAACAATCCAAAGACGCTCGACTCCTCTGGATCAGGGGAGAAGCAGGCAAGGGCAAGACGATGCTCATAATCGGCCTCGTCAATCAATTGGCCCGGTCAAAGTCCCCAAACTCTGGGTTCGCCTTCTTCTTTTGCCAGAATGCAGACCCGCGCCTCAATAATGCCATTTCCGTGCTGCGAGGGCTTGTCTGGATGCTGTTGTGCGCACACCCGAGCATGGCTCAGTACATCCCGAAAGAATACCGGGACAAGAAGGACAAACGTGCAGCTATGTTTGAGAATCCGGACCAGACTTTCTTCTCAACCCTGAAGATCATGCTCACCTCGATATTCAGGGACGCCCGCTTCGACCGGCTACACATACTTGTGGACGCCCTCGATGAGTGTAGTCAGGACTCGGACAAGCTGGTCGACTTGATCAGGCAAGACACCACGGATCCTTGTTCGAGAGCGAAATGGCTGGTCTCAGGTCGCTATACAATACGACTCAACAGGGAGCTGAAGCCAAGCCAACACAGGGACTTACTTTCCTTGGAGCTCAATGAAAACCATATATCGGAAGCTGTGGCTAGCTTTATCAAGCAGAAGGTCGACGACCTAGTCACTGCCGACAACAGAAAGCTACGGAAGCAGGTCCGAGACCGGATGATGGAGAAGGCCGAATCCACCTTCCTTTGGGCTGCGTTAGTGTGGAAGCGTCTCAAAGGACTCGCACAGTTGCAGATTTTGGAGGAGCTCGACAAGTTCCCACCTGGATTGGCACCGCTTTACGAAAGGATGATGCAGCTAATTGAAGAGCGTGGCCCAGACCTAAGCACTAGATGTAAACGGGTCCTTCGCGCAGTTTCCATCACCTACCGGCCCCTCACCCTCCACGAGCTTGCTCCGGTAGCGGATCTCTGGCTACCACCGGATCACCTTCGCGAGCTTATCGACCTCTGTGCCTCATTTGTTATGATTCGCAAGGATACCATTCGGTTTATCCACCAGTCCGCCAAGGACTACCTGGACATCTTGCATACAATTTTCCCTCGGACACGCGAGGAAGAACATTGCCAGGTTGTGACGCGCTGTCTGAAGGCTCTGTCCGACACTCTAAAAAGAGACGTATATGGCCTGGGCCAGCCCGGATTTGCAATTGAGGACGTCAATATACCTTCTCCGGATCCACTCCTCGCTGTTCGGTACGCATCCACCTACTGGATTCGCCATCTCCTCGAACCGAATGCTGGCATCCAGGACCGCAACATACTGAACTCAGTCGACGCATTCCTTCGGATCCATTTTCTTCACTGGCTTGAGAGCCTGAGCCTTGTGAAACAACTACCTAGCGCTGTTGTGTCCTTAAGCAAACTGGCTAGTGGGTTACTTGGGGAAAACAGCCTGTATGGCTTTCTTGAGGACGCACGCCGCTTTACTACGTATTATCGATGGATAATGGAGAACCATCCGCTACAGGTCTATGCGTCTGCGTTGGTGTTTAGCCCTACGCGCAGCCGTATTAGGATGACATTTCGACACGAAGAGCCGAGTTGGATCAAGATGAAGCCGACTATGGAAGATCAATGGAATGCTTGTCTCCAGACATTGGAGGGGCATAGCGGTGGGGTCAACTCGGCCGTGTTCTCCTACGATAGCTGCCGGCTCGCGTCGGCGTCTTGGGATAAGACTGTCAAGGTGTGGGATACTACGACGGGCCAATGTCTCCAGACGCTCGAGGGGCATAGCGGTTGGGTAAACTCGGTTGTGTTCTCCCACGATAGCTGCCGGCTCGCGTCCGCATCGGAGGACAACACCGTCAAGGTGTGGGATGCCACGGCGGGCCAATGCCTCCAGACGCTCAATATAGGGGGGAGAGTATCTCATATTGAGTTCAACGAACAAGGGGATTGCCTTCACACGAACCTTGGCACATTTGCGATTTTACCTATGGCATCACAAGTCTCTTCGCTCTCACCTACGCCCTTTTCGTGTTCGTCTTCAAACGGGCAGCGTCGTGGCTATGGTTTAAGCGTAGATGGCGCGTGGATCCTATTCGACGATGAGAAGCGGCTGTGGCTACCACCAGAATATCGTCCTACTGCATCAGCCGTAGGCAAGAGGAGGGTAGCTATCGGATGTGCTTCTGGTCGTGTGCTGCAATGGGCATTCTAATGCGAGGATTTGCTTGGATTACGGATAGCCTACTAGGTCATGATTCTTGTCTTTTACTCCATTTTGTTTCTATTATCTATTCTATGTTCTTTATAGTACTGTCGTTTTAGCAATCGACCCTATCCTGTTAGGGAAAATTGGTTGACTATTTAGGAAACTATATTGATCTAGCCAAGCTCGTATTCTGCACGATCAGTGTAGTTCACTCGTGGCGGCTCGATGGAATCCTGGATTAGCTCCATACCGGGTAATTGCAATTCAAGCAGCGCCAGTTTTGGATCAAGCCGCTGTACAAAGCGAAGGCGAGGCGCACTGTAGCCCCCCACTTAGTGCACAACTGGTCTGTGCGCGGAGCGACTCAACTGCCCAGTTTTGGACACCAATTTCGGTTCTCACTGTACACAAGGTTCGACCACCACGTGCTTCCTGGTAAGTCGTGGGGTGGCCCCCACCAGCTCCACGCGCCACCCCTCACCCTAACGCGGTGAATGAGGTGCACGGGCAAACAAGCCCCATGTGCGTGATGCGTAGGTTAAGGCTAGGAGCCATCCTGCAGACGCTGAGAGTACCTGAGGACCATCGGGGCTTACTCTGCACAGCCACTAGCGCGATGGAGGAAGGTCCCGACCCGTCACAGCCGGAAGGATCAGCCTTACCAAACTGCCGGGTTTTGTGCAGTGGGAACTAGACCGGCAGGCATAGCGAATGAGCACTGGCCGTCCCTAGCGCTCTTTTTTGGGCATTCGCTTGTGGAGCAATGCTGATGGGTGGTGCGGCAGATTCAGCGCCGTTGGCGGCAGGGAAGCAAGATAAAGACCTTTAAGGGTCTTCAAAAATCCTTACGATTCGGCTACTAGAAGCTTACGGCGGTTCTACTCGAGCTTGATACTACCGGTTCCATTTTCGATCACCCAGAGCTGTTTTGGCAAAGCACAGAATACCCAAGCCATCGAATCCCCCCTTATGCTCGAGCACGGAGAGCCAGATATCTCCTCCTGCCCACCGGATACGGGTGATAGGCCTCGTCTACACAACGTGCTGAATGCAGAGCCAGCCCGGGAGGTGCCCGACTACTTGTTGGAGCTAGTCTAAGAACTTATCAAGAGGGGTATAAACGTGAACTGCGGAAACTCTTTTGCCTGTGCTTTCCGAATCATGAAGTGGACAGCTGGAAGACTACTCCCTAATACTGGGTGGACAGAGCCTCCAGAAGACGATGCCACAAGACTATGCTCCTTACTGATACAAGACTTCTACCACGCTCCCGAAGTGTTCAAATGTCCCAGCGTGATGCATGGTAGAGTCAAAGAAACGCACTACACGTATATCGCTGTTACGGATGAGCACAGCACGGAGGACGAGAATTGCCGATGGTAGGTGTTACTGGACCGCTTCTTGATGACGAGTTGCGGATTAACCCCATCCTGACACAGTCGCTCTCTAGTAGATGCAGGAGCTGGTATGAACACTCAAGGTGGTCTAGATGCAAGCACTCTCAATTGCCCACAGAGCGTCTCGGTGGGCTTGCCGTGCGTAATTTGGCAGCACAGTTGCAAAACCTCAACATGACAAAAAGCGCCACGTAGCCTCTGGCTTTCTCCTCAACCCAAAGATTCCAGGCTTGGAGAGATTGTTGCTGGAGACGACTGCGCCCAAGTCGTGGCCAGGGCGCAGTCCACGTTAGATACATGCGGGGCAACTTTTGATCATGGACAAGAAGGCTCTGTACGCCCGTCTAAGGAGGAACTCAGGCATCGGAGACTCTAGCGCTTAGACACCCCCACGCAGCTATCGGAAGCTACTTGCTCTATGTCGGACTTCCGATGTCGCTGGACTTTGTAGCCAACTAACCACAGCACCAGTTGCATCTGGTCGACGTGCTTGCCTGCCTCTCCTGCATTTCTACCGGGTCCACGGCACCTGGAGCTAATGCTGACGCGGCAGTCTAAAGTCGGTCACGCTAGAAGCAGAAAGTAGTCATACTCTTGCCGCACAAGGTCGTTTGAAGTGACAATTCCTGAACAAAAGTGCACTTATAACTAAGTTACTGATGTCCACCTCCCTAGTAATATGGATGTCATTCAGCTTCCTCTCAAAGAGAGAACTTTTCTCCACGAGGACATTTACGTGGCCTAAATACATGAAGAGAATGCTACATGAATCAGGCTCACTCACAAGTGCTGTTGGATGATTATGCATGCTAAGTCATCTCCGTCCAATTTGAATCCTCCATCCTTCCATGTTTCGGGCCACGGTCTTACCTCCTCCATTCCTGAGTTCCTCGATTGCACGAATGAGTGCCTTGTCAACCACCCAGTGAACCCCTTTATGTTGCCGAGTCTCGAAGCCCAAAGCCAGGTGACCGGTCGCATGATCAACTACGTGGCAAAAGCACAAGCATAGGGATCCGCATTGGCCATGACAACATCCTCTTCAAAGTAAGGCGGGGGAGTCTGGAGTTCCGTCATCAGATGCGCACACAATACGGTATTTGAGCTGGCTCACTTACCGCATCATGATTCAAAGTCCTAGCGAGTTCTCGTTCACTCAGGTCCGGGTAACAGCCCGGGAAGAACGGAAAGTTGCCTTCATGAGACACAGGCTTGTTAATCGGCCGGTAACGGGTTTCAAAGCCGGTTGACTGTGCTTTGGATTCTTTGTCGCATATACAGGACTTCGCTGGGCCATGTCTCTGGGAAGCCACCTCGTTGAAGAGGAGCATAATAGCCCAGACCACCGCACATCGCAAAACGATGTCAAGAAGCCGCATGATGATGGCTGCAAGGCCGTAGAGGACGATCCAAATCGCTCCGTACTGACTGATCTTGGAGGCGGCGATAGTGGCCATGACTGGTCGATGGGCTGAACGTGAATATGGCAGGTTAGCGTGGATGTGGTAGAGTCCTGGGCTACGACGGCTTAAATACTCATCTCCAACATCAGGGCAAGGCATGAACGGGCCGAGTTTCACCACTGAACAGCAAAGCAGCACCACCGGCTTTTCCGAGAGATATCCCGGAGGCAGCCAGGTCGTTGGGATGACGCCATTGCTACCCAAAGCCACACTTCGCAGGCCACCGGCAGAGCTGAGCTGGGTAGAAGCACGGCCCTCCGGACGCATCTTGACGAAATTATGAGGTTGGCCAGGCCTCTGCATGATCAATCTTGCGGCTCCTCCCTCTCAGTCGAGACAAGGTATCAGGAAGCACCGTGGTGAGTCTGCCTTGCAGAATCTGCATGGATCAAAGTATCAGAACCCCACGTTAGATGCACAAGGGGCCATGGGTCTCGATACGACGAAACTCAGGAATTTGTCTGGCCGGATCTGATCGATTGGGAGGCATTTGAGGGTTGGGGGCTTCAGCTATGACTAGTCTCAGCGGCCGACGACATCTGTACTCACTAGATACAGTACACACCTCAACTGAACGCATGTGGAAGAGGCACCACACGGCAGTCGTTCTTCTTTCTCCAGATGCCTTCTGGAAGTGCTGGAGATATACATACGGCCTTGTCGACCGCCGTTCTGCTCATGGTTGCCAAACCACATGCAGCTGACCTTGGCATGGACGCCCGCACTACTCCGGCCATGAAGGCCAGCGCCGGGCTTGGCACCCGATCTAGGAATGGGACATTGCCGAGCGTTTGTTCCAATTATTTCCATTGCCGTACATTGCCTGGGGATAAAATCCGAGTAAACCCACCTGAAATGTGGCTGCATTTTCGGTATGGCCCTCCAATATCGTCTTTTCTCACAGGTTGGCCTCACCCAGCTTCATCTTGTCGGAGATGTATGAGGCCGTAGCCGATGAGAAACCCTCCTGGTTGGTATAGTCCATCGCGCGATCCACGATGATCTATTGCCGATCGTCCAAGCTATCATAAACCCTATCTTGTTCACTCTTGCCTTGCGGGTTATTAGTCAGGCCATGACCTTTATAGAGAGGAGGTAGGTACTGTAGTGAAAATCTCCATATGAGAAGACGAATGTGGTGTGTATTTAGTAAATGGTATTGCATGAGCGTGAGCATGTGGTCCATGTCCTATGAAGCTGAGGAAGTGCACCCAGGAAGGCACACGGGTCTCTCAAGACATGTGTCCATAACCTACATCTGGGGCCTCCCAGAGGTCCTCATCATCCGGCCAAATTGGCTTGTTGTTCCGTTTCATGGTGGAGTCAGGCTTCTCAGCTGCATGGGTCGCCTCCTTGAATTCCAGCGTATCGGGATCCTTGACATAGCCATGGCAGGCGACATGAGTCTCGCGACCCAAATGGTCCTGCGTCTTGTAGCTGAACGTGACGTGATCTCCCCTGGGATCCTTCTGACGTCTCCCGTTAATGGTCGTCGTTGAGTGAACTTCGCTCCTGTTGTCAGTCAGTCATTGTAGGACGAGACCTGGACCAGGAATTTGTCCCGATTCCTGATTTTTACATGGCAGCATACCGAACAAAGACTGCCCTGGGGTAGAGCTGCTTGTCGCGCGCTGTCTGAGAAACTGCCTTCGCAAAAGAGTCCGTGCGCACCCACCTTTTTGGAACATCACCACTTCACTGCTATCATTTCAATTCGTAATTACATGGCCAAATAGCGTTTAAATTGAATAATGAAGATATCTCTAGAGTTGCCGTGTTCTGTGCTTCAATACTTGGTGTACCAGCCTTTTGCATGCTTACAGGCGGTGATGCGCCGGGGCAGACTCTGAAGTAGGGCTCTGACCTTGTGTTCTGGGATATCTTCCCACGCGTTTTTGATTATCTCTTTGGCGTACGCAATTGAGCTCAAATTGCGCTTCAGGTCGTGAAATCGAGGCTCTGTTTTATATATTTAACGCTTCAAAAGCCTCCAAACGTGCTCGATTGGGTTAAGATCTGGCGAGTGAGGTGGCCAGTCGAGAGTCCAGATACCATGTGTTTCGAGCCATTCCTTCGTCGCCGTTGCACGATGGATTCCGGCGTTGTCTTGCATGAAGGGATCGCCAGGCTCGTAGAACGGAAGGAGCCCTTCCTCGAGAACGTTGATATAGGTCCTGGAAGAGGCTCCTCCGCGTGGTGCGTCGGGATCTCCTTCGACAATAAGGATAGGTGACATTCCGGCCTCACTATCGCGATACCACATTATTCCCCACACCATAATAGAGATTTTGGACTTCACATGATCCTCTGGGTTCACTAGATCAGGGCGATACCTTTCCGACGGTTGGTCTGGTTGATTCTGGACGGTACATTCGTCTGAAAAGAGCGTTCTCTGGAGGTATCGTGCGCGATAGCCACGGCCATAATTAAGGCAGAATTAGTATCGCAATGCAGCGTCCTCATCTGTCAACTCGATACGCCGTGCGGCACGCCACTTCAGAAGCCCGGTAGCCTGAAAAAATCGTCGGAGAGTTGGTACGCTGAATCGGCCGTTGAAGTAGCTGTAATGCTCCCTCCAGGTGGCTCTAGGCGCCTGACGGCCTCTGCGATATACCTGACGTATAGAGCGCCCTCGAGTACGTGGTTTTACACCTTTTCGAGGCGTCGAAGTAAGGCGTTGTCGTTTCGTGGCTTTCGCGATCTGCTCACCGACCCGTTGGCGTTTGGTGTTGAGTGCTTCCGCGATCTCGCTGAGTTTTGCGCCGGCAGCTGCAGCCCCCAACATGAAGGCGCGCTGCTCAGGAGTGAAGTCCTGGCATCTCTGGCGATTGCCAGAGATAATGTCACCGAATTGACGTAATTGCGACATTGCTGGACCTCGTAATCGCTCTTTAAAGGGTGTGTTGACGATGGTGGGGGACACGACGCGACAAAAGGTGGTGGGGCGCGCACGGATTCTATTGGTAACATAGTGTACGCCAACGCGACAAGTTGGCGCATCCTGGAGTCCGTTCTGGGGACTTGTTTAGCGTGGAAGTAGTAACTTATTTGACAATGTTGATGGAAGACATGATGCCCGAGGAAGTTTTGCTTAGTTATCGAGAGATGTAACACTCAAGATGCGGAATTCTCAACCTATTAAATACCTGATACGAGAATTACTGTTGGTCTTCGCTGTTTGCCCATACGTGGCAGCGGGCCACAGCTCTAGCCTGAAGCCGCCTCTTGGGCGCTAAATCCTCGAAGTTCCATGCAAAGGCTGGCGGGGCCTGTCGTAGGCGCTTGGAACAGACCATTGATGGCCTCATTCACGTTGTGAACCATATTTGCGGTTTCATCGCTTGTCGTAGGAGCTTCTTCATGCTCATCCGATTGGGGTGCATGGGGTGCATTGGGCGTGATGAAGGTCGCAATGGGCGCTTCAGTTCACTAGCGGACCCACCCAGCAGCTGCGCCCCCCCGAGGGAAGTCCCAACATACCCCAGGCACTACGTCATCACGGCTGTATCCAATAGGGAACCATCATGTCTTACCGCCTGCTCGTTGGGGGCCCACCGAAAATGGGCCACCTCAAGGGTGGATCTGGACACTGTCTGCAACACGTCTTCAATCATCAGAAACAGGTGCACCTGCCTCCAGACCGACTATTCAGTCTTCAGTTTCACCCAGTACCAAAAAGCAGCGATCTCTCATGCGCTGCAGATGAGTGCTTGGCGTCAGGTCATTTCGTGGCGCGCGACAACCCCAAAGGTCTGCTCTTTGAGCCCCTGTTTTCTACGGCGCATAGGATCCAGCTTCCTCCAATCACATTACTCGACTATGTCAGCACCGCCTGTTGAGTACGGATACGTCGATAGAGTAGAGCATCTCAGCGACTACCGACCGGGTGGCTATCATCCAATTCACATCGACGATCGGCTTGACAAACGATATCGAATAGTGCACAAGCTCGGCCACGGCACATTCTCCACTGCCTGGCTTGCCGTCGACGAGAAGACATCAAAATATGTCGCCATCAAAGTCGGCACCGCGGACTCGGATTGCACTGAGGTTGATATTCTCTCCCAGCTCACACAGAGCGCTGCAAGCTACATCGACTCGGAAGACAAGCTGTCGCTGATTCCTGTCGTTCTTGATCGCTTCGATCTCAGCGGGCCCAATGGCACTCATCCGTGTCTCGTGACCCTTCCAGCACGATGCAGCTTGCGGGATGCAAGGGAGGCATCAGGCAGCTCCTTATTTCAGCTTGATGTTGCCAGATCTCTTGCTGCGCAACTAGTCATGGCCGTATCCCTCGTCCACTCACAGGGTTATGCCCATGGAGGTGAGCATCCCGTCGCCTCAAACGCCGATAACTCAGCTGACACCGTACTCTAGATCTTCATCTCGGCAATCTTCTTTTACAACTGCCCTCATCCCTCAACAACTTATCGATACAGCAACTGTATGCACGGTACGGGGAGCCGGAGCAAGAGCCAGTAGTTCGTCTCGACACCCAGGCAGCATCAATGGACCCCGGGGTTCCTTCCTATGCAGTGCCTTCAGTGTGGCTGGGCATACAAAGCAATGAGATTACCCTAGGCGAGGCGAAGCTCATACTGAGCGACTTTGGAGTTACCTTCCGCCCCGGCGACAAGTCTCGATTCGAGTCATACACACCCCTTGTACTCCGCCCACCCGAGGCATTCTTTGAGCCAGCAACGCCCCTCACATTTGCCTCTGACATTTGGAGCCTGGGTTGTGTGATTTTTGAGCTCCTCGCCCATAGGTCGCTCATCGACGGGTTCCTCGCACCACAGGACGAGATCACGGCTCAGCAGGTAGAACTGCAGGGTCCCATGCCACCTGAGTGGTGGGTAAAATGGGAGAAGCGATCGAAGTGGTACGATGAAGCGGGCAAGCCCTTGAGCAATGCGTCCGATATCTGGTCATGGGAACGACGGTTCGAGCAGTGGGTACAAAACCCGCGACAGTCTAGGGATATGGAAACGATTCGTGAGGACGAGCGGGATGCGCTGTTCAAATTCCTGGGGTGGATGCTTGCATGGAGGCCAAGCGAGCGACCAGATGTAAAGAAGGTGCTGGAGACAGATTGGATGACGAGGTGGGCTTTGCCAGCATACCAGAAAGGCTTGGAGGGGCATTGACCTTCACCGAACTGACCGAGAGAGCTGAAGTGAGGCCATATATTTCTACGCAAAACACAAGGCGATCAGCACAGCTCAATGTGCCACAGCGTTGTTCCAAGAAACTGTTGATCGCCCGCTGCACCTTTTCACGCGTGCTACACACCTCTTGTGCTGAGTGATGGCCAAGGGATTGTTCTCTGGCATGGAGACATTCACTCAGGCCGCTCAGAAGTGATTGCCAGAGCTATAACAGAGAGAGGACTGCTTCCGGGATACCTTTGGTTGGTTCACAGGATAAATCGGACCACGGCCCACGCACGCAGCCCGTTGCCGCCCGCAGCCGCCATTGCAACGCCCTGCCCGGAATGGCCGCTGTTGCCGACACCACATCACCAGGGCTGCGCCGCCAGCAAACGACGTCCCCGCCACAAATGCCCTGATCTCACAGAAGCCCATCATCATCGGCAGCCCGAAGCCCAGGACCGCCGCCACGAAAGACACCAAAGGCCCCAAAGAACAGTGCTGGGGACGCCAACGCCGCCGCCTGGTCTGCGATGTTCCATGCGCGAAGAGCCTTAGGCGGTTTGCTGAATTGGCTCGGCTAGACTGTCCAACACAGCTTTGACAATATTCAGCTTGAGCTCCCGTTTGCCTCTGATTCTCGGGTCCTTCTCTTCAAGAACACCTTCCTTCCATGATTCATAGAGACTAGCGCCAGTTACATGCGCATTGGCGCAATCTTTTCGGTATTTCCTCCGTGCTGTCTCTCGCGAGCCAGGTTCAACTCTTCGACGTGTTAGCTCGACTTCGTACTTCACTAAGGGATGTTAAGGGATGTTCACTGGCTGGAGATAAATGAGAGCCAAAGCTGCTATTCCAAAGCTGATGAATGTCTCGAGTGTCTCCTCATCCTCATGTCTGTCACGGTCGAGATAGATGAAATCACCGCAGCAGATTTTGGCGAGCATCAGCGGGTTGATAAGACGGGCATCAGGAGGGCCGCTCTCTTTCCATTGAGGCAGCTTGAGCATTTTGTCGGTCCTTCTCTTGACGTCTTTATACTTCCCCGGACGCTTCTCGGCGAGTTAGGTTTGTAGGGCTTGGATTGCCTCAAGTGCGGATTGTCTGGTGGCCGTCATGATTGTACGGAGAGATCTGGCAATACTCAGATTTACAGGTCTAGGCTGATGTTAAGTATCCCGAGTCCGCAAGCGGGGTTGAGTACACTACCCCGCAATACGTATGAACGTGGTGCTAAGACCAGACGGCCTGTGCGCCTAATAGTGGCACAGAGCCACTGAGTCTCTACAGGGTAGCTACGCGAGACATCGGATCCATACACGGATGACAGTTACGTGGCTTGTATGCATGAAGAGAATGCTATATGAATGAGGCTCGCTCACAAGTGCTGTTGAATGATTGTCCGTGCTAAGTCACCTCCGTTCAGCTTTGGTCCTTCTACCTCCTGTGTCAGGCCACGGTCTCACCTCCACCATTCCTTAGTTCCTTCACTGCAAGAATGAGTGCCTTGTCAACCACAACGTGATCCTGTGTAAGCAGAATAACCGTGCTGATATCACTTGCTAGAGCGCTCTCAATCACTTTTGCCGGCGTCATTGACGTCAGATCAGCTGAGAATAGTGCAAATCCTTGATTCTGAAACTCCTTTGCGGTTGCCTGCGCTCCAGATACATCTGGAAGGGTGACCTCCTCCGTATGAACAGTCTCCATACGTCCCTGCCGAAATATGCGGAAATGAATCCTAGGGCGGGCTGGAGATTGACAAAGGTCGTTCACTCCGGTGGGATTCGTCCATAATCGAGCTTGCCGCTTCAACGCTTGATGACTGGACTGCTCCCCCCCCTCTTCATTCCACTTCCGTGGCGCGATATCGAGTCACTTAAGGTCTCGCTCTGAGTACTCTCACTGTCGCTCATGGTAGGTGACGGCACATGGGACTGCGTCGCCATCCGGAATAGGATACTATTGAGCTCAGTCCCAGTGCTAAAAAACGCCGTGTAAAAAGACTGCAACACGAAGAATGAAGTGGCTGTGGTGGGACTACAGTCGCCATGAAGATTGGGAAGGAATAAGTCCTGTCTGTCTCGATCGAAGGTGTCTTTGTACGGCAATCCGCTGCGTTTGGCAGCAACTGCATTCCTGCCATGCCACTGCGGATCGCTCTCTGTCTCTGAGGCGCTTTGCTGAGCTCTCAGATTGACAATTTCAGCCGATTCGAACCCAAGTCGGTTTGCAAAGTCCGCAAACTTTTGCAACGCGTCCGGTTGCGCTCTGATCAGCTCGACCTTGGCAAGTAGTCTCCTGGCGCCACCATCTCGAGCTTTTGCTAGCTCCCTGAAGTTCCGTAAAGCATAGAGCCACAATTGTCTCCGTGCAATGTCAAAGCATGCCTCTGCAGAGACATCCACCGCTCGATATTCGCCGTCAGCTACTTCTACTATGGCGGACCCGGTAGATGTATTGCCTACGTAGCAGTGCTTAATTATGCAATCCATGCTGGTTGGGACGGCTGGAGCCACCCGGTCCGTTGGTCTGGATATCCTTCTTGGAAGTGGCATAAGGTGACTTATGCTCTGAGCGCAAGAGTCCAGAAGTTTCAGGTCTTTGAGGAGGGTGGATAACGAAGGGATTGTGTGTTCTATCGACCACAGACCTTCTCTTATGGCTGCTTTCTGTTCGTCACTAAATCTCATGAAGACTGCACCTGTGCGCATGGCGGAGTCGATCATCTCGGCATCCTCCGTTGATACCCTTGGGCACCGCCCTTCGATGGCCTTGACAGTATCTGCATCTAGCAGATAGAAAAGGCCTTCAGAAGAAATGATGGTCCTCCAGTCTTCTACAACGCGCTCCAGATAGCATATGACTCTCTTTCATCCTACAGCTTTAGTCTCTTGAGAGTAATGGAAGAATTGGTCACGCCACATACCTGACTATATCTAGCATATTTGTGCCATTGACTGAGGCTCCAACCGTCTCGGAGTGCTGGCACCTTTAAGGGCTTATCGAGAGCTGTTGCAAGATCCTTGCTACGTAGCAACGTACGCACACATCGCAACGCGTGTCGTGAAGAAAGCTGTTGAAATAGCTGTGCTTGCCTCTCGTGCTGACCCAGGACTTCGCATTCTCGAATGGCACAATAGAGCTCCACGTCACTCGTTGAGGCTTGGTTTCGTTTGCTCATTGTAAGGGCTGTTGAGTCTCGTTGCTTAGAAGGTGTGCGGTGGTCTTCGAACTTGACTATCCCGGAGGCTCCAAAATGGGCTCCTGTTCCCTTCGTGGCCCACGACCTATCGGCGACCGTTATACATAAAAAGATGGAAGCGCATACGGTTCTCTGCCAAATCTAGGCACGAGCTTGAGAAATGGACAAGAAGGACGCAAGGTTTACACAGATCTATATCAATGAGCGAAACAGCGCTTACCTAGGAGCTGTGCTTAAAAGAAGGCAGCCCCAAGCTGTGCTGGCTCCGATATCACCCAATGAGCACCAAACCAAGAGAAAGAAAGAGTCTGACTACCACACTGAAACAAGGGGTGTTACCTACCAGCCCGCTAGGACTATCGCGTCATCGACCAGGAGCCAGGCTTCACGCGCCGACATTATAGGGGCTCAACTCGGAGATCCCTGGCAGAAGTACATTAGAATCCTTACATGGCTCGATCTTGGCCCTGAGACGTTTCTCGCCATGGAACTCTCGTCTCCCGGAAAGTTCGTGAACGTCAGAGCTTTTCGAGGAAGTGCAGCCGAGAGGAGTCTTCACGAGATCCAAAAGCTTCGGCATAGAAGCTTCATTTCGGCGCTCGAGGCCTTCTCGATCAGGGAAGATGTCTACGTTGTTTTTGAAGCAATGCAGCTGAACTTGCTGCATATTATCTCGTGTACCCGGTACCCTAGTCCCCATGAAGGCGCGGCGATCATTGGACAAGTGAGTACTGTTCTTCCCATACAACAGGTGCAGTCGTTAAGAAACAGATCACGGACGGTTTGGTCTACCTAGAAGGTGAAGGGCTAGAACATCCTAGACTGGACTGGGAATTCATTCTGCTCAATCAACATGGCGAGGTCAAGATAGGTAAGAAAGTTCAGTTCACCTGAGAACAACCTGGCTCTAATCGGGGGTATCAGCTTGTTGTGAGGTGTGCCAGCCCGTGCAGCCCGGCCGAAGGCACTGGGCAGCAGCCCGAATCAACACGATCACACAGGGGTTGGTCAATAAGGATGAAGGCACTGAGGGCGTTCATAACAAACAATGGCTCCCCAATGCAGATGCCGTGTCGTTTGTCGCCACGACGACATCGGCACAATCTGCATCCGAGTTACAGCCGGTACTGGGTCTCACATTCCACTTCCATGTAGCAGTACTGACAGCTGGTCTAGCACGCGTTTCTGAAGAACTTCGGACGGAAGGATGCATCGTGGGATTGTGGCTGTTTGCTGGTCTTGATTACGATTAGTACGACACAGGCGCATCCGCGGGAGTATCGCCTTGACAGCTGAGCGCACCTGAACCCGACTGATAGCTCGCGCCATCTCCAGAATTGGAGTCTTGAGCATTGTGGGGCAGTAGAGCTGTTTATGGCACAAGGCCCACCGAAGGAGTCATATATATGTAGCCTCCCCCAAACGGCATCTCTCGGGCTATGGACTCACCGCGAGGTCCTCATGGTGATGGACGAAGCAGCATGGAACTATCCGGACAATATATCTATGCTTTGACGCTATGCGGCATTCTTCTTATATTGTACATAGTGCGGCAGGTACTGCCAGTCGCCTACACCTGGTGTCGGATACTCTTTCTCCTGTTCCTCCGGTTGTTCAGCTACACCTTTGTCATTCATCGTCATCGATGGTTAGGACCCTGGACGATTGATCTCATCGCCAGCCGGACTCTTTATCTCATAGCCAATCTCTTATGTCTGCTCATGCCGTCAGTATCGCGTGCAGAGCTAGCATCGCGAGCTGGCTCGTTAGCGGCCATCAATATAACACCACTTTTCTTGTCCATTCACCTAGACTTTCTGGCTGATGCCTTTGGCCTGCCACTGAAAACAATACAAGAGGCACATAGGTCGGCAGGGGTGATGACCTTCGCGCTACTGACTCTCCATGTCTGTCTCTTGGTCGACCTCGAAGCGGTACCCGGGCTGTACGTGATGATGGTGAGTGCTCTGGGTTTCGAAGCAATGGGCCCTTTGACTGACGTGTCAGGCGTCCATGTCGGCGGCAGTCATGGTGCTTCTTGGCATGACACCGCTCAGGAGGCGAGTACATGAGCTTGCAGATAAGACTCACAAAGCACTGGCGATAACTATGGCCTTTTCCACATGGCAGCACATAAGCACGATCACTCATGTGCACCGGTGGCTGTTATACACCGCAGCTGGAGTGATCTGCCTGGTCCACGCGGTGCAGGTCTGTCTGTTCTTGCGCAGGAATGTATGCTGGGGCAAACCATTCCCGAGAGCACATGTCACGAGTGATGGGAGCATAGTCAGAATAGTGCTGTGCTTGCCACGTCCAGTGAAGATCGATGCCGGACAATATATCAGCCTAAGCATGATATCTTCCACGATCGGGTTCTGGTCGTGGGTGCAAAGCCATCCATTCACGATCACTTCGTGGTCTCTGAGGAGGCAGGATGAACTAGAACTTTGTGTTCAGTGCCGCAGCGGACTAACACTACGACTTCTACAGTCGGGTGAGAGAACCTTTCTCGCATTCTTCAGCGGCCCTTATGGGAGGTCGCATTCCCTGAAGGCGGCCAAGTCAATACTCATGTTGATGACGGACTTCGGCATCGTGGCGGTCTTACCATACCTGAAGAAGATCACGGTCAACTACGAATGCCGCGTCCACATGGTCTGGCACGTGAAGAGGCTCAGCGACTTCGCTCCACTAGTCACCTTGTTGAATGAATATCTGCGAGACCACACGCTTAGAAATGTGAGACGTGTAACGTCCGTTACCTCTGGGGGAGATCAAGACCTAACAGCCTCCAGATTTTGCAGATCTCCGTGTATAACGAGCGTGGAGTACACAACGAAGGCTTTGGGTATCATGGTCGTGTGAACATGTTGGCTTGCGCGCCAGATATAGCAGATATCATGAAGAGCGAAATTGACGGGGGATTCATCACGGAGCTTGGCTTATCTTCGCATACCCCTCACGCCGGCTTGGAGGGCACATCTCCACATCCCACCGATCACGCCTCGCTACGAGAATCTCAAGTGCGGTACAAAGCAGACTGCAGTCACATCCTCGTACTTGGTCAGTCTAGAGAACAAGCCTCAGACTTCAAGTCATCCAAGTTAACCTGTCCTTCTATTTCAGTGTCAGGATCACATGTGCTTCGCGACACGACACGAAAACTGGCAGGGCGATATTTGAGCAGAGGCTTGGTTTTGAAGGAGCTAGACTACCAGCAAGAGTAATTGAGAAGTATATCTCTGTTCACTAAGTGCCATAGAGTCTGGCACGCCGGCAGGGCTCTGCGAAGCCTTGCACGTTTATGGGAGCCATGCTCATCTTCCCTTCAGACGAGCACGTCGGTCCTTTGCTGCAGTGTTCACAAGCAGACTGATCAGGAGGGCTAGACCAGCGACTGCTGTGAAAAACCCAAATACCGACATAATCGCAAGCTAATCTCAATCGTACCAAATGCCTTCCTCGCCCACACGCCTGAGTACCACCTGAGCTATACCCACATCGCGACTGAGCCCAACTGAGCGGCCTGAGCTTGGCTGCCGCTGACAAAGACATTGCTGATTAAGCGACCGGTCTCGGAGCTAATCGTCATGCGTACATGGTTCTGCTAAATTATGCTAGGTTAATAATAAGTTAACTTATGCCAAAATTTATCCAACATTAATATGCTATACATAAATATGTGCATGAATTGCTTTACCTTCGGCTAGCCTAGACCACTATCGCTGTTTAGCCTCGACCGGACGAACTAGGCATTTGGAGATATCATTAAACTAGGATCCAAAGCATCATAAGCGAACTCGATATATAGTCGCGCTACCATAAGCTATGAAGCAGCAAATCCTAACGTCATTATAACGACAAAGTGGAAAGTCGACCACAAAGGCCGTCGCTGAGCCCTAAGTCCAAGCAAAACATCGGGCCTGGCACGCCATCATAAGAGGATCAATGTAGAGCTTAGCGTAATCATATTCATCTTTGATATTCTCTCTCTGCGAAACCACGACTAATTCAGCTTGACCCCGCATATCAGAAGGTCCTGGTCATCTTCTCGTGTCGCTTCAAGTTCCTCGTCATAGCGTGAAAGCGAACGAAATACCTAGCTCCTGTGTCTATGCAAGCTTAGAGTATACTATTCACGCACTAAAGCACAGATATGATGCAGGTATCCTGGTATGGGCCAGTTAACGCAGGAGCTGGATGTCCCACGGGAATGCGCCAATTGCGGCGTCTCAACGATGTGACCTACACCCCTTAAGATTTGGAGCCATTTCTGGAGTGTACCTCGTGCATGCCAAAACACACGAGGGACACCTTTACACACAGGAGCTGGTTGCAAAGATACACAAAGCAGCAACTGATAGCTCAACAAGAATGCGCCAATTGTGGCGCACCCACTGATGTGACCTACACCCCCTGAGATCCAAAGCCATTTCTGAAGCAGCAGCTGAAGGCCAATCAGAGCCTTTAAACATGATGATGTCGCGCTGATACAGCGCGACATGATTGGGTTGGTGTGACGTTTCTTTATAGTGACGTTCCTGCGCTTCGACAGAGCTCTGAATGATTGATTTCAACAGTGGTAATTGATAGTTGTCTGTCTTAAAGGAAAAAGGTCTAAACGAGTGACTGCGAGCACTGAAACTCGGTTTATATGCTCCAGGGGAGCTCTCAATGCTGACTCATCGGTTTCATGCGAGCATCTGTATGTACCTTACCTGCTCAATGTCACAGTTGGACAATACACCAGATACCGCCATTATTCATTCTCCACAGCAGTGCAGCGCTACCATTAGTCGCTAAATCTGGGTGCTAAGGGCTGTGATGCCTTGAGGGTATCTTCGGCTTGCATGGACCTACGAAACCGCACTCCTTAAAGTCAATCAGTTTATCAGCAGTCCACATAACTGGCAAGCTGCCTGGCTCCCAGTGTATTCGAAGTATCGTATAAGGCTTCGGTAGCTAACAACAAGATGTTTAATCACACGCAAATTGTCAGAACCCTGGTTGCCCGTCGGCCACGGAGGCTGCTCGTTGGTCTCCTCGTCACAGGAGCATTGGGAATTCTAGCCAGCCCATGGATCCTGATGCAGAATTATTCTACTACTTTGGACTTCTTACTGAGCTCAGACGATGGACTACTGCAAGGTATCGAGAGGACTCCGCGCGAGCAGGCTGGGAACAGAACGCTAGGGGTGAGACCCGACGATCCGCGCCAGACACCGTACAACCATCACGACAACCGCTGACCAAGTATATACTTCAGCAGTCCGAGAAGATGCTCGTCCTTTCAAAGACACCTAGTTGGAGAACGCGTGGTCTCGCCGCTGCTGCGCAGCTTACAGGCTCGACTTCACCATTCCTCTGCAACCACCAGTCACAAACTGTTAATCGAGACCTTTTGCAAGATGGGTCCAGCCGGCAAGACAACGCGCCCGGAGCCCAGCTCGGCTGCAGCGTGGCTAGCACATCTTGATATATTGCGGCACTTCATATCTTCGGACCTTGAAACGGCGCTGATTCTCGAGGACGATGTGGACTGGGATCTGCGCATTAAAGACCAGATGCGGCTCGTTTCAGATAACGTTCGTGCCTTTGGCCGCAGCTACGACAAGAGTGGGCACCAGCTGGTCAGCGATCTGGACGATAGCACACCTTATGGCACAGGTTCACTTACCTGAACCTTATGGGGAAATTGGGGCGGGGGGGGGGGGGGGGGTCCCTGGGGGTTAGCGTCCCCGCCCACTGTAAGTTTGTGTCCAAGTGCCGATTCCTCTATGATGCACTTGGGGTTCAGAATGAGTCCAATGGCCCAATGATGGCCATGAGGGTCAAGCAGTACGCCGAAAAATACATATGGGACTTCTACAAACTGGCAACCCGCGCAAACCTCGACGAAGCCATGAAGGTCAGCATGTTCATGGGAGGACTCAGCCTCACCCAGCAAACAGGCCATCGGCATGCACAAACCACGCAGTTGGCAGGAGGCCGTCGAAGCGGCACGAGAGGCCTACGAACTCCGACCCCGGGAACGAGCTGGCGGACACCGAGGAGGACGAGGCGGCGGCCGCGGAGGGCAAGTCCAAGGAAGGGCGGGGCAAGTCACCGAGGCAAGACTCTGCTTCAACTGCAACAGCCCGGAGCACATTGCCCGCAACTGCCCCCAGCCTCCAAGAACGGCGCGGCGCCCCAAGGGCGAGGAGGGCGGACGCCCTAGGCCCAAGGCAGGCAGGCGGAGGCACGTGAAGTTGGCGACACCGAGTATGACTTCATGGTGCAGGGAAACGAGGAGGGGCAACGACAACCCTCCGACGGGCACCCCTGCTCAACTGCTATTATCGAAAGCAGAACAACGGAGGGACCGACGTGCCTTATCTTTATGGTTGCGGAATGGTAAGCGAGGCGCCGCGTTGTGCCAGGAGAAGGTTACACGGAGTTCAATATTAGGTTCACACCGACGAAACTAATTGAAACTACATTCAAATGATTGCGTCATAGAACGTAGCAGCAACAACTTCAATCAAAGCATCCGGTCGGGAGGCGCAAACAGTGCTGATCTTCCGAGCCCTCAAGTATCCTTGATAACCTTTGGTTTGACTGCTTTGTCTTTAGAAGCACCACCTTCATGGTCATGCATCATGTGCGGTCAGAACACTGTCTTTTAAGCCCCCGGCCGCATATGCGCCAGGTTAGCCTGGACTAACGTATGTAAAATTGACCAAATACGAAGGGCCACGCCAAAGCGGATATGGAGGCAGCGTCCCCGAGGGGGTCAGTCCCAGGGCCTCGGCGACCAGGGCGGCAGAGTGGAGAGCAGCATCTCATGGGACAGCGCCCGGGCCCCCGGGCGCACCACCGGCCCCACCCACCGTTGCTTGCACTGGCAACCATCCCAATGAACAGCACCGCTGCAGACCCGGGCCGGGGGCGTGCAGCCTGTCCCAGCGAATTCTCGCGAGAGCCAGATCAAAATGGGATGGCATGGGCTGCACCCGCCACGGAGTTGCTGCCGGGTCGCTGCGGCTGCGGGTGCTGCTTCACTTCCATCCTCCGTCGACATCAAGTCCGCTTCCGCGGGCTGGGCTCAGACGACAGCACTCCACCGCGCTCTCGACTCCTCCATCGTCTTTCCCCCGTCACCAAGATATCGTCCTCTGCTTCGTACATCCTCCCTCCACACCGATCTCGCACCGCCGAAGCCGACCGGAACTCCACACGGCCACCTCACTTACGACCCGCGACCCGACGGTACCCCGTCAGCTTCGTCGCTACGTTTATGCCCACCAAGCACTGTTGCTGTCCCACGAATTACCATTCAGCATTCTGACGGCAACCTTGTAGGTGTCGATCGAGGACATCCGCAACCACGACAGGTTCCCGCACGCTCACATAGTCGACAGTCCTTTGCACACACTGGCCTGCACTCCTCTCGAGACCATCACCAGGGCGTCTTCGTCCCCCTTCCAGACACCCCCAGGCGCCTGTCTTTACAGGCTCAACCGGCACCATTAGTACCCCAATCCGCATCCAGTCTATCCTCTCGCCCCAAGACGTCACAGACACCAGCCATAGGCCATCCTTGGCTCACTACCAGCTCGCCCAGAAGAGACATCATAGTGACAGTCCAGCCCATCCACATGCACCCCTAATCTCACCCAGCCCGCCTGTGGCCTATGACACGCTGCCACCAGGCGTAGCTCATTCACAGGTCCCTGGCTACGGAGTGGGAGGTGGGGTGTATAGTCATGATGATAGGAGGCCTGTCATGGTCGGCGCCTTCGACGGCAAAAAGTCGACAAAGATGCGTCCGCCTATGCGCTCGAGCATCGCCTGTCTGCGATGCCGCAAGTCAAAGATAAAGTGCGAGAACAACGGCGGCTCAAGTCCTTGTGACGGCTGCATCAAGACGGGCAAGCAGTGCATATTCCAGCCGCCAGAGGGCAATCCTTCGCCACCCAAACGGATCGAGCCACCGGTCGTCACGAAGCAGGACCGTGACGGAGGTTCCGACAGAAAGAGACTGAAGAGGATTGACGAGATCGCCAAGTCTGATGGCCAGAAGGGCATCACCTACGCCGAGGAGGTACTGTCTGCGCCGTTCTTGACCGAGGACGTCTGGGATCAAGTCCTCGACCTTTACAAACTGCACTTCGCGCCAGAATTGCCTTTCTTGCATCTGCCGACCATGAAGGAGCGCCTCGGCTGCAAGTTCCGGTCGTCTGACTCGGTGGAGGTCTCCCCGGAGTTCAACCTCGTGCTGCTTGGTGTGCTTGCATTGACGGCACGCTTTCACACGGACCTCGTGAAGTATCTTGCGCACATCACCAACAATCAGCCAGGCAACGTGCGGTCACGGCCCATGCAGACGCAGGTTGACCCTTCTACGGCATCAGAATATTATGCCGAGATCTTGAGCATGGCTCTGGGACCAATTCCAAAGACAGCTTCTGTTGAGCGCGTGCAGGCCATGCTCATGTTGGGTCTCTACGAATGGGGCCAGACAAGACCGAAGCCGGGTGGTTTGGGTGCTTGGATGTCCATTGGCGGTGCGATCAGATTGGCCCAATTCCTCAAGCTCGGTCTCGTCGACCAAGCGACCACCCCTTCAGACACACCCAACGACCACAGCTCTGCCTCTGACTCTCATGTCATTCTTGAGAGAGAAGTCAGGCGACGCACCATGTTTGGCTGTTTTGTTCTGGACCGTATGCTCGCATGCGGGAAAGGCAGGGTCACCATGATCCAGCGGGAAGACCTTTCTATCCAGTTGCCGTGCTCGGAGGACAAGTTCGATCTTGCTATTGAGGTCAACACAGGGATGCTGCCTCGGAGCAGCCTTGAAGAGTCAGATCGGCGGGATGTCAACGATGATAGTGTTTTGAGCAGGTTCATCCGCTTGGTCGACATATGGGGCGAGATCTCCAAGTATAGTTCAGCAGGGGGTCGCCTCACCGAGAAATTCCCACCCTGGGATTCCCGGACGACCTTCCATCAGCTCAACCAACGACTAAAAGTCTTCGACGCGTCTCTGCCGGGTGCATTCAAATTTTCGGAGTCGAACTATCGCAAACACGAAAACCACCAGGCCTCTAGCGCCTACGTTCTCCTACACGTTCTCCGATGCATCTCTCTCATTATGCTCCACCGGGAGTACATACCGTTTGTTCCAATCCGATGCAAAGGGCCCGAAGGACCCCGCGACGAGCCAACATTCCCTCAGAAAGAGTACAATTGGCCTCAGGGCTTCTGGAGTGAGAGCGCAGAGCATGTATTTCGTGCAGCGAAGGATATCGTGGAGCTCATTGAGATCTGTGAACGCAAGAATCGGCTGCCTCAATCTACTCTCGTGCTCTTTGGGATCTGGACTGCCGCGTTCGTCGGTCTATATGCTCACCATTTCCCCCAGATGGACGAGAAACAGCACCTGATGGGCGAGCAGGTTGTGCGGAAGGCTGATCCTTCCATTCCTCAAGTCTACCAACAGGGGCCTACCGCGATCGCGTACAACACTCTTGACAAGATGTCGACATGGCTGAAGATGGCGTCCACCTACGTATCGATTCTGCTCCAGATGGACAAGTACTTTATCGGCATCAAGCGCGAATTTTTCAAGCATGAAGACCGGAATCAGACCGATCTTGCGGAGACAGCCAGGATGGCCACCAGTAGAGTGCGTGATGGTGGCTCAGGCGGCGGTTTGGAGGAGTACGAGATGATGCGGCCACAGCTCAAAGACTTTGGCGCGCTCAACCCAGTTGACTCGGACAGATCCAGATCCAGCACTGTTGATCGCGCCTCTTCCCTCGGAGCCGAAAGTCAAGGACCCGTCTGCACCCCAAAGTCAATGCCGTCGTCTTTCACGGCAATCAACCATGGACACAACCTGATTCTCCCCGCTCCATCAGAGTCGACTCAGCAGGCCAACGGTACACTTCCAGAGATGCTTATCCCGAGCCATGGAGATGCTCCGAGGCTTCGAACGCACGGGGCCTGCAGTCTCCGGTAGAAGGCAATGGAAGCACGACGAATACGACGGCGACTAATGGTGGACACCAGGGCAGCGAAAGCATCTTCCCAGCTTCACTGACCACCGACGAGCTCTATGCTCACGAGAATCAGCGCATGCACTGGGATGTGGACACCTGGCTGTGTGGAGACATTGGCGACCTACCCGGGCACTTTTGGGCACCAAACGCGCAGAGATAGAGCTCGACATGCTGGTCTGCAGTTCCCGGATTTTTCACTCAAGTCTGTACCGCCCGTCCGCATCTCCCTAGCGCAACGGGACAGCTGGCCCGTGGGGTTATGAGGCCCTTTCTCAGCTTTGCACTTACTAGGTCATCTCTTTTTTCACTTGCTTCGATCCTGCGAACTCGCCGCGTACCTGGAGGAGCCGCGGCTCACCAAGGCGGTAGCGCGTTGGCTGATTACGCAGCGCTTACTGCCACAGTATCATAAGGCGCTCGAGGAGGCGCCGGCACAGGAGCAAGCACTTCAGGAAGCAATAACGCGCGAGACAGAACGACGCGCGGAGGCGCGGCGCCAGAGGAGCGCGGGAGACGCGGACGCGACAGCGCACCGCCAATTTCTTTGATTTTGGCCCGAAGCTGCGCGGCGAGGCAGCGCATCGCAGTACAATGCGCGGGCTGAGCGAGTGCGCAGCGCTGTAGCATTGATTGCGGATGCGCAGCCTGCTGTCGCTGTCGACAACCTATCATTGTGCCACTGGGAGAATATCCTCTTGCCATAGCAAGTTTGGCTGGTGAGAGCCATTCTTTGGATGCGAAAAACCGGAAGAGCGAAGGCGCCACTTTGGCGCAGCGAATACGCAGCGTATATTTTTAGTCCAGCCGAAATGCACGGTTTATTATACGATAGATTTGCAGCATCGCTAAACCTACTTAATAGGTAAAGCGTACTATAAATAATAATATTTACCCGAGCTAGATTTCTATGTCCAAGTTATAGGCGCATCAAGTCTCGATGTACACAAAATAGGTTGTACCCAAGTTTTATGGGAAATACAGGCCACGAAGCCATGCTTCACAAGTCTTTCTACCCGTTACTACATGCACTACACTAATAGATTGTAATTTGTTACCATATTATGGTGAGCACACTGCAGCACAGGTCCTACAGCTGGGTCGTTGTCTCATTGCCCCTATGCCCTATGCCTGTACTTCGTGATCTACCGTGGCTACGTGTTATGGCCAAGACAGATCTTATCCTCAGACTTCACCTCATTCATGACCTGACTAGCACAGACTGTGCCGTTTGGTAAGATAACATACTTAGCAAACCCAGGTAAACCCGCAATGGAGAGGCTAGACATCGGTTTCAGTGCGCTGCCTCGTTCCAAGTCGGTCAGCCAAAAGTGGATTGTGGTGATCGCTTCGTACCAAACGTCACATCGCACAATGCAATAGCAAGGCAATAGAGGACTTACTAGCTAGCTACTCCGTTAATGGATATGCAATGGCAGCACCCATCTCGCCCGTGGGTAAGTGGAAGTGGGAGAAACGAATGGCTGTGATTGGCGGGGTGCAGCAGGGGCAGATGCTCCACACCATTCGCGATTTGGAGCCGACTGAGCAAACCAACATTTCCAGCCCACATTTAAAGCCATTAATGAAGACAGGGCCTTCAAACAATGACTAGCCGGGAAGCATGCGTAGTTCGTCAAAGAACGCGCTAAATCATTGGCTAGAAGTAATTGTTATGAGCAGTCCGTCGTTTGTCAAGCATTTAGATCACCCTACTTATCTCATAGCTGCTTCGCGCGACAAGAATGTGTACACGGTCTAGACTGACGCCAATTTTAGCAACCGATTCTGGTTGAACTTGTCGGCTTACATACTCTCAGTTGGCTCCACTTTCTGCCATAAATCAATGAAGCGGCGATTGCCATGCTAGAAGGCTATTACATACAGTAACCACATATCAGGCGATACTATAATTGTGTGACGACCAGCCAACGGGAGAGGGACTATCTGGGCAGCGCAGACAAGGCCGCATGATGGGACCATGGACAAGGGCCGGCATAGCAGGGCAGAATGCTGTGTCGACACCAATGTGGGGGGGGGGGGGGGGCGATAAGGAAGTATCACTGGCTCAGAGTGTAATCCAGTGAAACTTGCCAGCGGATCACGACGATCCAAGGACGCGCTCACGGTGAGCCATCTGCGGTGGGCTCACGGAGCTGAAGGATGAAGGAGTATATGATTTAGGTAGTTTCCTTGACCAGACGGTCGTTCCCTGTGGACTTCAGTGATCAAATCATTCTCATCCATCACTTGAACTAGTCACTCAATTGACGAGAGTGGTATCTCTTCCCAGAGACACGACAACCCCGGAGAGAAGACGAGATTCGACAATTGTGATATTGTTTGAGCTTTACCTACTTTGCAAAACAGCAACCTGGAAGCCCGGCCAGACACTTGACCCCGGAGATCGGATCGTGACAGATCGGATGTCAAGTACGCGTAGTGCGTGCCAATGGCTTTTCCAGCTCTCTTTGCAATTTGTAGTAGCTTTATGGCGTGAGAAAGGCGCGCCAAGGCCTACCCATGGAGCAAGTATTTGATCATATCTATTATCACACTAGGCTTCGCAAGCTGTGATATACAGGCCACAACCTGATTTCACTACGTCTCTAAAGGGCCACGTCACGTTAGTACCTGACAAACGCGAGTATCTGTGCCGCTTCTTGTCGGATAGTCGATGTACTGTTGCAATACAACTTGGGGTGTGCGATCTCAGTCTTGGCTTCTAGACGGCATTTTCAAATACGCCTCGTCTCTTTTATAATAAATCCGCGGGCATTGTTCTTGGGTAGTCACTTGAGCTACTGAGGTAATCGTCCCGGAAGACATGGTCGTGTTTATGGTGGACAAATCAAAACACCTTATGCTAGGTCAAAGTCTTCGTCGTGGGGCAAATCCGATTGGTCTGCCAGTAGAAAGAAATCATGAAGGTGTTTGAGATCGTCGACTGTGGTGGATCTCACGTAATTGGTGCTGGCTCTGCCATATCTGACCGCTCACGGCCCTCAAGCCCCCCCACACAGATGGCCACCACACTTCGTCCCAGCCACATACACTCTCCCGACGACCACATATAGGGTGCGTTACACTCATGTCGAAAGCAAAAAATACAGCATCTGGGCTGTTGAAGAGCTGATCCGAGCAGATTGAACACCCTGTTTGAGAATTGATCCCAACCCTGCCAGCCACCGCCTGCGGCCCCTCACAGATCCCACCTCCTCCGACCGTCCATCTCGAGAAAAGGAGACACGGTTTGATGGTAGTACGATGGCCACCGAAAGCTGTGAATTGGCAGCTTTGTTGTGATAGATTATCAATTTGCAGCCGCCTTGGGGGCTCCATGGCATCAGGTTGTATCTTCGCCACTAGAGTCCTGCCAGCTATGATACTGGTCATCAAATTTGTACCTTTTGTTGACCGATAACACTCCTCCTAACGGAAACAAGTAATACTGATCACGCTTGTCCTCGGCGAAACCGGAGGCGACCAGCCAATCCATAGTTACGCGGCTGTCCATCTGGAGCAACGAGCTGTCCTGCATGGAATCCTGCAGGATTGCGCATCAAACTCGTCCAGCGCTTGCCACGCCGCCGTGAGCGTTGGTGTGCTCGGAGGGAGTATCAGCCTGTGCTCGAGCTTATAGCTCCCAGTGATAGCTACCACGGGATCTTCGTCTACTGATAGTACGAAGTCGACGGTTACGAAACGCAGGAGGTGCATACTTAACTCAGTAGTGCTATAATGTCGCAGAATCTCCTCGGCGACAACCATGTGAAGCTCGTCATCTGGCTTAATGGATTTTAGAACAAGACGGAGGAAAGCCGGGATCCGCATTTATATCAAAGGCAGTAGGCCAGTAATTTTGTGCTCGTCCAGTGGGGGGAAATTAACTAGCAGCAAGGTCGTATGTCGGTTGAATGCAAAGATCCAGTCTACTCCGTTGCGGAGGACCGTGACCTGCTCCTCGAGGTCGAAGTCGAGCTGCAGCATCGTATGCAGCTCCGGGCCGCAATGCTGAGGAAGTCTTGCGAATACCACTATAGCCAGCGCGAGGGTCGAGGCCAGTTTGTTCCTGGCCATTGTCCGAGCTCACGGCGGCAGGGCGTGGCGCCGCTGTCGCAGAGCCAGCGCACCATCGCCGAGGTTTGCCAGCTAGGGGCTGCCAGCACGGCCGGGAGCAGGTGGTCCACAAAGTCGACACTGCTCATGCCCGTAGGCGCCTAGTCCTCCAGCCAGCGCCGCAGAGGAAGGATCTCCTCCTCTATATAAAGCAGGGCTAGCACGCAGGGGTTACACTCATCCCGGCTCCAGATGCCCTTTCCTGTCATGGCCCGCACCAGATACTCAAACGCGGCCTCTCGCGGTTCCCCTGGAAGCGCCACTCAGGAATACAGCTGCACCACTCGAGCAAACGCATGTTGTACTCGTTGTAAAGTGGCGGCGGCGCCCAGAGGTCAAGCGGGGTGATACACCCGTGAAGCAAGTATCGATTTCGAGCATGCGCCACGTCCAGGCAGGCCATCAAGTCTAGTAGCACTGCTTGTGCCCAAAGTCCACAGCCCGACTCCAACATAAAGTCGCGCACGGTCCGATGGATGAAAGTGATACGTCGCTCCATTGTTTTTTTCGATTCTGGAGGTACTTCCACCAGGCCGGCACACCGCGCACGCATCTTCTTGCACACGGCCGCGACACAGCTCCACGCTTCCTCGTTTTAATCATCCACATTTTCCTCGATAGAGTAACGCCGCAAGTCCTTGTCAAAATAAAGCGCGATCGAAGAAACTTCGTCCATTTCTAGTGACTTTCTGTCATGCCCCATCTTGTACTGCGTGGTGTCCCAGCGGTATTCGAGCCTCGCACAACGCCCAGGGCTGTCGAAACGGACATGACGACAAATGGCGCTACAGGAACAGTTCGGCTGTGTTGAAAAAATTGTTGTCATCGTATTTCCAGAGCTTCACTTACCCCGTAGAAGTTCGGAAGGGCCAAAGCGTACGCGTTGTGTAGCAAAGGCGATTCAGACGGAAGATCAGGAACCAAGCTTCTAGATTGCTGCGGGTGAAGGAAATGCTTCACCGGGCAAGAGGAGGTATGTTAGGTTTCAAAACACAGAATGCGCACTTCCATCTTTTATGGGTGTCCAACGCGCGGGGTTCCGAGTGGCAGCCCGTAATTGGGGTTCCCTGAAAATGCAGAGTCGCCCGGTAAAACTATATTCCGAGTTGTGTGAGCATCGTGAAATTAGCATACTGTGATTGTAATAGGGATAATCGTACTGCCGCGTATCATGATGGGCTGCAGCTGGGAGTCCTCCATCAGTATCAGCAGGGCCACGATATTCCTTGGTTTCGAACGTTTCGGGGGCCCAAATATAGGTACTCAAGAGAAGCCAACGACCCTGGCTGCGGAATGATGTTGCTTAATAATCGCAGGCTCTCAATTGGCTTCTCGACCCCAGAACTTCAGAGGTCGATTGGTATGACGCAGGAATGATAATAGTTTCCTGGGCGTACCCCACCCAGTGGGCTTTTTGCGTGCGCCATTCGCCTGGCCATACGCAATTCTGTCGAACAAGTGCGTCAGTTCGCAATGGAAAAACAGGCCCGCCGACGCATGCGGTCGGTTTGTAATACTACCTTCTACCTAGATAAAGAAGCTGACGACGGTTGTATTTTGGCTCATCGCCGTAGTAAGGTGCCTCAAATAACTCGAACACCACGCATCACTGTTCTGCTCTCTACCATGGCCAACGACGCAAATACCACAACCTCCGTTCCCACCGTGCCCATCACTCTGGAACGGAAGCCGTTCCTCCCAGAGAAAGACGACAAGGGGCTCCAGGAGCTAGGTAAGCCTCGGTGACCGCTGGGCTTGTCACACATATCTGCTTACACCATCTCAGGCGTTGCCAGAGCCAACATTGCCGCGACGCACGACAAGCCAGAGGGGACTTCTTCCTGGTCAACACGATACAGTCGTCAGACGGTAGGTCCGAAAACATCGAGTCCACACCTTCGGACACTACTTCTCACATTCGCATCAGGTCCTGCAACAGCATTGTGCATTCTTCGACAAGGCAAGTCCGCGAACAGGGGCTGCGTTGAGCGATTCCGGGACGAATCTAACCGTTTACTCCAGGACGAAGATAGCGTGATATATCCCTGGGACACATACATCGGCTTCAGGGCCTTGGGATTCATGATTCCCCTGTCACTACTCGCGGTCTTCATCATCCACGCCAACTTCAGCTACCCGACCTTGCCGTCCTGGATTCCCGATCCCCAGCTCCCGGTCTACGTGGACAGGATCCACAAAGACAAGCACGGCAGCGACACGGGCACCTACGACACGGAGGGGAGGTTTATCCCGCAAAAGTTCGAGGACATCTTCGCGAAGTACGCTGATGGACGGGACTACCTCACGATCCGGGACGTTGCCAACCTGCTCAACGGACAGCGTATAATTGCGGATCCGATCGGATGGGGAGGGGCCATGTTCGAGTGTGAGTGCCACGGCTGACACCCCCCATGCAACGAGACGCGGCAGAATTCTGACTAGAGACAGGGCTGGCGACGTATATCATGCTGTGGCCCGAGGACGGCAAGATGAGGAAGGAAGACATCAGGCGCATTTACGACGGGAGCATCTTCTCCGCCATCGCCGAGCGTCGCACTCGTGAGAAGAAGAGGGGCTAGAAGTTCAGGGCTGGGAAAGTCGGTGTTTTGGTATCTACGGAGTTACCGCGGTGGCAGTCATCAGGACGGCCGCCGGGCATCCGTGGGGTGGTGGAGGTCACTCTTAGTTAGATTAGACCCTGGGTTAGGGGTCTTGACTCCACCGAGACGCCCAGCGGGCCACGGCTCCGGGTGGCTCCGGGCTGGCTCAGGGCATACACGGCACTGTCGGCAAATAAGACTCGCTGCAAAAAGCCTCAGTGAATATAAGCCATCTCGATTGGTAGCCCGGCCATATCGGACTCCGGCCTCAACAACATATCAAAACCCACCGGCACAGCCCTAAGAAAAGGAATTTTATGTTATATGTAAGTGAATTTACTATCGTTTCGTCGTCGATTATACGAATCCTTTAGATATAGGACACCAAATATAATGGCTAGCACTCGGAGCCAACCTCGGAGCATACTCAGAGCTATACTTTTCCCCTACATCCCGACCGCGTCGATCGAGTTCCGTATCTCAGAGCTCACTCGATTTAAAACTGTAGTATAATATAGTATCTCTCTAGAATACTAGTAATACAGTTATAAAGTAATCCACAAGCGAGTGGATCGCACAAGCCAGTAGATCGGTCTTCGGGTACTCGTACGACAATCGTTTGACGTCTTCGAGACCCATGGTAGTGGCAGGCCAGCAGAGGACCTAGGCGGTGTTGGCGTACGAAGCTTACATCTAGCTGCGAAATTACATAATCCGGGTTGTACGGTACTAGGCCAGTTGCTCGGAAGCCTGCTTGGACGTTTGACTTGGCCATTGCAGCATTGTGCGCCTTGTAAAAGGCTGGGAGGAAGTCCTCCTTTGCGATATGCGTAATGTGCGCCCGCATTAGACCCTCGATTTCTCTGCCGTACGACCGTTTGAGAGGTCCAAAGCACCCAACATCGAGCGGCTGGAGCTTATGCGACGAGTGAGCAGGCATACAGAGCGTTATAATGCTCTGCTCCTTGCAGAATAGCTCGAAATCGGTCGAATGGTGGCTCTCGTGGCCGCCGAGGATCAGGAGCCGGAAAGCACCCTTCGTACGACTCTTTGTATGCAAATCGAAGTGTTTCGCCCATTCTAGACCTCGCTCGTTCGTTGTCCACCCATTTTCAGAGAGTGCGATTACCCAGTCGGGCGGTAGAGGGCTGTCGGACGTCCAGGAGTCGAGGTGGACCTTGCCTGCGAAGATAATGTACGGCGGGATCGAATTGCCGGACGACCCAATGCACTGGATAGCTGTAACCCATTCTTGATTGCCTTGTTGTACGGCTCTAGGCCTTCCGCGTCGATCGGAGGTTGTAACGACTGTTTCTGCAGAGATTTTGCCCATCGCGAACCCGGTCTCGTCGAAGTTGTAGATATCGTCATCGTGGATCCCGTATTTCGCGACTATATTCCGTACGAGCGTAAACCACGCGCGATACGCGTCCGGATCCTCGCAGAGGACTCTCTGATAGTCGATTCTTCGATTAAAACGCGTTCGGAGCTCGGGTCGTCGTCGTACGAAGTTTGCTGCCCAGTTGGTCCCGACGCGTGGCGCGTCGCGTTCACGAAGGAGTCGATCCGCCATTTCTCGAACACCACCGAGGCGCGGTGGAAACGAACGCGAATCTAGGTCGATTATATATCGTACGATGCTATCCTCTTCGTACGAGGTCAATTTCTGGCAGGGTAGTCGAGTGTCGCATTACGTAGGTCGGCCGTGGTATCGTTGTTGGAGGGTCGTACGAGACACATTGTAGATGGATGCAGCCTTTCGGACGCTTAATTTTCGGTCCGATTGGAGCGCATTAAGCGCTAGAATAAGATCGCTTTCAATTGATTGCCGTCCCATTATTGTTGGTGGAGAGAAGGAGGGAAAGGGAGGACACTACGGAAATTGCAGAAAAGTGACCCGTTCACTTGTGTGACCCGTTCACTTGTGGATTACGTTATACAGCACTAGTAATAAATATTCCCAATACTAGAAGAATGGTAAGGGGTAATCGGGATCCAGCTACTGATCAACCCATAGGCAACTCCAAGTCGAGTACTGTACTCGTCATGACTAATCATACTAACGAGGCCAGAATTGTCCGCATGAATACAAGACGTAACTATGATAGTCTCATTACTAATGAGGGAGAGCTTCCTTTAGAGTCTGTACCGAACTTTTTAACGATTAGTAGAGAAAGGGCCTGATTCTAAACATAGGAGGTAGTTGGTGTTGAGCTGTTTCGCAGCCATTGGTTATATGCACGACTAATGATTCGATTATCCCATACGCTAATCGGATGTATAATACATACATTCGATAGGGTACTAGCGGGCAGGCGGAGGGGATACTTTAGCTTACGATTCAGTTTTGCTACAACAGCGGTTCCAGAAAACCGATAAATCAGCGCGCTCAACTGACAATCAAAGTCGGAGCACACTAATACTCAGTCCGCTAAGGTTGATGGTCGGTCCCCTCGTCGTGAAGTACCGCAATCCTTACGGGCTTGGTTTCATTCAAGGATGAAAAGACTCAGCTGCCCGCACTCGACCGCTCTGCACCATGGACGACTGGCGCCGAGGCTGCCGTTTTAGTCCACACCGGAATTCCGTCATCCAGACTCAGCCCCGCGCTCGCGGCGACGCGATGCTTGATCCTCGAGACCTCCAGGTCCGCGGCTAGGCTGAAGATATTGATCGGGTATTCAGACTTAGAGTGCCTGGAGATGACGGCGTGTCGACCACCATCCCCGGCCTCGAGATTCGTAACCTCGCTGAAGAAGTGGTGGACACTGCTGCTGTAAGCGCCATACACCAACTGCTGCTGCTGCCGGTGTTGATCGAACGAGTCGCGCAGTAGGCGGAACACGGTCTGCGCAAGGTACCCATGCCTCGCCATTGACCGGAGGCTCTTTGCACCTAAGCTCGATAGTCTCGAGTCAGTTGATGCTGAAGTGCTGCTTAACGTAATGATATTGTTAATGACAATACAATGTGATCCTGCTGGACACCTGCCGAGAGTTCCAAGCATATTAATTCAGCAGAAAATATTTCGCAGCCATTGCGATTTCGTTTCTCTCTCGGGTGCTCCTACATATCTTGATTATTTTTCGTCTGTGTTTTCGCATGATTGACTGGACCAATCTGCCACCTTGCCCCTAAGCCTGATCTTTCTAGTTTTATGACGCCAACCACCCTCATCACACGTGCACACCAGAAATGGCAGCACACAAAGATGTCGCTTTCTCCAGGGTCGGCATGCTCGGAGTCGGCAGCATGGGCTCCATGACGACGCTGCTCATGGTCGAGGAGGGGTGCCACATCTTCTTCTTCGATCCCAGCGAAGAAAATATAAAGACACTTGACAAGCAGGAGCACGAGCTTCAGCTGCACGAAAAGATCACCCGGTGCAATAGCTACAGCGAGGTCTGCGAGAAGATTAACGACGAGGGGAAGCCTCGCGTGTTTATCCTAAGCACGCTGCACGGCGGGCCCGCCGACAAGTGCGTCAACAGCGTGCAGCCGCCGCTCGAAAAGGGGGATATTATCATCGACCGCGGCAATGAGCACTGGACGAACACGGAGCGGAGGCAGGCCAAACTTGATGCGTTGTGCGTACATTATGTACGGTCCGGTATATCGGGAGGGTACTAGAGCACGAGACACGGCCCGTCGATATCACCGGGTTTCAGCGGAGGCCCTGGAGAAAGTGATTCCATTCTGAGGACGATTGCAGCACAGGACAAGAACAGGAAGCCGTGCACTGTCGAGGTTGAACCAGGCGGTAACGGACACTACGTCAAGATGGTGCACAATGGTATTGAGCAGGGTATGATGTAGGTGAGTATGATGCTCTTCGATATGCCACCCACAAGTTTAGCTAACGAAGAGACAGGTTGTTGCTGAGGTCAGGATGCTCTTCACCAACGGCCTTGGTCTCCCGGAAGACGACGTCTCACAGACCTTCAAGAAGTGGAATGCTGAAGGCCCCTTGCACGATTGCTTTTTAGTTGCAATCGGCGTCGAGATCGAGCAGTTCAAGGGCAAGGAAGGGCAGTACGTGCTCGCATCCGTGCGAGACAAGGTTGCCCAGGATGTGGACGAGGAAGAAGGAATAGGCACATGAACGTGCGAAGCCCTCGCTCTGCGCGTCCCTGCACCGTCAATCCTGTCCGCTCACGTCTTCCGTTGCGCGTCCGCAGACCTCGCCCAGCGGATCAAGAATCGGAAAGCCACGGGGTCCAGGTTTAATGCTCAACCTCTCAATGTGCAGGACAAAGAGATATTTGTTCGAAACCGTACACGGGGCGACGTACTTCTGCTTCCTTGCTTGCCTCGCCCAAGGCATGGACATCATCCGCGCCAAGGACAAGCAAAAGAACTGGGGTCTCAACTTCTGCGCCATCATGCAGCTCTGGCGCGGCGGGTGCATCATCCAGGCGGACTACATCACAAACCTGATCGATAAGTTGTACAGGAGTCATGGACACGACAAGGAAGACCTGCTAGCCAATAGTGAGGGAGGCAAGGAGTTGGCGGCCAACTTCGCTGCCACCAAGGAGACACTGCTCAGGGGCGTCCAGGCAGATGCGTTTGTGCCGTCGTTGAGCCAGAGCGTCGAGTACTACAAGTACATGACGTCCACGAAGCTACCTACGCAGTTCATGGAGTCGCAGCTGGACTACTTTGGGCAGCACATGTTTGATACGCAGAGTGATCCAGTGGGCGGGCGGGAGAAGGGGAATCACCACTTTCAATGGCACCCAGCGCGAGGGATCACGGGTGAGTAGCACGAGTAGGGAGAGACTAAAAGGGAACATGGAGACACGGAGCAGAGTAGAGCTGGCAGTGGTGAGGACAGAAGCGGCTTGGAACAAGTAACGGGCGGAGAGTGTCACAGCATGCACCTGCATTCTCAAGCTTGCAACTTGGTAAATTATGTTTTGAACGCAAGGCTCTACGTAATGCCTGTATCTTCCCAATCTTCCGTAGCCAACACTCAACGGTTTCCTTTTGATCAACCGTGTCCTCCTCGTCCTCGGGTTCAGAAAGAGCTCCCCGTGGCTCGCACTAATTATCAGATACTAATCCTTTCTGCTGCCCTGCATGGAGCCCACATCATGACCCGCCAGAAGTTCGCGAAGGGCTTCTTCCACCTGCCGCTTCCAATTCATAGTCAAGACTTTCACACGCCCTCGCTTATCTCTAAGCTGTTCGAATCGTCTGTGTCGTGTGCAGTCGTCCAAAATATATCGCCATTATTCGAGTCGCATGACGTGACTGCACCATTAGCTCTACTAGGTGCACACTTTCTGCTTTCATTAATACAGTCTTTCTTAATAATTTTATAAGGTTTGGTGGTGATGTCTTTATAATTTGTTAAAGTCTTTACGTAGTGCTCGTCAGTTATCAAAGATCCGCTGCTACAAACTACACATCGATCTGCATCTATTGGTCATTGCGGTCCCCAGTACTAACGAGGTGTCGTGGAGACAAAAACTATTAATGTCGAGTATCAAAAACGCTGCCACTGTAGAACTGCATATTACATTCGCTGGGCATTCCAGTCTACTGTCCACCATGACACGGCTAAAATCTATCTAAACCGCCGTGGCTCTGTGTGTCGCAGGAGAGTGAAGAAATAGCGGTAGACCCTCAACCAATATCATTGATAATGCTTGAATCAAGAAAATCGCGAAGAAGAGCCATGTCCTCAAAAAAGCTCGCCGTAGTTTTCCACACTCGAACCATCGGCATCCTTCAAGGCCATTTCCAGGTCGCCTACGAATGGTGCCCGGATTTTATCATCGACCCGCTCCAAGCCACTGCGCTCGATACACTGTAAGATTCGGCGCGCCTTCTCTGCTGGCATGCCTGTCTTGCGAAGCGTGATCTCAAGGAGGCTTTTGCTAATGGCTTCTGAGATGGGATATGGACGCCGCAGGATTTCGTAGTCATGGATACAGAGCAGGAAGTATAAGTGCCAGTCTGGATCCCGTGGTTTCTCGAGCATGGCATTTACGAGATACAGTAGACCCGTATGCCAGAGGATCGAATACGTCGACGCCTCATGGCGGCCTCGATATTCCATAATAAGGCGCTTAAGCTGGTTGGCTGAAGCCTTGTATGCATAAATTGCATGGTTGTCTTCAGCTGCAAATGTCGTAAGACGCTTGCCCGCTCTGTCCTCTTGGCCAATGAACGGGCGGAGGAGGTCCATAAGAGCAGCGTGTATCCATATACTAAGATAGGACTAATCAGTAAGGTGGAAAAGTGTAAGAATGGGTTTAGAATTATGCCGAGCAGGTCAGAGAGGTGTTCTCTTACTGGAGCACATGAACGTGTGATGGACGTGAATCTACCAGAGCAAGAACGTCTGGAAGACGCGAAGTCCAGGCGAGGATTTCTCGGAATTTATGCTCCGTTAGCTTCCACTTCTGGTCTCTTGGAGTAGCATCCATCCTACTTGGGTAGTATACCCAGAGAAATTCGTGTAACATGCTCCAGAGCTGGCACAGTGCCGTAAAGGCAACGCCAACTGAGGTTGAAATGTCCAAGGGGGTGTTGTCATCTGTAGCTGAAAGCGGCGACTGCCGTGTACGGCCACTAGACCAGCGGTCCAATATGGGGAGTGTTGGCGTTTGGTCAATCGCAACCACCTCGGGTTGGCGGTAAAAGAGCGAAACAACCCTGGGAGCGATTGGTAAGCTAGGAAGATTTGGAATGAAGCATTGCGCATGCAGCCTTACATCCTCCAGTTGAAGCTGCTCCAGGCAGCATGACAGCACATGCGGTCATCCTCAGTCATCTCTTCAGTCGTCTTGCGGGCGATTGGAGACTTTCCGTCGAAGAAGCCAAGCTTTTGACCAATGTTTGTGGCCTGCTGCATGAAACGGACAACATCATGATTTGCCGTGGCTCGTGAGCGAGATACTCATAAGCACAAGAGCCGAAATAGTGGGCAACGATTCGTGCTCACTCTCATGGGAAGCAAGACGACTAGCTTCGCTCCAGAAAGGCACAATGAGGTAAGATGCTCGCCTATCCAGCGCACTATACATCTGCTTTAGTCGGTGTCAGTCGCGCGATTCGTGTTGGCGGGGTACTATCTCTGGAGGCAGGGACGTATACAGCTGAAGTACATAAGCGTGCTCACGAGGAACGAAGGGCAGTATCGCGTACGGTGTTCTACTAGGTCGGCTATAAAAATGTCTGCGTCAAACAGTCCGAGTAGGGATGGTCGGTCTCGAGGTACAGCGACAATGCCTGAGCCGCAAAGCTATTGGCGACGTCAACATTAGTCCAAAAGCTAATGTCGAGCTTCTTAAGTCGTCGGTCGTAAAGCTCGGGGGTTTTGGCCGGGCTGCCGCCGGCCACGAGCGGGAACCGATATTGCCTGACAGCAGAGTCGACGTCGATAGGCGGAACATCTTCAAATTTGGAAAACCAGCTTATCCTTGGAGAATGTAGGTCTCTAGATCCAGACCCGGTACGAGGTCGCGAGGGTGCCCCATGATCATAACCTTGTAACGAAGGCTCGCCTCCAGGGGGTTTGTAGGAACTCATGAGATGGCTATGGCGGAGGGCTGTGGCGGGAACCGGATTCTTAAGATAGGCATTGGGATATGTTGCCAGCAACTCGCTCTCTAGGGGCAGAGGAACGGGCCTTGATTGCAGCTCGACGCCGAGGGGTTCAGTATCGTGCTTAATGGAGGCCAGGACAACACCCTCATCCGGCTGGGAGCGCAGGATGGCGAGAGCAGTATGTGCCTGGCTCAGAGACAGTGAGCGGAGAAGCTCGAGTATCTTCCCTCCTGGATCCATGCTTGGGTGCTTGTACTGGCAGGCAGTGGTGCCACGGGCAACACAATTTGAGCAGGCCGGCCAAGCGCCATTGCATTTCTTTTTGCGAGCTCGACAATCCACGCATGCTGTACAGCTACTGAGGCGGCGCTTGACTATGCGTGGGCCTGGCGCGCCGGATGGGTTGTCGGTAGACCCAGTTGCCGAGAATTGGGAGGTATCGCGACTCGGGTCGCTGCCGCGGCTGGCTGGGAGCAGAGGCCTGTATGGCTTCGGCATTCTGAAAGGCACCTATGGCGTTGTTTTCGTCGAATGGACACGGGGAAGGCAGGAGGGAGTTGTGGGAGTAGGGGAGGGGGTGGACGGCCGAGGGCACCAGACGCTGCATCACCCACGGGGCGAGCAGGGGGGTCGCCTTCGTTCGTGGCGGACCGAGCGAGCCGTAGTGGGGTCATCTTGGTGAGGGGCCGCGATTGGCGGAGCAATCCCGAAGGAATCTTGCCACGTTGGTGGTGCCCTCACCAGACGTGCCACACAATCTGTCTCCATTTACCATGGCTCGCGTTGGCTGTCCGGTTTCGGCCTCGGCAAGATAGTAGTCAATGGATTTTCACTCTAAGCAAGCCACGCTTTCATCCTTCTCGTCCGTATAAGAATGCATCGCCTGAACTGTCCAACACGGGCCGCTGGAAACGAATTGCCAAAGTTCGATTAGGTTATTAGGGCACTTGACTACATGCTGGTGGTAGTGTAAACTGAGGTTATTGGCTTTATTTCAAGGCCCCCGCGTGGACAGCTTGGCGTAGCTAAATCATCTTTCACCAGAAAGTCCGAGCCAATACTGCTCAGTGGTCGAGTCCGAATAACAAGTTGCTAGGATGTCTCGGAGGATGAGCTCCGGAAGTGGAGAAGATTGCGGCTCGTTGAGCAAAAACATGGAAAGGCGAAAGACAAGTGTGAGAGCTCTGACCACCAGCCGTCGTACGACCATGAACATCCCTGTGGCTAGGTATCTTTGGTCGGCAGGACAGTGGACCACCAAGGTGTAAAGGGGGGTATGCTGTGTAAGCCAGCAGCGTGATGATGTAATATGCAATCGCGTCGGACATGGCGATCGTTCCTGTGCCCCTTTGTGTGTTCACAGACATCCTGTCCCCAAACACGGACATGCTCTCGGGACCTAGGACTGGGGGGAAAGGATGCAATACGCTGTGCGTGGATTTTACAGACCTTGGGTGGGTGGACTAGACGAAACGCGGGATTTTCATCTGTCTGGTGGAGCAGAAAATGAAAATCCCTGTTTCGGACTAGACGGTGGCGGGCGTGGCGTCTCACGAAGCGCTAGCCTCCACTTCGGTTCCACATCTTCCCCCAAATCAATTTCTTGTAATCTGAGCCGAGAGACTCCCTATCAGTGGCAGGGCAAGTCAGGAGGGGGGCTGGGGCGAGAGGGGTGCGCTACTCCGCGAGCGGGAGATCTAGCAGATGTAACCCTCGCCATCACTAGGTTGGACGTCTGTGGGCCATGTCGCCAAGTCCCACAGGAGACTGACTGGCGGAGGAAGACAGGCCATAAAATACGATTTCGGCAGCTCGGTATCATGATTGGCATCATAATGACCATACGATCAGACGCAGGTCGACATATGCATTCTTTTCTTTAAGGGGGCAAGATTGGTGGTGGGTATCAGCGAATTAGGACGTCGGTTGAGGAACGGCATTGACAGGGAGAAAATCTTGACACAATTAAAACCAACTGACTTATGTGTAAGTTCTGATTAGTGCTCGACAGGAGCGTAGGCAGACTCTGCTGACGACGTATCCTGTGAACAGCGGTAGTTATGCCCTCGTATTGCACATGCTCTGTAGTGGCAACAGGGTGCTGGAAGCGGAGGTTGGATTAGACGAGGAGACTGTATGCACCTGCAGACCTGGTCCATTTGAAGTTGCAGTGAAGGTTTAGCCGGTCAATCACAAGCTGCAGTCGGACACTTGTGCCGACAACGTCTTGAAGCGTGATTTGATCGCGGAAGTGCCCGGCGTAGGACACCCTGCGGGGTTTATGCAGCATCAGACACATAACCTAAGGGGCATCTAAGGTTTGGCAAGTACTGTATGCGGTAGCTAGTGGACAACCGACCCCTACACCCAGCGTCTGACAGCACGGATCCCGGAGAAACACAACCAAGCGCGTGAAAGCAAGGTGATGTCTTTCTGACGCGCACCCCTCTAGTCCCAAACCCCCTTCGCCTTCCCTACTCTAACCCTTGTCGGTGCCTTGCAAAACTCAAGAACCCCGCAGACTTCCTTCGCGAGCACAGTGGGTTTAAGGTGCTCCTCCGAGTATCTCGAATGTAGCTCTGCGTGCCACGAGCTTCTGCCACACCTTCTTCCTTTCAGATCTTACCGGCGATGAATAGCCAGACGCCACTCCGCGACCTGAGTTCAGCGGATCTTGTAACCATGGGATCTCCCGTCAATGATCTTGATTTCGTCTCCCAGCAAAAGGAGCTGTGGCAGGAATTTGACGCTTGTGGTTCCTTCCCCTGGGGCTGGCCCAGAGTGAATGGAGGCAAAGGCGAAGGTCTAGACGAGGACCTCACTATGGTCGACATCGATGAGCAGACCATGGTAAGCATGGCCCCACAAACTTTGGCGTTCCGCTAGGTGATCGCTTGATGTTAATTTTAGCTTTCGTGATATTCCAGAATTGTGTAGACGAAGCCTCTTTGCCATGCTTAGCACGATATCCATCATCATGGCTGACCATGCCCGAGCGAATCACTGAGGATTTCGCCATTATCCAAAGTCCCACCCTTACCCTCAACTCCAATCGAGGATCTTTCGCCTCTTCAAGTACAACCACCGGATGCACCACAAACGACGCTGATACTGGGTCCGCGACCGAGATGAAGCCTCGAACGCAGCGCGAACGGAATCGTATAGCCGCAGAAAAATGCAGGAAAAAGTCTAAAGTCAAGGCAGAAGTACTGAAGGAGCAGTGCAGGGAGCTGTCTGAACGGAACCGGCATCTGCTGGAACAGGCTCGGTCCCTGCAGAGCGAGGTCCTGGACCTGAAGAACGAGCTACTGAACCAAGGGAACTGCAGCTGTGAGCTCATGAGCGGATATGTATTGCCAAAGTTTCTTGCTACCGTGCCTACCAGCCCTCCTTCCCTCCTAGCCAGCCTGGACTAGCTGGGGTGCACACATACTGTGGTGATAATGCTAGAGGGTGTGGCTACTAAATCTTTTGGGCTTGTCATTTGTTGGGTACCTCAAAAATGGAATCAAAGCAGAAGCAAATGAGTGGCAAACCCTGCGCATGGGGGCGGAATTCGTGCATTATGGGAGCATCAGCACATCCCAGTGCTAATAGTGCCTTCTAATGCGATGCCTCTTCAGTACTAGATCCCAGGCAGCCTTGGTGAGTAATAGACTCAAAAGTGAGGAGCAGTCCGAGCCACTAAGACATCCATGTCAGGATACCCTCCCTATCGTATCGAAGAAGGGTGGCGAGGAAGATATTACTGTCTCGATCGTCGGCACCTGGGAAGGAGCACGCTAAATTGGCTCATAAGAGAGAAGGAAAGCTCGCACCTCCAGGAGTTAACCTCCCGAACGGCCGTTTGGGAAGATGGGCTTCCCCGTAAGCAAGGCAGAGAGGCCCCCTTCAAGATCACAGGGCGGACTGCGCAGTCTTCATTTCAGTGCTCTATTAGGGGTAGGTGGGTTGTAGGCGACACTCCGGAGAGGCTAAAAAGCGAATCCTTGCATGGGCGTGGGCAAAAGTCCGAAACGCGAGAGCAGCGCGGCGCGTGAGGGTGGCACAAGAAGGTCACTGCCACGTTCCTTCCATTCCACCGCGGTGGCGAAGGCCGCGCCGATGGTGGTCAACTTTTGGTCTCCCACATTTGTCTGAAATTCTCGTTCGCTGCAAACGCAAACACTGCTGCGAAAGATTAGCGAAGAACTCCGCTCTGGTTGCCGGGAAGCATTTTAATCTTCTCGACGCATTGTTCGAGAAGATATTTGCCATGAGTCTGCTGCTAGACGCGGTGATGGAAACCTTATTACTTATTGGTGAGGCCGAGAGGCACGCGAGTAGCTTCTTCCACTACTATTCACGATCTTATAAAAAAGCTCGCGCGATTCTACGGACCAGACGGTCCGGTCAAAGATGGAGGAGTTAGTTAATCCGCAGGAATGCCTGATCCGAAGTCGTACAGTAGGCTGCTAGAAGAACAGTACCGTCTCTGATTGTACACCGTGCTCGTAACAGCCGCTGGGTCGCGGTCTCGCGCGATCCGCCCAGCCAGCAGGATAGGATCACTGTATTTCCTTTCGTTTTGGCAGACGGTGCCTTCCAACTCGACGCTGCTTCATCTATTATGATCTTCTGGCTGCCCAGCAAATGGCAAGCGTATCAAGTGTATCTGTATCTCATCACTACTTGGATATCAGGTACGGTACCCCTCCGGGCTGTGAGCATAACGATGCTTTGAATCAGCCGGCTCAGCCACCATTGTTGATGCGGTACCAGCTTGACACTGTTAGCCTTTGCTGCGGTGATTTAGCAACACGTCTATGGTCCCTGGAAATTACCATCAGCGATTTGCTAGCCTACGCAGCAGCCCCTTCTCCCTTCTCCAGGGAATCAGTCGTCCAGGAAGAGACAGCGACCTTCCGTCCCGAGGTACTAAGAAATCAAGTCTCGAGTAGCGCCGCCCCCTGACATGATCAGCGACACTTCAGCTGTCCTGTTTGGGGCCCTTAGCCTTGCGTAACTACCATCCGCGGGTGCCCCTGGCTTGGCTTGGAGGACAACCCACATGAGAGGCACGCCAACTTTGTTCGGGGCCAAAGCCCCCCCCCCCCCCCCCCCCCCCACGGGGGGTCCCGGCCACAAACAAGGAGATGACGATAGCCCGTGGGAGAAGAGAGAACATGTGAGATACATATATGCAATGGTCTCCCACTGTGTACATCAGCTCCAAGCTACACCAGCCCACAAATCTCAAAGAATGTAACCTGTCGGAAAGTCTTGAGGTTTGAGCCACATTGTCAGACGACGCGGCTTTGTGAGCCGATCATACAGCCACAGTCCAGATGTATCTCCCATCCACACCGCTAGAAACCAGCAGTCACAAATAGGACTAGGTCAGTGCGGGATGGAATGCGCTTCCACACAGCCAGTGCACTGTAAACAGAGCCTTTCAGCACAGCCAGGGGTAATGCAACTCGTTTAACTTAGAAATATCATATCTGCTAGTAGCGTAGCTGACGACGCCACGAGGCCCGAGCGTTACCCTCGGCTACGAAACACAAGATCAGGGCTAGGCGTTACAGACTGCGTGCATGCTGTGGGTGCCTGTGTTCCGCTCTGATCCTCGCATCACCACACAATAGCGTGTCACCCGACTATGGCCACCGATCCAAGCTCGTCGAGCCGCCGTCTTCTTCGCCCACTACTTCCCCGACTTCGCCCCGACCAGGCTGTAGCGCCTCCAGATTCCGACGAGCCGCATCCCCGTCGGGTCAATGCCGCGTGTGAGCCCTGCCGCGCACGCAAGGTCAAGGTAAGAAACACCCTCGGTCACAGCAACGGATGGTGATATCTACTGGTCGACACGAGCATTCGCTAACCTCGCCGTGTGCCAGTGCGATGCCGGACGCCCGTCCTGCTCCAAGTGTGGCGCCCGCCGGTACGAGTGCGTGTACGACACAGCGCCCGCTGAGCGGCGCTCCGATGCGCTTAAGCGTATGCTCAGCGACATGGAGAGCCAGCGGGATGCTTACAAGAACCTCTTTGACGCCCTCCAGACTAAAAGCGAGGCCGAGGCCGCTGAAATCTTCCGGTGCGTCCGCCGGGGCGCTGACATTGCCGCCATCTGGCGTTACGTCGAGGACGGCGACCTACTGCTCCAGCTTCGCCTAGGCTCCGGAGACGCGGATACAGTACACATTCCCAAACCTGAGGCAGATGCCGGCCTTTCTCTCGCGCAGTAGCCTCTATGCCGAATCGCTCATCTAGAGATCCACCTCCTGAGCGCTCCTCGCAGAGCCGGTGACAGGGCTGCCGGCCCTGTTGGACGACGACCCCTATCTTGCCCCGTGCCACGCGGCGGAGATTGTCGACCCGGGCTTTGGCTTCGCAAAAGCAGCAGCCTGGGCGAGCGTCGTCGACAGCTACCGCTTCTTTGTCACGCTGCTCAAGGCCTATTTCCAGGTCACGCATCCCTTCTGGCCGGTGTTCCACAAGGACTTCTTCTCGATGACCTAGTTTCGAGCCAGCACCAGTTCTGCTCTCCACTTCTCGTCAACGCGGTCCTCGCTGCTGCCTGTGTAGGTTTTCAGCGGCTGTCCTGCTTTTCATATGTTTTCGACCAATTATTGACAGTACCCTGTTCCCGACTCTTCAGCACGGAGCACCATCGCGAACCGTGCCGACCTTTGGGATCCGCAGTCTCGAGTGCCGCTTGCTGGACGAGTCCCGACGACTATTCGAGCTCGAAGTAACTGTACCCGCCAAGCTCACCACCGTCTAGGCTGGTTGTGCTCTCCATTGCCAACGACCCCAACGGGTGCGGCAATGTGGGCAATATGTTTCTTGTGCAGGCTGTCAGGTGCGCCACTGAGCTCGACCTCTTCTCGACGCCGGATCCGACTTTAGGCAGGAGGGCTGCAATGTCGCGCTCCTTTACAGCCTGGCGGCTGTTCAGCTGCAGCCGTAAGTGCCATGGATTTTGTCCAGCTTAGGACTTGCGCTGACTTTGGTGTGTTTGTGTGTCCGCAGTGTCTACCGCTTTCACGTCTTCAAGTCGCCCCTGATAGTGTCACCACCACAGGCTCCACTGCCCGACCCCGAAACGGACGAGGGCTGGTACGGCGAGATATGGCTGCGATACCCGGGCGGTCAACTTCTTTTCCCTCTCGACTTTGGCTACTCGTTCGAGGCCGCGTGCAATTTCCGTTTGATCATCAACGAGCTCGGGTCCTCCTACTTTGGCGTCAGGGGGCAGCTGCGGAAACTCTCGCTCTCTCAGGCCTTGCGCTTCCACAACAGGATGCTCCAGTGGTATCAAGGACTCCGGACACAGATATCACCCACCAACATCATCAAGTACCCTCACCAACTCAAGATCCAGTCAGGCGAGCCCCGGGCAATCCACGTGATCGCAACAGGCCATGTTCACTAACCCTGCCACAATAGCATGCACAACTACCACGTCGTCGTGCTCATGTTCCAAGGCAGTCGTCGCGAGGCCGGCGACGGTCGCGTCTGGGCTCACCATGCCTGAGGATGTCAACCCACAGCACATCCTCACCAGTGTCAAGAACTGTATGGAGCTCCTGCTGCGACTCTATTTCCTACACCACGGCTTCGAGTTTTTTGAAATGATCCTAATCCACCTCATTCTACACACTGGGTTTATCTACCTCAAGGAGCATCTAGCAACGGCCAAGACTGCCAACAGCAGCAGTCCCCACGGCAGCACATCTAACTCGATACCCTCAGACCTTGAGCAAGACAGGTAATCCCTGATCGTGCTTGCGGCCAAGGGCCTGCACGACCAAGCCCTGAACTGCTACCTGGCCAAGGCCACTTTCGTCATTTTTCGAGGACAACATGCGCGCCGAGAACCTGTGGCCGAGAACCTGTGGCATATGCACGGCCTGTTACCCACCAGCGAGTGGGAGGACTACGATGCAAGTAGGTCCCTCGTCGCCGTCCAATTGCGCTCCGCGTGGCCCGGTGGCGACTTCGACCTCGATGACGACGTTGAGAGATTCAGGCTGAGCAACCGCCTCAGAGACACTGTTGAGACGGCGCCGCCGACGGGACCCGGTGTTGCTGGTGCACCGAGCGAGACTGATGCCAATTAAAGCCAACCGTTGGCTTTTCAAAGTGACCACAGCCGGACTATTGATTAAGCTAGTTGCTTCATTAGTGTCGTCTTTCGGGTCGAGGCACGTCTGCGCATTGACACTGTGCAGCGAACCGCATGCGTGTAACACGCTGCCGTGGCTGCGCGTGTCTTGGGATTCGCGGACTCTGCCCTGTTCCATCACTACACCGAGCACATCATACACAACGGCTCGGGCCCAGTCACAGAAACATCCTTGCCACTGTCCAAGGAGCTGCTAGGTACGTCTTTCTCTGGACAGGCTGCGCTTCTTATGTTAGCCGAGCAGTTACTATGTTCCTAAATGCGTCAGTGGAGACGATCGCTAGAGTAAGAGGAGCTAATAACGGCTTCTCTGTAAACGCTCTAGCGTTCTATGCGGCTGTGACCATGTAGAGGTGAGTGAAGCGCGGACATTGCCGCTCAAGTTTATGCACTTCGCATAGCGTTATGCTCGCAAGTGCGGACGCGCATACGCTGATGTGAAAGGTACAGGCTCGGTGATGGCCGTGGCAGGACCCACGGTAGTAGTTCTAGGGGGTGTCATCAACATTACACTGCACCAGCGGGCAACCCCAGGTGGACCGCGCAGCTTGTTGCCCAAGTTTGGGCCTCCTCCAATCATCGCCAACACAGGCTGGCGCGTGTGCCGCGCTTGCTTTGTGAATCTCTAGGATTTCCCCACCCCACAGCCAGCCTGGGACTAGCGGCCGGTGCAGCTCGGCGTCGCTGCCGACACCTCCTGCCCGCCTTGTCATAAGTCCGCCAGGTCACAGATTGCGTCGCTCTACCCTTACTTTTTCTGCTCTCAGCTGTCCCGCAGCACGCCAGCAGCATCCGACACTGCTTCCCAGAGCACAATCGCGACGGCAAGGTCACCTGCGTCCCTGTGGCCCACCGACTGTCATCACCGCCACTGACAGGGACTCCGAGTCTCACTGCCAACCGAGAACTGCGCCCTCCTATCGTATCATTCCTCCGGCTTGGGAGCTCCACCAGCAGCCCAATTCTTGAGAGCAATACCATTGTTGTCGCCAATTGGCATTCCCGCGACCAGCACCCCCTACCTTCAGCATTCGCGTGTAGTGCGCGTTCGTCGTCGTTACGAAATAGACTTTCGTCTGAGCACGCGAACGAGTCAGTCGTGCCGTCGTGGCCAAGGACGTAGCTTTTGTGCTTCGACCGCTGCGCTGATCTCCAAGCTGGTATCGATAAAGTCTGCTCCTTGTCAAACCTCAACCGCGTAGCCAGTGTCTTTCTTAACCCCTGGCCGCAGCTGCCGAGCCGGCCGCCTCGCTTGCGAGCGGGCCAGTCTACTCGCTGTCTGACGCTCAACGATGCCGATCGACCGCTCGATAACACGATAAAATGGAGGATGGTCACCAGTCTCCAGTCCCCGGCAATGCGCCGCGGCATCGCTCCATCTCCGAGAACCCTTCCGCAGGCAAGAAGCACGAAGACCCTAACAACTCTCCGCCCGACTCGTCGAACCCGGACACGGAGTTAGGCAGCGCGACGGCCAAGTCGTCGGCGGCGCAGGAGAATCAGCCTAAGCGGAGGCGAGGCCTCGGCGTCGTGACGCCCAATGCGTGTACAGAATGCCGCACGAAGCGCGCCAAGGTATGTGGTTTGCGTCCTTTCCAGAAACCGGTGGTCGCCTTCGAGTTCTGGAGCCGTGATTTTAGTGACGGGGAAGATTCGCTTGGGAAGAGGACTAAGCTGCCGTCTCGTAGTGCGACGGACGTAGACCCTGCGGGCGCTGCAGATCCCAGAAAGACGTCGAATGCGTGTACGAGGTACCTGTCCGCCAATCGAAAGAGAGCCTACGCACCGAGATCGACGCCCTACGTCGTGAGAAACGCCAGAGCGACAGCATTCTCTCGGCCCTGCATCGCCCCAACCTTGCGAACGAGGTCATCCAGCGGCTTCGAACAGGACACAAAGTTGAGGACATAGCAGGCTGGTTGAACAACTACCCGCCAGGTGAGGCACCTGGACCGGTCCCCAGTATCAGCCAGTTGAGCAATCTCTCCCGCACGAACGAGCCTATGACCGGCATCACGCTCCCTCCCCTTGGGGGCTATCCCGGCATTATTGGGAGCCTGAGCAGTTTCGTCCCGTCCCCAGTCGCACCCGGTTCTATTTCGAGTCAGCATCACCACTCGTTCCGGCAGAGTCAGGATTTGGGGACGAATAGCCCCTGGGATTTCTCATTACAAAGCCAGGGTTCAGGGCGCAGCGACTCGTACGCAGACAGCATGCAATCGTCAGCGCAGCCGAGGATGCCCAGAGTGGGAAACTGGATCCAGTTGCACTCGCCAGCAGATAGCGGACCGCGATATCCAGGTGTCGAGCAGGTCTCGGCAACACCAGGCGCCGGGCACTCGAGAACGACGCCCAGCACCTGGACACACGTGACACGCGATGTCGCACTTGTACAGCATCTTCTCGCGCTGTACTTTTGCTGGGAGTACCCGACTTTTGCGTCGCTCAGCAAGGAGCACTTCCTCACAGACTTCTGGGCCAACCGGCCTCGATTCTGCTCGCAGATTCTGGTCAACGCGCTGCTGGCACTCGGTTGCCGGTTCTCAACCCCTTCCTATCCTCGCGCCGACCCCAACGACCCCTACACTTCGAGTGACCACTTCTTCCGGGAAGCTCTCCGGTTATTCCACCAGGAGAAGAGTCATCACACCTTGACCACAATCCAGGCGCTCGGCATCATGTCTATAAGGGAGGCCAGCTGCGGACGGGATTCCGAGTCGTGCTACTACGCAGGGCAGAGCATGCGCCTGGCGTTCGAGATGGGTTTGCACTATGTCGATAACAACAGGGACGAGGACGAGGTTGTTGTGCAGTTGGCCACCTTCTGGGGGGCTTTCGCGCTGGATCAGTGAGTCTCTCTTGCTCGAGGTCGACAGATGTGTCCCTGGAGATATCCCTGACATGTTTTATTACTAGGGCTTGGTCACTCGCGACAGGGTCTATGCCGCAGAGCTCGATGTACCCGCGCTTGCCGCCCAAACCCGCCATTGTCGATGATGTGGAGGCGTCGCAGTGGAAGCCGTACACCGATGATGGTAAGTTCTTGACCATTGAGCCCAGCCTTCCAGTTGATACAGTACTGATCAGATGTGGGATCGCCAGGCTCCGATAACTTGGGCGCGCCGCTGCAGCCGTCGCGCGAGCAGCCGTCCAACGTGCGCTCCGTGTACAAGTGCTTCTGCGAGCTGAGCGAGCTGGTTCGCCAATCGCTCTATGTCCTCCACTCTCCAGGGAGGCCCGTGACAAGCAGAGACCTACTCAGTAGTTATATACAATACCTGAACTGGTACGAGAGCATACCAGAGGTGCTCCGGTTGGGGCATAACTTTACCCCAGCTGTGCTCTTCGCACAGTGAGTCTCACCCAGTGTATTGGCCGGTCATCTTAACTATCAGCGCTGACCGGATCTGCAGCATGTACTACCATTTCGCCATACTACTGCTCTTTCGGCCCTTGATCAAGCTACGCATTATCGGGTCGAGCATCTCACCACGAGATGTCTGCTCACAAGCAGCAGATGCTATCCAGAGTCTCCTGCGATCCTACGCACAACTCTACACGCTAAGACGCACACCGTCATTCGTGCCGTACTTCCTCCTCACCTCGTCCATCATGCATCTGGCCCTCGGAGCCAAGACCACTGATGGGCAGGACGCCGACGCCGACGCGATGTCTCGCACACCCGGCACGACGAGCGAGGAGCGATCCAACCGTGACCAGTTAATCCGATCAGAGTCTGAAACGGACAGATCCGAGAAGTCATCACGTGGGGGGATGAGTCGTGGCGGGCACGTCGACGAACGGGCTGCGCAGGCACTCGCACAGGGTATTGCCGACCTCGAGGAGATGGCCCCGTGCCACAACTTTGCCGAGCGGGCACTGCACATCCTGCGATATCTCGCGAAGAAGTGGAAGGTGGACATCGACATGCCCGAGAAGCCTGACATGTCGCCAGGCGCCGCAGAGAGGCTCATGAGGCCGAACACGAGCGTGCTCAACTTCTTCTCGCCCAACATGAGCGAGGGCGACTTTGTGTGCGACTGGCCGGCCAAGTCGCCTAGGGCCGCTGTGATGGCCATGCCGAGCGTGGAGGCGCAGATCGACGACCTGCAGAAGGTGAGAGGCAACATGGGTCCCCCTTTGCAGCCGTCGCCCGGCACGAACGAGGCGGGCCTGCCGATGAGGGGAGCGTCGTCGACGGGGCCGATGGCGCACGCCGTGGTGAGCGTTGAGAACCCGCTCTTCTGGCCGTTCCCAATGCAGGGGCGGCCCATGCTGCCAGTGGGGAAGCACCTGGAGGAAGCTGGATTCGCACAGCTGTGAGCGCAGAAGCATGTCGAGAGCCAGCTGAATGTCCTGCACCGAACGCAAGCTTCTCTAACGGACTCGTCCCCTTGTAGGATCGACCTTGAAGAATAGTCGAGCTGGAATTCTTGGGGTCGCTAATTGAGTCAGGATGCCGGTCACGAACAATTATCCAAAGCTTTATGGGGCATATGATCGAGCCAAGGCTCCGAGAGGGCTAAGACTTCAGCTCAAATAGTCTATCCTGAGAATGTCCATGCTGCATGTGTCGATTTAACAATGGCGAGAATGCGAGGTATTGCTGCGTCCAACTCGACCAGGCTCGATATGCCGGTGGTAAAGACATTTTTGGCCTTATGAACACCCTATTGTATATACAATTACAGGCATCACCGTCCCTACGTCATGGGGTGGGCATATTTATAAATATCCAAGTCATTGCTCTCGCGAGCAGGCAGCGAGTACAATGCTCGACATTTAAGATCAGACAATTAAGTGTCCTGTTTGGCTGGTGTACCTGTTCTGCGCGAACCGCTGTCGTCCTTGCTTAGACCTGTCGACCGATATGGTTGTGCATTGCTGCCCGGACACTGACGAGCTTACTACAGAGCGGTGGTGCTCGCTCATTGCTGATACTCGCCTCCTTACCATCCATAAGAGCAGCGGCAGCAGCTAAACTCAGCACCTAAGAACGAGCTCAACTTTTTGTGGTGACGCCCTCACCGTGCTATACCAGGATCAGGGGGCCCCAGTCTATTCCAAGTTGGACGGTCGGAACTCGTTCTTCGTTCTCGGGGAAGGGCTACACACTGATGGCCCTTTGATGACAATAATGACGAATATCACCGCTGGACCTCAGGGAAAGAAAAGGTTATTGTTGATTCCCCGACGGGCCGGACCAGACACCAAGTGTCTCCACAAAAAACGTCACAAGTTCAACGTGTTGAGAGGCCAAGTCTGAGACTCGACCACATTGCATCTATCTTCCCGGCCTTTTCTGAGGTTGTTGGCCTCTTTTTTCTTCTTATATTTCTAAATTGCACCAAAGGCAGAGGACTCACCAGGAATTCCACATGGGCGCTCTCATATCCTAGCCTATTCTTTAATCATCTTACGACCAAGCCTCTTCTACGTGGTGCTACGAAGTCTGTCTACCATGTTTTACGAATCGTGGTCCCTTACATCACCACATATTCAGCAGGAGGGACACGTGACGCCGGTTGATACACGAAGTGCAGCCAGAACCACCGCCAATGAGAGTAGCACTCCAACCGCATAACCCCCTTGTCACCAAGCAACATTTCACGTGGACCAAACAGCTCACGGTCTTCAGCACAGTCAGACAGAGGGCAGTTTGATTCTGTTGCGATGCAATACCGTAGCACAAAGTCCGAATATTGGAAGAAAGCGCCATGATCTGTCAAACCTGTCCGCTTTCCACAACACGAGCTTGCGAACCGAGCTCCACATAATAAAGGTGGCTGTTTAGGTAAAGCCAGTCGAACAGCATCCTGCCGGCGGGGAACGGGCATGCATCGATTGTGATTGGTTATTCGAATCTCGAGCAAGTGCGGGGTGAACAGCACAGCCCAGACATTCAGTCACCTGACACTGGGGCCCGTTCAAGCCCCCCTTGGCCCCGAGAACTTTGCACTCACGTTGAACATGTGATATTCTGGTGCATTTCACTTGCGTCCATATGCTCATTGTTGCAACACAGTTGCCGATTAGAAAGTCGGTCATTCGCTGAGTCGTTGATATAATATGTCTATGTACGTTGCGCTAACCAGAAAGAGTCGAGAATAAGGTTGCTGAAAGTGGCTAGCCTCCAGTTCGAGGAACATCGTGGCGACACAGTTCCTGCCTACGCGATATTGTCCCATCGCTGGTATGAACCTGAGCTCTCGTACCGAGATATGTGCAGAATCATCGGCTATGGCCAGAGTGTACCAGAAGCTAAGGGAGAAAGCTTTCGAAAGATTAAGGACTTCTGCTACCAGGCTTCAGAGCAAGGCATCGAATATGTGTGGGTGGACACTTGTTGCATCGATAAGTCTAGCAGCGTCGAGCTGCAAGAGTCCCTTAACTCGATGCAATCATGGTATGCGAAATCGGCAGTCTGCTTTGCATATCTTCGAGATGTCGACCTTCATCACGTTCCAACTCGGAGAGCCTCTCGAAGTCCCAATGAAGGCCAATTGAACAAATCTCTGGAAACTTCCTTCAAGAAGTCCAACTGGTTCACACGAGGCTGGACACTGCAAGAGCTCGTGGCTCCCCGTCATCTCATATTCTTCGACCGACAATGGGCAAAATTGGCGATGCACGAGAAATTCATTCCGCGATCTCTGCCATCACAGGTATAGAATCGCAATGCATCATCAGCACCGGAAGTGGCAGGTGTCAACAACAAATACAAAGAATCGGCAGACGCATGTCTTGGGCCTCCAACGGAATGACCGAAAGAACAGAGGATCGAGCATACTTCCTACTCGGCATCTTTGACATCAGCTTGACCATGCTTTATGGCGAGGGTAACCGTGCATTCGCACGTTTACAAGAGGAGATCCTCAAATGTAACGAGGATGCCTCAATCTTAGTATGGAGCTATCAAGAAGAAGACACAACATTCGCACCGAGCGGTCTCGCCCCGTCTCCCTCGCATTTTCGAAACTACACTGACCTGGTTGGGGAGTTTCGCCCACGAGGGGCCCAGAATCAGGTATGCATCATACGACTAGATCTTCAGATGATGCCAGGGGGCCTGCTGGCGACGCCGAAGGTCTGGCCAGACCCCCTTGATAATCGCAAAGCCTATGCCATCATCGCGGAGGCTGGGAAGAGAGTCGGGAGGCCCCAGAAAGTACTCTTGATTCCTGTCCTATATATAACTCCAGTCCAGAAAGGAAGGACTGTTCGCAATTGTGTTCGGTATGCGACACCGCTCTGGGTTCGGTACAGTGTTGTCAAAACGGCTATGCCCAACTCACTGTGCTTCGTCAGACGAGCGAGAGATGTGCGACCGACCCGCATGATTGATGGATTCAGCTTGAGTTCGATAGTATGGGCTGAATTTGAGACGACATCCTCGTATCCAGTGCAGACACAAAGTCACCGCCGCCACTTTCCAGACATCCTCAGAGGCTCTGCTCGCGGGAACCAACACGGACAGGTTGAGCGAACTTTCGTCCTGCAATTACGACGTCGGAAAGAGCCAGGATGTCACGTCGTGATTCTAGCTGACTATTGGATTGACGGTGCAAGAATAGCACAAGGCACGACAGTTTCGGTCTCAATTCATAGATCTCCTGAATACTTCGATCTCGAAACCGCCATACGGCTAGCAGAAAGGGCGGACCACCGTCAAAAGCTCGCTCGTTTCGACCTCCTGACGCCAATGGGCGGTACATTTCGCTCGAAAATATCATCGTAGTCAGCTTATTCGCGGAATACTGGCTACACTCCAGAGATGACGATTATGACTCTCTCCAAGTCCATCAGTCAGCCCCACCACCCACCATGGCTCTCTGCGTTATTTCTCGGGCATCAAGGTCCTGTTTGCGATGACAGCTGCGTCGGAAAGAAGGGGGAGTGGGGGGGGGGGGGGGGGTCCATTCCGCATGTCTTGTTTGTTGCGATGCTGAATGGTTCGTCTTCCTTTACTCACGAGGAACAACCGAACTGGTGTATTCATTTCAGCCGCTTTTTCGTCAGTATGTTAAACCAAGGCACGATTTCTTCGCTTCGATTGGGACAGACCATGTTCAGGACCACGCGTTCAGCATGTGGCGCAAGAGCCATTGTTGGCCGACCTAATGTCGTACTCGAGATATACTGCAGTAGGCGCGCGTATGAGGCCAGGGTCTCATTTTGGGCTGGGCCACCTATTCGTGGTAGGCAGTGAAATACGGTCACGCGCTACTGAGTTCCAGGTGTTAGCATCGCTGACTAATGCCAGTTCGCCTCGAGCAGCCCATGAGCGCCCTGAGTAGCCCCTGAGCAGCACACGAGCGACCTGAACAGTACCTGAGTGACTGAGCAGTACCTGAGCTCCGCACAACGACGCCTAGTATAATCGAGCAATTCTGGGCAACTAAGCACTGAGTACTGACGGCTATGCACCGTTGCGCTGTCTAGACTTGATCGGTGAGATCAGATAATATTTCATACGATCGAGCTGCTCCATCATTATCGATGACCTGGATAAGCGGAACAAGAGGTAACACGCTGCGCTGTATGATGTAATGCGATGAGCGGAAAGCCGTCACACAATGACATTGGCAACATGAAACTGCGTAAATTAGATTGATGTTCTCGTGGGCTGTTATAGTTTACTGGTGATAAAGGTTTATAGATAACGTAATCCACAAGTGACTGAGACACAAGTGAATGAGACACTTTCCGCCTATTCTTAACCCCCCCTTTTCTTTCCTCCTTTTCTCCACCAACAATTATAGGACGGCAATCAATTGAAAGCAACCTAGTTCTAGCGCTTAATGCGCTCGAATCGGACCCAAAATTAAGCATACGAAAGGCTGCACTACTCTATAATGTATCCCATGCGACCCTCTCACGACGACGAAACGGCCAAGCTGCGAAACGCGATATCCGTCCACCCTGCCAGAAGTTAACCTCGTACGAAGAGGAGAGCATCGTACGATACGTAATCGACCTAGATTCGCGTTCGTTTCCACCGCGCCTTCGTGGTGTTCGAGAAATGGCGGATCGACTCCTTACCAAACGCGACGCGCCGCGCGTCGGAAAGAACTGGACTACAAACTTCGTACGACGACGACCTGAGCTCCGTACGCGTTTCAATCGAAGAATCGACTATAAGAGAGTCCTCTGCGAAGATCCAGACGCGTATCGCGCGTGGTTTTCACTCGTACGGAACGTAATCGCGAAATACGGTATCCACGATAACGACATCTACAACTTCGATGAGACAGGCTTCGCGATGGGTAAGATCTCCGCCGAGACTGTCGTTACAACCTCCGATCGACGCGGAAGGCCTAGAGCCGTACAACAAGGGAATCAGGAATGGGTTACAGCTATCCAGTGCATTGGGTCGTCCGGCAATTCGATCCCGCCGTACATTATCTTCGCAGGCAAGGTCCACCTCGACTCCTGGACGTCCGACAGCCCTCTACCGCCCGACTGGGTAATCGCACTCTCTGAAAATGGGTGGACAACGAACGAGCGAGGTCTAGAATGGGCGAAACACTTCGATTTGCATACAAAGAGTCGTACAAAGGGTGCTTTCCGGCTCCTAATCCTCGACGGCCACGAGAGCCACCATTCGACCGATTTCGAGCTATTCTGCAAGCAGCAGAGTATTATAACGCTCTGTATGCCTGCTTACTCGTCGTATAAGCTCCAGCCTCTTAATGTCGGGTGCTTTAGGCCTCTGAAACGGGCGTACGGCAAAGAAATCGAGGGTCTCATGCGGGCGTATATTACGCACATCGCAAAGGAGGACTTCCTCCCAGCCTTTTACAAGGCGCACAATGCTGCAATGGCCAAGTCAAACGTCCAAGCAGGCTTTCGAGCGACTGGCCTAGTACCGTATAACCCGGATTATGTGATTTCACAGCTAGATGTGAAGCTTCGGACGCCAACACCGCCTAGGTCCTCTGCCGGCTTACCGCCACCCTGGGTCTCAAGGACGCCAAATAACCCGATCGAGGCCGAATCACAGACCGAATACATTAAGAATCGCATCATACGACATCAAGGAAGCTCTCCTTCATCGATAATTGCAAGCTTACGGCAGCTGAACAAAGGAGTCTCGATGATGGTGCACGAGCAGACTCTAATGCGCCACGACCTAGCCGAACTTCGAGATGCAAATGACCGCCTCAGCCGCCGTCGGCGTACGAAGAAAAAACAGCTACAGAAAGGAGGATTCCTTACAATCAGCCAGGCAGAAGATTTGAAGTCTCAAATAGACGCAACGGTGCAGTTAGTAGCAGAAACGACTCAGAGTAGTGGTCGTACGAGGAGGCCAGAAACACGCGCGCGACGCTGTGGCGTCTGCGGCGAGCCCGGTCACAATGCGCGTACGTGTCAGAAGGTTGAGTCTGCCTCTGGAGGAGAGGATTCTGAATAATTTCAATTGATTTAAGGCGTTGTGGTTGATTTAACTTACACATTGTCGTACGAACACCAGGAAGGTGGCCCGCTAGCTTGTGTGGCCCGCTTGCTTGTGGATTACGTTATAGCTAATTTATCAGCTGAGTTATAGCCGAGTGACAAGGTAGCGATTTTAGCGATTTTTTTGGGGTGGTCGCGAAGTACCCTGGTCGCGAGACGGGGGGCAGACTTACTGTACAGATGCTTGTAGAGGGCGATAACTTCCGAGGAGTGCCTCTCGCAGGTCTACAGGCAGCAGAATGTGAACACGACACATGACCTCCCAGGGAGCCACATCTGTGAATCTAAGCCCCGTCTACGAGACAGCGGGAGCTCTGCAGCCTGGCGTTCCCTCCTCGACTTGAAGAGCCAGATTTAGCCCCGTTGGTGGGCCAGGAGCCCCGGCTGAGGCCCTCATTTTTGGCGTCCTAATCTGGCTGTTCTATGACCCAGTGAGCAGATTGAACAGGCCAGATCAAAAATTGAGGCTGATCGTTTAAATTAGTGGGCTTCCAATTAGGCGCATAAGTTAGCTAAGCAATGTTCCCTCTCGCGGAACAACTTAGCTTAGATAGGATCTTTGGAAGCCATCCGGAAACTAGAACAGCAGTTCTAATATGAGCCCAATGTTACATACCTTCAGGATCGTTTGTAAAGAAACTTTGCTTCTGGTAGTAAAGCAAGGCAACGCTGACTACCCGTCCTTGTAGTACCTATTAGCTCGCTCATTCAAACGAAAAGTATATCTGCGCAGCGATGATTACCGACTCCAGACTGCCCCGTATTTTTTTTGGATCTTTCTTGCGTCTTTCTCAGCTCTGCTCGACAAACCCGGTATTCGATCCTTAGCGATCCCAAGACCTTCAAGTGGCGAGCAGCCAGTGCCCCAAGCTTGCTGGGTAAAAAGTCTCCGGGCATTAGGGTTGTTGAGCTCGTATTTCATGGAAGAAAAGATCGAGCATCGTGCCTCTGGGCTTATTTGCAGGTAGATTGAGGCTCAGTTCTATATGTCGTCCTTTGCTAATTTGAGACAGAGAAACATGATTGATAAGGGCGGGTGGCTCGAAGAAGTCTTATGGATTGTCAACACGAATAACGATGAAGATCTTCAACATCTAGAGGATATTGTAGCCACAGATCCCTCTAGGCATCGAAAAGCAGATTTCTCACAGGATATATTAACCACAAACACTTACTACAAGGCCTGGCAACATTTGCAACGCGGAAAATACTATGTCAAGATAGATGACGATATTGTAAGACATCGAACCATCAAACTTTGCTTGCTCACGCTTGGCTAACTTCTCAGGTATGGTTCGATCACGCTGCGATTCCTCGGCTTGTCTCGACCAAGATCGAGTATCCGGATGCATTTTTCGTTTCCGCCAACATCATAAACAACCCTCCTTTGGGCTTTCTCCATCTTCACAATGGTGCTTTACGTCTATTCTTCCCGGAAGTCTCACGCCCGAAATCGCTGCCTGGGTCTTGGAAGCCTTCCGAGCACGGCCATTGGGTTGGCCCTAGGAACTTCACATGGCCACTTGATCAAAAGCCTCCATATGATGGCCATCGGTGGCTCAAGGCCGCAGAAGACCATATGCTAGTGCAGACAACTGCGATGAATATTGCTTATGAGATCTGGGGCGCCAGCTACAACAGCTGGGCCATTACCGCACAACAACATTACTCTTTACTTGATGCGATCGAAAGAGCAGCGCTTGACCGCTACATCTTCAGAACTCCATGGTACATGCATGGTCAACGTATTCGGATTAACTTGATGTGTGTATACGCGGATGACATCTTGGATCAAGTCTGGCCACCGGAGACTGGCGACGAAGATAATATAGCCATTCACTTTCCCATTCTCCATCGCCGACGTGAGTCACCCATGTCACTTTCTTTCTACCTAACTAACAGTGGTACAGCAGTAATCATTGAAGGTACTGCCATGGCCGCCCATTATCAATACCAAGGGCAGCCAGGCCTTGAGAAAACAGATCTACTTCAGCGTTATCAGATGCTTGCCGAGGAGCAGCTTAAACCCGGTATCAGAGCAGGATAAAGAAATCTCAGATCACTTCATTCCGCGCAAGAATGATAGGATCTGCTCAGAGAATAGATTGCCTTGATGGGTCTGTCCTCGGATGTAAGAACGACTCCAAATGAATAAAGCCGAATTCCCGCAAGTCGAATCTTGCCCGGCAGCATGATTCTCTTGCGCCTACCGACGATAGCCAATCGCTCGACCGTGTATATAAGACAGCTTGGATCCCTCGGCATCACACCACGTGAACGGGCTATCTTCACCACCTACGAATCTTGCGTAACTGGCAAGCACTATGTCGCAAAACGATCCCACCGTCATTGACGGTCTCAGCGACATGGAGACAGACGACCACTGGATCAGTCATCGCGACTACTCAACTCATACCATGAGTGGTGGCTCTGATTCCACGAAATGGCACTTCCACACTGCATCGGCAACCACGACAGACAGCCCGCCAGAAACCTCGACGCAGCGCACAATTCTCTCGACTTCTGGCAATCCTTCTTCGTCTCCCCTCAGACCATTCAAGTCGCACCTGATTTCCAGCAGTCCAAGGCTCACAACCGAGCCTCGTGAAACTCCGCGTCCACCCAAGAGTGCTAGTGAGCGGACGGGAATTCAAGCCGACTCAATGATTGTTTTGAAGAGTAACTTGGCGGCTAAACAGAAACCCGACGGGAGCCATACAACGGCAGATATTATATACCTTGATGATGAGGACAACTTGAGCGATACGGAGAACTCAGGAGCATCCTCCGCATGGCACAAGAAGCTACAAGAAACCGCAGAAGTCAGTCAATGCTATGGGCGGATGTGGCTCCTATCAGGAGCGAACACTTGCCGTGCAAAAGCGTGGCCGCAGATCCTTCGATCTGTAAGAATGTCCCAACCACTTCTGAGAATAACTGACCAACAAGAAAACCATTTCAGTTCGTACAGATACTGCGGAGAGCCAGTATCAGCTGCAGGTATATAGCCCAGCAGCCACTGCGTATGAGCAGCATTTCTCAGACATGCCGAGCATGATATCCGGACCAACTATTTCGACAACGGCAGATTATGGGACTGTGCCCTGTCTCCAGCGACCTGTTCAAACATAACAGAGCCTCTCACAACTCTTCAGTTCAAAATCTGTGCCGAGGTTTCTACTCAAACAAACACGATCCACGATTCACCCGGATCAGTAGGATTGGACACCGCACATAATGTGCCTGGCAGTCCAGCTGGTCCACGGTTGTTGGTGGTTCGACACAATTCCGCACTCTGCACCAAACAAGCGACCACAACCAAGCGACCACAACCGCGAGACGACAAAAGTCGCAGAGAGCCTCAAAAGGCTGCAAGCTCCTTGTTGGTGCTGTATCAAGCAGGGTGATCAGTAGAAAGCAGAAACCCGAGCGAAGGTCGTCAAACCGGACAACTGCGACCCGAGGAGACGCTAAGATCCAAGCTCTCGAAGCTCTCAAGAAGTGGGAACTCGTCGATGCTGTCTTGAACACACCAGACGAGGGCGGACGATTTGTGCTCACCTTCGGTCTTCCGAGCACGAGTCATATGACATCAAGTCCGCAGAATGATAGAGTCAAGCCCGGTTCGCACTGTGAGTATTCGAAGAAATTATGTACTGGAAATCTTGGCTAATGATGCAGCTGCCAAGAAATATCCAGTCAGGAGACTGCTGGAGAAGTGGGGAAATGCGTTTCTCATTGAGTGGGAGAATGACGAGATAACCTGGGAACGCAAAATGAATGTTAACAAGCACCTCGTTGCAGCGTTCGAGAAACAGTACGATGGTTATGGTCCTGGAATAGAGTCCATCCGCGGCTCAAGAAAAAAAGGCGGAAGAAAACAGTTACGGCTCGCATGGCGCCAGCGACCGTTATCAGAAGCGTATTGGATTGATAAGAGCACAGTCTTACCTCGAACTGCATGGCCTGTCCACGCGTGGGAATTCTTCTGTCTAGAGAGCTGCTTTGTTGAATAGATAGAAGCAATCTACTGATGAAGTCGTCCTTCCTATGCTTATCCCCAACCTAACAAGTCCTCAGCTCGTCTAAGTTCACCGGTATTCTTGCTTCACTGCGTACAAAGCGATAGGATCCTCTCGGTGCAGTACTATACTATACTATAGAGAGAGCAGAAAGTGTTGCGCCCCCCCCCCCCCCCCCCCCCCGGGGGTCCTTCAAACGGTGTTTGGGTTATCCGGACAGCAAATGGCAAAACCACGCGGGTCTAGAGGACCCAGAGTCCATCTCACAATGCCGGCTGGGTATTCACCTAACATCTTCCCATCTGTGCCAGAAGGATCAACGTGGCCAATGACAAATGACATGTACGTGAGGGCGGAGGGACTACGTTTGGCTCGAGCATGCTTAGGCACTGCTTGCGAGTCCTAGGCTGCAGCATATAATTTTGAAACATACCCTCGTGGTTACACTCCCTGGTCAGTTCTCAACATCTAGCCGCTCGATATCTCCTTACGGCATCGGGGCGTTAAGGAGAAGGGGAACCACCACTTTGAATGACACCCAGCGCGAGGGATCACGGGTGAGTAGCGCGAACGCAAAGAGACCAAGGGGGGCATGGAGACATGGAGCAGAGTAGAGCTGGCAGTGGTGAGGACAGAAGCGGCTTGAAACAAGTAACGGGAGTGAGTGTCACAGCATGCACCTGCATTCTCAAGCTTGCAACTTAGTAAATTATGTTCTAAACGCAAGGCTCTACATAGTGCCTATATTTTCTCAATCTTTCGTAGCCAATACTCAACCGTCTCCTTTTCACCAGCCGTGTCCTCCTCGTTCTCGGGTTCAGATAGAGTTCCCGGTGGCTCACACCATCGGACACCAATCCTTCTGCTGCCCTGAATGGATCCCACATCATGACCCACCAGAAGCTCGTGGAGAGCTTCTTCCACCCGCCGCTTTCAATCTATCAGCCAAGACTCCCACACGCCCTCGCTTATCTCTAAGCTGTTCAAATCGTCGGTGTCGTGGGCAGTCGCCCAATCTGTATCTCCATTATCCGAGTCGCACGACGTGACTGCACCATTGGCTCCACTAGGTGCACACTTTCTGCTTTCATTACCTTCAAAGATGCTTGCGAGAGCCGTTGAGCATGCGGTTGCCAACAAGGCCGCCAAGGACAGCCTCCAACATGTGGCGCTTGCTGTGGCGCTTGCTGGGGTCATGGGCGGCATCAATAGTAGCAGCACCCGCGGCCGCGGTGAGGACGCGCTTCATCTTTTCGCCCTTCCAACCGCCAGGTTTCTTGGAGACGCGGAAAGCCTCGGCAGCGCCAGCCACCAAGGAGGCTTTGGCAGCTTTCTGCATTCGATTGGCGGGAGTGTCTTCAGAGCGAGATCGACGAGAGCTCCTCGACTCGACACTTCCGCGGCGGCTTCTCCCTTCAGAAGGTCGGTGATCAGAACCTCCGCCCGTCAGGGCTTTGATGGCACCTCCAAGTCTGGCAGCAGAGAGAGCATTCTCCAGGAAGGACTTGTTGCCCTTGCGGCCGCTGGGGTCCTCGTCGTCGTCAAAGTAATACTCGGAAACACGGCCATCGCGGCCCTTGTGCACAATATAGGTGGACTTCTTGTCCTCCTTGTCGTTGTGTTTGTTGTAGTACTCGGCGCCGGAGTAGCCAGCAAAGGCACCTCCCGCCGCAAGAGCAGCCGAGGCGAGCGGGTTGCGCTCGATCCTGCCTGAGCCTTCGTCTTTGGCCTCCTTGCGATCCCATGCCTCCTTAGCACCGGCGGCAATGACACCTCCAACCACAGCAGCCAGCATCTTCTGCTGCTTGGTCAGGACGCGCTTGCGAGTGCGCACTTCCTCTTCGTAGTAGACGCTGCCTGGCTTCTGACGGGTGCGCAAATCGCGCCCAGGTGCGTAGTAGTCGTCGTAGCCAGGCTCTGCTGAGCGAGCCCAGCGGATGTCGCGGTAGCCCGGTGGCGGAAAGTCGCGACGGATCTCCTCGACAGAGGTGTCGCTATCTTCACGGGGGCGAGGCACAAGCTCGTGTCGGGAGGAGGGTTTCTGGCGATAGTAGGCATCTTGTGGCTCATAGCGGGGATCCGGGCGCAGGCGTGCCTCCTCACGGTAGGATCGCCGCTGAGGGGCCTCGTAGTCGTAAGCCGACATGGCTGGTGGCGCTGATGCCGTAGTGGTCGAGGTAGTCTTGTCATTTGATGACAAGCAGTGTTCGTGGACAGTAAGTTTGCTTGCGTGCCGCGATCAGTGTGGTTGTAGCGATCGAGATGAACTGGGGAAAGCTGCGCTGATGATATAGCGAGATGTCAGCAGGACCCCGAGGGACGGGCCAGAGGGCGGGAGGGGGGCGGGCACGTCAATAATAGTACGGGGGCGAGGGACGGACCGGCCACCTGGGGCAGATGGCTGTGGCAGTCAGCAGCCTGGAGGCAGTTGCCCGCCCCGCCGTTGCGAGCCCGCCTGCCTCACCTGCTCGTCTGACGTCAACCTCTCACCACTTAGACTGGGAACAGGCTGGCTCGCTGGGCACCAACCAATCCACCCCGAGACCGACCAACCCCTTCGCCATGACGAGCAGACAACTGGCAGCAAACCCCGGTTCAAAGAAGTGATTGTCTGCCTCCGAAAGCAGGCCGGCCCCCTCAATCAGGCCCCCGGTGGCCGATTTGGCGGCGCCTTAATTGGCTGCGGCGCTCTGGAGAGACCACCCCGGCTGGCGCCCGGAGTGATTGTGTGGGCTCAAGGCCGGGCCCAGTCATCCCTGAGATCTCGATCCCACATTCGCTCGCCACAAGGCATGGCATTTCAACATCTGATTCTTACAGCGGTCCCAGGTGCCCACCATTAGCGCATTCCCCGCGGCTTCGAGAGCGGCGAATTTTGGATCATCCCGAGAAAACCGCTTTTCGTGATTCCTGGGCCATCGTTGAAAGGCTCGAGGTCGTCTCCGCGTACGGCTGCGTCGGCATTAGCCTCGGCGTGCCGTGGAACAACTTCAGCTTCGCGGGCGGGCTGTACCCGGGGTCGAAGCTCGTGCTCGTGCTCGTGGTGCTGCGAGGCAGGCACCGCGGGCTGCCCGTCGCGCTGGACCGCGCGGTGCAGCTGCCGAGCGATGATATGGAGGACGTGGAGGACCAGGAGGACCTGCGGGCGCAGAGGACCATGTCTGCGCGAGGAGGAGGGCGGCAGGAGGTCGCGATATAGTTGCACGTACAGAGGCGTGTCGAGAAGCACAACGCGATGATGAAGGTTCCCCATGACGTGTTTGCGATTCTGCAAATAGTAGAGCTCGTCAGTGTATGTAAGACACATTCTTTACATTAGTCGGCATCACGATCTGAAATTTCCATATGTTTGTATTCGTATTATCGGGTGAATGAGAATAAATCAATAAGTACAAAAGAGCACCACTAACTCATCTTCTGCGGGGTCAAATTTAGAATACAATCACGAGAAACATGCAAGATTTAATCATAGTGTACGGAAGTTTTAAGCCGCAGGGAACTCCTCGAGACTGAGCTTGCGGTTCAAGACAAAAGACTACTCATAGCTCGGAGAATTCCCTTGGCCAAGCAGTCATTACTTTTGTACCCAAGGGATCGATTTAAACATCATTCTCACCCATCACCTTGGACCAGTCAATTGACGAGAGTGCTAGCTCTACCAAGAAAGACGGCAACGCCAAGAGACGAACAATCGCTCCACTGCTCCAGCTTGACCCACGTTGCAGAACAGCAACCCGGAAGCAACTCCGTAGGTCGGATCGTGACAGCCAGCACCCAGAACAGTATCAGTACTAATTGAGGAGTCAGGCCATGGTAGTAATGGTACAACATACGACCAAGATAACAACCCTGAGCACACTCGTACGATCCATTCAAAGCCAGAGCTGCCCGGGTTTGTACTAGACTAGTACACTACTAGTGCTCTGCCACGCCCCGCCTTGTCAGGTTGGGGTGGTGGCCGCGGAGCTCCACGGCTTCGTAGCCGGGCATGCCGGTGCCCGCCCGCTCGGGGAGACGGCCGGCATCGGGTGGCCTAACTTCCGCTATCCTCAGACCCCCAAATCGTGCTCGTGGCAAGGGGGAAGCCAAGCCCGCCCAGCTGGCCCCTGGTGACGATTCCCCGCGTCCGCATCGCCACGCTCGGCCATTGGAGTCTCCACCAACACGCGAGCTCGGGGCGCGTAGCCAGCCAGCCAGGTGGTGTGGTGCCTCTTCGGCTTCTCGCCGCGGTGGGCGGCCCGAGGGACGCCGTGCCGCCTCGAGTCGCGAGCGCTTTGAATAGAAGGCTCGACGATCGTCGCAGTTTAATCCTCTCGGCGGACCGCACTAGACATCTCCATCGCTTCCACTGCCATACCACACAGCATCCTGCAACTGCACAATATCGATCTCTGCGCGATGGCCACCAAGGATTTCCACGTCGCCATTGTTGGTGAGTCATGCACCTGCCGCTGCGACCTCAGCAGCAGATGTCGCCTGGCTCCTGTCGCTGATGCTTACGTTCGCCTTCTGCAGGTGCTGGCATCGGCGGCCTCGCCCTTGCCATGGCTCTACACAAGAAGGGCATCTCGTTCACGCTGTACGAGGAGGCCAAGGAGTACTCGGCCGTTGGGTGAGTCTCGCACAACGCACTTGGCAGCAGGCAATCCGTTACTGATCCGGGGAATCGCCGTGAAGCGCCGGCATCGGATTCGCACCAAATGGCATGCGTACCATGGACCTGATTGAGCCTGGATTCCGCCCGCTCTACGAGGCCGTGTGCGTCGGGAACCGGGGCGAGGACGCGCAGCATATCTTCTTCGAAGGCATGCTGCTCAAAGAGGGCTTCGGTACGTGCGCTGAGCCCCTTTCCAAAGCTGCTGCGGGCCAGCGCAAAGTACGCGATCCCGGGACCTTACTGACGAGGACAACATAGGCCGTGACCAGCCATGGTATGGAAAGTCCGGCTGGGGCCACGTCGACTACGTCCGCAAATCTGTGAGTGCCTGGGCGGCTGCCACTCGATCGACCTGCTTCGCATCTAGAGGCACGCCGCTAACCGGACTAATTCCCAGGCGCACCGGAAAACACTGCTCGACATCATGACGAGCTTCATCCCAGTCGAGAGCGTGCAGTTCAACAAGTGCCTAGCAGGATCCGAGCAACAGCCATCGGGCGTCCTCCTCAGCTTCGCTGACGGTACAACCGCCACGGCCTCGTTCCTTGCGGGCGCGGACGGCATCCAGAGCACAGTCAGGGAACACGTCCTCAAGGAGCTGTACCCGGACCAGGTCGCTCCCGTGTATTCCGGGGCTTACTGCTACCGAGCTGTGATCCCCATGTCCGAAGCGTACGAGATTCTCGGTGACCTCACCGACGTGGCCAAGTTTTACTTTGGCCACAAGCGCAGTTGCATCACATACCGCATCTCTGGCGGCGAGGTAAGCTCCTGACGGACCAATGATGGGGACCCGTGGTGGATAGATAAGATGACCACCTGATGCTGACCATTTCTGGGGCCCCCGCCAACACAGGAGTTCAACTTTCTGCTCTGCGTCGCCGACGGGCTCGATGGGTGGAAGCTCAAGAACGCCGTGACGGAGAAGATCTCGCACGAGGCGATGATGGCCGACTTTGACAGCCCGGACGTTGACGGCAGCTTCCGGCAGCTCCTTCGCAAGGCCAAGCCTATAAAATGAGGTCTCTTCCACCACGCGCAGACGGTGTCGTACACACGCGACCGCGTGATCCTGGTCGGCGACAGCGCGCACGCGTCGCTGCCGTTCCAGGCTGCCGGCGCCGCGCAGGGGCTCGAGGATGCGCTCGTCCTCTCGAATGTCCTCGCCGAGCTCGCGGGCATGCCGGAGCGCGGCGCCGCGCAGATGCCGGCGATCCGCGCCGGCATGGCCGCGTACGACTCGATCCGCCGCCCCCGCGCGCAGAAGCAACTCGAGCAGGCGGACGAGGTGAGCCGCATGATGTTCCTCGAGCACGAGGAGGCCGGCGGCGACGTGGAAAAGATTCTGCCCCTGCTGCAGCAGGGCCGCTTCAACTGGCTCTGGTTCCATGACATGGACGACGATGTACAGGAGGTGCTGCGCAGGATGAGGAAGCAGATCAGCGTCGGCTCTCAGCCTGCTGCTGCGAGGATATGATGTTAGCTTTGCAGGAAGGTCTCGATTTGGCCTGCATGGGTGATGTCTTCTCAATATGGTGTTGCCAGGACGTCAGATGTTTTTACATGCTATATTAGAAGCCACAAATTCAGTAGAATATTGTACAAGCTGAGGTAGAGCGATGGATCATGTTGCAGTACATAATGTTTACAATTCATGTCATAAGACTTCGGCATGATTGCGTGAAGATAATATTCCAATTTCTATGGGCATCTTTCCATGTCTGGTTACTGCTTACCCACATATCCAGGCTATCATCATTCGTGACCATGAAGAGCCTTAGGACGTGAGTTTTATTGGCACGGTAGAGCATCTCGGCTCAATCGCTTCATGCCTGCCAACATGGCGAGAAAGGGTGACAAAAGGGGTGTCCTGTGCTATTTTGATTTGTGTCTAGCATGGTACTGGGAGACGGCGTGAGTGAGAGAATGTGAACGAGGAGTTGGAACGATTTAGATATACGCTCTATCGGATCATTGCTACGGATGAAATCTTTCAATAGATTCACGTAGTGCATATATACTGTGCCTCGACCAGTACAGTGACATCACGGTTGTGCTCGAAGGTCACACCGGAAAGAACTTCATTAACTCGACGTTCTACTGCAAGCAAAACTTGCCTGTCGTGGTGAAAGACGTTCTGGAGTCAACAAAGACGCTGCCCGAGAACTGCTCCACCAACATTCAGACGTACCTTGACCAGCACAAGGCAGATCTCAAGAGGTATCTTGACGATCTCATGAGGTACATGATCAAGAGGGAGTCGATCTCCATGACCAACTCGACGTTCCAGATCGACGTTGTCAGAGAGTGAGTACTTGTCCCCAAGAAGCACTGCCGAGCGATTACTAACACAATCCAATAGCTTTGCCATCCCCGTCGTCACCAGATATGTGGCCACGTTCCTCGGATTTGGCCAAAAGATCAGCGAAGTCGCCGGTGATGCCAAGGGCACTTACAGCGAGAACGAAATCTACCAGCACATCACGAACTGTCATGCCTTCCTGACGTACACCCAGATGAGACTAAGTGGATGCAGCGCCGCAAGGACTTCATTAGATCCATGAATACGCTCATCGAGCTCACTCAGAACGGCACTATCTGGGAGGCATGCTCATGGGGAATCTCCCAGGCGCTGTTTGGAACGAAGGAGAAGTCCAACGCAATGCATGACCTTGGAGTCTTCGTCGCCAAGGAGGTGCTGAAGTACGAAAAGGACCAGGAGAAGGCCGCTGCTATCCTCCTTCTCGTCTGTCTCGACTTTGCCTACAACGCTGTCGTCGCAGTAAGTTCCCTGGCACTCACTATGCTCCGGCATTGAGACTAACTTGGTTATAGCTCACTGCTACTCTGGACGGCTACATGGACGAGCTCTATCGGGCGGCGAACCCCGAAGCACGCTGGAAGAACGACACTGGCAAAGCTGTGTCAGAGCCACAATGGCCCGCGATCCAGGCATTGGCATTGAATGGTTCGACAGATGCCTTTGCAGAACTGGAGACGCTGGTGAAGCGCATGGTTCAGAAGAAAGTCCGCATCCCGCTCATCCGCCGAGCCCTGAAGGCGGGCGACTACAAGTTCACTTTCGATACGGACGATGTACACATCGACGAAGGCCAGCCAGTTGTCCTTGATCTCGTGAGTCCCTCCCTAGTTGACTGAGATACAGCCTGCCACAGAAATTCTTGACTGACGAAAATAATCTCGCAACAGACCGCTGCCGAAGAACATGCCAGCAACGCCGAGGCCAAGAAGTTCCTCCGCATGGCGTTCCAGTTCAGGATCGCCGACAAGTTCAACGCGTTCTTGCCTCAGGGCCTGGCTTCACTCTCGCTGACGTCGATGATCAAGTTCATCGCGCAGATGCAGAACCCCCGTCGCGGCCACGCCGCCCAGGGAAAACTCAAGAGAGTTCGCCTCGACTCCACGCCCGAGGGCTACGCCAACTACATGGCGCCGATGAGGGTGGCCTGGATTGGCCAGCAAGGGAAGACACTCAAGAAGAAGGAGCAGGACAAGTCCTTCAACGAGGACATGCTGTGGCCAGAGGTGCACACCTACCTCACGCCCACATGGGACCAGTTCGTCGCGTTCCCCATGACCTGGAAGATACGCTTTGACGTGTTCGGCGCGTCGGACTACGCGACATACGACAAGGACACCAAGCAGATGCTCGAGCCATATGGCGTGGTCAAGTACGCCGCGCCTCTCCCGGACTACCTTCCTCCCTGGTACCAGCCCGTTGGGCCATCGTCTGTCGGCGGCTCGTTCGTAACTGTCGCTTGTACCTGCGCCGCGGGTCCTGGCGCGGGCCGCTCGGAGCAGGGTGACATCAAGCATAGTGTTGTGCCGGTAACGACTGGATGCGGCATGTCGCATTGACGCGAAGGAGTCTAATTCTACTGGCTTGCTCGGCGTTTGCCGTTGATTGATTCTTTCTGATCTTCAGTCCGCTTTACTTCAACTTCTTATAGTAATTTTCACTGTGATACACAAAGCTTGAAGCTTCGGGACTACTTGGTATTTGATGTAGGGTATCAAATGGCCTCTTGCAGCCTCGCTTGCAATTGAAGTGCTGGTATGCCATGTAGCCTGACAAGGCCGCCTTGGCAGACTCCAGTGCTGCCACAGAAGATGAATCCGCAGTGCACCGGCTAGCACAGATACCATGACGTCCTTGAAACGGGTCGAAGAGCCCTTCAGCAATGACTGGACTTGGCAGAGCTTCATGATAGGTATAGCTGACAGGCATTGCTCGCAATCATTGCAATACTCCGGGGTACCCTTTGCCGCCCTTGACTCGAGGCCTCCATTGCGCCTGACTCGAGGTCTCCGTCGGAGAGCACGAATCGCCATGTTATCAGCCATGACGTCCAGCCAAGCACGAAGCGGGCACAAATATTGGGCACACGCGTCGTCCGTGGCCGATACGCCGCAGTGAATGTCCGATGGAGGTTGACGAATGCTAGACTTTGTGAACGCCATATGGCCAGATCCTTCATCCTTCAATTTGAGCGAGTCGTCGTCCCTGATGGGTAACGTGGCCTATTACAATGCCTGGAGCCTCAGGGAAGACAAGTTTTGTAATCTGAGAGCTTTCTCCTTGGTGTTTCGTCTTGTCGTGGATTTCATGATGGTTCTATCAACTATGGAGCGTGTACGAGTTTCGTATTCAGAAATGCCATCCGAATGAATACATGTCTCATTTCGGGCCGTGAACCAGGGTGTAACAGAATAATTGTCCGGAAGTGGGCTCGGGGCTCGGTCGCGATGTTCTGACCTGGCGGACTTTCTTTGACTCGCCCTTATCCCTTGCTGCCACTACGCGCAGCAGCAGATCCTCACTGTAAGCTTAATGCATAGGCTGAATAATTTCCTCATGCCGATCGCGCGACGCGTCACGGAATGATTGCGTGATCCGACAGCTACGTGGACCTCTCGATAGATATTGCTACTATGCAGGTCCGATGTGGACGTCACCCATTCAGATGCCGACGTCTCGCTTGCTTGCAGCGTACCATACCATAGATCTATAACCCCAGGACTACTCAATACAACCGGTAATTTTCATGGCGCCAGCTTTGCTGACAAAATATTGATCCGTAGTCAAACTGTTTGAGACCTGTCTCATGATTCTATCGGAAATTCTTCAACCGTCAAAAATCACAGAGCGGAGTTGCGGACGATCGACATATGTCAGTTATCGCCAAGATGATCGACACGACTGACAGAATGTCCACTGCGACGATGGACAGCAGGATGTAGCATAGATGATCAGGAACAAAAACCGAGTCTTTCTCTGAACATAAAAAGGACAAGTCCTCTTGCTTATTCCTGGTTCTATCCTCGCATCATCATCACAACTCTTTACACTTCACTCTTCTTCTTTGCAAAAACAATCATATATCAACATCATAACCAATAGCAAAAATGGATCGCCTCAATAACACGCTGGTCGCCGCTCTTTTCGCCTTCCACGGCGCGAGTGCCCTGCCGATCAGCGGTGGGAGCATTCAGGCAGACAGCTCAGACCTCCACAGCCGCCAGGACTCGCCCACTGATGGATTAGCTGTCATCGATTCCGTGGCAGACGGCTCTGGTCTCAACCGCCGCCAGGTACCTAGCTACCCGGCAACGCCTATCCACAACTACCTGGTCCGACCTAAGGCTGCCGGCACTACTTCTCTCAGCGAGCGTCAGGTTGAGGTGGGTCGACGGCGAGGACGGCGGTGCAGTTGGAAGGCGTCAGGTCCCGAGCTACGGAACTGCGCCTATCACCTACTCGGTTCGCCCGAAGGCTGCCGGCGCTGGCTCTCTCAACGAGCGCCAGTTTGAGGTGGTGGACCGCGAGGACGGTGTAGTCGGACGGCGCCAGGAGGATCAGCCCATTGTCAGCCCGGAGGTTGCCGCCTCTGGCCCCCCGACGAAGCGCGAGCCCCAGGTGAACGGAGATGGTGGCGGTCCTTTCGGAAGGCGCCAGATACCTAGCTACCCAGCAACGCCTATCCACAACTACCCGGTCCGCCCGAAGACTGTCGGCGCAGTCTCTCTCAGCGAGGACGGCCAGGCCGGCGGCGCAGTCGGGAGGCGTCAGGAGAACCAACCTATCCTCACCGGTGCCGCGCTCCGCCCGGCGGCCGACGCCGCTGGTCCCGTGACGAAGCGCGAGCCGCAGGTGAACGGAGATGGTGGTGGCCCGCTCGGGAAGCGCCAGGGATCGAGAAACCCTGTTGTAGGGGGACAAATCCCGCCTCCAGCACAAAAGCGTCAGAGAGAGGGGATTCCCATGGGATCTCTCCCACCCAAATCATCGTCAAAGCGCCAGGACGGAAACAACCCGATCCAGATGGACTGAGCCCCAAAGGCCGTCACAGAAGCGCGAGGACAGTCGGTCTTTGTCTTTTACTGGCGGGTTGCCGTCAGTACGTTGGAGGATTCTGCCGACGGTCCATTAGACCCGGCGAGTCAGCAACGGCGGCCGCTGACATGAACCCTTTTCGCTATGCAGCTTGGCTTTGTTTTTCGTTTTTTCCATTGAGGTTCGTCCGCTGTTTTCACTCTAGTCAAGTATCCTCTCGTTTAAGCCGAGCACTCTCATGTAGGGCACCTCTTGTTTCAGCTTCAGAAAATCACACGCGTAGATTGTGTCACAATACATCGCTCTAAGAATTTCCGTGCCCGACTTTCTCTGATAAGAAGCCCGCAGGAGCATTTAGCGTTACATTCTCGTTTTCTTGCTTTCACATGGCAGTTTACAGCGTGTCTATGACGCCACCTGTCCTGAGTGGCGCGCCTGATGGATCACGCCGACTGTGGTCGATGCAGAGGTTGAGAGAACGAGAGACCAGAAACTATCGCGTGAACAGCTTGCCGGTATGACACATCGGACCACTACCAAGAAGTCACAGAATATCAGGTCCGAAGTTGTCAAGCGGTGTTGTAGCGGGCCAGTTTGACACAACAAGCGTGGGCAATGTCCTGCACCTGAGAGCGAGGAGTCACAGGCAGCGGTATCGAGCTCAGCCAACAACAATATCTACTCGTACTTAGCGTACTCTTCCACTGTCGGATAGTCGCATGATCTCGCCCGGTTGCCTGCATGGTCTTGGCCCCCTCACTCGGGCCGATCTTTTCACCGTGGTGGCACTGCAGCATGCCTAACTACCTATCGTCTGCCGGCATTGTCATGGTGCACAGCGTCGCTGTGCTTTACCTCCCGATGTCCCCAATGAAGATCTAGAGTACATAAGTACGCGTACGCATCTAATTGTCTGGCCTCCGGAGATTGCTAAGCCGCCATCAAGCTCCGGTCAACAGCTTGGTACCACCTCGCCAAACCCATCGAGATGGATTGGACTGGGATACAACTTTGGACTTATTCGCCGTTCCGTTCATGGCCCGAGGTACCACATGGACTGGCCTTAACCTTACCTTGTGCGATCCAACTTGGCCTGTTGTGTCTGAATTTGCCAAATATCACATCAACGTCTCGAGACCAGAGTCGGATGACGACATGAGTGCCACTTGTGATGGACCTCCAGGATACATTGCGCGAGGACGAGCTGTGAGAACTGGACATCACTTACCTCGCCCGGGGGGAGAACTGGAAGGCTGCATCGAGAAATATAACGTAAGCATGTGGATTGCCGAAGTCGTGGAACATGACGATTGCGGGGAAGCGGTATCACTAAACTATTCTTCTGCGCTTTGGCCTCGGACTCGTGAGATCTCATTGTTGACTTGATGCCAGGGTCCGCCGTGGCAACTTACGACGCCGAATTCATTTTGACATTCCATGACCACCACTCCACTTTTGGGTCCCTGCATAGCACGAAACCGTTTGTCGTCGCACCTCAGCTCATGCAGGGAATCTAGATGGGATGTGGTTGCACAATGTGGCTGGGATCAAAGGGAAGCACGAACTCTGAATTCCGGATGAATCCGGATAGCGCACGGACAATGCGCCGTCTCGAGTTACACGTGGTGGACATATCCTGATTTGGTTTCCTGAGGGAGGTCTGTGTGGATTCTATTCGTTATAGGCCTGCTTACCCTAAGATGTTATTTAGTCTTCCTACGGACCATCGTTTTCTCTCGTTGAAGTGGCCAAACTCCTCCGGGCAACACCTGTACCGAGGAGCCAAGCGTCACTCGGTGCGCACACCCTGCGGCCGCCGAACAACATTATAATCTCCATTCGAACATATCATCTCAAGCCCACAACTCCACAAAGACCTCATCAACTCCTTAAGACGCCCTCTCCACATATAAACACCTCCACCACACATACCGAAACAATGTGCCGCGACATCTGCGTCCTCTACGTGTGCTCTGCATGCGGGGAGCAGCTGTCCGAGACCTCGACGAAACAATGGTGCCGCGATGCCCGACGGAAGGGCAAGTTCGGCCGCTGCGTCGCGGGGGCCAGCCGTGTCGAGGACGAGTCGCGCAGGGAAGAGTGCCTCGCGTGTACGGAGCTCCGCGAGCAGCAGATGGCGCAGCTGAGGGACTTTGCGGTACGGCGGCTTGGATGGAGAAGTGGCAAGGGCGGGAGGAACGGAGATGCCGACAGTGGTCGTGGCGGGCGTGGTGGACAGGTCCAGAGACAGTGTAGTGATGGTGGTGTTGCTGGCGATGAAGAGGATGATGATGCTGGGTATGGGTACTCTGTGGTGAGGTGGGAGATGTTGCTATGGAGTTTAACTGGGGATAAGACGGTTGCTTTCGTTCTGCCACTGATACAGGTCGTGATGTATTCCGAATATACAAAAGAGGCTACCAACGTCCCCAACATCCTCTCTAAGCCACCCTCTTGGGGCTAGGTACAGGATCGTAGTAAAGATTGTCACATGACGACGGCGGTAGGTAGAAGAGAACTGTAATCACAAACGAACAAGGGACATGGTGGACCTGGGACGTGGCCGGCTGCAATCCGACAGGCCAGCAAGAGGACCTACCCTGCGAGCCGCCCTCAAGTGGCCTTGGCGGGCGGGGTTCAGAACCTGTTGGGCGCCAACATGCGCCCACACCCCTGTGTATAAACGAGCATACCAGGATCACCACCGTTTTTTCCGCTCCTTGCCGCCCTTTCCCACACCAACAGGAGCGAACAAGAGCGAGGCTCGTCCAAAGCTGAGTTGCGATCAGAAAGTGACTGATCACGGCCTCCAGTCGCCAGCTTCCCCAAGGGTCTTTGTGCATATCTCAGAGGCATGCATGCTGGCGCCGTCCGTCCAGTCAGCAAGAACGCCAAGACTTGTCGACCGCCCGGCACATCACTTGCGAGCTCAAGGTCTCGCAAATGATTGCCCGGGACTCGACCTTGCATACTGCAGTCCTCGTCAAGGGTTCATGCCGGCATGCGAACCGTTTCCCGTTTGCTTTTCGACGAGAAACAGAGGAGGTTGCAGTTGCCTCAGGTATCTACCAATGCACCCCTTTGCAAGGAAGGAGCGACCCATCATCCCCGAAGAGCTGTTTCCCTAACAACAATCTCTACACTGGAACACACCTGAGGTTCTTCATCGTCGCTCACACAAGACGGTACCCCAAACAGGCTCTCTTCGCCAGTAGCCACGGACCAGTAGCACGCGTCCGCCACCGCTAGCATGGACGGCCCAAAACATCAAGCCTATGGGGTTCCCCCACAAGGCGAGGAAGACCACGACGCCTTTCAGCAGGCTGCCGAAATTGCCCGCTGGTCCAAAGAGTTGCATCTCAATGAGAGGGCTGCCTCCGACCTGTACGACAAGAACCACGACCTGATCATGCAGTTTCTCGGGACGAATCCCACACTCTACGTTGAGCTTCTCAAGATTATTTGCGACAACAAGAACCTGAGGCGGGAAAAGGCACAGGGGATCTATGAGGACAAACTTACACAGTACATGCAGGGCCACAAAAAGGAGCCAGAGGACCCTGAAAAGAGCAACCAGCACGTCGAACCACATACATCTCCAGCACCCCCACCGGCCAGCATGCCCTCGTCTATCTCGGCCGTTCCACAAGACACTTCCAGATGCAACAGCATATTGCTAGACAGCATAGAAGTGGTCTCCCCAGCACCGTTGCCAGAGACTCGACCTGAAGACCTGGCCGACGCGGTGGCCGATGCGGCACCTATCAGCAAGGACCAGACGGCCAGGGAAAGCCAGCAGCCAGCTTCCACGCCAGCGGTTTCTGCCATCGCGCCGAGCGAGGCACCGCAAACAGCAGACGACAAACTACGCAGCGCTGCGTCATCGGCCTACAATCATACTGATGAGGCGCCGAAGGACATGAACTCAAATAAACGTCCTGCCTCCACCGAGCTCCAACAGCAGCCAGCAGCAAAGCGGCCGAAGGAGCACAGCAATCCGCAGGCTGTGCCAGCGAAGCCAGCTGGCGACCAAAATGGACAACCGGATCACAAGAAGAAGAAGAAGAAGAAGCACAGCCTCAAGGCGTCCCATGCTACACCACTGACAGATCGAACGATCACGTTCGACGAGGTAGCGAACAACCAGATGCACTACGACACCATCGTAGAATATCCTCCAGGATGTGGCAACTACTACATCTTGTTCTGCAAGGAGCATAGTGTTCATTTCAAGTACAAGTTGCCCATCGGTGGCGCTGCCAAACACCTGTTCAGCCCACTCCACGGCGAGCCTAAAAAAAGTTGGCCTCGTGCTGTCGAATTGTTAGGCTATCTTGTCACAGGTTGTAACGATCAGCTCAAAACCGAGCACAATCGCAAGGTCGAGAAAAAGTTCGAGTCAGGGCATATCCCCCAGAACCAAAGGTCAAAGTTCTTGCCGCCAAAGAAGCCGCCACAAGCGAAGCCGCCCGCGCCTCCAGCAGCCAAAGCACAGATGCAAACACCATCTACTCCCAAGCCTTCGGCTCCAGCCCCCGGTGACAGACCGAAGGACATCACGACACCGCCCTCGGCGTGGGCTAACGGCATATTTTACCCTAAGACGTTCCACATCTACCAGGCGAAATGGGGTACTGGAAATGGTGCTACTCATTATCCCGTCATGATCCTGGACTGGGATTCTCAGGCGGACAGCGGACTTGGCGGGACACTCAACGACACCCAGCTCCTCGACGCAGGGGGTGACCCGCCGGGTTGTTATCAATACGACCAGCCAGTCGAGAAGATCATCGGTTGGGAAGACGGATATGAGGATGGCGGCCCCAAGGTTGCGTCGCGCAAATTCCCCGTTCTCTTCTTCGATGCACAAAAGTCAGCCGCATGGATATTCGGCCGCAGCTTGAAGAGGTATCCCCTCTACGAGGATCTGCAGGATCAAAAGGAGCGAAAGAAACAGCTCGAGGTCCGTAGATGGATCGCCCGCAGAGAGGGGTTCACTACATGGAAAGAACGTCAGACAGTACAACCAGGGGCAACATTCGATGAGGCTCGTCTTAACCTTCCCCAAGACGAGAGCTCTCCCCAGATTCCCTACACGCGATCGCCTTCCGTCGCTACGACTCTAGAGCAGTCTGTGCAGATAACTAACCCCGAGGAGGACGTCGATGGCGGTAGTGAAGCCATGGATATGGACGACTCGGACTCTAGTCTCGATTGCGAGACGTCCCAAGATGCAGAGCTAAAAAAACTGCTAGAGACGGCAGGCGAAATCCCAGGAGATCAGGACTACACCGATTCGCAGGAAACGGCCGATCCTGACCTCGACATGGCGGACACGGCCTCGCCCTCGAAGGCCTATCGGAAGTCATTTATCTCGACCCGCAGCACCGATAAGGGCGATACGGTACTTGTGACAGCCTCCTCTGGTCGACTGAGAGGCACACCCGCGAATGTGAGGTCTGGCATGTCCCAGGCTCAGGTACTCTCGGAAGAGGCATTACATATGCGACCAGCCTTGCTAGCCGAGGCCGCCCAGACTACTGGCACCGAGTTGCTCCAAAGACCGCAGACAAGTCCTTCAATCCAGGCGAGCCAGACTACGAGCCCAGCAAGCGTTCCAACATGTCTCCCGTCTGCGTCTGCGTTTACGCAGGGGGATAGCGCTTTGGACGAGGCTATATCAGAAGAGCCGATAACAAAGTCTCAGTCTCTTCGCGATAGCGCTGAGCCGGCTAGTAAGCCGGAAGACCTAGTGCTTCATTCAACTACAATCGATAAAGATTACACAGGTGCTGATGGTTTTACTGGCACGGCTGCAGCGGCAAAACCAGACGACGGACCTACGCCTGTAAGCGCCAGCAGCCCCAAGTCTGGTTTTGACGACACTGGCAGAGCTGCGGCGGCGCCACACATCCAGACGTCGGGGCTGCCGCAACCCCCCAGGTGGGACAGCATGTTGCGAGAAGCAGCGTCAGCAATATCAGCTGCAGCATCAGCGTCAGCATCAGCATCACCAGCGCCGTCTGCTACGGCACACCCGCATATCGAGTTTACCTTGCAACTCTACAGCCGCGGAACAACCTACTGGGAGAAGACTAGCGCCGACGTCCCGAGTATCAAGGTCGTAAGCGAGGGCGACGTACTAATGTCGGTAGACAGCGCTGTCGAGGTTGCAGTCCGGCCTAGTGTGATACGGACGTTTATGCGGCAGCCTTACGGGACGGACAACTACAAGATGGTGCTTGTGCCGGCCGAGAACAAGGAGGAGGCGATGCACCTGGTGTTTGGGTCTGGGCCGGGCAGCCAGGGAGAGAGTGGCAAGCGGCAGTCGCGGCGGTTTGTGCAGTGGATACAGCAGGTCAACCCGAGCCTGGAGGCGCTGGTCGAGTGACGCTCAGAAGAGGGAGAAAAGCCAGTTGTTGCGTTGCACATTGTTTCCTTGATAGCCAGATACCCCGATAGCAGTTTGTAAGACACGAATGCAGTGAGGTTGTTGGTAGTTGCAGCCAGAGGCCAGCTCGCAAAGTACACTACATGGTCGGCATGTGACGGACGCCCCGCATTCCTGGCTTGGCTGCCTGCGGGAGCTCTCTCCTCTCCCACCTTGCTGGGTCCTGACATTTTGACATCTGACGGTGGGCTCCGGTGAGTGGGGGCTGCCCGGCATCTCTCGCTCATGACATTTCTTCTGCCGTCCGGCTTCCGATTCATGTTGTGCAAAGATCCGAGCAACAACGACGGCGAAGAGACGGGCAACCTTGAACAGAGACCCTTCGGGAAAGTGTTGTTGTGCCGAGGACCTGCTGATCGACGGGCAAGGGAGCACGCCACACACACACACACACACACACACACAGACATCCATCTCGCTCTCTCATCTCCTCGTTGTCATTCCGGCTTCTTGTTCTGTCTTTTGCGACATTGTCACCACCTATTTCTCGAGAAGCAGGTCGACACCATCTGCGCGCTGCGACAAGGACAGGCGCGCTGCTGACTGCGCGACTCGACGCGTTGCGCCTGCGCGCGCACACGCACATGACCAGCAGCGGCATTGAGCTGGAGCAGCTCTGGTCAACAAGTCTGCCTTGATGGCTGCCATCGTGAGTCCAGTCCTGTCCTTGCATGGCAGTCTAGTGCTGCCTTGATCGCCGGCCAGCCCCAACCCAACCCACGTCATTGCTGCACCACGGCTCCCTCTCCAGATCCCCACTGCCCGACGACAGCACTGTACCAGCACACCTGCACAACATCCTTCCCTCCCTCCCTCCCCCCAAGGAATCCCCGTCCATCCCCAGACATAAAAGCCCCCTTCTTGTGCATTGCATGGAGCGACATTCGCCAGACTGACCCCTAGCCGCACGTCCCCCCGCGCCCGCAGGAGACTCCCTGGATGGACCACATGTCGACCCCAAATCCGACTCCCACGCAACTCCGACCTCGACGCCACCACCACACACAACTCGCATCATGACACGCCCACCTCGTCGTCGGCCGCGGCCGTCCTCCCCTACTACGCGCCGCCCACCTACGCCTCCTTCTCGCCCGCACACCTAGCCACCGCCTCCTCCGCCGCCAAACGCCGCTCCACCATCCTCGTCCACCAGAAGTCGCCTCTCCTGCTCGTCACCCCGCCCCAGGTCATCCGCGCCCTCGCCTACAGCCATCTCTTCCTCCTCCCGCTCAACAAGCTCGCGGGGCTGCTCACATGGACCACCGGCGACCCCTGGGAGAGCTTCCTCCTGCTCGTCGCCTTCTGGGCCGCCGTCCTCTATGGCGACATCCTCGTCCGCCTCGCGGGTCCCATCGTCACCGTCCTTGCCCTGATCGGCGGCATGTACAGCCGGCGCTACAGCCCCCTCTCGAGCAGCGGCTGGGCAGAGCACCCGAGCAACCTCAACAGCCACACCGGCGGCCTCGGCAGCAGTGGGAACACCAACAACAATAAGAGCAAGGGCGGCAAGAACAGCGCTGGCGGGGCCGGCGATCCCGCCAGCACGACGGGCCACACGCGCGCCGGCAGCGAGGCGACGAGCACGCGGCACCAGAAGACATTGGACGAGATCGTCGAGACTCTTAAGGTGTTCACGACGCGGTGCAATATCCTCCTGGAGCCCCTGCTCGAGATGACCGACTTCCTCTCGACCTCGCGCACAGCTACCAGCGCGACCACGCGCCCGGCGCTCACGACGCTGTTTGTCCGGCTGCTCGCCATCACGCCCCTCTGGATCGCCCTGATGCTCCCGCCCTGGCGCATCATCACCACCAAGCGCGTCGCGCTGATCGTCGGCACGATCCTGCTGTCCTGGCATTCCCCGCCCGCGCAGCGCCGCGGTGCGCCAGATCGCCGGCTGGATCACCGGGCTCGAGTTCGACCGGCCGACCATCGCCGCCACTTCCGCCGCCGCCAACGCCCATAACGGCTCCTCAACGTCGTTGTCATCGTCAAAGAAGCACCCCAGTAACGCCGCATCCGCGCTCACCGCGGCCCTCCAACGCGGGCGCCGGCGGCCACAGTCGAAAGACCCGGGCGTCCGGTTCACGTTCATCCTATACGAGAACCAGCGCCGCTGGGTCGCGCTAGGCTGGACGAGTAGCCTATTCACGTACGAGCGCGCCGCGTGGACGGACGAGCAGAACAACCCCCTGCCGTCCAAGGACGCGTTCGAGCTGCCCGAGGTCGAGGACGCGCCGGCCAAGTGGCGATGGGTGGAGGGGAGCCGGTGGCGCGTGGACGGCGTGCCGGACCCGGAGGTCACGGATTATGACACGGAGGCGGGCAAGATGGGATGGATCTACTATGACAACAAGGTACGTTTTATCACAATGTTATTTCTGCTGTGTATACAGGAAGCTATGTGATTACGAGATGCTGACTACGGTCTCGGCGAACAAACAGTGGCAGTTTGGCCGTCGCGGCCTCGACGGGTGGGGTCGCTGGACGCGCAGGAGGAAGTAGTACCGCGACGCCGAGCTCGTTGAGAAGACCGAGGACGACTACGCCGCGGAGGACCAGGCCCAAGCCGGCGCCGACAGCAGCAACAGCACGTCCGCGACGTCGCCTCCCCCGCCGGCGCTCCCGCCGCGGTCCAGCTCGGTCGGCCGGCGGCGGTCGTCTGCGGCACAGCACGGGCCCGACGGGGCCGGGGAGTGTCGTCGTCGCTGCCGAACCAGGGCTCCGGCTCGCTGGCGTCCTCGCCCGAGGTAGAGAGGTCCAAGACGTTCCATCATAATGATAGCAACAACGATGCAGCGGGGAGTAGTACAGCCTCGACAAAGTCGCGCTTCCGCTTCCCCACGCCGACGTTGCGCAGGCGGGCCACGGGCGGCAGCGTGTCGAATCACCAGCAGCAGTCCTCCACATCCTCCCACACCAATGATAACAGCACCGGCACCGGCAGCGGGAGCGGTGGGAAAGGTAGTGGGAACAGCAGCAGCAGCAGGCCGCGGCGCACTAGCAACGCGAGCAGCCTGGGCCGGACGGAGCGGGACTACACGGACGACGACAGCGGGTTCGGCAGCCTCACGCCCGCGCTGGAGTTCGAGATCCAGGGCCACCACAAGGAGCTCGGGAGCTGGGGCGTCGGCGACGACGTGCAGATGGGGCTGGAGTAGGTTTTTGTGGTGAACCTGAGCACTTGGGATTCGTTTCATCTGGCACAGGGGAGCTGGTTTCTGAATTATTGGAATGGGAGATACCATCTTCGTTTAATATCACATCGCTCGTTGTTCTTTGGCTCACTGCCTTTGCCTTTTTTTTTTTCGTCTGGTTAATCGATGAAAGAAATTGCTGTTACCGTTCTGCTCGTGTTGGTGTTTGTCCTGTCACGTTGGCCGGTTATACGGGCTTGGCTGACTGGAGGGCTGGCTGGCTGATAGATACTTCCTCGTGGTGTGCGCGAGACGTTGGTCGCTATTGTAACCATCTTGGGGAGTCTCACTCAGTGTGGGGAAGTAGAATCACGTGTAACAACATGCCGCTCGACTACGTGGAGAATGCGCTCGCTCGGGGGACAAGGCGCGGCCGCCCACTGAATTAATATTTTCTATCTTTGCCTCGTTCTGTTTCATTTAGTTGTATATATTATAGCCTGGTGTACATACCGCGGCGTGTATCTACTCTGTAAAGTACGCAAGATCCGACACCATGACACATTCACGCTGCCTTCATGGGCGCCCAGTTGGCCAGCCACTCCCGCACCCGGTCCAGCGCGTCAACCCCCTCAGCCTCGCACGCCGCGACGCACCACTCGAGATCCCACCCGCCCTCGGCGGCGAGCATCTCGGCGACCGCGTGGCGCCGCTGGTTCGCCTCGTCGACGCAGAAGAACATGGGCACGTGCGGCTGCCGGATGTTCTCTACGAGCGGGCGTATGACGGGCAGCACCGCGGCCACGCCGCTGCCGCCGGTCTTGGGGAGGGGCTCGGCGCCGAGGTTGTGCCGCCCCGTTTGCACCACTCGTTGCGGCACCAGCGCTTCCCGCAGCCCGTGGTGAGCTGGGTGAGATAGCGCCGCTCAATGCGCCGCCGGAGCGCTTTGCCCTCCGGGTCGTGCAGGCTGACGTACATCTAGAGGCCACCATGCGCGGCTACCTCAACTCGAGCTGCCGAACACGGCTATACTGTGCCGAGACCATTGCTCACTACTGCTGCCATGCAGCAATAGCCATAGTCGGCGGTGGAAACCACTGATGCGTAGTGTGGTGAATTGTCTTGCCATCATCAGCGCCGTGCTCTTCGGCCTGGGTATACACTGTTGGTCTTGAATGGCTGCTTATTTGGAATTATGCTCTAAGTGTGCAGAATGTCTCCTTATTTGATGAGGCTCTCACTGTGAACTACTGCCCCGTGCCTCGTACCTTTACAACGTCTGATCTCGTACTTTAGCGTCAATACTTGTCTGTCTGATAGTCCCATCAGAGGTAAACTTTCTGCTTTGTTAGATGCGCGGTTGTCTAAGTGTGTTTAGTGTCGCTATGTACGGCAGCCGCCGGCACCATCTCCAATGCTTAGTATTCAGGAAAGGGATTAGCAAGGCGGGCGGGTGAGGCAATTCGACGAAGGCGTTGGGACCTTTGGAGACAGCGTGGCAGGTACGAGGAGGGGCAGGCCGCAAGTCGGGTTATTTTGTTCAGACTAATAGTGTAGACCACAATTTGCACTGTTGGTTTGGTTTGGCCATAATGAACAGACGAACAAGTTCAGTTTGCGTTTCTCAGGCAGCCTGATAGTTTCGTTTGGCCAAGTCAGGCGGACTGGCAGTTTAGTGTGGCCAAGTCAAACGGACTAACGACGCTGCAATAACCAAATCAAACATCCAGGCAGGCTTCAGAGCGACAGGCCTAGTACCGTACGACCTAAATTATGTAATTTCGCAGCTAGATATGAAGTTTCATACGCCGACACCTCCTGGGTCCTCTGCTGGCCTGCCACCACCATGGGTCTCGAAGACGCCAAATAACCGGATTGAGGCCGAATCGCAGACGGAATACATTAAAAACCGCATCGTACGACATCAAGGTAGCTCTCCTTCGTCAATTATTGCAAGCTTACAGCAGCTGAACAAAGGAATCTCGTTGATGGTGCATGAGCAGACGCTTATGCGCCACGACCTGGCCGAGCTTCGAGATGCAAATGACCGCCTCAGCCGCCGTCGTCGTACGAAGAAAAAGCAGTTACAGAAAGGAGGATCCCTTACGATTAGCCAGGCAGAAGAGGATTCTGAATAGTTTCAATTGATTTAAGGCGTTGTGGTTGATTTAACTTATACATTGTTGTACGAGTACCTAAATGGTGGCCGGGTTGCTTGTGTGGCCGGGTTGCTTGTGGATTACGTTAAGTTTTCTATGGATACATTTGGACATACTGCGCTCCGATATACCCACCCTTGTCTGCTGACCTAATGAGATGTTTACGTAATCATTGGGATGCGTCTGCTCCGCGTGCATAACCTGCCCTTGTCCGTGGCCCGATCTTGCGACCTATTGGTCGGGTTGTCACAGTTGCATACTCCTGTCACGATCCGGCCTCTAGGGTCAGCCAGAGCACCGGGCTTCGGGGTTGCTGTCCTGAAAGTAGGTAAAGCTCTTGCAATATCACAACTGTCGAATATCGTTCGTCTCTTGGTGTTGGCCGTGTCTCTTGGAAGAGATACCACTCTCGTCAATTGAGTGACTGGTTCAAGTGATGGGTGAGAATGATACTTAGATTGATCGCTGAAGTACAAAGGTAAGGACTGTCTGTCTAGGAAATCCTCCAGGCTATATACGTCTTTGTCCTTCATCGTCTCGTCGTCCTCGCGACGCCTCCCGGTCGCGTTGCGACAGCACGGTGTCGCTGGCAGATAGTATGGTGTCGCAAGCCGACTGCCAAGCGTCGGCTTGTGCCTTGTCCCCGCTTTTATGACTAAGCTGGTTCCCTTAGGTAATCGCCCTGAACCCTCCGCATGTCTGCCCTTGTCCATGGCCCGATCATGCAGCCTTGTCTGTCCTGCTCCCGCAGCCCAGACAACCCCTTGTTGGTTCCGGTCGTCACAACTCCGTCCAGTCGCTCCAGGGAAACGAGCTTCCCCAAACCGATATCCGGACGTTTCATCTAATCGTGGTTAGAGCTCCAGATGGGATCTTAAGCTGTATTTCTATCAGCCATCAGGTGCCACCGAACAACTCACTGGCACAGTGGTGATTTATGATCGGGTATCTCTTGGTTCAACTGCTTCCGCCACGGACTGCTACGCCTTACCGTGTGCCCTACGCAGATTGTGTGAGTGGTGTGAAGATACGTACTCTGTGGCCTGGAAAGATTTGTTACACGACAACGAATACCATTTTTGGCCTTCACTGGCTGGCGATGGGAACAATACTCAAAGTGGCTGGCCATTTCACTGTCCATCATAACTAAGCAACTTCCGGGACAACGAAAACGCTAGAGAGGCCGCCTCCTACGACTGCTACGTTTTGTGACAAGCTTCTCAATGGGGAATCGACTTAGTAATTTGGCTAGGCCTTTAATTAGACTTAGCTGCTGGCTTATGCTATATATTACGTAGCTATGTGAGCTTGACCCAGATCGTATCATAGGTAAATGCAAAAGAATTAAGTATGGGAGATACTAGCTACCCTTAAGTATGAAAGATGAATAAAAATCACTCTCCCAGATAGTTCCTGTGGCTCGCTTTGTGAGGATGTAATAAATGGGGCGAAGAGTCTCGCTACTTATGATCGTATAACGTTGCGAGCGCATATTATTGTAGCTATACTATAATGCGGATGGCATGCCCCGACGAACAGCCAATGAAGATCATTGAGCCTCGTACGGCTGACGATGTTGGTCTGTACTCGATAGGGAGCCATATGATCTTTTAACCCTCTTTTATAATCTACCTTTTCCCAGGCTAAGGCTAAGACTAGAGGTATCTGGAGCTAAGACCATTCATTCCCTTCGGCGATAGCGATTCGCCTGTTAAAGAGTTTGTAAGTGCATCGATGGCTCCAAAATCGGTAATAACGATGTGCTGGATGATGTGCCGAAAGCAAGACTTTCAGTAAGGCCTAGCGGGAGTGTCTGGAGTTGCGTGCCCGTTACCATGTTCCAGAGGCGCACTGTCTTGTCCTTTGACGCTGAGGCTGCCAACTGACCGTCTGGCAAGAAGGCTAATGCCTTTACCACGTCACCGTGGCCCTCGAGGGTCTGCTGGTGCGCGCCTGTTGCGGTGTTGCAGAGCCGGTGTACCGTCTTATCCCATGAGGCCGAAGCTATAACTCTGCCAGTCCCTGGAGGACGTCATTGGTGTCAAACTCGATTCCGCGCCTAACACTTACCCGCCAGAGCCTGTCGGCTTCAGCGTCGACATCGATGGTATGAGCATCGTGGACAAGGTTAGCTTGAGAGATAGATTCGACGCCTTAAGACTGACAGCAGACTCTGGAAATCCCAACCACATTTAAATCTGGACGACTCGTCCCGTTGGAAATAAAAATAATGGCTGAGCGACATCGATCTGTTGCAGAAGAGTAGAATCGTCACAGGGTGTCAGTGGTGTGTGTAGCTGCTTGCATCCAAATTCTCATTCGTTATTTGCTTTGTGCCTCTTCGAGCCTATGGAGGTGCCTGCATCACGTCGGCTTGCATGACGTGTCAGAATGTCTGTCTCACTCGAGGTAGTTAACCTGCGAAGTGACAACCGCAGCCCCGCCAGCCCGTGCTCTGCTTCGCAGGCTGCAGCCAAACAAGGGCTCGAGATTGCACCGCCTGGTTCGAAAGAGGTATATGAACTGGCTCTTTCCTAATCTAGACTTAACTCCCTAGCCTTCCTCAAGATGTAATCATGAATGACCTGGTCCTTGCAAGTGCCATGCCGCAGGATCTCCGTCTTGAGAACGAGGGTCGTATCGCGTAATTCCTTGACGTGGGCGTTTAGGATATTGTTCTTCTTAGAGAGCTGTTTCTCTGTCTCCTGAAGCTTTGTAATTTCACACTTCGTCTTGTTGCGATACTTGGTCGCAGCTCTTCGGTTCTTCTCGCGTATCGTCTTCTTCTTATTACGGCTTGGAAGGGCCGTTGTATCTGACGGCGTAGACTGCGACGCGAAGCTTGCCGTTATATCTGGCGACTTTGTGCTGTGCAAGTGAATCTCGCTATGCCTGCGTTTCGTGCCGGCGAGCTGCGGTATCTCCGAGCTGTGTTGCTGCTGAAGGTGGTGGTAGCTATGGCACCTAAGTGCTGACGACAAAGGCTCCGGCGTAATTCCCCTAGGGTTAGTATGTATCGACGCGGTGGTAATGTCGGAAAAGGTGGTAAGATCGCTGGGTAGGGACGTTAGCCACGAGTGTATGCTCGAGGCGTTGTCGTCTAGAGCAGTATTCGAAATTTGGGAGGCGATCATGGTGCCGAAGGGCATTGCGTCGTATGGCTGCAAGGGCATATTGTACATCTCGGGCCCAAGGTCCATAATAAAGCCGTCGTCTGTCGCAGATAAAGGGGCGTCCAAATGGCTGGAGTTGCCATCAAGGACCATCCAGGTCGAGGTGGGTTGGCAAGGTACGGCTTGTCAGTGCGTGAGTGTAGCAACAACGCGCAGCCGGACAGGTAAGCAACGCTGGCCGGCCGTGACGTGATTATGACGACAGCGCGAGTGGGGAAAGCACAGGAACTGCCTGCTTGAAAATGCAGCCACGGCAATCTCCGTGCGCGTTGATCTGGGGGTGAAACGGCAGGAGCGGGGTGCAAGTGGCTGGTTAGGTTAGAGTCTTCGGCGGGCCCGCTCCGCTAGGGGGTTTATCAGGGCAATACCCACGAGCCCTATGGGCAACAGCCACAGCGCTATAAAGCAGTCTAGTCAAGGACTCGGGCCCATGTCGTACTCCAAAGCTTTGGTACTTCTTGGTGTTGTATTTCCACGATCACCGAGGCTCATCGTGCTACACAATTTTTGTGCTCGTGTACATCATGCGCAGCTATATACAAATCACTACATGTACGCTTAATACGCCCTTATGGCTGTTTGTGTGTACAATGCGCCATGGCGCATGCAGCAAAGCTATTTTTAGCGCAACTCACAAGGGCAGCAAGCTATAAGAGAGCATGTACTGTATGCGGGTGTCCGGGCCGAAATGCAGCTGGTATAGGAGGTCGAGCCGTGCTCGTTATAGCGTAGGTTCGAGTCGATGTCGGTACCCCGACGGATGCGCCGGACGATCTTAGCTACCCCGGTCTCGCGCTTAACTGTAAGGGCGTCAAAGAGTGTCTTATAGGTATCCCTTTAGCTCTCTATATCCGTGTGCTTACGCTTAACCGTGATATAGCGCCGCTTGCTAGGCGCTATATTATACACATACCTTTGCTGACTAGCGGTATAGCCCGAGCACGACGGTTATAGATGATCGCTCTATCGGCCGTAAGGAGTACGTTATTAAGCTGCTTTTTATATAGCCTGTAACGCTGTATATATCGTGCGGTTACCTTAGACTAGCGCGTATAGTAGGTATTATATACGGCGGTAACGTATTGTGACGACCCAAGCCAACACGTCGATTGTTTGGGCTGCAGGCAGACAGACAAGGTCGCAGGATCGGGCCAGGGACAAGGGCAGGTCATGCGGAAGGCAGGATTACATAAGGAACCTCATGACTCAGCAGGTAGGGAGCGGTGCCAAGACTTGGGAGAATGGCACCGCACTACAACGGCACGGCGCCGCACCACCATGGTGCGGCACCGCGCACGACTCCAAGGGGACGTCGCAGGAACGCCCTGGAGCTGGAGGACAAAGGATATATAGGGTGGAGGATTCCCATAGCCACAGTCATTACCTTTGTACTTCAGCGATCAATATAAGTATCATTCTCACACATCACTTGAACCAGTCACTCAATCGACGAGAGCGGTATCTCTTCCCAGAAACACGGCAAACCCAAGAGACGAACGATATTCGACAGTTGTGATATTGCGACAGCTTCACCTACTTCTAGGACAGCAATCCCGAAGCCCAGTGCTCTGACTGACCCAGGGACTGGATTGTGACACTCGGCTGGGTAGGAGACTAAATTAATTACGTATAGGCCACGAGTAGTAAGGTCTCGTAAGGGCTGTTCTGTGAAGGGTAAGGTGCGGGAGTAGGGTAGTAAGAGTAAAGGGGTATCCTATATATCCGGAGTTTCTAGTCTAAGCTACTAGCCGACTAAAGAATGTTGTTCTAGAAACCCTTAAGCTTGTTAAAGTAGGTACTATACCCGTTTCATCTTTGCGACGTTTCGTTCAAATAACGTTCCTGCGCTCGAGAGAGCTCAGAATAAGTGATTTCAATAGTGGTAAACGTACTCCACAAGTGGGTGGATCACCCAAGTAGATGGATCAGCCCCCCGCCATTTGCGTACGGGTATTCTTCCTTCATCATTTTCTCAACTTCTAGTGATGGGACGACAATCAATCGAAAGTGACCTGGTTCTCGCACTTCGTGCGCTTCAATCGAACCCAAAATTAAGCCTACGTAAGGCTGCACAGATCTACAATGTACCCTTCTCAACCCTTCGACGACGACACTACGGCCGACCTTCGCAACGAGATACTAGACCACCCTGTAAGAAACTGACCTCTTACGAAGAGGACAGCATTGTACGATACGTAATCGACCTAGATTCGCGATCGTTTCCACCGCGCCTTCGTGGTGTTCGAGAAATGGCGGATCGACTCCTTACCAAACGCGACGCGCCGCGCGTCGGAAAGAACTGGACTACAAACTTCGTACGACGACGACCTGAGCTCCGTACGCGTTTCAATCGAAGAATCGACTATAAGAGAGTCCTCTGCGAAGATCCAGACGCGTATCGCGCGTGGTTTTCACTCGTACGGAACGTAATCGCGAAATACGGTATCCACGATAACGACATCTACAACTTCGATGAGACAGGCTTCGCGATGGGTAAGATCTCCGCCGAGACTGTCGTTACAACCTCCGATCGACGCGGAAGGCCTAGAGCCGTACAACAAGGGAATCAGGAATGGGTTACAGCTATCCAGTGCATTGGGTCGTCCGGCAATTCGATCCCGCCGTACATTATCTTCGCAGGCAAGGTCCACCTCGACTCCTGGACGTCCGACAGCCCTCTACCGCCCGACTGGGTAATCGCACTCTCTGAAAATGGGTGGACAACGAACGAGCGAGGTCTAGAATGGGCGAAACACTTCGATTTGCATACAAAGAGTCGTACAAAGGGTGCTTTCCGGCTCCTAATCCTCGACGGCCACGAGAGCCACCATTCGACCGATTTCGAGCTATTCTGCAAGCAGCAGAGTATTATAACGCTCTGTATGCCTGCTTACTCGTCGTATAAGCTCCAGCCTCTTAATGTCGGGTGCTTTAGGCCTCTGAAACGGGCGTACGGCAAAGAAATCGAGGGTCTCATGCGGGCGTATATTACGCACATCGCAAAGGAGGACTTCCTCCCAGCCTTTTACAAGGCGCACAATGCTGCAATGGCCAAGTCAAACGTCCAAGCAGGCTTTCGAGCGACTGGCCTAGTACCGTATAACCCGGATTATGTGATTTCACAGCTAGATGTGAAGCTTCGGACGCCAACACCGCCTAGGTCCTCTACCGGCTTACCGCTACCCTGGGTCTCGAAGACGCTAAACAACCCGATCGAGGCGGAATCACAGACTGAATATATCAAGAATCGCATCGCTCGACATCAAAGTAGCTCTCCATCATCAGTGATTGCAAGCCTGCAGCAACTGAAGAAGGGGATGGTGATGATGGTACATAAACAGACCCTTATGGAGAGCGACCTAGCCGAGCTTCGAGATGCAAATGACCGCCTTAGCCGCCGTCGCCGTACAAAAAGAAGACAATTACAGAAAGGAGGGTCCCTAACTATTAGTCAGGCAAAGGACTTGAAGGATCAAATTGATGCGACGCAGCAGTTACAGGTAGAAACGAGTCAAAATGGTAGTCGGGCGAGGAGGACAGAAACGCGTGCACGACGCTGTGGTGTCTGCGGTGAGCCCGGCCATAATGCGCGTACTTGTCAGAAAGTTGAGTCTACCTCTGAAGAAGAGGATTCCGAATAGTTTTGATCAATTTGAGGCGTTGTGGTTGAAATAACTTAGACACCATCTCACGAGTGCCCGAAGACTGATCCATCCACTTGGGTGATCCACCCACTTATGGAGTACGTTAACTGATAGTTGTCTGTCTAAATGGAACAGCTGTAAAAGAGTGACTGCGAGCACTGAAACTCGGTTTATATACTCTAAAGGGCTCTAAATGCTTACTCATCGGTGCTATGTGAGCACCGGTACCTTACCTGCTCAATGTTACAATCTTGTTACCGTAGCCGACTTGCCTGATAGCATCAGAGTGTCCAAATGTCTGCCTTTCTTACCAATGCACAAAGATTCATTGCTAGCTGTCTCTCATATGTCGGTATTACACCCCTCCAAATTTGTGTCCAGCAACCATGTTTGCACCAAAATAAAGCGTCGCCCACTCAATTCAGCGCTCCGAAATGGATCACAGTCGAGCCCAGCATAGAACAGGATCGAAGCCACTGCCACCAGACGCTCAAGGGCCATCAAGATTAGGTTAATGCAGTGACGTTCTCGCGCGACGGGGGCACTCTCGCGTCGCTCGGGCGCCAGTCACGGTTGTCAAATAGCAACATTACAACGCTTGCAGGGCCGCTCCAGGACAAAGGCTGGCATATCTCACCTGGAGCGCCTGATGAGATCCGGGGCCAGTCGCAGCTGTTGAACAGCGCTGCTACAGTGCTTGTAAGACTCCTCCAGGCTGAAGATGAGGCTGTCCAATCCAGGGCCGCTAAAGCGCTCGGTATTGTTGACGTCGCTGCGGCATTCTTCCGGGCGGCGGGCGATGCATTTATGCGGGCTGATATAATCTGTTTGGTTAACGTAAGCAGACAGATCTGTCAGTCTAGTGGGAGCCCTGTACCCTTGGCAATTCCCCTCGCTTCCCAAGTCACAACCAGCCGAGCGTGAGTACCCGAAACTTGCCGGAACCCTGGGACTTGGAGTCTTGGGCGTCGCAGCCGGAGCTCATGGTGTCTGGATCGAATACGAGGGAATTTCCCGATGTGGGGCGGAGCCTTGATTCGCTGAATGTCCCACCTACACGGGAGTGATGAAATTGAAACCACTGCAGGTCTGGTGCACAGTAAAAGTGAAGCTCTCCCAATCATTGACTCACCGTTGGCTAGTGTCGTCAGAGGATCGTCACCGCAGGATCTGGTCTGCTTATAGAGAAACCTATTTGTTTGTTGCAGAAGTTCGTCAGATCTGTGTCAGAGGCGGAGTTAATGACTTCATGGAGACGCCGAAGTGGACCCTCCGCAGGTCGCTACTCTAGCTTAAATAACTGCCTCTTCACCATCAGTTCGTTTATCCTTTACGCAATACTCATCGTCAACATCAGCCCCACTGACAAAACCCAAGCGTCAACCCAACCGAACACTACATTGCAACCAACGCCGCCCAGCCAGCAACATCAGATTCATCTCAGCATGTCATCCAACGATAACCCTAGTAACTTCGCCAACCGGTATGACCCCCCAGCGCCCCGCCACGGACGCCGTGATGATTTCGCTCATAAGAGACAGTCCTACCGAAGAGGTCAAGGAGATAGCATCTAAGGGTGGCCAGGCCTCCCACAGCGGTGGTTTCGCGAGCATGGATCCAGACAAACAGGTACCTTGCTATCTCTTTTCCTGGGCAAATTCACCGTACCATCGCGCTCCCCTGTGCCACCCTAGCTAACATGAGGGTGAAAACAGCGCGAAATCGCCTCGAAGGGCGGTCAGGCCTCGTCAGGCAAATTCGAGCCCGGCAGTGAGCGAGCGTCCGAGGCAGGCAAGAAAGGTGGTTCCAAGTAGGCATTGACTCTCACAAGACGTATTGATTGTGACGAGTGGATACACTGCTGCTGCGGGAGGGAATCAGGGCGAGCTGAGGTACGAGACTTTTGTGGTCGAGCTGGAAGTTTGCTGTTTTACTGCTTATCTACCTGAAGGTAGGAGAGTTGGTAGAACAAACATACAGCGCCATAGGCCCGTAACACTAGGTATCTGTTGTTAAGACTTGACCCTGTTGCACGCTATTTCTCTCCCTCTCATGCTGGGCATTATATGGTCGGCGTGCTCTGAATAATGAAAAATTTGGTTGTATATTAGGCATCCCAGCCTGCCAATTGAAGACAGGAAGCCGTCACGAGATGTTATAACGAGGCAGATAGAAGTACCCGGATTAAACTACTCTTCATTGCGACAGGAGATTGCTAAGCATCTACTTCATCTATGGTGTTTATAGCTCCTGCCCGTGAATTGCTCATGGCAGCTCTCAAAAGTGACCCCTCCGACGCATACGGCGAATGACTCGCGGCACTATCATGCGACTAGATTTTCTCATCCGACGGCTCCTGGTACGTTCCCTTCGGCGGCGCACCTCGGATACGGTCTTTGATAATATTGGAATTATCGAGAACTTCCTTCTCATCCTGTTCTATAAGCACTTATGGTGTCAGTAAACATTCCAAGTCTAGTAAGCATAAATACGTTTGTTGACTGATAGATGCATATGCTGTGAAGGAAAGCAATGCTTGCCGAGTTGCTCGTCTGAGTTGGCCTTCTCAGGCCGACTGGGATCCTCGACCGGAGCGGTGTCGTCCTGAACAGGAATTGGTTCGCTCTTTCCGGTCGAGTACGAGGAATCGCTCACTTGGCCATCTGGCGCCTCCGGAGGGAGGGTGGCGCCTTCCTTGTCGTCGGTGTAAGCGTGAGCCACCTTGGACATGATGACTGGTGTGGCGATGCGATTAAAGCTGAATGCGAAGTGTTGTAGTTGCGGTAGTGCGCCTTGCCGACCGAGCTCAAGTATTCCCCATTGCACAAAAGATGGACTGGGCTTCAGTTAGCAGCTCTTATGCTTTCGAGGCCTCGGCTGCAACGCAATACAGTGGGATTACATGTTGATGACCCGGAGTGACGGCTATGTCGGATCCTTGACGTCACCGCGAGACAGTAGGTATCTAGGGTATGAAGCGCCCCATCTATTGACGAGAAAAGCATTAGATCGAGACCTACGCTCAATGATGACTCCACCGTCACGGAATGATGACTTCATCGACACGGAATGGTGACTCCATCGTCACGATCCCACAGTGGGCCTGCCGCAGTCAGAAGCAAATATCTGAGAGCAGCGCGAGCCCCATCATCATACCACCACCGTCAAGTCCGACAACGGCAACCTTGCCATAACATCTGACGCATCCAGCCACAATAGTAATGTAGCAACTACATCAGTCGCCGAACAACCGTCGGATGCAGGGAAATTGCATTCCACACCCCCAGTACGACGGCTCGCTACCTCAGAGCCCCATGGTGAATTATCCCGGAGCGGACACAGTGGTATTTCCTCCGCCAGGTCCATCGTTCGTTCTGTTGACGTAATAACTACGTAATATTCTTGATGATGATCTGTGATGTTGTGGTTCACTTTGGACCTAAGTGTACATGTGCGGCCTAGGTTTTCCTCTTGCCCCTGTATATATAGACACCAACCAAAACTTTTTGGATCTGGATGACCGTCCACCGAAGATACACCTATCCGAACGCCGTCATGTCCCATCAACAGCGCGACATCAAGAAGGATGCTGCCTTGGAAGGCATGCATGATACCCCAGAGGAACGCAGCAACCAGGCGCGAGGCCACAAGGCCAATCTGAGCAATCCAAGTGCGTGTTATCCGCTCATCGGGATTTTGTTTGGTCTGCTAACCTGAGAGGAAAGATACAAGTGAGAAATCTAAGGAAAAGTCGAAGGAGGCGCTGAAGGATCTGGGAGGGGAGGAAGCCTTCTACAGCAAGGACTCGGACAAGTAAACGGCATGTGAATAGACGTATGCATGCCGCCCAAATCCGGAGGTATGCTGCGGAACGGAACCGGGCGCATTGAAGAGTCGATGAGGCTCAATTCCTAGACCAGGGGATGTACGTAGGAATCTGCGCGAAAGTATACGTTCAGTCGTCCCGTGGGCCAGTACACAGTGTTGGTTCAAGTAACCTGCTGCCTTCTCAATCTCCTGCAAGAGCGTATTCTACCGTATTGTGTCGTCGCTGCTGTCAGCTTGGAGGACATGCCATCGCAGGACATGCCATCGCCGTTTTGGGGCCGCCTCCCCGCTACCAGACTCTATCGAGCAGATGGCCTTAAACTTCTACAGGCCCAGGCTCTCATTGGATATACGCGATAGCACATGAGGGGACCCACCCTCCCAAAAATATCGAAAAGTTATTCCGACATTTGAGCTACGTTATATAAATTTCCTTCCCAATAATCGCTGAAGACCACAGACCACAATAGTATCGGTACGAGTAGTCAAATGGAGTATACTCGAAACGCGAAGCTCTGCTCGCCGTGTTATGGCCTAACCTTCGTTATGCTTCGGGACGGCTAACACATCCGCAATCGTATCCAACAACCCTCTCCTCAGGCAGAACATGCCGGCTATGCAGATTGATGATCTGCTCAATAAGCAGGCTTCAGGCCATGACAAGCTGCTACGAGTTAGAGAAAACATATAATTCCGCGGCAGACGAATTGTTGCAGCTGCCAACCGTGGGACGACACCTCGGAGAACTTTAACCCTTTTTGCGTACCGGGCGAGTCTCGTTATTCTCGCGCATTACGTGTCAGCTAAATAACAGCAATTTCTGCAACGTTTCTTTGGCGCTTTTCGTGAATGCCTCCATGTCAGAGAACTTCAACCCCTCGTTTGAATCAAACACCTCAACCGACAACCATCCCCTAGAATCCGTGTTTAGAACAGCCCTCAACACGTCGTGTACTGGCAAATAGCCCCCGTCGAAAGGCAGAGGTCTGTGGTCCTGACTCCATCTGAACCGAGACAATGACGCTTGACTATCCCTGGATTCCTTGATTGGCGGGTCCATCCTGTACGCATCCGATAGCTGTACGAGGAATATCTTCTCTGCAGGAACCGTTGCCGTCAGTTGTCGGAGGCTCGCTCTACAGCGAGATTCCAGTTCAGCCCTGCAGATATCCTCGATCAACCCCGTTCTGGTTGTTGGGTCTCCAAACTCCCCGCCCAAAATCTGAAAGGTGTCCAAACATATCCCTAGGTTTGGCTTGTCTGCATTCTTCACGATCTCCCATGCTGCTTTCCAAGTCCGGGTTCGCGTCGCCCAGCATCGGTTTTCGTATGCGACGCGGAACCCTTCCTCGGCGCACATGTCAGCGAGCTTCGCAACGTCTGCGGCTAGATCGTCGACCGAAGGCGATATCTCTTCAGCATCTGACGACGCCAGCTTCTGTCCTGTCAGCGGCCTATCTCATGCTTCTAGCAGTAGAAGATCGCTCACCTGCAGCATGTCTGTCCCGAGGGCTTCCATCACCATCAACCATCCTCGTGCCCTTGCAAAGGCATCTTCTCTTTCACTATCCTGGAGGCCTAACTTCCATCCTTCGAAGTTCACAAACGGCTTCAACATAAGGATCCCGACTCCGACTTCCTCCGCTAGAGCCTTAACAGCCCTAGCGACTTCGACAATGGTGTCGTAGTCACTCGCATCCGGTTCCTCGCCGTTCAAGACCTTGCCGTATGCTAACAGATCCGGCATGGCCAATTCGACCGCGTCGAATCCTGCGCTGCAAATGACCTTTAACTTCTCAGGCAGGGCTGGGTGAGAATATGATCCGATGCTGCAGTCGCAAAGGATATCGGAATCACCGCGTTGTTGTAGGGGTATTGAATGCCCATTTTAGCGTACGACGTGACTAGTGAAATCCAGGTTTGCTTGTCATATCTTGATGGCGTGTTCCGTACATGGTACGTTGAAACAAGGAGGTTCTTGTTGTTGCTGCCAGGTATGTCCATGACGTCAGCAAAGCGCCAAGCCCGGTGATGATTTCCATCTATGACGTTTGAGTGCTGGTAGCCACCGTACCTCACTTCTCCGGCTCCAATCCCCTTTCATCCAGTTGGTAGAGGCGCACAGGAGACGCAGTGGTCACAACGTTGATTGGCGGGGCCGACGCAGGTTGTCGACAACTACAGCAACAGACGCTCTACACTGACACCCTATCGAAAAGGGGATTGCCTGTACTGCAGTAGTGTTGTCAGTTGGCCATAATGAAGTCGGCGATCTGCCTTCACGCAAGGGTGATGTTTTCGGTATTGTTTCTTTCAGATGGCGTCATTCAATCCCAAGCATCTCCATCCTGTCACAACATTGCGAAGCCCGCCTCCTCCAGGAACTTGCCGCTAGGGAGTATCCGACGACCCTGCACAGGGACTGGCCAAAAAAGGGGGCTTTCAATGGAGGTGGCTGCGTCCCTGAGGGCCGTATTTGCTGTTGGGCCCGGCGCGTCGGCCAATGCGCGGGCGAGTTCGGCCCGGTTGCAGTTTAGGCCTTCCTCCATGACGTTGGCAGCAACGGAATTGAAGCTGGTGGTGAGTGGGTGCATCGTGAAGTCCGGGTCGGCAACGTCCTCGCCGCCGCCCTCGGCGGCCATGTCGACATTGATGTTCCACTCCTTGGCGAGGTAGCGGATGATGTCGACAGCCCGCCCAGCGAAGTCGTGGTGTGTGGCCATCTCGGTCAGATCGGCGATGCCGCGTTTGACAGATTCTACCACGCGGGTTCTCAGAGTCTGGCCTTCCGATAGTTTCTCAGTCGAGCCCGATTGGGATGATGATAGTGGGGAGGCGCCGATGAGAAGGTGCATGATAGAGCACTTGAGGGTAAGTAGGGCACGAAGCTAGGCGTTCTCCTCAGCGTGTACAGCTGAGAGTACGATGCAACAAGCCCTGGATAGCATCGGCTGCCTGGACGCACACATCCTTTGGGGATATGTTGGAGTTGACGATGCGGAGTTTGATGAATGGCTGGAAGAGGAGAAGAATGGAAAAATAATAGTACAGGCTGCCATGGGTCAGCGGAGGCCCGTCCTTTATCGGCCGCTTGAGGATTTGCGACACGCAAACAGGTACTTACTGCGCAAAAGTGACAGACGGCGTGAAGTTGTGTCCTAGCCTAAGAACCTCGGGAGTTTCGCCGTACCAGCTCAAATATTTTGTGTAAATCCCAAGTAGATCACGGCTAGTCACTGGCCGTCCTGGGGAATGTAGGACATGTAACGACTGGTGAACCAGCTCGCTGAGTTCGCAGAAGCATTTGTACACAGAATGTACGTTAGACTGCTGCGAAAAATGTAGCGAGGTCCCTTCGCTACCCGGGAGGATGGTGAGCTCAGAAGAACCAATGTCCTCAGTATAAGGCATCCAAGGCGCAGCTTCGACATAGTCAATTATTGGAGGCTTCGGCGGCAGATGCAGGAAACGAGAACACCGCGGTAAAGAGCCGGCCGTGAGTGACCACGCACTATATCTTGCTAGGGACAGAGAGCGTATTCCGTTCTGAAGAGACGAACTGTGGGGTGGAGGGACGAAAACAAAGCCACGTACTGTTCGAGGGCAAAGGCACCCCAGAAAGTGGCAGCTTGGACTGCTGTCTCATCTGATTCGTTGGCGGACATGCCCGTCCTGTGAAGGCCCATCTCGAAGGCGAGGTGGATGCTTTGCCCGGAATAATATCGACTCTCGGGATTTCGGCCACACCTTGCCTCTCTTAGACCCAAGATCCCCAGTGCCTGGATTGTGGTCAGCTGATGCTGATCTTCCTCCAAGTACAAGAGCCGCAAACACTCCTCGAAGAAGTGGTCCGCGTAAGTATTGTCTTGATCGGCGAAGCGACATCCAAGGGCGAGCAGGGCGTTTACGAGGATCGACGAACAGTACCGTTGTCGGCCGTCCCGAAAGTCTTTGAGAAAATGCTGCTTGCTTAGAGAAGCAAATGTGGGGTATTCCCAGCAAGTAGAGGGCCAGGAGGTGCTGGCCAAAGGCCGTGTCTGATGTAATATCGGTCCAGGCGCCCACCGACACCGTCATCTCAAGGCTTTCCGGCGCGAACGCCTGTTCCAGGCCGCGATAACAGCGTTGATCTTTGGTGGATAGGGCTTGGCCGATGCCAACGATCCGAGATGCAGCCGGAGCCTGATGTAAAACCGCCGTAGCCCAGGCTGTGACCTCGGAATCAGTTCTGTTCCTGCGAGCGTGCTCATCTCCTCTCATCCATTGCGTGTGCGCGGCGGCTGAACTGGCGCTGCCTGTTCCCTGAGACGAGGTTGGTTGCCACTCAACAAGAAAACCGATCTTGTCATCACCCATGAGCACTGGGCGGATAATGTGAGCCTCATATATGTCCCCTTGTGTCAGGTCGTCGTCTGCGAGTGACGCATCCTTCAAAGCTCGAATACCTCGATTGCCATAAGCTTTGTGAACAATCTGCCCCAGGACCATCCAAACTCCCTTGTCCACAAAGCTGCTGGGGGAGACTTCAGAGGGTGTTCATGCTATCCTTATGCTGATTTTTTCAGAGGCCACATCCCTGAGCAGATCAAAACCATCATACTCGAAGCTTTTCTCTGCAGGAACTCGCACGCGGAAGCGGGCACGATGTAGCTTGATGCGTTTCGGATCGTCTTGTGGGTAACTATCTTCGGATACTGATCGTTTCAGCGGACCACTGGTATCAGGTCGCATCTCGCTCCTGGGTCGGATAATCGGCGATGGGAGAAGGCCGGGTGACTGCCTTGGCAAGCTGAGCGCGGCGTTCCTCTGATTCAACGAGATGTTGCATGCTTGTTTGTCAGCGCAACGATTCATGCGTGATGCTGCTGGAAGACCTTGTTCGTACACAGTCTTAGATCTTGCATGAGTGAAGGGCTTGTGCTGGTCAGTCGAAGTCGAAGGGTTACTGGCAAAAGAGAATCCGGCTTGGGAGCTCAAGATACAACCATGCTCTTGGCTTGCCGAATTGGAGGCTAGACAGCAACCACCGATGACAGATAGTAGATGCGCTTGTAGGGTCATTGTGCCAGTAGGGTCAGTCGCGGCGCGTCGAAGTAAGTATCCTCGGAGACATTGCGCGAAGACTTATGAAGAACTGCTGAAAGTTAGCTGGAAAGTCAATCCTGTGTTCGTTGTGATACTGACTCTCACTGGGCCTGCGGATCAGGGATCTCCTTTCTCTCGCATCCTCGCAGTTAGCTGAGCCTGCCGTAGACAAGCTGCGATGCTCAGCATCACTGCTCGTGCTCGTTGGCGGCTCTGCTGCCTCGATGACATGACGTACGGCAGTGCCGCTCGGCAGCACTGGAGCAACAATCTGTGGAGTGGCGCTGAGAACTGATGTGCCGGTGGGCTCTGTCGTGTCAAAGGTGAAACCCTCATTGTGATCAAGAGAATCGTCGCCATGGCTAAGAGTCGTCCCCGCAGGCATGTTGGCGTGAAGATTGTCGAGACGTGCTTCTCACAAAGTCTCAACACCTAATTGATCGCCATTGGTTTGTTCTTGGGGGGTTAGGTCTAGGCCGAAGTCGAGTTGGGTTGGAAAGGCTTCCAACGCATCCATTGTGCAGGAGTCGCCACTGCTGGATTGCTGAACGTCGAGATTGAGGTCGAGCGGGACAGCTAGTCCATCCATTGCTAAAGAGTGAGTAGCTAAGACTGTAGGTAGTCGGAAGGAGCTATGACAAGTAATATAAGTCCTTGCATAAGATGATGGAAGGAAAGGGAGACGATGGCACCTCAAGGGGCGATGGTCGACCTTTATAGCCAGAGGAAGGACTGAGGGGCGCCTCACTGATGCGTGTGACTGCGCTAGATCGCAGAGTTTATGCGATAAGGCCCATTCTACCGGTCAAGACACAGAATGCACCCTGCCACGCCTTAGACAGGGAATTGAGCCGTCTCCATGGTGAGGTGTAGCTCACCATCGGGTGAGGAAGGCCCCAGAGTCCGACCAGATTACACTAAGCAGCGCCACGTCCAGAATTCTGCCCTTCTGGCGGTTCATGATAGGATACCGTCAAGAGAACCTGTTATACAAGCGCCTTGTGATGGGTGTTGGTCTGAATGTGTATTACTTGAGTGGCCATGCTCTGGGAAATCTCTCCCGTCCCGCTATAGGGCGAGACAAGATGGCGCATACAATCACCGACATACAAGTCCGAGAGATGAGGCGACCGGCGTCTCGTCATGGGCACCTGAGGAAAGCGAAGGCTCTCCTATCTTGGACCAGTCTTGCTGAGCGTCCATCGGCCTGGCCCGGGGTGTTGGGGATAGATCAAAGCTGACCCCCCTACTTCGCTCACGACAGACTTTCTCCATCCTCCTTCCGTGTACAGAAGCTTTTCACCAGTCCAGACGCCGGCGACAGTCAACCACCTTTCACAGAACAAGATAAGATCATGAAATCGACCGCAACGCCCATGTCAAAACATCGATTCCACACGACAAACGCTGAAGCCATGTCCCTCACGACAACGTCTCTGGTCAGTCCTCAACCCTGCACGTTATCGCGTCACTGAGATCTCAGCCCTAATGCAAGTGAACCTGACCAACAGTGGCTCAGTAGTAGCACAGCAGATGTTCCCACCGTTGTGATGAAAGGTTCCACGACTTTGCCTGATACCGCATCTCCATATCTTTGAGGTCCCGTTGATTGTGCACCCGAACGCGAGCGAGAAAGCCATCAAGAACACACGGTCATCGACCTGACCACTCAGGGCAGCATGTGTGGGAGCCCAGACCTGGGGGATGGTTCAGAGGTGCGATGCCCTAAACTCAGAAGACTCGAGTTCTGCGTGACGAGTGGTCGGCTGAAGGTGCATCAAAGCTCAAGCAGGATCAGTTGGCGTGAGACACACCGAAGTTGGGTTGATAGCAGAGGCAAAGTAGTGTTAGGCGTGGGCACTGGCAGTTTAACCTTGATCAAGATACTGGATGGAAGTGGCGCGTCTGTCAAGCTTCGGCAAGATATCTGCGGCTATTTTGTTGAGAGTCCGGAGACACAGCGCCTCATAACCATTGAGGCAGGCGTCTTGCAGGTTCAAGTGTCACAAAGGGTCAAATAAGGTGTCTGTTCTTTGCTACTGTTGAGATCTGGGCCAAGGCGAGGGATACTGATGTCTCCGGTGGTCAGACTAGAAAGTTGTTTACTTTGTTACTCTCAATAATCATGTGGTAAACATCAAAGAGGCATAAAGCTGCATCCACTATGTCCTGTTCATCCACCGAGTCTTATGAGCTGTCATCGTCCTCAGCAGTCAGCCAACAGAGGGAGCTAAGTAACGAACGTGGCGAGCTTCTGGATCTGGAGGCCGCTTGGGTCGTGCCTGGGACTGCGCGGGCCCGACATCATCAGGAAGGCCAAGGCCGTCGGTTGGTATCACCTGTTCAGCGATCTGGCGAACAAGAGCTTGTACTGACGTCATCCTGTTGAAGACATGTGCTGGCCACTGAGGGACCTTTGTGTCGGCAACGACATAGCCACCATCCAACTACCTTCAACTGCATGTCTTCGCCCGAACCTTGCTCCGTTGCAGCTTCATACCGTGGTCTCACATGGAGACATTGGCTCGACGTCACGGTCTGGGCCATACATCCGCTCCCCTGAACACGAGCTTACTGAGATTGGACGATGGCATGCGCCACGGGAGCGCCTTGGCGCTCTCCTGGGACTCCACACTGTGGGCGGATTCTCGACCGAAGCGCTAAGACTTACTTGAAAGAGGCAGAACAGTCCCCACGGCCTGGCGCTTCCGGGCGGACGGCCTGAACAGCCACCTTCACTGAAGGATTTGAGATATGATGATGGACAAGGCAACCTTTGTTGGATGTCTTGTCATTCGGCTGAAGCGCCGAGACTGTTTAGGGATCCTGGCGTCTCCGGGGTGCGACTCGACTCAAACCTGAAAGTGGTCAATCCTGGAGCAGTGCCCTGAGAATAGCGCGGGCTGCGATTGGTCAAGTGGCATCCCAGCTAAGCTCGGGCGCTTTTCAGGTTTTGGGAAATACATAGGCCGTGGCTGAGGCCCGAACTGCCATGGCTGCGTGCCTCATCAAAACATTGGATGCAATCTGCTTCACACTGCTGCGCGGTCATCGCCAGTACGTGAATAGCACCGGCCCGCGTTGCGTCGAACAGCACCACCATTGACCTTGCGCTCAGCCAGTATGCATGACGAGAGTGTCGAAGCGCGTGCCCTCAGCGAGAAACTCAGTGAGGTTCTGGGCGAAAGGCAGAGGGTGACGCGCACCCCATCAGTACCACTTTCTCCGAAGCCTGATTCTTACGCGCTGCATTGTCGAATCTTGCGCAAGGGACGCAGCAACCGGAGCATCGATCAACTCCGCAGCAAAATCACAGATCCGGGCTATTGGACCAAAGAAGGCGAAAGCCTTATCGCCGAACTCAGCCAGCGCCTTACCAAGAACCCGCGAAAAACAGTACAAACGTGCAAGAAACTCCTCCGTGAACTAAACGTCGACCCCATCGAGATACGGTTTGCAATCGAAGACCAAAGCTTACTGGGGGCGCGAGTATCTGGAGCTGCAACACCGAGAAGCCCGCACCAGCGACCGACGCAAGCAGACACCGAACCCCGCACGACCCAGCCACTCCATGCGCTTGCGGCCAAGACCGGGCCAGAGGCCTCGAAGGTCAACGTGACGGCCGATTGCCAGGCCCCCGCGCTTATGAGTGACCACCCCAAATTCGCCAAAATCTATATTTGAATCAGCACTCGCCCAATTCTCAAAGGAGGAACGCAACCAACACGATGGGTCTCCCTGACATCTTGCTGTGCTTCCGCGATTTCGAGCAGGACGAGGTTCCGGTCTCCCAGCAGGATCTGAGCTCTAACGCGAGCTTTGTTCTCGACATCTCAACACTCGATGAATCTCAACATGGCGCTCTGCAAGGTGCTCGCGAAAAGCAACTGCCGAATCCAACCTTTGCCCTACTGTGCAGGCAGAATATGTACTCGCCAGAGGGCTGGTTTTTCGGATTGTGACCGAAACAGAGCAATGCGACTTTCAAATTGCCCCTGATAATGCATCGGGTGTGAGCAGCCGGCATTTCCTGATCGACATCGACCCGCAGGAGGCACAACCAAGGATCACCGTTCATTCTGCCCGCAACGCGGTTCGCATCACGACTGGTGGAGAGAGTATCACTGTCTACCCCAAAGGACAACAGATACTTCCCGATTCGGCCACACTATGCATAGGACAGCTTTCGTTCTCTGTTTGGACGTCAAGATTAATTACGCAGGCGGACAAGGTCATATTTCGCATGCGCACGAACAGCTTCAGCAAAGAGATCCTCAATGCCATACCTCGAAACCCAAGGACTGGAATCCATACCCCCGACATGCGGATCGCAAACAACGGAGAGACGTACTTGCAAAGAACAATCATCGCTGCTGGCGCATCCGGTTCTGTGCACAAAGTGACAAGAGAGAGCGACGGGGCACTCTACGCTGCAAAAACTGCGCATTACCGGGCCTCCGACAACGTCGACCAGGTCCGAGCTCGATACGAGAGGCTCAAGGAGGAGTATGACACGATGTCTGATGTCCATCATGTTAGTTGTTCCAGGCCTCCCATTGCAGAATCTCACTGACACGAGTGCAGGCAAACGTCCTCAAAGCTATCGTTCTTATTCCAGGTTATGGCGAGGAACCGGATTGGCTGATCATGGAATATATCAAGCATGATCTCTCGACAGCTGAGCTACAAGACGACGACAGACTAAGGGCACTACTTGACATCGCCAGTGGTCTTGAGTACATCCACAAGAAGGGCATTACTCATCGAGACTTGAACCCCAAGAACATCCTTGTGTAGATGGAGGATGGCGACCCTGGCGGAAAGTTTAAGCGGGCGAAGGTTGCTGATTTTGGCGCTTCGAAACGCACGCATGACACAGAGGAGACAAAAGGCGGTGCTGGGGGGTTGTTAATTGCGAGCTGGGAGTCAATTAATAGATGCTCGAACACCATCCTGTTCTGTGCAGGTATCGTGTACTTCGCAGAAGACAGAATTCTGTTCTCTTCCAGTGGGGCTCTAAGTGCTGTAGTAGGGCAACCAACTGCATCGCGGCACACAGCCAATGCCTAACAGCCGTGCGCATGGGCCGCCCTTCTCATGCAACTCAACCTGTCTGGGCGCTGGGAGGGTGACGAGATTGTGATCGTCCATGGCATAGGTAGTATATATCACAATGAGGAACCGCGATCTCATCGCCGAAGAGCTGGGGCCCAGCAGAACGAGTACAAAGACGTCATGGCCACCCAAGTGCTTGCCCACGCGCACGAAGACTTCCTCCGGTTATTCCACAGTCGGGAAGCAAAGCTTCGTGGAAAACCCGCCGTAGATGCTCTCAACAATGCACAGCATGCGGCGCTACGCAAAAAGCTCGAGTCGGTACATTTCATACCTCCAGTCTGGTCTCTCGCAACCCAGAAGGGTGTTGCTGATACCACAAAGAGACGGGAGAGGTACGTGGACTGATTTGCACCAAGCAGTGTCTTGCGATCTGTGACCGTGCTGCAAGCAAAGCTTCGTCGGAGGCGGTTCATGTGCTGGAAGATGTTGACATTGGACGTGATGGCCAGCAAATGCTAATTGCATCACTGGGGGAGCTGTTCCAAGTCAAGGGTGTCAAACTTGGCGAACGTGCGACGCAAATAGTACGTGCGCTTCCGTCGAGCGCAATTGATGAGCTTATCAGAAATATTGCGAAGAGAGGGCTCTCGTAACCAGGTAGCAATGCTCGGATATCTTCCAAACCCAGCTCATACATGCGCCTCGATGTCTGGCATCCTCTTCCATTCTCGTGATCATTTAGCCCTGAGCTGCCCAAATTCGTGGCCGACTTCCAATGGTACGACCCTGGCCAACAAGTTGAGATTTATCCGTGCTAGCAGCATCAGTCGTGCCGGCTGCACGCGCGCGTTCACCAACACTTCGTGCCATTTCTGTGATCGATCTTTCGGTCCACATTCCGCTGCATTGTACACTTCTGGCGGCCAGCTCTACGTCCTTGGCATTTTGTAGCCGATTGTCGATGGACACGAGCAGCTGTACAGCGTCGACCCCTATTTTGATTTTCTCGAGGTTCACAGTCGGATTTGGAGGGCGTTGGGGTGGCCCGCTTGCGTTCGCAGGATGCGGATCCATATCAAGAGTGGAAGCATTCGCCGGGGGCGTCTTAGAGGGCAGCAAAATGATCCGTCGTCTTTGTGTAGAAGGTGGACTTCACGAAAAGTGCCTGTGGTTCGAACGAAGTGCGGGGTTGATCGATCTGAGCCCGGCGGTCAAGTGAGGCAGAACTCAGTTCGGCTGTCACGTGAGGTTCTCAAGTCCGAGAGTTCTCTCGATGCTCCCCCACCATATGCTGTTGCGAAGCTACATCGCAGGAGAAGTCGATAAGATTGAGTGATTTGTTGAGTTCAATTACCCTAAAGTGCGTGAACGATCGAGAGACATCACGAGCCCGGTACCGACATTCCTCAAATCTTCGTAACATAATCCAGACACTACACCGAAACTTCGGCAATCGTGGGCGGAATTGGATCAAGTAGAGCAACAGCCACATATGTTCGCTGCCTCTCTGCTCGAAAGATCCGACGGCGTGGCGGCCAAGTCCAGAGATGGTGAGGATGCTATATTGTCGTTAAAACGCTTGTCCTAGCACTGTGTGTGGTTGCACTTACTCTAGCTTATGATCCTCAGAGGGAGAAGAGGGTATAGCGTGGTGATGCCGTGGAAGTCGTTTTCAGGAGTGAGATGTAGCTGCCGGCTTGACCGTGATGGCTGGGTATCCGCCGAAGAAGACGGGAGAGGGATTGTTCGTTTCCCGCGTGTTTGCGGCGCAGGTGGGACGCGCTGGAAGGTCATCGTGCCCACTCTCGAACAGCCACCACCTTGTCCACCAAGGAATGGACAATAGGGCTGGCTATTCCGCCCTGAGGCCGAAACTCCTCATTCCGCAGAAAAGACTGAAGTTTCTCGGCGTCCCAGTCTCGTGGCACTCCGCGAATGCGAAATGCCTTGTCGGCTCTCGCTTGTAGTTTCTTGTTCACTAGCGTGCTGCAGCTCTCGTCGTCGTGACCTTAGGGAGCGTTAACCCGAAACTATAGTAGACGAATGGAACAGATTGGCTAGCGAAGAAGGAGTAGATCGTCGGGATAGAGGGGTAAAGCAGCCATAAGGGTGGACCTGTGGTTCCCGACTGTCATCACCCGTAGTTGAGGTGGTGATAAAGCCCTATGTATCGTTTAGCGGACGTAATGTATATAGTGGCTGATGCATTTCGTTCGTATAGCGACCACTCTTGAATCTGAGGAACATGTCTGGCTGACGAAGGCGCCAAGGCACAACGTATTCAAGAATTGTATATGCTCTGGAGACCCAGGCTCATCACTTACTACAGGAAGGTAGAACTGTTATGTCTAGTACAAACGCAAGACATGTATTCTGCCAAAAACCAAGACCGCGCTTCAGTAATGAGCCAATAGTTCCAGCAAAATGGTTACGATGGGTACGGAAACTCTGCAAGTGAGCCCGGAATTGTTGATCTGATCACGCGTCCTCCATCACTGTGAACAGCCACTTCCCTTGAGGGCCCGAATTGTGCCGTGACGAGCCTCGAGTATTGTGCATCGCCGAGTGCCGAGACTGCTTCGAGCTGATGTCATAGGTTGCGATCCGTCCTGTTGTATATGGATACTTCCTGGGTATGGCATTGTCTGGCATGTCGACACCTTGAACTCGAGCATCGAAAGGGTCCGTGGGGGAGACGGCACGGGTGGCCTGGATGGTAGAAGGCTGATACTGGCAGCTTATACTGCCGCGGAGGGACTTGAGAACGGACTGGGCATTACCTAAAGCCCGCAGGCGAAAGAGGATGTCGAGAGCCTCGCCCTCGGGTGCGGTGCGCATTATGTGGAGGAGCTCGGCCTGGCGCTTGTGGACCTCGAGGGACTGCTTCTTGATATCGGCGCTGTAGAAGCAATGGACCTGGCGCTTGGCACAGACGCTGCACTTTGGCCGGGCCCGGTCGCACTTTGGAGGGGAGCGGCCATGGTCAGCGGGGGACAGGCAGAGAGGGCAGTGTGGAAGGAAGAAGAGGAGGCTTACACGACTCTTGTGGCTGCGGCAGCGGTCACAGGCGCCCGAGTTCTGGCGGCGGCTTGCGGCTGACTCGGCGGAGGCATCGGTGGTGGCACTACTGGACTCTCGGGGAGCTGGCAGCAATGGCCGAAGGTGGGCACCACTCATGGGAAGTGCGAGGTCGTGGCTGGCAGGCATGCCTGAGGCTTGCGACGTTGCAGGAGAGGCGTGGGGGAATGGGTGGGCGGGCAGCTGGGGGACTGGGTTGGCTAGTGCTTAGTGCGGCCGGGTTGCAATGCCACGGGAGGAGCAGAGGCTGGGGGGGGGGGGGGGGTCAGAGGGGGGTATCAAGAGGGAGAGAGGCAAGGCAAAGCGGGCAGAGAAAGAAGTGGGAAAAGGGTGGCGTTGGCGGACAAGCGATGTGGTTCCATTGTGACGGGATGAGGCGATGGCGAGAACGACGGAGAAGGTAAAAGAGCAGAAATCGTGGACCATATGAGACATGAGACTGACAAGACCACAAGGTAGTAGCCCACGCGTCGCACCTATCTCTGAGCGGGGAGGACTTCCGGACGCTCCAGTGCCAGGAGGGTCTCTCCTGTGCCCGGTCCATGTTGGGGAGAGGGGGTGGAGCGAGCTTATCTGTTCAAGGTTGGGGCTGAGCTAGGACTTAACCTAATCGAGAGGCAGGACTGTCGGGGCAAGGGACTTTCAGTACGGGACGGGACGAACAACTGTTACACTATGAAACTTTTTCCACGATCTATCCTCTTGCCTCACGCCTTTCACTCCAGCTGCATTGAGATGCATTCACCGACGAACGCAGCCGGAGGTTATCCCTGCTCACCGTTCCCTAGCTGAGCGAGGTTATCACAGGTGCTCGCCTCTTGGTAGTTACCCTGATCCATCCGGCGTCCCGGGCTTGTGTTTTGCAGCCTTTGGAAGCCCTGAATGATACCCGCCGATTCGGGAGCTGGGGAGGGGTGATGTCTCTTGGCAGGTCGACGCGGTTCGATGGCGCTCGAGTCGTGCGGAAGTATTGAAGGTTCAGGCGGACGGTTCAACCCGAGTGTGTGCTGCAATGAGCGACACTGACTATCTGGACATAGGTGAGCGAGCCGCTAAGAATCATGTGTCGAACCTGGGCATGCTGGGAAAGGGAAAGGTTGGGAGTCATTTGTGAAGACCCTGACGGGGTTGGAGCTGCGTGCCGGGGTGGAGCGGTCCATCGGATCGGCGTACCCCTAAAGCAGCCTACTGATTTGAATGCTAACGTAATCCACGGGTCACCCGGCCACTTTTCAAGCACTCGTACGATAATGTGTAAGATAATTCAACCACAAGGCCTTAAATCAATTGAAACTATTCAGAATCCTCTTCTCCAGAGGTAGACTCAACTTTCCGACAGGTACGCGCATTATGGCCGGGCTCGCCGCAGACGCCACAGCGCCGCGCACGCGTTTCTGGCCTCCTCGTACGACCACTATTCCGAGTCGTTTCTGTAACTAACTGTACCGTCGCGTCCAATTGAGACTTCAAATCTTCTGCCTGGCCAATTGTAAGGGACCCTCCTTTCTGTAACTGCTTTTTCTTCGTACGACGACGGCGGCTAAGGCGGTCATTTGCATCTCGAAGTTCGGCTAGATCGTGGCGTATAAGCGTCTGCTTATGTACCATCATCGAGATTCCTTTGTTCAGCTGCCGTAAGCTTGCAATAATTGACGAAGGAGAGCTTCCTTGATGTCGTACGATGCGGTTCTTAATGTATTCCGTCTGCGATTCAGCCTCAATTGGATTGTTCGGGGTCTTCGAGACCCAAGGTGGTGGTAGGCCAGTAGAGGACCCAGGGGGTGTTGGCGTCCGAAGCTTCACATCTAGCTGTGAAATCACATAATCCGGGTTATACGGTACTAGGCCAGTCGCTCGAAAGCCTGCTTGGACGTTTGACTTGGCCATTGCAGCATTGTGCGCCTTGTAAAAGGCTGGGAGGAAGTCCTCCTTTGCGATATGCGTAATGTGCGCCCGCATTAGACCCTCGATTTCTTTACCGTACGCCCGTTTCAGAGGTCCAAAGCACCCGACATCGAGAGGCTGGAGCTTATGCGACGAATGAGCAGGCATACAGAGCGTTACGATATTCTGTTCCTTGCAATAGAGCTCGAAATCGGTCAAATGGTGGCTCTCGTGGCCGTCGAGGATTAGGAGCCGGTGGGTGCCCTTCGTACGACCTTTTGTATGGAAATCGAAGTGTTTTACCCATTCTAGGCCTCGCTCGTTCGTCGTCCACCCGTTTTCGGAGAGTGCGATTACCCAGTCGGACGGTAAAGGGCTATCGGAGGTCCAGGAGTCGAGATGGACCATACCTGCGAAGATGATGTATGGTGGGATCGAATTGCCGTACGACCCGATGCACTGGATAGCTGTAACCCATTCCTGATTGCCTTGTTGTATGGCTCTAGGCCTTCCGCGTCGATCGGAGGTTGTAACGACTGTTTCTGCAGAGATTTTGCCCATTGCAAACCCGGTCTCGTCGAAGTTGTAGATATCGTCATCGTGGATCCCGTATTTCGCGATAATATTCCGTACGAGCGAAAACCACGCGCGATACGCGTCTAGATCTTCGCAGAGGACTCTCTGATAATCGATTCTTCGATTGAAACGCGTTCGGAGTCCGTGGGGTCGATCTGCACGACGAGTTCAGCTGTGGACGAGGCCGTTCTAGGAGCCTGACAACCTCGACAACTTAAGACCCCACCCAATGCACAGACGAGGCGCAGTTTCAGCTTCACAAACGTGGCCTTTGAACGCGACCTGAACTGGTCAGACCGAGCACTCATGCAGAACTTGCAGGAGGACCCCCATCCTCAGTATCCTGGTCGGGCACTCGGCATGGAACGTGCCTAGGACATAGTGTCCGGTCTCCAGGTATATGGAGATGGCAAACGCGGCGTAGACATTGGCTATAGAGATTGTAGACCAGAAGGAGATGTCGAGTTGTTCCAAGCGGGGGTTCGCTAGGCGAGTTTAGAGCTCTGTTTCATGTTTATGGTTCACGGCAGGCATGAAACTGGATATCTCTGTGCCTGCTATCAAGGGCAGAGGCTGGTCGCTACTTTCGTCTGGGGACTGAGAGGTAGGATGGGTGTGAGAGTGTGATTCCAAGATCCCAAGCCCACTCTGTGGCCGAAGAACTGGGCCGGAGGACTGTGCTGTACTATATGCCGATAATTGCGTCTGGACGAGATTGCCGCGCACCAAAGGTAAGAGGGAGACCGGGTCCACAGCTGTCCGTAGCAGGAGCAGGATGTGTCGTTGAGCGTCGTCTTGCATCGATGACAGGTGCGCTATGAGCTCCTCCAATTCCTGCGTGCGCTCTCTGAGAGATTCGGCTTCTCGCTTGAGGGCCATGCCTAGGGTTTCGGAAGTGTCTTTGCTGATGTAGATGCATTCGGTGCCTTTGCGTCGGCAGGGTGTACATTGTGGCCGCTTACCATCACACTATAGACGCCAAATAGTACCTGGTCAGTGAGATACTTTTGCGGTCGAGGGAAGGAACAACGTACGGCGGACTTCTTCTGGCGACAGGCGTTGCACGCAACTCTGGTCGGTCGGCCACGGCGGTCTCCCGCCGCAGACTGCTCGCCGGCATCGGCGCGGGCATCAGCGCCGTCGGTGGCCGGGTTGCCTGGGGCCGGGAGCAGCTTCCGGAGGTGGCATCGGCCCATCGACAGGATACCTCATGGAGAGGATGACGATCACGAGCCCGGATGTCACCGTCTCCTCGAGGGAATAGCAGCGGGCAAGGTCGAGAGGGACAGCGAGCTGAGGCTCGGCACGATGGGGCGTCTGTGGACTGGCGGGCAGATGGGTCGGCGCGACGCGGCAGGGAGTCCTCGGCAGCTCGTTGCATGAAGTAGACGACATGGCATCGCCCCTGGCATGCTCGAAGCAGACGATATTAAGATTCGGGCTGGCTAAATTCAAAACGAGCACTGTCGTCATTGCTCAGCGTCTCGGAGTCTTGCGTGGTCCCCTGACAGATCGCCGTTATGCGTAGTGGCGATTCGTGGCTGTAGGAAACTGAGAGAATGCAACGTCGTCGGGCTGTCCGAGCCTGGAACACAATTTGATGATTCTCATCGGCGACGGCATCTCATTGTGTCTCGCTCAAGAATGGGGCAGTCGCAACTGAGCGTTCCGGGCGTTGACGTAAGATCGGCAAGTGCCGCCCATGGACTTGTAGAACTGCATGCCAGGAATTCCCTGCGGGGCAAATGCTCCGGTTCCACTGCACCCTGTCGATACGCCCGCCATAACCAAGCGGTGCAGCTGATTGCTGCTGGTCATGATTCGCCACAGGATGATTGATAGCGCTTATCATGTCCCTATACTAAATTCCCGGTTTATTATTCCCGGTTTATTTCCCCACCGCCTTGAGTACTTCCCAAACGATCGAATCACACGAGGTGCCATAAAACTCCAGGTACACCTCGAGAGCAAGCTAATCCATGGCACCATTGGGTAATGGAAATAAACGCCCGGCCCCGTCCAGCTTTCCCACTGATCAGCCCTTTTTATATCCATAACAAAGTGATCAGCCCGATCGACGTTAATGACACAATCGTGCCCAGCCGAAAGACTTGAGTACAGAGGCTTGTCACGCAGATCCTTTGGTTCGTGCAGATGGATGGCGCTCGTCTACGCCCGTGGAGCCATACGCTATATTTTGTCTTATCTGCCTAAGTTCTATAACTCGTGCTGTACGTCCACGTATTGTTACCGACTGCCAGTATGTCCTTGGATGGGGGAGAGATGGCGACACAGCCAGTGTGAGCGGTGACGCAGCGAAGTTTCCTTGGCGCATTGTGGGTCCAGCAGCCAATTTTCAGGGAGCCGATGTTTGAGGCCAAGTATCTCGGAGCAGATATCACAATAGTGGCCGCGGGCTCGGCACGGCCAGCCCGCTAAGCCCGCCTCACTGTGGCTCCATAATCTTCCATGGTGTATACCTCCCATCGGTTCGCCACAACATCGTTAGCCAGGGAACATTCTGTTCCGCGCAAACCTCCAATCAGCTTGTCGGCCGCCTATGCTATTCAGCCCTACAAGGCAGACAAGATTTGGCGCACAGAGTCACGTATTACATAATGTCTGAAGAGTCACGAAGCATCCTCGGCACAGACTGTTGGCCATCTAGCAGCTGACCTACTAGATACCCCAACAGAGATTAGCGAGGCGACCATCATAGACTATGGCGCGTACATGAGTCTGGCTACTTTGAGGTCGTGGGTGACGGGCTGGGGCCCGATAAGGCTTCTCAGGCTGCCGCTGACAAGCACGCCTGCACGAGCACCAAAACCACCTGCTCGAGACCTGCTCTATAGCAGGTAATCTCCTTTTCTCTCTATCAAGATTAACAGACAGCATTGGCATACACAGCTGCGCACATTACAAGGCGGCACATATGTTCCCTACTAGGAAGCGCCATTGTTGGCCAGGCGGTATCGCTCCGGACGAACGGCACAACCCCACCCGGCTAACAATAGAGTTTAGGGCCTCGTGTTCGTAAAGGCGCCTCGTTTTCATATCATGAACTACGATGGCACTGCTTTGGAAGTTATTTTTCCCCGTTCCATATCAGCCGCGAAAGGATGTGGCAACAGGTCGGCCGCCCCCACGCCGCGACTGCGCAGTGAACTCGCCGCGTACCTGGAGGAGCCGCGGCTCACCAAGGCGGTAGCGCGCTGGCTGATTACGCAGCGCTTACTGCCACAGTACCATAAGGCGCTCGAGGAGGCGCCGGCACAGGAGCAAGCACTTCAGGAAGCAATAACGCGCGAGACAGAACGACGGGAGGAGGCGCGGCGCCAGAGGAGCGCGGGAGACGCGCACGCGACAGGGCACCGCCAATTTCTTTGATTTTGGCCCGAAGGCCACCCGCAACAACGGAAACACTATCAGACTACGGCCTCCTGCGCCTTAGGCGCCCACAAGCGCCGACAGCGCAGCGCACACGACACGAGGGCACACCGCCTACTCGTCGCCAACGCTGTCGTCCTCCCGCTCCACAAAGCCACGGAGCAAACCCACCAACCGACCCAAGTTCTGGTTGATGCCCTCGAGGGCCACAACCTGGCGCTCCCGCAGAGCCAGCTCGGCAGCAGCCGCGCCTCGGATTGCCGGAGCAGGCGCAGCGACACCGCCGCTGCCGCCGGCGCGGTCCTCGGCACGACTGCCGCTGAGGGCCTGCTGAGCAGCCAAGGCTGCCTGCTGGAAGTCCTGCGATGCGTTAGCGCAGCTCGCGCGTACCGTGAACGGCGGCGCTCTGACTTACTTCGTCGTCGTTGTCGGCAGCGGCGTCAGCGACCGCGAGCATCTCCGCAACGCGGCTGCGCACCGCGGGATCCTTGGTGAGCTGTATAGGTCAGCGGCTGGCGCGTGGGCGGCGCGCAGGCGGCACAGGGACGGGGGTATTTACCGGGACGCAGCTCTTGTTGATTCTCGCGCACGAGAAGCAACGAGCGCCCCGGCTGCCGCGACGTCGCGGCAGCGGTGACCATAGTCACCGGCTGTGCGCTTCACACAAGCAGCGCAGGGGACGTCGTGCACGGCGCCGGCGACGATGGTTTTCTTGACCTAGAAGCGAGTTAGCGACGCGACCGCACCGCACACGCATCGACAAACATACCGGTGTCTCGGGCACGCCCGGGCCCACGTCGGCAGCCGGACCTCGCTGCTGCTGCTGTTGCTGGCCGAGGCCAGAGACGGCGGAGCCGGCGCGACCGCGCACCGCACCCGCGGCGGCACAAGTTTTGGGAGCCACTGCGGCAGTCAGTCAGCTGGCGGCTCACGAGCAGCGGAGGAGGGTGGACTCACTGATTGCTGCTGCTGTTGCTGTTGTTGCTGTTGTTGTTGCTGTTGTTGTTGTTGTTGTTGGTACTGTAGGGTTCACAGGCCTGTCAGTCACGACCTCGACTCTCAGACGACGCGCAGGCGCGGCGCTCGAGTACTTGCGAACTTACACGACGTGTTCGGAGGCGTTGAAGAAGGAAAGGAAGGAGACCATATGCGAACATCTCGGAGTCGTTGTTTTGACGTTGGGCCACCACGCCCGTTGCTGTGGTTATGAGGCCGGCTGCGCGGCGAGGCAGCGCATCGCAGTACAATGCGCAGGCTGAACGAGTGCGCAGCGCTGTAGCATTAACTGCGGATGCGCAGCCTGCTGTCGCTGTCGACAACCTATCATTGTGCCACTGGGAGAATATCCTCTTGTCATACCAAGTTTGGCTGGTGAGAGCCATTCTTTGGATGCGAAGAACCGGAAGAGCGAAGGCGCCACTTTGGTGCAGCGAACACGCAGCGTATATTTTTAGTCCAGTCGAAAGGCACGGTTTATTATACGATAGATTTGCAGCATCGCTAAACCTACTTAATAGGTAAAGCGTACTATGAATAATAATATATACCCTTTGTCCCTTCAGCCTTCATGCCTGGTGCACGATGTCCATCGTGCTGTGTGCGGCACCGCTCCGTGGTGGTGCGGTGCCGTCCGTCGGGTCTTGGCACCGCTCCTTGACTTCTGCTGAGTCATCAAGCTCCTGACATAATGAAGGGTGCTACCTTCCGCAGGACCTGCCCTTGTCCCTGGCCTGATCCTGCGACCTTGTCTGTCTGCGTCTCAGGCCACGGTCTCACCTCCACCATTCCTGAGTTCCTTGACTGCAAGAATGAGTGCCTTGTCAACCACAACATGATTCTGTGTAAGTAAAACAACCGTGCTGATATCACTTGCTAAAGCGCTCTCAATCACTTTTGCCGGCGTCATTGACGTCAGATCAGCTGAGAATAGTGCAAATCCTTGATTCTGAAACTCCTTTGCGGTTGCCTGCGCTCCAGATACATCTGGAAAGGTGACCTCCTCCGTATGAACAGTCTCCAGACGTCCCTGCCGAAATGCCCGGAAATGAATAACAGGGCGGGCTGGAGATTGACAAAGGTCGCTCACTCCGGTGTGATTCGTCCATAGTCGAGCTTGCCGCTTTAACGCTTGATGACTGGACTGCTCACTCCCCCTCTTCATTCCACTTCCCTGGCGCGATATCGAGTCACTTGAGGTCTCACTTTGAGTACTCTCGCTGTCGTTCATGGCAGGTGGTGGCACATGGGACTGCGTCGCCATCCGGAACAGGATACCATTGAGCTCGATCCCAGTGCTAAAAAAAGCCGTGTAAAAAGACTGCAACACGAAGAATGAAGTGGCTGTGGTGGGACTACATTCACCATGGAGATTGGGGAGGAATAAGTCCTGTCTGTCTCGATCGAAGGTGTCTTTGTACGGCAATCCGCTGCGTTTGGCAGTAACTGCATTCCTGCCATGCCACTGCGGATCGCTCTCTGTCTCTGAGGCGCTTTGCTGAGCTCTCAGATTGACAATTTCAGCCGATTCGAATCCAAGTCGGTTTGCAAAGTCCGCAAACCTTTGCAACGCGTCCGGTTGCGCTCTGATCGGCTCGACCTTTGCAAGTAATCTCCTGGCGCCACCATCTCGAGCTTTTGCTAGCTCCCTGAAGTTCCGTAAAGCATAGAGCCACAATTGTCTCCGTGCAATGTCAAAGCATGCCTCTGCAGAGACATCCACCGCTCGATATTCGCCGTCAGCTACTTCTACTATGGCGGACCTGGTAGATGTATTGCCTACGTAGCAGTGCTTAATTATGCAATCCATGCTGGTTGGGACGGCTGGGGCCACCCGGTCCGTTGGTCTGGATATCCTTCTTGGAAGTGGCATAAGGTGACTTATGCTCTGAGCGCAAGAGTCCAGAAGTTTCAGGTCTTTGAGGAGGGTGGATAACGAAGGAATTGTGTGTTCTATCGACCACAGAACTTCTCTTATGGCTGCTTTCTGTTCGTCACTAAATCTCATGAAGACTGCACCTGTGCGCATGGCGGAGTCGATCATCTCGGCATCTTCCGTTGATACCCTTGGGCACCGCCCTTCGATGGCCTTGACAGTATCTGCATCTAGCAGAGAGAAAAGACCTTCAGAAGAAATGATGGTCCTCCAGTCCTCTACAACGCGCTCCAGATAACATATGATTCTCTTTCATCCTACAGCTTTAGTCTCTTGAGACTAATGGAAGATTTGGTCAGGCACTATATCTAGCATATTTGTGCCATTGACTGAGGCTCCATCCGTCTCGGAGTGCTGGCACCGTTAAGGGCTTATCGAGAGCTGCTGCAAGATCCTTGCTACGTAGCAACGTACGCACACATCGCAACGCGTGTCGTGAAGAAAGTTGTTGAAATAGCTGTGCTTGCCTCTCGTGCTGTCCCAGGACTTCGCACTCTCGAATGGCACAATAGAGCTCCACGTCACTCGTTGAGGCTTGGTTTCGTTCGCTCATTGTAAGGGCTGTTGAGTCTCGTTGTTTAGAAGGCGTGCGGTGGTCTTCGAACTTGACTATCCCGGAGGCTCCAAAATGGGCTCCTGTTCCCTTCGTGGCCCACGACCTATCGGCAACCGTCATACATAAAAGGTGGAAGCGCATACGGTTCTCTGCCAAATCTCGGCAGGAGCTTGAGAAATGGACAAGAAGGACGCAAGGTTCACACAGATCTACATTAATGAGCGAAACAGCGCTTACCCAGGAGCTGTGCTTAAAAGAAGGCAGCCCCAAGCTGCGCTGGCTCCGATATCACCCGATGAGCACCAAGCCAAGAGAAAGAAAGAGTCTGACCATCACACTGAAACAAAGGGCGCTACCTATCAGCCCAATAAGACAATCGCGTCATCGGCCAGGAGCCAGACCTCACGCGTCGACATTCTAGGGGCTCAACTCGGAGATCCTTGGCAGAAGTACATTAAAATCCTTACATGGCTCGATCTCGGCCCTGAGACGTTTCTCGCCATGGAACTCTCGTCTCCCGGAAAGTTCGTGAACGTCAGAGCTTTTCGAGGAAGTGCAGCCGAGAGGAGTCTCCACGAGATCCAAAAGCTTCGGCATAGAAGCTTCATTTCAGCGCTCGAGGCCTTCTCGACCAGGGAAGGTGTCTACGTTGTTTTTGAAGCAATGCAGCTGAACTTGCTGCATATTATCTCGTGTACCCGGTACCCTAGTCCCCACGAAGGCGCGGCGATCATTGGACAAGTGAGTACTGTTCTTGCCATACAACAGGTGCAGTCGTTAAGAAACAGATCACGGACGGTTTGGTCTACCTAGAAGGTGAAGGGCTAGAACATCCTAGACTGGACTGGGAGTTCATTCTACTCAATCAACATGGCGAGGTCAAGATAGGTAAGAAAGTTCAGTCCACCTGAGAACAACCTGGCTCTAATCGGCGGTATCAGCTTGTTGCGAGGTGTGCCAGCCTGTGCGGCCTGGTCGGAAGCACTGGGCGGCAGCCCGAATCAATACGATCACACAAGGCTTGGTTAATAAGGACGAAGACACAGAGGGCGTTCATAACAAGGAATGGCTTCCCAATGCAGATGCCGTATCATTTGTCGCCACGACGACATCGGCACAATCTGCATCCGAGTTACAGCAGGTACTAAGTCTCACACCCCACTTCCATGCAGCAGTACTGACAGCTGGTCTAGCACGCCTTTCTGAAGAACTTCGGACGGAAGGATGCATCGTGGGATTGTGGCTGTTTGCTGGTCTTGATCACGATTAGTCTGATACAGGCGCATCCGCGGGAGTATCGCCTTGACAGCTGAGCGCACCTGAACCCAAGTGATAGCTCGCGCCGCCTCCAGAAATGGAGTCTTGAGCATTGTGGGGCAGTAGAGCTGTTTATGGCACAAGGCCCACCGAAGGAGTCATATATATGTAGCCTGCCCCAAACGGCATCTCTCGGGCTATGGACTCACCGCGAGGTCCTGATGGTGTGATTGAAGAAGCCCAGCATGGAACTACCCGGACAATACATCTATGCTCTGACGCTATGCGGCATTCTTCTTGCATTGTTCATAGCACGGCAGATATTGCCAGTCACCTACACTTGGTGTCGGATAATATTTCTGCTGTTCCTTCGGTTTTTCAGCTACACCTTTGTAATTCATCGCCATCGATGGTTAGGACCCTGGACGATTGAACTCATCGTCAGCCGGACCATATATCTCCTAGCCAATCTGTTATGTCTGCTCATGCCGTCAGTGTCGCGGGCAGAGCTAGCATCGCGAGCTGGCTCGTTAGCGGCTATCAATATAACACCACTTTTCTTGTCCATTCACCTAGACTTTCTGGCTGATACCTTAGGCCTGTCACTGAAAATAGTACAAGAAGTACATAAGTCGGCAGGGGTGATGACCTTCGCGCTAATGACTCTCCATGTCTGTCTTTTGGTCGACCTCGAAGTGGTACCCGGGCTGTACGTGATGATGGTGAGTGCTCTGAGTTTCGAAGCAATGGGCCCTTTGACTGACGTGTCAGGCGTCCATCTCGGCGGCAGTCATGGTGCTTCTTGGCATGACACCGCTCAGGAGGCGAGTACATGAGCTTGCAGATAAGACTCACAAAGCCCTGGCGATAACGATGGCCTTTTCCACATGGCAGCATATAAGCAAGATCACTCATGTGCACCAGTGGCTGTTATACACCGCAGCTGGAGTGATCTGCCTGGTCCACGCGGTGCAGGTCTGTCTGTTCTTGCGCAGGAATGTATGCTGGGGCAAACCATTCCCGAGAGCACATGTCACGAGTGATGGGAGCATAGTCAGAATAGTGTTGTGCTTGCCACGTCCAGTGAAGATCGATGCCGGACAATATATCAGCCTAAACATGATATCTTCCACGATCGGCTTCTGGTCGTGGGCGCAAAGCCATCCATTCACGATCACTTCGTGGTCTCTGAGGAGGCAGGATGAACTAGAACTTTGTGTTCAGTGCCGCAGCGGACTAACACTACGACTTCTCCAGTCGGGTGAGAGAACCTTTCTCGCATTCTTCAGCGGTCCTCATGGGAGGTCTCATTCCCTAAAGGCTAAGTCAGTACTCATGTTGACGACGGACTTCGGAATCGTGGCGGTCCTACCATACCTGAAGAAGATCACTGTCAACTACGAATGCCGCGTCCACATGGTCTGGCACGTGAAGAGGCTCAGCGACTTCGCGCCACTGGTTACCTTGTTGAATGAATATCTGCGAGACCACACGCTTAGAAATGTGAGACGTGTGACGTCCGTTACCTCTGGGGGAGATCAAGACCTAACAGCCTCCAGATTTTGCAGATCTCCGTGTATAACGAGCGTGGGGTACACAACGAAGGCTTTGGGTATCATGGTCGTGTGAACATGTTGGCTTGCGCACCAGATATAGCAGATATCATGAAGAGCGAAATTGACGGGGGATTCATCACGGAGCTTGGCCTATATTCGCATACCCCTCACGCCGGCTTGGAGGGCAAATCTCCACATCCCACCGATCACGCCTCGCTACGAGAATCTCAAGTGCGGTACAAAGCAGACTGCAGTCACATCCTCGTACTTGGTCAGTCTAGAGAACAAGCCTCAGACGTCAAGTCATCCAAGTTAACCTGTCCTTCTATTTCAGTGTCGGGATCACATGAGCTTCGCGACACGACACGAAAACTGGCAGGGCGATATTTGAGCAGAGGCTTGGTTTTGAAGGAGCTAGACTACCAGCAAGAGTAATTGAGAAGTATATCTCTGTTCACTAAGTGCCATAGAGCCTGACACGCCGGCAGGGCTCTGCGAAGCCTTGCACGTTTGTGGGAGCCATGCTCATCTTCCCTTCAGACGAGTACGTTGGTCCTTTGCTGCAGTGTTCACAAGCAGACTGATCTGGAGGGCTAGACCAGCGACTGCTGTGAAAAACCCAAAAACCCCGCGAAACCCATAGAGATATGCCTCAAGGGCCTGTTCCTTGAGTTCGCTCCCGGCAGGAAGCAAAGAGAGCTTGACAATGTAGCTCTCACTGTGGACGGCAATCTCCCGTGACAGACCTAACTCATCCAGCTTGATTGACATGACATTCTGGAAAACAGCAGTGCCGGCCGCGACCCCCAGCGCCATGCCGAACTGTCGCAGAAAGCCATACATGGCAGCCGCGTTACCATGCTCGTCGTCGCTTGCCATCTCTTGAGTCGCAAAGTTCTGTGCGTTCAGGACTGCGCCATGGCCAAAGCCGAGGAGGAGGAGTGTGATGACCCAGACTGCCTGGTGTATGTCTCGATCCCACAGCAGGGTGAGCCCCGTTGCCACTATCGCCAGAACCCAGCCACCCCAGATGGGATACCCGACGTGGTTCAGCCGGGTGATAACTATGCCTGAGACAACGGAACCCGCCACAAGAGAGACCGCCACAGGGATGATTGCCACACCGGTCTGGAGAGCCGTAAACCCCTTGACAGACTGGAAGTAGAATGGGATGTAATAGAGTTGGCCGTACAGCTGGTACGGAGTCAGCGGAGTCTCGGTTTAATATCTTGTGCAACTCACCATAAGACCTTGGAGAAGCCCACACACGTAGGGTGCAGCTACGCGGATGTTTCGAAACAGACGGAGACGGAGGTAAGGTGATTTCTTGACATGTGCCTCAAAGATCACAGTGGCGATCAGGCCACACAAACCAACAACCAAAGGACCAAGAGTCGTGGCGCTTGTCCAACTATACTGCACGCCCCCCCAAGAGACGGCAATGAGGAAAGAGGTGATGGAAGCAGTAAAGCAGACACAGCCAATCGAGTCGAAACTGGCGAGCCTCGCGTTTTTTGCTCCAGTCTCGGCCATCAGAATGATCGTCACGATCCCGATGGCGCAGAAGGGAAAGACGAGGTAGAACACCCAGCGCCAAGTGGTGTACTGAGCGATCGCACCTCCGATGGTTGGGCCAGTGCAGTTGCCCAATGCCCAGGCTCCGAGTCTACTGACTATCAGCTTCAGGAAAGGACACAAGCTTTGCAGGTGCACTTACATCATTGCATACCACTTCGGCCGGGACTTAAGGGGGACTATATCGGTGAAGATAACGAGGCTCAAGATGATGATCCCTCCACCACCAACACCCTGCAGACAACGTCCCGCGAGCATGATGGAGATGTTTTCCGCGAGGCAGCATAGGATAGATCCTGCCGAGAAGAAAGCGAGGGATGCGAGGAGACATATGCGACGACCAAATATGTCGCTGAGTGCTGCAGCTGTCGGCATGGAGATGGTGTTCGCGAGTAGATATGACGTGGCGATCCAGAAGCCTTGCGTAGTGTCTATCTGGAGATCGACAATGATCGCCTGGAGCACAAGTTAGCTTCGAGACAGAGTCAGTAACAGGGAGAACATACATTGAGTGATGTGACCAGAACTGAGGCGTCGAGAGAAACCATCAGTGATAGAGAGCATAGCGTGGCCATGACCAGGCACTGTGAAGTGCTTGGCTTCCAGGCCACGCTGTTGGCGTGCTTTGCTTTTCTCGTGTTAGTAGGCATATTGTGTCGGGCTTGTTGACGTGAGACTGGGAAGGAAGCTTCGAGCTGGGACACAAATCTCTCCGTCGCTAAATAAGCACGGTGCGCTCCCAGGCGGGCAAAGCTGCTAGGTTCATTGCCGCTGTCCACATCCATTACTGGAGAGGCCTGCCGAGATGGCCCTCGAACGTGGCAGCCAGCCACTTCTGGCCCCTTCGGCAAAGACTATATACCTCCTGCTAGGCAAGCGTTCGAGAGGCCCTTCGGTCTCACCCTCATGAAGCCAGGGCTCAAGTCTTTGCCTTTATCTGAAGGCAATCTCCGCTATTATGGAGGTCCGGCGACTCTGTCTCGCCACGTTTCTAGTCTTCCTGACTAGTACGGTAGCCGGCCGACTTGACTCCGTCGCGGAACTTGTGGCTGTTGCGCCAGCGTGCACTGTCAGTACGATGGATCCGACGTGGTTGCGCGACTAACGTCTGCTGTAGCGTCTCTGTATCGTCAATGCGTTCGCCGCAAAGGGGTGTGATGGCACAGATCTCAAGGCCTGCCTTTGCGTCGACATAGCTCTTCAAGCTGATCTGTCTGAATGCGTACAGACCACCTGTCCTTTCGCGGATCAGGTAGGTAAGGCTTCCAAGGCTGCGGGATTCTCTCGGCTAATGTAACGCAGTGGCCGGGAAGATTGAGACGGAGATATGCGATGGCTTCCCGAAGGAGTCTCGCAGCTGGGAAGTCATAGGCGTCACCACTGCAGGATGCGTCATAGTCTTCCCCATCATCTTGCTCCGGCTGTACAGCAGGACGCACTACGCAACGGGGTTGTCGGGTGACGACTTTGCGACCATCGCTGCCGCCGTAGGTGATAGTCCACTAGACTATGTAACGACGCTGACCGAGCGCAGGTTCTTCTCGCAGTACTTGCGTCTATCAATCTGTATAACGCGAGGATCGGCTTTGGCATGCACTACTGGACTGTGCCCGCGGAAATGGGGACCTTGATATTGAAGGTGAGGCGAGTCGTGTCCCTCCGGAAACCTCGCATTTGCACTAAATGACCGCTGCCCCGACCAGTTATTCTACTTCAATACTATTGTCTACATGGTCCTCCTGGTGGTTGGCAAGATGGCTATCCTGTTAGTCTATCTGAGGATCTTCCCAGGGTCAACATTCCGCCACATCACGTACGCGCTGATCGGCTTTCTCGCCGTGCATGGAGTTATCTATGCTCTCCTCACCACGCTACAGTGCATTCCGATCGACTCGATCTGGGACCGCCTGATAACAGATCGGCGCTGCCTAGACGTGAACGCAGTTGTGTACAGCAGTGGCATTCTGAGCATTCTGGAAGACATCGTCATCCTCATCTTGCCTATGAAGCAGGTCTGGCAGCTGAACATCCGCCGACATCGTCGAATAGTCCTCGTGGGCTTGTTCAGCGTTGGTTCTTTGTAAGCCGCCCCCTCTTGACAATGGCCAGCGGATGAGATGCTCACTCCCTGACAGCGCTTGCCTCACCTCGATGATCCGCATGAAGTATGCCGTCGCGTACAGCACAACCTTTGACGCGACTTGGGACGGCGTGGACATCGTCGTATGGCCGGCAGTGGAACAGTTCTGCGCATTACTATGTGGCAGCTTACCAGCACTCCGGCCGCTCTTCGTGGATGTCCTGGCGAGGTCACAGTCCAGCACAAGTAACGAGTTGGTCTGCGTGCAGGCACAGAGACAGTCGGCGGGAAGCAAGACTCCTGTGTCCTCAGGCGGGCCAATGCAGCAGTCGCATTCAGACGCAACAATGCATGCCCACAAGCCGACACCGGCGCCAGATGCGATTCTCGTCACCAACACTGTAAGTGTCCGAGCACAATCAGGAACATGGCTGGAAGAAGGCTCTGAGAGCGATGGGCACGGCCTGCCGGATGAACGTAGGAATGTAGCTAGACACACACCCATTGTCGAGGCCAGGTGCGAAGCACTGCCTTGAGAGCACTCTCTACACGAAGGACTATATGGAGTTACGCAATGCCCTTAGCACATCACTAGATATTCAGACGCGGAGTGACTGCACACTTGGGTGTAGAATAGAGTCAGATTGCGCGCCATGGGTTAATCAACTACTGCAAAGAGCAATGCATTTGTGTCGCTTCATCTCACACCAGGCAGGACTGCGCGGGCGTGTGGGAGAGCTCTTGGCAGCGCAAACCAACGCTGAACGCCAGTCCTTGCTGTCACGGCCGTGCACGAGTGATCTGTTGGTTGGGACTCGCAGTCGCGACTGGGGTTGTCCCTGTTCGCTACCATCATGTCGTCTATGGTACTTTGTAGCGCGGCATGACGACGCCATTTTTGGAGCACGTCTCGAGTGGACCTGGGACTGCAACGCGAGTCAACGACGGCGCTACCTTGGGAGTTGTCCAGCCCCGAGCCCCGGAGAAGTAGCGCTAAAGGCAGCCCCTGTAGGCATCCATGTGTGGTGTGGGTGTCTCTGGGGCCTGCATCCGTGGGGTTCAGCACCGGTCTCCGGGGCCTGCGTCAGCGGGGCATGCGTTGGTGGGGCATGAACGAAATCCTCCATATTTGGATCTGTGCCAACTGGAATCGTCCCATCTTCTCTCGACGCAGCAACTTGTGGACCGAGCTACTCCGTACGCGTCGAGCCGCGTAAGCATTTCAGAAGCCATGTCCATGCTCGGGCGCCAGAGGGGGTGGTTCCGCGAATCCTTGATCCATGTACATGACTGAGGTGGGGTGGCAAGAGTCCTCGTCAAGGAGCCAAAACTGGCGACGGAGTACTCCGCACGCGTACGCCATTTTCGGAAGTCATTCTCGGAAGTCATTCCCAAAGTGGCGCCCCTGCAAATGCTTGATCCATGTTCGTGACCGCAGGTGGCGTGGCAAGCGACGGGCGCGGCTAGCACGAACACAAAGAGAACGAACACACGTCCTCGTGAGGAGCCAAAACTGGCGCCAAACCGAAAGAGCTACGGAGTACATGCCAAGACGCGCGGATATCACAGCCTCCACTTTCGGGGGAGGAATCTCATCATCAAGCAAGGGAGCCACTGACATCATGTTTGCAGCGTCTCGGCACTCATAGTGTTGGCCCAGGTGCGGGGCGATCGGACCCGATGCTTGAGGCAGGAGTTTGCGGACCGTGCAGGGGTTCCCGTTACCGAGCTGGCGTTCAGAGCAGGCAGTCATCCTTCCCCGTTGCGCTAGTTAGTCTTTGCGCCAGAAAGGCTGTTTAGGGAGCACAAGGGAGTCAGGATCGGTCATGCCATGGCAGACCTGAGAAGTGATGAGGATTGGCAGCACCGCGGCCCTCGGCCTCAGAAGCGATTTGCAAGCGCCTCGTGGAAAGGCCGCAGTCATCATCCGCATATAGTTCTCGAGCATGGATGCCGCAGGGCAACTAGCGTGGCTGCTCTTCACTCGACGGGACCATGGATGCCTGGAAGGACTCCAGTCTTGCTTACAACACAGTGTGCTCGGAACTATCAATATCTATTGCGAGTGTCTGATATAAGAATCTAACGAAGTAACATTTTTAAAAAAAAAAACGGAGCCCGCTCTTTCTTTCAGCTACGTATAACAGGTGCACGAACTTAAGGCAGAGGGTCTCTGTAAAAAGGGGCCTTGAAACCAGGTGATGACGTCTAGACAGAAAAGCAGTGAATTGTAACGAGATGGTCGTCTCCTATAACGAAGTCAATCATCGAGGAGCTGAGTCATAGAGGAACAAAAGTATACGAAAGACCAGTGGGGTTACATAGCCTTCAACTTGGCCAGGATTGCGTCGAGCGTGGACTGGAACTTTGACATGGTATTGTCATTCCTTTCAAGTCGAGCCTCCATTTGAGCCAATGCCTCTGACGTCTTCTTTTCATTATCTTCAAGTCGGGCTTGCATATGAGAGAGTACGTCCGACTGGTCCTGAGAGTAGCCACCATACTTCGGAACGTGGTGCATGTCGACGTTGGTGTCTTCTTTCTTGATCGCGGACTGCTCCCGGGGCTTCATCTGCCACGGCGCCGGGATACCGTCACGAGCACAAACACTCTCCATCTCGGCTCTGGCTTTTTTTTCACCGAGAACTTTGAACAGACTCGTTCTGGTGAGAATCTGTAGGCCCTGCCCACGAAACCTGACACAGCAATCCGCAGGAGGATCCCGCTTGTCAGACCGGGGATGTGCCGGGTCGGTTACCCATAGAAGCTCTTCGAAATCACCTCGTTGCTTGTAGGTCCATGTGGACTGGCCCTCAGCAAGATTCTTGTAGCCATCTTTCTTGATGTACTGTGTGACTTCAGGGACTTGAGAGGCTGGCATGAGACGACGGACCACTCGCCCGTCCTTCCTTGTCTCAATGCAAACCTGAAGGCCGACTTTCCCTCTTGGCCGGACTCCCAGGATGCGAGCACCATCAGCCGTATCCAATGTAGGCCAGGGGTACTTAATAGTATTGGTTTCTGCAGAGTCGTCACTTTCTACAAATAAGGATTCCTCCTCCGCCGTCTGTTCTGCTACAACAGGCTTCTGCTGCATCTGGCAGACTGACCATTCCGGTGGGAAATGGTGTTTCTGAATCATGTCATCGATCAATTTTTCCACTGTGACGATGGCATTTTTTGCATCGCTGTCAGCAGGGTTTGTCTTCAGGCGATTGTAGAAGTCTTCAATGTGTTTGTATTGAGGGGCAAAGAACCCAACGCGAATTTTCCAAGTATCTTCTGGTACTTCTTCTTTGATGTTGTCCGATCCAATCGTCTGATTGAGATTGTAGATCTGCTGCTCGAGTTCCTTGTTGGTAGGATCCTGGAATAGAGACTTCATAATGGGCGTTGCATTTTTATAGACTTGGAGAACGCGTGCACTCGGTTTGGGAATCTCCTCGTCGTCGACAGTCATACGGACATCATCCGCTTCGTCTCCAGAATGATCTGATGCGCTGGAGTCGGGATAGTCCGGCTCTGCCTCCTTCGTCCAATCCCAATTCTTCACCGGCTCGATGTCGTTAATTGTGTCCACGCCTAGCTTCTCTGCAGCGTCTTCTAGTTCTATAGGTCTTTATCAGCGGCCGGACATCCGGTTTAGTGTTTGAGTAGCACTTACTCCTGAGAGCCTCCTCTGCTTCAGGCTGTTCCAGTTCGGCGCGACGCAACATGCACCCCGTGTCCCTCCAAGCACGCCGAGCATCTTCAGTGGACGACTGATGGCTGAGCCCTAGCATTCTGGCAGCCTCGCTTGAAGGGCATCCCAGAATATGTTTAATCTTCTCCGCGACCTGTCTCGTGTCATCTTCATGATGGGCGACACTGGCACTTGTTTCACCACTTTGAGGATGCTGCAAATTCGCTATCCGATCCTGATCAGCTCTGACTCGGCCAGCTTCAACTGCCGGTGTTGCTTCTGGACTAAGTAGGCCATGAGTATTTTCTTGTCTCTTAGATTTGTCGCTAATAATATCGTTGGAAGGAAGCTGAGTGTCTGTAGACATGAGTGCGATGGTTGAGATTGTTTAAGAGACAGGAAATCTGTGAGGAAGCAGTACTGGGTATTATATAGACCTAATGCCGGTGCATAATGTAGTCCTTGGAATAGTGTGATGTCTTCGTTTTTGGACTCTTCTGTAGCACTGGGAGCCTCAAACGGCTCTGGCATGCCTCTTCCTCTGGAGAGGCGCACAAAATGGTGATGATACCTATAGCTAGAGCCATCTCCGGCAAACAAGGAGGCAGACGTCAGTACTAACGTCGCCATAAGCGCCGCGAGAGGGCGCAGGAGCCATTTATGCCTCGGGGTTGTGGCATGCGTACTTCCCAGGGTTGCATTCAAGTAAGCTGAGTTGCCATACACCCAAGGACCTTCGCGCTCATCAACCGCATAGCGATGGCGATGACATTCGTAGAGACTAACAGCCGTATTGATCAAGAACGTCGTGCCAAATTCTGCGGTACGGCCTCAGTCAGTGTGCGAGCTTTATGCTTCACCGCGCCCGAGTGGTCGACCCAGACGGTCACATATCGCCGGACAGTCGAGCCCTACAAGCGCAAGTTCCGAGAGGAAAGGGGCTCCCGCACAGATGAGCATCAGCACCACGTAAAGGCTGTGATCAATGCAGAAACCCTGGCCGTTAGCCTTCAAGAAGCCAACATCACGGTCCAACAGCTTCGAGAACAGAAGGAGCCGTATGTACAGCTTGAGCTACCACCAGGCACTCAGCTACAATGTCTGCAACGATATGAGAAGGTCCTGGCAGCTACTGAGGCATCTGGCGGTGCTAAAGACCGATGGACTGTAGATCTGTACTTAGATGGTGGGTAAAGAGCAACCAAGCCAGCTCAGCGCTAAGAAGAGTGATATTAGACCTGAGCGCAGAACTTAGACGGCTCTTCCTCGAGGAACATGACTATCAGGAAGCACCCACCGATGGAGAGTTCTATCGCAAGATCCGGGAGTATCAGGGCGTTCACGGACAGAAGAATCCGTACTTCGAGCGGTTATGGCTAGGGCAACTCTCGGCTTTGTCAAAGAACCGAAGGTCTCTTTTCGACCAGCTTTGTCGAAACAATGCTTACCTTCAAGCTTTTGACAGCTTGCTGACCGTCCCGGCCCTTTTTAGCGGCTTCCGACTGACGGTAATACACCAGATGATTAGTATGAGATGTGAAGAGGTAATTTCATCCTGGCTTCCTGGTATAAGATGGCTCTAACGCCTTGTAGCCCGCTATCTCCTACTTAAAATGCATGCTGGACATGTGGATGAAGATATGTGGGAGTGATGAGTACAGGATGAGGGAAATCGACCCAGACACAGTCCGGGCATTACAAGGAATGGCTCCAGGAGCCTGCCGCTCGGACCATGCCTACCTCTGGGAGAAGCTGAAGGGCGGGCAGATACTTGGAAACTTCACCGAGCAAGCGCGCGCCGAGATGTGGTCGCAGATATGCTCTGTGTCTCAACACACTTCGATCCTCTCCCTACACACGTTCTTCGAAGATCTCAAGTTCCTCAAAGGCGCTGCCGACAGCTTAAAGAGACTGCTCCGTCTAGACTATCGAGACACCATAAAAGGTCATCTGGAGAGTATATATCGCGACGAAAGCTCGGGCGAACAGAATTGCGTGCTACAATTGTCAGACTGCGATTACAAACTGCTACAAGGTCCTTCGGCGGCTCGGTTCGAGCTGGCCTATCGCCAGCTTTGGTTGGCTGCCTTTCGAGTCTACCAAGACCTTCCAGCTGAACCGCACAAAAAGCATATTTTAGCAAGGCCACGGAAGAAAGCAGATGAAGTTGTGCTTTTTCGCTTGGCAGATGTTGCTTCCAAACTTGGGTTCACATCAGACCCAATCAGAAACATTCTCTTGCAGTCTCCGTTACGACAGATTGCTAGAGCGGCCCTTCTGGCGTTTAACAAGTCGGAACAACACGTATACAAAGACATAGAGAGAGAAATTGACCTGGTTATCGGAGTATTCAATAGCGCCGAGACAGTTCGCGCAGGAGAGATATCATCCTGCTCTGAAACTATCAGTAACGTCGGAAATCCAGCAAGGTGGGGATTACCACGTGATTCTGACCATGAGAGGGACAAGCAGTCGCTCTTTCTTACAGTCCTTCACAAGGAGGTGACAGAACCATTCCTGTTAATGACTTCGATCTTCATTCGCCGAGCTGTGTACTTCGCTTTCTTTGGTCGTAAGATGTGTCCAGGAGTTCATTTTCAGGAATTAGTGGACATCACGAATGAGATTGATTGTTTCATGGTTGAAACAGCGATTACGGAAGAACACCCGGAATGCAATAATGCAGGGAGACTGGAGGAACAAGAGGGACAAAGTCACAGCCAAGACAACGTTGGGGATATAGAATCCACTCTACGGTCACTAAGCCGAGCTGTAGATCAGAAGAAGATCGCCATAGTCTCGCTCCTTACCGGACAGAACACTACGGAGCTGGAGCTAGAATACATGGCAGAAGAGGGCCACGAATGTATCGACGCCCAGAAGATACTAGAGCAAGAGGTCCTTACCCTTGAACATATCCGCAGTCTACTAGAACAACGGCAAGAAACCCTAGGCAAGCTTAACGAAAGCGTGCAGTCGAAGCTAGTCGAGATCAATAATCTAGAGCTACAACACGGAGAGTTACGTAGATTACAAGAGGAGGAGGAATCTAAGCTGATAAAGCTTCAAGCCTCGGTAAAAAAACAGCAATCGGAGGTAATTAGATTGAACAAGCAAAAGAAGGCACAGGATCAGCACTTCGAGAAGAAGATCATCACCAGTCAGTCTAGATTAGATGAGCTAGAAGTTTCAGCACAGCAGCAGGAAGGAGAATTACGCAGACTAAACAACGACCGAGAGTCTAGAGAGGAAGAGCTTAATCGCTTGAAAACGCGACAGAAGGAGCTAAGCGAACTTAACGTTAACGAGCAAGCAGCCCTGCACAGACTTCAATCTTCAGTGAAAGGAGCAGAAGGAAATCTATCTCGACTGGAAGAAGACCTTCAGGCTAAGCAGCAGATGCTCAATGAGTTGGAGAGAAGGCGCAGGGAGCAATCCGGACTTTACAAAACTGAGCAAGCTAATCTAAGCGAACTTCAAGCTTCAGTGCGAGACCGGGAACAAGCGCTGGCCACTCTGGAAGCTTCCTTGAATGCACGGCAAGAGGAGGATTGCGATTCTAATAAGAAAAGGAAGGTTGCCAAAATATCCACGGATTTGAACGCGACAAGCAAAGCCAAGAAAGTCAGTCATAGGCAAAACCAGAAAGAATCACGCCCGGCGGAGGGTGGACAAGAGACCCTTGATAAATAGATCCCGCTCAGCGTTGCCACGTTCATTCCGAAAGTGAGAGGCTATATGGTGCTCGGAATATGTTGCTACGTACTGCTCAAAGGTAATTTATTAATTGGCTTGTTTTTCGTTCTAGGAAGCACCCATCAGCGCTGCTTCCAGGCATTTATGCGGTGCCTGCCTTCTTCTTAGACCTACATACTATCTGACACATTTCTAAAGCATACACAACCTGCTTCCTTCGTGGTCAATACCACCTCATTAGCACATACACTATCTTGACAATGCAAAAATGCGCACGGCAGGGAGGAATGGCAAGCAGTACTAATGGTAGAACCGCTATATTATGGTTAGCCTTATGGTTACCACTACAGGGTGATCATGAACTATTACAGGCGTGCTATTCTTGTCCACGCAGTTCTCTGAAAAGAACAGGCTTGCATTTAAGTGTAATAGAGAGCGATTGGCCTTGTTGCATTAGCAGGCCGAGTTTAATGCCCAGGACAAGTTTATCAAGTATCTATACTTGTGCATGTTAAGGAAGCGCGCACGTAATCTCATCCTCAGGTGCGTACGCGGAATTTAGCGTTCGCAACGCCAGCTTAACTGTGCGTACGCTGTTTCCAGCGTACGCACGACTATCTCGGACGTGCTCACGCAGGATTCTGCGTACGCAGCGCCAGGTCAACTGTGCGTCCGCAGGAAACAGCGCACGCAATGCTAGCCTTGGCGTACCCACACAGGATTTAGCGTATGCGGGAAGTCGCCCACGCAAAAAATAGCGTGTATCGGAAGCGGGGGCTGGCTTGGAGGTGCGTGTGCTCCTTCTTGTAAATGCAGTGTACACGCGGGAACGGCTTTGTAGCAGGACCGCCCGACGTGTGAACACGTCGTAATCAGAGTATGATTGTTATGTCTCCCGTTCTAGCAGTGTCACAGGAAGCAGGGCATTTCGGCTGCCATGTGTCGGGGTCCGGCAGCTTACTCGGGGGTACAAAATAAACATTCGAGGTAAATTCGCCCACGCGTCTTAGACAAGCGAAAACACTATCAACGCATTCACCCACCAACAATAATTACATCTACTTCTTGGCTGGCTGATGATTTACTATACGAGAAGTGAGGGAGGGGCTTCGACTTCGCGCAGACCGATTCGTAGACTTGTCGGGAATGCTGGCGCGCGAGAGTGGTAAGATCTCGATCATTACCTGCGATTTAAAGCGCGCAATAAACCCCTGCACGAGAGGGACTTTTGGAAGGCTATTAATGGTAGCTGGAACCAGGCGTGTTGGTACATGGATCTCGTTCTGAATCGTGCAGTACAAGCCAGAAACCAGGAATCCCTAGCGCCGGAACTGAAAAGTGTCACGTGCGGGCCGTACCGAACTGTCGGGACAAGCTTTGCGACGTGATTGGATTGTCTCTGCAGGGGCGACAGGGAAGTGCCTGCTAGCCAGGTTTAATTTGACTCCTCTGGCGCACTTTACATGCAGGGGCATCTAGCCGGCCTAGCCGACCTAGCCGACCTCTGGGTCTGGCACCTTCATCGTGATTCACAGCTCATCGCGAGCCTGGATTCTCGAATCAATCTGATTAGCCGGCTCGGCGTGACCGCGGTGCAGGTAAAAGTTTTCTTGTACGCGTGTACGCCGTACCGAACTGTCGGGACAAGCTTTGCGACGTGATTGAACTGTCTCTGCAGGGGCGACAGGGAAGTGCCTACTAGCTGGTCTACTGAGACTAGGCATCTGGCCGACCTCCGTGGCTGGCACCTTCATCGTGGTTCACAGCGCTTTGGAAGCCTCAATTTCTTGGATTAATCCGATGAGCCGGCTCACCGTCACCCCGGTGCAGCGAAAAGTTCTCTGGTACGCGTGTACGTCGCTGACCTGCGTTGACCCAGCATTGCGGCCTTTCGCATGTCGCCAATCATGCAGCCTTGTTCGCTTTGGCACCTTGCACGTCCTGGCCTCGGCATCAACAGTCGAGTCCGCCAGGATCTCCGCCGCAAAGTATATTGTACCTGAAGAATCCGCCAAGCCGCCTTCATTTCCAGCTCAGAGCTATTTCCCGATGCACTGTTTATGTTCTCTCCTGTGATGCAGTGACGTTGGGCCCCTGGTCGTGTTTGCGGTCCCTTGGCTGTTGTTACATCTCGTGGAGTGTTGTGAGATGGAACGTCAGCTTGTGATTTTTCGCTCACCGGCTTCTGGCACTTGTCTTTGTTGCTTAGAGTGTGTGCGTAACACAGACTGGTCTCCACTTCCCTGGCTGGTGAACAAGGATTATCTGGGAGATCATCGGTAGAGTGCGAGACCGCTGTCTCCTGAGATAGCTGCCGCGCTCTCGGGCTGCACAGGTCGAAATGACAGCCGACCTGGGGTGGAGAACAACGCGCGACTGATGCCGCTTCTGCAATTCCGTCAGATCCGAACAGGCCTTCCAAGCCGAGTGATGGTGATCTGGATGAAGTCTCTCCTATCGTGCTATGATATTCTTCCGGATCCGCCCGTACATGGACAACGTCTGCATCCTGTCTTTCGCGAGTGTCATTTGGGAGCAAATGCTCTCGAGCCTATACATAGTTTAGCTTGAGCCAAGTCTTGCTAAAGCGAGCGCAGCTTACAAATCTGTTGACGTCCGGCAATTCCATCCCTTTCGGCAGATAACCGCCTCCTTGTATCTTTCGGGATACTGGATTGTAAACAACATATAACACAAACGTGTTGCAGTCCCTCCCGAGGCTGACAGCTTTTCTGGTCGCGCTGCTTGAATTCTTCCGGATCCTCTCCTTCTCGGCTCTGTTGTGATCTGTGGGACAGCCTCTCATTGTGACGCTGGCTGTGCCTGATTGGTATGGTCACTGTTACTCAATGCCTAGAACGTCGGAAATGGCCGGTAATCCAGTGTTGAGGTTACCGTTGCCGTTAAGATTATACCGGTGTCTTGTCCTTCCACTTTCTCAGGGTTGTTCTACATATTCTACTTGTGGCTGCTCCTGTACAAGGAGCCAAAAACTGCTCTAGTATTTGTCGTCTATGATGCGACGGGGTGCCATTGTAGATGACATCATAGCCCGCATGTCCGGAACACGGCAGACGTTTGCGACAAGCTGGCCGGCGTGCAATCATACGTAATACTTACCACAGCTACAAGAAAACCCAAGAACGGCTCCGATACTGTTCACATTGTGTGACAGGGGCGCCGCTAGCCCCAGAGCATTTAATCTCGGCTAAAGTGATGAACACACCCTCGAACATTGGGACCTCGAGTACTGCATGAGATGCAGTAATCATCCCGCCTGATAGCAGAGACAGCGGCCATTGCAAGAGAACTAACACCTCGTGCAGCATTCCTCCGCACCACTTGAGCACAGTGGAACTTTTGGGCATACGCCCCTGATCCTTCCCATGCTTGTGAGGTTTGCCATGACTAGCGTTCTTTGAAAAAGCCGGCAAGAAGCGGCAAATTCCGCTTGGTAGCTTTATAACCCACATTCCTCGTTCGGACGACGTTATATGCCATACTATGGATGATGGCTCACCAGCTCCGCAATTCGCCCAATACAAAGAGAAGTTGCGAGGGTTTAAAGCTTCTCAATTTTCTACCAGCTTTGAGATTTTGCCGTGCGAACGCACTTACTATATTGTGATAAAGAAAGAGCGAACTCAACCCAAACCGCTCTATTACATAGCTCATTCAAGTGCTTGTCCCAACTCTGCAGCAAGGGCAGCCATGTTTTAAGCAAGCCGCGATTCATGGAGCAGGGGCCATTTCTGGCTGCTTCACCACCATACTAGCGTGCACAGCCAACATGTTAGAGCCAACATTGATTGCATCATCATGGTACTTGGAGTTAAGGCTACCAAAATTAGGCTGAGGCCTGTCGAACTGTTTGGTTGCCTATAACATGCGTTCGCCCGTCTTATCTGGGAGGGAGAGTAAGCTAATGATAGCGCGAAAACGTTCGACTAGCTCGCTCAGTGCGGTAGTAATTTCCTCAGTAATTCATCTGCCACTTCCGAGCCATCCTCACCCCTCTGAAGACAATGCGGCCCTACCACCAAACACGGGGTAGTGCGCAGTATCAACAGGTGCAACGGAACCAATCCTCCCTTCATCTGTCCCAGCAGCTTCAGCAACCTCAACAAGCTCTACCCACTTCTCAGCTTCAGCAGCCACAGGGACTGCAGCAGTTGCAACAGAGCCAACCCTCCCTCTTTCCGTCGCAGCAGCCCCAGCAGCCTCAGCAGCCTCAGCAGCCTCAGCAGCCTCACCAACCGAACCAGTCGCCGATAGACCAACAGTCCCATCACGAGCCTCAGCAGTCACACCAATCACAAGTGTACCAACACTCGCAACAGCAGCCAACTGTTCAGCAGACAAACTCGCAAACCCAGCTCTCCACCGATGATGAACTCTGTCTTTTAGGGGAGATGAATCCTTCCGAACATAGCCGACAGCTGTTTTTTGATCCGATGATGATGCCCAGGACGAGTAGGCTTCCCATGTATAGTCATGACTCTGCTCAGCTCCATTCAAGAATCAACGATCTGGATGATAGCATACAACAGTAAGTCTGCCTCGCCTGATGGCTCATGGGCGTTGTGGACCTCTACTTACCTATTTAGTCTCTTACAAATGGCTTCTAATGTGCAGGACCAGCAGAGAAAACTCTCGCAAAAGTTTACAACCTTAGAATTAACGGTGACGCGAGAAGTTGATGGGTTGTGAGAAACCCTGCCCTGCTAAAAAGAACGCTGATTGACATAAAGCTGCAGGACTGAGCAAATTCTGGCATTGTGAGTCTAAAGACCGAAAGCTCACACCATGTTGCTAATGCATAAACAGCGCCCAGAGCCTGAGCCCCTTCCACAGGCAATCTGGTTCGAACCAGACAAATCAGCCCCATGCGGCAGGGCCCGATCTCAACGCATCCTACATCGATCTCAACCAAATGTCCGATCAGCTAGAGTAAAAACTGCCAATTCCGCAATGGTTCTCAGATAAACGGAACGAAAACGATCTGATGCCCGTGCGACGCGAAACTGGTTCCATTCAAGAATAGGGCGGGGCCGTCGTCGGAATCTGCTGGGATCTAATGAGCCTAAAGGCGTTGTAGAGCAGTGGATGCTGGTGGGAGTCACCATGGCGGCACCCAGGATGAGGGGTCAATAGTTGCTAGAATACTTCGAACAATTCCTAACTTCAGCGGCTTTTGATGCGGATGGTCTCACTGATGATGGCTGTCACATTGGTGATTGCCACAGACAGTCACGTGCATTACATGCTGATAACTATGTAGTGACTAGTCGATGTGTACTGGGGAGTGCTGTATAAGAAAGTCGTTTCCCCGGAACAGGAAAGATGATGGGGCCCCCTGCAATCATGATCATATTTCCTCTTTGGGCATGTACTGCACAGGCTAGCCTCAAACACCCAGGTCTCGCCGCTGCTTCGATAGATGCGACAATTTTCGCTCTGAACTGTACTGCCGAATCCTCTCAGTCTCGAGGTTGCATTAAATAGCACATAAGCCTTCGCCAAACCCTCCAGATAACGACGCACGCGCGTAACACTAGAAGTCTAACCAGCATACTTCTCGCCGGGAAGCAGCCTGACAAGCGCTCAATCTCCGCCACTCTTACTACCCGGTGCTAAGCAGTAATACTGCTTCTCCTCAACTAGTCTGCCCTCGTACAAGTGGATAATGTGACGTTCGGCCACTGTTACGTCGTGGAGCTGGCCTCCTACGGATCTAAAGGAGACATTGTACGCAGCCACTCCTCGACGACTTCCGATTGCACATTATCGTCGGGCCGCTCTGCTTCTGTGATGTCTATCGATATAGAGTATCGTCTGGAATCTCGGGGTTGCTGTGATGGAGTTTGTGGGTTTGGAGAAATGACAGGTGCGGCGCAGCAAACCTGTTGCCGCCGATGAGAAGACCTCTTACAGCGTCGCAATATTATTTTAGCTCTATCCATGGCGCGAAGGGGCGATGATTCGGAGCGTGGAAAAGAAGGTATGTCAGGCTGCGATGTGGATGCCACTCTAATAACAGTTTGGAGTCTAGCAATTTACCGCGGGGATGCATCTCCATTGATTAGGCTTTGTTCGTCTTGTGCTATAAAGCTAGGTTCGGCCCTGCACAAGCAATGCAACAAGCATCCAATTGCGGCGTGTCCGTATCGTAGCAGAGACCAGCCTCCATATACATGAAGACTATTTCCAAAGCACGTAAGCCCACTGGGCGAGTGTACAAGGTTGCAAAGCTATGCAATATGCTAATCTCATGTTATACTCCGTTTCCGGCTGTCTCTGAACCTTCCTTCTCAGTTGCCTCGACCTCTGCCTCTCCAGCCTTGACATACAGTACTGTACAGTGCTGCAACATGCTAACTTATGATTGCTTGCAACCTATCGGTGCTAGTATGGAAGCTGATTATGGAGGCACGTCGGAACAAAGGAGCACGCAAAGCCCAGGGATCCAGGAGCCGCAATGCTGCCAAGACTGGGTCTAAGCCTCGGCAAAAGCTAGCTCCTCCCCACGCGCTTGTGATATCGCATATAAATACACACTATTAGCCTGTTCACATTTGATCACACCACTCTTCACTTCGTCTTTTTATCTTTTATACCTATGGATAAGATCATACTACTAAGCCGAGATAACGAGCGAATCGAGATCCCCAAATGTATTCTGCCAGACTCAGTGCTCAATGACAGGCGCGAAAACCTTACTAGCGAGCCTATTTCGATAAGCTTCGCCGACGGGAGCGTGCTTGAGAATGTGAAACAGTGGTATACCAAGTTGTCCCAGATGTCTGGGCTAAAACAAGATGTCCTCGCTGAAACGCAAGTATGGCAACATGCCTTTTGGGAGCGGACAAAAGATAAGCTACTCGACATAGTCAATGTAGCGGACATCCTCAAATTCGAATCGCTACTCCAGGGTGCGTGCAAGGAGGCAGCCAGGTTGCTCATAGATAGAGCCATTAGTGGAGTCGACAAACTAAGGCCTCACCAGCAGGCTCATATTGCTAAGAACATCCCACCTTTCCTATTGCGTGCGCTGGTCGACCAAGGGAGACTCCAGATCACAGCCGAACAGCAAGAACATAATCGGCTATGGACTAGCCTGTTTAGATCGGACAAGTGGTTCGAAGCTGTCTTCACCTGCAAGATAAATCCTGTCTTAGTCGCTAAGAAACTCGGAGAAAGCCCCCATAACTATTGCTATCAAGCATGGACTTTGATGGCGACTTGTATGGAGAGCAGTCACTGCTGCGGGGAGCTTTAAAAGAACACGAGTTTAATGAGAAGACCTGGGAATGTACGATGGTAGCTTCGAAGCAGGTACTGAATATTTCAGAATTGCTCAGGGGCGACCACTCGCGAGTACCGCGTCTTGAGGATAAGCTGGTCTTCCAAGGGCACGATAACGAAAGATCGATACGGCTGATATATCTTAAGAATACCCGTGTTCGCACATTGAGGAGTAAAACCGAAGCGAATGGAAGGATCGATATAGCTTGCAAAGAAAGCCCCAGCCTAAATTGTCGCAGTCTCACATGGACATGCATTGATAGTTCCATCGAGGAATATCAAGAGCCTGTCTTGTTTGGATATTAATTGGTATCGTGGAAATAGGAGTCTATCTCTTATAGTTATGTCTAGTTTAGTATATGATAATATTACGTATTATGTTACGCATCTGTTAAGTATTAGGGATACTTTATCTGCGAAAATTCTCCTATAATGCGCGAAGTCCAATCGACAAAAGCTAGTCTTTTTATTGCATAGGCGGAGATATGGCACGACTAAGATCGAATGTCTAACTAGAAGTGGAACAGATTGATTCATTAGTCTAACGACAGTCTCAACAGCCGGAGTGGGAAGTGCGGAACCGCTTCGAAGCCCTTCTAGCGAGATGCCCTGGCTGCGAAGACGCCAGCCCCTAGACCACCTCCTGTCCTACTTCTCCTTCTCTAGAAAACGTGCTGTGCCTAACTACTTCGGGCACGTGCTGAGCAGAGAATCAGGTATGACACATGGGGCACATCGAACGATGAACAGGAGCAGCGCTGCCAGCGACGGCGAGCTCTGTAGGATCCAAACGCCACGTCCGCCAGTACACGAATAAGCCCTTCCGCCAATCAGCTCGCTAATCATTCTAGCGACAGAGATTAGGCGTACACAATAACACGGCGCCTGACTGTTACCGTGGATAGATTGGCCTGCTAGGCGGCCACGTTGTGCTTCTAGGGAAACAATAAGTCGATCCATGGATCGATCTATGTCTAGCCGCAGGGCTAAGAGCTATAAACTTTTGGAGAAGATAACTACAAGCATAGCTATGGTAGATAAATCGAGGAGAAGTGATACGAGCTCTCCTACTAATCGAGGTTCTTAATAGGGATTAGCGGAAGTCCTAGCAGAAGTCGGACTTCCCATGGCATCTCAGCATTTCCAAATTCTGAGGCTTGCGGTGGTGAAATCTCGCTTTCTGAGCGATAACACAAGTGATCGAAGAAGAAGGACCTGTCCTCTAAATGACAAGCGAAATCTCGGGCGGTAAGATTCTCATAGTCTGAGGGCACTCCTCCACCATGTACTTGCCATCTCGAGAGCCAATCCAGTAAGTGGTAGTATGCTTCCTTGAAGGCAGGACCTTCGATTTCGGTTGCAGCTTGAACAGCTTGAGTCGTTAGTGATGAAGATAGATGCGGTGTATGTGAGACTTCCTCGGCAATAGTCAGCCACCACTTCCGGACCAGCTCTAGCCACGACTCGTGCTCTCCACGTTGCATAAAGTATGAACGGCCGCGGATGATGTGACGGAACCAGGCCAGTGACTGCTCTTCGTCCAGGCTCTCAGTCTTTCTTTGAACTCTAAGAAGAGTCTTGCGCACAAAAAGGGCTTTGTGTAATGGGCACTCATCGCGCCACAAAGCACGAATTTCGCCACTCTGTCCCAGAAAGTATCCTTCCTGAAGTATCTCCGAGATGTCTGAGCATCCTCTTAGGGATTTCTCAGTGCATTGACAGCTATACTTCGCAAGAACAACCAATAAACACATAGTGATACAGGATTCTTCCTCCGTGATTGTTGAACATGAAGTTCACCTCTGGGACTCTGTTGAACGTGGGGGTTACCTCGCCTGGAATCTATAGCCAGACTGCATCCATTTCCAGCGTTCGCAACCCCAAACTCCAGCTAAGCTACCGTTACTCTTGAGCCCACCGGCTGCGTCCCATGGCTGCCCTCAAAAACACAATTTACGCAAGCAGCAGAGCCGTCGTACCCTAAGGTCCCATAGAACTCCCAGGCTGGGTGGTAATCCGCCCACAAGGACCCACTGAACAAGGACTCTCCTTGTAGTGCATCTGCTGTACAGGCTGGCTGGCTTGCACAGTCAAGGAATAGATCGGGCATGGCGCAAAGGCCAAGAATAAGTCCAGTAGCCCGATGCTTCCGCGCAAGAATATAACTCTCGAAGTCGGTCCAGTTCGAGAACTTTGCAAGAAAAGGGATGTTAAGGTCGATAGCTCCAAAGATGGATCCAGATTCGTACAACTCGTCGCACACGTCGATCAAATCAGTCATCTCATCTTGGTCAGACTAGTACTGTTAGCCGTGAGCACACGGAGAGCGAAGATAAGAAGTACCTTATTAGGCCAGCTAGTCTTAATCATAGACAGGAGATGCTGGATCAGAGGATCCTGTATATGCATTGAGCAGGTATAGGAAGACGGATTGGAGCTCGTTAGCACTCTCTCTTTCCACTGTATAGCTTGCGCCATTTCCACTGGTATAGAGATATAGCGTCCGAGAATCATAACTGTTACTGTTGCGATGATGAGCTTGGTCAACTGAATGAGCCGCGCTATGTCTGAAATATTAATATCTCGTCCCGAACAGGTACCCTAGACTGTTTATGGCGCTTGTCGGCAGTCCTTACTATCAAAGCAAGGGTAGCCTGGAAGAGCCATTCTCGGTGCTCTGGCTGTCGCGGTATGCCTGGGACTGGTCTTGCAACCACGGATGGTGTTCTCCAGTACATAAACCAGTAGCTGGTCGGCCCTGGGTGAGTAGCTCTGTTGCATCTTAAGGCTAATATGAACTCTGTCACATCCCCTCCTCACTCTAATCCCAGATCCCAGGTTTCGAACACAAGAGACCATGTCGTCTTCGACAGCCGTAGGACCCGGAACCACCGCATGGATATCTCATTTATACTTAATCCAGAAACCAATCAATCGAACAAAAGTGGTGTGATCGCACGAAGCACCGAATTTGTACGAAATTCTTCTCAATACAGAGTTAGAATACTAACATGTTCGCAGCAGAACGCTACCGGAACGCGATCAAGCTATTACAGGCCCGATAGCGCGAGACAGGGAATGCAGCCCAACTTTGGATCGAGATTAAAGTACTGAGATACTGATAGTAAGGACGGAGCAAGCGTAAAGGTTAGATAATGTCATTGGTTGTCGTGTTTCCACTATAAGCCCAAGCTTCGCTACTGTCCATAACGTTTCGCGCCCGCTCTTGTAATATTTCTCACTCTTGTATTTTATTGATCTCGGCTCATCGCTTGCTTATGCTCTTGATATTATTACCCGCCAACCTAGATAGTAGCGCTAAGAGGATGCATGATTGTCAAGGCAGTTCTAGTATCATTTGAAAAACAGTACCAGCCAAGAGAAGACTTTAATGGTACCGATATAACTGCCCTCAGAATCTTGACAATGAGCAAGGGTCATCATAACTTCGGCCACGTATGCCAGTACTGGCATGCGCTTATATGTCGGGATGTAGCTGGGAATCAGCAGGCAAGCAAGGTCCCTCGAGGAGGTTCTGCCAGTTGTCGCTCTTCATTACGGCAGATAGAGAGTAGTTGCCACCTCAGATAGCAAGTCTAGTCTATGCTATCCGTGCCATAATCTTCTTACACTAGTAGTCAAGTACCATATCGAGAAATTAGTTCAAATACAGAGCTTACTGTCGGCATCAATCGATCGGGTCCACGGTTCAAAGCCTATAGGAATAATGGATCAAGCACTAACATCAAGATATGCCATGCATAAATGAGCAGGCTTATCTTATCTACATATGTGGATCCACTCCTTTACGTATCAGTCGAGCACACAGCCATACATCGTAACACGTCTGGGCTTCGACAAAGTTGAGCCCGTAACAAGCTGCCAATAGCTTTCAAAGGGCCAACGCTTACGGGCAGAGGCGTGCTTGATTATGCAGTAACATAGGAGAGGCAGTAGAGCACAACACCCAGGAGGGCCTGTTTTCCTTTACGAGAAGTGTCCGTATGTGTCGCGATGCTGTGACTCCGTTTCCGGGTTGTGCACCAAAAACATTGCGCATCTCCCCAGACTCTAATCCCCACGGTTGTGCCTGCCTCACAGCTGGCCGCTTCACTACCGTCAGCTACTCCAATTTTGGCTGCTGCTCCACCCCCACCCCCTAGATGCAAAGTTCCACATTTCAAGGAACTGTGCCAAGGTCCGCAGTAGCGCACAAACTAGGGTGGTTCCCCGACTCCAGAAATGAGCAAAGTTCGGGGTGAGCTAGCTTGTGGTCGGAGACGCATTCGACCTCACGCACGGCGTTCTTGGGGCAATCCCAGAATGCTTTCAATGGCTCGTGCTAGAGTTTTCCTTTAGGGGCGTTTGACATTTAACTGTTTCAACTTATGGTTTTCTCGTACAGTACTGCGCAACGCAATAAGGTGGTCGTCTGGCTTTTGCGTTCGAGTCCAAACAGAGCACGAGCGGGAATCCGGAACAAGTACGATAGCACTCGGAGACGATGCTTCGTTCGCCATATGTAGCTATAAAGGAGTTCACGCAGATTGCGATTCTCGTAGCGAGGCGTAATAGGCGCAGAGGCAATCATAGCTTCCCGCACAGTTCACAGCAATTATTGCTGCGGTAGCTGTCAATCAGGCCGACAATGCCCTCGCTAAGGTCCTGGGTGGTCACGGCAGCACCAAACTGGATGTGGAGCATCGTTTCTCTTTGCCCCGGCGGGTTGAAGTCCATCAGGTAGCACTGGGTGGGTCGTTGAATCTGACAATGAACTGGACCTTTGTGACTTGCAGAGGCCTGGTATGCGCGCTAAGAAGCGGCTTCCACCATGAGGGGCATCCATTTCCAGCGCTCTCACATCACGGACAACTTCGCGATTCTTCAGATGTGAGGTGACATGACGTCAACTCGAAATGTCAATTGTCCTACAAAGTAGAAGAAGACACTCATTTAGGCCCAACGCTTCCACCATAATGCTCGCCAGTACAAACGCACGAACAAAGACCGACCAAAGACCGACCAAAGCCTCCCAGAGCCGACTGGAGAAGGAAAGCCTCTTGTGTCCCATCACGTTATAGGCGATGACTTCGCAGCCTGCCCGAGTCAGACTGCCGCCGATCCAGGAAATGGTTGCGCAATCGCACATCGCGAATAGACATCGAGGGCAGTATAGCCTTGCCCAGGAGCACCCAGCGGAGGAGGGAGACAACATCTTATCGCAGCCATGGACTTTCTTACATGCGCAAGGAACAGACGGTACCACAGATGCCCCTCAGCACGTTTGGCCCGCTCAACACATAGTACCCGTCCTTGGAACAGGCCCAGTCATCATGCTAGCAACGACCGGGTTCTGGACCTGGCCGTGGTTCGGCACCGGAAACGAGCAACAGTACAATTATCTGATACATATTCTGCCTGTCGGAGTGTTAGAACAAGTTCCCTCGGCTCAGGTACCTCTGCCAGGGATGACGGACTTTCAGGTTGATCAAGAACCACAAACACAGGCCTCGAGCTGGAACGCCATGCAACCCCACACCAGCAACCATCAGGAGACTCTTTATCGCTCGCCAGGTACTCCGTACAGTACAGACCAATTCGATGTCGTAGAGAGTCCGCCACCATGCCTGCCTGAGATCCCGCCGAGCTGCGCTACAACACAAATCCACTTGGAGAACAACATGGTCGTCGCCAGCCCTAAGGCGACAGCGCAACCATTCCACCTTACCATTAACAATGCAGAGCAGCCTTTCTACCCGCAGTTCGGTGGAGTTGTCGACGACAGAACGCTCTATCACAGTGTAAACCCCCAACGGCGGCAACGTGAGTCACGTGGTTCTAGGAGAAGTCGAAATCGAGGCGCCGGTGCTAAGAATATCCCTTGTGACAGATGCAAAAAACACTTCATTTCTGATGCTGGAGTAGCTTCACACAAGCGTCAGACGGAGTGTGGAATCGGGCACTCGGGTGGTGTATAGGAAGAAAGACGTGCATTGTGTACACAAGGCCAAGGATTATACCATGCCCACCAAGAAGAGGGAAGCAATATGGAAAGCTCCAGAACGCATATAGACTTAAGAAGAATATTTCAATTCTACGGCTGTCACGGGGAGTTTCTAACGCCCGTAGTCCATGTCTACGGCACGCTTGGCATGCTCAGTGAGCATGGCGAGAGCTAAGATGTTTCGCCGTGCCTCAGCTCGCATGCAAGCCAGACCAGGCGCTCTATGTTGGCTATATTATGTCTTGATTAGCTCGCTACCGTCCTTTTTGGCATGGTGGCGGGCAGCGCAGATAGCACGTCTTAAGCACCTTGTCCAGCCTTCATGGTGTCCTGCCTGGAATCAGCCAACAATGGGGCTGCTAAAGTGTCGTATTTCACATTTCGGGAGCTCGACGGGTTGTGGAGTCTGTCGCTTTGGTTCTACCAGTACTCCATCTATCCTCATCCGACGTGAAATGACTGCGAGGCAGCGAACAATACGGCGGGGAAAATGGAGATTAATCACTTCGGACGAGCTTGCCCTCCATGGGCAAAAGAAGGCGCTTATCCCTGCGAGGATGCATAACGGTGACGGTCAATATCGGCTCCATGTCTTCGACGAGCACGGTAGCCATATCGGTGTATTTTCCACAATCGCGGGCAAGCTAGATATAGAGCTTAGTCAACCCATAAGAATGTAGACTAAGTGACTATTCTGGGACCTATGCAGGAGTATATATATCTAGCTTCTTCTTTACATCTGTTATTGTCTAACGCACATAGTTTATTAAACATTCAATGGTTAATAAGTCCTTCCTAGTCTTATCTCTAGGCTTCGTACAGGAAATCTTAGCCGCTAGAACTTGTATTCATGGCAACGGAAGCAGCACTAGTTTGGAGATCCCTCGAACTAAGCCGTTACATACGAGTACTCTAGCCGGGACAGCTACACCCCAGGCTTCATCCAGTGATAACACCTTTAGTTTCTCGATTATTACATTCAATCTCAGCACGTATGCGCCATCGCCTACTAATAATGTAGTAACGGAGTGGACTACAGTTGTTCCTGTGCGGACAGAAACATCGGTAACTTGGGTTACAATAGCTGGGTAGCTAGGCTCTTGAAGACTTCCTTTCGTTGAATACTGAGTTCTGAGTCATTCAGACAATTCAAACTGCGTCATAGAAGAGTTCCTAATATCTTGAGCTCGCATCTCGCTGATCAATTTGCGCAACGTCAGATCTCCAGCATGTTTGGAGGCCCGGTACTGTACCCTAACCTAGTAGAATAAAATCTGGAAAGACTCCTCTCTGTCTCCCATCACCTTCTTAATAGAGATTGCAGTCCATCGGGGACGCCTGCTTAAAGGAAGTCTTAGTGCAGGCGCCCTGGACGCCCTATCATAGGACAGGCCAGTTCCGGCGGCTCCAAAAGTGGCTCCTCCATTTTAGGGGACGGATAATGGCCCACCCGATAATTAGGGAGGAGCTTCAACTAAATCACTACCGAGTTGGAGGGAGACTTTTGGAGCAAGATTGCAGCTCGGTGGCGTTTTTAAACAGGCGGGTCGCCTTTGCTCAATGGCGCTACACGGGCAATGGCATTGGCCCAAAGCACTCTATGAGCAACTAAGCACGACGGACGCTGCGCTGCTTCAAAGGTCAATTTCCAGCAAAGCGCTCTCACCATGACGGGTATGTCAACCTGGCACCCAGCACCGTAACCTTGGTTCTGGGATATGTACTCACATGACAGCAGGGAACAAAACAGCTCCTACCTCTAGCAATCCGCGCCGCACTGTTGACAGACACCAACGTCCACGGAAGCTCGAGAGGTCCACAAGGGTCTACCACTGTTCTGGCAACACCATTGAGTCATCGAGGCCGGATACTCCCGTGTCACAACACAGCGACACAGCGTTACGGGCCGAAGGAGTGTCCGGCAACTTTCGATATTCCAGTCCGCTCCTTGGTCCTCCAACCATGTTGGCACAGAGGTCGATCACCTCAACACTTGCGCCGATCGAAGAAGAGCATGACCACACGCGGCTTGAGCAATCCAGGTTTCGGGCAATGAGAGAGTCTACCGAGTTACAGCTCCAGCAAACACTAAAGCCAGGACGCCTGGGCCGCCGCAATGCAAACGCGCCGAAGACTGGCCGGCCCCCGAAGCGCACGCGCTTGCTGGATGACCCCAGTACTTGTGGTAGAGAAGACGGCATGCAAAGCCTCGAGCTCGTCTCACCAGATGGCGGAGCTCATCCGCTTGAGATTCCGCCAGGGCCTTTCAAGTACCAAGTTGCACTGCCTGAAGGATTATACTACCCAGTCCGTGACCTATCCTTTCGCCAAGATCAGGAGTCCGGTAACGTCATCATCACTGTCATTTGGGATAACCTCTCGCTTCCCCTGCGGTGTTTTTACGTTGCCGAGACTTGGGAAGGGCTGCGAAGGTGGGTATTAAGACACCTAGGTGAGGAGTACGGGTGCTATTTCGACCGAGCCAGTCAAATATTTGACAGTGATAACGCTTCGGATGATTACTCGGAATCTCACATAGTCTCAACGTTGCAGCTAAGCCAGCAGTGGGGATTGGTGGCGACCTGGCCGACGAGCGATATTAAATTGGAGTTACTAGATACCGAGGCGCAGCAGTCTGCAAAGTCATACATCATCAAGCACTTCGGCGCTGAGGTGTGGAGAGCTGAAGCACAACGAGCTAGACTAGAAGACAACTATTAGTAGACGTTCGGGTATGAGCTTTCACAATCACTATGGTATTTTCTGATTGAGTGTAATCTCCCAGCCACTTTAGCACTCGCTATGATCTGCCTTCCACGACATACCCTTCAATGGTTCGAAGAGAAAGCAAGGGTCCGTGCCACCCAACGTGACTTGGCTCGAGCAGAGCTGAGCTGGGCGTTGCTGAAGACTACTCTTGAGGCACGCCTGGTCAACATCACTCAGTGTCGCAGCGGCCGCGTCTACGTGGCTATCTTTCCCATAACCTTAGACGAGCATCGCTTGTATGACTAACTTTGACGTTTTCAGCCCGAATGATACAAGTCACTGCGTGTTCCATCGAGATAGAAGAGGTTTATTGGGAGAACCCCGCCCTGTGTTGCGCCTGTGACTCGTCTTATGCCCTGCCTCTTGGCTACATGTACCAGAGCGGAGACGTGGGCCGATGTCCCAATCCGGTAATATCATGTGGCCATGAATGGGGCTTATGATATTTCCTGATTGGGATAGTGGGTATCTCCACTAACACAAAAACGAATGGAGAGTAATTAAGCATAACATTCATGCAAGTCGCATCCTTGCGCTCTAAAGAGGTCTACAGGTACGTCGTGGGATATTCGGCGGTACTCTAGCTCTGGTGGCCGGCTCGGATTGTGGGCGAACAAGCCAAATTAAGACATGATATCTCGGCATCGAACTCATCTCCAAGCCAACCACCATACAAAATTGTTGCGCCAGTCTTGTTTCGTTCAATGGTTCCTGGACGACAGATTGTTGTCCAACCAGGTGTACAGGGTATGGTTGGTAGATTCTGGTAATCTTGAGAAGACTCGATGCCACTGTATGCGCACGCATCCCAGAGCTGAAGAGCGCATATCTGAGGATGGCGGGGTGCATCTGTCTTTCCACAGAGCTGTATGAACATGTCTGCGTCATACTCGTGGTTTGGATGACCGTCTCGTTGAGCATGATACTGACAACCCTCCCATATGCGAATGCGCTGCAGCGACCGGGGCAGCGAGGATTCAATAGACCTACCCCTTGCCAGCTCAAAGGAGAGCCATGTCGAAGGAATACTGAGCTCTACAACCTTGAGATCCTGCAAGCTTCCAATATTCTGCCAACACTTCCAGGCGTTCTGGAACGTCAAGATTCCACAGTCCGGCCGCGTTTCCCACCGAAGACGCTTGATCGTCTTCCCATGATTGCGAAGGACTTGAGCAATTTGCGAATTTTCGATGGTGAATATATCACCGAGCCAGACGTCTACCAAACTCGGGCATGAGGTCAAAATGCTTGCGAGATTGTCCTCTTTGATGGGAACATGGGACAGGTGTATATTCATCAGTCGCTGCGGTAGCATGCCGGCAAGATCTGCTCCGCTCAGGTCCATGTTCCTGAAGGACAAGACGTCCAAGGATGGTTGAGATCGCAGCATCTCTCTGGCTGCCGCCTTGGATTCTTCTGACAAAATGGTGCCCTGCATCCCATGGACCCGAATGGTGTGGAGAGCCGGCAGAGCAACTGTACAGTTGCCTGAATGATCGCACGTGGTTTTCGGTTGCCACTCCGCATTACTTCGTATGTCTAGGCCCTCGGTGGCTTCACTGTGTGGATTTTGAGCCAATTCCACCCGCCGTGGACGTAGTATGGGCAGATTGAGGCGTGCGAAAACTGATGAGGTGATGGTGATTGACTCTACGCTCCGGAGCAGCGCAAGAATAATGCGGATGTACCAAAGAATGGCATCAATACCCTCACCCTTGCTGTGAACATCCAAGATGTGTTTCGCGATGTTCCAGCAATGCCCGGCACTGAGTTGATCCAAGGTACGTTGGAGATCCAATCTGATACTCTGAGTCGTAGGGCTCTTGCCGGGCTTGGCTGCTGGCTTCTCGTCGGGTCTGGCTCTTGGCTTCCTGACGTCCATAATGTCCAAAACATGAACATACGGACGCAGACCCTCGCAAGAAAGTATTGCTTGAAGATCATGGCCACCAAGAAGAGTGCCGTCTGTACTATCGAAGCGGATGACAACGGCACGCCATCTGACTTTGTAGAAGAAAGGACGGAAGTCGTGGAAGTGTTTCGATGTGCCTGTGAACGCGGCTAGCGACTGGATGTCAAGGTAGGAGATGATTTCTGAATGGAGCTCAGTAGGGAGCGTGTCAATTGTCTTCGGCATTATGGAAACACGTAAGTGGGGAGAGGAGTCTGGTCTGAGACATGAGCAGGCAAGTGCGCGACGGATGGCTAGATATGTAACGTGGTACTAAAAAAGCGGTAAGCCCGCTTCACAAAGGAAAGATGGGCCTCGAGGGCGAGCCACCATACCTTCCTGCTGGGAAAGGGCTGGGAGGTAGGGATTTGCGCATGCCTACCAGGGGTGCACGACAAGATCCCTTGGCGTGCCTTCCTTTGTGGTCCCGCCCTTGGCCCCACACACATCCCGCCACTTTCGCCAAATCTTGGCTGGCGCCCTTGTTAGGCACGTGCTGACGAGGCTCTCAAATACAAGCAGTAACAATCATGAGCCGGGATCAGCTGCGGTAGTACTGGGATCCGAGGAGCTTGGCCCCAGTTGGTGGCGCCCTTATCGGAATATCAACGATAATGTGGCTTCGGTGCAGGACATCGCTCAGAAAGGCAAAGCACTGGTCTGCTCGCTTTGTCTCAAACGGGAAGGAATGATCCCGCCGACCCGCAGCACCATCATTCCTTCCCGTTTGGGGAAGGTGGGACGGGTGGTCTGCATTCACGAGACCAGCCGCCTGGTGAATCTGAGCTACCAGTAATCGAGCTTCGATGAATGGTGGATCCACGTGGAGGCAATTGTCTTGTAGCCAATTTCATGAACCACTCTTGATTCATGCACAGTATCGACAACCAGAGCGAAATGCAAGGCAGCGAGCCTATTGAACATCACGCCACCGACTAGCCCTGATGAGAGCAGGTAAAGCACCTGTACCAGCGACCGGGGCGGTGACGAAATGCGAAATACAACCACAGCAACCACGCAAACTCGAGAAAGAGCCATGACCTCGACAATCCAAGCACAACGATTGAGAGTCACGAGGAACCAGCGAACTTGGCAAGTCAGACCGGAGACGGTCTGCCGAACGATGGCTCGGACGTCACTGAACGCAGGCCCACTGCTAGTGTTCGTGCAGAGGAAGTTGGCACTGACGAGACTGCCGGACTTGGCAACACAGAGTCCAGACTCACCGTTGTCGACGACGGGGAGACAACCTCAGCATCCGCCCGCATCGTCAATCAGCATGACCATGAACGACACAGGAGCCAGGACAGCCCCCGGGGGACGGTCGCAATCCCGACTCCAGATTCTTGGTCAGCGTCACCCCTGATGCCGCCCGATGCCTAGAGAACATTCCTTCGGCCCCTGCAGCATCACAAAACCTCGGTGCAGAAGCCTCTGTGAGCATCTCTGCAGTTGTGGATTCAGAAACGGACACTTCCACTCTACGAGGTTGCAGCCGAAGGGGGATGCACGGGGCTGAAGAGAAAGCAGCCCAAGACTTCTCAAGATGCTTGCGCTCCAGGCGCGGGCAAAGACGCGAGAATTGGGATAAGAACGCCGAAGAAGGCCAGAACGACACTGTCAAGCCACGATACCAAGCAAGGCAGGACAAAGAGCAGAAAGAAATCCCCCACTCGTTCCTCTGGCTCCAAAATGCATGTGCAAACGCAAGAGACCATGGCTTCCTGCGCTGCTAGGACGTCAAAGATGGTAAAGAAAGACATTCAGTCCATAAGAACTTAAGGATATTCAGGAGTCCTGTGCGCATTTGAGAAAACAGCTGGCTTTGAAACTGAAGAGGGGGTTTGGCATGGCGGTAATAAATCGGAACGCATCAAAAGTTGGAAGCACCACTCCGAAACGCTCTTCATGTTCATAGAGGAGAACTTCCAGACGATGCACATTGCAAAAACCAGGAAGGCTCGATTTACGTTCACCATGAATCTCATTACATTTTACATCGTCATTCTGTGTGGTGTAATCCCTTTTCAGGGCAAGGCGCAGGGCACGATGCTCCTCGAGCAACAGTCTCTGGAGGCGGGGAATGCGTGTCTGTGGTAGACTCGATAGTGCCGGCGGATATGCAGCCTTCCCCGAGCTCTGCTGGGCCTACGCGCAGCTTTCGTCAGCTACTGATCTCGCGGAGAGCCTGAAGTCCAAGTGGGCACTTTATAAAAACCTTTCCATGAAGGAGACCGGATCGAATATTCTGCTATGTTATGGTCGCGACAATGTGCGACGTGCGACGTGCGACGTGCGACGATATACGATATACGTAGAAGGCATGGCTATATCTTACTACGCGCAAACAACGATATATCAACACCTTAATACCTTACTACATCCTGTTCCATCTCCGTCTTTATGACGAGCTCCTCTCGATCTCCTATAACCGGTTTAAGATCGCTCATATCGCTAACTCTCCTCTATACAGACAATGAAGGCAAATGTCCTTCTTACGAACTATACCAATATCGAGAAGGTGCTCTTCTGGAAGTTGAACGATTTAGAGACTATCCGTGTTACGCTCCGCAATACCTTCGCAGACGACGATCCAGAGCTTCCAGAGCTGACTAAATCTCTCGCACGGGAGTGACGGAGTAATTGTGATCTTCCGGTCAGAACCCTCCGAAATAAGCCTAGACCCAGTCAGCAGCAATGACAAAGGAAATGCCCTTCGCCGGAACAAACCAATAGTTCTCAGCCCGCTTATTCCACGTTTGGCTCCCCAACGCCACGCGTGACGGATCCCTCTTCGAAGATCAACTCTACCAACTAGCCCGCAGCGTCCACGGACCCCGTGACTACCTCCAATGCTTCCACCACCTCCAGGGTCGCACCCTTGACGAACACTTCATCGCCATCCGACTACCGCTGGACTACCCCCCTGGGGCACTGTCGGCGCAAGCAACAACCCATCTTTCCCTCGGAAACACATAGTCCAGAGCGCAACCACCCACGTTGTGCATCCTAACCTTCGAGAAGCAAGCAATCTCGAGGAAGCCGTGCACGCGTTCTCCGTCCACCGAACCTATACCCCACCGCATCCACAGGACAAGACCTGGAGAGACGATATCCGAGAACTCTCCGAGTGTGACTGGTTTGACAAGGTGTGGCGCATCAGGGAGAAGGGAACCATCCGAGGATTTTCCTAACGACTACTCGATGTCCCAACTCTCTTCCCTGCCGTCAACGACGACCTCTCTTCCAACAGATCGGTGACGCTACCCATAAACTAGTCGAGGCTGTCAGAATCAACATCGACCTCGCAGGGACGTACCAACTTGAGAGACAGCGCTTCGAACACGAGCAAGCTACCTCTGCCACCCAAAGAGACGAACTCAAAAGCGCCGCCTCAGGAGCCAAGGGCCTTGCATCTGCCATCATACGCACAGAAAAAGTAGAAAACAGCTCGACGCCCAGCAACAAGCCGCCGCGCAGGCCAGCCCGTTCGCCGACAGCGACCTAGTGACCCTGGCGAAACTAACAACAACGATCATGGGGCCGCTGTCAACGACAACAATCCCAGATCAACAGTCCAGATCGACGAGCATGACTCGACTTCTGTTCTTGCCAGAGAACACGCGGATACGAACGACATTCATGGCAGCCCGGAGAATACGACCAGTGTTCATCGCTCTGTGCCAATGTAAGCTGGGCTCAGTGCCGAAATGCCTGCTGAACGCACTAGCGTGTTGTAAGGGCTGGCGCCAGAGAGAGACTTCAGTGATGTTTTGGTACTCCTGCGGGCGTTCCCGGCCGGGTCGGATGGTAGTGCCATGCTGCATAGATCTATCGAGGACAGCGGACATAACGATTGCACGTTGCGTGGAGGCACAAGGGTCCTCGTGGGATCACGCATCACTTCATGTCGGAACTCCTCACTTCATGATCAAACCCTTGCCACTTATCTCGAACGCGACTGTCCCAGTAAGACTAATGTAAGCTTGCCGATCAGTAGATCATCTATTGTATTCTACACGTTCCTTGATCTGCTCTAGTGATCGCGACTACGAAGTGTGCCATCGTTAAATATGTAGGCTCCTTGAAGAGACGAAATGCAGTCGGATCCACCACAGTGCTTACAGTCATCTAGAGGCCATATCATTGCCTGGATCTTCTCCTTGCCATCTACTCTGTGTATGTGGAAACGCCTATCGTGGCAGCCCCCAACCGCACTGCGTGATCCATCCTCGTGAACGACTGAAACACCTTGAATAGGGTCCCAAGCGCTCTTCTCTAGTGGCGATAGAAGGAACAGCTCAATCGATATTGTGTCATGGAGCGAGACACAAGCTCTGAGTGGCACCGGTCCTGTATGCTTGTCGGCGAAACTGGCGTCTGAAGTAAGGTCAATCCACCGAATTATCTCATTTTGGTTTCTGCAGAGAAGAAGTGTAGGATTCCCTGCTCTCTTGGACGCTATGCCTTTCTCCCCGACCTGGATGTCTTTCCGAGGTCGTGCGACCGCTACAGATCCGGATTCATTGTGAAACTAAGTCTGTTAGTAGGAACACCCTCAAGTCTGGGGACAACTGACCGAGAATCCGCCTTCTTCCCACTTGACGACTTTGAAGCTGTCGTTGAGCGGAGACAACGGAACATAGTTTGCCCCTAGGATTGTACCGAGCTGTCTTTCCATGCGTACCCGTGTGCCTTTACTGGAGGGCTGATCTCTTGTGTGGATATGGACTTGCATGATCTCGGATGTTTTTTGCTGATACAAGAATGTAATGTCGCCGCAGCTCAACAGTGGTATGCCCTGAATCACAAGGAAAGAATCCTCCAGCTGCATGTTTGGCGGTCTCTGGTGGCCGAATGAACGGCCCCAGAGCAGCATTTTTCCATCAAATTCCGGTGGGGGTTTGAGGAGGCACACCCGGCTCTGTCAAGTGTATGTCAATATGTATTCCGATAGGCGCGATGAGGGCGTTGAGACGCACGTAGAATATAACTTCGCTGTCCTGGAGAGGATCGTTCTGGCTGATGGTCTGGTAGAGGAAGCTGTCGTTCCAATCATGCTCATGCTTCGTGCTTGGATCTCTGATCTCCATGAGCCCCGTCCAGTCGAAAGTGAGTAGCAAATCCTGTCTAGGCTCGCCTGCGCGAAGTAATTCCGGCAAGCTATCCCGTTTCCAGGAGCGTATCTGATGTAACGGAAAGGTTTTGGTAGTGGCATCTTGCTCCGATGGAGGAAGCGAGTACAGAGCATAAATGATTCGGCGGCATGTCGGATCGGCATAATCCGTGATGCTCTGCTGGAGGTCAAGCGGGAACCTGTAGGGGGCTCTATCGTAACGGGCCTGAGAAGGAAGCCTTGGCCGCAAACCTCGGACAGTTCTGCCCCATGGACATCGTGTGCGCAGCATGAACCAGGTGCGGAAATCCGCAAAGTCCCAGCTCGCTTCGTTCACCACGCGTTTTACCATCTTTAAACATGTCTTATAACATTCCAGGTGCGCAGTAACACTTTGGCAGTCAGATGGACAGCTCTGGCAAGTGGCATGTAAGCACAGCCGCTTATTGATTCTGCGACATGCTGATTGCTGCTTCGGATGGTCGACTCTGTGCGTTGTCCATGTGGCCGAGGACGGCTTCGCAATTTCTCCGTGCCCTATCCACGACAGATTTAGTAACTCTCCATTCAAACCCCTGCAATTGCACTTACCTATGACGACCGAGTCACAATTTGTGAAATCTTGGGTGCACACGCCGCAGAACAAATGTAGGTGGTGCGGAGAAGGCGTCTCCATGGTGTGAAACTGGTGATCCAATCCAACCAATGGTGTCTCAGATGATCTAACAGAAAGGAGTAACGGGAATTGAGCCGGAGTGCGCAGCCGAATGCTTTTAACCATCAGACACAAGACACCCATGTCGTTAGGGTCGGTGTCCTGGACCGTTAGCCTCCCCACTGCCCCCACGAGTACGCAAGCTACGTGCGGACTTGGCTAGCATCAGCCAGGATTACAGGACATCAGTGTTCCTCTCAGTAGAATCCAACAGAAAGAGAATTAGCAACGAGCCGGCACTGTACGCGTAGCCACGGCGCGCTGTTTCGCCATCGTCTCCAGTACAAGAAAGGCCAGTATTGAGTACATTATGTGGCACACTATTTTGAGACATCGCTTGCACTAGGGAGCTCGAAGCCACAAGGTTCACGCGGCCAGACCACCTCGTTCAGGGAGCGGCGGAAGGAATGGAAGACGCGGAAGTGCTTTAGAGGGGTCTAGAAGGCACCGGGCCCTCTCAGCTCACTAGATCACATGCCATTTGTGCATGGTGGCGGTGGCATGGTTCGGCAGCCGTGAAGACTTCAAGGCCACGGGGTTGCTCAGCCTACGGAGAGCGTGCGCTTTTCATCTAACTGTGGAGTTCAGAGACATGACTTTGTCCATGGGGCGGCTGTTGGTCCTCGTGGGCAGGTACTCTCTAGATGGTCACCACCATTGCAGACCCGACACAAGAGCCCTCAGAGTTGCAACGAAAACCCGGAGTATCTGAGCATCTCGCTGCCTCGAGCTCTCGTCTGTCGCTGCGTGGTAGTCATGTTTCGGAGAGCAAGGGAGCCAAAGACTTGATCTTCACGGGACGAGTCGCCGAGGTGGGCCTTAGTCGAGCAAACCAGCCGAGGTGGGTGCCATGTGCCAGTCCTCCAGGATCCCCCTGGGAGACCCTTGAGAGGAGTCCACAGCTCTGGTTGCACCATCATGGCGAGATGGCGCACATGATCACACTGAGTGGACTGTGGAGCTGGTCTAGCCTCCGATAGGGATGTGTCCAGCGGCACGGCTGTGCGGCTGTGAAGCCCGTTAGTGCTTCGCACCATGCTCAAGATGAGTGGTGTTCAGAGCTGCCACCAGGACGGACACAAGCTGATCGCAGCCAACGCACCTTCGGATCACGCACTCAGCCCACAAGACCATCATCTCCCAAGGGCGAGATCAACCCTGGCTTGAACAGAGTCCGAACGGCAGTCCAGTGTGGGGATCTGTGCCAACATGAGGGATGAGATGCAGAGAGTGGCGCAACAAACGCCTTTCAGAAGGCAGCAGTGCAAGCTGGTATTGGAATTCATACATGCTACCTTCACGAGATGATCCTGGACCCAGTGACTAGCAGAAACGTGACTTCCACACCCATGACGACCTTGCTACCGGCCCATGATCATGATGAAGTCAAGGCCGTAGGACCGCCCACTCCTACGGTATGTCGCTGTTCTGGCGAAGCCAGCAAGAGTGGATGCCGACCTAGCAGCGTAGTGTTTGGTCAGCTCTCGAAGCCGAACAAGGCAGTCCTCGATCTGGTCATCCAGCGGTGGCATGTTGAATGGCACATCCACCAGACTGCGGGACCACCAAGAGCAGTCCGTGGCGACACCGGCTAAGCATGTCGTCCGACAAGGTCGCCAGCAGGGTCTTGAGTTCTTTCACGTTGCCTCATGGACAGCGCTGCACACAGAGTACCTGCTGACGAAGGTTTGGGCGTGGGTGGCGTCTTGTTGAGGCATCGGCACGGGTCCGCCATTCCGCAGCAGTAGTCCGAAATCGACGGCGCAAAGTTCGCCGCCATTGCCAAGCTGTAGCTTTCAGACAAACATGATCGGTGATGTGTCATCCAGACATCCTCGGTCTCCGCCTGTACTTCAACGTCATCTTGTAGCATCATCTCCGCCCGCACTGCCAGCCAGCAGCATATCAGTGTGGTGAAGGACCGGCCCTTGTCTGCGCAGCGTCGCTCGTCTCACGCCTGACTCCCCTCTGTCGGCTCCTTCACACAGAACGAGTCTGCCACGAAGCAGTCACGACGCAATCACGATTCGGCTATGGCGTAGCAGCTCCTTGGAAAGTTGAGTATCCGACTGATTTTGAACACTTCATGTCTATGCTAACCACACTCTACAGCTTGAGGAATGATGTTCGAGAAAGTAACCACTACGGCCCAGCTTGTGAGCAGATCTGGACAAACTCATACGTGGACGTTTAGAGCTGGTCGTCCCCCTCGCTTTCACCAATGTGTGCTCCAAGACTGACCCGCAGGTGTGCCCTGCAGTTCGCTTGCAAAGGATGATAGACCACTCATTGCTGCGCCGTGAAGGGTGGGGAATAATTACACAGCGGTGGCGTCTGCCTCTCGTCTCGAACGAGGGAAGCAGGATGCGACTGAGGAGTAAACTAGCTGTAGGATCCGGTTGATCGGACTTTCGATCGGCGTGGACTCCCAAGGATACACCTCGCGAAACATGGCGATCACAGCATCCCCGTGGAAGTCCGCCATTCGCGATTGCGAATAGCCGCCATGCTCGGGCTTGCTCGCTGGCCGCTGGCCAGAGGACTCCTCGTAAACCTTGATGGACACATACCGATAGTTCCTTACGTCCCCTTCGCACTCCTCACCAGAGACCTCTGTCCATCGGCGTCGTTGCTCATCGGTAGGGCGTGGGAAAATACCTGGAAGGATCGTTAGTATGGTCCTGGAGTTCTTCAGCCGTGTAGGCGTACCTGTAAAGTTGCTTATTTCCTGGTAGAGGAGGTGTGCCTCGGGAAAACGCGTAGCCTGGCTTCTCAGCAGCTTGTACGTTTCGCTGTGGTCGGGGTCTGGTTCGATAGTGAAGCCAAGCTGTTTGCTGCTGTCGATGATCTTACGGTTGGCATATCTTCCGTATATCTGTGACCGAAGTGTGCTGATGCCCACCCTCTGGATCTCCATGGCTGTATGAGCGCTCGTGGTGTCTGTCAGGTGTAATTGTCTCGGCCACTATCTCATTATGCAGGCGATGTAAAGCTTGCACTCGAGATCTCTGCCATTGAACGAGTCCTCGAGCGAGATATCCAGTTGTAGGCAGGCCAGCCTCTATAAATCTTGCTGTGCTGGGGTCGTGCGGAATGGTTGAGTCAGGCATTTCCGCAGTCATGAAAGAGCTGTCATGTGATCTTGGTGCCCACTTGTCACTCAAAGTGATGCGACGACTGGAACTCGCAAAAGGCAGTTCTCGATCTGGTCACCCAGTGGCAGATTGACGAATGGGTGTGTGTCTGTGGACAAATGTCACGATCCGGCCTCTAGGGTCAGCCAGAGCACCGGGCTTCGCTGGGTTGCTGTTCTGCCGGTAGGTAAAGCCAATGCAATATCACTTCCTGTCGAATATCGTTTGTCTCTCGGGTTTGTCGTGTCTCTTGGAAGAGATACCACTCTCGTCAATTGAGTGACTGGTTCAAGTGATGGGTGAGAATGATACTTAGATTGATCGCTGAAGTACAAAGGTAATGACTGTCTGTCTAGGAAATCCTCCGTGCTATATATGCCTTTGTCCTTCATCGTGTTCTGTTGGATCGTCCTGGATATGCGGGATATGCACTGATCCGTCCGATCCAACATATCCACCCTTGTCCTTCTTGCTGACATAATGGAAGTGATTACATAAGAGACCGGGGGTGTGTGCCCCGCGTGCATGACCTGCCCTTGTCCTTGGCCCGATCTTGCGACCTGTTGGTCGGGTTGTCACAACAAACAAGTGTGGGGGAAGCGCTCTGTCGAGCCGGCACTCGATCTACGAAGTACTGGGTGCACTGTCCATGTTTCTAAGTGGCACTTCCAAGAAGCAAGTCTGCGTCGGGTAGTGTGCTGCGCACATGTGGCCGGCCAATTGGACCACAAAGCACGGATCAGCCACCATCTCAGGCACCCCTCCGATAGGCTTGCGCTTCCGTCTACTCCCTGTCCCTTGGAGCACCACAACTACGGTTGGCGCTTCTGAACGACCATGATCCAGGAACCGGATCGCGATCCGCGCAGCAGCACCAACCTGCGGCAGGCGTGCTTGGCTATGGCTCATTCGGGAGGAATCATCGGTTTTGGGACCAGCTGCGCAGACATCACTTACCCTCTGGGCAGAAGCGGGCTGGTTGGTCACATCAGGCCCTTGTCGTTCTGTGGCGGCTGTCGTGGACTTGTCGCGAGGCCGATCGGGGCGCGGATGAGAGCAGGAGTCCGGTGGGTTGATGGCGCGTTTGCCCTGCCTTGTATGCTGCTGCGTGGGCAAATGACATCTACAATCATGGGGAGCGGGTGTCTTGTCTGCAGCAGTCCATCACGAATGCTGGCTGCTTTGCAAAACATGACTTCATCTCGACATCTTCAATCCGAATTCTCGTGTCCTGTTTGAGACCACGAAGGTGCTTCTCGAAGTCTCATCACGGGACTTCCTTCTTGGGACCGTCATCTGGACGAGAAGCACGACAGCGGAGGTCCATGCGGTTACCTACACAAACCTCGAGACTGGTCGACAGGTCGTCGCGTCCGCCGGGCTCGTACCAAGCAAAGGCTGGGTGGACAAGCGGGACAAGCGAAAACACCCGGGCTGGAGGAAGCCACCAAGGCAAGAGATCAGTTCGGTAGCCACTTTAGTCAGTTGAATATATATTAGATATTTGTGTGCAAAACGCGAGTTCTGACTTATCTCTCGTTTGTCCTAAACATGATAGCATTCGACGGAAAGGTGACACGCTAATCGTCACCAGAGCGCGAGCGCGTGCTTCAGGAAATCTACCAACTGGCGCGCCCTAAACTTCCTCGACGTTGCCTCCTCCTCACGTTGATATTATCCGGCATGTCGCAATTGAAGGCAAAGTCGAGCCCCTACGTTGTCTCACGATCTGATCAAACGATGGCAGCAGTCCAGGTTGGAACCCGCGTTGACGAGTGAGCGCATACAATGAGAAGAATTCAGGCTCTCCGAGTCGCTATCTTTGTCCCTGCGGGCCTGACAATGGTGTAACTCCTCGGTGAGGATAAGCATTCCTGCTGGTAGGACAGATGGGGGCAGATCCAAGTCTAAAGAGCGTGACTTCAGGCCGACGTTACCGGCCCAGTCCAACCCCAGATGGATATTTGTGCTTACAGACTCCTTGCACTCTTGAGTCGGCCCTGCCGCTTGGTCTAGAGTCCCAGATATCGTGGAGTCTGGGATCCAATCTCTAACGAAACCGAACGCTTTCCGCTTCTTCCTTTTCACACCATTCGCAGCCTCTAGCTCATGCAGCTATTGCACTTGCTCGCGATGCAGGCATCTTCACTTGCGTTGAGTTCGATTGGGTTCTGCCAGGCGCTTCCGTTTGCGGCTCGGTAAGCTCGCTTGTAGTGAGGCACCAGCTGTCGTGCCGCCAGGTCGGCCCTTCTGCGCCGCATAAATGCGGGATCCGCCACCGGAACTCGATCCTGGCGGGCGCTCATGAATTTTGGGACATTCTGCTGCCGGTGCTGAGGTTGACGCGTGTTGGGGCAGATGTTCATGCTGAGTGCGCATGGACGAGCAGTCCGCGCCCATGTCAAGTCCTGGAGCCCTCCTAGGCTGATACTCGGGACGCATATAGCAGAAAGATTTTGCAGACTCCACTGCAGAGTCTACCACAGGGAGTCCCCGAGCATTGTGGATGAAACTCTGACTGGGTACCGCCCAGGATGACTGCCCATCATGGGATGTTGGAATGCAGACGATGTTGTCCTGCGTGGGGGCCACGTCGGCGCAATTCAGAACAACTGCTTTTGATAAGTGTTGCTGGACTACTAGTCCCCTTGATCCTGGCGGGTCGGAGACTGGGGACTCTGTTAAAGCCGTAGGAACTGTCGTGTTCGTTTGGGAGGGTACTTGCGGAGCAGCTTGGGAGTATGAAACTCTGGGGATTGAGGACGCTTGCATGTTGGCTGCCTGCCGGGCGCTCTGAAACTCGATCATGAAAGTTTTCAGTTTCCTGAAGCAAGCTTGTCCATGTCTCCCTATGATTATCTCGTCGAGGGTTGAGTGGGTGAAATCTCGTAAGCGCTGCCCCACAAAGGTGACTTTGATTTTGACAAACAGCCGGCTGCCGATGAGCTCCGAATACTCTTTGCCCGCACATTCCGAATCTAGCCTTTGGAGTTCGTTGAGACAAACGCGATCCTCGTCCGACAACTTCTTCTCAGAATCTACCAGGAAGAGATCAAGCGTCCATTGACCCTTGCCTAGAACACCAAGGCAAGCAGCCTCGTAGCAAATTCTGGGGTCCAGCATGGTGGAGTCCGTAAACCTGGAGGTGACGACAGGACCGCAGATCATTTTAAATTTCACACCACCGTTGGCTCCGAACTGATGTTGTACTTGCCGGTTTGTCTGATATAGATGACGACATGATTAGAGTTCTGCTGGTGGTATGACTTCTGAAGTATGCTCGGGCCGTGCTCACTTACCTCGGAAATCAGCACGTCGCAAAAGCCTTCATCAACGGTGCCGTCCTTGGGCAATCTTCGGAGGCCGAACGCTTTTCCCTGCATGAGAAGTTCTCGAGCTGTCTTCATTCGACTAGAGTGTGACTGTGCAGCGCTCGCAGGCAGATCAGAAGCGAGAGCCCGTGGAGGATGGAGGAGTGTCGCATCTGCCGTTGGGGATCGAAAGTGGGAAGCCACAGAGCTAGATCCTCCCCTGGTACCCCGGCCTAATACAGAGTCTGCCACAGGGACCGGAGGGTCTTCCCCAAAAACCTGGATGGATGTCGCCTTCGGTGGCTGCCCGTCATGGACTTTTGGGCGTGGCCTCGGCTGTGCCACGAGTGGTGGCTGATCTGCTTGCAGCCACGAGCCGTCTTGTGAAGCTGGTCCGTCGTCTGTGGTCCCGCCAGCAAGAATCTGGATTGCCACTTCCTTCACTCCTCCGCTGTTTTCAGGAACGGGGGGCCCGGTAGAACATGATCGCTCGCCGGGGCTTCCAGCAAGACAAGATTCTGGGTCATTGCCATTTTTCTCGAGTGCGCCGAAAGGAGAGTCCCACGTGTGGCGTAGAGTAAATGAGGCGAAATTCCTCACGACGGTCTCCAAGTCTCTTTGTGCTCTCCCGAGAACCTCCTGCTTGCCCTGAAGGTTTGCCAGTGCTATGGCCATTTTGTCCTCCAACTCTTTGTGCGGTGCTACCTGGACGGTCTCGAGTTGTCGGATGGCTTCGTGGAGCTGTTGCTTGGTGGCTGACTCTTCGCGCTGTGCTAACAGCCCGTGCTCAAGAGCTTGCTGCTTTTCCTGAAATCTCTCATGTAACCCCCACCCACGTCCCCATTTTTCCTGCATCTCATCCATCCGCTCTTGTAATGACTTGTGCTGCATCGACCAGGCTTTGTCGAGCTGTTGCTGGGTGGCTAACGTTGACTGGGCGTTCTTGAGAGCTTGCTGCGTGTTCAGAAGTCTCTTCTCGAACCCTGACAAGTAATTCCATTTGTTCCACAGATCATCGGTCCGCGCCTTTAACGCTTTGTACTGCGTTGACAGGGTGTTCTCGAGCTGTTGCTTGGTGGTCTCAAGCGATCTGCACTTGGCCACCAGGTTGCTCTGCTCTTTTTCGGACTCTTCGCGTTTAAGTCTTTCAAGTCCTTGATTCAATTCGTGCTGCTGCTGCTGCATCGCTTTCTCTAGTCTTTCGACCTGTTTTGCTTGTGCTGCCTCGAAACTGACCCTCAACGCATCGCACTTCTCGTTGACGCGCCTTTCTATCTCTTCCTGTACAGCCCGTACAGCAATGCTCGCAATGTCCTTGGCTTGCAGTTCCTGGACAGTAGATTTTGAGCCGCTGAGATTGAATGCTTGTACCAAGCCCTCCAGCCTCTCGTGATCGGCTTGCAGCTTGTTGTGATTGCTCGTGATTTCCGATAGCGGATTGACAATTTGTCCACCGCACTGTCCCGTGGCTACAAGAAGAGACAATCAGACAACGGGCTTGCAGCAACAGCCGGGGGAGAAGTAATGAGACACCTGCTGCGTGACCCAGGAAGGGGATAAACGGGTTGTCTACTCACCTGTTTGCGCGCGCGGCTCAGCTGGACCAAGTTCAGTGACGATGTTCTGGTGGACGGAATCGCTGCCTTGCAACAGTCCTTGTGCCTCTGGCGTCGCCTGTACATCATCATCACAGACTGAGGAGACAGCATCGAAGCTCCGTGGCGCGGTCGTCTCGATGGGATTCTGTCTGTCTTGTTTGCGCTTGACAACTTTTCCATCTCTCCCGGCTGTTATTGGCGTGTACTTGCAATCGATGTCTTTCTCGCTGCACCGACTACAGGCATCCTGGTGATCGCCTGACATCTGGCGCCTGTGGCATGTCTGGAATTGGATGTCAGAGAGAATGCTTGACTCCATTTCTGGGCAACTCACGACACAAGGCTGAGGGCGTCCATTCTTCTGAATTGCCGCACTCATGGTGCTAAACTGCTGCTGTGCGTTGGAGCGTTCGGAGCGCGAAAGGTCTGTGTGGACACAGAAAGGATTGGAAGAGTGCGGCAGGAGTTCCTCACGCCACACTGGCTGCCTCGGCCACCCAGCGTAGGCAAGATCGGGTGTTTATGTAGCGCCCGAGTTACCTGTCCACCGTGGGGCACAGCAAGAGCCTACCATACCCCTGGCATGCACCTTTGGCATTGTAATGACCAAGTACCGTCACAGAGCTTGGACTTGCCCGCTAGCGTATGCTCCTGCATGTACAGGGGTGAACGGTGGCCCTGGCGGTCGGTATAGATGCAACCATCACAACGAGCACCGGACCTACCGAGCGTGTCGTTTGATTTCAGGGGGGACGAGGACCAACACCTTCTCATTCCACCCCACCCACCCGGGCGCTTGATCATCCACTGAGATGCGGTTTGGCCAAAGTGTGAAGGCTCCCACCCAGCTGCATGACCACTGTAAGGCGCGAGAGGCGTTGCGTGGCAGGCGGCTCGCGCGTAGACATCATTCACAGTGCTCCGTTTCTCCTCGGGATAGGGAAGCTACATGACAATGTCCTACAGAAGCACGCAGTAGATCGTCCAAACTGGAAAGACGGCCTGATCTTAGAGTCTCGCAAGACTCCTTGTGGTTGGATTGACAGCCGTGGCTCGAGATGCTTACTTCAGGGGACCATGCAAGGTCCTCGGTGATCTCGCACAGGGTCCGCTGCCGCGAAGGCTTCTAGAACACCCGGGTGTTGTCAGCGCGACATTTGGCAAGCCACTTTTGGTCTATAGCGATGTTTCACCGGCTGTCGCCACAGAAGGCTTGCTGATTCAAGACTGAGACAGGGGTACGCCCCGGAGGCTACGGAGTAGTTCGGTGAGCAAAACAAACTGGTCAGTTTTGCTGCAAAGACTGTTGTATTTTGCTCGCCACGCTCCATACAGTGACACGTGTGACGGACGAGACCCATGTCTTGATAGCTCATCACAGATCAACGGGTCAGTGAGATGCCTCAAGTTATCTTCTCATGATGTGATAGCTCGCGTGCACTGCCAGTCCCTCATGGTTGTGAGTCACCACCCATGGTCGCGGCGGCCAGGCGAGGCGGCGGCCAGGGACTAAGATATCAAGCTAACGGTGGCGGAAAAGCGGTAAACCTACTCCGATTGGAGGACCAACGAAGCTGCTGCATAGCGCCAGATCAGCCTCTTTCTACAGGTTGCGATTTTGGAGACAGACATAGTTCCGCATGGGATCGAGACAGCCGACAGCCTCGTCGTTATCCTCACAAGGGGGGGGGGGGGGGGGGGCCTGAGTTGACGACGAATCGGGGCGAGCTTGCATGTTCCCCGAGCCAGTAGCGGGGCCTAGGCGTGCATACCGCCAGGGGGGAAGCCGAGGTTGCACTTTTGGCGCGCAATCGGGAAGAAGGGGAACCCTTGCAGCGATGCTTACCGGAAACCGTGCTCTTTGGCTGGCGCATGCCGATAGGCTGAAGCGATCCGAGGGGCTGCGTCGCTGGCCATCTTGCTTGCTTTACGCGTATGAAGCCGCCTCAGAACCCTACTGTGGAATCTGCCTGGAGGAGGGGCGCAAGCTGAACCGTCATCAGCCGCTCCTTCCCAAGAAGAACCTGGGCTAGCATACCAGGCCATGTTGACCAGACCGCAGTCTGTGCCTCCAATAGGCATATGGCTCGGAATCCGCCAGGTTGCCGGCGGCAGCCTCGTGCAGCTGCGATGAGTCTCTCACCTCCGTGTGGTTTTCCGCTATGGCGCTCTTCACCTTGTTTCGACCAGCATTCAAGGACACCCAAGAAAATCCGGCAATCAACAACACCCTTATGGGGTGCATCTCCTGTCTAACCAGTTGCTGTCTGAGCGAGTTTGCACGAACTTACTGCACCAGCGTGCATGTTCAAATACCAATTTGCCAAATGGCAGATGCAAACAAGCCAGAGGCCAGCCGCCGATTTCTGTATTAGCGTGCATGACAATGCACAGGACCTGCTGAGCAAACATGGAGCACCTTGCGAACACCAGGAGATGCTGGAGTCGGCCGCCGCCGTCGATGTTGCTCGTTCGCTGTGCGGCTTGGCGACGACACATGTCATGAATGAGCCTTGATATCCGGGCGGGGCCGAAAAACCCCGTGCCAGACGGGCATGATTGCCCTGGCGTGTCGTTCTCGGCGTCGTGCAGGTTCTGCCAGGTGCGATGGAGGACCATCTTGTCCCAGGTGGGCGGCGGGCCCAGGGGTGGAGAAGGAGGGCGACCGCGGCACACGGGCTAGACGAGGGCCACGGGGAGGTTCGATGGGCCACACGGTAGAGGAGTGGCCTGGGGGATGCGCGACTGCCAGTCTAGGGGCGGATACTGCGCTGGTGGCTGTGGCGGAGGAGTCTGCTGCAGCTGCGATGGGGACAGCGGTGGTGCTTAAGGCCACGGTGGTTGCTGGGACGGGTGAGGGAATGTTGGGTACCGCAGCTTTCGGGCACCCTTGTCGGGTCCAGAACGTGCTGCGATTGCGGCAGGCTGAGGTAGTGACTTCCTAGGCCTCGATTGGATTGCTTGGAACGGCCATCGTGTCGCCTGAAAGGATGCGCCAAAAATGGAGAGTCGTCCACTGGCACTGGCATCAGACTTGTTCGCTTCTGGTCTTCGCAGCGTAACTACACACGGCGTTGATCACTTAGGGCCGACATGATGTACTCTGTCAGACACTCCCTCGCCAGGACAGCGCACATAGCAAAGGAGTGGATCTAGATGTGATGATTCAGTGTCGTATCTTGCCTGACGAGGGGATAACGCCCCCTTGGTGCGAGGGGTGCCACATCACGACCTCCAACCCTGCATGACACTGGACGAAACAGTAGCAGCGGTGCAGCTAAGTTACAAGTTTCTACAGATGGATTAACTGCTCTCTAGAGAACCCAGACGATCCAGCGGAAATGCTTCGCCATGAGTAAACCACCAGTGGGCGATGAAGTCGTGCTGAGTACGCGAGTCCAAAGTGGATTGTCCCACACAAACCACTGCCTCTAGACCTCCGAACTTCGCGCAACTTGACTTGAATCGAAAGTCCGCCCATGCTCTCGACCATATATAAAGGTTGTTGCGCCTGGATTGTGAAATGTAAACAATGCAGTCGTGTTCTATGCGTTGTCTAACTCTGCAACATTTCGTCGCTCGGAAGTATGAGAGACTTTAGGCGCGCGCCCTGTGGAGCTGGTCTATAGAGGATGCAGCAGGTTCCTAGTGCTCTCGCTCCTTCTCATGCGCGCAGATCTGGTATAAGTGCCCTCCAGCACAGCCCGGATTCTTCTCCGGACCGTGCTTCATACCACTCCTCTGTTCTCGCAACGGCTACTTAGCCAGACCGTCAAACGCCATATCGTAATGGATGATCCTCCATCCCTTCGTCCAACTCTTTCGCAATGGGACGCTGACACACGACTCAGCTGTTCTGAAATGCCACGCACAGCCAGGGAAGTGAGGTTCTTGTAGCCGTCTTTAAAGTTCTCGGTGGAGATTACGAACGCGGCAAGGAAATTGATACCGTATAGCGCTATCATCTGCAGATCAATGTGTGAGCGCGTGACACACCTTTCTTGTTCTGAAGACGTGTAAAACAATACGTACCATAACACCCTCGAGCCAGTTTGACTTCCCATCTATGACGGTGAAGATGACGATGAACGTGGTCAGCGCGAGGCGACAATGTGGACTGTATCGACTGTTAGCATCTCAGACTAGGCCAACAGGGACGTGATCACTCACGCGTTTCATGGTGCAGATCCATGTCCTTGTTCATGATCCAGCCGAGAATAACGAGGAGCGGCGTGTCGAGCAGGGCGATTCGGATGCTGGAGCCAGTTGCAGCTCCCACGGCCTGTGAAGTACTGCATTAGTGATTGTTTTCCGGCTAGTCTAACCAGGCCTTACCAGATTCATCTTGTCTTCGAAAGCCATCACGACGGCGGTGAAGTGCTTAGTCTTTATATAGAGCATGGGAATTAAGATCAACCCGATGAAGTTGCGGCTGATGTGGAAGCTCGCGACGACAGGGTTAATGCTGTCGATCAAGTAGTAGGTGCAGACGGAGACGAGGAAAGTCGTCAAGATTAGCACGACCCCGGCTGACCACGGACTCATGTGCTCCTGCACGCCCTCGGCGTCATCGTCATCCTGATGGCGGTTGGCATTGCGGTTCTCCTCATCCGGGACATTCTGCGCGCTGAGTGTCGTTGCGGGCTCGACGCTGAAGAGGTTGTGGTGCGTCTTGAGCTGGAAGACAAGGTACATGACGTAAAGGAGAAGAAGAACGATTGCCGTGCCACGGGAAAGTTGGAGGATCGTACGGGTGGTCGACTCCTTGTCGTCGGCCCGGTTGATAATCTTGAAGAGCTGTATGAGAGGATACAGTCAGTGATGGAACAGTGCTTGACATGACGCCTACTAGGCACCCCTTACAAATCCAGGCAGAATCATAGACGCAGCTGACACCGCCATCAGCGACGATGTTGTCTGCGCAGTAACCGAGGCGAACGACTGCTCGGTGCCGTTGTCATTGTCGTCACGCATGTTGAAGATACTGCCGAGGAAAAAGCAGACGCCCATGACGAGGAGGTCGTTGAACATGATCGATCCAATCATGGAGGACTTTATGACCTGGAACTGGCCATTCTGGAGTGCAGTGATGCCAACAATCAGCTCGACTATGTTACCAGATATCGCTCTGAATACTTCGCCGAGAGATCCGCTGAGCTTCTGCGAGATCTCCTCAGTCGCGAAGGGTTGAACGCCGGCCAGACCAATGATGGAGAAGGAGTTGATGATGAAGACGGCGATCGGGCTGCAGCCGCCATGACCGGCGATGATGCCAATGGGCACGCAGACAAGCAGGATGTTGAGTGGGCCTATGATGAATACGCGGTCAGCTAGATGTCGCCTGCTTTAGGCATGTACCACGCACCACAGTAGAGCGCAGGGACTTACTGCTCAGTAGGGTCATCTTTGTAATGGGCCACAGAATGTGCCGCAGAAAGTGCCACACAATGTGCCACAGAAGCGCGGGATACTTCACCCACTCCTTCTCGCTGCCGAGGCCAGACGTGACGTGAGGGTAGTTTGTCCAGCGTCCGCAAGCTCTCAGCAGCCCTGTGCGCTCGTGTGCGGCTCCCCCATCCATACCTGCGCGGTGATCGGGGTAAGTTGCCTGTCTGCGTGGCCTGTCAATCCTTGTTTTGTGGCCGAGAGAGCACTGGCACAGACGAGGCTGTGAGCATGAAGCTCAGCGCAGTGTAGGGGACGTGAAGCCGGGTATGGTTGTCAAAGCAGATCGCAATGCGAGTGGCGAGCGGTATGAACACGACGGAGAACATACAAGAGGAAAGAGGGGAGCTGAAAGGGCCGAGGGGGGAGGAGAATTGGCGGCTAATAAGTAGCTACAAATTGCTTGGCCATGAGGCTGTGTGAGGATCTGAAAGGAGGACATCCAGGCGCCTGATGGGCTGGCTGGGCATGCTTGGAAGAAGAACGGGGAGGACTACCCTGCAGGCTTGGCGAGTGCATGTGCTTCAGCCTTACTTGGTAGGATGCGCTGGCTTGACGACGCTAATGGGGGTGGAAACAAGATCTGGAAAGTGCGCCAAGGGGCAAGGATGTTACCCACATTGTTCTGAGACCCCCATGCAGCATGCGTGCGGCAGAGTGTCCCCTTGTCGATCGTTTCTTGGCACCATCGGAGTGACAACGGTCCAACATTGACCAACGGCCAGTCATCTGAGGAGCCGTAACCTGACGTACTGTCGAGCGCACACTAAAGGTTCGTGCACACTCCCTATGGCGTCTTCGTGCTGCCCATGTACATCCGATGCCACATGAGGGTGTCGGGCCTCTCGGGCGTCGGCCTTGTGGCTGCCACAGGTGCTTGAGCACCACGACGCCCGTGAGGGCCTGCTCCTCTGTATGAGGTCCTGCAGGCACTAGTACTGCGCCGAGATCCAAACACCAATCTGTGCCTGGGCGTCGTCCTCGTCCGCCTTGCGGGCCTTGTCCTTGGTCTCGATGGACAGTCCGATGGGCGTCTTGGTGTATGGCTCGAATGCAGTATGGTTAAGCAGTACACCTGCCTTGACCAGCTGGGCGATGCGCGCGTCCCCCCGATCGAGGATCGTCACGCAGTAATCAACCTTTTTAGACGTGCTGGTACTGGTGTTGGTGCTCGCTGCCACAGCGCCTAGCTTGGTGTTCGCTGTGCCCAGGATCCCTACGGTCGTCGTCGCCAGTCCTGCTGCCGACTGGCGGGAGAAGCCCGCACGGATGGTGGCTGTCGTACAGTTTTAAACCCGGAGAGCTGCCTCTTATCTGCGGATCCTTGACGACGGCATGACGCAGCATTTGCCAGTGCATCGCGTCATGCCAGGACGGCTTGGGGTCCATTCAAGCGGCACAGTCGGCCGAGGCGTCCAGGATGTCGTCCAGCATCTCGACGCTTAGAACTCATTGTGGTTAAACTAAGGCCGGGTACCTAGATCACCACGCCCACCTTTTCCAAGAAAAATATGAGTGATCATACCGGGCCATGTTGATCAGGCCCCACCCAGCCTCTGCTTCCTATCGGCTTTCGGCTCAGAATCCGACAGGTCGCCGGGGCCCGAGTCGTGCAGCTGCAGCGAGAATCTTACCTGCGTGTGACTTACTCTTCCAGGGACCGGATGATGCAAGCGTTGCAGTAGGCTGCCAATGGTCTGGTAGATCCCTTTCGTAGCTCGAAGCCGTCCTGCATCATCTTGAGACTACCAACCTTATCAATGCCAAGACAAATCCAGGGGGTAGCTGCATAGTGATTCACCTACTCGATGCATTTCCAAGTGAATAGGGATACCTCCCGGCTCTGTTTGATAAAGGCTCCGGCAGATTGGAGATGTCCAGCTGTCCGTCGACGCCAGGAACATGCAAGCTCCCTCGGGAACACCTACTTGCCTTCCGAGCAAGACAGCGAAAGGTCAGTTATTACGAATATATCAGGCAGTCGCGCTCTATTCCGGCAAGAACACGGCTTATGCTGCGTGGTGACCTTCGCAGTCGGCAGCAGAATTGCAATGAGCAGATTCCTGGCTTTGCAGTTGAGCAGCTCGGACCCGCAATTCCTTCTCCACACCGGCGTTTATTGGCGGCCATTGGGGTTCCCGAGATGAACCTTGATCATGACTTGAAGATGCTGCCAGCTCTCCTCATCACATGTAGGAAAATGTCGCGACTCGGGGTGTAACACAAGAATCCAACTGATCTTGAATCTAGCCGCTTTTTTAGCTTTCTAGCAGCTACGACCCATAGCTGTGTACGAGAAAGCGTGCGAGAGTGATCGGGAAGCGCAGTCGACTTTGCTCTTCTCACGTGAGTCAATCTCGAACAATCCGAACACGATGGTGGAAATAAGGGAAATGCACTCGGTTGTTCATCCGGTCTATCTGAGTACTGCAGCGCGAGCTGCGCATGTCCATCTAACAAGTTTCTCACGCAGGCATGTCCTGTGTTTCATTCCCTTCCACCGGCACCGCCGGTCGTGCGCTCCCGTCTCTTCTGCTTGCGCCCAGCGCACAATTAATTGTTCTCGCTGGAATATCGCACATCCGCGCTCTCCGCTGCGCATCACCGTCGGCACAACTGCTGTTTGTACCGGACAGACCTCCAAATGGTATGTCACCTCTTGGCAATCTGTGGCATACGGGTTTGCCTATGTCAAGTGCACTGTGGTGCAGCAATTGCCATGCGCAATTGCTTCCCGGTGCTCCGTGTGCGCCGTCCGGTCCCGCCGGATGCCCGTGATGCCAGTTGCCCCGCACATGCGGCTCTGCGCGTGCATGCTGGCACTTCCACGCTTGCCCCCACTTGAGGCTCTGCGCTCCGTTTCCCCACAGATCGGATACCGTACCCCAGCCCCACTGCACTTTTCCAGGCGAAAATCACGACCTTCTAAACAGAACGCAGGGCCACCAGACTCGAGGAGCCCCGGTATTTAGGCCTGCCGTTCAGAATCAGATACCGGCTTCCAGTGGGGATGGAAGAGTGATAAGTGCAGTCAAGTAGAGGTCCGGCTGAGTTACTTGGTGGCGGTAAGTCGAGCGCAAGGCTGTCGCTAGGACAGTCAAAGAGCAATATGAGGAGAACACTGGAGGTCATGGCTAGATGTAGGTCAATATATTACTTTCTATCTGGTTTTGGGCAGCGGTGGGGGCCTCCGGCAGAGGACCCGGAATAGAAGGGCTCGAAAGCCTCGCACACGAGATACTTGCACGTGCCCGACGCGGAAACAAGTCCTCGTCGGCGACCTCGACACACATCACCGGCTGTGGGACATCCGCGAGCGCACATCGCCGCCCATCGCCAATCTACTGGAGTCCACGCATTAGCAGAGCTCACATGACGTGGAAACGCAACGCACTTACCGGGTCGTCCCTGTGCTCTGCGGCTTCGGCCGCTGCCAAGATCTCTTCTTCGGCCGGCCGCGCCCGGCCTCCGCCTCCGCCTCCTCTCTCTCGCACACTACCCCTCTTATCTCTCTCGCTCTCTGCCTGTCTCGCTACCTTGCTCTTATGACGATGCTCCCAGCGGCCATATCTCCGAGTACACCAAAGCCATCATACTCGAAGTCTCGATCTGCAGAAACCTGCACAAGGAAGCGGGCGTGTTGTAGCTTAGCGCGTTTCGACTCTTCTCGTGGATTACTATCTTCGACATACACCAGTGATGGTGTGGCCATGCTGTTCCACTTGTTCAAAGGAGTGTCGCCTGCAGCTAGTGTCGTGCTCACGATAATCTCTACTCCGCTGTCTATTTGGTTGTGTGTTGTCATCTTTTTGCGCCTCCTCACCAGCAAGTTAATCAGGAGATGCACAACGACTAAGCGTTCGTAGATTCTTAGATATATGACATGGCACCAAAAGTTGTATGGCGAGAGCTGCCGCTGCCCGTACTGTAGTAGAGATTTCTATTCCAATGGAGCCAGACGTCTTTCGATAGTCACGACGCTCATCCCGTGCGTCTACTCCCTTTTTGCAAAGTGGAAATTGACGGCAACAAGCTTTATGTCACCCTGAACAACTTGGAGGCAATCCCCTCGGGAAAGGAAAATCGGTTGCGCAAGAGCCCCCAACTCGTCGCATCTTCCGTCCGCGCGCACGAGTATTACTTCGGGTTGACCCACGGTCTTGGTTGTACAAGGCATCAACCAGCAGACATTATCTTCAGGTGGTCGCACCCAACCCTTCTTGACCCACATTACAATTGGTGCATTATATTTAGCGACTCTTCCTTGTTTTCCGGCCTGTATGGACGCCCAGTGCGCCTTTACCTATTAGCGAAAGGCAGATGGAAAGATGGATGTACTTACGAATGTTTCTTCTATTTTGTCAAGTAGTGCCGCATGTTCTGTAGGATAGTCCAGAGTGTCGATAATACTTTCTCCAGTGTCCTTGTAGGTTTCCCATGGCAGGTCGTCATTATCGAAGATTCCGCTCTTTTCAAGCAGAAATTTGATTTTCGCTTCGGCAGCTGGCCGAGCAGTTTGGTCAAGTGCTCCGAAGTTCTTGTACCAGAATCCTTTTTCCTCTCTCCGAAACTGGTCGGGGTCGGGTGTGGGAAGCTCCATGACGTTGGTGTGCAGACAAGTTCTAGCGAAATAGGTGAAAAGTGGCTGAGAGACAAAGATCTATGTGCAGGAGGATGAAGTGTTATGGAGAGGTGAGAGAGTCTTCCTCCCGACTATGGATCGCTTTTATAGGAAAGCGGACTGATCCAAGATTACTTGCGTAACTCACAGGGAGAGAGATGCAACGCAGAAGCTCGACCATTCCATCCATGTTCTCGGCAGGATTCTGTTTGCATCCGCACGCGCTCGGGACGCCCGGACACGTCCCGATGCGTACCAAGCCCTTCAAGCACTCAAGCCATGCAAGGATAACAGCAAATTCCAGGGCACGGTCGCTGCATGCCAAGTGCAGCTGATTGCTGGTCTCGCCTTCAGGGGAAGACAGGCCGGGGCCGGGGGAAAGTGGCCGGTTGGGCGACGTACAAGGCTCAACTGGGAAAGCTACCGGCGTATCACATCATCAGCTTGAGTTAACCACAATTCTACTGTGGCGTGAGATGCCATGTCATCGAATACGACAGGTCACGTCCAGTTCACCGCGGTAGGCGCCACGGGTTGCTGCCGTCGCGTGGAAGTTGGCAAGGGCAAGGTCACTTGGCGCCTTTCCTCATCGATGTCAGCGCAAGTGAGACAGATCATGCAGACCAGGTGGCTGCAAGGCCAGCTTACCGGTTTCCAGCAGACGAAGCTGTGCGAACCATATCGGCGTCGATCCTGTTCAAGGAAGAGGGTAGAAGAACCTCCTGACAGATTGTATTGGTCAGGCGAGGCCGAGCGCCGAAGATCATTGGAAGAACTATCACCATGGCGGCAGATTGACGCCTTGGCGGCAGCGGGCTGACTGAGCCACTTTGAGTCTCACGGTGGGTTGCGCAGGCTCACGAGCGGCTTGAACGGGTTGCGCCGCCGCCAGAAGACCCATGACATCCCATCTCATAACCAAGTAACCAAGAAAAAGTGGTACACAATGTACCTAGTCACACCTCATAAGTCGTTGGGTGGTCGGGAGACACCAGGACAGTGAGCAGGCTGCCGCTCCATAAAAAGTTGTGTTCCAGATCCGGGGTCCAGGGGCCCAAAATCGACCTCCGACCCGGGCAGACTTACACGCCACGGAGATCACGCGTTTCGGGCAAAAACAGGACGCGACGGTCGAGTGGTTTGATACACACGGATAACTGATAACGCGATGAGGTTCGGGGACGAACCGTAAGTGCCTTTGGGAGACTTTTTCTCGGAGTGATAACTGGGCGGATACGGGATCCCGACCTGGGAGACTCGGGCACGTATGACGTGATTGAGGACGGAGACGGCAGTGGACGGCAAGAACGGCGATTTATCTACTCGACTGGCTCAATTGAGCAGGGCCAGCATGCCGGCAACGTCGACGTCTCCTCCATCCCCCTCTCCCTCCTACTCTCCCTCCTCCTCACTCTCGCGGTCCAGGCCCTGGAGGAGCTTTGCCAAATCTGAGGCAGCGACACTCCGACCCGTGTTTGGTGCCGAACAGCCATTAGCACGCTCACAACAGTACAAGATCTCAACAAATATCTGACCAAGCAGGGTCTCCCTGGCTTGTTGGGCTACGTCCAATGCTCGCCAATGGATGGCAGAACAACAGCCATTGGCGAACGGCTTCAGCGAAGTCGTATGGCCTTACGGGACTTGGCACAGTATTCAGTGGAGAAATATGGCCTACGATGAGAGTCTACGACCAGGGGGCCGTGATGATATCCCGGTCGTGGCGTTATGAACGGGTCAGCGGAACGCGGAAACCCGCCACCGACGCAAAAGTCCTTTGGAGTGGCCCTTGAGGCAGGAGACGGTTCGTGCCGGACTCGGCTCGACTGGCGCTATCCCGCCACCACAAGCTCCCCAAACCCCAGTGACAGTGGCTGGCTTGGTACTGAGCACCACAGAAGTCAGCACCTACAGAAAGAAAAGCTTCCCACGCCGGATCGACCAACGAACCTTAAGGCCTGACTCACTCATCGCATCACATCCGACTCTTTCGCACACAAGTCTGCCTCGCTGTGTCCGTCTCACCCTTCTTCTCGAGGTCGTGCGCGTCGACACGATTTTCTGTCTCATGGCTCCATCCGATCTTTGTTGCACACCCTTGGAGGCAGAGTAAGATGGAAGTTTCCTTTCAATGCTCCCAGCACGCTAACGTTACATCAGTCGACCATGTCGAGTCCAGCTGCAAAACGACGATAATGAAGTGCCCTGCGAGAAGCGACAACACACCCAATCCGGACCAGAACAGTCTTACAAGAGACAACAACGACAACAACAGTCCCCTTCGGCAATACTCGCAGCTGGACCTTCACCGCTTAGCCCGCAAGATCTCGCCCTGCTCATCCAGAGACTCAAGGAACCCAGGGAATTCTGCGACTCGCTCGAAACGCTCACGAGAGTCGCCACTGCAGGTCCGGGAGATGACTGTGCAGGTGATTCCTTCTCGGAGGGTCAGCCCAGTGCGGCGAAGGAGACTGAAGGGCAATGGAAAGCCGAGAGCGAAGAAGAGCGCGACTCTGTAGCTGAGGACATTATTGCGCTATGCAACGCAGATGCCCTCCACAGCAGAGACATGAGCAAGCTTAGAAGTCAAAACCCGGGCGATTACCGTGACTTCCTTGCTTGGGAAACAGATCGAGTGGAGATGCGGGCCCCACCACCCCTAAAAACTAAAAAGGATGTAAAACTGAAATGTGGCTGCAAACCAGCTGGTGTCGTGGGCTGTTAGATCATACTTAGAGGCACAAGCATCATAGATACTGAACCGAATGTGGCATTAAGGAAGTGATAATCTTGCTATACAGGACTCTGTACCCATGAAGTAGTGCTTGTGGTTGACACGGTGTCCATATAGCTTAGTGCCCAGCGACGCGGCCTGGCCGAAGAAGAGACATCGTTATGGCCATGAGGCAGGAGAGGAAGAAAACGAGCTCTCCAAGCTATTGAAACACGCTGCAAAGTGCGACCACCTGCCCTTTGACACCACAGCCGAGCAGTCTCAGCCAATTGATCCTTGCCTTCCTCGAGAAATGACAGGCACATGGCCACTAGTGCTAAGCGACCCAGGCTCCGCACCGAGAGGGCTTCGTGAATGGGAACATAGGTCTCTCGTGATGCCTCAGTGTGTCGGGAGAGGTGATCTTCTATGAGCTGCCGGCCCGGAAGAACACCGGCCTCGTTGTGAAAACTTTCGTCTGTAATGGTTCGAGTAATCGGCCGTGGTTAGGGCGTGGGAGATTCGAGCTCGGAGTTGTCGGCGGAAGGTTCGGGTGCGTTGTGCATAAAACGTGGCAGGTTGGAACGTTCCGATACCGGATTGCGACGTGGTGCGAACTCCGTGATACTTTGTGCGAGGCATTGGAGAGAAGGCCGCTATGCTCGCCTTTGCGCGCACTCCTGCCCTTGAGGACACGAGACGGTCGATCAGGGTGGAAACAGTGGCGTTGATGCTAGCTTCGTCTCCGAGGAAGATGAGACACTGAGGAAGTCGTCCATGGTCGCGGTGGTTTCCTGGGCTGGCTGGAGACTGCTCTGAAGAGGTGATCAATGTCGAGAGCAATTGATGGGTGAGAGATGCTAGGCCTTTTGAAGGGCTTCAGGCGGCGCAAGGCAACGAGCTTGCCCTCCGCGCACCTCTGCAGGCAAGGCTGGCCAGGTGTGAGGCTTGGATAGTCTCTGATCTGGGCTGGGGGCCAAGCCATCCCGACCAGAGACTCGCGAGGACCGCTGGGGTATGGGCAAGGCGAGCGGGCTGTGCGGCACGATAGGCATGGTTGTTGCAGTATTGCAAATGTGCAGATGTGCTGGAACGGAGGCAGCTGGCCAAAGCAGGAGGGAGGCAGCGATCTGGGAGGTCTGGCACGCGCAGGTGAAGCTTAACGGCGCGGCGAGGACGGGAAAGCACCATGCTGCTGAGGCCGGAGGTGCGACCCTGGAGATTTGAGGCATGTGCCTGGGAAGATGCGACGTGAAGTGTCGCTCCATTCGGCGCCGGCAACCTCCAGCTCACGACGTGCTCTGGTCTCCTCGAGAGGGTCTGCTGGAGCCTTGCCGTATGAAAAGTTCTCTCGATGTGTGTATTCTGGGAATGATGCTCCGAGATAGGGAAATTGGTCGATGGCGCGAGACTCTGGAAATTGATCACGGCGGTCGTGAAGGCCGATGCAGGACATCGTGGACTATGTGGAGGAGTGAACAACGTCAGCCTCATGCTAATGGGTCGGCACTGGTCGTCGTGAAGCTGCTGTCGACGCTCTGCGGTTTGCTTTGCGCTGTGCCATCTGCGTTGCTATCATGCGCGACGACCGTCAGTCACCCTCGACACGAGCAGTTCGCTCTCCAGACGTGCTTGCGTGCGATTGTTGCTGCTGGCACTCGCGACTTCCGACGGTGAACGAAGGGGAAATTGCGCTTGGGCGGTTGACGACGCGACGACGGGCTGACATGGTGAAACTGATAGAATTGGTGAAGGTGATACGTGTTTAGTGAGAGGGGTGGAATGCGTCGTTGTTGGCTTGCTTACCAACGCTGTCACCCTCTTCAGAAACGAGGCGGCTCCAGCGTCAGCTGGCTTATTGACAGCGGACAGAGAGTATCAGTAACGACCCGACAACTCTCGGCGGGCGCTTCAGGGGCGATGCGTGCAGAGCCGAGGTGCTCGAGGTACTGTCGGTGAGGGGCTCGCCCGAAGTTCGCAAACGGCGTGACCAACGGAGTAGACAGAGTCGCAGTGGGAAAAGAACGATCGTACGAGGAGAAGATATTAACGAGCGTGGTTGTAACAACGGTGGCTCTCCACTGCGCTGAGCATGGACGCACTTGTTTCGCTGGCGCTGACCACGGCCGCGGCCACCGGAGAGACACGTGCCTCTGGCAAGATGGTGAGGCGGCGAGCTCGTCGTGCGTCCTGAGACCCGCTGCAGTAGGCCTGTCTGCGTACTCGGCTCATGCAGGCCTCACAGAAGCTTGTCCTGCCATATTCGTCGAGTGTCTCGATCTGCTTGATGTCGGGATCTTTGTGGCTGTAGCCCGCTTTAAATGCTTTCGACAAGGCTTGGGACAAGGAGGGCGTGATAATATCGTGGCTGTGCTTGTGAGCGGGCCAACAAATTGCAGGCAGCCGCCATGTCTGTGATGTCCTTTGACGTGGCCTCGGGATTAGAGCCGTCAGCGGCCGCGACACTGCTGCTGTCTCGCCGTCACAGCGGCGTGAACGCTGGCTGCATATGCTCCCAGACCCCCGTGGGTCTGCACACACTGTGTCATGAGCATTATCCATGACCTGGGTGCACCATACTGGGCGCTAGACAACCCCTCTGGTGCCACCCATGAACCACTAGGTGCTCCCTGCCGCGAGAGAAACAGTCTCTGATCACTTATGGGGCTAAAGAGCACTGGATGGGACGAATCAGGGAGAGATGAATCTCCCCAGCTGGTGATGTTGCTGCTGCTTCGAATGTAGTAGTCCTGCAAGCCGCAGATAAATCTCTGAGCAACTACCCAAAGTGGTTGCAGGAGGATAAAGAGTTGGGCATGGTAGAGGAGCTTCCGGACATGTTTTCGACATCACTGACAAACAGCTAGTGACACGGAAGTGCGCGGCTGTTCACGCCACGACGCAGGGCTCAAGCATCATAAACACTGAGATGAATGGTATATTGGGCAGCTGAGGGTAGTTTAAACAAAACTCTGTGCTACCGGAGTGATACTCTTGGTTCGGAATGGGTCTATAAGGTGAAGGGCACAGCGACGCAGCCTCGGTGGCAGAATGAACAAGACGCTTGTGACAAAGCATGCGAAGGCGTAGTAGATGAAATCTGCCAACCAAGGGGACCGCGGTGTTCGAAGCGCGGCGCGAGCTGCTTTTCCATACCAGCACTGAGCAATGGCGGCCCACCGATCCTGGTCGGCCATGGTCGACTTGGCCACTGCCACTACAGCGACATGTCCTACATATCGCGCCATCTCAAACTCGTGGTCCGGAAACCATTCATAGAGAACATGGAGTCGCCAGATACGATCTCGTAGAGCTCTCTCAAGGTGCTCAGGGTCGGCTTTGGGATCGGCTCTGAGCTGCCGCAGGAATGGAGCTGTCCCAATCGACCATAGGCCATCCACTACGCCACTGTCGATGATGAGCCTCCGTGTGTGACCTGACGCGTCCGGGTGGTAACAAATCATAAACAGGCCTTCTATCTCGCTCCAGTACATCATGGCCAGTCTGTGTAAGGCCACATGTTGTTCCAGGTTCAGGGAAGGCATCGTTCCAATCTGGATTGCGACCTCAACTAGCCTTTTTCTGAGTAATTCTAGACCTGCGAGCACACCTCTGGCTTCGACGTATAGTTTTTCAGGCGTAGGTATTTCGTGAGGGGGTAGTTGATGGGATGTCGGATTGTCGACGGGGGATTCTTCAGTTGCAGTGTTGGTGTTATTTCCTGCAACATCAAGCAAGGCCGCATCGTGCTGGAACTTGTCGATGGCGGACTGTGCTGTGCCGTGACGATTAGAGCGAATGTCGCCGCGACTCCGTTTCTCTCCACCTGTGGCCATCAAGAGGTCGTCGTCCATCGAGCAGATGGTCCCGTCGGTACTGCCGGCGTTGGGCTTTCGTTCCTCTCCGGCACGGGTACTCCCCGTGAAGAGGTCGCCTATCGAACATATGGTGCCATCGGTATTGCCGGCGCCGTCGCAGCTATGGATGCTATGGACATCGCTTGCGATCGTGATGTCGCTGGAGCCTTCGTCAGATAGCACCTCTGCACAAGGTGGGTGTCCGGTTCCGTTCATTGTCGTTGTGGGAGTAATGCGGAAGGGAGAGTTGTGAGAGCCTTGACAAGGGAAGCAGCGATTTTTGAAGGCAAGAAGGGCGAGAGGCAGAGGACCAGCAAGGCAACATGCTCTCGGTGCGCGCACCACTGTAAGCAGTGCTGGCTCGCCCTGTGTGGCTATGAGAACCTCGGACCTGGACTGGTTCTCTTGGCTAGACCGATCAGCGAATCGCCGTTCATACCCGCAGCGCACTCCAGCTGGCTTCTGCACCCTGGCACTCCTGACGAGCTCGGTCTGCGTTGGTTTTTGCAGCCGGGAGATCGACCGCGGCCGGCGACGGCAGTCTCGATGGCCAGAACACATGTCAGGCTAGTTGAAGATCAAGCATGTCTGGAGTCTACAGTGTTCAAGCCTTGGCATGGATGCTGGCAGCCACCTGCCCGTGTCGTAGAGCCGACACAAGACTTAGCCGTGCCCCAGCTCTATCCTGTCCAGCTAGCGCTGGCGCTGCGAAGAAGACCGTAAGGAGGCAGCGTATTACCTTAACCACGATTATGACGTTCTCCTGTTGATATACTCAGCAAACACAGCCCTTAGACCGATATCTGCAAGGATACCACAACAGCAGAGGAGAGTCTGGGCGCGACACAGCATCCACCATTGACAGCGCATGCCAGCAGCTCACTACCACGGGCCTGCTCCACCCGAGGTGATTCCGGGGACGCGTAAATGATCTACAGCAGTACCATGGCCCGGCATCCGGCCCAGGGTGCTGGCACACTACAATGTAAAATGCTCTGACAACGGAGCATCCCTGGCACATTAGCTCGGTCCCTTGCTTTTGCCGAACACGGCACGCACCCAACACGGGGAAGCGAACGGACAAGCCGGTGATGGACCATGGATCAGGTTGGGGGTGGGGCACAGGGAGCGGACGAGTCTCGGGAGACGCAGGACGGACGAGACGCACGGCTGAGACTGATTGAACATGCAGGGTCGGTTGGAGATCAAGCGGCAGAGGACCTCGTCTACATGACATGGCTTTCGAGGTCGAGGTTCGCACGTGTTGCATGTCACACTTGACTCTGTCCTCAGCGTTGAGCATCGTCCTTCCCCTCGTACCCATCGCAAACAACGCCCGTCTCAAGCGCTTCCTACAGTTCAAGTCCGAATTCTGCGACTTTGCAGACCGAACGACGGCACGCACGCTAGCATCACATAGTATCACATCAACTCAGAGGTTCCTGGGAGATGACTGTGCCTCCTTGTCATCAGATGCCGCACAGGCTCTCGGACGCCGAGGCTGCGACCGCGGCCGGCGCCGACACCGCTCATTGCAAAAGTTTCGGGTCTATCCTTGCCGAGCACCGTCAGCTCGGATCAGAGGCTGCAGGCGAGAGCGCCATCGACGACTCAGACGCGGAGTGGACGGAGACGGAGAGCGTCTCCGAGGATGAGGACAAGGTTCAGGAGAAAAACCCGCGGCCAGAGGATGTTCAATTGACTTTCGAGCGTGATACCTCAAGGCTGAGATTAACCGCACAGACATCTCTCCTCAGCCTCCTGTTGATGACCGAAGGCCCGTCCACGAAGGTCTACAGCAACTACGCCTCACAGGGGGCCTCGCAAACGACGCAAAACAAGTCGACCATCGGCAACTCCCCCAACGACTCTGACGGGGGCCTCCAGATGAAGAAGACCAGAGACGAGCATCCTCGGGTCAAGACCACCAAAGAGACCAGACGCCCGCCTCCTCAGCCCGGGCTCACCAAGGGGGCCAGGCTCCGGCCTCCTCATCTCAACACCAACAAGGACATTCCACGTTCTAACCCGCGACCCGTCCCCTCCGATGGACGAACCAACCACGACCAGGCTGTGCTCTCTCCTCGCACCATACACCGCAATATAGCGGCGACCGAGCTTACCGAGTCTCTTCGCCGCGAGCTGCGCTGGATGCGAGAGAATGACTTGACCGTGAAAGCCGTGAAGGAGGAGCGCGAGAAGGAGGATATCGAAGGTCTCACGCCGAAACTCGAGAAGATGAGGTTGTCCGACAGGTCCGGCAACGACGAGAACTACGTTACTAGTTGGGATAACCTTTGGTAACAATGCGAACACGACTGGAGGGGCGATGATGCCTTTACGAAAACCCGTTGGAAAGCGCGCCAGCTGCAAGACCTCTGCTCCGTACCCTTAATAGTTTCTTTTCTCGTCCTCTCGATCTCGCCATTCCATAGCACGTTTATTAGCCACAGATATCGTTTTCATCTTCAGTTTGCGCACATTCCATGTCATCAGAAAGAGCTTGCGTGATGGCAGGTTGACACAGTCATGGCATTCTGCCAAGCTGGGGCTTGAAGCACAGGGGCTGTCTCCAGGCGCGCAGCCATCCGAATCACGATTGGCGACACGAAACCGAGCCTAGCTTGCCCCATGCCGAGTTTGAATGGCATTATGAGGATCGAGAACGGAAGCAACCTGTTTTTGCGCATCCGGCGTCATGTCGAAGATCCATGAAGAGCTCAAGGTAGCATTGCGGAGAGAACTGGAGACGTACTGCGCGCAACCCTGCAGACAGTGCTACTCATGGCGGCCTCGGCTGAATGTGGGGTATTGGCGGGTGGACAATCTGCGTCATTGACCCTCGCAGTCGAGTGCATGGAGGAGTGCATGCTCGCCAGGCATGACAATGGCGGGCCTGCTGACGGAAACAGACGGAGCGCTGTGCGCGCATCGACACACCTGGGTGGTCAGCCCTCCGCGTCGATGTGGTCACCATGCTTATTGGCGCTGACCCATGGCAAGACGAAGCTAGCCATCCGATTGGCCCTCTTGGCTCAACCTCGACGAGCAACACCTCCACACCATATCACTCGCCTGCCAAGCACGGTTGCCCTGGCTAGCAGTGCAGCAAGCAGGGTACCCCAGCGCCACGCGGGCTACTACAGTAGATCGGATCCACAACGTGTCGACTGTGCTCTAGGGCCGGAACGTGACTTCTCACCCCACGGACGGGCCGCGTCGGACGGGCAAAGTGACGAGTGGAGGACGCGCCCAGACTGGAGCGCGTCCACCGGACTCGGCAGTAATGCGACGGGCACGAGCACGCATAGCGTAGCTGAGTAATGACATGTTTCGGAAGGCATCGTGTTGCCTGCAAGCCACACAGGCAATGCTGGGCAGCTTGATTCTAGCAGTAACTAACGCAGCGTTGATTGTGTCGTTCTGGCCCTCTGCTCACAGCAGTCTCCATGACGTAGCGACTTAGCTAGATCTTGCGGTCTCATAGGAATATGCAATCGGTCCTTTCTCGAGAAGCGGCTGCATAGACTCGCAGCGCCCGGTGCGGCCTCCACGATCGCGCCGACGATGGCCCCTGGGAGGATCTGCAGGCCGAGCTCGCCGTTCTTTGAATCGACCTTCCCGTCCTTTCCACCAGCCTGCCAAGTATCTGCAGACGATCTCCAGACGACCACAGCAGCCCAGCACTTCCCAATCCGTGGACGGCTGCTCGAGACTGATCTTCTCGCTGTACGAGTCCTCAAACATATCACACCCTGTCTGCGCCTCTTCCCTGAGCGGCTCGGCAGATGAACCCCCAGCCTGCGGCTCCTTGTCGTGCTCAGTGGGTGGCTCTTCGCGGAGGGGGCTTCTCGTCGCTGCTCATGTAATCACTTCATACAGCCTGTCAGCGAAGGAAAGTCGCGGAGTCGTAGTAATTAGACCCCAACCCACTGGTGACAATGGTACCATCGCAGCTGCCTTGCCGATAGCCAATGATGCCGGGACTCTGGTGCAAGGAGGCCCGGCCGTTCGGTGTGGTAATCGTATGGGAGACTTTCCCGTGCCTAGTCGCTCGCTGCTCCACCCGAGCGTTGCAGGGCTCCGGCGCTCATGCGTCACCTATCCCCACCATAGCACATACCAGCGCAGGCTTCGTGCTTTGCCATTGGCTGCATTGCATCCCTGACAAGAAGTTGAGTGCTCACCGTTGGGGTGGTCAAAAGCTCAGATTCGCATTTCTGAAAGCTTGCGGCGGCCTGTCCACTGACTCCACCATGCGAATTGGGAAGTGATGGCCACCTTGAAAGGTGTGTCATAATTGAATAGAGGAATGCTGCATAGCAATGTGCATGTCATGATCAAGCTCAGCGGAACCGTGTCAGTGTGAGAGAGACGTGAAAAGGCTCCATGCTTCACTCGACGTCATTTTCAGGCTGTGTAGACTTGGGGAACTGTACCTGAACGAGTCAGTGCACATATCGGGGCTTACGCACTGTAGGGTACTCTCAGCTGATGCGCGTTGGTAAGCCTTGGCAAGTCATCACCCAGTTAGTATCGTGTCTGATGGGCCTGGGGCGGTCTTCTTCCGCAACATCACACCCAATTTGGCTGGACAAAACACATGCGTGCGTTGCGCCCTAACCACCCCACTTCCAAGCCTCATGTTTGTGCCACACTTCTTCTTGAGATGGCACTGGCTTCTGCACGACCCAGACCCTTGTCCTTGGGCCTGTGTCGTCACCAGCTTGCCATGAAGCCATTCCCGAGTCGCGGCGGCCATTGCGACTCGACTTCGCGTTCTGAAGTATGGCATATGTCCGGCCCGCTGCAGGCCGGCTTGGCTCCTCCGTCCAGACGCGCGTGGCATCAAACCGGTCAAGCACACATCTGCAGCTGCATGGCCAATCGGTGTCTGAGGTCGTCGAAACCACATTGTAGCGCGCCCTCACACGCCTTGCACCTGGTACCGTGCATGTTGCTCAAGCCTGCTTCACGGCCCTCGCGACAGATTTTTAGCTGACCTTGGCAATCATCGTTCACCACGCTCATTTTGGTAGTCCGGATGCTTGCAGGCTAGGGCAGGTCGCCGGTAGTGAAGGCCTGCGCGGTGTCGCATCCGTTGCCTTGGCTACACCATTGTTGGTCGTCCTCGGCTCATGCTGGGCTGTGCAGCTACTAATTGGCTGTTGGTCGGCTGCCCCACTGCCTGGCAACTCCATCTTGCTCACGCCTCTCAGGTAGGTAGGGGTCTGCCGCTGGAACTCGAAATTGTAACTTGCTGTGAGTACGGATACTAGCCTAGCACCCTCTGCCGCTTGAAGGTGGCACGACCAGTACACAGACGCTAATCAGAGTCTATGACGAGTTTGGCGTGGAATTGTTAGCGCTTGATATTAACAACCGGGGGGGTCGTGCCACCTTCAAGCGGGAGAGGGTGCCCGGTTCTTGAAAGTGGGTCCGAGCACTGCTGGTGGCGCGTGAGCGGGGTTTGCCTTGGGACTACCCATCGTTCGGCGCGCATTTCGTGTTTCGCACACACATCTCAATCACGCGCGAACATCTTTACCAGTCACTTTATCTCGCGATGGCAAGTCTTGATTCCGCAGCACCAGGCTACTATACAGCCGTTACAGGTCCCGAACACGACAAACAGCTTGCAGCCCTGACGGACCATCTTCAGCGTTCGGATGCCAACTCAAAGGACCGTGCTCCTTCCGGACTCGATCTTCACCTTGCCCTACTCAGCTTCCACCTCGATCAACAACTTGTCCAATTCATCGACAACATAAAGACCGTTCTCCTAGCATGTGGAAATCATGAGAACCGGCTGGCGGTCTGGCTATCTGCTTGGGAGCTGCTTTCGAACAGGTCTCTCATTCTTGACCCTCAAGACACTGCAAGCATTGAAAGGCTTGTCCACGCTGCACTTCAAGTAAAGCCATCTACAGCTGTGCAGGGTCTAGTCACAACTACTTTCAAGGCCGGCAAACGCTCTCCAGACCGACTGAGTCAGTACGCTTCACGCTTTGTTCCATATTCACATACTCACACGACCTTAGACACGCTTGATCAGGTGATGGCATCCGTTGGTAACGGCGGCCAGCAGTTACATGAGACAGGGGCTCGGTCCACGGAATCCCTCCCGGATCGATCACCCGTACCCAATCGTGCAACACCCAACGCCAGCAGCAGGAATCAAAGCCACGAGTCAGCTCCACACATCTCGGAGTCACAACAGAATCCATCATCCAAACGACACCGCACAGCAACGGTCATCGGCGATGGATTAGCTCCTCATACCCCGGAGATACAGCAGGATCCATCATCCAAACGGCGCCGCACAACAACGAATGTCGGTGAGAGGCCAGCAGACGTTGGTGTCAACTTGAGCATTGGCGCACCCCATGCGTCGCCTGTGCCTATCAATGATTCTTCGCAGTTGGGATACTACATTGGGGTCGAAAGGCTACCAGCAGTCTTTCCTCGGTTGTTGTGCAGCTCAATCCACCAGGAAGGGTTGCTCGCGCGTGTCAGTGCTCGCTATCCACCGAACGCAAAAGATTGCGGTCTCAAAATGGAGATCACGCCCACGCAGGTCACTGTCATCGTCAAGGAGCTCTTTGGCGTCACCCTCGGGACTAACGAAAGAGGACGTTACATTCTGGATGTCGACAGCGGTGTCAGAACAGAGATCATGGGCAGTTTGCTGTTTACCAACCCCTCACTCGGGAACATACGAGAGATCTTCGGTCCACGCGTTATTACGGCCTTCACGTTTAGCTACCGCTTTGGGTCATACGAAGACACTGGCGATCCATTTCGCTGCCTCACTATGGAAGTTTCTGGAGAAGCTGGCAGCAGAGGCCTTTTGAACATAGTCCTAAACCCTGGCCATCTGGAGATGCTGGCCAACGATCTTATCATGTAAACCTCAATACGGGGGGGTTCTTGCGGTCTGCGCCATCCTGTGACAGATATAGTGAATGAACATCCTTCATCTCAATCATCCCTTGTGTTTCCGGTATACCACAGTATTCGTCCCCGTCTGTGGAATATTGGACTACGGCATTTTTGAAGAGTATCGTCCGAGGCGGCGGCGGACGTCGAGGCACATCTCCAGGCCTACGTTGGGAATAGTGGAAGCCAGCCTTGACGGGTTCTTTGTTGTTCAAATCGTCGTCGGTGATGGGATGAACCTTAGGAGCGGTGTTGTCACTCTATCCTGTGTTAGCTGTCGATTCTGCAAACGACTCAGAAGAGAAACACAGGTCCTAGGGAGGGAGGGAGGGAGGGAGTGAGGGGCTGTGCGCATACCATGGGGACAGGACGTGGTTGGAATGCCGCTTGCTGAGCGTGCCCTGAGATCCGATGTTGGGGTAGCGGGATGAAAGCGAACAGGATGATGTCTGCGCGCACATGGGCATTTTCCTGAGTGATCCTCCCAAAGAGTTGTGCCTGAGGGAAATTGGTGCCCGATTGTGTTGGATGACGCAGAAGAATGCGGGGCAGGGAGGAAGAATGAAGGACTGGGCTGACAAAGTGGGGCGCTTGCCACTGAGGGGTCGGCACTGTCCGATTTTTTCCGTCCACAACCTCGCCGGGGTTATGAAGACTGCACTAAACACAAACCGTGTCAGGGTGGAATTTATAGCACTGTATACAACTTGCATATCGGCGGGTACTGAAATCCCACTTGGAGCGCTTGACTAATGCATCATCGGTGCTTGCTTACAGCAGAGGCCGTGAGCAAGCGAGAGTCTGGCAAACAGGGGCCCCGCGAGAGTCTTGCAAACAGGGGGCCCGCGACAGTCTGGCTTACAGGGGCCCCGCGACAGTCTGGCTTACAGGGGCCCCGCGACAGTCTGGCTTACAGGGGCCCCGCGACAGTCTGGCTTACAGGGGCCCCGCGAGAGTCTGGCTTACAGGGGGCCCGTAAACCGGGGGGGGGGGGGGGGCTTCCGCAACAGGTCTCTGTGTTGGCTGTCAGCGAGGCTGTCTCTATGCGGGGTTGATCATGAGAAATAACGATGTTGATGTCTATTGTAGCCACAGCGATGGTCCTCCTGGGCAGATCCTTATGTCCGAAACCAAAGTCGAGTGCTCCCGCGCTGTGGTGAACGGACAGCAAGCACACCTAGCTCAATGGCGGATAGCCTAGAGGAGCTCAGCCGTTGAAGAAGTGATCGAGCTGGAATTGACAGAGGTCGCAGCCCACAGATCCGGGCTCGGAGGGGTGAACAGCCTCAACGCCAGATTGGTATATGGCGGGCGAGCCCATCATGAGGTCGATCGGATGCAGGCCAACTAGTTGGCCGCATGTCCCGAAGGCATCCTTGACATCCTATGAACTACCTGCATATGCTGGCATGCGTCGAGCAGTTCGAGGTCCTGAGCGACTTCTGACATGGTGCAGGGCTTGTAAATGTCCCAGAGTCGCTGCTCAGCTACAGGCATGGCTGAAAGAGTTGTTGGCCGTTTTGTCGGCCGCCTCGTGTATAGAGCCTTTTGTGTAGATATAAGAAGCCTAGGAAACATGACAATGGCTGGATGGAAGAATGCCCGAGATAGTATCACCACGACATCCACTCGAAACGACGTCGTTCTTTCATTACAACGTCTCATAGAACCTCCTTCGTTCGCCCTGCCGTGGTAAGAAACGTCCTTCCCTATGCTGGGTCACTGATACGTACTAACGTCCTGATTGTTGTCGTCTCGTGTTTCAGGCACATGTGGAGGCAGACACCTTGAACACGACCTGGCTTGTTCACCATTGACCACATCCATTAGCCGCACAATTGGCCTCCTTCCATCATATCTGAACCCGTACGAGTTCCACGTCACACATCCTGTTTCGTCTTCATTGTTATCTCGAGAGTGACCTGGGTTAAAAGATGGCAGGAGCCGGCACCGCTCGATCACGCTGTGTGAATGTCACAGAGGACGGGACAATTGTAGCACTTGAGAAGCCATCAGGTGGACCTCGTCCCAGTACGGATTGAGTAACGCCTGGCGGGCCGCGACATAATAATTTTGTAAAGACACTCGTTCTCAGTATAATAATCGAGCATCATGTCTTCAACTAAACTACTGCAAGCTACGTGTGACCTTACTGTCGCTCATAAATGCCGCAAAGTATACATAGCATCGGGCACTTATCCACCTTAATACACATGCTCTTATCCATGATCATGACCTTCGGCCAGCCTACGAAACCAATGGACTTTGCGTCGCGTTTTCTCAGCTTCGTGATGTAGATCTTCCTGGCAAGCTCGCTGTCGGGTGGTTTATGAAACGTTGTGACAGGGATAAAAATGAATCCGCGGGCGCCTTCAGGACATCGGATGGTGCCGCGCTCAAGATAGTACAGTGCTCCAGGGCAATCTCGCTCACGCCCATGCAATGCAATGACCCTAGGTTTGAGTTCGGACCAGCAAGCATCGAACGGCGCTGTAAGCGATGGTGGCCAGTCGAGCCAGTTTCCCTTCACCTCGGACAAGGCAGAGTCTAACTCGTGAGATTGTACTTCCTTGCCCGCCTTGATGATCTTCGTCAGCCTGAGAGGCTGACACGATGTCTCACTTGAGTCGAGTTTGCGGCCCGCTTCCATTAGCTGTGGCAGACTTGGTACCGCACAGACCCTGACGAAATATTTCTCGTAGCCAGAAGGCCACCCTGGGCCAAGTTCTCTCGGGCTGATTCCGGTGCCCCCTGACTCGTCCTCCTCTCCGTCGGAATCCTCTGGCGTGAACTCCGACCTATGGCAAGGCCCTGGAGGGTGAAATTCGAAATTACCACTAGCGCCTCGTCTGGCACAGTTCGAGGATACCTCCAGGATTTTACCAGAGGGAGACGTGTGGCTGACCGGGGTAATTGGAGTGCGAGCAGGTGTGTTAAGCTCCGTGTCGGACCTTGATGGTGCACCGAGCCCGGGCGCTATGTTCGGAGTCCTTGCGGCATCGTCGAGCGTGGTGGGTATTTGGGGCGAGGGTGCCATGCTTGGCACTTCATCAGCGGCTTGATAGCTCGAAGGAGTATTGGCGGGCGCGTCTTGAGCTGAGGCCAGAGAGGAGGCGTCCATTGGTGTGGGCATGGACGATGTTTGGCTGTGTTGCCTTGTGTCTGCTTGTGCCGAGTGATCGATGAGACCTGCTCCCCGTCGTGGCGCCATTGGGTCATTTATGTCTGCGACATGACTGGCCATGATCGCTGAACGGCGCGCCGAGGCTCTAATGGCCACCTCGGAAGTGCCGGGTTCATCTCTACCTATGGCTGAAGGTGTGGCAGGTATGGTCGCCCCAAAGCTGCTGGGAGATTCTCTGCGAGCCCGCTTGGGAGGGCCACCGCTTTCCGGCAAGCTTCGCCGTCGACTCTGGGTTGCAGCAATTCGATGTAGGTGAGAAGAAGCTGGGGGTGGCTCGAATGGTACAAGCTCCCCGGTCCGTGCGCCGCTTGACAAAGACTCAGCCGCGCCATCAGAGCTAGGGACATCGCCAGTGTCAAGTAGTGAGCTGCCGCCGCCGTCAACAAATGTGGGTTGTATGAACCTTTGCCGGACCATGATGTGAAAGTTGTCGACAATTGTCTTCATGTCCTCCTTGTAGTCTTCCAGCCCATCTTGGACCTTGCAGCATTTCAGATCGCTGATCAGCTTTGAGAGTTTCCATTTCTCCCTGGAAGCCAAATTCTTGTAGCTTGTTCAAGTTAGTCAAGTGTTGTTTCCTGTCTTGGGAACAAGACTTACAACATTGGTGCATTATCCGGAACCGGAAGGCGAAGAATGACGGTGTAATCGTCCTCGAACGCCTCCACGATAAGGTGGAAGGACATGCCGGTAAATTTCCAGGCATTCCAGGATTCCTTCACAACGTCCACAGGCTTATTGGTCAGCTGCGCAACGCGCTTTTGTAGCTCCTTTCGTTGTGGGAGCCTGAGGCCTTTGTCGAGCTTGTAGAAAGCCAGGTAGTAGAATCTCTGAAGGATGCGGTCCGAATGGTAGCCCCATAAAAGCACGTACAATTGCACTCCATATGCTTCGCGACTCAAGTTGCTGTTGTAGGCCGTGAGAAGTGCCGAGGGATCGTCGTTGTTGTCCTTGAGCAGAGTAAGATCCTGGAGCGCCGTAGCTAACTCGACTGGCTGATATTCGATTTCGCTCTGAGAGGTTTCGGTGTTCTCTGGAAGCACCGTGGAAGACTCTCCCACCAGGGGGCTGGCCGACTGTGCGTCGGTGCCCTTCCCGCCTCGTCCCCTTCCACCCCGTCCTCTTCCACCCCCTCCCCTTCTACCACGTCCCCTTCCACCACGTCCCCTGCCACCACGTCCGTTTCCGCCTCCTCCACAAGAGCCTGCACTCTCGCTGGTCGGCGTCTGATACGTGCAGCTCTGCTCATCCGTGGCTTTGCTCCTGACGACTTCCGGATTGGCGTGCGTTTCAGTGGATTCACAAGCTGTGGAGCCGGCGGAAGCTGGCCCTTGGGGTGGCTTTTGGGGTGGCTCTGAGGGCGACTCTGAGGGCGGCTCTGGCGCTTGCCCTGCGGTTGGCTCTGACGTTGATTGCTTTGATTGTGGTGCTGCTATCGCAGGTCTGCTGGACGAGTGGTGACCTGGAGTCGTCCTGGCTGTGTCCGTGGTACCGGGGGTCGGACCTCCAAACGATGAGAGGGCTCGTGACGGCCTGTGGCTCGCCGCGCTGCTTGTAGCAGCTTCGATTGACAGAGGCAAGCTCTGCTCATCCGCCGGCTGTTCTTCTAGCTGATGCGAAAGACATCGCTGAGCCTATGGTTCCGTTAGCACTTTCCACGGAGATATTAGTCCACACGCATACACACTTCGTGGCCTTGTAATATTCGCACGATTTTGCTAAGACACGGTCCGGGGCCGTCTAGCGCATCTTGCAGTAAGCCTCTGACCGCCTGGCAGCATTGAGCTTCGTCCAGCTGCATGTTGAACTCTGTACGCGACTGGTGAGGAGTTGTGGGGGGAAAGAGATCAAGCAGGGCTGGCAGATGAACAATTGGTGAGCATATCAGTGCACAAAGGGGTGTCTGAGACAGGGGAATCGGCGCCTAACCCTTTTCGCTCAGTTTCTTTCAGTGACTGAAAGAAACTGAGCGAAAAGGGTTAGGCGCCGATTCCCCTGGCTACAACTCTGACAAGTGCCCACACCTCCTTCCGGCGACACAGCGGCCCGAGGCTGCACCACAGCGTTTTTTTTTTGGACAAACGGAGGTTCATGGTCTCGGAAGAAAAAACACCATCATGCATATCAAACATATGCTGTACTATGCAACGACACTACCATATCGATGACTTGTCGTTAATACTGAAAAGACCAAAAGCGAAGGCTTGCGTCAATGTGTGCAATGGTGTCCAGCGATGCTGTGTAGCGGCCGAGGCGGTTCACAAAAAAGCCGGACACTAAGCTTCTGCATTAGCGTCCGATTTATTCTGTCAACCGGCTCGGCTGCTGGAGTCGCAAAAGCGTTAGGGATGCGTCTCCGTCATGGTACATAAGCCGGTATCCAGGATCTGCTGCGGTGTTGGAGGAGGTACGCTCTTGTGCCAGTTCGGCATGTGGATGCCCAACTGTGCACTGCGTGCTCTGTTGATGGCGTGGGCCGTGCAAGCCACCCAGATAGCGGCCTGTCCCTGCACACTAAGGTTCCGTGCTCGCCGGCAGAGCGGCCCCTGATGTTCCGTGGTGCCACCCCGAACACCAAGCTGGCCTCCGCTGCCTGCCAAAGACCAAGACCGCGCGTCGTGGGTCCTTTCAATGAGACATGGCTGTTTCCAGTCTGATAGAGGCTGGCCCGTCCCGTTCCGGGACCACTAACATGACCGAGGACTTCAGCAGGAAGCCCTGGGACATGAGTGCACCCGCTGCTGGGACGCCGAGCACGGCTCGTGTCAATCCTGACTGCCGTGGTCGATCGCTGATGACCAGGATCTGACACCAGCTGCGTCCACAGGCATTTAAATGACCTTGTCCTGCGCCGTGTAACCGCGGCATGCAGCGATCAGCTGGCAGCCACTCCCAACGTCTGAGCAAGATCCTCCACTCAGCTACCATCATGCCGCAAACAGGATTACAGCGTCTCGAAGGGCGAGTCGTCCTCCTTGGCGGGTCTAAGGCCGGCAAGACTCGTCTCCGAGAGCAGATCCTGAAGGCTGTAGCAGAGCCAAATCTAGACTTCAACATTGACGAGGTCTGTCACCACCCGACAGCCATATTGCGGTAACTGACGTTATTATAGCGCACACGGATCGAGAAGAAGCACGCGGAGCGCTTGCTCCATTACATCACCATTCGCGAGGTACGTCACTCTTAGAGAGCCATATTGCGGTGACTGACGTTGTCATAGTACACGGGGACCTGGAGTGTGACCTCGGAATGTTTACCGCATAAGATCGAGATTGTCGAGGTCCCCAGTTGGGCTGACGATATCAGCGAAGTTCTAGCAGGACACGACAGTCCCGGAACAGTAGTCTTGCTGTTATACGATCCTAGGTGGCCGTTCGCTCGCCGTCAAGTTTTGGGCAGGTGGGAGAAACTCAAGAAGGTCTCATTTTCTGAAGCTTCGTCAATGAAGCCCATTCTTGTTTCTACCTTCTCTGACCAGCCTCTTCAGGGGACTGGTGACTCCGGGGGTAAGGTCAAGCTAGCCGAGCACCTGGGTTTTCCCGCCTTCACTATTTCTCTGCGGAGCCGCCGTCATGTACACGAGCTCATCGCTGAGATATACCGGTCGCTGGGAGTAGCATGCCCAGACATTGAGATAGAGATCTACAGCGACGCCGGAGAGAACGAGAGCTCACATGCTGAGCCGGACGACGGACTGCAGGCAGAGATGTGGTCTGCTGAGCACGACAAGGAGCCGCAGGTTGGGGAGCTGCAGGCTGAGGATCTACCAGCTCAGCCGCCCAAGGAGGGTGCGCAAAGGGAGGATTTCAGCTTGGAGGATTCGCCCAGCGAGAAGGTCTGGCTCAGGAAGCCGTCCAAGGCTGGGGCGGCACTGGGCTGCTGTGGTTGTCCTCTGGCGGTTGCCTGCAGGAACTTGGTAGACAGGTTGAAAAGGCGTATCAACCGAGGGCCAGCGAGTCTTTCCAGGCGCGTACGTGCGCGCGTCTCCAGCAGCGGCGCCGAGCGGCGCGACTCTATGGCGCCGCTTCTCGAGAAATAGACCATTCCTGTAGACTTCCAACGCGAGCGCGGCATCTGGCCGAGTCGCTACGTCATAGAGACTTCTGCGGGCAGAACACCACAATGACACAATCAATGCTGCATTACCTTCAATCGAGCTCCCTGGTGCTGTCTGTGCGGCTGGCAAGCAACACCCTGCCTGCCCGAAGGGGTGTCATTCCTCGGCTCCACTGCGTGTGCTTGTGGCTTATGCGGGTCTGCCCACCCCAGCGAATGGCCGTCCGTTTCTGGCGTATCCTCCAAGCGTGACTCTGCCCGTTCTGCACGGCCCGACGTGAGGTGAGAAGTCACTTGCCGGCCAGCAAAGTCAACACATTGTGGGTCCGATCTGACCAGGGCGGAGCTAGGGTAGCCTGCCGGCCGCCTACATGGCTAGCCAGGGGCAACCATGTCCGCCAGTGGTTGGTGATGGCGACCAGAAGGGACTTCGTCGCTCATCGGTGCTGAAAGGCCCCTGAGAAGCTTGCATCTGTCGTCTTCCATCGAGCCTGCATCCTCGTGGCCGACTTCCTCTCTTTCTCCAGCCGAACGATCACGGCGCCGACAAGATGCTCGCAAGTCTGTTTTCTGCCCGGGATAACCTCACGCGCTGCCGTCGGTCTGAAAGCCAGGTGCTCGACAGTGCTACCTGACGCATACCAGCACTCCCACAAAGGTTGGGTACCGGGATGACTCTCGCGCCGCAAAAACCCCCTCCTTCCTCATGTGCCAGCAATGCTCATTGCTCGCTACCCGCCGGCCGGGAAGGCCAGCCCCCCAGCCCAGGCCAGAGGGGTTCCAAGCCACTCACTGCCTGCACTGGTGCGCGCACTGCAAGCTTGTTGCCTTGCGCTCCCTTGATCCCCTCAAAAGGCTGACCATCCCTCACTGGTCAAGGTTTCTCGAAGATCCCTTCTTCACCTCTGCGGAAAGGCCTCTAGCCAGCTCGTTCTGGATAGCACCGAGACCATGGACGGCGTCAACGATACCGGCACCGAAGTCTGGCACATCGATGCCTCCATCGACGTTGCGTCCCTCTTCGCAGACGAACCAGGCATAAACGCCAAAACCACCATGCCTGACGATCACAGCATGTTCTGTCACCATTGACCGCATCACGGAGCTTGCAGCACGACACTACCCGCTCCCGTACGCTTCCTAGACGTCAGGGACGGCGTCTGTTCTATACAGAACACACTCGCACTGTCGCCCAGAGTTTCCAGCTTGTCGTGTCATTCAAACTACATTCCCTGAAAAATAGATCTCAATGCTTCCTGGCAGCCACCGTAGCAGTTGCATTTATATCGTGCAAAGCTCAGTTCTCTCACCATTACCACGAACACAGATACACTCTCCATGCTCGATACCACACGTACACGCTCAAACATAAGGGCTCTGCCGCGGCCTTGTGATCATCCATTCCCAGACTGGCGGGGTTTGTGGTCGGCAGTCCGCTGTTGATGTCACTTGTTAGTTCGATCCGCGTCTCTCTAGTGGTCTACTTACGACAAACCTCGTCACCTCTGAGAGAATGTTAGTAGCTGTTTGCTCCAAGGTGCAAGAATAAACTGACCTCCATTCGGCACAGGTGACGTTGGGCTGGCACTTCTTGTGGGTTCGTTCGTAGACATGGCACCATCGTTGGACAGGAAACCGGAAATGGCCACAGTGGTATTGGATCTGCTAGCGATCAGCTGCTGGAGTTTACAATGGCTTCGATTCGTTATACATACTTGGATATAGTTGCACATGTTGACTTGGAAGGGCACATTGTCGAGAGGTTGCGGGTGGAAAGCAGTGAAAGAACCCCGGCTTCTTGTACCCCATGGCATCGACGGACATATGCCGGGTTCATGCGGACTGGGGATCACTTGCGAACGCTTGTCGTGTACAACGTCCGTGAGCAGCACTCACGTCACGGCTGATCCTGACGACCGAGCCGTGCCCGGTGCACTCATCAAACCTGCACCCCGCTTTCCCCCAGCTCCGAGGACAATTACCCAGTCAGGTGGGATGCCGAGCGCACGATGACCCCGGCAGCTGTCGTGTACCAACTCCACAGCGTGTCCTCCACCAAAATAGTGTGCTCGTCTGCGCAGTGAAGTGGCCATTGAGCGCGTTGCGTTGAACACCGAGCCTGGTGCGATCATGCCTTAGGTTGGCCCACCGGAATGTGATGCCACTCTGTGGCATTGGTCTAGCCTCATCTCCGAAAGCGTGATATGCTCATTGGAAATGTTCGTGTCGTCACGTACCGCGCCGATCACACCTTAGCTGACGACCAACAGAACCGAGCTCGACCCGGTTCCAGGGGTCTGCGTGCTGGGGCTTCGACGCCGAGCATGTGCTGCCGGAGAGTTCAGGGACAAGAGATGGCCAGGCCACGAGTACCAGGGTTGGTCCCAGCCGACCGGGGGCTTCAGTGCATGCGGCATGTCGCACCTGATAGAGCTGCGTCCTGCAGGGCGGCGCCGATGACGCCCGGGCCCCCCGCTCCGCACATCCTGCGTGCTCACGTCCGCCACACCCTTGCATCCGTTATCACCACCGCGGCCGCGGACAGACTGCGCGGCCTCTCGTCGGGCGCGGGAACAAGACCACAAGCTGAGATGGGCCCAGCGAGACACGGGCTGGGCGCATGATGATGGGGGGCTGGACGGCTCGACAAGTTCGCCCCTGGTTTGTCCCGCTGGCATGAGCACCATCGACCACCACGGCACGGGACATCGGGACAGCAATGCACCCTCTCCTGCCACTCTGGCACGCACCCAGCTCATGTCCAGACTGCAACAAGACGTCCGAGCTCGATCGGCACGCGTGTCAGTAATGAACGACGTGTACGCGGGTGGCTGCTTCCAGCAGCATTTGCAGATAAAGGTGCTGCGTGGGCGATGCGACCATGTCTCGGCATGTACTCACCTCGAAGACCCTTCTCAGACGCTCATCCCGGCAGCTCTCTCATCGTCTGAGCACCATGCGTTCTTCAACCCGCATGACCCAACCAGAGCCACATGATCCTCGCAGACAAATCGGCGTCGTAGGCATATCTGCCGTCGGCAAAACTCAAATATAGAGTGGCTTATGAGTTCATTCTCGAACACGGTCCATGAAGTCGATCTCGTTGAGGTAAGTCTGCACTGGACCGAATGCCGCGGCGGCTAACATCGGCGTAGTACTCTCCGACCTATCGACCGACCTGCGAACCGCTACCCGGGCACAGCATTGACGTCAAAGAGTTCCCGGGACTAGGTGCAGAGGATCTCAAGGAAAGCTTTCAGTGTCCAACTAGCCCTGTTGTTCTATGGATCCTGCTTTATGACCTTTCGTGCCCGCTTTCGCTCACCGCGTTGAATAAGATCTGGGTGGAGAGCTTGTCTGGGAAGGCCATCATCATCGCGAACAAGGCCGACAAGTGTAAGCAGGCGACCAGGGATCGCACTTGGCAGGACACTGGAAGCCATATTGGACTTGAACATGTCAGATTCTCGGTCAAGGACGGCACAGGCCAGGTGGAGGTCTTGAAACTGGTTAAAGACTGGCTGGCGCACGAGGAGGGCCTGGTGACAGCGATTCCGCCCCAGGAGCTCGTCGAGCCCGAGGAATTGTTCACAGATGGGCCAGACTGCTGTGGTTACTGTCATCTGGCGCTCGTTTGCAGGGAGAAGTTGCAAACCTGCAGAGACCGGATCAGCAACTACCGAGCTCAGTTGGCAGATTGTCTCAGGCGGCGTCCTCTCGCGCATAGTAGTTGCGCGTTATGTCGCCTCCTAGGGGAGCCACTTCCCGAGAAGCACTCGAGGAGAAGGTCCTGTGCGAGCACCGCCTCTAGCTGTAGCTCTGTTGTCAAGTAGACTACGCAGAGGTCGCCATAACGACGCAATTGACAGATGCATTGCCCACAGGATCGAGCTTCAGTTGGTCCACCACGCTCTGTGCCTTGGCGGCAGGTGACGATCCAGCCTCGGAAACATGCGCCGCGACTGTGCCGGGTTCAGTATGCTCGCAGCGTCTAGGGTGTTCGCACGACGCCACTGGAAAGCCCGTCAACACTGGCGCATCCTCCAAGCAAGACAGCGCTCTTCCCACACGACGCGATTGCGGCGCCAGAAGTCACCCTCGGAGCTCGCGCGAGGCATGCACGTTGTGGGCCCGGTGAAGCTGCGCGTCAGCCCAGAAAGCCGGGGGTGATCCCAGGATAGCGAGGGGCGTCGACCAGGGGTTGGTGCTGTCTTCCGAGCGAATCGGAACGCCGGACTGCATGGTGTTGGATATGGCAACGACGCCAGGCCTCACCCATGGCTCGAGGTCGCAAAGCGCTCCATCGCACTCTGTCGCACCCTGTCGTGGCTGCGACGCTCATCATGACTGGGCTCTGAGGCCTTTTCTTTTGATGCAGCTCCGCATTGAGAAGCAAGACATGATCCGAGGCGCCGGGCACTCATGCCTCGAGTCCGGGTCAAACAGCTGAGACAGCTCAAGTGGCGATGCAACGATAAGAAATGTATGACTGATGCGGATGTATCTGTGTGACCAAGCGATGGCATGGAAGTCTGGGTATGGAATGACGTGTTCGAACTGCGTAGCATGTCCTGCTTGCCCACAATATGCAAACCTTGTGCTGGATGTGAGACGCTCGCTGACGTCTGGCTCTCGCAGTCTAAAGGTTGCTACGATGGCGTGACCTCCAAAGGATGGGTATTTAGAGGCACGCGCTGAGCTTCACGAGGAGCAGCTGAACGACAAGCCGAGTGAGAATGGTTGGGCAAACACTGAGAAGCATGATACAGCGATTGGTCGCTATAGGTCAACGGCACCGGGGATGGGGCCTGTCAGAATCGTTTGATATCAGCATCACTGGTGACAATGCGTGTCCCTGAAGAATCTGCTTGTGATCTGCCTGTCATGATAGCTGGCTCTGTGCCGCTCGGACGGAGGTCAAGTTCATCACCACGCCTGGATCGAAGCAGAAGCTCGTGACCATAAGAGCGGCCCAAGCAAGCTGTTCGGGACACGATCACTGTAGGGTGCCACGACAGCCGCACATCCGGCGAACTGCCGGCAACAACCTGGGGTCTACCGGACATCCCGGCTATGAGCCATGCCTCTGAGCTCTCAGCATGTAGACGGGGCAGCGCTACCTGTGATGGTGCGGTGGAACGACCCGCCCGCCTCGCTGCTTCTCTGCCCTCGAGGCTCTGCTCCGCCACAACAGTCCTGACAGCTTTCGCCATTGCAACCAGTCTACCGCGACCTCGGACGACTCCAGAGGGACACCTTTCGTAGAGACGTACACGCTCCACCGAGGCCACAGTCGCCACCAGTTTCACGACAGTGCTCAGAGCATCACTTCCGCGCTCGCCGCTATTACCGTCTCGCGAGGACAACTACACCACAGAGCGCAACGAGCGTGACGTCCACCTCCGAGCCTTGCCGAACCTTCCGACGCGATGTGCCTGGCAGTATCCGCCGACGCTGTGCGACTGACCTCAGTCTTGCACGAAACAACTTCGAACCGAGTCTCCGACACACCCACACTCCACGCGTGAGCCATGCAGAAAAGGCGGGACCAAGGCTCAGGGCTGGCATGCTAGGACGAGGCCTCGAAGAGGCTGATTCTTGGACATCAAGGAAATTCCAACAGAACCAGATGTCCGGGTCGGCAACGAGCCGAGCAACGCCACAAGAGCGACAAACACGCAAGTTCGGTGGCGATGCCTCCAAGGCTTTCTGGAGCGCGCAGTCGAATAGTTACATTCGCTGTCTCCCACCAACTCTCATCACGATTTCCGTCACCACAGCCCAGCCGATTACCGCAACGCCGTAGACGACAGTTCGAGATTCGGCCCCGGTTCCTCGGCCGCTACTTGCGCGCGCCATCGCACATCGGATGACTTGATCATGATGGATAGGAGAAGAGCAGGGCGGGACGGAGGGAGTGCTGCGAGCATATGCAGTTGCGATGCCTCGGCAAAAGCTCATACTGTTCGACGGGCTGTCATGTCAGCCTTGTTAGAGAGAACGGAGGCGGCCTAGCGGCGGGCTGCTGTGACGGCCATTGCCACCGGGGCTTCGGTACCGCTGTGTCTGATAGCAAGTGGAGAAATGGGTGGTGACGTCTGTTGTTAAGCCATTGAAGTCCATGGGTCACGAAAAGCCAGAGCAACAGGTTGTCAAGAGCAGTGGTCATCACCATTTTCTCGAATGATGAGACATGGTAGATGGATGAAGACATTCGTGCTATGAAGAATATATGAGGATCCACGTTGTATCGCTCAGCTCGGGCGAAGACTTGGTCAAGACCAAGCAATGAACCCAGAGTCTCCTCTACTGCCACACTTCTTCTATTTATCTTGAAGCTGGTTCCTCATCGCCTCGATTTGAAGACTGACATTCTTATGAACACTCAGGAATGTATCCTGCTGTTGCACGGCATCCAACTTCTTGCCTACAATATCGTCCTGCTTAGCCAAGAACGCATTATATTCCTCGAAGAAGTTGGGGGATTCGCGCGCGTTGTCGCCGTTGTCATCGCTCCTGCCACCTTCTTCGCTTGGCGAAGCGATATGTTGGTCATCAGATGAGCCGCCCTGATCGCCCAGGCCATCCTCACCTTGACCTGAAGCTCCCACAGACGAGGAAGGCCGTATCCCTTCGAGGTCAGGTTGAACTTTCGGATCGTCGCCGGAGACCGAGGCGGGGACAGAGGCTCTGGTGCCACCGCGCGGAGGGCTGGCTTTGGAACGCGACATGAGCGCAGCTGCCAGTCCTGTGGGAGGGATGGATGTTGTCGATATGCTTCGTAGTATGCTGTCGGCCTCTGTTGTGCTGTCGGTTTCGTGGTTTCGTGCCGGGCAGTGGGAGACTGACTGTTGAGAGGTATAAGGTAGGAGGAGTGGGAGGTCGATGCTTGTGACAGGAGCGTAGAGCCAGGATCACCCGAACACTGCTGATGACAGTTGTTGAGAAGAGGGAAGATGGTAGATGGCGATTTCTGGCGAGAGACAGCGGCTCCCCGGCACGCATATGACCGTGTAGCTTTTCGGCTGACCGCAGTGCGCCATGCCCGCTATTGTGCCCATGCCTGATGCATGCTAGACTCCCGGCAATGCGCAAATATTGCTGCCTGAGCAATTCCCCCTGGTGACCTCGGGAAAGGGCGGCGCCTTGCGCGACTCGCAAGTCCCACACCTGGTGAATGTCCACATCAAGTGACAGTAGTCGCCGGATGCCATTACCGCCCTGGGAGCCCAAGAATTTGTGATGATGTTACAGCACGCGGTACGGACATACAGCGCATGAGGCATCTAAGCAGCCAACAGCACTACTCCCAAGAAACACTTCTCGCGACAAGAAAGCGCCAGTCAAGGTTCTGTTGCACTCCCTCACGAGGTCAGCATGGGCAGCCTTGACAGTGACACAGAGCGGGCACCGTGGTTGTAGCTTGATGCGCTCGTGCACTGTGTGCCAGGAGAGCATGGACATTGAGGGCCAAGGCTTGTAGCTCACGGATAGGCAGTCCAATTGCAAGACACGACTTCCCAGGATCACGCTTTCATCTCATCGTGCCACCAGTTCCCGGATGAAGTGACCATCTCATGCACTCCCTTGGCACTCGCTGGCCGAGGCGGCCCTCCTCGACAAGGAGCTTGGGCACACACATTAGCATGATGACTCAGCTCCCACGTCAGCCCCACGCGGCGTAGACTCCGCGCGTTCCGCGGACTGGGCTCCCACTGTCGGCAACAATGAATATCTCCAGAAGCTGCGTCGATTATCAGCGACTTCGTGAAACTGCATGAGAAGAGTTTCGCCAGCACGAAGTCAAGAAAATCTGTGCTGCAAGTAGTTGAGGATGGGATGGCCTCGGCCGTGACGACAACCCAAAGTGTTTGTAGTCGCTAGATATCTAGGATATGGTGACCTCTGTCGTGTGGGACTTACACCCCACTTGTCTACAATTGTGATGGAGCCCAATTGTAGTGCTTGCAGAGACTACAATACAAATTCGCCGGCCAGAATCACCAAGTTGGCTTGTGGTCGCCAGACTCGCAAGTCCAGACCGCAAAATCTTCATGACTCTGCTGGTGCCTTTGTGGACCAACACGACAACAGGGAAATCCAGCCACCCCATTTCAGCGCCCCACGGCTCCTCAAGTCTCTCAATCTCTCCCGAAAGCTTTCTATTTTCCTGTGTTGAGTGCTGAAATCGTCCCCAGGATCGACCTTGGCGAATTTGTGTGACCTCAACTTATTGAGTATCTCTTCACTATTACCGAGTAAGACCAAACGGTTGGCCTTGTTGCCAGATACGCGTTGTTTCTTCAGAACACGACCAAAGTTCTTGAGGCTAAATACGCGAGTCCATTTATTCTAAAGCGCGTTAGCCGCCGTGGCTGCAAGGCTCAGCAGTAGCATACCTTTCTCCCGAAGTCGGTGCTCTCGATTTGCCGGGTTTCTCCGGCTGAAGGGCCATGCTGATCTATGGTCACAACCGTCGTCGTCACTTCGACTTGGACGAATATCCACTTCTCCATGCTGCTGTTGTGTTGGGTAGTTGAGGTGAGTAAATCGAAAACCTGCTGCAGACTTCGAAGTATGAACGAGGACAAAAGCTTGCATCGAGAAGCTACTTGTCATGGCCGAGTGTAGTCAGACGGTGCATGCAGGGAAGGGTCTATATATGTCTGCAGCTCAATACCACGCCCGCCTCTTTGAGGACTTTGATTAGAACCGTGCTCACACTCAAGAAGCCTGTTTGTGATAATGATGACCCTGCCGCTCCCCCTTGCACAGGCCGACCAGTCCCACTTCCTTGCACCCAGGTCCCACTATTGTTCAGAATCGGAGGGACAGGGAAAGTCCTGGGCCTGTGCATCTTTGTCTGTGAACTCACGTTCGAGCCTGGCATCGCGGCTGGGCGGAAGGGCCCCGGCGCTAATGCGGTGTCAGTCGTTCCCCATAGCCACAGATCACCTCAAAAATTAGATGTATGGTCATTGGCTATCTTGTAGCATTCCTTGGCTGGCTAGAGAGTGGAGATCCAGGTTGCTGGCCTCGAGCTAGCAAAGCTCCTCGTCAAGCCTGCGAGCCGCTGTGGAAACCCTCAGCCTCGCAACAAGGGGGATTCCCGGCTCCCATTCCGCCATGGCCAAGTAGGAACCATTCCTTGCCAATTTGAACGGGCGAGACGTAGCATTCGCAGAGCATGGGGAAGAGCTCCGGTAATGTGCAACCACAACGGCCCCTGGCCTTGTCGAAGCTGACGCCAAAGTCTGGTCCGAACTCGGGATTGAATGGCTTTAGGGAGGAGTGGCGTACAGTGGCGGTGGCGCTCAGCTGGATGCAGTCCAACGTCCAAACAAACAAGCGTGGGCATGGTGAGCTGCTACCTCACGATTTCTGCCCGGACGCCCCAAACCTGACTCAGTTGTAAAGGGTCTCAAGGAGGGCTTCCCGACCATGAAAGTGTGCGCGCAAGGAACGCTATCCTAGCACTTGTGACCGGGCTGTCGCCACATGCTCTGCCGGAAGCTGTCCAGATCGGTTGCGGGTTGGCACAGCTGCCTAGCCCGTCTCTTGGCAATCTTTCTCTGGAACCGATGCCCATGGAAATCCCAAATCACCTCCCAAATGCCTAGTGCCGAGTACAGCCCTTGCTTGAGTCCGGCACCATTTCTAGCCACAGATTTGCGCTTCCACAGCACCTCCTGGGTGCCCATTTCGACAGGCTTTCATCGGAGCACGCGCGCCCTGCGATTCATTCGAGGTTCCCTGGTCCCATCTCAGGATACCCTCTCCTAGTACTTCTGTTCCCCGCCATGATATCAACGCAGGGTCAGAGGCACGGTCTGCACGTGGCAGCCATCACTTCCGAACATGGTTGAACGACTCACTGGTACCGAGCAATGAGTCTCTCGGATTAGTCCACAATCGGCGTGCCGTTCGTGGAAGTGTGTGGCCGGAGGTTCCGCCTGCCGACAGACCTTTCCTACCACCTGTGGATGTTGCTCAAGCGATGGCACCGGGTGATCTTTAAAATGAGCGTAGCACGATCGACCATATCGCACAGCAAAGTCACATGGCATTGTTAAAGTGCGCTCGATCTGGCCATGACCAGCTTCCCGTCATGGGATCACAGCCACACGGTGTGCGAGCCACAGCTCCGAACGGCGTTTCGCTTGGAGTGGTGCGCGCACCACGATGCTCTGCCTCTCTGCCTCTCTGCCTCTCTGCCTCTCTGCCTCTCTGCCTCTCTGCCTCTCTGCCTCTCTGCCTCTCTGCCTCTCTGCCTCTCTGCCTCTCTGCCTCTCTGCCTCTCTGCCTCTCTGCCTCTCTGCATTCACCATCAACGCATTCACGACTCTCTCAAGTATACAACAACAAAACGACCATGGACAAACCCGATCACTTCACTCGTGCAGAGATGCAGGATGATGACCAGAGCGCCGACAGCACCAACAGCACCGACAGCGCCGACAGCACCGACAGCACCGACAGCACCGACAGCACCGACATCTACTCGAGGGAAACCAGCGTGGTGTAGCCGCCTCTCTCCAAGCTTCTCGATCGGTACGACACGGGGTGGTCCGCTATGAGCGACTTCCTGCATGCCACAAACTTGCTCACCCCTCCACGGGACAACATCAGCCTTTCATGGACGATCCGCAGACCGACAACCACACCCTACTTGCCCCCGACTTATTCCAGATCTCTGGTGCCTGGTCTATACAGCGAGGCCGGAGAAGCTCTTGCAGTTTCAACGCTGCTTCAAGACCAACTAGCCGCGATTGCAAACAAAACACCAACCGAGTCGACTGCAAACACCAAACAATACCAGGCCTTGCATCAACTCACTGCTAGGCACTGGGGCAGAGCACAAGACCTGCTTGAGATCTGTCACCACTCGAACGCATCGTATCGGACCCGGCGGCTCATTGATCAACATGGGGTTATCTTTGTCCTCTCAACACGCGCAACAGCTCCGTTTCTGCAAAGCCGATCGTGTCTCGAACCAGATCATTTGTGGAATTTTCGCTAGAATGCTTCCCCGGACTCCAACAGTATACTCAGGTTTTCCGCAACACAAATCCCTTTCGCGCGACGCGTAGGAACCCTGGCACGGGTAGCATGGTCGCATCGCCTTCTGAGGCAGACAAAGATCTCTGGGCAGACATTTCTCGGTTCTGGTACTGGAAAGCAGCTGCGCAGCGTATTGAGAGTGGCAGGTCGTCGGCTTGAGTGCTCTTGTCTTGCTACCCTCGCTATGTCATCCTGGAGATCTTGATTCTTCCCGAAGCTGAGCGGCGACGTTGCATTCTTCGTGCAATGGACCCATAGCCACTCAGCAGCATTGATTCATGGGCGCAGAGGCCTGTCTAGCAAAACTTGCTCTTCCCAATACTACATCCATTCCAGACCCTATCATTTCTATGTCGCCTTGAGATCGCCTGCGGCTCCTGTCGGATACTCAATGGCAGCAGTCCGAGCACGCCTCGGTGCAGGTTGTCCTCCGCGCCGAGCATGAATCTGTTTACCTTGCTTGCATTTTCGCAGCACCCCAACTCGACAACAGATATGGAGCAGGCCCCGATCAGTAAGTGCCTGCATCATCTAGACCTGATGAGCTAGTGAGTTCTAGGCTAACCTTTCCCCAAGATCCTTGACTGCGTTGTGCTGCAGATTTCCCGCATACAGTGTGCTTCTGCAGTCCATTCGCAGCTCCAATCGGGTCAGCAGCCCTCGCAGGGAGCATGCAACTCGGACCTGCATGTCTGGGCTACCTGCAGCGTCCGGATTCACAACGGATCACTAGACTGCAGCATCGGACAGGGTTACAAGACATCGCTGATGCAAGTCAGGCGTAGCTCCGCGGAACCGAGAACCATTTAAAGAGACGCATGGACAAGCAAGAGGACTCACGATTGTTTCCGCATCATGTACCCACTGCGTCGAAGTGGCATCACCGAGGATGACAGAAACCACGCCCCTACTCCCAACGTGCCAATTCGCAAAGGACCCCGAGCTAGGTCTTATGGCTGGCGCTGTCCAACACGACGCAATCGCCGCGCCTTCACAATCCACAGTCAAGCTGCTGAGCTATCGGATTCTTGCACAGACGATATACATACTCTATGTCGTGCTCTGGATACTTCTACTATTCGCTGATCGACTGCCGCTTGGCCATCTCGACCAGCGCTGGCACGCGGTCGCATACCTGATGGCACAGCAATTCGAGAAGGACTGCTTGGCCCCGTTGGATCGGGTCATCAGCGAGATGGTGTTCCGAGCGCTCATCAGGTACTCGGCGGATCCGTCTATCAAGCATGACACCACCACAGACGTTACCACCCAGATTACCACGAAGGTTACCACGGAGGCCACCACGGGGGTTACCACGGTGGTCACCACGAAGGTTATCACGAAGGTTGTCACAGAGGTCACCACGAAGATTGCCACAAAGGCTACCACAGACGGAAGCGAGGACACTGAAAAGGCAAGCAAAGGAAGCCAGGCGTTGAAACGAGCGTTGAGAAAAGCAACAGCAGTCGGAACATTGATGCGTGGCCCAGTGGCAGCCTTCGGCGCGGTGCTCCAACTCCTTCCCGTTCTCAAGTCCTGGAAAAGTGTTGTGGTGCTATTACTTGCCCTTGCCTGGCTCAGATGGATCGGGGGCCATATCAAACTCACGACCATACGAGCTCAGGAGAGCAAAGATGACCGAGACAAAGCTTTGTTAGTATCTGCTCGCTTTGGCGCTCTTTTCGGTTCAATTTGTCTAACGAACACTAGCGAAAACATGTCAATATCAGTGGCTCCAACGCAGAGAGCAGCCATCGACGCATCACACGAAGCTTATCAGTGCAGTTCGGTGACCAAAGACATCATCGACTTCATAAGCAAGGTGGTCATCAGTTTCGGCTTGCTTGCTCTTGTATTCTGGGACTCTCAAGACTTCATGCTTGTCGTCAAATCCGCCCATGCCCTCTACAAGCTCAATGACATCAGTGGCAAGTGGTTCGAGGCGTCTGCGAAGTCTGAAACAGCCGTCAAAGCCATAAAGTCATACAAAAAGTCCACAGGAGATCACGGTCGCACAACGGGCAAGACCTGGAAATCGTGGGTAGGAGCTTTCCATCTTGGCAGCCTGAGCTGCCTGGAGGACAGCCGGCGGTGCGGAAAAGTAGTGATGCAGCTTTTGATTAAGTCTCCCTTAGCGTTATCAGGGTCGTTGTCGAAGCCTGCCGAGGGAACACGGGAACTCCGGTCCAAGTGCGCTGCGGAGAGGCAAGCACACAGCAACGACCGAGGCAGGCTGGCCAAAGACTTACCTAATGCATTTGGCTAGGTTAGCATGTTGCTGGCAGGGAAACATGGAGGAGATCTGACATAGACGGGACCGGGGTATCGGAACTCATTATTAGCCATCAGTGAGGTCCGGAAATCCTCTGATCAAGCTTACCACAACCAGACTCGCCGTGCAAGAGTGAATCACGCTGTACAAGAGTGAACCACGCCACGCAGATGAGAACGTTATGAACGATGCACGGCACGTAGCGTTCACCCCAACATAGCACCGGTGACTCCTTAACGGATTGAAGACAATCGGCTCGTGCCTAGTGGCCACATTGACAACAACGCAGGCAGTTCCGGCGGGTATCTCAGGATGCAGGAGAGACCTTGTCCACAGTTTGGCATGACGCTGCACGAAGGAGCCGCGGAGTCGGTGGGTTGTGGGAAAGCAGCACGGTCTGAGTCGACTTTCCAGCTCTCATAGCTGCATAAGACATGCTGACTGTAGCGCAACTCGGTCCCGCCTTGTCAATAAAGTGCTTGCAGGGCACAGATTCTTCAGAAACAAATCTTGACACCAGACGAGACACGTTGGGAAAGAGGCGCTGAGCACTTGAGAAGACCTTAGTTGAATTACGTATGAGACCAACCTATCAGAACTATCAGAACTAGGGACCGTGGGAGACGCGAGAGTCTGCGTTGGCTGGTGTCTTGGACGTCCCGTGGGCAATGACAATCTGAGATTTGGAAGCATGCTCTGCTTGCGGCTTGCGTGGAACCTTTCTGACACATGGACGTGCCTCAGCAGCCCTTGGTGCTTTGCCTCTCCCTCGGAAGGGAGGATACGCAATGATGCTGGCCGCGAAAGGGACACTCGAGTATGCCTGGTCCCGGACACCGATCGAGGCTTCGCTCCGCGGTGGCAAAGGCGAGTGAACCATTTGAAACTGTTCACGATGGACCGGCTGTCCAAAGTCCAGCGGCTGGTTCGGATCTGCTTGATATCTCACATCATGATGATGATCCCATGGTTGTGGTTGGTGGGAAGGGGAATTTGCCCCAATCATCTTGCGGTGATGAGTCCAAGCGGTGGTGGAGTGTTGACTGCCCCCATGGAAGAAATGAGGACCTGGAGGCGGCTCTTTCCAGGCGGACGCTGGCTGCACAGGCTGTCTGGGAGCGTACGGTCGCATTTCCCACATTGGTGGCCATTGAGGTTGTGCAACGTCTTGCAGAGCTGTTGCTTGAGTCATGAGAGGACGCGCCGAGTGGTGTATGTACTGGACTCGCTCAAGTGAGTGTGGATGTACGTGTGGAGGTGCGGGCAAGCTCTGCGCTTGGCCTTTGTACTTGAGACATCGCATCAAATAGTCTTTCCACTCTTGGCTGTGACCAATGAGAATAGATTCGGGCTCAGCAGCTGTTATCATGACATAATCTGCCCTGTTCTGCTCCTGCGTCCATAAGAACCGATCGGACAATTGAGTTTGCTTGCAATAGGCTGGCGATGACTTAGCATAAGACGAACGGACACGAAAAGTGTAGGGTGAGTACTTATGATCCTTTCAAAAGCCTCCTGACCGCTGACGCTGATCCAGCCGTTTGTGGTGCTTTCTTTGACCTCAACATGTCCGATGGCAACAGAAATACCAGCCCTACGAAAAAAGTCCTTCGTCTTCCACCATTTTGGTTGCCATGGAAGCTATGGAGGATGCGTTAATACTAATCAAGAACTCACTTGTTCATGCGAAGAAACAACTTACGTTGCCGAACGGTATGTAGAAGAGACCCGTGACCTGGCCTGGGGGCATGAGTACCGACCAATCAGCCATGTTGGGCAAGATAGAGCGATGCGCGCTTCGGCGTGGTTGTGGACGAAGACTGACAGGAGTCGTACTTGCAATGAGAGTGGATGTGAGGGAAGGGCGGCAGTCGATGCGGAGTAAGTCTTCCCTCGGCATTAGCACCGGCAGGGCCGCTCTCTCTCATTTGTAGTTGTCCTCACAACCCGATAACCCCTCGCTCGAGCGTCAATTTCTTACATGTGTGCCGCCGTCAACTTGAGCATGGCTCTGCGGTGAGCAAGGAAGCTGCGCTCGGCAGGGTTTGCGAAAAGCATCCTTCGATGATCAGTTGCGCGACAAGGATATGTCTGGCGGATCATGCCCCCCGGCAGACCGGCTGCTCCACTAGCGGCGGCTGACGTGCCTCCTGTGCATGTTGTGTCTTGGTGAGATGATCATGCCCTTTGTCGCCAGCCCAGCGGCGAGGTGACCCCAGCAGGGCGGTCGAAAGTCGAGATGCATGGGTGTGCAGCTCCCCCTCTGCGCCAATGGAGCAGCCAACGCCTGCTGCTAACGCAAGCCCCCCTGTCTCGAAACCCGATCAACGGACTGCCTACAATGTAAGCTCATTGACGAGCAGGGGAGGCGGGCGCTGCGACTTGGTGGGGCGGCGTCAGGCACGGGTGCGCCATCCGTGGGCCGCGAGGCGGAACAGGCAAGCCCAGATGCGGCCAACAATATGCAAGGCTGGGCAGCCAAGCGTGCCGGCAAGTCACTCTTTGAGTGCAGGCACGGTTGTGGGCCACGCTAGTGCGGATGGGCCCGGCCTACCAACACGAACCCATGCCAACGACATACACACCACCGCTCTCTCCTTAGCCCCATGATGACTCCCCGTAAGGTGACTTCAACAATCAGCTGTTCTTGGCGTGCAGCGATCTTGCCCTTCCAATCGCTTTTCATCGCGTTGCATGAGTGGTTGGAGAGTTGAGTACGCCTCGGGACGAATTGGGGCGCATGCGAACCAAGACAGGATCCCTGTCGCGAGTCTAGATGGAATAGTCGAGCCTCTCCGATGGGTGTCCTTCGCTTTAAAGCACGCAGGCAACCTCGGATACGTCTCCAAATTTCAATATAAAAGAGATCCATGGTTAGGAGGAGGACTTTCCCACCTCTTCATGATACCTCATCAATCTATACAAAGATCTCTATCTAAGCAACGTTTCACCAGCCTCGTCGGAGCTCTTCTGCACGCCAAGATCATGGAGCTACTCGACAATGAGACAGCCACGTTGTTGCGGCCAAAGTCCCAAACAGAGTTGGACTTCATGGTCAAACGATTCCGTTCGCAAGCTGAAGTCTTCGAAGACAGACCTCTGTCATGGGACCGAGAGATTTGGCGCCGGCGCGCCCATGAACCCAAACAAAACGTACCTGCGGATTTTGATGCGTTCGAGAAGCTGATTCTCCACATGGAGAATCTATTCGTAAGTACATCTTGTGCCTGCTTATAGTATGGCTTATGCTGACAGGAAAAGGAACAATTGATCCAGGACTGGGCTGCGAAAGCAGGACGGGACCTGCGGCACCTGGTCGGACCAGTCAAGATCGACCTTAAAGTAGGTCACTCGACAAAACCAAAAGATGCAACAGGCTTCTGCCTCATATGTTGTTCAATCAGCACTGTGGATCTACCTAGAGTGCAGATTCTGCGCGCGGACGGAACGCACGAAGAGGTGAAATCGTTAGAGGATACTATTATCTTTCCTCCTGGAGGCATGCTCCGAAGCATTGAGGGCAACCGCAAGATGCAGTTTGTTGGTTTCGGTTTCGTTCTCCATGAGAAAGCGGCCGTTACCGACATCACTATGTAGAGCTGTCGCAGCGGTAGCTTGTCCAATCTATAATGTTATACCATACTGGAAACATTCCTTGAAGAACTTCTAGGAAACCGCGCCGTTGAGATCATCCAACCAAGCATCAAAGGGCCCTGACCAGACGGTCTGCCCGATGACCTCGACGTCTGGGAAGCAAGCTGTCAAGCTCTCAGGCAGGTATTTGTTGAACTCGATTGCCATAAAACCTCGGCCAGTGCTCAGCCCTTTCCACACCGAGGACGGATCAGTGCAGCAGGGTTGTGAGCGCGCCAAGGGTGCAACTATTCGAGGATTTTGGATGCGCGCGCTCAGTTTAAAGGGGCACAAGCATTCCGCCGCGCAGCTCGATGGGCACCATGTGCAGCACTGCACCCGAGAACTTTGGCTTTCGGGGGGTGGTACGTATCGACCTGCTGTCAGAATTGGGCACCATGGACTGTGGTTGATATTGTCCTGCAATTCGTGCTACGCCATGCTTCGTCCAAGCCCACACCTTCCTAGAGCAGGTGAACCACTGGCAGGGCATACGCTGACCCAGGTAGGACCGCGCGCTGTCTGTTCGCGGGTACGTGGCCCGGCAGATGCAACACCGTGACATGTGGCCCGTGGGGTGTGACCAATCTCACCAAGCGCCGCTTCTGCATGGGGGTACTTGTTCGCGGAAACGCTGTCTGGCACCCGGCCCTGCCTCCACAAGTATTGCTCTTATAAGCTTGCCGTCTTCGCCTGACCGTAAATCAACTCCCGTTCCCGAACTCTCCCATGCCATCTTCCACCAGCCATCAACACCGCAACCATCAACACCGCAACAATGTTCGGAACTTCACACCTCATTCGAGTCGGCCTTTGGACCGTGTATGGATTCCTGTTTCACTTCTTTCATGCTCGCTGTGCTCAGGAAGGAGCTCGGCAACTCCACAGGAAGTTCTCCCCAAACGAGCAGCAATCACCGAAAGACCAAGAAGAGTCAGCAATGTCAATAACGAACATACTGAAAGCCGTCGCCACAACGCTTGTCGCTTTGTATGACACAGGATACTTTCCGATGCCCCGGTATTTCGGATCCGACTCTCCTCTTCTCACGGAGGTGCTTTATGCCCTGCCTGCGGGCTTCTACCTGTGGCACCTCCTCACCGTCCTATCGAAAAAGTCTCGCACGGGCGAAATCCCGCATCACATCTTAGCGATCGTGTTTTTGTGGAACCACAACGTAGGTTCCACGGTTGCCAGCCTTTATTAGCCCTCTGCTAGTTGCTTCCTGCTCGCGTGCAGCTGCTGAACTGTCATGGACATTTTTAGGAGCCCTTCATCGCTCTTCATCTGCCGAACTTTCTTTTATTCGAAATGACCAACATCCCTCACAACATCTACAAACTCATGAAGCGCACGACCACCAACAAAGGCCTGTTCTACTTCTTCGCAGCTATATGGTATGGTCTTCACCTTCGGGTCCGGATTATATGGGGAAGCACCGCCACATACTTGGCTTTCAAAGATCTTGCTATTCTACATGTAGATCGAGGGTCGTATTGGGCTTGGGCGCTCATCGCCTTCTGTTGTACTGGCCTTGTGCTATTGCAGTATCTGAACTTTTACTTGTCTTATGCCATCGTCACAGGTAGAGATTTTAAGGACTTCTTGACCTTTGTCAGTCAAAAGTTCTCTGGACGATAACAGGGCCGAGGGACTGAAGAAGCTCCATGTCTGCTTAGAGGCGGTTCTCGCGGCTTCTTCGTCTGTCAGAAAATAGTCACCCTGGCCCTCTCCGTCTCGTCTTGTGCCGCGGCGCCTGGCAGCCTCAAGTTCAGTACTCTATAGCGACCAGAATGCCTCGAAGTAAGGATGAATAGATCTATCAAAGTTGAGCATGGCAGTACAAGCGGTGACAAGAATTGAGAACTTCGAGGGTCGCTGCGCATGCCCATCACGAGACATGCCATTGCTGCTACAGTAGTCGCTTGGGCAGTGTGTCCTTGGCGTGATCCTGGGTTGTGAGCTCTGTAACATCCCCAGCCCAAGGTGCCGATTCCAGCCACTCTCGGCTTTTGCGTGGGTGTGTGCTTCGCAGTATCGTCTATTGACCTTACGATTCACTCGAGCTGTGCCCCGTCATTACTTTCCTGGTCCGATCCTTGCTATGCTCCCGCTGCCTTTCATTGCAAAGCAAGGCTCAGACGCCTGATCGGTGTTCCTTCCCACAGCGCCAAGGATAAGGCGTCAACAGCAACCATCACCTACCCGTGCGCACACACAGTAATGATGACACCAAGCACCCGTGAACGACATATGCATGCAGTGGCAGTGTGCTTGTTGGGCTATGTCATGGAATCGGTGGCGCATCGCAGCCAGGCTGAGACTGCGAGTCGTTACAACGATGACAACTGGCCTTCTTGGAGACGGCCGAACACGACTAAAGTACGCCACCATGCGTATTGATGTGACATGCTAATAGTTTGCCCGGCTGGAATTTGTAATGATCCGTCTGACCGCCATCCCCGACCCCTACCCCTCCTGAAGGCGATGTCCCCCTCCCCCAACCACCCCGAAGGTGACTTTGAGCAGCCATCTGTGCTTGGCATGCAGCTACTTTACCTTTCCGAACTCATGCCGTAGTTGGAAGGGTGAATGTACCCGGGGATACGTGTTTCGGCCCCGAGCACGTGCATATCAAGCCAGAGGCCCTGCCAATAATATGGCTGAAATGGTCGGGCTTGGCTGTGACGTGTCCCTCCGCTTCGACTTGCGCGAAAAATCTCGGACTGGTGCTTCGAGAATTCAAGTACAAATGCAGCCCATACTTGTGTTTATAAATGATGAGTATCCCATCTCTACAGCAGCTCATTCGCCCGAAGAAAGATCTTACTACCAGTCACTTCTCGCCTGCTACGCCGGAGCTTGTCTAAGCACCGCCGGTAGAAATGGATATAGCAAAGTTGTTGTGCCCACCGCTGAAAGAGCCCGAAGCGAAACCAGAATCAACAAAGCCCAAAGTGGAACTTGACGCGACGATCCAACGAATACTTCAGGAAGTCTCAGTCTTCGATTCCGACGACGTCCTATGGGAACGAGCCGAATATGCCGGAAACCCCGAAAAGACCACCGTTTACACACTCGAATGCCCTGATAGATATGCGGACTTAATCACCAAGGCAGAACAAGCCACCGTGAGTGCATCAGTTACTCCTATTTAGCCTCGCTGACAAGGCAAAGGCGTCTTGGGTCATTCAACAGTCCGGAAGAGAAAAATGGGTGGTGAAGGCAATGTTTAAGACAGTCGTGGTCTGGCTCAAGAAGGGTCGGATAACAGCGATGCAAGGAGAAGTCTGTTGTCTCCTGCCTTGTAGACAAGCGGATAGTTTGGATACACCGGTAGTGGAGGTGCTCAAGGGCGAGAAACATATGCGGTCCGTGGAGTCTCTGACGAGTCCAATTTTGCTGTCTCGTGGGGAGGGTCTCTGGCTTCGGGAGAGTGCCATCAGGCTTCTTGTTACCGGTTTCAAGGTGGTAGAGAGATGAGAGAGTGAGAAAACGGATAAGCATAGGTGTACTACTTTCTCACACGCGCATGACGGGTTTTGGTGATAATTATGTACTGAGATTGCCTCCAAGTTACCAGGGCTGGACCAGCATAACCAGAGTGGCTGCTAAGACCTATCGAGATAGATTGACACGGCATTTACCACACAGTACTGTACCACTGTACCGTTGAAGACAAGCCGGGAACTGTGGCCAGCTCATGGGCACGTTGTATTCAAGCCTGGTCCCGGGGCGAGCCACCAGCCCATGAGACAGCCGGTCACTCTTTGCACCCCGAGATGCGTTCATCTCATCCTCCTGATGTTGACTTGGAGGGCTGCTGTGCTCCTTGAAGTCCGTAGCAGTGCGTATATGATGGGCAAGACCCGGTGAGTTCCCGTGTCAACCGGAAATACAGCGTACCGGGTTCCCCGAACTTCTGAGTGAGGGACGTGTAATGACAAATGGCCACGGCTGGAGAGCGTGTTCTCACGCAGCGAAGCATCGACGTCGCCAGGCCATCCACTACCATGCGACAGATGCGATGTCTTCGCCCAAGGGCTGAAGAGGACGGCCTGCGGCACAATACAGCGAGATTTGCACTTTGTCGTAAGCAAGCAATCTATTTGTGGATGTAGGGCGATAATTATCGACGGATGCGACTCTCACGAGCTTCTCATCCCCTGAAATTCCAACCTGCTCGAGTCGGCTAAAGTCGTGGATAGTACCATTTCCCTGTTCATATACATCGATATCTATGTGCTCTGCGTGTTGGAGCATTTCATCGGGGACCACCTGCTCATTGAGAACTATCCGATCGTTCAATAAGTCGCTGCCCGCCGCTTTTTCATCCGATGAGGTGTAACGCGTGGAAGGTTTCGCCATTTTTCCAGAAACGAGACTGGAGGATATCTCAGCCGTGGTAATTGTGCTGAACTTCAAGGTTGATTTGCGGGCTAAATACCACAACATCTCCCAGATGATCTTATCATCGGTCTCGATTTCGAGAAGCCTTTGTTGGCACTCGGAATAGAACTGGATGCTGTACTTCATTTGGTCTCGCTTGTCGCTAGAATATGAGCGGAGTGCGTTGTCCCGGACGTTCTTCTGCGTGAGTTTTCACTCGTGATGTAGTTTGGGAAAGGGATCAAGGAGAAACAGTGCAGCATTGAGGTCCAGCCTCATGTGGAAGGACCATTCATATTTATAGAAAAATGAGAGCGCTGTCTGTCAGCTCTATGGTTAGGCAGCCGAGCGGTGCCAATGAACCATCCCGGGGAGACCAGGGATATCTTTCGCTGCCAAGCTGACTGCGCGTCACCCGAGCTGAAGTCAATCATGCAACGCAATACGACCGATAATGATTGCTCGTTAGATGCCCTCATGGTGAGCCTCCTAGGTCAGCCAGCAGTGATTGCTTGCATCAGCAATGATTCAAGCCTCACGATTTCCTGAGTGTCTCACACGTCGAGTTCCAGGGGCCCAGGGTGCCGTGCATGGAAGGGCCATAGAGACCATGGTGCAGCACAAGGCTCTTCTGGCGTGATGGCCGCACATCACGATCAGCCACTTATGCATGAAGGACCAGATCAAGTAGTGATACCCGTCACTGCTGCCAGTCACGATCGTCGATCAGCGGCGCTTGTGTCCTGGATGCGAACCGGGAGCCTCCCCGGGGGTGGCTGCACTCTGCACTTGACCCATGCACATGACCATGCATGTTGATGTGATAGGTTGGTAGCTTCCGAAGTCCTGCCTCCTACTTTGCCCGACCGACCTCCCAAGCCCCGACACGTCGCCCCCCTGATGACGACTCGAGCAGCCAACTTTCCGTGGCATCAACCGTGACACAGTTGGAAGGCTGGACGAGCCTCGGGACGTATTCTCCCGTACCCAGCGCGCGCGGGTCAAGACAGCATCGCGAGGAGATGTTGATGGCTGCTCACACACCCTTGGTGCCACGCTGGCTGGAGAGAGCATCGGCGTGAGTGTGGTCCAAGATGCGCCACCTTGACGCCGAGATGATGTCTTTGCTAGCCCTATTCTTGGCTGGCTACGTACCCATGCGCTATCTGCAGGGCTGGGCAGATATCAGTGACACAGGTGTCAGATTGTCTCTTTGCTTTTTGTATGGCACAATCCATGGCGATTGAGACGGACCACAACATATGGGGGCGCTCTCAGGATTAGAGAACGTCGAGTGGCCGGCTACTAGTCGAGTGATGGCTAAAATCTTGCATATACCTCACACCTTCTGCCGGCTGTTCCTCCCATCTCCCCCATGTTTGACACATACTTTTCCCAACTCGGTTTCAATACTTGTCATGGAGTCCAATACAGACGAAGAAAGTCAAATACTTCGTGTCGAGATTCAAGTCCAGCAAGCAACAGAAAGGATCGACATCATCTTTGGATGCGTGTACACTCTCCCATGCCAGGCCCTATCCATACACCACGCGGCATACCGCAACGACAGATGGCATTTAGACGTACCAGTCGGCAGCGACGGTGGCCTTGTAGGACGCTTTCTCAAGGTGGAGGGCTTCCTGTCTACCGGGCACGTCTGGACACAGATCTACGAGAAAGACATCAACCTTGCAACCTGGCTGACCGACGGCAAACCCCATGTTCAACTCGATGTCCGCGGCTACAAGATGGTGCAATGTCCCGCTCGGGACGCCGTGATCGAGGCTGTAGGCCGGCCTGCGGGGGACAGGCTTTAAGAATGGGCAAGTGCGAAGGATGACAAAAGAGGCCAAAACAGCGGCAGACTTGTGATCCCTCCTCTGGACAAGACTTCGAGAGATCTGGCTGAGCGGTTGAAGAAAGAGGGCAAAACAACCCCACCTTTGTGGTCCCTTCTCGGGATGAAGTGGTCTCTTCTTTGGACGAGATTTCGTAAGAGATGGCTCAGCGATTGAAAAAAGCGGTCGTTACCGATATCACTATATAGCGCTGCCGCAGCGGTGATATGTAAAATACATAGTGTTAAACTATGATAGAGCCCTGCTTCCGTCACCCCAGGCTGAAGTCACTGCCGACTTCGTGAACAGCCTATACCTGATTAATGGTGGCCTGGCCCACTGCTAAGTACTTACCCGATATCTCGTGTTAAGCTGGATCTGTAAACTGGAGTGCGAAGCTTTCGTGTTGCTTCTCGTGCAGCTGCGATGTGCTGTCCTCTGGCGCCACATGGTCCATGGCCTGGAGCAGGTCGTACGGGACAGATTCTCGCTGCAACACACAGCATCAAGGGTGCATATAGGCTGTGGCCGAGATTGTACCACTCCCGCCTCCGAAGCGTGTGCAAGTCCTATTGACATAGCTCGACGCGCTGAACTGGACATGTGATTAAGGGTAGGATGAGGTAGCTCGTAGGACAGGAAGACTGTGAGCCTGATGGCGGATGGTCCGAGCTCTATTACATGCTTTTGCGCCAGTTCAGCATGCTGGATCGCACTCATTCAAGGTGAATTTATCTCATGAGGTGGCAGTGGCCGCAGCCTGCTTCTCCGTGTCAATCATGTCGTTGATACATTGAATAATTGCCTGCGCTAGCTGGCTCCATAATGAGTTCCACTAATTACTAGATAGGGAAAGAATGATGAGCCATTCTATTCGGTAAATTCTTCCTTCCTCATTCGGCATATGTCCAACTCTTGATAGGCTCCTGGACATCTGGAAAGATAGTGCAAAATGGTGCATCTATGCGTATATCATCACACTGATATGCATCACTGTGCTTTTGCTAGTGGGGGTGGCCGGCGTGAAGGCCTGCACTCTGGGACGTGCACTGAGAAGCTGGACACCGGCCTGCTGACTCACATTTCGTGTGACGAGGAGCAGGTGGAAAATAGCGAGCACGTCTCACGAGCCACAGCCGTGCTGCGGCACGGTCCAGCCACCCGCACCGATGGTACCGCCAAGGCCAAGTAACACTCAGCTATGTTCATGGCGCTCAGTTCCCCACACATCATTTGTGCCTCTTTGCACTTACCCGGGTGGGCGGGTTCGCCTGTCCAGGGCTACGTGCAATGCCATAGTGGAGACACAACAATGGCGCAACGTCAGAATTGGACTTGCCGGTGACGCTGACAGATACGGGGTTGCGACTAGAGCCAGTTCTGGCTCACGGTCCGAGGCCGGCGACAGGAGCCAAATCTGGATCAAGGTCCGTGATTGGCGAAGGCGCGACAGGTCTCGGCTGATACCTCGAAATGAGTGGCTAGGTTGTGCAGATCCGCCGCATTGGCTGCATCAGCCACGAAAATGTGGGCTAGGGGGGGTGGGGGGGGGGGGGGGTAATGGATCGGAGCCACTTTTGGAACGCGGGCACAAGAGTCGATTTGCATGGACTGCAGAGAAGGCAGCTTTCTGCTCTCGTGATGGTGCAGTCAATCAATGAGGCGACGGCGACTAGTATCGATCGTCACTGATGGGCTGGCACCAAGAACTCGCTCGAGCCTGGCAAAGCAATGCCGCACAATGAGTGTTTACTGCTGGGGATAGGAATCACAATCTTGCCTCTCAGGATATGGCTCGTGAATGGGATACTGGGGCAAATGCAGGGTTGAGAGACTTAAAGGAAACGACAATCAGTCTTCCCATGCTCTGCAAAGCGGCTTGCGCGCTTACCCAGTGTCTATTCCGAGCTGTGGTTCACAATGCCGCAATGGCCATTAACCAAGAGCGCACGCGTTGGCATCCCGCGCGTCACCGCACAGGGTTGGAGCCACTCCAGTCCCGCCTGCTAGCCTTGTCGTGGACTGGCGGGTCACTCACCGAGGATGCACCAAAATCAGACGTTGTGGGTCTGCCAGGCCTACCCAGCTCGCCCTGAAGGCTTGGCGGCAAGCCCCGACGAACCAGGGTCGGAAGACGTGCACCGGGATCGTGACAAGCGCACGCGTACGGTCAAGGCCCCATTGCGTTTTCTTGGATTCGACAACGACGGCCATGCCGAGGACCACAAGCGTCGATGCTACTGTGCACCCACAGCACGGAGTGCGACGCTCCCTGCCATGGGGTGAACACCCAGATACGAGTATGCTGCCATAAGCAAAGAAGACTCTTGCTGCAGTCGTGCGAGCAGCCTCATCAGCCAGTGAGGTGCGGGTGCAATAAGGTGTCAAGGCAGACGAGGGGTGCGCGGGAATACGGCCAGGGTTTTGGGACAACTGACCAGTCCTCGACACGAATGATGAAGGCGTCAGCAGGCATCTGGATCCCACACAAAGTGTAAGCAAAGATGCCAAGGTCACAGCCGTGCTACAAGCAAAGTTCCGTTGCTCTGTCCATTGGTACGAACCAGCGAAAACGATATCGTAAGAAACAACCTTGTGTCTTAAGCTAGATTCCTGTGAGGAAGACACGGAAGGAAGCGCGTATGAGCAGCGTTTGCCTCTGTTTCTGTACAGCCATGACAAACTCGTGGGCTGAAGCTAAAGGCGGCTCGTGAACAGCATACTGATGCACCTATGACATTTGCCTTCTATGGCGGACCATACTTCAGCTGTAAAAAGATCAGGATCTAGCATTCAAGCCGGAAGAGGCCCTCTGTGTCGCTGTCACCCTCTAAAACGGGCTCATCATCCAGAGGACAGTCTTCTACAACCTCCATCCTAGGTTTGTCCATCACCCCCATCACCCACTTCAAAGCTTCGTCCTTGCTGCCTTTCGTCGCTTTCGCATCACCGTAACTAGCTTCGAAATTTACTGCGATAACGCCGGCCTGATGTTTCTCGAAGACTGCCCGCAACTAGCCGAGTGCGGCACTAAGGCAGACGACTATCGGTACGGCCTCACTGTGTTGCCTGATGATGAAGTTGGCTTGGTCTTCGTTGGGAAGTTCAGAAATTGTGACTATCGTATGTCCATCCCGCTTTGCCACTGCGTACTCGAGCGCCGCCATCGCAGTCCCATAAATGGTCCGGATTCTGAGAAATATGCATTAGTAGCACGTCACCATCATCTGCGGCAGAACTCACAGGTGGAAGCTGGCGTTGTGAGGTGCAAGTGTCAAATCGTTGCAGCAGAAGTCGGCACTGTGGAGTAGCGGTTCAGGCGTGAGGACAAGCTGAAGATGAGGACTCGGCGCTTGCAACGACAACCAGTGGGCAGAAGCCAATCTATGGTCAACAGAGCCATGCTGACGTCGTCTGAGGTATTGCAACAGGGGGACGAGCCTGCTAAGCCGCCATCGACTAGCCGCCACCCTGGTCCCCCTGCGGCTTTGAAACACTGGACAGGACTCTCCAGGACAGGCTCAAGCCGAGGGCGGTGCAGCCAAGAAATTCAGAAGTATTGAGTTCTTGTTACCATTTCCTGTGAGCCATCACCTCGTCTTGATATCACGTGGTGGCTTCCTGACCCAAGCTGTGAACTTTCATAACCTCAGCTCATCCGATTAACATTACAAGATCTCAGTTACTTCAACTAGCGGCTGAACGGCTACGCTTCACTATGATATCACGTCATAACAGCTGCATGAGGCTCCCAGACAGTCTTGCTACGTTGTAGGCCCTCCAAGGCCGATGCTTGCAAGCAAGATCTCGGATTGGGATCCATTCCACGGGAAGTTCAGGAGTATAGGGACACCGTTTCCCATCCGAGGAACCGACGACGGAGCTGGTCGACCTGTGCAACACTTGCCATTGACGTGAGCAAACCCTCCCCTCAGAAGTTGGCCGGGCCAGTCCAGTCCCGTAGAAGACCGAGGCGAAGGAGGTTACTAAATGAAGCCATAGCACAAACCACAATCTTGCAACAAATACTCGTCCATTGCAACGCAGCCTTCGTTAGGAGTGAACATTCAGCCAAAGGCCATCTCCAACTTTGGCAAACAAGTGCAGGATTCTCATTTCAGAGGAGATCAACCACTTTTATCTGCCTGTCACAACAACACGGCCTGAGCACTCTGCTGACACCACATCCAGGCCGTGAAGCCCAGCCGAACCAGTGCACGCTGTGAGGCGGGCCGCCAGCCGAGCCTAATGTTCAACAGGGCGACAGGTTTTGCGACACAGACCACCGGGTGTGCCCCCACTACGGCCCCGGCGGCGTCCGCGTCCCACTGGGTCCAACTGACACGAGGACCAGATCAATGTTCAATACACATCCTTGATTGACGCAGGTGCGATTACACATCTCGAAGTTAGCTCTGTCCTTAGTTAGCGCATAGTGCGGGGTACGTATTTCGAAGTTTGCTGTGAGCTCCAAGCACATCTTCCTAGCCCATAGCACACGAACTTGTAACCGCATGACAACACCGCGACTAGGCCAGATGATCTCTGCAAAGTGGCGGGAGTCTGCATTGTTGAGTATGCTGAAACGGAGAGATATAAGTCACGAGGTTTTTAAACCAAAAAGACATCAGACCAGGCCAAAGCTGTAGCTCCACATGGGTACGTTCTCCTTCAATCACACCTCATCCACCACCAGATCTTGGTTTTGTGCAAAAGCCTGGATGATCCGGTACTCGGCGACGGTCGTGGCTATGTCGCCGGCTGTGTAAAGTCCAGCTTCTCGATCCCGAAGGACAGACTCAAGCTTGAACAATTCTGAGCTAGGGATCCTGTGGCATAGCTCACGTGTGAGCTTGTCGTGAAAGGTCGTATCTTGAAAGGGTGTCAGTGCTTTTACGATACATCGTGCTGCTGACAGTAATTCGGCTTCCATCCTCTGGCTGTTCTCAACGCTCGCGCCATGGATCGCCGGGGCTGGTTGCGAAGTGAAGTTGCCCCCGGCGGCAAGCACTTCTATTGATATCCATGCGGCATGCATGTAGTGATCTCTCACGGGCTCGATCCTCTCGATATACCACTGCAAGGCCGTAAGCGACATGCTGTGCATCCAGATGTGCTCTAATTGCTCATTCATCCTGTCCTTCTCCCAAGCACGATCCACAGCTTGTATTCGCTGCTCTTGAGACCCTTGAACAATACTGGACTTAGTTCGACACTTGATGCGTAGATATCTTAGAACGGCAATCGATTGACTGACGCTGTGAACAAGGGATACCTTCTGACGTTTCAGTTTTGGGACACAAGAGAAAAGTTCCTGGGTCTCCTGGGTGAGCCGCTCGAGAACGAATCCGTCATGGGAGGCCGCGTATTCCAAGGCAGCTTGTCCAGACTGATCTTCGGCGGAGAGATCAGCACCAAGGTCGACAAGAAGGTCCACCGCATCCATGTGTCCAGACTTGATCGCTGAATGAAGCGCAGTCCGCCCGTTGAAGCTGACAGTATCGACAGGCACCCCGGCTTCTCTCACAAGGTATCGAATAATCTCTGCCCCTTGTAGTTTGTCGCTACACTGTAAGGCGCGCTCTAGGAAAGACGCGCCAGTTGAAGCTCGAAGCTGAGGTGTCATGCCCTTCACGAGGAGACGAAGCGAGCCAAGATCCCCTTTTATAATCGCCTTTGTGTAGAGCTCAGGTATTCGGGACTCCTCTGCGCGAGCGACCGTCAGGAGATACTCGACCATCTCGTGATGTCCATTATTAATTGCTGTGATGATGGACAATTCCTGTCGACGATCTGGAAGAATGGCGATTTGGTGCTCCTGCAGATAAACCAAGACACCGACGTGACCACAATATATGGCAGCTGATGCCGGGCTGGTCTCCTCAACCAGGCAATCTAGGTTGACTTGGAAATGCGTTCGCAGGTATTCCAACAGGTCGACGTCGCCGTGTGCAGCAGCACAGATGCTTGAACGTTCGAGGTGACTGGAGGCTGGAGACTCGTGAAGACATTCCAGAGCCGCAACGAATCGGGGGCGTGATCCGCCTCGAGCCTCAACCTGGATCACACGTGCCGGGTGCGACCCTAATATCCACACAACCCTTGAAGTATGTGTCAGCCTCCCCATATGGACCCAAGAGTACCAAGGGTGCTGCTGTAGCTTCAATACCAAGTGCGGAGAGTCTGAGATCACTTCGTCGTATTCGGAGCAATATCATGATCGCCCTGTCCTCGATGTAGTCATCTGGTTGCTGTAGCAGCTCGTTGTAAATGTCGTTCAGCGCATTGGTGATGTCTTCGTCTTTTTCAAATGGGATAGGGTTCCGTTGGTATTCGTCGATAGCAAGTTGGCGGAAGGAGGATAGTGACAGATGCTTTACTCCTCGGCCATACATAGCTGGGAAAGCACATTGAGCGCAATCGCGAAGGAGGCGGCATACCATCTCCGCTCGACAGAGGGACCTCGCGTCGAGGTTTCCGAGTGTTTGGATGATGAGTTCTGAGGGAAGCTGACAGAGGTGTGGTGCTGTCTCGGCTGGCTGGATGCCTTCAGCCATTGTGGACCTGGAGCTGTGGAATTGATGTAGAGATGTAAAGCCCACCGAGGGTGTTGACACGATTGCACAGCGGGGTTTGCTTTGGCCACACGACAGGTAACAGGCGGTGACATTCACAAGCTGTTGTTGGCTGCTACCTCGCTCGAGCTCCCCGAAGACCCACTGGCCTGTATGGGCCGACGGCGCTGGTTGGGTGGTGAGAGTCATTTCTCTTGTGGTCGGTATGGCTGTGGCTGGGGCACTAAGCAGTCCGAGGTGGGGCTTCGACCGATTAGGAAGGAATCATGGCACCGTGAAGCCGTGACATGATTCCTTCCTAATCAGGACGTTGCGGGGCAAAGCTTCCAACCACGTACCTAGCTTAGTTGAATCGAGTGAACTTTCCGCAGTCATGACGGTCTTCACACACTTGGTTAGGTTCGGGTTAGGTTATCTTAGAATATTTAGTTCTGCCGAGCAGGAGATGTTCGTAAGGAGCCTGTACGGAATACGGCAGAGGGGTCATCGGACAATCAATGTGTTCATATGGTCCAGAGGCTGAGCCTGATTGGAAGATTTAGTACGTCTGCGAAATGCTGGGAAACCCAGAATGATATTGAATAAGGGATATCAGCTAGCTTAAGTGTGATGATAGATATGCGAGGTTGTACTTCATCTGGACGCATGTTCGTGATTGAGATGACCAAGCTAGAGGCTACGGCTGCTTCAGGTGTTGCTACTTCTGTGTGTTCTTGAACAGCCGTGTCAGTCGGTCCACACGTGTGTGTCTCGGCGCAGCGCTTCATGTGTGAGAAGAGACGTCACAGTGAAGAACTAGGCACGCGAACGGAGGAGATACACCAACTCCGTAAGCGGCGTGACCTCCGTATATGCCATGAATAACGCCAAGTAATAATGTATTTAGCTGTGACAAGTGCGATGATGCAATCAGCATATTCCGTACGATTGCGCAAGTCCGGAGTATGAGGGCCCAATTTGCACTGAGCGTTGTAGCCGACGGCAGATAAGGCCACTGGGCAATCTTGTGACAGCATCAGTCTTGCTTCGCACGAAGCATGTAGACTGTAACACTCTGGGTGACACTGGTTGAGCTTCGGGTTTCGGGTTTCGACCTGGAAGGAACAGGCGAAGCACAGCACGGCTTCCCAAGAAGCAGACTACGCACGCCCAGACGGCCTACACGTGGGCAATTCATCTAACCGCTGTATATCGCAAAGCAAATCTGTCCCAGCTCAAGGCTTGGTGAACGAACCATTACCCACATTCGCATGCCTCTATTATGACGGTATGGCATCCTGTGAGCCATGCCCAGATCTTTGCAAATGAGGATGGCCTCGCTCCTGCCGTGCATGCGAATATCCTGGCTCTTTCTGCGGAGGAAGCGCTGGGAGTGCTTTCTGGCAGGCGGCAGAGCGGCGCCCGAGAGGCTTGTGCGCCAGCCACGCAGCCAAGACATGCGCAGATGGGGAAAATACATGGCCGTTTCGTGTATGCACCGTATGCAGGGGCTTCTGCTAGACATCGCCGGATACATCATACTGCGTATCGCAATCTGCGTTATATGCCAAGCATGGCGCGCGTGGCATCTGTGGCGAGGCAGCGTTGCTTCTTCACCAGCTTCATGAACCCCACCACTAGCCGCAGTCCTGTTACTTCCCCTTGAGCCGCGTGCAGAGGCGAAGGCTGTGCTCGGAAGCAGGGTTCGGAACTTCCCCGGAGTGCGCTAGAAGAGTGCTAGCCAATGTGCAGCTGCCAAGGTGTGGAGCGCAATATTGTGTCGAGATGGAAGGGCTACGGATCGGGACGGCTGAGACTCTCGGATTATGATTCTGTGTGGCAGCCAGCAGTGTGAAGTAGTGCCGTGCCTGTCATTGGTGGGAGCATCAATTTCTGTCATGCTGTGCTTTTCGATCTGACCTGACGCAAGGATCCTGGCGTGTGTTGAGCCGAGCCCGTGTCGCGCACCTTGCTGCAAAACAAACACGCTTCCAGGGCTGCACCTCCTTCTCTGACTTCAAGCAGCGCCCACACTCTCGACAACGCTCCGGCACGCACTGCGTTCAACCAAGCGCGACAGAGTCGTCTGACTTGCGTCTGCAACCACGCTTTATCGCACTTTCACATCCATCGAGCCGTTTGTTTACCTCTTGCTCTCAGCATGGCAGATGTGACGCTCTGCGTGGCAACCACGCCCTCCACGACACCCTCAACGCCCCACGACGCCCACGCGCACATGTCGCCCACGCCGACAGGCGCAGGCAATTGCACACCCGATGGGTCATGCCCAAAGCCCATCACGACTGTCGCACCCGAGAGACACGAAGATGATGGGCTGATGTGTAGGACAGAGGCCGCTTCGGCCGTGGTCATGGCTGCCCTCAATGAGCTCACTGCCAAGCATCCAAGCGACTGGACAGATGAACACAATGCCTGCGCACTCGTTTGCCAAACTATCATGTGCCGAATCAAAGACGCCCTCGCTGTCATCAACAACAAACGAGAACAAGACCAGGCAGCTCAGGCCTGCAACCCCACTGGCAGAGGATCACAATACATCTCGCACGATGACCATCGTTCGCCCGCTCCAGCTGACGATAATCACGAAGAGCCGCTGGAAGATCTTGACGAGCGCGGCGTGGTCGCACAGACCGAGGTCACTCTCGAGGCTCTATCGGCGCCTCTCAAGACTACCCGTCTTCCTGCAAGCCGACGACCGATTGCCTCGATCCAGGCGGCCGCGCCCGCATCAGTGTGCAACACCCAACGGCGCACTACATCCACGACCGACGCAAGCTGCAGTCCAAACGCTGATCCCCAGGGCGACGAGGCCCAAGAGCCGAATCGAGTTGCGCCATTGGTGCCCGCCGTTGTGGACAGAGGCCACGAGCCAGCATCGCACAGCCGCACTGCACTCCCGACAGCGCCAGGCCAACGAAGCATTCCGCAGATCAAATCTGGACAGCAGAAACGAAGCCACCAGGTCGACATTCCCGGCACGCATCTGTCGGAAGATCACGTCGTCAGCAGCACCGACAATAGCGACGGCACGGATGATAGCGAGCACGCTGATCAGATATCCACCCCACCGACCAGTCCTGGTGAAAGCGCCGTCGGCCGTCGTGAAAACGGACAGGACGGTGATACCACGGGGTTCGAAGCTGGCAATGATGGCTGCAATCCCAGAAAAGAAGGCGACGCCAATGAGCCAGGGAGCGCCAGCGAACAGAGTGTCGATGCAACAAACCTGGCAAACCAGGCTGCCAACCCATCAACGGGCGCTGCCATTCATGGGATCGGCGAACACGGTACGGCTGTCAACGACAACACGCCGAGCGCAACAATAGTTCAGAGCAACGGCACCGAAGACAGCGCTGAGATCATCGACAGTATGGAAACTCGAGGTTCCAGCGGTGCCGAAGGCGCGATGGAAGTGTGCGGCACCAACGGCAGTACTGAGAACACCACCGGCGACATCCTCTCGGACACACCGGAGACCAGTCGCACTGCACAGACAGCCGCAGAAACACAAGACGCAAACGGTCCTCCAACTGTTCAATCTACAGCTATGGAGCTGCAAGCAGGCACCTCCACCCCATGCGATAGCGAAGATGCTGCTGGAGGGCCCAGGTCACGGCCAAAGAGAAAGCGTGCTGGGACCCAGTCAGGATCTTGCGGTCCGGAGGCGGCCAGCCCCTCGCGAGCTCAACACAACCTGCAGAAGGAAGCCAAGAAGCCAAAATCAAGCCACAACACTCAGCAAGAAAGCGCACAGTCGGCTCATCGACGCGGTGCTCGGTCTTCCACATCAAATGTCCGCGCACATACAGCACAAAGCATGGCGGAGCAGTTATCGAAACACGGATTACCAAAACCGAAGCCCAAGAAAGCGGGCCCTTCCAAGTACCTTCCTCGCGAAGAGATTGCCAAGCTCTGCGAGAAATGGGAGATTCAGTTGTTTCATGGAATAAAAAGAGCATGGTCCTCGTCCGATCGCTTTCCACAATGGCGCGACCACTCTCTCGAACTTTTCAGGTCTGCTACCTGGGGCCTTGAAAAAACGAAAGCCACCAGCGCGCAGTGCTCAGCCACTCTATCATACATCACGTTCTTTCTTATTGTCCTGTGCGGTGTAATCCCAACGCAGGGCAGTAATTCAGCCGAGGCACTCCGTGACCACCACTCCGAGTCTAACGACAGCACCGCACGAGGTGATCACGAACTTAGCGCCAGCGGAATGCATTCGTTGCGATCTCGGGCGTGCCTCGACGCGATCACGAGGATGGAAGTCGGGCCCTCAGCTGATGTTGCTGCGCGCGACCTTCGGTGCACATTCACAGCAATTGGTGGCGCCCGAAACGAAGTCCGCAGCATGAACATCGTGGTTGATATGCTCTGCGCCAAGCTAGTGGCCGAGTTGCACGACATTGAAGAGCAACTAAACTGCATTCCGGCATTTAAGCGACAAGCTCTGCAGCGAGTGGGCCGCAACAGCCATGACAGAACCAAGAACAACGCGCTCGCGCAGGAGCTCTTGGGCATGGACAATGCGGTTCTCGCGATGCTGAAAGACGCCAAGCCAGGGCAGAACACGCGCACAGATATCTCATTGGCTTGGGCCAAGGATTTCTCAGATATCTTGAAGCGCGGTGCCATGTTTACCCGACTGACGACGGGGATCGGCAAGTGGGCTGCCATCTACCTGGCTGCAGAGCTTCCTACGGCAATGTGAGTACGAAAGTCAGCGATCAACGTTCGATTTAAGCAGAGTTTAAGCTAACGGCATGAGTCTTCGACGACCAAGCTTGGTTCGAGCGGCGACCCCGATACTGTTCCCTGCCATGCACACTGTTGGGAAGTCCGAGCTTCCGGCCGAATCTGTCATCTTGCATTATCTCACTCAACAATGCAAGAGACTCTACGAGGAAGAGTTTCCGGAAGATGTCCGTATTCAGTCTCAAAAAGTGGTCACCATTATCGAAACTAAGGCCAGGCACTTATACCAGCGCGTGTCGCTGTCGATTGAGTAGTAGATATGAAGCCTCCTGCCCCTGTCTTTCTGCAAAGGACACTGGCCCAGCCGTAGACTACCCACAGCCTTTATGTAAAGTGTGTACTATTAGTCAGATGTCCGCTGAACAAGGAGCTGCTGTACCAGGACTTTGCGGTGAAGAGACTGGTTGCATCGTGACGTAGTTGTGCCAATTAGAGGTGCTCTGACATCAACCGTTGGCCTCAGCGTTGCCTACAAGTCGTGATTCAGACCACGACGGCGACTCCGCGCCGACCAAACAGCTCCGCACCTGTTCGAGTCTCGCGTGTGACCTAACACGTCCTGGGCGCGATAATCGCACAGCTCCACAGCACTCTGACTGTACGGCGGTGCACTGTGGTGCAGGCCAGGAGTGGCCATGAGACGTGGATTTATGCCTACTCTTCGGCAAATGTCAGCCTGCAGGCCGGTGTCCAGCTCGTCAACGCAATTTGCAGAACCCATACCGGCATACATGCCGCCGTCGTTAGCACAAGCACAGGTATCGATCTCGGTGTTGTGGCCATGGAACCTTTTGCACCAGTCGCATCGGTGTTCCGGCCGTCCTCTGTGGCTGCGTCATTCTTGCCGATGGAGCCCGCCGAGTCCTGGGAAGGCCCTGAAGCACATTGTGAAGTTCACTCTGTGAAGCTACTGGACAGGTTTTGTGAGGGAAGCTACACTTCAGCGCAGATCGTGGTCTTTTAGCTGCCCCAACCGACTCTGTTCACGTGCTGCTTGATCCGCTGCTCCGAAACCGACGTAACCTAATGTCCTACTCAAGTCTGCAGGTAGATGGGGGTCCTATCACAATCGCCCCCGCCCACTGACACAGCCAAAGATGGAGGCAAGCATGCGGTGGGCCCACATCCAGAAGCGGATTGCGGTGTCCCTATGGATCCAATGAAGCGCGTTGTGGCCTCTTCGGCTCCTGGGCTTTGCTCCTCATGCCCGTAGTCCTCAGCCCCATGCCGCGCGTAGTCTTCTCCAGTCAAGGTACTCTGATAGTTATAGAGGCTTTGCACTTGGTGAGAGTGAGGCCTGATTCGTATTCGATTGCAACTTTACGTGCTGAGCGTTGTTATTTGCGGGACAATCAACACCACTATATATGCTTTTATCTTACCTTCTGCGAAAAAGGGTTCTCTTACTAAATGAAGAGCAATGACACTAGTTTTGGGGCAAATCAGATAATACGTCAGTTTCCAGGGTAACAGGTTGTTAACAGGAAATAACACACGTCCATTCAGAACCACATACAACAAGCACAAAGCAAAATGAGCGACAATGCGACGGCTAGCAAAAGGTGGAACGTCGTCGTTGTTGAATAATGGCGCCTTGGCGGACAATGGCACACCGAGCGAAGCGTCGGAGTAACCTGACTGCGTGTTTCTCGTGCCCATGAGCGGCAGAGCAAGAATGCCTGTTCAATATCCTGGCATAGCAAACCTTCTCCAAAGGCGTTCGAGCATGGGAATGCTTTAAAGATACAACAGTGTTGAGTCTCGCCACTCGTAGACGTGTTACCCATCACAATAAGTCCGTAGCAATAGAGTAGAGAATTATGAAGATAATCTCAAACGCCTTTAATAACTCAAAGCATGCAGCCACAAATGATATCCTGGCTATCACAACACCCGTGAGTGGCATCGAACTGCTGGTGGCTGACTATGATCTCACTCATTTATCAAGTGTCTCTTTAGGTGACCGTGCATTGGAAGGTTACGCAGAAAGAGCTTGCACACGGATCCCCTTTCGAGCAGCGTACTATTAGCCTATGAAAATATCTAGTTATGGATGTGTCATGAAATGCGCATCGCCCTGCCCGACGTCGAATCTGACAGGCAGCCAAGTTGGCGATCGCACCGATCGTCCATGCTCCAATTGCCGAGCAACGGCCCTGATACAGCGACAGCTCGTTTAGTTAAGAACTAAGAGCGCTTCCTTACAGCTTCGGTGTATCTATCTTGCCGACATCTCTCGCGTGGCACAATGAAAGCATATTTGCCTCTTACATTCGCGGCTACCTGCCTTGCGGGCTTGATCGACCTAGACGCCTTGTATATTTCAGGGGACATCTACGTGACTGAAGGAACCCTTGGTTATCCTCTGATTCCACCGAGCACGGAAGAAGTCCAACCAAGCTCAGTCGAGTCCAGTGAAGCATCACGGACTACACAAAGCATTACCTCAACATCGGACGTTCAAAATGCTGTGCCATCAACGTCGCCCGTCCTCACCCCCGTCACTTCGCTCAATACTATGACATCTCATGCGCCGCCATCACTGCCGACGTCACACGTCAGCTATCCGATCTCACACAATGTCACAGTGTGCTACGAGGCATTACCCACGACGACGTGGCCTAATAGCACCACGATTGGTTCATCCGACTTCTCATATGATAATGTACCTTCTGGCACAGATTACCCAAGCGGCCTATACTCAACAATCGAAAACACTACTACATACCCTGAGTATCTCATCACGGACCAGCCTCACGTGTCTACAACCAATACCTATGTAAACCCCCCCTATGGCACGGGCATCCTTCCTGTCACGTCTCGTCCCTCCACAGTTACGTCTAGTGCAGGAACAGTACCTGTGCCCTGGCTTTTCAGTGTACTTGTGGGCGGCTTTGGTCTCTTGTCGAGATTTTGTGAGACTGGATGAAGGCTTCCATGCAACCACATCCACCAGTAAAATAGATCAAGTTCTTTGATTTTCCAAGACTCTGGATTGCTTGACGAGCTCTGTAGAGCCAGCGCTCAACTTTATCAACTATGTAGCTCGTAGATAGTGTTAATCAGCCTCCAGCTCAGCTTATGCTCCGATTTAGCTTCCGCAAGTAGTACCGAATTTATTGTGTATGCCGTTTTCGTAGAGTACTCCACAAGTCGAGCTGCGACCAAGATCGGATGAATCATGAAGCTAGTCTGGGATGCTTTCAGGCGCATGGCCCCAAAACGTCACTGCTACCCTTGACACCCAAGAGTGCGTGGTCGACCGTGTCTCAGACGTGCATGTTCCCTTCGCGACGTCGAAAGCCTGGACTCGGTGTTACTAAACAGGAAGGCGTCGAGACTATACTTTCCCGTGCGAATGAATTGGTGCGTCGGATCGGGGAGGCGCCTTATACCACACCGCGTGGTCAGCCATCAGTGCCAGCTGACTGAGAAGTCAGTCTTCTCAGAGTATGAGAATGGCGCCTACAGGATGGGCACGGGATGGGTGTGTAAGGATTCAGTCGTTCATAGAACTATAGCTGCATCTTGTCGTTCTCCCCATATTGGAGCGCCACGGGAAATGATTCGTTGATACAGATCTGTCAAGATGAAACCCAATGGCACCGACATTTGATATTTACAAGGTTTGACCAAGTCATGAAAAGGTCTTGAGAGGAGATAGTATCCCAACCTGGAATGAAGCGCAAGATTCTCTTGCGGTTTAGCAGTGTTGTTCGGGAATTTTGGTTTGAGGCTGACAAGGTACTGTCATCAAAATCGGCGCAAATTCTTTTTGGAGCTCGCCACGAATGTCAAGCAACAGAACTGGCGAAGGCTGGTAAAGCCCGTGCCTACTCTACATCAAGACGTGGCGGGGTTTGCAGGTAAATAAGACAGCGGAATACGGACTAGCATGCTTATGTTTATGCGAGATGTTGTCTACTATGCCATTGACTTCCCACAAGAGCACTGGAGTGGCCAGCGCGTCATTTCCACACATCGCACACCTCCTGACCACCCTAAAGCCTGCTCTGGACATGGATACATCAAGTGGCAAACAATTCCTTGTCCCACTATCGAAATTTTATACCAGATATTTTCGAGAGCCCACGATCGATGACTTCTACCTGCTTACTGATCACGATGTTGCTGAAGCTCAAGCTTCATGAGTTTTGTCACTCAATCTCTCGTGATTAAGCTCTACAGATCGCCTTCAAGGTAGCAGTGGTTGGCGAATAACTGCAGTGTACCGTCCGACTCGGCATTATACTTCTCTACTCGTGCTCAGGCACACCAACGAAGACAGAGTGAAGGGCAGCCATGAGGCTACCTGTGCCAATTGTGGACAATAGAGTAGCCATTGCTGAGATTCTGAGAAGCAGGAATGCAATACAAAATGTAGTGTAGACTTGCACTGGGTGCAACCGGATGATATCGTAGTTAAGAGACCTGCTTATTGCGGTACCTAAGAGAAATAGAACGACATCGAAGAGTAGTCTCCAGTTGGTTAGAAAGGTGTATAAGGTGAGAACAATCAGGATAGTGCAGTATGCTCTCCAGAATCGGTTCAGGTTGAATTTGATTCGAAACTTTATCGATTCGTAGGTCCGAGGAATTGAAATGTGCTCCAAGTCGAGGAGTTTTGAAATAATATCATAAACGGCCGATGACAGAGCTATGGTCTCATTGATACTTGGAATCTCTACTGAGGACAACATCTTGGCTGAAAGCTCTAAGGTTTGAGAGGAAGGAGTAGCGATCAGACCGTTATTAGGTGTCCTCTTTATACTATCACTCCAGTGGTCATATTTACAGGGCTTGATCACTAATGGAGCATCCACTTCTATCTTCGGGCCACCAATACCATTACAGAACATAACTTCGCTTGGTAAAAACGCAGAACCGAGCGTTATACTCAAATCTTAATGCAACAAAAGGCACTGGTCTGTGGCTTGACCATTGTGATCCGGAGTGGGCGGCTCGTGGCTTCAAGTCTTCCCCGACATGATGATGTTTTCTTTTCTACGCACACTAGACTCTGAGCGGCTGTAGTTGTGTGGCGAACGTTCCTTCGAAAGGTAGGCTAAATAGAGCACGAATGGCACCAGTGACAGGAAGGAAATCTAAATGAACGTGTGAGGGTATTGAAAGGGCATCCTCGAGGCCGCCACGCCTTCTTCCTAGCCACTGTCGCCACTTTTGGATCTCTTTCCCCCGCGGCCCGAGCGTGCAGCTGCCAACTAGCTACCCAAGGGCTTATTTGTGATGACGAGTGTGACTTTGGCTAGATTCATTAATTAATGCACAGCTCAAAGGTTTCTTTTCTAAGATCGGCGACATGATATTGTCTATTCAACGTAGCATCATACAGAAGCCGCTGCCTTAGGTTCATCGCGCGGAATCCTCAGACCATTGCGTGTTCACCTGATCTATCTTTACATCAAGTTTCTGTACCGCCGAAAATAGGTCTTGTGTATGAATACGGACGAGAGTCAGAATTGGATTGAGAACCTCGTTAGTCAGAGTCTTGTAGTAGTCGATCTCCCGCCTAAGGCGCGCGTTCTCAACGTTTAGTTCAATAATTCTGACTTCAGCAGGCACAGGGCTTTTGAGGCTTTGCAGCTCTTCAGGCTTCGTATCGAATGCGGTTGTCATGCCACCCAAGGCACGGATCTCGAAGTCGATCAAACGAGGGGACAGAGGCTGGTCGAATAAAGAATTCATTGGCTTAGTACTACCAGGCTGGAAAACTGTTTCAACCTTCGGCATTAATGCTAGGAAGTGAGGCACGATACAACCTAGCACCTACTGAGAGGATTTCAGTCCTCCCATCAAGGCCGTGATTCTAAGGTTATATAGACAAATTCTAATTACCGTGGCAAGTCGAGCTTTTGCTCCGCTTTTGGAGGAGGGCCATTTCACATAAATCTCCAACACTGCGCCAGTGACTAATGCCCCGCGTTCATATTATTCGTTTGACTTAATTTACACAGTATCGAAGATGATTCAGTACACAATGAGAGAATACTGTAATATTGGTGCTCTGTTTGTGCCACTGTGCCCTGCGTCGCAACCACGATTCACAAGTCTACTACATGTCAAGTGGACTCGCATACCCGCCGCTAGAACCTCTCGATTGCTCCTGGCATATCCTCCATTCCTCTTCTTTAATGTAAGTCCTCTCGGGACTGACATAGTTGCTAGAAGCGCTTGTACCCTGTGGCATTGTCAAATAGCTTATGAGATGCGCATCTTCTGTAGTTATGGGCGCCGTGTGGGAATGAGGGATCGTAAGCGCCTCCGACCCCGCTGACTTCTCCTCCTCTACTTCTGCTGGCTGTGGGTAATTCTCGTGAGGCTGAGTGAGGTGGCTGAGTCGGAAAAGATCCGCATCGAGGGAACGAATGAGTACGCTCTGCTGTTCTGCTATGCGGTGGAGGAGATCGCGACCTTCTCTCACTTCATCCACCTCCTTCTGTAGAATATGCACTTGCTCCCGCAAATTGGAGTTGTCATTCCTCAGGGTTTCCACTTGAGCCTTCAATTGTTGTTGAAGGTTATAGTGAGCATCAGCCCAAGCCAAGTGAACACTGTATGGAATGTCGGACATGTTGAATATTCGGAGTTATGCGCTGCGGTGTCACTGAAAATCTACGATGATGGCTATGTGAGTTTTTAACAAGAATAAATGCCTCAGAGCCCACGCCTGGGCGTGTCGCACGCAAGATGGTCCAGACATAATAGGCGTTTTTGGAGCGTGGTAGAATTTGGCTGCGGGTAGTCCACTCTTTGATACATTGGACGCGCCCAGCAATGATTAGATGAATCACGGAGGATGACTAAAGAATCCATGGGACAGATTACGCCCAACCAATGTATACGCAGCTTCATGGTCCGGTTTTGAAACTATAGTAACTGTAGCACTCCTAGTGGTCGTGGCAGGTATATTTGTTATAGTAGTAATACCGAACTACCACCCTACTACACCGTAACAATAGACGCCCTAACAATGTGCGAGAATAGAGAAGTGCCCTTAAATACATATTTGGTAGACTTTGTGTCCTTCCTCCACGCTGGGTAAGCGTCCTTACTAGTCAATGCGGCTTTGTAAGACCTGGTGCATAACTGTACAGATAAAAATAAGCACAGACAGAGCTGCACTGTATAGAGATGCCTGATATACATATCCAGCGTCTGTGGTGAAAACCTCCGTCTCTGCTACCAAGTGAGCCAAGCGAACGATAATTGCTGAGCATACCGCAAGTATTATACACATGACGATAGAGAGTATGGAAGCGCACAAAGCGGTCCATCGGATCCATGAGTTTAACCGGAATTCTGCTGCTGTAATCGAAATTGCAGAAATAATAGTCGTGGATAGGCTGCAACCTACGATGCCCTCCAGCGGAAGGGCGTTATTACAATTCTCTCCTGCACAAGCGAACTTCGTTCCAACAGAATACTTCGACACCAGCAATTCTTGGATTGCAGTAGAGACCATGGCTACCGAATCTTCAACGATTGCAGAGGCTACAGACGTTGCTTGGGCTATGACAGAGTCGGCTGCAGCTGTGGCTTGGGCAGCCAGACTTGTCGCAGCGCCCTCGAGACCGGGAATCGGTTGAGGAATGTCAGGAAAGGACGGGACAAAGGCGCGACGAGTATTTCCGATGTTAAGCTACCGGCTTAGTCAAGTAACTCCAGCGTATGAGAGTAGGATACCTACGGAGAGTGAGACTATTCCCTCGGAGTCGTTTCTCTCCTTGTTCAGGATCATCGAAAGGATGTATAACAGAACAATGCTTGCTCCAACATGAACAGCCACAGGAAGGTATCTAGGTCTGAAAAACATGATAAAATAAGAGATTCTTTTGCTCGAAGCTAAGTGCTAGCATAAGTGAGATGCATGTCTATATATTTCTAAGCAGTCTTGTGCGCAACACGAGATTTACGGACCACACACGTGAGTCCCATACGCTAAAAGTGGCTTTATTAGCTATCTGCGCCTCTAATAGCTAGCCATAACATTCTATGCAGCCTCCAACTAAGTCTAATGCCTGCGCAGGCTAGCAATCGGTACTCTAGGTCGGGGCTCCAAGCTTAAGAATGCTGCGTAGAGGCTATCTGTTAAGGAGTCGCGGGCCTTGAACTTGAAGTCCTCGATCATGAGCCGATATTCTGGAAGTTCCGCCGCCAGAATTGCACTGCAGAGAGGCACAGCCTTAGCTAGCTGTTCGGCAAGCGGATCACCATCGTTTCGAAGGCGGCTAGAAATCTCTGAAATCTCCGTATGGTAGACCTCGCTTATTCTCCCGCCCGCTCTGCCGTGTAATGGCACGCATAGCAGGGCATTGCCGTATTGGCCGAGTCCTAGCTGTTCTTGAAGACGAAGGCAATCGTCCCAGATCTTGTGTTTTGGGTGGTCTTTTTTCATCTGACGAAATGTATGCTTGTCGATACCATAGTTGTGCTCTAAGGTCTCAGCATTCAGATTCTCCAGAATTTGAAAGCTTCTAAAGAACAGTGCACAACTGTAACGCCTATGAAGCTCACTCTTAAGATTGCTCCCTTGAACTATAGTCCATAGAGTACAGATGTCATTCGTTCGTTTAATTCGGACAGATCTGACAACGCGGACTGCATCGTAAAGCAGAGAGAGAATAGCTTTGCGATCGTCCTGCATGGGCGCCACTCGATTGGGATCTGAATGTATTGCTTCTCTTGGAAAGGTTGGCAGTGAGGCGGGGCTACTTCGAGGGGATTCCATGCCTAGCATAGCTTCGCTGAAATATGCTGACTGGGCTTCATCTGCCTGACGAGCACTAACCCTTTGGGCGAAGATTAGTTCTTCAAAGTCATGCTCCGTAGGGTCGAGCCTTTGTGACAGGAGCTCAACCAGAAGTTGAGCGCGTAGATCCTCGGCCAACTCAGGCTTTGGATCGCGGGTGTGAGCAAACGTATTAGCGACTTGTCGTAACCCAAAAAGCATGAGTAACCCTGCATCTTCTGGTCGTGACAAACTGTGCTTTGGCCCAGCTGCATAAATAGGAACGCTCGTTTTAGGGATTGGTAAGAGCGCTTCGCTGCCGGGATCACTATCATACCAGTGGATAGTGTCGTCGTAAATCGCTGCAAACAGCCAGCGGGCACCATGCTGGATTGGTAGCATCCTGGGTCGCGTTTGAATAGAGTTGAGGATTTCCACAACGTCGGTGTCTTGCTTAATAGTGCATATTTCCGCAATTGGATACTTCGTTTTGCTATCTCTGAGAAGGCCGAGGTACTCCAGGACGGTGGTCTGTTCAAGCCTGTAACCTAGACTGAGCTGCTTCAAGTGTAATTGACCTTCCAGGTAATGGTCCTGGTTCGCAAACCTTGATACATAGTTATTCCAATCTGACTTGGGATGGATCCCTAATGGATGCCTGTCTCTATTTGTGAGAGCTTTAGCGAAACGCGAACGGATACATTCCCATGTCGTCTTGAGAGAAACAATGTCTTCGGTAGTGAACGGATAATGAGAAAGCTGTTCTAGAATTTCATGCAATTCCATAGCTATCGTAGATCTACTGTGTGACCTAATCATGAGAGGTTCTCCAACGAGTTTATACTTGTGCACTAGCCTGTGGTCCAATTTTGGCTCTTCTTAAAGTAATGTTATCATTGATTTTCTATTGGGGACCGTGAATTAAGACGATAGTCTCCAGTTCTATCTAAACTAACACGATCCTGTTTTGGCGCCGTAGGAATTATGCAGGGTGCCCGATGTAAACAAAGTCAACAAAAGCTACAGAGACCACTTTCGCCCAGCCGCTAGTAGTCGTACAACCACTCCAAACTTTGCAACCCTATAGTGAGTGATATGAAAGTAAGATACAGCTCGGTCCAGATAGAATCTAACCACGGCCTACCTACTATGATCCTTCTCAGTGAGCTGGAGATCTCTGAGTGCCATCAGACTCAACCGAGATGCTATGATTGTGTTGCTAGAACTCTGTACAGTTTACTTTCCATCGCAAAGCCTCGCTATCAATCGCTCCGCGGGCTTCACTCTGTAGTATAGCTAGGCGCTTCAATGTCTCCGTGACTTGCTGCATACAGGAGTATGTGATCTCCCAAATGTCTTTGACCTTTATAAGGGTTTGACTCAGATGGGAATACTCGGCTTCGAGCGCTTGAAGTATATCACTGTCCTGTCTCTGTCTCTCTGTGGTTAAGTGCTCGAGAATGTAGTCCAACTCAAAAGAGTCTGAATAGATACTCGAAGTCTCTCTATGCAAGTTCATTCTCAAAAGAAGATTGTGTAGAATTCACGAGTGAACTCGAAGAATAGCCTTTGGCACGGCCCAAATCAGAGAAGTCCCTCCATCTAGGCGTGTATATCATTTAGAGAGCACAGCTCAGAGCCATTTCTAGCCGCGTTTCATATCTTCGAGGACTTTTACACTTCCTTGCGCTTGATTTGGAGTCTGCTATCACTGGTCGACTGTACACGATGGCATATGGCTCTACCAGTGCTCAGATTAACTATAAGAGCGTATAACTAGTAGCCGCAGTCTTCCTAATTACCTTCTGGTACCAACATGCCTGTTTGTGGGCATACCCGATGGCTGTGCCTAGCCACGCACAACCAAGAAACATGCCTCGAGGTTTCCGATCGAGTTAGAACGCTATTGGACAATATCCCCAGCCCAGATAAGCAGTGTCCTAGCGTGTTAACACTCATCGGGAACCAGTCCAAGGCACGCTTCCTCCAGAAGCTATCCGTAAATGTCAACGGAACGCGGGGACGCAGATCTCGGGGAGAGCTGCACATAGCTCTAGCCCCAGACACAGTCCGTGACAATAATCCGATGCTTATTATAGACGCAGACCTGCCTTCTAAAGACACGCTACCAAGAAGCCAAAGGCAGCAGCGGTGCCATGAAATAGTTCACCGGCAGTTTCTACGGGTTTCCAAAACGGAGGAATTGCAGCAAGTACAATACATCTTTACACGGTTGATCATCCCTCACACAGACGTGATATGCCTGTTTGCAGGGGACATAGGGGGAGTCGATCGTGCTGTAGAAACCGTAACATCGTGGGCCAGCGTCAAAAGCTTGCATCAGGTCGGATTTCGCCCGTGGGTGGTAGTAGTGGTGGACAGTAAAGCAGAAGAAGAGTCTTTCTGGAACCTCGCTACGACGTTGTTATCTACTATGAGCGATGGCATCACTACGGCCTTTGCGAGCCTACGTGTCCTGAACCTCGGTCGGACGAGACGACGTCAGAGTCGACTGACTGTCCTCTCTCGCGAGATCAAGAATCTATGCAAATTCTCAACAGAAGGTCGTTCTAAACAGCAGCTCGTCTTCACGGCACGGCACCTTGCAGGGTTCCTCCACTATGGAGCGACTAGAGGTACTTTCGATCTAACAGAGTATAATAGCTTCATTCACACGGCACGGATGGACAATCCCCCAGCGCCAGACTTATTGCTGCATCTACAGAGATTTATAGACCAGTGCGGAGTGCTGCCATTGGAGCAACGGATAGACTTCATTTCTACTACGATTGCATCCAGTCTCATCTTAGACGGCTATCCTCCGGGGATGCATGGTACGTCATCACTTGTCTGTGAGAAGCTTCGATGCTGACCCAGTAGTTTAGCTTTCCACCCTCGCGCAGTGTTTAACGAGCTATATCGCGAGCCCTGCACGAAAGCACTATATGGTTCGAAGTTGTGTACAGGTACTGAAAACGACAAAACACTCGCAAACGAGGTGTTGAAGCGGCTAGAGAACGAGTTCTTATCGTTGTTTAAGGAATATATTTCCTGTCAATCATCGAAAAGTTTACACCAGCAGCAGATAGTGACTTACGCTTGTCACTGGAAAACCATTACATCGAACGAGACCTGCCTGTGCTGTATACGTCGACAGCCTCGCTTTAAACTTGATTGCGGGCACTCGTTCTGTGAGTGTTGTATAAGGACTTTCGCGGTAGAAGACGAACTTAAGCCTTCGCGCTTTCAACTGAGTAATTGTTTGTTATGCGGGATATTGCCCGTACCGGCTCTTATTCAAATCAGACCAGAAACGGCAGGACTGCGGGTGCTTAGCATCGATGGCGGCGGAACGAGAGGCCGAGTTCCGTTAGAATTCCTTCGTGTGCTCCAGCAGCGTGTCGGTTTGTCGTTGCCCGTACACGAGAACTTCGATTTGGTATACGGGACTAGTTCAGGTAAGCATATTGCGTCGCGAAAAGCATGTTGCTAACAGCTGTAGGGGCGATCATCGCATGCGCACTCTGTATAAATGGCTGGCATGTGGATAAGTGTATTGCAGCCTTCGAGAGGCTTGCCCGTCTTGCTTTCAAATCTCGATTTTCATTTCAGATACCTTTTATTACCAAGCTCTGCGAGCTGTTATGTTCAATGCTTGCAGACAGTCGCTACCCCGCGACGGCCCTCGAGGAAGCTCTGCAGACAACCTTTGGATCTGTGAGAGGTATGACGGAGCACTCTGCAGCTGATGAGAAGGGCATCCTTGTTGGTATCCCTGTAACTACTATCCGGGACGTGCGAACTTTTGTTTTTTCAAACTATAATGGAATCGGAAGCCGGGGCCAGAGTGGTTAGTAAGAGGCTTTGAGGGTGGAGAGACTTCTGCTAATTATTCTAGACTACCACATGATTATGGCTAAAGACGGGAGCCGGCCTGTTCCCCTCTGGGAGTCGTAAGTTTTCCATACTCCAGCTTTCAAACGAAAAATTAACTCTTATAGGCTCCGCTGCGCGACAGCAGCACCATAGTAAGTTAAAAATATTCGAGATGATCATTCGTCATCTAACTGTCCCAGCTACTTTAAGCCAAAAAAGATCGACGGTCTAGGAGTATTCCAAGACGGCGGCCTGATGTACAATAACCCAGCGTCTCTCGCAATACGAGAGGCTGCTGTTATGTATCCTACCGTCCCCAGGCCTAGCCTTGTCGTCTCACTTGGAACGGGCTCGGCACAATCACGACCTGATAGAGCCACCATCAATCACCACTTCTGGAGAGACTCATTCTTCTTTCGCGTCTTCCGCGCCTTCATGCAATACGGCAGTGCCGATAGAGCCTGGCAGCAGCTTCTTAGCCATTGGAACATTGACAAGACTTCTGAAGTCTTCCGCTTTGATATTGAGTTCGATAATGTAGAACCCCCGCTCGATGATGTGGAAGGAATGCAAGGGATGGCTAAGAAGGCTTTTGACACAATGTCGATGTCACCCACACTGGATAACCTAGTTTCACGCATCCGCGCGGAGCTATTTTTCTTCGAACTGGACCGAGTCGAACCATTCAGAATGGTCAACGGTACATACCAGTGCTCCGGAGCTATAGTATGCAGACTAGCTCCCGGATCCGACGAGGCCAAGGAGCTCGTTGCACAATTCAAGCAAAACAATGCTATGTTCGTAATAAGCGGACAACATAAGTTACCCAACTTCACTAATCTGTCGGAACGTTCTGCAACCGGTCCGCTTTTGATGAAGGTTGATTTCCAGACTTCTAGTCGAACCGAGCCTATCATGATTGCACTACAAGAGGGGGTAACACAATCCCCTATAAGTGGGTTCCCATTTAGTCTCCAGAAACTACTAGGCATACAGCAGCTGGAAAATCGCTTTGGCAGCTCGGATCATCGGAAAAGGACTTGGCCCATTGTGAACACAACACGATGTAAGCGGAGGCGGAAAGTTTAAGCTCTAACAACGGGTGATTTTCGCGCGTGCGCTATTGTGGGAGAAAGTGCCATGCATCCTAGATAATAGGATAGTTGTTGGATGAGCATCAATCTCTGTCTTGAATTGCCCCGTCTTGCAGCAGGCGCACGCCTTTCTTCGTAGCTCGTTGTGGTATAATAGTAACAAGAGACCCAGGGTGTGTTTCTCCACTAGCACTGTCCGTGTTTAATCCACGCGCCTAGCTGTACGCTGGTACTGTACGCTGGTACTGAAAATGTCCCTATTAGGAAGTATGATGGTCCTCCCGCAATGCCTCATCATCTTTCCTCTTTGGGACTGTGATCCACTTCTCCAACATTTGGTGTCCCGTGCGACTTTAAGGCGGCTGGTCAAGGGGCTCAGGCAACACCCTCGACCTTGCAAGAGTTATTACTTGCGAGAATTATTACTCTCTATACCTGTTGGTAAAAAGGCAACAACGATGCTCAAATCGGGCTGTAGGACAACGGGCAGCCTGCGGGCCCGACTGTATCTCCTTTACGCCGACGAGATCAGCCGGTCACGATGGTATAAAGAGGAGCAGACGGTACTCTTTACAGCTATGCCAGGCGCGGTCGAATCCGGAGCATCGGAGCTGTGCTATGGCTGCCGCTGCTGCGATATGAGGCTTGTCGGGAGAAAGGCCTCCGCGGCGCTGATGAGTCTCGTCGTTTACGCTGTCCGCGGCGGACCCTCGTGTGTGATTGGGCTATGGAAAGTCAATGAAGCTTAAATCAGGGCGACATTCCCTGTCCTAACGTTACATAGCATTCAGTCGTGAGCTTTCGCTGCCCATAAGCACCGTATGAACGTCGACAGTAACGACGTTGGACGATAAAATGATTAACGCTTGATGGCCTGAGAAACGAAGTAACTCAGCCAGCAGCAGGCGCACCGACGAGCTGGGCCTGGCAATGGTCAAGGTTCCCGTTGCCCCTGATCCCATTAAACAATGCTCATCCCCACTTCGTCTATTCGCAGATACAGCGCGAGGTGTGCCCTAGCCGGCTGCCTGCGTATGAGTTGCTTTTATCGTGCACTGACATGAATATTGGTTATTCTTCTGGGACCATCTGCACACTTAAGGAGTATAGGCCTTCTGGCTCCAGAACACGTCGCATTAGATCAAAGATGTAATGGGCTTGCTAAATCCTTGAGTAGCAATATACTATATGTCGCAATGATGTTTACGTGCACTTGCAGAACGTTGGGAAAACAACATATAATATACACAATAACAAAAGTCCCCTACCATTGCTAGTCTGGGCCGAAGGGCTTTTTTCTCCTAGGTTCTATCCGCTGAGTCCGTGTCTCCTTCCACAATAATCCAAGCTGTGGGGCTTCAAAATTTCAGTACCTGAGTCTTCTCTTCTTCGTTTGGGGCTCGCTTTCTTCTGCTATGCCGTATTGTTCCGAAGCTTGGAGCGCAACCAGCAGCCCATTTTTCTCAATCACGCATTTTCCCAAATCTTCCGCCTCTTCTCTTGCGGCGCCTAAGAGAAATTCTTGTGTTGCGATGACATAGTCCTTGTCTGAATTGTCTCTGACGATCTCTGCCAGAGTTTCTTTGTGCTGGTCTACCAGCATCTCGAGGAGCTCCTCCTTCAAGGTGTGCTCGTCGAGCTCTTCAGCACACTTCTCTACCAGGTCTGAGAGATAGCGGTTTCGCGATTGGTATTCCTCAAGCAAAGGTTTTGTTTGCTCAAGTAGGAGTTTCGTTTGCTCGTACAGCGCTTTCCAGCATGTTTCCTCACTGATTATGGATTGTTGTAGCGGAGGTATAGAGAGTGTCCTTCATTGTTTTGTAAGTTCAGCAATGTAAGCGTCTTCCGGGGACTTACTTACATGATATAACATAACACTACTCGCAGACCAGTAACACAATTGCGAAAAGTGATGGCAGATTTGACAGATTTTGTGGGCAAATCTAGCGCAGAAAACAGAGCACTGGCTGTCCAGCACAACCGATTGACTCCACTTAAGCAACCAGACCTGCTTACGAGACAGCGCCGCCATTATTGGAGCTATGAGGCGGGCTCTTTCGATTACTAAGAGATGATGTTACGATCTAGCCCTCAGGGTCAGTTAAGGACTGGGCTTCGTGGTTGCTGTTCCGGAAGTAAGTAAAGCTTACGCAAGATCACAACTCGTTCGAATGCTGTTCTCTCTCAATAGTTGCCGTGTCTCTGTGACGAGATACTACTCTCGTCAGTTGAGTAACTAGTTTCAGTGATGGGTAAGGATGATACTTAGATTAATCGCTAAAGTACAATGGTAATGACTGTCTGTCTAGGAGATCCTCCATCCTTGGGAACTGTCAGTTCCGTTGGTGCGCTGTATAGTTCTTGTGTGGAATTGTAATTACAGCTCCCTGAGCCTTGGCACAGTTCCATGGTCTGGGCGTTGTGCTGGCTCATCTGTCCTGGTTACATAATCGTGACTGCCCTCGTGCGTGACCTGCCCTTGTCCCTGGACGATCTTGCGACCTTGTTTGTGCAAGTCCGTCTGCCCTAGACACTCCTGTTATTGTTCGTTGCCACAATGTATTAGGCTTGAAGCAACCATGAGGCTGAATTTCGCTTTAGGTGTCTCAAGCTTACGTCGTACTGGAACTGAAAATACAGATCTATGTGCAAAATTGGATGCTGACCTCCTCAGAAACACTATGGTCTACCTGCGACCTAACACTTATAAGAGGCTAAGCAAGAAAACAACGCATACGCAAACTACTGCTTTGGGCCATTTTCTTAAAAATCTATGCTAGCCGTTTATGGTCAGGAGCAGAGCGCCAAGCAGTAATCCGTTATGAGCGTACAGTCGTCCAAAGTTTCCTCAAGCTCCCAAGTGGGGCATGGGCAATCGAACCACTTTATAGCATAGTATACTAAGCCGTTTGGATTCTCATAATGTGCACAGACATATTCGATCTTATGAGAGCCGTTTTGCACAGACGCTGTCATCCTTCGGCTGGCACCTGTCCAATCGTAAAGAACATAATTATCTTCAAATGCCCAAACAAGGCCAACGAAGCCTGCAGCCTCGTTTAGAGTTCGGACCTCCAAGCCATGGAATGTCTGGTTCTGAATCCTAGCAGAACAAAGCACCTTGGTTATAATAGCATTCGTCGACCATGCTGTTTGCACGATTGAATTGCGAAGATTGTGTTGGGGTTCGAGCAGAGTAATATTGGAATCCATCATCCAGTAATGGTAAGGTATTAATGAACGTAGAAAGTGAGCGACGATAGAGCTTAACTACTAGGAGAAGCCTTTAGCAGAAAGGCGATGAGGGCATCAGTTCTAATAAGGGTTGAGTCTACTTAAGTATCTAACGGAGCTAGAATTAGAGGCTCCCAGGACGAGCAGCAGTCCCAGGACATGCATTGGTCCCAGGACAGGAGTGGTCCTAGGACAGGAGTGGTCCCAGGACAGGAGTGGTCCCAGGACAGGAGTGGTCCCAGGACAGGAGTGGTCCTAGGACAGGAGCAGTCCCAGGACAGGAGTGGTCCCAGGACAGGCAGTGGTCCCAGGACGAGCAGCAGTCCCAGGACGAGCAGCAGTCCCAGGACAGGAGTGGTCCCAGGACAGGCAGTGGTCCCAGGACAGGAGTGGTCCCAGGACAGGAGTGATCCCAGGACGAGCAGCAGTCCCAGGACAGGAGTGGTCCCAGGACAGGAGTGGTCCTAGGACAGGAGCAGTCCCAGGACAGGAGTGGTCCTAGGACAGGCAGTGGTCCCAGGACGAGCAGCAGTCCCAGGACAGGAGTGGTAATCGGGTCTCAAAATTTATTCGTATAACAATATTGATGTTCCTTAAGTGTTTATACTTCCTCCCACACTATATATTGCCATTCAACCTCTTGTAGCAGTCTACTTGGAACTACTTGCTGACAGAAAGGACACATGGTGCCTGTATATCTGATCGATTCCTGGAGGCAGGACTTGCAAAAGACATGGCCTTCATCTGTTCAGAAATTGATAAATAGCATTCGGGCTTTAAACGTACCGCAGGACTGGATGGTTACAGGGATTCTGATCTCGTCCGTACAAATTGAGCAATCAGACTCCCAACCAAAGATCTGGATGCATGGTAATCCTATGCGGATTGCACATAGCAAGCAGAATGCCTCCTTTTCATTAGTAAAGCTCTAATGTCCATTGCAAGTCGCGTACCGCTTTGTTCCCTAGTATTAAATAAAGGGTATCGCCGTTCAGCAGCTCGGATGTGCATCTGGAGCACAAGTTTTTCCGTGTCTCGTGGAAGGATAACTTCTGTAGCTGGTTCGTAACCTTCATCGTCATCTCCGTGATCTGCGGCCTTGGAACATTGTGACTGGCATAGTGCTGATACACTTTTATTAAGAATAGATCCATAGGTGAGTAATTGATCGCTTTTTTGGGATGGATTCTAGCTCCGATTCTGGCTTCACTTCTAGGAAGACAGGAGGTAGGATGCATCCACATATGGCTTAATACGGCGCTACGCTGTGAAACCACACGGCTTACAATATGGATTGCGTGCTTGATGGTGAGTACATCGTCTGCTAGAAATAGGTGCTTTAGCTACTATAAGTCATTGCGCCGACCGTTAACGGCGGGCACGTCGGCCGCGGGAAGCAAGTGCACCACACCATTAAGCACAGCTTTTAACGTGCGTCACGGTACCCTATCAAGCTTCTAATTCTTTTACTAGTGCTAGTAGTCTCTGCGCCACTTCCTCCCATAAGGGCTAATTTTCCTATGTTTCCCTTCCTCCGAAGGGTTTAGAGACGGGTAACGAGCAGGCACGGGCGAATAGTTTCCTGGCTCTGCCCGCTCGCTTGGGCGGGGAAGTACATGCTTCGAGTATTGAATATATCTTGATGTTCTATAGCTCGAGATGCAACACCATCGCCCCGCAGATAGTAAGCCTCTGCGTCTCGAAGTCTTTGTCCGAATATGGTTTGTTGCTTTAGCAGAGAACTGTGTGCTTGATCGGTCTGCACATGTAACGCAAGCGGAAGTTGAGAATCGTATAGAAGATCGCATCGAGCATCGTTAATGGTTCTAGAACTGACTGAAGTAGCGTCCATTCTAGGATTCATCGATTAGGAAAGAGGTTGCAACAGAGCGGACTGAAAGTCCAAGTAGACATGTTAGGGCTTTATAGATAATTTAGGAGCTAGAAACTGCTTCAATTTAATCACTCACCAATAGCGAATGAACGGCCCACGCGGGCTGGGATTAGTAAGGTCTATATGTAAACCTCCTGTGAGTCACATATTAAAGTGGTCGGTTCTTCTTAGGTATGTGCTACAGTACTGTAATAATGGTTAGAGTAAATACTCTGATACTTCTTGGCGCATTACTATTACGCAGCGCTTCACTCGCTACGAGTGAGCCGTCGTCTTCGTGCATTAATATAATCCAGTATCAGATGGGCCGCTGTTGCTTTCAAGACTTACCTTGTCCATTCCAAGTGACCAGCGAATCCTCAAACGTACAAGCGTTGGATACGACTTTGGACTCGCCTTGTACACTAACTTCCCCAGACGTCATGTCAACGGCCCAGAGTCAACCCGAGCAACAATATCCCCCATCAAACAGCTCTTCGATCTTTGGGACTTCGCAGGGAAATAATGGATCAGACGTCAGCGCGGAATACCCAACAGAGACAACTCCCAGTGCTTCAACTCAAGAATCACCAGATCTTGTAGCATCCACATCTATATCGCACCTGACAATCTCATCACTCCCATCACCTCAGCCTTCCGCAGCTCCACCACAGCCCATTGCCACGCCAGATCCCCCTAGACTCTGCATTCTGCATATATACGAGTCAAAGGGAACTACGCCTCGAGATCCTGTCAGCGTTGAGTATCGATTGAAGAGAGAGGGCTCGATGGTGTCGCAAGGCAAGTTCACTAGCCCGTGGGGCGGATCTCACGTCCTCACTCCAAATGATACTGGACTTGTGGAAGTTTTGAGCATAGAGGTATCCACAAGAGTAGCACCGGGAACTCCTGAACCAGTCTGCGATCTCCCCGGCGGCTATCACGCACCGTTGAAGAAGCGGTGCAGCCACCTGTGGTCCAATTATCTGATTGAGTTTCGGTATGGAAGTCTAGTCTGGAACAGTCGACACGGACAGGATCCGCTTGGGATGCCATTGAATACAGATCTGTTAGTTGCATATTGTAGCTGCGAAAGAGAATCCGCTGTTTGGTTCTGCGAGAGCCATTCTTGGAGATGAGTAGCGCAAAGCGTGTAAAATGCCCGGTATGCGACCACGGCTCAACACTAAGAGTGAGGACAAAATAGTAGGCATTGCTATACTACCTCATCACAACTACAGAAGAGGAGACCTTGTGATCAATTACTGCTCGGCCTGACGGCCAGGATGACCATCACAACAGTGGCCTGATGTGACTAGTGAGCGTCCCTCGAGCCTATCCTTTGTGATAACGACGAGAAGATCCGTACTTATTACGTGAATGCGCTCAGCTCGAGGTATCTATCAGCACAGCTCGTTTTTCTCGGTCAAGAACTACCGCCAGTTCTTCTTCAAATCATCCATCAAACAGGGTAAACAGGACTTGTATAAGCAAGGCGGCTCAATGGTGCTTTCCCAGAACGCTTGTCGCTAGGACAGCGCCTCTAGTCTTGGCCTCATCAGAAGCCAAACGCTTCGTTTCGACAGACTCTAGCAGGGTAGCACAAGCGGGGGCATGCTCTGGCTACTCCAGTCCTTGTATGGAAGGAGTCCGTTTCACTCTCGCAGCCAAGGTTGTGTTTGTACATGCCTTGACATTAGGTCCACGAGCCCCGACCCATGCGCCATCAGAACAGGTCAGGTGCCCGTCTCTGGCTTCGAGGAACTCGTCTATAGTCACGTTAGAAGAACTCTTCAATAGTCAGCTCTCGACAACTTACCCAATGCTATTTCAGTCCAAGCCTTCTTCCCTTTGAATGTGCACTGACAGCGCAGAAGAGAACCTTCCACTAGTGTGCAACTGTTGCAGGAGTTCACGAAATAGCCTCCGCATTCGTCTGTGGAATTAGAGATACTGAGGTTACCCTCCTTGTTCCACAGACAAGGGGCGAGATCGAGGTAAGTATATGATTCGGTCAATGAATCTGGCCACATGTGACAGTTTGCTCCAAGCACGACAGTAGAGCCAAAGAGAGGGCTCTTCTCACGGGCGTGGACACGTGCGTCTGGACGTGTTTAGCTTAATTCAAAAAGACTTCAGAACGGTGGCCTAACTTGAACAAAGCTCGCGGAAGCTGCAGTCAGGCGATGCGCAGTCACCTGGCGCAGCAGACATTGCAGTGGTAAAGATAGCAAGGAGTAAGAATCTCATCGTAGCTTAGAGAGGAAAGGCATCATGTGCGCAGAAGTCATACCCATTCGAATATATATGAGCCTGACCTGTTGAAAATTGTTCGAGATCGGCCTCAAGGTCCAAATGTAGCCCATGTGCGCCATCTGTGGTCACTTCCCCTGCACACAGTCTCAGTCAACAAGCTGGACTCAAATCGGTCTTCACCTATGGAGGCAAAATGCCTCTTAACGCAGGAGCCATTTACTGTACTGTCTTTCACACTACACAAGGGGACAATTGCAGCATGCTGGCCAGGCAATGTAGCCTGGGCGATGGCACAGTCCATGGTTCGGAGCATTCAGCGAGTGGGGTGCGACTGGCTTAACGCTATTGCTGGAGCCGGGCATGCAGTGCAGTCGACCCGTATAGCGCCTCTTCTCGTATATGCTCCCTAGGCAAGAATGATCCTGTGGTTTCTAGGGCTGAGCCGAGTATGGAGCGAATGGTGGTGGGTGCCCGCGCATGGTCCGATGAGCGTGTGAAAGGCCGCGGAGCTGACATACTCATTTTTAGCGTGTCGCGAAGCTGAACCAAACGAACCCCACCTCCTCAGCTCAGGGTGCCCTGCCCGACTGGCTGGCCCTTCCCAATGAACACACAAAACCATCCCACCAGCAGGTCAAGATGTTTGCCCTCCTTGTTCTCACAACTCTTCCTCTGCTAGTAACCACTTTACGTCCTTCTTACGTCCAGCTTCTTCGTAACTCCTCATACTCGGAACCAGCACCGCGGCCTCCTCGTTTGACACGATCGGCTCACAATTCACTTTGAATTCCACTCGCACATACCATCTCTATACCGTACAGACACACGCTCAAGAACACATCATGAAGACCTCTATCATTATCGCTACTGCCGCCGCTCTGCTGGTTGGCACCACCACCGCAGCCTCCCTCGAGCGCCGCGCCGATCTCGTCGCGGCCGACATCGTCGCCCAGATCGCACCGTCATCTAAAACCTGCGCCGACGCCCGGCAGTGCCGCACAAACGTGCAGGTCGGTACAGCCATGGTTGAGGCCTTCCAAGCCTACGACATCTACGAGCCCGTCGCTATGGCCTCTATCCTCGCCCTAATCGCCCTCGAGTCCGTCGAGTTCAGGTATAAGCGAAACCTCCAGTCTACTAACCCGGCCCAGGAGCAAGAATTCCACTGGGGCCAGGGAACTTCTAACATGCAGGTCTATAAGTACAATCTCGAGTTTGCGAAGTCATTTAAAAAGCTTAAAGGCCAGGTTATCCCTGGGGACACTATGGAAGCTAAGAACAGGGTCCTCGACCTCGTCACCGCCGACGAATATAACTTCAGGTCCGGCCCTTGGTTCTACGCTAAACAGGCCGACTGTGCCCCCGCCCGCGAGGCCGCTAAGGGTGTTAAACCTAACGTTGACGATGTCTACCAGGCGCATATGAAGTGCGTGGGCGTCGATGCGAATAACGACGAGCGTAGAAAGTACTGGGACGCCGCTAAGAAGGCCTTTAACCTGGCGTAAAAGTAAGAGCGGAGAAATGGCCCTGATGTACAAACTCGTCATATTTCATTCCTTCCATCCGCCTGTTTAGCTTAGGCAGAGACCATGCACAGGATCCCAATCACCTATGTATATACCTCTCCTACGAGATCCGATTGTCATCGCCATCCCATCGCCATCCCATATCTCAAGGGTGCGACAGATATCCAAAGATATCCCCTGACTCATCAAGCTTCAGAGTCCATGCGGGGCTTACTTGGCGAGTGGGCACCCCACCCCACCCCCACCCCACCCAGAGCATCATGCTGCGTGCTCCATCATCACTGTGACTACACAATCCATGCACCCGTGAAGAAGCGCCTGCATTTGTGCCCTGACTTGGACGGCGTTGCAGACTTCCTCAGCTGGTAACGTAATCCTCGCAAGCTGAGGTAGTATGCGACCATGCGCAGGGGCACCGTCCACAACCTGGTGGCAGTGCTCATCCCTTGGGAAGAAGCTCTGTGCAGTCTCTTGGGCAGCTGAAGAATTTCGCCCAGCTACGCTTCGCCATACACCCAGTTAAGAGAATGTCACTCGCCTTGCTCACGGAGGCGCCATTTCCTGCTCGCGCCAATTGCGGCGCGGCTGACATGCAATGTGTGGTGTGTGGGGGAGGGGTGTTAGTGGGGTCCGGCAGACTCCCGGCACGAAGAAGCCAGAATTGGACTAAGCTTCACATGCCATAGCGCACAATCACGGAGACCATCCTATGCGCGCTAGTGATGTCGCGAGAAGCTAGAGCGTGCTGGACATCCTGTTACAGTCAATTTCGAAATCGGTGCCCGGAAAGGCCATGCACAAATAGTTCTACGCACGGGACACCCTGGTCTTGGGACACCACCTCTATCGGTGAATAAGCGGGGCGCCCTTGCCGAAAGTGGAGTAGAGGGCAGCCAATTCGTGCTACAGTGGTGGCTAATATGTCTAGTATCCCAAGACGCGCAGTGAACACTTGCCAGCCAGCTCGTGCAGAGTTAGCAGCCCATTACTTTCGTCCCAGAAACATGCCTCGTGTATGTCAAGAAATTGTGATTCCCAAGCGTTTCGGTTTTCGTAACTTGCTCCAGGTGGACAGTTGAGCAACTCCCCTCGCTAATCATCCCACTGCATCTCTGGCTTCTCACTCCTAAGCAACCTCTGCAAATTCAATCTCGTACTATACAAGATACCATTTGTACTGCCAGTCTCCCTAAAAGCAGGACTCGCAGCGCCAACTGTGGTACCATATCCAATATCCTAGTCACCACTAACCAGCCCTCTCGGACGATGATGCACAAACAAGCTCGGCACAATCCCAATACACCGCATTCCATTTCCCATCGTGTGGCAAAGATCACTCAAGTGGTGATCGAAGTTCTTGTGCTGGCCTCTGAGCGACATGTATTCCAACGCCCTTCTCGCACCTAGCTGTGTCAGCGCATAGGCGTAGGTGCAAATGTGATCACCTTGGACATATACGATGCGCGTGTTGTTCGGATATGCGTCCCATTCGAAGCGGTTATTTCCTGATCGGTGTTTCTGCGAGGGCACTGTGTCATCGTTTTCTATCAATACTTGGCGATTGTCTTGTTGGTCTTTGGGAATCGATAGGTCTTCTGGCAGATCCGCATTGAAAGAGGCCTGGCATGATCCGAGCCAGAGCAGATCCCAATGTCGGCCATACGGGGATTGCGTCACAGGATTGGGATTATTCTTGTGAAGATACGGATCCTCGTGAAGCCAGCTTCCCTCAGTCTGCAGTTCTCTTGCCGCCAGTGCGAACCTATAAAGCTGAAATTTGATATTCACATCCCAGTCTCCACGTCATCCTCGACGATCAGTGCCGACGGTAGATTATCGTCGATTATACGTCTCATTGCATTGGCGTGGCCCCTCCAGGATCCTAAATTCGTGTCTTTTGCGCCGCCTTTGCGGTTCCAGCCAACTGGTAAGGCTGTGTCGGGTATGGTCTCGCCTTTGACGCCATCCTGCCAGGTGATTTTGAACCCTGTAAGGGCTGAGCTGAGGCTGAGGGCATCTCGTTTGTCGGTGCGCTCGGGAAGAGTGAACTATTATTCGATTCGGAAAAGGTTTAGTAGGACCCAAGATGGTTTAGGAGGTATATGTTGCAACAGCATGCGTTACTTGAGACTCACACCGAGTGTCTCGTTGTATATAGCATCCATTATGGATATGTTCGAGCTATCATCACGAGGCGCAAGGCCGATCGAGGGAGTCCCTTGGCGAGCGCAGTGGACAAGAAGAACCCACAGGGCAAAGCAAATGATGCTCGCGAATGCAAAAATTGGCCTGAACTGGCCAGGGTTTAGCCGCATCGCCGTTAACCTCATGAGATGTCTTCCGAAATACGGGGTCTAGACGCTTTAGCCAGGATACTGTCGGTAGAGATGTTGTTGCTAGGCTTTCAGAGAAATTCCTCGTGCGGAAAGCCCAAATATACTGAAATGAACGAGCGATCGAAGGGCGAGCGGTGAGGTTGCTCGAGTACACGAACGCAGCATCACCACTCAGTTCCTTTATGTATGGTAAAATAGCAGAATAAGCAAGTACTAGTATATTCCGCATCAACATTGAGCTCCACCCTCTAGCATAGCACCAATACAGTACAGTACTGTACTGTATCATTGTGCCGCAATGCGCTCTCATGAGGGCGGCTGTCACGCGGCCCACTTGTGTGCCTGTGCCGGTGAAGTTTCGTTTGCCGCGCGCGAGCAGGTTTTGGCGCCTGGGTTCCGAACCTGGCCTCGCTTGGCCCGAGGGGCCACAACCGGCTCGGCGTCATCGGCACTGGAGCGCACGCGGGGTATCTCGGACCTGCCCCGAGAGCTCTGTTCGACCATTGTTGATGGGAGGCACAAGAGGCGCATAGAACGCACGCATGCCGTTGCATGTCTGTCATATTGTCGAGCTCTGCACTGGGGATTGAAATGATCATGCCTGAGTAGTACGTAGCTTTCTGGGCATCCGCTGCATGGGTTTTGTGGCAGAAGTACCATCAACACCTGCACGATGCGCCGCATCTGACTCCAGTCCACGTACATTATTACAGGCTTTGAGACCACCCTTGCACAGGCCAGACATGAAGGACTATCCCCATGCAGGGTGACTCTGTCTCCTTGAGGGTCAGATTTACTGCATTTGGAATATCTCACAATCTTTCTTGATGTTTGATAGACAAGATGACGCCGTCTACTCTGTGGCATTCACTGTGTTCACTCTGGCTCACAATCATTGATTAAGTTTCTATCTCTCCGTGTATCAAGGAGGCAATAGGCTCTTCTGTTGTCCCGTGACTGGCCCAAGAAAGGCTTAGTCGGAAGTTGTTTTCCTCTCCTCTACCTACACGAGAATCTCGTGATAAAGATAGTGGTGGTCTTCACTCCCGTGCCCTCTAAGCCGGAGACTCGAGGGAGCGCCCCAAGCGCGTCACTATCTCCGGAGCTGTAATGACCCAGGGGGCTAGCTCATTCGAGTTGAGAAGGCTAGCCAATGTTCTCAACGTCAATATCGTGTGTCGTAAGCTGGCCCAGACCCATTCATGCTCCGTGCAATCACGAGCTGGCATGTTCACCGGCCACACAGTCCAGCCTCCCTCTTCCGCACCCATGGAAACGTCTGGCTCTATCGTCTGGTGTTCGGAAGTCTGTTTCCTGAATCCGACCAAGGGCAATTTGAATTCGTGACACCACGCCACCAGAATATTCACCAACCTTCCCTCAAAGGCGTCCATACCTCATTGTACTCCGTCAGAAAGACCGGGGTTACACAGACAGATCGCCCCCGCAACCCTCTCCGCCAGACTCTCAGCTGCGTGGGCTACGTGCTCCTCCCGTCGGTGGCCTAACAGTGCTTCCGTTATTTTTCCAGTCGACACCAGCGGGAAATGGACTCGTTTCTTAGACATAGCCGCAATGTCGGGTCCTCTATGTCTCCGTTTACTTCGTTTGTGCTTGTAGCCCTGTGTCGTTGTTGTGGGGAATGCTCCGTGTTTTCTGTAGGGAGGAGAGAAGAAGAGAAACCGAAATTTCTTGCTTTCGATGTGCGGGATGGGTTATAACCCCCTTTAGTTTGACCCAGCACGGAGGTGTAGCAGATGCTTGTTGGTAATGACAGAAGTGATCCTCTTTAGCTGCGCGCCGCAGGCGCGTCGGCTGCTATGATACTGTTGAAAGTGGAGGTCGGACAGTGGCTTGGAAGCAGTTGCAGCTGAGTCAGCAGGGCTGCTGACTCACCTGCCTGCTGGATCCACTGTAGATATGGAGGATGCACGTTGGAAGGGTGCTTCCTAGAAAAAAGACAATACACACAACAATCTCAGTTCAACAGATACCATGTCAGTCCCACATCCTTCACGTGTCATTTAGTATGGCGAAGACAAGGCGGATCGTGCGCAGAAATAGTATACCGATTTCGAGTTCGACTGGAAGTGCTGCTGCGTAATCGTCTTTGTAGCGCCAGGGCCAATATCGCAGTCAGACTCTGTGTCGTGATGTTCATGCCGGATCCACTTCCTTGACTTGGATCATGGCCATAGGCTTCAAGTGCTTCCTGCTCCCCCAAGATGATGACGCTGAGGCAGCCCTGCAGCTTAAACTGCGACCGGCACATCCTAGCTCGAAACCTGTATAAGAACCCCCTCGACGCCAGCCCTTACGCACAGGTTTTCTTCCTCAGTATCACCTGAGAGGACTCTCACCATGTCACGACGAATGATCCGCACTTCTTCATCCAAGCCCGGAGAAGCTTCACTACGACAACAAGCAATGAAGAGCAAGCCGTTTCACTATATTCAAAAACTTACGGGATTCAGAGCCCCGCATCATCATGGAGGTCGGTCTCTGTGTTCTCGAAGACCCAGACACCGCCCGGGGACTTGCAAAACATCTATCAAGGCCACAGCAAAGAACTCTGCTCAACTCACACCCACTCGCAATACTCAGCCACGGCCTCAGCCATCCTCCCACATATTTGCGGGCCAGCAGATAGCCCAGACCATAACCGACTCCGTGAGCAGACCAGAATCTCCCATCGAAGACCATGAGGCCTTCGATGGCCACGAGAGTGTTGTTGAGTGTATCGGGTGCCAGGTGAAGTCTGCCAGTTTTAGGACAGACTGCGGTTAGTGCCCAAATGAATCCACTCCGTCCAAGCTCAGCATCCAATTACTGATGATCCAAAGACCACTACTTTTGCGACACTTGCTTTCCTGTAATGACTGAGGGCAATGACGATTGCCTAGAGTGTGGTCATGAATGGGTATTCTACGGGCAAATGCCTAATTGGGTTGATGCGGACATTCCAAGACCTAACGCGGAGGTACATGCGAATAACATTTACGATAAATATATAGCATAATAAGATAGTAGGACGTATATCTAAGTCTTGTATAGGCAGTTACTAGCGGTGTTCCTTGCTGTGCTGCGAAACGATGAATCTGAATGAAATCAATTGCAGAGCAGGCATAATCAGTGATGAAAATTGGGGATCTTCTATTGCGAACTAGTCCGAATTCAAGTAGCTCTTCACACTACAATGCGACGAAAGGCCAGCTGCATAAGCTATTCAACTCAGTCAACTCTGCATGGCGCAATTCTCGGCGCCAACATCACGAAGTCTGCGGTAACAGCACCTCAGATCTATTGGCCTTCTCATGATTTCAGGCACCTCTGAAACGGTTCACGGCGAATCGATCTATCCAATACTTCGTCGTCAATGCAAGATGCCGTTCATGTGTTCTCACTTATGTCACTGGCCATGTACATGGTATCGCAACGACCGTGGTGGGACAACACGGTCATCCTCAAAAACCTTACTGGGACTGTGCATTGCCCCGCCATGGCAGAGGCCAACAAGATCGTCAACGTTGCTGCACTTGTCTGAAGAGTGTGGCGAGTTGCAGCAAGGTTGGTCAGACCAGCTGTTGAACTGTCCTATTTGTCCCGCACGCAGGTTCCATCCTTAACGAATCCTCCTCGCTGGTGCCCGCCGCCACCAATGAGTCATCTTGGAGTCCTCGTACTGCTGCAAGGACGGGACGCCTCATACATTAGTTTGGATATTCCAATATCGTTACTCCTTTAGCGAAGTTGACGCATGGTAACTTCTCCACTGCTACTCGATCGAGATCGTACAGAACGTTGCCACAGAGCTGACACTGATTCTGAGTCCACATGCTGATAGTTAACATGAAAGCGGGTGTATTCGCAAGGTTGAGGTAGGCCTCTGAGATCATAGACCTTTATTCACCCACGACAGCCAAGACTTTCTGCCGTCGGAACCACAAGGTCGTGACTCCAAGCAGGGCCCCTGTAGCTCCACCGAGGGAGCCAGATTCGAGTCTCTGGGAAGAAGACCAGAAATAGCCCTCTGTGGGTGTTCTATCGTCGCGAAAATGGACACTTGCGAGCAACACTGAACGGCAAGTGGGTGGGCCACACCAGGGGGTTGGTTTAAAAAACACATTCATTTTCCTCATTTGAAAAGAAGAATGAGTCGATTGTTTGTCACATCATTGTTTCTTTGTGAGGAGTATTGAGACGCTTATGCTGCTTACCATGGCCGCCACCCTAAACGATGTCCGTGGTTGCACGACCACAGCTTCAGCTCAGACGAAGTATGTCATCACGTTTCATACCAGGTGTCAGTGGCGGTGCTTGCGCATTAGTACCAACTTCAAAATCACTTGGCCGCTGTTGTGGGAACTCGCCCGCGAATCAACACTGAAGCTCACGGAAATCGTCTTCGTCGACCTCTGTGCTCCTGATCCAGCTTCGAACCTGGCACCGACTATACGACCTTATGATCGCCACGATCTCTCACCACAAAGCCCATCGATGACTGAATCAATAGTGCCTGACTATCTGCTGCAGCGCTCCTCGACTATCATCATGGATGTCTGGGGGTTCGGACCGGGCATTGGCTGGACATTGCACGCCGCAGAGATTTCCAAGTTCACAGGAGCAATGGAATGGGCCCTGGTGCGCAGCACGCACTTCCACGGAAGCCAATGCCCCCATGGCAGCAGCGTGAAGGATGGAGATAAAGAGGCAACGCCTGGCAAATGGTTGGTGTCAATTGATTAAGGTGTGAAGTCACAACGCTCGGAATACGAACACCGTTTGTTCGCGGGCGGAAAAGTGGAACCCAGTAACCCCAGACGTCGGGATCTTCCCTATTCCGTGACACAATTGACACGGTGATTGTATTACACGACGGCGCCAGTCAAACAGGACATCTATGCAGAGACGCGTCAGACGATTCGCATAGAACAACCTGCGGTTGAAAAGTAATGAACTTACGTGAACAGCTTCAGTGCCAGCTTGTCTTGATATTTATCACTACTACGATGAGATCCGCAGGCAGTATGTCTAAGCTTCAGAAACCAGCCTGCATCGTCCCTGATGACTTTCATGCCATCCCTGATGGCGCTATCGTGCGCCCAGTCGCGTGATGTGTCAACGGTGATAGAAGTGATGATATGTGGCGCTAGGCTCCCAGCTCAGTCATCATTGTCGAAGCCATCGAAGCCCTGAGAATGTGCTTGCAAACCAAGGCCAGTATGTCGTACTGGCCCAGCATGCGATATGTCGCAACCCGTGAAGAATCTGGAAGTTTCCCAGTGTGGTGGTGGTGCTGCCAATATGCTGCTGTGTCCGAAGGTTGGCGAGTGCTTGGCTTAGTAACGAAGCCGTTGCTGTGGCTCCAATCGTACCACGACGTATCAGCGCCGTAACTGTGCAAACTAACGAGACTGCGGGGATGTGGCACTACAACAGACAAGGGTCAGTGCCCTGATCCTATCGTGCTCGCGTCCATCGACCTCGGTCGCCGTTGATCTGAGCAAGGATGACTTGTGATACGCCCGCTGGACATGGCGCAAAAAAACATTGCCTTTCACTTTTCCAGAAGTATTCCGACTCGCGCGAAGATAATGTATGATAGTTGATATGAAATGGGACTGATATTGATCATGCCTCGAGCCCAGCGCGCTCTGATTCCGAGTTCCATACGTTACGCCCGTACTTCTTGATGATCTGCTTCTTTGCGGTCTCTCGCGCGTCGCTATCGAGCACAGATAACGGTTCCTCGGTATCAGCCCAAAACACTGTGATCTCCGGCTGGCCATTGACCATTCTCACTCGGATGCGTGAGACCATATATGCCCCAATGTTCGTCGCATCAACACAGATCCCAGAACCGCCACTGTGTTGACACAGTGGCGGATAGTCTCCTTGCAGATGCTTCTCGAGCTCCTGCCACGTCCCATTTAGGGGGAAGGCTGAGATGGGGACCACAGACTCCTCCCAGGTGACATGAACCACTATATGGCCAGTGTCAGGGTCCTTTTGACAGCGAAACTTCTTAACAGTGTAGCTCTGATCGCGAGGCACCATGACTGGGCGTTTGAAAGGATTCCGCCCTCTTTTGCGTCGTTGGGCGTCCGGAAGGGGTCCAGGGTCTTCCCGAGGCCGCTTGTGACGTTTCTCCGTGTTGCCGTTTAAACAAGTTGCTGAGGGGACCAAGGGAGGGCTGCCTAACAGGCGAGTCATGCTCGGATCTTCCGATGCTGGTTCGACTTTTGGGGTCTTGATCTCTCCAAGTCCTGCGTTGATTGGAAAACCTTCTGCTTCTCGCTTGATGTCGCAAGGCGTCTTCGATGGCAGCTGGCTCAAAGCTGTCTGTGTGCGTCCCTCTGTGTGTAATCGATCGCGGTTTCGGAGCTTGTCATCCCTTATCGAGAACGAAAGAGCAGGCTTGCTCGGGGAGGTTGATCTGTTCCGAGACCATCGCGCTCACGTTCTGCACTGGGATCGTCGTGGATGAGCTGGTCGATCGCGGGACGAGTCCCGTGGATGTGAGCTGTCTGGCCAGAAGCGTTTGGGCTGTTGCATTGCTGCCCATTGGAAGACTCCATCTTTCCGGCCGTATGCTGATGATGGCAAGAGGTGGTTGTTGGGAGTTCGAGTGAGTTCACAAGCGCTTTCGAAGTCTGCCGTGATCTTATTGAGTACGCGAGAACCAAAGTCTGCTTGGAGGAAGGATTGTCCGATGGTAATGAATGATGGAAGCAGAAGACTACAGAGAACTGTAGCGGTTGCTGAGAATTGGGGCCAGTGTAATATATAGACCAAGATCACTTGCGAGACCCTTCCACGCCGGTCTCCTGCGGTCTACCCACTCAAGGTGCAGTGCGGTACAGCCCCGGCTTCTCATCTAGGCGCTGCAAAATATGGGCTGGGCCGTGTGCATCTCCCGGTGCTTTGCCATTCAAGCTCGTGCTCGTCGGGTGTGAGGAGTCGTAGGTGCCTCGGCCCGACAGCCAAATCGTGATAGGGAGAAGTGGACGGAGGTTCGATGTTGGTGAGACTCGTCCAGAGGGAAGGTGCCTGTTCGTGGACCATGGAGATGATTCGCGTGCACATGAAGAGGCTGCCCAGGACTTAGGCTTAAGTTTCGCGAAGTATGTTGTGCTCGTTGATGCCAACCGCCTGGTGTGCGTCACTGAAATCTCGCGTCCAACTCATGTGAAGCCCACAGGTCTCCTCAGCCAGAAGTGGACCAACAAGTTAAGCTATGCTGAGGCTAAGAACTGCTCAGATCTTTTGCGCTGCTTGTCGCCTGTGTCGCGACGCGGAGAGCATGAAGCGAGGATAGGCAGGAGAGCTTCCTGGGAGACGACCTTCAAGATGCATGTGCCTTGACGTGCTTTCGTCTTCCAGCAGTCTAACGTACGTACCACAAGACACGCACTGTTACTTGATACCGCTGGTACCTGGTATATTGTGCCTTACAGCTAGCTTTATTGTTGCCTTGTGAATTGTCTTCCTATGGTGTGTGACATGGTCCCTTATCTAGCATCGTCCGCCACGTATTCTATCATCACTGATGAAAGCGGAGGATGTAATGCCTCGCTAGCGCATACTGCTGACGGTGAAAGCCTTGCTGTCTCTTCCTGACGTCATCTGAACCGAGCCAAGATCGAGCACGTAAAGTCTGACTGCGACGCCTTCTCCTCCAGGCACCTTGAGATGATCCCAACGGGGTCTGGCGTTTGGGTCGCCTCGGGGTTCTAGCAAGACCGGCAGCGGGTCCTACTTCGGTTGACTGCTGGTCGCTACCCATCCAGAATCCATGGTGGGCTGTCAAGCAGCAGTGATAGATGAAAAGCCTGTCTTTCATTCGTGGCCGGAAGTGCGCTCTGCCTGCGCTCCGGTGGGAGACACAGAAAGTACTCGTTAATAGTGTCGAGCCAATTGAAACCTGCGAATAGAGCGGCTGCTGCGCCCATATTATGCGAGGTGATTCGCTGCCGAGTGGCAAGAACCTGGGCTACCTTGGCGGAGGAGCACTATTCTCAATAAGGAAACAATGATGATGCAATAGACCAGTCACAACTTTCCTTCCTAATTGGGAAGATCCAACGACTTCAAACTGGAGCAGGGGTAGCTCGCTCCAGCTTCCGAGGAATGCCCTTCGCAGCTCCACAGGCGAGCCCCGCCTATGCGACGGCGAAAGCTTCTGGAGCCAGCCATTCCCGGCTCTACTCGGCTCTACTCCGAGAGCCGGATTTGGCTCAGTTGAAGGCCAGAAGCCCCTGCTTGGCATCCCAACTCGTGGGGTATCAACCTGGCGGACACGGTGAATCTGGTTTGGCGCTATTTCGGCGCAACAAAGCATTATCAATACGGTGTGCACAGGGCTTCTACTTTCTTCACTCTCCATACTGTAACTATTGATGCTTGATGGTACAAGCTTCCTAGCGTTACACCTGGGCCCGAGGTAGTTTCGTGTGACGCCTACGTCTAAAGCAATCCATTGCACTGCCCGAGATACCAAGGAGATGCGACAGACATCATACGTGAGTCCTTTCAGTGGGTTACAGCAGTCTTATCACAAGAGAGTTGGCTAAATGGTTGTCCTCTGTGCAGAGGTTCGTTCGCAGGATTCCTGGGTCGTCAACGATGACCGACCCGGCCACTTTCCGGACCCTGACGAAGTCGACCTCGATGACTATCTTACTGGATCGTATGCGCAATACGACGCAGCACATGGTCCCGGCCACTCTTCACGACCGTCCTTGGGCCAGCGCGCACAAACGAGAAATCCTGGTGACGGTAGGGACTTTATCAGGTCCGGGAACTACAGTGAGCGGACAGGAGGCGCTAGGGGGTTTGGCCGTGCTGACCATCTCTGGCAAGACCTCGACTCTCGTCACATTCCAAATAGCATGTTATCAGGACCAGCCTCGACAAGACCAATCAACTTCAGCAACCTCATAACGTTGGGAACTGGTCGTGCCAGACACGAGCCCGGCTCGCCGGCTACAGAAGACAACGAGTCACAACTAGCATCATGGACACACTTCGCCGGACGTCCGTTCAATCATGATGCCTATACTGACGGGCACGTCGTTCCCGACATTGGAGCACAGGACTTCCGTCTGGATTTCGTGCCAGACTTCAACCAGCGAACTACCAACCTGCAACTGAACAGCGTGCTTAATCATCAGAGCTCCGATCAGAATCGATCCCCCGCTATAGAGTCCATCGCCCGCATCTTAACAATTGGCACGCCCAAATTCCGACGCGGCAGCGATGGCATCTGTGAAGCCGATACAGCCGCTGCTAAAAAGGCCGCTCGACGGCGCGTCGCTGGATCCAGAGTACAGTAACGAGTGCACAATCTGTATAGAAAACATGAAAGCTGGTGACATGGCAACGTTTCTGCCTTGTGATCACTGGTTTCACGACGAGTGTATCTTGCCGTGGCTTGCCGAGCAGCGGACGTGTCCAATCTGCCGAAGCCCCATTTAAGAACGAGCCATTCAGTGCCACAGTGTCGGGCGCCCTTGCAAAGAGCTCTGCGCACCGCTCTGCGTTCCGCAGGACTTCTCCGGGTCTAGCATGTCCAGCACTACTAGATTAGATCTTAGACATACATGAGCGAAGGACTGCGAGTCACCGCTTCTCCGAATACACTCAACAACTTGCAGGTTCATTTGTTAGCTACTTGATCCAGTCAACGTTGATCATATCTACACTAGATCACAGCTCGAATTGGTGAGTGTTTATCCATGAAATGACTTCTCAACTCTTCTTCATCCCCCCAAATGTCTTCGCATCCAGCAAACAAGCAGACCAAACCATAGGCGGCAGTGGCTGGTTCGTCGATTGTCATATCTGTGGGTTCTTGAGCAGTTATGCTGATTTGCTCACAAGTGTTTGTCTCTGCCCAGCCTCTTCTGTGTGTCAGATCCATTTCATGTGCTTGTGCAGAAGTGAGATGTACACCAGCAGACTGCGAAACCCCAATTTCTCGACTGGTGGTCATGGTGCTTGAATTAGCTGCGATTGCCTGGGTTCTCTCACAAAACCCTTTAGAACCATCACGCTGCGCATAATGGTTATAATCGTGAAGCTCAGTCGTCGAAAGTCTCAGGCAGCAACTGCAGACCATGTCATGGATCGTATAGCTCCTCTTCGTTCGCCGAGATCGACTTTTCTCGCATGTCTTGACGTCTTTCTCTCTAAGCTTGTACTGGCAGGGACTTCTGGTGAACGCCAATGATGTTGGCTCCGTCGAAGGTGCTCGGCTAGGACAACACACGTTTGAGCCATTGCACTGACAGTTGTCTTAGTAACTAGACACTTAGTTTGGTAATAGAGCACACTAACCTTAACTTTGCGGGCATGACAAGTGCAGCATGCGCTGAGCCGCTTTCCACTCGATGTGGACGTTTTTCGTAAGCAGGTCATGGCTGAGTAGAAACCAGCTGCCGGGAAGAATCGTTGAGAACGCTAACGCGTACCGCAGGGCCGAAGCGGTACTAGGTACCTTATGGGATTGGAAGATGAAGTGAGGGAAGTGTGGTAATGAGCTTCTGTGTTGCAGAATATCAATGTACGCACTGTTGAGCACCAAGCCAAATCTTTGGACTACCTGTCATGGTGTCAGTGCCATCTTCGATCAACCTCTACTGAGGGGCATTTATCCTTATTATATTGAGCACGGCGAGCTTTGTAGACTTTATGAGCAGTGCCCTACTAAATTGCCTTCACATGTGGAGACTACAATGTTTGCCCTCATGTACATCGTAGCAATATGTCATGCAGCGCCTGACAAGCATGTTCCCGCAAAGACTGCGAATGCAGGGGCGAGGTCCAGCAAACAACCCAAAAAAACAAAGCAAACACAGACAGCGGTGACATTGGTGGTACTTCCACAGTGGTGCTGATGCGATTGATATCGAGCGTGACCTGCCGGATGAGTGCCGCGCTCTGTTTGCTATGGATAGGTCTGAAGTTGATTCTTCGGCATGCTCACTTGTGTATTGTATTGTGCATGTCTACTCATGATCGTGTGCTCCCGCTAGGCACCACTGAAAGCTGCAGACGTGGCATGACCTGAGGAGTGGCCGACAGCCGAGAAACCTTGTTGATCTTAGTCTCATGTACTACTGTGTGTTTGCAGTTTGTGATACATCATACAGCAACATGAGCACCTTCCTCGTATGACAGGAGCCGTCAAATACATGGCGGCCTACATGAGCAGCAGCAACATGTTACGCATCATGCTTCACACTAACAAGGCGGTGCTTCGGAATGACTGGACGAACTAGGTTCGAAGCCTAAGGCTGATGCACGACCAAGATCCTGATAGTGGTGCCCAACTTCCAACATCGGTATTGCGCGAAAGCCAATGGCCGGAGGCCCTCGTGATTGGTGTCAAGATTTGGCTTGGCGGCATGCGCGACGCCGCGTTGTGCATTTAAGCTGCCACAGCGGTGCGTTGCGCGTGCATGCATTCCTGGGATTTCTTGATGCATATTTGTGCAACGCACAGACCAGCACAAAGTTGCGTGCTGCGACCAGCCTTGGTGATCGGGGAGACGGAACAGGGAGAAGTACCTAGGCTTGGTAGTGCGGCAAGGGCCAGAGTACTTGGCACGGCTTCACGGCGGTGCGGAGCCCGTTGTCCCTAGGGCTCGTGGCGGACCTGTGGATGAGCGTACGCTAGTCTCCTTCTGACTGGAAGCAAAACCACACACTGAATCAAGAAGTGGAACTCACCATTCGTCCTGTGATCCAGAAGCCACGAACACCTATTGAGCAAGTAGCTCGGAACCGTTCAGCCGTAGCGATATTGAAACAGGCCCTCCTTCGTCCATGACCACAACTCCTACCATCACCTGATTACCACCAATCGCGATCGACAACACTATCAACGGCCACTGCGGCATCCCATCAGCAACAGACCTCTCAACCTTGCTGGCTCGAGTTTCGGGTGGAAGCCGCAAGTTTGCGACAACGTGCCACCCGAAGACGCCCTGTCATATCTTCAACTCCACGGAGCCAAATTTCCACGAAGTGACAGCGGCATCGGAACCCATTTTTCAGATGACACAGCGTCAACACCAGGACCATCGCGAGGGTAAGTCTCTGCTCCAATTGCAAGACCGCAAGCCGCACCATCACTTGTCGCATCACCATTGTACAATTTGACCATCTCGGTTCCGTCATCAACGACTTCTCAGCGCTCTCGCAAGAGTATCAGCCCGCGCAAACGAGCCTTAGCTTTGCTCCAGACTGATGCCCAGCCTATTGTCTCGCACTCGATGCGCAACATTTGAAAGAACACTGAATGACGATAACATTCAAGACTTGACGAGAAGGCCAGAACCAGCGAGTAGACTCATTGACGTGACTTTGAAGTACTCAATCACGGCTTCGGAGCCTGCTGGTTGACCTCGCCTGGCCCTAAACGTGAGAGAAAGTATGGTGAACTAAGGGTCATCGTGCTTCAAGTATTTCTGGGTGGGGGGGGGGGGGGGGGGGCCGCGTGTCAGCTTTGATGAATCGCATCGTATTGTGATGATCAGAGGCGTTACAGCGAGACGAGCTAGAAAGTGGGATTCTGTGCTAGACTATTTTGGCAGTCTGCGTTGGCACCGTATCTGACTGACGCTGGACCAGGCAGCAGTACTTGCAAAGTTTCAAAGCTGGCCTCGGCTAGGAGATCGCAATCACTAGATCAACCATGTCGAGATCCTTTATCGGGTCCATACTTGCAACCGAAATATCCGATATAGAGCTCAAACAGAATAATTGAGGTAATACCTATAGCAGAGCACAAGCCATGTGCTATAGTAAATAGACATGTATCTTGCACAGTTAAGATCCTGATACCAACTGGACCTAGCTAAAACTCCCTGAGGAGTACACGGAAACTTAAATACTCTCCTGAGCACTTTACCCCTAGGAACTGGATAAAATCCCTGCCATCCCATTCAGCCAAGCAGTCTTGATCGGTTGTAACCCATTTCTGGCGTATGATGACCAGGAATGAGTCTTGATCTCTCCTCTCTATGGCTAGCTCAGCCACCAGTTGCCAGAAAAGCGGTTGTGTGCTTAAAGACTTTACAAGCCTTGAGAGCTGCTGAGCAGGAACCCATTGGTCTAGGGCTTCTTCTCGTGAAACGAAGAGAACATCAAGTTTGGGCCTGTCAGCCATAAGCTGCAGTAGTGGCAGAAGTTGATGAGTTTCTCCGAGGGAGTCGAAGTTCGTGATCTGAAGCTGTAGCTCACTGACGAATTCACAGCGCTGGTACATGGGAACGGCGCTTATTTCGACCCGGTGGTTTGTGTGTCTGAGTATAGGGAGGAACTCCGCGCGATAAAATCTGGAGACCCCCAGCAAAGTAAAAAGACCTTTCGACGGATCTTCTGTGCTGTTGCCGACCCATTTTAGACAGATCGCCATTCCACTACTCGGTAACAAGCAGTCGTAGATCATGTATCGAACCTCTATGCCTGTATTAGTAAGTGAGAAACGTTACACAGATTCGGTCTCTTACCGGGAGGAAGAGCCCACAGAAAAATTCGTCGCTGAGCTGTAATTTCCCGACTAGTTATGGGTGCTGCCATTATGAAGGCTGATTTAGAGACTAAGAATCCCAAGAATAGCAAAAGCTTGAAAGGACCATGTTGTAGTGCCGATAATTTTCAAGCGGGAGACTTGTATCGTAATGGACGGGAAGAGAGTGTTCCCTTATATACATGGACAGAAAGCTTGGCAATACATCTAGTGGTAGTTATCCTCTTCCTGCGTGCGTTCGTATATTAACCCGAATCCTCGCTCATTCGCCCCCGAACCCGCTTGGAGGAAGATTTCGTGATCTGGAAGATGCGCCGGGCACACCATGCACTTTCACGCCCAGAGCATCAAGTTTATCGGCACCCTGGGCCCATGTTATCCTTCAATTCTAAATCACACCGGGGTGTGAAGCAGTGGTATTGGTCTTCTGTAAGCTCGTCGATCGTCAGACAGAGTACCCGAAAACAGTTTGCAAACATGCGACTACGAGCATCATTATGACACTCGATCCTAGCGTCATCAGAGCTTTGAGTGATCCCAACTTGACCACGGAAAAAGCGTTTTCCGACACAATGACATCCCGGTGATCGAGACTCCCTGAAAGCTTACGAAGCCTTTGCTGCTGTGATGAAAGTTATGACCAACTTCGGATGCCGTTCAGCACTTTTTAAGCGGGCTGGATGTTGAGGACTGATCAGGGAGTGTAAGCCCAAGAATATACTTCGATACGACATGCTTCGGCCTAGATCTCATAGGCAGCACCTACAGGCATGCTCGAAAGGAACACTTTCACTCATGGATAACACCACGTCCAGCGCTACACCACATGTGATAGTAGGACCAATATACTTCCTTCACAACCACATATACGATATTTCACGTTAATCATATTTTATTGAGACACGGCTCTTACGCAGTATACTAGAGAAGACGTTCGTTACTAAACCGTGCCATCTGCAAGTCTTTAGACCAATTGTGTCAGGCATGGCCACTTCGCGGACCCAACCGCTAAAATCTGATACCGCGCGGCAAGAAAAGGCTACAGCGACACGGGCCTACCGATGCCGCTTGATAGCCGCCCTCTGAGAAAGGATCCGTGCACGTTGCGACGCAATGAAGGCGTGTAACGAGATAAAAATGATTGCATGCCCCCATCCACGTACAGTGCCGATGATCTCCCAAGATCCGGGTGCGTCGTGAGGCGACCCGATGTGCAGCCAATAGCACAAGGCCCCGAAGTAGTGCTAGACAGCGTGAGCGCCTAATGCGATTGGTCGCTTTAATAGTCGCGCGTTTTGCACTAGAATGTGACACACGGGGCATGGGTGTAGGCGAATGGGACTGGACTTGTGAAGTAGCTGTGATTGGTGTCTCGCGAACATCACGCTGCAGCCTGCATTTCCTGGCCGTCCTGGTCATCACCAGCACGCCATTTACCGAACAGTACCACCACCTCCCCTTTAATGGAGAGCTGGGTGAGACGCTCGCATTAGCCGATCACAGATCTTGTCATTATGCTGCCAAAGGCTGAGAAATTCTAGAATTAAAAAGATTTCAACAGAATATATCACAGTGCCGGCATTTTGCAATCAGATGACTGCTTTGCGAACGAGGCAGACTCGGCGTAGATGTACACGCCGTTATCGGTCTTGATCTTCGAAACGTTGGTGGGCTTCTTGGTACCCAACTCCTTCTGGTCCGACGCAGTCTCTCGCTCGGGCGCTAGGGTCTCTTGCGACGCCGAGAGATCGATAATGGCGTAGAGCTGGTCGGTCAAGGGGGTTAACGAACCCGTCTGGTCGGACACCTCTACGGTCTCGATGACGCCGGGAGCTGGCGCTGGCTCCGGGGAGCTCGGCGTGGCAGTGGCCAGCGCGGTAACATGTTTTCTATGCTATGAATTTACCTCCCGCCATCCTCTTGCTATCGGGGTGTCCGTGAGTCACTCAAAACCATACCCATCATGGATGCCTGCTCCTTGCTCATTCGCCGTCCGAAAAACGCTCAAGACTCTGTTGTAGGAATTCGTCAGATACCCGGAACAAACGATTACACGTGATCTAGAGACTCGAATAACAACGAGATGACCTATCAACTCGTATCCCTCCGCGGGGCGCTCGCTGACGACGACTGGGACGTCTGTCACAGATTCCTTTGTCGCAGAGTTGCCAGGTCCTCGCAGGGCGACGAACAAGCAGAGCCAATATGTGACTAGAAGTCCTAGCAGGGAGCGCTTTGGCTAAATGGTCATATAAAGATCCCCATAATTACAACGATGTCCAAGATCCGTCACTTTCATTTGTTTAGAACGATCAGTGATATGCCCTAAGCCTGGAAATCAGAGGACCGTACTAGATCGGTGTGCAGCAAAGCCTGCCGTGAGCGCGTGAGGTGGCTGTCAAGGATATTCGCCCGTCTATCATTGTGAGCGTGTGTGCAAATGACAGGGTTTCAATCAACTGAGCACCCTTGATGTCCGTTTCTTTTTACAGCGAATCATAAGCCGATTTGTCCTTTATGAAAAAGGAGTCTTAGAGCTCTCATGGTTCAACTCTGAGATATCCCTGCAGATTCGCGAACATCGATCTTTCCAAGACCTGACAGCTCCTTGGTATCCTTTCCTATATGACAGTACAGTGGTGACCATCCGCTTTTCGAAATTAGTTACTATTACCGCACGGACCACCTGGTTGTGGCACACTGGAATGCATACTGTGGCACAGACCCACAACGAGCACCTGTCAATTGACTCATGGTGGGGTACTTTTGCAGTAGTGGCTTCACTCTCTCCTCAGTAATCAAGTAAGCCCGGTATGATCCCTAAATTGTGGCACACTAGGGACGACTGTGTGCGTACATCATCGGCCACAAAGGCTATTCAACTGACAAGAAAGCAGCAATTCCACCAGCGGCTCGTGACGTTGAATTGAAATCATGAGCAAATGCGGTACATAATATGATATCCTGCTGACTTTTCTACTTCCCATGAAAACCTAGGACCCGCTTCAATTTGTCTCGTCGTCTCGTCTTCGACGCATTGGGTTGTGTTGAATCTGCCGAATGTTGGTCATCATTCGAAGACGTCCCAGCTTCAAAGGCCACATTCGTAAGCTCGAGAGTCTGTCGCGCTGATTGGACAGCCGGATGCGATGGCCCGAGAAGCTTCTCAAGAGCATCGTGAGCACGTTGATAATATTGCCGGGCTTCGCTCACACGGTTCTGTTCTGAGCGTAAAGATCCCAGGTTCGAAAGGGTGTTAACCGCTGGTCGGTATGTCGTGACATTTTCCGATCCTACGGCTTCTCGTATCCATCGAGCGCCCGTAGGTACAGCTTCTCGGCCTCGTCCAGCTTCCCCTGATCGGAGTAAAGGATCCCAAGGTTGTTCACTGTGTCGAGTGTCGATGTATGCTCTGGTCCAAGTACCTTCTCTTTCCCATGAAGCGCCCGTAAGTACATCTTCTCGGCCTCGCCCAGCTTCCCCAGGTCGGCGAAAAGATTACCCAGAGAATGGAAAGCCCAGTCTAGAGGAAAGTTGCTCTCCTGTACTGTTGAACAAGACCGGATCGCATGCGGCAGCAGTCGCTTCTGAAGCAGCCAATATTCAGCTTCTTCGTTTGATGGAACCTGCGATGCCACGCTCTCAACTGCAAGCTTGTTTAAGCAGCCGTCCCACTCCTCGTTCAAAACATGACTCGTCCAAGAATGCAGACAACCATGTATACTATATCCCTGTGGCTCCTGGAACATAGCTGTAGGTTCGACAAGGCCGTAGTCGTGGAGTACGCCCATCGCGTCGTTGAAGTCGAGCTCTTCTGAAAGCTGCTCCATCCATGCAGGACCGGTCTCGCTTCTCGCCCGAAGAAGACCGAACCATATGTCTTCGTTGTTGAAGTAGGCCCACCAACGGAGCAGATGAGCCGCAAGTGGGTTCTGTGCCTGAACCTGCTTATATGACAACTGCCATGTTGAACTTAATGTACGATCTGCATAGGATCCGAGATGCAGGTCCCCGGTAACTCTTGCCCAAGATGCCTGGTAGTAGCGAAGATAGTCGCATATGCTGACCCGGACGCGCTTCAAATATGCTCCGGCCGTAGCTAGAGCGAGAGGAAGCCCGTCCAGCACTCGTACAAGTTCTTGTGCATCACCATCTGGAACACCATTAGTCGTCGAATATGAACTGCCTCGAGACACTTACCATCTTGTAAGTCGTTTCGGCCTGATGCCTTCGACAGTATTTGCATGCTTTCGTCTTCGGATTTGAGTTTCTCGACTCGGATGTGATCACCCATGTCGATTTGCGACAGCCGTGTTGTGATCACTACTGAGCCCTGATCTGCCATTGGGAGAAACTGGTGTATGTCGACCGCGGCCTCGGTTTTCCGTCCTGGGAGCTTTGGATTGTCGTAGTTATCATACACAATGAGCCATCTGGTGTTGCCGAGCAAGCTGAGCCACGCTTTCACGGCCTGCACAAGCTTGCCGTGGTCTTGCTGCAGGTTCAGTCCCTTGAGGCTGCCGACGTCGGCATGCTGTTCGAGGATCTGCGATGCGATCCTAGCAAAGCTCTGCTGAATGGATGCTTCGTCCTTGACATTGAGCCAGAAGATGGCCGAGTACTCGTCCCGATATCGACTGATATAAGTCGCAGCGAGCTGTGTCTTGCCGATGCCGCCTAGACCGTGGAGTACGACAATGCGACGGCTCCCATCCGAGCACAGCATCCTCCGCATCTCGGCTACTTCTGCATCTCTTGCCACAAAATGTGGAGTCTCGGGAATGCCAGAACGACTGAAGCTGATTAAAAAGTTGTGGTGAGCGCCTAAGTGCGTTAGTCAAGATGAATCCTCTTTCGCTGAGCTGTATCTTACCTTTCACTGATTTCTGGACCTCTTCTCGCAATCTCTTCTGTGCGTTTTCGCGACCCTCGCCATAGATGAGTGGCATGTGGACGCCAAATATTCCAAGCAGCGAGTACGCCATGTCTTCCTCATACTTCGTTTTCCGATTGCGTGCCCAAGCCTCGCGTTCGGAAGTCGTAAAGTCGGATAATGGTGTACCCCGTAGCGCCTTTGCAGGGACACCTGTGACGTCGCGTACGGCAGCCTCCAGCGACCTCTTGTCGCCCAAGAAAACACCTTCCTTTGAGTAAAACTCGACAATCTGTGGGGCTATGAGCTCTTGAAGTGTCCAGCCGCGCGTAAACCACCGACTACCTCGAAAAGCGGCATCCCACAATGCCACACCTGGCTGCTGACTGGACGTCGCAGAACAGGAGTCAGACAAGAAACGTCGGAGAGGAACACGTAGCATCGCTGCGCGCCACGGTACCACTTGAACATGCTATTGATTGCAGTTTGGAGTTCGATGGCGTCTGATTTGTCGATACAACAAGAGTCTACCCAGAAATGCTGCAGGCCATGTCGCTGGGCCTGGTCGGCGCAGAACTTGGTCTTCGCGTAGCCGTCTTTCTTGTGCCAGTCGTTTGGAGTCGTTTTGACATCGTTGTAGATGACTTCGTCGGTGCCCCAGGTATGGGAAAGAATTGCATAGGGGGGTATGCCATCAGCGCGCAGATCGGCGGTGAGGGTGTAGTTGCTGGCGTTGCCTCGTTGCAGGAGCCGCATTGTAGAGTAATAACCGATGGGATTAAAGGTTCCTGTTCAGAGTAGAGGACCCGGACGCCGAACATCACGCGTGATAGTTAAACGGGATGCAGAATGCAACATGATCACAGTAAGATGTTGGGCGGCCTCAGCTCTTGCGTCAGCCCGAAAGTGCGGGGTAAGGAGGGGTTTCGATATGACATTTACATGGCAAGGCAGACTCGTTACTCGCTTGTACAACGTAGGAGCTCAGAGTCAGTGCGTCAAACGTACATGCGGCTTCTCCTGATTGCAAAGGTTTGGCTTCCCCGCGTAAGGAGAGGCTGGCCATGATGCGAAGTTTTGGTCGTACGCCACAACATGAAAGCGGTAGTGTATGTGCATGTAGAATATATGATCGCATTGAAGTTGTCCCACATACAGTGAACAGATGCGAAGAGGTCTTTGTTCTTTGCATTATGTCGAAAGCGTCATAATCTGCCGTCGCTCTGCGATAGGCAAGGCGAAGATTGCTCGACGATCGGCCAGAGTCACCACTACAGATACAGTACAGTACAAGCTGCACGACGAACAAACAATCCTTCGTTAGTGCCAGCCGCTGCACGTGACGGTGCAATCCACTTTTGGAGCTACTGGCTATGGGTGTCAGTACAGTGTGATGTACAGTACACAGATGTCACTGGTTCGTGCGGAGTTGTTCTATGATGCCAGAGTAGCGGACACAGTTCGCGGTCACTACTGTAAGGCAAAGTTTAGCCAACTATTCGCGATGGTCTCCATTGCAAATGGGGTGACGAAAAAACAGTCCACTGCTGCATTTCGTGCTGCAATCCACTTTTGGAGGGTACTTCATCTCGGACAGCCTGCACAGTGTAAGCCAAAATGTGCCATAGTCGCAAGGCCCGTGCGGGAACATCAACTAAAGTCTGGAAAGCGGATACAGTCGGATTCGAAATCGGTGTCCGTGTTGGTCATGCCAAAATAGTTCTGCGCATGGACCCTCTGATCTTGGCATTCCACCTTAAACGGCGGAGAAAGGGAGACCCTTTGGGAAGGTGGGGTAAACGACAGCCAAATCGTGCTCCGTAATCAGTACAGCCTGATTCGAAATCGGTGTCCACCTTCCCCGAAGCAGAGATTCTATGCGCACGGACCATCCAGTCTTGGCAGCATCCGGTACAGGAGTGGACAAATGTGACGCACAGGTGGGGACATCTTAGACAGCCGGTTTGTGCTCCAACGTCATTTGTGGCCTAGTTTGGAGTCTTCATGTATTGCATTAACGAGTTGACTACAAAATCGGGTCATGCAAACAAACCTTCCGGCACTTGTTACGAATTGAACAAATCTCCCTCCTCGGGTTCTACAGCGGAGGTCAAAGTTGGTGTCCGCTTCCCACACCTTTTGACTTTTCCAAGACAATAGGGTATGGGTGACGACACAGTGCTAGCTGTTGTGGGGCTTGCGCCTCTGAAGTAGAGGTCTTTGCCCCTTCGAGGCTTTGCGCCTCTTGAAGGGTCGACGACTGACTGATGACTGTTGCCAAGACCCAGGAGTGAAAACTGCTTTGCCGGAAATCTGCCAGCCCACAAAGCGAGTATATTTGGGCAGAGCGAAATAGCAATCACGGTTCACGGGCTACTCGGGACTCTGGGGTGCCTAGGTCAGTGAAAGCTGATAGAGTGTAGCTCATCATTGACCGGCTGGAATCAAGTGCAGAAGACTGAATTATCTGGCCACTACGTATACGACGCCTACAGGCAATGATGATGCTCCAGGAGCTGCACAGGCACAAGCGTTGTCTCAAAATGATTCCATGATCGAGAACGAGAATGAGGCAGATTGAGAAATATACCCGTCGTTTTGAACGAGACGTCGACCAAATATTCTTCAGCGTCCAAGTAACATGTTCAGACGCAATATGTGTCATTCCAGAAGAGGAATTGTCACCCGTCAAAGTCCGGTACCACTGTCCCATTGCCTGTCACTGATAGCTTCTCGACATCTGGTGGCTACTGAAGACGGCCAACTGAAGTTCCGTGACAGCACGTTCATCTTGTGCAGCCAGATCAATATCTCCCCTGCAAGTCAGCATTTTGACTACCGAATCTTGTCCTTACGCAGCCGCTGAGAAGAGCGTTTCCTAAATACCGGAGGCCGTGGCGGCACCAATATCCAGAAGCACCTCCACAACAGCTCCATGGCCTTTTCTGGTCGCCCATGAAAGCAGCATTCGACCGTTGATGTCGACAGAGCTGAATTCGATTCGGCCTGTATGGATAAGGAGCTTGACAACTGCGTGATAACCATGAGCGTCAGTCCAAGAAAGGAGCATCCGGCCAAATTTATCTTAATTATCGACATTGACCTGGTCCATGCCGCAAGGGAGCTTGGCATCCTGGGGATAACCATGCTCGTCAGGCAAGGATAGGGGTGTTTGACCAAAGTCGTCGTCCTTGACGTTGACGTCCGCCCCGTTGGCCAAGAGAAGCTTGACAATGTCGTCGTGGCCTCCATCTGAGGCAGCCTGCAGAGCGTTGCCGTAGTGGCCACCCTGCGCGTTGACGTCCGCCCCCTTCTCTAGGAGCAGCTTGACAGTGTCGGCGTGGCCTCCAGCTGAGGCAGCCTGTAGAGCGTTGCCGTAGTAGCCACCGGGCGCTTGAATATCTGCCCCCTGCTCCAGGAGCGACGTCGCAGTTCCGGATAGACCCCCAAAGCAAGCGTAGTACAAACGCGATCCTTTTGGAGGTCCAGGATTATCATCCCAATATGTATCCTGCTGGTATAGCCGGCACCATCTCTGAAAGGTCGCCTCCCCTTGAAGGAATCTTACGCTCGCTTCCAACACACTCCCAGCGGTTTCGGCAGCAGCAGCAAAGCCAGTCCACACCTGTGCTGCGAATCGCGCCATCGGGAACTGCTGCCTGATCTCAGCGTCGCTGCCTTCGATGTCCGCGAGATATGCTAGGCAGGTCATCGCAATAGTGATGCTGGCACTCGGCAGCTTGATCTGCTGAATACCTAGTAGGTACTCCTTGACCGAAAAATGTGAGAGATGAAGCTCGTCGACGTCAGCGTGGACGATGACCACCAAACCTGGGCAGTACCTCAACACGTCAGTCTCGCGGAACAATCGACTCCTGACGTTAAAGCCGGCGATCTCCCCTTCGATCTGTGTTGCTAGTACTTCCACAGCCTCCGCCAGCCGAAGTGGCCGCTTAGAGTGCACCAAGAATTGTAGAAGACGAAGTGCGTCGTGTTTAAGCTCCGCCGGGATGACTTCAAGCATTCGCCCATATGTCTCGTTAAGGTCGTGCGCCAGGCTTGCAAGTGCTCGCTCCACCGCCGTCTCATGAAGACACTGCGCAAGGCTTTCCAACTGACAGAAAGCCCATCGGAACCTGTATTATGTCAGTATGTCAGGCCCAACCCGGGGATAAAATAGGCAGCTTACATGCCATCGGCCCCGTCCCCAACTTTGCTTTGGATCTGTTTGAGGAGGCCCTGCGACAGATACTTGCTTCGGAACTCGTGGCGTTCCACAAGCTGTGCTGCGACATAGGATCGAATGTCCCCGTCCACCGCGTGCTTATCTAATTTCAAGCAATTTCCCTCCCCCATCAGCTCGGGCATGCTGCATCGAAAGTCCGGTTCAGGACGACTGGTGCAGATCAGCTGAACGTGCCTCGATTCCAGTCTAGAAGCAATGTCCTTAATCCCGGAGACGAGTTCGCCCCTCGTGGTTGATTCGTCCAGGGCGTCTAGGATGATGACCACCCTTTCGTGGCTCGCGAGCATCTTGCAAACGACGTGCAGCAGCGTCTCCCTAGTCAGCTGGTTGCGGCCGTCGTGATGCGTCCCGTACAACGCGTCTAAATGCATTGCACACTTAGCCGTGGTCCGGTACAACTGGAAGGCAAGTGACCGCAGCATTCCGTCCACAGTCTGCTTCGAGGTGTCGCTGAACCATGGCACTACTTCCTTGTGTTCCAGGCTATCAATGCAATCATGTTGGCTTATAATATCTTCTGCCTCAAGAAAGCCCCGTGGACTCACAACATTGGCTGTACGTCGATCATTTCTAATACCTTGCTTAATTACGCTAATATCGACGACTGCGTGTGCCGTGCCAATTCCTTTTCTTGAATAAAGAGCTCCATGTGAGCAGTTTTGAATGCGAATTTGTTGCCGTCACAAACTGCAGCAATGTGTGCGTGGTCAGTTTGTGCCTGCAATCTAGAGGCTGGCTTTGAGGCTTACCACTTGGGTCCCTTTTCTCTTCGATCCAGGTTGATGCCTGCCTGCATTGCCACAGTCTGTCTGTGCCTGACGATGTACTCTTCCGTGCAATACCACGAAGGTGGAAGACTGGCGGGTTGTCAAGGAAGACGCAACCAAGGCTTTCCAGGGCTGTGTAGCTGTCAGTCGTTTGGAAATTGTCAATCTGCTTCGGGGCAGCCGCCTACCTCGGATACATTCCTCGGTCCTCAGGCGCTCTTCCTCAGCAAGCCAAGCTTGCCAAGCCCCTTCGTCGTCGATGTTGGTTGTCCTTGGCGCTGGAGAGGGCACGTCAAATCCCAACAGCGGGCCGCAAGACTGCTTCGTTTGTGCTGCAAGAGTACTTTGTCCATATGGGATGCTGAAAACATCCAGAGCACGTGTAGCAAGAACGTGCACTGTATTACAACTATCTCTGGCATTCGGCTGCCAAATGTCTGGGAGTAGTTAGTGATCAACATCTAGTGAGCTGTGGGACTTGCAACTGACAACAGTCTCAATGGCGCGGGCTAGTAAATCGCTCAGTGCTGTGCTGTACTCGGCTGCGGTAGCCAGTTCTGAATGCCGGCTGCCGACGGCCGCGGTAGCGAAGAGCAGCATCCAAGAGAGTTTTGGAGCTTCAAGCCTCGATGGATGAAGGAAAGGGAACTGCCATGCAAAGTACTCAAAGTAAAGCTCGACAAAGGCGTGCAGGGTGCGCGTCGGAATAGTGTTAGGCGGTTGGCCCAACTGCTGGCTCGCATAAAACCGGTGAAGGCCCTCCACTGCTTTTATAGGAATGTTTGATATGTGATCAAACATTTCTGTCTCGACCATTTGAGTTTCATCTGGTTGCGGCTTGGGAAACGAGGCACAAGGCTTTGTGTAGCCGCCGCAGATATTCTCAGGCTTGAGATGAAGTGAGGATGATGTTGGGGAACGCGTCTGGGGGGATGGTCTCTTGTCTGTGGCGGGTTCGACAAAATTGGGTGCCTCTGCTACCTGTCGAGCCAAAGACTCAAGACCTGGAGAGTACGTCATAGTTGGCATATCGAATGGCGACGGGACGTCGAATATAAAATCCAGGCCCTCCATGGGCCATGAGTAGGGGAAGCTGGCCATGGGAGGATTCCATGTTAGATTGTCGAGGTCACCGGTCACCGAGAACGCGTCAGTGGGCATTGGGTCTTGCAGCCATTGTGTATGATCCGGGGTCTGAGGATGATTATGCAAATCTTGAGCTAGGATGGACGGCACGGCGGCAAAATTCTGGATAGCCACGCCACTCGTGTGCTCGCTGAAACCTGGCCGTGTCGGAGAGACGACGACGTTAGCTGATGTCTCATCAAGGCTTGACTCGGGCTGCGAGGTCATGCGATCCGGCAATGAGCTGTATGTACATTGCGAGCGGCGAAGCACGCATCGCGAGCACGGCAAGCATGCTGTCTCGTAAAGTGGCCCGGCGGGGTCTCATGACTTCCCTTTCTGGCCTGCAAAGGGCTCTACACCTAGGGATATATATCATGCATTCGGGCGTCTTCAATGTGCTTTCTGGGGGTGGAAAATATCGAATGTGCACCCACGGCCTGCGCCATCACCTCGAAACTCGTCATTAATCACCTTTCCCCAGACATAGACATGGCACCACTCAAGGTTGCCATCGTCGGCGGCGGCATGGCAGGCGCTAATCTGGCCAATGGGCTAATAAACCAATCTTCCGATCTCGTCCAAGTAACCGTCTACGAACGCGCTGTCGAGAGTGACGCCCACGGAGGCTACCAAATCCGCCTGGGAGCGCTGGCTCTCGCTGGCTTTCGCGCCTGTCTGACACCGAAACAGTTCGGGGATCTCTTGCTGCTCTTTGGGCAGTCTAGTGGCGCCGCGCTATCTGCGCCCTGCATCTTCAATCCTTCCGACATGCGCGTCCTGGTCGACCTGAGCACGGCACCGACCTATGAGAAGAGCGCGCCAATCTCGCGCATCCGGCTCCGCGACTATCTGCAGGAGCCGCTCAAAGAAAAGGGCGTCATCAAGTATGGCATGAAGTGCACGAGGTACGAGATCCTCAAGGGCAGCAAGCCCGGGCGCAGTCATGTGCGCGTGCATTTTGCCGACGGCACGCATGACGACTCCGACATCCTCATTGCAGCCGAGGGCAGCGGTAGCAAGATCAACAAGCAGATTGGCCTAGATAATATTGTCGAACGGGCCCTCCCTGGCGGAGATCTACTACTCGGCAAATGCAACCTCTCGTGGGACGTCCTGCTCTCGCTGCCCAAGGGACTACTCGAAAAGGGCTCAATCTACACAAGCAACTCAGTGGGAACCATCTTTGCTGCAGCCTATCTCCCGCCGAGTCTCAGCACCCCCGAGCGGCGCGAGGCGGTCAGTGGGTCAGTCAGCGGCTGGGACAAGCCACTCCGATATGACGAGCAGCAGGCGTCGATGTACCTTATCGTCGGGTGGGCCACCGATGAACTCAGCAAGGATTTCGGTTCACAGCCCGACAAGAAAGCCTATTTGCGACAGAAATTGGCCGGAGCCGGCTTTCACCCGGAGTTCCACAAGCTCGTCGATACCGTCGACGAAGATGAGTTCGTCACAACACCATCTCGATCCTCCAAGCTCAACACGCGTGTGGACTGGAGGCGACGCCTTATAGCTAGCGGTGACCATGAGCTAGAAATTGCGAATCCTCGGGTGTGGCTGATCGGAGATTCGATCCATGTGATGCTCCCGTCCAGAGGCATGGGTGCCAACAACGCCCTGTGCGATACCGCCGACGCACTGCCGCCGCTTCTGCAACTGGCAGAACAGCATTCCTCTGCTGGTTTCATCACAGATGACGAGGTCTCTAGGCAGCTGGCCAAGTATGAGCAGGTCATGGTTCCAAGAGCCTTTGGATGGGTCAAGAAGAGTATGAATCAAAAGGTAAGTGTCAGTTTTCAGAGTGCCGGGCCCCGTCGAAAACCCCTCCAGCTAACACGGTAACAACAGCTACCCGACCTGGAAAGCACGAAGGGTAAGATGATTATCGTCGTGCTGCGAGTCGGCATATTCTTCCAGAACTTCATCATGGGGACTCTAAAGCTCATTGGCTGGCAGCAAAAGGACGATGCCCCCGAATTTGCTTAGGTTGGATCTGAAACAGGTTATTACACAGATAGCCACAGGGTTGAGTTTGTCTTCAAGCGGAACCAAATTGCGTCAACACATTAGACTGTCATTCAAATAGCTGTTTCCTTTTTCTTTCTGTAAGTTGGAGACCCCCCTGGCGACCACCCCCCATCACGACCAGGGGTCGCGTCGCGACGCGACTCAACACCCCACCATACATTTCTTCATATATAACCGTTGCCTCGCGTCGGGACGCGTCCATTCCACCACTATTCTGCTCCCCAGAAATGAGGCTATCACCATGGTGCCAAAACACTACAAAAAGCGCGCCCTGCGCGCTCTCAACGACGTTGAGGATGGCATGTCGGTCCAGGGCGCTGCAGAAAAGAACGACATCGACAGGTGCTACCTGCGTCGTCGGATCCTAGGCACGCCGACTGCCCTCCAGAGTTATCAGGTGCGGCAGACCCTCTCCGTCACACAAGAGGCTTATTTGGTCCGTTGGGCTCTTGATCAGGCGGCAATCGGCTATGCGGCGCCGTTAAAGCAATTTAAGCACTTCGCGATGCGTCTCCTCGCTCTGGAGGGCATGCCGCAGAAGCTCGGTCGACGATGGTACGAACGATTCCTCCGCCGCCACCCCGAGATCCGAACCTCTAAGTCACGACTTATCGAGTACAAACGGTATAACGGCGCCTGCAAGGCCAATATCGACATCTTCTTCGAGCGACTGACGTCATTGAACGCCAAAAAACTACGGCCCGAGAACATCTGGAACGTCGACGAGTGTGGAGTGGCGGAGGGCCTCGGTCACAATAGCTTTGTGGTCCCCGATGCCCTCCGCGACTTCACATTGAAAAAGGACGGCGCGCGGAGGACGTGGATAACGATAATTGAGGCTATCTCTGCCAGCGGCGCGTTCATCCCTCCACTGGTGATCTTCAAGGGCCAGTCTGTACAGCAACAGTGGTTTCCTGACGTCAACCTCACCAAGTGGCAGAAGTGGCATTTCGAGACATCTCCGAACGGTTGGACCAGCAATGACATTGCCTTGAAATGGCTCAAAGAGCTGTTTATTCCGCATACGAAGCCGGCAGACCCTGAGGAATGGCGATGCCTGATTCTAGATGGCCACAAGTCCCATTCAACCGTCGAATTTATGTCAGAATGCTTCACCAATAAGATCTGGCTGTTGTTCCTTCCGGCGCACACATCACATGTGCTTCAGCCACTAGATGTTGGGGTGTTCTCTGCGGTAAAGCACTGCTACCGCGAGTCGGTGGCAGAGGTTGCATGTGCTACTATGAATGAGACCCCAGGTAAGCGAGAGTTCCTTGAAGCATATCATCTTGCTCGCGAGAAAAAACTGAACAAGAAGAACATCACCGCAGGCTTCAAAGGCACCGGGGTGTGGCCGTAGAATAAGTTGAAACCTATGGGGTCCCGGTGGGTTGTACACCCTGAGGAGGATGTGCCTACGACCGCCCAAAATCGACCCAAAACAGCCATTTCCGAGCCCGATTTTTGGACGCCAATATGCGCAGTTGACGTCAAAACACCAAAAACATCTCGCGATGTGCATCAATTGCATATGGCGCTGATGCGCTGCGAAGGAGCGCTGGGGACGGCGACGTGCAGGAAGCTGTTCAACAAGGTGGCGAAGGCACTTGACACTTCAAACATTGTTACACCACCGCAGAGCATGAAAAAGGACGTCTGCAAGCTGCATTAGAGGCTACAAGGCCTACCAAGCGCCGCAAAGTCGATCTAGACCCCAATAAGGAGTTTATTACCATAGTTGAGGTCGAGCGCGCAAAGAGGCAGGTGCGGCGCGAGTTGGGCTCAGACGCCAGCACAGACGACGACAGCGACAGCAGCGATAGCGTCGTGGAGGTGATTGAAGGAGATAGCGACGTAGAGAGTTGCATAGAAGTGCAGGACAATTGATTTGAAGGCAATTGAACGAGTGGTTGTTGTTTTATTGCAGAGTGACTGTGAGGTTGACGATGCCTTCATGTGTAGCGGAGGTGGTGGTCGTGGAGGGGGGTGGTCGCCAGGGGGGTCTCCAACTTATATCTCCGGTTAAGCGCTTCGATTGAGTCCATTTAACTTATCTCTGGTGTTTTTGCCGGGATGAACAAATTAACCCGTGCTCAATTTGCTATGGTCCCTAGCACTCAGACCTGCAGTGCGTCTGACTGCCATCAGTCACTCGTTGTGGCTGGCATAAAATACATCACGACAGCTTCTGCTCCTCGAGCGCTTCAATGCCGCGTCTAGTCTCCTGCCGCTTCTCCCAGCGATTATGTAGCCAGTACCCCGTGGTAAGAAACGCCCAGCACCCAATGACAAAGAAGAAATTGACAATGTAGCCCTTCTTCCACTGTGGGGCTTCGATCTGGGGAAACACGAGAAGTGGGTAAAAGGAATTTACGGCGAACCCAAGAGTCTGTCGGTGAGACGTGTCAGTACACGCTTTGGAATGCAGAATGGAGCACTTACAATCATGCTGCCATTAAAGAAGGCGCGGGCTTCGGCAGAATCTTTGAGCCAAAGGTTGACTGTCGGCACGAGGATCGGCGTGACGCAAGCCGTTGTGCCAAAGAGATAGAAGCAGGCGAACTTGAGCGCATTCGGGATGAACCACACAATCATGCAGACGTTGGCGAACATCACAATCGCAATGACAACCTGGAAGATAGCCCAAGTCGGGTAGACCATGCACAGGCCCGTAGCAAGAAGTGTCGCGACAACGGAGACGCCTTGCGCGCCGGTGGGCAGGGTATTGATCTGCTGCACGGTGTAGGTTCCGTGCTTGGCGGTCTCGTCTTTGAGCCAGAGCGCCATTTGGCCGTGTGGGTAGGCGCCCGAGAGGAAGAGGATATAAGCCATGACGCCGACATACCAGTGCCAATGGCAGAAAACACGCCTGAGGAGGGCCTTGCCAATCTTCTTGGGCGCCTTGACGCCAGCCTCCCGCATGCGTAGGCGGCCGAGCTCAAGTTCTTTCTCGGTCATCCACCAGATCTTTTTGCTCGCAGGCATGCCGGGGAAGATGAAGAAGCCCAAGATCGAGAGGGGCAGGGAGATGCAGCCGTCGATGATGAAGAGCCATCTCCAGCCTGACATACCATGGATGCCGTTGAGGTTGGTATATGCAGCTGCTTGAAGGTAGCCGCCAAACATGACGCCGATGTTGTTTGATCTGAGACGAGGTCAGTGCTTGACCGGGCATTTCATGTGTTTGGGGGCCGTAATTACTTACACGTACCACAAGCCGGCACGCTTGAAGAGCTCCTCGGGTTTATACCAAGATGCGAGAATGAAGAGGCTCCCCGATGCAACTGGGGTCTCGAGGACGCCGAGCAGAAATCGTGTCCCATAGATCTGCGGGGCACTCTGAAGCCTTGACTGTGCAAAGGTCAAGCAACTCCACATGACCTCGCAGGTGGGCAAGAACCAGCGCGTGTACTGCGGTCTCGAGAGGAAGAGCATTGCCGGGATCTGTGTAATGACGTAGCCTATGTTGTAGAACATTGGGAACATGGAGTATCTGGATGCCGAGGTCAGTGATTCCGCGAGCGGCTAGAAGATGCTTGTGGTTTGGCTCACTCGTTGCCGTACAGTCTCAGCTCCTCCTTCATGCCAGACACATACGCCGAGTTGATGTTACTCTGGTCAAGCCATTTCAGGAAGAAGGCGATGCTCGTAAAAGTCAAAAGGTATGCGTCAATCTTGCGGAGGAACTTGCGTTCGTCCTCCGGATAGTGCGAGGGGTACCATTCGAAGATGTACATCCAGGCAATCCACAGTGACCTCTTTGGCGCCTCCTTGAGGTTGCGATTCGCCGGGAGATTTGTCTCGGGCTCATCCGGGGTAGTGGCGACATCGGCACCAGCGATTTGCTTTGCTGATGCCTGCTGGTGCTCGCGAGGCTGCTCGAGCCCAGTACTTGGGAGGGTAGTCATGGCTAGCGGAGGATGAGATCTGGCTCAGCTGGTTCGCGAGTCAGACAGAGCAGAATCCCGCAGATACGGCAGCTTCTTAAACTTCAAAAGCATGGTAAGATGCGAGCCCCTGTCAATAATATCACTTGGTACGTCGCATGGTTTTGCCTCCCCACACAGGAACAAGCCTGGGGTAAGCTGGGGTAGCTGTCGGAGTGTTCCGCTAGCTCGTTCATTGGAGAACGATGATTGGGTCGCGAGAGGGAGGAGCATCGGGCATCGGGCAAACTCATGTCCGGGAGGAGTTGGTAGAGACTTTGCCGGGGACCTAGCCCAGCAGAGTAATATTTACGGATTAGATTAGATTCGGCGGTCATCATCCTCCTTGCAGCGGGCATCGCGTCAATCCACGTCCGCTGTTCCTCTCATTGCCCCGTCAACTCTCGGTTCATCCGCCCGACGATGGACACGCTTCAGGCTCCGGCTTGCCAGGGTGACGGGGAGCTGGCCCCGAGCAGCAGCCAAGACATTCCGTCATGCCAGGGCTGTCGACTCCGCAAGCTGCGGTGCTCGCGTGAGCAGCCTGTCTGCACGCATTGCAGCCGCCTTTGTCAGCTGTGCAGAACTATCATTTTCTGCGGCAACGACTGACTTTGTCATCTCCACTAGGTGTCCCATGTGTGTACGAACTCAAGAAGAACAAGCCGGGGCTCAAGCTTGGTGCTGTAGAGGCCCTCAATCGACGGATGGGTGCGTCAGGTCATGATGCGATCGTGCTTGGTGATATTACACGCAATACTGACCTTGTAACAAGAGGCTCTCGAGCATGCCGTTCTTGAACTATCTCGAAACCAGTGCAATGGCTCACATGCTGCCGAGGCAGCCAGGTCACCGTCCGCACCATTACCCCAGCATCGCGTACGCACCACTGTAACTGCTTCCGCACAGCACGCGCAGCCGCCAGCCCTGGCCTCGCCCCGGAGAGACCTCGACCATGCCGTCGTTTCAGATGAAGCGGAACCTGGCATAGATCGGACGCGGAAACGCCGAAAGCTCGATAGTTGTGGCAACATAGCGATAGATGTATTCTGCCCACTCGAGCAGTTGAACAATGGCGTATCGTCGTTGCCACAACCAAGAGTGATGGAGAGCATCATCACGACATACTTTAGCCTGATCCAGCCCTGGATCCCAATTTTGCACGAGACCCGATTCCGCGCACAGCTGCACGACACAAAAAGGCAGCACGCACTAATTAACATCCTCCACGCCATGGTTGTCGCCACGGGCGAGAAGTAGATCCCCTATACCCACGACAACTGCCACAAGCAACGATACCGTTTCTTTCGATGTATATGAGCATCGCGAGGTCGTGGAGATTGTTTTCGAGACCTCAGTGGGATGGCTGATGAATCTGCCCTCGGAAGACCAGGGAGGCCTATATGCATGTGCCGTTGGGTCTTTGCTAGTTAGAATGGTCAAACACTGCCGGCGCCTCATTCGATTTCACAAGGAACGAAGCACGCAACGCCAGGTTAACAACAGCACAGTTACTGAATCACTATGCACTTCGGGCGACGGCATAGGCGGGTGCACGAATCCGACACCATTGACGACTGCCAGCATTGACATCATCGGTCCATTCGAACTACACAAGCGAGGCATGGCCCTGGAGGAGCATCATGGGCTCTATGGGGGACCGCTCGTGAGTATGTCCCCGAATTCCCTGATATTCTGTAACCCAATGCTTCGAAACGACAAGCCCGACTCCAAACATGCTGTAAAGCAGCGCTCCGGAGCATTCACAACGCAATCGCTGTGGACCATCAAGGCGAAGGACGCTGTCAGGCGTGGCCACGTTGTGCGAGGGGTCGCAGCTGAGCTCGGTAAATGGACGGCCATCTATCTACCTCCAGAGCCCATAGGACAACGTAAAAGCATGATTCAGGGGCACTGCAGCATTTAAAAGCGGCGCGCAAGCTAACCATTTACATGTCGGGAGACATGTAGGATCGACTTTTCTTCTGGATTTCTACTTCCGCTTTCTGTGCGTGGTGAGAGGGGGAAGCAAGCCGGAGTGCACTGATGCTGTCATCTTGCACTTTCTCGCGCTATTGTGCAAAGAGGATAATGAAAAAGAGTTCAGCAAAGATGTTCGGCGCCGTTCAGAAAGAGTATATGAAATACTCACGGAGGAATACGAGCCCACTTAAAAGAATGATGAACACAGGGGCGGGCAGCAGAACACCAACTTTCTTCTCTTGGCTATTCCTCTGTGAAGGATCCCTGAATGATTAGATTTTGCTTTGACCAAGTAGCAAAACGCCTATGATTTATGCAAAAAGGGTCTGGGTTCCGCTCTGGTGCATGTATTTCCGAGCGAAATTGAGTGTGCATCTGTGATCAGAACCTCGAGATCTGCGGCGGGGTGAGAATCACGATACTACGGGGTTGGCATGTCCACGGAGTAGATCGTGCCTCCACCGAGCACTGGGCAGTCCGTCCGTGGAAAAACCATACCGACATGGCTGGCAGTTCCTGCGTGCGGCCTGCATCCGCTGTACGTGCCCAGCCTCAAGAACCTGGTCTATGGCGGTTCGACATCAACAGGCGGACTCAGAATCAGTGATAGGCCTGCGCTAGCCTTCTGTATAATCTTGATCCGGCTGCAGTGGAGAAGTCACCATGCGTCAACTCCGCTTGAGGAGTACTAACATTGGAATCTCCTAATAATGTGGGTGGCGTTCCATCCTTGCAGCACTACAAAAACTCCCAGATGATTTGGCGTTGGCGGTTAGCGCCGACGAGGAGGATTCCGTCAGGGATGGAGCCTGCATGCAGGTCATATGGGACAATTCAAGAGGTGGTCTGGCAAAACTTTCTGCCGCACAGGTAGGGGCACAGTTATCATAAATAGTGTAGCAACGTTGAAAATATTGTTGGCTTCTACCAGAGCGGGCCGGTGCGCGGTCCCAGTAGGGGTTTTGGATGTGGCCGTCTTGTGACACCAGGGTTGCTGCGATCACTCCGGGCAAAAGCCTGCGACATGAATCTGAATCCATAAACGGTATTTTGCATCGACGACGGATTATTAGATAGATTGGCTCGTCGCGAACCGTCTCTGAGATACCAGGATCCACCAAACTCCCGACAGACCTAGTTTCGAGGTGCTGTTACTACGGACTGCGTGATGCTGGCACCGAGGCTGGCACCGAGGCTGGCACCGAGGCTGGCACCGAGGCTGGCGTCGTATAAGGGTTGACAGAGTTAGATAGCTCGTGCAGCTACCCTCTCGTCGCAGTTTAGAATTGATCGAACATTCTTGTCGCATGCTTCTCCGCATTACGCCTTCCGAAATCCGCATACTCCCAATCAGGTCCTTTAGCATATAAGTCTGCCTGCCACCTCGCGACCAGGCCGCCTCGCGACCACCCCCCACCTGCGCATGAAGCCATCACCAACCTCACCGTCACTCTGCAATAAAACCACAACCAGTCGTTAAAATGTCTTCAAATCAATTGAGCTGTATCTCTATGCAGTCCTCTTCGTCGGTGTCGCTTTCAATTAGCTCTACCTCGTCGTCGCTGCTGTTTATGTAGTCGTCGCTGCTAACGTCCGACCCCATCTCACGGCGAACCTGCCTCTTTGCGCGTTCCACGTTTACGACGGAAACGAAGTCTTTATTAGGATCCGGATCAGCTTTGCGACGTTTAGTAGGCTTTGAAGCCTCTAATACAGCTTTGAGGCGGTCTTTTTGGTGTTCTGCGGCGGTGTAACGGAGGTTCGAGTTCTCGACTGCTTTCGCCACCTTATTGAACAGCTTCCTGCAGGTCGCTGTCGCCAGCGCAGAATCGCACCACAGCATCAATTGGTGCAGTTCATAGACATCGCGACCTGTTTTTGGTGTTTTGACGTCAATTGCGCATAACGGCGTCAAGAAATCTGGCTCTGGGAACGTCAATTGGGCCTGATTTTGCGTAGTTGCAGGTGCTGACCGTGATTCCTCCAAACTCCGTACTACGAAGCGGGAGCTCAAGGCCTTCAACCTATTGTGTGGCCACACACCCGTGCCCTTGAAGCCCGCCAAGATGTTCTCCTTGTTCATCTTCTTCTTCCGCGCAAGTTGATATGCTTCAAGGAACTCCCGCTTGCCTGGGGACTCGTTCATGGTGTTGTAGGACACCTCCGTGACCGCCTGACGGTAGCATGATTTCACCGCCGAGAACACACCCACATCGAGTGGCTGAAGGACATGTGAGGTATGGGCCGGCAAGTAAATCAGCCAGATTTTATGGATAAAGCACTCCGCCATGAACTCTGCTGTTGTATGCGACTTGTGGCCGTCCAGAATAAGGCATCGCCAGTGTCCCCGAACAGCTGGAATGGTGTTGGGGATAAAGATCTCCTTCAGCCATTTCAGCGCAATATCATTGCTGGTCCACCCATTTAGTGATGTCTCAAAACACCAGTGCTTCCACTTATCGAGTTCGACGTCAGGAAACCACTGCTGCTGCACCGATTGGCCTTGAAGATAACGAGCGGAGGGATCGAACGACCAGCTGCAGAAATGGCCTCAATTATCGTGATCCAGGTCCTCCTGGCACCGTCCTTTTTCAAGGTGAAGTTGCGCAAGGCATCAGAGACCACGAGGCCATTATGACCAAGGCCCTCCGCCACTCCACACTCGTCTACGTTCCATATGTTGTCGGGCCGTACTCGTTTGCGCATCAATGACGTCAGTCGGTCGAAGAAGATGTCGATATTGGCCTTGCAAGCGCCGTTATAGCGTTTATACTCGATGAGTCGTGATCTCGAGGTCGTCAAGGCTGGGTTTCGGCGGGTGAAACGTCGGTACCAGTGACCACCGAGCCGTGCGGAGGGGTTATCGATGGACAGCAGTCGCGTCGCGAGGTGCCTAAATTGGGCCAACGGTGCTGCATAGCCCATAGCTGCTTGGTCGAGGGCCCAGGAGACCATATAATCCTCCTGGGTGACGGAGAGGGCTTGTTGGACTTGGTATTTTTGCTTGAAGGTTGGGACCGCCTGGAGGCGACGACGTAGGTAGGATCTGTCGACATTGTGTCGTTTGGCAGCCGTCGCAACAGGTACGCCCGCCTCAACATCGTCCAGTGCGCGGCGGGCACGCAATTGGTAGTCTTTTGGCACCATGACGACAGCCTCACTTTGGGTGGTCACAATGGTGGCAGTGAGGTCGCGGTGTGACACGGATCAACAGATTTATATAGCTAAATGTATGGTGGGGTGTTACGACGCGTCGCGTCGTGACCCCTGGTCGCGATGCGGCCTGGTCGCGAGGTGGCCGGTAGACTTAGTAGTTACCCTCGGCGTCCTCTTCTGTGTCAGCCTCATCGATCTTGTCAACTTGGGATCAGCCAATATCGCCGGCATGGGCCAGGATTTGCAGCTGGTGGGGGATCGATACGTGAGTTTACCCTTACTGATCACATCTTCCTATGTGAAGACCACGACTCTGTCTGGCGCTGACTGCTGGTACGGGGGTTTTTAGGCTATCGTTACGCTTGTGTTTTTCATTACGTACACGCTGGGCCAACAGCCATCGACAATTATTTTGCGAAAAATGACTAAGCACATTTAGAGCTCGTGAGAGCACATGAAAGGTTTCATGATGCTCCCTCCTATCCATTTATTCATTACTTTTTCCTTTGTCGAATATGCTGCTTTAGAATATATCCGCTGTAATCATCATTCTCATGCTCCTGCGAGCATCTGTCCCGAACGCCACAAATCTTCAATGCCCTTAAGCACAAGTATACGCTGCTGCCATGGCACGGCGACGTCGTGGCTCCACCGTCTTCATTGTGTTCCACGTGGGCGGAGACGATCGATCAAATTATGCTGACACTGGATTTTGTGGTGCCCTTTGTGTTCCGCAGGGAGTAAGACGATCTCGAGAAGCATGTTCTGCTTCTGTTCTAGCAAAGCCGGATCCCGCCCTAGATATATAAGCAGCGTCAGCCTGTACTATGGGAATCTCTGCAGCAGGCTAAGGAATTGCGATGTTATCCCTGAGTACGAATGGGCCATCGAGCTTGGCGGATCCATCTCCTCTCCAACATAACCACCGAATGCAACCAGTTTTTTATTTGACGAGGAGAGGAAACGAGGTCAGCTCGCCGATCATAATTGATAGTGCACAACCTAGAGCGCAGAACTTGGAAAACAGCAGGGTGTATTTATGCGATACAGCAGACAATGGCCGTCTACACTCTTTCCAAGAATTTGCCCGCGTGCGACGGCTGAGAGACGGCATGGAAGATTGTGGCGTGAGAGCTAGACCTCGGATGAGTGCTTTGCATGCAGTCTTTGCGGCGTTGTCAAGAGGCACTCATCCACGAGACACCGCACGAATGGATGGAGTAGGTGAAATGCCACTTATGACTCAAAAGAAAATGTTTCAAGCACGCCACTGTAAATAAATGTTCGAAAAACGACAACCCAGCTGTCAGAACATGCTGCTTCACCGCTCTACATTGGATCTGCAATCTCTCCACACTCAGGACACTTCCTCAGCTCCTCGTTGTTCTGCCAGTCGCGGATCAGCGGCGCCAGCTGCACGCCCAAGTCCGTACAGTGGAACACGTCCTCCCGGATCATGGTGACCTGGTCATGGTTACCCTTTGTGCAATACCAGCGTAGCCGATCCCTAGCGCTCTTTGGCCGTGTGCGCTCCATAACCAGACCCGAGGTATTAGCATAGCGGATGGGATTGTGTGGGGTAGAACCAGGTAGCATAAACATCTCGCCCTCGGCAATATGGATATCGCGGAACTGGCCGTTCTCGGCGATACGGAGGAGCATATCGCCTTTGAGCTGATAGAACCACTCTTCCATCTCGTTAACTGTTGGGGACGGGGATCAATTAGCATACGGACAAAACGAAGGCTTGATGGAGATGGGGTCTAGATGAGAGGGTGGAGCTTACCGTGGAAGTCGTTCCGCTTGTTGGGCCCGCCGACAACCATGAGGATAAAGTCATCACCCGTATAGAGGCAGTAGTTATTGACTGGGGGCTGCAGCTTCTCGCCGTTGCTGGCCAGCCAAGAGGCGAAGGCCAGGGGCGCGGGTATGGTCGGGTTACCCTTGTTTTCAAGCAGCACAGACATTGTGATAGTGGGTGACGAGACGTGCTCAAGAGGTGTGATCTCCGCTATAAGTAGAGCTTAGGGTCGGGGGTTGATCTGAAGATGATACCAAGCAGAGGGCTGAACCGTGGGCGCAAATTCTGCGCTGTCGAGGTGTGTAATTATGTATTTGACGAACAGTTGGTCCTGGGCGAGGACAGGCACACTACTTAAGACTCCGTCATACAACAGGCAAGTTGCTTACTCGATCTAGCCGCGCATCGCGAAGGGTAGTGGGAACGTGTAGGCTGCAGGCACGAAGTTCCCCTTCCGTGCTAATGATTGGTCGGTTGGATGCAGACCCTGGACGAACAACACTGCTGATTATTCAGGTCGGGACATAGTAGGGCCGCCTGCGGAAGGGGACGATCGGTCGGATATAGCCCTTCAGGTCGGGGCATAGTAGGGCCGCCTGCGAATGGGAACATTGCCGGCAGGAAATTTCGTCATGCAGGGAAAGGGATCGGGCTGTCCAAATCATATCGTCCTGGTCAAGGTGGTGAGCTGGGCGGACCGCTGGTGCAATGTGCAAGGCGATGGTGGTACATGGTACTTTGGTCATTGGCAAAAATAATTCTGGTGTATACTACGATGATGCGGCGCAGGGGAAAATTTGTGAGTTTTGGCAACTCGAGCGCTGCGATTGCTGCGATTATGCCAGTCGACTCAAGTAAGCGTAACATTGTGGTGGTTGGGCCGATGCTAGTCAACTCCAGCACCAGCGCAACGAGTAACTTATATCCCTCTGCTGTGCTTCAAATAAAATGTGACAGGACTATAGGGATTCTAGAGCCTGCGGCGATTCACCTGCGCGGAAAGGCGTAGACATAGCCATTAAGCCACTCCGTTCAAAGTATTGTTCATGATTACGCAGCTGGTGTAAAAGATTTGGTGGGTGGTCTTGCTTCTACCAATTCTACTGCTTCCACAGCGCCTGACATTGAATTTCGACGTTCAGCCGCTCATTTGGCAGCGCGGCGACCTGAATACACGTCCGCGACGGGGCTTTACTCTTATCGGGCCAGACCTCATTCCATTTCTCGTTCATGCCCTTATAGTCCGCCATATCAGTGAGGAAGACGGTCGCGTTAACAACGCTGTCCATGCCGCACTGGCCAGCTGTCGCGCCGCGGATGGTGCCTTCGATGTTGCTGAGAACAGCCTCGGTCTGGAGGCGGATGTCGAGCGTGTGCTTGCCCGTGGCCTCGTCCGTGGTGCAGCCGGCAACGGTATTATCGCCGCGGCGCGAGGAGATGCCCGATATGTAAATGAGTTGTGAGCCGGCCGGGATGATGCGGGCGTGCGGGTAGTTGGCGAGCACCTGCGCGCGCTCGGCGGGGAGGAAGTAGGGGATTCCGTTAGGGAAGGCCATTGTGAATGATGTGTTGTAGCTTTTGGGAGTAACAAGAGACGGTGTTAAGTATCGTTGTTCCAACAGGACACCAGCTCTCCCTCCGGCGAAAAATTCGCCCGCTGATAGTGGCAGTCTGTCCTGGCCTCGGATAGTAACCCTGCGGCCGGCTCGCGCACCCTAACCAATAATGACTGTGCCTCGTGCCCAATACTGCCTAGTGTCGGCCGCAGCGTCCGCAAGAGTCGTGCGGAGGAGTGGCGCGTGGGGGCCGTGTTGACACAAACCTTATTCTCTGCTGTCGCAACCTACCATCTCGTCCCAGTATCACGCTCGCCTCGACTACAGCACAACACCCTCACCTCTCGCAGACCACCCTCGGTGATCCTCAGGAGCTCCCTCAGCCTCATCACCGTGAACTGGATGCTGCGTGCCAGGACGACCGTCAAGGGCTCCTTGGCGCTTCTTGATCAGTGAGTTCGGGGATCGGTGGGGGTTCTGAGAAGGAGGACGTTGTTTTCGTGGAATTGTATAGCTCTAGACTTTCAAGTTGGGAAGGATGATCGTCGAGGCTGTTCTGTGATGTTGTAGTATAGTTAGCTCTTATTCATCTATTGCCTTAGAACACTCCAGACTCCAATGCTCGTCTTAACGCCTCGTCTATCAATTCCAAAAGAGTCCATACCAGTCCCAACTTGAAAGCCGACTACGCGCAAACGAAACCGGAAAACACCACGTGGGCACGTAAATCCTTGGTCTTGATTTCGTTTCTACAACCATACGCCTACTAATTACCCCCTTCACTCACAACTGATACCCAAAGTTCAACCACGATGACTGACTTGTATCGTCTCGAAAAAACAACCCCGGCTCAAGCTCATCCTCAAGCATCATGGCGTGGTAATCCGGGAACGACATGCCCAGAATTGACGTCTCGTCCATGAGTAGGTCCGTGACCATTGCTGCTGGATCACCGTGCTGGGACCTTGCACCACCGCCACGCAGGATCGACCCTGTGCCAGTTGTCATGTTACTGTTGTCATCATTGCTGTTGTTGTTAGTAGCGGTCGGGGACAAGCTGATTAATACTGCTGTCGCTGCTGCTGCTAATGCTAGTAGTGCCCCATTGGGGGGCATGACTTGTTAGCATCCCCGTCCAACTTCTCGTTTTGATAATCAAACGGCGACGACGGTCTTGACTGTTTCGAGAAGATTCACAGAGGGGACCAACTATGAAAAAAAGGGGCAAGCAAGCTCACCTCGGTGCCCATCGACGACCTGCATCAGCTGCCGCAGATGCTCTACGCAGCGGTCCACGAGCGCGTTGTCCTCGGACGTTAGCACGCCGAGCGCCTCGATGGCTTTTGCGATGGCCTCGCGGCCCTCGTCTTCCTGCTGCTGTTGGTTTTGATGATGGGTCTGATACTCTGCGTCGTGGTGGAGGTTCTGATGATGATGATGATGATGATGGAGGTGGCCGCCGACCGGCGGCAGATGTGGTGGTTTGCTACCTGTTGGGAGGAGGAGCAGGGTGCCGAGAACGGTGAGGGAGGCATTGAATGCTACAAGGTTTAGAAAAGGCAGTTATTTGGGGTAGTAGCGCTGGGTGTATGGGGGGAAGGACGTAGAGCAGAGGTACGAAGCAGGCAGGGGTGAGGAGAAGACAAGGGGACAGGAACATGACAGGACGAAACATAGGTAATGAAACACTCACCATAACAAAGCGTAAACCACCACGCGCCCAGCATGTGCCTGCCCAGCTCGGGCCGCGTCACAGCTTCGTGGACAATGGAAATGGACTCAACGGCTGCGCGAAAGCACGAGGTCATCATGTAGCTGTTCTGCATATAGCCTAGGGGCCCTGTGTGGAATTCACCGCCGGGAGAGCCGGCTGGGTGCTGTGCTGATATCGGCCGGTCGGAAAGAATGCCGCCGCCGCCGGGTTTATCGAGGAGGAAGCGCGCACATAGTGTGTTTATAAGGATCGGACGCAGCAGGAGCAGCTTAGTGTTGAGATACCGCAAGGTGAGGATGTTGCGGAGCTTGTCTACCTGCTGTGACGACGCCGACAGAGACGATGGCGGCGTCGAGGAGGAGAATGATGCTGGGGACGGCTCGTCCGGGATGCCCGAGTACGGCTGCTGCTGCGCGCCAGCACTAGCTGCCGACGAGGAGCTGCACACTGCAAGAGCCTTTGGTAGAGCTATGCGCCACTGGTCAAGGTCCTGCTCGAGCTGGATGATGCGCGTTATGAGGTCCGACGCGGAGAGGTCCTCGTGCTCAATGTTGTGCCCGTAGACCGAGGCAATGATCTTCCCCAAGATGCGGTACAACGTAATAGTCGCCGAGAAGAAGAGGGCCGACAACCCGCCCTCACGGTCCCTCTCAATCGGCATCGGCAGGTCGAGCCACACGTATTCCTCGGGGATAGCGCTCGGGCGACCAAACGTCATGCTCAGACTACGATCCAGCACAATACACCCGTACCACGTGCGCTTGCGCATCTCGCACTCGACGGGTGCAAACTTGGCTGACGCGGCGCCCGAATGCAGCCCAATGGACAGTGCTGTCTTGACGGCCAGCCCGTGCATTGTCCATGTCTGCACCGCGTGCTGCGTGCCCTGCAGGTACTGCGTTGAAAGTAACAGGTACTGTACCGTCTCGAGCGTCGTGCTACGCAGCATGTGCGTCCCGCAGAGGTTGCGTGCCTTGCAGAAGAAGAGCTCGGCGTCAGCCGCCGCAAGGCTCGTGTCTGGGCGCGAGGCGTCGGCCTGTATCGCTATGGCAAGCACAATATTGAGCAGTGCCAGCCACGTCCGGCGCACGCCGGCAAAAGCTGAGAGCCGTGCCTGACGGTACGTGTCCATGAAGGAGGTCTCGTGGATATAAGGGAAGAGCATGCCCGTGTTGGAAAAGTACTCCTGGAGGAGCTGCTCGGTGACATCCTCGGGGGCAGGATCGTCTGGGTGGATGGCCCTGAGGACGACAGCGCGCGGCGCATGTTGAGGGGCTTGAGGTTGATAATAGCAGTACCAGTGCCGGCGTAGCTCATCGGGCTTGCCGCCAGCATGGAGCGCAGGATGATGCGCATAAAGGAAATGTTGGCCGATGGCCCAAAGAAGCCCTGATCTTTTTCGTCGACAAACGAAATGGCCATGCCATCTGTGTCGTCCTCCTGTTCTACTTCTAGCTCCTGTGCGTGCTGCTTCAGATTGACCACGTTGTGACCCAGGCTTATACTGGAAGCAACAGAGCTGATGCTCTTTGAGGTGAGCAGTTCATTGTGGCGCTTGACCATCTCCTCAAGGACATGTAGGCGTGATTCTACGTCGGCAAACGCACTGCAAAATGTCGATTAGCGAAACCCAGTCACAGGGGACACAACAGCATACTCCTTTGGTACAATGACATTGGCGGCGGATGCCGGGGTTTCGTACACACACTCGAAGGCCATCCGCTCGCAGAGGTCGCACCTCGGCCGAGCACCATTGCACTATAATCACGGTGCGACTGTTGGCTCTCTTGCCCTCCATGGCACCACTAGTTACAGCGCGGTTGGGATGGGACTCACCCGAGATTTGCGGGCGCGACAAGGGTTACAGGCGAGGGCCACGCGCTGCCGCTTCAACCCGGACGTATTGCTGTTCTGCATGTCGTCGCCGGGCCCATTGCTCTTGAGCATGAGATGGATGAAGGGAAAGTGGTGGGACGATGGAAGGTAAGGGTCATGGCCGTTCGAGAAAGATAAATTGCCTCGACAGAATGCATTTGTCCGTTACCGACTCGACTTCAGCAGGGCTACCTGGAGGGCTAGAACCGATTGACCGGTCCGCCGTTCTGGTGGTGCTTCCGGAACCCGCCCACGCTGATCTGTGAGGGGACGCGCCCCAGCTTAGTAAAACTGCGGTCTCGGCAGTTGCGGGCGGAAGCTCAGTTTAGGCTACGCGTCAGCTGACTGGTGGACTGGCAAAGCCCCTGGAGAATCCCTACTGTGGCATATGCCCGGCCAGCTCGGCGTCTTGCTGGAGCTCGCGGGCAGAGAAGTCGTTGCTACAGGTGTATGGCGCCACGTATGAGAGCGCGTCAGCTTCGGAGACGTCCTTGGCGTCGCGACCCAGCACGATGCACAGCTCGCCCCGTAGTCGGGCTGCGTCTTCTGCGCGACCTTGTGGATGATGGCATTGATGGCCGTGGTCCTCTACGGTCCTGTTCGGCTTGATTAACATGGAGGGCTCCTTTGGTATTATGTGGCCTGTCTCCTCGATGGTGGTAGCTGTTAACAATTGCGCTGCACGCTGAAACAGCGCCTTGGCCTACTCTACTGTGGCTGGTGTAGTCCAGTCCGACGCATCGGACGACGGGGACTTCATTTGACCTCGGCCTTGAGGCTTGTGGCCTCGGTTGTCTGGCTCGGATCGAAGTTGCTGCCTTGGAGGATGGGCTCACTGCGCAGTATGTGGCCGTAGGTAACGACCAACCGGCGACAGATATGGGCATAGATGAGGATTCAGGGCGAGGATCTGCGCAGCAGGAGAGGCCCAAAGGCAGATGGGTAGAAGTTGCTAGCCAACACTCAAGAAGAGTCAAGGATATGTGGTATTTGTCAAGGAGAGTAATGCTTGCTTGCCCGACGAGTGGGAGTTCTGATCTATCCCCTTTGCAACGCATACCCGTGGCTCGGCTGACGGGGAAGCATCGGAACGGCCTCACCCTACGCTGTGTCATACCTTGCGGTCTTTGGGCAACAGCAGGATCTCGGAGCAAATACAAACATCTTCACGCATTAGATGAGATTTAAGCTGCACGGACCCAGCACTGCAACGCCCACGATCACCAGCAGTCTACACCCACACACATACACACGCCACCTACATCATGCCACGCACCGCTAAGCAGCTCCCCCGCGACCACAGCACCAGTAGTATTAAGACGCAGGAAGACCTGCTCGTGTCCCCCCAACACGTCAAAATATCGTCCCTATAGGCTCAGATGGTCCGCTTGAGCCTGGCTCTGCCCAACCCCAGCACCGTGCCTTTTGCCTGGGTGTATGACAAGATCCGTCCCTGCATGATGCACGCTGGCAATCTCGTCCGTGAGGAATGGCTAATAATCTCTCTTAGACATGATCCATCCCACAAGCACAGAGGTGGCGGCAGTAGCCAGAGTATTGTATGGTAAACAGGGAATTTCTAGTGAACGCACACAATCTGGACTAACTAGACCCTCATTGCGCAGCGACGGCGTGGCCATTTGGCAATCCCTTGCTGAAGCCCGTTTCTTTTATCTCCTCCCCTCTCCATCTAGCATACGCCTCTGCGACGTGCTCATGCATGTCGTACCTATGAATTTTTAGCTTTGTCAATCTCCTCAAGGCAGCAGCAACAACAGCCGTGAAGAGCACTCACAGGTTCATCTCCTCAATCGTCAGCTTGTCCGTCTCCTTGTTGACCTTGTACAGCTTGCTGTCTGTGTTGCTCGAGAAGCCGATGCGCTCGTTGAGGTTCTCACGTGCGCGCACCGAGGCGGCCTGGACCTTTGTGGCGCGGGGCTTGCGTATCTCCTCGTATACCTGGAGCGCCTCGTGGACGTTGCCGTTGAAGTGCTTGCGGCTAAAAGCGAGCCCGAGACCCGCCGCATCCTCAAGCGACTGGCACGCGCCCTGGCTCTGGTCGGGCATCATAGGGTGTGCAGCATCGCCCATGAGCGTCGCGACGCCCTTTGTCCAGAACGAGTATGGCTTGTGCATCCAGATACGCCAGGGCCGCACCTCGTAGCCCAGCTCGAGGTGCTTAAACACGTTGCGGTCCAAGTCTGGGTACGGTGCAAGAAGCTCCTCGACCGTCGACTGCTGCAGCCAGTTGGTCGTCTGCAGGTCGCTCACCTCGCGGGGAAACCAGCAGTAGTACGATAGTAGCTTGCCGCTATTGCAAGGGGATAGGATCACCTTGAAATGCGTGTCGTAGCCGCCCCAGTACTCGAGCGCCGAGTTCTCCGAGTAGTCGATGAGTCCCGCAGCGACGACCTTTTCGCGGTCCACGTTGGCGTGCAGGCAGGTGCACGCGGCCGGGGTGCGGTCCACTGTAATACCTACGAGAGTGCGCATAGCCGAGCCGATACCGTCGGCGCCGATAATAGCGTCATGCTTGGCGTGCACACCGTTCTCGAACGTGATCTCGCCCTTCTCGACGTTCGCCTCGACGCACTTGTGGTTGTGGAGAAGCTTGGCGGGCGGACCGTCGCCATGCTCGCCAATTGCGCTGTCCATGAGCATACGGTGCATGTACTGGCGGTGGAACATGTTGTAGACGTAGCCCCAGCGCTCCTTGTAGTCCTCAAGGCTATAGACGTTGATAGCCTCGCCTGTGTTCCAGTCGCGGCTGATGAGGTTCTTGAGCACAACGGGGTCGCCCATCTCAATATTGACCTTCCACTCCTCGAGCCACCGTGTACCGTTGGCAGCACACGAAATGGATGCGCCCACCTCGCCCACAAAGTCGGCCCGCTCGTAGATGGTGACGCGGTGGCCCTGTCTGCGCAGCGACACGGCTGCTGCCAGGCCACCGATGCCGCCGCCAATAATGGCAATATCGACCGTCTTGAAGTTGGAGTGTGTGGCCATCTTGATAGTTTTTGTTTTCGTGTTCGGCTGGGGAAGGTTATCACTCCAGAGAGAGGCTGGTAGGTTGTGCCACAAGACTTGCTGTCGAGCGTCCCAACCAGGTGAGCTTATCATCGACATTTGTTGCTACTGCTACCGGGCCATGCAGCACGATCCCGATCTAGCCGCGGTCACGGCATCTGGTGCATGCGTGGCGTCGTGCGTCTCTGCAGGTCCGTCACATGGTACTAACCCCTGCTGTTCCGTCCCGGGCCGGTACCAATGGTGTGCGGTATTGTGGCCGCGATAGGGAGAATCCTGGAGTCGACCGAGTCCGGAACGCCAGTCCGAGGCGCCGGCGCCGCATCTTACACATTTGGCATAGTACTAGACGTTAACGCCTTGGGGGTCGTCAGATGGTGGCAGGGGACACGACTGAGGCTGAAGCACAAGGCTGCTATCTCTGGAATCCGAGACAGCACGCGATATAGGCAGAACTAGTCCAGAGGGGCTCTCGCGCCTGCGACTCTGCTCTTCGACTACATAGCCGGCTCTTTTTCGTGCTGCGAGGCTCAACGACCACTCAGGAGCACCACCATCACCGCACCGCCAGCGCCATGGAGCGGTCTCGCACCGGATGCTCAACGTGCCGCAAGCGCAAGCGCAAGTGCGACGAGGCCCGCCCCGGCTGCTGGGCGTACGCCGCCCGCCACGAGCTCCGGTGGGGCATTGCTGGCGCCTCCCGGGGCCATCTCGCTGGCGCAACGACACCCGTTCGGCAGGCTCAGGCGGCCGCAGGATGGGCGGGATCAGGAGCATCAAGAGCATCAAGAGCACCAGCAGCAGAGGCGGCAACGATGGGCTCGACGAGGGTAGCCAACAGCCTCTTCCGGGCGCAGCACCGCGGCCGCGGGCACCAGCACTTCCAGCAGCACCAGTCCGAGCTCGCACGCGACGGCAACAGCATCGGGACGCGTCCCTCACCGCCCTCTGTCCAGATGCCTGTCTCCCCACCCGGCAGCAGCCTAGAGGCCTCCCCAACGAGCACCGATTCGGGCGTCGACCCAAACTTTGAAAAATGTCAGTCTCTGCCCCTCATTAGACCCCCTGGACCCGGCCGAAATACCTTGTACCAACACGGCTCGACCGCTCTTGTTGTCAGCATCGGCCTGCGATGTGTTTACACCACCAATGCAGATGTCTAGATCGAAGACATGTTCTGACAGCTCTCGATCGACTCGCTGGCCGTGACAACAGTGGGTGCGGCTGTCTAGACATATGTAGAGCAGGGCCGCTCACCCGTGTCGCTTGAGCAGACCAATGTCGCCATCCGCCTCTTACGAGACGAGCTCAACAGCAGCCACGGCATTGTGTCGGCGACGACCATGTGTGCCTCTTTGCTTGTCTGCAATCTTCAGGTCAGCCTGTAGCCCGTCGTATTTGCCCGCGACTCCAACGACTGACATGCGTGTGTGACAATTGCAGCTCTTTGAAGGCTCGCCCTGGACCGGGTATCTAGAGCTTATGATCAACCTCTACCGCCTGGAAGACGACCTAGCCTACCTCCAACCTGACCCCGAGTACGACCTGGCGTTGAGGCACCAGCTCGAGGTGCTCGCCATGATGGACATTTCATTCCTCGTGCTCAGCCGTGCCAGCGCCAGCGTCGGCATGTGTTCACGATTCTGCAAACTAAAAGAGTCGTGGGCAGGCGGCTGGTTGGCGGGCCTTAAGCCCGTGCTAGGGCTACCTCAGTCACTTGTCGACATTCTGGCGCGCACGTCCGAGGGCACGGAATCATGCCTGGAGCAAGATCTCTGGTATTGGCCTGGGGAGGTCGGCCATCTCCTACAGTACCAGCACTGGGATGCCGCCCGGTGTGCGGCCATCCTGCGCCTGCTAAGATGTCACCCTTGTCTGCCAACAGACTCGACCATCCCCTCGAGCGAGCTCCTCCTGTACCGTCTACTCAACTGCCTTCGAGTGCTGCAGAATGCCGTGGGGCGACCCGAGTACGACGCCGTGCTCAGCATGCGCGCAGCCATTATGGCAATTTCAGAGGCGAGCCTAATGGTCACCCTGCTGCGCAAACATAAAGAGTGGGCGCAGTCGCTGCACCGCATCCGCCAGCACCTGCTAGGCAGCGGTTCCGGCCCGACCCGCATCACGGAGCTGCTGTTCGAGCTCCTTGATGAGGCGTGGGATACGGGCCAGGACGAGTTCGACCTCGATGCACGGGCACGGGCACGCGGAATCGAGATCGCCATCTTCTAATAGGGTGTTGTCCAGAGCGCTGTATATAGCGCTGTCTATTGCATCTTCTATGGATGGGAAGCGAGTTTCACACGCTGGTTTCTGCTGGTGGAACCACATCTACAGTGTCACGATCCGACCTCCGGGGTCAACCGTATATTGGGCTTCGGGTTGCTGGTCTGATAAGATAGGTAAAACTCAGGCAATACTACTCGTCGAATGTCGTTGTTCTCATAGGGTTACTTAGAATAAATACCGCTCTCAATCAATTAAGTAACTGGTTTAAGTGAAAGGTGAGAATAATATTTAGATTAATTGCTGAAGTCCAAAGGCGAGAACTAACTATCTAGGGAATCCTCCTATCTATATACTCTTTGTCCTTTATTGTGTTTTGATATCATGTTGTATAGTCATGTCCTGTATGCATGACGGTCACGGTGGTAGGTCCTGACCGTCGTCGGTCTTGGCACCCTCGACGGTTATGGCCTTCATGCATGACCGCGAGTCTTGGCACCGCTCCTTATCCTTATCAGCGATAATGGTGACTCAGCATCTGTCCCCCCTGCCCTGCCCTGCCCGAGTACTTGGCCCGGCCATGCGGCCTTGTTTGTGTTCCTGTGCCCAAACAATCGTCCCCTGTTGGCTGGTCGTCACACCCATATACACTCATATACTCCAGTCATTAAGGAGAAGTCCCATATATAGTACGTGTAAGCCGTGCGATATATCGTTGCGCTAGCTCTTAAAAAGTGTTTGTACCACTGATGCTTCGTACAGGTGAATGCTGTAACGGTAAAATACCTGGTATAACAGGTCCCGCGTGACAGGCCGGGAAATACGAGCGTGCACAAGAAGGGCGCCCATGATATCCTAGGTAGGTAGCTGATTACTGAAATTTTGCGTCGGTTGCTAGAGGGGGTTCTCTACGGTGGTTAAATCCTTCAATTCGTCTCATGTACATTGAACTTAGAGGAAAGCCCGCAATTGTAATGAGATTAGCACTGGAGTGCTATAATGTTGACCAGATCTAGCTGGGGCACTCTGCAGGTGACTGAATATTTGCTTGATGTGATGTGGAGCAGGTAAGGTACGTACCGGTGCTCTAGGAGCAGCTGAGTCAGCATTTGGAGTGCCTATTCGAGCATATAAACCGAGCTTCAGAGCTCTGCTACACTCTTTAGATTTTCTCCTTTTTAGATCAGACGACTGTCAATAAACCCCTCTGAATCATCCATCTCATGCTCTTCGAACATCAAACCGTTGTTCCTACAAAACGTCACACTTGAAGAATAGACATAGAATTCAGCCATGAGAGGCCCACCACTTTGGCGAGCCATGAGGTCAAGATAGTATGGAACCCATGAGCACTATCCCCACGACAGCACTCCCTATCCCACAGGACATGGCCTACTTGGCCGCGGTAGCACCAGCCTCAAGTGCCTCACGCACGAACCGTTCGAGTGAAACAGGCTTGAATTCCGGGTACAGCTCTCGCGCGGACAGGAAACCAAGATACTTTGCATTTTCCGGGGTGTTGTCACCTCGGGCGCCCCATGAGCGTTGGTAATCAAGTAAAGTCAGCGAAACGCTGACAACGTGCTGCTGCTCTGCCGGGAGCTGGGCGATGCGCGCGTCAAGGGTGTTGGCGGAGAGCTGAGGTTTCATTAGCAAGAGCATGAAAAGTGAGAAGAAGCAGAAAGTAGCGGGCGACAGCGAGCAGAGATTAAGAAATAACCCACCTCTGTCCACATCGGCGCCTCGCCGGCCAGCCTCTCCACCATCTCGCCGACTTCTGTCTGCGTCGCAACCTCGCCCCACGCAAACACAGTTTTATTAATCGTCCTCTCGTCCGTGATAATCAGCGCCACGAAGCGCCCGACGTCGCGCAGGTCCGTCATGGCCGAAGGAGCTCCGCCCCCTGCGATGACTTCGCCCGCGGGCAGGTATAGGAGACTGCTCGCGTTGCTGGTGCCGGTGCCCGTGAGCTCGCGTTCGGAGTTCCCGTTTAGCCGGCGCGAGGGCACGCGCGGGAGGGAGAGCTGGTACCACCACCCGACGTCGATCGTGGTGTAGGGCTGGCGGACACGCTGGATGTGATCGAGAATGGCGTATTTCTGCGGGTTAGAACGGGCGCGTGTTAGTGTATTAGTCGAGTTGTGTTTGTAAAGGGAAGGAGCAAGGGAGAGGCTTAAGCTGTGAGCATCGCAGCCGGGAAGTCAGTTGGACACACGAAACAAGCTGTTTTGACAACAAGAAAAGCAATAATCAACAGCGATACAGCCGACAAAAAGCATCTACATGACTAAAAACCCAACTGACCGCATCAGATAGCGCCATGACCCCCCTGGGTGCTACAGTCTGGAAGTTACACGGAATGAACCGGCCCACACCGGCTGCCTTGGCCGCGTCGACGAGCGGGATCTGCTCGCTCAGGTTCATGAAGAAGGTAGTGGATATGACGACGTCGATGCCAGTAAGGATGCGTACAAGCTCCGGGTCCGCGGCGGCAGGTTTATCGCCGTACAGAGTAGGCGATGCGGGCAGCGACGCCAGGTCCACGGCGACCGTCTTAACGCCGCGATTGCGCAAGGCTTCAGCCTCAGGCTTGTCGATGGATGACGGGCGGGTCAGGGCGGTGATTTCCTGCGGCAGATTAGCAAGCGGTGCTTTCTCTTGCTGGGGGGAGCTGTTGGTGACTTGTAATGCTGAGCAGTGCATGGTTACGGGTGAGGACGAGGAGCTGGGGGCTAGAAGCGGCATATCATTTGGAAGGTTTGGGCTGGACTCACAAAGTCTATCCCGCTCTCCAGCAAGGCGTCGACAATAGATTGGCCCGTTTTGCCCGTGGCTCCGAGGATGGTGACCTTCATGTTTGCGAACAGCGAAAGATGCCTAACTTTTGCCGATATGATTATGGTTGGCACGGAGGTGCGGATCCGGAGCGCCGAGGTTTAGAAGAACGAACACGAAGGCTAAATAGAACGAGACAGGTAGCTAGCAAAACGCTGAGAAGAAAGTCCAGCAAGTTCTCTTTGACAACGAACTTGGAGAAGATAGACCGACAGAAGAGGACTTAAACGCACGTTTTATTCAAGGCTCGGCCCCTCTTTGCACCGTCCCCGACCGTCGAAAAGTCTCCGAGGTGTCCTGCTGATCTTTGCAAGTAGAAACACCCCAGAGCTAAGTGTCTGTCGGACAGCACCGCAGCGGGTATGAATAAACGTGTACCTGCACCCCAAACTATGCGGATGTGCCGGGTGGGGAGGTGGGGCGGCAGAGATGCGGTTACGTGAGCGCGGTGCTGAGAAATAAAAGCGGACGCCGGTTCGTGCGGGTTGGCGGAGATTCCGCAGGTGGGTGGCCTTTTGCGCGGCACAACCCATCGGGGTTTGTGCTGGCTCCGATTAAAAGCCGCGGATTCCAAATTAACACGCATTCCCAGACTCTTGAGCTAGACAATCGAATAATGCTAGACTGTTGGGGCCATATGAGTTGAGAGACCTCGTCTGTCGGTTACAATGTACCAGGGACAGCCGTGAGGGTCTGTATACGATGCGCGAACTCGACAGCAGTAAAGGGCTCGCTACTATCTAAGGGATCAAGGCTAGTAGAGGCATTTCACCTACTACGCAACGTCAAACCTCCTGTCCCGCTATGAAGAACTCGGCAATTGTAGGAAGGAGCATATTGTGACGACCCAACCAACAGGTCGCAGAATCGGGCCAGGGACAAGGGCAGGTTCAGCACGTGAGTCGAACACCCCAGGTTTCTTATGTAATCATTCCATTAGGTCAGCAAGGCCAGACAAGGTTGGATATGGTGGATCGCGACATATCCACGCATATCCAAATGGATAACATAATCCACAAGCGAGTGGATCGCACAAGCCAGTGGATCGGTCGTCCGCCAGTTTCGTGCAGGTCTCCTTCTTTCCTCCTTTTCTCAACCAATAATCATGGGACGACAATCAATCGAAAGCGACATGATTCTAGCGCTTCAGGCGCTTCAATCGGACCCAAACTTAAGCCTAAAAAAGGCTGCATCAATCTACAACGTATTATTCTCTACCCTCCAGCGACGACAAGCCGGCCAACCTGCGAAACGCGATACCCGACCATGTAACCAGAAATTGACCTCGTACGAAGAGGACAGCATCGTACGATATATAATCGATCTAGATTCGCGATCGTTTCCGCCGCGGATAAGTGGTGTTCGAGAAATGGCGGATCGACTCCTCCGCGAACGCGACGCGCCACGCGTTGGAATGAACTGGACCGCAAACTTCGTACGACGACGACCTGAGCTCCGTACGCGTTTTAATCGAAGAATCGACTATCAGAGAGTCCTCTGCGAAGATCCGGACGCGTATCGCGCGTGGTCTTCCCTTGTACGAAACGTAATCGCGAAATATGGAATCCACGATGACGATATCTACAACTTCGACGAGACCGGGTTCGCGATGGGCAAAATCTCTGCAGAAACAGTCGTTACAACCTCCGATCGACGCGGAAGGCCTAGAGCCGTACAACAAGGCAACCAGGAATGGGTTACAGCTATCCAGTGTATTGGGTCGTCCGGCAATTCGATCCCGCCGTATATCATCTTCGCAGGCAAGGTCCACCTCGACTCCCGGACGTCCGACAGCCCTCTACCGTCCGACTGGGTAATCGCACTCTCTGAAAATGGGTGGAAGACGAACGAGCGAGGTCTAGAATGGGCGAAACATTTCGATTTCCATACAAAGAGTTATACGAAGGGTGCTTTCCGGCTCCTGATCCTCGACGGCCACGAGAGCCACCACTCGACCGATTTCGAGCTATTCTGTAAGGAGCAGAGCATTATAACGCTCTGTATGCCTGCTCACTCGTAGCATAAGCTCCAGCCTCTCGATGTCGGGTGCTTTGGGCCTCTAAAACGGGCATACGGCAAAGAAATCGAGGGTCTCATGCGGGCGTATATTACGCGTATCGCAAAGGAGGACTTCCTCCCAGCCTTTTACAAGGCGCACAATGCTGCAATGGCTAAGTCAAACGTCCAAGCAGGCTTTCGAGCGACTGGCCTCGTACCGTACAACCCGGATTATGTGATTTCACAGCTAGATGTGAAGCTTCGGACGCCAACACCGCCTGGGTCCTCTGCCGGCTTACCGCCACCCTGGGTCTCAAGGACGCCAAATAACCCGATCGAGGCCGAAACACAGACCGAATACATTAAGAATCGCATTATACGACATCAAGGAAGCTCTCCTTCATCGATAATTGCAAGCTTACGGCAGCTGAACAAAGGAGTCTCGATGATGGTGCACGAGCAGACCCTAATGCGCCACGACATAGCCGAACTTCGAGATGCAAATGACCGCCTTAGCCGCCGTCGGCGTACGAAGAAAAAACAGCTACAGAAAGGAGGATCCCTTACAATTACCCAGTCGCAAGATTTAAAGGCTCAAATAGACGCGACGGTACAGTTAGTAGCAGAAACGACTCAGAGTAGTGGTCGTACGAGGAGGCCAGAAACACGCGCGCGACGCTGTGGCGTCTGCGGCGAGCCTGGTCACAATGCGCGTACGTGTCAGGAAGTTGAGTCTGCCTCTGGAGAAGAGAATTCTGAATAGTTTCAATTGATTTAAGGCGTTGTGGTTGATTTAACTTATACATTGTCGTACGAGTACCGGAAGACCGATCCACTGGCTTGTGCGATCCACTCGCTTGTGGATTACGTTATGCCGGATCACAACATATTCAGAGTTATCCACAAGAACACGATGAAGGACAAAGGTATATATAGCGGGAAGGTTTGTCTAGGCAGTTAGTTTACCTTTGAACTCCTGCGATCAATCTAAGTATCATTCTCACCCTTCACTTGAACCAGTCACTCAATTGATTGAGAGTGGTATCTCTTCCAAGGGACACAACCCCCAAGAGACAACGACATTCGACGAGTAGTATTGCCTGAGCTTTACCTATCTTAGCAGGACAGCCCCCGAAGCCCGACCTACGGTTGACCCCAAAGGTCGGATCGTGACACATATAGGCCGCCTGGCCTCTGCTGTCGCAGCAATTCGTTTCCCTTTTCCGCATGGCGCATAGATTCTTGATGGTTGGGGTATGGTCAGTAGGCATTACACACATAGAAGTGGCTGTGATTGATAGATCTAAGGCTTCAATTTTTTATTCCAGAGGCTAACATCATCAGCGTAGATGCATACTGAACAAGAGGATGCCAGCATAGAGCATTAACCATAAAGTACCCGCATTCTGCCCTCGGGGTGCCCATTCGCAAACCAAGCCCAATAATGGTGTATGTAAGACAGCGCGCAAGATACGTCAGTGAGTTTTCAAGAGCCCGTCGTAAATTTCCGATTCGACTCGCTGGTCGCCTGGGCTTGTGGTCCCGGCCGGTGTGTACGGTCGAGTTATACAGGTTCGGGCTATGTCTCCGGGGCACCAGGCCTACCGGAGGCGGCTTACCCTCCGGTACAATAAACCGGTGAAGCCTTGGTGGGTCGATGGCGGGTGAGCGTCTTGCCCCTCGTGGGTTTGGGGCTCGAAGCCTCCCTTAGGCCCGCCTTGCAGAGGAAGCAGGTGTTGATTTCAGTGGCTCTACCCAAACTATTCGATGCATCATGATGCAGAAGAACTAGTGTAAATTTGTTGCCCGTCATAAGAGCTGGACTTCGCAAAAGCATGCTAAGCAGCGCGTCGTAGCTGCCGAAAGAGCCCTCGAAGAACGCGCGGATTCAGAGGATTGGGAGCACATTCGGTGGAGTGAAGGACCCCACTTCTCCTTCGGCCCCGAGAATGGCAACTCTTGTGAAGGTTGTGAAGCGCCTAGCCCTGGGCGCTAGCGTGTGCCACGCGTCGCGTCTAGACTGCATCTGCCTCAAACAAGGGGGCCCGGAACAGCTAAGGTTACTTCCCGGGACCCCAGGTTTTGCCTCAGCAAATCGTCTCGGCAGACACTGTCGGCATTTCATCACCTAACCTTGATTGGCTAGTTCCTGGAGTATCGCGCAGAGAATTTCATATCGTTGAAAACGCAGCATCGCCACAATCGTGGTTTCGAAGCCTTCAAGCGCATTTTCGAACCTCCAATTGTCTGATTTTGATTAAGTGAATGAGCCGGACATCAGACGTTTAGTCGTCTTATCAGGCCCTTTGCAAAGGCCCACTTTGCTGGTAAGCCGGTCGTACCGTATCTTAGTTGGGATAGGGCTGCAAGCTATCGCGATTGTCGTACCGGCCCGAACACCTTGCTTGAACTCTAATAAGAGTGCCACCAAACCTTGTTCACAGCCCACTGACAGGGACTCGACATTAGCCTGGCGTTCCCCGCAGCTAGCGTGCCGTCTGGATATAAATTGAGCCCAGCATAAGCCCCAGATCCTCTGATCAGTCAATCACTCTGCTTAGTCTTTACGCCCTTGACAGCCAATCCAAAGTGCCAACAAATATCAGCCGTCCTTATCGATTTTTTATATTTACTTGCCCCAGACACACGCGACCTCCAGCGCGTTGCCTCATATAATGGCCGCTGTGGAGATGAACGTCGGCATTGTCAAAGACGAGTGCACCAAGACTGGATCGCAGCTCGAGGAGGCTGTGAAGAACACCAAGATTGACCACCATGAATATGCCCGCATTTTGGCCGAATTCAATTTGACTCCAGAGGAACAGCACCGTATCATTCGCAAGGTTGATCGCCGAGTAGTGGTTACCCTCGGCGTCCTCTTCTGTGTCAGCCTCATTGATCGGGTCAACTTAGGATCGGCCAACATCGCTGGCATGGGCCAGGATCTGGAGTTGACAGGAGATCGATACGTAAGTTTACCTTTACTGGTCATATCTTGCTATACAGAGGCCACAACTTTGTCTGGTGCTAACTGCTGGTACGGGGTTTTCAGGCCATCGTTACACTCGTGTTTTTTATTACGTACACGCTGGGACAACAGCCATCGACGATCATTTTGCGAGAAATAGGCCCCCGCAAGTTCATCACGATGATTGTGATCCTTTGGGGAGCAGTCACTCTCGGAATTGGCTTCACAACGCACTGGGAGCAGCTGGCCGGAATCCGGGTCATTCTGGGTCTCTTTGAGTCTGGCCTTTTCCCGGGCTCGGTTTACCTGCTCAGTACCTGGTACACCAGATGTAAGTCTCGACCTTGCGAGGCCCTGGCGCCTCTTGCTAACACACTATTCCGACAGACGAGGTAGGGGTAAGGTACTCTGTCTTCTATACAGTAGGCACTGTGGCGTCTGCCTTTTCGGGTATTCTCGCGTACGGCGTAAGTCATATCCGTTCGGTTTACGAGTGCTAGGAAGCATATCGTTGACATGGCCCGTATTATCGACCCACAGCTCACTCAGATGAATGGCCTCGCGAACCTGGCCGGCTGGCGGTGGATCTTCATCATCGAGGGCCTGGCCACGTGCTTGTTGGGCTCTGTGGCATACCTGCTGCTTGTCGAATTCCCCGAATCAAAGACCGACTCATGGAGCTTCTTGGACCAGCGGTCGCGGGACTGGATTATGGCGCGAGTGAACGCAGACCGTGGTGATGCTGTTGCCCAGCCATTCCACTTACGCAAGTTCTTCTCCCCGGCCTCGGACTGGAAGATCTGGGCTACTGGCATTCTACTCTGCAACCTCACGACCTTGAATTATGCCCTAGCCTTCTTCCTCCCCATCATTTTAACAACAAACATGGGATTCAGCGTCGCTGCCGCGCAGTGTCTCACTGCCCCACCATACATCGCCGCCGCCTTCTTGATGTATGGCTCCGCCCATTACAGCGACAAGCTTCGGCTGCGCGCACCCTTCCTTATCCTCAACATGCTCATTGCACTCGTCGGGCTTCCTATCATGGGTTTTGCAAGCAGCGCTGCGGTCCGATACTTTGGCGTCTTTCTCGTCACTATGGGAACCTTGTCAACGACCCCGCTGGTGTTTGCCTACCAGGCTAACAATATCCGCGGCCACTGGAAACGAGCTTTCTGCAGTAGCACTACGCTCGCATTTGGAGGCATCGGCGGCATCATCGGTGGGGTCGTTTTTAGGTAAGTGGCCCATTGGTCGTGGTGCTTAATGTTGCATACTTTAAGTGCTGTACGCGACTCGAGGCGCAGCTGATGGGACGACTACTCATCCTTTCCGCGGTGATAGACCCCAAGATGCGCCATACTTCCGGACCGGCTTGATCATCTGCATGGCTCTCCTTGGCTTGAACTTGATCATAGTTGTCTGCCTGACTGCCGCCTACCGGACCCTTAACGGAAAAGCCGACCGCGGGGACATGATGCTCGAGAATTACGATGTACGATCTGACGAAAACCTCCCCCTCTTTGCAACCCCATGGCTAACAGTCCTGATGTAGGGCGAGTCTCCACCTGATTTCCGCTACACGTACTAAGATCCCATAAGCCAGCCAGAAGAAACCTGGGTATTCCCTTTCGATGGTGTAGAATGGGCTAATTTCTTTCGTGCTGCGTAATGCGGTAAAGACATTCTTTTTTCAAGAATATTGAGTCGAGTGTCCATTGATATTATTTCTATTATTGCATTTGATTCGTAGTGTCGGCTCTCCAATGCAATTAGACTCTGTTTTCCATCCGACAACATCATTTCAAAGGTTGAGTAAGCGCCGCAAGGAAAATGAAGCAGTTCAGAGCAGTGCAGAAAATGATAGCTTTCACTACGCTCTCTTGACACATTCTGCTCGCATAGATGGTGTAGATTGGTGATGCAGATAGACGGGGCCAACGTACGGTCAGCGGGAGAAGTTAGGGATTGTGACGGACAGGAAGAACAAAAAACTTATAAAAGCCTAATCGTTTGAGTCCTTAGGTTGTACTATGAAAGTACTATGAAAGTAGTCCGGCGATAATCTTTGTTCTGGAGACCAGAGAATGTCACCTATGGATGATGGCCCGCCAGCCAAGGTGTATGGTGACTTACGGTGACTAGTGGGCCAACATTTCTAGCTCCTGAATGGTATCTAACGGATGTGAATGCTGTTATAGCTGGTTGTCAATCGTGGACAAGACCCAGCGAGTCATACGTAGACGATAACAAATGCCCTGGGACGTTGAAGTCTGCAACTACGACTGCTAAGAGCTGCGAGGCTCATTATCCGTTTGCCTCCGTGCCAATCACGCCACAAGGTGCCAGAATGCCCACGGAACAGGCAGATAAATGCCATAACCGGCGAACAGTAGCCGTAAATGAGCCGGAAAACTGGGAGGGGAGGTTGAATCGAAGGCATGGTCGGATTTGTGAGTTCAATTGTCGCTGACAACTAGCGCAAGTACGAGCTTTTAGCTAGCAACCTCCGGCATTATATCACCCTTTAAAGCCAGAGATTCAGCTCCATCTAGCCGTAGCTAGCGGCTGTGATGGATTGCATTGAGAGAACGATTTCCGTCATAATGTAACTTCATATGTGCAACAATGTCACTGACGTAAAGTGACAGAATTGGAATCAGCATTACAAGGACGTCCGCGAGATCGTGAATTGTATCCTCTTGATACGAAAGGCCGAGCTCTGTGGTGGTATAGGCATTATTGGAACAAAGTGATCACTGCAAAGCCGCAGCTCGAGCCGACTCCAGCAGTATGTTTATCTTAGATCACGCGAAACGTTCCAACGCCTGACACACACCTTACCCTCTATCACTAAAATCAATAATTGCGGCTACGTTGTCTTAGGCTCGTGCTTCAGCTCTCCACCGATAATGGTGTACGTAGGTTCGAGGTCCCGAAGGTCGTAGGGATCGCTTACTGCAAGCGGATCCCGCGGCCAGATGGTGATGTCGGCGACCTTTCCAGGAGTGAGGTCTCCTCGGCTGTCTGTCTCGCGGAGAAGCCTAGCGGCCTCGGTAGTGTGCAAAGCCACGGCCTCGTGTGACTTGATAATATGCTCGGGACCGACCACGCCTGCCACCGATTCGCGCGTCGTCATGACCCAAACAGACCGCATGGCGCCGAATTTGCCAATCGGATAATCAGAGCCGCCGCCGACAATGGCACCGGCATCCAGCCAGCTGCGTGCCGGAAAAAGGCGGGCAGTACGCTCTTCGCCAATGTATAGGGCTTGGATTGCGGCGACGTCATGGAGTAGGGGCAGCTGGATGGTCACGGGAATGCCCATGGCAACAGCTCGGGCTTGGGTCCCGGCGTCGGCAAGGCCGCCGTGCTCCATGACAAGGCTCCCGGGCGCCAGATGAGGGTGTCTCTGCTGGATTTTCTCGTAGACCCCCAAGAGGGTTTCAATGGCACGGTCACCATAGGCATCGGTACCAATCCTCCAGCCTCGCCTGACCACAACGTCCATGGCCTCGAGTATCTTGTCGGTATCCCACAAGGACACCGCAAAAGTCAGTGGCTACGCAGCATCCTTCGTCCGGCCGGCCAACGTATCCTTCCATGGTGGCGATTGCCTCGATGCCACCATCCAATACGAACTTGACTCCCCAGACAGATAGCCATTCGTCGCGCTGCAGGTGGCGATACTCTTCCATCTGGTCTACGAGTCCTGCAACAGCGCCGACAGAGGTCAGGCCAATTGCGGAGACCAGTGCGCGAGTCCGGACGTGCAATTTCCCCGCAGCGCGTGCAGCCGATAGGATAGGAAGATCAGTGACGGGCACGGCACAGTCGCGGACGCAGCCGATGCCGGACGCTGCATACGCAGCCGAGGTGCTCTCAAGGCCGCTGATGCGGTCTTCCAAGGTAGCCGGCGGCATGAGGCAGAGGGTCGGCACCATGGCCTGGTCCTGAAGATGACCATTCAGGCGACTATTGGTAGACCGCCCGATCTTGCCATCTGCTGGTGTCGGAGTGTCGGCGTTGATGGCCCCAGCTTGAGGGCGAGCGAGTTGACCACAATGTTGTGGCCACCACGTCTAATGACGATCGGATGCGCAGCCGAAGCTCGGTCCAGCTCTTCAACCGTTGGAAAGCGCCGTTCTTTGAGATTTTACTCCTGCCAGTTGGCGGTGGTTGTGATCCAAGAGCCAGGCTCGGTTATCATGGCCCGTTGGCGTAGGAGGTCTACCATTTCATCGATACTTGTCGCCAGATGGACAGGCACATCAAACTGGCTGAGACCGGCAAATATCATGTGCGTATTCGTGTCGTCGAAGGCTGGGAGCACGGTCTGCTCAGGGACATCTTTCGCACGAGTGTCAGGTCCGACGGCGTCGTCCAAGCCATTGAAGTCTTCGACAAGGCCCAAACACGTCCTCTATGGAGAGCTAGAGACCGATATGGGGGGGCTTGCGGTCTTAGTAAATGGATCACTTTTGCGCGAATGACAACGTCTGTTTTGACGGAGAACGCCATAACAAGATGATCTGCAAGCAGCGGTCGAGATGCGACCTGTGGAGGGGGATGAACGGGTCGAGGCAAGAGGTGGTAAGTTGGTAATGGGGGGAGGTGATGTGTGATAAGGTTCTCGTTGGGCTTTGAGTCTATTAGTAGCCTGTGCGTATCATGAACCAGGACAACTGCCACACGCTAAGGCGCCTCGACTCCAAACGGCTGCTAGGTCTCGCCAGCAATGCAGGTTTCACATTTGACTGCATCGATGCGAATGCCCGTCGCTCTCTCGCCTTCTAGTAGCTGCTGGTGCTCGGCCCGAGTCCTGCACACCAAGCCGCTGACGTCGTCATCATGTAGGCCCTTCCGACGCGGCTGGGAAAGGGGGCAGGTGGGTGGCTTCGTATCGAGTCTCGGCTGCTGAGAACGACAGGTAGCAGGCCATTCCCGCTTCTCCAGTATTGAACACTCCGCGGCTGTGCTCCGAAGTCGAAACTACCGCTCATCTTATGTATACCTAGGTCCTGCCGTCTATGTCTTACGGAGTTCAATTAAGATCTGCTGCTATTCCCGGCTTTATGATCAGCTCCGCTGAGTACCAGTCTATCCACCGCAAGTGTTCTGGTGAACCAGGGTCCCTCAGAACATCCGGATTTGTAAATTCTCAAGATCTATTCGTGAAGATCGACTCTGCCCGTGAAACTATCATGCGTCTGTGTGGCTCGACGAAGCTCGGTAGGAAGTTCTGGTTGTAACCTCCATAAGAAATTACCCTTGTTTATCCCTCCGGCCGCCTGACGCGAATTGAGCAAGCCAGACCATTCATATCGTGAGAAAACACGCCCACTCGTGATGGTAGCTACGATCTCCACTTCGCTCGGGCCGCGTGGCCCCTTATCCGGGAACGAAACCCTAATATCCTCGGATATAACCCCTGTCCAATCCGGGCTCTAGTAGAAGCCGTGTGGCACTTTATTAGAGTCGGGGTATAACCAACCCCGAGATGTAACCCTTGTCAGTCGGCACATACTTACAACCGACGTCGACCGCATTGTCACGCGGAGAAACTCTAACTTTCGCGGCAGCGCTAGAGAAGATCAGGGACCAGAAGGCGCGACCTCTATCCGGACTAGTCGCTAGCTCGGCATAACCCCAAGAGCGAGACCGATTATTGAGTCATCGTACAGAGAGCGGTTCGCAGTCCTAACGGTCCCGTATGCTGATATAAAGGCTTGCTACGGGACGCACTCGGTATGCACTTGCACTAACTCTCCTGGCAACATATGAACATCGCGATAAATAAACGTTGCAGAACACAAACATCATGGCAGCCGTCACTCTCACCCAGGGTCGCTACATTGGCACCTCCAAGGACAGCATCTCGATCTTCCATGGCATCCCGTATGCGCAGCCCTTCAAGCGATTCCAGCTCCCCCAACCTCCGCTCCCCGGCAACGAAGAGTTCAACGCCACCGAGTTCAGCTACAACTCCCCTCAGAGCCCCTCGCGGCTAGACAAGTACCTCTTCCAGCCCGACCCGCTAGCTAAATACGATGAGGCTGCCGCCTCAGTACTATCTGTGTATGCGCCTTCCATGCACAACACTGTAGAGTCACGACTTCGGCCCGTCATAGTTTGGATTCACGGAGGCGCTTTTCTCACGGGCGGCTCACAACTGTCTGGTTACCAAGGGACACTCCTCGCGAGAGACGCTGATGCGGTCGTTGTTGCAATCAACTATCGTCTCGGTGCATTCGGATTCTTGTACAACCCCGATCGTTCCATTGATAAGAACAGCAAGGAACTGCCCTGCGGTATAGCAGACGTAGCTGCAGCATTCGAATGGGTACGAGCCAACATATCTGCCTTTGGAGGAGATCCAGGCAATGTCACGTCCTTCGGGCAGTCCGCGGGCGGATACATCACGCAGACGCTCCTCGAGCTACGACCTGATCTCTTGGAGCGCGGCATTTTGCAGAGCAGCCCTGCCGCCATTACAACCCCTCCTGAGCTGGGCATGGCAGTCCGAAAGGACTTTGAAGAGAATCTACCAAGCGGAGTGACGGTTGACAGCGCAAGCACTGAACAAATCACTGCTGCTCAGTTGGCGACGACAATGAATTTCGCAAAGACCACTCCGGCACCCTTTGCACCGACGGCAACCTTTGGCCCCGGACTATCACCCGACGACAAAATCAGAGGAACCGGTCGTGCAGCTCTTGCTTCAGGAAGTAAGAAGAAGAAAATCCTAGTGGGGTGGACCAAGACAGACGGCTTGATCTTCTCGCAGATCGGTGCACCACCAGGGACGCCCGTTTCGGATCTGAAGGACATCACGGATGAGCTTTTCCGAGACGGAAGCAAGGCAATCGCAGAGAAGTGGAAGGTTGATGGCCACGACGTCACCACATTCGAGATGAACTGGTCGCCACCTCATCTCGAGCTAGGGCCAACGCACTGCACGGATCTGCCACTCGTTTTTGGGACACAGACGTGGAGGGCCTCCCCGTTTCTGAGTGAAGATAGTATACCCGAGTGGGACGCTCGAGGAAAGAGGTGGAGGCAGGCTCTTGGAGAATTCGTTAAGAAAGGGACAAGGATTGAGACAACCGACGGCATCGAGGTCTTCTAAGAGAATTGCAGAAAGTATGTATTACATCACTTGTTTTCCTATTCATACTAGGAGAATATAGCTAGCCTACTGGCTGCAAATATTTACTAGTCTTAATGTTTTTCTCGTTCAATTGAGATTGTTGTCTGGACGTTTGTAACGGTGATTGTTAAACACCATGGCGGATAAGCGCGTTGAAATTGAGTAAATCATGGGTTTTTTTTTTTCAGGGCGAGAGGACAAGAGTCCAGAACGCAATAGAAGCGAGTGAATTGCAAGGGCGACCCAGATAGTACTTACTTGTACTGACTAAAACCGTCCTCCACGGCCCAGGCCACCCATAGAGCTTAGGCGACGGATCCTTCATCAGACACAACCGTCTTGTGTACCGATTTCACATCCCGATAGTACAGCCTTGCTGGCTCCTCGCCGCTCGGCGCGCCAGGAACAGTACCCGAGAATTCAAAGACCTACACCTATGATCCACTGCCCTCGCTGTACGAGTCATCTCCGGTGCGATGGAACCTGGCCGTGGATATCCGGCGGGTGGACAGGCTGGACCCGCCAAATCTCTGTCCCTGGCCCTAGTACGATTCTATCCCCGTGGGGAATACTACGCTGCCCATGATGTCCAGTTCCAGCTGCTAGTCCAGATTCGCCCATAGCGTTAGGTTACCCTGGGGCACGGCGATGGCGGAGGTACTGTTACAGAATAGAGGGTAGTTATACTTGGTAGTGTACTACATCTCGGTGCTTAGTCCAGTGTCGGACGAGTCGACACCTGCCGTACGCAGGGTGTTAATGTTATTATAGCTATACGCCGAAACTACGCCGGTGTTACTATACGATAAGCTCTACGACTATCTTAATGGGCCTTCTAACTTTTCTGTTCGCACGAAGCCTTCAACCGTGAACTCGCGGGACACGTTAATTTGGTAGTCGACCGTTTCATTAGCACCAACAGCGTCTTTAGCCGATTCAAGTTAAGAAAGAAATGCTTAGCGCTAACTAGCTAACGCTCGGGACATTACTAGTCGTGATTAACGCGTTACTATCGAGCTATACAAAGATCTTACCGGTAAGGTACCAAGAACTCGTACTTATAGTCGATAAAGCTGCACTCGAGCTGCTATCGTCGACGAGCCTAATAACCTTAATGGTGAACGTATACTCGTTACCATCACAGAGCACCGGGAGCTAAGGAGTGATGTTAATTTCGTACTCCCTCATATCGAAAGCATCAATACCTACGATCGGTCGGTGCAGCTGCGGGACCACGCCGCCTGTAAATATGGTCGGATATAGCCAGGACACGCCCGCCAGTAAGCCGTCGATGTGGACCTAGATCTCCCGCTACGCCGAGTACCCCGGATTCTGCCCGTATTAAGCATCGAAGGTATACATAGCGCTCTGCGGCACGTTCGATCACCAGGACTCGTCGCTGCCTTAACCCTTAGCCGAGATTAAGAAGACGACCCTATTAGCATTCCGTAGGAAGCTTAAGGAGTTAGTAGCATTCTATTCCGGGTATGTGAACTAGCTCGGCTACCCCTAAGCTCCGTTACGCTCTAAGATTAGAATGATCACGTCGGTAGGCGCGTTACCGCCTGTCCGTACGTCGCTTAGGAAAAATATCGCGGTCAAGGTGGCGTTAAAGATGCCCGTGTAGATGTCGTTAACGGTATTCTCGAGGTTAAGATGAGCTTCTATAGCTGGCGCTACAGCGAGAGGTAGTGTGTCATATCCTTCCCAGTACCACTAAATTCCGTCTGGCGTCGGCTGAGCGGTCGTGGTGCGCCAGACCTCGGTGGCGCTAAGGTACATGACCCCCGTGCGATCGAACTCGCGGCCTCGAACTAAGACGTAGAAACTGATGACGACACGATTGAAGTCGCACAGGGGAGGTATGTAGTTAGCTACATGCCAATCCTTGTGTCAGCTCAGTGTCGACCACGCGAAATATGCCGTCGATGTAAGACCGGGCACCCACCGACAAAGCGCACGCCATAGCTATTGGCGAACGAGTAATGCATGAGCACATATATGCAGGTGTCAGATCCCAGAGGTGCAGAGAGATTTGTTTATGGACCTTATCGTGGAGCACCACAGGAACTCACGAGCAATAGATGTTGCAGAGAGCAAGGAGGGGTGACCTAGCTTTCCTCCTCGCTAGTCCTCCAGGCTGTGGCAAGACATTGATTGCCAGTAAGTCTACCCTACGCTCTATACTGCGCAACAAAGCACGCACAGTATACAATGTCAAAGCGCTGACCTGTCTGCAAACAACCATCAACCAGAATTGATGGCCGAAGAAGAGAAACGCGCTCTAGTCCGCATCGCATCAAGCGATCTCGGTGAGCACCCCTGCGACGTCGAGCGAAGTCTCGGAGCTCTCCTTGAACTGGCCCTACGCGCTTCCGCAGTCGTTCTCATCGACGAGGCCGATATGATCCTGGCGAAGAGAGCCAAAGGCGGCTCCATTGGGGACTACTTTCACAACTGCATCGTGGCAATTTTCCTCAAGCATCTTGAGTATTTCCCGGACATCATCTTCCTGACTACCAATCTCGAAGAGGACATCGACCCGGCCGTCATGTCTCGCGTCATACGGCTGCGCTATAGTCGTCTCGAGCCCTATGGCAGGGCGAAGATCTAGAGAACTCAACTGTCCCGTGCAGAAAGGTGCCCTAGCGAAGAGGACTTTGCTAGACTCTGTACGGCGCTAGGTGATAATTTTGATTTAGACGGGCGCGAGATCAAGACTCTAGCGAACCTGTCGCTGACGATTTGCCGAAGGAGAAAGAGGGAGATTTCCGAGGAGGTTATCCAACAGATGTTTGACTTGACTGACGGAACTAATATTATCGGGTCACGAGATGCTATATCGAGAGGATAACTGAGACTTGTGTACCAGAGCATCCCAGCCACGGCTAACATTCCAGGGCCCGTTTGGCAAGACCATTCATCCATGGCAGCAATATCTTAATTCCGTCTAAACATCACATCGGGTTTCTGCTGTATTGCCGTGGGACATCCATAATGGGTCGTTCCGACTGGTTCCCTCCGCGCAGTTCCCTTTCACTCGTGTGGCTCTTCTCTGTCTACTGTCCATGTCCTGGCAAGCAGAAAAATGCGCGAAGACAGAATCAACGTCATGGTGGCGCACAGCTTCATTGCGATATCCATGACTGCGGCAGCTGTGACTAGCCAAGCAGCAGGCGAATCTTACTTCAGCATACTGGTCAATCCCAATAACATCAGCGATTATGGCTACTGGTGTTTACTATTACGACTGGGGAAAAAGTATTGTCAATAAATCTGTGACTACTTCAACATTTCTTCCATGTATGGAACCCTAGTGTCGGCCTCGACTGCTGCCCGTGGCACCCGGTCCAAGCTTACTATATATTCACCTTCGAGTATCACAACAGTGTCGCAAGTTATGCTCTGTAATTGTCCTGTGTCCTGTCTATGAAGCACCCTGCACCAGGTGCTTCCGGAGATCCTCCAGTGCATGCAGGCTCTGCCAGATGCCAAGAAAGCACTTATTTCCACCACTTCCAACAAACAGCATGTCGGACACATCCCTGCCTACGTCTACTTCGCTTGGCACGACCACAAGGAGCATACCTACAGGAAAAACTTCCACTACCGATTTTCGCCCCTCCCTGACCCGGTGATCAGACAAAGGCTGTTTCAGTGTCGACGAGACTGAGACTGAGCGTGCAAAGCACTGGCAGCAGTCCAGTCCTGAGGGCGGCGACACGACCCTGACGATCCCCAAAATGCAAGCACGCCTGCTACCGCGCGTATTTCAGCCTTGGAGCCACGCAGACCGGCAAACGGTGCTGGTGAAGCAATGCCAACTTGTATTCGCTCGCCGGAGGCGTAGCTGACTGCGGCACCCCATGCGCCGGCAACCAGACTGCTTTTTCGAGGTGACTACTCTGCCCTCGGTCACGACAACTGCGGCTCGCTGCAGGTACCCTCGTTCAGCCTTTTGGAAACCGCCGGTGCTGTTCGGGGTAGTGATGAAGATGAAGGGGCGTTAGTTAGCACGGCGACATAGAAAACAGGTGCAATTAGGGGTCTGGTGCAAAGATCTAGGACTATGCGGAACCTGGCCATGTCTATATGAAAGATCAAGTCGGGGTAGAATTCGAAAAGGCGGCAGACAGGTTCGAGGCAGAAAGACGAAGCAGTGTGGAGGTATGCCCCGTCAAGGAGGAGCTCCCTTAACTTGACGGAGATCAAGGTGTAGGCTTTACGATATTTTGTATCAGTCTAGATTATGCCTGACATACCCGATACGCTTCGCGTTCAGGATTGCAATTCAAATCTTCTGTACGAGTGCGCCACCATCCACTTCTCGGGCTTCCCCTAGTCTGTCTGTGTGACTCCCATTCGCCGTCCCCACAAAACATTATGCTTGCCAAGTTTACGAGCGGGGAGGGCTCGCGAGGCTAGGGTCATCCAGTGTTTCTACTGCCGTGTAGATTACCTCGCGCTGACCTAGATGCCGCTCTCGACAGCATGATGTTGGCACTGCTTTGTTCAACTATGCAATGACGACAATAGTTGACAAATATATTAAGGATGCGGTTGGAATGCTCGTGGAATGGTACTAAGGACGTCGTTATCCATCGACGTGAGCGTCGCTCCCCGCCACCCCCCCCCCCCCCCCCCCTCGTCTTCGGTTTCTAGCCAAGACTTCAATCCGAAATATGATTCATGAAGCCGCATCAATAGTGTTCAGCGGCCCGCTTCTAGCTCAATCAGCTCTGCAGAGTACCCCTGGGCGTCTACAAGGATGAACGGTGGGAAGTGGCTTGGCATTCTTCTGGCAACACGAGATATCATCTTTCGATCATGTACAGAAGGTATATAACATGGTCCATTTCTCGCTATTTTTCACATATGACAGTCGTTTGCTATTCTCCATCCTCCAGCACGAACAATAACGTCCAGCAGACACGATGGTCTTCCCCAATACTGGCTTTCTTGCTGCCCTGACCCTGGCGCAAGCAACTTTACCCCTCGGAGTCCTCGCCGCCCCATCGTCGTCGACTCTGCAGGCCTGCGCCAAGATCGCGGCTCTCCTGCCCTCCGGCAGGGTCCATTACCCTCAGAATCTGGTCGAGTACAATGCCGAGCGCTCGGCTTACTGGTCGACGGCCTCGCGTGCCCTGGAGCCTGCGTGCATCGTGGTCCCGCAGAACGCTGAGCACGTCTCCGCGGCCATCATGACACTGCTCAGGTTCCCATCCGTCAACTTTGCCGTGCGCAGTGGCGGGCACGACCCGAACGTCGAGCACGCATCGGTGCAGGACGATGTGCTCATCGCCATGACAGCTCTCGCGGGTGTGCGATACGACGCCGCTACGGGCCTCGCGCATGTCAAGCCCGGCGGGGAGTGGAACGATGTTATCGGCGAGCTGGAAAAGAGTGGTGTTGCCATTGCTGGTGGCCGACTGGGTGCGTACCTTGAATATGCTGTTTAGCACTCCCTCGAAAGGGCGTAAAGCCTAGAACTAAACATGTGTCATTGCAGGCTTGGTAGGCATTGCCGGACTGCTCCTCCAGGGAGGTCTCTCGTTCCTGAGCGCGCAGCATGGTCTTGCGGCTGATGTAAGATTCCTTCTTGGACATAGATCTTCGTAAAAAAGGGCTCCCGCTAATCAGATACCACAACGTACAGAGTATCATCGGATGGGAGACGATCGCGGCTAACGGCTCGATCATCAACATCGACGCCACTCAGCACCCAGATCTTACCGTTGCCATGCGTGGAAGCGGCAGCCAGTTCGGTTTGTTCGGCACAAACAAATTCCCCTTTTTGCACTATCGATATCCTCGACTGACAGTTTCCACTCTGCGTGAAGGCATCGTGACCGAGTTCAAGGTCAAGGCCCGCCCGATTGGCAAAGTCTGGGGCGGTATCCGCATATACAACGCCTCCCAAGAGACTGAGCTCTACGCGGCGCTACACAAATTCGTCGCCAATGGCGCGTCCGACCCCAAAGCGGCCATCATCCACTCAAGCATCGTCTTTTCGGGTATTCAGTCGCACGTCGTCTTCTACTTTTACGACGGCCCTTCACCGCCCACCGAGGGCGTGCTCGCAGAATATCTCAGGATTTCGTCCACGCTGGACACTACAAAGGCTCGAAGCTATTCTGATCTAGTACGTCTCGGGGTTTCCCAAGTTTGAAACATCAGCACGTTTATGGTTCGTTACTTTGGCTGACAAATGCTTGTCGACACAGCTGAAGAGCAACGGCGAGCCTGTTGCACCCCTCAATGCACGCCAATCTTTCCGTGTAAGCTCGCATCACCTTGCTCACTAGACCGTATAACTGATCGCCGCAGACATACACGCTCCCCTTCATCCCAAGCAACCCGGCCGTCTACGTCCTCACCCGCGACAAGTTCACCCAGATCGCCCAGCCGTTCCTCGCCCGCACGACGTCGCAGTTCACTGTCGACTTCCAGCCCCTCCCGTCGGCCGTGGGCGCGCACTCTGAGCTCGCTGGCGGCAACGCGATGGGCCTGCGCGGCGGCGACCCGGACCGCACGATCCTCGTGCTCCATGGAAGTTGGGAGTTCGCGTCCGACGATGATGCGGGCCACGCCATCGCGCGTGAGGTGAGCGAGTGGCTGGACGCCATGGTGCCCGAGTGGCTCGGGCAGGCCGGCATGAACAGCACCGGCTTGTACATGCCTCTGTTTATGAACGACGGTGCTTGGGACCAGAATGTCACGGGGAGCTACGGCGACTATGCGCGCTTCAAAGCTCTGCAGGAGCAGATGGATCCGCAGCAAGTGTTTGCGCAGCGGCTCGGCGGGTTCAAGTATTGAGACGGGGCATTGAATCGTGTGCCATATTTGAGTTTCTTCGAGATGGCCCTCTGCTAGGCTGCGGCAAGCGCATGTGCCATCGATGGGCACTGACCTGCTTTTTCAAGCTGCAGCATGCTCTGCCTATGATTTTGGGGTTAAATGTTTTTCGATCAGAACACAATGTCTTGTTGGTAGTAATACTACTTATGTGACGTGAAGCAGGTAAAGGTACGTACCGGTGCTCCCAGAGCAGCTGAGTCATCATTCGGAGCACCCGTTCGAGCATATAAACAGAGCTCTACTACACTCTTTATATTTCCTCCTTTTTAGAATCAGACGACTGTCAATAAACCCATCTGAATCATCCATCTCATGCTCTTCGAATCTCAAACCGTTGTTCCTACATAACGTCACACATCCAATGGCTACAGGAGGATGCTATTTCTCCCGGCTTCCTGCTTGTCACTCCGTTGCCTAATATAGGATATAGGTCTCGCTGGCTAGAAATGGCTATTCATCTTCCAAGGTGCTATCACATTCGTCATCGCTATTGTCGGTAAGTCTGCAGATCTAGCCCCGCCCCCCCCCCCCCCCCCCCCCCCAAGTCCGCGCGGCACACGTGTCTAATTAATAAACAGGCTACTTCATCCGTCCCGACTTCCCCTGACTACCACATGGCTCGCGGAGGAGCGCGCCTTCGCCTACAGCCGCATGGAGCTGACACTATCTCCAACTCCGGCGAGACATTTCTATGGATCGGCTTCAAGCAGACCGGCAGTGACCCGGTGGTCTGGCTCTTCTGCCTCATAGCCCACCTGCATCTCGCGGCCAACGGCTTCAAGAACTTCTTCCCCTCCGTTATCAAGACCCTCGACCTCGGCGACACTATCACCCTCGTGATGACTTACCCGCCCTACCTCATTGCCGGCGCCGTCACCATCCTCGTCTCCTGGAGCTCGGGTAAGTATAACGAGCGCACGTGGCACATCACCATCTCCAAGGTCGTCGCGACCATCGGCTTCGCCGCGTCCGCCGCCACGCTCAACCCTGCCCGCGCGCTACATCTCGATGAATATCTTCACCATAGGCACCTACGGCGTTAATAGTCTAATTCTCGGCTTATGCGGCAGCGTCTACGGCCAGACAAAGGAGAAGAACACCGTCGCCATCAGCATAGTGACGACCATTATAAACATTAGCTTCATTTGGACGCCGTACCTCTAGACCAAGGCTTCCGAGCCTCACTACATCCCCGCCATATCCGCCTCGTGCGCGTTCAGCCTGGGCACCGCGGCCATCGCCTGGATCGTGAAGATCATTATGAAGAAGCGCAACGAGAAGCTCCGGGCCGGCGAGGACGAGCAGCAGAACTTCTACGTGTGCTAGAAATGAGGTGGTGTGTAATGGGTCTGGAACCTTGCGCTGACCAGATGAGTCTATGACGGGGAACGGAGATGTTGGTAGAGGGTTTTGCAGTTATATATGAGGTAGGACTGATGTTCAAAAATGAAAGCAACCTGCATTTGGTTAGACCTCGAATTCTACCGGTGGAAATGCGAAATGCCTGGTGAACAGAGGATCTCATCAAATTAATCTAGCGTTGAATTTGCTCCGTTTCGATACCTCTTCTCACGCACCAAACAGTCAATGGAGGACAAGCACAGGTCTCTCCGGAGCGAGTGGCACCGGTCCTAGATACCACTTATGAAGCATGAATTTCAAGGAGACATCAAGATCCTGTCCAGAGATAAGTTTATGAGACCAATTGTTTTTGTTGTTTCACATTTGAACCAGTGCTCTTGCGAGGTGAAAAGATGTCAAATAACAATTAGTTACGCACAATCAGGGACGCCACACGTAAGGGGACCCGCCGAGTGCTCCCTTGGCCTCGATCATTAAACAGTGTCAGATTACGGCGTGGAGGGGCTGCTCGCTCGAGGTTCTCCTACTAACCGGGCGGCTCGCAGCCACGTTGATGTTTCGGACAGCCTTTAAGGCTAGCTGAAGGTGACGGCTGCATTAGCTCGAGCGCACCCCCTGAGGCTTCGGCACAGCCACTCCACTTGCCCAGAAAACCTTGCTACCGTTCCTACCAGCTGTCAACTGCACGCCAGGTCCCTACTCTTCCGATCCCAAACCAGGACATATTCGCTCATCAAAGGCAGGCCCCTCAGTGGCCAGATTCCCGGACCTGCAACCCGACGTGCAAATTTGTTGCTTGAGCACCGCACAGCACACACTCCAGTCCGGTCTTCCATCTGCTAGAAGGCCCCATGGGAGGATCGAAGCGCAAGGCGCATAGCAAGAGTCGCCTCGGCAAGTCTCCCTCCGTCTGCAGATGTGGATCTCCTCACCGTTTTGTCCTTCTTCTCATCTTTTTTGCTCGTTATACTTCCGCGCCTGCAAGCTCAGCCGATATCGGTGCCCAGCCGCTGACCCTTACAATAGGTTGCAAGAACTGCAAGGCGCGAAAGATCAAGGTACGTCGTCGCGCTTGAAGATTTACACTTTGCACATTCCCAGCCCGCTTTTGGACGCCTCCTGCTTTCTGCTCCGCAACTTGCTTCACAATCTCATTCTTCAAGGCTAACACCCCACCGTCGCGCACAAAGTGCGATGAGAAGACACCATCATGCTCGAACTGCACGCGACGGCAGGTTACTTGCGACTTCACCGTGGGCGGCAGCCCGCGGCCGAGCCTCTCCGCTACTGGTCTGAACATGACGGACCTGGAGCTGCTTCACAATTACACGGCCATCACGTACCTGACTTTGGCCGACAATCTGGTATGCACTCGCCCCTTTTGCTTTTAGGATCGATCATGACGTCGAGAATGAGAGAAAGAGAGAAAATCCTGGTGACGTGATAGACGGGAACTCACACGTTTTTGAACTGCCACCAGGCCACGCGCGAATTTTACCGGACGACCATTGTGCAGATAGGCTTCGACTGCGACTACGTGATGAGGGCGATCCTCGCAGTGTCCAGCCTGCATTTGGCGCATAACCGGATCGGCAGACGAGACCACTACCAGGCACTCGCCATTAAACACCAACAGACTGCCTCCAACACGGCGATGCCCCTACTGTCCAGCGCGGACCCCGAGTCCGCCCAGAAACTCTTCTTGTTCGGCGTCATGACGCACTATTACGGTAACTTTGACATTTTCATTCTTAACATTGGCAAAAGCTTAAGCCCTGCTTGCTTACGCATGACTCCCCAGCACTCGGCTGGCCCAGAGAGCCTGGCGACAAGCTCTTCCTCGGCACGTCCGACTTCCCCGACTGGATATACTTTCTCCGTGGGACAAAGGCCCTCCTGGACCTCTCCGGGATCCCCGAGTCCGGACCGCTCCGGCCGCTCTTTGCGCACTCGATCGAGCGTTATGTGCTGCGCAAGGGTCCCGAGGCATCTCACTCCTCCGCCCACGTGGCGCTCACGGAACTCACCGACGCCATCGCTTCGCGGCCGCACATCGCAGCAGCCGGCGGCGGCGGGAACGACCTGCGGCGGATCTACGCCACGGCCATCGCAGAGCTCAAGAAGTCGTTTGGTCAAGCCGAGGCGCTGCGGCGCGGCGCAGGCGGCGGCGGTGGTGGTGGCGGAGGACCGTACGAGATGACGGATGCCTTCAGCTGGGTATACATAGTGGCCGACGACCTGCTGCCGCTGCTGCGGGTGGGCGCGGCCGAGGCCGTGGCCGTGTTTGCCTACTTTTGCGTGCTGCTCTGGCTGCTCGAGGGCCACTGGTGGATGCAGGGGTGGGGGCTGCAGCTCATGGCGCAGGCGTACGAGATGCTCGACGAAGAGGGCCGGGTTTGGATCGTGTGGGCCATGGACGAGATAGGCTATGTGCCGCCCTCGGCGGTCGACCGCATGTGAGAGGTGGCCTTGTGCTTCAATATTGGTAGAAAGACCAGGCAGTGGCCTGGATGTTATTTTCCCCTTGAGTTTGTGCGGTTTTATGCTCAGCAACTTGGGCTTCTCGTTGCCGTTCTGTTGTAGCAGACTAGATCTGTAAGGAAGATCAGGGACAAGTATCATGCAGAGACTTCGAATCTACTTCATTTCTTTTAACCATTTCAGAATATTCAAAGACGTTACTCCGTAAGTCTCTGTCTCATCAACACAATCCACTCGCTCTTGCGTATTCTATCCGAGAAGCGCACTTATACGCAGAGTGTGGGCCTTGGTCATTTATGCCGTGCTAACCCTAACCCCTGTTCCCCCTTGCCAGAACCCCTGCTCCACAGTGACATGGGCGGGTCTCTTAAAGCTCCGGAATGGCTCCGAAGCCGATCCATCATTTTCCACGAGGTTGGTACACGTGAATGTTTTCGTAGATTGCCTTCCTTTCGGACAATGATAATATAAAGGGGACGATTGCAAGTCAGTGGTGGGTGCAGGATGAATCGTTGTGATCATGAGTTTGTCGGGTTAAGCATGAATAGTCGTCTAAGTCTGATTTGTGATTTGAGCCTACTGCGAACTTCGGTAACATTCTCATTTTGCTCCAGACAGTTCCGAGTATGTCTAGAAGGATCATGATCTTGAGTCCGCGAAATCACGATGGCAGCCCGAACCAGGTAGCCGTAAAGCTTCCAGCTGACGACAAAGTTGCACAACTAGGACGCGACCTTTGGGAGTCTTCTACGTGGGGTGTTGTCGCCGTGTTCACAATGCCCGGCCGTGCTGATCGTACGTCTCGAGCCCGCTGCTGTCCCGACTGGAAAGCGACTCGGCTCGGCTGCTGCGCTTGTCGTGGCGGTGCCGTACGCGATGGAGCACCGTCGCTGGCGGAGGTGGAACGTGACGGCAGTGGCGAGGAAGAACCCGATGATGGCGATCTGGACGAACAGCCCGACAATGATGACCTTCTCGCCGAGGTTGTAGAGCTCGAGCGTGCCGGCCGCCTGGATGCCGCCGCCGCGGGACTAGAGGAGGAACGAGACGATATCGCCCACGACAAAGATCTTAGTCATCCACTTGAGTGGTATGGCGAAGAGCCGGTCGGCGCCGAGGGCCTGGATCAGCCGGCCGAGAATCATGTATATCGAGGCGGCGTACAGCGCGGGCGCGACGAGGGTTAGGATGGCCTGCATGACGAAGCCTCCAATAGCTATTGGGTCATAATGGGACCAGATATGGCCGCAGTATCTAATTACCTGGACTAGAGGAAATGGTAATACTGGTTTAGTATCTCTCGCGACTTGCCGGGTTTATTTTGTGCGGAGAAAATTTCTTACAAAATCCGCCGATCGTGAAGGTGGTGAAGTAAAAGGAGCGGTGGCGCACGATGCGCCATGTGTGGAGGAGTGATAGGATGAGGAAGACGGCAACAGCCGCGATGGCAGCTGGTAGCGATAGCTCGTAGCGGTAGAGCGCAAAGTCGAATCCGCCCGCGTCTGCAGCGCCGGATGCAGAGTGGTCGGCCATCTCTAACAACGGTACACATTGGCCATATCATAGGAAATTTAGTCAACGATAACTATCTAATCTATCCATCTATGTGAGAGTATTACACGGGTCAGAATGGGCCATTGGCGTGTATTGTGATGTGCAGTTCTGTGCCCAAGTGGGTTTGTGAGTTGAGGAACTTCCATGTTGTGATCTGTCTTGGTCAGATAGACAGGCTCATTTGGCCTAGTAGTTCTTCTCAGATTCTTGGTTTTGACCGAAAGCTCCCGTGATCGATTTGCTCAGTGCGTCCAACCACGCTGTTGTTGCTCCTGGACTACTTGCGTAACTGGGCAATATGTACCGCAGCCCCGCCCTCGACGTCGAAAGAAGTACCATCAATAATCACACCCTCAACCCGGATTACCGTCTCCTCGGCACTCACCAGCAGCGGCACCGGCAGTGTCACCACGCCCTTAGTCCCCGCGGGTGCCTGTACCGTCATACTCAACAGCCCGCCGTCGTCGCAGAACTTCCACTCAACCGCCACCGCGCCGCCACCGGGCGTCGGGACCTTGCCGCTCGCCCACCGCTCGCCAAGCGTCAGCGGTGACACGGCCCACGTGGCCCAACCCGGCGCCGTAGCCCGTGCGCCGAGCACGAAGCGGCTGAGCTCGGCGGTCGGGCCCGCGGCCCAACCGTGCGCGAGGCTCGTCGCGTGACCGAACGCGGGCTCGCCGGCATCGTTCAGCGTCTCCCAGAGGCAGCCCGTGTAGTTGGCATTTTTCACGTCGATCATGGGGGACCACAACGTGTCGAGCAGCTCCCTTGCCGCAGGGACGTTGCCCGCGGCGAGGGCGGCGCGGAGGTGGTAGCCCGATGCGTACGGGCTAATGTATCGCCGGAAGCCGGCTGCTGTAACGGCGGGGGAGAAGGCCAAGGGCCCGCGCGGGGTGGACAGCTGGTCTGAGAGCGTGGCCAGGATCACGTCTGATGAGTGTGCCGGGTCCTGGTTAACTCCGGCGAGGATGGCGAGGGCGTTGGCGTCCTGGGCGAAGCCGGCGCGGTTGGACTCGGAGATGACGTACGCGCCGAGCTCGTCGCTCCAGAGCTGCGCGTCGATAGCCGTGCGGAGCGCGGCCAGGCGGTCCTGGTAGATGGAGGCGTCAATGCCGCCGTCGGCGAGGAGTTGCGTGGTCTCCTGCAGGGCGTACGCGTAGACGACGTTGAACTTGGTCACGACGCCTGACCGCACGGGGTCGTAGTAGTTCCAGTCGCCGCCGAACGAGGGCTCGGACAGATTGAACAAGCCGCTCTCTGGGAGTACCTGGGAGTGAGACCAGTCGAGCATGGCCTGCACCTTGGGCGCCCAGGTCCTGGCAAACGCGATGTCGCCGGTATGGCTATAGGTCAGGGCGACCGCGGTCAGAAGATTCCATGAGTAGCTGATTAGGCCGGTCGTGTTGAAGTCCATTGGTGCCGAGGGTCCCTGCTGGATCTTGACCGTGGGGACGAAGAATCCAGGCGTGGCCTGAAGGGGCGCGAAGAGCTCCAGCGTCCCGAGGATAAAGTTGAGGCCGTGCGTGCTTGCGAGGGCTGCGGCGCCGGCGATGTCGAGGTCGCCAGTGTACGCGATGCGGTCGCGGCGGGTTGCGTCTACCGACGTGTCGAGAGGGTTCGTGCCGACGAGGAAGTCGTCGAAGCAGCTCTTGTCAGTCAGGGAGTGCTCATACGTCGTGGCACCAGCAGCGTCAGTCGCTTTCAGGTCCTTGAAGACGGCGCGGTGTCCGAATGAAGCGCCGAGCCCGTATGAGCCGTAAAACTTGCTGGTCTGGGAGAGTTCGAACACCATGACACCGTCCATCACTACTTTGATCTCGGTGATAGCCACTTCAACATTCACCTGGTGCCAGGCGTCTAGACCCCTGATCGTATCTGGGGAAAGCACTTGCTTCGAAAGCAGTGTGTCTTGGGCTGTGCCTCCGACATACGCGGCAATGGTACCCGCAGAGATGTCCACCGAAATGTAGATGCCGCTGTTCAGCGTATCAGAGAGCACCAAGAACCCGAAACCTTTGACAAGAGGCTTGACCTTGAACTCGAGACCATACACAGTTGAAGAGCCTGCGACGAGGCCCACTGCAACTTGAGGGGCCTGGCTGTCGATCAGGACACCCTCGCTCGAGACCTGCCAGAACTCGGGCACAGAATTCTTGGGAATTTCGCTGAGCTGGAGTGTTCTAGCACCAGCAGTCCAGATTTCGTTGAGCGAGCTATCCGAGCAGGCGAAAGAACCGGGCAGTTCGGTGAGAGGTGTCTTGTGCACGGTCGGGACAACGCCGACGTTGTGTAGGATGATTTCGCCGACGGAGGAGAGATTGAGCTTCTGGTAGCGGAAGCCTCCCTGGATGAGGCGGTTCCGGACCTGTCCAGGGGCCGAAATGTTGTAGGCGTTGATGCGGTAGGTGTCCATGGCAGCTGCGAGCGGAAGCGGACCATCACCCTGTTCAGCCAAGAGACAGGTCAGTACAGGGGCCTTTGTGGTGAAGTCGAGGACTAGAGGTTCCGCAAAGTCTCACCATGTAACGGCCCAGCGCGGCCTCTGTCTCAGAGTAGGTAATCTCGAGCATAGACGTGTCACCGGCGGTGGCGACAACGTCAAAGGACGGGATGCCTTCCGTCTCAACGCCATAGTCGAGAACCAGGATGCCAGGAGTATCTTGTGTTGCAGTCAGTACTACTGGCCCGTCTTGTGCCTTGATCAGATTGTTGTTGCTGGACGTGTCTTGGGTTGTCGCATACACTAGCGGCGCATAAATAGTTGCACTGGAAGCGAGCACGACGAAGCCCAAGCGGCCAAGGCCGTGGTAAGGCGCAGGAGGCATAGGGAAAAACCAGACAGTCCAATAACAGGAATTGTGAGAGCTTGCGGGAAGGGGTTTGCAACGAGGGGTGATGACTTGAGTCGATCAATCAAGAACAGACTTCGGGGGGCCCACGCTCACTCATATACACGGCATTGATGGCTTACAAAGCCTTGAGCCTTGAAGGGACGAGTTGTACCGGCCATTAGACAAGATGGCGGGCCTCACCGAGCCTTCGGACCTAAACGAGAAGCAGCGTATCTAAACGAGTGTCCGCAAGGTCGCCGCAACTACCGACATCGACAGGCCCGAAGCGGGGACACCGCCGTCCGCACTGACTCGTCCGTCCATCTATCCGGCAGCCTAAGCGTACCCGCAGATCTTCAGCTGCTCCACCAGAGGGCAGTGCTGCGCAGCTAGCGCTACGACAGATCAATGCTACAAACCCTGAACTATCTACAACGAGATGCTTTTATTGCTGCTGCCTGGGGCTGCCCCGTTCTTTGGCACTTGTCTCTGCTGCGTTTCTCATTTCCCTTGTCGTCATCCCTGTGTCGACCCTTTGGACTGCAGCGCTGTCGAACACTTCAAGACCTGTCACAGATCTGTCGTGGGCCTTGATGCATGCGACGCAAGTTTCCATCAAAGCTCAGCCTGGCAGCCGCCGCGCTTCAATGGACGAGGCACCACCTCCCCCCTACGAGCTCATATCGACCGGTTCACTACTGTCAACCTCGACTGTACTAACGTGTGAGTCCGCGCGGGAAGCCTCCGCTGTTCTTTCGGTCCTCTCATCGTGATGTGCTAAATACGGCTGTCTTTCATAGCGGATGGCATCCTCGACATCAACCTCTCTTCCTCCAACGCAGCCAAGCTTCGCAGCCTCATTCCCGACCCCCAGCCGAGGACTACAGATGCCCAGCTCACTACTCCACCATACTTGCAAGACTGGACGACCCCATGTCCCAGCCTCAACATCGTCATCCACGTGGTCGGAAGCAGAGGTTCGCGATTCTGATCCCTGTCCGCTAACGTATGCCAGCAATCACGGCTAGACTGCTGACCAAGATTGTTTCCTGGGGGCAGGTGACGTCCAGCCATTCATTGCCTATGGCACCGCCTTGCAGCGCTATGGCCACAGAGTCCGATTAGCTACCCACGGGTGCTTTAGAAAGTTCGTGCGGGACTCTGGCCTGGAGTTCTATGACATTGGGGGCGACCCGACTGATCTCATGGCTGTGAGTAGCGTCGCCATGGCTCCCATCAAGATCCTATCGAGCCTTCCTACATCCAGCCAATCTGGCCCGTTAGTCATGTCACACTTCTAATCACCAGCCCGTCCCGATAGTACATGGTCAAGAACCCCGGCCTCATGCCCTCCCTCGAGTCCATGCGCGGAGGCGGCATTGGTCGCAAGCGCAAGATGATGACCGAGATGCTGCAGGGCTGCTGGAGGTCGTGCATCGAGCCCGACGCCGTCACCCGCGCGCCGTTTGTCGCCGAGGCTATCGTCGCCAACCCGCCGAGTTTCGCCCACGTCCACTGCGCCCAAGCCCTCGGGGTTCCCGCGCACATCATGTTCACCATGCCGTGGAGCGCGACGCGCGCGTTTCCGCACCCACTGGTCAAGATGAGCGGCGCGGGGGACATTGAGCCTGGTGTTGCCAACTGGCTGACGTATGGTATGGTGGACTTGATGACGTGGCAAGGGTGAGACTTCTCCTTTCTTCATGGTGAGTTTCGTCGTTGATCTGCATGCGCAGAAAGACTCCGGGTGTCTTTGAGGTTAGGATCTGTGTTCCTCAGACCACTGTGGTTGTCGTCCGGCCCCATTTCAGCCACATTATCGGTCCGAAGGCCATCGGTATGCAGCGCTGAAGACGGGGGACATCCTGGAAGCGCTATTAATTCTGTCAATGATCCTTGAATAATCAACAATGATACCGTGTTTTGAGAATGGTATATACCTTGTGCGCGAAACTTAGTAGCTATACCGTTTGGACCCAGCCGTGAACAATCGACGTTGCCTAGATAAGGGGTAAGAAGGTTGTCCCCACAGCGGTTCGTGGGTTGGCTCGGCTGCTCGCTCCTAGCTGGACCTGCGCTGACAATGGGGAGTTGCTGGCCAGATCCAGGACACTGCAGAGCAGGATCAAGCGAAGGCGCAGCCGCTTTTCATCTCTTTGGCTGGCCTGTAGCCGCGCCATCATAGAACTGTTGATTTTCCAGAGTGATGAGCATAGTGATGGTGGAAGGTGGTGATGAGGAGAAGAGTTCTTACCTATTGACCTTGCGGTTCCATGAAGCTTATATACTCGACAGATAGACAGTGCAGGACATTGAATCCCATCTCTCCGTGACTCTCGACAGGCGCTCGTGGATACCTTGAAGCCGAGGGCCAGAGCTAGTGCACCCTCCCCGTTGCATGAAAATCCAGGTAGTGCAGGAGATAATGTTAGCGGAAGCCGTGCTACCCGTTGATTTAGGTAACGAAACTACTCTTGATTGGGTAGAACATACATCGCAGAGGCTGAGGACCCAGCCGGGGCCAAGGTTTCGAAGGTGCCTCCTACGCACGGTCTACGATATGTCATTATTCCAACGAAGCCTACTCCGTGTTTTCCCGTCGGGATACTGAGATAAGCGTGCTCGTGCTGAACTCTGAAGCATATGGACTTCATCGTATCGTGAAAGGCTATACTACTGCTAGCACGTTTATAATTAAGGGCCACGCAAATTTTCCCTCAATGACACGCATGTCATAAGGCCGCATAGCACCAGCAGAGTCGCCTGCGATGCTGACGGAGGTGCTGCTGCATTGTGTCGCCGTCGGACGCGGAATAAGCGGATACACCGGGAAAAACGAGAGTTGTCATCGCCCAACGTGACATTTGTCAATCTTCTTCCGTCATGCGCTTCGACTGCTCTTGCGTCTTCAACTTCGACGCCTCTGGAACGGCTAGTAGCACCCGTGGCATTGCATGCTCTTCTCTGATGGTACCTCGCATATCAGCTTCGTCCGAGGCTGCCGTGCCACTTGTATCTTGACTTTGAAACTCCGTAGAATCGAGTCCCTGAAGACGATCATCGACCGTAGCAAACTGCTGGCCTGTGCTCGTGATGAACTCTGTGATGTCATTCTCTCCCTTGCGCTCCGTGGTGGAGCGCTGCCCGCAGATTGAGGTGTGCCTGGTGTGGTGATCACTGACTCTCTCTTACCATGGGTAAGTGACAGACAGTGTTGCTGTGCTGATCACGTGAGTCAACGTCGAGTGGTAATTCTCTAGTTACTCAGTCATGGCCTTGAACTGCATCTCTCGGAAGATGCCTAGGCGATCGCGCCATGAGTTGCTGAACTTCATTGATTGAACTTCATTGATATTCCGCGCCAACCAATCATAATATGTCATCGACTCAGCTTCTTGCACGCCGATGGGCGCACCTATTGGTCTCCCAGCACCGCGTCAACCACAGCTCTACGTCAAGCTCCATATGTGGCTTCCCGTGATGCGACTCCATATATGGCCATCCCCAGATGTCGATGCGGCTCCGCATATCAGGGGTGAGTACATTCTGGGTGGTAGCGCCTCTGGATTATTATGGAGCTACCGATAAGCTTGGAGGCGAAAGAGCAGTCGCGTTGTTCGCTGTGAGTAACAGCTTGCGAACACGCTGTAAGTAGTAGGACCAGGGAGGCGCGTGGATCGAGAAGGAAGAACAGAAACGGGCCAGTGAGACTGGCAACAAGCGATTAGGCGTGTACGCACTCGCATGTCTCTTCAGTGGTTCTGTGCTGTGCCAAAGCACGACGACCACGCGGTTCAACTACGAGTAGCAAAGCCCATAGAAGTATCAAAATTGACGAAGCGCAACTTTCTATTCATGTTCAGGCGTACGACAGAAGAGATAGCCTTTTATAGTATATGATGATTGCTGCAGAAATTTGTGTTTCCTCTTTAGTTTGGCGATTTATCAAAGTATCGTTTCTCTCTATCAGCTTCCTCATTTAATTGCCAGTGTGATACCTCTTCCAACGACGGAACACGATGTCTGGGTTACAATGTCATCACGTCCGGCTCTGCCTCATTAACGGTATAGCGGTCCCGAAGCCCGTTGAAACGTTGAAACGGAAGTTCATCACAGATCTTCTTCCCTGCCTGAACCGTGCGATTGATGATTTCTAGGCACGTCTGGACTATGCCAACCGCCTTCTCCGCGAAGGTTAGGACGACGGCAAGCCTGCTCAGCGCTTTGAACAGCAGGGCCATCGTCCTATGCCGCCCCTTGAGTTCGCCGACGGTATCGCGAGACTTCTTCACTGCTCGAAGCCAGTCAGTGACGCAGCTGGTGGCCAGTGTCGTAATGCTGAATGGAACCATCTCACGAAAGCCGAGTTCGATCGCTACTCAGCACAGAAAGTGGGATAATGCTAGGCGGTTCTGTATACCGGAGGTTCTCGTCAACGGCGTGGAATGATCGGGTCTAGGTCCAGAGACTGGTGTTGTGGTCGGGTTGAGTGCCCAACGCACTGCCTGTGATCAAGTCACCCAATGCGGAGTGCCAGGAGGCAACCCCACACTGACAGCGAGGCTATGCTCCAGCCAACTACTGGCAAGGTCGCGCTTTGCTACCTGTAGAACTCTGGCCTCTCCAACGCGCTGAGCCCTCGTGCAGTCGCTGGCCTCGAGCGTCGTGGCGGGCATCCCGATCCTGCTCATGGTCGGCTGGCGTGGCAAGCCGGGCATCAAGGACGAGCCAAGCACGCACTCATCGGACCTCAGCCGCTCGACAATCTCGCGGCCAACAAGCTCGCGTACGAACTCATGCCCGAAACGCCGGGCGCCGCACGTGAGGTCGTCGCCCGCCTTGTCGCCAAAGCCGTAGCGGACAAGACGCCCGTTGCGCTTGTCGTGAACCCGGGCACCTTCAACCCGTTCAAGGCGGCCGGAGGCGCAGCTCAGGGCCCAGAGCCGCTGCTGGTCACCGTTGGAGCCAACGCCGGCGTGAAGATGTGGCTGACCAAGGGTCTCGGCCCGACCCAGTCGCTGACGCGCGAGGCCGTCGTACGTCGAGTCATGCAGCAGCTCGACAACAGCGATAGGAGCGACGTCGTTGTCACCTCGCTGGGTGGCACCAGCCGCGAGGCATACATGGTGCTACATGAGAATGGGACTGAGCCGGGGCCGGGGCGGTGCCGCCGCGCCGCGTCTTCTTCGTCCTCGGTGCCATGGGCCATGGGCCATGCGTTCGCGGTCACTTGCGGCGTTCATCTTGGGCTCTCAGGGCTAGGGCAGCAGCAGCGGGAGCCATTGCCACGGCCATACTCGACGGTTTACTGTGTCGACGGTGACGGGTCCTTCCTGATGCACGCCGGCAACAACGCCGTGCTAGCCGATGTTGGACCAAAGGGTCTCGTCCACGTCGTCGTCCACAACGGTGTGCACAGCTCGACCGGTGACCAGCCCCTGTCGCTGACTTTGCAAGCCTACATTGGCCTCGCTGGGGGCATGCTGTACACGCACAAGTTCTTCGTCGACGACCCGCAGGCGCTGGACCCGGCCATGAACGCAGCCGTGGACATGACGGCGGACAGCGCCGTCTCAGTGCTCATCATGGTTCTCGTGAAACCCGGCCAGTCGCCGCAGCTGCCCCGTCCGAGCGAGACGGCCGGCGAGCTGAAAAATGTCTTCATGCAGAGTATAGAGTAGCATCAACAGCAGGGGTCGCGGAGGAGGAGGATGAGCTAGCAGGGGCAGTGCGCGACCCGTCCCGTTCCGCGTGTATATGCCAGCCAAAGTAGATGCCAGAGTGTCGTTTGTATGCAGAAGCACGACTCGCACCACTAAATAAGATTTACAATTCGCAACCCTCGTCATGCCACTAGAACAGGGATGTATACGCAGGATTCTATCTAGGTGCCCGAGTGCCTGCAGCTGTGCGACAACTCCTTGCCGATGTGGCTGTTATTCGCGGTCGGCTTCGCGGGTCACCGGAGCAACAATGTCGAGGTCGGCATCACCATATCTCTGCGCCGGTCTCTATGCTGCCTTCCTCGCCTCTTTCTTTCCCAAGCAACCACGAAGACAGGTGAGTAGTGCCATTGTTGACGTCCTGCGCGCCGCTGGCGGTGCGTTGATGCCTCGATAAGCACCGGGTGTAGCAACCAGTAACAAGCTCAAGGAGTTTGATTCATCTCATGTTAGTATAAGTACAAGTATTTCCTACGTAAGCTAGCTCACTATTGAGCCAACGAGCTTTAGAGATTCCATGGTCTAGTGCCAACAATGATAACATATCTAGCGCTGCAAGCTCGAAATTCATAACACATGGATTTGAAGCAGTCTATTGTTACAACCTTTTATGAAAACCCTGCAAGCTTAATGAAGAAATATCCGCATCTTACAAGAAGTTTGCTGTATATATTTGTGCGGCTCATTCCTCCTAAAATCAAAAAAAGTTCCGTTCCCAGATCTTGCCCGTCTCATTGACGCGGCAAGTCTCATCAAACCTCTGCAGTACTGTTTCAATATTGATTGAAGTGTTGCAAGCAAGATACTCGCCCTCAGCCTGTCGGGCAGCGGCGATGCTATGCCGAGTTTTGGACTTGACAGCTGTTCTGATGCTTTGGTAAACTCCCTGGGCCGGGTATGCGAAGATTCCGAGCGCTCCTGAATAGATGTAGTCAGTATAGCATCCATGAATTCGGGGTTTGCGTGGTTGAAGGACATACCAGATGCCGTCTTAGTAACCATGTTCAACACACCCTTGCCAGCGCCTAATGCCGCACCAGCCGCACCTCCATCTCGACCCCCTTTGTAGGGTTGGTAAAACAAATCAGCGAATCCTTCACCAATACCTATGACAAAGTTCTTCCCGCCAACCATTGCGCCGGACTTCCAGTCCGTAATGGGAGCACGGTCTTCAACCTTATCACCATAAAGCTTTGGTGTTGCACGTAGTCCTTCTGTAATCGCCATTGGCACATCGAGATAGGATTTGCCATATGCTTTGAAAAAGGTGCCAAGACCGGACGCTGATGCCTTCATTGCTGCCCCTGTTGTGCTTCCACAGCCCCTGCCAGGACTTTTTCGTCGTTCGAAGGTATCGGGGTGCGCCGGCGCAAGACTCAGTAACTGGGATGGCGTCTGGAGATTGCTGCTGGTGCTACTTCTCATGACATCATCTATATCAGCTGATTTCATCTTGGATTGTTGGTGGTAGACCTGGATCGGTTTGACGACAATATCCGTAGCTCCTCTAGCCATGCCCATTCCTGCGCTCATTGCGGATGAAACAATGCCCGTCACAGGATCCCACCGGCGGTTCTCTATGATGTATGTTCTTGTTTCGTGTCTAAAGCAGCATACCGTCAGTATCGCGTACGAGCGAACTACCCTGCCCAGAGTCTTGTTTGGTACTTACAGGGACATGCTCTTTTGGCCAATCTTGAGGTGATTAAGTAAGAGACCTGCAGCTTGCTTTGACAATTTGATGTGCACCTTGCCCCTTCTGAACTGCCATACTGCAGGCTGATCGGGCAGGATATCACACTGTAAGATTTCAAGGGGTAAGTTGGCGTGGAATGACTTGGCTGCCGTAGCAACACCGTTTTCTGTTTCCATCCTGGCTGCTACTTCTCTAGCTGCGGCAGCAGCTTCCGGAGTCAGGCAGAAACGGATGGCATCAGCCAAGTTCTGAACATTAAGCTGCTTGTGTGGGATTGGTTTTGGTCCCGCACCTGCGAGCGCAACCATGTCACCCCAAAAAGGTTGACTGAAGCAATTTAGCCATTAGAGACGGTTTCGGGTGTTACAGTTGAAAGGGGGAAAACCACTTACTCTCCAAAGAAGGGCACAATAGTTGTCGGTCTTCCGTACCGTAGCCCACACGCAGTCGTTCCGGCACCACCGTGGTGGAAAACAGCAGCGACGTTGGCAAATATCCACTCGTGAGGGCAGTCTCCAATGAATAACACATCATCAGATTCCACACCTCCAAGGTTGCTCCATCCCTTGGATATGATAGCGCGGGCCCCAGCGGATCGAACGGCTTCGATGAGGATCGTGGTCATTTCGTCTGGGTTGTCGATAACAATACTTCCAAAGCCGATGTAAATGGGAGTCGGTCCGTTCTTGAGGAAATTTGCCAGCTCAGGCGATGGTGTGTACTGGGGGGGTTGTCGGAAAAAGAAACCGCAGACATCTAGCCAGAGTCAGTTCCGTCTTGTAACATGCCAGTAAATGCTAGGCTCGTACCGATGTATGCGGGCCAATCAATTGGTTTGGGCACCAGCGCTGGAGACCAGCAGTATGTGAAGGGAATCTTCTGAGACTCCGCAAGTACAGGACCTTCTGAGAATGGTACTTCCTCAAGATCGATTGTTCTCCGCCAGTCGTTGATGACATCTCCCAATCTGTAATGTTTTTTTTAGCATAACTCATTAATAGCAACGGTGTTCTAGTCCTACCCTTGCCATGTTAGCCACTCAACAATGCTGTATGAAACAAAATTTGCTGTCATCCGATCGACAACTCCATCATCTCCAAACTTGAGGTTGGCCAGTGGATGAGGAAACGCCCTCGTGCTGCTCCAGGGCATGGTAAACATGAGGTGCAGTGGCACACCTAAAGCCTGGGCGCAATGGACATGCGCAAAACTTGGCGGATTCGCAATAATCGCATCAGCCACAAAAGGCTTTCCTGTTTGCGGATCGGGCTCGATGCATGACCTCCAACATCCTTCAAGCATCTCTTTTACCATTTTGCGCTTTTTCTGAATGTCGCCGCCCTTCAAGCTTTTCAGGTTAGGAATAAGACCCGGGTTCTTGACCATGTATGCCATTAACTCGGAGGGGTCGCCGCCAATGGGATAAAACTCGAGGTTGGACTTGTGCACAAAGTCTTCGAAGACGTCGTGTGTAGCTAGGCGGACGCGGTGGCCGTAGGTTTGGAGCTCATTACCAAGGGCAATGAAAGGCTGGACGTCTCCTCGGCTTCCGACGACTTGGATGACGATATTGAGCTTGACGGGAAAGGTCTTTGATTCGGCATAGCGTTCTGCTGCCTCGACGTATTCTGGGGGAGGGCCTTGGGCTGCTGCGGCTTGCGCAAGTTGGGGTATGTCGGTGTAGTCGGGGATGAATTGAGAAAGCGTCTTCGCCAGGCGAGAATCGAGTTTCACGTCAACTCTGCCATCATCTGCGAATCGTCAGTTGGTTTGGAAGAGCACTCGTAGGGCTGCATCATCAAGCCTTGCTTACTTCTGACACTGTCTCTATGTTGGTGTAGTCCCTCGTATATCGCTGTCTCGTAGGATGGGAGATGATTCGGGGCCAGCGTGTCCTCTTCCACCTTCCGTATTGTGTCACGCTTCGACATCATGTCTGATTCGGAACTCTTCCTCGGAATATGATTATGGATGTTGGCGTAAGCGATCCTGGTGGTTGATAATTGCCAAGGTAATTGATTCACAAGTTCTGGTGGGTATCTCGACAATGAAAAAAGGTGATGCGCATGGGTGGCGAATCAACGGAGTTGAGAGGTTTGAGCTTTATGGCTTCCAGAAATGTTTGAGAATGAAGACAGCCACAACCACGAAGTGCGAAGAAGGAGCCCAAGAGACATGAGCTGGTGGTGCGTGCGTGCACAGCTCATGGCTTTAGAATTCCCAACCCCCTGATTAGACCCGAGTTTGTCGAATCGCGTAGCGTCGCTACTGGGGTCATTAGGCTGACACGGATACCCTGTTCATGGACTACGCTAAAATTAAGTTTTCCTCGCATAATTTAGACTGGCCAATGATATCGAGCCAAATACGGCTGAGCCGGTAGTGCCGTCGTTCCGCTCGTACTTGATTAAGTCTCAGGTCACGGCCTCGCTCGCACCCCTCATTTGTCTCGTTATTCTATCTTTCCAGCTGGCACTACAGGCAGATATACGCACATCGTTCGTACCGAGTCTGAAGCGAGCCGCGGCGATGCGGCGCAAGCACAACAAATCACGCACCGGATGCAAACAGTGCAAGCAGCGCCGCGTCAAGTGCGACGAGAGCCTGCCAAGCTGCCGACGCTGTGTTGGGGCCGGGCGTTCATGTTCCCTCGTCGATACAGTGCCACTGGCCCTGGCTGAACCTCGCATTCCACCCTCTCCCTCTCTGCCGTCGCCGGCGGCGGTCAGTCTGGTGGCAGCACCGCAGACATCGGCCTTGGCTCTACGGCTTCGCTCGCGGTGGACGGCGCTGGCACGCCTGTCGCCCTCTTTACTGCGACCCACCTCGAGCTCCTTCATCACTTCCTCACCAGCTTCAAACAAAGCGGCGTCCGGGACTCGGTCCGCGGTGCGCGTTTTTGCGAAGTCACTGTCAGATGTGCCTATAGGACACCCTACCTCCTGGACCAGGTCCTGGCCTGCGCCGCCGTGCATCAAAGCACCAAGCTAGTCGAGCCCGATAAGCAACAACGCCATCAGCGGGGCGACTTTCTCCTCGCCGAGGCAGTACACCTCCAAACCAGGGCGTTGTCCGCGTTCAATCTCACCCAGCACACCATCTCAGAGGATAATTGCCTCCAGGTCTACCTCTTCTCCTCGCTCCTCTCCCACCAGGCCACCTCGAGGCGCTCTCGTTCCGAGGGGACCTCCCGGGCCTACTGGACCGCCTTGTTGGCTCTCTGGCCTTGTGCCGTGGCATCATAGCCGTAGCTGGTCTCTGGTGGCGCCCGATCCGCCTCAAGCTCGCTGCTGCCATGGGCGAGAGTCCTGATGGCCAGGCCGAGGAAGAGGCCGCTTGGGTTCGCAGAACGCCACCACGAGGTCACTTTGCAAAGATCCTGCAGCTTATCGCACAAAGCGGTCTGGGCGAGCCAGCAAAAGACGCGTGCGGCCGTGTCTTAGGGCTACTGCAGCAAATGGCGGACGACCAAGCCAGCCTAACCACGCAGTATTTCGAGCAATCTGCCTCTGTACAAAGATGGTTAGTTATGCTGCCTGTCGAGTTCTCAGATCTGCTCACCCAGCGCAGGCCGGAGGCGCTCGTTATTCTAGCCGGGTTCGGACTGGTCGTGCATAATACGAGGGGTTACTGGGATTATGGAAACTCGGGGCGCGACCTCGTCGAATCCATCGATCGTTATTTAGGCCCCTACTGACATCCAATGCTGGAACCGATCCTGCAGGCAGTGAAGGGATGATTCCCCAAAGAGTGGACACCAGAACTGGTAGTATTCTAGAAGCTAGAGTACATATCTCCATTGTTTTGTTAAATCCACGTGCCGAATTGCCTTGCAGTGCCGTAGCCTAAACCCTGAAACTAGGGTGGATGAGAGAACCCACTTCATTGTTCGGAGTGTGCGAAACTCCCCTGTGTTCTCCCCTATGCTTCGCCTGTGCCACGATTGGGCCAATAGAAAGCGCTCCAGAACGAGACCTATACGAATGTGCGGGTCAACCCCGTCTAGTGACGAGCCACGCGCTATACGCTCGGCACTTCGGGGCTCTGTACCTCATCCATGCCGGGTATCTTGGTCCCGCTCCGGTACGAGACAAGCATTCGTTTACCCGAGATGAGATGACCTGCGCTTGTGCACTGCCTGTAGTCTTGGTATATAAGTTCATCGACAGACTTCATCTTTGTTTTCTAGCTGGCTTATAGAACCATCGACCAAACTCTCCTCTACGCAACACTCCAGCAACACGAAACAACAACCGCTACCCATCATGTCTGCATCCGCGCTCTCCAGCGCCTGTGCCCCGGCTCACTTTGGTGATATCACCCTAGCGGGTGCCGATATCCTCGGTATCTCAGCCCAGCTGCTCACCAACGTCACAGAGACGAGCCTCGGGGACTTTCGCTACACCCAGCCGACCGTGCAGTTAACGAACGCTAGCTTCTGCAACGTTACTGTAACATACACCCATCCTGGACAGGGTGACCGCATTAGTGTCGAGGCATGGCTCCCACTGACCAACTGGAACAATCGCTATCAAGCAGTCGGCGGTGGTGGATGGATCGCTGGCCGCTCCTACATCTCATATGTGAACATGTATGGAGCTTTGGCAGACGGATTTGCAACTTCATCCACCGACGCGGGATTGTACCCCGTGGGTAGCCCAGAAGCTGCTCCGTGGGCTACAGTGAGCCCTGGGAATCCTAACCTGTATAACCTGAATAATATGGCATCAGTTTCGCTCAACGACCAGGTACGGTTATTCCTTACCTTAGATATATCTCACTAGTATATCCTCTCTCGCTAACACACAAGCAGGCGATACTGTCCAAGGCTATTATCAAGCAATTCTATGGATCAGGACCCGAGTACTCCTACTGGAGCGGCTGCTCTCAGGGTGGCCGCCAGGGTTTGATGCTTGCCCAGCGGTACCCGGATGCCTACGATGGGATCTCGGCCGGAGCTCCTGCAATCAACTGGTCCGAGTTCATCCAAGCGATACAGTGGCCGCAGCAAGTCATGAACGAATTGGGCTACTACCCATTTCCCTGCGAACTCGATGCACTGACTGCCGCTGCTGTCACTGCCTGTGACGGTCTCGATGGTATCGAGGATGGAATTATTGGAGAACCTGTCGCTTGTCTCAAGGAGTTCGACCCGTTCAGCAAGGTCGGCACCACTATACAGTGTGCTCAGACAAACAGCAGTATGGCGATTACCCAAGCCGCCGCCGTAGTGGCAAATGCTACTTGGAACGGGATGACGACCGCTGGGGGAAAGCAGACGTGGTTCGGCATTCTTCCCGGAACCGACATCACGGGATCGTCGATTCTAGCACCCGGTGCAAGTCCCGTCGCCGCCACCACCTGCAATGCCACAGCATGTGTGGGGACACCAATGATCATTGGACCAGAGTGGATCAAGTTCTTTGTGGCTCGCGATGCAGAGCTCGACCTGCAGAACATTACCCGCAAGGACTGGGATAGGTTGGCTCATCTGAGCTTATCCATGTATAACTCTATGGTCGGAAGCAACGACCCAGACTTGTCACTTTTCCGCGAGAGAGGTGGCAAAATTGTATCATTCCACGGCCTTGTAAGTCCCGACTGACCGAAGCCTACAAGCATCGATGATTCCACCCGGCCACGGTCCACTAGCTAACTCTATCCCGCAAAAATTAGGCTGATATCATCATCCCCCCGCAAGGCTCCGAGCACTACTACAAGGCAGTCGAAGCCGAGGTGGGCAACATGGATGAATTCTACCGCTATTACGAGGTCCCGGGCCTTGCTCACTGCTATGGTGGAAACGGCGGGCGACCTGACAGCCTCTTTGCGCAGCTTCGCTTGTGGGTCGAGAACGGCACGCTGCCCGAGAGCAGCCCGCACAAGATCACCAATAAGCAGGGCACCACCGAGAACCGGATCCTCTGCCCGTACCCGCAGAAGGCCATCTATGATCCCAGCTGTGGCCAGACGGGGAATGCGGACTGCTTCAGCTGTGCCGTGGTTTCGGAGCTGTAAAATTGCTTCGTGAGGCTATCTGTCGATTTTGTACTTCCTCCTATGCTACACCAGCACCTCGTCAAGAGAAGGGAAGACGCGAAGATTCGAGATTGTAACAAGATTGTACAGTGGGGATGCACTAAAGAATGCTTCCCACATGCAATCACAACTTTTACTAAGAGAGGTACTGCGCTGGTCGTAGGTCTCTATAGAACAACTAGAAATCCAATAGAAAAACAAGGGTGTAACGCATTTACGGGCACAAATATGTCTCCCTCTAGACTTCTAGCATATCCCAAACTCCCAAGACTGCGATTCTGATACCTTCTTTTTCAACATTTGCCGGAGATCTACTGTTGCTGTCTCTCAGTTGCCGAACCTATTCTCCCAACCGCCATAGCTCCCATAGGTACGCTGCATACTCAAGTCTTGAGTCTCGTCGTAGTCACCGCTGCTTGAAAATCATCTTATCCGTGGTTGAGGGTGCTTCCATAGTACTGATCACCTTCGGGGCTAGCTTTCGTCGTTGTGTTGCAGTCTCTCTGAGGTGGCCAGGTTACTTTGACATGATTATTCCACGTATGCAAGCCGCTGAATCATGGTCATGTTGGCCCTTGAAGACCTTCAACCATTCAATGCTATCGACACGTATCTCATGATTGGAACCTTCTGAGAAGGCTTGTGGGAGCGCCCCGATGGCCAATCGAGTTGCTCCGATCGAAGAAGCAACTGGCAGGAAGATTTGACAGGTCTTCTGCCAACCTTTGGGCATTCGAGTCTTTGTGTGTACCAAGGTCTAGTTCCGTCATAGCCCTTTGCTCTTCAACGCGCGATTCCTCGCTAGATTTGGTGGAGCGGCTTGCTCTTCGTTGGACGCTGGCATAGTGACTCTTCTCCAGAGCTTCGCGAGATATTGGATGAGGAGCGTAGGATCCCTCGTTGTAACATGGTGACGGTCCTGCGAGGTAACAGCGAGAAAGAAATTCTGTGCTTGAGAACTGCCTTGACGCCTTTATACAGGTGTCAAGCTGGGATGCGCCATTTGCATTTCGAGGTGCAAAGCCGCCCCAGAGCCATTATCCTGAGAGAGCAGGAACCACTTGGAGCCTTGGCAATGGTCAAAGCAATGGAAACTGATTGAGGTTGGCTATCACGAAACATAGTCTACTCGCGACATTGGCCTTGAGCGCCGGTGTGAAAGATTCCCATCGACACTTGTCCAGCACTTACATGCGAACAAAGCCCCGTCATGCCCTAAGTCTGCCCCCCGTCTCGCGACCAGAGTACCTCGCGACCACCAAGTCCTCACCAAAATCGCCAAAACTGCTCTTTTTAGGACCCCTGTTACCTCCCCTATTTTATAAGATATAAGCTTATAAGTATATAACGTACCACACGGGTGACCCGCCAACCTTCCGAGCACTCGTACGACAATGTATAAGTTAATTCAACCACAACGCCTTAAATCAATTCAAACTATTCAGAATCCTCTTCTTCAGAGGCAGACTCAACTTTCTGACAGGTACGTGCATTATGGCCGGGCTCCCCGCAGACGCCACAGCGTCGCGCGCGTGTCTCTGTCCTCCTCGCGCGACTACTATTTTGACTCGTTTCTGCCTGTAACTGCTGCGTCGCATCTATTTGGTCCTTCAAGTCCTTTGCTTGTTCAATCGTAAGGGACCCTCCTTTCTGTAATTGCTTTCTCTTCGTACGGCGACGGCGGCTGAGGCGGTCATTTGCATCTCGAAGTTCGACGAGTTTATGGCGCATAAGGGTCTGCTCGTGCACCATCATCGAGAATCCTTTGTTTAGCTGCCGCAAGCTTGCAATTGTCGAAGAAGGAGAGCTACCCTGATGTCGTACGATGCGGTTCTTAATGTATTCAGTCTGTGATTCCGCCTCGATCGGGTTATTCGGCGTCTTCGAGACCCAGGGTGGCGGCAGGCCTGCAGAACTTGGCGGTGTTGGTGTACGAGGCTTTCCGTCTAGCTGCGAAATAACGTATTCTGGGTCGTACGGTACTAGGCCAGTCGCTCTAAAACCTGCCTGTATGTTTGACTTTGTAATTGCAGCGTCGTACGCCTTGTAAAAGGCTGGGAGGAAGTCTTCCTTCGCAATGTGGGTAATGTGCGCCCGTATAAGACCTTCGATTTCTTTTCCGTACGCCCGTTTCAGCGGTCCAAAGCACCCGATATCGAGAGGCTGGAGCTTATGCGACGAATGAGCAGGCATGCAGAGCGTTACGATATTCTGTTCCTTGCAGTAGAGCTCGAAATCGGTCGAATGGTGGCTCTCGTGGCCGTCGAAGATTAGGAGCCGGAAAGCACCCTTCGTACGACTCTTTGTATGTAAATCGAAGTGTTTCGCCCATTCTAGACCTCGCTCGTTCGTCGTCCACCCATTTTCAGAGAGTGCGATTACCCAGTCGGGCGGTAGAGGGCTGTCGGACGTCCAGGAGTCGAGGTGGACCTTGCCTGCGAAGATGATATACGGCGGGATCGAATTACCGGACGACCCAATGCACTGGATAGCTGTAACCCATTCTTGATTGCCTTGTTGTACGGCTCTAGGCCTTCCACGTCGATCGGAGGTCGTAACGACTGTTTCTGCAGAGATTTTGCCCATTGCAAACCCGGTCTCGTCGAAGTTGTAGATATCGTCATCGTGGATTCCGTATTTCGCGATTATATTCCGTACGAGCGAAAACCACGCGCGATACGCGTCTGCATCTTCGCAGAGGACCCTCTGATAGTCGATTCTTCGATTAAAACGCGTTCGGAGCTTGGGTCGTCGTCGTACGAAGTTTGCAGCCCAGTTGGTTCCGACGCGTGGTGCGTCGCGTTCACGAAGGAGTCGAACCGCCATTTCTCGAACACCACCGAGGCGCGGTGGAAATGAACGCGAATCTAGGTCGATTATATATCGTACGATACTATCCTCTTCGTACGAGGTCAATTTCTGGCAGGGTGGTCGGATATCGCATTGCGGAGGTCGGCCGTGTTGTCGTCGTTGGAGGGTCGCGCGGGATACTTTGTAGATCTCTGCAGCCTTTCGTACGCTTAATTCTGGGTTTGATTGAAGCGCGTTCAATGCTAGAATCAAATCGCTTTCATTTGATTGTCGTCCCATGATTGTAGGTGGAGAAATAAGGAGATAAAGGTCATCTATTGAAAATGGTGGGAAAGTGGCTCATCCACTTGTGTGGCTCACCCACTTGTGGATTACGTTAAGCTGTTTTCTTTACCCCTTTTCTCTGCTAGTAATTATGCCACAGTAATCGAACGAAGGCGACATTATTCTAGCGCTTAATGCGCTTCGATTAGACCTAAAATTAAGTGTACGGAAGGTCGTAGAGATCTATAATATACCTCGTACGATACTCCGAGACCGACGACGCGGTATGTAGCGGAAAGAAGACGTACGACTACCCTACCAGAATTTAACCTCGTACGAAGAGGAGAGTATTATACGATACGTAATCGACCTATATTCGCGATTATTCCCGCCGCGCCTCGGTGGTATTCGAGAAATAGCGGATCGATTGCTTCGTAAACGCGACGCGCTACGCGTCGGAACTAACTAGGCCTTAAACTTCGTACTGTGACCGTGCAGTGCGGCCAGGACTGATCAGGTGATTCCAGGTGCCAGAGTACTTAAATCCCTTAAGGATAGCAGGCGCACCTCTTGTACATAGACATCGCGCAGAGCAGCGACGACTTCACAGCAGAGCTCCCTCTTTTTCACAGCTCCTTCAATTCAATTGTTTTTCCCCAAAGATTTTGGATGTACAATGGGAACGCCCTGATCATCCCATTCCTCACCGTTGCACCCTCCCAATCATGCGGTTGGTGGTGCTGGCTCCCCTCCCCAAATCGCTGCTATAGCACATTGGTGCGGGTCGGTGATGCCCTCACCACCGGCCTCCCTCCTTTGCGGCAACACCGCAACACCTGCCCGGCAGGTGGTATACAGTTGGTCATAGGGGGTTTTCTTTATGATCACCTTATTCCATCTTGCCCCAGGACACTATATATTGCCATTAGAATTTCAAAACTTGAAGGGATCGGTCGAGAAAATTCATCCCGTAATCTTACCGAAAATCTCCTCACTTCGCAATCTTAATTGGTTAATCACGATTGAATATCTGATTCGTCACACAGCCCACAAGGTTGCCGTCCTGCCATTCGCTCCAAACATGGCAAAGTCTTGGACCATACAACTTCTACGTCAATACCTTTCCAGACTCTGTCTCTCTTGATCGCCTCGCCCACCGTTTCATCGCGATAGTAATCTCTCTTAACTCCGACCAGCAGGCGGGCCGATCCAACAAGATGGCCTTCTCGAGCGCTTCTTTGGCAACCCCCGGCACCACCACGCCAGCGTCCAGGAGAATTGACACCGCGTCAAGCCTATGTCTGCTCATCGCGGTTATGATTGGTCTGCCCTTGTCGACGTCCGCTCCGAGTTCGATCAGCCGGCGGAGGAGGGCGTCCTCGTCCTCACGCGTCTCGTTCGGCGTGGAAGCCTGTATGATGTTGTGCAGGCATGTCTCCTGGCCCACACCTGGTGGCGAGAATGTGACATTCGTGTAGCCCGCATCCAAAAGCTTGTTCGCGAGCTGACTGAACGGGTACTTCGTCGCCTCCCAGAACAGCATCGGGTTGGTGAAGAGCACCTTCTCCTCGCGGTCGAGCTCCAGTAAAAAGTCCATGCACAGTCGTGGCTGCCACACGCCGGCCTTCTCGTTGCTTTTACGGACCTTGCGTGGGGGACGTGCCTCTGATATCAGCATCCGCGCGATGCTGACCATGTCGAAAGGCACTTCGAAGCGAGCACCATGGCCCAGCAAGTGGCGGCAGACGTCAAAGTTCCGCTTCCTCGGGGCCAAGAGGGTCGCAGGGACCTGCGCGTTGTCCTTGGTGCAGATGTCGGCTCCGTGCCGGACTAGCTCATCGACGCACCGCATCTGGGTCTCCGTGCTCATCTGGTTGTTGCGACATATCTTCCACAAGGCTGTGCGGCCTCGTCGGCTCGTCTGGTCCGGGTCTGCGCCGTGCTCGAGCAACCACACCAGCGTGCGCACTGGATCCCGGGCATCCCGTAGATGAAACGGCCACTCCGTCACGGCTGCCAGGAGAGGGTACTGCCTCGTGCTGTCCGGCTGCGTGATGTCGGCACCGGCAGCGACAAGCAACGACAGGGTCTCTGGGCACAGGGACCAGGCAGCCAAAGTGGCTGGTGAATGCCTCGCAGCCGCGAGAGGCTGGATATGAGCGCCTCTGCGGAGGATCGGCGCCAGGAAGTCCAGTCTCGGGGCTTCCCAGCTTGCTCTCCCGCCATTCTCGACGCCCCCATACACGGCCAGATGCCGCTGCGCGTAGCGCGAGGAAGGGACGCACGCTCGCTCGACCGCCCGTGCGACCTCGCCAAACGGGCTGTGCCGGTCCTCTACCCCCCAGATCGCGTTGATGTACCGGGTGTGTGGCTCGAGCTCGACCGCGATATCGAAACGGCCATAGATGCATGCAAGCTCCAGAGCCGAGCGTCCTGGTCCCCCAGCGTCATCCACAGAACAGCCATAGCTGATTAGCGTGCTCGTGAACGCCGGGTCCCCGTCGCCGACGATGTGGTACGTTAGCGGCGTGAGCCCGCCAGCATCCGCCTCGACGAGGCGTGCCCGCTCATATTCGCTCGCACCCTCCCAGAATGGCCCGCGCAGTCCCGGACAGCCCATATACGACCGCGCTCTGGAACGCCGACACCGCTCCGCCGATGTGGTCCAGCTTGTCCCGCCGCGCCCCGAGCGACATCAGCAGCTCCGCCGTGTCACCATGGCCGCCGCACATGGCCACGTGCAGTGGCGTCCAGCGCGCCGGAACCAAGTGGCGGCCCCATTGCCTCTCGTCGTCCGACGGCCTCTTGGTGCGCAGCGCGCTGGGCAGGATGCAGAAGCACATGTGCCTCGAGGACGCCTCCAGTCTCGCTCCGCACCCGACCAGCAACCTGACCACGTCGCTGCGGCCATAGTGCGCAGCGGCATGCAGTGCAGTCCACCACTTCCGCAGGGGCTTCTCGGACAGCTCGTGGCGGTCGAGAGGGTCGCGCAGATCCTCGCCCACGCGGCCAGACATCATCGCCGCATACATGGCGTCGTCGAAATCGGCGTCTCCTCCTCCTCCTCCACCTCCTCCTTCTCGGTCTATGCGACGACGATGGTAGAGCTCCCAGTGGCGATGGCGGTACACATCATGCAGAATGGACTGCGCGCGGCGGTCCTGCACGCGCGGGATGCGGGAGGGGCCCCAGAAGGACACCTGCTCGCTTTCGAAGTAGACGTTCGGATCGGCGCCGGCGTCGAGAAAGGCCGTCACGAGGTCTGCGAGCCCCAGCGACGACGCCCAGAAGAGCAGGTGCGGGTAGCGCGCGTATGCCTGACGCGCCAGATCGGGGAGGAGGGCCTGCCGATGGGCGCGGTTGACGGCCGCCAGCCGGGCGAGGTCCTGCAGCGGGAGGTGCCCCGCGATGAGCAGGACGAGCTCGGTGGGCAGGGAGGCCCAGGACGCACGATCATGAGGTGGGGTCGCCATGTGTATCTAGTGCCTGTGTGTGTGCAGAGAGAGAAATGGCTGTAGTGCACAAGCGAGTCGAGTTCAAGAGACATTGCTTCATTGGCCAGTGGTGTTTTCGGAACTTCGCAGGGACCGACCGACTTCATGAGTCAGACTGGTGCTGGCGAGCTGTTCTTAACGTGCAGGCGTACCTGTTCCAGCGACCGGGGGTAAAGCGCATGTCAGCCTCCCGTGCATGTGTGGTATACTGTTGTGGTGGCCGATTGGGGCAATACTGCCCACTATGATCAGAACATTATCATATTATAATCATTGCATAATTTCCACGCGATGGAGAGTCTATTGTTATTATTTTCAAAGTCCTGTAGCTCGGAATACATTATTGTGATGAGTGTCGAGTCGGGCAGGCACCTGCGGCCGGCTGCGCGCCTCTTTGATGCAGTCGTACCAATGTGGTGCCGCTTCTCAGTATATCGTGCTCCTGGATATTCACTCATTTTCTCGTGTGCACAAACTGACTCGTACCCTTCGTTGATATATTGCCCTTGAAGTGAGCTCCCTTGTCGTAGCCCTACGGGTAGCGTGCGCGCTGATCACGACGTGGCCGGAAACCACCTAGATTCGATACCGGTCGAAGTGGCCCGGGAACCCGGTGCTGTTGGCTCCCATGTATCCCACCCTAGAAGAACAAATTCAGAGTCAGTTAAAACGGTCCGATAGATAAGGCAGCCCGCGACAAAGCGACGAGTGAGACTGTATGGGAAGTGCTCAGATATCGGGGTGATTTGTTCTGCACCAGTCGCAGTTGATTGGCACCTCAACTCTGGGAGCGGAAAAATAGCCGGACGAGGTTGCGTCCGGGGGTATGACTCACTACAAGGTAACCAATGTTAGTTGACCATACCCATTTCATGTTCTTGTAGAGAGAGCGACATACCAATTCGACAATCTGTTTCTCAGACAGGCCATCCAGGTCGTAGACAACCCCGTCCTCGGTCGTGAGCAGATTCGCTTGCTGGCAGGGCTGCTCTGGCTGATCCTCGCGCTTCCAGTTGAGGAAGCCATACCCAGCACCGCCTCCATCGCCGTGCATTGTGCCTAGACACTGGAAGTTGCTGCCCTTTGAAGGCACCTTGATGATGATGTCGCCGCACTGGTTGCTTTCCCCCTGGGCTCTGTGGAACCGCAGCTCGAGGTTCCACTCGCTCGGCATCGCGCGGAAGTTGACGCCCCAGAGGTTGAGCGCTCCAGGGACATAGCAGCACTGGTTGGGGTTGAGGCCGACGCATGTGGCACTGCCGCCCAGGGTACATCCATTGAAGAGCAGTTCGACGTCGACGGCGGCGGCGCCAACTGCGAGAGAGAGCAAAACTCCCGTTGTAAGTTGAGTGAAACGCATGGTGGTAAACTGTGATCGTGGGGTTCTGCCGATGTGATTGGGAGTGTAGAGCTACAATAAGCTGGTGTCTTCAAAGGATAGTTCAAGTCGTTCCGTGTTGAACATTATATATGTCGGCAGCTCAATCCTTCTAGGAGATTGGAATGCAAAGTCAATGCTATCTAGAGCAGTAGGCTCCCACTTCGGCAAGGATCGTTTCCCAGAGGTAAGGTTGCCGAGTGCTCCATTAGAAGCGAACACCTGCTGTCTTTGGTAATGATTCTGGGTATATGTGTCGTGGTGACAGTAATGCCCGCAAGAAAGAGCAAAGTTTCCGCATCCATCGCGAGCCCTGGTCGTTGTGAGTAATTTGCATTGGCAGGATGCAGCGTGCTAGGAACGACGCAGACAAGCTAACCGCTTCGACGCTTGAGCAAGGTTTGCCCAGGGCTCCCTGATCCCTGCAATGGAGCGTAAGGTCAGCACTTATAGTACCGCCGCGTGCATCCAGCCACGCAATACTACTCCGCATTGGCAGCGCTAACGGTCCTGTTGGGCCTACCTCACTTCATGGGTCAGGCCCGCCAGCAATTCAATTTCCTTTTGGGCGCTCGTTTCGCATTCAGGGTCGTGTCGGGATTAGGTAGCTGCGGCGGCACTACCTTAAAATAGGAACAAGTAGGGGTGCGGTGCAGAGGCGGCACCCACACGGTCACACCTCTCCGGCCCCTGGTTTTTACAGAATAGGCACTATTTCCTGTCCGAGGTTTCAGGTACATTCAAGGAGAATCTTAATAGAGTTCGAGCTTCAAATGATTGATCTCCCGGCCTGGTGAAAAATAATTCTCGGGCACCGCCTTGCATCTCTATACTGTAACTTCATCAACAGAGAGAAGTATCCCTCGAGAACGGGCTTATGTAATGCAAGAAAAGAGCGTGAAATCCTACTTTTATCAACCCAATATGCTTCCGATGCAGGCCGCTGCAGCCACGCAAGACGCAACTGTACTTTTCTACTCTTCTTCCTCGTGGCGAGGATAGCGTCAACACCAAGACCGAATCCCTCGTACTGTTTTTCGAAAGCTTCAACAAGCTGGAGGCTGACATTACCCTTGGGTTCCCAGGTGATACCACCGTTCTCCCACTCGACCAAGAAGGTGTTCCCCCACTTCTCCAGAAGCCGTTTGACTGGGTAAGTCTCCATAGCTGCACTGCCGTTAGCTAAAATTAATCGACATCGTTCCATTTCAAGAAACTTACAGTGCCACATAGGTGTAGCCGCACCGTTCTCCCAAGATGGCGGTGCTGGGCATGTGCTCGGAAGACTGAAGGTGAGCACAAACTGTCCACCCTCGGCAGGTATGTTCAGGACTGCATTAGAGAGCTTCCACAGCTCAAGGGCATGCGCAGCCTGAGCCTTGTTGTTCCGTCGGGGCGTGAGCGCACAGCCGCCAGAACGGTGTCCCGGTGCTCGCTTCTTGATAGTCACCCTGTTCGATCCGGAGTCCCGGGGTTGTGTTTTGCAGCCTTTGGAAGCCCTGAAGGATACCCGCCGATTCGCGAGCTGGGTTGTTTGGCTTGGCGGAAGACCGGGACTGCGCGGAGCCACCATTGGTGCTGTGTGTGGGTCAGGAGCCGCGTTGATCCGAGTAGATGAGATCCGAGTAGATGACTCGGTATAGGCGAGTCGAGCGCTTGTGGTAGGATGTGGGAGGCCCGTGATCAAACCGTCGAGGTGGAACGCTTCGTGCGAACGGCTTCCCGTTGCCGGAGCCGCTGAGCCGAGACCAGTCCTCGGTGTGCTCGACAGAGGCTCCTCACGCTCGCTGTCTACGGCTCTTTCGACCTGCAATGAGTGCAAGGGGCGGTCGATGTCGGTACGAACTGTGGTCAACTATCTGTCAGTAGGTTGCGTATAGAACCGAGAGTAGGGCACGTACAAGTTGGTGGATCTGTGGCTAAGTTCCGGCGTCGTGAGTTTTCGCTTGCACCAGTATTGATGCCCAGGTCGTTACTTCCAGTTGTTTCTGAAGCTCCCTTTCGCTCATATCGATATAGCGAATTGAATGATGCCTCCCACTTCTCCGTATCGCTCATGCTGTCGTCCACGTCTTCTCCCATAACGTAGGTGTTCTCATCGACGTCAATTTCCAAGGCGTCTGCCGAACGGACCGACGTTGCCAACGGCTCGTTGTCTCGCTCGATGGGCTTGGAGGGGCTCAAAGGCGATCTGCATCGTCCGCGGGGTGACTCTGCCGGATTGCGAGCACTCGAGAGACTCGTGCAAGGCTCCGAGGGTCCCAATGGATCGTTTGCAGATACCGATGCGGGAGAAGGGTGTTGTTTGCTGGTGGTGCATGTGTCGACATGGGAAGCGACAGGCAGGTTGTAGTCCTTGCGCCCGACGTCTTCCGCAATATCGCTCTCGCTATGCGAGGACTGGTGGGCGACCCTTCGAGCTGGTTTGTGACGATAACTGGACCAGCTGTCGACTGACTCTGTGTCGCTCGAATCGTCAACGACGATGATGCCAACTTCTGGCATGGTGGTTGTAAGGTGCTCAAGATCGGGCGTGTGTGGAAGATCAGGCGTGTTGAGGCCCGAGCATGTGTGCAAAACTGAAGAGATGAGATTGTCTGGCTCAGTTGATGAGTTGCAAAGAATCCAAGCTACCTCATATACCCGATCCAGCGAGTGCCCTCCAGGGTCATACTTTTGTGTCGTTGGCATGAACCTCCCTGGCGTCCGACCTGGTCCAGGTAGCGGCGCTCGAGGACAAGTCCGCCCAGCGTTAGGTGAAAAGGGCCACCTGACCACGGAGGCCAGAAAGCAAGACCTCGTGGTGCCATGATGACGCGGCAGAGGCAGCCACCTGACCACGGGGGGCCAGGGAACGGGACTTCGTGGTGCCACTGATGGCAAGGCAGTCTCAGGTGGGAGGGGCCATCTGACCAAAGGATGTGTTGTGGTGCGGCGGAGGCAGCCGCCTGGCCGCGGAGGCCGGAAAACGTGACTTCGTGGTGCCACTGATGGCAAGGCGGTCTCAGGTGGGAGGGGGGGGTGAAGAAAATGGCACCTCGTAGTGTCGCGGAGGTGGCAGTGAGGAGAGCTCCACCTTGCACAGTCGTGACAGTATCGCAAAAGCTCTCGCAAGAGCTCTCGCGAGGCCTGTCTCCATGAAAGGTCGTGAAGTGAGATCGGATATGTGAAGTTCAACAGTGTTGCGGGATGCTCGTAGCTGACGATGGGTGTTTTGGGGGCTCAAGTGCAGGGAACTTGTGCCTGTGATGCCACATTGGAGTTATGGTGGCTTCCGCAGGGGCATCTCCCAGCTGGAGACGAGGGAAAAGGATGTTGGAAGAAGGAGGAAGTAGGATTGACTTGGAAGGTACTTTGATGATGTTGACCTTGTATTTATATGCGGTTCTGATGCACAGTCGGAACACCTACCAGGGGGGAATACGCTAAGCCACTTTAGGCCGAACACCGCATTCCGCTTTACGGAAAGTGTCATCCAGACACGGTCGTATCTCAATGCAATCTTGCAATGATATACCACATGAAGTATAGGCGCATGATTGGAAGGGAGACTGATCTTGGAGTAAACAGGCTGGGAATGAGCGGGAGCCAAAGAATGACCGCCATGCCGGCGGCTTGGCAATTGTGCGAGGTCATGACATCGCAATACGACATCGTGTCGCATTAGAGAAGCCGTTGGCCACGGCATAGAGGCCAGTCAGACAGTCCTCGTCAGATACGAGCTTGCTAAGATAATGGCCGGAGCTAATGCCCGTTATAGCTGCGGTTATCTCCCATCGTAGTCATCATCGTTCGGCGTCCAGAGAAGCTCGGGCTTGTTTAGTTGCGTAGAAGCCGCTCAGCAACGATTGTAACAGGACAGAAGTCTGGCTGTGACGGGATGATGCAGGCCATATAGCACCTCCGAGTTGCGTCTTCAGGAAGCGCGCAGTGGACTATCGAATCATCAACGGAATAACAGTCACAAGGCATGCGGGAACGGGCCTGGCTGGCTCCGGACTGCCTGGTCCGGAGATGACACTACATCGCAACCAAGATGCTCTGTCTGCTGCCCTGTTCTTTGAGCTCATTGAGAGAGGCACGCATACACTGCGGTCCCAGGGGTTAGCACTCCAAACAGTGGAAGTTGGAGGCGGCTCTATCGCCAGACTAACACTTGTAAATATCTTGCCGGTGGGGTTCCCGCCCTGCGCAGACGGAGGGGGGGCAACGATAGTGCAAAGCAGGCCAGACGAAAGTCTGGTGATAAGGCGCACCCGAAGTCCGAATTTGACCGCTCAGTCTGCGGTAGGGACGACCGTAGGCTGGCCTAAGGCGCAATTGGTGTTAAGGTTCGGGAGCATGTTCATCCCGACCTTTCAGGCTAGTGCGAGATTCCGGTTGTATGGGATGGTTTGAAGTCGAAAACTGTACCTAGAGAACTTACACTAAGTTAAATAAGATGGAGGTCGCAAAGAGAAGGGAAGTAAGGTCAGACATCCGCGGCGGGTCCTCACCACAGAGATGCCCTCGGCACTCCACCCGGATGGTTGACACCTCGCCGCGTTCCAAGTCATGGCTGGAGGACGTCGTACTGGCCAGATGTGCTGATGCCTGGCTTTGCCGCCATGATTTAGATCGCTACTGGCTAGAACGCGACGTCTAATCTGTACCTTCGTGGCCTCAGGGAAAAAACAAATGCATGTCTCTCAACACTAATAATTCAATGATGCCAGTAAGACATTGTGACGAGCACCAGTTAAGCCGTTATAGTAGGAAGAAGGAGAGAAGAAACTTGAAGTTTGCTGCAACTACGCTTGGTGGCCAGCGAGGACGTTGGGGGCAAAGCAACGTGACGGATTGTCGTGATCGAAGTTTTTGCCGTGTGCGTGTTGAAGACTATAAGGATACCATTGGCAACTCGTGCAATCAACCCTGAGTCAAACAAGGCACACTCATGCATTTTAAAATGTGTGCACGTATGCCGGCTACCTTTCGCGCTCATCCCGACAGCAGCTTGACGATAGGCAAAAGCAGGGATTAAAGTGAATCGTTGGAAGCTGTTTGATAACATTGTGCTTGCTATCAGGTTGCCTTTGACCATGCTCGTGCAAATACAGGCAGGATAGCTAGATCTGCAGGGCCGGGCCGGATAGCAGCTCTGCGCGGGATAATCAAATGCTGACAGGCTCGCTTTCACTCGCCATTGCATCCACCTGTACACGATCAGTGTAGTTTGTCGTGGAGCAGACACGACGCCGAAAGGTGCTTGCAACCCGAGATTGCTGGCTCGAGCGCTTTCGACCATGTAAGACTCGATTGGGCTTTGAACGTGTAACAGAAACGGCATGACAGCCCAAACTGGCTATTTAGTATAGAAGCAGATCTGATGCAGCATCCAAGCAAACAACCACCCCGTTACGCATTTTTCTTGGTACGCCCTCGCTTGGACAAAAAGTCGTTTCGACCACCGATGCTCTCCCAGTACGCGTCCAGTAGCTCGGGCGCAATCTTCTTCAACTTGACCTCGGTCTCCCAGCTCGTGTTGCCTTTCGTGGCCGAGTAGCCCACCCACTGGACCTCCAGCATGAAGCTGCCCTGGGGCTTCTTCTCGTGGTTGAGGATACGGAACACGTGGTACACTTCCGACTCGATCTTGAACAGGACGCGGTCCCTGCCTCCAGCCTTTTCCCAATAGCTGAAGAGGAGCTCGCTTGCGCCCTCCTGTACCTCCGTCTCGGGTTCCCACGTGGCTGACTCTGGCGACTCGCCCTGCCAGTGGACCAGCAGATCTACGCTCTTGTCCTCCAGCATCTTGTGGTCGAGTAATGCGTGGACCTCTGTCACATCGCCGTTCTCCTCTTGCATGACCTCTTCGGCCTTGGCCTCCCCGGGCGCTGTTGACGTCTCTGGTTGTATCTCTGCTTGGGTCGGCTGTGGGTTGTCTGGCTGTAGGCGCGCAGCATCGGGCATGCGCGCATGCTCTAGGTTCGCCTCTGGATCTACGTAGGAATCAGTTGCCTTTACGCCATCGCTCGAGAGTCGGGCGCTGCGACGCTCTGGGAGGGGTCATCATGTCAGCAGTGCTCCACGAGTCTGTGACGGCTGCCGCTGCTAATGGGGACGCGGTCGGCGGCCACGCACTAATTCTCTCAACGCTATGCGGTACGGTCCCGGGCGCATACATGCCCGGATTGATCTTGCGCGCCTTGTTCGTGGTCGGGGTTGTTTGCGCCGCGTCGTCGCCATCTACAGGGCCGGCTATGGTCAGCATGCTCGGCGCGCGGAGGAGCGCCATGGAGCGCTAAGGGCTTACGGGCGACCTGGGTCGAACCTTCTACGCCGGGGATGTCGTCGTAGAGATCGGGCTTGCGCTTGCGCGTGTCCGTGTCCAGTATCGCATTCATCTGGGCGAGTGTGGCGGCGTGGGCGGAAGGGACCCCTAGGGTCTGCTTCTTGGGAGTGAAGACGGCGTTGACGGTATACGCGAGTCCCTTTACGAATCCGGCCATGGTCAGTCTGGGGCGATAAGTGCGCAGGATGGGCGGGCTGCTCTGTGTGATTCAACGGACGACAAAGCGGTAATAGGTGCGGCAGGAAACTGTTTGGAGGTGAACGATGCGTAGGTGCAGAGGCAGGCACGACCTGGACGGGTCGGGGCCTTGCGTCTGGCCGTGCCGCTGCTGGTCCGGGTGTTGGGGATTGGGAAGGGAGAGAGGACTGACTGGTAAAGATAATGCAGCGCGTGTGTGTAGCAGAGGCGAGTCCGGTGCGACCTTTGCTACAATGCGGCAAGACAACAACACCGGGTAATGACGCCGCCTTTGTAACGGAGGGGAGGGTGGCTGACTCGTAGGCGCTAACCACCCATTACAATCCGCAAGTCTAGTCTAGCACGGTGCTTGAAGACCAAAATCTAGTCAGTCTACTCCGTACGAGTGGATAGTGCACTGTACCGGCGCTTACCCGAATGGGCTTGTTAGCGTTTATTGTTTCTATGGAAACGGGAAATGGGGATGGAAAGCGCGACGCCTCCTCTGCAAAACAGGCCAAAAATACTCTGCTTCACCAGCACCGCCACCGGCATCTAAAATTATGGGACCGCCCACGCAGGCACTGAGTTCGTAGCACTTGTCCCACCAAAATCTGACCAGAGTGCAGTGCTGAGCCTAAACCCCAGACCAGACCGGGTCCCTGTTTGTCTACTCAAGGTATCGAGTCTTAGGTCGAAAATGCAGTTGCAGAGACAGTGGTTGAAAGTTCCGATGATTAATTTTTGATTTGATATAACTAAAGCCGCTTTATATGCGAAGCGGGATTAAAGTATATCGACGAGAAAGACATTACGTCAGCGGATGTCTGGGGCGGGTTATAACATGAGTGTTCGATCCAGCTTGGCCCTGCCCGACAGCAATAAGCAAGTCGAACGTATCGACAGAAGCGCAATACTAGCAGAACAAAACCAGATCCCCACTGAGGAGCTCAAATGAGCTACAGATTTCATGCGTCCCGGCATACGCGCCATTTGGGGCGACACGTACATGTTGCTGGTCCAGTCCTGGGCAGCAGTAACCGCAGTAGCACCATTGATCACGGCGAGGTTGGCACCGCCGCTAGCGAAATGCCAAACGTGTTACTGTCGTCTTTCTTGGGATTGTACGAACAGTCTCCGTTCTGTGCCTGCTGGGCCTGCCAGTACAGGCTCGACAGGCCGACCGAGTTCGTGTCGGTAATCTCAGAGGGGAAGGCGAACTAGATGTTGTTGCTGCGCTGGTTGATCCCCACTCCTCGAGGAACACCTTTTCCCATTAGCCTGGCTGATCCAGCTGTACATACTGGTGCTCCAGCGGCCGGGCACGCTCGCGCAGCGGCGCACCGCGACGCCGTCGATGGCCACGCATCGCGTGACGGCAGGAGCAAGGTACAGCCGTAGCTGAAGACGGCGCCGAGGCCGCCGGTCGAGATGAGGAGATGCGAATTGAGACCCTGGTTGCGGATGTGTGTGGCGCAGCCGCCGGCCTAGCCCTTAGGGTCGGCCCTCTCGCAGTAGCCGTCGCCGAGGGTCATAGGTTCGTTCTATAGAAGGTAGGTGTGTGAGTTTTAGGCACGCGGAAGGGGTGATAGCACTCGTTCTGCCCATGACGACAAGCACACGACGCTGTTACTCGCTCATCTGCAGGTTGCAGCTGAAGATGATTTACGGCTACTTCTTCCACACCTTGCCCGAGGATACGCCCTTGTAGCTTACAATGTAGATTAGGCGAGCATCATAGACGTTAAAGGTGTCCCGCTGCTCGTAGAAGTTGTCCGAGCCTCAGCATACAGCGTATGCGTCTCTGAGATCACAAGTATCCTCGTCACTACCTGGTCGAAAATTTGTGATACCTGCAGTTCGTGGGAATAGTCTCAGCTACCTTTACCAGGACTCGCTTCCTATAGTCGCTGCTTCAAGTGTTTACGTCATACGGCGAGCTGATGGCCTTAATATTTCTTGATTAAGGGCTTGACCAGCAAATTGTCCACCTCGTCGAGCATGACCTTGTACGAGCCCATGGTAGTCTCGAGGGGCGGGCTGTCGCGCACGATTTTGCTGGCCATCTCGTAGCCGTCTTTACGTGCTTGGTTCACGTAGAGGCAGATGACCTTGGCTTTGGCCGCGGACAGCGTATTGATGTACCTGTCCCGCACCTGGTCCGACAGACCCTTTAGGTAGTAGTTCGACGTGCCGGACTACGAGACGGACGCGTACGTCTTAGGTAGGGCCGCGAAGGCGAGGGACAAGACTGTGGAGAAGGCCTTTATAGTATCGAGAAGAGAAACGTCTGATGAGAAGTGGCAGTTACTGCGGCTGATACTGGGGCTAAGTTAACAAGCTTTCCGTTAAAGTGGCATACCTCTACGATTTATAGTCGTCAGTCACGACAGAACGCTCAGCCTAGCAAAGTCATAGTGATGTTTCGTCTTGTTACCAGACTTCAAGAAGACAGTGAAGTATGTGCGACGTTGCCCACAAGTCCGCTATCCTCCTCCCTATCTCGAACTCGAAGTAGGCTGCAGTGGAATAGTTGGAGATCTGCAGGGATATCGACGACTCCGAGGTTTGGGGTACAGGTCATGTGACTCTAGCTTGCTTGATTACTCCTCCGTCGCACTATACCACTCGTCTTCGCTGACACATTCTCTGGCGCCGTTGTTGTCCTGGACAGCCTGGACTTCGAGATAGGGGGGCAAGTCGCGCAACTCACTAACTATTGGTCTTGTCTTAGCGTAGGTAACGAGAACATTGCGTCCACTTTTTCGACGACTTTTGGATCTGGACTCTTAATGTAAGTTGGAGACCCCCCTGGCGACCACCCCCCATCACGACCAGGGGTCGCGTCGCGACGCGACTCAACACCCCACCATACATTTCTTCATATATAACCGTTGCCTCGCGTCGGGACGCGTCCATTCCACCACTATTCTGCTCCCCAGAAATGAGGCTATCACCATGGTGCCAAAACACTACAAAAAGCGCGCCCTGCGCGCTCTCGACGACGTTGAGGATGGCATGTCGGTCCAGGGCGCCGCAGAAAAGAACGACATCGACAGGTGCTACCTGCGTCGTCGGATCCTAGGCACGCCGACTGCCCTCCAGAGTTATCAGGTGCGGCAGACCCTCTCCGTCACACAAGAGGCTTATTTGGTCCGTTGGGCTCTTGATCAGGCGGCAATCGGCTATGCGGCGCCGTTAAAGCAATTTAAGCACTTCGCGATGCGTCTCCTCGCTCTGGAGGGCATGCCGCAGAAGCTCGGTCGACGATGGTACGAACGATTCCTCCGCCGCCACCCCGAGATCCGAACCTCTAAGTCACGACTTATCGAGTACAAACGGTATAACGGCGCCTGCAAGGCCAATATCGACATCTTCTTCGAGCGACTGACGTCATTGAACGCCAAAAAACTACGGCCCGAGAACATCTGGAACGTCGACGAGTGTGGAGTGGCGGAGGGCCTCGGTCACAATAGCTTTGTGGTCCCCGATGCCCTCCGCGACTTCACATTGAAAAAGGACGGCGCGCGGAGGACGTGGATAACGATAATTGAGGCTATCTCTGCCAGCGGCGCGTTCATCCCTCCACTGGTGATCTTCAAGGGCCAGTCTGTACAGCAACAGTGGTTTCCTGACGTCAACCTCACCAAGTGGCAGAAGTGGCATTTCGAGACATCTCCGAACGGTTGGACCAGCAATGACATTGCCTTGAAATGGCTCAAAGAGCTGTTTATTCCGCATACGAAGCCGGCAGACCCTGAGGAATGGCGATGCCTGATTCTAGATGGCCACAAGTCCCATTCAACCGTCGAATTTATGTCAGAATGCTTCACCAATAAGATCTGGCTGTTGTTCCTTCCGGCGCACACATCACATGTGCTTCAGCCACTAGATGTTGGGGTGTTCTCTGCGGTATTGGCCGGTGCCTTGTCCGTCGATTCTGCGAGCTCGGATACCGCGTCTATGTCCTGGACATACAGGAGGACGAGCTCGAGCACACCGTCCGCAAACACTTGAAGAAGTATTCGGACGCGGGTCAGCTTGGCTATGGCCTGTGCGATCTGCGCGACACGGCTGACATCCGGAAGCATGTCGACGAGGCGGCCAAGTTCTTGGGCGGCAGGATCCATGTCCTCGTCAACAATGGCGGCATTGCCCACCCCTTCTGGAAGGATGGGAAGACCATGGCTGACCAAGAGACGTTGGAGGAATGGAAGGCGTGAGTCAAGTTCGATGATGTGACGGCCGGCGTTATAACACGAAGCTGACCAAACTATCACAACAGCTATATCGATACAAATCTCACGGCTCCCTTCGCTGTATCTCAGGCCTGCATACCATACATGCGCCACGAGGCCGACAGCCAGGAAGCCCGCCATGACGACGACAGCGAGGCTGGGCCGTGCATCATCCACATCAGCAGCTTCCGCGCGCACCACAGCGATCCGAACCAGGAGGGCTACGCGAGCAGCAAGGCGGGCCAGCTGGGCCTGATGCACAGCATGGCCGTCAGCCTGTCGCAGTGGGGTATCAGGGTCAATGTCGTCTCGCCGGGCCGGATCAAGGCGACGCACGAGTGCAAGGAGGGCGACGAGAAGGGCACGGAGTGGGCTCATCTGAACGAGAAGCAGGACGTGGACGACCACTTGTCGAACCGGGCGGGGAGGCCCAAGGATATTGCGGACGCAGTCGAGTACCTGGTAGATGCCGGGTTCGTGTCAGGACATGAGATTGTGGTTGATGGAGGTGCGAGCAAGATCAAGGCCCGGATGGGCGCCATTAACCTGCCATCTGGTGGATAGACGCTTGCCAGTGAGACTCTCTGGAATTGATCTCGATTGAAAAGGCAGATTACGGCGTAAGTGCGTCTTGCGAAGAGGACCGAGCTCGCTTCCTTGCCATCTGGCCAACAAAGCTATGCCATGCAATTGTGCTTGCTTTGGACACGTCTGCTGCTATGAACATGGCCTTCAATTTACACCGACCAACTCCTTCTCTACCTAGGACCTGACTGGACAACCTTTACAGGAATAAGAGTGCATGCGGAATTTCTCTGAAAGTCATGATCGGAGTAATGTGAGCCGGCACACTGTGGTTCCACGAGCGAACAGTACAGGTACTCGACCTAATGTAGTCCAATACCAGTCACATTTCTACTGTACCAATGCAGAAACATCTTTCTACAAGCCTGGACACCGGCCGTCGACAAATCTTTGTATCTTATATCTCAAAGTGTGCGGACTGGCTAGTCGGATGCTTGGGTACTAATTCTCCCGGCGCTGAGCATGCGACTGGACGATTTGCACAGGAGTTCCGCCGTGAACCTCGAAGGACGTCCCCTCCATCATGACGCCATCGACAAGGATCCTGCTCTCGGAAAGGCCAACGAGCAGCGGGGAAGGCAACTTGACCGTGCCCTTGGTCCCTTCAGGCCCCTGCACGGTCATGCTGAGCAGGCCGCTGACGCCGCAGAACGCCCACTCGACCCGAAGCGGCCCGGCGGGCGTCGGGACCCTGCCACGGGCCCAGCGCTCGCCGAGCGTCTGCGGCGCGACGGCCCAGCTCGTCCAGCCGGGACGGGTCGCGGAGGCGCCGAGCATGAAACGGCTGAGCTCGGCGGTTGGCCCAGCGGCCCAGCCATGCGCGAGGCTCGTGCGGAACCCAAACGCTGGCGCGCCGTCGGCATCGAGCGTCTCCCAGAAGCAGCCCGTGTAGTTGGCATTGTTCTTGTCGGCCATGGGCGCCCACAGCGTGTCAAGCAACTCCTGGGCCGCGGCGCTGTTGCCAGTCGCGAGGGCTGCGCGGAGGTGATAGCCTGATGCATACGGGCTGATGTAGCGCTGAAAGCCATAGGTTGTTATGGTTCCTGTTGAGAAGGCCAGGGGCCCACGAGGCGTGGAGAGCTGCTCTGACAGCGTCGCCAGGATTCGCTCGGACGAGTGCGTGGGGTCGATATTGACACCCGCGAGAATGGCGATGGCGTTGGCGTCCTGGGCAAAACCATCACGATTCACCTCGGACATTACGTACGCCCCGAGGTCCTCGCTCCAAAGCTGCGTATCGATCGCGGTCCGTAGTGCAGTGAGGCGGTCCTGCTAGACGGCCGTGTCGATTCCGCCGTCGGTGAGCAGCTGCGCTGTCTCCTGAAGAGCGTACGCGTAGAGGACGTTGAACTTGGTAACGGCGCCAGACTGCACTGGTTCGTAGTAGTTCCAGTCACCGCCGAATGAAGCATCCGACAAGTTGAACAGCCCGCTTGGCTGCAGCTGCGAGTGGGACCAGTCAAGCATCCTCTGCACTTTGGGCGCCCACGTCTTGGCGAAGTCGACATCACCAGTGTGTGTATATGTCTGGGCGACCGCGGTCAGCAGATTCCACGAGTAGCCGATAAGACCAGTGATGTTGAAATCCATCGGTGCCGCAGGGCCTTGCTGGATCTTTGCCGTGGGAATGAAGAATCCAGGCGTGGCCTGAAGCGAGCCAAAGAGCTTCAAGGTCCCCAGGATGAACTCTAGGCCGTGTGTGCTTGCGAGGGCCGCAGTTCCTGCAATGTCAAGGTCGCCGGTGTAGGCGATGCGGTCCCGCCGTGTCGCATCTACCGATGTATCAAGAGGGTTTGTGCCGACCAGGAAGTCATTGAAGCAGGTCTCGTCGGTGAGCGAGTGCTCGTAGGTCGTTGCACCGGCGGCGTCAGTCACTTTCAGCTCTCTGAAGACGGCCCGGTGGCCGAACGAAGCACCCAACCCGTACGAGCCAAAGAACCTGCTGGTCTGTGTGAGCTCGAGAGCCGTGTTGCCGTCGATCGATACCTTGATATCGGTGACCGCAACTTGTACGTGGACCTGATACCAGACGTCCAGCTTGTCGATCACTCCCGCGGCAAGCGCTTTCTTCTCCAACAAGGTGTCCTCGGTAGTGCCTCCGAGATAAGCAGCAATGGATCCATCAGAAATGTCCACAGAGATGTAGATGCCGCTGTTCAGAGTGTCGGACTGGACGATGAAAGCGAACCCGCCTTTCAGGGCCTTTACTTTGAAGTCGAGATTATAGGTGGTCGATGACGCCGCAACCAGGCCAACAGCAGCTTGCGGAGCCTGGCTGTCGACCAGAATGCCCTCACTCGAAACCTGCCAGAAGTCCGGGACAGATTTCTTGGGGATCTCACTAAGCTGGATCGTTCTGGCTCCGTCGGTCCAGATGTCGTTGAGAGCGCTGTTGGAGGTGCGGAAGGATCCGGGAAGATCTGTAAGGGGAGTCCGATGTACGGTCGGGGTGACGCCGAGATTACGAAGGACAAGTCCGCCGACCGAGGAGAGATTGAGCTTCTGGTAGCGAAACCCCCCCTGTACTAGGCGGTTCACTATCTGCCCTGGCGCTGAGATGTTGTATTGGTTGACGCGGTATGTGTCCATGGCAGCTGCAAGCGGAAGCGGCCCATCGCCCTATTGAATAAGGACGAATCACTTAGGGCGTCAAGCGTCAAGTCCATTGTCCAAATTTACACCAGGTCCATACCATGTAGCGGCTCAGCGCGGCCTTCGTCTCGGAATAAGTGACCTCGAACACGGACGTGTCGCCAACGGTGCTGACAACTTCAAAGGATGGAATTCCCTCTGTCTCGACACCGTAGTCGAGGACCAGGATGCCAGGCGCGTTTTGCGTCGCAGTCAGCGCTATCAGCCCGTCTTGCGCCGTGACAAGTTGGTTGCTGTTACGGATACCACTGATTGATCTTTGCGGCTGTGTCGCGTGGAGAGCCGCACCCGTGGCGAGGGCAGCAAGACTCAGGAGGACATACCCAGAGAGTGCGCGAGGTATCATCCTGGCAAGGGGAAGCTGGTGATTGCGAAGTAGCAAAGAATGACTTATTGTAAACGACAGGAAATATAATGAGTGTGCTGACATGAGAGTAAAAGGTCAAGACGCACTTTGCAGAGACAAACGCTCATTTATGAGCATCGAATGGGAACACTCGAGCCATGAGAGGATGGGCTACAGGGAAGGACCGGAGTAGACAGCTCCGCCGACTGCCATAAATTCCTCTGCGGCTTGAACGTGCCAGGCAGCCGGGATGCTGTGCGTGGTGGAGTGCCGCGCCTTGAGTGCCAGGAGTGAGTCGTGTCGTGGCTGAGCCGAGGCACCGTACCTAAACGAGCAGCAGCGTAACTAAACGAGCATCGTCCAGTAGCGCTGCAACTACCGGCCGGTCGCGGTGGTGGCCCGCGGTGGGGCCGGGACATTATGCTTTCTCCAGCGTGACATGCCGATGCCATGCACTAAGTAGTCTGGATGTAGTAAGTGTTCCACTTGAGTTTTGCCTGGTCCTTTAGGGCTCTGCCGCTCAGCCGCTTCGCCTTACGTAGGGTGGTAGACGACGAAGAACTGCCCCGTATCTGCTTATCCTGCAGCCTAATGCCGCCCAGCCGCTTCACACCAGATCATCAAGGACTGCCCTGTATTTCCTGGTGCTGCAGCGTAGCATTGTCATTTCATGAATTGTCTCTGATCTCCTATCTTCTCTTGCTGAATCCTTGTGCCAGCCAACTTCCTACGTACCCTAGGCCCCATCTGACACTGCACACTTGACCAACAATCGGTATCGCGATGTCCACGCCCGTGTCAATCAAGACTCAGCCTGGCAGCCGCCGCTCCTCGATGGACGACATCCCACCGCCGCCGTATGAGTTGATCTCGACTGGCCCACTGTTGACGACATCGACAAGTCTGACGTGTAAGTCCGCATGTCGTGCTTTGGCCTCATCCTAGAGCCGTGAAACTAATGATGGCTGCTGCCAATAGCGGATGGTACGCTCAACGTAGCCTTGTCGTCGTCCGACCCAGCCAAGCTTGGCAGCCTCATTCCCGAGGCTCGTCCCACGACCAAGCTCCATCATCAATTCAGCACCCAGCAATCCGAGCACCGCACGAGGCCAGTCCCCAACCTCAACGTAGTCATACAGGTGGTCGGAAGCAGAGGTTCGCCATCAACCCTGCGCGTGCGTCTGTGCAGCTAGCGTTAGATAGCTGACCATGAGCTTGCAGGCGACGTTCAACCATTCATTGCCTATGGCATCGCCCTGCAGAGACACGGCCACCGAGTCCGGTTGGCCACTCACGGGTGCTTCGACAAGTTTGTTCGGGATTCTGGCTTGGAATTCTACGACATCGGAGGCGACCCGACAGACCTTATGGCGGTGAGTAGTAGCCTCGGTGCGAGTATCACGAGTACCACCCTCAAGTCATGCCAAGACGGCCAAGTCGACCATCACTTCCCCCCACGCTGACCACTATTTTGTGTTGGTGTAGTACATGGTCAAGAACCCCGGCCTCATGCCGTCGATGGAAGCGATGCGCGGGGGCGACATCGGGCGCAAGCGCAAGATGATGGCCGAGATGCTGCACGGCTGCTGGAAGTCCTGCGTCGAGCCGGACGCCGGCACGGGCCGGCCTTTTGTCGCCGATGCCATCATCGCCAACCCGCCAAGCTTCGCCCACGTCCACTGCGCGCAGGCGCTCGGGGTCCCCGCGCACGTGATGTTTACGATGCCCTGGAGCGCGACGCGGGCGTTCCCGCACCCCCTTGTCAAGATGACCGCAAGCGACATGGAGCCTGGCGTCGCCAACTGGCTCACGTACGGCCTGGTAGAGCTCATGACGTGGCAAGGGTGCGCAGCTTGATTGCCCTGTTTGCCAAGGAGTGATGATGCTGACGATAACGTGATGTAGACTAGGCGACGTGATCAACAGTTGGCGCAAGAAAACGCTCGACTTGGATCCCGTGTCGAACACGGTAGGGCCATCCATCGTGAGCTATCTTCAAATTCCGCACACCTATTGCTGGTCGCCGGCCTTGGTCGCGAAGCCCGGTGACTGGGGGGCGGAGATCGGTATGTCCTCTTCTGCCTGATTATACTTTGGCAGGTCGTGTCTCTCCTTTACCATTACACGAGGAAACCGACATGCAGTGCAGACAAAGGGAGACCTGTCTGCTGACCGGATGGAATAATGATGTACAGATGTCTGCGGGTTCTTCATGCGGGACGAGCCAGAGTACAGTCCGCCGGCGGACCTCGCTCGCTTCCTCTCTGCCGGCCCGCCACCGTTATATGTCGGTTTCGGCAGCATTGTCCTGGAAGATCCGGAGCGTCTACACAGCGTGATACTCGAGGCGGCGCGGGCTTGCGGACTCCGCCTGCTCATCTCGCGCGGATGGAGCAAGCTCGGTGGCGATAGTATCAGTAATGCTGATGTCTTCTATCTCGAAGACTGCCCGCATGGTAAGTGAACTCTCCGAGACGACAGCAATCTGCACAGCTCCCAGTACGCTGCTGAAACTCCGCTGGTGGAACCTCAGAATGGCTATTCAAGCAGGTCGTGGCTGTCATGCATCACGGAGGGGCTGGCACAACTGCCTGTGGGCTTATCAATGCGCGGCCGACCCTGATTGTGCCATTCTTTGGCGAGTAAGTGTAACTTCACTCGTGCGTTTCGTGCACGCCTCACCAAGTGTTATACTAATCACGTTGTTGTGCAGCCAGCCTTTCTGGGGCAATGTCGTCGCCAGCGCAGGAGCAGGCCCGGCTCCCATCCCGCAAAAGGAGCTGAAAGTAAGCGTCTTAGTGCAAGGATTCAATTATTTGACCTCAGCACCGGCAGCCGAGGCTGCGCGAGCCATTGCACAGAAGATGCGGAGTGAGACAGGTGTCCAGGCCGCCGTTGAGTCTTTCCATCGCCACCTCCCGCGTGATGCTATGTCGTGCGACGTCACGCGAAGCCAGGTTGCCAGATGGACCGTCAGCAAGAACAAGCGGGTGGTCAAGCTTTCGGACCAGGCTGTAGCTGTGCTTATAGCACGCAAGCTAATCAAGCTGAATGAGCTAGAACCGTGAGTTTCCCCCCCTTCAAGAATCTCTGACATTGTTCTCGGACTAAATGGTTCCCGGACAGGCTTCGCGTGAAGGAGCTAGACACGGACGTTCGTCGCTGGGATCCGGTCTCAGGCGGCGCTGCCTCCACCCTCGGCGTCGTGACAGACTTCACGGCTTCCCTCGGCGGCCTCTTCATAGACCCGTACAAGGCGTACAAGCACGCCTCTACGATCGGGAGCTCTGCATCCGCGGCCGGCAAAGCGACCGTGGCCGTGGGCGGCAGTTTCGCCAAGATGACGGGCGTGCTGGTCAAGGGGACTCTAGTCGACACGCCCCTCGCCCTCGCAGAGGGCATGAAGAACGTCCCGCGGCTATACGGAGAAGAGGTCAAGGACCATGGAAAAGTGACGGACTGGAAGAGCGGTGGCACTGTGGCAGCCAAGGTTCGTACTTCAGTACGCTGGACCGGAACTCGCGATATAGTTGCTGACCCGTTCGCCACAGACTTTCGGAGATGGAATGTATCACGGAGTCACGGGTGTCGTCATGCAGCCATGGCAAGGCGCCAAGAAAGAAGGCTTCGTGGGTTTCTTGAAGGGTGCTGGCAAAGGCACAATGGGGCTCTTGACCAAGCCAGGCACAGGTACGCTTTCAATCTCCCATAGTACTTCGACTCGCTTGCTGCTTCCACTGCTCAGCAAGGATTGGAGTCGACGTTACTGACGGCTGCCTCTTGTAGCATTATTTGGCTTGGTGGGCTACCCGGCCCTGGGGATCCAGAAATCGCTGATGGCCAAGAAAGGCAGAACTCAGGCAGTCCTGAGATCCAAGGGAGCCCAAGTTGACGCCATGGCATCGCAGTTATCTTCTGTCGATGATTCTGAAATCGAGGAGATCATGAAATGGTTCCGGCACCAGAGTGGGCGTGCTTGATATCAAACGTTGGAACAGACTGCTCGATAGCTGTTACTGAACAAGCGTACCATTCACCGCGATCCGCAGATATATAGTATGAATATATATTTTGAAGCTTCAATCTTTTGCCTCATCAATGATGGTGTTCCTCTGTGTTGGCTTTTCTAACCGACACCTGGTGTGTTTGTACAACAGCCACAGACTTTTGGTCAGGAAGACGTGTGGAATGACACCAACGTTGTGATCGTGGGCAGTGACGCCAAGCTTCCCTCTCCGTCGGCAAAGATGTTGGAGCTTTCTGTTTAGGGCGCCGTATGCCTCAGTCTGTGCGCAACATGGTGGCGAGTTCTATTCTCGGCCTTGGCACAGCAAGTTGTCAACGCGCAATCCATGCTCATTTGCAACTCCGCCCTACGCCAAGTTAGCGGGTTTCGGTGGACTCGGCCCCACCGCCGGTTCGGGATGGAGCGTATAGATGCGCATTTCGGATAGAATACGACAGCTGCAAGCCACTACACAACTTGCCGCGCGCGCAGGCACCAGCATGTCTCTCATGCCAACTTCCAGGCGAGTTTTCGCTCAATTTTGTTGCTGCCTTGTGCCCCCCTGCGGGACGAATCTCTTGGACAGGGTCAACACAGCCTCAAATGGTTCTGAACACAGACCCGCTGCTCATGCACACCAGCCTCGCTCGCGGTACGACTCGGAGATCTGATGGTTTAGTCTTTCGTTCTCGGGTCAGGTACGAACCGGGCCTTGGTCCATTCCATACCGATTTTCAAAAGGAAGCATCCTTCTCTTAAACAGTCTTGAATGCCGGCCACACTACTAGTTCTACACTCCCTCGATCCCCGACTCACAATCGTTTGACTGCCACAGGACCGCTCGACAGGAAACCGTTCCTCTCCCGTCCCGACCTTTGTTAACTCTCTCACGACAATTACCCGACTCGATCTCGATCTCGATCATCCGAAGATGGCAGACCACTCTGGGGCCAGCGAAGCAGGTGGTGGTGGATTGGACTTTGCGTTGTACCGCTACGACGTATCGCTGCCAGCCGCCATCGCGGCCGCAGCAGTCTTCCTCGTCCTGTCACTTCTCCACACATGGCGAATCGTGCGCCATCGCTCTTTGTACTTTACCGCCTTCACCATCGGCGGATACTGTAAGCCTGCCCCCAAAGGACGACCCGACATTGGCAAAATGGTGCTGACTCAAGGACTGTTATGCGTTTCTAGTCCAGGTCATCGGCTACTGCGGTCGTATCTGGTCCCACTTCGATGCTACGGCCATCGGTGGCTTCGTCATGCAAGCGATCCTCATACTCGTCGCACCCGCGCTGTACGCCGCCTCGATATATATGATACTTGGCCGTCTGATCCGCGCGGTACACGCTGAGAGCCTCTCCATCATCCCGCTCCGGTGGATGACCAAGATCTTCGTCGCAGGCGACGTCCTCTCCTTCCTCCTGCAGGCTGGGGGTGGCGGAATCCAGGCGGCCGGCACGCTCGAGCTGTACGATATTGGCGAGAAGATCATCATCGTCGGCCTGTTTGTCCAGATCACCATTTTCGGCTTCTTCCTCGCCACGACGGTCACATTCCATTTGCGGCAGCAGAAGAGCCTCAAGCACCACAATAGCACCAGCATGGACGCCTCCTCCTCGCCCTTCTCCACTATCCCGTGGGCCCGCCACCTCGCCGTCCTCTACGTCGCCAGCGCGCTCATCATGATCCGCAGCATCTTCCGCGTCATCGAGTACTTGCAGGGCAACGGCGGCTACCTCATCTCGCACGAGGTGTTCCTGTACGTCTTCGACGCCGTGCTCATGGCCATCGTCATGGCCGTCTTCCTCGTCTTCTACGTCGACGACCTGATCGGTGCGGAGCCGATGTACCGCCACGGCAAGCGCGCCAGCGGGGCAGAGCTGCTTTCCAGCCGCGACAGCAACGTCGTCGAGCTCAGTGACCGCCGCTAGATGTCTTGACGGGATGCCTGGCCGCTGCAACTTGCACTCTGGTTGCATCGTGACTGGCAATGGCATGAGTCCTCTCTATGAGCGATACGATTTTCCATATATACACACCTGTAGCTTGCAGCTCCGGACGCGAGGGCATGCATGTAGTTTCCAGGAGCCCTACTAGAGTAAAATAGAACGTTTTGTAATTCTTTTCAATTAGCCGCTACGTAGACTCTCGTGTTGTTGAGATTGTTCGTGATCGAGCTGCGAACATGTCCAAACAATACCTCTGGGCAAACTTGTGCGAATACGTGAGGTAGCAGCGCCACCACCAAGCTGAGCTTATGGGTCATTTGTCATGAGTGATTTCCTGCGGTTACGTAGTATGACCCCTCGTTGAGGATCGGAACATGATGATGGCGGTTCAGTACAGACTCGGACGCGTGCTTGAGAAGGCCGATTTCCGCTGTCCTCTACATGCGGTCGAGCGCCGACGGCGGGACGAAGCCCATCTCGTCCATGGCCCAGCTGATCCACAGCCGGGCCTCCTCGTCCAGGATCTCGTACGCCTGCGCCATGAGCTGCAGGCCCCAGCCCTGCATCCACCAGTGGCCCTCGAGCCGCCCGAGCAGCACGCAGAAGTAGGCGAACACGGCGACGGCCTCGCGCTCGGGCACGCGCAGCAGCGGCAGCAGGTCCTCGGCCACAATATATACCCAGATGAAGGCGTCCGTCATCTCGTACGGCCCGGCGGCGCAGATGTTGTTGCTGCTGCGCGCGAGCTCGGCCTGGCCGAACGACTTCTTGAGCTCCGCGATGGCCGTGGCGTAGGTCCGCGCGAGGTACTCGTTGGCCGCAACGCGAGGCCGCGAGGCGATGATGGCGCCGAGCTCCCCGAGGGCCGCGTGCGCCGGCGACGTCGACGCCGCGGGCCCTTCGCGTAGCACGTACCGGTCGATCGAGTGGGCGAAGAGCGGCTGCAGCGGCCCGCTCTCAGGGACGCCTGCGAGCTCGATGAGGCTCTTTGTCCCGCGCAGGAAGTATATCCACTCTGGAAACCCGGACGTGCCTAGGAAGAGCCTATCACTAGGGGTCCGCGGCCAGCCGAGTGCTGTTATCAAGGTCGACGTGTGGGAGTCAGCGAGTGCGTGTAGGTGTCAAAGAATGTGTGAGAATGTGGGATGGCCGCGACTAGCCGGACTCTCCCTTACCGTAGTAGTTTGTCATGATGGTGAACAGGAAGAGCTTCCGCGCAGAGCCTGAGTCCGCATTGGACAGCAACGGCATGGCGGCCTCAGAGGCCGTCTGCTGGTGCACGATGGCCTGGGCCTGATAGTGGTCTTGCTTCTCGCGGCGGTGGTGTGCCAGGTGGAGGCTTGACACCGCGAGGATGGCCCTCATTAGATAATCGCAGTCGAATCCGATCTGCACTATCGTAGTACGGTAGAACTCGCGCATGGTCTGTCCAATCTGTCAGTGGCGGTGTCATGGGTGGCCAGCATCTCGCCGCGAGCCAATGACCCGTTATATCGCCGTGTATGCTTGAGAAGAGGTGCAATTCTTACTAAATCGGCCGCCAGAGTCAAGTACGTGGTGGTTGTGTAGTTATGCAGCAGCTCCAGATCAGTCATATTGAGCCCGGACGCGGATAGGCTGGGCTGCGGGGTGCCGCGTATCGTGAAGTCACAAGTGACCTCTCGTCGCTTGCAGTTCGAGCATGATGGTCGCGCCTCGTCGCACTTCGGTGCAGGATAAAAGTGTATCAGAGAGTGTAGGTGTTGAAGATATAGAGACGAATGATGGGAAGGTCTTGCCCGTAGAGAGTCTTCGGTGCAACCGACTTACCTTGATCTTACGTGACTTGCAGTTCTGACAACCTAGGTAGTGATGTATTAGTTTGGTCGTCCGAGGAGCGAAGCTGATGAAAATGAGATTGAGGCAAAGCGATGTAATGGTCCCCAAGATATCAAGGAGGACAGTGACTTGCCGAGGCGACTTTTGTTATGCGCCCTGCGCTTCGAGCCCACCATCGAGTCGGATTGGCCAAACCAAAGGCGTGGTATGCGGTGCTCACGTAGCGAATACGCAGATCGCGGACGTCCCTGGGCCGTGGCAGTGGCTCAGTCCGGCGGGCTTGTGTATTTGGCAAGGGGAAGTCTGCATTACGACCGCGGATGCTTGGTGTGGGTGGAGTGGCTGTGCTTGATCTAGTCAAGGCCGCACTGACTTTGGTCGCCCTGGAACTTGTTGGTACAGCGAGGATGTGGCTAGGGATCCTCCAGCCACAAACATTGCCACTTACAGAAGTTGTACAATCATCAGGGTACACGCGACAATCCCCTGTAGGTACCACAATGGATCGGACACATGCCAAGGCGAGTCGGCCCATCTAAGAAAAGAAACCGCTTGGCCTTGTTTTGTTGTATTCATGCTGTCTTAAACAGCTGAAGAAATGGTTCCCGCTCGAGTGTGCCTTTTTTCTTCGGTGACCCGGTTGTCAAGCATGTCCACGGGTGATTTATGCTTTGGTACGCTAAGCCGAGCGTCCTTGATCACGCATCCAGCCTCTGGGATCATACTCGGGCCGTTTGATACCCTGTGAGGCACCGTGTCTAGCAGGGGTCTCCGTCATCACTTCATCGCCCGGATCTCCCGGCTTGGATCCTCAACACATGGCCTGATTGGACCGTCACCCTGGAAAGGACCCGAACTTAAGCATTGCGCCTCCATGCTTCTCCACGCCTTGTCCACTGGTGTGGCGCTCATCCCTGTGAATACAAAGGGTGCGCTTCACATCTTAGTTGACAAAGGTCCCGGTATCCGGCACCAGAGCTCTCCGACAGCGTGCTCTACCCCACACAACTCCTCCGCACGCCGGCGACTTTCAGGCTGAATGTCTTAAGTTGGGGTACACATCTTCGTCATAGACTTCAACACTGAACAAGCTTTTGCGAGCTCCACTCCAGCCCTCACAAGCTCGCGCGAAAACTATCCGGCAGAAGTCAAGCGTTGTTAACCAAGAGAGCTACTCAAAAGCTGTACCTTTGCGGGGTCGGTAGCTTCTAGCTGCCGGTTAAACCGTCCGCCGCAGATGCACATTCAGCCTGCTTCTCCGACTGGTCATCATGATGCATCTCGTAGCGACAGGACACGGGATGCACCCCGGATCTTTGCCAAGAAAGGACGACGGCAACCAACAACAACTCCAAAAGACCAGGTCCAAGCTCGTAAGCGGTCTGTCGAACGCTGCCATCTGAACCAGGGCTCTCGAGCTTGCATGGTGTGACGCCGATGGCGGCATACCCACGATCGTCGCGCCACAGCGTAGGCACGTGTCTGTATAAGAGCAGTGTGGTCTGCCCCTTGGCGACACATCGGTATTAGGTGAGCAAGCAGCAACACTGCAATTTACCGATATCGACACTTTTTCCGCGAAGAAAAATGGCGGTGAAGTCTTTGTTGAGCGTCGGGCTGTTGGCCTCGGGCGCTGCGGCCGCTGCGACTGTCGGTCATCTCTTCCCAGACTGCGCCAAGGGGCCTCTGTCCAACAACACCGTATGCAACACGTCGGCAGGCATCACGGAGCGAGCCCGGGCACTTGTGGCCGCTTTCACCAACGAGGAGAAGTTCGACCTGGTCAACAATGCTTCGCCAGGCGTGCCTCGCTTGGGGCTGCCCAGTTACCAGTGGTGGCGTGAGTATCACCACCCAGCTCATGATCAACGAGGCTCTTGCGACGACTAATAAAGTCTGTCTTCCAACAGAGGAGGCCCTCCACGGCCTTGCGTCGAGTCCTGGCGTCACCTTCAACACCAACAGATCGCAGGACTACTCCTCGGCCACTTCGTTCCCTCAGCCGATCCTGATGGGCGCCGCTTTCGACGATGCCCTCATCCGTGCGGTCGCTACGGTCGTGAGCACCGAGGCTCGTGCCTACAACAACGTCAACAGGTCGGGACTTGACTACTGAGTATGCCGCCACAAGAATAATTGCCCGGACTCTGTCAAGATCGAGACTGCTGACCACTCCGTGCTGTCCAGACCCCGAACATCAACCCCTACCGCGACCCCCGTTGGGGCCGTGGACAGGAAACACCGGGCGAGGATGCCTTCCACATCAAGTCGTATGTCAAGGCGCTCATCCGCGGACTCCAGGGAGAGATCGGCGACAAGTACATTAAGGTGGTCGCAACGTGCAAGCACTTTGCCGGCTACGACATTGAGAACTGGGCGGGCAACGAGCGATATGCGTTCAACGCCGTCATCAGCCCACAGGAGCTCAACGAGTACTTCATGCAGCCCTTCCAGGCCTGCGCGCGCGATGCCCGTGTCGCGTCCATCATGTGCTCCTACAACGCGCTCAACGGCGTGCCGACCTGCGCCGACAGCTACATCCTGCAGGACGTGCTGCGGGAGCACTGGGACTGGCAGGAGGAGGGGTTCTACGTGACCTCGGACTGCGACAGCATCCAGAACATCTACAGCCCGCACAACTACACCGACACCCGCGAGAGCTCGGCTGCTGCGGCACTCGTGGCAGGCACTGATCTGGACTGCGGTACCTACTACCAGCTGCATCTCCCCGAGGCCTACAAGCAGGGCCTTTTCAACGACTCGATCATCGATCAGGCCCTGGTTCGCCTGTACTCAGCCCAGATTAGGCTGGGCATGTTCGATTCCGCAGACGGACAGCCATACCGTGCCCTGACCTACGGCGACGTCAATACCAAAGCCAGCCAAGCATTAGCACTCCGTGCGGCAGAGGAGGGCATCGTCCTCATCAAGAACGATGGTCTCCTGCCTCTATCCATCCCTGCGAACGGCAACACCACAATCGCTGTCATCGGCGGGTGGGCCAACGCCACGACCACCCTTCAGGGCAACTATGCCGGCATCGCGCCCTTCTTGCGCTCGCCGCTCATGGCCGTCAAGGACATCCCTGGCGTGTCCACCACCTACTACGGTAGCCCCGGCGATCCGACCACCGACGGCTACCCGCCCTCTCTCGCGGCCGCGAAGGCCGCCGACATCATCATCTACGCCGACGGATCCAACAGCGGCGAGTCCAACGATCGCAACCTGATCCGCTGGTCTGGAGAGCGCCGTGACATCATGACCCAGCTCGCCTCTCTCGGCAAGCCCTTCATCCTGCTGCAATGGGTGACCAGCTCGACGACACACCTTTCCTCAACCACCCCAACGTCAGCGCCATTCTCTGGGCCGGCTTCCCCGGCCAGTCTGGTGGTGACGCCATCGTCAACATCCTCACCGGCAAGACTGCGCCCGCCGGTCGCCTGCCTGTCACCCAGTACCCGGAGCATTACGTCGACGAAGTTCCCATGACCGACATGAGCCTCCGGCCAAACGCGACCACGGGCAACCCCGGGCGCACGTACATGTGGTACAACCAGTCGGTCGTAGACTTCGGGTTTGGTCTGCACTACACCAACTTCGCCACCTCAGTCGAGTCCTCCTCCTCCAGCGACAACAGCTCGTCAAGCTTCGCCATCTCCGACCTCACCAAGGACTGCCACGAGAAGTACCCCGATCTCTGCCCCTTCCGCACCGTCCCCATCACGGTCCGCACCGTCCCCATCACGGTCCGCAACACCGGCAACGTCACCTCGGACTTTGTGACGCTAGGCTTCATGGCCGGCGCGCACGGCCCGGAGCCGCGGCCCATTAAGAAGCTCGTCGCGTACGAGCGGCTCTTCGCCGTCGCAGGCGGCGCCTCCGCTACCGCGCACCTGAACCTCACCCTCGGCAGCCTGGGCCGGCACAGCGAGGCCGGCGACCTGGTCGTCTACCCGGGCGAGTACAGCCTGCTCGTAGACGTGCCCACGCAGGCGATGTGGAACTTCACGCTCACGGGCGACGAGCTCACGCTCGAGCAGTGGCCGCAGGGTCCCCAGCAGCGGGCGTACCAGAATGTGTACGGGCAGACAGGGGATGTCTACGGTGATCTGCACGAGGCGCAGAGTCTGCTGTTCTGAGGAGACTGAACAATCACCCGAGGACAATAGTAGTGATAGTGCATGAGTATTATCCGAGATATTTACAATCAACCTTGCTCTTGCTATCTCGTGTACTGTCATATGTGTCGATCATGTTATGGCTACAACGCGACTGAGCGTAACCAAGCCCGCCTGCGCTGGATCGTGCTGACCAGAGCCTTGCTGACCGCAAACGATCTCAGAGTGAATTGTCACGTCTGGGGGGTCATGCCTATACTACACTATGTCGTGATAATAATTATGCTAGAACTTATTCAACATGTAACGTGACCTATAGACGAGTAAGTCCCACAGCCATGTGAATCACTATTCAAGCGCCCGTGCGTAAACGTAGAACAGACATCATTCACAACGTCATGGCAGACAGGCGGGTTTGGTGACTGGACCTGGCCAAACGTACAAAACACCTCATGGACTTGTCCGCGTGACTAGAGGATGCTATGCACAGAATCTTGTAGATGTCGTTGCTAAATAGATATAGACTGTGCAATGCATAACCTAGTCACGAGGACGTGTTTCGGGCACTATGAGCTGCCCATTGTTGGCATCGTTGGAAGCCCGACACCTCGAATCCTCGTTGGCTGGTTTGAGCTGAGACAGAGCGGTCCCTGCATGAATCAGAGGCCCTGCATCATTCGTCCACGTCGACCAGGTCTCCACGCCCGTGGCCTGCGAACCAGACCCGGCGGTCTGGAGCACCTTGCAACCCGATGGCAGACCACCTCGGGCACAAGACATGGGGAGAGGCCAGCAAATGGCCCTGCTGTACGACACGTCGGCAGCACGTGCCACGGCGTGGCAGTGACAACTTGCACCACCGCCATGTTAGGTATTTACCGATGAGTCAGGTTGTGACAGAAGAGCTGGGTTTCGACGGACTGGCTGGTCGCCAATGGGCACCCCCCCCGTAGAAGTTGCACGTTTCCACCGAGAGCAGAGATATCAAATTCTTCCAGCCTATTCACAAGATGGAGTGGTCTTCTCTCAGATTTTCCAAGGTTCGACTGATGCGCAAGTCTTCGAAGACTTTCTCGAGAGACTGCTTCCGCACTGTGGCAAATGGCCGGAGCCAAGATCCGTACTCGTCATGGACAATGCATCTTTTCACCACTCTGACAGGGTTTATGAGCTATGCAGGGACGCTGGCGTAAAGCTAGTGTATTTGCCGCCATATTCACCGGACTTCAACCCGATTGAGGAGTTTTTTGCAGAGTTGAAGCGCTTCATCAAAAGACACTGGCGGAAAGAAGAGGACTTCGCTGGATTTCTCGAGTGGTGCGAGGAAGGCGAGCGCGAAAGGCCATTTTCAGAATGCAGGCATTACAATTGAGAAACTATGAAAACGTGCTGTAAAACATTTGAGCCCTATCACTGTTTACTGCGCAGCGCGACCCATTTACTGATGTCGCGGACAAAACGTCGGGCGACTCCGATCTTCACTCCCTTCTCCATGAAAAAGCCCGGGTCTTGATCCTCAAAGACTTGCTCAAGGTAGATGTTCTGGGAACTCCTGCTTGATGGATAGGTGTTCCACTTGCAGACAATGCCAGTTGCAATAGTCCTTCTCTGCGATGTCTCGTGGGCCAGGTATCTCAAGAGAAGCGGCAGACGGCAATGGTCTGCTGACAGACGTTGATGCTGTTGCAGAAACAGCCACGGATTCTGGAGCAGGAGAGAGTCCGGCATTTGGCATGATATTTGTGATACTAATCGGTGGGCAACTAGCTCGAGACGTTGCTTTTCGTTGCTGTTCTTCTAAACGTTGCTGGTCCTCGGCGAACAGCTGCTCACGAAGGCTGCTAGGAACATCGTCATGATCAAGTAAAGTGCCACCCTGCTCAACGTGCTCAATCAGTGCTTTGAAGTGGTGTGTTTTTAAGCGGTATCGCTTCTTAGTGTCCTTATCCTGCCAGCAGTATGGTCCAACGTGGCAGGGTGGGCCTGGGCAGCGAAAGGTCGCATACACCTGTTGGCAAATGGATGGCTGCCACTAGAGCCTTCCTCGGCAGCAAGGTGCATGTCACGTTGTGCGAGCATACGTTCTGAAGTAGACGCGAAGCCTCGTTTGGTCCCACGCTTGGTTGTTACACCAGCGCCTCCACTTGTTTGGATGTAGTTGAATGTGATCTCGATCCTCAATCGTCGTCCAGCACGAAACAGGTTGCTCCAGAGGACAAGTTGCTGTTCCAAAATCGACCATTCGATGTCTAGTTCGTCAAATCTTTTAACAAAGTCTCTCTCCGATCGATCCTGCACATGGACTACAACGGTGGTGTCGTCTGGTCGATATGATCGATTCGAGGCTAGCTTCTTCATTGATAATTTATCGAGTTTGCTTCGTAGGGTCTTCTCCCAGTAGTCACCGGGCGCGAGGACAAGGTTTTGCTCGCTATCCTTGGAGCCAGGGACGACTCTGCCATCTACTGTCAATTTCCATTCGATCGAGTAATGTATACAAGTAGGCGGATGCTCATCATAAGTTTTTCCCTCGACCCAGTCATCGAGTCGAATGAGGGGAAGTTTGCTAGTCACCGAGGTCTGGCTTTCGATTGACGGAGTCTCAGCGACTCCTTGACTATCGACCGCAGGTCTTGCCGCTGGAATTCGCGGGCTTTCGTAGTCATCGAGCTCGTAGACTAGCCATTCGTAGTCGTTTTACCACGGATCTACATAGGTGTCGGATGGCATCGTGATCGGTTGCGGTGATGTGAGTTGTGTGACGCAAGGCAATGCCCACGTGGCCATTCCATCGTTGAGGCCAGGCACAGAGCCACTGTGCCTCTACAGGGTAGCCACATGAGGCATTGGACCCACATATAGATGAGTCATCCAGCTTCTGTTCCAGCACTCAGGAGCTCCCGCAGTCCCATTCTCACTAATCTGAAGCAGCTGAGCATGGCTTCCGTCGAAGGAGTCCGGTAATTTGACGATACGTGAAGCTCGACGATGGTTGATCCCTGTGCAGTTCCGGGTACAAACGGACGGAGGCCCCTCTGACCATAATCCATCCCGTGAACAACTATAGGTCCGGTGTCGTCATCTGCATCCTGACTTCATTCGCTTTTTGCCGAAAGCTGCTTTGTTTCCCTGCGGAGGTCAAACGCTATTGATGAAGAGTTGGCTGTTGCGAGCGCTCCTTGCAGCCCATACACTGTACAGCCCATATTGTCACGGTACTGCGGACTCGCGTTTCCTGCCAACACATCGACCGAGTATGTGTTACTCGTTCACCACGCAGTTCGGCGAGCAGAGTCTCAGTAGAGTATCGGAAAGCTAAATATGCCATATCTTCGCCACAAAGAGGGCCGATCGAAGTCGAGATTGATATGGCTATGAGCACTTGAGAGATTGTAGAAACTCGCGGTATAAGCGATAGCTTCCAAGTTCGGCCAGCCGACAGGATCAAATACGTGTGGAAATGTTTGGTTGCAAAACCTTTATTTGTTGCAGCATCGTGTTATTTCTCATAATATAATGCCTCCATCTATGCAATAAGCGAGGAGCTGCGTCAGGCCATTACTGACTATGGAGCACGAATTGGCTGTCGTTTACCCCCACCTTCTCGCAGAGGTATCCACCTCTCCACCGATTAATGTGGAGTGCCAAGAGCAGGGTGCCCGTGCGCAGAACTATTTTTGCATGACCTACACGGACACCGATTTCGAATGCGACTGTATGCCGGCCACTACTGTACTTCCAATCGATGTAGGTTTGTCATTAGCTAGTCTTCCAGTTTTGGAGCTATAATATCTAATCTTCAAGCGATTTTCAATGGTCTAGCTTAGGTGCAATTAGTCGAGTAGTTGATGGCGCCGATTCTGGCGACAGAGTGACTCACTACGTGAAACGTTTGCAAAAGACTGCTATTTGAGCGGCTTATTTTTACATCGCTTTATCTTAGCCTTCTGCAACATGTATTCTAGTCATCCTCTATCCACCTCAAAATGGCAACCAGGGCCAGTAACGCTGACAGAAAGGAATGGCGGATTAAATGTCGAGAGGTCCTAGCGGGTCATATTCGTATGTGAGGGTTATTGCGTAGCCTCCTAGCTTCTGCTAATTGCATATAGGCCAACGCGTGGGCTGCAGTATTACTCCGTCAGATGTTAGACTAGTGACCTCGGAGAACGATCCATACCGCTGGAGTTACGTTACGGGGGTCGCGCACTTTTTCACGAAGAACTTGAGCGATCACTCTATCAGCGTGTATAAACAGCTTTGTTCAGGTGTCGGTATAACTTTCGAAGCTGTCTCGGCAGGCCCCTTCGTCTTGAGCGAGGTATAATCGATTAGCTCGTTGTTGCAGTACAGATATAATAGCTAACTAGTCACAGCCCAGCATTGATAAACCAAGTTTCACGCTGCATATTAGCAATCTCAACCTTGAGGTAGATAAATTACAAGCCAAAGCAGCCGAGCTACAAATACGCCTCTCCCAAGAAACGGAGTTGAAACTCTCCGCTGAGAAGCGTTTAGTGGAGTTAGAGCAACTCGTTTCATGTCTTGAACAACAAGCGATGCAAGCAAGCGAGAAAGCCGAAAACTTTAAGAAGCTTGCCGGCACTTGTCTTTCATACGTGGATCAGATATCACCAGATATGCAGAACCTCATAGAGCTTAGCAGGAATGCCAAGAGTGGAGTCGATCCTTTCTCAGACTTCGAGCATCCCACTTAGCTTCTTGAATAACAACCTACGGCGTTCCGGCGAGGTAGAACCATGACAGCGGCTCGCTCGAGCAAAGCATCGCCACATCAAAGCTGTCTTCAACTCCACCCACAATGCTCGAAGAATGAGCATTTTACCAAAGAAGCCCTCTCCCTATGACGAGATCGGGGACTGTGACTAGAGCAAGCTCGGTCCCAGGTCCAGTTCTAAGCTCAACTGTTGTGACACGTCCTAATCATCGGACACAATGTGAGCCTACAAGCGGCGGACGGAACAGTAGCTCTACGAAAGAGACCAGCTATGTGACGAAACTGTTATAGAGTACCGATGACGGTCTATGGTATCGATGACGGTCCTAATGAGTGGCTACTGTGCTATTGGTCGTGCTGGGCTAAAAATTACCAGACCGGACCTTGCTGGCGTCGGGCCCAGTACTTCCTTGGCGCTTTGATTTGCCGCTGCGGCGGCCTTCTAGAACTCTAGAAGTCACAATTCCCGTAGGCTCAGTAGTCCTTAACTTGATAACCAGCCCGCACCCGATTATTTTACTTCTATAGGACGAAGCGTGCGAAGCGTGCAAGAGTGACCTGCAGGAAGGCGCACATCTACTCTGATATTGACCGCATCCAGGTATACGACAACTTCCTAGTGCTAGTGGGCGCCAAATGGTAGTTTGTCACGGTAAGACTACATAGGGATCATCGTTTAGCCCGGGAGAAGGACTGCACTGCTTGAACGCCTGAGAGTCCACCCCATGGTTGAGCTCAACCGAGGTAGTGTGTTGTAGCTTAGCTCTATTGAAGTTCGTCGAGCCGTGCAGAGGTTGCACGTCTTAATAGGGAAGGTCATGTCAGACATGCCCGCTATGTGATCGGGAGCTTGTGATTGGCTATACAAACAGTCGAGCTAGAGTGTCGAAGAATGAGACTCGACGATGCACGCACTGGTGCAGCAAGTGTGACAATGAGCTCGAAACGTAACGGGCTCCCACATCGGATGTGGCGCAGCAAGTCCTCCACACTAGCCACACTGTTGCCCAGCCTCAGTCTGTTCACTGGCAGGGCGCCACCTATTGTGTTATCACACTACCTGTTCAACAGTGGCTACCTCAAGCAAGCCCTGATTTAGTGCACTGCATCAAAACACCAACATTGAGACACAAGAACCATCCCGTTTGCATTAACTCCGTGTGCTTGGGTGGGCGCTTACCCAGGTTCAGCTCCTTGCACGTACTTCGCAGACTCCCCTTGCCAGCGAAGCCACCAGGACTCTCGCTCGCTCAGCATTCGACATGGCAAAGTCATTGGCCATGTGTGTCAAAGACCACAGATGCTGTAACGCTTTCTCAATGAAGGGACAGCCTGATCAAGCATCGCGGCGAGAAAGCTCCCTCGCCTGTTCGCTAACAGCTTCATGACCACTTGCTCGTACAGGAGCCAAGTTTCGCTTGCGCCACTTTCGGCGCAGCTACTTCTCGCACATAATGCTGCAGCCATAAGAAGAGGTGTCCACAATCAGTGTTTGCTTGACCCATTCTGGTTGCAATTTCCACGCAGAGAAAAAATTGTACTGGAAGCTAAGCTCTAAGAGCGGGGTATGGCTAGTAAACCCCGCTTCCGGGTAATTCTGTACCTGTCGCGTACCTGTCACCGCCACCATATTTACTGCAAAATATGAAAGTGACGAGTCTTTGTCGCTGACTGTAAGAACATGAAACGCTCTAGGATGTTATCTCGGGCCTACTTCTGCAGAGGATGTGATACGCGCAGTAAAACTCACCTTGAATGGTCAGTTCCGAACTTGCTTCCGTGAGACATTGTCAAATGTTCCAGCGGCAGCTACTATAGCAATATCCTACAATCAGAAAGTAATATGTCCTCCACAAGAAAGCTGATGCTAATGCTATCTTGTTTTCTTCGGCCGACCTTTTGTTTTCTTCGATCGAGCTTTCTCATATGCATCAACCAGCTCTGGATCGATGTTCCATACCGGCTCCCAGCTACTGTCTGATACTGGCCAACCTAACCACTTGACCTTATATTTCAAAACTCCACTCTGGTTTTTTCGACCAAGAATACACTCCACATAAAACTGGTTATCATCAGCATCAATGGGTGCATCTCCGACCTGTCGGCGTGGCTCTTCCGTTTCCACAGATCCCCCTTGACATTGAACTCCATCCTCAGCAAGGGCAACCTTTGATGCTTGGTCAGGATTTAGCTCCTTCACTGCCGTGCTCGGAAGACTGTCGTTCTGTGTCGCCGAAATGTCTTCGCATGTCTGACTTGGTGACTTGACTTTGGCAAGGGCTACAAATTTCGAAGATGACGAAGAGATCGTCGTGATAGAGCATGTGGAACTCTGACGAGTTCTCTTGCTTCCGAACTCAAGATGCTCATCTTGTTCCCTTTGCCTCTTCCTGTCACCAAGAGAGCTTGCAGTGACCTCGATGAAACGACATTTTGGAGTAGACGAGGGAATCGTCGTTATTGAGCATGGGGAATCCTGACCAGTTCTCTTGCTCCCAAAGTCATGATGCTCTTCTTCTTCCCTCTTCCTCTTTCTGTCATCAAGGTCGTGCTGAGACTGGCTCAGGCGACAGCCATGAGAATCCTCGATGTGATAAAGGAGCTCTTGTAGCGAGGTGAATGGCGCTTTCCTCTGACAGTGTGGATGACTGCACTGTATCGAAGAGCCGCTGCGTGCCCCAATTTTCCGACTCTCCACGCAACGGCGCAGATGCTTTTTCCATGGGGGAATGTAAACGAATTGATGCAACCGAGTTTCAGGCGGCATTGCTTCGTCCCCAAGACAGAATGGACAAAGACCAGGTGTGGCAAGCACACCAGCGTGGGTAAGGGGATCACAGAACTTGGGGATAGTGTCCGAGCGTTCTAAGTGTGATAAGCAATGCCCTTTCCATTCGTCCTTCCCCGCAATCCACTGGTGGCACATGAAGCAGAATGTTGTCGGGGCTGATTGCTGCTTCTTGTAGCAGTCGTGAATATGTTTCCAGTCGTAGTCTTCTTGGCTTCTTTTGCAGTTGCACTTGTCTGGTTCTAACCCCGGCCGATACTGGACCTCGCGCTTCTGTGTGCACAGAGCAATCAAGTCCGTAAGGGCGCTTCGTCCAAGTGATTCGCGTAGTTGAGCAGACTGGAATAGATTTTTGGCGAGCCGATCTCTTTCAGGCATGAGGTAGCGTACTCGATCAAAATAGCTCCGGTAATAGCAGCGCTCGGTTGTTGCCTCCGCGAATGTCGAAGCCTGTTGCTCTTGTAGTTTTCGACACGCCTCGATCTCAAGTCTTCGTCTCTTGTGATATAACTCTGCTCTCCTTTTCTTCGACCCCTGATTGTTGGCATTTCCGTGCTTGATCGTGTGCAGCTCGCCTCGAAGGTCTTTGATCTCCTTGGAATCTTCAAACTCAGCTCGAGCCTGTGCGGAGAGTGCTTGCAGCATGAAGGGATTCCGGCGGATTGTTAGATCTTGGAATAGTTCTAGCACGTCGGTACGAGAAGAGCCTGTAAAGTAAGCACCTTGTCCATCTGCAGCAAGGGTTGATGCGTAGTACGTATCGTAAGTGTCGTTGTCCCTCTGGCCGGCATGTTTTCTGCGTTCTGCCTCTGTGTGACACTTTGCTAATCAAGCTGTTAGCAATCGCTGCTCGTGCTTCAAGAAGTCTCGGCACTTACAAACACGTAACAAGCTGCCAGCTCTGAAGTCATGCGGGCGCGGCGGCTCAGCGTATCCAGCCCGTATCCCAAGCTCCCTAATGCGGCGAGAGATCGGACCCGCTCGCTCAACGCCCTTGCTGAATGCGCTAGGATAGAAAGGTTCGTCCTCTATGCCCTTTTTCCATGGGATGATTGATATGTTGTCCCCCGGATAAGGTCTCTTCTCAAAGAGCTCGTCAACCGTTTCACATCCTTGTAGCGCATTCTTCGCTAGAAGGAAAGCAAGATGGAAGAGCATCCCATTCTGATAGAGGGGCGCAGGAGTGATTCCCTCGTAGATAACGTGCTGTGGCCTGCAGTCTTTATATTAGCATCGATCTCGGGAAGGCGTGTTGGTGCTGCACCTTTTGTGGGGAATGTCCGTCATCCCTTTTGCATCACGAATGAGCTGAAATCCAAGCTCTGGCTTGCTCTCTTCGTTGTAGAACACTACAAATTGAACATCCTGAATCCGAGATCAGTACGGTTACTATGTAGGATAATGCCGGAAGACTCCCTACCCTGAAATGCAATCCACGCTCTGTGCCTGGCCGACAGGTCGACTCGAAATACTCCCCAATTCTGGAAGATGATGTGACATGAGCGTTCAGGCCTGCCCAGTCATAAACTCGAACAGACGAGTCGGAGTAGATATGCCAATCTGCCCCCCATTGCTGAGCAGCAAGATGTCCGTAGTGAGTCAAGGTACCAAATCGCCTGGGCCGCTTCACCTTGGGCATTGGAAAGTCTTTTTGCAAGTCTGTTTGTATGTACTGAGTAAATCGGCCAGTATCAGTACTTGAGTTCAGAGTAAAGGTAGGAACGATTTTGACACGTACACGTCGAACTGACAGTGTGATCTTTGGTCCGAGGGGGTCATCTGCTCGATAGAAAGTACGGGTGAACGTTTTCCAATAATGGACGACGGTCGATTCTGCAGGATGGTCCTCGAGACCGGGTCTTCGCTCCACACCGAGATCGCATCTCATACCCTCTATGCCCATTGCGACTTCTCTCATGAAGCTCTTGAGATGTAGCAGGTGTCTTTCGTGGGCTTCTGGATAACGTTCTTTGTATCTAAAAAAGTGTGGTTAGTTTGAATGTGAGAGAATATCCTGCTTATAACACATACCCCTTCCACATGCTCAGAATTCGCTTTTCTGTGCTTTCCTCGCCTTTGCTTAAGCTGCCGTATGTTACATCGTTGTTTATACCAGTCCAACATTGGTCGGCTCCCCTCTCTTTCGCAATACGATAATAGTCGTCAGGGCTTTTCTTCTTCCCCATTCTCACAATTTTGGAGATTTTGCCGTTGAGGTTGACACGACAGCGGATCGTTCGATTGTGCAGTATCGATTTGGGACCGACCTGAAATCCAGAGTATCAGGAATGGAAGGGGTGGGGGACGGACCGGAGTGGTCTCGGTGGGATCTTGTTTGAGAATGGGAAGGAAAGATGAAGATGTCCAGGACCCTTTGGAGCCAGAAATGGCTCTATTTATGTTTTTCAAGTCACTACAGTTAGTCTGATCTGGGATGGGAACCAAGCTTGGCTATACCCTGTTCCCTCCCAGGCTGATAGGCTCAAGCTGTTTTTAGCTGCATAGGTTATGGTCATTATGCGGGAAGTCTAGCGTGTGCAGGGTTAATGTGATAGATGCCGCCAAGGTCTTGTCATTCTGAGTCCGTACTTGTGAGTGTCACATGCAAGTGACTGACAATCTGGCACATCTATGCCAGCTACAGAAATCAACTCGGCTACGACAATAGCTCATCTACCGTGAACTTAAGTCACATGGCCTTCTTGGGAAGGCACCGATCCTGAACAGGGTCGAGAAACACGGAGCGGATTGTCTCCTGATCACGCAAAATCTAGTGGCTCATTAAACTTCCATTCTATGTTATTACGTAGTGAGAGAGAAGATCGTAATACGTGAAACTATACTAGACGGTTTCCACAAATAGCCTCGCTGGTCTTTGACTCGCCGCTTAGAAACCGGAAAAGTGAAGCTGTGTCGTTCTTTGAAGACCTAGAGGACTCACAGTGAATGAAATTTTGAATAATATCACATACACAAAAATTCCTTATGAATACACTCTAGTAATCTTTGGTGAATGATAAGGACGCAGACGTGTTTTGAGTTTTTCTGTTCCCAAAAGGCATTATATGAATTTGTAACATGCTATAGGTTACCACAGGTGTAAATTATGTACAGGTGTTATCTGTGTATAACTTAGTGTGCTCAGATTTGATGGTTGCCTATTCATCTACTCGCTATGCATAGTGTGCATAATTTCCGTCCGCTTCCGACTTCGGGGGTACAACAGTTGTGGTACCATGGCATCACTACGTGTGGAGACGTAGACTGAGCAGAGGCTGAGTAAACCTGAGCATGGCCTGATTGAGACTGAGCAGGCACTGAGCGACTCCATAAAAGGCGCTTACTATATTCGGTAATGAGTGTGATTCAGATTAGCCACCGAATACTTTCAGAACAGTTCGTTAAAACAGCTGCCACGATCTTTCTCCTGGGCGCCAAGACGAGCTGAACTCCATTGACAGCCTGGGGTTGGCCTTTGTGCAGGGATGATCGCACAGCTGACCTTGGCGGGCAGACCTGACCAGCGTGGCTGGCTGTGTGTGTAGACTACTGCACCCTTTGGTTCTTTGTGCCCAACGACCCTTGTCTTCGTCTCGGCGAGACGTGGGGTCATTTGCTTACGATCGGAAGTGGAGGGACCTATCGCGGCAACCGGAAGCACGACTTAGCCGTGCTTGTGCTTGCTCCTCCAGCTTAATGAACCATTACCCGCGAGCTACTGGTTCAAATTGATTCACAGCCTCTGGTGAGTAGTGCTACCATTCGTAGTGCCTGAACGTATACATGCGGCACTGAGTCAATGTTGCTGCGGGAATCCGCCAAGGTCAATATATTGGTCGGGGCGGGATACAGAAAGAGACCGCGCGTCAAGGGCTATGCGGGATGCTCGTGGTTAGCTCTCGTCTCTACAAGCTGAGGCCTTGGAGTGGTCCGTGTGGATTTGCCTGCCATTTCTTTCGGATCAATGCTTGACGCGCGTCATCAAGGACGACGTTATCGTCGACCTTTAGAACAAGACAGTCCGTATCCGTAAAAGTGGCTTCTTGAGCGGCGTCTTGTTGAGATTACGCGTGTGCATTGCCGACCTAGTCATGCTTGAAAGGGGTTCTTCGGTCGACATTGCATGAATGTTAGGGTGTCCTGATGACACAAGAGTGGCTACCAGCTCACACCCAGCACCGAGGGTGTCAATGAAGAGAGTCGGCCACGATTGTTGGCTTCACGGGAAGGGGCACGCACATCCAATGGCTCGATGCCACACTCGTCTGCGTCGTAGTGACGACAGTCGAAAAAGATGCACATTGCCATTGCATCAGCTCAGAACAGAGTGGGCGGGTCAGAGCAGCGTAAAGACAGGTGTGTCTGATGGGTGGCAACCCCTCGTATTTGGTGCAGTCCTATTATTCTGACGAGGCTGGTGCGTGATTGGTACTGTCCCTCGGAGAGGCGGCAGGACGACGCTTGATCACTCGGGTTTCCGTCACTGGGGTGGGGGACATGTAGAAGACGGGTAGTGGACCCGGTGACGTTCAAAGTGCACCTCTGCTTCGACGGTGGCCAGTGTCAGCCGGCAAGAGTGGATTGTCGACGCAGACACTGTGTCTAAGATCAATCGCGCATCAACCTTCCGAAGCCATTCCAGGGTTATCCGTGGACCGCAAGGAAGGGCGCAGCGGGCTCGGCGTCGGCCCCAGAATGGATCCTCTCCACTGCTGGACAGTGGACACTGGCCAACTCCACGTAAATATAAACAAGACCATTGCCGTTTAGCAAGGCTGCGCGCGCCGGCGCCACTCACTTGGGATGGGCTCCGTCTTGTTTGGGCCGGAACAAGCAGCCACAGAACATGCATGACCGGCACACCGCCCCTGGCCAGAGAGGTCTTTTGCTGCTGTTGGCCTCCCTCTCTGAAAATGCGTACCTTCAGCCAGTGCGGAGAGGGCGCTGTTGTCCAACCCATGCTGGCCCTGTCAGACACAGCCCTACCCCGCGGTGGCATCCCAGCCACGTGTCGGACTTGACGATTGCCAAGCCCAGAGTCCCAAGAGCTTATTCTCGGCACCAGACAGGATCCGTGGTCCGGTGCCGCGGAATCGCCTGTGTCGCAGCCGCACATCCGACGGCGAAGCGAGGACCGCGCGACATGAGTGGTTCTAGAACACGAGACGTGGACCTTTAGGTGCAGCGAATCGGAGACTCCTTTGGCGGGAGTTTGTGGACCAATTGTGCAGATTATTCACAGACTGTGTTAAAAAGTCTATCGTCGAAAGGGTGCTGATCAGTCGAACTGGGCTAGTACATTCTCGAGATGCCATCCATTACTGAAAGTGGTGGGGTGCCGAAGCCGACAGCTCTCGTCATGGAGCCGTCTCCCAGAGTCGGTCTAAAGCGAAAAGTGCAAAAGATACCTAGCGCAGGTCTTTAGGGCCTTGGAGTGAAGGCCGGTTCCTTGTTTGGGCTGTCTGTTATTAGTCAAGCGTAACGTCCCATTGGGGCAATGGCTGGAAAAGGCGGACTGGAGAGCAATGCGGAGCAGAGCGGCCGCTAAACGAGGCTCCCACCTGGAAAGTCCTGGGACCTTTTATTAGGCGGGTTGCTAGGGCTTCGTATTGGTGGTCGAGGCTAGCAGGGGTCTCGTGCAGCCCACATTACGGTGTGTAAGTGTGCGTGTCCCCCGACAGGGGATGTCCTTGGACTCCAAAGTTCGGCTGCGCCTTCGCTGACATGCAATTTTAAAATTGCCTCTGCGCGCCGCGTCTGTCTTGTTTGGTGCTATCGGGCCGCGCGAACTCGCCCTGCAGCTGCAATGGCAGTCTGATCTGATCTGATCTGACCCTGGCCGACGCATGACGATGATACGACCACGTCTTTGTAAACAAGCCGTCGCCGACTGGCTCGTATCCGATGGGTCCGAGTCATCGCCAAGTGGGCTTTGGCCGTGGTCAGCCAGAGTCGAGTCCCGCACTCCACCGTTTCTTGGAGGTTAGCCCAGTCCCTTTGCTATCTACTCTGGGTAGTTCAGCCCCAGGTCTGCCCTCGACGCCGCCAACACTCCAGCCCTGGCAGGTCCGACAGACGAGTGGGGACGAGTGACGAGAAAGGCACGGCTGAACCCCTGCTGGGCAGGCCCTGGGTCCAAATCAAGCCGCCCGCTGGCAGCCATCACCTCAAGGCTGGGGTGACCGCTAAGCCTGCGCCACCCATGCGACTAGTCAGCTGTAGCTGCATGCAACAATTCAAACACGAGCCCATCCCAGTCACAATTGAATTGTTGCCGGCCAGCCGTGATGGGACGGGATCTGCGAGTTACTTAAACCCGGCCAGGTCCCCCCCTTCCCGATGATTCTCTTGGCTGCTCCCCACCGCCGACCTCAGCATCGTCAGGATCACCAGTACTCGGTGCCAGTCTATCGTTTAATCCTAATCTAATTCTCGCCCATCATGAAGATCTCGACCGCCCTCGCCTCGGTGCTGTCCGTGGCGACCTTTGCCTCGGCGGCGCCCTCGGCCCCGACGCTCCCTTTCCCGCCAAAGTCGGAGCAGGCCCACGGCATGACGATTGAGCAGATCGCCGCGATCCCCAAGCCCCCGGCCCAGCCCGTGTCCGTCATGACCACCGAGGCCAACGGCGGGACCGTGTCCATCATGGCCGGCTGCCGCAGGAACATCCACATGCGCTGGGGCACCATGTCCGCCCAGCAGCGCACCAACTACGTCAATGCCATCAAGTGCCTCATGGGCCGCCCCCGCAGGGGCATCTGGAACGGCGCCCGCAGCCTCTACGACGAGATGGTCTACGTCCACAACCAGATGGTCAACCAGATCCACGGCTCCGACATTTTCCTCCCGTGGCACCGCTACTACCTGTACATGCTCAGGTCCTTCATGTCCACCGAGTGCGGCTTCAACGGCCCGTACGCCTGGTGGAAGGAGACCAACAACGTCGGCAACTTCGGTGCCTCCGACATCTTCAGCGCCCAGTGGTTCGGCGCCCTGCCCCAGGCCAGCGGCAACAACGGTTTCTGCATAACCAATGGCGTGAGTAATACGCCCCTGTGTGAATGAATGTATTCAATTGGCTTCTTTGCTGACCCTTTTGCTCGCAACTCAGGTCTTTGCCAACCTCATCAACCCCATCAGCGGCCAGTGCGTGGCCCGCGGTGAGAGGCGCGACATGAGCGCCAACGACAACATTGGCAACGAGGACTACGTCAACGGCCGCACCACCTACTCCGATATGCGCGCCTACCTCGAAGGCCTGAACCACGCCTATGGCCACCTTGCCATCGGCCCCACCATGTCCAGCCAGGCCCAGTCCCCTGCCGAGTAAGTCTTTGTTCCCGCCCCAGCGGGCGGCCCTTGTCTGTTTATCCGATGGAGAGAATCACAAACTGACAGCAAACAAAAAACCAGTCCCGTCTTCTTCCTCCACCACTCGTATGTCGACTGGACCTGGAAGCGCTGGCAGAACCAGGCCTCGTGGCGCTGGTCGAGCAGTAAGTCTTTGCATTCCCGTATCCACTGCTCATGCAGGCATTATGTCTTGGATGGATCTTGCCTGGCTGACATGGATTTCAATCAATCTAGTCTCTGGCTGCGCCGACAAGAACAGCCCCTGCACACCGCTCACCGTCAACACCCAGCTCACCTCGATGGGCCTGTTTCGCGCCATGACCGTCGGCGAGCTCCTCGACACCGAGGGCGACGTTGGCTGCTACACCTACGACAACCTCGTCTAAGCCTTTTCTTTCCTGGACTTGAATTCCCTGCAGCGGAAGGATATGACGGAGAAAGGAGGTGGCTTCATGACGACGATGTCTGGTGCTTATTCTTTGTAGATATTTGATTTCGACGAGAAACTTTATGATAATACATTACTTGTCGAAACACGATGCCTGTGTGAACTATGCTTCTCGGCATTCGCCGCTAAAACGAGACAGTGGTGATAATTCACTTTTGATGAATGAATCGGTATTCCTTCCAAGACGCTCGCGAATCATGTACGCACCCCACGAACCTACACCTTGCAAAGAGCCCGACGGGCAGGCAACGTTCGCTTCTCGAGCTGGGATTATGCGCCAATGGACATCCACCACGGCCATCTTCCTCGGAAGAATGCTCACTCTCGCGGAATCATTGGATTTCAAACAGCGGAACTACGCCCTCCCCTTAGGCCCAAGCCACTGATTATACTTTGCCAACGTCTAGTGTTGCACGTGCTGCCAAGACTTGGCCATTTTACCGCGACACAGACCTGCGCGTGTGCACGTCATTTGCCAAGACTCCAAATATGCAACTGGCTGACACAGTGCGTGCAAGGTCACAACCCTAAAAACATCCACCCATCCATATCGTGATCAAGGCCCATTACCATAGGTATGCAACAAGTGCGAGGGGGGGTATACTGGCGAGCACACCGTGTCAGCCAGTTGCAGCTCGTTCGGGCGGAAGATTGGTAATCCCTGGTATGGCATCAGGCGACATGTGCTTGGCCATCAGCAGTGACATGATATCTGGTCTGGCAGACGAGTTTCGCTGAGCGTTGAGCACAAACAATCCGCTGATTCTCGTGGCTATAAGAGTCGGGGACGCTCTCGACATGCGTTGAATTATCTTTTAGACATATTTCGACCCATCTCTTAGGCAAAGACCTACCGACTAACTCCGTGAACATGGCAAAGAAAATCATCACTGTCCTCGGCGTGACTGGCACACAGGTATGAGCGACTTTGCAAGCATCCAGTCTTCCCTCACACTAATCCCCAAGAATGAAGGGCGGCTCCGTCGCAGAACGGTTCCTCTCACACCCCGACTGGCTAGTCCGCGGCGTCACACGCAACCCGGGCTCTCCCAAAGCCAAAAACTGGGCATCTCGAGGCGTGCAACTCTTCCAGGGCGACTACGACGACGTGCAGTCCCTCAAGGCCGCGTTCCTGGGCGCCCACGCCATCTTCGCCGTCACCGACTGGGCGAGCAACCACGCCCGCGTGACCGCGGACGCGGCCCTGCAGGACAAGGCGAGAGCCGCCGGGCGCACGTTCGAAGAATACGCTGGCGACCTCGAGACCGCGCAGGGGATCAATGTCGCCACGGCGGCCGCGGAGCCTGTTGTCCTGCGCACGCTCGAGCGGTTTGTCTTCTCGACCCTGCCGGCCGTCCGGGACATTAGTCGCGGCGAGATCGTCCACTCGTGGGAGTTTGACTCCAAGGCCGCCGCGGAGAAGTATATGCGTGCATTACCCCCGCTGAGCCGCGTGCTGAGCACCGTCACCATGGGGATATTCCAGGAGACCTGGCGGGACATCCCCGCGTTCCGGCCGCGCAGGAGGCCCGACGGCACGTTTGAGCTGTTGCGGCTCAGAGCAGCGGCCGGGAGCCATGTCGCCGACCCTCTGGTCGTGGCTAGCCGGGACACGGGCGCATTTGTCGAGGCTCTGGTGCTGGACCACCCGACTGGCACGGACGTGCTGGGTGCCAGCGCGGTTTTGAGCAGGGAGGAGTATGCGGCGCTCTGGGGACGGACCTTGGGCGTTGAGGCGTCGGTCAGGGATGTCTCGGAGGACGAGTATCGCCGGTATGTCCCTGAGGATATACAGGTTACGTTGCTCGACGATCTCAAGTTCTTTGCCGAGTATGGGTATACAGGAGGGAATGCAAAGGTTAAACTACCCGGCGAGCTAGGGATCAAGACCACCCCACTGGAAGAGTATATCCGGGCCCAGGACTGGAGTTTGGTTCTGAGTGGGGAGATGTAGCATTTGTTGGTAATATAGCGGGCTGCAGATGACAAGGGATTCGGAACCAAGGGACCAGAGTCTACCGAATCAGTGATGGACTTTGAGGATTATTACTGGGCCGCCCAAGGCCTCTACCTTTCCTTCCCTTCTTTCGCGGTGATTATCAAGAACCGCAAGATTCCCTGCTTCGACAAGAACTGTTCTCCCTGAGACCGGTCTGGCTTGACTTGCTAGTAGCCAATAATCAAGCGTTGTACCTGGAGTATGTGAAATTTATCGCTCCTGACCTAAGACATCGTGCAGTCGGGAGGGCGCTCTACGGGATACAAGCCCTCGCACGGCATCCTCCTCCTCTTGTCGCTGGCGACATTAAGAACGACTGCTCCCAATGCCACTGCTACTGCCGTGATCCTCAATACACTAGATCGAACCTGACACTAGGAGAGATTCAAGCCTTCTTCTTTTTCACACTCACCCATTCCATCCCCGCAGCCCCCAGCGACGTCGAGCAAGCGAGGCCAACAGCCAGAAAAAAGACCATCGTCAGCACCGAGTTGAACACCTCCAACACCTTGGGCAGATCCTCGGCCGAGACGTGATTCTTGATATCCAAGAGTCCCATGCTCATAATGTCCTTTCCCGTGGTCGACGACCCGCTGAGGTCCACCCGGGACAGCTGGTCCTGCAGCCCACTAGTGAAGAGCGCCTGCGCGGCGGCCACAAAGACGGCCGGCCCGAGAAACTGCGCGAACAGAATGACCGCCACACCGATCGGGGCGTCGCGAGGAGGGAGCGTGGTTATAGCTGCGACTTGGGGGCCCTGGAAGCCGATGCCCACGCCGGCTGCGAAGAGGGTGAGGTATGCGAGGATTTGAGGAAGGGACATAGTTAGGTCGAGGGACGTCAATAGTCCGGCGCCGATAGGGGAGAGGATTGCAGTTAGGACCATAAAGGGCGTAAAGTACCCGAGCGCGCTAGTTAGGGAGGTTCCAATAAGAGTGGAAACGGCGAGGCCGGCGACGAAGGGGAGGCAGAGTAGGCCGGATTCGGTTGCAGATACGCCGCGGACTGCTTGGTAGTAGGTGGGCATCTGGAACGACGCAAAGATAGTGGCGTTAGTAAAATGGTGATTGAACGCTGGCATTGTGCGGTCGACCCGGGACTGTATGACTTACATAGTACTCGACTACAGCGCAACCCGAGTTGTTCGCAAAAGCGAACCACATCCCGTCGAGGACATTACGCTGGCGAATCACGCGGCCTGGAAGCAGTGCCTTGTCGCCTTTCTTACGCTCTTGCCACCAGAAAGCACCTCCAAGTACAACGGTCAACGCAAATAGAGCAGCCACGCGCGGATCTGCCCAGCCATAAGTCGACCCGCCCCACTGCACGGCAAGCAGCAGACAGGTGATCCCCGGCACGAAGAGCGCGGTCCCAACAAGGTCCAGCTCGCGAAGTTGGTCGGCCAGCTTGGCGTCACTACGGTCTTGGCTATTGTCGGACAGCGCGGCAGGTTCCTGAAAGGTGAAGAACATGAGCACGGAGCATGCCGCACCCAGAGGCAGGTTGATGAAGAAGCACCATCGCCAGGAGAGCGAATCGACCAGCACGCCGCCGAGCACGGGTCCTGCAGCCATGGCGATGCCTTCAATGGCCGCAGCGAGGCCGGCGTATGTGGGACGCTGTTGAGCTGGAAAACTGCGGCCGATAATGCTGCATGTTATGACGGCGTGTCAGTCATGAGGCCATTTGTGATGCGACGGCGTAACGCGAAGCACCATGCAGGCTGAAGGAGGCACCATACACGAAACAGCCAGAGAAGACACCAGCAGTTCCAACGCCGGCGATTGCGCGTCCGACAACGAGCATTGGCGAAGCAGCCGCCAGGCCAGACACGAGGGCACCAAGCTCGAGGATACACACGGACGCGAGGAAGATGGTTTTGACCGGGACAACGCGGTAGAGCTTGCCGTAGAAGAACTGCGTTGCGCATATTGCAAGGCGACTGTGGTTCTCTTGTCAGCAAATGCTAGGACGGTGTCGACATTTAAAGGAGATCTATGGCCGGGATACTGACAAGGATGACGAGTACCACGCAATGTCGGAGATGGTGTTGAACTCGCTCGTGATGGCCGGGATGGCGGAAGCAATCATGCTCAAGTCCTGAAGTGTTTGTCAATGTTGAGGTCATATTTGCAAAGGGGGGCCCTCTGGAACACCCCGGGACGAGGAGCCGCCTACCAGCCCAACAACAAGCAGCGCCATTGCCAATGCAAGTATGATACCTGCGAATCGAGAGCCTGTTGGCACGACTATCTCTGGCTCATGTTGTTCGTCACTAGCCAGGACCCGAAGCTCGATTGGCTCGCTTGGCCCGGAAGGCAGAGCCTGTCCCTGAGCGCCAGTCATTGTCGTGGTAACTGCGGTAGTACTCATAGTGGTAGGCTTGGAAACACAAGGACGAGGCGATGCAGAGACGAGTTTACCAAATAATGGTTCTTGTTAAGAAACGTCACCGCGCGGGGTGCCAGGTTTTGAGGAGCTTGTGCCCGCGTCAGACTCGGAGTCGGAGCACCGAAGCCGAGCTGCCCAGACTTTCTGAACCCCGGCTTCGGCATCGGACTAGCCACAACAACGTAAGGAGAACACTGCATTTAACGACCAGAAACACAGACACGCCAGGGCACATCATAATAGGAATAGATCGACATCGCCACATTAGACATGCAAAGTTTTATGGCGATGCCATCTTGCTCACTCAGCGCAGTATCGTCAATCTGTGGCCCATGGCAGGAAATCAAAAATTTATCTTTCCAGGACATCTAAATCTGGAATGGACGATCATGTAGAATTCGAAGCGACTGTGAGCATTGAAACAACGTTGAATCAGTAGATCTAAGTGGAGACGAATGAACGGGATCGAATAATGCAGTGAGACGACGAAGTCATGAAGATGATCTGACAAGAGGGATAGAGTATGTTGAATTGAGAGGAGAGAAAGAGAAGAAAGGAGCAAAGGAAACGGCCCGTTTCTCGTCTAATTAGGCCAGCCTGTTTCGCCCTCCTCGTACTCAGCTTGATTCCCTCGACATTGCAGTTCAATCGGGCTTCCATGATGTAGGTATCTCCTCGACACATCTCAAGTCCATGATGGGCTGTTCCCTTCGCCTGCGTCGCCAAGCATTGGTAGACATGATGATCTCTGGACAGCCTCGCAGCAAGAAACCCCAATTCCGCAGAAACGGTACACTCACCTCCCAACTCCTAGGATCCCACGGCTCTCCCCAGACCATGAAGCCGGCCCATTCCCTCTTCGGCCCGGAGGCCTCTAGGATATGGTCAAAGAGCTCGTCTTCCTCCTCGAGAGGCATACACCTGGTGGTAGCTAACATGTTGTCGCGCAGCCGAGGGAGCGGGAACAAATCCAGCCATGGATGATGAGGGGTGGTCAGCTGCATCTTTGTCGGTGCAAGACTTGGTGGCACGCATTGTTTCGTATACGTCGTGCAGTCTTCCAGCTGGCGTTCTCGATTCCCGCTGACATCGCGAGGGCCGAATGGCGACACAATTTCGCAGACGAGCCAATCAAATGAGAAGCCCAGCACCTCGGCGTTTCTCGTGAGCCCAGTCACAATGTTGAGCTGTATGAGCTGCAGGTAGTGATCGGCACGAGGGCAGCCAGCTGCATAGCTCGACAATGCCTGCCGCGCAAAGGCCTCGAGAAGTGCTCGCTGTTGAGCAATTGTGTCTTGCGAGGCATAGTTCAGCATTGGAACGATGCTTTCCGCCTCTGCGTCGGATGCAGGGGCGTTGCACGAGAGTTGGTTGAGATTTGGGCTGGATCGAATAGCAGCACTGCAATGAGTTGCAGAAGATTCGGATCTGGATTGGGAAGACCGCGTCGCTCTTTGTCTTTGCCTCGCTACAAGACTCATGTCAGGCCCAAGCAGTATAGCGGAGTCCGGTCAGCTACTCACAGAGACGCTTGTTGAGCCTATTCTGCAGCTTCTTCCGCTGCTTCTGGTCCGTGATGCCCGACCAATTCTCGCCATGGCGGCACATGCCGGCGGCGGTGTTCATGCATAGTCGAGTACTCATCTTCTTGGTGACCTTATCAGATATCAATGGAGGTCTTGAAACGCGCCTTGGGGGGATTCTGTGACGTGAGCCTAGGCATGGAGATTTGTCAGCCACGCACAGTGTGGACTATGAAAGCCTGGCCAACACTGACAATACGTGTAGCCATCACGGCATTTCCGACAACGGCAGTGCAAACATCAGACATATTACTACGTGCAGATCTCATATCCTTAGAGTTCCATCAACGCCGAATCTTGCTCGCCCAAATGCGGCAGAGAAAGATTGAGCAAACATGCATCAGGGCATGCCACTACCAGACAATTTGCGTGGCCCCTAAACTTCTGGATGGCTCTTGATCTTGTAATGAACAATACTTCTGATACTGCATCGTCCCCGCTTCTCCAGGCTCCTGCATGGCTGCGCTGAAAGGCCAGGGAGATCCTGCGGATGTCACCGTGTTCGACTAGTTGAGCACTCAGAAAAGTCGTCCGCATGGCGTATCTCACAGTCTGCACGCCGCTCGTCATTGCAAGCATGACATCGGCTCCCTGGAGGTAGATCATAGATTGTCCAAGTTGTCCCAGACGACCTGTAAGGTAGTCGCAACACTGTCGGCCAAGCTTCTGTTGGGCGTTCTCCCCCCCCCCCCCCCGCGGCGGGGCCGCCGGAAGCGTGTACTCGTGAATAGAATTCGCACTAGCGTACGCCACGCATGGCTTGGGATGTGGGAGCTGAGTCCGGGATGTGCTAAAGTCAGAGATGCGATGTGGTCAAAGCAGCTCTCAGGTCCTGCTCTTCATTTGGTTCACGTTGCCCTACCATCCAGCCTGGGCGCCAAAGGCCGAAATGAAGACCTCGCCCCGCGAAACGATCGTCGACATGCCAGCTGGCGGCCTCGCCTTCGTATTGGCACCAGAGCCTGGACAGAATTCGACAAATACTCCTCCTAGCCCGCCAAGGCTGGACGCAACTCATCCCTACACTGTCGCCGAGCGCATCGGGTCGTTGGTCGAAGCCGAGCTGACCACAAAAGAGCCACCAAAATGGCGCGCTCTGCTCAGCAAGATCAAACCGCTGAAACCAGGAGACCCCCAGCGTGTCCTGGTGGACCATATCGCTACAATCACCCCGGAACATCATCAGCTCGCGGTGCTCTTCGCCCACATGGTCTATATCCTACGACACCACGACGCAAGGAAAGCCGATATCAAAGACTATCTATCCTCGTGCTTCTGGACGGCCGTAAATAAGGCCTTCGGTGAGACCTTCCAGCGACAAGACGATTTCAAAGCTTTGGAACAATTCAGCAAGAACTTCGAAATCCACCGGGAAGACTACGGCTCCTCTGCACACAACGATCAGCCCTTGGCTTACGAGAATCAGATGGACGCTCTTGCCGCTTACGCTCAATATCAACCAGCGAACTTGGTCTTCAAGCTGATTTATCTACACGAGCTGACGGCCGCCTCTCCCTCCGCGGAAATCAAGGACCACAATCACTCAGAAGCGGAGACCAGAGGCAAGTCTGAAGCTGAGGCCGAGGCACGGGCCACAAGTATCTGCATGCGGCTCAGCCAAGAAGAGGCCTGGGCGAGATTCAATGCAGAGGCGTTCCTGCGGACAGGACCATCCTGGCAGTATTACTTCTTTCAGCACGGCATCGACCTGAATAAGGTCTGACCGCAGATAACATGTGTAACCATACTCTCCGTTCCATTTCACGCCGAAGGGGACTCTCGTATGAACCCGGTTGACATGTACCACCCTTTACACGTCTTTTCGCGTATGTAATCAATCTGGCATAAGTTGAAAGCCATCACCTGTTCTCAGTTATGCTCTCTCCTCGAGCAGAATGTCACAAGAGAGGCAAAGGCACACTGTACGTCCTTTTGCGAGCTCTGGTCCTTTCTCCCAATCTGCAGAGTCTAATGTGTAAGATGAAATTCAACACAAGCAGGATCAGGTAGCGAAGGCCTCATGCCACAACGTTTCCCATGCTCGACAGATGTAGGTCAACGACTTCACACAGCTCCATGATCACAATCCCTCGTCTTTGGGCTGCACCCGAGAATGGTGAAGTACAGTTTGGAGTACACGGAGTCGTATGCTGACGTTGGATCAAGTCCTATAACGATGACGTGAGACGGCTCCAGCCGTCTCCAGACCCTATACTCGCTGTGCGGACACTGACCCACAGGCGGATGATGTAGCACACCCCGGACAAATGAGCCGTTGTATAACACCGCGTTCCACCACAAGAGCCGTTGTAGGTCTGAATTCGGAGTAGCACGGTAGAGACGGAAGTCGGAGAATCCTGTTGTTGCAGGGAACATCATCCTTCAGTACAACACCACGTTCCTCTGCCGTAGCAGCCCAATGAGAAGCTCAACAATCCGAACTGCGGCCTGAGACTTCATCAAAAACACAGGCTATGCCAAGACTTGAAAAATTAAAAGGTGCCCCCGCATCAACCCAACATTCCCCTACGTCCGAGACTACGGCTTCTGGAATGGTCTCATAATGCTGAATGTACACGTATGTGACGCGGCACGTTAAGCTGAGCGTCTGCACGTTAACTTTGATGTGTATATAAGACAAGGGCACTGCCTCAAGACTGAGACTGCAATAAGACGATTAAGCTACTTCACCTTCGCCTCCAAGGAACAGTAGTCGACTCCACTACCTCTCAAAATGGTCGTTATCAAGTCTGTCCTCGCAATCGCCACTTTTGGCACCCTCGCCATTGCGACCGCCAACATCGGCGACCCTTGCGGCTGGGACCCCCAGCACCCTGTCAAGACCGACTGTGGTCCGGACGGCCAGCAATCAGTAAGTCTGCGAGACCCGCTTGAGGAAAAGAAAAACGTCAAGGGTGCCGACCGGCTGCTAAGGATCTTGTGCTAATGACATCATGTCTTTCTTCCAGCTCATCTGCCAGCCTGACAACAAGTGGCACCTGTCCCACACCTGCCCAAAGGGTGAGAGTGTCTGCCCTCCTGGCGGCGGCTTCTGTGTGAATCCCGTCCCCTACAAGGCCTAGAGTCCAGATCGAACAGGAAGGGGAAGGGTTTTGCGGGACTTTTGGTGTGCAGGCTGTGCACCCGGGCTTCAAATTTGACCGCCAAAATCTGTAGATTACTCGCTCTTCCATCAATAATTGTAAGCTTGGTGTGATGTAGGTGCTTCAATGCATCAAAACGCCCAAGTGAAATTTTAGCCCAATGGCAATCACTAGTTGGTGCAGTTTGGCCAGACACTCTCAAGGGCAATCAAATGAACTGATTCTTACGACTCCTAAACGACAAAAGAAAAATGATTAGGGTATCCATGGGTGTACAAGCCATGATACAAATGACAAAAGAAAAACATGTTTCCCAACCCCAGCACTTCACTCACGTCGGTTGCCCATCTCTGAATACCGGCCAAGTGCTTCCGAAGCCTTTTTTCCTCAGTGCTCCATTCGTGTCCGTTATCGAAACACTGGCCAGCTACTTTCCAGCATACTTCTGATTCTCGTCGGGGTAACGTTTGCCTCTGCTCTCTTTCCCGGCTCTGATCATCGCTTCCTTCATCTGCACCTGCCTGTCTTCTGCAGCTTTCTTTCTGGCCGCCTCGGCCTCAGCTTCCTCAGCTTTCTTTCTTGCGTCTGCATTGGGCGTGTTTCGTGTGTTCTTGGCTGTGTCTCCCGCTGCGACGATAGCATCTTCGAAATCCAACTCTCTCTCGAGAGGGTTGTCACTCTTTCTGTTATCCGCCATTTTCTCGATCTGACGGCCCCTGGAAATATCAGTGACACAAACTATGCAACAATTACCTCAGGCCCGATGCCCGATCCCAGCCTGCCTCTAAGAAGCCGAATGAGAGACTGGTTGGGATTGTACCTGAGTTGTCGAAGCACGGATGTGATGCTATGCTCCCAGGACAACGCCGTGGGTGTGTTCAAATATGTCAGGGTTTCGAAATATGCGAGTTTGATTAGCCTGAGCTTTCTGAGTCGTTGCAAGAAAATCATGTTGAAGACAGAGCTTCGGGGGCCCCTATATAACTTGATCGGCTGCTGTGAGTATTTGAAGACATTTCTTCCAAAGTCGACGAACAAAGGGACTTGCGACAGCAAACCGCCAAAGACGCATTTGGCTGCAGAATTATGGAACACAGGAAGTGAAAGGATAGTCACAGCTGCAGCTACAGTGGACTGAACAGAGAATGTTTTGCGTAGCGTTGGTGTGCCTGCTCGGTGTGTTGCTCGTCATTCTTCCTCAGCGATAACATGGCTCAAAGAACGATACACGTGCAGGCCTCCCTCTAGAACCAAGAAAAAGGGCCACAAAGAGAAAACAGACTGGGTCGAGTAGCGCTGGCATTCACGGCGGTGATGTTGGCACTGCTCACATGGCTCGTACTCAAGGAATGTAGCCCTGTGAGTCTAGCGCAAAAGCTCTAGCCCCGGTGTGAGCTCAAAGACCTGGACTCGGAGCGAAGACTGAAGAAATTGCACGCCAAGGGGAACCGAGAGAGCCATAACGGACGGGGCATGTGGCTCGCCAAGTGCGGGCACATCCGCCTGTCATACTGCCGATGCTCAAAGAATGTGGCATCAAGAATGTGGTCCCAATACTCGAGCTGATTAGCCCAAGCACCAGATGTGGCTTGAAGCGTTGGTCCTGAACAGCTGGCTCCAACAACTTTGCCCAAAGGATCAAAGGCAGCAAGCTGGGCCTGGTGCACATTATGGAGTAGGCGCTATGGCTTGCCGGGTGGGGTCTCCGAAGCGATAATGTTGTCGAGAGGATTCATGTCAAAGAATTTGGCGACAGGAAGCGACAGGAATGGGTGGCGGTGGGTTCCTTGGCTTTTGTTGGCGAGCGTGCTGATCTTTGTTGGTTGTTGCAGGCAGTGCCAACGCATGATGGCCGCCTGCAGATGACATGGTTGTGCGTGCGGCCCATGACTCCGGGCCCCTGTCCACAACGGGCCGCTCGGTTGGCGGTTGCTAAATAAAGAACAGTCTCGCATTCCAGCCCAGACCAACAGGTCCTTTGAGATTGGGTGGACGAGGGGGCCGCATGGCTGAACCGTCCTTGTTCTCGCTCTCCATTCCAGGCACTGCCCAACGACCGACTCTTCACCATTTCCCCGCTGCCTTTTGCTGCCGCACCACCCGTCACCATACTGCCACCCACCACAAGTCTTTCACCAGCGTGCGCCGTGACAGATACGAAGCACTTACTACCACAAAAATGTACAGCGGCCGAGAAGATGCCGACAACCTCGTCTGGGACAAGAACGAGGAGGATGAAGACCGAGGATTGAAACGGCTCCGACTCAAAACCTTCTGTCGCAAGGTGGTCGGTCTTGTGGAGGAAAGGCTGGGCCTTCCGGCCACCCTCATCCCGCCATTGATTCCCGGCAGCTACAACGTTCACTATCGGATTCGTCAGGAAGGCACAAGTCCCGATCTCCTTGTCCGGCTGCCACGCCCGGCCGCGTTAGTGTTCCCAGAGCACAAAACACTTCACGAGGCAGCTGCAGCATCCCTAGTTGCAAGCTGCACGCAGCTACCCATCCCCCGGCAGCTATGTTACGCCCAGGAATCGCCGGTCGGCCCCTTCATCATCATGGAGTGGGTGGAGAACAAAGGCACTATATCGCGCAGACTGGCTCGACCGGACGAGGATCCTTTGGCGGCCCATGTACTCGACCCAGATGTAACCAGTGAGACGCTTGCCGCGCTCTGGTTGAAAGTAGCGCACTGCCTGCTGGAAATCTCCCACATCGCTCTGCCTAAGATTGGCTCCCTCCTCGAGACCAGCCACGGCGTATACGAGGTAGCGGACAGACCCATCTCGCACAATATGAACGACATGGTTGCTCTCGCAAACATCCCCCGCTCCATTCTGCCGCAGGAGGGCGAGACGTACGCGACCGCAGACGAATGGTACACGGCGCTGGCAGACATGCACATTGCACAGCTCGTCTTTCAGCACAACGATGTTGTCGAGTCTGAAGCCGACTGCCGCAACAAGTACGTTGCCCGCCAGGTCTTCCGGCGTCTAGCCAGAGAAGGGAAGCTGTCCATCTTTGGCTTTGCCGACGACAAGTGGTCCGCCCAGTCGGCAGCCAGAAGAGCAAAAGCTGCCACAGAGCTCGCCCCTGCACCATCTGGTGTCGACTCCTTCCGTCTCTGGGGCGACGACTTCCGGGCGGGCAACATACTTCTCAATGACTCGGACGAGATCGCCGCCCTCGTCGACTGGGAATTCGCGTACTCCGCCCCGACCCAGTTCATCCTCGATCCACCGTGGTGGCTGCTACTCCAGACGATCGAGTGGTGGTCCGATGGCATAGACAGCTGGGTTGAGACCTACGAGGAGCGCCTCGGGATGTGGCTGGCTGCCATGGAGCAGGCCGAGAGAGATGCTGATGACGCCCCGTCTGCGAAGCAGCAGGTTAGCCACTGTCTCGGTGCTGAGCGTCTGCCGGCCCCTTTGTCTAGGTATATGCGCGAGAGCTGGGAAACAGGGCGTTTCTTCCTTAACTATGCTGCGAGGAAGAGCTGGGCTTTTGACGCCTTGTACTGGAGGTACCTGGACGAGCGCTTCTTTGGCAAGCGCGAGGAGGGGACGGCGAAGGACGACCTCTGGAAGACAAGGATTCATCTGCTGAGTAGGAAGGAGAGAGAAGCGATGGAAGGCTTAGTGCAGCAGAAGATGGCGGACATGGAGGACAGGCGGATTGTTGATTGGGATCCAGCAGAAGCGAAGCGGCGCTTAGGCACATTTCTTTTGGTCAAGGACCCAGTATCGCATCGCTTGTAGCACGCACCTTCACATGGTACAGCGTCAATCTACCGACTGTACCAGTAAGCCAAATTATCGTCAAGTCTCCGCTGTGCTCACATTGGTGGCTCCGTCACGCGTCTTTTATCGTTTATGTCTCGGCAGGTCTCTTTCCGCTGATGACGCCATAGAGGCTAGGCAGGTCAAGTTGGGCAGCGTAAAGAGCTTACCCGTTGCATTCAGCCTATCAGAATATATAACTTTGTAAAAGGGGCACATTGGACGGCTTTCCATGCTGAGGAGGCTCGGGGCATTGAAACCAAGTGTGATCCTTTGACGCGTCTGACACTTTGAGAGCCCACGATGGCCTGTCCGAAGCAAAAGCTGATAGACGATTTTGAACTTAGCCGATACCCTTTCATTTATTGATGATATCCAACCGTTCACTGAGCAGCCGACGTAGTTGACCGGTCAGTTGTGCATACAGCTCCAAGAGCATGGTTCCAGGTCACCCACCAGCCAGCGTGGGGAGCGGAAAGTACTGGGCACAGTCGTACTGTTACTACCGATGTAAGATCCTCCCTATAATATTGCCCCTGCCTCGAGTGGAAAGCTCGTCTTTGTGCCGGCTTGTATTTCAGCCGACTTCTGGCAGGGGCCTTTTGTCCCCCTGAACGTGCAGTGCGTTTCGGTAGACACAATTGTAGATTCAGGAGGGGGAGCGGAGCCCCAGAAATCCAAAGCTGGGGGTGCTAAGCTTTGGGGCGTGGGGTCTTGGCAATGCTTGGTTTTAGCGGGAAAACGCGTGAACCAATCTCTGTGCCCATCAAGCCCACAGGGATGTACTAACAAAGCCGCGTGGTCGCATGTGAAACGACACAATGACCTACCTAATTCGGCCCTTATCGAATCACATGGGGAGATATGCAAACGTGCTAGGCCTGATACAACGACAATGCTACAACGTCGTTGAAGCTAGTATGAAAACCGCCAAGCGCTATCAAACTTCAGCACGCTATGCCCCGCCCCAGGTGCAAATGCCGACGACGGCCTTCCTAAAAAGGTAGGTTCGCTAGTTGACACAGGGTCGCTGCATTGACGATTGCCAAGGAACCTGACAGGTCACGGCACTGTCCGCAACCATTCATTGAGCACTGGAAAGTCTCCACAAAGATCTTCTTGCGCAAGGATAGACGACCGGCCTCCGTCGGCTCGCCCGATGGACTATACTCAACGCGCAAGACGATAGCCACCTTCTCACAAGGTATATATGACAGGCACTCAGTAACTTTGGCTCCCTCACCTGTACAGACTACCCATGGCACAGCAACAATGACACTCATCAAGACCCTCGTACTCGGCCTCGCCTGTGCCAATACGGCCAGCGCATGGGGAGTCCTCGGCCACGCGACAGTTGCCTACGTCGCCCAAAACTACGTCGACTCGGCGACGGCCACTTGGGCACAAGGTCTCCTCGGCGACACCTCTGACTCCTTTCTCGCCAAGATCGCCTCATGGGCGGACACCTACCGCACCACCACAGCCGGCAAATGGTCTGCGCCGCTGCACTTCATCGACGCAGAAGACAGCCCCCCGACCAGCTGCAACATCGACTACGACCGGGACTGTGGTTCGACGGGCTGCTCCATCTCCGCCGTGGCCAACTACACCTCGCGCATCAAGAACAGCAAGTTGTCCAAGACCGATCGCGCAGAGGCGCTCAAGTTCCTGACGCACTTCATCGGGGACATCACCCAGCCCTTGCACGACGAGGCGCTGGAGCGTGGGGGCAACGACATCACCGTCACCTTTGACGGCTACTCGACCGACAACCTGCACGCAATCTGGGACACCTACATCCCGCAGAAGGACGTCGGCGGCTCCGCCCTCACCGACGCGCAGACCTGGTCCCGCGAGCTCATCTCCGCCATCGACTCGGGCACATACGCCAGCACCAAAAAGTCCTGGATCTCCGGAGACGACATCGCCGATCCCGTCACGACGGCCACGCGCTGGGCCGCGGACGCCAACGCCCTCGTCTGCTCCGTCGTCATGCCCAAGGGTGTCGGGGCCCTTCAGAAGGGCGATCTCTACCCGGACTACTACAACAGCGTGTTGCCCACCATCGAGATGCAGATTGCCAAGGCTGGTTACCGCTTGGCGAACTGGCTGAATAAATTGCATGCTGCTTCAGTGTCTAAGAGTAAGAGGACCGAGAGGGATGAGGTCGAGGAACGTGTGGCGCTCGAGTTGGACGGGAGGGAGTTCCTACCTGCTCCAAGGCCTTTGAGCCATGCCAAGAAGATCAGGGAGCTTCATGGGTATGATTGTGGCCATGACCATCACTAGTCACTAGGCAGAGTGGTGTGTTGTGATTGGTGATCGTGGGGATGTGACAAGCGAGGCGCAAAGGGAGTTACTGGTCTGGTTGTGCTGTGATGTAGCTGAGTAGTGGCTGAGTGGATCTGTATGATGACCCGTCTGACACATTACGCAACCGTTCATTATTCAGATTAGCTAGCGGATGCCTGAATATTCCGGGATACTACAACGGGCGTTCCGCCTTGGTCCACGATACCTTTCTGCTGCTGACTCTAGCACAAAAGCAACATTGGTGAATGATTGTGCGATGTCGTGGGAAGGCACTGCCGTGACCAAATGTCCTGTTGAGTTGGGAAGCCTTGGGTCGTTTGGGAGCTGAGGGTCGTGTCCATGGGCAGCCTTGTGAGCGACATCGGGAGTTGAAGGGCCGGTAGAGCTGGGAACATTCGAGGGTTGCTCGGATCGATGATAGTCTGCCGTTATCGAGCACGACGACGATCTGCGTGAGGACCGAGGATTCGGAGCCAGCTGCGATCGCGGTATGCCTGCTCGTTCCAGCAACTGTTCGAGCTCTCGAACAGATGCACGCCAAATCTCATTTGTCTGTTCAAGCTCCTAGGTGTAGCCACGCGACTGCGGTTTGCCCGTGGCGCGATTTGTAACGGGACATTTCTGCTGAACCTTGGAGCATAATGAACATCTGTACAAGGCGGGTATCCATCCGAAGAAGCTGTTGGGTAGTGTTGGAACGTTGATGCGTGGGTTGAGGTGGCGCTTCCGCGCAGCGTAGAGGGTCTTCCATCGACGACGGATTATCTAGCAATCGTGGCGTGGTCAGCTTTGTTTGGTCAGTTGGCTTGGACTGGGACTTGAATGGGAGCGGCGGCACTCACACAGAACGCGATGAAGGCAGACAAGTCCAGCGTCAGCAAATGGCGAGCTCATGCTATTGCATGATGCATGCATAGTTCCGGGATTAGGGACCCGCCCGGACTCTCGCTACCGCGCTGGCCCCGAGACATGGTGTTAGCCATTGTAAAGGCCAACGATCGACAAGGTGTCGAAGCGGGACTACAGACTGTATGAGGAGTTGTGCGGGCCGTGCGTATCGGAATTGGGGGGTTGTCGGGATCCACGTACGGAGTCTTAGCCGAACCCGGGACGGAGGTAGCGAGTACGTAAAAGGGGTAGACAAGTTTTGAGTTCGGACCAACATTAGCCAGCTGAGACAGAGGGCGACGACTTACGCGAACGTGACCTGTATACAAAGATTGGCCAATCGGCAATTGCACCGGCAGCATTGCAACACCAGGATTGCGGGGTATGCCTGTCTAGTGGTGGTTTATCCTCGCTGTCGTCGATGTCACCTCACCACACCATCATGGCGGCCAGTCAGTCCAGACCGCATGGCACTATACTCACGACTGTCCCCACGAGTGCTTGATTTGTCACCCCTGCGACTCGAAAGCCGCGATTCCCCGCTCAGCCTCTTCTGTTCGCCTCCCATCCATCCTTGGTGGCGCTGTCCCTCCCGCACTGTCTACGCGCAAACCCTCTCATCTCACAGAGGCGCACGAATAGGCAGGCAGAGGAGAAAACAACAAGCTACTAGGAACCACGGATGGCCATAGCCTCGTCTCTGATGGTAGATATGGAGCTTCCAGCCGCTTCAGAGGATGAGTCCTTTGACTGCACCCTCTGTGGCATGGGCTTCCTCCGTCAGGATCACCTCACCCGCCATCTTGCTCTCCACAATGGACAGAGACCCTTTACGTGCGCCGTCTGTCATAGACAATTTTCCAGAGGGTCCGTGCCCCCATGTCCTACATCTTTGTGTAGTGGCTCCAGCGACTCTACTCAATGCTGACCCGACACAGAGACACGCTGGAGCGTCATCAAATCACCCATGGCGCAACACCGTCCGATCATCGAGCCTCCAAACCCAACGGACAACCCCGTGCCAGTAGGGCGTGTGCTTCTTGCCGCAGATCCAAGGAACGCTGCGACGGCCAAGAACCTTGCTCTCGATGTCGGCGCCATGACAAGTCCTGTCATTTTCTACCCCGTCGCACTCGCCAGGTGATATACGCCCCTGCCTGCCCTCGGCCACTAGACTAGATGCATCATCCACCTTGAAGAGACAGCGCAGAACGGATGCTAACCTTCTGCGTTCATGCACGCGGTTCCAGACATCCAAGTTCAAACAGCTCGGGTCATCCACTTTCTCGACAACCACGACCGATGGCAGCCACACGGCTTTTCAGATCCGAGGCAACCGTCCCACATCGCCAGAACAACCTTCGCTGCTTGTCACCGAGCCGAGAACTGTCCACAATAGCGACCATACAGAGAGCCTCGTCGCCATGGGTTCCAACTTTATCAATGCCGACATCTCCTTCGATATCGGTCATTCTGACTTGGACCAGGACTGGCATGACGTTTGCCATTTCCCCCGGCCCGGTGCTGCGGCGGACGGTTATATGCCTGCCATGTTATCCCTGGGATCTCAACGGACTTCCTCCTCAGTCGACGCTGCTGCCATTCCCGTCATGGCCGGGTTGAACTCCGCAGGCTCGTTGCAGCCACAGTGGTCTCCAGTTCCTGCAAACTCCGGAATCTTAGAGGCAGAACTGGAAAACTTCTGCCATGTCGAGAGCGTATCCCCGGAAGGTTATGACGACCTGAACCTTTGGGCACGCATGGTAGACACAACCTGGGTGCGCAGGTCCGGCAGTCCTGAATCGTCTGACTCTCTAGTCCTGCCACCCGCGGCAACTCTGACCGCTTTCATCCAGTTATATTTTGAAAAGTTCCATGAGACCATGCCAATTATTCATCGGCCTACTTTCAATCCAAATACTGCGCCATCTCTTCTAGTCCTTGCCGTAGCTAATATCGGACGGCGTTTTTCAAGGCTTGCAGAGACCTCCTCACAAGTGGTTGGCCTGGAAAACTGGGTTTATAATGCTGTCAAACGTCACGTACGTGTACCCCCTCTTTCATAGCACGTTTCCCCGCTTTCAGCATCTCTTTCCGTCATCATCATCATCATCTCGGGTAGCATAGATGTTCCCACGACACTTCTGATCCCTGTCCTCTTCTTTCACTTTGAGACTTTCCCAGCGGCAAAATTCGCGTACTAACAGGACGCTCTCACCGACTTGCTAATAGACGAAAATATTTGAAACAAGTGAAAGTATTCCGCTGTGGCTGGCCCAGGCGGTGCTCTTGTCTCATATGGCCACGTCCTTCTCGGATGATCGCACCGCCGTTGAACGGAGTCACATGACACGGGGCGTACTAGATGTTGTCTTGCGCAAGCTCGAACAATCTCGGACAGCAGCCGAGGTACGCCTCCTCGATGTGGCTGAAGGTCCGGATGATGAGCAGGGACTATGGGCAGCCTGGACTCATTACGAGGCTATACGGCGCACTGCATACGGGTTGTGGGTAAGTATAGACCACAACACACTCCATCGTATTTGTGATTTGATGCATGCGCTACCTGTCATGGGAAATCACTAACCGCTTTCGCACATATAGCTCTTCGATAGTCAGTGCTGCCTTTTGTTCGATCTCACACCGGCGGTCCCAACTGAAGCACTTGATATACCGCTACCCTGCCATGAGAAGCTATGGGAAAAGTCCAGCGCTGCTTCTTGGGAATTGCAATGGACCGGTATGTCATGGCGCTTCCAAGTCATACTCTTCCCTTTTTCTTCATTTCCCTCCCACTGAGCCCACCACATATAGGTCTGTCTGAGAGACAACTGTCGCTAACATGTGTAATTCTTTTCTTAGGATCCACAAAGCAATTGCCTACCTTGAGGGAAGAGCTTCAATCATTCTATGATTGCAAGCCTGTCGGCGGACACATTGGTGCCTGTTCATTCATGATAATCCTCTTCGGCTTTTTCCGAGACTTGCTCGTTTTACGCCAAATCGAGAGCCACGGCTTGCTTGGCGTGATAAATATGCACGGAAAGCATGTCACACGCCGGGAAACATGTTCCTCGTCCCTGTGGAAGCTACTGGATCCGAGCAAGCGGGCAGGAGGTTCATGGAATCGAGCAAATGCTGTGACAGCCCAGTTCTATCACATCATTAGGGTCGTGCAGGAAGTCTGTTTAAAGGATCTCCTGGCTTTCACAGGCTGGCGAGTGGCGCGATCAACACAAGCGGAAACAAGTCAGCGACTGAGGACTTGGGTCTCGGAGAATGGTGAATGCGCACGAAAGGTAGTCCTACACGCCGGTACTATTTTCCAACAGTGCTGGAGCCGTTCGACTGAGGGCTATCAAGAACCAAGCGCTATCCTCATTGCGTCTATTGCTCTCTGGGTTTACAACAGCTCTTTGCCTTATTGTTCTTGGGTCGCAGCATCACCAACACAACTGCAAACATCAAGGACAATTCATCGCCACGATGAGGCACTTGACTCAGCCTCAACACTCCTAGCCACCTCGACATCACTTCCATCAATACGAGCAGAATCACCACAAACTGAGCTGACGGCGCAACCCCGAAGCGTCACGGTGTGTCTGCACAGTGGCGGCGACGACCACGATGACGACTATGCCCAGGACTGGGTGCGTAGCGGCCGGCAGATACGGCCCATGGTTGTCAGTGTGGGTGACATCAATGCCCCGGGCGCATATTTGAATGCTGTGAGAAACAGCGTAGTATTTCTAGAAGCACACAGGGAGTGGAAGATCAGTCAGCTTTTTGCCAGTGTGCAGAAGGACCTCCTCACAGCATTCGAAAGCAATCACGCGCTCAGTACCAGATGAGGGGATTTGCTATACCCTTTTTCACCCTCCTGTATTCGTATTTTCCTCTTTTTCTCTTATTTCCACTATTTTGCCCTGTATATACTTCAGTCATCACTTCCCCTTCCTTGCCTTGTGAAGGAAATCAGATGTTGAAAGTAGTGTTTCTATAAGGTAATGAGTCTTTGGGGACCTTGGCTCTTCTATTACTGGGACATCGTAAATTCTATATAAATCCCGTTCTTCCCCCTTCTCAACGTGTAGAATCATATGAAAATTGAGCAATGGATAGGCATACAGTGTGACCTATATATTCATGTTAATCGAGAAGACTACCATCCATCTCCTCCTCGTGTAGCTACGTTAATAGACAACGGTTGCATGTGTTATTCCTTCTATTTTGACTATTGTGTGTTTTTCCTTTTTTTTTATCCTTTTTCCTTTTTATACGTTTCCCCTTAACCCTTGATAATAACCGAAACCAGATATCCAACTATTGCTCCTGGTATTCTTCTTTCCTCTTCTTCCACCTTACTCACGCTCCACTTCCATTGAAGTCCCAGACATATCCGCATGGGAGTCTAGTCACGCCGGGAAACTCTCACATAGAGCCCCTCAGGGAACTCGACAGTGAAGTTATCTACGCTGCGCGGCGGTGTGAATCCTGAAGGGAGTTCGAGAGTGAAGTTCCGGAACAGCGTTGCCAGTACAATGGTCATTTCAAAAGGGACCAGGCTGCAGTGGAGATTGGAAAGTTAGATCAATGTTTTATGCGGGTTTCCCCTTGTGCTTATTCGCATAGGGAGACGAAAGGATGGTTATGGGACGAAGAAAGCATGCGAACGATGCGTTCGCATGGCGTAAAGTATAGAGGAAAACAAAAAATGCGCAAAGAAAAAAGAAATCAACTCTTCAAATGAACTTACTTCATGCCAAGGCACATTCTTGCGCCCTTGCCAAACGCGCAAGAGTATTCATCCAGGCGTTTCGCGTCATCGGCCAGCCATCGGTTGGGGTTGAAGTACCGAGCGTCAGGACCCCAAAAGTCAGTGTCCATATGCATAGTGTACGCAGAGATGGACACAATTGTCTGGGGAAAGCAGAAAAAGTAGATCCTCGTTAGTGTTGCGCATTACCGAGGCGCGTGTTTCTCATTATGACCTCGAATCTCTCGTCTTTTCTAGCAAGAGTTGAGTTGGGAGCTGGGAGTGTTTGTGAGGTTGCGGCGGGGGGCGGGGTGATGGTGGTGCTTGGGAGGCAGGGAAGAGTATCCCATCGTCTTTGAGGAAAGAACTTACTCCTGGGGGAACGACCTCTCCGTCCACGACGAAAGGCGTACCGTCGTCGGGTACGTAGCGAGGGAGACGGCCAGGCACTGCCTTGGCGTGGCGGATGCCTTCCTTGACACACGAAGACTGTAGTGATGAAGACAAAACGTCATAACTGATTAGTGAATGGGCCCACGGCAATCTCGCTAGAGTAGGACGTGGGTAATGCGCGAGTCGCTTCACAACTTTTCCATCGCCCATCACCTCTCCTCCTTCTCACCAAGGAAGTATAGGGAAGAGGTTGACGTAGTCTCAGTAAGGCGTCACGGAGGAGGAGAACGAACCAGAAAGGGGAGTTTTTCCAGTTCCTGACCAGCAGGGAAATTGTGCTTGTCGGGAATAGCGGCATCAAGCTCGTCAACCAGTGTCTTCAAATATGTAGGATTGCTGAGGAGCTCGAGGATCGTGGTCGTCAGGGAGGTCGCGCTTGTGTCGGAACCAGCGATGAGCAAGTCCAGTGATTCGGCAACGAGAGCGTCCAGGTCGAGTGTTTGAAGGTTATCTAGAACGATGGGGTACCCGAGATGAGCCGCCTTGCCCTGCTCGCTGACCGTGTGATACCGTTGAATCGCAGCTCGTGAGAACTATGAAGGATAGAGCCAGGTTACGTGTCAGTCGTGGGAGCATATGCTTATGAAACTGGTTTGCCAAAATCAAAGAAACAAGGGCAAGAGTAAAAGTCAAAAAACAAAAAGGAAGGAAACAGAACGAAACAGGGAATGACTACTTACACTAATCATGTCGTCAATTGCGCCAATGTTTTCGTCCATCATCTTGATCAACCAAGCTGGAAGGGTCTTTGCTATCGTTCGCGCCAAAGGATACCGCTGCATCGTGCCAACACTCTCAGCACCAACGGAAAAGGCTTGCAGAAATCGAGATGAGAAACTTATTGGCTGCTCCTCAATCATGTTCCCACTGTCGGCAAACGCAAACTCCATGATGACAGTAGTAGTGATCAGCCTGCATGGTTTTCGTTTCTCCAGTATTAGCAAAATTTCGAAAACGGACCTTGTGATATCCCATATGTGTGATGTTTCTTCGCGCCACCTACGCAGGGTCGAGCAACCCAAATGAAAGCAGGGATAACGAGGAAGGTCTAACCTCATGGCGCCGTAGATGTCGATCAGCTGATGGTCGCAGAGCCTGTCAATCTTTCTGAGCAGCGAGTTCTGACTGTCGAAGATGAGCTTCTCCAATTTGAGCACGCTCGCTTTAGAGAACAGATTGTTGAGCATGCGTCGACGCTCACGATGAGTGTGGGGGTTGGTATCTGTGAAGGCGGTTGGAGAAAGGGCCATGAAGCCCAGGTAGAATTGATCAACCTTGGGAAACGGATTCGCCTGTTTGTAGATAACCTTGTACAAGGTTGGGTCCGTGATGTGCAGCTCATCAGGGGCGATGCGCAGGGCACGGGTTTCTAGGGTTCAGAAATGTTAGTCCTGTATTTGGTTGCTTTGTCTGGTAAGGTCCAACAGGACACAAGCCGCAGGCTCAGGATGGAGCCAGTGTGCGCGCACAACTACTCACTGTATTTTTTGTGGAGCTGTTCATATATGCTCTCAGGATAATCCGTCAACGTTTGACGATAGACCCAATCGTGCGACCATGCCGCTTCCTTGGGACCAGGGAATTTCGACAGAGGATGTAGGTGGACGCGGTAGATGCCCCGGATCGTCCAAAAGGTGACGACAACAGCAGCTGCGGCTGAGATTGCGATGGGAACGCGCGTCCAAGCTGGGAGGTTCCCGGTCAAATCGTCCAGCAAGGCGACCATTTGGTGCCAGCCGTTCACACAAAGCTCGTGGATGGGCATTGCGACGAAGCGTGTGCTACAGTACGGAAGAGACGAAGATGCCGGGTGAGGGACGAGCGTCGGACGAAGCTCGAGAGAACACAAAGAACAGAGGTGAAGAGGGTGACGAAGACTGAGATGAGTGCTGAGATTTGGAATGAGAGGTAGATCATGAAGGAGGAGAGAGTGTCGTTCCAGATCAGAGCTGGCGTAGCATGTATAAGGCTCAGGCACAGCACATGCGATGACGCTTGTGGACCGAGACGTCGTCGACCCTGGATTTATGACTTGCTGATCGAAGCCTGGTCCTGTAGCGCATGGGTTGCTGTGTTGTGCTGCGCACGGGCTGGACACAGCTACAACTAAGCTGGCACAGACGCCACCCCCGGCCTCTACAGGGCGACGAAACAAAAGTCCAACGCGCGGGCGGCGGACAGAGCTGCGAGTCCGCTAGCGTGCAGCCCGGCTCCTCGATTTGTGGCTCTCGAAGCCACGGACTCAAGCTCGATCTGAGCTCTGTCGCTGCCGCGCTACCAACCAGGTCCCGTGCCCGGCAGGCCAACCCATTTCGGGGTTTGAAAGCAGGCGCAGATATGGTGACGCCAATGACTGGCTGACCATTTGCTTTAGTCATCTTTGTCTGTGGACAGCTGATCCGACCCATGCAGCTATTGGTTCCTGCTGCAAGGCTAGCTGAATTCGACACTCGCCGCCTTGCCCCAGAAACTTGCGGGGAAGATGCGACGCCACATCGTGGGGTAGTTGCGGGAAATCGCTACGGCGGTCGAGAGCAGGACCGGCTCCGCGAATTATGGATAATACAGAGAGGCGTCAGGAGGGCGTCCGTAAGGGCGGGGCCGGTGCAGCCGCGAGGAGCCGGTTCCGTGGTCCGAGACCCTGACGGAGCCCAGCGTGCCGAGCGCGCAAATCGTCCTATCCCACTGACCAAGCCAGACTACGCGTGCGGTGAGTGGATGGCCACTGGCCTACCGAGGCAGCGCGAATGGCTCCGGCGTGCCGTGTCAAGTGCAAGCCTGAACCCTGCTCGTCGTGACGTGTAGCCAGTGAGACTAGGAATATCTCCATCCGACTCAAGGACTTTGAGACACGGACAAAGACTGGCAGGCACAGACGCGGTGCGGCTCACCTGTGCACACCATATTTCTATTCTTGTTTCTTCCCTTCCACAAAAACACTTTGTCCCTCCACAGTGCTCTCCCAAAACCCACCAGCCACTGCAACCCCTCAACCCCTCCTACACACGGCAGAACACACGGGAAAAACACACAACATCAACACAATCCATGGCGTCTTTCCGCGTCATCATTGTCGGCGGTGGCCTTGCCGGCGCGCTTCTCGCCAACGGTCTGCTGAACAACGGTGTCGAAGTGGACATTTACGAGCGTGATACCGCCGATTCGAAGCGCGAGGGATATCAGATCCGCCTCGGTGCCGCTGCCGACACGGGCTTCGACGTCTGTCTCCAGGACGACGTCAAGAGAGCCATCCATGAGAAATTTGGGCAGTCTGCAGGGACAGGCAGCACGGCACCCACCGTCAGCAACTCACGCCTGGACACGCTGCTCGACCTGACAAAGTTCCCCAACTACTCCAAGTCCTCAGCCATCAACCGTGTGGTGCTCCGAGACATACTGCTCGGGCCGATCAAGGCTGCTGGCCGTGTGCATTACGACAAAGCTTTCAGCAAGTACACCATTATTCAAGGCTCACAGGGCCTCGAGAAAGTCCGGGTGCACTTTGCGGATGGCTCTGTCGAGACCTGTGATATCCTTGTTGGCGCTGATGGCAGCAGATCAAGAGTGCGTCACTTCCACACCCGTCGTTACCCCAGCGCCATGATTGTGTATTCAGACAGTACTGTTCGAATGAGGTTGGCTAACTACGCGGGATGTGTGTGCTTGAACAGGTAAATCATCAATTGGGAGCGAGAAACTTGGTCGACGTTAATTCCCACGTGTCGTTTGTCAACAAGGGCAGCTTGACGCAGGATATCATTTCCGCGCTGCCTGCAAGACTCCAGGCTGGGCCGCTCCTAGTATTCACCAAGGACATCACGCTCTTTTATGCTCGTAAGTGCAACAGCAAATTAACCCAATCGTTCCTCTCGCGCTTTTGATCCATCAAGATTTCACTGACACGAAACTATATAGTATACCTACCAAGCGCAGATGGCGGTGCTGCCGCAGCGGCGAAGTTATCCAAAATGCAAGTCGATCTGAACCAGGGCTCATTCTATTGGGGCATGACGGTGAAGAAAGACAGATTGGGAGGCAAGAAGATCGAGGACAACCTTAAATTCTGTTTGGAGCAAGTCAAAGATTGGAATCCGGCATAGTGAGTTCCCGCGAATTTATTTTTCTTCTTCTTCTTTCGCCTCCTTTTGTGTCCCTCCTTTTGGGTTGCGATAAGCAGCTACTCTCTCCATTCATTGAAACAGGTGGGCTGACAAGAGCACGGTCTCTCCCACGCCCAAAAAATAGCACCGACATGATCAGAATTGGCGCAGAACAAAATGACAGTATTGTCGCAATCCCCCTCCGCGCATCCAATGCCGTCTCCAAGAAGTGGCGCCAGAATGCCAAAAAGACGGCACGTGCCGACGCAACCACAGGCCACGAGAGAGTGTGGATCATGGGTGATGCTATCCATGCCATGCAGCCCAACCGGTATGTTCTCCGCCGCGCTGCTAAGCAACAGCCATTCTGCGCCGCAGGACCACGGCTATAATATACACTTACTAACACTTTGGGTGGCTCACGTGCGTAGTGGTATGGGAGGCAATCAGGCCATGCAGGACGCTGGCGAGATGCTGCCAGAGCTACTTCACCTGGCAGACCTGTCGAGATCCGGTAAAGGGCCAACGTCGGCTGAGATCACCGCTGCACTTACCCGATTCGAGGACGAGATGATTGATCGCGCCTTCACTTGGGTGAAGAAAAGCGGTGGCACTTCCGTACCGGTAAGTATTTAGACCTCTCTCTCTCGTCTCTTGTGCATAACACCCCTTCCTAGTGTTGCGGGGATGTATTTCGCGATTAGATCATACTTACTAACCCTGGAATTACTTGTTCTCACCATCAAGTCGCTCGATCTGGACGGACCCTTGGGAACCCTCCTCAAGTTTGTCGGGATGTTAGTATCGGTGTACAGCGTTTTCCACCGAGCTGTGTGGTCTGGCGCTTCATCGAAAGCCAAGTTGGCGTAATGGGAGTAATGCTGAAGCACGGAAGCTTGGATGAGGTAGATAGGGAGTAGGGCGCCTATCAGAGGTTATGTTCTTGGACTAGTCATTGGGAGGGAAATCGCACGACCGCTTTGGTGTCAGCTGAATGCAAGGCGTTACAGTTGCTGCCCTGCAGGACAGATAAAGCCTACGTCAAAGCAGAAATAGAAGCACCGTTTTCTCCCGACGTTTGGGTTATATTTATGGAAGGAAACACTTGTGACGACCTAGAGCACTAGGTGATTGTTTGGGCAAAGAGGCTGCAGCAACAAGGCTGCATATTCGGGTCAAGTCTAGCGCAGATGGCGAAGGCCGGACAGCACGGCCACATCAGGTAATCAGTCGATTCTTGGCAATCGGCTTTGCGACAGCTGGAGGTCGAACATGCGATCGTAAGTTGTCGGAAGAAGACAGGAACATGCTGAAAGACAAAGGATATTATGCGAAGGATCTCCCATAGCTCATATAGCCACCCCTTTATACTTCAACGATGAACACGGCACAATGAGCTGTATGGTTGGAATCGGACTCAGGTTCGTGAAGCATGGCAGAGCCAACCTGGCCGTAGAAGTAAACCCCATACGGCAGTTTTAAGCGATCATCTTAGCACGTCAGAATGTTGCAGAATTATGGAGAGAGGGTGCTTGCAATCTATTGCTGTGGTGACAATTATCGACAAGGTTGGTGATGAAGGTGGTGATGACCACTCTACAGGCGCCGGGATGAAGCTGTTGATACTGTAGTCACCTTACATATCCGCCCTGACCTCCCTTCGCCGTCCGCCCTAGACTTGGCCCAATCATGCGGCCTTGTTTGCGCAGCCCGTCTGTCCAAACAATCCCCTGTTGGTTCAGGTCGTCACCACCCCCAACCCAGCCAATCAGAACGGGAAGAAGACGGCTAGAGTGTGAATGGGACCGTAGGTTCCAGATATTGCACTCGGGACTTGGTTTCCTTGTGAATCCTCTCATCGGCACCCTTTGTGTCAATGTAAAAAGGTCGTAAGGAGCTGTTAAGTACGTGTTATAACAGTCACTGCTAAAAAGCAAGAAGGGAGAGAGAGAGAAAAGAGGAAACAAACAATAGCAAAGAAAGAGAAGGGGGGGGGGGGGGGGGGCAAGTGAAGGCGAGGTAACGAGGGAGTTTGATTGAACACCAGAGAGAAAAACAGGTCAAAGGAAAAAGAAAATGCCGGGGACAAAGAACTCACCATTGATCATGCAGACACCATATAACAGTGGCTGGCTCGCCAAGCCAGTTGAGTTGCTTGACCTGAAAGTCGGCCGCCGAGCCATCAAACGGTCTTCCGTCCAAGTTGGCCCGTCCGGCTAGGGCCAGAACCGCGATGTCGGGCTTGGGCTCGATGCGTTTCATGACTCCTTCGTAGGCGCCCATGTGGGCACTCCAGAGCATCGTCTTGCCAGGTCCGATGAGGAAGTTGTAGGCCATCTGGCCGCCATCAAAGTGCGAATACAAGTGCTTCTCGCGATCATTGCAGTACTCGATGGTGGACCGGACAGATTCGTCTTGCTGCTCAGGGGGTATCAGCTCCCCAAGCCGCATGATGCCCCATTTCATGCCGTTGGTAATGTCCACCGTGCATGTGTACGGGCCGGTTTGGCCGGTGTAGTCGGTCAGCGAGTCAATATACTCGGGCGGGTGGCCGTCAACCATGGGCATGAAACAATGCAGCGCAGGCCAGCAGTGCACGTCCATGGCGGCGAACTTGTCGGCCGGCCGGGGGGGTGCACCCGGCATGGCCGGAGCGACTTCGATCTCCCCCATAATGGCCTTTTCACGGTCTGCCTTGAGGAATAGAGGGATCCTCTCGCCGCCAGCGACTGGGATGAGCTGATTCTCGGGAACATCGCGGCTGCGGAGGAGGCTGATGGCCTCGCCGTTGGCAATCACAATAGCGCCCGTCTTTTTGGCGATGATGTCGGCGCCGGGGAGACTGGATGAGAGAGTGGAGTCGTGATTAGCCAACAAGAAACGGGGGCAGCGATGGAGTTAAGTAAGGGTGCAGATCCTACTGATCAAAGTGGGCATGAGAGATGAAAATGTAGTCGGCCTCTTCTACATCCTCGGGTCGCATGTATTTGGCCAGCACCGAGGGTCTATCGAGGTATGTGTCGAGCCAGATGGTCAAACCATTGGCCTTGAAGCGGTAGGTGGTGGTGCCTGGAGCGACGACTCTGTGTGGTCAGAACCAGGATACCTTACACATGGTGCACACAGCGCGGGCAGGGCTCGGGCAGCGTACCGAAATACTCCAAAATGGCAGCCATTGTGTGTACGTCAGACGAAGACTGTAGACGTCTGGTCAATGTGAGCAGACCTGTGTAGCAGACGGGTTCGTTTTAAGCTAGCGACACACCCGCCACCAACTGCCGGCCCCCAGACACTACGAAGCTTGTCCGTGGTCCCCCGCATTGTCGGGACGGTGTTCGGCGCCGGCGGAGGCCTAGCACGGCCGTGCCCCACCTCCGGCTCCTTGGGGCCCGCTGTGGGGCCATTGAGGAGCCGGGCGGACACGCACATAGTCGGGCCGCTGTGGGGTTGGGTGGGGGGCGCAGCTGTCCCGCATGTCAGGTCGCCTGGAAGCGGTGGGAGGCAGGGCACGGCGGCAGGCCATCTCGGCAGTGCGGGTCCTGCTGGTGACAGGTGGTGTGTGCGATTGGTTCCAAGAAGGTATTGGGCATCACAGGTTGTGGACTAGACTGTGTCAATTCTCTGGAATGTCGAGGTGGTCTCTGGGATTCCTGGCAGATAAGTGCACCGTCTTCGCCTCAAGTACCGCTTCGCACGCGAACTCTGGCATGCATTGTTCCTCCAGAGCGCAATTGCACTTCCACGTCCATGGGCCTCAACTGCGCCGCGCGTGTGCCTCGCTGAGCAGAGACTGCTCGTAGCAAGGAGCACAAGTCGGCAGCTGATCCAAGTCATGAAGTGCACATGCTACGGTGGAATCCCAGTGACCGAGCACGATGAGTTTAGACCCGGCATACTCCTGCGCGTATGGAGCATTCCGTTGGCCATTACATGGCGTTGGTTTCGTGGCCTCCACAGCTGAAATTGGTCTATGTAAAGTTATGTGGTGTGGCAAGAAAAAAGAGAGAGTTTGCCTGTGATCAAATGCAAATCCACAATGCTTTCATCTCCAGTCCGCCAGGCTCACCATGTGCGCGCTTGAATGCATCCTTTCCAGTCCTGATGATGTTCGCCACTGAGTCCGGGAGCAGCTTGATTGCGTCAAGTCTTCCATGCTCAGCTGCACCTTCTAATGCGATTCTTCCATCCTATGTCGGGACTTTGACCATTCACCTAAGCCAAACATAGGCCAGACTTGAACCCCTATACCAGCTTGAGCCAGACTTTGGCTCCATCGACCCCTATCTCCAGAGTACGTACTGTAGTAACATCAGTTTTTCTTACTCCTCGGACTGCAAGCCACACACTCTAGCGTGCCTCGAGGATCTTGGAATACGACTGGGATTTCTCAATACGCAAGGGATAAAGACAGAATTCCCAGGGTAACTGTCCTATGGTATTCAGTCACTACTAGAAAACTGGACAGTCGCGACCGAAACTTGCAACGCGCGCCTAAATCGACATACTATGTTTGAAATACCTCCCCAAGACCCCCTCCAGATCATGCAGCTGGTGGAACTTGCGTACCATCTTTGCGAATAGGTGCGACGAGAAGGAGAACCGGGCCTCCAAGAGAGTGCACACCGACATCCTTGGGCATAACCATAGCTATCGGCCATCTGAGACGAGCGACTGTTTCGGACTTCTTGTTGGTCGTGTTCTGGCGGAAAAATCGCACTGAGGTATCTCCAGAGCTCCCGCCATCCCGCCCCTGTGACTTGTACTGGGCGATCACACCTACAATCGCGCCCACAGCATCATCTGGGCATCTATATGCTGCACTATTGACATATAGCAAGTGTGGCCTCCACGTGTGTCCAGGGTTAAAGACCTCTCTGAGTTTCGGCAGCGTTGCCTCGGTGAATTTGAACCACCCGTTGTCGAGAGCGGGCTTCCAGTGGACTACTGTGAGCTCGATGTTCCGCAATTGTTCTTCCGCCGTACGCCCTCTCCCGTATCTGACACGTGTAACCTTGCATGGGGAGCAGGGCTGCCCAGGCAGGTCCTTAGCTCTTTGCGCCAAGATTTCCAAAGCTGGGCAGGTCAGCGTATCGATCATGTATATACTGTGAGAATCAATAGGCATTGGCCGCTTCCAGCATGTTTCGTGCGTGTCGCCTTCGGGCTCCCAATGTGCATCACTCGCTTCCTGGAGCTCCGTGATCTCATATTGTGGAGGCGGTTGGAAGATATATTCTTGTTCTGCCGCAGCTGAACCTGTGGCTCCAGTCTTCAGAGTGGAGGCGTTGGGCATCCTCGAGGTTGTCTTGAATGCGTCGAGCGCAGTATGGCTACGTGGTAGAGTTGCCTTTCTGACTCTGGAGAGCTTGGAGGCGGTGGCATCGCTCACTGGATGGCCTTCAGGATTGATGGGGGGGGGCAGCGCCAGGCAGTGTGCCAACTGCGGTCTCCCGCATCGTTGAGTGATCGTCAAAGACAATCCTGCTGTCAAGCTCGGGCGGCTCCACTGCGACCCCGTTGGTTCCAGGGATGCGCGTACGGTGTCCTTCAGAAGACGCCACAATTATGCTGGAGATGGACATTCCTGTCTGATTCTGGCGGTCCGTTTCACTGCACTCGTCATTGGCCATAGAAGAGGATTCCAGCCTGGGTCGCTTGATCGGACGCCGTGGGTCCTGGTCTTGGGATGCTGAGGCGACGGTCTCTACGCTGCCGCCGCTGTCAGCGAATTCGTATTGTATGAAACTCGCTCGGACCGTGTGGTGGATGTTGCTGAAAATGTGCTTCATGTATTCCTTATGGTCTTCCAGCCCATCTTGATATTGCAGCATTTCATATCCTCGATCAGCTTTTCGAGTTCGCCTCCACCCTTTTTCGCCAAATTCTTATAGCTTGTACTGTTTAGTCAAGTATTGTCTCTGTTCTCGGGGGCAAAAAACCTACAACTTCGGTGCCTGATGCGGAAGGCGGAGAAGGACAGTGTAATCCTCGTCAAACGCCTTCACGACACGGTCGAAGGACATGCCGGTCCATTTCCTGCCTTCCCAAGATTTCTCGACGTCGCCGTCGGTCAATTCCGCAATGCGTTCTTGTAGCTCCTTCCGTTGTTGAAGGGTTAGATCTACATTGAGTCTGTAGAACGCCAGAAAGTAGAACCTGGAGAAGATGTTGCTGATCTCATAGCTGGTCAAGAGCATATACAATTGAACTCCGTATGCTTCATGGCCCAGGTCGCAGGTGCGACGTGTGCAAAGTGCCGAGAGATCGTTGCTGTTGGTCTTCAGCAGAGTTAGAGCCTCAATCGCCTTACCTAGCTTGGCTGGCTTATACACCAGGGGGCTAGCCTCCCCGCCTCTTCCTTTTCCACCTCTTCTCTTTCCACCTCGTCCCCTTCCACCCCGTCCCCTTCCACCTCGTCCCTTTTCAGCGTCTCTACAAGAGTCTGCACTCTTGGCGATCGACGCTTGAGATGCAGCGCTCTGTTCATCCGTGGGTTCACTCCTGTCCGCTTCCGGGTTTGCGTGCGCTTCGATGGATGTGGCAGCTATGGAGCCCAGGGAAGGTGGCTCTGCTGCTGGCCCTGAACGGGGCTCCGCTGCAGGGTATTTCGATTGTGGTCCTGCTATCGCAGACCTGCTGGACAGTTGGTGGTTTTGGGTCGTCTTGCCTGGATCCGTGGACTCGGCGGATGGGCTGCCAGACGATGATAGGGCTCGAGACGGTCTTACCGCGCTGCTCGAAGCAGCCCCAATCGGGCGGCATGAGCTCTGCTCATCCGCCGCCTGTTCTTGTAGCTGATGCGAAAGACATTGCCTAGCCTATTGTTCGTGAGAACCTCAACCAGCGAGACTGATCAACTTTCATACGCACCTCGTTGCCTTGCAATACCCGCTCGATGTTGCTGAGCCACGGTCCGGGGCCATTTAGCGCAGCTTGCACTAAATTTCTGACTGCCTGGCAGCATTGTGCTTCGTCCGACTGCATGTTGAGCTCCGTACGACTGGAGAGTTGAGGGGTAATGTTGAAGAAGACTGGCAGGTTGACCATCGGTGAGCAAGTTTAACAGCACATGCATGCATGCAGGGGCGTCTCAGCCCCCAAATTGGCGCGCTAACCCCTTTCGCTCAGTTTTGGCCATGTTTTGGCCAAAACTGAGCGAAAAGGGTTAGGCGCCACCTCCCTTGGCCTGGCAGCGACTTCTCGCAACACTCTACTTGCTGGATAAGCAACCACACCTCCCTCACGAGACACAGCGACCCAAGGGGGTGCATCACAGCGTTTTGGACAAAGCTCGAGCGCAGTTTCATAGCCACTGAGCAGAACAATAATCATGCATGTCAAACATATGCTGCACTATCCTCACCTCGATGACTTATTGCCAGTGCTGGGGACACCAAAAGAGAAGGCTTGATGCGTCCTCGCATGACGTGCCGCTCTCCTGGTCCCGTTGACCATCTCGTGGATACAGGATCACTCTCATGAAGGGGGCACGCCACATTTGATTTGCTATCAACCACTGGACCGTGTAGCCCAGCGCTCAGATACTAAGATTGACGTGTCATGGACCGGCCTCGAGCGGGTGAAGAGGCACCGAATTGCACGGTGCGGAGTTGTGTCAATGGTTCAAGGGCCTATGCAGTGTGCAAAAGCGAAAGACATGCGTTTTTGCCATGGCTAAATGACGTTATGCAGTCCGCCCCTGTACATGAGCCGGTGGGGATTGGAAAGCTATAGATAGTCGACTGGCAACCGACGCAAATGCGGACGCAGCCACCACCTCCACCTCCGTCAACGTAGTCTTTGCCTGTCTTTTTTGGCCACATGAATATATCGCTGTGGACTTGCCCAGAGTAGACAGAGATGCACCTGGTAGATATCATCTCGCACAAGGTGCTAGGCCAGTCATCGATTGCGAACGGGCAGCAGCACGGCCCTGGCGCGCTTCAGGGCGTTTAGGATCGAGCTCATGCTTCAGTCCTTAGGTAGTCAGTTAGCCAGGACGAGGACTACATTTTATCGGCCGCGTAGGGGTGAAGATTACCTCGTGACTCTAGCTGCACGTAATCTTTAACAACGGAAGGGAGAGCCGCCGGTCTAGACTAACCGCGACAGAGGAGGTAAACGAAAGCTCAATCGTTATGTTCTACAGAATCGCTTAAGCCCCAACATAGCGAAATGGACCCCTGTGATAGACCCCCGCGCGCCCGGTTATACCTATGCCCTGTTCTCCTTCGCTACTATAAGTACCTAATTCGACCTCTGTCCCTCTTCCCCGTATCCAGCTTTACATGTATGGGCTCTAACGCGGCCTCGTGATTATCCACTCCTAAGCTAGTTTCGGGACCGTCCAGTAATCCGCTATTTCTGTTAGTTAAGTCTATTCTTGGGCTATGGAAGCTAATGTAACTTACGATAAACCTTATTACCCCTAGGAGATAGTTAGTAATAGAGAAGCTGGGTTAGGATGAACGTACTGACCTCCACTCTATATATGGGACGTTAGGCTAGCACTTCTTATACGCGTGTTCGTAGACGTGGCACTAGCGCTATATGGGAAACCGGAAGTGGCCGTAATAATATTGGATCTGTTACCGATTAGCTTCTAATTGATCTTGGTTATACCGAGACAGGTATAGGCATCTGGATATAATTACACATGTTGACTAGGATGGGAACACTATCGTAAGAGGTGCTACGAGATGCTGCGAGATGAGCTTCCAGAGGGACGCCCAGATGCGCACCTTGGATTCTTTTACTACTATAGGGTCGGGAGATAACGGGACGGGTTTATATATACCCAGCTGAATCTGCGACGTTCCACGCTGTCTAGGAGATGCCGGAGGTCGATAGCTGATTTGAAGCGAGCTGGGTTAATGCTTATGTCGACGCTGATACTAGGGAACATCCTATATCCGATACGGGTCAGACCTGTACCCCTCTTTTCCCGCAGGGGTTATGGAGTGGAAAACCAGCCTTTACTGCTTCTACGAGCCGACCGAGGAGGGCAAGGGGTATTGGGTGGAGCACGGCACCATTACCACAGGCATCCCTGGCAATGAGTGAGCGCAAATAATGTAATTCTAGAGGGGCTTTTATAGAGGCTTCTATCCAGCGAATGAGGCACGGTCCTTCTAGAATACGCATTCGATATATCTTAGCCTATTCGCTAGTTACATATGCGATATTGACTAAGACGACTATATAAGACGGCATCCTGCAAGCGTAGCGAGAGACTGATGTGAACTTCTCTCGAGATATCCGGGGGTGCTTATATGCAAAGACTAGCAAGTGAAGTGCTCCGCCAAACGACGTGACTGTGGAGATCGTTATTGGAATAAGAAAGCGCCCATCCTCACGGCAGGTCCACTGCAGGATCCGGCCCAAGAGTCATTTCCTGCTTGTTCCGGGATCCAGCGAGAGGAAACCTGGAGGAGGAGTCGATTTTACCAGCAACATGTATCGCTGCTTTTTCTGCTGCCCGCCCGGCCTCTGCCATACATGATGCATGCAGTTCAGGGGAAGGTCTCCCTGTCCAGATGCAAGCCGCCGCCATCCATGTCCTGCGGTGTGCTCTGATCTGCCCAATCATCGGTTTCGTCCGGATTCTGGTTTCGCCAATGACCCCACTACGGAACACAGCCCCTGGCTCGGTAATGCATGACCAGATTCTGGTGCTGGGATCAAGTGCCTGCTCGAGATGTTGGGTTCGAAAGCCCAATTCTGGTCATATAATCGTCCACGGCTGCGGCGCCACCACGCAACATCTCTCAACCCGTGCGTTCACCCAACAGTAGCATCATCGTCTGCAGGTGCATTACTACCCGACTGTCCTCAAGCTCTGAGCCGAATCTTTGGGCGCACGATTCTAGCAAGACCTATGGCAAGCACTGTGTTGATCCATGTCTGTCGTTTGGTGAGATGAAAATATCCCAAAACCACACCGACATGTGCCTCTGGCTATCAAGTACCTTCTATGCGCGGGGTATGTTGGACTGCAACTTCACCGAAAATCCAACGTGACGGGGATACAAGCTACTTAACGATGATATCTGGGATGTACGCGAGTGGCATGACATTTGATGCAGAACCATGCAGGTCATGGACTTCCCTGGGGGCTAGTTCAGGGTTGCCAATTTCGGGCTTGTCTACCCCGTCGATCCCGCCCGTTGGTGCGGCCATTGTGCTTACCAGGTGTCATGGCCAGAATTTGGCACGCTTCTCCCGTTTGAATGATTCCAGATTCTGGTAGACAACTGAGCCGTTCATATGTGGCGAGCTTGGTTTAAGCACTATAAATACCACTGTCAAGTCCCCCTCCGAAATGCCTCCCGGCTTCCCTCCTTCCAAGTGCCTCGTCCCCCTACACACGCTTGGTCACTCTCCTCCCGAATCTTTTCAAGCGCCCCTAGAACCTGACAGCGTATCCCAGTCCAATAACCCCTCCTCTTTTGCTTCTTCCAGTATGAGACTTTCCGCGCCATTCAATGAGCCAGGATCTAGTCGCCACGGCCAGAGTCAATGGACGCACCGTTCGGACGTGACTCGCGAAACGCCCGACGGGGAGGTGCCTGCCTCACTCCAAGAGAATTCTGAATCCAGCTTTGCCCTGTCCGCAGCAGAGGCAGTTGTTTTCAACCAGCCCATCATTGACAACACCTCACATGACATTACTCAACCACCTCACCCACACAACCGCCCCGGAAGCGCATCTACACACGAGGATGACCTTACCATTGATAGCCTGACTCAAGGTCAAGCTCGCTCCACGTCGTTCTATACCGGTACCGACACCAGCGGGCATGGGAACTATCCCTTCATCACAAACAGTACCTCTCACTTCTTAGACTTCCATGTCAATGGAGACAACGGATATACAGCCTACAGAGCTGACTTTCCCTACCTGTTGAATACAAACAACAGCACGCACGCCCATCTGTGCACCACAGTAGCCTGCACCGACCCAGGCTGCTACACCCATACCAACCTCTCCCTGCTGCAAGAGCATTATTTGATTGGTATTGGTTCCATCTTCGCCCATATCGATCACGAGGGACAGACATACAATGATGACATCTCTATCGATGGTGATCACGAGAGACAGTCAAATCGCGCTCAGCCAAATCTCTGGGACAATGATGGCATGGATCAGGCGAAGTGATAGACCCTAGAACGTAAGCTTAGCTCCTGTCTACCGCGACTGGTACGGCGCTGGAGGCTGGTCTCGTTCCTGACAAGGCGCTCTGACTGGATGGATCACAGAATCTTCGCATCCCGGCATCAGCGAAACTTGCTATACTTTCGGTTGCAGGGGCTTTTAGTGGACATTGGAGCCGTCCGAGGCTATCGTTCCGAAGCAGGGATCCAAGGGTAAATGATCCCGCGTCGTCCTCGACTGTTTAGGCCGCAGTATGTATCAACAATTCCTGCTTGATGTAAGTACCCTGGCGACGATTGAAGCCTCTTATTGTGTGCCAGTCATAACGAGGATTGAACTCATTCAACTCAGGTGGATCATGTTCTGGTCGGATTTGTGGATTCATCGGGATTGAAAGGGGGATTCCTCATGTCACTCTAAGCCAGTGGAGTAGGTTTGCACGCGCAAGTTACAATGAAGCTTCAAAACAATGACCGGCTTGGACTTTCACTATCCTCCTTTCAACATGACGGGAGACCATCCTCGCAGATCAAGCTGTACACTTTGTTGCATGTTACTTGTGAGTCGTTCTCCCTAAATTACAAGGCTTCAAAGTGGCATTCGTATTGCCATTTTTGGCGTATGTATTGATTAGCTCTGCAATGCTGACATCAACAAATGCGAGGGAGTTCACTCGCGTAGCAGTGAAGTTGTGTTTCTTGTGCATGAATTTGTCGACTGCCTCCTGCATCCAATTCTGATCGCAGTATAGTCTCTCAATCTCTTGTTGATGTATTTCTCACACCGATTTAGTAGTGCGATTAGTGGCGGCTGCCATGGTGACAAGCTATGTTGGAGATGCTTTTCCGAGCTGGATCAAAGACTGAATGCGGTGGATGACTCGAGACGTGGCGGACCCACCAAGCTGGCGTCGAGCGGACAAGTGGGCGTGGAGAGGACAACTGGGCGTCGAGCGAACAAGCCGGCGTCAAGAGGACAAGCATGGACCAAATTCTGGCTGCAGTGTGGTGCTGTCTGGCTCGGCTGAACTTACAGGCGCCCCCTCCCCCCCCCGGCGGCCTCTCCCCCCTGGTCAACCAAATTCTGGTTGCCCAGATTCTGGCTCCCCGCCGTCCGGACTGGGCGCCGTCCCTAGGTATGCGTGCTGCAGGGCCCTGGGCCGCAGGCTCCACTTGAGGGCCCGAAGGATGGGGGAATTGACGATGGATGATGATTCCATGTCGCTGGCGACGACCCGCGATGCACTGTGCCATTGGCTGGCAGCCAGGGCAGGCCCAGTCGTGCCACGCCGTGCCATGCCATGCCATGCAAGGCAATGTGGGCAGGCAGGCATGACCATGGTGGTGCAGCTGCCCCGCCCTTCCGCAGGGCCGTGTGCTCTTCTCGTCTTTGTCAGTCGTCGAGTTTGCCCAAGCTGTGGCCTGGTTGTGCGTTGCTCTGCCGCTTTCGTATTGGGCGGTGTGGCTCCACCAGGCTGGCCATCTTTGATTAGCGTCCAGTCGCATGCCAGTAGGAGCTTTGGCGGCTCTTATCCCCTTGTCTTTGAACCGTTCCATGCCCAGCACGGGCAGTTTGCAGATTCTGGCCATGAAATTGTATGTACCATTCACAGGCGAGGTTGGCCGATTCTATTCGAAACGCAGCCGCCCGTCGCGCAACCGCATTCTAGTCTAAATTTACCGGACCCTATTTCTCGTTGTCAACAACGAGAATTGTGCCCAATGCGCTTTATTGGAATGGCCAGTAAATACTGTTGGCCGCCCGCTGAATCAAACCCAACTCCATGCGCGTAATGATGGGCGCGCGCGAACCGTGCTAGGTCAGTCCATTTGCCGAGGGCTAATGTGCTCAGGATGGGAGATGAGAAGGTGGCAGGCGGATTTGCGATGTACACCCCTGTCTCTGGCTGCTCTCGTGCACTGTTTCGCAACCAGCATGAACAGAGTCCGGACTGACCGGTCACGGTTCCATTGCGTTGGAAGAGAAGATCTGAGCATAATTGCACGTAGTGGTTGTTCCTACATATAGGCTGCTGAGCCACTGACAAGGGTGCAGGCTTGGTGACAATGGGTGCCGAGGGCAGCCAACACTTGTTGAGGGAGTGACGGGGCCTCGCGGGGCGGAGCGGGTCGGCGCACTTGTGCGGTGCTAGCGCACATGGGGCACCTAGTTGCCTTGGTGCACGAGGTGGTGATTATGCTGAAAGGTTACCAGGCGGCTCTGTCGAGCTTGTCAAGCTGCACCCTGCAGTGTACAAGGGTTAGTCCTAGCGCCCTCGCCTCGTTCTCGAAGGTCGCCTCGTTCTCGAAGGTTGCCTTGTCTTGGAGGTGGGGATGGTTCCGACATAGTTGAAGAGGTGGTACGTCCCCTGGTGCGCGCACCACCTTACCTACGCTAGTAGGTAGGTAGCGTACCGACATTGCTCGGAACGCACCGATATTGCCCACCGACATATGCACCCGACTGTTCAACAACCTGAACCATCCACCATTCGCGGCGTGGCATATTTGACATGTCCTGACAATGAAAAGCCCAGCTACCTTCCGAGCCAAATCCTAGCCTTTTGCTCATATATATCGCGAGTGCCCAACATGTCCAGCTTTCTCAAAGCCTCCTCAGTGCTCGCCGACCATCAACACAACGTCCCCTGAAGACCCCATACACGCACTTGCAAGATTTTGACACATGCTTCAACCTACTTGCCCACAACATCTCAGTATGAGTGCATCACATATGAGAAATGACCCAACATGTCGCACGTCGAAGGCCTGCTATTCAGCTCGAACAGCGCGCCGCCGCCAGAACCCTTCTGACTCACAGAATGCGGCCAGCAGAGAAGTCACTATTTCAGATTCCCTTGCAGCAACTACTAGCCTCCTTCATGACCTTGTCGTAACGGAGCATCATCTCTCGCGGGTTGACTCCCGGGGCAGTACGTACGCACTCAGTACGGTCGACCACCATACCTCCTCGCACGAACAAGGTCTAACCACCGCGAACGATCCTGCCACTACACAAGCCTCCTCCCTCGACAACCCTCTCCATTATCCCTACCAAGCCTACAGCCCCGACGACTACCCGTTCCTTCAGGATGGCGCGTCCTCATACAACCCCTTCTGCACCGCATTCCCCTGCCTCGACCTAACCTGCTACACTCACCCACCCTCGACCACGATGCTGCAAGAGTACTACATTACCGGCGCTGGGGCGTGCTTCGAGGACGCCAACATCACCACCGATGATGGCCATGACACTCACTCGAGCGTCTACGACCCAAATATATACATAGCAAACGGGGACGAACAGCAGGGCGATGATGCGGCCGGACACTGAAGCAAAGTTGGTGCACAAGAGGGTGAAGTTGTACGATTGGTGTCGAAGGTAAGCCATTCTCCCATGCACGTACTACCCTACCGACAGACTGACGGTAGCAACAGTGGTTGGATATCGAAGGAGCATCGCGAGAAACTGGGTCACCGGTACCCGTCGTGCTGCGGTGTACGCTGCTGAAGCACCTGTTGGGCGTCTGGTAGAAGAGCAATTGAGTTCCACTTTTGCTGGCCCACCCACCACACACCAAAGGAGTGGAACAGCATTGTGTCCCCACTCCCTACGACGTCAGACTCGGGACTTAAAACGGACAACTAAACTCTATTGCGACCTCCATAGACTCAATTCTATCTTTCTATATAATCAATTCAGACCCCCCAAACGCTGTAAAATGGAGACAGACACATGTTACAAATTGACCCCACCACCTCCTCCTCCGAGCCCAGTGTTGCTGTTCCCACCTGTGCTGTTGTTGTCAAGTGCAACAGATGACCAGTCCGCCAGGCTCTGCCAGAATCCGACCTCGTAGTCCCACGTGTCGAGATCAAACTGTGACAACAGCATCGGATCATGCTGCTGCTGCTGCTGCTGCTGCTGGTGCTGTTGCAAGTTCTGATCCGCACCATGCCCTGCCTCTCCTGGTGCGGCCATGGTCGCTTGGTTGAACGAAGAGAGCCGCTGTCCTTGATCGCTTATTCCATCGTCGTTACCAGCAGCGCGGCGGAAAAATGGGAGCTGCTGGTCATGTGGTTGGCTCGTTTCACCGACAGCAATGGATCCTCCGTCAGGGCCGTGGTTATAAGTTTGGTGCTGTGCCTGGTTGTGCTGAAGACGCGCACGTTTCGCACGGGTCCCGTGGTAGTTATCACTCTGCACCACGCCGTCGTGCTGCAGTCCACCACCCGCGTCCTTCTGGACCAGTACTTGATCGCGGCGCTGCCGTCCTCCATGATTCGAGGCGAGATACCCATGACCGCCGCCACCACCGCCCATGAGCTGCACAGAGTTCAAGAACCCCTGAATCGTCTCCGTCGCCGTCGACACCAGACCATAGTTGGGCTCGTCGGGCTTGGCGAGCGTGCCGGTCTCCAGCTCCGCGACGAGAACGATGAGCAGGCGGAGGACTTTACTCTGGTTAACTGGCGGTGCCGGCGCGGGTTGTGTTGCATCGTTCATTGTGGTGGTGGTGGGAGCAGACTTGTGCCGGCGGATAATGGCCAGCAGCAGGATGCCCACTGCGGGGAGGCCGTAGTATGTCACCTGCAGCGGTCATATCACAGGCCATGTCAGCAATCCAGCTTCCTCGCGGCGAGCACAAAAGTGCGTGTTGGGAGGGCCTTGACACACCTTCCATGACAGATTGGTCCCCGAGTTGGTCAGCTGGTCCCTCACCAGCACAATGTCCACCACCAGCTCCAGGATCCCCTCAGAGATCTCGACCATGCTGGCGTCCGGCTCGGCAAAGGAGTTCATGAACAGTAGACGCAGGAGGAACAGCACGTGGAGGTAGTCCAGGCGCACGCTGGCGATAAAGTCGCGCTGGAAGGCCGTCGTGCATTGCGTCGTTGGGGGGCCGATGCTGTCGACTACGCCTCCCGGGGTAGCTGGTGTTGGCGTGGCTGTGGCTGAGGGGCCAGCGGCTAGGTGCTGCTTGAGTGAGTTGTTTTCGAGCTTGAAGTGTGCGGGCAGAGCAGCCCATTGGGCTTGTGCGCGTGCTTGTGTGGCTCTGTGATTCAAGTGATTGATTAGCGCTGTGTCCCACGGTTGCAAGTGAGACTAACACGAGAATGCTTCATATCCTCGGGCAGGAAGATTGTAGCGAGAGAAAGATCCTACCTTGCTCTTGGTAGGCAGTCTGGCGCCTTCCTATCGTTCAGAAGCTCCAATATCTCCTCCTTGAGAGCTGCACACATGGCTGACCAGCGGGCAAACGCACGGTACGTGATAGCCGTGTCGGTCTTCCACGAGAACGATGTCCGCGAAGCCTCAAAGTCGATATCAGCGCTCAGTTGGTCACCGTGATTCGATAGGCTGTCATCAGCACCAGCACCGCCATGTTCGAGATGTTCATAGAACAGCGGACTCTGGAAGTAACAGAACCGCCGGCTGATTCGTGGGGGGCGGCCGAGGAAGATGGCGACGTTCTTGTCCGCCGAGTAACTGTAGGCGAATGCGGTGCGGCGGAACTCGGCTAGGAAGAAGGGGACCTCTGGGGTTTTGGTCTCGATCTTTTGGTGGTAGCCCAGGGCGGAGAGTGATGCGATGCAGTCGCCCAGGCGGCGCCAAGCATCGTAGCCTGGTAACATGTTAGATTTCGCCAGCACGTTGTACCCGCTCAACAAGACAGAGACAATACTTACTCTGATCGCCGTCCACGTTTGAATGCAGAATAAAGTTTTCCACTTGCAACATGAGCTGCAGGTCGTTCATGCAGTCCAGTGTAAGACAATACTCGAGACACTTGTCACTCATCTGAGTGGCAAATTTGCGCAGGCTCATCTGTCCGGCGCTGTCCTTGTACAGTGGCGGCAGGAAAGGCACGTCAAAGGTGGCCCTCCCGACGGCGGTAAAGAAGAGTCCCCAGGTCTCCCATCGGGTATTGGCCGCGGTGAACTGCCGCGAGAATGCATCTGCGCTGGTGGCCTGGGACGAGTCCAGGGGCCTCGCGGTGTTGGTGAAGAGCTGTTCCGACAAGGCGAGGCGGGCAGTCTCATCAGCACCGAGCTGTGATGTGGGTAACGTGGTGACACTCTCGGTGCAGTGCGGTACGATGGGCTCGGCGAGGAAGAGGTTGATGCCTTTCTCAAGCCAGAATGTGACGAGCAGCCTGAGTGAGTCGAGGCCGTAGGCAGTCACCATGTGCATCAATGTGTCAGCCCCACGATGGACGAGCTGACTGCTAGGTGCCCTCCTATGGGCAGCCTGGGGGCCAGGAGTTGAGAATGTCCGTTCCAGACGTGCCGGTCGAGATGGGGAAGGAGGGGATTCCTCAAGCCCATCTGTGGGGATGTGGTTAAAGAGCGTGGCATGGCTGGAGAAGCCTTGATACCCGGGGTTCGGGTACGGACTGGGCCCGGGCGGTGGTGCAGAGGACGGGATGCGAGATGCCGGGGACGAGGCCGTGCTTGAGCCTATGCTCGGCCTATAAGTCTGATGTTTAGTCGTTTGTGATTAGGTAAGCCAGGGTGTATTCATCGGATTCAAAGCACGGACCTCGTCTCTAGCAGGGGCCGGGATTGGCGGCGCCGTTTGAAAGGGGTTGCGCGATAGGTGCACTCGCCATGCCGGCCTCGCGCTCGGCACCGGGTGCAGACGGGGCGGAGATGGTCACAGGCGAGCTTGGAGGTCCGGCACGGATCACAGGCGGCCTGCCTGGCGGCCATGGCTGGCAGTGGTCGGTGTTGTGGAGTGGAGGGGATGGTGTGATCGGAGTGATGGAGAAGGAGGGGACGTGGCATTGTCGGATCGGAGAGAAGGAGAAGAAAGACGACGACCAAGGCCTTGTGGGGCGGCGAGTGTCCGTGTCCCCACTCCGATAAGCCGGGAGCAGATGTGGGTCCGGTCGGAGAATGCGGAGACAATGCGGGGGGCCGAGGCCCAGCAGCCCTCGTCTACGTACATACTTTACGCACACGTATGTGTAGCTCCAAGTGACCCCTCACGTCAGCCCTCGCCATGTCGCCTCGAAGCCAAACCGCGACATGAAGAGCAATTGACGTCCTTATATTGCTCCTCGCTGCCTCCTGGCTCGTCGAGACGTCGTGTCCAAAAACTCCTACTCACCAAAACAGCGTCAGCACAACCACCAACCATGGGCTCTTCCTCACCACCATCCATCAAGCTCGCCGAGTATCTCTTCACCCGGCTGCGCCAGCTGGGCGTCGACTCCATCTTTGGCGTCCCCGGCGACTACAACCTGCGCCTCCTCGACTATGTCGAACCCTCCGGCCTGCACTGGGTCGGCAACTGCAACGAGCTCAATGCCGCCTACGCCGCCGACGGGTATGCCCGCGTCAAAGGCCTGGGCGCTGTCATTACCACCTTTGGTGTTGGCGAGCTCTCCGCCATTAATGGCATCGCGGGTGCCTATGCCGAGCGCGCCGCCCTAATCCACATCGTAGGCACCCCGCCCCGGGACTCCCAGCAGAGCAGGCGGCTCGTCCACCACACCTTCGCCGATGGCGAGTACCGCCGGTTCGCGGCTGCCCATGCCAATGTCACTGTGGCTCAGGCGAGCATCGAGGACCTCACCATGGCCCCCTCGCAGATCGACAGGGTCATCGAGCAGGCGCTGTACCACAGCCGGCCGGTCTACCTACAGGTGCCTGATGACATGATCGACATGAAGGTGTCGACAGCGAACTTGACTGCCATACCAACACTCAGAGTCCCCGAGCTAGCAGAAGGTGACCATGAGGAGAAGATTCTCTCGGAAATTGTGGATCGGATACACGCCGCGAAGCAACCCGTCCTGCTCGTGGACGGCGAGATCCGGGGTCTCAACGTCGTCTCACAAATCAACCAGCTCGTTGAGGCCACAAAATGGCCTACATGGACAGCAGGATTCGCACGGGGCATGGTCAACGAGAACCTCGACAACGTTTATAGCCTGTATGCCGCGAAGTACGGCACCGAGGCGGAGAAGGCATACTTCGAGAGCGCAGACCTGGTGCTGCATTTCGGCCCTCACCTGACCAACACAAACACGTTTCTGTTCACCACGATCCCCAAACCAGAAGCCACCATCGCGTTTCCTCGGAACGGAGTGGAGTACGGCGGGAAGCTGTACCGGGATGTCTCGACGCGGCGATTCCTCGACAAGCTGCTATCCAAACTGGACTTCAGCCAGACCGTAAAAGTGCAGTCCCCGCCACCAAAGTCAAAGTCGAAACCCGCCTCCGCCTCGTCCACAGCAGCAGCCCTCCCCGACTCCGGCGCCATCGTGCAGCAGAACTTCTTCCCGCTCATCAGCACCATGTTCCAGACCGGCGACATGATCCTCACCGAGACCGGCACCGCAGCATACGGCGGCCGCCTGCTCTCCCTCCCTGCAGACTGCCGGTTCTTCACGTGCGTGACCTGGTTGTCCATCGGGTACATGCTGCCCGCGACGCTCGGCGCGGCCGTGGCATACCGCGAGGTCCTGTCCAGCTCGTCCTCGTCCTCATCCTCGTCCTCGGGTGCCGGCTCGGCGAGGAGACGACACAGCGGCCGCGCGACGCTCTTCATAGGCGACGGCTCCTTCCAGATGACTGCGCAGGAGGTCAGCACCATCATCCGCGAGAAGCTCCCCGTGACCATCATCCTGCTCAACAACAACGGGTACACGATCGAGCGGGCGATCCACGGGCGGACGCAGGGGTACAACGACATTGCCAAGTGGAAACACGAGTATGTCCTGGGCCTGTTCGGGCAGAGCGAGGAGCAGCGGCAGCGGAATTACACCAGGGTGCGCAACTGGGGGGAGCTGAGGACTGCGATGGACAAGGTGAGAGTCGGGGAGGACAAGGAGGATGATGGCGAGGTCAAGCTTGTAGAGGTGTTTATGGACCAGGAGGATTGTATTGGTGCGTTGAGGGATCTGATGGATCGGCAGATCAAGGAGGCTGCGTTGACGAAGGGGGCATAAAGGTCGGTGGGGCGGACAATTAGACACCGATGTTAATGGATGATTTCTGGTTGTTGCAAACGAGCGCCTTGACAAGGTAGTCTTATCGATTGGAATTTCGGTCGGCCCAATGCCAAAAAGAACATCTCAAAACCTGGTTCAGTGATTGCGGGTGTGGGAGCTGCTGGCCCTGATGGCGGGCGGTCAAGCTTTAGATAAGACGACATACCGAGAATTGTGCTTGTGTTGAAAAAACCCGAAACCGTCGACACTAGCAGCCTTTACACGCATAACGCGCAAAGGGTGAGTTGGCGTATTTTGGAGGACCAAAACTCTCTCATTCCCATACTATGAGGCTGGTGTCCTAAGTTTTACTAGAGAGAGGCGGACGCGTCAAGCCGGAATGCGATGGAAACAAGTGATATCATGTCATTATTCGTTATAGTGAACTATTCGTTATAGTGAACTATGGACGCTCAATTGGATGCAAAAAGCAGCTTTTCTTTCCGGCGTCTCCTGCCCTTTTCCAAATTCGAGCCTAGGGAAAGTGCCGCCTCACAACCTCGGCGAATCTTCTCGCACCCTCCGCAAGCTCAGCCTCATTGGCAGCGGCGAACGTCATGCGGATGTAAACCTCGTGCTTGTCCTTCTCACCGAGCTGGAACAAGCCGCCCCGAGTGACCTGGACACCATTGTCCAGGGAGTCGACGACGAGCTGGGCCTCGAAAGCGGCACGCCAAGCACGCAGCTTAGCCGCAACCACTTCCTTCTCGGAACTGTCCCGCTCAGCTTCCCTCATCAGCTCAACGTACGCCGCGTGCCCGCTGACATCGATGTTGATCCACAAGAACATTCCCTGTTCCGGCACGCGGAAGGTGCACACCCCCTTCCTCGTTGCCAAGTCTTGCCCGTTGGCCATGGGGAGCTCTCTCAAGCAAACACCCACCACGGCGTCCCTTCGCCTACGGTACGTTTTTGCCAGCTCCTCTCTCCACCGCTTGAACCCGGGCTCGCCCCACTGCCGACACAGCAGGTTATACAGCAGCAGCTGGGTCACGCCGCTCACAATCCCACACGTGTTCTCCGTGTAGGCGAGAAACTTGGTGATGATCTGGTCCGAGGCGGTGACCCAGCCAGCTCGCAGGCCCGGCGCCATTATCTTGGAGAAAGAGTCGAGGCGGATGACACGACCCTCTGTGTCCAGAGACAGATACGACGTAGGGAGCTCGTACGCCGCCGCAACACCGTTCGCCGGGCCGTCGTTGTCACCGACACCATCACCACCATGGTACGCGCCCATCTGCAGATACACGTACGGGTCGTCCTCGATGATGATGAGCCCGTGCCGCTGCGCGACGGCGTAAATCTCCCTCCGCCGGGCAAGGGGCTGGGTGATGCCCGTCGGGTTCTGGCCCGTGGGGATGGTGTACAGCACTCTCGGCTTGCGCACCCCGTGGCCGTCCCGCGCCGCCGCAGCATCCCAGCTCGAGAGCATCTCCTCCAGCAGGTCCGCCCGCAAGCCGTCGTCGTCCATGCCCACCGCGACAGGTCGCAGGCCGATCAGAGCCGACGCCTCCATGAAGCCCGGGTACGTCTTCTCCTCGACGAGCACGGCGTCGCCGCGGTTGCAGAAGATGCGCAGCGAGATCTCGATGCCCGCGGTGGACCCCGTGGACAGGCACGTGCGCCAGCCGCGGTACTGCGGGCTGTGCGTGGCGCCGACGTGGGAGGTCAGGAAGGAGACTAGCTCTGTGACTCCCGGCGTGGGGCCGTACGTGAATGCCTCGTTGGAGATGACCTCTAGTGGTCTGTCTGTACGATGGAGGGAAGAGGAGTGGGCTGTGTGCTCATCCTGGAGGACTGGGGCTGAGGGGATCGGCGCGGGCGCTTCCAGCCCGCTGAAGTAGCTGCTCACGTCGCCGTTCTTCCACGGGTACAGCTCCGCCGAGGGACGGCCGATGCCGAGGGGGATGAAGTCGTGCCGGGACTGTATGGCCGTTGCCTTGAGGGCGGAGCCGGTGAAGGTGGATGACTCTGTGCTGAAGAGGTCGGTGACGGAGATTGGTTGTGGGATGGTTGAGGCGGTGGCTTTCTTGGGCAGTGTGCTCCCCACAGAGGAGGTCTCTGGGATTTGGCTGATGCTAGGGGCCATTGTGATGTAGGCTCTGATAACTTGATCTCGGGTTTGTACCAGTCTGTGTGAGATTTGAAGACTGCTTTGGTGGGCTGGGGTGATCGTGCTGAAGACGAGCTCAACAAAATTGGGGAGGTCTTTGTGATAAGATGTCACCATGAAAGTGATGTGGCCGTGCCACACTGGGTGCGAAGTGGACCTGATATAATGTAAAACAGATAAGAAAGACAAAAGTCTAGTGTTCCACACTGTCCCGTCTCTCCGACTTACACCACATCTTGCCGGATCGGGCCATCGTCTCGGAGTAGATAAGGAGGGGTCTCGGAGACAGAGATCCCCTATCTCGGCGTGTTGTCAAGCCTCTGATTTGTCCGGCCACTGGATGCCCCACTCCGGCGTCGGCACGGGCTTGACGACCAGGCGGTGATGCCTTTGCCAGCTTGATCGTTGCATGCACAAAGTCAGGTGACACTTTCTGTGACATGCACGCTGAGAGTCATGAAGTTTAGGGTTTGAGACAAGGTGTGGTCTGTGCGGGCGCGACCTCGCGGCACACGGAGCGAAGGCCTTCGCCATTACAGAAACGCCGCTGGGTGACGGCCCCCTGGATGTGTGTGTGTTCTAGCGGCCTCGAAATAGGGCACGTCGCGGCGTACCTGTCCGTGGCAGCCATTAGGCACTTATGGAATCGAGGCAGGGTCAATGTTTGCGACCGCAATCATTTGTGGAAAGCACCTTTCTGCTAATTGTTGCCGTGGGACACTTGCAGTCATGTCTTACGAGGTGCTACTCGCAACTGCACACGCTCCTCTTCAACAGTATACCTACCTGGGTCATCCGAATCGCCGTGCGCTTGCCGTCTTCCCATCCTCTACTTTCGCATGCAACCAAGCTGGAGCATGTACAGTTCAGTTGAAGTAAATCAATCATACTATCTCACATATCAGCAGCCCTCTCATTCAGGCAGTCAGGTAGAGCGGTTTTTCTCTTCCTTCCTTCTGAAAGTGCGCCCCACTCATCGTCTCCTGTTCATATACGCCACCTCAACTGTCCTTATCACGTCAAATGTGTTTTCAACAGGTGTCGATCATCAACAATGGAAGTTCGAAGCCAGCTCAACTGTGCCTATCAAGCTTATATGCATATTTCATGCATGGCCTTTGCGGGCTGACGCCATTCAAGCCAGCCGAGTTCCTGCAAAACCAGCACTTCCTTCCTGGCCAGAAACGAGGCTCCTTTCAAGGACAATCATTAGTCTGTCCGATAATAGAATGCAGTGGACATTGCTTCAGTCTCCCAGTTGCCATGTTTTGAACTCCAGACGAAATCAGCAGCAGGCTCCCAAGCAACCTGAGAGGCGATGTCGGGAAATCTCCCAAAGCGGCCGCATATGTCCAGGGGTAACTTTTCTGCATTTTTCGGTGCTGACTCTACTCCAACGAGTAAGCACCTTCCACTTCGCCGCTCATCCGCCCTGTCAGCCTCCAGCTGACGACTAGGTAAGCAAGCAACAACGTCGATTGGCCCGTGGGCACGGCACGTTTGCTGACACCGTGGGGCAAGACAGCTTGGCTTCAGCCCAAAATGATTTTCTCATTTCCCCTAACGGCTGAAGCGCCATCTTGATTGGCAGGTGTCGTTGCTGACGTGCCGACACACCCCATACCTCTGTGCGCTGTCACTGTCGACTATAGCCTACTGAGCCTCATAGCAGCCAAGTTGCGCTTGGCCACATTGTTGATCGACGTCATTCGGCTAACCTGGCCCTGAATGCACGCAGCCACAAGGGGCATTGCCAATTTCCTGGATCGGCAAACCGATGCAGCCCCATCCGGAGGCTGACGCGATCAGCGCCCAGCTTGAGCTCTGATACGCTGCAAGAGATACGGCTGACTGCCAAGACATCACCGACTCTTCGCGTTTGTTTGTCTGGATGGCAAACGGGCATGTTTATATGTGAAGGGTGGCCCAGTGCGGCCCTCGCACACAATCGATCTCGAGTGTTACGGCACGACGCGTAGAAACTGGTTCCTGCATCTCTGTGTACATCGAAGCCGATTCTAGCTCGATCCCTTCGCGCTACGATGCGATTTCTCTCTTTGTCGGGCTTCAATGCCCTGAAGTCAGCCCTGCTGCTTGCACCGCTGGTCGCTGGCCTTGCAGTTGTCCCGCATGGCCAACCACGCCGGTACGACCTGGCCCTGACGTGGGAAAAGAGAGCACCAGATGGCTATGAGCGGGACATGTTTCTGGTCAACGGGCAGTTCCCAGGCCCGTTGCTCGAGTTTCACGAGGGTGAGAAGGTCGAGATCTTTGTGGAGAACAAGTCGCCATACAACACATCGATCCACTACCATGGTATGTATCCTGCGTCCGAATCCATGAATCCATGAGGCTAAAAGGTTGACCGCGATAATCGGCAGGGATTGAGATGCTTGGCACTCCATGGTCTGATGGTGTCCCCGGGCTCACCCAGATCCCCATCCAGCCGGGCTGCGCCTTCACATACCGCTGGACCGCAAGTCAGCACGGCACGTACTTCTACCACTCGCACTCCGAGAGTCAGGTCAACGACGGCCTCTACGGTCCCGTTGTGATCCACCCCGCCCCAGGCACCGAGAAGCCGTATGGCCTCATTACTGAGGATGCCCGCGAGCTCAAGGCCATCGAGAAGGCCGAGGCGGAGCGCATTCCGCTGCTCATTGGCGACTGGCGGCACATGACGTCCGAAGCCGAGCTCGAGGTCTCCAGGAATTCTCACATTGAGCACCTTTGCTTCGACTCAATCATTGTCAATGGCAAGGGCAATGTCAACTGTCTCACCCCGGAGCAGCAGCAGCCCCTGATCACCCCCGGTCAGCTTGGTCTGCTGGGGAATCTGTCCCTGACGAGCAAGTCGTGAGTCTGCACCCTCCTCGCAACCCTGCAAAGATAAGTTGCTCACAGCGCGGTGGTAGATGCGTCCCAGCCGAGGGTCTCGCCGCCCTCAGCGACATGATCGCCCCGGTCAAGGCCAACATCAGCGCGATCCCGCCCGACCTGTTTGGGGAATGTGCGACAACCACGACGGCCGGCGAAGTCATTGCTGTGACCAAGAAGAAATGCGATACCCTTTCACCAGGCAAATGGGTCGTCTTCGACGTCATCGGCGCACTTTCCCTGCACACAGTGATGATCTCGCTTGATGAGATCCGCACTTATGTCGTGGCCATCGATGGCAACTACATCAGCCCGATTCCCGCAGATGCGCTCCTGCTCGTCAACGGCCAGCGATACACCATCCTCGCGCACTTTGTCACTCCCAAGAAGTACACGCTCCGCGTCTCTGCCGTGTCTGACCCGCAGATCCTCTTCGGCCACGCGACCATCGACTACCAAGCCCACGGCCAACCCCAGGACTCGTCCCCGTCAGTCCCGTCCATCAACGAGCGCGGCATGAACCTGACTTCCGACGTCGTCATCTTTGACGGGATGCACGCCGCCCTCCCCTTTCCCGCGGACGCCCACAAGCCCAGCGCCGACGTCGACGCCACCTACAAGGTAACCATGGGCTTCGGCCGGTCCATCGCCGAGTTCGTCTTCAACGGCACGGCACGGCCGTCCACCGACAACGGCAACGGCAACGCGCTGCCGCTGCTCCTGAGCCCCCAGCCGGGCCTGCAGGACAACCACACCATCACGGTGCCCTCCGAGTCCTCCTGGGTCGACTACGTCATCCAGGTGACCCCCGGGAACCCCCCGCACCCGATCCACGTGCACGGCCGGCACTTCTACGTGCTGGGCTCTGGGGTCGGCGCGTTCCCTTGGTCCACCGTCGCCGAGGCGCAGGCGGAGCTGCCCGCGGGCGCGATCAACCTGAACAACCCTCAGCTGCGGGACACATTTGTGACGCCCGCGTCGTCGATGACGGAGCTGTCCTGGCTCGTGCTCCGGCGCGCGTCGGATAACGAGGGCGTGTGGATGATTCACTGCCACATCCAGAGCCACTTGCAGGGCGGCATGAGCATGGTCATCCAGGACGGGACGGACGGCGGGATCGATGTGCCCGAGGAGTACCGGGCATACCAGTGCAAGGCACAGTAGGACTGTCGTATGTGAGGCTGGAGACAGAGAGCGATGTGAAGACTGTGTTCAGCTGCGGTGTTTTCAGGCGGTGGAATGGATTAATGAGCGGCCGCTTTCCTGAAGATGATCGGCCGTGCTAATAAAGGAAGCACTTAGAGAACAAAGCCGTAGGGGTTAACTTGACCAGGCTAATAGTAATCCGACATTGCAGACTAGCATATCTGCCACAAAACTTAGCCATGCCAGCTCTGAGGGTGCATGTTTTCCTTATCACCATTTGCTGATTCCAGAGTGGGAAAATCCAAAAATGTCAAAAAAGATTGGTCTCAGCTAAAGCTGATCGAGTTTATGAACAAACTCGACACCTGCAGGATTCGAACCTATTTCGAAGCCATGTTAGGACATGATGCGTACTTGCATATATGCAATGTGGGACGGCTCTGTCCGGTACTAACCTGCGCTCCCGAGGGAAATGCCTTGGCTAGCTAGCCCCGTACAAGGACAGGGGAATAGCAGGGCATCGCGTTAACCACTCCGCCAAAGTGCCTGGTTTCCTGGTGTTTTGAATGCACCTGGATTTGGTTGATGGACGTCGGCCGCTTTGCTGGTCTACTTATTGCGGACGCAGCTTGTGCGGGTGACATTGTGCAATTGATGCGAAGAGAAATAATGCAATGCATTGTCACATATGCCGGACGTGCAGTAGATAAGAACGAGAATAATGAAAGTGCGAAAAGCGCCAATGCCAGAGAGCCTTGCTGGGAGGGGGCCGTTAGCAGTACATGTGAGACACCCCGGAACAATGATATGGCTATGCCTCATGCTGGCTAGTCCCGTGCCGTGGCAGCCTACCTCTCGTCGTGTTGCACAACGGTCTGCTGCAGATTATGATGGAGCTTGGAGAGGCTGTCCTTGGGGAGACTCGCACCAGGCACTCCTGAAGTTTGCTGTCTGTCCAGTGCAAATGCCGTTCAGTGGAGAGGTCTGACTCCAAAACACGTCTGGTATCCTCGATCAATCAAGCAAGCACGGCCAAGATTGGAATTGTCTCCTTGCGGCCAATATTCAAGAACTCAATCACCAGATACGCTCGGCACAATCGTCGCGCGCGGCCGCCACTGCGTTCACCACACGCCACTCAACCTCACGACGAACTCACCTCACGGCCCGAACCCGATCGCATATCAACGCGTGAAGGCCAACGCATGCCTTCAACATCAGATGATGTGTCCACGTTTGTGGTCACCGAGTTTGTCACGGCCACACTGGTAGATTCTCAGAATTCGACTGTCGATGACGGAGACAGCGGGAACATGGCAACAGAGGTAGTCTGGACGACTTTATTCGTTGTGAATACTTTCACGGCGGGCGCAGGCGGTAACGAAGAACCCCTCACGACTTCTGCAGTTGCGCCTCCCGTATCAGTCTCGTTCTCAACATCATCTGCGAAACCCACCGTCACCGGCAATGCGAGCGGCGCCACAACCGGCCAAACCTCATCGACAGCATATCCCACAAGCATCACACCCTTACACCCAACGGAGAGCGATAACCCGGGCAACCCACAAGGTCTCAGCAGGGAAGCAGAGACCGGCATCGGCGCTGGGCTCGGCGTGGCCGTGATTCTCCTCATAGCACTCAGCGTCGCGTTCATCCTCTATAGACGAAGACATGTGACCACCGCAGTCGCCACAAACATGCCGCCAAGCTCACAGCTCGATCACGGCCCGAACGATCCTCAGGCACCGTGGGATCCCGAAGCACTGGGACGCACATATCCAGCGGAGCTGTACGGGAGTCAAGGTACGCACCAGACAGGGAAGGATGGTTCGGTAGTTCCCATCACCTTTGAAGCCACGGGATCGATGCAGGAGCAGTTTCGTCATCATAGCCCAAGACACCACGCGATGCACATACCAAACTCTGTGGAGAATGGAGCCAGCCAGCCTTATCCTCTGATGGGCAACGGCAATGGCTTTGGCGAGCTGCACGGAAACTCGAGGCCGTTGCTGGCGGAGCTGGGCACAAAAGATTGAGTGTTGGGTTGCGTGGGCGATGCTCAATGAAGGACTCGGTCTTGGGCGAAGGCCTTTGAAAAAGGTAGAGGGCTTCCATGTACGAGAATAACAGGTGAAAAATAGCTCGTGCCATCTGATGAACAAGTACTCGTTGCCAGTCAAGACATGTCAAAGTATAGATCGATGAGGCTGAGCAAGACCAGTGGCTTTGGACCAGGGTCCCTGTCAGCCAGCCCTGTCAGACAACCCACAATATGCTTACGGAGGATGTATCGCGCCATGTCGGTCATTTCAGATTCAAGCACAATCTGGCAGGCAGGGGGCTCTTCTACAACCCGATAGGACCGAGCAGTGTCTCACCCAGCGCAGTGATTGGCAGGGCATCCGTTGTTCAGAAGCGCCGGGTAAAGCCGCCGGTCAGTGGGTAGTCCACAGTGATGGGGATTCGGGGGTTTAGCGGCATGGGGGGCTTGACATCTGGGGGCCGTTGATGGCACAGGGGCATACTTAAAAGTGTAGGGCTGAAGCTAGCGATGAACTAGTGCTGGTTGCAGACACGATGATGCGGCAATCTCCGTATCAAGACTTGCGAACAGTCGTGTACCCCTCAGAGAACCGGGCAATTCAGCAAGCATCGTATGGACGCAAGAATCTGGGATGGCTCCCAGACATGACCCCTGACACCACCCAGCCCCTGCTTCACTATTAGCCCTGGACCATGCCCCCCGGCCCGGTCCCCAAGCCACACAGCCCTGTGCCCAGGGCGATCGGCAAGTTTGATGCCGCCCTGTTCCCTGCAATTCTGGCCCGTCTCTGGCCGTCTTGCGTCGGCCTGAAGATCTGCAAGGAGAGCACAAGCCCGAGACCTGCCCATCAGCTGAGCATGTGGACACTGTGCACTTCTCTCCATTTCGCACAGCAGTTCGCGCTGACAGGCTCTGCGGAGGATTGTCCGCGCTGGAGTCCAGTATGTAAGACCTTCCCTCCTCCACGTCCCATACTCCTGGTCGCCGCTTTGATCGTCGTGCTGACGCCAGCAGGTGGTTCACGGAAGATCGCAGACGTGACCACGCTGGGCACTACATCTTGAACGGAAGAGCCAACACTCTGGATCAGTCACTAGAAAAGGCCACCACACAACATCAGCGAACTCCCGTAGCGGCCAGTGCGCCTGCGCGGGCACCCCCACGTCGTCACCATGTCGGGCTACCAGAAAGTATTCAATGGCCAGCACAACGAGCCACCACCGCAACCACAGTATCACGGCTACAGCGACCTTGAGATGACAACGGGCGGCAACAGCAATTGGCACGTCACTGAACATCTGCACCCGGCGCCCCAAGTCGCGTTCCCGGACAATGCGCCGCCCGAGGTCGACACGTCAAACTTTGCCCCAGAGGCGACATACCCGCCCTCCGCAGCCGGCACGCCCCCCTACTCATATTACAAACATGGAAGGCAGGCTGAGCTAATGCCGAAAGAGGATGCGAACGATAGGCTTGAGCCAATACGAGGCAATAATGCCAGGACATGTGGGATGCCACGGAGGACGTTCTGGATCGTGCTTGGCGTGCTGTTCGCAATGGTGGCGATAGGCGTGGGAGTGGGCGTGGGTGTCAGCATGGCTAACAACAGCCAGCGATCTGGCAGCGCCGGTAGCAATGCCGGGGGTGTGCCGGACCCTGTGGACAACACACCGGCAGTCGACGCGGACCCGTCGGCTATGTCGCCCAACACGAAGCTCGCGGCAACCAACATCACCGACGGCTACGGCTTCGAGAGCCGATTTCTGTTCTGGCAGGTCAACAGTGGCGCTATTCGGATGGGCTCGTACAACTCGTCAATAGGGGAGTGGGTAGTTACGCCGATCAGTGACGATTTGAAGGTGGACGCGAGGGATATCGCGCCTGGAACGGCGATCTCAGTGGCGGGTGCATACAAGACATCAACGGTAAGCCCTACCAACAGTTGACATTGCGTTCAGTCTATGTTCCCGTACTGACCCAGGCGTGCACCAACAGTCCTTTGACATACACCTCTGCTGGATCTCCTCGGTCCAGAAAGTTATGTGTTACCTCTGGCGCCCCGTGTCCACTATCCCCGCCGACCTGCCAGGCACTTGGAACCGAGCGAGCCTTTCGGGTTTCTACACGGCGGCCAATGGGACCAGCCTAGCAACATACTCGCGCTTCTGCTCCTTCTGCGACTCGACACCGTTCGTCTTCTGGCAGGCTCCCGAGCTCGACGGGGGCGGAATCCAGGGCACCTACCATGACGGGACGGAGTGGAAGACCATTGCCGACGTCACAGAGACCGACTCGATCCCGGCCAAGCCGGGCACTCCTCTGTTCATGCTGCCGGTCGGCATCAGCAAAGCGCTCAACAGCCTCAACTTGTACTACATCTCGGGCAGCAACATCCCGACCACGGTGACCAACCTGCCGGCCATCGACGCGCCGACCCGGTGGCGGCGCAACACCCTCGACGGCGGGCTGGCGAGCGACCGGCCGAGCTCGATCGCCGCGTTCTCCACGCAGCCGCAGGACGACGGGCGGGCGGACGCCAACACCAAGGACGACTTTGCCATGGTGGACGCGCAGGTGCTGATCGCGGGGCGGGACGAGGGCGCTCTCGATTCGGCCGTGCGGGTGCAGTTCTACAGCGGCGGGCGATGGAACGCGCTGAGTGATCCCGTGGCGGACCTGGCAGAGTGTGCGGCAAAGGGGGTGCTCGCTGCGAATCCCCAGGGCAGGGTGTACTGCCTCGTCAGTGGGAAGGACAAGAACGGCCAGGAAAGCGCCCAAGTTGTCGAGTTCCAGGGCGGCAAGGATGTGGGCAAGTTTACGAGACTGGGCGTCGTCAAGACTGACACGTGAGATGTGAGTTGGGGGTTTAGACTGCATTGAAGCGATAGATCTGATGCATACTTCATGATACCACATGCTATTTACCTGTACACATTTAAAAGGACTCTTTTCCCTCGTGGGGCTTAGACTTGTCCCTCTCCTGACCTCTAGTCAAGTCTGCTCCGCCGTGGTCTGATTATGGGCACAGTCGTCACTGTTCTTGACGAACGCAGTGTCTGGCCGTCTTTGTCGAGAGCTGACACTCGTATCATCAGCGGCATTCTTCCGAGCTTGATGGCTGTCTCGAAACCTTTGCGTTCCGACTCGGCCAGCTTTTCCATGCTGTTCTCAGTTTCACCGCCGTACTAGAATCACCTTGATTAGCTCCAACTAGCCCAAGAATGGCACCTCGCCCTCCCAGACGAAAGTCGCCAGCGTCACACCAAAGCAACGATGAAAAGACTCACAACAGCCCAGTGCTCCACCTCTGTCGCCCCGTTCCACGACGCGTACACCATGTCATCCACCACTGCGACCTCGGGGTCCCAGTACGGCGTGGCGGTATAGTTGAACTTGTACGCGCGGTACAGATTGCTCTCGCCATCGTAGCTCGTCGACCACGGCCCGACCTGCACATCCATGCACACCTCTCCGTCCTTGGTGAACTCGGTAAGTGCCGGCACCACACCCCAGGCCACCATCGCCCCCCCGCCGGGAAGCACGTGGTGGCCCCCTTGCGCCCGGGCCTGCACGCTCACGGGGTGCCACCACTCGGACACAATCTCGGCCGTCATGGCCTCGTAGTCGAGCCGGACACGGACGGCGCGGCTGCACGCAGGCCCTTCGCACCCTGGCGTCTGGGCGTGGACCTGGCCGAACGAATGGTTGTCAAACACGCTGATCTCGGTCTCCTCCTCGTTGCAGAACCGCGCGTGGTGCTGCCCGTGGAAGCTCGTCGCCCGCCCGCCGCTCAGGTCGCGGAACATGTTCTCCCTGCCGCCGAGCTGCCACACGCGGGCGCCGTCGGCGCCGTTGATGAGCATCACGGCCGAGATGTGCCTGCCGCTGACGAGGTAGTGTTTCCGGTCGCGCGTGCGGGACACGGCGTTGAGGTGCATAAAGTCCCACGAGTTGTCCTTGCGGTGCTTTCCCTCGGGCGTCCACGGCAGCAGCGACTCGTTGAGCGCGACGTGCTCGCTGGCGAACCACGTGAACCGTGGCGTGCGCGTCGCAATGTCGAGCTCCTGGAAGGCCGACTCCCAGATCCGGCACTCCTGGCCGCCGGGCCCGCCCACGCTCGTGCAGTCCCCACGCTTGAGGTGGAAGTTGGTGAAGAGCGCCGTGCCGTCGTCGGTGATGCTGAAGTCGTGCGGGTCCGAGTCGTTCTCGAGGCCCTCGGGCGTCAGCCGCAGCGCCTCGCGGTACGCCGAGTCGAGCATCACGCTGGATCCGCTGCCCCAGGACTCGTGGTCCTGGCCCGAGAAGAAGGTCAGGTATGTCGAGCCGTTGTACTGCTGGGGCCGGAGGTCGGTGCCGCCTTCCCAGGACGGGTCGCCATACACCATGCTCAGGTCGTCGGCGCGCAGGATCAGAGGGGATCGCTGCTGCCCGTCGAGGTCGATCGCCGTGAAGATGTGCGTGGCTGGCTCGCATTTGGACTTGTCCCACTGGTTGATCATGAGTCGTGGGGCACGGACGGGTGACGAAATGAAGCTCTGCCAGGGCTTCTTTCCGTACGTGCCGTTGTTGTAGGCCTCTCCATCTTGCTCGGCCGTGAGCAGTCGCTGGTCAGCGAGAATAAGGCTGGCGAGTGCTGATATCGCAGCGAAGAGGACATTTGTGTGGCGTTTGCATCCCATCTCGGTGGCTCGAGGCCACGCCAGGCTCTTGTGTAGTGGGTGATCCGACTTTGTGGAACAGGAGATGGAATGGTGGCCAGCGCGGAGAAATGTAGTTTAGAAGGCCGAGTTCGTTGGCCGTGAGCAACGGACCACAGACACTGCAGCATCCTCAAGAGTCGTGCCGGGGAGGCCACCCGACACGCTTGTTCATTTCATGCACAGGGATGTGGCATGTAAGAGCGGCTCATTGGGCTTGGCAGGGAGAAGTGCGTTTTCTCAAGTGGCCTGTTGTTGGTCCCTTTATCATCATGTCTCAGTCTCCTTGTGGCGCAAGTAAGGTGCCGCCACTTCGGCAGCTTTATTCTCCCATTCGCCCCAGAGAATTTAGTGCGCCTTCCATTTCAGCAAGAGAGAGTGAAACATAGCGCTGCGCGAGCACGTGAGGTCAGCTAGATGTGGGATGTTACAAAAAGACATTGAGGGCCAGCTGGCTCTTCGTACTGTCACTCTGTAGCACGCGGCATGAAACCAAAGAGTGCAGACCGGATCGACAGCATCCATGTGGCACGTTCGTGCCACTTTCGCAATAAATGCTGTTGATCGTTCTGGGTGGAATGCCACGGCCTCGGCACGAAGGAATAAAGGGATGTGCAGGAGCTTGGCAGCTGCGGTGGGGGAATGTCTTAATTGGTCGACCAACAATCAACAAACCCCATTTGTTTCAGTCAACGAAGACATATGGAGTACTCTGTCCTCTGCATTTGATTCGCCCGGATCCTTTGTTCCACTCGCACAGCCGCACAACCTGTCCATCAATAAGGACACCAAGCTCACCCGCCTCCATGGCTCCATGGGGCCTCCAATCGTCCAGAGTCCTAAAGTAGGGATGTAGGCACACTGGTGTGGGCGTCATGCTACTGTTCTCAGTTCTTCGTCTTGTTCTGGCTACGGGTTGCAATTTCTGGTCTCGTTGGTTGTCTAACATCATTATTTCTGCTTGTCTGAATTCTTTTGCTCACTGCAATTTTACCATCATCATCACCTGACCTTGAATCAGCTGCATCTTAATCTGTGTGAGCCTTATACGGCAGTCCAGAGGTCCAAAGGTAAGTTGCCCCGAATCGAAGACCGCCTGTTACCCACCCAATAAAGACTATGCGCATCCTGGAGACCCGATCTCATTTATCCTTGGCACATCTCCACAATCTTCCTCCTCAATGAAGCTCAAACTCGAAAACGCTCCTGAGCTGCTCTATGCCGTAGCCCGCATTCAACGCGAGTTGCAGCATGATGCGCGTCTTCTGTGGGTTGAGCAGGCCGGACCCGTACGTCGAGGCGCTGCCGGTCCTCTCGGCGAACCCGTCCCCGGGCCTCCTCGAGTAGACAACAGCGGTGCCGTGGTCTCGGATGACCCTGTCTATCGCCTCGTTGCCTGCATCGGTCCAGTACCCGGAGCCGACACCGGCAAGGACCAGCCCTTTGGCTCCCGTTGCGACGGCCGCCTCGGCAAGGGCTGGGTTTGCACCCTGGTAGCCGTAGAGGATGTCGACCTGGGGCAGGGCGTCGACAGCAGTCGCGGATATATCGAAGTAAGGCTTGCCCATTGCGAGGCTAGGCTCAAAATAGAAGAACGGCTTGATGTTCGCGAAGAACCCAAGATAGCCTTGTTCGACAGCCTTGAAGGTATCAAGCGAGTTTGCATTGGTTTTGGTCGTGTAGTAGGCGCTCGCGATACGGTCGTTCAGGACAATCATTGTCCCGCGCCCTTTTGCAGTTGGGCTAGCTGCCAGAGTAACAGCCTCTAGCAGATTGATTGGGCCATCAGCGCTAATTGCTGTGGCCGGGCGCATAGACCCTACCATTACAACTGGCTTTTCCGTGCGTAAGGTCAGGTCAAGAAAGAATGCCGTTTCCTCCATCGTGTCGGTACCGTGGGTTACGACAACACCCTGACAGGAAAACCAGGTAGTCGGGTAAGGGGCGTGCACGAAAAGGGACTCATTAAAATTTCCTGCTTGGAAACATTCTTCAACTGGCTTGATTATATAGCAGGCTCGAAAGACGACCCGACTGACACGATCCCTGCCAGCTGCAGAATCCACTCTCGATGGGCAAGACAGTACAGCAGCCGCTATCAACAAGGCTTGGCCGTGCGGGGCCCCATTCCGGTGATATGGTTCGGCGACTAGCGCTAGAAGCCGATGCCGCTATGGCTGCCGGGTTTCCTTTTATCTTGACTGATGTTCAGAACCCCTGAGACGGCCACGCGTCAATAGCTGCGATTAAGTGTTGTCGCCAAGTTTGGAGCAATATGAGCGTTGCACCTAGATCTCTAACTATCTTAGAGGCTTATCTTTCGGTGCTTACTTGCACCACTGGGAGACGCGCGGCTGGGCTTGATATTACATGATAAAAGTGCTGTTTGACTGAAAAGCTGCTGCTTTTGGGGTTCAGACTGCATCTAATACACGAATGATGCATTGTCTGGAAGTCCATGTGCTGTCATGTTTGCACACTGCGGGCGACGCTTTTGTTTGATGTCGGAAGTAGTGCCCTCCCCTATGCTCGTCAAACTTCGAACGACACCACGATTGGGAGGTAACGCAAGTTCGACGCAATGCTCCCTGACAACGAGTCTGCACTCATTTATTTATATCATTGTTGACAAACAGGTCTAGTTCACCATGTGCGACCCTTCTCTCCAGACTGACGGTGCACGAGGGGGCGACCAAGGGCGCTCACGGGCATAGCGTAACGTAAATAAGTCTTCAGAATCCACTTTTACCTCCCAAAACCATACCATATTCTATGACGAAGAGACCCCGTTCTCCTCCTTGGAGCCCTTGCTACTACTACTACCACCACCATCCACTGACCGCTTGAGCACGTCAAGCACCTCGTCCCTCTGAAGAAGGCCCTTTTCTACAGCCACGTCCAGGAAACAGCGCTGCTGGCTGAGCGAGGACCGGACAATGCTCGAGACCTGCGCGTAGCCCAGCTCGGGCACGAGAGCAGTAGCTAGTGCAGACGAGGCGAGCAGGTGCTTCAGCGACACGTCCTCGTTGGCGACGAGCCCATCCACGCACCGGCGGGCAAAGATGTCTGCCGCCGCGGCCAGGAGCCGGATGCTGTCCAGCAACCGGTCGCACACGACCGGCTCGAAATGGTTGATCTCGAGCAGGCCCTGCTGGCAGCCAAGTGCAACCGTGGCGTCGTTGCCGGTGATGGCGAATGCGGCCTGCTGGACGGCCATGGGGATGACGGGGTTGACTTTGCCCGGCATTATGGACGATCCGGCCTGCACAGAGGGCAGCGTGATCTCGGCGAGCCCACCCGCCGGGCCGGAGGAGAGGATGACAAAGTCGTTGGCCACCTTCCAGAGCGTGTTTGCCGTGTTGCGCAGCTCCCCAGACAGGCGGGCACACGTGTCGAGATTCTGGAGACCGTCAAAGGGATTGCCGCTGCCGTCCACGGGGGCGTCAAAGAGCTCCCCGAGGTGTCGGAAGACGGCATCCTTGTAGCCCGGTCTGGAGCCGAAGCCCGTGCCGATGGCGGTGGCCCCGAGGGGGATTGCCAGCAGGCTGGCCCGCAACGTCTCGAGCTGGGCGAGATGGCGGCGCACGACTGCCTCATACCCACCCAGTGCCTGGCCCAGAGTCATGGGCTGTGCGTCCTGGAGACAAGTCCTGCCTAGGCGGAATAGGGAGGCATACTCTTCGCGCCGCTTGCCGAAGCTGTTGGCAAGCTGGCGCAGTGTTTGCAGTGGCGTGCTCATGGCGCGGTATATGGCGAGCTTCATCGCACTAGGCATGACATCGTTGGTGGACTGGCCGAGGTTGACATGGTCGTTGGGGTGCACGAAGCTGTAGTCGGAGATTTCGCGGCCCGACATCTTGGCTGCCACGTTGGCAATGACTTCGTTGAAGTTCATGTTGGTCGAGGTGCCCCCGGAGCCCTCGAGCATGTCCACGACCAGGTGGGCGTTGTACCTGCCAGACCTGATTTCGCGGCACGCGGCTTGTATCGCGTCCGCCTTGTCGGCTGGCAAGCAGCCAATCTCATGGTTTGCGAGGGCGGCGGCCTCCTTGATTGTCACAAACGCGTCGACGTACTCCGGGAAGCTGGCAATGGTTCTTCCGGATATGGGGAAGTTCTGGAGAGAGCGGGCGGTGTTGATCCCGAACAGGACATCACCGGGCAGTTCTAACTCGCCAAGGCTGTCCTTCTCGATGCGAGTAGTGGCCATGATGTCGGGTCGCTCACACAGGGGTTACTGAGGAATGCGGCGGAATTCGTTTGCTATGAAATAGTGTAAATCAACGCAGGGCTTGTTCGGCGCGATAGCCTCCACAGGATTCGCATCCAGCACAAGACAGTGGCTAGCAGAGGCGATGTCGGAGGCGATCGTTGCGCTCCAACCGCAACCCCTTGGCGTGAATGGTAGCTGATAGCGAGCCTCGGCGGCTAGTGCTTAGCGGCCGAGGGCTGGAGAACCGGGGTCACAAAGAACGCCCCTCCATCCCCCAGGCCCCGGCACTGCATTCTCCAGGATTCAGAGATAACCCACCGTGTCCAAGAAGAAACCCGAGGTGTCGATCGAGTCGATCCAAGGAAATATCTCGTCGCCGAAGCTCGCCGGAGCGGAGCCCCCGTTCTGCTGGCTCTGCAAAGATACCACGTCTGCAATCCGCTCAATCTCCTCGAGCATCTGCACGTAGCCCTTGGACGCGAGATTCCCGCACGACGCCATTGTCATCAGCAGCTGGCGGGCGCTGCAGTGCAAGGCCAGATCTTTAGCATCTTGTGTCAGACTGAGTGGTCTGACAGCGTTGACAAGACTCGTGAGTGAGAAGATGTTGATGGCAGAGAAGAGGTGCATGGCGTCGTAAAACCCGTATTTGGCTGTTTGCCGTGCAAGGCGAGGACCCATGTCAGCGAGTGACCTGTGCCGAGCAAGGCCCTGGAGCGTGGGCTGTGCGTTCGTGGGCACTCACCTAGCTTATCTCTGCTGGAGAGCTCTGTCAAGATTCTCATGTTGCACTTGGCAGCCTCCAGGCACTGACTACTGAGAGCGATCAAGTCGTCCAATGCGGACGTATCCTTGTCTTTTCCCATAACCAGGCCCAGGACTTTAAAGAAGACTGGCCTGGTGAGCAATATATAACTCTAGAATGATTTTAGCCAGTGGAGTAACCACATGTCAAGTGCAAAGTACCACAGCAATGTCCTACCTGGTGGAAACGCAGAAAGAGCGACGCGAGTGACCGCATCGACGGCTGCTCAAGCATAGCCTCGGGAATCCCTGACGAAAAGTCAAAGGAGCTACTGTTTGGGAGCGCGAGCCTCCACTTCTCAAGCTCCTGAAGAGGCACCTCGATCGCCCTCTTGAAACCAGCGAAATCCGCGTCATGCAGGAGGCCTACAGTCTCAAGCACAAGGCGCCTAGCGCTGTCCAGGTTCAGGTGCGCAGTGAGGATCTGTGCATCCCAGAAGTCATCCTGGTCCGTTTTCGAGAGCTGCTCGTCAGACGGCTGAGACTGCTCGGCCTCAAGAGCCCCAAAGGTCGCCCGGATCCCCATCTCCAAGGACGTCATGGAGTCAAGGAGATACGTGGTCCACCATACCCGCTTTTGGTGTTCTGCTGCTGGCGCCGACACCTGGCCAGCCGGCTTGTGCAACATCAGAGTGCATGCTATCCTCATCGACATTCCGGCGTACATGAAGGCGGTCTTTCGCCGGTTGAGAGAGTAGCTGAAGAATGTCTGCACCGCCGGGAGTCAGTGAGCCGGTCGTCCATCGACAGATTTGGGACGGGGATGGGAATGGTGAGGACACACAATCAGGTTCAGCGCCTCTACGTGCTCGATCGACGGCTCCTCAGTAGGCATCTTGAACAGAGACAGTGCCTGCTCAAAGAACTCTGCGCCAGGGATGTAAGGCGTCTTGGCGTGCTCGCTTGGTCCCTCGCGGTCTCGCGCGCAAGATCTCCCCACGGTCAAGTCGATTAGAGGAGGCTTGTGACTGTTGTAGGACTCTCCAAGGGCAAGCACAGCAAGCAACTTGCAGAGCCAGATTCTATTTCTTGACCGTGGCGAGTCTGGGAAGCGGTATGTCTCTTCCAGTGTGGCGTGGAACTCCCTTCGGAGGAACCAGTGGTACTCGTAGCCCATGTATGACTCGAACTGCTGCACCAACTGGGTCGCGTAGGGGAATGGGGGCAACTGGATAGCAATACTCGTGGCTATGCGGGTATGTCAATGTCCGTACTTACACGACAAGCGACCACGAGCTGAGACTCTTACCGGAAGTGTCAAATTCCAGGGCGACATAGTCGTACTGCGATGGGTTATCGGATCTTCCCGAGCGACTCGTGGTTGATCGCATATCAGCCCCGAGCTGCGCGCTGCCGGGGATTGCTTCATTCGCCGCGTCACTGTCTCTACCGAGCGTGCCCGCTTTCTTGAGGCCAGACACAAAGGCCTCGGACGTCGCGTGTTCGAACGACAGCTTCGCAGCCGAGGTGCCATGCTTTGGCCGGCCCAGCCCTCGCAGGAGACCCTCTGCGGGTGTGGTGCTTACGTCGCTACACGACTGCGCCGTTTCTAGACGGGCCTGTAGCGAACGCACATAGTTCTCGGACACGATGATGTTCCTATCCCGCGCCGGGAAGGTGCAGGATGTCGAGGCGGAAACGCAGTTCTGGCAAGGCACGTCTGGTGGATGGGGCATCAGAGGCTGCTGAAGTTCACTGGGGAGATCATTGTCCACACAGCGCGCGCGGTGCACGCCACTTTAACTCACCTCCTGAGCACCTCACCTTCCGCCGGTGACATCGTTGGCAGGCAACGACTTTCCGCCTCCCTGATGAAGACATGTGGAACTACGCGGGCCTTGCTCAAGGCGGCCCTGGCGTGGGTACGACTGGGTTCCTGTCAGGGTTCGCCCCTGCTTTTCCGAAATTGAAGACGTCAGGCGCAATGATTCATCAAGCGTAGGCGGTGCCTGAAAGCTCGTGGCGGACCTTGGCAAGGTTGTGGCTGGTGACAAAAGCTGAGGGTAGTTTGGGAACTTGGTAGACGAGTGAGGTTGAACAAGAGCCCGAATTTCGGACCCCGGGGCGCGGAGGACAAGGGAGCAGTTCTAGGGGTTGACCTTAAAGCGGCGGTGCGCCAACACGTTATCGGGACGGGGTCCCTCCAGCCGTCGGCTCATCCTTCCATTGTCCCCACAATGCTGGGATTTGGGGTCGACTCTCACAATCATCACGCTACGATCAACTACTCGTAAGGACAGCGGATGTGATCTTGGGCTTGACAGAGGCAGATCAATCTTTCAGCTTGCCACGTCCTGCAGGCCAGTGATTGCTTCACGGGACATTCAACTGGTGGCGAAGAGCGTACCACACAAAGGGCATAATCCATTCTGACTAAACGCAATTGTCCATAAACGAACTGTACTATCTCCCCGTACTTCTCCTACCTCTGCTCCCCACACCCAAGATTACACCGACTGCTAACTCGTCTACTCGAGTACTTTAGGAAGACCACGGCGCGAGACCCGACTGACCAGCCAAAGTCCTGGCGTCCACTCAATACATGTAGCGGAAGCTCTTTGGTGCAGCCTCGCCGCTGCTTGTGAGTGGGCCACGCTTGCGATGCTCTTGGGCAGCCTCTACAGAGCCAAACTCCTCAATATCCAGCTTGCGGTTGAGACGCACGAGTACGATGCGCACAGCAGTGGCGACGATGATGGAGAGGAACGCGGTGGCGGCATTGACGCCCATGGCCAGCAGGTAGCGGGGCGCCGTCGACTCCGGGTACAAGAACGGGGCGTAGATGCTCGAGACGTTGGAGCCGCCGCTGCAGAGGGCGAGTGCGGCAGCGCGCTTGGCCGGCGGGCGAGGCAGAGAGTTGGCGAGCCAGGTGAGGCCGATGGTGAAGGCGGTGTAGACTCCGGGCAGCATGATCATCATGGAGAAGTAGCGGGCGCCGAGGTTGGTGGTGGCCGCTGAGATGATGAAGCCGGCGACAGAGAACCAGACGGGCACGGTGAAGTGGAAATAGCGCTCGCCTGTCTTGTCCGAGTGCCAGCTGATGGCCAGATTGACGACACAGGAGAGAAGGTATGGCGGTGCGGTCAGCAACAGCGTCTGGGTCCTCCCGTAGCCCAGTGTCTGGACGACCGAGGGGAAGTATGAGTTGATGGTACCGCTGGACACGACGCCAAGGATGACGAAAAAGAAGAGCCATGTCCTGTAATCGCGTATGCACAGGAAAAAGGCGTCGAACATGCCGCTCGATTCGGACGAGTCGTGGTCCTCCTCGCCTATGTCGGAGGTCTGGCGCCACATGGCGAGGGCACGCTCCTGCTCCGAGAGCCACTTGGTGTTGTGGGGAAAGTCGGGGAGGATGGGCGAGACGACCAGAGCGAGCGCGACGGTCACAGCACCCTCGATGATGAAAAGCCATCTCCAGGACTTCAGACCCATAGCACTGTATTCCACAAAAGCTTGTCAGTCAGTCCATGACGCTCTCGACTTGGGGGGCGAAGTTGTGAAGTAGGCACGCACCCTTCGAGGCTAGACGTTATGCCTGCCGCGATCAGCCCAGAGAATGCTCCGGAGAACAAGGACCCGCAGTACAGCAAGGCAGTCCGCAGGGCGAGCTCCTTCCGAGTGTACCAGACACTGAGGCAAAGCATGCAGCCCGGCTATTTGCTATGTGAGCCTTCTGCAAGAGTCGTGTAAGTCTGTCTTGAGCAGCCGATTCTCACTTACGAAATAGGCTGCTTCGACAAAGCCCAGCAGGAAGCGGGTCGCGGCAAGCCCGCTGAAATTATGCACCGCACCGGTACATGCGCATACAGCTCCCTGCAGGAAAGAAGAATCAGCCGGCTGTCAGATCTCAAACGCGACCAGCGGCGCAGGTGAGGAGGAGTTCGAAACGTACCCATACAATCATGCAGGCGGGAAGATACATCGCTGGCTTGCCAATTTTGTTCAAGAACAGGTTGGAGGGGATCTGCATGAGAATGTAGCTGCTCGGGAGGCGCCTTGTTAGCACGTGCCACGCACTGGTGATGCAGTCGGTGGAGAATGTGTTGCTTTACCCGACAAAGAGGATGCTCACGCAGACCTGGAACTGCGAATCCGACAGACCCAGATCGGGAACAATGCCTGAGATCTTGGCGGCTCCGATGGCATTTCTATATGTGAACGAGTTCTGTCAGCTTGACAGTGCCCCTCAGAGTCTCGAAGGGAGAAACTCACCGGTCCAGGTAGTTCATGATGTACATGACGATGAGGGGTGCCATAAGACGGAGGTCAAGTTTGCGGACAAGCTTCTTGTTCAGTATCTCCATCTCTTCGCCCGAGAGACCCCGTAGGATCTCCGGTGGCTGCTTTTGAGCTGCGTCTGGCTTCTCCATGTTGTCGTCCTGAGAACCATTATAAGCCGTGGCTTCGACGTGGTCCTTGACGCTGCTGGCCTGCATGATGATGGTCGGGTCTGCAGGTTAAGACAGCCAAACTGTGTCTGTATTGCCTGAAGAGAGAATCATTCAATATCTCGGGGGTGAGGCGCGAAGCTCAGGCCTTTATGTCTAGCTTGTCCGAACTGGCAGATCGTATCGGGTCCCTGTCTTGCGGCCATGGACATGGTAAGATCGGCTCCACGGTCACGTACGAGACAGCCATGCCGCAGGCTTGTGGTTGATAACAGGAATGCTCCGAGTCTTATCAGCCCGCCTTCTCCACGGGAAAGACCTGAGCCCTTGTCTGGGCTCGAGTGTGGGACCCGTCCAACTTTCGGACCACCATGCCGAAAGGCAGGGCCTCCTCTCGGCGACTAGGCACTAGTCGCCGCTCCCGGCTCCACTTGAAGCGGCACTGAGAGGCTATCACCGAGGAATAGCTCACCACCGCAAAATCCGAACTATGATTTACTATCGAGCTTGCGGCTGGGCGTCACTCGTACCAGGCACGGAGCCGGGCGCTCCACAAGCGGGTTCTGTCTCCCACTTGGAACAGGTTTGTTTCGTATGGAGAGCAACGTCCTCTTGCTTGATAAGGTCCTTGGCTGGTGTTACACTTGCAGCCTCGGCTGTCCTCCATGATTTCTTTCTTCACAAAACTTTATGTTAATGTCTCGTAGTATGAGCTGTGGCGACGGCGACGAACCGCTCGGTTCTAATGTGCTCAAGTAGACCAATCGGCCGGCCAATGTAGTCTAGGGGGTATCCGTGCTGGGAAAAAGCTGGATCCTGCCTATCAATGATCTATCATTTGCCGAGTGGAACGTTGAGAACTATCCGTGAAGGCTACTTACTGCGAGCGATCGGAACGGCTCGACTTTAGTCTTTTCTACTAAGCATTATGGTCTGGACAAAGCCCTGCACCATGTTGTCCAAATATGCGATGGCCTGTGAGTGACTTGCCTTGGTCCCCATTTGGTGTAGTTGTTCCAATTTCACAAGGCGCAACCGTGTACCACAAACAGTGTCGGGGAGCAGCACCACGCGGTCGACTTTGCCGACGTGTTTCGCTGTAATCAACAGATAGTCTTGCCGTCCGCTCGGGTCGTCTGGGACATCTGTCGCATCCCAGCGATAGCTCACCTTTGCATCACTTCTGGCGAAGATGGGCGACGTGCACCCGGGGACCCTCCAGGATGTTGCGTCTTGTTACATCGGGCAACCAGGTCGGCCCAGTGTAGTCTCCTTGATGACTGTAGACCCCGCGGTCGTCCGTCGTAGTGCTTGCCTGGGCTGTGCTGGCCGCCCGATGGTCTTGTCTGCACTGCGTCTCGCTTCGCATTCTCTGCAAGAGGATGCCCCTGCGTGGCTGGTGTAGCTTGAGCATCTGGCAAAACGGGTACATGAGCTCGACCGCGTATACATAGTACAGTGCATCTCGGACGACGAGCTCGACCTGCTTGGTGTATGCCTGAATAGCGCCTCCAGTTGAGATACTCGCGGATGTACGGGTTCGCTAGACCAATCCAGCAGAAGACGGACGTGGCCTGCCTGTAGACCCGGCTCATCAGCCGGATCTGTGAGCTTTTCTCCACCAGGTCAGCCTGGTTGATACACACTGCATCGACCCAGATGCGATGCTCGGGCTGCCTGGCCGAGTGCAGTGCCAACGCGCGACGGAGGTTCTGTGTCACCTGCACCTCGGCCCGTCGATTGCAATCGGCGTCGTCTCCCCCGGATCGCCGAATGCGTGGGACAGTGCAACGAAGCTGGGATCGTCGTCGAGCGACACTACCTCGATCGAGCACCGCACCGTGGCATGGTCAAAGAATGCCGTGTCTGAAGGATCGTCCGGCACGGAGCCGTGGTTGGCTTCGACGCGAAGCAGTCGGATCTGGGTCCGCGCAGCGTCCGGCCTGATGTACGGCAAGAGCATGTCCATGGCAACCGGCGCGGCAGAGGGAATGCAAGAGCAATGAACGTGGAAGATTTCTCTCTCGGATGATTTTGTAGGACGTGTAATGCTGACCAGCCCGCCGCTTGCTTCGCCACTACCAAGGCTACGTTGATGGGGATGCAGCAGAGTCTCGATAGGCAGATCACTGAGCAACCTAGTCTGTCACCGACCTTGATCCGGTCCGTCGCCGTTCAAGATACCCGTCTGAGGCTGCGTACAATGGGTTGTACATATGAAAAGTTACAAGATGCCTAATGGCGGAGATTCAGCACAACCGCCGTAGGGTGCTGACTTGACTGGTCCGAAGTTGGTATACAGCGTAGATCTGGGCTAAGTTCTTGCTTGCTCAAGGGAAGTAGTGGTAGTTTTATTCCGTGTGAAGTCCTGGAGCCATAGGTACGGATGCCACTGTATTCTCGTCCAAGCAAGGTTGGGGACCGTGGCAACAGTGGCAACAGCGGCAACCTGGCTGAGCCCTTTCAAATTGCCCCTGCTGGGACGACAACGCATCCTCGACGACTACAAGGACTGGAACAAACTTGCAATGATCTAGCGCCCCCCCCCCCCCGAACATTATCCTGTGCTACAAAGCATGACACGAGAAAGTGCCAAGCGGTTGGGCAGTCTTCTCTCAGCTGACATACGCGCATAATATCGGCGTTGAATGTCATTGTCGCTCCGAGTGGAGAAACACAGCCTAGGGTAGGGATGCGCCAGAGCTCCGCAGCGATGAAGGGGCGGCAGCGCGAAAAAGACATTGTCTCATTACCACGACGGGCGAGATAGGACGGCGCGTCGCCCTGTTGTCAGAATTCGCTCGCACTCAGACGTGTTGTCGCCAGCACGTGAGCAGCATTAAGTTACGATTGCCATCGTGGAGAGTGCAGAGCGGAATGACTAATCGGCCGCAGTAAGATGTGACTTGCTGGCGGGATTACGCCAAGGCGCTGCTGACGCCAGATCGGTGAGACCATCAAAAGAATGTTTGTGAGGCGGGTGCCAAGGACTGTGGACGGGCTCACCGGGAGCATTTCCGTACTCAAGGCCGATTGATGCCGTGACCCGCAGGTACGGTGGCTTGCGCGCCGGTCAGATGGTGACTGCTGGCGCAGCACAAGGACTGTGCCTAGGTGGATATCTCGACTGCATCGTGGCGGAGCAGACACAAAAACAGAGACATGGACAACCCCTGCAGCCTCGCCAAGACTGCGCAAATGGCCACTGGCCACTGGCCACAGCCGGCCGGAATGTTTCGTTTCCGCTCTGCCAGCCATAGGGCTGAGCAGCCTTGGCTCCAGCACTCGGCCGGGGCTGGGGCGCGTGCCGTCGTGCTGGCTCCAATCAGGGCACCAAGCCTGGGCCTTCCGGCACTTGACCCTGCAAGGCCTGGAGGCCCGTCGTGCCTAACGTGCCGTGGAAACATGTCAGCCAGCCTGGACTGGAATCAGTACCATGCGCCGAGGCTTCCGCGAGGCCAATCGGGTTGAGCCCTCTAGGACTCACACTGGATTCGTCAGCCCAGCAAGGCCGGCGAGCTTACAAGGTGAAGGCCACGGGAGCAGCAATTGCTGTGCGGACCGCAGCCGCCAATCAGACTGGACACGAGGACTATTCTTGGGAGCGGCATCGACCACTTCTATCTAGACGGAAGCGTCAACACCCGGCAAAAACACACGATGATGCCGCACCGCGTCCATCAAGCATATAAACAAGGCACTCCATCCCTTCTCCAGTTGTGCATTCCATTCACCACCATCTTCATCATCTTCATCATCATCAGCAAGTTCTACTATTTCCTAGTCTTCTTTCTCTACTTTCCTAAGTGTCATTTCCTTGTCACTCTCACTCAAACTACAACCACTCCCAACACCACCGCCAAAATGCACTTCACATCCAACCTCTTCACCACCGCCCTCTTTGCCGGCGCCGCCCTGGCCGCCCCGGCCCCTTCCTACCACCACGTCGACGCCCAGACCGGCATCACCGTCGAGCTCACCAACACTGCCGGTCACGTCACGACGCTCGCTGGCTTCTCCGCCACCGGCGCTGTGACCAGACAAGCCGAAGCCCACGCCGGCGAGATCGCCAAAATCCGCGTGGTCTTTAGCGACGCCGCGAAGAAGTCGTACCCGTTCCTCGAGCCCAGCTTCCGCTGCGCCGCCCGCCGCGCCCCCAACAACCAGCGCATCATTGTGACCCGCGGCTCCAGCATCGACTTCAACTTTGGCGACGGCGGCAACCCGAATGTCTGGAGCTTCAAGAACAACGAGGCAATCCACGCCTCGGACCTGAGCATCACTTGCGACCCGACCTTCAGCAAGATTGACCCCGCCCGCGTCAACGACATCCGCGTGCAGCTCTCCGATGACGCGCGGGAGCTTGCCGTCCAGCTCGACTTCTCCGCCTCCAAGGGTGCCTGGGACCTGACCATCCCCACGGGCGGCAACTTTGTCCAGGCGGAGCTCTTTGTCGGCCCTGGAATCGACAACCAGGCCCTCAGGTGCCAGGCCGTGGGCCACGGCCAGGTCGTCAAGTTCAACCGCGGCGCCAACCTGAACAAGGAGACTATCGGCGATGGCGGCAACGGCGAGTGGACTGTCTCCAGCGGTGTCGCCACGGCGATCGACAAGGTCACTTGCAGCCCGCGCTTTGTCTAAGCACTGTTACTGTTGACTAAGACGGTGCTTCTCGGCATATCATGATAAAGAAAGATGGCACTAACGGGGTCATGGGATGACGATTTGCATGTTTGGGGCGTCCTGGGTACTTGCATTTGCTTTTTGGATACGGTGCATCATGGGTGGGTTAGCGCATTGCTTCGGTCATTTTTTGTTTAATCCTATAATAAAAGCCAACTATTGTCCTTCCTTACAAAACTGGCCATTGGTTACAGAGCTGATTGAGTTTGTGCTTATAACAGCTGAGGCAGTGGGCTGTCCACTCACGGGCCATGACTCAATCACATATACTGCTGGGCACTAATCAATGTTCGACCCCTGGAACTCGATTCATGAGGTTGTCGCTGCCATTAGATGACGCCCCTGCTCAGATCAGGGGAGGGGCTTAGGCCGGAACAGAACCGACATGCATATGGCACGAGGCAGATTGATCAGACGTGCCACTCGATCACATGTTCGCTCACGACACGGGTACAACCAACCCCAGAAACAGATCAATCCGCTGCACTCTCATCCTATTCATCGGCCTGACATGCCCACCCTAGCAGCGATGCACCCAGGTCAAGACTGCACACACCCCTGTCCGTGTGCTGTGCACGATGGCGGCACGTTGGGGCACGTGGCGTTGCACTCCGCAAGGTAATCTTCGGCAGGGTTGCATCGTCAATGCCCCCGTCTGCGGTATGCCTCCAAGCACGACAGGGTCTCCTGCTGGAAATTGCTCGGCAAAGCCAGGGCATCGCAGCACTTACAAAACCACCACCAGCCGCCAGTCAGAGACCCAGAGCACACCCTGTGCCCTCTCAGACCTCGAACAGCAGTGGTTACGGCCTTCTCAACTCAAGCTGCCAGACATTACCGCCAAGATGCAGCTCTCCCACCTTGTCGTCCTCGCCCTGGCTGCCGCCGAGCGCACCTCGGCAGCCAGCCTCCCGCTGCGCATCACGAGCTTCAACATCAGATACGCAGCGTCATCCCTCGAGTCCGGGGAGAAGCCCTGGTGGTCCCTGTTCTGCGGCATCTGGAAGGACATGTGCCGCGAGCCGCACACGACCGCGTACATCCGGGACATTGCCACGTCCACCCCGTCCGGCACGCCCGCGCTCTTCGGCCTGCAGGAGGTCCTCGACAACCAGCTCAGCGACATCAAGAACGAGCTGGGCTCCTCGTGGCAGCACGTCGGCGTGGGGCGCGACGACGGCGCCAAGAAGGGCGAGTACAGCCCCATCATCTACGACGGCTCGGTCCTGCGCGTGCTCTACTCGGAGACCAAGTGGCTCTCGCCGACCCCGGACGTGGTCTCGTACGGCTGGGGCGCCGGGTCCCGCCGGGTCGTCACGATCGGCGTGTTCGAGCACATCGCCACGGGCAAGCGCTTCATCCACGCCAACACGCACCTCGACAACGTCAGCTCCCAGGCCCGCTCCGAGGGGATCAAGGTCGCCGTGGCCAGGATCAAGGCCGTCCAGGGTACCTGGGGACCCCTGGGCGCCACGTTGACGGGCGACTTCAACTCATCGCCCGGCGCGGATGCCTATTCCACGCTCTCCGCTACGGGTTATCTGCAGGACCTGTGGGCGGCGGCGCCGCACGTGGGCGATCTCGAGCTGACGTACACGGGGTTCAGCGGCGATGCCAAGAGCAGGCTTGATTATATCTGGTTCGGCCCGCTCAATGATGGCAAGTTCTCGGCTACCAAAGTCGAGGTGCGGGAGAACGTCAGGGATGATATCCGTGTTAGCGATCACCGGCCTGTCGTGGGCGATTTGGTTCTGTTGTAATGAAGCGACGGAAACAGTTGGGCAGAGCAGAGCACCTTGACGTTTGTGCACTGTTGTAACGTAGCAGGAGACAAAGTGATTCAGGTCATTTCTGTGCATTCAACCGTTTATCTAGCACCAACAAATCTACCCGGAACGCCAAGCTCGATCGAACCAATTGGGAAGCAAGATCAGCAACCAAGCAAGCATGAAGTACTGTGATAATCTTTCTAAAGCCTCAGAAGCCGGATAACGCCAGTCAACTGTAGTGACGCGAGGAGCAAGTCGTCAACCATTACTCCCCGCTGTCAAACGCGACGGACAGCACAGCCATCTCTCTTAGACGAGCTTGTTGATGGCGTCCTGCACGGGGGCAAGGCCCTCGGTAGCCAGAGTCTTGAGGTCAGCAGTAAGGCTGTTGATCTGGTCGACCACGCTGCCGGTAGCAGTGCCAACAAAGTCCTTGGAGATCTCGAGAACGGGAGCAATGGCGGGCTCGATGGTGTCGAGGAGATACTGGGCCTCCTGCTTGACGCCGGAGAGAGTGCCTGGCACAACGAACCATGTTAGCACGGCAGCATCCAAAGGTCAAACAGTGAGAGACCTGAAGCTGTGGTAGGGGGGAGCAGGGACATACTGGTCAGGAGCCCAGATGTCAGGGACTCAAGCGTGCTCTTGGCCTCGTTGACGAGGTCGGTAGTGTCTTCAAGCAGAGTGACCACGTTGCCCAGCTCAGCCTCGACGACGGGGGCCACAGTCTCCTTGAGCTGGCTCGTGACGAAGTTCTTGATATCGACGAACTCGTCGCCAACGGCGGTCAGGCTCTCTTCGAGCTGAGGCACAATGCTGCCGGTCAGAGTGCCGAGAAGAAGATTGGCTACATGCGAGGAAAAGTCCGCGAGGGTTAGCCATAGACCCTGCCTGCAGTGTACCGATCATACAAACTCACTGATATCCGTAAGCTGGGTCACGATGGTGTTGGCGGCGCTGTCGACGACTTGAAGGGTCTCATCTACGACGTTGACGCCAGTCTGGCGAGTCTTGACCATGGGACTGGCGGCGGCGAGGCCGGCGATGGCAGCGGTGGCGATAGAGAAACGCATTTTGGAGGGTGCTTGGGATAATGGACTGAAAAAGAAATGGAGGAAAGTGAGAAGTAGGAAAGGAACAGAGAAACTTCCAGGAAACGTTAGGAAATGCTTTTGAAAATTGATGCTGGTGAAGCCAAAGTTGAACAATCATGAGCGAATTGCGAATGCCCCCCTTTATACTTGTCTTGAGATCGTTTCTAGGGCTTTTACCCACGACTCGCCTCTTTGGACCGTGGTTGCGACCAACCTCCGTGCAGTAAGTCCGTTGTGGTGATTGTCGTTGTTGATCGGCAAGATGATCGCCGGTCTATGTTTAACGAGCTGCAGGAACCATAATGGCCAGGAATAGTAATCCATGGACAACAGCTAGGGCTGATGACAATGTTCGCCCAAAACAAGGGAAAATTTGCCACCATTCTACTGCGAGCGCTTAACAGTTCTGCGTTATTCCTTGCAGCGTCAAAATGCTATAAAGGCGCGGTCCCATAAGATTGCCTTCGCATGCGTGTACGACAATCGTTCCGCGGAGCATTCTCGGGCAATTATGTTGTCTATAATGCTATGCACTCTGATATACCCGCCAATGACTTCAATGAATCCACGTTTTTCTCAAGCTGGCCCGACGGAGGGTCCGGCGCATAGACAATGGGCCGGTGAATGCTGCAACGGAGAAGATGCCCCGCTCAGACAGGGACGTGTCCGGCCTCCACATCGACAGGGCTTCACTTGGCCAATCAGTAACGTTGGTAGTGCTTACTGGAGAGTGGCCACTCATTGAGGCCAAGGATCGCACCATTCCAGATCTTGCACTAATAGAGCTCCTTTGGACAATTCTTCGCCGACTTGTCAGCTGGGGGTGCGATGTTTAGCTGCGAACTCAGTCCGACTAGGCTCATGGGGCCAGGAGCTTCCGGGCTAGGCGTGTGAAAACTGTCGATCTCTCACAGCGCTGGAAAGGAAAGGTCTCCAATACCTACTTGATCTGGGTCAGCAGGATGATCAGTTACTGAAAAGAAATGCCCGACCCCGACACTAGTGCTTCCCAGTTTGGGATCGAGCTGGCGATGGCATTATGTCTCATGCTGCAGGTACGACGATCACCCCCAACGAAGTCACATCAGCCTTTAGGACAGCAACACAGGCAGCCAGGAAGCGAACCACGCTCGTGCTGGCCAATTTCATGCCCAGCTAGCAACACCGCCAGCAGTCAAAGACTGTGCCCAGTGCATCACGACCCCGTCCAGAACGCGTACGTGCCAGCGAGGACCATCTCCAAAACACTTGTAAGTCTGGTACAAAGTGTCCAGCAGGCTGTCAAACGCATCAGCGCCCCCAGCAAATCCTTCCTCGTGCCCGCCTCCGCCTTCCCCTTCCCCTCTGACCTGGCGTTGCTTTTCCACCAGACTCCGCCTCGCGCCCGCACTCAGCACCGCAAAGATGTCATCCCCCACAATCGCACGCACACGCTGCTCTGCGGCCAGGGGCGACAGCCACTCCCTGGCCACCTCGCCCTGCTCGGCGTACTCGCGCTCCACGAGCTGCTGCATCTCGCGGGTCCAGTTGAGCACGTTGCGATGGTCGGTCGCTATTGCGCTGGGGTTGTCGACGAACCAGTCGACGAGACCCTCGTCTGCACTAGCAGGGTCGCTCCCCGAGGAATGGCCAGGCGGGGAGTCTTGGTCGCTGCTATGGCTACTGCTACTGCTGCTGCTGCTGCTGCTGCTGTTCCTGTGAGCACCACCGCGCCGCGGCGCCCCAGCAAAGAATGCATTGAGCAGAGATATCAGGCCCACGATGCGCAGCCTCGCCTCATGGGATCTCGTGGTGGAGACGATCTCGTGGATGTCGAGGCCGTGCCTTTTTCTCACTGCCTGCGTGGCGCGGGCGTTCATGCTTTGCGGCGAGGCCACGGCTGGGCCGGCGAACGTAGGATGGTCCGCGCTTGCGGTAGTTGACGGCACACCGGAATGGGCTTGCTTGACCGCTGCATCGTGCGCGGCAAAGGCACGTTCGAGGACGTACCATGTCAGCCGGCCTCCGAAGGTGTATGCTCCCTGTCCGAGAAACGGGAGCATTTCGGCGGGCGGGCCGATGATGCTCAAATACAGAAACGGGTCTGGGTAGATGATGCTACGCGCATGGGAGTTTGTCGTCTCCCACGGGAGACTGATCGGCGAGAAACGAGTGTTGGACTGCAGTATCGCGCGGTGCTCTGCCCTCGGAAACTCGACGGCGACGCTTTCACGACCGCGGTGCACAGCTGCGGCTGCTCCCGACTGCCTGCTCGGCCGCTGCGAGGTTGATGTTGCCTGCACGCTCGCATGGCCAGCGGGCTGCATTTCCTGCCCGTCCACGTCGCCGAGGCCGGCAATCCGAGCCGCATGGACTATCCTCTCCCGGAGCTGGGGCCGGTCATCGGCCTGCATCTCATACAGCAAGTCCCTCACGGCATCTTTGAGTTGCTCGTGGCTCGCCTGCAGCTCGCGCTGGGCTTCCGCCTGGCGCTTCCGGAAGGCGCTTTGTGCGTGCCGGGCGCGCTCGCGACGTCTCTGAGCACGAAAAAGTCCGTTAGCCTTTCCCGCCGTCCAGTTCGACGTTTCGTGTGGAGGAAGGCAGGGATTACCTTGAGCTCCGCTTCCGCATCGCCATCTTCGAGCGGCATGTTTGTGTGACTTGGGCTGTGCTTCTTTACCAAGCAAGGATTCCGCTGTAGGGTTTGCTTTCTCGAGGCTGTGTGCCTCCTTCTTTTGCCGAGAGTGATGTGATGTTACCTGATGTTACGTGATACTACGTGATGGGAGGGTATTTGTCAGCTTCGCACCCTCTCGTACGGGCGCTAGTTGCGCACCGTCAGCACGGAAAGTGGAGACAAAAGCTTCCCCAGTCCCATGAACGGGACGCCTGCTGGGAAGTCAGTACACCGTGATGACCGCAAACTTTTTCCGGTATGCAAATCAGCCGCTCTAAAAGAGTCCCCATATTCAGGTCGGTGAGCTTTTACCGCAGGATGACTAAAACCTTGTGGTCCGGCCCGCACCGATCGGATGAGCCCTTGGATGAGGGCAGCAGGGTCTAGAATCCTAGATCGTCTCGGCGCATGACAACCTCTGCGTCTCTGGGCTACAAGAGTCCGCCAGCGTCTCAGAGTATATAAGACGAAAGGGCCCGAGGTAGAAGTAATCCTTTCCAGAGCGACCAATACATCATCAACTCAAGATCAACAGCTGCCAGACACATTCCAACAAAGCGCTGCACTTTTATTAAACGAACCCAAAGTCAACTTCAGGAACCAGCACCATGGGCAAAGTGGTCATCGCAGCGGGAGGCTCAGGCAAGGGAGCACCAGCCTCAAGTTCACGCTCGTACATTTTCTGACCATGGTGATCACTGTATAGCTCTGGCCCGGGTCATCATCGACAAGCTGGTCGCAGACGACAAACACGACATTCTTGCCCTTGTCAGGAGCGTACGTGAGCGATCATTCTAGCGGCAACGGTAGTCTTGTCAGACCCTCACTTACCCACCCGCTTGCTCTAGGACATCAACAACTACCCCTCACTTCCCCGTGTCACGTGGGCGCAGACGACGTACGAGGACAAGGCCGAGCTCGCCGAACTGTTCCGGGGCGCAATAGCCGTCCTCAGCTTCGTCGGCGTCCTCGACCCGGAGGCCCAGCTGGAGAAGCGCCTCGTCGATGCGGCCGTCGAGGCTGGTGTCCCGCGGTTCGCCCCCAGCGAGTGGGCAATGGGCAAGAACCTCGAGACCGCCATTGTCAACTATTCCTGGTACGCCGGGAAGCTGGCGATGCGCGAATACCTGCGGGAGCTGAACGCCAATGGAAAGGTCTGTCTCTGCTTGCTTACCGGCATTTGTCACAGCATGGACCCCGCTGGATGAGCATGTAGACTAACAGCGCCGCGCGTACTATGTGTATCCCCAGGTCATCGAGTACTGTCTCTTCCAACCCGGCATCTTTCTCGAGTTTCTGAGCTGGCCCCACCGCGCAAACAAGCACATCGCCCCCCTCCCGGGTCACATGTTGATCGAGGAGCACCGCATCATCGCCATGGAGGGCCACATGGACGACGAGTTCTCCCTGACCTCGGTCGAGGACATCGCGGCCGTCGTCGCGGGCGCGCTCGACTACAAGGGCGAGTGGCCGGTATATGGCGGCATCAGCGGCCAGCGGCTCACGTACCATGATGTGCAGAGGATTGGTGAGAAAGTTCGTGGTAGGTACCAAAACAACACCACCACATATGAAACGACCTGATCATGCACATGGTCGAAATAGAAGAACCGCATTGGACTAATCGTTAAACGCCACCACTCAGGGAAATCATTCCAGATTGATCTCGTCAAGAAGGAGGACCTCGAAGCGAATGTCATCAAGGTCGATGGCCTCAGGACGCTCGAGATCCGTGCAATCCCAAAGGACCAGTGGGAGTCTTTCACCAAGATTGCGATTATCGGCACGCTGCTGTCCATCCACAAGGGAGGCTGGAATGTGCCGGGCACGTGGAACGAGCTGCTGCCGGAGCTCAAGTTCGTCCAGCTCGAGGAGCTTGCACAAAGGCTATGGGGCAAGCAGTAGATTGGCAGGACGCAACGCGGTAAAGATCTGCAAGAGCTGGCAATAGTGTCGTGGGGCTAGAGATGGGAATCGTGCGGGTCGCGGCCGAGTGTTTGTTGGTGCTGGCCAGGACGGTAGGGCAGTCTGTGAAGATAGGCCGAACATGTTTTAATGGGGATGTTGAATCGTCCGTGCCGTCGGCTAATTCAAGCCCGCCAGTCTCTTCTGCCAATTTCACAAGCCTATTTAGTCAGCGTGTCGTCGTTGGCTCGCCGTGTGTCGGAGCCGAAGGAGAGTCCCACCTCGACAGCTACTTCGGCTGAGCCCGATCGAGATGCGACCCTCTAAGCCAGATTGAGAGCTACCCCAGCCGCACGACAATGCCAAATCAGCTCGAGCAGCCATGTCATGTTCTGGATTTAGCCACATGAAACAGACAACAGACGGTGGCTAGGTAAAACGTGACCCAGCTGCTGAGGCGTAGCGGGTGGACTGCTATCCTTTCAGTCGTAGTTGCGCGCTAGTGGAGTTTAGCTTCAGGCCCCTTAATTTCACAAATCAGGCGCCGCTAGTCCAAGGCTGGCTCTGGCTTCAGCGGGTTTCGATTATCACGTTGGTGCGCCAGTTCGTGTGTAGGAGGCCGGTCATGTGAAAGCCCTATTCATCCAGCCCTTGCGCTCAGCTTGCCGATCTGATGATCACCGCCAGGGTCGCGAAAGATCAACCATCAATGTTCGGACGACAGGTGATCGGCGAGAGCAGCATATCAAACACCATGATATAGTCGTTTTGATGTATTCCAGAAAGCGCGCGCCGTTGACCTGACGTAAGGTACCCGAACCCAGATGCTATTCTTGGCTGCGGTCATACTTGAGATCAATCACACGTTGTGGCGCCCTCTTGCCACGCTCCCCACGAACTACGGCGTTAGCTCGGCACGCTTATCAGCGCCTCATCTCAGCTCGGCCGCCTGCCCCTGGCAAAATGCCCTCTTTGTTGCTTTTCAGATGTCCTTTTGGACAGGGAAGGGACCGCAACCGGGTGGAGAGGCGTTCTTGCTTCGCCTGAGTAGCGCATCGTGTCAGTACACTGCCAGCACTGCTATGACAGTGAGGTCCTAGAGTGGCGCCGTGCCGCGCTGGTAGCTGCAAGCTGAGACGGGTCACGAAGCGCCTCGCCGTTGAGATCTGGGTGATGTCGAGGGTTGTGCCGTGGGTTTCAAAAGAAGCGGACGTCCGCCCATTGAGGGCTCCGCCTGTTGGATCACTGCGCCTGCATGCACTCTTTTTTTCTCGTTTGAAAGCACGGCTAGTCGGCTGTAGACGTTGCCTGACGCGCAAACTGCGTCCGGATACACACTCATTTGTCAAAAAAGAACCTATCCTTGATTCCGTTCCTTAATAATCGATCCCAACACTCATTACCATGTTCCGCAACACCGCCCTGGCCGCTTTGGCTGCCACCTTCATTGCCCAGCCGGTGGCCGCGACCTATTACGAGCAATGCTCCGTCATCCCGGGTCCCAACATCGTGGAGAACCCCTCGTGGGAGACTTCCATCAATGGCTGGCAGTACTCGTGGTACGCCGCCGACTCTGATCGTGTCAAGGACGCCAGCCAGGGCACCTACGCGATCAGCATCCCCAGCGACCAGCCCAAGGGTTACTTCTGGCAGACCCTCACTGGCCTCACTGTCGGCGAGAAGTATGACTTCTCCATCGACTGGAAGGGCAAGTGGTCGAGCAATGCCCCCTCGTGGTCCCAGCGCGACTGCAGGGTCGGCATCTTTTACGACAAGCTCGCGATTGCCAACGCCATCACCTACAAGGAGTACACTGTCAAGAAGAGCTCCAACTCGTGGGTCACTCTCAAGGGCAGCTACGAGGTCACCAAGGCCAGCATGACGCTGTACATCTATTCGTCTTGCACGGACGACTACGGCCCGGCCCTGTACTCGCGCTTCGACAACGCAAAGGTGCGCAAGCACGATGGCGAGATTGTCTGCCCATCGTCGACCTCCTCGGTTATTTCTACAACATCCAGCAGCACCAGCAGCAATATCTATCCCACGCTTACTTTGTCTACCTCAACTTCAGAGAGCTCGTCTTCGACTGTGAGCGACATCTCGTCGACCTTGGTTACGAGCACCTCGTCCTCGGTCTCTTCAGATGCCGCCAGCAGCACCTCTTCCGTCGAAACTTATCCTACCCTCACTAGCTCGACTGACAGCTCCATGAGCACGCTGTCGAGTTCGACAGACAGCTCCATGACCAGCAGCACCTCGTCCGTCGAAACTTATCCTACTGTCACGAGCACGATGTCGAGTTCGACTGACAGCTCGATGGTCAGCTCGACTGAGACCTACTCTTCTCAGAGCACGTACTCGGACACGGTTGTGTCCTCAGCCACAGAGACATATCCCATTACTTCCCTGACGTCCACGGAGAGCTATCCGACTCTGACCATGTCCAGCACGGACAGTTCCAGCTACGCGGCCTCCACTCAGTCACTCACCACTGACAGCAGTGTAACATCATCGACTATGAGCAGCAGCGACATCTACCCCACGATTACTTTGTCTACGACGTCGTCTTCAGAAAGCCTATCTTCAACCGTGACCAGTAGCGATATCTCTTCCACCCTGGCTACGAGCACCTCGACCTCAATCTCTTCGGATGCCGGGAGTACCACCTCGTCCGTTGAGAGCTACCCTACTCTCACTAGCACGAGCTCGAGCCTGTCTTCGACTGTGAGCAGCAGCGACATCTACCCCACGATTACTTTGTCTACGACGTCGTCTTCAGAAAGCCTATCTTCAACCGTGACTAGTAGTGACATCTCATCCACCCTGGCTACGAGCAGCTCATCGGTCTCCTCGGATGTCTCCACTAGCACCTCATCTGTCGAGACCTATCCTACGCTCTCTAGCACACTGTCGACTTCGACTGAAAGCTCTTCCCAAAGTACATATTCGGCCATCACCACCTCCTCAGATGCTGCCACCACGTCTTCCACCGTGTCGAGCACAACTGATACTTACCCAGTCATCACTCTCTCTAGCACGACATCTTCTGCCGATGTGACCTCCAGCACAGTGACCACCTCCTCTGATATCTCGACCTCGTCCGCAGCCGTGACCACTTCTTCTGCGCCCTCCAGCAGCACAGATACTTACTCCGTGATCACTCTGTCCACTACGTCGTCCGGGACTGATACGTACTCCGTAACCACCCTGTCGACAACCTCTGAAACTGCATCCGCTACAACCTCGAGTGATATCACTAGCAGTACTGCTTCGACTACCTCCAGTGAATCTACCACCAGCAACGCTTCGACCACCTCGAGCGATATCACTTCCAGCACTGCTTCCGTTACCACGTCGGACGTGACAACCAGCACTGCGGCCGCCACGACCTCCAGTGACATTAGCAGCAGCACCGCTTCGTCCACCTCGAGCGATGTTACTTCCAGCACTGTCTATCCCACCTCGTCCGCTCCGTCCAGCACAGCCTCGACCACCGAGTCGTCATCCACCACCACAAGCTATCCCGCCTCTACCATCAGCACTTCCTCATACGACACCTCCACCAGCGCTGCGGTCTCCAGCACGACCGCCGTGTACCCAACCACGCTGGCGACCACGACCTCGGCGCCCGTCAACACTTACCCCGGCGGTGGCGAGGTGTACCCTACCGCCACGTACCTGGGCACGAGCAGTGATGCTGTGAGCACCACTGAGCCTGTTGGCGCGTATCCCACCAAGTACAAGGCCAAGTGTGGCGGCAAGCGACGTATGGCGGCATGAGGCATTGCCTTGCTGTAATACATGCTTTTAGTCCTAGTGCTGTATTTGCATCCAGCTGCTCGTGCGCCAAACAGTCCATGCCTGACTTCAAACCTTATTATTGTCGGCAGCTCTAGCTCCAGCGCAGCGCGGGCAGCAGCTGTTGCCATGAAGGCTGTTGGTCTACGGGTAGTCTTCTGCTCTGCAGCTGGGACGAGCTTGATAAATCGTGTCAAGCAAACGCATGCATTCTGTCGCGGTGAAAAGCTTGGTCTGATTGGTTTTCCGAGCAGTCTTCTTTTGGCGCACAGTCTTATAATTAGTAATGGTAACTCGAACTTCTAATGTATATATTCTTTGCTTTTTACTCTTGGCCCCAGCCGACTTCTTTCACCCTCTGGTTCATTAGGTAACTCTCCACGTCTCGCCCTCATCAGCTCTTCAGTAAGGTGAGCTGCCAAGATGTAGCCACGCCAAACGACCCCGGCCAAGGGCCGTAGAGAGGCTTAATCGTGTTGAAAATGGAGTTCACTGAGTCGTCATGGGTGATATTGCCCGCCATCACGTGGCGTTTGAGGGAGAAGCTAAACACAGGCTCGATGGTGGTCTTGTTGGCCAGTTGCGTGCTGGTCGAAAACCGGCCCTTGGTCAGTGCGTTGCGGATGCTAGATGCAATGCACAAGGGAAGAATTGTCTCGCTTGTATATCTGGAATTAAAGATTCGGGACTCTCGTGGATGGCTTGGCAAATATGAAGCTGGCAGTATCAGGGCACGAGGCATCGCGAATCACCCTGCAGATCTGGAGCTCTCGCCGAATGCCTCCAGCGGTTGGTTAGTCGCGGAGGTGTAAGCAAGCACGGACTTGATCCTGTGCTGCGTGGTGAGCCACTGATTGGCCGGAAGCTTGAGGTCAGCGTGGATGTCTGCGTGAGTGCCCTTGCTGAAGGTGCCACCTCGAAACTTCTCCAACATGGTGGCAAGCTGGCGTTCCATGAGGAGATGCGTGTACATCTGTCTCGTTAGACGCCTCGCCTTCTGCAGCTCTGTTAGAGAGGACCAGGAGTTCAGTGAACTCAGCACCAACCCCGTGCTGCAGGATCTTGCAGGATGAGCTCTTGTCCCGGTAAATCGCCCAGGTCAGAATGGTGCCAATGCGCTTGGGTAGCTTGTCGTGCATGTTGCTGAAGACAAGCAAGGTCGCGAAGGCGGCGTCCTTTGCTGTCATGACGACCGTGTAACGCCTACCGTTGTGCATCATGGTAATCTTTGCAAGTGATGTGAGCTTGGAAACGGTCACCTCGCTCATTGATCTTCGCTAATCTGTACAGTTTGCCAGCCGCTCACCAATGTCGCCACCTTGAGGGTAATCAGCTAGCCGCATTCGTCTCCGTTCTTTGGCCGTGGTGGCTTTGTCGCTCTTCCTGGTGAAAGCGACTTCCTCAGGCGGGTCGACGCTAGTACCATCATGATCCATCGCCCGCAGCACCGCCAGTAGGCCTTGGATCACCTCATAGCTGATATAGTTGTGTGAAGAGTGATTGGATCAGCGAAATGCCTTGGGCTGCGACCATGTTCGCCTACTACCTGGCTGGCTCGGAATACATTGTTAACCCTCTCCTGTTTGGCTGGGCCAACGTCGTCTGCTAGCGCGGTGGTGCCGATGCCCTCCGCAGTGTCGTCCTCACCTCGATGATGCCTTTGCACAGATCCTCTACACGTTCTGGGGTATCGTGCTGTTCCCGGCCAACAAGGTGCCGTACTGGCGCGATGGATATATCAGCATGTTTGTCGTTATGACTGTCATGTTTGGCCTGCTATGGGTTGTGCTTTGGGTAAGTAATCTCCCTCCTTGACCCGTTGCGACGTCGCTTACTAAACGACCGCTTCTGCAACATAGCTTGATCGCCGCACTGCAAAGCAGTATCCTGATGCCGCCGCCTTTGATACGGCCGAGGTTGTCGTGGCTACCGGGGACGAGAAGCCAGAGCAGGTCAAGATCGTGCCCAAGGTGGAGTTCTGAGGGCAGACGAGGATATCTCAGGCCACACAAGAAGGGAACTCAGGATTGCCTCGCAGGATTCGGGAGACGAGAATAACGCAGCTTGGCCAACCGATACAGCGTGTATGCCGGGGCATAAAATTAGCCTGATGTTCAATCATTGGATTTCATGATACGCCGTCCGCATGCAGAAAGCGTGGTTGAGGCCCACCGTAACCTCACGATGTGGAGTCTCTGCCTACATACGCTCGGGCTATGATTGTAGGTCCGCCTGTAGACAGAGTGGGTAACACTGGACGCCAAGAAATGTCTGCCTGTTCTGTGCCAAATGTGGCACTGGAGAGAACGGCCCCCTTTTCAACACAGCTTCATTGTCCCAAATTTTTGTGACACCTACGAGACACTCCTTCACAGCGGACTTTGCGCATGCTTAGTGTCAAGGCAAGCTCGCCGCGTACATCGAGAACCCCTAGCCGCATGGGCCTGCCGGCACCACATCTGGACCACGTATTACCGCGAGGTCGAGCGCCCGTGGCTTCGGTACTGCGCCAATCAAGACACGAGCACCGAATGGAACCTAGAGATCGACGAGGGGCTGGCCTTGGTCTGCAAGCAAGTGTACCAGGAGACGCAGCCATGCATCCGTGCTGCCCTGGACCTGCACGTGGTGTATTCGCTGTCAGCGCCGCAACAGCTCGCACAGCTTCCCGATAGAGATCTCAGAAAGGACATTCGGAATGTCATCTTCCACATCGCGGCGCCCTCAGAACAGATGCGCATGTTCTGCTACGACAGGCCTCCGAAACGGCCTTTCAAGCTCCATCGGTTCCCTAACCTCGACACTTTCACTGTCTGGGTACCTATACACGTCCCCATTCAGGAGCTCATTCCGCCACCGTCGCGTACCGGGTCGTCCCGGCTAAGGACGACATTCTACGACCTGATGCCTGGTTGGCAAGAGAGCGAAGAAGCGTCGGAAGAGCATCTGGAAATGGCGTGTGCCACTTGTTGCGCAATGAGGAAGAAGGAAAAAGCAGCGCTCTGGAGGAATCGGTACGGTGCACAGGAACTCATCGATTTCGTGAGCCGCTTTGGACGGGGTGGCTGGCTCAGTCGCATCGTAGATCCGGAACGCCATCCCGAGCCACTGACTCTGGATCCGGACGACGACCCCGAGAACATGGGGTCCGAGTGGGACGCGTACGACGAAGACGGAGAAGGGCAGTACGGCGATGATGTTGATGATGATCCAAACAGGCTCGACAAACTCCGGGCTATCGCTGCCAATATGCACGTCATGATTGAATGTGAATTCTGGGCAACACGACCAGGAGAAAACCACAATGGGGACATGACCAACAACGTCGATGGTCGACCGGCACTTGTAAGAGTGGACACGCGGCGAAAAGAGATTGTCGAAGCGAGGGTGTTGCGATGGGAAGAGGACGGCGTGAGAGAGGATCAGCAGCGAGAAGGAGACTAGTGATAGCCAGAGCAGTTTGACTATAGAGGTCTACTACAGTATTAAGCACACCGATGCTGAAAGCTCCAGGCCGAAGCGGCGCCGGCTCAACTTCGCGTGCAACTACTGCCGCAGCCGCAAGACGCGGTGTTATGAGGGCCACCCGTCGTGCCGGGCCTACACTGATGCCGGCGTCGCCTGTGTCACGCAGGACAGATAGAGGAGACAGGGAAGGCTTTTACAGGTATCTGGCCGGGGTCTTTGGGGTCCTGTGAAGCAACCCCGTCCCCGCTCGGTCGGCAAGTGGAGGACCAGGCCGTGGCTCCCCCGCGCAAATGAAGCATGGACGGGGAAGCGCCGCGACCGCCTGTGGAGAAGGCCTGAAGGCTTGGCTGCCCATCTCCAGGTTTGGCTGAGACTGCCAACGCGTTCCCCATGGGGACCCCGGCTGCCATATGGTGCATGCATCCAACAAGGTCTTGGATGCAGATAGCCAACAAGACATATAACTGGCGATCCCTGCCGACCATTTTTGTGGACTTGTGCTCGTTGTCTTCCATCCTCTGTTGTGGGCAGTCCCGTTAGATACTCGATCACCCTCCAGGTCCCCTTTTCTGCACATACTCAAAATCATCCTCTTCCGTCCATCCAGGATGGACAAAGCCGCCGACATCCATGTCGAGAACGCCGCGGCGTCTGCCGACAGCAACTCGCTCGAGAGTGGTGATGCCGGCAAAGGCCAGGTCGGCACCATTCGCCTCTTTCAGGACAACGACGTCGTACTCGTTCCTACACCTACAGAGGACCAATTGGGTAAGACAGCATTACCATCTTGCATTTCGTGCACTTTAAAGGACGACCTATTAACAAGGACGATGTCTGCTTTGCAGATCCTCTGAACTACGCGCCGTAGAAGAAATGGGCGGTCCTTATCCTCGTATCCGCCTACAGCTCGAATGCAGTTATCCTAAGCTCTAGTATCGGCGCCATTTTCACCGTTGTGAAGCTTAACTACCCTGGGTAGGACATATAGGCCCTCGACCTCATAATATATCCGATGCTCTTGATAGGACTTAGGAACCTTATCTCCAGACCCCTTACCTTAGCTATCGGCCGGCGACCCGTCTTTATTACTTCGCTCGTTATTATTACCCTAGCTAGGCTCTGGTATGCTGTGTCCACTAGCCTCACGAGCTATATTACCCGTAAGTATGCTCTTGATAGGGTAAGCGACTTTGCGGGGCCGCTAAAGGACCTTATCGCTAATATACTAGAAGTAAACCTCTAGCGGTAGCCTATCCGCGATCGTGTTCCGCTTACGTAGTAGGTAAAGGGCCGTATCAGCCTGGCTGGAGACGCGGCCTATGCTATTTCGCTATATGCTGCGTACGGCGCCGGTATGTTAATCTGTGATAGCTTCTTTATCGGCTAGAAGTTGTACTGCGTGGATTTAGCCGATACTATAGCCGTCTAGAAGGCCCTGGCGGCATATGAGGACTGCTAGCGCGAGCATACGATAACCAGGCCTACTTTACCGGTCGCTTGGATCATTACGCCCCATTCCCGCTCGGATTGATCCGGGATACCGTTCACGACTGGACACCATTCTTGCAGTGGCAGGTGGGCGATAGGAATCCGCGGGACATTATGGCCCAGTTGGACGTGATGGGGAAGGGAATAGTTACGTAGATATATATAATAGTGTTGTGCGAGCTGGAGAATGATCAGGCTTTGGGAGTTTTAATGCTGGTCGATGTTTTACTCATAAGCCCGCGCATTATTTTATCATCACTGATGTATTTATGGTTGAACATGAGGCACATAGCTAGGCTCGGGATTTCATACGAAATTGGATGTCTATGACCTGTTCTATATATCTTGAGCCTCCAAGAGGAGTCCGTCCAAGTAAATTGTATGTAAAGCGAAGAAAGGTCAAGGTCTAACCCTGAGCAAGGGTTAGAGAAAGGAGAAAGGATTGAAAGCGAACGTGAGAAGGTGAGATAAGCCATAGTACGGACCTGCTCATCGCGCGTGCAAATCTGGAGCCAGGTGTCGATCCATTTCCCAAGTGTTCAATCTGCCTCCACAATGAATGGATGCGGTATTGCCACTGGGTATCGCGTGGTCGACCAATTTATTTGGGCCTGGGGACGTTGTTGGCGAACTGGCCCTCGTAGTTGCCTATTTGTGAAGACACAAGATCAGCAAAGCGAAAGTCGTTGTCCGTTGTGCTCTTTTCCCTCTTTTCGCATTGCTTCTAGTGAGCTGCTTCAAGCAGCCCATCCGAGCGCCACAGGATATCGAAGAGGACTAGAGAGAATGGGGAAAGAAATCACCTACCTGGCGCCTTGTAGTTGCACTCGAAGAAGTAAGCCTTGCCATTGTCGCACGTCTTGTAAGCGCAGCCAACCTCGGTCGTGCCCTTCCACACAACCTGGGTGAAGTGGCCGAACGAGCCGAAGTTGGCCATGTTTGGCGTCGCCTTGCCGTACTCGTTCTTGAAGCTGCCAATCTCGCCGGCGTACCAGCTCTTGCCGATCATGTCGCCCATCTGGCCCACCACGTCCGGGGCGCTGCCCGACCAGCCGACCCAGCCAAGGTTCTGACCGTAGGTGCCCTCACTGTGGTGGTTGGAGGACGGTAGTCAGTATCTATTTCCGTGGCGGTCGAAGGGACGCGCACTGGTGAAGTCAAAATTGACGGGCGATCCGTTTGGGTAAACCTACACCTTGTGCTTGAACTCGCAGGAGTTGGTGTGGTCCTGGGCGATGCTAGCCAGCGAGGCGCTCCACTTGAGAGCGGGAGAGCCGTGCAGGGCGCGTGCGATGTTGTGAGCGTCCATGACGACCTGCTGGAAGGTCACAGCCATTGCGGTCGTGGCACCGCCGAGAATGATCAGGGAGGCCTTCATGGTGATGGTGGGGAGGGCTGTCGTTGCTGCTTCGTGGACGTAGAATGAAAGAGTGGCGGAATGTCTGCGGGAGAGGAAGCTGATGATGCTGATGATCTGGAAGGTTCTTATTGTCAAACAGGGAGCGGATGCTGGATGGCTTTATAGACTTGTCAATTCAAGAAGCCCGAAACGGGCCAAGGCCGTCAAGAACGGGATGCTACGATCGGCAAGACTCAAACTCCGAACAATCCATCGCTGTCCCTCAAGAGGGCGGGTTCAATAGGACAGGTACACGCGTTGTTCCAATGCTGAGGACGACTAGGGGAAGTTCACAATGTGGAAGGACGGAAAATGCAACCTCCCTCGGCTGTAGCGTGAGCAGGCATGCAGGCCTGGTAAGAACTTATCGTCTGCGGGAGCTGGACCAGCCCAGGTCTGGGCAGCTGGCACACATTAGAGATACTACGCCAACAATAAAATGATGGCTGATTGTCGGACTATTGCAGCGCTCCCTACTACACATCTGGGAATGACGCTAGGACTTTGGCTCATTGCCCAGTTGGATGCCAGGGCGTCCGACGTCGAGGCTCCGGACCAGAGTATGCCTCGGGGCAGTTCAAATTACCCTAGCCCTGTCGCTGAACAGGGTGGTCTTCCCAGGACAAGTAACAACGGGCACCATCGAAAACGCACACGGGCCAGTTAGGATGGCCTGTCAGCCACAACTACAATTGTGGAGTGTAACATGCCCCCTTTCCGGCCACGAGAACGCTTGGCTGTCAGCCTTATAGTTATTTCGTCATACCACCCTGTTGGTGCATCTGGCTCATCTGCGTCCGCAGGCCCGATTTTGTCGAAGGCGGGATTCCCTGCCTGGATACTCACTGTGCCTATCCACTCTCAATGTAACGCGGCGACCCAACCGCCGAACGGACCCAGTCAGTCCCCGAAGTGCCAGCGACCGACGCATCAGTCCCAGTACGACACGTGGGCTTGGACCACGACCGCCTTAGCATGAACAGATTGATCAGAGGGTCGGCACGTGCGAGGACGTTCTGCAGAACTTGGTCAGAATCCTGCAGCCACTCTCCTGCCCCGGAACCAACACTTTTGTATGGATCTGGCCCGCGCCAAGAGCTGCGTGCCGCGCGCGGAGCTGACAAGTGCGCTCGACCACAATAAGCATAAGCACGCGTTTTCCCACGTTTCAAGTGTCGCTGCGCGTTGCTTGACTGTTATTTGTTCGATGGTGTTGGGGCATCCGTTATAACAAGGTTTCGGATATTCCTCCATCTACCAAAGGGCATTGGCATCTCCCGTAACAGTCATTCGCTTACCATTTTCCCTGTGCGAACCAGGCCCTCGATCACGAAGACGTAGCTCGGACGTGTCATACGTAAGCTCTCTTCTACCCCTGTAACGTTACTCTGTTTTCTAACCCAGTCAGCGGAGGCACGGAAACCATCGACATGTTAGAAATCAGCAATCATTCGTCACTCAAGTCTTAGTTCACGTAAGCATCAGCTTAGCGTCCAAACGATATGTTTTCTTACTTGTGACTTGCATCGGCTGATAACTCCCTGCCAGAGGATTACATGGAGAGTTCACGACTATTGAAGGCGTCTACACGGATGAGGGCCGTATATCCTGAAATATCCCGGAAGAGATCTAGTGTAGCCACCTACACCTCGGCCACCTTGGCATCGTGAGCAACATGGAGCGTGTTGAGCACCGTCTGGGCGCTGCGCTTCTCCAAGCTCTTCTTGACGGGGTCGGGCGCTTCGAAGACCTCGCTCAGCTCCTCGAGGGTGCGGTCCTTAGTCTCGGGCCAGAACAGATAGATGACGACAGCCTCGATGAGGTCCCAGAACACGAAGACCAGGTAGAAGTAGTAGCCGATGGCTGCAAAGGCCGGACCAGACGAGTACTGGATAACGGTCGAGGCGGCAGCGGAGGCGAGGTTGCCGACCGCGGTGCCCTTGGCGCGAGTGGCGGTGGGCAGCGTCTCGGCGATATACATGGACTGCAGGGGCGTCCAGCCGAAAGAGAAGACGATGCCAAAAATAAAGATGAAGGCGATGGTGGCGTTGGCGGCAGCGGACTGCGAGGGGTCGTCGGTGGCCATCTTGCTGGTGCCTGTAATAATGGCGAAGCACACCGAGGCAAAAACGATGGTGTACAACAGCAGCGGGCGGCGGCCAACGACATCTGTCATGCGCGCACCCGTGACAGCGCCGATAAAGGATAGCACCGGGTTGACGCCGTTCAGCGCCAGCACCTTGTGCTCGTCTGTGATGCCCGCGTTCTTGAGCATGGCGCCCATGTAGTAGCTCGACAGCGAGTTGCCGCTGATCTGCCCAAAGCACGCCATGCCGATGACGCAAATGAGGCGGCGCCGGGCGCTGTGGCTGTTCCAGAGCTCGCTATAGTCCCACCACCGCTTGTCGCTGGCGTCGGACTTGATCTGCTGGCCCATCTCGCGGAGCTGCAGCTGGACCATCGGGTGCTCAAGGCTGCCCTCGCCGTGGTACCTCGCCAGGATCTTGGCCGCCTCGTCGTACTTGTCCTGGGCTGCCAGCCAGCGGGGCGACTCGGGGATCAGGAACACGCCCAGGAACACGAGGCCCGAGGTGACCATCTGGATCCACACGGGGTAGCGCCACGCGTCCGGGCTCTCGAGGTAGGAACAGCCGTAGATAGTCCACGAGGCGATGATGGAGCCAATGTACCATGTGCAGTTGTACAAGCCCGTGATTGTGCCGCGCCAGCGTGGGTGCGCCATTTCGCTGACATATGTCGGCGCCGAGACGCAACAGAAGCTGACGCCAAAGCCCAGCAGGAAGCGGCCTCCCAGGAACTGGCTCAGCCCCCACGAGAGTGCCTGGACGATGGTGCCCACGATGATGAACATGGAGCCGGTCCACATGCCGGGCCTCCGGCCGAAGTAGTCGTTGATGGGGCCGGTGAAGAACACGGCAGCCACCGAGCCGCTGGACGTCGAAGACTCGTTAGCTTGAGCACAGAAGGCGTCAGAGAGTGAGATGACACCACGTCCCAAACTTACATGTTGTACATGGCGTTGACGATGCCGGCCTCGTGTCCCTCGAGCCCGATATTGAACACGGCCTGGTAGGACTTCATGACAATAATGCCGCCCATCAGACTGCCGTCGTAGCCGTTCAGGGTCCCGCACAGGTACGGGATGATGAGGACGAGGTAGAGGCTCAGCAGGCCCTTGCTCCAGGGCGAGTAGACCGTGTCGTCGACGCCGTGCGCAAGCTCCACGGCCGTATCGGCCACGCGGAGCGCTTCATCATTGTGGGAAGCCAATGGGTTTTGCTTCTCGGTGTCCATGGCTGAGGCAGCAGAAGATATCAGTGTCGAGGGATCAATGGTCTGCGGAACACTCTACACCGTGACCGCCGGGCGACGGTGAGAGGGAACAGGCCCGCTTAATATATGGGACGTGACACAACTGGCGCAGCTGGTACCGAAGCCAGGCCTGGGGCCGCGCTTGACGCTCGCAGCTCGCAGACCAGGGCACGGCAGAGGGTAGCATCCCCGTGGGGAACCTCTCTCCTGACATCTCCGCATTTATGGCTGTGTCGGGGAAAGATGGCCGGGCTTGACCGTGGAGAAGCGGAGAGTCTCACGCGCGCCACCGCACCGGCAGGGTTTCCCAATTGGCCAACCCGAGCGAAAACTAGGGCATGCACCCCAAGGCTTGCCGGTCCCCGGTCATCCTTGTCGACTCCGTACTCTGCAATTGGATCGCTTATAGCACGTTGTAACGCGACCCCGCATAACAGGACTCGTGATTACCAAGGCATGTGAACGCAAGAGATCCTCGGGTGAGCATGCTGCGTGCCATGGAGAGACCCTGCTCAGGCCAGGGTACGAAATTACAGCTGGTTAATTCTGACAGTGTATACAAGATTAACGACGATATAATTGGATCTGGTTAATGTTCAGCCTCGCTAGTGCTCTTGTCCAGACAAGCTGGGAGTGTCAAGAGCACAGAGTTAGTTGCACTACTAATCTAATCCACGGGCTGGTTACCCCTACACTCGCCCTTGCGATTATGGCCTTCCATGCATTCGAGATGAACAGCAGCGGAGCAGCAAATAAGCAGCGGCAAAGATCCCGGTAGAGCCTACACGCTCTGCTTCGCCGACCACATATGCGCCTTCTCGGGCCTCTTATATAGCTTCGGGCACTACAGGTGTCCCGCAGATGATGCCGAGTCATGCAGCAGGCCTGGCACTTTTAGAGCTGTAGTTCAGTCTCATAAAGCTGGGCCTCCACGGGTATTGAGTGGATGGAGTTTCTAGAGACTCCGTCGTTGCGAGATCGGCTTTTCAGCCACAGTCACCTGAGCAGGCGCTGAGCAGACTGAGTAGGGCCTGAGTGGGACTGAGCACGACTGAGCAGGGCCAGAGAAACCGCTCACCACATTAGGGTTTAAGTGCAATGGAGATTGTGGTTGGGACTTCCGCCCTCTAGGCAATCATGGACCCCGAAATACTATGTTCGGTGGTTATCGGCATCGTGCAAATCAGTCTCACAGCCATTGGCCTGATTCAATATCATCTCTCGCGGAGAGCCAGAGGTAGGCGCGCACATGCCTGCATCACGTCGATTTCCTCCTTGCCGGGGCAATCGGGTTTTACAGATCTACCTGTACTGGGGCAGGCAGCCCTGCTCGACGTGCCAGGGTGGATTAGGATGGACCCATGGCTCACGGAACCCGCACCGCTTTGAAATGAGATACTGCAGACACGCAGCCCCAAGAAGTCTGGCAAATCTTCCAAAGACTGAGAAGCCCTTGATTGCCACCGCGCGTGAGATGGTGTCCGCGTTTCCCATGTTCCCCAATCATCTACTGGCAGGATCCGAACCTCGCCTCGAGTTGTCGGTTGAGCGATCCCCTCAACCCATCCCTGCACATCACTCTTTTTGCTTACTTCGTCCGCCGTAAACGGGACAGACCTCTCTTGGCTAACTGTGGGTCGCACTCCCACAAGCGACATCGAGGCACAGTACTCCGAACTGCACCTGCTTTAGCCAATCAGCATCATCCACGAAAGGCCAACCACATCCCACCAGGACGTCCTAATACCAAGCGCAACCGCAATCTTTCAAACCGAGCTGGAACGGCGGCGAATGCCGATACACTCCGCTGCACCATCCACAAACAAGCTTGCGTGTGTGGGCATGCCTGAGTGGACCACTCCACCGAGCTCAGAGTGGTTACTAGACGGAAGATCCTGGTCTTGCGCGGAGGAGTCCCTTTGATCGCACTACAGTCAGAACCCATATGTACATGCAACAGCTTTACTTCCATGCAAACACAGAGAGTCTGGATCCTCACAAAAGAGATCCTTTTCGCCCTACGTCGCCAATAAGTCAAAATGGCATCCAACAACAACAGGCACTCCGATGACGCCTTCCCGCAAGGAGTGAAGGAACGCTTCAAGAAGACCCTGTTTGCCCTGCTCGACGAGAACGGTCCCGGTAGAGCGTTTCTCATTCATAGTTATGGTGAGCTCTTCGTCGCGCATCATCTACAGAGAGATGGCTAATCTGAACCACTAGTCGTCATGGTGTACGAGAACCGTCAGCGCTTCTCCGCTTCCGCGATCCCGGGCGCCAGCACCGCCCGCGCCCGAGCCCAAACCGAATCGCACAACAGCAGCCTGTACAACTCACGCCCACTTCAGGCGGGTGGCAGATATAGATCGTACACCGAATACCTGGGTGCCCCGGCCGGTGTGATGCCCTTCAGCATCCCAAATCCGCTGTACATGGGAGCACAGCCGACATGGCGTGGCTCTCCTTCCTCGCAGGCTCCGCCCATGGCCAGCAGCCACCCTGGAGGCAGCGGCAAGCAAGCTCCAGGCCAGCAGGGTGGCAACGAAGCCACGGGTGCTCCACCCGCCCACGCCTAATGAGGGCAGCAACATGGCATCACAAGGCCGCGATTGACCAGGCTGAGGGAGGCGATCTTTGTGTACAAAGGATTGGCAGGCCTGCCTTGCAGATTGCTATGCTTTCTTTTTTTTCCTTGATTGTGTATTCAGTGCCCAGAGAGAAGCGATATCAAAGAAAGGGCAGCCAAGACCTGGGAGGTCGAGGAGGGCAGCAGAAAAGCAGAAATCCAAGCTATTGATCAATCTCGCGTCCGTGCCTTGGAACAACTGTGATGACAGCCACTGTTCTGATACTCGTGATTCTTGCTTAATTGGCTTTGGGATCTACTGAACAACTGATGAAACATGTACCAACTGCCAAATGTACCGGTCTTGTCCTTCTTCACTGGTGTGCCTCATCTCCAATGCGGCCGAAAACTGGCGCTTGAGTCAGGTCGACAAACTCTACACCTGTTCTCCACTACGTCGCCAATTGCAATCATCTGCGCTTTGATGCCGGTCCTTCGTTGGAGGTGGAACCGCTGGGGGTGCGGCCTCGCTTCAATGCGACGGGGTTTGGAGCAGTGCTCTTCTCCGCCTCCTCATACAAGCGCATGACCTCGCTTAGAGGAAGTCGGTGGTTGGTGGGGTTGATGCCGGCCGGGGCCTGCAGGCCACCAGAGTTGACCATCGACGTCTGGAGGCCTTTTCCATGCAAGGTTAGCAATGACACTGGTACAGTTGCTCGAGACTAGCGCACTCACCGGGCGTGGGCTGAAGCTGTTGGGCCGGCAAGGGCCGGCACGTAGGCAAACCTCCCTGGCCTGGGGCAGCCTGATGGATCATTGGCTGCTGTTGGGCTGGAAAACCCTGGAATATGAAGACGGGTTGGAAGGAAAAGGGCTGCTGGCTGGGAAAACCTTGGTTGCCCAGGTTCTGGTAGGCTGGAAACGGTTGCTGGGGCTGGAGCTGCTGCAGGAGTTGGTGATAGCCGTGCAGCTGAGCCTGGGCTTGGAGCTGGGCCTGGGCGTGCTGTTGGGCTTGCTGATCTTGCTGGGCCTGAGCGTGCTGCTGGGCTTGGACTTGCTGCTCTGCCTGCACTTGGCCCTGGGATTGTGCTTGCTGCTGCGTCTGCTGGGCCTGCTGCTGGGTCTGGGGCTGAGCGTTCTGCTTGCTCGCCTTCCACTCGAGCAGAACTGTTCCCTGTCAGTGTCGAGCAGACTCGGGCGTGGACTCGCGAACATACGTTCTCCCAGCAAGGCAGCACCCTCTTCGGGGCCTTTGAGGTTGACGTACTGGTTCGCCGCATTGAAGAATTCCACCTGTGAATTGAGCCTATCTGTTAGACCTCACCATGCTCTCACGCCGGTCTGGAACGGGATGTGAACATGCCATATTCTTCTCGGAGGCCTCGGGGACCGATTGCTCGAGTGAGCGCTTCATGGCCTGCGAGAAGCGGCGCGAGTGGGACGGACGAGAAGGCATGGCGGGCAGGATGAAGTAATGTAGTCGTGTGAAAGGTTGTGGTTTGTTATGATGTTGCGACTTAAGACGGTGTATGGTTGTCGGGATCTTGGCTGCAAGAGTAAGAAGTGCAGGTGGATTGCAGACCTTCACTCGCAGAAGGTGGGACAGGTTTTTGACAAATAGTGCAGAGGCAAGGAGCGACGCCATTAGTGGTTCATTTGCCAGGCGGTAATGGTCGGGCGAAGCGAATCGAGACTACGCTGAGCACATGCTATCTGATCATCTTCCATTTTGGCACTCAACATCATGTCTACACTTGATGAATAAACTTCAGAAAGTATGCTTATCATTAGCTAACTCAAATAAATTAAACCATATTTTACTCAAGCACAAGAGAACCGCCATTGTGTGCAAGGTTTGTTCTACCGTGGAGGCGAAGCGAGCAGCGGCCATGAATGCTGGGGATCCAGGAAGCTCGAGCTGCCTGGGCCTTGCTTGACGGCATCGCCGCAAAAGAGATGGCAGAGGGGCAGATTCCAGGACGGCAGCCATCGACAGGACACACATTGCTCCTGCATTCATTGTTCTTCCGGCCGCTGCCTGGACCGGTGCCGCACAAACACCGCACCACCAAGCAGCGCGCAACCTCCGCTGTCCTGACAAGAGGCCGTTCTTGCCAGCGTCACGCTTTCAGGTCTCCCACGTCAACCACTTGGCTCTCCCACATCTCTCTTGATTCCTTCTGCTTCCACAGCAAGCGCATTTGACACCCGTACGGCACCTGCACACGAGATGCCCTCATAATTCTGCATTTTCTCCTTTGCAGCCTACACCATCCCCACACAACTCTGGTAAAACAATCCTGTCGCCTGCGTCACGCGTTCAGCTCGCCCACCACATTCCCCTGCCACACGTCTCTTCATCTCTTCCTGCTGTTATAGCACTATAACAGCAAGCGTCTTCAGCATCAGCTTTCAAGATACCCTCATTTCGGCGACGAGATTCTGCACCATCATCTTACCCGACCTCACCATTCTCTCACACCAATCACACCAGAGTTCACACCCCAGCAACAGCCTGCACGATGGCGTCAAGCAACCGCCTGAACCCCACAGCGGCTGCGTTTATCCCTGCCAAGCCTGCCGAGTCGAAATGGCCACACGACGACATCCTGGACAGCCCAGTTGGCGACTCTCCAGGATCTCGCCACAGCGCAGCCAGTCAAAGGTCAAGCCCCAAGCCTAAAGACTCTTGGTGGGCGGCAGCTGCTTTACTCCGGCCCCCTGGAGGACAGACCTCACAGGATGCCAGCCTCGAAGGCGTGGTGGAGCCACCGGATGATGCGAAAACGGGTCAGGTCCTCGCTGCACAGTCTCGCACAAACATAGGCAGGTTGTCTGGCAATGAATCGCTCAACGCCAGTTGCCTGGTCTTCGTTGATGGCAAGATGTGTGTTCCCTACTCCAGCAAGTACATTGCGGCCTTGGGAAACCCCAAGGGTGCAGGTGGCTATCGCACAACCGTGGCCTGCAAATGGGGCAAGCTGATGCCAGCCACAATCGATCTCACCCATTCCTTCGTACGCCAGCAGGACTCCTCTTTCAGATATGCCTCCACGGTCATTCCCCTCCTGAATTTCGTCAAGGCACCCACCATCGAGCAGAACGAAGACGACCGCATCGTCCCATATGGCGGACCCAGGAAGTACACTCGCGTCTCATTCCAGGTCGGCGCCAACTTCACCCATACAGTCAAGCGCGATGTTCTCGCCGCCCTCAAGGCAAAGGGTGTCGACGTGGATGACATCGAAGCATGTCTCGGTCAGCACTTCTCCGCAACCAGCCTGCCCAAGTGCATCGACATCATTCTCTGTCCCGAGTTCGTCCTCACGCAAAGCTTCCTCGAGGGCTTCGAAGCAGTCTGGAACCACGCTCGCGATGACTCGGTCCTGGATCCCATCTTTCAAGCCTCGCCCCAAGCTCTGGAGTTGAACCTCGTCGACGCCAAGCGACTCCAAGAATTCGGTATCACCGAGCAGGAACCCATACAAAAGCTGTACTGGTCGAACAAGTCCGCGGTCACGGCGAGAGCCTATCAGTCACTGTATGCTCATTGGTACGAGACCGACGCGGCCAAACTCCTTGCCTCGGAGCCCGTTCGCGGCTACTGGATCCCCAAGCAGAGCACCATGGTTGGAAGCCATCCATCTGAGTACATCGTCGTCCTCACCGACTGCAAGCACCTCGAGGCCGTTCCACGTCCGGGTGCACACATCAAGGTCTGCATCAAAGGCGTTGAGCTTCCTCCCCTCCCCGCAGATTCAGACATCACTGCGGAGAACAAGGTTGCCATGCTTCTCAAAGCTATCAGCAAGGCTTATCTCGAAGGCAAGGATTTTGGCGATCCCCAGACATGCGTGATCGATCGGCTCATGTCTCTCCTCCCCGGCAACGGCACTGACCCCGTTGTGGGTGAGGCCATTGAGTTGTGGGAGACCGTCTTCTCCCGCCGCACTGTCGATGGCGAAGTGGACCCAGACTTGAATTACGATTTCGACTCCCACTCCCATTTCGACAATGGCAATGTCACCTGGGAGGATCCGCATGTCCAATACGAGCGCTGGCAAACGTTCTTCGCTGATGGCGGCCATGAACGCTTCAAGGTCCCAGACCCTGTCGTGACTGACGAGACGGAGATTTCGTGCTGCGGTAAGATCATTGACGCTTCGTCCGAGTTCAGCGAACTTGGAGAGGTCGTCATTGTGGTCACAATGCCTGCTCACGGCGACTGGCCTGGCGACAACCCCCCCGGGTACCGCATCAAGAATCTGCTCCGCCCTGAGCACCTGCAACCCACGACACAAGGCCTCATCCACCAGTATCGCAAAGGTGGCGACAAGTACAAGTACACCATCCGACGCCTGGATTCCGAAAGTGACTCTCAGACCACAAACGCTGAGCTGCAGGCTGTCGCAGCGTTCAACCTCAACCAACGCCGCGTGGGCCTCCACCTGAAGAGCAAAGCCTTCATCCGTCTTTCCCAGTATCTGCTAAGATACGACGGCAACCCAGACATCCACCATGTCCAGGGTGCTTTTCCAGTCTTTGGCCAGATGCGCGAGCTCATCATGATGTCGCTTGCCGGCGTGCCTGGCGGTGAGCTACATATTCCAGATGATCTCGGGCGCGTCTGGGAACAGCTCATGAAACTCGACCGCTCTCAGCGTCAGGCCATCGTCGACTTCGCCGACCGTCCTCATGGCTTCCACACAATCATCGGGGGTCCAGGCTCGGGCAAGACCTGGGTGGCGTTGATCATCCTCGCTTTGCTCCAGCTGTCCCCAGTCAACACCCAGCAGCTGGACAAGTTCATAACCGTCACTGACCCTGGTGCATTGGGCCAGGAAACGGAGCTCCAGCCTGAGGCCACCAATGGGGCTCAACCACTGGTGGCAGCACCAAGGCCTGTCAAGGTCTTCGTCTGTGGTATATCCAATGCCCAGTGCGACCAGGCCGCTCGCGACCTGGCCAAGGTCTACTCTCTCTTCGGCTTCGATGGTCAGGTCGGTCGCCTGCACACCATGACGCGCGAGATGAGCGACATGCGTGCCAAGGACAAGGTTCCCACTACTCGGCAGTACGACGACTTCTCAATTGAAGACTTCATGCAGGCAGAGCGTACCCTACTAGAGATTTCAGAGTCTTGCAAGCCCAACCAGGACGCACGACGGGCTGCCATGGGTCACGCCCGCGACGTCAGCGACATCGCCTGGAGCATCGTCATGGACAACAAGGACGGGCATTTTGATGATGTGATCAGACTACAAGGCCTCCGTTCAACCGACCCAATGGAATTCAAGGAAAGTCGTGCTGTCTGGCTGAAGGGCCTCCAGGATGCCTTCCATCAAGCCCTGGACAGATGCACAGCGCTCGTTGGTACCTCGGTCGCGGCGTTGACACTCAGCCGCCGCACATCATGGCGCGCGCAATGCCTCCTCCACGATGAAGCTGGTCGGTTCACTCAGGCCCAGGCCCTCATCTTGTGGGCGGCGTTCCCCGAGGCAATCGCCCGCTTGAGCGCCGGCGACCCAGCACAATGCAAGGCGTACGCGCCCACCGTCAACTCGCACATGTTCAGGAGCGCAGGCAAGCCCGGGTTCCTGTCACCTTTTGGAGCCTACTCCCACGTCTCGGAGATCGACCGCCAAATTGCGTCGCCGTCCTTCACCGTCTCCCACCTCGCCAACAACTGGCGCCAACACTTTGGCTTGGGTGTCTTCTCGTCTCAAAACTTCTACGACGACGGCAATCGCCAAGGCCACCACAGGGCACCCAAGCATGCTCGACGAATCCGCGAGTTCGTGCAAAAGCTGACGGGCAACCCGGACACTTCTGGCGCCCGCGTCATGTACGACATGAAGGGCAGCCTCCAAGGCGAGCAAATGACCAGCACAAGCTACAAGAACACGGCCCAGTGTGCGTACGCGGCACACGTCATTGTCCAGCTCCACAACAGCGGCATCACAGTCAAGGGCCACGTGCCGCACGTGCTCGTCATGGCACCATACTCTGCACAGGTCGACGAGATGAACAGGCAGCTCCACCGCCTGTCTCCCTCAGAGTACTGCGCACAGGCTGTCGACGTCCGCACCATTCCCGACAGCATGTCCGAGGCGGCCGACCTCGCCATCGTCCTCTGGACGCGCACAAACTCTACCGGCTTCACCAACCAGGCCGACATCGTCAACGTGGCGACCACACGCGGCCGCTACGCCGAGATCCACGTCATCGACTCGAGCATCTTCTATCGGGGCTTCGGCCGCGATGACCACGTCAACAGGCGCGCGTACCTGCACCGGTTGTACATTCAGTGTCAGGAACAAAAGGCGTGCTTCTTTGGCGGGGAGAGGGAGTGGATGCTGTGTCGCCGCTGCTTCAAGCCCGAGCACCGTTACTGTGGCGCGTTCGGCTGCCAACACTGCCGTACTGTCGGGCACCACCTCCGCAACTGCCACCGAAAGGATCAGCACAAGCCACTGCCGTACGTCGTCGCTCAGGCCAACGAGCCCACAGCCCCGGGCAAGGCTGAGGAGGAGGATCTCATGTGGTGGTAGCCGAGATGTAGCCTATCAGACCTGGTAGTCCGAGAAAGTCGAGTTTTGATGCCTAGTTCAATGGCAATATCTGAGTGTGCGACACCGCTGCGCCATGCTGGCCCCAGTGACGGGGCTTTTTGGTCCTCAATAATGGAAGTCGAGCTGGGGAAAACAGGAGGGTGGAAATGCTGTTCAGGCCTGGGCGCGTAGATAGATGACAACACTTGAATTGACAGGTCTTGGAATTGACATATCTGGTCCTTTCTCGTCTGATGAAGGGTGATTACTAGTGCAGAGGGCTAGAGGTCTAGAGGCACAGAGTCACTTGTTTGACTCGCCACCTAGAGGCCGAGGTTGTGCTGTACCACTGCACCTCTGCACCTCTGCACCTCTGCACATCAGAAACACACACTAAGCCCTGCATGATTGAAATGCAGACAATCAATCCACACTGTAACTCTGCGTGGCTCCGTTGCAGTCATCCTGGAGACCGTTGATGAGATGCGAAGGGCCATGTTGAGGCCGGACCGTCAGAATGTTGCCGTCAGAAGGTGAAAAATAACGCAGTGATCAGCCCAAGTCCACGGCAGAAGACATTGCCATACGCCAAGCTTATATATTGGTGTTTGCGTCAGCATTACAACGACCTCAAGGCGCTTTCGTGCACTTGCCTGCGACAAGAGTGTCGCAGAGCAGTCCATGTAGAGGCAACTTCTGGCAGCATAATATAGACTACTCGCCTTTAAAGAAAGATCTGGACCTCTGAGCAAACGGCATGTGTATGGTGTTTGGCTGAGCTGACACTGCCACGACATGAATCGCTAGGAAAGAAAATATGCCTTTCCAAGCCGCAACTTCAGGTCCGGGTCCGGCTGATTCCGACGGAAAGTAAAGTGGCACCAGGACCCCATCGGGCGGGCTAGCCGAGGAGTGAGACCCGCTTGCAACGTGCCTCGCTTGCCATGAATCAGCGGCGGCGGCAACAATTCCGGGGCCTGAAGGCGCTAAGCGAAAGCCATGAAGAATCTGCGTCCGCGCCCGGATATCTCGGAATCGCCTGCTGTCACCTTTATTGGAGGCAACAAGTCCCATGTTAAAGACCCGGAGCCAGCCAGACCAGACAGCCCTTTTTTTGCCGACTATTCTGGCCATCGTATGTCCCACCAGTGTCAGGCCCTGGGCGAGGCCCTGCAGGGAATGGTCCCCGAGGCCCAGTTCGTGTTACGTACTAGGCCTCCCTAGCGCTGCCATGCTAGAGCGGTTTAGGCGCAACTCCCCGTTGTAATCAGATCAGATTGGGGGCCATGATCTTATCTGATTTCGGGCTTGTCCTCGGGCGGCAAAGGGTTTTTTTTTCCCCTGGCCTTTTTCGCCGTCCGTTGCGTCTACCCACATTGAGGATGGGCCGACAGCGGCCACGCGTCCCCGCCCGCGTGCGTATATCTAGTTGCTGATCGCCCTGCGTTCCCTGTGACAGCGGACTGCTATTGAATTTGTTCTTTTGTAGCGTGCAGAACCCCTTTCCACTGAGATCACCAGGTCAGTCAGGGACCATGGCGACCACCACCACCACCTCTACCGCTCCTGAGCTCGTCTCCAACAAGGAGGCTGCTGGCGTCGCCGCAGCCCCTTCGCGCGCATCCGAGAGCAGCGATGACAGCCATGCCAAGGTCAGCTACAAGTCGCCTGGTGTCATCCGCGTCGAGGCCCTCACCTCGGTCATGACGACGGTGGACCGCTGGTTCGTCTTCTTCAGCGTCTTCCTCGTCGCCTACGCCTACGGCCTCGACGGCACGCTGCGCTACACGTACCAGAACTACGCCACAGCCGAGTTTGAAGACCACTCGCTGCTCTCGTCGGTCAACGTCCTGCGCGCCGTCATCGCCGCCGCAGCGCAGCCCACCGCGGGCAAGATCGCCGACGTCTTTGGTCGCGTTGAGCTTGTGTGCATCTCAGTGGTCTTCTACATTGTTGGCACCATCGTTCAGACCGTGGCCACCGACATTCAGACGTTCGCAGGTGGTGCTGTCATCTATCAGGTCGGCTACACCATGGTGATCCTGCTCGTCGAGGTCATTATTGCCGACATTACATCCACTCGCGCCCGTCTACTGTTCAGCTATATCCCCGCTCTGCCCTTCATCATCAACACTTGGGTGAGCGGCGATATTGCTACGGCCGTCCTTGCCGGGACCACCTGGCGCTGGGGCATCGGTATGTGGTGCATCATCTACACCGCCTGCGCTCTGCCCCTGATCATCACGCTCTCTATCATTGGCCGCCGTGCTCGCAAGGCTGGCAAGCTGGACGGCTATCGCTCGCTGTACTCGCAGCTCGGCCTGCAGGGCCTCGTCGTCGACCTCTTCTGGCGCCTCGACATCATCGGCATCATCCTCATGATCGCCGTATTCGCCCTGATCCTCGTCCCTCTCACCATCGCCGGCGGCTTCGAGGCCTCGTGGTCGTCGCCTCAGGTCGTCGCTCCGCTCGTTATTGGTGTCGTCTGCATACCGGTCTTCGTCATCTGGGAGATGAAGGCTAAACACCCGCTCGTGCCCTTTGCCCTCATGCACGACCGCGCCGTCTGGGCCCCGATGGGCATCGCCCTGCTCCTCAATTTTGCTTGGTATATGCAGGGAGACTACCTCTACACGATGCTGATCGTGGCCTTCGATTTTAGCATCACCGCCGCCACCCGCGTCTCCTCACTGTACTCGTTCGTCAGCGTCATCACAGGTTTCATCCTGGGCTTCATCGTGTTCCGCGTTCGCCGGCTCAAGGTCTTCATCGTCGCCGGCACGGCCCTGTTCATGGTAGCCTTCGGTCTGCTGATCCACTACCGGGGCGACCCCAACCCGTCGGGCCAGGCGGGCGTGATCGGCGCCGAGGTCCTCCTGGGCATCGCGGGCGGCATGTTCCCCTACCCAGCACAAGCCAGTCTGCAGGTCGGCCTCAAGCACGAGAACCTCGCCGTCATGACGGGCCTGTACCTCGCCACGTACAACATCGGCTCCGCGCTGGGCAACGCCGTCTCGGGCGCCATCTGGACCCAGGTCCTGCCCGGCGCGCTGAGCTACGAGCTGAGCCTGGTCACGAGCAATGCCACGCTCGCCGTCACTACTTTCGGCGACCCGTTCACCGCCGTGGCCATGTTCCCCGTCGGCACGCCCGAGCGCGGCGCCATCATCGCCGCGTACCAGGGCACGCAGAAGCTGCTGTGCATCGCGGGCATCTGCCTGTGTATCCCGCTCATCGGGTTCGCCGCGGCGCTGCGCAACCCGCGGCTGTCGGACGAGCAGAACCTGAGCGGCGAGGGTGGCGACGAGAAGGACCGGGCGCCGGCTGCTGCTGCTGCTGCTGCTGGCGGCGTTAGTGCCTAGACGAGTGTAAAGGGGTGACGCGAGATTTGCAGAGGGCATGCTGTATTCCTATTATGCTTGGAGGAGTCGAAGTCAAGAGTAGGCGAAAAAGTTTAGAGCTTGTATTAGCTACATAATGATAATGTAACATTCGTCAATCAGCATTGTTTCCATCTGGTCGACACGTGACCTACCTTCCAGAACTGTCTTTCCCTCAAATTCGGATAGCAAGGCACCTGGCGAGTTCCCTAGCCGTCATATCATGTTGTTAGACACTGCAGCTGGCGTCAGAAGCCTGAGACCGAGCTGCTTCGGCTTATGCGACAATGAGACGACAAGAGAGGGGAGAGGGAAGCTTGCATCCGCGCCGCGGCAACCTGTGTGCTCGAGGGACGAGTGCTGCCCATCGAGAAGCGAGGTCAGAGCTCTCAAGCTTGGTTCGAGGTCCCTCTTGAGTTTTTCAACTATATCCAGAATCGTGCATAAATCCAGAATCGTGCATAACATCACGTCACTCAGAATCAGCCCGGCTAGCATTCAGCGCCTAGTCACCCTGTTCCAACGAGGCAACATGTCCTTCTCAGCCGATAGCTGAACGCGAACAGAGCATCTTCGACCGTCCAAGAGTTACAAAACATGACTAAAGTAGCTCTGTTAAACAAGGAACATCTATGCTCTATTTGGACCCGTTTCTCATACATCAAATCCCCCAGCAACCATTTCTCATCGTCGCTACCTGCTCCATGCTCATTATTCGGACTCCAGGACAGTGTTGAACTCATACATGTCCTTGAGGGCAACCGACTCCTTGCCCTCCTCCCGGTCAGTGCTCAGGCTCAGCTTCTCCCACCGCTGGACGAGCTGAAGCTGTTCCTCACATCGCTGCTTGGCCGAGCCCATTCCATCCGATCCCAGCGCCACCCGGACCGCCCACGGCAGCCCGGCAGCCAGCCCCTCGCGCGTGACGACATCCACAATACGCCGAGAGGCCTTTTGCACGTCTCCCGGCATGTGATCCATGGGGTTTGTGACAAACTTGCCCACCAGCTTCCCGAACAGGGGTTCATACGCCTGAACGGCAGGCCCGCCGGTGCCGAAGCTTTGCTGGGATGTGTCACGAGGCTGGCCCAGGCTCGTGGGGAATCCGCCGCACTCGATGGCAACACAGCGGATGCCGAGCGGGCGGAGCTCCTTGTCCAGTGCCTCGACGTAGGCGCTGAGGCCAGCCTTGGACGCGGCGTAGTGCGACATGAAGGGCAGGGGCGCCCAGAGGATGCTGGAAGAAGTGAAAGCCAGAGTGCCGTGGCCTTGTGCTCGGAAAAAGGGCAGGATGGCCTGGGTGATGCGCATCTGGCCGAAGAGGTTGACCTGGAACATGGTATTGATGAAGTCCTCGCTGATTCGCATGTCAGCCTTTAGCTCCGGGCACGGGTATATATATATGCCACAAAGTGTGCCAGCTCCAAATTGATTGCGGACGTACCTGGCCTCCTCGGCACTCTTCATCGCCGACATGCCGGCATTGTTCATGACGACATCGATGTGCCCAAAGATTGATGTAGCGTCTTTGAGCTTTGCTGCAATGTCCTCCACACTCGCCGTGATATCAAGCTCCAGCAGCGCAATGTTGTCCGATTTGATGCTTCCAAGACGCTCCTCGACCTTGCGGCCAGAGGCAATGACTTTATCGCCGCGAGAGACGATCTCCTGGACCAGAGCGGCGCCAATGCCTGAAGTCGCTCCAGTAACAAGCCAAACACGAGGAGCCATTGTAAATTGATGATAGAGATGATCCGAGTAGGATAATGAGGTGTTGTTACTTGTTCAAAGATGTGAGTGAAGTTGAGTGGTGATGATGAATTCGAGAAAGACCATTCTGTACGAGAGCAAGAAGCCATTTTGTACTTTGATCGCTGCTCACACTACTAGCTTACACCGGCCGGGCCATGACGAGTTCCACAGTGCTTGCGATATCTAGTGGCTGGCGGTTACGACGTTTCCGCCCGTTCGGACGGAGTTTATGCAAGGGATACGGACAAAGAGTCGAATGCCGGATCTACCCCCATACTACAAGACCCTGGACACTTCTGATTGGATGGATGGAGCTGATTCAGCAGCTCGTCTCCACCAGCCCATTCATTGTAAGGGCCAGGAAAGAGGGGTCATAAGATGCTGGGGATGTTTTATTCGTCCGTCTCGTCCGCCTCGTCCGCCCCGTCCGCTCGTCCGCTCGTCCATATCCGCAGTTCGTAAACAGTCGACCACTGATGGACGGTCTGACCCTCCCGGTAACGCAGGCACGCAGGCACGCCCTAGATTGAAGGCGTGGAACGCCATGATTCCGCGATTCCCAGCCACAGAGCCTGCCGCCCACCCCCCGCAGCCAGTGAAGCGCATGCGGAGGGGGACACGCAGCTGTAGGGAATGTATGTCGTCACGCCTGCGCTCTAGGTTGGTCCTGGGCTACCGCACCGGGGCTGCCTGATCCACGTCCCGTCTGACTCGTCATAGGTCGCCAGCGCAAGATCCGGTGCACTTTTGCACCCGGCGCACAAGTATGTGGCCCCTGTAGCATTCGCGGAACGACGTGCCTAGAGCAAGGGACGAGTGGTTCCTCTCCACTGAGCGAGGCCAGAGAACAACGAGGCCAGTCTCAACATTGCCAACAAACTCGCCACGAAACCCACAATGCCGAAATGGAACTAGAAAGAGACGACGAAGACAGATCAGCCGACCTGCGAGTGTTGTCCACAGGACTGAGCCAGCAGCCTCCATTTTTGGCAGCCATCAGCTTCAGCGAGGTGCGTGAGGCGGCTGGCGTAGCTCTAATAGCATCTCTATGCGACTGTGCGACTGACATTGTGCTATCAGCCGAGCGTAGCGGAGACATCGACACCAATGTCGGGACCACTTGGAAGTTCTGCCAGCAACACGCCGTTCTCGTCGGCGAGGGTTGAGAATGGCCGTGAGCGCGCCGCCAGAGCCTGCAAAGTTCTACGGTCAAATCTGCCGAGCTACGATGACCTCCTCACTGTCCTCGAAGGTGGCGCGAATTGGTGGAACAGCTTCCGCCGGAAAACACAGATAATCTCGCAGGCGCATCCGATCGAGTCGCTGACGGCGTTTGCCGCGCGTGCCTACACCAGCAGCACTCCTGCGGAGGTGGGCACCCTTGCTGTCGCGTACGCACGCAGCACCGGTTCAAACACTCGCCTCTACAGCCTCGTTGACGATGTGATACTGTCCGATTTCAGACTCGCGGCGACGCTGGCGGGCCTCGAGTGTCTAGTTCTTGTTGCCAAAACATATACCGACATCGGGCAGCCTCGACGGGCTTGGCTGACCTGGAGGAAAGGAATGATGATGGCTCAGATTATGGTAGGCTAGAGGCAGCATCAAAGCGCACTGTTCGAGCTAACCTCCTCCCCTGTGGTCAGGGCATATACAGGCAGAGTCCTGAGAAAGCTACACCCTTTCAACGAATATGGTGGGCCATATATCATGGTGACCGTTTCACGAGCTTGCTCTTAGGATTGCCTTCAGGCTTTAGCGACACATTTTACGAATCTGAAGTTCCGACCTTGCCAACAGCCACAGACGATGAGAACGTGTGGGTTGGTCAGTTTGTACACCAATGCGCCATTGAAGCGGGAAAGGTCATCGACAGAAACATCCGCCAAGGCGCTTTTGTTGCCGATACTCGAGTTCTGTCAGCGAGAGTTGCCAAGCTGAAATCTCTAGCGCCCGAAGCATGGTGGAATCTACCCACACGCCTCCCATCTGCCGGCCCGGAGCTTGACCAGCTGGTCGACCGACTACTTATTCAGTTCTTCTTCTACCACATCGAAATGTACACACACCTCCCCAATATGGCGGCGAATAAGGGAGGTCACCTGAGGATGCCTGATGTCGGCGGGCACAGTTGTGCACCGGCAGCGCGAGAACTGCTCCGCCGGTTCCTGCTTCTCCGGAGCCGGGTTCATGGTGTCTATTTGTTCGACTGCAAGACCTCCGACTTTGTTGGCTTCACTGCAGCTGTCGTTCTTCTCTTGGCTAACTCTGCGCAGCCCAGTCGTAGCTCGACAGAAGACGCGGGGTTGATAGGGGAAGCGGTCACAGTTTTCCGGCAGTTGGAGGGTGCCATGGGGTGTACCATCGCTGGTCAATGCCACAGAGCGTTGCAGGTGCTCTCATCATGGAGCAACGGGGGTCAACAGCACGACAGCACAGCAGAGGAGAGCATCCAAATTCCCTACTTTGGCAAAATTGTGCGGAGGCCGTCGGCTAGGCCCGCTTCGATATCTTTGCCCGCTAGTGCCTACGAGTTCCTGGAAGCGGACCCGGAGCCTTGCAATCTGGAGTTCCTTGCATATGGATCTCCGGAGGTGGACCTCTTCAGCTCTACTGAACAGGAAGAAGCGATGGACGGCTCATCTACCTATGGTGCATCCTTCTGGATGGACCCAGCATTGTTGGATATTGGTCAGGATTGGACTTTGTTCCCCAGCCCGCACGAATTTTAAACCTTTCTGGCACATCGCATAGTGCAAGCATACTCATACGACCAGCTTTGCTTTTTGCAATTTTCGAGATTTTGTGGCCTTGACTTCGTTTGATTCGTGAAGATGCAAGTTACAACCACAAGATCGTGACACAGAAAGGCTAGGGACAGATACTTCATGCTTATTGAGAAAACCCACGTTCTTTGCGGATTGAGCAAATGAGTGCTCTCATGAACTTAAGTGAATTCGAACGAATCAAGGCTCATAAGTAGTCCGCTACCAGCTCGGTAGAGCCATATTTGGCTGTGCTAAAAGTGAGGCCGAGCTGCTTCGGCTTAGGCGACGATGAGGCGATAAGTGGGAGAAGGAAGCGTGCATCCGCGCAGTGGCATCCCACGTGCTCGAAGGGTAAGTGCTGCACAGCAGAGAATAGAGATTGGAGCTCGCGTACTTGGTAGTATTACAGCTTTTCGAAAATTCGCATTACCTGCTTTGTTCGTGCTTGCCCACCTGCCTCGTTCGTTTGGCCATCTGGTTCGGCAAGGGACAGGCCCATGCGAATCAGACACTATTGCAAAGTGCCACAGTGACGTCAAGAATAAGTTCTGAGACAGCCCATGTACTCGTCGTTGAAGCGAATACTGTGTCTCGACGTGCCATGCCGTGTCTCACCAGTGCGACGCCACTTCGGCCAACCTTTTAGGCCACGCACAGCCAAGCACATCGCGACATTGCCCCTCCACAACGCCCGCCCATGTCACCGTAGCATCATGTCGGCCATCGGATATGCCACGCGCAGGTCCGGAGACATGTGACTGATTGCGAATTGAGGAGAGCCCCTTCCCCCCGGGAAACTCCCTCCACCATTCGGCAACCTCGGCCCCTGATCCTTTAGAGCAGGGGCCAAGAGGAGATCAGATCGCCCTAACCTGCTCTCAGAGACTGCAGGAAAATAGATGATCAAACCGCCCCGTGATTGAATGGCGAATGAATTACATGCATCGACAGACAATAAATTGCCTCTGCCTGGTTCATCCCATCTTTCCGCCCCTCCCTCAATTTTTTGACACAAAGCTTCGCCCACGCGAACCTTGTCTCAGCTAAATGACGGCACAAATGACAAAGCCGTGGCGCCGCCGACCCGCAAAAACCATGCGCACACAATATCAATCCAGTCCTGATATCCCACACGCTGCTGCCGCCGTCCCGCCAGCCAAGGCCCGCCGATCCGGTGATGTCCGCCTCGGCCCACATGCCACATGCACGTCAAGCGCGTTTTTTTGGTGTTTGCGCGATGGGGGATCCAGGGGCCCCCAAGTCGGCTTGCACGTTAAGTGCCGGACGGAGCAGGGCACGACGCCCGCCTGACGTGACTGACGCGTGGCGTGGAATGGCGGGCCACGACTTGCTAGGGTATTGGTAGGAGCAGGAGCCCTGGAAGGGGAATCGGGACGGAAGCCATCGTTTCGTTTCTCATGCATGCACGTGCCTTGCATTAGGCAAGAGGGTGAGGGGCCAGGTAAGAGAGAGGGACAAACCAAACAAAACATCACTTACAAAGGCACGTATATGGGGGTTGCAGGGGCAGGGAAGTGGGGAGGGGGAAAAGGAACGAAAGGCCCGATCGATTTCGCGGACGGCGGTCCATCTAGTCCGCTTCGAGCAGCACGGCCCGCGTGCCTCCGTGATGTCCGGGGGTGTAGTGGGACGCTGGCGGCCGGCACATATAGTGCTTTTGTGTGGGGACCAGGGCGACTACGACGCTCCGATGCCACGCGGGCGGCGAGCCGCCGCGGTGCCCAGAAGCGGCAAGGCCACGGCTCTATCTGGCCATTGGGTTTCTTCCAGGGAGGCGGGATCGACAATGTCCACCGATGTCATGGGTTGGAGGCAGGACAAGTATAAGTGCCGGATGCCCAGGCTTTGCAGAGGGAACTCGAGATTGTCCTCGCCAGGCCTCTCAACTGCTTTCCGTCCTCACTCCAGACAGACTTAGCAAGTAGTCAGTCACGAATCAGCACCATGCTGCAGAACCTCCTCCCCTTCATCGCCCTCTTGGGTACCGCGTCTGCTCAGGCCGCAGCCTGGCAGCAGTGTGGTGGCCAGGACTGGACGGGAGCCAAGACCTGTGTCTCTGGCTACAGCTGTGTCGCCGTCAACCAGTGGTACTCACAGTGCCAGCCTGGCGGCACTGGTGGTGGCGGCGGTGGCAATGGAGGCGGTAACGGCGGCGGCTCGGGCAAGTTTACCTTTATCGGCGCCAACGAGGCCGGAGCCGAGTTCGGCACTGCGTATCCCGGTGTAGAGGGCAAGGACTTTACCTTCCCTCTCCTGAGCACCATTTCTGTAAGTAGAGAGACCCTGGCTGAACACGCTGTCTCGCAAAAGGTCATGCGCAGGGACACCCAACTTACACGGCCACACTACACGCAGACACTCAGGTCGCAGGGCTACAACACGTTCCGTGTCCCCTTCGCCATGGAGCGCCTCTCCCCCGCGAGCGTCGGCGGCGCCTTCTCGGCTCCGTACCTCGCCAACCTGACGGCCGTGATCAACGGCATCACGTCGGCCGGCAGCTTCGCGATCCTCGACCCGCACAACTACGGCCGCTACAACGGGGCCATCATCACCGACACGGCCGCGTTCGGCACCTTCTGGCGCAACCTCGCGACCCAGTTCAAGTCCAACTCCAAGGTCATCTTTGACACCAACAACGAGTACCACGACATGGACCAGACGCTCGTCTTCAACCTCAACCAGGCCGCCATCACCAACATCCGCGCCGCGGGCGCCACCTCGCAGTACATCTTTGCCGAGGGCAACTCGTGGTCCGGCGCCTGGCACTGGGCCGAGACCAACGACAACCTCAAGGGCCTGACCGACCCCAACAACAAGCTCGTCTACGAGATGCACCAGTACCTCGACACGGACGGCTCCGGCACCTCGACGGCCTGCGTCTCTGGCACCATCGGCGCCGAGCGCCTCGCCACGGCCACCACCTGGCTGCGCAACAACAAGAAGGTCGGCGTGATCGGCGAGTTCGCCGGCGGCGCCAACGACAACTGCAAGGCCGCCGTCAAGTCCCTGCTCGACCACGTCAAGGCCAACAGCGACGTCTGGCTCGGCGCCATCTGGTGGGCCGCCGGCCCCTGGTGGGGTGACTACATCTACAACTTTGAGCCGACGGCCGGCGTTGGCTACACTGCGTACAACTCGCTGCTCAAGTCGTATGCTTGAAGGGGGTGACTTCGGAACTGATTGACGCCTGACGCGGGTTACAAGGAGGTTGCTGCAGGCTCATATGCTGCGGTGACGTGGGTGGAGAAAGCTAGGCGGGAAAATATACGGTGTCAGAAGTACATTTACTTTGTCGCTTTCGTTGTGCATAGTTTAACTATACATTTTTGCCCAGGACAAGCCATGACCTATACATAAATCTCACAACATTCTTCACGCTCCTGAATTATGCCGCCTGCAGTGAAGACCCGAACCGGGTAGCCTGTGCCTACTATGGCGAACACATGTCGACCTCCCGATCACGACAAAACAATTGTAAAACTCCTACCAACCAGTCCCGTGGACAAACGAGATTGTCTACCAAGCTCCATCAGGCAGTGAGACTGAGCAGCACCGCGGTGCCCAGCCTCCCAATCGTCGTCCCTCCGCCCGAGGAGTGCATCCGCGCGCGCCTCTCGATCTCAATGACCGCCGACGCGAGGACCTCCTGGACCTGCCCCTCGTCCATGGTGGCACCTTGCACCTCGTTTATCTCGAACTGCCCATCGGTGAACTTCCAGGTATGCTGGCCAAGGATCTTCTGCGGTTTCTGCTCCTTATTCGCCCCGCCGCCCTGCTTCTCGTCACTCAATTCCTGGTCGTCGCTGGCATTACTACCATGGCCACCGCCGCCGCCGCCGTCGCCGGCAGCTACCCCGGCAATCTCTTTCCTGAGTACACGACAGAGCACCTTACTCCGATCGAGCTCCCCGTCCTGCTTCACAGTATACAAACACAAGACGTTCCTCAACCCACCGCCTCCCGCACCCACCTCTCGGCCGCCCTTATCACCATATCCCTCCTCCTTGACCACCGCCGTACCACCAGCACGCGCAAAACTAGCAGAAGCCGCCTGCACGTCAGACCTCCAATCGAGCTTCCCTCCCAGGCCCGTGGCCGAGACGAACTGCCGGTCCATCGCGTACTTGTGGCTGTTGAGCACGACGTCGGACCGCAGCGACAGGGTCTCGTGGCATTTCACCGTGCCGATGATGTTGGATGCCGTGCTGGCCCCGCGGTCGTTCTGGCTGGTCCTGTTTGCTCTGCTGTCGCTTGTTGTTGTTGCTCCGATGGTGCTGCCACCTCCGATGACGTCACTGGGCGGTGGTGTTGGTGTAGTATGAGTTCCGCTGCGACCCGCGGGTCCGGGTAAGGGGACGGGGAGAGAAGCGGCGGGCGCGGCGCCGGCGTAGATGGTCATGCTCTTGGGCCCGCTGGTGCGACCGCCGGCGCGGGTGTGGTGGGCGGTTGCGGCGGGGTGGGTGACGATGGTCATGAAGATGTTGTGGCTGTCGTCCAGGTGCGCACCGGTGCCAGCGCTGATGGATGCGGGGCCCTCATTCTTGTTGTTCTGCGGCGGGGGTTGGCTGTGATAATCCATGTCCCGCGCTCGTCCTTGTGGAAGGGATACACACGAGGGCTTGTCATTGCGTCCTCTCCGGTATCAGGCGTTGGTCGTTGTGGCTGTGTTGCTTTTGGCTGAGAGCAGAGGGCTGTAGGTATGTTTTGCTAGCCTTTACTGTGGAACTGCGCTTCGGACACAGTGCTCCAGAGGCTCCAGCTCTTCAAGTGACGCTTCTCATCCTTGGCCAGGCAGCGAGTTCTTATAATCGGCAAGAGCACCATCGACAGCCCACCAGGCGATGCGCGAAGCTCTTCTCCCACATGACTTCGTGCCGCTGCCAACATCGTTGCTGCACCAACAAAAGTGCACATTCGTGCTTGCATAGCCTCGATTGCCCCAGAATGGGAAATCCGCGCTCACGCAGTCCCACCAATCACGGGGATAGCTTGACCACAAAGCATGTGGAGCCGACATTTCAAAGTGTTTGCCTGGTCTCCTCCGTAGAACATCTGGTCCTTGTCTGAGCAACACAGATGATCCTGGAACCCCCTCCGGTAAGCACCGGGCCCGCGAACGACTTGGGTCTCGGGACCATTTTCAACGTAGTATCCACCTCTATGCACGTGAACAGCTCCGTGTCTGTCTAGATAGACTTAGTGCTGATCGTGCAGATCTACATAACGGAAGAGTGTGTGCCCAGTACGGCTTGTGATTGTAATACTCCATTGGTTGGGCCAGAGGGTAGTGTCATGCCAGAGGGTAGTGTCATGGGTGACATGAAGAAGCTGCTCGGAACGGCGCCTCTCATATTGAATTGGTGTTGAGCTTGGTGATTACCTCAACTGCACAGGGCTTGTGCCCGATGTGATGAGCAAACATGCGGATCCAAGCATCCGTATCAGCGCGGGTACCCGCTTGGCGGGTTTATGACCTGGTCGAGACGAAAGGACGCGTGTGGGCGGCCACTATGTTTCCCTCTTCGACAGCCGCTCGTAAGCATTGGCTCCTTCCGTGCTCACGCACTTCTCCAGAAGCCTGTCACTGTACTTGCTGTCTCCAATCTCAGCGAACAGTCTGCGCAGCTCGTCCGTAGGACGCCAGTCCTGGGTATCCCACAGCAGTCGCCTTCTACCAACATCCTCGGCAAGATCAGGATCCCGGTACCAGCCTTCGTGCCTGCGCTGAGATCGCCTGCCGGCTTGTAACCACTGGACCCCCCAAGCGCGCCGGGCATGCAAGGTCTTCGTGCCGTCCTCGGACGTTGCAGAACCGGGGATACAGGAGTACAGATCGGCCTGCTGGAGCTTGGGCATGGAGGAGGCGCAAGCCCTCGCGAACGCTGCCAGACAGAGAGTCAGAGAGCCGTCCTGGTCGGCCAGCACGGGGCCGGCATCGTGGCTAGGATCGACGTAGTCTTGCCCGCGGGTAGTAAACGCGGCGGTCTCGGCGTCTCGGATGGCCTTGGGTGAATGGTTTTGGCGGCTGTCATCCCCGAAATCAGCAACCTGTGGAGGGCGGTTGGCAATTTCCTGGTGGTATCCCGGAGGCTCCTCGTCTTCTGTGCTCAGCGCCCACCCGGCCTCTACTAGCCGCCGCCGCGTACTCTCGTCGTCGCTGTTCGTGCCCGTGACGAAGTACAAGCCCCCGGCAGGTTTGCGGGCTTCGAACCGCACGCCGAATATCTCCAACGACGGCCAGCATCTTACCGAGTCCCCTGGTATGCTCCTGGACGCTTCCATCCCGCCGAGCAAGTCACCGTCGCCGCCGTGTCTCTGCAGTTGTCCGCCTCGCCACAGGCGCGGAGGCAGGAACAGTGAAGCGTCAAACATGCCGCCAAGATCAACGGACTTGAGTGCTGGCAGCCTTGACAGTGTGCGGCGCAGCGCACTGCTGAGGAGGTCGTACTCGACTGCTGTCGTCGGCTCACAGTCTTCGTCGTGGTCATCGTCCGTGGAAATCGGGTTCAGACTGCCCCATGCAAAGTTCGCCGCCCACGGAAGCGGGTCGCCCATCCACAGGAGCAGCCGTTCCAGCTTCTCCAGCCCGGGGACGACCTCCTCCACAGCCCTGGTAAACAACGCCCGCTGCTGGCGCCAAATGCTAAGATACTTTATGTTCCACATGTTGAGCCGCCAGCTCACCGTGACCAAGTTTGGCATCCTGGCCGCCATGCGCAGCATGACGTGGTCGCCAAGGTTGCGCGAGAACATGCTTTTGCCGAAGGTCCCGATGATGGGCACTGACGGAAGCTTTTCCGCGTCGAGCAGCTCCACATACGAGTATCGGTGGCGACACTTGTACAAGTCCACGATCGGGTCCGGGCGCCGGCCGCGGTGGAAGTAGTGGCGTGGCCGTTCCGCCGCGTCTGGGGGCAGCTTGCCGTCAGCGGCTCTGAGCACTTTATCACGCAGTCCGATTATTCTTGCTTCTGACCAGTGATGAAGGAACGGGTGGTCGGAGGTGGAGTACATGTCGGCCAGTTCCAGTGTCAGGAAATGGGGGTTGGGGTCGGCGTCTGTGGCTACTTGCCAGTGCTGCAGCATGCCGAAGAGGTCGTGGATCACCGCGCTGAAGGCGGCGTTGTTGGCTCGGCGGTCAGTCTCGTCCTCGAAAAGACGCCGCTCGTCGTCCGAATATGGTGGAAGAACAATGTTGAGCCGTAACACGTGGAGATACCGGCGGCGGCGCTGATTGTTGTGGATGATCTGCCTGAATTCATGGAAGTCTGTGGTTTCGAGCTTGATTTTGCGGAATGCCGACTTTTCAATGGTACTCTGCCATCGTCGAGATACTGTGGCTAGGGCAACACGCGCGGGCTTGTCGTCGTGCAAGCAGGACATGATGGCGTCCAGGACCTCCTGCGGCAGTATCTCCATATGGATTGATGTCGAGCATGAATCGTAAGCGCGAGTCCGTCGTAAAGGAAATGGAAGTGCACCTGGACGCCACGGCTCATGATGTTCGGAAGTAGTGGTTGTTGGTTGGGCACGCTGCTAACATTTACCCCTCACTTTGACCCGCATACGCCTGGCATTGATCGGCCTTAACGCGCTCCAAGTGAAATAAACTGATACTTGAATCATTGTCGTAGTATGTGAGGAGTTTCGTTTACATAATACACGCCGCCGCAATGCCAGTCATGCCTTCCACGCGCTCGATGGGCGACTCTTAGTTCCTGTCGGGCCACGGCTTGGTAGTCTTGCAAGTTGCGTATGTGCAACATAGGCACAGCCTCAGGGATAATCTTCTTGTTCGAAGCTCATTCTGCCAACTCTCCAAAAGGTTTGACACTGACTGACGTGCTTGTGTCCGCGCCTTTCTGTGCCATGCCAAGATATCATCTGGACCTCAGCTATTTTTCTCCAAGAGTTCTTGGCATAACAGATCACGAGAACAATCCAGGCTTTTGGAGCAAGTAGCTCCTTTTACTCAGTTCTGGCGACATTGCTTTTAATTAAGTTCTGGGCTATATACGGATTTTTCCAATGCGCAAGAGTAAGCAAAGAGCGGACGGCTTAGCCATCGAGTTAATATCTTCGCACCCTGTTGCGATAGTTGCAGTTGCGTCCGTATGTGGGCACATAACTGGTTGAAGAAGCGTTAGTCGGGTCCAGAGCAGTAGCACAGTGAATGATAAGAGTGACTTACGCAATGTGCGCCAACAGGTTCTTGGTGTTGGGCCCGAGGCTGGAAATCCGGCCCGGCAGCGCCGTCGACACGATGTAGTCACACGCGGAAGAGGGCGTGGTGGCGCCGAGACCGAGGTAGTACGCCATCAGCCCGGCAATGTGCGGCGTGGCCATCGAAGTTCCCGTGTTGTACCCGCTGCCACCACCAGGGAGCGTGCTGAGGATGCGCACGCCAGGCGCGTGGATGTCCACGTCGGGGCCGTAGTTGGAGAAGTAGCCGGCCGTGTCGGTGATGTCGGTCGCGCCGACGGTGCAGGCGCCCGGGTAGCGAGCCGGCGATACCGTGGACGCGTCGACAGCCAGGCCAGTAGACCGGTCTCCGTTGCCGGCGGCCACGGCGAGGCCCAGGCCGGCGTTGACCAGCGCTGCGGCCGCGTTGTCGATGGCCTCGGAAACCTCGCCGCCCAGTGACATGTTGACGACGAAGCCCTTGGGGCATTGCGCAGCACGGGACTGGTAGTCGCCAAGGATGAAGTCCATCGCAGCAATGACGACGGAACTACATGGCGGAGATAGCATGTTAGGGTGCTGTACTGCCCTCCCGTTCGTAGCCAGGAGCTCGACTTACTTGTCGCTTTCACCGCTGGCGTTGAATACCTTGACCGCGAGAACGATGGCCTTTTTGGCTACGCCGTACGTCTTGGAGGCGATGGTGCCGGAGACGTGGGTGCCGTGGCCGTGCACATCGTTCGGGTCGTTGTCGATCGTGTTGGCGACAAGGAACGCGCGACCCTCAAACTCCTGTGGAGGTTGCATTGATTAGACCAAGATCCGGGTGCCAGGGACGAGTTGCATCGCAAGGTCCCCTCTTACCGGGTGGGTAACGTCAACGCCAGTGTCAATGACGTACACGCAAGCGCCTGCCCCGGCGGTGCTGTCGTAGTTGTACGTCGTGGAGCCCGTGCCATTGCTCGACAGGCGAGCAATGCCCCATGGAGCGCCCGTCTGCGTCACCGGGGTGGCGATGGACATCTTGTGCTCCTTCTCGATAAACGCAACCTGGGCACCGTGTCAGTAACTCCGGCTCTTCTCGCCGAGAGCTGTGGCTGGACAGGCTGGGTTCCTCACCTCTGGGTGAAGGCGCAGCGCCTCGAGGTCGTCGGCGTCCAGAGTCGCAGTGAAGGCGCCGATGTTGGGGAACTCGACGTCGGCATCGGGCTTTACGGCGTCGATACCCATCTCGTTAGGCGCGCCCTCCTTCATCTTGACAATGTACTTGTCGCCGGTCGCGCCGCGAGGCACGTGGAGTGGAGCACGCGTGTCCTCGAAAGGGGCGGCCAGGACCAGCGGCAGGAGGCCGAGAAGAACTGCAGAACGCATGGTGGTGGTAGACGCTCGCGTGACGAGTCGAAGTGTTGAAAATAACGAGTGTCGGCTCAGAGCAGCGTAAAACGAGTGATGCCACTGCTGATGACCGCAGAAGAGGGGAACGGCCCAGTCGTGGGGAGGCTGGAACTGTTTTAAGTAACCTCGAGCAACGGGCAGGGATTCAGCGGCCGGGGAGGACGTTGAGGCTTGCTAGTATCAGTCAGACCTGGCGCCATTGTGTGGGAAAAGCGCAATCTAGCCCTGCAGGAACCAGGAACAATACCATGCAGCTAGACCCTAGCGGCTGACAGCTTCCAATGAGTGCTGGGGAACCCGCGCCCGGCGACTGCTGACTTCAGGGGTTGCAGGCGGCTAACCTCGAAAGGTCAGCTAGCGTCCCCACGAGGGGGTGTCCTCATCTGCCGATACGGCTTTTGGCACAAGAGGATCGTATGCTTGATGCCATTTGAGCCTTGCCGGTGACGTGAACTGGGTCGCCTTCCGTTGCTCCCTCAGTTCCACGGCAGTTCCGTGCTCCTGTCAGCAGGCAGGCTCTCGTTGTGCTGTCGGACGGCATCCTGGCAACAACGGGCTCCTGGCGCTGTGATGCATGAATAATGCAGGAATTTCCGCTGCAGCCAGATCCTGCGCCGCATCCTCGACCGACACACGCCACTTGCAGGGATGATTACAGCCAGAGTCCCCACCCTTGCCGTGCCGGGCTGGGGGCCAAGCTCGAAAACGCCAATGCTGCCATGGTCAAGCCTCCCGCTCCTCGCCGCTGGCTCTCTCCGCATGCATGCCCTGGTGTATAGGCCTCCACTGCTTGAGATCTGCGGATCGCCCTGCCGCCATGTGACTCTAGAAGCACTGATGGGCTTTGATGATTCGGCATCAAGGCCTGATTCAAGTGCTCTCTCTCTACGTTGTGTTCATGCTGAATGCACCCCGTGGCGTCGATTGGGGTGAAAACAAAGGTCTCGAAGGTCTCCTGCGGATCCGCAGGAAATACCACTTTAATATGTGTCACATCCAAAGACTTCTTTAGTGGTCCAATGATAACGCTCCTCCAAGGCGGCATTATTAGTATATTACTCCGCATGAGACTGACCAAGCCATTCCGTGCGTTAATGGCGCCCATTTCCTCACTACCTGAACTCCAATGAGGGAGAACGAGGGAAATGTATGAGGGACAGTATCAGTTCGTGGGGGCTTGTAAAACTTCCGATGAAAGTGAAGAAAGCACAAATCCTCGCGATGGGGAGTTGTGGCAGAGTTTGCTGCAGAGCCACAATGCGCAACCATCAATCGGTCTGCAGCACCTCCACTGGGCACTGACGGTATATGTATGTCTTGCTGCCGTGGCATGTGGTTGCAGGCGTCGGCCAAGATGTGCTATTGGCCGTGCCTGCGAACTAGAGTTGCGTCCCATCTTGCAGGCAAGCCAGCCAAGTGTACAGGTATGCCGTGTGGACCCTGCTCAGGTGATTCAATGTGACTCCCTCCACGACCAGAGCCTGACGAGCTGAAAGCTGCACGCTTTCGGGGGCTGCTCTCGGCGGCGGGAAGCGCCGAAGTATCTCCCAGCCGCACTCTCCACAGCCAAGCATCTCCGCTCTCAGCCGTTCTGGGCCTGTCTCCCCTCAGTCTTCGGCGCAGCTTCTCTCTTTTCTTCTGCCATGCCATCACTTCAAAGTCTCGCCGTGCCCCCGCACACCTTGTCACGTAAATCGTATCATTCTACTTAGCCACAAGGCAACCCTCAACCTGCAACCTGCAAGCCCATACACTCTGCCCTCGCCGGAGTGACAAACAACAATATGGATCTCACGATACTGTATCCATGCACGGTGAGTCTCTCCATCCTAGGCGCCCACAAGCCTCCCCTCCTGCCCCGCAGGCTGCATGTCGCGCGTTACTTTCTGTCGAAAGCCGCCCGACGGCCCCCCGATATGTCTCAGTCACTGACGTCAGACGACCAGAAACAATGCAGCCAAGCGGGCCAGACGTCCTGCTCGAGCACGAGCAGCCCGGCCTGCCAATGCTCGGCGACCGACGCTGTCAAGGAGAGCATGTGTTGCGCGCAGTCGGTGTGTGACGCGTCCACGTACTCGATCCTCCAGACATACGTGATAGCGTACTGCGATGTCTTCAATGTGAACCTTGGATACGTGCGGAATCTAGATTGTCGCGATGCTGCGAATGGTGGGTAACTACTGAGGCTTCACAGCCAAGATGAGCGACAATGGGCGGATTATCCGTCATGATTCATGTTGCGCGCGACTGACTTGACACTTCATCCTCACAGGCACCGACGGCTCGACGAACAACACGACCACGAACAACACCTCATCCGGGTCTTCATCCGGGTCCTCATCGCGCGGAGGCTTGAGCACCGCCATGATCGGCGGCATAGCGGGCGGCATTGCCGGCGCGCTTCTCCTCGGCGGCCTGGCCGTATGGCTTTGCATGCGCAGCAGGCGGCCGCGGCAAGCACAATGGCAACAACAACCATACGGCGTGGTCCCTCAACAACCAGGCGGGAGCGGCCCACCACCGCCATTCCCCCAAATGGCAGTCCCAGGCGCTGTGGCTTCGCCAGTTTACACCGGTGGCAGTGGATACACTGCACTCCCTACGCAGCCGGTCATGTCGGAACTGGCGGGGAAGCCGGCGGCGGCGGCGGCAATTTCATCGTACCCCGTAGCCAACACGTTGCAGAAGCCCATGTCTGCGCCAATAGCACCAGTCTCGCCAGTCTCGCCGCAGGGGCACACAGGAGTAGGTCAGCCGGCGTATGGTCAGGGCTATGCTCCTCCATATCAGCAGCATTTTGTGCAGTCGGCAGAGCTGGAAAACACTGCGCCTGGGCCGAGGGAACTTGATGGGAATGCTGGTTCACCGAGACGATGAGCAAATTGATATTTGTCCCACTGAAATATGTACTGTTGTTGACAAGACTAAGATCATACTAATTTAAGCCTAATGTGAACAAAAACCATATTCTGTACATCTGCCGATGCGCACTTTCGGGAGGAAAAGAGTGGGCAGTTGGGAATTGGAAAGCTTCCTTAACGAACCTTCACTAGCTCAATCCGGGACTCGAACAGGAGTCCAGTCGATGAATGCATTGGCTTCAACCAAAACCACTGCATGTGTTGCCTGCGTCATAGCGTGCTTTGCGGAATATGGACAAGTTCACCACTCAAACAAGCCTGATCACTGTCGAGATTTGCTGGGGCCAATCGTGAATATTGCCGCCCTCGCAATGCGCCCATGCGAAGCCCACCCGGCGATAACATTGCAGAACATTACCCTGGGTGCCGTCATTAGAATTAAACTTGTGCTCACTGATGGATGCTCCTCGTGTAACGTCGTTGTTTTCGTCGACTGGCTTCAGCATCATGACTGCGAGAACGTGTGATTTGATTTCGCGCTCGGCTTCGCGGCTTTGCAGGACCAAACATGGGTATGTTCCGGGCGGCTGAGTGTCGGACTCGCTACCGCAATGATATGTGCCATCATCCATCAAATCTAGTGGCGCAACCACGGGGTCTCGCTTGCCGCTGAACGTCAGGGAAAGCACTGGCCCGCGAAGGTCGAGATGACCTCGCTTCAAGGCTGATACGAGCGGTTGTCCTTCCCAGCGGATATCTGTGGCCACAAGCTGAGTGTGGTCTTTCCACGGGTCTGACGTTTCTCGTATTCGTGGACACATGTCGTTTTCATGGTGCTGGTCCACTGGATAGGAACTTGACAGCCAAGTCCACGACGGCAAGCCCTTGATCATTGTCTTGGGATCCTGCCGATCTTCGAAGAGGGTGGAAGACGCGACCCAGCTAAGGTCAGTGCAGAGCGTCTCAGCCCAGCAGCCGAGGAGGTGCGTATAGCCAACCTCCCTGGTGATAGCTTGCACGATGCCAGATAGTGCGGCGAGCCGGTCCAGAGGTACAGAGACATCCCGGTGAGAGTAGCTGCTGATCCACCGGCGCCATGCCGTCATCACGATGTCGCCCCTCTCAGCATCACAGAAGTCACTGCTTGAGAGCAATTCCGGCAGGGTCCGGATGATACCGTCCGCCATAAATTCAGGCGGTCTGATGCCGGCCTCGATGCAGTACGCTGAGTTACACTGCCAGCGCAACTCGGGGGACGTGCAGTGGAGGACACGGCGAGAGAGGACGTGCTCCTGCAGCGTCCAGGCGCGTGTGTTAAGCTCGATAAACGACGTCCCTCCCCGGACCGCGAGGCTATAAAACGAAGACCGTACGCTCTATTCACCTTGCTGTTTCCTGGACTTGGAAGAAGGACCCGGCATGGCGACGGGTCATAGCTGCTCAATCTTGTGCCAAAGCTCTCGGTTTCCACAAAGCAGCCCTCCGCAATGCTGGCTGCGGCAGAGGCGGCAATTGTTAGTGCAGCATTGGCATAGACACTGTCCATGCGGCCAGCCTCGGCTTGCCAGTCGCCCAGGTCGTCTTGAATGATGCACAAGCTGTCAATCCAGATGTGCTGGATCCCCAGCGCCGAGCAGATCTCAATGGCCTCGCGAAAGGTGCGAGGTAGGCAGGGTTCGTAATCATACTTGCCTTCCATTCCCGTCTTTTCAATATACAGCGGAATCCCCATGCTGGAGTGAGAGTCAATGTTCGCCCTGGTGGTGCGTGGCATATCGACACCAGCCGCGAATCGCGCCCGAATGTCGTCTCGTTTGGTCACTGACGTAGGGCTGCCCCAGCAGTAGCTGAGAGCAGCGTATTTCATAATATTGCTCGAGTGATCGCACGTTACCAAGCGCACACGTGCGGTTCGCCTGTCTTGCATATCCTCAATCCGAAGGAGTCTTGTGGGCAGGATCTCGGGGGGCTTTGAGATCTCGGCACAATGCTGATGGCGCTGCTCGCAGGTATTCATCCATTGTCGGACCACGGCGTACTTCTCCTCGTGCGTCGGACCCTCAGTCCCACTTGTCCAAATGGCAGGCGCTCCAATATTGTCTGGCGCTAGGGCAGTCTGTCAATACGTAGACTCATCGAGAGATATTGCGTGGTGGGCGGCGGCAAAAGGGAAGGACACACACCTTCGACGGGACAGCACGCGACCAGGACCGAAAGACGGTACCTTGGTTCCCAGGAAGCACCAGTGAGCACGCCACAAATGGTGAACCATGATACCAGACATTCCTTGTTGTGATCGAAGAGGTCACTGTTGCTTTCAAATATCGTATGGTCGCCAGGTGTGACATACAAGTCTACGGTCGCTGCATCTAGGCCGGGACCGCTTGCCAGTAGCGCCTGGCACCTGGTGTCGGAACGCATGTAGAGAACATTGACGTGCAATGCGGCACAAATGCCACATCGATCAAGCTCGGCGCCTCTGACAAGCTCCGGCACCGTACATTTGCGAAAAAACTTGGGGTAGTCGAACCTCGTGTCCCCTGCCCACCCTGTTGGCCCCACGGGAAACAGTCGGGAGCATTGCGCACATAATGGCTGCGGGTCCGCTTTGTGGTCGTTGTTGTGCGTCATGGTGGAGCTGATGCACATCAACAAGAGAGAGAGCGAAGGATGATAACCCCTGCTGTACTCCCGCACTATGGAACTTATCAATGTTGTTGGCTTGGGATGCCAGCCTGGTCTGACGTGGCCAATGCTCCAAGCCATGCTGGGCAGCGTGGGCATGCGGCTGAAATATCCAAGACATTACAACTCCTGCTGATCTGTGAAGGCGAGGCAGACAGGCAAAAAAGCAAACTCATCTAGCTGAAGCGGTGAGTTCATAGGGTGCTTTGCTCTTTTTTCTCTGCACCGTCACTGATACCGCCACAAATGTTCCTCAACCCGGGCATCTTTGTCTGCCGACCGGCGGGGTGGCACCATGCCTGTAGGTGGCACAGCTCGACGTCACAACGGGGAGCACTGTTTGAGGCGGGCAACTGTCCTGCCCTGTTCCCACTCAGCCTGTCAAGGCATACCGCTGAACCGATAAGACGGGGCCGAGAAGTGTACAATGCCATTGATCGAAAGGCTATCTGCCACCCCTGCACGACCTGCTTGACGCTAATGCAGGCTGCTGAGGATCCTCTTTTCTCCCTGAACGACGTCCCTGATTTGTAAGATTCCAACAACAAGGCCAAGCAAGCTGAAATCTGCCTCGTGGGCAGCCAGCGCCCGAGACAGACACATGTCTCAGATTGTGCCATCAACTTTTGCAAAGGCCAACCACTGATCTACTCACGGCGGACCTCAGCAGCATGCATATATCCCTGCAGCCGATGAGGCAACAGGCCAGCTTGCGCAACGGCGATCGAGACTGGACGGGCGTCACGAGCGCGAAAGAGCGCAGGCGTCTGCAAAACCGGCTGAACCAGCGTGCCCTTTGTAAATTTTCTCCCGGAACCTGAACACAGGCACCGAGTTTGCCGTCATTGACAGCGCACAGGCTAATTCTAAAATCCCAGACGAGCGCAGGAAGATGCGAGGGACAAAGACTCTGGCCACCAAACAGGCACAGCCACGCTTCAATGCGGCCGACGTGTTCCCTGGTGACACTGAGGGCACTCGACTTCTGACGCGTATCTGCTTCCTCAACCACGAGGCGTCCCACCAGCAGACGATCAATCTCGCACGCCAGGCCTTGCACGAGTACCTGTCTAAGAGCTACGACCTGGGCCGGCTGGCCTCTCTCGTGCGTCTCAACGTCTTCTTCGCTTGGCAGGACAACGCGCGCATGTTAGGTTTCAGCGACATCTGGCTCTCCGAGGATATTGTCTCGCCTTTCTGCGCAGAAGTTGTCCTTCCAAGAGAGGCCGACTCTGCAAAACATGGCGGGGAAGTACATGGACAATATGACACGCTGCCCGTCGCTCTGCGCCCAACTCCGACACAGAAGAAGTTTCCACACCACCCGTGGGTCGACGTGATCCCGCATCCACAGCTAAGGGATAACATCATCGTGGCGCTGGCGCAGGGACGCAATGGGAGTGAAGTGGATGAGTTCGAGCTATGTCATGATTTGATCGAGGTTGTCGGTCCAACTGTCGAGCACAGTCCTGCTGGCTTTAAGCGCTCTTGTGAGCTGCCACCGTTATCAAACGCTGCAAGAGGGTCCGATTTGGCCCAGAAAGCATGGGATTACATCTCGCTTGTGCACGAGAGCGCCGAGATGAGCAGCAGACCACCGTCGCTTCTTGTATGGGAAAGCAGCCGGCCTTGCGAGACAAAAAGCTGGGAGGTCTCTGCTCAGTTTGTGCATAAATGGGGCTGGCTGTTGAGTGGTTGTGACGCCCTTCTGCAAGCTACCAATGTGTGGAGGAGAGCAAGAGGTGAGCAGGCCATAAAGTGGTAGTGTTTTGAACTGTCTACTTGCTATCACAATCCACAAGCCCTCTTGCTGCCAAAAGCTCTCCGCTCAAATCCATGACTATTCTATTCAAGCATCCTTGTTGACCAGGCAGAGCCTGTACCGTGCGTTGCCTGCCGCAATATCCTTGAGCGCCTCATTCGCGTCCTGCATGTCCCGTTCCTGAACCCACGGCTTGACCCCTTTCTCAACTGCGAGCTTGAACATGTCACGGATCTCAGCGGGCGAACCAATGAGGGACCCCGCGACATTGATCTTCTTCATCAGCATCGGCAGCGTCGGCACTTGGAGCTTCCCACCATCGGCGTTACCCAGTAGCACAAAAGTGCCACCGGGCTTGAGGAGAGTGATGTAGCTCTCGAGCTCCTCCTGTAATTTGAACACATCTTGAAGTTAGCATTGTTTCAAGTCAGTCAACAGAGGGGGGGGGGGCGCAGGCAAGACTGACACCGACGCTAGAGGCAGTGCAAAGGATGATATCCAGGCTCGCCTCCCTCTCCTTGATCGCATCCGCGTACCCATCTTCCAAAGTGGCCAGATACTCATCACATCCCAGTGCCATTGCGTCATCCTTCTTTCCCACAGACCGCGAGAAACCAAGGATGCGGTCCGCTCCCAGGGCCTTGGCCCAGAGCACGGCGAAGTGGCCCAACCCGCCGAGCCCAACCACGCCGACGGCTTTTCCGGGACCGCACCCGAAGCGCACCAGCGGGGAGTACGTCGTGATGCCGCCGCAGAGCATTGGCGCTGCATGCGCAGAGGGGAGCTCGGGGGGCAAGGGGAAGGTAAAGTGGCTCTTTGCGCGGAAGTGCGTCGCGTAGCCGCCCCTCGCGAGCGTGCCGTCGTAGTTCCGCCGTACACCATACGTCGGGACGATCTCTGGGCAGTACTGCTCCTGGCCGGTCGAGCAGGGGACACAGCCGCCCTGGTGACCATCGCCGGCCGCCGGGGCAGCGGATGCGGCCGTGTTCCAGTACGGAAAGGGGCGGTTCAGGCATGCGTCGCACTGGGCGCCAAAGCCTACGCGGTCGCCGATGGCGAATCTGTCCTTGGCCTTGGGGCCGACTCGGACGATGCGCCCTACGATCTCGTGGCCTACACACAGAGGATACTCGACGGGACCCCACACGCCGGTGAGCATGCCGTGGTCGGTGTGGCAGACGGCGCAGTGGGTGACGGCGATGTCGACGTCGTCGTCTTGGAAGGCACGGGGTGTAAAGGGACCCCATTGCATCTGGCCATCTGCAGCGGCGGCGGAGTGCCCGAGCCAGCCGTGGAACGTGTCGAGAGTGTCGTTGCTCATGATGAGAGAGGGTTTAGGCGAGAAGTATAAGAAATGGGGTTGATCGAACGAGACAACAGTTGCGAATGTCTCCGTGCAAAGTGCTTGGAAGTAACTGAGGCGATTGATCATCATCTTGGAAAACAGACACGCGATTTCTGACCTTATATATCTAAAGTCATGCTTGTAAGAGGGAACAAGCGGTCATGAGGTACCTAGGTACCCTCCTGAGATCACGGTGTCTTTCTGTCCCGAAAAGGAAACCTCAGCAACATGCATTAGCGTTGGTGGGCCCTGCGAAGAGGTCCCGCAAGTCCACATTGCCGTCGACAAGGGTGTTATGAAGGCAAAGGAGACGACGGAGAAGCAGGAGTGACAAGCATACGCAAGATACTCTATCTATTCAAAGGCAAACTGGGGGGTGAATTTGTAAGCGATATCATCAGTCTGTTGTGTCTCCTGCCTAATCAACGAGTGTCTCGCATTGACTTGCGGATCTCGTGCCAGATTCGGCTGCATGCAAGAAGAAATAATAGCCAAAACCCCTTCAGCATATATATTGCTACCATATCCGAAAGTTTCATAGGGCGGACACCCCTTTGTTCATCGTAAGGACACCGAAAGCCTTGCCGCGGCGAAAGGCCTCATCAACCCTGCTACCCAATCCCAAGTTGGACCGTCGCATGGCTGCCGCTCTCAGCCCATAACACCCGCCTCCACAAGGGCCTTCCGGAGTTCTCCAGTGTTCAGCATTCCGCGGGCAAGCACGCCGCCGTCGACGTCCCAGACTGTAGTGTCTTTATGTCAGCACGACCAGGAGGAATTCTATTGTTTGGGGAAACAACATGCCACGCGACCAGAACCATGGCAGCAGCGAGGACGCTTACCAGCACCGGTGACATATGATGCCTCCTTGGAAGCCAGGAACATCATGACGGACACAATTTCCTCCGCCTCGGCCGAGCGATGCACTGGCACCTGGTTGATCAACACATCCATCACGGTCTGCCCCAGCGCCACGAGCGGAGTATTGGTGTACCCGGGGGCGACCGCATTCACCCTGATGCCGTCCATCGCGTGGTCCACGGCCATGACCCGCGTGAGGCTCAGCAGCGCCGCCTTGGAAGACGAGTACGCCGCCGCGCCGCACTCGCCGCGCACTCCGGCCGTCGAGACCGTGTTGATGATGACGCCGCGGTCGTCGGTGCGCGGAGGCTCGGCCCTGGGCTTGGCCAGCATGTGCTGCAGGGCCGCGCGGCTCGTGTAGAAGGGCGCGTCGACGTGCAGCTTGTACATCATGTGCCAGGCCTCTGGCGGCATGTCGGCCACCGTGCCCATGGCAAGCGCGCCGGCGTTGTTGTGCAGGATGTCGACGGTGCCGAAGATGCTGATGACCTGGGCGATGACGCCTGTCGCTTGCTCGGAGTCGGTGAGGTCACATTGGTGGAACGCTGCATTGATCGTGCCAGAGGAAGTCCCGCAATCGCCCGTGTTCTTGTTGAGCTCGGCCACAAAGGCATTGCCGGTCTCGATGGGGCAGCTGTCGGCCACAAGGACCTTGGCTCCCTCAGCAACGTAGCGCGTGGCCATGGCGGCGCCAATGCCTGATGCTCCGCCAGTGATGACGGCGACCTTGCCGGCGAAGCGTCCAGGGATTGGAGTATACATTGTTCCGGATGAATTATTCTGTCAAAGTTGCAGGAAAAGGCCTTGTGCGAGTGTGATTTCTGATTGTGCGCCGATATTTCAAAAGCCAAAGGTCATCTTGCTGGGCGAGGCCTGATTTTTATATACCAACAGAAGCAGTCCGCCTGTCGGCTCGCGGCGTAGGACTCCATAATCCGACAACCGTAAGTATTTGGCTGCCTCGGACGCGTCCTGTACACCATTTACAGGCTACGCAATTCACTCAGAGTGATAGATAACCCGACTAAAGCGATCGCAGGTGTTTGGAACAATACTTTGCGGAGGCCAATCACCGGCGTCGCCCTTCTTACTCGAGATAGCCTATTCTCCTCATGCATACTGGAGGCCGCTGTCACAGACTACATATTCGCGACAGCGCTGTGAATAATCCGAGAAAAGCGATCCTGGGGTGGCCGACCACCACTGTGCGGGCGCCAATCACCAGTGTTGAGGCGTTCGCGTTCAAGATAAGGCGTATTTGTGCAGCTACGGCAAATCTACCGGTGTGCTCTCCGCCAATACAGGACTAACTAGAGCCGGGTCCGCCGGTGCATCGTGTCCATTTCCGGCAACATGCAGCCCGTGTCGCTCATCCCGGGGAGAGCGCAAAATATCTGGGGTAATTGGCATCTGAGCTCGTCATGTCAATTGTGAACGACGGGTTCACTCAAAGCTTCTTTTGATTCATCCCTGTCATAATCTCCGCTGCGTATACCCCGAGGCTGGAGTCCACGACCAGAAGTTCGGCAGGTAAATTCATGCCCTGCCCGTGATTAGAAAATCAAGATGCTCACGTCCACAGACTCCAGTCACTGTTCCAGAACGCCACGCCGTCCTTTTCAAACTGCGGACCCTCCGCGGCTAGCAGCTGGGCCGGCGCACACCACTCGAAGCGCACGCGCGGCTGTTGCTTCAGGTAAAAGGCGTCGAACTGGGGCGCGAGGGCCTCGTGGAGGGTGCCGACGTCGCCCTGCGGGTGCAGAGCGTGCCAGGGCTGCGTGCAGGTCCGGCCCTTGCACGACTTGGCCACCAGGAGCAGCGCGTCGAGGCGCGCCACGACCGAGTCGAGCGGGTGGCCGAGGAGGGTGGCTGGCCGGGACGCCGCCTCGTCGGGGTGGAGCAGGTTGGTCACCTGGTGAGGGTCGGCCTGGAGGTCGTAGAGCTCGTGCTCGTTGTTGCACCAGACGACGTAGTGCAGGTTGTAGCGCGGGCCGATGACGCGGATGGCCTTGGTACGTGTTGTTGCGCAGGAAGTAGGCCGGGCCCTGGCTGTCGTGTAGCGGGAACTTGCCCTCGGAGCCGGCCATGCCCCAGAACTCGACGGCGACGTGCTCGTGCCGGGTCTGGACGGCGGCCTCCTGTTGCTTCTGCGTCAGGGGCACCACGATGCCGTCAAAGTCGGCCCGCAGGGGGGCGCCGATTATCGAGAGGATGGTCGGCGCGAGGTCTGAGTGGGTCGTCACGGCCTCGGAGACAGCGCCCTTGGGAATGCCCGGGCCCCGGATGATCAGGGGGATGTTGATGTCCTCCTCGAAGCTGCACTCCTTGCCCGGCTGGAGGCGGTGCTGGCTGATGTGGAAGCCGTTGTCGGTCGTGAAGACGACATATGTGTGGTCCCGCACGCCGGCCGCCTCGAGGCGCGCAAAGACGTCGTCGATGAGCTCATCCACTGCCTGGAGTGCCCGCAGTCGGTTGCGGTAAAAGTCGTCGTTCCACGCAACGTTGTCATCGCTCAGACGCGGCTGCTGGCGCACCCAGTTGGCTCCAGACGCGCGCTCCGGGTTGAAGTTGGCCCGCCGGGGCACGATGGCGTCGGCAAAGAGGTGTGCGTGTCGCGCGGCGGGGACTGGGGTGGTCAGCTTAAACGACCAGTTGCGCGGAACGTCCGTAAAGTTAATTTTGGCGAAGCTGGCGTCGACATTGCTGTGCGGCGCGTTGGGGGCTACCGCGAGGAAGAACGGGCGCTCGTTCTCGGCCTCAAGTGCCGACTCGAGAAAGCCCTGCGTCTTGGCTGCGAGCACATCCGTGACGTACTCGCCCTCGTGGCTCACGGGGGCCTCCCTGTTGCGCTGGAACGTTGAATTGAGGTACATGTAGACATATGGGTCCAGGAGGAAGTCCTGCGATTGCACAATCGAGCTGTCAGACTACATGAGCTTGGCGACGAGGAAGGGGTGGCAAGTACTCACAGACTCGTTCCAGCCCTTGACAAATGGCTGGTCATAGTTGTTGACAGTGTGCGCATTGAACAGCTTGCCGGCATAGTAGGTGTTGTAGCCCTCCGACTGGAGCCAGATCGGCAGGTAGTTCTCGTTCAGGCCTTCCTCGACGAATTTGGGGTAACCACCTGTAGCAATTTCTCAAGGTCAGCAGATGAAGGACACTCCGAGTCGCTGGACCTCTCTCCTCTTACCGTAGGGGGCAGCGAGATCAGTCACATTCGTGTTGTGAGCCGCTTTGCCTGTCCAGAGAGTCACACGGGCTGGGCAGCAGATGGCCGTCGTGGTGAAGTGGCGTTTGTAGAATGTGCCTTGATCTCTCATGTGCTTCTTGAGCAGGGGCATATAGTCAAGCGAGTCCATGTGCAGGTCCTGGTCGTCGGTAAGGATGAAGACGACATTGGGCCGCTTTGTCGGGCCCGAGGGCCCCAGCGGCCTCTGCTGGGTGCTGCCAGACAGGATGTCCGAGATGATGCTGCCATCCGCCAAGGCCGCAAGGCTTGTGAGAAGAGGCGCAAGATACTTCATCATGGGCGAAGAAACAGAGCTGTTAGTTGCGGGAGGGTTCCTGGTGGCAGATCCGGGAGGCACACTTCAACCGATGAGTGCTACACAGGACAATGGTCGATTCATGTCGTTGCAATAGTCCTGAAAGAACGCAGCTTTATCCCTGGACTTTTGTTCCCGCTCCTCCCGACGCGACAGGGTTCACCCGGCGGATGCAGCCCTAGCGGAAGCCCCCAGCTCGGGATAGCTGAGCTGCGGGTACACCCTTGGCATCACCACATCATGCAGCACCATTGCGTGCTCGCACAAGACATCGCGGGCAGAAATAGTCTCCGCAACCCTGCAGGAATCGCCTCCGAGAAGGCCCTTCCGACATCGCCTTCGGCAAGTACACGGCAATTGATGCCGACACGCTTTACGAGGATTGTTACAGACGTCTTCCGGGCAGAGGGCTCGCTCTCCCTCAGCTCGAGAGACCTAGGGGCCGCCTATGCAGCATGATGCCCCACCAGAGGATTGGATACTGGCTTGATCATGTCATTCAAGATGGTGGCTTACAAGAATAGCCGCCTGTCAGCCCTCGTGGCTGAGGGTTGAGGAAACTCCAGAGACTCGATTCCCAGCCGCCAGTCCAGGCACCTCAGCGAATTTTGTCGAGCATATCCGGTCGAGCGCCCCCAGCTCACACCCTATCATGGCGACCGTTGTCGCTCTGGACGCCATTAGCAAGAATAAGCTTGAGGCAGCCGGCAAAGAAGGCGTTGTCGTTGAGATACTCCCGCTGGGCGTCTCGAGAAAGGCCAAAAGATTCTTGTGGGAGAAGTCCGACAAGACATACGACCCTGACGATACTGCCACTCTCGTACGTTGCTTGGACTATGTTCTCCCTACCAACTATACCTTCGCTCACAGATCTTGCCCGTAAAGCCGAGCGTCTTTGATGATCCACAGCTCGCGGGTCAGTACCAGCCTCCGGAGAACTGGTGTGTACCAAGCCCCAATTCGAAATCCCACACGTATCACAGTCAGGCTAATTCTGATGTTTCTTTCTTTTTTTGTCAGGGAGAATATCCACCGCTTCAACCCAGATGCACGATGGACGTGGCGCGAGGACGACAAGCTCATGAGAAAAGTTGACTTGCGCATCATGATCTGGTGCTGTGTCATGTTCATCGGCCTCGAGATTGACCGCGCCAATATTCAGCAGGCGATGAGCGACAACTTCCTCCAAGACTTGGGCATGATCAGCAATGGTATGTGCGAGCGAGCCCATCCGGGCACAGGTCAAGGCCCGTGCTGACCTTGAATCGTCGCGACAGATTTCAACTTGGGGCAAACCGTCTTCGCTTTATCGTTCCTCTGTGCAGAGCTGCCATCCCAGCTCGTCTCCAAGTGGGCTGGACCGGACCGTTGGATCCCCGCACAGCTCACTCTCTGGTCTCTGGTCGCGACATGCCAGTTCTGGTTGTCGGGGCGTAGTTCCTTCCTGGCCTGCCGTGCTTTGCTGGGGCTACTTCAGGGCGGCTTCATCCCGGATGTAAGTTCCTCGACAGAGCAATCTGGACGCTTTCACGTCACATTATCGACCTGGGCTGATTTGAGGCACTCCTATGTCTCGTCGATGCAGATTATTCTCTATTTATCGTACTTCTACAAGCACAGCGAGATGGCAATCCGGCTCAGCTTCTTCTGGCTCTCCATGACTCTTGCCGACATCGTGGTTGCTTTCCTCGCTGCTGGTATTCTACGGATGCGCGGTGTCCTGGGTTATGCCGGCTGGAGGTGGATGTTTCTGATTGAAGTAAGCAACCGAATGCCATGTAGCGACAAGATAATTACTTACCTGTCGTTCGTTAGGGCCTCCTCACACTCGTTATCGGGCTTCTCTCGTTTGGCATGATGCCGGCTGGCCCGACCGAGACCAAGGGGTGGCTCCGTGGAAAGAACGGCTGGTTCACGCCTCGTGAGGAGGAAATCATCGTGAACCGCGTTATCCGCGACGATCCTACCAAGTCGTCGATGCATAACCGGGAGCGCATCACCCTTTCCTTGCTATGGAAGAGCATTTGTGACTATCACCTCTGGCCGTTCTACCTCTTTGCCTTTTCAAACTTCCTTCCCATTGTGCCACCCAAGCAGTATCTCGTCCTCTCCCTGCGTACCCTTGGGTTTGACGTGCTGCACACCAACCTGCTCTCCATCCCCAATCAGGTCCTCGGAAGTAAGTGACGCATACTCGCCGCCCGTCGTACCCATGTCAAGGCTGGGCATCATCACCTTCTGCATCGTCTCGTTTCTAACCATCCATAGCAACAGTCATTACGATGCTCGGGATATCCTGGTTGGCCGAGCGCACCGGCAGGCCCGTCCTGGCGCTGCTCGTGCCACAATTCTGGGCGTTACCCTTCCTCATCTGGCTGCGCGTGGGCTACACGGCCGCCTCGAACCCGTGGGCAGTGTGGGCCGTCATGACGGTGCTCTGCTCGGCGCCGCTCACGCACCCCATCATCGTGTCGCTCGTCTCGCGCAACAGCAACGCCGTCCGCTCCCGCACCGTCTCGGCCGCCCTCTACAATATGTGCGTGCAGGCGGGAGCCATGATAGGCGTCAACGTCTACCGCACAGAGGACGCGCCCTTGTACCGCGTGGGAAACACTGCCCTGCTTGTCGTCATTGGCTACAACATTGTCATCTTTACCGGTGCCTGGTTCTTCTACCGCGCACAAAACCAGCGCCGGGACCGCGTCTGGACGGCCATGTCCGAGGATGAGAAGGCAGAGTATATCGTCAGGAATGCGGGCGCTGGTAACAAGCGGCTGGATTTCCGGTTCTCCCACTAGACGATTTGCCAGCCGGAGTGCTGCCTGGTGTTGCATTACTGGGAATCAACACGCTGGGCTGCCCTCAGTACACGGCACTGGTGAAACTATCTACAAATCTTCAACTATATCATGACGGCTGTCATAAGCTGGCGCGCTTATTGAGTAGACACGCAAGCTCTGTTACCTCAATAGCAATAGAAAATAAGAACAATATTTCTAGTCCAATCGCAACATACTTGGAGTCGTTGGAGGGAGCTGGTACCCGGCGCACTTTGCGCTGTGCTGGCGGCCGTCCCACCATTGGCAGACAACACGTATTTTCTCACGATGCACTTGCGATACGCACGAATCCCGCTGGCAGTATAGTGTCTTGTTCCTTTCTGACAACTGCCTGTAAGTTTTGTTCCTCCGCCAAGGGTGCTAGTGAACACCCAGCCAGCTGTCATGGTATCGCGCCAAAACCTCAGGTGAGCCTCCAAAGCACGCAATCGGGCCTTAGAGACATGTCCCCAGCGGCTCATGCAGGTCGGAGCCCAGCCTTTCTCCAAGAGCAAGTTAGGTGAGCCAATAACCATTGTGTTCATTGCATAGTGAATCCACGCTAGACACCATTCAGCTGGTGCCGTAGGTCCTGCATGTTCTTATCGCTGACATATCCCAGCACGAGCGTCTCTTCTCGCCGGGGTAGGGTTGAGTCTTGCGAAAGTGTGACCCGCAATGGCGCCATGCGGGCGGTGCGCAATCACGCCTGCGCTGAAACCCCTTTCGGCGCGGAGCCGAGCTGCTGTCAGGGTGGTTCCGGAGGTCGGCATGGCGTGACATCCCCGGCCGAAAGAAATGCCTGTGGGAGAAGACTCGAGCGGAATTCGAGCACCGGATCCTTGTCTTGTGGCCGAGCGTACGAGGAACCGTATGCCGTCTGTTCAGCTTGAGTAAAGTTAACCCCGTCGCGTTGTTTATTTGCTGTCTCCCGCGGTATCCGCCCTTTTCAGCTGGCAGAAACCAATTTGCTACCTGTACAGATTTGCTACTGACTAGCCGACGGGCGGCGGAAGACAGACGAGACGTCCATAGCTCCGCATAGAATTCGCCATCATGTCCTCAGATCCTCCACCGAAAGCATCATCTGCTCAGGGGATTCTCGGCCCCGCTACGGCATTGAGCCAGCCGCTGGGAGAGACGACGCCTTTGCTGCCAGCTGCTGCTTCTAGCACTACAGGTGTGTCCTTGATATGCCGTGATGCGGACGTTTCTTGTGCGCCACATTAATTGACACCTTTGCTAATATTCTCCCCAAAGGAGTCAGTCAGGTCGCGAATCATGTCGCGAATCATGATGGATCTATGGAAGAAGGCACGACGGGTGATCTCAATGCCGCCACGAACGCGAAACCGGGCCGTCATTCATCACTTGCTGTCGTCCGCGTCGTCCTGGTCCTGGTCCTCGGCGCATTTACTGCGAATGTCGACGGCTCGCTGGTCCTGGCTACGCACCCGGCTATTGCGTCCGAGTTCAATGCCCTATCCTCCTCGAGCTGGCTCTTCGTGGCGTACAACCTCGCAGGTGCGGCCACACAAGCCATGGTAAGCCGCCAGAAGGCACTCGAGAGCTGTCCCCGAAGGGGTTTCATCTGGGCGATGAGGTCCCGCAACAATCAGAAGTGGGCTAATCTTGCTGCTCAATAGTATGGAAAGCTAAGTGACATATACGGTCGGCGACTTCTGCTCGTCATAGCATATGCGTTATTCGCAGTCGGATGGTGAGGCACAGGGTATTCCTTAGCGCGGCTCGTTCTTCGCCCCTCACTTGGAAGGAGATACTGACATCGCCGACGCAGTGCCATTGTCGGCGCTGGACGATCCATGGGAGAAGTCATTGTTGGCCGGGTAGTCTCAGGCTGTGGAGGGTCAGCACTCAATGTGCTCGGAATCCTGCTGATCACTGGTCAGTTCCTAAGTTGCCCCCCTTTCCCACGTTGGAGAGACACCCAAAACACAAGAGGTCAAATGGCTTTTTGGCTAACGCCCGCGTCTGCGCGGGCACCTGTGATAGATCTTGTCCCCTTGCGCGAGGCAGCATCGTGGCAAGCTAGCATCAACCTCGCGGCCACCGCAGGCCGCAGCCTGGGCGGCCCCGTGGGCGGGTGGCTCGCCGACACCGTCGGGTGGCGCTGGTCTTTCATGGGCCAGGTGCCCGTTTTCTGCCTTGCCATCCTTCTGTGCCTGGCGTGGCTACCACGGCAGCAACGTGGGCCCGACAGCTCCGGCAACGTGACGACCAGGTCGGAGCCAGAGATCGACAGCAAGGAGAAACCCCGAGGCCTGGCGCGTGTCGACTTCCTTGGTGCTGGTCTCTTGGCCCTGTTCATTCTGGCCCTGCTTCTGCCATTCGAGCTCAGCAGTCTGCCTGGGGGGTGGTCCGGTCCGACTATCGCGGCCGTAATCGCTGCGCCGATCTTGCTCGGGGCTCTATTCGTCCTGGCAGAGAAGCGCTGGGCTGTGGAGCCCATCTTCCCCCTCGAGGTGCTTCACAATCGTGACGTCGTCCTGGCCTACCTGGTGACGCTTCTCCAGGCCATGGCGCAGCTGGGCCTCCTGTTCTCGGTGCCTCTATACTTCCAGGTCACCCAGAGGGTTTCCAACAAGGTTGCCGGGGCGTATCTGATCCCCGCCGTGGTGGGCAACGCAATCGGCGCTCTCGTGGCAGGCATCGTCATTAAAAGGTTCGTCTCTGACCATCGGCTGTCTTGTTATTTCAACGCGCACCTCTCAGTACTCCCAAGAACTGACCTTTCGCTTTGGAAAAACTCAGAACCGGCCGATACCGCCAAGTACTTATTCTTGCAACCGCCGTCTCGTCTGTGTCATACCTGCTGATGCTCCTCCGCTGGCACGGCCAAACCAACGTCTGGGAGTCCCTCTACATCTTCCCCGGCGGGCTGGGCACAGGCATGGTGCAGACGGCCACCTTTGTCGCCATCCAGGCCACGATCGACCCGGCCCACAAGGCGGCCGCCATGTCGGGCATCTTCCTCGTCGTTACTGTCGGGGTCATTATGGGCATGGCCGGCGTGAGCGCCGTCACGCTGCAGACAATGGCGGGCCGCCTTGCTGCATTGCTACGGCTTCGTGGTATTGACGAGGTCGCTGTGTCAAAGGTGAGCAAAGTGTCTCTACTGGAGACCAACTTTTCTGCTTTCCGGTTATTGATGTTGGTGCATTACTGATGGCTGACGGTTGTACCATTTTAGATCGTCGAAAGTGCCACCTCGAGCATCGAATATATCGACGACGCCCCACCAGATATCGCTGCGTTGGTTGTGGAGGCGTACGTCTACGGGCTGGCGGCTGGGCACGTAGTGTCTCTCTTCGGAGCTGCCCTGGCCGTGGTATGCTGTTTTATACTACGTGAACATGAGCTGAGGCGTTAAGGTTGTGCCCGATGTCTACGGCCTTGTTCGTTATCCTGGGGATGTTATGGAACTTGGTTTCACTCTTCAGGAGGGGCATGGTGGACATTTAGTGCAGCTAGCTGGAGGATTTATACGTATCATCTGAGAGGACTCCGCCTTCGGTCCGTGAGCGAAATGATAGGCTGTCTCTCAATTAATCTGATTCCGTAAACGCACCATTTGTGAAGTCGTGCTTTGATAGATGCCAGTGTGTCCTCAACGAGTTCGGAGCAACCATGGTGGGAGAGTCATGAAAGTAGCGTGGTTCGGCTTCTTGACCAGGGCGTTGCGCGTGCCACCGTTGACTATGGTCTCTGTATTCAAGAATTGCTAACTCTAGTACCCTGTAGTATGCCTGTCATGGTCATCGGTGCCGTGAAAGTTAAAGGTCGTGATCTAAAATTTGCTTGCTCGATGATGATGAGTCATCGTTATCAGGGCTATGTGGTGAAAACTTGCATTTCTCAATCGCATAAGGTGACGCGGAACGATGCTTTACCCATTTTTCCTTCTCTTCTTTTTTTCTATGAAATTTCGACAGACATCTTGGTCTTCCTTTAGTGTCTACCGAGGTAGGTTTAAGCTGGGGATTGGCAATCAGGGATATGACGATTCTTCCCCGAATACGATACAGACATGCCAGGTAGAGCGGATCGCATAAGAAGTAAAGAAAACCACCTCGACGCAGCTCAACCTGCGTCTCCGACCCTGCGCCATGTCGAGACTTGTCCTACGCTGCGGCACGGCAGACCTGGACATCCCCACCTTCACAGTCGGCCCAACCGATTAAGCTTAATTGAGAGCTGGCAACCTTAAGAGAGCAGCATGAGCCAGCTCCACCTCCGCCGCTTGCCCCTCGCCTCCCCACCAGCCACGTCGTGGGAGCATCAGCTGCCTTGTCTTCCAAGTCCTGCTTACCCGATCGGAACACAGCCGAGAAAGAGGGGCGCGTCACTAGGAGGGACAGCAAACAAGAACGACGCATAGACGCGACATTTTCTGCGCGTTCATCGTGCACGACGCCTTGGTGAGTGTGCCACGTCGAGCTGCACATCAGGGGCTGGTGGTGCGTGGCCCCACTGACGTCACGAACAACTCCCGCTGACCTTGTTTTGCCTGCTTCACAGTCACACATTCAGAGACTCCTTAAGAGGAGACGGCCAGGCTCCACGGTGGCTGCAGTCATACAGTCGACCTTCCAAGCTTCGAAACCCAAACATTCACTTTCACGTCGCCGACATATCTCGTTGTCGAGCCAGCATTGCCTGCCCACTCGTCTCGGCCACCGCACAGTACCGTCCACAATGGCCGCCATCATCGACCGGTTGTCCTCCGAGGGACCTGGCGAGTCTGCCGGTATGCCCTATCTCGCTTCATCCTTCGCAGACAGCAGCTAGCCAGGGAAGGCTCCCAGCAGCTGCGTGGCGACTCTCGTATCTCATTCGCAATGGTCACCTGCTTCTGACACTTCCATTCCACGCAGGCTTCCTGAACGACATTGTAGCACAGCTCTGGCCCAACATTGACGCTGCCGGTAGCAAGATGATCAAGGACATCGTGGACCCAATGTTCAAGACGATGCTTCCCGGCCCGCTGGCGACGCTGCACTTCACACACGTCGAGCTGGGCGACGTCCCGTTCAAGTTCTCCGACGTGCGGGTCACCAAGACGCCCCTCGACGGCATCAAGCTCGACCTCCAGGTCAACTGGGCTGGCAAGTGCGATATTGAGCTTGATGCAGACATGTTTCCCAAGGTGGTGAGTACAGCCATTACGCCGACAGTGTACGCAATACAACACAAGCTGACGGGTCCGCGAGCGTTACAGGGCGTCAAGAGCGTCGAGCTGCATGGCAGGCTCAGTGTCCTGCTCTGCCCCCTGACCAACGTGATTCCACTGGTAGGTCCCTCCCAATTTCCCCCCTTCTCTCACCTCGTCTCTGGCTGACACGGGACCAGATCGGCGCGGCCCAAGTGGCCTTTGTCAACCCGCCCGAGCTCAAGCTCGACTTCACTGGCGCCGCCAATATTGCCGACTTCTCCGTGCTCGACAACGCGGTGCGCAAGGTGATCCTTAGCGTCATCAACGGCATGTTCACCCTGCCGAACCGGTTCCTCGTCAAGATGGACTCCAACGCCGACTACTTCAAGACCTATCACTACCCGCTCGGCGTGGTGCGCGTCACCGTCGACAAAGCCTGGGGCTTCGCCGAGGAGGCCCAGTCCAAGGCCAAGAAGCTGCTCTCGAAGCTCACGCGCGCGAGCCCAGACTGCTACGCGACCGTGCAGGTCGGCGCGGAGGAGGAGTGGCGCACGACGACCAAGAACAACACGACGACCCCGGCCTGGGGCGAGACGCACGACTTTGTGGTGTCGGACTTTGACCAGCTCATCGTGGCCAACGTGCACGACCACGACGTCGGGTCGGACGACCACGTCGGCCTGGCCACCGTCTCGGTCAAGGACATCCTGCTGGCCGGCGGCAAGAAGGAGCTGGCCATGGTGTACCCCGGCGGCGAGGAGACGGGCGGCCGCATCGCACTGTCGGCAGAGTTCTTCGAGTTTGCCCCCGAGGACAGCAGCTTCTCTGCCTCGTCGCACAAGGGCGACGACAAGCTCTGCGGCGTGCTGAGCGTGCTCGTCGCGGGCGCGCTGGGGATCAAGGGCCCCCGCGAGGAGCTCAAGCCCAGCATCGTCGTGACCTGGGGCGACAAGCACCGGTTCCAGACCGCCGTCAAGGCGGACGCGCCCGGCACGGACATCAACAACCCCAGCTTCGACCAGCAGTTCCGCATCCCGCTGACCTCGGACCTCGTCGGTTCTTCGGCGGCGCCGCTGAGGATCGCGTGCCTGAACGGCGAGCAGGAGGTCGGCAGTGTAGAGATCCCCTTTGCGGATGTCCTCAAGGCGCCCGAGCAGGTACTGCAGGACCAGTTTGACCTGGGCAATGGGACAAAAGTCAGGGCTTGCTTCACCCTGCGTGGTGTCAAGGCGGCCAAGCTGAGCGATACCGCGCTGCCCACCAGAGAGAAGTGAGCTGCCGTTGTGGGAGACGGGTTGCCATTTGTAATGCACTTCTTTCCAATAGCTTTTGTTTGAATTTATCTCATGGTCCAGCGATAGTCGTAATGCAATTGTGTTCACTCTGTATGCACTGGCTCCCCTGTCCATCGTCATGATGTCTAATTCGCTACGTGAAGCTGAATGATAGTGGTTGGTTGAATGACATTAGGCTGAGAGTCACCTGCGTCATCGTACCGGGAATCATCCGCGGCGAATCCGTGTATGCCATCTTGGCCCAGCTGGGAAGTTCTTCCTCGCTTGTCAATTGGTTGCCTCAGGGGGTATATTGCCCGCTTGCACCGCAGCTGGCCACAGCAGCGAATTGAAGCTCTGCCTGAGGTCCTCGTACGGTTGCTTTACGTACTTGTCCACCCTCGGATCCGACCTCTTTCTTCAGCAGAGCCCTGCATGTTGTGGGGTGGCGTTCCGAGGCGGTGGACAGAGCCAACGGGGACGCCGGGGCGGCTGGCATGGCTATTGAGTCTGGCAGATTTGAACCGGCCCGCCGTGCCATTGATCGCAGCTGAGCATATTAAGTGCCCCTTCACACACAGAGTAAGCACCCCGCATTGGGACCTGCATTCCGCAACGTCGAGCCATCGTGGCTCATCCGAAGGCGCCGGGCGGGTGAGGGGAATGATCAGCAGGGGTGCTTGAGTCAAAAGGTGGAGGAAACAGCGCAGGGCTCTCGTCAGCAAAGGCGTGCTGATTGTGTGGCTGTCGCCATATGGGACGACAAGATGCAGGCAAGCCACAGGTAGCGTGGCCGGAATCTTGCTTGCCCCTGGCTAGAGGATCCTGGACCCCTGGAGCTGGCCGTCTCTCCATACGGGATCCCCCCTCGTTTCCCCAGGCCACCGTCCCACTGCCCGCACTGCCTGGGCCTGGGGTTTTCGGGAGCTGGCGCCGGCGGAGAAACAAAATGCCACCCTCCGCGTTCTGTTCCAGGGCCGGCCCTCCGGCGCGTCAGATGCGGACAATGCCCAGAAGCGGGCAGCACAGTCCTGCAGCGGGCCAGGCCAGGGTAGCACTGCGTGGGATTTCCCCATCATCAGGCGACAGGGGTTCCAGGGGTTCTCGGGCCCTTGGTCATTTCGAGAAGAAAAGTTTATATATAAACAAGACGATGCGACTCTGCGGTCATGGACTCCCACTTGGTCTTGGCTTCTGCAGCTCAGCTCAGTCTCTGCCCAGTCGTTCTCCTGATCCTCACCGTCTGCACCCTCCCGTAGTCACTGCTCGAATCCTCAAAGATGGCTCCTCCGATGCGATTCTTCTCGCTGCTGTTGGCGATCCCCGCCAGCGCGGATATTCTCTTTGCGACTTCCTACAACGACCACACGGTCACGTCGCTCAGGCTCGAGGGCTCCACTCTGTCTGTCGTGGGCAAGAACCTCGACTGTGGCTCGGAGCCCACCTGGCTGACGCTCGACAAGACAAAGTCGCGCCTCTACTGCCTCAACGAGGGCTGGGGCGGCAACGCCTCGCTGACCTCGTACCAGACACGGGCCGACGGCAAGCTCACCACTCTGGACATCCTGCCCGTGCTTAAGTCTCCCGTCAGCTCGACCCTCTGGGGTGCCAACAACGAACGATTGGCGGTTGCCCACTAGTGAGTCTCAAGCAATACTGGCAATCAGCTTCTCACGCGCAATGCTGACACCGACTCCAGCGACACCTCCACCTTCAGCAGCTACGACGTGTCCAATGCCAAGGATCTTCGTCTGACTAAGAGCGAGACGTACACTCTCGCCGCGCCCGGCCCCGTCCCGGACCGCCAGGAGGCTCCTCACTTGCACGACGCCATCCTCGACCCGACCCGCAAGTTCCTCGTCTCGCCCGACCTCGGCGCCGACCTCCTGCGCCTGTACCGCATCACCGGCAACTCGTGGACTGCCATCACCCCGGCCAAGGCCGTTCCCGGTTCCGGCCCTCGCCACGGCGGCTTCGCCGTCCACGGCCCCAACACGTACTTCTACACGGTCAACGAGCTGTCCAACACCATCACCGGCTACAAGGTCACCTACTCCGGCAGCTCAATCAGCTTTGCTCAGATTCTCAACTTCAGCACCCACGGCCCTGGCGGCAGCGTTCCGGCCGGCACCAGCTCTGCCGAGCTTGAAATCTCGGTGAGCCCACCTGTCCACTTTCTGCTAATGCTAGTCCCTCATTTTGCTAACCTCTGCTATTCTTTTGTGACCTTGTAGCCCGACCAGCGTTTCGTCCTCATCTCCTCGCGCAACGAGGCCTCGCTGACCATCCCGGCCTTTGACGGCTCCGCGACCACCATCCCCTCGGACCCCATCATCTCGTTCGCCATCAACCCGGCCAGCGGCCAGCTCACCCTCACCCAGATCGCCCCGGCCGGCGGCCTCAACCCGCGCGGCTTCTCGCTCAACAAGGCAGGCACCCTCGTCGCCAGCGCCCTGCAGAACGACAACCGCGTCGTCGTGTACAAGCGCGACGTCAAGACCGGCAAGCTCGGCGCCGTCGTGGCCAGCGCGACTGTCGGCGAGGGCGCGAACAACGGCCCCAACTATGTCCTGTTCAACGAGTAAGATAGTTTTGCTTGTCTCATTTCGCGACGGACTTGTAGGGCTTTTTTCGTATGTTTTCCCTTTTCAGAACCATGTGAGAGCGTGGGGACTATGGTCCGCAGTACTGAGCGGTTTGTGCTGACGATTTCACAACAGCTGCTAGATTATTGGTCTAGACCCCGGAGGCGCGACAGTTGAGTGTCCTACGGCTTGCTCGCCCAGTCGTTGAAAAGCTGATTACTTGAATGGTGGAAGTACAAGTAGTTCGAGAAGCGCACGTGTTACTTCTTGGTACATAGTTCTCAAAATATTGCAAAGAAACAATGAAAGCGACGTTACTGCTCAAACTCTGATGCACCTGTGAGGCGGAGCACTGCAGAACTGACTTGAGGTATTGCTCGACCCCGACCATTGGACCCTGTGATATAGCGGAGGCCGTCAATTGGTCACAGGATTCCGAGCTCAAGCAGACTGATAGGACCCTTTTGCCTCCTGATCAATTTATAGCCTGGCAGAAAGACATCGTTTATTAAACAGTGGCTCACCTCGAAACCGATGTCTGCCTAAGGGGTAAATAGCCATTGATACACACTAAACTTTCCCAGTCCTTAGCGAACCAACCCTTTCAACTATCAGCACTACCTGCCCTCACCTCCGCTCCAGCCCCTTTCTCCTCTTTGTGCTTCTTCATCAGCACCGTCAGCCTCCTTTCCTCCGGATCGACCGCGACATTATCCGCGCCAATCGGCCACTCGGACTTGATAGGCTGTCTCGCATCGAGCTCGACCTGGGCACGCCGGGCTGCTGCCAAATCAGGACCGCCGATGCAATTGCCTCCTTCTCCATCACCGTCATCGTCATCATCGTCGTCGGTCTGGACGCGCGCGTACCGCCAGACGTCGCGCAGCTCCTCGGCCCGCATCCGGCTCGTGAGCAGCTGGAACGTGGCCCGCGCGAGGTACTGGTTCTGGCCTTGCTCGTAGAGGCCCTTGGCCATGAGCACGACGCTGGAGCGCAGGCCCTCGAGGTGCTCCTTCTGTTTTCGCGGTTGGTCGGATGATGGTCTGACATGGTGCGGTTGTTCTTGTTGTCCCCGTTGTGCCCGTGAGGGTCTCTCGGTGCCCTGCTGCTCTCGTTCGATATCTCGGGCCTGCTGGCTGTCCTCGTTGATGGCAGGATAGTTCCTGTCGGTCGAAGTCGACGCCGAGGTCGCGGCTGCGTCGTCCGAGTCCAAGTCACCAACACCCTCATCCTCAGCAGCAGCAACAGCAGCAGCAGCAGCAGGGTCCTCCGCGACGCTCCGCGCAATGCCCTCCACCACCATGAACCCGCAGGACACGACGAGCGCCATGAGCAGCATGTCGGTGTGCGCGAACCCGTGGCGCAGGTAGTACAGCCGGGCGATGGTCTCCAGCGCGACCTTGGCCTTGGCTACTGTCTCGTGCGGTGGCTCCCCACCGTCGTCGTCGTCGTCGTCATTGTCGTCGGCGGCGGCCGGGGCTCCGGCATTCTCGCTTACTTCAGCTTCTTCTTCGTTGCCACCTTGATGTGCACTTTCGGCATTCTCTTGGGATGTGTTCGCTGTTGACGCAGGGCGTGGCTTCTCTTGTCGTGCCCGTGTTTGTCGTTGACTTTGTTGTTGCTGTGTTCGATCGAGGAATGGCGAGAACGTGCTCATGATGATGAGTTGCATATGCATGCTTTGGGTTGTCGTACAGGGCACAAAAGGTCAGTCAATCATTACCAGGGGCGATTTATCAAACACACAACACAAAATGGACTCTTGGCTTACTGCAATATACCGACAGACCCAAGCAAATACTCGGGTCCCGTGATGGGTGGGCGGGGAAGCCACTTACGCCTGCCACGAGTACAGCGCCCAGGCCACAAAGCCGGCCGCGTTGTGCATCCGCGGCGTCGTGTCGGGCCCGGGACACCCGTTGAAGAGGTTCATGGCGTGGCCCATCTGCACGGCGCGGAACGTGTACGTCCAGCCGAGCATGTCGAGCCCGCAGAGGCAGTAGTACGCGTGGATGATGACAGCGGCCTGGATGGCCGGGATGCTGGCCTTGTCGGACTCGAGGTCCCACAGCCGCCGCGTCTCGGCAAAGAACCGGTACCCCAGCGTCGCCGGGTCCCAGTACTTGACGCGGTCGGGGAAGGGCCGGAAGCTGCTCTGTAATGATGGCAAGGGAAGGTGTGGAAATGGTCAGTATTCGTTCCGTACGCAAGCCGGCGGCACTATAATGGGGGTGGACCGCTTACGCAGGCAAAGGTCAGCACGGCATTGACAAGCAAAGGCGAGCACAGCTCGTCCCGCATGTTGGCCATGTCGTCGAGGAAGTAGTCGATCTGAATGACGGTGTACGAGTGGTACTCCTGTAGCAGGTACGCCTCGAGAATCGCCCGCATGAGCTTGTCGTCGGCGGAGACGGTCGTCCATCTCGACGGGCAGACCCGGTCGAGCAGCGGGTGCACAACCCTGGCGGCGTGGAACGGCTTGAGGTACGGCGTCTGCGTCAGCACATCGAGAGACGCGAGTGCCGATGACGATGGCGGGTCGCGTGGCCGTGTGCTGGGCGCCCACTCGTACACGAGCGAGTCCAGATAGTGGTTGTCAGGGGTCAGCAGGTGGATGGGCATGGTGGTCTTCAGCGGGAACTCGTAGCGGTAGTTGGTCTCGGGGGTCAGGGCCAGCTGGAGCAGGAGGTCGCCCTGCTCGATCTGGCGCGCGAGAAAGCGCACGTCGTCGCTCTGGCGCAGGCGACGCAGGAGGGCCGTGGCCTCGGCCTCGGGGCGGTCCCGGAGCGCGGCAAAGACGCGGACATAGGGGTCCTCGAGAGACTGCAGCTCGCCATACTTGCGCTTGAGCGCCTGGGAGCGCGTCTCGCCCTCGAGGGTCGGGTAGCGGCATGCCAGGCCGCGTTTCGTGCAGTACTTGCATGCGGGCCGGGCGCCGTCACACTGGCGAGGTTGTCAGGTCAGTCAACCAGGCATTGTCGGCGGTGATGGCCACGGCCAAGCGAGAGTCCGGCTATCCAGGGGTTGGCAGGGCAGATCCAGATCCGAAACTAACCTTGACCTTGCGGCGCCGACAGTGGTCGCAGGCCCCGCCGGGCTTGCGGCCAGGCGGCAGTCCGGGCACTGGCCATTGTCCGGGCTGCGCAGGGAGCAGCGGGCGTAGCTGTTTTTGAGGCGGCGGCGTGGCTGGGTCCATCCGTGGAATGTGAAGAGGAAAAGAGAGTCCTGGACGGCAAGCAGTAGCGGCCTGGCAGGTTCTCGAGACGGCGCTGTCGGGGGTCGGGCCCGACTCATCAACGTGAGGTCATCATAACGTCTTTTTGTGCGAATGGCAGACGCGACGCGGAGTTTGCGCCGGGCGCTCAGAGCCAATCACATTGGGGCTGGAATGCCATGTCGCCTGCCAGGCACGCGGTCCGTGACCAACACACGTTGCTTTGTACTGAGACAAGGGCCCAGTCAGAACCTTCATCACTGGAAACTGGAGCTGCAGGGGTGGGCTCAACGGCAAAGCACGACAGGGTTCTTTCTGATCGCCAGGTCGGTGATCGTCGTGCTGCGGGAAGCAGAGAGTGAGGGGCCCCGCGATGCCGGCTAAATACAACATTCTTGGATTCCATTCTTTCTCTTCCCCGCACTAACGCCTAAAAAAGGGCATGGCACGGCCACATGGACTAGTGCAGATCAATGCCGGCTGTACTCGAACGGCATTCCGTCCACAGGGGTTCATTCGCTAGTGACCGGGCATCGAGCGATCGACAATAAAATCGGGCATGCCCAATTCGTGCGGAGAAATTGGCACGAGCACGGGGTATTTTCGCCCGTAGCCGTGTATGTAAAGCTGTCACCTACCCTTTGAGGTGATTTCCCTTTGTCCCCTGGAAACTCAAGAGAGCCCTTGATACTGGCAGGAAACTGATGTGACCATGAAGCTCTCACACTCGCTGATACCTCTCTCGACAATGGCCATGGCCATGTCCCCTGGCCAGAATGACGACGACTTCTCTCCTCCCAGATCCTCTGCCCACCCCCTGCGACTATGGTACACCTCCCGGGGCACTCTATGGAACGACTCGATGCCCATTGGCAACGGACGCCTAGGCGGGATGATCCGCGGCGTGCCGACCCAGGAAATCATCTCCACAAACGAGGACTCATTCTGGTCCGGCACCGCCATGGACCGGCTCAACCCGGACGCCGCGTCCACCCTCAAGACGGTCCAGCAGCTTCTCGTCCAGGGGGAGGCCCCGAAGGCAGAGCTCGAGGCCGCCCTGGGTCTCAGCGGGACCCCGACCAGCATGCGCATCTACCAGCCTGGCGGAGACCTGTGGATCAAGTACGACGGGGTCAACACGTCCGACATTGGCGGGTACGAGCGCTGGCTGGACCTTAGCGACGGCACCGCGGGGGTATACTTTGAGGCCGGGGGTGTGGCGTACAAGCGCGAGTACATTGCCAGCGTGCCCGCGAGTGTTCTTGCGGTCCGGCTGACGGCGTCGGAGCCCGGCAAGCTGAGCGTCAGGGTCAAGTTCGAGAGGCCCTCGGACGGACAGAATCGGTTCGTTGACAAGTCGTATGCCGAGGACGGGCACAGCATTTTTTCTCTGTACAGCTCTGGCGACATCCGCGCGGTCACGGGTGCTAGGGTCAGATACCTCGGCGGGACGAGCCGGCAGATTGGGGACAACGTGCAGGTCATGGGTGCGGATGAAGTCTGGGTGTATTCGGACACAGAGACAACTGTGCGCTGTCAGGATCCCCTGGGCGAGGCCAAGACCAAGCTGGCTGCGGCAGCGGCGAGGACGTATCAGGAGATCCGGGACGAGCACGTCAAGGACTACCAAGAGCTCTTCGGTAGGACGGAGTTCTCGCTGGGCGAGTCGACTGACGAGCAGAGGTCCATGCCGACGGACAAGCGGAGGCAGACACTCGGCCAGGGGGCGTTTGATCCAGAGTTCGTGTCGCTTTATTTCCAGTTTGGGAGATATCTCCTCATCTCGTCGTCGCGGCCGGGCACTTTTCCCGCGAACCTCCAAGGTATCTGGAACAACGAGCTGAGTCCAGGATGGGTATGTCTCTTCCACAAAAAGTGTTCGCGAGGCGTTTGACTGACCGAAACTGACATGATACCAGGGCTCAAAATTCACTATCAAGTAGGCGATGTTGGCAGCAGAGTCTCAAATTAGTAGCTTACTAACCAGCTTTCAGTATCAACCTCGAGATGAACTATTGGCCTTCCCAAGTCACAGGTAGGTCAACCTCTTCCCTGCACGCCTTTCGCTCGACCCCGCTGTAGACACGTCACGACTCACATCGCCTCCCCCTACAGACCTCCAAGAACTCAACCAGCCCCTCTTCGACCTGATCGAGAAGATCTACACCTCCGGCAAGCGCACCGCGACCGAGATGTACTCGGCCCGCGGCTGGCTGGCCCACCACAACACCGACATCTGGGGCGACACTGCACCACAGGACATCTGGGCGCCGGGCGCGTACTGGCCGCTCGGCGGCGTCTGGCTGGTCAGCCACATCTACGAGCACTACCTGTACACGCGGGACGCAGCGTTCCTGGAAAAGTACTACTACCTGTTCTACGAGGCGGCCGAGTTCTTCGAGGACTTCCTGACGGACTACAAAGGGTGGAAGGTCACGAATCCGAGCACCTCCCCGGAGAACTCGTACAAGAACGGCTCGATCACGGGGAGCATGACGGTCGGCTCGACGATGGACAACACCCTCCTGCGGGAGCTGTTTGACAATCTCTTCGCTGCAACGGCCGTACTGGGCAAGCCGGAGACGCAGCTGATACGCAACGTCAAGACCCTGAGGGACAAGCTGCCGCCGCTGGCGGTCTCGTCCCGCACGGGCAGGCTGATGGAGTGGATCGAGGACTTCAACGAGACGGAGCCGGGGCATCGGCACATGTCGCATCTCTACGGCCTGTTCCCGGGGAGCGAGATCAAGAGGGGGGACAAGAAGACCTGGGATGCGGCGGTGGCAGCCCTGGCGTGGAGGGTCTCGTAAGTCGCTTTTTGCTCTTTTCCCCCCAAGCCCCTGCACATTCATGGACAAGCCATTGTCATAACGGAAAAATCACCACTCCGAGATTGCTTACTTACCCTTCCTCACCCATTCACAGGAATGACGCCGGCGACATGGGCTGGTCCCGCGCTTGGACCACGGCGCTGCACGCCCGTGTGCTCGACGGCAAGAGCGTGCAGGCCGACATTGCCGCGCTGCTCGTCAATCTCACGCACAACAGCCTCCTGGACGCGGGCCCACCCGCGGCGTTCCAGATCGACGGCAACTTTGGCGGGACGGCCGCCATTGCGGAGTCCCTCCTGCAGAGCCACGAGTATGATGATCAAGATGGTGGTGATGGGCAGCGGGTGTTGATCCGCGTGTTGCCGGCGCTAATGCCGAGTAGTGTCAAGGGGCGGTTTGGCGGACTTGTGGCGAGGGGAGGATTTGTTGTGAGTGCGGAGTGGGATGGGGGAAAGGTTACGAAGGTGGTGATTCAGTCGAGGATTGGTGGGAAGGTGAGTGTGACTGCGGCGGACACTGGTGTGAAACTGGCTTCAGAAGGAAGAGACAGCGAGGCTGGAGAGGTGTTGGTTCTCGATACGGTGGCTGGTGGCGCATACACTCTTGTGGGAGTGTCCAAATAGGGCCAAGGAGAGCGGGAATCAAAAGGAGCTGCCACCCATTTTCATCCATTGACGTAGTTCTAGTGGGAGACAGTCTCTCGCTTCCATTGCGGACACACCCGATATCTACATTTCCAAAAGAGTGACGTTGAAACCAAAATAGCCGTACTACCGGACTGCAAGTTATCGCAAAACCAGACTATTGTGTCCCTCCACATCAGTCTACCTCCACTTGTTATCCCAACCAGCCTGCTCGACCACGAACGCGATGGCCAGCTCCGAGAACCGCGCCATGTGCTGAGCTTGTCAGCATACCGGACTCCCTCCACACAGAACAAAACATTCGCAGGATCACTTACATCAATCGAGTACACGCCCGTCGTGTCATTCACATACATTGTATCCTTGCTCGTGTGCACGTACGGGTCGAACTCGCCAAAGCCCCCGTTCCCACCAGCAAGCGGGTTGCCCTCGGTGGCAAAAGTCGCCGGGTACTTGAGCTGCGTCCACGACATGTAGTCGGACCCTGCGCCCTCGCTGAGGCCGTACACGTGCGCGGGGATGTCGACGTACTCGGTGCTCAGCTTGACCGCCCACTCGGTCAGCCTCTCGTCCGACTGGGTCTTGACGAACCCGATCGACTCGGTGGCGTTGGCGGCGATGAAGGCCGTCATGTCGAACTCCATCATGGCGCCCACGCGCGCGTTCTGGTCCTTCTTGAACCGCGCGATCGCCTGGCTGCCCAGCAGGCCGCCCTCCTCGGCCGCGTACCAGTGGAACTCGACGGGCCCGTTGGCGGGCTGGTACCCGCTCGACGCGAGCACGCGGAAGGCCTCGAGGATGCTGACGGTGCCGGAGCCGTCGTCGTCGGCGCCGGGGGCGGCCAGCAGCGGGAACAGGTAGTTTGCCGAGTCCTGGTGGGCGCCGAGGATGGTCAAGGGCAGGGACGAGTTGCGGACCTTGGGCTCGAAGCGGGCGATGATGGAGGACTGGGGGAACGGGTGGGTGAAGTATTCGAGCGAGATGTGGGTGCCAAAGGGAGCAGCTTGGATGATCTGGAGAGGCGGTCAACTCAAAGTGAATGGGCGAGTTTGGAGGCTTGCAGTGAAAGTCTGGGACGCACCTCGGCAATCTCGTCGTGCAGCCAGCGGGCACTCTTGGCACCGATGACGCCGCCGTAGTAGCGGTTGTAATAGCTGGAGAAGTGCTCGATCGCCGTCCTCATCCTGTCTGTTGAGACGAGACTGAGGAGCGGCTTGATCAGGCGCTGGTGCGTGAAGTCGGGCAGGTCTGGAGCAGCAGGTCAGACGACGATTGATTTCTCACGAGGAATTGAAGTTGAACAAAGACTGTACTTACGAGGGTCCCCAGCAAATAATGACTCGACATCGTTGTAGTAATCCTCGTACCCGGTGATGTCGATGAATTTGCGCCTCTGCCGACGGAGGCGCATCTTGTCGCCCTCGGTCAGCCACTTGGCCTCCTTGTCTCCCAGGAGATGGAGCAGACGCGGCTCATTGACGTGAGCCGCGAGCGCTGGGTCGAGAAAGAGCAGTGCATCAACAGGATCGGCATGCTTCTCGAGGGCGGCCTCGATCATGTCGTGGGTGATCGCGCCCTCATGCACGTGAGCGTGGTCAGAGCTGGACGCAATGACATTTTGAGCCGGCTGGTGGGAAAGTCCGCCCTGGGCAAGGCCCAGCAGCAAGAAAGGGATCTGAGTGCGCATCTCGGGTTCAGCTGATCTTCGTCGTTGCACCAAATATAAAAATGCTGTGTGACTATGCTGGTGAGAATGGCCGCCAATGGACATGCTTATGTACTTATCATAGACAGGCAGGCGGGCGTCAACATGGCAACCAGCGCCACAATCGTGCTTGTGGCTGGTTATTGCGCGCGCGGAGTCGGCGCTCGGCGCTCGGATAAGCACAGAGTGTGTGGCTTGCCCATGTCTTGACCCCTGACTTGACCCCGGCTCAATCGACTGGTAGGAAGTGGGGATCGGACCATCGCTGTCCACGGAGCTGTGATGGGTACGAAGATGCGCTCTCGAAAGATAAAACGTGCGATTACGAATGGAAACACATGGCCTTGATTAGCAAAATAATTCATTCAGTTTGTTTTCATCCGTCTAGACCCTGTCATCCCGTTTTCCCATGCCCATGATATAACCACGCTAAATCGAGACTTTTGTTCCGTTTATCATTCCCCATCCCTGTCTTTACGACATCTCAACATCGTCATCGTCCTCGCTGTCGTCCTCGTCGAGGTCAAGGCCGTCGAGCTCGTCGTCGGTGTCGAGCGTCTCGGACATGAAGTAGTCAATGGCACCGGGGTAGATGTCCTCGGCAATGGTGACGGCGACCTCGTGGCCGGCCGGGAAGGTCTCGGCCTCGGCCTCGGCGGGCAGGTCCTCGTCGTCGTCATCCTCGTCCTCGTCCTTGTCCTCGGCGACGGGCTTGCCGGCGAGGGCGGCCTGGCGCTTGGCGTCGAGCTCGGCCTTGGCCTCCTTGCTCTCGGCGGCGCTGGTCCAGCGGCCGCGGTACGAGAAGAAGTTGAAGAAGCTGATGGCGCCCTCGACCTTGTTCTCGAGCGTGTCGACGACCGTCTTGTACTCGGGCATCTTCTTGGCCTCGGCGTCCCGGGCCTTGCGGGCGTCGCCGGCGACCACGCCGTCCAGGTTCTGGCTGGCCATCTTGCGCTGCGCCTGCCAGAAGGCGTACGCCGCGTCCGTCAGGCCCTCGGTGACATCCTTGCCGGCCTTCCAGTTGATCTTGATCGGGTCAGACACCAGGCCGGCCTCGCCGTCCTTCGAGTACCGGTAGTAGAGAGTCTTCTCGAGCACGCTGTCGGTGAACCAAGGGTTCTCGCTGAACTGGAAGCGCAGCGTCACAGACCGGGGCTCGCCGTAGCCGCCGAGGCCGGTGTCGCCAATCTTGGCAGTGGCGGGGATCTCGGGGCGGACAACCTCGATCCCGGTCAGGGCATGCTCAAAGATCTCGCGGTCGTTGGGGGTGATGGCAGCCTCGAGGTCGACCTGTGCGTTATTAAAAACAACACTCCAGAAGTGCTTGATCTGATTTTTCGATCTCTATTAGCTCCTGACACGCTCCAGTGGTGTCGTGGTGGGCTGCTGAAGCCGGAAAATAACGTACCTTGGAGATGGTCTGGTGGCGCTGCGCAAAGATGTCCTTGGTCATCAGGTACTGCTTGGCAATGATCTCGGTGTCGACATCGGACAGCGCAGCCTCGAGAAGCTCGAGCTCCTTGATGGTCTGGGGGTCGATCTCGATTCCCTGGTCGACAGACATGGTTGTGGTTGTGGTGGTGTGTGTGTGCGTGGTGGGAAAGGAAGGTAATTTTCGGGGGGTATCTTGCGAAGAAGGACGACAGGAAGGAGACGTAAAAAATGAAAGATATGCAGATGAGATGAAGAGATGGGAGCAAGCAAGCTGGCGGGAGCTGGCACAAAACTTATAAAGAGGTCGAGGAGGGGCAGCTCTCTCCAATGTAAACAAAAAAGAGAGCGAACAAGAACCCCTCCTCCCAGCGCTTTTTTTTTCTTCCAGCTTCTGATCGCCCAAGCGGCAAATAAAAAAAAGCTGGACCCTGACTTCATGCATGCCCCACCAAGTGCTGTCAGGTTGTCACTGTGCCAGGAACCCATGATTGGGCTCCAGCAGCCTTTCCGGGCCCTAATCCCTGCAATATGGGCCCTGCTCAAGCTACTAGTGGAGTGCTAGAAAACGACCGCCGCGTTCTTTTGCCCCTCTTTGCCCCTCATCTGCCAGCAGGGCGATGGGGACAATGCCATTTTCTTCCAGATCGGGCCCCCGTCTTTTGTTCTCTTATCGATTGTTTCCAGGTCATTTTTCTGTCACCACCCAGACTTGCAGCGGGGCTCTCTGTGGGGAGACTACCGGGGCGTGCTGGCAAGTTACCTAATGACGAGAAATTCTAGAGGGTCTCAGGGTCTGTTGCTTCGTGAACGCCGTTACGGCTGCGTGCAAAAATATTCACCTGGGTCCCTGTGAGGTGTGAGGAGTGGTGGGGACCGTGTGGTAGAGCCGAGCCCGACCTGGTGGATCAGTAAAGTTTCTCGCTGTTGCCAGGTCGACTTAGAGGGCCGCGTTCCTGTCGCCGTGCTGAGGCGGTGAGGAATCTCTATCTCTGTGGAGGCGGCATCGTCTGATAAAGTTAAGTATTCCTGGGTAGACCACGAGATTCACGTACTGGCGATGCCTTGCCTTTCTCGGAGCATGCTTCACAGATTACAATGAGCAGACCAGGTCAAAAGGTAGACGAAAGTGGCGTACGCTACGTGAGCCTTAATGAGCTTGTTGGGTCACGACCTCTATGCTACCTAGGTAGCAGTCTTCAGCACCACGTAGTTGCTTCCTTCGCATAACATTTGCGGGCCACAGATTGTCTCATTGAACCTCACACAGTAGCCTAATTATTTAGCCATCTGGAGACATGATATTTGTCCTTGGCTGTCAAGCATGCCCTTCCACAGGCTGGGGAAGCACATCATAGAACCATGAATGTGGGCAACGCATCGCCAAGTCCGTGGCCTGTCCGTCTCATTCCATGCCCCGTACGCGCCTTCAGGCATACCCCTCCGTCCTCATCGAGCCACACGGTACTGAAAGCATGCCTTTTGCGCCGGGCGAGCAGAACGGGTGGCCTGATCAGGTGCTGCCACCGAAGCACATCAGCTGGCCAGAGGCGTTGGTGATATGGTCGTCTAAATAACACCTGTTAGTTTACTCTCATACCATCTGGCTCGGCGTTGGAGAAGCAAGCCTCTGCAGCCATCATGACATACTAATCCGGTAGGCCAAAGTTCCCGACCATACTCCATTATAACCGGGGCAGTTAATAACTAGTTCGTTGGACGGGGAAAGAAAGCTACCGCCCACGTCACACGAGCCGCCATATCCACCACTATTGACGTCAACGAGCAATGCAAATTGTTAGTTGGTTTCTTCGCTCGCGTGCTGGTCTCGAACGGCGAGATCCAGGCAAGGTCATAAGCCTAGGAATAGTGATGACATACTTTTGGAGGTATCCCAGTCTCCCGTTGGAGTTAACGAAGCACCGATTCATGTTGAGCCTGGAGGTGGGCCAGCCGCCTGAAAGGTTGCGGCATTCGGCAACGAGCCAGGTCTTCGCCCCGCCGTCAAGGCGCACGTTTCTGCAGGAGCCTAAGAAGCCACCATCTCGCTTGCCCAGCGAGATAGTCTTGTCCCCTAGTATCTCGCGTATCTCCAGGGTTTTGGGGATGGTGACGTCAGCGACCGGAGCCGCGCTGGTAAAGAGGTTACCGCCGAGCGAAGCCGTGAGGGCGACAATAGTGGCTGTCTTGAAATGCATTATGGGATATGGGCTGGTAAGTATTAAATAAAGGGCTGCGGGGTTCGACTCGGAAACAATTGAGAGTGCGGTGGTTTAGGAATAGACCATAACGGTAGGTATGTCTGGAGGTCTTATATAGTTTGTAAAAAAGATAGAGAGGCAGCTTATACTCTATGTCTCACGGTCTGATTGCTTTTCCTTCACGATCTTTTGTGCGTAGATATCGGGCATGATGAGTCGCCCCCGGTCGGGTTACTGGCAACCCATGTTGACTATCTGTGGCGGATTGAGATCCCGGCTGGCTAGGTTCTCCGAGCCCCAGCAGGCATTCCCACGCGCCCGCGATCCCTGTCCTCACCTCCACCGCCAAAAGATAAAGCTCGTAAGGAGTCCCACTGTATCCCCCCTCCAAGAAAGTACCAGGCCATTCAGCTGGCTGGAGGTTGACAGGCCGCTCCTCCAGGTGGGCTGCAGCCAAGTAGACATAAGCCATCGCAGAGGTTGAGATGTGCTCAAGCGTACGCTAAACCGCCGCGACCGGCAACCAGCCAAATACGGCAGCTCTTGTCGGCTTATATTGCTGGAGTCAAAAGAACTATTAGTATAGACGTCATTGAGCTTCGTACGCACTGCGATCACTCATGTCCGCTTCGTGGCTACCTTTTCAAGGGGCTGACATGAGCAGGAGCCGCTTACATGTGTGGAGTAGCGGCGGCCCAGGCCGCGGCAGTGTCTTGGTTTGGAGCCTTACGAGTCTGTACTCCTTCAGGAGGCCAAGTCTGTAATCCTTCAGGAGGACAAGACTTGTTATCGGGTCTTCGCTCCGGTAAAGGCAGGAGCGAGGAGCTGGTGCTCACGGACCAGATCGAGTACCTTGTTAAGCTTTAGATACCCCGGATGCGCCTAATGAAGAGAAAGCGTGATCCAGAAAGTGTAATACCGGCATGGTGAGAGACGTGGAGCAGAGGCTATTCATTATTGTCCTCGCTTTGACACATTTTGTGTTGTCCTTGAACTGTGCAAATCTATATGATGCAGCGGCATACATGCACCTACCTGATATATTAGGCCCAGCCTCCGACATTTCATATCGACATAAACACGACTGCCAAGACCCGACTGCCTTGAGGAGAAGTTGATCCACAGCTTCGCTCTATGATGTCACACCCGTATGATCAGGGTCTAAACGCTGAAGTCAGTCACGAACCCTGGCTGCGTTGGCCAGAACAGCCCATGAAAATGTCCACTTTGAGTGATCCTTGTTCCGCATCATAGGGGTTGTATTCCTTCCGCCACTCACACCGACACAATCTATGCGGCATGGACTTAGAGGTGGATAGTCTTAATTATGTAGTGACTGTCAAAGTAACTCTATGGCCTCGATATCCCACCGGAAAGGAGATAAGAGATATTATTGCTTGCATCCTTCGTCTCTGATTCCAAAGACAGACTATGGCCATTGATGTATGCCTTGATGGTTTTAGTAAACCAGACTGGAATGAGCACCAGAGTATAGAGATAAAACCTTCAGGACAGAGATGAATGAAATGGTCTACTGTTAAATTGTCAAACTTCGTCTTCGCTGCTCGTCTCTGCCGGAAGACTACTGTAACATCTCTTTGGCCAAGGTGAAGCTCATTCCGGGAAACATGCTCTCTTCATCTCTCCAAGAGAGCGATTTCAAGCGATATGTGTAGTCATCTTCTCCCCCATGTCAAATATCCCTGCCAACAATTCGTTGAACCATGTGGGCCGCTCATGAATCGGCGCGTGAGCAAGTCCATCCACGATAAAGGCTTGTGCCGGCTGGACATGGTCGATCAACTTCCTACCTAGCAGCACGGGCATGGCTTTATCCTCTGAGCCATGCACGATCATGATTCGTTCCCTTCCAACCTCATCAGCCAAACTCCTCAGCTGCTCAGGCGTCTTGCTATGCGTTGCCGCAGCAGCTGCATGCATAGCGAACCCAGAGAACGTGAAACTCCCGGGAGTCTTCCGTTTCGCCACCTCCACAGCCACGAATCGTTCATAGTTGTTCACAAACCTCAACGGTGTCTGACCGTTGAGCCCCGGCGTCATCGGTCCAGGGAGATCAACATCATCCTCCGCGGCCAGCCACTCCGGTGGGTATGCGATTTTCGCGATGTGTCTTACTTCGTCCTCCAGCGTCTTGGGCCATACCATCCCCAGCATATCCTTGACTCCCTGCCACCACGACTCTGAAGTGTTTTCGTACCGCGCCGTGGTGCTCCACAGGCTGAGTGTGCATACCCGCGAGGGCGCCGCGAACGCGAGCTCCTGCGCAATCATCCCGCCCATGCTCCCTCCACAGATGTGCAGCTGTCGCGGATCGGTCCAGCCGAGGTGGTCAGCAACTTCGAGTATATCGAGAGCCATGTGCGATGTGCTGGTGCGGTGCAAGGGACAGCCAGCAGCTGAGCCGCCGAGACCGCGATTATCAACGAGGAGGAGCGAGTACTTGTCGCCGTTGTTGTGCCCAAAGAAGAGGGTCTGGTTCTGGAAGTCTGCTTTAGCGAGGCCCAGACCGCAGATGAACTGATACCCGTAGTTAGCGACGGGTTTGCTGGCTTGAAGTGAGCCAGTGACGGTTGCGTACGATAATTTTGAGCGGCCCGTGGCCGTGTACTTCCCAGCTGACTTTTGCAGGAGTCGTCCTCACCTCACCGACAGGGAGAAGACCTGACTGTGTGGGCCTGAGGCCCCATATCGCTGTCGTGAAGGCAGGATGGGCAGTCACCTGCTGAACTGTTGGCGGGTATTCCATTTTGTCGTTGACATGAGAAGAGAGTTATGTTTTCGAATCTTGGACCCAGGGTGAGCGATCGAGGTGAAGATAAAAGATGACGTTCTTGCTTACTGCTGGAAAAAGATCGTGAGGACCCAAGATTGACCCGCTCTTCCTTGGCATGGGTGTGCTGATCATACGATGGAGCATCTCACCTTCGAACCAGCCAGCCTCGTGCCGGACTAGGCAATAATTTATTGCTGCCCTTCACACATCTCCTCGAAACTTCTCCCAGTCTGAACGGTCTGTATGGTGAATATAGTCTCATGTTTGGATGGAGGACCTCCATCGTCTTACTTGTGTCAATCAGCCTTCGACCAGATGCGAGATATTAGCATTTTAGATCAATCTCGCAACACCAAGACAATTTCAACCTGTCTATTGGAAGGCAATGTGATACTGTATATTTCCCAAATCCACGGAGCACCTGCAAAGTTTATTCTAGAGCAGCAATATGGGACCTGGCGGATCAAGATCTGGCCCCGCTTCCATACGATGTCCGCTGACGTGTGAACTGTTATGCTGGTTGTACCCCTGTTCGCGCGCTGCACGCTAGGACACCTGGGCAGATGTGCGTAGTGATTGTGTGAGACTCTCCCCGCCATGCCTTGTTTTATCCGGGGATACTTGATACACCCGCACTGTATTTCTTGCAAGAGCCAGCACTCCTCCCCGTCATGCCGCATCAGCATGCCACGTGAATACATTCCACCCAAGCCTTCAGGGCGCGGCGATGCTCCGTCCCCTGTGCCGATAGCATCCGCACTGCGACTGGGAGCCGAGCAACAGAAGGAAGCAATGGCATCCCGCCTGCTTGCGCTCCCGACTGAGCTGCTCCGGCTAGTCGCCGCCAGGATCTGGTGTACCGATGACTTCGAGAGCCTGATGCTCACGTGTAAGACCGCCTACTTGAGTAGTACCGATCTGATCGCGCAGCACAACGAGCACAGGCGTCTTTTTCGCCACATCAAGATTCGTGCGCCCTACACAGACACTGCATATCTGATTCAGACTCTGGTGGATTACACCCTCGGTATTGCTGCGCATCCGGAGATTGCGCGATACGCACGCACCTTGACAGTCGCGCAGGACGGTGAACAAAAATCCCTGGAACTCGACGAAATCGGCGACAACAGAGATGCGCCGCGGTACACAAATGCAGGGCTCGAATGGATACGCAAACAGGACTCGGGGCGAACGAGAAGCGCTGGAGCAGGGCTATTGTTTGAGGCCGTCGTGGACTCGCCATGGTTCCGGGCCGCTGGTGTAGACACGACAGCTTGGTTCGGCAGGGTTCGGCAGTTCAAGAGTCTTGTCGGCATCGACGACGGAAGCCAAAGCCAACGCGACTACTCGATGAGCGACGATGCTTCCTGGGAGGAGAGAGATATGATGAAAGCAGAGATGGAAGTTGCCGTCATGCAACTCGTCGTGCTGCTGTTCACCCAGCTGGACAAGCTCCAGACGCTCATTCTTCGCCGGAAAGCTGATTTGTCTGCGGACCCGGGCATTGCCAGCGATCAACTGCGAGACTCTCAAAGAGTCCTTGAACTTATGGTGGCGCGTATCGAAGACGACGACATATCTCGCACAATGGGTTCTCATAAGCTAGCTGAAGCTGGCCACATCACTGAGGATGTCACTACCAGTCACACAAAGGCGTCTGTGCTCGCACTTCGCGCCTGCGGCCACCTCACCTCACCACTGAACAATCTCCGCGAAGTCCGCACCGATATTGAGAAGAGGCCGGAAAACTTCATGGCCACGAGAGCCCTTGATGCGGTCTTTGCCTCATCACGCGTGCGAAATGTGTTTGCCACATGCCTGATCGCGGACGAAGAGGAGCCAGCGGGTGAATATCATGGCCCGTCGCCATCGTCTGCTTTGCTCAAGTCAGTCCAGCCGTACAGCGGAATCGAGCGCCTCGAACTGTATGGTTCAGCACTCGGTCCCGCAGGAATAGCTGGACTTGTCCATCGCATGCCTTTCCTCAAGGTCCTGAGATGCATGCATGAACCCAAGACTACCGGCTTTTATGGGTCAGCCGCGGCGGGGAGCGAGTGGGATCTTGATGGGTTCCTCAAGGCGGTGGCCACTGCTCGCCCCGTCATGCCTTATGCCTCCCCCGTCCCGCAGACTCTTGGCGACAGCATTACTGACCTGGGAATTGCCCTGCCGCTCGAGAATTACCCATACACCACGGCCGTGTGGTCATTGCATAACTTTACGGCACTCAAGAGGCTCGAGGTCGGAGCATGGGTCTTTATCGGTCCAAACCCAGCCTCCGGCGAACGGCTGGGACATTTGAAACCTTCACCGCCACGACCTGGATTTGAAAAATGGGATCGCAAAAAGGATGGCCAAATCCCCAAGCTGGTGGACGTGCTTCCACCCAGTATCGAAGAGGTCTTTATTGAGCTTGAGGGTCATTGCGACATCTGGCGAAGATTGTTTCAGGGTTTCGCTGCGGAAAGGGCAGAGAAGCTACCCTCTCTCAAGCGCTGTGCCGTATGGGGAGATTTAGAGAATTTTGACTACCGTACCGACACACAGGAGGGATATAACCTGCGGGAAACTGCTGCCATCGCCGAGCTCGAAGGTCAGGGGGTAGAGTACATGAAAGATGGACCTCATCAGCACTTTTGGATCACAGAGTTTGAAAATAGAGCGATCGAGGACCCGCTGTCTCATTGATCCCTTTCGATCAGAGTTGCAATCAAGATCTTATTCTAGGGGTAGGAAAGAACAACAAAGACAGTCTACAATTAGTAGGGTTCGAAAAAGTGTCTAGCAAAATTACTGGCCAGGAGCAAGCGGGGAGACCCCAGCTCTGAGCAAAACAAATATCACCATCGTCGGGAGTTCACCCTTTACTGGTCCTGGCAGTCTTGTCGCGGGAGTTTTGTCGCGGGAGTTCACCTTGCCGAAGGGAGAGTGAGGGTATCTCTAATCTCGATGGCACAATGATGGGGAAGCTAACCAAGTCTGTGGTAATATATAGTCTTTATAGTCTTGAAGCCCTTTCGAATCGTGTTCATGATAAGATCCAAGGCGAAGATTGAAATACACAGTGGCTTTCATATAAGCCACTCAACCAGGTAGGCCACCCGCCGCGGAGTCGTGGGGAAACAAACCCGTTTAGTCCTCACGACGTTCACAGACAGAGGCATACTCGACATCTCCGCTGGAGCGAAAGTGTACCTGCCTAATAGTTAATAGAGCAAAACAATGTGCTCAAAGTCTATCCCTAGCAACCGCAAACATAATCCTTCTACAGCTTATTCTTGCCTAGTCATCTCCAAATTTGGTATGTCAAAGTTCAAACGGTCCACCCCGAAAAAGTTGAAGTACTCGTACGAGACCAGGCCCTCATGAACCTCGTCGCCAACCGTCGCCGTGATGTTGCCCACCCACCTAGCATACATACCTATACCTCCAGATTGCACGGCCGGTAGGAGGTCGGCGCTGAGAATGGTGCCGTCGTTCAGCGTCATCTCCAAGTGGTAGGTGTCGGGCGTAGGTGAGCCCGGGAAGGGAGGGTGGGTGATGTTTTGTCCCACGGGGCGGACCTGGACATTGCTGTCGCATCTCGTGCTCAGGATCTGCCCGTCGCGTACTGCATACCCACTGACGTGCGCTTCGTTTTCTTGGGTCAGGGCGTCGATCCACACTAGGCTGTATGGTCCGGCCCGTGCGTGACCCCAGTACCAGCTGCCAAGCGACTCATTGAAGCCATTGACTGCCCAATTCTACATCGTCACACCTGTCAGAGACTTGCAAAACGACGCGGGTTGACGGTTTCACAAACCTTGTCGTGGTATCCAATTCCGGTAAAAGTCAATGGGGTCCCATTAACCTCGACGTCGACTGTGACATCGCCATCTGGGATCGAGTTGGCCCAGCCGATTCCAGGAACTATCTCCATCGTGCGGCCGGGAAGCACCTGGCTGCAAGGATAGTGGGGAGGAGCAGTCTGGGAGTGTTAGCCAAGCCATAGGCGCTCCAGAGGCCACAAAAGGGTTCGTGTCTTACCGAGCGCACGTGAAAGACCCCGCTGATTGCATCGGTCTTGAGCTCAATTTGGTACTCGGACAGGTCAGGCGTGCCGGTAAAGGATATGTTGTGGTGCTCGCCACCCCAGATGCCGCTAGCGCCCTGACCGGATGTTGATACGATGGCCTCGTTGCCGACAAAGTTGAGGAGGAAAGTAGTCCCGTTCGGATACGTTCCTGTCACTTGGACCCATGGGACACCCTCATACGAGGGACCCGGAAAGCCAGCGTTGCTGCCGCGGAGGAAGAAAACAACGACGAGAGAGGAGATGCCATCGTCGGCTACTGCGTCGAAATACCACCAGTCGATCGTGGTGTCATTGACGGGAAGTACCTTGGGAGCGTCGAATCCGTTCTCACAGGAGACTGCTCGATAATCGCTGGGACCATGGTATGGTTCGCTGTCGAAAACCTGAATACCTTGCATGGGGTTACACGCTGGCTCGGCTGCCCCAAGCTGCGCTCCGAGGAGGGCGATTGTGGAGAAAGTAGTTGTGAAGCGCATGATGTGGAATTTCGGATTCTGCCCAGAAGGTTACAAAATCTTGGTAAAGTTGACTCTGTACGCAGATTGTTGTGTAGAATGAAGGAGCTGTGTCGCGGGCCTTGTGCAGCTTTAAATCTCTGCTTTAGAGGGTGACACTTGCGATACGATCAAACAAAACAAATTGAATGAGAATGCTATGATAATCACTTGCATCACGAGCTAAAGCATCGCATTTCGCCCGAAATGGACGTACCTTGATATAGTTCAGGGCCGTGCGTCACCTCCACGGCCCTTGACGGAGCTTGGCTGGGGCTATGTTGCTCGGAGTTAAGGAAGGCCCCGGTACTTCGTAGTCCCACGTTACCCTAGCGCTTATCCAGGTATCTAAGTGAGAACCGTAAGTGGCCTTTTCGACCCGTGCTTGGAAGTATCCCTGTCTCCCCCTCCCCTAGTACTTTGACAATCGTGAGCTTCTAGTAGACTTTTAATTTACTTTCATCATAATTGGATACTATTGGCTGTAATACCTGAAAGTTCCCCGCAAAATAAGTAGCGAAGGCCTCTCGGCTCTGAGCACGTAATGTGATAAGCCTCGTTGCGGCGTAGACGCGTTAGCTGGTTGCTTGTTGAGGGTCTTCGACACCCTAATTCCGTGTCGTCTCCAAGGGACACGAATCGGTCGAAGGTCATCCGCCGATTAGTCAGGAGACTTTGAGAAAGTACAAACCTGTACATTGTGTCAGGACGTGCAAACACCGTGACAGGGCCTTTTTCCCAGTAGTTCCATGTAACCGTAGCACTTTGAGCATCCATGTGATGGCTTCTGCGCTGCAGGAGTACCCAAATATATGTCTTGTCCATTCTCGAAAACCTCGCTCCTGGTCGAATTGGGTGCTCAAGGCCCAGTGAAAGCTTGCGATTCATGGTGGACTAAGAGATCTAGATCGCCGCTGATGGGCAAACACTTCTGGTCTTATTGTGCTACGCTGCTACCTAGAGCTTCGCCTGTATCGGGCTGTCGAGGGAGCACAGGCCATTCCTCATCTCTCCCATTGCCTTGCGTAGAATCTTACCTGTCGGGTTCTTGGGAAGCGCCTTGATCTCCCAGACTCCACCACGCAGCTTCTTGTACCCACTGACCTTGGTATTGACACCCTCTTGAATGCTCCTTAGCACTCTTCTCCTCTTGTCCTCTGACAACGCCTTGCAACGACCATGCAGGACGACCCAAGCAGTGGGCAATTCCGTCAGCTGGGACTCGTCCCACGTGGCCCCGACACCACCTTCCACTACATCCGGATGCCCGTTGACGTACACCTCCAACTCGTTCGGGCTGACCTGGAAGCCCTTGTACTTGATCAGCTCCTTGGTCCTGCCGACAACACTGACCCGTCCCTGTGAGTCAATCGTACACACATCGCCCGTGTTATACCACCCCCTTTCCGGAAAGTTCTTCTCATTCGCCTCATCGTTGAAAGCATAGCCCCTGGTGATATTCGGGCCATGGAGCCACAACTCTCCCGGCCCACCGAGCGGTGCATCTTCCCCCTTCCCTTCGACCATCAGACGAGCCTCGATCCCGGGCAACAACTTCCCCACCACGCCTGCAGGCAACACCTCGCCAAACTTCTGATACGCGACGTACCCCGCGGCCTCGGTCATGCCATACACGTTGTTCAGCCTCCACGGCGCGCGCGAGTACAGCTTGCCGACCAGCTCGTCGCTCAGGGGCGCCCCGCCGACGTTGATGACCTGGGCCTGGCTAAAGTCGTGCTTCCGCGTCAGCTCGTCCGCGTCGTTGGCCAGGCGCAGGACGACAGAGGGCACGCCTTGGAAGCAAGTGGCGCGGTCGGAGCCGACGAGGCGCGCGAACTCGGCCAGGGAGTATGACGGCATAGCGTGGTGGAACATGCCCGTGTACGGGCCTAGGAAGAGCGGCATCGTGGTGTTGCCGATGTGGACCCACGGCGTGAATGCGACTGTGCGGGAGCCTGGGTGGAAGTGCTTCTTCAGTGGATGGCGATGTGGCCTGCCGGAGTCGTTGCAGAGTGTGTCATGGGCGACAAGTTGGTGGACGTTGGCCACAAAGTTGAAATGGGTCAGCTCGACGCCCTTGGGCTTGCCTGTTGTGCCAGAGGAGAGGTGGATCGTGGCCAGTCGGATCGTCGTGTCTGGCCAATGTGGGATGGGCAGTCTCTCGGCGGCAAAGAAGTCGTCAGGGAGGTGCAGAAGCTTGTCTTCCGGGGAGTCGGGACGGGTGATCATCGTCAGGACTTGCGGCTTGTGCCAGGTCACGCCTTGTGCTGATAACTCTGCGGCCGCAACCCTGATGGCTTCTAGGATCGCTGGTAGAGTTGGGCCGTAGGCAATGATGTATTGTGGCCTCGACACGGCGAGTCCATGACCAATCTCGGTCGGCTTTAGTGCGTGATTGATGGGACAGACGACGCCGCCGGTCCACAAGATCGCGTGTACGGCTTCGAGAAACTCGACGCTGTTGGGCAGAGAGAGAGCCCATCGCGCCTGGTCCGGTGGACTTAGCTTGGACTTGAGACCATTGGCGATGCGGCCGGCTCGATCGCGCAGCTCGCCGAGCGTGATGCTGCGGTTCGTGAGACTGTCCTTTGCGATGAGATGCGAATCTGGGATGTCACTGGCCGTGGTGTGCAACAGCTCTGTGAGGTTCTGGTCCCGTGGGATGTCTATCTTGTCAGACATGTAGGTCCTCATGATGTGCCGACCCTATGGGAAATGTTGGTGGGGTCATCTGACGTTGCTTTCCACGGTCTTGACCAGTCTCAATGCAAGAGATGAAATCTGTTGTATCCAAGTCGCCTGTTATTATGCACAATGGACCAAGAATGATTCAACTCGTGCTGAAGGTGATTCTCTTCGATACTTCTGCCACTCGTTCAGTGCAGTCTCCACTCGTGCCACACGAGCCAATATCTCGCTGGCCGTTCGAAGGAAAGGGCTTTTGTCGTTTCCCCGCCTTTCGGAGACGTTCAATGCATTGAGCAGGCGACGGAATTCGGGACTTAGTCATGTCCCGAAGCGACCGGGACGGACTGTCAAACTCGCGTCCCGAGTCGGTCTGGGGGGTTGGCTTGGGTGGGTAGTGTTTTCCGCTGGGCGAGTTGGGGTCGTCTGCCTAGGGCACGGAGGGGTGAAAGTATGAATGCTATCAGCAAGACCCGAGGATCCTCCCGCAAATGACGACAATTACACACATTGAGAAAGTTTGCGAATTAAAGGATCAGACAGATGGGTACAGTCGCGACGCTTAGCTCGGTCAGATTGTCACCATCACAGGAGGATGGCGATATTGGCTACAGCGGAAATTTGGATCAGGACCGCCAAGTGGTCCCAGCATGGACACAGGCGGTGGAATCTCACCAATGGAGGAGAAACAGTTAAAGCTCTTCAGCGGATGGGTTGCCAATCTACGTGAAGATCTCGTTTTAATTGCCATTGCTGTCATTGCAACGGCTACAGCGTAGTCATGCTTGCAAGATATCTATCCCCCAAACTTCTCTGCCGTTGATCATCGTCCGGCTACAGATGTGAAGGTAGCCACTTTGGATCCCTCTTCTCCTTGTACGCTGCCAGCCCCTCTGCCGCGTTCTGACTCCTGAGCATGGCCTCGGCGTAAATCTCCTGCCCTCTCATGGTCGCTCTGCTGATACCAGTTTCCCACGCCTCCCTTGCCGCCAGCCTCGAGATGATTACACTGTCAGGACACAGTGCCGCGATTTCGGCGGCATATCCGATGGCCCTGTCAAGCAACTTATCTTGCGCCACAATCTCCTTGACGAGACCCCACTCCTTGGCTTCTTGTATCGTCAGAACCCTGCCTGTGAGACAGAGATCCATAGCTCTGTGGTTGCCAAACAACACCATGCATCGCGGTAGTGCGCCCGCCAAGGCAGCTACTCCACGCAGAACCTCAGGCAGCCTAAAGTCTGCGTTGGGCGAGGCGAAGATGACGTCTGCGTTGAGCACGATCTCGAAGCCACCGCCTGTTTCATTTGGGGAGTCAGCCATTCATTCTTTGCCCGACCACATGGTTCTGCATCCACATCCAGAAAAGAGGCCTGCGTACCATGTGCGTGGCCGTTCACTGCGGCAACAATCGGCTTCTTCCCCGTGCGATTGCTCATCCCGCCGAACCCGCCAGACGGGTACTCGTGCGCGATATTGTCCGTCTTGAGGATGTCGAAGCGCTGCTTGAGGTCCATGCCCGCACAGAACGCCTTCCTGCCTGCCCCCGTGAACACGGCGCACCGCAGCTCCGGCTCGCTGTCGTACCATTTCCACAACGCGCCCAGCTCAATCGTGGCCTCGACGGGCAGGCAGTTCATGTTACCTGGCCTGTTTATGGTGACCAGCAGGATGTGCTTGCGCGGGAAGGTGATCAGGCAGTGCTCGACGTGTGGATAGGGCGTCTGGATCCACGATGGGACCAGGTTTTTCGTTCGTGGGGACGACATTGCGGTTGGGCGTGCGCGTGTTCCCTAAGGAGGTGCGAGTGGGAAGTGACGGACTCGATTGTGGTGAATCTCTGGTATGGATTGAAGTCGAGAGACTCGCTGTCAATGGCGCTGCCCCCGTCGTGGTCTTCAGTACACTTTGACGGATGAGCTTGTGGTGTAGACGAGCTTGAAACCGCGGTCAATTGAGAGGCAGGTTGTTCTCCAATTCATGGCTCAACGGACGCCTAGGGGTGATGATAGATCCACGCACGGCTTTCACAGATGCTCGGATGCAGCTCCAGCTAAGACTGGTAATGACCAGCGGCAAGATGGCAGCTTGACTAGTCAGCGCCGCGCATGAGGAAACCCTGACAGGTGGATTGTCCTTCCGACAACCTCCGAACCTACATGCTGGACAACGCTGCCGCCACAGTCTCAGTAGGGTTCCCCGCAGTCTGCTGCAACGTGAATCATTAGTGTGTGGTGATCAGCGGCTGGCCCTGGCCCCATGGTTCCAACGCGTCTCCACTAAGATTTGGAACCTCCACTTAACAGCAGTTGGAGTTGGAGGAAGCTCATGCAGCGGGTATTGTCTTCGCCATGACTGAGATAGAACTACTTTGACCTCGGCAGTGTTCTCGACGCGTAGTCGTGATCATGGCGAAACGCGCTTGAGTATCACGAGAAGTCCTACACGAACGAACAAGGACCCCTCCCCTAGCCATCGGCCCGAGCAATCAACAGAGCTTCCTTTCGACCGATTTCAACTTGCACGAAGAGTCGGGACAACAGAGACTCAAGTTGCACAACAGCTCCAACTGCCTTCCACAAGCTATCGTTTCCTCAAACATCTCACGAATCACCACACACAGAGGGAACAACAGCCCACGATGCCTTTCCCAGTCGACACACCACCTCCTCCAACCCCGACCTTTCTCAAAATCACATTCCCCGCCCCGCGGGTCGTGCTCGTGTGCATGGACCGCCCGCGCGACCTCAATGCCATGTCCACCGCCGCGCAGTGGGAGATGGACTCGATATGGAAGTGGTTCGACGACGAGCCGAGGCTCAGCGTGGCCATCATCACGGGGACCGGCCGCGCGTTCTCCGCGGGCGCAGACCTCAAGGAGTGGAACAGGTCCATGGGCGACGAGGGGGATCCGAACTCCCGCATGGGCAACGCGCCCGCGTTCAAGCCCCTGAGCCGGAGGCTGGGCAAGAAGCCCGTCATTGCGGCGGTCAATGGCCTCGCGATGGGCGGGGGCTGCGAGTTTGTCGTGAACTGCGACCTGGTCATTGCTGCGGAGGAGGCGTACTTTGGGCTGCCAGAGGTCAAGAGGGGGATTGCGGCGATCGGAGGCGCGCTTCCGAGGCTGATTCGCACGATTGGTTTGCAGAGGGCGTCGGAGATGGCACTTACAGGGAGGAACGTCTCTGCTAGGGAGATGCAGAGCTGGGGCGTGGTCAACAAGGTTGTGCCCAAGGACGATTTGCTCAAGGAGGCCGTCGGCTACGCGGAGGCGATAGCGCGAAACAGTCCCGACGCGATTATTTGCACCAGGGCAGGCATCAGGCAGGGCTGGGAGACTGCGAGCGTGGAGCGGGCTGTTGAATGGACTCTGGAGAAGGAGTTTGCGGAACTACAGAAGGGCGAGAATATTCTCGAGGGACTGGCGGCGTTCTCTGAGAAGCGGGAGCCGCGGTGGAAAGCTAGCCGGCTGTGACAAAATTACATGGCTGATCGTCACGAAACAGTATTGACACCAAGTGCCATGAGATATCCTCCGGAGAATGCTGTGGGTTTGCCTACAATGCAGACACGAACACAACTTGTTTGGAGATACTTCAGTCTCTTGTCAGCGATGCTCACGATTTGGACGCGCTATGGTGATCAAGTTCGGTTCAAGATGTCCGAAGCGGTGCACGGGTCCTGGAGGGTATTCTATTTCTCGCAAGGTGCCTCAATGGGTAGGGTCCGCGAGCGGAATGAACCTCAGTCGATGGCCTATCCTGGCTTCCACCCGACACGCGATGATTCAGCGCCCATACATAAATGCTCCCCAAGACTGCAGCTCTAGCGGCACAGCTGGGGCTGGTAGCGCTGGAGACTGCGACTCTCTTCGTTCGGCCTCTTCCGTCCTCCTCCACCCTGACTCACCCCAGTGTTCCCCCTCACTTCCCCTGCGAAAGTGAATTGGGGCGAGATCGGTTCCGCTTTCCCGCGCCCTGTCGAAGACATGTTTAGGTGCTTACTGACCAGCTGATTCGTTGCCATGATTCGCCGGCCCAGCGGCACGGCAGACGGCGCCAGACATAGGCGACTCTACAACCATTTGGAAGGATGTGGTGGGGTTGAGGGGAGGGCCAGCCATGCGTCCTCACCAGACCCTTGACAGACCTGTCCACGCGTATGTGGCACGCTACTATATCCAAAAGCGAACTTTGTTGCCAACACCAACACGGCAGCCAGTGTCCCGAGTGAAACGAAGCCCCATCACTTGCGGAATCAACGACACCCCCAGCCGCAGATATCAAGGGATCAGCGCCCAGCTGAGGAACTGCTTTTTGATTGATCATGACAGCTCTAAGAGCGAGAGATCAAACCGACATTCCTCACAGCCCCTCTCCTCAACCATCAATCACTCACTCCACGCTGCCAGAGTTTACTACTGCCACCATGAGCGACGGCATTGAGAAGCGTGGCGAGGACCATGTCGAGGACGCCGTCCGCGACAAGGAACGTGACAACGACTCTGACTCGATTCGCTCAGAGGCCCTTGGGGACAACCTGCCGCCTGGGTACTTCTGGTCTCCACGATTTATTGGCACAGTAGTTGGCTTCGCTCTCTCCGCCATCTCGGCGTATCTCTTCCTGATCTTACCCACGAACGTGTTGACGTACATCAACGCGGATATCGGTGCGTCTCCTAAAAGTATTCGCTAAACCGGGCACCTACTAACAAATTTTCACAGGCCCATCGTGAGTGTATATATTCATGGGCGCGACGTTTGAGCTCAAAACTAACGTCCTCGTCGCCTATATGTGTCCTGGGTCAATATAGCGCGGACCTTGTCGCTATCTGCGGCCTACACGGTCCTTGGGCGGTTATCCGACCTCTTTGGCCGGCGCTGGTTCTTCATCGGGGGCAACATCATCGCCCTCCTCGGGATCATCGTCTGCGCTTCTGCCCAAAATGTGAATTCTCTCATCATCGGCAGCGCCGTGTATGGCCTCGGCGAGACCGTGCAGCTCAGCTTTAATGTAGCACTCGGAGAGCTCGTCCCGCGAAAATACCGTCCCGCCGTTCTGAGCGCCATCTTCGCGTCAAACGCACCTATTGCGAGTTTTGGGCCATTGATCGCACGCAAGTTCATATCAACTCCGAGCCTCGGATGGAGGTGGTGTTACTACATCAACATTATCTGTTGTGGGCTGGCCATTATCTGCCTATACATGTTTTACCACCCGCCAACGTTTGAGCTCTTGCACGAACGCAAGACTAAGCGGCAGCTGATGAAGGAACTAGATTGTGAGTCGTGTGGTTCCTCAAACATTTCAAACCTCAACCCCTTTCAATTCCTTGGGGTTCTCTTCTGCCTCTTGAGACCTAATTCTAAAGCATGACTATTCTTAAACACACTTGAGTCCCATGGCTAACTCTTAGTGATATCCAGATGTCGGACTTTTCCTCTGGACAGCTGGCCTTACTTTATTCTTGATGGGCGTCAGCTTGGGTGGCACCATCTATCCCTGGAAGTCTGCGGCTCCGATCACGACCATCCTGCTTGGTGTCGCTCTTATCGCCGGCTTAGTGGTCTGGGAGATGAAGGCCAACCTGAGGTACCCTGCTATCCCGATCAAGTTCTTCGGAAATCGTGGCTTTATGGCACTGGTCTGCTGCGCGACGGTTGCAAGTGTAAGTGCTCAACCTCCACCGCGAGATTGGGATTTAGCTGACACTCTCGCGTTTCGTAGATGTTCTACTACTCTGCGGTCCTCATCTGGCCGCAGCAGATCCAGGCGCTTTTCACGAGCGACATTAATTATGCCGGCTGGTTATCTGTGAGTAGCTGGGTCCCCCCACTCTCCGAGAAGTGGCTTCGTTATTTGCTGATGCGTGCGACTCCTTCAGTGCACCGTCGCATCCTCTACCGCGCTCGGCCAGATCGTTGCAGGCTTTGTGATCAAATGGGTCGGCAACGTGCGCTACTGGATTATATTCTCCTCGTTCGCCATGGTAGGATTTGTAGCCGGTGAGTCGCGTCTCCCGTCTTTCCCGCCACCGAGGAAAACAAACTGATCTCCAAACTGTAGCCCTCGCTGCTCTGACCCCCGCCTCAAAGGATCTCGGGGTGGCTCTGACAATGCTGGGCCCATTCTTCGTGGGCATCATCGAGCTCCTCTCACTTGCCCTGGCTCCTCTGTTCTGCGACCCAGCCGACATCGGTCTCGCTTCGGGCCTGCTTGCCTCGATCCGCTCGGCTGGCGGCTCTGTGGCCGTTGCCGTGTACTCGTCCGTCCTGGCAAACCGCGTGGCCATTGAGATCCCCAACGCCGTCATCCCCGCGGTGATCAACGCTGGCTTTCCCGCTGACAAGGCCCCGGCACTGGCATCGGCCGTTGTCGCCAAGTCTTATGCCACTTTCCCGGGTGTAAACTCGGCCGTGACTGCGGCGATCGCGAGCGTATTGCCTAGTGCGTATGCCGCTGCGTTTAAGGTGGTGTATCTCGTCAGCCTGGCGTTTGGTGCCATCGCCCTGGCTGGCTCGTTGATTTCAAAGGACTCCCAGCCTCACCTGACGGATAAGATTGAGCGCAAGATGGTCAGTGGCAAGGAGTCTGCTGCCGCAAAGGTCGAGGGCACGGAGAAAGTTTAGGCGCGGGATTGTGGTAACGCGGGAGTGCGGGACAGTCACAGTCGGTTGCACATGTACACGTATTTTTCTTCTGGTTCACTTCGTGTTACATTTCCGCCATGCTTGTCTCTTGGCAACTTTAAGTATCAAAGCCTTGGTTGACCTTGTCAGTGGGATCGTGACAATCATGTGTCACCAAAGACCGCACGGCTTGCCAGCTTTCTGACTGCTATGCATGCGTCTCGTCTGGCCTAACCAAGCTTAATCTCATCCCAGATAGCATCACGAAATGCTGCCTGGAAGACCTTACCAACAGCGACCCGTTCCCACAAGGCGCGCTCGCGATTGCGCTCGAGCATCATGACATAGTACAGGTCCCACTCACTCTCCTCGCGCTCCTTGGCAATGTAGTAGTTCCACACCGGGCACTCGTCCTCGGTTAGGGATTTGGCGTCCGAAAGAGCGATGAACATGACCGGCGCGACGCCGCGGCTGCCGCCTTTATCGATGCGACTGCTGGCCTCATTCTCAGTGCCGTTGTGATGGGAGCTTCTACGCCGAGGAGGGAGCATAATGGAGCCGCACCAGTCGCCTGCCTTATCCACGATGTCGTGCCGGGATAGCTTGCCCGGTGCGTCGTCCGGCGTGCCCGGCACTGGCGACTGCAGCGCTGAGTTGTGACGTGGGGAAGGCGGCCGGCTGGCGACCAGGAGCTCCGTCCGCCAGGTCCAGAACTGTAGAATGGGCATTGCCCTGATCTGGTGGTCCTTGTTGGTTTTTGGGAAGGGGCCTCGGATGATGCTGAAAGGAGTGTCGGGGATGATGCTCGTGAAGTTCGTGGCGTTGAGGCCTTTCTCACTTGCACGGACAGGGCGGCCAAAATTGTCTTCGTCGCTTCTGCGATCGGTCCGGCGCTTGGTGGTGATCCGGAAGAAACCTCCCTCATCAGCAGAATCAGAATGAGCGGATCCAGCATCGTCGTCGTCGTCGTCATCAACATCATCACCATCAGAGGAGGTCTCGCCGACCCACTCCTCACCATACTGTGAGCTCCATCCCTTGTCGTCGTCGTCAACATCGAGCTCGTGGTCTTCGTAGTCAGAGTTGTCCTCCCAGGATACGCGCGCTTTTCTATTGCCTCGCCGAGGCTCTATGCTGCTTACTTGACGGTATGACTTTGAATCGCCGTCACTTCTGGTCCGGCTGTAAAGCGGCCCTTCTTCATCAAGCTCGTCGTCATTGGCGTCACCGTTGTAGTATCCCGCAGGCACTTTCGATACATAAGCCGTGTTTGCCTGGCGTGACCAGCTCTTGCCCTTCCGTGAATCCGATCTCTGCCTGATATGGCGAGGTGGATGTGAAGGTGGAGACCGGCGCGGCCTTGGGTTTTTGGAGGCGTAGCTCCGATAGACAGCTTCTCTTTCGGGAGTGTATGCCCTGTCGGCACGGCTGCCAGTTGGACCGCTTTGGCGCGGAGTGGAATGGCTGGCGTGCTGCGCGTCCTCACTTGGCTGCTTCCCAGCGTAACCCCTCCACCGAGTCTCGGTGCTTTGATCTTCTCTCAGGACCCGTTTGTCCCACAGCGGCCGTAGATTCCCCTCGTAGTCGCGAATATACCACTGAATCCACGTGTGGTGCTTCAACCACTCCTGTGGATTGGCCACGCAGCCGTCAATCATGCTCTGGGGGTAGTCTGCGTTGCCCCCTATCCATCCGCTCCATGACCAGCTGGGGAAGTCTTCACCATCGGAGCCGCTTTTGTTTGCATCGCAGCTGCAGTTGCCCATCTCGTCCTGGGTGCACGGCACCGCGGCGGTCCGGTGGCGCGGCGACGTTCGGTCCCGTCCCCTGCGTTCCAGCTGCCTTGAGGGCATCCACAGCAGCGCCAAGTCGAAGTGGGACGTGGGCAGGCCGTAGAACAGAGGCGCACCGAGTCGCTGCTGCAAGAGCCACGAGGTGCCCTGGAAGGCCGTCAGGATATCACGGGCCTTGGTCAGGTTGCGGCTGGTGTACAACGGGACGCATTTCATGTAGAACCAGAACGCGCGGCGCTGGAGCTCTCCGAGTGTGCGGAGGGGCGAGTTGGTCCAGTCCAGCGACCAGCCGTTGATGCCGCCGTCGGTGAAGATGTGCTGCGACATGACCGTCGAGCGGCATTGGAAGTAGACCTGGCCCTCGGCGAAGATGAGGCACCGGCGGGAGAGAAGGCGTTCTTGGAAGGTCCAGCCGCGTTTGTTCCATATCGAATCCTCGATGACGGCCTCGGGGGGTCGCGAGACCAGGAGCCGCACGTTCGGCAGGCATTTCGCCGTCAGCGGGGCTTGCTCGGCCGCGTCGGCTGCGCGGAGAGTGCCGCGAACTTCTTCCGTCGTCATGCCATGCCTGGATGGGGATGAGCTGCGTGTTGAGTCGGGGGACGGCGAGGGCGGCCGTTGTTGCTGTTGTTGTTGTTGTTGTCCTTGCCGCATGGCGTGGCTGACTTTTACGGGGGGAGGCGAGAAACCCGCCGATGCACGCTTGCGATGCGTTTCCGGGGACACGACACGCAGAGTAGGGCTGACGGCTCTCAGGCCGGCCTCGGCATCGCCGTCGGCCGCGCAGATGGTGAAGTGGGCGTTTCCGTATGCCAGGTGCATCGCTTTGGCGTTGAGTTCCCAGGACGTGGTGCTGTCCTGCACGATGCACAGGGCATCTATCCACACATATCGCTCGCCGAGTCGAGCCACTAGCAGGATCGTCTCTTGTATGGTACGCGGCAGGCGCTGCCATACGCTCTCGAGCCCCCCGTGCTGGATGCGTACCATGACGTTGGCTCTCGTGGTCATGTAGGGCTTGTCGTTGAGCGGGTTCTTCCCCCATACATAACTGAGGGCCACGTATCGCTCGGGCTCCCCATTCACTACAGGCAGCGCTCTGAGCTGCATGTCGATCACGTCGATGACCCCAAAATAGGTGCTCCCGATGAGTCTCTTAAAGTCGCGCCTGGTACTGTGGGTGTCTTCGCATTTTGGGCCGTGCTTCTCCACGCAGAGGTCGATCCAGCTCTTCATGAGGGCCTGCTTTTCCCTGTTGTCCACCATGCCGCGGCCGAGGAAGTGAGACTCTTTGGCGGAAGCTGCATAGGCGTCTGAGTTTATGCCCCGGGCGCCTTTGGGTGCTACGAGAACCAGGTAGACGCTCTCTTCCTTGCCGCTCGTCTCCCTCCATGACAACCGGATCCTTCGTGTGCGGTTGACAGTACGTCCGCCCTTTCCGATCTGGCGGCCATCCACCTCCCAGGACAGAAACAAGGCGGTCTCTGCGCCTACTCGGATGCCGCTGTAACGCTGGACCGCTCGGTATATAAGGTCGCAGAATGGACAGGTCCTTCCCCGAGCCTTGATCTGACCTAGCTGTGCGAATTCTTTTTTGATGTCACCAGAATATAGCTTCACGTTGCCCGCATCTCCAGCGGCCTTGCTGGCACCTCTGTGGGTGAATTCGGAGCTCGAGCTGCTAATCACGAACCTGTGAACACCGAGGTTCAATTGCTGACACGATTCACAGAGCTATATGACGATTAGTGGTGGAAACGCCCAATTGGTGCTGGTTGGAGCTACAGAGACAGAGAGGCTTACGACATTGTCAACATTATCATCCGCCACAACTGTGGTACTTCCACTCTCAGATCTATCCATGGATTGATCTCGCTGATGGAATTACCTCTGCGACTCTGGGATAGTGCAAGACAGGTAATAAGTAGACAGCTCAGTAGTCTCCTGTAGGGTGCGGGGCCTTCGCGGCATTTAGGCTGCGAGCCCCTTCTAGAAAATAATAGCTGACGGGCCGCAGAACTGCGAGACAGGGAAGGGCGGGGCTGTTACGGACCCGGGTACGACAGCCGGGACGGTTGTTTGGGCTCGTGAAGAAGCACGACCTGATCTCGCTCGGTGTCTTTTTGGCGCTTGGGCATGTACTCCAACTGCAAGCCCACGCCCCATCAGGTCAAGTCAACATATTACAGGTCCAGAAAAGCGGAGCTGGTCCATTTCATAGCATAACCTGCAGGACCGAGCTGACATTTACAGCAATATTGCATGACACAATGGCCAGGGAGCAGAGAACCCACATGTAGGATGAGATGGGCTGGGTAGACCCTGTGCGGACGCACCTCATCAGTGCCCTGCTGCACCTGCGCCTCCGATGTCCGGTTTCAATTGCACAACTTCTGCCATTGCTACGTGCTTCACTTACACCCCCTGCACGTGACGCATCATCTTCTGTCACAAACTGGCTCATCAGTGAGTATCAAATGGTAAGATGGGAATGTGGACAGGTTTTAGAAATACAAATCACATAGGTATGTGTTCTGCTCGATTCGATGAATCACTTTATGATAGTTTTGCGCCGTACCCGGTTCTTAGCAACTTTGAGTATTGAAGCCCTTGCGGTGTGACTGGAAGTTGATAGACCGTCACTGCCACGAAATCTCAATGTTGAGTACTTGTTCAATTGTCATACTAGCTTCATTGTGGTCCCAGACCACGTTCATTATGAGGCGGTTCGTGGCTCATAACACACAATGGATTAAAATTCAGGAAAGCATCTGTGCCGTAGTGGGAAACCTGGCTTGTTATTGCAAGCCGGTCTTTTGAGTCAGGCAGATGCGCGGCTGGCCATATTCTTAGAAGCCTTGACCAGTTGTGGCGGGTGTGATGCGGCAAAGAGTGACCCATTCCGCTCCCGCTGAATGCACAATTTCTTCTGCCGTATTCAATGTGTACAACTCATTTGTGCCCAATGGCCATGCAGTTTCAGGTTGACCGGCATTGCCACAGGTATGAACGCGTGCGGGGGAATATTTCCGAGGCATCAATGAATGACGCGTTTCGCGATCGCATTAGTGGCACTAATGGCGTCTACATGAGTAGGCTCTTGTGTGATGGGAAAATGAGAGAACAAAACAATAAGTGCCTTGACTCAAGTGTATTTGTGTGTGCAGTCATGCATTGCTATTACTCGAGCAAATCACAATGCGTGTGGTGCCCTACTGCCTGGCCGTGCCTCATTGTTCCACATCATTGTGCCGCTCTTTTGATCCTCCGCACATGCTCCCCACATCACACCCAGCATTGAGGGACTGAGGCATTCACTCATTGAGGCATTGAGGCAATGGGTGTGGCTTCAATGATCTTTTTGCATATAAGAAACCAGCCTCCCACCCTCAAACAGCAACCTCAACCAGACAGATCATCTTGAACCCCACACTCCTTTACACTTACACTCTTCACTTTGTCGGTCGCCTTGCCCTTGCACCTTCAGCCACTCTCTCATCTTTCTTTGATATCCACCCTCCAAGAGTTCTTTCTGCCCACCCTTTTCATCCATACTCCTGGTTATGAGCCTGGAAAACTGAGCGCCCCATCGATGGTCATCATGTCGCGGGTCGAGGTTTGAGCAATGGATCCTGGCAGCCGCTGAGTGTTACAACTTGTTTGAGAACAAGAAGACAGAACTTGAGGCAGAATACACGTCGTATAGACAACAACACCGGGAATCCGGACGAAAAGCTGAAGGGCTACTTCGACCTCAAGCTGGCAAAGATAGACAAAGGCACTGAGACCCCATCGGAGGTCCAGGTTCGCCAGTGGGCGCGACTTCGTGCCCTCAGGAAGCAGCTCACGGCTTTCGCGGAACCTTGTGGCCCCGGCATCTTCGCGGTCGCACCTCTCCCGGAGATGCGCGGCCTGGTCACGAAGTCCTCGATGCGGCACACGGACGGCCCCGTGGCCTGGGCAGTCAAGACCCAGCTCGTCTCCGCATGCCCATCGCTCACCGAGGCCGTCAGACGCCTGTCCGAAGGTACAGGCCTGGCATTACTGAGATGCGTCGGCATCTTACCGAAGGAAGGCGACAGCAACAAGGGCAGCGACGAAGCTTCCCAGCCAGCAGGCAACTGGGCTGCTTCTATCCACAACAATATGTGCAGCATCGCCAAGGACTACAACATTGTCCTACCACCCCGAAGCACTTCTACCATTGACCAGGCAGAGACCAATGCTTGGCTCCCGTACGAGATTGCATTGCCGGACGAGCCAGTCACAGTTGCCCGCGTGAGCACCAGATCGTGCCGCATCCGCCCATTCAACGCGGTCGCCTCCCTACGGCCTGGAGCTTGGCTCAATGCCGATGCAGTTTACGGGGCGATCGTCCTCCAGATGGAGCCAGGATGGGCGATCATGGACCCGTCGCACCCGTGGTGGACTGAACAAGACCCGGCCTCCATCCGCGCATTCACCGCGCGGGCTCGCCTGAACGATCACTGGATCATCCCAGTGGAGATTGACCTCGGTCGTGCCCCGACCACGCCCGCGGCAAGAAGACCAAGGCCAATCCCATGCCCATGCCCGGCTGCAGCCATTGGGTTATCTGGGCCGTCTCCATCGAGATGGATAATGGCACCAGCATTGTCGACAAGCCTCCCGCGACACGAAACTACAAGCTCACGGCGGTGTACTCGGACTCTGCCTGGGCGAAGCCCCAGACCCCTAAGCTCAAGTCGAGCGCACCGCACTTCGCAGAGGCGCTCAGCCGGCTGTTGTCCTTGGTCCCCGTCTCGACCGCCAAGGTCACCTTCGAGGTCGACGTGCGCTGCGCCGATTGGTCAGGCCACGTGGACGCCGAAGACTGCGGCACCCATGCCATTGTCAACGCGACCTCCATGATGAATGGAGAGACCCAGGCCAGAGACGTTCCCAACGGCGTCGACTGCCTGCGGCTTCGTCACGTCTTCGCAACCGTGATCTCCGAGTCTGTCCGCCTTGCGGCATACAAGGAGCTGATCAAGGAGAGCGATGTGGTGGGTGAGGAGGTACCGGTAGCCAGAATCATGGCAAAACGCGGGTTCAGGATGCAGTCCTGGAACCTTTTCGGAAGCCCCGCGGTTTCCATATACTGGCGCCATTCGTCTTCAACAAATTCGGTTGCTTGTCCGTGGAATTCGCCGAACTGCTTGAGCGTCCAGGCAATGAGAGACTCGCATCGTAGTGGAGACCTCCGTTGAGCGTCGATCCAGTCATTCCAGGGTCGCGATGCTCCCGGTCTTGTAAAGCCTAGACGAATAGTCGTAGGTCACGGATACGATTGATGGTCGGTATCAGTCACGAACTACATCTTCGGGTTCCCCCGCGACGCCACGTTCTCCTTCACCGAGCCTTGCGATCTCGAGGCGTTTATGGACTGTCTTCACCATGCTTTTGGGGTGCCTGCCCCCCGCCATCAACGTGGTGATCCGGCTCGGAAACTCTTTCCGGGGACGAGAAATCGCTTTCGACCAGCCGTCCAGCGACACACCCCATCACCAACAGCACCACGCTCGCGACGTTGCCCTGCGCTGGCTCGTGGCGCTCGGCCACCGCCACACGGAGGTTTCGACCCTCTTCATCAAGTTCGAGTCCTCCATGTGGGCCTCTCAGCAATGGATTGGCATGGACGGCGGCTGGACTCAGACCACGGCAGCCCGCGTGCTCGTTCATCTTGAGCAGGTTGCACACCTGCCCACGAGCCACAGGCCGCGGCCCATCGAGCGGCAAATCAGATTCCAGGCTCAGGAGGAGGCTCCGGACGCTCAGACGGTCAGGGGTCCGGAGGGTCAGAGGTTCAGAGGTTCAGAGGGTCCCGCGCAGGTCCGGTTAAACGACCACTGGATCATCCCAGTGAAGCTCGACCTCGATCGTGCGCCCGCAACGCTTTGCAGCAAGAAGGCCAGGGTCAAGACCATGCTCGGCTACAGCTATTGGGCTGCCTGGGCTGTCGTTATTGAGATGTTACACAAGGGCACCCCCATCAACGGTTCAGACGATGAGGCGCGAACGTTGCCGCCCCCTCAACAGCACAATGCCACCCAAGAGGAGCCCCTGGCCTCGTCGGACGATAAGGCAGGAGACTCGTCGCGACCCAGGCAGCATCGGAGACCTGGACAGCCCCAAGCTCACCAGAAACGACCTCGCCACCATGCGGTCGAAGGCAATGACTGGATCGATGCCCAACGGAGCTCTCCACTACGATGCGAGTCGTTCATTGCCTGGACCCTCAAGCAGTTCGGCGAATTCCACGGACAAGAAATCGAATTTGTCGAAGACGAATGGCGCCTAGGAGGGGAGGAGATTCAGAGGTTCAGAGGTTCAAAGGTTCAAAGGTTCAGAGGTTCAGAGGTGCAGAGGTTCAGAGAGTCAGAGACGGACAGGTGTGCCTTCGTACGTAGTAGTCGTCAAGAAAGCTGGTGTTGTAGAATCGAGTTTCCTTCAATTGAGTTCACTAGAGTCTATCCAAATAGACCACTTCCTGAGATGTAATGCATGTCTACAAGCGTGGTCTTGCCCGGCCTAACCTGGCAATGACTTTGGGAAGTGATCGCCTTAACAGCTTTCCTGTGCTACCTCTTGGTAATTCCTGGACGGCAAATATACCGCCGCGCAGCCTCTTGTACGGGGCGACCCGCTCATGAAGATGGGCTTGTAACTTTCGCAAGACCGCCTCCTTGTCTGCCGTGGCCTCGTGACCAGCAAGCACAACACAGGCAGCTGGCAGCTCGACGCCATTCTTGATGAGCCCGCAAACGCCAGCATCGACCACGAGCTCGTGCTCCAGGAGGATCCCCTCGAGCTCTGCCGGCGCGACCTGATTGCCCTTGTACTTGATGAGCTCCTTCTTGCGGCCAGTCAGCCACATGTCTCCGTCCCTGTCAATTTTCACCACGTCCCCGGTGTGCAGCCAGCCGTCTTGATCCAGCGTATCTGCAGTCTCTCCGGCATTGTCCTTGTATCCCATGAACAGCGTGGGACTGCGCACATAGCATTCTCCATCATTGTCAGACCCCGGAGCGACATCCGACCCATCATCCCCAACGATCCTAATCTCGGCACCAGCAGCGGGGCGTCCAATGCTCCCTGCTTTATGGGCCTGCCCTTCCCGCTGAAGGCTGATTGTTCCTTCGCTCATCCCATAACCATTCAACACCACGATCTCTGGATGAAGGACCTTTCTCATCCCAGCGATCGTCTCCGCCGGCAGCGAAGCACCAGAGCACATCACGCTCCTCACCGTACCCAGTGCCAACCCTCGCACCACAGGATCCGCCGCGAGTCTGGCCGCCGTGGCAGGCACCAGCCTCAGCAAAGTGGCCCTGATGTCCGCACATCTCCTCACGTACCCGTCAAACTCGAACCGCGGCATGGCGACGACGTACCCGCCCGTCCATGCGGGCAGGAGCACGCCAGAGACGATGCCGTAGATGTGCGCAAAGGACGGGAAGAAGACCTCCCGGGTGTAGGCATTGTGGTTGAACGGATTCGTGGCGCGGAGCACGAGGAGCTTGGCGATTAGGGAGTGGTGGGAGAGGAGGACGGCCTTGGGGGCGCCGGATGTGCCAGAGGAGAAGATTATGCCTGCTGGGATAGTGCGGTTGTCGCGGGACGTGAAGCCCGGTGGTTGTAAAGGAGAGCCTTTGTCAGCTCTGGCAGTGGTCCTGTTGAAAACTTTGTTGATGTGTGCGAGTTGGATTTTCGTTTGTGATGATGATGGCGAGGATGAGAGCTCCTGCACCGCGGCTTGGATCTTTGATGCGAGGTCCGTGTCCGTGAAGATGAGCTTTGGTTTTGCGAGGGATATATAGTGGACAAGTTCGTGGCTTGTGGCGAGAGGGTTCATCGAGCTGATTTCGTGTCTTGAGTCAGTTTCCCCTACGGCCACGTGATGGTCCTAATCAAGGTGCCTCACCAGAACGTTCCTCCCGCCCAGAGGATTGCTAGACACAGCACTGCCCAGTCGACTGTATTGTGACCAAACAGGCCCACCACGTCTCCTTCTTTCAAGTCATATTGCTGCTTCAAGGCGGAAGCCTGGAGAGCTGCCTGATTTCGCAGTTGGCCATAGGTGATAGATTTACCATGCTCATCAAAGTCCTCGAGGACGACCTTGTCAGCTGGCACGTCGTCTGGGTTTGATTGCAGAAGGAACTGCGGTATCGAGAGGTCGGTCGGGACGTGTGGCGTGGGGTATGGGGATCGGTAGATTCGTTGGTTTCCCATTTTGGCGTGTGCCTCGTTCTGAGCTCAGGGCTTCTGCAAGCAGAGCCTTCGTGATGTCTGGTGTTCACAATGTACAACAAAACGGGCGCAGGCTCGGCAGCTTGGTCTCAGCCGGATGCTAGTGACGACGGCACAGTCTTCTTCTCTCAAGGCAATCCAAAACTGTCTTGCCGAACCCTTCTCTGACTTGGGAGAATGCGGGACCGTCGGATATGCTAGCACAGGATTAGCTGCATCCCTGGCCACGTCATATCTCGGCTGGGAAGAGGTCAGCCACCCGAGCCAAGGCCCCACGTCTTCGTGCAGGGGAACCAGGCTAGTTAGATGGCAGAAGCTAGTACGAGAAGACCTCAGAACAGTGACAAGACCCTGGACGTGCTAATGATTCAGCGCCGTCATCCGCGGCCCCGCTACAGTTACCCCAGACTTCCCCGCAATGATCAGCGCCCCAGGACCCTTGGGGTAGAGTTGAGTCGTGCCCCGCGCTGTTGCTCGAACGGGATTCAACCACCTTGGCCGCACGGGATTCAAACTGCAATGTCGATACCGCCTGCTGGTTGCGTACTTGGGTAAGGAGACTGGCAATTCTACGGCATCCTGCTGCCTGTCCCCGCTGAAATAGCCATGGTCATTGCAGGTCCCGCGGCAGGACACCGGCACTGTATTTCCACTTCCATCTTCCCGAGTAGCCATCTCGAACAGCTCTGGCTTAGTCATTCTCGGGACATTTCGAGAGTCGACGCGATTGAGACATTGGCCTGGATTCGCAAGGCTGTGCTTGACAGGCCACAGCAGCACAAGCCCTGGAGCAAGATACAATAGTTCCTCTGAGGATACCCAAGATGACTACTCATCAGCCTCCTCGCCGACCAATCCGCATTGGCAACGCCTCTGGCGCCATTGGGGATGGAATCGACCAAGTCTACAAGCTCGCCAATTCGGGCTGCGTCGACGCCATCGCGGCCGACTATCTGGCCGAGTTCAACATTGCCTGGAAGGCCATTGAGCGGCAGACCCGCCCGGAACTCGGCTATGAGCCCAATTTTCTCGAGCAGCTAGCCTGGCAAAATGGCGACGCCGCACGACTTCTTGCTGAGAAGAAGATCAAGGTCGTCCATAACGGCGGTGCGCTCAATCCGACCGGCCTCGCCCAGAGGGTCGATGAGTACTTCCGCGGCCTGGGTATCACGAGTGTGAAAGTCGCTGCCGTCACGGGTGATGATGTCAGCCAGCGGCTTAAAGACGGGGGTTTCGGCACCATCACACATCTCAATCGTCCTGAAGTAACTCTTGCCCCTGGCACAGAAACCAACGACATCCTCGCGGCAAATGTGTACACTGGCCAGGCGGGCATCGTGGCCGCCTTGCAAGCCGGTGCCGACGTAGTCATCTGCGGCCGCTGTTGCGACGCAAGCACCGTCATGGGCCTTGCAACATGGTGGCACGGCTGGAAGCCTGCTGGCTCTCGAGAAAAATACCACCGGCAGCTCGCAGGCAGCCTCATGGCCGGCCATCTGATCGAGTGCGGCGCGTATGTCACCGGCGGGAACTTCTGTGGCGCAAGAGAGATACCGCAGATGCACCACCTCGGCTACCCCATCGCGGAGATCGACAGCGACGGAGGCGCCATCATCACAAAACCCCCCGGCACGGGCGGCGCCGTCACGGTGGACACTTGCAAGGGGCAGCTGCTCTACGAGATCCAGGGCCCCGTGTACCTGAACGCTGACGTGGTCGCCGACATTGAGCACGTCCACCTGGAACAGCTCGGCCCTGACCGTGTGCGTCTCTCGGGGGTCAGGGGCCTGGCTCCGCCCCCGACGGCGAAGCTTGCCGTGTGTCTGCGCGGCGGGTATCAGGCAGAGATGACGGGCTTCTGCGCTGGTCTCGATACGGACTGGAAGTTTGAGCTCATGAAGGACCAGATCCTGCGAGAGATCCGACAAGAGGATTTCACGACGTTCAGCATTGTCAAGTTTGGCTCGTCGCGGCCGAATCCGCGGTCGCAGAACGAGTGCACGGTCGGCATCAGGATGTTTGCCCAGGCCAGACACGAAGAGGCCTTCGATAATTTCAGAAAGGCCATCTTCTACAGCGGGATGCAGGGCTACTGCGGTCTGCACTTATCCATGGACTGGCGCACAATGGCTCCAAAGATGTTCATTCGGTACTTCCCCAGCTTGGTACCCCAGCACGACATCCTCCTGACGGTACACATTGTGTCTTCTGGTGATGCGGAGAGGAATGCTCAGACAATCAAGGTCAAGCCGCTCAGCCTGAGAGACTGTTCATCGGCGGCTCCACACCAGAGACAGCACACCGCTCCGCCGCTTAGCCACGCTTATATCAACACCTCATCGTGGGTGACCCGGCCCTTTGGCGATCTCGTGTTCGCTCGAAGCGGGGACAAGGGCGGTAACGCGAACGTCGGATTCTGGGTACGCGACGCCAAAGCCTGGCCGTGGCTGCGTAGCTTCCTGAGCTCGGAGAAGCTCATCGAGTTGCTGGCTGATGACTGGGACCCGAGCTTTGTAATGGAACGATGCGAGTTTGTGGGGCTTCATGCTGTTCACTTCGTGGTCAAGGATATCCTTCAGGACGGCGTGAGTAGCAGCAGTGTCATTGACGGGTTTGCCAAGAGCTTTGGCGAGTTTCTCAGAGCGAGGCACGTTCAGATGCCCAAGGATCTGGTGGAGGATGAGGACAAGAGAAGGGATGCGGCCATGCGGTGGAGGGCGAAGCTATAATGTATTGTCAAAGTCTAGCGCCACAACTCCAGTTGTCATGCCATGATCGCGTGATTCTGTAAGTATATCAACCCAGCGATAGACTGCTGCACGGGCCGATCTCCACGTAGAGCAAGCGGATATCTGGGAATCTGCTCAGGCCTTAGCCCCACATCAAGTCCCACATCAAGGTCCCACATCGAGTTCCACATTTCGTCGGCAGGTGCACCACCGACGCCATGAACACAGGCTACATAATGCTTCCACTCGGAGTCCCCATCACATGAAATGATCTAAGGAAAGTCATTGCGGGCTGCAACCACGCCATTAACAAAGGATTGACCTGTTGCCCACACTGTTATTGCCATCAACATCAGTAAAAGATTCTGTGCAGTTGAGAGAGAGTGGGGGATGAAGGTTGGGAGACAGAGGCTTACCGGAACTCGAGGGGCTCGAGCCGAACAGGACGCCTTGCACGTATCTGTCCGGATTGTACTCCCTGCATACGTCATGTCAGTAATTTCCACTGGGTCTCGCAGTAGACTGTTCCCCCTCCCGGGTCTGCTCGGCACGCGGCCAATGCTCGGCTTCACAGGTGAACAAAAGACAAGATGACACTCACCAGATGGGGCTACCAGACTGGCCAGAGATAACATCAATGTTGCTCAGTGTAGGGCTGTCGCTGGTGCAACCGCCCATCTCAAACATCCGGCCGCCAGCAGAGCGAATGGGCCGCTCGCCATTGAAACGGTCCGCGGGGTACCCAAAGTTGTGGAAGATGTCGCGGTCGAGCCACTCCGGCCCGAGCGCGCGGGCACCGAGCCACCCCTGAGCCTCGCCTAGACGGTCCTGCAGAATGTGCACTGACCAGTCCTCGCCGTAGTAGCACTCACCGGCGTCATCGGTCGGCCAGATGAACGCGATGACAGGAGAGCCAGAGTAGCGGGTTCTATGCAGATAGGACGTGATCAGCAGCGATGCGTAAGCAGGAAAGACATGGGAGATCTCGTAGATACTCACTCGCCGTCGTAGTAGAAGGGGGAGAAGCGGAGGCTGATGCTCGGATCGGTTGTAGGCGTGCAGTGTCGAGCTGTGAGAACATGGCGGGGGCCTGCACAAATGTCAGATATCAAGTGTACCTCCCAGGAGCAAAAGTTGTAGCTGTCATACCAATCAGTGTTCCTGAGTACGACAACTGTTAGCAATCGGCTGTATGGCTCTAAGAGTAGGGCTACATACCTGTACACCAATGGCCGTCTGACCACGAGAGCTTTCCCATGGCGGAGTACGGATAATCGCTGTTCTCCCAGTTCTCTCTGTCGTCGTTCTGTGCGACCAAGGTGTCAGTCCATCACAGGGTCTTAGCTTGCGGCGTGCCATCACGACTGACCCCAAAGATGTCTCGCTCAGCCATGCCGATTTCAGTGTGGTTGCTAGGCTCAGCAACTAGGTTGCCCATGGCAAGCAGAGCCTGCGTGTTATAGTGAATCACTTCGGCAGGGAGAGCGTCTTGCGCCACAGAGAAAGCTGCGGACGGGTCATAGCCAATGGCAGGCAGAATGCCATTGGCATCTGGGCCCGGGAGAGAAGCGGCAGCGACGGTAGCAATAAGCCTGAGGATCAGGGGCGCCACGAGACCGGATGTGCGAGCCATTGTGGGAACTAATAAGTAACTTGCAAGTAAAGACGTGAAATAAAGCAGTGTAAGTGATCACCTCGGGTAATGTCGACTGATTTCCGTAGAAAGACTGTGGGGTCGAAGAGAATTCTTAATCGGATTGTACAGGCCATTAGCTTATATACCTAGTCAGTGGGAGACACAAAGCCATTCGACAATCGTCGAGACATCACGAGGAAAAGTGTGGCCCGGCTACTTCTTGCCCGGGTATGTGTCTGTGGCATTTTGAGGCTGCATGCTATAGCGGCAGTGCATACCGTTGGGTCCGGCTACTCACTCTTACGTGGTGAGTACCTGTACGCCAGAGATGAAGGGGGCCATTTGCGTAGAACCATGACAGTCTGGGCTCGACTGGAGGGTAGCAGCTTACTGACAGCCGCAGGACCAGAACACCATTACCGCAGTGTGGTGTACACCAGAGCAGGGAGTTGCAGTGTTTGTATGCCCGCATCCTGGTCCAAGTCCATGCACGACCCAGGACACGGTCAGCTGACATACGGTGGCGAGCAACGTGCAATAGGATATTATCAAATGTGATGTGGCAGAATCAATCGCGGCGACGGGCAGGTCTGGATCACGAACGCAGACCTGTGCAATAGGACTGTAATGGGCGAATGATAAGTCTAAACAGACCACAACAGCCCAGGTATGAGAAGAGTGGCATGGATCCCACATCCGACGACCGGGTGGCGGCAGGGAAAGCTGTTCATGCGCGTCATCTTCCACAATACCCGGTCAGCTTCCGCGAAGGCCGTCCTGTGCTTTCGCGAACCAACCATATCGTCGTGCAGATATCGGCTTTACCGTATGCGATGCATCTACGGACCGATGCGTTGTGAAAGGTGATGGTTTGTGAGACAGACATGAGGAGCACGGGGCAACAAATGCTCATGTTCGCGTCTGGCGAAAGAAATCTAGCGCCTAACGTATCATGGCACGTTACAGTATCTCACGTTATAGATCCGGTTGCCGCAACGATCGCGGCGTCCTAGCATTCCTATTGTCATCTCTCAAGGGTCCTTTCAGTCCTATCCTCCTGAAAGAAGTCTGCGATGCTCCGCTCGGCCCCAAAATTGCATCGCGCGGGCTTCATCCCGCTCTGAACTGCCACAGGCTTCCCGATCACACATGGCCTCCTGGTCTGTCTCAGATTCCGAATCGAAGCCCAGAAACCTCGTCGTCTGCTCCGCAGCAAGTCTTATGTGAATTTTCTTCAAATTCTGAACTCTAATCGGCCGACTTGCCCTATTCTGGACTGTATGCCCCCTTGAGCCATTGCAGACTTTTTCTCATGAGTCAGCGCTTGAGTTCCCAACACTTGTTGTCTTTTGGCTTAGGGTGATCGTTGTTTCAGACGTTGGGTGCTCGCTCTTCTTGTAGTATGGACGAATATGGCAAAGGTCGGGACGCTAATAGTCACAGAAGGAACAGCAGGCCATCTGTTAGGTGATGTTAGGTCCAAGTGGCTCTAGCATTCACTTTATGTGGACCCAGGAACAACTCATCGTGTCTGTTTCGGAATGATGCACCTGATTGCCAGCCATGTGGACCACCGGGTCCCTCGGTTGAGTGCGTCCTGGGTGAGCTACGTTATGATGACTGATTGGCTGTAACTCGCTGCCCCTGCATCCATCCCTGTCCCGCTTGCTACGTGGTTGCATGATGCTGGTGCCCAATGCGCGCTGACTGGGCCTCGCTGACCGCCAGAATACCAGAGCAGATTGACGATTTTTGAGCTGTTGCAAGCAGCCTTCTCCATTTCGTCTCTGATGCAAGCAAAACAGAGCAAACAATGTCAAGCAATAGTACAAGTTCACGTCAATCCTCCTCCTCCTCGAAGTCGATTTCAACCTTGGCCGTCAAAGACCAGGTCCGTGATCTGTACGACATCATCCGCGAAGAGAGGACCGACGAAGAGACTACGATTCTCGCGGTCGTGCCCAACGACGTCCTACCGCAGCTCACAGACAGGTGCAGGTCCAAGAAGTGGAAGTTCTGGCACAGTGAGTGGCCCACTTCCCTGAACCTAGCGCCGCTTGAATCTTGCTGGTGACCAAGCTGATGACGACGCAATCACAGATGGAAGAGCTGTAGAATTGACGACACAAAAGAGCGTCCAATCTGCCGTCGACGCTCTTCTGGATAATGGCTGCGGGCAAAGGCTGGTCCTCGTAGTCAGCCAGCACATTGAGGCACTAGACTTCCACATCACGCCCGTTGGAGGCTACCCGCACAGTCTCGGTGTGATCCGCGGGTGTCGGGACCGGCGAACGGGAGGGAGTCGATCCACGAAGCTCATCATCGACGGCGCATCCACATTTGACGGGATCAGGCTCGACCAGTGGACTGCCTCGAAGCAAAATGGCCAGGTCTTTCTCGGTCCAAATGTCCATGTCCGCGTGCACATGGGCGAGCCAGGCTCGCTGTTCAGGGAGCACTTTTCCTCTGCCAGGGACATCCAGAGCCAGCTCAGCTTCCTGAACGACTGCCCCATGGTTGGAAAATGGTGGAAGGACTGGCAAGGTCCGATCGCCAGCATCATCGGGCTTGCAGCGACCACCATCAAGGTCTCGGCGAGCTTGAAGACGACTGCCTCGGGCTTCTATCTCTCACACTCGTCTGTCTGCTGGGGCACGTGGACTCTGGGTGCTGGCCATATTACTGGCACTGCCGTGATGACCGCTGCAGGCCCAGCGGTGCTTCTCGGTGCAGGTGCTGCTGCTGCGGTCTACTTCTTCCCTTGGGAGGAGTTCTTTTCGTGGCTTGGCTCCTTCTTCAGTTCCTTCTTTGAGTGGCTGAGGGGCCTGATCGCTGGTATCAGGCAGAAAATAGCCGACTGGTCCTCTGCCAGGGTACAGCAGAACAGCCAGGACGCGTTGCCGCCGCCGCCAGCCTACGAGAAGGTTGCTGGCAGCCAACGCAAAGGCCGAGCTCTCCGTGTTCGCGCGTCGGAAGCACCACCTCTACCATCAAAATAGCTTCAGCAGCCACACCGCGCCCGACGCATCACGCACCAAAGCACCAGTGATAGCGTTTGTGGATAGACTAATCATAACGCAAGAAATTGTCAAATAGTTACTTTTGAATTTGAATCAGAAATAGAAATTCAACTTGGTCGATTCGAGGCGTTGGATTGTGCTACAACAGTGCGCTCTCGACCTCGATGTTCTTCCAGTGTCTCACTCGAGAACTGGTCTGAACTACTCGTCCATGTCACCATGCTTGTAGAATGAAGGACAGCTCGTTCGCTCCCTGTCTCTGGTCAAGGCCAGTCCCGCCTAGCGATCGCAATGGCCGCCAGCATCTCGTTTCCCGACGCATACTCGGTGTCCAGCTTGCTCCTGAACGATGCGGTGCCGAGGATCCAGCGCTCCTCGCTGTTCTCGTCCCGCTCCCAGATGGGCGACCCGGCGGCGCCGATGCTCACGTCTGCGTAGCACCGCACCGGGCCCGCAGCATCGCAGAGATAAATCTGCGCCAGCACGCCCGTGATGCCAGTCTCCCGGTACGGGCGCTCGCAATCCTTGTCTGTGTCCAGATGGTACCCGAGGGTGGTCAGGGTGCCTAAGGTGCGGAACTTTTCCTGGACCTGGTTGCGCAGGGTGCCGATGTACCCGACCTCGTCGCCCACGCGTCGGTTCAGGATGACAATTGCCCACTCTTGCTTCCGATAGCAGGAGCTCACGAGCTGCGAGCGGTCCGAGACGATGATCTTTGTCGCCCAGGCGCGTGGGAAACGCTCACCTTCGTCATAGCCCGGCACTGTTGGGACGTCAGGTCATTGTTAGTGAAGCCACCAGGGTGTGTGACGGTAATGAAGTAGTTGCGGCAACTCACTGAAGAGGCCGCTCCAAATATCATCCACGCAGTATCGTGCGGTGAGGAGATGGCGGGGCCCGATGAGCGTCGCCGTGCACCCGAAGCCTGCGCGACGATCCGCGTCCTTTGTCCACACCCATTTGCCGATGGCGCGGAACGGCCAATTCATGTCCGAGAAGAGCACTCTGTCATCCTTGCCATTGAGGACGTCTCTGGTTTTGAGGTCTACCGGGTGGCCCGCGTCCCCGGCAACGCGTGTCTCGTTGGAGGGGCTCACTGAGTGTGAAAACACGCCGGCCGTGCCCCTGGACGAAGATGTGGTGTACCTCTTGATCACGTCGGGCGGGACTGCCCTGAGAACGTCCATGCGATACTCGACGATCTCAGCCGCAGCTGGGGGGTTGCGAAGGGCGACGGTTCGCCAGTCGCTAGGGTCGATCCAATCGGGCGCAATATGAGTCACGTCGTAAGAGGTGGGCCAGGCGGCCTTCGCCCCGGTGAGGAAGAGAAAATGAAGTAGTGCGCGAGATAGCATACTGAAAAGAGTGGATGTAGACGAGAGCGGAAAGGAGTGGATGGACTACGAGCTGGAAGAATGTGGTGAGCGAGGTGATTGGAATGAACGGGTTATGCGCGTCAGGAGGGAGCCTTTGGAGTTCTTTATGTATTTCCTGGGATGCCTGGACCACGGTTCTACTTCTCGTGTCATTGTACATTCCAACCGACGGGATGTTCCTTGGTATCTCGTCCATCCCCTGCTCAATGTTTGTGCCCGGGAAATGAGACAGGGTTGTATGTACCAACTCTCAAAGTTTTCATCAAAGGGAGCCCGCATTCGGTAATGTTGGTTGCGGGTGACGATGTCGAATGTTTGCCAGATCCTGGCAGCTGCATACTGGGCAAGCGTTCGTTTTGCCCCTGTAGATCGCGAACACCTTGATATCGTGACAGAGCCGAGGGCGTGCTGAAAACGCTGGGTATAACTGCCGCTCCGCTCGGACCGAGTCATCGGCCATGGTATTCAGTAAGGCTAGCAGAGCTGCTTGCAAATGTCGCTGCCTTCAAGACCGCGTCGGCGTTGGCCCTTTCCAGAGGATGATTCGCTCTATCTTTCATGCAGTGCTTCTGTAGTGCCTCAAAGCCATGCGGCCACTCAACATCGCGAGTTGGCGGCGTGCGCTCGGGCTACTTAGATCTTTCACCCAAGAGCTTTGACCTGTAAGCTGCCATTCAACTCTGCACATGCAGATGTTGGTTATGTAATTCTTGACATGTTGGTGTCTCCCGCGTTGAGCACGTGACCTTTTTCCCTTACTCAGCAGCACGTAAGAAGTGGTGTGGTAGCTCATTGCGTGTGGAGAGGTCCAGTCAGACGCGGCTGGTAAGCAGGGACTGGGTTCTCTGAATGTGGGTGGGAAGTGTCTGGGTCGAGGCCGTGCGGGACAAGGCCGAGGGCGTGATAATCCAGAGAGCCATCCACGTTTACACAGATTCCTTGCCGATTCCTCGACGCCATAATGCTTCCAGCGCACGCAGCAGCTCGGCTGTGCTCGCGACCTCGTTGATCCTTCAGCTCTGCAGTGTAGGCGCGCGGTTACTGTCTCCTGTTTCAGCCAATGTCGCAGGCGTGCATGTAGAACCAACAGCCGACCGCCAGGCCTCAGCTGATTCTTGACTTAGATATCCCGTGCGCACCGAAACTGTCGTTACACCCCATGTCAAGTTCTTCTACATCAGTAACCTATGCAAGTGCGGGATCACGCTGTGTCTGCCTTTGGCCCCTCTTGCGCATCTTCTGGTGGCTTGTTCACCGGACTTCCATCCTGCCTCCCTTTGACACGATAGACCTCCAGCCGTTCACAATGCGGGGTTGAACTTCGCTGACCAATAGTGGTTCTGCTCTGCTCAGCCACTTTGTTGGTTGTCGATGTCGGGGTAAGCCCCTTATGCGGCCCCATGTGCTTCATGTCGAATGTTGGCTGCTAGCCTTCCAAGGCTGTGCCGTTGGGGGGCTCCAAGTCAGCCCGGCCACAGCTGCTGAAGATAAGCGTGATGCTGGTATGGAGAATGAGTTGATAAATCCCCCACCGTCGAAGCCTGCTTTGCTGTGTCCTTGACAATCAAGTTCCTTCTCCATATTTCCAACATTGCAAGATTTCCAACCATTTCCAGCTTTCGAATTCGAGTTTGATGTCGGGTTGAGCTACAACCATGCCTGTGAGTTAGCAATGTCTGATGATGAGAGGCCACGCGGCTCACGCACAGTGACAGGAAACACGCAGCAGCAGCAGCAGAGCACAGCTATCTCCAACCCCCTTGTCCGTTGGTCCCAGGTGTGTAGACATCTATTGCGTCCCATGGCTCCATCCTTCCATCACGATCTAACTCCCTCCAGGCTGCAGCTAGTAGCGGATGACCCGATCGAGTCTATCGAGCAGGATCTCGACGACTTGAGTATCGGCTCATCCTCCGATTCGGGCCAATATATTCAGACGCCGTCAACCTCGACTTCTCCTTCTTCTCCGCGCTCAAGTAATGCCAGCCACGAGGATGGCTCAACGAACTCTCGGCCTGCAGTGTTTGGATCGAGGACCCAGAGCGATGGCGGTCTAGACTTGGGCGACATCAACGCAGCTTTGGACGTGCTCGCCACAACACAGTCGGGCGGGAGAGCTCGAGCCAACAGAAGGCGCAGTTCTCCTGTAGATCAAAGCCCTCACAATGTCGACGACGAGCAGGTTCCTGGGGATCGCTTCAACAATGCCACTTTCCAACAAGCTCTCAGGGAAGCTAAAGGCCTGGCAACTGATATTCATCGTGTCCTGGGCAGCAGCGATCTGCATCTGGAACCCAGCTCGGCCATGAGGCGACTGCATGAGACGGCGAGTGAACTGGCTCGATTCCATCCACCTTCCACCAGGATCGTGGGGTTTGTCGGCGACTCCGGTGCAGGTATGGATTTGGACTACCGTGTAGAACAAAGAGCTACTCAGCTAATCGCGGTCTGCATATAGGCAAGAGTAGCTTGCTCAACTCGCTACTCGATATTCCAGGCTTGGCCAGGACGGTCAGTCATATCCAATTCGACACGTGCTTTAGTAGCTTGACTGCTAACAGAAATCTTTCTCGTTCACCAGAGCAACGAAGGTGCAGCCTGCACATGTGTAGCCACCGAATACCATTACCACAACAGGCAGGACTTTTTGATTGAGATTGAACTCTTCACGGAGGCCCAGATCCACGATCAGCTCGCAGATCTGCTCAAATCGTACCGGCACTTCCACCTAAACAGGCGGGAGCTGCATCGTACAGAAGTGCGGGATTTCGAGGAGAGAGCAACGCTCGCGGTTGACACCTTTGTCGCCATGTTTGGGTCGCGGCTCGAGCAGAACGGCACCTCGAATTTCCTTCCTTGCCTACTGGCACCTAGCACGCGGGAAGTGCTGCGCACACTCAAGCAGTGGGCTCATGAGGCAATGCCGTCCCAGGCACAGACACGAATAGTCCTATCCAGTATCGCGCAGTGTTCGACGCGACTGGCCGAGCTCACATCTGACGCTTCCGGCGCACAAGAGCGACTGCCATGGCCCTTCATCAGCAAGATCAAGTGAGCATTCATATCTACTGGTGGTGCCTAAATATATCTCTTACAATCCTGCTAAACCTTCGCAGAGTCTTCGTCAACGCGTACATCCTCGAAAAGGGCCTTGTGCTTGTCGATTTGCCTGGTAAGTGGGGACCTCATGTCTTATACATCCACAGGCGGACTCATCTTGGCTGACACTCGCCTGTTATCAAGGTCTCCGCGACCTGAATACCGCGCGACGGAATGTCACGGAGAGATATCTGCGCAAAGTCGACGAGATCTTTGCCGTTTGCCCTATCGGCCGGGCGACGACAGACGAGGGCGTCATGGCCGTCTTTGATCTGGCGGCGCGTGCGGGCCTGACCAGTGTCAGCATCATATGTACCAGGTCAGATGTAAGTATCAGACCAGTCTTCCCCTTACCGTAGTGCGTTCTGTGCTTACACGGCGGAACTGCACCTGTAGGATATTCGGCCAGAAGAGGCAGTCGTATCTTGGACGGGCAGCACAAGAACCAGAGTCCAGGATGCCATGGACGACGTGCAAAATGCTCGAGACGCCATTGCTGAAGTCCAACTGGAGATAGATGAGCTGGAGATGGATGAAGAAGACGGTTATACGAGTGAGGAGCGAGATCTTTTCTGCGAACTTCACAGGCAGAAGAAACGAGCCGAGTGCGTACATATCCAACTGCATCAACTGATCGTCGTTGTACTGATGACAACTCGCGCACAGGACGCAATTGAGAAATGCCCAGTTCCGGTGAGTACTCACCCCGTTCCACCAAGAAAGGACCAGTGGCTTGTATTGCACTGTCGAAGAGCCCTCGATCTGACCTTTACTTGAATAGGCTGCGCAAGCTAGTGATCGACACCCGGAACTCCACGGTCACGAACAGGCTGCTCCGTGTGTACCAGGCAAAGGTCCCAGATGACACGCTGCGGGTCTTTTGCGTTAGCAACAGCGAGTACTGGGACAACCGCCAGAAACGGAGACAGGTTGCGGTGCCACACCTGATGCTCAGTGGGATACTGTCCATCCGGCAGCACTGCCGCGCTCGGGTGTCCGAGAGCCAGCATCGCATGTGCACCAAGTACATGCGCGACAGCATACCCGCTCTGCTGGGTGAGGTTCGCCTATGGGTCTCATCGGCTGAGGCCGGCTCGATGGACGCAGAAAGACGCCGAGTGATGCGACAAGGTCTCACCTCGCTGGAGAACCGGCTTCGACGAGCAAGTATTAACCCTTTACTCGCCGCTCTGCAGAACTATTGCATCTTGTCCACTTGGACTTTGGACTGACGCGCGCGTTGACAGGATCTTGAACATGGCGAGTCACGCACTTTGGGATCCAGTCTGGTGCTGGACATGCGGCAGGGCTTCCTAGATCCGGGTCGTGAGTGACTTCTCTCGATATCAGGTTGTGGGATCTTGGGGGCTGACAACACCGTTCTAGGACTCCGCATTGCGTCTTGGTCACAAGGGGCCACCGACGCGTGTTATGAATGGAATGGCGTAAGTTGAAACGAGAGTGAGCGCCTGTCGGACAGAGATCTGATCTTCTCAACGCTATTCCCAGTGGCACCATGGTAAGAATACCGTATTCCCCGATTGTGGCCACGGTTCGAGCAAGAGATTGGCAATGGACGCCTGCTGAACTTATCAAGCATCATACTCGGCCTTTTGTCGCAACTACGGAGATTATTGTACTCCCAAAGTCGGTTCACACTGCTGGAACGACGAAGCAATGGCGAAGATGGTCCGACAAGTCCGGCCAATGTGGCAAGGCCTTCAGTCGAGGCTGGATGAGCGCGTCGATAGCCTCGCAGCCAGCATCACGGCCTCTTTGGATCAAGCAGCGAATTACCTACGTGAGATACTCTTGATCAATCGCACGAAACTCGGAGATGAGCTGACTCTTCTGACAAACTCGATGATCCAGACACTGGCCTTGCCGACCATGCGGACTTGACGATACAATTGGAGACCACGCTGCGGAGCAATCAGCATCTCTTGGAGTCCAATATCCACGAGCTGAAAGATGACTTTGACAATGCTTTGAGGTATGGCCCTGGCTCTTTGTCCCCATCTCAGATTGAGGCTAAAGATGGGTAGGCAACTGCAAATCGATGCCACCTCTGGTATCCGCACTTCGCTCATCGGCAAGTATATGGAGCCTGCATACCGAAACGCCATACACGAGTTTGGTATGTGTTGATACCCATTCCACGATCGATCATGCAACAATCAGCGATTCTGAACCAATGCTAATTACCTTTTATTAATTTCACAGGGACTGGGAGTGACGCCCGCCGCAAGAGCTACATCACAACCGCATTCCGGAAGCAGGAACTCTTTGAGAAGCTCCTCGCGTCTGTGCGAGACTCTTTCAAGGAGATTGCTGAGGACCTGCAGGAGCAGGTCAACTCCAACATCCAGGAACATCTGGGAGCGGTTAGGGCTGTTCTGGACATCTTGCGAAGTGACAACGCTGCGCGGGAAGGCGACGAGAATCCGGTTTTCAGACAGGCGCTGGCGCACCGTGTCTCAACCGCCAGCGAAGAGATGACGCGAATCATGAGCCTGATCGAGCAGTCTGATCAGGTCCTAGTCAATGCATGACAGTGCATTTGTGTGCCTCGGAAGCTCTGAATGGAGGAGTCCTGCGTTGGAGTGTGCGACATGCTTTAAATTAGTCGTTATTCTTGTGTTAACTACTCAAAATTCGCGTTTGGAGTGTTCTTGGTGCCGCGACCTCGTTGTGACCAGTGAAACTAGCCCAGCGCCATGCCCTCAGGGTCCTCTAGCTGTAAAGTCATCGCCCGGGTGTCCCAAATCCCAAATGCTCCCCACCACTGTTAGGCCTCCCCTAAAGCCGACCACGGGCCAAGGGGCCCGCGGCACTGACATGCTGCGGGGCTTCTTCCCCAAGCCCGGGGATTGGAGAAACCCCAGCGGAGCCATATTTAAGCAGGCTTCCTCGACCCAGCTACCTGAACCCAGTCACAAAATCCACTGCTGATTCAAGGTCGATCTAATCATAACAATAACTCTGCAGCATGGGCAGTGACAAGCCAGTCAAGAACGCCTCTGGGCGATACGACAACGTCGATTTCAGAAAAGCAGCCGGCTACGCATATCCCCCCATCAAGTGTTCTTACAACCGCCGTGATGTCCTCCTCTTTGTGCGTTGCACCACCCCAACGATGCTGGAATTCGCGGTACACTGACACGGACGCCAGGCTAACGCTATCGGCTGCACCGCCGACGAGACACACTTTCTCTACGAGCTGGACCCGCGATTCGCCGCATTCCCCACGTTCCCGATCAATTTGGGATTCAAGCAGACAGACCAGGACGTGTTTGACTTCATCGCGCGGACCGTGACGGGCGATGTCCCTGGTGTCCCGCCATTCGACGCCCAGCGCTCGGTCGATGGGGAGCGCGGGATTGAGATTGTGCGGCCGCTGCCAGTCAGCTCGGAGGGGCTTGATCTTGAGATCCGCAACACTGTCAAGGGGGTGTACGATAAGGGTGCGTGTCACTGGATCATCAAACATATTACCTTCCAATCTCCACGCAAAATGACCAGATCTGGCATTTCTTGCTGACCCGATCAACACAACTTAGGCGGCGCCATGATTCTCGAATCCGAAGGCGTCCTCGTCGACGCCAAGACGGACACCGTCTTTGTCAAACTGTCCTCCACAGCATTCGGCATCGGTCAAGGCGGGTACAACGGCCCCCGCGGCCCGTCCAAGCAGCCCGTGACATGCCCTACCGACCGGGCCCCCGACGCCGTGCACACCTTCCAGACCACCCCAGAAGTGGCGTTCCTCTACCGCCTTTGCGGTGACTACAACCCGATGCATGCGGACGACGCGTTCGGCAAGCGCGCCGGGTTCAAGGGCGCGATCTTGCAGGGCTTGGGGACGTGGAACATCGCTGCGCACGGGGTCCTGAAGGAGCTTGGCGGTAGTGAACCGGGTCGGTTCAAGAGCTTCGGGGCGAGGTTCAAAAGTGTCGTGTACCCCGGCGATGCGCTGGAGACGCGGATGTGGGTTGTTGGGAGGGATGTGGACGGGTGCATGGATGTCAGGTTTGAGACCAAGGTCAAGGGGGACGGCAGGATTGCGCTGTCAAACGGGTACGCGAAGATTAGAGAGAAGGGGTCGAGATTATGATTCGAAACTGGCTCTAGCTTGTCGTGATACAATCTATTATGAAGTCAACACTCACTCGCAAAAGACAATGGGGTATCGGTACCAAATGCAGTTCTTTTTTCCACGCCCCTCGACACATCAACCCGTCAGCGGTCCCAGTCCTGCCTGTCTTGCTCTATCAGATCAGCCAGCTCCTTGAAGCGACTCCTGAATGGTTCTCCGACTGTCCAGTGCTTGAGCTGTCGAAGATGCTGCTCAAAAATCGGATTTATCACCACGGCCTGTGGTGCGCCGCCATCTCCCGCACGGCCATCAACCTTTATGAGGACATGCTCGGGGTCATGGTCCCAGAGAATACTCAAGCAGGAGCTGTAGGAAACGGCAAAGACATCAAGCGTGATGTCGGGATGCCGGATAAGCCACTCTCGTGCTCGTGGCCTGTATCGGATAAGTCACATTGTTACTGAGTGTGGCTAGGATGTCGAGTTGAGTCGCGAACCGGACAGCTTACCATGGGATACGGTCTATCCAGCCCGCATGCGGTGTCTGTAGTTGGCAAGATACAGGCCGCAACCACGCTGGGAGGTTCTCCCACGTGCGTGCATCGAGACAGACGAGCCACTTTGTCCGTTCAGCACCATGAGCCACGCCTCACCGGTGGGCAGCAGACGCCAGCAGTGGACAAGGACCTACCTTGAACGAAATCGACATGCAATAAAACACGGCAACCTTGGTCGGAAGTGTCTCGATCTCTGTGTAACACCTGATTATGCCACCCACAATATTGCTGATTTCGTCGTCCGTCTTGTGGTCTTTGTAGACTAATGCGGCCAAGTTAGGTTTCAGTGCCATCTGTTTCGCTTTATTTTTGGCTGTCGCCACTCCAGGCATGCCCACACTTGGTGGTCCAAAGGTAGATGCTGGAGGATCCGGAGAGTGAAACGTGTTTCGCCTTCCAACAACGTGCGAGGCGGAATTCTGTGCGGGTAGTGAAGCTCCATGGTCCGCGCAAGCAGCAGCACGGCAGCTTCTCCTCTCTGTCGCTATCAGCGCCTGTACTATTTCATCCGCAAGGCATGTTGGTGAAGTGTCGAACGGCGGCAGCTCATATGGCTCATGGCATTTTGTCGATACTAGGAAATCGGAGTAGAATGAGGGTAAGGCTGCAGCCTCCGGAACAGGGCTCAGTAGTCTACCGCTCTCGTAATTCCGCTGTCGATATTGATGCCGTCCACCAAGAGTGACGCCGGCATCCAGCGGCGACGATACCGTTGGCGGAGAGCCTGCGGTACTCTGCGGCGTCAATGACGTCGCCGTCGCCGAAGCCGCAGCAGCAGCACTCTGCGCTCGTAGCCTGGCGTTCTCGCCCTCCAGTATCTTCACCCGCTCGCCCAACTGACACGCCTTCTGAGTCTGCTCGTCGAGCGCTGCAGCTAGCGACGAGACCTGCTGATTCAGACTCTCGATGGTCCACTTGTTCCGGTCGCGCATTGCCTGCTGGGACCGGCGGTCCCGTGCACGCTTACGCTCGAGCTCCAGGTCCTTAGTGGACATACTGGCGGTTGAACTCCTATTCCCTGGTCTTCCTCTTGGTGGTGACGGCCCCGCTGTGGGTAATGATCCACCATCTGCCGGTGCTGATTCCTGCGAGGGCGTGTCAGGAGGCTGGGGATGATGCAGACGCTGGTACTGATGCCTCTGGGGTTGGCACTGCGGGTCCTGCAGTGTTTGCTGATACAAGAAGGGACTGTGAGATTGCAGTAATGAATCAGTCCCGGCGAGAGTAGATTGCAAAGACGTTTGTGCGGCACTGGTGAAGAACAAGTCCATGCTCAGCATCGGGTCCGCCATATTTCCAGGGGTCCCACCACGGCAGCGTCCAGTTGCTGGCCTTGGCTGCCCAGGTTGGAGCTAGACTGAAGTCTAGAGCTGGGCTGATGCTGAATCAGTTTAGCCGCTGAGCCGTTGCTCAGTCATGTGAGACGGGACTACGTGATCCCCTTGTGTGCTTCACCAAGCGCCGTGATGGTTTCGTGGTCGACGTTGTGGGCGGGAATCGTTTCCCCGGATTTACAGGGGCTGGCCTGTCATCCCCGCACTTCCCCTACCTACGTCAAGCGGGAGTGATTCAGACGAGTCACTAGCGCTGGCCGCGGTAGTCGAAGCGAAGCGCCATGGAAGGGAGACCCTTGTGCGGGGAACCCCTACGCGCGGCAGACGAAATCCGGCCCGTCCATGGAGTCACGATTCAGTTTGCCATCCAGAAGAGAACTGTGATAATCCAGAATGCAGCCTCCCAGACTCAACTCCTTATTGGTTCTCGGGCTTACTTGTGACAGATCCTTCGGGCAGCAGGCTCCTGACTGATTCAGAATACCAACCACGTGGACTTTCAACCTCCGGCGCCAACCGTGGGTGCACAAGCAACGTTCGAAGAAATTCTCCAGTATTCACGGAACAAGCGACCAGCACATCAACCGGCACAAGAGCCATGACACGAAAGCTTGTAGTTGCACGCATGCCCATGGCCAGTACAGAGGCCAAGGAGACTGTCAGTAGGAGGCCCCGGGATGGCCTTGGAATGTTTCTAACACGACTGTGTAGTTCATCAAATTTCTAAGCGATGCATCCGACTATGCCCTCGAGAACGAGCCAGGAATCAAGAAATATGCCATCTGCTTGCCCCGGGACGAACCAGACAGTAATGTGGTCTACGCAGTTGAGGAGTAAGCGACAACCTTCCTCTCCTGTACTGAACTGGCCTCCGTACTGATTCCCTGCGCCCAAGGTACCAAGACGAAGCCACTTTCGACTCGCACATGGCCACCGACGGCGTGAAGAGAATGATGAGTTGGATCTCTAGCGGGTCACGATTCGATGGTACCCCGGAAATCAACCAGCTCGCCATGATTGACGGCTTCCACTTCTCCAGGCCGCAGGTCAATTCTGCTAAAGACCCCCACGTCCTCTTTGCCGACCTGAGCTACCACCCAGCCGGCGTCGTGAAGGCCCTGCCTTACTGGCAGGCTGTTGTGGACACGGGACGGAATGACGAGCCTGGCACTTGGGTTTACGCTGTGAACAAGGACCCGACCAACGAGAACCGTATCTGCGTGCTTGAGACATATGAGACACCAGAGTACTTGACCGAAGTGCACGTGCCAAGTCATGCGATACAGGAAAGCATCAAGAACACAAAGGACCTTCGGACCGGGTTGAAGCACACGAAGCTCAAGCTCGTCAAGGGCTTCCTGCATAGAGATTAGATGTTGGATCTGGACTTTGAACCTGAATGAGACACACGGATTATGCGCTTAAGTCACGTAAAATCGGCACATGCTAAAGGACAAATGAGTTGTAACTACTAATATCGTCCGGTTTTGGTTGGCAGAGCGGACAGTAACAGCCATCAGAGCCAGTGATCAATTTCGAAGATGAACCAGCTTTTCTATTACATGATTGTCACAATTTCTGGTTTCCAGAATGTCCGAGCTTCAACAGCGCAATGCATCAGTTTCCCCGCGCCTCTTACTTGCAGTAGCCTTGCCAAAGTGGGTTTCAGTACATTTCCCGTCTCAGGGCCAGCTTTGCCGAAGGAAGCACGAACCATCTCCACAGCATTGAGTTTGGTCGTGGGATAGCCGCAAGTCAGAAATGATTCATCGTCAATGATTCATTAGCGCCGCTCCATTTGGGCCGCCTCGGTCATCTCCAAATCTTGACTCGCCACATGCGGGGTCGTGCCGCCATCAAGCAGTGAGATGCGATTCAATCAACCAGGTGCTGACTCGAATCGTGTTCAACTTACGTGTGCGGGGATAATAGGGAAAGCTGACCACAATGGCCGTAGGGCAAGAAGAGGTCGGGGCCTCGGAAATCTAACTCGCGCCCTCGGATAAGATAGTCCCATGTTATCCGACCGGTTTAAAAGCTCTTGCCTCCAAATGATCTGTAGTTCTAAAACATTGTGCTTTACTGTGGCAACTTCGTCCCTTGTTCGCGATTCAGGTAATCACAATGGCGCCGATGATCCAAGACCAACCCAATGGAAATTCGAATGGCTCCGGCCCCAGGCGGCCCATTCGCGTGGCAGGATGCTCAGGTGGTGAGTTGTCCTTTGGTTCCCCCCTTCCAAACGAGCTGATGCTCACAAAATGAAGGTGTCTACGACAGGAAACGCGCAATTGCCGACATGGCTGCAAATGAGGACGTGGACGTTATCACTGGCGACTGGATGAGGTACAGGCCCTCCATCACAAACAGCTTTCCAATCGGTGTAGCTGACCCTTCTCCCGCAACACAGTGAATGCAACATGACCCTCCGCGGCTCCGACAAGCGCGACCGCCTCGCTCAGGCCAAGATGTCGTCCGGGTCCACCCTCGTCGCCAAGGGCTACGAACCCTACTTCCTAGAAGAGATCGAGCCTGCGATCCCTCATCTCGCGCGGAATGGGACCAAAGTCTGCGTCAACGCGGGTGCCAGCGATGTACACGGTCTTGCCGAGGAGGTCAAGAAGCTCATCAAGAAGCACGGCGTGGCTTTGAAGGTCGGCGTTGTCGACGGCGACGACGTCACCGATGCGGCGCTCGAGCTGTACCGCAAGGGCGAGGAGCCGTTTCTCAACTTGCCTGCAAACAAGCCCATTAAAGACTGGGGGTTTGAGCCGATCTGTGCCCAGTGCTACCTCGGTGGCACTGGTATTGCAGAGTGTTTCCGCGGTGGGGCTGATATTGTCCTCTGTGGACGCGTGGCAGATGCTTCGCCCACGGTTGGTGCCGCCATGTGGTGGCACGGCTGGAATCGTGAAGAGAACGTCTCCGAGTTGGCGGGTGCTCTTATGATCGGCCACATCATCGAGTGCAGCACATATGCAACAGGAGGGTACTACTCTGGCTTTAAGGACTTGGGTGACAATGACACTGATATGGGCTGTAAGTGGTGATGCTACCCACATGCTACCTGGCGATTGCTAACTCAATCGACTGGAACAGACCCCATTGCTGCCATTGACGAGAAGGGCGAGGCTGTCATCTCGATGGAGAAGGGGCGGGACGGACTTGTCACCACCGATACCGTCGCCAGTCAGCTTCTCTATGAGATTCAGGGCCCGCTGTACTATAACTCGGACGTCACGGCCTCGATCGAGAACATGGTCATTATGCAGATTGGCAAGAACGAGGTCCACGTCTCTGGTGTCAAGGGCTTGCCGCCGCCATCGACTACAAAGGGTACATATTTCACTGGCTTTTGATCAAAGTCTCTGCCTAGTTGCATCTGCTAACATTTCATCTAGTCGGCTTCACTGCCAAGGGCGGCTGGCAAGCCGAGTTCCACTTCTACCTCACGGGCCTGGACATCCATGAGAAGCTCAAGATGGTGGAACGGCAGACTCTGCGCAACATGGGCGACGATGCCAAGAAGTTCTCCTGCTTGAAATTCATGATCGCCGGCGGCGTGCCGCAAGATCCCCAATCACAAAATGAAGCAACCGTGGACCTGCGCATCTTCGCCCAGACCCGCGACCCCCATCTCCTCTCCGGTGCAAGTTTCACTGACTCGGATCGCGGGTCATTCGCGCGGTATTGTATCGAGAATCTGCTGCAGGGATATCCCGGATCTACCATGGCTCCGGACATGCGGACAGCCATTGGACGGCCATTCTTCGAGTACTGGGCCACTCTGATGCCGCAAAGCTTTGTGAAAGAGACGGCTCACTTGCCAGATGGGACAGTCGTGCAGATCCCGTCACCCAAGATCACAAGAGAATACCCGCGCGAACAGCCAAGCTACGAAACTGTGTCTCCAGCAGACATGTCGCAGTTTGGCCCCACGACGCGTGCTCCGCTTGGCTATGTGGTGCTCGGCCGCTCAGGCGACAAGTCGTCTAATTGCAACCTGGGCCTGTTTGTCCGGCGCGAGGATGAGTACGAATGGCTGCGCACGCTCATGTCTACGAGCAAACTTCGCGAGCTGCTTGGCAAGGACGACGTGGGGAAGCAGATTGACAGGTGCGAGTTCCCAAACATCAAGGCAGTCCACTTCTTGTTGAAGGACCATCTGGACAGGGGGTTCAACTCAACAAGCAGTTTTGACAGCTTGGGTAAGAACTTGTGCGAGTATATCCGGTGTCGGTGGGTGGATGTACCCACGAAATTTTTGGATCGCGGACGAGTCTAAAGCTACGGTGGCCTCGAATGTTTATATAAATGCAGACTCGTTAGCCAGCATTCCACTCGATGACACAGAGCCTGGGTAGGATTGAACGGCTTCTAGCCAGCCCTTCCACAGCCTGTTGTGTACGCATGCAAGTCATTGCATGAGATTTCGTGATCACTACTGAGGCCTTATGTCACACCTGGTACGGCTGCCTGCTGCTGAGTGTTCACGCACCATCTGCGATGAGACGAACACAAGGAGAAGTCTTCGAACTATTCATCATGCTAGCATGTTTCGATGTTAGTGGATATCTTCTGCTGCGACGTCTTTGCCCAGTATAGTGAGCACTAGCCTCAATCTACCAATAGTCCGAAGCGTGTCGGGATGCTCTACTCCTAAGAGTGGCGTTTGCACCGACAGTATCTTCTTATAGATCAGTGCCGCTTCCTCATACTTGCCCTGCTCATAAAGGATCATCGCCAACCTGTGTGTGATATTCAGCGCCTCTGGGTGTTCTGGCCCTAGAACTTTACCCATCGACACTAGAACCTGTCGGAACATCTGCTCTGCCTCCTCGTACCTACCCTGACTGCGCAGCACCCCTGCGAAGCTCTCCATGATATCCAGTGTTTGTGGATCTTCTGGTCCTTGAACTTTGTTCATCGACGCTAGTGTCTTCGAAAGGATTTGATCTGCCTCCTCATACTTCCCCTGCCTTGCGAGCACGTCCGCCAGGTCATGGCACCTCATAAGCACGACCAAGTCCTCAGAGCCCATGAGCTCTTCTGACTGCTGCACCACCTCCCTCATCATCGGCTCTGCCTCCTCGAACCTTTCTTGCTCCGATAGCAATAATGCCCAGTTACGCATACTGGCGAGCGCAGCCGGGCCTTCTCGCCCCAGGGCGTGCTTCTGTAGCTCCACTACTGTCTTATGTATCTGCTCCGCTTCCTCGTACTTTCCCTGCTTCCCAAGGACACGACCCAAATCAACCATGCAGTCAAGTGTTGTAGGGTCTTGCTGGCTCAAGGCGCTCTCAAGGTCTTGCAACACCTGGCGATAGATCTGCTCGGCCTCCTCGTACTTTCCTATGCGGGAAAGGGCGAAGGCATGGTGGTTCCTGGTGTCGTCTATGTACTTGTGTCCAGGGCCAAACAGCGTCTCCAGCAACTCCGGTGACGTGCGAAGCATCTTCTCCGCTTCGTGAAACTTGCGAAGAAGGAGATAGCATAATCCCATGGCATCTTGTAACATCCGAACGACCATCTTATCTGTACACTCGTTCCGGAACACGAGTGCCGCGTGCGCGTGAGGCAGAAAAGCCGTCCAAACCTCGCGATTCCCGAGCGATGGGACTGGGAACACCATCCAGAGTTGGTGGGTAACCTCCGTCACCTGCCGGCTCTGCTCTCCACGGCTTTGGAGCCAGTTCCGCATCGTGAGCCGTACAAGCCGGTGAATATCGAACCTGTCTGGGTTCTCCCGGTCTTTAATGAACGCGTACGCTTTCAGCGTACTGAGCGCTTCATCTCGTTCCATCTCGTCACCCTCAGCGGCCAGCAAAGCAAGGGGTATGTCTTTTTCTTCAAAATAGCAGATGGATCGCAGATATCTGGCGGCGAGTGGGCTGTCTAGGGCGACTTGCTCAAAGGAAATGAGCCATGTCGTGGCTACCGGATTTTGGCTGGCTTCATATCGATCCTGGGCGTCAAAGTCTTTGCTGAGTAGTTTGATCGTGGTCTGGTCGCTCGATGTGCAATACCCTAGGTACCGCGCAACCGTTACATGCGCATTCGAGGCCATGTAAGCTGAGGCTTGACGGATAGCTAGTGGCAGAGAGGCGAGGAAATCCAGGAGATCCATCGTGCTTTGCGGGTCGCCTATCTGGCTGGTCTGGAGACCCTGGTGTAAGAGCTGGGCGGACTCGGAGCCGTCTAGGGGCTGGAGCCTGAACAAGCCCTTCCCGATTGCTAAGCGAGATGCAACATGATGATTCCGGGTTGTAAACAGGATCGACCCCTGCCTGCTCATCGGCAAGTAGGACTGCAGCCGGCCATCAGTCATTAGAACGATGTCGTCTGCATTATCCACAACAAGAAGCCACTGGCCAGCGTCGTCTCCGCTAAGCGCCGATTTCACCATGGTCTTGACATCTGCCCCCTCGCTCTCGACACCTTCCACCCCAAGGACAAGGCCAATCTCACGGTAGGCGTTCTCGAAAACAACCATGTCCACGGCTGGGACCCAAAAAACGGAGCAGTCCGGGTGTGCCTCTCGGACACGGTAGGCCGACTCGATCGCCACCTGGGTCTTGCCCATGCCGCCAAGGCCCTCGATGACGGTCCGCTGGCAGGTATTGGGGAAAGCGGTTGGATGGATTCTTTCGAGAAGCTGTTGTAGAATATCTTCCCGGCCCACGAAATTTTCGTTCTGGCCGAAGGGAACGAAGAAGTGACGTTTTGCACGAGCTAGCAAGCATTAGGCCAGCTCTGAATGAGAACAATCAATACACCCATCATAACTAGCTCACCTGTCTCGATCGAATGTGAATCAGCTTTTGCCGCTAATGGTGGAACGATGGACAGCAGCTCCTTGGTGACGGCTGCTGCTGTTGCCGCTGCGTATGGCTGCCAAAGCTTGTTCTTGTGCGCGTCTGCATAGTCGCAGATTCCCCGAACGACAAGGCACGGAAGGTTGTTCATCAGCCCAGCGGCCTCCATCTCAAAGCACAGGACACCTCCCAGGTCCTGGCTGTATCGGTCACGCGTTACCCCGTCCCGCATCACTTGGTTGCCAGATGCAATGGTACCGAAGAATAGGGCTGGGTCGGTCGTGCTGCGCGGTTCCCTGATGACAATATCCGCCGGGCGACATTCTGCGCAGGTCGCCCCGCCCAGATGCAATGACGACGCGTGGAACAGGACGTCCTGAGTTGGGCCGGGCGACGCGAACTTTGGACTGGAAGAGATCTTGGACAAATGGTCCAGGACGCGAGTATCGCTCAGTAAATCCTTGGCGCGAAGCTTTGCCAGGGCGTTGAGCAGGATCGTGGGAGGCGTGTTGAGGGTCCCGGTTCGTGCGATGCTGCCACCCGGCCCTGTCTTTCCAAAGTCGTACTGGACGACGCCTCCATGCCGCCCGAACGGCTGGCTGATGACCACGTCGCCCAGCCGGATGTCGATATCCTCTTCTGAATTCGGAACGCCACCAGCTATGCCCACGAGGACGCCGAAGCGCAGCGAAGGAAAGTTCAGCCTCATCTGGCTGGCGACAACGGCGGCCTGGTTGGTGCCCATCTGACCGGCGGGCAAAGAGGCGGCGACAACATTGTGGACCCCAATCCGGCCGAACGAGTACAGGTTGGAATCGGTTGGAAAGGAAGGGAGGTCTGCGAATTGTTCGTCCATCATCTGGACAGCGGCGGCCAGCTCGATGGGTAGGGCGCAGACCCAGCCCACGGTAAAGTCGCGAGCAGCAACAGAGTTGACCATGGTGCTGCTGGCGGTCCCCTAGGCGGAGAGTGAAGTGGAAGGCGCGAATTGGTCAAGCCGTCGGCACGACGTGTTGCGATGAGAGAGGCGCGTTTTGCGGCGGGGTAAGCAGCAGGCACATGAGAGATGTAGACTATGAGACGCCAATGCTCCAGCCGACGTATCTCATTGGGCCCACGAGCCTTGCTCACTGGTCTTCAGCTGAAAATGCACACCGGGCGTGAGCCTGGGTCGTACATTTACTAAGTCGCAAGTAGGCCAAAATTAAAGATAGAGGTGGCTCAATCCTGAGGATATCAGATTCTAACACAACTCGCTAGGTTTGTACACAGTCACATACATTGTCAAATTCAGTCTAGATCAGCAGCTTTGTGACTAGCTTGCCCTGGTTCTGGCCGCTAAAGAGACGCATCCAGACCTCAGGCTGGTCATCTATCCTGGCCTCGACTACGGTCTCGCCCTTGCCGAGGACAATCTTGCCCTGGGCGGCCGCGCCAATGAGCTCGCCGAGGATGGCGGGGACCTTGTCCATGTAGTCGAGCATGATGAAGCCGCAGATGGTGATGCGGCCCGAGATGAGCTCGAACCAGTTCCTGAGCGCCATGGGCTCGTCCGAGTTGTACGTGCTGACGGCGCCGCAGACGGCAATGGTGCCGTGGCGCTTGACGCGGGTCAGCATCAGGTCCAGGATCTCGCCGCCCGTGTTGTCAAAGTAGACGTCGACCTCGTCGGGCGTCGCGGCCTTGAGGTCCGCGGCAAAAGTTGGGCTGTGGTAGTTGAGGCACTCGTGGGCGCCCAGCTCGTTCTTGACCCACGCGCATTTCTCGTCGGAGCCGGCGATGCCGATGACGCGCTTGGCGCCCAGCAGCTTGACGGCGATCTGGACGGCCATGCTGCCAGTGGCGCCGGCAGCGGCCGAGATGACAATCGTGTGCTCGGGCTTGGCCTCACCGGCATAATAGAGACCGGTGTAGGCGGCGAGGCCGGAGGCACCAAAGGCACCCAGGTAGTGTGTGAGGGAGAGGTCGGCGGGCAAGGGGCTGATGGGCTGCGAGGTGGCGGCCTCGAGGACGAGGAACTCGCTCCAGATGCCCAGGTGGAAGTCCATGACGAGGTCGCCAGCCTTGAAGTTGGGGGACGCCGACTCGATGACCTCGGCGACGACGCCGGACCGCATGGCCATGCCCAGCTCGACGGTGGGCACGTACATGCGCTCGGGGGCGACGGTGGTCTGGATGAAGTTGCGCAGGCCCGTGTCGTTGGAGAAGTAGATGACCTTGCACAGCAGCTGGCCCTCCTTGATGGCCGGCAGCTCGACAGTCTGCAGCTTAAAGGTTGCGTTGTCGCCGGAGAGGACGGGGGCACCTGTGGGCTTGTTGGCCAGGATCCATTGCTTCGTGGTGTGAGGCATCGTGTGCGTGTGGTAGTGAATGCGTCTGTTTTTGCTGTGTGGTAGAGGAGGTCGAGATGCGAAGCAGAGGTCGGAGGCGTTCTCGGGCGGAAGGACAATAAGCCAAAACAGAAGTGGTGTGCATACTTTATAGGGGATCATCCAACCAACTCGTCGATAAGAACTGCTGCTCGGTCTTGTCCGTCGACCCCTCCTCCCCTCGGTCTCGGCGCACACGGCGGTTGTTTCTTGGAAACGCGTCCACTGTCCAGGGATGGCCCCGCGTCTCCCGCGGCGACTTGTGCTGGGTCGGGGCGAGTCCTCCCCCCCCTGGCCGCCATGTGTCAAACATGTCGCTTGTAGGCTTGGACCTCGCCGTGCATCCTTGCTCTTCACGATGAATTGTGGAGTGGTAGCCCCTGTGCCGGCACTTGGCTGAGCCGCCGACGCCCGGGCGGTCCAGGGTTCTGCTTGCCACTGAGAGGGGCGGTCTATACGCAGCAGGTGTTCGTCAGCTCAAGCCCCATCGCAATCCTGGTTAGCCTCACAGCTCAGGGGCAAGCGAGCCGACGGGTTCCATACCCTGACCGCTGTTCTCACGAATGGCATTTTCTGGTTTGTCCACCCAGATCTGGGCGCAAGGACTGCTACAATAATAGTTCGAGTCATCCTAGGGGACTATCCAGTCGTAGCATGAATCAGGCCAATGTCCCCATGGGCCACAAGGGACTAGCCCGCCGTTTCGGAAACGCGGCGACGCCTGTCCCGTCCCGCCCGCCCGCCTCGCCTCGCTTGTTTTTACCTGGTTCCAAGTGGGGCAACGGCCAACGGTCCTTCTGGAGCTTGTCGGCTGCTCCATCCCCGAAATGCACTGTGCCCGCCCAGCACTTCTCGCTTCAAGCGGTTGGCGGCCGTTAACTTATTGCTCTAGCCCAGTTTCTCGTTCTGATCCACTAGCTCTTGCACCCTCGCGGTGGGGTCGGCGCCCGTTATTGCTACCGTGCATGACTTTCACCGCGCTCGCACGTGGCATCGCGGTCCCGAGACAGATGTGGATGGCCGAATCGGCCATCCACAATCTATCTATAGTCCTTAAGGTCACGCTATGTGACATCACACAATACGCTTGGTGAAAGGGGGGCAGGGCATGGCAACATGGGAACTAGCTGGGTGGCCGGTCAGCCAGAGTGCACTCGCCAGCAGGAACCCTCTCGAACAATAACTCGAACTCTGCCCGCCCCGGGCCTTGAGAATGGCATCGAAGATAGTACACGGCACAGAGTCAGGCTTGCGGTCGGGATATGGCTTGCCCCCGGAAGCTCCGAGGTATCTGCGAAGACAAACCGAAGCTCTGTTCTCGTGACTGTTTTCACCAATACTCGTTTATAGCATTGATTCGTCCATCGTGATAGCCAGTATGGTGGTATTGATGTATGGTCAGTTCCTTTACAACCATCAGAATCCGATGCGGCCTTCTCCCTACCTTGCCGGCGGCCTAGTCGTGTCTGGATGCATGCAAGACGGAGCCACACATAATACCCTGACGCCCTATCCCTCAGGTTTGTCCTTGATATGGGATACAGGCGTGATTTCCGCATGTTTGACTATTAATATCCACGAGTATTTCTCTGCGAGATACAGCAGGTCCTTCTGCAGAATTAATTCCGGTTGCGAAACAGGACGACTTCGTGTATTGGTCGACGGAAAGTCTCGAAGCGATTAGGTCAGTGATCTAGTTAAGATCTCATATAAAAACACCTATCACTATTGATAGAAGGTCAGATTTTGGCATTTTGGATTGCATCTTGGCCATCGTCGACCTCTCGCAACATTCCCTGTGTCCCTGCGGCACAGCACAGCAATGCTGCCTAAACCTGGAACTCCACTATTTTCTCGGGACCGCAAGCCTGGCGTATCTTGCATCGTGCGCTTGCCATGAACAACCAGCCAACGCAGAATCAAGAGTTGCACGATAATTGTTCCCAGACGGAGCTGAGCGCTGAGAAAGTTGTTGATTGACACCACCACGACGATGGCCGCGTCCACCACGCCCTCGTCCCTCGACGCCTTCCACACCGCCATGGCCAGGCTCGCTGGCGTCCGGGGCGCGTGGGGGTTCATAGTCGTGCGCACAGCATTCTGCGCTGACAGCGATGCGGACGAAGCGCAGTGGACTAGAGCATACCGCGTCTTGCGCCAGATAGCACTTCCCAAGTCCAGCGGGGACGATGTCCACGGTCGTCGCGCGGGTTTTGCACCTCGAGAGGACGACAAGACTCCCGAGCGCTTCGCGTTGCCCGTTCTCGCGGACAGGGCCGTTCTGGGTGGGCAGAAGGATCTTGATCTAGTCCGGGAGCTGGTGAACCAGCAGGTCGAGAGATACCGCGAGGCAAGGCGGCGTTGGGTCGACGCTATGAAGAGTGGTGAAGAGGACGACGCAGACGAAGATGACGCATCTGTTGGCTCAGGCTCCTCCTCCTTCTGGAAGTCTCAACTGCGGCTCGAAGGCTATCTCGTGGTCAACGACGACGCACTAGCTTCTTTGCTGGCAATGGCTGATGTGCTGGGCGACGACAGGATCGAGCAGACATCTCAGACTCCTGGGACAGCCCAGCCGCACGTCATCTTCCTCGATGCCACGGATCCCGCGGACGTTCCATATCAGGGCGGCTCACCTTTCCAGGGGTGGATGCGGGCAGAGGTGCTGGCTCTCACTGAGTTCGAGGAGCAGCTGGACATGTGCGGCAATGATGCCGCCCGTCGCTCTATCCAGGTGTATCCGCAGCGAATATACCCGGGCCATACTCCTGTGTATAATGGGATGGGAAACTTCCGAGGGGTCCATGGACGTGCACCCCCGGCGGCTGGGGGTTACGTATTCCCACGTGGCACCCCACGCGGGTGGGAGGGCACGGTGGCCACGTGGGAGAGCATACCAGTGGAGCACAGGGGCAGACAGACACTTGGGCCGCCGCCGGCGTGGTTCCTCCGCCGGCAGGCGGAGCAGAGCGCTGCTCGGGAAGGGACACAGTAATGAAGACCATGGGATGTGGTGTGATATCCCGGATGAGATGCTTATGGTTCGGAAACCGGGTATTTCTATACGCTAAGTCAGTAAGGATCGTAGGTAAATTTCCTTAACTTGGATAGCGCCAGAGTAATGCTCCAACACACCCCAGATGTGGGAGTTGCCTGGGGATGAAATCGCGGAGTTCAATCGCTCGGTTGCTAAATTGATATTGAAAATCAAACTACTTTCCAGATTGTGGCACAGCGTTTGGCTCCCGAAACGGACTGCTTCTTGCCTGGCGGCGTATGAGTCCTCGGCGGCAACTTGCGATGCGACAGCATATCACTTGTCACACCTCCCATTTTGCGGATAATTTAACGAAAATTTCAACTCGGACAAGTTCAAGTGTGGCCGGCTGCGCTCAACTCTCCACGTTGCCGAGGACGGGACGCGGTGCCGAAGAATGGACGAAATCCGCGGCCACCGTGCGAGAAATGAAGGGCCCTTGCGCGTGAGTAAACGTTGTCCGGTTCACCGGACAGTTTCAAAGCTCCTGCCCCTTCGTCAGTCCGCTCAGGATGGTAACTACAGCGGGGATGATGTGCAGCCGTTTTAAAAACAAAGAATGGGAATTTCGCCACTTTCGGCTGCGGCAGATGGAAACAGCCCCGTGAAGCAACCTTGGACGGTTCGACTCAAATCTTTCTCCGTTGAAAGCCAGCCGAAGTCAAGTGAGGGCTCTTGATCGGCTGATCACGGGCAGGGTAATCAGAGGAGTATCTAATGTGCCAACGCGTCAAGAGTGATAGAACGGAGTCAAGCGAGGATTGAGGCTCGGTGCCGGCGCGGCTGCGGGTGATGGATCGAGTCAAAGACGAGTGCGTCGAACTTACCCAGAAGCCGATGTAAGGCCAGAATCCTTAGAGCGAGGTCAAGCTTTCAATGAAACAGGCAACTGCGTTCGATGTGGGAGCCTCCAAGAAGGCAGAGCGAGAGCGAGCGTGCACTGTCCGGGCTGTCGTCGGTGAGAACAGCGATGGATCCAACACTGATGTGACTCGTGGAGATAATGAATATCGCTTCATTCAGGCAAGCCCCATTCTTGAACAAGGCTTGATATGGAAGTGAGTCGCTAGTGACGCCGCAGACTGGCCAAGGTCGTGGCAACGCCGGCCCCAGACCGTCGGGCGTGTCTCTCACTCCTGATGGGAAGCACTGATGAACCGATGGGGGCCCTTTCTCTGACACAACTCAAGCAGGAACAAGTTGAGCAACTGTCTGCTCATCCCTCTCCCAAGTTTGACCCGCAGCAAAGTGTCGCCCACATCCAACATACCCCAGAACTCGTGCATAGCGCAAGCCGTTCTCAGAAGTCGCACGAGGCGCCGCTTACAATGATGCATTCTCGTTACTCCCACCTCGAACGACATAATCCACCTTCTTCAGAGACCTCTTCCGACCATCGCGCTCCGGCGGCGAACTCTCATTCCCTCAAACACTTCTCGGACAACCACTACTACGCCTGTACTCAGTCAGGCAACCACTCAACCAGGCAGCATAAACTCCCTCGCAAACACTCTTCTCCGGCCCCGGCGGCAACCACCGTCGAGCCTAGTGCTGCATGATGCCACCCAAGACAATTCGTGCTTCCCAGAGCACATTTGACCGCAGAAAAAGATGGCTTCATCGAATTGCTTTGACAATGCGCAAGCCGACGACAGTGCAAAAGTGGCTCACTACAATGGGATCATTGAAGCTGTTGAAACACAACACTCACCCACCCCTCACAGCCCTCTGAGCAACGTCGTCCTTGATACGAGTGCGGGATAGATTGAGGTGGACGGACAAGTCCAAGACAACATATATAGCCGTGATCTTCCCCAGATCTTGTGCATCGTCGGCTATGGGTGTGCATCGTCGGCTATGGGCTTACCAACCGCTGCAACGTCTTCTTTCCTCGAGATATGTTGCTCGGCACGGTGCGTTTCGCAGCCCTCCCGAATTCGCTGGAATGCCCGCTGGTCAAGATCAACGATAAGTCTTGCAGAAGGGTTCCCGTGAATGGCACCACGATTGATATCCCGGACGACTTCCTCTAGGACCCAGACACGAATAGAAAGCCAAAAATCACATCGCTCTCGTTCGCCCAAGTCAAGTTATGGCGGGAAATCAGCCAGAGTATGATACGCGAATGCTTGCCTGCAGAAATCAAGCAAAGAGTCGTGGATCTTCTCAATAACCATGATCCGAGCGATCAGCTTTGCAGGTTTCCTCTGTACGCGTACATCTCGAGGAGGAAGCTGTCAAAGGTAGCCGCTGGGAGTCGATCCTCTATTATCGCCTTTGAGGCCCTACGATGCGCAGAGCTTGGTGCACTGGCCAAGAACTTCACCAAGCATTTCGACCAGAAAGCCACTTCTTTGAGGAGCAATACCACCTGACATTGAAGGCAGAGCGGCTTTACGATCGGAATTGAAGCACCCAGCCAATCAACGACGCGAACCTCAAACTGAGCCCCATTGAGCGGTTCTTCGCCACGTTCGCTCCCGATAACGAGACTGCGTTCAATGTCTTCAACGCCAGAAAAAGGAAAAGAGAGACAGGTGATGAGGCTGTGGACCCCAGACAAATATAAAGACATGTCTTTGATGCCTACGCAGCAGACACTCAATCGGCTGTCGCACAATCCTTCCTATCAAATGACGTAAAGGTCGAAGATGACTCCACGCTGAACGCCAACCCAATGCCTACGACGCGCCCAAGGACATATCGGCATACCTTGGACGATACCGCCAAAATAGCAACACGCAGCTCGTGGTCAAGGCCGAAGACAAAGCTTCCAGATAGGATCCGTTCCATGGTCTAGAGGGTCAGAGTTAGAGGACCGCAGGGCTAGAGGACTCGGAAGCAGGGGGTTTCGAAGCAGAAGCCCTGCGAGAATAAGTCGTCTGTCCTCAATTGAGGCACGATCTCAGCTACCTGCTAGCAGGAGAATATAGTCTGAGATAACAGCCACGACGAAATAGACGAGGATCTTACTGCGAAATAACCTACTTATAAGGCGAGATAAACAAAAGCACAGAGCGAGTTACAGCTGACAATGAAACGCGCTCCCCGTCGGCTCGTATAAAGGAAAGAGGTACAGCTAGGGAACTGTGGTGATGAATTTCATGAGTAACGTAGAACCCAGCTGAAGCCAGAGCCTGCCGAATTCGAACCTGGAAACCATAGCGCCGGCGTATAGACAGTTGCTGCTCGGGTATCAAACTCGAATGCTATCAGCACTCGTGTCTCACAAGTGCTTACAAACCCGTAGCGCAGCCAATTTAAGGCAGTCCAGGATGTGCCTCAGAAAACCTGGGGACGGTCGTTGACGGCCTCTAGCGATGTAGATCAGTAGTCCTGGACTCAGTAATGGTACTTTAAGAGCACAACATACCGCGGAGGAGCTAAGCTGGTCGGAGCACTAGGGCTCCACGTTCTATACGGAGCAAGGATTAATATTTATCATTAAGTGACAATGATAGCGTTAGATGTGCATGAAAAGACATTGGTCAACCTCAACACTCCGCACTGAAGACTGTCAATCTCCAACGCTGAGAGCTCAAAGGATCGGTAGCGCTGGGCGCTTTTCATTTCAAACCAGAGTAGAGCTCCGGCCAGACTCGAGCCCGACACTGAACCACTCGCTGCGGCTGAAGCTTTGCTGCGAGGGATCCGGGATGCTGAGTGGTTGGCTAAAAGGGAAGCGGGCACCTAACTACGGTGTGAGATCCACGGTAAAGAGGGAATGCGGACAACTGCGGCCAGGGCGATGGAGGTGCCGGAAGATCTCGAGTGACATGGCTTGTTAACCGCTAAAAAACTTCGGCCACGCTGGCGGTTCCATTCGCTCTACTAGAACGGTCAGAGATGTCAATCGATCAGCGGGAATCTGCCAAGGCTGATGCTCATCCCTCAGGCCCACGTGGCGGCGTACGATCCTGGTTTAAGGTTAATTTGCCCAGAACAACCACACTACTGCGCCTGTTGGCTGTGGCCTGGCGCAGTTGGCCTTGACAGCTGCAACCCGGGGGCGTGGAGACGATGCTGATTTGCTTCCAGGGTCCTGCTGGACGGCAAGAGACCTTGCCCTGTGAAAGGGAACAGACATTTGATATTATGATGCATGACATGGCTGAAAACTAGAAGCTCCTTTCTGTGCACTAGGCCCCGAGACCAGTCGATGACCACTCCAGAACGGTTCAAGCCGACACTGTGCTTGCGGGCTAGCAATCCCTGCTAATATTGGAGGAGGCGAAACGAATTTAGCCAAGGCTGAAAATGCATATGGTGACGCGGCCACTGGCCTGCCTGATCCAGAGGCATGAAGCCACGCGATGCAGCTGTTGTGATGATTTGTCGACTAGCTTGTGATTCCATGGCGAAGACTAGGCGACTTCATCATGTCGGTGCCGAACACAACCATGTCTCGAGGGACCGCTTTGCCCTTGGCTGTCTTTCAATGCCAGAGTGGTGCAACAATTGGCCGAGATGGAACCGACAGGATTTCAGCGACCTCGTCAGCCTGGTGCAGAGCACTCTCGGCTGATCTTGAGACCTCAGGACCTCGAAAATGGCTTGCCCTGGCATTTCAAACGATTGGAGTCTGCATGCCTTAAGTCCCCACATCTAATCACTGGATCACCGTAGGGAGGTCGAGAAGCTCTATGTCAGACAGAGGTACGAGCTGAGAGAGAAAAAGAGTTATCTGCTGCACTGTGGGCAGTTGATTGTCAGCGTTCGGGATGGTGTTTCTCACTTCGGGATAGCCCTCATAGCACGGCATTCACCCAGCATCACTCTGAGCAGAGTCTGAAACTATCTCCATCGGAACGCAAGCGTTTCTACGCCCGTGGACACAAGAGCTCGACTGCACTATTCTGGCCCTCGGATGCCTAGTTGTACAGCTTGCACAATTCGAACATATCCCACCGAGTCTGAGCACATGGTATGATGGATACGTCAAGCAGGCTCACCCAGCAGAGGTGAGTCCATGCCCACAGGAGCTCTCGGCTACTTCAGCTGATGCCCATTGGTCAGGCAAATGGGTCGAATGGGTGCCGATCCCCATCTTATTCCCCAGACGCATTCCCGCGACTTTAGCCTAAAGATGCCAAGACATCCCCATTGGCCGGGCTCTAGCATGACGACTCCTTGACGTTGCACCACATTGACACGCTAGCCCGCGGGTGTGGCACTGAGCCTAGGGACAACAAGCTCTCGGCGCCTTTACGGCGATGGCTAACAGGCTCGAGCTATGCAGAACCGGCGCCGGGTAATAGGCTGTCTGGCAACCCTGACGCTTTTTTTGGACCCCGGTCCCCGCCTTCCAGGGTCCTGCTCTCGCGTTCTGGCTATCTCCGTGCTTGGGCACAATGTAAGCAGGAGACACCCTAGTATCGGCCCTTGTCTGAACTCTCCCTCGTGCCCACCGCCCATGGGGTGCACCGGAAGCGAGAAACGGGGCTCCGGGGTAGCTCCCTCTTCCCAATGGCGATTGGGCCGGAAGAATTGCATCTCGCCGAGACGGCGCCTGAATCTGGGGTAGCCCGTTGTGGACGCGGAGAGAGACAAGCCCAGGCTAATCAGCCCATCAGTGGCGTGAAGAAGATTGTGTGGTTGGCGGCTTACGCGGGAGAGCAGCGCGCGGAGGGCGGTATGTGCTTGGCGCAAGCCGGCACAACTAATCCCGGCAGTGCTTATATCTCGTCAACCCTGCCCGCGCCCAGCTTGGCATCAGCTTCGCGCCGTTTTCCCAGCTTTATCTGCCCATCCTCTCTTCACCAACGGCAGCAGCTGGACATCGGAGAGACGAAGAGACCTACCTCGACCGAGACAAGTCACGAACCGTCGCAGAGATCGAAACCGACAGAACAGAACATCAGGATGGCGGGAGGTGCTGATACCGGCGCGAGCATGTACGATGCCGCCCTTCATCGCCGTCAGGCTTTGATGGGTGCCAGCGGTGCCCGTGCGCTCGTCAAGAACTGGAAGGTCTTCCGCATCGCCATGTTTGCCTGTATTGGCGGCGTGCTCTACGGATACAACCAAGGGTAAGTGGAACGTGGTCGGGACAGGTAGCAAAACGACACGTCGACTAACCTGGTGTGGGCAGAATGTTTTCTGGTCTTCTCGCCATGCCATCCTTCAAGGAGCGTAAGTTTTGTCCGCACTCTGAGTGTGCTGTGCATCGAATTCCCCGAGTCTGACAGGCTGAATAGACATGGGCGAGTATGACCCCTTTGATGACACTGCGGACCAGACCAAGAAGGGCTGGCTCACCGCCATCCTCGAGCTTGGTGCCTGGGTCGGTGCTCTGTCGTCTTCCTTCATCGCCGAGGTGCTCTCCCGCAAATATGGTATCATCATTGCCACCGCCGTCTTCATCTTTGGTGTCATCATCCAGACCACTGCTATCGCTGGCCCCGGACCAAATGCCACGCTCGCTGGTCGCTTCATCACGGGTATGGGAGTTGGCAGTGTGTCCATGATTGTGCCTATCGTAAGTCTCAAGAACTTCAAGTGGTCTAGATTTCGTGGCAGCGTGGCTAACAGGGCAATATGCAGTACGCATCAGAGATTGCCCCTCCAGAAGTTCGTGGTGCTCTGGTCGCTACGCAGCAGCTTGCAATTACCTTTGGTATCATGGTCAGCTTCTGGATTGACTAGTGAGTAGACTTCCAGTCATTCCTCATCCCAATTGGAAATCCTGCTGACATATGAACAGCGGCACGAACTACATTGGCGGCACTGAGCGCGGCCACCAGACTGATGGCGCTTGGAGTAAGTTCAATTGCCGCGTGCGAGGATATGATATTGCAAGTATGGCATGCTGACGCTCTGCCTCCCTTCCAGTGGTCCCTACCTGTCTCCAGCTCGGCCCAGCCATCGTTCTGCTAGTCGGAATGATCTTTATGCCCTTCTCGCCCCGTTGGCTGCTCAAGCACGGCCGCGAGGCCGAGTCTCGCAAGGTCCTCGCGTCCCTCCGCAACCTCGCGGAAGACCACGAGCTTGTCGAGCTTGAATTCCTCGAGATCAAGGCTCAGGCTTTCTTCGAGAAGCGCACCGCGGCCGAGAAATTCCCCGGTCTGGCAGAGCCGACCGCCTGGAACCAGTTCAAGCTGGAGCTGCTGTCGATCAAGTCCCTCTTCCAGACCAAGGCCATGTTCAAGCGAGTTGTGGCCGCAACAGTGACCATGTTCTTCCAGGTACGCATATCTCCAAATTATCCAGATCTCTCAATCATGATATTGACGACTGCTACAGCAATGGACTGGCATCAATGCCGTGCTCTACTACGCCCCACAAATCTTCCAACAGCTCGGCCTTACCGGCAACACGATGTAAGTTGGTCGAGATCAGCACCCCTTTTCTTGAGCACGATATCGCAGAGCGCCCCAGCTGACATCTCTGTCCTTTCTCAGCTCTCTTCTTGCCACCGGTGTTGTCGGCATCGTCATGTTCCTCGCCACCATCCCTGCAGTTCTCTGGATCGACCGAGTCGGCCGCAAACCGGTCCTCGCCATCGGTGCTTTGGGCATGGCACTCTGCCATTTTATCATTGCAGTTCTTCTCGCCAAGAATGAGCATCAGTGGGCTACACAGCCTGCTGCTGGTTGGGCTGCCTGCGTGTGAGTTATTCCCGTGATGGTGGTGTGATGAGATCTTGTGCTGACTTTTTTCTTTTTTTCTTTTTTTCTGCAGGATGGTCTGGCTTTTTGTCATTCATTTCGGCTACAGTTGGGGGCCGTGCGCTTGGATCATAGTCGCGGAGTAATTCCCCCTTTTCCTGGCCAACTGTGACGATGTCTCATACTAATATGTCACAGGATCTGGCCCCTGAGCTCCCGATCGTACGGTGTCGCCCTCGGCGCGTCCAGCAACTGGATGAACAACTTCAGTAAGTCTATCTCCCTCTAGATCGACGTGGAATGAAGTGCTGACGGCCTGGATAGTTGTTGGACAGGTTACCCCTATCATGTTGCAAGGTATGCTCCCATGACACGACCCTCCCCTTCCCGCTCTATTCCGCCGTACCCCGGCAGACGGCCTGGTGTCTGGACCTCTGAACATCTGCTCCTCTGCATTTTGGAACTAAGAAGAGTCCCCATGCTGACTCGCGTGTCCCGGTCAACAGGCATTACCTACGGCACATACATCCTGTTCGGCCTCCTGACCACCCTCGGCGCCGCGTTTGTGTGGTTCTTCCTGCCTGAGACGAAGCGCCTCACGCTCGAGGAGATGGACGTCGTCTTTGGCAGCCAGGGCACCGCGCAGGCCGACTTTGAGCGCATGGCCGAGATCAACGAGGAGATTGGCCTGACCCGCTTCCTCAACACCAATGTCCCCTCTGGCGGCCGTGACGTCACCTCGATCGAGAAGTCGCATGTTCAGGAGAAGGAGGATTCCAGCTAGACTACTCGCTATCTTAAGTTCGTGTGCAGACTGGTTGAGTGGTTGCGAGATGGACATATCCCATATGGCCTTTGAGAGACACGCTTTCCAATGCCTGTAGGGCAAGGAGCAAAGAGCAAATTACCTGTCCGTGCGGAGGTTCGAGTTGCCGGTTACGAGCGCAGACTACTCTGTCAAACATCAAAATCCAATGGATTCACGTATCTTTTCTGTGGCTCTGTGCGGAATAGTGCTCCGCCTGGAGCCCTGCCCAGTGCCTCCCGCTGTGACGATGTGAACGGGCGAAAGAAAATCCCCCGCTCACCTCCCGATGAATAAATCTGACTCCTTAGAAGCGTTTGCCGCCAGCAAAGTAACATATACCCCTCGCCACCAAGCCGAGACCCGCAACGTTCACAAGCTATGGGGTGGTACTCGCTCAACTTGAATGGTTGTTTGATTGGATTTGCAAGGTTGAGACCTGGCAAGCGAGGGAGAATCGGGTGAAGTCTCCGCGCGAATGTCGTCCCAGAACTTGCGACAGGCGGGATTGTCAAAGTGCCCACCAGCGCCAATCTCGACCGGCATGGTTCCCCAGAACATGCACCAGGAGATTTCCGCCAGTGAAGTCAGGCCCTCAACTCCCGGCACATTGCGATCAAAGAGGGCACCGACCAGGATGTGCGGCTTTCGGCCCGTGGCGACTTGCGCATGGTGTGACAGTGGAGAAATGTCGGGGTATCGGCGGTTTCTGTAGGACGTATGATAGTGCAAGGCCTGAGAAGCGATACCACCATCCTTCCCATGCGCCCGGCCAGTACGACTACCGACATCAGGAAAACAAACCTACAGATGACCCTCGCCACGAAGCACGCGAGGAGTCCGACGGGGAGACGTTTGATCGCCACGGGGGAGAGACGGATGGCGTCGACAGCCTGGACAAACTCCTCGGATTCGGGCAAGCCGTGTGGAGCGAAGGGCTCGTGGTCGGTGTCATTGTGTTCATTGGGATTTGTGTTGTGGAAGTTCGGGAAATACAGCTTAGCCTCGCCTCGCGCGAGCGGGAGGCAGATGCGGACGCCCGCGACGAGGGGGGCGTCCTATTTAGAGATTGCGCCAGGTGTTGCCGAGGCAGACAGCCTAGCAGTGGCGTTACAAAAGAACCACACAGAAGAGGGGGAGGGTCATGACTGAAGGAGAAATTCAAAAACAGGAGTCTGCAATGATTTCAACGGCCGATCTGAATATTTGGTTTGGGGATATTACCAGAGTCGGGAGGTAGCTATTGTACCTCTGAACGTCTTTTCCCAAGTTCTTGAATCTCAGTGCCCCAGAACGTCTGAATAGTTGAATCTCTGGACCTCTGTACCCTCTACACCCTCTGCAGCCTCTGCACTCTCTGGAACCTCTAGACCTCAGCACCCCTGAGCCTCTGAGCCTCTCAACCTCTAGACCTCTGAACTTCTAGACCTCTGGACCTCTGGACCTCTGGACCTCTGGACCTCTGCGCTTTCCGCACATAAACTATATATTCCATAGCTGTTCCCACTTCTTGTGCAAGGAGTGTGCTCTTCGTGGGATGGAGAGATGTACCCCCGACGCCGACAAGTAGTGCAGCAACAACCGCTGTGCCGAACGCCAGGCCAGAGAAGGTTTCCCACCTCGCAGAGGCCGACGCACGAGGGGTACGCTAAGCATGTGGCATGAATGACCTTTCAGACGGGAGTGCACTTGATTATCTTGTGAAGCTGAATCGGCGTTCTCGTTCTCTCCGCTTTGAGACTGTGACTCCTCCCAGACTCCTCTCGTCCTTCATCGTGGGAGTTTTCTGCATATATCGCTTCCTGATCGTCGTCAGCAGTGTGGGCTGCCTCTTTCGGAGTCGTTCTGCCAACTCGCTGACGCTTCCTGTGGCGCCGGTTCTCGTCGTTGCTCCCAGATTGTGGTGATGGGCTCCACTTGCTTAAAGACTTTATATCGCCCGCATCGATGGTATCCATGTCTCTGGCATAATTGAAAGGGCCACGTGCCTTGGCGTAAACCTAGACCTTTCTCATAAAGGTCATACTCGAGTTTGGGGTTGGCATCTTGTCTGGTTGGTGGACTTCTCCTTAGGATTCACCAGTTAGTCTTCTGCGGCGAAAACAACTAACGAATCCATCAACCAGCGACAATTGACATTGTTCCCGTGAAATAACCCTTGCACTTTCCTGTGGTTCACACCGTGGCTGACGCATCTCATGGCCTCGGACCCCACGAAAGAGTTCGTATAGCCGAGCTTTCTGGCTTTCGCTTGAAGGAGCTTATACAGTCGGAATTCTCTGCAGTCCACCCACGGCGCAAAGGCATTGATCCATGCTTCGATCTTACCCCGTACTGATGGAGGTAGACCGGGCCGAATCAAAGCTTTGCTGAGCTTTAACCGGTGGAGTGCTTCGGGTAGTGCGAGATCTTGTCGGCTTTCGTCGTCGAGAGAAAGCCAGGCTCTGGCAACATGCACCTCCTCGGAGCCATTGGGAATGATGAGGTGTTCTTGTTCGCGGCCGATGCTTATCTCTCGCTCGATTTGCAGAGATGTGTCGTGGGGCTCAACTATATTCGAGATTTCCGACAGCATTAATCATGGGCTTGTGTGGGAAGAAAACGTTGCATCTTTCTTTCATCTCATAGTTGATGATTATCACGATATGGTCCAATGTAAGCCCCCAGACCCTGGGCTTTTCGGTGCCGCTGAGCCATATGCTGGATCGGGAGATGTGGATGTCCGGCTTGTAATGGTATCGATCTTCCCTTTGATGGAGGTTTGTCGTCTGCCGGTCGAGAGGTTCAACCAAGGTCGGATCGACATGCGCTACTTCCAGCCTGTGTGCGAAAGTGTGGCTGTCCGTACTGATCTCCACACTCGCCGTGTGGAACCCAGCCAAGACTCGTTCGTTGTTCTTCTTCGGTATGACGCAGGCTACTAGTCCTAGCGATGGTCCTTATATCTTCGTGTTGCAACAGCCCGTGGCTTCTCCAGTCCGAGTCAAAGGGCGAGCAGAGAATAGGGAAGTCATTTGATGCGGAATCTGCGGCCGATGGCTGGTTGCTTATAATGCCGAAACGGAGCGTACTTTATGTTCGGTCTTGGCTTGACGTGCAGAGCAGCTTTGTAAGAGGGCAGTCGTTCTCGTGAGAGTCGCGATAGGTCCACCGTGGGTGTGGCGATTGGAGGTTAGAGAAGAAGGAGGTCAAAAGCAAGCTCGTTTGCGCTCAGGACTACCTGAGTATGTTGATTACGCATGGTATAGTGAGGTGCCGCTGACACGACAGTAGCAGGGAGGCGAGGAGACATGTTAAAGTTGTGAAAGCTAGGTGAGGTTGTCGTAAAGGCAAAAAAAGGAGTAATCGAGAACGTACTGTTGTCCCTATTACTTTCTTGTGTATTTGACTTCACTCGATGCTTTGCCTGAACGCCATTTAGCTTTCAAAGGGATAAAGTCTCACTTACCGTAGCCAGCGCGTTGCGCACACGAATCTTCCATCCGCCGTCGGTAGCCAGTGCGGCTCCATCGCCGCCGTTGTCTGCATCACAGCCCGAATCTCCCCTGTCGCGATCCCATGCGTCTTAATACATGACATACCCAGCCAGCACACTCGCCGCGTCGATCATGGGCAGCAGCCCACCGTCTGGGCCGGCAGCAAAGTGCGCAGTGGTAGTATACGTGATGGACACGGCTGCCTTGACCTGACGACCACTTTCCCCTTCCCCATGGCTGGTCGCCGCGGGCGTCGCATCTTCGTGTCGGCACAGCTGCACCACGGTTGTCCCGAGCTGATGCTGCGTGAACGGCACCGGCTCCAGCGCTGCAGTCAGGTGTGTCTTGATATCCTCGAGCCCGCTCATGACACCGAGGTTCGAGTGATTCGCGCGCGCGTCGGGTGTGACGATGCGGTTGAGCACCGGCCAGTTGCGGCCGTCGAGGGCGAGCCCGTAGAGGGCGGTGATGGCGCGGATCAGCTCAATGTCGGCGGCTGCGGAGGCGGACGGTGGGATGGAGATGGACTGGAAGAGGGAGGTAATGTCCGAGGAGGATATGCCTCCCTGAGCCTCGAAGAAGGACGGGGCTAGATGGGGAGTCTCGGGGTAGTGGAGGCAGAGGAAGCGTTTATCGCTTGGTGCATAGGAGGAGTGGCTCGAGGGAAGTGCTGCCGCGACTGCCGTGGAAGCAGCGAGGAGCAGGCCAGATGCAATTGTGCTGGAAAATGTCATCATGTCTGCGGTTGTTACGGTTTCCATGAGGGCAGACTGTGTACTGCTTTTTGTTTGGTATACATGATCGACAGTGTTGAAGAGTCGAACAGCGTTGTGACCTTATATACTTCAATTGCCATAGTGTTCTTTACTCTCGAGATGTAGAGGTCTTCCTTGCGTTGAGCCTCCTAGGTCTATTCAAAGCAACAGATTTACCGGGAGAAGCCTCGACATGGTGGCTGGCGCGGAGTGTAAGCCCGACATTCACCGACGACATAGCGATAACGAAGCTCGCGATCATCCTTAGTTCTGGGACAGCCTGGGCGTTCTCGTGGATAGCTCGGACTTCACGAACTTTGGATGCTTTCTGTGCTTGCGACTCCCGTGTCATCTTCTGCGTCAGCCACCAGGGCATGGCATGCCATAAGTAGACAAGCACCAGCGAGCTCCACTGCACTTGAAGAATCCGGCGTGTTGACACTGTCAGCCGCGCTTAAATAATCATCTTGCAGTCTTTCCATAGGCCTATGTTCAATGGATGCATCTTAGTAAATTGTGCAGACGACGACACGTGGGGGCTTCCATTTTCGTGGGTCACAATCCCCTGACCCCTCGTTGTTAGACTTTCTCTATCCCTGGCGGCAGGACCCTTGTTCTAATGCGCGAGAGCTGAGGCATTATCCGTGTCCATAGCCCATGCCCACTGCATGCGGGCGTTCCAACCACACTCCCGCCCGAGAGCAGTTCTGTCCAGTATGCTCGAAGTCGTACTACTGACCGCCGCACTAGGCGTTGATTGTGATGTACCCAATCTGCCGGGTCAACCTGTCAAACTTACTCCGCTTGGCCGGTGGACAGGCGAGCGCGGACCAGCAGGCGGCTTGGGCCAAGAGCCCAGGTGGATAGTATCCGCTGGTAGCGGAACGGTCTCCGCAGATGGTACTCCGCAGCTCCAGTAGTCTAAAGTCGTCTGAAATTTGAGCACTGACAACGGGAATCGCACGGATGGTCGATCGGGTGCCCGAAGGTGCGAAGAGCTAGCACGATGCTCCCCTTCCTTGTGGGCCGGCCCGTAAAACCCTATACGGAGCAGTCGAGGCTGGGAAATTGCACCGTGGGGATGCATAAGATCTCCAAATTATGCTGACCAACGCGTCACCAACCAACACACCTGCACAGCCACGACACATGAGCCCGAATAACCACCACTCCCAGGCGGCATTGACCACAGGACGGATATCGAGTCAGTACTTGGCATGGTCTCAATCGACGCTGGCAGCGCCGACGCCAAGGTCAATAGTCCCAACCGCGCGCAGAATCTTTCGGGCCGTTGACTATCTTGCGAACCATCTTCCCATGTCAGCTGTCTGGGGGCCACGAGGCTTGGCCGAGACGAGCGATTGAGCCGGTGCATAGCGGGGACTGGCGACGCAGCCGTGCGTGCGGAGGCGAGCGCCACAAAGACGGCAGACTCCACGTGTCCAGTGGTCCAGTGGCGGAACCTGTCCTCCATCTGATCTTTTTCGTACCTGACAGGCGACTGCACTGCCGACGAGACCCTGTTGGCTGATCAGGGGCAACCCTGTTCCTCAAGGACCAGCACAGGGACAAGGAGGCAGTCTCCTGCTTCTGGTGTGTTCCGGGATGTCTCAGGCCAGGCCCAGAACAGCTGCCCGAACAGGGAACTTCATCAGCTGGACGACATCCCTGGCACGCCACGCAGTCTCGCCAGTGGCTGCCGGCCCTCGTGCGCAGACATTCACCGTAATTAGATTGCGCAGCATTCTGGATGGCTCTTCATGCCAAGGCGGCAGGGGTATGCTCGTTCGTGATAGCAGTGACCCTGCCTGATGTCGCCGAGTCTGGGGTAGACGTCTACCGTGGCGCTTCCATACTTGACTGACAGTGGAAGGTGGACTGCTCGACCCCTCGGCCGGGTCGGCTTGGCTGTGAACCTGGCGAGCTCACCGAGTTGCGGTTCACCAAGATCATAAATAGGCCCGTCTGTCACGATCCGTTCTCAGTTGTTGCCTCTTTCGTTCCTCGTCCAGTGCAACCGAACTTGACTCGTGGCCCCATCCTCTTCCGCCAGACCCCTCAGTCTCTACAGCATCCAACAGCTCTGTCTTCCTTACGGAACAAGCTCCTACATTCCTTTTCAGAACCACAGACCCGCCGCCAACATGAAGTTTTCCACTGCCACCATCGCCCTCCTGGCCGCCGCTGTGTCCGCCGCCCCCGTCGACAAGCGCGCCACCGGCAGCACTATCAGCGAGCTCGACCAGGGCGGCTGCCGTCCTTACATCTTCTTCCACGCCCGCGGCACCGGCCAGGCCGGCAATGTCGTACGTTTTCGTCCCATGTCTTGTTCTTCGAGGCCGCCACTATCTCTTTGTCTCCACCTGCTGACGAGATCCTCTCTTTTTCTCCCACGTATAGGGTCAAGACCCCGGCCCGCAAGCCATCGACGCTGTCAAGGCGGCCCTCGGCGACGCCAACGTCGCTGGCCAGGGCGTGCCCTACTCGGCCTCTATCCTGGGCAACCTGGCCTCCGGCGGCGTCCCGTCCAAGGAGGCCAAGGCCTTCGCCGCGCAGATCACGGCCGCGACGACCCAGTGCCCGGACTCCAAGATCTTCCTGGGCGGCTACTCGCAGGGCGCAGCCCTGATCCACCGCGCTGTCGAGCAGCTCTCGGCCACCGCGCGCGCCCAGATCGCCGCCGCCGTCACCTGGGGCGACTCCCAGAACAAGCAGGACGGCGGCAAGATCCCAACCCTCGACCCCAGCAAGACGCTCATCATCTGCCGCAGCGGCGACCTCATCTGCCAGGGCACCATCCTCATCACCTCCGCGCACCAGGACTACTCGCCGCTCGCAGGCCAGGGTGCTGCCTTCATGGTCAGCAAGGCCTAAGCGGAGCTCGCTGGTTGGCAAAGAGTTGAGAACTCACCGATGATGGGATGATGAATTCATGTAGCGATCTAATTTTAATGTTTATTTACAAGCGGCCTGAATGAGACTAGGAAGAATACCAAAGTATTCAAACAAAAGAAACAAATTATGAAAATGGTCCCTCTTCTCTAAAATCCTAATCCGAATGGCCCACCCTACCCTAACACACTAGAACCCGATGTGCTTCCTTTGGTCGGTTGTCTGTAGTCCCATACCGCGGCCTGCTGGCCAGGTTGTTACAGTACCGTCCCTACCTGCGAGCGTATACCATCTTTACCAGACTCTCGCCCGTTGCCTCAAAGCTGCGTTCTGCTACTACTTCGTCCAAAGGCATACCGTCCGAGAGATTCACCTCCGCACGAGCGGTTGGTTATGCCAGGTCGGCGATCTACACCTTGGCAGAGCGATACGGCTCATATTTGCGATCGCCATTGCCGCGTCCCAAAATAGTGAGATTCTCCTTGGACGCGTCTCGCGACACGTCCCGTGACACATTGCCCCCAAGGCCCGACACGGTCTTCTCCTTGCCCTTGCCTGTGCCCTCGCTGTACTTGTACTCGGTATCGGCCTCGTCGGGCAGGATGCGGACAAAGCCACGGCTGCTTCTGCCAGACTTGTCGCCGCTGCCAGCCTGCCGGTCCGCGACGAAGCGCAAGACGCAGGCGGCAAGGGCACAGCCGGCGGCCACCCAGTTGAGAACGTACACGGCCAGGCCCATCTGCGCCGTGATGGAAATCTCGTCGTCGTCGGCCTTGGCGACAAGAGAGCCGTATGTCACTTGGGCAGCAACGGCGACTGCAACGGTGGCAGCGGCGGCGATCTGTACCGTTGTAGTCAGTCACCAGCATCTGCAGATGTTGATTGCATGCGAATCGAGAGAACTTACCACAGCCAATACGGCCGAGAGCCTCCTCACCAGCGGGATCCGATGCAGCCTCAGGATCCGGGCCAGAAGGCTCACGCCCAACGCAGCAATGCCAGCCAGGTACAGGATCCAGAGCCATTTGGGCCCCCTTTTCACCCACTCAAAGGCCTCCTTGCCGGCGAGCTCGGGACGCAGCTGCACGCCCCAGAGGCTCCACACGCTCATCATGTCCCAGATCTCCTGGCCATTCTTGGAGCAAAAGTCAATGACCAGCCTGCCGTCGGCGACGTAGCTGCCGCTGCAGTAGTTGAGCAGGTAGAGCTGGAACACCTGCTTGTGGCGCTGGTAGTCGAAGACGTCGGGCAGGCCGACCAGCTCGACGCCGGCAGGGCTCGCGCGCGTCTTGGAGGCGTCAATGGTCGCGAACTGCAGCGCCGAGAGGTGGTTTGGGTCCGAGTGGATCGAGAAGACGGGGATGAGCAGGAGCAGTAAGAAAGACACGCCCTGGAGGGCTGTCGAGATCACGCTGGTGAGCCTGCCGTCCTTCATTGCGCACAGATTTGGTGGATTGTACCTTGGAGTGGGCGAGTTTCGAGTGAACAGGTCCAAAGGGAAAGAAATAGAACGATGTGAGTGCAGGAGGGACGAGATGGTCTCTTTCTTAGTAGACGAGATAGCTCTCCGCCAAGTGCAGTCAAGTAATCTTTGCTCTCTGCAGTGGAAAGCCGACAGTCAGCCTCGACTGAAGGTTCAGCTCAGCCCTGTCCGACAGTCCGACTTGGCTGAAGCCGCCGCTCATGCTCAGCCTTGTGACCGTCCCAAGCGGCTGGATGCCAAGAGTCAGACGCCAGCGCCCCAGATGCCAGTTTCGGCATTTACCGAGCCAGTGCTGTCAGTAGTGCGTTGCGCTCTAAATCCTGTCCGTGTCACATGGCGGGCTGCCTCTGTCTCATTGGGTGGCCACGGCAACTTCCATGGGTCTAAAGCTTCCTATGGTCGCTGAAAAAGTCTTGGCTCCGACAGCAGACATGAGTCTTGTTGTGTTACTTTGTTAGCCCTTTCTTTTTCCAGATGGATCACGAAGTGGGATGCCTCGATTCACGCCATGTCTGGCGCATCTTGCACCGCCCTTTTCCTAATGCAAAGGCCTTTGTCCACAAATATCTCTTGACTCCGCCTTCCATGGGCTATGTTCCTGCAAGCGCCGAGTTTATTTCCCATGTCAGCCCGTCCAGAGCAATATATCATGGGTTCGAATAAGGCTCCCTGTAGGCAGGCGCGTCTTCAGCCTCACGAAATGCAGGCGGAAGATATTTTGGATATCTGCTCCGCAGCTCGCCCAATGAATCCTCCGTGACCGAGACACTTCCCTCTTGAGCGTTAAAGGCCCCGACGTCTGCCACACCCAGGATCCCACACGCCAACCCCTGGACGAGGAAAGTGAAGCTCCCCGTCCTTTGTCAACCCGATCCCAAAGTTCACAATGGTGGGCTTCTCATTCCCGCGTCCATTGGCACTCACAACACTCGTCCTCCCCTTTCTATTCCCACCTACGGTGACCTCGACCGCGCCATTTCAGAACGAGACCTTCCTCAACCTGCGGCTGGGTGACTACTACGATGGCCCCAAGTTCAAGCCGCCGCCGTACCTGACGGACTTCTCGGAGCACCTCAACGACATAGAGGTCGAGTACCTCGAGTACATCAAGCAGCTGACCCCTGTCAACGAGCCTCCCACGATCCTGTCGAGCTGCCTCATGCCAGCCACCAACGCCAACGGCACCACCATTGTGCGCCGTGGGCCGTTTCGCAAGCTTCGCAAGCTCCTCCAGAAGCAGATCGACCGCCTGCTGCCGAGGCCGCCCACATTCAAGGGGTTCAAGTACAGAAACTTTTGCTCGCCGGACAAGCTCACCATCTATGTCTACTACCATGTCGTGGTCGGCTCGTACGATAAATTTAGTCTGGCGCGGAAGGACCAGATCGATAATCAGGTACGTGGTGGTGTTCGAGGGAGGCGGAGCTGACCATGGTGCAGATACTGATGCTCGGTTTCCTATTACGCAGACTCGTGTCATGAACGAATATTATAACAAGCTTGGGGTCATGTTTGAGGTGGCCGACATCAACTGGCGCATCAACCCGGACTTTGCCACATCCAGGTTCAACCAGCAGCATCCCCATCGGAGATTCAGCCGCTCTGGGACCTACGCCGACCTCAACGTTTGGATCGTCGAGGATGTGCCAGGCGACACCCCAGGCGAGAGCACAATTGGCGTATGAATCACCCTGGCTGCCCCTTCCCATGCCTGTCAGAGTCAGATGAGGGTGCTGTTACTGACTGTCGGCTGCCTCATCAAGTACGCCACGTTTCCCGACGCCACGGCCAATCAGTACGAACGCAGCTTTGACGGCGTCGTCATGATCGCGGACACACTGCCCGGCTCGTCGGCGCCCATCGCAGCCAACCACAAGGGCACTAACCTGATCCACGAGGTGGGCCACTGGCTGGGCCTCTTCCACGTTTTCAACGAGACCCTCTTCGACTCGACGACTTGTTTCGCCAACCCAGACCGCGACAGCGTGCCCGACACAAAGAACTTCCCCGCGCACCGCCCCGAGATATTTGCAAATCAGCAGGTCCCCTGCGGCGAGACGGAGCCCGTGGAGCAGTACAATTTCATGAGTGTAGGTCTAACTCCCGCGAGCGCCTGATTATTCTTCCGCGCAGTTGATCCTAACCTGCTGGCCTTGCTCTCACAGTACTCCACGCAAAAGGGCTTGGACGGATTTGGCTTCACCTCGGGCCAGGCGGCCCGCATCTTCAGCCGCTACATCGGCGTCCGCCAGGGCCTGCGGAATAACAAGCTCTGCCACCCACCGCCCGGCCTGTCCGGCAGCCAGGGCACCCGCCGCCGCCGCTCCGAGGTGGACAACAACCCGGCCCTGCCCCCGGACGTGCTCGACCTCCTGCGCCAGGACAACCTGCAGTGCGCGGCCCACGACGCCGTCGACCCCGTTGATATCTCGCTCGCCCCTCCGCCCGACCCGGCCTACCCAGAGTACCCGGTCCTGCCCATCCAGCCTAAAGACCGCCGCCCCGTGCCGCCCATCGACCCGTCCCTCCCGCAGCCCGCAGGCTCGGGTGCATGCATCGAAGCCGCCCCCAAGGAGCTCCGCCTCCCGGGACTGATGCTTCCCATTGGTGGCGGTGGTGTCGTCGGAGTACCGCCCGTTGTTGGCGGTCCCGGGGAGAACGACAACTCCGGGTGCCCGGCCGTGTGCTCGCCGCATCCGGGCAGCAACAAGTGCCACGTGCCCTCTGCGCAGAACTGCGTCTTCCCTGCGCCGCTCGCGGGCGCGAACCCGCGGTCGTACTGTGCCTGCCGGCCCGGGTACAAGAGCGCGTTCGGGCTCGACGCGTCCAAGCACTGGCGCGTGGCGACCAAGGGGATCGAGAACTTTGTGTGGGTGGCCGAAGGGGTCGAGTGTGAGACGCTCTGTGACGGGGTGCTGTGTAGCGAGGTGCCAGTGCTGTCAAAGCCTTGTGTTTAAAATGATGGCAGGGGAGCTGGCAAGTTTCTTTTCCACCATGGGGGATTAATGGATTGTGGGAAGCGAGGATACTCCCTTGACGACGATGTGTATTTAGAACGCTCGGAACGGGTTTCAGCCCCTGATAACACCCCGATGATGGTGTTGACCCTCCCGTTCTGCAGAGTGAGTATTGTATATAATATTCGGTAACGTCTACTCTATCTTGCGGTAATCAACCTTTCTAGTCAACCAGCAGCCGATAGTCATGCCCTTGACCTTCCCTCCCTCAGAGTGGAAGACGAGCGTCCAGTCTGCCGGCGGGGCAGAGTCGATGCCTCGTGGACATGCGAGGACCCAGACGTTCTCACCCAGCGGCTTCATCAGATGGACAGGACCTTTACCCATGAATCCCTCAAAGATGCCATACAAGATGGCGCCACTGCCCGTAATGCTCAAGGTAGACTGCAGTTCGTCAGACTTGTACTTGCCCACGATCTGTGCCGCGGTCGTGGTCGTCCCGACAGTGCCGAGCGCAGGAGCAGCCTTGATCCTCTTGGCCACGAGGGTGCGGTTCTCCACGATTCGGTGGACCGTCAGCACGTCGCCCTCAATCTTGGCCTTCATGCCAAGAGACTCGGCCGTCGAGCTGCTCGTCAGCTTGATCGTCTCGGTAAGCATCACGTAGGTGATCTTGACCTTGCCCTTGCCCTCCTCGCCGAGCTCCACATTCACCCTCAAGCCCGTGTCCTGGTCCAGGAACTCTCCCGCCCAGGCCGGGCTGGGCGGCTCGTCGACGTAGCCCTTGGCCTGCTCGGCATTCTCGACCTCCATCCCGAGCACCTTCTGCAGCACAAAGTCGGCAGCCTCCTTGCTGCTCGCCTCGTGGTTGAACAGCACAATGACCGACACCCTCTCGGCGGGCGCGTGGCTGCGCATGAGGCGGAACCCGCGCAGCGCGCCGCCGTGGCCCAGCGTAACCACCTTGTCCTGGATTTTGCCGTGCCCGAGGCCCATGCGGTACTTGGCGGGCGTGGACTTGCCGTCGGTGAAGACGTGCGGCTCCGCTGCGGCCTGGTACCAGTTCTTCTTGCCCGCTCCGTCGGTAGCGGTGGCAGCCCATAATCCCTGGAGGTGCTTCTCATACGCGACCATGTCGTCCAGCGACGCCACAATGCCCGCGTCGCCGGCCCACTCGATCCCATTCACCGCGGGGACGTATCCGCGCTTCTCGTCGCCCTCGTAGCCCACGCAGGGCGGGGGAGGCTGGTCCTTGGGCGGCAGGGCGGCCGTCGTCATGCCCGCGGGCTTGAAGATGTACTGCGCGACGAGGTCGGCAAAAGTCTTGCCGGTGACCTGCTCGAGCAGGCGGGCGACGATGTAGAAGTTGAGGTTCGAGTACGAGTACTCGGTGCCCGGCTCGAAGTGCAGAGACTGGAGGAGCAGCTCACGCAGCCTGGGCGCGTGGTTGGCCATGTCGAAGTCGTCCTCTGGCTTGGCGCCGCAGAGCACCGTGGCCGCCCAGTAGTCGCGCACGCCCGACTGGTTGTCGCACAGGTGGGCGATGGTGAGGCGCGTCTTGGGGTCCTGCTGGCGGGCCTGGAGCGCCGGGCCCAGCCACGAGTCAAAGAGGGCCTGCATCTTGTCGGTCAGAGACGGGTCCTCCTCTGCGGCCATGTACACCGTCCCGCAGAGCAGGTGCTTGGTGATGGAGCAGATCGGGACCAGCGTCTGGGCCGTGAACGGAATCCCCTCGTCGAGCTGCGCGAACCCCCATACATGCTGACCGACGAGTTGCCCGTCCCGGACGACCGCGAGGCACCCGCCGGGGCCCCGGAACTTGTCTGCCGCCGCAGAAAGGATCTTGTCTATGCTGTCTGCCATGTTTTGTTGCTGGGAGGCGGGGGGCTTGTAGTCTAGATGTTGGAGATGTTGTGAAGCGGGAGGATGGCTTTTGGTGGGGAAGATGAGGAGAAACCATGGCGGGGATCTTGATTCGTTGGTGCTCCGTATCTTTCAGATAGACCGGATCCCGGCTGGCAGCGGCTCATCGGGTTGGCTTACACGCATGAAGCATCATGGTTCAGCCTCAGCCTCATCTTCATGACATCTCTGCCTTTGTCGGCACAATGCGATTAATTAAAGTTTGAGAACGGACAGCTTCCTCCGGTCGCGCGTGCTTCTGGTGTGGTGACATGACAGGCCACACGACCAACCTGATGGGAATTCAAAAGGGCCAATTGTTGAGGTTCACATATGGTACTCCTGCTCGCTGCGTAGTGACCGAGAGACGCTGTCTCTCGAAAATACCCATAGACAGTGGACTATAAACCCTCACATCGCAGCCAAGGCTCTTACCGGGCATCCCTTGGCTGTGGGAGCGACCAAACAAAAAAACCGGATTATTTTCATAGAGAACCTGTTGGGCAGCTTTTCGTGGCGAGTTTGGGCTGTAGCTGGTGGAAGTGGGTCAGATTGCAAAAAGGCAAAAGAATTCCGCTACGCTGGATTGAACAACGGACCTCTGCATCACCTTAATTATATATCCTAAAGAATATTATACAAGTGCAGCGCTCTACCACTGAGCTACAGCGGATGTGATTGATAAGCAAGTCCTTATTGACGTATATACGGTTTACAAAATTCATGGCGATCCCAGAGAGCATTGCCTCTGGCTCCCACAGCACCCAAATCCAATGCTCCTGTCTGATATATGAGGGCATGCAAACCTTGGTTTACGCCGGCCCTGAAGAACATGCCGAAGGACAAGGACGGAAAGCCTACGGCCCGCGGTGGGTATCTATCTGGCCGACGCGTTTTCAGACGTTGTGGCTGGGGAGAAGATTGCTACGGGTGTGTGAGCATGGAGATGCAATGTGGTCTTAAATGCAGTAGGGCCCGGGCACATCGTAGCCCTAGTCTATATACAAGCTACGCAAAGCAGTGTACGCCGGTCAAGTCCCTCTACATGATGAAGCCTGTGGATCTGAACTGTTTCATCCCTGTCATCTAATCACAGCGGCCGTACAATGGCTGGCACCCGGCGGCGCAGTAGTCGGCGGTGAACCCGCAGTAGTTGTACTGGCTGCAGCACTGACCTGGCGGGCACTGGTACAGCTCTGGGCCGGCGCAGGAGCCGTTGGGGCCATACACGGGGGGGTTTGTGGGCGTCTCGACGGGCGGCAGAGGCTCTGAGCCGTTGCGGGGAGCAGAGGAGTACCAGTTCTCCTTGGGATCGCCGAGGCATTCTCCCACCGTGACGGCTGGGGGCAACAAGTCGGGTTAGTTATGAGAGATCGACAACAACAGCTGAATTGCTGAGACTCACCCTTCAGACCCCGCTCCTTGACAATCTTGATCATCTCGGGCAGCAGATTCTCTACAGTCGTCTGGTGGACGTCGTGGAAAAGCACGAGGGAGCCGCCCGCGTCAAGCGCGGCCTTGAAGTTGGCAACCGCGTTCGGCCACGTCTCGGGCGTGTTGTTGTCCCAGTCGACCGTGTCGAGGTTGTTCGAGATGACCTTGTAGCCGAGGAAGCGCATGACGGACAGGACCTCGTCGTTCCATGCGAGGAATGGAGGCCGCATGTAGGTGGGATATTTTCCTGGCGGTGTGTGATTCATGAGTTAGTGTCGAGGAAAGGGTGTTAGCGAGGACGCAGAGTATTCTCAACCTACCGACCATGCTCAGAAGCGTCTCTTCGAGCGTCACCATCTCAGCTCTGACTTCTGTCGCGTTGAGATCTGTCAGGCGCGCATGAGTCCAGCTGCGCATCAGAAACGGTGTCAGCGTGCTGTACTTTCAAGGATTATATATGATTAATGGCTCTACTTACGTGTGGGAAGCGAGCTGGTGACCTTCAGTCAGGATCCGCTGGATCTCCCGAGCATTGTTGACGATTGGAGACTGGAAAGCCAACATTGTTAGCTAGAACCACCCTCGCATGTTTAAAAGACTGAAAATCAGACGCACCCAGGTGGCGCCATTCACAAAGAATGTAGCCGGCAGGCCAGCCTCTTTGAGTATGTCGAGCGCTTCTCCGGTGTAGATGTACGGCCCATCGTCGAACGCAAGAGCAATGGTGCCCGGAACCGTACAGCCGTAGATGGGGACGCCAGGCTGAACTTCGCGGGTGCTGAGTGTGGGAGAAGGCGTCGCCGGAGAAGCAGAGGCCGTGCCGCCGAGCAGCAGCGCCGTAGCACCGGACAAGATCTTGGTAGTAGCTGCGCGCATTGTGGCTGGCCTGGAGCAGAAAGGTCAGTCTCTCGAGGTCCGACCAGTTACTGCGGTTCTGTCGGTCTGATGGCAGATCATTGCCAAGTGTCCTGCTGCACGCAAGCTTTATATACCCCAGGCAGGCGAGACATGGTTGCTGGCGGTACGTCTTGTTGTGACCGGGGCAGATCGCCTATTGCCCCTGCATTGCCGGGTTCGCACACGGATCCGCTCAGATGGTTACCGTGTTGCCCCGTGGTAGCATCTGACATGAGATCTAGCCGAGACCAAATCAGGTAAGATAGCAAACCGGAGCGAGAGCGCCTTGCAGCGGGCTGCCGCTGGGCCTCGGCCCCTCACATGCGGATGTTTTCGTCCTGCTGCTTGGGATGCGGATTGTGTGGGTCATGGGCACTGAAGGATTCCATCTCGCAAGACTTAACGTTACTTTGTGCTGACAGGTGCGGCAAGGGTCAAAACCCCTGACACCGGCTTATGATGCCTGCGCTGGCCGAGTGAGACCAGGGGACAAAAGGCAATAGAAAGATTGGTTGGTTGAATGCGGCATTTGTATATGATGGCATCGTTTGGCTTATTCATCGCAAGTCTCTTGCACAATGCTTTTGCCCCCCGAGGTCCGTAGCCAGCCTTGGCCAGACAAACCCCGTGAATGGACTAAACAAGACCAGGACCCCAGAAAGCGGAAGAACCCGCAACCGACAGCCCTTTGATGCGGGGATTGGTCAGCGGGCCACTCTGCATAAGACTGCTGAGGGCACCTTGTCAAGGTGGGCACGGCCTTGTTCACTCAAGGGGCACCAGTCCTGCAGCTGTGGAACCTGCGTTACTTCCAGTGCTAGGCTCGGATAATATCACCAACGCACCGCTCAATGCCGGGATGGGCATGATAAGCAGCAGACGTCTCCAAGCTCTTGCGGGACGAAGGATCAGCTCTCTCTTCTGCTGTGCGAGTAGTTCACACTTTGTAGTCTAGACTTGCTCCCTTACTCGTTGATGTCGAGTCTCCATTGATAAGATTCGCCCTTCCCGAGGAGTACGTCCAAAATAAGACAGTCGAGTCAAAGTCACCCGGATATCCGAGCGCAGTGCCCTCGAAGTCTGCGCCATCCTCCGGACCCAACGACACCCATAAGTTATAATGGCTCTGGAGGCAGGGAAAAGTCCTCTGTCAAATCCGTACGCCACAAAGGAGACACGTCGTTGCCTCCAGCATTGGTGGTTGTCGGCTCGTGGCAGAGGAACCCCGCGAGCCAGTATATCAAAAGCAATCCTGCAGGCATTGTGCCTGAGTCCAAACGCTGAGCAAGAATCACAAGCGTCACGCTACAAGCTCTGACTGGTTCCGCGACATCAGGCAGCTCGTACTTCCCCGCCCGGCCGGCTCGGTGGCGTCACGTAGAAGGCAATACAGCAGAGTGACGCCGCCTTTGAAGTAGCCACACCAAGGCCAGTCAGAGTTCTGTGGAGACCGCGTCCGAATGCCTAGCTTTATACATATCGATTCTTTTCAAACCATTAAAAAGCACGATTATCGTGAAAAGGGAAAAGGGAAAAGAGAAAATATGGAAACACACTCCAAAAAACACGCGCTGGAAACTGACGGCAGGCCAGCTTCCTCACTCCCGAGTCGTCAACTGCCCACACACGCTATTCCCAACAAGCAACGCCGGCAGCGAGCCCGGCGGCGCGCCGCCAAACACTGTCTGAAAAGTGCCTACCGACCTGGCCCCGTTGCACACCGTCCCGCCTCCGGACCGGAGATAGGCCGTGCACGTGCTGCCGCCAGACGGGTTGAACATCCACGCACCACAGGTACTCGTGTTCAAGCATGCGGCGCAGCATGCTGCTGCGGAGCCCAGGCCGCCTGGCAGGCTGAACCCGGGCCCGATGCTCGAGGACGCGTACACGATGGGCTTGCCCTTGTATTGGCTGAGGATGTTGTCGCTCTGGCAGGCCGCGTAGACCGTTACAGCAGGACCAGCGGCCGTGGAGGTTGCTGTCACGGTTGTTGTGGTTGTGGATATGGCGATGGTAGTGATGGTGGTGGTTGCCGGCTCTGTAGGTCCGGTGGAGGAAACTGCGCTGGGCGTCTGAGTTACGGTTGCGGTCGTGGTCGTCGTGGTCGTGATGATGTCTGTGCTTGTTGTAGCTGGCGTGGGGGCAGTGACGGTGAAGGTCATCGTTGTCTGCTCCGTGATGGTGAACAGCTCGCTTATGGTTGATGTGCAAGCTGGCAGGTCAACATCCCCTGCAATACGAGCCCGAGCCGCACTCTGGGGGTAGACACTGCGTATGGGTGTGAAGCCAGCAGGTGCAGGGATTGTGGTCGTCGAGAAAACACCTATCGTCGTTGTTGTCGTCTCCGTCAGCCAGGCAGTGATGATGAAAGTCACAGTGCTTGTCTGGATGGCTTTAGTGGTTGTTGTTGCCGCGGCAGTTGTCGTCGTGGTCGTCGCAACGGTGCCCATCTCGGTTTGCGTCGTGACCGAAATGACTGTGTCCGGCGTGGAGGTGGTGGTTGTGAACGACGTTTGGGTTATGGTCGTGGTACCAGTCTCGGTGCACACGGTGCCAGCTGTGGCCGACGATGAAGAGCACGAAGCAGGCTGGGAAACCGTCACTGTCTGCGTTACTGTCACTATGCTCGTCTCTGTCTCTGTTTCTGTCCCTGTCGTGGTAGTGGTTCCAAGCATGGTCGTGACGGCTGTCACCGTCACATACATGACACTTGTTGCGGTGCAGGCCGTGGCAAAGACAGTCACGGTACTGGGCGGCGCGCACGTTCCGGGTCCCAGCGGCGTCGAAATGGACGAGGGCGTGCTCGCGACACATGTCGAGATTGTCAATGTGTCACATGGTGATACTGTCGTCGTGCTGGTTTCAGTGACTGTCTCCGCTGGATATGAGCAGGTTGATGTAAGGACGGTGGTTGTGCCAGGCGGACCAGACGCTGACGCCGACCAGGTGGACGACAACACCGTTGAGGACGATGCCGTAGCCGATTGCTCGGGATAACTCGAGGTCGTGCTCGGTGGTCTACTCCCGCACTTGGGCTTCCCTGCAGGGGTGGCGCCTCCAGTCGTGACCAGCAACAGCCACCAACTCAAGCACCATCTAGTGGCAGGAAACTTCATCGTGGCCGTCGGGCGCGAAGGAAACGCCAAAGCGCTGCAACATGATCGCGAGACTGGCGATCAGTCACAGAGTCGGAGCAGGAGGAGTGGGCAGAGTGGGCAGGGCCACCATTGCGCCGTGAGAAAAGCCCCCAGGAAATCACGCGTGGCAAGTTGGGCCAACCAGCGACCCGGACATGACGAGCCCTGTATGGATGCACGGAAGATTGGCAACGGTCACCTACCTACCTACCCCCAGGCTCTCCAAGTTCGTGGCTGGTCAATGTCAAGGATCATGGATGGCAGGGCACGCTTCAGAGGGACATGATTGGGCCGATTGCCTGCAAGGCTCGATCGATCCAGCCAAAGCACACAATGAGAGGGTGGCCCCTGTCCGAGACTGGATGCAATTTCCAGCAGGTCTCCCACACCATATTGCCGCTCTCTGTGAGGTGGCGCGGGCCCGCTGACGGCTTATCACAACGGTTCAGTAAAGAATCAGTCATAAAACAAAGAGGCACCAGCAATGGTTGCGGCATGATTTGCTCTAAAGAGATGGCATCCTCCCACTTCTTAACTGTTGCATATTCTTGTGTCGGTGTCCGAAGAGGCCTCTGCGGTCGGTGGCGCTGCCAACAAGAAGACGACGAATCAGCAACTTGGTACACGGCGACCATTCCCTTACCACAAGCTCTCTATTGATCTTCATTGCCTGAAGTTCTACATCCTTTCTTTGTTGCTGGACATGTCTATCATTTCTCAATCGCAACCATTGTAGTATATCGGACGGGAAGCTTCGCATAGGCCAAGGACTTCTCAAGTATGGACTGCAACAGACCACCCCTCCAGCAATGTGAGTGGCAAGACTAGAGACATGGCCTGAATGCGATGTAGTCTATCAAGTGCGCGTTGTCAACTCTGCTTACATCATCGAGAATCAAATAGAATGCTATTCGTTTCAAAACTCAAGACTGTCGTTTCCGGCCTATCTCATGATGGTCTTGGCAGTACACCCGTCTCATTTCTAGATTGACGCTCCTCCAAGTATAAGCACTTTTAGCTCCTTGTGCCGCCTGGTAAAAAACTATGACCACGAGAAGGTCTAAAAATTCCTATTGGGAGGGATGACGAGTATGAAGTGATCCCGGCATCGGTAGGCGAGCCCAATGATGTCACTCCGGGGCTGACGACAGAGGCGAGTATCAACTGCATCAAACAGAAAGTAGCAAAGATTCCCACACCATCAAGCAGGACCAAGCAGATCAGCAAAGACGACAATGAAGCTTGTAGTGCCAAGATGCTGCTAAGAATGCTCATGACGAAATCAAGCAGTTCTAAATTTAGCGTTGCACCATGGCTCGGCAGGGGTGAAGAGCACGGCCAATCACGTCTCTGCCATCGTACATAACCGTCACATTCCGTCTCCAAGGCTGCTCTTGTCTCTCATACCGGGACGATCATTTCTTGGCTACTTTATGAAAAGCACAAACTCACTGCGGACAGCATCATAGCTACTCAACACGGCTGCGCAGATGTGTCTTGCACAGCCTCGCGTGAGCAAAATTCATGGAGATCGCAAGACACTGTGCGCAGGTGACAAGATTAGAGTCTGACGTAGACTATGAAACTTGAAAATTGGAAGAAATCGCGATATATAAGGCTTGGTTTCAACAAAGCAATAGAGGCAATCGAAACCTGCCGCAACCGTACCTAGCTCTCAGACACCCTGCACAGTCACACTGAACTCTCCAAACCACGTTTACTACTCCCCCCCGTCCACATCCACACGTACTCTCAATTCCACCAACATGCACACCAGCCTGATCTCCACCGTTGCCGTCCTGGCCCTCGGCGTGAGCGGCGCCAGCGCCTACTACACCAAAGTCGACCGGGTCGACGACGGGGTCATGACGACCCAGAAGATGCGGGACTCGGGCTACGAGCTCAAGGACTGGTGGAACCTCGTCGACTCGGCGATGGAGAGCATCTGCGACAGCAACGGGTGCTACGGGTCCATCGAGAAGTGCGACAACGCCTTCTGCATCAACATTGACGGCGACAACGGCACCAAGGACCCCGGAAACATCCAGAAGGTCGTCGGCGACTTCATCAAGGAGATGATGGAGACCGAGTCCATCGTCGACGACGGGTGCACGGCCACGGGCTGCGCGTTCGCCGACGCCACGCGCTACACGATCCCCGCGCACATCTCGCTCGCACGGTTCATCAGCACGGGGCCGGAGAAGGACATGCAGCAGGGCTTGTACAAGATCACCATCACCGGTGCCGACGACACGGGCGCCTGCGAGGATGTCTTTGATGCGGTCAGCTCGGTCGCAGGCCTGCTGTCGGCGGGCTCGCTTCTCGGGGCTGTCAAGATTTTCGCCTGCTGAAGCGACCAAGAATGGAGGGGGCCGGATGGAGACGTGACGGAAAGGAGGATTGTACGATGAGTTTCGAAATGTACTTGGACAGAGTGGGCGTTTCCCCATTGCGTGCGTCTTTGTTGGCTGTAGCTCAAAGCGTTTGTACAATATAAAGTTCACAAAGGTTGGATCATGCACATGCATGGATCCTCTTGCATAACCGTCCAGATAATTTGCATATCGATGAAGTCTTTCAGTAAAACATGCTTTATGATTGGTATCAAATCTAGTCTCTAATGATGTTGTCTATGCGATCCGTGTGTCATTATGTCTAATCAGTCCTCTGTCTGTGCCGTGCCTTATGTCTAATCAGTCCTCTGTCTGTGCCGTGCCAAATCAGGCAGACACGCTCTTACTCTGTGCAGATTTGAACTCCTCGCTGAAGGGATAGTCGTTGTAACCAGTGTTGGACTTCTTGATGTAAAATGTGTCGCGGTTGTACTTGTTGAGCGCGATTCCATGCCGGATGCGGAACGGCAGGTCTGGGTTGGCCAGGAAGTGCCGACCAAAGACGACAAGCACATTCCACTTGCTGTAGTGGCCATCGACGGCCTGCAGGGCAGTCTCCGGCTCGTACGCACCAGCCACAAGCACCGGGGACTGGTTGTTCCAAATGTCGAGGATGAAGTCGAGCGTCTTCTCCTTGTGCGCCGCCTCCGTGCCCATCACAACCGCGACTGGGTCGCCCCGGGGCTCGACAAGCGAGATGTAGGCGAGGGGCAGGTCCAGCTTCTTGAGCTCGCGAATCAGGTACGAGTATTGCGCCTCAATGTCGGAATTGGTCGCGCCCTGGAAAGTGGCGTACGGGGAGAGCCGCAGGGCCACGCGCTCCGGGCCGACGGCGGCGGACACGGCCTTGACGACTTCAATAGTCAGCCGGGCGCGGTTCTCTACGGAACCGCCCCACTTGTCGGTACGCTTGTTGACGGCGTCGGAGAGGAACTGGTCGAGCAGGTAGCCGTGGGCGCCGTGGAGCTCGACGCCATCACCGCCTGCAGACACGACACGCTTGGCCGTGTCAACAAAGGCCTGGATGGTATCCTGGATCTCGGCCTCGGTCATCTCGGCAGGGGTCACGTCGGAGCCCCGCATGGGGACCGCGCTGGCGGAGCGGTACTTGAAGCCCTTCTTGGTGAGGAAGTCGGGGGCGGATGCGCGGCCGAGGCCCCAGATCTGCTGGAACCAGATGGAGCCGTTGCTGTGTACGGCGTCGATGATCTCCTTCCACGCAGCGACCTGCTTGTCACTGACGAAGCCGGGGACGTTCTCCTGGCCCTCCTCTTCGTGCGAGATGGAGGTGGCCTCGGAGATGACGAGCGTGCCGGGGACGGATCCGCGGTCCGCGTAGTACTGCTTCATGAGCTCGACGGTGGGCGTGTGGTCATCCTGGTTGCGGTTGCGGGTGAGCGGGGCGAGGACGACGCGGTGGGCAAGCTGGGCGTTGCCGATCTTGATGGGCTTGAAGAGGCGGCTCTCGGCCGGGTTGGAGGTAGCTACTGAACCCATTTTGTTTGATGTGTATGGCGTGTTTGAGGTTGCTGGTATGTGTAGTGTGCGGTGGATCGAGTTTGTAGGTAGTCGTGAGGACGAGCTAATGAGTACGCTTGCCTGATGCTTCTGAGAAAAAGAGGACAAATGCTTGATGTTGTGAAGTGCAGATGGATGGAGATGATGATTCCAGAATTCGTTCCAGAGGCAGCTGGGTCTACGAGCTATATACACCTTTGGCGAGGCGCGCGTTGGGCAGTATCGTGCCGAGGCCCCCAACACCACCTGCAAAAAGTCTAATGGCCCCTCGATTCCCTGGCTTCGGGGCTTCGGGTTACATCATCTGCCCGCACTGGTGCGGATTTCTAAAGCGATTTCTAGATCAGTGGGCTGACGCGATCAGCGGGTCAATGGAGGCCCGCGCCAATCATGGCCCCCAGCTTGTCCTGCAGTGGGCACCATATTTGTCAGGGCACCTGTCAGGGGGCGGCAATCGAGGGGTCTTGCAAACTCAAAAAATCCCGCCGGTGGCGCCTTGCGCGGCGGTTCGGCCCTGCCCAGGGTTTCTCAATGTGCCGAGCGTGCCTTTGTGGCAGATGTGGTGACGACACCAAGTAACCAACGGCCAGACATGGTACGACTAGTGGCTATTCTAGATCTCCGTATATTATTCATACTCGTCTGGATTAAGCTCAATTCGTAACCAAGTTTCAGCTGATACCGCGCCCGCCGCGATTACTTCTAAAAGTTTCCATACCCGTCGGATTGGTCCTCTACCGGTGGGATGCCATGCGCACGGCCATCCCGGGTCAACAAGGGCGCTACAGCTGCAGTCGCCCCTCTTCCCCAGGGTAGTCAACCATGAATGCACTTGCCTCGACTTCGCTCCCCGCTGAGCATGACCTTGTGTCATGAGAGATGCCACGTGCGCGTCGGCCCATCATGGCGGACGTTGCCGTGACACTTGTATACAATGGGATGTTTGAAAGCACCGCAGCCAAGTGATACAGCCGGGCCCGACATGCGAACGCAATATGCATATGGTCTTGTTAAGAGAATAACCCAGTGCTGGGATAGGGCATGGCTGTTGGAAAACGGTAACCACCAGTACATGCCGGCTCCCTTCATTGGTGGGAATCTAGTGTCGGGCTTTGTAGGATCTAAATTCAAGATGCACGCTCTGCAAACCCACACAGCACGCACAGTTGACACCCCGAAGTCAATGTTGCAAAACAGCGATATCGTTTGCAGCGAGACGTCATACCCAGAGGGCGCGCCTTGCGGTTCAAATCCCGACGTGGAACGGGGGTTTTAATAGTTTTTAGAAAGAGGAACCTCGTCAGACGATCCTGGACCTGTGCGCTTCGTCAGATGGACATGACATGAAAATCTGCTGTTTATTTCTCCGCGTTCCACAAGGCTGAGAGATATCTCAATTTGGCCGGGGCTTTATTGAGAGCCTGCTCCATGTACTCATGACTTACTTGGCTCGGGGCTCCGGTGGAGCAGAAGCGATGAGAGAAACGTGTGGGCCATCCTGCCGGCCTCGAGTGCCCGATGCGGGCCCAGAGGGCGGCATCGATGGCCGAACCCCCCCTCTCCGTGGTCTCCCGGCCTCCCAAGAGTCCACTGCGAAGGGTGCCCATCCGTCTCGGTCTCGGGGCCCATCTCGGCGTCAGCACCCGCCAGGCGGCCCTCTCTGCATCGCCGTACACATGTCGCCGTCCAGTCCGCGGCCGGCCTCCCGAGACCGCGAGGGACGTGGACCTCGTCGCGGTGCCAAAGTCGGCAAGCCCTCCATTGCGCAAGTACTCCCTTGGCCGAGCTGACAACGGGCACCACGGACAGGACAACCCCGACTGACAATACGCGCTGCAGGTGCCTGACGTGTCGCAGCAGGAAGGTCAAGTGCTCCGGCACTGTCCCCTGCGCCTACTGTTCCAAACGCGGGCTTGCCTGCCACAGGCATGACCCCGGCGAGCGCCGCTTCTACTCTGTCGAGTGTGTTCACCTTGCCACAATTTTGCCATGTCCCAGGCCCAGGGCGCCCAACATTCCGCTGACAATAACGGGCAACAAGGAAAATACGGGACCTCGAAGCACGCCTGGCTCGCTTCGAGAACAGAGCTCGTCGCGACGACGCTGATGGGGGCAAGGATGCTGGCAGCCAAGAGGATCTGCTAGGGTCCAGATCACCCGTTTTGACACTTCAGCGCACTCAGTACAGTGACACAGCTGCAGGAAACAGGCTAACGAGACCTCCGTCTTGTGCTGTCACGCCATCTCGCGATACGAGCCGCCAGGCAGGAGGGAATCCAGCACCAGATACATCACCCGCATCTAATTCTAGTGAGCCCAGTCAGGTCACCGATTGTACTCGACAGTAAACACAGAGGCACAGCTAACGACAAGAGTTGACGCAGCAATACCGGCCGATGCAGCGCTAAGCTCCAGCAACAACTTTGGCTCCCGTGTCTCTCAGCTGCTCGGCAGCTACCCATGGGCGCACCGACCGTCAAATCCTGAGAGACCCCCTCCCGTGCCCAATCGTTACAACGAGGCGATCCCGCCACTTCCGGACGAGGCTCATGCGCGACGGCTCGTAGATGCTGTTCTCTTCTACGTTGGACAGACACAGAGCCACTTCGACCCGCGGCTTTTCTTTGACCGCATGGATCTCTATTATGCCCACGCTCACGATTCAGCGCAGGCTTGTACTCCGTGGTTCCTTGAGATGCTCGTGGTGTTTGCCCTCGGAAAGCTGTTCATCAGCGACTTTGCCCAGGGCCGAGACCATGAACAGGGATTGCCTGGCAGCCAGCTTTTCGAGTTTGCGCTTTCGAACCTCCCAAACCTCGGCCAGTTATACGCACAGGGCACACTAGGCGTCGAGATTCTGGCTCTCATCGCGCTCTATCTGCAGAACGTTGACCGGCAGGCCGAGGCATATATTCATGTGGGTTCCCCTTGGGTGCTCATCCCGCGCCTGCTGACAACAGGCGCTTCCGTAGATCAGTACTGCTCTGAGACTGGCTATCACCCATGGCTATCACAAAAAGGCTGGGGTGACCCATCTACTCCTGTCAGAGAAGGTCCAACTGAACCGGTTGTGGTGGACGGTGTACATGCAGGATAGGTTCGACTTGATCTGCCGCAACTTTTGGTTACTGCAAGCTTTACTGACCAAAGGTTCCCCAGGAGACTGGCTGCTGCAACTGGAAATCCATATGGTATTCAGGATGAGGCGATAGACTTGGATCTTCCTCCAGAGTCTTTGGGGTTTGGTCCTGCTGCGCCTCTGCGGCTCAACATGGAGATTGCAAGAATTACAGGGCGCATTACTGGAGGTAAACGACAGCGTTTGGTCTGCTCCCTTTATCTCGCCATCTGCTAATATGGATATATGTGCTGGCAGTTCTTTATGGGGACCACGACCGAACCGAGCACGACTTTGTCTCCAAGGTCCAGGAAATCATTCGCAGCCTGTCAGACATCTCCAGGCACATCTCGTCCAAGATATCCACCGACGTGCGTGCCCCGGCCGATGCGCAGGTTGCCCGGACATCAGCCTCCCTGCAGCTCATGCTCTTGCAAGCCACACTCTTGACCATTCGTCCCATCATGCTCCATGTTACTCGGCTCATTCTCAGCGGCAATTTCACAGGCGGTGGGGAGCTTGTCACCTCATCCCTTGGTAAGCTCTCTCGGACATGCTCCGAGGCGGCACGACGGCTACTCGGCGTAGTCGTAGCTCTCAAAGAGCGCAACATACTGGGTAAGTTGGAGAAACAAGTGCAAAAGGCAACGAAGGATAAACAGAGCAACGAGGAGAGGCTACATTTGCTGAGACGGGGATGGGTCAAAGTGCTGACATCTCGCTTTGCCGCACAGCCATCTTTGGATTCTTCGACTGCGACGCCACCTGCTCGGCCGCTTTTGTCATGATCCTTACCGCCATCTTTGACTCCGCCTGCCCCGGCGAGCAGAAAATGCGGTCGTCAGCCTCCTTGGCCGACGCCGTCGAGATCCTGCAACACATGGCCAGCAACGGCAACAGGCACGCCATCCAGCGCCTCCAGGAAGTACGCAGGGTCTGGTCCCATATCGAACCACACCTGCATGAGCGATGGAACGCCACCGCACCGGTGCCAAATGCCTCGCAGGTGTTGCCATCGCCTCGTGCTGCTCCGGTTACGGATGTGCAAGTGACGGAACGGAGTATTGACGATTTGGAGTCTCAGCGCCATCCGCCGCCGCCGCCGCCTCCGCCGCAGCAGCAGCACCACCACCACTACCACCGACGGCAAAGTTCTGTTTCTGCACAGATAGACGCCTCGGCGTCGGATTGGTTCAACAGCGGAATAAGAGACGCAGAACGTGGTGGCTATGTGGCTCTAGACTCTGAGCTGGGCCACGGCCAAACCGTCCTGCCTAGTGCCTTATGGGACGACATCTCCCAGCTGTGGCTGCCACTTGGCGAGTTCAACGACGGACTCTTCCATGAGGGCAACGGCATTGGGGAGGAAACAGAAGATAGCCAGACGTACTTGGACTCATTCCTCAGTAACATGGCATGACAAAAATAGGACTTTCTTATGCATCTGCCTCTACGCTTATGCTCATCTACATTGATATTATTCTTCATGCGTTTCGTGACCAACTAGCGCCTGAACTTTGCAAGCGCGCGTTTCCAAATCCCACTGCCCCATTGTGCTTCTGCCGCGCTCTCGTGTAGCTCAAACTCTCTTCTGCCGGTGACCAGGTCTACCTCGAGCGCCTTGACGCGCCGCGATCGCTTCAAAGCCTTCCACAGGCCGACATTGAAGATGAAGATTACCGTGCCGAGGTATTTAAGGACAAATGTACTGGGCGAGAAGGTCGGAACGAAGGCGTCATATCCTGCAGGGAAGCGTCAGTCAGAGTCGGCGGGGGGTTCATCTGTGGAGCCCGTTCAGGGCAGGTCAAGCAGCTGGGCAGACTTACCGCTAAAGATGATAATCAGGACAGAGATGAAGAGCGCGTAATAGGACCCGTACGGCTGGAACGAGGCGACGTATGGCAGGCTCTGCAGATCCACGCCCTGGGCTTTGAGTGCACGGCGGAACGAGATGTGCGACACGGCAATGGCGAGCCAGTTGAGGACCGCGAAGATCGTGACGAGACTGACAAAGTACTGGAAGACGGTCCCAGACGACTGGCTGGCATTCATGAAGGCCAGGAGGACAAAGCACGCCGAGATGGCTATCGCCCACACGGGACTCCCACTGGATAGGACCTTTGCGAACAGCTTTGGGGCCTGGCCGTCCTTGGCAAGACCGTAGATGGAGCGCGAGGCGCAGTAGATATCTGTAAAGGCTGCGTTTAGCGACGAAGGAAACGGGACCGTGGGTTGTACTTGCTTACCGGTACTAGCTGCACTTAGGGTAAACACCAGAAGACAGGCGTTGATGATGTCTGCGAAGACCGGGATGCCTGCAATGACCGCAGCAACAACGAACGGTGAAGCGGCTGGGATCGGATCCTTCAGTCAGTCCTCCGTCCACAACCTTGCCAACGGGAGAAAAGGGCAATCCTACCTGCACTGGTCTTCGCCTTGACGGCACCCAGCAGTCTTTCATTGTCGTAAGGGACTGCCATTCCAAGGACTAGGACGCCGATGATGTAGAAACAGGTGATTCTCCAGAAAGTCTGCTTGACTGCGCGAGGAATGTTCTTGCGGGGGTTTGGCGTCTCGCCAAATGTCTGTAGTGGTGGGTGCAATTGTGTCAGACTGGACCTTGTATGACAATTGGTGATGACAACAATCAACGATTAAGAGGGCAGATGGCTTCGAGAGGGAAAACGTACCATGCCGACGACTTCCGTGCCGGTGAATGGAAAACATGCCTGGCTCATGCACGCCCACCAGCCGAGGAAGCGGCCCAGAGCGCTGTCAGGGAAGAGATACGATGCGAACGCGCCCGGGTTCTGCCAGTACGCGAATCCAGTCCGGGTCTTGTTTGGAGCGCCACCAAGGGCCGAGACGAGACAGATGATGATCATGGCCGTCATCACGGCAACCTTGATGACTCCAAGCCAGAACTCGGTCTCGCCAAACTTGCCAACATGTAGGAGCTGCAGAGTGATCAGCGAATTCTCTTCTGTAGGCCTTGAGGTATTGGGCTTGTATGGTTCACACTCACGTTGATGATGATGACGACACTGCCGAAAACAGCCACCCAGATGGCCACATTCAAGTCGGGTCTCCAGTATTGTATGACAAGGCCAGCTGCAGTCAGGTTTGTCGGTGTGGCGATACAATACTTGAGAAAGTAATTCCAACCTGTCGCGAAGCTGGGTGCATTCATACGCGTAAGCACACCGTTCCACAACGATAGCAGCGTAGCGATGGATCCGGGCAAAGACTTACCCAAAGGCTGGATCTACCAAACGAGTCGCATAACCGCCGAAACCCTTGCTCATGGGGAGGTATGCAGCCATCTCGCCGAGGCCCGTCATGACGAAAAAGACGGCGGCACCAACGGCCAGGTAGGAAATCAAAAGACTGCCTGGCCCACCCTTGGCGAGGGCTCCGCCTGAGCCGATGACAAGCCCTGTTCCAATGGCGCAGGCGATGGAGAACATGAAGACCTGCCGGGGCTTGAACTCGCGGCGGAGCTCGTCGTCACCCACGAGCTGGGAGTTCCCAACCTCATAGTCGACTTTTTCTGACTGGAGGGGAGGCTTATCGTCCGCCATGACTGGGTTCATGTTTGCAAGGTGTCCTGCGGGGTTTGATCCGTAAATGACAATGACGAGAATCCAGACCCAGGCAGACTCGTCTTCTTAGTGCACGCGAGCACAAGAAGCCAACGTCCCAGTGTCCCCTTTATACACACAGCAACGTAGATGTGGGCCTAATGGTCCAGGGCATCCTCCATCTCATGGCACGAACCTCTGAAAGCTTATCTTACCCCGGAAAGCGGCGCATGTCCGTTTTCAACACCTTGGAAAGTACCGTAGACGCCTAATTCGTGCAAGGGGCGTTGGGGGACCCCGGCCGCCCTATCTGTGGGTGATACGAGACCGTCGGTGGCCTTGGCCGAAATCTCGGGGCAAGGGGCCCATAGAAATCCGGCAGTCGTGCCCATGGAACGACTCCCATGAGCATTCCTGGCGCATTCGGCGTCGAGTACCGACGCTAGTCGGCTGCTCCACTGCTCTGGACCCGCACCACCTGTGGCTTATCTACATCCACTGAGTAGCGTCCTGAGTGGAGGCAGATAAACCGCGATCAGTGTGGGAGAGTCGTTGGAGACGATCAGATCATTTCGAGGAATCCTGCTAAAGTGACAGGCCTCCTTGTTCAGTCTCTGTGGAGCTGCCCGTTGGCCTCCGTGGTCCCCATCCGATCTTGGTGGCAAGGCAGCGGCTTCGTCGAGAAATGCACAATTCCCATTTGCCGTGCTACTTATCTAGGTTTGACCAGAAGGCTTGAAGTACAGGATCAGGGCATCAGCATATTCGACATGCGGCGCTCAGGCTTCAGATCATGTATTGCAAGAACCACGGTGCTACAAAACCCTCAGTCCAATTGTACCTAATTTTACTTCCTGCACAGTGGCTCAACTCTGTTGAGACGCCCGAATAACCTCATCGATGCTCTTGGCTACGTATGATACATTGTTCTCGTTGAGGCCGGGGATCGTGATGCGCCCAGTCGGCACGACATATATGTGATATGTATCTTGTAGTACTCGGCACTGTTCTGGTGTAAGGGGAAGGAGACTGTTGGCACACGGCTGTCAGCGGTAGAGTTCTGGGAACGAGGGTTTTTAACCGATGTCCTGGGAAGAATGAAAAACCATTCAAAGCTTACGAGAAAAGACCTGTGCCATGTGTGATAATGTCCCAATTACCAGGCGTCTACCAGGGTCAGTCGAATCAGCGACAGAGTCTGACGCGTGTGGGCCACCGGGCTGACTTACCTTGTGTACCTCGCACAGGAGGTGCCGAAGCTTCTCGCGGGTCAGTTGCAGCCTAGATTGGAGGCTCGCGATTTCCTCTCGCCTGATAGTCATGGGGTCAACCACACAATTCCTCTCTTAAAGACACTCTCAACACTCTGAAATTGCTTACCAGGCAGTCTCGCGTCCTGGGTCGGAAAGTACTCTCGTCACGATCCGCGCCCCGAATGCAGGCGAGGAACTAAACTCCGAGCGGATAAGGAAGCGCAGCTGATCATGCACCGCGCGCGCAGCCTTATCATTGGCGCAGATGGCATGGAGCGCGCCGACTCGCTCACCGTACAGTCCAAAGTTCTTGGAGAAGGACTGGCAGACGAGCGCCTCAAAGCCCATCGAGGCGAAGTGGCGGACACTAAAAATGTCCTCGTCGAGTCCCTTGCCCAAGCCGTGATACGCGACGTCAAAGACTGGGAAATGGTCGTGCTCCTTCATCTCGCGTGCAAGCACCACCCACTGGTCCTGGGTAAAGTCCGCCGCGGTCGGGTTATGACAGCACCCTTGGAGGATGAAGATGCTGCCGCGCGGGGCGGAGCGGACGGCGGAGAGGACGCTTTCCCAATCGACGAGGCCTGTGGAGGGGACGTAGTGGTTGTATGCGTTGAAGTCGAGGCCGACCAGCTCGCACATGGGTTTGTAGTTGCCCCAGGCGGGAACGCCCACGTAAACAGCTCGGCTCATGTTGGGAACGGAGCGACTCAGGAATAAGAGGGCCAAGTGGACTGCGCCTGTTCCAGATATGGTCTGGACAGTAGTCGTCTTGCTGGCAGTGAGGACGGCCGAGTCTTTGCCAAAGACCAGCCTAGCCGCAAGGCGGACGAAATCTGCGTTGCCCGTCGTGACCTCGTACTGGTGGTTGATGATTAGCAGGCCACGACCTTGTCACTGCAGACTGTTTTTTTTTTTGTTTTTTTTGAAACGCACGTCATGGTCTGGATTCTCTGCCGCGAGATGTTCTTTCGCCTGCGATGCGTGAGTCTTGCGATTTTTCCCATCCAGATAGCAATCCACTGGAGAGATCGAACCTGCCTGACGACTTGTAATTCGTGGTAAGCACCATGTTCGTTACGATAGATGCCCACGCCAAGATCGACCTTGTCCGGATGGCGGTCGGGATCGGCCTTGAGCTTGAGCTCATACATGTTGTCTGGCGGTGCCAGCTGGACCTGATCGAAGAAGGGCATCTTGCACTTTGGCGCTCTTGGGCAAAGTTGTGTCGTCAACGTGTACTGGTCACAGCAGAAGGTCAACCGTACAGAGCGAGTTGAGGATCTCCCACGGGGATATGGTGCCTCGCAGGTCGAGCTCATGGCTACCACGAGGATCCGCTCCGGTCGCCGGCACGCTTGCCACGTCGTCGGCCACCCGTGCCGAGCATTTGAAACGACATCGGTTGGCGCCGCCGACTTTCGGGTGTGCAGCCCCACAACGCCGACCAGGGCTACCTCAATTCCCCAGGCTGCTCGCAACGGAGCCACGGCCATGGCGGAGTGCAAGCCCGCTCTACGAAAGATCACCCTCGTCACGGTGTCAGCACATGAAGTCTCGAAGGGCCTTCTTGGGGGAAACTTGAAGGCTACCCGTCTAGCAACATTGTCAAAACCTTTCCCTGAATATCGTGTCAACTATGGGGTCTCCATCTCAGGACAATGCCATCCCAGCGCACTGCCCTAATACCCTTCTGACAAGTGTCGCCGCGAACCAGGTCTGCAAGTCGTTTGGCATCAAGATCTCGGCAAACGCGCAGGTCGTCCAAGTCGCCCACAATGCCTGTTTCGACTCGCTCTTCATAGACCTCGAGCACGGCTGGTTGTCCCTAGACGAGGCCAGCAACCTGTGCAACGTCGGCCTGCTCTCTGGGATCACACCCTTTGTGCGGGTCCCGCATCAGTGTGGCAACGGCTTCGTGCAGAGGGTCCTCGATGGCGGCGCGATGGGCATCGTATTCCCACACATCGAAAACAAATGTGAGCCCCTGAACCTCCACTGCGAAGTCGATCATTGCGCTTATACAATTTGCAGCCGAGGCCGAGGCTGCGGTGCGGATCTGCAAGTATCCGCCGTTCGGGTGTCGTTCCATGACAGGCATGCTGCCCCTCTTCGGCATGCGCAAGACTTCGCTCAGCACCGCTTCAGAGGTTGGCAACGCTCTGGGCTCCACCGTTATCGTCATGATCGAGAGCCAGGCGGCTGTCGACCGTGCTGATGAGATTGCGGCTGTGGACGGTGTCGAGGTCCTCCTGATCGGGTCCAACGACCTTAGCATCGACCAGGGAGTCGGCGGCCAGTGGCACCACGCGTCCTACAGGTCCGCCATGGAAAAGGTCAGCCAAGCCTGCCGCAAAGCAGGTAAGGTGTTTGGTGTCGCTGGGGTTTACGATGATCCGGAGCTGCACAACTGGTTCATAAACACACTCGGCGCCCGGTTCTTGCTTGTCCAACAAGACATATCCCTTATCGCCTCCGGGGGTGCGCAAGCTGTCAAATCGATACCTGCCGTTTCAAATTTATGATCTGCAATGTCGTGTATCTGAAACACATCCCTCTCCGGAAAGTCCACGGAGAGGGAAGAGGTGGGAGAAAGAGAAGGAGGACGGAGGCGTCCCGCGGGGGCATGTATCTATCTGCTTTTGAGACAGTCTGCCAGATAGTGTAGGACATTTTGTGAGTGTCAACCTTCAACCAACAGCAAGCATAATTTTAAATCACGGTATCATGTTTCCATGTGCAAACTCAATAAGTGCGGCAGTCACTTTGCTCCAATATAACACTAGAGGAGTAGATCTTAGCAATATTCTCACACAAAAAGCAGCTCGAAAACAAGATGACGGACTACATCCTAGAAAATTCACGCTCAGCAAAGCAAGTCGCAATGCGGTCTGCTTGAGCAAGCAGGAACAGGCAATGGCATTTTAACGCCACAGTCATAAGGGATATTCTGATCAGAACATTGTCAGCCGAATGCTCAAAGTCTTCAGACATGCCGCGCTAATGCTTAGACTATGGCGATCAGTGCTTAAGCTTGATATGCATGTTTGCAGAACCCACCCTCCCCCACGGCAATAGCAACAGCAACGAGAATCCCACGTGTTGAGCCATACGGCACGACAAAGTCAAATCTGCCTTGGGCTTGGCGCCCAGGGGCTGAAGGCTTGTTGGCCCTCAGACGAGGCAGATTGGTCCATTGTCCTGCACCCTTGACTTCAGCCGCACATTATGTGGGACAGGCATCGTCTCTGTGTCCAGAGCGACTTGGCGCTTGGCCTATTTGGTCGTCCTCATGGTGTGGCCCATCCATGCAAGTGTGAGACCATTTCTGACAGGCATAGGACGAAGGGCTGAAGCCGTAGCGGGGTTTCAGCCCATCAGCTGGGAGAAGTCTAGCCAGGCCCAAGTCACCGCTGCCCAGCCCGGCGAGGAGCGTTGATGGTTATTCTTCCTATCCCTTCCACCTTCGTTCACCGTGCTGTCAGTTTCCCCTGGGCGATCGCAAGCCACACGCACGCTGCGACATATTTAGCGAGCCTAGTCACGATAGTGATCGACGCATCCATCTCTCTTGTTACCCTAACAGCCTGTCCGTGTCCCCAGGACACTCCAGTAGCCGCAATGCCGTTCGACTTCAAGGCCTACGACGCCAAGTGCGCGGGCATGACGGCCCTCGAGCTGCAGAAGGAGTGGGAGCACTACACGCGCCTCATCGCCGGCGGTGCCACGTCGACCGCCATTTCGGGCCTTGCGATCCCCCTGACTGCAGGTGTCAGCACCATCGGCGTCGCCCTCGCGGCGCCGGGCCTCCACAATTCGCGCCGGAAGCGCGAGATCATCGAGAAGCACCTGCAACGGCTGGGCACGACACACGAGACACGCAAGCGCGATGTGCTGGGCAGCATGGCGTTTTCTGGGACTGTCGGCGTGGTGACGCTGGGCGTCGGCTCTGCGGGGGCCGACAGCATCGTGCAGAACGGTGCCGAGCATGGGATCGCGCTGTGTGACACGGCGGTCAAGGTGGTCACGCACGTCGCGCTCGACGGGGCTGGGATGGCACTCGAGCATGCTCACACGAGCCACAAGAAGAAGAAGGATGCCCACATCGCATTCGGCAAGGCTGGTGTCTTCCAGGCCGTGGCGGACGCAAAGGCACGAGAAGCCGGCTACTCGATCGACCCGCAACAGCAGCAGCAAGGGCAGTACTACTACTATGCTACAGGACCGTCGTCGTCGTCTTCTGCTTCGGTCATGACAATGGCAATGCCGCCTCCGCAGTACACACCTCACGATCCGCTCCAGCCAGCCCCTCCATCTCATGGGTATGGTTATGCAGGTGCGGCCCAGGCGAGTGTGCACACGATTCCGATGGAGAAACAGGCAGTCTACGGCACTCAGCAGCAAGTCTATGACCCGTACCAGCAGTATTATCAAACAGAGGCGTCCGTGGCATCCGGGGTTGCCATTACAGCGACTGGACAGACGCAGATGTTGGGACAGAAGGAGACGACACAGCACCAGGTAATGGCTGGGTACGCCCAGCAACAGAGCCCGCAAAGCCGTGACCTCACACAGTCCGGCCCTCCGGCACAGCAGTACGACTACTTCAACCAGACGACAGCCTACGCCCCTGCGGTACAGGCGCACGAGTCGCTGCAGACACGCGCCGAGCAGCATCCGCATGCCATTCCAGCAGCCAGCACAGCAGCAAATTTGCCTCCTCCCTCAGCTCAGGTTTTCGAGATGTCAGCACTTCAGGATACATTGCCAAGTGTTGGCCAACACACAACACAGCGGACAGAACATCCAGACCTTGCACCCCAGCCACTTGCCCTCCACAAGGCCAGCTCGAACGCCGTAACCACAGAGAGTATCATGACTGGTTCCTACTCCACACCTCAGACGACACACACTGAACTCACAAGATCATCGACGATGGTCTCCGAGTGCAGTACGACCCAAGCCGTCCATCCAGGCTATTGCCCAACACCGCAGCCTGCGAACGAATATCGGGCTTCCCCTCAGCAAGCCGAACACCGTCAGTCAGTGTCTTCGGCCTCTTTCGCTATGCCTCCACCGCCTCCACCGCCAGCACAATCTGCGGCGATTCCCCAGCAAGCTGCCACGGCTCCAATCACGACCATGGCATCAGCGACGTCATATTATGCAACGGCCTCTGGTCAGACATCGCCTCCCGTAGGTGTCACCAACGTCGAGAGTCAATACACGCCTATCTACGCAACGCCAGCGCCGGCAGTGCCAGTTTCAAACGCAGCAGCAACACCGCCACATCCACAGTTTGCGCCAGTTCAAGCATATAATCCCGCTGCTGTTGCGATACAGCAACCATACATTCCCTCGCCATCGCAGGGGCCCATGACCCCGCAACAGCAACAGCCGGCGGCCATGTATTTTGCTCCGCCCCCCGAGCAAGCTTCCATCACTACAGGTCCGAAGGGCAAGAGAATGAGCATGCTTTCAGCGGCAACTGGGAAGCTGGCATCGGCCATCTCCAACGTCAAACAAAACGTAGGACAACCGCAGCAGGAACAACACCACATTTCCGCCTACAACCCAGCCGACCCAGTACACACGATGCCGCAGGCCACCCCAAAGCAACAAGGGTATGCTTACGGGCAGGGTTATGCTCAGCACAATGCCAACTTGCAGCAAACCCAATACATCAACAACCTGCAAAAACAGCAGCAGCAGCAACAGCAACAGCAATCAGCACCATATGTACCTGCCTTCCAGCCAGTGGCATCTGCTCCTTTCCCGGCACAGCAATTGCCTCCCACGCCCATCTCGCCTCCGTTCTCGCCACCACTTTCTTACAGCCAGAGTCCAAGTCCGCAACACCAGCCTTATCCAGTCCAGCAGCTCCAGCCGCAGAACACGGGGTATTTCCCGCCGGTTGCCCCGTCTCCACACCCGCAACAGCACAGCGCCTACCAGAACTCGCCCCCGCCGCCACAGAATCAGCAGTATCAGAATCAGCAATACCAGCAGCAGTATCCGCCGCAGAAGATCCCTGGGGCGTACACCATTTCTGGAGGAGGGTACTATCCGCCAGCTGGGGTGGTGGGACAGCCAATGCCGATGACGCCGATGGCGACGCCGTCAGGTCCGTGAGAGATCAGCTTGTCGGAAAGGATGATTTACGGCCAGCACGGTGGGGACGAATCGAGACAGGATGAGTAATAAGACAAGCCGGAAGGGGCCGAGTAAAACTAGGCACAAGCATAAGCACGAGCACAGGCAGATGCAAGACGGGCGGACTGTGTCGTACCACGTGGTGTAAAAGTCGTATCGGGCGCTTACATAGTAGACGACTACACTAATCGCAAATTGGACTGCATGTGCCAGCTTAACATTGGACGCAATGAACGTGCGTGGCAGTCCCTCGATACAAGACCTGGGCTGAGTAACCCTATTACAGACAAATGCATTCGATTGGACAAATGCCAGTGAGCATCTTCGTATTTGGCACAGATTGATTTGAGCTGAATGCTGTTAGCAGAAAGCGGGGTCAAAGGGCCATCCATCCCCCTGGGGGCCTGATCTTCATGGTCACTTGGTGCTCGGGCTTCCGACCGGCTTGCCAGTTCCGCGCTCTCTGCACAATAATACAGCGCGCCAGACCCCACTCCGGTGTCGGGCCGGACCCTGATTAAGGTCGGTTGCAGCCCGCCTGCATAGTCCTCTGCCGATCACCCCTCTATAAGTGCAGCCAGGAGTATGCATAAGCTGACAGCCGGTAGTGGCTGATCGGTGCTGACTTGAGTGTCCCGATATGGGTAGATAAGATCGTTTGGTTCCGCCTTTGACCCCGTCGAATTTGTCCATGCACGCATAGACTAGTCATAGAGTAAAGGAACGAATACAGTTCTTTACCAGGCCAGAACCCCCCATTGCCACCACCATGGAGAAGACACGACTGCATCAGTCACTGGAGCGAGCACGGGCGCGCAAGGGCCCCAGTGTCGGCCAGTGGCTCGAGTTCCCCGGCTACACCCTCGCAAAGACAATTGCATCGCTGGGTGAGGATGTAAGTGCACTACATGGAGGACCGGCCCCCCCTTTCCAATTTGAATTTCGCGCAGCAGGCCGGACGACTGACACAAAGTACACAGTGGGTGCTCATCGACTGCGAGCACGGCAACATCGACGACCACGACATGTATCTCCAGATCGGCGCCATCTCGTCCAGCGGCGTGTCCCCGATTGTCCGAGTGCCGAGCGACGAGCCGTGGATGCTCAAGCGCGCGCTCGACGCGGGCGCCCACGGCGTCATGGTCCCCATGTGCGAGACTGCCGAGCAGGCCAACGCCATCGTCCAGGCGTGCAAGTACAACACCCCCTCCAAGTGGCCAGAGGGCAAGCGCGGGGCGGGTGCAATGTTCGCGCCCGGGGCGTTCAACCAGAACCCCCGGCAGTACCTCGAGAGCGCAAACGACAATGTCTTGGTCTGCGTGCAGATCGAGTCGCGGCTGGCGGTCGAGAATGTCGAGGCCATCGCTGCGGTCAAGGGCGTGGGTGAGTACCCAATGAACACGCGCAACCCTTTTCATGGTGAAGACTTCGCGAGTGCTGATTTTGGCTGGGCTAGACATGCTCTTTATCGGCCCCAATGACCTGGCGCAGTCGATGGGTTATCCGGCGTTCGACCACGCCTCCATCCCAGAGGTGCAAGAAGCCGCGGCGCGGGTATTGCGTGCCGCCCACGAGGCGGGAAAGTATGCCGGCCACTTTGCGTTGAGTGCGGACATTGGTAAGTCACCCCGACGGTGGGATTCGCACAAGCTATGACACGAAGACTGATTCGATTTGACATCTGCAGCTGCCCAAAAGTACCAGCAGGGCTTCGAATTTGTCAACTGTGGCGCAGACATTGTTGCCGTCGCGACCTGGATGGCAACCGAGATGGGCAAACTAAGAGCCCTCACTGCTCAGAGTGCCAGTGCCGAGACGCCAACCTTATAATGTGTACTACTGGCCTAGCCTAGACGTTTGGGTTGATTCACATCTATGGTCTATTTGAGATTTTATACAGTTCTTTTGAACGACTTGAATGTGTTTTGGGTTCTGTGTCAAGAGGTTCGGCATGTGACTGCTTCTCGTCTATCATCCCGTCCAAGGTGTCCTACAGCCAATACTTGCAAACAACCTTTTTCATTCGCTCAACCCCAAGCTCGATCTGCTCCTTCTGCTCCGCCAAATACGAAAAAGTCAGTAGTCTGAATAGTGTATGATTAGAATGGCTCGTTTCCACGTACCGATGGTGTTGCGAACGAGAATCTGAAGTTCGCCGTCTCGGGCTGTGCGCCGCGTTCCTTGGTCGTGACCTTGTCCTTCCCTTGCCAGGGGTGGTAGTACGACCCAGCTGTCAGCAGAACCTGTCGCAGAAATGAAGATGTCAGTACTCTCAACTTTGTACAACCACAGTCCAGAGAGTCAACCTACCAGCTCCTGCACCCATGCCATCCACAGCTCATTCTCAAATGCGCGCTCCGGGTCCGCGCTCGCCTTCTCATCTTTGGCCAACTCTGCAAACCGCGGCACGCCACCAAAGTAGAATTTGGTCCAGACAAACATGCCGGCCGTCGGATCGACAAAGCTGAATACGGGCACCAGCTGGCCGTCCGCTTTGCGCAGACAAACCACGCTTCCCTGGGCGTCTGGCAGTGGCGACTCGGCGGCGGGCAGCACGGCGTCAAAGGATTGACAGAAAGCGGCCAGCAGCCAGTCGCGCCGGACACGGTACTGCGTGCGCAGTGTCTGCATCCAGTCCAGGTAGCCGTCGATCCCCCACTTCTGGAGAAGCGCGAGAGCGAATGCCTGCGACAGGCCAGCTGGGTCCTGAGTGTCGACCTCGGCGGCACGGTGGAGGCGCTCGATGAAGACTGGGTTCGCGACGAAGTAGCCAAGACGCAAGCCGGGGAAGATGGTCTTGGAGAAGGACTCTAGGCGGATCACGCGGCCTTGGGTGTCAATGGAGAGAATCGAGGGGGCAAGGCTCTGGAGGAAGTCATCTGTGGCAAGCTTGGGCTCGATGATATGCGACGTTTCCGGCTTGAATGATGAATATTGGAGGAAATAGTAAGGGTCGTCCTCGACGATGATTATGTCTACGCGAGATGAATCAGTCCTGCGGTATGAGACCTGGTCGACAGGAAGCATTTATACTCACCAAACTCAACACAGACATCGTAGATCTCCTTGCTGCGCTGAGCCGAGATGGTCACTCCTGTAGGGTTTGAGCCCACCGTGACCATGTACAGGCTTCCCATCGTCATTGGTCAGTTTGGCCATTCCGCTGTATCAGACCTCCTCTGGCCGAGCCACTCACATTCTAGGTCTCCGCGAGCCACGCTCCGTCTCATCCCACTGCGTCAGGACTTCACGGAGCTTGTCTGCCCTAATTCCGTTGGCATCTGATGGAACGGCGACGGCCTTGACGCCAAGCGGAGTCGAGTAGGCCTGCGCAGAGGGATATGTATACTCCTCGACAAGTACCATGTCACCATCCTCACACAGCAGGTCGACCACCTTGGCCCAGGCATTGGTGTTTCCCGCATTCAGGAGCACTTCGTAGTCCTGGCATGGTGGGGCGTGGACGCGGTCGGTGATGGTACGTACTATCTCGAGAAGATGTTTGTTACCAGCACCATTTCCTGGCAACAGCACGCTTCCGGTCAGTCTTTTCGACCCTCGATAGACACACGCGTGACCGAGCAGCTTCACCTGCGCCTAGATCTTACCATATTGCAAGAATGACGAGAGGTCGAGGTCGCCGGGGGTAGAACCTCGCCCCAGGGTCATGCTCACGACATCGTCCGCGGAACGTTGGATCTCGCCCGCCGCGGACAGGGACGGGACAGGCGGTAATGTCTGGATTGTCGCTTGCTCAATGGGAAACAGTGACTGATGTGGCAGACCTGGATTGTGGATTAGTACACCGATTGTCTCTAGCCTTAGACTGGGTGGTGCCTCAATGATCTTGGATCCCATTCGCATACCTCCAGCCAGGCTGACCATGCCCTCAACGCCCATGAACCGGACAATTTCCTTGAGCGGTGACGGGTGCCGCGACTTGCTCTTCCTATTGATGTGGTGGGACAAGTCGATTGACTGCCGGTGGTGGCTAACGCTCCCCATCGTGGCTGCTGGAGAATGCGAGGCGCTTCTGATGCTGCTGGCTACGTGTAATGGTTCCCGAGAGTGCTGATGATCACAGGATTCTTGGCCCGCGTGTAACATTCAATCAGCCACTCCTACGACTGCGACTCGTGTCACCGGTGACCCGCCGTGCTGAGCTGTCGGGCACGCCCTCCGACCATCGGCAGCCGGCCCGGGGACCTGGCCCCTGCCAAGCCGCCGCCGCCGCCTGATCGGCCAGGCTCGAGCTCCGCATCGCCCTGACTCGGGCATTCTTGAATGCGCGATGGGCTTGATAAGACGGTGCGGGGTGTCCCGCTTTGCATGCATGCCTAACCACGTGTGGCAAGCGATCAGAGCGGAAGGGCGTCGGATTTGGGTTCGTATGTTGAAGCAGAAACCGTTCCGATCTTGGGCGTCAATTCGTGGCTGGTGGGAACGCCTGACAGCCGGTCAAGCTTCAGCCAAGATAGCCCTATTTGTCCTTATCGCTTACACAGGCCGCGCACACACACACACACACACCACATACCCTGTTTCCCAGCACGGTCGCCGGCACATCGCACGGCCATGGGCAACTCCATCTCGTACACGACGACGCCCCACGAGCTCGACCTCGGGGCCAAGGGCGCAATCCGCGGCTTGCAATACGACAACAAGGCTCGGCGGTATGCAGGTGTGCCCTTCGCGCTGCCTCCCACAGGCCAGCACCGTTGGAGGAAACCACGGCCATTGCCAGCGGACCATGTCTATTCTGGTGACGCGGACGACGATAGGGTCTTTGACGCCACACGGTTTCGGACGCTTTGCCCCCAGAAGGCCTTTCACGTAGGCGAGGGGGGCAGTGCCGACAAGTACAGCGAGGACTGCCTCTTCGTCAATATCTGGACCCCAGTAGAGAAGCCAGATAATGATGGCAAGGAAACGAAATGGCCAGTCATGTTGTGGCTCCATGGCGGCTGGTTCCAGATGGGCGACCCCTCGCACGAGGCCTACATGGACCCGACGGAGCTCATCTCGAGCGGCGGCCTCGATGCCATTGTCGTTGCGATCGGCTACCGCCTGAACGTGTTTGGTTTCCTGGCCGGCCAGGCGCTGCACGAGGAGAGCGGCGGCGAGGCGGCGGGCAACTACGGCCTTTGGGACCAGCGGCTGGGTGCCGAGTGGGTGAGGGACAACATTGCCGCCTTTGGTGGCGATCCGGACAACATCACCCTCGCCGGCCGCAGTGCCGGTGCCTACAGTGTCGAGGCGCAGATGCTGTACGAGCTGCGGAGGTCGGACGCCGACAGCGACCGCTCCCTGTACCGCCGCGCTTTTATGGACTCGAATGCCATCCCGGCGCAGCCCAAGAGCCTTGCGGACGCCGAGCCGCAGTTCGACGAGCTATGCACCCATTTCTCGATCCCGTCGATATTGCCAGCTGCTGAGCGTCTGTCGAAACTACGCGATGTCAGCGCCGAGGATCTGGTTGCAGCTCTCGAAAAACTCGAGAACCATACGTTCCGCCCTGTAACGGACGACATCTTCATCCACGACGGAATGGTTCAATACTTGAGCAGTTCAGAATTTGGGCTCGCGTTCAAGGAGCGTGGATACAAGCTCCTCATTGGCGAGGTGCTGAATGAGGAGACGCTGTACGCGACTTACAACAGCCCCGAGTCACCCACGCTTGAAGCGCTGAAGATGCAGGTCGGCAACTATTATGCTCCAGCAACCGTCGAGCGTGCACTCGCGTACTATGACTTGCCGAGGTCGACAGAACTGCAAGACTGGAAGAATTGTTTTGGTGGGTTGGCCCGTTATACAACAGGCCGTACAATACAGGCGAGTGAAATGCTGATCAGAATCCGTGACGAGCGCAGGCCGCATAATCGCCGACGGCCAGGTCCGCGCACCCTCTCGGGCACTCGCGCAGAACTTGCTGCGAAACGGGGTGCCCATCAGCGACATCTGGCGGTACCAAATTGCCTACCGGCTGTCATTCATCACCGAGAAAATTGCCCCAATGTCCATGGGTGTTGCCCATGCCATGGACAAGCCGTTCTGGAAGTCAGTGGCCCTTGGATCAAGTGATGCATGTCAACGAGAAGAAAGAAGCTGACACGCCCTGGCCTTCACAGTTTCTGCATTGGATCCGGTCCCACGGCGGCCGAGCGCAAGTTGATGGAAGACTGGATTCAAATTCTCGTGCGGTTCGTCCAGGACAATAGACCAGACTACAACTTCGGGACTCGGGCGATAGACGAGATGAAAATGATCACACCGGAAGGCACAATTGAGATCCGGAAGGATCCCAGATGGGAGGAACTTGAAAGGATAGGAGCCATATTTGCCGGCGAGACTAAGTGACAATAATAGCAGCACAACAAGGCTGTTTGTATGCATCATGGCCGCCCATCTGCTTGTATCGTGGCCAGCATCGTCTCGTTCTGTCTACATCCTGCGTCACTTTGGCCATTTGACGGGCGGAAAAGAGGAGGTTCCGCTTGCCATCGGGTCGCATCTGTGCGGTAACTGAGCCACGATCCCGCTAGCCGCCGCTCCCCGCGTACTGTGTGCAAGCCAATCGATCTGCAGTGCAACAGATGAGGTGGATGTTGCCAGAGGAGCGAATAGCAGGCTGGAGGACCCATGTTGCTCCGGCTCGCTTGCTTAACCCCAGCCAGCCGCCGGCACGCCTAATAGTACCCGCAGATATAGACCTGGTTGCTGAGTGGTGCTGTTGCATCGCTATCTCGTCCCTCCCGTCTCCGTAGCTCCTGGGGCTGCCCCACTGGCGGCATTCGACCCCGGCCCGGGTGGCGCTGATAGGGACTTCGGATCCAGCTCCAGCATTTTACGTCCGAGATCGCACTGGCCTCAGGCGCGGAACTTGCCAATGTCACTGTGGCCTGTGTACTGTCGGAAGCCCCCCCAAACGAGCCGCCGGGGTGAGTGGAGCTCATCCCGCATGGCCAGCGATCTACAATGGGCTCCATGCCCCGAGATGGGTGGCTGGGTCTCTGCGTGGAGAAGCCCTATAACATGGAGAGCTTTAGCCATTTTTCATTTTTCCAGATGAGAATGAGGAACGTCAGGTAGCTCCGTAGCTTATCTCGTCTACTTTCCCCAAAGACGGCCGTCACACTTTGCTGCGACCCAGACACTACAAGTCGAAGCGGCACCCGATCCTCGCTCAGTCAGAACAGCGAACGACATCCCAGCCATGGCCTCCGACCTCGAGAATGCCACAAAGGCCAGCATCGGTGCCGCACAGAGCCCGACCGAGATGCCCTCGAGCGTCCAGGAGAAGCCCGCCCCGGCGCCCGCGGATGACAAGAACGAGGACGAGGCCGAGCCTGACCTCAAGACCGAGCCTGACGCGCTCGCCGTCGACACGGTCGAGGCCGCGACCGAATACTCGGACGCCTACTTTCGCAAGCTGCTGTGGAGGATCGACCTCTGCCTGCTGCCCGTCATGTGGATCTGCTACGGCACACAGCAGGCCGACAAGACGTCGCTCAGCGTCCAGGCCGTCTTTGGCATCCGCGAGGACACGGGCCTGGTGGGCGAGCAGTTCAACTGGCTCAGCACCGTCTTCTACCTCTCCTACCTCGTCTGCGAAGGGTAAATCTGCACTCTGTGCTCCTGTCTTCTTTACTTTGTGTCGACATTGGGCTGACCATGGACTCGCGACGGCCACAACAACAGACCTGCCAACTGGCTTATGCAGCGGTACAACGTGGGCCGCTTCCTCGCCATCGTCATGTTCGCTTGGGGCATCGTCGTCATGTGCATCGCCTTTGCCAAGAACTTTGCGCACCTGATGATCCTGCGTACGCTCCAGGGCGCGCTTGAGTGCACCATCTCGCCCACCTTTATGCTCATCACCGGTGCGTGGTACACGTCGCGCGAGCACGCCTTCCGGGGCGTCATCTGGGGCACCTCGAACGCCGGCATGAACATCATCACCGGCCTCATCAACTATGGCATCGGCCTCCACGCCCAGACCAACCCAGGCGGCCTCGCTCCCTGGAAGGGCATCTCGTTCTTCCTCGGCGCGCTCACCATGTTCGATGCCGTGCTCGTCTGGTTCTTCCTCGGCACACCCCGTGAGGTCCGGTGGCTCACCGAGGAGCAGAAGCGTGCCGCCATTGCCCGCGTTGTCGGCAACCAGACCGGTTCTGACCGCAACAAGCGCTCCGAGTTCAAGTGGGACCAGGTCTGGGACACGTTCCGTGATCCCCAGACTTACTTCTTCTTCTTCGTCTCGATCATCAATGCCCTGCCCAATGGCGCCACCACCACTTTCAGCAAGCTCATCTGGCAGTCTTTTGGCTTCACCTCGCTCGAAACCCTGACCAAGGGGTCAACGCCGTACTACTGTCTCTCGTGAGTCAAGCCCATCGAAACACGCTGGTTCTATCTGATGAGCACACCACTGACTGGTCTTTGTAGCATCATCTGGTTCTTGGTTGGCGGTTACATCACGCTCAAGAAACCAAACACCCGATGTCAGCTGAACTCATTCTCCCCCTTCGCTTCAGGAAGATGAACTAACATTTCGTCAGTCATTGTCATGATGTCCTCCCTCATCCCTGCATTCACCGGAATGTTTGCCCTGGCCTTCCTGCCGAGCACCGTCAATATCTGGGTCCGCTGGGCCATGTACATGATCCAGGTTTTCGGCGTTCTTCCCAGCCTCTGTAAGCCCCCTTGCCCCCTACTTTCTGTTAAAATGCTTTGTCCACTGAACCTGCACTTACACAATGTCGAACAACAGTGGTCTGGACTTTCCTGCCTTCCAACGTGGCTGGAAGAACCAAGAAGACCGTGACTTCGACTATCCTCTTCATCGCCTACTGCGTCGGCAACGCGATCGGCGCGCAGATGTTCGTCGCTTCAGACGCTCCCAAGTACATCCGCGGCATTACTGCCTGTGGTGTCTTGTACGTCGTCGAGTTCTGCTGTATGGCCAGCTGGCGCTTTTATTGTGAGTCCCACCCTACCACTCTCTGTCCTGCGAAGCAAACACTGACTAAACAATCCGGCAGACATTTGGGAGAACAGACGTCGCGCCAAGATCATTGCGGAGCGTGGTATCTCGGCCGAGGAGGCTGAGAGGCTGGGCAAGCTCAATGCCGAGGCCGACATGACGGACCGTGAGAACATTTTCTTCAAGTACCAGTACTAAGCTCGAATCCTGCCTCTTGATACACGAAATGAAGCTCGGCCATTTTCTCTTGTACTACAGCATCCCCATATGCAAAGCATCCTTTTTCGCCCTTTATCTCCTCAACTTCTTCTTCTTGGGCTGCTCCTGCTCCGTAAACTCACTTTTGTAGAGCTTGAAGAAGTCCGTGGGCTGAGTTGGGTGTTCACCCGTGACATCGTGGAAAGCCGTTGTAGCGATGTAGTTTGTGCTGCCCTGGCGGACGAGGCTATAATATTCGAGGATGTACTGCTTCTCAGACTCGTCGCTATCTGACTGTGACTTGAGAATCCTCTTGGCCTCGGCCCTGTAAAGGTATCATGATATTGTTAGTCTGTCGTATCTCGTGTATGAAGGGCCATGAACATGAGACATTGTTCTTGACATACTGTGACACATTCTCGAACTCCATAGGCGATCCAAGGGCTTGGCTTGCGGCTTCTGCCAGCTCGTTGCCAGCGCAGAGCATCGGTCCTGCGGGGTTCCAGGACGTTAGCGACGAGTCGGCAGCTACACTAAGCACTGATAGTGACTGATACTCACCAGTGACAATCATCATCTGGCCTCGGTGTCTATCGTCGAAGCCGTGTTCTCCCTTGCCCGTCAAGACATGGGCAGCAACTTGTGCAACATCCTGTAATTCATCACGTTAGTTTGGAAACAAATCTGAAAACCTTTCTACTGGTGTGTGCAACATACCCCAAGTGCCACTGGCGCAAACTTGTGGTTTTTGCCAATTGGCAGGGGCAATATGCCCTCAGACTTTGCCTGGGGTGCATATAATAGGATATTTTCCGCGTAGAATCCAGCCCTATGTAGTGAGAAGCGTCAGTGGCTTGCATACGACGAAACAGGGAGCCCAGGAAGGCAGTCCGGACAGAGGCGAGCTTACCGAATCACACAGGGAGAGTGGCCGGTGGAGGTGGAGGGGTCGCCCTTGGCCTGCAAGACTGCCGTCTCGATCTCAATGAATTCTCGCAATCGTGGGTGCAACTTCGGATCGGCATAGTCGCACCCGGCCGAGCTGATCAGGCACACGTTCGGCACGCCCGCTTTGGACGCCGCAGCCACTAGCTCGAGACAGATGTCCTTCTTGTCCACGCTCGCCGGCGGCACCAAGCAGAGTGTGTCGCAGCCCGTGCTCTTCAGTGCCTTGATTGTGTCCCTGACGCGGCCTGGTGAATGCGGTACAATCTTGGCTCCCAGCGACTCGAGCTCCTTTGCTTTGTCGGCCTTGGGATCAAGCGTGAGGCCCACGAGCGAATCTAATTTCCCGGAGAAGGAATTGTTCGTGAGGAGCAGCTCGGCGATGAGGAAGCCAGTCTGGCCCTCGACCGCGGTGATGCAAATGTTGCGGGACATGATGCGTATTGGTGGCTACGGTGTGATGAGAGTAGGTTGCCTTGACGACCTGTGGGCTGGACGTGTATCTTGTAGATAGCAGCAGCTGGTGCACAGCAACCTCTACTTATACGCATCATATTGACATGTCGCGGTCATCATGACAAGGCTCAAGGTGAGACGGGCAGTGGAGCGGTGAGCTTATGAATCAAGCCCAGCCCGGACTCAATGCAAAATTGTGGTAATGAATGTAAATCAATGCACAATATGCTGTATGGACCGCGCCTTCTCGGCTCCTTTGTGAAAGCACGCTACTCCAACGGAAACTAGTCTATGCGACCCAGGATTGCCTGGCCTGGTGCTGGTGGCTTAGGATTAGAGTTGAGCTGGCTTGTGTCGTCACAATGCCAACAAGACTGTTACTGCCAGGGGGGGGGCAAAAAAGCAAATGTTATTTGCAGCCGGCACGGTCCTGAGCTGAAACAGCTGGTGTGAAGGAAGATGCGTAATTGCATCGTAGCCATGCGATCATCGCGGAACAACCGCTCCGCCGTTTTCCCCACGGGGTCTGGCTTCCGGTCGCGCTTGGCAAACTCAACCGAGCATCCCCAAAATCCAGCCCCCGCTGCCCGGTCAGGCAGAGGTATGGTATGGTAAGAAAAAAGAAGAAGAAAGGAAAAAAAAAAAGAGGAAAACAGGCACGTCAGAGCATTGCGGACCATTTGTCAACATGGTCACCAGACTGCGATTTCACGAGCCCGGGTTCAAATGTCAATTGAAACACGATTCTCGAAAGCCGACATGGCTTTCATCCTGCTCTCAGATGAGCAACGACCACATTTGGCACATGGCTTGCTGCGGGGTATTTATTTACAAAGTCGGCCCGTCGAGCTGTCTCTGGGGTGTAATATCCCTGATTCAGGCACGCGCGGGGTTGAGAATGCTATCCACGATCTTGGCAGCCGCAAGACATTGCTCGTCACGAAAACGCGGCGTTATGATCTGCACTGCGCATGGCACTCCATCAACCGCCTCCGGATCGTCTAGTTGACTGTTAGGACATGATTCCTTGCTTGATTGCATTTGCTTGAGAACTTACAGCTTGGGTCGAAGGCTGCCGTCGCCGGTGCACTGTCCGGGTCCAGGCTCGCAGATGCCCTGCCATACGGAATAATACATGCCGGGTACTAAGATGCACGGTCAGCACCTTGGCTTTGCGCAAATAGCCTAATGTTTGGCTGAGCTGCGGGCAGGGCCTTGTGCCCATCAAGGGTACTTACATCAAGCACATTCCAGGCGCAGGTGTATGCCGGGACGCCAAACGTGTCGTGCGGCACGGCCGTTGACTGCGCTCCAGGGCAGAGCACAATGTCGAGGCTGTGCTCGACCCACGCCTGGCGCCAGCTTCCCGCGTACGCGTCTACCGCGGTCGTGAGGGCGCTCAGCACTTCTCCTATATCGGCACTCCGCGGCACGGGCGGCGGTTTCTTCGTGAACGGGTGCACGCCGAGAGCAAGGGACTTGACAAAAGGCTCCTTCATCATCTGCTGGAGCTTCTCTGGCCCGGGATGGCCTGCGCCATAGCTTGCGAAGGCAATCCGGGCACCAAGCCCAATGCTCCGCGACTCGTCTTCAGGGAGACGGATGATGGTGTGGCCTGCCTTCTCAAGTTGAGCAATGGCGCCTTCCCATGCCCTTCGCACTGGGGGGTGGAGCGTATATTCGTTATCCTCCGGCGGAACGCCAATTCGAAGTGGCCGGGTGGTAAAAGCAGGGTCAGCTGTGTTCCATGGCACCCCGAAGCATGACTGGTCGTAGTTCCAGGGATTGCTGTCCAACACTATCCGCATAAAGGCCTCCAGGTCGTCTACGGAGTGCCCAATGGGTCCAGCCGTGGGTAAGACACCACTTGGCAGGTGGAGGCGTGGGAAGGGGGTCAATGCCTGGCCCGCGAATGGCACACGGTTGGCAGTCGGCTTGAAACCGTATGTCCCGCAACAGAGGGAGGGGATCCGGATTGAGCCTGCGATGTCTGTGCCCACGCCCAGAGGTGAGCCCCGGAAGCCTACGAGGGAGCCTTCGCCTCCGGAAGAGCCACCTGCCGTGACGCTCGTCTTGTGCGGGTTCAGTGTGCGACCGAAGATGTTGTTCTCGGAGTCAGCAGTCTGGTGATGCCGGTCGTTAGTGCTCCTCTCTGAACACACAGGGCTTGACACGAGAATAAAGATTCAGTGTACCATCATTGTCTGCGGGATGTTTGTCTTGCAATACAGCACAGCGCCAGCATCTTGCAGGAGGTTGACAAGAGCTGATTGACCTGTCGGAAGCGGCTTGCGGAGAAACTCGACATAGCCGACAGTTGAATACTGTCCATCGACAACGAAGGAGTCCTGTGTACCATGGGTTGCCAAATTAGCGTTACAGGACGAAGCCTCTTTTGCCGTCGTGAAGTCATCATACCTTCAAACTGATAGGGAGTCCATGGAGAGGTCCCTTGACCTTGCCGTGGGTCTTGTAGTGCTCGTCCAGAAGTTTTGCGTCCTGCATGGCTTGCTTGAAAAAGATTTCCGTCAGACATGAAGTCTGTGACCGTCTCGTTAGCTTGTGTTCTGCCTTGACCTGTGCTTGGGGGCGGGTCTAACTAGTTGCTGCGCAATGGCTGCTCGCTTGCAGAAAGCGGTGGTGACCTCGAGTGCGCTGAGCTGCCCAGTAGCCATTTTGGACAGCAAATCGACAGCACTGTACAATTCGGTGATTTCCAACTCTTTCGCCGTGAGGATCTGGGCTTGCTCCGCTGCTCGCGTTGTGATGAGATCAATTCCACTGATCTTGCCATCATCCCCCCCGATGAGCTTCTCGAGGAGTTCCCTGTTGAGGATCCAACCTTCGGGAATATTGGAGCGCTGCAACGCTTGGTGATTGGCGACCAGCTCCTGCCAAGTTGGCTCTGCTTCGGATTGTGATCCCATGCTGTGGTGGCACTCTCACGGAGTGGAGTCCCAAGGAAATTGGGGTGCGGGTGACAAATATTGACAAAATGGAGAACAGAGTGAAATGAAGAGAGAAATGGAGTAAATACAAGTTGAAAAGATCGTGAGAGACCTTTCGAGGATACCGGGCGAGCCCGGGGCTCGCCGTGAGGTGAGGCCGGCAGCAATTGAGCCGCGCAGCCGAGGAGTGGATTCCTGATGATTCGACATGGGAACGTCCGCGCTAGAGGGGCTAATGTCGCTGCGGCACCAAGCCTATAGCGGCAGCTGTAGGCGCTGGCGATCCGGGGTTCCTAATCTGCCCCCGCACTTTACACATGGCTTCCTCGGTGTGAATAGTATCATTGGTATGCCGCGGCTGAAGGGGTCCAAAGCTGCGGCAGATGTCGTCGGGAGAAATACATCGTCCCCGCGATTGTGCTGCTGCGTGAAGGCAGTTTGGAACAGGCCGGCCAGGAAGCTCCAAGCTTCTCCAGCTGGCTCGAAACAACCCGCATCGTGACAGAGCAGTTCACCCCAAGGTTTGCAGTCCAGAGGCACTACCCATCCTCCCCCATCCTCCCAGCCCTGTCAAGTTATTGCTCAACATGGCCAGCGACAATATGGCAGGGAGCAAGGACCCTCAGCACGAACCCTCGCCTGGCGAGCTGGATTCGCAAGGGATTCACGCAATGCGCATGCCGCACCTCAAGCACGTCTACCGCATCGTCTGCCATATGTCAGGCAATAACACAACTATCCCCAACGTGCAAGACACAGATATTACCAGACTCATCCTGCCTATCGCCGGTGGTACCGTATCTGGACCGCAGATAAAAGGCAGCATCGTCCCTAACAGCGGCGCAGACTGGGCACAGCTGGTCGGTGGGGAACAAAAGGTACGGTGCCGTCGTCTAGCGAGTCGTCCTCTGATGCTGCTGGTGGCTTTCTCACTTGAGGGTTGCATGCTAATAATTAATCGCGTAAGCAGCGCTTTGTCTGCCTCGATGCCCGGTATCCTCTGCGAACTGGCGACGGCTTTGATATCCTGGTCAGCGCCAAGGGTATCTACGAGGAAGGTCCCCATTCCCAGGCGCGACAGGCCGGCCCAGTTCCTACTGTTACGCAAGACGACGTCGAGTACTTTACGCATTTAACTTTCGAGGCAGCCGGCCATGGTCCATACAGCTGGATGAACAGGATTGTGGCCATTGGAGTCATGACAATGTTCAAAAGTCGGCCAATCATCGACTGCTATAGGCTGACAAATTTCCCAAGTGTCAACATCGACAAAAGCTAGATAGCTGTACGGCAAATAGCTTGATCTGGAAAGAGAGTACCGGGGCATAATCGGGAAGCATCAATTCTAAGACGACGTGTGATTCCTCGTGCCTCCGTACCTACAAGAGCCTTTTCCGTCCGTTCCATCAACTTGTTGCATATAGAGCTGCTGCGTTTCACAAATATTTGGAGATCACGAAGGTTACGCAGCCATGTGAAATGACCGTACGCACACAGGGGGTAAGCATTCATGATATGATGTTCCAAAAGGTTTATCGAGCTTGGCCCAACGTCTGCATGAAACTACGAACTACATGACGCTTCACGAGCAATCTGTGTTCTTGCCAAAAAAAACCCTTTCTACCAGTAATAACCTTTGCTCGGCCTCCCTCGGCAAGCTACGATCATCAAAGTCCAGTGAGGCCGTGCACAAGCCTCTTCTCGATAATGTGATAGTAGCGAGGAGCAAGGGCAGTGCGTATCCTCTTGCCCCAAATGATCATGGGGATGAAGAGGAGACCAATAAAGAGATTGACGAGAGCGGCGATCACAAACATGTAGACGACTCCCATGTTTGTCAGCCAATCAATTGACGTCAAGGGGATCACAATGCTGATGACGTTGCGCATAAAGGCGATGCCGACGAATGCCTCGGCCACAAGCTAGAAGCGATAGGTGGTCAGTGAAAACGGCCTTGAAGAGGAGCACATAAGAGACTCCAAAAGAACACTCACATCGCGATAGCTATCGATGACAAATGTGAATGCGATGTCGCCTGTAGCCCCTAGACCAGCGGCAAAAAAGGCGCCGCCGACACTGGGGTATATCCAGTGCATGCCCTGCCATGTATAGATGCGTCAGCATGTGAAGATGGATGTAAGGGCAAAGAAACTACTCACCATCCCGGCAGTCACGCCGAACATGGCGAGCCCCCCAGACATGAAGAGGGTAGCAGGGAGCATAATGTACAGGCGCATTTCGGGCTCAAAGGTGCCGCCATTGCGCTTTGCAAAGCGAGCGATAGACCAATCCGAGACTGGACCACCATAGATGGAACCGAAGATATTGCCAACGAAGGGACCGAGACTCATCAGGCCGACACCAGAAGTATCGAAGTTGTAAGGGGGCGCGGAGAAGACAATCGACGTCATGGTAATGACAAGAACTAGCCAGCATACACCAGATGCGAATTGCAGAGCGGTAAAGAGAACGTGGGGGAAAAATATGGCCTTGAAAGGGGCGATAAAGACGCGCAGCAGAGACTCTGAGGTGGTGGTGGTCATGCGCATGCGCTCCTTGTACGAGTTGAGGGGAGGAATGACCTCGCCAACCATGTTCGACTTGGACAAGTGGATCACCTGGTCCTTTGTCTCGTCACTATTCTTGCCGCCGCCTACGTTGGCAGTCGGATCCTCGTTCTCAGCGGGAGCCCCGCTCGTCTCAATACCGGCAGTCGAGCTACTGTGTTGAGCATGCGGGTTGGAAGGAATGTACTTGGTCTCTTCGAAGGTTGCAGTGAATAGGATGAGAAGAACCGTCAGGGCCATGGAGAGGGAATAATATGACCACCGCCACCCTTGGACTGCGGCTTGGGCGCCTCCAGCCATAATTGTCAAGAAGCTGCCCACCATGACGGCAACAAAGTAGAGGCCGTTGGCAGTACCGCGCTGGTGGACGAAGAAGAGATCCGCAATCTGTCGTCGATATGATATCAGCACCCTCTATTGGTTTCTGGGGGAATACGGGGGGTGCGGGTTCTTGTCGACAGCACTCACCGTCATCTGGACGGTCGTCTCGTTGATGGCACCAGACAGTCCGGTGATGAAGTTTGTGATGATCATTTCCGTGTACGTATTCATCCGTGCTGTCCACCAGGAGACTGCAGCCATCAGGGCAATCGAGACCAGATAGACCGAACGACGGCCATACTTGACTGCAAAGGGGATGAAGAAGATGCACCCGGTGGCAAGACCGGCGAGCTGCGTTGAGTTTCCGTTGTTCAATTGCTGCGGCGTCACGTCCAAATCTGGGCCAATCTGCTGCCAAAAGACGGCCTGAATGGTGACGCTGTTGACAAAGAAGTCAGCCATTTCTCAGTGTCCTAACAATGGCATGACGGAGACGGGAGATGCATACAGCGTGAAAGCTGCCACTACCATGGCCATGGTGAGCATGTAGTTCCACCATTTTCGAACAGTGCTCCAGTTCTGTGAAGACAAGAGTTAGTCATCCTCACGCGAAAGACTTCAAACCAGCCAGTGCTCCCCTACCAGGGGCTCATTAGGGTCACTAGACGGTTGTGGAACGAGTACGAGATGCGAGCCGTCAGCCGAGGGGTCGACTGCATTCCTTGTCAGTTGCGGTCCGAGAGACTGTGGCGGGGCCAACTCACACTCCACCAAGGCAACGGTGCCAGGAGGGTTTGAGGCTGTCATTGTGTCTTGGGGACGGTGCACTTTGGCTTTCTGCTCTGTGACTGCAAGGTGAGGTTGTGGTTGCTGGCGTCTGTGATGGGCACGGAGAGAGTATGAGGAGGAGACAGGATTCCAGGATGCGATTGATGGGCGAAAGGCCGGGCTTTAGTAGAGGTCTCGAATAACCCGTCACGGAGTAGCGACGTTGGGGCGAATATGGGGAGAACCTGGGTCCTCGACTGGGAACGATGACAGGATTGCCGTGTGGCGCGCAAAGGCGAGGTGAACTTGCAGCAGGCCCGGCCGTTTTGTGATACTGGGGAGAAGGGGGAGTGGAGGGGACGAGGGAATCACCACGGTGATGATCGCGTACAATGGCCGCCACAGTCCTGCAACGCGCCGCTCAAGGGGGCTATTGAGGAGCGCAACAGGATGAGGCGGCCTGGAACGCCTTGGGCCAGGGCGGGCCTCCATTGTCGAGGTGAGCGCCAGAGGCTTGGTGGACAGGCCACGTTAAGGTTCTGGGCTAGCCTTATCTTGCTGAGCCAGGCCTCGTCGAGACGCGTGTGCACGGCCAGTCACCGACTTAGTCGGCCATGCTTGTTGACGACTGAAAAGCCAGCCAGCGTCGTCATGACTTCGCATGGACTCTCTCGATCAGGATAATGAGCCCTGCGGCTTGAGAGTACTGCGCCTCTTCCGCGTGATACCGGCACAGGGCACCCGGGCGGGAGATAGCCCTGAACACGCTACCCCGGACTCTTGGAGGAGGACCAGACACTTCGGGGACAACCCCAAGCGTCGGCTCAACCAGCTTGATTAGGCTTAGCCAGGCGCCGCAGCTCTGCGACCTCGCTGCCACATCAGCAGGTCTGTGTGTGATCCAAGCGGCATTGGTGCGGGGAAGCCGGTCGTCCCTTTGAATGCTACCACGGCCGAGACTCGCTCCATCTCCGTCTCCAATTATGATAGGTCTTGCGCGCGTGAAGGGGGGCGGAGCTTGTGATCTCGGCGATTCATTGCCTAATAGACAACAATCTCTTTTCACGATTATGGCCCATCCGCGTTCCATTGCCGTCTGGCAGCTTGGGTTTCGCCCTCTGTACACTCTTATCTTCAACTCTCCACGGCTATCCTAAAATATCTGACTCGGCGTAAGCGGACCCTGAAGAATGGGCTCTCCAAGCCCCGCGGCAGGACCTTCTGAATAGAGTAAGGCCCGGCTACCTGCGTGCCCTGATCGCCCGGGGCGACGATATAAATATCGTACTGGTGAGGAGTGCATACTTAGGGATCCAAAATCTAACCAGCATCAACAACACGGACATCCTGTCGCACAACACAAAAGGAACTAGGCAACAATGGCACCGCGCATTCATCCACTCATCTCGCTGAGCGAGACTGAGACGAACCGAGCACGCGATATCGTCCGCAAGGCGCACCTGGGCTCAGTCCTCCACTTCCGCGTCACATTTCTCCAAGAGCCTCCCAAATCAGAACTGTCCAAGTTTCTGGCCCTGGAGCACAGCGGCCGGCTGCACGAGGTCAAGCCAGACAAATGGCCGCGCCGCCTGGCTCGTGTTCACTATGACCAGCTCAGTCCTGGCAGCAAGGTTCCAAAATCTGTCGAGGTGCTCGTCGACCTCGACGCTGGATGCATCGCCTCCACGGAAGACATCCGTGTTGGCGCTCAGCCAGCGTTCACTTTGTACGCATCCTCACATGTTCGCAGATGGATTCTAGCTGACGAGAAACATGTTCCAGACACGAGCTCCAAGACGTTGGCGCAATATGTGAAGTGTCTAAACTCTTCAAGGATCGCGTTGCCAAATTCAACTTGCCAGAAGATTTTGAGCTTGTCGCCGAGCCGTGGCCCTATGGCGGCCTCGATCCGGCAGACGAGCGCGATAGGCGCTTCATGCAGGCGCTCATCTTCGCGGTTAGCACCAAGTCCAAAAACCCCGACTCCAACTTTTACACATATCCTATGCCCATCATCCCTGTAGTGGACTCGGTAACTCGCCAGGTCATTCGTATCCATGAGCTGTCGACTGGCGGTGATGGCGATCCGTACACTCTGCCAGATGGCCACTTCGCTGAGCACAAGCTTCACTACCAGCAGCCCTCCGAGTATGTGCCGGAGCTGCTTTCGACAAGTCACCGTACAGATCTCAAGGAGCTCAACGTGGTTCAACCAGATGGTGCCAGTTTCACCGTCAAGGACGAGAGCCTCGTCGAGTGGCAGAAATGGCGTATGAGGGTCACTTTCAACCCGAGAGAGGGCGCAGTGGTCCACGACGCCCACTTTGACGGCCGCAGCGTGCTCTACCGCCTGTCCTTCAGCGACATGACGGTGCCCTATGCGGATCCCCGCCCCCCTTTCCACCGGAAGCAGGCTTTCGACTTTGGCGACGGTGCTCTGGGTGATGCATGCAACAACCTCCAGCTTGGATGCGACTGTCTGGGCGTCATCAAGGTGAGCACCAGGTGGTGTGTGAAAGATCCCCTGGCACACTGAGACTAATGCACTGGTGGAATGTAGTATTTCGATGGGGTGCTCGTTGGAGCAGATGGCACAGCCAAGAGGTCACCCAACGTCATCTGTCTGCACGAGCAAGACAACGGCATCAATTGGAAGCACACAAACTGGCGGACAGGACGCGCTGTTGTCACGAGGCGACGCGAGCTAGTCCTCCAGTTCATCATAACTCTTGCCAACTACGAGTACATATTTAACGTGAGTCTGCATGAAACCCTTGAGGGCAAAGGTTCCGGGGCGTGGTCAGCTAAACTCTTAGAAACAGTACATCTTCGACCAGGCTGGTGGCATTACGGTCCAAGCTCGTGCGACTGGCATTGTATCCTCTGTGGCCATAGACGAAGGCAAAAAGGCCTCGTGGGGAAACATTGTCTCTCCTGGGGTGCTCGCGCAGAACCATCAGCATATCTTCTGCGTTAGAATAGACCCTGCCATTGATGGACACAACAACACCGTCGTCCAGCAGGAGTCGCTACCTCTGGACTTTGACGAGCACACGAACCCCATGGGCAACGCGTACCGGGTTGCAGAGATTCCCATTACGACAGCCGGCGGATACGATGCAAACGTCGCCACCGGTCGTATCTTCAAAGTGCAAAATTTGGACAAACTGAACCCCGTCAGCGGAAAGCCCGTGGGCTACAAGATCATCCCACCGACCACTCAGCTGCTCCTGGCACACCCGAAGAGCATCCAAGCAAGGAGGGCTCTTTTTGCGCAGAAGAACCTATGGGTCACGAGCTACCGCGACAATGAGCTCTATGCTGGCGGCAGGTACACGCTGCAGTCCGTCGACGAGGTCGACGGCGTGGCCGATGCCGCTGCCCGTCGGGACGATGTCCGACAGAAGGATATTGTCGTCTGGAGTGTCTTTGGTCTTACGCACAACCCGCGTGTTGAGGATTGGCCTGTTATGTGAGTGTTGAACGGCGAAGCACTTCGAGAGTGCCCAAGACTAACCAGGGACACCTGACAGGCCCGTTGAGATTATGCAGCTTCACATCAATCCGTACGACTTCTTCACTAGCAATCCAGCAATCGATGTACCTCCGAGCAAGAACGCAGCATCGAGGAATTTTGGCTCGGGGGATAAGAATGGAAGCTGCTGCAAGGCGCAAGAAGGAGAAATCCAGAACGCCAGTCCCCATGCCAGGTTATAGACATGTGCTCTGCGCAATACAATGGTTGGAAGGAGGAGGTAAGTGTTGTAGCAATACTATTTCAAAAGACAGCGATTTCCACTCCTCGTCGCTGTGCTGCCTTATCAATGTCATGGAAGTCCTGACCCGCGTTCCAAGCCTCATCTAGGAGCTCATACAGTAGGGAGACATGCCGCGGGTGCTCTCCATGAGGTTCGGTGCCATGGTTCCGCATCCTGCTGAGTGGACGGATCCAGTCCCTGTGTTGTTGCAAGGCCGAGACCATGAGGCTTGCTTCCGTCATTGGAAACAATATCGAGTGGCTGATGAGCAGGTCGTGGTACTCGGGTCGTTCCAAACCGTTGAGCAGGGCCTCGAGACAGCTGAGCAGCCGCAGCAAGATGAGTTCGCTGGGCGGCAAGGCGACGCTGCTTGGGGTCTCGGGCTCCACCATATTGCTGATTGGAGAAGAATAGCGGCGGCATCTCCGAAGCCGCAAAAGACCGGCATATTTGACTGCGTCCCAGTGCTGACACGAGACTAGCTCGCCCGGGTCACCTGTCCAGAGCCAGAGATCTTGCTCGACTTGGGCGTCTTGCTGTACCGACGACCGAGCTAGAATGTCGAGCAGAGACCGCGGCAGACCAGAGACAGTCTCATTTCCTTTTAAGCGACCTCCTGTCCAGGTGTCCTGTAATCTTCGAAATCTAGGCCAGAGACCCACACTTGGGGTGGTTCTGCCGACGACGAGAAAGGAGATGTCCATCATCGCAAGGACCTCGAGCTGATGTCGCAGGGCGAAGTCGGTCTCAGGGTCGGGCCGGATAGCATCCAAGCTGCCGCCAAGGTTGTACAAGTCCGTCATGAGCTTGAGATTTCCAGTCCAGGGCTCGCCTTGCACGAGCTGGAGCACCCGCAGACATTGTCAACAGCCTGCTTTGTTGGTGCCTTTGAGATTGCTGGGCGGGGACTGACCTGCAGGGAGCAAAGGAGGAGGCATGCGCACATTGTCGCTGCACAGAGGGCGCCGCGGCTCTGGTGCAACTCCTCGCGAAGTGTCCGGATGGTGTCGCCGATCGCCTGCAGGGCTCGAGGGGACCGGCCCTCGTCCTCCATTGTCTGGAGCGCGGCACCGGCCGTCTTGAGAGCGAGCGAGTCCGCGGACAGATCCCGGAACATGGTCTCGATCCAGGCATCGACCTTGGAAGCATACAGTCTTCGAAGCCCAATCCGCAGGACTGCACATCGCCTACCTGTTAGACCGCGACGCTAGGCAGTCCCCAAGCCGACAGACAGCTTGATAGCTAGAGGGGGCATGAATAAGGCAGGGTGGTGGTACTGACATTTCTCAAAGGCCGGCCCGACTTGGTTGGGCCCGGTCGCTGAAGGCGGAAGGGGGAGGGATGAGACCTGATGGGCGACGGGGACTGTCGCGCCGATGAAGCTGCCTATGCCGCCTTCCTCTTCTGGGGGCGAGAGGCCGCACTGGACGGCCGCTGCGGGCGACTGTGATAGTGAGACGGACAGTGACATTGACTGTGCCGCCTGGTCCTGCTGTTGGTGTTGTCGTCGGGCCGCGGCCGGCTTGGACGTCGGTGGCCTCACGGGCGTCGTGGCCCCGGCCAGGTGGCCGCGAGAGGCGACGGCGTTGCCCCAGCGCAGCTCGAGGCTGTAGCCGCCGCACTCGACGCCGCGCGAGGTGCAGGCCCGGCAGGCAGGCCTCGTCTCGTCGCACTTGCGCTTGCGCTTGCGGCAGGTCGCGCAGCCCGTCCTGGACCGCTCCATCGTCGATGTTGGCCTAGATATCGATATCCTGGCTTGCTTGGCCCTCGAGCTCAAGCGGGTTCGCTTCGGTTCTGTCGCGTGCAGTGGACAGTCTCCACCCCCTCTTCCTTGTGCCCGCCGCCGTGGGTTACGTGACGCTTTGAGAAGGCTAGCCCCAAACTCAAAATCCAGTCAGGGGGTTTCTCCGGGTCTCAGCCGTAACACGCGTAGCACGTGCTGCTGTGGCCTCTCATTGGCTGTAGTGTGCTCTGGCAGCTTATGCCCGACATGTCTACTGACTCGCGGTCTGGCCTCCCCTTGCCAAGACCTTCGTGTGGTTGTGTCACGCTCGATACGGCTGTGTCGGTGGCTGGACCTCCGCTGCCGTTCCACAGCGAGTGCACAATGTCTGTTATTTAGTGCATGTGAGCTTTTGAAACGCCGCACCGCCGACACTTGCTCCAACGGTGACAGCCGACTTCCAACACAGACCCCGGCTTCTCCTTCTCTCCGCGATTGGTCAATACCACATGCTGTTTTGTTTGTTACTGCCTTTGCTGGAAACCTATCGTCATGACTTTGCCCGGCATCGATGCTCACCGTGCCCGCAAGCGCCCATCTGATCACCTCCAGACAGCCATTTTACTGTTACAGCCAAGATCTTGGCCAAGCACATACGCGAGGAACTAAGGCCTCTTCCACCATCATTCCCCGGAGCCTCCCTCCGTTCGATTAATCTGCCGCTGATTATTGCGTCGCGGCTTCCTACGGCCAACTCGTTGAAGGCCCGCACGGCAATGCAAAGATGCCTCACATGGGGATGGAAAATTCGCCGAAAGGAGGACTTTGGTGCTCGGCACTTCCCACACTCAATATTGAAAGCGGTATGCTGCTGGGTTGCTCGCATGTAATCTATGAATGCCCCGAGCTCTCCCCTTGGCCAGTAAATGGAGTCATAGGTCAGTCGTGGATAAGAATCGACGACCAGCGCCCACCTTCAGCATTCACCCCAACAAGCAAAGACATCCTCCCTCTTCATTCCCAACTATCCCTTCCAGATCACAAACGTCTTGCTCAAAGACCATGAAGGTTACTTCTGTCCTTGGCGCCGCACTGGCTACTCAGGGGGCCGCTGCCCACTACTTCTTTGACGTGGTCACCCACAAGGGCTCGACCACGCCCTCTTTCCGCTACATTCGCGACTTCACCCGGCCCACTCGGTACAACCCCATCAAGTTCTCTTCGAATCCGGCCGCCGACATCCGGGACGGCTCATACGCCGATAGACCTGACATCCGGTGCAATCAAGGGGCTTTCTCTAAGGCAGGCAACACGCAAGTCTTGACTGTTAATGCTGGCGACGAGCTCAAGGTGACCTTGGGCGTCGGTGCCACCATGCAGCATCCTGGTGAGTTTTGATGGCAATTGGGGGCCCATATTGTCGTGCAGGAGCATGTGCTGACCCTTGTGAATGACGACTTACAGGTCCCGGTCTTGTCTACATGTCCCGCGCGCCAAATGACAATGTCAAGGCCTACGACGGCTCTGGTGACTGGTTCAAGATCAAGCAGGAGGGCGTGTGCAACAGCGGCGGCGACTTTACCACCAATGCCTGGTGCACCTGGGACCGCAACTACCTGACTGCCGTCATCCCCAAGGACGTCCCCAGCGGCGAGTACCTCGTCCGTTTCGAGCACATTGGCGTGCACCGCTCCCACGTCAACCAGCCTGAGCACTACACCTCTTGTGTGCAAGTCAAGGTTCAGGGCGGCGGCAGCGGCACGCCTGGTCCCCTGGTCAAGTTCCCTGGCGCCTACAAGGCCAGCGATGGCTATGCCAACTTTTCCGTCTACAACGGCCACAAGAGCTTCCCCTTCCCTGGTCCCGCGGTCTGGTCAGGCGGTAGCTCCGGTGGCGGCGGCGGTGGTGGCAACGGCGGCGGCAACACTGGTGGTGGCGGTGGTAGTGGTGGTGGCGGTGGTGGTGGCAGCTGCGCCGCGCTCTACGGGCAGTGTGGTGGTGAGGGTTGGGCCGGTGCCAAGTGCTGTTCAGCCGGTACTTGCAAGGCATCGAACCAGTATTACTCGCAGTGTCTCTAGGATCTAGGATTTTACGAGGGGGGTTGATCGCGTGTAGATATTTTCACTTCTTACAGTCATTACTCTACTGGACTTTTGGCGTGGAATGTGGGGACAACTTCTTGGCTTCCTGCGGACATTTGCGCAAGAGAAGGCTACTCGAACAGGGGTTCGTAGGTTGTTATGATCAAGTGAGAAGGCCATCGGCAGTCGATTCAAGAGTATATGCGGTTCAAGTCGTGACCCATGCATAGTGTATTATAGCACAAAGGTAATTTCACCCTGGCCTAGCACACTACTAAGAGTCGGCTTCTGTCCTCTGGACAACTAAGTTGGAAACAAAACACAAGTGGTGCTTGCCTAGCCCTCTCGTCGCCTGACCCGCCCTTGTCCTTGGCCCGATCATGCAGCCTCGTTTGTGCTGCCTTCCGCGCAAACGAACCCCTGTAGAGTCAGACCGTGACACTCCTCCGTCCTCAGTACCCGCGGCTACTTCCGGCCGAGCTATACGACCGGTCGTGATAATGTGCTGTCAAGAAAAGCTTCTGTCATGCCCCCTTAGCTGCTCCCGCAACCGGATACGTAATCGAGCTTGATTTGACACCCATTCCCAAAATCCACAAACCCGCATACTTCACAGCCTCGATTGCGAATTTCTGCATAGAACTGCTTTAGGACGCCACCTTTGGCTGTGCAGCCATTGCCCTTCACAAAGATACCAGCGCCATAGCCGAAGCCGTTCGCGGAACAGGTTCCACTGTCGTAACTATAATAAATCGTTAGTTCGCACCCGTGGTCAATCCACAAAGATGGTATTTTATCTACTTACCCGCCAGCACGGTATATATAGTCGTCCTGAATGTAATTCCAAGCTTTTTGAAATCGTGGTAACAGACCCTTGCCACACTGGGAGCTTCCCTTGCACGAATAATTGTCGGCATTGGCGAAGCCGCCTGCCGAAAGAACGAGAAGGACCTTGGAAAGCTGCATATTGAGAGATGGGATATTCAGTTGGCTGGCTTGGAGGTGCTGTGAACTGCGTTTGATTGTTCGATGTTGATGAAGCGACATTGTCTGTTTCGCGCCTGGCACAAGCAGTATATATATGAAAGAAGCGCATTCCACTTTGGGCATTCGATAGACAGTATTCCAGTTTAGGCATTCGATAGACCATCCGACTGGAGTCCTACAATTCCCATCCTGTTTAGGAAGTGAATAGACTATCCGAATAGAATCCGACAATAGGCTGTAGGTAAGCCGCCCAATGCTACGTTTTCGAAGGGTAGATAGATCCCGTCCTCTGAGCTGAAATATCTGTGGTACGACTCGTGACATAAGCGGGGATATCAGGGGTACCATTACTGATAAAGGTGGAACTATCAGGGGTGTGAGTTCTGGCATAAGCTGCTGAGATATGCGGGGTATGACTAATGACATGAGCTGAGAGGTCCAGCGGTGGCAGGATAATATCAAGAGGATTAGCAGCCGGAACTTTAGGGTACAGGTGGAAACTATGCTTCGTCTGCTACCAGTACGTTTAGAGGTAGCAATGGTCTCGGAAATAGCTGGTGGGCCAGGAAGGAAAATGAGGTATTTCAAGCCGATGGGGACAGGGTGGCTCAGAGGCCCCAGAACAGTTGCACCAATTAGAAGTCAGGTTGTTGTTGTGGGAAAGCTATGGGCGCGGCTGCGGAAGGGCACAGCCACGGTTCATTGGATTCATTAGGTCCCTACACGATGCTGTGTTCCGTGTCGTCGTGCACCCAGGCGGCTTGATCACAGTAAGCGATCCCGTTGCACTACATGTAGGTGTAGCCCCAAAATGAAGGCAGATCACGAGGCATGATAAGTAGAATAGTCAACTTTCCCCTGCTGGCCGGTCGTACTACAGCCATGATACAGTGCCTTTGGGTCGTCAGTAGCTCTGCGATGTTACTTGCTGTCTTCGAGTCTAGCGTCCAAGAGAACTGATCTTGACGACGCCATCGGCGAGGCCGATGACAACGACGAGCTTCGTTGCATGCGACCATGGCAGGGTTGTGCTCACCGGCATGTAGATGATCTGAACTGCATTCACAAGGGCTCACAACAGAAGCAGCATGTGTGATGGATCTGATGGATACGGCGTGCTGTCTTGCGTTACATCCGCGGAATAATCCGCAGAGGGTGCAGGTAGTGGGCTCCTGTCTGCGGGCGTGATACCACGCTGTCAGCACTTCTTTTTTTGCGCGCACGGACGGCCCCTGCATGGTATCGGACTTGTAGGGCTCAGGTGGAGGCCTCCGAACTGGCAGTCATCTTGGACAACACGACGCGGCGACGCTCTTGTTGGTGATGATATTCGCCAGAAATCTCCATGACAGGCGTCGCTTAGCGTGGCACGAAGCTGTCGCGGCCATGAAGCTCAAGTGGCGCCATGCGAGGACCACGTGAGCTTCGAATTACATGGCGAGACATTTTCGGGAAGCCGGTCTCAGCCAGCGTCATAACAAGTCAGAGAGAGGTGCAGGTTCAGTCATGGTCTGGGAGGGTCCGCCACGACTCGAACACTTCGCTAAGTCCCGCTAGTGGTGGGCGTGGCCATCGCAAATATTTCTTCACTGCTCACCGCAGGCAAACCATCCGCGGCTCTTGAATATTATGAAAAGGCTTGCTGGCTATTCTAGGGGAAACATCGTCTTTCGAAGTTCAGCACATGGTAAGTCGGTACAACGGCGCCAATGGCACTCCGTACCCCTGGTGCAAATATCCTTGCGCACCCCTTCTGGCACGATCTCATGTCTCCTAACATGGCTTCCGATACGCGATCGAGTCTCCATATACCCAGTAGTGGAGGACAAGTTCAGGCGCTCCTTGCTCCTTGTCAACTGACCCTGCTGTGAGTTATTGACGCAGATTGCACTTGTGAGCACCGCCATCTGCATGCACATGGATCTGATTGGTCTGGGCGGGTGTTGAATCGAAGTTTGTACAGCTTCGAACCAATTTTCAATACGACCTAAGAGCGTCCCATTTCAGTCTTGTAGCTTAAAAGTGCGAACCAAAGCTTCCTTAAGAGCATGTCGCAACGATGTGAAGCTGCGCTTGGCCGAGTCCATCCCTTCAGTATCCAATGAAACGCCAGCCGAGATCGATTTGCTGCTGCGTAACACCAGCCTTTTTGGTCATCTGCTGCTGCTCGTGGGTGCCGTCGAGAAGCTTGTTGAGCTTGAGCACGTGGAAGCGGTAGGCAGTCATGATGACGATGATGGCACACATCATGCCAAGCACTAGAAGACCAGTGGTTAGCATCAATGTGCAAGCTTCCTCTGGTCCAGAGGCTGTCTGGCAATTCGTTGCGGGACTTTACTGACAGACTCCGAAAGCGACGTAGAAGTGCGGCGCACTGTACCACAAATAGCTCGAATACAAGTTGGCAAGACCACCGATCGCATTAATCATGGCCACGCCAGCAGCACGCTTGGGGAACGGGCGAGCCATGTGCAGGTTGACGGTCTTGTAGTACATGATCTGAGGAATCGCTGTGAGATTGTTAGTAGAGTTGATCGTAATTGTTTCTGTCTTCGAACCCTCGCGCAAATCCTAGATGTGACTTACTGCATACGGTGGGCATGAACATCATGGTGAAGTATCTAGCACCCGTGTTTGTTGTCGCTGCGGCAACAATGTATACGAGCAAACCCCAGCCGCAATTGGCCATGAGGATGGGATAGATCACGTTCGCTTTCTGCAAGGGCAAGAATCATGTCAGCGAGGTGTTTCGAGGTCAAGATATCGTGAGGGAAGGATCTACTAACGTCGCTGTATGCCATAGTGAACCAGAAGATTATGGCGGCGAGGACGAAAGGGGGCGCGGTTAGCAACAAAGTATTGGTGCTGTTGTAGCCAAGTGTCGAGACGATAGACGGGAACAAATTGTTGGTGCTTCCCACTGACTGCGTGGCAAAGTCTACGGAACGAATTAGTATTGGATATCCGAGGCTTGGTGCTTCAACACTTACTGGCTGCGACCAAGGCCCAGATCTTCCCGTCTTTGAAGGCGAGGGCAAAGCCCTTGCGAGTGGAGACGTCCTCATGAGCCTCACCAACACCTGCCTCAACTTCCAGCCTCCATACTGCGTAGTCGCGTTCCACTGGCTTTAGCAGACGGGCCTTGTGCGGGAATTCGGGCATGATGCAGGCAAAGATGAGACCACATCCGACCGTGGCAGCTCCTTCGCTGTTTGTGCAGGGTCTTGTCAGCCGATGTAACTTCTTGTGCATCGATTAATACAACACTCACACAATGAACAGCCATCTCCAGCCACGGATGCCATGGGCCCCTTCTAGAGTCAGGCAGGCTGCAGCAATGAAGCCACCGAAGGCACTGCCGACCATCTGAAACATAAAGAGTGCGGCGTATCGCTTGCCAATCTCCTTCTTCGTGTACCACGCACTGAGGTAGTACAGGATGCCTGGGAAGAATGCGGCTTCGGTGATACCAAGGAGAATTCTAACACCAAGCATAGCCTCATACGTGTTGACAGCGGCGGTGCAGGTGCTGATGGCGCCCCATACGGTAGCAGCAAGGCAAAGATCTGTTTTCGCCAAAGAGAGCCGGTTAGTCTTTATGCTCGAGGGGTAATAGTTCTAACGTCCAGGCTGTTTATGTGCTGGAGGCGGTAATGCTTTGTCTTAGAACCAACGCCATGGGACTGAGAGGAAGCTTGTTCAAGGAGAGGGGAAATCAATTGGGGAGGAAAGAAAAAGAGAAAATCAATAAGAAATCCTGGAAACTCGCAGGACAAAAAAGCACAACTCACATAATCCAGGCCGTGTGACCTTTGTCATGAGCATGTTCGAAGGGATTTGAAAGGGAATATAACCGACGAAACTTTGATGTGGCTGTGTTAGCTAGGAGGCAGCTCGATCTCGAGCAGAAACAAAACGTACAGGATTGCGATAACAGTGGCGAACTGCTGAGTGTTCATGTTTAGGTCATCCATGATACCGTAGACCTTTGTAGCCGCCAGCGCGTTTCTGTCCACATCTGGAAGCGTGTTTGTCAGCATAGGGTCCTCTCGAGGTTGGTATGAGTACACACACAGTTGAGGATATATAAGACACCCATGATTGGCAAGATAACGGCGTCCATTTTGCGAACCATTTTCTTCTCTAGCTTTTGAAGCTCTTCGGGGCTCATGTCGCGAAAGCTCTCGGGCTTTGGAATAACGTGCTCGCCATTGGTATAATCGGCCACATCTTTATTGAGGTCGGCATCGACGGCAGAGACGTGGGATGGTGTGAGGTCCTCCTTTGGCATGGTCATTTTCGCGAGTGGTGCGACTACGAAGGCATGAGCGAGCAAGCACGAAAGCGGCCCAGCTCGGATATTTAATGCTCAGAACGTGCAATGCTGGGGTCGCAGCTATGTAACTAGGGAGTCATGTTCGTATGGGCCGAGTTTGCGGGCGGGTTCCGATGCCCTGGTTAAGGTGGAGGTTCCCCCCGGGGTAACTTTTGCGGGGGCGTGGAGATGGTGCAGGAGTTGCCCCACGTCCCCATGTGTCAGGCAGTAGCCGAGCCGACGGGAGGGGCCAGTGTGTGTGGGGCGCTGCCCAATCACGACATGTCCCGACGCAACTTGCTGCCAGCATGCCGTCGGCTATAGAGAGGAATGTGCACTCGTCAACAAGGACGAGCGCGGCATGGTTGATCACCCACGAGAAGGGATAGAAATTGACAGTGCCGGCCTGGAGCCTGGTTCAAAAGCGATGCTAGTGTCGGTTCCAGTGCTAGGATCGTCGACCACGCGCCAGACAGTCGGAATGAGGCCTGGTCTAAGCTTGACGCCGCCGCCGGAAGGTTGGCTCAGGGGTGCAGCTGCCCTCAAAAATGAGTACCAGGCGGCACGAGAAGGTGTCAACAATCTGCGACTCTGGCCTGCCTCGGCTAGCTCGGCCTTTAGCGTTGTTTTGATGTTTAGGGCCCTTGCGAGATAGCGACTTGCATCCCTGGGCACTCAACCTCTCAGTCCTTTTGAGGACCGTTGCAACCCTGGGTCCTCGACCTCCGCACTCGTGACTCGCTTGGCTTTCCTATGAGGCAGCCTTGGTTAACGGGATCTGGAACGACTAGGCTAAAGGTGGCATGGCCCTAAGAACTGCTTGGTGATCCGCCAAGCTTTAGTAAAGCTTTAGTGCACTCGCAGACGACCTCTTCTACGCTGAGGGTGATGAGCCACGTAAACACATGCTGGTGTTCTTATACACGAGGCGGATGTCATCAGCGGAGTGAGTTCGTGAGGCACAGGCATGATGAAGTATCAGCGCTGCAGAGCATAATCTCACCGGTCAGGTTCTGAAAGGCCTAATCAATGGTCCCGGAGAGTCGAAAGGGGACCCCGAAGGTTGACCTCACCACAAAAGCATTTGGCAGGCGCTACTGTTGATCAGCACTTTGCAACCCCACATCTGACGGATGACCTCATGGTTAACATTCAATTCTTGTGTGTTTTATCCGACGTCCAGCTAAACCTCTGCTTTCCACTGTCGATCAAGCGCCAGCCTTGACAGATATACTGCAGTAGATGTACACAGTGACTGATAGAGAAATTAGCCGAAATCGAGGCAGAATCTCAGCATGGAGAGCCCTGAATCCCTTAGGCCAGAAGACAGACACTTCACCAAGTCGACTCAAAATGCGATTCCATTGATGCTACCCCAGGGCTGAGCTGGAATGCTTTTCCTATGAGTTCTTGGCCAACCTCGCCTCCTCCTCGCCCAGTGGCGCGCAGACACCGTAGATCCACTCTTGCTTCTCTGCATCCGAGTACTCTGGATACGGCCTTCGGCAATGACACTTCTCTATGGGATATCCCTGAAGCTTGGCGACAACCCATTTGGTCCCGTTGATCCCACCTTTACCAAAGCCCCACTCCATCTGTGCAAGCTTGAGCTGCAGTGCCGACGCGTCCTTGATCTTGCCCTGGTTCCACAGGTCGTAGATCTCGAGGCATACCTTTGGGTAGAGGTTGGCGATACCCGTGATGGTGCCGGTGCCGCCGACGGACATGGCGGGCACGAGCCAGTCACTCTGGCCTGCGAGGGCGCAGAACTGCTGGGGATCAAACTCGGCGGCAATTCGGGCCACCTTGGCTATGCCGCCGCAGGTGAGCTTGACACCGACAATGTTGGGGTGCTTGCCCAGCTTGGACAGCATTTCCGAGTTGACGTCCAGCCCTGCAACGACGCCAGGAAAGTTGTAGATGACGACGGGCACGGGGCTCGCGCTGGCCAGCTCTTCAAAGAAGCTCACAATGGCGGCCTGGTCCATGGCGAAGTGGAAGTAGCTCGGCACGAGCACGAGGGCAAAGTCGGCGCCCGCCTCGGCCGCGAGCTGCGTCTCGGCAATGACTTCGCGCGTGCTCGAGCCGCCGCAGCCAAGTGTTATGGTGATGTCGGGTCGGCCGAGCCGTGTCGCAATGTCTCGCGTTGTGGACACGAGCTTGTGCTTCTCCTCTCGCGTCAAGGTGACCGCCTCGCCGTTTGTGCCGGCCACGACGACTAGAAGGACGAGATAATTTAGCAGACGAGCTGGGGCGAATGTGGCTCCCAAGGATGGGAATCATGCAACTCACTGCCATGAAGCCCGGAATTGACGAGGAACTCAATGTGCTTGGTCTGCACGTCCCAGGCGATCTCCTGGGTCTGGCCGTCGTCAAACCACGTCAAAGACGGGACGTGAACGCCCGGAGGGAACGGACGGCTCCCAGAAGCAGAGACCATGATGTAGGAGTGTTGAGTCAGAGGGGAGTGAGGTGGCAGGATCGCGAGTTTGTCCAGCAACAACAGGGAAGTGTTTTCGAAGCCACGACAGAGATGTGAGGGATGTCGTCTTGTTTTACCTGGACAAGAAAAATTAAAGAAGCTTCTCCGTCTACATGGCGAAACTTGCCATTCCACCTTTGGGGTTCAGTGGCCCTCCGATGTGCGGAGGGACCTGTGTATGCAGGGATAGACTAGTCCTGCCGAGCAACTTGTGGGGGAGTCCGTGGCCACAGCCTGCCTGGCCAGTTGGAGTTACCCCAGTGGGGGCTCGCGTCGGCAATTATCCGATCGGCTGTCGACTGTTGTGTGGAGAAGATCCCCGCACGCACTGAGAGCCGACGATGCGGGCAGACACGGGGTAAGGAGCAGGGGCGGACAAAGAAGACGTGGCCGCCGTATGGGTTGTCGGCCGATGACACCGATGCGGTCAAGCGGCCCATTGTCACCACTACTACAAGTCTGTCTTAAAGAGAAGATAGGATCGTGCAAACGCAGTGGCCTTCGTACGTAGGTGACGACACCTCACGGAAAAGACACATTTCTTTTCAGGCATAGCTTTTCTAGCCGACACGATGCCTTCCAACAAGCCCGTTGTCTTACACCTGGGCGATCCAGTCAAATTCAACACCGACCTCTACACCCAGCTGCAAGAGAAGTTCACAGTCATCCGCCCGTCTGTTGAGGAAAGACAACGCGAACCATTTCTCCAGGCCCTGCGAGACCGGAAATGGGGCGACATTGCGGGTGTCATGAAACCGTTCTGGGGTACCGGAGGTGAGATGGGCCGCTGGGACAAGGAACTCATCCCCCTCCTGCCCGAGTCCTTCAAGGTCTACGCCGCAGCCGGCGCCGGCTTCGACTGGGCCGATGTCGACATTATGGCGGCGCGCGGCATCCTCTACTGCAACGGCGCCTCTGCATCGTCAGAGGCAGTCGCCGATATGGCCCTCTACCACATCATCTCCGTCTTCCGCAATATGCAGTGGAGCAACATGGCAGCGCGGTCCGGCAACGCCGAAACCTTCCTCCACGCCCACCACAACACGCAGGCCGAGGCGCACAATCCTGCTGGTCAGACCTTGGGCATTGTTGGACTTGGCAATATCGGCTACACGATTGCCAAGAAAACCCATGCTGCTTTTGGCATGAAGATTGTCTATTACGACCCTTTTCCCAAGTCTGCCGAGCAGGAGGCTGCAGTTGGGGCAACCCGTTGCTCGACGCTCGATGAAATGCTTGGACAAGCCGATTGTGTCGTGCTGGCTGCTCCAGGACAAGGCGGCAAGAAGATTATTGATCGTGAAGCATTCACAAAGATGAAGAAGGGTTCGCGTTTGGTCAACGTCGCGCGTGGTACGCTTGTGGATGAGGATGCTCTGGTCGAAGCCCTCGAGTCACGACACCTGTTTGCTGTTGGTCTGGACGTGTACGAGAAGGAGCCGACACCGCGCCCGAAATTGCTTGAAAATCGTTATGCGACACTTACGTGCCACACTGCCGGTGGTGCGATGGAGACAATGATGGGTTTCGAGGAGCTATCTATGCGTAACGTCATGGCGGTGTTGTCTGGAGAACAACCATTAACGCCGGTCAACAAGCACATGATGAAATAGTCAATGCTACCTGTATATGATGTCAAAATAGAGCTTGGTCATCTATCAAATTTTCTGGCCTGGCTACTTTCACTAGCCGCACGCAGTCGTTTTACACAATTGCGAAGCTCGAATTGAAAATGGCGTGCATGACCGAACGGATATCGACCCTTGCTTTGGCCGCATCCTGGCGTCGTTGCACCTCTTCCAATACCTGCGCTGTAATGCGGGCATTCCCAGCCACTTTTTCCATTCTCAAGATCTGTGCCTTGATCCAAGCTCGTTCTTCCAGATCTTGTTCTTCGGAGCCTAGCATCAGTAGCGGCCAAAGCATGCTGACTGGCATGGCGTCCTCCTGATCCAAGCCCTCGCCGATGAGCTTGGCCAGGTGTCGAATCCCGTCCACCGCCTCAGCTGCGTCTTTGGTCAGCGGAAATGTCTTGTATGCTACACGATGTAAGTGTACCATGCTGGCATAGTAGTTGGACATATATGTGCGGAATGCTCGTGTCACAACGGTAGCGAGATGGGCCGTGACATAGGGCGCAGTCAGTCGGCCAGCAACGGCATGATCCATAAGGAGAGGCCGCTGCTCATAGAGGGCGTGGAGATCGGCGCTGATGGTCTTCCCGATGTTCATGACCTCTATCTCGTCCTCGACTGAACCTCGCGAGCGGTGCCACGGGTCGATGTTGGAGATGCGGCCCATGAAGCTCTGGACTTTCTGAAAGAAAATGATGCCTGGCTGGTACAGCACCTGGAACAAAACATCCTCCATGTCTCCCTCGGACCCAGTTTGCTCATCATCGGCTGAGGCGCCAGGAGCCATGCTGTCACCAAGGCTGGCTGGTGACGCATGAACCAAAAGTGACTCCGTGTCTTTTGATAGGAACAGTCCCTCACCACCAGCAGACGCCACACGCGCGTCAAGCAGTCGCAGCCACAGCAGCAGTTGCTTTTCGACAGTCACAAGACTTCCGTCTTGGGCCTGCTGGAAGATCTGGTAGGCTCGTTTGAGATGTGCATGTGCTGCTTCGTTCCTCCCTTCAAGTATATCGACATAACTCAGGAAGAAGATTGCAGCGAGGATATTCTCGCGGTGTGCGCTGTGCTGGGAAAGTGGCATGATCCCTGGTTCATTGCTGCCATCAGGTGCAGGCTTATCATTGTCCGGCCTCCCGGCGATGCCCGCTATGACTTCGGCGACAGCATTATCATAATGTGTGTTGTGCTCCGTAGTGAGCCAGTCGCCGTCCCGCTTCCGCAGAAGCTGAGCTGAGAATGACAGGAGTGCCCATCTAACCATTCGCGAGGCACCGGCCATCTTGACCAAGATTCGTCGCATGGCAACCCATTTCTTTGGTGTCTCTATCTCGACCAGGATGGGGGGCGTCACGGTCTGGATGAAGTAGTCGATGAGGCGATGGTTCTCTGCCGGTGGCTGCTGCTCGTTGATGGTAAGTGTCTGCCCAGGATCCGACTCGTTGACAGAGCTGTGGTCGTAAGCCGAGGACGACAGCGGGCTTGTGTGGAATTGTACCTGGTTTTGTTCGGGATTTGGCATCGTGGCAGACAGGTCGTTGGGGACAAAGGTAAGACGGGGACTGACATTTGCAAGCATCTGCTCCTGGCCCGGGTTTGGAAGCACAGGAGGCTGCAGCTGACTCTGCCAGACGTCTCCGCTGTCCCACATGAAGCTTGCATAGTCGAATATCTGATCCATGGCATAGCGGGCTTGCATAGGCACAGTATCCTGGACGGTGTCTTCATTTCCGTCCTCCATCTGGACCGGTGTTTGGGACATCTCTGTCTGGAGCTCTTGATCGGCCCTGGCCTTCGCTTGCGGCCTTTCCTCTGCACCTCTGCCCCTTGCTCCAGGGATGTGGGAAAATGATGCAGTGGTTCGTGAAGATGGTGTCCTGGCCGGCATGCCTCGTCGCTGCCGGCCCGAGCTGGAGGGTGGCGGCCATTTGCATTCCATGTTGAGGCGCTCGCAGTGAGCGCAGCGGGGGCGTGACTCGTCGCACTTGACCTTGCGGCGTCTTGCCCTCTTGTCAGCACTGCACGGAGGGCCTTGGGGCCGCGGACCAGGAGGACGTACTTGCAGGTGAGGCAGCCATCGCGTGATCGGACAGAATGCTGCCCCGACGGCGTCGGGCGGCTTGCGAAGCTCTGCATGGCTATCCATACTACGAGCTCCGGAGTCTTATTCAACGAGCGACCATGAAGACGATCGGCAGAGCGAACATGTTTAACAGTCCTGTATAGCTTCGTTGGGGCCGATTCAAATGTGGTGGAGAGGGACGCTGAAAAGCGAGGATGCCCCGCTTGCAGAAGTCACTTGGGGCACGTGGGACGAGGGACGAGGCGGGCATTAATTCAGCCTCCAGTCTCGAGACGATCCACAATTGTCCCCAGATGATCACGCGTTAATTATTATGTGGCCGCCCAACAACGGACAGTTATACGCCATGTCGAAAGTTCCACGACCTTGAAAAGGACAGCCAAACTTTGACAATAGTGTCACACTGTGTAGGCACACAAGTACTGTATTCTAGACCAAAGGACTCGCGACCCTGCATCCTGCATCCACATCCGGTGTCACGCCACGCCTACGAAGAATTGAGCCGTATGCGTGATACCGGCACCACTTCGATCCGCCCAAGCCTGTCCGCCGATTGTGCTGCTGCGACCAGCACTAACTACCTCTCATTTGCTTAGAAGTCCTACGATGACTCGACGCGGCGGAAGTGAGATTCACAAGGCCTCAAGGACATGCTCCAGCAGCCGTGCAGGCAAGAACTAGATGTGTCATTTTAAGTATTGCAACGGCACCTCACTCATTGGCATTGACAGGACTCACGGCAACTGTACGAACGGTCGTTAGCAGGACACACTACACAGAAATTTGATCCGTAGGGCTCCCAGGAAAAGTACTGTCTTGGCTCAACACCTCCAGAGGATATCGCTCCCACTGGCCACCAGCACCAATGATGCACACGGGAATGCACACAGCACACTCGGCCGGGCCGCGCACCTCAAGCCGGCCGCTGCCGGCCGCTGGTCCTCAAGTGGGAGTTACAGGACGAGCGAGGTGTGTCTCCGCCTTCGCCTACGCCAAGAATTGGGCGGCCATTCCGCGCAACGACATCGGGCCCTAAACGTCATACGCCCCACAACAAGCTTGACGGTTCGGGCAGAGGACTGCAATAGGATAATTACTCATGATGCGTCTGCTTACACGGTCGAGCACGTCCCACCGTGAGTAGAGCCACATATCCGCACGTGAACTCGGCCTTGAAGTCCAGTCTCTTGCATATACACCTCATGCAGGAAGCCTCCTTGCGACGAGCGCCCATACAGTCAAACACCCAACATGCCCTCCGGCGGCTCTCTGGGCACGCTGCGGCCCGTAGCCGTCCTCCACGACCCCGAGCATGTTCACTGCGGCCCAGAGGACCCGGTTCAGGGCTATGTAGAACTCAGCTACATCCCGAGCCGGCACGTGGCGCACGACACGGAGCTCTTTGGCCCGTGCAGGATCTTTCTCACGCTGCGCGGCCGGCTTAAGGTCACGGTCGAGCTGGGCCGCCGCCACGGCACGCAGTCTTTGAGCGACCGTACACGCCGCGCCCGCGTCCCGCTCTTCTCGACGCCCGAGATGCTCGTCCACGACGGCCCTGTACAGCTCAGCGCCAGCCAGCCCAGAAACTACACTTTCTCCCTGTCCTTTCCCGCTGATGCGACGATCCCGGACCATGTTGTCGCCATGTGCGCGCCATGGGATCCCTCCGACGACATGTTCAGCATGGCCCCCCGGCAGCCGCTCCCGCCGAGCATGAACATGCAGCGGGACGAGATCGCGGGGTTTCCGGACCACGTGGGCGTGCAGTACGAGCTCGCGACGCGCCTCGAGATGCCCGGGATCAACGTCGAGTTCAGTTACGACCTGATCGACTCCGGGTTGAACAACAAACTTGCACGGGTTGATGGCGGCGTGTCGGCGTGGCGAGGGACCAAAGTGCTTTACGAGCGGCCGCGCGTGGCCAGGCCAGTGCCGCTCGATTTGAAGCATGGCACGGGCTGGCTGCTCGTCAAGGACCGGGACCTGGTGCACGCTTGTGATGCTGGCGACTCCGCCAATGGGGAAGGAGGAGGAGGATTCCGGGCAAAGGCGTCGGCCCTGCTCAAGGGGTCCCTGGCTTGGCGGCCATTGTGTGTCATCGGATGGCAGATCAGTTGCGCCAAGGATGTCCACAGTGGTCAGCCCCTGCTCGTACAGGTCCGCGTGCAGCCGTCAGAGAGCAAGTCGACTACGCCGGTGATGCCGGCCGTCGAGCTTGTCAAGGTTACCGTGGCAGTGGAGACGCGAGTGCAGGCCAGAGTATTCGCTGAAGCTCGCGGACAGCTCGAGTTCGACAAAAACGAGCCCGGCCCTGAGGAAACTGTCGTCGTCACTTTGGGCAAAACGCAGGCAAAGAAGCCAAGTCCAGCAAACGACAAGGAAGTTGGTGGGAATGCCGACGTGGAAAGGGCAGGTGACAACGGACTATTCAGCGCAGCCAATGACTGGACACAAATGCTGACGTTCCCGACAATCACCAAAGATCTCGGCAGCTCTTTCACGGCGCCCTGTATCCGGCGGACGTACATGTTCAGGGTCAAGAGCCTCGTGCGTATCGCCGGGCTCGACCGCCAGGAGCAGTTCGAGCAGCCATTCACAATCACGGTCCATCCGCCCTTGTCGGGGCATAGTAGTGCTACAGCCAGCACCTCGAGGATGGCGCACGATGGGATCGGTAATCATGCGACTGGAGAGAACAGGGCGGAGACTCTGCCGCAATATGAGCCATAGAGCCTCTGGTACGATCCATGATTTGAGCCTTCTTGCTAGAGATAACTAAGCCTGGAACCTTAGGTTCAGACCTAAGTTCAAGCCCAACATTAGCTAACGTCTAGGGTTATATCAGCCAATTCTAAGTTTCCTCGCTCAATCCCGAACAATCCTTAGCATACAAGCAAGAAGTGGCGATTGTATATAATGAAGTCAGATTAGTTGGTGTGGCAGATGTGCTGGGTCGTTGCCTGCGTATAAGATCTGCTCGATAGGGAAAACCTAGCACTCACATATCGGCGGTCATGTCTCGGCAGCGAATACAGATAGATGCCCGTGGTTTTTCTCCGATCTTCGGAAACTGGTGGGGCCTTGCCGGACCTCGGGGTTCCGTGTCCTACGATCTGCTGTGGGCATCAACGTACCACTTTCAGACGCTAATGAAGAGGAGCTTCAACTGGACTAGAATTGACATCTTGAGCGTTTGAGTTTTGTAATTCGGAAACGATTTGATCAACCAATGCTGCATTCATCTGCATTTTGCTATTGTGCTTGTGCATCCCGTTTCACGTATATGAAGCTGCTTATCAATTGCTTCTTGTTATATATTGCGGCATCATCCATACATCCGTCCTTCCGCCTCTCGACACCAAAACAATGCCAGACTCTACGCCCTTCGCCGACATCGCTCTCAGACCCGAGTCGGTGAGGCAGGCCCGCAAGATAGCCGAGCATATATATCGGACGGATCTCCGCGTGTCCGAGTGGATGAACAGGTTCGCGTCCTCGGATCAGCCCGAGACATACAGGGCCGTCGCAACAACCAAGCCCGAGCCCAGAGACGCCAAGAACACTGGTGGCGACATCCTTCGGCAGGACCAGGAGCGGGATGCGCCGCCGAGAGTCAATCTGTACTTCAAGTGCGAAAATTTACAGCGCACAGGGGCCTTCAAGGCCCGTGGCGCCTTCCACGCGCTGAGCCGGCTGATGGACGCCCTTGGCGCCGATCAGATGCGACACAGAGGAGTGACGACCGTGTCATCGGGCAACCACGCGCAAGGTCTCGCGCTCGCAGCCGCGACATTTGGCGTACCAGCCGTCATCGTGATGCCTCGGACCAGCACGCCTAGCAAGATCCAGGGCGTTGCGCGCATTCTCGAAATCGAGACGGATGGGGAGGTTCTAGCTACGACAGGAGGTATCAAGGGTCCCAAGGGGGAGATTGTCCTGTGTGGCGCCTCCAACGACGACAAGCAAACTGCGGCGGCAGAGATAATCAAGGGACGGGGGTGCATCTTTGTGCCACCTTATGCACACCCAGACATCATAACCGGGCAGGGAACGTGTGCACTGGAGCTGGAGCAGCAGTTCATGGAGCTAAACCCGGGTTCCGATGCAGGCCTGGACATGGTGATAGCTCCAATCGGCGGCGGTGGACTCCTCGGCGGCACAGCGACGTGGTTCAGCGACAAGCCAAACACCAAGGTCTTTGGCGCCGAGCCGTCATTCCAGGGCGCAGACGACGCCAGAAGGGGCCTGAGGCGCGGGTCGCGGGTGAAGAGCGTAGCTTCGTCGACCATCGCCGACGGACTGCGGACGCCTGTTGGACCCATCAATTGGAAAATCGTGAGCGATCCATCCAAGGTTGAGGACGTGTTGGCAGTGGACGAGGACGAAATCAAACTCGCCATGAGGCTCATGTACCAAGGGACGGGCATGCTCGTCGAGCCCAGCGGGTGCGTCCCGCTTGCTGTCGTTCTGTTCAACGCCGACTTCAGGCGGCTGTTGGCCCGCCAGCAGAAGCACGAGGGTAGCCGAGCGTTGAATGTTGCGATAGTGCTGAGCGGCGGCAACACCACCATGGAGACGCTAGATGCCTTGACTTCTGGTTGGAATCTTCCCGGCTGTGGTGGAAGCTCTAGTTCAGGCCGCAGTCCAGTTGAATAGCCCGTTGAGATACTCGTCGGTGACAAGGAGACTAGGGGTTCTGGGCGTGGTTTCGTCCGCGGCATCCATATACCAGGGGCCTCCTATGGAACCAGGGCCGTACTCCAGCAGTCCCATCAAGCTCATGTCCAGCAAGTCGTCCTGTGGTGGCTCGGTGCCGCCGGCTGGGCTGACGACCTGTAGGATACCCTGCCTGATCTCTGTGACGCACGGCCAGACGCCTTCGATGGCCTCCATAGCCCTCAAGAGCTGGCTGAGCGGCTGAGCAATGTCCTTGTCGTCCCACGACGACCTTTCCAAATACCGCTTCAAGAGCACCACGCCCGCCGCCGCCGATAGAGTGTGGACGAAGTCCAGCGGCAGCAACTCGAGGCGGTAGTACTTCTCATAACTTCGAATGAGCCGCATGATTGCGGCGAGCGAGCCATAGCAGACGTCGAGATCCTCGCCGTTCCGCACGCTGTCGTCGTCGATATGCTGGCGAGGTGGTCGGTGCAAGATGATCATGCCCGTATGGAACAGCATGTGCAGATGGAGCACGTAGGGCGGGACCTGGCCAACCGTCCACTGGCTCCAGTGCAGCTTCTGCGGTAGCATGGCCGCCCACTTGGCCAGCGACGTGTGGATGCGCTGCGCCGTCGCCGCGAGCACCTCTGTGTCAGACCGGAGCAGCCGGTACTCAAACACCTCGGTGATCATGCTGTGGAAGATTTTGGCGAGCTCGACTTGGTGGATGAAGCAGAGAACGAGGCATACGCCGTCCTCGAAAGCCGTGGCCGATGTCCCCGGCCTCACGTACTTGTCGAGCAGGCTCTCCCACTCGGGCGGGTAGGGGATCCGAATGGTGTTCTTGACGTCTGCCGCGTGCGGGTAGAGCGCGGGGGGGCGGCCAAAGTACAGGCTAAGCTGCTTGTCGACAACGAAGGCGGCCCAGTAGACCCGGCGCAGCACCTCGCGGTCTATCGACGAGTCTTCCTTGTTCTTCCAATTGTTCGGATCTAGGTGTAGTCCCATCTCGTATGTTAGCCTGCACGCCATGCCGCAGAATAGCCACCCCTTTGACCCGCGGCCCTGGCCTATCTCCATTTGGCCCAGCACGAGCAACGACTGCAACGTGGTAAGCTCTGGGAGTTCGAGAGACTGGTATAGCAGGTGTTCGGCATGCTTGGCGAACAAAGACGACATGGAGGCGTGGGAGGGGTCTTGGGATATCAGTGCGCCCATAGCACAGATGGCATACAGCAGAGTATCCGAGTAGTAGGGCCCCTCGCCTGCAGCGTAGTCTCTCAGGAAGTACTCGCGGTAGATGCACATGTTGTACTCGTAGACGTTCTGAAAAAATATGGCCATGAGGCAACGGCAAACGTCACCATAAGGCTTGTGGGGAAAGACGGCCGAGACCTCCACTGTGCCATTGATGGTGGCCGTAGCCGGCGTACCGAGCTGCGGCAGTGAGTTGCCCGTCCCGGAAGCACGAGGCGCCGTCTCAGACAGTTGTATCTGGAAAAGAGAGGTGCCTCCGTAGAACTGGGATGATTTCCTCGTGCAGAGCTTCCGCATGCGACACTCGCGAGCTCTCGCGCGAACCAGATCACCAGTCGTCGACGACGGTGTTGGCGAGTTGGATGCGACTGATGACGGAGCCCCTTGCATGGGCACCGCGGCAGAGGCCGGGGCTGGCTGTCCACTGAGAGTGACCGTGTCATGGCGGCCGGGCGGGACTGGTTGCTGGGTCTGGCCAACGGAATTGGCGGCGAAGTCGGCCAGAAGCTCGGTCCTGGACGACTCAGTGGACTCGGCCAGCTTCTGAATAAAGGACTGGAGAGATTCAACCTGGGTCTGGAGCGCTTCAACGTGCCGTCTTGCGACCGGCCTAAGACGGCGACGCATCCGGTATGAGATCAGCACACTTCTCTTTGATAGCAAAATTCACATATACGCACCGCTGCCTTTCCCCTCGCGAAGGAGAGGAACAGTGGGCACCAGCCGCAGTGCACTTGGAACATGGTATACGCCTGTCACATTTGATCTACCGAGACGCGCGCCAAGCATGGGGTTAGTCAGATGCGCAGAAGCAGTATGAGGAGCTTGCTGGGGTTGCGCTGTCTGGTGTACCTTGCGCTTGCGACATCTCTCGCATCTGACTTGGTGTTAGCAAGAAGAGACAAGGACTTTGGCTCGCCAGTGAGGGCCCATCCCCTGGCAACCGGGCAACCGGTGGCTGCTTACGATATGCTGGTCAATTCCCCATCTGCCATCGAATATGCCTGCTGCGGCCTGGGGGGCTTCTTCCAAGGGTTGAGTCGAGGCCCGAATGCGAGTAACTGTAGCAAAAGATAGACGTTGAACACGGCAGGCCGGGAGGAGTGTGCGTGCCGTGATAGGAAAGACTCCGTCCGTGATGACCATCCACTCTGACGACCGCGACCGATAAGGCAGGCCCGCAAATCCCTATCAGCTTCTCTCGTAGCCGATGAGTCGCGCCGTCTAAGGGTCGCTCAGCTGGATAAGAGCCCCCACTTGGGGCCACCAATATATCACGCGGTCATACGCCAATCTTGTTCGCTGCACGAGTCGACGGACTCTTGGCTTCCGTCTTATCCATCGCTCTCAGCTGGGGGGCCCCACTGCCGTGTTATCAGCTAATTCATGTCAGGTACCGGCAGACAGGCTAGCTGTTCGACCCCAGAATCCCCAATGGAATGGACTCTCGAAAGAAACTTAGTTTGGTGTCTCGTCGTGGACCCGACCCGGGGATTTGGTTGAGCCTGGGATGAGTCGGCAAGCCCAACGCCTCTCATTACACTATCGCGCCACACCAACACACCTCAGCTTCGAGGTACTCTCCATCTCGGCTCCAGCCCCTGTATAAGACTGTCCAGGGCGCACCTCGTATGGCCCTGCAGGATCTCGTCCCAAACAACGCCTGTGTTGATATTCTAAACTGCTCTAACCTTTCTCTCCTTCACCAAGACTGCGAGTGGCTCGACATTTTATCTTGACCCATCGCCAACCCCAATGGCGACCGACGAGAAGTTCGTGGTTGACCCCGAGCTGGCCGCTGAGGTGCCGGCTGGTGAAACCAAGCTGGGCACCCAGGACGATGCCAATAGCGAGTCCGCGGCCAACGTCGTGGTCGTCGATCCCGCGCTGCAGAAGAGGATCGTGCGCAAGCTTGACATCCGCATGGCACCCCTTTTCTGCGCCCTCTACTTCTTCTCGTACCTGGATCGCAGCAACATCGGCAACGCGGCGGTGGCCGGGCTCAACGACCAGCTCAAGCTGTCGGGCTCGCAGTACAGCACAGCCGTAAGCGTCTTTTTCGCCACGTACGTCCTCAGCATGGTGCCATTGGTGCTGCTGTTGCGCAAGATCAAGACGCACCGCGCCATCACCGTCATGGCTGCCGCCTGGTCCATCGTCACTATCGGCACGGCGTTTGTGCGCTCCTACGAGTCCCTAGTGGCCTGCCGCCTGATCCTCGGCCTTTGCGAGGGCGGCTTCTTCCCCTGCATCAGCTTGTACATCACCATGGTCTACAACCGCGAGGAGCAGGGCATCCGGTTCGCCTACCTCTTCGCCGCCACGGCTTTCTCGGGCATGTTTGGTGGCCTGATCGCGACTGGCATTACCCGCATCGGCCAAGCGGCCGGGCTCCTGCCGTGGAGCTGGCTCTACATCATCGAAGGCATCATCTCCCTGGCGGTCGTCCCGTGGGCTTGGTACGGCTTGCCAGAATACGTGGCAAAGGCCAGGTGGTGGACTCCAGAGGAGAGACAGGCCATGGAGCTCCGCGAGAGCAAGCGCCGCGAGTACATGGGCGAGGAAGAGTTTGATTGGACCCAGGTGCGGTCTGCGCTCAAGGACTGGCGGCTGTACACAGGGTAAGTACCTCCTTCACGACCCTGGCTTTCGAATGACCGACCGAGGTTCCGTTCTGTGACTGACCAAGCTGGCGTGACAGTGCTCTTATCCAGTTTTTCCAGGACATCATCCTGTACGGCTTCAGCACCTTCCTACCCTCCATTCTCCGCAACGGCCTGGGCTACTCGACGCTCGAGGCGCAGTACCTCAGTGTGCCGGTATACTTCCTGGGCGGCGTGGCCTTCTTCGTCGGTGCCAAAATTGGCGACAAGTGGGGGTTCCGTGGCACTACGCTTCTGGTTCTCGACATCTTTGCTGTCGTCGGCTATGCCCTGCTGGCTACAGTCGACAACAACGGCGTCAAGTACATGGCATGCTACCTCATCGCCCTGCCGCTGTACTGCGGCCCAGGCTTCAACGAGACCTGGATTGTCAACAACTTTACGCCCCATTACCGCCGCGCCACCGCTCTTGGTCTCTCGCAAGCCATTGGCAACGTGGCCGGCGTCGTTGCGCCGCAGGTCTACCGCCAGGCCCCTTACATCCTGGGACACTGGAGCTCCTTCTTCTCTGCGGTGGCATGTATCGTTCTCATCAGCGTCCAGCTCGTCTTCTACAGATTCCAAAACCGCAAGAAGGAGCAGATCGCGCGCGGCGAACGGCCTGATGACAGAAAGGGCACCCAGTACGAAGACAATCTGGACTTTAGATATGTTTACTAGTCTATTCTTCCTTTTACGTCTTTCGCCACTGGTCCATTATTTGGCTTTTGATAGGGCGGGGAAATCGTCGTGGAATATGACTTATGGGGCGGTGGCAGAATTTGAGCATATAGATTTGGTAGTAATTTATGGAGTGATTCTTATTTGAAAATTGCCCTTGAACAGAGTCGTTTTGAGCGTATCCTAACATGGGCTTTGAGTAAAAGGTGAATTTGTCCTTGGGGATGCCGGAGTGACTGTCCTAGGGGCGCATGCTTGTCCTCGTTTCTTTGTTATTACAACCTCAATGGGGAAGTATGTATTATTTAGTTGCTACACTTCGGCTGCCAACGTATTGCGTTTTGTATGGCACAGGCAACATGAGACGTCTTACAAGTTCCCACTCTACCATTACTCGCTTCCTTGCAGGAATAGACGAGGATTATACAATATCGAGCGTTCTTTTTTCTCCAGTGGTATTGATTCCAATCTGCCGTGACTCATGTCCTTCATTAAATTTCCTTCTATGGTAGGACATTGTCCTCGAGGCAGTCCAAGACGAGCATGTGGCCTGGGGCGTGCGACATGATGGTGCCGGAAAGGTTCGCACGCATGACGGCCTCCTGCGGTGTGACTCCGCAACCCCAAAAGACGGGCACATTGTCCTCGTCGCGGAAAACGTCACGCAGGGGCCGGCCATCGACGGTCAAAGGGGCGTCGCCCCATTGCGGGGAGCTGATGTCGGCGATGCCGAGGCGGGCAACCGCGTCCCAGCCCCAGGCGATGCACTCGCCGTGCGTCGGGAGGTAGCGGCGGGTGATGGTGCGGATCTTGTCGATGTCGGCAGCGCGGTAGGGCCGCATCGAGACGACGTAGGTGCCGCCGCTGAAAGCGCCGGCCGGGTTGAGGGGGATGTTGGTCCGGTACATGGGCACGTTGCGGCCCATCTGCATGTGGCGCGGCGGCAGGCCCGCGCGGACCAGCGCCGACTCGAAGCTGTAGCTGCAGCCGATGAGGAAGGCGACGTGGTCGTCGGTCCACTGCGCGCTGATGTCGGGCGTCTCGTGCAGCACCAGCCGGCCGTCCTGGTATACGTTGTAGCTGGGGCAGTCGGTCCGCAGGTCCAGCGACCCGGCCACGGCATCGTCGGCCACGCCGCTGAGCAGCGACCGGAGGCTCGCAAAGTCGCCGGTTGTCCGCGACTCGGCAATGAGCGGGCACGGCACTGGGTTGCGTGCGCAGAGGGCACGGAAGTCGTCCGCGTACTTTGATGGCAGCACAATCACGTTTGCCTGCAAGTACGACGGCGCTGCGCCCGATGTCGAACCGAAGAAGCCGTTGGCCCGGCAGGCCTCACGCGTCATGGCCCCCGTCTTCAGCGCCGCCACCTTCAGCGTCGTCGTCTTGCGTGACGGCTCGGTGGCTGTTGTGGTTACCGTTGTTGTCGACATGGTTGTGAACGAGGAGTGGGCGACTGGGAACGGCCAAGGACAGGATAATTGATCCGGTCTACACGGACGCTCGGTTTGATGTTCCAGGAACGATGCGAGTGAGGTTCACGAATTGAAGTCAACGCAACGTTGTGCCGACATGATACACCCCCCTGTGATTGTGGTACAACGAGCAGTCCTCTCCTGCATCTCGCCGGCATCGCCGATATCAGCCATTGTAAGTGCGTTCCGACAAAAGGCCAATGATGTGCCCCCAGCGGTCGGCCGGCCCCATTCAGGGTTTGATGAGAGTGGTCGGAAAACGGGGCCGGGGTGATGGTGGACGGCCTAGCGTAGTCCGTCCTTATCCATCTGCCCCTAGCTATCTATCTCAGCATTTCCAGACTGGGCGTCACTCACAGTGGGCCCGCGGAGTCAAAGCCCCGCGGTGGACGGAGTCTCGGACATCCGTCCCCGTATCCTGTTGCCGCGCCCATACCCGCCCACCACCACTGATATCATCGGCCACTTCAGGGTCCGGTAGGGCTGAGTGCCCGCAGGCGGCATGGTGCTGTTTCTGTCGCTCGACGGGATTGCGTGCAAAGAGGAACGGCAAGCGAGGCGCGTGATCAAATGATTCAGGTGAACTTATTTGTCACGAGCAGAGCATTGCAAATTGTAGGTGGTATATAAGTAGAGCGAGCGGAACGCGACAAAGATTTATCAGGGGAAACATGATGAATAATTGAACATCTGACCGCTTTGGGTAATCTTCCAGAAACCTTTCCCCTCATTATTCATCTGGCCAACCCCCTTGTCCTCATCACCCTTCGCCTTGAAGCTTTTCAGCCTGCGGTCCATCTGCATCCTTGGCCTCGGCTCATCATGGGGGACGCCGCGGCGCCTCAGAGCAACGTCGCTCTAGCTGAAGATGCAACGACTCTGCAAGGTGCGACCAGCCAAGCCATCCAGATCTCGATAGACCGGGGTGGCACCTTTACAGACATCCATGCGTCAGTGCCTGGACGCGACGACATCGTCCTCAAGGTGCTCTCGGTGGACCCGGCTAATTACAGCGATGCACCGACAGAGGGCATCCGGCGAGTGTTGGAGCTGGTGACGGGGCAGCCGCACCCACGGGGAGTACCTCTGGACACGGCGTCGATCGAACGCATTCGCATGGGCACAACGGTCGGCACCAACGCCCTGCTGGAGCGCAAGGGGGCGCGGTCCGCCCTTCTCATCACCAAGGGCTTCAAGGACCTGCTGCGCATCGGCACCCAGTCGCGCCCCCGCATCTTTGACTTGACGGTGGCCAGGCCCGATCTGCTGTACCAGGCCGTGGTCGAGGTGGACGAGCGCGTGACGCTCGACGACTACACTGAGAATCCCAACCCGCGTGAGGCAAGTATGTCCAATGACGACAGCCAGCTTCGTGTGGGCCTCACGGGCGAGGTCGTCAGGGTTCTGCGTGAGCCGGACATGGCCGTGGTGCGTGACTTGCTCGAGGGGCTCTGGCAACAGGGCTTCCGGTCGCTCTCCGTCGTGCTGATGCACTCATACGTCTACCCTGAGCACGAGCGGCGTGTGGGAGCACTGGCAGCGCAGATGGGCTTCTCCGTCGTCGAGTCCGCAGCGCTGCAGCCCATGATCAAAGCAGTGCCGCGCGGCATGTCGGCGACAGCTGACGCCTACCTGACGCCTATAATAAAGCAGTACATTGACTCCATCTCGAGCAATTTCCGCGGTGGACTGGCGGCCCCGGGCTTGCGCTGCGAGTTCATGCAATCGGACGGTGGCTTGGTCGACTTCCGCGGCTTCAGCGGCCTCAAGAGTATCCTGTCCGGCCCTGCTGGCGGTGTTGTCGGCTATGCGCAAACCTCATGGGACAATGAGCAGCGCAAGCCGGTCATCGGCTTCGACATGGGCGGCACCTCGACCGATGTGTCGCGCTTCGCCGGCACGTATGAGCATGTCTTCGAGACAGTCACGGCTGGCATCTCGATACAGTCGCCACAACTTGACATCATCACGTAAGTCGGCTGCCTGAGCATTAGCCCCCTTTTTCTGGGTTAGTCACTCACTCATTGTTCGCCAGGGTCGCTGCTGGAGGTGGTTCGATGCTGTTTTGGCGTAACGGACTCTTTGCCGTCGGTCCCGAGTCGGCCGGAGCGCACCCAGGTCCCGCCTGCTACCGCAAAGGCGGTCCTCTGACCATTACCGACGCCAATGTCTTCCTGGGCCGCGTTGTGCCCGAATACTTCCCCAAGATCTTTGGTCCCAACGAAGACGAGCCCCTCGACACCCAGGTCGTCGCCGACAAGTTCGCGCAGTTGACGGCCGAAATCAACGCCGACAACCAGGCGGCCGGCCGCAACGAACTCACCGCTGAGCAAGTCGCGCTTGGATTCCTCCGAGTAGCATCCGAGGTCATGGCACGACCCATCCGCGCGCTCACCGAGGCGCGAGGCTTCGATGCGTCCGACCACATTCTGTCGTGCTTTGGCGGCGCCGGTGGCCAGCACGCCTGCGACGTGGCTCAGGCACTGTCCATCTCCCAGGTCGTCATCCACAAGTACTCATCTATCCTGTCGGCCTACGGCCTTGCCCTAGCCGATCTGGTACACGAGACGCAGCGGCCGGCCGCAATCACCTTCACAGCGAACAACTACGACGAGATCACCAAGGTCCTTTCCGAGTTGTCGGCTGCTGCGTCAGACCATCTGGTGGGTCAGAAGGTGGACAGGGAGCTCATCCGGCTGGAGTTGTACCTTAACATGCGGTACGAGGGCTCCAACTCGTCCTTTATGGTTATGCAAGAGTCAGGTGAAGAAATTGGCAGCTTCCAGAGGTCTTTCGAGGAACGGCATCTGCGTGAATTTGGCTTCGTCTTCCCCGGCAAGAAGATCCTGATCGACGACTTCCGCGTACGTGCCATCGGCTCCACTGCTAGTAGCGCTGGGAGCTCGCCGTACCAGCAGCGGAAGCACGTCGCCAACAAGGTTGTTACTCTTCCAACCCCCGAGATGATCACCAAGGTGTGCTTCGAGGCCCAACTGAAGCGTGTCGACACTCCTATCTACCTGATGGCCAAGCTGGAGCCAGGCTCGACGATACCTGGTCCCGCGCTTGTCCTTGACAACACACAGACCCTCTTGGTAGTGCCTGGCACGGTGGCGACCATCTTGGAGAGTAGCGTAATGATTGATCTGGAGGATGAGCAGCAGAGCGCTCAAGTCGAGCAGGCAGGAGTCCAGACTTCTGAGGATGAGGTGAACCCCATCAAGTTGTCTATTTTCAGCCACAGGTATGTGTCTTGTTCCCGCCAAGTCGGCGATTACACCATTCGCGTCCGCGTTGGAAACTAATCGAGACCCCGTGCTGGGACGTAGATTCATGTCCATTGCCGAGCAGATGGGCCGCACCCTGCAGAAGACGGCAGTCTCAACAAACATCAAGGAGCGTCTCGACTTCTCGTGTGCCCTGTTCTCGCCCGATGGCGGCCTCGTTGCCAACGCACCTCACGTTCCTGTGCATTTAGGCAGCATGCAGTTCTGCGTGCGGCACATGCACGAGATGTGGAAGGGCAGACTGTTCGACGGCGATGTGCTCGTCTCCAACCACCCAGAGAGCGGCGGCACACATCTGCCGGACATTACCGTCGTCACGCCCGTGTTTGATGATAGTGGCAAAGATATTGTCTTTTATGTGGCGTCGCGTGGCCACCACGCCGACATTGGAGGCAGCCTGCCTGGATCGATGCCGCCTGACTCTAAATGGCTGTATGAAGAAGGTGCCGCCATCCTTGGCGAGAAGCTCGTGAGCAACGGCTGCTTCAACGAGGACAGGATAATCGAGCTGCTGGTACATGAGCCGGCCAAGCATCCGGGCATATCGGGCACGCGAGGGCTGGCAGACAACCTGTCGGATCTCAAGGCGCAGGTGGCGGCCAACCAGCAAGGAATCAACCTGATCCGGGCGCTGATTCAGGAGCATGGCATGGAGCAAGTACACCGCTACATGTTTGCGATCCAAGATAACGCAGAGCAAGCAGTGAGAGCGCTGCTTCGGAGGATGAAGGCAAAGCATGAGGCCGGGGGTTCAACAGCGGACGCCCCGCCGCCCTTACGAGCTGTTGACTACATGGACGATGGCACACCCATCGCCCTAGCGGTCAGCATTGACAGTGAGAAGGGATCGGCTGTGTTTGACTTTACCGGCACGGGTCCGCAGGTATACGGCAACACCAACGCGCCCATGGCCATCACGCACTCTGCCATCATCTACTGCCTGCGGGCGTTGGTTGCGTCCGACATCCCCCTCAACCAGGGCTGTCTGAAACCAATCGAGGTGCGAGTGCCGCCACGCTCGATTCTTGCGCCGGCGGCGGGGGCGTCTGTTGTCGGCGGCAACGTACTCACGTCACAACGCATCACCGACGTGGTCCTGACAGCCTTTGGCGCCTGCGCCGACAGCTCAGGCTGCATGAACAACCTCACATTCGGCATCGGGGGCAAGAAGCAAGGGGCCGACGGCCAAGAGACGCTCGAGAAGGGCTTTGGCTGCTACGAGACCATTGGCGGCGGCGCGGGTGCCGGTCCAAGCTGGGACGGAACAAGTGGCGTGCACACACACATGACCAACACGCGCATCACGGACCCCGAGGTGCTCGAGAAGCGGTACCCAGTCCTGCTGCACGAGTTCAGCATCCGTCCCGAATCAGGTGGCACCGGCGCACGGCCTGGTGGCAACGGCATTGTGCGCGACATTGAGTTCACTGTTCCGGGCGTACAGGTCTCCATTCTCTCTGAACGCCGCGCACGCGCACCCAAGGGAGCTGCTGGGGGTGGTGATGGTGCTCCAGGGAGGAATCTGTGGGTTCGCAAGGCGGATGGTCTGGTCGTCAACATGGGCGGCAAGGCCACTGCGACTTTTGCGTGCGGCGACCGGATCGTCATCCAGACTCCTGGTGGTGGTGCCTGGGGTGCAAAAGCAATCTAGGTCATGAGGCTCCATCGCCCACATTACATATATTCCAATACCCCGTACTCGAGGACTTCACTAGGCGCATAAATGTTGAGATTAAAGAGATCCCCTCTATTAGCCACAAGAAAGTAGGGTCAACTGCGAGATAGTTGGCCATATCTATGGTTGCTTTCCTGTAATATCAAGCCAGTTACTGCCCGTCCGGAGTCCATCCTGACTGGGACAGTTTCAGAGCGGCTTTAGTAGCATCATCCAGGCTTTCCTTTGGCAGGTCAAGAACATCGTTGTGCAGCTTGTGTTCGTAGACTGCTTCGCTTCCTGGGTAGTGCAAGCGAGCGTAGTACACCTTGGCCATGCCACGTAGGTTGCCTTTGGAGAACTGCTCCCTGCCGACAGCAACGCGCTCAGAGGTGGACTCGTGCGTGATATCCCAGTCGACGTCAGTGGTGTTGGTGGCACGCTCGACGCTGTCAAGTATCTCGCGCTGGTTGACCAGGAAACTCGACACGTACAAAGGCTTGTTCCGAAAATGCTCCAGTGTCGTGGAGGCGACGTCTTGTTCGTCCTCAGGAACCTTCTTCAGGCTCAGAAGAGCAGCTACGGCCCGCCCCAGCTGTGGCCACGTGCTCATGTTAATCCGGCGCTGGCCATCGTCAAACATTTGCACCTTGCGTCCCCTCAGGTCGAAGCCCAGCCAGTCTGGGGGGCTTGCCACGCTGAACTCGTACCAGAGTCCCGTAACAAGCAACGTCCATGAGATTGATCCGACCGCGTCGATATCCTCCAGCAACTTCCGAATGAAGGTGCCCACGCCGATCTCGTCCCCGACGGACTGATGGTCTAACACAACATCAGTTGTATACGCGTTTGGGATGAGGTGCGGTACTCCAGCCTTGACTGCAGCTCGTACGATTTTGCCGTGCGTCTCGCCCATATCCGGCGTGAAGGCGAGCGAAATGATCAGGAAGTCGTGGCCCCTCAAAGCCGATATGAGCGACGTTTCGTCACCATAGTCGACCGGCGCCACCTTTACTTCGGCGGGAAAAGTGGCATTGCCGCCCTTGCGAGTCAATGCAGTGACCGAGTGCTTTCCTGTTTTGAGGAGATGCTCTGTGATGTGTCGCCCCAATTGGCCACTCGCCTGCTCAACGTCAGCGGCCATAGAAGAAAAAGATATGTTGCGGCATACTGCGTTTTCAAAGAACGTAACATACCCCGACGACGGCTACGCTCTCGACGTGATTGACGAAGCCATGATGCTGATCTTTTGCGTATTTGGGTGCCATTGTGTGTGTTATCTGCTGATCTGTAGTATGGGATGAGCTCAGATTAAGCCATGCAGTTTATCAAATTGCAAGGACTTGGGCTCTATTTGTGTGAAGGACAGGACCGTATAGACGCAGGCTTGTGGGGTCGCAGGCCAAAGTGACCACGCCGGAGCGGAGTTCCGATCTCCGGATTGGTTTCTAAGACTGACAATAGACCCATTCGTATGGCTTATGCCATTTTGCCTAATCACTGGATGAAGCGCAGAAATCGCGGAGTCCGAGAGCGTCAGATTATTCGAGAGATTAATCAGCTCATTATCAAGCGGAGTTTGCTTGTTAACAAGAACAGCCGCTCATTACCAAACAGCCACAATGTCTAAGAGGGCCTCTGATGGGACTGCATTGTACAAAAGGGCGCAGCTTCGTTGATCGAAAACCCCAACCTCAGTCCTAGCATCGATCCCACATTGCTCACCAAATCCGAACTCCTTCTTTCTTCCTTGCTCTACCACCTGCTTCGTTCACACTCGACAAGGACCAGCAGAAATCTAAAAGTCAAGTCGACATGAGTGACCTCGTCCTTCCAAAATGGACATCGTTCACCAAAGGCTGGCATAACGGCCCCTACGAGACAATCTCTATGCATCGCCCAGAACTATCCATGGCCGGTAAGAATATCCTGGTCACGGGAGGGGGGACAGGCATTGGCAAAGCAACTGCAATCGCATTTGCTCAAGCGGGAGCAAAGAGCGTTGCCATTCTCGGACGGCGGCTGGACAGGTTACAAACCAGCAAGCTAGCCATCGAGCAGGCAGCCATTGGAGATACCCATGTCTTACACGAGATCGCCGACGTCGCTGTCCCGGAACAGGTGGAGAAGGCGTTTGCGAACATCGTCAAAAAGGTCGGCAAGATTGATGTCCTGGTCAACAATGCAGGGGCCATCTGCCCTCCCGGACCCGTGGCTGCCGCTCCCATCGGTGATCTGAGCAAGGTCCTCGAGACGAACGTGCTGACGACATTCAACGCCGTGAGGGCATTCTTGTCTCACGCCGGGCCGAAGCCTGTTATTATCAACATCACGGCTGTTCTGGTCCACATTCAGCCGATGCCCCTCATGGGGTTGTACGCGGCGGCGAAGGCGGCACAGACAAAGATCGTCGATTACATTGGGGCCGAGAACCCTCATGTACACATTGTACATCTGCATCCGGGCATGGTCACCACTGAAATCGGAGGGCCTAATTCAGATGTCAAAGGCCAGGACGAAGGTATGACGCCACACTTCGTTAGCGGCTGAGCCGCATCGCCTTCCCCCTTGTCATCCTCCACTTTTGGTTGAGGCCGTGAGACGCTAACATTGAGATAAAGCGGAGCTGCCTGCCCAGTCCGCCGTCTGGCTCGCGTCCGAGGAAGCCGCTTTTCTGAAAGGAAAGGTTGTTTGGGCCAACTGGGACTTTGAAGAATTGAAGACTAGGGCGCACGAGATCAAAGAGTCTCAGCTGCTGACCATTGGTTTGGAAGGCGTACCCATGTAAGACTCTTAGTGTAGATCAAGCGACAGTTTGGCGGGAGGGGAAAGCGGGGCAGAAGACTGGGCGATTTTGTCATCCGGACTCCGAACTCCGGGAGCCCGCCTGAGCAACGACGCCCTGTCACTGGCCCCTATTTGTAATCAGTTATCGCTTGGTAACAAGCAGCAAAAGAGCAGCAAAGCTGGCTTGGCTACGTTTCAGTCCCATGCCAACGCGAAGCAGAAATCAATTACCATTGATTGTACGCGATTGCACGTAGCATACGCCCAACGTCCCGTCCGTTTGAGGAGGCCGCTTCTTCTTTCTTTCTGGCGACAAATAGCGATGAACCGCCCTACACACCATGAGAGGCTTGGGCGAAGAAAGGTTGGGTTTCTGATCCACCCCACGCGTTTGGCAAGCAACTCACAAAGACGTAGGCGTGTGATCTTTGCTGTAAAAAAAAGGTCCGGTGTGACGCGAAAATCCCGAAATGCTCGACCTGCCTCCTGCGTCAAACTGACTGTACCTGGACCCTGGATGTTGTCGCCCCAAAGGTGGCTCACCGGGCAGAACTGTAAGCTGCGAACTGTGAAATCGATGGCTCGGCCATGAATCTTGTCGTGATTACTGACGGGCGGACATAGCTCTCATCAAATCCGCTTCAGTGAGATTGAGAGCCGGCTTGCCGCCATAGAGGCTCGATTTCACTCTGCAGAGACTGGAGAGCGGTCGCGATGGCCGGAATGGGCTGGATCAGGCCCAGTATCCGAGCAACTATCGTCTCTCGACCCTCCCGGCAAAACATGGATAGGCGGTGCATCGTTCCCATTATCCCAGCCGCTGGGGGGTACGAGCAGCGCATTCGATCTCCCCCCTTCGAATCAGGTTTTCGCCCTAGTGGCCAAATACTTCCGCGGTCCGAACCAGGCCATTCCCCTCTTTGACCAGCCAAGCTTCATGCAGATGTTGCAGGACTGGTACCAGCAACCATCAACGCGAGATTCGGCTTCATGGGCATCCATCAATGTGGTTCTAGCCTTGTCCGCCCACCATGACAGACTCCCTGGAAATGAGAAACTTGCTCAAGAATGTTTGAACAAGGCTCAGTCGGTGCTGAACATTCTAGTCTCCAGGGAGGAGGATCTCAAGGGGATCCAGGTCCTATTGGGCCTGGTCACACTTTTCCTCGGCAGTCCACATCCACAGCCGACCTGCGTTTTGATTGCAACCGCAGTGAAGCTCGCCCATAGGCTTCGACTTCATGCCAGAGATAGTCGCAGGCCGGCAAACGGCGAGGTATCCCTACAAATGGACCGCTTATTCTGGATTACATATGTTCTCGATAGAGACATTTGTCTACGAGCTGTCGAGCCCTATGCCCAACAGGAGGACGACTTCGACGTTCAGCAACCCGGATTAACGGCTCCTGATGATGGGGCCGGGATGTTGAAAATCAATGACATCAGGTTCAATTACTTTCACCTTCGCGTCCAGCTGGCGCAGATCCAGGGTCTTACTTATCGCATGATATTTTCCGTGAAGGCCGAGAAGCTACCCGCTGACCAAAGACAGGCTGCCGCTGAGTATATCGATGGTCTACTGCACTCTTGGCAGGCTTCCATCCCAGCCCAACTTCTCCCCGAACATATCCTTGCAGCACAAAAGGAGCCTTCAGACGCTCACATGCACCTCATCTGCTTACACCTCGACGCATACCATGTCCTTTTCACGGCTCATCGGATCCATGCTCGTGATTCCGACTGGATTCACCGCTTGACCACCTTTAGTGATCGATTCGCCACCTCTACCGAGCGTAACGTTACCACAATCGCGCACACTCCAGATTCAACAAACTCTTCTTTCATGTTATTCCCGCCAAATTGGACATATTTCGTGGAGGTCGCGAGGCTTTGTATAAGGCTGATTAGAATGATCGAGTGGAACAACAACTCGAGATTTTGGACCGCCATATGCATTCACCAGACAGCCCTCATCATCCTTATCGCAAACAATTTGACAGTTGAGGAGTCTAATGTGCACGACCAAATCAACGCTGATGCTCAGCTCATCAGCGATGCAATGCAGTACTCCCAAGACGCCATGACACTCCAAAGCGACAATGAGTCTGTAGCCATGTTGGCTGAGCTTCACGGTGCTTGCTTGAAGTTGCACAAGCGTGCCTTGAAAGCCATCCAACGGCTTCAGACGAGGGTCTAGGTCGACGGAAGGGATACTCTCACTATGGTATTGTAGGCCCAAGTAGCGCATTCGCGTCATAGATAGCTTCACTTCGAGATCACCACCTGGTGGAGAGGGTGTTCAGTAGTTGTTGGAAGGCAGAAGGAGCTGCAGCTCCGTAAAAACTAGAATGATCCATGCTATAACGTTCTGAGAGTTTGTGTGTAGGTAGTCTTACATGTCGTCGAACAACTTGAGCTCTAATGCTTGCCAGGCAGACAGGCTTGTGTCGTTCATAGGGAGCGCGTTGCATTCTTCGACGCCTATCTCGACTGTTGTGTAACTGTGGGCGAGACGGCGATGCAAGCTCATCCGTGTTGCCGCGGAGCTGTTCTAAGCCGATGCGCTTAAGCGTTTCTATGCTCGTAGATACCAGTTTCTACACTTCGCCAAGGTTCTGGTTGTCGAGGCAGATTGATCGGCAGCTTTGCAGCCGTGCAGAGATCTCCGGCGCATCGCGGGTCAGAACGATAGAGCGAACAGACGAGTCTCCATTTTGAAGCAGGTTAACGAAATATTCTAGCGTGTTCTGCTGGCTGCCTTCGACACGCATCGAGGTTCACGATGAAGTTGGTGTTGGATCTTGGTTGCCGATGTGCCCATAGGATTCCATTCCTATGCCTTCATTCGATAATTGATCTACTTCCCTTTTGGGTTGATTTGTCTAGGGCATCCACTACGCAGAGCACGAGAAGCCTGTGACTTTCAAGAATTCAGGCAGAGTACATAAGCCCTCTTTTCGCACACGTGCTGCTTTAGATTGTGGACGGACCAGAAAGCTCTATTGGCAAACTCGATATGCTTCCCACAACCCGAGAAGCAATCAACCGAGTGGAGCCCCGAGCCAGCACTGGTAGTCAATGACTGTGGTAATGGCCGCAGTGCTCAAGGCCGGCGGTGGCAACTTTCCCTGGACCCCTCCTACCCCCGATTACCAAAGCAGGGCATGCCGAAAGATATGGACGCAATATTCGTTATAACTCTGGCCGAGATTGCCGCCTTGTTCGAGCACCTGATGCCGGTCGCCGTGCTGGACCAGAACTTGATCCGTTCCTTGCCAGCAGTCTCGGAATTCCTCTGCACGACGATCCAGCCACATAAAATGGCCTTCAAGATCCACTGGCAAGGCTAAGAGCGTGGTTCTGGAACACCCAAACATCCGGACCGCCTCTGACGCCCACGGCGAGTCGTTGCATATTGAAGCGACCTCGCGTGTGCTGCAATTTGCAGCAACTACACGTTCGACATGACCATCCGGGATTGATGGGCAATGCTGGGCCTAGATGGCTGCATTTGTAACCCTGCCAACGAGGAGACAATGAGAGACTTTGCGGGTGCCGTCAGGCGGATAAAAGCCAAGTGGATGTGCTTGACGCCGACAGTGGCCATCCTCATCAAACCCAGTCGACGTCCCCACCATCAAGGCACCGGCGCGGGCGAGAGAATCCGTGACAAGGGACAAAGTCAACCAATGGGCCGATAGGGTCATGCTAGGCATCTACTGGGGTCCGGCCGAAGCGTCTATCTACACCTCTTGCCGTGCGGCGGCCCAGACTGAGAAACCACCACCCCAACATCGGAAAGTGCCTGGCAGCCCAGTTGTGCGTGACACAGCGTGATGATATCAATGTCCTGGTGCCCATTAGGTGTGTCGGTGAGGCTTGCATTGAAGACCGGCCACTGGCACACGATTACTGTACTCTTGCCCGCATGAAGCACAAGTGTCTCGCTTTCTTTCTTGAGCAAGTGTGACGACGTATTATACAGCGCTCTTAGGCATGCATAATCTTACTGCCCGAGCTGGATAACAATGTGCCATGCCATATGTTCCTCACCATCCTGGACTTGCTTGGGCTAAAAGCACCGCTACACCTGGTCACACGCTGAGCCGAGTGCAGATCTCGCAAGACGTTATGTGTTTATGTCCGGACAATGATCTGACATGCAGGTTGGAATTATGTTCCATCAATGACTGAGAAGACGGCGAGTTTCATTTCCAAGTGTATGGCAACTCGCTTTGAGAATCAAAACAGAGCGTATAGGTCTTCTATTAGTGATGCGGTACATACATGATGACCCTCGCTTACAAATTAACAGTATTGGAAGCTTCAGTGATGTGTTTCAATTTAAGGTAGTGGAGGCCTTGATCTCCGGCGTCAGCATTTGCAAACCGCAGTTGGCACGACGCCCCCTGCAAATTGGGGTTTTTACTAACAATTAATGCTGCAGTTGAAAGAAACCGCACCTATACGTGGGGCTTTCTAGCTTGCTGTCCAATGTTGCTCTTGAAATTCTTTATCGATTATCAATTACAGCCAGTGAACGGGGTACTCCACAAGTCGAGAGATTAGCGGCTTGGCGCACCCCGTGCATCTTCAAGTTCCAAATGATGGGTATCTAGAATTGCCTGCCAACGCTGCCCTGCTCCGTAGTTTCGTAAAGCCAGACCAGGAGCCGTGCTCCTCGTTGGTCCGACGGTGCCATGTCCGGCGACGCCGGGAGTCGCGACAACATCTGCCTGGTATTGGTCATCAAATGGATGACCAATTGCTCCCTTCGCAAGATATAGATATCCAGGCTATCCCCTCTGTTTTCTGGAACTCCTCTTTGTGTAGCTTAATCAATCAGTCATCTGCTATTGTTGATAACATCAATCGAGACTTCGCGCCCAATCACACACTCATACGCCTCCTCTCCATCCGGGAATTCTGTGAGGTTCGAGGCTGTGTACACGTCTGCTTCACTAGTGATTTCGTGACCGAAATCAGCCTCCTTGACACCTCGATCAACGGCAACGGTCTGATAACGCGTACTAGGGCATACCTAGAATCATCAAAGAAGTAGCACAGCTATGAGCACACTCATGATCTATGGAGCCGCCGGCTACACCGGTGGCATGGTGGCGGAGCATGCTGCGTCGGCAGGGCTGAACCTCGTCCTTGCGGGGCGGGAGAAAGACCGGGTGAAGCTCGAAGCGCTGGCCGACCGCATGGGTGCAGTTGTGAAGCTGTTTCCTCTCGACGAGCCCGGTGCCATCGTGGCCAACCTTGCGGGCATCTCCGTTCTCCTGAATGCAGCCGGGCCCTTCGCGAACACGGCCGAGCCGCTCATGTCCGCTGCGATCCGTGCCGGCGTCCACTATCTCGACTTTTCCGCCGAACTTGACACGTACCACGGAGCCCTGGCGCTCGACGCCCAGGCACGAGCGGCTGGTGTCATGCTTTTGCCCGGCAGCGGCGGAAGTGTCGCAATGCTCGGAAGTCTTGCCGGGCATGCCGTGGCCCGTGTCAAGAACGCACGCAAGATTGCCATTGCGCTTGATTTTGCAGGCACAATGTCGAGAGGTTCAGCAATCAGCGCGAGCCAGAATATCGCCCCAGAGACATTTCGCCTCGTTGGTGGTGAACTTGTGACGCGCGACGCAAATGAGCTTCGCAATTTCGATTTCGGGACTGGTCCACAATCGTCCTTCCCCGTCACGCTGCCTGATCTCTTGACGATCCACCAGGCGACTGGTGTTCCCGACATTGAAACATTCGTCCACGTCGCCACCGGCACGTTTCCAACCTCGGACATCCAGGATCTCCCCGACGGTCCCAGCTTCGAAGAACGCGAAGCCAGCCGGTATCATGCATCCGTCGAAGTCACCGGTGGGGACGGCACGGTGGCGCGATCCGTACTCGATACGGTCAATGGCTACACGTTCACGTCCATGGTCGCGGCGGAAGCTGCCCGGCGTGTGCTGGCAGGCGAGATGCGGCCCGGCTTCCAGACGCCTGCGGGGCTGTTCGGCAATGGCTTTGCGGAAACCATCGCCGGCACGTGTATCGTCGATCGGGAAAAGAAACCCATGCTTATTGATCACATCGAGATCCCGGTGACCGATGTTGAAGCAACACTGGATTTCTATAAGACCGCGCTCAAGCCGCTTGGCATTTCTTGCGTTATCTCGGTCCCTCCCGAGCGCTCCGCCAAAAGTCATCCGCGGCACGGCCTTGGACAGGACGGCTATCCCAGTCTGTGGCTACGAGGCGGCAGAACCTCCAAAGATCCGCTACATATCGCCTTTGGCGCCTCCGAAAGATCGACCGTAGATGCATTCTACGCCGCGGCGATGGCCGCGGGTGGTAGGGACAATGGGCCGCCTGGGGTTCGGACTAGATATCACCCGACCTATTACGCGGCTTACGTGATGGATCCAGACGACAATAACGTCGAAGTCGTTTGCCAACACTAACAGTTTTGAGTGGATTGTACCCTCGGGCATAACGAGTGTGACGGCGGAAGCTATCGACTGCGTGCGGCGTCAGGTTGTTAGAAACAGTGAACTAGCGGTAGGCGAAGAGCCATCGCGGAAACACCGGCGTCACCCCCAACACTGCGTAAAAAGCCTTGATAGCAATGCAATAATCGTGCTCATACCCGAATAGGTATCCGTTGATATTTCCACTGCTCCGCTTCCGCGCGACAACCTTCCCATCTGCCGTGGAGACATGAGAGATCGAGTCATCAATCTCAGTAAAGCCCTTCCGCGACAACACCCCCATGTGTTTGCGAATCCGCCCATCAACCCAATCTAGAGACCAATACGTTCCGCCAGATTGTCATTCGGCTCTCTGTCTCGCCACAGCACACGGATATGCTTGATGACCAGCGCCTAGAGACCGTATAGGGTAAACTCCTGTCATGGGTAAGTTAGAAGCCTTCGTGGCAATTTCCAATAAGTGTTCCGTCTCCTCCACATGATACTCGGGGCAATCGTTTGCCAGTACCTCATGACTGCTTCATAATTCCGGAATACCGTCGCCTCCCACCAACCTTCTGTGAAAGTGTAAGACCAATCATAGCCTAAGCCAGCATACATATCCATTGCGCCAGACCAATCGCAGCCAAGCTCCTGATCAAGGTCCAGAGTCGTTGGGAAATCCTGATCGCCAGACCATGGACTAAATTCTACATTGCCGGGGGTGCCAGACTGTGCGGGGGTTGAGCTAACTTCTGCGGCCGAGATAGAGGTGTTTCTATTGACTTGAAAGCTAATCCTGACCTTTCCAAAATAAGGCAGGACCGCCACGAACTTGTCCGGGCCTTCGTAACAGCCTTTCTGCAACCGGATCAGCATGTTCAGCACATGAGACCCCTGCACTGCGACATTGCCATCCATCAATGTGGCAGTTCGTTCTAGACTTTCGGCAAGTGTTTCTACGAGTGTGATATCGTCGTCCTTACTCTGTTCGGCAGACCGATGAGGATGCGAGAGTAGGTCGAACATGAGAATCATCCCAGCACAGAAAACTTGGAAGTCGAGGACCTCACATATGATGCGCTCTGCATGAGTCACTCCTCGTAGCCGCAAGTAGCTCGTGATGGCTTCCCGAGATGCATTCTGAATGGAGTGGCAGCCGTGTTCATATCTCCAGTCCGTCGGGGCCTTCAACGTGAATGGGATATGCAGCATGGTCACACAGAGGAGGTATGAGATCTTCGCAATTTGGCCGTGGTATATATCGACGAGTGGCTGGTCTGGGCAAGGTGGCTGGCTCCAGAAGTCGTCAAGCATGAGCGTCTTGTACTGTTCTAGCTCTTGGTCGATCTTGACAGTTGTTGAATAGTCCGGAGTAGAAACCTGGTTCCGCTCAATGATTTCACCTATTAGCAGGCAGAGCCTGTGCCTCAACGGCCCATGTATCTCGTCGAATGAACATTTGCTACTGGACATGGATGGGTGCTGGTTCGATATGGCGCTTGGGAGGCCTAGGCTCAGAGACAGGAACCTCTCATCCTGCCATATTTGAGCCCACAGGGACTCTTCACGCTGGCTCCTCCCACGATCGTCTGCTCGGTGGAGACCGAGCAGCAGCGCTGTATTGGCAGCCCGACGGAGGCAAAGCCAGGCCTTCCGAGGTTTACCCATGTTTATATATAGTTTTGATTGAAGAACCAATGCTTCGGCGGTGTCAATAGACTCTCTCGAACGCCAGTCGAAATGCAGAGTAGATCGTCTGCTAGGCGCATGAATGACGCAAGTAGTTACTTGGGCGCCGAGAGCAGGGTCATTGATGGTCTGGTTCCGGGTAGTTGTTGGATGCAGAGGGAGAGGAAAAGAGCCGTCTTCGCCATGACCGATGGGTCTCCGGAGTTGACCATGTTGGGCAGGATGCTTGCTGCTACGGAAGCTCCCGCACATTGCAGAGTGTTGGTATGCTGGATCTTGCCATAGCAGGAGGGCCATAGCTTCCAGTATTTCTCGGTGCTGTCGAGCACAGAACGCAAATCAGCATCTTTCAGCATCATTGTACTAAAGGCAGAGGAGAGCGCTTGGAGTCTTGACGAGGAGCTCAGGCTGCGAGCCACGGAGCTGGCTGAGCCGCCATGTTCCTCTCTCTCAAGCTTCATTGTAGCCCTGAAGAGTGCCACCAGCGGGGCGTCAATGAAATCTAGTGCATCGTCGCCATCATCTGTCGGTTCCATGGCGGAGTTATCATGGTGATCCGGGATGCCACCGCTACTAGGATCCGTGTTTTCGGTTCGCGGAAATTGAAAGCATCGTAGTGCTTCAGCTAGGCTCGCGCTGATGTTTCGGCCCCCCTGGCTGTTGGCCGAATGTAGATCAAGGCCACGGCTGATTTGCAGCACAGCTCTCTCGAGAGCTTGGACGCGTTGCTGCATGGCTTCATTCCCTCTGCCTTTTTCGACCTGCGCCGACAGCCTGTGTTGGCCTGGCCGTTGGGCCAAACACGCACACCGCCGAAGCGTGCAGCCTTCGCATCTTCGGCTCCCTTCTGGGTATACACACCGCGTTTTTCGTCTCCGACATTCCGCACAACTCCGGGTTCCGAAACGCATAGCTCGCTGTCGACCTCGTGGATCTGGAGATTCTTTCGTGTTTCCAGGCATCGTGTTCCAGAACAGAATGGGGAAAGCGGAATCTGGGCGGTCCGGAGGCCTGCAGCCCTTCGGTAGGTAGAACGGACGGAACGGACGTGGAAATAGGGACCGCCCAGACCTACTCGCACCAAACCGCACAAATTAGTAATAATACCAGCCCCGCTTTTACCCTTCCTAGTCCCACGCTTTGTGCCCTGCCCAGCTATAATTGGTCAGATAATCGGATTTTCATGTCCAGGCTCCGGTGGTAACATCGGAAGCGAGCGCTCCAATACGGAGAGCTATCTCGGGATTGCCTCTAATACCTGAATGGCGTGGAGTAGAGCTCCTTTTACGCGACTCCATGGAGGTGTTAAAAAGGGTAAAATGGTGCACCGTTGTCTAGATATCAGACACTTCAGCATACTTGTCCATGACGACTCCGCAAGTACCTCCTAGGTCATCCGTTCAACATTTCGATATGAGCCGCACGGAGAAAAATCCTCGGGGGCCTGGAAAGCTAGGGTAAGGCTACGGACAAAATGCCCCCACGGAAGTAAAGGCGCCGATCCAGGATGCCATAGATAGCATTGCGGCGTCTTTCGATCCTCAGTCGACCATTCGGGTTCGTGATAGCCTGCCCGAGTTCCATCTGCCGAACGCTGCCGGCAAAGAACTGAGTAGCACCAAACTTCTCGCTAAAGGCCCTCTCCTCCTCGTCTTCTATCGTGGAGAGTGGTGCCCGTTTTGCAATCTCGCCTTGCTAAGCCTTCAGAAACATCTTGACAGCTTCATCGCGAGAGGTGTCACTGTCGCGGCCATCTCTCCTGAGCTCTCCTGAGCTCCCCAATCAGTCTCTTACGACGGTCGAGAAAAACGCTCTGACGTTTGAAGTCCTCTCTAACGGTGGAAATACGTTTGCAAGGAAACTCGGCCTCGTGTGGAAGCAACCAGACAGTCTTCGCCCGGTGTTCGACCGATTGGGCTTCGACCTCAAGGCACGCAATGGCGATGACACGTTCGAGGTCCCTATCCCTACCACTCTGCTTATCGACCAGAAGGGGACCGCAAGAAATGTGTATACTAGTCCGGATTACACGGAGCGAGTGGACCCAGACGTAGTACTAGGATGGGTGAGCTGGGAGATGACTCTCTCTAGATTATTACGGGAGACGAATCGAGGCGCCTGTAGAATGGCGGATACCCGGGGACCTAATAGATTCGAGGGTTCGAACAGCTTCGCCGGTGTCTTGATTGCTAGTGTAGGGAAGACCGGGCCGAACCGCTTGGTTCTGCCTCGTGCCAAGTCAATCCCATCATTGCCCGCCGACACGACGAGCACAATGTCCTTCTCGTAGAATTGGTCCAGAACTTCTTCAATGACGTTGACGCCTCTGTTAACGTCCAGACCAGCGTCGAAGGGGACTCCCAATGACATGTTGACGACGGCCTTGCCTGTCGTGGCCTTCTCCGTCATGTCAGTCAGTATAAACATACAGCCTCCCAGCAATTCATCCACAGTCGTTATCTGCGGGCCCTGCGCATATAGCAAGGTGCCGTCGTATATCTTGACATTGACCAGATCGGCATCGTTGGCCACGGGAGTGTCCGTTCGGACCGCGACCGAGGCAACGCAGATGCCGTGGCCTCCATTAGGGTCAATGTCCTGTCCTGAACTCATTGAATGCGGATCTCAGTGCTGTTGGCGTATCTTAAAGTCAAAGTGGCCCAGGCGCATGCTCGTGTCCACCTCGTAGATTGTGAGTCCTCGTGCGGCAGCCTCATTCATGGCGTGGACTATCGGGCTCTTCTGCACGATCTGCAGCTGGCTCACACTGAGCGGCGCGCTCAGCGCTTGGAAGTCCATTGCGGCATAGAGAAGCTTGATGAGGTCTGACTTCGGCCGCACGTCGAGGATCTGGACCAGGGCGTTGAAGTCCTTCTCGGGTGCACCTCGCTTTGCCAGGACCACCATAGGGGTGGCCTCGGCGGTCGCTGCTTGAGCTCTTGGTATTGGAGGCCGGCTGGATTGTCGTGGCCGAAGGAGGGTCTGCACCACTGCTGATCACCGCAGCCAGCGCCGTCAGCAGCAATAAGATGGTGCCGACTAGACTCGCGCTCCATGGTCAGTACTTTCCTTGTCTCGGGAGTGTCTCGTAAGAAAGATACTTATATGCGCTCTTTGCAGCGCTAAGGGCGCCAAACATTGTGAGCTACAATGGAGGGTCAGTCAGCAGCTACAGCTTTTATTTGGCAAGGGGCCAGGGGGGGGGGGGGGGGGGTGATGGCGTTAGTATGACTTACCGCGGCGGGTGCTACAGCAATCTCTCGTACATATGCAGGCAGACGGCAGCAGTGACATGGCAGAGGATGGGTGTCGGCGCCGCCAAGCGGGACGTGGGGAGCGGGAGGTCCAAGCGCCAAACAACCTGCTGTTGGCTCTGAGGGGGAGGCATAAAACAAGGATTTGGCAGGACGACCCCTCCACCCTAGCTCCCTTCAGCTCTTCCTTGACTCCTGCTCACAACTACCGCGACCGCTATGGAGCAGGGAAGGATCGAAGTTCCACGACTTCTTGACCTGCCATGGGACCTTCGACACGCAATCTGGTCGCTCATCGTCCCCAGAGCGGTGCACCTGTTCCCCCGTGGCGACGGGCTGGCTGTGTCTGGCTGTGACCCTTCCGAGGCCCGGGAACCCCATGAATACCTCCCATCAGTTCGCCCAGGCAGCCGTTGGGGACTTTCTTTTTATGACCGGCTGAGGAGCCAATGGTGCCAGCACTGGGCTTGCGAGGAGACACGAGGGAAGGGTCTAGGCCGCGATGTGGAGGCGCTGATGATGAGTTGCAAGGCCATGTATGTCCGCCGGATCGACAATGCCCTTTGGTGCACAATGACAGGGAGGATCAAGGCTGATAATTAAGAGAAATACAGCTTTCGTGATGTTACCGAAGTCCTTGCCGAGGCTCAGGTTCACGTTATTGGCCTGGATATACTCGACGAGCTACTTCTACCGCCTGAACAGCCGGAGAATGAGTGCCGAAAAGAGTGTCAGCAGACGTGCATTCGGCGTCTATTTAAGAGGCCAAGGAAATTATACATTATTCTGAAGGTACCCAGTACATTCTGCAGAGCCCTAGGGGAGACAGCAGCCGTTACTCCTCTCCCTGCGATATTAAGCACGGAGGACACGGAGAAGTACCAGCATCAGCGACTCTTGGACTCGTGGAGGCGCATCGGACAAACACTATCGCAAATTCCCAGCTTAGCATACGTGGACGTCTGGTTAAACCACTCCTCACCTGAAAAGTGGGCAACGTTTAACGAGAGGGCCATTATCGGGCCCCTCGCGGAGTTCGCCTGCAACCATCAAGGTGAGGTCAATACAACCGTCCACCTACCATATATTCATCCGCTATATGAGCGAGCAGACCTACACGTCATCGAGCTTGTTAGCGCAGACGGTCTCCGCATTGAACGCTTCGCCCGGCAGCATAGCTTTGTGCTACCCTACGACGAACCAGATCCCTCCGAATTAGATCTCATTGAGCTCAGACCACCCATTGAAGAGAACAATGACTTTCCATACCTAGCAAAGTTTGCCGAGTTCTGGAGGTTTTCGACCGTTGAAAAATTGGTTGATGCGGAGCGCCTACTTATGCGACAGGGCGTGGATGTCCGGGCCGGACACGCGCTGTTTGAGCACTTGATACACATCATTGAAGGACCTGAAAACCGCCCAGAGAGAAGGCCCAGGCCGCCACGGATATTTCCTGGGAGCGCGATATGGCATGAATTCTACCGCAAGTACAATACTTACGAGGAGTATGTAACCGACATGTACGGGATTCCTATAACAGGGCCTAGCGCTTGAAGACAGGATGCCAACGAAGGCGAAGTTTGGAAGGAATGGTGGCAGGTTTCCAGCCAACCCACGGAAGGCCTAGGCAAAGATGACTACAGCGGTTAGAATGCGTTCCTGCTTAATACGGAAGCTACCGTTATACCTTTTTTTACATCTTGTACAGCCGTGAATGCCTTATTGCGCTAAATAACACCCAACATTCTAAACTACTTTCCACGAGCTAGACATATTGGGAGAACCTGCATACCAGCAATCCGCGAATGCAGGTAGCAGTGTAGCTGTATTGGAGTACAGATGCATTCCGGAACATACTACAAACCCGGAAATGCATTCGCCTCTCCCTACGAACCGTGGAGCACGACACACAATTAAAGAAGCCTGTACAAACTCCACCCCCTCTTTATGTGCGTTTTCACTTATTGGGGTAACATCCCCCATTCTTGCGACCTCGCAGGAATGCGAAAATTCTGGCAGAGTCAGGCAAATTCCGCCTCGGTGGCCCCAGCCTAGCGGTCTAGGGATGCATCTAGCCATGTCTGAGAAGAATATCGTATCGGAAGTACAAGATACTAGAGAAGATATCCAGATCTGTTAAATCCTCGGGTGGGCGAATCCGTCCTGGTCAACATAATACCCCAGTCTCCAGGCTTTGAGGAGCATCACCAGAATTGCGGCGGTATCTAGGGAAACGTCAATGATCTACATATCGTTCGGAGTCGGAGTAAACCCTGGGCAAGGCGACGTACCAGAGTTTGTCCTGCCACCGGGCAGTGTTGAAAGCCTTGTGCAGCTGATCCAATTGAAACATTTCGGGTCTTCGCCTTCCATGATATCGTCCGCATCAGTAAAGAACCCGCCGATGTTCGCATGTGTGAGCTACTTATGCGTGTTAGCACTCCGTCGATTGGAACCCTGTCACGTTGGGAGAACAGAATCGTACCTCGTGAAACATCGTGACGCCAAATGTCTTTATCCCATCGACTGGTCGCTGAATATCCGTCATCCCATTGATGAAAGTTTCTGAGCGAATGCGCGCAATCCGTTCCTCGTTGATCAAGGGCCACCCTTCCAGAGCTGCTTGTCTGATGAACACCGAACAGATATCTATGTTGGCCGGGTGCCCTGTGCCCACCTTGAACTCGTTGAGGGGCGGAGCGCCGGGGGCCGCCTTAAAAGCTTCCAGATCTATAGTATACGATCCCATAGTCAAAGCCTTGGTATATCTCTGATTCGTGCCCACTTCAAGAACTGCATCATGATTGTGGCATTTGAAGAGAGCTTCAACCTGTTTCGCCCTCACCGTGATTGGGCGATTGTGCTTGTTCATTCGGAGGGCGGGCTTTGTTGGGTGCGGTATCAAACGAGTATTGCTGCAGTACAGGCCCTGGAAGCATAGTTGTTAGCCGGAGCTGCTTCATCAACGTGCTAGCACAGGGAACAGAAGCCTACCACATCATTGCTACTGCGCTCAGCGCCATTGAACCATGCCTCATCATTGGTGCTCAGAGCGGACGGTGTCTTGCTTATGCTAGCAATTCCCTGGATGCTGGCTGGAATATTTTGCGTTCAGTGGTTGTACCGCGGACAAGTGGGTTTGGGGCTTCTTGCCTTTCACTCTGTCCATAATCTGATCTCGATCTTGGATCCCATAGAGGTATCGAATCAGGTTCTGAACGTAGACATCGCTTTCGTGCTGGTTGAGAACTTCCAGAGCATTCTCTGCCAGCTCCACGGCCTCTTTCATCCCGCTGATGATGCCATCCCGCACGCCAGGGCCAAGAGCAAGCTCTGTATGAGTCCTGAATCAGCGAACAGGCCGTCCATAATCAGCTGGGGGACATTGGCAGATGCACCACACTCTGGATCGATTGCGTACTCAGCCGCAAGGGCTGCGGTAAGAATACTTGGGAGGGAGAAGAAAAATAATCTCATGGTGAGGTCGAGGAATGTGACTGTGCTGATGGAACTGAGGAGACTTGAAAATTGGGGCGGATTCTGATGTGATGGCTTACTCAAAATCGGCGGGAAGGATGCGCTATTTATCTTTGAGTTGTTGATCACTGATTCTTGCAACACTGTCGAGAGGAGTACCCCCTTTCACGTCCTTTTTTGAGTCACATACGTTGCATTCCTGTTGGCCCCCAAGGCGAGGAATGCACTGAGTTTGGCCAAGCCTTCAGAAAACCTTGACCCGCGCGTGATGTCGGTTCACCCTACTTCAGGCTCGCGGACGACTCAGTAACCAACGCGAAGCAGGCTGTGCACCCTTTCGCGGGAACATGTTAGTTGTGTGCAAGGATTTAGGCGCCGGCCAAGGTGGGCTGTTGGCCTGTTCAGCCCCCACATGATAACATCTTTGCGCGGCTACGGGCGAAACACTTGCTCGAGATGCCGTTCCGTGTCTTGGCGTTGGTCACCGACATCAGAACAGCCTCGTCCTCTGTCATTTGATCTCCAACAACATACGTTCAAGAGGAACTTTCACACCAACAGCGAGCCCATATTTAGACCAACGCGTGAGACATTTTCTTCTGCATAGCCGCCCTTTGGCATGGTAAGCCCAGGGGCGTCAACCAACACAGATATTTTGGGTTCAGACATGGTACTGGGCACTTTTCTTCCAAGGCATGGCTGCGCTGCTTGGAAAGTGCACGGCGCTGATGTGTTGTGACGATGATGATCAGCCTTTCGCTCCCGTGTTATCCGCTCGGGAGCCTTCCTGGGCTCTCTATAAGGACTCCAGGTTCCCGCAACTCCAAACCCGACTTCTCCTCCGTCTCCGGTATCAAGGCTGTCCCCATTTGCGAACTCTGCTCGACAAGATCTTTGCAAGCACATTACTTGCGTTTTGTCATACCAAATTTCCTCACTCTCACCACTTACACATTCCAACTTTCCCCGTTCTCCCCGACTCCATCTCGCCCTTTATGCGTGCCCACGGCATCATCGTCTTTGCTGCGCTAACACGTTATGGCTCAAGCGAGGTGTTCAACCTTGGTGACATCTCGCAGTACAATCCGCAGTTGGTAGGTCGTTTGTGATTCATATTCCAGCTTGATATCGTTCTAAAGTAATCCCTGACAGGCAAACCCCCCGTCCCTGACAGGCAACACTGTCTGGCTTTCCGGCGATGACTCGGATGGGTTCGATGTCGTTCTGTCCGACGACTCGCGGGCCAAAGTCCGTGGGGTCCTGGAAGCCTGTGGGAGCCTGGACAACCAGTGCTTCCAAGACGTCCAACAAGTTCTCGCGCAGTCGGATCTGCAGATCGACCCGCAGCTGAACAAGAGAGACTTTTTCGCGCTTCTGTCGAAGACGTTCAGGCTGGCATCGTCTCGGGTAGCCGCGACCGCGGCCATCCTGATGGCCTTCTGGCAGGCCAAGTACGCTGACGAGCAATTTGCTCAAGCCTTTGTACCGCGTCCCGTTGCTGAAGCCGCGGGCGCCTTTGCTATCCCAGGGGCAGAAGTCGTCGTGGAGTTGCAGGGCTCGCCACTGGTTACTGTGACGGCGCCCACACCGGCCGCGACAACTTTGATTGGGTAAGTCATACAGCACCCTCTGGAAAAACCTCAGCCTAGTACTTCAGCTAAGGACGAACATGCTGCTACAGCCCCAGCCAGCCATCTGTCACGGCAGTGGCAAGCCCTGGAAATGGCCTGGAGCTCGGAGACCTCGTCGCCTGTATGGACATCGGTCTCGCCGCTCGCATCGACGAGGTGATGCACCGGGCGAAGGAGTGCAAGGATGGGCAGGACTTTGACGCCACCGAGAGTCCATCGAGACTTGGCGGGAGCTACGGATCTGCGATCTGCGGGGGCGAAGCAGTCGTCGCCATGGCACAACCCGGCGGAGCTTTCAACGACCTTCTTCTGATCAACCCTACCAGCATTACCTTCTCATTCGCCGCTGCGGCCGGGCCCGTGGCGCGGGCGAGCCGTGTGTTGTCAGAGTTTGTGCTCGCATATGCGCCGACGTTAGACATTACTCCTGAAGCGGCGGAGATGATGGCAAACTACGTATTCGCACTGGCCGTACGAACGCTGATCGACAATGTCTCGCTCGCTGCTGAGAACCCCATCAAGTCGGACTTGGTGGATGAAACTCCCCGTGACTGTCCAGACATTAACACAGACCCCGTCAGTGCATTTCCTCTCACACAGGCTCAACCGGGTAGACACGCTTACACAAGTGAACAGTTGACTTGCGGGTTTCCCGAGGACCAGGACTGCGACATGGTTCTGCCCACGGCGCCGCGCGAGTACGCAACCTGCAAGGCGGTAAGACCAGAGCACCCAGGCCCTTGTGCCCCTGCAAGGTAGAAAGCAAGCACACACTGACGCTAGCATCACTTCCGCCGTGATAAAGGGAAAGTATGAAAGGTGCCCCTGTCTCGGCAGCGCGTATCCGTTCGAGCACGTTCTCTCCCCAGAGGAGGTCGCAGACATGGTCTACCTCGCCGACCTCTTGGCCCAGTCTGAGCCGGCCCCCGCCGAGCCGGCATGCGACAACGAGAACATGACTGAGTTGCCCGCCTCGGTGTTCTTGTCTGCCAGTAACAACGTGTACCACCACTTCTGCGAAAACTGGAGCCCCAGCTCAGGAGAGATGCGCATGGACGTTAACGCGGCCGGAGACAACATTCTTCCCGAGCCTCACACAAGAATCCAACGGGGTGACCGTTACCCCTATGCCCGAGCGCCGCCGCCGGACCCATCAATCTGGTCGGATTACACATTCTCGCTAAGCTACAAGCCCTCAAAAGGAGGTGGCTCATGCTCCGCGGACTGCACAGCGGCCTTCGAGAAGGTCGGCACAGCGTGCCGACAGCAAGGAGGTATGTCTCGTCCCTGGTCGTCCCGAGTGTTTCGACTCCCTCCACTGTGCTGGTCGCAGTCTTGAGCCCGAGACGCAGCACGTGACAGAAGTATGCGAGAGCACCATCGCTAACTAACACTTTCCCGCTCGCCCGCGAAACAGGAAATGACCCCAAGCTGGCAGCCCGAGGCTCCCTCGATGCAGGCTGTGGAGTCTTCAGCTTCGAGGTAGCCGAGCCAGTGTCCACGCCCCTTGCGCTCGGCGAGCGCGAGTGCTTCCCCCGCGAGGCGGACCCGGCCCATGGCGTCGTCGTCGAGGGCTACGTGTTTGGCAACGCGTGGGTTGCGTGCTATGACGCTGTCGTGGGTGCCAGCCGGACCATGAGCGCCGGCGACCCGCCCCGCACGACCCTCCTCAACTCCGAGGGCACCGGATACTTCTATAGCATCTCCTGGGAGGAGGATTGTGTGCTCGATAACGGCCAGACCAGTCAGCCCGTGGATGACCCCCTCGGTGTGGGGACCGACACTGCCACCTGGACGTGTACCCAGCTGTTGATGGACGACTGGAAGCTGTGTGACAATGGCGCAGCGGGGGGGAAGATCCGCGCGGGCTGTCTCGTGTACGAGTTCAAGCCGATGAGTGCCTCTTAAGAAGCGACAGAGGGGACAGGGGGTTGTAGATTTAGGTCAAGGATTGTTTTAGAGGCGCAGATAGATAGATATTGGCTTTGTCCTTATTCAGTCCTCCAAAGGCTACCGAGTAGATTGATGAAACTTCCAACTAGATTAATGTCTACTTTATACCTGACTACCTTACGCCGTCGCCGGAGTAGCTTGCGACATCTAGTTACTCAAACAATCCAAGTGTAATGTCTCGCAAGGGATACAAAACGACAAACCCTCTCAAGAATACGACAGCACGGAATTAGTGTTATATAAGGCGTTACCTACCTTATTAGAATATAAACCCCCAGCGCCGGACAGGAGATACACGGCATAGCATAGGGCCCAGCTAAGGGTTAAGGTTAGATTCAGATACGATCAGGGGGTCTAGCCGCGTCCCGGCCCCCTGTAAGAATAACCGTCCTGGTAGTGACCGTCCCTCGACCCGATAGGGGTTTACCCAAACCGCCCTTGACTATGGGCTTACCCCAACTTGCCTCTAGTAGTGACAGTCACTACTAGCTTGAATTATGGTCAGGGAATCATACAGAAGAGGCCACTAGAGTCAAGTTTGCTTTTCAGCTACGAGCCTTGTACAGTCAGCCCTTAGCTGCCACATTGTGAGTACGAGCATATATATGGACACACATATGGAGGCTTACAAGGGAGAGGCTTGGTCGCATGTACTAGATGTATCGCACGAAATAAGAAAGTCTTCCAAGCCTTGGCACGCAAATTTGGTCGTCTGCCTTGCGACCTGCCCGAAGCATGAGACCAATGAAAAGCCTGTAAGGTGTAAGGGTCTTATGCGTCCCGTGGGTCACAAGCCTCTATGTCTCAGATCCATAGTCCATATTATTGCCAGCTTCGTCGAATGCCGAACAATTGCATACGCAGCCTGCCGTCGCAGCCGACTAAACTTCTCAGCCGCAGGCGCCAAACCCAAGTCCAGGCTTGGGGGTCCAGTGTACACTTGAGCCCAGATCTGCCACATCGACAGCAGGAAAAGTTCATGTGCTCTAAAGCCGAGCCTTACCCGCAGAGCTGAAAGTCCCACCGCACGCTAGTACACTTGGCTATGGGTCGCCTCGCTTGCGCAACCACAGAACCCCAAGACATGTCTGACAGCCTAGTTTCCTTAGTCTGCAACCGTAGGGTCACCTTTTGCGCAGGCTGAAACCCGGCGCAGCCACATAGATGGTTGAAGGGGCGAGATGCAGGAGTCTCTGGTTATACGACATAAGAAGAAACTGTGTACGCGTGACTAACCTGGTCTGACTTCACTGTGCAAGGGAGCTTAACACTGTCGTGCTCGTGCCTCTGATGGTTATATATAAGACAATCCCCAGGTAACAAAAAGCTGTATGGCGTTGTGAGTGTAGTAGTGATTCTGTTCCAAAACCACCAGCCATTCACGGACAAAACACCATATCATGAACAGCGTACCAATTGCCGTGCCAATGCCACCGACAGAGGCAATGCGGATGACTCCGCGGAAAGCCGGGCGAGAGCATATCCTTATTTACCCACCTGGTTACCTTACCGTTCGTATTATGCAGCTCGTATCTGCCGCTATAGTGCTTGGTATCGCTAGCTATCTACTTGCTGAACGGCCATTCCGCGGCACCCAACCACCCGGCGTTGGCCTGAGTCTCTTTACGGTGTGTGGACCGGCCCACTATAGTCCATAGCGTTGCGCTGTGCAAACGAGGACGCGAGCTATCGCTAATAAGCTCGCTTCCATATTAGGCCCTTACGACAATTATCTGCGTCCTGTATTACATTGTGGCAGAATACGGCTTGCCCGCCGCCTACAACTATTGGGCAATTCAAGCACTCGAAATGTTCCTTAATATAATGTGGCTGATATCCTTCTCACTAATAACCCGGGCTATGGTAGAGCTCGGACGCCTAAGCCTTACCAGCTACGGCGAGCTCATCCTTTCCGTTGGCTGCGTTGCAGCAGGGTTTGGTGCCGTTTGTGTGTAAGTCTTTGGTCCATTGAGCGGAGCGGGGAGTGGGCGATAATCTCTAAACCGAGCCTTATGAGTTTGGCGCCCGACTGACCGGCTGAATCCTTATCCGGGTACTCTCGCAGCATCCTCTTCTGTGTATCGGCCGGTATACACGAGACCGCCCTCCACCGCCACCGTGCTGCAGGCGGCCGCTGCGATGCCCAGAGCAGTGCTGTCGCCCCGGCTTATCAACCAGGCGGCTATCCTGTCCCGAACCAGGCTATGGCTACAAACCTCCAGTGGAACCAACCAGGACAATTCGCCACAACCATGCAGATGGCCCCCTTAGCGTATCAGCAGATGCCCGCCAACATGTACGTCCAGCAACAGCAGATGCCTGCGAGCATGCCGATGGAACAACAGGCGAGGCAATGGCCGCAGCGGCCCCAGGAGGTGCACTCGCCTATAGCCGGTACGCCCGCTCCACCAAGGAGCCCGCCGCCGCCGCCCCTCGCGCACGCGGTGCCCGATTATCAGCAAGGTCCGCCGCAGGACGCACTACAGGAGTAATAAGGGCGCAAGAGAGGGGGAGTTCCCAATTCTTCTATTTGTTCCGTGGGGTTCGACATGTCCACGGCGATTAGTAAGGAGAAAGTGTTTGAGGCCGTGTAGATCGGGTTATGTCCTTGTGGTGCCTGACGTTGTCTTGATCGTCTGTATCGTATCCCTCATCGGTCAAATAGTCGTGTGGATTATTGGCGTTAATGCAGTTCGCGATGAGATCGACCTGGGTGTTCATTGTGGTCGAAGTGGTAGGACCTTAGAGAAGTGTTCGGCGCGACAACAGCAGATTTGCATTGCGGAGTTGTGACAATGGGGATATGCCTCCAGGGCTTCAGATTGAGGACACAGCGAGCTATTTTTGTAGTTGCCCAGGTACGAAAGGAGAGGTGCAAGGCGCACTCCCGAGCGCCACTTATATGCTTCCAGGGAGTGATTCTGGGCTATTTACGGCTCCACGTTGCCGATCACGCATCAACCTGCCCACGACGAAATGTGCCGCCTGGCTATCCGTCTTTCGAATATGGCTAGCCTCGGCCAGTCGTTGGCTCGACTCGTTCTAGTGTTGTTGTTTGTGCTATGGCTTCGTTCCGTGAGCTCCAAGAGTCTTGCTCCCTTGTATGCAAAGAACTAGACTAGGCTGGGCCGAGCGGTTTATATGGAGAGACTTTGGTCGTTCGATGATACGTGCCGCAGCTCTGGGGCCGTAGTGTATCATTGGCGCCGCCTCCATGCTTGGTAATGCACTGTTGCTTGATCCACAAGGGCAAGTCGTGAAACCCGGTAGCTCAGCCGCCCGCCTTACGGGTGAGATGCGGTGTCCCAACTCTCCATAGACATCCCGTGGAGTTAATCGGAACCCCAAGAGCCTGCTTGCAAGCCCTATCCTTACATGGCTACAGAATAACAAGACTGTTTGAGAGCCTTATGTGCTATTCTGATATGTGTGGCGTAGTGCTATAGCGACGGGCTCCGAATAAGACAGCATAACAGATAGTATAGAAATGCAACATGTACATCATAAGAGAGGCCATTCCATGGTCCGGTAATGAGTCTACGTGGGCATGGGAGGTCGTGTAGATCCGTGTACGGATTCCCCTACTCGCCTCGGTTTGTATTCTGTATGAGACTTGTGCTACAGGGCGGATAAGGATCACATCTAACTTTCGAAGAGCCCTTGCATTATCCAGCGGGCTAACCAGATTCCGGGATGGCTATAGCATCGTCCAGAAACTCAACCAGCGATTGGTACTGTCCTGTACCAATAGAACCCGCTCACTGGCATATATATTGCGTACGAGCCTTCCGCTACGCGGCCCACTTAAGGATACTATAGTAGTCTCCGCGGTACTACAGTGCATATTTAGTCGCAGCCTAGGCTGCTATCTCAGCAAGTAGGGAAGGTAGATGGACGTGGCGGAAAGGTATATTAGCGTCTGGGAGCAATGTGTATACCTAGAAAACCTAGTACCCTCTCAAAGTACCAAGTTTTTTTATAAGGAGGGTAACGTAATCCATAAGCGACCCGCCCACACAAGCGACCCGCCCACCTTCTACGCACTCGTACGATAACGTAATCCACGGGTAAGCGGGTCACACGGGTGAACGGGTCACCTTCCAGTAACTCGTACGACAATATATAAGACAATTTAACCACAACGCCTTAAATCAATTCAAACTATTCGGAATCCTCTTCTTCAGAGGCAGATACAACTTTCTGACACGTACGAGCATTATGACCGGGCTCGCCGCAGACGCCACATCGTCGCGCGCGCGTTTCGGGCCTCCTCGTACGACCACTATTCTGACTCGTTTCCGCTATTAACTGCTGCGTCGCATCGATTTGAGCCTTCAAATCCTTTGCCTGATCAATCGTGAGGGACCCTCCTTTCTGTAGCTGCTTTCTTTTCGTACGACGACGGCGGCTGAGGCGGTCATTTGCATCTCGAAGTTCGGCGAGCTCTTGGCGCATAAGGTCCTGCTCGTGTACCATCATTATAACTCCTTTTCTCAGCTGCCGTAGGCTCTCAACAATGGACGACGGTGAGCTATTCTGGTGTCGTACGATGCGATTTTCAATATACTTCGTCTGCGATTCGGTCTCAATTAGGTTGTTCGGCGTCTTTGAAACCCATGGGGGTGGTAGTCCAGCAGAGGAACCTGGTGGTGTCGGCGTATGAAACTTCATATCTAGCTGCGAAATCACATAATTCGGGTCGTACGGTACTAGCCCTGTCGCTCTGAAGCCTGCCTGGATGTTTGATTTGGTCATTGCAGCGTCGTACGCCTTATAAAAGGCTGGGAGGAAGTCCTCCTTTGAAACGTGGGTTACGTGCGCCCGCATTAGACCTTCGATTTCTTTACCGTACGCCCGTTTTAGAGGTCCAAAGCACCCAACGTCGAGAGGCTGGAGCTTATGCGACGAATGAGCAGGCATACAGAGGGTAACAATATTCTGTTCCTTGCAGTAGAGCTCGAAATCGACGGAATGGTGGCTCTCGTGGCCGTCGAGGATAAGGAGGCGGTGGGTACCCTTCGTACGACTCTTTGTATGGAAATCGAAGTGTTTTACCCACTCTAGGCCTCTCTCGTTCGTCGTCCCACCGTTCTCTGAAAGCGCGATTACCCAGTTGGCCGGTAGAGGGCTATTCGCGGTCCAGGAGTCGAGGTGGACCTTCCCTGCGAAGATAATATACGGCGGGATCGAATAGCCGTACGACGCGATACCCTGGATTACTGTAACCCATTCCTGATTGCCTTGTTGTACGGCTCTTGGCCTCCCGCGTCGATCGGAGGTTGTAACGACAGTTTCGGCGGAGATTTTACCTATTGCGAAGCCCGTTTCGTTGAAGTTGTAGATATCGTCATCGTGGATCCCGTATTTCGCGATTATATTTCGTACGAGCTCAAACCACGCGCGATACGCGTCTGGATCTTCGCAGAGGACTCTCTGGTAGTCGATTCTTCGATTAAAACGCGTACGGAGCTCAGATCGTCGTCGTACGAAGGTTGAGGCCCAGTTCGTTCCGACACGCGGCGCGTCGCGTACGGCAAGGAGTCGATCCGCCATTTCTCGAACACCACTAAGTCGCGGTGGAAATGATCGCGAATCTAGGTCAATTACGTATCGTATAATACTCTCCTCTTCGTACGAGGTCAATTTCTGGCAGGGTGGTCGGGTATCGTGTTTCGCAGCTCGGCCGTCTCGTCGTCGTTGGAGGGTTGCGCGGGATACATTATAGAGTAATGCAGCCTTTCGTACGCTCAATTTTGGGTCAGATTTAAGCGCAGCTAGCGCTAGAACCAAATCGCATTCATTTGATTGTCGTACCATGATTGTTGGTGGAGAAATAAGGAAATGAAGGTTATCTATTCAAAATGGGGGAAAAGTGGCTCACTGACCCGTGTGGCTCATTCACCCGTGGATTACGTTAGGCTACTTGGCATTAAATGTTTAAAGAATCCATCGGCTGGGAAGCTACTATTATTGCTAGATAAGCAGACGAAATCATCTGTCTGAAAGCCATCCCCGAATATTGGCCACTAGCTTGTCGATCGTGACATTGCAGGCGGAATTTCGTCCACCTCCAAGCTCCGCAACTCCACACAACTTAGCTGTAGAAATACATGATAGCTTGAGTTGATGTGCAAGGACGGCAGAGTATTTTCTATTACCTTCCTTCATCGTAGTCACGCTTGTGGCGCCCCGACAACCGAATAAGCGCCGTGACATGCGGTGTTGGTTTGTGATTCGTTACCGATACGATGGAACACCAATCATGCCCTACCTGGGAATCTTCCCCCTCATTCTGTGAGGCATTTTCACCTGGAGGAATTCTGCCCGTCTCTAGACATTCACTCCCACGCATGTCTCCCGCTCAACCCAGCCAGGGAGCCCAACGCCAAACATCAACGATCGATTGGCTGCAGAAAAGCGGGAGAGAATAATTTCAGCTTCCATCAATGAATTCTTTCCTTGTGAATCACGACGTCTCTGACTTCTCCATAGTTTCCTCCTGAGCCTAGGAAAGAGCTCCCTCTGAACGACAATGTCGCTACTCGCTATCGACCCTAATGGAGATCTCGAGATCATCCTAACGCATCCTCAATCTGGCATCCGTCAATTTACTGATAATGGGGATGTTGATGGTGCTCCCGGTTCTCATCCTTTGGATGATCGAGCTCTAAAGCCAAGGGGCCTGACCAAAAAAGAAAAAGTGAAGAAGAAACGGCGCGATCGTCTTCGTTCTCAATGGGCCGAAGATCCTCCGCCAGCGCCGCCTGTCGACGAAGCCCCCTCCGTCGAGGAGCCTACTGAAGAAGAGCCAATCGTCGACGAGGACCCTAATGACGGAAACGATCTGGAAATCAACGGAGACAAGCATATTGCCTGCGACTCCACCGCACCCTCTGAACATTCTGGGTCAGGTGGACTTCGACTACTGGTTTCGTCCAAGCATCTTTGCCTAGCTTCTTCAACCTTTCGACTGATGCTTAGTGGGCCTTGGCTTGAAGGATCCAAGACAGAGACTGGAAATCGCACTGTCCAAGCTAGTGACTGCGATGCTGAAGCACTTGTGATCGTGCTTGACATCATGCACGGCAAACACTTTGCAATGCCGCAAACAGTTGACTTAGAGCTGTTAGCAAATATTGCCTGCGTGGTGGACTACTACGACTGTCACGAGGTCGTGGAACCATTCGTTGACCAGTGGATCAAGGCGTTGGAGCCCAAACCTCCAACTGCATATGGGAGACAATGCATGTTGTGGATGTCCATATCCTGGGTTTTCCTCCGCGAGACCGCTCTGATAAGTATGGCTCAACTAGCTGTCATCGGCTGTCGGGGTCACATCGACGACATGGGCTTGCCGCTGCCAGATGTTTTGCTGCGTAAGTGCACATGTGAGCTTCACAGCTACTAGAAGAGCATCATGCTGATTTGTCGAACAGGTAGAATTGAAGAGAAACGAATAGAGATGATAGAGGGGCTTCTCCTCGACCTGAACCGGCTGTGGAGCAGTCTTACCAAAGAGGAGAGCTGTCGTCCTGGCTGCTCCTACATGCTTCTTGGAGCTCTGACAAGCCACATGAAGAAAGCTGGCGTCTTCTCTCCCTTACAACAGCCCGAGCCCTACGGCGATAGCATCGAGTGGCTACACACGCGAATCTTATCATTCGACAGTCCCACATTCCGGGAGACTAGCCACAGCCCGTTTCACTCGCATGCAGACTGTTCATGTCGACTCAAGACTAGAATTACGCCTTTAATCGATTTGAACCGGGGACTGCTGAAGAAACTCGTCTTAGAGAACATCTACAGGGGACGGCTACAGCAACGGGAAGAAGCACGGCAAACCGCATTGGCATTGAGATTTTCGTGGCTCCCTTCGACAGCCCCTCACCCTGTTCCGGGAGATCATGAGGGTGGGTCTACCACCTCCCTGATCCGTTCCTGGACGACGACCCAAGGACAGCCACTTATGGACTTCAGTGATTAGCACAAGCGGTCTACATCAGCTTGTACTGGTGCAAGGTGGAAGGTTCTGGAAACCTCCCGCTGACGCATCCAAGGACTTTACTAAGGCATCAATCACCGGATTATATCCACACGAACTACCGGTAATGCGACCGCCGCAGGGAGTTCAATTCCAGGCATGACATCCAATTGAGGACGGCACATTTGGGGTCCGCTCAAAGCATTCGTCAATTTGTTCACTTTCGCTTTTCCTTTTGTTGTTCTTGTTCTTGTTCTTGTTCTTGTTCTTGTTCTTGTTCTTGTTCTTGTTCTTGTTCTTGTTCTCCTTCCTCACTTCGTCGTCTGTTTCGGTAACTACGGCGTCTTCTGACTGTTGTAGTATTGTGCTCAAAGTGCCTGCCTCTGCTGACGAGGGCGGGTACAAAACCATTCCCTCCCCACCTAGCCTAATGAACGAATCGAATGATGCACCTTCATGGCTGTCAGAATGAGGTTGAGACTAAACAGTTGGCTGGACAAAGTGCGGGTCTCCAACCAACAGCCGGAGATGGAGGGTCAGTGCAAGGTCCCAAGTCTTGGACCACTCTGCATCTTGGCGCTTTTAATAAGTCAAGATCTAAAGGCAATATGCAAGGGCATATGGGCCGTGGAGCCTCTACGAGACTGTGCAGAGGGAGAGAGGCAATTGGCTCAAAGCATTTCGGTTCAGTGTGGAAGCTTATTGTGGCTTCATTGCGTGACCTTCTGATCGTGTGCCTTGACGAACATGGAGCCATACGTACAGTATAGTCAGTATCATGCGGGGTCAATCAGTCAGTAGGTTTCGTAAAACGAGTTGCAAAGAGAGTTTCGTTCGGAAGATTCTGTAAGAAAAGCTCCGCAAGGAAGGTTGCGTAAGGACTAGAGACAGTTCCGTAGGGAAGATTTTGGAAGAAAAATGGTAAAGGGGAATTCCTTATGGTGAGGTCTTGGCCAACTGTGGCGTGTGATCCACTGTGGCGTCAGATTCGCCTTGAGCTCTTCACGGTCCCGGTCTGCTTTGCCAGGACCACAGTGACCCTTTGTGCGGGGGGTGGAAATGAGGACATCCGATCTATTTTTAGCAGGCATAGTTTCGTTGTCGCTTGGGAATGATAGGCATTACTGCTCTCTACTCCGCAGGGCGTCCCGCCGACCTCTTGCCAAACTGCCTGGGACAAACCACGCCTATGTGAGGGTTTCACGTCTAGATCAAGCTAGTAGCAAGGCTCTGGGGTCGTAGATCATCAATAAGAGTAATTAGGTCAATTCTAAATACAAGACGTAGCCCTCGCGTCGAGGAATATCCTTGAAGTTATATGACCCACGCCTCGCGTGGTCACGTGAACCCCTGAACCGTGACACCTAGGACAAAGTGCCTGGGACAAACCACGCCTGGAATAAACTGCCTGGGACAAACCACGCCTAGGACAAACTGCTCCCACGGAGCAAGGGATGCTAGGGCGGCCCATGTGCCAGGGTTTGCATGGCAGCACCGAGAATGCCTGGGATGGACATCGAGCTGGGCGGAGAGCTGGCTAAACTGAAACATGGCCAGCATGATGGAGCTGGTTCTCCATGCCTAGCAGCACCAGTGGCTGGGGTTGCTGTGGCCTGGAGCGGAATCGCTGGCTCGGTTCCGTGCTGGGTTGGGGAAGTTGGGCTGTCAATGGGCTGGCAGTCTTGAGCTAGCTCAAGACTGTGGCTAGCCATTAGATGTCAGCCACAGGTTGCACTGCCCAACACGCAGGGACTGGGCTCAACGCCACGCTTGCAAGTTGCTACCACTCTCCAAATTCAGCAAAAGAAAGGGCTACTGGTCAGGCTACGGTTGCGTTAAGATATTACTATTCTTCGGCCTCCAAAGGGAAATGGCTACTGGTCAGGTGTTTAATATCTTCGCTGGAGGCTAGTCCCGCCACCACGGATTGATTGATTCATAGCACACATCTCTCCCTCCTTGGTGCTGTTAGCAGTTCGTTAGTGGCTGGAGAGTTTGTGGGTGCCCTCACCACACGTCCTGCCGTTGAAGCCCCATCGTAACCTTAACAGCGCAATAGAAGAACTTTAGAGAGCTTCATCTTCTATTGCAAAGCTGCGTTCAGTGGCAAGACGACGCGTTTTCAACTAGAAACCCGTGACGGACTAGCTATGCTGGTTCCGCGTGCTAAGAGGCTCTCAGTGACGCGATCATTCTCCTTCCAACGGCGAGCCGCCGCAACAAACCACCGACCCTCACGAAACATCACAGTCATAGTACGGTAAAGAAAGTCGTCGCCTTGCAGCATACTTGTTGAGACCAGGCTCCTTCCGAGGTGAATACCTAGGGACTGGGCTCGACGCCAAGCTTGAAGGTTGGGACCAGGCTCCTTCTGACCTTGCATGTTTGCTACTACTCTCCATATCCTTCGAGGAAAGGGCTACTAGTCGAGCAACACTTGGCTGTTGAGTGCTACTGGGCTTATCCTCTGCAGTGAAACTGGTACCAAACAGCCTTTGTCACCACCATGCGGGCTCCTACTAGTCTTTCGCCGCCAGGCTTCATGGCTGGGTCCAGGCCACAGCTTGGCTGGAGGCTGATCCCACCACGACGCCAGAATGCTCTTTACCCCTCCTACTGCTCCCACGGTATACCCATGGACTGGGCTCAAAGCCAACGCTTGCATGTTGCTACTGCTCTCTCAATCCTGCGAGGAAAAAGCTACTGGTCCGATCACAGTTAGGCTAAAGCGTTACTACTCTTTGACCTCCAAGGGGAAATGGCTACTGGTCGGGTCTTCGAGTGAGCGACCGGCGACTAGGCTCACTTCTTCTCCATCTTGGCCGGCCCTGCGCATCACTTAGCAGCTATCGGTCATCTAACGCCCTTTACGGCATCGGAACGAAGCGAGGTTGCTACACGCCAGCGAGAGGCAATAGGTCTTGTACGATAATACGCAATTATCACAAATGTCGGCCATGACCCAGCAAGACGAGCATGGCGCTGACTAGTTCTCAGCCTCTGCAATTGTTGGTGAAAAGGCCTAGGGTAGCTGTGCTGTGCTACGGCCTTTTGAATCAGGCACTATAGCCCGCCGCAAGGGGCCAGGTTGTGAGCCCTGCAGAATCTGTGGAGCTGCAACAAGTCTATTTCGGTACATTCTATCTTGGGGAGGGCTGGAAACGGTCCCAGGCCAAGAACTGGGCCGCGACCCTGCTTTAAAGGAGTCGTCATCTCCAGTCAGATGTTGGCATGTCTGCACAACCGCAGCTATGGCAAAATCCATCCCATGAGAAGCGAGAGGCGCGATTTCCCTGGGCGACTTCCCTGGGCGACTTCCCTGGGCGATTTCCCTGGGCGACTTCCCTGGTCGACTTCCCTGGGCGAGACTTCGCTGGTCAACTTCCCTGGTCGACTTCCCTGGGCGACTTCCCTGAGCATACTTCGATGGGCATACTTCGATGGGCATACTTCAGGGCCTAGAATCTAGGCTGACAGCCTGTTTGCCGCCGAGCCTGTGTGCACACAGGTCATAGCGGCATACAGGTCACACCAGCACACAGGTCACACCAGCACACAGGTTACAGCGGCATACAGGTCATTCCAGCACACAGGTTATAGCGGCATACAGGTTATAGCTACAACCTGTGTGCCCCCCCGCCTGTGTGCCTCTGCAACATGTGTGCTACTACAACGGCACATAGGTTATAGCACCTAAGCTGTGCCTGTTGGAATGAGTGATTGTATTGTTCTTATTATCCATATTGAAACAGGTGGAAGCACTCATACTTATACATATTTCCAACTCCACGTTGCTGTTTTAGCCACTGTGCTTAACAGTGGCATCCAGGCTGTAGCGGCACGCACGGTCGTGGCCGCACTGGGCCTAACAGAAGTGTGGACAGGAAGCTGGAATAGATGCTAGCCGTGTCGCTGTAGAATCCTGCACGTTATAACTTAGGAGCCTGGAACAGTTTTTAGCAGTTCTTTCTTGTCGCTATTTCCGCAATCTACGTTTGCTGGGCCCTGGTGTTGGACAGCTAACCGCTACGATTCTGGTAATCCTACTGTCTACGCGCGACCCCATAACCCTGGATCCAGGCGATGGGAATGTGTTAATAAAGCGTGGGTTGACTCAGTTGAGTTCATAACCACCTTGCTAGATTTAAAGCTATCCGTTTATAAAATCTTAGCTTTGTACTGTTGACGGAAGTAAATCCGATCCTTACTATGTATGATCCCATGGATATTGATGGGAATAGCAGCGCGAACCACTGGGGCCTAACGGCTGTGGCGTCCGCTGTGGATGAGACCCCACGCTGATCCCAGAATGCGAGCAATAAGAAATGCAAGCTTCCTCGCAAAAGGGAAGCACGGAGATTAAAGCGTGATCTTTTAGCTAGTTGGCTCCGCGCAAGGATGATGAATAAAGGCGATTTAGCGCAGATTGAAGCAGTTTTCTCCAGGCTTCTTGTTCCTGAGCTGCTGACTGTGTTCGCAAACTATTGCGAGATAGCGTTACGGGACTGGATCACCCTCCTTGAGAAGACATTATTGTCGAATGTTACTACTGGCGCGGACCCTTGTATTGTAAACGCCTTTGAAGAGCTAGACAATATCATCTTCGGGATAACGAGCACGCGACTACTTAAAAGATTTGCGTATTTTCGATTACTACATGTCGTCGAGGTTCTTGAACAGGTCCTCCGCGCAGACTACTAAGCGGGCAGGATTGACTTTTGGCCGGGCTATGGGGCTTGCAGTTATGTCACAGATATATATATGCGCGCGCAATCGCGGCCAATGACAAAGAAACAGCTCCATGAACGTATACGATATGCCAGACGCCTGCGGGATGTTGCTGTGCAGCTACCCTTCTACTTTCTGATCTACTCTGATGTAGTAGAAACTGTTGCGTGCGTATTTCCTTTATGAATTAAAATTACGTTGATGCTTATATGTTGCAGAGATAGATCCTCTGGCTTTAATATATCGTCGTTGAAGCGTATCGCGTCGAACATCAGGCGGCAGTCCCCCCCTAAACTTGTTACTGCCTGCAATGAGCTCGCAGACTTGGCAATATTAGTAAGGGAAGGGCGAACTCAGGATACACAGGGTCTAGGTGCGAAAGTACGAGAATATCTACTGGCTGAGGGGAGCCAGCCGACAGCTTAACTTAGATAGATTGACCTTGTCTCTATGCAATATGCGTATTAAGTACCGATACATCTTTAACGCTGCACTTCCGATTCTTGAATAAAGAGCTTCCCATCGCTGCCAGGTGCTGTACATTACGGCTTATCGCTGTTCATCGCCGTTGCTCGCTGTTTGTTGCTGTTAGATGTGTCTCTTTGTGGCTGTCTAGCGTGACTGCCCATACCGCCCAGGTTGTCCCAGCTTCTGGCTTCGTCGCGGAGACGGGCACCAGGGTGTTGGAGCTTTGACCAAGCTCCTGGCTACGGGAGCTTCTACATTCTACACCCGGCGGGCTACCTAAGGTTTAGCTCCCTGAATGCCACGGTTGCGGACCTTTGAAGGTCACTGCTACATCCATCCCTAGTACAGCCCAGGGGACTATTTGTGTGCGTACAGCCTTTTGGTGTTCCCACCCCCAAAGCGTCTAGGAAGACTGGTGAATGCGCTCCTCTACACGTTATTTCTGGTAAGGCCTCTCCCCACCAGGGACCGTTAGCAGCTTTTCAGAGGCGAGAAGTCGTTCTCGTATGTCAAGCATTTCTCCGCCGCTAAGCTTCATAGATTCTCGACGTCTATGCGCGACTTTCAGCGTAATGCGCCACCCCAGTGGAATGACCCAGGGAAAGAACCCCAAGAACCCCAGTGAAAGGGTTGGCCCAGGGAAAGAACCCCCAGCGGAAGAAGTCCCCAGCACCTCCTGTCCTGACAGCAACCACACCGTTGTGCACTGCAACTTGCCGCTTCCGCCACACATCGCCGCAGCTACGCAGAAACACTAGCAATGAAGCCTGTTGGTGTTATCCGCGCTCTGGCGCTTGCCGGTGGACTTCAGTGTGCAGCTGCTGTCGCACTGCCGGATGAGCTTTCCCCCACCATCTCCCCGATGCGCAGCGACAATGACACAATGACAATCATGGGCGGTTTCGCTCAGTCCTGCGGGAAATACTGTATCAATCAAGTTTACACCAACCAGCTGAACGCGGAATACCGGAGGTTGGACACAGTTTGGCAGGGCACGTACATTTTCATGTGGGAAGGTTACGCCAACCGTTGCGGAAAGCTGGTTGCAGACCGGGATAAGTTACTGCTCCAGTCGAATTGCTGAACGCCAGCGCTGGTGTGGACCACCATTGATCTCAGTAAGTCTCTTCCATCTTAATCGATAATAACAAGTCCTTATGCCTTTTGCATACTTCGTATGAAGACGACGGGAAGAAGTAGAAGCCGATACGTACTGAATAGATGTCGATATCGGAAACAACAACGGTAAATTGGAGTGCCATGGGCGAACCTTCTCGCGCTAGATAGTAATGTCTGGACTTTACCTCTGTGATCAAGAAAATACAGGGTGCTCCATGTCTATTCATTTCAACCCATCTAGGCCGTTGTTTGAAGTGGATGGAATCGAAGGGCTTCCTCGGGCATATTTTCTTAATAATATGTTGATCAGACTACAACGACTATCTATCTGAGCCTGAGAATACTCCGTATAAGCTCTCCTTCTTGACTCATCCTCGTTTAAACGCAGAGAATAAAACCAGCCTAACTTCCGCAAGTACCAAAGTTGGGGCGGCAACCGGAACCGCAATGAGCTATGGTCGTGCCACAAAACCCGGCAGATGAGCAGCAGTTGCCAAACCCAGGGCTAAGACAGGTCTTGCTGCCTTTTTCTGGACCACATGTGCCGTCGCTGGACACGTTGAAACCAGTCTTGCAGGTACCAAAGTTCGGCCGGCAGCCCGAACCGCAATGGGCGGCCATCGACCCGCCGAAGCCCGCCGAGGAGCAGCATGTGCCGAACCCTGAGCCTGTACACGTCTTGCTGCCTTTGTCAGGGCCACAACTGCCATCGGCCGAGAAGTTTGACCCGGTACACGTGCCGAAGGAAGCCTGGCAGCCGGCCTTGCAATGGCCATCCGTGCTGCCGCACCAGCCGCCTGAAGAACAACAGTCGCCAAAGGCACTGCCCTTGCAGGTGAGGCGTTGTGCTCCTCCACATAATCCATCGACCGATATGGGGTCTCCCGCGGTGCAGGAGCCAAAGTCGGGCTGGCACGACCCTGGCCTGCAGTGATCTGTAGAGTTTCCGCAAAAGCCAGAGGAGGAGCAGCAATCCCCAAAGGGAGAGCCCCCACAGACAAACCCGCCCTTGGCGGTGCCACATGTGCCGTCTTCATGCAAGATTCGATGGCCATGGGTTAGTCTTGACTGAAAACTACAACATATTAGGGTATATCCGACTTGAACTCACCTGGACTGATGTCTCCTGGCCCTGGAGGAGGCGGCGTTGGTGTGTTTTCCGTGCAGCTTCCATACGCTTGCTGGCAACCAGTGCCGCAGAACTGTGGCCCATCACCGCACTTTCCAGAGCTGGCACAGCAGTATCCCCAGATGGAGTTGCAGACCTGGGAGCGCCCTGTGCCTGCCCCACACGTGCCGTCCGTGGAGTTACCCGTCTGCCAAATGGACAGCGCTGGCCAGTCTGTAGGATCCGGTGGAGATACCGTGCAGTTGCCAGACCAGCAGCTTGCAGAATCACAGAAGCCGGTGCCCGAGCCACAGCTTCCGCTCTTGTTGCAACAAGTACCCCAGTTGCCACCGCACTGCTTGCCGTTGGCAGGACCACACGTTCCTGTGGTAACCATTACCTAATAGATTTTTGAGGTCCAAGTAGATTGGTGAGGTGTCTGTAGAGGACTTGACGATGTGCAATAGGAAGAGCGCATTCTGCAGTACTAGCACATCTCAAACTTTAAAGACATCATGGCGTCTTGAGCATTCCTCGCTTCGGCAGAGGGCTGGCTCGTATCCAAAGGTCTACAGGGGGGGCTCCACATATTCGCGGCAATCTCGCTAGCCAACGGTGCAAGGCAGAATTCTCAACACCAACCAACAAAAAAGTCTGGTGGCCGCACGAAGGACGGCCTGCATGGAGAGTGTCCACCCCGGGAAAAGCAACATGGATGACAGCTACCAACAACCAACAATCTGCAGGACGGAGGAACTTTTGAGCCTTCGAAAAACCTCAATCGCCCCTGGAGCTCTGTACTCGTCGAGCTTGTTCTTCCAACTCTTTTGACCACGTCTCTTCTGTGAAGCCCGCGATGTCCGTGATGCCAATGAGCCACCATTCCCCCTCGCTCAGGCCGTTCACATTGACCTCTTTTTCTTCGTAGCAGTCTGCGTAGAACAACCTGTCCTTGTGCGACCGCTGCGGGAACCAGAGGGCTTCCCGTGCCCGCAACATGGCCGGCGACTCGGCGTAAGCGACCACCTCGCGCACGAACTGCGCCAGCGTAATTGGACCCTGGTCAGGAGTGTTCTCCATCACCAGGGGCTTTGGGATATGGTCCAGCATTTCGGCGTCCTGCCACCAGTCGTGGTATGTGATGGTTTCAAGATGGACCCGTAGCCGGGACAATGGCGGGTTCGTGGCGGGCTGCAGTCCAAGTGGATGAACACCCTCAGAGGTGTCCCCGTTGAAGAGTGGCACCCATGCCGGTGTCCCACCTGGTCCAAGCGGTAAGTCGAGGACTCGGACGGAGCTGATGGGTTCCCAGAGAGGCCACTCCAGCCGCTCAAAGAGATCGCGACGAATGACGCCCTGGTATCTCGAGGGTTCCGGGGCAGCAACGGTGTGTTGCCGCTCATCCGGGTGATTATTGATGTCGGCCATTGTGGGGGCTCAGGCCACAGGGTCTGTGGTTAGGAGACACTAGCGGATTGTTGGCCGAGGCGGCAGAGGGTGTAATGGGAGCAAGAAACCTTAGAAGGAACATGGTGCCGAGTGTTGGTTGTCCTCTTAAATAATCCATATCCACGGCAGGACCTCGGCAGACCGCGCACGACGGCCCACCTTTGGGCCACGTTTCTTGCCCTTTCTGCACGAACACAACCAACATGCATCCAATGGCTGTGCCTTCAGACAGCCTCCACATGCAAATCTCTGCCGGCTCATCATTTTGCTTAACAATATAGTGTCTGGTTAGATCTTTCGGGAAAAGCTTCCATGCATCTCGCGCCGGGACTCACTTTGTTACGGACAAGAGAAAAATCAGGAACTGCATCACAGATGGCGCCAGGGTACTGAAAAGTTTCGATAGTCGACTTGCAGAGAAGAAATTGTCACACTTGATCCTCTCACGCTTTATAAAGGTGATAATCTCTGTTCTATATCATCTTGATGTCCCAGCACGCATTAACTAGGATGGGTGCCTGCTGGCTTGCTCTGTTGCCTTCCATCTTAGTAACCCACACACAATATATATAAGATGTTGTCTGGTATTTCATGGACGGTCAAGACCGGTGTAATTTATTGAATGCTCCTGCGCTTCAAATCATGCTTACTTATACATCACAGCCTTTTATCAAATGACGCCCGCTGCGGCTGTGGACCAGGGCTCAGCCTTTGTGGGCCCTGTCGTAATGCACTGCAAGTGCTGTTCTATTCCGGCCACCATTTCGAACATGGAGCACTGGAAGCGGACACCTAAAGCCCAGTCGCGACCCCTCGTGAGAGGTGATCCACGATAAACAGGACACAACTTCAAGATTATCGACCAGGCTTCCCCCAGTCACAGTCATAGTCAAGCCCATCGAGATAACACAATGGCCAGACATTACCTAGGAAAGTCTAGACACCAAGCCTTGGATGACAAGGGATCTTTTCCTACTTCAGCCCCCGCCGTCGTTCCCCGAGGGTGTGAATGGAAAGCCTGCCGCATTCGATATCTGGGGTACCCGGTACACCCTGAGCTGTTGGGGATTGGTCTGCTCGCCCTCCGAGTATGCCTTGATGGGCGTGGCACAAACGTAAGAGCGACTACGACATCTGCTACGTATCCGGCTTCTGGAAGCACCGACTCGAGGAGAATATTATGCCTTCTGCGATTGACAACATCGACGGCGTGTTCGGCAGGAGCTGTAGCTACCGCGCTAACTCTGGTATCGATTACGACGGGAGTGGGGATGATGCACTTGTCGGCCGCCTCGAGTGTCCGGGTTGGGATGACGCAAAGTGCTTCAAAAAGTCTGCTTCATTCACCTGTTTCGAACAGTCGAATTATTTGAGAGTGCGTTGCTCTTGGGAATGAGATGATTAGCTATATTCGAACAGTTCGAAATAACTTGGCATAATAATAAATGTTTGTTGTAGATAACAAAGAAACGGATTCAACTATAAGTACACCGGCGATGAAAAGATCCATAACAGGATCGAAATGCGGTTGTTATCCCCACTGGCTCTGTGAGGGTCTGGTGCGCAAATCACCAGGAAGATGAGAGTGACTTGAGCTGACATGATCTGTTGTATTTTTGGATAAGTTGCTTGGTTTGTTCCACACGTTGGCGCCACCCGCGTCAAAGAGCGGTACCCACATCGGCCACCCCCTGTCTTGTCCCACGGCCAAATCGAGGATTCGGAGGGAGCTGATTGGTCTCCAACCCGAGATCGCGGCAGACAATAGGCTATAGCGCCAACGAGAGAGTGTTTCTGTCAGCTATTGTGGGGCAGACCACAGGGTCTTGTCAGAAGAAGAGGTAGGCGGAATATCAGTCGACGCGGATGAAATATAGTCAATAATAGGAAAAAGAAACTGTGCACGCTGTCCCATCTCCTTGACGTCTTCGTTGCCAGAGGTCGAGACCGCGCTTAGTCACGCAGAAATGCTGGGTACAAATAGCTATCGTGAAACCACAGGCCGTACCAGACATTTTCTTCTTTCAATCAGTCCAGGTTAAATCGAATCTTGCACATTCTAACTTGAATTGGCTCTTTCTTGCTACCGGGTACCTGTACTTACACGCCAACCACCACACCCACCAGCTACTGTCTAAAAATCAATCCCAAACGCCCTCTAGAAAGATGGCTTCGCCAGTCTTCGACCACGTCATCGTCGGTGGAGGGCTTGCGGGATGCGTTATTGCCAGTCGCCTAAAGGAGTACAGCGCAGAATCGAAGATCTTGCTCGTCGAGGCTGGCGGCGATACGCGGGATCGACCGGACATTGCCAACTCGCATGCTATGAATCTGGGTGTGCCCGATGTGGACTGGCAGTATCAGACGGTGCCGCAGAAGCATCTCTCTGATCGGTCTGTGCTTTTCAATGCCGGCAAGGGGCTTGGTGGTGGCACCTTGATTAACGCAGGTATGGTCTCTACAACACTGACATGGAATGACCTTGCCACTGACCCAGTACGACCTAGGCGGATGGACTCGAGGCGCCGCGGCTGACTTCAACGAGTGGGCCAGCTTGGTAGGCGACTCACGCTGGAGCTACGAGGGTCAATTGCCGTGGATGAAGAAAACGGAACGGTGGCTCAGCAAGGACGTCAATGCCGAGCAGCACGGCTTCGATGGATATATGCACACCTGCAATCTCGAGACAACGGGCCGCAGGTATCCGCTGACGGACGCGATTGGCGCCGCGTGGGACGAAGAGCTGATGGGCGTGAAGCCACTCCCTGGCTTTGATGCTAACGCGGGAAACAATCTCGGTCGGGCATTGGTGTGTGAGGCCTGGAACAGCGGAAAGAGGCAGTGGTCGGCCAGCGTGTATCCGCTGGATGGGGTCGAGATCATGACGGAAACCCTCGTGGAGAAGATCCTGCTCGAAGCGAACAGGGATGGCAAGCCCGTCGCTGCGAAGGGCGTCCAGCTGGCAGATGGGAGCTGCATCCGCTCGCACAATGTAATATGCTGTGCCGGAGCGTTCAGATCGCCACAGCTGCTCATGCTATCTGGCGTAGGACCCCCAGAGCACCTCAGCGACCACGGCATACAGAAACTCGTGGATCTCCCAGCGGTAGGCCAAGGCCTGACTGATCACCCGCTCCTTTTCCAGCGCTGGCGCCTGCGCGACCCCGACGCGGGCTACATGGTCGGCTCGGACAACCCGCTCTTCCAGCAACCCGAATTCGGCCTCGGCCAGCCTTCGGATTGGATGGTGTTGACCACCGTGGCCCAGGGGGGTTTAGCACGGGCCATTGAGAAAGACCAAGGCGCCGTCCCTGACATGGACAAGCACCCGCTCCTTAGCTCGCCAAGGACATTCATCGAGACGGTATCGATGCACTTCAAGATGCCCGGGCCAGACATGCCCATGGACGCTGCGCACATGTCCACCGCCATGTTCAACCTCTTGCCCACCTCGCGTGGCAGCGTCACACTGTCATCGGACAAGATCCAAGATCCGCCTGTGGTCGACGTCAACTACCTCTCTACGGAGGTGGACAGGTACGTCTTCCGCGAAGCACTGCGCACGACTGCCAAACTCATGCTGGGTACCGAGTTTGGCCGCGAATACATTGAGGGCGAGTCGGTTCCGCCTCCGCTCCAGCCGGCGTCGCTTGACGACACCGACGAGAATCTCGACCAGAGGGTCAGGGCAGGCGCAACGTGTGGCTGGCATGCATCGGGCACTTGCGCCATGGGCAAAGTGGTCGACACCGAGTTCCGCGTGTATGGTGTCGAGGGGCTCAGGGTCGTGGATGCTTCGGTGCTGCCCGTGCCCCTCAGTGCCCATTTACAGGCTCCCATATACGCCATGGCTGAACAGGCGGCTTCCATCATTGCTGGTCGGAGTTGACAGAGAAATACAGACTGAGCATCTAACTCATCTCGACATAATATATTATTTGGTACTCTGCTTGTATGAGATTAAATCACTCCCATAATGCTACCTCTTCAACCCTGCCAAACCTCCTTGCTCTTGTTGTTGGAATCGACAGGTGGTCTGGCAGTCAGCCCAACGTGGTATGACCTTCGGTACGCTGGTGGTAGATGCGACTCAGGCTCCCAGTCAACAGGGAGAGAAATCCTCATTGGGCTGCTCTTATCACCCGCATCTACGCCTTCTGCTCCTTGCCCTCCACGCTGGTCGTTCCAACATCGTCGGATGAGGTGTCCTCGCTGCTCTTGAACATACCGGTGGTGCTCCTATGGTGCGCATTAGATATTGAGTCTTACGGGCGCTGTGTGCTCGACTTACTTGGGCAACTCAAGGTTTGGCAAGAAGACCGTCATGATAATCGCGGGCACGCAGGTGCCGATTGCCGCATACGTGATGTAGCGAAGCACATCCGAGTACTGAATAAGGGAAAGAAGAGTAATTAGCACATGGCTCGAGCGGTAAGAAAAGTAGCTGGACACACGTACCGCATAGTTGATGGCAATCCGGTCAGGACTGTTCCAGGCGGGCAATTCACCAGTGATGGAGTCATAGATAGTGTCCACAAGTTCCGAAGAGGCCGAGTCGCCAAGCCACGCTCGCAAGGAGGGCTTCATCGTGTTGGTGTAGATGGCACCCGCAATGGAGCTACCCACGCTGCTGCCGAGGAAGCTGAACGAAAAGACCAGGGCGAGCACCTGTGCCATCTGGGTCTTGGGCACGACCAGCTGCGGGGGAATAATCAGGCAGGTGGCGATGATGCCGCTGCCGAAGCCCTGAATGAGCTGCTGGCCAAAGAGTTCGCCGGTGCTGTTGAATTGGCCACGCAACATGACCATGATGCCGTAGCCGATCAGCCGCAGGACCGAACCGGCCATGACCAGCCACTTGTAGCGGCCGGTGTACCACATGATGGCGCCCGCGATGATGCCCGAGAACGTCTGGGTCACGCCGTTGGTGTAGACGTAGAAATTGGCAACTAAGGGCTGCATGCCATGGACGACGATGCCCCATGCGTAAAGGTACGTGTGCGTGGCGCTGAAACCGACCGAGTCAATAGCCATGAGCAGGCAGCAAAGTACGACAGTGCTGTTCTTCAGATAGGAAACGGGCACGATGGGGTTCGTGGCATAATGCTTCTCGTAGAAGGGCAATGCCACGAGGATAACTACGCCGACAATCATCAGGGCAATGATCCAGGGAGTCGACCATGCTGCTGGCTGAGAGCCGGCCAGGGTCAGGGGCAGCAGGAGGCAGGCGAAGCCCGCGACGAAGAAGAGCATGCCGCCGAGATCAACCTCGCCGCAAAACTGGGCCAGGGTGCGCTTCTTGGGCTTGAGAATTCCGGCCTTCTTGGCTTTGCGCTCGTAGTAGAAGAGCGTGATGATGATGAAAGATGCGCCAAAGGGCATAAGGAAGCCCAGCATGCCGATACCCCAGCGCCAACCGATGCCACCCTCCTTGACCACACTGTCGACAATGAGGGCGGCGACCCAGGGCGAGATGAGGAAGGGGAAGTACGAGATACCAATGGCAAAACCCCTGTGGCGGAAAGTCGTGATGTCGGAGATGAGAACATTCTATCACGCGCGAGAGGCACAACTTGTCAGTGAACATGCATGCATGCATACAGACCCCTTCGAGTGAGTGAGTCGGGATCGGATCAACCTACAGTCATCACGTTGGTGCCGGACTGTCCAATGGCATAGAATATACCGCCAGCCGCGTAGGCTCCGATCGACGTGGCGGTGGTCTTGAGGATGTAGGACAGTAGGTAGCAGGCGACGCAGAGGGTCAGGACCTGGCCTCTGCCGATGGCATCGGAGAGCTTGGCGAGCGGCGGCTTGCAGACGGCGAAAATGATGGTGTTAGCCGTGCTCAGCGTGCCGAGCAGCGAGAGCGAGTCAAAGTCCGACGTGGCGTAGTTGCCATACGTGTACACGGTCGAATTGTCTAGCTGGAAGAGGATCATGATCATGGCAAGTCTGGTAGGTCCCTTCTGATCAGTTGCTTGTCTCTTCATTGGTCTACTATACGCCAAATCGCACGAAGGAAGTGAAGACAGGCTGTACCTACCCGAGTACGACGAGGCGCCTGCCTGTCTTTCCCCAGACCTTTTGCGCGGCTTCGATGGAGGTCAAATTGGTCGACTCGGTCTCCTCGCCGGCAGCGACCACGATCGGGGAGGCGGGCCCCTTCTCGCCGCCATCGGCGGGAGCTTCCATGTCTGGCATATTCACAGCTTGGCCCAATAAAACAATAGATGCCTAGTATGCCCTTGTTTGCAGGCCGTTATGCGCTGGAGCACAGACGAGAGTTTGGAAGGACCTCTCACTGCTGCTGCTGCTGGCTGAGAAACGGCTGCGTGCAAGCGCAGACAAGAGGCGGGTGAAAGAGGATACCGCTGCCTTCCTATACATGTTGTTGCCCGCGTCGTCGACTCAAAAAGGCATATCAGCCCGGCGATCAGTGGCCGGGTTGCGGCGGAGTGTTTCCGACGAGAGGTCCCCGAGACTCCACAGTCCATCTCACAACCAGGTCTTCGGGACCGTCTTGCCTGCGCCTTGCCGATGATAAAACGGCGCGCTATCCGCTTGTCCTTGGGGTGTCGGGGACCTTGTCTCCGAGAGCGGCATGGGGATGTGCGCGGGGTTTGCACCAAGACAGGTCTTTTCCCACAAATCCATTGCTGGTGAAGCCTTATCTCAAGATCCACCAAGACGCCGTTCCAGGCGTGGGTGAGCCCTAGGCCCGGGAATAAATCCCGTCTTTAGCCGTGCTCCGGTCAGGGTGGTAGCCGACGGAGAATTGTGGATTAGCGAAGGAGCTCTGGAGGCAGATCAGGCCAGTGGCGAAGCTCGCTCATTGGTCCGGCACGCACCCTTGATCCTTGCCTGACAGCAACTAGACCTGGGGAAGGGGTTGAGATAAGCAGCGGACGTTGTCAATGGTGGGGTTGACCCAGCCACCGGGCGGCGCCCTACGAACGGCTCAGACAAGAGTTGCCGACGGAACGACTTCATCTCATGCCCAGGTGTTTTGTCGGTAAAGCAAAGCCGCACAAGAAGGTCATGCCAACGAGTGACTGTGTCGACAACCCACGACACGGCCGCGTCAACATGGCGTCCGAAAAGGAGATGTCTGCACACATGCACATACACAAACTGGACCAGCACCGGCCTGCCACGGGCCGATGGCCTAGATCGTTGCTTGTCGCGGCGCTGCTGAGCATCGGCCTTCTCGCTACATACGCAAACCCCGCCAAATGGCTTCGTGCCTCGCCAGAGGTCATCAACCACAGCAGCCTTGAGGATGAGCTGGAGAAACCATGGGATTGGGCATCTGTCAGTCCCAGCGAGGACATCGAGTGGCACGCATGCTACGGCGGGGAATTCGACTGCGCCCGGCTGGATGTAAGTTGAAGGACAATAATTGCCAGTCCCGTCTACTGCATTCAGAGAGCTGACGTTCTGATGACGACAGGTGCCGCTTGACTGGATAGACCCGTCAAAAGAGCAGCGGGTCGTGCTGGCCGTCCTGCGGTATCAAGCAAAGACCAGTGTCAATTATCAGGGGCCGATCGTTGTCAATCCGGGTGTACGTTGAGAGCTGGCCCTTTCGCGACAATCCGATGCAGATTTTCTAACATAGATGCACAGGGCCCCGGCGGATCAGGTGTTTCCTTTCTGAAAGGCCACGCGAAGGAGCTCCAGGCAATTGTGGGAGACAACCATGTGCGTGTTTCTGTCCGCCCACCTTTATTAATACTTGAAAGTATTGACCCAGCGCTTCACAGGATATCATCAGCTTTGATCCCAGAGGAAGTAAGTTGTCAAAGATGTCCACGACCCGGTGATGCCATGTCGCTAACACTTGCAAATAGTCGGAGCCTCCGTGCCGCGCATCGACTGCTGGGGCTCGACCAAGGAGCGACATGACTGGGAATTGCTCGACGAGAGCGTCATAGACGCCTATCCGGGTCTGTTGTATGAGGCCTATGTCAGGGCACAGGCATTCTCGGAGCAATGCGAGCGCTACATGAATACCAGCACGCCAGACCTCCTGCGTCACGTGAGCACCGCCTCTCATGCTCGCGACATGCTGGAGATCTCGGACAGGGCTGGCTTCCCCCGGCTCAAGTACTGGGGGTTCAGCTACGGCACCATCCTCGGCGGCACGTTTGCCGCCATGTTCCCGGACCGCGTCGAGCGCCTGGTCAGCGATGGTAACGTGGACTACCATGACTGGTTCTCTCTCGAGCAGCTCAACTTTATCGAAGACTCGGACAAGATCATGGAGAAGTTCTTCACGGCCTGCGCGCAAGTCGGACTGGAGAAATGCCCATTTGCGCTGGATTCACCCGACGCCATTCGGACGAGGTATCTCGGGCTGCTCAATAGACTCCGCAAGAGCCCTGTAGTCATCCCAGCTTTCGCGAACGGGACCACGCCAGCAATGCCGGAACTCGTCACCTATGCTCAATTCCAGCTGCTCATCCGCAGCACCATCTACAAGCCCCTGCACGGCTTCCCCGCTCTGGCCAGGGCAATGGTTGCCCTGGAGCAAGGAGACGGCCTGCCCTTTTACAACATGGCAAACAAGCAGGCGCCCACGTTGGACTTCTGCGCCCTGAACAACACGTCGCCACTGACGCCCGTGACCGATGATGAAACCAGCAGCTGGGACGCCTTCCCGGCCATCATGTGCGCCGACGGCGAGCCCTTTACCGACACGCCCGACGAGTTCGCCGCCTACGTCGACGCGCTAGTCGCGCAGAGCAAGTACGCCGGCCCATCAAACGTGCACTTCCGGCTCGCATGTGCGGGCAGAGCTGTCCGCCCCAAGTACCGGGCCGCCGGGCCATGGCACGACATCAAGACCCATTTCCCCATCCTGTTCATCGGCAACGTGGCAGACAACGTGACTCCGCTGCAGAGCGCGCGCAACAACTCTGGCAAGTTTCCTGGCTCGGCCTTGCTGGTCCAGAACTCGTACGGCCACTGCTCCCTCGCGGCCCCATCGACCTGCACGGCAAAGGTCGTGCGTGCCTACTTCCAGAATGGGACCCTGCCCGAGGCTGGCACGGAGTGCGACCAGGATTACGACTTCTTCCAGGACCCGCCTGCGAACGTCCTCGCAGAAGACCAGGATGCTGCTGCCCTTGCTAGGGCTGTGGCGGAGCTCTCGCGCAACGTAGACTTACAACTCTGAAGCCAGCGGTCTGTGAACGTCAAAAGACAGAGTCACATCTGTATTTGATTATCTAGGGCGCAAGGCATATCATTTGGCCCTGAGTTCTCAAATGTATTGGGCAAGGTCTGACTCTATAGAATCCCGCGGGAGCACACGAGGCTTCCTGATAGACCATGCCACTCATGCATGGGTGTGTGATGTTTGACATTGGTCCCAGTTTCAGTTGGCCGAGAATCCCTCAACGAGGGCTAAGATACCGCAGGAACAAGCACGACATTCAGTCCGTGGTTAGCACCAACTTGGAAACCCATCCGCCGTACCTTGTCCTCGTCCATCTCCGCATTCTCTAATCTCTCGAACCTCATAATCATCCTTGCGATAGCGTATGTAACCCAATATAGAGACAATGACTGAGCGGGGCAGATGCGTGGCCCGCCACTAAAAGGAAGATACTCCCATGTAGGCCGCAGTTTGTTGTCCGCCCACCGCTCTGGCCGGAACTCGTTGGCGTCGGGGCCCCAGATCTCAGGGTCGCGGTGCATAGCTGCGAAACTGATGTGGGCGACGTCGCCTGGCATGATTGCAATCGGGTCCTTGCCATCTGGTCCCCCACCGACAGGGAGGGAGGTTGCACGGCGGCAGTGACGCGTCGTTCCCCCAAGAGGGGGATCAAGGCGGAGGGCTAATGATGGCCGGCGGCAGATTAGCACCTATGGAACTAGGATCTCATGAGGCCCTCGGGGAGTGTACGCACCTTCTTTCACGGTCCACTGGAGATACTTGCACCCCTTGATCCCTTCAAAGTTCAACTGCCCCGGTGCGACACCCCTCAGCTCCTCGCGCAACCTGGCCCATGCCCGGGGACACCGCGCGAGATGAAACAACGCCCCAGACAGCGCCACACCCGGCGTCTCGCGGCCCCCGAGGAAGGTATGCATCAACTGGTCACGAAGCCACTTCTTGTCCGCCGTCTGCCCTGCCAAATCCACCGCAAATGCATACTTGGTTCTTTGCCCGTCGGTTGTATTGGCCGCATCAATCGCTTGGTCTAGCAATATCCCCGTCCACCCATTTACAAAGTCCATCGACTCCCTGTACCTCCTGTCCAACGACTGCACAAGCCTGCCTAATATGGGACCGAGGATGAACCGCTTGAATACCACAGAGAGCCCATAGTTATACGCGTCGAGGAAATCCTGGCCCGTTTTCGCTTCGGCTGGGACGAGGCTCTTGAAGCTCTGATCGAAGAGGAAATCGGAAATGGCGTCCAGGACAAGGCGGTCGACCAAGGGGAACAGATTCAGGGGCTGGCCATCCGTGGGAATCGCTCCAAGGAACCTCGCCACGTGGACCTCGAACATGTCGCGGTCTGCCACGTTGCCACGCAGGAATGCTGGGCGGAGCGTGGCCCGCGCATGTCGCCAGGCTTCTCCATCGGATGTGAGGATCCCGGGGCCGATGAAATCCTGAATGAGCTCTGAGCGCTTGGGATCCATGCCCCAGCTGTCGAAGTCGGTCGCGAAGACGGAACGGGCGTTTGATGGCTCGCGTGTGTTGATGTAGCGCGTGGTAAAGCCTAGCGGTGCCGACTAGTACGTCGCTGCGTATGTCCGCGGATAGGTGGGGGCAAAGAGCCGATCGACCTGGGCGCGGACGCGCTGTTTCTTCATCGTGTCGCTAAAGTCTTTGTAGAAGTGGTCCAGGCCGAATATCGGGTCACGGGTGCGAAGACTGCGCGGAGGGCTGTTGCTGTTGGCGAGCTGCTGGCTCCACTGCCGTCGTCTGTATTGCTTTCTGAGGCGAGAGGTGGCAAAGATGGCGATCAAGGCGCCGAGTATTACTGTAAACCACGCCATTCTGGTGACTTGTTCGGTGCTAAAGAAAGGAAGAACATAAATGAATGGCTTCGGGGATAGCAAGGTGGAGATTGATTGCGCCCAGTCTTGGGCGCGTGTCGGGGGAGTACGGCTATATAGCGTGTGGGTGTGCTTACGAGAGAACGTACTCCAAAAGTAAGCCGGCCATATAAGCAGGCAGGCCAACTTATACAGAGGAGCAAGAAAGCCACAAATCGGCTAAGTTGCCTGCCACCCTATCACAATTTAGTGACCAGGGTCGGCCGGCTGACCTGAATGGTTCACGGTTTGTGTTTTGGCAGCGGCGGAGGCGATTAGATTTGCAATTCTATTCTCAACATCTCTACTGAGCCAAGAGGCCGGCATCTGGCGCTACCCCGCCCATCTGAACACCCAGTTCCCTGACTGCCCGTTACTCGACGACCACGACGCCACGGTACCGCATCTTGCCATCCCGCAGCTTCTGCATTGCGTCCGACACGCCCTTCTGGTTCATGGGAAACGTTTCGATCTGAGGCCTGACCCCGCGCTTCGCCGCGAACCTCAGCATCTGCTTGATGTTCTGGCTGCTCGCCAGCCCCGAGCCGAGGACGCTCAGGCCCTTGCCGCCGATCAACGAGAACGGACTCAGGTGCATGTCGTCGAAACCGATGGTCATGAAGATGACGGTGCCGCCCGGTGCCATGTACGGCAGGTAGGTCGACTTGTCGGGCACCCCGCTGGTCGTGAGGAGCATGTAGTCGAGCTTGCCGGCGCCCGTGAGCTTCTCGACGTCCGCGTGGTCGCCGCTGGTGACGTAGAACTCGGAGGCGCCGAACTTCATCGCCTCGTCTCTCTTGGTCTCGGACGAGGACAGCACCACCGCCTCCATGCCCATCTTGTCTGCGAACTGGATGGCCAGGTGTCCCAGGCCTCCAACGCCCATGATGCCCACGCGGTCGCCGGCCTTGGCGCCGTACGCGTACAGCGCCTGCCAGACGGTGGCTCCGCCACAGACCAACGGCCCTGCGTGCTCCGAGTCGATCTCGTCGGGGATCTTGTAGAGCGCCGAGACGTCCCAGGTCGTGGCGGTGGCGAAGCCGCCCCGGTCATGGTTGGCCTCGCCGAACGCGACCGAATTGTCGCAGATGTTCTGCCGGCCGGTAAGGCAGCCCTTGCAGCGGCCGCAGAACTGCTGGAACCAGCCCATCAGGACGCGGTCACCGACCTTGAAGTCGGAGATGGTGGAGACCATGGAGCCCAGCTCGGTAATGGTGCCCACGCCCTCGTGGCCCAGACCCTGATCGGCGTGGCGATAGTGCTGGTCGGTGCCGCAGACGCCGCAGTGGGTGATCTTGACCGAGACCTCCGTGGGTCCGGGCGTGCGGCTGCCGCGGGACTCGACAATGTCGCCGGTGGCGGAGCCCTTGAAGACGGTGAACTCGACTGCTGCCATTTTGGATGATTTGCTGAGATAATGGCGATGCTAGCGTGATGCTTGTGGTTTGTATGTGCTTTCGGTAGTGGAGTGATGTGATCACTGACTGGAGGTGAAGAAACTGTTGTTCTGTGCTGGTGAAGAGTCTCTCCAGATCGAGGCTCCCCGTGGCCTTCTTATAATGGGAAGAGGAGGCAACATTGCGATGGCTGTTCGAATGTCGAGAACCGAGAAGCTTGTTCTGGATGACGAAGCCATTGGCAACATCGTATCAGTTTTCGTCGTCGCTGTCGGCATGACAAAACCTGTGTGCGGTCTTCGTGGGGCTCACTCTGCGGGCATATAATATGCGCCGCACCGATTACCACACCGTTGGGAGTTTGCCCCACTTCGGACCGCACCGCGGCCCCACTAATTCCAAGCGGGACCCGCACGACTCCACTTTAGACCGCACCTCGCAAGTCTCATGGACCGCAGTGGATCTACCTACGGCACTTAGGTATTTTGGAATTTCAGTCGGCCGGGAACCCCGTTCGCAGCGCCGCCATCTCTGACATCATGCATGCTGGGGAGCTTTGAATGACAGATAGTATGTGCTTTTTTTTGTTCTTGTTTTTGATTTTGTTTTTGGCTGGCATGGACACGCACACAGCGATCCTCGGCTAGGTGAGATAAGAATAACGTAGCGTAAGGTCATGAATGTGAATGCTCAAATATGTAGTTGGTCGAATACCAAGTCAGCATAATCACACCTCTCCAATCTCCTTCCACGGGGCCCTCAGGGTCTCGGTACACCCAACGAGCACCAGCCTCTCAAACCCGTCCGTCCGATCGTTCATCCCGGGCTCCTTGTCCCAAACATTCCGGACCTCCTTCAGCTGGACCGTCTCGTCCACCACCTCGGGCGGCATCATCGCGAATACGTCCCTCCCCGCATTCCAGATGCCTGGGCGCGCCGAGAGAGGGACGAGCCACATGCTCGATTTGGATTGGTAGCACAAGCCGCCTGTTCTGAACTGGAAGAAGATGACGTAGAGCTTCAGGACGATGAAGACGGTGCGGCGCACGCTCTCGGCGACGATCCAAGATTCCCAGGTTTTGTCACTGCTATTATCACTGTCGTTGTCAGTGATGGTCCTGTTCTTGCGGGAAAGCTCAATGTCTGCACGCCGCAGTAGGCGAAGTGCGAGAGCCTCGACAAGGTGTGCCTGCTGTTCGGCCGCTATGCGCTGCTGCAGATCGCCCTTGAAGATCCGGATGCTCTGGTACAGCAACACGGCCTGCAGGCTCGCCAGGTCGTCCAGCAACGTGGTCTCGGTGGGTGCGATGTTCTGCAGCTTGGCAAACTCGGCATCAAGCGTGCGGAAGAGCATGGACCGGCTCCGCTCGTTCATGCGCGTGCTGCCGGCACAGACCCCAAAGGCGGCCTGCATGGCCTGGGGCAGGTACTGGTTGTAGAGATCCTGGTGGATGAAGGGTGTGGCGGCCTCCTCGGCCAGCATGCGGGGGTACTCGCGGTACTGCGAGAGCACCCAGGGGGAGTCGATGGTGTCGTAGACGAGCGGCTGCATCTCGCCCAGGATGCCCAGGGTCTTGGGTATGCTTGTTGGCATCCACGGCTCGAGCATTGCGGTCGTGGATGGGTCCTGCTCCCACCAGAACTCGGGAGACTGTGACCAAGTCTCCATCTGTGTCACCTCTGCCATGCTGTTCCCCGGGGCGGCTGCGGAGGTCTCCAGGGGCATGAGGAAGTCCACATCTACGACCGGGCCGATGAAGGACGGGGTCCCGGGTGCGGGCTCCGAGGAGCCGGGGCCGCTCGGTGCGGGCGTCTGCGGTGGGTACGCATACTGACAGGCCTTGTGCGTGCGCTGGCACCGGCCGCATGTGGGAAAGGCCAGGTCGCACTTCCGCCTGCCGGCAAAGCAGGTGTCACATGATCTCCGGCGGATCGACATGGTCCTGCGAACCTAGGGCGCAGTACAGAGACAAGTAGTGGGGCCGGGGATTGGTAGTCCGCTGCGAGATCGCCAGGGGCTGGTGTGATAAGTAGTCATCCAGTGCTTGATGCAGTGGTGCGTAAGGCGGCTTTGCACATGGCATTATTTTGCACCGAGTGAGGACCAGCTCTGCTCTTGAGCTAAGGCATGCCGTCACGGGCTTTGGTCGAGCGCAGCTGACAAATCCCACCCTCGGCCTGACGCAGGGCGCTGACTTGCAGCTCGCGAGGGTCCACTTATTTCGTATGTCGCACCCGCTTAATCATCACAAAGAGCTTGACGATGATGGTAATACGGCTATGGAAAAATCATTCAAGCCATCGGAAATGGCGATGGAAATAAAGTTAAAAAATGCTCAGGGATTTTTAAACTGTTATTGCTTAGATAGAACCCCTCCCGCGCTCTATAACAATCTCATCTTCGCCAGTCACAAAATTAACGATATTAAAACCCAATGTATTAGCAAAGTATCCTAGCGACGAGTGTGCCTCAAATCACTTTCCCTCGGCATACCGCTTCAGCTCTGCGTTCATACGCAGATGGCCCTGTTCCAAATCCTTGAATGCGCTGGAGAGTGCGTTCGCGAGAGGAGGCAAGCACCCGGTGAACTTCTCGCCCTGGGTGAACTTGGTGCCCTTGACCCCATCGACGGTAGTCTCCTCGAGTGTGCACCAGTGCTCGGCCCGGAAGATGGCCGAGTGGACCATGGTGCCCCACCACCGCATCTCCCGGCCCGGGTTGAACACGGAGATGGTGTTGTGGTACTGTGCCGGCTTGCCGCCCGGCTGCGTGGGCGCGACGGTGATGGTTGTGGGTGTGCCGACGGTGGTTTCGGACAGGGGAACCGGTGATGCAACAGCCGTGATGAAGCTATTCCATTCACCGTACGAGGCGAAGTCGGTGATAATCGCCCACACCGTGGAGGCCGGCGCGGCAATGAAGACGGAGTTCTCGATTCGAACCATGTCGGAGTCTTGATAAGTAATCGCTGGTGTCTGAATCTGCCCAATCCGCGAGAGTTTGTGCTGGACGTTTCGCTTTTGAGCTGCAGGACTTTTGGATTTCTGCAGTGAACTGAGCAGGTGTACGGGAAGACCAAGGTCTGTTCCTCGCTCTGTTATCACCGTCTTCGACTAGTTGATCTGCTGTTCATGTTCGCAAAACAGAGCCGTAACCAGGAGGCCACGCCCGGTTTATTTATACATTGCAGGCCTTCAGTCCTGCATATCGCGAATAGCCTTTAGCAACTCTGTAGACCCGTCTTTGACAGCGTCATTGTGCCCCCGCTTGGCCGGGTTGCGCCGACGGCACGTGTCATGCCTGCATGCAACCGAAAGAAGCCTAGTGCCGGAATCGAGTCCGCCCGGCGGTCCAACTTCATTGCGGGGCCCCGGACCAGGTCTATATCGATGGAACAAAACAGGAGTCGATTCTCGAGCTGGATCGACGGCTTTCATTGAAGCAAAAAAGGTACCTGGTCTTGTCCTCCATCTCTGACCCGAAACCGTCAGGAGACCTCGCTGCCGTCGATCCCTCCAACCGTGCTTATCACGGCGCCACCAACCCCAACGACACTACTGTCGCTGACGCCGCTAAGAATTAGAGCAGCAACGCCGCCAGCCAGTGGTGTCCCGCCGGGTGTCCTCGGCTCTACGTCTCTCGTCAACAGCGTCGACCTGTTCGACCAGTCAATAAGTAGGGCAGTATTTACCAGGCTTCTTTATGATGCTCTCTAGGTGAAGTACCAACTTATCACACTGCACCGTCTTGCAATAATTACACCTGTTTGCCATGACCTTTATGACTACAAGTTGTTTCTCTTCTCTAAATGCAGCGAATATGATATGCAAAGTAGGATATATGTACAGTAAGCCCGCGAAGCTGATCCGCATATGAATGACAACAAATGAAAATACAATACACCAAAGTCAGCTCTCGAACCCCAATGCCGCCAATGTCTAATCGTACGGGTATCAGTTCCCCATTCCCATTCTCCTCCTCGACCCAAGCCTATATTCATCACTGGATGCCTAAGCAGTCATGGCATACTGAGGCGGGGCGTCAGCCACGATACCGTGACTGCTCATCTTGTGCTGCTTGTGGCCGTGGTGCGGTAGTAGGCCCTTGGCCTTGGCCTTGAGGCCCCGGTGGCTCTTGTTGGCCAGGCGCTCCTGCTCAGCCATAATCTTCTTGTTGGCTTCGGGGTCTTCGGCAGAGTATAGAGGAGGCACCTCGAGAGCGAGCTGGAGGGCCTTGGCTTGCTTCTTTTCTTGGCGGCGATCGTAAACTTCCTTGCTGCCAATGTAGATGAGGGCGATGGCACCGATGACGATGGCAGCCATTTGGTGTTTGTTGTTGGCGCAGTGGTGTGAATGATGAAGGTGGAAGGAGTTTGTGGCAGGTTCTATCTATGTAGACCTGGATGCGATGCCGAGTACTGAATGCTTTACAGACTCAAGTACGCGGTTGGATGACTGGTGACCAAGGTTGGATGTAGTATATGTTGCTGTGTTGTATTGTGTTGTGCTGTTATTAAGTGTTTGTTGCTGTTATTGTTGATGGTAGTGGTAGTGGTAGTGGCGAATCCTGATTGTGAGTGCCATGATGGGGGCTTTTATAGTTGTCAACGCGATTCCAACCCATTTGCACTGCCTCGTTGGCGCTGTATCTTGAATGACCCCGAGTCACTCATTGTCAGCACTGCCGTACAAGCCACGGGCCGGGTGACGAGCGTGTTTGCTTCGAGAGGGTGTGGTATTCCACCGTAATGATAGATTCGCATGCCGCTAAGTCAAACTGCACTCCGTGACACAGCCCATTTAGCAGGGTTCGCAAGTGACTATTTGTAAAAGTCGAGTGCGGAGCTGATAGGGCGGTCTTGGTTTGACTCCTACTGGCGGCTTTCGTATTTGGAATTCTTCAATTTCCAGCCAATGGGGTGGCTCCACCAGAATTTGTCATGATGGCCGCAGGCATCGTCTACGCACGGGCCATTCGGCGCAGCGTTGGTGCTTGCAGGCAGTCTCCCAGCTGCGCCACCCTTTTCGTCGTAACACCATTTTTCTTGGGTGCGTCCTCGCGCCGAAAGCTTAAAATCACGTTCAAGTACTGGGCCTGGAGCGTAGGGATTGGAGATGCAACTCTTGCAGATAACAAGGGCTGATCCACTCATAGCTGAATCTGTCGACAATTGACACGTGGAACAAGCAAGCCTTTAGCGACGTCTCCGGTTGAGCTTGAGAAATGTCTCTATTTGACCTTTGCTTGTTTCCCCCAAAGACTCGTCTCCCTAGCTTTCTCACAATCACACATCCGCCTTGGCGGCGCGGCCCTCGCGGCATCCATGTCGCGACAGTCAGTGCAACAACGCACATCTGAGCAGTCGTCACAGACCACAAGCACCAGGTAGCACCCTGCACTGGTGCATTTCCTGATCCCATCCCCCGGCTTGGCGCACTCGACACACGCTGCCACCTTCTCGCTGCCGTCCAGACCCAGAGACCCCCTAGCATCAAACACAAAGTTTCTCCCTCTGTACAACGAATCTGAAGGCCGCATTCGCCCAGCGGCGATCTCGGCCTCCATCCATGTCAGATATGCCGCTATCCCGCCTCGCAGCGTGTAAACATCCGCTGCCGGGTGTTCCGGGTTCGCAGTCCTATTCATTTCCTCCGCAAGCCACCGTGCGCCCTTCTCGCACCGGATTCCTCCCGTACAATATGTGAACACGCTCTGTTGCTCCGTCGTCGTCGTTGTCGCCACCGCTTGTGCGTCCGCGATACGACTCCCAAACACCCTGTCATTGACAGCCATCTTGACATAGGCAGGCCACTGCCCGAACCGCCGCACGGCAGGCCGGATAGCCGGTTGCCCGCTCTTGCCGACAAAGTATCCCAGTCTCGACTCGTAATGGTTTCTTACATCCACCATGGTGATGTTCTCCTCTTTGGCGACACGCCGGTGCCATTCCGGCGGGCTGAGCTCCTTGACGACATCCCAGTCCTTCGGTAGCCAATTCGTCACTCCGAGGGGCGTGATCTCCGCCTTGATCAGGACGTCTTGCTTACCTGCGAAGACGCACGCGCACCCTCGAGAGGGCTTGAAGAAGGCATCTACATCTTGCGGCGTTGACAGCGGCAGCGAGGCGAATGACCAGTGCGGGATGCAGGCTGCGATATAAGACTCGATGCCCTCCTTTGTGCCGCCAATGGTGATGTTGAAGCCTTCAGTGGACAGCCTGATCTTGCAACCCAGTTGTAGATCTGTGACCAGGGTCTGGTGGAAGCTCTGTAGTTCTTGAAGGCGGGCGGGCGTGATGTCGAAAGGGAGGGCAGGGGGTGCGGAGAAGTACCGGTAAAAGAGCAGGACGGCGCCCGCTTCAGCTGCTGCTTTGCTGCATGGGCACGTGCAGGTGTAGTTCACGGGATTTGGGTCGCGTGTTGACATCTTGAAGTGCTGATCTGGCGGCCGGACCCCCATGCTGGACATCGAAGTTGAAGTCCCTGGCGATTTTTCTCAAAAAAAGGTCGTGCCAAGTGGGGCTGAACTGAAACCCCACCCGTTCGCTGAAGTCTCCGATCCGCAGTTTATCTTGATTCTCATGATTGCAATGTGGCCTCGCATGTTCCGGGCTTGCGCTTTTCGACTCCTGGAGGCCGCCACACTCCTTTGTTTTGCTCTCTGAGATTGATTCCATTTCCCACCTGCTGGCAAGTTCCTGTACTTACTTGGTGATTCATGATGATCGGCGTGGCCCCCATGATAATCCACCAGGGGTACCCGTGACGTATGAAGCCCTCCTTTGGTGCTCTGGAAGACCGGAAAGCTGGCCTCAGGCAGTATGAGGACCCTGGCATCCGCCAATTGCTCTACTACCGGTGGAACACGACGCTGCGGGCAACGCAAGTGTCAAACATTCGCATTTGTGACAGCACCTTCTGGCAGCAGCACATCACCAGGACGAACCACCAGAAGGTCGACTCGACAACCACCGGCTTTGATGACAGGAAGCTGGTAGGCACAAACCCCTGCCATAGCCAACCAATGATGTTCAACTGACTGCGACCGTGACGTCGGCGTCGGTAGCTGTCAGACACCTCTTCCAGCCTCATCATCACCTGCCATGTGATGACAAGTCTACGCTCTCTCCTCCCTCAATTACGCATACTGCACTCCATAACAGTCGTTCCACGTAGCCACGATGGCTTCTGTCAGCCCGGCGTCCACAAGTGGCGAACCAGCCATCACCACGTCCACATTCCACCCTTTTCTGGGCCTCCCCTACGAAATCCGCCACAAGATCTATCTGCTCGCAACATATCGGCGTATCGTGCACGTCCAAGAGCGTTTTCTGCCATTCCAATCTTATCATGCCGCGCGCCGTCATTTCGACGCGCACTATCTCGAGCATTGGCACGAAATCGGTATCCACCCTTCCGTTGCAGCCTTTGCTCCATTGTGGAAGGAGAATACGGTTGAGCGCATGAGGCAGCAGCATGAGCAAGTCGAACCCACAGATGACGACAGGATTCTGGAAGTCGGACAGCGCAAGACGCGGGGTTGGGCAAGGAAGCTTGGGCTTCTGACAGCTCGAGCCGAGAACATGGACCTCGACAAACGTACTGCAGCCTCCGACAGAGGCAGCGGCAGCGGCAGCGACAGCGACGAGGACGACTATGAGCTGCCGCTACCGCTCCGCCCTTGGAAACCAACCCCGGAACTCCCCGAGCTGCCGTTGCACTGGCTGTGGGAGTCAGCAGACTCGGCATGGCAGTTCCAGAGAGAGTCGCAGCTCTTCAGTCGGGCGCCGATCCCAGCCCTGCTGCATGTTTGTGTCGAATCAAGGAATACGATGAGAGAGGCAGGGTATGAGTTGACCTTTGGGACACCCGCGAGAAGACACGTTGGGCAAGCTGCCAATGGTGTCCGCGACGGAGGCGTCATCCCAGGCATGACTTGGTTCAACTTCCGCCACGACACCCTCTACATCGGCCACGCAACTTACGACTACGACAACGAAGACGACGCAAACCTGCCTCCTTATCGAGAGAGCCACGAATCAAAAGCCAACGAGTCGGAGACCAGCAATGGTCGTACAATCCCGAATCGCATTGGCTATTCCCAGCCATGGGATCTCGCGCCCTTCCTCCCCTCTGATCTGCGTCGGGTGACACGCATCATGCTCCCACACTGCAGCCTGGCCATGACTTTACCTGAATGGGGCGGCGCTCATTTCGCGCTCTTCCTCGACGGGAGCACACTGGAAAATTGGCAGCCGCTGTTCCCGGCTCTGAAAGAGTTGTTTCTCGCAGAGTGGGCCCTGCTAGGTGGTTGTGCCGCTTGCGCCTCAGATAAGGAGCTGCAAAAACAGGGCAATGAAGATGGAGCCAAGGATGAAGTAGCCAGGACACACCACAGTGACGGGCCCTGCATGCAAGACATCCAGAAACACCGTCTCGCTCGGGAAGCTGAGCCGTGGTTCGCGATAGCGATGCAAGAAGTCGACTCCTTCTCCCGAATCATGTATAAGGATGGCGGCGCTGGTCGCGACGGTGGGAGTGCAGTCGGGATAGCTGCGATGTACATGCACAAGACCGCCAGAGAACGCGGCCCTGGTGACGCGTCCAATATCGGGGGAAATGGGAATGGCACACGGCGCGATTTCTTCGAACTTCGCGGCCATCAATTGCGGATTGGAGCCGAGTTGATATTCAGGGAGGATTGGTTTGCCTCCGTGGGCGAGGACGGTGAGTCCCCAGGGTTCGAGGAGCCCGGGTGGTTCACGGAGCCCGAGGAACCTGAGTGGTTCCCTGAGGTCAAGTTTGTGCACGTAGGCACTGCAGCTATGCTGCGCGACCTCGAAACTGAACGGGCGCGGGTGTGGGAAAAGCTCAACCGCGACTTTGGAGATCCTGGCGACGAGATTGACCATGGGCCAGACTTCGCGGAATGGGTGAATACATTCATGCAGGGACAGCACTCTTGGCTCCCGGCTAGGGACCATGCCCAAAAATCTCGTCCAGAGATGCCGCTGGCATGGGACGCCCCCAGGGGTTGGACTGTGCATAAGATATGTCCGCCATGGAAGGAGAAGTTTGAGTGGAGTATCGACCGCTGAGTCGATCTTCACAACCTTACTGGACGTTTATATGACTTGACAGTGAAGACGAGAATCTGCTCACTCTCTTCACGCCGTTCGATCTGCCTAGAATATTTAAGACCACGAGCGCTTACGGGATGGCTCCCCGCCCATCACAGCGATGAGCGGATGCTAGCACGCCGAAGGGCCTCCGATAACGTACAGGTCGGTCGCCAAGGTTGGGTGGACGAGGCGATACGTCTTAGCGCATGGATCGGATATCTCCCTATCCCGCACGCTTTCGACCACGGAATCCAGGCTTTGTGATGTGACACGCAGAAGAGCAGACGGTTGCATGCTTCGCCAGCAGGCACTTGCTCCTGTCCCACGAGGGCTCCGACGATCAAGGACCGAACCTTGAGACACTGGCAGGGATTTAACCTGCGGTTGCACTGAAGGACGCCACAATCTCAGTGTGCCATCCAATATCCGCAGACTGCCGTTGCATCGCGAGATCGGTCAATTCTGCTTTCAGCTTAGGGATTCCGGTTCTCCATCACTGCATGGGGCTTGCACGGTCAAGAGTAATAGTTGGTGGAGAGGGATACATGGCTCAAGTCTGACTTGCCTCGCGACAATTACCGCTTGGAGGCGGAAAGACAAAAGCTCGGAGAAGATGTCTAGTGTAATATGAACAGCTATTTCTTAACATCTTGCTCGTGAAACTTGCGCACGACTTGAAGCGTTGCGTAGTAGCTGAATGGTAGAGCAATGAACCAAAGCCCGCAATTGATGCTTGCTGTGGCGATGAGGGCAGTCGGAACTGCTTGTACCCCAAAGCCAACGGCCACACCCGCTGTCTCGATGCCGCGGAGCAATGAGCTGTACCTAATCTGATGCCCAGGAGAGTCTGACAGATTGCCGATGCACCAGTAAATATAGTTCTCCACCAGACCTAGGCTGACACGCTCAAGCATGTAGACGCCGAAGCCACGGCCGAAGGTAGTCTGATCTGCGTAATCGAGTGTTGGGTTGGTGTGACGAAACTCGTTCTGGATTATAACGGCCCATATCCAGGTGGCGCTGTTGACCGCGACGATGAGACTGAACGTAGCGACAGCCCGGACCTGCCGACTCTTGTGCCACGGCAGGTCCACTAACGAGCCGCCCACCCAGGTAGCCAATGTGCCGACCACGGCAGTCATGAGGCTGGCCAGCGCTCTAGATCGTACGGTGAAGTAGGTAGCAAGGTACGTCCCCGGATATGCTTGAATCCACCCGTAATACCAGAAGAGTGGCACAAGCAGTAGAATGGAACGGCTCCGAGCCAGTCTCCACATCTCTGAAAGCTCAACACCCCAATTGATACCTCGTGGGGCCTCGATATGTGTACCATCATCGCGTTGGACCTTCTCTGGATTGGATAGAAGCAGGCCAAAAAAGAAGCCCAGGCACTGTATCGCGATAAATCCCAGGTACGTCTGGTAGGAAACCTGGCCCTTTTGTGCAATATTGACGTTGAGCGCAAGCGAGATGGAGCCTGAGATGACGTTGCCCAGGTTGCGACCGGTGAACCACGTCGCAATGTACCTACCACGCTTGTGTTGTTCCGGATAACCCGTGGCGATAGCCCCTTCCACACTCCAGAAGAAACCAGCCGAGATTCCACAGGTGGTTGAGCCCAGATACTGTGACGCGCGTTAACCATGAGGTGGGTGAGTGGCTAGGCTTGAACCAGCAAACGGGTAGGGCCTTGCCACTTACTACTAGCCATGTAATACCCCAGCGATTATTCAGATACAGACCAGCGGCGTACAGAGGGTAGCCTACAGCACCTAGAGCAAGCGTCCACCGGAAACCAATCAAGTTGGTAAGCCAAGGCCCCAGAAAACAAGTTACCGTCATGAATGCGTAGAGGAGCGCATTGGCGGCATTGACGAGATTTGGAGACTGGCTGCCCCCAACCCCCAAGCCATTCATGGCGGACCAGACACCGGGCGCACAGAATGCACATAAGCTGACGACCAGAATCTGAAACAGCGTGGTCCGGTAGAAAAGCTTGACTTTGGAGGTAGGAGAAAGGGCACCCATGGAATTGTGGTGGCCCAAGCCTACCTCAGCGTCCTCATCAAGTCCGCCTTGGGAGACCTTTTCCTGTACCGCAGCCATCTGTCGTAGTCCTGAAAATGGTAGCTTGGATTCGCAGGAGGTGGAAATGTCGATAACTGTAATTAGCGGTCGAATTCCGGCGGCTGAGCGCGTGGTCGGGACTACTGTTGCTTCATGAACTCATAAAATCATTCACGTATGCAGTCATTACGCAAACGCGGAAGGAAATGACACAAGCTGTCGTTATCGCTCCTACTCAAGTTCGACCCGCCGATTTCGGGGCACATGGCCAAACCCTGTTGAACTGACCAATGTCTATGAACGCAGAGCACATCATCATGCTTTGCCTCATGCCTGGGAAATCCCGGAATACCGGACCGATATGGCTGCTGATCGTTATTGGTCCTTGCCGCATGAGCATCCTCAACCCCGCGATGGCGTGATCCAGAACAACGTCTCCACCCAACATGTGAATCAATATTGCATTAGTTCTATTATACTAGGAATGAAACACGGATATCTTTGGGAAAGCACGACTGCAAGATATGCTCTGCTTCCAGAAGAGACAACTCTTGCCTTGCAGGTTGTTCAGGGCTGCCTATATCCACTGCTCCGACAAAGATACAAAATGGCGACTTCAGTAGACCATCTGCCTTCGGCGCTGTTCGCAATCCATCAGCCAGCCCCAGTGCCGGTACTATTCGAAGAATTCAGTCTTCCCAACGGGAACCAGAGGGTATTGGGTCAGCCACACCCCGAAGGAATTGTGAGTCCGCTGGCGCTGCGCCCACTACTATCAAGTAGCGAGGACCTCAGCCTGGACAAGGCCATTGAGACTATCAAGGCCCTACAAGCCCAAGACGGTATCTTGACCCGGAAGCTGGCGTTGCATGGGACGGTGCTGTTCCGCGGCTTGCCCATACGCAATGCTGAGGATTTCAGCAGGTTTGCTCACGCTTTTGGCTTCAAGCCGCACGAGATCATTGGAATCGTGGTGAATCGCCCGCTCTTAGCGCCCAATGTAGCTCCGGCCAACGAAGCGCCCAAGGAGATGCTCATCTACAGCCACAACGAGTCGCCACAGGTCCCCCATGCGCCTGAATACATATTCTTCTATGGCCACCAGGCCCCTGTCACCGGCGGCGAGTCGCCCATTTCATCCTCGTTGGAGCTGTTTCACCGTGCCCAACAAGAAATTCCCGCATTCGTCTCGGAGCTCGCTGCCAAGGGCATCCTGAGCCGCGTCACCTATAAGTTCGACAAACAGTATGAGGGCGGCTCGACGCTTCGCCAAGCCTTTGGGAAGGAGATTGAAGACGGCGACGATGAGGTCACGCGGCGCGCCAAGATCGAGGCGCAGATTCGTCGCTATGGCCGCGGCGAACACACCACCTGGGAATGGACCGACGAGGGCATTGTCTTGACACATCGGCTCCCGGCCATCCGTACCCAGCCGGAGACGGGCCTGCCCACTTTGTTTACAGGGCTCGCGGCCTATTACAAGAACAACAAGCTCAACAGCCCTACAGCCACCGCTCGCAAGAACGCGACGCAGCAGCTGTACGGCGACGGCACGCCCATCCCGGACAAGTATCTCGAACACCTAGCTAACATCACCGACGAAATTCGTGTGCTGCACAAGTGGCAGCAGGGCGACGTGCTTGTCTATGACAACATCATTGCGCAGCATGGTCGGCAGCCCTGGGAAGGGGAGCAGTCCGATCGCGTAGTTTTGGCGAGCCTATTTGACGGCGATAGTGTTCCTGGTGCATATGGTAACCAGGACTGGGCCCAGGTGGTACAGGCATTAGCTGGATAAGCAATCACGTCTCTTGGCTGCGTTTAGCTATGGAAAGACTGCAGAGCCGTTTGCCTGCCTCGCCTAACGGTTGAGCCGAAGTCCGTCACATTCGTAGAAGCGCTTGACAAGTTTTACCCGTGTAACTGTTATCCACGGTTAATCGAAATCACCGACTGGCACCGTTTGAGCATTCTCAGAGGAACCCCCTCTTCTTTGCGCAACCTGGCTGGATCAAATGGAACGTTCGCCCACCGCCCGAAAAGCTACCAGGGAAGAAGTTGCACAAGGCCTTTTACTGCGCAGCATGAATGAAAGCCTGTCATGTGCCGTCTATAGACTTCTTCCAGGGAGAATAACCACAGCGCTACGGCCATGCTTCAGCATCGTCCAGCGCGAACAGAGGCCCTGTTGCTATAATTAGCACTCCATAACATACGTGTAATAGTTAACTAGTCGAAAAGGCTCCCTAAGGTCAATACTTACCAAAAGTCCCAGCCCTCCTGTCTGCCGCTCCCACCCCTTTCGCAGCGGTTGACCAGATACTGCGCAAGCTCTGTGCATTTAGCGCTAGATAGCGTCGCTGGGCTGCCGTAGTTATTGCTGATCCGGAAGTCAAACCTGTTGACGCCTAGAGCCGCATTATAGCAGCCTGTCTTTGCTGCCGCGAGGCCGTACGAGCCGCTGCCTCCGCTGCCGCTACACCACCGCACTGCCGCAGCAAGCGCTGCATCTTTGTTATCGCCCCAGGTCTTGTCGGTCGTGGATGAACTGCACGTATGCGAGCTTTGGGGCTGGAAGCCGATGGTACGCACACAGACGTAGGCGTTGGCCCACAGCCCGTTACACGTCTCGCCTACTGACATGTGCCAATCTCTCAGGCGCGAGGGGCGGATGCCGTGCTGGGCGCCGATGGAGGCGCAGGTATCGCCAGATTTGACCAGGTAGAAGCGGTCACAATTGGGCGTCATGCCCGGCTGAGTCGGGGTAGGCGTGGCGATGCCATTGCCGGTAGTCGTGGTAGTGGTCGACGTCGGCCTCGTCGTGGTCGTGGGGAGGCCGATGGTGCGGACGCAGGCGTATGCATTGGCCCAGAGCCCACTGCAGGCGGACCCGACGGCCCTGTTCCAGCTGGTGAACTGGGCCACGGTGATGCCGTGCTGACTCGCGATACCTGCGCACGTGTCGCCAGCCTTGACAAAGTAGAACCGGTCGCAGTTAGTGGCAATGTCAGGCTGAGTAGGCTGGGGCGTCTCGATGCCATTAGTAGGCACTGTGGGAGCGGATGTGGTCTTTGTGGTTGAAGTGCGAGGCGTGGTAGGCGTGGCCGTGGTGGACGTGGTAGATGTGGTCTTCTGGCTGTAGATGGCGCCGGGGAGCAGAGATAGGCGCTTCAATACAGTAGGCGCGCCCGACGAGGAAGTTGCCACAACCAGCAGTGAGAGAAGGGTTCTAGTTTATCGTTAGTATTTCGTAAACCTGGATAATATGAATTGAGATAGATCCTTAGCAAACTGACCCAAAATATGAAATCCTCCACAGGGACTCCCCAGTTCCGTAACAAATTAGTGCAAGTTACAGAGCCATCATTATCATACCACCAACTACACTGTGAGATGGTATTTGGATCGTAAGGCATCTCTGGCTTGTCTCCCAGTACTTGAAACGGGGGAGAAACGGTACTATTGGCCGGAAAAGGGCTTGCCAAGGCACGATAGCAGGTAAGCGATGCTATGACGCCGAGGATCCGGGCGCGATAGCCTACTCGGGGCGACATTATGAAGGTCGTTGTAAGAGACGACGTGAATTAGCTCTTGGAAGCGAGATTACCATGAGCTGAAGCCGTGATACATAGAATGTTCCACGAAGGTTTTATATAGGTTAAGTGTTGAGAGTAACTACAATACTGCGAAGGACTCCCGTGCTCAATTAGCTTCCTTGTGGATGGACAACCCATCAAACCTTTAACCTCCCTTCCTATGCGACCCAAGACTGACGGTCCAGCCCACACACGGAAATGGATGCCTGGACATCATATTTTCTTCGGGGCTTACCAACGCCGCGTATTATGGGCCAATTTTCAGGTGGACCGGACGCCGAAGCTCTTCTGCATGTAACGTCAAAGGGGGTGCATCGGCAGCATGCTGGTAATAACGCGCTACCCACGGAACTTTCCATTCCAGTTTCCCCGCACTAGGCAACGGAGATAAGTTAGGCGGCCCCTTGTTCAGTATGGTCTGCTTTGTACATACAAAAGGTCTGGCATGCGCGGCGACAAGGTCATACGCCGCTTAGTCATTAGACACAGTTGGGTTCCACTCACGGTTCAAGCATCCCTGTAAGGATAGTTGCTGCTCCATTATACGGACGACCTAGAATAGAACTTCTGGCCTGGAGGCATACATAGCCACGATCGGTCTTATTCTGAACCTGGCCAGGTATAGGACCATCATTAACTATATACGACCATCCATTGTTCCCTAATGATTAACCGGCCAGGTTGCCAGCTACCGCACTAGCTAACCACATCTAGTTTCCTGCTTCCCTATTATCGCCTCGTCTGAGGTAAGCTAAACCTCCCATGGTAAATACAGACTGAAGTAGTTGTCTATAGAGGGACTCCTTATCAATCTTTCACGTCATTTTCGCTCAACTACGAGACAGCCGTTATTCTTGAGGATTAGTAAATACGACTTAGCAGCGAAATTCATTGAGTCCATCGTGACGAGAAGGAAACTAGTCACAGTCTGAATTCAGTCTGGCGCTACATAGTCACATAGAACGTTGCACCTCTGGTTGGGCCTCATGAGGTTGAATAACCTAGAGAGCCCTTCGAGAATCCCTGGGAGAAAGGGTCTTCATGGGATGCGGCGTGGTGGGGCCGGCTGACTAGGCGGAAACGCCGGAACTCGCTCAGGCTATACAGTGCGCTCAATCCATGAAAATAACGTGAGAGCTCTTTGTCTAAAGTTCCTCCACCATTAAATTCTAGTATCCAAGACAATAGTGGTTGGTCTGAATAAGCGGCAATTACTGCACCCCGTGTTGGGGTGCAATTCCTTGCTGACCTGAATTCTTGGCGGATGCTAACCCCTGTCTTTATGGGTGACCACCAACGTGGGTCTTGACACCCATCAAGATTGATTGTCCAGCCACCAGGGTCTCATCTTGAGCTTCGTCAATATGAAACGGATGTTCCCGAAAGCGGCTTCGGCCGTATGGCAAAGTCGCAATGCGTCACTGTCTGGACTACCCTTAGAGCGAAGCGGCTGATGGGCCGTGATCAATCTTAGGCAACCGCGTTTTTATATCAAGTCCTAGCTACCCAACTACCGTTTTCTTGTTCCGCTGGCTTTCTTATCCGGTAACACTGCAGTCGACAAGTCCGGCTTTCAAAATATGTTGTGGCAAGGCAATTGTCTGAGGGTCGCCGCAATGGCGGCCATCTTCAACCTCTACACTTTTGCTTCCGCACAAGACACCACGAGGAGCAATCATACTCATTTCCCCACCTTCTTTCATCCCGGGAACTCATCCGAGAGTCGCTGTCCAGTGTCTTATTTTGATGCTGCTCCAACGAGCTTTTCTTGGTCCCGACTCTTTTCCATTCAAGATCTCGACAAATGTCAGGACACGGTCCTCTTTGAGACTATGCTCCGGTTTCCGTTGGAGGCGCCAGATAGACAAACCCTCTTCAAAGCCTGTACTTCATCGACTTCGGACGCTCGAATCGACCCAAACGAATACGGCGAACAAGCTCTTAGTGGAGCTGACGTCGTGGACTCTTACGCGGATGTCGAGGTTGGATGGAGCGATCATAGGGCGCCTTTATCAGAATCTAAATTCCAAGTTGCCGAAGCTGCGCTCAAGCTGCAGACCCAAATTATGCGAGACCCCAATAACAAGCTGAGGGCCACATTCGCCAAGGCTGGCAAATCCATTGTTGGACTCTACGTTGGAGGGGAAATCCATCGATCGTCATCCATCTCTCTTATCCGGGACTTCGTCGATCGCCTCAATGGCACTGGACCAGATGCTCTATCCATGCCCTCCCGCCTGGTTAACCAGATCTGCGGACCCACTGGTGTCCGATCGACTACACACGTCTTCGGGATTGTAACCGATACGGAAGGAGATCTGGGGGCTGTGCATAGCATCGTCAGAGGCTGGGCAGAAGTGGTGTGTGTCTCTGGCCTCGACCGAAGCTACCTTCTCCGAAACCAGTCGCACCGCCTTATCCCAGCTGTCCCGCTCACAGCGGAATCTATTACCAGCGGCTTCTTCAATTCGTCTGCTGCGAGCAACAGCTCAACGGCCACGAGCAGTCTTCACCGGCGCGCGCAAGGCTAGCAACTGCGTTAGCGAAAACGACGTGCGAGCGCATGTCGAGTTGCCAAGGTTGACTTTGGTGACAGTTGCTGGTCTGTGGCAGAAGAGAAGTGCGGCATCTCTCTTAGTGCTCTTTACGAGTGCAACAACCTTGATGCTGCTTATTGTGGCAACATGGCCACGGGGGACCAGCTGTGTTGCTCAGCGGGAGGAACTACGAATGACCTCACAGGTAAGCCCCCGTGCTTCTCGTACTGAAAGCAAAGCTCGTTTCCTACGGGAGTCCAATAGATCATCAGCTAACGAGAGCCGTCCGAAGTCATGGCTGAGGAAAATGATGATTTCGAATGCAAATATACGATCATCGAGCAAAATGACCTCTGCGCGAGTATCGCATCCCGCTGCAACATCCCGGTCAAAAAGCTGATCGAGTGGAATGGGGGGGACGACAAGTTGTGCAACAAGCTAATGCCAAAGGAGCCGATATGTTGCTCTCTCGGCAAAAAGCCCGACTTGCGCCCGAAGCCGCAAGAGAATGGAGATTGTGCTGTCTACGAGATTCAGGGCGATGATGGCTGTTGGTTGATTGCAGACAGGTTCCATCTGACGCAGGAAGAGATACACAAACTCAACGTCGGAAAAACCTGGGGCTGGTCCGGATGCGGGAGCCTGTTTCGGGATCAGAAAATCTGCGTCAGCACAGGCAACCCTCCAATGCCCGCACAGCTTGAGGGTGTCACCTGTGGTCCACAGGTCAAAGGCACGGTCCGCCCGACAGACGGCACAAAGATTACGGATTTGAACCCTTGTCCACTTAATGTGTGCTGCTCAGGATGGGGATACTGCGGACTTGTAGGCACATTCCTCGCCCCAGGCCCAACCACGATATAAAACCTGCTAACAGCTCCAACACAGACCGAGGAGTTTTGTGTTGATACTAGTATTGATAACACCCCCGGCACAGCCAGGCCGTCTACAAATGGCTGTATTTCAAATTGTGGGAAGATCGAGATTACTAATAACGACAGGCCACCTGCAAATTTCATACGCGTGGGATACTTCGAAGGATGGAATGGGGAACGACCGTGTCTAAACATGGACGTTGATGAAATTGGAAGCCCTATCACGCACATCCATTTCGCATTCGGCGATATCAGTAATGACTTCGTACCTAGCGTTGGGGGTGACATTCAGGACCAATGGCAAAAGTTCCTCAAAATCACTAGTCAAAAGAGAATCATCTCTTTCGGCGGCTGGGCGTTCTCCAATGAGCCAGTAAGTCGAGCTCCTCTAGTCTGGCGATCCTGACACTAAACTACATACACTCAGGGGACATCACACATTATACGCCAGGGTGTGAAGCCGGCTAACCGACAAAGACTTGCGGACAATATTATCAAGTTCGTCGTCGATAACAATCTTGACGGCGTCGACTTTGACTGGGAATACCCTGGCGCGTACGACATTGACGGGTCCGACATGGGAACGGCCGAGGATGGCGCGAATTACTTCAGGTTCCTGACGCTTGTCCGTAACGGACTGCCAAAAGACAAATCTCTTGCTATAGCGGCTCCTGCATCCTACTGGTATCTCCGGCATTTTATGATTGCCGAGTCTGCCAGGGTTCTCGACTACATTGTATACATGACCTACGACTTTCATGGCCAATGGGATGTGGGGAACAAGTGGACAAGGTGAGGCGCCTTCAAAACTCCGTTCCAAGACACTTCGTCCAGAGTGTCGTTTTGCCGGATCTGGTGTTCATATGACTAACTTGGGTAATTCTCGCAGTCCTGGTTGTGATAACGGTGACTGCCTGAGATCCCACGTCAATATCACAGAGACTATGGACGCGCTCGCTATGATCACCAGGGCCGGAGTCCCAGCGAGCAAGGTTATAGTAGGCATAACCAGCTACGGGCGCAGCTTTAAAATGGCAGACCCAAACTGCTGGGGACCGACGTGCAAGTACCTTGGGACTCGAGACAATTCACCTGCCCAGAAAGGGAAATGCACAAACACTGGCGGGTATCTTGCCAACGCCGAGATCGACGACATCAAAAACGGCAGTGTCCCGTTCCGAGAGCTATACGACGGAGGCTCCGACTCAGACATCATGATATACAACGGCGTCGAATACGTCGGTTATATGAGCGACAGAACCAAACAGCGTCGTGTTAACCTGTACAAGAGCCTGAACTTTGGCGGCGCGACCGACTGGGCGGTCGACTTGGCAGGAGACATTGGCACTGGGGACAAAGACAACGTTGTATACATTGGGCCGGAGGTATATACCCAAAATTCCATGGGATGCACCGCCCCTTGCACGATTGTACTCCCTCCAAGCCCCTTACCAGCACCCGAAACCATCTCCATCGACTCATACGTGACGTCGTTACAAGTCGGTACTACTACCACTACGATAACTATAAGACCAGCACCTCAGACCATCTCGGAAGTCCCCTTTTACAACATTATTATCGATTCCAAGGCCGGCACTGAGACAGTCGTCCAGCCATATCCCCGCGTTACTCTTCCCCCAGTCGGCGTGCCGGTGAGCTGGGTCAACGGCGGGACAACAACGACCTCTACGAGGACGGTTGTCCTCCCCCCGTGGCCGCAAATCACTAACGGTCCACCAGAGGACTGGAAAGGGACAGATACGCCGTCGAATATCCCGTCGAGCATCCCGACGTCGACGGATGGCGACATTCCTCCTCCGCCGACAGCAACCCAGCCAATGCCGACCTGGAAGGACTGGTACAAGATGCCAGCGGTCATTAAGCCTGTGACAAATCAGCCGGATGACGACGACGACGACGACGACGACGACGACGACGACGGCTTTGCGATTATTCCGTGCGATCTTTGGTTCTTCTCGGTAAGCTTTTACAGTGTGCCCTTATCAATTCTGCATTCAAACATATATTACGCACACAAGACTAGGCGACTAACTATCATCTTCTACTAGTCGTGCATCAAGCTAGGCAATACCGAGATCAAAGGCTGGAAGTGGAAGCTTCCTACTGGAGTCATTGGCCCGTAAGTACTTCAAGAGCGGCTCTGCAATGAATCGACAGGAGTGAGGCACATACGCGGTCTCATAATAGCCCAATGCGATTCGTGTCTGGCAGTGGTCGATCTCCTTTCTCGTTTTTATACAGAAGAAACCTAACATTGTCATCCTGCAGTGGACCACCTCCTCCAAACCTTGTCCCATTACCACCAGGCTGGCAGTGGAAAAGACCTCGTTTGCCACCCTGGCCAAGAATCGTGTACGTCATTTCCCTTCTCAATCTCCTATCAATTGATTTGTGTCACTCACAAGGTGAGAAAGAATCGGACGTGGCTCAAAGCCTGTGGCAATGCCAGACAAGCCGGATCCCTGCGAGACGAAAACAGCATCCGCGTGCGGCACAATTACTGTGCATGGTGTCGACGACCAAGGAACCACGAAAGTGACAACCACATCGCATGTGACCACAACTTGCGCGACCGTCTATGGATGTGCGGTCAGGGACTACGATGAATCGACGGAGACAGACGACACTTCCTGCCGCCTTGCTAAGAGAACTGAGCCGGCACATATCGTGCCGGCGGTATTGGCCACAATGACAGCGGGGGCTCCAATATCCGCTAGGACTGTAGCCGCAGATTCGCCAGAAGTTGGTGATGACGTAAAGCAACCAATATCGACCTCGCAGGAAGAGACATTTGTGGACCTCCATTATAGAACCGACGAAGACGAAGAGGAGTCCTGGGCCGACGATGCAAAAATCGCGGCGACCTGGGAATGCACGAGGCACACTATAGTGCTCATCCAGAAGACTTTCGATGACTCAGACCCCGACAACCAGAAACTGGCAGAACGCTTCAGGAAACTGGCGGATGGCTTGAAGGAGCGGGGTGAAGCAGAACCGCAGACCGTGGTATCACGAGTGCAGTCCAAAACGCGACATTTCACTGCATTTTGGCACATTAAAGATCTTCCGCTGCCTCTTCATGTCAAGATCCTGCAAATGAAGGCGGTGAGTTACTATTTGTGGCCCAAATCATGGTCGCCTGTGATCGATCTGCAGCCCATCGGCTGAAGGCCGCATAGCTAAAGACTTGTCACTAGGTTTCGGTCATTTACGTACCCGGGTACAATGGAAGACCGGATGTTCCAGGTGGGAAGAGCACTGTGGCAAAGCCGGCAGTACTGAGAACGACGAATGAGATTGGGCACGATCATAATGCCGGCGACACTGAAAACGAATCAAGTCGGCAAGAAAGGTTTCAATGGAATACGACAGGACCAGAGACGTCCTATCTGCCAAAACGATACGCGAGGCCATTCAACGACTGGGCCAATTCTCAGATCTCTGCGCCACTACTAGCAGATGACTGGGCCGTCAACCTCGATTTCACAGTAAACCCCGAGGCGACTGGAGCCAACCCCGAGGCGACTACTAAAGGATTGATACACCAATATCACTACCGGAGACCAGCAGGTCAGGGAGAGTACATCTATGTCATTGAGGCATGTATCGACAGAAACAACCCAGAAACCAAATTCGTGGATATCAAGAATACACTGCTAGCACAGAGCTATGGTACTGGACAGAGCACAGACTGCCGCCACGGCACAGCGGTGGCGGCGATGGCGGTCGGCATAAACCTTGGTGTCGCTCGGGAGGCAAGTCTAGTGCCGGTGCACCTTGGAACTGAGGAGGGATACCTATTCGAGCGCTACATTTCCGCTTTAGTACTTGTTTTGGACGACATACGGGACACCGAAAACAACAAGCAAGGCAAAGCGGTCATAAACATGTCCGTCGATATGCCTTACATAATTACAAATGACGACCAGCTCAGAGTTATGGGTACGTAATTGTTTCGTCTCCGCGTTAACCCAAAGGTTCTACTCGTTACTACTTTATTTATCAAGGACAAAAGGGTGGTTCAGTACCTAACTAACACGAGGATCTATTCCTTCTTCCTGTTAACTATAGATTACATACTTCAGGATATCGTGCAGGCCGGTGGAGTTTTAGTCGAAGCAGCAGGTAATTTTCGCCTCGATAAGAATCCCGACTTAGGAAGGCCAACGAACTGCGATGACCGGTTGCCACAACGGCTTATGGGTAGAGGAGCGCTCACGCGTTCCTCGTTTGTGGTCGGTGCTACGGACGGGAACGGCAGGCTGAACCGGGATAGTGAGCGCTTCTCTGACGACAGTATAGCCCGAATTGTTTGGGCGCCGGGCGAGCAGATTAAAATCCCGCTGGTGGGTGGCGGGTACGACTGGGACTCCGGAACGTCAGTCGCAGCCCCAAAGGTTGCGGGCCTCATCGCATACCTTCGCGGACTACAATCGACTTGGAAAACTAACCTTGAGCGCCCCTCTAACGTCAAGAAGTTGGTCCAGGCCTTGACGCGTAACCTCTTGATCCGGGAAGGACCCTGGAAATATCTCTACGATGGCATCCCTGAGCAAGACCTTAACCAGGTAAAACCTTGGGTGCCCTTTATCTGGAACGGCCAGGTCCTCGATAGATCATGCCTGCTTGAAGGATGGGAAAGCCTCCTTTACAGGGGTCTTCCTTGCCCTCGCCTGCCAGCAAACCTTGATGAGCTTCCAGAGTGGTCACCCCCCCACGAGCCCGGTAGCGGCGGCGAGATTGGCGGCATCCCGATGCCCAGGCCGATCACGTGGCGGCGGGGGCCGGCCCAGCCGACTTGTGGTGCCAGCGGCGCCAGATCGACTAGGTGCGGCCGACTCTGCACTGGCACCTACTACTGCGCACAGCTCCCCACGGGAACTCCTCCGGACTTCATCGAACCTGCTCCGCCGCCACCTACCTTCTACCTTTACAACTCGTTCAACTTGGGCCTCTCGAGTGAGAACTACCAAGCGTGGGGAGTCCGATTGTCTGACTGGGGCAACTGCGATACAATGAGTAAGAGTAACCACTTCTTGGGATTCTATACCAGTTGGAGCCAACTCAGCGATTATCCTTGGCCTATGCAAGAGCTGGTTCCCGAGCCCCTCTTCGATTCAGACGTCAGCCTGTGTGGTTTAAAGCCGCGCTACAAGCGTAGGGAGTTAGGCGATTATGAAGTGTTGGAACAAAGCTCGGGTAGGCGGGTCGGGACTTGTATAAAAAGCCCCGAGCTGTCTCATATCTGTAAGCATGAATTCGACCGATCTACAGCTACAGTTATATACCAGTGTACGGGTGCTTGTTAGTAGTAGTATATTAGGATAGAATATTTGAGTTATATATAACGTAATCTATAAGTAACCCTGCTATTACTACCTCTTCCTAGGCTTCTGTGCAGCCCGATAACCCCAGGATCGGCCTCCTGCTGTATTAGCCATTACCCTTCCAACTACTGAAGCGGATGCTGAATGGCCAACTTCCCAAACGTACCCTGGGCATCGACGTTCCGAAGCTCGTCCAAGGCGTCCTCCGCCTTGCCAGACCACGTCCTGATAGCAGGCAGCAAGAAGCCCTTTCCATAGTTCTCGACTGCCCAGTGCAGCCCGGCAGTAATCTTGGCCGACTTGGCCTGGTCTGCGGGGAAAGTCATCGGGCGCGGCAGACCCGGGATAGCAAGCACGACATCCCGAGCTCGCGTGGCGAGAGGGAACGAGGAGCGCGGATCTTGGGATGTGACGGAAGATAAGCGGGCGTTACTGTTCATGTTATTATTGCCGTCCTTGGCCGACGCTGGGCAGCAGCTGACCATCTGTTCAAAGGACGATGGCCCACCATCGCTGGCCCCAAAACTCCCGGCGGCGTCCAGAGCGTACCGCACAGGCCCTTGTTGCTGCGCTTCGACGGCAGCCAAGATCTTGGCTATGACATCCGGGTCGCGGTAGTCAAAGCAGAGAGTGGCCCCGAGGCTCTTCAGAAGCTCGTGCCGTGCGGGTGAGGCCGTCACGAAGATGGGCTTGACGCCGCAGGCCCGTGCGAACTGGATCGTGCAGCATCCCACGGCCGTCGAGCCGCCCCATATGAGAAGAGGGCCACCCTTGCTGTTGCCTTCTGACTGATTCGGGCTCTGGGATGGAAGCGGGAAGCTAAAGATGTTGAACATGACGTCTGCGGCCGTGCTGGCGACGACAGAAAGACATGCTGCGTCGGGCATGGGCATAAGAGCTGTGGGCACACGGAAGAGCCAGTCCACAGGGCAGGCCAGGAACTTCTGGTGCGCGCCATACCGTGCGGGGCGGCCCACGCCGGTCGGCGTCATCCCGGCTACGGCGTTCCCTGGGCTCAGGCCAGAGCCGGACGGACCGGACACGACGCGGCCGCTAAAGTCGTACCCGAGAACAGCGGGGACTACGCCGAGCTGTGTTCCGTGACGGATGTCAGCAGGGTTGACGCCCGAGAACTCGACCTCGATGAGGACCTCATCGGCCTGGGGCTTCGGGATGTTAAAGTCGCGTCTGACTGTCATTTGACAGTCTCTGTCCATATATAGCGCCGTGTTTATAGACTCGGCCATTTTGGTAATGTAGCTACGTGTTGACAAACTCGACGTAGAACGTGAAGAAAGCTAATCATGCATCGACAGATCCACAGGAGGATGAGTGGAAGGATTCCGCCGAGCTTTATCATCGAGTTGAAGCCCGGAGGCTCGGCAATTGTGAGACCGGCCTTCCCCTTGGCCGCCCAACAGCCCAGTCGTGGGGGACCGCGTCACCAGTCGGCCCCACGGTGGTTATTTGAGCCGACGCGAGTCGCACAGACCACTTGCCAGGCCCGCGCGCGACGTCGGCCGTGACGGACTCGGTATATATGTGTGCATGGAAGGAATCTCTCTCATCTTGCCCGGCGTCTTCGGGACGCAGTCAACTATATCATGTGTGTCCCCTTTTGTTTGGCGTGGGCCTGCCGCGCTTGGCGCTGCTGTCGCCCCACAATACTCAATGGGGCCTTGCGGTTGTTAGCTTTGTTATGGGATCTATAGACGTGGTACCGCATCGTGTATCGTGGTAGTCGATATCTAACCCGTGGCGAAGGAAAGAGTCCCCTAAGTAAGGGGTCCCGCACATCGAGAGCTCGTCATCAACGGTGCCTTTCCCTCTAAGACCACGTAGCCGTTTCTATGGTTCACGCGTACGATTTAGACTTTACCGTTCCGCCAGGGATCTCGGGCCCGCACGTCGGCTCCACGGCGCCTTCCAATTGCCGGCACCCGAGGCACTGCATTCTTAACGAAGTTTACTGTTAATGTCTCTGAAACCCCGCAGGCCATGGCCGTGCGAGACGGCTAACACCCTCTTATAAAAGTAGCACTCGTCTCCCTCCCCCTTTCAGGTCCCAAATCGCTAGATCTGAAGTCTTTGTCCCGTACCTCACTGTCTCGTGTTAAAATGGACAAAATCCCCACTATCAAGCGCCGGCTTGTTGCGCCACGCACAGGGACAAACCCTCATACCCACGAGGTCCTGCCCGCTGGCCACAAGAAGACACCGCAGAGCAGACCGCTTCCCTGCGCCATATCGTACGACTATAATCACTCCTTCGCCGTCCGCGATGGCGTTGTCCTCCGCGCAGACATCTACCGCCCTGCGGACACGACAGACCCTGTCCCGGCCATCATTATGTGGAGCCCGTACGGAAAGTCCACCTCGGGCGACTTCAGTCTCAACTTTGCGCCGTTGAGAGTCGGAGTGCCTGAGTCAGCGGTGTCAGGCTATGAGTCTTTCGAAGGGTGAGTGCGAGTACAAGTGGGGGCACCCTCCCCCCTTGTAACAATTCGATCCATGGGGAACCTCATTCAGAACTTAACAACCAAACAGTCTTGATCCTGCTGAATGGGTGCCCCGCGGCTACGCCGTCGTCAATGTAGACAGCCGCGGCGCGGGCCAGTCTGACGGCGACATATACTGGTGGGGCTCCGCGGACGCCCGGGACGGGCACGACGTCATCGAGGCCGTCGCCGCGCTGCCCTGGTGCTCCTCGCGCGTGGCAATGGCGGGTAACTCGTGGCTCGCCATCGCCCAGTGGTTCATCGCAGGCCAGCAGCCGCCGCATCTTACCTGCATAGCGCCGCTCGAGGGCCAAAGCGATGTCTATCGTGAGTCAATATGTCGTGGGGGCGTGCCAGCTCTCGCATTCCCGGGGCTGGTCGCGCAGTTGCTACCAGGTACGTGTTAAGCAAATATTTAGTGGCGTTTTGGGTCTCAGAATGGAAGAATGATGTAGTGGGGCTAAAGTAGACCTGTCCTCCAGGCAAACAACAGCAAGAAGACCTCATTGCCATGTTCAAACGCTACCCCAAGATGAACGCATACTGGAAGGACAAGCGGGCCGACATATCTAAGATCACCGTCCCGGCATATATAGGTGGGAGCTATTCAACCAATTTGCACACTCTAGGAGCCTTCCGTGGGTTCGAAGAGATCCCCCATGATAAGAAGTGGTATGCAGTGTATCTTCTTCTGTCTGGAAATTGTTCTTGCTACAGCTTTCATGAACATCTGACAAACCGTAACAAAAAGGCTGGTAGTGCACGATACACAAGAATGGCACGACCTATACAGCAAGTATCGAAGCGACGACCTTGCAAGGTTCTTCGACTTCTTCATGAAGGGCATTCCCAACGGGTGGGACAAGACGCCCCGCGTGCGCCAGTCCTTCCTGGGCTTCAACCATCCCAACGAGGTTCGAAGCGCGGATAACCTCCCCTGGCTTGAGCCCGGTGCCACGAAGGTGCTCAAGCTGTATCTCAGCGCGGACGGGACAATGGACACCACGCCGCTGCCCCAGAACAACAGCCATGACAACGAAAACAACAACAACAAATGTGCGACGACGGTAGAGTACCAGTCCGACGTGCGCGCCATGCAAGCGGACAATGACCCCGGCGAGCTGAGCTTCCGGTACACCTTCCCGTCCAGAACCTTAGTCGCGGGCCCGAGCAAAGCCACTTTATCTATGTCTCCCGATCCTCATTACGACCGCGATGACCTTGACGTGTGGGTGCAGCTGCGCAAGACCGACGCTCAGGGCAAGGTCCTGCGGAGCCTCAACATCCCCCTTGACGAGCTGGGGTTATCCTCGGTCGACGAGGTGCCCAACACGAGCACGCTGAAGTACCTGGGTCCCGCGGGCGTGCTTCGCGCCTCGGCACGGAAGACCAGCCCCGACCTCAGCGGGTCGCACTGGCAGCCGCTGTCGGCGGAGGACGCGGACGTGGCTAAAGTCGCGCCGGGGGAGGTCGTCAAGCTCGAAATTTCCATGTGGCCGACGGGTATGATCTTTGAGGCTGGCGAGAGCCTTGCGCTCAAGGTCTCAGGGCATGACATGCGGCTTGTTGATGTGGAGGAGCTACAGGGGAAGCAGACGACGGAGAACGTTGGGAAGCATTTTGTACATTTCGGGCCCGGGATGGAGAACTTTGTTGAGGTATATATAATCGTAGAGTAGAGGAGTATATTAACCCTATACCTAGAAAACTTAGTACCCTCCTAGAGTACTAAGTTTTTTTATAAGGAGGGTAACGTAATCCACGGGTGAGTGAGCCACACGGGTCAGTGAGCCACTTTTCAAGTACTCGTACGACAATGTATAAGACAATTCAACCACAACGCCTTAAATCAATTGAAACTATTCAGAATCCTCTTCTTCAGAGGCAGATACAACTTTCTGACACGTACGAGCATTATGGCCGGGCTCGCCGCAGACGCCACATCGCCGCGCGCGCGTTTCGGGCCTCCTCGTACGACCACTATTCTGACTCGTTTCTGCCCTTAACTGCTCCGTCGCATCGATTTGAGCCTTCAAATCCTTTGCCTGGTCAATCGTAAGGGACCCTCCTTTCTGTAGCTGCTTTCTTTTCGTACGACGACGGCGGCTGAGGCGGTCGTTCGCATCTCGAAGTTCGGCGATATCATGGCGCATAAGGTCCTGCTCGTGTGCCATCATCGCCATCCCTTTATGAAGCTGCTTAAGGCTTACGATTATAGACGACGGTGAGCTATTCTGGTGTCGTACGATGCGATTTTGGAGATACTCCTTCTGCGATTCGGCCTCAATCGGGTTATTCGGCGTCTTTGAGACCCAGGGGGGTGGTAGTCCAGCAGAACCTGGTGGTGTCGGCGTACGAAGCTTTATATCTAGCTGCGAAATCACATAGTCCGGGTCGTACGGTACTAGGCCTGTCGCTCGAAAGCCTGCCTGGATGTTTGACTTGGTTATCGCAGCGTCGTACGCCTTATAAAAGGCTGGGAGGAAGTCCTCCTTTGAAACGTGGGTTACGTGCGCCCGCATAAGACCTTCGATTTCTTTACCGTACGCCCGTTTTAGAGGTCCAAAGCACCCAACGTCGAGAGGCTGGAGCTTATGCGACGAATGAGCAGGCATACAGAGGGTAACAATATTCTGTTCCTTGCAGTAGAGCTCGAAATCGACGGAATGGTGGCTCTCGTGGCCGTCGAGGATAAGGAGGCGGTGGGTGCCCTTCGTACGACTCTTTGTATGGAAATCGAAGTGTTTTACCCACTCTAGGCCTCTCTCGTTCGTCGTCCAACCGTTCTCTGAAAGCGCGATTACCCAGTTGGCCGGTAGAGGGCTATTCGCGGTCCAGGAGTCGAGGTGGACCTTCCCTGCGAAGATAATATACGGCGGGATCGAATAGCCGTACGACGCGATACCCTGGATTACTGTAACCCATTCCTGATTCCCTTGTTGTACGGCTCTTGGCCTCCCGCGTCGATCGGAGGTTGTAACGACAGTTTCGGCGGAGATTTTACCCATTGCGAAGCCCGTTTCGTCGAAGTTGTAGATATCGTCATCGTGGATCCCGTATTTCGCGATTATATTTCGTACGAGCTCAAACCACGCGCGATACGCGTCTGGATCTTCGCAGAGGACTCTCTGGTAGTCGATTCTTCGATTAAAACGCGTACGGAGCTCAGATCGTCGTCGTACGAAGGTTGAGGCCCAGTTCGTTCCGACACGCGGCGCGTCGCGTACGGCAAGGAGTCGATCCGCCATTTCTCGAACACCACTAAGTCGCGGTGGAAATGATCGCGAATCTAGGTCAATTACGTATCGTATAATACTCTCCTCTTCGTACGAGGTCAATTTCTGGCAGGGTGGTCGGGTATCGTGTTTCGCAGCTCGGCCGTCTCGTCGTCGTTGGAGGGTTGCGCGGGATACATTATAGAGTAATGCAGCCTTTCGTACGCTCAATTTTGGGTCAGATTTAAGCGCAGCTAGCGCTAGAACCAAATCGCATTCATTTGTGTGACGACCCGACCAACAGGGGAACTGCTTGGGGCTGAGGTAACAAACAAGCCCAGCACAAACAAGGCCGCAGGATCAGGCCAGGGACAAGGGCGGACCAGCGAAGGCTGGCGGGGAACACATTATGTAAGCACCCACCTTACGTCAGCAGCCGACGATGAACGGTCGCACGGCGACCACCATCCGTCGGTCTTGCGACAACAAACTGTCGGCATGCGACCCAACGGTGTCGCAGGACGACGGGTACGATGAAGGACAAAGAGATATATAGAGCCAGAAGGATCTCCTAGATAGACAGTCATTACCTTTGTACTTCAGCGATCAATCTAAGTATCAGTTTCACCCACACTTGAACTAGTCACTCAATTGCCGAGACTGGTATCTCTTCCAAGAGACACGAACGACAACCCAGAGAGAGAACGACAGCAGAGTGTTAGTTGATCTTGCGCAGGCTTTACCTATCTGCAGAACAGCAACCCCAGCGCCCTGCCAGACGGTTGACCCCGGAGGCAGGATCGTGACAATTTGATTGTCGTACCATGATTGTTGGTGGAGAAATAAGGAAATGAAGGTTATCTATTCAAAATGGGGGAAAAGTGGCTCACTGACCCGTGTGGCTCACTCACCCGTGGATTACGTTAACCTTAGGATTACCGGGAATCTATTCGCCCTTACTCTTGCTAGGGCCTTTCTCGATTAAGTTAAGTATAGTAGGCTCGATAATCTCGCTCTCATTAGGAATCGGGTTATTATTATCGCACGGATAATTAACCGGGACCGGCTTCGCGTCAATCCCAATATTCTTAACGATCTTATAGAAAAGCTTTATAGCCTACTAGGGATCCTCGTAATTATTCCGTAGTAGAAAGCTCAAGAGAGGTAGCGTACTCTCCGAATATATCTTACCTCGGACGAAGTAAGGAGAGATACCCCCAGTAGTAGTAGTCGTAGTAGTAACGGAGCCTATTATTAATAGGAAAATAATAAATATAGATAGTAATAAGAGTCGACGCACTAAGAAGGGAGTGATACTTATGTAGAGATAGTACTATTCACTGGGGAAGAAGCATACTCATCTTCGCAAACATCTCGTCGACCTGGACATATTTAGTGGAATATATGGTAGGCATAGCCTGTTACAGCTCATTGTCTCAGACGGTCCGAAAGTCTAGACGATTGCGCGCTTAGCAGTCGCTACAAGGCAAAGATCCATTCTCACGCTATATAGTAGCGCAAGTTAGACCTGGCGAGTCTTTTGGCGCCCATCCAGTCCGCAGGGCTTATCAAATGTCATATAGCAAGACGAGACTATTACAAGTTCGCAGGAGCCGAGCATCCCCGGTTATGCCGGATCTAGAAATAGTCGTGGCGTGAGTTTGGCACCCGGGCCGCTCCCGTGCCGGGGCTGAGGCTAGAAACGGTAAAGGGTCCTCCCAGTTGTGTCTCGGAGCACGCATGGCTTGGGCGTGGCGCAGCTGAAAACGTGGAGATGGCTGCTAGTTTTTCAGCTCGGCTACGGATAAGCTCGACGCAGGAAGTTTGATTGTGGATTATCGTTCATATAATGTGCACAGGAATGCCACTATTCCAAAGTTGTGCGGGGTAGCTCGCGCTTATGCAGGGAGGTCCAGAAACGTCTGGATGACCCAGGGAAATGCATTTTCAAAACGGGGTAGTTCTCAGGATTGTTTCAATTTGAAATAACCATCAACCTTACTCCCACCGTGTGTGGAGGAGTGAGTAGAAGATCGTTCGAGCATCAACCAGTCAACGCCTTCACGGCTTTTTTCCAGTTGCGAATCTTCCGTGCTGCTGTACAAAGCAATTTGCAGTATTTAGCCCCCTTATAAACCCACTGGTGATGCTGGACAACACCTCTCCCAGCAGTCTGCCACCGTCCTCAGCGGAGAGAGACATTGGGATTTGATCTCCAGCCCGCGCTCTGCAACGCCGAGGAACCTGTCCCACCCTATCACGTCGTCGTTTAGTTTTGTCGGCTAGGTCGGTCGCTTCTCCGCGGCCAGTTTCCGATCCTTATACTCGGGCGCAATAGGTAGACATGACGTGGTGGGTGCCAACCGAGAGTCCCTCGCTGCAGACGAGATAGGTACGGCGGTATTGACGGTAGAGAGGCGTCTACAACCGGTTGAATAGGAGAGGATGGTGGAAGCAATCAGGATGGTGGCAAGAGAAGACGTCTACCTGGGCGGGGCCACAGTAGTCCAGTGAAGCGATCAGGCTCTAGCAGGTAACACGCCTGCGCGGCAGTCACAGATTATGGCGGTGGTCCAACGGTCAAGGATTGGGAGCAAGCTTGGATAAATTCTGCAAGGGAGATTAGTGACGGTGTCGCCTCCAATCAGAGCAGACAAGGCACTCGACGTTCCTGTGCTACATTTATCACGTGTTACATCATCCAGATACTTGTAGAGCCACTCCGCTATCGCCCAATACTCACCTACTGCCGACCTAATAACGTATTCCACACAAGTGAGTGTCCACCCAAGCGAGTGGTCCGCGTTACCGAAAGTCAGCTTTATGCCTTCTTCAGTGAGCCATTGTTCAGTTGCCCGCTACGCACTGCTGGCAAACCGCCTTGATCTCAGGCTGCACATCTTGCAGATTGTGCCTGGGTCATAACGCTTATAGCGTTAAAGTTAGTGCAAGATGAGACCCTAGGAGATAGCATCAGGTCTCAATAGGAGCTTCCCGGGACTATCGCCCCATGTCCTAGGGCAAAATCTGGGGACGCCTAGAGCCGGATGCGGAGAGTTGCCGAGTGTAGGCAGTTCGGGATGCCTCCGATAATGTTCGGGAGGGTCGGGGATGAGAGTTCACGGTCCGCCCACGCCGCGGAGGACCATCGGAAAGAACGGGCTTCGCTCTTCTTCAGCACGCTGGCATTCCGCCATGCAAGGATTACTGAGGACGCCTTACCCTCCCCCCCTTGATCAACGACAATGGATCACCTCATCGTGCAGGGGGCTTTGGCTACAGTTCGGGCTCTCGCTCCATACGCTGTATACGCCTCCGCAAAGGTCAACGGCCCTCTAGAATATCTTTCCCGCCAGTGCGCCCCTTCGGCCTTTGAGTCCTCGGCAGCTACAGCTCTCTACACGGTCCAATCATTGTCCCAAGCCGCCATGGTCCCCTTTTGCAGAGCGCTGGCACTCAGTGTCGCGTTCACTTCCGCCCTCGCGCGGGAGCGTGTCGATACCCATATCCATGCTCTCCCTCCTCCGTACATCGAGGCCCTCGAGGCAGCGGGTGGTGATCCGTCCGGCTTCCCAACCCCTCAGTGGACACTCGAAGCCACTCTACGGTCCATGGACCTGGCAAACACCCAAGTCGGTAAGTGGCAAAGAAGATGGACCAGGTGGTCAAGACATGTGCTGAGACGTATCCCTTTCCAATAGCCATCCTGTCCCTCTCGACGCCGGGCATTCCCATCGCCGGCACGGGTGAGGCTGCCAGAAGCCTGACCCGGACCATGAACGAGTACTTTGGCAACGCGACGTCCCTGCCCAAGCACACCGCGCGGCTTGGGTTCTTCGGCGTGCTCCCGGACTGGCGGGACGTCAACGGCACCCTCGCTGAGCTGGACTACCTGTACTCGGAGCAGAAGCTGTGCAACGGCGTCACCGCCTACACCACCTACGGCGACAGGCTGCTCGGCGACCCTCTCTTCGCCCCCGTCTGGGACAGGCTCCAGCGGTACAAGGCGCTCGTCTTCGTCCATCCGGGTACCCTGACCGTCGCGCCAAAGTTCATTGCCTCCAGCCTGGCCCAGCCCATCGTGGACTACCCGCTCGCAACCACCCGCACCGCCGTCGACCTCGTCATGACCCAGACGATGCGCCGCTGCCCGGACGTCGACGTGATCCTCTCCCACGCCGGCGGCGCCGTCCCGTTTCTCGCGGGAAGGGCCATCGGCGGGCTCGCGCTGCCGGAGATTGCCGACGCCGTCGGATACAACGCACTGGGGGCCGCCAAGGACTTTGCTCGGTTCTACTACGACATCGCTCTGAGCACGAGCGCCGCCCAGCTCCATGGGCTCCTGGACTTTGCGGACGCCTCCCATATCCTGTTCGGCTCCGACTTCCCGTACGTTCCGCAGGCGGCCATCAGCACGCTGCTGGCTCAGTATGCTACGTTCGTGACCACGGACGCCAGAGGGCCCTTGGTTAGCCCCGCGAGGCTTCGGGAGAACTCTCTGAAGCTGTTAAACAGACACGCTTTGGGAAAGGCTTTCTAGGGGATGCAGTGTATCCTGGCTTGCCGTTCTTGGTGTCTGGATAGATGTGGCGTTTTACTTTTCTTCTGCTTCTGCTATTTCTTCCTCTTCTCCTTCTCCTTCTCCCTCTCCTCCTCCGTCAACCAGTTCGCGAATGGACCACGGGGTCGACAAGGGTCTCTAGATAGGAATTTTACGCCGCAGATGGCTTAGTATAGAGAGATGAATTAAATGATGCATCTCCGAATTTTATGGGCAAGCATGCTAGAGCGGTGATGCTTCTCGTGGGCTGCGTTGTGTGATGTGCGAGGCGCCGGGATGATTCCGAGCATGTTCGCCATACCGTCGGAATACACCCGACTACACCCATGGCGCAAGTGCCGGGCGAGGTGGACACATCGAATCACTTCTCCTCTCTTAATAGGTATAAGGACAATGATAAATTGGCTGCAAGATAGTCGGCATATGGATCCGCGGACTCGATCAGCCCTATCCAGAGACGCCTGCACCCGTCCCGCCCTGCAACATCATGCTCACGCGTCTCCTAGACACCGTCACGGCCTTCCGCCAGCAACACCTCGCGGCCTTCCACCTGTTCACGGCCGCAGTTGTCTGCGCATCGGTCGCCTGGGCGGTTCTCGAGTTCTTCAAGCCGATAGGCAAGCGAAGGGCGAAGAATGGTACGAAACCGAGGCTGCCTCCGGGTCCCCCCGGAGCACCCCTCTTTGGCTATTTGCTCGATCTGAAGAAGGCGGATGGCCCTTCGCTGAGATCAAAGGTACAGGCATGGTGACTGGATCAGTACACATGACGGACTCACCATGGAGCGTGCGCTGACGACGACGACGTGCCCTGAACAGCTCCGAAACCTGGCAGCGTACGGCGAGATGACAACGCTGCACCTCGGGTCGAAGACATGGGTGCTTCTCAACTCGCACCGCGTCACCGAGGAGCTGATCGCCAAGAGGGGTAGCCAGACGAACACGCGGTCCCCCATGCCGGTATCGAGCGGCCTCGTCAGCCGGGACCGGCGCTCGCTGCTGCTCCCGGCGGACGAGTGGGCGGAGCGGCGGCGGGTGATGCACGGGCTCCTGAACGGCACGGCGCTGAGGCAGTACGGCGCCTGGCAGGAGCAGGAGAGCGCGCAGATGATGGCCGAGTACGTCCTGCGGCCCGACAGGTGGTACAAGCACCACTATCGCTACGCCAACTCGGTCGTGGTCCGGATCGCGCTGGGCGAGCGGCCGCACAAGTCCACGAGGGAGCTGGAGGAGATGCAGAACGCCGTGACCTTCTTCGTCGGCAGCATCGGACGCAGCATCGTCGACTGGTTCCCGGACCTGGCGCGTCTGCCGCGCCGCCTCCAGGTCTGGCGACCGTACTGGGCGGCGCTCGGCCGCTGGAACCACGACCTCTACAGCAAGTGGTACCACCCCGTCAGGGACAGGGTGCGCGACGGCACGGCGCCGCCCTCCTTTGTGCGGGACCATCTCATGCACCCGGACACGCGGTTCAGGGGCGACGACGACGACCTCATGTACGTGGCCATGCAGCTGATCGAGGCCGGCAGCGACACCACGCGCGAGGCCCTCAACATCATGGCCATGGCGGCGCTGGAGCGCCCCGAGGCCTTCGCCGCGGCCCGCGCCGAGGTCGACCGCCTCTGTGGCGCCGGCCGCGACGCCAGGCTGCCCGTCCTTGCCGACATGGCATCGCTGCCCTACGTCTGCGCCATGGCCAAGGAGATCCTCCGCTGGCACCCCATCTTCCTGCTCACGCCTGACCACGTCGCCTCCCAGGACATCGAGTTCGAAGGCTACTACTTCCCCGCCGGCACGGGCTTCACCATCAACGGCGTCGCCGTGTGCGACGAGTGCGACGACCCGCGCGTCTTCCGGCCCGAGCGATGGCTGGACGGCCACGAGACCGACATCGCCCACGGCCTGTGGCAGTTTGGTGGCGGCCGCCGCATCTGCGTCGGTTACCGCCTAGCGCAGCGCAGCCTGTTCATCAACATCGCCCGCCTAGCGCAGTGCGTCGACTACAGACCGGTGAGCTGCTTGGCCTTGGAACCCCCCCCCCTTTACCCCCAAAGCCCTTGGGCTAACAACAATTGGACACAACCCGGTTTGCTGACCCGAGTTTCTGCAGAACGGCCCCTATAACCCCGAGTACCTCAACCTGGAAGCCCTGGACGAGCCATTCCCCGTCAAGGCGACGATCCGCGGCGAGGAATACAAGGCCCTGATTCTTAAGGAAGCAGAAGCGGCTGGCGTTCTCGAAGAGGCCGGCTCAGCGAGCGAGTAGGGGAATCTCAATCATATTCTGAACTAGGGTCAAATGAAGAAATCCCTGATACATGGTACGATAACCTAAATGAAGAAGTAAAAAAAGAACTTCTTCTACATAGAAAAAATCAACCAGAACGCCTTAAATCAATTCAAACTAGATGAAATCCTCTTCAGAGGTAGACTCAACTATCTAACACGTACGAGCATTATAGCCGGGCTCGCCGCAAACGCCACAGCGTCGCGCGCGCGTCTCTATCCTCCTCGCGCGACCACTATTTTTAACTTATTTCTGCACGTAACTACTCCGTCACGTCGATCTAAGACTTTAAATCCTTTGCCTAGCTAATCGTTAGTGACCTCCTTTCTGTCGCAGGTGGCCCGCTTGACCGGGATCTACGTTATATCAGAAATACAAAAATATTATTACTCCAAGGGTTGCTGGGAGCGGGCCATGGAGGCATGGGATGGAAGAGACGCAAAGTTAAAATATACTCCTCGGTACAGTTGATAACGGATGGAAATTAGAACTAGATATAGCAATCTGCACATAACCCCCCCTTTCCTTCAAGACTCCTCTTGTAGCTGAGAGGAAGCCCACGCCCGCATGCGACGCGTTGCATCTCCGACCACCGCATGGGCCCCTTCCAGCAGAATGGCGTCGTGGACCTCACGGGCGCCAACGTCCACCTTGACGTCCAGGCCCGGGTTCCGTAGCCGAACCGCCTCGGCAAACGACAGTATGTCGTCCCTGAACACTTCCTGGTAGCCGCAAGTCACGTAGAGGGATCCGGTGAGGCGCTGGATGGCCCCCAGCCAGCCAAGATTGCCGTCGAGCGGCAATGCTGGGTGTGCGCCAGACTCGCGCGCGCCAACACTGCCGAGAACGTGCGCGGTCGAGCCGGCGACAATGGGCGCGGACAGCATGTCCACGGCGCCGTTGTCTCGGTAGGATACCGTGTCGTGGTGGCCGCTGACCCAGGGCGAGACGAGAAAAATCCCGGCGAACCGCGCCGCCGCCGGGTCTCCGAGAGGCGGCGTTCCCGGCTGGCGGCGGTGGGCCAGATGATGCAGCAGCTGGACGGTCAGGTTCCCTCCCGCCGAGTCGCCGCCGACGATGACATCTCGGGGCGCGATCCCCCGTCCCAGGAGGTAGTCGAGGGCGGCGACCGCCTGCCGCTGCTGCGTCGGGTACTTGGCCCCCGGAGACAGGCTGTACTGTAGGATGGCGACGGCGACCTCGTGGGGCCGGGGTCCCTTCTCGGATCCTTCCGGCTCTTGCTGGGAAACGTAGCCGTTCCAGCACCAGTCGAGGTGACCCGGGTGAAGTGGCACGACGTATCCGCCCCCGTGGAAGAACAACACAAACTTTGTAGCGCGGGACGGGTCCCCAAGCCAGAGGATGGAAGCCGCAGGCTCGACATGTAGCGGCACAGTCTGGGCTTTCAGCTGCAACTTCTGGAAGCCTTCCTGGGGCTCCTTCGTCCTGATCCAGGCCGCGTACGTCTCGACAGTCGAAGGCACCACGGCCTGAATGTGTCTGGGACTCAGGGCGCCCAGGGCAAACCGGAACAGTGTGCTTGTCATCCATTGCTTGAACGGGATCTTGCGCCTCAACGCTATCGGGAGCACAGTCACGGCGCGGAACAGGAAGAAGAGCGGCGCTATGGTCTCGTCAGCCAGTGGCCTCCTGCTGGAACGCACGCACGGTCACGGACCTAGAAGGAGCCTCGTCGCGAGGTCTATCTTTTCGAGCAACAATAGCGGGGTGGTAGGGGCGGACATGGCTCTAGGCTAGGAGACTTGGTGGACACGGTGTAAGGATGTTGGTGGCGAGGGAGAGATGCCTAGGCTACGCACGGCGGCTCATGACGGGGATGGCAGAGAAATGGGCACCATGGAAGAAGAACCCGGCCGATATATCCAAACAATCGTGCAGCCTGGAATGTCGGATTCGTTCCGAAGACTTATCCCCCTTTTCCGAACCCAACTTGTCTGGAGGCGTCCCCGGCAAAGAGATTGCGCTTGCATCCAGTGAGAGTTGACTACACATAATAGGGTGAACGTCTACATCCAGTGACGGTTACACTCTTACCCCCTCTGACTCTGTTATACAGACTACCCCGTCTACATGCAAAAGTCCAAGCAACAATAGACCCGGCCCATTCGCACCAAAATGGCTTTCCAATCTCGCGAGGGACTAACCGTAGACCTGATTGCCAGAATCCTTCGCCAGACAGCTCTCAACCCATGGCTCGCGATTCCGATATCCATCTTGGCGGCCTGGCGTCTTCCACCTTCACGCGGCATTTCTCTCCAGTTCCTGTCACACGTCTGCGCCGTGCTCGGCACGACCCTCAGCCTCAACGACTGGCTCAACAAGTGGTCCGCGAACAACTGGGCAGGCGACGGCCGCCGAAGCTGGGACTGGGCGAGAGAGATCGTCGTCATCACCGGGGGCAGCGGCGGCATCGGCGCGAGCATCGCCCGGCAACTCCTGGCCCGGAACCCACGGACGAAAATCGTCATCGTCGACTATGCGCCCCTGGCCTGGGCCCCCGAGCCGGGAACCCCCGTCTCGTACTTCAGGTGCGATCTCAGCAGCGCCGACGCCATCAAGACGCTCGCGGCCCGCATCCGGTCCGAGGTCGGGCATCCCACGGTCCTCGTAAACAACGCCGGCCTCTGTCGCGGCGCCACCGTCATGGACGGGAGCTACGCCGACGTTGAGCTGACCATACGCACCAACCTGGTCGCGCCGTTTCTCCTGGCCAAGGAATTCCTCCCGCACATGGTCAGCATGAACCACGGCCACGTCGTTAACGTTGGCTCCCTCAGCAGCCTGTTCCCGCCGGCCGGGATCGCCGACTACGCAGCCACGAAGGCGGGCATCACGGCTCTGCACGAGGTGCGCTGGGGCTTTCTTTCTTTCTTTCTTTTTTTTTTTTTAAATAGGTATACATGTGCGGGTGTATGTGTGTGTGTGTGTGAGGGAGAGAGGAGTGAGGCAGACGTCCAAACAAAGCTAACAGAGAAGACCTTGCAACTCGAGCTCAAGCAGGTCCACCACGCCTCCCGCGTCCGTCTAACGTTGGGCATCCTCGGGTTCATCAAAACCCCCCTGTTCAAAGGCGAAACCCGGCAGTCCCCCTTCCTGTTCCCGCTCCTCCACGTCGACACCGTCGGCGAGGCATTCGTGGACGCCCTGTACAGCGGGCTCGGCACGACCATCTACCTGCCGGGCATCATGCGCTACGTCGCCATGCTGGTAAGCCTGCCGGGTGGGATTGCGCAGCACACGTCACTAACCTGCCGACTCGTCCAGCGAGCGGGCCCGGAATGGCTCAGCCGAGGTGTGAGAGAGGGAACCGCGTCGTTGGGGGTGGACTACAAGGGTAGGCAGCAGGTGAACGAGGAGACTGGGGGCTTGGCGTAGTCATTGCGTAGCATATCTAGTTTTGCTATCTTCCTGAAATAGTGACATCCAGGTTGTTGCATTGTGTCGCCGAGGTAACGGGTCGTGCCGTACTGCCCCCCTTTTTTTGGTTTCCATATATCGGAGGTGACGTTAGCCTTTCGCGGAGGGGGGCAATTGCCAAGAGTATGAAGTATCTTGGGCGTTTCTAGGGATGGAAAGTTTCCGATGCCCCGAGGGCTGCTTCTGACGGCTCGATCAGGGTGGAAGCCCAAGTTGCTACATGCCGAGGGTCGGGATCGTTCCGAGACGGGTGCCGCCCGCGCCTGAGGGGCGCGGCGATCAGTCCTCGCCGATGCAGTGGGCGTGCCGGACTATCTGGACCAACCTGAGATGGCATGTCTGATGAGTGGTTTATATCCTAGACAAGAGAGAGAGAGACAACGGCCTTGGTAGTCTCAGGCCATCTTGACTACTGGAGAGAGCCATTTGAGAAAGAAATCACTTTGGTGTTTTCAAGCCCCAGGCACACACACACACATACACACCATGGACTCGAAAGCGGAGGCCGAGGTCAGCTACAGCCAATTTGCGTGTGTCGGGACCGGCTTCTCGGCCATCGCCCTGGGGGCAACGCTCAGGAGGTGGTACGACATCGAGGACATCGTGTTCTTCGAGCAGCATGGCCAGCTGGGGGGCACCTGGTTCATCAACCAGTATCCAGGTCTGCACTCCATACGTCTGGGCTCTTCGGCCTTTCTCGGGCCACGAACACGATACTGACCTCGCTCGCCCTTGCCGCAGGATGTGCCTGCGACGTGCCCAGCGCGCTGTACAGCTTTTCCTTCGAGCCCAACCCGGCATGGAGCCGTGTGCTGCCGTCGAGCGGCGAGCTCTGGGCCTACCTCGACGGCGTGGCGCTCAACTACGACCTGAAACGGAGGATGAGCTTCGGCATGCGCGTCGACAAGTGCGAGTGGCTCGAGCCGGCGGGACGCTGGCGCATGACGATCTGCCATCTCAAGACGGGCACGATCCTGACGCACGAGTGCCAGTTCCTCTTCTGCGCGACGGGCCAGCTGGTGCAGCCGCGGGAGCTCGACGTGCCCGGGCGCGAGAGGTTCAGGGGGGACATGTTCCACACGGCGCGGTGGCGCGCGGACGTCTCCCTGCGCGACAAGAAGGTCGTGCTGTTCGGCAACGGCTGCACGGCCGCGCAGGTGGTGCCGGCAATCGTGGGCTCGACCAGGAGCCTGACGCAGTTTGTGCGCGCGAAGCACTGGATCCTGCCGCCCATCGACCGCGAAGTGCCCGGCTGGGCGCACGCCCTGCTGCGCCGGCTGCCGGGGCTGATGGGCCTGCAGCGGCTCCTCGTCTTCCTGGGCGCCGAGCACACGCTGCGCGGATTCCCGCTGACCGACGCGGCGGCGCGGTTCCGCCACGCCCAGCGCGTCAAGGCAGAGCGGTACATGCGCGCCGCCGCGCCGCAGAGGTACCACGACCTGCTGATCCCGGACTTCGAGGTCGGGTGTAAGCGCAGGATCTTCGACGCAGGATACCTCGCCAGCCTGCACGACGAGAGGCTCACGCTGACGGACGAGCGGCCGCTGGAGATGGTGCCCGAGGGCGTCCGCACGGCGAGCGGCGTCGTCGAGGCCGACGTCGTCGTGCTGGCCAACGGGTTCGTCACCAACGAGTTCCTCATCGGCATGGACGTGCGCGGCGTCGGCGGCGAGACGCTGCAGCAGCACTGGCGGCAGGCCTTCGGCGGACCCGAGGCGTACAACTGCTCCGTGCTGAGCGGCTTCCCCAACATGTTCATCCTGCTGGGGCCCAACGCCGCCACTGGCCACACGTCTGCCGTCATGGCCGCCGAGAACTCGGTCAACTACGCCCTGAGGGTCATCAGGCCCGTGCTCGAGGGCAGCGCCAGCGTCGCGTGCCTGCGCGGGGAGGCCGAGAAGCGGTATAGCGACCGCATGCAGGCGGCGCTGCGCAGCACTGTCTGGAACTCGGGCTGCCAGAGCTGGTACGTTAGGAAGGCCGACGACGACGACGGCCAGACCTGGAATGCCATGAGCTATCCGTGGTCCCAGGCCCATTTCTGGTACCGTAGCGTCTTTCCTGTCTGGTCGGACTGGGAATATCGGGTGCGTTGCTTGTCTCTCCCCCCCTCCCCCCCCCTCTCCCCGGGGGGACCGCAGACATAGTTGCTCACATGTCTGTCAGGGCCGCGTCGGCAAGAACACATTGACCAAGAGATCTTCTTGGTCTGGAAACATCCTGGGTAGCGTTGCTGCGCTTGTGGCTGTGGCTGGCATCGCGTGGTTGTTCTCAGGGCGTGGGCGCGGTGGCCGGGGCTTCACGACGACATCGGGCATGTCTGCCCCCCTTGCCCGCGCCTTGGCTCTGCTGGACGACCTGCGGACCGCCCTGCCGGGGTGGACTGATTGAGACCATGGCATAGATAGACACAACGGAGAGAGCGGGATGCCGAGGCTCATGTGTTGAACAAGGGGGAAAGCCTTGGGTGGATCGTGCGGGGTGCGTCGAGGTCGGGGGGATGCGAATGCCGTCCCCGTCGGGATGATCCCGACGGCCCCATACGTACCCTCTCCATGCTGTACTGTAGACTAGCTTCCCCAGATTACGGCCGGCGGCCAGCCAGCCTCAATAACGACTGCCACTTCTGTGGATCATTCTCGCATGCTGCCCGGCCGCCGCCCTCGTCCAACCTTCAACACCCATCAAGCTCGCCACTGCCGCGATGCCGCCCTCAACAGGCCGCCGCCGCAAGATCTCCCTGGCCTGCGAGCCATGCCGGGTGCGTAAGTCGCGCTGCGACGGCGGGAAGCCCATCTGCGCAACATGCCAGCACCGCCGCCTGCCCCTGAGCCGCTGTGTGTACACGATTGAGCAGAACGCCCGCATGGCGAGCAACGACGAGTTCTCCCTCCCTCCCCCCAAACGCGCTGACCCTAACCATGACCAGCTAATCACCGTCCAGATACATCTCTGCCCTCCATGAGCGAATCCGCCAGCTGGAGGGTGCGGTGCGGGCCCAGGCCGAGTCGTCGCAGAGCAGTCCCCAGGCATCAGGGGTCCCTGGTGACCTGGGCAGCCGAACCGGAACTCCCGTCCGCACCACCACGGAACCACCCCCTGAGGTCGCTGGCGCCCCTTCCCTTCGCCTACCTTCCCCTCCAGCCACGGACACAGCAACACGCCACGTCTATTGCCGCGATGAAGCGCCGAAGAACCAGCATGCTAGGTCCGTCGACTCACGAATCACGGCCATGGGCACAGTCGCCTCCGAAGACAGTCTTGACGGCGATATCACCCCGAGGGATGAGTTCTACGGCAACTCGTCTGCCGCCTCCTTCATTAAGGAGACCTGCAACGGCGTCATGACCCTCAACGAGGTCCTCAACCCCCCTCGCTCGCCCCCCACCCGGCCCCGCGTCGGTTGTGCTCCCAGCCCTCGCTACTGGCACAACTCGGCGTCCTTCACCCTGCCCCCCCGGGCCCTTGCCGATCACCTCGTCGCGCGCTACTTTGACCGTGTCTTCTACCTGTACCCCTTCATCCACCGGCCCAGCTTCGACAAGGCATACCGGTCCCTATGGGAGCCCGCCGGTCTGGGCCACCCACCGGAAAGGCCCTTCGCCGACCCGGACCCGGACCATTCGCCCTTCCTGGGACTGGGAAGCTCCCCCAACGCCGGCGCCGACTCCATCGTCTTCCACTGCGCCCTCAACGCCATGTTCGCCTTGGGGTGCCACTTCTCCGACTGGATCGGCAATGACCGAGACATCACCGCCCTAGTGTTCCTGAACCGCAGCAAGTCGCTCATGACGCTCGACTTTCTCGAGTCAGACCCTCTGGGCGTCGTGCAGGCGCTGCTCATCATGACTTTGTTCCTTCAGAGCACCCCATTCGCCGGCCGGTGCTGGAACAGTGTCGGCATTGCGTGTAGGCTCGCCCAGGGCGCCGGCCTTCACAGCGAATCCGGCGGCAGCGGACGCCCACCGCTCGAGAAGGAGATGCGGAGGCGGGTTTGGCACGGCTGCGTGGTGCTTGACATGCGAGTAGTTCTCCGTCCCCCAAATTCCCTTTCTCACTTTTCAATTGAAAACCGCCTGCTAACGTCGCGCGGAGCGTAGGCTTGTCAGCATGACATTCGGCCGCCCAACCATGACCACGCATGCCTCCAATGTTCCGCTGCCCTCGCTCACCGACGAGGGCGACGATGCTAGGGCCGCCGCCGGTCCGGAGGCCCCGTCTCGCATAGGATACTTCACGCAGAGCATCCGCCTTTCCATGATCCTGGAGAAGATTCTCGACAGGGTCTATCAGCCATGGAGGGGCAAGTCCAGGAGGGACGAGGCCCACCACAGCAGCAACTTTGACGCCATCATTGAACTTGACTCGGACCTCGCGTCGTTCGAAGCCTCGGTGCCGGGTTTCCTCGCCTGGACGGGCGAGGGCGTCATACCGGCTTCCGGCTTCGAGCTGCTCGGACTCATGCAGCGGAACGTGCTCAAGGGCCGGTGAGTGTCCCCTTCTGCGCTTGCTCTTGTGCCGCGCGTTGGGACGTTCGTGGACCAGCTGACGGATGGGAAGATTCTTTTACGTCCGACTGATGCTGCATCGACCCCTGCTTTCCGGCTTGTGGACTTCCCATCGCCAACAAACAAGCGGCGCTGCAGCGGGGGGGTCGGGCTCCGATTCCAGCTGCTCGGCCAACGCCCTTCGGTCCTCCTTGACTGTCCAATGCGGCAGTTCCTGCGTCCGCTGCGCCATGGACCTGCTGGACCTGACGTACAGCACCTTTGAGGCGCAGCATGGCACGGCGTGGTGGTGGAGCGCGCTCTGTGAGTCATATCCATGATTGGGCAGCTGTCTGTCCCCATCGAGAATGCCTGCGACGAGCCGACACGCTGACGGGGCATATGCGAAAGACGCGTCGACTGCCGGGCTGGTGCTGGTGATGGCTCTCTCCTGTCCACTGCTGCACACGTCCCTCGATATCCATTCCCTCGAGACGTCCTGGGGAGTCTGCCGCGCAATTCTAGCCCAGCTCGCGAACCTGAACGCGAGTGTGCAGAAGTCACTCGACTTGCTGGACAGGTTCTACAGCCTGACCTGCGCTGACACGAGCAAGTCTTTCTGCCTCAACTTACACAATACATGATTTGTGGGCTGACATCGACCTCCAGGTGCTGAGGAATCCTCAGCTGCGCTCATCAATGCCGCCCAAAATGGGGATACATTGCCCGACTTGATGGCGCATTTTTACCCCGAAGACATGGTGAGCGACCTTGGTTACCTGGGTCTAGATCTCAATATGATGGGAGGTGAACATCTGTCGTGGAGCACATCAACTCGAAGTTGACTCGCCCATGTGCGTCTTTCATCTGTGGTCGATGCGTCAACCATGCCTGGCCGTCCTATCACCAGTTGTGTTGCGGATGGATGGATTCGATGCACGTGCAAGAGAGCGGTCGCGTCCAGACGAGGCCAACGTGGGGATGAGATGAGTGATGCCCCAGGCATGACGGCCCTGCTGGAGCGACCAAGGCTGGCCTTTCAAGGTTAGGCGGAGAGGAGAGATGATTCGACTCCCTGACCGAGCCATGGTGTAGGGGTCTGGCAGCCTTCCCGTGCGACCATCCGACAGATCTGACAGCCTGAAGGAGATATTCTCCGATCAAGGCGGAGGCTAGTAGGGGAAGACATCTGTGGAGCGAGGGTAGCCGTCCGTTCATTCTGTGCGCAATGTATAATGCTAGAGATGAATTGGTCTTGGGCCCTTAGCTGGAGCCGGCCGCTTTAGGAGGAACTCGGGACCCAGAGGTACCTTCTTATAGTATTTGGGTACCTCTCCCGAGCGGTCGCTGAATTGAAGTGAATTTCTGGATAACAAATTGAGTAAGGCTCTTTATATGGAAGATAATGCCCCGTGTTTAAACGCAGTGAAAACTAAGGGGTTTGTTTCCCTTAACTATCATTCCCCGCGGAACTTGCCTAGCATAGGTAAGTTCCCGGTAGAGTATCACGATCCTGCCTCCGGGGTCAACCGTCTAGTAGGGTGCTGGGGTTGCTGTTCTGTAAGATAGGTAAAGCCTATGTAATAACACTTATACTCCGCTATCGTTCTCTCTTAGGGTTATCGTATATCTTAGAAGAGATACTAGTCTCGGTAATTAAGTAACTAGTTCAAGTATAGTTATGGTAAAACTAATACTTAGATTAATCGCTGAAGTACAAAGGTAATAACTATCTATAAGGAGATCCTCCGTCCTATATATCTTTGTCCTTTATCGACTTGGTTCTCAACGCTGCGATGCTAGTGCGTCGCACGCCGATAACTTGCGATCGCAACGCGACCGTTTGGCGTCGCATATTATCGGCTGCTGGTATAAGGTGGGGCGATTACCTAATCCTCCGTCCTCTAACCTTCGCTGATCTGCCCTTGTCCCTGGCTTGATTATGCGGCCTTGTTTGTGCTGTGCCTGTTTGTTACCTCAGCCCCAAACAGTTCCCCTATTGGTCGGGCCGTTACAGGTTTGGGGTGGTCGCGAAGTACCCTGGTCGCGAGACGGGGGGCAGACTTATCGTCCAGGATCCGTCAGGTAGCAGAACCGCTACTATTATTCCAGCCTCTTGTTCACGCATAACCGTATCAAAAAAAAACAAAAAAAAACAGCGCCATTCAAGCCAATATCGCCAGGCGTCCCGAGCTATATCTACACATCCGCAACATCGACTACGCGGTAGCTATAGAGTACCCCGATAATAAGGTAACGGAGCAAGAGAAAGAATAAGATCAGTAGCGCTTTCTCTGCCACCCAGCAATTCATAGAACAGCATTACTCGCAAGCATTCGCGGATTTTACACAAGCACTCATCGCAGACGGTTTAGCAAAGATCGAAGTCTACGGTAGCAGGTACAGGCTCACGAAGCTTACATTACTCCTCATCATCGCCAAGAACCTGCAGAGACTGACCATCATCCTACACGAAAGGAGGAAGATAGCAGCTACTCGATACTTTCAACACTCTTTAAGCACTACAGTCTATCATACAACGACTCAGGGCGCATCGAGACCATAACAACCACGAGACCACTAGCGAATCTTCGCACCCTACAGCTAGAATACATCGAACCACACTACTCAAACCGACTGTTCATGTACTTCGACTACACTCGGCCACTGATCTTCCTACCCCAGCTAGAGACAGTAGGTCTAAAGGGGATATGGTAGGCGCGCCGTGTGAAGAACGATAACGTTAACGTACCCGCCGGCATCGAACCTCGAGGCGCCAGGGGCAGCACGGGAGACGCGTTTCTCAGGCTACCCGCCCACGGCACTCGTCTGCAGCGACGCCACCTACATCTCGACGGCTACATCAACCCCGGCGACGGCGTCGAGGACTTCCTACGCCAGTTTCCCAACCTCGAGACGCTGGACCTACGCGGCGTGCACCCCAGCACCAGCACTGCGGCAGTCGCAGACTTCAGCCGCCTCGGCCACGCGCTTCGCAAGAACGGCGCCAACGTACGCCGGCTGGCCATCGATCCGCGGTACTGGGATTTCCATGGATTGGGCCTAGACCCGAGCGGCTCCCGCGTAGGCGGCCAGCTCGGCTCCCTCCGAGCTAGAGGAGCTGCGGGTACCGATGTCGCGGCTAGTGGAAGCGCGCGTACACACGTGGTTTGCTACCCCGGAGGTACGGCGAGAACTCGAGATGTGGTTGCCTCGCAAGATACGCCTATTCCAGACACACCTTCTTGAAACTACGATAGAGGGCTATGCGCATTTTAGTGCTCTCTTTAAGTTAATAAGCGAAATCGCGAATAACCACGGTGTTACACTAAGATACCAACATCTAGAAGCGGTCCTGTTAAAGGAGCTCAAAGGCGCGGATTATAGTCCAGACACTTGAGGGAGCCCGGCAGGCTGGTCAATGTCGCATCCTAGCGGAGTAGGAAGTGCACATCGTTTATTCGCAAGGTTGTCGGCTAAAGGAACCGCACGATCGGTAGCGGCGTAAGCATTACACCAGATTCGTAAGAATTAAGCAATCCCTTTAGGGAGCACCCAGGTATCATCGGACTACACCTCCAAAGATCTTTCGATCAAGATTCTCAATGCGCAAAAAGCGACGTAGTCTATACTGCCAGCAATAACAGCCCGATGAGATCAACACTGCAAGGCAAAAGAACAGCTCGTCCTGCTTCACCAACCAGACGAATCAGAACTACTACCGGGCGATCTACCGTAGCACGTTGTTCTCTGTGAGAGTGCCCGAACGAGCTGATCCCATGTCGTCTGCTGCCACGACAAAGCGCACTCTGCGCTCTCCTGCTGGCCAGGATCAACGGCCTCTGCAATGCCTCTCGGAATCAAAGGCATTCCCGAAAATGAAGGCCGCATGATTGTAACGTCTTTCCTGTATCCATTCCGTCATCTCCCTGTATTCTTGCCTACCCCCTGTGACGATCCTCTGTAGCGGATTGCAAATCTGTTGGCCGCCACAAGGTTGGAACGGGAGGCGTGGGCCGCACTCGCAATGGTGCTCGCGGGAGAACATGACCGGGTCCTTCCCGTATATGTCGGTCAGTCTTCGAAGACAGTACATAGGAACGACCAAGTAGTCGCGACGCGGAGGCGGTGGTGACCAGGTGCCGCACACCGTACCCTGAGGTAGAAGCGGCGGCGGATCGATGTTGTTGCAGAAGAGTGTGACCACGCGATACGGCGCGTTTGGGTGCTGCGTTTCATGGTCCTCCCAGTCGCTCTTTAGCATCCGTAGCCAGTCCCCGCAATAATTGACTTGAACATCGACCGTAACGATTGAATAGTTCCGAGGCTGGCTTGCCAGGTTGGCGAAGTCTACACCTGCCAGCCGATTCGGATGTAGTCTAGGCGCAGGTTTCAGGTCTTCGTCGTCTTGCAGCCGGTCGAGAGTTTTGGCAAAGTACATGAAGACCTCCTTCAAGTTGATGCGAGCTAGCGGTGCAGGAGTCTGTATCCAGAATTCATCCTCCAAGGCCCGAAGCAGGCAGCCGGGAGCAATGAGGACGGCTTCATATTGACCGAAGGTTGGGTAGCGGATATTTCCACATGTCTCGGGGTCATTCCTCCTTGCCCACGCTTGGACCAAATACATCACAACAGAAATCCGGGGCAGCATCCAGGCGACTTTGGTTTGAGTTTCGTAGAGAATGGTGGAATTCTCAAGCGTCTGTTCGATGATTTTTTCGTCGGTAGATTCGACTTCGAGCGACCGCGGCCGCTCCTTCGCGGTTCGGATCCGGATGCCCGTTGATGCACCAACAGATATGAGAAACCCTCCAGCCAATGAGAAATTGATCACCCTTGTCCACACGATACGATTTCGTAGGGGACTTTCTCTGATGTTGTTAATATGGACGCGGTTGATACTGTCCGCTCTGGAGTCCTTGGTGCCGATGCGAACGCTAGCGTTCTCAAACAGTCCTAGGAAGTGACGCTTCGTGTTAATCACCTTGATGAACTCCTCCTGAGACAGGTTCGTCTCGATCCGGACACGTCCCGGTCCTTTCTCCTTGACTTCTGCCATGTAAAGTCGCTCCCTTCCACTGCTTAAGAGGTGCCATTGCAGGGCGGAAGCTGCTTCGGAAAGGCCGGAACCCGATGGGGATCAAGGCGTTTTTCCACCCCTTGAGGACAATCCCGTCCTTGTAACCAACGGGGTAGCCGACGTTGGCGAAAGTAGTCATCCAGGTGAACGGCAATTCCAGACCAAGGATCCCATGGGGACGTGTGGGGACAGGGAATCCGACGGCAACATTCAAGCCGGTGAATGTGAAGAGTTGGTGCCAACGTGTGTCTAAGGAATCGCCGGGGAACTCGCTCGAAACATCCTTGGGGGCGATGCGGAGACGTGGACAAAAGTCTTCGGGATTCAGAGAGGGTTCGTCGTGCTGGAAGTATTCAATCCTAGCCCTGGTGAACGATAGACCTTCTTCAGGAGGTTCCTTGAAAGCCGCCACGATCCATGCCAATTGTGATGCCACCTCTACAACTAAAGCGTGGTAGTCTGCCATCCTGCCCTCGATCCATCGAGTTCGGAGAGTCATGGCCCAATTGGATACGCTGGCGGCGGATATACCGTTTATCTGGCTTTGAAGTTCGACGCATACCGGCTCGCCATCCACATTGTCACTTATGAGCAGTGGACGAGCTGATTTCACTGTTAGAAAACCCACTGTCTCAGAGATTTAGCGCACTCACGTGGACGTGTCTCTGGCGGTGCTGAGTCCAATAAGAGCTCAGCTAGCCAGCGCAAGGTATCCTTCCCCCTTTGGCCCAACGCCAGCTGACGTAGACGACCATCCAATTTGCAAAGACATTCTGGGAAGAGGCCGCTGTTACGGTCAGGAGAGATTGGAACTGACCGTTGAGAGCGCCACGGAAACCATCCAGACCAGGAAGGAGGCAGATATCCCAGGCATGGCTCGCGGTCTCAAGTCCTGTCGTGAGCTTTTGCAGTCCCCGCTTAGCGTGACCGACTTCCTCTCCTAAAAGTAATTCGGCGTTCACAGAAGGGGCAGCACGTATGGAATTGGAGATAGTGTGTATAAGCTTGACGATAGCCAGAAGTGTTCTTTCGAGCTTAGAAAAGTCGTCTTTGGCAGTGAATATCGCATCAATTTTTGTTTTGAGGTTATCGAGCTCGCCCTCAACCTTGGAGACGGCAGGGTAGTTTGCCTTAACCAGGGAGAAGTCTGATATGCCCCGGTAGATGCATTAAATGAAATCTTCAACCATGACCGAACCCCGGCCATCGTATATGGCAAGCTTGTCTGCGATAACCTTAGCGGAAAGGTCTGGAGTGATGTCACCTGTGAATCGAGGGAGGGCCGAGATATCCACATTTGGAAGGTCTGTGAGGGTAGGCTTAGCTGAGAGGTGAGATACAATCGTCACAAGATGCGTGTACATGGATGCCACTTTTTTTCCCTGATGCGATGGTTAATGCAGCTGCCTCTCAGTTGAGAAGTATGGTACCACTCAACTGTATCACTTTCAATCCAGATACCAATCTTATCGGCATGATCCATACCGTCGGTGGTACCAAAGTGCCAGTATTTTCCTCTTGCATTTGCGACTTGCTCTGGAAGTCTGGGAAAGTCACAAGCGTCGACAATGAGACTTCTATCTCGATTCGCGGGGATGTCTCCATTTCGATTAAGAGGACCTTTCATAGAGGCTGTATTGACAATCCCATCGTTGACCTTCCAGTCCTCTGATTCGTCTCTTAGGATTTGCCGTTGACCATTGCTTAGTTGCTGGGAACTGATGGCGTACGCTGTTGGGAACATGAGCGGAAGGACGCTCGCTATCGGGAGATAATCCCCAGGTGGCGGAACCCTGACATTGTAACCGACTTCCTGTATGAAACGGTTTAGGACCTTGTCGACCAGCCACCTCGTGGCTTCGCGTATATCGACTAGATTTGAGACGATGTGCCATCCGCCAACGTTCGTGGCGACACCAATAATCCCTTGAGCAATTTGTGTAGCCAGGCCGAAGCTGAGATTGTGAATTTCCGAATAGAAATCACCGAGGAATGGGATAAAATTGAGGGCACCTTGAATCATCTTGTCGATGTTGCCGATGATTGGCAGCTCCTCGAGAAACCGAGTGATAGTCAAGGGGAACTCCTGTATAGCCTCTAATGTCCAAGATGGCCAATCTGGTGGAAATGGTTCCACACAGCTAAACGACAGACTGAAGTAGTATACGTCGTTTGATGTTGGAATCGTCTTCTCGTTCAGTTCGTTTACTCCCATCACGCTGTTATCGTAGAGGGCGTTGTGATTTGATTCAATCCACCGGCGCACTGGTCCGGGATTTGCTTGCCAAATCGAAGATTCCAGTCGCTCTCGCATTTCTGAGAAAGTTTCATTTCGGTTTCTTCTAGTGCCTCTCTTGATGCCCCAGTGGTCAAGCTGGAGGTCGTACGTTCTGCGGTGCTGGTCCTCAAAGGACAGTACTGCGAACAATCGACCTAGTAATCGAGTCTGTTCGGGAAGATCTAAATGCTATGCGCAGTGTTAGAGCGGTGGCACATGCGTGATTGCAACTATAACATACCCTGGAGAGGTTCCATAGAGCGTCTACTACCGTTGTACCTCTATGCGGAGTCCCAACTGTTGGAACGGAAATAGCCCACTTGCTGCGTCGTGGTGTGTCGAAGTATTCTGGGTGCGGCAAAGTCTGCTTCGAATTTTCGGTGCAATGCTCCATGAGATGGAGCAAGTATCGGACTGTAGTTCCACCCTGGGAATGGCAAATAAAATGAGCGGGACTATTCTCATCCCATTTCCAATTCCGCCACTCCTGAGGCTCCTATGTGTAGAGAATTGCGGCCCTTCGGCGTGGGCTACCCGCTCATATCGGTGCCGGATGGGGAACACGTCCCCGTAGTCGACATCGATGACCTCAGGCTTTCCTTCGATTTCGTTCGTCTCCAGATTGTACTGCGTAAACCTGTAGGGTGTTAGTGACAGTTTAGTAGAGGGCACTGACGTAAATACCTGGAAGAGCGAAGCTGTGCGTATAATTCGCATGCCCGCTCCCAGTTAGATGATAACGGCCCAACTGGTGCCAAAATTACTGTGTGGCCGGCTTTCGCGAGGATTTGCGGAATATTCTCAATTCCGCCCCAGTAATTGACAGCGCCGAATAGGGGCGACCCCCAACCTGAGAATCCCGGGACTTGGACTGTCAGACGGAAGACTTATCCAGGAAGGAATATCATACCAAATACTATCGGAACGTCTTTACTTGGACCGTCCGCTAGATCCATTGTTACCCTCCCTGCTAGGCTCTCCAGCTTCCCCAGTCCATCCATGCTGTGTCAGAACCCACTTGCGACAGTTTTGTTTCAAATGTAGGCCAAGGGAACAGTCGTTCGCTTGAAAGCCGTCGCTGCGCCGAGGATAAGAAGGTCTAGTTACCCGACGGAAATCGGGGAGTTTCTTAACATCTCAGCAGGATGGGATGGCGTTGAGGGACGATTCTAGGGACATTTATAGAATCCCAATATGACTCAGGTCGGAAGTCGAGAGAAATCATGGGGCGGCATTCACATGTAAATTAGAGGAACACTAGTTGTAGCCGAGTAAAAGCCTCTGCCCCAAGGTTTCGTATAAAGCTACTTTCCATCGGCTGAGCATAATGCTGAGTTTTGTCGTCGTACATGGGGGGTCATTCACATGCAAATTAGAGGAACACTAGGTGTAGCCGAGTACAAGACTCTGCCCCAAGGTTTCGTTTTGTCGCCGTACGTGGGGAGTCGGGATGCCTAGCGGGAGCAGTGACGCGGAATTCACCCCGCCCACGTGAAGGGAATCGGGCGTGTTCGTCACATGGTTGAGGGTAAAGTGTGCGAAGACGAGCAGTGCCGGCAGGAAATTGGCGCGCAAAGCAGTCACCAGTTTACATTACAGGCTGGTAACTGGCTGGAGACCTAACGTTAATACCTGCTGTCCCCGGGTTGTTTTTGTCGCTCTGGCCTTTTTTCTCATAGCTTGTCATCCCATTCCGTCCTTGCCATTCTGTTGGACAAGATCGAGATGTTTTTCTTGTAGCAAATGGAGAGGAGGGAAACCCAGTAGCGAAACCCGATTTCTGGGCTCGAGTAAAGGGGACTTTGCACCACGTACCCAGTCTGGTTTTCATACCTTTGTTAGCGCAAAAGAAAACGAGCTACGGACATTTCGCGAGAATATCGGCTGTCTTATACCCCATTCTCTGAGACGATTCGCGACGTTAAGATCTTCCGTCGGCTGGGCAACATGCGTGCCCGAGATCACTAGCTAATGCGCCGTACATCCGACCCTTAGTGGCATCAGAAGCAAGTATCCGGGCAGGGCCCTCAGCTGCCGCTGGCCGAGGAAGCCAGCAACTCATCTTGTTATCAGTGGTGATACGGGATCGAGTTTCTCTGTCACATCTCTAAATCCTGCCGAACGGCCGTCGATGCGGGACTCAGACTATTGTTGAAGCAGCTGAGCGAAGTGGGTGGAGTAGTCAGAACCTTGGATCACTAAACCGCCGAAATCACTGGCAACATTTACGCTAAGCAAGCTATAGATGCGATAAACATCAGTGCTAACAATTAATGCATATTGGCTAGGCCCCGACGGTCAAATTTGTTGTGGCAAGATGTCGAGGAACAGGTTACCTGGCGTGAGCCGTAATGTGCAAAGCGGGAAGTGGATAGAGTCGAATGAGAAAGCTGGGGGGTCTTGGTTCTTTAGACTGGATGCGGCTTTCCTAAATATCTGTAACTGAAATCATCATATTAATCGTGCCGGCTTCTCAGTTTTCGTTGGAAGGATTTACGTATTACATATACATTCCTATGAGCCACCTTAATTGCTAGCATGCGCTAGTTAATATGCGGCTTAGCCCTAACCTAGATATGACCTCAGTATGAAACATATTATTGCACTGGGTAATTAAGTCCTAATGGGAGCGAATGAAAATGCTTACTTAAACAGCTACTTGCTTTCGGAGATTCGATAATCTGTAAGTTTCGGGCATCCGGTGGCCTGTCTTAGCTAACAAAGGCTGATCCATACAAAAGCAAGATATGCCAAGACTTGGGGGATCTACATTCCGCTAATGGGGCCAAGGAGAAGACGGTCAGCAGCGCGCACGAGAGTTCGAGAGCTGAGTGAGGAGCTTATTGTGGTCGCACCTTCCAAACCTTGGAGATAGTTCTCCAGGACAATGGCTTTACGTGGTGCGCTGCATTCACCATCGGCCAATAGGCGACACTTATCAGACTCAGTGTTGGGTCATATTCACATCTTCTGCAACCTTCTCGGAATGCTCGAGTCCTAGCCGCGGACCGTGATTGTTAGTTCTCGGACGGGCGTATATCTCGGGGCTACATCCCCGCCGTGGCTGTAACAAGTATCCATTGACCATAAGCCGATGCGAGTCGACGGAAGAGGACGAGAGTTATATCTCCAGCCGCAAGTCCTTCACCGGGCTTATGAGAGGGCTGGCTGAGAAATTGGGAGGGAGGCCGGGGGACGGCTGCTGGTTCGCCGAGACGGAGCGCCGACGGCTGAGATATCAGACATGACTACAGGATTGTGCTTGGCAGTGTGCCTCCTAGGACTAGACTTCAGCAACGACGAGAATTCAGCAAAGAGAAGTCATGCCATGCCTCGCGACGTGAGTGCCAATGAGGACGAGTAAAGAAAGGACTGAGTTTGATCTGACAATGTCAGTCTGTGTATAAGAAGGACGGCTTCGTCGCTTTGCCTCCCGACTAGATTCCCAGATCAGAGCTCGCGGGTTCTCGTCATCCCAGGATTGTAATCAGTGCACTTTCCGCGGCTGTATCCCAAGCACTCCCACATAGTCATCCTTTAGCTCATTCGATCCTCAATCACAATGTCGAGCTCCATCACCATCAACGGCAACGTGGTCCAGCTCGCAGACCTGACCCCGTCTGCCGACGCCGCCAACACAAACTACCTCCTCATCAAGGGCGCGACCGACCTCGGGCAGCAGGAGAAGCGTCAGCTGGCGGAGAAGGGTGTCAAGGTGTACGAGTACCTCGGCGAGAACGTGTACCTGTGCTACTACGAGCCCTCCGAGCTTGAGCCCATCCAGCAGCTCGACTTTGTCGACGCAGCGGTCGTCTACGCCCGGCGCGTCAAGACCTCTGCCCTGCTCAAGCAGGCGCTCGGTGATGGTGCGGGCCAGGCGCCGTCTAGCGACGGGGCGAGAGTCGCCGCCACCGCTCCCACGTTTGACATTGAAGTCGTGCTGCACAAGGGCGAAGGCCAGGTTGACGGAGTCGTCGACCAGATCGCCCAGACGGCGGGCGTCGACCCCGCGGACGTCTCGGTCGACCACAACAAGCTCCGGCTGACGTGCGATGCCGACGGTATCGGCCGAATTGAGAAGCTCGATGCGGTCCGGGCCATCGAGAAGCACGTTCCGAAAAAGCTCTACAACAACCTTGCCCGTGGCGACCTCGAGATCGACGAGGCAGTGGCGAACGAGCATGTCCCCAAGTCCCAGTACGAGGGCAACGGCCAGGTCGTCGCCGTGTCCGACACGGGCTTTGACACAGGCTCAAAGACTGATACACACCCGGCTTTTACCGGCAGGGTTCGCGCCTTGCTACCCGTCGGTCGAAAGAGTACAGGCCAGACCAACGACTTCCAGGGCCACGGCACGCACGTTGCGGGCTCAGTCCTGGGAGACGGGAGCTCGGACACAATGGGCGGCAAGATCCGCGGCGCCGCGCCCAAGGCCGAGCTGGTCATGCAGTCGCTCCTGACGACCTCGGGTGGTCTGCAGGTGCCCCCGAACCTGTGGGACCTCTTCGTCGGCCCGCATCGCGACAACAAGGCCCGCATTGCGACTAACTCGTGGGGTCCCGACTGGCAACTTGCTGGGAGCCGTCAGGTCGGATACGACTCGGAGGCTGACGCCCTGGACAAGTTTGTCTGGCATAACCAAGACCGTGAGTGTTTTACCCCTGAGAGCCCCTTTTTCGCCGCTGACAGCTCATGCCTATTCCTCAGACGTCATCCTCTTCGCCGCCGGCAACGACGGATCTGAACCCTCCGCCACGAACGCCCAGATCGGCAGCTCTTCCGCAGCCAAAAACTGCATCGCCGTCGGCGCGACCCAGTCGAGCCGCACGATCAGCGACGGCCTCAAGTACGATCCCGCTGGCACCCCGGGGAACCCGAGCGCCGTGGCGTTGTTCAGCTCGCGCGGCCCGACCCTCGAGAAGCGGCAGAAGCCCGACGTCGTGGCCCCGGGAGTCGCAATCCTCAGCACCGCGTCCCGCGACCCCGCCGCCCGGAAGCAGGCGGCGAGACAGAGCTTTGGGCCGTCCAAGGACGTCGAGTGGATGTTCGACACGGGAACAAGCATGGCCACGCCCCTCGCCGCGGGTTGCTGCGCGCTGCTGCGCGAGGCGCTGGATGTCAAGGCAGGTGTTGCCAAGCCGAGTGCTGCTCTTGTGAAGGCGCTCCTTATCAACGGTGCTGTTGATCTGGGCCTGCCGCGGGCCGAGCAGGGGTTCGGGCGGATTGATGTTGCCCGGTCTCTGGCCATTGTGGAGAAGCACGACGCTGCTGCGACTAATGGCAGTAGCACCAATGGTGGTGTTGGGGCAGGTAGCAGTGGTGGCAGCGGCTTCGGCTTCGCCGACGTTGGCTTCGGGTCCGGTCGCAGCCTCGGGGAGAAGCAGACGTGGACGAAAGAGGTGACGATCCCAAGTGGCGGCACCGCCGGGGAGTTCAAGGTCACGCTGGCGTATTCAGACCGCGCTGGTGAGGCACTGCAGAACAAGCTGAGCCTGAGTGTGCGCTTCAGCGGGGGCAGTAACGGCGCTGCGGACGTTGAGAAGCTAGGAGCCGAAGGCAACCAGGGTCTGACGGAGAACAATGTCGAGCAGGTCGTTCTCAAGCAGGGCCAGGGTGGTCGATACAGCAAGGCCACGATCACGGTGAAGGCCGACAGGATCACGCGGCTCGATGATGTCCAGGCTTTTGCGGTGGCCTGGGGGATGTACTGATTGGGATGTTGTTAGTTCACGTTTGCCGTACCCTCAGTATTATCGCATCAAGTTCCTTCATACTAAGAATAACGTAATCCACGGGTAAGCGGGTCACACGGGTGAACGGGTCACCTTCCAGTAACTCGTACGACAATATATAAGACAATTTAACCACAACGCCTTAAATCAATTCAAACTATTCAGAATCCTCTTCTTCAGAGGCAGATACAACTTTCTGACACGTACGAGCATTATGACCGGGCTCGCCGCAGACGCCACATCGTCGCGCGCGCGTTTCGGGCCTCCTCGTACGACCACTATTCTGACTCGTTTCCGCTATTAACTGCTGCGTCGCATCGATTTGAGCCTTCAAATCCTTTGCCTGATCAATCGTGAGGGACCCTCCTTTCTGTAGCTGCTTTCTTTTCGTACGACGACGGCGGCTGAGGCGGTCATTTGCATCTCGAAGTTCGGCGAGCTCTTGGCGCATAAGGTCCTGCTCGTGTACCATCATTATAACTCCTTTTCTCAGCTGCCGTAGGCTCTCAACAATGGACGACTGAGCTATTCTGGTGTCGTACGATGCGATTTTCAATATACTTCGTCTGCGATTCGGTCTCAATTAGGTTGTTCGGCGTCTTTGAAACCCATGGGGGTGGTAGTCCAGCAGAGGAACCTGGTGGTGTCGGCGTATGAAACTTCATATCTAGCTGCGAAATCACATAATTCGGGTCGTACGGTACTAGGCCTGTCGCTCTGAAGCCTGCCTGGATGTTTGATTTGGTCATTGCAGCGTCGTACGCCTTATAAAAGGCTGGGAGGAAGTCCTCCTTTGAAACGTGGGTTACGTGCGCCCGCATTAGACCTTCGATTTCTTTACCGTACGCCCGTTTCAGAGGTCCAAAACACCCAACATCGAGAGGCTGGAGCTTATGCGACGAATGAGCAGGCATACAGAGGGTAACAATATTCTGTTCCTTGCAGTAGAGCTCGAAATCGACGGAATGGTGGCTCTCGTGGCCGTCGAGGATAAGGAGGCGGTGGGTACCCTTCGTACGACTCTTTGTATGGAAATCAAAGTGTTTTACCCATTCTAGGCCTCTCTCGTTCGTCGTCCAACCGTTTTCTGAAAGCGCGATTACCCAGTCGGCCGGTAGAGGGCTATTCGCGGTCCAGGAGTCGAGGTGGACCTTCCCGGCGAAGATAATGTATGGCGGGATTGAATAGCCGTACGACGCGATACCCTGGATTACTGTAACCCATTCCTGATTGCCTTGTTGTACGGCTCTTGGCCTCCCGCGTCGATCGGAGGTCGTAACGACAGTTTCGGCGGAGATCTTGCCCATCGCGAAGCCCGTTTCGTCGAAGTTATAGATATCGTCATCGTGGATCCCGTATTTCGCGATTATGTTTCGTACGAGCTCAAACCACGCGCGATACGCGTCCGGATCCTCGCAAAGGACCCTCTGGTAATCGATTCTTCGATTAAAACGCGTACGGAGCTCAGGTCGTCGTCGTACGAAGGTTGAGGCCCAGTTCGTTCCAACGCGTGGCGCGTCGCGTACGCGGAGGAGTCGATCCGCCATTTCTCGAACACCACTTAACCGCGGTGGAAACGAACGCGAATCTAGGTCGAGTACGTATCGTACGATACTCTCCTCTTCGTATGAGCTTAATTTCTGGCAGGGTGGTCGGGTGTCGTGTTTCGCAGCTCGGCCGTGGTATCGTTGCTGGAGTGTCGTACGAGATACATTATAGATCTGCGCAGCCTTTCGTACGCTTAATTTTGGGTCGGATTGGAGCGCATTTAACGCTAGAACCAAATCACTTTCAATTGATTGTCGTCCCATGATTGGAGGTGGAGAAAAAGGAGAAGGAAGTGAACCTCAATTAAATTGCAGTAAAGTGACCCGTTCACCCGTGTGACCCGCTCACCCGTGGATTACGTTACTGCTTCTTCTGCCCAGAGGGCTCTGTTTGGACTGAGGTTCGAACGGAGATCTCGATCGATGAGAACAAGTCTTCCCGCGTCACGAGGTGAGAGCGCTGAAATCGTGAGCAAGCTAAAGACTAGCGGGCGACCCCTACTGTAATATTCTATCCCAAACTTGACTCAACTTCCGCCGTCCTGTGCGCCCCACATTTCTAGATTATGCTCAACTTCCGTCCAGATCCCTCTCATTTCATCGTAGGAAATGATATGTCCCACGAAACGTCCGTGCACCGACGAAGGACTACGTATTCAAGCCCCTTTTCCTCCCAAGTTCCACATCCCGGATTTACCCCAGATACTGCCTTACCCCCAAGACCCACGTTTCCTCTACTCTGACCCGCCTCTATATACTACTGTATTACATCGTGAGATATTCGAAGTGAATTGTTATTATAATGTATGAGTAATAGTCCCCCGGTTTACTACCGGACTTAGTAATACCTCCCGCTAGCGATTAGGTCTTTACGTACTTACTCCTCTACGTCGACCGAGCTGTAAACATCTTTATCTACTACTACCCCGAATGCTGCTAAGCTATCTTAGTATAGGAAGCTTAAGTAACCGTATACCTCTGGAAGAAGCATAGCGTCCCGATTGCTTATAGGTTTGGCCTTATAGAGTATATTTATTATAACTATCCTGAAGGCTTCTCAAACCCCGCGGACGTACTAACGCTACTTTGCGGATCTGATCCACACCCGTACTGTGTCAGGGCAGTGCGGGATAGACTGATCAGGGGCATATTTGTACAGTACTACTTAAGGCTTGAAGCCATCGCGACGTTTTTCATAGCACGGAGCCAGACATTCATCACTCAGCTTCACCAATCCGACTTGATTTTTTCCACCCCATTGAATTCCTACGCTTCTGCACCCGTTCTTGTACGCAATTGACTGACAATGCCATGATCAGAGATTCCCTCACAAGTGTCGCATCAACAGGGCGTTGTTGATGTGGCTGGCTCCCCCGTCGAAAATCTGCTTTGGCCCCTTATCTGGGAATGCCCTCACTCTGGCCCAGGGCCAGAGTGAACCTCGCCGGAAACACCGCCGAAACTGGCAAGCGGTGAACTCCCTTCGGTCGTGGTGGTTGTTTTGTCCCCGATCAGGAGAACCCTCATCCGCCCCAGGACAGTACCTCCAGATATATGATAGCTTTAGCTATCGTAAGTGCGATTTTTGCATAACTAGCTACTATAAGCTTACGAAACACCTTTCCCACCATTATATGGGCGGGTAGATAGCGACCCAGCCGAGAATAGGCCTTCTATACGACGAGGTCTACCTATAGTCCTGGGCCGGCGGGCCGAACCGTCAATACTAGACGGTAAAGGGGCCAGATGGGAGTACGATACGCCACAAAGCTACCTACTACACGCTAATAAAGCATATCGATTCGACCGGCCTAGCACTTGGCGCCGCGAAGAAGGCCCTGGACGACAAGCGAACAGCCTTTACGCAGAGCAAGCCATAGCTTGACCGAACCGGGTGGCAGCAGACCTTCGAAGGCGCTCACTGCGCTCTGCTAGTCTCCCTGACACAAATGCCCTTGAACCCACCTAGGAGCCTCCTCCATCTTGCTATAGGGATTCATCCGGGGAGTTCTCCCTTCATTAGCACCAGGCGAGACGAGATCAAGATCTCTGGACTCGTCGCAATGGCAGACCGCATGATGGCTAGATGCGAGCGGACGGCTAGTGCTACTTCTCGAACGATCCTCTGCTGGTTCCGAAGTACAAGGCCAGACACCCCCTATATCAAGCCATTCACACTCGTATCCATGAAGTCCAGCCGGAGCCGGTACTACCGGCTTCTTCAGCGCTTCGTGGCCTTTGTCTTTCGTGCCTTTCGGCTTCCAACTCACCAGCGCTTGGAGGCATCGGCCATACGTTTCGACGCGAGACAGCAGGAAAAGCTTAAGGCTATCTGGGATCATAGAGCCTGGGGGGAAGACGCGCTCGTCCGATGGGTGCTCGCGGGAAAGCCGAGCGGCGCGAACAGCAGTCAATCTCGAGCCGGCACCCAACCGCAAGATGGCGGCACAGGAGGCGACGGCCTCTATCTCGGAGCTCAGACAGTGCCAACCAGAAAGAGAACGTTTACGGCATACCAACGGGAGGACGTCGACATGCAGCACGGCCAAGAAGATGTAGACGACACTGACAAGAGCGACATGGACACCGAGGACGATTATCGCTCGGAAGACGACCCAAGCGACGGCGAATACGACGAGATGCTAGACGCCGCTGAGGGTCGCCATAAGGGTGTGAAGCTCAGCCAGCCGCAGGACAGTTCACATCCTCTCGAAGGTCCACGTAGTCCAGCGCTAGCGGAGCTCCTTGAGCTTCTGTTCGAGCTGTGCATCATGTTCTGCATGCAGAGCTTCAGCGATGGAGACCCCAGCTCGGCTCTACTTATCTATTTCAGCGGCATTCTTGGTATCAGTCCCGACTGCAGGGGCTTTAGGACAGCGAAGCTATATACGCCTCACCTATCCGCACTCATCTATATACAACGCCTGCTTTTTCTCGAGTACTCCCTGCCGCTTGAGGCGTATAACCACATCGGGATTCCTCGACGGCCGCGGTTCCACCAGCACGAACGGCTCGACACCGTGAGGCAGAAATATATGCTTGCCTCGTCGATAACCCCTCTCCCAGAAATGCTAAGTCTGCGGGACTACGGCAGAGTCATCGCAAGAACTGATCCTCCGGCATACTTCGTACGCTGGAGCGATGATCTACAGACTATCTCATACGGGGACTCCTTTAGCGTTGCAATGAACAAATTCCGACGGCTCGCAGAGTACTTCATCACCCAGTCCGAGGAGACCTGCCGTGATCTCATACTTGGATTAAGAAGGGTAGAGAAGGACATTAAAGGAAAGCGCGCGTCTCGGGCCTCAGTATTGGTCACGTCGGAGTTAAGGTATATCCAGAGGGTAAAGGGCGGGAGATTTATGTTTTCAATGGTGGTGCGGCTGTGGTTTTCATGGACTGTTGATGGTCATTACGAATGTGGAATGAAACATGTCAAAATGAGCCAACAATGCTTGCCCCCAAACTATGATGTTTACTTGCTACCCTGACCTTATCTACCTCGACACCTACAAAAGTGATCCAGTCGTCCTGGAGCGAGGCACCAACGTATTCGGCCGCGTTGCTGTGATCCCGAACAAACACGAGCAAAAAAAAAAAAAAACAGGTGATGGCTCTATGGCAAAGGTACGTGTCCATCCTCCGCACATGTAAGGACCCATAGGTCGACATGTCGGTTTGCCCAGGTTAAAGTGCTCAGTTGCACAGGGCCCCTATCGGCGCTCAAACTCCGTTATGTCTCGCTAGAACCCTTGGCTAAAAGGTCAGGAGCCATTATTTGCGTCGAACACGTCGCCTTGGCTCTGCGGGTCTTAGAAGACTCGCCTCCGCCTTGTCACTGTTGTTGATTGTATATTGCTGCCAAGGCTGTCGTATGTGGGTGCCGAGCCCAGGATGGTTTAAAATGACGTTCAGTGTAAGTGAGGATTGCCTTGGCACCCATAAGATGAAAGCCAAGCCAGCAGTAGGAGCAGCAGCAGGAGCAAGTGATAGTCCACTGCCGATCTCTAGATTAGAACAGAGCAGTGTCCCACACGTGACGTCGGCTCACGCTAGGACAGCAATGAGTTGGAATTGCGCTGCACCATACGCCGTGAACCTCGGGGCTTTGATGGTTGCCTAGAATAGCAAGCGCAGCTGTACAGATCGTATCCGGAATTCATGTACTGGAGCTAGATAGAATTCACCTGATAATTATCACTAGGACTGATACTATGCGATTTAATGTGACGTGATTCGCAACTCTAAAAGAATAAATCAAAACAAATGTAGGTAATATCACTATAAAAGAGTTGAAGCACCAATCAATAATGAAAGTAGACGACACGTAGGAACATACCTAGAAAAACGTCGTTATCAAAAACAGCAGGATCACCCCAGTAGGCAACTAATTTGTCTGATTCTAAAGGAGTGTCCAAGCTTCCAGGCACGCGACCACGGTCTTGTTGTCCAACTCCTTTGCCGACGCAAGCAGGCGAGCCTTCAATCTTCCAGGCTGCGGCAGCTTCGCATCTGAGAGCATGCTCCTCGCTCTGACACCCTCATACCTCCGCAGCGTCTCCGCCAGCTCCTCCTGACCTCCATCATCACTACCTTCTGCAATCCTCACCAGTGCCAACGCTCTATGCCACAGCGCCAGCCCCGCAAGGTTTACATCCTCCGCCTCCAGCGCACCGAGATCCAGCAGCCTAATCGCGAGCAGCATGCGGCCCGTATACTTGGCAATCTTGGCCCGGTCCTGCGTCTCGTGCATAATGTACTTGTAGCAGTCATGCGCGAGTTCGATGAGGATCGAGGCGCGTAGGTCGCTACCGTAGAACCCCTTCACCTCGGGCGGTAAGAAAAAAGCGTGCGACGGGTCCGGGTTGAGCGCGAGCAGCCACTTGTCGACGAGCGAGGGTGGTACGGTATCGCTGAAGTGGTCGATTGCGACCATCTCCCGGAGGGTGGTGTCTCTGTGCTGATTGTAGAGGGCGATACGCAGCTCCAGGGACGTACGGGAGGTTAATGTCCTGGAGGCCTGGTCTGATTGCGCATCGGGATTGGACGTCAATGCCATGATTCCAACTTCTGTGGTAGTACCTGGGAAAGTTGTGTTGCTGGCCGGGCCTGGGGAAGTGATAAGTGTGGACAGGGCTTCCTTTGACAGGGGCGTAGGGGAGGCTGTGCAATCCAGACACTTGCAAGCAACCCATAGTTGTCAGCCACCCACTTGGACGGGTAGGCCGTGTCAGCCTTGGGGTTTTGTCGAATCGGGATCGGATCAACCCTAGTTGATTCAGTCGATAGGAGCCCACTATATAGGAAGCAAAAACCACGTCTGAAAATAAGAGCCTTGGCATCTAACGAAAAAGCAAGAGTGCGGATAGGTGATTGGCTCGGCTCCTTCCCTTAAGTCGTTTCTTTGCGGAACGGGCGTGTTCGAGTACGTAGAGGACTGGTACCAGGAGTTTTTCGCTAATCCTGGAGACCTATAACTTGAATTCTTGCAAATCGGCCCAGGGTCCCTGGGGCGGTAATGCTTCCGGACGTGACAGTAGCCAATGGATCAGGGCCGGCCATGTACGAGAAAGCAAGTCAGCATGCGCGTTGACTTTTGTTCAAGTATTATCTTAAGGACCCCGCGCTTTCCCCGTGCTCAACCGAATGTGTCCTTCTTCCAACAAATGGACATGTTAACTTACCCAACCTACCTATTCTTCTACTGCCAATTATGCTCGCCCGCGTCCAGCAAGTACTTACAATGTCTTGTGTCACCGTGGCAGCCTTAGCAGCTTCCTGCGATTCCGGAAATCCCAAGTCCTACGTCGGTCTCGAATCAAGATGCTTCCCAGCACGACAGTGACGGCTTGAGCCCAATTCTTAGTATTCGCTGACATATCCTACGGCTCTGCAATCGTAGTGTACTTACTCGAACAAGCTGGCCTCCGTGTTCTCCAATCTGGAACCGAGGAATACGCGGAGCGGGACGCATCCTACTTCTCCTTGTCTGCGCATTAGGGTCCTTACTGCATCGTATAGCGAGTAACGGCAACTGAGGTCGCAACGGCTGTTACCACGCTAAGGGACAAGACCACGTGTAACTAGGCCGTTCGTGCCGGTGGCCATATGACCTGGGCCAATGCTTCCAATAGTAAGTCGCCACTTGAGTACTCTTAGCGCTTTCAATCTTTCACCCCAGTTATTCGCTACCTCGACTCAACAATCATTGGTCCTTTCTTACTCTTCTATGCTGATCATCACCCTACGTAAAGTCTACGATGGCGTAACGATTAACCTCGTACTAATGGTCGATATCGAGTACTCCTCCTTAACTACATATGTTAGCATCGGTGCCGGCGCGCTCTGGCGCGATGTCTACGTAGCACTCGAGCCCTACGGTGTTACCGCACTGGGCGGCCGCACCTCAACAGTGGGAGTCGTAGGTTTCGTCCTTAGCGGCGGTAATAACTTCCTCAGCTCCAAGGTCGGCCTGGGGTACGATAATGTTGTTAACTTTAAAGTCGTCCTCGCTAACGGACGTATTATTAACGCGAATAGAGATAAGTATGCGGACCTATATAAGGCCCTTAAGGGCGGCTCTAGCAACTTCGGTATTATTACCCGTATCGATATATAGACCGTACCTATGCCTAAGGAAGGTCTCTAGGGCGGCTAGGTAGTTTATCCCCTCTCTAACACAGATGCCTATATTAACGTATACGTACGCTAGGTAGCTAACATCCCGTCCTACCCGGCTAGATTAGCGGTAACTTTTTAGGTATATATACCTGCCTTAGGTATAGTCGGCTCGGCTATACTATAGGATTGTAAGGACAGTGCACCATAAGGTAAGTCAGGTAGCAGTCGGATGTCTGGTAGGGGGTCGCATTACTGCAAAACTAATTCTTAGAGGTCTAAGTTCTCCATTGCGAAGTGCACGCGTTTCGGCCACGATATGGTGTCGTGTCGATAACCCCAGTGCAGCCCCCAGTGTCCCACTGTCTGCAGCCCCGTACCTCGGTACTTGCAGCACAGTTGTGCACATTGTGCATCTCCACCTTATCGACACCAAATCGGTACCGGATCAGCCTCGTGCCGTATCGGCAGCGCATACGGGCCTTACAAGGATACTTCTAGAGCGGAATGGGCCAGCCCGGCCTACGACGATTTTCGCACTATTAGCCCATAGGTGTAGGATATACTACGCCGAGATAGCTATCTTAACTTTATAGTTAAGCTGGAGGAGCTGATAGGGTATCGCTATGTGACGACCCGACCAACAGGTCGCAAGATCGGGCCAGGGACAAGGGCAGGTCATGCACGCGGGTCCAAGAAACATTACCTAAGCCACCATGATGAGTCATCCAGGACAGGACCACGCCAAGACCATGGAACTGTGCCAAGAACTGTGGGACTGCGCAGTCCCAGTAGGAACTGCGCAGTGCGCCGGTAGAACTGACAGTTCCAAGGCACGGCAACACAGTTCACGATGAAGGACAAAGGATATATAGAGCCAGAAGGATTTCCTTGTAGACAGTCATTACCTTTGTACTTCAGCGATCAATCTAAGTATCACCCTCACCCTTCACTTGACCTAGTTACTCAATTGATCCGAGTGTGATATCTCGCAAGAGACACGAACGACAACCCCCTCGAGAACACGAGAAGCACGGAGTCAGTATTGCATGAGGTCGCTACCTACCTTATCCAGAACATAAACCCCACCGCGCCGATCAGACGGTTGACCCCGGAGATCGGATCGTGACACGCTAGATCTGGATCACCCTAACCGGGCGTAATAACGCGCGATTCATCCGTACCGCGGTCAGCGCGTAAGCCGAGTTCATTATAACGTAGAAGGCCGTATACGACGCGACGTAGCTGGATTTCCTAAACTATATTACGTTCTAGGCTATGCCGCGCTTGTTATTCTAGCATTCGGTCGAGAAAGACGGAAACGTCCTAGGTATGGACTGCGAGATAGAGGAAAAAGGAGACGCTATATTGTTCTAGATATAACATATAGTTAGGATAGCAGAGGAAGAGGTCGAGGCTAGGACACCGCTCCTTGAAATGCGGCGCGTACTAAAGGAGTAGAATATATCGTAGGGGCTAGATATCGAGTAGGAATATCTAGGCTACGTGGACGGCGGGCAGGATCCGTTAAGTATATACGGGACCGAGAGTATTACCTTTATAAAGAGGGCTATAGTAGAGTATAACCTGTAGGGTATCCTTTAAACTAGGATGCCGGGAGGGTTTAAGCTTTCTAAAGTCCTCTAATTGGAATTAGATCGGCGGGATATTAGTAAGTAATCTATCTTAACTACGCTTAGCTAAGCTGCCTATATATCTCGTAAAGCTGGGGCGACCTCTTCTTATTAGGCCCTAGTGTCACGATCCTGCCTCCGGGGTCAACCGTCTGGCAGGGCGCTGGGGTTGCTGTTCTGCAAGATAGGTAAAGCCTGTACAATAACAACTAACACTCTGCTGTCGTTCTCTCTCTGGGTTGTCGTTCGTGTCTCTTGGAAGAGATACCAGTCTCGGCAATTGAGTGACTAGTTCAAGTGTGGGTGAAACTGATACTTAGATTGATCGCTGAAGTACAAAGGTAATGACTGTCCACAAGGAGATCCTCCGTACTCTATATATCCTTTGTCCTTCATCGTGGTCATGACTCTGAGCCCGATGGTCGCGGCCAGGTCATGAATCTGGTCCTGACGGTCATGCAGATATTGGTGACCATCCTTCTTGGCACAGCGTCGGTCATGCAGATATGCATGACCGGTACGTACCTTCCTTATCGTCCCTTATCGTGCTTACATAAGAAACCTGTGACGGTGCTGCCACATGATCCGCCCTTGTCCTTGGCCTGATCCTGTGGCCTAGTTGTTTGGGCTCTTTTGCGTCCGTAACAAGCATCCCCTGTTGGTTGGCCGTCACATTATCCCCCTTCTCCCTTTAAGCGCTGTCCTCAGGCTTAACTCGGTAGGTCCTTCTTTTCTTCCTCATGGCCCACCATGTCGTCTGACCTCGCAACGCCAGCGCCGCCCTTTGATTCTTCAAAATCTGCGCGATCGCGGGCTTCACTGATCCGTCTCATCCGGGAGACTGGTTCTTCTTCTCCGCTCGACGTTATGCCGTGTACGGAGTGTACTCGTCGGAATCGCACATGTCGTATGGCTCCGAAGCGGCCTCGCTGCTTGGAGTGCGTGCGCCATGGTGTGAAGTGCGATGGCCTTTTCGTGGGGTACCAGATTGATCGAAACCTTGATCAGCAGCGCGAACTTCGCGATCAAGAGGAGTCCGCGGAGGACGAGCTGATTCGCCTTCAGTCGGAGATGGCGAAGATGCAAGCGAAGGTGTCGGAGTCGCTTTCTCGCCTGAACCGCTTGCGAAAGCAGCGTCGGTTCCTTGAGCGTCGCACCGAGCAGCTTGCTGACGAGGATTCCGCGAACTTGGAGATCCTCGATGGTGTTGCTGACGACGAGCCGTCCCTGGTTCTGGATGCTCAATCCGTTGGGGCGCAGGTGGTGGACCTTTCTTTCCTGGGTCCCTCGTTGGATCCCGGGGGTATTCATATCCGAGCGCCTTCAGTTCCTGATCCGCTCGTGCCCGATATGGGGGATCCCACTCGGTCTTGAGCCAGAAGTGGGTGAGCTGTTCCCTGCAGAGGGTGAGTCTGTTTTCTGGTTCCCAGCTGTTTTCCTTGTGTGCTTCTGGTTCCCATTCCACGCGGTACTCGGTATGTCCTATGTCTCGATAGTCGAGGATTCTCTTGACTTCGTACGCCGGATACTGGTCGTCTGGTTTTTCTTGGATGGTGGCAGATTTGACCGCCATCTGTCCCTTGTGTTTCTGCCGTGTCCAGTTCCATGGTTGCTCTTGGAAACTTCGTGGCCGGTTGTCCCATTCGCGGAGGAGTTCTTTGCAGTTCGTGAGGTTCTTCCTTGGTTCCCAAGTGTTTTCTGAGTCATCGTATCCTGCCCATTTGATGAGGTACCATCGGGTTCCCTTGCTAATCTTGTCGTCTAGGATTTTCTCGACTTCATGTTCTTGGTCTGGTTCGACCTCAATTTCTGCCTGGAGTGGTATGTCGGCGTGTGCTGGTTCGAGGAGAGAGGTGTGGAATATTGGGTGGATTTTCATTCCCTTAGGTAGTGAGAGTTCGCAGTTAAGCGGTCCCAAAACTTTCTTGACGAGGAATGGTCCAAGTTTTTTGAAATCCAGTTTACTGCTTGGTCGTTTTGTTTTGATGTTTTTGCGTAGCAGATAAACTTTGTCCCCCTCCTTATAGGTCGGTCCCTTCGACCTTTTCTTGTCGTAGAGTTGCTTGTGCTTTCGTTGACGCTGAATGATCAATTCTTTCAGTTCTTTTTGGAGGTGCACAAGCTTCTGAGCCTCGATGAAGGCTTCCGGAACCATCGTATCTCGTAGCGCGGTAGGTTCCTTGGGGTCGAAGCCCTTGTTTGCAAAGAACGGGCTGACTCCTAGGTCTTCGTTCGTCGAGGTGTTGTATGCGTACTGAGCCGTGGGGAGGTGCTCGATCCAGTCGGACTGATCTTCTCTGATGTAGCACCTGAGGTATTGTTCCACGTTTTGGTTCATACGTTCGGTTTGTCCGTCTGTCTGCGGGTGAAATGCCGTAGACATGCTGTGTTGGATGCCGATCTGGCTCATCAAGTCCTTCCAGAAGTGGGAGGTGAAGAGCTTGTCTCTGTCTGTGATGAGTTTCTCGGGTATCCCGAAGTTGCTGATAACTTCCTTCTTGAAGATCCACGCTGTTTGTTTGGCCGTGTATGTTTCAAGGAACGGGATGAACAGCGCATACTTGGTGAGTCGGTCCGTGACTACTAGGATGCTGTCGTATGCGATCATCGTTGCTGGGTCCTGGGAAGGTGGGAGCTTCGTGATGAAGTCCATTGAGATGACCTTCCAGGCTCTATCAGGTGGTGCGATACTCTGGAGTTCCCCGTAGGGCTTCCGTCGTGAGGCCTTGCTTCTTGCGCAGAGGTCGCATTTGAGGATTACCCCTGTGACCACTGCCTTGAGTTTCTCAAAGTCGAACTGCTTCTTGACCCGTTGCTGGGTCTTGAAGATGCCTTGATGTCCATGGAGCGGGTGCTCGTGGATTTCTTTGACCAGTTCCTGTTGCAGCGTTTCGGGTATCCACCTGAGTCCTCGGTATTTAACGACACCTCTGTCGATCCTATCGAGGTTGTAGCGGGAGTCGTTGCTGTGTGCCTTTGCGATCTCCGAGGAGTATCTGAGGGTTTCGTCAACGATCTTCTGTTGTAGCTCGATGTTCCATGTGTCGATGGTGATGGCGGCGACTCGGAGAGTGCCGTCTTCTGCTTGTCGCAGGAGCGGGAAGTTCTCTGTCTTCTGCTCATGCTCCGGGTATCGACTGAGAGCGTCTGCTCTGTTGTTTTCTGTCCCTTTGCAGTACTTGATGACTAGGTCATACTGCTGGAGTTCAGCGTACCATCTCAGCAATCTTCCGTTAAGGTTGATTCCCTTGAGGAAGTATGTTAAGTTCTTGTGATCTGAGTGGACGATGATTTGATGAGGCGATCCTCGAATGTAGTCGCTCCATTCCTTGCAAGCCAGGACTATCGCCATGAGTTCCTTCTCGAA